TAATTTTATCTATTAATTATATTAAAAGAAAAAAATATTTAATCTATATAATAATAGACTCTAATACTAAAAAAAATATTTATAGATAAAAAATAGATTTTAACATACTTATAATATTATCCTAAATAATCTATTCAATTAAAGATATTTAATAATTAAAAAGCTAAGATTAGCTTAATTATTATTATATTAATATATACTTAAAAGTCTATAATCACTTAAATAGAAAATATATTCTTAATTATTAGTTTATCTATTATTTAATCATTTTAGAATATTTAATTAAAAAATATAACTTTAGATAAGATAGATTATCTATAATCTAAACTTTAATAATAATTATTATTAGAAATATTATAATACTTCTATCTATTTAATTTATATTAGAGTATTATATAATATATTAAAAAAATCTATTTAAATTAAATATCTAATTATCTTAAAGTTTTAAAAAATAAAATATTATTATTATAAATCTAAAGTCTATATTATTTATTATTAAAAAAAATATAAAATCTTTTTTTAATTTAAATTAGATTGATACTATCTTAAACTAGATTAATTTATTCTAAATTATCTATTAAAATTATAAACTTAGTTATTAAATTATTTAAAAATTCTAAACTATTAAATATTTTTTTTCTAAGAAAGTTAAATATTTATCATTCTATTATCTTTATAATTATAATATTTAACTGATTAAAGAAGCTAATTCACTATTTAATTTTTATATTCTATATTTTAAAAGAATTATTATTCTAAAGAATAAATTATAAAGAATTTAAAGAAAAGATTTATTTATCTAATTTATTCTTTATTATATTTTTATCTTATTTATTAAAAATTTAAAAGAGACTTATATTTCTATATAGATTATTAAGCTCTAAATATAATAATAATAAAAAATCATTATCTATTATTTCTAATTAAAGAGATACTAAATAATCTTAATAAATAAAATATTTTATAAAAATTAATATTATCTCTATATTTAATAAAGTAAAATATAAAAAAGCTAAAATAATTGATAATCTTTTATATTAAACTTAATCTATTTAAATTACTAATAATATTCTTTAGTATAACAGAAGCCTCTATTATATTTTAATAATTTATTAATAATATATTAAAAGAATATCTAAATCTATTTTATATTATTTATTTAAATAATATCTTAATATATAATAGAATAAAAAAAATATATATATAGTATATCTATTTAATTCTAGAAAAGTTAAAAAGAATTAAACTCTATATTAAATTATTAAAATATGAGTTTACTATCTCTAAGACTAAATTCTTAAAAATCATAGTTAGCTATAATAGCCTATAGATAAATCTTAATAAAATTAAAATTATTATTAATTAGAAGATTTTAATTTATATAACTAATATATAGTTATTTTTAAGATTTACTAGATTTTATAAATATTTTATTTAAGATTTTTTAAAATTTATTACACTGATAATTAATCTAATAAAAAAGAAATTAATTTTATCTAAAATACTATTTACTAAATAGTATTTAAGATTTTAAAAATAATTTTTATTATTATTTCTATTCTATAATTCTTTAATTAGAAGAAGAAAGTTATCTTAAAAATAGATATATCTAATTATATCTTTATTAAAATTCTATTTTAATATAATAAGAAAGATATATTATACTCTATTATATTTTTTTTAAAGAAATATATACTAATAGAATATAATTATAAAATTTATAATAAGAAATTAATAACTATTATCTACTACTTTAAAGAATAATATTCTAAGCTTAAAGATACTTAGTTATTAATAAAGATTATTACTAATTATTAGAATTTAAAATATTTTATAATAACTAAGTTTTTAAATTATCACTAAATCTATTAATCTAAATTTCTATTTTAATTTAATTTTAAGATTATATACTATTCTAATAAATAAGAAATTAAACTTAATACTCTAATCTAGAGATTATAGGATTTTCTAAAAAAGAAAGATAAATGATTATTATATCAAAGTTAAGTCATATTAAAAAAGAAAATTTAATTATAATAAAAAAAGATAAATTATCTAATTCTATTAAATTAACTAAATTTAATATTATATTTAATTTAATATAGATATTAGTTCTCATTAATTAAAAAAAAATTAAATTTAAGCTTCTAACTACTATTAAATTATCTATTAATTTTAAAGATCTATTTAATATTATATATTCTTAAAATAAAAATATATAATTGATATTTAAAATACTATAAAAAAAAACTCTATAATATCTAAGAATAATTTTAGTAAACTATAAAAAAAGAATAATTATTTATTATATTAAAACTATCTTTATATACCTAATAATAATAATCTAAAAATTAAGCTATTATAATTCTATTATAATAAGTCTATCTTTAAATATTTTAAATATTCTAAAATTTATAAATTTTTATTCTAAGAATATTACTGATTTAAAATATATTAATATACTATTTAATAGATTAAAAACTGTTATATCTATTACTATATTACTCTATCTTATAAAGTCTATTAAAGAATTCTTTATCTATTATCTATCTCTAAGTAAATCTAATAAGATATATTAATAGACTTTATTATTTATCTATCTATTAATCTAAAATTTAATATAATATTAATAATAATTAATTATTTGATTAAAATAAGACATTTTATTCTTTATAAAAAAAATTTATAATATTAAAAAGACTATCTATTTATATATCTATTATATTTAGAAATTATATAGAATTTTAAAAATCATTATATTTAACAAAGAAGTTATATTTATTAATAAATTTTAAAAATATTTAATTTATTATTTAAAGATTATATTTCTACTATTTATAGTCTATTATTCTAAGACTGATAGTTAGACTAAATATATTAATATAATCTTAAAATAATATTTATATATATATATATCTTATTTATAAGATGATTAAACCAACTAATTTTCTTTAACTGAATTTATATCTAATTTAATCTATTTAAAGATTATAAAAATATCTCTATTTTATACTAATTATAGATTCTATTTAATTATAAAATTCAAAGCTATTTTAATCTTTAATAAATCTATCAGTTATAATATTAAAAAGTTTATTTATTATATAAAAAGAATTATTAATTTTATTTAAATTGAAATACTATCTATATAAGCTTATTATAAAACTATTATAAATAGATATTATCAATCTATCTATTAATATCAAATAGATTAAAAGATCTAATTAGATATTAAAAATATCTAAACTCTTTAATTATAGAAGAAATTAGATTAAAAGAATATAGAATCTTTTATAATTATTAAAACTATTAATTTAAATATATATTAATTAGATCTATTTATAAATCTAAAAATACATTCAATATTCAATATTAATTTATTTTATTTTATTAAAAAGTACTCTATTTCTAAATAATAATAAAAATTATCTTTATTTATTAAAGCTAATAGTATAATTAAATAAAAAATAAAAAATATCTTAAATTCTTATTAAAAAAGATAAGATTATAAATATTTTTATTTAAAATATATTATTAAATAAAATAATTATAATAAACTAATTAAAGAGTCTATTAAATATCTAAAAAATATATAAAAAATTATTACTAATTTTTATTAATAATATTCTTAAAAACTTAGATCTAATTTTAATAAAGCTTAATTTTAAGAGGAGAGATACTGTTATAATATTAATTTATCTATTCAATCTACTGATCTACTCTCTTAGTCTAACTGAATATAATTATAGTTGTATTTTAATGTAATTCTAATAAAAATTATTTAGCTATAAAAATCTTATTATAGCTCTTTAAGCTATATTTTATCCTTAATTCTGAATCCAATCCTATCTGTCAGCCCATCCGTCTGGTCTAACCAGTCAATCGTCAATCCTCGATCCCATCCGCCTGCCGCACCCTGACACCTATACTCTATAATAATTATATTCATTACTATTCTCTAAACAGTCTCCACTTAGTGCCCATCTTCTGCACTTATTCTATATATATATGGTACATATATACAATCTTATTAGATGCTTATGTAATAGCGTCCGCTATAACATTCATTGGCTGTGACTTATCGATTCTTGTGACATTTGGTTCGGTCCGAACCAAACCAAATGACAGCCTACTTTTATATCTAGAAATATCTACTTTATTGAGTTATATATTAAGACATATACTAAAATTAGATATCTATTCTAATACTAACTATTACTTTATTAATAGTTCCAGTATAGGAGAAGTATAACTACTTTTAATTTTATTTTTATAATATTTATTTATATTTAATAATAATTTTGTTTACTGTTATTCTCTAAGTAGTCTCTATTTAGTGCCCATTTTTTGCACATATTTTATATATATATGGCGCGTATATACAATCTCATTGGCTGCTTATATAATAGCGCTCACTATCACATTCATTGGTCATGGTTTATCGATTCTTGTGACATACTACTACTACTACTACTACTACTAGGTCCGAAGGCTAGGTAAGTCATCTTTGATATCGATCCTCAAAGTTGTCCATGAACTCAACTTTTTAGTCATAATACCCAGGCAGTGGGTAACTCTTGACAGGGTTCGCCGCTTCATCATTCACGACCCCAATTTTATCTAGAAAGATAACAGTCTTCTTCAAACACTCAGTGTGTTGTGTTTCTCAATTACGTTCGGCCGTCTATTGTTACTTATTAAGATGATACAAACACTCAAATGACGGCCGAAACTATCAGTAATGCGGAAGAACGTTGATATTTTAATCAAGTTTCATATGCGGGCACCCAGTAAAGAATCATCTATCCATAAAAACCAGACCTTGAAATCATGTAACATAGTTTTCTACCTAAACTGGTCCATTAAGGAAGCTCTCGGAATCTCATCTGCGTACATCTAAGCACGCTTCATCTTTGGACTTTCACGGCAGGTGAACAGCTTCGCTGCTAGGTCAAGGGGAATCGAACTTTTGATACCGTCAGGTCGCCATTGTCCAATTAAACACTCTCCAGAACCTTCTCCTTGAATTCCCTCTCGACCTTTTGGCCCTTGTCGTCGGTTGTTGATTCACCGTGCAAGTTGAGTAGAGCACCGAGGTCGAACTTGGGTGCCTTCAAAAGCTTCACCTTACGGATGTGGACCTATCCCATTGTCAATAAATGATGATTTTGAATACATATTATATCAAAGGCCTTACATTCTGCAGAGGATAAATGCCCTGGGTGGACTTCTCAATTTCACGGCCAATCACCTCAGGAATGAGCTTAGTGGTGAGTTGAGACAAGGTGCAACTCGCAGCCTCGCGCTGAATAATCTCAGTCATCTTCTTGCGAATGGCCCGGATTTGAGAAGATCGAGCGTATGTGGTCTTCTTGATCTGATTTGGGCGTCTCTTGGTGAAAGCAATGGCGAACAGACGAATAAGATAGTCATCAGTGGTCTTGACAGTAACGTTCGCCTCAATCAAAGACTGCCACTTGCGAACCAAAGAGCGCAACTTGTCGGATGTGAAGTCCAGTCCGTGGAAGTTGGTCAGACAGTTCTTGCCCTGGACTTCGTCGACACGAAGTTTGACCTTTCGGAATGCATGGTCCTCATCGTTCTGGAGATCGGCGAGCGAGACCTCGAAGATACGGCCTTTCAAGGAATCATTGGCATTCTTCAGACCAGTGGTCCTGTTCACAATAGTCTTTCCCACACTACAAAAATTCAACAGTCAGCACCCGATGGCATCTAGCTGGTGTTATTTGGTGTGCAAGGTGTCATACTCTCGGATCTGGAAGGTGGAAGGGGCCTGGAAGTGAAATTAGTACATGAATTGATATTTTCAATTGATGGTTCTTACCTTGACAGAGTATTCATCCTTACGAGAGAAGGGGTCCACGGTCCGCTTCTTGACGCCTTTCTTGCCCTTCGACAAGCGCTTGTTCCTGCAAGTAGAACATTAGATATGCAGTCCTAATTAATGAAAACACCACAGGGCTTCTTACTTTCCGACAGCCATGGTTGCGATGAGATGGACTTGGATGATCGCTTGCTGTCACGGACGAGTTCGATCACGGCCGTGGATAGATAGATAGGTCCAGTGCAAAAAAATCCCACAATGCACGCTAAGCGAGGACTCCGCCAAGGGGGCTCCGCCCTAAATTGACCCGAGGATGTCACGTGCACGCGCGGCAGCGGGACTGTGGCTTGGCAACTGTGGCTGCCTCGCTTTGATATCTGCGATTAATTATTATTAAAACTATGGCGATGCTGCTGCTGGTTTATGCAGCGCCCATAGCAATAATAGCAATTTATCCATACTAAATTTATAATTCATAATACATAATTCACACGATAACTTTGTAGCAAGGCATTTTCACTGAGATTGAGTGCCGTCTTGTGCCTCCCGACGTTCAAAGCCATTCCAGGACCTCTGGGTCGGTCGCGCGTCACCAAACCCAGTCAACCAACTTTCAACCTCGACCTACCAAGCCACGACCTCCAAGTCATGGTAAACCATAAACCTCTCTTATTCATGCCGTGAAAACATTCAAAGCTGATTGAAAATACTAGGGCAAGCGAAAGAAGTCAAGCCGAGGACCGCAAGGTCCTAAGAAGGTACTTTCGCACGAGTCGTCGCCCTGTTGGCGCGCTGACAATGTTTCCAGAGAGAACCTCTTGCGACCACTTTTGCCTGCCTCTTCTGTAACCATGAGAACTCGGTCATAGTCAAGCTTGACAGAAAGCTCGGCTTAGGAAATCTATCGTGTAAAGTGTGTGGTCAGAGATTCCAAACGGGTATTAACTGTGAGCATCATTGATAAACTACCAAGTTCTGTGCGTGATAGTGACTTTTCAGACCTTTCTGCTGCTGTTGATGTCTACTCAGACTGGGTTGATGCTTGCGATTCCGTCGCAAAGACGAAAGCCAATGATTATGATCAACGCGATTCCCAGATTAATTACTACCAAGGTCCACCGTCACCAAAGGACCGGCCAGAAACAGATCTGGATAGCCCTCGTGATGATTAAATGGCGTTCGGAATGGCGTTCGGCAATATATTTTTAGTGAAATGAAACAATACTATTTTTGACATATATGAATTGTTTACTGAGCGCCTGGTGACCTCGAAACGAAGTTTGACGCGGCTCACGACTATGGATATTGTATGCAGCAAGTTAATAGCCGCGTAATAATATTCAGGTGCGAGCAAAGGTGTATATACCTCCTAGTCGTTCTGACGGTGCTCTACAAATGCTTGTAACACAAGGCTTGACGTCAACACAAACTTAGAGGGTGTAGTATCTGTCACCAAAATCTCCGAGTCCGGGAATAATGTATCTATTCAGTGTCAACCGGCGGCACAATTTGCTAGATCGAGACATTTGTCATACTTTTTTTCATCCAAACCTTGGTCAATGAAGGCCGTAACAACCCTCAGCTTAGGGAATCTTTCTGCAAAGTCCGCAACACCTAGAGGGCTTGCAATCAGGTTGAGAAATAGGATACGTTCTTCCGGAACCCCCTTCGATTTGAGGACTTCAACAGCCATTGTAGCGGAACCACCTGTGCCCAACAATTTAGCAGAATGCCCTGATATAAACCTCGGCTGGTTACCTGTAGCAAACATAGGGTCCAGTAGAAGGACCCATCTCTGTGAGATATCAGCAGGAAGCTTTTCGTAGAAAAGTTTTGGTTGGCAAGTCTCTTCGTCTCTTTGGATTAGAATCTTGCCGATACGGACAGACCGGCAACAATCTCGAAGACCTTGTTCCATGGCTTCGCCCGCTCTCATTATAGAAACACCACAAATTTTCCCTTGAAACTTGACGCCCAGGTATGATCTACCAACAGGAGTTGTCACCGACTGCTCAACGACAGGAAGATGGTTGAGGCCTTCCTCCACCAATAGACGGATAATGCGATTGGAATAGAAAATAAAATCGGCGCGAACGGTTCGTTGATCTCGGATCATTCTGTAATTTGTTCAGCATAGATAAGATACGAACTTGACATGGGACCTTACGTTAGGAGAGCAATCAGTTGAGGGGTCTGGGGGAGAACGTGCACATTTTCAAAGCTGACTTCCTTCGAAACAGTTGCGGTGGGCTTTTCTCTATCTGGTCTGTAGACTGGCCCTACCCCCTGAGCAGGAGAAGGGATTTGCTCGCTCTGTTTTGTGGCCATGGTTGCTATCTGTAAGTAAAAGTTAGGGTATTCGAGGATCGGCTGGAAGGTCGATGAACGGAAGGAAGCGTTGGCACGGGACCGCCCCTCATCTTGGTCTGTTACATAGATATTCCATAAACATAGATACAGAAGCAACCAGGCTTGATAGCTCAACCTAGGATACTCATCGGGATCAGCAATATGATTTGAGTGCCGTTCTGTAGCGCGTGGTGTTGTCGAGTTTAATGCTAGTCCACTAATAATCAGAGGCTCTTACAACCAACTACTTCAAGTGCTGACGCAGCGCATCAGACAAGCAAGTCTAGCCCCCGATTTTTTCAGCATTTTACAAGCAGGGCTACCGTGATAATCGAGTATATCGTTTCCAGAATAAAAAAATATCCGTAAGAATCATAATCGGCGACGGACAATCGTGCGGGGATGCGAATGCGGAGATCCTTCTCTATTCGTAAATTGATGTGTCTTAACCATTCATCTTGCTGAGCAGTGGGAGGCCATATTTTTCTGAGAGAGCACAGTATTGTGCACTATATTGATCGTTTGCTCTGGTAAAAATACCCTAGTGGTCGCCCAAATGGCTCTTAGTTGGACTATGAATTGTGTTGCTAGAAAAGAGATGCCAAGATGCTTAAATAAGCGGCCTTTCGCTGCTTAATGTGCCGTTATCTCAAGTATTGCGCATTCCATGCTATTGGTATTATCGGACACGGAGAGAACAATAAAGCACACAATTAACGACATGGCAATTTCGTGGGGATAAAAGTCATCATCTTCTCAAGCGGAGGGACTAATAGCCAAAACGGCACACGAAACTTACGAAGGGTTCAGCCTTTGCACCACCCACTTCCAACGACAAGTATGGTTCAATGGTGCACATATCATAACACACTATGGATTGGAAAAATCCGGAGCGCCGTCGCAAGATAGTGACATATGGCAAGTCATCGCACAATCAACCTGAACACAATCGACAACCGGCACGATCCTACTTGGGACCAGACGAACGCGATACCAATGGCTTAAATGCGCCATTGCGATCTGAGCTTGAATCACGACTGCAGACGTCAGATAATCATCATGCGTATAAGAAGGAAGAACTTAAAGACAGGAATCTCAAAGAAAAGATGCCTTCCAAGCCTGACACTTCCGCTCAAGACAGCCAGCGTAACTTGAGGTCTCCGAAGCGGCGCAAGGTTGCGGTTGATAGTGGCACGCAAAATGTCGACGATATCATCAAGCCTCAATCTAATATTACAGCAAATGATACCCATAGAGCTTGTAAGGCAACATTCATATTATAGTTGACAAGGCTTTGCTCATCATTTTCACAGCGTCTTCACGGCTACGTGCAAGCCTAGACAATACGATTACCACCGATAAACAGGACACCGGGTCTGTCAAGTCGTCGCTACGTACTTATTCTAAACCTTTAGGATCTAGTACTCGGTCGAAAGGTTATGATACTAGAGCTGTCAAGTCAACTGGGCCCTTACCAGGATCGATGTCTCCATCGAGTAATAAAACCCCTGGCCTACTCTTTAATAAAATAGACTCTCAGTCGGAGTCGCAGCTTTCCCAGCAGAAAAGGGTTCAGAGACGTGGATCATTTAGTACAACCCCTGCGCAAAACGGTATCGGCACCCATACAGATGAATCCAGAACGCGAAGACGCCTTGTGGATTCCCTCGGCTCACACGATATTCAAGAAGACGAAGATACGTCCAGTGAAACTGACCCTGTGTACCGTCCGGCCACCCCGGACTTAGCGACCGAAGCTCCTAGTACTCCAATTAACTCTGAGAGTCAAAGTTGGCATGCTATTTACGAGGAGCCTAGGGCGCGATGCCTTGCCAATGACGTGGCCGAAAATACTGCCTCTCCTCAGACAAGCAGCCCAAAGATCACATATGCCCGACAACGATCATTTCTTAGTAACATTGATTCTAATGGTAGTCTGGGGGTTGATAGTCAACTGAACATTCATGGCGATGTACATGCTTCGTCGATGCTGCAAAACCCAGCTGCAAGTGCAGAAGACGAACATCCAGATGCCAGTTCTGTGCGAAGTATCCACGAATTGAGACGAGCCGGAGTGAATGCTCGTTTTCAGGGCATCGTAGATTCCATTCTTGAAGATATCGAGGAGGTTTCCAATCCCCTTTCCGTTCGAAGAAGTGGCCTTATTCAACTATGTGAGAAGCTATTTGAAGATACGTTTGCACAGCGATTTATTGAATATGGAGCTGCTTCGCGTCTGGCAAATTCGATGCCTGCGAAACAAGATGTGATCTCGGCTCTTCTTTCTATGGAGGCTTATGCTTTAATGCTTCGACTGAGTCATCTGCCTTCAAGTCTTTACCTAACTTTCTGGCCAAAAATTGTCGCTACAGCCCCCACTTTGCTTTCCATACAGGAAGGAATTTCGAAGCTTATTGTACAACGGCGTTTTGGGCTTTCTAGGGTCAACCAAGCAACTATAAACGACGTCTCGGTCCGATCTGGGAAAGTCACTGGCTTGGACCATGCGTCCTCACCTCTATCACCGCAGCGATTGATACTGCATTGTATGCAGTTAACTATTCGGAAATTGCGAGATGGTGATGCTGCAGACGTTCTACCAGTGGAAATAGTATCTAAGCTGGTAGACCTACTATTGGCGCTTTCTGGGCATGCAAGTGGACATATGACCGACCAGCATGTTATCTCAGAGAACTACGACATTTTTGAAAGTATAATTTCAATATTAGAAAGTTATACAACATCTTCGATCTCTATCGGTGACGCCCAGCAGGACGCCTTGACATCACTTGCTGCTTCTAGTCAATTTCTGTCCTGGTTGAGCGAAGAGACCGATGCGCGGTGTTTCCAGCTTTTAACACTGCACCTGAGGCTCATTTTGAACATTACGAACACGAATTCCCAAATATGCGAACGATTTGCTACACCTGACCTCATAAATAGCCTAGTTATGATTGTTCTATCAAGTTATCCAGGTGCGACAGGAGATAACATCAATGAGAAAAAGGACTCTCTCGACATCGTGATTTTGGCGTTAGGAGCGTTGATAAATTTAACAGAAGAGAGTGAGGCTGCTAGGCAAAGAATTTCTAGTCAACACAAAGGGACTAGAACATTACTTGCACATCTCCTTGCAGTGTTCACTGAAGGTCTGGATACAGTATCTGAGGTAAGACTACGGCTTGATCATTTTATTGTCTATATATCTGACCTGAGGCAGGCTGATTCGGTGGGCCAAACTCATTCCAATGTCGCATTTGGATATCTCTCTATTCTCCTTTGCACGATGTGTCTAAACTACGACGTGCGCGTCGCTATCAAGAGCTCACTCAATGGCACTGGTCTAAATAGACTTCTTGCCACTGTAGAAGAGTTTCTTCATTATCACCGCAAGGTTGATGAAGAGCTCTCTCAGTCACAAGCTTTGGGAGAGTTTACACTCCGGCTTGAAAGGATTTTGAATCAAATTCGAGATATTGGAGTGTAGGCATGATCACCAGGGCCCGGGAATATTTAAAGATTTTGACTCTTTGTTCGATGTGGTTATACTACCCTTTTCCTTTCGAGCGGCTGCAGGACATGTTCCTTTTAATGTTTTAGAAATAAATAGTCTATGATTGTTTAATGCACAAGTCCTTTGAGACTTGGAAACGGAGAATGACTCGATTCCTCCTTCACAGGCTGGTGATTAGATTGATTCTTTCTTGTATGAACTGATTAACTTATTAAATAATTTACTGTTTGTTGGTAAACGCTATACCCAAATCGGCATGTCTGCCGTCATTGCTGCTGGCTTCCATGACATCTAACCCTCTTTATGGATGATTCCTACCCTTAATTCTTCACTCTCACCTCGATAAACCCGTATACGGTGCCAAACTCATTGCACAGCATGCCATAATACCATATGTTCATGTCAACTCGTAACTCCGGCTTACAAACTTGAATTCTGCACTTTTCCTTGCGGACCGTTATTACGGTTGATCCTTGACTGTTGCGACGAGTGAGAACCAGAGGAGTTGGAAAAGTCGCAGTATGCCTACACCACCAAAGCAGCGAAAAATCGCCATAGTCGGTAGTCGCTCTGTTGGTATGAATCACCAGGCTATATATCTGTTTATTGCCGTCATTAACTCCTGTTATCTAGGAAAATCTTCCCTTACTGTGCGCTTCGTCGATCATCATTTCGTGGAGAGTTATTACCCAACGATAGAAAATACGTTCAGTCGAATTATAAAGCATAAAGGTCAAGATTTCGCAACGGAAATCGTTGACACCGCTGGCCAGGTAAAATAGACTGTCGTTCCTTCGAGACACTACTTATTCGTATGGTAGGATGAGTACAGTATCCTGAATTCAAAGCATTTCATTGGAATTCATGGATATATGATTGTGTATTCCGTGGCATCTCGCCAGTCTTTTGATATGGTCAACGTGATCAGGGATAAGATTTTGAATCATCTTGTACGCGCAACCGTCTTTGCCTACTTCTTCGCGATGCTAATTAGGAAAAATTAGGGCGCAGATTGGGTACCACTTGTAATTGTTGGAAATAAAAGCGATCTAAAGGCTGATCAGCGTCAAGTCACATTAGAGGAAGGCCGCCAACTGAGCCAACAGTTTGATTGTGCTTTCACAGAGGCCAGTGCTCGCCTGGACTATAATGTTGCGAAATCTTTCGATTTAATCATCGGTGAAATCGAAAAGTCCCAGAATCCCTCTCAACCGACGGGAGATAGTAAGTGCCATGTTATGTAATGAGAGTAGTTAATAAAGACATACACTCGCTTGGAGAGTTTTCTTGGTATTTCCAACCATCGAGACTTGGCTTTCTGATATACAAGGTAAGGCTGGTCCTTTGATGGGGTGGTGTTTTACGCAAGTTCTTAATAGGATATAATATCATCATCTAAGTTGCAAGTAATTCAATAGGTACCTTGTGCAGAGACCGCAGGTAAACAAGAGTAATACTAGTATTTAACGTATTCCACAAGCACCCGGCACACACAAGCAACAACCGTGTATTGCATAGAAAATGGCCATTTTTATTAGCTCTATATCACAATAAAATTATATATAAACCATAACTTGAAATTAAATATATATATAATAGAAGCTTTAATAATAATATATATTAAAATTAATAAGCCTACATTAAATCTGATTTAAATTACCAAAATTACAATGTAATTTTTTGTATTTTTTGTAATTTTCTATTTTTTCAATAGATATCGATTTCCAATTTATTATATATTTCTAAAATGTTATTTGTAACTATATAATATATATACTAAAACCTAATTAACTACTTTTATATAATTTGGTTGTGATATGAGGATAATAAAAATCGCCATTTTCTTTGTAATACACGGGTGTGCCAGGTGCTTGTGGAATACGTTAACAATATCTTCTTACATTAGCCGTAATGAGGCTATTCCAAAATTGGAAGTGTATCGAAGCCAATACTGTAAGGTTACAAGGATCTCTTACTGCCCCGCATCCGCCCCTCTCACAAACTTTCCCACAACACAAGCACCGACGCAGGAATACATTCGGTTTCGATCATATAGCTGCAAATCGAGATGTTGGACTTTAATGACTTCGTGGTTGACCGTGGCGGTGACCTTGAGAAAATTAAGGAGAGCCAGCGTCGTCGATATGCTCCCGAAAGCTCAGTAGACGAGGTCCTGGAGCTTTTCGCAGCTGCTCGGGGGGGTGATTATGGTACTCTGTCTCTTCATTTGTACGTTGGCTAATCTTTCATAGCGAGGTTCGACACGATGCAGATAAACTCCAAGATTAATGCGCTGCAGAAGGAAATAGGTTTGAAAAAAAAGGTTAGTGGGGAGGATTTCGTTGCAGTGTCAATCGACGACTTGGTGCTGATCGCGCGACCAGAATAAGGAGGATGTGTCAGAATTGCTGCCGCAAAAAGCAGTCCTTGAAAAGCAGAAAAAGGATGCCGAAGAATTAGCGGTTCTCAAAGAAAACGAACGCGACAGAAAGATCAAGAGTATCGGGAATTATGTTCATGATTCAGTCCCTATCAGCAATAATGAGGTATGTATGCCCTTGCTGGAATTTTTGCTTGATCCAAGCCATGATTTCCATCAGTTAATCTAAGGCATAAACCCTAGGATGATAATGTCATAATAAAGACATGGGCACCTGATAACGTTACTGTCGAGAAACGTGATTGTCTTTCCCACCATGAAGTTTTGACTCGGCTGGATGGTTATGACCCAGAACGTGGTGTCAAGGTTGTCGGTCATCGTGGATATTGCCTTACTGGCTATGGTCTATTTCTCAACCTGGCACTCGTTAACTACGGGTTGGAATTTCTGTGGAAAAAGGGATACAAACCAAACCAGCCCCCACACTTCATGCTCAAGGATGCCATGGCAAAGACTGCGCAGCTAGAGCAGTTCGATGAGGAATTATACAAGGTCGTTGAAAGTGAGGATAAGTCGACTGACAAATATTTGATCGCGACGTCAGAACAACCACTCTCAGCATTGCACGGAAGCGAGTGGTTTCAAGAGAAGGACCTACCTCTGAAGTGAGCTTCAACAACTGAAATTTTCATTTCCTTTTCTAACGCTCTTTAGGTACGCCGGGTACAGTACCTGTTATCGTAAAGAAGCAGGATCACATGGAAAAGATGCTTGGGGCATCTTTCGTGTACATCAGTTTGAGAAGGTGATTCTACTCTAACCATCTGTTTTTCGATTCAACTGCTTACATTTGAGGAGATTGAACAATTTGTTTTAACGAAACCGGAAGAATCATGGAAAACCTTCGATGAAATGATAGCCGCGTCAGAAGAGTTTTACCAATCACTTGGTCTTCCTTACCAGGTAGTATCAATAGTATCAGGTGCACTGAACAATGCGGCCGCCAAGAAGTATGACCTTGAGGCGTGGTTTCCTTTCCAAGGAGAATATAAAGAATTGGTGTCTTGCTCAAACTGTACTGATTATCAATCACGGGAATTGGAAATTCGGTTTGGCGCAAAGAAGGCGGATGCTAAGAAAACTTATGTTCATGCTTTGAACGCTACCCTATGCGCCACTGAACGAACGCTTTGCTGCGTATTGGAAAACTACCAGACTGAAGAGGTAGACAACCTATCCGTGCATTTGTGACGATCGTCTTGTCTCTATACTAACTCGGTTAATTCTTGTTTATAGGGCTTAAATGTACCTGAACCGTTGCGCAAATATATACCGGGAGCCCCTGATTTCATTCCCTACACTCGGGAACTACCCAAGGACACAACATCGGCGAAGAGAGGCAAGTCAGGTACGGCAGGGGTTACAAAACAGGTTGAGAATCTCAAGGTTTGATCAAGTAATTCGTTTATCAAGGAAAAACATCGTCATGGCGAACAGGCTATTCAATTCTTCTAGGTTACTTTGGACGACATAACCAGAAACAAGGAGTACGTGGTCCATGTGCTAAGATACCCTGTGTCCATCATCTATTGGCCATCAACGTAGATGCAATTGACTACGGCTATACGGTCTCATCATGCCTAGCGCTCCTTCGGTAGATACCCAGCTTGAGTAGAATATTCGATACAAAATAGTGCGACGCTCTGATTGGATTGTTCTTGTTGGTCTTGCCAAATCACTGAAAAATTGCGAGAACTAGACCTCTGTAGAGCGATCCGGCATGCGACAATGCATGGACCCGAAGATATATCACAACCTACTATTATTGCAAGCTTGAAGTCATCCTATTGCCATGGATCACCTCACTTGGTACTATACATACCAATATTACTAGTATTTTTTAAAAAAAGTTTTCGCATCTGGTCCCCGAAAACGGAGCAGAGTGGGTACTACCATTATTTGCCCCTCGGTGTAGGCAAGCAGTACGGTCTCCGATTTAGCATGACTCACTCACTCTCTCACGCTGGGAACTGTTCGCTATTCAAAAGGCAGTGGTGTTGATTCTGACTGTACATTCCCACGGTTGAATCTTTTGCTCACAAGTTCTTGCGTTGACTCTACATAATGGCGTCTGCCAAAGATATCAAATTGCCTGCGGATCATCTAGCCCATCAAGTCTCCCGTAGTCTTGGTCTTTCAACATCTCCCTCAGCTGCGTTCCATTCACCACCATCGAGTTTTGGAGCACCGATCTCCCATGGATCTGCAATTTCAGCTACGACAAAGCACCTGAAACCCTTTGCGACCGAAGATGTTAAGATTCTGCTCCTAGAAAACGTGAATCAAACCGGCCGTGACATTCTCGCGGGACAAGGATACCAGGTCGAGTTTCTTAAGACTTCGCTGCCAGAGGACGAGCTCATTGAAAAGATTAGGTAGGCCATCTCTGTAGGTTTACAAAATAAGTCTAACTTGTTATCTTAGAGATGTACATGTTATTGGTATCAGGTCAAAGACAAAACTCACAGCGCGAGTCTTGAAAGAGGCACGCAACCTAATTGTCATAGGCTGCTTTTGCATTGGAACAAACCAAGTGGACCTGAAGTATGCCGCGGATCATGGAATTGCTGTATTTAATTCCCCTTTTAGCAATTCGCGAAGTGTCGCAGAATTGGTCATTGCGGAGATTGTCGCTCTAGCCCGACAACTAGGTGATCGCTCCAATGAAATGCACAATGGCATCTGGAATAAAGTGAGCAATAAGTGCTGGGAAATTCGTGGGAAAACCCTTGGTATAGTAACCTGGTCTTGGAAAATATTCGAGAATCTTACTCGTCTACAGGAATCATCGGATATGGCCACATCGGGTCGCAACTGTCGGTTTTGGCAGAGGCAATGGGAATGTCAGTCATATATTACGATGTCGTGAATTTGATGGCAATGGGCACAACTCGACAAGTCTCAACACTCGAGGACCTTCTACATGATGCTGATTTCGTGACTTGTCACGTTCCAGAGCTACCAGAGACTGAGAACCTGATTGGCCAACAGCAATTTGAACATATGAAAACCGGGAGCTACTTGATCAATGCTAGCCGGGGGAGTGTGGTTGATATTCCAGCTTTGATTCAAGCAATGCGTTCGGGAAAAATTGCTGGGGCGGCTCTGGATGTTTATCCAAATGAGCCGGCTGGCAACGGAGACTACTTCCAGAATGACCTAAATACGTGGTGCACCGACCTTCGAGGATTGAAAAATATCATTTTGACCCCCCATATTGGCGGCAGTACCGAAGAAGCCCAGTGCGCAATTGGCATTGAAGTTAGCCAGGCCCTGGTCAAGTATGTCAATGAGGGTACTACTCTCGGAGCAGTCAATTTGCCGGAGGTGGGTCTCCGGTCATTGACTATGGATGAACCCAACCACGCCAGAGTAAGTTTATTTTATCTGATTCTATTGGATATCAACACTTCATACACCGATAACTGATTCATGATGTTACTAGGTTATTTATATCCATCAGAATATTCCCGGTGTGCTTCGAAAAGGTGAGTGATCAGACATTTTGTTTCGATACATTGCTAACTTAGCTAGTGAATGAAATACTTGGCGACCATAACGTAGACAAGCAGATGACGGATAGCAGAGACGATGTAAGTTTTGTTATCGGGCCCACTTCCCAGAATTAAAATACATATTGACTTGCTTTACTAGGTTGCCTACCTGATGGCTGATATTAGCGACGTGGATACCGTAACAATTAAAGAACTTTACGAGAGACTAGAAAGCCTTTCCTGTACGATCGATCTATCATCTCTTGAAAAGACTGGTACACTGACTCTTCTCCAGCACGAATAATGACCCGAATCTTATACTAACTGACCTGTACATCACTGTGTCGAAAGAAGCATAGACGTGTCAATGTGACCTGGAGTTATACGGATTGAATACAAGGGATTAGAGACTGCCATTCAACGGCAAAAAAAGTAACAGACATGATGACGATGTCCCTCAACGGTACCGAAACATATCCATAATATTTCTTAGTTGGTTTGAACCTTTTATTCTTAAGCCGAAAGCATATTTAAACGAGTACAATTTAAAGTTTGCATAGTAATCATAAATATTTGTTGAGATTGAGGTCTATTTCGTAACAAAACTAGATAGGATTATGGGAAAAGATTTCTACCAGAGTGCGAATTGGATATAAAAGGTGCCTAGGTGACGTACGGAGAAAAGGGTCCCTGAATCACTGACTACCGACGATACAGGTAATAATTAGAATCTTCACGCCCTTTGTCCCTGAGTACCGGACTGCGACTGCGTCGTCGATTATTTGAGTTGTAGGGATCTCTGCGGCTGCCATACCGCGCTGGGTCTGTGGGGGTATCATGGTAGGCGTCTGACTTGTCGTGAGCGTCATACTTCGGAACATATGTATCGACCTTTCCGTCATTGCGATTCGCCGACCATGGAGGGTAATGCCCGTCTTTTCGTCGCTCAGCGCGAGTGTCATTCCTACGAGTTTGATTTGATGACCATGGTTGCTGTGATGTGTGGGGAGGCTTCGGGGGTAATGTGTCCTTCAAGGTCAGATAGGGAATTAGTTAAAAGGAAAATGGTATGCATGACCAACAGTCTCGAGATCGTCTCGAAGAGTCATCACATCGAGGTTATACATACATCAGCAGTGTGACGAAGATTGGCGGCGTTGCTTCTAGGTACAAACGATCCTCGTGATGCACCGGGAGCACGATTTCCCTGTTCCATACCAGAGCGAGAACCAGTGTTTGTTGACCAATTCCCCTCTCCTGTCCCGCCTGCAGGTGGAATGGGAGGTCGAGGTTTCGGACGAAATTGTCGACGGTCAAATTCGTGTGAATCTTCATAATGTGGCAATTCACCAGGCCGAGCTGGCAGTGGAGGACTGGAGAAGTAAGGATGCTTTAAAGCATCGACGGCGGTTATTCTTCGCCGCCAGTCGAGTTTCAGAAATTCGCTAAGAAGAGAGACAACCAAGGGACCTTGCCTACCACAGAGACAGCTGTCAGTTTGAGCTAAACATTGCAAAATAGCTCGAAAATGGTCTTACTCTCTGAAGACCTGGCTTAGGTTTCCAGGTTTATGTCCAAAATCCTTGAAGCCATCACAGCCAGGAAGTGAACTCCACCCTGGCATCGTCTCTTCTGTTGGAGACCCAACGAGTCCGAATACCAGGTGTGCTTGATTAAGATCGCTATTTCCAGCAAGTATCGGGCGGCCTTTGAACATCTCGCCAAAAACACAACTTAGGGAGTTAGCTTTGCGAGTGGTGCTTCTTCAAGAAATCACAAGCTTACCCTATCCCCCACATGTCAATTGCTGTTGTATATCGGCGAAGCTGTAGAAGTAGCTCGGGCGGTCGGTACCACCTCGTAACTACTAATGGCGTGTAGTCTCTCTTTGCTTCACCACCACCCTTTCCAGCTTGTGGGGGTGGTTCATCATAGAGACGTGCAAGTCCGAAATCAGCAACTTGAAGGATCCCTCTGTTGCTAATAAGAAGATTCGCGGCTTATTATGGAATGATGATTAGATGGCCATTCATCTTTATGTTTCGGTTATAGGCCGACTAACCTTTCATATCTCTATGAAGAATTCCACTCTGCTAGGCAGTCAGATACTGAAAGACTAATGCAAAAGGCAGGAGATCCAAGACGTACATCATGTAGATATCGAACCCCTTCTAGTAATTGGAGCATGTAGCACTTGATCTGTGGCTCTGTAAAGCTAACACTCGGATTCTCAAGGAGACCTGACAGATCATGTTCCATGTAAGGCATCACCATGTACATGCTCGGTTTTTTCCGTCCTTCGCCTGTATGCCACGTCAGGCAAGGCTTCAAGTAAGCAACAGCGGTGATATGTTACCTTTGCTTTTCTCCACTGCCATTTCTTGTAACCGTAGAATGTTTGGGTGTGATAGCATTTTGAGTAATTTGATTTCCCGCAGTGCAGTGATGGGAAACTGAAGGATCAGCGAATTGCTCAATACATCTATTACAACAACTCCAACACTCACCCCATCCTTCTCATTGTGCATAAGTATTTTTTTCAAAGCAAAGATAGAGCCCTGTCGCTTGCACCGAGCTTTGTATACCTCTCTGAAGGCGACGTCGCATTGCGTCAACTGACGGAAACAATCTGGTTGGCAAAGTTGACTTACCCAAATGTGCCCTCACCCAGCTTTCCGAGAAATTCAAACTCGCGAATGTTGGAGCATCCTTGAAAGCGAGATCGGCCGCTCTCATCCCGTTCAAGGGACAACTTTGGCGACGGAGACAACATTGAGGATCTACCTTTATGCGCTATTAGGTTGTGAAGTCGCCAAACTCGCACCTCGAGTCTCGCTGAACGGGCGCAAAATATCTAGCATATAGTCGGCAAATGAGTAGCAACAATGATGCTTGCGGGTGTTGTACAAAGAATGACATGCGACACGGGCGTGATGTGTACGATTGTATCCCATGGGATTGTCGCTAGATGGTGAGGCGTGCGACTACCATGCTATCTACTAAACCATGCGTTCTCAAGGTGGCGATGAAATAGAAGGCGCGGCGCATGTGTCATGGATCTGTTGGGCTTGGGACAGCTCGCATCCAAATCAATAACCAGTAGAGCACTATTTAGTGAGTTAAGGTCGACACTGGGATAAAGCAGACAAGGCTCACATGCGGCAAGATGTCCGCGGCTCGCAATATCATGTGACTTGCTGTCTGTCATCGCCGCTGCCATTTCCCGCATCCGATCATCTGGCAGAACGATTCGACATCTTGTTAAGGCCGGCATACCTAATTCGCAGGTAAGCTTTGCATACATTTTACACCCCCAAATTGTCTTCATCCTGCGTGATCCTCTGACAAGAATAGTCATGTCTGCCAAACACCCAATCCACATTCATCCGGCGCGGCCGTTTTACAGATTTACTGCAACCGCATTAGGTGCCAGCATGTGGTTCTTTGTAAGACTTTCTGCTACTCAGTCACCAATTGATTCACAATGACTAACAAATGCTTATTTTAAATGGTCAGCTGATGTACCGGGCAAAGAAAGACGGTCCGGCGTTGCTTGGATGGAAACACCCATGGGACCACTGAGTCCCCAGCTTCTTATACAACCTCAACCAGAAACTCGCGATGGTTGACAACTTATGTGGTGCTCTCCAGCAAACCTTTACACTGGACTTTGAGGGTAGCAAACGCAAGCTATCCGGAACTACAATTTGTTGAAAGGGGGCTGCGCGCTCTCGCTTCAACATCATATTTCTTGCAATGGGATAATTCATGACATGTACCACTTAGACCTATTCAACGCGGCCTTCGTGTCGGGGAATATTAGCCCTTGTTCACTACGGCAATTTTCATTTCCCCAGCAATTACTTCATTGAGACCTTGAAAACCCATTTTCTATGTAGTTACTAGAATCACAAATTCGTGGAACGTTTTCTCACGTGATATATATACCACAGCTCTATTGTGAAGATGGAAACTAGATCCTCATCTGCTCCTGGATCACCTTATACTGTCGTCTACGTTTTTGGACTTTGGGTCGAAGTCCAAGACATCCCCGTCCCATAGCACGAGCCAGAGAGGGGAAAACATGTTTCTCCCCTATCCAGGAGATTGTCAAACTGCCCAGTGCCAACAAGCAAAGGAATATTTTAAATTCCCCGGACATCGTCGTCAGCTGCATTATGCGCGTAAAGACCTTTGAAGATCCCGCCAGCATGAATGTCGAAATAGCCAAATCCAGACCAACTGTAACGAGGAACGGGGCTAGATGGAGGTTAGCATTTTTTTCTCAAACATGGGTTGAAATATTGACCGTTTTTAAGTATCGACTGCCGGAATGGTGGCCCGACACTCAATACAATGCTGGCGAATATGTATTGATAACACGAAATAAGAAACAATGACGTATTCTCGGAATTCTCAATGTTAGTATCATCCAAGTCAACCTTTGGAGGTTTGAACCTATCACACAGAGTTAAAATGTATTGACTTTCGTTCTATGATTAGTTTACTCACCAAGGCCTTGTCTGGACAATCTCAAACACTATGAACTGTGTCAATGCAGCTATTGCCATTTGTCCGATCAGAGGAACTAGGACTTTTCGAGAGACAAGATCCGCGGTTGGTCGCTTATATGTCAGAACTGGAAAAGGGCCATTCCAGCCCACTGAAAGATGTCAGTGAGATTAAAAAGACAATTAGTGTAGCTTTCTCGTATCTTACTAAAAATGGCTATAGGCAGTATCACAGCCAAGTCAATAAAAAGGAACTAAGCCATTATTAGCCATATTCATTTAATACTCTAGGAAGGGAGAGTTACCTGGAAATCTCCCAAATTCGAAGCTGATGTGTACAGAAAGCTCACACTGGTGAACTGAATGGCGGAATAAAGACTCATATATTTGAAGCAACAGAAACTTGTCACAAGCGCAGCTCGTCCCTCCCTGTACTGAATTAGAAGGCGCATTTAGAATATCTGTGAAAATGACTTACTTTATAAGCTTTGGAACACATGATATATCAAAAACTCGGCTTGTAAAAGGTGCAGCAACTGACGCTTCTGCGTCAGACAAAGATATCCCAACGTCTGCAGCTTTAAGAGCGCCGCAATCGTTCGCTCCGTCTCCACAAAACCCGCAGCAGTAATCTAAAGTCTGAAGTTTTTCAACAAGCTCATGCTTTTCATCCGGGGACATCCGAGCGAAGACTTGACCTTTTATTAGAACCTATGTATCGTTAGGGACTTTTAGTATAATGGGTATATTGATTGGTTATATACTCTTTTAAGCGTTTCTTCGTTTCCATAACTGATAAGCCATCGGAAAACATCTCCGCTGACTGCCAAAGAATATGTGCGCATGTTAAAATTAGCGAAAGGCCCGGAGATGTCGTTGTCTGTAGAATTGAACATTGGCTAATTTCTGTTAGGCTATGTCTTGAAGTAATTGTTTAGGGTAGTGTACTTACCATAAGTGATAGCTCGTCAAGCTTGACAGCTGGGTTATCAACGTTTTCCCAAAGTAAAGTAGCGTTAGGATCAAGATGGTGGGTATCTGCAATTATTAGACTTGTCTTGTGCTATCATTGGCAACTTACTTTCAGAAAAGCGAGGAACAAAACAAGAAGCGTCCTGGTCTATTAAACCGCAATCACGAGCGACACTTATGGCAGTGAGAATGTTATCGCCTGTACACATAACATTGCGTATTCCAGCCCTTCTTAATTCGCTTATGACGGGTGCCGTTGTATTCTTTAGTTTATTCTCAAATATTATGAAGCCAAGAAAGGTCAGATTGGATTCGGCTTGTTCTCTTGACATTTTCTGGATTTTCATCCAGCTTAGTTTGCTTTCGTATTTTGCAGCACAGGCAATGACTCGATAGCCCCTGTGGGTATAAAAATTCAACAATTCATCGAAATCTTGTGGCACTGCGACCCATCAAGCGTCAATAGGGGTATTTATGAGATGTGTAGTGAACTCACAGGTGTCGATGCGGCAGATATCCTTCATACATTCCGGGGCGCCTTTTACGAATATACTGGCACCGTTGTCACCGAACTGTCGGACCACAACACTGGTACGGCGAAGTTGAGAAACAAATTCGAATGACCTCAATATGCCTAACTCGAGGCGTCCCTGCTCAAGGTCTCGGGAGTTAGGACTAAGTAAGATAAAAGGGAACCTTCAACGCCACTACTGACTTCTTGCTCATTCTGGAAACCATAGCTCACATTAGGGGGTCTCGCAACTGAGGGTATGATTGTATCCCCTTTAATGCTTGTTTGATTATCAACCTGTGCATTGCCACCTTCTTCAAACGTCCAACCAGTAAATTCGAACATTTTAATGTCAAGAGGATCACCGAGAAGCTCTCCGTCAACAACCCGGAGAGAGTGACAAGTCGCCATGGTATGGATAACTTCTCTGCATCTACCATAGTAAACCGAAGTATTTCGTCGCGAATTAACACTGGAGAATATGTCTCCCGGGTTAGAAAACATATCACTGAACCTATAGCACGATCAGCTAATTTCTTACATCATATGCCAGTGACAAAAATGTAACAATTCTAATAAATACCTCACGTTCCTATCAACTGTTTGGATACCGAGCACATCTAACCCATCTTCGGTTAATGTTCCGGTCTTGTCGAAACAGACAACATCTAATTTACCCCCAACATTAACTCTAAATAGGTTAGATTTTATCTCGTACTGGCATTGATCCTGGCGTACCTCTGTGGACTTATGCAGAATATCTGCTCTTTTTTCAGCCGACTTAATGCAAAATTCGTTCCTATAGTGAGAGTCGCTGGCAATGCCGGTGGAACGACTATAGTTATAAGATCAAGAGCCCTAACTATGACAGTGCGCCAAGAAAGCTAAAACAGTTTGTTATTATGACTGAGTTCTTTCTTGTATCCAAAAAGTGGGAGACGAGTCCGTCTTCACTTACCCCAAGTCTGATGAAGTTCGCAAATGAAGCCATGAAACCGAACAATGCAATAACTCCCATTACTGAAATATAGCGGAAAGAGTCTCGGTAGAACTTGAAGCCAGAAGGTTTCGGGAAAAGCATTGAGCGAACTAAGGAGCCTTTGGTGGTAGAAAAACCGGTACGTAGAGCAATCCCAAGAGCAACAGCTTCACCATCAGTATCACGCGGCTTTCTCGCGCGTATCATTTTCGTGCCATAGAAAAGGAAATTTTTGGCTATAGCTGGATGAATGGAGGGTGCTTTTAAGTCGAGGCTGTCAAGAACATCATCTGTAACAGGTGATTTGGAAACTGGAACAGACTCGCCTAAAGTCGAGGTCAGTGAAACTTCCTTTGCCCACAGTCGTCTTATGCGTACCGGTCAACATGCTTTCATTGATTATGCAATCACCTGATAGTAACAAACAATCGCAGGGTACTTGAGTCAGCGATGGATCCGAGACTTCGAAAACATCACCAGGGACCATATTGGTAGACGGGACAGTTCGCCCTTAAGACGTGTAAGCTAGCAAACATGACGATGAAGGACACACATATAGGATAGTATCACGTACAAAAACCGTTTCGGAGCACTCTCACATTGCATTCGAAATGAGATACTTCTCTCAGCCGGGACATTGTCTGTGAATAATGTCAACCCCGGACTGATGAAAGAGTGAAATAACTATCCAGGAACTCACTGATCGTGTCTCTATGATGGTAGCGCTGATACTAAAGAGAGAAATGAAAAAGATGCATGCAGCATAATAATAATAGTCGTCTAGAGACCACAAAACTAAACTTGCAACCTGAAAAATATAGAAAGGATGAAGCACCTAACACGTGGAAGATCAGAAATTGATATTTGATAAGAGGAGAGAGGCAAACCTCGTCGACGAGAAGTTGAGGCATGGACTTTTGATGCACATCAATGAGGTTTCGGCCAAAAACATATTCTCTCCTGTCTCTTTCGTCGGCATCCAATCCCAGCCGCATGAGTTTGATATTTGTCCAGCACGGGTCCTTCCAGCCGCTGACCGCCTCGAACTTATCTTTGAGCGGGTGATAAACAAATCTCAAGTACCGATAGTCCACAAATCTCAGGTAAGTCAAAACTGGGTCGTTGTCCTCATCATTTTCTGGATTTAAAGTGCCCGATGAGGTAATGTTAAAGACAGTAGATAGAGGGGACCCGTAGTTTTGGTTTGATATCTGGAGGATCACAAACTGCCCATACTGGTCCTATGTCCATTTAGTTATGGTGTAACGTATGTACCCAGTAGGGAAAGTAAAACCAACTTCAATTGCAGCCCAATGGCAGTCACTAAGCGGCGCTGGGGTTCCTATCAACCGTAGACGCCACTTGGGGACCCAACGTAGAACAAGATAAGCCAGGCCCAAAGACAATGTGCATAAGGCCATGTAAACTGCAAATCCACTAGGGCTAGTACTAAACCCTGTGATAACAGCTGTCAAGTCCTCGGTCACGATGTATATCTTCTGACTAACGCGGCCCCCACCCTTCTTCCAATCTGTCAATGAATGTGAAGATTCATACCGAGATAGTAGAGGATCTTCGATAGATGGTTGGGAGTATGACCGACTCCCCGCGCGTCCAGGGAATTGCACCAAATCCTGTTCATCATATTCGTCATTCACTTCCCTGTCAACTGATACTCCGTCATATTCCACAGCTTCTTCGCTTTCCCATCCGAGATGGTCATCTTCAAGATAAGTAAAGGAAACGATTGAATCGTTTCGAGACCGGCGATGAGCAAACGATACGGTACTGGAAGGAACACTCTCCGACATAGGCCCAGAGAATACCTACGATTACAGTTAGCGTCCGATCACCTGGGAACCATGGTGAAAATACTTCATCGTGTGCCATCTCTACCTCCGAAGCAATACTGATACTATCGTTTTTTTATGTTATTTGGTTTGCCATTCGGACGCGCATTGCAAGCCAGCTAACCTGCTCCTCATTGAATCCCTTCTACCTCCATTCTGAGACGTCCTCACACCGACATGAGGCTCTTGACTCCGCATTATGTCGCAATTTCTAAAAACAGAGACCGCCCTTGAGATGCTGTGGCTGAGTCTTTAGCATGTGTCTTGCTAACATGATATAATGCGGGTGCGCGACACAAAGCAAAGGAGTTGCACGCAGGAAATTCTGTGAGACGATGTCGTGTGTTGATTTATTCCATGGTCAAGTGAACGGTGGGCGTGGTCAAGCAAGAGCAAGCAAAAGAGGGCAAGGCATCATTCTTATCGTGTATTGTAATAATACGGTATCGTATGCAGCAATTGTTGGGAGCACGGGTAATGCCAAGCCGGTGGCCAAAAGTGCGCTAGGTTCCCACCAAGCCTCGACCTCCAAAACTCTTAAGTCATGAAACTTTCTTCTCCCGCGCACTCGTCTCCTCTCCTTTCTCTTTTCGACGAGTTATCTATCTTGCAGTCTTTTCATATTGCCCATCATGTCGGAGCCCATCAGAAACAAGAAGGCCGATTTCCCGGTCGCACCGTACGTACAATATTGCTTCACCCCACGCCCCTCATCGAGGAGCATCACCTGCTTTCCTCCATGTCAGACTGTGCAGGGATGGCCAAGGGCTGACTTGACATCGTGAAACAGGACACCGCAAAACACACCGGCCACCAACGCTCCCATCTCCTCCCATGCTCAACAACCGGGTGTTGCTAGTATTTCCGAAGGTAAGACTTTGTGGAAGACGTCTAGACCCTGTTCTGACTGTCTTCGCCAGAAAACTTCGATATGGCTGCAGCTGCCAGTGCGTTTGCCAAAAACCCGGCCCTCGTTTCTCTGATTCAGGGTAGGCTGGGATCGCTTGTTGGACGTTCGTCTGGCTACATTGAGTCACTGCCGCTTCCAGTACGCCGCCGCGTTGCCGGGCTCAAGGGTATCCAGAAGGAGCATGCCAAGCTTGAAGCCGAGTTTCAAGAGGAAGTATTACAATTAGAAAAGAAATACTTCCAAAAGTTTACACCTTTATATCAGAGACGCTCAAATATCGTTAATGGAGCCGTTGAGCCTACTGAGGCCGAGATCGAGGCTGGGAAGAGCGATGAGGAAGAGAAGGATGAGGACAAGGAGGAAATTCAGCCAGAAGCCGAGCCTTCTGCTGAAGAGTCAAAGATGACTGGCGTGCCAGAGTTCTGGCTGTCTGCCATGAAAAACCAAATCTCTCTGGCCGATATGATAACAGATCGCGATGAAGAAGCCCTCAAGCACTTGATTGATATTCGCATGGAATACCTTGACCGTCCCGGATTCCGCTTGATCTTCGAATTCAGCGAGAATGAGTTTTTTACAAACAAAACTATTTCCAAGGCATACTTTTACCAAGAGGAAAGCGGCTACGGTGGTGACTTCATCTATGATCACGCCGAGGGCGACAAAATCGAATGGAAAGCTGATAAGGATCTGACTGTCCGCGTGGAAAGTAAGAAGCAGAGGAACAGGAGTAAGCATGACCAGAAACTCCTTACCCTTTATTTACTAATTGCTTGAAATTAGGCACAAAGCAAACTCGCATAGTCAAAGTCACTGTGCCTACAGAATCATTTTTCAACTTCTTCTCCCCACCAAAGCCCCCTGGGGAGGATGATGATACAGTTGCGAGCGATATTGAAGAGCGATTGGAGCTTGATTACCAGCTTGGTGAAGATATTAAGGAAAAGCTGATTCCTCGTGCTATTGATTGGTTCACTGGCGAAGCCCTCCAGTTCGAAGAACTTGGCGAGGATATCGACCCGGAGGATTTCGAGGAAGACGAAGATGACGAGGACGAGGACGATGGGGATGATAGGAGATCCGAAGATGGCGATGAGGAGTCTGATGAAGATGTATGCTTCACCCCCCAATCTTCATACCAATTTCATATCAATACTGACCATAACCAGGATGGTTCCTCAAAGCCTAAAAAGGAAGCTGCAGAATGCAAAACCAGCTGAAATTCCACACATGAATTGAATACCATGACTGGGGGCTGAAAAGCAGTCTGTTAGGCTTTCAGCTTTTTATTGACCCTTCTTGTTTTCGCTTTTTACGCTCAAAGCATAATACAATTAATTTGTGTTCGTCTCCGGTTCAGAAACCATTATCAATAGATAGCATCAGAGCACTGCCTCGGCAAGACTTTTCCTAGGCCGGAAACAGCTGCAGTTCTAATGCATCACTGCATGTGGCGAGAGTCGGTGGATTAGAGTGAACACCTCAACATTCTCCATGTTGTTTCTAATACGAGTCCTGTGTTACAACTTTTCAGAGTTGAGCCAAAACTAAACTTATTCATAAATTAATATATCCAGAACCCATTCATTCACCTTACTCGCGTTATTCGCGTTAATTCACGTTTGGACGCCGACAGCAAATCCGCAAGAAAATTACCAAGAAGATCAATTGATTGCGTGTTGTGACGGGTGACTGTATACACCGAACGAGTCAACGTAGCTATATAATTTGTTTTCTGTTCAACATGCAAGTATCCAACTCTGACAATGCTTGGTACGGGATTGTGACGACGAGAGTGTAATACACTAATTAATATTAATATTCATGAAATTCATATTTAATGCTGCACTTGCGTAGCTCATTGGGTGCTCATTGGACCCCGGCGGCTTTGGCCACCCCGGCCGCCTTTAAGCTGCCTCAGGGGCTCCGGCTCGCTAGTGGCCAGCTTTGCCCAGATACATTTCGCCTGTCCCAGAACAATCTCAGAGCCGACCTTGTTTTCTCGCTATATCCCTGTATGTCGTTGACAAAGCGACCGTGGGCTTTTCCAGGCTTGTTTGCCATATATTTCTAGTTATTTGTTGTTATTCCTAGAGAAACCTGTCATCTTCGTTTTCCCTTCTAGATGCCGGCTCAGGTCCTAAACTGGTGATACTTGGCCTTTTTCCTTTTCGGATTGTTTCGCTTCACTGGACCCTTCAACGACGCAAGAAGTTCGGCGAACCATTATGGCTCATAGTTACGATATAGGGACTGCTGCGTGGCAGCCAGACCCGACAGAAGGCTGGGTTGCCTCGGAGGTTAAAGAAAAGACAGTTGATGGCGAGAAAGTGACACTCGTGTTCCTTCTCGAAAATGGAGAGGTATTTCGCCCTTCAGCATCAAATCGATGGCATGGAATTTCGCTAACTAGAAATGCTTGTCAGTCAAAAACGGTTGAAACAACTCTTGCGGAGTTTCAGGTTCCCAACAACCCGTCATTACCGCCCTTGATGAATCCAGCGATGCTCGAGGCTAGCGAAGATCTTACGAATTTATCACATCTGAATGAACCTGCTGGTAGGACGCTGAATACCCATCGATCCAACTCTGTACTCATTTCTCCGCAGTCTTACAAGCTATTAAGTTGCGATATGCTCAAAAAGAGATCTATACATACAGTGGCATCGTTCTTATCGCAACAAACCCATTTGCTCGGGTCGATTCCCTTTATGTCCCACAGATGGTGCAGGTATATGCTGGAAAGCAACGTGCTTCCCAAGCACCCCATCTTTTTGCTATCGCAGAGGAGGCTTTTGCGTAAGAATCTTGCTTCTGCTTAATTTATGGCAACCCAATAACGTTTACTGTGCTAGGGACATGCTACGAGACGGCAAGAATCAGACAATTGTGGTATCTGGTGAATCTGGAGCTGGAAAGACTGTTAGCGCAAAATACATTATGCGATACTTTGCCACGCGAGACTTTTCAGACCAGCCTGGGCGCTTTACAACAGGGAGGTCTGAGACCATTAGCAAGACGGAGGAGCAAATTTTGGCTACAAATCCGGTCATGGAAGCTTTTGGAAACGCCAAAACGACCCGAAATGACAATTCTTCACGTTTTGGAAAGTACATCGAGATTATGTTCGATTCCAAAACGAATATTATAGGAGCGAAGATTCGAACGTACTTGCTAGAGCGATCAAGGCTCGTTTTTCAGCCGCTCAAGGAGCGAAATTATCACATTTTCTACCAGCTTGTCGGCGGTGCGACAGATGCTGAGCGTGAAGAACTTGGCCTGCTGCCGGTAGAAGATTTCGATTATCTCAATCAGGGAGCCACGCCTATAATTGATGGGGTAGACGACAAGGCAGAATTTGATGCTACTCGGCAATCACTTTCCACAATTGGAGTTTCTGACGCTACTCAGTCCTCCATTTTCCGCGTTCTGGCGGCTTTGCTTCAATTAGGAAATGTGAAGATATCTGCAACACGTAGTGACTCTTCACTTTCACCGACCGAACCGTCTCTTGTGAGAGCTTGCGAAATGCTGGGTATTGATGTGAATGAGTTTGCGAAGTGGATTGTTAAAAAACAACTTATTACCCGTGGAGAGAAAATTGCATCAAATCTCACTCAACAACAAGCTATAGTGGTTCGAGACTCAGTAGCTAAATTCATCTACTCGAGTCTGTTTGATTGGCTGGTGGATAAGATCAATCGCGCTCTCGCTACTGATGAAGTTATGAGTCAGGTGAAATCCTTTATAGGTGTTTTGGATATCTACGGTTTTGAACATTTTGCCAAAAATTCTTTTGAGCAATTTTGCATCAACTATGCGAACGAGAAATTACAACAAGAATTCAATCAGCACGTGTTCAAGCTCGAGCAGGAAGAATATGTGCGTGAGCAAATCGATTGGACGTTCATCGACTTTTCCGACAACCAACCCTGTATAGACCTCATCGAAGGCAAACTTGGTATTTTGTCTTTGCTTGACGAGGAATCTCGGTTGCCGATGGGCTCTGACGACCAGTTTGTGACCAAATTGCACCACAATTTTGCAGCAGACAAACAAAAATTCTACAAGAAACCTCGCTTCGGGAAATCTGCTTTCACAGTATGCCACTATGCTGTAGACGTGACGTACGAATCGGATGGCTTCATCGAGAAAAACCGAGACACTGTACCTGATGAACACATGGAAGTTCTCAAGAATTCTACAAATCCCTTTATCAAAGAAATACTCGATGCTGCTTCTGCCGTCCGTGAGAAAGATTCGGCAGCGATCTCCTCCAAACCCGTGGCAGCTCCAGGTCGACGAATTGGTGTGGCAGTCAATCGGAAGCCGACACTGGGAGGCATATTCAAATCATCTCTCATCGAGCTCATGCACACAATAAATTCCACAGAGGTACACTACATTCGATGCATCAAGCCAAATGAGGCGAAAGAAGCGTGGAAATTCGAAGGCCCAATGGTCCTCAGTCAACTCCGGGCTTGTGGTGTGCTTGAGACTGTTAGAATTAGTACAGCTGGTTATCCCACGAGGTGGACATATGAGGAGTTTGCTCTTCGGTATTATATGCTTTGTCACTCTTCCCAGTGGACATCCGAAATCAAAGAAATGTGTCATGCCATTCTACGCAAGGCACTTGGGGACATTAGCCATCAGAAGCAAGATAAGTATCAACTTGGTTTGACTAAAATTTTCTTCAGAGCCGGCATGCTTGCGTTTTTGGAGAATCTGAGAACCTCAAGATTGAATGAGTGTGCAATTATGATCCAAAAGAATCTCAAATGCAAGTACTATCGGCGTAGGTATCTAGAAGCTCGGGAGTCGATCTTGACGACGCAAGCACTTATCCGTGCCTTTTTAGCAAGGCAGCGCGCAGAAGAGATGCGTCAGATCAAGGCTGCAACCACCATTCAAAGAGTCTGGAAAGGTCAGAGACAGCGGAAGGCGTATAATGAGATTCGCAACAACTTGGTGCTTTTTGAATCCGTTGCTAAGGGTTTCCTCTGCCGACGATCCATTTTGGAAAAGAGAGATGGCGATGCAGCAAAGACCATACAACGTGCATTCCGCTCTTGGAGGCAATTGCGTGATTGGCGACAGTACCGCCGGAAGGTTATAATTATCCAGAATCTTTGGAGAGGAAAGCAGGCTAGACGCCAGTACAAGACACTCCGAGAGGAGGCTCGTGACCTGAAACAAATATCATACAAGCTGGAAAACAAGGTGGTTGAGCTCACCCAGTCTCTAGGCTCGCTGAAGCGGGAGAACAAGTCTCTCCTCGGCCAGCTAGAGAACTACGAAAATCAATTGAAATCGTGGCGTAGCCGTCACAATGCCTTAGAAACTCGCTCTAAGGAACTTCAAGCTGAGGCCAATCAAGCTGGTATTACGGCTGCACGTCTAACAGCTATGGAAGAAGAAATGGCCAAGCTTCAGCAAAACCACAATGAAGCGCTTACCACGATCAAACGTCTTCAAGAAGAAGAAAGGATATCGCGGGAGTCCATTCGTACTGCCGATCTAGAGCTTGAAAAGCTCAAAAAGCTTAACTCCAACCAAGAAGATGAAAGGTCTACCCTCCGACATCAATTGACGGAGCTACAGGAACAGCTTGAAGTTGCAAGGAGATCAGGGGTTGTGAATGGCACTAGTGGGGAATTGCAAAATGGCAATGTTGCTCAGGCTCCTGCAAACGGTCTCATCAACTTAGTGTCCTCTAAGAAGCCTAAACCGAAACGCCGTAGCGCTGGAGCGGAGAAAATTGATTCAGACCGGTTTAGCGGTGCATACAATCCCCGCCCAGTATCTATGGCAATTGCCAATTCCTCCAGCATACGCCAAAATGTATCAGGACCATCATACTCACCTGGATCGGACACCATTGAAACAGAGCTCGAAAATCTCCTATCTGAGGAGGAGGATTTGAATGAAGAAGTTACAATGGGTCTTATCCGCAACCTCAAAATCCCCTTACCGGGAGCGAACCCTCCACCGACCGAGAAAGAAGTCCTATTTCCTTCCTACCTCATTAACCTGGTCACATCCGAGATGTGGAATAATGGATTTGTCAAAGAATCAGAGCGTTTCCTTGCAAATGTCATGCAATCTATCCAACAGGAAGTTATGCAGCATGATGGTGATGAAGCTATTAATCCTGGAGCATTCTGGCTTTCTAACGTTCACGAGATGCTCTCATTTGTTTTCTTGGCTGAGGATTGGTACGAGGCTCAGAAGACTGACAATTACGAGTATGATCGGTTGTTGGAAATTGTGAAACACGATCTTGAGAGTCTTGAATTTAACATTTATCATACATGGATAAAGGTGTTGAAAAAGAAGCTTTATAAGATGATTGTCCCAGCCATTATTGAGTCTCAATCTCTTCCTGGATTTGTCACAAGTGAAACAAACCGCTTCTTAGGAAAGCTTCTACCATCGAACAATACACCGGCCTACAGTATGGACAACCTTCTCAGTCTCCTCAACAATGTTTTCAAGGCGATGAAGGCATATTACCTTGAGGATAGTATCATCAATCAAACTATTACAGAACTTTTACGCCTCGTGGGTGTGACGGCCTTCAATGACTTATTGATGCGAAGGAATTTCCTTTCGTGGAAACGTGGTCTGCAAATAAATTACAACATTACACGGATCGAGGAGTGGTGCAAGAGTCACGATATGCCTGAGGGGACTTTGAAGCTCGAACATCTTATGGTTTGTTTACCATGACCGGATTCCCTTGAATTAGATGCTAACCCACAATAGCAAGCAACAAAACTTCTTCAATTGAAGAAAGCTACTTTGAATGATATTGAGATCATTCAGGATATTTGCTGGATGTAGGTTCTCTATTGCTTCATATGCTCTGTCGTCGAGAGACGTGTTAATAATGTTTTCAGGCTCTCTCCAAACCAGATCCAGAAGCTGCTGAATCAATACCTTGTTGCAGACTATGAACAACCGATTAACGGTGAAATCATGAAGGCTGTTGCGTCTCGCGTCACGGAGAAGAGTGACGTTCTTCTCTTAACGGCCGTGGATATGGAGGACAGTGGGCCTTATGAAATTGCCGTGCCCCGGGTTATTACGGCTTTGGAGACATATACCCCATCTTGTGCGTATATCGATGTTCATTGGTTTCAAATTTTGCTAATTCCAGATCAGGGCTTCAAACGCCACGGCTGAAACGTCTTGCCGAGATCGTCTCTGCCCAAGCAATGGCGCAGCAAGAAAAGCTTGATCTAGTGGAAAACGGGGTCGAGGAAGAAGAGGAGGAGGACGAGGAGTGATTCCACATTACATCGTTCGATATCACTCCATGACAGTTTACGATTCTACGTCTCTGCATCGATATGGGTTTGAACATGTAGTATGTGAGTAACTTTTTAAACCTGGGATATATCTAGGTTTCTACTTTTTCTTGGAGAGTTGTACTGGATCGTCTCTCACGTGCGCACGTGGATGACACAATGCCTTGGTTCAATGAATGTAAATTATTAGCTAGAATTCTGTGCGCATCGTGCCATATTTTGCAAATTTACTATATTTTGTCTATCAGCTATCCTTTGAAGAAGGTCCATCGCCAACAATTACTTCTACTCTCGTTTTTCTCTCGTATATCTGTTTTCAGGCCATTTGACTTAATAACAGCCCAGCAATATTCCAAACATATATTCAAAGGCCTGGGTTGGATAATTATATGAACCAAGGTGGGAATTCAGCCACCGCCAATCGCAGTTGTCCATTGCTTCTCCATGCCAAGACTTTCTGTTTAGCGAGCCATATGCGTTTGAAAATCTGCCAGTTGCATATCACCTTCTACTTGGGAATATCTACTTAAACAGCCCGTTCTATTTTACTATTCTTTCAAGATGCAGTCTCTGAATTTCATCACCGGGAATCAAAATAAATTGACCGAGGTGCGGGCTATCCTGGGTAGTACAGTGACTGTGCACAGTAAAGCAATTGATATCCCGGAGATCCAAGGAACCATTGAAGCGATTGCTAAAGAGAAATGTCGTCGTGCCGCTGCAGAGGTAAGATTCGACCTTTTTGCGTAAGGGTGTGGGCTTCTTAATCAAACCATGCTCGTCAAGTGTACGACACATGGGCTTACTTTTGAATCGTCGTCTGGGCTCAGGTTGGAGGCCCTGTCTTGACGGAGGACACAGCGCTTGAATTTCGTGCTCTAAAGGGCCTTCCTGGTCCCTATATGTACGCAATGCATCATAATCTACAAGTGGTCTTTCCAGATAAAGCTAAAATTTCCAAGTAAATGGTTTCTCCAATCCATAGGCCTCGAGGGTTTGAACAAGATGCTTGACCCTTATGAGGATCGCTCTGCAGAAGCTGTATGTACTTTTGCCTTCTCCAGCGGCCCTGGCGAAGAGCCTATCATATTCCAAGGAAGAACTTTGGTGAGTGCCAATATATGTATATATGAACATAGCGAGTGCAGCGTTGTATACATCAAGTATGTTAACTTTTTCATCTAGGGCAAGATCGTAGCTGCACGTGGCCCAGACAGATTCGGTACGTTCATTATTGTCTTGGTGATCTGATAATAATGGACTCATTTCGTTTCTAGGGTGGGATCCTGTTTTTGAATACCAGGGCCGAACATATGCAGAGATGGATAAAGAGGAAAAGGTCAGTCATTGAAGCCTCACAGACCCGTCTTCCAGGCTGATATATAGACGCTTGTTTTAGAACAAGATATCTCACCGCTTCAAGGCTCTGATGAAGCTGAAGGAGTGGTTAGCTGAAAAAAGTGCATGAAACGATCGAGCACGAATCGACAGCTGGTGATTCTATTGAACAGCATTTCCCCAGGAAGTTGTGGTTTCTGCGTGTGACTTCTTCCAAGACTCGACCCAGGCTGCGATCCTAGCGCAATTGCTTTCTATTTCGTCGCTGTTTTCGCTATTTAGTTCAATCACGATCTCTTCGTCGTAGGCTTCTTTGGCCTCTTCGAGTAGCAGTCCAAAGATTTCAGTATCCAAGTTCTCCTCAAGCTTTTTTTGAGGATATCCTCTGCATTGACATCTTCATTAGCCTGTTTCAACGACATAGAATGGGATAATGGTCAAGCAAGGGGGGGTTTGTGTGGAAAGCACGGGTATAACTCAATGAAAACGCTTTGTTTGTTGAATATGTTATTTCATACCTCGATGATAAACGGTCGTAGAAAATAGAGGTAGAAGGGCATCGCAGAACTACCACCAAGTCGATCCAGGATCTGGGAAATAAATCGCATGCGTGCCAGTCGATGATATATCCACCCTCGGTCACTTCATCCTCGATAGCATCTAGCAACTGAAATATAATATAGTCAGCAAAATGTCCATTGAACAAAATGTAACTTTGCAAGTATTAGAATTACCTTGTCTTCATCAATGATCCAGCTTTGTCGCTCCTCATCATAGCCATCATAACACTCTCGTTCCTTGGCAATCTGATTGATCGACAAATATTTCAATCCTGTCTCTTCCGCGACTTGCTCGCTGTGGACTGTTTTGCCAACGCCTGGCGTACCAGTTATAATAATGTTAGGCGAAGTTCGCATGGTTGGAAGAAATTTATTTCCCTGTAGGTGTTGCGCCGGGAGCTTGGGTAGGCAGCGATTCAATCACGTTTGCGATTTTAATTTCACTATTTGAGAAACGAATAGTTGTTCTGTCTTCAGTCAGAGGTAAGGTGTATTGCGTTCGTAGAAAAGTGAGGCTGGTGCTAAGGACGTGGAAATGCTATGGACAATATTCTTAATTTTAAGTGGGGAAACCTTTCGTTTTAACCACCACACCTAACTTACACAGCTAGGTTCTACAGTAAATAGTCTAAGAGATTGCCAATACCCGCAAGACTCATACACTGCGTTTGGTTTGCAACGTATCGTCACTAAAATTCAGTTCTAAACTATAAATTAGGTGCGACCGCGTTGTTTGGGGCTTAACTCCTACCCGTGATATTTCCGGTCTCATATGAGTGGGTGATAACGAATGATAAAACTATTTGTAGTATTACACTGAACAAACATAGCAAACAAAGCCAGAAAAACAAATAAATTGAGCATTTGGATCCGATGACGAAAAGGAGAAAACGTGAAAACGTGAAAGTTAAAACTGGCATACTCAACGCTATGCAAAAATGGCTATACATATAGACTCAAAGTTTCGAAATCCCTGTATTTTTTCAGGTAAGGAATACCTCGCCTGTAGGCCTTCAGTACCCGGGCAGGGTCAGAAGGTTTTACGTACTGGTGAACCAATCGTCGTACTGCTGGTGATGTTTTGAACATGGGATCAAAAACCAGAAGATTCGCACTACCCCATTTGCTTATTTCAAAGCCGATGATTGTCATGGAGTGTCCTCGGTGTTGGAAGTAGATGGGTGGTAATTCGGTCTGCAGGATCTTCTCTCCAGTGTCCAGAGAGCACCCGGATCGAAAGTAGTTTGCCACATCTTGTAGTAGAGTATCATGGGCTTGAACACTTGGGTTCTCACTGAAAGCACTAGCGCTGCACCTGAATTTTCGATTAGACGGTGTCCTTTGTTGAATATATATATAAGAGTCTCAACTTACCTTATTCCGAGACTCAAAAACAGAGCTTGTGCCTTGAGAAATCTTAGAGTGAGCACTCCAATCACCTAGTCTTCTCAAACTCACCTCGGGCGTTCCTATGTACTTCCTAGTCCCTTTGATACCTCCAGTTTCAAGCCTACCAGTACTATTGTATCCATTATCCCAGGCCTCTTCAATCATATCTTGGAGCTCAAGAATAGAGGGGAGGTTAGGGCCTGGAAAGCGCTCGCTTCCAGGTCGTTGCGCATCTCTGATATATGAAATGAGCATCTGTATATTTCTGTAACCACAAAAGCCTCCCTCCCTACGCAGTTTGAACACATGTCTGACACTTGGGGAGCAAAGGAAAGCTCTCTGGACATTGCTATCATGCTGACACAATTTTGAAAGTACGGGGATGACCTGTGAAGCTTCGTTTTCAATAGTCACCTCTTTCATGATGGTACCACTCGAGCTGATCTTGTTGAAACGGTTCATTTTAGCCCCAGTTTGAAGTAGTTTCCGCAGCCATGAGGGCATTTGTTTCTCATGTGCATACGGTCCTAGCTCTGAGCGCTTGTCCAAAGTTAGCAACAATGTCAACTAATATATATAAGTTAAAGAAGGTGATGTACCCCTAATCTTCTTGCCCCTTTACTGCTATGTTCTTTCGACTTTGGGCCATTTCTATGTTCATTAATCCTTGTCGAGGTAGCATCCCCGGAAAAGACCTTTCTGCTACCATGAGCGTCTGGAGAGCCCTGCTTCACACTAATAAATCGATCGTGGAAAGTGTCTTCTGAGTCATCTGCATGAGTTATCGTATTACAGTTCCCCTTTTCATCGAGGGCCAAGGTTTCTGCAAGGTGCAAGTCCAGGTGAACTGATAATTCGGTCCTATGGACGATTTCTCCGCAGCCATGGGGACAAGAAACATTGTTAGTGTAGCTGCTGGCTCCTAGCTCTGCCGCCTTGAGATGGTCGCCCGTCACATCCCGAGGCGCAGAGGTGTTTGGGTCCTCCGGGTGGCATAATGTGACATGTTGGGTAAGAAATTCTGAATCATGGTCCTTGAATTCGCAAAAGGGACACGACAACACCTGGTGTTCATTGGCAGACATTGGCAGACGCTGCAGCAGACATGTGCATGCTGAATCGATTGTTGTGGTAAGATGATTGTACCGAGTACGGTACTGCTCTAGTCTCCAAGCTAATAATAGCAGATTCGTGGAATTATTACCAAACTGTTACCATGTTACCATACGGCTTGTTTCGCCCGCGTCTTTCGTTTTTCATACTTTATTTAAGCTTATGCAGTGTCATGACTGCAAGAAATAGCGGTCAAATATGGACAGATATCATTCTATTGGAAATTCAAATACAGTTGGGTTCCATACCCGTATCCGTTGGCCTTGACACTTTTTACGTTATACTGTGAGAGCTAGTATTATACAATGTATTTAGGCCATTGCCCAGGCGCAGCATCGATTGATATTGATATCACAAGCTTAGTTGAAAATGTCTCATGAGATCGCTAAACACCGTGCCTTACCTCGGCAACAACTGCGTGAAGTGATTGATGATGCAGTGAGTATAGAACATAGAACACGAGCCCATAAATGGCGGGGTGCGAGAATTCTCGGGTGCCTTTCAGCTTTACGGCATCAACGACCAAGTTTCCGATCTTAACGAACCCACCAATGCAGTCCCCGGATTCTATATCAGCACTATTTATCCGACAATAATAATCCGATCATGGTACCTTCGAGACAGCGCATGGACGAATCGCGGCCAGGCATGGACTCCGCTGGTGCTGACCCCTCACCAAGGAGACAGGCTAGGGAGAGAACGGAGGCAGTATAGACGCCAATGCCAATTGAAGGATGTTGCTTGAGAATAGTCGGAGTCGACGCGGTGCAATTATTAATAATATATGCAGTTAGTAAGTTAGTAGTGAGGCATATTAATATCATATTAATACAGCGTTACTGTCAGGACGGGAGAAGGCCGGGAGAAAAAAAAAATAAGAATAAGCAAGGCGCGCCGCTGTCGCAGCCACTCAACAGCAAGGACGACCGGCCTCGGCCGCATTGGGCGGATGACTCAACCAGCACCAGAACTTTGAAAGGTCCCCCCAGACAGACAGGAACAGAAAAAAAACATATCATTTGCATCCTGGATACTGGTCCTTTCTGTTTTTTATTGCTCTGTTTTTTCCTTTTCCCCCCTCGCCTTCTCACCTGGCATAAATATGCCCGCCCCTGGCGCAATAACCCCGCCGTCATGCAATGGCGACATTGCTTGCGATCCCGCTTGGGTGGTGCAGAAATTTGGAGGAACCAGCGTGGGCAAGTTTGCAATCAATATTGTGGACCAGATTGTTTTGTACGGCTCCAACCCTCTCTCCCCAACTCCTAGGCATCTTGTGGATGTGGATTGTCTTTAATTTCGCCTAATGTCTTCGTCGTTTCTTTTCTGACTTACCTGCAGGCCTAGTTGCGCCGAGCAAAGAATCGCCGTTGTATGTTCTGCCCGGAGCAGTTCGTCAAAGGCTGAGGGAACTACGAATAGGTCAGTATATTCTACAACGAGGTATTGAAGAATTGCGCTTATTTCCTTCTCTGGCGCCAGATTACTACGTGCCGCGAGAGATGCTGAGAGCCCTAAATCGAAATCCTATGATATTCTTGTGGAAGCCGTACGCCAAGAACACATTGAAGTCGCAGAGCAGCAATTAAGAACGGTCGCATTGAAGGATCGTTTGATCAGCGAAATCAATGACGAGTGCGCCCATGTGCTCAAAATCCTCGAGGCAGCCCAGACCCTGGGCGAAACAAGTGCACGATGTGTCGACAAGGTTATAAGCGCCGGGGAGAAACTCAGCTGTCACTTTATGGCTGCCCTACTGCAGGATCGTGGCGTGGACTCCGAATACGTTGATCTATCCGACATCATTGATTTTCCCGTGAACAACAACGGTCTCGACCAAGAGTTTTATAACAATTTAGCCGATGCCTTGGGCTCGAAGGTCCAAGCCTGCGCCCCAAAGGTGCCCATAATTACAGGGTATTTTGGACCAGTCCCGGGTGGACTATTAGACAAGGTTGGTCGTGGATACACCGATCTCTGTGCCGCTCTCGTCGCCGTGGGGGTCAAAGCAAAAGAGCTTCAAGTTTGGAAAGAGGTCGATGGCATTTTCACGGCAGATCCCCGAAAAGTCCCTACGGCGCGTCTCTTGCCAGCTATCACACCTGCCGAGGCGGCCGAGTTGACATTTTATGGATCTGAGGTTATTCACCCCTTCACCATGGAACAAGTCATCCGAGCTCGAATACCGATTCGTATCAAAAATGTGATGAATCCAAAAGGAAGCGGCACCGTCATCTTCCCCGACTCTTTAGGAGATCTCGAGAGAATAGCAGCGGGAGAGGAGACGAAGCTCATTCGGACGAGAAGCTCAAGCGTTCTATCGGCACAGCTCCAGGGTCCTAAGCGACCGACTGCAGTGACCATCAAACACAAAATCCTAGTGATTAACGTGCATTCGAACAAGCGTTCGCTCTCGCACGGGTTTTTTGCCGGTATATTCTCCGTGTTAGATCGATGGCGGCTATCCATCGACTTGATCTCCACAAGTGAGGTGCACGTTTCCATGGCTCTTCATTCTGAAATGCCGCTGCTCAATGGAGTTGGGAGAGACGAATATCAGATTATTGACGAGGATCTTCGTGGTGCTATTCAAGACTTACGAAAATATGGGACAGTTGATATCATACCGGAAATGGCGATCCTGAGTCTGGTGGGCAAGCAGATGAAGAATATGGTCGGTGTTGCAGGACGCATGTTTTCGACGTTGGGTGAGAACAACGTCAACATTGAAATGATTTCCCAAGGTGAGTGCTATCGTCACAGGGTCTATTAAATGGACAGTTTCTGATTATTCCAGGTGCGAGTGAAATCAATATCTCGTGTGTGATTGAGGAAAGAGACGCAGATCGAGCTATCAACATTCTACATACAAGCCTCTTTACCTTCTTGGACTGATAGAAAGCCGTGGATATGGTCTTTCTCATTTTTAGCAGCTGAAATTATTTGCACATATATCTTTCTAAGCGCCGCGTTCGGCTGAACGATTAGATTTGTTTCCATGTCAAAAAGCACAGTTTGATAGAATTGCATGTTGCTGGGCTGTTGTTGTGTACAGGAATTGGCGTTTTCCCCCTCCCTTTCGGAGACACTGTATATACCTTGAAGTTTTGGTCTGTTGTTACTTGTCACATAAATGGCTGATGCATATACCGGAAGAGATTAAATTGTCCATTAGGACATTTGAGATGATTGACTAATTAATGGGTTTTCAAGTTGCCATTACAGTGGCGTGTATGATAAACCTTCCTGCTTAGCCTCATAAACTGCACATTCAATTCTAGACTAATAGTGAGAACAAAAGACTGCAATAACGATTACATTATTAAAAGTTCTAGTTTGCAATAGTCTACAGTATAGTGCCCATACCGCGTAACGACGAGGTGAGAGGCAAGAGTTGAGACATTGCGCAGGGACCGGCTGCGTGCTGAAGGCGAACAGTGAACGCAGGCCAACCAAGTGTAGAGGGCAGAGCGGCAATCCAGCAAGCCGACTAACTAGGTCATGGTATGCATAATCCATTGGCTAGGATGATTCAAGGATGGGATGGCATCTGGCGCGAGGCTTGAAGCAAGGACTAACATAGACCGTCAGTAGCTTGTCCCCTCTGTCCCCTCCACCGAAGGGCAGGGATATTCGCAGTGCACTAACACCTCCCACTGAAGCACTCGGTACTGAGTAACTAGTTAGTGAATGGCACTAAGCACAGCGGTTTCAACTTTCAAGCAAAGGCTGACGCAGATCGGAGCGGATTGGCAGCGGAATGTGACTAGTGGCTAGTCCTGCAGAAGCGCCCACCTTGTCCTCCACTGCCAGCTCACCCAACGCGTACGCGCTCGACAACAAACGCGTCGAACGCCAACTCTCTGCATCTTTGATTCGCATTGCGAGGCTCCGCTCCATTCTCTAGCGACGTATTCTTATCCTCACATAACGTCCTGGCTATGGCTATTATTTAGACTATTCTTCCCACAACTCCTACATACACCTGCTCCACCCAGACTAGGACTACGACTACGAGCGACTACGCCCTTGAACCTCCTCGCCCTGTCGGCTGGAATTCCAACCATCGGCCTGGATCTGCTCTCAATGCCGCTGACTCTCGACGCGCTGCTCACATTTCACCCTGCAGCCCGCACGATTATTGTCTGACTACCTACCCAACGACCCGACTGGCATCGCTCGGGCCAACGTCACTGAGCCTCGCCGCTTTCCTCCTGGATCTTGGCCCAGTCACTTCTCCCCATCGACAACTGCTTGCTTCCATCACCTCGCCTATCCTACCGAGTACTGATTCGTTTTTCTGCTACGGCGTCGACTCATTACATTATCCAGTTGATGATCTCGCCCTTCGTCTGCCCAAGAGGAGTGTGTCTCGACGCTGACCTGTCGAGCCATCGTTCAGATGGCTTCGAAACACCACCGATCCTCTTCGGATAGATATCCATCTCATCACGGAGAGGTCAAGGAAAAGCCGCCTGCATCGCTAGAGCCGTCACCCCTTCCGCTGCATCCGACCGAAAACCCTGGCTCCGCTACAGGATGTGTCTTGAATCCTCCACCCAGTGGCCTCCATAGAGCATCACCTACCAAAGGATCCCATCGCCCTAGATCTTCCGGTATAGCCCAAGGAAAGCTCAATGCTGTGTCGATCATGGCACCTTCACCACCCATGTTTCCGACTGATTCTCCCATCAAACGAACTACATATGGGAACCCTCACCGACGCAGTCCTTCAATGCCGCTGCAAGCAGCTTTCACCACCTTCCCCAGTATTCCCACAACATTCGAACCGCGCTTCAACACCATGGTGAACAACGATGGATTCGCTGACTTTCCCGACCCGACATGCCATGTCACGTCTTTGAAAAGATCTTTCATAGAGACACCTCCTTTAAAGGACCGTTCTGCAAAGAAACAGAAACGGGAAGACTCGGTCACTTTCTCGCTCCCGGAACCTGATGAGATGCCGCCTATAGAAGACGATGGCTCGAAGCCCCCGTACAGTTATGCAACATTGATTGGCATGGCTATATTACGCGCATCTGGACGGAGGTTGACCCTGGCCCAGATTTACAAATGGATTTCGGACACCTTTTCGTTTTATCGTTCTGGGGACTCGGGATGGCAGAACAGTATTCGCCATAATCTCAGTCTGAACAAGGCTTTCAAAAAACAAGAACGTCCTAAGGATGATCCTGGGAAAGGAAATTACTGGGCGATCGAACCGGGGATGGAGGCTCAATTCCTGAAAGACAAGCCTGTTCGCCGAGCAACCCTGGCTAGCATTCCCTTGCCTCCGACAATTCTTCAAAGAGATGCTCCTCAATTCGCTCCTAATGCCGGTACAGCAATGTGGAGGGTCCCTCCTCACCCATCTTCATCTATGCAAGTAGCAGAAGTGTCCAAGGCTGATGATCTGTCATCTGATGCTACGATACCAGCCTCTGACCCGGCTCTCCAAGATGACCTTAATGATGAAGAGACGCGTGCTCCAATGGCCCACACTGCTGCCCCTCGTTCTTCCCCCCCGCAAGTGATACACTCATCTCCCCCCGTTGCCCCGTCTCGTTTCTTACGACAAGGCACACCACCATCCCCCTCTCATGCTACTTTGTCCACTGCCGTTCCACGCTCGCGCAAACAACCATCTGCTCCCACAGTCAATGACAGTGGATATTATTCATCTATTGAATCATCAGCGATGAGGTCCAACAAGGCGGGTCATATATTGACCTCTGATCTCGATATAGAACCGCCACGCATCAAGCGCGGCCGTGCGGAGGAGGAAATCGCTCGAATTCGAAGCTCGTCCCATGATATTAGCCCTAGTCATTCGAAGATCATCAAGAAGGATCCAGGATCAATGATTGGGTCTTCCCCTTTCCGAGGCAGCAATTGTCTCAGTTTTCTACCTCCGCCCTTAACACCAGCTATCAACTTCAAAAAACCTCTCAGACCACCGCCGTCTCTATCGCCTAATACCAACCTTCGAAACCACCGACGAAAGATTCAGCAGATGGTGAACTCTCCGATCAAACATCTTGGTTTGACAGAAGACGATGTTCCATGGAGCCCATCGTTCACTATACATGACGACACGGCTACTCCAAATGAAAATCTACAATTACACTTTGACATATTCGCTGATGCTACCACGGACCTTACTGCTACACCACCCTACAAATCTCCTGATAAACGCTTCCTCAGATCTTCTTTAGACGATACAAACACTGTAGCCGCCTCTCCACTTGCAGATATTACATCTACAAGCGCTAATAAACGCAGTCGGGCACTTGGCGGTCATGGAAAAGGCTTTGATTTTCAAGGCTCCCCGTCCAAAGCCCCTTCCTCGACAAGATTTCTAGATGCAACGGACGAGGACTTCTTCGAGTTCGGGCTGTTCGAAGGCAGCGATGATGTTAATGGAATCGACCTTCTTCAAGGATTCAAAAAGATCGGCGGCAATACCAAAGACCCCCTTGGAACTAAAGAAGCTGGTCTGAGGCCGCCTCTCAATCATCGCAACCACACATCATTCTTCTAACGTTGGAAAATATTTCTTCGATTCATGAATTATCTGAATTTTTATATCAACTGTAAAGTCATTCGCAGTTGATGGTGATGATGAAATTGAATGAGCTTTTGCCTTATTTTATTCTATGTGAGGGTATCTTATATCAGCAGTCTTGTCTTATTCTTGTATTTTGGTGTGATTTTTGGCTTGGGCATTTAGTTTGGTGTGCTAGGAATTATTTGGGTCAAAATGGGTTTTATGTTTGGGCTAACGATGGGTATTCATATGGGAATGTCATGACGTGATGAAAGAATATGCATGACTTAGCGATGTTTGATGGATTTGTGGCTTCTTGTTTTTCTGGATGCTCTAGATGTTTTGGAGTATTGAAAATGCACTGTAAATCAAAATTTTAGAATGCGGAACATGATGTCCTGGCACACTTTAGACATGGTTACTGGAACTTTAATTGGTTTGTTGACTTGATAGGGTATCATTTTATTAACTAACTGAAATATGCGAATCATAAGTCATGCAATAGGAACTCGCGCCAAACGCCATGAAACCGTGACAGTAAAGGCAACAGATTAACTGTACTCTGAAGCGGGCAATCTTGTTCAGAAAACACCGTCAAACCGGTGAATATGTGATGAACCGTTAATTTTAAACCCTCTCTTCATAAAAGCAGTTATAGAACGAATAAAAGCGCCGATGCTGAGTTGAACAAATATATGAATGCCTGTGCTCATGACTTAGTCACTACTAGAGCAGCCTCTACATCCACAGCTGACGCATTGGATGGCTTGGTCTTTCTTCATTTGTGCTTTGGGGACTCGACAGATGCAAGTAGAGTTAAAGTTAGTCTCTTTTGTTTGGATACATCGGAGGCAGCAGAGCTATACACCAACAAAGTTAGTTATATTATATTCACAAAACCCAAGTCGACAAGGAATAGACCGACGTACTTTTTCATAACCCTGTTTCTTCCACTTCGCTATCAAATTCGCGTCCGCGTATTTGTTTTTTAATAGCCAGTCATAGAGCTGCTTTGATATCGCCTCTTTCTCGTAGTACAGATCGTAGATGTACCTTGACCCTAATGATCGTTGTAGGTTAGAAATTATCTTTTCTTGTACTGAAATTAAGTCCAAAATAGATGAGCTTACGTTGATGGCTAATTTGGAAAATGGGCCAATGGACTTCATATCTCTTCTTTCCCTCGTGTGATGCGTTTTCGGCGTCCTTCAATTTGTTGCTGAATTCCAGAAGCGTATCCTCGATGTCCTCGAAGCCGGCAGGGGGTGGCTTCTGGTTACGGGTGGTCCGAATCGGAGGCATCGTTATTTCGTTTCGGCAAGCTGCAATAATATTCTTATAGATCGCAGTGAATATTTGCGTTGACGAGAGTAGTACGTAGAAGTTCTCGAGTTGTCAGCCTGGCAGCCACATTTCTGCCCGCCGCAATAAAAATACTGCCGCTCAGCACCGCCCGCAAGCTAGGAACTTGCCGCCCTGCTGCTCAGATTAAACCTTTTCGTGCCAAAAACGTCATTTGATAATTCATCTTCACGGAGTCCCGCATTAAAGCATATTTTTTTTCAACTACTATTTTAGAGAAATTAAATCTTGATTCACATATTGCACTTTCATCATGGACGGCCAAGCCAATTTCGACATCAACAAGCTTTCCGCGACGGACAGGCAAGAATTGAATCTATTTCTGGCAAACGAAACCCAGAAATCTAACATCCAACAAAGTAAGAATTACCCCGAGCATGTTCCAAGCTACAATGTGGGATCAACGCTGCTCTAACTGAGAGAGGAAGAAGGAAAATGCAGGAGTAGAACGGTTTATTATCTGTTAATTTGACATATGCTAATTGAACCGTCAAACAGCCGTCCACCAGCTTTCCGAAATCTGCTGGAAGAAGTGTGTCACAGGACGAATCACTTCCAACCGACTCGACTCGTCAGAGGAATCGTGCACCCAGAATTGCGTGGACCGATGGATGGATTCCAACTTGGCTATCCTCAAACACCTTGAAACTCTACGTGGTTGAGCATAATCCATAGTGTTAGGTTTCGGAAATGATTCGTTATATGTTACGCGTTTAAAGAACGATGAAATACCGGTCCCCCTTTCACAGCCGTTATTGCAACCCTCATATATAAGGGTAAATGATTTCAATATGTATTACTAGAAGACGGTTTACTTTCTCACTGTATTATCATCATCATTGAGCAATAATATATAAATACGAAAGCTCATTATACTTGCTCCTAGTGAAAACATTTGCTTCCTTGTGGAACCGGCAATTACAGCCAAATCATTGAAATTTTTTAAATTCGTACCACCTAATTAACCATGCAACCAAAAGAGAAACATTTCCTTAGACAATAGCAAGCTTGGTAGCCGCAATATCCAGTGCATCCACATCAGGGGTAAGCCGGGCGAAGGCCTTTTTCGAACCATCAGGTCTGCAATAAAAAAAAAGGAATCAGCCAATGTCTTGTGAGAAGCAGTTCTGATATGTTCAACCTACCTGATCAGAGTGTTGACCTTGATGGTATCAACGTCGTAAAGCTTCTTAAGAGCGGCCTTGATCTGACGCTTGTTTGCCTTGACATCAACGATGAAGACGAGGGTGTTGTTCTCTTCGATTTTCTTCATGGCGCTCTCCGTGTTGAGAGGGTGGATGATGACCTTGTGATGATCGAGGCGAGGCTCATGGGGAATAGACTTGCGGGGGTACTTGGGGGACCGCGACAATTGGAGAGTCTTGGGAAGGTGGAATGTAGTCGAGGTGCGGATCTTTCGTGTCTTGGTGGCCTATATCATATTTCTCAGCATTCTCTTTTCCTAAATGGCGGTCGAAAGGTTTCTCATACACCAGCTCCCTTGACAACGGCTTTGGCGGCAGCACCAGCCTTGCTGACCTTAGTACCTGCAAAATATCCGTTAGCTCATCATTGTTTTTGAGAAAAGTCTGTAACATGATGAAAGTGGTGCATAAAATGTGCAGACTCCCGATTCTCGCGTCTTCTCATGACAATATGTAGACAGTAGAGACACGATAGTTCTACATTCGCGTCAAGGAATCATCGCTGGATCAATCAACTGAAAGTCCTGCGATATTCCCACCACCATCCAAACACTTTTTTTTTCGGAGTGTCGATAATTGCAAATAGGAATTCAGAGATGACAGTGTGTATTTACCTTTCTTTTCCCCGGCCATTGTTGTCGTTTGGCGTATGGTCGTGTATGCTTGTCGAATCTCGAAATCAATCCAAGCCAGTATTTTCTAAGCGAGGAAATTTGTGCGTAGTATGTGGTGCGCTGCTGCAGGACCAATTAAAAGCGGATATATGGGTCGCCGGTTTACGCTAGACCGTTTTTGGCTGACATACTCTTTGACTGCCGGAAGTAGAAGAGAAGAACCTTGTATATCGCATCTACTTGGAAATACGATTCGAAAGACGATAGAATTGGAGGGAAATATCGCTAGCGGAAAATATTCATGACTGTACAGCAATGATATTGTCACTATGACGGCTAAGAAACGCCGGAGCAAGCGTCCTGCCTTGCTTTCCCACAGCCGCCCCCGGATCACAAAACAAGCTGCGATTCCTTCACTTTCCTCCAAGGCGACCCGAAATATCATCAGGTCTCATCACCAGCTTCTCAAAGCCCAGGAAGCTGCTCTGGCTAGGAAAGACTTGTCGCTAGTGGAAAAAATCGACAAAGAAATTGCGGCCAACGGTGGACTAGAAAGCTATCAACTTGCCAGTAAGACTGGGCAGTCTCTTGAGCGAGGTGGTGATTCGAGCGTTGTGTTTCTTGACTGGATTCGACCGACTTTGAAACAATTGGAGAAAAGCTCACAGCGGCTGAAGTTGCTAGAGGTCGGCGCTCTGAGCACCAAAAATGCCTGCTCAAGAAATCCATTCATCGACATCACCAGAATCGACCTCAATTCTCAGGAGCCAGGAATTTTACAGCAAGATTTTATGAAAAGACCGTTTCCTAAAGACAAACATGATTATTTTCATGCTATCAGCTTGTCGTTGGTATTGAATTTCGTGCCAAATGTTGTCGGAAGAGGAGAAATGTTGAAAAGATGCTCCTCATTCCTCACCTCTGATTTACCTTCCATAACGAACTTTACTCCATACCTTTTTCTAGTGCTTCCCGCTGCATGTGTCTCAAACTCACGCTATTTTAGTCGAGAGAGACTTCTAGACATTATGTCAAGCTTGGGGTATATACAGTTGCAGGAGAAAATCACGAACAAACTTATATATCAGCTATGGGAATATCACGCCGATTTGTACAGGATGGTTACATTTCGGAAGGAGGAGCTGAATCCTGGGAAGACAAGAAATAACTTCACGGTTATACTCAATGACAACAACGCCAATTGAAAATCAACGATTCTGCGACCCTGATACATGTAGACGGCTGATTGTTCATGAAAATATGTATTATATTATAAACCCGGAGAACTCTTTTGCGGCAAGAATGCCCAGACAGTTCCAATGCAGGCCATGACTGATGATATGGTTAAAAGAAACCAATCCAAGATCCTCTCGCTGAGCGGAATTTCCTTTCCAAAAATTTTTAGGTAGAATGTAAGCGGCAAGATAATGCATATTGTGAAACATAAGCATGAACCCATGAGAGCCATAATGCGATCAAAAGACGGGAAGACGATCGAGATGAAAACAATAAGAACGATCACTAAAAGGCGAATAAGTACCTTCGCAATGGTGACCGTTCTCGACGCTTGGCTTTCATTTTGGTGGTGACGAGGGTTAGCAGAGCCGAGACCGCAAAGTACTTCAAGGGTCGCGACGAGCGGTCGAGAACTGGAGATGATTGTCAGTTTATGATATATGATTATAGAGAAGTATGTCTACACACTTTAGTGGTACCTTGGTGATTGGAATTATGGCGATAAATATTATGATGCAAATCGAGAGGGCTTGAGGGTAACTAGTAGTAAGAAGGATATTTGCTGTGATCTCGTCGGAAACATCGTCTCCAAACATCAATAGCCCAATCACAGCCATGAAGAAATCAAGTGAGAACTTTGTTCCGAATCAGACCAGTGACAACAGTGAAGAAAGAGTTCTCATCGCTTACAGTGAAGATGTATGTCGCCCAAAGACTCTCGTTATACCTGCGAGGGTGTCGCATGTCACGGTAGATGTTTGGGAAAACACCATGTCCACCCCAAGGAGCTATGGAAATGTTAGTGTCTGTATCCGTCGTCTGGCAAATTCTTCAACTGACACATGATGAGTCCGAAGCTCAAGGGTACAGTGTACCAATCCTCTGGGAAGATATACGTCTTCGCAGGTTGAATAAGAGATCCCGGCGGGTCTGGTTTGATGAGACCGTCAATGAAAACAATGGTGACGACTTTATAAGTTAGAGTCATTTGAATTAGTCAATCAAGGGCCTTCCCAAAAAAAAAACTCACTGGCTGTGCATGAAAGTATACCGAGAATGCTTGTAACGCTCAGAAAACGGAGTGGAACGAAGCTTAGTGGTATCAGAATTACACCACATATGATTTTCCATTGAAGTAGACCAAATCCAGGAATAAGAGCATTGAGACTGTCTCCGAATAGCACTACAAGAGCAACACAAGCTCCTAAAAGCTCCAAACAGAACAAGAGACTCGTGATGAGGCGGGCCTGGTGCCCGAAGCTGACATACGCCAAGTCTCCGTAAGTAACCAGGCTATGGTCGATATCCAAGCATTTTGCTAGAATTTTTGCAGTGTAAGCTGTAGCTCCTGCTGAGAAGCACAAGAACAAAAGCCCAACCAACCACCCAGCATATTTGATTCCGAGGGGAAGACTAAGCAAGCCAACCCCGATCAACACGTTGACGGAATTGAAAATTGTCTGAGGCACAGTACTTTGCCCCACAATTATATTTTCTTTTGTCCCATCTTCATGCTGCACTTGCTTAACAAGTAAGGTTTCGGTTCCCGGTTGTGGCTCTGCGCCAATGGCCTGGTGTTCGTGGTAAAGCTGAAGGGTGCGCTGCCGTGTGGTTTCACTAACCCGTGAGGATATTGTACCATACGATGTTCCAAAACTCCTGCCATATGAAGATGCGTCGTATGCGCTCAGTAATGCAGACTCTGGGAGATCCCTTCTGAAGGCGCCAGCATCTTGGTTGCTAAGGCCTTCATCAATGGCTTCGGAGGAAGCCCTGGAGCGGTCGAAGTGGCCTGCGAGGAGCGGCTGTGTAGACTTGGGAAGCGAGTCTCGGCGAAGGTCATCGATGGCAGCGCCTTCGCTCTCAAATGTAAAAGAAGGTCTCCGGGGGACAACCTCAAGAAAGCCAGCTGCACGCTGCCACGAGCGGGCAAAATTGTCTATACTGTTAACTCCGCCAGCGCGTCGAAGACGCATAGACACCGAAGGAGTTCTATGTAGCCTCGGCATCAGTAACATTGCCTTAGCTGGTAAGCTGAAGAGTACTGGATATTCACCTCTGAAGCGCGTGTTCTGCATCATTCTCATCGTCATCGATTTCACCACGAAAGTCGTGACTGTTGAAGTAATTGGCGGAGGTAGAAGGCGAAAACCGGCCTGACAACCAAGAAGCTAGGTTGGACTCAATGGAACCTTGGCTGAGTGAACGGCCATATCGCTCGTCGCCAGAAAAGCCATGGGAATTTTCGTTGGACATGGGATGAGCCTTCTTGGGGGTGTGTACAAGACTGGCCCGGCGAGTCTCAGTCCGCGATCAGTGACGAGAGGAGATAGACGGCAGCGAGATAGATATTTAATTATGGTTTCGACACGCCATGGTTGACTGCTGTATTTAATATTAAAATAACTAGCTCGCTAATCGCTACTATCTGCAAAGCATTGATAACACAATGCCCAGCCGTTATCTCTGGCCCCTCTTTTGTCGTTATGTAACCTGGCCAGTCTCTTTTTCTCGATCGTGGTGGGTCAATGCCCAGTCAGCTGATGCTGGAATAATATAATATTACTAGCCAGGTCTCATGATGGTGATCCTTCATTCTTCACTGCAGGTCTTGAATATGATCAAGGCTCCAGGATTGGCTGCCTGTTTCAACTATACAGGTGAAACCAGTACTGAGCATGAATGGCCGCTGGGCTAGTGCGGGCATCAACAATGACATCAGCGCGAACAGGCATTTGCTACAGATCAATGCAGCTGTATCTGTAGATCAATGCAACCGATGGCTGTCCTAGCCAGTGTGTTTGTAGCATATGCTTTCCTGGCTATCTGGTTGCGACTCGCTCTAATGTGGAATTCCGTCGTGTAACTATAACCAACCAGTTTGAAAGAAAGCCAAAATGTAAATGACTGCAATTCTGGGCACCCAATATAGATAGAACTAGCAACATCATGACTATACAAAAATTGTCAATTGCCGTAAATTCAAAAGTCAAGCGTGCATAAGAAAAGAATGGCGAGAGTCGGAGAAATGTTAGTGCGCTCGCTGGCTGCATCGCTGCCTCGCTGCCTTGGAAAGTGAAGGGTGCAAAAACCCCCCACATTTGTTCCTGAGAAAAATCCCCCCCGCCAAAGAGCAATTTCAATTTCAGTACGGCTTCGAGCTTTCTGCCATTTCGTTTTGTCGTCCCGTTCCAACCCGAAAAATAAAAAAAAAGAAGAGAGAAAGACTGCCATAGAGGAAACCCAAAAAAAGGAACGAGAACTTCTTGCCTTTGAAAAGGCATTTCTTTTATTGTACAGAGCCTCTTCACATCGGCCGCACATAGTTGTTGCCCAACATGAGCGCACCACAGCCAAACGAAGCCGAGAAGAACATTGAGATATGGAAGGTGAAAAAGCTCATTAAGAGGCTCGAGGCCGCTAGAGGAAATGGAACCTCCATGATTTCCTTGATTATCCGTGAGTTGTACACATACCGACGTGGCGGATAATATTTTAACGCATCGTTCAGCCCCAAAGGACCAGGTTTCGCGCGCCGCAAAGATGTTGGCTGAAGAATACGTAAGATACCGATGGTTGTTACATCATCAGAAAGCCTCTAACAACAGACCAGGGTACGGCTTCTAATATTAAATCTCGAGTCAATCGTTTGTCAGTCCTGTCAGCCATTACGTCTACTCAACAGCGTCTCAAACTATACACCAAAGTCCCTCCAAATGGCCTAGTCATCTATTGTGGTGAAATCATAACTTCGGAAGGAAAGGAGAGAAAGCTCAATATCGATTTTGAACCATTCAAACCGATCAACACTTCTTTGTACCTTTGCGACAACAAATTCCACACAGAGGCCTTGAGCGAGCTGCTAGAGTCGGATCAGAGATTTGGGTTTATTGTTATGGATGGAAACGGTGCATTGTTTGGAACACTGAGTGGGAATACTCGAGACATCATTCAGAAGTTCTCGGTCGATCTGCCCAAGAAGCACGGCCGTGGAGGTCAATCTGCCCTCCGTTTCTCTCGTCTCCGAGATGAGAAACGCCACAATTATGTCCGTAAAGTTGCTGAAGTAGCCGTACAAAACTTCATCACAAACGACAAGGTCAACGTGGCAGGTCTCGTTCTTGCTGGTTCAGCTGATTTTAAGAACGACCTCAATCAATCCGATATGTTCGATGGCCGATTGCAAACCAAAGTCATCAAGGTTGTCGACGTATCCTATGGCGGTGAGAACGGTTTCAATCAAGCCATCGAATTAGCTTCGGAAACCCTGGGTAATGTTAAGTTTATCCAAGAGAAGAAATTAATCGGCAAGTACTTCGAGGAGATCAGTCAAGACAGTGGCAAAGTCTGCTACGGTATTGAGGATACTCTCAAAGCTTTAGAACTTGGTGCTGCAGAGACACTTATTGTCTACGAAAATCTTGACTATACACGCTGGGTTCTCAAAGCGTCCACTGGCGAAGAGGTCATTCTTCACACTACTAAGGCCCAGGAGTCAAATCGAGAGCTTTTCATGGATAAGGAAACAGGCCAGGAAATGGAAATCAGTGAACAAGGCTCATTCTTGGAGTGGCTTGCTGAGAAGTATAAGGATTTCGGGGCGACCTTGGAGTTCGTTTCAGATCGTTCCAGTGAAGGCAACCAATTCGTCAAAGGCTTCGGAGGCATCGGAGCCATTCTTCGCTACAAAGTGAACTTCGAACAGCTTGCTGATTTTGATGACGAAGACGAGTTTTATGACGGTATGGCTCTTGTTCCATGCGTCATGCATCATGACGAGTTATTTGTACTAACATGTCCATCAGATTGACGATTTTGCACCCTCGCAGGGAGCGAGGATGGGCGCCTAGATGTCCCCCAAGTGGACTCTCCGACGGCTTGTCATACGGAAAGCACAGCCGTTACCAACCAGAGCTTCATGGTTAATTCAGTGGGAACCACCTGCTTTAGAACTTTGAACTCCACCAAGCTAGTCCGAGGTTTGTGACTACTGTGACCATATCTTATAAGTCAACCGAAGACTGACCTTTTATCTAAAGACCCATCCAAACTCCGCAGTAGAAAGTGTTTCACCATGGCATGCACTTATATCCTGAACCCTATACTCTTGAATGCCAGAGGGGATGGAAATTTTCTGATGATGAAAGATGGTGTTGATGTAGGACTACAGCTTTCAAGTCGGAATGATTAAACGATAGGATAGATAGTGCACTTGCTTCAAAATAGAAAGAAAGCACTTAAATTCCTCAAGCCAGTCATGATAGTCTACTGTAAAGTTAACATATCCATTATGTATCCGCACTGAACTTGTATCATAAGCCATATCCATATCCATATACCCCGAATTTGATATCAAAATGATGAAAAGAAACCATTTTCAGTAAATCTACACTCGTTCTTTCTATATCTAGGCCAGGTCGGGAGAAACAAGACCATCTGTCCACGTTCCTAAATCTCTATAAGATGTGCATATCTTCTTCAGTTCTTCAAGGGTATCGTGAATGGCGCTGGGATCCTTTGCGGTGGATACATGCTCACATTCAATGAAGAATATATACTGCCACGGTCGCAGTAAACTCGGCCTGGAGTTGATACTAGTTAGGTTCAATCCGTGTGTTTTGAAAACTGACAAGGCATCGGCCAATGCACCGGGAGAAGAGTGTTCGATCGTAAAAGATATCAAGGTTTTTCTCGTGTCTGAGCCACTCGTAGCAACGTTGGAGAGGTTAGCTGAAATGTCACCAGAACGTGCCAATTGAATGTTCCTCAATATGAGGAACCTGGTTGTATTGTCTTCTTCATCTTCAATGTTTTCTTGCAAGACGAAAGCCCCGTAATGCTCGGCTGCAAGCTTGCTAGCAATGGCAGCAGTTTGGCCTGAGGTGTCCTTGGAAACGATATCGGCTGCTTTGGAGGTTGAAGAGACATCCTGTCTCTCCTTGCCTCTGAAATACCGACATAAAAACAACTCACATTGTCCCCAGGCCTGAGGATGTGTGTAGAGTTTGGTTATCGAAGTGAAATCGGTTGGAGACAGCAGTTTTCCGCTCACGAGGCAATGATGGACAGTGAGAAAGTACTCTCCACAGACAGTCACATCTTTGTACAGCCCTTGGCGATCTGCTAAAAGATCTAACGTTTGGACGACCGATCCATTGGTCGAGTTTTCGAAAGGAATTACGGCGTAGTCCGCAGTGTTGTTTTGGACTGCTGAGAAAGCGTCGGCGAAAGAGAGTGACGGGAATAGGGAGGCACTTTTATCAAAGCTGTTTATAGCGGCCTGCTCATTATTAGAATAGAAACCTCTCAAGAAAACGACATCGCCCTCAATGTCTAGTTTGTGTGGTTTTTGCGAACCTGGTGCGAAAACGAAGCTGCGGGGCCTAGGAAGGTGACTCGAAGAGAGGCCATTGTCCTGGTTCTGCAAACTATGCAATATCGATAGAAATAATCACACAAAATCTAAGCCTCTGTACTCATGCGCAAAGGAGAGTCTTTTTTTCAGAACTTCACGAGGCAACGAAAGGCATTATCATCAATCCATTTATTATTCTATGTAATACATTTTGTAGAAGCAAATCGGACAAGCGTGTGGGGGTCCCCGTCGCTGGCCGCAAATCACCGAACGGCGTTTATCGCTCTATGTTGAAGCTGGCCAGGAAAACAAAGGGCGGAGAGGCGGTCACACCAGAAGCAAGCAAGAATATGTAACAAAAGAATTCAGTGCAGGATAAGCAGTAGTAGATTGAGTTAGTGTTATTGTTATTGTATGATTGAGATTACATTTGACGGGGCTAGTCCTATAACGCACAAGCGCGAAGCCGCCCATGACTAAACTCGCGACTTAGCTAAACCGAGCTCTTTCTCTGTAACTGCTTGCACGCCGCAATCTTGCAATGCTGCTGCTTTCCTATGTAGCAGCTTCCAGGAAAGCCTTGCCTGCTTTCAGGCGCACAATATCGTCCCTCGCCGAGCGTGCGCTCCAACAGGACCTCACATCACGCCCCTTGCCACTAACATTCGACTACCTCACCCCACAGGCCTCGCATCTCTTGAATCTCTCGCTACTCGAAGTGCTGCCTCCTGGGTCTTTTGGTTCATTGGGAGACAGTAAAGATCCAAGAAGATTACCCTCAATACGAGACCAACACCGTCTATTGCCGGGCCATCATTTGGTGTACTTCCCTCCCCAGGTTACTTTATCCGAGTTATTACGAGATGGTACCGATACCTTGCATGATCCTGGGGAACCATTTCACCGCCGGCTGTGGGCTGGCGGAAGCGTCACCTTCCCCATTTCTGGCTCTTTGAAACTCGACGGTCAGCGAGCTGTCTGCGTCGAGAAAATACGTGATGTGAATGTCAAAGGGCAAGATGGGGATGAGATGGTCTTTGTTACAATCGAGCGCCGCTTTACTACGGTATCTGAAGACGAAGATGAATCCCAACTTCGAGCTAAGGTCTCGAATAGCCCCGATGTTCTCATCGAGACACGGGATCTGGTGTTTTTGCGGGAACCTGATTTGGCATCTCATCCAGCTGCGCGAGAAAAACGGAGTAGGCTTGTAAAATGTGTGCACAAATTTAGACCTCCTCTAATGAATATGCTGACATCTGTATTTTCACTGAACAAAAGTTCCCGCAGACCCTGACATCAGCCAAAGATTGACCCCTAATAAGGCTTTACTCTTTCGGTTTTCTGCACTCACTTTCAATGCTCACCTGATTCACCTTGACCAGTCATACACAAAAAACATTGAAGGCCACGATGATCTTCTTGTCCACGGGCCACTCTCCTTGGTCTTGATGCTCAGCGTCCTTTCTAGTCATCTGGCAACGAGCGGGCTCTCGATTCGCAAATTTGAATATAAGAACCTGGCACCTCTTCATGTTGACCAGGAGATGCGGGTTTGCGCCAAAGCAAAAAACAATACCGAAGCGGGTGACTGGGGAGTGTGGATTGAAGGACCTTCCGGTGGATTGGCAGTGAGAGGAACAGCATGGGTTTGATCTCTCTACAAGCAAGTGCTGCGGAATAGCTTGTTTCAGTTCTCATACCGCAGAAATTGGTATGTTCACGAGCCCTGTGGATAGGTCTTAGCCCTTAAATGCCAGGTAAATACCACGTAGCCCATCATTCAGACTCTATGAGGAGGGAAGAGGTCTGCAGCATTTTTTGATAATCATCATCGAAACAGTGGATTGTAACGAATGCTATCCGAAGTATCTGTAAATACCGGCTGACCGGCATAACTGGGCCTCCGATGGCAGATGTGGGTCTAGGCAGGGCTAGCGGCTTCCACGTATTAAAAACCTTCGCGGGCAACTTGCAATGTGTTCCTTTTTCCTCCGTGCCTCCAACCCTCAACTGTAACCGTTGTCGTTTGAGTCCGAGCATTACTGGTGCTGCCGTTATTCCCACTGAATAACACGAGAAAGAGGACAAGATGGATGTCTTCTGGGCAGCTCCGCCAGTCGCCAGGTACTGGTGTTTGTTTCTTACAAATTATAAGCTCTAACAACAACTATTACACAGGACACTGACTGCGTTGACATTTGTTGAATCTGTACTGGTCTATGGGGGCTTTCTAGGCGGGTGGAGGGTCGTTTTCCTCCCTGAGAGAATTTTCCATTTGCCTCCTGATTTTTGGAGATTTGTGACCCCTTTCCTGCTCACAGGAAGGCAGATGGCATTTATCTTCGATCTTTATTTCAGTATGTATTCGAGGATCCTCATCACAGCAACTAGCACTAACGGTAATCAGTGTACACATATGCAAGTGGTTTAGAAACAAAATCCCCTCGATTTGCACGAACTGGTGACTTCTTGACCTATATTGTATTCGTTTGTGTCGTGATTATGGTAAGTTATGATGCCCTTGGTCTTTTCTTCTCATCTTGTTACTTTCACCATGGCAATTATCAATTTGATACGGTAAAAATCTACAACTACAAACAAATCATCGTTTCACTTCCTATCTTATTACCTATTCCATACCTTCACAAACATACACCTCTCATATCTGCCCGCCCAGTTTCTCTTAGCTGAAGCGGTTCCTGGTAGAGAGGAAGATTACCCCTGGATCCCGTACAGCTCTGGAATATGTCAAAGAAAAAATCGGACTGTATGAGGTTCAGGAATGGTGGGACTACCAATTGAGATAACCATGCGTGGCGATATATCTGCGTATGGTGGTTATGGTGCCCTACATTTTCACAAATCTGTAGCATCGTTTTCTATGTTGACATTGAACTTTTGAGAAACATTGCCACTGACCGCATAAAGTTCCTAGCAAACTTTTTCCTCGGGGGCATGATATTCACAAGTGGTATGAATGAACACTGCCATTCGCTGTAGTTACCCTTATATACTGACCCCTGCATGAAGCTTTGATCATGGCCCTGGTTCATACCTGGGCACAAGACAACCGAGGAAGACAGGTGACTTTCTACGTTATTCAAATAAAAGCAGAGCTATTGCCTGCGGTTATGCTTCTCGTCACGATGGTGTCCAGTGGCTGGGGTGCCACCATGTTGGAAGGAACCGGCCTCGTTGCATCACACTTGTATGATTTTCTCACCCGCATCTGGCCTCTTTTTGGCGGTGGGAGAAACTACATTTTCACGCCGGCGTTCGTACACAGGCTCCTCGGCGATAGTAACACTAATGTCCATGGGTTTTCGGGTACATATGGAACAAGCCCGGGCTCGACTGCTGGCTCTTCTAGTTCTTCCAACTCGTGGAGCAGGAGGGGTGCAGGGAGAAGATTAGGTTAATACGATAAAGTAGAGACTAAGTTATCGTGTAGTAGCGATGATGGTCCGCTGGAACTTGAGCAATCGGCCTTCATGGCATATGCCGTGTATTATGTACTAAATATTCGAAACTAAAGATGTGCAAAAAGTGACAATATTAAATGATAATAATAATATGATCATTATAGGTTATTCGACAATTGTTCAGCTAACTTCTTTTGGTTCTAGTACGCTAAACCGTAATTGGCGCGTAAAGCTCGGGCCGCACTTTTTTTTTCTCGTCCTATCCTCGAATGGCCTGCAAAGATCTTCCTCAGTTGCACACTTTTCGACAAGCAGCTGTGCACACCGTTCAAAATGGCAGCTGCTGCGACAAAACATATTGCTGACTTCAGCATTAAGCCTGAAGCAGTGACACCCTCCATTCCCACGTCGGAATGGCCCTTGTTACTTAAAAATTATGATAAATGTGAGTTTCGCCTCCATAACGTCGCAAGGCTTTCAACGCCATCTTGATGTGCTGGAATGCTAACCCTACCTAGTGCTGGTCAGAACGGGTCATTTCACTCCTATCCCAGCTGGTTGCACCCCCCTGAAGCGTGATTTGAAGTCCTACATCAGCTCTGGAGTTATCAACCTCGACAAGCCTTCAAATCCTTCTAGCCATGAAGTTGTGGCATGGATGAAGAGGATTCTCAGGTGAGCTAATATTGAACCGGCAATACTTCGACTGAATACTAATCTGAACGCTTAGAGTTGAGAAAACAGGCCATAGTGGAACTCTAGACCCCAAAGTCACAGGGTGCTTGATTGTTTGCATTGACCGGGCGACTCGTCTCGTTAAGTCACAGCAAGGTGCTGGAAAAGAGTATGTCTGTGTTATCCGCCTTCACGACCGAATTCCTGGTGGTGAAGCCCAATTCGCTCGCGCTCTTGAAACATTGACTGGTGCGCTATTTCAACGTCCACCCCTCATCTCTGCCGTGAAGCGTCAACTTCGTATCAGAACTATTCACGAAAGCAAGCTCTATGAGTTTGATAATGACCGTCATCTTGGTGTCTTCTGGGTGAGCTGCGAAGCTGGAACCTATATCCGAACCCTTTGTGTCCATCTCGGTTTGTTGCTCGGTGTTGGAGCACACATGCAAGAACTTCGACGTGTTCGCAGTGGTGCCATGGATGAACAAGATGGAATGGTTACCCTGCACGATGTTCTCGATGCACAGTGGATTATGGATAACCAGCGCGATGAGACCTACTTGAGAAAGGTCATTCGTCCGCTCGAAAGCTTGCTCACCACGTACAAACGTATTGTGGTCAAAGACAGTGCTGTGAATGCGGTTTGCTACGGTGCCAAACTGATGCTTCCAGGGCTTTTGCGTTTCGGTACGTTCTCCACAGTTTTATATGATGTAGATAGTCGTTCTGATTTTTTTCTACAGAGGCTGGAATTGAGGTCAACGAAGAAGTTGTGCTTATGACAACAAAGGGCGAGGCCATTGCTCTTGGTATTGCCCAGATGTCGACTGTCGAGCTCTCTACTTGTGACCACGGTGTGGTTGCCAAGATCAAGAGGTGCATCATGGAGCGCGATCTCTACCCTCGTAGATGGGGACTTGGACCGATCGCTTTGGAGAAGAAGAAGCTGAAATCGGATGGAAAGTTGGACGTAAGTTGATGCCTGGTAGCTCCCAATCCTGGCGTTAGATTAACAAGTCAATGCAGAAATACGGCCGAGCCAACGAAGCCACCCCAGCAAAGTGGCAGAGCGAATATAAAGACTATAGTTTGCCAGCCGATGAAAATGCCGCTCCCAAACCTGCTGCGGCATCAGCTGTGACAGAAGATGCGCCCGTCAGCTCTCCACCCGCAAAAACAGATGCTGAAGAATCCAAGGACGATGAAAAGAAGAAACGTAAGCGACATGAGGGCGAGACTCCCGAAGAGCGTGCCGAGAGAAAGCGCAAGAAGAAGGAAAAGAAGGAACGACGGAAGTCCAAGCAAGAGAAGGACGACGATGACAGCGACTAGGCGTCTTAGTATACAAGCAATGTTGGGTATTTTTTATACCACCATTTGGAAGCTGTCTCGCCATCCAGTTGTGTGATTTTTGGATTTCTTTGTATCATACATATATGATTCTTGGATGGAGTTTGGGTTATGGTCTGGTCTCTATGTGTGTTGCGTTTTGTCAAAAGGAGAAATCAAAATCTATCATTTTTTGGTTCTGAATAAGTGTTATTCTAAAAGGTAGCCGTAGCAAAAATAAACCTGGAGTCTAGCAAACATCTGTTGGTTATATGTCCGGCAGAGTAGAGGCTAGAATACTGTGCGGGGCTGCAGCTTCCAGGCTTGGCCTACTCCGCACCCGAAGATCACCTCGTCATTCCTTGAACCACCTCACATCAGTCCACCGGCCGGGTCTTCCAGCCTTGATCCGTTTTATATATACGTGGTAATACCCAGGACTCGTTCAGAATGGCTGCCGAGCTCTCTTCAACCAAGCTGAATGCCGAAAGTCATCTACTTTTAGTATGTATCTGTATTTTTCTGTTGCTTGTCTCCGAGTCGGCTCTTAACTTAATACTCTCAACCAGGACCAACCTCTCCTTCGCCTTCCACATGAGCTAGCGAGGCGGAATTTCAAGTCAGTGCAACGGATCGTTGAGCGAGAAAGAGAATACATCATCCCGGCGCTGAAAGAAGCTGCAAATGGGTCGTTGGGTGGCACTCAGTCTCCTGAACAAACGCTTGCATCCTTGGATGCAATGATTGCTAGGATGCAGGGTCTAAAACGAAAGATGGAATCCTTGCATGAGGAAGAGAAAGGCATTCAAATGCAGTCGAAGAGGCGTATCCAGCACCTGCAGGATCTCTACAGCATCCAGAACTTGGCGGATGTCAAATACGACGAGTGGTCGCGAACACGACTCAACAGACTTCTTGTTGATCATATGCTACGGTCAGGTTTCTCGGAAAGTGCAAAGCAGTTAGCTGAAGAAAAAAAAATCGAAGAACTAGTTGACACAGGCACATTTATTCAGTGTCAGCGAATCGCAGAAAGCCTACGTCGAGGGGAGGCAAAAGAGGCATTGCAGTGGTGTGGGGAAAACAAAGTCGCTTTGAAAAAGAGTCAGGTATGTTTTAAAATCTTGTTCTATACTCCCTTGCTGATGTCTTTTAGTATACCTTGGAATTCGAGTTACGCCTTCAGCAATATATCGAAATGGTTCGAACTGGACGACCCGAAAAACTTGTTGAGGCCATGCAACATGCTAAGAAATATTTATCACCTCATATCGACACACAATCAACCGAGATCCATCGTGCCGCTGGATTGCTAGCTTTTAGTGAGGATACTGAGACAGAGCCATATAAAGTATATCCCCATTACTATTTGCTCGTCCCACAGGACTAACATTGTATATTCAGTCTATGTATTCACACGAACGCTGGAATTACCTCTCCAATCTTTTCATACGCACACATCATGAACTCTTGTCTCTTCCTCCCCGCCCCTTGCTACACATCGCTCTATCAGCTGGGCTTTCGGCCCTTAAAACACCCTCTTGCCACTCAGCATATGCTTCGTCCACTTCCAATCCTCTATCAACAACAACATCGGTCTGTCCAATCTGCTCTACAGAATTGAATGAGCTCGCTCGCCACGTTCCATATGCCCATCATACAAAGAGCTCTGTGGAGAGCGACCCAGTCATTTTGCCAAATGGAAGAATATATGGGCGAGAACGACTACTGGAAATGAGCAGGAAGGTTGGCTTTGTCGGGGAAGGAAAGGTTAAAGATCCAACGACGGGCGAAGTCTTCGATGAACGCGAAATGAAAAAGGTTTATATTATGTAGTAACCTACTTATCTTTAAGCTCGATACGACGAACACCATGCACGTATACTTAGCGAACCTTTATTTTCTTAGCGGTCCAGTATCTATATATTCCTAGTCATCCTCGTCGCTGGTATCCTCTTTCTTCTTCTTTTTCTTACCAGCTGACTGCTTGAGACGACCATCCTCGCTCTTGACCTCAAAAACATATGTCCTAGCATCCCGATTCTCTCCTTTCCAGCCCCCTCCAGTCTTGCCACAGCGACTTTCAACAATACCTAGAGTTCGGGCATGCGAATACTCGGGGTACGACTTCCAAGGAAAACGGAAGCTGGTAACAACAGTCAAGCCAGCATGGCGTGCAAGGTCCTTTATATTCCACAGTGTATATGGTTCGCCCTCAAAAAGGGTTACAACAATTTGTCCGGACTGTCGAGGCACCGTCCTTATGTTTTCTTTTGGGGGTTCGTCATCGGTATCTGCCATCTCATCCTCATCCTCACTATTTGTGTTATATCGACTAGGATCATTTGGATCCTCATAGCCACTGTCCTCACTGCCACTGGAAGCTACATGTCCAATGGACGTCGACAACAAGGGCACACATGCCTTGAAAAAAGCTACAAGCAGTTCTTGGTTGGCCCGGACTTGACGATTCATATCCGTTGACTTCCCACCAATGTGAGGAAAATTAAAGGATATTATATCCCAATGACCACCGGGCTGCTTCTTACTAGTTGTGTGAATCCCATGGCGAATTTCTCTTCCCCCGCCTGCCGGAGTGCCCAACTTTCGGGCATCAACTGAATACATAACCTTAGGGGCGGCGTTTTTGCTCGGTTTGTCATTCATTGGAAAGCTCTTTGCTGGTTTTCCTGCATTAGCGACCTCGTCTTTGTCATGCTCGCGTTCATCCGAACCCAGGTGTTTTCCAGCATGCAGAATGGCCTCGACATTGGCCTCTACCTGTTTAGAGTATTTACTAAAGAGTTCTTCTTTGGAGTCGAAACAGGTTGCAAAGACCCTTTTACAGCGACGATGCTCAACTAGAGATCGGGCGAATGAGAAATCCCCTATTTTGACGATTTAGCATAAATTTTCTTTGTAACAAAAATAGATTGCAGGTACAGCCAAGAAAAAGAGGCCTATTCTAGTCTAAAAATACACATAAACATAGATCAAAACTTACCTTCCCCAATTAACAAAATTCTGTCAGTTCTTTGATACGGAATTGTCGGTCTTTGATGTAATTCTTGCTGGTGGTTGTTCTTGGACTGCTTCTTGTCTTTACCCAACTCAGATGTTGTATCTCCCTCGAATTTTCTTTTCTTTGCCGTGATAGAAGATGATGATATTGATATTCTTTCGAAGTGCTGCATCTTTCTCTTTTTGATGTCTCCCTGTGATCCAAATTTTTGAGATCGGGGGTGTGGGCTTTTATTTTTTGATTTCGTCATGCTGGACAGTTTTTCTCATGTCCTGAGATGGTATTGAGAATGTAATTATTGTTGTGTTTTTCTCCTCAATATATTTTCCTTTGGCAAAGAAATGTGGCTTTGTCGGATTTATTGAGGATCTCGTCGTTCCACTGCCTGTATGGTTTTTCAACTCAGTTGGTATTCCGGGAGTGCCAAGAGCAAACAGGACTTAAATATTACCCGGAATACTAATAACCACGCATCAATTGATGTACAATGTACACACGTTTTAGTATTAGGCTCGATACACAACATTGAATTGCATGTTGTTAAAAACTTAGAGTATTTCTAACTAGCAGACAGCCAAAACATGTCTTGTCAGCCTTTTCTGTACACGAGACGGCAAAGGAAAAAGCATTAACATTGCTAAGTAACAACCGTCAATGTCTATATAACCAAAGTCCGAACTATAGTGTAAAATATATACAAGTCATCAACAAGGCCAAATAACACTCGTCTACCCGGAAAAAAAATAAAAAATCATAGCTTGACAAGCACCGAATTACAATAACACATAACAAGAACATAGGTCGGAGTGTTGTATCGCCAATCGAAGGGAAGCGTGTGAATTTTATGTGATTAAATGTTTTATAAGTTAACGGAAGTAGCAAATACTCAATTGCTCCTCCAAGGACACAGCTGTTGCATAAAATGTCCAAACGTGTTCCGTTGACATGATAGCTGACATGATGAATTGGCATTAGTTGGCGTCGAAGAAGCTGATTGCTAGCAACATTTTGCCACAGACGCACAAAATTCTTGTTGACCTTTTATGATCGGAGTGAATCGCGCATACTCTGGCTACTGGCACTGACCGGAGTGTTCGTTGTAGGCAGGATACCAGTCTTTGGCTTGGAGTTCTGCTTGAACTTGGCGATCGTATAGACGATTCCACTGACGAAACCAACCGCAATTGCCGAAACACTACCCAAAGTAACTGGCGCGTCGAAGAAGATGAGACCAGACAAAGCAATGGGAAGTTTGTTCAAGGCTCCAACCATGGAGTAAGTTGTTGAGGATGTAGTGCGCACACACCACGCAGAGGTGTAAGAGATGAACACGGAAGACAGGCCAGACAGGATCATAGCGATCATAATGTTTGATCTGCTGGCAACCGGGAAGTTCCGAGCGAGGTTTTCGGAGGACCAGTCTTCTACGAAAAGAGTGGCGACGATGAGGACGGGGATTGAGAGCAGGTTGTTGTAGAACATAGCTTTATAATAAACATATTAGCCCAATGTAAGCGGGGGTGACTTGAGTGGTTCTTACTGTCAAAGTCTTTGAAGTTTGTCAACTTGATGCGCTTGCGCATGCCCAAGACATAGAAGGCAGTGCAAAGGCAATTAACCAACATCCATATGTATCCAGCGTTCAAGGTTGAGACTTTAGAATTGGCCTCCACGCCGCCTTGGAGAGCATGTTGGATGTCGGCCCAGGCAGCAATGATCGAGCTGACCACCATGAGTCCGAAGGAGAACAAGGTGAGGCCAGTCACCGAGCCACCAAACCAAAGCACCTCACCGTATGCAATCAAAATGATAGTAAGGTTCTTGAAGATAGTATACACCGGAATCGACAAAAATTGAAGGGCTTTTGAACCGGTAAAAATCATGCCGATAAGTAGGAGAGTGATTGGGAACCCTGGTGCTGAAGGTTAATCATAATGCCAGTAAAAAAGACGTATACACGAGTTTCACTAACATTTTTTTGCTTCGTCTGAACTGAAATCACGGTATGTAATAATGCCGGCCGTCTTGCAGGATTGAATTGCAACGATGCACACAACGGACTGTGAAAATCATGATCAGCCATGGACAGTGGCCTATAGTGTAGGAGAGGAACAACAAACCTGAACCAAAAGCAAGAAGAAATTGAGATTGAAATCCAATCCCGACAAGACATATTTATTCATAACTGTCATCATAATTGAAGATCCGCAATAGGCAAGGACAGGAAAAATAGGATTGCTAGACAGCGCGGAACTCGATGCGGATCGAGATGGAGCGGAGTGAGAGGATTCATATCTAGATGATTGCTCCATCTTTTCGTCTGTTTTCTTGTCGTCGGCCATGGTTGATTTGCTTGTGCGATTGGGTGATAAAAGACAACTAGGACGCGGCTTTGGGATCACGATCACCACAGGAGCGCAAAGACTGCAGATTCGGGGTCGTTAGGGAGGGGTAGTAAGAATCCTGGAACAAAAAGTAAGAGAGTGCGCCGTACGAATGGGTGGAAAGCGTACGTAAGAACAGGGCCGAGTTGACGGAGTTGGCAAGTGAAGCGCATTGAGGAAGGGGGAGGAAATGCCAGACTAGACAAGAGCGGCGGCGGCCTAGGCTGCGGCTGCGGCTGCGGCTGCGGCTGTGACGGCGCGCAGTCTCACATTCGGCCGCCATACACTGTTCTCGTAATATTGTAATATTACTATTACATTACATGGCCTGTGGGATAAGTTGGTATGATGTTGGTGATTAAATAAATGTGAATTTGCCATTATCACGAGATTGCGGCTACTTGCTATGAAAAGCAGGCGTAGAGCTGCTGCATTAGTTGTTTATCGCCGTTTTGCGATCCGCCCAGACTTTGCTGTCCGCAACTCTCCAATCTTCACTACAAATGTCGCTACCCACCCAATTGCGCATTCACCAAGTTTTTTATTCAGTATAAGATTTAAGAAAGCTGTCTTGAGAAATCCATCCACATGCCTGCAGATTCGGCTCCCCTTGACGCCAAGGTCTCTGCGCTCCTTGAGCAGCAGCAATCGAAGATTGGCCCCGATGACCTTGACGAGGACGCCCTTTTCGAAGCGCTAGAAAACGAAGACAACTCCGCATATCGCGCTCATCGCATGGAGCAACTACACAGCGAACTCGCATCTGCGAAAGAAGCCTTTAAACGTAACGCTGCTTTGGGGGCAACAGCCACCTCCTCCGATGGACTCTATCCTACTTTGCCGAGCGATCAAGTAGTCCTAGACCTAACTACGAACAATGAGCGTTGTATCGTGCATTTCTCCCATCCGGACTTCAATCGCTGTGCCATAATGGATGAGCATTTACGAATTCTGGCTTCTCGCCATTATGAAGTCCGTTTTGCCCGCGTGGATGTGCGGGATTGTCCGTTCCTTGTCGAGAAACTGGGTATACGAGTGTTGCCATGTGTCATTGGTTTTATTGACGGTATCGGCAAGGAACGAATCGTTGGATTTGACGGTCTAAGTAGTGTTCGGGGACGAGATGGTGTAGATGGGTTCAACACCACGGAGTTGGAGAGCCGGTTCTTGGGGGGCAATGTTCTTGTCAGGGGGAAGTTGGTTGAGGGAGGACCCGGTATTCATAATCGAGACAGTGACAGTGATGACGAAGAAGCAAAAGGGCGCGGAATCCGTAGTGGAACTGTAGGTCGACATAAAAACGATGATGACGACGACAATGACGACGACTGGGATTGAGATTCAGCCTAGAGGTGTTGTCGAAATTCATGTATAGAAGCATGATTGTTGGGTCGAATATACATCGAAACCTAGCGACTCAACTGAGGTGCTAGCCAGGGCTATGCTATACTCGTTGAACAGGAGTTCAACTGTAGCAGACAAGCTATGGTTAAAGAGGGATTACATGTTGTCGCAACGCAACGTCATACGCAGATGTCCTTGTACCTTCAGAAAGAAAACGATATTTCGCTATGCTCTAATGCTAACGAATTATATCACAAAGCATTTTCTCTCAGCGGGAGTTGCTAGCGTCCCCATCAATACTGTACATAAAAGGTGTATATAAAGCAGAGACTTATTGTATGACAAAACTGGCTCAAATTGACAGCTTCCAGGATCCATTACTTGAGGAAGCTCGTTATCAATACACATATTGCTCATGTTTGCTCGAGTTTAGTGCTCGTTTCAACCACCAAGAAAATGAACTCCGCTGGGTAAACAGAATACAAACAAATGCAGGAGTGCTCTGCATAATCGTACAATTACAGGAAACGGTCCTTTTGACCGCAAAGGATAGCAGTGTAATACAAGCAGAAAAATGGAAATGTAAAGGGTAGGGAACAGGAAAGAACCTTCGAAAGTGCAAAGACGAAACTGGGTCAATCGACCGAGTGTTAGCGGTCCTCATGCAGACAAGACATTTGAAATGAAACTAAGCAGCGACTCTACACAGCAGAGTCAACAATGCGCTGGCTCAAGGAATGATACAAGATCTTGACGCGTCGGAATGGAAGAGCAGCAAACAAGAAGGCCATTAACTTAACAACAGAGCATTACGCGTTCTTCGTCATATCTAGATCGCCACTGTCTTCATCTCGCCAAGATTCTCTGTGTCGAGAACTGTTGCATTATCTGAAGCAGAGCCGTTTTGGGATGGTTTCTCGGAAATAGGAACCTCCTGTAGAGGTGCTTTGCCGAGGACTTTCGAATCAGCCGTAGTGTCCTGGGGAGCATCCGCTATGATTGGAGTAGACATTTCCATCAGATCTTCGCCCGAAGGAGCCCTTTGTTTAGATATCGCTTGGGGAGCTTTATCGTTAGCGGGGCTGGAGACTTCCTCCGTGACACGAGCCAGCGGACTCGAAACACCAAACTGTGTTTTGGGACTTTGAGTTGCTCCACGGTTGTTGAAACGATGAGGTGACCGACCGCGGTCCTCGCTTGGGGCCGGGCTTCCATACGGAGAACCTCGAGACTTATCGACGTTGGTATTGAGGCCCAGGCCATTGGCAGGCTTCCGTCGTGGTCGTCTCCCAAACCTCTGATCTACTCTCCACCGCATAATCTCCAAATAAGGAGGCTCCACGTTCTGTTTCTTGAATAGTTTGAGTTTGAGTTCTCCGGATTCCTCATCCACGAACACATTGGGATTGGAAAAATCATCGGCAACGATGGATAAAAATGCAGCCCAAGAACGAGCAATCACGTATTTGCAATCGTAATCACGTCCGAAGATGATAACCTGACCCCACTTGCCTGCAGGGCCTGGAGCGAGATCAACAGCGATACAGTTTCCGCCCCAATCGCGGGCAAGAGGAATCCAACCAGGGTGTGCATATGTTTTCTGAATAGCACGAGGCGGCTGCGAGTCTTGACGCTCTAGAAGTTCGTTTCTCCACAAAGGATTCGCGGTTTGTTGAGAAGGCCCTGCCGAAGAGGATCCCCCAAAGGCCTTCAAAGGGGGCTGCGGTGGAGCTATTGATGAACTTTGAAAGAACTCTTCAGACACAGTTCGCCAATTCTTCCATTCATGGACGATCTCTTCGCAGTCAAGAAGCATACACCCAAAGATAATACCTGTCGGGAGGCCACCTCTTTCTTGTCCATCATGTATCTGCAATGATTCTCGTACCTCGAGCGGTAGACTGCAATCCAACTCGTGTTCTAATTCGTTCACATCATTTTGTGTGCATCCTTCGCACAATTGATCGAATAGCTCTTCGTAATGGTCTTCCGCCCAGCGATCAATTTTTTTCCAAGAGTGAGTGACAGGAGGAGGCGGTGGAGCACCGTCATGAAAACTTTGCATTTGTATCTCCCCAGCGCCGGCTCCATCAGTACCCTGGTCATTAGACGTTCTCCGTTGTGAAGTCAACGATCTGATACCAGGAGAGTAGGGACGGGTAGGGGAGCCTATACCACCACCAGGGGAGGCCGACCAGCCATTAGACACTGAGCCTAATGGTGCTTTGGAAGCTTCTTCTTCCTCGAAGGATGAAAGGTCTGGACGGGATTCTGCTGCGGTGGTTACGGAAGTGAGGGTATCGCGGCGGCTGGAATCCAAAGGGACGTGCCGCCCAGTGCGGTAAGGAGAGTCATGAGATGCATGGCGGTCATAGGAGGTCATGGTATGCCAAAAAGAACGCCATGCTGAACCAATCCTGTAGTGGAGTTAGAGAACATGGTGTGGGCGTGGAAATTGATAGGAATAGGGCACTTACGACGCAGACATTGGTTGAGGCGGCATAGCGGCGATTAAATGTATGGTGCGAAAAGAAGACAGTTGTGTTTTATTTCGCAGGTAAGTAAATCATTGGAGTTCGTCAATCAGGCTGAACAGCGGTCGTGCGCAGCCAGCATACAGGTGATATTGGGAAAGAACCAGGGCGTTGGATGAAGCGCAAGACGGGTGTACGAATGTAGCGCTCGAGAAATCACGGTAATCAATAGGTTAGGAAATTCGCGGGTCTGGGCACGGTAATTGGAGTCAAAGCGAAGATCGACAGTGGAAGTGCATGTATTCACTCGAACTAAAGCAGCAGCCGGCCGTCACAGTGAAAAAATCAAGGACGTGACGAGAAAATCAAGGCGTGGCAGAGAGCGAAGCGCTGCGAAACCAAAAGGGGTGGGTATAGGAGAGAATAGCGCCGACGCTGAGGGGGGAGCCAGGACAACGATGAGATTGTATGGCAGGTTCGAAGCGGTGGTACGGTGTGTTTTGGTGTTGCAGGCTGGACGAGGTTAGTTGTAGGCGGAGGCTTTCTTCCTGTCGTTGTCCTGGTCTAGTCGAGAGCAGTGAGCCTTGACTCTTGCTTGGGAAATGAGGGTGTGGAGCTGCAAGAAGGGGCGCCTGCCGTGGTGATTGGAGCGGGAAAGAGCCAACCACCAGCGCGGCTGCCTCATCGATTGAATTTCGGTGTGGCTCGCCCAGCAGTGGCAGCCAATCCGGAGCCGCCAAGGAGCCACACCACCGCCATACTTAGGCATACTGTCTGAGTCGCTGGGTGCCTGAGAGCCTGGGTGCCTGAATGCCATGGCTCTTATTTATTTATTTATTATGCGTTCATTCGCTTACGGACGCGTACATTGGGAAATGATACATGGCGGACATTGCGAAAAAAAGAAGATTCAAGACTCAAATTCAAGCTTAACGAGAGTGAGTAGTTGGTATTGGACCTAACATAGGAAATGAAATGTGGCTTTAACAAGAACGGCACAAAATAAAGAAGACAGGGTGCTGTGGCATTCGAATGATGCCACCCAAGAACCAGTAATAAACATACTCAAAAGCTGCGATGTCATCGTATCACCAAAGAGGGTATTTCTGTTGAGGAGATGGTTATGAAATATGATTGCGACCGACAGAAAATTCCAAAATAACGACGTCCCAGACCGTCGGAGTCATCACAGCGTTGATCATGCATGAACGTCCTCAAGAGCGCGCCGCAACAGGCCCAGGCTCCATACCTAATGCAAACAAAAGAAGAAGGAAAAGAAAATAGAAAAGAAAATAGAAAAGAAAATAGAAAAGAAAAAGAACAAGAACAAGTGCGAATCCCGCGCCGTCCGCCCGTCCGCCCAGATCACAAATCAACCAGTCCGTAACATTGTCCAATGCATGAAAATCTTGTCGCAGACACGCCAAAAATAATGCAAATGATACTAGTATCACGGTAATGATAGATGAATAGATCGACAACATGCAGGAAAACAAAGATGATAATGAAGAGATAGAAAAAGGAACAAACAGAACGACAAGCAGTATATAGGTAAGATATTCTAGTCAAGCGATATGTAAGTCTGGCTCAAAACATTGAGACAAAAGTAAATGAGAAATATTAGTATATTCGCTGAGAATATAATGCCAAATATAGATTTCTCAACATCTGGCCAGCGGCTCTTGTAATTAAGCAAAAGAGCTCTGCACTCCGTTCGGGTGAATATTGCCACCGATATCAAGCTTGAGAATCCGCTTTAGGTCGTCCTCCATTTTCTTTGTGTCAACCTCTGCGGGACGAGTTGGGGGACGAGATGGAGGACGTTGGAAGCCAGGCAGGTGAGGAGTTGGTGCATCATGCGTGGTGAAATTGCGATAAGAAGGCTGGAAAGAATTAACATATGTGGTTCCAGCCATATTGGTGGATCTCGCGTTGGGCGAGAGCTCTTTGTGCAACGCCGACGAAGCGTTGCGAGACTGACGAAAGTCACTTGTGGAAGATGCATAACGGTAGTGCGACTTTATCCCATTCCCTACTTCCGCGCCTCGTTGAGTGCCACCACCGTCGGAAAAAGGTGTGGGAGGCCCAGAAGAAGTTTGCAGGGACGTATTATATGGTTTGTGCATAACGTAGTTGTTAGTCCCGTTGTAGTGTAGAGCACTGGGTTGAGGTGATGCTGAAGCAGGACGCTGGGGTTTAGGGTTTAACAGTAGATTCTTCAGCTCTTCAGTCTTTACTCTCCGCTGTGCATCGTTGAGATCACCCGTTGATTGAGAGTGGTGTCCATTGGGCCTCAAGGCGTTCATCCTATCTCTATACGGGGTTGCAAATGAAGGACCAATCGGCATCAAATTTCTCTCTGGTCCATCTAGTTCAAGAGAGAATATTCCATTTGAAGAATTGTCTAGCCGCTGATAGGCCTTGGAGTCTGTATTGGGAGTAGCTCTCTTCGAGGTCGCCTCGGGGCTCTGTTGATTTCTATCTCTCGCATCAATAGCGGCCTTGAAAAGGAAATCCAATGGGGATGGTTCGTGAGAACTTGTCACTTTGGGCTTCGAAGGGGTCATGTCAGGTTCAGGCTCATGTTCCCCATCGGCCTCACTCTCGATTTCCAGAGCTGCAGAAAGTCCAGAATCGGGAACAGATTTGGAGAAAAATGAGGGTATAGGTAGAGCAGATGGTGCGGGAGACGCATGGAAGGTTGGCCCAGCATAATGCGGGCTGTCTTTTAACTGAGGAGGCGAGGTTATGCTTGGCTGGGATGAAGTGTGTCGATGATTTGAGTTCATGTTGTATGCATTGTTATTTGGACGAGAATTTTCCTTGGATTTCTTGGTCGAGCGCGTTCCATTCTTTTTTCGAGAACCGTTTAGATCTCCATTCACAATTGGGCCCTCAACAAACATCACTCCAGGGCTGGAGCTGAGTGGTGGTGAGGAAGGAGGCGTTGTCAATAACATGTTTCTATTTTCGCCAGCAGGAGCATGGCTTTTCTTTTGCAATCGTTTAGGATTGCGCGATCCTTTCGGTGTTGGTGGTTGTTGAGTCGACATGGCGACGGTTTGGCTTAAAAAATAGGCAGCCGGTTGAAGTCGAAAAGGAAATGAAAGCGAAAACAGGAGTGTCGGACACACCAGGTACAGGAAATATTAGAATAAAAGGAGATATGTGCAACGAAACCGCCAGCGGTTGATCTCAAGATGAGAGACGAGGCGCTTAGGCTGAAATCGGGTGGAACGGAGGTGTCGGCGTCAGCCTTGCGATGGAAGAGATAATAGTGCTAGGGTAGAGTATCTTGAGAGAGCCGGAATAGGAGGGAGGCAGGATATATCATCCTCTGGTTGCTCATATCTGCATGCTGCACAAAGACGGTAATAGATAGATGGTAGAGATTGGAGAATAGTTTCGTCGTCGTAGTTGCAGGCGAGGTTTCGAAGTGGAGGTGGAGTTGGAGGTAAGGTTGACAGGCCGAGAGATCTCGCTGTTTGTTCTTGGAAAGTGGGGGTGCTGTGTTGTGTCTGTTTGCCACCGCATTATCATTGGGGCCGGCAACCGTCATGGACCGTTGATGATAGCATTCCAAGCAACCAAGCTTCATTGTTGACAGACGCGGCTCTCTGTGCTTGTTCAAAGAAAAAAAGAAGTGGTGGTTTGAACAATCCAAGACAGTCGCATATTTCGTTGGCCTCTGTGGACAACCACAAGGTCCTTGCCTACGTTTGCGAGAGCAGCGCACCCCAGACTGATGTCAGCTCAAAACTAATAAAATAATATCACCTTTTCACTCACACTACCGTTCAACACGATTTCATATTATCCATCAACCTAATCAGTGTGACTTCTTGATTACGACGTCTACTTGGTCTTGCCTTCACCATGGCCGACGTAGAAATGCAAGACGCTGGCTCTGCGAAAGATAAGGTAGCTAAGTCCTCCAAGTCGGGGCCTAGTGAAGGATCGGAAGGGAAGAAACGGTTTGAAGTCAAGAAGGTGAGTTGCCCCTGAAATAATCAACGAGACTGTAGCCGATGAAGTTTACTTTCTAGTGGAACGCGGTTGCTCTGTGGGCTTGGGATATTGTCGTTGACAACTGTGCCATCTGCCGAAATCACATCATGGACCTATGTGAGTGTTGCAATACCATCAACAATACGATCAAAATTAATAAATCCTAGGTATTGAGTGCCAGGCCAACCAAGGCTCGTCCACAACTGAAGAGTGCACCGTGGCATGGGGAATCTGCAACGTGAGTGTCTAGCCCAGGACATTGTTCATCCATATTCTAACCCTTTTTTCATTATTACTATAGCATGCTTTCCACTTCCATTGCATCTCCAGATGGCTTAAGACTAGACAAGTATGCCCCTTGGATAACAGAGACTGGGAATTCCAAAAGTACGGTCGATAAGCATTCCCGACGATTCTAGACTTTACGAGAGAATATCGCTACGAATAGAAAATGCTCACAGGGACGTTTGGCTAGGAAGGTCTTTATTGCTACTACGAAATGTGGATTTAAGATTTCTTTTCTCTTTGTAAAACAACGAAATGATATCGACGAGGTCACATGTATGCCGATGACTTGCTAATCGTATCAAGCGTTCAAACTGGAATTACAGCATAGCATCACATCTCGCTATACCCATTTAAAGAACTCAATTTCAATCCACATGTTATGCCTCATACTGAATACCATACCCTGCGTGTCCTAGCCAAGTCCTTAAATCATCCCACCTTGACGCCATCAACAATAATCCCAGGAACATTTCGAACAGCTCCACCGGTTTTAGAGTTAAGCCATGGCTGCGGGTTTTGATTGTAGAATGGCCAGGGAGGAACAACGACCAGAGCTGTAAAGGCGGTGCCGGCAATGCCAATCCATAATGTCAGGTATATCTCTTGTTGAATGTATCCAACCACAAATGAAGCAGCCTAGTCGAAAATGAGCTCACGTTAGAGACATATCCGAAGCGATGGGTTATGCTTGACATACCCCAAATATAATCAATAGCACCGTAGAAAGCATCTCAGCGAGGCGCTGGCCTTCAAAGTCCTACACAAAGCCGCATACAGGTTAGCATTTTAATGTTTAATGAACAGAGATCGCGGGGCGGAAACAGTTACGAACAATTTGGCCCTCGGCAGCATCCTGGAGAGAAGCCAGTAAGTTATCCATATTGAATAGTTGGCGAGTTGAAAGTGTTGTTTAATTGTCTGCTAGTAGGTCTTGATTCGGAGTAGACATAGTTGGCGTCAAGGTCCGGGCCAGATGTGGGTACACGACTGTCCGCCAATCATATCTACTCTCGAGTTGTCTCTTTATTCATAGCGATGTAATTATTTTTATAGCTTTGGTTGGATAAGTAAACTAAATTATATTAGATCATTCTTCAAACAATCATTACTATTATATTTGTTAATATTCATTTATTTTAATTATCTACTAATTTTTATATGTTCAATGTCAATGGACGAAATATCGATATCGATTTCAATCAAGTGCGGGACCTCTCTATTAGCACCATCAATAGAAAACTCGAAGACGTGATATCCTGAGAGTGTTTGGTGTTGTAGCCCAGCCTTCGAACATCACCGGTATCAAAGTGCAAAGAAATCACCATAACAAGTCTTTATCGAGTGCGCTGAGATTTTCTTCAAATGTGCCAATCATTGACACCAGGGCCTGCAAAAAGTTTATAGCATAGAGGTCGAAATTCGGAAGCAGGGGTGGCTATTCCTATAAAACCTGTCTCGTTGAAGTGAAAATGGCTTTCTCGGAAACCAATAAGCGTTATCTCGTAAGGATTCGGCTTCATCATCTCCTGTGGTAACCGCAAGACAAGGATATAAAGTTTCCGCCACGGCTAAACCAACCATTTTGAATCCCTACCAGGCACTGTTAATTAACTGGAAGCAATATAGTCAAAAGAAGTAACACTTATATCAAAACCTGCTTCAAATGCAGTAACAGACTTAGAAATTGATGCAAGAGGGAGTGTTTTTCGTAAATTATCCGGATAGCCAAACCATTGTGATAATTGCCCGGCTCAAGTGACAAATTGCAATGCTTGGCTGCCTCTGGATCTAATTGCCAGTATAAAGCTGCGTACACCAGTGGCATCTATAAATTGGTTGGTAGTGTTCAGAGACAGTGATTTTCTGTCTGGTGTATATCTAAACGCACTACCAACCCTTTGCCAGAAATGAAATTGGCTCGGATAAGGCAAGTCGAATTACCTATCAAAAAAGTGGAGATGACCACTTGACGAAGATGAGTTAGAATACGAGTTCGTTGTAGATGAAACCGTTTGCAACCTGTACCTGATAAAGATGACCTTCGAGCAGGTTCAAGTGGTTATGTTTTCCATGAACCTCTTTACAGCCGAGTTATGCATTCTCGTCGAGTGGTGGCGATTCTAAGTTACTGTTCCAGTGCATATAGAGAGTATTTCCGAGAGTGGAGAACGTACAAGACCCTAGATACGTTTTCTATTTTTGCAACCCATCGGAACGGCGTACGACTTTTCATAATCGAAAGTAAAGCGATCTCCAACCAAGTCTATACTTAAAAGCTTGTGCCTCGATGGCAAAGTCGAACTCGAAGGGATGTTGGAATCTAGCACGATTGTCCTAATGAGGACGTAATGTATCGTAATGATAATAGACATTGTTGAATACTTAATAGTAATATGCTATTGATTATGAAAATCTAATATGGTAGACTAAATACATGATTGGTAGATGAATGTTTTCTTATATATATAATTTCATCGTATCTTATGTTACGAAATATCGTATCGCCAGAAATGCTGTTTCATATCAGATACTATGACCCTTCATAACACCTGCTACGATTGTGCTGTAGTAAAGTGCTGGTACAGCGTGGCCCTTCTTTAACACGGTTTCACCAGGACGAATTTTACTATTGTAATGTGCTGCAATCGTTTCACGTTGTTATAACTTTGTATTTTGAGGTCGGGGTTTATTAGGGAAATCAATCCGCCCTATCTCTGTGCGAAGTCTATGCAACTAGATTAGAGATTTAACTTACTCCTTGAAACCCCAGTAGCATCTATTGATATTTGGGCATGTGAAGACTGGGCTCTTGTTAGGCCCTTTCGCATACCATTTTAGATAGCTACTACGTTGCAATATGATACGAGAACATGGGTTTGGGCATCTCAGATACCTGAAGCCGACATCTCATGCTTTTCAAAATTGCGCTTCCTCGGCAAGTCTTGATGAGTTTTCCTCCACCGCCTTTCTTTTTTTCCCTTTCTTAAGAAATATGATGGCTAAATAAATGGACTGACACATTCGGTATCTTCGGCTTCAAATCGGGGAGCAAAGCTGTTGATCAGTACATAGCATGTGATCTACCCCAGACCTGTGAGATGGATATTTTTGCCATCCAATATAATATGCTTCATATAAGTTTTGTGGGTTTAATCGGTGAGTATTTTCGAAGATCTTGAACTCACGTGTCTGGGGAATTCATCGAACCTTGGATGAAAATGCGGGGTCCATTTGATCATCTGATAATGCTTCTGATTTCAAGATCCCGAGGATGAGAAGCTGCCTTTAACGTGCAACAACAGCGTACAGAACCGGGCTCAAAGGAAATGGTTTTCTGTTTTTTTTTGAAAAAAAAAAACAATGTTGGTTATGCGAGCTGGTAATTAGACTTATATATATTGGGATTCGTCCGATATAATTAATTACAGAGAAAACAAAACCACAAGCTGCACTTCTAATCGCCAGGGTCTAAATTTTACTAATTACTAGTAATAATAGACCCTACTTTCTAAGCTATAATTCTATGTTCGGAATCTCGGTCTAGAATATCGGGGTTAGCGAAAGCATATGACAGTACACTTATACAACAAAAGCTTGAATATAGTATAATATTTTCTGCCTTTCATCTACATTTACACTAGTTTATGTTGGATTATATTTAGACTTCTTGGGCACCAGTAGATAATGCAAAGAGGTGAAATATTTTAGTATTATTGATATAGGGAGGGCTTCTATACCTAATTCAAGTTTGTGGTGCTATATTCGAACTTTTGTCACCCTACCATATCGGATGAATGCATCAAAATGCAGATTAGTACTGCACGGTAACGACTGCCAGCACTTGGCACGATCTGCCTCTTAACTCAAGTCTTGGAAGTATGTGTATGGTATGCAACCACTACGTACTTGACTCAACTCGAGCGGTAAGAACCATGCATATCGGTTGACTGGCTTCTCCAGACTCCAGAGTCCATCTGAATCTGAAAGGCGGGGAAAAGGCACACCATCAGAAATTCATGGAAGCAAGCAGCCGATCCCCGTACGCAGATTCAAAGGAATCGGGATTTCAAGGGTATCCTTGCATTAGCTGGAAAAAAATTGTTGTGGTGCGATATTTAATAAATTAATCGCGCGCTACAATTTTTGAGCGACCTTATTTCTCATTGGCCACGGAAAAGGGAAAAAAAAATGATAATCAAGAAAAAAAATAAACATGCTTAAGCATTTCTCGACTGTCCAATGTGGCCATGCATAATTTCACAACGGCGCTCCGATTGGATATAGGAAACGATGCCTGCATTAGGGTAAGGCCTGATACGGAGTAACTTACGCGGTCAACTCTGGCCCGCAGTGCAACTTGAAAATTACACCCAGGAACACCCTCCTCACAAGCCCAGGCAAAGTCTGTTTCCTGGATTTTGGGCCTTCACTTTGACGGTTTGACCACTACTCATGAAATTTTGCTAGCCTTGAGTTCTGTACACGGCAGGAGGTGATCGACAGCATTAAGACTAAATTAGTTGTGTTAGTTTCAGGTTGCGTCTGTTAGCCCTGCCCCAAAACAGTACAGACACGGGCCGATCTCATGATGTCTTTCGCGGCAATACACAATCGATGGGTCTAGAAAGCGAAAATCCCAAGGACCCATCATGAACCGGTTTGGGAGGAGCGGGCTGACTGGTATGACGCGGGTTGGTCGACGCTCACCGATCACATAATACGCCCTATCAAAACGCCCTACTGGGAACATGCTTTCGGTAGCAGGCAGACGCGGGCTAAAGTTTGCTCGTTTATTTTGCCGAGCTCTTAGATCGAGGTCTGATCGTCTCGAGTGCAAGCAACTATATGGATTTTTCTCCTCGACAGGGTTGTTGAGTTGCACGAACCAATAAGGAACTGGTTTATCATTGGAAGACGCACAGTACCGTACCTGGTTCACTGCCTACTGCGGCGTCTCTTATGCAGCGTGCGAATCGGCTCGCCCAGGCAAAAAGCAGGAACAGAGGGAGAGAGAAGCGTATGTGATGACAAGGAGAGGGTACATAAGTCGGCTGTCATGTGTCGCTCCTGATTGGCCACGATCACGGGGCTGCACGGAGCTGCGGCGGAATCCCACGCTAGCCACACGCCGTGCCGTAGAATCTGACATTCGACAAATTCACAAAGGGTCCACAAATTGATGTGTATTTGACGTTGATAGATACAATCGCCGTGAGTGAAATAGATTCCGCTGATATTTGGTGGCGTGCTTACTGACGTCCTCCGAGCCCGCAGGGAATGGTGCGAGTCTGATACAATGGAAAGTAATGACTCTGTGCTGCAGGGAGAAGTATTCCTGATCTTGCAGATACCATCGTTATTATTCATGACGCGTTGATATGATGACATCTCACGGCCACTGACTAGTAAGAACATAGCCGTATGATTCCTGCCGTAGTGCTTCCTCGGTACGCACTAGGCCACAAGTGCGTGTATTGTCTGTATCCACTAGTTACATAAGTTAATAGGGCACTGGCAGTAATCAGCTCAGTTAAATAACCGACTTTCGGTGCAGATGGTAGTGTAGGCCCACAGTAAAACCAGCAACTTGGCAAAGCCTTGCATGAATCCTTATTGCCATGATTATTATAGCCATTTGCAGGTATATGGAGCAAACCCGCACAGCTGCAGGTCAGGATCAGGCCATCAGCCTAAGTTATCATGGTGGAATATCGATGACCGGAGGACTCCGTTCTCCTTCAGATAGCAAGCGGCTTCCTGAGATAAGCCCGGGCTTCCTGGCATGAAGGTTGGTTTAAGCTCCTTCCTATTTCAACGGGTTTCTGGGAAGGCGCTATCAGACCGTCAGTCTGTGGGCGGCGTCTAAAGCAGAGACCTGCCTATTCCAGTTCAATCCAGCATCAACAAAATTGAGCGAATGTGTTGGTCCGCCCAGCAGATTTTGAGAACAGAGGTCTAGGTCGGATCGTCGCGCCTTATTAGAAGCTGGGGGCCTGTTGTGACCTGATCAGAGAATGCGACCAATGATGTCGCTACCCTGCTGCACATTGGATTTCTGTCATCACGATTGAGTAGTGATAATAATAACTAATGCCGCACCTGTTCCAGGCGGCGTTCGGAGTGCTATGAGCTGACCATAGGTATACACTGGAGTCATGAATCGGCGTTTAAACCGTCCTGACTCTTTGACTCCTGAGCGCCTAAAGCGACCATGTGGAGTCCGGATCTTGTATTGATATTGGCTCAGATCTGGCCGTTCTGGTTAACGTCAACGACTACGCAGTAGAACCATCGGGGATCAGTTTCCAAGGGTTTGAGCAGCCACTAGCTCCTTCAAGCATGCGGGCCGCTCATGGTCGAAATTGCCCTGTGTATAATTATTAAACCGGACAATATCGAGGCAGTGCGAATAATACCAATCAAGGACGAACGGCACCCCGAGGCGGTTTAGCGCAGTTTCGCGGGCGCTGCCGCTTGTCGGGCAAAAAAACCCCGTTTCCGGCATTGTCGACAAATTCGCTTTGATGTTAATGTTTATCATCCCGCGTCTTTGTTTGGGCCTGCTCTCCTGCCTTCATTTCGGTTAGACAGAAGCGACCAGGATCGGTCTGTTTGCACCTCGCACTGATTTCTGCGTTTTCGAGAAAAGCTGGAATACTGATGGAATACTTTTTCTGAGTTTCTTTGGTGAGTTAATTCCATTGTTATGGCTGTTATTAAACGCGAAGACCAACGCGTTCTCTCGTTCTTGAATGATGCCGAACAATACTAATATTGTTACATGACAATACATGTAAATGCTCTAAGCACGGCCTGGCAGGCTACGGCCCTACGAGGTACAGGGTCCTGTGGAACGATAGGCCGCCAATTTGCCCATGAATGATGTCAATTGGAAATAGCCATTATCTCCAACGTACGAGGATGGTCCGCGGAGTAAGAAGTCGATAAAATGCTCAATAGTCGATAGGCTCGATACGCGCAGGCCATCGGTGTAACAAAATCAGAGCAGTAATAAGAAAAAAATAAGTTAATGACAATAAAATAGCTAGTATCATCATGGATGACGATCCCAAATGCATAGCATATCGGCCAATTGTCTGTGCGGAGGGCTCCGTCCTCGGTTGCCTGGACTTGCCATGAGAATATTCGATAGACTGCCAGTGCCAGGTATATGTTGTCTCCATCATGGTAGATTTACTACCATACGAAGCCCATCGAATCATGATATTATATAAAGCATGGAAGAAGGTTGGCTGGTCGCGTGCAAGATCGCGATAAGTATAGTAATAAGTATCGACTATCTACTATCTACGTCGTGGGACAGGTTCATAATTCAACTTCATATGGATGGCCCTCAGCTGGTATTCTATTACAGTGCCGGTATAGACGCCAATAACGAGCATGCAGAATATCAATACAGGAACCTCGGCCACAGACGCGACGCCGAGGACGACGGAAAGTTCCAGGTCCACGTTGGCCCCGGACCCCACTATCCCCACTTGGCGGGCACCGCCATCCAGGGGTGGCTTGCACGTGATAGGCTGGCTCTGGCGTTCCTGGCTCTATCCCTGCCTTTGTAACAGGGTTGAACCTTGGTTCCTGCACGTTCATTTCAATTGTGATAGAACACGCATTTCCACGACTATCCTAGTGTCAATAATAATGTGATGGCCTGTTCGATTAATTAAATTTCAATTTACGGGGATGCATGAGGCCGGCGCGAGGTGATTGGCTCCAGCATGTTTGTACTGACAGAATAACGGGCAATGCTCAATAAAAGCCTCGGCCGTGTAGCAGCCAACCCCTGTCGATGCCTTATGCCCTATGCCTCGTGCCTGGCCGTTGGAATTCCAACTGTCAGCAGCACTAAGTGTATCTCGTCTGTCAACCACGCACTTAGTAGTGCTTCCCCTCTTTTGGCTGCTGGCTAGACGTATGGTCCCGATCCCAGCCAGGGAACGACTGAAACACGCGCTCTCTTAGTACGCACGCCGACTCTCGGTTTCCGGAGTACCGAGTACGTGTGACGTTGGTATCAAACGAAACTTCGAAGCCAATGCACTGCATCTGACCATCTTGCCATCTCGTTAAAAACAATTCGGATCTTCCTAAGAAAATGAATAGAATACCACACCACGGCCAATAATAATCATTAATACGGGTTAAGACTAAGCAGCGTGTAGGAGGGCAGGGGCAGGGGCCGTGTCGATACTTGCCGCAAAGAGGCAGACCCAACGCGTTGGGCAAGGGTGGATTCCTGGAAGCACGTTTGGGCGTTTCCCCTTGTGGTCTAGCGCCGACCTTTTCCGTCCCGTGGTGGTTAGCCCGCGAGGCTAGCCGCATTGGGGCTGCTCGCCTCGGAGCATGTGCGTGTGTCAGGTTACAGCCCCCTCTTCGCTCCCCCACCAGACGCCTCGTCCTGCTTTTGCTTCTGCTTTTCGTCCGCGTCTGGCTGGCGACGAAACTGAAGTATGGTCACTGGCCAGCATTTTACTTTCGAACTTCAGGATCACCGTTGACTTCTGAAACGGGTGGGTGCGCTAGCGAGTGAACGTTGCGCCGCGCTTGCGGTCTCGTCCCGCCTTTGTATGCGCATGTATTTTGGCCCTTAGCACCGTTATTAATATAAATAGTAAATAATAAGTAATAAGTAATAATTATGCCGTCGGTGGCCCTGTGGAACACTCGACCATGGATAATGAATCCGTGGGATCGGCTAGAGCTGCACGAGCCTAGCCTACCAACATTATCCCAGCAACAATGATAATATTCAATACCGTAATCTAATACCATACCATGGAAGCAGCCGAAGATCAAGCCAGAAAATTAGCTGCCACGGCTGCATCGAGATTGGCTCAGGCCACCAGCTCCCGCCTGAATTCAGAGCGACAATAGTACGAGCCATAATAACCCAATTATGCAAATGTTCTGGGGCTTCCCTATTCTTATTATTATAATATTATTGCGCTCCTCGCCCTCCCGCCGCCTTGCGTTCCTGTTCCGCTTTCAATCGTTCGTTAGAGTCGAAGATCACGTCGGTGACCGCGTGCTGGACTATTGTTTCTTACTCCCACGATAGTACAAACGTACTACTGTTCTCCGCCCCCCTGTAGCCTGTGGGGTCGGTCACCCAAAAGAACAAAAAAGAAACAGAAAACAATACAATCGACAGATACTTACAGACTACCACAGATTGGTGGTAGTCGCACGGCCGCCTGGGTCCACCCTATCACTGTTCAGTAGTTCTTTCCTTCTGCCGTCCCTCGCCTGTCATATCTCTGACCTGGCCTCGCCGTATCATTGCTGTCAGCTTGTCACTCACTCGCCCACACACTCTCTCACACTCTCTACGACGCAATTACCTCACAATCACTCCAATTCTTTTCACACAACTCTCCTTTACCGAGAAATCCTGGCCGATTTCTCCCCGACGAGTCCTTCCTTCGTACCACACCCATCGCTCGCTGTCCGGAAGTTTGTTGAATTGCGATATGGTCGTGAATAGTACGAACTAGTCAGTTCTCTGTGTACAGGCATACGGATTCACGCGTCTGTCCTCTCTCTCAGTGTCTGGGAAGCTTGTCAACCATGGCGTCCCAGCCAGGAGTGTCTCCGCTGGAATCACCATGGCAGGACGATTTCGAGTTCCGCCAACGGCCGCCCACGTCCTCAACTAGCGATCACTCCGAGCATTCTTTTCATATCCGATCCAAATCAAGCGCAAATGTTCACAGCCCCAAACGTTTGTCTGTCTTTGGTCGATCAAGAAGCAACACCACCACGTCAATAACATCGCCTCGCCGTTCTCCCACCTCGCCGAATTCTGGGGAAGTTCCCATGCCCCTTCTACACGATGAGAAACCTGCGCCAACCGACAGCGTAGCTCGATCGTTGCTTGTTCGCGGCAGTCGCATTCTTCGGCGCCAGGGTAGCAAGCTAAATGTGGCACCTACTTTAGATGAAGAAGACGAAGCTGGAAAAACTTCAAAGTTTGAAGTCTCAAGTATCTTCCAGCGCAATCACAGAATGAAACGCTCGGAATCTCGTAAGTCCTTTCTTTGCGGATCTTAGTTTTGTGAGACTTGAAGCTCAATCACCGCAGACGAACAACTCAAGCGCGTCATCTCGGAGCCATATAATTTCCACCACGTCATACACACTAGCTCAAACCAATTCCATGCTCTGGACAGCACCAGTAACAACGAACTGGTCGGCGAGTTCTCTGCGATTCAAGCTTCACAGACTCCTGAACCGGGGCTCAAAGGAATTCGTGTCCAGGACCTTGATTCAAACAACACCTCGACCGAGAACGTCAGCGAATCGATGACTGAGGAAGACAGAAATCAAGCTGCTTCTCCAGCTATGAGCCCTCCTACATCACCAAGATCGCCGGGCAAAATTGAGAACTTCTCGCGCCCAGTATCTCGATTAAACAAGCCTCTTCCCCCTCGCCGGGGATAGTACCTCCTCGGGTTTCTTCCAGACAAGCCTATATTGAAATCCCTGAGCCTACATCTCAGGCTATGGATGAATTCCTTGGTTTAATAGATCATAGACATTCTTACCTAGACGAAAGAATTGCCCGCCAAGCTGCGTCACTAGAAGATCCTGGAATGTTTCACCCGGACATTGGCTATGCAACCCACGGCCATCAAAATGAGGACGATGCACACCTCACTGCCGCAGTAATCAACAGCTACTTGTCGGACCTAGAGGATGTTCCTGAAGAGGAGGATATAGAAGAGCATGAGGCCAACGAAAATTCTCAGTTCGAGCCGCTACCACCTCGAAGATCTTCTTCCGTATATGATGAAGTCGAAAGTTCGCCTCCCCCGCCTGTTCCTCCGAAATCTGCTGCCCGTCACGAGTCTGTGATAGTGGTGCAGGATACCGAGCTATCATTCTCAGAGGACTTGATGTCCCCCACTTTACCGCAGTTTCGACCTATTCTCCAGGATTCGCCAATGTCTCAGGCGAGCGATGTTAAGGCCGGAAATCCAGCTGGAGGCTTTGAAGAATTTTCGACATCGTGGGATGAGGATATCGACTACTGTTACGAACATGCAGCCGAGGCGGATTGTGATTTTGACTGGAATCGTTCCTCTATAGATATCCCCGGACGCTCTGTTGTAGGCGCTCTTCCTTCGGAGAAAGCCAGCACAAGATTAACTGTCCATGATAGCCGGAACGCTACGTCCGTTCCAGCGACCCCAGATTTAGATCCTGGCTCTGCTAGATCAATTATGACAAGATCTCACGAAGCCATTACACCATTGAGTGAGGGAGCAGCGCCGGCCGGGTTTTTCCATGCAAAACCCCAACCCCAGGAATATTTCAAGCTCCAGACAGGAGATGTGGGAAACGATCCGGTCTATGAAGATTATCTTGCTGTTCAGGATGACGTTGAAGGGCAACTCCGTTACTATCCGCAGCCTAGGTCACATTCAGTCGATCTTCCTGTTTCTCCACGCAGCAGCTACTCCCCAATTAGCAAATGCAACTCCCAAGAGAGTGTGATGTTATCTCGTGCTGCCTCGATTGTGCGCAAACATCGCTCGTCAACTTCAACGACAAGTGTGCCAGAATTGGTCCCTAGTGCCGGCAGCAGCAGTCGTGAAACCGCGACCAGGGAGAGCATCGGGTCTTTTGAGCAAAGCACACCCACTTCAATCCCTGAACCTCCCAGAGCCGGATTTTCATATCACCGCCAGGTAAAGAGCTTGGCACCTGAAATCGGTTCATTCTCCAATCTACGGTCCACCCGTAGCAACGGTAGTATCGATGTCATTGTTGACCTGCCTTATCCCTCGGCAACACCGACCCACGATCGTACCAAATCTACTTCTGCTGTTGACCACCAGAAAAACAAGACCAAGCGCCCAGAAGACTTGCCCTCCCCTAGGCCAATTTCTGTGGCGCAGAAGAGGAAGAGCCGAGTCGGGTACTCTCTCTTTCCTTCTGCAATGACCGCGCCACAACGCTAATACAACGACTTCATCACTTTATTATATGTTGAATTGCGAGGCATTTCATTGAACTCGGTCATCATATCGCATATGACGTCACGAATTTTGAGCATATATTTTTTCCTTTTTGTTTGTGTCATCTTGCATCAGCCGCTATGGTCGCATTCGTTTCAGGTTGGTTTTTTATTTCAAAAGTGAGAGGCTGCGGTGTTGGTTATCGGAAGCCTCATATCGGTCGTTACTTTCTTTTCTGGTTTATGGTATACATATAGACTTGGCGCCATTGGGGAGTATTTGGTTGTTCATGACTGCATTGCATACTTGCATGGATGGAAGCAGGAACAGTCGCCCTTGGTCTTTGGTAACAAAGGAAGGATGAATTTGATGTTTTGTCCAATCTGCAATAAATACAAGTAAATTTTCAAGTGATGACTTTGTCAACAACCTCAATATCATTCATTCGTAAGGCTGGACTCCAGCATGGAAAGGCGGCTAGTTATTCATCGATGACACTAATGGGTCAGGTGACAGCCATGTCATTGTTGGCCGCACCAAAAGCGGCTTAGTGTGAATCTAAGTGGCGCCTAAACTCGCTCAGTTTAGTACTTGTACGTAGTTTCACCACCACACTCGATATCGAATGAAACATGACATAGCACCTTGGCCAGGCGTGAAAATGGCATCTGCACCATCCCAGTCGGTCGCCAAGCGACACGCTGACATGGCTTTGATGCCCCCTCCGCCCCCCGTCAAGAAGATCAAGCGACCGTCGACTATTCTCGATGAAGACAGCTACACTGATGCGTTGTCGCATATCATAGCCCGAGATTATTTCCCAGGTCTTCTGGAGACCCAGTCGAAGCAGGAGCTGCTGGATGCTCTTGATTCCAAAGATAAAGCATGGATATCGAGAGCGGGTAAGAGGCTCTCTGAAGTCATGACGCCAAGGAGCAGCCGAGGAGTGAGTATGAACATGACCCCTAATGGTCGTAATGATAGCGATACGCCGATTACAGCATATGGAGGGGATACACCTGCCTCTGTGGCTTCGTCTGTAATGACCTCGATGACGAATAACAAAGAGCGCAGCGTGGATGTTGCGAATCTCAGCTTGACTTCCTTCCAAGCAAAGTATACAAGTGAAGACAACGAGTCTTTCAACAGAGTCTTGGACAAACAGAATGAGAAGAAAAGAGAAAATTACGCTTGGATGTGGAACGGAAATAAGATTCTTTCTGCTCGGCAGATTGCTCACCGACAGCGAGAAGTGAAGCGCATTACTGATCGAGGGGAAGCTGTCAAAGACAGTAGCAATGATAGCAAAGAACTAGTTCTATCGACGGATCTAGATGCTCGCCCAGCAGCGCCGGATACGTGGAAAACTGGGGTGCAGAATTCTCTCATGTTCAGCCCTGCATCTGTTGAAGACAACCACGAAACTCCTATGCAGAAAGCCGAAGCTTCATCGCGGGCGGGTCCTAAACAAGTTGTTTATAACAACACAAGGATGAATAGTGTGGCTGCTGGTGGGCAGGATGCTTCAGTACCACCATCTCCGTCTCTTTCGGCAATTAAAGATGCGATTGCCGGACGGCCACGTCCTACAGATTCTGAGCCGGGTTATACAGGAGGGGAAACGCCTCGAGTGAATGGATATGCATTTGTTGACGAGGATGAGCCGGAAGAAGAGGATGACGACGCCATGTACGAACGTCTGAGGCTGCTTGCAAGCCAAGGCGTACACACTGATGATTTATCACCGAATCCTTTCAATATCAAAGAGAACCGAAAACGAGAAGATCTACATCACCGAATGGTAGATCGAGTGGCACGAAAGAAGCGGGCAGAGAAAGCAGGCGTACTTCAATCGTCATCTACCTCATCACCCTCAGTCCCTCGTTTCCCCAGCAGTCCCATGTTCTCACGCGCTCCTGGTAATGTGACGCCAGGCAGATCTGGAAAGCCCTTGACCCCGGCTGCCCAGATGCTTCTAAAGAAAGTTGGGAATACTCCTCGACAGGCGACTTCGTCGTCAAGATTAAAGAACATGTGGACACCAACGCCGAAAAGGGCGAAATAGATGTCTTCATTTTCGCCCTTTTTTATTTACGGTTTATGATGATACCCAGGCAAATGATTATTATATTCATATTTTCTATATCAACTAGATTACTAAAGTAGACCAATATACTTGAGAGAAATCCAGGATTTTGATAAAGATTTTAATTGAGGGTATCAATCGTAAACAGATGCAGTCCCAATCCAACTAAACTAACGCTGATGAAATGCAACAAATGAATCAAAATATATGGTAAAACTGGCTTTGCACAACAAAATGACACTAAAAGAGTAAAAACGTGGGCATTGAAATAGTCGTTGAAAATATACATGGTCAAAGATTAGTAAAATAACGATGATGCTAGCCAAAGAACGCAGAAACCAAGGAATATCTCAAATGAGAAATTTGCCGCGAGTTTCATCGGACTGCTATTCAAGTAGTACGCCGCACCGAGATAGCTGCATGTAATATCGCCGTTCGATGCCCGGTAGCCATATGAATCATTGAGATATTGGCCCGTGGGGCATTGGAAGCCCAAGGCAGAAGGACAAGTGCGAACGAGATCATTGCACAGGTCGTGACAGGGGAGAATCTCCTTGTACGGACCCGGCTTGATCTGACTATCGATGAGGGGATTGCGAGATGCATTTGTGACTGGTGATAATACTAAGGGGTCATCGGCGGGAAGCGTGGTCCCGTTCAGGAATGCCTGCCCTGCGTTTCGAGGCTGAAGGAAGGAGAAATTGCTAGAGTAGTCGTAGCATCGCGGAATCGTGACGGCGCAAAGCCATTGTTTGTATGCTGACGCGCAATCGGGGCAGCCGACTGCAAGAGAATACATGGATATTGATGATGTATTGCACGGGATCAAAGACAGAGAGTTTGTGAAATTCTGGTAGTAACTCTGGGCATTTGAATCGTACATGTGCGCCAAGGTCGTAAGGTCGATTGATGGGTTGGAGGGTACTGCATAAGCAACCTGAGAACAAAAATCCAGATTATAAAGAAGAGCGCAATTACTGTCTATTCTCCTGTTAGAAATATCCCAAACTGGCAAATAGCCAATGGCAGGGGAACAAACCGGCTTTTGTAGTGAAGTTCATCGCTCTCCAAACTTTTCCACCCCCACCAATCACATCAATTCCACTAGCTGTAGAGTTGCCATACATACCAAGAATTCCATAATAAGTAGAGCTGCTGTTTAAGTAGGTGATCTTAAACTGCTCCTTGGGTTTGTTTCCTAGCCCTCGACTAGTCATCGATGTGTTAATTGCGTTGTTTCCCGGTCGTATCTGAGCCGACAAGCTGAGAGCGCAGTATGATCTTTCTAACCCGAATATGGCAGAATTGTTGATATTATGCGCAAACATAGTGTATGGAGGTGTTATGTTCATCCACTGCTGATAATTCGGCGAGTCCGGAGATGACTGGGTTACATTGTCTGTGATCAACAAAGCAGAAGTTGTGTCTGAGTCGACAAAATAGAGGTTCGTAGTATCATCATCAACAGAGTGGAAATAAGCATCAATTGATGCTGCAAGATCATAATTGTACACTCCGGAGAAGAGCGTCGAATTAGGTGCCGCCACTGAGACGTAGACATCACTCTCGGCAGAAAAACTCGCTCCCATATAGCCTTGTTCCGCTATATACTCGGCTTGTTCGTCACTACTTTTACCAGGGCCGGGCGCCTTGTTATTCTCGGACGTTGATATGTAAACGGTCAAGGGGGGTATTGCCGCACTCAAGGGATCGACGTTTGTGCTATTAAGACTCGGTCCCAAACAGGTATTCAAAGAAATATAGACTGTATTTTCTCGCTTTTTGAGTTCGTGATTCATTACCACTCCACTCGCTGATGACGGGTCTGTAGCGGTAACGTTGGCAGGAAGTCCGGTTGGCGTTGCTGATCTCGGGGCAGTCACGGCACTTTTGGGAAATGTCCAATACTGGGTTTCGCCCAGGTTTATGTTTGATTGTTTGAACTGATTGTTAACCAGCGCTTGGGGTGCAGGGGTGTCACGAGCAGCAATTTTCCCTGGGATCGTGCCATCATCACCATCATCGTCATGCGCGGCCTTTCTTCCCTCAATGAGCAACGGATAATCAGCGACCTTTGGGTCTACCGGACGTATTTCGAGAGCGTATGCGAAGCTGCCTAGGTCTGTGAACAAAACATAGTAGAGGATGACAAGCAGAATAGTGGCAGCCAAAGTGGCGGCGAAGCGTGATTGTAAGGGGGTAAGTTTAGGGAACTGCATCCCTACGACGAAAAAGGTGCCCAGCTTGATGCGCTGCTCCGAAAGAACAGCTCATCAAGGGAAACAATATGGAGAGGGCAGCAAGCAATCCATTTGACTCGCTGGTTGCTCTTTATTATTATTATCAGCCGGGCGAGAGTTGACTTGACGGTGGATGCTGAGTGCTGCGGCGTTCATTGTTCCGCAGATTGTCTCAAATCCGACTACGCCACACTTTTGGCTGTCTTGTTCGCTCCTGCTATTATAAGGTACGGTGCTAGTCCGGATAGGATCTAGCTCAATTGTCATGACACGCGTCTAGCCGTCGTACATAATTACGTGCGAATTTGCAAGGCCCAAGAAACAAGAATGTTCAAGTGCCCGTTGAGCATTTTCAATATAGGAGCGAGAAGACTACGGAACATGAAGATGCAATTTATAGCCATATATTCGAGTAACAAGAAGCATGAAATAATTAAACCTTGGATGTCCATAATAGATCAGTAGCAATATGTAGCAATGTGGTCTGCAAGAAAAGCACTCAAAACAATCTATAATAACGTGCGGTAATTGTGATTGAGATAAGCAGAAACGCGATGAACCCGACAATGCCGAAGAACCACCCTAGGGGGCCATTGTGCGCGCCAGGCACCGGAACATTCATACCCCAAAGACCACAGATTAGATTCATGGGAACAAGGATACTACCAATAAGGGTCACTTTGCTCAAAATCCGATTGACTTGATTGCCGACAATGATGTTGCTAACATTCAGCTGGGCAAGGTAGTTGCCGTGAGAGCGGCTGAGCATCTTCTCAAAATGGGCCAAATTGGATACCATGGTAACAACATGGTCCTGGATATCACCGAGATATAATCCAATGTCGCCTCTAGGTGTGACGGAATACTGCTCATTGCACCGTTTGGAAAACCCCCTGATAACATCGGCCTTGCCACCAAGAAGTCGCATCAAAGTCATGACCTTCTTGCGCAACTCACCGATGCGTGGTAAGAAGGTTGAGAAGTCCTCCGCTCGAGAAACAAACACATGGTCCTCAATGGCCTCAGATTCAATTTCAACGTCACGCATGATAGGACCAAAGCTGTCGACAATATCATCTCTGTTTCTTTGGTGTTAGTGGCTGCTCGACTAAGAAATGCGAGACATTATCCGTTTAACTTACATCATTGCATAGCAAATCCAATCACTGCTCAAAGAAACGTAGTCACGAAGTTTTCCAATACGCTTGCGAACACTAGAAGCATGCTTGTTCTCCGAAAACGAAAATGACAGAACACCGTCGCGATACACAACCATGTAGATATTGACTGGGTCCAAAAATCGCTCTGGGTCCTTTTTGTCGTGAAAGAAAGTTCGGAAACAGACAAAGTAGTACTGTTTAAAAAGTTCCACTTTCTCCCGAGCTTCCTGCATCATGATATCTTCGGCAGTCAAAGGATGGATGGAGAAGGCGCGGGAAAGTGCTCCAAGCTCAGCCTCCGTGGGATTGACAACATCTAGCCACCAAACACCACCCTCTGGACCCAGTTGAAAGAGATCGCGGAATGTATCTCCCGGTAGAATAAGATCCCCCATGTATGAAGCGTGGATTGTGCTCTGGCACTCGGAAGAGAAAAAGCTGAATCGAGTAGGCAAGTTCGCGTTTTGTAATTTTTCCAGCGCTGCTTTCTCATTCATAGTCTCCCCAGAGAGCTCCGTCTTCAGATTTGACTGGAAGCCTTCTGAAGAAGAGCGTTCCGGAGTCGTATCAGCTACAACAATATCGGGAAGGTCAAGAATGACAGAGCCTTGGCTCTTCTGCCGAAGATCACTGAAAATCCGCTGAGCTGGCGTATGCGAGCTCATACTCTGCTTGCGACTGATAGCGGTATCCTTGTCTTGTTTGTTCAAAGCAACAAACTCTTCGAGTTCCTCGTAGTCGATGACTGGGATGCGCCCAGGCTCTTGATAAGAGCAGTCACAGTCGCTTGGAGCAACATCTATTAATACGTCACCGCTCTGTTCCGGTCGAATGGCACTAGCATTGCTGATGGTAGGACGTCTTGGATGGGTACCACCGGATACGGTACGGTGCAGAATGGTGTCAAGATCTGGATCAGTATGGCTACCCACTGTGTTTGCGCGCTCCCGTCGGCGTGGATCAGCAAAGGCATCAACTGAATTGGGTGGAGATGAGGAACTATCAGACACGGAGGAAGCTCGAGATCGCGGTGCCATATCTTGCTGAGTACGACTTCTAGTACGGTGCCGGTGGGCGGGGTCTATGGAAAGACGCCCGGCGAAAGTGTCAATGTCTCGTTCATCGTCAATAACTGCCTGTTCAAAATCTCGAGTTATCGGTTCATTGGCCCGGAAAGTTTCGTGGACCGGCAATAGAGATGGGCGACGATCAATGGCCTCACCCTGTTGGACAGAAGGCAAGCCCGACATGGCTTCAATGACCGGAGAATGATGATCCATTTGGAATCGATGATCGTCCAGCTCGGGGACGGGAGGGGGAAACTGCGTAGAGGGTGTTTCGGACTGCGGGGTTCCTAGCATGGCCAGGGAGTTGACTTTTCAAATTCAAATTAATCCATTCAGTGGACGATATCGTGCAACCAATTCCACAATCAGATTGGTCATATATAATGCGTTGGAATTTTGTTGATAGGCCCTCGGCAATGTTTAGCCAGACCCAGAAAAGGGTCTGGCAAGACGATTGCAGGTACGTGAAAGAGCCTCAAAGCTGATTATCACCAGAAGCCTAGTTAAGGAGGCCGAGTGTCGCCCCCACAGAAGACCCTGAACTTTGGGCCTAGGAGAGGGTGAACGAAAGAGCTTTGGATGAAGCGAAGTCCCGCCAACTTGGCTGTATTCAAGCGATATGAGCGTCGACGCTCCAGAGTTGTATTTGGGAGGTGAGGGTGGTTTAGGGGAAAGCAGCAGACAGCGAAAGGCCGGCTGCCAAGCTTGTCCGAGACAGATAGTTGATATCTCAGGAACAAGTCGAGTGACAGAGCAGAAATTTTTCCTGCGGGTAATCTGTTCGAAACGAGAACACTTGAGAGATGAGAAGTGCGTCCTGGTGTTTGTTTTTTTCTCTTTTTTTCTCTGGTGGGAAAAGTGGCAAACTTTGTCCTTTCTACCCACTTCCCCTCACTGATTCACGAGCTCTTTCGCGTTTCCTTTTTTTTTTTTCGATTCCTTCTTGCGAGGAATATATCAGATATCGACACACAAGATACGATGAAATTGGAATGTTATCAGACAGATAAAAAGACACCGTAACGGTGTGATTGGAGTATGGGAGAGAAAAGGAGAGAGAAAAACTCTTCCGGAGGTGGCTGCAGCCGATGATATATTCCGGAGTAATAGGCGGAAGCAGTTAGCGGGGAGATTTTGCAGGCTGGTCCCGGTTGGGCTTAGCTATCTGCCCGATAGGGAATGGCCTGCTAGTACCACTCACGGAAGGTAGCTAGACTGCTTAGTACATAGTTAGTTCGTTGCTGCACAGTAGAACTGGAGTTTCCTCCAAGTACAGTCACTTATTGTGTCTGATTCCAGTTGTACTGAGCAAGGAGATGTGCTTGATTGTGGATCTCCTGGCACAGCATGTCCGAGTCGTGCCATGGGTGTTGTGGTTATCCATTAATCAATTGATACGCGTACTTGCGTCTTATGAATAGCAAGGTTTGGCAGATCGCATTACGATGAGATTTACACCTCCCTGCTTATGCACGTGTAGATCGTCCCATGTGGTTGGCGAGCCGATGACAAACTCAGATCATCTGCAGAAAGACAGTCAGTCCGCGATGCCAATCAACCCTGACCGTCTCTCCAGAATATGCTATTGGGGAGCAAATTTCGCATACATATCGAATCACCGCCTGATGGTACAGAAGACGATCGACATGCAATCAGATCAGGGCGATTGTTCAACCCTTGTCCTGATTGGGCAGCCTCTGCATTCATAATACATTGTAAGCGGAGGGCCAATAGCAAGCAAGACATCCAGGAGGGCCACCCTGCCCAATTAGGGCACGCCGACGTCGGCCGCGGACTTTAAAGTTTTGACTGCTTTTTTCGATGTGTCATACGCATGCGTGCATTGAGTACGCCTTCCGTTCGAGATATCCATGCTGTGAATGCGAGAGGTCTAACCATCGCCAATAACGATATCCCACGTGGTCGTGAAAACGCAAGCATTCCGAGTGTGGGCACCAAAAAAAGGAAAGCCCCGCTTATCGCATCACAAGCGGTGGGGTCGAGCAACACAGATCAATTAATTGATCGTTGTTGTATACAACTTGTGTAGCCGAGCAGTAACTGCCCTCTTCAAAGGAATAAAGGCAGACGGACATCAATGGCTTCCTCCTTCATTATACGCACTCCGTGCTCCTCTGCCAACATCGGCCCTGGCTTCGATGTCATTGGCCTGGCATTGACTCTCTATCTCGAAGTCCGCGTTACAGTCGACTCGACCAAGACCTCTTCGCAACAGCCACTGAATTGTGTCATTACATACGATGATGAGAGTGGAAGTACAGAAAAGATCAGTCTAGATCCCGAAGTCAATCTTATTACCCGGGTCGCTCTCTATGTACTTCGATGCCACAATCAGCGCAGCTTCCCAGTGGAAACTCATGTGCATATCAAAAACCCTATCCCCCTAGGGCGCGGCTTGGGATCATCGGGCACGGCCGTCGTGGCAGGTGTAACTCTTGGAAACGAGGTCGGAAAGCTGGGGTTAAGCAAGGAGCGCTTACTGGACTACTGTCTGATGATCGGTAGGATCTGCCCCTCCCTACACGCGCTTGCTTCCTTTGACTAACAGAAATTTTCTGCTACAGAGCGCCACCCAGACAATGTCGCCGCATCGTTGTTTGGCGGCTTCGTGGGAACATATTTGAACGAGCTGAAGCCAGAGGACGTCGCCCGCATTGAGATCCCGCTTAGCGAAGTCCTTCCAGAGCCTGCTGGAGGCATAGACACAGGCAAGCAGCCACCAGAACCCCCAGTGGGCATTGGTCATTACCGCAAGTTTGCATGGGCCAAGGAGATCAAAGCCATCGCTATCATTCCAGATTTTGTCGTGCCCACTGCCAATGCTCGAAACGTTCTGCCCAAGTCATACACCAGAGCAGATGTAGTATTCAACCTGCAACGAGCCGCCCTGCTACCCTTGGCTTTGGGCACATCCCCTCCTGACCCAGACACAATCTACTTGGCAATGCAAGACAAAGTCCACCAACCGTATCGGCAATCCCTCATCCCTGGCCTTACTGAGATTCTGCAATCTATGAATCCGTCCACACAGCCAGGATTACTAGGTATATGTCTATCAGGAGCTGGCCCGACCATCCTTGCCCTCGCCACAAATGACTTTGACGATATTGCTACGCGCATTATCGCTCGATTCAAGACCCAAGGCATTTCATGCCAGTGGAAACTGCTAGAACCTGCGCAGGAAGGCACCGTCGTTAAACCAAATTAGGACAAGGGTAGTTCTTGGGACTGCTTGTAATCTCTACCCGGCCAATATTGTACCGAGATTGTTGAATGAATCGATAGATTTAGTATTTTTGTAGGTCAATTTTGAATGACCTCCAAAACAGTTAGATAGACCTATATAATGAATGGAATATACCTCTCTCAACCTAAATATGTAGAGTTACAACAGAATACGACAGTTAACCAAGAGATATATTTTTGGTGCGCTTGGAATACAATGCCGTCCTGTTTTATTACGAAAAATGGTTCGCAAGAAACATGACAAATATGGCCAATGAACTCAAAAAAGGGTGTGCATCATAATAAAACAATAGCAGGAAGATTAATGCCATGGCAAGAAAGAAACTCTGGGTCGGCTCGTGCCTTATTCATCCTCAACGTCCCCCATCTCCTCATCTTCCTCATCGTTGTTGACAGCCGCCGCCACGGCAGCAGATTCTTCGTCCTCATCATCACTGTCATCAACAACACGCTTACTGCCTCGCACACGACCCCGTTCCTTTGCGCCAGAGGTAGCGACTGGTTCTTGCTCTTTCTCGTCGTCATTGAACAGGTCATCAGCTGCAGAGTCAGTACCGCCATTTTCGACTGGGGGAGTAGCGTCATCATCCGAATCTGAGTCAACCACGAGTTCACTGCTCTTGTATTTGCCCGGCTTCTCTTTCGCACCTCCCCGACGCTCCAATCGTCTTCGCTTCTTCGGAGCTGGTGATGCCTCCTCGCCATCAGACCGCGCCACACTCACACTTCGTCCATCTGAAACAATATCGTCATCATCCTTCTTCTTGCGCTTAGACACCTTCTTTTTGCGCTTCTGTTTCTCTCCGGTTTCCGAATCCGTGGTAAATTCAGCAGCATCCCGAGCTCGTTGTTCCTCCGCTCTCTGTATTGCCAATCGCTGTGTCTCCTCGACCATTCGCTGACGTTGTTCTGCAAGTTGACGTTTCCTCTCAAGCTCAAGCTCTTGAGCTTTGCGGACTTCTTCTTCGCGACGCTTCAACTCCGCGTCACGGGCTGCACGGGCTTGTTGCAATTTAAGCGCATTCTTTTCTTCAAACTCTTTTTGGTTCTGAATAGAACGCTCGAGCTGCTTGCTAATAGTATTTTTGCCCATGTTTGCTCGCTGCTCCAAGGATCCTGGAGGGTATGGGGGATTCCTCACTTGTGCTAGGCGCCCAAAGGTTTCGATGGCCTTTTCAAGTCCTTCGGCAGCTTCTTGTAGCTCTTGCACTGTTCTCTGTGTCTCTGGAAGATTGTTTACCAATAGTGCAATCTGGTTCTGGACGAATGCAACATTGAACTCCAAATGCACCTGCTCTGGTGCCACAGCAAGAGCTCGATTGGCGTATTCAAGAGCATTTTTCATTGCTACTAGGCTCTTTTCTTGCTTTCCTTTCAACCACCAAACACGTCCGAGACATGCTAAGACCTGTGTATCACGCCCTCGATCCTTTGAGAGAGCCATTTCATAGCTCTCAATCGAGCGTGTGAATTGTTTCAGTTCCGCATAAGCATGTCCGAGATTAAGGTAAACACTTGCTTCCTTGACAGTATCTCGAACCTTGGAGAAAATCTGTACAGCAGCAGCGTAGTCTTTGCGGTCATCCACAAGTGCAATGGCAATTCCTTGAGCTGCATAGGCATTCTTGGAATCCAGCTGGAGGGCTTTGTCAAAAAATTCAACAGCACGTTCATACATCTTACGTCTCTTTTCCTTGTCCTGGTCTGTCTCTCTTCGCATGTCACGGGCAGTGAGAAGGTGAATATTGCCCATGCCCGTCAAAGCATATTTATCATGCTTGTCAAAGTGCTGCAATGTGTGCTTGTAATGCCGTTGTTCATTATCCTCAGCCAAATTCGCAACTCGTTTTTTGGATTTGCTGAGATACCAACCAAAAAGTGCCCGAACTTCAAGATTAGCGGAATCACTCTCGTACAACTTGGCCATTTGTTTTGGACCCTCATCTGTTGGACTTTGGCGGAGGGCAAGATATGTCATTCTTGCATTAGCCTCAGCATAGTCACTATGCCGTTCAAGGAGGCCCTCATAGGTCTTCTTCGCCTCATCTGACATATCTAGCGCTTCTAAAGCTCGGGCAAGGTTATAGCTAATAGTTGTATTAACAAGTGCATCTGCGGTTGCTTCGCCTTCACTTTCTTCAGATCTCGTGGAAGCGTTCAATGCAGATTGGAAAAAATCCTTAGCTTGCGAAACCTTGTCTGATTGATAAAGAAAACAACCAATGTTGTTTAGGAGTTGAGGGGGCAGGTATTCGAGAAGAGCGGCTTTCAAAGCTTCTTTTTCGACGTTTTGTGGTTTGTCCTGGTCAGGAATTTGTTCCATTTGCATTTCTTCCAACTGAACAAGGCACTGCATGCTTTTCTCTGGGGCGATGGTTTCGTAAAGTCGCGAAAGATATATCAACACGGACTCATCGGGCGAAATGTTCTTCGTAGAATCTTTCCAGAGGCTTCGGACAGACTCAAAGAGACTAATGGCTTTTGTTGCATCAGCAGACTTGTCGTCTTTGCTGCCGCTGGCTTGAGCAGAGAAAACATCCTCGGCCAACAAAGCACCAAGTAGAGACATGCATTCCAAACTTTTCGTCTGCTGAATGATTTTTTCCAGTCGAAATTTCGCGCCATCAAGATCGTTAGACTTGATTTGCATTTGGACGACTCCGAATTTCCCTGGCAAGTAACCGCTATCACCACCACCACGAGCTTGGTCTGATCTGTTAAAGAACTCGGATGCCTTGGACATATCACCCTCATAGTGAGCTTTTCGCCCCAAGAGGTACCAGCCATCACTAGCAATAGACATGACATCAGTTTGCTCGATGGCTTTGCGAGCCAAAGCCTCCACGGTTCTGTAATCTTTACGGATCAATTTGTAAGCGGCGAATTTCGCGCACGTCATAGGGTAATCTTTGTCCACCTTGAGAGCATTCTGTGTGTGAACCATGGAGGTTTTATATAGTTCGCCGAATCGTGGGTCACTTGTTGGATACTGAGAGCTGTTATAAAGGTAATAAGATGCTAAGAGAATATTTGCCACCTTCGACTTTGGATTCTACAACGTCATAGGTATTAGTTGTGTGAAACAGGCAAACGAAGAATGTGGACTCACAAGAGACAGCGCTCGCTCCCATGCATCCTTTGCTCGATCCTTGAAACCCAATTGCCATAAACAACATCCGACACCAATTCGTGGATCAGGGTCAGTGAGACCAGGCATTTTCATAAGGACATGTTGATACGTCATCAGCGCATCGGCATATTTTCCCAGAGAGTATTGCGCTCTAGCTAGCCCTAAGTGAGCCATCACGTTCCTTCCTCCCGAGGCTTTGGACGACTCTTCGAAGCATTTCAAAGCTTGTCGTAACGCTTCGACCCTCTCTGAATTATCTGGAATACCCGGCCTGGCAGGTTTCGGAGGATGTAGCGATGCACGTAAAAGAGACAAGACACCGCGGGCAAGGAAAAGTGGCGGGAAAGCTGGGTTCAAACGAGACGCTTCGTTCAAAGTCGACGTTGCTAGCTGAAGGTAGTGATCCTTGGTTTTCACTTCTGACCCAGTTCCTTCAGGAGCAACTCGAGGTGCTTGACGGCTCTTAAGCATCAACAGCCAACATACCCAGTTAAGAAGCCCCAGTTTTTCCTTTGTTGCTCCATGTGCTACAGACGCCAAGCCCTTCTGGAGAATTTCTATCGCATGGTCGAGCTGATTTTGCTTCGCATAAGCTAACGCTATAATGACCCAGAAATTTTTGGCAGCTTTTTCGTTCTCTAAAAGAGTGCAAAGCTCCGTTGGGTCATCGGGTAGTTCTTCGAGGCTGACTTCGACTTCGCTATCGAATGTCGATGCGGGAATATCAATGGCTGAAGGGATGTCAGAGAAACGAATAGAGAAAGGCAACGTCTCGGAGTTCAAAGTCAGGTCATCGAGGCCATTTGCATGGCCGTTTTCGAGAGTGGCCATGGTCTGCCTGGTGTTTTTGGCGACGGCGCGATCGCAAAAAAAGATCGCGAAGTTGCAGGGAATGACACAATGCAATTAGTAATCCATGATTGCCAAGATGAAACCTCCCATGGATATGTCTGAGAGATACCGGCTATCAAACGATCAACAGAATGGTAACGGTGTCTCTGCAAGAGAGGTGAGCGAAAGTTGAACAAGGAATTCACGTCTGTGACGAGTAACGGAAGAATAGCCTAGCCGCAGTCGAGCCCCAAGTACACTAGCCACATCCGCAGCCCCACACGCGATTGATAGGACGCGGTCAATGATTATTCTCAAGCATGGCTTCATGTAAAATAATTTAGGTGTTCCCGGAAGATGATTGTTTGCTCAGAGAACGAACTGCTGACCAGCGGCTTATTGATGTCGTGGGTTTACAATATACTTATTTACACCAGCATGAACGCTCACGAAGAACCCCAATATAAAAAGCCCAAGGCACAAAATAGGAGTACCGCAAAAATCTCACCAATCTCAATCCAGTGTCTCAACTGGATAGTCGTCTCTATGTAGCCACGGGAAGCTTCGATCGCTTGGTTTCCGGAAGTGCCAGCGCTGTCTATCGAAGACTCTAGGGAGGTTGGAAATCGTCCAGTTTCGAAGAATTGATCCAGTAGAGCGTCCTTCTCTCTCCATCGTTCCAGTAGCCACTCCTCAAAAACCCTTTGGTCGTCTAAGGGAATGTCTTCCACAGCCCAGCGTCTCCAATACATGTTCACCGACTTTGGAGGCCGGCCCTGGCCATAAGTAGATCGCAGTGTGAAGTAACGATCGGGATAACAACCTTTTCTGTAAGATATATTAGTCGGGATGCCATCAAAATTTTGTAGAAGAGGATGAATCCGCAGCAAATACATACGGTGGTCCTTCATAACCAATAGTACAGTCGTAAACACAGTCTACGGTACCTTTCAGTTGTTGCAAGCAGAAAAAGAGTCCAGTGGATCTTGGAAGAATCATGTGTTTCAGAGGCTCGATGCCGGTCTTTTCGCCGTATTTATCGCTAATTCTCTTTGTGTTAATCGACAAATTGGTTCCTTCTGGGAATATCAACAGCCACATCGGATCCAGACTTTGCGGTCCAGACATAGGCCCTGAGTGTCGAGTCTTGAGTTTATCGAGACGATGCTGTAAGCGTGGCTTGTCAGACTCCCACTTACGAGCCATAAATATGAAGCCGTAGAACATCATTCCTGTGCCAAGTAACGGGATGTACTTGAGGGATTCCTTCAATATGATATATATATGACCGTGCATGCGCGACGTGTACGTGATCCACCATAGGTAGAGCCAGTCGGTATATACTTGATGGTTGGCGATGAACACAAGACGATTGGTGAAATTGGTCTTTAATCGCCCGTCGGGAGTAAGGTGAAGCTGCCCTTTCACTGATTCATCTCCACTGACACGAACCAAGGTCGGTGCACCCCAGTGGGTGACGGTGATGATCAGAATACCGAAGCACTGCTTCGTCATAGACATGTAGGCGTAGAAATAGTCCTTGTTGACAAAATAGAGCGGTGCTCCAATGAACTGTGTAATAACTATAACAACACAACAGCCATTAAACCACGTTATGAGTAGAAGAGATCGAAGAATTTGCATCAAAATTCCATGCTTCAGTTCGGGATCCCCATCCTGTTCCTTCGCACGAAGCTCCCCGCTCTGGGTAGACGAGGTCGAAACTTCCGGTATTCGGTGTCGCAAATCAGACATTGTGGCGATAACCGTTTTGTTGTTGTAGTCACTTTCCAGAAAGTCCCCACGTACAGACTTACGAGAGCTGTTGTTCCCCGTATATGGGTTATTTACTGACTTCACGCACCGAACTAATACGATGGTGCTGCACGTGGATGACCCCGCGGATAGGAGTTTGCCGGGAGGTGGGATTTAGTTAAGCCATAGGAGCATGTTTCTCTTTTGGCATGCAGTGAATCATTTCAGATAGAGAGTGAACAAGCGATGCTTTGGGAAGCGTTGAGAAAGAACGAGAACAGAGCCGGCTGCCAGCGGATGACTGCCTAACCCTAAAGGATGATCATCGTCCGTTATCAGTAGGCGCGGCCGTGCTGGTGGAATCCGGAGGCGGTGAGTTGCGGCTGCAGATGCACGGATCCAGCAAGAATGTCACGAGATCCTGACATCAGTAGCTACTCTGGAGCTAGTGACGATCTTCTTTGCTTTGCTTTGCTTTGCACAATATGGTAATCTGCGCCTTGTGATGGAGTAAGACAACCAACCCTGGAGTTCCTCCTCTTCTTCTTTGTTTCATGAGAAATGGCCATGAAATCAAACACTCGGCCAACTTCCAGTACACACTGCTGCGGCATTCCAACTCAAGCTGCTGCAGAAATCTACACCGGGATCCTTGCTGCGTACAACAACTCTGGGTTTGACCATGGTCAGGCTCATTACGTCTCAGGCTCGCCAAGTCACAGGTAAAAACCTACTGACTCGCCTATTCTCTGTTTCGGCACGTTTGCGAGAGATTAGAGATGTACAAACTCTCCCGCGACGGCTTCTTCCATTATATCAAGGTGTGCGTCCATACAATTTGCAATGCCGTACAACGCGAAATTTAACGTTATGACTGCTACTAGAGTCCGGAGGCAGTGATCTTTTGTCCCTTCAATGGCCGTCCCCTCCACGCAATATCTTGATTGTGAAAAAACTCAGCGCCCCGGCAGTGACGCGATCTCTAATAGAATTCGTCAAGTACGGAACCGCGAAGCTATTGATATCATCGTCTAATCTTTGGTTATAGTCACATAATGTCCACATATCCCGCTCTGTCTATTATTTTAGAACCAAAGACTGCGGCAGAAGTTCATGCATCCTTTTCAATACCAGTATACACATCAACGTCTAATAAACCTTTATCGGCCTCAACACACGAAAAGGTCGATATGGTGGTCACCCTTGGGGGAGATGGCACCATCCTTCGAGCCTCCTCTTTGTTTGCAACCTGCCATAACGTTCCTCCCATGCTGTCGTTCAGTATGGGCACCTTAGGGTTTCTCGGAGAATGGAAGTTTGAGGAATATAAACGTGCTTTTCGGGAGGTTTATATGTCTGGCTCCGGGGCTGGTGACCGCACATCGGTCTTGGATGACATAAAACCTACTGTTGCAGATGAAGAAGCGGAATCTCAGATGGGACCTACAGGGTGGTCGTCTATTCGTGGGAAATCTATGGGCTCTACACGAGGAGCTCGTATACTAATGCGCAATCGCCTACGCGTTGGTCTTTTCACGCCGGATGGAAAATTAATCAATACCCCGACACAGGATAGCCCTGATGATACTGAGGCGGCTAATGGGCGTGTTTATGCTCTAAACGAGGTGCTAATCCACCGCGGAAAGGAGCCACATTTGGCAGTGTTAGATGTGTTTGTCGGCGGACGTTTCCTCACTGAGGCTGTGGCCGATGGCATGATCGTTTCGACGCCGACCGGGAGTACGGCGTATAGCTTGAGTAGTGGAGGAAGTATCGTACATCCTTTGGTTCCGTCGCTTCTTCTGACTCCGGTATGTGCCCGAAGCTTGAGTTTTCGACCTCTGGTCCTACCTTCGAGCACTCCCGTCACACTGCGACTGAGCTCCAAGAATCGAGGCAGGGAAGTGGAAGTAAGTATCGACGGTAAGAATATGGGCCAGGGCATGGCGGTCGGAATGGAGGTACGTGTATGGGATGAGGAGATTCGACATGGAAAGAATGATTGGCGTGGAGGGGTGCCTTGTGTGATGAGGAGGACGATTGGCGTAACGGATGATGGATGGGTCGGTGGTCTGAATTCGTTACTCAAATTTAACTATCCCTTCGGAGCTGATTAGTTTGATGACGACTCAGCACCAAGTGTCCGTGGATAATAAGCATAGAATGTACATACATACATACATACCCATCATTCGAATGTTCGTATGTTCGTCCGAAGGGTGACAGAAGGGGATTGTCACTTCACGCCATGCACTATGTAATCTACAATCATTGATGCTTGCATTTGGACCGTGTTTTAGCATTCTCACATAGAAATAGTTTAGTAGGCACATCAAAAAAGGAGAAAGTTTCATCCACCACCTTGGGCAAATACGCACCTTGCAGTGCATTCTCATTTTATATTAATGATACATTGATATATACTAATACCCGCTCATCGTTTATTTGGTTATGGTGCCTAGCTGCAAAGTTACGTATAAGTACATGCAACATGCAACAGTATTCTGTGGGTGGACGAAGAGAATAGTCGCGAGTTCCTCCCCACATCTCCTTTGGTTTTAGGCTTTTAGCGCGCTTTGAATTCAATTGCTGATAGCTAATCATATCGGCGTGCAATGCAAATTGCATTTATGACAAACGCTACAAAGCAGTTAATATACTACTGCAGGCCTGGGATGTTCGATATCCGATCACTGAAATGCATATAATAACTAGATGCCAAACACATTAGTAATGCTTATGTATGGTCTTTGGGTTGGAGGTGTTGAGAAAGGTCAGCACTAGTGAGGGCTACTAATAGCTGACAACTTGAGCCTCAGGCATCGAGTTGGCATTTGCTCCACAGGGCGGTGCATGTATGAGACTTTCGGGTTTTATGTATCAGTGATCTATCTCTCCTAACGATTGTGGCCTCGTGAAATTACACCAAGTCTGTTGATAGGCCGCGGCTGACTTGTCGGGCATTGGTTTGTAAGATGGATGCCCACGCGAACTCGATCACTATCGCGAGTATACTATGTGCTCTAAATGACTATTGATGTTGGATATGTATGTGCACATATTGAACATTGAATATTTTGATAATACGCGGGTCAGAAATAGCACCCGCATCAATTGATATTAAGATAGTAACCGCACGAGGTATGACGAACATCGATCCATAATAAAGCCTCTCTATTAATTCGGCCAAGTCTGGACAACAACGGTCCGGCCAAGCTTCGATGGACATTGAATATTGCCGCTGTCCCATTGGCTGCTCCCGTCAAACGACGTTTCAGACATGGCAAGTTGGAACAGGTTTTGCACTGGAGCCGTATCATCATTATTCATGCGAACTATCATTATTGTTGTTGTTGATGTAGAGGCTCGAGGACAACCTGCATGCGGAGCACTCTCATTCGTCGCCAACTTAAGTCAAAGAACAGCCCCGTCCATTTAGTGATATCCATCCCAGCATCCCTTCTCGCTATTCTTTATGCACAGGCCTATACGTTGAGAATGATATGATAAAGAAGAACTTAATAAGGGGATGCTATTGACCTAGATATTCAATGAATGCATCTGCCTAGCAGTGAGTCGACTGTTGTGTTCCCCCACCTCGAAATTGTCGCACTGTACGGATTGGTGGATGGAACCGAATTTTCCCCCGTTGCTTCTTCACCCATGTTGTTGAAATCTTGCATACACTGCTAGCAATCTCTTGTAGTTTCATTCGTGGTGTAGATGGAATAATGGTCGTAATACTCCTGTGCAACATGAGTAATGATTAAAGTGCGGGCAGTACTTAACATGCGGGCGCCTCCATCTCCGCCCCCCTTCCCGTTAATCTCCCAACTGCATTCACTCTCCTCCCTTTGAACCAACAACCCTCGCTGTCTCCCTCCAGCATCCAACACAGTGTACAGCCGGATGAGATTTTTTTTTCTCACTGTGGACGCAGCACCCAGTTTTCTCACCTGCTTGCAATTCTTCTACGTGTACGATTGCAGCCAGGTATTCTGTAAAAACTGGGCCTCTCGCGCAGGGTAAGCCTACTGCTACGATCCCCTCCGCGCCAGCACATCTTCTAGTCATTTTCACACCCACGCTGCTTTACATCCATGGAGGGATCATCCATTCTACGAAATTCACGTGCACATCCTATTCTTGACTTGCTGCAATTTTTCCTGTGCCGACCTAACTCCATAACTCTTTAGGCTTGTGAATACCCCTATCCCAAGTACTGAGCGCTAGTCTGCCCAACACTGTCTAATATTATAATATCTGGACGCCGAAGATGGCGTCCTCTCATGGAAAGTAAGTCTGGTGCTGTCGAATTTCCACCCTCATTGCCTATGCGAGGTGGCAGATCTGCTGTCGCCCCCAATCCCCAGTCCTATCTGATACGCGGCAACAAGCCATGCGATTCTTTTGTTGAATCACTACTCACATGCTTGATTTTAGTGTATATTCCGCCGAGCAGTTTATGAATCCCGGTCCAGCACCTCGGCCACCAGTTGAACGACCTCGTCTCAACACCACCGTTTCTAGCCCTAGCGTCGCTACATCATTTAATCAGATGAGCTTGAACTCTCCAAGTACCCCAACCTTGTCGATCTTCCCAAATACAAGCAATTTATCACTTTCGCAATCCAAGAGCTCACAGGGAGCGCCGCCACCAGGCGTCACCGTTATCAAAGAGGGCTATGTGCGGTGCAAAGAGGATAAGTTTCTAGCCGGATGGAACCAGCGATATCTCATACTGCGCGAGTTTCGCCTCGATTTCTTGAAAAATGAAACGGGGAAAGTGGCAATTTCCATTGCTTTGAATAACATTACTGGTGTCACTCGCTCTGAAGATACTAAAATGGCCTTCGAAATAACCCGGTTAGCCAATCCCAAAGATGCTACCTCAAAGGCGGCACTCATTAATCGCGATTTTCCAACGAAAACCATAACCTGCGAAGTGAAAAACGATGATGAGATTTACGATTGGATCGATAAGATTTATGAACGATGCCCTGGAATGGGAGGAGTCAGCAACCCGACTAATTTTAGTCATCGAGTGCATGTTGGCTTTGATCCACGGACTGGTGCTTTCGTGGGATTGCCGGCTGAATGGGAGAAGCTTTTGACGGCATCTGCTATTACGAAAGAAGATTATAAAAAGAACCCACAAGCTGTGATTGAGGTACTAGAGTTCTACTCTGACATTAAGATGCGAGAGCAGAACCCTCAGTATTATGGCAGTTTAACACCAACCCCACCAGCATCCAATCCATCGTCGATGCAGCTAGGAAACGGAAATGGCATTGCTCCACCACGACCACCGCCACCAAATGCTTTGCAAAGATTAGATAGTGGCCAGTCCCAGCGTCAGCCCGGTTCTACGGGGTCTCCCACCCAAGCGCAGCGTAAACCATCGGACGCAGATCGTGCCTATGAGGTTGACCGCATGCGTGAAATGGCCGAACAGGAGCAGCGACGGCGAATGGAGGAAGAAGCACGCCGAATTCGCGAAGACCAGGAAAGGCGAGAACAGGAGGCGTATAATGCATCACTACCCAAAAGCAAAGTTCCGCTTGCAAAGCAGGAGCTAGGAGGTTATGGAGGTGAGAGCGATCCAGCTACGAATAACCGATATAACCCTAGTAGACCTGCTCCTCAAGCGCCGAATGCCGCTTCCCGTCAGCAGCCTCAGGGTTCCATGAGACAGATGACAGCCCAGAGACCAGCTCCATCACCGCCAACCGCCAATGGGCAACCTATCCAAAGGACAGGTATACTCCCTCGTCATTTTCAGAAAATATGTTCCAGACTTACCAAGTATACCTCTAGATTCCCCTTCTCAAGACTCACGGTCCCCGCAATCAACGCCTCGCCCACAGAATAACGGTATAAAAGCACCACCGCAGGCTCAAGGCCCTCCGCCAACTCGTCTTCCCGCCCCCGTACAACAAGTCAAGCCCCTGAATATTGCAAGCAAACAGAATAACAACAAGGCAGCTGTTTCAGATGGCGTTCGTCAAGCCGAAGCTGCCCTCACGAAGAAGCCTGAACCCCGACAGAAGGAAGTTCGTATGTCGAGCATGACAGAAGGCGAGGTAATGGAGAAACTGAAATCGGTGGTGTCGAAAGAGAATCCCCAAGAATCCTACAGCAAGCAACGTAAGATTGGCCAAGGCGCCTCTGGCTCTGTTTATGTAGCTCGGGTGAAAGAGAATGCAACTTCACCTGTCGCACGTGAGATATACCGAACCCACGGCCCACGCGGACAAGTAGCGATCAAACAAATGGACCTCCGCAGCCAACCTCGCAAGGAACTCATTGTAAATGAAATCATCGTTATGAAGGACAGCCAACATGCAAATATTGTCAACTTCCTTGACTCCTTTTTACAAGATCAGAACAATGAGCTCTGGGTTGTTATGGAGTTCATGGAAGGCGGTGCATTAACTGATGTGATTGACAACAACCCTGTGATCCAGGAAGACCAAATTTCTACCATTTGCTTTGAGGTTTGTTCCCAGTCTGTTATCTACCATATTCCTTTACTAAGTCTCAAATTTCTATAGACTTGCAAAGGACTTGCGCATCTTCACAGCCAAAACATCATCCACCGTGACATTAAAAGTGATAACGTGTTGCTGGACCGCGTGGGAAACGTTAAGATCAGTAAGTTGTCATTGACAATACAAACTGAAACCGCGAAGTATACTAACTAGCAACTCTTTTGCTAGCTGACTTTGGCTTCTGTGCTAAATTGACCGAGTCAAAGAACAAGCGTGCTACGATGGTCGGAACGCCGTATTGGATGGCTCCCGAAGTTGTTAAACAAAAGGAGTATGGCCCAAAGGTGGACTGTTGGTCACTTGGTATCATGGCTATTGAAATGATCGAGTCCGAGCCCCCGTACCTTAACGAGGAGCCTTTGAAGGCGTTATACTTGATTGCGACCAACGGCACCCCACGCCTGAAGAAGCCCGAGAAGCTTAGCAAAGAGCTTAAATCTTTCCTGAGTGTTTGTCTTTGCGTCGATGTCCGTAGTCGAGCAACAGCAGAAGAACTACTAGCACATGAGTTTTTGAAGATGGGTTGCAGCCGTGCCAGTCTCGCCGAACTCCTCCGTTGGAAGAAGAATAGTGGCCAGTAATCAAAATTATAACTATTCGAGCCGAGCAATGGAAGTAGTTGCAACAAGAGACTTGGAGGTATACTGTCAACCGAGCACAGAATCCCCTTCAGCGGATTCGACGCCTACTTATACGCCCTTTCAGTCTTCTTGGCCTAAGCAGACCGAATGTTCGTCTTTCTCCGAGAATATCTCCACAGGCATATTACCTAGACTGCTGGAAGTGTGCATATCGCCTATGCAGATGAATTGAGAGGCTAAAACGGCATCAAAACGCTTATGCTATAGGTGTGATTCTGCAAATCAATCATAATCAAACGATTGCATAAAGGAATGAATGAGGCTAGTCAACTCAAGAGCTTGTTTTGATCCTCGGGGATGGTCTAGGTCCCTGTATAAAGTCGTTCATGGGCGTTTTTATTTCTCCACATTTCACTTTCTATAACCTTTGTCTTTTTTCTTTTTTTTCTTTTTTGCACTTGTCATGACCTTAATGATTGATACATATCTCATAAGTACTCATATCTCGACGACATGCAGTTAACACTGTATGTCATGAATAGAACTGGAAATACAAGCATTCATTCAGTCTTTAGTCTAGACAGTACTGTACAATGCCCCTGTTAAAAATTTAAGCTTTCTGCTTTTAAAAAGATACATATAATCATCTCGTCTCTAGGGACGAAGTGCCTTTATAGAATAGAACAGAATAACCAGGTGTAGTAATGAATAAGAAGCAAAGGATATATGCAAGTCATTAACATTCTAAACAAAACAAATGGAAACAACTCGTATCTGTCAGGGAACACTAGTATTTCAACCACCGCCTACAGCAGCACCAACAAGACCGCCTATTTGGCCGAAAAAGATGCCTTGAAGGACTTGTTCGCCTTCTTCTGTAGCCCAATGCCCGGCTTCGGAAAGAAAGCGTTTCCAGTGGCTTTGTTCCTCTGGTTGCAAGTCTTCCCACTTGCGCGCGTTGTGTTTCTCGGATACCGAACTTTCGTCATCGTGGTGCTCGACTTGTTGTGCGGAAATAGACCCCTCGTCGCTACGTTGCACGATAATGTGAGTGTTCAAAGGTGGATCAACGTCTTTGAAAGTTGATGAGCTGGGTGTATTCGCGGCGCCATCATCAGTGCTGCTGGTAATGCTCTCCTGTCGGCTTTCGAGCAGGCCACGAAGCGCTTTGCCTGTGACTATGGAGGAAACTTGAGCCTGGGGTGCCTCGGTTGATTCTGGTGAGAAGACAGCCGAGCTCAACAGTTTATTGTTCTCATCGAACATATAAGGCCGAGCGATCTTCTCACGAAGTCTTGTGGGGAGCCAGTCTGTGGCGCCGATGTATGCAGGAGTTCCACCTCTAATCTCGGTGAAAGCTTGGAGTAGAAAGCAACTGATTGCAACAACCAGAAGGGCAACGGAGCAACTGAACACTGTTTCCCAGAATTCGGGTCGTCCGGGTACCTTGAGCACATACCGCGGCGTTAAGGTATTAAGAGGAAACGGTGCAAGCGGCAAGGTGTGTACGACGACAGTATTGCCCAAGCTGACCGAGGCAATTTTGACATATTGTGGAAGAGTTTTTGAGGTAACTGGGTGAGATGGGGGTTGGAAAAATGAAAAGCAAATTTTGGTCATGGAGAATGGGTGGACTTCACTGAGTGTTGCATATTTGTCGAGTTTGCCATACTTCTTCGATTTCGGGTTATAGTCGACAGTGAAGATTACGATAGACTGATCGCTGCCTGCGATTGCTATGATATGTTGCTGGTCGCCATTCGTAGTCGCATCCAGATTGACAACATCAAGACCCAATCCAATTTTGACGGATCCACGGAGTTTTCTTTGACGTACAATTTTCCCAACTGTGTCCTTTGAAGAGGGCAAAGAGAGCAGCTTCAGTTCGGAGCCTGTACGATTTGGTGCGTTCTCAAGGAGAACTAAGGCATTAGTGGAAAGGAATCGTAGAGCCCTTAGTTTGGACCGTTTTGGAGATTTGGATATCGTAAAGACTGATTTGACCTCAGGGGAGGCGTCAGATCGTTGTGACGAGATCTGAAATGTGTAGACATCGGTGCCATTTGTGTATGCCACAAGATATTTCCCATCATTCAGGTCTATTATATCCACATCTTCAGCCTCTTCACCGGCATCTAGGCGGATTCGCCCAATGACATCCGACGATTGAGGAGAAGCAGTGACGTTGAACAGAACAATCTCTCCAACAGGAGCCAACCCAGTTGCAATCGCGCCGATTCTGGGAGAGGTTATGCTACGATAAGGCGACAGTCGCAGCAACCTCTGATAGGTGTCGACTTTCTCGCCTGGCTTCAATTTGCCAGCGTTTGCTCTGAACAAAGCAGTTTGAGACAGAGGCGTAGTCTTCCCCTGCTTATTATTCTCATTTGGCTCCTCCTTGCTCTCCGTAGTGTCAGCTTGACTCTTTCGTGGTGGTGGGTATTCTAGCTCGAAGGACCGCAGATGTCGGTTGTTCCCTTTCTTTTGCTCGGCCTGAGAACTGTTAATCCCCGCAAAGGCGACCATTGATTTCTCTTCGGGTTTAGCCACAGCCAGAGAGGTAACGGAGTCTTCATCTTGTGAAAGGTCAATGTCAACAATTTCAGAGACCTTGTATCGTTTTGAGGTGTTTAAGAGGGTCTATCGATAAACAGTGAAGTGAGCCATGTTGTCTAGTCAAGAGGAGCGTGCAGAGAAAGACGCACAATTTTATTCCCTACCCCGCTGCGACCTTCACCACCGCCACCTCCGACAAGCAGGAGACCATGATTTTGAGGGTCAAAGTCCGCAGCGAAAAGAGGACAAGACAGTGTGATCTTGGCCGATCCGATAGACGGCGCCATGGTTATTTTATGTCGATGGCAGACGTTGTCTACTCAAGTAGACAGTCTGGCTGATATGATTCCGTGGACGCTATTGCCGAATTATGTTGAACAAGCAATAGTGAAATTCTTAAAATGGAGCGTGCTCATGGTGAAACTTGTTTAATCGAGGTTGGCTGCGGCCGCGCGAGGAAGCTTAAATGCAGCCGCGGCTCGAGTCACTCACGGCCCACTGACTCAGATGGTGACTGCGAATGGTGGACGGGCCAATAGGGCCTCTCCATCTACATGCCCCCAGCATTTGATAATGCGGGTTACTATAGAATAAGAACACAAATCGATGACGGCATTCCACAATGTCAATATGATTCGTCGGTGCTCATTTCTTCATCAGATTTACCGAGACTGAGATTGAGACTCTCTATTGACTACACAAACGGATCTTGGAGTATTACACCCAGCATTTTTCTCAAGATGATATACGATATTAGCTGACTACAGCAATCAGCAACTTTTAATTCTTCAGTCGGTCTCTTGAGACGTGAATTCTGGGAGTCGCTTTTGCACATCCGTCCAGGTCTCCTCTCCATCAACCATGGACTTTACAGCCTGCAAGATCTCATCTTCGCTCGCACGGACCTGCTTAGTGGAGTCTCTGTCACGCAGAGTGAATGTGTTATCTTTAACAGACTGGAAGTCAATCGTAATACCGAATGGCGTTCCAAGCTCGTCGTTACGAGAGTAACGCTTGCCAATGCTACTGGAAGTGTCGTCGACCTTGCTGGAAATACCAGCACGACGGAACTTCAAGCCTAGTCTTTTAACAAAGGGGGCAAATGATTCGTGATTGGAAAGAGGTACCAAAAGCACCTTAGTTGGCGCAACAAGTGGAGGGAAAGAAAGGACCTATTATAGATAAACCATCAGTGGCAGTCATTCGTAACTTAACAGGATCAAAACTTACACCACGGGCTTCATCTCCAGTTCGGTGCCAATACGAATGTTCGAACAAACTGTAAAGGATTCGCCCAATACCGAAAGACGGCTCAATCACATTAGGCGTATATTCACGAATGTGTTCCACCACTGTACGTTTCTCGATATTGATGAGGTCTTTCTCCAATACCACCTTTCCAGAATCAACTCCCTCTACATCAATTTCGATTTGACCATCCTTAGCAAGATCAAGAGAGAGTTTCTCTCGAAGGTCTTCAGTAAGTGCATTGATTGCTAACTCAACTTTCTTCGCGTCTTTTTTAAAGCGTGGGCCGAATTTGGATTTAGTGATATCAACTTGCCACTGTTCAAATTTCCGCGGCTCTGCAAGGGCCTCACGGACAAACAGCGGAGCCCCAGTCTTCTCCTTGTGCACTGTTAAATCGTATGCGCTACGATCAGCGCAGCCAACACACTCAATCCAGCCGTAGCTCGTCTGAAGTTCAGCATCCCAGCAGTCAGCAGCGTAATGCGCCATCTCATTCGCCATGTGCTGACGAAATCGAAGCTTCTTGGGGTCCACGCCAATTTTAAGCATGAATAGTTGAATGCGTGCGAGGAAATACCCCAGTGTCTGGTTGTCAATCAGACCTGTAGACACAGCTTTGCCGACAGTTACACGTTCAACTTCAGTCCGGCCAGAGAGTTGAACTTCTCGATTTAGCAAGGTCAACTCAATATCCTTGACTTCGTTAAATCGGGGGTGCTTCTTGCCGCCTTCAGGGTCCACAAAGTGCTCAATTTCAGCCATGAGAAATTCTCTGACTCTTAGCAGACCTGCACGTGGAGAGATCTCATTTCGGAATGACTTGCCAATCGATGCAGAAGCGAATGGCATTTGGTTCTGATTGAATTCGAGCAATTTCTGGAAGGTGAGGAACTGGCCCTGGGCGGTCTCGGGTCTCAAGTAGCCTGGCATGTTACTGCTAGGGCCAATTGATGTTTGAAACATCAAGTTGAAAGCGACTGGAGGAAGGAGATTGCCACCAGTGGTGGGGTTGCGAATGTCGTACTTTGTAATAAGGAGTGCCAGCCCATCCCCATCATAGTTGTCGATTTTAGCCAAAATCTCCTCGTACTCCTTGACAACAGCATCATCCAGCTTGACCAGTTTCACATCCTTGACTTTCTTTTTCTTCTTCTTCGCATCTTCCTCCTCATTTACCACAACCTTTTCTCCGCGGGCCTCCTTGTCTGCTTTTAAACGAGCTTCAAGGACTGCCTCAACCAGATGGTCTGCTCTGAAAATCTCGCCAGTCTTGGGGTCCTTGCACATCCAATCGGCGAACTTGTCCACATGTCCACTCGTCTTCAGTACCTCATGCGGGGTAAGCATGGTCGTGTCGACTTCCAGCATGTCTTCCTCTAGAACGAAATGCTTCCGCCATACGTCGATGAGATTGGCTTGAAGCGCGCAGCCCGGGGGACCATAATCATAGAGACCAGCGACACCGCCGTAGGGATCGAACGAAGGGAAGTAAAAAGCTCTTCGACGTAGCATCGACTCCAATACGGAGCGATCCACGACCTGGTCGACCCTGGTCGTTAGGGTCGCCATTCTAGATTTCGCAGGCTTCCCACGTCCGTAATTGATGCTCGAATAGGTGCGACGATTTGTGTGTAATTGATTTCGAAGAGTGCGTGAGAGTAGTCGAGGGAAGTGAGGTTGAGTCATTCACCACAAATTGGAACAGGGCCGGCGGGGTGGGAAGAGGGGTGTGAGTCAAACAGCAAGAAATTCTAGAAAGTCGGAAACGACGAGTACCAAAATTACAGTAACCAAGTTCTCACTTCTCTTGAAACTGCTGTAATGACAGTTTCGCTCGTTACCCACATTGCAGGTACTAATCTGCGGGGAAACAATTTTCCGTGAATGTACTTGACATCAGATCGATACAGAAATTGCAAGGCCAAACCGTTGCTGCTAGGCATCGGTTGGTGTCTCACAAATGAAGGCCAAGATTATTTCAGATATGAAGATGTAGTTGACACATTCCTTGCCAAACATACGACTTTGCTTTGCCTGGAGTGCCTTGGTGCAAACTTACGGTAATTTCATTACCCACATTTTCCCTGTCGGCAGACGGAGCCAATCAGCAACCACGCTGATAAGCTTCGATTTTTATCTTTTAATTTTTTGCTTCATGAAATTCCACCACCAGCATTGCGCAAACTCGTCATAAAAAACCCTCCCAATAATGGCAATCAAAAACAAGCAAATACGAAAACTCCAAAGTATCAAGCGCAAACGCGCAGAAGATGCTGCCCGGCACAAATTGCGCCACGAGAGGAGGAAAGAGGAATCAAAAGACCCAAGTCTCAAAGCAGAGCGTCTGGCTCGTTCTATCCCGCTTACACTAGACGTACGTATAGTTGCCCCAAACCAAAATATTAATGATGATGCCCTTACCGATTTTCCTTGCAGAGAAAACGAACTTGGGATGAAGTCGGCAGCGATGACGAGAATTTACTTGGACTGAGTGTTGATATTGAGAGGCTCAAAGGACAGAGACAGGAGGAGGATGAAGAGAATGCGCTTGACAAAGGCGATACAGAAGAAGGAGAAAACGATGACGACTCTGATGAGGTAGACAGCATGATCATGACCGACTCGGACGATGATGAGGACCAGCACCAAGACGATGAGACAGGCGTGAAATCTCCAGAACATGGTCGGAAAAAGAAATCACTTCCCACAGCCACAGAGCGAGCTACGTCTCCAACACAGTCTACCAAATCCGCAAACCTAAGTTTGGCTCCTGAGGTGCTTGCAGCAAAATTCCCTTCGTTATTCTCAAACGAAGTCACTGCCCCCAAAATACTGATCACGACCTCGCCGCACTCCACATTACATCACGAAGCCAAACTCCTCACATCTCTTTTCCCAAATAGTGTTTATATTAGGAGGACAAAACATCGACATGCCCATACATTCTCAGTGAAGGAGATCTCCAAGTTTGCTGCCAATCGGAATTACACTGCGGTGGTTATTGTCAATGAGGATCAGAAGACATTGTCCGGTTTAGATATCGTTCACCTTCCAGTCGGTCCGATGTTTCATTTTTCCGTTTCAAATTGGATTGAAGGCAAGAAGCTGCCTGGTCACGGTGTTGCTAGTGACGCATATCCCGAACTTATCCTCAATAACTTCCGAAGCCCCCTGGGTATTTTAACGGCCCATCTATTCAAGAGCTTATGGCCAGCCCAGCCAGAAATCATAGGACGACAGGTAGTTACTATTCATAATCAACGAGACTACTGTTTCGTCCGGAGACACCGTTACATCTTTCGCGAAAAGCGAGAAACCGAAAAGGCGGTCATCGGTGCTGATGGAAATGAAATGAAAGGTGCCGAAGGCATCAAAACTGGGCTTCAGGAATTGGGGCCCCGTATGACTCTGAAGCTTCGCCGGGTTGACAAGGGAATACAGCGGTCTAGTGGGCAAGAATGGGAATGGAAGGGAAAAATGGAGAAGACGAGAACAAAATTCCAGCTATGATTTACTTCAATGGTTCCCGTTTTTGTTTTCTCGGCAGACACGTGATGCTTTTACTCTTAGCGATACCATAGCATTGCATTTATTCAATACAATTATGGACAGTAGTTGTCATTTTTTTAATTTTATCAACAATAGATTCATCAACGTATCATAAGTGAAATGAAATCAATGGATATCAACACAGTCGTCACGGTCATCATAAATCGGCTCCTCCCCTAGTTGCAAGACTTTTTGGTCTGTAGTGTCTATAAATTGGGTATCGATTAAAAGAGTAAATTCCAAGTCATAAAAGGCATACGAACGACAATTTCAATGAGGCGTCCATCTTTTATTGTAGTTCGGACTTTTTCATCTCATCGACCAGTTTTTGAATCTGCAGCTGTCGCCTCAGACGGTGTGGTGCGTGCGACATGGGTTTTCTGCCTGTCATAAATCTAACGGTTACGCTGGCTCCTTTAGATACTGCAATCTCCAGCCTGGCCTTTTCGCATATGTCTCGTACGCCCTCCGCTGTCCAGTTTCCGGTGGCTGTGAGTTGCCGTAGACTTCGAGCCTCTAATCCCTCTAGAAATACGATAAGGATCATTTTGCCCAGCGTCCTTTGCTTGGGATCGTCTGGCCAGGTTCCTACTGGTACCGTGATATCATAGGTTCGCACGTCGACAAATCCCACTGCTGTTAACGAGGATGACCTTAAATGATCACGCCCACGGGGAAAGTCTGTAGCATCGGCAGCACTCCGCATCGCAGAAGCTAAGATATTGTAATAGGAATCTGATTTTAATTCGGGGGCGATGAAACTTTCAAAGTCCGGCTCTGATTCGGCAACTTCGATGTAGCCCCCAGCTCTCAGGTGTTTGAAAGCCTGTCTATAGACCCCATCCCAGTTCCTAAATGCGCCAGTGAGGCATCGAAAATGGATCAAATCAAAAGGCTCATGGTAAGTCCATTCCTCTTCGGCGTCATCGAGCTGGAAGTGGACGTTAGGGAGGCCAATGATTCCGGGGCCGGCATCAAAGACGCTGATGTCGGTTGCGATGATCTCTGCATTTGGGTACATTTCTCCCATTTCCACGGCCCAATCGCCGGGTCCAGTACCAATGTCTAGAATACGGGACGGGCCATTTGGAGCTGGGGCCTTTGTCAGCTCGCCATCTAATAGCATGAGAAATGCTTGGTGGACAATATTCAACCGCGTTTGCTCGGCGTCATCATTCGGCATAAAATAAGTATCGTTACAGTATCTCCGGCCATTTTCATAGACTGGCTGTATCGTGAACTGGGATCTGGTGGATGTTCTGTATTTGTCAGCTTTGCTCGTCCATTTATATACAGATTGACGGGCACCCACATTGAATATGTACCATCTTCGTCGTCGTCGTTATCGTTATCGTCATCGTCATTGTTATTACTATCATCTACTATCTCTCTTTCTCCTTCCAGCAGTTCATACTGGTCATCTTCGTCGTCCACTTCTACCTCGATTGTCTGGGCAATACGGTCGTTGCTGCCAGGTTCTGCACTTGGCTTGAACGATTGGACCATGGCCAGCCCAGGACCTGCTGTGGCTAATGGCGATTTCACGGTTGGATTAGATCGGAGAATGGGACGGGGAAAAGGAAGTCAAACTTCAGTGAGTGCCATTCCATTGAGTTATTTTTGTCTTTTCTTTTCTCCCTTTCTTTATTATTTTTGTGTGTGTGTGTGTGTGAAGAAGAAACAGTATCCAGGCATGGAAGGAGCCGAAAAAAAGCAGCGGACCATACGTAAAGAACGAGCAACTAATTACCACAATGGCACGAAGTGGTCGAGAGCATCTGCCACGTTAGCGAGCGCTTGGCAAGGACGGGGACGAGGTCGACCGTGCGGAGAAAAGAAAGCACAGGCGGACGAAGCAAGCCGGTCGCAGGAGAAAACAGCAAAGGATTGATTAATCCTTTAAGTGTGATGATTATGACGATGGCAACAGCAGTCACGATGGTTTGCGCGGGCTCGGAGCTAGAGGCAGGACCGGCCCGATTAGGAAGTGGGAGCCCGCTCCTGCCACCTGGGCAGCTCTAGTATGATTCTGGCTTGCAAACTAATAAATTAGTAATTCGCTTAGTTCCCAGTTAACGTTACTAGTTAACTTAAGTACTAAACTCGTCCACGGCGGCGGAGATCCCCGCTTGCCCATCATCCATCATCCAGCATCGGTCATCCATCTTACTGCACAATAATGGACCGCCCTTGTTGCGTCGCTGCCAGATTGAGAATCGATGTCCTCGCTACTGCTATCCCCGGCAAGCTAGCAGTGCTAGTTAGAGACTTGAGTCTCGAGTGAGAAACTAACTCTACGAGGTCGCCAACTACCGCGACGGCTCGCGAGCCAATGATCCAAAGACCCAGGGCTAAATTGACTAATGTAGCCCCTCCATTCCCCCCAGCACGCCTGCGCCCGCACCGAGCTTAATTGATTCACTGGCAGTTCCTCATGGACACGTCGAGTCATTTGTGTTTGCTGGATACGAGTCATTAACTAGAGGATCGCGATCGTGCAGCAAGGAGCGTTGTTGATGTCCCAGACGCAGTGCTGCTGGTAGCCATAGTCTTGTCTTTGGCAGCTCGAACTGTAACACTGCAACCGCTATATGGCTAATCAACCGGGGCACGGTTGGGTGCGACATACTATGTGATATGATGGACGAGTCTAGGGCTCATGTGGGGCGTTGACGGCGAGACGGGCACAGGAATTCTTAACCTGCCAACTCATGAATACGAGGCGCGGAGTTACAAAGTAGCACAGACTTTACCCGCGACCTGTGCTATTCATTTCATGTTTCGCCACCTACAGCAGAACTGCGGAGGGAATCCCAGGACAACGGACAGGCAGTTCCAAGCTGCAGCATATTCTTGCAATTACAACGGGACCAGGGGGACCCGAGCCGAAAGCGAACGGCCTAACCATGCTGTTGGGAATGGGTCATTGGATTTAGTTGCAGAGAGAAGGCTTTGCAGCTCCACACGTCCATCCTCCGACAGGCCAGCCATGCCAACCAATGCAACCATTATCTGCAAGCTAGAATCTGGTGCTTCCGATTTGACCGCTTGGAGTGAATGGGGCGATTGGGAACTGGCCTTGTGGGAGGAGTTTTTCAGTTGTTCAACTTATGATAATGATACGTCGGTGAAGGCGGGGAACTCGCTGGGTGAGCATTCTGGTATCTTCAATATCATTGAGAAGCAACATGATCAACCAGAATACACCCTGAATAAGAAGCAATTCATAATAAGACATGCAGCTGTATCACGCAACAGTATACCTTGTATGTACGCATTAATTGTTAGTATTATTTGCATTGCATGTTGATTGTTGACCACGGTGCTCACTACGGGGCTTGCTGACCAATCAGCAGGCGTCGAGGGGCCGATCTCCCGTTTTTACGCGATATCAAAGCTTACTTTTTTTTACATTTGATGCGGTCAACTTCCACAGAGGCACCTGGTCGACACCACCTTACGTACTAGGATAATACGTAGCAAGCTGAAAGCCGAGAGTGGAGGCACTAATCAAGTTTCCGAAGAGACAGAAAAAAAGCAATGACATCGGTCCCGCTGTACAGGTGTCCACGCCGCTTTCTTTTCATTGCTTCCATTGGCAACCCAGCCCCATACACAGGGACCAGGCACAGTGCTGGCCATGTTCTCCTCGACGCCATACGGTCTCCATTGCATGAGCGCATTGGGCTTAACAACCCTGCTTCCCTGTCCTCATCCTCATCACAGTCCATCTTTTACACCAGCTGGAAATCACCGTCGCTGATGAATGTCTCTGGTCCGCCGGTGCTAGAACAACTCAAGACATGGCTAGCAGATCGCCAAAGATATTTCAATTCTACTTTTCAAACTCCTCGACAACAGCTACAGCAACAGCAGCATAAAAAACAACAACAAAATCAACCGGCCGAAACAGAAAACAATACACCACTCCTTAGGCTGCTCAAGGGCTCTCAGACTGCCGAGCCCATTGATGTGGACATACGGGACATGACTCGGTTCCGATCCACACTCGTTATTCTACATGATGAGCTAGAGGCCCAACCAGGGAAAGTGAAGGTGCGAATGGGTGGGCCGGCCCAATCCAGTCTACGGGGGCATCGGGGGTTAATCAGTATTATGGAAAGCCTCAGAGGAGCGGGTTTATTACCGGGCCAGAAGAGTAGCAGCCCGCAAGTTTCAATACTGCGCCTGGGGATAGGAATTGGTCGCCCAGCAAGTCGGGAACGAGATTCTGTCTCGGACTATGTGCTTTCCAAGTTAACTCCGAGGGATTTGAAGGCGTTGCAAGCCGCTGTGCCGGGAGTTGTGGATTTACTGGTACAAGAGATGTATCGAGGTGGGAACGACTAGGTTGACTTATAAATGTATCATAAATATCTGCATTTGATACCCGGCTTGTTATATGTATTAATACACTAGACATTTGTTCGCGAGACGACCTGACAACTCTACATGCAATTAAACATTAAATGAACTGATGCAATGGAATGTCTGCTCGTTGACGTCCTCTGAAATCTTCCTTTTTCATTTCCGTGGCAGCATCAATGAAGCGAAAGCTGAAATAGTATGTATAAATTAGGGTGGGAGCCTGAAGATAAACAGGAATAATGAACAGGTCATTAAAATCTTTCCAGAAGGAATGGAAATGATACAAATATAAACACTACTTATGTTAAATGAAGCAATTTTCAGTTTAGACAGTCCCAGCAATACTCAAATCCCGAATCTCCTGCAACACTTCCTCGACCCTATTATCCAAATCTCCATTTGCATATTGATCTCTCGTGTCTGCATCCAGATACTGCTGCACTTGCGCCATGCGCGAGTAAGCCTCTGCACAAAACCGCAGTTGGATCTTAACCAGAGCCTCAAAGCTAGGATCTAGGTACGGAACACGCAGGTCGATAAGCTGCGGTAGTTCCGTGAAGAGTTGTTCATTGAGCTGCTCGTAGGCTTGCTTGGCGAGCTCGGTTTCGCGCTCCGCTCGCGGTAGTTTGCTGGCATCCTTGTCTGGCTTTTCGACTAATTTCTTGACCTTAGCGCGCATGGAGTCGTAGTCGAGTAGCTTGTGGTTGCGCTTTTTGATGCACTCGTTTATATCAGGGAAATATGCACAGAAGCGGGAAATGGGATCGAGAACCGTCGTCCTGTACTTCAATCAGTCCATCGTTCACGTAGCAACATCAGTAAAGAGATGATACCGGTAAGGTCCATCTAGCGCCTTGATGGTTTCTGCATCTAGGTCCTCCACAGCTTGCTTATAACTTCGGCTCACACCATCTCTTGTTCCAGCGTCACCATAAAAGGCGTCGATTGTCTCCGCGATTCTCATTTGAGATGCAGTCATTGCTGCGAGAAGTTAACATCAATCCCAGTAATTGTTCCGTTTGAACTAGCCCCACCTCTGAGCGAATCGAGATATCCTTTTGCTTCTTTCTGCAGGCGATTCACTGCCGTCTCCATTGTCCTGTAGCGTCTGTTCACACCCAACCTATTAGATGTCTGACAAGCGACAATATTCGAAGGCCATAATGTACCTCTCTTCAATCTCATAATCTCGGTCATTCGTTTTCTCCACATGCCCTATAGACAAACTCGAATCAGTCCATTTGATTCATTGCAGTATCATCGCCACTTGTCATCGATGTGACACTGACAGCGGGGTAATCAACGAACCTGTTTTCATCATCACCTGCGTCGTCGCGCGGTTGACATTTTTCTTGAACCCTGCAGAAATAGGAGTACATAATTAACGAAGGTATATCCTTCGACTCGTAGCATATGCGAAGGGGTGCGCATACCAGACCACGACATGGTGGCGGGGAGTCGACGACTTTACCACTTGGTAATCGAACAAGGGACGTCCTGAGAGGATAACTGAAATATCGAGCAACTGAATAACTCGTCCGTGGTGCTGCACAAGAAGCGAAAATATATTTAGTGATGGTCAAAGGAACCTGGAAAGCCGCGTAACGATGAGTGAAGTTGAGAACTGCCCAGTGATTGACAATTGGTGATGCCTTACCAACATGTGTGGCTGAGCTCTCTTGCCCGGAACATCCACCCCGAAGGAGCCGTGGCGCAGAGTGACCTAGCCAAGGCCGGAGCCATACTACGTCATTCCGAAAACAACCAGAGTCCCCACGACATGAAATCATCCCAGAGATCGGATGCCAGGACTTGTTCTTGGCCCTTTGTCAGGATGAGCATTGTACCGAGTACTTAGGTAGTTGTGCTGTAAGGAACCTTGAAGAACAGCCGTGCGTGTACATATTAGAAGAGGAAATACCCGGTTTGTCTATGGAGATGATTCGAGTCATAGAAATTGAGATTGTGATGATATTCATCTCCTACTAGATACATGGATAAAAACACCCCGAATCCGCCAGCGTCAGAAATGCAGTCGTGATGGTATATCGAAAGTCGTGAATGCATGGATATATCACCAAAATCTCACCAACGCCGAAGGAAAACCAAAGAAAGTAACAAACAGTTAGAACGTAAAAATACATCAAAACCAAATCATCTTGCTTGCAACGATAAACCCTCGATCCTATCACCTGGTTGCGTACTAGAAGGAGAAATGCAGAGAACGGGCAGAATGATGAGCCTTAGAAAACAAGAAATAGAATAAAGGTGACTGAGCTTTGTGCGCCGGTAATACAATAATACACCCGTATAAGAAAAGTCATAATTGTTCGTATCGCTTCAGAAATGAGTATAAGACAGTGATGAGAGAGACAGGGTCGTTGGTAATGAGAAAGAAAACCTCCTGTCTAAATAAGGTATTGGGTCTATTGCCCCTCAATAAATGACATGTAATCTGACAGTGCTAGCCTCCAACCGGAAGAGAACATCGTGAAAGCGTGAGTATAGCCTGATACCACATCGTGCTGCATCAATACCAGATTCCCGCACACCACATCCCGCTTCGGGTAACCATCAGGACTGCCCAGGCCAAAGAACGGATAAGAAGGTATCAGTAGCCTTCTTCACCAGCCTTGCACAGCTTGATCTCACGTACCCATTCGGACTTTAATACCTGGGATGCGGTGATACGTCGGCCAGGATTGGGATCAAGAATGGAGTAGATCACGTTACGACAACGAGCCTGCAAATTTGATGTTAGTATATTGACACCCAACTGAGATCAATATCAGCGTTGGCTCTTACTCGGTGCAGCGTCTCAATAGGCGCGTAACCATCCTCGTCCCTACGACCTTCCAAATAGCGCTCATAAAACTCGTCTTCGTCTTTGCGAGCGACTCGCCATAGATGCCTTCCAGTTCTCATTGCCATATAGATGACGCCTGTTGCCCAGAGATCGACAGCCCGGGGATCAAATTCCTTGTCGGTGTATTCTTCTGGTGCGATATAAGGGGCAGATCCGCACAAGCCGGCGGTCATGTGCGCTTCTTTCTCCCAAGCCATGCGGAAGCATTCGCCATTTCCAAAATCAGTTATTTTGAGAGCACCATGGGTTGTCAGGAGGAGATTTTCGGGCTTCAAGTCACGGTGGGCGACACCCATTTCATGCATGTATTCGACACCGCGCATAAGTTGTTTGAAAAAGCAATCCGCTTCGGTGACTTCAAGCTTGCCAGCAGCCAATACAAGAGTGTAGAGATCGCCTCCCGCACAGTACTCCATCACTTCGCAATAATCTCCCTTTGCATCTTGTAAAAGGTCCAAAGTGTGGATCACGTTGGGGTGACGCAAAGACGACGAGATACAAAATTCAGAAGTGAGTCGTTTCTGGTATTTCTTGGATGTTTCCTGAGGTCGACGTCTGAATTCCTTCACTGCGTATAATTGTTCCACCCGAGAATCCTTTGGATTGACTTTGTGAGATATCCGAACGATACCGAAAGCGCCACGGCCGACAATCTCCTGACACTTGCCGTATTTATCTACCAATGTCGCGGTGGCATTGGGCCCTCCTTTCTTGTCTTGCGCCAATTTGTCACGTTCGTTCTTCAGCTGGTCGACCCAACTCGACACCAGGGATAATTGCTGGTCATCGACATGGTCGTCTTTCTTCTTCCCTGCACCAAGCATATCTCGAAGCAGCCCCGTCAGTTTTTCTTGGCGTTTGGTGCCTTTGAGATGGTGCTTATGTGTGCCATCCAGCATTTCGAATCGCTTATGTACTGGAGCATCCTTTTCTTTACCTCGACCCTTGACTCCATCACTCGGTTTTTCGCTCACGGATGTTTGACGAGAGGGTGGTTGATGAGCTGGGGAAGGTCGGACCGCGCCATTCATAGACGGCTTGGGGCCGTCAGAGCTGGACTCAGAGCCAGTATCCCGAGTAGCATCCGAGTCTTTTGATATTGGCGGTGTTGGTTTCCGTTCACTAAACATTCGAGTGAGACGATGGGCCATTGATGGTTTTGCGATCTTGGCTTGCTGAGGCGGGGTGGGCAGGACATCGCCATTCGGCGGGACCGAGATTCGTATGTCCTCGAGGGCCCGTGTCATCTGCTGCTCTCCATTGTCGCTGTGATCTGTCGACGCGGTGGATGGAGCTTTAGAAGAAACGGTGGAGGAAGGAACAGGAGACACAGGTGGTGGAGTCATGTGCGTTCAAGCCGTACAGCGCACAGCGGCGCCTTCGACGCTGCGTAGAAGGAACAGAGTCGGTGGCGAGTACTCGAAGCTGCGATACTCCCGCGAAGCGCCTGTTCGCCGCAGAGGAGGCTGGCGAAACTGAATCAATGAGGGCTGTCGCCTTTATAGAGACTGTCTAGAGTGACGAAATTGCACTGGATCAGTGGTCACACACACGCACACACACGCACACATATAAACGGCGTGCGCTGACCCAGGCTCGGAAATGCGGAATGCTTAAAAATCACCACTCGGCGGGACGGGGCTTGCCTCAAAGAAAAACGGTCGGCAGGACACGCGATGAGAAAAAGAAGGAAAAAAGACGGATTGTTAGATGTATAATTTTTCTCTCTTGCTCCCCAACGGAATTTGCGACGGCGAGGGGAGCGATGGGCACCAGAGAAGAAAGCGTTACTTAATCGTAATGCTACAGTACCAAGAAGGCTGGAGGAAGGCACCACCGCAGACTGACCAGCAGGAGGAGAAAGGGAGAACAGACAACACAAGGCAAGAAATTATTGCTGACGGGGGTGGCCGCCTATTTCTCGGGGGAGGACGGGCACCAGGCCGCGGCAATATGACAGCATTTAAATCTTCTGGCTCATTGTGGGCAGTGGGCAGTGGGCGGCACTGAAAGACGGGTTCGCCCCAGAAAAGTATGTGTAGTAGTAATATTAGCCACCAGGAGACAGACTTTCACGTTCTGGATAAGAAGAGGTTGTGCCGCCGCCTGTAATTACAGGTACTGGCGGTACGGGTTTGGTCAGTGCCGAGCACAGCCAGAGCCGGTAAATTACCGCCAGGCGGTATGCGCGCATTCACGCCGTACACGCACCGTACGGCAACATACACGGGCCAGTCCTCGCTCAGCCCTGTGCCACAGCCCGCTCCACCGCCATCAAACAACTCGCAGCAGCGCTCGACACCATCGCTGCACAACACAGCACCGAGCAGAACACTGCAGAGCGCAGAGCAGGACGGTTCGTGCAGAAAAACCGCGCACGACAGCTGTATCACCAACACCTCCTCCTTCCCCCGCCCAAGCTAAAATTACCCCTAAACAAGTGCGCTCTGGCGACTGCTGGTCGTATTGTCACGGGTCATACGATGCTAGTGACAACCTGCGAGAAGTCGGAGGCCTTCCCCTCATGCTTGCTCTCCCCTCGTCTCGGGTCCAATGGGGCAGCGTCGTTGATTTATTCCAGGCTCCTCTGGAGAGCCTGAGCGAGAGGGCATCAGAGAAGGTTGCAGGTGACATTGACGTTACCGGGAGAGGGCTCTCTCCACGAGGGCGGTCACTGAGGCTGTGCATACTGCATAGCGTGACCTCATTCGACACAATCAGGACAGGCGACAGATCTCCAGTAACAGGAGCCAAGGTGGGAGTGCCGCATTTCGATTCAGACCGTGGCGCCAGTTAGTTGCGTGGTCGATCTGATTATTTATACGCCTACGAACTATATAAGCCGTGATCAGGGAAGATAGAAGCAGTGCATGATTTGATATCAGTGTTTCTAGATTCGTTGACATCCTCTGCATTGTAAACTAATATCAAGCCACACGCGACAACCATACTTAGTCTAACATTATGTATGTAAATGATACTAACCGACGCCAATGACTAGTGAGCGTAGCGGCTAATGACAAATTATTACCAATGATACAGACGATATGGAAACTCGATGCCATGCGCCGAGCTGTTTTTCAACAGTAATATTATTAATAATATCTGGTCTTCATTCAGCTGGTCGCGTTGCTGCATCCTGACCCGTATTGGCAGTGAAGTAGGGCACTGCATGTGGTTAGTCCAGGCAGTCACGAATTGAAATTTGGTTGTCTATCAGTAGTCTCCATGAACTATGGAGTCAAGACGCATATGTTATTCTCGATGAAGTAATAGTACAGAGTAGTACTGAGTAATATGGAGACAGCCGGCTATGGGTATGTGGATAACTTGGCGACTGCAAGCATGGGACGTACATATGCAGCCTGATAGCCAACATCTGATGAGCGCATCATAGTGAGCGTTTCCATATAATTTCAATGAAATAATAGTAACAATAATCAAGTAACTACTAGGCTCTTACTATAATGATAAATTACGAGCGGATGCACGCTTTCCGGTACTATAGAACAGATAGATTACCGCAACCAAAGCCAAGCCAGCGTGGCCCCTCCTTGACCCCTCGCCAGCTACTATGAGACATTTAATTTCGGCCAGCGGTTAATCACTAAAGCTTAAGCTTGGCTTAGCACCTCCCGACTAAATATTAATAATAACGAACAAACAATAAACCATTACTTCATTGCCATTCCGTTCAGCTCGGAAGCGCTTTGGGCCAATTCGCCCAAAAGCAAACATCCTCAACCGTCAGCTTATCTGGTCTCACCGCCACATCGTTTCCTCTTCCAGCAGTATGATACGCCTGTTGGCATTGGTTGTATATATACCTCCCACTATCGACACGACTGCTCTGGACAAGGTAGTGCAGCATGTAGCAAAAGCATGCATCTCGTGCGGAGCGTTGATTGCCGACCCAATAACATCTTGCAGCTGTAGATATATACTAGCTCTAACTTGTAACAGGTAATGTGATTGATCGAACGCAGTTGCCAGCAGCTTTGCAAGTTTGCATTGCATTGAAACCATCTCGAATGGTGCAGATACCACGGTATTTCCCAATTTCGAATGTATACCAATGAATCGTTAACGACATATCAGGATATTTTGCCTAGGAATATCCGCATCTTGGAGACTTTGTAACCTGTATACATCATGTACCCTGGTTAACTAGTATCTTTCTGGTCCGTGAGCGCTTATTTTGTAGGATCCAAGTAGTAAAAAAGAACGGTTGTTCATTTCACCTTCACAAGTAGACTTGAGTAAGTATTATGTGTCACCGGAATACCCAGCGTATTGACCTTAACGCATAACCGGAGCATTCTTCCGAAGTGGATTCTGAATCTAAGTGATCCAGTCTGGAACAGATACTGTGCGTTTATTCAAATTCGCACTCCTCGAGGCTCGTCGTGATCCCACGAAACTAAGATAATAGTCACATGTCAGCGGTACATGGCAGATTCACAATATAGATCGAGCTCTTACCATGCAAGACTTCCAATTGATTGCGGCTGATGATATATAAACAAACTCCTGCTCATCTGCGGCAAACGACCAGCTGTGGCTGAACAAGCACCCTCTTGTATTGCTCTAAGAAAGCACGCGTGTCTTTGCCATGACTATCAGAAAACATGTCAAATCGCCTCTAGAGACCTAGACCTACCACAAACTGCTCCAGTGACTCTTCAAAAAGCTCATTGTTGACACCGAGTCCATTGGGATGTTCCACCGGAGACAAAGGATTTTTGACAACTGCAGCCCAGGTGTGTAAGTGCCAATCCACATCGAGGGCACTGGGATGAAGTTACCATATTCCACGAAAAGATTGACATATATCTGCTGCAAAGCTATCCGCATGCTTGGTGCCTTGTTGTCTGTGAGCATGACAAATTTGATGTTGGTTGGTGATTCGTAGAAATGTAGCTTGTACTGCGTAGTACGGTAGGATATAAAACTGATTACGACCAACATTCCCCGCGTTAGTCAATCTGCCAAACAAGGATAGAATGCATGTGCCGCATCGTACCTATCGTCCTCTCCCCCAACTTGCGCACCATATTCCGCAGCGAGAAGACGGTTCCAAAGACCAGCTTCGCATCGTCGTCGTCAGTATTTCGAGACGGCACCCCAGGACCAGCGGCGACGGCAGTGCTTGAATTCGGCGTATCCGAGGCAGGACGGGCAGGTTTAGTGCTGGTCAATGCTGGGCGTGCCAGCCAGCGACGCTTGTAGATACATTCGGCTATCAGAAGCAGATTGGTCAGTTAAGGGGGGGCGTACAGGAGCAGAGAGCTATGATTACCGTGGCGGTCGAAGATATAGAAGGAGTAGACGGTCATGGTCAGGGACGAAGGCCAAGCAGGGCCGGCAGCAGGAAGCGTCGAGGTTGAATTAAGCAGGGCAGAAGATGCGGAAGGTGAAGCTGCTGCTGCCCATGTGAAAGCAACTGCGAATGCTGGAAGGGAAGGAACGAGTGCGGGAAGCTACCGGCGCCCCGCTGTGGCTGCCGCCATTGGCCGACCGTCACGTCCCAGGACTTAATTGGCCGAGAGCCAGGCGAGAGCCCCATCAGCCTCACGAGACTGAATGGCCTCATTCGCTGGCCTGCGATCGCCTGCGCAGACATATTCGCCGTTCGCCACGATGTCTGTCTCCAACAGCCCATGAAAATCCACGACCACCAAATCCCCAGCCCAAAAAAGCATCACGCAGCCGGCTGTCCTGTCTCATTCCTCCCATTTACTGTCAACTCCACGGCCAAGGTGCCCTCTCTGTCTATTCTTAGCTTGAGGACGCACCGTCAATTGCGCCGCTATTGGAGGGGCACCTCCCCCGGTCTTTATCATCGGCTGCTTTAAATCCCCCACCCCCGCGCGCTTCATTATCGTCAGCTGGGCCCCGATCCAAACCAAGCCTTGTGTTCTTGTCTGGTCGTGGCCTTCATTGAGCTCGTTGTATTTAGTCTCGCTCCAGCAAACCCTATCGTCTGTCGTACTTTAGCTCGAGGGATCGCATATCCAACACCATATCTCGGGGCATTCATGTCTGACCACGCCATGAACACCGAGCCAGATCCCATGGCGTCCAGCCCAAGCACGTTCTCGGATTCAGAAACTGGTGGTATTCCTCTAGAGCCTCATAGGCCAGTCAGGCATACGTGAGTGACTGTTCAATTCCGATCATTAAGAATTCAGACGACTTCCTGCCCGCATGTTTGGGCTTCAATGCCTATCGGTTCCTAGCATGGTACTGATCTCACCTTGCAGATCAGCTACATCGTACAACAGCCCTCATCGACACCAGCATCGTCAACTGACTGCGCCACGACAAGTGAAGGTTGGTGCTATTGCCTGTCGCCAGCAGAAGGTTGGCTGACCCAGCGCTTCGCAGGAGACTCTCAATGCCAGATCCGAATACACAACAAGCCAAGACGATGGCACTGCTCAACATCGTATAAATCAGTATATTATCAAACAAGAAATTGGGCGAGGTTCGTTTGGGGCAGTCCATTTAGCAGTTGATCAGTATGGCGAAGAATATGTAAACCCCTATTACCTTCTCAACATGTATTAACTTCGCTGGTGGCTTCAATCGCTAATGATGCTTTTTTCTCAGGCTGTCAAAGAATTCTCCAAGGCCAGGCTGAGGAAACGACAACAGTCGCACGTGCTACGAAGACCCCGTGGACCACAGCGCCCAGGAACCGGCTTCAACTCTCCGCTTCATCGCCATCCGTCTGGTACTGACGATGCACACCCCGGTCATCCATTGGATTTGATCAAGGAGGAGATTGCTATCATGAAAAAGCTGAACCACAGCAATTTAGTTTCCCTCATTGAAGTCTTAGACGACCCCACCGAGGATTCTCTATACATGGTGATGGAAATGTGTAAGAAGGGCGTTATCATGAAAGTCGGGCTGGAGCAAAAGTCAGACCCATACGAAAACGAAAAATGTCGACTCTGGTTCCGTGACCTGATACTTGGCATTGAATATTTACATGCCCAGGGCATTGCTCACAGAGACATCAAGCCCGACAATTGTCTACTCACTGGCGATGATGTCTTGAAAGTTGTGGACTTTGGAGTCTCGGAAATGTTTGCTAAAGATTCTGACATGTACACAGCTAAGTCGGCAGGTTCTCCGGCCTTTCTGCCACCCGAGCTTTGTGTCGTCAAGCATGGAGATGTATCTGGTAAAGCGGCTGACATTTGGTCTATGGGAGTGACGCTCTACTGTTTACGCTACGGACACATTCCGTTCGAAAAGATAAATATCTTTGATTTATACGAATCTATCCGCAGTGATCCCATTGATTTGGAAGGAGAGACAGATGAGGATTTCACGGACTTGATGAACAAAATCCTAGAAAAGGACCCGTTGAAAAGAATATCTATGCGAGAGTTACGAGTGGGTGGTTATCAACTCTTACGCAATTGGTCTCTGTATCTAACTTTCATTTTCAGGATCACCCTTGGGTTACCAAGAAAGGCGCAGACCCATTACTACCCGAAGAGGAAAATACCGCTCAATTGATCGAACCTCCTACCGAAGAAGAGATGAATACGGCAATTACGCATAATTTGGAGAATCTTTTTGTCGTAGTATGTTGTTATTCTTCACTATCGCTCGAAGCGGCTTGCTAATCGGTTTGAACAGATGAAAGCCGTAACAAAGTTCAAGAAACTGGTCGACCCTACAAAATCCCCACAGCTCCATAGTATCCTCGGCCTTGAGCATGACTCGCATTTAGTCCAGCCCCCGATGGAAATGGATGCTGATGAAGGTATCGAATCACTACATAATTTCAAAAAAATATACAAGGAAGCTGGGCCATTTCAAAAGCCTCTATTCCGTCCACAGTCATCATCACGAGAAAGAGGCCGATCCCCTAGAAGGCATGGGTCTGGCGTCTCGTCGATACAGAATCCACGTCCGGCTTCGCTTGTTTCCTCGTCAAGAGAAGATACACCTCTAGGTAGCTTTTCTGAAGGCACGCGTGGCCATGCGCGGGATCCTTTAGAAGAGGATCACCCTTTCCTCTATATCGGCCCGTCCACTTTCACTGGCTTCACAAACCAGCCTGTTGAAGGAGGTGCTCAAGCAATCCCTTCACCAATTACCGTCCCACATACAACAACCCCCGAAAGTATAGCTGATCTCCCATACAATGAGTCAAATGCTGCTCCCATTGTGTCAGAATCACCTGGGGCTTCGGAAATCGACATCTACGAGACAGCATATCGCGAAGAAATAGAACGAATCAAGAGACGTACTATCGATCGCCGCGATACATCAACCACAGTTTATTTGACTCGACGCGTAGAAAACAAAAGGGACCATCTGAGCGAAGTGATGAAATTAATCCACCAGCCAACATCATCTTCGTCCTCGTTAGAAGGGCATGATAGCCACAAACCAGCCGACGAGTTTGTTCTCAAACTAGGCGAGAAGGTCTCTGGGGCTGTTGCATCAGCCGGAGCGGCCTTTCGCAGTGCTCTGAGTGCGCAGATCGAAGCACGGAAGAACCAAAAGGAAACAGCATCATCATCAGCTCCGTCAGAGGGGGGAGAATCACATGGAAATACAAACACAAACACAAACACACCATCAACCGAGCATACAAAGACGCTACCATCTATTATCTAACGTCATTCATCCTATTCTCACACTGGTTGTTTTTCTTGTTTAATTTTGTCCATCTCCATCTTCGAATAACTGCAGCCTGTCATTGACCATTATTACTTGCCAAGAAAGGGGGGAAACAAGCCATGGAGTAGTCAAGCTTGAACCACTCATGTATTTTTAATTAGAAGATGAGTAGAGCCAAAGGAATGCGAGCAAAGTCTCTCCATATCCTTACCAATAATTATGATTCAATGTCAATATACTTGTATTTATATTCACCCATTGTCTCATTTCCAGCCCTTTGAATCGCGTCCGAAGCATATCCTTTGACTAGACATACAGTCAAGTGACAAAGGTTTAAATATAGCACCATAAAGGTGGACTCTCCCCATATCAATACCACAAAGATTTGAACTTTTTGCATTATCTACGGGCGGACTCCATAGATGCCAAAATTAATCCGACGTCAATCGGTCTGAATGCAGATGAAAGACAAACAGAAAACCTTAATACTACATTCAAACTTCGGCCATTTCTAGTAACAAAACATTACGTACAATGTATTCGTTTCAATGTTTCAACGACATTGAGCAGTATCAACTAATATACAAGCAGACAGCAAAGTAATACTTTGCCCATATTACTGAGTCCTCCCCTCTGAATTCAAACCAAACCAACCCATTCAACAAGTACCACCCAAAATTCATTATTACAAAAACATCAACGGGCACATGTACAGCATAAATGAAAAAGGAAATATACAGTAGTATAGAGAGAGATGCCGTCGCATGTCATCATCAGATAATAAACCGTAAATCAGAAACAGAAATCAACGATCACGGACACAAAATTGGAAAGTTCGGAGCAGGTTTGATTCATATCTGCGTTTCGCATGAAAGAGCACATTAAACAATGATACGTCCGGGCGACTCACTAAAGGAGGGCATAGATTGGACAGTTCAAAAAATTCGAATGAAACCAAAAGGGAAGAATAAAAAAGAACTCATCATAAATGGGGAATAATTTAGTGATCGTGGTAAATGCATAACGCATGTGTGCCGTATCATCTTCAAGATTTTCGTCCATCTCGGTGGCATCGCATCTGACTAATTAGTATAGTTCTCCAGTGCGATCCAACTTTCACTCGTCTCATTTATAACACAAAAAATCGGTTGGAACAAAACCGTAAAAAACGTTTCTCTATGTTTGTCATTTTGCGGCGATCATCATTCATATCTTTTTAGATCTCATGAGTTTTTTGGGAGGGGGGGCGTTATGTTTTTGTCTCTCCAGGATGTGTTATTGCCGTAATATAACCTCCGCTCGGATGCACCTGTGGCCCGCTCTTTGCTTGTTGAATGATATGGTCTGTCGGTGGATGTGTTATCTTTTCATCTGTCTGGGGCTTGGGCGAGGCATCAAATGGGTGATCAAGGGTCCGAGTTTGAGGTATGAGAGATTCATGGGGTGATTTCCGTGTACTGAAGCTCTCTCTTCTTGCGGGAAACTCATGAGGAAGCGGAAGTCTTCGGTCTTGGCTAGTCTGAGAGCGAATTATACCTTTGACAGGATCTGTATCTGGAGCGTCCGAGGCTTCTATTCCTAGCTGAGTATTCTGCTCCGGTAAGTCCTTTGATACCAGAGTGTCTAGAATTCTCTCTTGCTTCTGTAGTTCTGGTGTATGGGCCACATGCATCGGAGAAACCATCGAGCTGTCGCTAGTGGCACTGGCACCCCCAGAGGGTGTAGCTGGATTCTTGGTCTTGGACGATCGGCGCCGTGGAGGAGGATATGATTCACCTCGTGCTTCTGCCTCCGCCTTGCGCCGCTCTGCCTCTGCCTTATTCGGTCTTCCTCGCTTCCTTGGGGGCTCACTACCCTTTCCTGGGGTATAGTCAGCCCAACCAGGAGATCCTGGGCCTGGAGAACCGGCCTCACTGTTGAATTGTCCAATGCTATGTGGTGGTCTTGGTTGAATAGCACGTGGAATAGCAGGTCTTTCTGTCGAATAGAGTGGTCGCTTTCGTGATGTATAAGGATCATTACTAAGAGCTGGATTCACAGGCGTCGGGTGATTGAAAGCTGGGAATACAGCAGGCGGAGGCGGTACTTGCCAAGACTCTGTTGGACGTGCATGTAGCTGAGATTGACTGGTTTGCCACATAGCTGTAAACTGCTGTTTACATTCGTTCAGAGTACGACCTGGTAATGGTCAGTAGACATCACAACAGACCATGAACCTGGAAAAGTAAACATTGAAAGAATAAGGAGGACTCTCTTACCTGGCGGCAGTGCCATGTCATCCCATGGCGGTTTCACATTGTATTGTCGGAATACCTCAAAGAGAGAACTTGGAGGAACACCAGCATTCCGGAGGATTACAGTGAGCAGACCATACTGAGAGATTCTTAGTTAGCCATTATTGGGGGCATAATTAGTTAGGGAATGGCCCATTAAGGCAGGAGACATGGCATACCTTCTCCTCCTCTGTCCAATCTCGATCGATTTGATCCGGCATGTCCAGGCGCTCATGGGTATAGGTCGTTGAGGTCGATTTCCAGTTACAGCAAGATAGGGCACGGAAGGATATGCCACTTAAGTTCAACGATTAAGGGAGAGTGGAGTCCAAAGCGCGAAAACAGACGAATAGAACGCAGAAGTTAGAAACAAAGAAAGACCGTTGCAAATTTCACAAAATACCTCCCAAAAACAAATGGGGTGTCTAACTGAGGGCGTGACGCGGGGCGTGGAGGGATATCAAGGTACGGCGACGGGTACCGAGAGGATGGAGCGAAGGGAGTTGGCAAGTAGAATCCCAAGTCATCAATAGAAACTAAAGAGCACAAAGCTGGCGTAAAGGAAAGGCGAAACTATGTATAACAAGCGACTGGAGGTAGCCTAAACAGTGAAAGCATCGACAAGAACTAAGGCGAGGTGTGCAAAATCGCAGCAAAACGTCGTATCATTCGTGTTTTCTGGTGAAAAGGTGGTCCATGAGTCGCTGTCGTTGCGCTCAAGATTGCACACCAGAGCTTCTCTCTTTTCCTTCTCTTTTCTGGGTTGCTGCTTAAGGAAGATTCCAATGATTGAAAAGCAAAACAGAAAACAAACGAGGGAAGACGCGTGGTGACTTTACATACACCGAAGCATGGCCCGTACGGAAACGCGGGAGGAAGGAGCGGGTGGGGATGCGCAGGGACGAGGGCGACAAGTGGACAAGGGCAGAGAGGGTCCACAGGCAGGCGAAGAGAAGAGAAGAGAGGGAGAGGAGAGGAGAGGAGAGGAGGAGGGAGAGAAAGAGAGGGGGGGGAGGAAAGAGAGGTAGAGAGGAAAGGAAAGGGAAGGGAAGAGAGGGAAAAAAGAAAGTAAGAAAAAAAAGGCAGGCAGGAAACGAAGATGTACCCGGGACGACTGGACGAGCGGCTGCAACACCAGTCGTCAAAGTACTTAATTAATTAGTGAGTTGGTTAAGTGAGTAATTTACTTTTTTGCTGCATGATCCAGTGCTAGTAGTGGCAGGCAGTCAGAGACCCCGGTCCAGAGTAGCGGGTCAAGTAGACAACAACTCCAAGTCAATCGCAGTAACAAAACAATAAGGTACGGGTACGTCGCAGTGTCGGGAGCTTCCCTGACCAAACAAAAACGAGAGATTTTCTCAGGTTTTGGTTAAAGAGGACGCCCCTAACTTGCTAGCTAAGGATCGGGGGTTCCGTGCAGAGTCCGCACAGCTTTGGGGCGGATACCTGCAAGCAGCAGCAGACGGCCAGAACCATAGGTGGTCAGTTAGTTGCTCCCTCTTCAGACACGAGAGCAAGAGGGGACGGCTCCAGCTCGGCTTGTTGTTGCACGAGACGATATACGTATCTAGAAACGGGCGTGGGCAACACGCGCAGGGTGATGGATAGCATGCATGTTACCGAGAAGCGAGATGGCCGGGCTGCATGATGCTGATCCGATGAAAGCTGCTAATATTCTAATTCGCCGAAGATTCATGCATGTGTACATGGACAAACACCATAGCTGGAGCCATAGTCATCGTCATCGTCATCGTCAGAACTGTCAGGAGCTCGCACCAAGTAATTATTATTATTGATGCTTGGTGAACCATCGGCGCCAAAGCCACATACCCTGCGCCATCACTAGGGTCCCGTCTCCGTCATCGTCACCATCAGCATCGTCAGTACGCGGCAGTGCTGCTCTATCGTCAGTTCCTGAGGGGGTTCTAGATCGACCCGTTTAGGCGCGGCCGTTTCATGACGGCGATTGATTCGAAATTCTGTGCCGATGGGCCACCGGGTTTATCGCCAGTCCACATGCGCTGCATAGAAGAGAGGGGGAAGTGGAGAAGCTTAACAGGAGGCTTATTACTATTATTTCACAGGCAGCCTTAGCGCTCTTAGTTTGACTTGGTTAATCAACCATGATGGAACCTCGCCCGCACTAGCCGCGGCATTCATTGGTGGCCCATCCTGGTGAATTCAACCATGCTCAATAATAATCATGATTAATATTATTGCTGTCGTTACCGGGTACCGTTATTATGATTATGGTTCTTCCGCTATTAGTAATTTAGTATTGAATGCGTTGAACTGATTGACCAGCCTGGTACAGCCAGCCGAAGAACCACTGTTCCCAGCAGTGATGACTGCTCGGAATGGCTCGGTGTCGTACAGATACGCTAGAAGATACAATAGTGACTTACTCCATGCAAGCTGGTGACAATTAGGCTGGTGAGGACAGGGTATCAATCGCTCTTGCTAGTTCTATTTATTACGGACTATCGATCTGAACCATGGTAACTGCGAGGAACTTCCCGTCTGGGTCACGGGAAAACCGAGATTTTGAGAGGGAGGGGGGAAAAATTAAAAATGGGGAATTGGTACGTCGCATGTACGTCTACTATCCAGGATGGTACGGGCTGTAACTAACAGGTAGCATTTAATAGCAACAACTAACTTATACAGCAAAGAACGTGCAGTTAACGCTGGTCCCAGCAGCAGAGCAGCCCGCGCTGATAGGAGAATTAAGCTGGGCCAGGCTCCACTAGCCGCCGATTTCAACATACCCCTGCGCGGCCCCACTGATAGCTGGTCTCCTATTTGGCCATCTGCCTCCCTGGTCGTCCTTGCCGGCTGGCACTAAGCCCAGAGAGGCTTGGGGCCATCCGCAATGGGGCCCCTTGGCAAACACCGGGCAAATGACGGGTCGCCGTAAGAAATTGCCCTAACCCGAATCCATGGGTTGCGCCCTTGTTAGTCCGTACTGCCCACAGTCACTCACTACATACGCGGTGGTATTATTACCATATTCAATGTTGAGGCGAGTGTGACCGATTTACCGTTCATGTTTTGCAGAAGACATTTGCATGATGGAAATAACATTTCTGCCGTGGAGAAGCACCAAACGCTGCAGCCAACACTGAAACCTCCCCGTGGCTAAAGCCTCTCTCTCAGCCGTTTCAATTTGTTGCAGATGTCTTGAATCCGCTGGTATCAAATCAGCCTGCCGTTGACACTTGCGCTGCGGGAGTGAACATCGTATTGAATGCACCGGCCCACCCGCCTTAGTAGTATGTGCGTTTTGACATTTCTGCAGTCATGCGCCATTTACGATCTGCGCCCACTACCGTCATGCCATTATTGTGATCCATCCGCTGCAGGCAACAGATAGCGGCGCTAGCAGGCCATCAAGCTGTCAACTGACGAAGCAGGGCTAATATATAACTATAGCCTATCTGACACCTGCACCAGAATAGAAAGGGAGAGCAATGACGCCGGATATGCAGCGAAACCCAGTTTCATTTGCCAGCGCCCTTATCAGAGTTGGAAATACTGGCATGCTGCAGTTGCCGGCTTCTTGTCGAACGTTTACTTTGCCTTATGGCTTTGACCCGACGACTAGTGGGCCATGGCTAACAAGAAAACTCGAAACAACTCGAGGGAGCCTGTAAACAATGACCCAATAAACTAAAACAAGACACAAACAAAGAGAAAAGGGGCAAAGAAACCGCCACAGCTCCCAATGCTTGGGCAGGTCTTATCCACGGGTAACCATATTCTTGTGCTGAAATGGAAAACCGGGTTCCGCCAGGCTTGGAAATGAGACGTCGACCATTCGTAGGCAAAATATCCAAGAATGAATGCTGTCATAAACACATATTCTGAAGTGCGTGTTATGGAAAAGGAGAGTGGACTTTAACAATGACTTCGGGGGCACGACGCACCGGTGAGGGCATGTCAAAGGAAGAAACATCCACGGTGTAAAGCCCTGTTGTCATCCAATCCAGAAATCAAGCCGGTTCTATATGGTTAAAGGCCCGCGCACTCCCTTGTTGTACAGGGTATGAACGAACAAGGCCCGTATGACAAGAACTCTTGATGGCCCCAAATCCTGAAGATGGGCAATTGGTGGGGCCAAGGTCTTAGTTCGTGCATGAAAATGGTTGGATGACAGTCAAGCATTTTGTGCACGCGCCGAATCAGTCATACATTAGGTACCCTAGATACATGATTAGGGCGGTTGTAGTACCTTTAGTCGCCAACGGATTCCTGTATTTTAGCGAAATGTCTTCGAGAAGGAAAAAAGGTCCCCATCTCTAGTATTAATAACAGTAGTAAGAATGGACTGGTTTCGGGGGAGGGTAGATCATAAACCCTTCCACTTTTTGATAGAGTCAAAGACAAATCAGATCGTGTGGAAATGTAAAGGATAGGCGCGATTGACAGAATTTGACAGAATGCTAGTCATAATTTAGGGGTTCGCCATTCTCGTTAGCGGCGGAAAAAAAGAGGACGCGGCATCGAATAATGAATTTCGTTGTTTGTTTTCTTTCGCCTTTCCTTTCTTTTTTTGATGCATGCATCTAATTAGACCGGCGCGAATTGATCCCTGCCAAGGCGTGAGTCGCCATAATTTAGTAATGGGTAATTAGGCTATCCACGAAAGGTAATGGAAATTGGAAAATAACCACAGCCGAGGCAATGCATTATTCGCCAAACACTAAATCCTCGCCAAACGCTAAATCCTCATCAAATCCAACATATGTCGATCTCGATGCTCGATTGATTGCAAAGGTCCAAGGGTGCCACAGGCATTTTCTATTTTTGTGGGCGGCTATTTCACAGCTAGGAAACGTCGCATGGACCACCGATTCATGCATGCATGGTTGATTCCAAAGTTCTCTGTGTACGAGATCTGCATTATGTACTGTTAGCGAATGGAAAATGATCATATGACGGAGGGTTATTGCTGTGTATCGATGTTATTGAATGATTGTATTCCTTTCCGGCCAAAGTGCGCCGGCCGCAACTATTATTTTGTATGATTGCCACCACACATAAAGACACGCTTCAAGTGGCGCTTTTGCATGTCACCAGGGCTTGTCCAGCCACCGCCAGAGAGAATCCTACTACGGTCCTTTCCTTTCCCCCACGATGACATGAACAGGGGTGGCAAACTTGAAGAACTCCCTGTCATGGTGGCTGCGAACCAAGCCTAACCAGCATTGGTCAATGTCTGTTTTTATCATGCGCGTCAAGGCCGTGCGGGTGATCACCTTCCCTGGATCTACCCGGTCACCATCTTTTGCTCGCGAAGAGGACTGCAGAATCATGCAGACAAGGGCATTAAGTCCTTAAGCCATTGACTAATGCACGAAAGAGGCGGCAAGCGGACGATGGACATTATTGCACGGCGATTCTCTCGGAGTTGGGTCTCAAACCTGGTCGGGTTAAATTTGCCCGTGTCCATGCATGCCATGGCCCTCCGTCAAGAGGCGCCAGGCTCTCCCAATCAGCTCTCCCATCGCTGCTTTTTTCATCTAGGGACTAGTAAAAATAGATGGAACAATCCCGCTAAGGGGATAAAAGGGAGGAGGGAAACAAGACAGCAGAGCTAATATCTGATCGTGCCGTACCCAATATTCTGGTTGTCTGGCTGTCTGTCGTTATGGCTTTGTTGGAGGGATAAACGCTATGGCTGCAAGCGAGGCCGTTTAAAGCCCCCACGGCTCCATCCTCGATCATTGTTGGGCTTTGGCTTGTCAACGAAAGAACCGAGACGTTTCAAATGAAAGGAAAGCCAACAGATGCGGCAGCGCCTAGTTTTATAACCACTGGACCACAACCGGCAGTCGCTTCTGCCTCCAGCGCAATGCCGCCTGCTCCCCTCAGCGTCTGCCACGTTGACAGCTACAACGTCATCTGCCACGCTTGCGGCTGCGTCTTACTTGGAAGCATCAGACTAGGACAGGAGAGAAGAAAACAAATTTTGACCAGGTACTCTATGATTTGGCTTCTTGTACAGGCGACCAGGTTTACCGGCGGTTCAGGGCTAATCTGACCAGGTTGACCTCTGCCACCGGCATCAACTGATGAACGGCAGAGTCTCCAAGCTGACAAAAAGAATAAGATCAATTGATAGTAGAGGGGCCAATGCTGTATTGGACAACAGTAAAAGACTACGTGTAACTTCCCCAGGTGCCGCGTCGCTTGGCAGTGTCGCTGAGTACGTGTACAATATACATGTAGGGATATAAAGGGTGCAGTGAGTGAGACATAACCGAGATACAAGAAAAGGCAGCCGATGTCTCCACGTAGGAACAATGCTTACAAAGGTTGCAAGCCAGAGTGCAATCGTGAAAGAAGAGGCACGCTCAAAGCAAGAACGATAATATGTACTTGTATTCTTGTAAGAACAAGGGGAAAGCGTTCATTGGTTATTCCAAGTCTTAGCGCCCAAATGGGACTAGCGGCAGCCGGCCGGCATTTGTAGATGTCCTGAATTCGACTCGCGCAATTGCTTCTCGTCTTGACGGCTCGCGAACGAATACATAAGCTGAGCATGAAGCCATATTGCCCTTCAGTGCCTTGCTCCTGGAGCCTTTCCCCCCAGATTAGCAGTGCGACAGGGCTCTTTTGATGACCGACACCGTGGAGGCTGTCGTGGCCAATCTGGTTAAACAAAGCTTGGCATCGGGCCGGAGCCAATACCAGGAGGCGGAAGGGCCGCCTTAGCCTTCTTTCGAGCTTTCTCCATCTCTACGACTACTTTCTTCCTCGCGGTCTCCTGCTTGAGAGGATCCAGTCCCAACTTTTTGTATCGTCATGCCGCCTCATGACGATGTGAGAGTCAATTCAGACTCAGAGGTCGACCCCGGCGGCCTGTCCAATGGAGTCCCCGCCATTACAGACGAGCTGAAAGCCAGCGCCCTTGGTTCGCCCGCACCTGGGGAGAATGAGCCCAACCATGCATCTTCGCCACCGGTCAAGCATGAGGCCCAGGCGCGTTCTCCTATCAAGATGGAGCTTGGTGATGACGGTGTCACCACCAGCAATATCGGAGGAGACATCACGCTCAAGCAAGAGCCGGGGAAACCCCCCAAGCTTTCTCGCAGCGCCTCTCAGAAAGTCATTTCTCGCCCGCCGCAGCTATTCGACCACCTACCAAACAGTGCCAATGAAGCCTGTCAAAGTTTTGAAGTTATCAAGGCTTGTATCTATTCGAGCAAGTATATGGGGCATACAGAACATGCCATGGAATGCGACTGCGCAGAGGAATGGGGTAAGTGCATAAATTTTCCTCAGTACTGATCCTGAGTATTATTTTCAACATTTAGAGAATTCTTTCCAAACTTCACCAGAGGACTTTCTCTTCTGTTTCTAATTGCCTATTTATTGGTGGCGCAAATACTGACTTACATCACAGACGGTGAACTAAATCACGCGTGTGGAGAGGATTCAGACTGCATCAATCGAGCAACAAGAATCGAATGCTTGAATGATTGTGGCTGCGGCCGTGACTGTCAAAACCAACGCTTTCAGCGGAAAGAATATGCTAATGTGGCTGTCATTAAAACTGCCAAAAAGGGCTTTGGTCTTCGTGCAGAGACTGAAATTAAACCTCATCAATTCATCTATGAATATATTGGGGAAGTCATCAATGAGGCCAACTTTCGACGTCGGATGCTGCAGTACGACAAAGAAGGCATCAGGCATTTTTACTTCATGTCGTTGAACAAAGGGGAATTCGTCGATGCAACCAAAAAAGGCAACTTGGCACGTTTCTGCAACCATTCATGCAATCCAAATTGCTATGTTGACAAATGGGTCGTGGGTGAAAAACTTCGCATGGGTATCTTCGCAGAGCGACACATTCAAGCTGGAGAAGAGCTAGTCTTCAACTATAACGTTGATAGATATGGAGCGGATCCCCAGCCCTGTTATTGCGGTGAACAAAACTGCACAGGTTTCATAGGTGGCAAGACTCAGACAGAGCGTGCTACCAAGCTGTCTAATGCAACGATAGAAGCTCTTGGTATCGAAGACTCCGAGGATTGGGATATCGCAGTGGCTAAGAGGCCTCGCAAAAAGAAAACCGAAGAGCCCGATGAGGAATACGTTGAGAGCGTACAGCCCAAGTCTCTAGATGAGACTGGAGTAACAAAAGTTATGGCTGCTTTGATGCAATGCACTGAGAAATGGATCGCTGTTAAACTTGTGGGACGTATTCAGCGCTGCGAAGACGAGCGTGCCCTTAACCGTGTTGTGAAGATGCATGGTTATCGAATTCTTAACTCACAGCTCAGTCAATGGAAAGACGACATTAATGTGGTGCTACAGATTCTTGAAGTGCTGTCCACGCTACCTGCACTCACTCGAAATAAGATTATTGACTCCGACATCGAATCTACTGTTCAAACACTAACTACATCGGATGACGAACGAGTGGCAAAGCAAGCATCGAGTCTTCTGGAGGTTTGGTCTAACCTGGCCGTTGGCTACCGGATCCCGCGTATGAAACGAGACCCAACAGCAATAACCCCGCAAATAGTCAGTCAATTTGAGAGACGTGAAACTGCAACAGGTGACAATCATAATCGATCAAAGTCCCGAACACGATCAAGGTCTCGCTCCATTGAGCCCCCCGTGGACCGGCTGCTCAAGCAAGAGGTGGATTTGGTGGGAGAAATATACCTCATAATCGTGGTCCTCGATTCCCACGACCTCCTCCGCTTCCGCAAGGGTGGTCTGAGAGGCTAGATGATGATGGACGAACGCTATATTTCACAGCAAATGGCCACTCTCAATACGAGAAGCCAACTCTCCCGGTGTCGGAAATGCCGGCTGCTGGCTCTCTGAAACGAAAGCACTTCAAAGAAATGATTGATAATATCATGGACTCTCGCGTGGAGACCCCACGAGACAAGACGAGCACGCCGGGTACTCCCCAGCCGCAAAAAGCAGACTCCAAGAAGGAGTCATGGAGATCTTATCCGGAAGAAAAGCAAAGGAAAATATATGAAAACACGGTAAGCATATAGTCGTATGTACAAGTTAACCCCAATGGCACTGACGAGCTTATATAGATACACCCCTACGTGAAGTACGTGGTAGACAAGTTCAAAAAGAAGCTCCCTAGGGAAGATCTGAAGCGTTATGCTAAAGAGGTACGAGATTCGGAACAAAGAAATGAACCCTTAACTGATTCCATCCGCGCAGGTTGCAACAAAGCTGGTGGATTCTGATTTCAAACATGATCGGGTCGAGGATATCAATCAGGTCTCGGAGAAACAGCAGCAAAAAATCAAGAAATATTGCAAGGAATACTTTGAAAAAGCTGTGTTGAAACACCGGGCGCATGAAAAGCGAAAAACGGACAAGAATCAACAGGATGATGGCAAATCAAAGGATACAGATGATCTGGATCAATCTAGATTAGAGACACCGCAACTTCAAGATGACCCTTCAATTCCAGCCGATAACAAGGAATTCGAGAGTGATGGAGATGGAAACCGAAATGCGTCTGATTTTCACTACAACGGCAAAAAATCACCGACGTCCGAGCAGGAACCACTGACAAAACGTAAGAGGGACGACGACACGGGGGTTGAGAGCGGCAATGCTTCGCCGATGAAGCGACAAAAATCTTCTACACCGTTGTTAGAACGACAGTCTCCCCCCTCGGAGGGACTTGACGAAGACGAAGAACTGCCGCATTCCGGCCTTGCTGCTTCCCATCAAAGCATTGGAGTTGTACAATAACTTTTAATCATCATCTAATTAGATATTGTGTCCACGTGACTCGATTTGCAATATTTATATTGTGGTTTCTTGTGGAGCGATTTGCGAAGGCTCTTACACCCATTTCGAAATCCGGCACACGCTACAGTTGGCCCAAAGGGATCTCCACTAGTGTCTTATGATTCATCTCGTGTTCTGTATGAGCAACCATGGAAGCGTGGCTAAGCACTGTCAGTTGTGACTCGTTATGAGTCGTCGCCCGTATTGGGATTAGCGCGGACCACTTGGTTGCGGGGTGCGAAAAGTCACCGCCACCATGAGAATTCCAACAGCAGTATTATAAAGCTGTTGAAAATTTCAGACCAATTTGTCGTTCGACAAATTAAGAGTGAGCGCTTTTGAAATTCGCTAGCAACTGCAGAGAGCGCAAATACTTCTCTGTTCCAAGTCACAACAGCCCTACTGTATCTCCATCGGCCCAGAACTCGCCTCGCTTGCTCGTTCACTTCACAGACGTCATTTTCGATCAAGATAAAGAAGGAAACATCAGTGCCAATATGGCTGTTCGTGCCCAATTTGAAAACTCGAATGAGTAAGACCACCTAGTTCATTTTTTATAGTCTGCGATTGGGACTCGAAACCTGGTGAAAATATTTCGTTGCTCAATTCTAACCATGCCTTCTAGAGTTGGTGTCTTTGCGACATTGACAAATTCATATGCCGTGGTTGCTATTGGAGGTTCAGAGAATTTCTACAGGTAAATACGCTCTACTAATAGCGATTCTTAATACCATGAATTAACCCTCGTACTGTGTAGTGTCTTCGAAGCCGAATTACAAGATGTCATTCCCATCTGCCATGCCACAATCGCTGGTACCCGAATTGTCGGCCGACTGACTGCTGGGTATGTATGAATAATTTTCAAACTCAATTCTGTGACCCAAGCTAAAAGAAGTTCTCTGGCAGAAACCGCAAAGGTCTCCTAGTACCCACCTCCACAACAGACCAAGAGCTGCAACACCTCCGAAATTCGATACCAGACACAGTTAAGATACAGCGGATAGAGGAGCGATTATCAGCATTAGGAAATGTGATTTGTTGCAATGATCATGTGGCGCTTATACATCCTGATTTGGAGCGAGAAACGGAGGAAATGTGAGTCTAGAAAAATTTTTTCCTATTGATCTATTGTCTAACATCGTCATCAAACAGCATTGCCGATGTTCTCGGCGTCGAGGTTTTCCGCCAAACAGTAGCCGATAATGTCCTCACAGGATCATACATGGCACTCTCCAACCAAGGAGGCATCGTTCACCCCAAAACCTCTATCCGGGACCAAGACGAGCTGTCATCGCTACTACAAGTGCCACTTGTGGCCGGTAGCGTCAACCGTGGTAGCCCCGTCGTGGGTGCGGGTATGGTCGTCAATGACTGGCTCGCCGTCACAGGCCTCGACACGACAGCCACCGAGCTTAGCGTTGTCGAGAGCGTTTTCCGTCTTGGTGAGATGGGTGCCAAGGGTCTCGGAATGGGTAATGCGAATAAGGAAAGCATCGTGGAAAGCTTCTATTAAAGAAGGAGCAGTAATGATAAATGGTGAAGGAAACTAAAAGGCGATGTGTTTTAGTTGAACATGTTATGAGATGATGCCATTTTCTCTATAAGACATACTCTTTTTTCATGGCTTCATATTGTGTATGTTCTTATATTAAAACTAAATAGAAAATACCACTCACGAAGCCATGCAAATGAAAATTCGAATAGAGAGAATAGGTATAAGCTCGATATTTGCTCTCATATCAACTCAAGACCTAGTCAATCAAAGCAACATATAACCTCCCGAAAACCAACTTTTCTTGACCTACACTCAGCAGACCATGATACAAGAGGGTAGGGCACACAAAAGTAATTGTCGAGTCAAACCAAAATAATAGAAGATATATGAAAAAAGAGCAAATAGACCCCAGAAAGAACCAATTCAATAAGAATACAAGAATAACTAGGCTCAGCGATAATCAAAAGGAACAAAAAAAATACAACCGGCTGATTGAAATCAAACCTTCAGTGAAACAAGCTAAATCGCTTCGAAAGCGCATGCAATACCAAAAGGATCATGTAAGGAAATCTTTTGATTATTTCCCAAAACAGAACGTAAAGGGGATCACGAAGAAACCAATAACCAAACGATGAAGATATCCACCCAACCAAAGATGCCAAAAACAAGAGGTTTGCGAAGGTATTGTGAAATGAGGGTTCTCAATTGTACAGGGAATCAATGCAAGAAGAAAGCATGAAAAAGACGGCTTCACCCTTAAGAGTATCGTTTCCAACTTCTTTTAGTATCGTTGATTACGCTGTGAATTTGATGAAGGAGGCGGGGCAGGCGGAGGCGGAAAGTAATACGGAGGTGGTGCATGTTGATATTGAGGCGGTGGTTGATGAGGTGATTGGTGGCCTGGCAGGAACCCAGGAAAGGCCCCAGGGCGAGTAAATTGCACACCTGGAGGCGGAGGTAACTGGGGAGGGCCTCCTCCGCTTGTGAAAGGGTCGGGAAGAGTGTGGGAGGTAGGAAAAAATGGCCGCGTCTGTGTTCGAGGAAAGAGGAATGAAGGTAGTTCTGCCGTCGTCTGACTGGGCTGTGGCTGGTTAACAACAGCCGGAACTGAAATCGGTTGTACACTGCTTGCAGCATCTGCCAAAGCGAATAAAGCTTCGGGGAATCCCTCTTGAGCACCGGACTTAGCCTCAGTGACGGCATCCACAGCTTGCAGTAAAGCCTGAATTGGATCAGGGCCAGTAGGTATCGACTCTTGGCTGATTTCTTGCATTTTGACTCGTTGGATGAAGTCATCCCAACCACTCTTTCCTAGGTCAGAGGCAGCGGCACCCGACGGTTCTCGCATATATTTGGAATTGTACCCTCGCTTGAATCGGGGCTCATCACGGTATAGGAATACAGGCTTATAGTTGGTGTCGCTTGATTTCTGATCACCATCCGCCACTTCTGTTGGTTCGGGCCGGTCGAGGTCAGGCTGTGTTTGTTGGTTAATGAGAGACCTCTGAAATGCTCACACGTTAGCGCTCACCTCTGTATGCTCGTCGTCTTCTGCATATTTAACCCCTTCTACCAAGTTCATGTAATCACCTTGAGCAGCATAGAAAAGTTCCTCTTTTATATGCGAAGCATTTGCCTAGGTTCGTTAGCACTGTGATCAGTAAATAGTCTCTAAACAATATTGCCTACTTGATATCGCTCTTGGATGATGGTCTTCTCAGCCTCAAGCAGTGTATTCGCCTCGCCAATGCGAAGATTGTATTCATTCAATAAGATCTCCAACCTCTGTTCTAAAGCGAGATCAAGTTCCGCCTGTACCTCTTCATATTCAGGTGCTTTACGAAAGACATGTTTGTCTCTTGCCAAGCGATTTTGGGTGCGCCCTGCCAGAACATTGAGAACAAGACGTTGTGTTGCTGCAAGCCGCTTCCAACTTTGCTTTAACTCCTTCTGGCGGTCGAGAAGTTTTTGACTCCCCGGGCCGGGTGAGGGAGAACGCTCAAATTCGAAATCCGAATCATCTTCACCTCGTCTTCCACCTTTTCCCCCTCCACGACCACCTCGTCCTCTTCCGCGATTAGACCCACGGACCGGTGCTCCGCCTCGAGCTGCACCGCGGCCTCTCCCACGGTTACCACGAGCGCGACCACTGTTTCGACCACGAGAGCCTCTACCTCTACTGTTTGAGGTAAACTTAGTCTCATCCTGGTTTAATGCCGCGTTATCAACATCTTCATTATTTTGAGAGACTGTTGATGACTCCGCTGGGAGGGGTTTGGCCGAAGAGTTAGCTTGGAGATTCTGTGAATCTTCACTATCTTCGATGGTATAGGCCAAGCCGTCATTTGAAAGCTTCCTCACTGTTTCGTCATCTTCATGCTTTGGCTCCTTCAAGTCAAATGAAGATCCGGGGACCTCTGTCACACCACCTTGGTCTGTATCTTCAACCTGGCTTCTGCGCCCACGAAGAAATTTAGACGGTGATGTTTCTGAAGTTGTCTCAGTTAACTTTTGATCAGGAGCATTTATTGATGAGAAAGAAAAGTTCTTGTCAAGGATTAAATCATCGTGTTCACTCGATCTCTTAGAATCGACAGAATCAACAGACGGTTGTTCAGCTACAGCAGTATATCTGCTTGAATTCTTCCGTGTGACAGTCTTGGATTTATTTCTCGGAAAATTACCAGACGATGATGCCTCTTCAGTAGAAGGCTGGCTGGATAAATGAGGGTGTGATTCAACGGAGGAAACTGAATTTGCACGAGTCTTGATTCTGGCTGAAGATCTTGTGGGTTTTGGTGTTTCAGTAGTTGGAACAACCTTTTGGCGTTTTGAACGAGGCTCTTGTGATGCACCTGCATGTTCTTCTACAGTAGGTTCAGATTTTGAAGCAGCCCTAGGAGCTTCTTGAGAATTGCTCTCTTCAGGTAAAGTAGGATTGGCTCTAGATGTAGTGATGCGAATGCGAGTGCCACGGCGCGCTGTGACACGAGCGTAGCCTTGGTTTGAGTTTTCTGATAGGAGAATTAGTGAGAATATTTCACCGGTAAAATGCTACTGAGCTGCAAGAATCTTACCGGATGCAGCGGTGTTTTGCGAGCTCGAGCTGCGAGACGCGTCGACTTTACGTTTGGTCCCCGCCATTGTTTGCTTCTAAAAAGGGCCAAGATCAGTAACGAGGATTGCTAAGCGATGACTCCAGAATATTGGATTCCAGAATGGATGCGAGCAACGGTGGTTTGTGAAGCAGTCAATGGATATCAATCCAGAATTGGACGATGATAAAGAGAGCACTGAGATGATTGCGGGAGGCCCGGAAAAGATGCAAATATGATAGACTTGTACTTCAATCGGGAATTATAAAGCCATAAGTCGATTGGCGAGGGTATTCACCTCGATAGGGCTCAGAGAATGACTGACGAACTGGCCTGGACTGAGGGCAGAAATCACACCACGTGGGTGGAATTTGCTCCGAGTAAATTAAAAGATTACTCGACAATACCAGTCGTCGTCTCAAAGAGACTGTAGAAGATGTCGAACGAGTATTCATCGACAGGCTGCATAGTTTGATGATGATAAAGTGGGCAAATAGAAACGACAGATGACGGGCTTGATGTACATATGCTAGTGTTGATGCGGGCGGCTGGGGCAAACAAGAAGGAAGCGAAAGGCAGACATAATGCACGGGGCTAGCATGGATGATACAACACTAGCAATTTTCTTGGAAACAACATTGCTGGGCTCTATTCGCCATGAAGGAAAAGATGGAGGTCGAACTTACCAGCTGGCTCTCCCATAGGGAGGCAGGAAGTGACGGGAACAATACCGCGGCCAGATTGTCGAGTAGGCGGCCGAGGAAGGACTAATGAGGGGGCTGGAAGACTTTTCACAGCGGACAAAGACAACAGATAATGAAGAGGGGTTGAAGGGCGTGGCAGAATAAAAATGGTGACAATAATAGCAAACAATCATCAAACCACCAAGAGGGCGAAGGGATTCATGAGCAGGTGGAGCGCGACTCTCTCCCAGATCCGGAGGCCCAAAGAAGGCACGACACAGACGTTCTGGATGGAATCAACCAAGAGAACCAATGACGGCAGTAGTCTGTGGGTTGCCTGGGGTAGAAGCGATTGCCAGCAGAAGAAACGCGAGGTGCATTGGAGCTGACAGTAGATGTCGTAAATAGAAGTAAAAAAGACAATTAGTCTGTTCCGAATGAGTATGGGACGCTGCAGGATTTGTCGGGTGGCGCCGGCGGGTGCGGTGTATTTCCCGGTAATACCGTGACCGTACCGTGAGTATACGCATTGCATGTGTATGCCCTTTGTATGTCTGCCCCAACAATGAACCTTCGTCTTGTCCTGTCCTCTCAGAGAGTGCATGTATACTTCGGATGGCTCGGGATTTACAAGAATTTTGGCAATCATCATTCTCACACAGGTTTGTGGTGAATGCGCACAAGTAAACTGGTAGGTCAACGGCCACCTCTCATTTCGAGACTTCATGTGGTCCATACTTGAAAACTGTCGTGTTTCAATTTATTGAGATGTTTCATAGCACTAGAGATAGAGTGCTACTTTTAGTTACAGTAACACTCCCGTTTTAGAAACGTTTAGAAAACGGTTTTATGAGCAATTCGACCTTCTTTGTGTCCATTGACATCAAGCAATTAGAAAGACACCTTTGAAAGAGATGCTAATACACTACACATTCATTAAGCAGAATATCTGCAAGTCAAACTCTGAGTATCTATTGTTGATCAACAGCCTTTTGGGGAAATGGCTCTTTATAATATACTAATACATTCCAATATCCGTATATTAATTACTACTAATGAAGATCAGCTGTCAATACGCACTGGATCGATCTATTGAAACCATCGAAAGTAATAAAACCGCCGCGATACACTCTATCGAGTTGCTAGCACGTCCCAAGTGGGCCATTGAACCACATGGACTGCATAGTATATGATTATTACATCCAGCAATAAAATCCATTGATACATCATAATTATTATTATGAGATCTAAACATCGAATAAATAGTCGTTGCAATTTCTCAAGTATTTCACTCAATACAGTCTTTGTAATTATTGAGCCTGCCACTAGGGGCACCTGCATAGGGTTGGGAAACAGTGGAAGATGCTGGCTAGCGATGATCTCATTACTCTCTGCCGAGTCTGTACTAACCCTCCTGATTAATGCGTTTTGAGGACCTGCAGCAGAAGTGAGTATAAGCGCAGGGCGGGTTACCCTGGGTCTGTCGCCAGCAACAGCAATATTGCTCTGTCTGTAGGGGGTAGTCCTTCGCTGAGCGGGGTCGGAGTAGCAAGGCAAAATTTGCATAGAGCCAAGCCAGCCCATACGGAAAAATGCGTGAGGAAAAAAAGAACGATGATAGTAGGAAGAACCAGAATGCATAGAAGTCTGGATCTCTGGAAGCTTGGGGCGGGATTTCCCACCAAAGTGGTTTAGGGTGACGTTAGCGAGGGGAGAACCCGACAAGGCAGCGACCGCCTTCATCATCGTATTCAAGGTCCTCTCTAACCTTCTCCCGCTCTCCCTCATCTTCCAGCCTACTCTTGCATTACATCCCAGTTCTCCAAGCACTGCTCTTTGCCCGCTGGAAATTTTCTAAACCTGACGATCTTCCCGGCTGGCACACGATTGACACATCCCCCGTCTTAGCCGCTTCACTATCCGTAGTGGCGTCAAGATGAAGCTTACGTTCAGAGTATGTCGAACCCGCTTCAAACTCCATGCGTCGCCATCTCTATGTGGACTGACAAGATTATATCCAACAGGATCTCAAACAGCAGAAGTTCACCATCGAAGCTGAGCCAACCGAAACAGTAAGTGATGCTTTGGATCTTACTTGGAGACGTCTGTTCGCGCCATTCGACAAGTGCGGGGTTAATCGTTGTGTCATGAATAGGTTGGCCAGGTCAAGGAAAAGATTGCCCAGGAAAAAGGATGGGAGGCTTCTCAACAGAAACTGATTTACTCCGGTGAGTCTCTGCAAGCGAAAAAGCCGGTTTGCTTTGACCGCCAGAATCTGACCTCAGATAGGTAAAATTCTACAAGATGCGAATACTATCGAGTCGTACAGTATCGAAGAGAAAGGGTTCATAGTATGCATGGTCTCGAAGGTAAATCCTCAAACAGCATATTTAAAGCTTAATCGCCTCTTGTTAACTTGTTATTAGCCAAAGGCCGCACCCTCCGGAGGACCGTCAACACCGGCCAAGGTTGCCCCAGCAGCCACTCCTGCAGCTCCCGCTCCCTCTACTGCCCCTGCCGCCCCCCAAGTACCATCTACACCTTCTCCAGCTGGTCAAGCTGGTCAAGCAGCGTCGACTGCGGACCCCGCCGCCGACCCCACAACCTTCAATGACCCGTCCGCTTTGGCCATGGGCCCCCAGGGCGATGCCGCCGTCACTCAAATGGAAGCTATGGGCTTTCCCCGCGCTGACATTGAACGTGCAATGAGGGCTGCCTTTTTCAACCCAGATCGTGCCATCGAGTACCTTCTCAATGTGAGTCAAGTCGAGGGGTTTGTTAGTAGAAGGATATGCTAAGTCAAATATAGGGTATCCCAGAAGACATTCAGCAAGAGCAACAACAAGCCCGGGCGGCGGCAGCTTCTCCCGAAGCTGGAGATGCCTCTCCAGCTGCCCACGTGCCTGCAACAACCGGTGGTGAAGAGCCAGTGAATCTATTTGAAGCCGCAGCACAGGCTGGTCAAGGTACTGGAAGTCGCGGAGCTCGTTCTGGTGGTGCTGGTGCTGGTGCTGGGGAAGCTGGAGGGTTGGGCAATCTCGATTTCCTTCGAAACAATCCTCACTTCCAACAACTACGTCAGCTTGTCCAACAACAACCGCAGATGTTGGAGCCTATTCTCCAACAGGTTGGAGCTGGAAACCCACAATTGGCCCAACTCATTGGACAAAATCAGGAACAGTTTCTTCAGCTTCTGTCAGAAGATATTGCCGAGGAAGGCAATGAGCTTCCCCCGGGTACTCACGAAATCCGTGTTACAGAGGAAGAGCGTGATGCTATTGAGCGAGTAAGTGGGCTCTTAAAGGCATATTTCACCATAAATTCATACTGATTATTGCAGCTTTGCCGTCTTGGTTTCTCTCGAGACTCAGTAATTCAGGCTTATTTTGCGTGTGACAAGAACGAAGAACTGGCCGCCAACTTCTTGTTTGAACAACCTGACGAGAACGATGAACAATGATATTGACGGTCTTAACGTTTCTGATGGTTTTCTTTTCTTTTCCTCATCAATAATGCCATTAATGCTAAAGATGAGGCTTGAACTGTGATTTTATTTTCACTTCCTCAGATGATCCTATCTAAGTTGCTTGGTGACGATCTTAACCCTACTCAATCAAATACCGGCTTGACACGCAGTTCCAAAAAACCACATTCTCCCTCCTTTTCTCTTATGAACCATGAACGTTCCGTCGTTTTCCGTGCCAGCACTGTTTTTCTATCAAGACTCCTAGCGTGCTTTTGCTCATCATTACTTCGAGTACACCTTTTTCCTATGGTCGATTCTGCCTAGTTTTGCAACTACATTGTGTATCTAACACCCTGTGCATAGTAAGGATTTTCGATAATGGCTTTTCCTATCACGCAGACTGTAATTCTACCCCCTTTTTTCGGTTATTAGAAAAAGTTGAAGAATAAAGCGGAATTATGGTGCAGCGTTTGATTACCGACTGATCATGTCACATGTTCGCGAGGTCGATTGATATGCAAGTATCATGGGACCATTTACCACATTTTATAGTAGATAAGCCAGGTCACACCTACATAACTTGAAATAAATGTCGTAAGAGCTGCGAATTATATTATGTTTATGTTATCCAAGATGACTTTTCTGGCATGGCGTCAATCATCCTATAACTAACGATCATACCGTCCTAGTTACATCCCAAAATATAATAAATAATTTATGAGAAAAAATACATACTCTCTGTATCTTGCAGATAACGCGAGATATTGAAGAAAGAGGAATAATAAACAAGTGAAATATATTTCCCTTTCCAAAATAAACCCAACAGTCCCCCAAACATTTATATTTATAAAGACAGCGAGAAACGAAAATAAAATGATTTTTCGTACCTTGATGGCGTTTCTTAGAACTCGGCACAGCCGGTTCGCACGACAGCCCAGACACTCAGGCCCCGCCGACCAAAGACTCTGGCGATTGTAGGGAGGAATCCGTCATCTCCTAAATCGAGGTCATCGAGATTCAGATGTTGTTTGTATGTCCACAATTCTTCCATCTGAATCGGCCGGTCAGCGGCAGTAGTAGTAGAACCAGATTTGGTATAAGCGTCGAGGAAGATTGCAGATCGAGGAGCAACAAGGAAAACCAGGTTCTGGTCGCTTTGTTTTCGGTTTGAACGGGGTTTATTCTCGCTGCATTGTGGAACAGCTCCATCGATCCACTCAATCATCTCCAGTGGGCGCATGCCCATTAGGTCGCGGGTCTGGATGTTCGCTGGCAAACTGCTGTTGTCGCCAAGTAGCCACAGTGGCGGGGAATATGTCTTCCACCAAAACACCGTAACGTTCGACCCTGCTTTGTATTCGTTTTGGGTGGTGGGTAGTTTGGATGAGATAATCGAGGGCATTGCTAATTGAGTAGGTACGACGCCACCCTGATGATAGACGCCCATTAAATACCCCATAGCTGCATTGAACAGGAGCCATGAAATGAGAAAAGGGCGTGACCTGAGAGGTCTGATACACGTTAAGAGTAGTGGCACACATGGCAATAAAAAGCGAGGTTCTTGATGCGGGAAGATCGAGAGAATCATTGTTGCGGAGATTGCGGAGACTGCTCGTCTGTTGTAGAGAGATACTGATACTCGTGACTTCATAAACGGGAAAAGCACAAGCACAATAAAGGCTGGCCCTAGAAGTTGCGGAAGATTCGCGAGTAAGTGATGGTAGTGGGAGTGAATACCATGGGTCGCGAGGTTGATGCTATTAGAATTATACAATAAATTGTTTAGAGGAGTGATAACCGGATGTCGAATAGCTTCTGCTAGACTTGATGATCGGTAGAAAGAGCTATCGATAACAATGGCGATTGCTGTGAAGACCGCACCGAATCCGACTAGCACTGCGAGCGAGAACGGCCTATTAAACCCGGGGTTAGCTTATACTTCACTGGTCAAAGGTCATGTGGAATACTAACTTGCGATGAAAATGTGGTAGTAACTGTAAACCCGGGGCTAAAAGGAAAGCTGGGAATGTGATTCGGTTGAATACACCTAGCACCGCTACTAGCGACAACACCACGCAGGAGAAAAAGGCGGAATGCTTCTATACCAGAGATAAGAAAATGTATCAGCAGGTGCAGGAAAAAAGGGAAAAAGGGCCGGTCTTCCCACTTTGTTCTCGATGATGCGATGAATGAGGACCAGTCCCCAGGCAACGAGTAGAGTCTCCAGCGAGTTGGAGAAGGTGTGCGTCTGATACGTCCATGTGACATAGGAAGAGGCCACCAGGACGACAGTAGGCACGCGATATCGCGGTGTCGGAACCAATTCGTAGATAGCCCAATCCTCAAGCACAAAGCTCAACACAAACATGCCAGCCCGTAGAAGATAGTATATCAGCTCGGAAGGAGGACTGCCCTGTCCCATTTCGTTGTAGAACCATTTCAAAAGGTTCATCGGCCATCCGTAAGCCGGCCATAAGGGGAACACGCTGCGGATTGGGTTGTCTGAAGTAAATTCCCAGGTCAAATGTGATGGATAGGAATATACGCGCCCTAGAAAAAAACATGCAACAATTGTTGTTAGCTATTTGTTGCGTAGAACTCGACCGAAGGGTGTCGCGTAGATTGCGCCGCAGGAGCCGCGCTTGCTTGCGCTTGCTGGTCGCGCAGGCGCAAAATATAGTCGCAAAAGGATATGAAACTATACCTGCAAATACTTCCGGGCCTTGAAAATGCTCATCTGGATGCAGATAGCTCGGAGACAGGGCAAAATATATCCGGACCAGCAGGAGCAGCAAGTAAGTACGTCTCCACATGGCTGGATGATTTGGGCGTCGAGAAGGTTTGCAGTGTCATCAACACAAGAGACATAGCGCACCCACTTGCTGGGCATATGGAAATGAGAAAAGGGGAAACATCTGGAGCATGGCTTCGCTCTTGTGGTTTGGTAGAAGTCAAGGGGATTTTGCAAGAGGAGCTACGTATTATTATTTAGAAGGGGGTCAGACTTGTCCCGATAACCAAACCTAATCAGCGCGCGATCATTTGCCAGGGCTGAGACGCGTTACTTTGGCAATAAATAATTATACTACAGCAGCCACCAGGCATCGTGCATGTTCCAGAATAAGGCTCCAGCATATATATGATACTTTGGAATCGGGAACAATCATCACGCAAGAATTATAATGGGCAACATGGGCTTGTCAAACGCTTGACGTTGCAAGATGGATTCGTGTTTGCGCCATAAGAACGGGGACCAAACAAAAACACGCTGAAACCGACAGGAAACGGGGGACAAACCATATGATTGACAATGGAGATGTCATCTGGGTGTAAAGCATCAAACGGTGTTGCTGGTATGATCCGATGAGGGGCCGAAAATGGCTAAAGCTGCTGCCTGGTGATTGGCCTGGGCTGAGTGCGGCGGTGCCAGCCTGTCGCTGCGGCTACGCGGGGGTGATGTTGGCTTTGTCGCTGTCCGATTTCTCAGTATCGACATCGCTCGCAGTATTCTAAAGTATTCTAAAGCTCCAGTCTTCAGTCTCTTTTGTCGGACCCTGCTGCCTTGACCCTTGTCGGTGGGTATAAGACACCTCTATTTCCGCACATTGCATTGCTAATCCAAGGCGGAGAGATTTCACCACACAGACAACTCATCCATTTCTACCTCTCACTGCAACTATTCATCCAGGTGCAACACATCGAACATGTCTTCCGAGGACGTGATCAAACTCGCAAGCTCAGATGGAGTCGAGATCACAGTCGGTAAGTCGAGACGCCCTCCATCACATGTACCACACTTTGGGCCGCCGTAACTAATCGCTATTTAGAGCGAGTCGTCGCCGAGCGCTCTATGCTCATCAAGCATCTTCTCGATGACCTTGGCAAGACTGAAGAGGCCGTGCCTATCCCTAACGTAAACGAGTCCGTTCTCAACAAGGTCATCGAGTGGTGCGTCCATCACAAGAACGACCCTCCCAGCACCGACGAGAACGAAAGCGAAAATAACCGTCGCAAGACCACGGACATCGACGAGTGGGATCAAAAATTCATGCAAGTCGATCAGGAAATGCTTTTTGAAATCATCTTGGTATGCCCCGCCACGGACCAGACATGGCAAATCAAACACTAAATATGACAACAGGCTGCCAACTACCTCGACATCAAGCCACTTCTCGATGTTGGCTGCAAAACTGTGGCCAACATGATCAAGGGCAAGTCACCTGAAGAGATTCGAAAGACCTTCAACATCCAGAATGACTTCACCCCGGAAGAAGAAGATCAAATTCGTCGCGAGAATGAATGGGCCGAAGAGTGAGTCTCAGATGCCTTCATCATATGCTAGTACTGACTTGGGATTTGTGTTTCTTTCTAGCCGATAAACAAAAATTGTCTTCTGTGCTCTTCAGCCGATCTTGGTAATGACCGTTGAAATGAGGGTTTATCGCGGGCATCGGCGGTTGATGCGTACGCTTGTTTTGTTTTTTTAACATTAATGACTGGCGTTATCTCCTTACAATATTATATCGCTTTAAGGGCTGGTTTCCTCTAGTCATGTCTTTCCTGATTGCGTTGTCGTGGACGACTTCTACCAGTTAGATGCCAAAATTACTTAAACACTTCACCAATAACAAGTTCTCTCAAGATAGCGTTGCAGTATGTGGTGCTTTATTTGCCAGTATTCGTAGTACAAATTCTCTAATATGCGTTAAAACAAGCCCGTGTTGTCATCTGTTAAGTGTCAGGTTACAACATATCTGCTTGTATCGCAGAATATGCCGGTATTAATGCTCGTATAAATTCAAATTACATCGTTTATGATTTCATTTCATGACCAGGACTAGAAAGGGTCCATCCTAAGAGTTTTCATTACTATAGTCTGAATCCTTTACGAGGATGATAGTCCACGCATCCTCCACACACAGAGAGAGCCCTCGACGCCATAATTCATTTCATATTTTGTTTAATACCTGCGCCACCCATTAAGAAATGAGAACTGCCGCAAGAGAACTTTATTGATATGACCAATCAACCCGTTGCTGGTTCCGGATGGAAAGAAAATATTGCGTGGGTACGGCATTAATCGACATAGGTGTAACGCAAATAGAAAACCGGGCCCATCATTTCATCAGCCACCTTTTTGGGTCAAAGACAGTCGAACTGGCGAGGAAAAAGCGAACAGATCGAGTCAATAACTAGTCGAGATAAAAAGGGCTCCGAGGATACTGCAGGAAAATTGACGAATTTAGATACCCAGACGGGTCTTGCGCCAGTGCCTTCTCTTGGCGTTGTATCTGGAAAAGAATGCAGTTAGCATATGTTTGGATTGAAGTGATGGTGCTGCATTTATGAGGGCTGCAATAAGTGCTGCTGAGATTCGTGTGATTTCTTTTATCGAATATCCCTTGTTTCACGTCCTTCTTGATAGAGCACTTATCCCGGCTCGACAAACAGCACGCAGGCGAGGTGAATTTACCTGATGGTGTTACCAGTCCTAAGACGGATCCATTGAGGAATGGGACGGTTCTGCTTCTGGGCTTTGGCAAGCTTTTGCTTGGTGCGGAAGGACTTTTGGCTCTGTATTCAAGAAAAAGATAAGTTAGCACGCCATTCTCTGATTTGATTTGCGCCGAATTAATTTGCGTATTGATGCTGCGAAGCCTCATTATATAGAGCAGGGAGAAGTTCGACGTACCGGCATCTTGATGGGCTGTCGTGCTCGAGAAACTGAACTTGATAGTTGTCGTGGTCGCTTGTAGAGCCTTTTGGGCGGGTAAATTTTGTGTGGGTAGGGCTTCGCTTCATTATAGTCACGTGATATACTTGGCGCTATGATTTTGCACTCGACCTGAGGGCGGGCGGGATTGGCTGGACGGAGACTCCACCTATGGACAGATCTGTATATTTTGATACTGTAGTGTTTGGTAATCATAACTTTGCACTTGCTACGAACATCAATAACAGCATTCTCGACAGAGCTGCTGTAAGTTTTGGTATTGGTATTTTTCCTCATTATCAGCAACTTGTAATCGGTGTCTCATTAAGTTCCGACCGTTAATTAATCATACTGACTCACCCCTCGTGGCGAATCATGAATTTAGAATAATTAATTATGAAAATTGCTTCGACTTAGCCTGCTAGTAAGCAATCTTCATTTTGCCTGATACGAATACGAGGATATGGACTGATCAAGTTAGTTAACTTATAACACGAGAACCGCAGCTTAGTCATAGTGATGGATGCCTGGCGGCTTTCCTGTTGGGGCAAGCTATTCGGGCATCTAACAGGCAGATCAGTTTATCATTTGATGCTATCAAGTTACATCCATGTCCATGACTCACTCACCGGCAAGGGGTCTTGGACTCAAGCAGTTTACCGCTTACGGGGAACCAATAATTAAGGCATACATAACGTAGTTCCGCTGCCGACCATCACCAATCATTATTTAATCATAATATGACTATGCGAGGGTTAAACGAAGAGGCTCGACGAGGATGTCTTATCTTCCCCACCGGGGTCGTGCATAAATGTTAAATGCGAATGCGAATGCGAATGCGATTAAAATACGTACGGTACTACAACAATGAAACAGATCCGCCGCTAACCGTATTAGTCAACGGTTGCGAGTGCTTAGTAAATTTAGGGTTAGCGCCGCGGATTTATTTGCCATAGAAAGACGGAGTACGGTATGATACGGCCGTATGTGAGTAGGTACTCCATAGATCGCAAGCCTCAAGATTGACAGCATGCATTTACCAGTCAACCTAGTAAGAAGTCCAACAATCCATACGGGCAACTTTTCTTCTGTGCTACTGTGCAGCTGTGTACTCGTAGCATTCAATATTAATATTTGTACGGTCTATTATTGTGTAACCTGCTACAACAAAAATATTTATGATGCTGTACGTATCCGGAATCCGTACATGGATATTTGCAGCGAAGCTCTACGAAAGCTTACGTAACCTCGGGTAGCCCAAAACCCGGCCCCGCCAGTCAAGGCGCAGGAGCGAATCGCCTGCCAGTGTGCAACTAGGGGTACATCACGGCAGCAGGTATACATAACTTATCTCGGAACTTCTCCCATCCGGGGTTGGTAATTATACGAGTTATTACGAGTAGGATCTCGACGTGGCGACGTACTGCTTATTTACCGAACCTTTTTTATTTGTTGCCTTCAAATGTTGTCACAGTCCCCGCGGCTTTATTCCAGGCACACCAGGTGACGACAGCAGCGAAGAGCAGAGCCAAGATATCGCTGCCTAGTATTCGGACAATGACCATACTTATCGGCATTATATCCTGAACTGTATTGGTTGCGCGACTGTTATATGGCGGACAAGCTAGCTAGCTATTACGTCTTTGGCTCAACAAAATAGCAAGTGCGACTCACCATCGCCCTGAGCTCGGAAGCTTTTTGCAGCACACAATAATGGCCGTACCTTCTGGAAAAGTTCCTCCAACAGAGGAGAAACTGGAAGGTGCCCTGCAGCCAACAACATCTGAATCTGTCACGACGCCTCAAGACCCAGAAAAACATCAGGGAGAGACCTGGAAGACTGGTTCAGCCTCGACCTCAACCGGCGCGGATAAGAAAGACGACAAGGCCCAAACAACAGCAGCCCCGTCTGCAACCGAGCTTGACACTCTTCTCGAACAGTTACCAGAGGACGAGAGGAAGATTTTGCAAGAGCAACTTAAATCTCCGACGGTCTCGGTGAGCTTTTTCGCATTGTATAGATATGCAGACAAGTGGGATTATCTCGTGCTACTCATCAGTGCCATTTGTGCCATTGCTGGAGGCGCTGCCCTCCCTCTATTTACAGTATGTGAAAAGGTCTCCCCATACATACACTTTGTCGCTAATTCCATCGCATCTAGATCCTCTTCGGCCAATTAACAAATGCCTTCCAAGGAATCTTCCTAGACACCATCTCCTATGATAATTTCCACTCGGAGCTAGTCAAAAATGTGCTGTATTTCATTTATATTGGTATCGCCGAATTCGCGACCATCTACGTTTCCACCGTCGGTTTCATCTATACCGGAGAACACGTCACCCAAAAGATTCGTGAGGCTTATTTGGAAGCCATTCTGAGACAGAATATTGCCTACTTCGACAATTTAGGTGCTGGCGAGATTACCACTCGTATTACTGCCGATACAAATCTCATCCAAGATGGTATCTCTGAAAAGGTGGGGCTTACTCTGACTGCAACCGCAACTTTTATCACTGCATTTATCATCGCCTACATCAAGTACTGGAAATTGGCTCTTATTTGCTCCTCAACCATCGTCTGCCTGGTTTTGATCATGGGCGGTGGCTCGCGTTTCATCGTCAAGTTTAATAAACAGTCGCTCCAAAGTTATGCTGTTGGAGGAAGTGTCGCTGAGGAAGTCCTCAGCTCTATCCGGACTGCTACCGCGTTTGGTAACCAGGAAAGGCTGGCTCAACAATACGATGTCCATCTTAGAGAGGCTGAAAAATGGGGGGTAAGACTGCAGTTGATTCTTGCGTTGATGATCGGTGGTATGTTTGGTGTTATGTTCCTGAATTACGGATTAGGCTTTTGGATGGGATCTCGATTCCTCGTTGACCACGAAGTTGTTGTCGGTCAAGTCATAACGGTGCTCATGTCTATTCTGATCGGATCATTCAGCTTAGGGAATGTAGCGCCAAACGGTCAAGCATTTACCAGTGCTGTCGCTGCCGCGGCGAAAATCTACAGCACCATCGATCGCAAGTCTCCTCTTGACCCTACATCTGATGAGGGCGAAATCATCGACGGATTAAAAGGTACCATTGAACTGCGCAATATTAAGCACAGGTATCCATCACGCCCAGATGTCCCAGTGATGGATGACGTTAGCCTGCTGATTCCTGCCGGCAAGACTACAGCTTTAGTCGGCCCTTCAGGCTCTGGAAAAAGCACGGTCATCGGATTAGTCGAGCGCTTCTACAACCCAGTCCGTGGAGGTGTCTTCTTAGATGGGCATAACATTCAATCACTCAATTTGCGATGGTTGCGCCAGCAGGTTTCACTTGTCAGTCAGGAACCTATCCTCTTTGCCACGACAATTTACGAAAACGTCCGATTTGGTCTCATCGGTACCCCATTTATCAACGAAGGGGACGAAAAGGTCCAAGAACGGATTCGACAGGCTCTAGAGATGGCTAATGCTCTTGAATTTGTTACCGCTTTGCCTGAAGGCTTGGACACTCATGTAGGTGAACGTGGATTCTTACTTTCAGGTGGTCAGAAGCAGCGTATTGCAATTGCTCGTGCTGTTGTTAGCGACCCCAAGATTCTGTTACTGGACGAAGCAACATCTGCCCTGGACACCAAATCCGAGGGCGTGGTCCAAGCTGCTCTAGATAAGGCTGCAGAAGGTCGTACCACCATTGTAATCGCACATCGACTATCTACTATAAAGGGTGCTCATAATATTGTGGTATTGGTGAATGGTAAAATTGAGGAACAAGGAACTCATGACGAATTATTGGACAGCAATGGTGCCTACCACAAGTTGGTTGAAGCGCAACGTATCAACGAGGAGAAGGATGCACTCTCAGCTAAGGATGTGGACTTGGACGATATGGAAAATGAAAACGAGCTTCAGCAAACCATTTCTCGGGTCAAAATGTCTCGTACCCTGACTTCTAAGAGTACCGGTAGCGGGCGTGCAATTGATGAGAAGTCTCCCGACTTTCTCGACAGACAAAGCACTAAGAAATCGATCTCCAGTATTGCCCTCGGAAAAAGGGGCGCTGAAAAGGAGCATCATTACTCACTGTTTACGTTGATCAAGTTCATATTCTCCTTCAATCGACCTGAACTCCTCTATATGCTTACTGGTCTTGTCTTCGCTGTTATCTCCGGAGGCGGTCAGCCCACACAAGCAGTCATCTTTTCGAAAGCTATCACTACTTTGGCCTTACCTGAAAGTGAATTTGCTAAATTGAGACACGATGCCAATTTTTGGTCTCTTATGTTCCTCATGCTTGGCCTCGTTCAGCTGCTTGTGCACTCTACCCAAGGAGCTGCTTTCGCTTTCAGCTCCGAGAAACTAGTTCGTCGAGCACGGCTCCAGGCTTTCAGAGCCATGCTGCGCCAGGATATTAGTTTCTTCGATCGGGATGAAAATACCACGGGTGCTTTGACTTCATTCCTCTCAACTGAAACGAAACATTTATCCGGAATTAGTGGAGTTACCCTCGGGACAATTCTCATGGTATCAACAACTTTAATTGCATCGTTGACTATTTCACTCGCTATCGGATGGAAATTGGCACTTGTCTGTATTTCTGTTGTTCCAGTTTTGCTAGCCTGCGGTTTCTATCGCTTCTGGATGCTAGCTCAATTTCAATCGAGGTCAAAGAAGGCCTATGAGGCCTCGGCTAGCTATGCGTGCGAAGCAACCTCTGCTATTCGCACTGTCGCTTCTTTAACTAGGGAAGAAGACGTCCTGCGCATCTATCATGGTCAGTTAGCAGCACAGGCGCGTAAGAGCCTTGTTTCGGTTCTCCGATCTTCCTTACTGTATGCTGCTTCACAAGGTGTATCTTTCTTCTGCATGGCTCTAGGGTTCTGGTATGGTGGAGAACTCCTTGGCAAGCACCAGTATACACTGTTCCAATTTTTTGTTTGCTTCTCCGAAGTTATTTTTGGAGCACAGTCTGCGGGTACTGTTTTCTCTTTCGCCCCTGATATGGGAAAAGCAAAGAATGCTGCCTCCGAGTTCAAGAAGTTGTTTGATCGCATACCAGCTATCGATGTATGGTCCCAGGATGGCGAGAAACTTGACCATGCTGAGGGTACTATTGAATTCCGCGATGTCCATTTTAGGTACCCAACACGCCCCGAACAGCCTGTCCTTCGTGGACTTGATTTGACCGTCAAGCCGGGCCAATATGTTGCCCTTGTCGGTGCAAGTGGGTGTGGCAAGAGTACAACTATTGCCCTTCTGGAGCGATTTTATGATCCTTTGTCAGGAGGAGTCTACATAGATGGCAAGGATATCTCGAGTTTAAATGTCAACTCTTACCGGAGTCACTTGGCTCTAGTGAGCCAAGAACCGACGCTCTATCAAGGCACCATCCGTGACAATATTCTTCTGGGTACGAATGAGATCGATGTTTCTGAAGAGGCAATCATCGGCGCCTGCAAGAACGCTAACATCTACGACTTTATTCTGTCTCTCCCGTAAGTGTCCTATCATTATCAAGCCTATTTCATCACTAACGCTCCACCCCAGGGATGGATTTGATACAGTGGTTGGCAGCAAAGGCGGCATGCTTTCTGGTGGACAGAAGCAACGCGTTGCCATTGCTCGCGCATTGCTTCGTGACCCCAAGATCCTACTATTAGATGAAGCCACCTCAGCTCTTGACTCTGAATCTGAGAAGGTGGTTCAAGCTGCACTAGATGCCGCCGCTCGTGGCCGGACAACTATTGCGGTCGCTCATCGACTCAGTACCATTCAAAAGGCCGACATTATCTATGTGTTCGATCAAGGCAAAATCGTGGAAAGCGGAAACCATCAGGATCTCCTTCGCAACAAGGGCCGTTATTATGAACTGGTGAACCTACAAAGCCTAGGAAAAACTCACTGATCAATCGTCCTTGCTCATTTCCTTTACCCGTGCTGTAGTTCATGTCATATTTCATGTATACATATTCGTCGCTCTCCAAAACAGCTAATCTTCTCTCCAAGTGCGATACTTCGCTTCCATGTACATATTTTATGAACTTTGCTCTTCCATTCTATGAAAAGCGCATATCATGTTGAGCACGTATTTATACTAGGGGGTTGTGTGAGCATTGTTACACTTAATAATCCCCTTTCCTCGTTTTACACTACAATATCCAGATTGGGGAGGTATGTTATGAGAAATTATTTTACTTTTATTCTGTCAAGGAAACATCGTATTTTGAGTGTGTTTAGCTGAAGATAAAGTCAAATAAAACCGCCTTCTCTCCTCCATTCGTTCTCAGCATTCTACGGTAACTGCATGACATAACTCTCTCAGTCTTCTGTTGTAACACCAAACTCGTTCTGAATATCTATATGCCGGGCTCCGCGTGCCTCTGCAATCAAACCTAGTAGACCCTGGCCAATGTCTCGGATTTCATTGTACGCATGGAGCAAGTGGATATGGTCTCGAACTGTCTGAGAGGCTTTTTCAGGGGATCTAAAACATAGCAGATTAGGATCCCAGAATACAGCTAGTCAATGATATATGTGTGATGGATGAAGACCTTAGTTTTGAAGTCACTTCTTGGAGCTGAGTCTCTGTCTCCTGGATTTGCTGCTCCAGCTTTGAGATCGACGCACGTAATATAGTCTTAAGCTTGTCACCGACAGCGGCGGTGGTTAGCAGGTTAGATTATGCAAACCATGCCGAATCCCAGACAGCCTACTTGTCTCTTGTCAAGCTGGGCTTGATGTGCCAATTGCAGGGGCTGCGAGTCACGGCAGTCGGGTTTATCCCCCTTTGTTTGATGTCCAGACATGTCGCAGCATCAATGCTGACTCTTGGATCTGACAAGATATGCAAAGAGCTATGGCCTGACGAGCCACAGTTTATTCGGATAGTTGCATCATGGCAGCTTTTGACTATTGACAGAACCGGAAAGCGCATCAAATCGCCCAGTCTAGACTAGCGGCGACCGACGGAGGCTAGAGGCCGCGCGGTTCCGCTTCCAGTAAGTGCCAGTCATAAGTTCCTCCACCCCTCGGCCATACCTAGTCCATAAATCACTTTCGTCCTACCCTACATCCACCTGTCATCAGCGCCGAGCCGCTGCCGTTGTACTCATGATACAATTTGATATGAGTTCCTTGATCTGACCTGAGAATTACGTCGATTTACCGCTCGGTCTCGCAAGCAGCGCTTTTGTTTTTCTTTGGTAGTCTCACCACCAAAATGTCGACCATGTCGGTCCCGAGATTCTTCCTCGCGACTTTTCTGGCTATCCAGGTCTCCGCCCATGGAGGCCATGAGGCTGTGCCGGAAGGCGAGGCCATATCTGGAGATCCAATTGTCAGTACATCCCGTGTATATAGGTGAAATATTCATGGGCCCTTTCTAACTGAAGGACTGAAACTAGGACTCGACATTATGGCTGCATATGATTATTATGGGGGTAGCATTTGGTATCATTTTCCCGTTTGGCATGGTTCTTGGTGTAAGCCATCCAGTTTTTTTTTTGATTACGCAAACTATACTGATGAATATTGTGCTCCTAGATTATTCGGTCTCGCTGGCACGTCCCCGTGCAAGTCGTCGGTACCATCTTAGCTGTCGTCGCATATTTCATGGGTCATGCGCATAAAGGTCGCCAATTCGCTAAAAATGTCCATGCCTCGTTTGCAAATTCCCTCATGCTCCTACTCATCATTCAAGTGGTGCTAGGTGTCTATTTGAAACTCCATCTCGAGAAGGGTATCAATGGCCGTATTCGTCGGTACATGGTCCTTGGGCACGGTGTCTTAGGCAAGGCAATGCCTGTCGTCAGCTGGGTGCAAATGTTGTTCGGTGGAATCACCGCGCTGGGATTTTGCCGCGACGACCACCTCGGTCAATGTCTTGCGCATTTTATCATGGGAAGTGCCTTCATTGCCTATGGTATTGTGATGACCATTTTGCTCCTCGTTGGTCAGTTCTGGCTGCGTCACACCGGTCGAAGCCAGGAATTCTTCGATTCCCTTATCATCGCGGCTTGGGGCTGCGTTAACACCTTTACCGAACACCGATGGGGTGGTCCCTGGGTACATAATGATTTGCAGCACACCACTATGGGCATTGTCTGGTGGTGTGCTGGACTGCTTGGCATGTGGTTGAGTCGTAAAAGAAATGGACGACCAAAGCGCAACCTAATTCCGGCTATCGTTATTCTGTTGACAGGATATGGAATGTCAGCTCACCCACAGAATCTACCTCTCAGTACCATGGTCCACACCATGTTCGGATACACATTGATGGCTGCCGGGTTAACGAGAATCATTGAGATTTCCTTCGTGCTCAGAGATCAGAGCACCTTTAGCCTTGATGGCTCAGACCCTCACAGCTTCCAATACTTACCACCATTCGTGAGTTGTTACTACTCTTACCATTACGACATCTCTATTAACGAATACTATAGCTTCTTTATGCTTCGGGTTTCCTCTTCATGGGTGCCACAGAGGAGCAAATGCAACTCCTCAGCGATGCTGGCGTCACCCATGTATCATACATTTTAATCCTGTATAGTGTCGCGTTCATTCTATTCCTTTGTAAGTTTCGCCGCAAACCTCCGCTGCGATCATTCGCCATATACTAATAAAACGACTAGTTGTCAACATTCTCCTACATCTATATGCTGTCCATGCATTCCCCGAATCGGCGCAGTTTAATAGGAAAAACCAGCAACTTCCAAAAACGCGCCGTACTGATTCCACCTCATCATATACCGAAGCCAATGGTACTTTGCAACCGAACGGCTATACCCGTTCCCGCTCAGAAGCCGAACAAGTACACGACGCAGAGGCCTTCGAATTGCAGGGCCTCATCTCCGATGACGAATATCATGGCCACAAGGAAGGCGATGATGACGAGGACACTCTCGTCAACCCCAAGTGAAGGACTACTACACAATTTAAATTAAATACTTGTCAACGGAAACAAAGGATACCCGACTAAATTTCTATTGCTCTATGCCATGCTCACATCCTAGGAACGTTCATCTAATATTTCAATATCATTTGAAGATTTCCTCTTTCATCTTTGCATTTATTCGTTCAGGAAAATCTTGGACTGGCGTCAGTTAGTTTATCATACTCTAGGTTTGGATTTCAGTCAAATGAAGACTGCTACATTTACATAAACGAATTCGTAGATAAATGAAAAACTTTAGCAAGACCATGGTCGTCATAATTCAAACTATAGATTGCTCCTACGTATATCCTTAAATGAGACATGGAGCATTTGAGTCTGAATCACAAGCAGTAACTCCAATTTTCGTGGTATTGATGGTCTCATCGACAAGTCTCGAAACTCTTAGATGCGATTTCTTGCTACAGAGAACAGAATAGAGAATAACCAGAAGATAAAGCGCCGCCCAAACCGCTACCAAGCCCGAAGTTTTTGATCAAGACCCATCCAGAGCGCCAATCTATCCATGCCAATTCTATATCCCCGCCTTCCTTCGTACCTGCTTCTTTACTCCATTCATCTTCTGTATATGGTGGAAAATCATCTGAAGTGAGAGAAATCATTAGTATCGTGACGATATGTAAGGTGTGACCAATCACAGGCCCACAACTGTGCCTTGCGGGACCGAAGTTATGACTGGAAGCGCTGTTTGCACGTTTGATGCCGCCATGTTTTCAATCCGAGGTGAGAAAATCGGGTGGAGGGGATAAATAGGAGCAACGTTTCTTTCTCCATCAAACAACAAGAGGTTCTGAAGAGGCTGTTCGCGAGCGCTCAGAACATTGATCACATCCTGTGCTAGATTTCCGCCGAGGAATGCAGCTACAGGGCTCAGTTCGCAGCCCAAGTTCTCCAGAAAGCTTCGCAAAAATACCGAGTCAATGATGTTGATATCGAGTTGGAGTTCACGGTGTCGTTCGTTGACTAGTCGAGTAAAGAGTTCTAGATCAGATCGCGAAAAACTTGGTAATTTGCCGTCGTATGTTCGCTGAAATTCCCATAGTGCTCGAAGACAGCTCAAAAGAGGAGTCACCTGCCTCTTCCTCCGGGCAACACGGGTGAATTCTTCCGGAAGTGGGGAGCTGTTAGCAAGAAGGAGGGGGGAGTAGACTTCGCGCTTGGTCACCAATTCGATGACCCGGTCATTTTCCCGTTTGGTGGTGATATCAACAATGGAGCGAGTAAGCGTTTCCTGCTGCTGAGATGCCACATTTGATTTTTCACGCTCAATGACAAAGTCGTGGGAAATCAAATCGGCAAACGCGTAGCCGTAAAACCCGTGGATTCCTGCAGCATAGAAGCGTCGATTGGCAATTCGACAAGCTGCATTGATGCTTGTGTATGTGACGAAGTCGACGTCGGTTGCTATAGTGACATCGAAAGCTGCGAAAAACTCGGGAGACTTGGCTCGCACGTCGTCTGTGTCGATATGAAGCTGAACTCTGGGGTTCATTGCGCGAACCTGAGGCGCTGCAGCTTGTGCTCGCTGTTAGGCCGTCAGTGTTTCGATCCCACTATATCCTGGTGATACTGATAAAATCTCACATTCTGGCCGATAGTTTCCTCGGACACAAAGAACTGAGCCCCCAGATCCATCTCTGTGACAGGTTCATGATCAAGAATTGTCAGAGAACCAACCCCAGCAAGGACAAGGTTCTTTGCGATCTCATTTGCCAAGGCCTTGAAGGTGACTAGCAGTATGTTGGCAGATCTCAACCTGTGCGGATCGGTTAGTCATGGACTGGTTCTGTCTAGTATCTGACGCATTTTGTACTTCTCTTGCGCCTTTACACCCCAAAGACGAATCTGTCGGTCATAAAGAGCAATCTCATCTGCGACGTATTGTAAGAAGACTTTGATATGCTGTTTCTGCACGCAGAATACTTACCTGCGCTAATGCCCTCGCCACTGTCTTCTTGAAGGTTGCTCATTTTGGCGTCACAGTGAACTCACCACGCCGGGCCCAGAGCAGCGTGAAAGAGACGAGCCGAGAGGGAAGCGGCGGAAACGAATCACAGAATCAAGTAGAAGGACTTGTAAATTAATAAACAGCATGCCTATCCAGCGATCACAATGCAATGCAATGCAATATCCAATGGAGCATGCAACCGCGAGTAGTGGCAGTGGTAGCAGTAGCAATAGCAGTAGCAGTAGCAATCGTAATAGTAATAGTAATAATAAGTGCACTTTGTAACAGAGTTACTGCGGCGGGGACGCTGCACGGTGGGGCCGCATGTCCGACAGAGAGCACTCCACCGCCTGCCTCTATTTAACTAATATATCCTACGTAAACTCCCGCAACCACTACTCAATGCTTTAGTTATGATGATTTAGTTGTCGACACTCCTTCTCCCTCGGTCTCCCTGGCAGATTCGCTTTGTAGACGCTTTTATACGCCCAAGCCTGCCGGCGTCTCGGATTATTGTTGTCGAGGATATTGACCGTCTTAGTTACACAAGCTCAGCTCAACGTTGCTGATTTTGGTGCCATCCCACGCCAGCCCGTTGTGCAGCCAGCCATCACTGGCTTCATAGTTCTACCCCTTCATTCACGATGGTAAGTTTTTCGCACATACTGGAAGGGGATGCATCACCATCTTCACCCAACACTCTTCCTCTCGATTATACTCCGATATACCTGAATCTGCCTTATGGCCAGCCGATGGGGAAGGATCTTCAATACATGTATTAACCTGTTCACCTCCAGTCGGGAAATTACGATTATCCTCCTGCCTCGGACCGTCAATATCATCGCAATACAAACCCCGAAAGGTCGCAGTCCGGTCGGCAGTCCCAACTACAAAACCTACGAAATCTACTTTCAGAACGGGCTCGTCGGCGGTCAGGCTCTATTACCACAGCCCGTGCGTTGGAAACGCTAAATCAGGAAATCGAGCAGTTGCGACCCAGCCGGGTTCGACATAGATCCGCCTATGAAGAGGGTCAGACCGATGCTAATACAGAACAAGATCGTCAGCAGGGAAGTTCATCAACAAGGAATGCCGATCATATTCGACGCCGAGTTTTGTATCGTGAGCGAGAAAGGACCTCTAATGCCAGCCCATCATCTGAAAGAGTGGAACAGGCGATAGACTCGTTGAACAACCAACTGAGACTGCGATGGTTAACGCCAGGCGAGGCTTTATCTCGTATTAGGGAGAGTCGGGCTAACCGGCCCAACAATGAGAGCTCTGATGATTTTCCTCCATTTCGTCTGCCTCCGGAATTAGAACAAGCCGTTGCTATATCGAGAGCAAGGGAAAGTCGTACAAATCGGAACAATAATTCGGATTCTAGCGAGTTTTCCCTGCTTTCCTCGCCTCATGGACTAGAAGAAGCCGCTACCAGATTTGTCAATGAACATTTCCCCGGTTCAGAATCTCCGCTCAGGTTATTTAACCTTTCACCTTCACCCTATCCTGAACCTCATAACCCTCCTAGTTGGGATGATCCCCCACCCCGTTCAGAGTCCCCTGGCTCACTGGGAACTCGGTGGAGGGCGAAAAGGCGCAAGCTAGACTCAGACGATCACCGTGAAGGGCTGAAAGGCTTTACCTATGGCCATTATGGCCAGGTTGTTCCAGGGTTGTTGAAGATGGAAATCGAGAGCTGTGATGGGGGAACATATTACGACGAGAACGGAGATAGCTCGTGGCCGGGGAACGTCCTATTGAATGATGCCTCGGTCTATTGCACGAAAAAGAGTAACTGCAATCTGATATTGAAGCACCGTGGTGAAACCCCCTTCTCTCTGAAAAAGATCATCATTAAAGCACCAAAGAAAGGCTTTGACGCGGCGTAGGTTTTTGACCTGTTATGTTTTGAAACACTTGGTCAATATGCTCACATATATTACAGGATCCAAGAGGGTATGGTATTCGTTTCTATGACCTCCGAGGAACTTTTGGAGCGAACTGCTCGATATCAAATTCACTATGAATCTCTAAACAGAAGATGCCATCGACCTAGACGACAATACAGCCAGCCTTCACATGAGTACATGAACGCATATCGATCTCCCCTTCAAGTAATCGAAAGGTCGGATAGCTCTGTTGGCGATTCCGGCGTACAAACCGAATCTCAGGACCCCTTCGCTACTCCTGAGACTACAGAACCGCAGTTCAGAGTTACTACAGAGCATGACGACAACTCAGATGGTGGGCCAAATGATAATCAAGAGAACGACGAATTTCCGTCAGCAACCGAAATAGAACTCATGAATTTTGGAGAGGATGGCGAATTATTCTGCCCGGAAGAAGGAGACGAGAGCGATGATGATGAGGCGTCCGTGTTCAATCAGGATCGTTTTGAGATGCGCCGACGCTTTCGAGACCACCACAATCAACATGGCGCTGGCCGTACTCGCTTAGCTACGCCCAGTCGAATTGTACCAACAGCAAGTTTCGGAGAATTTACATCTCAGGAGTCCGACGTCATAAAACCCCATGCACAATTCTTCATTAAGCGTGAGAACAGCATGGTTAGCATTAAATTTGATCCTCCGCCGTATGCGTCTCAGCTCTTGTCTATATGCCTTTCATCAATTCACTAACTCGTATACAGATCCGGTCGCTTCATTTTGATAAAGCTGTTTAGTCCGCGTAGCGGAGGGAATATCGATATTGAAAGTATAATGGTTCACGGATTCGCAGGAACTCGATACTTTCCATCGCTTGAATTTCGATAAGCCACCTAGCTATTCTACTACCCATATAAATGGCCATTCATCGCAAGACTCTAGACCCAAACTTATACCAAAACTATCCGTCAAAATCGATGTCTTAGAAGTAGAGGTATCAGTTCGAGGTAAACACTACGACGGAAATTTTCGATACACTGGATATTCTTAGAGTCCTCTGAACCCTTTTCACTTTGTACTTCTAAAGACTGGTACAATGTATGAAATTCCATTGAACATGTCGGGTTTTCATAGGTGGTATTTACTCTCTGTGAAAGTACCAATCAATCACTTAGAAAGCGTTAATCTGTCAGGCAAGAAATAAAGTCAACCAAACAATTCTACAGTTCTACGAAGATTATAATAAAGGAAGAGTCTCCAAATACTCCAGTATAACAATAAATGAATCGTCAATGCTCATTCAATATGTAGAGTAAAAGCTAAGCATGAAACTGAATTAGCAACAACCACCACCATTGACCAATCTTCTCCAAGCAGTTCACAGAAGCCAAGAAACCAAGAAGAATCAATCAATCGATTACTGCATCATCGAAATCCAAACGTCCGCCATGGGGGGTTCTCGAAAGAATAATAAATCATGTTATCACCAAAGAAATAAAAAAGTGTAACAATCCAGGTATGCATATCATATATACAAGAATCAGAATGTCTCCTCCCAACTCGAAACAGCCAGGAGATGTGTGTTGGCAGCGGCTGTCATTCTGACCACCGCTATCAAAGTTAAATTTGTAATCGAGTCGATAATGAACAAAATTCCTCGTGGTTGGAAAATAATGCTCATTCCTCATCATCATTCATGTAGAAACACACAGGTTTGTACCGATAAGACAAAAGAACAAAGTTTTCAATGCTTTCCGAAACCCCTTTCGCCTTAAACCCACATCCAAAAACAAGAATATCATATTCAAAAAAAAGTGAAATAATCGTCCAACTCCGGTATAGTTGCGAACTATGATTTTGTATAACGATAAGGTCGTATGTTCATCATATAAATACCAAAGGATTATGATAAATGGCCGTTTAAATAACAACAACATCGCCATTAGCATCTGTTGCATCCGCCATAATGTCGTATTTACCCGTCATTAGCATAGAGTCCTCTTCCAGACCAATAGCACTGTCGTCATGATGTGTAGGGTGAAGACTCGTCATACTTTCAGATAATGCTGATACCTCGTTCGTGGGTCTGGCGTCGAGATTCGTTTCTAAAGATTGCCCATAGGTGCTAGACCCAGAAATCCTGGAATGAGAGTTGGTGTGCTGGTTCTCCGAAAGTGAAAAAGACTCATCCTTGACTGGGACTGAGAAGCTTCCTTGCCTTGGAGCATGGTGTTGAGGTTTTGAGTCGGATGTTTCGAGAGAAATTTGCAGTGATCCTGGAGTGTGTTTCATGAAACCACCTTTTTCCACTTGCCACATCAACATTTCATGAAAGAACACCTTTGTAATCCACCAGGCACTAAAACTTTGAGCTCCAGCAAGTGTTAGTCGATGGAGAACACAATCCCATAGCCTATCGACCTTTTCAACGACGCACTGCGCGGGATGGTTAGGGAAAAGTGAAGATAGGTTGAGTATGAACGATATCCATTTGTCTGGGAAATTATACTCTTCACCAGTTGATGACTGAACAGCATGTTTTTCAGTGTTCATGTCTCCGCCAGCCTGTTGATAGGATGATGGGACGCTAGGGGATGTTGGATTGTCCAATGGTGTCAAAAGTGCACGAACGTCGTATTTCAATATTTTTTCGGTTGTATCCTCAGAGCAGAATGGAATGTTCGCTTTCAGGATCATTTCTTTGGGATCCACAAAGGTAGCGAAATCAAGCCACATCTGATTTCGATTATCTGGATGGCAGAGCCATGCTGCTGCTGCATTGGCAGCCTGGTTGACATCAAGCATATGTTTGAGAAGATTGCAAAAAACATGTGCTGGAGCTAACCTCGCCAGTGATACATGGACGGGTTGAGATTTGAAAGTGTCAGAGATGTGATTTGCGAGACGTCGTGAAATAGAGCCAAACGCGTCGAGCACTGGCTGTGGCACAACCTGGGTAGTCAAAGGAGCAAGGAATTCTATCATTTTTTGATACATCAACCAGTCACATTCCTTAATCCAAGGAGCAAGGTTGGGATGGATGAGGAGTTTCTGTACAGGAACAGTCAACGTGCCGTGGAATGCAGAAAAGTATCGAAATAGGTTGCGTTCTTTGCAAAACCGAAAACTATCGATGACCGAAATGCAATGAGTTCGATACAGTGCAGCCAGCGCATCTGCAACTTTTGAGTCTGCGTTTGCGGGGAGATAAGAGGCAATATCGGGTAATCGTAAGGACTCGTTGTCGACAGGCGGTGTAGTAGAGGATGGAAATGAAAGCATTTGGTGCATCATTCGTCCGCTCTGTTTAGCAACATTTTCGAGTGTGATAATCGCATCAGCTTTGGATTGAGCCTCTGAATCACAGATGCATCCTGCGCTAGTTGGAACTACCAAGAACTTGGGTGTAAAAGAAGTGGTAGGAGATGGAAACACGGCTGTATCAGCCGGCGGCTGAGAGATACTAACACTGGTACCGTAGTCAGTAATGATGCAAAGAATTTTTTTGATTACGGAAATTGAATACCTGCGCGGCCGTATTGAAGAGTCTAAGCTTCCATCTCTATTAATCTGCCCATTCAAGGATTGATATTGAGGATTCTGGCTAGCAATAGGTTGCTGCTTTTCCTCGATGACTGTGAGATCAACGTAGTGATATTTTGATTCACCTCTAACGCCCAATCGACGAGTCTGAACGTTAGGGAAAATGATTCGAACAAGCTTTCCAAAAGAAGCTGGATTCAAAACGGAAACATGTTCACTTCCGCATCTTTCTGCGTAACAACAGTAAACACGATCTCGTCGAACAGATCCACTATTTTTTCTGCAGTTTTCCTTCAACCTATAACATGATATGAGTTGCAAGAACGGTGCCAAAATAATCAAGACCTGTAAACTTACCACACCATAGCAAAGACCTGTTTCACCTTTTCCGACTTACCCCCAGCACCCTCGTGCTTTTGGACTTCAGCAGCCATTTGCTTCAATGTGAAGCCCTCATACTGACGCAACAGCTTCCTCAATTCGTTGTCATTAGCTACGGTTGATGTAGATCCTCGCTTCTTCCGAGAACCGGCCTCTGAATTCTCATTTTCGTCGCCTGTTCGCTCTGACATTTGAGTGTCGAGTGCACTAGTGTCATAAAGGTGACCATAATGATTGACCGGTAAATTGTGAAGACCATGAGGAACCATTTCGGGTACTGAATTTGGGAGTCCATGATAGTCCTCTGGTCGGGGCATCACATTGCCATGAGTATCATGCATAGCCACCTCAAGGGATCCTCCACTATTTGAATGAGCCAGCTGCTGACCGAAGCGCATGATCATATCTTCAGGGTTCGAATTGAACATGTTGTTACCTGGGCCGGTTTGAGGTGCTATAAAGGGAGAAAAGTTATCGCCCATGTGCTCTTGGGTTTGTTGTGTCGTGCTAGAATGAATGCTAGCGGTGGACCCTCTGGAACGTGGGCGACGAGGGCCCTTCGACACCGCAGTATTTGATCGAGACCGCAATGGATCAGCCGTGCCTGGACGGCTGTGTGGTTGAGTATGCGACATGACGCTTGAACCTTGAGAGTGCACTCGGTCTAGTAGTGGCGGTTAGCAAACAACACATAAACACGCAAGGTAAACAAGTGGTCTCTCACTCATAGAGAAATGAGACTCCCAGCCCTCGCCAATATCAGGAGGCATATCACTATGTAAAAGCACACAAGATATGAGATTACTTGCGCGGTAGGCGCGAGTAGAGAAGGCGACTATATCAGGTGTGTTTGTTGTCACGCCTCATCAACGCTTCGACCGGTCGCATCAACGGTGCACAATACGATGACTACGAACCCAGACGACAAGTAAAACAAGGTAAAGGGCCTCAAGCAGCGATTTCCACTCGATTAAGCCGGGTTTAGAGGGTTGTCGTCGCCGTGCGGCCGCGTGCAGGCGTTCGAGGTATTGAGGAGCAGGGAGGATAAACAGAATTGCCCGTCACTCAGACAACCGAATAAGCCCTATTGTTGTGTTTGGCACTGTTTGCTGTGGCTGGCGGTCACGTGTGGGGCAGCCCCAAATTCCAGCTGCGGCCAATCAGAAGGCGCACTGCTCGCGACAACAATGTACGTCTCTTGAGTGCTCGTTAAGCTGACAGTAATTGACAGGATTGTCAAAATTTAAGGGTGTCAATAGGGGAAGTTTCTACTATAAGAATCGCCATATTTCGACACATGCTGACTATACAGGAGGTGGAAAGGGCAGCTCTTGGGGAAGCGCATGCATTTTCGCATCTAGTACAACTATTCCAGGCTCTAATTGTCAATGAAAATTTTGAATTAATTTTACTAGAGTTAGTCTAATCATAATGAAATCAAGGGCATGGCAACAGGCTAGCGCTTACAGCCTTTATAAAATGTATATGACTACTTGGAGGTTCGTCAGACACGGTGTTAACATGTAAGCAAAGCACTTCTATTGGGAATATGACAGTATACACGAAACGAATTATGCCCCACTCTTCAAATAGAACACAGATATTGAATCACAGGGACAGTGGCAAGTTCCAATAAAAAATATTAAGTCTGCAACGTCAAGCTTGTGACCAAGTCAACTCAGCACATCGCTTATCGCACCACATCTCGTCCTTAAACGAGATCACGCTTGACGAATTCTCCGAGAAGGGTCTTGCCAAGAGAAGCAGGGCTTCTCTCGACGATAACACCAGCAGCCTCAAGAGCAGAGATCTTAGAGTCAGCACCGCCCTTACCACCACTGACGATGGCGCCAGCGTGACCCATTCGTCGACCAGGTGGAGCACTGATGCCAGCAATGAAGCTGACAGCTGGCTTGTTCTTCTTGTTCTCGCTCTTCAAGAATTCAGCAGCATCCTCTTCGGCGCTACCGCCGATTTCACCGATCATGATGATACCGTCAGTCTCCTCGTCTTCGAGGAAGATCTTAAGGCAGTCAATGAAGTTGGTGCCTGAGAATGGGTCACCACCAATACCAACAACAAGGGATTGACCCAGACCGGCCTGGGTTGTTTGGTTCACAGCTTCGTATGTGAGCGTTCCAGAGCGAGAAACGATACCAATGCGGCCTCGTTTGTGGATGAAACCAGGCATGATACCAATTTTGCATTGGCCCTGTGATATGTCGGATTAGTCATAGCCACCATAGATTCGCCTTACTACAATGTCGTGATCAAGCCACTATGAAGACTTACCGGAGCAATAATACCAGGGCAGTTAGGTCCAACCAATCGAGTTTTGTTCTGGGTCTTCAAAATGTCTGTAATGCGAACCATGTCTAGAGAAATGGTTATCAGGTAATCATTCATCAAAATAGCTTAGACTTTCCATACCATGCTGGGGAATACCCTCGGTGATGCTATCAAGCTTGTTAGATTCAAGAAGAACAGCGTCCATAAATGCGGAAGGGATGGGATAACGAACCAAACAACGAGAGGAATCTCGGCTGCAATGGCTTCTTCGATACCCGCGGCGGCCAATGGAGGGCTATTATCCAGTAAGCACAATCAATCGCTCATATCTCCAATATCTCCAACGTACGGGACGAAGATGGCTGACGCGGTAGCACCGGTCTCCTTCACTGCATCACTGACGGTTGCAAAGACAGGCTTGTCCAGATGCGTAGTTCCAGCCTTCTTAGGGTTTGTCCCACCGACAACATTCGTGCCTAGCAATGTATGAGCAATTGGTTCAACAAAATCTAGATGATATCGCGGTCTGGTTACCGTAGGCGATGGCCTGCTCTGCGTGGAAACTGATCGCCACACATACATGTCAGTAGCAGTCCAAGCAGAAGATGAGCGATGAGATACTTACGTTCCCTGTTTGCCAGTAAAGCCCTGGAAGATAACACGAGTGTCGGAGTTGATACGCAGGTTCTTGGCAGTCGACGCATATGCTGAGCTGGCACCAACGTATGTCCGGCGCTGCTTGGAAGCATTCTGCAAAGCAGAAAGAGTGTTGCGGCGAAAGGCCTGCATGGCTGCGATCACCGGTACCTAAAGGAAAGAAGTGTGGTGGGAAAGTAAAGGAAGCAGAGAACGAGGTGGTTGGCCAGAAGAGCAAGATCCAAGGTCTGGAAGCGTGGTAACGTCCTGAGACTTTTTGCGCTGGCTCCCGAAGCGCCACGGGAGCAGCAGCTTATTACCGCGCTTCCGGCCTTAGACGGTCACTCCCGAGCCGACCAGTCAATTCGTCCCGCCTTCGTCGCCATTTTTTTGCCGGACCACCACCGCATTGTTATCCTCACTTATCTAGCTTCCACTGCTCGTCGATAAGGAAGAGAAGTCTTTGTCTTATTTATTTTATTTGCTCTGACTCCCCCTATACATAGCTTGATCCTCAACTGCGCCAATCCCACAACCCGGTTAGAGAGAAACCGACTTTTTTTGATTCAATATGGCAACAGCCACCATGACGATGCGGCCAGAGACGCTGGCAAAAAAGTCCAAACTGCCCCCAGAAAACGAACGGTTTATGCGCGCGTGCTCTGATGTTGCGAATGTTCTCATCCAAGAGTACGAGTCTCAGCGAGACCCTACCAAACCCAAGAGAGACCTCAATTTAAACAAGCTGCGGGGTCAAATAGCGAAGAAGCATTCGCTGCAAGCGCAGCCTCCGCTCACTGCTATCATTGCTGCTGTCCCTGAACATTACAAGAAATATATCCTTCCTAAACTGATTGCAAAGCCAATTCGTAAGTTCAATTCAACCTGTTCGGAAGTTGTGGTTCTGACAAACTTATGTTTAGGCACGTCTTCTGGAATCGCTGTCGTTGCCGTCATGTGCAAGCCTCACCGTTGCCCACACATCGCCTATACGGGAAACATCTGTGTGTATTGCCCAGGGGGTCCAGATTCGGATTTCGAATACTCAACGCAGTCATACACTGGTTACGAACCGACATCGATGAGAGCCATCCGTGCGCGATACGATCCTTTCGAGCAAGCCCGAGGCCGTGTTGACCAGCTGAAATCCCTCGGACACAGTGTCGACAAGGTGGAATATATCATCATGGGTGGCACATTCATGTCCCTTCCAGAGGACTACAGGGATACCTTCATATCACAACTCCACAACGCGCTCAGCGGATATCAAACGGATAACGTTGACGAGGCCGTGCAGGCTGGTGAAATGAGCAATATAAAATGCGTAGGTATTACAATCGAGACTCGTCCCGACTATTGTCTGGATACACATCTCAGCAGTATGCTGCGTTACGGGTGTACGAGATTGGAGATTGGAGTGCAGAGTCTGTATGAAGATGTTGCTAGAGATACAAACCGAGGACACACGGTCGCAGCTGTTGCAGAAACATTCAAACTGGCCAAGGATGCTGGGTTCAAGGTGGTCAGCCACATGATGCCTGACTTGCCGAACGTCGGGATGGAGCGTGATATTGATCAGTTTCGGGAGTATTTCGAAAACCCAGCTTTCCGCACAGATGGTTTGAAGATTTATCCCACGCTTGTCATTCGTGGTACCGGTCTTTATGAGTTATGGAGGACAGGACGATACAAGAATTACACGCCAAATGCGCTCATTGACATAGTTGCGAGGATCTTAGCTTTAGTGCCACCTTGGACTCGTATCTATCGAGTGCAACGCGATATTCCCATGCCGCTGGTCACTTCCGGTGTTGAGAACGGAAACCTTCGTGAACTTGCTCTGAGCCGAATGAAGGACTTCGGCACTACATGTCGTGATGTACGAACGCGAGAGGTTGGAATTAACGAAGTGAAAAACAAGATCCGACCTTCTCAGATTGAGTTGGTGCGACGCGATTATACCGCCAACGGAGGCTGGGAGACTTTCCTGGCATACGAAGATCCCAAGCAGGATATCCTAATTGGCCTCTTGCGCTTGCGCAAGTGTAGCTCAACTCATACGTTCCGCCCTGAACTCACTGGGCAACAAACCAGTCTTGTTCGAGAGCTTCATGTGTACGGTTCTGCCGTTCCATTACATGGTCGAGACGCTCGTAAATTTCAGCATCGCGGGTTCGGAACACTTTTGATGGAAGAAGCCGAACGTATCGCCAGAGAAGAGCATGGGAGCCAGAAGATCAGTGTCATTTCTGGCGTTGGTGTCCGAAGTTATTATGGACGTCTGGGGTACAGCCTCGATGGTCCGTATATGTCCAAAAGGCTAGAGCCTTTTGGTGACGATGAATAATGAATGATCGGGCCCGAATATATGATGGCGAATACCCAGCTGATCATGCATATGGATTCACGTACTTTGCATTGGCGGCGTTGACGATGAGGCGTCGATAGGTGTTTCAATGAGGGCTTTTTTGTTTGTATTTGATGGTAAATGGTGATTCACTGTATAAAGAAACATTTAATTGGTTAAGTATCATAAATATATTCGAAATATATATATATCCGCCGAGTTCGAAACCGCATAGCAATTGATATATTTATCAGAGGTTACTATGTTCCTTACAAATTTAGCCCAATTAACACAAATATATCGTTCCAAATATATCAAAAAATCCAAACCCACTGAATAGATTTCAAGAGTAAGAATATATATCCAAGATACATAAATTCACATAATAGATCGATAATTCGAAGTGACCTACGTCCCAAACGAGACTAGCTTGTTTTCACAACCAATCACAGACGTTGTCGCCGAAACCCGTAACAGCTCGGAGACCATCAACATCGAGAGTTCACGGTTGCACCGTGTGTTCTCTCATTTCATTCCACCTCCTCCATCAATACTGCCACATACTCTAAAATCTCCCCTTGTTTATTTAAACAACTCTGCAATCAACATGAAGCCAGTCGTTTCCGCCCTCAACGCTTGGAGCTGGTGAGGTCAAACCCCTGCGAAGATATGGATGCGTCATGGCTAACAGCGTCTTATATCCAGTGTCGTCATCTCCTTCTTTGCCATTATAATTTTATCCATTCTTGGGTCGCTATTCAAGGTTCGCACCTATTCTATTACTTGTCCTTTTCGCGGCATGGTCAGCTCACTGACATACTCTCTTTTCATACAGTCGAACCACCATTCGTTCACCGGATCAGAAGGCTCCCCAGAAGATGGTGCTGCGGTCGCTGGGTCTATTTTCACCGCTGTAATAGTATATGCTGTATGTATTCCGCGTCTGTCTCTGTCTCGCTGGCCCTTAGACAAAATATTTCGGTTCCAAACTAACATACCTAATTACCACCAGGCCTTTTTTGTATTCTGCGGATTTCAAGCATACCTGCATACGCGGGCGAACCGACGAGGTGCGATCTCTCTTAATTAAACAAAAGCGATAGAAACCCGCTTCGTTGCTGAAGCTAGCTGGCTAGGGCGATAGAGAGACATACTGGAGATATAAGATCTGCTCCCTCAGGATTGTATTTGCTACATGTTCGGCGTTTGGTGTGCCGTGATTGTGATTGTTTTCTGTTTGTATATAGAACATTTTCAATTCGATATAAGTATGTATGTTTGGTACAGAATTTGGCTAGTCGTTCCGTGTATTGATATGGTATACGCGCGGCACATGTGAAGCAATTTTATATTATACCCTATAGAGGCACATGATTCCAGGAGCCGCTTTTGGCAGTCTTGTTGAGTAGGATTTGCTGCCAACTGGCGGCATTGCAGCCCTGTTCGGTTTTCATGGCCCATAGGCCCGGATGATTATTGTCAATAGACCGTATAAGACCTTTTATAAATTTAATGCTCTCTATTCCACTGCACACATTCGTCAAACGTAATTCCAGAGCCCCCAAATATGTCCAAAGCACTGCCTATCGTCAAATCGACTTTCCCTCCGCTACTAACATGAACTTTTATAAGATCTTGAAGATGCCTTGCACCCCCAGCGTATGTAACCGGAATCGTACACCAGAGAGCCAATTTCGAAACCAAATCTTCGTCAATCCCTTGTTGTAGACCTTCAACATCGGCGGCGTGAATGAGGAATTCGGAGCAATACGGCTCGAGCATGGATATTGACTCTATTTCAGTTTGCATTAGTCAGATACTCGACGGTTTCTCCGCGAAAATGGCTCGCGGTATCGTGCATACCTTTGGTTATTTCCATCTCGGTGATGGTTTGCCAGCGGTCCATTGCCACGAACCATGTATCCCCTTTCCTTCGACAGCTCAGGTCCAAGACCAGCTTTGACGAATCGTTTCCTAGCGAGGATAGAACGGACTTTAATCGATCGAGGGAGAATTTGCCTTGTGGGAAGAGAAAAGAGGTGATTATGACCTAATACAAATTGGATTAATAAACACAAATAACTGCAAACAACCACCGCTATCATCCATTCCCATAGCTTGCCTACCTTCTCCGCACCTCGCTCAATCCAATACTGCGCATTCTGATCCGTAATTCCCCCAGCAACCTGTAACCCCCCTGGCCAAGTCCTCAGAGCCTCCTCAGCAGCCTCATTATTCCCCTTTCCAAGCATCACAACATGGCCGCCGCGCAGACCATGTTGCCTATATAAATCTGCGTAGTGGCTTGCGGGGAGTTTCGAAACGTAGTTTGTCTTCAGATCACTGACTTGGGAGCTCAATGTGCCGCCCACAATCTGCTTAACCTGACCAGAGTGAAGATCGATACAGGGACGGAATTTTGTCATTTTGCATGTAATTTTTTGAGCGTAGTTTTCTAGAATCAATCCACTGAGTTTATTCGTAGCCCCGCGATTGAGGGTGAAATGCTCGGAATTGCTCTTATCTTATCCCACGTGATCCCAAAATTTATTCAGCACCGCCAGCTCATCAGGTCGATATCGTTAGATGGGCATACACAACCATAAACGAAAATACACACAAATGACTTCGCAAAAGAAAAGAAAACTATCGACGGACTCGCGCGCGAAGGAATCCCGGGCCAGTCAACCGAGTCCCGAAAACCAGGAATCCGCGGACATTTTTCGAAAATTCTTCGAGAGTCGATTTCAGCCGCTAGACGGTGTAGTGAAGGATTCTGCTGTTATAGTAGCTCAGCAAGTATCGTCAGGCGAGTCAGATGAGGATGAAGATTTAGATGAAGATTTAGATGGGTTTACGGACGATGATGAGGGTGTACCGGAGGTCAAGGTCGTTGATTATACAGATGTCCGGAAGGAGGATTCATCCGTACTGTTAGACAAACAAACACGCAAGGCTTTACTGGTATGTTCATATCCACTGACAAATATCAACTAGATCTGTTACTAAAAGTGACCTGAATAGTCCTCTAAAGTCTCGTCATTCGAGGCCTCGAAAACCGGCAGCAAGCGAGCCACGAAAACCAAGGAAGAAAGCGACGAAGAACCGGATGACTTGAAAAACGACCTTGCATTGCAAAGGCTTTTGAAGGAGTCTCATTTACTCGATTCAGCATCCGACCTGAATCCCACAGGGAAAAACCGTCACATGGCTATTGATTTGCGTCTACAGGCGCTCGGAGCCAAGACGTCTATATACACGCAGCAGAAGAAGATGCCCAAGTCACAGCGAATAGGCATTCAGGCGAAAGCAGCTAAAAGGGAAGACATTCGTCGTCGAGATGCTCGAGAGAATGGTGTTATTCTTGCTAAACCTACCGTGTCTAAACCCAAGGGCATTGTGAAGAAAAGAGACAGGGGCGTGGGTGCTCCTGCAGTGGGGAAATTCTCAGGAGGCACTTTGAGGCTGAGTAACCGCGATTTGACAAGCATCAGAGGACCTTCATCGAAGGGCTTGAAGGGGACTAAGAGAGGTCGTCGCTAATCTACAGTTCAAACCCCGGCTATTACGGAAGCCTGTAACGGTGCTTCTTTTTCTTGTCGGCAAAATACCTTCCTCAATAGGATATGATATCCACATTGTCACTACTCTATGCATGCAAGAGTGTGTGTGCAACACCGTAGATGCCACAGACTGGGCCATTTTTGATTGATTGCATGAACATTCAACTCTTTAGCGCTTGAGGGTATATTACCCGACAAGAACATCTAGGAGACATTGGCTTCTTAACCAACAAAGCCACTTTTTTGTGGTTTCAGCCTTAGAACGGATGAATTGGCGAATGAATTGACGAACTGATTATCCGGGCTTGGTGTTGCACACCCCCGAACTTCTCCACAAATCCTTTTTCTACAGAAAGGTACAGAAAGGGCGTATTGAATGCCAAAAGCTAAATTCATATTGTGCTTAGCTACATAATGTATTGGATTGGGGGGCTGGGGGAAGTTGATCTTGTAGATAATAGGCATTCCTACCCGCTGCTTGCGCACATGTATATAATATACAATTCTAGAAGCAACTTTTCCAGCCAATGTCGATACAGTCGACCCGTTGGCTTATGCCAGCCCACGTGGTTCATCGAGCGAGTCAGTCAATTTTGGAGAGTGAATTTTGGACATGGACATCTAGAATGTATTTTAGTTCCAGGAACGAACATTGTGAAACGTACTACTTGGAGGTGCAGATACCATGTATCATGCATGCATGTACCCTTGACCACTAGAACTAAGACAATACTAGTTATGGGTGGCGGGTATATCGCTACAGTTCCAAAGAAAAAAAAAGGAGAATTGTTCCAAGATATTGGCAATTAGAAGGCTGGATACTAGCGACCTCTTGACTTTTGGACGGCAATTAACGAAATAGCATATGGTGAAGATGCAGGGTTCCGGGATCAACGTGAAACGGAGTTGTATGTGATTGGCGCTAGGCCCATTGACAACATAGTACTAAGTAGTGGTGATAATACTTATCAATCGATATAGGGGTTAACCAATTAAAAGAGAGTCAGCTGGCGGAGAAGACCCAGGAGACGAGCCTCTTCTAAAGAATTGGCTCTATGTCAATGACTCGATGTGCGTCAATCAATGACTGCAATGGATGAAATGCTTGTCAACCAGGCTAGAGCTGCACCATGGAATATCATCCAATGAACGAACGCTAGAAAATAGCAGACACAGATAATTTGCAGTCGTTTATGTGGGTAGATGTCATCTTTCCTTTGGCGCGGTTTCAGAATCTGCAAAACGGCAGTTGAACGGTCGCTCCGGAGCAGCAGAGTTCACCTTTAGAGGCATCTTCCTTGATAGGGCTAGTTTTAGCATACTCCTAAATATGAGTAAAGTGTTAGTTCTAGAGACTAGATGTGAGACATGATTACGTCGTTGTCACTGGCTGGAATGACTATTTACCCAAAGTGTTAAGAACAACGATTTAGCAGATCAATCTCGATGTGCCTAAAAATGGCACGCAGTGTCACTATGAAGAGATAGCCTTGTGGTCATGTGCGTGGAGGGTGTCAGCAGCGAGCTCATTCGAGGGCGAAATGGCAAGGTTTTGCTAGGACTAAGGAGAGTCATCTTTGAGAACAACGAGTCGAGGCGCCGGGTTGCCTAGGGCCAACCTGCAATGTTGGCAGCGCTAGGTCCTGGTCTGGCCAGGGGCAGACTCTTAATGGTGGTGGGTGTGTGGGTGTGCATTGTCAGGTACGAGAATCCAATTACGTAGTACGGCCAGCCACCCATTATTAATATTACGATCATGTATTGGCAAACTTGATGTTATGTCATAAATAATCCGAAGATATAGTCCTCGTGTTATAGACTAGCAACGGTTGAGAGGCGAGACTAAGTTTGCCCATCACAGTCTCGCCTCGACCACGAAGTCGGCGTCGCACGGATGTATATCTCGACTCAAGACTCCAGTACTAGCCCTGACTAAGTAAATTCCGCCTATTTGCAAACTGTAAACGAAGCTTGATGTGCACTTGACAGCCTCTAGTCGGCCCTCTAGTCCCTCTGGGACGTAAGTCCGCGACCGTTGGTCTTCTCAACTGCTTCCAGATCACAAGACCACGGTTTCAGCGTCGCTGATCGACTAGGAGTAACTAGATCATCGAACCTTTTTTTGAGGCTGCGACCTGGCCCTGACCCGGTCCCGACCCCAAGGCATACATGGCAGCCACGCATTTTCCAGGCCAGCAGCTGGCCTGTGCAGGATCATTATCAATTGATGTATGTCCTGCAACACGGAACAGGCCAATGCTACGGGGTACAGGCGCTGCGTTCTATAAACACAGTTAGTTGCTTGCTTCAAACTTGGTCACCGGGGGCACGGAGTACGAACAGGTTGAACTTCGAACCACGTGGGTCGACCAAGTGCGTTATCATTATTAAGAGACACCTAGTCATTGTTCTTTTCAACACTGGAGACAAAGTTGTCCTGAAACGAGCTTGCCCCAAACCACTGACTAGTCAAGAGGCATGAAGTAATGGCAACATTGAAAGAACACCAGGGGAACAGAACAATGCGAGATAACCTTCCAGATCAGGTTTCTGTCCAATTACCTAGCAGCAGCAGTAGTCTAGCGGACTTGAGTATTCTACGTGTTTGTGAGGCGATGTGGTTTCAGATTGACACACTATCATCCGCACGCTTTTTTAGGTTTACACTTCGCGTGAAAGCTGTGGGTTTAGAGCAGAAGATGGACAAATATTAAAGATGGTGCTGGACCGTGCTTGCTGCATGCCATCACGGTCTTTGCTTGATGGTCGTCAGTCAGGGCTGATCCCAGTGTCTGGACTGGGAGACGACATGATCGACATGGAATCTGGTTGTTGAGCAACGGCAGATCATCATCATAATCCATAGATAACAGACGATCAACCAGATGATCAGATGGCAGAGTTGCAGCCTTAATTTCAAGGCATCATTGGAAACATCTTCAGACATAGTACGACATCGGGAGATCCACTTTCAGAAAAATACGACGTAGTAGCTAGACAATGAGAATTTGCAATGCTTTATGCGTCCTTGACAATCAGTGGTTTCTTTCACGCCAGCGATTTGGTTTATTGGGGACTTGGGTTATTATTGGCATTGTTGTTATTCTGGTCATTGTCGAGAGCGTAGAGCGAATCAGGACACAAAGCGCCCCTCGACAACGACAGATTGTTACTATTTGCCAGTGCTTGGCTAGCAGGCATACTATTTAGTACTTACTAAACTAGATCAGTGCATAGTGGAAGATAGCAAATAATGTCCGGCGTGACTGGCCTACATAGTACATACTAGTATATACTGCTCCTATGGTGCACTAGTGTAGGCATTTGTTGGCCACTCTGAAACAGCAGGCGGGTGATTCAGATTCTCCTCCGCGCCAGTTTGAGAAAATGGGCCGGATCTTAGCCTGTTACAGGCCACAGATCCCTGCTGTGTGCCCCCACTTAGCGCGCATTTAGGCCCCGACCGCCCCGCCGGGCTGTGCGCTACGGCTGTTCCTGGCTAGCGCAGTCATCGAGGCGTCAAGTCGTCTTCACTCACATTCCCGTTTGGCATTAGGTGACTGTTGTTATTGTCCTATTATTGTCGCTTCTGAGCAGTAGAACTCGACGCAGTGCTTCCGGACGTAACAATGAGCTCGACCACAAAGACATCGTCAAGTATTGTCCTCCATACTCTAGTCATGGTCTATCCTGGGAGGATCTAATGTTGAAAAGCAGGAGCGTCACGTCACGACAGCCAGCCCATACCAATAAATTAATATTAGCATCATGACAGCGGGCGTACTCTGTACTCTGTCCCTGTCCATTGATACACCCTGACCCACCTGGTCTTACTGTCCAATGTAGCTTCCCTTTTGGCCTTAGCCGGAGCACAACTTTGTTCTGGCGGTTCGCTGCCTCATTATTAATAACAAGAAGCAAATACAGGCTGTGCTTTCTTTGTCGCTATTGTTGTGGCCTGCTGTGGACAGCGCAACAACCAATGTGGCTGGTTTTGGCGGGCCACAACGAGTAAGTAGTCGGTCAGTACCAAGGAGCTGGATTAGTTTTGACAACCCAATACGATAGATTATGATCACAATCATAATAACGACGATGGAAATAATAATAAAGAGCCATGTCTTACTTGAGGGCCGACTAGTTAGTGGACAGTGGACTGGCACCGGCCCCTCCTGCTGCTCCGGCTTAGCCCCGAAGTGGAAGTGCCTGCCTGCCAGCCAGAGCTAGCCGCTGAGCCCTGGCTGCACGCGCTGTGATTGGGCGCATCCCAGGGCCCCCACTGGCTGGCAGCAAGCGGCGCGATTGGCCGGCGGGGCCGGGCCAGGGCGGGCAGATTGGCTCCTGCCGTCTGCCGGGCAGGGGGGTCGCGACTGCCCGTCTGGTTTTAAGACTGGTCGTGCCTGCCGATTCGATCTGCACCAAGAGCCCACCCCAGTTGGCCATCGCCCAGTCGCCAGTCGCCGGTCGCGCCTGCCCATTCCTGCCTATGTCACCCAGTTTCCAGACGTGCTGCACGCTGCATGCTGACTGAGTTCGCCATGAACGCTCTGTGTGTGTCTCTCTCGCTCTTCTGATTCTGGTCCCTTTCTCTGCCCCCCGCTTGGACCCCCTCCGTCCTGGCCTGCTGCTCTGAGGTAATAAGCCCGGCCTCGTCCCGTCTGCTGCCCGCTCCATCCTCCTCTCCTCCTCGCTGCCACTTCTCGGCACTGGGCTCGCTCTTTCCTATTCATCCCTTCGTTTGTTTCCCTCAACTCTTCCTCTCCCCAACCACCAATTCTTTCCTGAGTGTCGGAGACCTCATCACCGGGCTGGCCCGCAGTATCTCTTGTATCTTTATCCTTGTCCCCGCCGCGCTCCATCTCGCCTTGTTTTCGTTGTGAGGCTGGTTCCTCGCCCACCAAAAAATAAAAAGAATCAGGAAAGAGGAAAACAACAGCAGAGACACGCTGTCATCGCTGTATACGATCGCTCACTCGCTCGTCGTCTATCGCCATTATTGCTATTCTGCCCCGTCACTGCTAGCCAGGAGATTGGTTTCGTCCCATTTGATTTCGCTCGACTCACCTTCATAGCAACCGCGGTCATATAATCTTGATCCTGGTCGATTCAACCGTTCGACATAGCCTGGAACCCACAAAGAATCGCAATATCTCAATCTGCGCTCGCCGCGGCTCGGCGGTTGGAAAACCAGGGTATGGCATGGCCATCGCAACGCCAAGGCGTGAATGGCGTCTTTGATTGGGGTGCCCGCGCCTTCTCGATGAGTAACCAGAAACTGACCTCCTCTTTGGGTGCGCAGGACATGTATTCTCAACATGGTGCTGTCATGGCGCCTCCGCAGAAGCCAGAGACCTTCATGCTATCAAGTGAAGCTCAGCAAAGTTTGCCGCAAGATGCTCAGGTTGCCCTGCAGCAAGTCGATAACTGTACGTGGAGTAGGGATGTCTTGTTTTGCATGTAACTGACATTCTCTAGTAAAATATTTTTTAATATCAGCGCCTGTCGATTGGACTCCAGACCAACTCATTCGGCGCTTCCTTCTGCCGACAGGAGATTATATTTCGTGTGTGCTCTGGTGAGTGATGGACGGGAAGAGAGAGAGGACTGCAACATGACCAGCAGACTAATGTATCACAGGAATAACCTCTTCCACATTTCCGGTACCGACATTGTCCGCTGCCTGTCCTTCCGCTTCCAAGCTTTCGGACGTCCCGTCAAGAACTCGAAGAAATTCGAAGAAGGCATCTTCTCCGACCTACGCAATCTCAAATCTGGCACTGATGCCTCGCTCGAAGAACCCAAGAGCCCGTTTCTGGATTTCCTATACAAGAACAATTGCATCCGTACACAAAAGAAGCAGAAGGTTTTCTACTGGTATAGCGTGCCCCATGACCGCCTGTTCCTGGATGCCTTGGAGCGCGACTTGAAAAGGGAAAAGATGAACCAAGAGGCCACCACAGTAGCTGTTGCAGAGCCTGCTTTGTCCTTTGAATTCGACTCTTCCCAGTCGCTCTACGAGCAGCTCACCAAGGCGCAGCAAGCAAACTCTTCATCTTTTCCTGCACACGCAAGTACGACATATGGCCAGTCTAATTCTCCTGTCGTTCGGACCGTTGACGCTATGCCTCCTCCCCAGATGGCCCCATCGGCAATGCAAATGCTTCCCGAGGACCCTGGGAATCATGTTATGTACAACCCAGTGACCATGTCGATGAAGCGCGAGGGTGACTACGTTCCGATTCAATATGAGCGCAGCGGCAGCATTCCTATCAGTCGCATACACCAGCGCCACACATCGATGCCTGCCTATATGGAATACTCGCCTGCTCCTTCCTTTGTCTCCTCGCAGTACGAAGACTACAGCAACCGAGGCCTCTCTTTCGAGCCCATCACCCCGCCACAACAGGCTCTTCCTCTAGGTGCCGAGCCTGCCTACATTGCTAATGAGGAAACGGGTCTTTACACGGCTATTCCCGACGTCGGGTCAGCCGCCTTTAATCCCATGATGCAGTTGCCACCCTCGAATTTGTCTGGTCAAATGGGTGCTACTTCCCGCCACTTTTCCGGAAACGTCTTTTCAGTAATTGAAGGCTCTCCAACCTACAAACAACGCCGACGACGCTCTTCTATTCCACCAAGCATCACCAATGCCATCGCTGCTTCCCAGGCCTCAGGCGCTCAAAACCAGCCAACAGCCTACGCTGCATACAAGCCAAGTGATCTGAGACGTTCAGTTTCAAATTCCGTTGGTCCCGTCACCGAAGCCGACGAATCAGCTCGCCAATCTCCTTCTAGCGGTCTAGCCAATGGTCTGTCATCTACTGTTGCATCGCAGAAGGACTTGCTACATGAGATTTCGCGGACTGGTTCTCCATTGCCTAATTTGGAAGAGGGCGTAGAGCAGACCATGTCGCTTATGCAGCAGCAAGATGAGCTCACAGCTCTCGCGAATCACCAAGCCGTTGAGGCGTCGGTTTCACATAGTGTCATGGGTCGCATGGAGCGGCCTGGTCCTGTGCGCCGTGCCCGAAGTGCCACGATGATGGAACTAGGCCCTTACCCACAGAAGTCACATTCTTGCCCAATCCCATCTTGCGGACGTCTTTTCAAGAGGTTAGAGCATTTGAAACGGTAAGATTGATCTGCTTTTCTATTTATACACTTTTGATGGTTCCGACCCTTTCATTGGTCGAGCCGTTCTGCAACCGCTGAAGCTAATTAAACTTGGGCGGCTAGGCACGTGAGAACCCATACACAGGAGCGACCATACCCTTGCCCCTATTGCAACAAGGCCTTCTCCCGCTCTGATAACCTGGCACAGTAAGGTCACCAGATACCCTTCGCTTAGACGTTTATGCTAATTTTATCCCTATTAGACACCGTCGTACACACGAAACGCAGCAGGATAATCAACATTTCCAACAGCCGCTGAGCGACGAGGACCTGGAAGCAGAGGAGAAAGAATTCGGTTCTCTCGAAAATGATTCGCCGACATCGGATGTGAACCATTTTGTCCATCCTAGCGTAGTGAGCATGCCCACGATGTCACAGATGTCAACACCTTCCGCTATGACGATGCAAAACGCCATGCCTTCCATGGTCGCCCCGCACATGATAGCTGCTCAATATCTACAACAGCATATTTGAAACAAATATCAACGCCCAAGCCCATGACTTCCCGTGCGTGCCGCCTCTTTGCAAATCTTGGCTCTGTTTGCAATCTTGCTCCAGTAAGGATTCAGCGTGCCTATTATCTAGCGTTGCTCTAAATGATTAATTGATGTATATCTTGGCTATGTCTTGGTTATGGGTACATGAACTTATTTGAACCTTTATATTTTTGATGGCCATTTTGTCACGAGGAGGGAGGAGAGCATGGCTACCGTCTGACAGACCTTCTGCCTCAGTTATGATACTCCGATTTGCTGCTTGTCGATTCCAATCAACACTTTTATTTATTATCTGGCTTTGTCAGGTAAATCGCGTCGTTTATGGTTCTCTCTTTTTCCTTCAATGTTTAGGGACGGTCTGGGATTTGGATGAACATACATAGTTGGACTTGTTACTTCTGTATGACTGGGCTCACTCGTGTCCAGATGTTGGTGTATTAGCGTCTTGAAGGGTGAGTTAATAAAGAGCCGATGGATATTTCCGATCTACCTTGTCATGACTAGGTTTTTGAGAAGCCAGGGAATAAGTGTATGACCATTGCACTATATAGATTTTTACTGAAGTTCAAATGTTAATAAGAGAAAACTACTTGCAAATACTTCTCAACTATTCTGAATAGTAGACAGTTGAACTAAAGTATCGAGTTTGTATCAATAATAATGTTGGCTTGTCGGACTACATGTCACGTGTGCTGACAATGATTCTGATTCGCGGGCGGACCATGTGACGTCGATCGTATCGTGGTCGATAACTCTGCTGTACACTGAGCACTCAGCACTACCACATCACCAGAACTGTCATTCTCATCGATCTGTCCAGTGCACAAAGTGGACATGGCCTTGTCACTTTAGATCTATATCTCAACTGTCAATAGCCCCCGACCACGGCCAACGTGAGGATCGTGGAACTCTTGCTCTCGATGTTACCAGTGCTGGATCACGCTGAACGATTTTATACTTCCATCCTGAGATTCAGGAAATCAAACTCATAAATTTATCTCCTTAATGCAGGATTGTACCCGAAAATCTTGACTGCCCTATCACCATCCAGAGTTCTTTAACAGCTTTTTCTGATTAATCAGTCTCAATGCCGGATTCGGAAGAAAATGCGCCTGATGAACAGTCGCCACTTGTATCACCAGTGAAACCCGACGACGAAATTGAGTCTGAGGAATATAGACATCTTGCACCAGGACGAACGGATGGCGTGGACCAGTCGTCCAAAAGCACTTGGTATCTCTTTTTACTAACTCTCGGCATTGGCGGGTGAGTTTATACATTTCCGACCGTCAAAAACGCTGTGTGTAACATATGTGCGCATATAGCCTACAAATCGTCTGGTCTGTCGAGCTTTCCAATGGATCGGTAAGTAATCTTCGTGTCACAGAGGTTTTAGAGAAGGTTTTCAATCTGATTGTATTTCGAAACTCAGCCATACCTTCTCTCGCTCGGAATGAGCAAGGCTTTGCTTGCCTTTGTATGGGTTGCTGGTCCTCTGACTGGGACCCTTGTACAGCCTTATATTGGCATTCGAAGTGATAATTGCCGGATTTCTTGGGGGCGACGAAAGCCTTTTATGGTTTTCGGTGGCTTGGCTACTGTCATTTGTTTGTTAGTGCTCGCGTGGATACGAGAAATTACCAACGGTATTCTCGGTTTGTTTGGAGCGGATGCGAAATCAAAGGGCGTGCAAATCACTACGATTGTGATTGCGACAATTTTGATGTATTGTCTAGATTTCGCTATCAACACAGGTATGTCGACGTTCCGTCAAATATATATATATATATATATATGTCAGTTCCTTTTTTGACCGGCAATATAGTTCAAGCAGCTATCAGGGCTTTTATTGTTGATTGTGCTCCAGCACATCAGCAGGAATCAGCAAATGCCTGGGCTGGTCGACTAACTGGGGCCGGTAACATTTTAGGATATATCCTTGGTTATATGGACCTGCCAAAAGCGTTTCCTTTTCTAGGTAACACTCAATTCAAAGTCCTTTGCGTCATCGCAAGTTTCTCCCTTGCCACTACCTTGTTGATCAGTTGCACCTTTATCAAAGAACGGGACCCGCGACTAGAGGAGAGATCATCGGCCGGAAACCCGAATTTGATTTCGTTCTTCAGACAAGTTTTCAGATCGGCTCGTATGTTACCACCGCAAATACGGAAAGTGTGCGAGATCCAGCTTGCAGCCTGGATTGGGTGGTTTCCATTTCTTTTCTATTCAACCACCTACATCGGGCAACTATACGTTAATCCGATATTTGAAGATCATCGCGACTTCTCTGATGATGATATTAATAAAACATGGGAGGATGCTACAAGAATCGGAGCTTTTGCACTGCTTATTAACGCAATTATCAGCTTTGCGTCAAATATCATCTTGCCAGTTCTGATTGTCCCGTCTTACAAAAGAATCCGCGTACCAGCGGATCTCAATAATGGGACTCCGCCACAAGACAGCCCGCCAGAGCTTCAGCGAAGAGGATCTTCATCCGGTTTACAAGAAGGTGCCGCATCGGAGCCGCTGTTAGAAGGAAACCCGGCAGTTAGCAACGAGGATGAGAAGCCGAGTATCTTCACGAAACTTCAGATTCCTGGTCTGACTTTGCGTCGCACTTGGCTGATATCTCATGTCCTCTTTGCACTCTGTATGTTCACTACGTTTTTCATCACTTCCTACCAGGCAGGGACTGTGGTGATAGGAATTATCGGCATTTCCTGGGCTATTACTTTGTGGGCACCATTTGCTCTTATATCTGCAGAAGTAGCCCAACGTGCCGCTGAAAAGCAAATATTACGATTACAGGTTGAGATCGAGCCAACAACTCGGGCTCCCGAGTTAGATGCTATGAATGAAGCCGACGAAGATATCGAGACTGCTCCAAAGGCCCCGGATGATTCGGCCACAGACCAAGCTGGAATTGTACTCGGTTTGCACAATGTTGCGATTTCTTTCCCACAATTCTTTTCAACGCTGGTGAGTAGCCTTATATTCAAAGTCCTGCAGAAGCCTCGCGGCGAACCATGGGATGACAGTGTTGGATGGGTGATGCGATTCGGCGGTTGCGCTGCAATAATAGCGGCATATCTGACCAAAACCCTTGAAGAAAAGGGGTCTAGCCCTTCTTCGCGGAAGTGAGGGATATGATCATGCATTATTATGTATTCTTAGTAGTAAGGCTGTTTCTGGCTTGGAGTAATGTGTACATATGATATCTGGCGGCTGTCTGCTTCAAGGTTGACTAGAGGCTACTTTGAGAATTCGAGTTATGACTTATACTATTTACATACTAAGAAATACTGGTTTAAATTACTCACTGTAATAGTAATAACCCAGAAGATCCATGTGAAGTATAGTACTATGGAGCATTATGACAATTAAGCATGCTACGAGTTACGGGTTTTCCGATTGGCTCCCTGCCCTCAACCAACCAGGATAGCGCAGGCAACTCAACTCGGGAGGCCACATGTGCAGGTAGCAAGATACGCAAATCATCACTGAAACGGTAGACCATTACTGTACGACGCTGATACTGTGCCTCGTCTGCTACCTCATCAATATCGGGACCTCAAGTTCCCTTGTACTTGGGATTATGTACGTGGTGGCTCCCTGCGTGAGTCTCTCAGCTGGAGCTCGTTGATCGTCGCGCCCTCTTCACCAAGCCGCCATATAAGCAATCACCATGGCCGCCAATTTCGCCTTTGAACTAGCCGGCGATCTTCTGCGTACGTACCGCGCGCATTCTATATAATTATCTTAATTATCTCTTCATATTGATATTGACTATTCCAACTAGGCAGGGCCGCAGATGATTCAGACCCCGAAGATGGTACGCCCTTGGTTGCGCAATGACCGTTGTTGACCACATTGCTGATTTCTGTTTTTATCAGACGCACCTGAGCCCGAAAAGAAGGAGTTTTTCAGCTCCTGGGCGCTGTTTATTCTTATTATGCTCTTGATTAGCGCCCTCTTCACTAGTTATATTCTCCAACAACGGAAAATCCAAGCTGTGCATGAAACAGTGCTGTCGATTTTTGGAGGTTGGTGTCGCTGATGCGTGTCGCAATTGCAGATGGTGGTTGCTAATCGTCGGTTGAATAATAGGAATGTTTGTTGGTCTGATTATTCGCCTGAGTCCTACGTCGCCTATTCAAGACAGTGTTACGTTTGATTACCAGTTCTTTTTCAACTTGCTACTTCCTCCGATTATTTTGGCGTCGGGATACGAACTACACCAAGTAAGTGGGATAACTCCGCTTTAGGTGTATAGGTCGCTAGAGGTTGCTGACATGGGCACTCGATTATAGGCGAATTTCTTTCGCAATATTGGAACTATCCTTACTTTCGCTTTTGCCGGTACTTTTATCTCCGCGATCGTGCTGGGTCTGATCCTCTACCTATGGACGCGAATTCCACTTGATGGTCTCAACATCTCCCTAGTCGAAGCTATTTCTGTCGGCGCAACTCTTTCTGCAACGGATCCAGTTACCATCCTCGCTATTTTCAATCTCTACAAGGTGGAGCCAAAGCTGTATACCGTGATTTTTGGTGAGTCTATTTTGAACGACGCTGTCGCTATTGTCTTGTTCGAGACCGCGCAGAAATATGCCGAGAATGATGCCGCGAAACTATCCGTGCTCAATCTGTTTGAGGCTATTGGGCTTTTCTTGTTGGTGTTCTTTGGCAGCATGTTAGTTGGGATTATTGTTGGAATTGCCACTGCGCTAGGTCTGAAATATACTCTCGTCCGTCGTATGCCGAAGATAGAGAGCTGTCTTATTATCTTGATTGCATATGCCAGCTACTTTTTCTCGAACGGAGTGCACCTTTCCGGTGAGTTGTTGAGTGGAACGTTTTGTATGGGGTATGGAAATACTGATAGTAATAGGTATTGTGTCACTTCTGTTTTGCGGAATCACATTAAAACATTACGCATACTACAACATGTCTCGGAGAACGCAACTTACTACCAAATACCTGTTCCAAGTCATGTCGCAGTTGAGCGAAAACTTTATTTTCATCTACCTGGGACTAGACCTTTTTGTTGAGACCGATCTCCAGTTTAAACCACTATTTATTATTGTCGCCGTTGTCGGTATCTGCGTTGCTCGATACCTTTCGGTGTTCCCGCTGTCCAAGGCTGTTAACTGGTTTATTCGGTACCGAGCCCGACGACGTGGTCAAGAAGTAGCTGATGAGCTGCCATTCTCATACCAGGCAATGCTTTTCTGGGCAGGATTGCGTGGTGCAGTTGGTGTGGCGCTCGCGGCTGGTATTTCAGGAGTCAATGGACCGGCGTTACGAGCTACCGTTCTCGTTGTGGTCGTGTTGACTGTCATTATCTTCGGAGGCACCACCGCCCGAATGCTGGACATTCTCGGGATACGTACTGGTGTGGTGGAAGAAGTCGAATCTGACGACGAATTCGATATTGAAGTTACCCACGGTGGCACATACTATAAGAGAGCAAACAACTCTGGCATAGGCTATACCCCGCGCCGCAACGACCGCACAATTCCACTCGATAATGTTGGCGACCGTCCAGGTCTTCCAGCAACAGACAGCTACTCTAGTGGCAACAATCGTCGCCCAAGCCCACCCTCTCGCACACGGGGCTCCACTCGTAAGGGCAGTCTGTTCCATTCAAAGGACCGAGATGCCCGCCGAGACCAGTTCGCCACCCAAGGACTCTTAGGGGTGAGCAACGGAAGCCGAAGCGAGAGCGACATAGCCAGCGACGAAGACATCGCAGCCGTGCGCCACCAACGCGGTCGTCTTCAAACAACCGCTCACCAAGCAACCGTTGATGATCCGCTCGATGATTTTGACCTTGACGTCGACGCGGTATCCGACGACGACCTGCCCCCAGCAGCTCCATCGACATCGCGACTCCGCCGCTCTCCTTCTCAGCCGCAGAGCAACCCAATCACATCATCGAGTGCGTCCCCTGCTGGCCGCGTCGTCGAACCCGGGCCACATCGCGAGCCGATAACGGCTAGAAACGCGCTTCGAGAGTTATTCTCTGGCGGACCGACTGGTGACCATGCAGAATGGTTCCGGCAGCTAGACGAAGACTTTATCAAACCCACACTACTCCTTGACCAGTCCAACCACAAGGGCCCCGGGGCGGTTTAACGTGACATCAATTTATGTATTCTACTTCTTTCCTTATTTTATATCCTGATGTATCGAGAAGGGGAAAACCGGTTTAAGTTAAATGGGTAGATCTCAGTGCTTTCTTCGGGGTGTCTCGATTCAAGCTTCAGCAGACAGTTGAAGAATTTGCTTGCATCTGGAGTTTGGCGTAGTTTGTGCATATCTATGTGTATATATATATCAATATATCTCATTATTTGGCACAGTCCCTTCAAGTCATGTAATCATTAATCGGAATGACTGTGGGAGCTATGGACAGATATAGCTTGACTAATCTGTTTCCGGGTTAGCGGGCATGCCACATTGAATCGGTCGTTTTCCTTTCCTCTCGCTACATTGGAAGGTGCCTTTCGTATCATTGCACTCGTTTGATAGTGGGTAGATAGAGCTAGAGTCAATGTTATTTATGTAATGCTGCACTCATGATCCACCAACAGAGTTATCACCATAATAATGATAATAATGATAATAATAATAATAATGCTGTCCGCAGTCGTCCTACTGCCAATGTCGGAGAAAACAAATGACGATGAAACTAGTACGCGGCGCGTTACGGGTATCGATACCGTATTTAATACCGTATCCAAACCAGACTGGGGAAACATACCAGCAGCTATCCGATCAGATAGGCTTATAGATCTTGCCTAGATAGCAGCAATTAACACTATTTCCTGCACAGAGAACTCATAATACTCTTCGCAAACCTGTCAGTTCCATCAAGTCCTCCCGTATCGTTGGAATTAGTGTTGGTAGCTGACAGTAATCAGCCTGATCGACGAGATACAGTGGGAGGCGTAGATGCAGAGCATGGACCACCGGCACCCCACCGTTACGGTAATACGGATACTAGACCCGTCGCAGCGTTTGGAGCTGGCGAGAACTCCAAGTGTGTCCGGGAAGGGAGACCGACCTTTCTGTCTTTGGGGGGAAGATTTCTCTGCTGCAAAAGGGGAGAAGACACGAGAGGCTCAGACGGCAAAAAAGGTTCGCACAGCTTTCGTTGCATGACCAACCCAGCCCGCCCAGCTTCTTCTACCTCCATCCTCCCTCTCGCTCTCTCTCCTCTATCAATCTCCTTCCCACCACCCACTCCAGGGCATCGTTGCATCGTCAGATTCTAGCCGTCGCGAATCGCCATATTCTCGTGTCTAGGAGAGGGTCAACGTCTGCATTTATTTATCAGTAGTATCGGTATAGTTATCTAACGCCACGCCCTGCTATCGCGAATCAGCGGAAAGGCGAGAAATCACCGCCGCGGCTGACCCGGCGCGGATCTCTGGACGACAAGTCCCCAGTCGGGTTGACGGTCGGCCTTCCTGTCGCCGCTCCAGCCAAAATCGCATCGCGAGTAACAACACCAACACGTTTCTCGCACCCATCCACCTTCTGCTCCGCCTTTTCATCAGGTATCCATCCAACACCACCCCCGTGTCTCCCCATGTCTTTCAACTAGCACGCTACATTCAGTACGTCCTGGACTCTCTCTCCGCTATCGCTTGTGGCTTTACAAAGAACCCCAGCAAGAAAAAGTCGTTTGTCGCTGACCTGCACCAATCTCAGCGCAGTTTCGATGGCTCGCATCTATCGACCTCGCTAAATTTCCATCATCCATCGCCCGCCACGACTTTCCCATCGCGAATTCTGTTATTGGCCGTCTTAACACGCTTTGCATCATGTCGGGGGCTCCACCATACGGGCTACGTTCTCCTTCAGCCCAACCAGCTAATTACAACAACCAATACTCGCCCACGAACCGCTCCTTTTATCCAAAAAGCAATGAACAGTATCAGCAGCATCCTCCCGAAACCCCCCAGCCCTTCTCTTCATCATACTCTCAAAGTCCGCATTTTGGCCATGCAACCTCACCACGGCCCGGTACTCTGCCTCCCTTGAACGGTGCTTCTCATCCCGACGCATCACCGTACCAGGCCCAGCACCCAGCACCCAATTTTCAATTGCCTCGTATTCATTCAACGCACACCATGTCGGATACTCGCTCTACCGCCTACGCCCAACACGGCGCGCCTCATTCGCACCCCCCTGGCCACCAGGACGGCCACTTATTGTCCCCCAAAAAGGAACCTGAAACTTCTTTGAATATGGTTCGCGGAAATGCTCCTGCGTACTCCTCCCATTCACCAACGGTGCGCCCTCCGTCGCCCAAGGAAACCGTAAGTCAATTGTTGCCCGCTCTTTAAATGCAAAGCATCTAACCGTCCAACTCCAATAGAAACCTGCTCGAGCTGCGGATCCAATGTCTTTCGCTAGCATCCTTTCAGAGCCTACCGAAGATTCAACTCCACGAAGACTTTCTCCGCCGCCACCACAGCCTGTCAGAGCCGAGCCTGCCCCGGTAACACCATTGCCGCGATTGGAGAAGAAACCAAGCCAAGAAAAACGACTTCTACCTGTGAACAATGATGATATTACCACCCTTCGGGCTTCTCCGAGTATCGTTGCTGTGGAGAAGGAAAAGTCTCCTGTGCAGCCTCGCATCCCAAAGCCACCGCGTTTGACTGAAAAAGACCTCGAAGCAATCGAAAAGTGTGTTGCAGAGATTGACAAGGCTGATAAAAGCGATGTGGAAGATGCTGGTTTCGAAGCGGACTTGCAGAAATTTCTCACTAAGAGCAAGAGGCGAGCAGTGGAGGCCGATATTCTGGAATTGCAGAAGCGAAAGGTATGTGATGCAGAAGCTTGCTACGCTTTGCCTAGCACAAATTCAGCTAATCAATTGAAATCTAGCGCCGTCGCAACCATTTCCTCCAACAGTTAGGTGAGCATTTCGCTCAGGGTGCGGATGCTGGTGCCGAACGTTTCAGAAATAGATACGAGCCTACTGTCATTCTCGAAGTTCAACGGAAAGAGGTTCAAGATGAGAAGGAGCGAAAGAAGGATATGCAGCGTAAGCGCCGCCGAGAAAATACAGTCCGCCTGGAAACAGCAAAGAAACTCGAGGCGGAGCGCAAGGCCAACCATGCATCAGACTCTGCTGAAAGGGAAAAATTTCTGCGTGAAGCTGAAAAGGCTCAGAAGAAAATCAAAGGAGTCAAGAGGGCTCTGGAAAGAGGTAACCAGCCCGAAGAGATTAGTGAAGTCACACCCCTTGCCCCAAATATGGAGGGTGGCACGACTAGTTCATTCCATATCGGTAAAGGAAGCTCTTCGTCTGCGAAGAGAAAAGCAGCACGCGCTGCTCAGGCCTCTTCTCGCCCGAAGAAAGCGAAAGAAAAGAAACAGGCGGAGAAGGATGCTGCCGAGGCGGCACACTTGGCAATGGAGAGAGATGAACTGATTGCAATTGCGCCTAAAGAGGACCCTCGCCGAGATTACCTGAGGAAAGAAGCCAAAGGCGGTCGCTCCAAAGAAGCCACGCCAATTCCTGGCAATGCTTTCGAGTCGAAAGGTTATAACCAAATCTATGAGCAAATCTGGCGCGATATTGCGAGGAAGGATATTCCAAAAGTTTATCGTATCAAAACCGTGTCGCTCAGCACCCGTCAAGAAAACCTTCGTAAGACTGCACAGCTTGCGAGCAAACAGTCACGCAAGTGGCAGGAGCGTACCAACAAGAGCATGAAAGATACACAGGCCCGAGCCAAGCGAACCATGCGTGAGATGATGTCTTTCTGGAAGCGCAACGAACGCGAGGAGCGAGACTTGCGTCGCATGGCAGAGAAACAGGAGCTCGAAATGGCCAAGAAGGCAGAAGCTGACCGTGAAGCCAACCGACAGAAGCGGAAGCTTAACTTCCTTATCTCCCAGACTGAACTTTACTCACATTTCATTGGTCGTAAAATCAAAACGGACGAGGCTGAACGAACTGCTACTGCTGCTGATGCATCAGTCGATACCACCGGCGAAACCGTGCGGCCAGGCAAACCAGGAGCTCATACCATCGACCTTCCCGATAGTGTTGCAGATACCAAAGCCAAGGTTACCGCTTTTGAAGACCTTGATTTCGATGCGGAAGACGAGACAGAACTCCGCAATGCTGCTATGGCTAATGCTCAAAACGCTGTGGAGGAGGCCCAGGCACGTGCACGTGCTTTCAACAACCAGGATGATCCAATGGCAGCACTTGACGAAGGAGAAATGAACTTCCAGAACCCAACTAGTTTGGGTGACATTCAGATCTCACAACCGAACATGCTTACGGCTCAACTCAAGGAATACCAACTTAAAGGCCTCAACTGGCTGGTCAACTTGTACGAACAGGGTATCAACGGTATTCTGGCGGATGAAATGGGTCTTGGAAAGACAGTTCAGTCAATCTCCGTCATGGCATATCTCGCTGAGGTCCACAACATTTGGGGTCCATTCTTGGTCATTGCTCCAGCATCTACACTGCACAATTGGCAACAGGAAATCACAAGGTTTGTTCCTGATATCAAAGTGCTCCCATACTGGGGTTCCGCTAAAGACCGAAAAATTCTCCGTAAGTTCTGGGATCGCAAGCATTTGACATACACCAAAGAGTCGGAATTTCATGTCTTGGTCACGTCTTATCAGCTTGTTGTCTTGGACGCCCAGTACTTCCAGAAAGTTAAGTGGCAGTACATGATTCTCGACGAAGCCCAAGCTATTAAGTCGTCGCAAAGCTCACGGTGGAAGAATCTGCTAGGCTTCCACTGCCGCAATCGGCTTTTGCTTACAGGTACTCCTATTCAAAACAATATGCAAGAGCTGTGGGCACTTCTGCACTTTATCATGCCTACTTTATTCGACTCGCACGATGAGTTTAGCGAGTGGTTCTCGAAAGACATTGAGTCTCATGCACAAAGTAATACGAAACTTAATGAAGACCAACTTAGGCGTCTTCACATGATTCTCAAACCGTTTATGCTTCGCCGTGTTAAAAAACATGTGCAGCAGGAGCTTGGAGACAAAGTTGAAAAGGATGTTTTCTGTGATCTGACTTATCGTCAGCGAGCTTACTATTCCAACCTTCGAAATCGGGTTAGTATCATGGACCTTATTGAAAAGGCTGCTGTGGGTGATGAAGCAGACAGCACTACGTTGATGAACTTGGTCATGCAATTCCGTAAGGTTTGCAACCACCCTGACCTGTTTGAGCGTGCCGAGACCCGATCGCCGTTTTCTATGGTACATTTTGCAGAGACGGGATCCTTCTTGCGTGAGGGCCAAAATGTTGATGTTCGATATTCGACACGCAATATTGTCGAATACGAACTGCCGCGTCTATTGGTCAGCGATGATGGCCGCATAGATATCCCAGGGCCGAACAACGTCAAGGCTGGCTTCCAAAACAAATATCTTTCTCACCTCATGAATATCTGGACTCCTGAAAACATACAGACCAGTATTGCGGATGATGGAGCCTTTTCCTTCCTTCGATTTGTGGATGTTTCTCCAAAGGAAGCTTATGAAACGTCCCATATCGGACTTTTTGAACGTGCTATTCGTCAACGTGGCATATCAAACCGATTTTCTCGATTGAAAGTGGCTTATGAGAAGTCTGAGGGTGATAATGTGAACGATATCTTACAACATTCTCTCTTCAATGTGGCTGACCGTGTTGACCAAACTGCTCTGTATGAGTCGACTAATGAGGGATATATGCGGGATCTATTACATGTGTCACGAAAAGCTTTTGAGAACGACGGCCTTCCCATGATTGAACCTGCAGCTCGCCCTGTGGCGGCTGCGCCACCAATCACCATATCTTGCTCTGGCCAGGCTGCGATTAGGGAAACACAGAATATTTTATTCAACGTGGCTGCGCGCCAGGCACTCTTCGCCCTCCCGAGTCGGCAACTAGATGAACAGATTGTTGAAAAGAAATTGGATCCTACGCCCTATTCATATCCTGCGATGTTACCTGAACCGATATCTTCTAAAGGCCGTTATACCAAGATTGAAGTACCATCCATGGGCCGCTTCGTGACCGACTCTGGAAAATTGGCTAAACTAGATGAGCTTCTTCGTGAACTCAAGAACGGCGGTCATCGTGTGCTGTTATATTTCCAAATGACTCGAATGATCGACCTCATGGAAGAATACCTGACTTATCGCAACTACAAATACTGCCGTCTCGACGGAAGCACCAAATTGGAGGACCGTCGTGACACTGTCGCGGACTTCCAAAATCGCCCGGATATATTCGTATTCTTGCTTTCGACGCGTGCTGGTGGTCTTGGTATCAATCTTACGGCAGCTGATACTGTCATTTTCTACGACTCAGATTGGAATCCAACCATTGATTCACAAGCTATGGACCGAGCGCATCGTCTTGGTCAAACGCGACAGGTTACGGTGTACCGTCTCATTACTCGCGGTACTATTGAGGAACGGATTCGCAAGCGTGCTCTGCAAAAGGAAGAAGTCCAACGTGTGGTCATTTCTGGAGGCGCACCTGGCGGCGTGGACTTCAACACTCGCCATCGCGATAATCGCACAAAGGACATTGCTATGTGGCTCGCTGATGACGAGCAAGCCGAATTACTGGAGCAGAAAGAACGGGAAGCAATGGAACGCGGCGACGAACCTGGTATTAAGAAAGGAAAGAAGACCCAGCTAAAGAAGAAGAAAGACATTACATTGGATGATATGTATCATGAAGGTGAGATTTTACCACTACAAGTGTTCATTCTGGACTTTGCTAACCCGGTTACACTAGGTGAGGGTCACTTTGACGACGTCAGCGCGAAGCCCTCTGGAGCGGCAACTCCAGTTTCTGGAGAGAATCCTGCAGCAGCGACACCAACGTCGCCCATTCTTTCCAAGAAGCGCGGCCGTGGACCGGGCAAAGGCGTATCCAAGCGTGCAAAGACAACCAAGGAGCGTTTGCGTCTCATTGATGGAGACCGCGATATAGACGAGTGAACAGATTAAACCGAAACAAAACAAAAAGTATTGAGATTGACTGGCATGTTTATCTTGTTCTTACGGCGTATCTGATACCCTATTTGTGCCATACATGTGACAAGAAAACGATAGAATCCTCGGACTATGCGTTGCAACTGGCAAGCCCGTGGTTTATTTGATCAGTCGAGTGATTTGATTTGACAGGCTGGTGGGTGGATGTTTAGACATGGGAGTTTTTGATCTTTCTGCGGCATTCTTTGTATTATTCATTTTTTCTCCCTCATTCTTCTTTTACATTCCATATTCGTGTTTGTTGCGCTTTCTGTCGATCTGGGGCTCGTGAATTATCTGAATTATCCCAAAAAGAGGATTGTTTTATCTGCTTCTGAGAATGAGGTCATGGTTTTGTGGATCCTGGGTCGCATGTATCATTAGTTGAAAGTTTACATTTGAAAATTATGTATGCTAATTCAAGTTTCTATCAAGTTTCTATCTATTTGGGTCATGTGCAAAGTCTACAGTAGTTAGACCTTTTCCTTGCCGTCGAATCGGGCGTGGTCGGAGTATATCGACGGTTCTACACAGTCCTATAGTTGTATAGTGGTAAAAGACCTGGATTTTGGATTCCAGTCCGACCGGCAAATGCGTGCCGCTATCTACTTATGTAGTCATCGGTCCGAGGTCTTACACAACCGAATATACAAAATAAATACGATATAGAACCAAGGCTGACTCACACTGGTACCATGATTGGATGATTCTTATTATTAGTTGGAAGAGGAGTCCCATTGCTGACTATCCAAATCGCCGTGATTGGCCGATCACGCTCCGATCGGCGGATGCTTACATTAGCGAGTCGGCTTCTTCACAGTTTGCCCCTCTTCGCCACCTGGGGAAATTTTCTCTATGCTGTGCTCACATAGTAGGACTGGTGATAAAAGCATGCCTCTGCCAATTGCACTAGATGGGTTAATATAATGTTGGGAGTGGCAGACTGGGGTAATTGAGAGCTGATTTTTGGCGGAGCGTCAGCGCGAATAAAAGCGTATAACGTCGTCCAATGAGCCTCAGGAAAAGGGCCGCCGTCCTAGCCGACCCCACATTTACTGCCCCCCTTGCCCAGTCAGATTCCAGAATTTTCCTACTGGGAACAAAGTGTTTTAAATGTGAGTCTTTCCCCAACTACTTCCCCCTCTCTTATTCTCGCTGCACATCAGACCAAATCACCACGGTGGCTTGGAAAGATTTATTGTTTCGTATAGCCGCGTTGATTAACACCGCCATTCTTCAAGATCCCGCTGCAATTGCCCCAGACTGCGAGTGAGTGAGTCAGTCAGTCATGGAGTCGCTCTTGAACCAGTCCCGGGCCATGTGTCCGTTCCTCCAAAAGACGTCCCCCGCCGCCCTGCGCTCGCTTTCGATGAGCGCCCGCCCCAGCAGCGGGCCTCGAGGCGGCACTATGTCGAATCTGCAGGTTATTGCTCGTCGCTGCCCGGTCATGAGCAAGGCTTTGGCCGTGCAGAGTTCTCGTCTGGCCTCGAAGCGCTTCACCACTGCCGCTGCTTGTGGCGTGAGCGTCGCCAGGGAACTGAAGAATCTGGACAGGACTGGCCGCTGCCCGAGATCCCTGCACACGACTGCAGGGAATGGGGTCAATGTTGAAGTCGGCAGCTACGAGAAGAATGAGCGAAGTAAGGACTGTGGCTCTGTGGATTGAATTTGTGGATGCTGACAATATCTGATAGTGCGTCCCGAACTGCAGGCCAAGTCTCCGAGAAATACCGTCAACAAGCTCGATGCGCTCTTCACTGGCCCTCTTCCGGGAACCCCCGCTGCGTCTAAATTTGACTACGAGGATTTCTACAAAAATGAATTGGACAAGAAGCACAAGGACAAGTCGTACCGGTACTTTAACAACATCAATCGGTTAGCCAAGGAGTTTCCCTGCGCCCATATGGCGGCGCCTGAGGAAAAGGTTACTGTTTGGTGCTCCAACGACTATCTTGGAATGGGACGGAACCCCGAAGTTTTGAAGGAAATGCATCAAACCCTTGACCACTACGGAGCTGGTGCTGGTGGTACCCGCAACATTTCCGGTCATAATAGACATGCTGTGAAGCTGGAGAAAACACTAGCGAAACTGCATTCGAAAGAAGCAGCGCTGGTGTTTAGTTCATGCTACGTCGCCAATGACGCTACCCTGGCAACTTTGGGAAGTAAATTACCAGACTGTGTGATTCTCTCGGACAGTTTGAATCATGCATCCATGATTCAGGGTATCAGACATTCGGGTGCCAAGAAATTGGTTTTCAAGCACAATGATCTAGCTGACCTTGAAGCCAAGCTGGCTTCGCTACCCCCTGACGTTCCAAAGATCATCGCATTCGAATCCGTGTACAGCATGTGCGGATCTATTGCACCTATTGAAAAGATCTGCGATCTAGCTGATAAATATGGTGCACTTACCTTCTTAGACGAGGTCCATGCTGTTGGCATGTACGGCCCGCACGGCGCCGGTGTAGCAGAGCATCTTGACTATGACGTTTACGCTTCTCAAGATAGCAGCTCTCCACTTAGTACCAAGGGAACAGTCATGGATCGAATTGACATCATCACCGGAACTTTAGGCAAAGCTTATGGGTGCGTTGGTGGTTATATTGCCGGTTCTGCTAAATTGGTGGATACAATTCGATCGTTGGCCCCTGGTTTTATTTTCACGACATCCTTACCTCCTGCCATAATGGCTGGTGCGAACGCTGCAATTGAGTATCAATCTCATTATCAGCGCGATAGGGTCCTACAACAGCTTCATACTATGGCGGTAAAGGATGCATTCAAGGAGATGAACATTCCCGTCATTCCCAACCCGTCGCATATTGTGCCTCTGCTAGTGGGTGACGCGGAGCTTGCCAAGCAAGCTTCCGATATGTTATTAGAAGACCATGGTATTTACGTCCAAGCTATCAACTATCCGACCGTGCCACGCGGCGAGGAGCGTCTACGCATTACACCCACTCCCGGTCATGTCAAGGCATACCGCAGCCATCTCGTGCAGGCTGTAGACAACGTCTGGAACCGACTGGGCCTCAAGCGTACGAGTGAATGGAAAGCTCAAGGCGGATTCGTCGGTGTTGGCGTTGACGGGGCCGAATCCGAGAACTCGCCTATCTGGCAATCCTCTCAGCTTGGTTTGAAGGAGAACGAATCTGTCGAAGCTGCCGTATCTCGCGAGTTCCAGCAACAGGCTCTCGAAGAGAAACAGCAGCTGGCAAGCATCCAGCGCATGCAGACCGGCGGCGCACCAGCCCAGGCCGCTGCCCCGATCTTCGGAACTCGCGTTGAGGTTGCTGCCTAAGCCAGATCTCTGATTCTTTCTATTTTGAATATTTGCCACGTATATGACTACGCTGGGGATATTTTTCGAGCTTATCATAGCTTTGAGAATACTTATCAGCGCAATTAGCCTACGTTATGTTTACACTCATTTATTCGAGGCATCATAGCCTATTCGATTCTTGAAGACAGAAGACTCACAGTTGAGGGTTAGTGTCCAGCTGTCATGATTGTCTTAGTATTTATGTACTACATAGCTATAATGTACACCCCGCCAGTCCCAAGTAGGGCTGTCCATTGCACAAACTACGTGGAACCTCTAATGTCGTGACATCCAGAATATTCTATTGGCTGTTCATTATCGTAATCGTAAGCTGGCTAGCCCACCTATCAAAGGACTTGAAATGAGTATGTAGATTAAAATCCTTATCTTCTGATGAAGCCGGAGCGAATGTATCACATGGCGTCGGTGACGAGCATGACTTGATCAAATGCCTACACTCAGACGAAGGTAGCCGTATTTCTATAGTCAGGAGGACAACGGCAACAGATAACAAGTCGGATAAGAAAAGGAGAAAAAAGGACATCACTAATATTATACATATTTATCAAAACGAGTACCTGTCACATTCAGGCATTCCGAGGTTCGTGACCGTACGTCATGCGAATCACGTGATGCATCAGCCACATTGACGTGCCGTCATTGATGATTGTTGTCCGCTTCCGTCCGCCATTATTCTCTCACCTAATTTCACCTGCTCCCACACCACACAACTAATTGCACGCATCCCAGCGCTGTCAATATACGACCAACATCCAAGGAAAAATCTGCAGAAATATAAAGACTAAACCATCATATCGATTTTTTTGAATTTGTGATTATATCTCATCACTCACCCTCAATTCGAAATGGCCAGCTTTCAGGATCGTGCACAGCACCAGATTGCGCAGCTGGACAAGGAGGTGAGATAAGCCACCCATTACTTAATCAACCTCGAAATCCTTCCCTCGCCTTTCTATAGCACTGGATGAAGTAACCTGCTGATTGTGTCTAATGAATAGCTCTCCAAATACCCTGTCCTCAACAACCTTGAGCGTCAGACCTCGGTTCCAAAGGTCTATGCTATTCTCGGTGTTGTTGGTATCTACTTCTTCCTTGTGTTCTTCAACATCGCTGGCCAGTTCCTGGTCAACTTTGCCGGTTTCTTGATTCCCGGTTACTACTCGCTTCAAGCTCTATTTACTGCTGGGACGGCGGATGATACTCAGGTAAGAGCGGCTTATATCCTCCTTGATATGAATGAATGATTGGTGATGGTTGCTAATGTTGTTTAATAGTGGTTGACTGTGAGTACTGCTCTATTCGATTTCAACTGTATTTTAGAGGGGTGTTGGTTCTAACTATGTTTAGTACTGGGTGGTATATGCCTTCCTTACCGTTCTTGAGAGCGCCCTCAATGCCTCTTATTGGTTCCGTAAGTCACCTACTATATGCGAGAATATATTAGCTTTAATGATTTGTCTGAGCTAACTAAAACTAGCATTCTACTACATCTTCAAGTTTGTTCTTGTTCTGTGGATGTCTCTTCCTCAATTCAAGTGAGTTCACATTCCCACATCCGAGGAGAAAAGAACTGACAGAACATAGCGGCGCCCAAATCGTCTTCCACTCCTTTATCCAGCCCTTGTTCGCCCGCTTCTTCACCGGAGGCTCAACCTCCTCGAACTTGAAAGCCCAGGCTGAGGCTGCTGCCAAGTCGCAGTAATGGCACATGGGAGACCGCTTCAAGAACCTAGATAAATCCTTTTGCAACCCATCACACTATTCGATGGGTGAGCATCCACAGGTTCTTTTTTTAATGGGAATATGATTTGTGATGGCCATGCTTAGCCTCACCCATTGTTCCTTATATAGGAATATAAAATGTGGAGCTTTTGCGGTCAAAACTGATGTTATGAGGTCGGTTATGGTGAGTGGTTTTAGACACACACACGATAGCGTGTTTTGGTAGTGGTGTTGTTTTCAAGTTGCGGATGATTTCGAGCATGTTTGCCTGGCCGTGTATGGAACCTCGATTTTGTATTGATTTTCGCACCGCTAGCATTACTGCTTAGGGTGTCTTTTGGCAATGACCTTTTATTTCTGTTGATAACAGGCCATTTAAAATTCGTTTCTTCTCAAACACCGTAATTCTATAACGGCTGAGGTCTCCTTATGCTCGCTTCACAATCGTATCCCTGCTACGACGTGGACACTGAATGCACTCAACCCATGTAAGCGTAATATATGGCTAGCATCCTTGAGAGGTTAAGAATAAAGAGAACCAGGAGCACAGAGGATGACGGATTCAATTAATACAATCCAATGCGATTGCCCCAACCGTCAGTTCCCGGATTGAGCACAATACGGTATGGAAACGGATTAGAGTCGCTTGTCGTAATAGGCGGAATATGGTCTTTGTCTCTGTTGACAATCGTCAAAATTTTCAAGGCAGCCTTCTGAAGCATATTCTCCATCGCCTTGCGCACTTTCGATCTCTCTGCTCAATAATTAACAACCAACGCCACCCAATACTTAAAGCGCCACTATATAGGTATAGAACTCACCAGACTCTGTCCGAGGAGTAGCGATTGTCACATCCAAAGTCCAAATCTCCCAACAAACCTCTTCCTCCCCCTTTCCGGTCAGACCACCAAACCACATACCAGACTTCTTCCGCTTCCTTTCAAAAAACTCGACGGCGATCCTCCCCCTAACCCCATTTCCGCCACTGTATGAGTTGGATGGCGTCGATAGATGCTGGCGTACCAACGCATTCACGCGCGAATCGATCAGCGTCTCGAGTTCCACGTCGCTTACTGTTGGGAGGGTAAGATCGAGGACGTCGACGAAACCGGGGCGGATGGAGGGAAAGTAGCGATGGAAGAAAATGAGATTCAAGACACCTTTTCAATCATCAGTATGAAATCAAACAATCAGTATTCGCTTCGCACCTTTCAACACATCCTTGACAGAGTTGGTGTCGGCGAAGATTTCGAGGAAGTACTCTGGGGGGTTACGGCGGGGTTCCATTGCTGATAAAGCTCACTCAAAAAGAGAGTCAGCTTGCGGCCGCGGCGGAACGGTATGGTATGCGTGCTCAAGCGAGAACGAGGGTTCCCTCGCTGAGTGGCAATCACCAGTCGGGCCGGGCATGTAGCGTCTGGGGACAGGAGGGCGCAATGAACTGATGGGGCATTTGGAGATGCGTATTAATATTGTGGTATGGAGGAGCATGGATTATGGAGGGAGGAAAATGCGACAGGGCCAAGAATAAACCCCGCCACGGTACGGTCTCCGGCGCCGGATACGGGCGGTCACGGCCGCTGCTAGCCATGCACAACTGATGTTAAGGCGACATGCAGCTTACTATTAATTAATTAGGGTATTATTAACAGCAGAATAAGTAGTATTTAAAGAGTGTACTGTCTAAATATTAACGAGTCGCACTCTACCGAGTGCCTATTTATACCCAGATACAAAGTATTACAAGACTACTAGTATGTGAATAATCAGCCAATCATAAATAGTGTATTTTACAAGAATGATATATGATCTAATGCCACATCTACAGAAATATTTCATGTTCCTCGGCTATGGAAAGCGGTGGTAGGCCATGAATTTTCTTAGGCACTGATAATTTCAGAATGTATAGAAGCTTATAACCATCGCCCAACCTGAACGTGTTGATAAGATCTATCGGAACGTGACAGGAAGCCTCCATTTCCTTGTTGCATGCATAAAATAGCCACCAGTAACTTCCAGTCACAAGTATCATTAGAATCGTGACTATCTTCTTTATAGGGCTGGTTAATGGGCGTATTATTTTGTGCCAAGCAGTGACCAAATACCTAATTGTACACATCCATCAAGAGTAAGAAGACTTGGCTTGGTCTTAATGGTTAGGCCTGTTGGCGTGTATTTCAAGATCTCGGAAAGGCTTTGATCTATCGTTTTCTCATCCAATATTCACATGAAATCCCTGAAACTCTGCTGGACATACGGACCCAGAGGCCTGTTTACAAAGGCATAGTCAACCTTCGAGGCCAAGAGTTGTTCTCCATGGACACGAGGTGCGAATGGACCGTGTATTTGGCAGCAATTCTGAGATGGGTCTTTAATGAGCCGGATTTTTATGAAGGAATATGGGCTATTTTATATGAGTACCAGCTCGACATCAAGACAGCTCTCCACAGAGAGCTCGAGGATCTTATAATATACTGTGAAATTCCAAAATGGCTTTTTAAAAAATAATTTAATTGATTTTATCTTAATAGTTTTGAATTTTCTAATATTACGCTCATATATAGAGTTGAATACATGAAAAAGGAAGCTGTGTATCCCTATACAGATGGTTCCAAATTGGGAAACCGCGTCCCTAATTGGCTAGTGCTGACTAACATTGACATTCGCGTCCTTACCCCATACTAGTTGACAACATTGAAGCCTGACAATCAATTACTTCCTTATTGTTTAATGATACATGTAATTCCAATTTTGGAGATTTTTACACTCTCATAACATAACCACTATAGAAGAACATTCACTCTCACTATGTCATTTCAATATCTCAACACACCACCAATCATCCCATCGCCGGAGGGAGTATTCAGTTTCTCTGTTCCTGCAAAGACCGATATATGGCGCAAACCACCGACCCTAGACGTATTCAGTGCTCCGGTTGCCTACAGAAAAATCCCTATCCAGCAATTCAGACGAGCTCGCGTCACGGTCAGTGGTGACTGGAGGACCCTCTACGACCAAGGAGGGCTTGTCATAATTCTACCACAATCTCAACACGGGTATGACACTAGCAATACCCACAAGCGCTGGGTAAAAGCCGGCGTTGAGTTTCACGATAATTCGCCCAAAGTGAGTGTCGTGTCTGCTGACTCTTGGGCGGACTGGAGTCTTTTGCCTGTGGGCAAGTCCGATACTGAGCAGGATGATGCGATAACGATTGTTTGCGAACGAGAATGTAATTCGGATGGGACATTTGGAGCAGGGCTTCATGTTTATCTAGCTGGTGTGAATGGTGAGAAGAAGATCATGATCCGTGAGGTGACTTGGCCTTTTTTTGGAGTTGGCGAGGATGATACCGTGGATGTTGGAATATATGCAGCACGGCCAACGCCTGATGAGAGAGAATCATTGACCGTCAAGCTGAAGGATTTTGTCATTGAGCTTGTCTGAACAAAATTGTGACCTTATTGCATCTATTTTACTGGAAAACTTCATATACCCCACTACTCCCTTATCAAAATGCGAATGTACGATTCGGCCTTGCCAGAATTGATGCTTGCTGGTACCAAGTATGTTAATATCAGTTGCTACCTTTAGCCTTAGAAGCACAATGAAACTTGTTGAATCATGAGTCTAGCGGGTTGGGAAAGTATTGCAGCTGAGAAATCAGCTCGCCCTCCATGCATCTCGTCAAGGAATCCCGGTCTGTCTTGGCTATTATAAATCCTTAGCGCTAGTCATAACCCCTCAATGCATCTCGTTCATTGATATGGTATCTTCAAATTTCTCACACCAATAAGACCGTGCCATTACCTTAATAAACGGAAACAATATATTTCAATATGGCGTCCATGAAAAGCGTTTTTGCCGCTTACTCCAACCGACTGAACGCTCTACAAACTAGCACCAACACATTTGCACAGGGCGTGGCTTGGGTGGAAGGGCAGCTATACCCGCTCTCCGAGGCACGCATCCCACTAATCGACCAGGGTTTCTTGCACGCCGATCTAACATATGATGTTCCTTCGGTGTGGGATGGTCGGTTTTTCCGGCTTGATGACCATCTAGCCCGATTAGATGCTAGTTGCAAAAAGATCAGAATGAGCCTCCCACGACCTCGAGAAGAAATCAAAGCCATCTTGGTAGATATGGTCGTCAGGAGTGGCATTCGAGATGCCTTTGTCGAGATCATTATTACACGCGGATTTCAAGGCGTGAGAAGCTCAAAGTCGGAGGATTTGCTGAACAATAACCTATACATGTTCATACAACCCTATCTCTGGGTCATGGAGCCAGAGGTCCAGATTGGTGGAGGGAGTGCCATTATTGCCCGGACAGTTCGTCGTATTCCTCCAGGCTCGTTTGATCCAACTGTGAAGAACTTGCAGTGGGGAGATTTTACACGAGCTATGTTTGAGGCTCGAGACCGCGATGCCATGCACCCTTTCCTAACGGATGGCGATGCTAATCTGACGGAAGGGTCTGGGTTCAATATTGTCCTTGTAAAGGACGGCATCATCTATACTCCAGATCGGGGTGTTTTGCAAGGTGTCACTCGTAAAAGTGTAATCGACGTTGCCCGAGCCAACAACATCGAGGTGCACGTCGAGGTGGTTCCGGTGCAGTTAGCATATCAATGTGATGAATTGTTTATGTGCACTACTGCTGGAGGTATTATGCCTATAACGACACTGGATGGCAAGCCTATTAATGGGGGGAAGATCGGCCCGATAACGAAGAAGATTTGGGATGGGTATTGGGCCATGCATTATGACCCAGCGTACAGCTTTGAGATCAACTACAAGTCTCTTCAATCGAGGCTTTAATGATTTTTCGAATTTAGCAACTGCTTGCTTTCTTATTGATTTTGATGGGCCATGAAATTCAATCTATATGCACATAGTACATCGAATTGAAATTGAATGTCAGGCAATCCGCCTGTATCAAAAATTGATATTTCTGACTACTCATCTATCAATTGATGTATTCAATATGTAAATCAGTCAATCTAAACCATCTTTCAAGTTGAGTGAGATATGTATCATGGGAAACTTCTACTACATAGCTCCGTGTAAAACCCCTAAAACTAAGACGGCGGGAGTGTCATTAACAACCCAGCAGAAGTTTTGTGTATAAACATCGATGTGTTGAATGTAGACGAATCAATCTGCCTGAAATTATAAATAAAGACTGTATGACCGTTTCATTAACTTAACAAACGGAAACGATAGATTTCAATATGACTGGACTTTCCCGTTGTGCAGCAGTTGATTCGGTAGTTTTATTCAAATAGCTCATATATTGATTGCTCATTGCGATCAGTGCCTGTACACTATATAAAAATTCGCGTATTCCGTCTAAATGTTGAACAGAAGTGACATGATTTGACCGACTTTGAAAAGTCGAAAACTAAGCTATCTAAATCTACAATGTAGGTACCGTACAAAGTTAAAACAGCAATGTGGGGAGAGGTGTAAAGAGAGACATATCGTAATGCAAATATAATACATAATGGGACCCAAATAGCTGACAATAAGCAGGCGGTGATCGAAGCAGCTTATCAAGCCTGGAAAGTGGCAGTCAATTGGTCGAATTCGGCCACACGAGCATCCGCGGTCTTTAGGAGTCCGGGAGTGATGAGCTCCGGGTCGATAAGAGTCTTCAGGTAGCTAGAAAGCACGCGCAAGATGAGAATGAAAGGTGTGATGTCGTCCACTCCTTGCTTCAATATGGCAACTGAGTTGGATTGCTCTAGTGCATGGCCAGACTTGGAAGTTGTTGAGCTGTCGAAACGACTCTAGCTTCCTGCCCTTCAGCCGATGGCTAAACTGGATGGCATCGACAATGTCGTTGGCCGCCGCCATGCACTTAGATATTGCGTCAGTGGTAAGAATAGTGGGAAAATCATGCTTCTGGGCCTTGAGCAGGGCCGCCTCATGTAGGTCGATTTCAGTCGTGTCCATTAACGTTCGCAGGTCTATTGCAACATAGCACGTGATAATAACCCTAATTCGTAATTACGTAACGGATCACGGGACCAGAAGACTTGCCGAGGAAGCGGCATCCCTCCGATGGGATGGGGAACATCAATGATCAAACGTCGGCTTCGGATCAGTCGTGTGCCATCGCCATTATTGTTTCCCATTCAACGCTCCATTTTCCACGCGACGCTGGCCTCATTTGACAATGCCATGAAAGTCTCGCATCGAGCCAAATATCTTCAACACAGCCCATAGCCCTCCTTTCAATCATGATCGGAGCTACAAAGCGCTGGTTCCGCCGCAATCGCAAGAGCTTAGCAATCGGCGCCGGTGTCGTCGGTGTCGGCTATCTTGCCGGTCAATATGTGCTGTCTAAAATATCAGAGGCGCGAGAGCGCATGAGTAGTGATAGAATTGCAAAGGAAAAGTACGCAGTCATCCTGATTTCGGTTGTTCCTACAACATACTGACGTTCTCGAGCGGCTCCCAGCCTCCGGCGACGTTTCGAACAGAACCAGGCCGATTGTACCTTTACCGTTCTCGCACTTCTTCCCACCGCAACTGAAAACATTATCGAGGCTCTCCCTGTCGAAGATCTCACAAGCGAATTGCAGAAAAAGCGAGCGGAGCGGCTGGCCAAGCTCAGCGGTTCAGACGTGTTGGGTTCCGAGCCAAGTTCTTCGACTGCACCTAGTGTTACTGATGAGGATGGAAGGAGTCTCTCCAGCTTTCAAGCTGATAGCTACGTTCATGCAAGCCAAATGGCTGGATCAGTAACCGATACAGACACCCAGCGACCCGCACGCAGTAAGACGGAATTGTGGAATGAAGTCAAAATATCCTGTAAGTTTCTGAAATGATGGTAGGTATTTGCACATAGTGCACTTACTAACTCGTTTATTTCATACAGCCATAACGAGAGCTATCATCTTGATATATTCACTGTCATTGTTGACGCTTCTCACCAGAATCCAGCTTAACCTGCTCGGCAGGAGAAACTACCTCTCCAGCGTTGTATCGCTCGCTTCCCCATCTAATGACGTATCGACCATTCGCCTTGAAGATAATGATGATGAATTCAGCCAGGCTTTTGGTAACGATTTCGAGACCAATAGGCGCTATTTAACATTCAGCTGGTGGCTGTTACATCGTGGTTGGAAGGGCTTGATGGAAAAGGTCCGAACCGCTGTTGAGGAGGTTTTCGGGTCTCTCAACCCTCGAGAAGATATCACCCTCGTTAGATTGTCATCACTAATCTTGGATGTGCGTAAACGTGTCGAAGGCGCCACAGAAGAAGACCGAAGGTTCGTCCGGAATTTCTCAATATTCTTTATGATATACTGATCGTTTTAGACTCACAAACTGGCTCCAATATTTATTACCGTCAAAGGAAGACGAAGATGTCGTACTGAAAGAGTCAGGCGTACTCAACCCAGACACCCCATCGTCACCTCAAACTACCGCTAGTTTGCGGCAACTATTAGACGAAACATCAGATCTCATCGAGTCACCATCTTTCAGCCGCATCTTAACTTCATTGAACAACGAAGGGTTTGCAAATTTGATTGAACAGAAATGTGCAACAGCTGTGTTCAAAGCACAAACAATACCTGAGCCAGCCACAGCAACAGCTTTGTCTTCGGCCGCAACTATCGTTCCTTCACCAGCACCACCCAAAGCCAAGCTAGCGACTGTACTGGCTCTGATTACGCGCGAAGCCCACGTTATTGGTAATGGTACGAATTCCCCGAACGAGTACCTTGCAGCCATGGAACAAAATGTTCGTGAGTTAGAAGCTTTTGCAGCTGTAGTGTATAGCTCCAACTTTGAACTCGGCCTTTTGCATTCTGAGGACACATCAACTGTACCGAATACGGATGCATCGTCTAACCCACTTCGACCGACGGATGCAAACGAAAATCTCCATGCTACTTCTGCAGAAGATGAGAGGGACAACACACATGGAGTCTATTCGGCGTTTGAGAGGGTCTGGGGCAAGGCTGTTGGAAGTTCTGACTCGAGTGGCGCAGCATGAAAGTGTCCCTGAGACAACTGTCTGAATTAATCAGTTGATTGATCTGAGTATTTATTTCGGCTGGGCACCTGTAAAACAAACATAATGAAGATCTTTGAATATATCTAGATATAGTCAAGCCAGCTATATTACACATAATTCCCAATCCAATCAGCTAGCTTGCTTTTGTATAGGATTTTAAGACTGAGCATAAATTTGCGATTTGTATATCATAATCGTTTTAGTATGACAGCTCAAACTTTGTCAAGCGAAGAAAATGCATCATCTTTATCTATTTACCCAAGTCACCAACCCACCAACCCATCAACTTATCTCCTCGACGCTTTCCCTCTAGACATCCTCGGGAATTCAAGTGGAATTCGCAATCTGCAGATACGCTTAATCGCGGCCTCGGTCTTGGTCTTGACACCCCATTTCTCATACTCCTTCTCACGCGGCTTATCTATACGACATCCCAATTCACGGAAATACTGCGTAATACCAGTATTATCAAGACGAAGGTCGTCACGCAGGTCCGCCGGATCAGTAGCAAGCTCATTCGCCGCATTACCACCAAATACGCTGTCCTTCATGGGAACGGGAGGGATAAGCAGTGACAAGGCACAGATGGTTGTGTGCAGTAACGTCACCTCCGTGCTAGACATGAAGCCCTGAGGCGCGAATTTACGGCGAACTGCTTCAATGACCGGATCAGGCAGCTGGGCCTCTGCCGATGTGCCCCCAGAGAGCAACCTTTTCAGGTCCTGGCGCAGCGGGAGGCGTTTGCTGCCGTGAGGGTCGGTTTTCTTCCCCTGTTTGAGACATCGGCCTAGCTCGAGAAGGACGAGAATGAAGCGGAGAAGTTGGAGGTGTGTGGTATTTGCGGAGTGCACGACGGCATCAATACGATGTGCCACGTAGCGCGAGGTACTCGTGACGGCATTTCCAGCCTCCACTTCCTCCTGCCATTCTTGAACGGGGAGTTGGTGCAATGTCGACAAGCCGCCGGGGACAAGCGCGTCGATGGTGTAGACGTCGGATGGGTGCGAGGCAGCTAGGTTTGCGGCGGGGATGGGTTTGTTGGCTTGGATCTGGGCTTGCATGTCGGCGTCCTTGGTGGTCGCTGATGCAATAGCTTCTGAGGGCATCGACGACAAGATGGCGGATTCGGCAACATTGCTGGCGCCTGCAGGAGCCAGCATGCTGTTCTCTGCCAGGGATTGTGCGGCTTTGCGAGATGCTTTTGTTCCGAAAGCTGCTGTGAGAGCGTCCCTTTGGGCGCGATATGAGGTCTGTTGGCATCGTGGTCAGTCTTCATCTTCAATCCAAATATAAAGAGGAGAGAGAGCTCCATACAGTTGTCCCATCAGCGTCGGCGCCAATCTCCTCGTCCTCTTCAAGTTCGCCATTCCGCTTGCTACTCCTCACGATACTGCGCAGCGTCATCTTCCTCACCTCAACAAACTGCCATGTTTTCTTCTCGGGATCGACAATGGCGATGTAATGATTTAGCATCGAGTCAACATCGTCGTCAGCCTCGCGACCGACAAAGTCAAGTTTTGGGTGTTCGGATGACTGTAGGAGCAGTTCGTTCGATCCAATTCCCTGGTTCCGATTCGATGGAGTCGACAATTCGATTACGTTGCGAGCTTTGAAGTATGGTTTGAAACCCTGGACTTTCCTTGGAAATTGCACACCAGGAGTATGAACTAGAAGTAGAATTAGTATACCAGGCCATCATTATGAGAAAGAAGTTCCTTTAAGATTTATACCTAGCACTGGAGCGAGTTCACTATTATCTCCAAGTACACTTGCGGTCAGTAGAGGTAGGTTTTGCGGAGCAAGAGCAGGCTTTTTGCTAGGCCGATCGTGCCTGTCGGAGTCTCTCTTTCGTTTCTTTTCTGATTTATCTGACGCCATTGTTTCGGCTTGTACTTTATTGTAGATGACGAATGGACATAATCTGGACAGCTAATAGCTGTTCTATCGATCTTCATCTTTGACTGGCTCAACAATTTCTTGGAAAAAAAATTTCCCGGCGGCGGATACTCCACACGGCGCACATTGCTTAGACCACCTAATGAAAAGCGTTCACCAATTATTATTCAACAGACAGCATAGCCATCTTGGCTTGTTATTAATGTTTAGTTTACTTATTAAAGAATTGAATCAACCCTGAGTAATTTTCTTTGGTACCGGCAAGCTTCACTAAATGTAGTAGCTATCAATCATCACGCACCCAGAGCGCCATTGATCATATCAAGTAATTTTGCAAACGCATCTCCATGAGAACATTTCCAACCCATCGTCACGCAACGCGTTATAATAACACTGCAAGACTAGAGTGGAAAAGAAAAGAGTTGACCGGTTCCCCATGTTAACAACCTCGAGCAAACAAATTATCCGAAATCAAGAGTGATGATTCTCCTTCTTCATCAATTCATTCCTCCTTCCAGCCCCCCAAACACACGGTCCGTCCCTCCATTAAGAAAGATGAGCAAGTTTCCCAGGCTTTCCCATCCCTTTTCGGCAGGCGCTTTTTGCGAAACCCAAGCGCGGCACACACAAAAACAGCCCAAACATTTCAGTCGTAAACTTTTGGTATAGAGCTTGGTAGCTGGAACGCAATCGCTGAATTGGTAAGCTCCAGGTTTATGACTTATCGACAGCAATATATGACGAGCGATACTGCAAGCGAAGTTGTGGACAATCTCTAGTGGAGAGGGTATTTTTTCCAGACGAAGAATCAACAAACAGAAAAACTTCAGAGTGTTCGATTCCACATGTAGATGTTAAGGTCGTGTTTGGTTTTCAACGATAAGGCTTCAACACAGATGAAACCGAGATGGAGTGGTCACGAGTTTACTTGCTGTGTGATTGTAAGCTGTTTGCACATCGACTATACACAGGCAGCAAGTGGCACTTACGATCTGGCCCGGACCTTTCTTCTCTTACGCTTGAGACGGCGAACGCGCTTCTTTCTCCATTTAGCTCTCATCTTCGCAGATGGTTCGAGACTATTTTGAACTGCGTCAGCAGGACTGCATCAAGTGGAACGGTGCAGCTTGGAGGTCCATTGCTACGTATATAGTAGTGGAAGTCCAATTGGTATGCTGTTACCGGGGGTAAAGCTGCAACTTACACTTCTTCGAGGATGAGGGGATGGTTGCAAGAGTGATGGTGAGGCGGAAGCTCTCGTCGGCTTTGAATGTGTGTGGGTGCTTAGTCAGCTTCTCGTCTAAGGGAGGCACTAGCCTCTTACGGAAACGTCCCGCGGGGTGCGACGGCAATAATGACATCAGCGTTCGATTCCTCTCTAGGTAGTAGACATTGAATCTAGAATTTCTACAAATTCAACAGTGGAATGGTGCAATTGACCTGTAGCAATTCTTTGGTCGCCTCTTACGGGAATGCTTAGTGGGAAGCTATCCGCCGAGGACACTTTACGCTATATAGGAAATATTTAATATTGAACATTACATTGATAACCAACGAGTCGAATACTGAGATTAATTGGATGTATTTGTTGATATCAATACCTACTCCCACATATCAGCCTTTCCAGTATCAATAAGTATAGCGATAGCTCGGCGCTAAATCTCCCAGATTTTCTTCCTCTTCATCTTGTTGGCCGCTGATCATTGCCTCGGCATTACCCAAAGCAGCATTTCGATCGCGTTGGCGATTTGCATGCCAAAGAGAAATCACATAGCTAATACATGCTGCAGCTGACAGACATGAGAAGGATATGGAAACGATGTAACCGGTTCTGTAGTTAGGAGGGAAGAAGGAATAGGTCGAAATAATGCCGCCAACTAAAACATCAATTGTTAACAGTTGATCCTTTATATAGGAGGTTCTTGAAATGTATAAAGCTGCGTACGTACTATTTCCAAATCCAATCTGGAATGCCGTAGCTACGGCCTTCCTATGGTGTCCGCCTAGATTCATAGCGAACCAACAGATGACGATGGGCATCGCCGAGTAGGTTCCTATATCCCCGGTCAGATTCTCACTTCAAAACTTATCAAGTGTGTGAAATACCTGATGTCACCAGAAACAAAGCTCCATACTGTACATGTGGGTGATTTCGAATGTTAAGTAGCATAGCAAAACCGGCGATGGATATACAAATCGAGACAATGCCGAACGTGAAGCGGTGACGTAACTTATCAGAGCAGTACGCTACGAAAAGAGAAAAGACAAATGCAGCTGCCCATGGTGGAATAGACCATAGTTGAGTATTTACAGCTAAGTCGACTGTCAGCAATGCGATAAATATAATAGGACTGTGAGCAATTTTCTACCGTTGTATCCGTATGTTCTGATGATGGAATTTGCGAAATAAGCATATCCTACATCACAGCAGATTAGTGACCATCAACAGACCAAATAAAGGGATATTCACCGTAAGCTGGTACAATGAGCCCGAAATATGCCAGTGCTGCAAAAAATATCTTATCTAGAAATCAATTAGAATCAGCATATCCAAGAAGACGATGCGGTGCATCTTTACAGTCTTTAAAGACATTGAGAGTATCTTTCAAGGTGATAGAACGCGAATGAGTAGATTTCCCGACATCATTCTCTAGCTTGGCTTTAATAAAGCTGCGTTCCTCTTCATTAAGCCAAGTAACAGTTTCCGGAAAATCAGGTATGATCCAAAATGCAATGACAGCGATGACTATGGTGAGTAATCCTTCGATGATAAAAATCCAACGCCAAGCACTGTACCCACGAATTCCGCCCATTTGGCCAATTCCGTAAGCTAATAGTCCACCAAAGGCACCGGCAAGGGTGGTGGAGCTAAAGAAGAAGGAAAAGCGCTTTTGGGCTTCGCTTCTCTTGTACCAGCATGACAATAGGTAGAAACCTAGCATTTGAAGTCAAAAATAATTCCTGATCTTGTTTTCTTCGTTGTATACGTACATCCAGGAAACCTATAACGGTCAGTTAAACCACATCAGATTAATATATTGAAACTTAGTTAGAACTCACATGCCTGTTTCAAAAACGCCTAAGAAGAAGCGTGTGGCCATCAGGCCCCCCCAATTCTGAACAAGTCCCTAATTCATCTCAGTTATTCACTTTAGTCTCGAACACACTCAAAAGTAGATGGTCGCCTACCTGCATCACCATGGTGAATCCAAACATCGCCATACAAAAAGAAAGCCACACATGAGGCTTTAGCTTTTTGAGCAAAATATTTGATGGTACCTGACAGAAACAAACATTAGAATCTCGACTCATTAGCGTTCATCCACGGACATCAAATACCTCAAAGATGATATACGGCACAAAAAAAATCGTAAGAGCGGTGTTATACTTTGTTCCCTTAACAATATTCAGATCTGACTGAAGCCCAAACAGCGCCGCATTGCTAATGTTCACCCTACAGAGAGACAACCTTAAGTACAGTACAATTCATGAATAACGCGCGACTCGGTTACCTACCGGTCAAGGAAAGCCATCAAATAGAGCACGCATAGCACCGGCAGAACATGGAGATCGATCTTGGTCATTAATCGGCGTTCAGTGGTGCTAGTGAGCTGCCCGGAGATAGGAGACTCCGGGATTTCGATATTTCCCTCATCTTTGAACTCATCGCGTACTATACCGTCAGTCAGCATGGTATTTGGAGGTTTAATGGAGCATTTTCTTAGGCATAGAGAGTCATACCGGCTATTATCGCCATATTGAAGACTTTTTTTTTAGCAGGCGGCCGTACCGAAGCAAGGGATGAAATCTCGTCTGGACCTCGGCGTGGACAAGAATATTACAATGGGCTGAATGATGAGGCAGACTAAAGTCTTTAAGAAAAGAGCAGACGAAGTGGGGCCAGTACGTAAAATGCAGAGCTGCAACTGCGAATAATACGAGTGACTTGGCGGTCTCACTAGCCGCATTGATCTGTAGCCCTGATGAATTGTTTATATCAAAGTTGAGTAGGATCTCGATCCACGAGCTTAGTCCTGATGCTAGCAATCCGAATCCATCTGGACTAGGCGCCGTAGGAGGATGGAAGCATTATAATTATGCGCGGTCGTACAGAGTAGAGTAATATATAACCTTAATAAGCAAGCAGAAACAATAGTCTAAATGTTCTCCATATGGAGCTGTCAGCCAATAGAAACCTCTAGATATTCGGCCAGGTGCCCGAACTGAGGGGTATCAGCCAATCACATGAGCTGGGCTGCAGTTCTCTTTGTGCTCCCCGCATTTCTTCTCCAATCATAATGCAATGACGTTTCTCAGCACCAAAATTACCATCAAGAGCATCAAAACGCCATGCCAAAAATCGACATTCCCCAATTTTGAACACCTTACTCTTAATGACAAATATTAGTATAAATTTATATATAAATACATTTAAATGAATAAGTTCATGATAATTCAGACTTATATGCTAATTTAATTAAATTCATTACTAAACATTATGTAATAGACGATTTGCGATCCTTAAATTAAAGTTCTACAATATCTGGTGATTATTTGTTATCTAAAAGATATATGGTTATTCTGTAAGGAGATATTTGGGATTTTATAGATTCGACAGCATATTTACTTGGAAACTGGACTAATATCGCGTGCAGAAAGCTTCTACTGTTTTAGTGAGAAGTATATCAGGTCCTTATCTGATAATATGCTGGTCGTTTTTTGAGCAAGTATGGAATCCAAAGGTAGGTTAATGTCTTTGAACTGGATATTGCCTATGATCACCTGAAAAAACGTCCTTTTATTATATCCTATATACTGTACGAAGGGTCGAAAAACCAGAGGGTATCAAATGCTTATTCTTGATAGTCATGGAAGTCATTTAGCTGCCGAACTTGATCGTATATGTACTGAGAATAATATTATTCCAGTCTATATGCCTCCGCACTCCTCACATCTTTTTGTAACCTCTTGATGTCAGCTGTTTTGTGTGCTTCATCCGCTAGCCCGAGATACTATCTCCATGGCTTTGGAAACACCAAAGTCTAGGATTCTGCCAATTTCAATTTGCAACTATTTATTTCTTCTTTCTCGATAGTTTATTTGATCATTGCCAAATCTGATAATATGCTAGAGCTTATAAACACCGAAGAAATCCGCCGGTACTCATCCACGGCGGTGGTGTGCAACTTCTGAAGCACCACAAAGTCGTGACTCTAATCCACCAGCTGGGACATGGAATTCACGATCGTGTCTCCAAGACCACTTACTCACACTTCCATGGCGCTAGAACACTTTGTGGCTTTGTCGAGGTGTCAAGACTAGATGCTCCGGAATTGGTCCTGGAAACCCTCGCAGCTGAGATATTTGAGTTAGCAATACTAGGCGCTGTGGAAGCAGAACGTCGAAACAAATTCGATGGATCGCCCCGTTCGCTCCTTTTTACTGTGTTAATGTTAATACTTTCATCCCTACCAACTCACCTCCCGTTTCCTTTTGGAAGAAGATTTCCTACGGCTTTACCATCTACTAAAATGACTGATAACCAACGCGAGCAACATGAGAGTGCACATAGATGGGGAGATGTCTTGGACAAGGAGATTCACAGCCTGCCAAACCTATCTGACTCTGACCTTCGGGATCTTCTATCAACACCGCAAGAAGATAGACATTCTAGAAGACTCAAATTCGACCCTACAGTGGCTTTCAGATACATTCCACGAGAATTCAAAGGACAGGAAATAAAATTCGATCTAGCCTTAAGTCACCTTAAAACCCGCCTTAATGATACTCTTTTTAATCGATTACGTGCAATCCCGGGGTATTTCTACAAGTTGAGAGAGAAAGAAAAAGACGATAATAAATTTGTCATCTATTAACGACGAGGAAAAGACTTTAGGTTGCCTGAATTTCTCCAAGATCTCCCTACACGTATTATTCGCGAATCAATTGTTGATCCACGAGGTTTAAATATGAAGGTACAGAATCCATCAACAGTGCAGAATCTATCGATGATTCAGAATCCATTGATGGTTTGGAACCTATCACTATCGATAGAGGATGTAAGTTATATCCCGCATCCTCTATTTCATAAATCCTGGGTCGGAATTCGTCTTTGGCACTCTAGGATTTGTCGCAAGTCTTTTTCAGAAAAATGAGAAAAAACATATTCTTGTTACCATTGCGCATATCCTAGATGATGCTGATGGGGAATTTTTCCGACTAGAAGAAAACACTGACAGCAGAATCCAGTCAGTAATTCTACATATGACTTAGGCAACAGTTTTTACGTATAAAACGAATTACTGAGCCTCCCTATAAATAGTGCAAGTCCTCAGCATCGGTAATTGATAACAACCCGTCCATTGATTAAACGCTATAATTATGCAATAGAGTAGGCCATTTCCTCAACCTAGACACCTTGCCTCAAACCCTTGGTATATACGAACCGCCAATCCCCATTTGCCACAAAATAAAAGAAAACCGCGAGAATCCATCCCTAATAAAATAATGAATACAAATAGAGAGGAAAATTCACGTCAAGGCCATACGCCAAAACCAACTTTGCCCGAAATGTGCACGAATGCGTACGAATTTGGCTGTCTATCAAGCATTTGGTGTAACCGAGACTTGAGTCTCGTGCTCAAGCACGAGCTTCTCTTGCTTCGGTGAAGAAGGTGGTGAATGAAACTCGTCTTTCTCCAGCACAGTCGTTTCCTCGTGCACATCGTGTTGTGCCTGCTCTTCCTCCCGTTCAGACTTCTCAACAGAGTCGAGGACAACTGGAGGCGTTGTCTTGAGGCTATCGTGGCTATCCCCTTCTCGCGAGGAGCCACTAGAACGCCGAATATCTGGATGCACGGGGACTGTGGGAGACGGTGAAGCCGGGAGAGTTGATTCTTGGGTGGGAAGAGAATCGTGCTTGCGTACGGGATTGCGAGGAGGGAGTGCAGGTGGAAGTCGCTTAGGAATTGTGACTAGTCGCGGACGTGAGAAGTTCGCAGATGGAGAAGTCTCTTCCACCGGCGTAGCTGGCTTTTCATGAATAATATCATGCTTGGTGATCGTGGTGTTGCTCGCATCGTGAATTTCAAATCCCTCCTTGTCTATATCGTCTTCTTTCTCTGGGTGGTCTTCTTTTTCGTGAACCTCATGGCCATCTGACGTGTCCGGAGTATCCCATTGATTCTGCTCGGGCGACACTGGCGTTTCCTCCAAACTACGAGAAGATGCAGCACTAACTGAAGGGGGAGCACGAGGAGGCAAATCATCTGTTTGGGTCCCCCTGTCAATGCTAGCGTGGCTTTTGGTACTCTGCAGGCTAGCCCGCCAGCTTTGTCGCGGCGATGAATCAATGCTTTGTCTAACGAAAGAGTTATAAATAGGACTTGAAGGACTAGGGCGGAATTCAAAGACCTCATGACTTGGCCTGTTGTGGGTTCCTGCCTCTCGAATGAAAAGGCCATGCTCTTCTAAAGCACGCACTCCATAGGGGTCTGGATCATCTGTGGCAGGAATCCCAAACCCAGTCTCATCCTCATTAACAATGATTGCATCGCCGGGAGCTTCTCCTGGTGGTGGTAAGTTAGTTTCGTCAACATCATGGTCACCCTGGGCGGCTTTGATGGTCTGGAACAGGGTCCGAAGAGAGTCGGATGAATTTGTAACATTGCCCGCGAGGATTTCTTGTGCAGACACCTTTCGGCCATAAAAGCGGGCGTTTTCATCAGTACGTTCAACGATGATTGTGCCGTCCACTTGGACTCCTGCGTATAGCCCGCGACTCTTCATGTATGTCCATATTGGGGCTTGTCGTTTGTGAACTTCGCTATCAACAACGCCTCCCAAACCAATCGGGCCGGCTGTTGCGCTTAACTCTCCGCCAAGTGTGGCCCGAAGCTTTTTAAAGCCTTCTAGAGCATCGTAGGTGTTGATGATAACAACACAATCGTAGATATCGACACCCACGAGGAATCCTAACGCGGCGGTATGCAGGAGGATACCAGAAGGCGCACTCCATTCACCAGTTTCAGGTATGCGAGCCATCAAGACACCACTGCCCCCAGCACCGCTCAACCAGAGGCCGGTTCGCATAGTCGTGAAAATAGCAATGCCCTTGGCTCGTTTGATGACTTCCGAAGGAATCTTCACCAGGACACGTTGTTTGCCGACAGGACGATCTATCTTCTGCTTCGTATTGGCGGCATTGGCGGCATTCTCGGCTTCCTGCTCTTTTGCAGCCTCGGCCTCGGCATCGATTTTATCGTAGAAGCCATCCTTGCAGAAGCTTCTCAGAATGCGTGCTGCTTTTTCGCTTTCTTTGTCCAGTGTGGTTGGCCAGAATGCTTCTGCACCTACTCGGTTTGATAAACGGTTGACAGGAGCCCCGAGCTTGTCCAAAGCTTGCCACGCCTTGTCGAACCCTTTTTTCCCAAACCCGAGCCCCTTCTTCGAGTAGTCTTTCCACGAGTTCCGAGACATCGCGAACGGTCGCTATCAAGCTCGTCCTCGAATGTCGCAGAGCGACCAGGATGCTCGTCCCAACCTTGGGAACGGAAAACAGACTAATATGCTCACTACTTCGGGAGGAAAAGGAAACCAAGATGCAGCCTGAAGGCAGTTGTAGTTGCCTTGCTACCGGACACAGGACACAGGTGGTGTCCAACAGAGATGGCGGGGGAATGCAGCCTTGAGGAATGCGCCACCCGAGTCAGTCAAAAACCCATTGGTCAATCGCTCGCAGAGTGGGAATGATCCGGATAGTCTGACAATGGAACAATGATGACTTACACCACCGCGTGTATTTATTCTCGCCCAATATGAACAGCGATAAACCCCGTGGTGATACCAGTGGTGCTAGCGATATCTCTGCGCAATTGGTGCAAGCGATCTCTGGAGCGGGGTTGCAATATGACGTACTAACAAAGCACTAGACTAGATGAAATATCAATGTACTTCTGTGGCGAGAGAATGGTGGTGAACTGAATGCAAGAATCGAGTATGCGATGCAAGCAACAAAGAGAACAGGGTATGCAATACAATAGTTAGCGATCGGCCGGGCTACAGGTACGGGATTGCTTGTTTATAGGGAAAGGCTCAGCCTAAAAAACAGAACAGCGCAGTATATCCGCCCGGCTGACCCGGAATGAAGACGAGACGAGGCTGCGGACGAGAGCTCGACTATGGCCGCGTGGCGCAGATCGCGCGAGATGATTAATCCGGCAGTCGATGTCGACGATGTCATTGTTCCCTCTGACGTTGGGGTGGAGCCTGGATTGTCGTCCGGGCCGAACATCCTAGTATGATCGATCAACTATCAACTATTCAATACTAAAAATGTGTTGGACAGTGTTGCACTATTATTCAGGTGCTTACTGCAAGAGTGCAAGCCAACATTTTGAACCTGTACGGAATCCTGCCGGACATATCCAAACAACAGTGCGTTAGATGTGATTTATCACGCAGCTAGAGTGCATACCAGGCACCGAGGCCGTGTGACATGTGTACTCTACATATGAATAGCACAGTTCCTGGTGTGTATTTAGAAATCAACTACGCTGTGATTGTGATGATGATTCCTTATATTCCAGACTCTATCAAAATTCAGTAATCGTTAAGAGCGTACTCTTTGATCGACAATATACAATGCGTTTTCGTAAATAATAAAGACAGTATTTCGCACCATCTATGAGTTGGTCTCTCACAGAGCGCCGAGTTCCTTGAGCTTCGAAATGAGTCCATCAACATCCTCGACCTTACCACCACCTTGTCTCGCTGGGGGTTCTATCAAGCCAATTAGCACCAATCTCACAACCACCAAGTAGCCAGACCAGTTGATCGTCACTTACCAGTAACCTTGACAGTCTTGAGTCGTCGCTTGTCCTCCACGCCAAAGTCGGCCAATGTCTTCTTCTCCAAAGGCTTCTTCTTTGCCTTCATGATGTTTGGTAGACTGGCATAGCGAGGCTCGTTGAGTCGCAGATCAGTCGTGATGATTATGGGCAGCTTCGCCTTTAGGGTTTCCACACCACCATCGACTTCCCGCGTCACCTCGACCGTGCCATCTGCGTCCTTGATGTCCACTTTGCTGGCCTGGGTCGCCTGCGACCAACCCAACAATCCTGCCAGCATCTGTCCTGTCTGTCCTTGATCGCCATCAATGGCTTGCTTCCCGAGAAACACCATATTGATATTTTCCTTCTGCACAACGCTCTGGAGCAGCTTTGCGATCGTCAATGGCTCCGGTCCACCGTCCGCTGACTCGGGGACATCGACATGTAACGCCTTGTCAGCGCCCATGGCCATGGCTGTCCGAAGCGTATCGGCGCATTTGGCACCGCCGGCCGACAGCGCGAGGATATTCTCGACTTTCAGAGGACCTTTGCGCTCACGCAGGCGGACGGCTTCTTCGACACTGAGCTCGTCGAATGGGTTCAGCGAATGCTTGACGCCAGCGGTTTCCACCCCGGTTTGTGTCTTGTTGATTCGCGGTTTGATCTGTAATAAGTTGAAAGGAACAATGTTAGAGATTATCGATTGTAGACTGCTTCATCGCCTATGACAAGACGAGAGAGAGTAGCATCTCAGATTATATCGTGTGGAAAGGACGTACCGCGTAGTCAATGACCCGCTTGACGGGGACCAGGATTCTCAAGCCACTCGCCATTGCTGCAGTGTGTTGTTCTTCTGCAATGACAGATCAATGGCGTCGTGATCGGCTGGTGGCTAATGATTTGAAGGTGGTGATGCTCCAAGGTTGAAGGTACAAGCGTGGGCCGGTTCTCGGCATTCATGTAAGCGGGCGGTCGACTCGGCGGGCTCACTGCAGCACATCTTTTCTGATCATTATTACCGAGGCGCCGAAGCTACCCGCAGAGAATTTACAATTGCACGTACAACATTCCAGTAGTCTTTCAACGGATTATTGGGATGCTATCTATTACTCTCCGTAGGAAATTATATATTAGGCAATGCTGTTTCATGCTGGCTTCATATTTGTTAATGCGTTGTCTAGTGAAGTACTGCCCCGACATTCTCAAATGGCACGCGCCAATAGCCATGTACTAAAGAACAATAAGGAACAGAAAGTTGGACAAAAATCTCTCTATAGGTTATTTAGTGGCTATGATTGAGAGATCTGTCCAGTGTTTCTTATTCGTGTTCCAGGCCAATTGATGCCTGAAGACATTATATGTCTGTTGGTCATAACTTCTGAGACAGTCAACGCGGGCCTCACCGCTTCCACAATTGATACCATTAACCAAAAAGTAGGCATCTTCACGCATAGTATATTGTCTACTAGAAGGTCTAAATACCATTTAAGCGTCGAATGGGATATAAATTCAACGTGCGTCAAATCCCAGCATAGGCATGTCCTCATGCTTTCAATACAACAACATGCGGGCACCGACCAACTACGTCATTACATAAAAAAGCCGAATAGAAAAGCGACCAGGATAATTATATACCAGGCCATATTATCAATGTTAAATAATTTTTTACATAGCTGCCATACTCCTGATCCTCCCTATCGAGGATCATTGGAGTCGCGTGCCTACTGTGTCGAAGCTTCGAGAACGTTCCACGCCTTTGTAGTCTGAGCCTTCTACACGTCATACCCACACCAACCACCGCCTCTTCCACAATCTAACTACTTATACTGATAGTCTTTTAACGTGTGCTCTCGTCCAGACTCAACTCCCTTTATAAACCCAATTCTTAGACCCGTGCATATCCTATCGGCGCCAATCAGAGTCGAGGAATCTTCTACTTCTTTCGAGTGGTTTACTGTGGGGTTAGTCCCCTCAACGTCACGCCCTTACTTGCTCAAGTGACATCGACTCCCCTCAGTATATATTATCCGCCCCAGCATTGTGCCTCTCGCCCACCTCGTACTAAATTTCCCTCCTGCCGACAGCCAACATGGTTGCCGAATCAAAGCTATACGATGCATTGAGCATCAAGCCTGATGCCTCGCAAGATGAGATCAAAAAGGCATACAGGAAGGCTGCTTTGAAGCATCACCCCGACAAGAACAAAGACAATCCTAAAGCTGCCGATAAATTCAAAGGTACGTATTCTACTCGTATTGATACCATATATTCTGCTCCTATTTAATAATATGCCCATACTAATCAGCTTCTTCCAGAGGTTTCTCAGGCATATGAGGTCCTTTCGGACCCTGAAAAAAGAAAGATATACGATCAATTCGGCTTGGACTATCTGATGCGTGGTGGTCCGGCACCTTCTGCTGGTCCCGGAGGAGCTGGCGGTCCCTCAGGCTTCGAAACTGGCGGTATGCCTGGAGGATTCAACTTTACCAACATGGGCGGAGCACCCGGTGGTGGTACCCGTACTTTCCACTTCTCTGGCCCAGGAGGTGCCAGTGGATTTCGCTTCAGCAATGCCGACGACATATTCAAGAACTTCGCCAAAACCGGAGGTGGTGGAATGGGTACGGGCGACGATGAAGATGACATTTTTGCTAATATACTGGGCGGTGGGCTCGGAGGCAGTCCAAGGTTCAGGACATCCGGGCCCGGTGCGAACTTCACCCAGCGCCGTGCACCTACCCCCGAACCTCGGGTAGAGGAGAAGCCTCTTTTGCTTTCTCTAGAAGAGATCTTCAACGGTACGACAAAGAAGGTCACAGTTAAAAGCAAGACATTTGATTCCAGTGGAAAGCGAAAAGTCCATGACGTCACTCTCGAGGCTACTATTAAGCCTGGTTTGAGGTCTGGTTCCAAGATCAAATACAAAGGCGTTGGCGATCAGGAAGAAGGTGGTCGACAAGACGTACATTTAATTGTTACAGAGGTAAGTGATTGTCTTCAAAACTTGGAGAATATATAGGCTAACAATGAACTAGAAAGAACATCCTGTATTCAAACGCAGCGGCGACCACCTCATCGCAACGGTCGATCTCAGCCTGAAAGAGGCGCTCACGGGCTGGGAGCGAATTGTAAAAACGATCGATGGCAAGTCAATTCGTGTCGCTAAGCCGGGACCTACTCCGTCTGGGTACGAAGAGCGTTTCCCTGGGTTGGGTATGCCAATTTCGAAGAATCCAAGCGAACGAGGGGATATGATCGTAAAGGTCAACGTCAAGTTCCCAACAAGTTTGACAGCCAGCCAAAAAGATATTTTGAAAGATGTTTTACCCTGAAGCTCAATGATGTGATGATTTGATGATTATAACTACTTGGTACTAATTATTTGCATAAAATGGCGTTTGGACGGTGTGTATTGAGCGGTTTCTTCTTGGTGGATCAGTTTCTGCTTTTCTTATTTTCCAAATATTATTATGCTAAATGCCAAATAAATGAGATTTGGATGGTTTATTTTTCTGATATGGTTGACTGTTCTAAAAAAGGACTAATTATCAATAGTAGGAGATATCAATGGAGCGGTTCTTTTCGCAGACAACGAAGCTGTAGCGAGACATTCAATAGAAAAATTTCAAATTCAAATGCTAGGTAAATTAACAACCGAACCTTTCCAATGTAAGAACATTGAATTAGTCAGTTGACGTACTCGTCGATCGGGTGATAACTGCTAATTAAAACTTCGTTGGCGATTTTGAGAGGCTTTTACTACGATAAGCTAATTTATATTATACAAATTAGATCTAATTATTAGATGCATTGAAATAATACATATTTCTAGGCGATTTTAAACAAGAGATATATTAAGACACACTAATAATCCTTGTGAGGAGTTCATCTAATATGGTTTCTTAGAGATAACCCATATATGACCATATATCGTTTATATTTTGATTTCTACTTACAAGCGAGGGACGGCGGGGCAGTTGGGAGCGCGTCAGACTGAGGTAAACAAACTTAGGCAAATCATCTAAAGGTCACCGGCTCATCGTCATAAACCTACATCTAGCTTAGTTGTAGCTAGGTTTATTGAGATGTATACTTTGTTGCTTAAAGTGCGTGCTTTATGTCCTAGCGAATCATAGCAGAGCCTTGCACTAATGCTAGACCCACAGACATGGAGATACATCGGGGATGTCGCAACAGATAAGCAAGTTCACCGCAAGACAGCATTCTTTCTTACATTGAAAGATATACCGTAAGCTCTTATACAATGAAGCGCAGAATCACATACATCACCGCCTCTGACGCCCCATTTGACCCCCCTAAACAAGCTATCCTGAGCAAGGAAAGCTTGTCAATACGGAATCTCGATGCCGCGAAGGAAGAGCGATTCACCTTTGGATCAGCAGAGTTGCCAGCTGGGGTATGTGTGCATATACTGGAAGCTTCCATTATTTAAGAAAAATACTGATGAATGGGTTCTCTATCAATAAAATAGTTATCGCAGCTTTTGGAAACGACGCATGAGTTCCATATTCGATGGGCGACGGAGCGATATTACGATACAGTTGCGCCTTTCCTAAGCAGAGTGTCGCCGGGTCTGCACGTGTATTACACATCACTAGACGGTGATAAAGTGGAGGATGACTCGCAGTGCGTCTATATAAATCGATACCATCGCGAGGTCTCGCGCTCATTCTATGAATACCTTGCAGGAACAGGTTGTGTCCATTGCTGAAGGATTTATTTGGACAAGATATCAAGTGCTGGTCCCTTCAGGTATCTGAGCCCTAGTCACATATACTGACGGTTTCATTGACAAATTTCGCTCCAGGAATCGTTCACCCAACCCCCTATCTTATCAACGAGATTTTCGTCGGCGGCTTCACTTCAATATCATACCACCCTTCCTTCAATAAGACATTTCACCGAAAAAATACAACATCAAATATGCAGTTCGAAAGACACTGCATGTATCGATAGCATTTCAGAATTGATCTCCGCGGATTCTGTGGACATTGACTATGACGCGATATCACACACCTTGGTTATCTCGGCTTTTTGGTCTCAGCCACCACCTGGCGAGAGCGGGTGGGCAGATCTTATAACAAAGTCCGCCAATTCGGCATCGCAGAAAATAGAGATTGGCTTGTTAACGAGTGAAAAAGCCGTCGACGCAGAGGACCTTACACTTGGAGGATATCTCGCTGTGGTGGGAGAGAACAAGGAACTCAGTATGCTATATTCATGGGTATCAGATCTTTAGCTAACATAGAAAACAAGAACCAACCTTATTTTCATTCCCATCTCGACATCACCCCCTTCCAGACGATGCAACCTACACTACGAAATTCGAGACACCTACAGGCCTACATCCGACCTTGAAGATCTCGCTATCCCCATCAGCAGTGGTACGACCATCGGCACCTGAGGACGCCATGTGCGCACTACACACCTACTTAACACTCCCGTCTTTTATTTTCGCCGATAAATATCAATTGTCTACAACAGACGAGCTTTTCCTTAATTCTCACAATCTCGTTGCGTTGAGGGCGATATCTGGTGAAACCGACCTCGAAGCGCCTGACTGGGTTCTTCCTCAGTGGGGCTCTAATCTACTTCTTGAACTTGCTCACCCTACAGATACAAGTCACAGCTGGGATGTCACTATTCCATTGCATCTCCGATATCTGAAGCCATCCCAAAGCGGGTTTCAATCAGCTCCTCTCTCATGGCCTGTCGTGTTTTGGGCCTGCACGGCCGAAGACGGGACGAAGATGGGAATCAACCCCTTTGACCGGGTAAATTTAGGCTACGAGGGACTATTTGGCCCGAAGACGATGTTCTTCCAACTTCATCCCGGACATTACAACAACTCCGACTCGCGGCGTGAGAGACGGCTTGTGGAGGAGATTTCGGTACCAGTGCTGCAGACGGCTGAGGGTGACATGCTAGTGCGTGGAAAGACAGCTCGCCAGCTCGAGCTGGGCACGCTCATTGCCATTGTCTTGGGGTTTGTCTGGGTGCTGTGGAAGCTAGGTTCTGTCGTCAAGTCCTCTGCTTTCGACAGCGCAGGGCCACGTGACGCTCCAAAGAAGAAGCGTACATAGCGTGTCGTGATAGAGTTGTATAATGTCCACCGCCTTTCTGCTCTGAGACTAGAAATGGCCAGAAATAGCCAGCCAGGTAGTAACAAGTTCACAGCAAGTGCAGTACTGGAATTTGATAACAGTAAAAGGGTTGACTGTTTGATACGGTGAGTCAGCAGCAATTCCCGAATCGGCAGCGCGCATGTGGGGACGCTAATCCCGCCGAGTAATCCGGCAGTCCTGATTGGCCCGATGCGTGCTGTGACGCCAGAGAGCGGTGAGCTGCTTATCTGCCTGGGTCCGTTGCCGGCCACGAAAAAATTCGAACCTGCCGCCTCGCCTTTCCCCTTCTCCCCTCCGTCTCCGCCCTGTGTCACGTACCAACAACACTCATACACACTCTCCCTGCTCAAGTCCAATTGCTCCATCTTTGCAATATTCATCCTGAAATCACCCCCATACCATTTCTCCATATCTGCCAGACACTGGTCAGCTCATAGCAACCGCGCTTATGCGTGTATTCGCGTCCATTTTCACTTCTCAGGTAAGCTACTTCCGGCATCGCCTCAATGACGCACCCGCTAACTGCTTGATGCTATGTAGGACTACATTTCGGGTATGCCTGTCATCTGAATTACATTTGCGATAATGTGTTTTATTTGTCGCGTGCATTGAGACTAATTTCATGGTTTAGATCACCTCTGGAAAGCTCGCATCAATTAATTTGAGCCGTCGGGCCGCTGATTCATTCATTCTTTTCTCTCATCATGTACGCTCGACTTTTCCAGAAGACCGCTGCCCGGGCTACTCCCGTGGCTGCTGTCAAGGCGCCCTTTGCTCAGAGCCGCTTCTTGGCCACTGTGAACTCCAAACTCGCCTCCCCCGGCCCTTTGAGCCTGCCACCTTCACGATCCGAAATGGCCCTGTATTCCACGGCAAGTCCTTCGGAGCCAACACCAACATCTCTGGTGAAGCCGTGTTCACTACCTCTCTGGTTGGATATCCCGAATCCTTGACCGATCCTTCTTACCGAGGCCAGATCCTCGTATTCACACAACCTTTGATTGGCAACTACGGTGTGCCTTCAGATGCACGTGACCCGAATGGACTGTTGAAATATTTCGAGTCCCCTAATCTACAAGCTGCCGGTGTTGTTGTCGCTGATGTTGCCGAGCAGTACAGTCACTGGACTGCTGTGGAAAGTTTGGGGGAATGGTGCGCCCGGGAGGGCGTGCCAGCTATCTCGGGTGTGGACACCCGTGCCATTGTGACCTTCCTTCGTGAGCAGGGTTCGTCGTTGGCTCGTATCACTGTCGGTGAAGAGTATGATGCCGACGAGGACGAAGCCTTCACCGATCCTGAGCAGATCAATCTCGTTCGTCAGGTTAGCACCAAGTCTCCATTCCACGTTAGTGCCGCCAATCCTGAATGCCATGTTGCTCTGATCGACTGCGGTGTCAAGGAAAACATTCTTCGTAGCCTCGTCGGACGCGGCGCCAGTGTCACTGTTTTCCCCTTTGACTACCCCATCCACAAGGTTGCTCACCACTTCGATGGCATTTTTATCTCCAATGGCCCTGGTGACCCAACCCACTGCCAGGACACTGTCTACCACTTGCGTAAGCTCATGGAGACGTCCCAGGTTCCCATCATGGGCATCTGCTTGGGTCACCAGCTCCTTGCCCTTGCTACTGGAGCTCGTACCATCAAGCTCAAATACGGTAACCGGGCTCACAACATCCCGGCGCTGGACCTTACCACTGGTCGCTGCCATATCACTAGCCAGAATCACGGCTATGCTGTTGATGCCACCACATTACCTAGTGACTGGAAACCCTACTTCGTGAACCTCAACGACTCTAGCAATGAAGGCGAGTTAAACAACTACTTCCCACCGACTTCTATATACTAATATATCAATCTCCAGGTATGATCCACAAATCCCGGCCCATTTTCAGCACCCAATTCCACCCTGAAGCCAAGGGCGGCCCTCTTGATTCTTCCTACCTTTTCGATATCTATCTCGACAGCGTGGCCAAATACAAGAAGAACCAAGCTGAGTTCCACCCGGCACGCGAGAGCCGCCCTAGCCCGCTGCTGGTCGACCTGTTGCCCAAGGAGCGTGTCGGTGTCGCCCCTACTACCGGTATCCTTAATGCCACCTCCAACGCCGCCGCCGTCGCAGCCGCTCCTTCTGCTGCTGCCGCCGCCTAGATGAGTGGTTATGGGATGGGTTTTAGTTTGATGGAGCCTGGTTTCATGGATTTTCTTTCTAGTAGCGTTATGTCTTTATTATGTCACTTTGTTTTTTGGCTCCTAAATTGTGAATAGGATTAGTGATTTCGAGCAATGCATTGAATTTATTCTTTTCATCATTCATCTAGCCCTCTAGAACAACCTAATCTAGATAACGATATATCAAGTAGTCCATAGCACTACGTTTATAAGATCAAATATACTCAGTAATAAAATAAAGTACAGGAGGACGCCAAAAGTTTGAATATAGCACCACAAGAATATACGAGGTATAGGAGTATATAGGAGGCCTCGCAATATCAATACAATATATTTTTTTGCATTTCTACGGGCGACCCCTCGAGAAGTCTATATTTAATCTGCCATAAACTGGTGTAAATACAGATGACAGGCAGATAATCTTAATACTATATTCAACCTTTGGTCATATTAGTGTGGTGTAGAATGATGCTAATATTTAGCGATGAAGTTCCAACTTTCATTGAGGAACTGTCAACTAATGACATGGTATTATGAGGTATTGATCCAGGGTATGAACAAAGAACGCCTATCCCTGTGGACTTTAGAAGAGTTTAGCGCCGCCAATAATTTTTAAGCAGAAAGAAGAAAAGAAAAGAAAAGAAAAAGTCATGATGAATATCTTCCCGCTATGCCTTTTCCGTAATGTACAGTTGCGATAAATAGATAGTGGTATGATACAAGAATAGAACAAGATGAGTTGGGTTCGTGACGTCGTGGAATGTGAAAATGATCGGAGTTAAAATGGCATGATTGACGGTCTAATCGTCCGAAACTCGTCCAGTTAGAGACTCTAGCGAGACGGGTTCGGGGAGGCCTGATGAATGATCTTCGGTGGGAGTTGAGTTTGAAATCAATGTAAAGGCTTCGGCAGGACTCTCGGTTGTGCTGGTCTGAAATCGAAATCCCGAGATCATGTTCGGGGGAATGGGCGGTGGTCCTGCATTGCTGGGACGGGTGTTGAAAGTAGGCGTATGACTGATAGCCTGTCCGGCGGTGTCGAAAGCAGCTGTCAAGCCATCAGCTGGTATATAAAAGCCTGATTGTGGATGATGTTGCGGTGGTAGAAGTGCAGAGTGATGCGGCACATTATTCGCTGCATTGACTGGCAGATAATACCGAATTTTCCTCTCATAAGCTACGGGATCGGACTGCCTGAGCAGCTCCAGTTCTAGTTCTTCTTGGATTTCTTTCTGTTCATCTTCTGTGAGTTTCTCGTTATCCTCCCTACAGAACGTTTCGGTGAGCGCAATATTCAGGATGCGAGAAGACTGATCACTTAGAAGAATCTTGTCTAGAACGTCAGGATCTTTTCCGATGTATTCAGAGACGTCCTCATTGCCAACATCTTTCACAAGGAAAAGGTAATCTCCCAGAGACTTTGAAGCAGAACGCTCAACGTTTTTCTTGTCGACTACGCGCATAGCCAATTGAGTTTTGAAGATTGACTTGTTGTGTATGATCTCTTCAAACGTTCCACCGGCCAGAAAGCGGTATATGTAGACTGGTTTATGTTGACCGAGACGGTACGCTCGACCAACTGCCTGCTCCTCCCATGTAGGATTGAAGCCAAAATCAAAGATAATCACACGGTTCGCGCCGGTAATATTTAACCCAAGCCCCCCAGCACGCGTTGATATGAGGTAAATTTTGATGTTTGGATCGCGATTGAACGCTTTGATGGCTGCCTGGCGACTATTCCCTGCAGTGGACCCATCCAGTCGACTGAATTTAGTTTTTGACAAGCGAAGGAGTTTGTCGAGATAGTCCAGAGTGGGAATGCTTTGTGAAAAACAAAGAATCTTGTCTCCCACGCGAACGGACTCTTCAACGATTTTAATGAAAATCTCGGCTCGATGAGAATATTTTGGATCCTCGAGGTCGGTATACACCGAAAGCAACTTTTTATGATGATTCCACATTGCATCATTGAATCCAAGAGAACTCAGCGATACATCCACTGGGGACAATTCTTGGTCGACATCAGATAGGTTCTTTGACTGCGGCTCTTCGGCTCGCTTCTGGAGCTTGTCGTAGAAGCAGATAGGATGGTTGCAGCATAGGCCTAAAATGGCCAGCCATGAAAGAATGTTGATACTCGTAGCCTTGATACCTGAGTTCCCTGACAAAAGATCGGTCGCATATCGATTGTAAGCCTCTTTTTGAACTTGCGTCAGAGGAATAGTGATAACGAATTCGATTTTTTTTGGAAGACTTCTCTCCAGGACTGAGATATCTGCCCGACTGACTTTAGGGGTCAATATCTCCTTTAACACTTGTAATTTTTTGAGTGATCTCCGCTGCTCATAATAGCTGCTGTCGAAAAATAGCCCTTGTTCGATTGGCTCCACGTATTTCGCGCGAAACACACGAACGTCATCCAGATACTTGGGTGATATCCAGTTTACCATCGCGTAGTAGTCCATTAGGTTGTTAGCCAGAGGAGAGCCTGTAAGGGCAATACGACTTTTTGATTCTATCAAAGCCGCAGACTGGGCAAGTAAGGAGCTGCTATTCTTCATTTGATGAGCTTCGTCTGCAACAACAATTCGAGGTCCCTTCAACAGCTGATCTCTAATTCTGACGTGCTCCGATACCGTATTTTGGCCAACCCACGTACGGAAAAGATGGTAGCTCAAGATCAGAATACCTCCATTCGAATTCCAGGAGTCGACAATAGAGACCCTATCCTCAGGGTAATCGGCTGAGGAAACTTTTTGTATGGGGCCTAAACCATGTTCCTTTGGCGTCCACATTAAGAATTCTTCGTACCAATTCTCGATTAAGGAGGGAGGGCATAATATTAATGTCTGAGAACGACGAAAAGACTCAGGCACTTGATTTCGAATTGAAGGGTCTGGCGAGTGTGCGGCGGCAGCAATTGTAACCAATAACGATATTCTGCCAAAATATTTAGTTTGGTTCACCCGCCAAAGCATGAAGAGTCGTAACTTACACTTGCATAGTCTTACCCAAGCCCATGGTATGTGCCAAAAGACAGCCATCATGTTTTTCGTTCTGTACCAACTCTCGCCACATAAACTGAATTCCCGAGAGTTGGTGTGGCTTCACGCGTCGACCAATGTGAGGATGAAGGAAGATGGTGGGCTGTTCGAAGCTTATAGGATGGTGCTCTGGATCATCGTTACTGACGCCTGTAAGTTCCAACCGCTGTTCGAGGATTTTTCGTTGCTGCTCTTGCACCTCAACTCGCTGCTTGGCTGCAGCCTGCCCGCTCTTCACAGCTTGATCTTCTTTCACAAGCCTTTTTCTCTTTTTAGGGGTCACCCGAGAACGAGAAGGGAAAGGGTGCGATTCATCATCGTTATCGGATCTCCCTGAATCATCGGTATAGGAAGACGCCCCCGAGCTGGGATTGAGAAGTGTGCTCCCATGTGAATGTATATCGTAGTGGCGGAGGATCTCTAAAAGCTGCGACTTAAATGTTTCAAAGCTTATTTCTGCGGTGGGGTTGTTCTCGTCTATATTGATGGAAGCATCCCTAACGAGTTTCTTTGGAATACCTGATCCCCACAAACGCTGACAAGCTATCCATCCAATGTATAGTGTCGTAGCTCGCATGACCAAATCACTTTCAAGATCATTCAGAGAACGAATCTTTGACGTGCTCTTGCCAATTTCATCGAGACCTTCCTTGATGAGCCTCTTGAATCGCACAGAGGAATAACTAGTAAATGCCTCAAGCATTTTGGAACGAGTAAGCTCAGGAAGTAGTCTTATCAATAACCTCAAGAGCTTTTTTCGATCGTGCAAATTTGGGATTGAAGGCCGAGATTCCAATTTCGAAACACCTAGCTCCTTTGATATTGGCTGAAAATGTTTCCGATTTTCATCACGATTGTCTTTGGAACCTAACTCAAGCCTCCGTGACGGACTAGACCTTAAAATAGATCCAGGTGGTGCATTATCTCGAGACATCCCCTCTAGTGGTGAGGGAACTGCTGACAGAGGACTTCCAGTCAAATCGATGATTTCGACGTCTTCGAAATTCACAGCAGGTGGTGGTGGTGTGCTCCTGTCAGTTTCATCATCAGAAGAATAGTAGAAACCGCAGCGAGTCTGGTTATTCGCGAGATCAGAAGCATGGTTGCTGTTGTCGGCAGGACTGCTGGCGTTTTCATGAGTAGAAATACCCATAGCTTTCGAAGATACAGATGCACGTCTAGAATCTGTAATACTCTGGAAATCAATAGTAGGTTGGGGACTTGGTTTAGGCACGTTAGGGGATACATCATGGCCCCCTTCACTCTGTGCATCAATCTCCATGTCGATAACAATAAAATCATTGAGAGATTCGTCGTCGGAGCTGGAGTCAAGTGATTCTTCATCGGGTTGAGCTCTGGCCACTTTCTTTTTTAACTTCGCAGCTGAAGATTTGGCCGGAGGTTTCGGCGGGCATTGGGATGATTCCAAGACAGACATACGCCACTTTTGAGCTTCAATACCGTAAATTGTCTGCTCCATACTTTGGCACTGGTGTGTGAGGTGTGACGGATCGGCCCAATCATGACCATGAAGTTCATCCTTGATCTTTTGCAGTCGTGATTTCAAGCGGTTGATATCATCTAGTATAGCTTTAATACAGGAATTTCGGCATTTGTTTTGGAAGGCGTCAAGCCACAGGTTATGTACTTCAAGTGCAAGCTTTGGTTTGTGCTTGGCTTTCCATTTTTCCAGATAGCTTTTTATGCACTGTTCAATGACCATGTCTACTTTCTCGGATGATAAGAATTTGGGCTCCGACTGTGCCTGTATCGCTAATTCCTCTTGTTCTATATTCATCTCATCCCAAGTCTCTGAATCGTATTCACCTTCTGAGCCCGAGTCTCCAAATACGGGGAATGTAATTTCGTCATCTTTGGCTGGATATTTCTGGAGAAGATAGTCGAAGTTATCCACCTTTCTATCAGGTGGGCTAATGTCAATCGTGTCTTGTACGAGGTCGTCATATTTAGCTGTAGACTCCATAGTGACAGTGACCTTCCCTCCACATGAGGTGTACAAAGTGAAGAAACGAGGTTTCTCAGAGTAGAGGCCATTACTATCGCAAGGAAACACTGCTGTTCGACGAGAACTCCCTTGGGCACTCAGCTTCACTGCTGGCTGTCGATAAAAGCGTAGAAGCTTCCGTTTAACAAATAGGCGTTGACCTGTTGAAAATTTAGAAGCCAACACATTCAAATTATCATCCTTCGAATCAGCTTGAATAGGATAGAAAATATCAGCTGGGTCAAATTTTTTAGGCCCAATATACCAAGTATGAGGATCCTGCTGTTGAATCTCAACGGGAGATTCTATTGAGGGTTGCTGTTCCTTTGGGGCAATATCAAGACGTCTCCGTTTTCGGCCATCTTCGTCAATATGGATGTGTTCATAGTGTCGAATACGGGGCGAAGATTTAGGAGTGATTTCTTGACGATCTGCATTGTTCATAGTAGCTGAAGGCTCAGCTGATGATCTAGTCTCAATCAAATTGGTTGGTCTAGGTGACGGTGAGGCTTGAATAGTCTGTAACCCGGCAAGTAGCTGTTCGTTTGCTTGTCGGTCTCCAGTGGATGCAAGGTGAAAGCTGTTGACCAAAGACCCCGAGTGAGAGACATCCCGATGAGGTGTGACAAAATTAGAAATTGAGCCAGCGTTAAAAATGAGAGGCGGGGGTATATTATTGGCGATCATAGGCGTTATTGCTGCAGCATAATATTGACGCTCTTGGCTTATATGGGCTAAGTATTTAGCAGAATTCCGTCTTGCATGTTGTATTGCTCTATCGACACTGTAGAAAGGACCCTCTTTCAGTTTCAAGGTGTTTCTGAAGAAATTTTCAAGATGTCCATTGAGCAACACTTCCCCGGTGATACCATGTTCCCGAAGCGCTGCCTCAAATAACGTCGAATCTGGCAAAGAGCTGGGATTTCTTGATACAGTCCATGGCCTCAAGTTGTTATCGCACAGGTATTGCACAACCTGGTCCACGGACCAGTCAAACGGGTCATCCTGACTGTCCTGACCGTGGTCCATCGCAGTCGAGAAAGAAGAGTTTAATAGAGAACAAGCCATCCATTAGAAGTGATGCCAACTACTAGACATGACATGACTTTCCTCGTTGAGTTTGAGGACGAGGCCGTTTTCTTGAGAGTAGGCGGGGTGCATCATCATCTACCGGGTTAAAGGCGGCGTTTGCAGTGAAGTAAAAATTCGAGTATTGCAAACGCAGAATTACACGTGTTTAACGCAGTACGCCCAGGCAAAACATCCAACTCACTTGTACCAGCAAAAGTAAGCCTTCCCTCTTCTGCGAACATGTGAAACGATGTTTGGCGACGTTTGATAATAATTCTGGAATCAGACGTGTTTCGCGTTTCATTTTTTAGTCGTGTTTATTCTGCCGGTAAAATAAAAGCGGTGACAAGGTGGGCAGTTGCGAAGACGATTCGGAAGGCGGGAACCCCGCAGCAGAAATGGCGTCTTAGGCCAGGCAAATTATTAGTAATATTCTGGGAGGGAGTATTTGATAGTCGTGAACTCCGTGTATGCAAGAGTCCACCATCAACCAAGTCAGTTCGCCATCATGGAGGGGGCGGAGTCGATATACGCCACTTATCCTCCTCGGTTGACTGCAGCACAAGAGCAGTTTCTTGCTTCGACAATCAAGAATTGGACCATCCAGAACGGGCTCACAGTCAGGCCGCCGACGACATTTGTTTCCCAGGAAGCTGTTTCAAAAGGCGTTCTCGCAACGAATGCGCCGGTCACGTTGTTCCCTAGTCCGTTCCCCAAGACGTCCTTTGATGAAGCTAGAGCAGTACAGAAGACGTACAACAAGCTTTACGCGGATATCTCAAGAGACGAGAATTGGCTGGGTGAAATAATCCAAGAGTGAGGATCCCCTAGTAGTTCATGAAAGATATTGGTTTGAGATCGAGGTCGAAGGCCAAAGACCGGTTCGTCTGTGGCAAGCAGTAGTTGACGTGTCGTAGGCTTATCGATGTTGACGACTTCATTTCGGGTCTGTGGAAGGTTCATGATGCTGTTAAGAAGCAGGGTTATGTTCAATCCCTATCGCTAGGTCTTTTTCGGTCTGACTATATGATACATACTTCTTCTGGATCACAGAATCCGTCCCTGAAGCAGGTAGAATTCAACACTATCTCATCTTCTTTCGGTGGCTTGTCTTCTCGTGTTTCGGCCTTGCACTCAGAGTTACTGTCATTCCCCTCTGGTCACCAGATAAGCTATCCTCCACATCCATTGTTTGATGGAAGGGTTCCTCCTGAGAATGCCGCTGTTGAAACTCTGAGTGCCGGGCTGGCAGCGGCGCACGGCGCTTATGGATCTTCGAAATCCTCACCGTCACTTCCTTTGTGCATTCTGTTTGTTGTTCAGGAAGGGGAGCGAAATATATTTGACCAACTAGCTCTCTCGACAAGAATTTCCAATTTCCATAATATTCCTGTGTTCCGACTGAACACCACCGAAATCTTAGATCTGACGTCCGTCACGGACTCGAATTCTTCTCGACCTTTAATATATACTCCACCTCACGCTCCGAATACACCGTTCGAAGTGACAACAGTCTATTTAAGGAGCTTCTACGCCCCAACAGACTACAAATCAGAGCGAGACTGGGCAGCAAGACTGCACCTGGAGCGTTCCGCAGCCATCAAATGTCCTTCAGTGCTTAACCAACTCTCTGGCTGCAAAAAGATCCAGCAGGTTCTTGCCGATCCAAATCGACAAGACCACCTTTCCAGATTCCTTCCTCAAGGTGACTCAGACACCGCCGAGAGACTTCGTCGAACCTTTGCTCCACAATACGACCTCGCTGCCAATGGACGTGGCAGAGAACTCGCGCTCAACCCCGAAACAGCAGCATTCCACGTCCTCAAGCCTCAGAGAGAAGGGGGAGGGAATAACATTTACAAGACCGCCATTCCGGAATTCCTTCGATCGATACCTGAAAGCGACTGGAAGAGTTGGGTCTTGATGGAGTTGATCCAACCTCCAGAAGAAGCCAGGAATGTGGCTCTCCGCAGCGATGGGGAAGTTATCAGTGGACATGTCATTGGAGAACTAGGCATTTTCGGCACTATTTTGTGGTCTTCGAATGGAGAGATTCTTCATAATGAGGAAGGCGGATGGTTGATGCGGACAAAGGCGAAGGAAAGCGACGAGGGTGGTGTTGCAGCTGGTTTTTCGTCTCTTGATAGTATTATTCTTTATTAATATTCGCATTTGATTTGGTATAAATTAGACGACCGTGTTAGATGAAGAGAATCTATACAATCCATTTATTTGGCTCGATGATAGTAATCGCGCATCCAACGAAGCATCCAGATCCAGTGCTAGTGATTATTACGTGATATACGATTCTTCTTAATCTATCTCATTATTTTCCTCGTTTGAAATTTAGTCCTGTGCTCTGGGACACATGAGCCGCATTCCACAGAGCCACAACAGCTAGCGCCAACTTAAATTCAAATATTATTTCTGACATCACGGAGCATGCCACTAAGTTAAAACATTCAACACCTCTGATAATTTGACAGTGAGATCAAGACAAGAAACTATACCATTAATACACAACACGATTAATACCCAGAATATTAAGGACGGTCTTGTACATCTACATCCTCGCCGTCTCCATTATCCCACATACCGAGCAAGACATCGCTATAACCAGCACGCAGCCAATCACGGTGCAAGCTTGCAAACCAAATCAGTCGAGCAGCATGGACATCGACCATCCCAAGCCATCTACAACACATCCGAAACAGCACATCGATATCGACAATGACAACGTCCCAGCCACAACACGCCGCATAACAGCACGGAATCCGCCATGGACATACCTCAAACTGCAACTGTAAATACTTCACTTCACCACACCACCCCACAACTTCCATGCCCAGGTCTAACCATAGCACAGAATCACCGAACCGATCACCCGCCGCGTCCACCTCGACGCGCTCACCGCTCGAACCCATCTGAGCGCCGCACTCGCCCAGTTCCTCGGGTTAATGGGGACGGCGGTGTCGATTGATATCCTCAAGATTGAGGATGAGAATGGCGTTTTGTGGATCCGGGTCCCGCGCGAGGATGGTGCGGCTGTTGTGGCTGCTGTGAGTTCGTGGGTAGGGTCGTCTACGACGTCGTCGGGTCGAGGCGGCGTGGGTGAGGAAGAAGAGTGGGAGGAAGGGGGTGCGGTGGCGTGGAGGGTGTTGGCGAAAGGAAATTTTTTGGGGGCGGTTGCGCATGGGTCTGGGGGGGATGTGTTTGAGCCGTAATAATTTTCTTTGCTGGTTTGAATAAGGATTTTTGTTGGTTGTTTGTTGGTTGTTTAAGGGCTGGGGTTAGGAGTCCGGGTAAGCATTGCCATGTTATATGTATATAGTTAAGCATTGAAGCGCGAGGTATGTTCATAAAGTGTTCAAGTTGGAATTTATTTCATATGCATGCTTTTAGTAAATAGTAAAGCAGAATAACACCAACCAGCTCTGATATGCAAATGAATGGACAATTTTAAAACGCCCGCGACACCTCGCGCTTATAAAACACAATTTCAACAACAATTCTGCGCCTATATCAAGCCTTCACAGTAGCTTCAGTGTAAATCACTGCCGAATCTGATTCTTCACTACCAGAGACCTTTTTCGTGCTTATCACTTTGTATTTCAAAGCCTCACGAATTTCAGCGACACTGCGCTGTTTCCACTTCTCATAACTGTCTTCGCTCAACGGGTACATCACGAGGTTATCGCTGCAACTCGTGATCTCGTCGATCTTGGCCGGTGGCGTGGCTGTGATAATATCGAGCTCGGCGGAGAGTTGCTTGCAGTATGAATCAAGCGGGAGATCGTTCACATCATCGCCAAAGGGGTTCTCGAGTTCGCGACCAATAGCGACGAAGCTGAGGATGATGTATGCGGCAACTAGCAGGGTCAGTTTTTGACAGAATCAATTTAGGGATCACAAACTCACCAACTGAACCTGGAATAGCCAAATAATTTAGCGGGTCCACCAACTGAAATGGGAGAACCAAAATGTAGATCCACGCGATCTGAGAAATTGCAATGCAGTATGCCTCTGGCAAAGGCGTGTCGCGAACTCTTTCAGATCCGGCCAAAACTTCGCTCAAGGAGTTTACGGCGGTAATAAGTTGTCCTTCATATGTGGCGGAGTAGAATAAACCTTGTACTGTACAATGATTAACATACGCGGAGAGATGGTTCAAGATCTCCATCGGGAGATGACCCAAAGGCTTTTTGGCCCGTTTGATCAGTTTTCGAGGGTTTGATTCGGCGAAGGAAACACCCATGTATTCACCTGCTGCTTTCCAGGGAGTTTTCTGCAGTGGCTTGACGAGGTCTGGGTCATGAGCATCCCGAGCAAACGTGTCCAAGTGACCGACCAATTTAAAGAGGTCCGCGTAGGCGATAGTGGGTTCGAAGCGGAGGTTATGCTTTAACGCAACTGCAAAAGCTTGAACAAGGTTGAGAGCGGTCCTATAAACCACCGTTAATTATCTTCGGATTGTAGATATGTCTATCAGCTTACAATTTCTTGAGAAGGTCATCTTTTCCAAGTTCCCCCTCCCTTTCACGGGTGTGCAGCCAGATAAGACGAGCAATATTCCTTGATGCCATGATCAGTTGGGTCCAGTATTTCCGACCATCATTGTATCTACTATGCTGTTAGTGATCCATATCGTATAGGGGATCGTACTTGCTGTACCGTTCGTAGGCAGTGGAGCTTCGAAATGAGAGTGCTAAACCGACGACGAAACCAAGGACTGTGAGGAGAATACTCGCTACCGACACTAAATGAGAAGCTGTCAGCTTCCGTCTTCTTCCCTTCTCTAGCGCCGATTCTTACAATCCCATCTGAGCATCGTGACCAATGTTATCACAGTAGACCAAGCTGCTACGAAGAATAAGGGTAGAATCAATCTTGGTAGAATGCTGCCGTGCATTCGCAAGAATGTAGGCCATTTGGTGTGCCTACTCAGATCGCGGGGGCCGACCTATCAATCAATCAATCAGTCATTAGTCCAATTTAATGTCTATTGTGTTGTTTCAAAGGATCTCACAAAATAGTGCTCTATATCAGTCGACAGATCATCCCGATTGGCGAGCCAGCTTTTCTGAGACTCTCGAAGCTCGTTCACAGAAATCGGCCGTGACTTTGGTAGTGTGGAGTCGGTATTAGTTCGATGCGGGCCGTTTGTGAAGAAGGGGTCGTGGTGGCCGTGATGATCGTGTGCGTGGTGGTGAACGTGGGCTTGCACTGGAGCAGCGCCATCGCCCATGACTGGAGTTGCTCCTGGTACAGCAGCACCAGCACCAGCACCAGCAGCACCTGCTCCTCCAGCACCGCCAGCATCGGCAGTGGGAGCTGCTCCTCCCCCGTCCATGATGACAACCGAATATAAAAAGTTTACTTGAAAACCACAAGTTTAGTAGGTGAATTAGTCGAGAGTAGATGACTCGGGTGTGTTTTAAACAAAGCTTGACTCAGAAAAAAGTGGAGGAGAGGAATCAAACGAGGGCTAGAAGGAGAATTATAGACAAGAGAAATGAACGGCAAGGCTGAATGCAAAAGGAGAGACAAAAAGGAGGGTAGCATTAGCTGGAAGGAAAACCATCATGGACGAGGCAATTGTTAATATTGCATCAAGCAGCACGACAGACGTGCGGGCCATTTACAGGCTGACGGCATCGTCACGGATGTGCAGCGGACCAATTGGCAAGTGACAGCGGGTCTGCTCCATGGCCAGATGCAGTCTCGAGTGGCCAGGAGTCTAGGAGTAAAGTAAAAATAGGACGCCCAACGGTGAGCTGTTCTAGGCTGCGTCTGATACTTCAGGTGACAGGACGGCTGATGCCCGCGACCGTTTCAGGACAGGCGGACAAGCACCAATCAGCGGCGGCGGCGTAGTGGCATATGGGGCGGGAACAGCCGTAACACGCTAACTCAGTTAATGTCAGGGGCGAGAGTGGCAGTAGTGTACGTAATAAGAGCCTAGAACGCTGTTCTTTCTTCCAGAAATATTCAGTTTTACACTCGCTATTATCGTCAATAATGATTGTAGGAATGAATTGCCATTGTCCCTCTGTGCGTGCTGCATGGCCTTGTCGATGTACATTGATTGTATTGTATTCGGGCCGAATGGCGACGTGGCTGTTGTGGGGTTGTGCAGCATGCATGTGCCTCGTAATTTTTTTATTAGTAAAAGCGGAAATTTTCTGCAGTGGCCTGTCTCAGCTGCTGCAGTCGTATATGCAGTGGAACCTCTCAGCAGGAACCCTCGGAACTTGAAGCAGCCGCCTCCAAGCCTTCGGCTAAGCCCGATTCCAGCAGTCCATTCGCTGAAACTTTAAATCTCTGTTCTGATCAACGTGGTACCTCTCATCATGGAATTACGGATATTGTCCACAGAGTGCGTAGTAAGCACTTAACAGTATGCGCCGTCGCAGAAGGGACTATTCGCTACCAAGCCAGCTTCAGCCTCATGATTCTCTGCTACCGACGATAACCATTGGCCCTAGTGAATGCGTCGTGCGACAGATCAATTTTCCTGCATGTGCCGTCAGTCAAGCTTTTTAATATAAATAAAGCACCAATGTACAAGCGACGACGGGGCTGAGATGCGGCTATAATTCGGCGAGTATATCTTATTTATAGCATACCCAGAATTACGCTTATTATGGTAGATGACGGATAATACATCTACGAGGAGGGCGAGTAGGACAGATATGATGAATGTAGAATGTTCAATGGTATTATACGAAGAAGCCATTTAATAGACAATATCTTTCCACGTGTGGGTGCCTGAGGCTGAACTGATGGTGCCTGAGATGCTAGTTACACGATCACGTGGAGGCATTGCACAACCCAAAGTCAGATCGAGAATGAAGCTGCTTAATGATGATGTCAACCAAATGGATGAAGTGACGGTACTGTTTATTGCATCTAGAAAATAAATAGATACCATTTTTATTTTGATCGCCACTGTGCTCCATATTATATCGATCATATTCACTTCCTGGGTCTATATCAAGATCAGGTTCCAATAGGCAACAGTGACGTGGATTTGACATTACAACTGATTAAGCATTATGGAAACATGATGAGCTTCTCCTTATCAAGGAGCAATTAGCCGAATTGCCAAATCTACGGTATGCTCATGAGACCGAAATCCGGAGAATGCTATCCTGTCCAAAGGATGGTAGACATCGCAGAGCGATCAAAATGGCTCGAAAACCTCAATATTCGTTTATTCCATGGCGTTATAAACCATATATTTGGGTAAAAACAAACAGGTTTGCACTGAAGTGGATGTTGTGAACGGCCTTTGAAAATGGAAATGACTGCCTCTATCCAATTGCCTGGAAGATCCATTCATGCTATTGAATCAGTCTCTGAGTACAAACAACTAGCTACTGAACTAATCAATCCCATCTCATCCAACCCCTCTTCCCACGAGTCATCTGTACAGTGCTGAAGATCTCTATTGCTAAACAGGTCGCCAAATGTTGGTCTGTTTGCAAAATTTAAAGATCCACCAATGGTGTCCATCCAAGCTGCTTCGTTGCCTGCCTCCCACGATGCTTTAGTGGCAGGAAGAGGCATCTTTTCGATGCACCAGTCAGACGGTCCATCACAGCTAAAGCCAATATCCGTGGCTACGATGAGGGTAAGGATAAAGTACACGGTTGCCACACGAAAGCACGACTCTTGAAAGACCCAGTCTTTCCAATTGTGAACTGGACGTAGCGTCGAGCTGTTTGTATCGGTGTGTAAATGCTGACTTGTAAGGAACTTGAATATTTTCTGTTGACGAGCTATTAGTCGCTGCACATGGATAGAAAATGTACCCAAGGGCTTCTTACTCCAAGTGTGAATAGCAGAGCAATGTTGCCATGGGCAAATTTACCGTTCCTTCTTCTCATTCTCAACCACAGCAGAATATATAGGGTGATCGCCTGGCTAGCCGATAATAGTTCCCACTTGCCGAGCGTCTCGATCTTTGAAATATGCGTTAGAGCCGATAGATGATGCATATTCGAGTACAGCATTCTGAGCGTGTTCGATAAGGAACCATACCTGTTTATATATCTCTTCCTGCTGCTCGTGCACTATATCCCACAATGCAGCACAGTATAGATCTGCGGATGAACTGCCGCTGGCAAAGGCGCGAAGAAGTACTCCACAACTTTTCAATGGATTATTGATCGTGTCAAACTCCTTACAAGCACCTTGGAACTTCCGATGTATAAAGGCGACGTATGACATGTCCTGTGCAGCTTTAATTGTTTGGCCACATAGAAAACCCGTGACAAGCCGGCTCATTTGAGCATGCTGAGGGTCCGCCCAGTACTTTGGCTGGAATAAGCCTACTGAGAACTGTTCCAACGGAGTCAGAGACCGGGCTATATATGTATCACTCGAGTCATTGATTGCTCCCTCAAACCTGACTGACTCTGAGTGGCCTGACTCTGCTCCTGACTCCCCAAGGAAAGTTCGTGTTCTCAGCTGGCTCAAAATTGTATCTTGAGAATTCGTGTATCGTTTCCGCCGCTTGTGGTAGTCTGACATAACCGCCCGGCGGACAAAGCTGCGGCGTTCATCTCGGTTCTTGACCGGGTTGTCAGTCAGATTGATAAATGTGTACTCTGGCTGAGCAGCAGATAGGGCCATTGTGCTGCACTTCTGGCTCAGATGAGTTTCGTATTCTCGTATTAAGTTTTGATACCGTTACCGGCCTGATGCGGGACAATCTATTTACCGAAAGGATGTGTAACTAAGATACCATCCTCATTTGCTTGAGTGGATCGTGTGGCTACCATAGGTTTTGAAAACAAATCTGTACATATACTCAAGAACACTGTTGGATATGGAAGGCGATGTTGGGCAATGGCAATGCTGGAAGATGACAAAGCTGTTACGTCCGTCTTAATGCCGATGATCCACGCTAGTACTAACTCATGTATATACCCCTTGTTGGAGGCTCTCTACATACACCCACTCTGAAACAATCCTCCTTCCGTTTTCAAAGGTTTTTCATACTCATTTCTTCTAAGTCACGATGTTGGACCTAACTAGAGCTATAAGGTGGAAATGTTTTAGCCTGGTAGAAAAGTTCAACATACTATCTTATTCTATAGGGCCCTCGTTCATTTATTCATCGAAAAGGGCATTCTTTGCATCGTACGTATAGACTAATGGCGTATGCCAAGGGTTCGGACTGGTTCCCTTCGCAATCACCCATGCAGTGTCCAAAGCCTCGACAACCTCTTTGGGCAACGGGTCCTTCCACAGATCTGTGATATTTTGAGAAAGCTGCTCGGCCCTACTAACTCCGATAATCACTCCATCAAGGCCACCCTTTTGTGCAGGTTTCAGGGCTGAGTGGTGGACACACCAACGGAGTGCAACCTCTGTCATCGACAAACCATGCTTTCCTGCAGCCGCTCGGATCTTGTCGATTGCTCGGAAGTTGTTTTCGTTGAAGTACATGCTTCGGTAGATAGGCCCTAGGAAGGTATTTGTGTCATAACGACCACTGCAATCGCCGGTAGCGCTAGTGTACCGTCCTGTCAGTAACCCTCCACAGAGCGGGTTGTATATAACCACATCCAGACCATAGCGATGACAGGCCGGGATCACTTCCGTTTCAAGGTTTCGAGCTTCACATTTGTCAGTGTCTCCCCAAATAACATTGAATTACCGTCAATTCTTATGCGAACTTGAAGAACTTACCAATTGCATTATAAACCCCTTGGTAGATAGTCGGTCTGACCCACCCTCTGGCGCTACAGATCATTACAATCTCTGCCACCTCGTATGCAGAGTAGTTACTGAGACCGAGTTTCTTGAACTTTCCTTCTTTGTACAACATATTCACCTCCTTCAATGTCTCAGTGAACGGCACGGAGCGATCGGCCGCGTGCAGGTAGAAAATATCCACCTGCTCCGCGCCCAGCTCGGACAGAGAAGTCTCCAGATCCTTACGGAGGTTTGCCGGCCTGTGTGCACCCGGTATTTGAGGATAGGATTTCGTAGCTAACTCAAATCCACGCTCTTTCCAGCCGGCCTCGGCAGTGAAACGCTCCTGCTCGCCACTTGCATATATGCGGGCCGTGTCGATTTCATTGTACCCGTGGGTTTTTTGAAACATGTCAAGGTGGTGTTGAAATTCGGTCATGGAAGTGATGCGGCAGTCTTTACAGGTCTCAGGACCATAGGTCATAAGTCCAAGGATTACCCGGGGTTTCGTTGAATCAGCCATTATTTTGGGTGAGACTGTTGATCAGATATCGTTTTTTGGAAGGATTTTAAGGAATAAAAATTGAAATTATTTACCGTCTTATATGGGTAGTGAAATGCAGATATTTATACACGACATTCTAATCGACTTCAAGGGTGTGCTGCGACTAGATATTCTGTCGCGCAGTGATGTAGTTATTTCATGTAATACCAATTGTAGTAACGGTGAGCGGCGATGTACCTATTTAGAATTTGACTAGAGATTTTGGACTCCCTTACATTGGATGAAGTTTGGTTATTTGATTGATTTGTTTATGAATGGACTTGCTGCGTACTACTAGATATTGCCAAGCATTATAATGAATTACCCGATCAGGCATTACATAGAACTACCCAGCCCCGCTAGTCTCGGTTGGGCAATACATACTGCAGTCAAGTGTTTGATATATCTTCGTCAGCATATTCCTTGCCTAAGGCCGGTGAACGAGTCACGTGTAGTGCAAACAATGTCAAAAAAAAAATATACGGCTATAGTACCACTAGAAATCCTTACTGTGTAAGGGTTGTGCCCTTTTTGATATAGTGGTTAAAAGCCCGACAAACAATCTTTCAAATGTTGTTCATGTCATTTTCTCCCTTCCAGCTCAACTCTCGACTCGAGCCATCAACCCATTCAGCCATGGAGTCCAAGTAATACTGGTTTACCACTCTTAATCGCCGCTGTGAGCTGTACCAGTCGTAGTTTGGGAATAGTGGCTACTCTCGAACCCCGCATCCACTCTTTGCAATTAACACCTACACTCTCTACCCAACTTTTATGCTGATCGATGCCTCCTCTATTCCCCTACAGAACTGTTATCCATATGCTATACTAAGCCCAAACTTTCTCTTTGAGCGGTTTCCAACATGCATGTGAAATTCCGATGTGAGGTTCAAGGTTTATCTAGAACCTATGCGAATTCTTTATATGCATTGCCAAGTTCGACCTAATATTGTTTCCTAGGCTCGTTTCAGGCGAGAGATACGGAGTAATATAATATTAAACTCTTCCCGAATCTTCCGGCATGCTAGTTGCCGTGGGGAGCATCGGCCGACATGTGCCCGATTCATTCCGCTGTCTGCGTGGGAGAGAATGGAAATTTCAAATAAGTAGGCTCAACGGAGGAAGTTAGGAAATCAAGCGATTTTTCTTCTTTAATTATCTCTGTATTATAGGCTAGGGTCTCATTATGAGAATTGAGTAGCATTATCGATTTTTAAGCTCGTTACGCAGATTGAAAAATAATTTCAGTTGCTAGAGAAGGTAAGTTTCTTGGTTGGATAGGTGGGGAGATATCAATGGTTCGATACCAACTCCAAGAAAGAGCACGGCGGCTATACTAATAGCCTGCTACTGAATCAACACAAAATCATGGGCAACTCAAGTTCGAGCCAACGACTAGTCGGATTCTTGAGATGATCGTCGCGCTTTGGCTGGTACAGTTGACAGCATTCCGGGTCGCTCAAATGTTGGGATATTCCAGATATTCCAGCCATCTCCCCACCATGTAACCTGAAATCGACTAGGTAAGCTCATGCTCAGACGAGTTATATAACCGACTCGTACTCGGAAAGCTGGGGTGAATTGGTGAATTGGTGAATCGGCTTGTGAAGGATCCGGGAGCCGAAGAATGTGATGGTACACGTACGCTGTACGTAGACAAATAACTTGTTAGGAAGTGGATCCGTACCACAAGCGTACATACTCTGGGTCGACCTCCGTGGGTAATATTTCCCCACAGACCGGAATTCTAAGCAAGTTCTAACATGTCGAAAGCCCTACATGTGCCGGCAGTGGCTGTGGGGACTCTACGTGAAAGAAACTAGAAACTCAAAATGCTTTTTCTCTTGCACGGCGACGAAATGGGCGCGTTTTCATGCAGAACATTCAACACGTCGCCACGCTGGGCTATCGCTTCTCAGCTTAGTGCGGATGCAGTATTAAAACTAATAGAGAATCGCATTATGCGGGCTTAGTGCTATTAGCCCTACCAGGCCCTAACAGGCTAACCCTGGCTAGCGCGAGGCCATCGCGCGTACCATTCGCTGATCCGGATCGAAAAGCTCGGGCGCTCGGTGGGGTATCCACGCACTGCCGAACCGCGGCCAGAACTCGCCAAACGTATGATGATTGGCTGCAACCCCTTGAAAGGCAAATTTCTCGCGCGAGCCTGCCTGGTACGGGCTAGCAGAGGGCCCAGAGGCTATTTGATCCTGCAGCAAACAGCCAAAATAAATGAGAATAATTGGCCCATCCATAGTGGTCTCCATACGAACCAGCAAACGAGGTGCGCTGAAACTCAAACAATCAAAGCATCCTGGTCGCGCGGGCCTATCAGGATGTCTTGCTCGTGTCACCATCTATTATGATCGCTATGTGCCTCGGCCGCCTGACCAAGTAGGAAATATCTCCTCTCGAGATCCATCGAAGCGACGGCCTACTGCAATCATCCTCGTGAATTCTCCATCGCCTCTGGACCCTAGTACGCATACCGATTATTATGACCTGCCTGATCTATATATGCTCCGGCTTTTCCCCGGTCCATGTCGCCGCCCAAATGTTTTGCGGAGAAAGAACACCACGCACACACACACACATCTCGCAGTTCCCTCTAGAATCAGGGTGCGCACCGTATTGCCCTCGTTCAGAGATGACCGCTCATTCCATCTGACGTTGCTGTTTCTCTGGACGCCCTGTCTATCGCCTTTAATCATACATCCACATCGTCCTCATTCTCAGCGCAAGCCCTCATCTCGATATGGCCGATTTACTGCCTCCAGCCAGCGTGATGGCCACCTGGCCCACGCCGAATTATGTCGACCCCGAGCACCGAGGGCCCGGTCTTCTCGCCACGAACATTTTCTTATGCTCCCTCTCCTTTGTCATGACCACCATGCGTGTCTATACACGGGTACGGATCACGGCGACTCCGGGCATGGATGACGTCTTCGCGATCCTGGCTTTTGTACGAACAACCCATTCTCCGAGAAGGGATATTACTGACTCAAACTCGCTTTAGATAACGGCAGTCGCCATGAGTACAATTTCATCACTCGCAGACGCCCGGTATGGCTGGGACCGACACATTTGGGATGTCCCCATGGAGTGGATGCCCAATTCACTCAAGTGTCGTATGACTTTCCAAATTACATTCTCCCTAGCCTCCACCCTCACCAAGATCTCCCTATTGTGGTTCTGCCGTCGAATCCTTGGAAATGCCATCAGTGGCCCTTTCCGCAACTTGAATTATAGTCTGATTGCTTCCATGGTTTTTCTGGCCATGCTCTCGCTCGCTTTCATCTTCGTTACCTTATTTAACTGCCTGTATGTTGAGGTCTCTCTTGTCTTTTTGAGCATTGGCTAATATAGAGACAGACCGATTAAAGCCTCATTTGACTTGGCGCCAACTTACTCATACCATTGTCTAAATGGCAATGTCCTTGTTTTTGTCGCTAGTGTAATCAATCTATTCACCGACCTTTTGACCACTGTTGTCCCGATGCCATTGATTTGGAGGCTCAAGCTACCTCGGCGCCAGCGAATGGCTATCATTGCCATCTTTGGTTTGGGCATCGTTGTCGACATTGTAGGTTCGGTGCGGACATACTATGTATGGCAAGATGCAGTGGGCACCTGGGACTCGACATGGTACGCATGGCTGGTCGGTGTGACTGGCGCTGTGGAAATCCACATGGGAATCGTACGTGACACCTCTCCCTAATTCCTGATGTCATGACCATCTGACTCTTATCTCAATAGATCTGTGCCTCTGCACCAGCTCTCCGTCCTCTCCTGAAGACGGTTTTCCCTCACTTCCTGTCAACGGGACGCACGACTGACTATGGATATGGAAACTACGGACGGAGCGGCAACAATAAAAGGACATGGCCCACAACGTCGCGGTCTCAACACTCAAAGGTGCATGTCACGTCAAAGTCAGGCGACTTCGATCCTTACTACAATCAGGGCTCTGCGGCAGAACCTGTCGGGATAATCCGCACCGTCGAACTAGAGACATTCGTTGAAGAACGCAACGATACGGGCTTCGACGCGCACCAGTCCCGTAGCCCGAGTTCTGATGGCTTGGCCTCGATTGGTGGTAACGATGCATCGAGTCGATCGAGCCTGAAGCGGTACGAGTCGGATGGCGAAACTCCATTCCGACATGTGTCATGATTTGTATGATTTCCTTCTGATTCTGTATTATACACTTATCAAAACGCTATTGTTTTTGCTATCTTACTACCATTATACCGTCGAACGGAAAACGATGAGAATTATGTCTCATACCGAAAAGTGTATGGCGTTTGGATGGAATTATTAAATTTGTAATTCTAATTGAGCCGGCATGGCTTTCAGGTTCAATTAATAGATGTCCATATATATTCTCTATATTCATCGTTGTTGATTCAATCGAGAGTGTGTATCACCGGAAACTGACAAGTTAAGTGTAGTCTCCAATGCTTTCACGAGCCAATGCGATGTATGGGATAAGAGAATATTCGATGAGATCTTTTTAGAACGCTGCTTCTGCTAGACGTACGCTCTCCATCACCTGGCCCTTGACCACACTAATCAAGAAATTCTCCCCATTATTCCCCACCGCATGCACAAGCACATTATCTCCATACCCGCAGTCCGCCTGCCCAGGTCCAGTCTCCTCGTACTGGGCAAAGCTCTCCTTGTCCAACCCATTTCCAGCATCCAGAAGCACTCTCAGCGCATACTCGCGCGCATCGCCATACGACGTGAAGATTCCTTCGATATTGATATCGCGACTGTTTCCCTCCTCTTCGAGTTTTGTCTTCGCCTGAATGACGAAGTAAAGATCTGTGGTGATTCTGCCATCTTCGTGTGTGGACACAGGCTTGCCGATAATCGAGGGCGTGGTGAGGATGCGAACGCGGTATGTAGACCCGTCCGTGGCGACGGCATGGACCACCTGCCCGTCATCCTCGTTATTCCCATTCGCCTGGCTGGTCTCGTATGTCTCGAACCATTCCCGTTCGTATCCTGCGTCAAAGAGACATTGATGCGCGGCGGATTTGGCAGATGCCAGGGAGATGTATGTGCCAGGAATGCGGAGTTTCTGATATTTGCCATTGGGGTCTTTCTGTAAATGAGAGATTATGAATAGGATATGGTAGAGTTGCTCGGGCTGGCTGTTGCCTGAGATAGTGGAGTTTACTGTCATGTTGAAACGAAGTCGTTCGGAAATATTAAGATTGTGATGGGACGAGTCGTAATTGTGAATACATTGCACATGAAGTGAAACCCCGTCCGTCTTCTATCTATATCATATATTATACCTACAGAGAATTAATTTGATTGTTGGTCAATCTCATTGGGTTTGATGTGGCGTGATACCCGGGCAGAACTCGGGATGCTTGTATGACCTGTTGCATGGCAGCCGTTTGGGCTGGACCTGACGTATTCGGAGGCGCTTTGCAACATGCCATGATTATAAGCAACATCATAATTATAAGTTGAATGCTTTGTTGCCATTCCTAGTTACAGAGGCGTGGCTTTGTGTCCTGATTGGCCAGAAGCTATGAAAATGGTAGCCGCTAGCTAGGGTCTCCAGTTTCACTGAATATAAAGTATTTATAGGTTATATTAAATCTTAAGTCAATAGGTATATAAATTAATATAAATATATTTTAGGTATTCCCAACATATTTCATATCAATCACACAACCAACTCATCTAGATCGGCTTGTGGTTTGGTTCTAGATCATACGATTTCTGAGTCATAATGTACCAGGAAGACATGTCACACCATCGAAGATTCTTACAAAGCTTAAAGAAGGAAGAAAAGCCCTTCGTAAAAGAGGAGCACATGCGGTCCGCAGAGAACTTTTTCTAGGGTAATATTCTGTCTTCACGAAATATCCTCTCGACTCGCAATACAATCTTGAAAAGATTCTAGTTCTTGTTTACCCTAGATGTCCCGCGTGCGGTATCATATACATTGCCTGTCGGATTCTGGAGCAGCTTGGGTATCGAGTCGCTAATCTGGATGGTGTTGCATCTCTCCTACAAGAGAGCATGTCTGATTAAAGAAGAGGAAGAAGAGGAAGAAGAGGAAGAGGAAGAGAGAGCATGTCGAGATGTAAAGTTATGCGAGTCGAAAGTGCTTGTGCTTATCGGCCTTATCAGAGGCTAACCATGTATAGGAAAAGCAAAGCATGATTAGGATCCTGCTGCTTTGTCATACTTGCGACATCTTGCATTATTGGAACCATCAATACTATTACCTACTCTAATACTGATTCTTTTATCTTATGAAATGCGGCATGACAGCAAAAATCGTAAAACCGTGAATCGCCGCCGAACCACCGCAGCTTATACATGCTGCTTCAGGAATAGTGCCGGCGTCGGCACCGACGTGGCTACAGCGATTGGCTGCAATCGCCGAGCAGCATCATTATCGCGGGGCAGCTCCTGTGCTGCGAAGCTCTCGAATCACACGTATAAATAACATTAGCACGGACTTCCCCAACCTTCCGTTGATCTCATCCTCTCAATATCTCTCATCACCATCCTGGACTCCGTTTCCTTGCTGTGTCGTACCGCCTGTCCGTGTAAATTGCATATTAGTCCTCCGGACTGAGTCTACAGTGAGTTCGCCTCGATTGATCAGCGACGCTCTGTCAAACGACATGCACTAATTGGAGGTGACGTAGGAGAGAATGGCCTCTGCCCTTCGATCGCGTTTGAATGTCAGGCCCGCTGCCTGCTTCAGAGCGACGCGCTCCTTCAGCACTGCCTCTGTCCGCCGTGGCCCCCAGCCCTTCGTCGCGGACGAGCCCAAAGCCCCTTCAGTACAAACTGCCATTCCCGGCCCGAAGAACCAAGCTGCAGCCAAGGAGCTCGATGAGGTTTTTGACATTCGCAGCTTGAACCTCCTCGCTGATTATTCCAAGTCGGTGGGAAACTAGTATGCAATTACCCTCTCAATGAGATGAGGATAGAGTTACTAACTGGGTGGCCTAGTCTTGTTGACCTTGACGGCAATGTTTTCCTCGATGTGTATGGTTGAAGACACCTATTTGACGAAATATATGTTCTAACACTTCCCAGTTATGCACAGATTGCCTCCATCCCCGTGGGTTACAATAACCCTCATCTTGCTAAGGCTGCGAACACCCCGGAAATGATCCGAGCTCTCATTGACAGGCCCGCTCTTGGAAACTTCCCTTCTGCAGACTGGTCTCATATTGTCAGGACTGGTCTTCTCAAGGCCGCTCCCAAGGGTCTCAACCAGGTTTTCACCGCTCTTTCTGGCTCTGATGCCAACGAGACCGCCTACAAGGCTGCTTTCATGTATCGTCGCCAGCAGGAGCGTGGCGGACCTGATGTCGACTTCTCCGAAGCAGAATACAAGTCTGCCATGATCAACCAGAGCCCTGGCTCCCCACAACTGTCTATCATGTCCTTCAAATCAGCTTTCCATGGTCGTCTCTTCGGCAGTTTGTCCACAACCCGAAGCAAGCCAATCCACAAACTCGACATTCCTGCCTTTGACTGGCCACAGGCCCCATTTCCCGCTCTCAAGTACCCTCTGGAAGAGCATGTGAAAGAGAACGCCGAGGAGGAGCAGCGCTGCCTCCAGGAAGCCGAACGCATCATCAAAGAGTTCCACAACCCCGTCGCCGCTGTTGTCGTCGAGCCTATCCAATCCGAGGGTGGTGACAACCATGCCTCTCCCGCTTTCTTCCAAGGACTTCGCGATATCACTAAGCGTAACAACGTTCTTTTCATCGTTGACGAGGTCCAGACTGGCGTTGGTGCCACTGGAAAGTTCTGGGCTCACGACCACTGGAACCTGCAATCACCCCCCGACCTGGTCACCTTCTCTAAGAAGGCTCAAACTGCTGGTTACTACTATGGCAACCCGGCTTTACGCCCCAACAAGCCATACCGCCAATTTAACACCTGGATGGGTGACCCGGCCCGCGCCATCCTGTTCCGCGCCATCTACGAGGAAATCGAAAGCAAGGACCTGGTTAGAAACACTGCTATCACTGGTGACTACCTCTACGGTGGCCTTGAGAGTCTTGCTAAGAAGTATCCCCACGCAATCCAAAACCTTCGTGGCAAGGGCCAGGGAACATTCATTGCCTGGGACTCTCCTAACCGCGACGAATTCCTCGTGAAGGCCAAGTCTGTCGGCGTCAACATTGGCGGAAGCGGAGCCAGTGCTGTTCGTTTACGGCCAATGTTGATCTTCCAGCAACATCATGGTATGTTATATGTTATCTCCTCATCTAGTTTTTTGACCACCTGCTAAATTATTTTGTAGCCGATATTCTCCTTGAGAAACTGGAGACTCTCATCAAAGCTTAAATTAAATGATCGATTATTTCTGCTACTTTTTGCGGGGTTTGAGGTAACGGCGTTTGTACGATGTTTATTTGTTGAAAAATAATTGCCATTATTTTGGGAAATACCGAGCAATGACTCGTGGCGTTGGTATCGATGCTATATAGTTAATTGGTAGTTCAAATTTTACCGCAGGTGTAAATGCTAAGCTTCTCTCTCCTGGATAATCTCTGGAGGGCTCTTGTTGGCTATGAGCTGAATTTCAAATGTTTGAGACCTTAATTATCACACGCTGTTTAACGCCATTCCAGACAACCCCCGAACACCGAACCGAGACAGGACCATGTCTAATAAAAAACCATTGCGTATATACCAAATAACTTTTCTCGACCATCATAGCTGTTTCACGATTCTTCTTCGTTTGCACTTCCATCTCGCCTACACCAATCCACGTAATTAGCCGCGTATCCCCTTTGTACACCAATCAACCAAACTCACGGAATATATTTGATCCCAGCATCTTCCAAAGACGCCACTGTCTCAGTGGGCAGCGTGCCCGTGACCTTGATGGCATAAGTGCCAGGCACATACCCCTCTAAACGCTGCCAGCGCGCGACCCAGCTCTGCCGCTCGTCCACGATAGATATTAACCCTTCAAAGACCTGTGACGTGCACTCCTGGATCGCATCGTTGTTGCCGCGGAGTTGCAGGACATGGTCGCAGTTGGGACAGCCTTCGCGATTGAATTTCTGCGTAGAATAGACTCATCAGCCAAGGGTTCTTGGGCTAAAAGAGAATGATCTGGCTGGAGATGGAGGACGACTCACGTTCTGCGGCATGACCACGGAGCACACCATGCACGCGCGAAGCGTGCGCATTTGTCCCGGGGGAACGATGAAAGAGGTCATGTTATCTGGTAGCTAGCTATGCTACTCGAAGAAAGCAGGTCGCGAGGAGACGAAGATATATACTTGTATGTGGTGTAGTAGTCACGTTTCGAGCTGCGGAAGGTGGCTGGCTTAGAAGAAGCAATGCGGACAGCGAAACGGAAGCCGAGTGTTCTGGAAAGATAGAAAAGTGAGCGAAGTCGGATTGGCAAAATGCGGGCGCCCTGACAATCCGCCGCCGACTTTTGCAACCAAAAAACCCCCCGGCTTTCTCCATCTGCAAGAGACTGACTCATCGGCCCTCGAAGAAATACTTAGAGGCTGAGAATTATTGTTTTAGATTATTTCCACGGTGCATCGTGCAGAATCTTCTACAACTTTGGTGTCTTGCCGCCAGCTCTTTTGATCTCGTGCCAGTGCGGGACTCTGTGCGCCCTTCTTTCTCAGTTCTTTTCTTCTCTCTTTGGCTTCAGTTTCAGGTTCTTTTTTCTTCAGGCTTGTTCAACTTGATCTGTGATATATTTGTTCTCTGATGACTTCCTCCGCTGCCGACGCTGCCTCTGCGCTGAAGCAGCAAGGCAACAAGGCATTTGCGAAGCATGATTGGCCCACTGCCATCGATTTTTATAGCCAGGCTATCGACAAATATGATAAGGAGCCTTCGTTTTTCTCTAATCGCGCTCAGGTATGTGTGTTGTAGCAGGTTGTCGGCACTGCATTGATGCTTACACTCACTCGCGACAGGCTCACATCAAATTGGAGGCTTACGGATATGCTATTGCCGATGCGACCAAAGCCTTGGAGCTCGATCCGTCATATGTCAAGGTAACCTAGCTCTTCAAATGTTATAACGAGTCATATTCTAACATGGTGTCTAATATAGGCCTACTGGCGACGAGCGCTGGCTAACACGGCCATCCTAAACCCGCGTGCTGCCCTCAAAGACTTCCGGTCCGTCATCAAGAAGGAGCCCAACAACAGGGATGCGAAATTGAAGCTGGCAGAATGCGAGAAACTGGTTCGCCGAATGGATTTTGAGAAGGCTATCGAGGTAGCCGAGCCTGCGTCAGTATTCGAGGACTTGGATATTGAGTCTATCATCGTTGAGGACAGCTACGACGGTGTCCATCTGGGAGAGGAAATGACGCAGGAGTTTATCGATGATATGCTCGAGAGGTTCAAGAATGGAAAGAAGATACACCGCAAATACGTGTTCCAAATCATCAAGAACGTATTAGACCTTGTTAAAGCGGAGCCGACAATGGTGGAAATAGGAGTGGATCAGGGTACCAAGCTCACGATATGTGGTGACACGCACGGTAGGGGATATTGATTTGGCTGTCTGGTTCTTTGCTGATTTTTTTTACAGGCCAGTATTTCGATCTCCTGGAAATCTTCCGACTAAACGGTTACCCATCGGATACCCATGCATATCTATTCAATGGAGACTTTGTCGATCGTGGATCGTGGTCGACAGAGATCGCTCTTCTCCTCTACGCATACAAGTGGCTGCGACCACAAAAGTTCTTCTTGAACCGAGGAAACCACGAGACGGATGACATGAACAAGGTGTACGGCTTCGAAGGGGAGTGCAAGGCCAAGTATAGCGAGAATGTTTTCAAAGTCTTTTCCGAATCCTTCTCCGCACTGCCACTGGCTACGCTGGTCGGCGACAAATATTTCGTGCTCCACGGCGGCCTGTTTTCCGATGACAATATATCGCTAGATGACATCCGGAAATTGAACAGGCATAACCAGCGCCAACCGGGCCAGTCTGGCCTTATGATGGAGATGTTATGGACGGATCCCCAACCAGCCCCAGGCCGTGGTCCGAGCAAGAGAGGCGTTGGTCTTCAATTCGGACCTGATGTGACAAAGCGATTCTGTGAAAGGAACGGCCTGGAAGCTGTCATTCGTTCGCACGAAGTTCGGATGGGTGGTTATGAAGTCGAGCATGATGGACGCTGTATCACGGTATTCTCGGCGCCCAGGTATTGCGATGCCACTGAGAACAAGGGTGCATACATCAACGTTGGACCGGAATTGAAGCTCGAATATCATGTCTTTGACGCGGTTCCTCACCCCGACATCAAGCCAATGGTAATTCTACCCCTCCCCTTCTCTCCCCTTCTTGCGGAATATGGATGTAAGTAACTAACAATATGACGCAGGCTTATGCGCAAAACTCTCTCATGTCTATGATGTAGATGCTTCACGAAAAATAGACCAATTGAATGACCATTTTTGAGTCCATCTATAAGACGACAGAATATCTTTCTATATGTACTATTATTAAGGGTAGACTAAATCAACAAACCATCGCATATTCGTATTCATAAGCAATCAGGGTGGCGCTGAACAGCTAACGTCAACAATCTTCACTGACCGGCGACGACAATGCCGTGGTTACTCAACGTGATTGTTCGTCGAAATTCAAGAAAGTCTAATGACGAAGGAGCATGTCTAGAGTTCGTGATCTTACGAAGCTCCCCTACTACTGAGTCAATTGGTGGGTTGGAGGCTGACACTTTTGGTGGTGGACTATATCAAAAGGGACCTATTAGAATGGCAATAGATTGTTAGCTCACATTATATGGAATTTCACTTGGCTCAATTTTTTTTCGAGAGGATTTATTTGATTTAAGAGGTCCGATCTTTGCAATCCACATTTCATCTAGGTTTGGATGAATAGAACGCTGGGTGGATTGTAGATCTGGAGGGAAACAAGCAAGTACCACAAAGACACAGTTAAGATTTTCTTTTGAATCTCAAAAATGAAAATGTAAAGTCTTATTTCGTTGGTGAAGTTCAATAGCCTGTCACATATAACCAGTGTTCGTTCTCATAAAGAGGCAATATGTGCATATATATATGCCACCTTTATTAGAGCTTTCAGATCTTGTAGGGTGTTAGAATAGGGACTGGTTAGATAAAGATCATTAGGTCGAATTTGTATAATCCATTCCGTCATACCTTCATGGCTTCAGTAGCGTTGAAAACCAATAGAAACTCGGTCTTTTCGCATATGCCATTTTCTAATTTCCCCACTGCTTCAAAGCGTTACCGGGGTGCCCCGCAGCCCCTCGCGTTTGAGCACTTTATATTTCTGGAGGCGCAGCTCTTTCGAGGTGTTCCTGTCCTTGTATACCGTTCAGCAAACATGGAATTCGACCCAGAGACGCGTAAGCTATTCATTCACCCATAAACTAAGCGCCTCATTCTAAGCTTGCTAACGGATTCGGGCTTTTCAACAGCCCAGTACTTAACGTCAGATCCGACCAGTTTCGCTTCGGTGTCGGTTCGAGAGAGATGGCCGGTTATTCTTGTTCGTCAATCCATGCAGCTTTTTTCTGGCACATCACTAATTAACTAATGAATGACACCAGACTGGTGCAATCGACGATCTCCACCGGACAGTTTCCCAAGTCCCCGATGCTGAAAACGAGAAGCAGGCCGAAGGGAAAAGTATCATTGAAGAGCTGGCCAAGTTGAAATATGAAGTGCAGCATGATCGCAAATTGACGTGAGTTATGCTCCAAGAGGCTCTGCCTTCTAGATTTTTTCATTCACCGTGTTAAATATCGAATTTGCAAAGTTTAGCCCCTTAGTCGACGATGGTGAACCTGATATCGCCGATTATAACAAAGATCTGGAACAACGTGGAAATCCATCGTGGCATAATGTGCCATGGCTCTATTCTGAATGCTATCTTTGTATGATCTATCAATTGGGATATGGAAATTAAGACTAATAAATCTCAGACCGGCGGATTGCAACGTTTTTCAACCTATCCAAGTACTGGAAAGGCTACGATGTGTTTTCACGCCAGAAGATTTCTACCTTCAAATCTTCTCGTCCGGCCGTCTTGGAACTAGCGGCAAGATACAAATCTCTCGCACTTGAGGTCGAGAAGGGTAGTCAGGGGCTCAGTCCAGCGCAGGTCGAAGACGCCGAGCGATTGATCTTCACCGAAATGTGCGAAATTTGCCTGTGGGGCAACGCAACAGACCTGTCGCTGCTCACCACGCTCACATACGAGGATATCCAGAAACTACAAGGCTCTCAAGCGCGCAAAGCGTCGGAAAAGAACATCATTGTCAACGACACGAACGCCGCTTATGACGCGCTGCGCGACGCCCGCAAAGAGAAGAAAGACGGCGAACGACGGGTCGATATTGTTCTGGACAATGCTGGCTTCGAGTTGTTTGTCGACTTGATTCTCGCTGGCTATCTTCTCTCTGCGGGGCTCGCGACAACCGTCGTTTTGCGACCAAAGGTCATCCCATGGTTCGTTTCGGACGTAATTCCAAAGGACTTTGCAGATCTGTTGAACGCGCTTGCCAACCCGCAGGCATTCTACACGGCCGCTGATGACTCTGGTCAGCAGCATGCACCTCTTTCGGAGAGGGAGGTGGAGGAAGTGAGTTTCCTGTTCGGTCAATGGAGCCAGTTCCATGCGGAGGGCAAATTGGTTCTTCGACCGCACAGGTTCTGGACCGGGCCAGGCAGCTTCTGGCGTCTGCCTTATGTAGCGCCTGGTCTTTACGAGGACTTAAAGACGGCCGAGCTTGTTCTTTTCAAGGGTGACTTGAACTATCGCAAACTCACGAATGATGTAAGTTTGAACAACTTCTACTGTCAAGGAGGAGAGAAGTTGGAGGTTGGAAGTGATGCTAATACTATTTGTTTCAGGCTGCCTGGGACCCAACGACTCCATTCACACAAGCCATCGGACCACTCGGTCCCAAGTCTGGAGTCCGTATTCTTTCTTTCCGAACTTGCAAAGCCGACGTTGTTGTCGGTCTTGCTCCGGGTGAAGACGAACGTCTCAGACAGGTGCCTGGTGGCGGCGGTGATTCTGGGGCCAGGAAATGGGCATGGAGCGGTAAATGGGCTGTTGTGTCGTTTTCTGACGGAAAGACTTGATTGCTCTGGCTCGTAATGTGGTTAGTGTAGCTACGCTTTAGACTCGTAGAGATTCTTCAACTAGACATAAAAAGCGCCAATTGTATTGATTTAGACGCCGGCAGTAATAGAATGGTATCACGCTCTTGAGGTATCTTTAAATGACAGAGACAAGAACAAGAACACGAACAAGAAACAGAGTATTGACGTTGATGTCATATTCCATGCTTGTGCATCCATTAATCTGAACTGAAAAGTCATGGTTTGAACGTGTCCCCTAGGAATTGCGCTTGGACGATTGTAGAGTCTGAAGGGCTTTAATATGGGAGAACCATCAGGAAAATACTTTGACATTTTCTTTCCCGTCCTCTTTGCTTCTGTTTCCCTCCTCTTTGCTGAAGTCAAACCTACGCTGATGCAGCCCGCTCAGGTGTTATGTTATTCCCCTCTTGGGATGAGGATGGCGCCCATCGACTTTGTGATAATGGTAGTGATGAAAGCGCATCTTGGCTGCGTGCTTGAATGCGGAATTGCTGGTGCCTGCGATCATCACTGCTAATAAGGTCTTCCATTTGTAGTAGAGGTTCTGGAAATGTCGATTGAGATGTTACGGAATACTTTTTCGAATGTGATGGACTGGGCCTCTCTGGCTCCAAAGGAGATGGCGGTAAAGGGTCAGGACCAATGTCGAGAAGACCAGCCCGAGGCAGACCGTTAGAAGTTCTCTGTGGTGGCTCTGCCACTTCTTCTTCATTTCCTCGCTTCGCTATCCGTTTTTCATCTGAGAATTCGGGGTTTAAATCAGAAGGTTTCAATTTCCTAGGGTTTGGGTCCCGATTGCCTACCTGCAACATTTCCTGAGGGTGCCTTGAATATGTTTGAACGCAATGGTTGCCGAAGTCCTGAATCTCAATACCGGCGTATGCTTCGGGGAGCTTTTGATAAGTATCTTCCAGACGATCTGGTCGTTGTAATTGCTCGACAGCAGGAATCTTGGTTTTCAAAAATTTGATTTCCTCCTGGTACATCTTCGTCTCTTGTTGAAAGGTATCACGATATTGGTTTAATCTCCCTTTTAATTCTTGATTTCGTAATTCCATTTTCATGGCACGCTGTTTCAACTTTGCTTCTCTCTCAACTCGCCGTTCTTCATAATCCTTTGACGCTTCCATGAGTCGTGAAATACCTTTCTTTAGTTCGGCATTTTCTTTCTCGAGTTTTGAGACCTTAGCCTCTGAGGACTTAGCTAGATTTCGTACTTTTCCTAGCTCGTCATCGTGGTTCTTCTCCTCTAGCCTCTTGTTCGCCTGATCGAGAGCATGCTTTAACCGACGGATCTCTTTCTTGTCTTCTTTCACAGATTCATCAGCGTCGGTTTCGTCGTCTCTTCCACCCACCACGCCATGCCGTTGGAGAGCATTCCGCAGTGTGTCTACTTTATGCTTATACTGAACAACTAGGGCGGTCTGTCTGGTAAGTTCCTGAACCAACTCTTCCTTATCCACATCGGCGCCCTTGCTAACCATGCTCGAGGCAAGTCCTGTTACTTGGCGTTCCATCTCAGCGAATTTCTCCTCTTCCTTTCGTAATTTCTCTGTCAGGCGCATAGTCTCTGCATCTTTCTTGCGCGCGTAGGATCTTGCGACTGAGCGGTATTGAATAAGTTTTCTTATTTCTAGATTTGTCCTTTTCCGATAATTCTCGAATTCAGATTTCCAATATTGGCCTGATTGTGATTGGGGGTCATCGAGATTAATTGTGACATCGTTCTGTCCGACATTTTCCACGCTCATCGTGTTTTGATTCTGGTTTGCAGTTGGCAGTTTCTCACTTCGCGCAGGCGAAATGTGTCTTGGAAGATTCTCTGTAGGCTTTTCTCGAGCATCAAGCAAACTCTGGGTGAGTTTGCTCCTAGGCTTTGAATTCATGGTGGCCTGAGCGGACATCCACTGGTTAGTCACGGAGCCTGGAGCTGAAGGGATAGTTTTCTGGTCTTGGCTATTTCTTAAATCGTCGTGGTGCACCGTACTGCCGAACGAAACCGTCTTTCGTCGACTGGCCAAAGTCCCAGGCGTGACCAGAATGCTTTTCGTAGGCGATTGACTGAGCTGATTTGCTGAGTTCGAATTTTGTTTTTCAGGCATTTTTGGCCACTCTGGGATCTGGGAGATAGGGTTATTTTTCGGCCTTATTGAATCTGCCTGACGCTCGGAAAAAGCCGCCTGTCCCACAGTATCATCTTCACCCGCAGGAGTTCCAAAGAGAGCGCTCTTGAAAGCGCGTATGGCGAAAACAGGAGCGGGAGTTTGCGGAGGCTCAGCAATTCTCGAGTTATCTAGCGCACTGTCAGCGTGTCTTGTTCTTGTTCCTGCTCTTGATTTTGATAAATCGCGCCCTGGAGCTTACTTACCCGTGGATTGCTTCTCCTCCTCGTTCTGGCCGGTGATCCAGCCCAGCATGTTGGGGTCAGTCACAGCTAATCTCGGTTAGACAGCGTTTTTAAAAGACAAGTCATATCCACAACGATGAATTGGGGCGTTTAAGTCACAAGGTGAGGCGTGGTGAATGTCGACGTGGTTGACTGTGCTTTGTTTACACGCCGGCCAAGTCGTCGCTGGCTGTGGGTCGCCGCCTTCCTGCTCGGGCTAGGCTATGCTTAGCAGCACCTTCCCTGGGCGCGCCGGGTGGGCCCTTATCGATACCGCCACTTCGAGCCTCCCGTCTAAGGTCTAGTGGCCTTGCACGTGCCAGCCATCAAAAAGAGCCCTTCCTTCCCCGCCGTTTCCAGACGAGTACGAGGTTACCTGCTATTTTCCCGCCCATAAATTCTATCCTGCCCTTTCTTCATACCCGGAAAATGTCCTTCTTCGAGAAATAGAGGGCTGCAGCTTCGGCTGCATTCTTTTGTCACTATCTGATGTGACAAGGGCCACCTGCCAGTCTAGTAGACTCGTTTGCTTCAATTCACGCCCACAGCCCCGCTATGCCTCACAAAAAGCAAAGAAGGCCTAACAATGTCCCTCAAAATGGCACTTCGACCGGAGAGAACCGGTCGCCCATACTTGAGGGCTCGCCCACCAAGGGGCCGGCCCTGGGAACCACAAACTATAGAGAAATCCATGAGGACGAAGCGGACGCTCTGCGATCAATATATGGAGAGGACTTCCAAGAGGTAGAGCATAGACAGGGAGCCTGGAAGGTGAGCACTGTATTGTACATATGCTTCTTTGTTTTTCTCACATATCGGTAGCAATCCTCGGAAGTCACGTTCAAGTTGTGCCTCAGAGCCTCCTCGAATCCCAATGTCAACGTCTCTCTTCTCGTTGAACTGCCAGCGACTTATCCTAAGACTGTACCTAACCTGAAGGTCGAGAACTTGGACGATATTCGTCGGCATGCAAAGACAAAGATAGAAGATGTTATAAAGACAAAACCAAAGGAATTACTCGGGGCAGAGATGATATACGAACTCGCTGTAAATATCCAGGACGTCCTAGAAGATGCGGCACTTGCGCAAGCAGGTGACAAGGATATTCCCAGTCTCGAAGAGGAACGCATTGAACAAGAAACCGCTGCCATTCAACAGGCAGAGCTGCAACGAAAAGAAGAGCTACGCAAGCAAGAAGCAGCTTCAGAGGAGGAAGAACGAGCACTACAGCGGCTTCTCGAGGACAAAATTAGGCAGCGTGAGCGAACAAAAGCTCGAGATTCACGGCGCAAGAGCCGTTCCGCTGCGTTGGATATGGATGATAATCTCGAAGATAGTTCTTGTTATATCTCATTCGACCCACCATTGATCATGAACGACAGCGAGGATCGACCATTAGCTTTCAGAGCAGTTTCTGGCAAAACTTTGCTTCGGTCGTCTCCAAACAAAGAGACATTCACTGTCAGACCACTAGTGTCCGAGAATCGCAGTCGTGCGCCTCTTCTCGTACTAAAGGAGATCTTCCTCGACGAGAAGGGCCAAGAGACCTTGACCTTTCGGCAACAGATGCGAACCAGTGAAGACAAGCTAGAAGCATTGAAGAAATTGCATCACCCAAATATTGTGACTTTTATCGGCTTCAAGATCTGCCGCCCAGTAAGCAACCATGATTCGTCAGATCAAAGTTGGCAGGTATATTCTCTCTTTGAATACGCCAACAAAGGGTCGCTTTCTGAGCTCTTGGATTTAGTCAATACAGTATCAGTAGACTCAATTCGTTCATGGATGATACAATTACTGGAGGCACTGGATTTTTATCACCGAAACGGGGTTGTACATGGCAACATTCATAGCGGCCGTGTGATGCTCTTCCGACACGCTACTGGAAGTACTGCTGTCAAACTTTTAGGAAATATTGAAGAAGCTCTCCCAAAATACAGAGATCAAAAACAGACCCTGGCAACATCGAAATCGCCGTTCTGGCTTCCTCCAGAAGTTACCCAGAATGATGCACATTCAACTGCCAAGACAGACGTTTGGGATCTTGGTATCGTGCTCTTACAAATGGGCTTCGGAAAAGATATATTACATCGCTACACATCTGCTAATGCCGTGATGAGCAGTTTGGATCTGTCCGCGCCGTTGCAAGATCTTCTAAGAGAAATCTTTAAATCAGATCCAAAGAAGCGTCCAACAGCTTTTCAACTTCAGCCTTCGGAGTTCTTCCGCGTCGGTGCCCCTTTGCTCGAAAATTCTCCAACCACCCATTCCACGTCACTTTCAAGGCGACCACGCGTTGATTCCCAAGTCGGCATGCCAGCTTTCTCGCGCTACGCACATGATTTCGATGAGTCGGGCCGGCTTGGAAGAGGAGGATTTGGTCAAGTCGTCAAGGCACGCAATAAACTTGATGGTCGCTTTTACGCTGTGAAAAAGATTTGCCAAAATTCAGCCAGTGCATTAAAAGATACACTCTCTGAAATTATGCTACTTTCCAGACTCAATAATCCCTATGTAGTGCGGTATTATACCGCATGGCTTGAAGAAGATTTCGAAACAATCGACGAAGATGCTGTGTCATCGACCGAAGGCGATTCGTTTGGGAACGGGGATCTTGGAGCAAGTACAAGTGGTCTAGACTTCATTAGTTCTAGCGGATACCCCCAGGTTGAGTTTGGCTACGATACTGAAGAAGACATTGGAGCATCAACAGATCAAAAGGATATTAATTCCAAACCAGTGGTCAGCTCACAGGCAGATCCGGCAATTGAAGTTAGTCGAGTTCGCTCTGGATCACAGGGTCGACCTGCCACTACAACATTGTACATTCAGATGGAATATTGTGAAAAGCACGTAAGTTTGCACCATTCATACTCTGCTGCATGTCTCTCATTTATGTATACAGACTCTTCGTGATTTAATTCACAACGGTCTTTATGATGATATTGATCAGTCCTGGCGTCTTTTTCGTCAGATTTTGGATGGAATTAGCCACGTCCACAGCCATGGCATCATCCATAGGGACTTGAAACCAGATAACATTTTCATAGACGTTGCAAATAACCCTCGGATCGGTGATTTTGGGTTAGCTACAAGCGGACAGTTTACAACAGCAGTAAGATCATCCGCAGCAGCAGATGATATTACTGGAAACTTCACTCGCAGCATTGGCACGACATACTACGTCGCACCAGAAATCAAATCGACCTCTACAGCTCAATACAATGAAAAAGTCGATGTCAGTTATGATTGGTATCGCCTGTTATTTGACTTAAAACTAATGAAGGTAGATGTATTCTCTTGGTGTTATCTTCTTCGAAATGTGTTATCCATTGCGAACGGGCATGGAACGAGACCATACATTACAATCCTTACGTGAAAAGAACCATGTTCTGCCTTCGATTTTCCAGCAAGCGGAAAAAGCCATTCAGGGTGAAATCATCGATTCGCTCCTTAGTCATCGCCCCAGTGAACGCCCTTCAGCTTCGGAACTTCTTCAAAGTGGCAAAATACCTTTACAAGTGGAAGAAGAAACATTCCGTAAGGCTATAATCGGACTTCTCTCTGATCCAAATTCACCCGATTACAAGAAAATTCTATCGGCAATCTTTTCCCAATCCCCGAAGAAGATTGAGGATATGACGTGGGATATGGATTCGCGTGGCGCTCCCGAAGCGAACGAGTTGTTCATCCAGGGTCTCGTAAAAGAGAAGTTAATACAGATATTCCACCGTCATGGTGCTGTGGAAACAACGAGACAATCCCTGTTTCCTCGGTCGGGTCATTATAATAATAATGTTGTGAGGTTATTGGATTCCTCTGGAAACATGCTACAACTTCCTTTTGACTTAACATTGCCCAATGCCCGCGCCATTCCTCGACAAGATCCTTCTCTTGAAAAGACTTTTGCATTTGGACGGGTTTATAGGGAGTCTCCGCATGGTGGTGAACCAAGATCACATCGAGAAGCCGATTTTGATATTGTCTCCTATAACACACTTGATCTTTCTCTGAAGGAAGCAGAGGTCATCAAAGTCCTTGACGAGATCATTGAAGAATTTCCGGTTCTCAGGTCTGCTTCTATGTGCTTCCACATCAATCATTCCGACCTCCTCCAAACTATAATGGAATTCTGCCGAATCACACCGGCTCAAATTCCTAGCACGAAGGAAGTTCTCAGTCGGTTAAATGTTGGAAAGTGGACGATGCAGAAAATTAGGAGCGAGCTCCGGTCCCCCACAATTGGTGTAGCATCGACTTCTTTAGATGACTTAGCTAGATTTGACTTCCGAGGTAAGGAACCTTTTTTTTATTATGAAGACGAGGTTGCTGATAGTTTCACAGACACCCCAGACAAAGTCCAGCAGAAACTACAAACGATTATGGAAGGTAGTGAGTTTGCTGATAGGTTAACGCCTATTTTCGCGCGTTTGAAGGCTTTGGTATCATACATCCATGGCTTTAATGTTAAACGAAAGGTCTATATCAGTCCACTTGGCAGCCTTAACGACAAGTTCTTCCGAGGCAGTATCCTCTTTCAATGTCTTTTTGACAATAAACGTCGAGATGTATTTGCTGCGGGAGGGAGGTACGACAGATTGATACAAGAGTTAAGCCCGAAACTGTTATATAGTCGCTCTCAGGCGCATGCAGTTGGCTTCAACCTTAGCTGGGATAAGTTGAGTACTTCGATGACTGAGTATCTCAAGACTTCTACGAAGACTTTCATAAAGCACATCGAGCACGATGTTGAGAGCTATTGGCGATCTCGACGGGTATGGGTATCGTCCTAGTTTTTTTTTGCAAAGGCTAACCTTGCGTAGTGTGATGTCCTTGTCGCAAGTTTCGATCCGACTGTTCTTCGCACTGAGGGCCTGCGAATTGTACAAGAACTCTGGACCCACGATATAATTTCCGAACTGGCAGTTGATGCACCATCGTTCGAAGACCTTATAGCTCACTACAAAGAGGACAGCCACACATGGGTTGTCATTGTTAAAGGTGATACCAAGGAACGTGCACTAAAAGTCAAGAACCTTGTCAAGAAGGAAGAATTCGACGTACGAAGCTCTGAATTGGCGACCTGGCTTCGTACAGAACTTCGAACGCGGAACCATCGTGAAAATTGGACTGAAACCCCAAAACTCGTCAGAAACACTAGCCAAGCCGACACTGGTGGCTCTAGTGGTGATCGTGTCAATGATGTGCGCTTCGTTATTCCACAGCATCGGAATAAGAAGACAAATCGAAGGAACATCATTGAATCAGGTAGGCTTGTTCTCAATTTCTCAAAATACGAGTGTTATCTGACTTTTCAGCTCTTCTACGCTCGCGGGAACTTGTAGACAAAGCTCTCAACGGACCCATTGTTGCCGTTGATATCAGAGATGACCTTTTAGATGCCATTCGCGACACAAGATTAAGCGACCCTGATAGTTGGCGTACTGTGATTCAGAATGCTCCCCTCACAGAGCGAAAGTATCTCGGACAGGCTCATGAACTGCTTCACGACGTTGCGAACGAATACCGTACGCCAAAAGATGGAAAAGAAGGATACAGCAATGTTTTTATTTATAACTATCGCACCGGATCGTGTATCTATTACGATCTGGGGCGACCAACGTAGTGGTTTCTGCACCAAATGATGCCTGCACTCCCAGAACTACTCAGTTCATAATCTATTTATTTGCGACGACACTGATAAAAAATTATTCAAGTCATATTTCCATTGTCTTCCTTTCCTGTGGAGATTTGATATTCTTATACAACATAACACCAATACACCAAGTAATTAAATAAATCATTCACTATCGTCATCACTACCGTAAGCAACTAAAGATCCACCTAAGCCCGTAGCAGTAGGTTTGGCTACGGTTGAAAATCCCTTTAGAGCAGCTATAGTTGAGCTTGATAGAATACCACCACTGGGCTGCTGTGCTGCTGGTTGTTGCGAGATTGGCGTATCTGTTGAAGCTTGCGCTTGAGTATCTTCAAGAACATGCTGCTGGTGACCAGAGCCTTCGATCTGTAGTCGCTCTGAGTTTTCAATTTCTTTTGTCCGCGCGTACCAGATCTCATCAGACGGTTCGTAGCCGTCGAGGCCGAAGCTTCCTTCAATCTTTTTCCTCTTCTTCGCTTCTGGGTCTCGGCCTTCAAGCTCTGCGACAAATTCGGCCGGAAGAGCTCGTCTAACAGCTTCCGCAGCCTGTTCTTCTAAGCGTTGCGCTTCTCGTTTCTGGGCAAGTGGATTGGGATCAACTGTTGCCCAGCGAACGTTGAGGATTTCATTGTGGTCCAAGCCTAGATTGAAGTTAGCAATCTGATATTTCACGTATTTATGAGGAATTAAGAAGTATTGGGGGGATGTGGTTAGAACATACTTTGATGTGCCATAGCTTCTTTCGCGAATTGTGCGTTAGCCTTCACGTAGGTCAGTTAGTATCTATTACCCTAACGCGTAGAATCATTGTAGAGATATTACCTCATTGGAATAAGTCACAAATGCAACGCCTCGTGCTGTTAAGACACGAATTCGATCCACCTGTCCCCACTCTTGAAAGTGTCTCGCGACAATTTCTTCGATATCATCCTAGTACCGTTAGACTCAGCTCTAGTTGTTTCGGTTATTCTGGAGAAGGAATAAATACAGTGACATGAATGCGACCAACATATATGGTCCTGTTCTGTCGCATAAATGAGCCCACACCACCCATATCATCTCTGTAATCACTGAATTTATCGCGACCAAAGCAGTCAACATTCGGATTATAAATATCGTGGATGGTTGGTAGGCGATGCAAATATTCACATTCACTTCCATTGGGACTAAAATCAAGATGTCAGCATTTGAAGACGACCAAGTATTAAGTAAATCATGGATTTCCAGGTGTTGTATGATTTGTATCGTGGGTACCCACCAAACACCTCTTGCAAAGAACATGCAAAAGTAAGAGCCTGGCGCTTTATCGGCACGAGTATAACCACTGTCTTTTAGGATATTGCACCGCCCAGCAGCTGCTGTTTTCGACAAGTATTTATCTTCGCGATCACCACCGGACCACTTGTTGTACCTAGAAATGGCATGATTAGCAAAGCCGCCATTGAATAGGTTGAAGATAGACTGGCGCATACCAGATATTGAAAATTGTACCTAATAACGCCATGATTAGCAAAGTTGCCATTAACTAGATTGAAGATACAGGGTGGCGCGCTAACCTGTCTGCGGCGGAGGTTCCGACTTGATCGTTGATGGATCAACTTGTACTCTAGCTGGACGTCGTTTTCGTCTAATTATTTTCTTGGTCTTCTTTTGGGCTGCGTCACCGTCTGCTGTAGCGACAACGGCATTGTCGGGGTCTGTAGATGAAGCTTGGATGAGAGCAGTCTGGGGGTTTTCCACATCTTCCGCTTGCTCAATTATCTCTTCTGCTGTAATATTTGTGGTCGCAGATGGCGCCGATACGTCTGAAGCTGTTGGCTCAGCCATATGTCTTGTTTTTGGTGTCGTGTGTTCAATGATGCTTAAAATTGAAGCTTATCGGAGTTCACGCGGAATCTGAAAATCTTGCTTATGTAAGGAATATTTTGCCACTTGTCACCGCTCGATATTTGATATTGACGATGCTTGAAATTTATTTACCAAGTTGAAGAAACTTCAACGAAAATCTACCTTTCTCTTTTGCCTGTCTTATCATTTTCTTTTTCTAGAAAGTGTTTTAATTACTTTCAAACACACCGACTGATTCACCCTCAGCTTCATTTTCAACTTTTATATCGGTGATTGCGGGGAATCCCCAAAGGCAGGCAAGATGGTGAATATCACAGATAAAATCAAGGAGTAAGTTTCTTACAGTGTTCAAAGTGTTTATTTTTTGCTAATAAACTTTTTAGGATTGAGGAAGAGATGCGGAAGACGCAAAGTAAGCCCATTATTAATTTATTCTTGTTTCAACCCCGCATTCCAAGACATTATCAATTAACGACAATCATTGGAATTTAGAGAATAAGGCCACAGGTGAGTCGTACATCAAATAAGAGAGTAATTTCCGAGGTTCTAACTCGGTATGCAGAGTATCATTTGGGTCTTTTGAAAGGGTGTGTTTCTTCGAGCCAGAAACCGGCTTCCAACATAAACTAATAGTATCTTCCACAGCAAACTTGCTCGTCTTCGAGCTCAGCTTCTTGAACCAGGCCCTGGCTCAGGTGCCAGTGGAGGCTCTGGGTTTGATGTCAGCAAAAGTGGCGATGCCCGTGTTGCACTCGTTGGCTTTCCATCCGTGGGAAAGTCGACATTCTTGTCTAAAATCACAAAGACTCGCAGTGAAGTCGCTGCGTACTCATTTACCACTCTAACAGCAATTCCCGGTGTTTTGGAATATGGTGGAGCTGAAGTTCAAATCCTGGATTTACCAGGTATCATTGAAGGCGCTGCGGAGGGTAAGGGTAGAGGACGACAAGTAATTTCTACTGCCAAAACCAGTGATTTGGTTCTCATGGTTCTTGATGCAACCAAGAAAGCCGAACAGCGAGCATTACTTGAGGCCGAATTAGAAGCTGTCGGTATTAGGCTCAATCGTGAACCACCGTAAGTACCTTTTGTTTTACTGAGGCCAAGAACTTTTTCTAATTCGATACAACAGAAACATTTATCTGAAAGCTAAGAAGGCCGGTGGAATGAAAATCACCTTTCAAAGCCCACCTAAGAACTTAGACGAGAAGATGATTTACAACATACTCCGAGATTACAAAATGCTCAATTGCGAAGTATTGGTTCGAGATGATACTGGTAGGTCCAATGTAAACATTTCACCGAGTGTCAAACATGGTTTCTGATATACAATCTCAGCAACTGTCGACGACCTGATTGATGTTATCATGAAGGATCATAGGAAATATATCCGATGGTACGTACTTTGCTGACTAGACAAGACGGTAATTAACATCAGCTTTTAACAGCTTGTACGTGTACAACAAAATCGATAGCGTGAGTGTGGACTTTTTAGATCAGCTGGCTCGTGAACCACATACAGCAGTTATGAGTTGCGAACTCGATCTCGGCGTTCAAGATGTTGTTGATCGCATATGGAAAGAACTTCGTCTCATTAGAGTCTATACGAAACGGTATGCGGCTGATTACACTCACATGAGACCTCATTTGATTTTGCTAATTTAGAACTATAGAAAGGGAATTGATCCAGATTTCAGCGAGGCACTTATTGTCCGCAGCAACTCCACAATAGAGGACGTTTGTGACTCTATTCATCGTACACTCAAGGATACGTTTAAATATGCACTGGTTTGGGGGGCAAGCGCACGACATATCCCGCAGCGTGTGGGATTAGGCCATCCAGTCGCTGACGAGGATGTTGTTTCGATTGTTGCGAAGTAATTTTTGCAGCCAAAAATACCTAATGAAGGCAGTTTTGTTACTTTATGTTCACGAATTACAGAGTTAACATGCTTATTCCGGAAGGGTTGAGCCTATGTACTGTTCTGTAAACCCACGTCAATGTAATGATGTGTCATAGTAGGTGAAAATGAGTGTCTATGATTATATGTATTCAGACATAAATATCTACCCGAAATAGTAAATGACCGAAATAGTAAATAAAAATCGAAGCATGTATCAGAAACGGGGTTGGGAGTCCGATCCCCTTCAGACAACTTATCAAGTCGACAAGGAAAATATTATATAAATACACAGTTGAATAGTAAGAGTAATGACGGTAGATCGGAAAAGAGAACAGAGGCTTAAACATAACGATGCTCAAATTTACCCTAGCAATTTTTCAATATCTGCAAGATTGGCCGATTTGGCTTTGGTTTTGCGTTTATTGTTTTCGGTCTCACTGAGGGCAGTCATTGACAAGAGACGCTTGTTTTCTTGGATTGCAAGGACACGGTCTTCAATAGATCCTTCCATAACTAGACGCCAAACAGTAGTATCACGCGTTTGGCCGAGCCTGTAGACACGATCCACAGCTTGGTCTTCAATTGCGGGAGCCCACCAGCTGTCGCATAGGATTACTTGGTTGCCTGCCACAAGGTTGAGACCCACACTGCAAACATTCAAACTGGCAAGTAGAACTGTGCACTCCGGATTGTTTGTGAACTCATTGATGGCTTGATCCCGTTTCGTTGAATTAAGTTTGCCATCAATGCGGGTGAAATTAATACCATGGTGCTGAAGATGGGGTTCGATGACATGAAGAAACGAGGTCCATTGACTGAAAACAACAGTTTTGGTCCCTTCAGCCTGACCTTTAGCAGTCAATATTTTGAGAAGGGCATCAACCTTGCTGCTACTTGCGTTAGGGTCCACCTCAACAACTGCTGTGTCTTCACCCAGTTCCGTTGCTGGAGAGACAAGATTGTTCGTATCTTTGATATCAGCACGACAAAGAGGACACTTGTGCTGCCTCTCGATAACTTGTTCAATACACGATTTGTCAAAGGCATGTCCGCAGGCGGTAATAACAGGCTCCTCTAAGTTATCAAGACAGACCGCACAAGTTTCCTGGCTTTCAATCCGCAGCTGTAGTATTTCTTGAAGGGCCTTGATGTTCTCCGGTGTTAATTCGATGACTTTGTTTTGGTCAAGCAGGGACATCAACTTGTCCACGCGATTTTTGCACAATGCCCAATGGTTGCACACTTGACGCATCCGAAGGAGGATTTCGAGGAGGTGAGTGTAAGTCGGGCCAGTGCCACCAGTCTCATTATCTCTAGTCTGATACCGGTCGAGCATGCCTTTCGCTTCAGCTCTGTGGATTGTGTTAGTATAGAAGAGAGAAATATGAACGGAACATACTGGAACATCTCATATTTTTCCTGTTCGTGAGAGTGAAATTTGATGCGCAAGACATGGGATTTCATAGGTGGAAGTCGTAGGTTTATGAAAGACATGTCCTTGCGTCGTCGTAGACAAATAGCTGCCATCAATTCTTGGAGAATGGAGACACCAAGAGGGTCTCCACTATTTAATGGACGAATCAAAACGGCATTAAACATGGTCAAGTCATCTAAACCACCCGACAGCCGTAAGAAACGCACTTGTGAATACAAATCTTTGAGTGAATTGATGATCGGGGTTCCAGTCAGCGTCCAACGAGAGTCGGCTCTCAAATGGCACGCCGCAAGAGAACCCTTCGACCGAGGGTTGCGGATAGTATGGCCTTCATCAAGCACAACGCGGCGCCAATGGACTGAGTAAAGTCCTTTAGCACGGGAGAGAGGGCCTTTCACGTTCGGGGTATATTCAGAAACTAGTGCTCCGTAACTGGTAATGACGACATCGTATTGGCTCAAGTTTGCGGCTTCCTTTTTACCAGCGCCATGATAAACTAGGATCTTCGGGGTATGCTCTGCTTTCACATGAGCTTCTATTTGACCTTTCCAGTTGCTCATCACGCCGACGGGGCTGAGGATGAGGGTTGCCGTAGTGGCTTGGGCACTTCTAGGCCTTGAATTTGCCATGATCAACGAGATAATCTGGATTGTCTTGCCAAGGCCCATGTCATCTGCTAGAATTCCTCCACTTGCAAGAGGGGGCTCGTTTGACATAGCATAATTGGTGGCAACGTTTCTATATCTAGGGCCCTCGCGTTTCCACAGCTGTACAGCGTTTTGAGACTCTTCGGTAGGAAGACAAGGAGCTTCTTTCTCAAGCATCCATGCCAATCCTTGTCGCTGGTATGGTAGCAGCTCGGTCTTCATAGTCGGTGGCGTGTCAACCATTGGCATATTAGCCAGATCAGACTCTTTCAAACCAAATTTTTCTGCGGACTGTCCCATTTTTCGAGGATCAAATGAACTACTTTGGTCAAGAAGATCTTCCAGGTCCGCAACATCCACTGTTTGGAGAGAACCAAAAGAGCCTGCATAGGGACCCGATTTGCCGTTCCCTTTCAAAGCCATTGCCCTCCTCTCAGCTTCTTTGCGTTTCCGCGCGCGCTCTGCTTCTATTAATTGCTTTTTGCGCTCAAGGTTAAGAGCATTGATTTTGGAAAGCGGCAGCCTATCCGCTTTCATCCTCTTCTTCAATTGTTCCTGTCGAACTGGGTCGCCAGTACCATAGAGCTTGAGAACCATAGGGCAATCGTAAGCCCCAATGACTCCAGTGAGTATGCCCTCAATAATCAAGCTTCTTTCATCCTGTATTATATTAGCAACAGGTTCAAAGCTTTTGGTACCAACGACTTTACCATGTACTTTGCAAGTTTTGCGGCTATCTGACGGGGAATATGGCCAATCTGTTGACCCATGACATTGAGCACGCGAATAGCGTTGGGGTCATATTGGTTGTTAGGTTCCCTGGCAACAACAACGTGTTCACCCAGGGTGGCATGACCTCGGTAATATCGTACTCCTACGATTTTGGTGTGCATGTCATCTACACGACATTAACTAAAAGCTTTATGATGAGGGTGGTGGAACCTACCAAAAAGCTGGTATTCTGTGACATCGACGTCATCCAAATTCTGACTGCTCTGGATGAGATCATTAGCAGCAGCGTCGTCATCATCTAGCTGGCTGAACCGGATTGAATCGGATTGGCTAAGTGGAAGGAAAGAAGTGTCCTGTCCAAAGCGTTGTCCGCTGCTCGCATTTGTCAAAGGAGGTGCCTTCGCATTTCGGCTAATCTTGGTGGGACGATGTGCATTCTCATCATCTTGGCTCAAGTCTATGATCTCAACGCCGCGTTTGTTCTTATTCACTTTGTGAGAGAGGGGCATTGATTGATCAAAAGACGGCGATGCGTCTTACAAGTAGCCTATGCGAGTTCGTAGTTTGTTGCAGAGCTATCAACTCCCAAAAGGGGGATGACAGAGATCAGAGATGCTTATCATACGATAATGGTGATTAAAAAGGTCCAGAAACACGGTGATTTTATCAAAGAAGGCACCTCGCGTGAATGAATCAAACGATATTAGCCGTCGACTCTATCGATTCTCATCTTCATAATACCCCTGTCGTCCACTTAGGATGTGATTCGTTGTTGTTGGCCAAAGCCCATCGCCAAAACGCGTAACTGCCCCTGTTCACGTGACCAGTGACCGCGTAAACAGCGCACGTGACACTGGTGCTGGTGGGTCACATGCCTTGACACACTGGATCGGATCCTTATAGTTAAAGGGGTAGCGAATAGCTGCCCATTCGTCCTACACGTACTGGTGAAGCTTTATTCGATATAGGAATCAATATATTCACGCTCTGCCAACCCTATCCTTACATTGTGGGTGAGTTAAAGCTTCACTGTTCAAGTTTAAGGCTATAGAGCAAGGCTACTGGAGAAGTGACTATCGGTTTAAATTATATAGATCTAGAAGGCTTTGAACTAAAGGCAAATTAAAGTTAAATGGTTTTTATTAGGGTGGCCGTGAAATGGTTTTGTGGGTCTGCGATATACATCAGTGATCCCTAAGACAGACGGCGGCGTATTCCACGTGATATTGACCCTGCGTCTCAAAAATTCCAAGACTCTGCAACACTTCTCGCTCGCACGTATAATTGTACTATTTTGATGAGGTTACCCTTTTTTTCATCAAAAGAACGTCGTGAGATATATTCACAGTCGTAATAGACGAGCAAGTAAAAAGTGACGTTCTGGGCGAGATGAAAGAGTTCCTTGATAAACAGACCTGATCGATATTATAGGGCACACCCTGATCAACTCATTCGCCAGATCCGAGTCAACTAGATGGTCAAATAGTTCCATCCATGTATCACGACAATCTTCCAGTTGTACCGAATTTCTTCCTGGCAGCGAAACGTCCTAATGGGCCAGCATCAGTAGCCATAAGACAAGCAAGTTATGGGGGTGCATTACGAGCAAGGGGAATGCACTCGCTTCGGTCATATGGACAGCCAAGGCGTGAAAGACATGGCTCGCAGCAAACGATTGATGAATCTGCACAAATAGGAATGCCACCGTCGGAACTAGGGCGTGTTTCAATTGTAAGCGGCACAAGTAGCAATCGACATGAGGAACACCAAGGTGGCTGGATATCTATGGATATACAGACCTGGCGACCACAATCTTGACATGAACAATATCACAGCATAGTTTAGGAGAAAAGAGGCATAAGATACACAAGGCTTCTGGCCGAGAGAAGGCAGATAAAATGAGAAAAAATATGACCATCTTACAGAAAGCATTTGTTTATAGATGTAAATGGACAGCCTAGACTTAGAAAAGATATCAAAGGAAAGGTATTGATTATAGTGTTGAGTTTACTGCATGATATATGTGGGATTGTTATTGGTGAGTTTATCGATTTTGCATGGGATAATCCAATTGTATGGTGTTGATCGAGAATAAAAACTCGATGTACTATTATCATAAGATTAATAATTAGTAAAGAGACAGGAGTATAACCCTAATGCATGAGCCAATAAAGAAAAGAAATGTCAGAAATAGGGAAATATGTCTCAAATCCAGAGCCGGGATGCGTTAGTCCCAAAATGGTACTTAAGTCTGCTTACGCATATTATCCTACATCTTTCCTTTCCTTTGTTCAATCCTCCTCCTCTTCCTCTTCCTCTTCCTCTTCCTTTTCCTTTTCCTTTTCCTTTTCCTTCAATCGTCTCAGAGTATGAGTATACTCTGTTTTTCCTCTTTCCCCCCCTGCTTCATGCTTATGATTTCTTTTACTCAGAACTGAATACAAATCCAGCAAACCACCTGTATTTCTCGCTGCATTAATTGATCTACACACAATGACCAGCATCCTGCATGAGCAGATCGACCTCAAGCAAACCTCGCCCAACACTTATACTGCATCCTGGGATGTCGACTGGACTCTCGGCACGAGTACGTGAACTACAAATAAAACAAAAACAAACTAATAGATCCATATGGGTTGGCTAACTTGTCGGTTTTAGCTCTGATGGGCGGGTGCGTCGCCGCCCAGATTCACCGGGCGGCGGCAACGCATCTCCAGAATGATCCAGCGCTAGTAGCGCGCAACCAGCCCGATGTGCTGAGTATGCATCTCGAGTACCTCCGCCCCTGCGAGCGATGTATTAGCACCATTACCGTTATTACGCTAAAAATTGGCGCTGCGACGAGTACTATCCAATTGCAGCTGTCTCAGCACGGTAAGACCAAAGTCATGGCGCTAGTCAATTCGACCAACTTTGATAAGGCGGTCGGCCCCACCGCCACGACAGCTTGGTCCCTGCAGCCGCCTCCGCCCCCTAAGCCGGACTTCCAGCGGGTGTTCGCCCACCAACCAGATGAGAACTGGCTCCCGGGGCGCCTCGCCGGCGAGATCATCCCTGTAAGCCGCCGTATTTTGGGCTTATTTCCCCGCGCCGGCTTCCCTGTGCCTGGAGTCTGTGATGCTTGGAACAGCTTCCTTGGAGATGAGCGCATGGACGCTACCTATCTGGCTATGATGGCGGATGTCATCCCCTCCTTGTCCGACACGCTCCTGCGCCATGGCGGCTTATACGACGCGCACGTTTTCTGGGAGAAGATGAAGATATGGGCAGAGGAGAACCCGGGTATCCCTATTGTAATGACCAATACGATTGCTGAGGCAATGCAATCACCCACATTCAATGTCACCGTTACTATGGATATTGAGTTTAAGCGAAGGCTCCCTAAGGACGGACAGCGGTCGATCTTCTCAAGAGCCGCTACCAAGATGTTGCAGGACGGAAGAATGGACCTCGACGTCACCATGTGCAATGAGCAGATGGAGCTGCTCTGCACAGCGCATCAGCTCATCCTGGTTCTCGAAGCGCAGAGGAAATTCAATGGTAAAAACGCAAAGCCAACGCTCTAAATAGGCAACGTAGATCTTGGTGCTATTTTCTTGTTAGTCGTCCGAGTATTTAATATATTCATTAAATGTTCATGTCATTTTCCATGCCTCGAGGGCCACAAAGGAACTCATTTTATGTACACATTTCAGGCTGGGCGTGATATATTTATGAAATAACTACTGACTACACGAATTGTGACACGACCGATCCTACAGACTATAACCACCATTACCCTCACGCTCGGACCGCGCCTCCTTTAGAGGTGCTGTGAATCGACATACTGTCCACGTGGATCGTCTCCTGCAGACGAATAAAGCCAGCATCATCATCATCACTCCGCATGCTCCGTCTCTTCGATGCTGATGCCGAGACAAAGTGGCCATTACGCCTGTTGCTGAAATCAGAGAGTTCATAGCGCCGTTTTGATGATGAAACGCCGAAAGAAGCGTAACGGTTGCTGATGGCAGTGCTGAGCCTCGACTTCTTGAACAAGGTGACAATCAGGGGTCGAATCCCTAGGAGACAAGAGCAGATGAAATATGCACTGGGTTCGATAAGGGTGTAGACCATGGTGTCGATTCCCAGGTATGTGAGATCCGACATTAGGTCAGTGGTGTAAAATCCGACGAAACGGATAATGGAAGTCACTATGCCTCTACATGGACGCAAATATAATCAGTATACATTGATAGCGCTCCCACCGGCTGGGGAATAAGCAAGTCGTAAGCTGTGATTGAGCGTAGGATTTACTCACAGACCTCCCGCCATGAATGTGACAAAGATGCCATATTTTTGGATCTTGTCTGTGTGCAGCTGCCGTAAGGTCGAGTAAGGCAGGGCGAGAATAGCCAAGTCGGTGACAATGTTGGGAATACTGATGTATTTGTAGGCAGCCATTAAGTTCGCGCAATGACCGCCGGGGATGCTCTTGTCCCATTTAAAAGCAAATGGTTGGCAGATGGTGAAAGTGGCGATGATACCAGTGAAGACAAAGTGGCCGATGACTATTCCCAAGACAACCCAGGTAGCGATGCGGACTCTGTGGTCCATGAAGATCCTGAGGTAGAGAACTAGGATCGCAATCTTGGGAAATGTGATGCCGGCCATGTACAAGAACTCGCTGGCTGTTTCAAGCTTCAAAAAAGTCCCAATGACGCTCGGATCGTGGATCAACCAATAAGCTATATGTCGACCGCCGCCTCCGATTTTGATATAGACTAATCACACAAAATAAGTATAATTTGCTTCATACCAGCAAGACACCGTCAATCAAGAGGGCACACACAGATGCAGATGATTGCGAGTGACAACGAGAAAAGGTACCCCAACGGATACAATGTCCACATGGTCCAGCCAGTGCGCTCTACAAAGAACATCTGAGAAATGATAAAAAGGGCGTATACAACAGAAAGGAGGACGATGAAAGCAATACCGGTGTTATTAAGCTTTGCACCGTTATCCTGCGCCAGATACTCTGGCGGCAAGGCCATCAGCTGTTCTGGGGTAGGTACGGTGGACATGGTAACACCAGTTGACGATTTGTCTCGTCACTACACAACTTGTATGAATGTATTCACACAGATCAAAGCCCTGTGTCAAGTTGAAATCGTGAAGTTATTCGAGGTAGACCATTTGTTATAACGAGGTGCACGAGAAAGATGCAGTCGACGCGCCTCAAAGGTTTGTTGCTTTTCCTGTCTTCATGGATCCCTTTGCCAGACAGGCATTATGGAATCGTATTCAGCCAGACAGAGTTGGTGGGGGCGGATGAAACTCATTCGTCAGGACATAAACAGGGATATCGCCGTGCAATTATTAACCGATTCGATATGTTTCATTCGGCTTGATTGAGGGAGCCATCGTAGGACATAGCAGAGGATTGGCGTAAGGCCTGCAGGTGGAATATCATCGTGCATTGCTAGTTTTTTTATCTAGGTAGGTTGTCAAAGCTGGGTTGGGAAATAAATTCGTTCGGCGTTGGTATTGTAACGTTTAGGGTGGTTTATTGGGTACTATTATGAGACTGATGCATGTTGGCTGCAGGGTGCCATACTAACCGACCAAAAAAAAGAGGCTCATCCACATTTTACATGTCACCATCCTAGCTCCTATAATACATCATGATAATTATTTAGCTGTAGGACGGATTTGATCGACTAAATTAATATATAGTAACACCCCCTCGCGCACTTTAGTCGCCGAGCTCGAGCCGTCAACATATCGAACTCGCTCGTACACGGTGCTCAATTAACTTCGGACTATATTGCATTTACATGTAGGTAGCATCTGATATGATCGTTAGTCAGCATTTTCATTATAATTTGCTCTGGTGGCAAACTAGGGTGGGAAAGACGATGAAATACACGGATTCAAATTTTAGGATCCCCAGTAGGGGCCGTCAGTATTTACCTAATCATTACAATCCTAATTAGTTACTCTGTACCATATTATACGTTAACTTTTGGATCAATTCTTTACTATAAATCGGGACTATCTTTGGGGATAGATTTATAAACCAAGCGCCGAGTTCGGTGTTCTTTAGCCTCACCTGGTACACAATAGGTTTGAGAAAACTTTCGAGATGAAGTTCCTATGTTTGCACGGCATGGGCACCAATAGCCAAGCAGGTTACCCCATATCCTAGTTCTACAAGCGTTTTTGTCTCGTGCTAATTTTGCACTAGATCTTCAAGGTTCAAACTGGTAAGACCGTCCGGGTATACCTCAACGTCGTTTGATATGTACCTGCTGAACGTATCACCCTGTATTGATTCCTTCAAATTTCCGTTTTCCTAACCACTGCACTGTAGCTCCATTCCGATATGAGCTCGCCGACCAGCACACGTACGAGTTTGTTCAGGGGTAGTCCCCTGGGAAGTACCACCAGGTCAGTGTCATACCGAACACTGGCTAGGAATGCTCCGACTGTGTTAAACCTCAAGATAGAACTTGAAGCCCTCGCGGACCCTTCTTGTCAACATTATGCATACTATGATCTAAACTCAACCGTCAGCTTCATTGCCGCGCTGGACAGTCTGGAGGCTTACATCGAGGCCGAGGGCCCCTTTGACGGGGTGATGGCCTACTCCCAGGGCGCCGGACTCGTTGCCATGCTCTTGGTGCGCAGGCAGTACCTGAAACCCCTTGAGGCGCCTCTGTTCCGATGTGCCATCTTGTTCTCACCAGTGCAGGTCTATGACCCTGTGGCCTATCTTGAAAGAGGGGAAGCGGTGGTCCTAGACCGTGTTGCGTCTGGCATGTCTGCCATCCCCATCCCTATCGTCATCATCTACGGTGAAGTGGACGAAAGGAAGAACGAGTGTTTGGGACTGCAAGGGATCTGTGATCCTAATCTGCTCTCCGTTTTTGTTCATGAAGGTGGTCATGAAGTCCCCGGCATGGGTGTTAAAGGGGAAGCACTAAGGGAAACTGTCAAAATGGCTCGCCGAGGCATCACTCGGGCTGAGCTTGCAGTTGTAGCTTGAGGAAGCTCACACGTCTTGCTTAAGAAGAAAATATAGATAGCCTAGGAATAAAATCACATAGCATTTTACTGAACGATCCTGCTTTTATTTATGCGATGCTCACCAGGACAGAACTCTTAATACAAAATCATCCTTATTTCTTTAGAATAATCGGTTTTCTTCGCCATTGCAGAATTGTCGCAAAGACTTGTGCTGCTGCAATACCAATCAAAATCGCCATTTGGGTGTTGTACATGGACCCAAGCTTTTGTCGCACTAATGCTTGTGCTTCAGGTGGAAGAGTGGAAATTTGATCAGTACGGTCTAGAATCAGCTTCGTTTGCTCAGGGCTTAAAAATTCTAACAGGTGTGACCGCAGCGCTGAACTGGTTGCGCATGTCACGATTGCCAGACCATGGGAGCCACCCAGAATCCTAAATTGATTGATAGCCCCGTTACCAACAGCTAGACGGTTGATTAGTTTGACATGAGAAGACTTGAAATTTAAGACATTGGCACAACCTACCAAGATCGTGTTTTGCCACCACATGGGGCGTCAGCAAAAGAAGGATGATATTGAAAATACCAACACCCGCCCCAGCAAGGATTTGAAAGCCATACTGTGACGCTTCGATGCCAGCCTGGGTTGATGCCTGAGAGAGCCCAGCAACACCCGCAATCTGAAGCAAGGCACCAAAGATAAGTGAGTATGCTACAGAGACCCCCGTCTTGGTCATGATAACGGTAACAACTACGGCTGTGGAAGTCATGATAGCTGTGAAAGGGAGAAGCCGGACGCCGCCGTCGATAGCGGAAAGGCTGTTCACGAGCATGAATCGTTGCGGTATTTGTACGATCGTGGATGTCATGACCATACCAGAAAGCCATGCATTGCTTGGCAAGTTGTTGAATCAGACATTCAATCAGTCTTATGTTTAGGGCTATGGACTTACCCGACCGCAGCCATAAAGACTCTATTTGTAATAAGACCCCAAGAGAAGACTGGCTCTAGATTCCATTTACCTGTCGAAACATGCCACTGCCATACTAGAAATCCTGCCAGGAACAGAGGGGCCAATATTAATAAAACCAATACCTTAGGGGAGTCGAAGGAATTCCCCGAAGAGGCCTGCTGTAGTGCAGTCGTAAGAAGTGCCGACGCACCCACAAGCATGAAAGCTCCTGGGAAATCAAGTCGACGTAGGCGGGAGATTCGCTGAAGATGGACACCAGCACCTGTTAATCGAGCTGCTGGCTCGAGTCGAAGTTTGTCTGGCATGGCAAAGTATAAGAGTGCTATTGTGGTTACCCCGATTGGAACACTACAAAGTGTCTGCGAGTTAGTCAAACGAGACACTGGGGATATACAGTGAAAAGACGCTTACTTCATGAGAAAGCACCACCGCCATGCTCCTGCCTGGGTGAAAGCTGACCCGATAAGAGGAGATATTGCGACCGATATTGCCGCTGTCAACGTGAGGAAGGCTGAGTAGCTCGGCCATTTTTCGGGCGGCCTCAATTCGAAGCCATATCCTATACAGATTGCAACAATTCCGCCGGAGCCGATGCCTTGGATCCAGCGGAACATAATACTACCTAGCATCAGTTTTCTTACTACTGTGTGGTGATAGGATTTGTTGGCAACCTACAGCTGTATCAAGGTCTGAGCAGCACCACATGCGCCTGAGAATATTACAAACAGGATTAGACAGCCTAGCAGCACCTGTTTGCGGCCGAGGACGTCCGACACCTTTGCCAAAAGAATAGGAAAGGCTGATGGAGAAGGTGAGCATTAGGTGGGGTGGGCCTGGGGATCTATTGCGCTGCACACATACCACCGTAGGTTAGAAGATAAGCAGTGAAGACCCATGGGCTTTTCTCAAAACCGCCCAAGCTATCTGTTATGGCTGTAATGGCTGTGCTAGTAACAGATGACTCTGCTTGAACCATGAAAAGAGATAGAGCTTGGCTGAGGCCCGTCAGTGCCATAACACAACTGCTACTATAGAGATGAGCGTTTGACTGACCCTGTGGCGATGGCTATCAGTCGCCAACCGGATATCCATTTTACAGTTTCCTCTGATGCTGATACTGATGCTGTACCCTTCTCAATTTCCATCACTATCTCCTCATTATCCCTTTCTGGAGTTGCCGGTGCCGTCTCATCGCTCAGAGCCATGATGGAGCGTGGCGATGGTATAATATTCCCTGTTTGAGCGCGAAATCGTTTTCTTCTTGCTTCCACGTACTCTGTAGCTCCAAAATGGGTTATGAATACGTCTAGAACATAGAATAAAGCTAAACAGCTCCGTTGGGATGAATGCAGCTGCGTTCAAAGCAACAATCATTTCCTCGTCGAAAGAACGAGAGGGCCCACGAATTCCGATCCAAGCTGAAGGCTACGGCGGTTGTAGATCCCTGATTGCATTGCCTATAGGCAAGCAAATCCATTGGACTGAAATAGTGCCACCACCTTGGCAAGCAAAACGATGCCCCAGACTGGCGCACGTTGAGCACTGTAAAATTGCGGCCCCTCCCCTCTGTAGCGTCATGCAGCACAGTGGGTCGCCGCAGACCCCTAACTTAGTTATTGTAGATACTCCACAAGGGACCACGCCACTACTAACCGAGCGTCCAGGAAACAGATCCCCCACACCATCGGAGCATAAATCGGTTCACTAGCGGCGGCTACATTAGCTCCCCCTCCACCAGAAAGCCAATTTGATCCAAAATAGCGGCTTGGCTGATGCCTCGGTCTAGATCACTCGCTTACACACATCGAATAAAGCATGTTTGCGGATTCCTTAATCACATGGCTCATCTATTTTAGTGTGCGCCACGTTGGTACAGTTATTTCCCCAGAGTGAGACATACCAGGGTTCCCTGTATTTAATCGCGGAATGTTTCCAGGTTGCTGTTGACATAGTCTCCGCGGGCATATGACAGGGATAGCAGTGGATATGTCTAGTCTTTCAAGGCCGACTCGGGTACAGCCAGAAATATCCCCAACTAATCTTGGAGCGGGTGAGCGAATACTGTAAGGTTCAGGTATTGAATTTACATTGGTGGGTAATTCTAACACCTAGCATACATGTAGACTTGTTGACAACTGCCTGCAGACTGTGGAAGCAGATCCTGCCCTCGTCTTGGCCTACTCAGATTTCGTCTCCGAGAGTGCAGATGCCCTCTTCCTGAATTGCACCTCAGGACCTTGGCGGAGCGAAATATACGCGTCCCCCAGCTGGAGCTGCCTCCTGTCCCTAGCTCCCCATCCAAGCTCGGGTGCTCCGCCTCCAAATGTAGACCCAGGTGCCCTTCTGACATCCAGTCGATAAAGAGTTCGTGCAATTGTGATCAATATCTCCGTCAGGGCTAGATTCTTCCCGATGCAGTTACCCGGCCCCGTGAGGAACGGGTGGAAATTAGCTTTGATCCGCGAAACCTCCTCTTTGGTCACGCCAGTAGATTCGTCCACGATCCAACGTTCAGGTCGGAATATGTCCGGATCACCATAAACCTCCTGATTGCGTGAGTTGGCCCAGGGTACTGTGCCCACGATTGTCCCTGGCCCGTAGTATTCTCCTTTGATTTGAATTCCTCCCGGGAGCACCTGCCGAGGCAGTTCGCTTGGTCCTGATGGGGTGAGGCGCATTCCCTCGTCGACGCATGCCTTGAGGTACTGGCAACTAAGGAGTTTCGGCCCGTGAACAATTTCCTCAGGACAATCAAACGTCGTCAGTATCTCATTTACGAGATTCTGGTATCGTCGTGGGTCGCCAGTGAGGTAGAAGAATATACCAGAGAGACTAATGGATGTAGTGTCGGATCCCGCGATGATGAGCAGGCTGGATTCCGCTCGTAACTCATCCTCATCGTAGGCGGGGAGACCTGTATCGGGGTTTTTGGCATCGCATAAAAAATAGAACATGTCTTGACGCCTCTCTACCTCGGGCTTCTCCGCCTGCTCCTTCTGCAGAGCAATCCTACTAGTAACGCTGCTGTAGACAAATTCGTTGTATTTCTGCACGGCGGGTGGGGTAATGAGCTCAAATAGTCGGTCGAGGCCGCGGGGCTTGAGCCAGAGGAGGAGTTTCAGGAAAGGAGAGCGGCACATCTTGTTGAATCGTTAGTAAATATCAGATAGGTGCGGTAGAAGTTTAAAAAGCAGAAGTAGGGAATCTCACTGGGTAGTAGAATCGCATGTACTCGGCAATGCAATGCGGAACCTCCTTCAGCGGGTTGTCTCCAGGCTCCTTGATGCCAAAGGACTTTCCGAAGCAGAGGTCTCCCATGATATCAAAGATAAGGGCGTCCACCTTGTGTGAAAAGTCCACGGGAGCAGACCACTCTGAGTCGCTGTCAATTTCATCCATAATGAGTTGATTCCAACGATCAACATGCTTGATGATGAAGCCAGAGGCGGCGCGAACCAACTTCTCGGTAAAGGCGATATTGAGAATTCTTCTCTTCTTGGCGTGTGCGGCAACATCAATAGTGGTGAGAGTTGTTTTCTCGCGCTCGTTCCTCTTGAATGCCTCGTAGAAAGGACTTCGTCGTACATTGGATTTCATGCCGTAGATATCTGCGTACGCGTCCGGGTCGCAGAACAGCACCGTGTTGGGGTCAGGGCGGATTTTGTCGCCATAAATCTGGAACTGCTGCCACAGCCAGATGTGGCGCTTGCCGCGAAGAGCATGATACCACGAGGGAATCCCACTTGCTCGACCCCAGAATGGGCCCGGAATGTGGGCTAACGGATGCAGAAATAAATTATAGGTGGCCGTCGCGACGAACTAAAAAGCCATATTTTTTCTTATTAGCTACTTGTACTTGCATAGGGGAGGGGTGACGAGTACGAACCAAAAGTGGCCCGAGCAAAAAGAGAATCTCGAGCCATTCTATCAAACCCAGACTTGGTGAAGATAGGCTCGGCATAACGAGAGGTCAGGAGAGAATGTGCAGGGTTGGCGGTAATATTTGTATTGTTAGATCAGCAAATTGAGCGGATATTTGTAACTGTTCAATGCGAAACCTGAGAGTTGAACGGTGGAAGTTGAAAGTGGATAAGGCAAGTCTACCACCTGTTAACAAGACAGCACAAAACGACAAAAAGGCACGGCAAGAATGAGGGTGGTCACACCGGCAGTTTTATCGCTGCAAAACGGCCAGTTGCCCCAGCAGCAGTGTGTGTACTATGTACAAGTACGTGTACACGGCTAGTAAGGTGTCAACGTGCATTGGCAGGAACTTGACGACGAGCCAGCCGACGAAATACGAGGTCTTCGACACAGGCATAGTGTGCCATTGATGCTGGTGGAGCACTACTGGGTTGGGGAAGGCGCCCCCACTCAAAACGGGTAAGCCGTGATCGCTAGCGCTTACGTCACAAGCTGCCGGCTAACCCTAAGTTAACGTGTCTATTAATACTACGTCCACAACAACAGCAGCTCTCAGTGGTTCACCTGTGTCTGTAGGTACGTGTCATAGCTGAAAAATTCTTTAACTTCAATGGGTTACCGTATGCGATGATGCTAGTGTTGTTTATTGTCCGATCCGTCCCCCTCTCGGCAACTGCGCCTTTGCTATAGCACTTGCAAGGATCAACAAGACTGATTCGCCGAACTAACTATCGTCGATACTGTTGTATCAGTAGGATCAATAGAATTGTTTTCCTAGCCCTGTATTAGTGAAGTGGGGGCCGCTTTCAATGTGGGGTTGATAATCCTTTGGCATCACATTGTTGTTGTATTTCGGCGAGTACCTCTTGACACCACAACCGGCGCTTCTTTTATGAATGTGACTATGAAATTGGATTAACAACCCTTGGTGGCATTTTTCTGCACGAATTAAATGGAGGCCGAGTTGTGTTCTTGCAGATCATGGCGTGATACCACATCGTCAAGGCCAGCCGTCGAATGTGATCAGGGTCGCATAGATGCAGCAACGATAGCGAATAGCAGGGGATAACCCCAGTGTTGTATAAAACCACTCACTCGATGGAATATACCTTGAAAACGTATTTTGTATATCTTTCGTTCCCATTCGAAGAAATATAACTTGATCCAACCTGTCTCGAAAACTCATATAGATATTGAATCTTTCAAGATACTGCACCTATTCGCTATCATACAACAGCATTCGGCACTATGAGCGTAATAGAGCCAATTGCCGTCATTGGTATGTCCTTCAAGTTCCCAGGAGGAGCTGAAACCACAGATGAGTTCTGGAAGATACTCGTGGAAAGGAGATGTACTGCGACCGAGTACCCCAGAGACCGGTTCAACATTGATGCATTCTGGCATCCCGACGGCAGGAAACAGAACACAGTGAGTGAGACAAGCCCGGATAGTCATTTGTTTTTTGATACTAACCATGACAGATAAAATCACGAGAAGGACACTTCCTCAGCGGCGACATCAAGAACTTCGATGCTGGGTTCTTCTCAATGGCGCCACACGAAGTCGGGTCGATGGACCCGCAACATCGTGGCATCATGGAAAACACATATCATGCATTCGAAAACGCTGGCTTGCGCATGGAGGATGTTGCTGGATCCAAGACATCCGTTCATGTCGGTTGCTTCACCAGTGATTTCGCCACAATGCAGACTAGGGACACACAGAGCATGCCCAAGTACAACGCTCTGGGTACCGCTGGCTCCATGCTATCAAACAGAATTAGCTGGTTTTATGACCTTCATGGTGAGAGCATGTATGTCGATACTGCCTGCTCAAGTAGCCTAGTGGCTTTGGCCCTCGGTTGCCAAGGGCTGGCGTCTGGAGAATCCGACATGGCTGTGGTCGGTGGCTCGAACATCATCATCATTCCTGAGTTCAGTATCTCCTTAAGTAAGATGAGTTTCCTCTCCTCAACGGGGCGAAGTCACAGCTTCGATGCGAAGGGAGACGGCTATGGACGTGGCGAAGGGTTCGCCACCTTGATCCTCAAGCCACTGTCCAAGGCCATTGTGGACGGAAATCCCATTAGAGGTTTGATTCGTTCTGTAGGAATGAATCAGGACGGTCATACTAGCGGTGGCATTACACAGCCGAGCAAAGACATGCAGGTTCAGCTCATCCATGGTACCTACAGAAAAGCCGGTTTAGATATGAGAAACACGCGTTTCTTCGAGGCCCACGGGACAGGTACTGCGGTGGGCGACCCCATTGAAGCTAGAGCCATCGGAGAAGCTTTCTTTAATTACCGGTCAAAGGACGACCCTATCTATGTGTAAGTCGGAGCGCTACGATTCAAAGATTATGTGTTCGCTAACGTGGGCGGGCTGTAGAGGAGCCGTGAAATCCAATATAGGTCATCTTGAAGGCACCAGTGGACTCGCTGGGGTTATCAAGGCTCTCCTAGCCTTAGAACGGGCCGTGATTCCCCCTAACACCAATTTCGAAAAGCTCAACCCACAGATTGATGCCGAATTCTTCAACCTTCGGTTTCCGACTGAATGTGTACCTTGGCCTAAAGCTGATGAAATTCGACGTGCCTCTGTTAACTCGTTCGGGTTTGGCGGATCCAACGCCCACGTTGTCCTAGAGGCAGCTGATGGCTACCTAAAGAGTCTCGGACACAAGATGCCACATTTCTTGTCCTTTTCTACCTTGCAGAAAAAGATACATGTCCACGACTCTACCATTATTAATGGCGTCCATGCCACAAATGGTGCTCAACCCACAAATGACGTTCATAAGGTAAATAATCACAGAGAAACACCTAATGGTTTTGTTGAGGGCTTGATCACTGGCTCATCGAAGAAAGCCTTGCACCCTCGGCTGTTAATTCTGTCGGCATCTGACGAAGACGGCATTGCTAGGCAAGCTAGGAGCCTCTCACAATCATTGCCTACAGCTTGTCCACTTGGCGAGGACGGAGACAAGGAAGTACTCGATGACATCGTCTTCACCCTGAACAACCGTCGCACAATGCTGGAGTGGAAGTCGTACAGTATTTTGGAGTCACTTTCCGCTTTTTCAAATTTACAAGAATCACTGTCTTCGCCAGTTCGAAAGGTTGGCACGGCAACACCAAATCTCGGTCTGGTTTTTACCGGACAAGGGGCACAGTGGGCCAGAATGGGCCATGAACTGCTCGACTGGCCCGTATTTAAGGCTAGTATGATGCATTCTCAGAAATATTTGGATATTATGGGGTGTAAATGGTGTCTCATCGGTAAGTCATATTCTGTAGCTCGTTGGACTTCTTAGCCATGTTCCTGCCTGCTAACTGCCGAGGTGTAGAAGAGCTGGCAATTGACTCTCAAGATAGTCATGTGAATATTCCAGAGTTCAGTCAAGTGATGACAACTGCCATTCAGATCGGTCTTGTGGACCTGATCAATGTCTTTGCCATCAAACCTTCCGTGGTTGTTGGCCATTCGTCTGGAGAGATCGCAGCAGCATACTCTGCAGGATTTCTTTGCCATGAATCTGCCATCAGAGTATCATACTTTAGAGGTGTTCTCGCAAAGGAGCTTGCTCAAAATTCGAAGTCAAGATGGGGCATGGCCAGTGTAGGCCTCTCAGCAAATGAAGTGCTTCTCGAAGTCAAAGAGATGCAGGATCAAGATCCGGGCACCTTCGATGGCGCTCAGATTACCATCAGCTGCATGAATAGCCCGGCGAACACGACCATCTCTGGCCCCGTTGCTTCCCTGGACCTTGTCATTGCCCACCTTAATTTCAAGAATATTTTTGCCAGAAAACTCAAAGTCGATGTGGGATATCACTCTCCGCAGATGAATTCGCTGTCGTCCGAATATATCAAGCACGTTGCTAATCTGCGGCCAGGCGCAGAGGGCAACAATGTTAAAATGGTCTCCTCCGTTATGCCAGGTCTTGTGGGTGCAAAAACAGTCTGCTGTGGGGAATACTGGATTTGCAACATGGTGTCTCCGGTTCGCTTTGTTGAAGCGATGGACATCTGTTGCGCGAACCTTAACACAGGGGATGTAACGAAACTACTTGATAGAAGCCATTCGCAACAAATTTTTACAGACGGTTGGCTTGAAATTGGGCCGCATGCAGCCCTGAAGGGACCTCTTCGTGAAATCTTTTCCTCGAAAAACCGGAAAGACCTCCTTTATGCCTCCTTGCTGGTTCGTAACAAGTCCGCGAACCACACAGTTCTCGAAACTGTTGGGCAGCTATTCTGTCGAGGTTTTGAGGTTGACTTAGACCGGACAGCTCGAATCGATGAGCCCGAACCTCTCGAGACTCGCACCATCGTAGATCTGCCGCAGTATTCCTTTAACCACTCTGTCATCCACTGGGAGGAGTCAGCCCGGACAAACGCGTCCCGGTTAAGGGTACACGAACAGCATCCACTCCTCGGCGCTCAAGTAGTTGACTGGAACCCATTGGATGCAAGCTGGCGTTTTATCATCAGGAAAGACGACATTCCATGGGTTTCTGATCACAGGCTCCATGGAAGCATGTGGTACCCTGCAGCGGGCATGATAGTTATGGCAGTGGAGGCTGTCAAACAATTGCTGTCAGATGCCCAATTCGATTTTGAGCTCAGGGACGTCACTTTTACCGCTCCTATTGTTGTGAGTGAGACTTCCGAGGGTACGGAAACCCAAATCAGCGTTGTTCCGGCAAGTAACATGAGAGGAAACCGAGACCCGGACTACAAGTTCAGGATATATGTCAGGAGACCGGACGATACCTGGAATGAAGTCTGCGATGGGACCATTATTCCGCAAAAGGCTCAAGAGGCCGCTCTGGACGTCAACAAGCAAAATGAAGAAGAATATAAGAGACAGCAGGCACAAATAGCGTACGACAAGGCTTTGATTTCGTGCCAGGGGTCTATTGAGGCCAGCGAGATGTATCGTAAAGCCCATGAAATCTCTGGATTGCAGTATGGTCCTAGCTTCCAGCGCCTTACCGACATACATTATGACCGAAGAGGGCAGGCGCACGCACAGTTGAAAGCACTTGATGAAGGGACTGCGATATCATCCAGGCCCTTCACCATTCATCCGGCGACTCTAGACAATATATTCCAATTAGCAATTCCAGCCCTCAGTGAAGGCCTTACCCCATCGTTACCAACACTGGTTCCGTCACGGTTGACTAGACTATGGATATGCCGTGAAGGAGCAGGCTCCGCATCGACTGACTCGGGGTCCGGTCCCGAAGTCGCCCACGTTCAAGCAAAATTTTCTAGCAAACGCAGTGCTGTGGCTTCAACAACTGTCTTTTCGAAGAATGACATGCAAATTAAGGTGCAGGTCGAAGAATTGGAGTTGACTGAAGTCGCTCGAGATCAGGACAGCGCAGCTTCTGAACAAGCCGTGAGGTCCATATGCCATGAGTTACATTGGGCAGTCGACCCAATGCTTCTTGATAAGGGGGAGATGTTTAAGTACTGCTCACAACATCGTAGCAATACCCCCGAGCCACAAGAGTGGTACGTAGATGTTAGACTCATGCTTCTAGGTTTTGCCAATCAAACTATGGAGGCTATGCGGTCGGCGAAGCAGAAACCAATCCAATCCATGGAAAAATATGCCATGTGGCTACAGGCAAGACTCGACAAATTTTGGTCCTCAAGCCGAACAATGTCCGACCAGACCCAAGGCCATGGCTCGCTACCCTCAGGTGCAGACCTGCAAAAGCTAGCCGAACACTTCGAGTCCATTGATCGCAGAGGTGCCATCGGCGTTCTTGTAGCCCGGCAACTCCAAGAGATTCTCATAGGAGAGGTCAACCCTTTGCAAACGCTCTTTGCCGACGCAGAATACCTGTCAGATTTCTACGAGGAGCTCAACACGGTGGGAAAGGCGTTTCCAATGTTATATGCGTATTTGGATGCGTGGGTCCACAAAGACCCAGGCCTCAAATTTCTAGAGATAGGAGCTGGAACAGGCGCCACCACCAATATGATCCTCAACATCATTGCGAATCCCGATCACGGACCTCGATATTCGGAATATATGTTCACGGACATCAGCAGTTTCTTCTTTCCCGGGGCACAGGAGAGATTTGCAAAGTATGACCGGGTTCAATATCACACTATGGACATTGAGCAAGACCCGGAAGCACAAGGCTTCGAGATCAAGAGATATGATGTTGTTGTGGCTGCGAATGTCTTGCACACCACTAAAGACCTCAGCACCACGCTCTCAAATGCTCGACGGCTACTAAAGCCCCATGGAAAACTTATCCTGATAGAAATGACTACCCCAAATAATATCGAGACTGGGTTCGTTTGGGGTTCTCTGCCAGGTTGGTGGCTTGGCTCCGAAGAATATCGACAACTAAGCGCAGTTATTGAAGAGGACCGCTGGGACCATCTCCTTAAGCAGGGAGGCTTCACTGGAACAGAACAGGTCTTCCGCGATTGGGACTTGGATGTGTGTCATGGCTGGAGTGTCATGGTGTCCTCAGTTATAGCAGATGAGAATGTGGATGATGCAAAGCAACAAGCTGACATAGGAGAGGACGTGATTTCCAACGTGACGTTTATAGTCGATGATGAGAAACCTGAAGTGCAGATACAAACAGCCAAGAACTTACAATACATGCTGAAATGCCCTGAAGACACAAATGGACTAGGAATTGCGACATTTGATCAAATATCTTCCAGAGTTCATGATCTCGGAACCAGACATTGCGTCTTGCTTGCGGACCTAGATAGGGCCCATTTGCAGGAGACGAATCCAATCGTCTTCGGGTTATACCAGAAGATTCTCACAGGATCAAAGTCGATAATTTGGGTGCAAACGCATGACGAGCGGCCAGACTGCGCGCCTTATTATGCTATAGTCGAGGGACTTTGTCGAGTGTGTCGCAATGAAAATCCCTTTATCAAGATAGTGAATTTGACATTGGAATCCGTCACCGGCTCTTCTACTGAAAGAATGGCAAGCCAAATTGTCAAAGTCTTGAAAGCAACAGATCCGAATCCGAACCCGGATCTCCGAGCCCATCAGCTCGCGGCTGAGGATCAAGAATACATGGAAGTTTCAGGCTACCTTTGCGTCGGTCGCTTACGCCAGGCAAAATACCTGGATGAACATATTTTTACTCGGACGGAGAATCCAGTAGAGCTCCGAAGCTTTGGTTCAGCCCCTCCCGTCACCCTAAGCATTCAGGTTCCAGGATTGTTGGATACTATCGAATGGGTCGAGGATAAGGCAGCCTATGCTCCACTTCCTGCAGACCACGTGGAGGTTGAAGTTCGGGCTATCGGCGTCAACTTCAAAGACTGTCTGACCCTTCTGGGTCGTGTTAACACAGACACCTTGGGGAGTGAATGTGCTGGATATGTGAAACGAGTTGGCAGCGACGTTAGAGGCTTTAAGCATGGCGACCGTGTCGCCGTGGGATATTTAGATACGTACAAAACTCTAGTGCGAGTGAAAGAGAGGTACCTCGTGAAAATCCCGGACTCCATGTCCTTTGAAGACGCGGCAGGGGTGCCAACCGCCTTCTGCACGGCATATTTCTGCTTGTACAATGTTGCCCAACTGAAGAAGGGTGAGAGTATCCTGATTCACGCTGCGGCAGGCGGAACCGGGCAAGCCGCTGTTCAGATAGCGCAGCATATTGGTGCTGAGATCTTTGCAACAGTTGGCTCGGCGTCAAAACGAAATTTCTTGAGCGAGCACTACGGCATTCCGGAAGATCATATATTCTATAGTCGCGACGCATCCTTTGCCGACGGCGTCAAGCGAATGACAGACGGACGAGGGGTTGATGTTATTTTAAACTCGCTGGCTGGGAAGTTGCTCGTTGCATCATGGGAGCTAGTTGCCGAATTTGGACGATTCGTCGAGATCGGCAGAAAGGACATCGACACGCGAGGATTCTTGCCCATGTTTCCATTCATCAGAAACGCCTCATTTACTGGGGTCGATCTTGTGGGGATATTAGATGGAGCTGGGCAAAGCAACATGTATATACTGCAGGAAGTGTTCGACCTGATGGTATCCGGCGTCCTTCGGCCATCTTATCCTGTCCAGCCATACCCCATTGACCAAGTAGAACAGGCCTTCCGCCTCCTCATCAGTGGAAAGAGTACTGGCAAGATTGTGCTTATGCCACAGCAGGATGCCATGATCCGTCTCAAAGAAAGTGTCGATTCTGATTATCGATTTTTCAAGGATGCAACGTATGTAATTGCTGGTGGCCTGGGGGGCATCGGACGGCAGATCACTCGATGGATGGCACGGCGCGGAGCTGCTAATATCCTCCTCTTTTCGCGGTCCGGGCCCGACGGCAATCCAGAAAGGTTTAGAATGATTGAAGAGCTTAAAGCTCAGGGCGTCACTCTACGCTATGGGGTTTGTGATATCACTAACTTAGGATCAGTACAAGGAGCAGTACAAGAGGCGGTACGGAGTATGCCTCCGATCAAGGGCTGCTTCCAGGCAGCAATGGTAATTCAAGTAAGTTTATGGGCCTTCGAGTGATAAAAATGACCAAGCACGATCTAATAGAATTAAATTCAGGACCGGCCTTTTGCGAACATGACTCACGCAGAGTGGAGTGAGGCCCTTGATCCCAAAGTTCATGGTTCATGGAATCTGCATATGGCATTACCGTCGGGATTAGACTTTTTTGTGATGCTTTCTTCAGCAGTTTGCATCTTTGGTAATCCTGCACAAGCCAATTACTCAGCTGGTAACTCGTTCCAAGATGCCCTTGCTCGATACCGAGTCGCGCAAGGTGAGAAGACCGTCGCGATTGACCTCGGAATGGTACTCAGTGAAGGCTGGCTAGCAGAAAGGGCGCACATTCATCAGAGAGTGATGCAGTTGGATTTAGTGCTACCTATAGCACAGCCGGAACTATTTGCTATGTTCGACTACTATTGCAATCCTAGCACCACCTTCTCGTCTTTAACAGCGAGCCAGATTGTCACGGGGATCGAACTGCCTGCGCTGATTCTTCAGGCAGGGCGACAGATTCCCGAGGCAATGACAAGACCCATGTTCCGTGCGATGCATCAGGTTATGCCTAGCGGTGAAACTTCTCAGACAGCGGCCGCTAAAGTGCAAGATTTTGCTGCCATGTTCGAAGAAGCAGAAACGCTTGCAGTCGCGGGGGTGGCTGTTGCCGAAGCATTGAAGTTGAAACTCTGTCAGATTCTAGGCCTAGAAGCTGAAGAAAAGACAATTAATGATCAGATGGACTCCTTTGGAGCGGACTCACTCATTGCTCTAGAAATTCGAAATTGGTTGGCAAAGGAGATCCGGGCGGACCTAGCTATATATGAAATTCTAGGCGACGTCAAGCTGATAGATACCGGATTGGCAGCCGCTAGGAAGAGCATGTTTCGACAAGCAAAATGGGATAATGTAGGCCCTTCTTAGACAATTACGCCGGTAGAGAACATGTCACAATACTTAATCAATTAATCCAGCTAGAGAGCATCCGATACTAAACGGTGAAGTATAATGTAAAGACTATATGTGCTGCCGTCAATTCCTATGATATTATCTTTCTGCTTGTGCAGACCAATAAAACTACCATTATCATTGCCGCTTCGATTGCGCCATCTACCAGGCGCTGATGTCGAGCTGAAGCGGCTATACCCCCTGAGTTGAGAACGCCGTTCTGATGTTGAGACGTCCAGGTAAGCTATTGTGAATTCACACTGACATTTATAATTACTTTTTATCCCTTTTTAGTGCAGTACTTTGGCGGTGTTGATCACAATTTTAGGCATTTCGAACCTATCCCCAAAATGCTTAGTATCAAATAATCCGATAGATGTGACGTACATAGTTCCTCAAATTGAATAGCTAGACCATATTCTGGGTAAGTAGTCAACGTGGTGTGTTTTTATGTGGCCTTTGTGTGTCTTCGGTCGCCAATATGACTAATTGTCAGTATTTGGAGCTGTTCGAGCAGTCAAAGCTGGTAGGCTTGAGAATAAACAACGACGGTTGCACTAGTCCCATTCAGGTAAAGTGCTATCCAGGTAAATTCAACATCAGTTGATGCCAAGTAGTAACTTTTAGGCTTCAATCGGAAGATTCCCAACCGCAGAATGCATATGTGACGCTCGAAGAAAGTCCCAGGAAATTTCCTACCGAAATATGAAGTGTAGCCCAAGAAGAAAGAGTGACCAGTTTCCAAGCCGGAGCTCCACTGTGGAGGGTGCCATGGGCTAGTTCTAACTTCGTATTGCTGGACAATGTGCAATGAGGGGGTATTTGCAGGTTGTCTGAGGAATAGACTTTTCTACCAATGCCAAAAAATGTGATCTATACCTTAAGATTCTTAACGGGTGTGCTACATCCTCCTTCACCTCAAAATTGAAATCACTCTCTTTGCTTATTTCTGTCCCACTACCAAGATTCTCTAACTACATCTAGGTTGTCAGGGAAATTTTCGTGCAGTGGGGAAACGGCATGGTCCACAACGCTGTACTATATTGTGGGAGACTATATAATTTCCTTACCAAAGACGGGATTCGCAACCCTTTTTATAGGAATAGCCTCGCATTATTTTGAACTAAAGGTTAGAATGTGTATTGATACGTTCGTCTATTACAGTATTAATAAAGGAACTAAAGGGTACAAGTAACTGAGTGTGAACTTTGTTATGCTAATAAGTTACCTGACATGATGAGCCGAGGAAGAAAATCCCACGTTTTCAAACTAACCAAACGGCCGGCGGTGCGGTTCCTCTCACAGACGCCAAAGAATACCACAGGCATGCAACGAACCACAGCTTATGGGATTGCTCCACCCGCTGCCACTACACCGTGGCATATTTGGCGGCTACGATGTTGGCCTGCACTGAGTTCTCAGTAGCGTCGGACGGATAGCCAGAGGTCATCACGCCCTCATAGAAGGTGCCCTGCGCACCGTGGCTGTTGTCGCCGCCGATGCCAAGAATGATGGCGCCCTCTTTCTTCATCGGATTGTAGCCGGATGGGCGCACGCCGCTGTAGTATGTCGACAGCGAGCCGGAAGCAGCGTTGCCGCCACGGATCGACCACTCGTTTGGTTCCCCCTTGACAATTGCAGTGATAAACCGGTCAGAGATGGATAGGTCGGCAGGATTTTTGGCTGCGCTGTAGCCAGAGAACAACCCGTTTTCAAGATCAGCCATAATCCAAGGGCCGCTGCCGGAGCCAGTGCCCCAAACGGTACAGTCCCCAAAATAGATAGCCTCCATATGGCCGGCGCCTGTATCGGTACTGCTAGTCTCAGCGTTGCCATAATCAAAGCAGCAGTCACCATTATAATGGGTCCCGTCGAGAACTGCATATATTCCCTCTGCTGCATCGCCTGTAGCTGTGCCTTTGGCAGCGTTATTGCGGTAGCCAGTGCCAGGTGCAATATATACGCCATATGCCTTATGGCCATTCAGCTTAACCGGTGCGGCAGTCGCGTCAGCCAGATTATCATAGCCATTGGAAGCTGGACCGCTGAAGCCGCCGGGTGGAGCCTGGGTGAGATGATTACCATGACCAGACTGATCGTAAATGACGGTAATAAGGCAGGTTGTGTCAGCACAGAAGGAATCTTGGGTAGCAGCATTGGCAACCCCACCAGCTGATAGTGGCGCGATGGTGGTCGTGGTACTATCAGAGCTGCGTTTCACTTGGTAGAGTGGGCCAGTGTAGGCGCTATATAAGGCGCGAGTAGAACTGTGCGCCGCAACACATGGCGTGCCACCAGAGGAATAGATATCGCAAGGCCCAGCAACAACATGGGGGCCCATGAGAACAATGCCTAGAGCGAGCACCTGGTACGCGCGTTCCAGTCTTAGGCGTAAGGACGGCATATCTGATCACTTTTAATAGGGGAACACAAAGGTATGACGGTCACTTCTCTGAGTCTAGCTTTTTGAACTCATCAACGAGAAAAGCTCAACAATAGACACTGAGGCAGAACAGCTCTATTATAGTTTTTTCTCTTTCTTTTGAATCCGCACGGAATTTTGCCTGTTTTATTCATCTGTACCTAATCTGGAAAGATCTCCCTTTTTATATTAAGGGTGGGATGCGGTCCCATAATTATAAATAAAAGGGTATATTTCAAACTATCCATTATGACGCTTCTGGCATATCAGTCCTACTTTCAGCTTCAGAATGATGAAGAGACCCCCTTAAAATAACCGATCTTATGCTTCGCTAATCACTATCAACTTATAGCGTTGCATTGAGCATAGTTTTATACGATGATTAGAGGTGGAATAAAATGTCGACTATCCCGATTCCAGTCATGGGGCCATATGTACTCATTTTTAGTTCTTTTCTTCCCCGCGGGGTAATATAACCGACGTCCGACGGTTAATTTGGGTACCATTGAGGTTGTCAGTGATGTAACCGACGTTTAATTCGACTGACATGTTAGTGTCATACTAGGCAGTTAGGATAATCGATGTTTCTTCCCATTAACATCGGAATATAAACCCAGCCTCATTAGACCAATAACATGATAGCATGCACTCTACAAGTGGGACACTGAACACTAGTTGACATCGAGAGAACCTGGATTAGTAGCTATCTCGGTGCAGGGGGGCATGTATATGCCGCCTGCACTAAGTGGTTGGCTATCCTGACCAATGGAATGCAGGGAAATACTAGACATATAACATAGTACCTGACTTTGGGAATTCATACAATTAACCCTCTGGAAGTAGTGTTACAGTATTGTAATGATATGTATGAACCTTATTCATAATCACAAGTAAAAGACCACGGTTGCTATATTTTGACTAGTGTAAGGTTAGCGAGTGTGAAAACGGGAAGATTCCGACACTATCTGGAATCTTGACCATATTCGGATTAGCTTGTGCTGCACCCCGAATACGCTAATACAGATCCACTGCCCTTGCATGAAATGTGAGCTTCTCTCTACATTAAGGCTCATCTGCAATCATTTCTTTTATCCGTTACTACTCTTATTCTGTTTATGTAGAATAGTCAGCCACAGTACGCTTGCAATCTTGTCACTCATTGCTCGCTGTGTTATGCATAATTCTTTGTGTCGTGCTCCATTCTCGCCTTATTTCAACGTCTTGTCACTTTCCCTTACTAAATTTAAGCCCATTGGTGACCTCACGGCATGCTGTTCTTCGAGAGCGCTGGTCCTCAAGATTGAACTCATTGTCTGCTTTTGCCGTCCCGGGATAGCGCCCTTTCAATAGCTTGACTGTGCTGAAGTAGTTTCCAGCAGTCATGGCCGAGGTGCCATTACAGTCCCATCTCGACTTTATCAAACAAAGAGAAGAGAAGTTCAAGCTTTTACTTCACCAAGGTGCTTTTTCCCCTTTCCTCCTACAACATGCATTTGGTATCCTTCTTCTCCCTGTCATACCGCTCGTTATTCGTTCTACGAGTACCTTCCAGTCGAAACTTATCCGGTATGGATTCCACGCAATAATCACTTGTTTTAGCCTTTATACGATTCTTTATGTGCGATTTATTGGCCCCGGGAACGGATATGGCCTTGGCTTGATGACGATATGGCTCTATATATGGAGTTTGACAACCCTGATTTTCAATGACGTGCAAAGAGACTTTAGAAGAATCGAAAAGGAATATGTGGACTTGAAGATGGTGCCCTTACATGGTTCCCCCAGAGTCGTCGGGCTAAGTGAGTTTCATTATACAGCAGATCACTCTCCCAGGAGCCATAAAGCAAACAATATGAGCAGATGCAAAATCTACCGATGGCAATCTTTCCCTGATTCATTACCGCATCGTGTTGAATGGGTATTGGATCTCATATTTAATCTTCGCGGCCCTAATTGGAATTGGTGTATCCGGTCATTGCTGCCTTTCCCTGCAGATGTGATCAAAGATATTGGGGAACACGGATCCTCTCCACACAAAAAGACATCAAAGCCAATTATTGAGGAATCCTCGGCAAAACTGCGACACACAGCCTTTTCTTTCTTACGAACCTACGTTGCTTTGGATTTTCTGAAGGTTGTTATGATGAGGGATCCATATTTCTGGGGCTTTGTGGACAACCCCCTTCCGGCACCATGGCCATTCAGCATATTAGCATTCTCTTCAGCATTGATCCGCATATATCGATTGTTAATCAGCATGATGGGCGCCTTCTTTGCTCTTAAATATATTGTGTCCTTAGGCTCTCTATTCTTCCTAGGACTCTCACTTGCCTTTCCGCGCTTTTCCAGAACCATCACCCACCAACCTCTTGACGAGGCATGGCTATACCCCCCAGCGTTTGGACCGGCAATATCTGCTTTAGATTACGGTCTAATTGGAGCCTGGAATATCTGGTGGCATCAGTTATTCCGATTTGGATTTTCGGAGAGCGCTCGGTTTTTTTCAAACCTAATCCTACCAAACCCGCCGAAGAAGCGTCTTCCCTCTTACTATTCTATAGCTCGACGGTTGATTCAGGTCATGGTTGCATTTTCAATGAGCGGTTTGGTCCACGCTATGGGTAGTTACACCGCGTTTGCGGACACAAAGCCTTTCAACGCTTTTCTCTTCTTTGTATTACAAGGTATTGGTGTTCTAGTACAAGGACTCTTGGCCTACTGTCTATCACCACTCATACGACAAATCAGACCATCGCGACTGCTCATACGGATCACAAATCTGAATATTCTAATCGTGTGGTTCTATTATACTGCCCCATTACTCGCCGATGATTTCTCACGATGTGGTCTTTGGATGCTTGAACCAATCCCCATTAGTCCGGTCCGTGGTGCATTGGGCTGGGGGATTGAAGAGGAAGGATGGTTTTGCTGGAGAGGTTCGTGGTTTGAGTGGTGGTCGGGTGAGACGTGGTGGCAAAGCGGTATACGATTCACTTGAAGTGCATTTTCAGTTGACCTGCAGTGTTTTATTGCAACGGATAGAGAGGTATAATATACAGTCATGAATAATGACACAATGTATCTAGTATCAACGCCGATATTGTTTTTATAGGATCTATTATGTATTGTTAGGGCTATAAAATGTAAACTTTTATATATACACGCTTAAAAGTCTAACTTTTAGTCATCTTCATCTTCATCAGTATCCGGTTCAATATTCAAAGTCGGCATATCGTCATCACTGTCTCCGGAAGGGTTATCCGGTCTAGCATTGCCGAGGACTTCCCTAGGGCCTGAAGATTGAACTCTGGTAGCAACAGAGCCGAGAACTGAGTCATCGGTATTATGGGCTGTCGGGAACGAGGGGACAGACGCGGATGGCACAACAGCAGGTGATAAGGCAGTTTCTGAAAGAGTGACAGGCGTGGGTTGGGCCGTCAGTACATTGCTTTCGTCCTCCAAGCGCGGCTTTTTGACTTGAAATCCCCGCTGTTCAGGAGTATCCTGGCTAGGACGTGTTGAACTGGGTTCTAGATGATCCGAGAAATTTCTCTTGCTTTGCAACAGCAGGGGTTGTAGTACATTGTGGGATTGTGCTAAATCCTCATTCGATGCCGCTGGCGGGACATCTTGAACATCAATGCCAGAAACAATCGCTGAGGGGACATATTGTTCTTCTTCATAGTCATCAGCTTCGAAAGTGACGTTGGCACCTCCGAGAATAACAGGCATTCGAGGACGAAGCAGGCATTCAACTTCTAGCTCTTTCGAATGTCGTCGTGTGAGGAAGGGTAGGATACTAGGAATGGGTCTTCTTCCTTTGATAGAAGGCATAGGATTCATCACACCAGCACTCATAGCTTCCCGATTCCCGGTCAATACAGCGGTTCGGTCCATTTCTGCTCGTACTGGTAATGGTATGTACTCAACAGGTAGAAAATTGTATATGATTGGGAGTAAGCGCAGTGCTGCTGAGTAGGTGTTGCGGGATGACAGGTCTTTCGACGGATTGGCACCTTGTGAAGGGAGTAAAAAGGCGTCCACATTCAAAGATTGTGTGCCCTTGGATTTTGTCTTAGAGTCAGATTGTTGACTTTTAGTAGTTTGGTCGTTTTCAGGAAGTATGAGATCGCGACAACACTGACGGATCAATGTGGCCAAAGTAAAGACATTTGCTTTTGACATGGACCGTCCTACGAGTGGCAGGATTTCAGTCATTAGTGAGTAAGAAGATCGACGGAGGTCACTATCAAAAAGATCCGCCTCAAATGTCCAGATCGATTGTTCAAGAATGGGTTGGATTACTGATGTCAGACTTGTGCTGAAGGATCGTATGATGGCACAAAAGAGGTCTATACATGCACCATGAATCCTCGGTAATTCACTCCAGAGTGCCACCCTCTCGTCTCGGCTGAACTCACGATTGCCTTGACTCGTCTCATCGCCATCTCTTGGAAAAGTGACAGAGGTTAGTCGAGATGTTAAATCTAAAATAGCCCCGATGGGGACATTGACTGCGGACGGTGTTCGCGCTGACATGAAGTTCGACAGCAGGCCCAAAAGTGTCACTATTCTATTCACACCTGCATGAAGTCCCTGCCAAGGTGGAAGGCCCAAGGCATTCGGCGCATCATCTACAGGCGTAGAACTTTGGATTTTCGAGCTTTGGGATGGCTTGAAGTTAGGATCAGAAGATTCCCACTGCTCTATCACGCTCCGAAAAATGTGATCTGCTGTTTGATGAATAGAGGCTATAGTATGCTTGCAATCGTTTGCCCATTTTTCGTTTGATGTGTTTTTGGATGCACAGTGGTGTAGAGAGATGAAGAGATTCTGCGCTACATGGACGGCCTCCGAAGACAGAGAGGAGCTGAGAGTAGATGAACCCACAATTGGAAGAAGCAGGCTTTGAAGTTGGTTCAAAAAAGGACGGAATATTGTCGGGTGCCTACCAATGAGGTCGATCAATGCCGAAAGAACGGTCTCCAAAAGGCGCGGCTCCTTCAATTGCGTGGGTATATTGGTAGATTGCTTCCCAATTATAAGATTCAGCAGAGCTGTAATAAACGGGGGTAAACTTGGGGTGGTTATTTCTCGGACCAATGTTGGGTATCGATACGTTAGATGGAAAATGCGAGTTAAAGTGATGATCGATAGTCTCTTCGTTGATACTGGATCGGGTTTCTAGTTGGAACGTTAGCCAACAACGAAAACGACTGTCAGAAGACCCTTCGCATACAGAAAGAATTGATAATAGACCTCGAACCCAAGGGCCACAGTCGTGTAGTATCTCCCATTGGCCCGCTTCTATTGTCGCTTTCACCAGAACAACTCCAGCCCACCTGCCTTCAAAACTGCGGTCTTGCAAGAGGCTTGTCAGGCGGGTTTTCAGCTTATTGACTTGCAGAGAATCGCTCTCGTCCACATTTGCCGCTTTTTTTGTTTGTGCGGAGGCAATGACATCGCTGCAGTTACCGATCGAGACAGCTAGGTATGAAACCACATGAGGCAGTTCTTGAGTCGGCGTGGTTGTCAAGCGGTGCGTGATAGCACGGAGGGCGATTGAGGGGCCCATCAGTCACGCAGGGATAGATAAAATCTAAATCATCACAAACCGTATATAAATCTCTCGCAAAAGGAAGCTCGCCGTGACAAGCACTTGTTGGTTCCAGAGCGCTTCTGACTTCACATGGATCTTTTTTTTTTTATTGCAAACTGCGGAGGCCGAGAAGCTTGGACCCTCTTCGAGCCGCACATGCGCCGCGATCGGCCAATCAGCAGCCGCCGTGCAAGAACTAGGCATGTCTGACCGCCCTCAACCTCGGAAGCAGTAATGCCATTAGTGATTCTTGGTTGTTGTTTCCCTCTGCTCCCTGTGTACACCAACAAGGCCGATATATGTCCCGGCCGGCCGCAAGGGTCGCAACGTGCTGTTGACTGTCAATTGTTTAATTGTGTTACGGATGTGGCCCTTTCCTTGACTCTCCAGTCAAGATGAGTGAAAACTCAGTAAGCTATTCCTCGAACTCCGCAATAATGTCCCCCTTGTTGGTCGAGAGTTTGACGGTGATTTTGCTAGGTGCGAGAAGCAGACAAGGCGCAGGGCTACATCGATGCCTTGGATAATGCGCGCAGTGAGGACAAATGGGGTGAAATCCCAGAGTTGATCCGCAAAGTCTCCAAGCATGCACCGAATCGGAAGTGTAATGTTGCCCAGCCAGCCATGTCAGCATATGCACCCTAATGATCGAGTTTCTAGGCCTGATCCAAACAGCGAGCGCCGAGATTCAAGTCGTTGCCTACATCAGCAAAACGCGGCCAGGCACCGCCAAGGGCCAGCCAGTTCCTAACCAAGTGTCGAATCTATCCGAGTTGATACCACTACTCATTTCCGCCATTGAAGAAGGAGAAGGCACCCCACAGGATATATTTCAAGCTCGAGTCTGTTTGGGCTGGATACATTGGACATTATCAGAGCCCGGACTAGCGGTCGGGCGTCTGCCTAATGACTTTGAAGAATCTACAATCCTTGGTCTCGCGGAAGAGAAGAAGAAAGTCACCAAATGGTCCGAAATATGCATAGTCAAAGGAGGCTATATAAAATGTAAAAATATTTCAAATAGTTTACTGCTTTATCATCCGCTAACAGTGGCTTAGGTGCGGCACAATCCGTTGTTTCTGGTCCAGATGACGCCCTGAAAACGGCTTCATCGATCTTACCGCGGCTTGCTACGCCGAATCCAGGATTAGCCTCATGTCCTCAGGCTCTTTACTGGTCAGAGAAATTCCTTTCGAGAACAGCACTGCTTGCCAGCGAACAGGTAGGGGGTAGTGATGCATACGACTGTGATTTCGAGATAGAATTAGCTTTGAAAGCTTTCAGGTTATGGTCAGGGCACCCTTATGTCAAACGACGAGACATTACAGCGGGGCACGCGATAAATCAGTCTCCTGGGTCATCAGAGTCTGGATCCCCATTTTCTATGTGGATGTCGTATTACAGACTATTATCCACAATACTGCAACACGGAATGCAATATTTCCCTCCTTCGCGTGGGAGCCCCCATAATCAACTCGCCGATGAGCTTCGCCGTGTAGAGACTGTGTGTGAGAGTGCCCTCTTGAGAGAAATCCGATTCCCAACTGCAAGTTCTAGCAATCCTCAAGTCGAGGTATGGGTTGAGGAGGTAATTCATAATTGGGAGGTCTTGTGTGGTCCCGGTTGGCGAAACGACGATTTTGGAGAATCGGTTCAAGATGCCATTAGTCGCAACGTACTGGACGTAAGTATTGTGAAACTGTGAAATATCGCCGCTAAGCCTGACATGCTTCCCCAGATACTCTACCGAGCCGCTACCAAAACTTACCACTCTCATTTAATTCTGAAGCGATTGTTTCATGTGCATGCTGCTTTGGCTGAGTTTGAGCTTGCTACAAAGGCACTTGATACTTACATCGAGATTGTGATTAATGCAAAAACCAGAGCCGAGAAAGCAGCAGAAATCGGTGAGCTAGAAAGTGATGGAAATCTACTTCAAACTGTTTCAGAAGGCGTGCTTCTACTTTGTTGCTTTGGTGCCGAGGAAGAAGCTCGAAAAGCGAAAGACCTCATTGTGATTCTACAGAAATATGTCCGAAAAGCCATTGCCACTGATCTCAATACAGCTTACAGCGATCGGGAAGCGACATCCTGGGTATCGCCCAAAGTTATTGCCTTGGCTTATAGAGCCATCGGTATTGGACTGGGCAACTGGTCCAGATGGACGCCAGTCAACGAGTCTCGTGATGATATACGAGCGGAGGCTATTGAAAATCTCGAGAGAAGTATTGCGCCAGAATTCGAAGCGCAAGATGATATTTCTACTCGTTACGCCCTGGCACTTTTATTAGCGGAGTCACGGGATTTGGATAACGCGATCCTTCACGTGAGGTCAGCTCTTTCTACCAGAAGTAGGCGAACACAATCGACCAATATTTCTGTCGGGTTTGATGGGACTCCTCTCTCACAGGAACAGGACTCGGTGCCTCTTTGGCATCTTTTGGCCCTTCTTCTAAGTGCAAAGCAAGAATTTGACATTGCCAGTCGCTCATGCGAAGCTGCTTTTGATCAGCTACCCTCGACACTCAGTGTATTTGCTCATGATAGTAAACGCAGCCACAACAACAGTCACAAAGAAAGACCAGGCTCTCTGGAGGTAAAACAAAGGATACTGAAACATCTTCGCGGCCGCGAAAAAGAGCGCATCATCGAGACACAGATGACACAAGTAGCTCTTATCGAAGTTGTTGATGGTCCTGAAGTCGCCGTAAATCATACCGATCATTTGCTCACTATGTTCACTTCATTGTTTGAGGATTTGGAGCTCGAGGTAACCCCTGAAAAGGTCGATGTGGCTCAGCAGCGATTGGGTCCTCCAAAAAGCTCTTCTGGCACTGTGAAGAGCTTCCGGGGTAGTATTTTCGGCAGGAAAAAGGGGACAAAGGCCGCGGAGCGCACGAACGGAGCTGAAGACATACCCCCGCTTCCAGGCCAAGAGTCGCTTCCTACCACAGATGGCGATGCCCCATCAACTCAAGTGACCGACGAGGCGTTCACTGGATCTACCTCTGCTCGACCAGATGAGCATCCCAAGCCGCACAGGCATTATGCAAATCAGGATTTGAAAACAAATGGGTCAGACAGAGCCACAAACAATATACAATCTACTCCGCAAAGAGAAGATGTTGGGAATGGGTACGTCGCTCCCACAAGCGATAATATAGGCATTGCCATCAGTGATGCTCCAGTTCAGCCTTCTAGCGCAACACAAAGTGCAAAACAAACATTGCCTGCTGTAGCCCACAACTTGGAACACCAGCAAGAACCTCCTCCTGGTGGTCATCCTAAGCAACCACCAGAACAGGACGTGCGCCTTCCTGTTCCTCAACGCTTCGAATCTCCAGTAAGAGCTCTTACTAGGTTTCCCACTGCCCAAGCCCAAAAACACGCTCTTTCAATATTGGCCAAGGTTTGGCTCCTCATTGCAGGGTTGTATCGCCGAGCCTCGCTGTTTGACGATGCACGTGAAGCTTGTGAGGAAGCAATCAAACAAGTTGAAAAGTTTGAAGCATTGGTTGCCGCTCAGGACTCTTCTGCAAAATCCTTTTCGGAGCGCGTATGGGGAATATCTAAGAGCTCAGAGGAACTCTGGGGAGATGTGTATGCTGAGCAAGGGGCTCTTTGTCAGGCTCAATCGTCGCCGCACGAAGCAATGGAATTTTATGAAGAAGCCGTCGCCCGTGTTCCTAATCACCCTCGAGCAACAATTGGACTATCGAGTCTACTTCTAGATATTTGGGACGAAAAGATTCCTGCCCAGCCACTTCGACCTACGCTTGATCATGGGACTTCAACACTTGCATCTGCTAGGACTACAACACAACCAACCACCAGAAATGGATCAAAACGCACAAACGCCGACACGGTGGAATCTGTCATTGAGAATATTTATTCTGAAAGGCCGCCTAGTGCCGTGAAAAAAGATGAAAGGGTCAGGCACATGAATCGCTTGGCTGCGCGAGATCGAGCCTACGGGCTTCTCTCCATGTTAACCAAGACTGGAAGCTCCTGGGATAATTCCGAGGCTTGGTTTACACTATCTAGAGCTTATGAAGCGGGCTCACAGATCGAAAAGACGAAGGATGTTTTGTGGTGGTGTGTTGAGCTTGAGGACCGGAAGCCGATTCGGCATTGGTGGAACGTGGGTAGCGGAAGCTATGTTCTTTGAGTGTATTGATTATTGTATATAGTTGTTGATATTTTTCTATATAAAACCAACTATTTCTTTAAAATTTTTAATTAGTTCTACATTAGAACCTTTATAGTCTAGGATAGGCGTATCTCGTTTAAGTCCAACGATCTTTCATCACAGCTTTAACAAGGCTTTCGTATCCTTTTCTTTGGGTATATTGTCTTGATACTGTGCAGCAAGGCCTTCAACCCACTTGGTAATGTAGCCCCCTTCATGAGATGTTCAGCTTCATGTTGTGCCGTACCGGCCGTGGTTTATATGCCACGGGCATTTATGGTTCCCTAGTTAGTTTCTTAGTTCTTACACTCTCAGAATGGGCTCAATATTCTTCCGGCTGGTTATATTTTATATTGTATATTTGTATTGAGGCTTTGATTGGTTGATCTGGATTGTCTGGACACGTTGATACAGTATCCCTGATTCTTGCTCTGGTTTTTGCACTCGCCTATTTTGACGAGGCTTCCAAACTTACTCCTTCAGTAGCTGTTAGGGCCTTCTCTCGGATTTGGTGTTGAAACAGCTCTAGCTCTGCCATACTGCGCGGATGGGCTGTGCAATCCTTGAGCAAGATCTTAGAGAGGAGACTCTGATCTGTAAACACACTCTGTCCTTCTCGGAACGGTGGTCTAATCGGGCTGTACGCCAGAAGAATTGGTTGGCGCGATGAAGACTCCCCCATAGGGACGGCCACAGTTGACGTACCCAAACAAAAATGAATCCTTGGTGTGTGTGTCTGTGTGTCTGTGTAATATGGATAATATGAAGCTATCTTAAAAGCTGTGGAGGCCTTTTGTGCGTTTGCTAATAGCACGGTGGTGAAAGTGGACACCCTGAGGTCTCCTAACAATGTAAGTGATGATTTATGACTTCTCTGCAAAAGTTGTAGGATAGAAATGAGCTCGACTTATGTGAACCAGTCAGATGAGGTAGGCGAGCTTTTGTCAGGGAGCAGGCACAAGTATATTCCGAACTTCAGTCCTCACATATCCAATTTACCGATAAACCCATCTCTTGTAGAGTTTGAGTGTCATTATCGATACTTTCTGATATCCGGTTTCATCATCAAGCTCAGCGCGATTTCTTACCAGGAGGCTTACAGTTGTGAAATCTAAACGGTTTCGATGTTTTGATATACTTAAGAGAATTGTGAAGTGAAAAATATGTGGTCATTCCGGATCTAAAAGAGAAAAGAATGAGATTTTTACAAAGATTGAGCATTTTCATCCTCAAAAGACCTGTTAGACATGGAAAAGTTTCAATTGAGTTGTACAATCTATCGAGGAGCAGCAACTGGCTGCCAAGCAGAATACTTGGCCTTGACACTGTAAGATAAAATATGTTAGTCTATAAATTCAGAAAATAAAGTTTCTGCAACAATATCAACTCACGTTGAGTATGGTTTATAGGCACCACGAGACAAAGTCACATTTGCGCGGTGCTCGGGAAGTTCCCAAGTGCGCAAGCCAGTCTGCAAGATCTTGTCCGTTGTTGGAGGAGCGTCAACCATATATGAAATCCAAGCATGCCTAGATACAACAGCCGGTATTAATCCACTATTCCTTTACAGAACTTGGGGGGGTTCTTCGACTTACCAACCAGGCTCTATCTGACTCGCGTCGAAATCTTTCTCTTTGTAATCGACCCATCTGGTTCGGACTAATTCTTGTTCAGCGCTCATGCAACCCATTAACTGCGATGTACTCACGAGGCAGTTCCTCCTCCATGTTTTCGTAGTATTTATTTCCGTAGCGGTCGGTCGCGATCAAAGTTCCGGCTTTGGTGTCACCTGCGATTTCCATTCAGTCAAGAGAACTCTATAGCATAATGATCAAATGCCTACCGATGTACTAATCGAACCATGTCGTTTTAGCCCTTGAGACCCAGTTCCAAAGAGCGAGACAACACGTACCTGCATTTGGTGGCCATAGTCCTAAGGTCGCATTTGTGAGCAATTGAGTATAAAGGATGCATCAATGGGAGATATGTACCTTCAATCCGATCCTCCACAAGTTTCGGAAGGTCCTAGTTAACGTCGACATCTTGAAGAACGGCGACCCTCAACCTATTATCTTAGATCAATCGTTCGAATGATGTCGTAGGGAAGGTTCCGATGTCGACGATGCCGGCTCGGCATTCGCTTAATCGGGCATAGCGTTTGACGTGAAATAGCTGTTTGCAATGTTTGCAAATTACAATTCAATAGGAAGTTAACCTACGGCCTTACTTTCTCTATTGCGCAAAACCATTCCAATATATTCGACACAGATGGAAGTCTTAGAGTAAGAGAGTATGTTCAAACGGGTAGGAGGATATTCTGTCCGATGCGCATGCAGGAGACCTGTCTTCCGAAAGCAAATCACTGTCCGCCAGTTTTCTGTTTATACAAGCGCAAACGCTTCTGCGGTGTCGACAGCGTCTCCCTTGGGCGGATTAACGGTTGAGCTCGACCGGATCGCTCCTCGTTTTGAAGTGCCAGCCTCGAAAATTACAATTTTGGACTCTCCCAGCTCCTTTTATGAGACATTGAAGGTCAGGAAACACCAATTGCTACACCCTGACCCACGCTAATGATGTGTCGAAAATACAGCATAAAATCAAAAATGCCCGGAACAGAATTTATCTGTCTACTTTGTATATCGGCAAAACAGAGTATGAGCTTATCGAAACATTAAACCAAGCATTGCGCGACAATCCGAACCTCAAAGTATCTATCCTCACCGATTGTCTGCGAGGCACTCGAGAGACCCCGAACCCTTCGTCGGCATCACTTCTGGCGCAACTGGTCAAGGAACATGGCTCCGATCGCGTTGAAATTTGTATGTTCCACACTCCTAATCTTACGGGGTTACGCAAGAAATACATTCCGCGCCGGATCAATGAGGGATGGGGTCTTCAGCATATGAAGTTGTATGGTATTGATGATGAGATTATACTTTCTGGGTGAGAATACCTGCCGGGTTTACAATGATAAAGCGACAGGAGCTGATTTACTACCGTCCAGAGCCAATTTATCCAAGGACTATTTCACCAATCGTGTCGACCGATACCATGTTTTTGCTTCCAAAGAACTGACCGATTACTACGCCGAAGTTCACAATGCAGTATGCCAATTAAGTTTCAAGGTCATCCCCAACTCGAAGCTTTCTGCAGGTTATGAGCTGGTTTGGCCTACCTCTAATGGATCACTCTCGCCTTTGGACAAACCGGAAGATTTCATTATTCATGCGTCATCAAAATTACACCCATTGATCCAACCTACTCTCGAGAAGAAACTCACTTCTATTCGTGAGTCAGAGCAAACTTTTGTATACCCCGTGGCTCAGTTTACACCTTTACTGAAGCCCGACACATCCACCGAATTTCCTGCTGTTTTAAATATACTCCGCCTGCTTAAAAGCGCACCTGCATTCAAAGATTCTCAATGGCTATTTACTGCCGGCTACTTCAATATACACCCTGGTCTTTCGTCATTGTTGATAGAAAGTACATCGCAAAATTCCACAACATCGAACCATACAACGAAAACACAGGGCACGGTCCTCACCGCATCACCGTGGGCTAATGGATTCTACGGCTCTTCAGGAGTATCTGGAATGCTTCCAGCAGCCTATACACATCTTTCAGCAAAATTCCTTGACTGCGTTGCAGCAGCACAGCGGACTAATTCAATTCAATTAAAAGAATGGCGCCGCGGGACGGTTGGTGAACCCGGTGGCTGGACGTATCATGCAAAAGGCCTTTGGATCACACTGCCCAATGAGAAATATCCTAGCCTGACTTTTGTCGGCAGCAGTAACTACACAAAGCGCAGTTACAGTCTTGATTTAGAGGTTGGCGCTCTTGTAGTGACGTCCGACGAGAAATTGAAAAGGCGTCTTGGAGAAGAAACAGAATGGTTGCAAAGCAATGCGCAACCTGTTTCGAGAGAGGATCTTCGCAGGACAGAGCGAAGGGTTGGGTGGAATGTGCGTCTTGCGATGTGGATCGTCGAGAAGGTCGGCGGTGCACTATAATTCTGATCTATGAATCATGTATTGTAATATAGACGTGTATAACTAAATACCACTCACTGCATATAAATGGTAATGATAAGCTGACTTATTCAGATACTGTCAATCGTTCTCAATCTATCTATAAAAAACATAGCATGAAAAGGTATCAAGAGACGCGGTTACAAGTATTGAAGCTGTATAAAGTGAAAGTAAACCAAGGCTAAATGTCGATTAGGTTTCTATCTCCGACCTATGCTTCGCCTTTCGAAGAAATTCGGGCAGGTCCTAGACCATGTCGAATCTCATCTAGCATCGCAATGCCCAAAGCTTCGTTTCCATTCTTGCCCCTTTTGCCCTTGGCGCCCTTGCGTTTGGCCTGTTTACTCCTATCTTGCCAGCCGGACAAAAAGTCATCCATGACATTGTCAAAATCACTTCGGAGGGGGACGTCGCCATAATCATTTCTAGAGGCAAGACTGGGTGCTTGAGATGATACTGCAGAGATACCAGTCTTGCCCGTCATACCCGTCATACCACTGACGATTGAGGCACCATCTACAAAGCTGGCATCGTCATATTCACCCTCTTCATCAAGGGCGTACAACGCTTCGACTTTATCAAAACGATCATCCAGTAGCCGCAGTCCGTCTGTTCTGGCCAGAGAGGATGATGTCATGGAATACGCTGAAGGATTGGTCATAGCTCCTTTGCGCTTCTTCTTACGAATTGGAGTACCTCCCACAGTGAACATAGTAGATGCAGCCGTACGCCTCTCAGAAGCTTCTTCCTGTACAGCAGCTGGCATATTTGAGCTTTTAGCGTCTTTTTTGAACTTGGCAAACTCTTGCATCCAGTCTGAATTCTCTGGAGTAAGATCTGGAACGGGCTTATCATGATCAGGCATTTCAGAAGGACCGTGTGTCTGTGTCGTGCCATCCTCAGAATCCTTTGCAAGAGAGTCTTCTGAATCCGTCCGAGGAACCGCTTTTTCGGTTACGTCTGACTCCCAGCCATCATCTTCATAGTCGTATATGGTATCCTCCCAATCCCCAGCGTGTAATTCTTCGGCATTGTGAGTGAGTTCACCAAAAACATCGTCATTATCCTCATCATCCACAAAAGCCTCGTCTTCAAGAGCTTCCAGAGCCTCCCGTAGACGAGGGTCCATATCCGGTTGGAATCCGGCAATAGCATCTGGTATATTTTGTTGATCCTGGTATGTAGGCTTCTTCACGTACGAAGCAACGCTAGACGGTGCATATTGTGTGCCGGAAACGCTTTCGGCTCCCACAATCTGACTTTTTGAATCATCATCGAAGGCAAGGTCTCGCAGCGCATCCTCAAGTTTCACTGCCTTTTCTTTTCCCTTGCCCTTCTTGGACGCAGCTTCAACGAAGTATGAATTTCCTCCGCCGGTGCCGAGTTCCCGCAGATGTTGCATATAATCGTATTTCGTATCATCGTAGAAAATGCCATAGTTCGCTGCTTCTCCCTCATTTTTCCGAATACCCTCTTGGTGGAATTCCTGTTCTAAGTCTGCTAGATTTCTGGAGGCTTTCTGTGATGCAGTCGATGCAGATGCATCTATTTGGGTGTCTGGTTTCGGACCAGACACCTGGTATAAAACTCGATCATCTGCTTCTGGATCATGGATTAAAGGATCCTGCTGCGATCGGTGGAAAAGCTGGTATTTGGTCGCACTCTTTTTGTCTCTGATTTGAGAATTTGTTTAGCGGGAGGTCATTCGTGAATTGGGAACGCTGGAGACTTACATCCACTGCCGTCGAGGAGGCATCTTGGTTGACTATAATTATCCGTCAAGGATGGTCCTGGGATCATGGAATTATACACGAATACTTGTAGATGTTGCAAGACCCCTCTCTTTTTTCAAAGTGGGAGAAAAATCCACGTCACGTGCAGGCTTATCTTATCGATTGGGCAGAAGAAAAATCAACATCTTATCCGAAGCAAAGCGGGGCATGTGGAATTTCTTGGACATTAATAATAATTTAACGCCACCATCCTCTTAATTTTTCTACAAAACAATATCTACCTCAACAGGCTGCGACAGAGTTTTTCTTGTCTGAGAATTCCTGTCTATCAAGACAAACGGTCGGCAAAGACCAAACATCGAACATCATGGTGCTCGCAAAATCCAAAAATTCGGTAGGGCTGGGGAACAGTCTTATGAATGATCGATTCGGCAAGGGAAAAGCATCATCTCAAAAGAAAGTCTCTCACAATGAGGCCATTGCGCGAAAGGGTATGAATGGCGAGACCTATATTACAAACCCCTCCAAAGAAGCCTCATGGGTGAAAATGCGCAGTATCACGGAGCAAGCGGCCCTTGACGAATTCCTTAGCACGGCCGAGCTTGCGGAGACGGATTTCACTGCGGAAAAGATCAATAATGTTAAGATTATCCATACCGACCAGAAGAATCCTTATCTTCTTTCTGCGGCAGAAGAGAGATCGGCGGTTAGGAAACATCAAAAAAATAAAGAACGCTTGACGATTCCAAGACGACCAAAGTGGGACGAGAAAACGACACCGCAGAAACTAGATTCTATGGAAAGAGAGAGTTTGCTTGAGTGGAGAAGAGGCCTTGCCGAGTTACAAGAAAATCAAGATTTATTGATGACACCGTTTGAGAGAAATCTGGAAGTTTGGAGACAATTGTGGCGTGTCATTGAGCGATCCGACCTTGTTGTCCAAATTGTCGATGCCAGAAATCCCCTCCTTTTCCGCTCCGAAGACTTGGAGATGTATGTGAAGGAAGTCGATCCTAAGAAACGAAATCTTCTTCTGGTAAATAAAGCAGATATGATGACGCTGGAGCAGCGTGAACTATGGGCGGACTATTTCGAACAACACGGCATTAGCTATCGCTTTTTCTCGGCTCATCTTGCCAAGGAACAAATTGAAGCACGTCTTCTAGAGGAGCAGTCTTCCTCCGACGAGGAAGATACGGAAGGTGTCAGTCTAGCAGATAAAACACAGAAGATGGATATTAAAAACGAGGAGGCTGAGAATGGGGAATCGTCGAGCGAAGAGCAAGATGACGATCCAAGCTCAGCCAAAATTCCAACCTCATTGCGAACTAGAATTCTCGATGTTGACGAATTGGAGCAACTCTTCCTTGAGAACGCACCAACACCTGGTGATCAGACAAATAAAGACGAGCCGCAAAAAGACAAAACAATTATTGGCCTTGTCGGATACCCCAACGTCGGTAAATCCAGTACGATCAATGCATTGCTCGGGGCAAAGAAAGTGTCTGTCTCCGCTACACCAGGGAAAACAAAACACTTCCAAACCCTTTACTTATCTCCAAATCTACTCTTATGTGATTGCCCCGGTCTAGTCTTCCCCAACTTCGCCAGCACAAAGGCCGAGCTTGTCGTGAACGGCGTGCTCCCCATCGACCAATTGCGCGAATTCACGGGACCAGCAGGCCTGGTTGCTCAACGCATCCCCAAACACTTCCTAGAAGCCGTCTATGGGATGAAAATCGCCACGAGGCCCTTGGAAGAAGGCGGCACTGGCATCCCATCTGCGAACGATCTTCTTCGAGCATATGCGCGAGCCCGTGGCTTTTCGACATCCGGCCTGGGTCAGCCAGACGAATCGCGTGCTGCACGATACGTCTTGAAAGACTACGTCAACGGTAAACTCTTGTATTGCCATCCTCCGCCTGCTGCGAATTCAGCAGAAGGAAATGAAGGGGAAACCGTAGTGGACCCAGCTGAATTCAATCGCGATCTCTACAATCTCGCACATCTGCCGGAAAAACGACGCGCGCAGTTACTCAAAGCCGCCGCCGCGATTGACGATAACCTCGATGCTGCTTCCACAGATGAAACTGCATCTATGGTCTCTGGCTTCACGGACCGAACAGCTCCTGTCGTCGAAGGTTCCCGATCTCGTCATCTCGACAAGGGTTTCTTTGGACCGGGCTCAGGCGGTTCTGGGGGCCATCTAAACATGCCATTTAATTATAAATACTCGGAACAAGGGAAAGCGAAACAGCTGACGGGTCGGAAGCAGAAGGTAATGGTTGCACTAGAGAGGAATATCGATACATCTGAAGTACAGATGAGCTCCAAGAAACATTTCAAAGGCGGGAAAAAGGCGAAGGGGAAGTCAAAGGCCCCATCCACAGATGACTACGAGTAAATTTGCATGTTTCAAAAGATTTAGTGATGTCACGGCAATTTTTTTGCTCGCAGGCGAGTATTTATATTTTTCTTCAGATTTACAAGGATAGAAGGTTCAAATATATCAATATGGGATTGAATGATCGTCAATTGATCCAATGCGATGTATGTCTTGGTATTTATTTCTATCATCCCAAGTGACATATAATGATGCACCATCAACACGTAAATCTGTACTCATAATGACGAAAGGAAAATCAACTGAAACAGTCAACATTCGGCCATTCGTGCAACAATACGAGGGAAAGCCAGATATAGACAAGCAGACAACGCACAAAAACCGTGTATATCAACTATCTCAATAAACGACTCGTTTGCGCCTTCTGGAACGTAAGGGGTATAGTGTATAGGAAGTTGAAAAGCCGACTTCCATGCAAAATCAACGGTATCACAGCAATCATCCACATAAAAAAAACAAACCCAATTGCCGCGTTTACTCGCAGCTGTTCAATCAAAGGCCACAGAATGAAAACCTCGAATTCGCGGTACCGTGTTGCGAGCCAGTTGCGAATGGGTCGCTGCGCTCGCCGGAGTTGCAGTCTTTTCTTGTGGGTTTCCATCCCCTGCACCAAGTGCCAGGCAACCCGGCAGTTAATTTTCTCCCATGTTGTCTCGTCGGCGAAGGCGCGGGCAGCGATGGCTAGGTTCTTTCGGAGATCGCTGTCGCGGGCCAGACGGAGAGTCAGACGAGCGAATTCGTCTAGGTCATCGGGTGCTACGAGATACCCCGTCTTGCCGTCCTTAACAATATCCGAGGGCCCTCCCTGGTCCCGTGCGATTACGGGGACTCCACTCGCCATGGATTCGAGAACTACCAGGCCGAATGTTTCGGTGATGGAGCAATGCAAGAAAATATCGGCCGCTGCATATGCTCGAGCGAGAGAATCGCCGCCGAGAAAGCCAGTGAAAATGACATTATCGCGGACAGGGTCGAAGAGATTTTGTACGTCTGCCTCCACAGCCGGGTTTCTGTTGCCTCCTACGATTAGGAGCTTGTATGGTAGACCCTCCTTTACGAGTCGAATTGCAAGTTCGGCCAGAAAGTCGAACCCTTTTTCGGGCGCCAAACGACAGGTGTACGCTAGGATGATCTCTCCATTCGGGGCCAATTCCCGACGGTACGCTTCATCGCGGTGTCTGGGGTTAAAGAGGACAGTGTCGACGCCTCGGCCGAGCTGCACTAAACGATTGGAGGGAGCTCCAGCCTCCTCTAGGTACGATCGGACATCCGAGCAGGGGTAGAAAATAGTGTCAACAGAAGGGTGGTTGAACAGAAAGCCCTGGACGCGATTCACCAGCCAAGTGCCAAATCGGCCCATGGCGCCCGGAAGCAGAATCGAGGAATATGCAGCCAAATCTGTCTGGTAGTTGAGGAGCACCACCGGGGGCTCTCGCAACTGACGGATCTGCCATAGAAACTGGTATCCCACCGAGGCCGGGCTCGCCAGGTACACGATGTCAGGTTGGAATGTTCGTTGGCACACCCGATCGAAACGGAACGGATACACGACGGTCAGATCTGGGTTGTAGGGCAGAGGATAACCGTGTAGTCGAACTTCGGACTCTGAGCGGGAGTGCGAGGGAGCAGTAGGCGCGGATGAGGATACAAACTGCCGGCGGCCTTTTTGCTCATAGCGGGGAGCGACGATAGCTAGCTCGACACCGTTGGCACGCAGGTACTCAATCAGCATGCTTGTTGTGCGGCTAACTCCATTTACAGGGCCCAGCGACTCGGTGGCCAGGAGAATGCGTTTTCCCTTGAGCGCAGCAGGGAATTCATCAGACCTGACGATGAGGGGAACTTTTGGGTCCGCCATCGGACCAGTTCTTGTTCCAGCTCCTGCGGTTGACGTGAACAGTGAGCGCATGCTAAATTTGACAATGCTCTTCCGACCGGTGCATGAGGCAGTCGAGAAGAATCACTTCACACTGCCGCAGGAGGGAAAGGAGGTTGGTGGGAAAGCGAAAAGAAGAAGAAAAAAATGGTGGGGTTTTTGATGAAGAGCTCCGATCACGAACCCTCCCCCCTCCCCAGCCGGTATAGATCATGTTCCTAGCTAGTAGGGGCCTCATCAGATGATTCATCCGGATTGGCTCGTGCGGGCAGTCAACCGAACCATAATCCGATTGAGCCGTGTCACCGCCATCGCGGGTACTACATGCTCATGGACACTGGCTTTTTCGTCCCTGTTTAAATGCTTTTGCCGTCTGAATTTCGAGGTTATGGTCCATTGCGGGCAGCAGACATGTCCGCGTGCAGTGACCGGGAAGAAAGTCGAGGGCGATCACGGGCGCGAGGCAAGGGCGTGCACACAGCCCCCCGCCAGATTGGCCTGTGAAGGACGATGGGATGCCTGCGCTGGTTAAATGCGAACAGCTCTTTGCGGCACGTGGCGCAGACTCGTCTCACAGTCGTTATCGCCGGGCCCTTTTTGGCTTATCTTAGCGTCCCGCACTGGGGCCGCGCACTAGGCGCATTTCGATATTGGCCTCGACGCAGCCAATCACCGCCCGCTGCGGCCGGCGCGTGCGTCGATCCGTTATCCGCACTCGACGAAGCATTGGCCGCCTTCCAGCATATCTCGATTCTGTGCTAATTATGACGCTAGCTTGCTACTGTATTATCAACTAATGCTTGTTGTTCTTGCTGCTATCAGTTTCTCGGACTGTGTGCCGCCTCGCCCTATCACAGCCTGTGCTTGCCCGGAATGAGCGCTGCGTGCGCCCACCGGCAGGCGCGATGGGCGCCCTCCCCTCCTCCCCTCGCTCCTTCCCTTCGTGACTACTGCTCCTGCCTCCTGCCTGGCAAGCAGGATGCCGCTCGTCAGGGAAGGCACGCTCCATCCCATTAATAATATTCATAAGGAAGGAGCATCTAGCCCGAACCGGTTGGCACCGCGTGAGGCTTGCACAGTGCTAAGCCTGCACGTCGTCTGTTCCTGGCGCGACCACATCTCACCAAATATTATTATTGTGAAATATTTTTCGTACCGTTGTCAACTCCCCTAACTAAGTCGTGACTATTGTCTCGCGTGCCTGCCCTGCTTGGACTTGTGCTCCCCTGGTGTCGTCGACGCTTGGCTCAAACTTCAGTCAGGGTTTCCTTCGCCATCGACATTGTATATACAACCACTCGGCAATTCATCTCTTCGGCGCCACCATGGATTTCCTATCCTCCTCTCCCGCTGCGACTTCCGATGACAGCTCATGCGACGACTCCGCCGGTCCTATCACTCCAGACAGCAGCCCTATGTTCGGCGCGTCGCGAGTGGAAGACCTGATTGGGACGCCTCTGGCTCACTTCCTCAACAGCCCTAAGCCCGATGTCAATGTGCTGTCTGCAGGTGGCCTGCACTTTGCACCACCAGTCAGCGCGCGAGAGTTGTCTTTCGCGAAGCCGGTGAGGCATATCGCCGTTGTTGGTGCCGGCTACGTTGGTAGGTTATTACTTTCCTTGTCAGGATGCTTGCTTTATGTCTATTTAGTGGCATCACAATAATAAGCCTCAGGCTAACCGAGTCCCTACCAGGTGGACCAACTGCCGCTGTCATTGCCTTGCACAATCCCCAGATTCGTGTCGAAGTCCTGGACAAGGACCAGCGTCGTGTCCGTCGTTGGAACTCGCCCCATCTTCCCATCCACGAGTCCGGGCTCCTTGATATTGTCAGAGTGACTCGTGATGGAGCTAGTCTCTCACCACGGGAAAACGCTAATGGTCAAGCTCAAGTTACCCTCGCTGAGCGAGTTCCTAACTTGTTCTTTACAACTGATTCACAAACAAGCCTAGCCAAGGCCGACATGGTTTTGTTGGCCGTGAATACTCCTACCAAGACGTTCGGTATCGGCGCGGGCCGAGCTACTAATATGACTACTTTTGATGCTGCCGTCAAAGAAGTGGCTTTGTACACTAGACCTGGGACCGTCATCGTGGAGAAGAGCACAGTTCCCTGCGGTACTGCGCAGCGCGTGCGGCAAATGGTAAGAATTTGTCTGCTATAAAAAGGATGTATCTATGTTAACAAGGATTCTAGCTTGACGCCGTCCGCCCCGAGCAGCCCTTCGAAATCCTGTCCAACCCAGAATTTCTTTCCGAGGGCTCAGCGGTGCGAAATTTGCTGCAGCCTGATCGTGTACTTATTGGGTCAGCTAAGACCCCTTCGGGTCGCCGCGCAGCAGACTCCCTGGCAAGTGTCTACGCAGCGTGGGTTCCCCGCTCGCGTATTCTCGAAATCGATGCATGGTCATCCGAATTAGCCAAGCTGGTTAGCAACGCTATGCTAGCCCAACGGATTAGCAGTATTAATTCGATAAGCGCCATTTGCGACCGCACGGGAGCCGATGTTGATGAAATCGCCAAATCGGCCGGCCTAGATCCCCGTATTGGCCCGCAGTTCCTCAAGGCTGGACTGGGATTTGGTGGCTCATGTTTCCGTAAAGATATTGCTAGTTTGACCTATCTGGCCGAGTCATTAGGATTACCTGAGGTGGCTCACTACTGGAGCCAAGTCAATTCCATGAACGACTGGCAGCGAGACCGCTTCGCCCACAAGGTGATTCAACGCATGGAGGAGAATTTGGTAGGCAAGAAGATTGCTATCCTAGGATTTGCTTTCAAGAAGAACACTGGTGACACACGGGAGTCATTAGCTGTCGATGTGATCCGTGTCTTACTCCAGGAGAGACCTGGAGAGATCGCCATCTTTGACCCGTGCTGTTTGTCAGAAGATATTATGCGAGAGCTCGAGCCCATCTTAGACACCACAACCCGTGACCGTGTTCATGTTTACCCCGACGCCTACCAAGCTTGTGAACAAGCGAATGCAGTTGTGATCGTGAACGATTCCGACCCATTCAAGCGATCTCCTGGAAAGAAGTCCCGAAAGTCCAGCGGCAGTGCTGTCATCGACACGAGCAGCGAGCAGGAGACAAAGGATATCCACATTGATGGATCTCGATTCTCGTACCAACCTTGCCAATCACCAATTTGTGCAGAGGATTGCCCCGATTGCCAGTCAACAAAAACTCGAGGCACCATCTCGTTGGAACCGGTCGAATGGGCGCGTATTGCCTATGGTATGAAAGAGCCCAAATGGGCATTTGACGGTCGAGGCGTTCTCGACGTTCCTGAAATGGAGAAGCTTGGTTTCCGTGTCGACACCCTTGGCCGTCACACTGCATCTCGTCTTACTGCATTCTAATAAGTTACTGACTGATCATTGTTGAATGTAAATGGAACTCCTAATAATGCGTGCGTTACGTTATGTTACTTGGACTTGGAAATAAAGAGTATCACGGTCGTTTTTCCTAATATCTGTCTTTTTCTTCCCTCAACCCATTGTCATGGTGTTGTGATACCTGGCGTTTGGAACGTTCATAATGCGGTGCAACTTGGATTCGACTCCTTTCTAGAATTCTAGACTGATTGCTATTTTATTTCGTTAGATTGCCGCCTGACAAGACTGAATTACATTTATGTTGATTTCGTTGATATGCCATATTACACTGCATCAGACATTAATATATACGAATTTTACATTTCATTGATTTTTGATTATATGGTATATACGCAAAGAAGGCGTCTTGATATGGAACTACAAGATAAAAGATATTTAATGTCTGTATGCATTACATTTTGGCCTTTGGTTGGAACCCATTCGCCGTCAACAGCTTATTAGCCTGATCTCTCTGCCAGTGCAACTTGGTCGTAACAGCGTCCTTGCGAAGCTTGTTCTCGCGCTTAGCCAACTGCTGCAAATGCACCTCGTCGGGGCCATCCGCAATACGCAGCGTCCGGATGCCAGCCCACATGTTCGCAAGCGGAGTATCCTGGCATACACCAGCGGCACCATAGGCCTGGACCGCGCGGTCGATGATGGTCAGCGCGGTCGAGGGCACAAGAACCTTGGCCTGGGCGATCTCCTTCAAGGCGCTGCGCGCATCACCCTGGTCGATTTTGATCGCCGCATTGAGCACAATCAGACGTGCGGCGTCGATCTCGATGCGCGATTTGGCCAGCCACTCCAGGATCACGCCGTGCGACGACAGCGGCTTGCCGAAGGTCTTCTTGCGGTCGTCGTTGATACGAGCAATCAGCCATTCGATGGCACGCTCGGCGGCGCCGATGGTGCGCATGGCATGGTGGATGCGGCCGGGACCAAGACGGCCCTGGATGATTTCAAAGCCGCGGCCTTCGCCCAGCACCAGATTCGAGACGGGCACGCGGACGTTGTTGAAGCTGATGTGGCCGTGGCCGTGGGGTGCGTCGTCGAAGCCGTAGACTGAAAGCATTCTGTGGATGGTGATTCCGGGCAGGCCTGCGGGAACCAGGACAACGGATTGCTGGCGGTATGGGTCTGAGTTGGAAGAGTCGGTTTTGCCCATCACGATGTAGATCTTGCAGCGGGGGTCACCGGCGCCAGAGGACCACCATTTCTGGGACTGTTAGAATGGTTGTATGTAAGGAATAATGGTGGTGAGAGCATACCTGGCCGTTGAGGACGTATTCGTTCCCCTCGCGGCGGATGCTGAGTTCGATGTTGGTGGCATCACTCGAGGCAACGTCGGGTTCGGTCATCAGGAAAGCAGACCGAATTTGGCCCTCCAGCAATGGTGTAAGCCACTGTTTCTTCTGAGCATCGTTTCCGTATTTAGCCAGCACCTCCATATTTCCTGTATCGGGCGCGGCGTTATTGGTAGCCTGCATTCACAATCAGATCCACAGCAACAACAAGATAAAAGATGGTGAAGAGGTAGTACCTCAGAAGCAACTCGACTCTTCCCCAGGTATTCAGCCATCAGACCGTACTCGAGATTGCTAAAGCCAGCTCCCTGGCTAAAGTGGTTCTTGGGCAAGAACATATTCCACAGTCCCAATTTACGGGCCTTGGCCTTGAGCTCTTCGATGACGGGTGGGTGCGCATTCCATCGTTGCTCGCCCTGGCCGATTTGTTCTTCGAATAATGGGTCTGCGGGGATACAGTCTTTCTCGACGAATTCTTCAACCTGGATGAAATCATAGCTGTTAGCCAGGTATAATAGTCAATTGCACTTGGAGAAGCTCACCAGGTCGAGGGTTTTCTTGGCGCGCTCGCCGACAAAGGGCAGCGCGATGGCTGGGATGTTTGCAGAGGCAGGCATTTTGTGTATGTTCTGTATAGCAACTGTAGGGGTTGGACGGACTACTTTCCGAAGTTGTTGAGTTGTGCAAAGAATGGACAAGGTTCACTCAATGGATGGACAATAAAAGAAGAAACACAGCTGATTTTCAGAAGATAGAGAATAAATAAATAAAATCTCTTCTGCCTACGGGTTTGTAAAGCCGAGACAGAGAACCATCATGCGACATCAAGCGATATAAGAGCAACACAAGAGCCAGGCGTGAGGGGCTAGTAACTGCCCTAATGGGACTAGCGCAGTACGGGGTAGCCGAAGAGCACCGGAGATTGGTCCTGGAACCTCGGCAAGTCGCCGGCTGTACTTAGTAGTACAGCTTGTTGACTAATTTTCTTCGATTTACTAATTTATTGATTAGTCTTTGTATATGGAGGTTATGAACAATCGACTTGCAATTTGGAGCAGGCAAACCCGACAAAAAATAAAGTACACCTGCAGACATAAGAAATGAAAAACAAACACCCATCCGATTTCCCTATCCCGATCCGTATCCAATCCAGAGTAACCAATCTGATGTAACAATATAAAAATAAATATCCGCCCTACTGTCTAGTGTACAGTCAGGCATGGACATTCCGTCATAGAGAGAAAGAAAAGAGAATCATCAACGTTGAAAAGAAAGAACATCCATAAAGAGAGTATTGAAATGAAAGAAAGGGTATCATAATCGAGCGCGTGCGTCTCTTTCCAACTCCACTACATTTTCAGTAGTCTAATTGCTGGTATCAGGTGAAGCTGTGGCAGAGGATGACTGTTCGAAGCTCTTCTTTCCGAGTTTGGTGAACAATGGAGAAGGCTTTCCGGCGCTGAAACACCCCATTAGTCAACCCTTCTTCGAAAGCGAGAGTGCGGAGGCGATATAGAAGACATACCTCTTGAACCGCTTGCCCTTCAAATCACTGAGTTTCTTTGTGCAAGGACTCATGATATCATCCGACGGCGATACATAAGATGTCTGCGACCTACATCAAAGCTTCATATCAGCACTAACCTTCACTATCATATCGTCGCCAAAGCAGCCATCCACCAATCCCAGCATTGTCCCCAGTTTGTTTATTTTCTTATTTCTTCTCTCCCTTCAAACCAAGAAAAAGAAATCAACAAAAGGCAAATGAAAGGACCGATATTCATTACCGCTTTGCCTGTAGTAGCAAAACATACTGATCCGCATCCTTGAGTTTCTCCTGCAGCGCCTTGCGGTGGTATTCCATCGAGTGAAGACTGGTTCCGTCGGTTGGCTTGAGGTCTTTGGATTCTGAGACGGCAGATGACGACTGGATGTAGGTGTTTGTGGAGCGGTCTCCTAGGGGTTGGATTTGGGCGTTGGTGGCCATTGTTTTTTTGAGCAAGATCGAATGGTTTGAAGAGATTTGATCGGTGGATTGTCAGGCGATGAACGTGTCTTCGGCTTGCAGGCAGTAGGAAAGGGGGATATTTATTAGAAACAAATTCCTTGTTATTACTGAAGAAGAAATTGCAAAGGGTAGTAATGCCAACAGTGAATTATTTGCACGAGCTGGGTGGATAAGCAGGAAATTAAAAACCCAGCCGCGGACGATTGTTGCTAGGGCAACCCCAGCCGACCAGACACGGTGACGATGATGTGGAGAATTCTAGACGTTGTACGGAGCATTATTGCTGGTCAATAATTCTTTCATGGGCGGTGGCTTGATTGATCGCCTCGGGCTATTCTTGTTGCTATTTACTTTATTTCTCGCCGGCCCAATAATATGAGGTCTTTCGACCCCTTGTCAACGTTGTTGTTTACATAGTTACATGGCATGTCACAGACTCAATATTCCGAAGATACTCTCTGGCAAGAATATTTTCAGTGTTTACACGAAAATATTGAGTAGAATCTCTAGCTATATATTATATACATCTGTAGATAGATTTGTGCATACAAGGACCTATTATGGTCCTATCTTCTTTGGTCCATTAAACCTCGCCGTGCCCATCCACCAAATCCAGGCCATAGTTTTATTCTCTCCATCGATCCATTCCGCTGTTTTACCTTCTTTTCCTTCCACCATCCAGTCGATTATTTCTCGGGCATCGTTGAGGGTAAGCCCTCTCCGCAATGTAGAATTGTGAAAGAGAGGAGTGTCCAGCGCCTCGATCACAGAGAGACCATACATCTGATGATGGCGGCACCATGACTGGATGAGTAATGACCATCGTTGAAGTTGGGATGATCGTAGCGAGGGATTTGGCTGCAAAGTGAAAAAGGGCAAGAATGAATACCAACTGGGGAATTGAAATTCACTCAACATCCCTGAGAAGGGTTTAGAAATAGTATGTTGTCCTATAAGCGTGACTATGTAAGCTTGGACACCTCAAGGGAAACTCATGCGGAAACTCATGCTCACCTGGGTCTCTCTCCACCTGCTGCGGTTCATCTCCTGCTATCCACTCCCCCAAAAAGGCCTTCATACATGCAGCGGCGACAGCAGCAGCGTATCCTTGCCATATCTTATTCTTATGACTGTCTGCATAGTCACACACGCCTTTGATTACAACAGTTGGGAAATGCTCCCAGACCCCAGCAGCTTCCATCTCAAAAGCAATGACCTTTTCCTTCTGCGAAATCATATCTCGATGATAGGCAGACTTTATCACCAAGTCTCCCGACGCAACGTCGCCGAAATGGATTTGAGTCCTTTCTTGTACGTCGCCGCGTATCAATCGCTCACGAGCAACTAGCCTCGTTTCATCGCACTTGAGTTGAGAACAAGACAACACAAGCGCCTCGTCACAGGTATCGTCATGAATGCTCTCACATCTGGCGCATATCGGACAAACTCCCGAATCTTGATGCTTATGTCGATACTCCGATTCATAAAGCTTATCCTCACTTTCACCGGGATATTCCAATCTTTCAAACCCTCTTTTCTTGCGCAGTTCTGTAAGATAAAGGCGCGTCCCAACATGCAGTTTATCGCGCCCATACAACCCTCCAATCTTCTGCAGAAAAGATCTAATTTCGGTTGACGGACGCGACAAACTGTCATTTTTCGACTCCTTCCTCGCAATCCTATTTGGAAACTGTCGACCAAAGTCATACTGCACGATTCCCGTGCTAATAATCAAATCACCCAGTAAAATCTCACTCTTCTCGTCATCTACATGTATGGGAACCCCTCCGCAAACGCCTACCAGCAGCCCAAGCCGAATTCCGTGAAAACTAGACCGCAGACTGGCCGCTGCACTCGCTGCGCATGTTTTGCCAATGCCTGGGAGGTGTGTTAGCACGACATTGTGGATTCCGATTCTGCCAACAGTGTACGTATTCGGATCATTCGCTTCTTTTCGGTAAGTGTATTCCCAGATATCGTCAAACATCGCCAGGATTGCGTCAGATTCGATCCTCAAGGCGCAGATGATGGCGATTGTGAAGTCCCTCCGGTCTGGTGGGGGGTGATGGACGGGCATGATTGCGTTTTGTGAGAATGAAAAAGCCGTTGGTATAGTCTTATTCTGACTGAGACTGGAAGAGAAAGCTTTGTGGGCTTTTCACTCAACGAGAAACGTGATGGTGTAAGGCTGAACCAACAGGCTTTATACGATGGTAGCATCAGCTCTGTAATACCTTTAATGTCCTAACACCTTTCTTGGAAGGTTAGATCTCCTTTCTTGAATCCAAAACATAGCGTGACAAGGAGGTGATCATCTGCGTTTTATAATAAATCATAGGGAAGTGAGAAAAGATCGGGTATGATTTTAGACAATGTGGTGATAGACAGATGCAGAGCTGTGGCTGTGTCAATGTGACGCTGGTTGGCTCCCAGGCTCATGGACACTCCGGCAGCCAATCAGCAGCGCTAGCAAAGGGAATACTTGAAAGCATATATATATATGATGTGGCTAGTCGGGAACAACAACAGATCCACTAATTCAGATGTACATAGTAACAATGGGTATGTATCGCCAAAGCAACTCAAGTCTCAAGCTAATATACAGGGTATAGAGATGTCGTAATCATAACCAATACATCACTGTCCAATGTCATTCCAAACAACCAAGCAAAGCCGCCGATGCATACATACGCTAATAACAGGGTGCGTTAAATTACAGCATGTTCAAATAACAAAAACTCTCGCGGCATTCATTCGAGGTCGTCTGGTGAGGTCAATCATAGGTATTGAGAGGTCGAAGATTCATGTGGTATATAGGTAGGTAGGTAGGTAGGTAGGTAGGTAGGTAGGTAGGTAGGTAGGTGTTGAAATTGTAGGTATTATCGTAAAAGGCATGCATTTAATCACTGCGTTGGAAACGGCGGAAAAGGCTCGGTAGATGTATCACTCTCATTATCCGCGTATAAGTCAGTGCGCTTCAGAACTGGAGTCAACACCGGAGGGCTGCTGACTGGTCGCGTCTGTTCTACCGCCGAGGAAGAAAATCGCTTCATCAGACCGGGCGTGAAGCGCGTGCGAAGAGAATCATAACCGAGCATATGTCGTAAATCTTGAGGAAATGATGGGTAAAAAATTTTGTTCCTTTCTACCTCGGATAGTTCGGACAGGGACCGGAAGCGGCCGTTTCCTTCATACCCTTTGATTTGAATATCGTCGACAGGGGCAGGTGGTAAGTCATTGATATCACATTCGGTGTCTTCGGTTTTGGGGTGCTTATGTAGCATTTTCCGTAGCATCTTCCTCTCAGAGCCTACACTAGGTGTGGAGGCCTTTGTGCTAGACACTTTTGGCGTCTTGGGTGAGGATGATGGGCGTGGTGACCATGCTATCATACTGTGAAGATCGATTCCCACTGTTCCTGCGCCACGAGGAATCAAGATGAGACCAAACAGAACAATAATCAGAATACTAGATATTGCAGTCATCCGCTTCTGGAACACAAGTTCATCAGTGAGAATTGCAAGTTGAGAAGCAGTCGACGAGACTTCTTGTTGCTGGTTTTCAAAGTCATCTAAAACAACGGTTCGAAGTGATTGATATACGTTCTGAAGGTTTTTGATCTCATCTATGACTGTTGTATTCAAGTTTTCCAGGAAGGAGTTGAGCTTGGCCATTTGTCGCTTCTCGACTTTACTGAAAGCGTCTCTCAGAATCTGAGACTGTTCTTCGATATACAGTAGGGACAAACTAGAGTTGGACTCGAGCATTTGCAACCTCTTGTTGACGGACTTGAAAAACGACTCTTGTGTAGTGGGATTCGGCGACGGTGGGTTTGATTGGGTGGTCTTTGTGGCCTCGCTTGAGACTGATGATGTTTCTCTCGAGCTAGTTGTCGAGTTCTTTGTTGAGGGCTCCGGTACAGCACCGGCCTGTGTAGAATTCCGATTTTCAGTAGGCGGCGGGACAGCAGTTATACTAGTGTTCGTATGTTCGGCATGTTCAGTGACATGTTCCGAGGTTATCGTCGTCTCGGATGTACTGGTATCGGCGTTTTTTGCAGCATCAGTGCCGGTTGTAGCTACTGATACACTTGGCTCGGTTTGGGTTGGTGTAGCTTGAGTCGTAGAAACCGGATGATCTCCGCTTGCACATGTAGCTGCCGCCAAGATATAATGGCTTAGAATAAGCTCCTCAAGCTCATTCCAGCGAACAGGACTCGTTTCATTCAGTACGTCAGAGACAGGAAAAGGTGTTGAGATGGTAGCATTATCAGGGGAGCCCACTGTCGCATTCTCCGAAACAACAGGGATTTCCTCTATAACTTCAGTAGGATCAGACGTGGCAGCATCGTCATCATCAATAGCTTCTTCTTCCGCTCGGCTGTCGCCTTCGTTTTTATACTCTTCCAGCATTGTCGTGCCATGAACTCGAACGAGACTAAGCGGGCAATAAAATTCATTCCCATAATGAGTTAGGAACTCGATTTTCACATATCGAGCCCAGATGAGCGGGATCTCCACCGCAAAAGCTTGCACTTCTCGCGTATTCTGTGCTTTAAAAACACCCAGCTCTTTCCATTTGTCTAACTTCACGGGATATCTGTCAGAAACACTGACTCGGAAAGTATGGAAAATGGAGCTGAAAAACTCGTAATTGGCGAGAACAATTGTGTCGATGAGAATATCGTCACACAACTCGAGAATCATAAATTTATCCTTTGCTCGGCATTCGTTCAGCATATAACTGTCCTTGTTCTCAATCAGAACTGAGGATGACCCTGAACACTCAGGATTTGTTTTCAATATAGTAGCGGCGCAGTCGAAAGATGCATAGTTGAATCTCTCCTTGCAGGTTGTGCCGGCGTCCTTTCTCCTCCCAACCGCAGAAACACCTTCAGCCGAGTCCTCTTTTGTATTCTGAGCACCGTCGGCATTCACTGTACTGCTATCCTGAGAAGCCGTGCTTCCCCAAGCCTCATGCTGGACGTTTTCAGCATTATCGGAGCCAAATCCACCAAAGTTAAGTTCAATCTCCGCATCATCTCCGAACGAATCAAGAGCATTGTTGATAGCTCTAGCCTGTGTACGACGTTCCTGGTTCATGCCACCACCTTGTCTCTTGCCGCCGACATTATCCGCAGACTGGCCAATTTTCGCGAGATTCTGTTTTTTCCAGTCCTCAAAGGAAAGAAAGTTCGCCGTGTCAAGTGGGGACTCGGTGTCAAGGTCACTATCAGCACTCTGTTCCGAAGGTGTCGCGGAAGTAGTGCCATGTGGAATATTGGAAGGTTCGGTAGCATTTTGGAAGCCACTATTTTCATCACCGATGTAACAAATCGGTAATTCCAAGGGGTTAAATATGGAAACGGGGCAAATAATAGATCCCTCAAGCTGGCGAGCATCTGAACTGATGCCATGTATCAGCCAAAAGAGGGATGCGAGTAGCATCCACGTGTGGAAGATCATAATGCGGTGTGCTCTGCTCGAGACAGCGCCGTCCGATAAGGAGGTTCGAGATAAGGTGGATACAAGAGAGGTTTGTAAACTGCAGCGACGACAGCTTATTGTCGCTGTCTCACCAGTGATTGGAATTATTCCTGCATACACCGCGTGTGTTAGCATACTATCTATGAGAAGAGACATGGCCTTCAATATGGTCGGGTTGATTTGCTGGAAGGTCCGGATGGATGGCGCATTGCGTAGAGATCGCAAGGTACGTACATTGGCAAAGTTATTCGCAACCCTCCCTATGCCAGAAAAGGCGTAAAAGAAGCGCTTCTCCGTATCTGTCCGTGAATCGCAATAAGTAAATGGCGGTCAAAGCTGGGTGTAGAGACCTTACCTTGCCTGGTTGAGCAAAGTTCAAGGTGCGACACCCGGTATCGGCTTCGCCACCGAATAACGCTCTGGAAAATGATAAAGACTGAAGGAACTGGATCTGGGATTCAATATTTCACTCAAGGAAAAGCAGACAGAAAGAACCAGCAAATCACTCGTGGGAGTCGTCATGAATGGTTTGATCTGCGACAGAGCGATGGTGGTGAAGAGCGCCTCTAGACTACTTTGGGTTGTGGCTGGCCGGGCTCGATAGCCAACCAAATGCGGCTAGTCACATGAAGTGACCATTGACGTCCCCGAGGCCACCAACAGGGATTAACATTAATATTAATCAAAGAACACGTTTCACAATAATTAGGACATATGCAATGCTAGCTTTAATATATTTCTTGGAGAATTCTACTTAGCTACCTACAGTACAGGCCTTTCCCAAATTCGCTCAAAACACCCAGTACAGAATGAATGGCTGGGACATGTAAATGTATAGACGTCGTGCTAAGAATAATGTGTATGCTTCACAATCTGAGAATGATCTCATTCTTTCCATTCGAAGAGACAATATAGAAGTAACAAATATCCAGGTTCTGGTAATACAAGTCTTTCCTTTTTCTGGTGTTCTTTTTGTTTCACACTGCCAAAAAAAAATAAAAGCCGACTCTCAAACAAGACCCCAACCACCACCAGGTAACTGCGATGTTGCATGACACTCACTGTCCATGTGAATTGCCCCAAAATCATATAATCCTAATAAAATCTTGTAAAAAAACAACGCCGACCTTGAAAATGGATTCTATTGCTCCAAAGCCCCATACAATATTCATTTTGCGTCTTCTTCTTTGCCACGTGGGTAACAATAATGTCGCTATAGTATACAAAAGACACGATGTGTCCGGTTTCGATCATCCGCGATCAAGTAATGCAGATGATAGTTGGTGTGACAGAACGCCAAGCGTCCTAGTAAAGCTGAGACCAATTCGAACAAGCGAACACAGATCGATCAGGAAGAGAAGGTAAAAAAAGTATAGTATCTTTTCAGGCATTTTCATCGGACAGGTCAAACAACAGAGAGTAAACAGATGGCCAGCGAGGAGACTGATGAGAGTTGGCAGATGCTGCAAACCAAGAGAAAAGGAACGCGACATGAAGACCAAGAAGCCAAAAACTACAAATGTAGGTCGTGCCATCCTCCAACGAGATCGAGGTCCTCATCCAGGCTTCCATGATAGTCGATGTTGGGCTTCGCCTTGATATCATCTCCATTTCGTCGCCATTCCTTGTCCAAGAAAGGGTTCCTCCGTTGAGGGGATCGGGAGGGACCAGAATCACGTCTCCAGCTGAGGTTCATGGAGCGCTGCTTCTTCAGAGTAGGTGATTCTTCCCGCGGTTGATACTTCCGGCGACGGTCACCCAGAGCAGCCCACTTGTCAATGTTCGACCGGCCCGTTACGTTGCAGGGGCTCCGGTTATGGGAGTGAGGGGTAGGGGTGGACTTGTTGGAATCGTCTTGTTTGGATGTGAAAGGAAGCGAGGCTGAAGAATCTGAACCACGACGAGAGACCGTAGAGCGAGAGTTGAGGAAAGAAGACGTTTCCGGTTCAAAAAGGCCCGCAGGTTGCACAGGGCTTTCAATCTCCTTACTATCTTGGCTCCAGCTACGAGCATTGTTCTCTCGGCGCTGTATCAAGGAGGCATCTTCCATTTCCCATTCTTCGTCCCAGAGATCGCTCCAGCTTTTTGAGAATTGGTCGCCCTTGTTGTTGCCAAACACCATGGACATGGCGGACAAAGGCTTGATAGCGTGACTAGGCAGAGAGTTGGTTACGGGACGGACCGTAAGAGGCTGTGAGTGGAGTTGGCGGTTTTGACGAGCAGTCACAGATTGGTAAGATGCACCCATAGCAGAATCGAGAACCGAAGCAATGGATGGGGAGTCTGGTTGTACGGAATACCACGAAGTACCAGCAGTCTCCGAGGGAGGAAACAAATCCTCCGAGTAGTATTCGGTATCTGGAATGGCGGAGAGCTGGCGAATTGGCTGGGGTGGGCTCGTCTGGAGTGCTTTTGCCCAAGGGAAAGAATCGCCTGAGTTAACATAAGGAGACTGGATTGACGGGGTACGCAGAGGCTCGCGGTTGGCACTAGCGGGTACCACATTACGATCTTCGGTACAGAATTCGTCGAGAGACTCGTCGTCAGTGGTGAAGCTAACGGTGCGTACAATAGCATCACGCATGCCAGATAGAGTGCGTTTCTCAGGGTCAATAGCCAAAGAATGACGCAAGATCTCAAAGGTATCCTGAGACATGTTTGGGAAGATGTCGAATAGGGACTGACGATCACGTACGTAGTCAGCAAACAAAATGTCGGACTCAGTTGGTGTGACAAAAGGATTCCGGGCAAAGAGGATATTGAGGAGGCAAATTCCAATGGACCAAACATCGGCTCTAGCAGGTGAATAGCCTGCTTGAGGCGGCTCATATTGTTCGGGAGCCATGTAACGGTCACTACCAACACAAGCCTCGTGACACCATTCTAGTCGTGTTGCCAAACCAAAATCCCCGAGTTTCATTGATCCATCGTGGGCGAGAAAGATGTTCTCTGGTTTGATGTCACGATGGTAGAGTCCATTGGAGTGCATAAAATCAACGGCATCAATGAGCTGGAGCATAAAGTCACGCACATGCTCCGTTTCGAGAGGACCACGGTTACCTCGGATAGCCTCATACAGATCACCCATTGAACAGTACTCCAAGACAAGATAAAAATGCGAACTAGTCTCGAAGGAATGGATTAGGTTGACGATGTTTGGGTGGTAAGCCAAGCGAGCATGGCAATTCAATTCTTCCGATCGTTCATCGATGGTCACAGGAATGGGGGCCTCGGATGAAGTTGGCTTGGACAAGCATTTAATTGCGACATCCTGGTCGGTCATGGTGTCCTTGGCCAGAAATACCATCCCAAAAGATCCATGGTTCAAAGGGGCGACTGTGCGGAAGCGTCCATCGAGGAGCTGACCCTCGACAAACTTTTCCTTTAAGCAGTCCATGGTACTCGAGTTAATGACAAGTGTTGATTATGTTGGCGATAGGGTCACAAAATTCGTGATGAGGAATGATCCAGCAGTCCACTCGTCAAGGTAGTTTTTGTGAGAATAGGGTGCGATATAATAACAGATATAAACAACGTATATAGATCGTTTGAATGGATGAGAGGAGAAACAAAATCGCTATCAAATCACCACACTGGACAGTAGCAGCGGATGACGAAAAACCAAGCTGTTGAATGGAGAAAACTGCGGTTCGTTGGCTGTCAGAGGTTCATATATAAATACCGGGAATGGTGATGATAATTTAACAAAAGGAAATCGAAACGATAGGCCTGACAGGCGAGAGACGTCAGTCGGATACCCAAGCGGGTATTGTTGCAGAATGACAGAAAAAAAAGGCGTTATGATTTCATTGGTGTTTATGTTCAGAGAATGAAGCTGGCGTCGTGCCGAATAAAAAATAATACGGTGGTATAAGAAAGGGAGTCGGCGGAGATGAAGAGAAGAAGGTGAGAAGAGCCCGAGACCGCCGACGAGAGTTGATCGAGTGTAGACGAGATCTCTTAATTATGGTGGAACGCTGCGTGATATCGTGAAATGAAAAACAAAAAGTTCAAGAGTCCTACAAACAGGCAAGAAAAGCGGTCGTGACTCAACAGCCGCGTATCATGAATATCGAGGAGGCGGGAGAATGTGCCAGTTCTGAGTCATAAAACGGCCCCGGAAGCACGTAATTGTCAAATGGCTTCCGTGTGGAAATGGCAGGTAGGATATCAGCCCTCCAGGAGACTAGCTACAGGTTCAATTAAGCACCTCTCGAAACAAGCTCGAGAATCAACACCCCAACTTGCACTCCAGCGGCTGGACGCGGATGGGCGTCAGACCGAGGAGGCAGCGGTATTGACAGTAGCAGCCACACGGAGGGTATAGCGAAGGTCCCGATAGATGAGCTGGAATAGATTGATAGTCACGGACGGCTTGTCAGGGAGGATAGATAGGAGCGAGGCGAAGAGGTAGATGAGTGTTCTTCTTTTCCAATGCCGAGCAGGAGATCAGATCCGAGTCCAGAACGAAGAGTTCGTTGAGCTGAGGAGCGGGCAGGCGGACGACGAACAGGTGTTGGCAGGAGGGGATCTCTCTCGAGTACAGGATGTCGACAGAGCTAGGATAGGATGAACGAGGTTGTTGTTGGGTGGGTGGGTGGGAGGAGTGTTGAGGAGAGGTGAGGAAGGAGAGAAGTATGTAGGACGGTAGGGGCGGAAGGAGTAGATGAAGAAAGAGGCGGACGGGAGAAGGGATGGGATGAGAGTCGGTGTAGAGAGCGATGGGAAGGGACGGGACGATAGATGATGGGATGGGGAGAGGTGTGAGGACAGTGACGGATGGCGATAAGACAGCAGGAGCGAGTTAGTCATGGCCGTCGGCGTCAGTCAGTCAGGGAAGCTGGGGAAGCTGCGGCCAGACAGAGGCGTGGGCGTGGCCAGTGGGCGAAGGCGAGCGAACGGGGGAGAAGGGCGATCCGTACGCAAGCGTTACGGGAGGTGGCGCCACGGACCAATGGCGGGCGCAGGGGGCATGAGTGGGCCCGTTATGGTACGGTCTCCATACGACGAGGACCGTGTTGGTAGGCGCTGCAGGTGCGTGCCGTTTAGATGCTATCCTCGTGCACTGCATAACTACGCGACGTATGACAGAATGGTCCCCACCAGAGGCATCAGCATTCGCATTCGCATTCACAATTTCAGGGCGGCATGCCCGAGGGACCGGCGCTACGCATACTGGGCAGCCCCGAGCACGCACGCACGCCTCCCTGTTCGAAGCTTCCAGATCCGCTGCCTCGCCCAGAAGGTTCTCCCTGGCCGTGGTTGCCCCCAACCTAGGCTGTTCGATGCCCATGGTCTGATTATTGCGGATGCTTATCCTCAATTATCAGGTTGGCGAGAATGGTATGATGCAACAAGTCGATGAATTGGCCACGGTGTCGACTATCTAGGGGGATCTGCTGTGCATGTGCAACACCGGCACACTGGACGATCGCGGCAACGATCTCTAGTGTTGTGTTGTTATTGTTATTGACACTGACGACTTGGATAGCAACAATGGCAGCCAATATTCGTTCATGCACGGCGGACAGTATGTTGCGTGGAAATAGGGACGAGGAAGACGAATCCGACGGCAGTGGCCACTTCACAGGCACAGCGGCCGGCCAATAGGCAGGCGCACAGTGGGGCAGGTCGCAGCGATGTGTTTGGGAGGTGCATGAAGCTATGGCCCAAAAGAGAGACTTGGCAGCAGTAGACATGAGGGTGGAGTGAATAGAGTGTGGGCAGCAGGTCATGCAGTGACACCCAAAACAGCAGGTCCCCACAGGCATTGTCTGTTTTGTCTGGTTTGTCTGTTTTCGAGAGATGGCGGCATGGGCTGCGCCCCCCATTGGCTGCAGCTTGCAGTCTGGATCGGGCGGGCTGCAGGGCCCTGTCTGGCACGGGATTGGCCTGCTGTATGCGCCGAAGCGGGACGCTAATACGTAATACTCTATGTGTCCTTTGAACAGCGAACAGAGCGTTTGTCGAGACTCGAGAAGCGTCCCAGAGCGTGGCCTCGCACTGGATTAGTCCGTCAACCGGCGCCGCTTGCAGGCAGCATGACCCCCAGCAAGCCACCCACTAACGATCAGGTACCTGAGAGCCTGCTGCATGCTGAGAGCTTACCGGCTAGCGTCTCCAGACCGCTCTTCTCGACTGCCATTTTGATTATTTTTTTCCCTTGAATTTTTTTGGGGGCCCGAGTCGACGCGTCGTGTATACTACTCTGCGAGTCCTGTTGAATAATACTTCCCATTAATGTGATTCATTGCGAAACAGCCGTCAATACAATATTGATCAATGTTGCAATTCCATCAATGGATTGTACGGACAACAATGCTGCCCGCCGGTCCACTGGGGCCGGCCTTTGTTTCAGTTGACTTTTTCCCCAATACAGCTTAGCGGCCTTGCTTTAGGGGCCAGCGTCGCGTGATGTCTGCTCCTGGCCTGATTGTTCTCTGTCCGGTAGAGACCAAGCGGCCTCGACAATATTAATGATACATATCATTTTAATTCGCCATAAGATAAGGAAACACTTCTTTCACAAGCATCGTCGCATGTGCTGTATAAAATTATGAGTTGTCAGTGCGTGACCCACTGCGATAAGACAACTTAATTACTGATAGAGAGATACAGCGCAGAGTCCTCATTCCACTATCTACAGTACATAAGTATGATAAGGAGACCATCCACTCCGATAGTGATGATTAAATAACCACATCCCAGCATGTGCTAGCAACTAATGAGAATCCCGGCTAGCCAGCACCGATGTTTCGATTCATGTTATTTTGCTGGTCCAACACCATCACAACAATCCCAGTACTTCGGCAGCTCATATTAACCTAAAGTTGCGTTGATAACGAATAACTTAATTCCAACCAATGATGCTTTGTTTCCTCCGAGCAGCCAATGGCGATCGGCCATGATCGCAAATGAATGATGCAAACAGCCCCAACTAGTCCCTTTGTATGGAGGAGTGACCACAACAAACTTTGGTCGCAAACTGTTGCCCACCATCACCGTCGACTATTGAATTACCATTGAATAGTTCTCTTAGTTGTCAATTAATATTATCCGACGATCCTTATACTAAGTTTGCCATGTTAATGAGAATAGGGAGGCTGACCCCAGGTTCGCGGAGTCGCCATGGTCCGTGCCAGTGGAAATAAGACGCCGGATTGCCAACGCCAAGTCAACATTCATGTTGAACCTACTCTCATTTCAGTGGAAATTGAGCATCCACTATGCCAAAGTTCTAAATGGTTGGGCTTGGGCGGTTACGGACTCCTGAAACCGTCGTGCATATTGATGTCTGTTCTGAATGCTGTTGCATACTGACATTCACCCCCAAGACTCACGTGCATCGTAACAGATACAGCACTATTAATTATTCGTCAATCCGACTAATCCAGTGGGCACTTGCATCACCAGAATGCACAATCTGACGAACTTACCTTTTAGTTCGTACTAAGGTTGGCGGGCTAGTGAAGCTGAGGTCTGGCATCCATCCCCTTCCCCGCATTCTCAAGCCCGTCATCCATGCTACACCAGCCCCGTGAAGAATGTAGTCCAGCGCCCCAGAGGGGAATTATCTTACACCTAGCCTACGTATCATATACTAGAGCCGATGGTTATTGCCTCATAACAGCCGCTAATCAATGAATTGGTCGTATCTGGACTCAATAATGTTGAATAGTCGAATAATGTCGGAGTGGGTTCAGAACTGTCATCCTGGCTCCGGATGGCATGGTGCTCAGGAAAATGGATAATGAAAACAGACAATAACTGCTCATTGCTTGACCAACCTTGCCACCGGATGGATGAACAGTATGTTCATTATGTCATGCAGCACCGAGTTCATCATCATACATACACTGCTGCCATACAGAGCACCCCCTCCGCATCCGTCTTGGCCTCTCGGGGATGGGTAGTCTATATGACAACAGAAGAGCCAATTATCAGTCGCCATTTAGATTAGGACGGCTGTGGTGGTGGTTACCCGGTCGGGACGCTGGCATGCGGTGATTGTCCAATAATTGATGCTGAATCACCAGCGTCAGAGCAACGCCTGACTGTTTCGGATTGCGTTGCTTTGAGCTGTTTGGGCTTCCCGGGTGGTGTGATGATGCATGGCATGGCATGATCGTTTACATGGATATAAATTCACCGATGTGTTTACAGAGCCATCTATCTACCTGTCTGAATGTCGACATTTTAATAGCTTATCGACATCGATCGATGCCATTCGACCAACAGAAATATTAAATGATACTCCTGAGGTGTTATGGATCTGATAAGTGAACTGAGGTTACTATGTATTTTGAGTAATGAACTCCATCAATTATCCATACCTATGTAGAAACACATGTAATACTAAGTGCTTAGCACATTGGTGTTTTACGTTCAGTTCGGTCGACCACATCCTCACAGAGTACTAACTGAGTCAGTCCTAAGCGTTCCAGAAGGTTCCAAGTTTCTATACTTCGAATGTCTTAACATACTGATGACTTCTGAAAAGTGTATGCATTTTAGTCTTCTGGGCAAGTCATCGAAAGAGTACGAATTCGAAAATATATTCATTATTGTTATAGTCATTTGAGCCGTCTGTAATAGATTCCTCTCTATTCTAGTCCAATGCCTTTTTGCTGAGAGAGTTTTAAGAGTTTTATTGTTGTCTTTGGTTTAACTAGTTAAGTTGTACGGAGTAGTTTTTAGTGCGGACTTGGCTTCATGCAAGCCGGTTTCGTACTAGTTTTCGTAACAACAACTTAGTAAAACTTGGGGTTCGTTCGGAGCTGTACGGCCAGTCACGTGACCTGACATCTTACAACTTCCATATCCCAAGGCTGCAGACTGTCTAGCTTGAGGTATTTCCCCTTCGCACCAGCCATATATTGGCCCTAGGTGTGGAGAGTAAATATATACAATTGCGATGTTTCACCAGAAGCCTTCAAAATCCTGCGACGAGTGCAAGGCTCGGAAGGTGCGGTGTGAAAGTATGTGCGATTCTAATATCGAAGTGAGAAAGACAGCTATGTTAACCTCTCTTAGGAGCATCCAACAGTGAGAGCTCATCCTGCACTAATTGTATGGTAAGCTATATAAAATCCATGTAAAAGCGCTGAATAACCGATTCAATTCCCAGAAACGAGGTAGAGAATGCTACTTTGGCCCGCGCAAAAGACGGGCCAGGCAGTCGTCGCCTGTCTCACATCTGAATGGTAACCCCAGTTAGTTTTCCCAGATGCAATGTAGGTCCTTCCTACCACTTACTTTCGCCATAGCTGTAGATCAGTCGATGTCCAATCGATTCATAACGCCACCGGAGAACGTGAGAGAGACACTTAATTGTCCGCCGAGTAGAGCTACAAATATAGGAGACATCAGTTCCATTACACTGCCTGTTGAAGATCAACAACTGGAGACATACAGCTCAGAGCTGTACGTTGACCTCTTACTTGAAGATAAGAGAACCACTGAGAGACGCCGAAACGAGAGTTTGATTTTCAAGGTTTGACGCGCTATTCCCTAGCGATATGTTCCTCGCTTACTGTAACTTTAATGGCCAGGCTCATGACCAGTATAGTAAGCTACTTGTTGCTGTTACTTTGGGAAAAGTATCAATCCTAATAAGTTCTTAGTTGGAAGCTCCGGGATTGCATTCTTCTCTGACCAGAGGCTTGTATCCATTTCCGATCGTCTAGGTCATAGGAAGCTTAGGGATCTCCTGGAAAATATTGCAAATTCCGTGAACTCACGTATTAACTGCAACACACATCTGCCGGCTCCGATCAAGTTCGTTGAACCCTCTACTACGCTACAGATCTCAGAAGCATCTGCCAAGCTATATATCACTGGTCAGCCTTGTCGTCTCTGTACTCTCTCATGGAAATGCTGATGTCGTTCATAGCGTATTTCGAAAATGTTCACCCAGTTTATCCCTTTATTGATCGACACTGGTTTGAGGAGAGAGCTCATTCTAGAGATATAGCTCTATTACTTCGAGATATGCTTCCTTTCTCAGCCCTCTATCATGCTATCCTTGCGTTGGGGGCCCAATATCATGGGGACGGCTCCTTCGAGCCGGGCACCGGGATTTCATGGAAACTATATCAGATTGCTTTAGGCTTGTTCCCGGAGATTTTAGCTGCGAAGGAATCCTTAGTAAATGTTCAGGTGTGTTGTCTCATATTCGTATTCTCATTTCGTTGCTAAAGTTAAAAAGGCTGTAACTGCAATGGTAACATCTTGCATCCTTGGCTTCATATTACACGAACTAACACATCCAAGGCCATCTTTGCTCACAATTCGTCTTGTATACAAATCGGACATATGTTAACTGCTGAAGCGGCTCGAATGGCACAATCTCTAAACCTCCATAGAGCCATTTCCGATAATGAAAACGTTTCTTTTTGCCAGCGGACTTTTTGGGTGATTTACTTCTTGGAAAAGACACTTTCCTTTGCCTGTGGCAAATCATCTGTAGGTTTGTTCTCTCCATTCATCAAAGAAGGCCTTTTAACTTTTAGACTTAGAGTATACATGATTGCGATATCGGCACACCTATCCCAGACACCCCCAAATCTGTCTCTGGAAGCTTCGACTGGCTTCGCACCATATGTCGTTTTAGCAGGCTAGTTTCAAAGGCATACACTACGCTTTTCTCGATAAGCGCAACATTATTACCAATGGCTTCGATCCGAGCTACTATAATCTCGTTTAACTGTAAACTTGAGTCTTGGAGACTGTCAGTACCTGAAGCATTCCGTCCCGGGAACTCGCTTCGGTCTTTCAACAAACTAGACAACCCGTCCAACATGATCTTCCTCAGGGTCCATTACCATTATTATTGCGCTGTTATTGCCTTGGCTCGGCTCGGCTCAAGCCTCCCGCCGGCAGAGGCCCCATATTCTCTGGCAGAGAGAAGGGAAATGCTGCTGAAAGCCTGCAGCACTATTATCGAGCTTACCAACCAAATTGACATAGCCCCTTATACCCCAATCTGGTTAGTACACAGTCTTTACATAATGAAAGTCTCTTTCTAACAAGGGTGAAAGGATGTTACTTTCTGCACCTTTATCAGCCATGTTCACCCTTTTCGACTTTGTTATACACAACCCAGCAGATGACAAAACCGCAAGCAACCTTTCTCTGCTGGGAATTGCAGCAGGGTACTTCTGTCGTCTAGAGTATGCTTCGGGTGGAGCCCTCCAGACTGCGGTCCTGTCTGACATTGCCCATATTGCGCGAGACTATATTCATGACGTCAAAAATGGCATTACAGCCAGGATGGCCAACCCTACATACGCACCACACACTCCTAGAGCAGAAGGCGCAATTAGACTAGGATCGCAGACACCCTTGTCACTACCGGTGCGTTATGAAAACATTTGCTAATCTTATGTCATACTCTGAATGAATCCCTAACTCAAAATCATTTATAGGGAGGCCCAACTCTCTCGTTCGAATTGCCTCAAGGCCAAACCACCACAGGAGATTTGTACAATCCAGGTGATGATTTCCAATTTCTCATGGGGAGTAGATTTCCGGAGGGCGTTGATTTGGACGAACTCTTTTGCCGCTTCTCCCCTGCGGCGCATTCATACCCTTTTGAGTGAATTACGATTTCGGTCGATTGGGGAATTTCTTGGACCCTGGAGAGAAAAAACCGGTTGTCGATCGTTTCATTAGTATGGGTTTTACCTTTTATATTCACTTAATTCGCATTTACTCAAGACGGAGACATAGGGAAAGCCTCAAGCGGATTCTTCCGAAGCGCGGCAAAAATGTTGCAGTGTATCCTTTGTGCCGACTCTAGTGACAGTAGTGATGGGCCGATGTCCCGGCAGGTTTACCAGCATTCTCGATGTTAAAGGAAGCTCTCAATGCTTTAACTCATAGCGGTTTTCGTTGAAGCAGTTACGTTACGCATAAAAATCGTTGTGGGTTCGGAGGTATGTACCAAATTATCGTGATGATAGACCCTCATCATGAGGAAAGTAATGTGGATGAGGACAAGCAGGCTTGGCATCGAGTAAAGGGTCGAAGCGCGCTAGTTTAGAGATGAGCGTGGGTGCAAGGAGAAATCTGTATGATTTGCTAGGGTGTAATGAGTAGAAGAGAGTGGAAGAAGAGCAAACCAACCAAGAGGCTTCTTCGCACAATAACAGTGGCCATGGAGAAACAAACTGAGTGTTTATAACACGGCTATTGTTTACCTGATAAGTTTAGCCTTTGAAGAATTGTTGAAAAATAAAGAATAGGAAAGAAAAAGGAAAGAAAATTGCATGTACCCTAGATACAAACGTAGATAAGGACTATCAGGAAATCTCTATATTTTATAGAGAGGTGCGCTCAGAGTAATATCCTCATGTACACAAGCGGCAGAATGTCTAGGTAGTTTATAGCAATACGGCTCGTTAGTGACAACTCCGACTAACATGCTATATTCTCTAGTCCATAACCTCACCTATTTCGGACACATTCAACGTCTCATCGTAAACATCTCCAGCTTAGGTTATTTTCATCGCTAATCTACAGGCACTGGAGATTTTGCAATCCCGTATCAATCAGCACTACAAGCCTTCCGACTGCTTCAAGGAAAATGCCGAGGCAGCAAAATCTTGTAGATCATTGTTAACGACAAAACTCCTCCGAATCCTGCCGCGTAGCGCTTTTGCGAAGTATGATTTGACAAGTCTCGGGAAAAGCGTTATCATCATCTAGAGGGACTGAACTCCTGAGATATCCATAGCCAGCTTGCTTTACACGTACAGTTGTATTTTGTTGACTTGCGTACCGACAATGTGTAAAAGGACGACGGTCCCTTTTTTTACCTGGCCGAGGGTACGTTTCTGAACTGTATCGTTTTATATTTATCGAGCTATTTCGCTCTCACATCACCGTACTTGTGGAATCTACATTACACCGTCACAGCAATACCACTGTATTGCAATACGGCGAATGCGGGGTAGCTGTGAACAGGCCTAGAAACCTTTCTGTCGATTTAGGAAATAAAAATAAAGTCAAGGTTTCCCTCAAGCAGCGATATTTTACTCAAAGGCAAGATGAGACATCGGGTGGAGGTGGCACCGTGTAGGTTTTGCGACCGAAGGTTCTCGAGAACAGAGCATCTTCGAAGGCATGAGCGGACTCGTATGCATCCATTCAACACTTATTGCAGCTCGTTTTGTTGACTCTTCAAAGACACAAACGAAAAGCCATTTCGTTGCACCTGTGGGAAGGTCTTCTCTCGACAGTAAGTTGCCCCGCAGACTTGCACAGACAGACAGAAGGTAGATTGATATACTTCTCATAGGGATCTCCTGTCTCGTCACCTGAGGATTTCGCAAGATCGCCAGCAGCATCAAACAGAATCTATCCAAACCATGACATCAAAATCTCCCCAGGCACAGGATTCTCACACTGCTCAATGCGCCGGTATGAATGAACCCGCTGGATTCTTATCCGATGCTTCTTTGCGTGTGCCGGATCCTTTAACTCAGTTTAATTTTTCGGATGATCTCGACTTTCTGTGGAACGGTATCGATATTGGCGCTCTATCCACTCCATCTGGACAATCCGACACAAGATTTGGTCGAGACATGATATACCTGTCTCAGCACGGGATGATTGATCCCTCCGTGCTTTTCTTGCCCGATCTGCCGCCTGCACTTGGTTCGAGTGAAAATCATGGACAAAATACAGTTGAATGTGGAATGTTGTCATCTTATTCGTCTCGGCTGCCATCCTTGGAGCCGTCTGTCGACGAAGCACACTCCACATCTCGAAATATATCTCGTGACACACCTCGGAGTATTCGAAATTACAAATCATCCTGTCCGTGGAGAATAACTCAAGCGAATTACATCACAATTGTCGCCCTGATTCACGAAGTGCAACCCTCTCTGCCTGTCGGATTTGAACTTCCCTCACGGCATTCTCTGTGTCGCTATTTTGAAGGATATTTTACAGACTTCCATAGACACCTGCCTTTTCTACACATTCCAACAATCACAATCACCAATATTCCACTAGCTTTATGGCTCGCTATTGCAGCAATTGGGGCACAATACCGCTTTGAGCGACAGGAAGCCCTGAATTTATACCGTGCGTCGAAGGCGTTGATAGATCACCAAATCGAAACACGGTATCATTGCTCGAGCGCATTTACACCCTTGCATAGTTCTTCGCAAGATAACTTATCGCAGGACCCAGCGACCCAATATGAGAATAGTCGAGATGAAGGACCAGAGAACCAAGTCACAGAACTGACTCAAGCATTGGTGCTATTGATGATATTTGCAACTTACAATCATCATTCACTTCTTCAAGATGCGTTTGCGATATCGAACTGTCTTGTTCATTACTTACGGGAGAGTAAGCTACTTGAAAATGATGGCGAACCCTCCAATCAAACGTGGGAGCAATGGGTCAAGTTAGAGGGTAGACGTCGAACTATACTCGGAGCTTTCGTATTCATACACATTCAATCCGTCGTTTATGATATTCCACCAAAACTTATGAGTAGTGAGATACGCAATATACGGGTACCCAGCTCAGAAGCACAGTGGAATGCGTTGGATGCGACCATGTGGAGAGCCATTAAAGAAAATTCACCACTAGGGGCTACATTTGGGGAGATCCACGCCGCTCATTTTGGTATCACGCAGCAATGTTCTACCACCTGCAATATTTCATCATTTGCAAATTTGGCCTTAATCCATGCTCTAATACAAAACGTCCATCTAGCGTGGGAATTGAACTCTACGGTGCTTAATGATGACAGCTGCAATGTGGTAAACAATCAATCTCTCCCTTCTTCAACAGTCTCGAGGCTTGAATGTGCGCTCGGGCAGTGGAAGAGTAACTGGGAAGCCACTGAAGAGTCATCAATTAATCCAATATCATCAAGTGGACCGCTAGGTTTTAACTGTACCGCGCTCTTTCGAATTGCCTGTATTCGACTCTATTATAACATAGGTCCTTATCTGCAATTCAAGACACGGGATCCACGGATCATTGCAGAGAAAATTCGAAAGGCACCACTCCCTTCACGGACACCGAAATTATATAGCGCTGTTCTCCAAAGCGCACACTCCCTGAGCATACCTGTCCGTCTCGGTGTGGAATACGTTGCAAGAACTCAAACTCTAACTTGGAGTATCGTTCATACTCTGTGCAATGTTGAATGCGCCTTATTCTTAACCAAGTGGCTCGAACTGATGGTCGTAGACACTGAAAGCATCTGTGCCGAAGAGCAGAGATTACTGGACATTGTGAACAGCGTTCTGAGCGAAACCGATTTCAAAATATCCATCAAGTCCGAAAGGGACCGCTCGAAGCAGATAAAACGTGTTGGTATAGGTATTGTGAAGCTTTTAGCACAAACTCTCCGAGGAAGTCATGTTTTTGAATTGGTGGAAGTCCTTAAAGTCTCTCTTGAGATGTATGCCAGTGTCTTGGAAAATGACCTCTGAGGATTTTAATAACTGCATTTGTTTCCTTTTTCTTAACTGCTACATTTTCGACCTACTAGGGTTACTTGCATTTTTGTTTCTTCTCAACTCTGGTATGCTTCAAGTTGAGTTTGGGTCCCTTTATGGAAAAGTTACAAACTATACTTGATTCTGTCGTTGCATCTCATTATAGTTGGCTTAGTAGAATTTTATGAGAGAATAGCGGCTTAAGTTAAAATTAATTATTCAATAATAGTCGTTAGATTGATACATGACTAATGTCAAAATCTCAATTTCCACGACCTTTCACTTCAAGAAAGTCCCGTTTGATACTGCTTTCTCCATCTCATACTCTGGTTGAAAAGCACAGTAAAGAGTCTCCTATCCAAAATGTCAGTTTAGCAGTACTCCAAAATTTCTAGGGCTCTTACAGGATCGGCCATAGCCTTGGCAGTATACGCTGCAGCTTCATCACTAACTGGCACCTTCTTGTGTCCGGAGCCAGCGGCAGCAGCATCCACCAAGAGCTGTACTTGACAAGATCTTTCCATGACGGAAAATAGATAAGCTGCCTCATCAACCGTTTGGCCAACTGTTAATAACCCATGGTTTAAAAGTATGAGACCTTTCCCTTTAGGCCCAAGCGACTGGACAAGCCTTTCGCTTTCTGCCTCATTCAATGTTACACCCCCAAACTCCGAATAAACTCCATGGCCTTCCCCGTAAAAGTCAACAACATCTAAGTTTATCATATCTAGTCTCTTCCCAAAAGCAGAGTAGGCCTTTCCATATGGTGAGTGAGTGTGGCATGCAGCATTGACATGGGGATATCGTTTATGTAGATGGGAATGGATTTGAAATCCAGCGGCACCAGCAGGCAAGTGAGTTGCACCCCCAACTGGCACCCCATCTTCGTTCAATAGTATCAGATCAGACACTTTGATAAGACCAAAGTGCATTCCATATCTTTGAAGATACGTTAGCCTCTCATCTTCATTGCCATTGCTCCCATGACTCACGGGTTCGTCCAGAAACAGTTGGAGTATTCTGACGCTCCAGTTAGTCAATATTGATTGTAGTAGCTAATTTGAAAATTGGAAGGTTCCGCACCGGGATCTCTGAGGCTAATATGTCCAGTCAGCCCTTCAACATACCCCTTTCTGGCGAAAACACGGAAGGCTCCCGCCAAATGCTCAAGCATCCATTGTCTTTTTACTTCAAGTGAGGTGAAGGATGGGATCCCAGAAAGGGTAACACCTTGCGAAAGCCTTTGGATGGCAGATTTTTCGGTGTCATCATTAGTAGCACTCTTGACATTATCATTCTGTGCTGAGGGTGATTGAAGTGTTGTGGTAGATGTTGCCATATTTTCTCCGCTCTCGATCATATGTAGACTTTGAAGATATTTTTAGAGATTATGAAATATCTCGAATTTTTTATTTGTAAAAAGCAAAAGAAAATTATCAACCTTTTAATCTCTATTACACCATCTAGTTTGGGGCGTCTTTCTCCGACACCACTTCCAATGCTATCCTTATATTGCTCCAACGTACCCCAAAAATTATCAAAAATTTGGGGCATAATGAAGAACCTAGGCTTCAATTCGTAAATTGGGGGTTTCTTCATTTCTACTCACTATCACAAGGTGGGAAATCTTTCGTAACTAGGTGGCAAATATCTGTAAGAAGCTCTCGAGGTGTTACTTACCACTCAGTTTATTTCTGAATACTCTAGGTGGCGCGAGCGGCTGTCTATTGGCAAACTTTTTTCCGACAAAATACATTCAGCTTCTTTATTTCGTACATGTTAATTAGCACAAGGAAAGTAAACTAATGGGTAGCATGTAACGACAAACAGCTAGCTGCCTTCATTTTGAGCTAGAGGTATTTATTTTAGTGATCTATAGTTATAGGAATGCATTTAATGCAAAAGCTCTATGATGTAATTAATGCCGTTCAAGGAACACGTATTTACAATGTCTATAAAGCCAGAGCCTCAAGTCTCCTGAAACACAAATTTCCCCTCGCTATCTTGGACTTCTACTTCAATCCTAGCTTCCTCGATGAGTTGACCATTGACCTCAATTTCGCATTTCATCACCTGACCAGGCTTGACCTCCCCTACCCCTTTCGGAGTTCCTGTCAAAACGATATCTCCAGGTTCTAAAGTCATGACGCGAGAAATGTCCGCTAACTGCCTGGAAATTTGGAAGAGCATCAAGTTCGTTGAGTCCGATTGACGTAGCTCTTGGTCTACCCATAGTCTCAAAAAAACGTCATGGGGATCAGGAATACGATGTTTCGCAATGGGCTCTGAAATAGGAAGGAATGTGTCAAAACCTTTTGCGATGGACCAGGGGAGACCTTTTTTTTTAGCCTCATCCTGGATATTTCGGCCCGTCATATCGATGCCTAGGATGTAACAATCGATTGAATCTATAGCAGCTTGATGGTCCCCTGGATCAAGATCGCGAACTTCTTTACCAATAACAAGCCCGAGCTCGAGTTCGTAGTGAAGAACGGTGCCATTCGGGCGTAGAACAGGACCACACCCTGGTGGTAGAATTGATGATGGCGGCTTGAGGAAAAAGAAAGGCTGTTTAGGTCTGGAATTACTCAATTCCGCAATGTGGTCTGCAAAGTTTCGGCCAATGCAGACAACTTTACGGCACTTGCTTTTGATGGTGGCAGCCATTGTTTCCGCGTATCTCCAATCCTTTTGAATCGTATGAAATCAGCCCTCTGTACATTTCCAGTGAAGGATCGCAGTCCGAGCCTTGCTTTGGTAAGAAGGCTACAATATCACGATATGCAAACCGTGAATTGCCCAGAACCAAGCCGGATCGAAGAAAGGGAGTCCTTATGAAAAGAATGGAAAGTACTGACTGTTACCGTCAAAATAACCTCTTCGCAGTGTTTGGTGTTAATATTGTTACCCACAGGCACTTGAAAACAAAATCTACCGATCAGGAAACTACCTTAAGTAGGTCAAGTACATAATTCCGGAATTGCTTCGAAGTTATGACTAATACGGTGGGGACAACGCCAATTGAAAATACTCCCATATCACCCCAATATTCGGGGTAAAATCACTCACTATGTAGTCAACCGTCAAGCTCAGAGTAGCAGCTCCATTATTGTAGGCACGATCCACAAGTCCAGCAATCCTATTAGTATTAGTTTTGGATTCTCACATCCCGAGTCGCTTGGCTTGATTGATATGCTCCTGCAAACCAGAAGTGATGATCATCGCATCTGGACTAGGCTATCCTTTTACACAACACAATATACGAAGATTCAGATATACAAAATTCCTCACACTATATTCCTGCAATTATCTTAGTTACGGTTTAAAATTGATAGCCTACATATTATACATAATGCGTAAATGCTTAGGACTGTATCTTGGACCTAAGTAACTCCTCCTAAATCTCATAACTTTCTGGCAATAGGAAAATAAGTCTGCTCTAGAATACATTCTGGGCCCTAGTCGAGATTTTCTCTTTGATGGGCTCTTTCTCCGCGCTCTGGATCTGCGTCAAAAACTTGTCTGCTGCCTCCTTGTCGGAGGCAAAGAGATGGTCCACAACCATCCGCTGTGGAGTTTCTCCTAACCACTGAAACAGCGAGAAATCCTGATACTTATCTGCACGAAAAATTTCGAGTACTTCTAACGGTTCCTCGTCGCTAAGGTTCTCAATAAAATGGCCCATATTCTGTGGCACGATACCGACATCGCCAGCCACATAGTCAAATGTGCGTGCAGTGCCTTCAGCAGCAAAGATTGTCACGCGAGCTCGTCCTTTTTTAAAGTAGGACCACTCATCGGCGTTAGGATGCCAATGCATCTCACGAATCGCTCCAGGATTAATGCTCAAATGTGCCGCTGCCACAGTCTTTGAAATCGGAAAATTCGTAGAGTCAGTGATACGTACTTGGCCTCCTGCTGTTTTTAGTGGTTCTTGTTCCAGCATTTTGTGTGTGAATTGATATTTTGATTTCTTAAACCCTGGTGGTCTCTCCTTTTTGATGGTACTTGGTAGAGAGCCTTGAAAAATATACTTTTCTGACTTGGGAATCGCGTCGAAGATGTCAGGTGCCAGCCCAAAATTCTCCGATAACACAGACTTTGGTGTTCGTGCTGTATTTTGAATACTCAGTTCAGTTTTTTCTAAAAGGATTGGTGACATGATCTCACCCAGCCAGTCTGTTAATATAAATGTTGATTCCTCAGAGAAACCACCATCATCAAATATCAACAAAAATTCTGTACCGTTCGGGCCGAGCCCTTGTAGCGAATGCGGGTGCCCAGCAGGAAAATACCATAGATCGCCTTCCTCTAGATCGTCCATAAAGCTTCCCCCCTCAGTGTCCAGAGCAGTGACACGTACTTTACCACTGAGAACATATGCCCACTCAGCTTCAGTATGCCAGTGAAGCTCTCGAATGACGCCCTTGTCGAGACGCATATTTACTCCTGCCAACTGCTTACTGGTAGGCAGTTCCCTGATAGTGGTCTGCCTTGTCCATCCACCCTCCTATTAACTATATCAGTTCAAGTCCCCGATTGGTTCTATTGTAGATACAGTAAGGACACTCACCTCGATGCGTATATGCGAATCTGCAAAACTCCATCGCATATTCGCCATATTACCATGGTCTGTGCTCGGAGGTCGCACGAGGTCTGGGTTTTGTCTTTCCCTGTCCTTGTTCCTAGGACCTTGAAAAGTAGCGCCGTCACCATTTCGGAATGGCAACGGTTCCAAGTCTTGACCAACCGAATCAAGTTTATGGTCATACGGATCACTATGCCCAGGAGTGAAAGGCTTGTCCCGGAACAGGATGACCGGGGATTGTGCTTGGGTCTCAAGCAGCCGTCTAGTTTGACGATCTGGGCTTGGGAATGCGCTGCAGTTATTCAAAATCACCAGGGACCAGGTAAGAAGGACCAAGATCATTGAATTGGAAATTGACCGTAGTCGAAGGACGGAAAGACCCGTTTCGCTATTGATGACACCTCTCATGTTTTAGATGTGATTGGAATTAAGGGCCCCGTCCTAGTCTTCTTATATGGGTGTACAGAGAAAAGGGAAACTTAAACCCTTGTTTTTTGATTGTTTTCAAGGCTCGTGTGGGCTATATAGCAACCCCTTGCTGCGCTGGAAAACCGCCCAATGGAAATTTGTTGAAAATGCCCCAAATCGGAGAGGATTCAGTACAAAGGTGGAGACAACTAGCAGTATTATTCGCTGGGTATCTATCCGTTATCTCCAAATATCATAATTATCTTACGCAGGACAAAAGGATGGTTTCTATACCCTTCCGACAAACAAAACTATTAGCATCCAACACGCAGCATTCCAGGCTACGAAATGACGAATAACCTAAATCGCGAAGAGGAGCCCCTGTTAGGAAGGGTAGCTCCAACTTCGACCTCGAAGCTCCTTCAAAAACACCTTTCGAACACCATAGATACGCATGGAGGAGATCTGCTATTGCTGTTTTGCTATCTCATCACAGGGATATTGGATTCCTCGGCTGTTTATATGTGGGGGTCGTTTGTCAGCATGCAAACAGGAAATACGATCTACCTGGGATTGGGAATAACTGGAGTTGGCCAAATGGGCCGATGGGAAAAATCAGTCGTTTCAATTGCAAGCTTCTGTCTGGGAAGCCAGGCATTCGCTGCCTGGCATCGGTTCTTTCCAGCGCGAAGAAGATGGGTGATGTGTATCTCCTTCACGATCCAGACGGCCTGCATCATCGTCGCGGCTATCATTGTGATTCTCGGTCCAGTTGAAAATTCCCGGCCATTTTGGTTGGAATACGGGCCATTAGCTATAGTTGCCTTCCAGAGCGGCGGCCAGGCGGTGATCAGCAGAGTACTGTCGTTCAACGCCCTGACTAGTGTGGTCCTGACGAGCATCTACTGTGATCTTTTTGCATCTCCAACCCTTCTTTCAGTTCGCGCTTTTAGTCGGAAAGAGCAGCTACAAAGGGCAGGAGCAATCTTATGCCTCGTTACTGGCGCCGTATGCGGAGGCTGTTTGGTTCGTACGTCAACTGGATTCGTCGGTGCCCTATGGGTAGCTGCATTCCTCAAAGGGGTTACCATTGTCCCATTGGTATTTTGGAAGGCAGAAAAATCAACAATTGACGAGGTCTGACGTGGATGAATACTATATTGAGTATTTCGAAGCTCAGTACTACTTTCCATTTTATGTATTGTCCCTGGTTGATTTATAATTACATACACCTAAACATATGAGCATCTTTTGCATAAGGCTGTAGCCCTGTTCTGAGGTCCGTTGCAGCTTTCAAGCCAACCTGTTATCGTTATCTCCAGATGTCGGAGTTTTGGAGTTTCGACGACACCCCGGCCATAAAATACCTTTTTCCAGTATAAAATTGAACTTGCGAGCATATTGAGGTATTTAGTGTTTGAAGGACAAATAATAGACGAAGGTTTTATTCAGCGAGTCACCCTCTTCCGGCCGGGTTAAATCGCACAGAAATCGACTTCATCGAACGCTAGTGCCAAACGGTTGGGGTAAGGTCCAGAGGCGTATATGTATATGAATTCGATAAATATTATAAAAAAAGAAGCCTATAGCTTCATATAGCTTGTATTCACGAGTTTCTGCTGATGGTTATCTTTCCTTCTAAGCGCGTTTGTGAGCAACGAATTGTAGAGAAGGACACCGCAGATTAAAGTGGCGAGACTACTGAAACCATCTGTTTAGTTACCCCAGAATTTGGGGTAGATGGCTTCAACGTCTCCCAAGCAGCGTGATATCCATTCCTTGCGGTTGTCTCGCCCGGCTAGTGTTGCGACGTTATACCACTATCAAGTTCATCACTCCATCATCCATCAGTCCCCATTGGAAGAAAATCAAAGTAGCTCTTACAGATTCTTAGTACGATGTACGATGTCAACATTCGTTTCTTTGTTTCTACTTTCATAAAATTCTCTCTTATTAAGGATTTTTAGGAGTTGTGATCGCCCTGATGGAGAAACTTCTCCCGCCTCAAGGGCCTTTGCATCCAATGGGAATTCGATTTCTTGATGAGGCTTTTCGGAGCGCACCGGAAACACGCAGCTTAGGCTGTAAATGACTTAGAAATCAACAGAATTAGCACAACTCGCTTGCAGCACCCTCAACAAGGCTTTTTCAATGCCTCCTGCTTGCCCTGATTATTTAGACAGCTCAGAGCCTTTCTACGTTGTACTAGTTCTTGAGATAGGAAATGAAATAAAATACCAAGAGACTAAGAATGGAATAAATGACAAATTTTCCCAGCGCCAACGCACACAAACACGACTAGATCATAAACGCATCAGACAGTCAAAAACGAAAGCAAATCAAGTACTACATAGAGCATCTATGAGCACAAATAATGAAGATTTAGGATACGATGTCACCACTGTCTGAGCAGATGCAACGAGTGGACGTGCCAGTGACAAAGACGCTACTTGGTTTGTTCTTTCTGTCATCTCATCTACGGTTGTAATGCTTGCAACTCGCTGCCCGAAGAATTATCGTATAAAACCAAATTATAACACCTCAATTGATGCATCCTACTGATTGCTTGTCCTCGGTCAACTGTCGATGCGGTATTGATCTCCAAGTACAGCCGGAGTGCTTGGAATTTTCAGCATTTTGGGCTCTTCTTGTATCTCACACGAACCTTGCTGAGAACCTTTCCATCACTGCATCACTACCGCGAAATCCTTCATTATTGCACATCTTTCAGAACCCATGTGCTAGCACCAACCCTGTAATTCGCATACTTGGGGGCTTTTTCCGACAGGTGTAACCAGCAAACCTACACACACTATTAGCATACTCTTTGATAATATATAGGCTCCTACGGGTAAGACCTCATCCCTCTTACCTGGGGCTTGTTCGTGGGTATATGGAACACGATATGCTTGGGGCTGGGATTAGTTTGCGGACGAGATGGATGGACTCGGGGATACTATATCGATCATATACCGCCTGTACGCTTGCTCTTTTTTCAAAGCGGCCGTCATCCTATGACGAGTCGGGTGCTTTGGGTATGATTTAGCTGCGCGCCGCTGTTTCAGTCGAAGTTCCCTAAACTTCAAATGTTGTCTGGGGTACCATCAGGGCTCGGCGATCGAATCTAGTGGGGTTTACACTTCGGCATTTCGGCGGTTGGAGTAATTACTCGATCCAATCAGCACAATCGATGACGACTATTTTCTATGATTCGTGCTGCGTGCGATGCACAAAAGAGACAGCTAGATCTCGAATGATATTGATAATTGGAGTCTGCATCGGAGTTACAAGTCTATCGGTTTCAACATTTATACCCTCGCCTACTAGCTTCGGATCGTCTAAATACCAAACTCCGTGATCTTCAATTGGAGGCAGTATGGTTTATTGTACGCACGCTTATAAATATCTACTGAGCTACGACCCAGAGTTATCCATCGAGGATTTTCAGCCCATAATTATCTCGAGCGTCTTTTATTCTGTGACCAATTTACAATCAAAATGAGCGCCGAAGGCATTTTTCCGGATGTGGTTGGGCTCTCGTATCGATGCGGATCCAATCAGGGGACCGTAACCGACCATTTCACGTATTGTTATGAGCCGGGAGCTGAGGTTACGTTTTCTATTGGAGATCTCATACTTGGAAAGACGGTTGGCAAGCCCTTGCTCTCCATACTAGATCTTGTCTCCGTTGAAGTCTCCACATTTGATCCCAAGGTGATAAACCGCGCGAGATTGCTATTCAGCCTTTCCTCAGCTCAGGGATTTGAAGCTCCAATCATCATTGACAAACATGTAAGTGGGCTCCTGAGGCTCTTGGTTTTAGAGAGACTTTGCCTTACTTATTCTATGATTCTAGATTCAAGATGTCGTTAGCAAATACGCCTTCAAGATCAACCTAGATTCTCTCAATGTTTCCGATCTAGATGACGCTCTCTCTTCCATCCATAGTGAACTCGGAATTCCGCCCAAGACAGTGTCACATACGCGGAATCACCTACGAAGGGCTGCAGCCGGCTTCAAGGTGATGCGAGACCTGCACATCCCGACTCAAGATGGAGGCTCTATACTTGGCGATGTTTATTTACCCGTTGAACATGGAAAAAGATACCCTGTTTTGATCAGTTGTACGATTTACGGAAGGCGAGTCTTCTACTCTGGTCCGGACTTGGATGACACAGATGACATCGCTGCCTTTGAGAAAGCCGAAGATGATTGGCATTCAACCTCTGGAAGCGTTCCTATTCGAGTACCAAGAGGTTCATGGGGAACTTCATGGGAGACGCAGAGAGGATTTGAGAACATTGCAACATTCAACACATTCACTTACGTGCCCCGTGGCTATGCCATGGTGAAGATAGATCCTAGGGGCGTGTCCCAGACTGCAGGTAAAAGAGGCGTCCCTGGAGAGTTAACGAGTGATTTCTATGATGCTGTTGAGTGGGCTGCAGAACAAAGTTGGAGTAATGGGAACATTGCCCTTGTTGGAAGCTCCTACGGAGCGAATGTCCAATGGAATGTGGCGAGCTTGAGACCCAGGGGGTTAAAGTGTTTTGTACCTTATGCATGTAAGTCGCACCTTTCTCTCACGAGCAGACAACGATCGCTAATCAGATCCAAAGCTGATATTGATACATATCGCGATGCGGCTTATATTGGAGGTATTCCAGGATCGCGCTATTTATCTGACTGGTATCGCCGAGTTAAACTGTGTTCCCCGAAGTGGACCGATCATATGGACCTGTTAAGCATGATGAAGGCGCATCCCTTCTATGATGCCCTTTGGAGCGCGGTGAATTCAAGTTTGGGACCAATAGACATGCCTTGTTTTCTAGCTGCTTCTCAGATATTTATGATCCATGGTCGAGGTGCATATGAGGCCTGGAAAACCCGTAATCCTGACAATACGCATCTACAGCTCGTTGATTGCGATTATTATTCATGGCCGAGTCGTGAATCCTCCGGGAAGATATTACAGTTCCTTGACCATTACCTTAGAGGAAATGAATACCCGATCCCGGAAACGGTTGGCATTCAAATACGGCTGGGGAATGGAGAGTGGTATTGGCGAAAAGAAAAGAATTGGCCTGTACCTGGTACTTGTTACACCAAATGGCACCTTCGAGCCGATGGAAGCCTATCCACAGACGAAGCAAACAACACAGAAAAGTGCTTTTCCTACGCCGCCAGTGTCCCACAAAATGGCAAGTCGGGAGAAAGCTTTCACTCCCTTCCATTCGAGAATGACATTGAACTTGCTGGTCATTTCAAAGCAGTCCTCAGCATCTCCTCGAGTGTGGCAGACGCAGATATAGTGGTCATGTTATGGGCGGTGAACGAAGAGGGAAAGATCGTACCATATAGCTCCAAGGGAGAACCCGAGCCTCTAGCCAAAGGATTTCTTCGCGCAAGCCATCGGCAGACTGATCCTTCAAAAAGCACCCCTGAGAGACCATGGCACACACATATCCAGGAGGATAATGCACCACTGAAGACAGGCGAAGTGGTCCAGGTTGAAGTTGAAGTCTTCCCGGCTGCAGCAAGGATTCGAAAGGGATGGAGACTTCGCGTGGATATCTGTCCCTCAGAACATCAGCCTGATATTCCTGGATACAACCCTCTTGAGATGAGAGAGTGGTACGGCGAGGTAAATGATGGCGGAGTTAATGCAATCCACGTCGGGGGTAATCGACCGAACTACATAGTGTGCCCCGTCGTGCCGCTTCAGGAAGGCTACCGCAATTTAGTCCAGTAAGAAGAGCGAATAACATACATGTATTTGGATCAAACATTAGGATTGCGAGTAGCCAAATAGTTATAGTCTAGTTCTCTACCGGAGTCAAAACATATATATCTTTCCTGATGGAATGTATGCTGTTAGAGTAACTACATGTACATTTAGTGTGGAAATAAGGACACTCTTGTCGGAGACTTCCATTTCCGTTGTTTTCATATAGAATTGGTGTCTTAGATTAGCCTTGTAAGGCGGAGATTCCCCAAATGTCGATCTTGCTGCTCCTTTCATCTTTGTCAGCCATCTTTAAAGGAGTAAATCTATACAGTTTGACTTTTCTGGTTCTCTACCCTCGAACGTAACGTAGAGAGAGATACTGGTTTTAATTACAGGGCTAATGTTGTATAGCAGCTAATATATTGAAATATATTTAAAAATAAGTCTCTTTGATTGTTTTCAATACAATTAATCTGTTATAATTACAACACTATATATGTGTTTTTATGCCCTTCCCTATTTACCATTTCCTGTCACAGCATGAGTCAATTGTAATATCATCATCAGAATAATCAATTAACCTTCGGATTAAACCTGGCAGGCATCAAGGCTCTGGTTATGACTACTACAAAAGTTAACAGAAATATCCTGATGGAGAATACACCACTGTACTTACTCCGAGTCTCGAATGAGAGCCAAGTCGTTCGATTCTTGACAACACTGGGATGTGAATATGGATAATTTTAACCGTAAACCCCGTTTTTTGGCCCTAATCAGTTCTATCCAACCTTGGATCATGGACAACCGGAATGAGAGGATGACAGCCCAGAGCCCGCTGGACTTTGTTTAAGTCAGCTGAGAATGAAAGAATGAAAGAAAACCAGGAAGGGCAACCAATCAAACTCACTGCAATCATACATAATGCTGCTTGTATCTCATTTTGACTGGTCCTGATTCTGGAAGCGAGCTGTTCGCAGTCGTCGATGTCTCCCTGGGATGAAACCAGGCACGAGAACCACCGTTGAGTCGCGTCGACCGGGTAATCAGCCGAAATGCCAATGCGCAGGAATACCGTCGTTACGTAGGCTGCATATGCTGCAATCAAGACAACCATAGCTATAGGCCTCCACTGCATCACAAGCAGTTTCTGGATTCGCAAGGATACTTGTCGTGTTGTAAAAGCCTGACGTATCTCGGTCGAGGAGGGTCGCTCTCCGGAATACATACGTAGTCTTTCGTGGGCTACAGGTTTGATAACAACGTAAATGCAATATAGGACTGAACACAGTTGCAAAACGGTAGATGCAAGTGAAACCCCCAATATTGGACCCCAAGCTGTAGCTATACTTTTCTGGGGATTAAGCACGCAGGTCTGGCCGACTTGATAGGACCCGCCAGTCACACCCAGGGCAAGGGCCACAAGGCATACTGAGCCGCCATATGAACATGTAAGTGCGAAGAACATGAATTTTGCTCCCGGTTTTAAATCCCAGCAGATATTGACATGGAGCCAAATCGATCGGAAAAGGTCTGGTCATATGTTATCTAAAAAGGTTGAACACCGCCATCTCTGGGTCAATAATCACTTACTATTCAGCAATAATATCCAAATACCGAGGAATAGGGTAGCTGACGTAGCACAACAACTAGTATCTGAGTTGATATCGTTGGGTGTGATACCATCGTAGCACTGTGGTGGTTCAGAATCGAATGGAATGACGAAACACAGCTGAGAAAAAGGCAGTTAGAAGCACGTAATCCGAGCCGCTGACACGTATACAGTTGCGATTAGATGGAAGTATTGGCCGTACCGACATCAGAGCAAAACCAACCAAGGGGTGGGTCGTAAAATAATGGCGTGCAGTCAACTCCACAGGTAGAGCAGCAAATGTGAGAAGCATTAAAGAGGTCACGGTGAGGGTAAAAATACCCATCCAGCCGATTGCACCGTGGTCGTCAACTAGGCCTAAAGAAAATCAGAAGTCCGTGTTTTTCCTTCTACATTGACTCCATACGTGTTACTCGTTCATATCGCCAGGCGCTCAGGGGGCACGGTAAGCAGCACGACACATTATTATACTGAGGCAAATTTGTACACCAACGGCCAGGCAAAACTACCGAAAATCAGACAAGAGCCATTCGTTACAAGTCCAGCTACCTGAGGATAATACCCACATCCGCCTTGGTCAGGAAATCGCGACTCGTCCAAAAGTGGTGCCGGGCAGTGCTGATTCATCTAGTAGGGTTGCTTCGAAAGGATTTTGCAGGGCGGATTCAACTCTTAGTAGGGGTAGTGTCAAGCCTGTTCAGTAGTAGTTGAGTGATCGATCACCTGTCTCTCGCAGTATGCGGGGATGCTTGCTTAATATTCCAAAGCCCCCATGGGGAAAAATCAACATGCTGGGGACGGAAAGCTTAATGTCTATCTTATAAACTGCGGGGATAAACTTGACCCTTTCTGACTGGGTAGCACGAAAGACATTACGATATGCTCTCAATGTTGACATTAGTTCGGAGGTGAAGTTGAAGTTGGTAACCAGAACCGTTGACGAATGGTTCCGGTTCCCGAGCCCCGAAACTCCGAAACTCCGAAATCTCGGATTCCCAAACCCTAACCTATTCTCCAATACATGCAACAATTAGGACGTAATGGGCTAATCAAATAGTACGTGTCTTCTAATCCCAAAGAAGATGGTTGATATTTAGGCTAGAGTAACCTGTGCTGCGCAGATCGCTGTAACAATGTTGACATACCTACCTGAATTTGGCAGCCCCCTCTTCCAGAAAGAAGACTGCATTTCAACGGTCACTTGGAACGAACTTTGCAATCCTGAGCTCCAGAATGACACAAATTCAGAAGGTACCATGCTTCCGCAGATATGTTACGAACAAGACATCATGAACAGGATCTACCTTGTCCGGATTCTAGGCTATAATAATTGAAGTTGTATCATACATTAATATCAATTAAAAACCGATGGTAAGCATGACGAGCTTGCACTAGATGATTATCTAGTGCATATCTTCCTCGATATCATAAGCCAATGGCTTCTGGCCTATTCCTAACTTACTTAGGCCGAAAAGGCTGTAAATTCCTAAGGCACCGGAAGTTGCAATTTCTTTGAGCCACAGCTGCCACGGAGAAATTCTCTTTCTTACTCCTCCATTACGCTCCGCGAGTTGGTGCATTTCATTCACTCGAGGTCGTCGCTTTTGCTCATATATTCTGAAGACCTCATTTAGTGAAGCTGGGTTGGAGTCCAGGAGATTTGATAACATGAAGATGTCTTCCAGTGCCATGGAAACCCCTTGGCTTGCATGTGGTTGCATTGCGTGAGCTGCGTCCCCGATAACCAAGCACCGCCCTTTCGACCATTTCCCACCTGCGGGCAGATGATAAATGGGATAGAACCGGAGTGTGTTTGTCTGTCTGACAGTTTCCTTCATGGTCAACCCCCATTCTCCTTCAGAGTCTTTGATGAGATCTAGTACTGTTGATTTGATGGTCTCCACCTGCTGTTTCCCACGTTCCTCCCACCCATCGCGCGTATCACCGCTAGGAGGAATGGCAAGCTCGCGCGAGAAGAACCAGTAGACCATTTCTCGGCTTGCCCGGCAAGGAGATATGGCTAGAAGTCCATCCGTGGTTAGCATTACATTGAGACTATCAATCGATGCTGCGGCGCTGGGCAGCTCAGAGGTAGCAACCAGAGAGTATATATTCGAAATACCCGAGTATTCAGGCTCTGTGTTGGGGTCGACGTAGAGTGTACGCACCATCGAGTGGATACCATCACACCCTAGAAGAAGATCTGCTTTGTCGCTGGTGCCATCAGAGAAAGTAACGGTGATACCCTGATTGTCTTCCTCAATCCCGGTCAGGTGCTTGCTGAAACAGATAGGAATGCCTGCTTTGCGAGCCTCGTCATATAGAACCTCCATCAGATCAACGCGACGAATTCTTAAGTAGCCAAACCCAGTCTTTTCCCGGCTCCAGGAAGCCATGTCCATGTTGCCGATAACATGGCCCTTGATCGCATGCACTGATACTGTGGAAGTCTCCGCGCCTCGATCCCGAAGGGCATCCCACAGCCCGAGCTTATACAATAGTCTCAACCCGTTTGATGGGATACCGATTGCACCTCCAAGAGTCGTGGGTTCAGGGCGGATTTCATAGATGATAGGGGAAATGTGGTTAAATTGCTGCAGGCGAAGCGCCGCCAGGATACCGGCGGGTCCAGCCCCGATAATCACGGCCTGTATAATAAATACTCTGGATCAGATCAATTCCACCGGAAAGTGTATATTGCGGAGTATTCACCTTCCGCACTTGACTCATCGTAAAAGATTATGCCTGGATGTCCGAAGAATGGTGGAAAGGCGAACTTATTTGGGATATTTGGGGAACGCTATTTGCTCTTTTTAGTCACTGTCGTGGAGGGGAACGGCGTAGCTGGTTATTTATTAACTGTGGCACACGTCTCGGGCTAGGGATGGGGAAATCCTGAAATCTTCATGCAATGTGAACATCGGATTCTTCGCCACAGTTTAGTTGCAAGTAAATTCACATTTGAAGTTGAAAATCCGAAATCCCGAACTCCGTGTGGAATTTGGAGACCTCTGGTAACACATCCGGTTTCAGTCACGGTGAAAACTAGCTGCAACGGAGAACGTTGTGCAGTTGGCAGTAATTTATTCTATCAATACAATTGATAAGATAATACAATCGATAAGAAGAATTTTCCAAAAGAAAAAAAATTAAAAAATGTAACTTAGCATGTCCTGGTTTCGATCCAGGGTCCTCCGGGTTATGAGCCCGGCGATCTTCCGCTGATCTAACATGCTGTTGTTGTAAGGAACCTCCCTAAATGATCCTATGAGCAATACGTCTTACTTCTTTGGTGGCCTCCATCCCTGGCTGTCGACCAACTTGTACTGCCATCAACTATTAGATAGATATCCTAGTTAAATTCACTACGTGTAGATTTCTGTCCGAAAATAATCTAAGTCACTATAATTCCTAGTTGTCTTCTGATACTATCGCCTCTTGTTATAATATCGCCTGGATTTCGCGCAGCGTTTTCTGTGTCAAAATATATATATATATTTGGTGCTAATAATCTGATATATCAAGTGCTGTACATGTAACTACTGGGAGATCATATTTATAACCCACATAACACTCAGAAGGAGTAAATTATAAATACTATTTCATCCAACGATCTCGAATTACTCCAATCATTCAAGCGTTAATTGTCCCGCACTCAAAAACGAAGACAGAAGAATCAACACTGGCGGTGATCTGAGTCATTGGATGTTGCTCTCAATATGACCAATCGGACGCGCTCCCGCAATACTTCAACACTATCATCGATGACATATCTCTCGCACTCATCATCATCTCTTAAATACCCCATCACAACACAATCTACACACCAACACTTACTCTAAAAACACAAACATGGCCCGTCTCCTTCTCCCACCCACTCACAACCACACCTCCCCATCCACTCGCTGGAAAGCCGTCGTGTACCGCGACGCCTCCAACAACAGCTTTGTCTATGCCGTCCGCTCCACCCGCATCTACTGCCGGCCTAACTGCCCCGCGCGTCTTGCGCGACGCGCCAACGTCGAATTCTACGATTCCCCCGCTGCAGCCCTGGCAGCTGGATACCGTGCGTGTAAGCGGTGCAAACCGGGACAGACCACACTTGCAGAAGCAGGAGCAGCGGGCGGGAACGCGAGTGAGGGGATGGTAGCGAAAGCGAAGGAGAGGATCGCATCGGCACTGCGGGCAGGGCAGCAGAGGCCGACGCTGGGGATGTTGGCGAAGGAGGCTGGCTTGACGCCGAGTTATTTTCATAGAGTGTTTAAGAAGGTTGTTGGCCTGACGCCGGGCCAGTTTGCGGATGGGATTAGGAAGGGGGTTAGGGATGGGGTTGTGGATTGCGAGATTAGTGAAGGTTCAGCTGCGCTTTGTCAGGAGGTGGAGGCTGCTGATATGTGGTTTGGTTTTGATGATTTGATCAATTGGGATGAGCTGGAGAATATAGGGATGGAAAGTTCGTTATGATTACTGGACAAAAACTTACGATTGAAAGGATATTTGTATATTTTTTACGTATATAATCACGCATTCTATTTTATTCGAAAGATGTACATCGCGTTAACTTCAGTGGGTATAGACACATGCGCCAAATCAAACACCGATAAAGAAGGAAGCTTTTAATCATAGGTCAGCTTTATAACAATTGTACCAGTTCCAAATCCCGCGCGATTGCTGGACTGTACGGTGCACAAGATTCCAAAAAGTCGACCATCTCAGAATACCATCCTTCCCAACCGACAGGAAGAGTTGCACGTAGCCTGGGATCTGCGGAGTGCGAGATACAGTAAAAGATGAGCAACTGGCCAAAGAACCTATACCAGGAATAAGCATCAAGGCTATGTTCATTGATTGAATGTTTGTTTCTTACTGGGAACAGAATGCGAATTTGATCGGGATGCAACTCTTCATCCGCTGGAACACACCACGGACCATTGGCCAGTCCATGGCATACTTTAGCCCGCTTCGGATTTGCTCCAAGTCTTCTTCTGTCAGCAACCCCGGTGCTCGCAGCGCCTTGTAAAGATATGGACGGCCGATGTGGAATTTGCAGATTTTGTATCGCGCTTGAAGCATCGAGTCGGCAACGGCCACGGCCAGTGAGGCTGGGGTTCGTGGCTCGTTGATGGAAGGCGAGTCGTTGTTGACGAGAGTTGAGTTGTGAAGTTCAGAGAATTGGATGGCGGAAGGAAGATTTGTTCGCCATTGTTCGACTTGGTTGTGCAGTTCTGCACTTACGGCTGGACGAGGTAGATTTCCACTCTCGGCTGGTTGACGTTAGATTAATGCTAAGGTTCTTCGTATCGGAATGAGAACTCACAGAATAGAAATAGACTGTGCCTGATCCTCGTGAGAATGATTCGGTTCGCTATTTGGGCGAGGAAATGGCATTGGTGAAAGTAAGAATCATCCGGGTCGTGTGACGGCGTGATACCAGGTAATCTGACAGCACTGAAAGGAATGAATTTTGGTATAGGAACATTGTCTTCAAGACTAGAAAGACCACTTGGGGGAAGATCCAACTCCTGCACGAGGATTGTTTCGTACATGACAGTATTCCAAAACACCCTAAACAAGTCAGCGAACGTTAAAAAAACGATTCCGAAGTCTATTGTTTTACCTTGATTTCATATCGCCTTCCCATTCGTTATAGTTAATGTCGCGATTTGCCAGCATGAAGCAGAGAGCAGCAGCAGCTCGATTAAGCATCGCACCGGAGTCCAGAGGACGGATTATTTGAGTATAATACATGCTAAAACATTAGCATTAGTCAATAAGATAGAGAACAGTGAGATGTCACTTACGCAGAGAGGAGATAATATTGACAACTGGGTAGATCATTCTTCTCGATCAAAAAGCCTATTCGTTTCCGAGCCTCATTGAAAAAGCTCAGTCCTGACGGCTCTTCCCCGGTCACGTCCATCCACGTCGGTACTTCGAAGTGATCACCAAATGCACCTGGTAACGGAAAATCTGCTTCTTCGTACGCACGCACTGCTAGGCAACCCAAAGCCATGACGTTCAGAACTAGGCATGTTTCAATGGTAAACCCAAACCCATTCTCGATGACTGCTCCGAGCGTAAACGAGAAAAAGAAGTGCTTATCCATAAATGGAGTGGAGGGATGGAAAAGCGCGAAGAAAGCCTCACACAATCCCTTTACCAAGGCGAAGGGCAGCTCCTCAAGCCAATTATCCCCGTTTTGTGGAGGAAATGGTTGCACCCACGGGGGAAGAGATGGTCTGCTCATTTCGAAATCAAGAACGTAGTTTCTTCCAAGCTGGTCGTAGGAAATCCAGAACCTATCAGGCAGGAGCTTGGCCACACCTGGCCAGACTGGTACCCCATGCTGGCTGAACGAGATGGAAATGTCTCCTTTATCAGTGGTTTCTCTAGCTTCCGAACCATTTTGGCTAGCAGCAGCTGGAGTAGTCGTCTGAGAGAGAGTTTGAGATGGAGTTCTCACGCTGGCGGTCGTAGCACCTCGTACGGTTTCCGCTGCATGATTCGTGACTGGGTGCAAGTCTCTGGAGATGGTCGATGGGAGATGCTCTAGCTTCGTTTCGATTCGATGCAACGTGCTGATTATCATCCCAATCGATTGGTCTTTTTTGGAGAGCTTTCGTTCACTGTATACACAGTCCAGCTTCAGAGCTTTACATAACCCGCATTTGGGCCGGGACTCATCACATCTTGTCTTTTTTAGCCGACAATTTTCGCATGCCTAGCTTTCGTTACTACCAATTCATTGATTTAGATATAGGGGATGGGATTCACCACTGCAGCAATGAAATTCCTCGGTTTTTTGGACCCTTGTCCCTGCGGCTCTGGCTCCTCCAAGTTGGACAGAAGCTCCGTGATTGAAATGTTGCCGCCGGCAGGATCCGAGGAGCCATGCGCCGTTGATGCGGATTCCTCGAAGGGCCGCTTGCTCATTGTTACATCTCTAGCCTTAGAGTGGTCTCTTCACGCCATGTAAAGTAGGGACATGAATCGCGACATCGCTTTCCGGTGTATGTCACGGTGGAGTTCTTATCATGTCAGGGCCGGCCATCATTGGCGACTGAAGTGTGACACCGGGTTGTCACGAGTCGACCAATCATGGAGACCCTTTTTCCTCACCCATGCCCTGGCTGTTGTTAATTATTGCATACAGCGCAATATTTAGCAATTTCAATATTAGAAAGCCTTACTACTACAAATTCCTGGGTTTATTTTGGAATTTGTGACATAAAATAAACTAGAAATTGCGAAGACTGCTACCTGTCGTATCTATTGCTCGGATGTATTTCCGGACATTGAGTAATCTCATGAAACTTCAACTGATTTACTGATAATTAAGACAGTAATTGATACAAAAGTACGAAATGCTCTCGTAGTAAAGTAGGAAAAATTTTTGAATCCCATAAAACCAGATCCCATTCCAGTAGATCATAGCTTCTGATCTCCTACGCCTGAAAGGGTGTTGCAAGCAATATATGAGCACCTCCAGTGCTGTAGCGTTAAGAGATACATATTTAGCGCGGAGGGATTGATGTACGATATTTTTTAACCACAGGAGAAACTTTCTTAATTGTTCTACCGCGTGAGATGTGAGCAAATTATAAATGTGGAATGGCTGGTACATGACCGCCCCGTAATTGGATTTTTATGTCTCTCCGAAAGAGATTCCATGCTCCCGTGTCAAAAACAAGTACATAATCGACTGCACCTCATCAATTCATTCATGCTTCTTTAACCTTTTGGGTACCTCTCAAGAGACCGGTACGACGAGCAGCAATAAGACCGGCTTTTTGACCTTGGGCAGCGTACCGCGAGATAGTAGAGGCTTTACCAATGTGTTGATGGTTACCACCACCGTGAGGCTGGAGAGAGGTTAGAGTTTGCTGAATAAATAGCAGTATATCAAACTTACATGGTCGACAGGGTTCATGGCAACACCACGAGTCTTGGGCCAGGAGTTGCGCTTGACAGCGAACTTGTGCTTGGCACGGGAGGCCTCTGTAGAAGTCAATTAGCACAAAAGTCCATATTTTAACCATCTCTGTCTCAAGACCACGGATTCCACGTACTCAGCAAAGGCTTGTCGGTACGACCACCTCCGGCAACAATTCCGATCATACCACGAGATTTGCTGCTGACGACCTTCTTGGAACCACTGGGAAGCTTGACACGGGTCTTTCCCTCGTCACGGTTGTGGCCGATGACAGTAACGTAGTTGCCAGAAGTACGGCCAAGAGAGCCACGGTCACCGATCTTCTCCTCGACGTTGGTGACGACGGTACCTTCGGGGACGGAGCCGAGAGGGAGGATGTTTCCAACAGTCAGGGCGGCGCTCTTGCCGGCGTAGATGAACTGGCCAGTGTACATGCCCTCGTTGGCGATGAATGTCTCGGTGATCTTCTTGAAGCGGTATGGGTGGCGGAAAGAAACCTTAGCCAAGGGCGCACCACGACCAGGATCGTGGATGATCTCCTTCACAACACCGCGAACGTATCCATGTCGCTCAGCGTAGTCGAGAGTGCGGAATTGGGCAGGGGCCTTGTTGAGACGGGTGTGAGCCGCTGTGAGACATCGATTAGCATGGGATTTGCTCTCCTGTTCGTGGCCGCGTGATATATATTCATTCGCAGGCTATTGCAAAGTCGCACTCACTGAAAATGGATCCACGACCCTTCCTCTGGTTGCGGATCACACGACCCATGGCGTCTGTCTAGATGAGATCGCTGTCAGTGTTTATATTCGAGTGTCGCCAGGTGTGGGAGGAGCGTACCTCGACTTGATGTTGGACTTGTCGATTCAATCAAACTTGACGGTCTGACGGTGCGAGAATTCGACAAAAGCCTGTGTGGGCTTTAGGGTGGGATCGCTAAGCTAACCTAGTGCGCTCTAGCCGCGGTAGCCGAACCAAAAGGGGTCTAGCCAGGAAAGGTCTTGGCAAGGTCACGGGTCGGCCGCTTCGGGTTAGCGCGCCTGCATCTCTCTCACCTTCACAGCCCGTCGTTCCACGGCCATCTGAATGCGATTGATGCAGTTTGTTATGTCGCCGCGTCGTGGCCGAACTCTCTACCTGCGCATAACCGGCTGTGTTATGGCTCTGTATTTCTCCTCATTCTCAGCATTTATATAGTAGATTGTATGTGCGCGCGTGCCTAGGACACCACCAAAGTCTGGTCATCATCTTGTGGCATACAATTATGCATGCATGACCTTGCGAATCGTGGCCAGATAGAATGTTGTCTTCAAACAGGACTCTGAATCGCCCCCAAATCCTGTATAGAGGATACTCTACATTATTGGCGCTTCACTAATGATCCGCAATCCAAACTTCCGTGCGAAAATGACAGTCATGGTTGATGTTATATTATGAAGCATCTTTTGCGATACGAGAGAATACATTACATTGTGCGGAGGATATTAATTTTCAGTGGTGAGAATTGGCAGTGGCAATGTAGTGAAGTGGATTTCCGATGAATATACATCTGCAGAATTTGAAATTCGGAATGTCGCTAACCATTGGATCTAGTGCTTTATCGATCGGGGACACATTACTCTACGACTAGAGAATGGCTGACTGGGCTGCCAGCTTGCCACAAGGCTCTGTCAAAGCCTTGTTGCAGCGTCAAATTCTTGACTGGCTGTGACGGGCGATTCCCCGCATCAAAAGCATTGTTCGACTACCAAATTATGAGTTATCAACTGACCGCCACATGTACAGCTCTCAAGTTGATCTTCTGTAACTGGGTTACGGACGTGGACATGCTGAACACAGGCTTGCTGAGAGCCTGATCCCTAGCATGAACCCGCGTGGTTCATCGTCGACGCATTCTCTGAAAACCCCTTGACCTGTGGCCCTGGGGTTTGTCACGTCTTCGATGGCTGAATGATGGACATTATTTTTTCTATATACTTATAATGAACTTTTCTCAATGAAATCCTTCTTTTGCACATTCTCTGGCCAAAAACTGCTGTTCACCACGAGGGACTGCTTCTTCCACATGGTTTCCAGAGCCAAGGCTTCGCTTTTCATGTGGAGGATGTATGGTTAATACAGGGAGCTTTCAGGGGATAATTCGCTGGCAAAACCGAGTGTCTTTGGTGGCCCCAGTCGCCCTATTCAGTTCTGGTTAGACTATGTCATAGGATATCGTAGATGCCGAGCGTGTGATAGCCGCCTTAAGTGTATTCCCGTCACTGCTTCCCACCCGGACTTCAGACGTGCCTCCTCACAACGCATGTCCCCAACGCAAACATGTCGCTTTCCGATTCCTCGTCTTTATCATCGGCGCCACCAACTGACGATGAATCCGTGTCATTGACATTCGATACAACTGCCCCAATTACCAAATACTTCAAGCAGGAGACACCACCGCCGCCCAAACGTCCTGCGTCGCCTCCACATGAATATGTGTTAGCTGACAACCAAGATGTTGCTGTACGTATTTGGGCCGTCTCAATTGATTTACTAGCTATACGGATTATTTTGACGCGTTGCCGTGGTATTTGATACGTTGACTGATATGTCGTCGCTGTATTGCAGTTCATTGTCATGTTTCGCGCGCGCTTTAGCGATGCCCTCCCGAAATTGCTTCCGCATTACGGCCCGCAAGACATTGAGAGAGGAGTTCAGGACACAACACCTGGGGAACACGTCGAGAGGCTGCTATGCGCTTTGATTGGCCTCGTGCTCAATCGCAAGAAAGATGTTGAGTACGATTCCTCGCTGTGACGAGACATACCGCGCTGTTTCGTTTTCGTGTGCTACTTAGGATGAATAGCTGATGAGGAATTAATCTATTTAGGAAAGGCCACTACCAGAGAGCCTTGGAAGAGGCGGTTCAGACACATTCTTCGCAGTGGCCGAGGGCTTGGGGAGGGAAAAATCCTCTGCATGGAGGTGGCTCATTTAATACCATGTCGCCTGAGGAGCGGGTAGGTTTCAGTCCTCTTCTTTTAATTCATAATTTTGCATTGTCACTAACTGCCACCAGCTACGCCTTCTGAAAGCTCTCATACTCTGGTCGTTGTCTTCCTCTGACGCGATCCAGGCGAAGATCAAGGAATCCTACAAACAAGCGCGACATGAGGACGACCTCAACCAGCCTTTATCAGTGCAACCTTGGGGCAGAGATGAGATTAAACGACGATATTGGTTGATAGAGGGCCAGGACGATACACACTTTCGCCTTTATCGAGAGAGTAATCCGGCATTGAAGACAAATACGTGGTGGAGCGTGGCAGGCACGATCGACGAAATACGCACCATCGCCGAGAAGCTCTCACTGGAAAAGTCGTTGAACTCTAAAAAGCTCAGTGAAAGAATCATGAATGCAATTCCCCGATTTGAAAGTGGTGAAGAGGTAGGTTTATCCTTCGACAGTCATGAATCATCACTAATTCTTGTTAGAAACGGAAGCGACGTGATTACCGACTGGCACGAAAAGTTGCATTCACGCGACCAGAGCCTGGGTTTTCTCTTTACGAGGGCCGCACTCGTGGAAAGAAGCTCAAGTATACATATTCTGACGATGAAGATATTTTTTCTGACGGCTTACCCTCCACACGTCGTTCTACACGGAATGTATCTGGTACAACAACTCCGGGTGAATCTTTGGGACCGGTTTTTACAGCCAGTGGACGTCAAGTCAGAGCTCGCGCTGGAGGAATGTATGGTGAATCCATGCTTAGTGGACAACGGAAAGAAGATGAGGACGATGACGATGACGAACCCGCCCAACCTCGCACGCGTGGTCAGGCAAACGGTCATGGAGCAAATTACGTTGACGATACAAGTGACGAATCAGACGCCGCTTCCAGCTGGAAAGGCGATGACGAATCACAGAACGAAAACGATTTCGAAGGTGATGACGAAGATGAGCCGAGTGAGGATGAGTCGATGCTGGACGTTGATGATGGCAAGCAGCATAGCCTCGTTGTACACTTGCATTACAGAAAAGCAAATAAAGACTTGATCCCGATCCATGAGCGGAAGATTTCCCCTACGGCTATCAATCTTGCACCTGATCCAGGCAATATCCAAGTTACTGTGGAATCTAAAGATTCTGTCGACAAATACGCCACGAAGAGTGAATCGATTCCAGAAGCTGCTGATCAACGATCGCTAGAAAATAGAAATCAAAGATATATCGTGCCTACTCCACAATATTCGCATCCCGAGGACTCGAAAGAAAATATATCGACCACTGAAGATCACATGAAGCCTGAGGAAGCCAGCGCGAGAACCACCTTGGAATCCTCTATTCCACCACTTAACCCTTCTCGAATTCAAAATGGCGGCGAATAAAGCTGGATTGCAACAATAAGGTGTATGATTGCTAGCAAATGCATTATGCATGGACTATGCCACAACTGGCGGGTTAACAAATATTGAATGTTTAGCGAGGGACTTCGGGCTCATGAGTGCTTTCTGGATTTTCACGGCGCGAGGAATTTTATATCAGTGCATGTACGGTTTAGATAGAAAGAAGGACTATGTTTAAGATAATAGTATTCGGACCTAATACAAGAAGCTGATCTCACTATTCTTATTCAGTCCAGTGGCTATGCTATAATACATGATTGCGATTACCATTCAAAGGATTAGCAGAGAAAACAAGACGATATTTCCATCACTCCTTTTAACGCCGATAATGCAGCCAAGCTAACAAAAGAAAGCTTCCAACACATGTTATTGTTCGTTTGAGATTTGGGTGGTGTAAAACTACTACTCCGTTAGTGAGATACTGCGACAATATACCCTGCAGGAGGGTACTCACATCCCCAACTCGTTGAGCAAGTTTCTTATCACTCTTAATATTCTGAATCGGCCAGTTATTCACTTCGTACCACCACCTACGTAGTCTTGTACCGAGGCTAGTACCCTGCAATTGCGCATTACGGTTCCAGAACCGCCATCCCAGGAGCGCGAGGGTCCAGACAGTGCCTTGGATCAGGGGAAAGAGGACCTTCAAGCGCATCAATTACCACCAAAAATCATATAGTAGGTTAAAAGACTCCTACCTGATCCCTAACTGTGATCCAAGTAACTTGTTTCCATGATTCGGCGTTTTTTATGCTGGCTAGATAGCTTTGTTCAAACCTCAGGTCTGGAAGCGGAGGTAGGTTTGCGCGTCGCGGCACTGGGTGAATCACCCGACCTGGGTCCACGATATCGGAAGGGATACTCGCGGTGTCATCGGAATGGGCGACATTGTAGGGCTCTTTGGCCGACGCAGCGGTGGCTGGGTTGATATCGTGTGCAGGGTCAGGATGACGTTTGATGGAGGCTGCTTGTATAGTTTCTGCGATGCCCAGGGCTGAATGAGAATGAGACATGGCGGGCCAAATGCACAACAGTCAAATGACAGCACCAACGCCTGTCCGAATTCAATGATAACGCTCTTCGGTGATAAATCGTGATTGGGGGTAGCCTTTGCACCTGAGAGGCAACAGATGTGTAGTGCTGTGCTGGAGCTAGAAGCCGTCCGGGCACCGAAGATCGGCTTTCATTGCTAAACCGCACCGATCGCTTCCCCCTCTGTCCCGCAGCACCCCCCACATCTCAGCCAAAATCATAGACCATCGCCCTGTTCTTTTCAATTCCTCTACATTGCTCAATTGACTTGCACGAGATTCCGCTAGACTTCAAAAATGGCTGCTGCTCAAGGATACCCTCTCCTGTGCTTGGAGAACCCCCTCCTCGGTGTGCATTCCTCGTGCCTTGTGTGAAAGTAGCTGCTAACTTTCCCAATTAGATATCCAGGCTGTTGGGTACGTGCTTATTTTCTACTGAATGAAAGGCTTACAGTACAACTTACGCCATACTTCGCAGTGATGATGCTTTGCTTCAAAAGTACGAAATCAAGGCCAACGATGCTATTCTCGCCGAAGACAAACACATGGGACTCTACGAAGATTTGCAGAAACGCAACGCCAAGTACATTGCAGGTGGTGCCGCCCAAAACACTGCACGAGGCGCCCAGGTGAAGATCTAGTCTTTCTCATGTTCAGATCAAACACAGAAACTGACTTTGCTTGACTTCTCTAGTATATCCTTCCCGATAACTCGGTCGTTTACATTGGCTGCGTGGGCAAGGACAAGTATGCCGATCAGTTGCAAGAAGCCTGCAACAAGGCTGGTGTGCGCACTGAATACCGCATCGATGAGACCCAACCAACTGGAAAGTGCGGTGTTGTTATCACCGGTCACAACCGCAGCATGGTCACTCACCTGGCTGCTGCTAATGAATACAAGCTTGACCATCTCAAGCAGCCCCAAGTCTGGTCCCTCGTTGAGAAGGCCCAGGTCTACTATGTCGGTGGCTTCCACTTGACTGTCTGTGTACCTGCCATTCTGGCCCTGGCCGAGGAGGCTGCTTCCAAGAACAAGGTACGTCAGTATGCCCTTGACATGTGGGCAATTGCTGATAGCCTCCTCTAGCCTTTTGTCTTCTCTCTCTCCGCCCCATTCATCCCTCAATTCTTCAAAGACCAACTCGACTCCGTGGTTCCTTACACCGACTACCTGATCGGAAACGAAACCGAGGCTCTTGCTTTCTCCGAGAGCCACGAATGGGGTATCACCGACATCCCTGATATCGCGAAGAAGCTTGCGACGCTTGAGAAGAAAAATACCAAACGCTCTCGTATCGTCATCATCACCCAGGGAACCCTCCCCACCGTCACCGCTGTGACCAAGGCCGATGGTAGCGTTGAGGTCAAGGAGTACCCAGTTCGTGAAATCTCCAAGGATAAGATCAACGACACCACTGGCGCTGGGTATGTGTATCACTGTCAAACCTGTATCAAACAGCTAACACATTCATAGTGACGCTTTTGCTGGTGGATTGACTGCCGGTATTGTGCAAGGCAAGACCTTGGATGAAAGCATCGACCTTGGTCAATGGCTCGCCAGCCTGAGCATCCAGGAGCAGGGACCATCGTAAGTCTCTCCTGTGTATTATTGATTGAACACGGCTAATGAGTTCCGTACCTGCTAGATTCCCCTTCCCCAAGCAAACGTACTCCAGCAAGTAAGCCCAAAAAGGAAGCTTACATTAAACTAACGCTTTAACGCATTTCCCTATTTAATGATTCAACCCATTATATACCCACCTCTCTGGAGAGACAAAATGGCATGTTTTTTTTTAGATCTAAAATGGTTACAAGGTCTTTATTTATTCTTTAGACTTTGGGAGGAGACTCTTGCATGAGATTGACGGACCTCTGGAATAAGAAAGGAAAGAAAAGAAAATGCATGACGTTTTCAACAACGAAGTTAGTCTTGTTATAATGGAAGAAAAGAAAAATGAAGAATTATTTCCTGAATTTAAGCAAGTGTAAGCTTTTGTTTAAGAACATAACTCGGGAATCTGTTTTATGGAGAAGGTTGATACAACATGAGCAGATATCAGAATTTTCCAAGTCTCCGCGGCGCTCCTGTATTTGATAATATCGACTGGTAAAAGAAAATAACTATATAGTAATCGTCTCTGGAGCATTTTCACGTTATGCATGATAACTCAAAACTGTTCTGAAAAGGTTATAAGAGACTATGTGTAATCAATAAGCTGTGCGGTACGAGATTTAGAACTAGTAAAACAAGATAAAAACCATAATGTCTGGTATCATAGTTGTGACCTCTTTTATTTGTAATTCTTGCCACTTTTTGAATCGAATTGATTTTGGATTGACTGGAAGTACGACGAGAATAGAACCTTCCCAGATCATTTCATAGTGACGTTTGCATCCAGTCGGGTCAAAAAACCGAAGCTAGTTCTAGGTGTTGTTGAGCGAACGTTGCTAATTCTAGGTTAATACCCGCACCTGACGGCAAGAATGCATAGTCAGGGTATTTCCTCTCCAGATCTGACCATGCTTAGGTGGCTGTGAGTTGTCATTCTGACTATTTTAACAAACGTGGTGATGTGTCATCTGATGATTCTCCGGTTAGCCAGGTGTCTGTGGATTTCTTCTCCCTCATGCCTGTAGTTTGAATTTAAGGAGCCATCGGAGTTATTCAACCGGCTTGTCCACATGGCGGAGTATTTTGCTCTATTGGACCGAAGCGGGCTGCATATTCCTGGTTATTTCTGTAGTCGCTAGGCATAGAAGATGGCTGGATACTGCTGGAGGCAATAAAGGCATTGTTGTGCGAGGAAGGAAAACCAGAGCTACTGGGTGTTTGTTGGAAATGGTGCTGTGACAAACGGGATGAAGGGTAACTGGATATATTCGAAGAAACCCAGGGCGATGACTGCTCTTGAATACGCCTTCCCTGCTGCATTAGATCATTCTGCATAGAGATAAGGCTAGGGGTTGGTTCATTGGCAGGAGAAACATGTCCCTCTGGGCCAGACCCAAAATGTGGACTCCAGATACTTTGACCCGTGAAAATAGGGGAGTATGATGAGGATATATTGGCAGAGATTGGTAGGCCGAAGCCAGGTGGAGCCATATGTGCTTGAAGTGGGTGATTCTCATAGGCAGTATTTTGCAAGTTAGCGCCAGCCGAGTTTGATTGTTGATCATAAGGTGGCTGGAGAAATTGCGGCGCTGGCGGAGGTTCGTCGACCAACTTCTCAACATTTGCAATTATGTGGGTCATATTGGATAGCGAAGCCGACTGAGAGCCATCGTAAAGACTCCTCGTATCAGTCATATTCTTAGATTGCTGAGCACTGTGTATCTCTTCCCTTTGAATACTTGTTGATGACATTGTATGCTGATGAGCCTGTGGGCTCGCGTAGAACTGGGACGGAAGGCCTTCTTCATTATATATAAACATTTTTCGTTCATTCTCATCGACTAGAGAAACAGGAATCCGCTGTAATAGACGTAAGTAAGTAATAGCAATAACACCTCTTTTTTTAAAAAAAATTTGGGACGTACATTACTAACGACCAAATCAAGACCATCAATGACAAATTCACGGATTCGATAGAGCATTTCAAGATTTGGATGATTTCTCTCAAAGCCAGGATCGATGGTCCTTAGTTTTGTTTTAACAGAAGATTCTAGTAAATAACGGCGAGTTGTCGCTTCGTTAATAAGTGGCTTGAATCCGAGTGTGTCTTCATCTTCTTCGAGCAGGTAGTCGACCTCTGGCAGGCTAGTCACATCGAATGTTGAAGCAAGTAATGACAAGGTGTTTGCATATATTTTCCAGAATTCCTTGATTTGCACAGATAAAGCACTGTCTTTATCTTGATTTCGGACTGTCAAAGAACTACAATTGGCAAGTAGCCATGAGCTATAATTTCGAAGAGCAGGTAGGACACGGCGTGCGACTACGGTAACCTTTTCGGGGCCTCTGTTAGACTCCTTGGACTCCGAGTCCTCACTCGCAAAGCGTTCGAGTTCACCTAGAAGAATCTGAAGAAGCGTGAAAAAAGTCTTCACATTGAGCCTCTGGAAGAAAAGCTCTGCGTTATGAGTCGGCTCGTCTGAGATGTCATTAAAACTAGCCCACTTGGAACTGAAAAATCTAATGACTTACTAATCGATCGTACTTTAGCGCAGTCTTCCGCAGCAATGTTGATGAGGACGAATTTCTGAAGAGTACCTTCGAGAGGCTTTTCTTTAAGGTCGACAGTCAACTGGCTAAGAACTTCATTCTCAAGCTCGTCATGCTCTATGAAATCCTGCCCTTTGTAGCACTGGGCATGAAGATAAACAAACCATGGAGTCAAGGCCTTCCCGGGAACACCTGCATCCTCTCGGGGAATCAGTTCTTTTTTAGCCCAGGCACTTAGAACTTTTCTAAACTCAATTTCCAGGTTCGATCTCGAAGTTGGGTGAGGTTCTTGCGCAGACAGTGCTCGATATAAATGATAAGTCGCTCGGAGATGGTTCCCCTCCGCCAATGCAATAACAGCCAGCTGATTGTGGGAAGCCCCCGAAGCTGGATGGATGACACTTGCAAGGTCATAATAACCAGTTGCGGGGCCCCAATTGCGCGGTTTTGTCGAAGAAATATCTGTTTCACGGTAGCGGGAGAGATCACCGAGGCGAATCAGAGTTGCATGGCATGAGAGCAGTATTCGTTCGCGAAGGCCGGGGTTGGGCTGAATAGGTGGTTCAATTGATAGGTCTAGTGATATGAATAGTCAGTAAAATGAAAATTCAGTATCTAAGGAACGAAGGAATAGCTTACTTTCGAGTTTAAATTTTTTGGCTACTTGTTCTAGTTCAGGAATGCCCCCAAAATGCGAGGATAGATGCTGGATGTAGCCTCTGTAGAACTTTTGACTCAGTTTGATGAAACTGAGATAATGCTTTTCCAACTTTCGTTTTTCGACTGGTCTCTTTTTGCCAGCCTCCTCACGGAACTGAGTAGATATGTTAGATGCCACTCCATTCTGTATAGTTAGATGAAGACAGCGGTAGCACTTACGCGAGCCAGAAGCTTGCGAAAGCGAGAGTTTATTTTCACGTGTGCGTCCCATAACCGGGCCTCTGCATTCTTTGAAGCAGCAGCATCAAAGTCGAGAAAGATAGCATTTTGGCAAGCTTCGCGAAACCTGCATCACCGTTAGTATCCGCAGGCGAAAGGTATATTGAGAAAACGACGAATAGCGTAACGAAAGGATGCAACTGACTCGTCAAGGTAATGCGCGATTTCTGCAAAGGTCGGCTCCTTTTCTGCGAGTGTCGTTAAAAGTTCCTTTTCAGCTTGGTCTGCAGACCTATTCAAGTACAGGGTGTTAGCGAACAGCCTCCTTCATGGGCTGCATCAATTGAACGAGAGATCGAACAAGCAATGCTCCAGTCGGTGTAGACACATACTGCCAAGCATTTTGAAAGGTTGTCGTCGCCATACTCGGGTTTGCGTGAAGAAGAACTGCTGGTTTTGCGACCTCATAGAATACCTCGCCGTCAGATGGCTGGCCTTGGGTTCTTGCGGCGCAAGTGTTGCGAATGATCCATCGGTGACTGGTTGTATAGGCGAATTCTCAAGGGGAATTGACGAACCGGGAGCACAGAGCTCTATACCTCCTGATCGATATTATGGAAACAGACTCGCTCCCACCCGCCGAAGAAGTGAGCGAGAAGGACTCATCTCATGAAGGAGTCGCTTTGGCATCACCGGCTGTTTCCATTTAATTTGCCGCTCCGCCCTGGCTGTGGCTTGTGCGCTTTTCGGTTGGTGGAGAGCGCGTGGCGCTCATAGGATGGTCGCCTGATTGGTGGCACCTTCATCCATCGCGTGGGTGCCGCAGTGATCTTATCACCATCAACAATTGATATTCAATTTTAAATCGACTATCCAGCTACATAGAGTGGACTGACATAACTTTAACCACCTAGGCTAGACCTCGCAAGCAGTTACAACGTTGCTTGGCACCAAACCATGTCTTAGCATGGCGAAACGCTGTCGAAGGGAGTCAGTGGACTCCTTTGAGTCTAGCATATCAACTACTCCTCACCTGCATACACCGACACGAAGGAGCTCGTCGAGAACCCCGCCTGCGAAGATCACAACCTCTCTTCATATGGCAGCAGATAACCACGCCAAGGTCATGCATTGCTCGCTACCGCCGCACAGAGAAACTATTTCATTCGCATCTTACGACGAATACGAGCGTCATTACCTTCAGACGCACGTCAACCGCTGCTCAGAGTGTGCGAAGAACTTTCCAACACAGCATTTCCTTCACCTCCACATCGAGGAAAATCATGACCCGCTGATTCTCGCTCGACGAGACCGGGATGAGAAGACAGTGAGTCCCATTAACCGATTCTCTTTGCAAGAAGGCTTTACTGATAATAATAAATCTAGTTTGGCTGTTTTGTAGAAGGCTGTGACAGGAAATGCTCTACGCCTCAGAAACGCCGAAGACATTTAATTGACAAACATATGTTCCCTAGGGCAAGGCTTGCTTTCGTATCAGAGAAATCTGCCTTGTAATGGCCGATTACTAACTTGAGGAATTAGAACTACAATTTCTTTATTGTCAATGATGGTATTGATAAGCAAAATTCATTATTGCGACCCTCGAATGGTCAGCGTCGCCGGGTCTCAACAACGCAGTCACCCCAAGAAGGCCGACTGAGAAATAGAAGGACTTCTGTGGATGTTTTGCACGCGGCAGAAGCCAAACCGTCAAAGACAAGCGAGTCTGATGATGGTGGTGTTGATACTCTAGTCTCATCCATGTCTGCATTGAGTTTTGTGCCGGTAAGTGTGACCAGGCGATCGGATTTTCATAATAAGACCGGCCAGGGCTAAGGTCACTCGTGAACTAATATTATTGTTCGACTTACGTGTTCGTGCGTTCTTTGGCTATCCATCAGAAACTGATTATTGGCGAAAAAGAGAACAGTCAATTCAAAAACGTATAACGCCCATGTCAACAATAAACAAGAATAAACCAAAAATAAATACATATATCCAATCAATATTCGCATTCAGAAGGTAGAAGAAGAGGCTCGATGTATCAAGTTCCCGCCGTCCAATTCATCACATAGAAGGGAAGTCACTTTTCATCATCATAAATCCAAATTCGTAAGACCACTGAAAATACCTACACATAATGAAACATGTCAATGAGAGATAAAATAGACAGACAAATAGGCCTATCATCATCAGCGTCACATTATACAAGAAAACACCAAAGATCGAAAGAATGTCGAACAACATATATTGTAATAGTTCGTTGAAGAAACGGAGTCTTCAAAAAGGGTATCAGAAGGTGAGAGATTGTCGTTGAGGGGAAAGATGGGTTATCAATACAACATACAGTTCTACGAAACCAATCAGCTTTCCAGCAGGTCTGCGTACGCTTCTAGGCTGTATCCAACAAGATCAACGATGGCCCAGCTTGTATTGCCCTTGAAAGTCCGCGCCCAGACGCGGACCACGGCGACACTAAGTTGCTTTACTTTCAATGGATCATGTATGAAATCCAAATCAGGGCCATCGGATGGTGCCACCGCCATGTCCGTTTCGTCCATCATGCTCTTGATCCATAGTAATAATTTTCGCTCGTGCTCTGAAAGCTTTTGCTGATTCTGAGTTAATGGAATAGACAGTAACCATCTACTCAAGAGAAATGCACATTCTAAGCTGCATAGCGAATGCTGAATGCTCCAGAAGAATGAATGAGTGCGCGCCACAAAGTCAATGCCGAGTCGTACAGGAATAGAGAGAGCATGGGCAGAATGAAGAAGAGCCATAATAAGCTTGGGGCTACGGACAATGGGGGGAGACTCTTGCAAAGCCCTGGCAATCTGTAGAGGGTCTTGCGTTACCAAGTGCCGACATGGACCCAAATCGACATTAAGTCTTATGTATGCCAGTCCTAGAAGAGCAGTCGAGGTAAATGCAATGGGGCCAGCAGGGTTCTGTGGATCAATACTTGATTCGGGTGTCTGCTTCCAGCCTGCTTTCCAGGCATTCAAAGCATTATCCATGACAGCTGAATCCTCGGGACGAAGACTATGGCTTTGCATCAATGGCGCTGAGAGACATAGTTGACGAGCAAAAAAGATTTGTTGGATGATAGCATGGATGAGTATATAATTCCCAAGGGGAGATATTGGATATGAGTTTGAAGGTGATGGCTTGAGAAATAGCTTTGCGAATGCATCTTGGAATGTAATTGTCGAGTCAAGGCGAGGACGGTAGACGCGCCGCCATTGAGATGCATTGTTTGCTTTCCAGACATCATGTGGACAGGGCATTTTCAGCCTAAGTTCTGAATTTAGAATGAGAGGAGGAATGTTGTACATGATAGAGTGTAGATTGAAGAAACAGTAGACAATCAGTTTTGTGCGTCTGTTTCCCTCTAATCGGACCCAGTCTTCCCAGTTCAAGTTTTCGGAAACAAGATTCGGATCTGTAAGTCCATGTTCGCGAACTAGCCTTGCTAGAGTACTTTGTAACGCGAGAATTTCTCGGAGCAATTCCGGCTGTCTTTCCCACGAAGCAAAGACTGTAAGAAGAAGAAAGGTGCGGATTATTTCCATGTGAGCATCTGACTCGTCCATAACAAAGCTCATATGGTCGAGTGAAAGGGAGTATTTCTGAGTCTGGAAGGGACTACTCGCAGGGTTTGATGTGATGGTCGAACTTCTTTGGGAGAGCGGACTGGGGACATAAATATCCCATGTTGGCACTGGGGTTTGTTTGCTATCCCTCCGGCGAAGGCGCTCAAATAAGACTGCTTTGGCTGCATGAAACAATTCAATCCCTCGGCTGTTCTCGAACCTATAATGCGAGCCAGCAGCCGCTAGTGCCAAGGTCAGTTCTGGGGGGCTCTTTACAATAGAAAGAGTAGGGACGTGAATGAAGGGGAGGTGCTCATTGAGACCATTGATATAGCCGGCAATGAAGCGTGATAATGCGTGTCGTGAAGGTGGTATGAAACCCCGAGGAAGAACATGCGCGAACTCATCTAGCCTGTTCACAAAGAGTTGTCGGTCTGAATTTGAAATATCCCAGGCTGGACGTGGATTTGTCGGATCATCAAGCAAACTTGTGCGTTCTTCGGATTCCTGGGGTTCAGGCTGCAAAGAGGGAAGTCGTGATCCGAAGTTGGAAAAGGATGGAGGCTCATCCGCTGAACCTCGTTGCTCACTCAGTATGTCATTATTGAGTCTCAGATGGCCGAATTCCCGGATGGCCGGCTTAGAATCAAATGGAAGAGCATTGGGGAGCAATGGCTCAGTCTCCACTGATGAGAAGACGCCGGAATCCCAGTCAGATGACAAGCCTACACTCTCTAGAAAGACGGTGAAGTCTTGGACTGGATCTCCAAGAGCAGTAAGATCAAGAATCGATGGTTCGACTCCGTAAGTGTCAGCAATGCCTTTTTCCTGTGCCACCGGCTGCATTGGTGGTCCAGCCTGCGGAGGCGGCTTCCGCACAGCATCTAGAGCCAATTCTTGCTGATTCTCCAGCGCTACATGACTGGCGGCATGAGAAAGCAAATTGAGGTCATAGCCCCAAGAAGGATTAAATTGACTTGACTCTACAATAGGGGCAGCCCGCGGCGCAGCACGGTGGACTTGCATGCCAGGCACCTGCTGCGGCGGTACCGAGTCATGCATGTCCACGATGCGAGAGTCGTGATGCGGCGCAGGCTGGATCAAGGATGCCGGACTCGATGAAAGGTCATGAGCATCATTATTTGCTACGCGGCGCTCCCCGCGATGCGCGGCAGCCTCGGTCGGGTGCACTAGACGCTCATGTCGGACAAGCAGATCACTGTGGGCGGGCGACTTAGCAATGCGGTTTCACTGCAGCGTGGGTTGCATAGCATACCTTCTCGCAAACGATTTCGAGCAGATGTCGCATGAAAAGGGTTTTTCTTTAGTATCTACAGGCGCGAATTAGCAGACAGGCAGGATTGGCTGGCATTGTATACGGGCTTGGGGAGGGGGCCCAGAGAAAACTCACGCGTGCGGAGATGGCGTTGGAGATGTTCCAGCCGCGCAAAAGAGCGATGGCAGTATTCGCACGACAATGATTTGCGATGCGGCGCGGAGGCCTTCTTGCGCACCTTGCCAGGAGATTCCTGGTCTATTGGCTCCATGGCGGGGGGGTTTGCAGTCGGGCCCCTTTGCAATGAGGCGACTGGGATGAAGCCAACAAAGACAGTCGCTAATTAGCAGGATGTATTATTATTGTCGAGCCTTTTGGGGGGGAGCCTCGTTTTGAGCGGGGAAGGAGCCGGCTGTGGGGTTTTGGTGAGGGGGGCTCCCCTATTAGTATTGACGCAGCCCATCAATGTTATCATTCAGATGTGCGGTCGTTGTCACGTGTGAAGCATTGTTGTTGATGCAGTGTATACACGAATAATGAAAATCTAGGCTGTGTTTGATGGCGAATATTACGCCGACATAGTGAGTCGATGAAGAGACACATCGCACTGGTGCAGTTTGACTGCTTAATATAGATGTGACTAAAATAAATACGCAGGAAGCCGTCGCTATTGTAATCTATTTTGAATTCCATTGCAGGAGATAGAATACCAATTGGTAGTGATAGAAGGAAGACCCCAGAGCCAGAGCCATTTCTTCCAGGCTTTTTAGAATACTCAAATTGACCATTGCAAGAACCAGTATAGATCCAATCCAGATTAGGTTCTCGCCAGAGAGATGGCCAGAGATACTATGTCAGGATTGCGATCTTTGCAGTGATATAGTCACATCGACTAATTAGTTGTTGATGTTGGGCAATCCTTCATTTATGATTGCAAAATCGACTTGAGACTGATCACTGATTAGCGACTTGTGCGCCACCTCGGTCCGTCGTGAAGCTATTTATGGTCAATGAGATACTGTCAGGGCCTTGCGAAACGCCGTATCCGATGTTATCAGGCTGAAACATGCTCCCTGAGCTGCGAGCAATGCGATCCGGTCTGGTTAACAGCGATAAGGGATTTAGAACCCTGATTTATGCTGACAAGGACGCTGGCTGGGTGATGGATACTTGCATGCTAATGGGTCTCAACCAAGTTTCAGCTTGTTTCACGACGTCTCTGCGACACGCAATAGTAGCAGACAACCCATAGATAACCATCGCTGCTATTGACGAGTTTATGGGCTAGACAGCGTTAATAAGAGGAAGAAGAAGAAAAATCATAATCATAATCATAATCATAATCATAATAACAACCATAACCATAAAACAGTGACCATCGATCTCAACAAGATCTCTCCCATGTGTGTCATCGGGCGGCACTAACCACGAAGAGGAGCTTCTCCGCCATTATCATTCGGTCCTGTTTCAGCGCTCAATTAATTAATTAATGATCAACTAACCTCTCTTTCGTTTCTTTCGTAATCAATCCTCGCTTTCTTTTGTCCCTGCCACCCTTGTGCCATCGTGGCCATTCTCAGATAACGTTGAGAATCCTCTTCTTTCCATCGTCTATTACTCGCTCTTCATTTTTTGCTCCCTCATCTTGTTTTTGCAACGCCTGTGTCTGCGTAGCCCACTCGGGCTGGAGCTGACCGACATCGCCTGCAACCCAATTCCGGCGCGGAACACGACCAACCTAGCTATCCCACATCTCACACGATTTCGTCTACACTTGGAATCGCTCGAATCCGCCCTCGCGCTGTCTACCGATTATTATAATTGTTGTTATGTAGTACAAATGAACATTCACCATCACTAGCAGCATTCCCCGTGGCTATGTTGGTTTGTCGCCTCTAGTTGACTCGACTCGTACCGAAGGTGTTGTCGCTCCACACAATAATATTGGACTTGGGACTGCGGGGGGAATCCTATACTGGTTTATTTATCACTATTTGGAAACTTGCGTTGATTGGATTCACCCTCGACAATGCTGGCCTCGTCGAAGCCCGCTCACTACGTGCACCCTCTGGGCCTGGTGCCCTCTTCAGCGAGTTCTTCTTATCTTTCGAATGCTACACATAGGACCGGGACGACATCGAACACAAGCGATGCTGGACTATTTATGAGCCCGACTGAATCGGACTTCTCGGACGGTCGTGATGGGTTGGAGTCAGTCCGGTGAGTGAGACCCTTGGTGAGTACCGAGATTCGTGCTGACTGTGGTTTCTACCTAGGTCTTGGGACGAGAAGAAAGTCAGTGAATGGTTGCATAGCATAAAATGTGGCCAGTATGACACCGTATTCAAAGGTTAGTAACTCGTAATCTCACCCTTCATGGCGGCTTTTCTGACTGCTAAATAGCCAACAATTTCAACGGCGACAATCTTTTGGAATGCGACCAAAAGATCCTGCAAGAGATCGGAATCAAGAAAATTGGGGATCGAGTACGGATATTTGTCGCCATCAAAAAACTAAGGAATAAGACAATTCTCAACCGCAAAAAACACAATCTAGTCAGTGCCATTACCATCTGCCCCATAATTTCTAGAATGCTAAGACCTGTACAGGATTCTCTCATGTCCTTAGAAGCTACTGCTTACACGCCTTCCTCGACCGATCTGTATGCATCTAGTCTCCGCCTTCAACAATCCTCGAACAGCAGACAGTGGTCTCGAATTGACCCAATTACTGGACGACCCTCTTCACGGCCTTCGTCACCCCTAACGATCGATGACCGAGGCGGCCGAGGACTTCGATTTGCTACCACCAGCCCTATAGACGGATCTAGACGAGAAGGTGCTGGGTATCTGAGTCATCCTTCTTCCGCTGGATCAGGGTCTGGACGCCGCCCTACGACACCTGGTGACGCTAACCAATCTTTGCATCTGAGACAAAATTCTAGCATTGACGGGTTGACTATGGGATCCCTACCTGCTAACTCCCAAGTTATCCGTGTGATCTATACTGGAGGACAGACAAAGGCTTTGAATGTCAAGGGTTGCAAGTCATCAGAGGAAGTGATGGTATACGTACTTCGAAAATTGCAGCTTTCTGAGGCACAATGGCGCAATTATTGTTTCTACGTCTTAGACGGCTTGGAACCTGACCCGGCACATTGCCGACGTGTAACAGATTCCGAATTAATGAAAATCTGCGATGGGTCGAATAAGCCTGAGCGCGGTCGCCTGATTCTCAGGAAAATCCATGCTGGAGAACCTGATGGAGACGAACTTCGTCGTGCTTCACAGCTCGCTCATGACGAAAGCCAGGCAACACATCTCAATGCCTTGAGTAGTTCAAATCCTCGCAATCAACTCAAGATTCAGCAGTTGACCGGTGAACCATGGCACAACATCAAACAGCCAATGTCTCCTATGTCAGGAGATAGATCCAGACACCCTGCGAGTGATGACTATGAACCCTCTCCGACATCTGCCACCACAGATCGAGCATCGTCATCGAAATTGCGGTCTTTCTTCGGTGCTCGACCTCCAAGTGAGATGATTATTCACGAGTTGACCTCATACTTCCCAAGTCATCAACGTGAGGATATTGAAAAGACCATGCGCCTTTCTGTTCGGAGGTCTCAACGATTAAGTCGGGCTGCTAGCCGTCTTAGCGTTGTCAGTAACATCAGTTTCGCGTCCAGTTTGAAGGATGCTCCTCCAATTCCTAGCATTGCCGATACATGGCTTGCCGGGGGCCAGTCCATGCGTGCGCCTAGACCTCTGTCGGTTTCCAAGTTTAGTCTACCTCAGATATCTTACCGTGACTCTATTGCTTCTAGTTCTTTGCAGCCTCTTCAGGAAGAATCACCCATTGAACCAGACCGCAAATCATATGTATCATTTGAAAGCAGCTCTGATCAAATTACTACTGGTGACCCAACTGCAGCTCAGAGAGGCTACCTGGATGAAGCGCTTAGCATTGCAGCCACTGATGGCGGAGGCTCACTGAATGAACGCCTAAGCTTGATCGTGGCTGAAGATGACGACGAAGAGGATGCTGGCCTGCAAGATTTCTTGGCTGGTGACAACTTCGCTGCCAAGAACTGGATGAAGGGCTCTCTAATTGGAGAAGGATCATTTGGCAGCGTCTTCCTTGCTCTTCATGCAATTACTGGTGAGCTTATGGCGGTGAAACAGGTTGACCTGCCCTCTGCAACCAAGGGTACAGAGTTTGACAAAAGGAAGAACAACATGGTGACCGCGTTGAAACATGAAATCGAACTTCTCCAGGGAATGCATCATCCTAATATTGTCCAATACCTTGGTACCTCTGCGGATGATCACAACCTAAACATTTTCCTGGAGTATGTTCCTGGTGGATCTATTGCTGAAATGCTAAAGCAATACAATACCTTTCAAGAGCCCTTGATCAGGAACTTCGTCCGCCAGATTCTAGCTGGTTTATCTTACTTGCACAGCCGTGATATCATACACCGTGATATCAAGGGTGCAAACATTCTCGTGGACAACAAAGGAGGAATCAAAATATCTGACTTCGGTATATCCAAGCGTGTGGAGGCATCCGCGATGTTGGGTTCCAGTGCTGTCAGTGGAAGAGGCCACTTGCACCGCCCATCTTTGCAAGGAAGTGTTTACTGGATGGCTCCTGAGGTCGTCCGCCAAACAGCGCATACGAAGAAAGCCGACATTTGGAGCTTGGGGTGCCTTGTCGTGGAAATGTTTATTGGCGCTCATCCTTTCCCAGACTGCAGTCAACTTCAAGCTATCTTCGCCATTGGTAACAATCAAGCAAGACCTCCTGCCCCTGAGCACGCAAGCAAGGAAGCTAGAGCGTTCTTGGATATGACATTTGAAATAAACCATGAGAAGCGGCCTAGCGCCGATGAGTTGCTGGAAAGTCCATTCCTTGCAATGCCTGTCGCATGAGTGTCATTTTCCATCACTAATGACATTGACATTACATGTTTTAATCGTTCTTACCTGCGAAACAAGAAACACGGTTATTATCATTTGATGAATTTACGACCTGTCTTTTCTCTTCTTGTGACACGATTAGCTCATTTGAATATGCCGAATGATGAGACTTTTTTTCATTTCGTTGGACCGCTTTTCACTTTTTAGGATCCATGATCATTTTGGATGGGTTAAAGTCCTCACTAGAGAGGCTATGCAGATATGTACAATACCAACTTAGTATTTATTCTTATTATCTTGATATATCTTGATTTTGTTTCTCAATGGTAGAAAATTCAATGGTCATAAATGGAATTGATATAATTGTGATGTACAGCGTGTCCTATATATACACGTTTGGTAGCTAATCAAATAGCATGTAATTGCCCCCAGGTTAATCCTTACAATATGCTAAATAACACAAGAATGAACATTAGAAATCTCAGTAGAACCATGTCACACCATATCTGAAACCTTTAATGATGTTCTATCTAGTCGACGAACTTGCCCTGGAATGGAATGCCCAATGCGCTCAAGAGAAGTCTTGCATCTTTGTCTGTAGTGGCAGACGTGTGTAGAGTGATGTGGCAACCGGGAATCATCTTGGCAGGGTACCTTTAATACCAATTGTTAGTACTTTGCAAATCGTATACCAGCTTCGACCAACTTACATGTCATAGTTGACTTCTATCTCTGGAAATAGAGCCACCTCCTCTGGCTGCAACCCGAACGTGATGTTCCCACTACTATCACCACTGGTACCCTGGACACCCTTCCACTCCTTGATTTTGGGAAGAACAATTTCAACTAACTTCCCGAGGAAATGCTGCATGTTTTCATTGTACAGCTCAGCCTTCACGGCCACGGTGTCTCGTCCTGGAACAATGCCCCAAGGTGAAACACTAGTTTTGGACTTGAATGTTTCAACGCGCACATTCGATATGGCTTGCACAGCCATACCGGCGACATGCAGCCATTGCGAGCCATCTGTCGCCGCACGTTTCACATAGCTGTGGATGGTGATGCGTTCAACTCTCGGGATGTTGTTAAATGTGATGGGCTTGCGGAGGAGCCGCAAGACGTCGCCACCACGGGGACCGCGGAGAGGTCTGTTTTTGTGATACGGCGAGCTGCCATCCCATGGACGTAGTCGAGGCGCTTTCACCGGTGGTTGGAATCCTGGGGGTCGGTGGACGTAGCAAAGCGTTAGAATGTCGGATGCTATTGTGGACTCGTAGGTCTGTTGCACGCGAGGAAGAGTGAAAGGACCGGGAACGAATAATCGCGAAGAGGGGTCTGAGGGGGGAGGAGGTCGGTGAGGGTGAAGAGGGCCTCGGTCATATTTGGGAGAGCGGAATTGGTATCTAGTTTCAAGCATCTGGGTTAGCTAAAAGGCGGGTGGTAGGGTGATGACTTGTGTCATTCGTTAAAAGCTTTGGGGAATGCATACCGACTTCTGGGAAGTTTCGTTTTACGCGCTGCTGCTCGCGCAATGGGGTCGAATGATTTGACGATTGACTCTGGGACCGTTGCTGCTAGAGAAGACGCTGGTTCAACCGTGGCCGGTGCAGTGGCGGCCTGCTTGGAGGCATTGCGCCGGAAGACAGTATAGTGCGATCGTTTCGTCGTTGTCAGAGCCCGCGAAAGAGCCTTTGAGAGGTGTCTAGAAGGCTCGTGAGTAGCCATGGTGGTGGTGGCTGGATATGGTAGCCGGGGATGCTGTCTAGCACCCTCAAAAAAAAATCCGAGACAACAGGGTTAACGCCGAATGGTATTTACATCACGTGACGAATAGCTTATGCGAATGCCTCAGGCAGGAAAGTGTCGAGCCTAGCGCCAGCCTCCGCCGCACCTGCCGTTCCCAGACGGGTCCCACACGGCGGGGTATGATTGCTGCGAGATCGTTTGGCAAGAACCATGGCTGATGCCAGAGCCTCTGATTAGAACTGTATTGCCTGCCTTTCTACAATATCACCGCCTACGCAAATCCGCTCACACCAGATGACTCGACTCCCCGCCACCGTTTCGGTCTGATATGTTGCTGCCTCAAGTCGTCTCTGCCGTCAACCTCAGCTGATCCCATTGGCCCCGCCTCCACGCGCGTTCAAGATCTGTTTGCGACTCCACTTTGAGATGCTGGTGTGGCCTATTTTCCAGCCTATCTTCCAGAGCTCGATGCACATGTGCTATGTCTGAGAGCGGCGATTTTCATTGTGATTGATACTGATCGTCATGCTGTCTTATCCCGCAACCTTAAGACTTTACACTGTCGGATTATTTCATCTCAAGGAGATCTTCATGTTGTCAATCACCCTGAATCTCTTTTAAGCTATTTTTGCGCGAATCCACACCATAAGGCTGATTGACGATGAGTGGCATACAGCGGTTTCTCACCAAGCGTGGGGAGAAACATAGGCGTGCTAGAAAGCAGGATAAAGAGGTTATTTCATTCTACTTCCCCAGTAAGCATACTGTCATAATTACTAACCCGTCCCTTCTCAGATACCTAGCTTGGGTGTGCGTAACCATCTTCGTGGTCTTTTTGTTTCAAGTGAACCTTCCTCTAATCTCGACAAGGATGAGGAGAAGAAGGTGGGTGCTTCTATCAAACCCGAGACTCGCTTTCGCTGATATACTATAGTTGAAAACGCTTGAGAAGAAGATTGCTGCTATAGGCATACCTGATTTGAAATCCGAACAACTGCACGGCGCCCTTACATCGGCTTATGCGCAGGGGGATATCGATAAGGCCTTTGAATTGCTTCTTATTGTAGAAGACTCGATTGAAGGGATCCTGCGAGATTATAGCTCGAGGACCAAACTTGTTGGAGCTGAGAATCGCAACGGCGTGACCTGCTATTTGGATTCTCTTCTCTTTGCCATGTTTGCGCGACTGGACTTTTTTGAGGCCATTTTGTACAAATCCTTCACCGATGATAGCGACCCGCGCAGAAAGCTGGTCATCATTCTCCGTATGTGGGTAAATATGCTTAGGTCTGGGAAGCTCATCACTACGGACATTGTTAGTGCTCTTTAAAATATCTGTAGAATGTGTACTGATTGATAAACAGACTGAACACCTTCAGCAGTCTCTCTCTGACTGTGGCTGGCAAGACGCCGCTAAACTCCGCCAGCAAGATGCCTCAGAAGCCTTCACTTTCATCACAGAAAAGCTTGAGCTGCCTTTGCTTACGCTCAAGATGGATATTTACCACACAGGAAAGGAGGATACCCTTGACGACCATAAATTTGTTAACGAAAGATTACTAGAAGTGGCTATTCCTCCAGAACACACTGACGGGACCCCAATAACTCTGGAAGAATGTCTAGAGACTTATTTCAATAACAAGATTGAGGTGAAGAGATACATGGGGAGACGTGGAACGGTCAGCTCCATGAGATCTTTCGATTCAGCTACGAAGGGGGGTGCTATTCACGTTGAATCCATCGAGATTGGCTCGTCAACTTCATCCCCCGTTATGACAAACTTCCCTCAGGTTAATTCTCCAATAAATGAAGAGGCTTCAATACCACCTATTCTACCTCGTCGTCCTAGCATCGTTCAAGAGCGTTTCATTCCCAATCAGGATCCCCAGGATAGTCTTGTTCACCCTTCTCGACGAAGAAAAGGGAGCTATCGGAAGGAGGTTATGATGCCTGCATGGCAATTTTTCAGCCTCATTCGTACGTATCGCGCAGGATAAATTCAGATCTTGAGCTAACAATATCTAGCATGGTACACCGATAATACTCCGACCAATGACGCGCAGGTCGCTGCACACTTCTCTTCAAAGCGGCCTATTTTGGGAATATGTTTGAAGCGATATTCTGTGTTGCCTAATGGTAGTGCAATCAGGCTCAACACCTTTATCGACATTCCAACCCAAATTGGACTACCGCATTTTATTCAGGACGATAGATTGGACGAAATGGGGCCTCTGTACGGCAACTTCAAGCTGTTGCTTCAATCTGTCGTTTGTCATAGAGGCAATTCTGTGGATTCGGGACATTACATCGCTCTTGTACGAGGGACTAATTCTAACTCGACCCCTCCAGCTTCCAGCGAGTCTGACTCGAACTCTCCAGCGGCCTCTCAGGAAACAGAGCCTTGGATGAGGTTTGATGATTTGGCCACTGAGCGTGTTACTTTGGTCAACATTGAACAAGCTTTGAAGGAGGAATCGCCATATCTTCTGTTCTACCAAATAGTCCCCATCGATGACAATGGGCTGACAGAAGTACAAAATGAAAATCGTACCTTATTTGCGGATCCTGAGGACTTGGAAAATCATGCTCAGAAACACCTGTCTGTCATTGGTAGTGTGGGAGAAGTTCCTTCTGATGCATCTATATCAGCCTCTGTACGGCCAAGCCTCGAGATCACAGTTCCAGATGGCGCTTCGAATGCCGAACAGGAAGTGTCTTTTAAAGAGACCACAGATGATGCTGAAAATAGTGGCTTACGTCCTAGTACTGCCGGTCGCTCGGGTACTTCAACTGACCGTCGATCATTATCTCTTCCTCGACGACGCTCGAAAGATACGTCAAGTCGTTCCAGAAGCCGAGGTGCTGATCAAGCAGAGAAACGGTTGAGCGCTGCCTTACGATTCACATTACGACTAAACAAGGATAAAGGATCCGAGAATCAGGCTGAAAGTGCTGATGATGAAGACGACAATGACTGGTCACTAGTTACTCCTCCGAAGGGATCAGAAGTTCAGCAGAGTAAACAAGAACGTGACCCTGAGTCGAAACGCGATGGAAAACAACGCCAGAAACAGCCTCATGACAAGAAAGACAGGAATAACCCTGAGAGAGAATGTTCTGTCATGTAAATGCAATCACCTCACCCTCCTCCCCAAAGATTTCAAAGAAATGATACCCTTCATGTCAAAGACATTTTACTTCATTGTGCTCTAGCGTTCATTTTTCGCATTTTTCAAACGCGACATACAGGTTTTAGCCACTATGGTGGTAGGATTCGTATCTCTAGATCAAGACCGGTTATCTCATAAGTGGTGATGATAAACGCTTCATTTTAAAGGGTAGTTTCATAAAGTTAACATTCTTCTTATAAGCCAGCGTGATAAATAAAAGCAAAATCAGTCCGAGAAGTTGGACCTCGGAACTATGCAATATGCGCAGCCTATTATAGATCTTGCGCAACAGGTGTGGTAATTAAGAGTGGATCCCAGCCGCAGCTCGACCTAGCACTCCTTGGCATCTCCCAATGACATCGTGATAGAAGTACTGAGCTTCACCATCCATCCTGTCGTCGGCCGCAGCATTTCCTAAATTTTCGGCAGAGAATAACTGCCCAAAAATTGCCATGGGCAAGTTGTGATACGAGTCTAAGATACCAAGCGCAGAATGGCGCTCGATCAATCTAGCAGCTATGTTGCACCGACCAATTTGCCAGAGACACAAGATGCTTCGCAGCCTATCTTTGATGTTCGACCTGTTCAGCTCCAATTCGCAGTCGGGGCAGACTTTGTTGCTGCTCAAGTCGCAAATAATGTTTTGATTCTAGCCCTGGCTACTGGGAGAATCCTTCGCATTGATTTGGACTCCCCGGAGGATATTGATGGTATACAAACCCTTCTACTTTGTATATGCGACTGTTTGCTAAATGCGACGTCTTCTTAGATATCGATCTTCCAAAGAAATCCTCTGAGACTGGTCTCATTCGTCGCCTCTTTCTTGACCCTTCCGCTTCTCATCTAATAATAACCACTACGCTTGGCGACAATTACTACCTTCACACCCAATCCCGTCAACCAAAGCCATTGTCGCGGCTGAAAGGCTTGATAGAAAGCATTGCCTGGAACCCGTCATTGCCGACTGCATCTACTAGAGAGATTCTCGTCGGAGTCACAGATGGGCATGTGTACGAAGTATACATCGAACCTACCACTGAATTTTACCGCCGTGAGGAGCGATATGTTACAAGCGTCTATCGAGTATCTGATACTTCCATCACGGGAATTTTTGCCGAACTAACACCTGCCAAACCCGAACAAAGGGAGGTTATCATTGCTACGTCAAGTAAACTTCTGCATTTTTCAGGACATGTCGGACGGCATGGGAAAGATGGAGTTTATGCGGAGCTATTCCAAAGAAATACACCCACAGTACATGAGATTGAGGACGTAAACAAGTCAGCACCATCGTCATTGGCGATATCTCCGGAACCTGCTGAGGATTATCATGGAGTAGGTCAGTCACCCGAAAGGTTATTTGCGTGGCTTTCCTCCGAAGGTGTACTTCATGGTTCGTTGGATCACACATCGTCAGATACCAGCAAATCAATAAAAAATGCCAAACTGCTTCCTCGGACGGCCTTTCCTGCTACAGAGTCTGCACGGGGTGGGAAAAAGCTGATTCAAGATCCAATCACGGCTATAACCTTAACACAGTGGCATCTCCTTGCTTTGGTGGAAGGTCGCGTAGTCGCTGTGAACCTTCTAAGCGGCGAAAGCGTGTATGATCAGGCGGTACTTGAGCCTCGCCAGACTGTACTTGGACTTCTGAATGATCGTGCAAAGAATACATTCTGGCTCTTCACTCCCCAGGAAATTTTCGAAGTAGTGGCAGAGGACGAAGACCGGGATTTGTGGCGCATTTTCCTAAAAGAACAGAGGTTTGATGAGGCTCTCCAACATGCACAAGGCTCTGCGCAAAGAGATGCTATTGCTACTGCGTCTGGGGACTACCTTGCCAGCAAAGGCAACTACCTAGAAGCAGCCGCTGTTTGGGGGAAGAGCAGCAAGGGTTTTGAGGAAGTGTGCCTGACTTTGATAAATAGCGGCGAGCACGATGCTCTACGAAAATATCTTCTTACACGTCTTGGTAGCTACAAGAAATCATCGATTATGCAGCGCCTGATGATCACAAGCTGGCTCATCGAAGTCTTTATGGCGAAACTAAACTCCTTGGACGATACTATAGCAACGAAGGCTGAGCTTACCGAAGGCACAAGCACAGGGGAGTCTAAAGCACACCTAGACGATGTTCGAGCGGAGTTTGAAGACTTCGTCACGCGTCATAAATCAGACCTGGACCAAAAGACCGTCTACGACATTATCAGCAGCCATGGGCGGGAGAAAGAGCTTCTCTTTTTTGCAAATGTCTCAAATGATTACAATTATGTTCTTTCTTACTGGATACAACGTGAGAAATGGACCGAAGCATTGAATGTGTTGCAGAGACAGACTGATGCTGAAGTCTTCTACAAGTACAGCACTGTTTTAATGGCTCATGCCGCAGCTGGCCTTGTTGATATCATAATGCGCCAGACTAATCTTGACCCCGAAAAGTTGATACCTGCCTTGCTTAGCTACAACAATGCTACACAGATACCTCTCAACCAAAACCAAGCAGTTCGCTATCTCACTTTCATTATCGCCAACCACCCTCGTCCGACGGCAGCAGTCCATAATACTTTAATTTCCATTTATGCTTCAAGTCCCTCCTCCAACGAGGCAGCGCTTCTTAACTACCTTGAGTCACAGTCATCAGATCCGCCCCCTTATGACGCAGATTTTGCGCTCCGTCTGTGTATTCAACATGAACGAGTACAGTCTTGCATTCATATCTACAGCTCAATGGGCCAGTACTTACAAGCTGTTGAGCTGGCTTTGAAATACAACGATATAGAGCTCGCCGCAATCGTCGCTGACCGACCCGAAGGTAACGACAAGCTACGCAAAAAGCTATGGCTGCTTGTCGCAGAGAGAAAGATCCGCCAACCCGGTACCGGTATAAAAGATGCCATTGAGTTCCTCCGACGATGTGAACTCCTCCGCATCGAAGACATGATCCCCTTCTTTCCTGACTTTGTTGTTATTGATGACTTTAAAGATGAGATTTGCAAGGCGCTGGAAGACTACTCGATCCATATCGATGAGTTGCGACAAGAGATGGATAATTCTGCGCAGACTGCAGGCCAAATCAGAGCCGAGATTGCTGGGTTAGATGCCCGATACGCTATCGTCGAACCAGGGGAGAAATGCTGGATCTGTTCACTCCCTTTGTTGAGTCGCCAATTCTTCGTCTTCCCCTGCCAGCACGCTTTTCACAGCGACTGTCTTGGGAAGGAAGTTCTGGAGGGTGCTGGAGGAAAGAAGCGGTATATACGAGACCTGCAAGCGCAACTCAACACGGGGGACATTGCGGCAAAGAAGAGGGAAAATATTATTAAGGAGTTAGATTCATTAATTGCGGAGGCATGGTAAGCATGAAATCTTTTTTCTGCCTTGCGAAACATGGTTTGCTAATGATTGTTTACTAGTATACTGTGCGGCGATCACGGTGTCAAGCAAATAGATAAGCCGTTCATAACAGAGTCGGATAATACCGACGAGTGGAAGCTATAATATCCGCATATATGTATATATCATAGCGATACCTAGGGCTAATCCACCAATTGATGGCATGAACGTTTTGATGATACGGATGTGCGATGACAGTAGACTCAGGTGTAAGGTAAGCCTCTATCAAGGTGCGTCAATGGCATTGTATTGGGAGGAGTTATGTCGGCTGGCTGGATATTGTTGAGTCTGGAGTGTACAAATTTTGTCTAGAGATGTACTTGCGTTGATCTAACAGCTTAATTTGCTTATAAGAGGCTCATTGTCAGCCCGGATATTCAATAACAATACATTGATCACATAGGAAGAATATATATTATTCATTAAGTTCATTAGGTTTGGTTACTTGGGTATGAGAATGCATACCGAAGACTGTCTATCTTTTCTACACATGTAATAGTCGACAATCCCTGTCACGCAATCAATCCGAGACAAAGTGGAGGCTGGCGCAAGATGTTTCAGAGCGTGACGATACTGAACAGTTCTTGGGAGTGTTTGAGGATCCACTGAGGGGAAACGATTGAGTGGACAACCGGAAGTCCTGGGAAGATCGCCGTCGTCGACGCGTGTTGCGTGTCAACCAGTGTCCTCTTCCCAGGCGCAGGGTTGCCGCACCAGCATCTGGACGATCATGTGTTGATTGGATTATCATAATTTGGACATGTAACATGTCGAAGGCAGTGCAGAGACAGGCCGTGTTGGGACGCCAGAGCTAGTGGCATTATTGGGGAGAAATGTCGCCACGATGGAGTCGAAACTGCCAAATGGCTAGACACCTCTATTAATATTTATTAATAACGGGCCCTCAGTGGACAGGCGGCGAAACCTGAAACAGCAGACCTGACAGAAGGCTAGAAGCCAGTTCGAGGCGGCTAGAACGATTGATGAAGTGGTCGGGTCATGTAACTAAATTTACTGGTGCATTGGTGGTTGGTACAGCAAAAGGGGAAGAATCGTAGCGCTGGGGCCCATCGCTAAGTCCACTGGCGCCCACTCCTGGTGCCTGGACATGAGCCCCCGCATTATTATTGACTGCCGTGCATGACGCCGACCGTTGGGAATGCGTGGATAAGCAAGCGCTTGTCTTATCTGGCTATTTCCAGTCTATTGCCTGCAATCGCCCCCCCTGAAGGTCAACTGGTGTTTGCGAGTGGCGGGTTCCCTCCTGTCATGCATCCGTGTGTGACCGAACTAATAATAATTAACTTATCCTGCATCCCACTACTCTACTGTTCGCATCCTCATTAAACCGCCAACTGCGCAGCTCCAATATTACACCCCGTCACACCTTGTCTCCGTCCTTCATTGTCTGTGGCTAGCCTTCATTCCACTGATAAGGCTGGGAACCACCCAGGAAACGGGGTTATTATTGTCACTTATTCATTTAATCATTACCCCTGTGCTCGACAGGTCGCAAGTCAACCGCTCACAATTCGCTCCTTCCGCCTGATCCCGTTTTCTCTCGATATTCTTACAACTCGCTGCCGACCGGCTTGTCATAGACACTCGTTAATCGCTTGATCGCTTGCTCACAAAGCACGGCCTGACTCCGCACCTGGCCAATTCGCACTCGTTATCTGGCAGCCAACGGCCATCAATTGCAACAATGAATGTCAACAAAAAGCTGGATCGCTTCAAGCAATGGGCTGGGGAGCGAATGGGAGGAGAGGCGAGAACAAACGTCTCCGAGGATTTTAAAGCCTTGGAGACTGAAATGAATCTTCGGCAGGACGGTGAGTGGTGCAAGCTCTCTAAGAAACGAATCTCATTCTGATTACCTCCTAGGCATGGACAAAATGCACCGTTCTATGACTGCTTACATCAAGGCCATCTCGAAACGAACGGAAGGAGACGATAAAGAGAAGACGCTTCCGATCGCTCACCTAGGGAGTGTCATGATCCAACACGGAGAGGATTTCGACTCGCACTCGGAATATGGGCAAACTTTGACGCGTATGCTATTGTCAGAACTCAGGATTTAGACAGTACTGATAATTCCTCTAGTTACTGGAAGGGCTCATGAAAGGCTTGCTCGGGTACAGGTTTGTACATGGATATTTAGTTCCTTTTTGGCAATTGCTGATCTCTTCATATTTTAGGAGGCTTATTCCGCTGAAGCTACTGGAAATTGGCTTGAATCACTAGAGCGCAATCTAGCCGCTATGAAAGAATATCAGGTGTGTCATTCACCACCAGGGAGCTTGGGGTCTATGTGCTAACTTCGCAAAGAATGCCCGCAAGAAACTGGAGACCCGCCGCCTTGCGTACGACGCCTCTTTAGCAAAGATGCAAAAAGCAAAGAAGGAGGATTTCCGCGTCGAAGAGGAATTACGTACCCAGAAAGTTAAATACGAAGAGACGAGCGACGATGTCTACCGCAGGATGGTGGATATCCAGAGCGCCGAAGGTGACAACATCATGGACTTAACAGCTCTCATTGATGCTGAACTCGCTTACCATGAGCGATGCCGTGATGTTCTCCTTCAGCTCAGAAATGAGCTGCCATCAGGGTGAGTACACACTTAGATGGTACTGAAAACATATACTCACAATCCCCGGGACAGTGCCTCGCCGCCACAGTATACCAATGGTCGCCGCCCTGGACGAGCGCGATCGAATACTGCTCATTCATACCAAGAACGATACGATCCTGTTCAGGAAGAGCAGCCACCTCAGCCTCCTCGTCCAACTATCCGATCAACACGATCATCCTCATCAAATAGACTGAACGAGACTATACGAGAACGCCCAGATGTCGGCTCCTCGCGGCCATCTATGATTCGTACCTCAACCTTTGAAGGCCCTACACAATTGCGACGAGAGGACTCTCCTGCCAATTCTTATTCTCCGAGCCGTGTCCAGAGCGACCTCTCGATCCGTACGACCAGGTCGTCGTTGAGACCCGTGAGCAAGATCCATGAAGACTACCATGATGACTTCACTTCACATGGAAATGTCAGCCCATACGACGATAGGGCAGAGTCACCAGCGACATCGCACAGCAGCTACTTTTCGCGGACGCCGAGTTCGACAACAATGGATGGTAGTACTATAATGAAAAAGGGTCCCCCACCGCCGCCTCCATCAAGAGCCAACAAGCCCAAACCCCCTCCGCCGCCGCCGCCAGCGAAGCGCAACGTGATCGGAGTGTGATGGGCTTAGACTTTTTTTCGCGGCATATTCGTTGCCGTGCAGACTCCTTTTATCTACCTGGTTTCGATGGCAGCATGGCTGGTCCATTACGAATGCTTTGTTTTTAATATCACTATTGCAATTGCTTGTACAATGAAGCACACACAGTCGCACGTTATATCCTAAGTCGTAGGCCATAATAAACATTATGAAACACATGGAAAGCAAAACCATACCCTTCAGAAACCACGTGATCTGAATGGTTCAGCCAGCTAATACAAATCAGGCTAGTGTGTAGTCACGTGCGCCGGACTGGCAAATCTTCGCCTTCCCTTCCCGCCTTCCCTTTCGTGCTGCTTTCTGAAGCCAGCCAGGCTCAGCCCAGGACCCCGACCACACCTCCGTCGCGTCCATTCCCATCCATCACCATTTTTATCCGCCCAGGCCTCAAACACCCTTCCCACGCGCCTTTCAAATTATCCTGGGCCCTTTGGCCCGTCTTTCATTGCCAATCTCACCGGCCCACGCTGGTCGACGCCTGTCCCCCCTGTGCCTCCCTCAGGCCACCGGGCTTTCCATCCGCGGGCCATCGCTTCCAGTGTCGCTACTCGGCGCATTTCATCGTTTCGCACTTCTCAAGTTCCGCGCATATCCTTTTCTACTAGCACCCTTGGCTCTCGAGCCCGCCCGATTCGCTTTTGACGCGTCCGGTCGCTACTGACACCTGCGCACTGCTGGCCTATACGGGCGCTTGAGCCTCAAGCGTCAGAACTTATATTCCAAGGCAGCTCAACCATGGCTTCCATCCAGTCAGCTCCCAATGCCGGAGCTGGCAACATGTCTTTGCCACCTGATCTCACACCAGCTCGACTGCAGGAATTGTACCAGGTAGGCACATATGTTTCTTGGCTATCCCAAGAGGTGTTACCGTCGCGCTAACATTTTTGGATAGAAATATCGCGAAATGCAAAGCTCTGGTGTCCGCCATGATGACCCTGAATATATTAAGGCGCACAATATCCTCGCGGCTGTCCAGAAACAACAAAATTTTGCTAGGCAACGATACCAGCAACAGCAACAACAGCGCCAACAACAACAGCAGTTGCAGCAATCAAATGGAAACGGTAGCGAGGCCCCTACGAATGGCGTTAATGGTGAGTTACCAATTCGATATTCTCTACTACCTAGTACTTACCCTTTTTTTTTTTTTTCAGGTCGATCTGCAAACAATGCCAGCCTTGAACAGAATTCCGCTAGCACCGGGGGCCAACCTTCGTCTTCTGCTCAGCAACCAGCCCCTGGAGCGACGAAAGGCGCTCCCGCATCCACAGGGAGTTTCTCACCCGAACAGCTTGGCATCTTGCGAAATCAGATCCTCGCTTTCAAGATACTTTCCAAGAATATGGCTCTTCCGGCGCAAGTTCAAAAGCAACTTTTTGGCGCTAACAAACAGCAGCCAGCTTCTCCCGCTGAAAAGGTAGCAGCCGCTGAAGCTGTGGTCGAGAGTGCAAGTCAAAGCGATAAACCCAACGACAGCCTTGAAAAAGAAGCCAACTTGAAGAACTTTTATGAAAAGTTGCAATCGCCATATGATCTTTTACAAAAGACCATCGGTTACACCGATCATTCAGCGAGGGGCAACCGTGCGCGTATACCGAGTCTCTTCCCCACCGGCATTGATTTGGAGCGTGTCCGTGAAGATAGGGAACTGCTAATTTACAACAGAATTACTGCTAGGAAGGCTGAATTAGCGAACCTTCCCGCTAATCTCGGTGTCTGGGATGCTAGCCGCGGTGAAAGCCCCACACCAGACGATTCACTCAAGCTCAAAGCATTGATTGAATATAAGATGCTCAATTTGCTGCCAAAGCAGCGCAAGTTCCGTCAACAAATCCAGCACGAAATGTTTCATTACGATAACCTGGGAATGACAGGGAATCGCTCTGCTCACCGTCGCATCAAAAAACAATCTTTGCGTGAAGCGCGAATCACCGAGAAACTTGAAAAACAGCAGCGTGACGCTAGAGAGAATCGTGACAAGAAGAAGCAAGATGAAAAGATTCAAGCGATCCTGGCTCACAGCCAAGAGGTTCTGCAGGCTGGCAGTCAACAACGTGCTCGCATGCAAAAACTCGGTCGTGTCATGCTACAGCAACATCAGTACATGGAACGTGAAGAGCAGAAGCGTGTGGAGCGAACAGCCAAGCAACGTCTTCAGGCTCTTAAGGCTAACGATGAGGAGACCTACCTCAAACTTTTGGGCCAGGCGAAAGATTCTCGTATTTCTCACTTGCTGAAACAGACCGATGGTTTCTTGAACCAGCTTGCATCATCAGTGAAGGAGCAACAGCGCAGTCATGCCGAAAGATTTGGCGGTGATACCCAATATGAAGAGGAAGAAGAGGAAGAAGAGGAGTACGATACCGATGAAGAGAGTGGCGGCCGTAAGATTGATTACTATGCCGTGGCTCATCGTATCAAGGAGGAGGTCTCGATGCAACCAAACATCCTAGTGGGCGGAACGCTCAAGGAGTACCAGCTGAAGGGCTTGCAGTGGATGATTTCGCTCTACAACAATAACTTGAACGGTATTTTGGCCGATGAAATGGGTCTCGGAAAAACTATTCAGACTATTAGTCTGCTCACATATCTCATTGAGGTTAAAAAGAACAATGGTCCTTTCCTAGTGATTGTTCCTCTGAGTACTCTTACGAATTGGAATATGGAATTTGACAAATGGGCCCCGACGGTCACCAAAGTTGTTTACAAGGGCCCCCCCAACGTCCGCAAACAGCATCAGCAAGCCATTCGGTACGGCCAGTTCCAAGTTCTGTTGACAACCTATGAATATATCATCAAGGATCGACCACTATTGAGTAAAATCAAATGGCAACACATGATCGTTGATGAGGGTCACCGTATGAAGAATGCTCAATCGAAATTGAGCAGCACTTTGACTCAATATTATACCACCCGTTTCCGTCTCATTTTGACGGGAACTCCCTTGCAGAATAACTTACCGGAACTTTGGGCTTTACTGAACTTCGTTCTTCCTAGCATTTTCAAATCGGTGAAGTCGTTCGATGAATGGTTTAATACGCCCTTTGCGAATACGGGTAGCCAGGATCGGATAGACTTGACCGAAGAAGAGCAGCTGCTTGTGATTCGTCGTCTCCATAAGGTTCTTCGGCCATTCTTGCTGCGTCGTTTGAAGAAGGATGTCGAGAAAGATCTTCCTGACAAGCAGGAACGTGTTGTCAAATGTCGCTCGTCCGCTTTACAGAGCAAACTTTATAAACAGCTTCTTACGTCTAACAAGATGGTTGTCAGTGACGGCAAGGGTGGTAAGATTGGTATGCGTGGTCTCAGCAACATGCTCATGCAAATGAGAAAGCTTTGCAACCATCCGTTCGTTTTCGAGCCTGTGGAAGATCAAATGAACCCAACACGTGGAACCAACGACTTGATCTGGCGAACTGCTGGAAAATTCGAACTTCTTGATCGTGTTCTTCCTAAATTCAAGGCGACAGGACACCGTGTGTTACTTTTCTTCCAAATGACACAAATCATGAACATCATGGAGGATTTCTTGCGATTAAAAGGACTCAAATATTTGCGACTTGATGGCTCTACCAAATCAGATGACCGGTCTGAATTGCTTAAGCTCTTTAACGATCCTAACTCAGACTATTTCTGCTTCTTGCTTTCAACTCGTGCTGGTGGCTTGGGCCTTAATCTCCAAACTGCCGATACTGTCATCATCTATGATTCTGATTGGAATCCTCATCAAGATTTGCAGGCTCAAGATCGTGCTCACCGTATCGGACAAAAGAACGAAGTGCGTATTCTTCGTTTAATCACGTCTAATTCTGTCGAAGAGAAGATCTTAGGCCGTGCTCAATTTAAGCTTGATATGGACGGCAAAGTTATCCAGGCTGGAAAGTTCGACAACAAATCAACAAACGAGGAACGAGAGGCCTTGCTTCGGACACTACTTGAAAGTGCGGAGGTTGGTGATCAGATGGGTGATCAGGATGAGATGGACGATGATGAGCTAAACGAAGTCATGGCTCGATCCGAAGAGGAGCTTACAATCTTCCAGAAAATGGACCAGGAACGCGCTAAAACAGATAAATATGGTCCTGGTCGCCGTTACCCCCGACTTATGGGAGAAGATGAACTTCCAGATATCTATCTCGCCGAAGATGTTCCCGCTAAAGCTGAGGTTGAAGAGATCACAGGCCGTGGAGCTCGTGAACGCAAAGTTACGAGATACGATGATGGCCTTACTGAGGAACAATGGCTTATGGCTGTGGACGCTGAGGACGATACCATTGAAGAGGCAATTGCTCGGAAGGACGCAAAAATCGAGCGACGCCGTGTCAATAAAGAGAAACGTGGACGCCGGACAACAGGTGGGGAGTCATCACCCGAACCATCACGCGAAAGTTCCGAAACCCCCCAGCCGCGAAAGCGGCGTAAGGGACCTGCTGGAAAGCGTAAGGCAGATGATTTTGTTGATGAAACACCTCCCGCTAAGCGGAAGAAGGGCAAACCCTCAAAGGCCATGGATTCTCTTAGTGGCGGTGAGCGTGCGACGTTGCAGAAGATCTTAAACCATGTATATCAGGCCTTGATGGACCTCGAACAAGAGATTGTGCCAGAAGAAGACGACAGTGATGACGAACCCCTTACGAGATCGATCATCGACCCATTCATGAAGCCGCCACCCAAGTCACAATATCCCGACTATTATATGATCATCCACAATCCCATTGCTATGGATATGATCAAAAAGAAAATCAATAGAGAGGAGTATCAAGGTTTGAAGGAGTTCCGGGACGACATTCGCCTTCTTTGCCAAAATGCCAGAACCTACAACGAAGATACCAGCATATTATTCGCAGATGCGAATCAAATCGAGGTGAGTTGTTTATGAAGGAATTTGATGTTAAACTTGAGACTAATCTTATATAGGCTACTTGTGTCGAGGAGTTGAGAAAACAGACGGATGAACACCCCGAGTTTGCCGACTTTGACGAAGCAGGGTCATCAGTTGCTGATGGCTTGTCTACTGCTGGTGTCTCTGGTGCTGAGTCTTTGGCACAGCCCAAGATCAAACTCACTTTCAACAGCAATCGAGACAGTGCTAGTGCAGCAAACGGGGATGTTCCTAGCGATGAGGAATGAAATTTAGGCCTAGAAGCTCTTGAGTGCTAGTCGGACCTTCGAGGACAGCATTCATCGGATCGTCCAGAAACCCTCTTACGACATTTTCGTTTTCTTGCCTCTCCGGGCAATAGACTGTCCTGTTCATGCTATAATAATTCATCTCTTTGTTCTTGATCATAGGCAAATGGCGTTAAGACGACGCGTGTTCTATACTGGGTGGAAAACTGGAGTGTATGGTGATAGTTTTTGACTCGCGTCACTTGGATCCAAAACAAGTGGCGTATGTTTGATATTATTTCTTTTCAACGCGGTCCTTAGGAATTACCACCATATTGGAGCCTGTATGCTTTTTTTCTTTGATCCCTTTTATCGTTGTCTATCCCAACTCGAATGTGACACGATTGGAATCAATCGGATTATCTGTCGTCTCCTTCCTAAACCCGCGATTGTCTTGATTTGATTCGATGTATTATTGAGAGCAATTATAAATGAGAATTTTACGCCCTAACTTATTATAAATTACCATCTTCACATGTTAAGAGACGTTTCAGTACACTATTCTCACATATTCCCATACGAAATTGCTCTCCAACTATGCGGTCTCAATGCTGAATTCGACGTTAGTTAATGTCGGATTTTTTTTATATTTACTGCGTTAAAGTCAATTTATTTTTGCAAATATCGTGCTTATCATCAGCATTCCCATGACATTAGTACTTGAGATAATCCCGGAATCAAATACATTAGACAAGGATTATTCTAAATTGATAACGAAAAGTATATGTATGCGGTCTATAAAAAACACTTTTAAAAATATAGGCTGAAGATATATAAAACAGCACTTGGCATCCTGGCTATACATGATGGTGTGTATATCCAGAGCTGGTCTGTTTAGAAACAGAGATCCCGTGAAGATCAATTAATGAGTATGTATACCACCAACATTGAAGATGGCGGTGCATGCAAAATGTGACATGGACGCTCATAGCTTCCTTGTGGTCAAGGTTTCTGTAACTGTTCCTTGCGGAAAAATGAGAAGCAGAGCACATTTATAGATAATATGAATAATAGACAGAGCCAGAAGTCCCGTTTCGAGAGTGCGATATGAACTCCCTCTGAGAAATCAGGGAAGACATCACCGGGACCCAGCTTATCTGGAGCACTGGCGCGTGCAAGAATAGTGCCGACTGAGCCAATGACTTGTGCTGCAATTAACGTGAATGCAATATGGAATCGAGTTAGGGTGTTAAGAAGAATCATGCCAAAACCTTTTGGTTATTAGTACTTTCGAATATTTTGCTTGAAATTTCTTGAAGACGACTTACCAACACCTTGTAGAGCATCAAGAACTCCTAGCCATAGCCACAGACCTCGTCCAAGAAGTGTGCTGGCAAGAGGACTACCTGCCCAGGGTACATAGGCCCCGATATTTGATGTGGACCAAAGTAACTGGCACCATCTGGGTGCACCTAGCCCTATCGCAAAAATAGGCACAAACCAAACGTGCCGCTTTGATAAGACACTAAATACCCACAGGATAGCTGCCCAAATACCAATGAAGAAGAACAGCACCAAGACGATGATCTCCCATGTGTGTGCATGCTTGCTAGACCACAGATATAGCCAATTCCGACCGTAAGGAGCAGATAACCAGTAGTTTTGGACGAACACTGCATAGAAAAACCACTAGATACTCATGAGATAAATAACTATGCATAAAAGACATGATGAACATACCAAAATTATCTTCCGTCGAGGGAGTGATTTGTAAAAAGACGGCACCTTGCCAGGAGCTTGTCTATAGTAGTCCGGCAAACCCAGAAAAAGGAAGGTACCAAGTGTCCACATGAATACTGCAATACCTATACCAGTTCCAATAAGAAGCTTTGGGTTTGAGTCTGCTAAACTAATCTGAGCAGACCCTGCTTGGGAATGAGCAGCGAGCCTACTTCCCCAGTACCATAAGAAGGTGACATATATTTGCTGAGTCCCTTGAATGACACAAGCTCGATATACCCAGGATTTTACAGGGGAGTTTCCTGAGAGAATGTTATTAAAGATAACACACGCCTAAAAGCTTCCTTTTCTTACCTTCGTCACCAAAGTTGAGGGCAAAAAAAATCGACCCGCTAGAAGATGCAGCAGCATAAAGCCCGGTAGCAACATTTTGCATCCACCAACGCCCTAATGAATTAGAGACAAGGGGAGAGAAGCCAATGAAACCAAACGCTGATCCATATAGCTGCGTTTCAGAGTAAGTTCATGGTCAAGCGGTCCGAGCCAGAGGGCCTACCAGGAAAGGTAACGATAGTACAAATATGGACTTCAACCAGCGAAACAATATCCACCACACAATTGATGAAGCGAGATAAATGCTGGCAATAATATAAAGTTTATCGGCAGGCTCTCCGATTTCACCGTTTAATAATGTCACTTGGTAGGAATTAGCGGCGATAATTTGACCCTGCAACAGAGTTAATTTATTGATGCATGTGTATGGCCAATCTTAGTATATTTTACTTACGAAGGCAAGTAACATTGTGTACAATGACCAGTCACCGATTCGGTATAGTAAGAGTCTTCTTAGACCAGAAGGGGGAACATAATTTCGGGGAAGTTCGAAATCCGCCCAATTTTTTTCTTCCTCTGAGCTTGCAGGGGCAGTTGGAGAAGTGCAGTCACTGTCTGCAGTAGATTGCACTCTTACTTTGAAAATTGATGACGTTGGAGTTCCGTGACTTGACGAGCTTCGACCTAGCTTGATGTCACGATAACGATTGAACCACTCTTTTTCACTTTTAGACAGGTATTCTTCGATGCATAGTTGATCCTCAGAATTCTTGCCATCGAGATGATTCAGCTTTCTCTGGAACTTTTTGGCATAGACTTGGGTCGAATCTGTGAAAAACGGATTCACGCTTTGCAGGTTAAAACTGGTCTTTTCCCTGATGACGTTGTCTATACTCAGTAGATCTTGGCTTGATGAATTTTCAAGTTGGTCATTTAGAGTTGGCTGGCTTATGGTATGTTCGGATACTGCAGGGATTGGTGTGGTTACCCCTGAGGGGTTATGGGAGTTCACTTCGGAACTGCACGTTGAGCCGTCCCGAATAGATAATACCCCGTTTCTTCGAGATTCAGACGGCTGGTCTAACAGTTTATTAGTTTTCTTTCTTTCATATTGAGCACAATGAGGAAAACGCAATGTATATTTACCACTTGATTGTGAATGTTCATCGGTAGGGCAGTATGCGTCCTCTTCATCCAATGAATATTGAGGTGCAGTATTACCAAGGAAACTGAGCGACTGGGAGAGCTTTCTCCTATGGTAGGTTGGTCGTTGTCTCCCAGGCTCTGCGCGAGCATCGGTCTGCTTCAGGCCTTCTCTTGATTCGTCGTTGTCGGTCGAAGCCTCGCTTGCTAGTCGTTTACTGAGACTTCGGGAAAGACTGTTTCGAATAAGTGACTGCCGATCAAGCTTTTGGAATTTGGCATATTTATGATGCTTTTCAATTGTTTCTGATTGTAAGATTTCAAGCTCCTCGACCCATTGCGCCACAGGAAAACGCTGCTTTCCAGATCGAGAACGCATGATAGCTCGAACTGCAGGTTTTGAATTGAGTGCTTCCTGAATAGCTTGTTTAAATTGGTGGATTAGATGCTTGGTTGTCATTGATTCACTTTATCCATTAGTTAGATAGACTTGAGGCGAAGGTATGTACTTACATGGTGTACCACCAGCCAGGCATCTGTCCTAAGCCTCCGACCCTTTACCATATTAGCATGGGCTTTGAGAAATCTAATATGTAGAATAAGCTTAATATATACCGTGAGCCAACCCCCAAAGCCCCCTTTCTTCCAAATTCAACGGCCACGAGTCCGAAGGGCTCATCGCGTGAAGGTATTAACGCAAATTCGGTGCCGCTAAAGACATACGGAGGCAGAACCGTGAATTCCGGTTTTGAGAAGACTCTTTTGGGAAACATCTGCATAATCCTGTTTAATTTGATGGCTGCGAACCGACCGTAGAGGTCAATGACAGGTCCAACACAGATGAGTTGCGTTTTGGGGTAATTTTCCAAGATACAAGGAAAAATATCCGCGATCAAGTCAATACCCTTCTGCATCGACCATCTGCCAACAAAAACGAAAAGTTCAGCATCTGATATTTGCTCGAGTCCAGCCCACGCTTGGGTTTTCTGTTTTAGACCCGCACGAGCTGCTTCAAATTCAGGGTTGACTTCGGCTCGTTCGATTTCTCCTCCTCGTTTCCATTCCGCAGTATCAGAGGGATCAGGGTTAGGTAGGGATCCCACTTCTTTTAGACCCCAGAAAATGGGATACCTTGCCCATGATCGTTTGCCATACTTCCTCGATACGCCCACAGCCCCAAATCCATTTTGATGAATATGCAAGTAAGCTGCTCCAGCATGCAACAAGTTAAAGACATCACCAAATTGCACGTACCGTTTAATAATAGACGGATGCAAATTGAAAATTTGGCCAACTTCTTGACACTCTTTGTCAGTCCTCATAGGCCAAAGGCCTTGGAATTCCGCGTTGTGAAGGGATAGGCAGCAAGGAATCGTTTCAGGGAGCAAATGAAGCTGTGCAGCTGCACCATGGTAGTCATTAATGTGATAAATATCGACTGGAAACCGTTTAAGTGTTTCAGCGATGCACGAATTCCACGCAGAATAACATATAGCGGAATTGAGATCGTCCATGCGAGCGGGATATGGTTCGGACTTGGACTGAGCCCTAAAAACCGGCGCATCCAGAAGGACATATGTTATGTTTCGAATAGTATGATATTGAACCTGGACTTGAAAAGTCTTTCCCATGACTGTGATACTCATGGGTTCTGCCATTCGGTCAATAGGATACTCGATTCCACCAACACACGGAACCACCCATATTAGATTTAGATGGCCAAGATTTCTGCTCATCAACTGAGCCATTACTCCGAGTCCACCTATTTTTACTTTTATTCCCCAATCCTCGATTTCATATTCCATAGTGGCAAAAAGAACAGTTCTGCGCAAGTCGCCGGCGTCTGCATTTAGAGCTTGGTCATGTGCGGAATTAGCAAGCGTAGACGTCTGAGAGAATGGACCGATCAGTTTTTCCACCCAGTCTGCACCGATACTTTTTATTTCCATTGACTGAATGTTCGTTAGACTTTTCCTCACGAGACCATCCTCTGGTCGATGTTTCTGTTGCTTGACACCGGTGTCATTAAATTTGACCTGATAGAAAGCTTTCAGATACACCCAAACTGCTGTGGCACTTGACAGGAGTGGAACAAAGGCAAAACAAAAATATATTGCCAGTTGAACTTTCTGTGAGCCCTGGGGTGTGGTCCAATATCGTATGTTACCGTCATCTAGAGACAATTTCCATGATAGGTATGGCCACGGAGGAGGATCAGTGACATTAATGAAATTACTCAACAATGAAATAGGCGGTATACGATCGAGAATCATATCACCATCTATATCACCGTAAATTTGGGCATTGTCAGGTTGTCCATCATCGTTCATGCCCCATGCATTCAATGCCACACGAGTTGGCCATTCAGCCATAAAATTGAACTCCCATTGTCCGCTGAGGTTGCTAAGGTGCATTTTGTTTCGATATCCCGAATCATAGCCAAATTGATTAAATTCCCCTTGCAACCAGAAATTGGGAAATCTTCGTGGTGGCTTGTCATTCCAATTGAGATCACCATGTTGGTAATGACTGCTACTCCCGGTAAGCCTATTCCAATATTGTACCATAATATGCTCCCCATCCCATTCTTGTAATGCGGCCCTGGACCAATTTTTAGGAGGAATAGAGACATTGAGACCTGTGTAGGGCATCCATGGGCTGAAGGATGAACCGAAGTCCAACGTATAGCGCCATTTGTCAGCCCCAGGAGCTTTATGGGACACCCATAAGGTCCCATCGTCCGAGGAGTCTGCATACAAGAGAGTTCTGCTATAATTGGCTTTGCTGGGCCACACCACCGGATTGTCTGCAGAGCCTATTCGAAAGAGAAAATGATCCACAGCCTCGAAAATATTAGTGGGTTTCATCGAAGCCTCAAATAAGTAAGTACTTACATTGGTGGTGCGATTTCTGCCTTTATTTGTGACATTTTTTAGGACCACTTCATGAACACCATGAAAGACATTTGTCAGTTCAATAGTATAATTAAACATTCCGGTGAAAGCTCCTTGCCAAGATAACATCTGGTCTTCTAGAACTGGGCGGCATGAAACTGAACCCTTATCAAGCTGGGCAGATTGGTTGTACAAAGTAGTCGAAGAAATCCAAAGTCCATCAGTAATGCTATTACAATCCATCTCCTCGGAGAACTGAAAGCTGATGGATATCGTTTCACCCGTTTTCACTGTTGAAAGAATACGAGCGTCGTGGCCTGGACTGAATTTAGTTATGTACGAAGAGGGTGCAATGAAGGCTTCCTTTGGAACGAATGCCTTGAATCCCCATGCTGGAAGAGTCAGATTATTCAGGCAGCCATTGAGCTTATCCGAACCTTCAAGCCTAAATTCTATTTAGTCAAAGACATCCCCATTCAACCCGAACTAAGTTGTCTAGGAAAGAGACAAATGACGGCTTACCCTAGCTTATGAGTACTTGATCCCAGTGTATATTCTTCGAATGGGGGAAAGAGGTTTTTCACTGTGGTTCCTTCGTCAAAGGGGGACACCAATGCCCGATGGTGGTCAGAGCAGTTGAATTTATAGTTGATCGTACGGTTATCATTTTGATAAACCAGCCAAATACTTTGATTACCTTGCCTTATTCCTGTAAAGTCCTGCGTGTCCTCGAACCGTGAGCGTAGAACACTCCAAAGTCCTGTTTCAGTGCAGGTTCCATTACTTCCAGGTAAGTAAATATTGTATGTCATATTCGAAAGTTGCTGCAAGTAGTATCCATCGTTGAGAACAGGGTAATTTTGACGCATCTCAAACATTCCTTTTAATATGCCCCGAATCGGGGCAGTGGGGTCTCGGTGATCAAGGCTGACATTATCATCCATACAACCATACAAGGCACTGTCGATTGGAAAGTTGTTATACCTCACTGAACCCACTTTGTAGCAGCCATGTAGCTGCCACGCTAGAGAAGATGTCATGGGGGGTCGTCCAAACACTTTAAGCAGATGAGCCTTGAGTTTGAGTAAATGAGTATAGAGCTTACCATAGTTTGCGTTAGTGTTGTCTAGGACATAAAACGCTTGTTCCTCTCCCCAGAAAAGAATTGGCGACCCCGGCATTAGTAACGAGACAATATAAAGACCGAGAACTTCTTTTTCGGTCCCGTTCTGTATTGACGGCCAACGAAAAACATCTTGATTTGACACCCCATAAAGGTGTCTAGGGTCAAATTTGCGTATATTCGTGTTGACCATGTCATTTGTTTGCACTAAGCCATTCCATAAATCTACGAAATTTGTAGGCGGATCTCCCTCAGCCTCAAAAGTACCATCCATTCTGTCCTATAAGTCAGCCTTAAGAAATTACAGTACAGTGGAATAACTTACCCGAGAAATCGAGTAAGTGACCTGTATAACGAATAGTGAAAAGCAGCAGAGTCCAGAGCGACTTTCTCCGCTGATCTTATGTGGAGATCAGGGGCTGACGAGTTGGTTATGGCCACAACCTCCGTCATGTTGTTGTTGGTTTGATTTATTTGTTGACCGCGACCGACGTAAAGAGCACCAAAAGAATTTCCTGATACAATTTCTCCCGGGATGTAGAAATTGGTCTTGTTGAAACGCCGTGCACATTGACGAATTGAGTCTGACCAATCTGCTTGTGCATCAAGCGTCACCTGGATAGCCTTGTCGATGCGAAAACCGTCTATGTCTAGCATTGCTATTGTAATACATGAAAAAAGCTTCAGCTTCTGTAAAACGTCTGGTCTCCATTCTCGAAGACGATCCTGTACATAAGCGAATTTCGTAATCTGTCGTTCCCATTCGTCATAGTTCCCAAATGATGCCACTTCGCCATACTGTTTTTTCAGGTTAGTTCTGTATTTCATCGATAAATGACATGAAAAATATATGTGTAGCTCTCACCTGATCGAATTCACTGTTGCGACATCCCTTGACTAAGGTAGTTTCAATTAAGCCACGGCCGTAATCGTCCCAGAACCGAGGGTACTCCCATTCACACTCCTCAAGCCATTCGTTGCTAGGCTGAAAATCGTGATAACGACGGGATGTTTTCCATATGTAGTTATATTCCCAAGGGTTAAGCGGCGCGGAGGTGTTCTCAAATCCCTCAAAGCCTATAAGATCCCCCATGCTACAAAAGTCAGTTACCTGCTTGTTAACTTCGTAACTCATGTGACACACGTACGTTGACATTGTATTTTCAAGTATTACATAAATCCCCCTTCTATGTGCTTCGGAGATCATTGTCCGCCAGTCGTTTATCGTTCCAAAATGATGGTCCAGCAATGTAAGATCAAGAGGAGAGTAACCATCAGCAGCCCAGGGCTGGTTTATATGCGGCATACCTGCCAAATACAAAGCCTTACACTCCATTAGCATGATTTGTTTGGTCAAAGGAGCAAGACAGTAATAATACTTTTATACCCATTCCTTGTAAATAATCAAAACTATCAACCAGGCCTAGGACATCGCCCCCATTTCTGAACTGGTTTGACAGAATGTCGTGTTCCCATTGCGTCCCATTTGCATCATCATTTGAAGGATCTCCATTTACAAATCTGTCGAGAAAAACAGTGTAAAAAGGCATACGCCAATTATCCGGAGAGGGTTGAAATTCGTGATCTCGCCATTGCCCCCAGTAGTCGAGGGGACTAGTAGCTGTCTGATTTTCGTTTAGGTTGAAGAGAATCTGGCTTGGGGTATATGGTAAAGCGGTATTCAAATGAAGCCCATAGAATAACCAAGTCCATTTGAGTAGTTGACTGGACCGTTTCATACCGGGAACAAAGCTCTTCCTCCCCCATAAGGAACGAGAATCTTAGTAGGAAAACACCCTATTTATTGTGGAAATCAATGTTAGAATAATCAAATACAATCATATGCTGAAACACCTCAGAACGAACACATACCTTAGAGGATGTGGGTATTCTTCCACACGTTGACGATATCGTCTTCTTTTAAACTTTAACCCTCACGGTAATCCCGAGAATTTTACGCGAGATCTCTAGAAAAGAAAGAATTTTGTGATGGTGGTGGCACTCGGACTGTCTTTCCGCAAAGGAAAAAGACAGTTTGCTCTTTTTAAGGCTTGTTGCGTCCGGAGGGTAGGAAGTTTTCCGATAACCTCGTGCATGGAATAAAAGGGGCCTGTCACAAATAACTCTTTCAGCATACAGATTCAATAGAAGTGCTGCTATGAATCTCTGCCCTTGATGTTACTTGACTATCCCCCTAAAATCACAATAACAAAATGCACGTTGTCCAGTAGGGCGCCACCCATCGGGGTTTGCAGCCGATAACGAAATCATGAATGGATCCTCTTGATATTGCAAGTGTTGTGGACTCGATACCGATGGAAAACTGTGGTATAATGGTGACATGTTGGGTGCTGATACGGAGCCTTGGTGATATCAGCGAATAAGCTCTGTGCAACATTTGAATTCCGTAGTTCCTTCGGAGGAGCTTGAGCTTGGAGAGACCAGTTGTGTTCGCATTGGAAAATTTCATTGATGCGTGTGGTTCCTACATACCTAGGTAAGAGTCAACCAAGCCGCTGGAACCAGGGTGTTGTACATATATGCGGCAATAATTGAATCATATGCGGTGTTCCATGCAAGTTTGTTAGAGTGCCTGGGATTTGTCCCGAGTAAATAACGTCGAATAATGAGCTGCAGTCTTTGATTTCTAACATCGATTGATGTATTTGTCACCAGCTTGACAGAAGAAGCCGAGTAGATTTGTTCAAGGTGAAAGTGACACCGATGGAAAGACTGCCAGGCCCTGCTCCTTGGTGTCACCACGTGTGTTTTTGCTACTCCTTTTTCTCTCTCTCTTGATATTCTCATTGCATCCATATCTTTATTTCCGATACTGATTCAATCTGCCAATAGTCCGTGTCTAACAGGCAATCACGACATTTCCAAACAGGAATAAACCCATAGATGGGAACTAGTTGATGCGCCACCGAGAATCATTCCAGCCTTCGGTTCTCCTTTCTTCAGTTCCATGGGTGTTGTGATGGAGGTGTCAGGGGTAAATACACATTATTGGTCAAAATTATTGGACTGAAGGACTTTCCACAGGTCGTCCGCGTAAACTGCTGCCGTTACCATGCATGGGCCGGAGCTCCCCTCTTCTAATAACGGCCATTTCTCCCTCATGTCAAGATCACAAACGTGTCCCGATCTTCGTGATTGAATATTTCCTTCGAATAGGTCCGTTAATGGAAAATTTATCTGCGAGGGAAACAAGATAACAAAAGAAAGGAGTCATTCGATTCTGAATTTCACCGAACAGGAGAAATGGTTGGCTCGGAATAGTCACGATTTTGGGAAAGTTCTCAACTCAAATTCTGGACACGGTGTCGGTGGCGTTTTGTTCTATATGGTCGTTTTGTAAATGGCTGGATCGAGTTAAGGAATATCTTTCCAGGAAGCAGGCAGTTGGAAAAATAAAGCAATGTCCGACTGGCCCGGCTTGTTTTGGGCTGGGCTTCGTGTCAATGACATGCAAATGAGAATATTACGAATTGAGCTGTAATTACAACTATTGAAGTTACTGTTGTCTCCATTGGTGCTATTTGCAATATCGGCTTCGAATTTTTCTAATTTCACATCACTGCAGTTTACCTGCACAAATTAGAAAAGATTCCAGCTTGTGCATTGAAAAAGAAAATAAATGAGGAAAATTTGAAATATGACCAGACTTTCCGAGCTGCACTATCAGTCTCATACTAGTAGTTAAATAAACCGATAAAGACTAGAGAGGAAAGCTGATATATGCACCCTACATTGATACACCAAATACATTGAATTCGAGATCGTATGTCCTCCATTCAGGAGATATGGTCAAGCACGGCGAATTAGATCTTAACACAATGTAAGACTAATTGCATTTTTCACATCATGACGGCATCGTGACACCAGAAAAGACGAAGATCCAGGCTGTTATTGTTCATATTTTAGATTGTCTAGAGAGCTGGTCTTATTTCGAGCTTTTGCTTTGCGCTCTGCTGTGAGGGAAATGAAATTGCATCCTAAGGATTTCATGGCATGGATAGTTTTCTATTTTGTGTGTATTATTACAGTATGTCTTATCGATGATGCATATCCCAAGGTTGTTTATTTTCACCATGTCTCCTGTTTGTACCTTCCTATTTTCTCCATAGTTGTGAGATATTGTTCCGCCTGTTCACGATTATAGCCTTCTGTATTGGATGGTTTAACCTTCTCAAAGCAATCAACCAGAGCTTCCCTGACCGTCTCTGGCATTCGTCCTGATGAGCCACAAATAAAAACAGAACCGTGTTCTTGGTGTAGTAACTTAAAGAATAGGTCGGTGTTTTGACGTATTCGATCTTGAACATATATCTTCTCCTCCTGGTCACGAGAGAAGGCTGTCAGCACTTGTAGGTGCACTAACCCTTCTTCTTCGAAATGTTCCCATTCGTCTTCAAAAAAGAAATCGGCAGTGCGGTTACGCCCGCCAAAAACGAGTACCGTAGTTCCCACAGTAAGAGGTGAAGAATTATTTTCCTTTCCCAGAGATGCTTTGACAAGGGCAGCTTTTTCCCATATCATTGCTCTAAGTGGTGCTAGACCAGTTCCTGGTCCAATTAGCACCGAAGGGCCCGTAAGCTGTTCCAATGTCGGGTTCAGACCACCACGTTGCAGATGAATTTTGAGCGTGCTCCCCGGCTTTAGAACTGATAGATAGCGGGTACAAACACCCTGCCTAATCTTTTTGATGACAGTGCGATACTTAACGATTGCAACTAGAAGCTCAAACTTGGTTCCATCTTTTCCGCTCGGCAATCGTTTGAGATCTCCTCCACTAGCAATGCTAAACTGTCGGCCTCGAAGAACAGGTAAAACAGCTGCGGCATGTTGCCAAGGTACTTTAACAGAATCGAATTCTTGCAAGACCTCTAAAATACTCCTCCGTGGTCGTGTCGTGTAGTCCCACAGCTCATCAATAAATTCTGGGTTCGTAAATTCTAGAAGACGCTCTTTTTGCATTTCATCAGTGGAATAGTGTGCAATATTGGCAAAGAAGGAACGTCGCGGAATAGCTCGAATATCTAGGTATTCAGTCAAGAGAAGACGAAGTGTCAGCGGCGACAAAATTGTTTCCCCAGCGGTAAGGTATGGAATGGGAGGAGGAGGCAGTTCATCCAGTGGTATCTTTCGCAGACCCAAACCAGGAACAAATGAAACAGGCCTGTCCGCAACATCGCTCCACTTCATCATTTCAAGGAGCATATCGACATCTACAGAGAAATTCTTCGGTGTAATTGATATCATATCGCCAGGTGAGTAAGATATCATGTCTGGAACAGTCAGACATATGTGTCGTACGTCTTGCCAGTGATTGCCGGGAGTGACGCGTTTGTTTTGAGTTAAAGTAGCTGTTAGTGTGTCTGGGATAGGTCTGGAGTCTAGTTCAAAGCGAGATAGATGTGGCTCGCTACTCTCAGATAAAGATGCATTTAACGGTGGCACAACCTCGGTCGTATCTTCGACGGGGGCCCCGTCTGATTCTTCTAGGATCCATTTGGGTGGAAGTTGAACATCGTCCGGAATAGGCTGTAATCCAGCCGGAAGGGGATATTCCACGAGTAGATGATTGCGTAACTCGGTTGCCCATGGAAGAAACGTACCCTCAAGTCTACTCAAAGTTATGATAACGATCCTCAGGATTCGACTCCAAGAAACTTACCCTTCCGGATGTTGCTGATCAGCCTCTCCACACAGATATATTTCATTTGCACCTAGCTGAGACAGCCGCTTGCGAAGCTTGCGCGACGCCCAGTTGAATCTGTATTGATACAAGTTAGTTTGGTCTTGTGAGCGCTTGATGAGAGACGATCGTATTTACTTTGGATATGAGCTGTCCCCAAGCCCAAATTGAACATAGTTAACCCCGTTGAGGAACGTTGCAGGCAATCTTTTCCGCAGCAGCGATTTCCAAAAAGCACGTCCATTCAGCGGGAAGTCGCCCTGGCCAGTAGTTGAGATCACGAAGATGACTAGTGAGTACGAAGATAATGATTCCTGGGAAGCCAGTCAGCAGTTGATTATTCTATTCAACTAGAAGCAGTACTCACGGCTTTGACACTATCGCATTCTCCAACATGTGTCACAAAGTGCAGACGTTCTGCGGTACGACCGAGTTCTTCAGCTACCTCTTGTGCGTTCCCCGTCTCAGAGCCATATAGTACGAGAGCCGTTCTGGATTTGTCGGTCTCCACACTCATTCTTTGATAAATCAGTTTTGCCCCTCTGTCTGTATATTTGAATATCGTTTATTTTGGGCTTGACATCGGGGCTGGGTCTACCATATATCAATCGATGGCGGGGCCGCTATATCGATACCCGGACCGGTGTCGGAGGAGGATTTTCTAATCGCGCTCCAGTTGATCCGAGCCCAGGATATCTCCCCCAAAATGGCATGCATCAGTCATAAGCAAGTGGAAATGTGCAAATGATGTCATATCTGCCTGATATCCATTTATTGGAGATTTTAATGCATATCCTTAAAATCCAATAGTCGCGGCTCTGGGGATATAGGCTTCGTCGAAACCTGTCCGCTTTGGGCAATGATAATCACGATCTGAAGCCTACAACACCAATAACGCAAATATAGCAGGAAGATGGTAAAATATTTCTCTTTCTAATGACCTAATCACTCTGAAAAAGCTATGAAGAGACAGAAGGTATTCATAGCTATCTAACCTTCCGGCATGTAATCCGCGTCTGATCAAGGTCAACCCATGCGACCGCCAATCATTCATTGATTGTGTAAATTCTTATGGCGCCGTAGATGCGAACGTGTTTGGGTATCCTAGTTATAATGCATAGATAAACATAGTGTCTGTGCTAGTAAAAGTCATCATCTCCCCCTCCCCCTCCTCCACCGCCATCGCCAAATCCATCCCCATCGCCCTCATCGTCCCCAGCATCGAAGTACTGTTCTGCATTATAATCGCCACCCATATCGTCATCATCTTCTGAGAAGTCGTCGTCTCGTAATTCGTCATCCTCTTCTTCGTTCTCCTTATCTTCCTCGTCATCGACACTTTTATCGTCTTGTTCATCTACATCGTCATTATCGCCCTTTTGCTGCTTAGACGGCCCTTCCTCCACGTTGTCTTCTTCATCTTCTTCGTCGTCTTCAAATTGAGCTCGCATTTTAGAAACACTTGCCATTGCAAACCCAGTATGTGACTGGTCTGGTTTGTAATTTGGACGGACAATACGCCATAACTCGCGAGGGAAGAAGTTCACGACTTGTTTTGAAACGGGATACATTAGTCCTTTCTTCCAACTCCAAAAAAAGCGAAATGGAGAAGAAAACTCACTATATTCTCGGCCGGCGATTTTAGGTATCGTCCTCTTCCTTTTTTGATATCGTGAACTGTATGACTGCATACCATGAAATGGGTCGAACTGAGCTCTCTCTTTCGTGCCTTGTTTTGCCGAAGTACTGGCTGCATTGACAACGGCATAATAAGGCCCATTATGAAAGTGCTCCCTCAACGTCCGGTAACGTTCCACTTCTTTTTTTTCTCGGCCTTGCAATTTCTCTACTTGAGGAACCTCGTATGCCTTATCGAAATGTCAGTTTCACGTGACGCGATGGTTTTGTATGAGGCAACCAAAAATTCTCCAAGTCAGACATCATGAACGTACAGGAAATAGAGGCGTCGGAGCTGTTTCGGGTAGTTCGCCTGGCACCTTTTGCCAGTTAAATTCCGAGCCTGGCGGTAAAGGTTTCCTGCCACCCTTTGCAGCGGCGCGTGACATTGTGATTGATGATGGTGGCAGTGAACTGGATGCGATCGGTAGGGAATGGAGAACAGCAGCTAGTAATGAATCCTCATATGCCTGACATTCTCGACGTAATATGTTTTTGAGGAAAGTCGAAGGAGCAAAATAGTTGGCGCCAGGAAAATGCCAAATTTCAACAGAAGTGTATGTTTTATGGAGTCATATTCGTTCAAAGTCCAGGAGGGTGATGCTCTTTTGTACTTGGCAATGTTAGATGAGTCGGCGAAAAATATTATGATGCTCACTTTCACCGCCCTGGCTCTACAGGTAATGCGGCATTTAGGGCTAGACCCTTTTAGGCATTAGGCAACTAGAGTAGATATAACTTGAAGTTTTTACAGTTTCTGGTCCACTGAATAGAAATATGTTCATTTCCAATTATTACGTGAAACAGACTAGGTTGCGTCGCTCCCTATCGAATTGAGTGTGTTGCTATGTCTATAAGTCCAAGGCCTCAACGCGGCTACCAACCTGTACCACGGGGCCTTGGGGACCATCTCTAACACGCTGCTCCAGGGTCTTGATAATATCTTCAAACCCGTCCACTTGATCAGAAGATCTTTTAAGAGCGTTATAAAAGTCTACCAGTACATCATACTTAGCCGTCGCCATTCTCCATACCGCACTGTCCACATCTCCCACCCCGCCAGCAACAAAATTGCTATATGAAAGTGGTGGCTTGAAAAGGTAAGGAAGAACGGTTGTCAACGCAGGAGGTGTCAGTATAGCCCATGGCCCAGAAGTTGGGAGTTTTCCAGGGCCATTTGTGGACAGCTCATCTTCAGAAGGGAGCTTGAATGCTGACGTATCTGGAACTTGATGGGCCTTATCTGCTGATAAAACGTCCCAGTTCGCGGTAACAATTCCTCGTATCAATGCGATAGCGGAAAGTGCCACATCCTTCATAGAGACAATATCTGCAGAAGCAGTGATATCTTTCCACAAACTAGCATGCTCATTGAGATATGCGAAATAAAGGGTACGTGCTGAAACTGCCTCTCTGTACATATCTGTCGAAGCTTCACCCAGCACAGTAGCAGAGCTCTTTAGTGGCCCATGGAAAACTTTTGTCAATGTATTAAAGCAGTCCTTATTTGGAGGATTAGATGGAATGGCTTGTAGAGGATTCAATGACCTCTGGCTGGCCTCAACGAGCATAACTCGGGGCAAAGAGGCCAAGATCGACAGATCGCCTATCGGAACTTGTCCATGTGCCCATTGTGCGGACGGAATAGAGAACGACCGATGAATCCTGGATAATATGCTGTCAAGAACTTCACGTGGATTTTGTAGTAGATGATTAGGGTAGAGTTGTGAATATTGTGCCACATAAGCCGTGATCGGACTATCTAGGAACGTGATGTCAATGGGGTCCACCTGTGAAGGGTCAAGGTAGAATTTGAGAATTTTCTGATGTAATTTTTGCTCCACCAAAAAGTCGAGGGCACGAGAGGAGAACGGAGAAATCGGGTGAGCGGGCCTGGATATGTCTAGACCCGGCGCTTCAATTTCTATTAGATCTCGAAGAAAGTTCAGGAGTGTCATATGCATCAAGACATCGCTGGTGTCGATCATTTGACAAACGGCGAAATGTAACAAGCTGGAGCTTCCATATTTGGACTCAATTTCAGGGGCATGGGAAGTCGAGATGGCATCCCAGCGGAGCGTACCGGCTTTCACGATGAATTCGAGAAGCCGGCCTTGCGCAACAGATTTTTCTCGTTTCGATAGCGTCCTTTCTTGTCTAGCATCATAGAGACTGCATATAGTGAAAAAAAGACCATAGATGCTCTTATCACTGAATAGCCTTCTCCAAAGCAGGCCTTGCCCACCAGCAGTTCTCTGAAGAAAACCTTCGCCAGTCTCATTCCCGATATGATCCACCTCCAATAACGACCACAAAACGTCGAATGCAGCTTGAGCGACCTCTGTTGTCGAAGTAGACAGCCACAACTCAACCAAATTTGCCATCAACTCTGAATTTCCCGCTACTATGGCTGCATCACTAGGAGAGCTGTTGGCTTTCTCAAGGAGGGATAATGCGAGCATATTAATTGGTGGCGATGGTGCTTGAATGCCAGCAAGTAAATTAACAGGCGGGTCGATAGCTTGAAGATCGGAGAACGTGAGGAATGCTGTGGCTTTAATCCCAAGAGACGTCAGCGGAGTAGGATCATGCTGCAGCACAGGAAGCACTTGGGAGATCTGTGCTATGAGCGACGCTGGTACAACCGTATCTGTATTCCGGGTAATTTCGAGCTTCAGCTTTTCTATCGAAGGCACATCAATGGCTGTTGACGGATCAGCAAGGATGGCATCTAGATTCTCCTTTACCGCATAGTAGGGCGATGGAGTAGTAGCCATGGTTTGCGTTAACTCGATAACGAGCGAGCAAAAGTAAAGATAAAACAAAGCCAGCAGCAAGTTGACAGAAGCGCGAGAAAAGAAGCTAATTGCATATGGAGGCTGCATCAGCTTGGGAATGCGGGGAGCTTTGGTGCAAACGAAGCAAACATAGCCAAAGCGGGACCGCCTTCTCCGCATTGTGTATGTATTACTCCCAGATCATTTTCTGCAAAACTCTACGGTCCTTCACTTGGGCTCATTTCTGATCTATATGTATCCTGGTTGTGAATAGGATATAGACCATCATGGCTGATAGCCAGGCGAACCCGTTGATCTCAACCAAACCCTCCGACTCGGGCCTACATGTTGTTCTCCATCCTCTAATCCCTCTCACTATCTCTGATTACGCCACAAGACATGCCGCCCGACAGCAACGAGGCCCTATTGTGGGTGCATTACTAGGTCAACAACAGGGAAGACAAGTCAGCTTGGAGTATGCATTTGAATGCCATACAACGAAGGGCCATAACGATGAGACTCTCCTTCACTCCGCCTGGTTTGCTGATAGATTACAACAATGTGCGATAAGCCGAATTCCATCCTGACATTTACGGGACTCTAATAATTTCTCTAATCTCCAAACAGTCAAGGATGTCCACAAATCTCCAGCGCTTGACTTACTTGGATGGTTCACTATCACCCCTCCGACTGGCCCCTCTCCGTCTCAGCTCGGCATTCATCGACAACTGCTCCGTGAATACAACGAATCTGCCGTTCTCCTCGCATTTCATCCGTCCCAAATAAACCAAACGTCGGGGAACGGGGCCAAGCTGCCTTTGACAATTTATGAGAGTATCTTCGAAGGAGAAAATATTGTTGACGCAGATCGGGCGATGCAGTTGGATGGTGAAGACCATGGCGTACATATCCGCTTCCGCGAGCTTCCATACTCAATAGAGACTGGAGATGCTGAGATGATTAGTGTCGACTTCGTGGCTCGGGGTGGTGGAAATGCTATGGCCATTAAAGCTCATGAAGAATCGGCAAAGGCTGCTTCTGAAGAAGCACTCACAAAGATTAACACCAAGAAAACAGGAATAGAAATCGGTGGTGAACTGGAAGACGATGATTCGACTGCATTGTCTCTAGAGGATGAAGACCGTAGGTTTCCAGTGTCAATTATGATTTGAAGATTGTTGTCTAACCGGGTCTTCATGTGCAGTAATCGCTAACTTCACAACCCGCCTTAATGCCGTTAAAACACTCGGATCTCGCATACATCTAATCAAATCCTTTTTAGAGAACCATCGCTCATCGTCATTAGAGGATAATATCAACCTAGAAAACAACAGACAAACATCTGAAAGCCTAACATATTCCTATCCAATTCTTCGCAACATCTCCTCTCTAATTTCGGACCTCTCGCTCCTAACACCGCAGGATGCGAAATCATTCGCAGTGGAGAGTCTAGCACAAGAGAATGATGTTGCGCTGGTGACACTTCTTGGAGAATTGGGTAATAATGTCAAACACATACGTGAGTTGGGCAAGAAATTGTCAATAGTGGAGAATGCGAAGCAGAATGTAGCGACTGGGGGACGCAAAGCTCATTTGGCTTTACACTCTAGGCTTGACGAGGAGCGTGACAGTATGTTTGGCAACATTGGCTCCAGTGGGCTGGTTTGACAATATCCATAGTAGTATTCTCAATAGTCTCAAAAATCCCATAGATGATAATACTTTTAGCTAGTCAAATCCATCAAATACGCTTTTATAGCGTTATGCTGCATGCTTATGACTACACTTATATGGCAAAAGTCTGCATATAGTATTAAGGTCCTCTGCTTTTAGTCTGCATTTATACTAATTTAAGTCAGATTAAAAACAGACTTGGGATCCCACGTATACACAATGTGAAGAATTTCAAATACCATCAATATTGATATGGGAGGGCTCCTATACTCAATTCAATTTTGTGGTGCTATATTCAACATTTGAAACTTCTGTAATGAGTCCGGTGTATCAGTTAATATGTATGATTGCAATCTATTAGAGTACACGATAAACTAAGCTAGCATACTATAGCCACGTAGGACATGAGAAAAGTTTCAATGTGAGCTACTCTGTGAACGATTGACGATGACCAATTTCTATATTGATGGCTTGGTGGTAAATTTGGTATGCCGAGCCTTTCCATTTGACAAATAGAACTCTAACTCCTAAAAAACAAGACAAAACACCAAGAATTAAAAAAAAAAAACAAATCAACTGATCTCAAAAAGTACGCGTGGGATATCACGAGAACCAAAAAGGAAAATATAAGAAAAATAAAAGATCTAGGAAATCCCATTGATCACATGCAAAGAGGTAGACCAGTCACCCCTGATAAATAGCAAAATAAATAATTACACGAGCTGGCATGGTCATCGCTGCTAGCTATAGAAGAGAAGAAATGTCGTTGTCGTCGTATCGGCTTGGTGTCGTAGCCAGAGAGGACACGGGTGGGTTTTGAGTCAGCAACATTCACTTTTCGGGGCGCTCAGGTTCATTATGCTTTAAATATTACACATAGCGTATCATTCAAGACGTAGACATTTGCTAAGGGCCGTGTGATGGATTGTACGGCTTGTAGTGCTGAGGAGGGGAGATTGGTCGGGGTTCAGCTGCTGATAGGTCGGTCGATGATTGCGTGTCGTTATATTGTTGGCCGTAGTATCGCCCGGAATGAGACTCTTCATCATAGTAGCCATGCACCACTCCAACGTCGCTATGTGCTGGATAGTATGAGGTTGGGTTAGACTGAGCATGCGATAGCAGTTCCTCGCCTTCTTCTCCAGACGGTCCATAACGAGCACCTGGAAGTTGGATATCCCCAGGCTGTGCACCTCCATAAGCTGTAACATTAGGACCTGGCATACTTGTTTGTGGAATAGGCCCGCTTGAAGTTTTGAGTGAAAATGATGTTCCTTCCTGGTCCCTGTAACTGGAGTCCAGTGTACGCTTCTTGTAGCCAACGAAAAGCCAGCGGAAGCCCCGTCCAACGGCTTTCACCAAATCCCATGGGTTGAATGCCTCGGCAAACGCTCTGATGCCCAAATGTCCGCCATGATAATCGACTCTCCCGTTGACGTATTGAGGATTATCGGAAGACTGCTGGGTTTTCAATCGATAAGGCTGCCATGCAAACGCCCAGAAATGTAGAATCGAAAAGATAGACATTTCGATACAGATAAGCAGATTCGGAATGCCGATTTTGATATCTTGATTTCCCACCTTTTCGCCGGGTTTCATAGCCCCAGAAGAGGTCAGGAAGGAAATAACAGTCTAGGATTACATTAGTCAAATTAATTCGACGATGGGCATTAAAGAAACGTACGGTCTGCCAAAAAGACAGGAAGATGACAAGCTTGATCGCAAGAATTTTCAAAAATGGTGAGTATTGGGCCACATCAGTGCGAATCTGGATATAAAACTGAATCAAGCAATACATGGCAATAGAGACGGCGATGGACTCAATAACTAAAGTCTGAACAACACTGAGTCAGTCATAGGTAAGGTGAATCATAGACAGATACTAACCCAAACATGTGAAAATGCAGGGCTCAGAGAAGCTTCGCAGTATTTGCCAAATGCCTCGGTGACCACGGCCACCACAGTCATAGAGACGCGGATGAAGCAGTACTGGAAAATCCCAATCCAAATCACCTAGATTTCCCACATTAATCCTAGCACAACATTGCCGAGAGTACAAGTCGAGACTCACATTGAACCACGTCAGACCGCTTCGCGGCGTTCTCCAGCACCCACGATCCCCTCCGCAGCATTTAGCGAACCAGTTGAGTGGCCAGACCCAAGGCAACGGTCGGATTCCACGGAAGTAATCCTTTTGACTGTGTAAATCGGGAGCGAGGTAATGGCACAGCAACGTGAAAAAGGCGGAGATGGCAAAAGCTTCGTAGCATGTTCCGAGAACTGTGAAGTATACGGATTTGCGATAGTACAAAAAGCACAAGAACGAGACAACAGAATAGACCGGAACCATGAACAAAATTCGAATGATACTGATAATGGTGTATTTATTAGTGTTTAATGAAGTCGGCAGTGCTTGTGTGACGGAGTATGACATACTGGCGTTGTTCCCGGGGCTTGCTGTAATGCAAAGCATGGGCGAACATAAGAAATACGGAGCAACATGTTGCGACGAGGCCAAAGGCACCACAGAGGATCAAGCCCAAGTGATGGAAGGTCATCCCATTATTCCACAGTGGGATCTCCGATACTAAAGCAGGACAAATCGTCAGCGACCAGGACGATCGGGGGACACTATGATCGATATGTTTCCGTACTCATGTCATCTTCCAGGGTCGTGTTGCATGTTGTCCATGATATATTGGATATCGATAGTCGCCGTTCAAGAAAAAGCATGATTGCATGCAGGGTGCTCTAAGTCGGATGGTGCAAAAAAGATCTGAGAGATCGCAGGATAAAGAGAGGAACCTAAAAGCCACCGGGGGGTCTGCTGTAATACTAAAATAAAATGGCCGCAGCTGAAAGAGGTGCCTGAAGCCAAGCCACGGACTGGGGCGCTAGTCGCAGTGGGGACAAGGCTTCCAATAACAGCGACGCGTCTTACTTTATCTGCGCCGACGATGCCGATATGACGATGTAGCTGCGGTTCCACGAGGGAGGCGTTGAAATGCGAGGACGGAGGTGCGAAGTTCGTGATATACGGACGTTACAGGTGACAGATATGCTGGCGACCACGTAAGACATGCTGCAAGAAGCCGATGACCAACGGCAGGGGCCACCAGAGCGGGGCCAGTACTCAGTAATATTTATAGCCCTGACAGGATTGCTGTGACTGGCCCAGATTCTCACTAAGCACTGCCACCATCCACAGTCTAATAATGCGCCATTCACATACCCTGGCACTCTGGCCCTGTCTGTGGCTGACGATAATCTGTGTACTAACACGAAGGTTCCTTTCAATGGGAATGGGAAGAAAGAGTGCTTTACAAGGGTATCTGAACAAAGCAAGGCATGTCAATCTACTGTCATGAGTGAATTTCACTTGCTACGACACATGATTATTCTGATAATCTGATTGTTGTAGTTCTACAGAGCATGAATGCCCTTTCTGATTGGAAGAAAATTTACCCCATGCTGTACTAGCCGCATACAGTTAGACTATATAAACATATATACACTAGCCTGTAGTGGACTAGCGCAATTGCGGTCTTGGCTTACCTATCACTCCTTCCTTGAAAAAGCTAGGAGCGTCGCGGCGATATGATTGTTATTGCACAAGCGTTGATACTTCACAATCGCCCATGGTCTGCCTTGCTAGTCTGTCGCGTTGACCTTATTACCTCCTCATCCCCACCGCAAGTAATGCTCAACTGCATGCAATCAGCATCGCGTCGCCATGACTGATTATAGCAAGTGGAAAGTCACCGAGCTCAAAGCGGAACTAAAGCGTCGCGGCGTGCCGCAAACTGGGTTGAAGCTGAAGCAAGACATTGTTGACAAACTTACCCAGTTAGATTCAGAGCTTCAGGAAGAGCCTACTTCACAAGAGAATGTCCCCGAGCCATCTACCGACGAGCGAAAAAATGAGGAGGCAAAAGAGAAAACGCCGCAAGTGGATGAAACGGCTGGATCGCAGCAATCCGTAACCGAGTCGCTTCATACAGAGAAGGAACTTAGTCCTCCAAAGGTTGATCAGGACCAAGTCGCCTTGGATACTCAACCTGTGGCTAATCCCGACAATGCTGCCCGAGATGGAAATCAAGTTGATAAAGTTGACGAGCCATCGCCGATTGAGCACACACCGACACGTCCAACAGAGCCTACTTTTGCTGCGAAGGAGATCGAAGCAGATAACTCACAACAAATAGTGGACGTTGAAAATAAAGAAAAGGACGAAGCAAGGATACTCGAAGTCCCTGCTGAAGCTCCAGTGACTACAGATCCGTCTGTGTCAGCTCCTTCAGAAGCAGAGTCAGAAATGCGCAAACGCAAACGCCGGAGCCAAAGTCCACCTCCTTCGGCCGACACTATCAAAAAACCAAAAGTGGACAATAGGACCCCTCAAGTTATTCTGCAGGAAGATGTGGTTCCTGAACGTCGGGATGAACAGGGTGATCAGCTACCTGTCACCAGACCTGAAGCTTCAGAACAAGCACAAATCGAGGTGGAGACATTTGATAAGAAAGACCAATACCCAGAAAGACTGTCCCAGTCAATAACAAGCGAAAGGATCAACGCTCCACTTGAACGTCCGGACCATAGATTCAAAGACTTAGTCTCTGATAAAAAAAAGAGAAAGCGCACCCCATCCCCGGAGCAACTTGCGCCAGAAGATGAGGCCCCGGTAGAAGCTGCGCTTCATGCCGCTACGTCTGCCGTGTATATACGAGATTTGATGAGACCATTACAACCGACTAGCCTCAAAAACCATCTAATATCTCTTGCTTCTTCACCAGAGCATGGTAGTGACGCCAATGTATTACTTGAATTTTTTCTCGATCCAATAAAGACACATTGCTTTGCTCTCTTCAGAAGCGTGTCTGCTGCATCGAAAGTGAGATCCAGAATCCATGGTGCAGTGTGGCCCAACGAGCGTGACCGCAAGCCTCTGTGGGCAGATTTCATACCGGAGGACAAGTTTAGCGAGTGGGTCAAGACTGAGCAAGATTTGGCATCTCAGAGCCGAGGTAGCAGTACACGGTGGGAGGTTGTCTACGAAAGGACTGATAACGGGTTCGAGGCTTTTCTACAAGAATCCCGTGGCACCTCTTCCGCGCCTGCACCGAAAACTACCGCTCCTCGCCAGAGTCATGACCTGGGATCGAAGCGAGAGGCTCTACCTTCAGCACCTCAATCTCAACAACAGGCTGGCGAAGGCTTCAAAGCGCTGGACGAACGTTTCTTGTCAACACACACTAAGCCAAAAATATACTATCTTCCAGTATCTCAGGATATTTTGGAAAGGCGCCTGAATCAATTCGCCAAGATCTCACGCAGGGGCTCTCAACAGCACCATCAACCTGGTGGTGATGACATGCGGCGCATAACTTTTGAAGATGTTGATGTCTTTGTCGACGGCGGCCCAGAGTATAGCGGAGCTCGTAATCGTGGTGGACGACGTCCTGGTCGTGGCTCTTGGAGAGGCCGGGCACGTTGAACTAAATTTACTTGGACATTGCACTATCAACCTGATATACGATACTCTATTGTAATAATTTTCAATCTTGCTTCTGTCACTTGAAAGAGTTTTGCACATGGCAAGGTGCTTGTCTCGTTGGAGTTGGTCTCTGGGTTAGGGTTGGGAAATGGGCTAAAAGCAGGCTTTAGGAGTTTATTTACGCGTAATTTGATATCAATATGTATTCTCGTTGTTCTTGATGTTACAGTACTTGTGGCCTGAGTATTTAGTTCTTAGTCGCAGTTGTGGTCTAGTCGTCTGACGTCATATGATTTGGCCACCTCAGGCTATTAAAATCAATATGGAAGTTCTTACCCTTGGATTCTATTCTTTTTTGGACGATCTATCAAGTATAAAAATAAGTGCACTCCAAGAGTACGGTATATAAGCGAATTAATGGTGTCTCGGAGGGCAGTGCTACTTACGTTAGAAGGCACTATGTTGATGCCCAGCCCCACCAACCTCTGTCTTTACTCGCTCGATCATGATGGTCACCAACAACCTTACTAATGCGATATGAGGACTGATTTCAAAGCAAACGTCATACATACTTAGAAGCTCTCTGGTTAGCAAATGAGATTACCCATTTGGCGTCAGTCTTGTTACTATTCTTCTCATCTCCTACAACGATCCTTTTCTTCCAACTCTTGTCCTAAACAAAACGTATTGTCCGCAATGAAGGCTGTGGTCTACAAAAACCCTAAGCAGGCAACCTTGGTTTCAGACCGGCCTCTCCCCAAACTCCGAGATGGTTACATCCTGGTGAAAACAGAAACTGTCGCTCTCAACCCTACTGACTGGAAAGGTATTCACTCTGGCGGCGCTAAAGAAGGCTCTGTTATCGGGGTTGATTACGCCGGCGTCGTTGAAGATATTGGCCCAAATGTGTCCAAACCATTCCAAAAGGGCGACAAGGTAGCTGGCTTTGTACATGGTTGCAATGCGAGTAACCTGGAAGATGGTGCTTTTGCGGAATATATTGTTGCCAAAGCGAACTTGTCTATCAAGATCCCAGATAGCCTGACATTTGAGCAAGCTGCAACACTAGGCTGTGGTGTTACGACAGTGGGCCAGGGATTGTACGAGAAAGACTACGGACTGGGACTTGCCTTGCCCTCCAAACCAATCAAGGAACCCGAAGTTTTGCTTGTCTACGGTGGGAGCACGGCAACAGGAACATTGGGGATCCAATTTGCCAAAGCGTACGTCCCTCTAGTTGATATTTGCAATACCCTGCAATTTTCAAAGATGCTGAATCCATTAGTTCCGGATATTCTGTAATAACTACGTGTTCTACTAAAAATTTTGATCTTGTCAAGAAACTCGGCGCTGTTGAAGCCTTCGACTACAAAGACCCCGACTGCGGGAAGAAGCTCAATGAATACACCAAGAATGCGCTGCGGTATGCTTGGGACTGTGTGGGAACGGCCGATGCTGCCCAGATCTGTGCCGCAGCACTTACCACCAACTCAGGTGCCCATTATGGCACGATTCTGGGGCCTAAATTCCCACGCGAGGATGTCGCATACACCGCTACCCTGGCTTATCGGGGTACTGGTGAAGACTTTGTTATGTATAGCAGAGAATTAACCCAGAATGGAAAGCATGCGGAATTCCAATCTGAGTGGTGGGATATTGCGCGGACGCTGCTTGCAGCTGGAAGAATCAAGACTCACCCTATTAGTTTAAGACCTAATGGCCTGGCAGGCGTCATTGAGGGGTTGGAGATTATGAGAGCGGGCAGTTACAGTGCAGAGAAAATAGTGTATAAAGTCTCTGAAACACCTTAGTTTAGGAGCCTCCCAGTAGGTAGAATTCAAGTCCGAGTGTTGTGAAAGTATACGATTCTTCAATATTATGAATAATTCATGATATGAGCGGTATTAACTACAAGCATGAATGAAAGATGAGGGTGGGATCTACCTGCATATTGTCAGAATATTTGGCACTAAGCAAATTGGGAAAGGATCGAAATGCTCAAAACTACGCTCAAGAGGGCTAAAACATCACCCAAAAATTCAACAATTCTCAATTTTCAATACCTTTACCCTGATGACAAATATTAGTGTAAAATCGCACATAAATACGTCTAGATAGATGAGTTCTTTGCAACTCAGGGTTGTATCTCAATTCAATCAAATTTTCCACTAAACTCAATTTGTTCTAACGCGTAAAAAGTCCGACACATATGGGTGATCACGTGCATATTGGAACAAAACCCCTCCTTTGCCGGAATCCATTTGAGCAGTTGGTTTCCGAGTGTTGATTGGCCAGCGCGATGTTACTCATCGAAGTTGCCCCACTGGATAAGAATTATTTCACGTATCTGAGTCATTTCACTTTTATTCCATCATGATTTAGCCATTGTCATACACACACCACAATTTCAAATTCCTCATTCGAAATGACTGAGGAGACACAAAGCGCCCACAGCGCTCCAAAGTACCGTCAGTAATTTCCCCGCTTGCTCTATCGAGTGAACAGCTACTAAATCCCGTAGAGAGGGTCGCATCTCAACCTGAAAATCCGTTCTCTCAGCTCATATCGGACCAAGAAATCGCAATTATACCATCATTCACACTCGAATCAGGAGTCACGTTGTATAATGTTCCCATTGCATATACCAGACGAGGAAAATTGTCTCCTAACGGGGACAATGCGCTGGTCATCTGCCATGCATTGAGCGGCAGCGCTGACGTAGCGGATTGGTGGGGACCTCTTCTTGGAGGTTCAGGCCAAGCATTTGATATTACACGATTCTTTGTCGTTTGTTTAAACAGCCTGGGAAGTCCTTATGGTAGTGCCAGTGCTGTTACGAACAAAGACGGCGATCCTGCTAAAGGACAATATGGGCCGGAATTCCCCTTGTCAACCATAAGAGATGACGTGAGGTGATTTGGCCCCGGTTTTTTTATTCAATGGTCAGGATTAAGAGCTAATCCTTTGCCTCCTAGAATCCACAAACTAGTACTAGATGATTTGGGGGTCAGGCAGATCGCAGCTGTTGTCGGAGGATCCATGGGAGGGATGTTGACACTTGAATATGCCTACTTTGGAAAAGACTACGTTCGTGCCATTGTCCCAATTGCAACATCGGCTCGTCACTCTGCATGGTGCATTAGTTGGGGTGAAGCCCAGCGACAGTCGATTTACAGCGACCCCAAATACGAAGATGGTTACTATTCATTTGAAGACCCCCCTGCGACTGGCTTAGGAGCCGCGCGTATGTCAGCCCTCTTGACATATCGCAGTCGCAATTCATTTGAATCGCGATTTGGCAGGAATGTGCCGGACCCGTCGAGAAGGCAGAATATCAACGGTACTGAAAAGCTCCCGACACCTCCAAATGAGCATTGGGTGGTACATAACGATGGACATAAGAGTACACGCTCTTCGCGTCCTTCTAGCGCGTCAAATTCACCTAGACAACAATCCGAAATCGAATTTACCGACCCTCAATTCAGCGGAACCACGACTTTTACTGCACAGGCCCCAGTCCCTAAAGCCCCTCGCCCAACGACATATTTCTCAGCCCAGTCGTATCTACGGTATCAAGGCGAGAAGTTCGTTAAAAGATTTGATAGCAATTGCTACATTGCAATCACCCGCAAGCTTGACACACATGATGTGTCTCGTCATCGCGCAAAACCTGATTCAACTGCACCGGTTCAAGATGCTTTGGCGCAAATCGAACAACCTGCTTTGGTCATGGGAATTGAGAGCGATGGTCTGTTTACCTTCGAAGAACAGAAGGAAATTGCCGCTGGAATTTCGGATTCTCGTCTCAAAAAAATTGATAGCCCTGAAGGTCACGATGCATTTCTTCTTCAATTTGAACAAGTCAATCGTTATATTCTAGAATTTTTCCGGGAGGTTCTTCCCGATATCATGTCGAAGCCGGATATCGAGGGACATGCTGGACCTGATAGTGTAGGAAAATTAACCAAGAGCAGCACTTTTGGTGAGGCAGAGGTCGATGATATCACTGCATGGTAGCTGATGCACTCTTGCATGTGGCAGCATATTCCGGCCATCTGAGTGGCGTTCTTCGACTATGGCAGTTGTACCGGAAGCTTCAGCGCTCCCCCAAATATGGTAGGGAACGCCTCTCATTGATTATATGAGGGACAAATACATTCCGTCGAGGCTTTGCTCTCGATATTAGGTGGTGTCATCGTCAACCGATGAGGGTAAAAAACGAGCATCCAACTGTCTCGTTTGCCCTGCTCCGTCCACCCACCGTGCAAAAAGAAGCATCCAACTGCTAATCATCCGAAGTTCATTAAATTCATTATCCTCAACGAGAACCTAGAGATGACCGGTTTCAGTCTATTACTTGGTTAGATCATTTATACTAGTACTAAAGACATCATTATTACAATTGACATTATTTTCTCTAACTGGGTGTGCGAAGTATTGTCCCTACACTAACAAAAAATAAATTAAAATGTCTAAACAAATATTGATGCCGTGGCTATTGTTTCTCTATTTTATTTTATTTTTGTAAAGACACCACTGATGTCTTAACCTAGCCAATCAGAATACGTAGATGTTGAATAGCGCGGTCGGCGGCTCGTCAGGCAAGCGTGGCGCCAGACGCGCAGAGTTGGGTTTGTCTTGGCGGCTCCGTTTGATCAGCCAAACCGGTCGAGCTTGCTGTCCAGTCACTATTAGTAGCCCTGGAACACCCATTTCTTCCTTTGTCCTGCGCCCTTTTCGCATTCGTCATGAAATCGTCTCCTTGGTATGTCTTTCATCTCCTGAAACATGCGATCGCTTTATCCTGACTTTGCTAACCGTTGTGCGCCCCTTCACTCAAGATCGTCTCCTAAGTCGCGGTGCCTAAGCTGCGAAGATTAACATCCGTTCAACTATTGGTCATTGGCCGCCATCACAATGCCTCCTGGCGGTGGAGGTAAACGGAAAAGAGGCGACAGATCTTGGTCGGGCGATTCTGGGCACGACGGTCAGCGACCTTCTCCTCATCGACCGGGAAATTTGAATCTTGCGCAACACAACCAATCTCTCTCCCCTAGTCCACGCCGCGGCTCTGGAGAAATCAGTGGGAGGGGGGGAAAGAATAATAGAGGCGGTAGAGGAGGATTTTCAGGCCGCTCGCAGCCTGTAGCTCAAGATCAACAAAAACCTGCTCAGGATACCTCCATGACTTTGACTTCAGGAAAACCGACCAACGTGGCCCCCGAACAGCGGCAGACGGGTGGCGGAAATACAGTCGAATCGAATATAAATGACAAGCTGGACTCTTTCGCCTACGAAATCGTCACGAAAGAAATTCTAAATAGTTGGCAAAAGAGTGGGAAAAAAACAGTAATTAACCGAGGCATAGCTGCACGAGACACAAACGACACCCTCGATCTATCATACGTATTTCAAGAGTTGATTCGATCCGTTTTATTCAAAAGATTGGTTCCGTCCGAGGCAGGTGGAACAGTACGACAAATACTGGAAGGAGGGAGAGACGAACAATCTGGTAGGGAGGACACCTCATCACTCTTCCTAAATACTCTGTCTATACTTGTCGATGACAACGATACCTCGAATGACGCTTTGAAACAATTTGTGTTCGCTACCGAGATTCCACTATCACTATTGCGTCTAGAGTTGGATACGAGTTTGGTCCAAGGGTTAGGACTTGTACGAGAAACCTTCGCCCGTATAGGAATTCGAAAACAAACGAATATCCTTTATCGACAATCCAACTATAATCTTCTTCGAGAAGAATCAGAAGGGTACTCAAAGTTGGTTACAGAACTTTTCACAACAAGCAACACCGAATCTCCGTCCAGTGAGAATGTCGAAGAAACGTTTGAACGTGTTAAGGCAATGATTGGAGCCTTTGACTTGGATGTCGGACGTGTGCTTGATGTTACCTTGGACGTTTTTGCAGCAGTACTTGTGAAGAAATATCACTTTTTTGTTAGGTTTTTGCGCGCTAGTTCCTGGTGGCCCAAGGGTGATCGCTTGCGTCGTGAAGAAGAGTCTGATCCTTACACTGGGCTCCCTAGTTGGGCTATTCCAGGATGGACTGGCTTCGACGAGGAAAAGAAAGAAGATCTTGCACGGATACGCGACGACCGAGACCAAGCCTTTTGGAACCGTGTGCGAGAAATCGGAATTCGTGCCTTTTACGAAATTGGTCGTCGGCCGTTATCTGAGGAGGAGCGGCAGCTTGCACTGACAGATGCCAGCAGTCTGGCCGAGTTTGAAGCCGAAACTCGAAAGTGGATTGAACAAACCGGCACATTACCACCAAAAGGTAATCGTGTTGCAGCTCAGCTCCTAGGTTTTAAGCTTCGATTCTATTCAACAGCTGCTAGGGAGGCTGGCCACTTGCCGGAGAACCTCATCTGGGTTGCTGCTTTACTGATCAAAATTGGATTCATTTCATTGCGCGATCTCTACCCCCACCTTTGGCGCGAAGACGAATCTATGCCTGAGCTAGAGGAGAAATTGAAGAAGGAGAAATTGGAATTGGAAATGAAAGCGCGACCAGGAGGAGGCATCAATGCTCTCATGCTTGCTGGAGCTCTTCCCGATGATACCCTTCCTCCCCCTGTTTCACGTACACGTGAGGCAGAGACTCGTTCTGGCACCCCCGGAAAGGATTCTGAATCTACGACAAAAGAAACTCTTGATCAAGAACCACCACCAGATATTAGGGAGCAGAAAGTCGACTTATTGAAGAGCTTGCTGACCATTGGTGCTGTTCCTGAGGCCCTTTACATGCTCAGCCGGTTTCCTTGGCTCATGGACATACCGGAGCTACCAGAATACATTCACCGCATCGTTCATCATTGTCTAAGCAAGATTTATACCCCGCTGCGACCTTTGCAAGGAGCTGATCAGCTTCGGGAAGCCCGAAAAGTGCCTAGTCCTGATCAATCCGGCGTACCTAAAGGGCAAGTCCGCTTAGTTGATGTTCCTCCGCGCAAGCTTCTTCGCTGGGCCCATCCTGATAAAGAAGATCGTGAAGATGGGACCAACTACCGGTTCTACTGGGACCACTGGGCCGACACTATACCCGTTTGTCAAACTATCGACGACTTCTTTGCGCTCTCTTCCTCGTTGTTAAATGTTTCTGGCTTCAAGATAGGGCAAGATCCTCTGTTAATGAGCAAAATTGCACGAATAGCTCAAGATTCCCTCAAATCGGATACATCAGAAAACAATAAGATTCGCTGGAGAGATCTCTGCAAGCGCTTGCTTCTTCCAGCCTTGAGCTTGTCCAGAAAGAACCCAGGCGTCGCTAACGAGGTATTCGGTGTGATTCGGCACTTCCCCAGGATCACGCGTTACAATATGTATGCCGAATGGCACTTTGGGCAGACATCTAGACAACCTGATATCAAAACGGCTTTCGAGCTGGCTACAGCACAAACACGAGATACCTTAAAGCGTTTGAGCAAGACGAATATCAAAGCCATGGCACGCGCATTGGCCGAAATTGCATATGCAAACCCTGGAATTGTCATCAACGTTGAGATCACGCAGATCGAGTCCTATGATAACCTAATCGAGGTCGTCGTTGAGTGTGCTCGTTACTTCACGGACTTGGGATACGATATTCTTATCTGGGCCCTCATCAATTCCCTGGGCCAGAAAGGAAGAAGTCGTGTTCAACAGGGAGGCCTTCTAACCAGTCGGTGGTTGAACGCGCTATCAACTTTCACCGGCAAAGCTTTTAAACGCTACTCTGTCTTGAATCCTTTGCCAATTCTTCAATATGTCTTCGAACAACTACGGCATCAAAACTCAACCGACCTTATCATTCTAGAACGCATGATCAGCTCCATGGCCGGCATTGTCACTGATACAAACTTTAACGAGGCACAAATCCAGGCTATGGCGGGTGGCGCTCTCTTGCAATCGCAAACGATGTTGCAACTGCTTGATAAACGACATGAATCCAAAACAACTTCCAAAAGGCTCATGAAGGCCCTTACAGAGTCCAAAATGGCAGGTCAACTACTTATTGCTATTGCTCAAGAGCGTCTACTATGCGTTTACAGGGAGTCAGATATTCCGGAGCTAAAATTGCTGGGCAATATTTTTGATGAAATTCATCGGATTCTCACACAATACCTGGACTTGCTTCGTAGCAATCTTACAGTTGCCGAATTCGATTCCTTCGTTCCTAGCCTGCCAAGTCTTGTTGGTGAATTCGGCCTACAGCCGGATATTGCTTTTTGGATTTCTCGACCTAGTTTGAGTAAACAGATTGCGGATGCAGATCATCTTACCAAGGAGAGCAACTCAGTTCATGGTCAAACTGTCGGTAAAAACCAGGACAGTTCCGAGTCTAGTGGTGGCGACGTGGAAATGACAGGGGAGCACAACAGCGAAAAGATTGACGAACCGTCAAACGAGGGTGAAATGGAGGTGGAGAAGTCGCCCGCTATGGCAGATTCAACGAACACTGATATTGCTCCAACCACGAATGGTGTTGTGAATCATGAAACAACACCCTGGCACCCTATCCTACAAAAGCTCATGGGTGAGATCCAGGAGATTTTGCCGTCAAACACCTGGCAAGTTGTTGGGTTGCCTTTTTACCTGACATTCTGGCAACTTTCGATATATGACGTCCACATTCCGGGGAAGGCATACGAGGATGAAATTGAAAGACAGAAACGTCGAGTTTTTGTTATTTCCAATGACAGAACTGACATCAGCGTGGCCGGGACACAGAGAAAGGAAAGGGAAAAGAAACAAATACAGGAGCTTCAAGATCGTCTACTTGAAGAGAACAAAAATCATCTTGTATCTTACGAACAAACTCGAAACAGATTGCAGAAAGAGAAGGATCACTGGTTTTCAGGTATGCGAGGTAAATACGAAACTCTCAACCTTGCTCTGTTAGAGCAATGCTTTCTCCCTCGTCTTTTGCTCTCATCTATCGATTCCTTCTACTGCTTCAAGATGATGAAATTTCTTCATACTTCAGGCACTCCCAACTTCCGGACAGTGGGCCTGCTAGACCAGCTATTGCGGGAGCATCGGCTGACGGCGATCATTTTTCAATGTACTTCAAAAGAAGCCGATAATTTCGGACGCTTTCTCAACGAAATTCTACGCGACTTGACACGTTGGCATGCAGACAAGGCAGTCTACGAGAAGGAAGCATGGGGACACAACAAGACGCTCCCAGGTTTCGCCATGAATGTCGATTCCGAGGGCAAGTCGACCTCTTTTGTTGACTTTGAAATGTTCCGTCGACTTTTATACAAATGGCACCGTCTTCTTGCCGGAGCATTGAAGACGTGCTTCAATGGAGGAGAATACATGCATATTCGAAACGGTATCAGTGTTTTAAAGTCTGTCTCCCAGAATTTCCCGGCTGTGAATTGGATGGGCCGTGATATGTTGCAATGTGTCAACACCTTGAGCAACGATGATAGAGAAGACGTAAAGATTGCAGCAGCGTCATTGAAGGGGGATCTCAGCAGAAGAGAGAAGCAATGGCTTCTTCCTCAAGCTTTCATGATTGTGAGTTAAGTCAGTCTCACTTCAACTACGGGGACTAATGGGTAGCTACAGAATGAAAATGTGACTGGAGAAAAAGCCAAATCTCGATCAGCACGGCCTGACTCCGGTACCCCAAAACCATTGAATGCAACTGCCACAGAATTCAAGCTTCCAGGGTCAGCAGGGTAGGTGCTCTTTCATTACGGATCTGACTGTCAGACTTACGGTTTTTAAATATTCAGGGCCAATGACGTATCGAGTGGCCCAGCGACGGGCAAATTGGAAGTAGAGGATGGGGAGATTGAAGATGCCAAAATGAGCGATGCCGCAGCTGCAGAATTGAAGGGAGACTCTGCCACTGAGCAAGCTGAAAAGCAGCTGAGCGAAACCCCCGAGTTAGTGGCGGAAGCTCTTTCCACCACAGTCGACCAGAATACAGCTTCTGCCCGCGAGGATAAAGGACAAGCATCTGACGCAGAGCAACAGCAGTCTGATGGTCGAGCCAGAACACTTTCGCCAGCACAATCTCGACAGGGCTCAAGACCACCAGATATGAATCGTTCGACAAGTATACCGAAACGTCCAGACTTAGACCGGCCTTCTCGGTTACCGCCACCTAATCTACCAAACAAGCCTGATCCTCCTCGCTATAGAAATGATGGACGCTCGTCCAGACAACCGGATCTAATTGATGAACGCAGTAGAGATGCCAGAGATGGGGGTCGACATCCCGACTTCTCTCGGTCTACGCGATATAGTGACGCTGAAAGAGACCGGCCTTATGATCATGAAATCCGAGGCCGTGGACGATCGGACCGTGACGGAGGTGATTTATCACGGGCCCCTCCGTTTGATGAGCAATTCCGAACCCCTCGTGACAGTCGTGGTCCCCCTCGTGAACCTGAAGTCGATCGTTCTGGTCGCTTACGACCCCCAGACTCCTTTTCTCGGGGGGATGCAGGCCTCCCCTCTCGTTCTGCAGCCCAACCACATCCGGACAGAGCTGATCTCATCCATGAACATCCTGACCGTGTTGCATTGATAGAGGGTGAAACGCAACGCCGTGATCATGGAAGGTTAGACCGTGAGGATCGTAGGCCTCGACCAACATCACCTACAAGACCAGACGACCGTCGAAGTCATCGCCATGGCGACTACCCCACGGGGCCACGCGGCGAAAGGTCTGGACGGCCCGATTTGCCAGAAACTAGAGATTCGCGACCAGCTCCTGATATGTCTCATGGAAGATTGAATCAAGATTCTAGAGTTAATCGCCCACCCGAAATACCGACAGAGATTCCATCAGGGCCACGGGCAAGAGGCGTGCAAACACGGGGAAGAAATGCACCTCCATCTACCCAAGGAACGCCAGTTGCAACACCTGAACGGCCACCACCAACAGGTCCCGCCGGCCGGTCGAGTGGCCGCCTTCCAGACTCACTTACTTCATCGACTTCCGAAACAGGTGATACAAGTGGCGTCCACCCCGATAGACTAAAGAACCTTCAGGTTCCGTCCGAGCCTAGTTCTGCAGCCCATCGATCACAGGGACCTATGGTGGTACCTGCTGGTCCTCGCAGTTCCCATGGAACTCCTGGCAGTTCCCCTATCACCCGAGCACCGCCATCCGGGCCAGGTGCTGATAGGAGTCGTAGCGATAAGCGCTTTGCAGGCCTCAATAACATGCTCCAGCAAACTGGTGGTTCGCAAGAGCGAGGCAATCAGGGAACGTCGATTCGTGGTCGAGGAAGGCAAGCTAGCACCACAAATCCTCATGGCAGCCGACCTGTTAGTCCTCCTGGTGGAGGGTTCGAAGAAGACACTGGACCACTGAGAGCGGAACTCTTCCCTGGTGGCAATGAGGAGGATACCCGCGCTTCTGGCCGAGGTCGCCGAAATGAGGCCACAGATGATGCAGATTTGGAACCTAAGCGCTCTGGGCGTCATGCAAATCACAACGCCCCCGATCGAGACCGTCGGGCGGAAGAGGAACCAGGGAGAGGAGGTCGAAAAGACGATCGCCGCGATCGGGGACGTGACAGAGACCGGGAACGTGACCATGAACGCAGCCGCCGCCCCGATATTGGAGGAGAAGATAAACCATCCCAACCATTAAAAGATCAAGGTCCTCGTCGTGGAACTAGCGGCCGTGACGATAATAGGAAACGGGATCGTAGAGATAGAGGCGATGGACCGGCTGAACCTCCAGTGCCTGGAAACAATGAACACCATGGTCGAATGCGGCCTCCGTCTTCCCAGGGCAGCAATAATGTACCTCTTCCTGGGCCGCCCGGTCCTCCTGGCCCTCCTGGTGAAGATCGTCGATGGAGCGGCAGTGGTCGTGGTGAGAATCGCGACAGAGACCGCAATCGGGAGCGCGGTGGTGGAAGGGATCGTGATCGTGACTTCAATCGAGAGGGCGGTGCACCGAGTGGTAACAACACCTTTCCACGCAAGCGTGGTCGACCCGGGGACGATAATTCCGGGCATGGAGATGGCCCTGGACGTGGTATGCGAGTTGGAAGTGAGAGTAAACGAATGCGACGCGGCACATAAACATCACCAACGTTTTTCTGACGTCTTAGTAGATTGTTTTTCATTCCAGCTCCAATGTGTCTGAAGCACTGGACGTACTATTCAAGGGCCTATTTTCATTTTCTATTTTATGTTTTCTACTTTTTTTTCCCGACACATACTTGCATGCATCGGCGCCGTTCGATTTTTTATTTATCTACGATTGCCCGTTGAATGGAGGGTAGGGCAGGATGGTGGTTGCACCTATGGTATGAAGCAGCTCCTCTTATTTCAATTGCGCTTGTTACATCTGAAATTGTGTTATGCATTGGATCGGGTTTTATTCTAGTTTCTAGGTATTCGGCCTACCCATGTGTATGATCAGTTGTCAAGGCCTTATTTTCAGCTGTATTCCTTTATAATTACTCCGTACCGAATAATGAAATCAGGGCCAGCCCAGCCACGTGAGCCGCGTCCCGATGCAGGCAAGCGCAACAGGCGGTGAGGACAGGCCAATCAGCATGCACAATGCCGACTTTTGTGGGCCTTTCTGATGTGTCTTCTTCTACTTTTTGCCTGAGGGGAACGTGCCATTCCCACGGGACTGCAGCACGTTACACTTTGCCTCATTTCTTGGCTTCTAGACCCCCTTGCAAGTGACCGTGCAGCCAAGAAGCGGAGGGCTGCTCACGAAGGACCTGTACGGAATAAGGACAAATCCATGCAAATCTTTGATGATGCGAATCCACCACAATCCTTCCTGGCCCCATGCGGGTCGGTCAGTACTTTAATTACTATTTCCTCCCTGCCCAATTGTAATATTAATATTTCATTACATGGCTAGCTGCAGCGTGGCTCATACCGCGCTGCATGCAATATTAAATACGTATGTGGTAATAATAAGAATAATAATAATAACATAACGAGCCGTCCGTGGGCCGTCGGCGTCGCCATCGCCGAGGTCTGACCGTGGCAAACCCTTGGGGCCCCATACGCCGCCTTTTATTTATGCGGAGCCAGTTCCTTCCCCAGATGAGACAAAACTCAATCCTGCAAACACCCTCAGGGGGAAGAGAGAGCCTATTGTCCAGGAACAAGTCGCAAGTCGATTCTTGATAATATTACGGTTCTATTATTGTATTTTGGGAAGGGGGTTCGTTCTCGTTTCGTTCGAAGTCTGCATCTCGCCATGGGTACTTTCCAGGTCAAACCCACGACGGGCTTTTCGTCAAGGATGCGCGAGAAATTCCAGCGCCAGGTGCATTTACATGTAAGTGATTATGATTGTTTTGGCTATTATTAATTTAAAAAAAAATGAAGGCGAGGACAGCCGCTAATGACACCAGAAATCCGTCGTGTTCGTCGAGGACAAAAGCCGAAAATACGAATTTGTCGACAATAATCTCTGCTGGGTCCCCGAGTCGCCTTTGATCGAGCGACGGCAGCTTTTGCACACCGATGAAAGACAGCTACGCCAGGCGTGCAGGTTGTTGTGTCAGAGAATTGAGAAGGGAGAGCTTGCGCCGGAGCCAATGCCACAGTTTAAGCAACGATCACAGTCACAGTCACAGCCAACTGCGAAGACACAAACGAGTAGCGATCCTCCCAGAACGAAGAAGAATAATCCCGATATCGACAATATCAATCGCTCGGCATCAAACCGACCTACAATAACCAACGAAGAAACGCAACCGACATTGAAACGCAGCGACACCACCACCGCGACAAATCATGGAAGTAACACTACTTCTTTGCCCGTCATAAACGAGATGTTACGCGGGCTAGAAAGTGACTTGGAAGCGCGCCATAACGAAAACAACGCCGAGAAAAAAAACCATTCCGATCTACATAGCACAAGCACCATAATAGAGAACAATCTCCTTACTTCCAATAATCCCACGTGCCGGAAATGCTCCGCTTTTGAAGATGATGCATCACCACAGCATATCGAAAAGTTGAATCACCTAACTTCTACCCCAACAGTGTCGGATACCTGTACCTCGTTTGAGAAAAAATCCGGCCTTATGCGTCGTTTATCGCTTCTTTCGTTCGGGAAACGCAAATCCGGGAATACAGAGAAGAATACGAATACTATCCCACCGAAGAATACGGTTGTTGAGGTGAAGTGATCGCGGTTTTATCAGCTGGCAGGAATATTTATATATAATGTGGTTGCGTTTATAGTGTCATGGTTTATACCCTCAGCATTTCGATGGCGCGGTGTTTGGTTAAGGGTGAATTATTACCTATAGTAGTATGGTCTTTATCTTAGGCCCTTCTCATCCTACCTTTGACTTGGTGGTGCTTAATTTTCCTCCTCCAATTCATGTGATACGTATTCAAAAGAACGCGGCTTAGAGCACAGGTGACTCCTTATTTGCCTTGTCGGTTAGGGAGACACGACATGACAAGATGCAAGCTAATCTGAATAATATAAGCCCCATGAAAACACCATGTTCGTCTTTATGTAGTGGAACAACAAGATAGTTAGATAGGAATAGCTATAAAGCGCACGTACGTCTATTTGTTGTCAGAGTCTGCCAGGTCACCAGTAATAGCCTAGCATTTGCATGGTGCGAATTCCACCACCACCTCTGCAGCCACTATATAGGTATTGCAATCGACCCTAGGCTTCTACTCGAAAACTACTAGACTTACATGTACCGTCATATACGGTCATATAGTCTTTCCACCGTGTAACACTTGCATGGCCAAAGTATTAGATCATCCTAACGGCGTCATATTGATAGGCCAGTACTCTAACCCCAGAAAACACGACAATTCTCCCTGTTAGCACCGAATAACTTCCAAGAACATTCTTAAAATCACAAATCTCGGATGGTCCTCACTCCACCCAAGTTTCCCATGAAAACAATTCATGATAAGTTACCCCGTTCCCATGAAAATATCAGGCCATCTCACAATTGAATTAGGATTAAATTGATTTGCCAATTGTTCCCTTTTCTGAAGACTTTTGATATTCAAGCTGTCTTTTCCACACTTCCGACAATGGCCAGCACAGTGATCCACTATATACAACACCTCAATATTATTCTATATTATATTATATATTTTTAATATCAAAAGTTATGACTCGAGCCCTCCAGAGACTTCAGCGGAATTGTATGGTGATTCCGTCGACAAATTTGTAGCCCAACAGAACGCTGTTTATATTAATTCAGTAGCTGTGTTTTATATTGTATCATTTATTTCCAATCACATAATTTGGGGGCAGAGAAGGTGCCGGACTCATTATCTGGATGCTAGCAATGGCGGCGGAGCTGGAGACCTTCTATATGGGCTTATCTGAGGCCAAAGTTGACGGGCCTATAGAGGAAGAGGAGGCTGCAGAGAGGCTTAGGGGGAAAGGGTGACAGCTTCGGGCAGTCGTTCGTTAGCAGGCGATGCCCGCACGTTTAGCCTCCAGGGACGTTGCTGAGGCCCTGCCAGCCCCTACAAGGCTCCCGAATCGCCCTGCGCACATAAGCGGCTTGGGGCGAGGAATTCGTTTGCACATTGTAACGTTAGACACCAGTTCGGGGCGGGCAATGGGCGTGAATTAGGGGTTTAGGCCCCTATAAGCCCTCCTAGGGCCCACTGAATCGAGACCTTCATAGCTGGGTGAGGTCGTTAAAACTGAATAATAATAATAATAATAAACAATGCGCCTGTGTCTGCCATTCCAGCCATTATTACGCAACATACTAACGGGGTCTTTATGGAGCCCCTCCTGGTGATGTGGAAAGCACTATAGCTGGAAAATGATAGTTAAAGCCGAAGTCTAATCAAGACAAGCATCAGATCTAGTCCCCCGGAACTTGACGGGTTGTACGAGCGGCTTGTAGAAGATATGGGAGATACAAAGCTTCCTAAAACCGATCCAATGGATACACTTTTCGATACGGCCAATGTCTCCGGACGAGGTACGATGGGGCCACCGACACTATGGCTCATGCGTAAAATTTGAAGGGAGACGGAGCTGCGCCGATGTTTGCCATCAGAGTTGGCGGCCCAACTGTACGATATCCGTTAGTGACCGTGAAGAACGATAATATATATAGTCTGTTCCAAAGAGAATATATTGCAATGACTAGAGCTAAAAGAGAAGAGAAAAAATCAGCTGCATCGGTATTCCGTCTGGGTCTTCTCCTCTATCAAAGCACATTGTACCAAAGCTGGCTGTTATTATTTGTCCCATGGTGAAAGCAATAGACCCTTCCTTTATAAACCACCGCAGAGGGGTGCGATGATATGCCCGTGTTAGGAACCTGGGCATCACCATGCCAACGCGAGCCATCAAATGAATTATACCAAAGCTGACCGCAGTAACTGCTGCCCTGGTGGAAAGAATAAACCTGGCCATTGTGAGCCACTGCCGATGGCGCAATCGACATGCCTGTATTAGGCACGTGGCTGTCGCCAGACCAGTCCGAACCGTCAAACACATTGTACCACATTTGGCCAGCATCATTCGTCCCCTGATGGAGGCAGAAAATCCTATTATTGTAGACCACGGCCGATGGAGATGATGACATGCCCGTGTTGGCGACGTGCTTGTCGCCGTGCCACTTAGAGCCGTCAAAGACGTTGTACCAGAGCGAGCCAGAATTTTCCGTGCCCTGGTGGAAGACGTAGATCTTATTATTATAGACCACAGCGGATGGAGATGCCGAGATGCCTGTGTTGGGAACGTTTTTATCGCCGAGCCACTTCGATCCGTCAAAGACGTTGTACCAGAGCGAGCCAGAATTTTCTGTGCCCTGGTGGAAGACGTAGATCTTGTTCTGGAAGACCACAGCGGATGGGGATATCGATATGCCAGTGTTACTGACATGGGCATCGCCCTCCCATTTTGACCCGTCGAAGACGTTATACCACAAATCACCTTTGTTCAGTGTGCCCTGGTGGAAGACGTAGAGCTTGTTGTGGTAGGCTACAGCAGATGGACCTGCTGATATGCCAGTGTTTGGAACTTGTTTGTCGCCTTGCCACGACATGATACACAATTTTGTGGGAGGGAGAGCGAGAAGCTACTAGGTTTATTCTTTAAACAAGTCAGACTTGATAGATATATGTGTACAATTTGGGGGAAAGGAAGAGGAGAGGCTCCTATTTATATTCTCAAGAGCGTAGTATATACAGCGTCCGTGTGTGAGAAGAGTCGATTAAAGCCACAGTTGGCGACCTTAGACCCCTCAAATCAGAACTGCAGATTCACGCATAAGCGTCCTGCAGAAATGATGCGTCGGGCTCATTTTGGATTAGAACGGAATAATACGAGTGCTGAATATTTCAGCTGCGTGTCTACTGCGTTGGGATAGACCCTCCCTCCTAGTGTCTGTTAGTTGACGGGTTCTACAAGCCTCTACACCTAGAATGTATCTACTTACGCCCGTCTAAAGATGTAACCAATATTTGTTAATAGGTGGCGAAATGGCCAATGCATAAAAACTCCCTGATTTTCCACCAAAAATTGGGATATGTAAGTAACGTGGTGCATCTTACCCCGAAAGGCTTTTAATGCCGAGAGGCGCTCTGCTTCTTCCTTTGTTGTTGTTGGGTGTTACTGAATTGCGTGGAGAATGGCGCCACGGAAAACCAGGCTCGGGCGTATCAGGAAACTGGACAATTTGGTAACCATCTACGTTCTCGATTTTGCAGGAAGCAAACCTAACCGAGCTCTGTGACGCATCGTCCGGTTGGAGGAGGGGCGTGAGTGGCGCGGGGGTTGCGATGTAGCTGATCGACTCGTAAGTCTGCTTGTGATAGACGCCAATGGCATAAGTTCTGCAGTCATGCTAGTAGCCTCTGGTGGTGAGACTGACTGCTACATTCAGCCAGCCTCAGAGCCAAAACGGTCGGTATCAGCCATCATTGGCTCGCACTCCTTCCAGATTTTTGTTCACATGGTACTTTAGATGGCAGCAACTTACTCTATTAAAACCTCATATTTCAGACCATAGCTATTAGCCGTTTAACAGCTACCCCGCAACAACGCAAGTGCCTTACACAAGCTTCATATTGAGTGCAGATAATCAAGTAATATTCCCTAGATACAGTGGGGGACATTAGCTGATTATAACGTTAAATTTAAAAGACGCGAAACACAGCGCTATACTGGGTTTAGGAAAGCCATATAATTTCCTTACCGGATATGGAATTCGTCTTCCCTTTTATAGGAATAGCCTCGCACTAATTTTTAGTGCTGTGTTAAAACTAATACCGTGGTATTTTAAGACCAGGGTGTAGGGGCGGAAGCGTCGGCGGAGGGAATCCTATCGTTCTGTTTCCATTTACCCAATATGGAAACTGCAATCTGACCCACAACCACACAATAGAGGCCCATAACATCTACAACGCATGTGATTGCGTACAGAGGACAAATTATCTCCTAATACAATTGTAGGATGGTAGGATTCCCAGCAGAGGTTATTATATAGATTGCTTTTAGACGGCCTGATATGGATCAAGATATCTCGCTCATTCCAAGTATTAGAGTTCGTACGAAATCAATTGCGGTAAAACTTTGATATAGAAAGATGTCTGCTTCTGAAGGAAAGCTTATTTTCATTACCTAGACATTGTATCTCTAGGTCGTGGTCGTGGCGAAGTAATCCGGTAAGCGTACCTGGCCTTGGGATTTCTTTTAAAAACTTACAAAAGGATTTCCAAACTAATCTCTTTTTGAAAGATGCCGAAATAGGCTTCCACGACACTAGATATCCGTTCAATGAAAGTTGGAAGGATACCAAAATCGGGTTGCAGAAGAAGGGTATTAGCAAAACCGGAAAGGTACCAGTGCTTGAGGATAACAGTTTTTCCTTGACTCAAGTAAACGAGAAAACTCCATTGCAATTGAAATCAGCTCGGATTGACGATCTTCTTCTCCAGCACATTCCTATTCTTCGGTATTTGGCCCGTGAGCTGGAGATTACGATAGTGTCACGAGTTTGGAGAAACACCTAGTTGATGATGTTGCCGACTTGTATATTGATTGGAGGTTAAGCTGAATATTTTAGTATCGCAAGGTCTCCCATCTAACTAACAGCATTATACTAGGCTCGATGGTTAGCCAACTTGGAAAAGGTTTCGGATGCGTAGAAGAACGAGTTTTTACCAGAGTAGCGTGCCATTTTTTGGGTGACCGGGTCACTTATGCGGGTTTTGCCGTCAATCAGTCCATCAATAACGACGATAAAATCGGAGCTCTCCCGGCGAGTACATATTTAGTTACCGCCCTACACATTGTTGACGATGATGGCAAACACACTGCCAGAACAGATACAAGAACGTATTCGAAACACATCATTGCGGAAAGTAATTGAAATACAAATGTTTAGCAAACCGGCTTTGAGTTGTAGGAAATTGTGGATTTTTATTTAATTTATAGCGCTGGGTCCTATCGACAGAAAGGGAACACCTATGGCAAGGCTCATGTGTTTGCATTGATACCGCGTGTGGCATCTTCGAATATGACTAGATAGAAAATATCGCTATAGAAAAAAGAGTTTCTTCAACGGTATCCTTCATAATACCCACTGTTTTAATTTGTGTTGGCTGTGCACAGGTTCATGACTATTCTGTATTCTGTATTCTGTATTTAGCCAAGACTTATATCATCCAACATGTCAACAAGTTACAAATTCCAAAATGCAAACTGACATTGCTTTTGATTATAAACTAATATATCATCAAGACTCTATCCTACGACTTGAATTATAAGTAACTGGATTTAAACCCATTTAATGTAAACAACCATCACAACGTCACCTGTATTCAGCTTATGTTAAACTTATCCGGTCAAACAGCCTCTTCCTGACATTAGGACATAGAATCTTTCCTAGTTAGATGTGTCAATTTAAACCTGCGCATCTCGTGTAGTGTTCCTGTAAAGCCATTTATAACCATGAAGCCCCACAAGAGGTTCATTTACATAAGAACAACTTTTACTTACTAGTGAATAACCATTATTTCCCAGTGTAGTCTGACAGGATGGTTTTATTTTCACTTTTGTAAAGTACCTGATACTATATATATAGATACCTTTGAGTATATCTAGATAGATGTGGATGCATCCTCATGAACTTGGGAGCCAAGGTTAGACATATGACGAATTTTGTTGCTATCTGGAACTCACAGTCTTATACATGAGAACACCGAGACGTAGCACAGTCGCTCCATTGCCGTGTCCTAGCTCCCAATCAGCTATATCTGAAAGTGACGAAGAACTAATCTCAGAGTCTGATTATATTCCTTCTGAGGACGAAGGGAATTCTAGACGTGGTGCCAACACAACCATACGGCACTAAAGTCTCAGGTTAATCTCATCCAAATTAATCAAGTCACTGTTATCGAAAAAATGAGTATATGGTGAGTCAGACTACCATGGAAAATAAACCTGATCTGACCATGATTTCATCCTTCATTATCTGGTTCTGAATCTTTAGAAATAGTTTCGACAAAGTCAATGGATGCACTTTCGAATGAATAGTTCGTGGAACTTAGACGACTTGATTAATACAATTGTTCTATATTTTCTCTGGATTGTGCTTCTCTGTAACATAGAGGAGAGGGCACTGGTTAACATTTCCCCTTAGATCTAACCGATCTCTGTCAGCACATTTATGTATTGCTAGAAGTGCCTCCGAAAAGAGAATTTGAATAGAATATACTGAAGGTTCTGTGTGCTAGTACTACCGTAAAGTGTTTAGTTTTATGAATTGTCTACCGTCTACTGTCTCAGTGGGAAGAAGCTACTCTTCAGTATCGCTGGAATGATCCACCGCTAATAGAATGGATTATGTTTCCTAATTTTGGATGGTGGAAGCTGTTCTCAAGTCACACCGCTCATTCATCTATGCTTTATGCATATTAATGATCCGGTCTATCGGAAAGGCTCGAAGACTGTTTTGTCATGTCACCATGCGCCTGCTGCTTCTAGGCATCCCCGAGGTAGACATCCCCGAAGTAGATATCTCCGAAGTAAATATCTCCGAGGGCACTCGCTGCCTCCAGATACGGAGTACCTTGAGAGCGTTTGCTGCCTTTAGGTGCCCCAGGGTCGTAAATATTCTGTTTATTTCCATAATATATGGTTTGATTGGTTAAATATAATGTTAGTTGCCTAGGCGGTAGAAAAACCTAATGGAAAAACCTACATTGTCCTGTAAGTCGATTTACTCCGCCGTACCGCCTTGCTTACTGCCGGACATCAAAATAATGGGCCCGCACCTAGTTGGCATCTCGGATATCAATATTCTTCGAGATTCTCATCAGCTTGCCTGATCACTAATATAAATTTATTGTAAAAAATAAATTCTCTAATATATAAGACGCAAGCTTGTTTATAATAAGTGGCTAGTTGAATATAATTATCTTGATTTATTCTTAGCATATTCGACCAATTATTCCTAGGTAAATTACCGCACTAGCCTGACACCCTATCATGACTAAGGCACTAAACAGGGCTAGTCGCAGCCGAAATCGCTTTCAACTCTTCTATGCCTAGGCATCAATCAGGATCGAGTCATACCTCAGGCCGCAAAAAAATAACACAACTCCAGATTACTTTGTAGGCCAGACTTCATGCCTCGTCGACCGGGACTATGCAACAATCCGGTCCTCGGACCCGTCGAAACGGGACACTCCAGTCGTGCGAACCGTGTCGCAAGTCGAAACTCAAATGCGATCATGTGACACCGGTGTGTGGCCGATGTATGGCAAAGGATATTGCGCATAAATGCTTCTACCACCCATCGCCCATGACCAGGAAGACCCCTGGCATTGGCGCTGTCCCTGAAAACCAGCTAGTGACTCCGTATGGCCCCCAAACCACCCTCCGCAATTCCGTTAGGGGCAAATTGAACTCATATAGACACAACGCTTTGCTTTGAAATACAAAAGACTTGCACCTTACCAAACCAGCACTCCAATTCAAAGTCCCAATAGCCATGTATCATCCGAAAATGGCTGGGCGCTGTCAGGCTACTTGGGCCCCAGTAATTGCTTTTCAATCCTCCGTGATTTTGGCAGTGAGATTCCAACTGCTTTTGAAACACTTCATATCACGATTCCCCGAAACTTGCAGCCGGACAACATCCAGATTGGCGTTGAGGTGCTGAGATTGATCAGCCTCTATCCTGTTTGTGACGCTCTCGTTGTTAAATTCCAGACAACTCATAGGTTTTCTGGTATCCCAAATAGTATCGTCAGCGCAATTACCGGCTCAATCAGAGAGGCGTTTGAGCGCTTTGAGCCTGCCACTATAGACGCTCAACTGACGCGCTTTTCCCATCTAATCTTCCAGAACTCATCGAGGCCAATGTCAGTCAACAAGTCCATGACTGTCGAGCAGTACTGCGCATCATTTACGGGCTTGAACTTCCGGTGGGAGGCTATTGGTAACTTTTTTGCTCTCGCAGGGATGGCTCTTGTTGGGACGCCTGATACAGACCCACTGCTGCTCAATGTCAAAATTAATAAGGAAACACTGTTAAGCTTGCTTATTGAAGCTAGCGACATCTGCACCAAATTCTGCGAGCATCCATCATCGGTCAACGAGCTACTCATCTATCTTCAGACGAATGACGGGAAGTTGAAGACTCATCGATATGGCGATATCTGTATGCTTTGACATTCTACCTTTTCAGCGGATAGCCAAATACTAATGAAGATGTAAAGGCTATTTGACGTGGCGCCAAGTCGGAGTTCTCGCATCTACTTTGTTCACGGCTGGCCTCCATCGAGGGAGCGATGACGATTGCCCTTTTTTCCTATCACAATGGAGAGCGATATGCTTTGCGTCGAGCTTCGTCTACGACAAAAGCATGGCAACATTCATGGGCAGGCCTCCACTCATTTCATCACGGTACTGCAAAATCAGCGCTCCGCTCGATATCGGCGAAGAGGATATAGTGGCTGGACCGGAGGCGCTTGGGCGAGCATTTGCACAGATGGACCCCCTTGGATGGAACAAGACTGCTTCGCATGCAACAAGTCTTTTACGGATGCGATTCTTCCAATCGCTTGTGCGTGAAGAGGTGCTCGATGTCGTTCTCGGGCAAAAACAGGTTGACACGGTAGAGTTCGAAGGTCGAGCAAAGTACGTCTATAATTGCGTCTTGTAGTAGACAGCATCACATGGCTAATGGATAACTTGCTACAGCGCGGTGCTCGACAAGGCAAGAGCGACCTGGGATGCCACACCTTCCCATTTGCGGTTTGACCACCAGGAGGAAGGCGCGCCTGACACGCCTGCCAACTCCTGGGCTTCTCGCTATCCGCTGGTCATCCCGTACCTCGAACAGCGCTACTCATGCTTTCTGCTGCAACAAGCGATCGTCAAACAGACTGGCAGCGGCCATGCAGCCCTCTTCGACACTGCCCGGGAAATGCTGACAACCGTGAACAAGGTCAGCGTGAACCGCGAATTCATGATTGACCGAAGTCGGCATTACGCGTGGCTGGTCAGTGGCTTCCCCTCACCCGTGTAGCGTTTTACTACCGTGGTCTCTAACATGAAGTTCAGATGCTGTACTACGGCGTCCCCGGTGCAAGCATGCTCGCCATCCACCTTCTTCATCAAAACCAAGGAAGCACCACTTTCGTCATGCCGGCGAGGACAGAGGTTATCCGCAACCTGACGGTCTTTGTCTCGTCTCTGTCGTGGATTACACGGCCGACGTATGGCAACTACGCGCTTTGCAAAGAAGCCGAGAAAAGACTTACGGCGATCCTAGATGAGATTCTAGATCCGACGCCACACCATCCACCCGGCTCAGCCATCGCCTCTTCGTCTCCGTCTAATCTCAACATGGATAGTCTTCTGGAGGGTTATGACTTTGACGGGATGGCAATGCCAGCGCACGGGTATTTTTTCGATAACATGCCTTGGCCATAGCTCCTGTTTCTTTTCAGTGGGCGATAAAAGCACGACATATATATAATAATGAGCATAATTAACCGCAATTTAAATTATACGATAATTCTAGCAATTTAGCCCACACTTTGCTTTTGACCGAAGCGACGCGTCCTTGACCGAGTTCTTCTAACACCCCACCGGTTTGATTCACATCCCCGAGGGGATAGTAGGCGACGATCTATTATCTAATACGTAGGCCTTCGTGTAAGCAAGGCCACTGAACCCACTCCCGGAAGCATGCTGTCTTGATCTAGAAGCTCGGATAATGAGCTAGCAGGGTGCTGCCAGGAGGATTCCACCCCATGGACACGACGCTAAGCACCACGTGGTTGTCGAGAGCTTTCGGGTGGTTCCATAATTGTCATTGAGCGGTCCTTTCTTTTTCTCTCTTGATGAGACGATACGCAGACATATTCTTGGCGGCTATACCATTGTCGTTCACTGTCGGTGTTGTTTTTATTGTATTATTGCATATTAATAAATATTAATATTATCTTAGTTCGCGGGTGGGTCTACCCTCGCCATGGGTCGTGGAAGGGTACCATGGAACGAGTGACGTAGACAAGCTTTACAACCATTGATGCGGCTAGTGCGTAACCTAGAGCGCTATACGCACCTTGCTCTGGAATCAGTGAGTGATAACTCCAGAATTATTACTATGAGCTCTGCATAGCTCGGCACCGGACAGCACCAATAGCTGAGTGCAGCAATGCTAATAATAATAATAATAATATGAAATAATAAATATGCAATGGCCATGCTGGATGAGGAAGGAGTGGTGGAGACGCACCAAGACCAACAAAGTAGGCGCTAGGCGCTAGCCGGAACAAGCCACGCTAGCGCTGCATGTCAAGAGACAAGCATAGGTAACCGCGTTTACTGTCAGCCACTCATCCACGCACGTTCTGGCTCCCCAGGCTCACTATGGGTAGCGCTGCTGTCGGCTGCGATCGGGTTAGGCGTGTGCAATCAGCTCTGGCCAGCCCTCCGAGGAGCCGCTGTAGGCGACCTGCACCGTCCTCATGCCCTGCAGCCTGGCCCAATCACCGCCCCGCAATCCGTCATTGATCGTGGCCATGCCTCGCTACGTCGTCTTTTTCCATTAACGCATCTCATTAACCCAGCATGTTAATAATAATAATAAAGTCGGCATGCTGTCTGCCCGAGCCAGCCAACTGACTATCGTCTTTCTGTCTCTGATTGCGTGGCCCAGCTTCTCCCTCGTCTATTCGCTTCAAATCTAGTCAGAAGCCTGGTCAGAGCTACCCCCCTCCACCGCCATATTACTCTCATTATTACCTGTCTCGCAGCTAAATTCTCAATCACCGACCCCGGTGGGCAAGGGACATCTGAGGGGGAAAAGCAACAAAATACCCATTTCACGAACCCACTCCGAATAATGCAAGTGCTTCCGACGTCTTTTAAAATAACAGGCCCACTCTCTCCTCTTATGATTATTACATCACCTCGCCTCTATCTGTTGTTGCTGCTCGTTTAGTCGTGTGCTGCTGAGGTAGTATACTATATTGCTCGGTCCGCAAGGACAGCAGAATGATGGACGCAGTTTCCACTCATGACTTTGAAGACTGGCCGGACTGGCCCCTTCGCAATTCACGATGTGTCAGCTACATTTCGACGACGACACAAAACTCGGAAACAAGCCTGTTGTCTGACAAGACTTATATCCCCCCGCCGAGTCCCGCAACGTCGACCTCGCCCACAGTGAGCGATCATCTGAGAAGCCCGCGATTAATGCCAGACGAGGTGGTTCGACTCAAGCTAAGGCCTTCTGTGACTATGTATGTGGTGTACAAGCCCGCGCCGCGCCATTCTTGCTGATATTCGGTGCGTCCAGATCATTCATTCGAAAATCCCGATTATTTCGCATCCAATACGGATACATCGATATTATTAAAGAAGCGAACGGGACTCTAAAATCTTTGGAACTCGGCGGTCAACAGCACTCGTTTGTGCATACCTGTGAGTGGCCATGGTTATTTTCACCGCCACTGTGTGAACAAATCTAATGTGATCCGGTGAAGTCGCCAATACCCGACTTCCGGTACCGCATCTCGAATACCCACGACTTTCCGATGACACGCCTCTGCGGGTGTCTTTTCTAGATGAACAGACAGTTCAGACGGCCAACACAACCTTTACAACGCAACTGTCTTATACCTTCGATAATTGGGATGGTGAGTCTCTTTTTTCGGCGTGTTCTATAAGCTCCAGATCCTAATTTTCCTAGACTGTGTCCGGTTCCAAGAAACTCTCCTAGCGTCGAAGCTCGTTTTTATCGCCGGCATTGCTGAAGCCAAGTCGAAGGGCCGTGGCGAAGAGTGTATCAGCCAGAACCTGCGTCTGCTCCGCGGCCACCACGACCGCATGGTGTTGCTGTTCTTTGCCAACTCTCAGCGGAAAGACAGGAAGCGATATGTATCGGTGCCATGTGAGTAACATGTCTACCTTGTATATGGGTTTATGTGTTTTCGGATAGATCGCTGATATAGTGTTAGTGAACTGCATCGACCGCATCGACGTGCCCAAGAAGGCGAGTCGACCTATCTCCCTACACCTCCGGCCAAACTTTGAGCTTCTGGCTGAGATGAAGGTGCTACAGCTTCAATTTCTGGACGACGATGGTACGTCGGCCGCCTAGCCATATTTTCCCCACCACTAATGGTATTACAGAACGCAAAGAGTTTGGCCAAATCATGACCAAATTTCTCGACTGATATATTTTTGATGACTAAGTATACTATTACGCGGGTGGGGGAACTGGGCAACGGTTGGTTAGAATATGGAATCTGTCTTTACGGTCTACGGCGTCTGATATGATTGGGTTGCATTACGGAGTTATTGCATATAGAAGCTTTTGTTTCTATTCTTCTTGGATCTCTTTATCTTCTTTGTTCGAAGAACCCAATACCCATCTCGTGATGTTTTTGTGTATATCCCTTAATTCGCTGCTTATATTTATTATTATTATTATTATATATATATATTATTCTATTTGCTTTATGACTGTCAATGGATTGATATATCCCAATTCCCACGACGTAGCTGGTACGTTGACTCATTCACCAATGCTAGCCATATACAACCGAATCGAATGGACTCGAACACATGACAGAGCATTCTTATTACTTTAATTATTACTTTTGTACGATGCTGATGGCCTGCTGTTGCTTTTTCTTCATTTTGTCGAGGCACCAGCCAATAGGGCGGCACAGCAGCTGCCCGTGATGGAAGCACCGCGGGGGACGATACTCGTCATCCGAGTGAGAGCCGAGAGACTGGCCATGCCTGAAGTGGACTAGGGCAGTCAACGTTCCAGCGGCAAAGCCGGCTCGCCGCAAATGACAGCCCTGGCCCCTGAGCCAGCTGGGCCCGTGCGGCGCGCCACCTTACTAGCTGAGCAACCTAGATTTGATCAGGCTAGCACAGGCTGGTGGGTAAGGTGGGCAAGGTGGACCGGCGGGGCAGCGGGGCAGCGGGTCTCCCAGAGCTCTGGGGCCTGTCTTTGCTGCGTTCGCTCAATGGCTGCCGGCCAGCACGTGCAGCGCGGCGGTACTTCTATGGCCTGCTCAGCGCTCTCGCCTTCTCCCATGTAGCCTATGGGCATGAGCGGCGAGCTTTCCTTCCCTGCAAACTTTTGGCTCCAGAAAAGATCATGTTGAAGGTAGAACTCTCAGTGGAAAATCCATGCCGCGCTAGCCTCGTGAGAGACCGCTAGTCTCTCGCACGCAGCCTGGACACACTGCTCAGTCGCTTATCGGCGATACATAACTAGTTTGTGCCTGGCCCTCGTCCGTCACTTCCAGCATGGAGGGTGCCCAGCCTGCTAGTTTTCACCATCACGCCACTCGTCCTCCATCCAGATTCTACTGCTTCTTGCTGAGACTGCCGAGACGGGGGAAGACAAGAAAACGGATTCCGACCGGACAAAACCTATTCCTGCGGCGTTGTCCATGTGATAAGCCTCAGTTTCGGAGTCGCAAGTCGCCAAAGTTTCTCTCAACCACGTTTTGTGATCGCTAGCTCACTATGAATTGAACGCTCCCCGCCGATGCTAGAAGAACATTCCATCGCCTGTGGCATATAGACGCATTATCTCGCTGTTATATTCTGTTGTGTCCCCGTGTTATCGATAGCAGTGTCGTGTCATCAAACCCAACTAGCCCACCATGGGCCGACTCAATCGGTTGTACAAAACCGACCGGGCCCGTGACTTCGACCATGAAACAGTGCGCCTATCATTCTACGTATTCGAGCTATTCATATCGTGCTAATTGATACGGATGATAAAATAGGATCGCTATGTGCGCATGCAACAAATTTACGATACAATAGATCGTCAAAGGTTTCAATGGATTGTCGTTTTTGTCGCCGGTGTCGGCTTCTTCCTCGATGGATATACTGTAAGTTTCCAACTTCTCTTCTAGCCAAGTATGTGAATCTCCACTGACTGGAGTAGCTCTTCGCTAGCAATATCGCTCTTCCTATGATCACATATGTCTATTGGCAGAACGATGTAAGCTCGAAACGATCAACCTTCATTAACATCGCTACCCTGGGAGGGACATTACTGGGACAGGTCGCCTTTGGATTTTTGGCCGATAAAAACGGTCGCAAGAAGATGTACGGTGTAGAATTGGTGCTCCTAATCACGTCGACTTTGGGCGTCACCATGGCATCGACAGGAGAACACGCCAGTATGAATATATTTGCTTGGCTGATCTGGTGGCGCATTGTGACTGGTATCGGCGTTGGTGCCGATTATCCCCTCAGTGCTGTCATCACTTCTGAGTACGTTATTCCTTCTATCTGGATTGGACTTTTTGGACAAACAGAATTTTTTTTTTTTTAAACTGACGGCCCAATAGATTCGCCCCGACGAAGCACCGCGCTCGCATGTTAGCGGCTGTCTTTTTCATGCAACCTTTAGGCCAGGTCGCTGGTAATCTTGTTTCGCTTATTGTCGTCGCTGTCACCAGAGGCAACGGTAACGACGACCCCATTCGGTCTGTAGACATCATGTGGCGCTGGGTCATTGGCATTGGAGTTGTTCCTGCAGTGGTGGCTTCTCTCTTCCGATTCGCTATCCCGGAAACCCCTCGTTATCTACTTGATATTGATAACGACCCAATCAAAGCCGAGTTTGATGCCAGTGCATTGTTTGGCGAACAACTCGCCGATGTGGATCCAGAGTTCGATCGACCTTGGGACGGATCGACGCTCCCTGCTTCGTCAAGCTTCTCGCAAGTAAGTGCCGGTTCTATCGACGGCTCTTCAGTTGTTGGCGGTAGCATTTCTACAAATACCGAGTATACATTACATCCCCCAACTCTACAATCTCACTGGCGCCTGGCCTATACCGATATGGTGCATTACTTCTGGACTGAAGGTAATTGGCGCACCTTGGTGGGAACGTCGCTTGCCTGGATGTTTCTCGACTTTGGCTTTTATGGCATTGGCCTTTCAAGTCCTCAATTCCTGGCCAAAGCTTGGGGTTCCTTGAATTTACATGGCCCTGCACCTTCGTGGAAGACTGATGACAGCCCGAACGCCAATATATTCACCATGTTCTTCAATACATCCGTCCATGCCATGGTCATTCTGAACACAGGCAGTGTCATTGGAGGCCTATTGCTTATCCTTATAGCACCCAAAGTCAATCGTGTCTCTCTCCAGAAATATGGATTCCTTACTCTAGCGGCTCTGTTTATCGCCATGGGCGTCATGTTCATCACAACCCACCAAGAGGGGCCGGTTGCAGTAGTGCTGTACATTATTGGGCAGCTGCTATTCAACCTTGGTATGTTTACCGCCTAACCTTCAAGTCCGTATCTCCAAGGTGCTAATTACGCCTCTCTAGGCCCTAATGCCACCACCTACATGATCCCCGCCGAAGTATTCCCCACCCGCTACCGCGCTTTCTGCCATGGCCTGAGTGCCGGGGCTGGCAAACTAGGCTCTATCCTAGTCCAGCTTCTCTCGGCCTACTACAACATTGGCAGCAGTGGCGCGGGTAACGATGAAACGCAACGATATGGCTGGATTCTGGTTGTGTTCAGTGCCGCTATGATCGTTGGCGCCGGCGTCACGCATTTCTTCATTCCGTCAATCCAGAGCAAGAGAAGAGGCGTGCGAACATGCAGCGTTGCGAATTTTTGGGGTGGCGAAAAGGAAAAGACCTTGGAAACCCTGGCGCTTGGTCGACTGGGCGAGAGCAGTCGATACGCGGTGCGACGAACGAGAACTGTACATCGAGTACATGTCCGAGGGGCTTACGAGCCATAAAATTTCTACAACCCCTTTTTTTTGGATGATATCTTTGAGTGCAAAACATTCGTTCTCTTCCTTAGAAAGGAGTGAACAAAAACGACTAACTAGACGACTGCCATCTGTCGGCGATATTCTCATATACCCATATAATCAATCAGCCTCGAATATCGAGTACTCGAGCGCAATCATCTCACTAGACAACCGCGTTCACTGGACGTCTCATCAGCTATACTCTATCACTTATTATGTACATATTAATATGACACTTAGATACTGTCAAAATTATATATCTCTAATTTTCTTCTTAATCACTCAACCTGATATAGTCTATATGCTTGCCCTAATCAAGGGTGGAAAGTGGACACCGTGTTAGGGTTAGGGCTACCGTCAGAACGTAGGTGAAGTGAAGCAAACGCCCCCATGGGGCATTGTTGCACAACAGAATTTTTCTATCCATCTTCTGTAACTGTCAGTTATCTCAATTATCATCTATTTGTCGGAATTTTCCTTCACCTTCCATTTCTTCAGTATCTTCAATTAATAGCCTAGTCAAATGCACTGCATGTCAATCATCATTTTCCATCTAACTATTCACAATTACTATGATGGCGTAATCGGAGAGATGCTGTGACAGAGGATACGATGAAATTAAACATAATCTGCGGTCTCAAAAGTTTAAGGCTGCTTCTATGTTTTATGAATACTTATGGTATGAGACTAACAAGCTTCCCAATGCCCGTATGTTCAGCCGCCACGTCAAAAGCTTCCTTCCATTCCTCCAGTTTGAAGGTCTTTGCGTCCACAAAGTTCTTGTCCCGAGGAAATAGGCCTGCTTGTAGCATCTTGATAAACTGCACAATGTCTGATCGATCATACATTAACTTTCCTTTCATTGAGATGTCTTTGGCCACGAAGATCCAAGGCACCATTGGGTTTTTGTTAAATCCCATGATGCTAATGCGGCCACCACGGCGCAAGGCTTTGATTGCACTTCTTAAATGTGGTGACTCGGATCCATGGGGTGGCGTGAAGTCCAGGACAGCGTCAAGGGGCCCCAACTCTTGCAACGCAACGGCGTCAGTCGTCTCGTCTTGTGTCATTTTGAGAGTATGAATATTTGCGTTCGGTGAGCCTCTAAGCACATGATCCTTCAATCTTGCCAACTCTTTCTCATTGCGGCCCATTGCAATAACTCTCGCCCCCATGGCGATAGCAACCTGGACGCCAGCACCACCATATGTGCCTGTTGCCGGGGCTATGAGAACTGTTTCACCGGGTTCGATGTTGATATCACGAAGTCCGCCAAAAGGAACCAGTAGGTGACCAATGTACATCAGCTCTTGGGTTGAATAACCCAGACTATGGCATAGTGTCGCTTTATCCAGAGGTATGCAATTCTCCAAAGGTACCTTGGCGTACTCGGCAAATGTTCCGTCGCGCCATACTTCCTGCATTAGCTTCTTACTCCCGTCGGAGTCACCGTCGTGGATGGCCGAAAGAAACACGACATCTGGGTTATCGCGTCCGTGAATAACACAATCAACATATACAAGCTGACCGCATTGTAGGGTGGTTGCATCGGCAGCGAGGGAGGCAACATGGCCAATAGCATTTAAGCCACCAATCAGGGGTTTAGGGAAAGAGTAATGGCGCTCGCCGTTATAAACTTCGCGGTGGTAAGAGAGCACTCCGACAGTGTCAATGCGGATAATGGCGCTGCCAAGATCAGGGGTTGGGGTTGGGACCGTTTTGACATGGAAGCCGTCCTCAATGGAGTCGAGGACAAGGGCGCGATGTCGAGCAGGCGTTGACATGATTGTTTAAAATGAACACTAATGGACTAGTACGTGAGTTCAAAGACGGCCAATTTATGGAGGAAACTTTGCCGCATATCACTTAATCTCTGGATAGAAAAACACCATATTGCATATGCATCACTTCGGGGTATTTAAACCCATTAATTGATAGGTTCTCCACCGCAATCAATCAAATTGATGACGTACTGTATTTCTAGACCGATTATCTCCGAGTGTTGATGGAATGGTCCTTACTAAGGCAGGTAATAGACATTGACAGAACGATCAAATGAATCATCAATTGATGTAACAAACTTCGAATGATAAAATCATACGGCGCCTGTCGACTCTCGACACGGAGTTACTTCTCTTCAGCTTTCAGCGCAACTTTTTGTAACGTATTAGCCCCTTGTGCACCACGTCAAACTACGCTCGTACACGTTTCATTAAGAATTAGTTCATCGGATGCGACTTCTGACGTCTTTCTGCGTGTACTGCGGAGATGATCGGTCAATACCCGTCGGAGATGATCGGCGAAGACTAGGGTTGCGGGTGAAGCAGTCAACCAGGGACCGGGTAATTAGACCTCTTTGATAAACGAGGCAATTTGGGGCATTAGGCATGTAGGTGCTTCAATGTTAGTATATATGGACAGTAACATGTCTTTCTCGATATTTAAACACCGGTAGCGCAGGAAAATCTCTACAGAACCTTCCTTTATCAACTTATTAAGAGTTCTCTTAATGAAATGAATATCATGTAGCCTCAATGATCTCATACTAACCACCCGATCTTGATTTTATAAACGCATTAATAGGCTCAATATTATTAGGTTTTTCATAGATAGGCAAGACCGCTAAATCTCGAGCCAATAAGTAGTGCAAAAAGAACGTGTTCGACGAAAATCACAGAGACGTTAGGAACATCCAGAAGGGAATTCTTGCAATTCCGAAACACTTTTTAAATCTTACGATCCCATCCTTGGCCGTTTAGTTCCCCATGAATTCGTCCATACGCCCTCCATAGAAGCTTCGCCCAGGTCCCAGCCCCGAGATTGCTCAATAATCTCCCGGATGCCCCTTGCTAAAGTCCTCACTATCGGAGGTGGAACAGCCCGAGCGAAATAATGGTATGAACCTGAAGGTCCGTCGTAGAAGACGAAGTCATCAGGAAACCCGTAAATCCTCGCGAGCTCCCTGATCGTGACCATATCATTACGTGCTTTAAGATGAAATATTATTAGCCTCTATGAAAATAAAAGGGGTTCTTTACAGAATAAGATGTTGCACTTCTAACGAACTCCCAGAATCATAATGACAGTAGACTTACTGCAATATGATATATTATATGTCGGCGTACCGGTTGCCCTGGTCAGAAAATGAGCCATCTCACTGTCTCCTCAATGTATTACCATCTCCGGTTTAGCGAGCATAGTTTACTCCAGTCGTGACACGTAACTTGAATTGAAGAAATAAGAAGGGAGAGCTTGTCTGAGTTTCCTTTGTCTTATATGAAATTTGAATCACCCTTCAGGGCATTCTGGGCACGCGTTTATTCAGGAGGACCAGGCTGCAATCCCCACCGTCGCCAAATTCGTTCGGCAACATCGATATAGTGTGGTCGTCCCGACCATTTGAAGTCAACCATGTAGCTTCGAAAGATGTCAGCAGACGTTTCCACATACTGTACTCTCAGCTTACCATTTCTCATTCTCAGCATCCCATATGAGAGTTGGGTTGCCACCCTTACTCACTACTCCACATCGTTTGGTATCCCTGTGTACAAGTCGGTTAGTATATAGATAATAATGCTTTTGCCCAAAAACCGGTACTTACTCGAGTGCTTCTTTGAAAGCTTTAAAAACTTTTCCTTTCAGCCTGAGGCATGTGTTGGTAGTCCCCTTCACCAAGTGGGACTCCAGGACACCAGGTCATAAGAAGATAAGAGATGAAGCCAGTGGGCACAAGGCCATCGTCCTCTTGTTTTGTATGCAATTCTGCAACCAAGTGTGGAGCATGCTAGGCTGTATTTTCTGCAAGTTTACGCAGAGCCTTGATCTCAGATGCCATATCCTCTGACCGGTTGGTATCAGCTTGTGCTTTTCTGGTAGCAGCGCTCATAAACTCAGTATCAATCCAAGGAGCCCTAGGTGATTCAATGGATTAGGAACCAAGACTTCGATAAAACTGAGAATATTATACAGCCTACTGCATGTAAATTTTCATGGCATGCTTAACTCCCATATCATCTTTTCGCTTGCATGAGAATACCGCCCGTATAACGGAGGGTAGATTAGGAGTAATACTCTCTTCTCTGGTATGCTGGATTGAGTCCTCACTCAGTTTTTGTTCGAGCACCCAGATGACATCAGGATCGCTAGGAAAAACGATTTCTTTTCCTTGCCAAACGTCAGATCCCAAAAACTTCATCTTCGTATTTAGAAGCTTTTGAGGTCCGTAATAGCTTTCAAAGGTTGTTATAGATTTTCCAAAGGGACTTTTTCTAAAGAAAAGTGAAGTTGGAGCGGGGTATGAGACGTGGGTATGAATGAGGATTGATTTCTTTCAGCAGGCAGCATCAACATTGGCCAGTGATCACATAATTTGCTAATTCTGAAAAGAATTATGACATCAAAACATCCTGCACGTGACTAAACTCAACTCATACAGTCTTATTTTGACTATATAATAATTATTAATGTACTCTGCTGCTCTCATACGGAGAAGTGGCTCCACCCACTCATGCAGGTGCCATATCCAAAGCTCCACTATTAATAGGCCCGCCAATATAGACACGCGCCTACGAGTCACAGTACACAGCTCATACACAACCAGACCCATCAGATTTACGAGCAAATTCGAGACAAGAAAAACAGCAACTCTTTGATGACGATAAACTTAGTAAATCTAGGTTAAATCCGTGCGGAAGTCTTGTCGAAATAAGAAGGTAGTTTCATGGCATGGGATTTTGAAACTCACGTGAGAACACGAGGATCCTTGATCATATCAATTTTTGCATTTTAAAATATATAGAATCAGAAATAAGGATTATTCTTTCACTACAAGGATTGATGTATTTAGTCTAATCCTGATGAAATAAACGCTATACTTGGTTATATCCTCGAAAAATTTTATACTGGGCCTTTTCAGCCAGTAATCAAAATTGCTCGATTTCAATGTATTTAGGATTGAAAATGTAATATTTAATTATCCAATCCAGTAAGTAAGCCACCATCAGTTTCTACTATGTATCTTCCGACTTCTCACTACGCAATATGTTCCTTGATAATTATTATAAACATCGAATTCTCTTTATACCGATAGGATGCTATTATAAGCGATATTCTACTATTTGACAATATTAAAATCATATATCCAAGGCACGTATCATATTATCTTGATATTTTGTCCATAAGTAGCCCACTCAAATGTTTGTAATCGACGTCATGGATATCGGCATGACTAAAGTAAGACACTAAAAAATCACTCACACCAATTCTTTACATGTATACCAGGTTATTTTGCGTTTATGATGCTCAGAGTGACAGTATTCGAGGATAGTACACTTGTATAGTGCATATCAATTGATTTCAGCGTATCCATCTAGTAATCTAGGGACAGGTACGATTTTTTTTGAACTATATGTGCGGAGTTATTTGCCGCTAGTAAAAAGATCCAGTGGACTTGCATGATCTGTATGATCTGGATGTCTTCTTTAATGTCTTAATCAGACAAGTTGAATATTTACCAACAACGGTACAGGAAGCGTGCATTCTGATTTTAAATTTCAGATTGCGCACAGCAGACAACTTTACTGTAATCTTCGTCTTACCTTTTCATATTCTGATCTATCTCTCCATTCAATGCTGTTCAATGACAGGTAAAAGCAAAAATGACCCAGTAGCCCCGCCAGTATAGATCGTCGTCGTTCCTCCGAACACATCAGCCGGTCTGTCCTCGGGATGATCATGCAACCACGGGCCCGATCCTCTCGAAACCCACTCTCCTGTCGGTATATCAGGTGGTAGAGGTCGCTCAAAGTCCTTGCCACCTATCTGAAGCGCGATCTGAAATCCAGGAGGCAAGATGATATGTGTTGGCCAGATTTCTATATCGAGCTCATAGACCTTATCAGGATCAAGAAGCTGGATCTCGTCATGGGTGTGGTATGGTCGATAAGGTAAGCTACGTTTAGAGTCGAGTTTTCGATGAGATGCACGAAGCCACCCCTGAGCAAGGGGCGTGCGTGGGTCAATACTACCTGGAAAATCAACTTCTTTACCGTCTGGTGAGAAGGCCTGTAACGTTACGAAGAAGTCTGCGTCAGAAGTTGAGGACGAGACGAAGAGCTTCGCTGCCATTGGACCCGTTATCTCAGTCTCCTGGCTAGATGGAGGAGACATAAATGTCACAGGTTCGCCTAGGGCTTCAAACATAATACTGCTTTGCTGAGTTGGAAACTGCCACGTCAGGGCCTTTTTTGATGCTTCAAAGTATATATTCGTCCATCGTGTTGACCGCAACGGCCACTCGGGCTCTCTACGAAGTTCAAATTCGGTACTGAATGGCCGCCTTAAGTGTAGTAGCACAGGGGACTCTTGGCCCCAGCCATTATCGATTCCCTTGAGGAAGTGGTCAAGGAATTGCCTTTGCATCTTTATCTTTTCGTCAAGGTAGAACCACTCCTCGTGCCTACCAGGGTGAATCTCTAACCACTTCTTAGTCGATGCGGCTTGAGTGAATGCTTCGTAGTTTCCTCGCCCGTGAAGCCCAAACCCACCTAAGTTAGCTGCACTGAGAAAGGGCACTGTAATTTTAGACCAGTCGGCGGAGCGTCCCCGGTAATACTCATCGTCCAAATGATGATCTAGAGCCGACTTCGCAGGATCAGCACGATTTGCGAGTAAATCATCCTCTGAAAGCCGTTCTGGACCAGTCGCACGTTCCATAAGCCATGGATCCATTTGTCCTTGATCATTTCCATGTTGATTTGAGACAACTTGACGCGAATACCATTTATCAACGAATGAAATTGAAGCAATTCCACCATGTCGAAATTTGTCACGGTAGTAATCTGCTGCGCCTTCCCATGGGATCATGGCGGCCAGATGGGGTGGTTGCAAAGAAGCAACTAGCCACTGCGAGACTGCATAATAGGAGATGCCCAGCAAACCAACTTTTCCATTACTCCACGTCTGGCATGCTGCCCACTCGATAGCCTCATAGAAATCCTTAGTCTCACGTGGAGAATAAACATCGAGGAACCCTGCAGTTCTTCCCGCTCCTCTAGAATCGACCCGAATGCAAACATAACCCCAACTGGTCCAAAGCTCCGGGTCAACAGTCTCCCATGTCATATATGACTTTGTGGAGTTTGGGAGAATGTCGGGGTGAGTTTTCAGAAGCCACTCCCATTGACGAGCGTAGGGGCCGGATTTATATTCCACTCCTTTTCCATACGGGCCCTGTGTCATAATAACCGGTGCAGGTTTTTCGTCATCAGGCCTGAAAATGTCGGCCCGGAGTAGAAGTCCGTCGTCTGAAGGGATACCCACATCACGTTCGATGATCATCTTGCCTAGGTGGTTCTAAAGACTTTTTGGTGTAATTGAGCACGGGATGACAGAGAGTTCTGCGTAATATTCAATCACTTCAGTGCCGTAGGCTCTACAATACCAAAATTTGGAAGTGATAGCGTGAATCAGTGATGTCCGTCTCTGTACGAACCTATCTTCGATAACTTGCTATTTATAAGATGTTTCACCCATGTACGAAGCATTAACGTCATATCAATCGGATATTTTCGGAGTCGAATTCAAAGACAGCTTCCAATCGCCGCGTGGTCTAGTTATAATGCTGGTCCAATTGAATGAATGGAGTGACCGAGGACGGTGGGTTTCTTATTGCGGGGTACAATATGCTAAATATTTATGGAATTTTAAAGAGCTTTTTAGAGCCAAATCCTATACCCCCCAGCCGGATACAGACGGTGAATGTGTGGCTTAATTACAAATGTCGGTCCCAATCGAACGTATATATTGACCGAGGGCAGTGGATCTCCCCACACTTTCTGAAGACCACCCTGAGAAATAAAGACCACTTAATGGTTTATATGTAAAATTCAGGTTTAGTGGCATACTAACGACGCCACAGAACTCGGTCGTTAAATAGGTGTAATTGGCTACCATGGACATAGGAACGGGTATCCACATATCCACATTCTCGGAGATAAAGGAAACACGGATATATGAACGGAGGTAGAAACATAGTAAAGCCATTTACTGTTGCTATACTGAAAATTAGAGCCTTGTAAAGGGAAATGTTCCTTATGTTGTGTTCTTTGGCCCAGTATGATTCCTTAAGCACACCAGACTCAGGGCTTAGCGTAAGGGCAGAGATCGCGACAGGGATCACATTGCTGAATTCTGAAAATCAAAGATGTAGACACAGGTAACAGTAGCCATGCAATAGAAGTACTTTATTGATAGGGTAAGATCTGATCACTAGATAAATTAAACCTATGTCAGATATATTGAAAGGTACACCATATGTATCTATTCTAACGTGGGTTAATACGATACGTTCCCATAAAACTAACTTGCTCTATCATCCAGCTGTCTTTTTCAAACAACAGCAAGCAACTTCCGATCTTGTGCCATTCGGGCAGCAGCTAAAAATACACCACCCAGGAGAAAGCTCACACCGGAGTAAATCGACAAGGACAAGTAACCGTACTTTCCAGCAAGCTGGCCGCTTATAGGAGTTCCGGCAAGAGATCTAGACAATTCATTAGCCTTTCCACTCCGAACCAACATAGGGCACAGAAATATCAAATCCTTACGAGAGCGATATGGATGCCATGATAGCTCCCAGTGTCACTCCACGAGCATGAGGAGGTGAAAGCTGTGTGGCACAGGCTGTTTGAAGGGCAAAAATGCTCTAGACAAGGTTACTTCACATCAGTATTATTTCATTTTGACAGCACAGAATCAGAAGGTGTACATACCCCTTCTAAAAATCCATAAGCAATAGAGAAAATAACCAGACCAGCAACGGAGTTTACGGTTGTCCAACATAAAACAACAATTCCAGCAACAAATGTTGAAAAGGTGATGCTGTTGAATGTCCCATAGTGGTCTGAAACAATTCCCATAGTGATCCGACCAACAAAAGAGAACGCATTGATGATAGAAACGCTATAGAAAGCCAAGCTAGACGAAAAGCCTTTGGAAATAGCATACGAACTGATATAAAATAATGGCGAGAGCATGCCGAAGTATACAATGAAGAGTGATAGGCAAGTGAGCCTCACTACTGGCTTGCGCAGTATAGAGAAATCTGCTTCCCGCTTATTGGTCATAGATGCGTGCTCGAGTTCCTCCGCTAATGGTTTTGGTGTCTGTTGACTCACAATGGTCTCAGGACTCCTTTCATCCACAAGGTTGGCATTAATGTTCGGTGGCGGACGAACAAAGACACAGGTTATGGCAAGAAGAGGAAGCATTATGAATCCCACGATCCGCATAGTCCACTCAAATTTCAGGTTTGGGTAAGTCAGCAATCTTTCAATTGCGATAGGCAAGGTAGTTCCTGCAACAGCAGCACCAGAGAGAACGATCCCCATCGCAGTTCCAGACTTCTTTTTGAACCATTGGCTAACGTACACGGTTGATGGACAGAAAACCATAGCCATCGAAACCCCGAGAAGAACACCTTGAGCTAGAATGAATTGGTAAAGCTTGGTGCACAAAGAGGTTAACATTAGCGCAGAAACTATTCCTACAGAGCCGATATAAATCATGATCTGTTGATAGGTATTAATCATAGTCAAATGTACTCCAGCAACAATCGACTTACTTTTCCCCCAAACTTGTCAACAAGCGAGCCGACCACGAATGTTCCACTGTAGACGCAGGTAACGCTAATCGCTCCCAGCCAGGAGATGGTGAATTGGGATTCATCTGATAGCTGGTTTTTCTTATAATATGCTTCAAAGACGCCGAACATGCTATTAATTCCTACGGTGGCAAACAGTGCGAAGAAGCCACCAAGGACGACGAGACAAGCTTGCGGCCTAAAAGTTGTCTTCAGCTAGTTTCACTTGAAAAGGATAATAAAGTGTGACACCTACGTGAATTCGCTTTCCACTCTCGAATTGAACAGCATATTTCAAGTTCTTTAATTCTTGGAGCCTATTGTTTGGCCTCTCAGGAAAAGGCAGGAAAGGAATGGTTATCATTCTGGTTCAATTGAAGCGACCTGTTCGGTTTATAAATATGATATTGATAGAGAATTGTATATTCAGAATGTGGACTATGCCACTTAATCTTTCGGAACGACCGCTAAGGTCAAAGCTTACCCCAAGTATACACCTCGGGGTAACAAAAAGTTGGCTAGAAATCATGTCTACAGCAGCCAATTACATCGACTTAATACCCGAGCACTGTGGAACGATCATGACTCGACGCTATGGCCTGGCGTCATTACTAAACCTCAATTTGAAAATAAATGTTTTCATCTTTAGTAGTTGGGCACTTGGATAATATGCCATTTTAGTACTTCAAATGCTGTTTCATTACTCCATATAGAGCCCACCACTCTCGGCCATTGGATGCGTTCGATTGGGGCCAGTTTTCTAAATAGTTTACTAAAGCTGTTATATTTTAGGCTTAGCAAAACTCAATATCCCAGTAGGCTATTCCTCCAAAACCCAATTTCTATGGTCCGTGAAGAACAACGATTTTGATTCCTCCGCAAGCGCTATGAAGTCTGCCGTGGAATGGAGACCATGTACTGTGCCCAGTTGCCACTTGATCAAGTATTGAAGTGGCATTTGCCATGCTGGAGAGGAGGATTCATGGCACGACACCATAGCTACATCGGCATTCTCAGCGATATCTAAGCACTATTCAGCTTTAACATCCCTAGGTGAGAATATACAGAGTAACTGCATTATTTCAACCTCAAAGATAGTCTCCTTGAGAACAGCTTCCTTTAAATGGCTCCAACGATGTAATCGAGACTAACGCTAGATCTGCAGTGTTCTGATAGCATATTTCAGAACTAATCATTGAAATCAATGAATTATTTAAATTTAGCTGTAAGCTACAGCTACTTCTTCTACTACACATATGAAAATTTCAGTCCCCTTCTGCCAAACGCTTCAAAAATGTAGGCCAAATATGCCAAATCTTCCCTGGGGCTTAGACAGAACTGGTGCATAACATAGGATGTAAGCGTCGCAACTATTGCTGTCCCAAAACTTTTGTTTGCACAATCAAGCATTGAATCAGATATTCTCTGTGCATAATAGCTGCGTCGAAAACTCGCGCTGGTAAGAGCTGATTGTTTGTTATCCCCTTGGGAAAGAGGGGAAGCGAATTTGCATGAAATGCTATCTTGTAACCCAGGGTGATGAGATAAATTAGAATCAAAGTCGGTGGATTCCTGCATTTTGTTGGAATCCAACCCCACGGCATTTAAAATCTGCAATGCTGCAGTAATTGTTGTATAAATAATTACCAGTCCAAGCCAATAAAGAAGAAGTAGAGGTATGACAGACTCATTCCTGAATGTTACTTTCCCATCGGTGGCGTTTATTTGATTCGGATTTGAGGTTGGCTTGATCAGGAATAACGGTCCATTAAAATCACAAGTATTTAATTTATGGTACCATTGTATCAGCTCCTCTTCGATATGGAACGCTTTAGCCAGCAGACTAGAGGCTTGACTAGGACATATTTCTTTGTTGGAAGACTTCATCCGTTCAAATTCTTCGACTATGCCTGGTATTTTAAACAAGATATCGAGAAGTTGACTGTAAATGTTTGAGGATGTTTCTGTACTAGGGCGTATTGTCTCTGAGAGTGGAATATCACAGCGACCTATGCACGCGGCCAAAAACTAGAATCTGCCATCAGTATTTGACACATAATATAAGGAAAGAAGATACATAAAAATGAGCAGAAACCCACAGCAATTGTATGGAGTCGGCATAGGTCATGACCTGTAAGTGATAGACCTGATGAGCGGCATTGGTTGGCAAAATTACATGCTGCCTTCACATGGATCATCCACGATTGGATATCACTAGGTACACAAGTGTAAAGCTCATACATAGCTAAGATCATGGCAACATGGATGAAATCATGGGGATTTCTGACATGCTGATAAGCACACACTTTTTGGATTGCCAGAGTGTAGTATTGTCTACTAATGGCGAGGAGGTAGTTGTCCTGTTGTGACATAGCGATGTGTGTGAGAGTTAAAGCGAACACCGACGCATCAATTATCGTAGATTTAGATTCCATTAAAGTTGGGAGAATCTCGGCCCAGGAGACCGACGTCATATAAGTTTGTGTACCTGACCATTTTGGCGGCAAATAATCTCTGAGAAAATATGAGAGGAGTTGCTCCTGGTATTGTCGTGCCGTGATGCATTTTTCATTATGAATAAAGTGGGACTGGCTGCCCTGGATAGTACTGGAAGCAATCACTATTTATGCATACAACAGCTGGGTATGAATGAGCAAGATCGAACCTACTATTGCGGATATCCCCTGCAGGTCACCGTTGACACATGACATCGAATACATTCAGGCCGCGTTTTATCGCACTGAAGTCGTGTGAGCCGTCACCAACGCGTACTTAGCCTCATATTTTCAGATACTAACTTTAACTTTCCTCATAAGGCATGTTCGACAACTTTGTGATTTCCACGAACTTCTCCCCATACTTCGGTGCCGCTACTTCTTTCAGCAGCCTGGTTATTTTGCTGACCGGCAAGCGAGCTACATTACTAGCCCGATGAATGTTTAAGAGCGTATAGTATAGACTTCGCGGCATTAACCCCGGCTTTACTCGGTCATACGCCGCAGCCGGATTAATCATTTTCCCCTCACCTGGCAGCGCCACCTCCACCTCCACATTATCATTAATTCGACGTTCAGCTCTCGACATGTCGATGCAGCAGATTGGGAGATATGGCGGCAGAAAATTAGATTCGCTGTTCAGACTACTAGCTACATATAATTTGCTAGTTCAGAGTATCATGGCTTGTATAGAGAATAGATTCATTACATATTTATTCAATGTAACATGAAAAAAATTGGAAATTATATCTCATTTTTCAAATACTTTGAAAATGTAGTTTTACTCTTTAATAGGAAAATATCTATAGAACTACATTGATAATTTTAGTAGGCGAATACATATATATAAAGATCTTGGACACCTGCTAACCAGATGAAGGTGGTTCTTCCAACAGCAACACTCATCTGCGATTGGCCAAGTTCAAAAGAGTCGATAGTAATCTACTCAAGTCGACGCTCCTCCCAACATCAAATGTGACTTCCCTCATCAGCAATGAGTCTCATTCGCTCGGCGCCATGCTGACAACATGAACCCAGCATTGATTCAAAATATAAGAAATGAAAGCTGCAGATAAATGAGCAGAAGACTATAATAAGTATATAAAGTAAAGATTATAATTTAGAAAGAATAGATTTAATAAACAGTATCAATTAATAAAATTATCAACTATTTTTATATAGATTATTTATCATTAAATATGATAGATATATACAGTAGGGTGACAAAAGTTTGAATATAGCACCACAAAAATGGATAAGGTATGGGTGCCCTCCCCATATCAATACTAATAATATCTCAACTGTTGCATTATTTACAGGCGACCCCCAAAAAGCCTAAATTAACCCGACATAAATGAGGTAAATGCAGATGAAAGACTGGTAGGAAATCTTAATACTATATTCAAACTTTTGTCATATTAGTGTAAGCATGAAACTTATAGATAGCTAAGATTATAGTAACATGGATGAAATTATGGGGATTCTGACATTATACATGCCAGCATTTTTTTTCCCGCAGTTTCAAGCGAGATATTCATACAACTCCGACACTAATCATCTGCATGTCGTCGTTATGCCTACAAAGCTACACGGTAGAAGTTTAATCTACAAACGAATACAATACTATTTCAATATGACAACATCCTATACGTTATATATCTTTATGATGGGCATTGGAGATTACTAGCAATTACATTGAAGTTAGGAGGACGGGTTCGGAACATGGAGAGAGCTTTTATGGTTAAGAGATCCGATTCCTCTAATAACAATAAAGGACGCCAGCATATTTTCAGCCATGGATATTCGTTACAGAGATTGCGAGTCGATTACAGACGATGAGAATATGAATTTCGATACTCCAGGAAATCCAGCGGAAATTGCGGACACTCCAGCGAGTGCTACAGTTGCAACGAATAATCCAGCAAATGTACACCCTACCCTCAGGCCTCCTCATCTTCAGGATGTTACCGCTACTCACCATGCCTGGATACTACAACATCGCAGTAACATGTAGTCGATTCAACGCAAAAATTCCTCTGAAGCTCCGAGCGGTATACAAATTGAACCATCTATGGAAACATCAAATGTTTATAAAGATTCAGACGACCAAAATAGTGACGATGACTGCCTTTACGTGCTCAATAAATATCTGAGTTCTGAGAATATGCGTTTTCTTAACGGTCTCAGAAATGGTCTCAGACGGAACTGAAGCATTGAGTTGCAGAAAAACGCATTGGAGGTTATTCTAGCAAATAGAGACGCCTTGCACGATGCCAATAATAGATTGGCGCTTTGGGTCAGAATTCTTTTAGGATGAAGATCAGTCTCTTTGTAGAGGTCCGTCGGTGATATCTTATTTGCAGCACTGGAGAAAATCAACCTCGAGCTACCTAAAGATCCAAGGTGAACTTGTAAGAATGGCAGACTATGTTGTCTATGCAAACAAATCCCATGGTCTGGTTCCGGGGATGTTAGTTTTGATACAGAATTAGGAGGAGAAGAGAGCGAAGAAGGTGAATAGAACGGAGAATCAAGACAAATCAGTGTCTTTTTCTTTGTTTAAATGAGCTACAGAAATTCATATTGGTATGAGAAATACTCTCCAAGCACGTATAGTTAATTGTACACATGCATAACAAAGTAATGAGGATATTCCACTCTCACTCAATCGTCTCGTGGTGTGGGGCTAGGCGAGTAGCTGTCGGCCAGTTAGCGTAATCTACCGCGATAATAATCTGCTCAAATCGACGCTCCTTCCCCACATCAACTGTCAGCAATGAATCTCATTCGTCCAGCGCCAGGCTAACATTATGAACCCGGCATTGATTGGCTGCGCAGTGAGCAGGTTAGAGATGGTTTTCAAAACGGGCCGAATATATAGGTGATGCTCTTGCACTTGCATTGGTGTTCTTCTTTGTGCCATACTATAGACTTCATTTTTCAGCGTACTTTTGCATCGAGATACCCAACCGTAATCAACAGAAATAAAAGTCATGGATATGTCTGGGATGACCATGGCTACGGCCTCGACCACAGCTTCTGCTGCGTCGTCTGCTATGACTTCGATGAGCAGCATGTCTAGCATGGATATGGGGACCGGGAGCTGCAAAGTATCTGTATGTATCTTTCTCTCGTTATCTTAACCCTAAGAGTAACTGCTGACTGTGCTGTGAAGATGCTGTGGAACTGGGATACAATTGATACATGTATGCACCTCCCAAACACAGCCCACCACCACATCAATTGATGTACGATGGCCCTGATTGTTCTGTTCTAGGCTTCATATCAAAGTCCTGGCACATCACCTCCCACGGCATGTTCGCCGGTTCCTGCATCGGCGTCATCCTACTAGTCATGACACTCGAATTCCTCCGACGTCTCTCCAAGGAATACGACCGCTACATCCTGCAGCGCTTTAAGCGAGAAATCGCCCTCGATGCATCCTACAAGCGAGCGCAAAAGGCCACGGGTGTAGAAAGCTCCTGCTGTGTTCCCGAAAACGACTCTAATACCGGTGACAAGAACGGCACCACCACCACTATGAACAACAATAATCCTCTCTTCTGTGCTGGAGCAGCACCAACGATCCGCTTCCGCCCGACTTTCGCCCAGCAGAGCATTCGCGCCCTGTTGCATATGGTCACCTTTGCGGTTGCGTATTTTGTGATGTTATTGGCTATGTATTACAATGGGTACTTTATTATTTGTATCTTTATTGGTGCATATCTTGGCGGGTTTGTGTTTACGTGGGAAAGCATCAGTATTGCGTCTGAGTGAGTTTATCGTTTGAGTATTGATGGTTGAGCATGGCTGACTGAGTAAATTGTAGACCGACTCCTGCTGGGACAGCGGCGACGGAGGAAGTGACCGTGTGTTGCGGATGATATGAATAGAGTGCTGAACGGATAGTACATATGTAAAGGGCATGATATTGTGATACCATTAGTGAATAGCTCAATAGACTTATTTACCTCTACTATATTAAGGACTTAAAGTTGAAGCTTCTGGAGCGATCGATATTTAATCAAATTAAAATAAACGCAAACATCAATTGATATTGAGTAATCTTCTTCTGTTACGCCTTAAGCCTGGTGCATGCGTACATGTAATTGTCGATATAGTATGATGAATAATGAATGAATTAAATCTATATATCTATGAACAGGCTGTCAAATGCCGACTAAATAAGTATGTTTGATCAATTTCACATGTACACGAACACATCGTACTAGAACTTCAATATTGCTTTTCCATTTTCACGTCCACAATCCAAGTGAACTATAGTGAAAGCTCTAGTTCCTTCTCAACTTCGTCGGCGCGGAGGCGGGATTGGCGCCTTTCATAGTACACGACAAGCGCGTAGGCAATGCTAGACACGGTTCCAACGAGGGCCATAGCCATCAGAATCCAGTACCCCTTCCTGTAGTAGTTTGGAGCATCGCTCTTCAAAAAACAGAAAACAGCTACGATTCCGCCCGAGTTGCCAACACCGATCACCCAGCCGGAGCCAATACTACGTTGAGCATGACCGTGCAAATTCATAAGAACCCAACAAACGATGATTGCACCAGCACTAAAAGCACCCATGGTGATAAGGCAAATTCCCAGATACTCGACAGAGAAATGTTGTGTGCCATGGAAGCTCAACATTAGGGCCACTCCGATAATGATGAGGAGATCTCCAAAAAGAATGAATGGGAAGCGAATGCCTGCTCGGTCAGACCAGACTGCCATGATCAAACAGAGACCGAGAGCAGCAGCAAATGGGGGGACACTGTGTAATTGCGTTTGAATTGTCTGGTATCCCAGTGCCTTGATGATAGTAGGTGCGAAGTAGGAGAAGGCGTAGATAGGAATAACGATGGCTAGAATTTCTCGTTAGAAGGAGGAAAATTCTATATCACAGGGGGGGGGGACCTACTGAAATACTGGATGGCGGCCAAGTACACTTTGATGTCTTTGAAGAAATCGCGCACATCAGACACTTGCACCGTCGTGTCGCGATCCTCATCGTTGCGAGTCTTAGCAACAATCAGGGCCTTTTCGTCCTCAGTCAACCAGCTGGCTTCTTGTGGGAAATCGGCAACACAAAAGAACGCGGCGATGCCAACTAGGATGGACGCAACTCCTTCCAAGAGGAAGATCCACTGCCAGTTGTGTAGACCTCGCAGGCCGTCCATGTTAGCAATGGCAGAGGCCAGTAGACCACCAAAGGCGCCAGCGAAGATGACTGAAGACCAGTAGACGGTAAATCGCTTCTGCGCTTCAACTCGTTTGTACCAGAAACTAATCAAATAGAAACTGCCGGGGAAGATACCAGCCTCAGCCAATCCGAGGAAGAAACGGGTCGCGATCAAACCACCATAGGATTTCACAAAGGCTTGGCCGAGCATAATAACCCCGAAGGCGATGATACATCCGGACAGCCACACATGCGGGGTGAATTTCTTCATTAGAATGTTGGAAGGAATCTCAAACAAGACATAGGGAACGAAGAAGACGAGCAAGGCGACATTTTCGCGGTCGCCATAGAGATTAAGGTCGTCCGGAAGACTCATGGTGAGAGCATTCGAGATGTTGACCCTGGCGCGGGTTAGCACGAGTTGAATGAAGGAATATTATTTATTTAATAGTCCGATTTAACGGCGGTATCCAGCCTCCAGCCTACGAGGGGAAATGATCAAACGTACCGGTCCAAGAATGCGACTAGGTAGATGGCAAAGAGCATTGGCATGACCCTGAAGTCAATCTTGCGAACGAGCTTGGCCTCGTCGACGTCGCTAGGGAAGGCTCCCTTCTCCATGCTGGGCGAATTGGAGTTGGGCGGAATGGGATCAATTTTGTCATCCTCTGCGAAGCGATTAGCAATCGATTGATTGTTTGACGGCGGAAGCCGGCGACATACCTAGAGCACCCATGGCTGGTGGTGTTTTGGAGCTGTGCAGGTGAGGAAGGAGGGGAGCCAGGCTGCGCGCAGAGGCAGTTGCAGAAATGGCGGGCACGTGAATGGCCTGCTGTTTTGGCGTGGAATGTTGACGATGCGTTTTGTTCTGGTCTGGCTGGCAATCGTCGTGGGTTGAGCGTGCATTATTATTATACGGCCAGGCGTGACCCACTGGCACTGCAACTACCCACTGCCTAGTACTACAGTGTGAGACCCTCCGGCTACTGCGACACGACTAAGGACTACGGAGACTGCTATGACTGGTCCGCGATCGGCACCCACAGAGCACGCATTGCCGAGCGCGCGAAGGAGCGAACGATGGTCGAACACAGGTCGAAACGGCCTAAATGGCGCTTTCTTACTAACATTGTCCTACGTGGTGGATGTGGCACAGCAGACAGGAGTAAATTAACGCAGCGAAGGCGTTCGGTTAGCCTGAGTAATATTCTTATGAATATGAACTAACGGAGCCATTGAATAGCGGGATCATAGAGAGCATAACACGGCATGAGGCAAACACTCGAAAATCAGATGCAGTGGGCACCCGCTTCCTTTTATGCTTTATGCGCCGAACGCACATCATGGTGATGGTGTATTTGGCCCTCACTATGTACGGATATGGATTGGCATGATCGTTATTATGAGCTGCACGAACAGGCTTCTCTGCAGATCACTCGGAAGTCAAGCAGCAGACACCGCGAGGAGACAAAGCCAATCCGCGCACGACGAAGGGGAAGCTGATTGGCACTATAATTATTAGTTGGGATTCAATATTGATTAGTAGCTGACTGCATGCAGGGCTAGTGGGCCTAGTACGTACAGTGCGTGGTGCGTACTCAGCCGGCGGGGCCATATGAATGGCATCAAGGGTCAATCAATAGGAACAATAGACGGTAACTAGGAATTATCGCGGATGAATGATTGAGTCTTTTAGGCCAACGGAGGACGGCTGTTTCTGGAGTAGCGTGGCCGGGGGGCCGGGGTAGCCTTAGGGGTCCCTAGGTCGCCTAGAACTTCATTGGTCTGTTGACTTAAGGTAAGAGCGCGGCCGCCCCTATTGATCGTTTACGCTTTGTGGTAACCCGCCCAACACCATCCCTCGGACCGGGTTCTGATTGGTGGAATGGTGTATGTACCTCCACTTCCCCCATAGTGTGGGCCATCTCCACCAATCGCAGCGTGATCTGCCGTGAAAGTCGAAACCCAGGCCTGTGCTTGGCTGGCTCGAGAATCTAAGTTTGCTTCTTCTGAATTACCGAATTCGTTTGACTTTGACTCGGAATATTCATCCGCATCCTGAGAGGAAGAAGACGAAGGAGGAGGAGGAGAATGATAATAATAATAATATAGGATCATGTTTGAGATTCAAGATCCCCAGACGGCGACGCTTCAGCCGTCCGTCTTCTGGAACATCGAGAAGTCTATTCCCATCATTTGGGGCGATACGAGCTACCAACCCAGACTATGGGAATTGGATCGTACTACGTATCTGCTCGATGCATGTCGTAGTAGCACGATCGCTGAGGAAAGCTTGGCAACTCGGGCTTCGGTCAGTATCAAGTTAATTACCACAATCACATCGAGACTTCAAACATTACTGCTAATACTCCGTCGTCGAATAAGTAGCAAGAACAATCTAGTAGCAGTCTGAGTCTCGGCCCGTCTCGCCACGTTGCTCTCTGTCTCAGCCATACCCTCCCTGCAGGTGGCTTGTGGCATCATACGACGTAGGGTTATGAAACTGCTCTCCGCCCCCACAGCGGCACAGCAGCACGTAGTATTAGCTACAGCCGAACCGATGCAATAATTCCACCGTGTTATTCTTCTTCGTATATAACTAGTCCTCTTACTCTATACCAGTATAGCATATAGTACAGAGCTTATTCCGATTAATTGCCTGATGTGTGCGGATTATGCACTATTAAGTGTTAACGTATTACCAGATCCAAAGAAAACTCGGCATGGGGGCCAGATGGAACACACAGGCTGATTACATGACGCCCCGGCGAGCACGTGTTGTTGCTGTTCCTACACAGTCCTCAAAATTGAGACGGTTCTGATTGCAGCAGGAAGCAGGCGATCCGCTGGAAGATATAGCAATAGTGGCAGAGGCGGACCGAGTATTATGAACAAGAGCATTGTATGTATGCTGAGCTTAATCAGTTCACTCACGATTCGCGCAGGAAATTATGGGCGATGGCAGGTGCCAACTCTGGAGGAAGGACCCCCCAGACCCGTTTTCGCCCGGAACGGCTAGCAGCGCTGCGTATCACTTACCGGCTCTGACTAGTATAAGCATTCACTAACCACTACCACTCCCCGCAGCACCAATGACCACGCTGACACTGGCGACGACGATGGAGGCAATTCCTGTCCCGTCTTGGCTTTTCGGCGACAGTGAATTATCCCCCGTCCTAGCGACCGCAACTGCTATGGCGTGCTCCACTCCTCCTCACTGGCCGCCATTGCCCCGTTGCCGGCGGGGTGTCTGATCCTTCCACCATCTTGCTGAAGAGATGAGCATTGCGTATCCATTTTTACTTCTTCACTATGCTACTAGTATCAGGCTATGAGCTTGGCTACCGTCCGCGTATTTCTATGCATGTGCGTGTGCATCCTGGTAAGACCTAAGCGCTGATTCCACTCCTTCCGCCTCCTCCACAGCCCTGACCGACATGGAATATAAGGGTGAGAAATGAAAAAAATTGGTCCTTCTTAAAGTATGCAGGCGGCTAGAGAAAGGCTCGGATTTCCCACCCTTAGCCTAATGCGGTCAGCCAAACTCCTCAGGACTTACAGGAGACCTCGGGGTGTTATACTTTATAGTTGTTGTTCATTCCCACTATCCAGCAGTTGCGTTGTTGTCAAGAACAAGTCCCCCGGATATCCTCGCTCTCACATCCAAGATGGCTACCACAACGATCGCGTCGGCCGCCCAGTCGACGTCGACGTTCGTGCCTTACCATGAACCTCCTCCGGGCGTGACGTCGAATCCCGATCATCCAGAGTCGCTTGTTAAACAGACCGACATTACTATCGGGATAGCCCTGCCCATGGTTACCATTTTTTATTTTGCCCGTGTTTACGCACGGGCCGTCATCAAGCGTTCCTGGATAGTTGAAGACTGTAAGACTTTCAAGCCGGAGATGTGACTGTCGCTAACTGAAATTAGGGCTCACTACAGTAACATGGGTGAGTTTGTGTAACAAGATCCAACAGCAAAACTCCTAACTAATTGATATCGTCAGGCCGGTATAGTATCATACTGTGTAGTGATGAGATTTGTCATGGCAAATCATGGCGGCCAACATGTTTGGGATATCACTGCCGAACAGGCCAAAGACGCTGCATACGTGAGTAATCAATGTGCCATGGGGCGTCAAGATATGAAGACATCTCGACTAATTCATTTTCCATCTTAGTGGTTCAATGTCGCATCGGTCCTCTACGGCGTCTTCATTTTGTTTACCAAATTAAGCGTCCTATGGCTCTACCGACGAGTCTTCTCGCCCATGAAATGGAGCCCCTTAGACATTATAATCGTCTCGCTCATTGTGATAATGGTTGGCTTCTACGTCAGCACCACACTCGTCAAAATTTTAGAATGCATACCAAGAGCAAAAATATTCGACAAAAATATACCCGGAACATGTGTCAAGTTCGTCTATTTGCCATGATTGTATGAAGGCCGTGCTAATGACCTAATAGCGTTTCGGCCCTTTTGAATGCCAGCGGTCTATTCAATACCATTACCGACTATATAATTCTTCTTTTGCCTATACACTCAGCCTTGAGGCTTAAGCTGAATAGAACGAAAAAGCTCCTTGTTATTGCGGTGTTCACCTTTGGTCTCTGGTAGGTGCAATATTAATAACCATGTCAGAATGCCGGTAGAATGCTAGTACTAAACTCAATAGCGCGCCTATCTTTAGTACGGTGGGATTTGTTGTTCGAATCAGAGTCAGCGACAGTCCGGATACCACTTGGAACCAACCAGACATTCTTCTTTGGGGGTAAGTGGATGCTCTTACTTGCATCTATGGACAGTGCTGATAAAACACAGATGCGCCGAGTTGACCTCGGGTTTTTTAGTAGTGTGCTTCCCAGAAATGTCATTCCTTCTCAACCGTCGTTCACGAAAGCAACTCTACCCACGACGACCGACAAACAGTGTGTTAGACGGATCGTCCTCAGCTGCTGCTCAATCGCGTTCTCGGTCCCGAAAAATGGGAAGTCATATGGGCAGTCATATGGGTACTCACCGGGATGACCTTGGATATTACGAACTTGACGACGACCTTGTTTATGGTGTGCGAGTGAGCCCTTCTGCAAGCAACTCGAGATTACATGAGCCGGCGCAGGGTACGGTGCAAGTTCACCATGAGATTACGATACAGTCGAACAAGAAAGAAGAATTTGTACAGGTGCATGGAGTATAAAAGACACTTGACTTGGATGCCGATTTTTTTCCAACTTATGATGAAACGGGCTTTGGGATTGTTCTAGTAAATATTTCTAATTATTTGATACCTATGTATTCTAATTCTATCCTATTGTTTACTGGTCTATACCGATGCCATTCTGACATTCCTGAATGCTTCAAAATGTTGACTATCAGTGAGTGACACTGCGATAGGCGTTTGGCTATCAATGCCCGTGCAACAACGTACGATATTTGTGGGTTCTATTTTGTCTCTCACGATCTGCTTCTTGGAATACGTGCACGATAAGAACCTTGTTTTTGGGGGGGGGTATTTCGTTGATTCTTTCCCTATTGGGGGTCATGCAAGTCTTTTCTCATTTGTGCCCCCCCTTGCTACCTTTTAAACCCTTGCAAGTTGCCACCGACCACTTTCAACGGCGAATATGCCCATCTTCGGCAAAAGCCAAATGATTAGACTAAGAACCTATATCCTCCTGTCATGCCGATTGGCTCTTTTGTCCTTTTTCAGCCCCTTTACGACGATTGGTATGGATTTCCGGACCCTAATCCTGCTTAGTGATTGGTTGGGTTGATCATTGTGTCATGTCCGAGTGCCGAATTATTGTCCGATAACAGTTAATTACGACTGTCAGACAAACACCATCATGTCACCATGTAAGACTTTCTTCTGGTGTAACCATTCAAATAAGGCATGATAAAGGCGGCCAAGGCACTATGATCATTCTAACCTCTCTATTTCGGAGGCCGTGTGCTATCATAGTCGGCGTTTTATTATACGCGACTATATATAGCATGTAATAGTCTAGTAATATGAGTATTAAGAAAATAATCAAGCTTTTACGGCCAAAGATGGGACCGGATCAACAGTATTAATGATTATTTAGCATAAGCAATCATTACCTGTTAAGTCTGGATTTGTCTTGAAATTTAAGACTACGAAGTGGTAACTAACCCTATACGAAACGCTTGAACCTCCTGATCGACAGCCGCTAGCGAAATGGCGATCCCTGAATCCATAGCAATCCCTGAATCATATCTTTGTTTGTGCTTAGCCAAGTTTACTGTACATGTCATTTATGACTTCGTCCCCACTGTGGATGGCAAAAAGCAATAACTTCGATAAGTACAAGTATAATATTAATTAGTATAGTTCTCGATAATGCTTAGCCATGACTAAAATTTTACTCCTTCCCAACTTGGACTGAAATTATGAACGAAAAGTGCAGAAGGGGAAGTTTCTCGCGCACAAGAAGGGTAACGCACAGTTCGTTACTCTATATGGGCCGGCGTCAGCACCAGCTTGGCGATCTTTATCTGCATGCTGTCGATAGCAACTTAACTTTTTATTAGTTAACTACGTTACATGCGACTCTATGCAACTTGGGTTCTTATTAATCCGAGTTAAACATAGTGATGTCGCTGTTTCGGTACTGAATGTTTGCGTCGTTTTGTTTTGTTTTGTTTTTTTTTTGACAGCCCACATTGTATATATCTAACATTCAGAAGTTGAGAATTCTCCGTAGTGCCGCCAATTCCAGAACTAAGGACTTCTAAGCAACTAATTATACAAATGGAAGAAACGGAAATGCCCGCCGTGGACCACGTTCAAAACTATTGACAGACAACGCCCAAAGACTGGGTCAGACTATTACCAACTCAACATAGTGGTAGTTAAGTTTTACCCACATCCAACATACACCCGTGCGCTGGTAAGTGGGAAGTTTTCCGGGTAGTTTCGCTTTTTAGTCATACATGAACGATTACGATGGTCAGCATAATTGCCATGTTAATAATAGTCTGTGCGTGGCAATAAGTTCTTACTACTTAAGACTCACTAGTTATGTTGTAACTATGTGCCTACTGCCCAGTGACTTATTATGCCAAATTTATCCACGATGTGGAATTGTGGATACTGGATGACATTGTTAATTATTTATTAATAATACGTGATAAATATGGGGAATATGACAACAGAATTAACGTATCACCTCAATGCCTCGAATGGTCGTGGAATAGTATCGTCTACGTATGTAGGGCCAGCCTTGGCTAAGCCCTAACCATGCGAGCAACCTCAAGAGAGAACTCAAGGTGACGGAACAAACGTTCGTAGTTTGTTACGCTAACGGTGGCTATTGACTATTAACTTAATGAACTATTTGAAGCATCGTATGATCATCCACTATTTTCTCGTTACTCATACATAAATCCGCACGGAGCTGCGATATGTGCATTATATATCAATTGATGTAATGCTCGTGTTTTGTCGATGACACTGTCAACTACATTAGATAAGGATTATCCTGCGCCAGGTAATGAATGATAACATTGAAATATGAGGTTCCTACAATATGATAATGCACCGAAGAACTTGGCTAGTTATGGGTATTCTACCTAGTTATTCTGAACTGCATATGTCCATCTATTTCTGGTTGAAACATGTAACTGGTCTTGGATCGCTGAGTTCCGTTTGCCGAAGTCGTGTTGTCTATCTGGTATGTCGTCGTTTATCACCAGAATGATATTATATTTATATATTACTATATCGGTTGCTCTACGCGTGAACTTCGTGTGATTGTAGGCATCAAATTATTTAGATTGAAACATTAATTGACGTTTAATATCCATTAATGCACGAGCAGCCATTACAGAATGTTTTTATGCTAGAACAGTAATATATTCATTTGCTTTAACGCAGTGTAGTAAATTCTATCTACACTGGCATCAGATACGTCGTGGCTAGAAATAAAGTCATGATAATGACATAGCAAAGAGATACGAATAAAATGCGGGAAGCATTGACAACAGGCAGATAGACTGATGCGCATGCATACTATACAGCCACTGTCGATACCTAGAATGTGCTCGTCGCGAGTCGACTGGCCGCATTCTTAGCATCGAGTCGGCCATCGTCGTCCTCCTCGGCAATAGAACTAACGCCGCTCAGAGCTCGCGCCCGTCCTTTGCTAGAGCCATCACCATTCGTGCTGTCATCCCCTAGAACTGGGACGACGACCGTGCTTCCACTGATGCTCCGGCTCAAGCTATCACCGCGACGAGGAACACCGCTCCACGCATCACCTTTCGGCCCTTGACTAGATGCCAAACTCGATCTCCGCACTGTAGGGTGAGACTCTCGTCCAAGACGACTCAGTCCCCCAGTCGAATCGATTGCTCGAACATCAGCACGCACGCTTTCAAGCAAAGCCAAAGTTCGACGTTCCGCCTCAATCTCTCTTAGTGTGTAGTCTCGAAGGCTTGCTAGGACATCATCGGAGGTTCTGCTGAACCAACGTCGGGTTTCCAGTAACAAGTTGGCTGTTACTCTTTGTGTCTTCTTAGTAAGGTAAGTTTCATGCCCGATGGCATCATCTAAAGCTGCGATAGCCTCGTCGACCTTGTCTGTGCGAACAGAAGTACTGCCTTTAAGCCGGTCCGCGGCTGCGCGCTTGCTTCGCGCTGTCTGTTGGGCTTGGAGCAGCTCCCGCAGGAGAATGTGACGATTTGTCAATGTCTCCTTGACAATGAAAGCGTCCGAGGAGTGGTATTCCAATGGATCTCCTAGTGTTGTTGCTTCCGCAGTAGCCTGAGCCGCATGATAGTCACCGGTCGTTTGAATGATGCGCCCAAGTTTACGATAGGCATTTCCTAGCCCAGTATGTGTTTCCTGCACATGCATATGACCAAGCTTGACACCAAGATCAGATTCTGCTAGACCAAGACCTGTACTCATGTAAGAACACGCCAGAATTTCATGGTTACTGTCCGCATACCTCTTCGAGATTTTACTACACGGTCCACCTTTTGACTAGTGTCCAACGCACCGAGATAAAACCTTTTCACAACTGGACGGGCGTTCTGCAATTCCGGAGTATCATCTGGCGGCGGCGCAAATTGTTTGATAACCTTTCGCCGAACACCTGTCGCTGGCTGCTTCATTCTGACAACAGGACTATAGCCAAAATCACTTTCAACGAAGAGTACAATCTCCTCATCGTGAATGAGGACCTCATTTCCAAAGACATTATTCAACCACCTCTGCATCGACGCCTTGACGCGGATCTCGTCTTCGTCGGTTCCCGCCCCGGCCGGTGTGAGCGGGGGAGGCACAGCCGGCACAAGAGCTTCAGGATTCGAGGATATCAAGTGCTCGGAAAGTTTGACAAACTCTGAATGGGTGCGACGAACATCTCGATATTGGGTAGTACGGAATTTGGGAATGTTGGTCTAGCACGTGGTTAGCTCAAGCTTCCAATCCCCCACTTCAAGCATGTAGAACGCACATAAACATCGAAACGTAGAATAGGATCCTTTTTGCCCGTCCTTTCCAGCCCCGTCAATTTCGCCTGTAGCTTGTAAGCTGGCGCAAGGGGCCTAGCATTTTGCCGAGCCCCGGTTTGATAGCGAGCAGGTGTTTGAGACTGCCCCTGCTGCTGGGGAGGCTGTTGGTTGTCGGCAGGCTGAGATGGTTGGGTGTTCGCAGATTTGCCAATCTGGGCGCTTTGAGACGACTCTGTTACATTGGCAGGCGACAATCCTGCTTGCCCGCTACTAACGCTTGTTTCGTTTTCGTGGCCATCTTCATAGGATGGCTCGAGGTGCGGAGGCAAGGGTGCGGGAAGAACATCAGCAGCCTGGCCGGCAGAGGCAAACGTGTTTCTATCAGCACGTGGTGATCCCCATGGCGACGGCTCAGCAGGGTCAGGTGAAATTGAAGAATAGTCCATTTTGTGCTTCGCGTCAGTGCGATGATCGTAGGGCTAGTCACTGCTCTGGCGCGCAGGCAACCTCCGGCTTTTCCAATGCGACAAGCTTCAACGCATGAATAATGCCACGCAGTTATATCAGAAAACAGTGTACCATACAGGGACGCTTCTGGACGCAAGACAGGGCAGTGCGATAGGGCGGCGAAGAGAATGGTAGGTCTGGATAGGCAGTAGCGGAGATGGTTGGTGGCTGCTGCGTAGTCCGTAGTGCGGAGATCAGCGACATGACATCGTGAGGCCAAGCCTGCGGGTCCCAGACTGGAACCTGATTGGCCAATGCTGCTCCCATCTCAGAGCTGCTACAGAAAAACAATTCAACGTTCATACATAATTCCTCTCGACTGCCCAGGTCTGGTTTTGAAGCTACCATGGGGCCAAACAGTCCACAACGCTGTCTATAAATTATCTCGTCACCCCTGTCGTGAATCGATTATGGTGACTGCCCCTTTCTTGGGAAGGGCTGCTGCTCGTCCCATTCCGGGGCTGTCGAGGAGAATAACATGCCAACATGTATCAAGCAATATACTACTAAAAGGACTGCGTCTATCGCTGCAAAAGACCTTTGGTCGAGAATTCAATTCCACATCTCGGCTTCTGGACATGATTGATCTCGACAAGACCCGGAATATTGGAATTATTGCACACATCGATGCCGGCAAAACAACGACTACAGAGCGGATGCTCTATTACAGTGGGTTTACCAGACGCATCGGCGATGTAGATGATGGATCAACAGTCACAGATTTTCTTCCTGCTGAGAGAGCACGGGGGATAACTATTCAGTCTGCTGCCATCACGTTTCATTGGCCACCCAGAGGCACAACTAGTGAGGTTGATAACCTTAGTGGGCAGGGGTTAGACGCCAAAGGTCTTCCAAGATCAGCCGCCTCCCACACGGTCAATTTGATCGATACACCTGGACACGCTGACTTTACGTTCGAGGTGCTTCGGTCCTTGCGAATCCTAGACGGAGCTGTTTGTATCCTTGATGGAGTCGCTGGTGTTGAAGCACAGACAGAGAAAGTCTGGCATCAAGCAAGCACATACCGAATTCCACGGATTGTTTATGTCAACAAACTGGACCGAGATGGCGCCGCTTTTGGCAGAACGGTACGGGAAGTTGGTTCTAGACTGCATGGCTGGCCCGCGGTCTGTCAAATCCCGTGGTTTGAAGGAGGTGACGGGCGGTTTACAGGAATTGCAGATGCTGTGTCGCTCACAGGTCTTCTATGGAATGAGGCTGGAGATGGAAAATCGGTCAAAGCCTTTGATTTGGCGGGTCTAGAAGCCGAGAACAGCAAACTGGCCAATGAACTAAAGCGTGCTCGAGTTGCTTTGGTTGAATTATTAAGTGAGCATGATGAAAACATGGTCGAAAAGTTTCTGGATCATGAAGAGGATCATCTTGCCGTACCTTCCATCGACATATTGAGAAGTCTCCGCAAATGCCTTCTCGACCCTGCCAACACAATCATACCAGTGTTTGCCGGGGCTAGCTTTCGCAATATGGGGGTGCAACCGTTGCTCGATGCTGTTACGAATCTATTGCCGGGTCCAATTGAATCTCCCGACCCAGAGATAAACGTTGGGAACACTACAGGAAGCCTCGGCCAACTTCTCAGTGGCAATTTCGTCGTTGAAAAGAACACAGAAGCTGTGACTGGGAAGTCAAAACAAAAGAAGAAAGCCGCTACGCCTGCGGCTTCCGGTAACAATAATCCCGCCGCAAGTTTAGAGAGTTGTTCATTAGCTTTCAAAGTTGTGAGCGATGCGAAGCGTGGTGTGCTCGTTTATGTCCGGGTCTATTCCGGTTCTCTTAATCGACAGAGTCTCCTTTACAATACCAACCTAAATGTTACAGAAAAAGCCCCCCGCCTCTTCAAAATGTACGCCAACGATGCTGTTGAGGTTGAATCTATCTCAGCAGGTCATATCGGCGTTGTCGCTGGCTTAAAGTATGCCCGAACTGGCGACACATTAATATCCTGTACAGGCGGCAAGATGAATCCTCCAGAGCCGCTCAATACACTTCAACTGCGTCCCATTGACGTACCCCCTCCCGTCTTTTTTGCAAGCATTGAGCCTCACAGCCTCAGTGAGGAAAGGAGCATGCAAGATGCTTTAGCGCTTCTGTTACGAGAAGATCCCAGCTTGCACGTTACCGTTGACGAGGATTCTGGTCAGACCCTGCTAAGTGGTATGGGTGAACTGCATCTGGAGATTGCTCGAGACAGACTGGTGAAAGATTTCAAGGCAAAGGCAACCATGGGTCGAATCGAAATCGGTTACCGAGAATGTGCTCTGAGCCATTCTGTCGCCGTAACTAAGACATTTGATAGGGAGATCGCAGGACGAAAAGGAAAGGCTGGATGCACAGCGGTCGTTCAGCCATATGATCCAGCTGAAGAACAACTGGGTCTTCCCGAAAACACCATATTTGCTGAGATCCGTGATGGAAACCAAATAGTCATCTGCGCCCCCGGACTCGATATAGTAACGGATAAACATGACCGTGAGCAGAGCTCGAAGTTACCGTCACACCTAGACGTCAATGCCTTTAGAGCATCTCTCTTCAATGGAGCACTATCAGCACTCTCCCGTGGTCCACAGTTCACATTCCCCGTGCATAGTACGAGAGTCACGCTGACTTGCGATGTTGGCGAACATCTCTTTGGTTCTGAAAGCAGCGCCTCGGCCATATCAGCGGCCGCACGCCTCGCAACGCAGGCTGCGCTACGGGACTTGATTACAACGTCACCAAACAACAGCACTGCTTTGATGGAGCCTCTGATGAATGTCATTATAAGCGTCGACGAGGCTAGTCTCGGTGCTGTCGTCCACGACATTTCCTCGGCCCGCGGAGGACACATTATCTCCCTAGACGAAGCTATACCCATCACAACTGCACTCGACGCTACATCTGGAGTGGGTGACGAGGTAGTAATTGATGTAAGGAAAATATACGCCCCTCCCGACCCGTTTGAGTCGCCGCGTATTGAGGACGGCTCGTCGATGCAAGCATCTGCAAATCAACCGCGAACTATCACAGCCAAGGTTCCATTGAAAGAAATGGTTGGGTATTTGAAACATCTCCGCAGTCTCACAGCTGGTAGAGGTACTTTCGTCATGCATGTTGATAGGTTTGAAAAGATGTCGGCACCAAGACAAAAGGCTGTGTTGGCAGATTTGAATAGCTTGTAGTTGAGAACTGTCAATGTATGCTTAAAAAGATATATATATGTATACTAGAAAACGGAAGTTTTATAATAGATATGGAACTGACTCGTCATGAATTCATTCAATACGGATATATAGACTTCTCTACATCTAGCCACGCAGCGTAATGTATGGTTAATTACATGTATAAACTACCACTCCTCTCCCCAGTCATCCTTCTCTTTCCCCGGGGCACCTGCAACCCCAGTGGCGGCCGTAGTTGAAGTAACTTTTGAGGACGCAGTATGTGGTGTATTCCTCATCGCTGAGGTGCCAATCGCACCGGATTGTCTCTTTTGCCGGTTTTTCTGCTGTTCTCCAATTGATGACAGGTCATCCCAGAAATCTTGACGTTCGGGTTGTTGCCGTCGTTGACCACCAGCGGCGTCTGGGCCCTCAACGAAGCGGTTGAATTGATCGGCCGCACCCCGTACTCCTGTCTGCAAAGTCTGGCCAAACTGTGTAGCATGTACTCGTGCCTGAGCCGCAAAGTCCGAATCGGCAAGCTACATGACAAAGATATATAAGCCACTGCCCAAGAGTTACAAAGGAATGAATGAATACGTACCGACTTGGCTGTGGGTTGGATATAAGTGTCGTTCACACTCTTCGCTGACTTGCCGACAGTTGAAGTAAACCAGCCGAATCCCTTTGAAAACGCAGCTACTGGGTCTTTCTGGAAGTCATCGAAGCCAAGTTCTGGGCCTACCTGACGCGGAGTACTAGAAACTGGCAATCCACCACCAAACCCGCCGTATTTCCCCCCTTGAGATGGCGGTAAGTCTCCACTTCTGGAAGCATTATCATTTCCAAGTCTCGTAAAATACGCCTCATTGCGTTCTTTCTGTGTGCGAGCACCATCGAATGTAGCCGGTGACGATCGCCCACCCTGAAGAGGAGTCCCAGACCTCGAGATATTTTCTTGAGTTGTAGCTGGCGACGGCTGTTTTTTCTTTCTTTCTCCCGGGACATATTCTTTGCCTTCGACTTTCGCTGTCAATCGATCCTTGTATTCCTCACCCACCTCGCTATCATATCGCTCTTTAATTGTCGAATCCTCGAATGTTCGACCTTCCGAAATGACGATTGGGTTCTCATCGTAAAAATTCTTCCATGTATCATTGCCACCTTTCTCCATACGTTGAATCTCGGCATTCTTGAAGGCGTCCATAGTGATAGACCGAACAAATGAAATATGTACCCCGAGTCCGCGATGTGTGCCGGCGCAATTAAGGCAGATGAATACTCCGAATTTGGGTGAAGCCTGTCGGCGAGATTGTTGGTAAGCCAAATAAAACTCGAAAACACATCCTGGAACGAAATTTTAGATTTACCCATTGCGGTGAGGGCGCTCCACAGTCACAACAGCGGTCGTTTCCATTAGTCTTTGAGATTTGAAGTAGCTAGAAGAAGAAAGTGATTAGCAATCGAGATAACATGTCACGAATTTTAGCAGCTATGAGGCAAAATGGCAATTGGCGAGCGCATCATACCTTGGCCCTTGTCTCGGGATCGACTTCCCACATCTTCGACATATTGGGCAGATGGGGGATGTTGGACTTGATAAGTGAAACGGTACTCAATGTCGCAATTGAAAGAGTGGAAGAAAGGATATTCAAAGGAGTGATGAATTTATTCAAAGAAGTGATGAATTTAGTTCACAACACTTGCGCCTTTCCATTCCTGTTCTCTAGAGCTCAGGGGCGCTGGCTTGTTTGATATGGGCTCGTGGTTGCGGATAAAGTCGAGAATCGGCCCAGGTGGTTACTAGTGTTGTTTCGTTGCGATGCGGTTGGTCCTCCAGCTTGCTTTCCAAAGATGGATACCCTGGTACGGGCCCCACATCACATTCTCCTCTGACATGTATGGAATCGAATTTCGACAGTCAAGGGTTGATAATACTGATTGTGTAATAGACATTTTAATTATTTGCAAATGCATGCATGCTATACGCCCGTTACTGGCTTGGAGCTGACCCTCAGTGTTGTGATATTCTTGGTATCCACAGTATTTGGCACAGAAACTGGAGTTGGCAACAGAATCAAGGTGTCATTATGATACAGGTAAATGTAAATAATAGTAATTAATGGAATGATTTCTTGGCCTATACGGCCCAGATTGCGTGCCTGGCAACCGAGCCGCAATGTATCAAACACGCAGACACAGTAGTCCTGGCCTAGTTCATCAATTGTAAGACATGTCAACTACAGCACATTTTTCTGTTTCGCGGTGAGCAACTACCATAAAATTGTATAACATCTGCATGGCAAGTCTCGTAAACATCCCCTGCTCGTAATGATCGACGTACATCTAGGCGGCGGCGGGAGCACTGTTTTCCTCACCTTCGCCAGCTGCGGGTTCTGCAAGCTGGTCAGCACCTTCACCAGGAATAACGTCTTCCTTGCCGGGGCTGTCAATGGCAACCTTGACGGCGATTTCACGACCCTCGATTTCCTTGCCGTTCATTTCCTGAACAGCCTTCTCCTGAAGAGCCTCAGAGCCCAAAGTGACGAATCCGAACCCACGACCCTTACGAGGTTCGTTGCGGGCCTGAAGCTTCTTGATCATGAAGCGAGGAATGGGGCGCAGGGCGATTTTAGCCGAGACGGGTTCGTACGCTTCGAAAAGTTCTTTGAGCTATACAAGTATCAGTTTTGACGAACTTTATAGATTTAATGATAGGAAAATTAGTAGGTGAGCTAACCTTTTCTTCACTCAGGTCGTAAGGAAGGTTAGCAACCATGACCTTGGTCTTGGAGGGAATACCATCCTCAGGAGGTCCACGCTGCTTCTGAGGGCGAGCAGCCCGGGACTTGTCCTTGGATTCTTCGGTCTCAGCGGCACCTTCAATCAAAGGGTCGACCTGGGCAGGAACATTGGTCGGAGCGGCAGCCTCGGCCTCATCAGGTTGCTTTTAATGTGACTTAGCTTGCTATTGCTTATAATCAATGGATACAATCAGACTTACACCAGCTTCGTTGCGAGCGCGGCCACCGCGGGCAGGACGGCCACCACGTCCACCGCGACCACGTCCGCGACCACGGGTAGAACCTCGCTTGCGGCCTTCACCTCCGCTACCTCCTTCACCACCACTGACAGCACCTTCCTTGACGTCGGCAGGCTCGGGCTTACGAGCAACTTGAACAGATACCTTCCGTTCAAGGATTTCCTTGCCAGAGAGCTGTTGGATAGCCTCCTGGGCCTCGTGGGCGGTAGCAAGATCAACAAAGGCATAGCCGACAGGACGATTGGTGCGTGGGTTTACAGGAATGGCAACGCTCTCACTAAAGGATGTGTTAGATGCAGAACTTGATATGGTGAAATGGTGGCAAGATTTATAAACAGATAAATCGACGATGGCAAATGTGATGCAAACAAGCTTTGAAAGATCTAGCAATTACTGTAACGAGACAGTACACCACTGTGTAGCGATGAAAACAAGCTCTTGCCAGATCACAGCAGGATGCAGAATGGCGTAGTATGCTGATCGAAAGTGTGGCAAGATAGGGCTGGTGGGTGACTCACATGGTGTAGCCGTTGAAGAACTCCTTGAGCTCTCCCTCAGTGGTCGCGTAGGCGAGGTTCCCAATGTAAAGCCGACGACCCTCATCGGCACTGGCAGCGGCAGCATCAGCGCCGTTGGTGCCGTTGAGAGAGGTTTGCGCCAGGGCGTCGGCGAGATTGTCTGTGGCAGTAGACATATTTAGGCTGAGGACACGGGGGCGGATGTTCTGTTCTTTTCGAAATCGATGACGGGAACGGACCGATGTGTAGGTGGACGACTCAGGTAGCGTGAGGCTGCCTTTGGCGGGAGATTGACTTGAGGGAGGAAAAGGGTAGCTTGGTGCCCTAGATGCAGAAGCTTGTTCAGCGGGAGATGGAAAGCAGATGGGGAGCGGGCGTGATGTCTGCGTTGAAGAAGAAGGCAAGAATGGCCGGGCTGGGCGCGCTGGGGAAAGGAGAAGGAGGTAAAAAAAGGGCAGGAGCGACCCGAGGATGCGCTAAGCCCGCTCGGGAGTGGCGGCGACCAGCAGCTCGCAACAAAGCTGCCGGCAAGGCACGGCTGATTGGCCGGCCGGCGGTGCTGCCCCGCTTTTGGCTGTTTGGCTGTTTGCTCTGCTTAACAATAATAATATTCATCTCACCTCACATTGTTCTGAGTCTAGCTGTCACGTGACTCGCACTGGAGGTAGACCTAGGTGGTGGTGATTTAGCTATGAGCATTTGATTCAGCTTGTGCGAGTTTCAGGGCCATGGTAGGCTATGCGTCGCTGCCTTGAACGTCTTGGCGCGCGCTGCGAATTACTTCGGATGTACGGCGGACGGATCAGATCATCGCAGTCGTGGAACGCGGAATGATTATCGAAACTGGCATGCGTTGTCAATGACGTTGGTGCAGAGCATCGTGAGTTCTGGCTGTGAGGGGCTCCTAGGCTTATATACGGTCTCGATCCTTGGATCTGACCTGCTACTCGACATGCACGCGCGACGTCAAGCATCTGGCCGATCAGCGATTATCTAGAGTTCGGCCAGTGTGATTCGCCCTGCTGCGCTTACTAAGGCAGTTAGTAACGCCTGTAACAAGGTTTCCGGCGCGACTAAGCTTGCCCGTCCGCCCAGTCCTTTACTATTTGAACATCAAAGATTTCCTCCACCCTTCCGGCCGCTCTGAATCACAGTCGCTCCCCTTCAGGTGTCGACTCATCCCCCTCCCAGTCACCCTCTCTTCGCCGTCCACCATGGATCGAATTGAGCAGGCTGGCGATTCCGCCAGCAATGGTGCCGGGTCAAGCCTTCAACCTCAAGAAGCCTTTCCCTTCCCCGCCATGTCGGAAGATTCCCAACCAGTTGCCGCGAGATCCCCCCATCCGTCGCAACGGCGGTCTCGACAGCCCAGTATACGATTACGCCGCCTTTCCTCAGCGTCATCGTTTGACCAGCAGGCGGCGATTGAAAATAGACGATCAGCAACTCCGCAGTCGATACCAGACGCAGACAACATCCAGAACGCAGACGACGACGACGCATGGCAGGCGGGTAGGCGACGCAGCAATTCGGAGCCTCGTCCAGGTCGCTATTCTGCGCCACCTATCGTGACTTCCTCTGCTACATCGGCAGTAAATTCTCGCCAGCACATGTCTCCAGTGAAAGAGGAGACCGCCTCTATGTTTCGCCCGTCACTAGATTTCAACACCGCCGAAGCATTGGCAGCAAGACCACGGGCTTCAGAGCCCGCTCCTGAGGAGACATCAGTGCCCACCCAGGAACTGCATTCTATTCCAAGCAGGACAAGGATGCTTCGTCGGGCAAGCAATGTGGCCTTGTCAGCTTTGGGTCGCAATCGTGCGTCCACAGTCAGCGGACCAGAACCTACACAACGCTCACTCGCGCGCGACGAATACGACTCTCGCATAGTTGATCTCCTGGACGTGATAGGTATGGTGTACGACATTCTAATTGTATTTCTGAAGCTAATCAAAAGCAACTAGATCCTGAAGTTTCAACCCTTTCCACCTTAACTAATGTGCAAAACTCGCTCTTCATTCCTGATCTTGGAAACCTGCTCAACCGCATGCCAACATATAATCTTACGCGGCGACCAACGGATATTTCAGAAGGCCGCACATCTGACCAAACGACGGAGGATGAAGGTGCAGGTATAGAATATGCGGAGGCCTCTGAGGAGCGTCCCCGTCCACTTAGCTCCATGAGCATCGTCTTGGGTCGAAGTCACTTTGCCATATTACCAGACGGTGCTTCTCTAGACGGTTGGTCTAAGCAGGACATTGAAGAGTTGAATGATCATGTTCGGCACATGCTTCATTCACGCCGGTCGAAGTTCAAAAGAGCTATGAGAGGGTTTGGACAGTATGTACGGAAACGTAAGTAGACTGGTGGTGCGAGATTCCTACTTTCGGTGTAGCTGACAACACTATCTAGCTCTTGGGTTCTTTGTGACATTATATGCAACCTTAATCACTCTGTTCGGCCTTGCCTGGGTCCTTTTCCTGATTGGTATGTTATCGTACATTATTATCCTCGGATTATTTTTGACCATGTTGGCAGGTTGGATCAATGTTGGCGGACGGCAATTGTACATCATCAATGTTATCGACAACGTCCTTGTAGCCCTCTTCGCTGTCATGGGAGATGGCTTGGCCCCTTTTAGGGCTGTCGACACTTATCATATGATTTTTATAGCCCACTACCATCACTTAACGTGGAAGCTCCGGAAAAAGCGCACCCTTCCAAAATTGCAGGATAAGAACGACCTGCCTTTGCGGCGAGCAGACGAAGTAGATGTTGAACGCGAGGGAGAAGAAAAGGTTTCAGGAGAATATTCTGTTCTTACTCCCTTGCAACAACACAGGCTAGACCACCACCAGAAAAAGTTCTCGAGGTCACACACATTCTATAAACCACACGAGACTCCTACCCATCACGCCTTTCCTCTTCGTCTTCTTGTCGCCATTGTCGTTCTACTGGATTTCCATTCAATTTTCCAAATTGCATTGGGAACTTGTACGTGGGCTATCAGCTATCACGTTCGCCCGTTTGCCTTGACAACTGTTATTCTATGTTGTTCAATCACATGCAATATCACTGGTGGAGTCTTGATTTCGATTGGAGATCGTATGAGTCGAAAGAAAGATGTTGTCGAGCGTATGTCCCGGCAGGGTCTTACCTGCGAGGCGATGAAGAAAGTAGAAAAACGCAAACGAAGAGAAGAGCAGCACAAAGCTGAGGAAAATCCTCCTGATGTTTATCCAGGAACCTGATGTATTGCTTGACTGGGTTCGCTGCTATTGGTATTTTGCTCTTCGTGACCTGTTAGATACCCGGATATTCTTTTTGATATACTATCTTGTATATAATGAACCTGGAATGTTGGTTTAAGATATGATTTTTAATTAAGGATCGTGGGACATTGCTTAAATATCTAGCCTACGTGTTTGAATTTTATTCTGTGAGCACTTGCATGGATGATTTTTGCCGTCTTGTTTCATTTGCTATGAACTTGGAATCCTGTTACACGTAACTACAACTAACCACGGTATATATGTATGTACACTCGTGGAGAGTCAAGAATCCTCCGCATTGCCACTGTCATTTGGAATTTTTGGAGTCTGAACTGGAGTAACAGATAAATCATCTTCCCCCTGATTCATGCTTGGCGTGCCACCAGGCCCAGCAGCAACATCGGCATTCCTTCGAGTCTTCGCGCCTTCTTTGAGTTTCTCCCACCTTTCACGATATCGACCTAGCACAACTTTGAGTTTCTCGTTCTCGCGAGTTATTTTTTCTGCTTCCTTTTTAGAGCTTCGGACCAGTTCTTCGAGCTCTTTGATTCGTTTCTCATGGTCATTAGTTGCTGGTATAGCTATAGGTGCCGGGATTGCAGAAGATGCTGTTGGCGATGATGTATTGACGTGTTGCTGATGATGAATCGCTTTTAGGGATTGTTGCAGGGCCAAAGATGAGGACTGAGCGTTGACTTCCCACATATGAAGTCGTTTCGATAATTGGTCAGTAAGCTGCTTTAATGCTTCGTTTTCCAGGCATAACTCTTCGTTTGTTTTGGTGCTCTTTTCATATCCGCGCGAGCCTTTTGCTGTTTTACTCGATGCAAGATTTTGTAATAGCTCAGGCGAAGATGGTGTCTCACGGGCATCGACGAAATCTTCATCTCCGCCATCGTCCATGCTATTCCGGCGAGCTTCTTTTTCCGCACGGGATAAAATGCCGGCATAGGAAACTGTGCCGCCTGTCGTTGGTACAACGTAGAATGACTCGGCTGCATTGCTCGGCATGCCTCCATTCGCATCTCGTACCGCCCTCAAAGCAGCTCGTGAAAACAGATGGTTGATGTCTCCCTCCACAGATGCACTAGGACGATCTGAGATTGCGTTGTTTCGATCAAGTTTAGTTTCAGCAGATGATTTCTGACGGGTGGTTTCGCTATTATCGGCTCCCAAGGGCAGTCCAGCAAATGCTAGGGGCGCGGATATCTTAGAGATAAGTCCCTCAAAGGTGGAGTAGAATCGTTGAAATGGCTCATCAACTGCTGCAAAACGGCCTTTTGATGATTGAGCATCGTAAGCATCTGCAGGAATAACCTGGCGTGACGTGATTTCTGTTGGACTGATTGACGGGGGCGACCATGGTTGCTTAGGTGCTGGCACTACGCGGCCACCTCGCTCTCGGAGTCTTCCTTCAGTTGGCTTTGTTCGAGAGGGAGAATCGCTAAGTTGGCCACCAGCATGCTGTGCTGACAAGGTTGGAGATACGGGAGAGCCTCGACGAGGATTAGCAGGAATGCCCCTAGCTGAAGCTAGGTTGCTCGCTATGGAGGACGATTCTCTCTGTAGCTTACGGTTGTGGCCGGGCAGTCTCGGGGGCTGTTGCGGCGATTCACCTGCTCCCGTGTGTTGTGAGGTTGTCGGTGCAGGTTTAGATAATGGAGGCAACTCGGTTTGGGCATTTTTCTGGGGTGGAGATGATGTCGATAGCTCCGGAGATGCTGTGCGCTGGGGATGCTCATGCTGAGATCGCAGAAGGACGGCGAGTCGCTTATGCTCTTCTTCAAGTAGTTTCAAAGTTCGCAGAGCCTATTAATAAATGAAATCTCATCAGCAAGATTATCTTGGACACGGTCAAGTTCGCTAGCATCTAGGGTTCGCCACATACATAGGCGTCCACACAGTTCTGAGAAGCAGTTGCAAATTCCCCCGCGGCCAAGTCATGCTCTTCGCTCGCAGCTACCGGGTTAGATTTACGAGTCTCCAGCAGGGCATTACGCGCATGCGTATGTGCCTATTTCAGAATTTTCCGTTAGTCATTGGGTTTACTTGCAAGGCTAATGAGGACTTATTACTAAGGTCAGCGGAACGGTCTCCATCTCAAAGCGCTGGGAGTTGCACGGCGAAGCCTAGCAAGATGAAGCTTCTTATAATAAAAATTTTTTTCGAAATAATAATGGGTCGCATATGATCCGCGATAGGAATAGACTTGTTGTTCAATGCAAAGAATGAAAACGGAAGTGCTGTAGTATTGCGGGGAGCCGCTTTCTACCTGCGTAACTAGTCGAGCAGGCCAGGTGCAAGCTATGTGGCTTTAGGTTTCATCGGAAAGCATGTTCCAATACTGTCATCGCCAGCAGCTGGAGAGCGCTAAAAGGTAAGGATGGATCTAGGCCGGTATAGATAGGATGGTGAATGACGGTCGAATATAGAAGGTGCAGTTCTTGCATATGCCGTATGATGCGCGGGTCATGTGGATTCGGCGGCTAACAGTACCGCGCGCCGCTCACAACCGCCTACGCCGTCAGCTCGTCGACGCCTCGCGAACGATGCATTTTTGTTGTGAGCAAGTGAAGAGACTCTGATCCTGATTCAATTGCCATAATCAATATTCGTTTTCTGTGCCGACAGATCGCGCAATGATCATGTACCACTAGCAGCAGCCAAGCAGGCTAATCGTTTTCGTATCCCTGAATCTTCCCCTCTTTCCCCACAGCAGCTCTAAACCCTTCTAGATCAAGGCGCCAGACCAGCAACAGCCCCCGACACTGCGCCTCGCCCGATTCGCCAGCCAGCCAGACCAGCGACTGCGACACTGGAAACACCTAAACCTGCTTAAGCAGACCACCTCAGCTCCAGCCAGCAGCGACGCTTCTCTTCTTCCAGCAGGCCCATCGGATATCCATCGAATTTCATGTTGACACTATCGTGAAAAGTGTGTACGTTTGTTTCCTGTCGAGAGAACATCACATTCAGCTAGCCTCGGCATGGGGGAGTGTTACGTCGATAGAATTGACCCTACGTCAAGGTATGATGACATTTCGCGTCGCTCGATTACACACCATAATTCATTGTATAAATAAAATAGTTTGATCTAATCTGGATGGAGAAGCAGTTCATTGACCTAGTAAGGCACGTCTGCCCACCTTGACCGAACAACGTCACCGAAACTCGGCCTTGAATCAACGGCAGCCTACGCCATGGATGACGCCCAAGAGTCATCACACCACCCTCCTACGGTCGGATTGAAAAAGGTGTTCTCGCGCTCAAATCGGAACCAGACTGCCCCCCAAGGCCAAGATATGGAAAGTACTTCCAGTTCTGCTCGGAGCAACGGCCGTTCTTCGGTCGATTCAACACCGGAAAAGCGCCTAGCAACTAGCGGTGAACTAGCAGTGGAAGACTCACCGAATCGCTTGTCAAAACTGCTCGGTAATCGGAAGAAGAAAAAGAGCAAAGCCACAGAATCTGTCGTGTCTGCTGATTCCCCGCTTGACCATGACAATAGTGTTCCAGTTCCCGCGCTGCCGTCAGAAGAACTTGGTAGCTCCGGGCCGTCTGCAAATAAGTATACTTTTGGGTCGAACCAGAGTGCCGTTAGCATCAATCTGTTAACAGACGACTCGGAACCGGATCAGTAAGTCGATTAGTTCCTCCAAAGCAAACATGTGCATGATATTCCAGAATGGGGACTAACACGATGATTGCAATAGAACGCCAGCTCTCGTATCGCGCAGCTCTCATACTGGGTATTTGACTGCGTCTTCACCGCTGATAAAAACCACAGCCGTGGATAATAATAACGACTCCGCTTCGGCTAGTTCAGGATCGCCTTCGCGGCGACATAGCGTGTCCGAGATAGAAGGGCCAGGGTTCCTTGGGGTAACCTCCACAGTATCAGGCCCTGCTCCAGATAATGCAAAAAGGCCGGGCGTTTCTCCATCAAGACGGTTGAAAGATGCATTCAAACCACAAGCTAAAAAGAGCCCAAGCGTTAGCCCAGATAGGGAATCATCGTTGTCTGCAGAAAGTCAACGTAAAAGATCGCATAGCATTTTCGGAGGCTCAAGTCGACGAAGCAGCCTCTCAGAAAGACGAGCTGGGAAGCGCTCACAAAGCCCACCACCTCCGCTACCAAAGCCCATTATTGTTGACTCGACCCCCCCACCTACAACTGAGTCGCCTGACAATGCAAATACTACGAGGACGCCTACGGGAGGGGATCTCCAGAGGGTAGTCACAAAAGTCACTCCACCTACGCCCACCGAAACTGGTAATGGATCCTCCCCTAATATTACAGAATCGCCGGAGTCCATAAAAACCCAAAGTTCAGAATTCCCTCCCGGTACAGTTGTGAGTCCGTCGGGACATATGATATCTCACCGTCGTGTCCGATCAGCAGGTGCCACTTCTCATCCTCCAAGCAAGTTGTCTCAAACAACAATTTTGACGCCTACAATCGAAGAGACTCGAGCTACGGGTTCTCGCACTCCTTCAGGAGTGCAGAATGGCTTTTTTTCTTCGGTACTCTCTGTAGCTCAGAATGCTGCTTCGACTATAAGCAGTAGTTTAAGCGGTCCGAACAAAACCCGTAGTGTCACGTCACCGGCTGATGGAGATAAACCCCAAATACTTCCTGCAGATGATGCAAGTGATGGAACCGAGCAACCGATGCAGTCAAGCAACGGAGAATCCAAAGACGACAAGCAGAAAGAACTTGCTATTGATACCCTTGGAAGTGGAGATTTGGATTTCAGCCACCTCGATGTCGATTCCGCAGCAGGTGGCGTGGTAACGACGAAGGATGGTGTTGTAATCACTCAACCTGATTTGTCTACAGACCCCCGCAGATCAAATGTCGCAGCTAAGAGGGACCAAATGTCCGCGCGCATTGAAGATATGCGAGTAGCACGGGCTGTATCGATGGCATATGAAAAGTCGACCGATGCTGTATCTACCCCAGCAACAGTCACTCCAGAAGAGACTGTTGATGCTAAGGTAATGACACCCTTGACTAAGGAGATTAGTGGGGAACAAACCCCTCCAGGAGGGAGTATATTTGATGGGGAAAATGGGGGTAGTGTGAAACGCACTGGAAGTGTACGCAGCCGTCTAGCTCGCCGTCATCGTGGCTCTTCAGGAGCAACTGGTTCAACTATAGGGGCTATGGGACTCAACGCAATGTCGCTCGCCATGCCGAATGGTAACGCAAATGCTCCACGCTTGACGGGCTTCGCTGTTGCAAGTAAAAAACGAAATCGTGAATACCATCAGCTTTTCCGAAGCGTCCCAGAAGATGACTTCTTGATAGAGGACTACAGCTGTGCGTTACAACGCGATATTATCCTCGCCGGGCGAATTTACATCTCCGAGGGCCATATATGCTTCTCAAGCAATATCTTAGGCTTTGTCACGACCCTGGTTATCAGTTTTGATGAGATTGTGGCCATTGAAAAGGAAAATACCGCCGTGGTATTTCCCAATGCGATTGCAATTCAGACCCTACACTCACGTCACACCTTCCGCAGCTTGCTTAGCCGCGAAGCAACTTACGATTTGATGGTTAACATATGGAAGATGAATCATCCTGCTTTAAGAAGCTATCTTAACGGTATGCGTATCGATGAGGGTCTCGGTGACAAAACTGAGAAGGCAAATGAGAGCGATGTTGCTAGCGACATCGTGGATGAAGATGAAATCTACGACGAAGATGAGGACAACGAAGGTGATAGCTTAGATGGTGGTGAGGATAGTCTAGCTGGGAATGGTTCGACCGACTTTGGTAAACAACTGAGTGCGGCTGCCAATGGCTCAGGCTCAGTGACGGTCTCAACGACTACCCTTCCCATAGCTGACACGAAACCAGTCGTTAGCAATGGATCTTCCGAAGGGGACGGAAGCGGGTTTCCGGGACCACCTACACATTCCCCAACGGATTACACCGACCCTTCTGGCCGTTATGAAAAGGTTATAAAGGAAGATATTATCCCTGCGCCACTGGGTCAGGTTTACAGCATGGTCTTCGGGCCTGCGTCTGGAGCTTTCATGAGCAAGTTTTTGGTAGAGGATCAGAAGTCCCTCGAGTTACAATTTGAAGATGACAAGAAGGGACTGAACAACGCAAACAAAACCCGCCAGTACTCATATATCAAACCTTTATACTCGTCCATCGGACCCAAGCAAACAAAATGCATTAGCAACGAAACACTCGATCTACTTGATCTAGAAAAAGCTGTTCTTGTGACCCTCGCGACCCAAACACCTGACGTCCCCAGCGGAAATGTTTTCGTGGTCAAAACTAAATACCTATTTACCTGGGCAGCAAACAATCAGACTCGATTTTTCATGTCTTGCGCCATTGAATGGACAGGAAAGAGTTGGTTGAAGGGTAAGTTTACAATAAAACCAATATCGTTAGTGTATAACCAAGCTAATTATTACATTAGGACCCATTGAAAAAGGTGCTATTGATGGTCAAACTACTTTCGGAAATGATCTTATTAAAGCTTTGAAAGCAGCAGTGCAGAGTCGTGCCGGTGGTGCCTCCAAAGGAGTCAAAGTGTCAAAAGGTCGTCGCAAGAAAGGGTCAGTCGGCGCGGGTGAAACCGTCACTGCCGCAGCTGCCGCAGCCAGTGCTGCTCTCGATGCCAACAAAAGAGAACATCATAGCTGGGGCATTTTCGAACCTCTCCACGGTCCATTGCAACCAATTGTTAGCCTTTTCAAACCCTTTTGGAGTGCACATGTTGCCATTGGAATCATTGCGTTTTTGTTGTTCACGATATACTCCAAAGGCCTTACTACACCATCAACGCTATCTCCTGATATAAACCATCTGCGATTAACGGAGCCACAACGACTGGCTGCTTATGAAGAGATGTGGCGTGCTGAAGAGAACGAACTCTGGAAATGGCTGGAGGACCGCGTAGGGATGGACGGAATCAGCTTTCCAGTTAATGGCCAGAGCCACGAGTCAAGAATACGACCACGCAAACATAGTCAAAAATCCTACACTCAATATTTGGCTTCTAAGATCGATGACGAGCAAATATCGCAGCGGGAGATGAATTACGCTATTCGAGTCGTTCGAGACCGGTTAGAAAAGCTCGAAAAGGTTGTTGGTGAGCCGAAGAGCGACCTTCATACTACAGGAACCCCAGGCGGCAAGACGAAAGGGGGCCTTTCCTAAGGAATTCATTCAAGTCGATTTCTATTTCATATACACTATTTGTTACATTATATAGACGGCTGCAGCCAATAACCTGCAGCTTAGCTCAGTCCTTTCATTATTTTTTTTCTCTTATGTACGATTTATCTCTCTTGGTGAAAGTTCTAGCGTTGTTCTTGGCCGTTTGATGCTTGCCCCTTCTTGTGGATACTGCCTACCATTGTGCTTTACCAACCACGCTCTCCATCAACATTCCTGTCGCTATACCACCAGCCTACTCTTTCTCCTTTCATCGATTTCGGTTCTTCACGTTCTTTCTCTGGTTTTTCGATTCTCATTGACTAAACCTTGAAGTGTCTTGGCCTTGACGTTTAGCGTTCATGCTATCCCTTGTTAACCACGTGCATAATACATGCATAATTCCGATTTAGAGAAATAACAAGTGCTTCAATACTAATTCCGGCTATCTTCACGGGTATCAGAAATGAGTGCTCTCTATGTAGCAAGCATCAATATTATAGAGCTTACATACGTAGCTCTACATTTACAGACTTAGCCATTTTCAAGGCTAATAGATACGTTAAAAATCTAGCTTCCCCCCTCTTCAAGTACCTGTTCAGGAGACGTAGAACGTCGCATTTGTCCTGATGTCCAGAGAACTGCTGCCCACAAGAACATTAAAGGCTCCAGGCTCAACAACGTACTTCATATTGACATTCCAAAGACCCAAGTCGCTGACGTCGAGGGAAATCTTCACAGTCTGTGTTTTACCAGGCCCAATGACAACCTTATCGAAGCCTTTCAATTGTCGGTTCGGCACGACCACTGATGCGAATTCGTCCTCGACATACACCTGAACCACTTCTGTGGCATTGCGGGTTTTGTCCTCGTTGGTAATATCAACACTGACTGTTACTGTATCCGTAGCCGACACCTTCGTCTTATCCAACTTGACGGCGCCATAGTTGAATGTCGAGTAGCTTTTGCCGTACCCAAATTCATATAATGGAAGCGGCGAGCCGATGACATACTGATGTCCAAAGACGATGGTATCATTCGCAGTGATAAATCCTGAATCCCCAATCGATCGACCGGAATTCAGATAGTCATAGAAGATGGGCAAGGCGCCAACAGACTGAGGAAAGCTGACTGAAAGTTTTCCTGAAGGATTATAATCACCGAAGAGCACATCAGCGAGGGCATTACCTCCTTGTTCTGAGGGGTAGAACTGCTGGATTAATGCCGCTGTTGAGTTTGAGATCCAAGGTTCTGTGACTGGTTTCCCTGATGAGAACACAACGATAGTTGGAACACCTGTATCTGCGATGGCTTTCACAAGAGGCGCTTGGGCACCAACTAGACGAAGATCTGCCTCGTCAACGTGCTCTCCTGTTCTAAAGTTCTTTGTTAGAAGTAATTCGTCAACATGTTCAAAGCGGCTCACGTCGCGTTCAACCCTTCCCACAATTGTTCCTGGTCTCGAGACCAGGTACCCACGACAACGACAGCTACATCTGATTTTTTCGCTGCGTCGATAGCTTCATTAAACCCAGACTGGTCGTTGCTCCAGCGCTCACATCCCTGAGCGTAGTTTATGGTTGCTAAATCCCCAACTGCATTTTTGATTCCACCCAAGGGAGTAACACCACGGTACTGGCTTTGGTATACTACATAATCCCCATACTTTTAAATGTCAGTAAGATCTTGCAAGCAGGTCTAGAGTGTTCATACATTCATAAAACCATGAGCCATTGGTCCAATCACAGCTATACTTCCCCCCTTCTTCAATGGAAGGGTGTTGTTGTGGTTTTCAAGCAAAACGATTGATTCACGATCCAAGTCCCTTGCTAGTTCCTGTGCCTCGGGAGTATGTATTAGTTTGCTCCATTCATTGGAGGGCGCACCAGGGTGAGGATTTTCAAAAAGACCCATTTCGAATTTAGCCTTCAAGAGCCTAGAAACTGCAGTGTCGACAGTCTTAATATCAAGCTTTTTTGATTGCACTAGTTCTGGTATCAATCTAAAGTTGCTGTTTCTTATTAGTAGAAACTCTGAAAATTAGCAAGACAAGACCTACAATGACCCGCCACCCATTTCGACATCATTGCCTGCTGGAAGAGCAGCTAGGGTGATGGCCTCTGAGTCGATTGGAGAACTCTGACACAGTTTGAACGCCGTGCACAATCTGTCAGTTCCGCCTGCGTCACTAATAACATAGTAGTCATATCCCCATTCATCTCGGAGTATTTCTGTCAAAGTATGGAAGTCCGCTACAGCTGGAATTCCATCATAACTAAAGCCAAACATCAGTCGCCGTTAGTATTCAATCGAATGGACCATGTTACCTGTGGTAGGCACTCATGATACTCCACGCACCTGCATCGATGATGGCCCGCTTGAAAGAAGGTGCCCAGCTGTAAATTCATTAGCGAAGCGGAAACTTTTTAACAGAATTCCAGAACACAGACGTTGTCCTCAATTCTCTTTCTCCTCCGTGGACTGGCCCCGTATTTAATCCTTGCTCCGGGTTACTGAATCCAATAAAATGTTTGACTGTTGCAGAGACATTCTGACTTTGAAGACCTTTAATATAATTGTATGTGACCTCTCCTGCCAAGAATGGGTCTTCGGAAGTTGTCTCTTCTACCTGAGGAAGATATCAGCCTCAACGACCAGCAAGACTAGATGGGCTTTCATACTCGTCCAAAACGTAGCTCTCGAGTCAGATCGGCAAGAGGTGAAAACAATTGCGTAACTCCAAGGGCGCGGGCTTCCTGGCCGATTATTTGACCCATCTTTTGAATCAGCTAACATACAAATAATTGGTTAGTTTTATCAAACCAACGGCTTCGAGAGCAATACACATCAATTTGGTCAAGTGTGAAGGCCGTCTTACCTCCCGATTCCAGGAAGATCCATAACCAATTGGGGAGTTGAATATAGTAGCATTTCCAATCAAAAACCCGTGGATACCTTCGGTTTGAACCAATGCTGGAATGCCAAGGGTTGTATTCTTGAGCAGATAATCTTGACCCTTTTGGATATTGGTAGTAAGCCATTCCCATGAAATGGGATATCCAACTAGACCTTGCAATTAGGAAAGAATCTTCTGAATGATGTTCTGACATTGTGTGGATTTGATCAAATAATGTCGGTTTCTCATACCATAGAACGACCCCGCTTTCGTTTGCATGCTGTCCACCAAACCTGTTTCATTGAATACACCACTAGTGGAATTCATCCAGTTCGTTATGTCTCCTAAATCCCGCGAGAGAAATTAAAAAGAGTTTCTTGTAATTTGAAGCTGTTCCCGCGATAACACATACCCTGCATCAATTGCGCCATCTTTTCCTCGATTGTCATTCTGCCTAGCAAATCGGCGACCCGTTCACCAACTGGCAGGTGAGGATTCTTGTATGCAGGCGTGTTGCTTGCCCATACTGATTGGAGCGACAGGAGGCATAGTGTATAAGCTAGCCTACTCATCGTTACCATGATGTCGGATTCTCCCTCTTATTTCCTGGTTTTGTCGCGAATTTTCGATGATACAGGATTGTTGGGCAGATCTTTGATGAAAAGTTGGTGAGAATTAATAAAATCAAGAAATTGAGGGCTCGAAAAAGCAATGTGCTGAAGCTCCAGAATTGGGGCAAATTAAGCCCTATGGGCGTTTTAAGATTAACCTTGCTTTTAGGGTTTTGTTCCTGGTTCGGAAAGTAAAAATATACAAAGGGGCAAGCGTGCTCTCGAATCCGCACGTGGAAGAATTCAACAATGAGAATAAGATTAAGCAAATTGGAACGTTTTGTTAATGTTTTTGTTTCTTTTCCTTTCTTCTAAGTAATTAAATGTATAGACATAAAAGTCACGATCTAGATACCAAAGATTAAGATTCGATCGGCTTTCAGTCTTGCGGAGTATCGTTCCTGATATCATTTAAAGATAATTTGATACACACCCCGCACCCCGCATTCCGCTCCGATGAATTTATCGAAACTTTCCGCATGTCAGCCGGATTTATTATTATCAGCCAATTACCGACATTAACCACCTTCCCGTATTGTATGAGATTTCGCGGTGTCATCCCCGGCCCTGACTAATGGGGTCTAATCATTCGAATTGAGATCGTTGCCTTACGTTTCCAGTAAATTCTCGGTAATTCCATAGATATTGCTGTCGACTCTAATTTTCGCTCTCAGAGGAATCTACCTCGTTAAAGGTGACTGGTACGAATATAAGCATGCAGATTCAAGGCATTACGGGGAAGTTGTATGTATGTAGCGCATCGGATTTCCCACCAATCGTACAGTAATACCGGCCATTAGCAACTAGTAGACGGATAAATGAAGAAACATCCACGATGGTATTATTTTCATAAAGAATCTTTAAATTTTTTCTTCAAATTATAAAAAGAAAATAGCTAGCCCAAGTACATCTGTGAATTTTGAACGAAGGACCACATGCATGTAGGAAGGGTAAACACTATGAAAATGCAGCAGTGACATGTGGTTTGTTCAAAACCAGTAAATACTAAAATTCATGGATCAACATCGGCAATAGCAACAGGCAGCTCAAGAAACGCTGACAGTATAGGCCGAGGTCGAAAGAGTAGCACCCGATCCAGTAAAAGGCTCAGTGCCAGCTTGAATCGACAACAAGTACTGGCTTGAGCTAAGACCTTCATTCTCCACCAGGTATTCTAAGAAGTTGTGGATATCACCCGAGAAGTTGGTCTGCTGGCTGGTGGCCACGAAGCTGTAAACTGTAGTAGCTCCGTTGGGACCGCTATATAGATTCCAAGTGACACCACCAATTGTAGGAGAAGTAATGGGAGAGCCGCTCGAGGAAATTGGGCCTGCGCCTCCAAGAGCTGCGAGCCAGATCATGATCTCGTACTCAGCTGATCCACTGGCGCTGGAGCTGGTAAAAAGATCGTATGCCACGTCGGCGACAATACTAGATCCGGTGTAACTAATACAAATCAAGGTTAGTTAGGTAATAAATGATGTTTTTTCTTGTTGCAGACAATGATTGTCGCCAATTGGAATAGTCAAACGAAGGATCAGACCCAGAAGCAAGATAGGAGACCCATACCTCCAATCCCACGTAGTAGGAATACTTGAAATCGCACTTATTTCCTTCGAAGTAAAGCTGTACGCAGCATTCGCAAAGCTCTTCACACTAGATGATGCTCCTTCCCAGTTCCATTCAGTTTTCCAAGCCAAAATGTTGCCACTGAGGGACTCGACTGTTGTGCATTGGGAGCCACTTGTAGCAGAAGCCTCTCCCCACAGGTCTTGATATATTGTGTAACTCCCAGTCACTGTTGAGTCCCATTGTCCGCATAGGCTTGCGCGTTTTTCCAGAGTCTTGGATGGTGCTGCTGCTGCAATACTAGCTAGACCGAGAGTGATTGGTGCTAGAGACTTCATTGTGAAGAATCGACTGAATACCAATGATTTCAGGTGTTTGGAATTGATTGAATATACAAGATCAAATTGTTATCGACTGAGGGTGCATGCTCGCTTTAAATAGCGCCCTTGAAATGTTCGGTGTTTCATATTGAATATGATAATGAAGCTATTCATGCATTCATCAACACATCACTTTCCTGAAACGGCGCGGGGGTCGGACGGAACAGTCAAAAGAGTCAAAAATATGGGTGATGATTTCTTTCATTTCCAGTGGGGGCATTTAACCAGCGCTTCGACTAGACTGCGTGGTCTAATTACAAGGCTAGTCAGAGAAAACACCAGCATCTCCGAGCTTCCGCGTAGATGGGTCGAGTGTTGAATATCAGTGTGGCTTATCGTAATCATCTTCACAGTAAATATTTGTGTTAATTTGCTAAATTCAATTCAAAACAATTTCAATGAACTTGGTGATGTAGAACTTGCTAGCTAATATTACATGATGGAAAAAAATATCAAGTTTGTAGATCGCAGTCTCGAATCTCTAGAGGCCTCAGAGATTCAATGATAAAACGACATCTGGGTAAATGGAGATGTGAATGAGTTTCCTTCTTAGCATACTACTTCGTTAATGTGAAGTGAAGAATGTATGTGCACTATCTGGAAAAAGGACATGAGACATGGCATCAATTGACCATAAGACAAAATGAAACGGTAGTTGACCCGCTGACCTCACTAAAACTATGGATGGTGATTAAAACTTATCGACAATCAATCGAAGGCTCTATGAGCTAAATACGGGTTAATACAAAGAAACCTCCCCATGGAACACACGGCGAACACATATATATGCAAACCTCAATATAGTACTGTATTATCAAGAATCGTCTCCCTCCGAAGACTCGTTCCCCCCTGATTGCGTTGGAACCACGCCTTCCGATTTCCTGGGGCGGCGAAGAGTTCCTCCAAGCCATGCCAGGCCGCCGCTTAGTGAATCGCTGAAACTGCGCAATCGTTTGGTCGACGTGTCAGCGTCAGCCTTTGTATTGATCTGAATAGCATCAGCAGCCGTTGTGTTTACCCTAGGTACTTCTCGGTTTGAATTAACTCGAGACGAACCAGGGGTTACCGTGACAGCACTAGAATGGACATGACGACCATCAACTGAGTACTCAGTATCATACCCATTTTCACCGCTATCACCATTTGTTTCCCCAACAATCAGAGGGGCAGAACCCAGTCTCCTAACTCTAACAGATTTGCTGCGCTGGTGTCGACCTGGACTGCCTTCACCACGTCTGAGAGAGTCTGCAACTACAGCAGATAGAGTGGAAGACAAAGGAGCAATAAGGGGAGCAGGGGTTAGTCGTAGCTGGACCGAGTTTCTGACGCTAGACTGTGGAGTGCGAGGAGTACTGCGGCGTCGATTTTCAGGCGTCCTTATGTCAGCCGAAGGCTGAGGGGAACGTGCTGGATGGCTGTGGGTATCGGAATTTTGTCCTGCATCCTCAGGAGAAGGGGCGACAGGGAAGCGAAATAAAATGGGGGAGAATTGCGCCACGCGTGTTTGGCTCCCTGGAGGTGTAGTTGGTATGCTTTTATGTACAAGTGGATCTGATATCGTGGTCTTAAGGGTGCCTTCGGGTGAGTCCCAAGGATTGTCAATGAGAGATTGAGGTTGAGGTGGTGATGAAGCAAGGTCTTGAGAGAGAGAATCCTCGGATATTGATTCCTCGTTATCTGAGCCGGCTGGTGAGAGGAGGCCCTTTGGTGTGTTCAGATCGTCACCCTCTGAACTTGCGCTTTGGAAGGAAGCGCGCGTGGATCGGGATTGATGTCGGTTTTCAAGGGCAGTATCGCCTGGTTTTCGCATATGTTGGTCGAGTGCTCGAGGCTCGTCCTCTGTATCCCGATATCGTTGGCCATTCACGAAACCAACTTCCGCCTCTTCATCCTCTTCTTCTCCTTCTGAGTATTCATCTTCGTTGCGGCTTCGGCCGCTGGTGATGAAATAAACCCCAAGAAAAGTTAGAGCGCACCCGCCCACAAATTTCATAGCACGAGACTTTGTAGTGGACTCAAAATCGCGATACAAAACGGCGCTTCCAATAATGACAGCAAGGGTAAATAGAACAAATTGGGTTGGGATAACCTGTGTTGAGTCGAATCGTTGCAAAGCACGATTGATATAGCGTATTTGCATCAATGCACTACAAATGAGAACCGCAGCAAGTAAATAGGAAATCGGGAAAGTAATGACGTGCCAAAGCGTAAAGGACAGTAACGAAGCCACGCCTTTAGTCGAGAGTGCGGTATATCCACCTGCAGATCATTAGCGCCTCAAGATCAAGAATTGAGATGATTAAAGCTTACCGAAAAGGCCGACTAAGCCCAAGTCGATCAAGATAGTACGATTCCCATATTTCCCACTCAGACACATGAGGGTAATGATCAAGGCAGCAGTTAGCCCTAGGTATAGTTCAAATTCCCATTTGGTTATCATGACCCAGATTTCATGTGGTCCTATTTTCGTTTCAGAGGTCTCTGCGCTTAATACCACGACGACGGCGCCAGTAATAGCAATAAGAACCCCCCACAGGTCTTGCTGCCGGAATTTTTCCTTCAACATGAAGGGGGCAATCACGCAGTTTGATATCAATGCGACGACTCCTAAGGGCGACACAATTGAAGCTGGTGCAAACCCATAAGCGAGAAAATTACCCATTTCTCCAAGTGTCATTAAGACGATGCCTGCCCACCAATACGGTGAGTGGAGATAGTTGGCTCGGTATGTTTCTGCCAGGTCCTTGTCACCTGGCCTGACTGTTTGATCGGAGAGAATAGATTGCTGCATATCAGGGTCTTCATTTTCCGTATCATAATCTTGATAAGATCGATCCTGGTCGTCTGAACGCTCTCTCCCATTTTGTGTAGCCCCAAAAGTTTCGTTACTATTATCGCCAGGGTCATCTCTGTATGGAACATCGGTGGAGCCGTAAGTGCTTGTCGATACATGCCTCCGAGAACGCATGCGAACTCGTTCCCCTTCAGCTTCTCGTTCGATACGTACGTGCGCATATCGTTGGATGTTCAGCGCAAATGATATGAGAATATTCCCACATATCGCCACGATTATTCCGATAAATGATGACCATCTTTGGGCCTGATGTCCTCCATCTCCATCAGAGTCTTCTTGCGATCCGATCAATAAGGACAGCAGGCTATACGTATTGGGGAGTGAAGATGCTGCTGGAAATCCTGTCGCCGGGGGCAGTTGGACTGTCGATACCCCGGTCGACAGAATGCCATCCATGGTCTATTTCTCAGAGTCTGGTACAAGAGAGAGAGGGTCTTAAGCGAGGCTGCGAGCACTTAGCGCCACCTCGGAAGCCTATTAAGACAAAAACTATTATTGTGGTTGCGTTTTCACTTCTTGCATCATGATTTAACAAGCATCATTATGTCGATTTGTCTCAACCTGTGGCGCCAGTTCTTGCGCGTCGTAGCCCGGGAGCTCCTTTCCGCGAAGGCTCCGAATTTGTCGGAGGACGGATTCTAAACAGATGAATCGAGTCAGCCAAAACGACACATAGTTCTACGTTGACAGGCAACAGCCTTTGGCAAGGCATCAGCGAAACTCACGAGACCAGGGCAGATACTGAGCACAGGCGATACCGTTGACACAGCGCCCCGACTTGACGCGGGCGTTAATGAGCGAGCGGGCTTTACGGTGAGGGCGTCAGCGTGCAGCAGGCCAGTAGAGACTAGGGACTCATTGGGTAAGGATGCGGCGGTGGGAGACCATTATGGAGGCTGATCGGCTGCGGGTGTAAGAAAGTCGACTCAGTCGAAGAGCTGAGGAGGTGCTCAAGCCCAGACGGCGGCGCGGCGAGCGGCACCAGAGCGGATCGGCACGAACTGTGCGGGGCCGAACAACCGATTAATCTTCTCTCTTCATTCCTATTACTCCTGCAACTCGTATATGCTTTGCGATTTCTTGATGCAAAGGTCGAATATAAATAAAGAGACTGCGACCTGGCCTCCAGTGCTGTACGTGATAGATTATCAAATTTCTAGCATTCACCCGATCCCATGTTTCCCTGATAGCCTGGAGGACACCCTTCTCACCAGCGCCTTAACTTGAAGAAATTATGTACAGTACAGACAATAAATAACAATATAGCGAACAGTTTCCTTGTTCTTAGTGGAAAAAATATCACCGCTTCGCCTTTTTCTTATCGGGACGTTCTTCCTCTTCGTCGCTGATATCCGCATATATAGTCTTTGGCTGTGTCTTTGCCCACGCCTTCGTAAAGATAGGATCCTTCTGTGCCTTGTCGGCATATTTCAGCAACGCTGCCCGAGGATCTTCGTCACGCATGGAGCTAAGTGGAATGCTTTCACGAATGTGCTTTTCGTCGGGTTGCGACTTCGCGAATGGTGTTTGCGTTGGAAGATGGGGGCGCCGAGGGTCCCTTGAACGCCCGGATACGGTCAATCCGACGGTAGGGTGGCGGGCAGACCAGCTTGCTGCCGCAGACTGAGGCATGCCATTTGATCCAATGACCACTGAGTCGCCAGAGAATCCCTGTGATATATCTGTTGTGAAGTTGGGGTCATCATCGACATGTCGTCGCTTGGGGGCTTTGGACATCACAAGAGCCGCCCCCTTTGTAGATATCGTTGGGTTGTAAAGCATGTGTATTTCGCTATTGGCAGACCCTGTCAGAATTTGATTCAATTTTTCATGCCATTGCACCGTAATCAAAGCAGATCCTGGCGTGACAGGGGTTACAAGTTCTGGTTTCAACGTCGCAGGGTTCAAGATATGGAGATGGCCAGTCTCGGAACCAGTAATTATGTTGGTCCCAGTCGGTGAGAATTTAATGTTTGATGTGGGATAATGGTTTGCTGTAGACTGGTGCGTAACAGTTGTAATAGGCAACTTAAATTTCCGTGTGTCCCATAGCTTGATAGTATCGTCACCTCCTCTAGTCACAACCAACCGCCCATCGGCACTGATATCGACGCCGCTGGTCCAAGTGGTTCTCGTATGAGCATCCCGAACCTCCGCAGCCGGCCTAGTATATGGCCCACTTCCATTCCACATGACAAGACTTCCATCAAGGCCTGTAGCAACAAGTACATTAGGTCCGCCTTGTTTTGGAGACGCCCAGGCCACAGCTGTTACTTTGGTTCTCCCGGCCGAGCCCGCAGCCTTGGACTTATGAACAATGACATCCTTCTGGTTTCGACCAACATTCACATCCCATATCCTAACAGTGCTATCTGTTCCAGCAGTGGCACACAAGTTGTAGTCTGTAGGGCTCCAAGCTCCCGACGTGACTTCCGAAACATGGCCTTTGGTATTGTGCATATCTCGTAGATACATGTCTCCCTTGACAAATTCGGTGAGCACATTTCCATCCCGATCGAAAATTTTCGGTTGAGGTGTGGCAGGGATGACCAGCATCTGACTAGGAGATATGGGATTGAAAGCGACATAATGAACAGGGTGAGTTTCTTGTGCTGCTGACTGCTTCTTTGCGCTCGGGTCGACGGACTTGAAGGCGCGAAGTGTAGACGGTGTCATGGAGGCAAAGTCATGGAATTTGATTGTGCAATCTGTGGAGCCAGAAACAAGTCGACCGCCAGATGAATCAAGGGCCAGGGTCGTTACAGCGCGTTCATGTGTCTTGAGTACAAGCTCATGCGACACGGGGAATTCGTCCTCGTCGTCATCATCGTCATCGTCATCGTCATCCTCCTCCGAGTCTTTGTCCGAATCACCAGCTTCATTAAGCCCAGTTTCTATCTCCTTCTGCTCTTTTTCTATGCCGTCATGCTCACGATTGTCTTCGGTTTGCGACTCGATATTCGTTCGCTTCGATCGGTCGATTTGCGCGGTGACACTAGCTTGCTTTTCCTGTTTGCCAAACCCGCTCGGGAAAAACTTTTTGAAAGCCTCCTCGTCAAATCCATCCATTTTGGCTAGCTTCCACTGCGAGTTCAATAAGTTTGGCTTAAAGTTGTGAAGATGTTCGTCGTAGTGTTGAATTTTGCAGTGTTTGCACTGTGTCAGAACTGCCAGCCAATCACAAGCCGTACTTGGAAGCTTCCAATCACATGATAATGACGTTGGGATTGGACGTAAGCTTCAGCCTAAATTACAAGACGTTAGTTGAGGCATCAATCTAAGTCCCGTGGATCGTCAAAGTAGATTTGGATTCATTCCTAATGAGCATAATAATACAACATTACGGCCAAATTCGTTGGCCCATATCACACCCTTTTTGCGTATCTGCATGTCCACGTGACCCCAACTTCCATGTATAGGATTTCAGTTTCAGTCCCGGATATTGTGCTTTAACTACGACCCTTCCTGGGTAGTTTTATTTCGCTGGGTTACCAATTCACCACCAAAGATATCTTTACCTTCTCGTTCTTGCTTCTCACGCTCCAATCGACGTTTCTTAGCCACCCTCTCCATGTCACTCTCCGATGTGCCCTCCGCACCGGGAACGGTCCCAGACGAGCGTTTCTGCCCACTGCCGGGAGCAGCGGGGTCTAACTTTTCGATCTGTTCGCATTGATATACCTTTTTGGCGATTGCCTTTAATCGTTTCATCATATCGGCACTCGAGGCAGACGGAACGTAGGACTCGAGCATTTTTGAACAGTTTGACAAAGTATTCTGTAGTTTTGCACGTATGCTAGCTAACGGGTCTGACGCTTCTACTTGAGGCCCTAGTTTAGTGTCGATGTAAAATTGGGCGAGCGGTTTATCAGCGATCATAAGCGCAGCAAGCCATATCTGTGATGGTGTGTACAGAAAGTAAACATCGGTCATTTGCGCGGCTGTCTTCAGAATTTCTCGTGCTTTGCCGTGCGCGTTTGCTATTCGTGTTGATGTAGATATTTTCTCCGAAGATGGGAGAGAATGTAGAGCTTGTTTCATGCTTTCTGGTGTTTGGCCTATGCCATGAGGGGCTGGCTGTCCATCACCCAACGCGATGGCTTGGAGCTCCATGATTCCGCCTTCAAGGCCGCGGAATGGATGGCGCACGTCGAAGGTGAACCGGAGGCCTTGGGTCAATGTGTACTCCGGAGCAATAACGTCTTCGGGCTTTTCGAGTCCCGGCACTTCCTTTACAAAAGATCGCAAAGATATAAAGTAGTTGTCCGTTTTCGTAGCGAGAAACAGGGCACAGGGCATCATCATTTTGGGATGATAGGTCATAATAGAATTCCTAAGGTAAAATCGTCGAAGAAACTGTATCGCTGTGGCCTATATATTTCTCAAATGTTAGCCTGACTGCTATTTTACTGTAACTAAAACGAGATTGATATGATCTTTCGCTACTTACCCTCACCATTGTCGGTAGAGCTGGTTTGTATTTGTCCCCAAGTTCTAAAGCCTGCTCACAAAAGTATCGCACAAAAGTTAACTCCTCCTCCGGTGTGACACAGTCCACATCCCTTTCTAGAGCCGCCTCCCATTTTGCCTCACCATCACTTGGATTGGGGGTCAAGTTCCCGGTTGTTGAAGGGGTGTCGGACCTAGGAACCTCGCGTGCTCGCTGTTGGGCGGCCCGGAGACGTTCGCACGCAACAGCATTAGTATCAGATCGCAACGAGCTCAAACCATCGGGAGTAAAAGACCATATCCGAAACTGAGTCGAGGATCTGTAGATCTCATCTTCGATCATGATGGAGTAGGTATGTAGCTGAGAGCCAATTCGGCGGGACCCAGCTGGGGTGTGGCGGATGGCTTTACTTCGAGCGTCCCCTCATAGGCAATACGCATAAAGTAGCTGCATTCTAAAAGCGATGCGTGGAGTATGTGTAAAATTTTATACTTATGGAAGCGTCATCGAAGCAAGAGACGAGAAAAATGAAGTTGACATCGCGAGTAGAATTATCGGCTGTTGACGTATCGTATATGCCTAAGGCTATCAAATCACGTGAGTGCAAATGGTTAGTTATTTTTTTGATGTCCCATCTATCATACAACCAGAAATTCTGATTGCTATTGTTTGAACAGAAGCAGAAAGGAATACGGTGTATATTCAATTAGACAGGTGTTTATGTCAAGTCATCAAATCATCATGAGTGGTGCATTTCTACTTCGAACGCATGAAACAGAGGAGAGACAGAACGTCGCATCATGTATTTCAAACTTCCAAAAATTGTGAAACAAAAGGTAGGATCCATCATGCAAGTCCCAATAACTGTCCAAAGGTAGCCCTGCACAATATCCAAAAACAATAGTATAAACAGAGGAGAATCAAAAAACTCTGAATTCGCCGGGCTCCATACGCTCATTCAACCACCAATTACCACAGAGATGCTAATGCAATGGTCCCATAAATGCGTAAATCATGGCTCACCTAGAAGGTGCGCAGTAATATCGCCTACATATTCTCCTTCAAGCTCATAATCCTCGCCTTCGTTGCGGTCAATGCCAACATATTTGAAAGCGGCCACGACTCGATCAACATCGAATCCCATACCGCAGAACCGGTCGACAAGATCTTTGTTATATCCATCGTATCTATTAAAAGGAATAGTTAGTAATGCACTTTACCAGCAACAACTGGGGTGGGATGACTATACGCAGCAAGAGCGTCGCGCTCCTCATCTTCCCTAGCCTTTCGTTCTTGCTCTCTGATGGATGCATCAGTCGCACCTCCACTACCCTCCGCGACTTGTTTCTTGGGGGCGCCAGCATATTTTATTGCCCATTCCCTTGCCATACGTTCGAATTCTTTGGGCTTCCGTAAAAGCATATTGGCAACCTCCGCATCTTGAGGGTCCTTGGGTTCCGGTGTGCTGAGAAGGGACTGTAGCGAGAGGAGAGCAGACTTTATCGTGAGAACGGGAGACCAAGCAGAAGAAAGAGTGTCAAGGCAAATCGCGCCCTATGTCAACATTTAGTAATTTAGCCTAGATCACCGAGCGTTCCAGTTTTGAGACTTACAGTTTGGCTGCTGACGTTCGGATGCCAAACCTTGGTCTCGAATTTCATGACAGGCGGTCGAAAAGGATACTCAGTCGGTATTCTGATGTCAACAAAGAAGGTGCCGTCTTCGTAAGGTGTTCCGGGTGGGCCACGAAAAGACCCTCGGAGATGCGTCAAGTCATCCTCTGAACCTACAGGTTCTGCGGTCACTTGGGAGTGAGTATCATTAAGGATATCGGCGATTTCCTTCGCAATACGTCGGTTTCGATTCGAAGCCATGGCGGCAGTCAACTGGTTAGCACTCGAGTTGTTGTGACGTATTAGGATATCTGTGAAGCAAGTGGAAAGAAAGGTTCCGTGGGAAGAGGTAGCTATTATAAGGAGGCGGAGATGATTATGGACGTTCCTGTTGATTATTTGGACGAGAGTGGGGGGCTAGGCTGCGAAAGGTGTCGGCAAGATGTAGACAAACAGGCAGCAAGCGAGATATCCAAATCAGCCCAAAGAAGTTGTAACTCAGAATAGCGATTTCGTGAAGCTTTAGACCGATATTTGATGCCCACAAGAGATGATGTTGTCGGCTGCCGCTGTTTGCTTTCGTCAGAAGCGACAAGATTCACGATAAATAGGCCGGTCTCGAGTCACGTTGGGTTTGTCTGCAGTAGTTGTCGGGCCTAACACTGAGCCCTGAGTATATAATAGCGGAGACAGAGAAAGCGCCTTGCGCTGGGCACCTCTTAGTAAGGATACGGGAGGAGCGTCAATGAAATCTAAGTCTAAGGATGAGTTGGCGGTTCACGTATGAGGGCATCATCACTATGGAGTAGATAACTATGTGACGCACAGCCTTGCCCATCTAAGCGCTGTGATTGGCCGGCTCTTGCTTGACGTGGACTCGGCCTTAAGGGCGTGTCACGTGGACGCGTATTGGCCCGTTGCTTCCCGTCGGAGAAGCTGATGGCGACAGCTCCAGCCAGCTTCTGACAAACCACCACCCCATCTTCCACCACCATCCCATCCCTCATCCATCGATCTCCAGCTTGTCTACTCTCTACTCAGGACTGAATCCCAGCTCTGTACCTTTTTACCAGTAAAAAGGCAGTTCTGCTGAGCTTTGCAGCTCCCTATCATGGTAAGTGTCCTCGCAGAACGCTACCATGCAAACAACGTTGACTTATCAAATGATAATCTAGGGTAATCAACAATCCAATATAGGCGGTGGTGCGCCAGGGGGTGATGGCCGTGATGACAAGAGCAAGAAGGTATGAACCTACCCACGACCAATTTTTCCAAGAAGACCGACTTGCTAACATCTCTCCTTAAATCAAAAGGATAAGCCAAAGTACGAGCCGCCACCGCAACCTACCACCCGTATCGGACGCAAGAAGCGTAAGGCAGCTGGTCCCAATGCTGCTGCTAAGCTTCCTACCATCCTTCCCACGTCAAGATGTAAATTAAGGTATCTAAGAATGCAACGGATTCACGACCACCTGTTACTGGAGGAAGAATACGTTGAAAATCAGGAACGCATTAGGAAGACCAAGGCCCAAGCAACTTCTCAGCCATCAGCTACAGGAGATCTGGATGCGTTGGATAGGAATGCTGACGAAAGGAGTCGCGTCGACGACATGAGAGGCAGCCCGATGGGTGTCGGAAACCTCGAGGAAATGATCGATGACGACCATGCCATCGTTTCTAGCGCCACCGGCCCGGAGTACTACGTCTCAATCATGTCCTTTGTCGATAAAGATCTTTTGGAACCAGGGGCCAGTGTCTTGCTGCATCACAAGTCTGTATCTGTAGTTGGTGTCTTGACAGATGATGCCGATCCGTTGGTGTCTGTCATGAAGCTCGACAAAGCCCCTACAGAATCTTATGCTGATATTGGTGGTCTGGAGAATCAAATTCAAGAGGTACGGGAAGCGGTGGAATTGCCCTTGCTGCATCCTGAGCTTTACGAGGAGATGGGTATCAAACCCCCCAAGGGTGTGATTCTTTATGGCGGCCCTGGAACAGGTAAAACACTGTTGGCAAAGGCTGTGGCGAACCAAACGAGTGCCACTTTCCTACGTATTGTTGGCAGTGAACTCATTCAGAAGTACCTGGGTGACGGTCCCCGACTAGTGCGCCAGATCTTCCAAGTGGCGGCTGAACATGCCCCATCGATAGTCTTCATCGACGAGATTGATGCTATCGGAACGAAGCGTTATGAATCGACTTCTGGAGGCGAACGAGAAATCCAAAGAACTATGTTGGAGCTTCTTAACCAGCTGGATGGATTTGACGACCGTGGAGATGTTAAGGTGATCATGGCAACCAACAAGATCGAGAGCTTAGACCCTGCATTGATTCGCCCTGGTCGAATTGACCGCAAGATCCTCTTCGAGAATCCCGATCGTAAGATTCCCTCGTAATTCCAATCGACGAAATCAAGTGCTAACTCGTGGTTCTTATAGAAAACACCAAGCGAAAGATCTTTACGTTGCATACCGGCAAGATGTCTCTGGGTGATGACGTCGACCTTGACGAATTCATCAGCCAGAAGGATGACCTTTCTGGCGCCGATATCAAGGCTATCTGTTCCGAGGCCGGTCTCATGGCACTACGTGAGCGTCGTATGAGGGTACAAATGGAAGATTTCCGTACCGCCAGAGAGCGTGTGCTTAAGACAAAGAATGAGAGCGAGCCCGAAGGCCTGTACCTGTAGTTTTCTCTGGCGCCGTGGCTTACATCGTTGATTCAGTCACTGTCCAGATCTTCGGCGCATGCGCGTTAGTCGATCAATTGATCCTGTACTCTACATCTTAGGCATTGCATATGTCTTATTTATCAATCAACCTCTAAATCATGTGATTATACGGAAACATAATCTTATACGTAGACTCATTCAACAATTCTCTAGCATCACGTATTGAAAAGCCAAAAAACGATCTATATTTCTAGTCAAAAAACAACCTCAAGTAGGGTTCTTTATCATTTTTAGACATGAATACAAGGCATGATATCGAACACGTTCATGACTTGGACTGGTAAGAAAAGGGATGAAGGAGGGGTTTATAGAAATCGGGACCTGCAACAAGAAAACAAATGAAACGTAACTCCCTATAATCCAAATCCAGATTCGCATGCTCTCTTCTCTCACTCATAAGCAAGTCTAAAAAAGCTCTAATATGCATGCACTGGATAACATGAGAATCCCTGATATCTCTCTTTTGGTTTGTCCAGCAGGGCTAGGTTCCCATTCTTTTCGTTCTCTCGGCCCTTCCTTCGCGGAAGAAGGTTATATAGTGAAATTCGGGAATGATTTTGGGTTTTGGTTTGGCTTTTTCTAGACGGCACCGGTTGAAACCATCTTCTTGCGTAGGTAGTCCTTGTACTCGCCAATGCTGCCGTCCCATCGACGGATTGTCTTGTGCTCACACACCATAATATCTTTGGCAATCTTGTCCAAAAGTCTGTGATGGGGTTAGTCGATACGAATTGTTTTAATAATATATATAATTAAAAGGGGCAAGGCTTACCGGAAATCGTGAGATACCACCACAACACCACCGTTGAAGGCCATGATGGCGTCGGCCAAACTGTCGATAGTAGGAATATCAAGACCGTTGGTCGGTTCGTCCAGAAGGAGCATGTTTGGCGACTCGATGGCTAGTAAAGCGAAAACGATACGGCTCTTCTGCCCTTCGGACAGCGTGCCCATGAGCGCAGTCTGTGACTCACCGGTCAGACCGTAACGGCCGAGCTGTTGACGCCAGTATTGGTAATCCTGACTCTTTTCGCTGAATTTGTCACGCACAAAGTCAAGAGCTGACTTAGTCAAATCTAGCTGCTCGGCAGAGTGTTGACTATAGAGACCCAGCTTCAAGTGAGTGTGGCGGGTCACACGGCCACTGTTGGGGCTCAGTTTGCCGGTCATCAAACGAAGCAATGTCGATTTGCCGACACCGTTAGGGCCCACCAAAGCAGTTCGCGAGTCCATGTCAACACCTAAATCAAGGTTCTCGTACAAGGTATCTTCGGGGTTGCCAGAATACGAAAACGTCACGTCATCAAAGGACAAGACTGGAGGTGGAAGCTTCTCGACATCGGCGAAACGGAAGGTGAAGACTCTGTCCGGGATGACGGGTTGGATAAACCCATCGGCCTCCATTTTGTCGAGAATCTTTTGACGAGACTTGGCTTGACGGACCAAGTTTGCATATGTACCAGCAGAAGCGATGAACTTCTTGATGTGGGCAATTTCTTCCTGTTGCTTGTTGTAAGCTTTCGTCTGGTTCGTCTCCTGCTCATCCCTGGTCTTGTGGTATGAGTCGTAGTTACCACCATAGTACAAAAGCTGCTTTCCACGCATGTCGATCATGTTTGTGCAGACACCGTTCAAGAAGTCCATGGAGTGAGAAACCAAAACAAGGGTACGATCCCACTTCTTGAGATACTCTTCAAGCCACACGCAGGCTTCGAGATCCAAGTGAGCGGTAGGGTCGTCAAGCAACAGGAGAGAGGGCTTGACGAAGAGGGCCTTGCCGAGGGCCACACGCATTCGCCAACCACCAGACATGTCCTTGGTCTTCTTCAGTATAGTGGTTTTGTTGAATCCCAAACCAGTCAAAATGAGGGAGGCACGAGTGTGGAAGGTAGAAGGATCCATGGTTTCCATGCGCTATAAGCCGTCAGCAATTGCCTCATATATCGTGCAGCTACGGTAATAACTTACCTCGTAAAGATCCTCCAATTGAGGAGCGTCAGGGCCTTCTTTCTCCAAGATATCTTCGGCCAATTTCTCCATACGCTCCAGTTCATTCTCAGCCTCTCTGACGACCCATTCCAAAGCACCGAGATCGCTGGGGGGCGCACCCTCGTTCAGGAGGTAGATATCAATGTGGTCTGGAATCGGGAACTCACGCTTGTCGATGGCCTTCAACAATGTCGACTTACCGCAGCCGTTCTCACCGAGCAAGCCGTAACGTCGGGCATAATTGAGCTCGAGAACACTGTCGTTGAAAAGGACCTTGCCGTGGAACACCAAGGAGGCCGACGTAATCTTCGCGTCGCGGGAAGATTCCATCGATGACAGCACACCTGTTGTGACACGGTCGGAAAGGCCGTGCTTGTCCATCTGTGATGTCAATTTGTCGACTTCCTTCATCTTCTCGGCAGAGGTGGCGGGTTGATCGCTACCGGGGACGGCCTCGCCATCACCGTCTTGCAATTCAGCCTTGGCTGCCTTCTTGGCTGAAAGCTTGGAGGTTTTCTTCTCAGTACCACCACCATCGGCAGCACGCTTGGCCTGGCGGGCGGCCTTGGATGCAGATACCATATTGGCGGATGTGGAAGGAAAATGCAGAGGAAAAATCTGCTCTACACGATCGGAGAGCAGAATACAAGGGCACAGGTTTCTGTCCTTATAACACGGATTTGTTATTTGACTTCTTCAACGAAGAAAGATAAACAAATCCAATCACAGGAGCTGTGCAGAAAAGAGAAAGGCGATTAAAATCTGCAATCCCGCTTTTGTGGTGGGGTACCTACTCAGTGGTACTTCTGCCTTATCGATTGCAGAGACAACACGAGCCCCGCCAACAGTCGAGCGCCGCAAACACACTGGGGTATCAGGAAAAAGACTAGAGAGGAAAAGAGAAGGACTGGCAGCTGTTTCAGGATCTGCTGCGAGCCGGTGGTATGCAAACTCAGGAAGCAGTAAGAGTCTAAGAGTAAGTAATATTGATTATCGGTTTAATTATTTCTTTCACTCTGAAATTTTGTGGCCGGTGGAGCACGGCGGCCCCTCGCCAGCGCTTACTGGCCCACACACGTCATCCGCCCGTGCAGGTGGCGAGGGCGACTAAGGACTACGGATATGTCCTACAGGGTCAGATCCATGCGTATATTCGTGTAGTCGTGTATGTATATGTGTATATGTGTATATGTGTATGTAGAGCACTAGAGTCGGTCACTGAGTTCTACCAGAAAAGTCCGCTCTTCAGGAGTCAAGTACAGATGCTGGGGCACAGTCAGGCTCCCCTTCCTGATGATCACTTGTTCCTCTGCCAGCCCTTCACTTCGCCCCGAAGAACATTGTGTCAGTTTGCTTTCAACATCCGCCTGTGCGTCGTTTTCGGGGGTTGCTTCTTTTCGTTTTGTTTGGGCGAGATCTTCGGGGGTCCACCAGTACTGAGGAAACTTGCGCTGGATATTGTTGATAATCAATGCAACGATTACCATGAGAACTGCTCCTAACAGGATCACGGGTACCAGCCACCATCCCAATGGCAGTGAGTCGTTGCTGACAACAGCCAAGAGAGCGGTTGCGCCAGCTGGTGGATGGACCGTTTTGGTGATAGCCATCAACGCTGTAGCGAGGGCACAAGCCAACGCACCCCCAACCCAGCGAATAGATTCAAAGTGTGGACTCAGCGCGAATAGTTTACATATTGCCACGCCGATGACACTAGAGATAAACTGCCCAAAGACGGAATTTCGGGGTTGTGCCAGTGGAGATTCAATGGCATAAAAATTCAATACCGACGCAGCACCCTAAGAAAAAGGTCAGAAAGGCGAGTAGAAGCTTGAGAAATTGTTCATTACATACGAAACTCGCAATGATAATCGGGGCTTGGTGGCTCTGAAATGCGGCCACATGCTTTGATACAACTTCAATGACGATCAAACCAGCGAATATTCCCACAAAAGCCCAGGCCGTGATGATCAAATTACCAACTGGCTTCATCGGCTTCTTTCTATATCCGAGCACATATGACACTGGGTATGGAAGCCATTTCCAAGGCGGTGGCGGCACAATGGGGTTGAGCCATCGATCGATATCAAAATTCCATGCAGCAGGATCCGAGAGACCCATCGCAGAGCAGCTCTGGAAGATGAGTCAATGTTCTTGCAGATGAAAGACGGTCGCAAATAGCTGTGGTCACTCCACGTCAAGCAAGAGACGTCTCACAAATCGACTCGGCTCGGCTCGCAGTTAAGCTGTTGTATGTTTCTTTGTCGAGCAGGGACGGCCAAGGCATGTGTGTCCCTTTCATGTCTCACGGTCGGGTCCTTTGTATATATAGGCTGCAGATGGCACATCATCTGCGGACCAAAATACGAAATTGCAGGCCATCTCCGCGGATCGTGCGGAGCCCCAGGGCAAAGAATCAACTTGCAAAGCACTGCCAATGCTGGAAACAGAAGTTCTTCCACTTGGGGAAATTGCAACTGGCCACTCACGTGCTTGGGATTGAGTAATAGAAATTCTAAATGCGGCTAGCGGGATATATGCTGACTAGCGCAAGTCACGGGATTGATCGCCGCGGGACAAACACGGCAAACACGGCAACCAGGGCCGTCATCGCAACTATTAATCCTCATTAACCTTCACCTCTCCATGTTATCTTACATTGTCTCGCAATTGGTGGTGGTGAGGTTGCAGCCCATGGCTTTACAAATGCTTGAACAAGTCACTTCGACGGAAAAAGGAAATGGTTATTCTACATTGCATTTATTGTGATCGCTAACTGGATACATTCCGATTTATACAGTCAGAGTCTTGCCCTGTTTGGAGCTCTCTTGAGCTAGCTCGATGAGCCGGATGACCTGGCTCGCCTCGGCACCGCTTGCGGGAAGATCCCCTTCACCGGAGAGAGCACGCGCAAGCTTGCGATAATATTCCACCCATGTTGGCCCTTCGACAGTAGGAACAGTCTCCGCAACGGGTTGGTCGTTCTGTATCGTGGTGAGAACACCTACATGGGACAGTTAGCTCGGTCGTCTCTTATGAGTCAACTACATTGCACGTACCATATCTGTCGCTGGGCTCCAAACCGTACACGCTGTTCCCTGGTAGGATACCAGCCTTCAATTGCTCTTCCTGGACATCTAGGTGGAATTTCTTAAAGCTTCCCTTGTCACCCCTCACCCAGAAGCGGAGTTGCTTTTCCTCAGGGCTCACGACCGCGGCTTTGGCTGTCACCAATGGACCGTTGTCGTAATGGAAGAGAACCGTAAAGGAGTCCTCGAAGCCAGAGGTGTTGTTTTCTCGTTGGCTGCCAATGAAAGCCGTGACACGCTGAGGCAAGCCGAGCAAATAGACAGCTTGGTCCAGTAAATGTGTTCCCAGATCGTAAATCGCACCACCTGCTGGCATGACCTTGGTCTTCCAGGAAGTAGAAGCCGCAGGGATTTCGGGACGATGGCGGTCGAAATGGCTCTCGTATTCCACCACTCGACCCAATGAGCCATTCTTGACAAGTTTAGACAGCGTGACAAAGTCCGCATCCCAACGGCGGTCTGCATCAGACAAGAAGATATTAGAGCAGTCAACGTAAAATATATGTCTTGCTAACACGTACTTTGGTATACGGCAAGAAGTTTCTTTTGCTTCTCGGCCAATGCTACTAATTCTGCCGCCTCTTTGTAGGTCGGGACGAAGGGCTTCTCGACCACGACTGCATTCAAATTAGACATGCTTAATCGACGAGGCCCTATGATTCCATACCGTGCTTGCCGGCGTCTAGTGCCAACTTCGTCAATGCATAATGGGAGTCAGGTGCTGTGGTGATCACAACGACATCGACCTGAGAGTCCTTCACCAAGTCGTCTGCAGAATGGTACAGCTTGACACCGGGGTGATCCTTCTCGGCATTGTCGTCTGGCTTGGGTGTGCGCTGCACAATAGCATACAGCTTCAAGTCAGGGACGGCAGTGATGAAGGGGATATGAAAGATCTTGGCGCTGAAGCCGTATCCCACAACGCCCACGTTGAAGGTCTTGGACGCCATTTTTGTGCTGTGCAGTCGATTGTGGAAATGTTGTGAATAGACAATGTGGTAGACTCCCTAGATTCCAGGGAATCGTCCTCTTTATAGTTGAGGGCAGTCAAGAAATTCGGAATTGGAGCTTAGCAAAAAAAATGCCATTAATAATTAGCATCGTCATACCCGTAAAGCCTCAGTCGGCGCGGGGCAGCTCAACCCGAAGCTTGCAACGTCTCATTTGCCCGTCGACCCAGCAAGGCCCATCGTCTTCAGCGGGGCTTCGTTGCCTCCCGCTGTGGCTGGAATACCACTGCTTTTCTGTATCTATCATGGCTCTGGACAGGACTGCTTATCAACTCCTTCGTCTTTTGGTTTACGACTTGCGTAATTGTAATCTGGAAAAACGAAATATCATGCTTGCCCCGGAAACCCTTTCCCGAGATATATTACAGACGAATTCGAAAACGCCTTCATGTTTTCACACACACTCTTCTTAATCCTGCCCCACAGCGAGGGCATTTAGCTATAAGCCTAGGTTAAATATAGCAGTTGTATTTTACTCATTATTAGCATTTGGTTCGTACATACTCGTTACAACTCCACGGTAATCGGTCCGATATTAACCCGATATATCATTACCAGCAGGCAAAAGTAATTAAGAGTGCTCAAGACGGGAATTTTCTCTCTGGAGATCGATTCTTTACTTCTGCTTTCATATCCCATGTTTGGAAGTTAGTTGAAGCAAATAGAAATATGAACTATTATGTATATGTGTGCGTACAATTATAAGTGTTATTATTTTAATATCCCCAAGGTTGTCTGATAGGGAGGTTTCGAATGCCTCTGCACTGTAGATTAATACCTGTGCGGGACAGAATACCAGAAGATATCATCTGCATTACTATTATAAGCATTAAATTATAGCACCATTAAACTGCCTAGTTATGTAGTATGTAGTAATGGTACTCATTGTCTTTTGAGGGGTGCTCATCAGAGATGCAGATTATGGCTTGTGATTGGTCGATCTGCAGGCCCCTCCAGCCAACTCATCATGGCCCACCCAAGCTTCCCAGCCTTTTGTTGCATGCAATCCTCACAAGCAGCCATGCTCTTGATCCTGGCATCAAAGACTCGATGACACTGAATGCTACCCCTTCGTTGGCATGGACTTTATCTTGTAGAAGCTTAGCTTAGGGTAAAAGTCTGACCGTCCAGTGCCGCCGCTTATATGTTCCCACTGATGACGTCCTTTTCCGCAAACAGTTGATACAGTTCATCTGTTCACCTTATCATTGACAACATATGAACATTAGTGTTTACTAACTCACGACCGCTCGGATAAGGACAGAAGCAGGGCCGCATATAATGCAGGCGACTACGATTTAAACGTACCAACTTCCGAAGTAGCTTCCTGTGCAAGTGTACGCAGTGGAACATAATGGCTTCACGCACTTCCTTTCGACCTTCTCACGCTCTCAAGTCAGCTGGCGTAATTATCTTCTCCTCAAGAATCACAGTCTCTGAGCTCTTTCGAGTCATTTTTCAGCTTTGGGTGTCTCTTCTTCTACTGCCACTCGATACCTCGATTCTGATAGGGGTATCGCTGCTCGGTCGTATTCGTTTTTTCCACAACAAAGACCGACATCATCGCCGCAATGTCCTCCGAAACCCGCGATTCTACCCGAAGACAATTCTCATCACAGGTGTCGGTACAGCACGAGGGCTGGCGCTTGCAAGGCAGTTTCATTATGGTGGCCATCGAGTGATTGGCGCTGATGTGGGCTTGACGCCGATTCGCTCTGGCGGCAGCATGTCCAAAGCTGTACATTGCTGTTACTCGATCTCCAAGACCCAATATGTTTGCAACTTGCTCGATATTATCAACCGAGAGAAAGTTGATATCTGGGTGCCTTTCTTAGACCGCGCAACTCCGCTTGAGGATGGCGTGGCGAAGAGCACCATCGAGAGCCGCACATCCTGCAAATGTGTGCATTTCAATGTCGACAGCGTGACTATTTTCAGCAGAGATGATCTCTTCTTGCAGCATGTCGGAGAGAAGGGGCTATCCGTTTTCGAAAGACACAATGTAAAGTCTCGCGACTCTGTCCACCGTATCCTTAATGGCTCTCCTAGCAAGAATTACGTCATTCATACAACCATCAAAGGAGCGATTCACGATGCTGTCCTATTACCGAGACGAACGCCGAGTCAAACATACTCAGATGTCAGCGAATTGCAAATTACCAAAGATCATCCCTGGGTTCTCCAACAACGCGCACGACTGGGCAGTTACTGGGCAGACTTTTTACTAATTCAGGGCTGTGTTAAGGCGATGAAGATCCGCTATTCCAGTCAAACATCTGGCTGGCAAGAGTCCAGCTTAAACTCCAGCATTCACGAGGTAACGAGACAGTTGATGGAGCGATTTGCGGATAAAGGAAAATCTCAAATGAGTGGCCATTTATCTGTCAAGTTCATGGTTGACGAGGAGATCAAACGAAATACAGTCTGTTATACTGTTTATCTTGCTGGCTGTCGTCAAGGGACCGCGGTTTCTCGGTTACTGGATGATCCTCCTCCCAACCTTTTCACTTGTTATTTGGAAATCCTCCCAACTACGGCCGATTCGGCCAATGAAACTGCTCCGGAGTCCTTTGAGAAACGAGCAAAACCGATATGGCCAGTGGTTGCAGCCGAGAAGACCACGCGAGGAATCGAACGATTTACGTACCCCATTGAAACCATCAATCTAATGAGCCACAAACTAGGTCTCAGCGATATTTGGAACCGATCTCGATTTTCTAGCATCGATCCACTTCCATGGTGGTGGCACTTGCACATTAGCCAGCCTCTGAACGATCTGGTTTTGATGGTCAACGGTTCGACCGAGACGTATGTGAAACGACAGTTATGAAAATGTTTTTATTGATTTTAATTTCACAATTCACTGTTGGCACACCCTTTTTGTACATCATTCTCAGCACCCCAGAACATGAGGCGGAGTGTTTGGGCACTTGAATGCCTGGTTGGCCATTGGCTGGACTGGCGCAAATGTGGCTAACGACGTCTGGACCGTGGCTGAGTTTCTATATTTAACCTGGCCTAAACTGTTCTTGCCAGCGTAACAGCCACTCAATTTCGGATTGTTCGGGCGAATAAGAGTATTAGTGTACGTATTGATGAGACATGAAATCGAAGAGATTACTTTTTAGGGCAAGAACAATAGCAATAACAATAGCAACAATAATTAATAAATAATAAGTAATATCAATGTTCTCCGTAAATGAAGCAGTATATATCCCGGTCTTAGCGTTCAGCCTTGCAGCGCTGCCCAATCAGAGCGCGCCGAAGTGTGGCTGGCCCAGCTGAAACTCTGCTGGCCGACTGATTGGCGGCCAGCCAAACTTCCTACGTAGGCTGCTGCTAACTGCCAGTTGCCCGAGTGAAATCTCACGCCGGTAGTCAGTGACGACTACTGCCTCCACTCTGCCAAACATCTCATTTTGCTGTCTGCTATAATTGTTCTTCTTATCCTTATACTTGACTGCCTACCCTCGTTCGTTATTCTCATCCTCTATTTATCGTGTCTCCGTGGTAGCCGCCATCTCTGCTACCTTTAACATATCTACTACGACTGTCAACCTCCCTCCATAATCATTCCGCCTGTTGGATAAACATACAGTCTTCCGTCGATCGCACCAGAAAAGCATTCATACCCAAACCGCAAAGCGGCAAGTTGCAGCCTAAAATACTGTTGATCATCGGTAATTGCTTGGATACCTTTCAGATCCCTTGTGTATATAGACGGGTTCCGGCCTAGTCATAATTCGTCTCCTTCACCATGAGACTCCCATCGATAAATCCCGCCAGGACCAAGAACTTGGTACATGGCGCCCAGGCCGTGTTGATATTCTTTGCATGGGTACTTACAATTGCTGTGTTCACCAAGAGCGGTGGTGTTGACGGCCGCTCTGGCTGGTACTTTGGCGTGGTAAGAACCCATCTCTCCCCCTTGGACGAAGCCGTCTACAATCGCTGGTAATAATTTTGGCACTTTCTAATACAATATCCTTTTTTCAGTGCTGGCTGTCTATTCCTGCCCTCATCTATCTCGTCGCCGTGCCGACCTTTCCACGTGCTCGTCGATTTGGCAATGTCTACGCCTTTGCTACCATCGACGGTCTCATGGTACTTTTGTGGTTCAGTGGATGGGTTGCTGTTGCAGACTATGTCGCGGAAGGCAAAAGCAAAGGCGAGTCGGAGCAGGATAATTCTAAGGATAAAAAGTCAGGCTGCGATGCTTTCGCATATGGCAGTTCATCCAAGTGTAGTGTCAGTACTGCAACGGTGATCTTTGGCGTGATGGTTTTGTGAGTATCCATCATTATCGATGTCAATTTCCTTGTATTGTTTATTGACTGTGTATAGCCTTCTCTTTATCGCCACGAGTTATCTCTCCTTTCGCAATGTCATCTACTTTCGTCGAACTGGTACTATGCCTGATGCCGTCGCCGATCAGACCTTTGATGCCCAGACGAAGGCAGCCTTCTCTTCAAACACGGCACATGACTTTGAGGAAGAGGATGAGTTCCGGTCGGGACGCACTGGAGGTGAAGGCCCCTCGAACTACGGTCACGAACGCGATGAGGACTATGCTCTCCTTCAACAAAGCGAAGCTGACGATTTGGGTGGGTCGCACCATGGCGGCGTCCAAGGCGCATATGATCCTACCTCGACAAGCCAAGGATCAGTGATGCATGACTACGATGCAAGTTACAATAGCGGCTATACTCAGCCTCACACGGAAACGACTGGAGACTACAACGACACCAGCTACCAGTCACATAGCAGCTATAACCGATGAGCTATATAGCACCCAGCTCTACAGCCTACCCCACGGGCTGATGAGAGCCGCTGATGCTTAGAGAACCTTTGTTTCACTTCACGAAGACATGTTCCATCTCCTTGTTTTTCTACCGCTGAGGCCGCTTATCTTGCTCTATACCATGCTTGTTTACATTCTCACTCGTCTGTACGACGGATACAGTACCTTTTGAATCCGACGCCTGGAGTGGGGCATTTTGATACATACATATTTTTGGATCTCGTCTTGGCTACCTTGGCTTGGGGGGAGAAAAGTGTGTTTCATTTCTCAATCTGTGTTAATTTGAAAGGACTTTTGCCTGCGTGTTTGCGTTCCTTACGTTTGTTACTATCTTGCACTTACGAATATATGTAAATAATCACATAGCCTAACGGTTTGACTGTTGCCAATATTATTTTGTAGAAGACAATAATAGCTCCCTAACTAATAGCTTTTTGATGAGATGTCATTCTGCCACCGCCTTTTCTCCGCGGAACTTGGCAGGTAAAGGACAGCTAGCCCAGACTGAGGCGCTAACTAGATTAAACAGTCACCGACACCATTGAGATGCTTGCCACACTTACATTTCCTCAATTCTAGTCATCTTCTAATAAACACGAATCCTTGCGCCTCTGCACAACTCCAAAGTTCTACCTTTCATATCCCACTCGGTTAGTAAACCTCCTCGACTCGCGTTGAAATTGTACAAAATACTCATCTACACTAGACTCCTCGCCTTTCAAGTCCCCATTCCTGGGATAACTTAACCACCAGAAAAATGATATCCGATATCGACAGCTACACTCAGCACCCTCTCCAACTCGACCCGGCTACGAAGAGCATATCCCTCGCCACAACAACAGGCCAGACTCCCGCGCAAGTCGAAGCCATCAACTCAGAACTCCAACAGTTAAACACGCTACACCGATCCCTGATTGGACTTGACTCTCCCAACATCCCTCCCCCTCCCCTCCCCATCAACCCCAAACGCAGCGCGCAAATCACCAAACTGCGAGAGACCGCCAACACCGCGTTCAAGAAGTCAAACTATACCGAAGCAGTCAAGCTGTATGGGTATGCGATAGACATGGCCTTCAGTAGGCCGGGCTGGGAACCGGTTAATCTGGTCCGCGATGAACTCTCGGGTCTGTATTCCAACCGTGCGCAGGCATACATGTCACAACAGATGTGGCCTGAGGCGTGGGTCGACTCGAAGTGCAGCGCGGAGTGCAAGCCAGTCGGCAATGTCAAGGCGTGGTGGCGCGGTGGGAAGTGCTTGGTTGAGATGAGCAGATGGGATGAGGCTCGCGCATGGGCTGAGCAAGCTCTGGGGATCGAAGGCCCTGCCAGTGAAGGTGGGAAAGAGCTGGTTGCTTTGTTACAAGAAATCGAAGCTGGAAGCAAAAGGGCATAGACTAGCGTGATTGGCATTGTGGTTCACCTGGTATTTACTGTGTACAATTCTGCACTGTTTCTTTCTTCTCTTTTTCGATGCCTTTTAAGCTCTTGTTTGGTTTACCGGGGCATATCTTTCGTACATTACAGGCATTGCGTTATTAGCGGCGTTCGGCGAGGCTTTGCAAACCAGAGCTGTTGAAGTTAATGATATCAAAATTTACTTGTGAGCTGAGCTTATCAATGTTCGGCATCAATTATGAAGGATGTTGAAAACATTCAAAAACAACCTTGATATACTACACGTTTCGAGGCGGGGGACCGACATCGCCCGCCTCTCCCACAAACACTAGACAGCCAATCTGCTATCAGCGACCACGCCAGTTGACCATCTACACATAATCAATCACAAACGATATGCGTTCGAGAAGGATTGCATTGCCGGTTTCTGGAATCAAAAGCGAATACCATGCTGTTTCTGCCCCTAGCCCGTTCCGGCAGTCGAATCCCGGCCAATAGGAGGCGGTCCCACACGAGCTTATCGTTATCGGTGGCCCATGTCATTTAGCATACAATTATTAGATGCTGGTTGCGATTGGCGTGCATGGACTGATCTCTGATCTCTGCAGGTATTTAAGCATCTGCGAGTCCCTAGGCAATTGGATGGCTTCGTACTACCGTGCGCACTACATTCTATGGGCAAGCTTTAGCTTCAGACTCGTATACTCCACCTACCTCCTATCCTTCGTCTGCATACACCACTAGTACGGTCAATTGGTATAATGGTCGACCGTCTTAAGCAGCTGACCTTCCAGGTCAGCTCTACGGCGCCTGCACCTCACCCCCTTGATCCCTTGAGTACCTCCGAAATCGACACAGCAGTAGCGCTTATTCGGGAGAAGTATGCCCCAGTCAACTTCAACGCCGTGTCGCTCGACGAGCCCCGCAAGGCAGAGATGCTTGCTTGGCTGGCAGACTCACAACGAAATCCTCGCCCTGCCCGACGAGCTGATGTCGTTTGCATCACCCCGCAAGGCAAAGTCTACGACGGGATTGTTGACTTGAATAAGAATGAAGTTGTGGAATGGAAACATACCCCGGGTGTTCAACCCATTATCACCATGGAAGAGCTCCAGGAAGTTGAGCACATCTGCCGTCGGGATCCCAAGGTTATTGAGCAGTGCGGGATTCTAGGTATTCCGCCGCAGGATATGGATAAAGTATACTGTGATCGTGAGTTTAATATCTAGGTTCAAATGGATCAGATGAACTAGAGGGCTAATTGCTTATAGCGTGGACTATTGGATACGACGAACGCTTTGGAAGCAATGTTCGTCTGCAACAGGCGTTGATGTACTATCGTCCGCATGTTGATGACTCCCAATATGGCTATCCGCTCGACTTTTGCCCGATCTATAATGCCGAGACCAAAAGCATTATCCACATTGATATTCCCCCTGTGCGTCGCCCACTGAATAAAGCTCCTCCAAACAACTATCACGTCAAATCTATTGAAGAATCGGGAGGATATCGCACAGATATCAAGCCAATAAACATCACACAACCACAAGGTGTTTCGTTCAACATAAATGGAAGGGTCATTGACTGGCAGAAATGGAAAATTCACGTGGGATTCAATTACCGGGAAGGAATTGTCTTGAACAATATTACCTTTAATGACAAAGGAACTATCCGTCCCATCATCTACCGCTTGTCATTAGCAGAAATGGTCGTACCCTATGGAAACCCAGAGCACCCTCATCAGCGCAAACATGCATTTGATCTGGGAGAATACGGCGGCGGTTATATGACAAATAGCCTGTCTTTGGGATGTGACTGCAAAGGTGCTATCCACTACATGGACGCTGCCTTTGTTAATAGAGCCGGCGCAAGCACCGTTATCAAGAACGCTATTTGCATTCATGAGGAGGATGCGGGAATCTTGTTCAAACATACAGATTTCCGTGACGACTCGACTATTGTCACCCGCGCTAGAAAGCTAATCATCTCACATATTTTCACTGCTGCCAATTACGAGTACTGCGTATACTGGATTTTCCATCAAGACGGCACCATCCAGCTGGATATCAAGCTGACTGGCATTCTGAATACCTACTCGATAAACCCTGGCGAGGATACTAATGGCTGGGGCACGGAAGTCTACCCTGGAGTCAATGCCCACAACCATCAGCACCTGTTCTGTCTGCGTATTGACCCCCAAATCGACGGACAAGACAACACCATCTTCCAAGTCGATGCAGTGCGAGGACCTGGGGAAGTAGGCAGCACAGAGGATAAATACGGAAATGCTTTTTACGCCAAGAAAACAAAATTCTCAACCCCCATCGAGGCCATGTCCGATTACAACGGAGAAACCAGCCGAACCTGGGAAATCGCAAACACGAATAAATTAAACCCATACAGCAAGAAGCCTGTAAGCTATAAGCTTGTCAGCCGCGAGGTTCCTACGCTCTTACCTAGGGAGGGCGGACTGGTCTGGAAACGAGCTGGATTCGCTCGTCATGCCGTTCACGTTACAAAATGTAAGCACACACCTAATCCTTACTCCTCCTGCAAACACAATCACTAATAAACATTAATAGACGCCGACAGCCAACTCCATCCCGCAGGCCGCCATGTGCCACAGACATCAGGGGAGCCATCCATGGGCTTACCGATGTGGATTGAAGCGACAGGCTCTGATTCCATCGACAATACCGATGTTGTGTTATGGCACACATTCGGCCTCACACACTTCCCTTCTCCTGAGGATTTCCCCGTCATGCCTGCTGAGCCTATGACAGTGTTACTGCGGCCGAGGAACTTTTTTGATCGGAACCCAGTTCTTGACGTCCCTCCGAGCTATGCCCGCACACCTTCGCAGGTTGCGGCTGGCGCTTCCGGGTGTGGATGTAACTCGAAGGCCAAGGGTGATGGCAGCAGCGTGTTGGTGTAAGGCATTTTTAGGATTTGGCCTTTTCGGGAACGGATTATGGAGTTGTTTATAATGAAATAATGGATTGATGGTTCTCTTATTCACTTCGGAATATCTGTTGGAAAATGTTCCCTATATAAGTCGTTTATGCCATTAGTAGCTCCGTTAATACATTTAAGACCTTTGAACTAACATTTGAAATTTCTACTGCAATTGATTACCACTTAATTTCGGCATCTGAAGTTTAGTGCGCTACTTTCCTCGAACGTTTCAAAGAGATTCGGTCGCGAATATTACTGTATATCGAATAGGGTGCGACGTGGATAGACCAGGCTGTGGACAAGCCAACTAGCTTAACCACATTCACGAGCGAGTCAGCCCGGTGTGATTTCTACTCTTCTTTGCCGACCCGGAGATTCCATGAAAAGCGCAGCATCTCCATGTCTCTAGTTAGCACTCCAAACCGTAGATCTGACATTTACTCTATAGGGGGTGATGGAGGTATCGGTGCAGCAGCGAGCATCGCGACCTTGTTCCAAGTACTGCTCTCTTGTTACAACTTTTGGGAACAGTATCGCGGCCTTGGGAAAGAGCCTGACACTATTTTGAATACCCTCAAGATCCAAGAAGCCCAGTTCACACTCTGGGGCGAAAAATGGAATCTCGAGTCGGGTTAAGGAGATAAGTTCTTTCATCATTTCGCGGGACAGCCACCCATCATCGAGACGGTTAATTCGCCTTAATCGGTTGAAGATATTATTCGATCGCGCTCAGAAGTGGAAAACAAGACTGGAAGATGTTAATGGCAAACTGGAGATCTTACCCAAGGGCAAAAGGAAAAATCTCTAGAGGGTTAACCCCCAGCAGCAATGAATCAACAACGGACACTAGATCTATTATATGTTAGGAATTGTTTAAGAAGTCAACTGACAAATTAGACAGTGACAATACGAACGTTTCAACGTCTAAGAACAGAAAGCACAGCGCAGCGTTGCTATTGTCAACTCAATGAATGGACTCTACCCGGTAGACGTGAAGACTTCGAAGCGATGATTGTCCAAATTAGACAGACTAATAGGGAACTAAGCGATATCACCCATTATGAGGTTATTGAATAATTTATTGCATCCATCACTGTTGCGAATGTCAATAATACCTTGCAGGAACTCCGGAATTTGGCTCATGCGACCGCGTAGGATAGCCCTTTGTTGAACCCAACGGCAGAGCAGAGGAACAACTAAAGGCAATTGAGCTTCTTTCTAATGACAGACCCCACGATGAAGGCAGGAGTGAATTGGAGGAATTGAAGAAAACCGTCTCCAAGGACTTTTGGGAAACGTCGCTGGCCATGGAGTTGATTGAAGATGGCTTAGAAACTCTGCAAGACTTTGAGCATGGCAACCCACTCGAGCGACGCCAACGTACCCTCATGATTCGCAAATGGATTTGGGAGAGGCAAATCTATTATGGCAATGAAGACGACCTACCTCACAAGTGCGAAACCCATCGCGCATGTATCTCAGCTGTTTCCTCGCAGTTGCACCACATTCATTATACTCAATACACTAGAACCTTCAACATGGCGAATCAAGTCCTCTTGGGTTGATAAAGAGATATGTTGATACCTTTGGGATGTATGAAGCTCAAGGTACAGGCTGGGTAAGCGCGGCTGACATTATGTCAACCATTGTTTACATCTGACTTCCCCTTGCCCACGTACACAGATTTCGAACACATCATTCCTCAATAGGGCATGATCTTGCAATATTTTTTCTTGCCACACTATTTGATCGGGTTTTATGTATTGCACAGCTTATTCTCATAATGAATAAGAGTTTCTATATCTTGCTATGCCAGCATCCTCTACAGTTGGTATTTGTCTAAAAATAGGTTCTTTTCATAAGGTGGGTGGGCCACAAAGGTGCGAATATTACCTCAAAGATAGTTCTACACGGGTTGAGGAATCTAGTTGAGTGACTTTGATACCTTCTATATTCACCTTTACCTTCTCAGTGTTTTCAGAGGCAGGCGTGACTTGCACAACCCTCAAGACCTTGTCGGTTTGGCTGGGATCAACTATCTCAACGTCCTTTTGACTAGCAATAGTTCCGTTGACCAACAACTGCAAGCCCTCCAGAGCATCTTCTTCCGGGGCTTTGAGACTCAAGTTGACAGGTGTGATGGACCCAGGTCGGATGAGAATAGGCAACGTATTGAAATCATGGGTTTCGGTATACCAGCGACCAGGCTCATATGTTTTAGAATGATCAAACCACCATCTCCACCTTCCTTGGCTGTCATCATTACTGTAAGGAACATAGAAGGTGACTCGTCCGTCTTGGGCAAATACCGGTGCCACCAGTAGATTGCTTCCAAACATATACTGAGTGTCAATCGCGTATGTGTTCAAGTCATCTGGGAACTCCAAAAACATAGCCCGCATTAGAGGTGTGCCATTACGATGACCATCTAGAGCTTCCTGCAGCAGGTATGGGGTGAGCATGATCTTACGCTTGGTGCAAGCACGCAACACCTCGCTGCAATCATCGCCGTAAATCCAGGGCACACGGAACGATGAGGACCCATGCAGACGAGAATGTGACGATAAGAGACCAAACTGTACCCAGCGCTTATACAATGCCGGTGCAGGAGTACCCTCAAAACCACCGATATCTGATGCCCAGAAAATATACCCTGAGAGCATGAGAGAAAGACCTCCACGAAGTGACTCAGCCATCGCCTCGAAAGTACTTTCACAATCGCCACCCCAGTGGACGGGAAATTGCTGCCCACCGGGAGCTGCGCTACGCGCGAAAAGCAAACTCTGAGATTTACCCTTTCGGTTTGTCATAACATCGTACACGATCTTGTTGTATAGAAAGGCGTAATAGTTATGCATACGCACTGGATCAGAGTCATCATGGTACTGGATGTTCTCGATGGGGATTCGTTCACCAAAATCAGTCTTGAACGAATCCACGCCGAGCTCCATCAATCGCTCGAGATGTTTTGAATACCACTGGACGGCTTCGGGATTCGTAAAGTCGACGATCGCCATTCCAGCCTGCCAGAGATCCCACTGCCACACTGCGCCGTTCGTACGCTGTTGTTATTAGCAGTTAATAAATGATATATTCAAAAGGGTGTTAGATGTTTGGATATACCTTGATGAAGTATCCATGCGTTTTTCCTTCCTTGAACAGTGGTGAGGCCTGGCCAACATACGGGTTAATCCAAATTGAGATTTTCAACCCTCGCTCCTTCAACCGCAGCAGATATCCAGCAGCATCAGGAAACATGTCCGAGTCGAATTCGAAATCGCACCACTGGAAAGATTTCATCCAGAAACAGTCAAAGTGGAACACCCCCAGAGGAATGTCCCGGTCACGGAATCCATCTAGGAATCCCGTCACCGTTTGCTCGTCGTAGTTGGTGGTGAAGCTGGTGGTTAGCCAGAGATTGTAACTCCAGGCAGGCACCAGGCGGGGTTGACCGGTGAGCTCAGTATAACGCTTGAGAATCTCCTTTGGAGTAGCGCCGTAGATGATGAAGTATTCGATCTCCTCGTCGGCAACAGAGATATTGACTCGTGTAGTTCGTTCTGATTGCACCTCTAGACTCACCCGTCCCGGGTGGTTGACAAATACGCCATACCCGGCCGAGCTAAGGTAAAATGGAATGTTCTTATAGGCGAGGTTGGACGAGGTGCCTCCATCCTCATTCCAGATATCAACCGACTGTCCATTCTTGACGAATGGACTGAATCGTTCTCCGAGGCCGTACAATTTCTCACCCACTCCAACGTCGAGGCCGGCGAGCATATATCCCTGGCGCTCCATGAACATGCCATCTTCATAATGTGACTTCGGACCGGTCTGATCTCGGACGTAGCCGATTGAGCGGAAGGAGTGTCCAGTGAGGTTTCCCTTGGGGCCAGAAAAGCGCAATCCAAGCTGGTTCGTGGCGGTGGTAACGGCCAAGTCCAGGGGGCCACTAGAATAAGATATTTGTTCGTTTTCTTTGTTCTGAATCTTTAACGAGGGCGAATTAGTCTCCAGCTTATAGTGAGGACCCCGATCGACTCCGCCATCCCTAAGATGCCAATCAGTAAACATTCCGGAGTTAGGACTTAGAATAAGCTGCGAGCTGTTGGCACTTACCAATGCACGAGTCTCACTCCAATGATGCCTTCCCGAGGGGAAGAGATGCGAGCTGAGATGGCAGCTGCCTCATCTATTAGCTTCTTCTTCTTCTTCTTCTTCTTCTTCTTCGATAGGGTTGAGCAAACCTGAGTTGAGCGTGTCGCCGCGGTGGCGCTGGTTCTTAGCTAGGAGCAAGTCAATTGCCTTGTCTGTGATATTGGCACGTTCTACATGATTCATCCAATCAATCTGGATGCCTTCCTATGTAATTATGCGGTTTAGACCGGTGAGCACAACAGACTTGAAGGGGATAGATAGCATACACGCAGTAGCCACATTCCCTCAGTGAACTTCATTTTGGATTTTTCCAAGGTACCTTTCACCGCTATCAACGGCCTACAAAACGCTCGGAGCAGCTGGGCCTTATATGTTTCGTCTGGTTCTTTTTCAAAAAAAATCCGGAAACCTGTCGGTATGGTTTCATATGAAATCTAGTTTATCCCGAAAAGCGGGCCGACTTCAGGATCGGCTAGGCCCCGCGCGAATATTGCCTAAATGCAGGATAAATGCATGCAGAGCCGGACCCGAAGCCCGACTTTGCGGGATGCCCACGGGACATGGGACCATGGGGCAACGGGATTGTTTCATCTCCGGGATGTGGAGTATTCCTTGTTACCAATCACAGAGCAAATGGCTAAATTCAGCTACCAGATATGGAAATTACACGTGCTTTGGGGCGTACAGTTTTTACCGGTTTAACTTTGGGCGTATTCATGAGACTTTATCCTTTTGCTGTTAACAATCCATTCTGTTCCTATACACATGAGGATATATATAACCTTCTGGATAGACACATGATCTCTCAGCTTGTCTTCGGGTCTCGACTACACTGGATATTGATCGATACCTGCGCCATGGGTAAGCTCTATACAATCGGGTTGGCAACCTTTGCCGCAACTGGCAGTTTTCTATTCGGTTATGATTCAGGTCTGTTGTTAATTTTCAGCGCCCTGTTGTCAGGCACTGTTACTTCATAATGGCTGACAGCAGCAGGTGTTATGACCGATGTGATCGCATCTCCCAACTTCCTCAACTACTTCAACACCGACCAAACATCATCCATTATTGGGGCAATCAATAGTACTTTCTCCGGAGGAGGTAAGTAGGATAGCTGGCTTTTCCTTGTTTTTCTTCGCCTCAGACATGGATTGACGATGGATAGCTGCCATTGGCGCTCTCACAGCCGGTCTGACTATCGACCGGTTCGGACGGAGAAGGACAATCCAATTTGGTGCACTGCTGGCCACTATTGGTGCTATTTTACAGTGTGCTGCACAGAACTTGGCCATGATTCTGGTGGGACGCATCGTCGCCGGTTGGGCAGTCGGTGTCCTCAGTATGTCTGTTCCGATCTACCAGGCTGAGTGTGCTCATCCAAAAACTCGTGGATTGTAGGTATTAACTGAAGTTCTTACTACTGTTTCCAAAGCGAGAGCCATGGCGCTGACATGAGCTCTGTATAGGATTGTCGGCCTTGCCCAGCAGATGATCGGGGTTGGTTTCATCGTCAGCACGTACGTTATCCCTATCTCCTCCGCCCGGTACTGCGATGCAGAAAATACTCATTTACAATAATCGTATGTAGATGGATCGGGTATGGGTCACTTCATGCTCCCGACGATAACACTGTACAATGGCGATTCCCACTTGCCTTTCAAGGTCTCCCAGCGTTCATGTTATGTATCGGAATGTTCTGGCTTCCAGAATCGCCTCGTCATCTTATTGAGAAAGATCAAGATGATGAAGCATTGCGCATCCTGAAGCGTCTACACTATGATGGCACCAACGAAGAATGGATCCAAACTGAATTTACTGAGATCAGAGCCACCATCAACGCAGAGCGTGCCATAACGGAACCTGGATGGTTGATTATGTTCAAAGTGCCTCAGTGGCGCACTCGTTTATTGTAAGTCGCCAGCAAATAGCCAATCTAGAGTCATCTAGTTGCTAACTGCAAACAGGCAAGGAACCTTGGTTCAGGTGTTTACCCAAATGACTGGTATCAACGTCATCAACTACTACCAAAATATCATGTTAGTCCTCCATCTTCGACTCCCTGATCAAAGACTAACCCAGCATAGGTACAAAGCACTCGGCATTACCGGTAGCAAAGCTACACTCGTTTCCGGGATCTACAATGTTGTTGGACCACTGGCAAATCTCGTTTTCATTACCTTCTTCCTAGATCGTGTTGGACGTCGCCGGCCCCTCCTATTCGGCGCCGTGGGAATCACGATCGCGCTTATCTGTGAAGGAGCCTTAAACTCTCAGAATCTAGACGGATCTAAACATGGATACAGCATCGGTGGAGTCTTTTTCCTCTTCTGCGTAACCGTGCTCTTCTCCATGTCCTTTGGTTCGATCAGCTGGGTGTATATGTCCGAGGTCATGCCAATGCAAATCCGTGGCAAGGGTGTTGCTTTTGCTACCGGCGTTGGCAACTGGACCATCAGTACACTGTGGAGTCAGGTTTCACCCATTGCGCTAGGAAAGATTGGCTGGAAGTTTTATTTTATCTTTGCTGCTTGGAGTATGTCTCTTCTCGTTGATACGCCAACATTGAAACGATCTATATGCTAACGAGCCTAGATGTGTGTGTTACGATTCCCACAATCTACTTCTGGTTCAAGGAGACCAAGCAAAAGTCACTCGAGGAGATTGATCTTCTCTTTGGTGGAAGAGCGTTGGGTGCCCTGGATAATGAGATTAGCCCCAAGGCTCTGGAAATGGAGACGTCTGGAACTGCCCGACAGGTTGAGGATGTCACTGTCTGACTGTAACCGTGTACTTCTAACAAAGGTCCGGATGATTAGAACCCCGATTCTTCTCTCCCAGTGAATATTCAAATAATCTTAGCGGTTGCTTGATCTATTCCCGTAGTATGATCAACCGATAAATACATCAACTAAAGTATTTTATCAGAAGATAAGTCTCATAAAAGTCGGTAGGTAAAATTAGAGTATGGACTGAATGAATAATCATACACGCATACTCCTCATAGTTGGAATAATACTTCAATTTAACTAAAACAGTATTTGATATCGATATTGGCCGTGCAGCTGGACCCAGGGTGATTTATCAGTGTTTCAATCGTACTTATTAGGGCTCGTTTGCATATACATACTAAAATAAAGTGCGACATTCGTCCACGTTGAACATCTTAAATTATATCTTCCAGCCCTAATAATATGACATCAATTCAATTGGTCTGCGTCTAATAGTTGAAGCAACGTTCCTAATGAAAAATACCAATCCCAATCTAGATTTTCATATTAATTCAACCAACCAGGAAATATCAGTCATGCATCACTTATCTCGAATTTACTGGTCTTGGTTCTAAGCGAAGTGAGGATCTATCGTGTTTTTGTTCATTGCACTAACTACAGGAATCCATCCCGGTTTTCTACTACTACTCTACTAATCCATGATTCCATAGGTCAATGTCTTTTCACTTTTCCTTTTATTTTAAGTAGAGAAAAATTCAATTTTTAATGATGCCTGTTAGTATGACGACATGGTTCATATACTGTTATTATTGCTTTCAGTAAATAAAGGCTATTATAAACTCAAAAACAGGGATAATAATGATGGCAAACGAATGGTATCTATAAATGTTTATGCTCTCTTCTCTGTTCATCTGTACAAGTTACCTCCACAGACTCCATGCATAACAGTAACACCCTAACTCATTTCTGGATGTTAAGATACGTACAATGTCGCGTTCCCGATGATATCGGTCGCACTCCTTGCAATTTGGATAGTGAACTGGCCGGGCTCTACGGTGTACTGCATTTTGCGATTCCACAAGCCTAGATCTTTAACTGCAAAATTTATCTGCACCGTCGCCTTTTTTCCAGCCTTGATGGCCACCTTTTTGAATCCCTTTAGTCTTCGGTTCGGAACGTCGACGCTGGCGATGTTATCTACAACGTAGAGTTGGACCACTTCTTTACCATCCACGGGGCTCGTATTGGTAACTTGCACCTCCGCGGTAATGGTATCAGAGACAGTAGCATTGGCTTTATTCAAAGACAGGCCTGAATATGAAAATGTCGAGTATGACTTTCCATACCCGAACGGGTACCATGGCTCTGGCGTGCCAATCACATATTGATGTCCAAAAGCAATGGTCCCGTTGGCATCGACATGTCCTGAGTCTCCAATAGCCCTGCCAGAAGCGAGATAATCATAATACGCGGGAAGAGAACCAACGTCGTAGGGAAAGCTGACCGAAAGCCGGCCAGACGGGTTATAATCGCCAAAAAGGACATCTGCAAGAGCATTACCGCCTTGCTCGGATGGATAAAATTGTTGAACGAGGGCAGAAGTGCTATTCGCAATCCATGGCTCCGTGATCGGTTTTCCTGAAGAGAAGATAACAACGGTGGGAATGCCAGTGTCAGCAATGGCGCGGACGAGGTCAGCTTGTGCTCCAACAAGATTTAAGCTGTTAACATCCACGTGCTCCCCAGTTCTGAGATAGTTAGCACTTGTAATGCATATTTGTTAGCTGGAGAGGAGAAAGAGAAATAGACTTACGTCGCATTGTATCCAGCCCAGAGCTCATATTGATCCCTGGACCATGTGCCAACAACGACAACTGCAACGTCGGATTTTTTGGCTGCCGCTACGGCCTCTGGAAATCCAGACTGGTTGTTACTCCAGCGTTCACATCCTTGTGCATAATTAATGGTTGCTGAGTCTCCAACAGCTGCCTTGATGCCGTCCAATGGTGTCACGCCATGATACTGGCTTCCATTCACGACGTAGTCACCATACTATTTATTACATGAAGTTAACAAACAGAACTGGAGAATAAGGAGTGAATTATAAATGTAGAACTTGACTTACATTTATAAATCCATGAGCCATTGGCCCAATAACTGCAATGCTACCGCTTTTCTTCAGAGGCAGACTGTTGTTGTGGTTCTCCAGGAGAATAATTGACTCTCGATCAAGAGTACGTGCTAGCTCAACCGCTTCAGGCGTATGAATTAGGGAGGACCACGAATGGTTTGCGACGGAAGAAGGGTAGGGTTGTTCAAAGAGACCCATTTCAAACTTGGTCCTCAATATCCGCGATACAGCGGTGTTGACCGTTGCTATATCTAGTCGGCCCTCACTAACAAGCTTTGGGATTTGTTCGAAGTTACTAAAAAAGCATCAGAATCAAACCCTACCAAGTTACCTCTTCAGGAAATATGAAGGTAAATGGGAACATACAAAGAGCCGCCACCCATCTCGACATCTGTGCCGGCAGGCAGAACAGCCAAAGTTACCGCGTCAGAATCGATGGGATTCGTCTCGCACATTCTAAATGCAGTGCATACTCGGTCCGTTGCACCAGAGTCACTGATGACCCAGTACTTATAATTCCATTCTCCCCGCAAGAGATCAGTGAGCATTTCGCTATCCGTTACCGCTGGGAGACCATCGTACCTAGATATTCATGTCAGTCTGATTATATTGATAATATCTGGATACTGGTCTTACGAATGATAGGCTCCCATGATCCCCCAGGCACCGGCATCCACAATTGCTCTTTTGAAGGATGGCATCCAACTGTGTATAGCGTTAATTGCGGCATCAAATAAAAGGGCATCCATTACATACGTCGTACGAAGCTCTCTTTCGCCCCCGTGCACTGGGCCTGTATTCAGCCCTTGCTCCGGCGCTGCATAGCCGAGGAAATGCTTCACTGTGGCAGACACATTTAGGCTCTGTAAGCCGGTAACCACCGAGTACGACATTTCACCAGATAAATAGGGGTCCTCGGTAAAGCACTCCTCTACCTTAAGTATTATGTTTAACCTTTAGTTGAAGGAATCAAAAGCAAGAACTTGTACTAACGTACCCTTCCATAGCGCAGCTCTCTGGCCACATCGGCGACTGGAGCAAAGACCTGGTTGACACCAATAGCAGCAGCTTCACGGGCGATAACCTTGGCCATTTCTTGAACCAACTACAAATTATACAAGTTCTGAGTTAGAAATGGACCATCGCAATATTATTGCGGGTAGATTGTACCTCCGGATCCCACGCAGAAGCATAGCCAATTGGCGAGTTGAAGATTGTTGCATTCAACAATAAGAATCCATGGATTCCTATCTCTCTTTTTAGTTAGAGCTATTGTGGAATTATTATGTATCCTGACGTACCCTCAGATTGAACAATAGCTGGAATCCCCAACCTTGTCTGATTGAGGAGATAATCTTGGCCATTTTTGATGTTTTCTACAATCCATGAAGTTGGTGAAGGATATCCAACTAAAGAATAGGATTAACAGTCAGTCAAAATCCAGGATTTTACACATATATTCGAAAGTCGGTCTCACCATAGAAACTACCAGCTTTTATCTTCATGTTGTCGACAAGGCCTGACCGATTAAAGGTTCCAGTTGTAGTGTTCATCCAATTTGAAATATCGCCTGCATGCATTTTAGATTCTCTAGAAAATTCAGTCTGATCATCCGCTCACCTTGGATTAATTGGGCTGTCTTTTCTTCAATAGTCATTCGGGATAAGAGATCGGAAACCCTCTCCTCCACTGGTGCCGACGCATCCTTGTATTTGGGCTTTGTATTATTTCCCGTCACTGACGCTGCTGTGCAAACAGCCAGGCCGAGTGTAACAAAAGACGTTATTTTGACCATTTTCAATGTTTTAGGTTGCATGCCCTGATAGAAGTACTAGAAGAAGAGGGATATTAAACGTGCCAAATGCATATGATTAAGCCAAGAAGACAGGAAAGTTTGTCCTATTATATAGTGAGAGGCTCGGATTTTGCAGGGCTACTCCGCATTGAGGAGCATAATCGAAATAAAATAAATATTGATAGGGAAAATCCTCGCATTTATTACGCAATTGCAAGCAAAAGAGTGGGTTTACAGACTCAAGATCAAGATGAGATTATCCCACTACGTGTTCGAATTAGGAAATCGCTTGTCTATCAGCATAATTTGTTCTCGAACAGGGGTTTACGAGCTTCGCCTTTATCCAGACCGGCTAAATTGAATAACTTAGAAAGGATCCTCTTAATTAGTTACCAGTACCAATACCCTACTCGTAAGAAAGCTAACTATCTCGTCTCAAGATCCTGCGGGGCCGTGAAAAATAGCTATGCACATTAGTGTACCCCGCTTGACTTGAAAGCACGGCAAATTAATGACATTATTTGATACGTAATTCAAGCATGAAAGCCACATATGGGATGCGAAGATAGACCTGTTGATACCTAATTTATTTCATATATTTAATCCTCAATTTTTAAAATAACAAAAAGTGGGCAACGAGAAGAAGAGTAGGACTACTAATCGCAATATATAGTTTAATTAGTCGGGAGACACCGGTTGACATTGATAGAATCACCCTCCAGAGGGCCTGGAAGCAACCTCAAATAGAAAGAGTGTAGGCGGTCGTAGTAAAGACAGCATTTGAGCCAGTGAATGGCTCAGTACCAGCACCGATACTTTGAACATACTGACTAGTCGAAAAGCCCTGGTGCGAAACAAGATAATTGAAGAAGTCAATCAGATCACCGTAGTACGACTGTATTTCAGAAGCCGCCACAAAAATAAAGACCGTAGTTGCTGCGTTAGTTCCCTGGAAGAGCTTCCACGAGTTTCCTCTAATAGTTGGGTTTGTAATCGCAGAACCAGAGCTGGAGATGGGCCCTGCACCTCCCAAGGCAGCAAGCCAGATCATGATCTCGAATTCAGCACTTCCAGTGGCGGAGGAACCCGTGAAGATGTCATATGCGACATCAGCAATGAGGTCGCTGCTCGTGTAGCTTTTCAAAGTCAGGTTAGTGGCTCATTGGTGTAATTTCTCGTAACTAGGTGGATGTATGTTACCTCCAATCCCAAGTTGATGGGATAGACGGAAAACTACAGAGTTGTGCAGGGGTATAGTTGGTCGGCAGTGCATTCTGGTAACTCTTGACTTTGCCAGCACCGCCAGACCAGCTCCAGGTAGCATGCCAAGCGAATTTGTCTCCTGAAGGTGAGTCCACTCCGATGCACCCGCTGCCAGATCCATTGTCCTCGCCCCAGCGGTTTTTGTCCAGGTTAAAGGCACCAGCACCGAGAATATCATACTGACCACAAGATCTGCACGCTTATATTGCATGGCCTTCAAGGGCTTTGCTGAGGCTGTCCCAAGCGAAATGGCAACGATGGAAAGAGAAAGCTTCATTGTGACAAGATCCGATGCAACTAATTCTCAAAGGAATTGGAAAGGAGGTATCTGAAGACTGACGACGAAGTCAAGAAGTTGAGCAAACTGAGATTCTTCTCTCTTCTTATACTCTGAGATTCTGGGGATCAGCATTGTGGATTTTGTGTCGTGGTCGTATGACTACCTCCATGTATCTCGTCTATCTCGAACAATCTCCTGAACTAAACAGGTTCTCCAAGCGGTCACGCATAATCTGAGGGTTGCAAAATTTGCTATCTTGGTTCATTTCCCCGGATCTTCAATTGTAGATGATGCCAATTTCGATAATCTATTCCCTTCGGATAATTTGGGAAGGGGATGAATAGGCTCTGAAACAATCGGCTAGTCTTATGAATGAAGAACAAGTCTATCAATATGCAACGAACATCACACATCTCTTCGCTAAGACGACAGGAAACGGGATTTCCAACGAATAAACTCAGCGTATGAAATGGAGATGCAAGATCGGCACGAGATACACCAATCGATGGCTGTCAAAAAAGAACTAACGATGCTACCCAGTGCCGAGATCCACTATTAGTACGAGCCATGTGCTATGGACTCAGCCTCTTGCCCGGCTGCTTGGTCTTCTAGGCATTTGAACTTCCGAGGTAAATAGTCCTTACTATTCCCCAATAATAACGGCGTCGATGCTGATCCCGGAAATGATCCGTACCTTGCAGTAGGGAGGATACCGGGAGCAATATTCCGTACGTACATGGAGCGCCGGCTAAATAAATTGATGCCAACTTTTGCCGGCGGATTGGATTTATACCCAATTTACTAACCATAATTCTGTTATATCATTTTATGGCGTGGTAAATCGTCATTACACGTATGTAGCTGGCCGATATATTTCCCTAACAATAGACTAAATTGAGACTATTTCTGTACATATAATAGTGAATAGTTTATATTAGTCAATAATAATTACTTTAACTATAAATATTCAGTCTCCCGAATCTATCATGATCGGAAGGAAGGATAAACCTAGGAATACGTATCCCCTTTTAATAAGAAAAACAAAGAGACTGGCGATATTGAAATTAATATTATTAAATGATCAGCCCAAAAACCGCCCCTATTGACAAGAATTGGTTGGTTGAAGTATGTCTAGTATCTACTAAGAATGAATATGATAGGCCAGCTGGCTCACACCCCTGTTCAGCGGACCAATAGAACCGCGATCCATCCAAAACACCATGCAAGCTAATGTGGCTCACATCACATACGAAAATGCGGCACAGCACAGCAACAGAGGGGGATTATCCAGCATTAAGGCTAGGGGACACAAGGTCGCTATGCATAAGTCTTGATCGATGATCAATACTTGAGCCAAAAGGTATTGCGAGAAATCTTGAACTTGTTAGGTATATCCTGGAAAGCCTTATCCCCAAGCGACATAAGGCTGAACATGTGCTTTTTCAATTTCTCTAACCTTGCTCCATAACGTCGCGGCAACTAACGCGAATGTTACATTCTAATTTTGCCTTTTACTTGTCGTTTCCCTTGTTGTTTAGCACTACAAGCTATGCTCTCCTCCTACGTACTTTTTGCGACTCCCCCTCCTTACACTGTTTGTACAACGACTGCGATGCTCATTGTCAGCAATGGCATCTTTGGCGCCGACTACACAGTTCGTAACAGAAACAATCACTACATGGTCTCCGCAGACTACCGATAATATTGTCACGTCGTTTGTACCCCTGTACTCGACATTCACTCCAGACCCAAACTGCTATACCGCCGATTTTCACAACAACCTCGCCGAGCAATTCGATTATGTCCTCGTCGCATTTGACCCAAACTACGGTTATTATATCGGATCCAGCTCCGTTACCTGTGTTCCTACAGAGGTTGTAGATTGGTATCGCAATCGATTGGTGCCAACGGACACAACGGCCCCGGCGCAAACAACCAGCCTCGCTACAGTGACTTCCCTGATGCCTGTTATTTGTCCGGATGGGTGGTATACGGCGCGCACGTCGGCTGATCAGCCGACGAGGATGCAGGTAACGTGTTGTCCAAGGTATGTTATATAAGCACATAGGCATTCTACAACATATTAAGTTCGTTGTGGTGGTTGAATTTTGGCTAAATGATTATATGTAGTGGCTACACAGTAGATCCTTCGCAGGATCATAGCATCGACGCGAATTGCGGTTCGACTTTAGTTCCAGGAGAATCAATCTGGTATTTTCCCACCTCGGGGACTGACATAATCCAGACAGCATTCGCGAACACCATAAATGTTGTTGCAGTTGCAGTGAAAGGCTATATGCCTCTAACGACGACGACGACTACGACTACGACATCGTCATCTTCATCGATCTTGCCAACGACATCGGCAGTAATATCGACATCGTTAACATCATCACAACCATCGGCGACGTCCACACCGAACACCCCTGACCCCCAAACATCTTCATCACATACCTCCAGGGGTGCTATTGCCGGATCGGTGGTAGGCAGTCTCGCTGGAGTAGCACTGATCGGGCTCGGTGCTTTTGTGTATTTCCGGAGGCGAAGGGCAAAGCAAAATAACGAGGACGATGCGAAGGACGATCCCGCGCCGACTTATATCTCTACCCAGCACGATTATTCTGTGATTTCCCAGAATGAGCCAGGAGATAGATCAACTATTGCGTCAGAGATGCCCACGATAAGTAATACTCCCGAGTTGTTTTCGGATCATGAAGCAACCAGCCCAAGAACGAATACCGAGTCGTATGAGTTGGAATAACAGGGCTCATTTTCACACTATAAATATAGCAGCTAATACCGAACTATTAATCGTATAGATAGATTAATTTTGTTCAAAGACCAGAAAATTCACTCACTACCTAAGCATTCCACCCAAAACACCAATCCTATCGTAAGCGAATAGAAACAAGACTGAGAGGAAAGAAAAAAGAAATAACATCGCCCCTCCATGCCATCCATAAAGAAAACCCAGCGGCCTGAAAAATATAGATTACATTAGAAAAAAGAAACGATACTACTCTTGAAAATGAAAAATAGAATTCGTTTCAACCGAAAACCCGTCATCAAGTGTTACATGTAAAATACCTCTTTCCAACACCACATAACCTTGCCCACGCGGACAAGAAATGAAAACGGGACCATTAACAACCATAAATGCTGGGGATAAGGCGTTTGAGTGCACATATAATTGATCAAAAAGCAGTGGACTTGACAATTATGATATCAAAAAGGAACGCTCTAAGAAGATTTTTTGATATTGGGTAATGCGGTTCGTGAAAGAAAAGGCGTACATGGCACAGCCAATAACAATGGAGTCAAAGTAACTAAACACAGCACTATAATGAGTTGTGTAGCCATCACTTGCCCATTTGAAATGCCCCAAAAACACCTCCACCGCCTCCTGGGGTCAAAGATCCCACCCCAATTTGGCTTTGTTGCTGAGGCGTATGGGCAGTGTTTGCATTCGACGTATTGTTTGGTGTGCTCGGCGTTCCCGTGGTAGAATAGATTGTTGCGCCATTCAAGTTGGGTGTTTGTTGTGCTTGGTTGCCGTAGTAAGCCAATGCAGGTAATTGGCCATTTAAACCCCAGACCTGTCCCGAATACCTGGTCTCATCAATTGTTCCATTAAAGACAATTTGTCGCATCTTCCAGTAGATCTCGCCCGTGACCAGAGAATCGGACCCGGCCTGGTGAGCAATTCCGACTCGCTTAACTCCAAGCTCGTCTGCGATATCTTGTAGACCAGACTTTTGACCTAGGTTGTTGATGATCTGAAGTGCCGCGGGTGTTAATGGAGAGTCATTGACGGCCTGATTTCGGCCAGCGTGTTTCATGAGATATTTGATGTCATACAACGATGGGAAGAATATTTGCAGGAGTTTGTGGAATTCTTCCTCATCATCTGGTAGAGGCTTGCAAAGCATGATCTTCATCAAATACCCAAAATCATAGCCTGAATGGAATGATATCCAATGTACATCATCCAGCAACACCAAACCTGAGCTCATCAATAGAGAGCCGAACTCTAGAGGATCAATGCCATTTTTCTCATGCATAGAAAAGTCAATTCCGGCTTTGGCCAACATGCTCGTCGAATCATGAGCATACATGTCATCTTCCAAGGAGAATCTGAAATTGAATTGCCATGTGCACGGCGCTGGGCCGTAGTTATTGCTATATCCTTGTCCATTCGGTTCTAATGAAGTTGCCGGTGGTAATTCACCCTCTGGCGAGAACAATGTAATACCCAACTGAATCATTTTGAGGAGATCAACGTTGCAGCGTAGTGTTTGGTAGTGATAGTCTGCTTTTGTCGTGAAAGAACCCATAGGTCGAGCGACAATACCTGGAAACTCGGTGTCCTGATAGAATTCCATTAGGATGAATTCATAAATATGAAGCTCAAAGGAGGCTTACCATGCTGATGTATGGATACCGCTCCACCAACTGCCTCAACGTAGCCATTTCTTGGGCCAGATTATGCTTCCAAACATCGCGTATTCGAGATTTTATCGACCCTGCTTTTCCTTCTAAGATCAACCTTCCGTCTTGTGCTTGATGCAACTGCTGTTGTTGCTGCATCTGTGCTCCCCGAACAAATCCCATTTGTGCTGCATGGCTAGCGAGTCCTGTGCCGTTGCCAACATCGCCAGCTCCACCAAACCCGCTCATTGAGACACCATTCGACACTCCACTAGCACCAAGACCAAATGGATTCAAGTTCGAGTTTGAAGCGGCTGCGGCAAAACCGGGGTGACCGCCTAGTGAAGGAGGAGGGAGTCCGGCATTGACAGATTGTGTGTGAGCGGCATGGTGCTGTGTCTGCTGCTGTTGTAATTGATGAGCTTGTTGGAGGTGAGAAAATGGCGCGTTCAAGGCCGAGGGCCCGTATCTGCCAACAGGCGGTGGCATTTTACTACCGGGCAACCCAATCTTCTGTATATGGAGGGGTTGGCGGATGGATCAGTCATGAAGGAACTCGATGTTGGGATGGATCACTGGACAGCGCTGACAACTGTCGCAGCCGAGCTTCAAGACACCAGATAATCACTGGAAAGAGGTCGAGTTCTTGTAAATCGCCCTCATTGACTGTTGTATGCAGACGACAAATGAATGGGCAATTCGCGATCCTTGACTCGGAGCTTTCGCAGGTTGAACTGGCTGCGGTGGCGCTCGGAATCTGAAAGATAGTGGACTGATCGGGTTAGCGTGCGATCACGTGTTTTATGCCAAGCCTGGAAATGTTCCTTCAAGCTTCCGCCTTCCGCTCACACTTGCGCGTCCAGCTTGATTTCATTGAACAGTCTCAGCTCCTGGGATACCTCCTTGCCTGTTTCAATTGGGGAAAGAGGAGCTTTCCGGTTGCTTACAACCTCTCGTTCTTCATTCGCCACTACAATCTGGTCAGCATCTCACAAATCCCCTCCATAATGCCTTCCCGAAACCCCACCGGCTTCGACGTCAGGGAGTTCAAGGCTGCAGCTCATCCGCGGTCCGTTTGGGCTAAGAAGGATCCTTGGGCCCGTTAGTTAGTATAATCAATTGATTGGACCCAATATGTTGTGTTCTGACTTGAACAGCGAGGCTTGGCGATACACAGGACCCTTTTCTCGATGGAATCGGTTTAAGGGACTGTTCCCCGGTCTCGGAACCGCAACTGTTCTCTTTGCCGGATACTGCGTCTACGAGCAACTTTTCCTTAAGGAGGACCACGGTCACGGTCATGAAGAGTCTCATCATTAATTTTGCTTCCGCAAATCGACACAGAAGAAACCATTTTGTCAAGAAGATGGCCTGCGCCATAAACAATCCATGATACACCTAGAATCGAACCCCAAATTGTGCTTAGAAACCGACGGGGTTACGCCTACCTGCGTATGGAACAAAGGTGAAATCATGTACCAATAGAATTATGAAGTCTACATGGCGCGATCTCTCTAGATAATCTGTGAATATGGCGCTCTGGGTGAATAATTCTTGGGTTTTCGCTTGTGTATGTATATAGTTCAAAGACCCTCTTATTACAATCTTTCCTATTTCATTTATGTAACAGGTGTTTGGCCTGAGGCAACCTCAAGCTTGAGGTAATAGAGGTAGTCAATAAAGGCATGATAAGTGCTCAAATACAAGACCCAATGGTCATTTCATCTATGAATTTCCATGCAGCATGTGTTTCTTTTACTCTTCAAACACAAGGGCAATGCCATCATCACCAGCAGTGACAATCCGAGTGCCACCTGGCGCATCTTGTACAAAGCCAAGAATACCGCCAGATTGCTCTTCCCCTTCCGTTTCAATGAGACCGAGGTGTCCCCTCCATTCCCTGATAAATCCTTGAGCAGCTGCGGCTGTACCGCCTCGAGCATCCCACCTCCGAACTACTCCATCTAAACCCACAGAGGTAAGTAGCCATGGTCGTCCTTGAGCCGCGGCAAGGGCAGCGGAAGCCGAGCTTGTCGGTCCTGGGCGCATTGGAGGCATCGCTTGAGATGTCTGGCGCAAGAATTCGACCTTGACAACAGCAGCTCCCTCATGCGCTTCACGGATATGTCGGCGGACTGCAAATCGATGTGCTGCATCAAAAAGACAAATGGATCCATCTACGGACCCAGAGGCGAGCAATGTAAGAGGCAGAGAAGAAAACGATAAACTCTCGATGCTTTCCGATTGCGCTTGCAGGGAAGCCAGAAGGGCGCCAGCGCCCGTGGCTTGCGAGCTGCCACCAGTAGATTGCTTTGACTTGGAGGCTTTGGTTGAATCTTGCTGCAACCGTGGTAGGCCAACGACTTTGATGTGGCCCCCAGCGCCACCAACTGCAGCAATCGTACCAGATGGAGATATAGCAATAGAATACAGGCCACCCTCTACAGCGAATCGCTGGTCTTCCGCCGTGTACCCTACGACAGCTTTGTGACCTGCGGGGTAAGGAACTCCGGCATTGGCAGCTATACCGAACACATCGTAAACATAGAAACTGCCATCCTCAGATACAGTGGCCAGGAGGTTTCCATCTGGCGTCCAAGTTCCAGCTGATGTGGCAAGGGTGTGTTGGAAGTACGTCTCGTAAATCACAATTGGTTGAGCTGTGTCCGTATGGTCGATTTTGAACACCCAGGAACTACCGTCATTGCCACCAATTGCAATGATGTTGCTCTTCACCTCATCTCCATCTTTAGATGGGCACACGGCCATCCAATTAATCTCCTCTACTTCTTGTGCTTCCCCAACAAACTCCCACGCAAGCCCTGTCTTCTGTGGTGTTGTGTCCCGCCAAACGCGCAAGCGGCCATCGAGGCCTGCACTCACTGCATACTCACCTCGTGGCTGAGTAAAGGCGACAGCATTAACGGAGTCCGTGTGACCGTCAAGTTTCTTGATATGCTCTAACGATTTTCTCTCTCCCTTCGGCTGCGGATTTGATTCGTAACTTTGGGGGAGCAGAGGACGCTCATCGATGGGAGTCGAGTCGAAAATGTAGGCTGTATCGTCACCAGACCCAGTGATCACGATGTTTTTGTGAACTGGATGCTGCGCGATGCAGAATATAGAATCGGAGTGGTGGTCGAAATGTGCGGCGGAGTCGTTTTGTAGTGATATCTCTTCATGCATTTGCTGGTCTTCATCGTCGGAGTCCATGGGATGGTCATCATCTTGCTGGATGACTTCTTCGGCGTCTTGCTCATCAAGATAGACATCTTCATCGCCCTCCTCGTCGCGTCGATTATCGTGAGAAGATGACATTTTGTGCAAGGTTGCTTGCGTATAGCAAGCAATGGCGCGCGAAGTGGTAGAGGTAAAAAAAAAAGTTTGGCCCGCGGGGTAAACTGAGCAATATCAACTGCAGACTTTTATTTCAGCCTCTGAATAATTAAGAAAAATGTTTTTTTAAAATCAATTGTTTCCCGACCTATTTATTAGAGGCAAAAAAATCAAAATCGAGAAAAATCTAGTCACAGCTCAATAATATCCATCATTACTAAACAATCATGAGCCCCTCCAAGCTTAGAAATTCAACATGGCGGTATCCAATAGGCGTGCAGGTACAGATATCCACCTAAGAGTCAAGATGAGCAATTTTCTGGGGCGGCATTAGATATATCATATTTGTAAGTAGTATCCAATGTTTTATATAAGACTGAGTTTATATGCTCGAAATTCACGTCTCAGAGTATGAACATATTTATAGCTTGCTCCCCGCCTTTCTTCTTGCTTCTTTCTCCTTGTCCCGGAGAAGTCGCCGCAGGATCTTGCCACTGGGACTCTTGGGGACAACATCTATAAACTCGACGCCGCCCTTTAGCCATTTGTGTCGGGCTTTGTGATCCTCGACATGCTTCTTAATTGCTTCGGCGATTGTGGTATCGTCACCGGCTGCTGATGGAGATTTCACGACAAAGGCTTTGGGGATCTCGCCCGCAGCCTCATCTAGAATTCCAACTACAGCGCAATCTGCTACCATGGAGTGCTCGAGTAAATGCGCTTCTAATTCGGCCGGAGCAACTTGCATACCCTGCAATTTACATATATATTAGTAATTGTATTTCGTACTGTTCCTTTCACTTTGACTTACCTTGACCTTGATGAGTTCCTTAATTCGGTCTACAATCCAAATATGTTCCGTCTTTCGAGGCCCAAGTCGTACCACAGCCTCGTCTCCCGTGTGCATCCACCCTCCTTGAAAAGTTTCTTTCGTAGACTTTTCATTATTCAGATATCCAAGAACCACACTTGGTCCTCGGACAACAAGCTCGCCTGGTGTGTCGTATTCTAGAATTTCTTTCCCCTCGGGAGAAATAAGTCTTGCCTCAAAACCCGGCAGAAGACTGCCACTTGAGCCAAACCAGATATCCGATGGCAACGAGGCGCTTACCACAGTGGATGTTTCCGTCAACCCTATTAATATTAGCAAATGAATACTGTCGAGATTCCTTCATTTCTTTCTCATCAAGGAATCATGGGAAAGTATCGAGGGGTGCCTGAGAAAAAAAATATAAATAAAAGAAGGGAAATAGTCTCTTACCATAGCCTTGTCTTATTGCCCAACTGGGGAAGAGACCCTGTAATTCCTGAGCAGTTTCGGCACCTAAAGGTGCAGCGCCTGTGAAGACAGCTTCGACACTTGACAGGTCGTGCTTTGCCAACAAGTCTTTGTTACGTAACATTGTGATAATAATAGGAGGTACCTAGACTCAAAATTAGCTATACCCTTCGCATTGAAGTATGTTCGTGGTATCTCACAATAACGAGTGACGAAATACGGAATCGCTGGATGGAATTGAGATAGGATTTGATTTCGAATTTCGGTAGGACAATAATCTGATCGCCACGATAGGTTCCGACGTGGGATATGTAAACCAGAGCATAAATATGGCTCTGCGGGAGCAAGCCTAGAGTCACATCGAAGTATTGTGTGGATTGACCTTTTGGTTTGAGCTTTTCGCGAAAGCCATTCTCAAAGGTACAAATCTGCATTGAGTTTGCAATGACATTGCGATGGGAGATCATGACTCCTTTCTGCTTCAATTTTAGTTCATTTCCAGTTGAGAAGGCGGGTGTAACATACCGGTAACCCTGACGTCCCGCTGGAATAACATAGAAATGCCGTTGTTCGTGCTCCCTGACCAGGGCTCCAATTTAACTTCTCCAATGGAGGCAATGATTTTCCTTGCTGGATGAGCTGGTCTAGCGTCTTAAACCCCGCCAGGGGCTGTGGCCCTCCCAGCACCTCTGCTGGAAGATCGACAAGGTAGATGCTGCTTTGTGGGATTCCAGCTTTGTTTGCCGCTTCCAGAGCAGTTCTCAACAGCGGAATACATGTGAAGAGCACTTTGGCCTTGGAATCAGTCAATTGATGGGTTAGCTCAGCAGCAGAATAGGCGGCATTGGCAGGAGTTGCTACGCCAGCCAATCGATGTATAGCCCAGAATAAAGGAAGAGTATCAATCTAAATGCAATAATGGTCGCTCATTAGAAACCCGGGCCGATATGGAATGTATATAACAGAGAATGAAGGATTAATGCTCACCGTATTGAGAAGAAAGGATGCGGCGACCTTGTCCCATTCGCTTCCTTGGTTAGGGTGCCAGCCAAACTCCCGGGCGAGGGCGCGTGATAGATGATCAACGCGATCTTTCACCTCCAGCCACGAATATGTCTTCCCCGTGAGACCACACGTAAAGGGATGGAGGGAAGAGGACAGCGGACATCTTCCGTGGGCTTCATCTAGCATAAAATCACAAACCGGGATAGTGTCAGGCACGAGAGGGAGCGGAGGAATGCTCCTGGGAGGATAGAAGACCATAGTTATTGTGAGTGATGTAGGAGACACGAGCGCATGGGAAGCAGTAGATGGGTAGGTACCTTGGGTATCATTGAGGGGAACCAAGAGCAGGGACCGAGATACCAATATTGAATTTATGAATTCGAATTCCCGCGGTTCAGGTCCTCCCCGGGCCGAATACCCGGGCTAGGGCCAGAGGATGAGACGACGATACAAAGATGGCCTGAAGGGGAATGCCGACGAGGCTAAGAGAGCGAATGCATGCGGGGACCAATCATGGCTGACTTAAATTACCCCGGCCGCCATAAGTGTACTACTCGGATGTCGGATGACGTGTATTATCCGTACACCAATACAGCGTTTCAGCAATGCCTTGTATACAGCATTATCACCTTCGTATACTGCGCTACAGTGAGGGTGCATGTTATGTGCTAATGCTGCATTGTTCATTCGAGCCGATTGCACCAGCGTTTGAATGATTGAAGCTCCGTACCAGAAAGGAACATATTTAACACTCACCGACGGTTAGGCCATCAATTGATATTGAGGTCAGCACTACACTCATATATGGATGTGAATCCTGTAAAGCCTTGTCAAGGAAGTAGCACGCACATAATATAATTATGTAAGTCGGCCAAGGGAAGGTGTAGGACGGCCGCATATTGATGATGATGGTCGCACCTTCCTATGTGCAGTCAGGGTGCTCCTGCCTGTGGAGAAAACATTAAACTACGTCAATGATACTTCCTGCCTGGCCAAGTGGTTCATTCTTATCCTTGCCCCTTCGCCATGGGAATTTCTCTAGCATGTCAATTGATGCTTTGATCACCGAAATTGAAGGCCCGCGTGTGTCTTGATCCATATTGAATTCTCTGCACATGCAAGGTTTGACTTCAGCTGTACCCATCATCGACTTACCTCGAACCAAGACTAAACTGTCGCCATGCCCAAGAGAACGGAGGCACAGCGAGGAGATGATGCAAAACGACAATGCGGTAGCAAAGGCAAGTCAAATGAATTCGGCCTTTTGCCTTTGCCTTATGTCCTTCTCGTAACAGCTTGTTACTGAAACAAGAGTTCTGACTTCGCAAAGATCGGGCCCGGCCTGAGTCTATTCTAGACGACTCCATCAACATTGCAAAGTCTTCTCTTCCCTCTTCCGGAATAGATGAACAACCTGTCAGAGGAGAGCCACCCGCTTGGGCAGACGTATGAGAAGTAGTTTAATTTCCCTAATCAAATAAGCTAACAGTATCAATTTAGAACCGTACCAATCTATGTGACTCTCTCGGCTGGTTCAGGTCTCTCCAAGGAGGTTCGTACCAGGTGAATAAGATGTGTCTTGGTTTTCTCCTCGACAGAGACACTGGGCCGAGGACATATATCGACGATGAGATAGTCATTACACGAGTGTAGGCACTGGGTCATTATGTTTTATCAACACTTGACTGATTATGCCAAGGGGCGGCGGTTGCGTTTTGGACGTGAATGGAAATCTGACGCAGCGTAAAGACCAAGACGAGACAACCCGGTCTGTCAATTCACTGTTAGCTAGTAAAAGAGCAGGAATTGCTGTAGGTCTAATCATCGGTCTGTCGTTCTATCTTTGTTTCTTTCATGCTATGTTTATCAATCAGCTAAAGTACATATACCCAGGAAACAAAAATGAATCTATTCGGAGAAAACTCCCTCACAGGTATAACGTCATGGCCTGGTTTCGTGTCATCGACGTTTGGTTTGAAAGTTTCAATGGTAAGATTGGTGCTCGCGTTTGTTTCCAGAAACTTGACTTGGAAGAACCAAGCTGGTGGGCTCTCAAAGGGACCGAGGATCCTCTCCCTCTGAGAGAAAGGAATTGTCCTTCTCCGCACAGCGAACCCTGTGGCACTTGCTACCTTTTTAGCAAGCAAATATATGACCAAAGCTGGATGTGCCTGCAACCAGAATGTTCTGCATTTTGGAAGCTAAAAAATGGGGAATCTCCCCAGCTACTCAGATACGATGCCAGTTTTCTATCTTCCCGTGAACCGTTTGATGAGCAAATCCAGCCCGAAACTAGCCTGGTTCCTGATATTCTTTCCAGTCTATCCCAATGCCCGGACGCTTCAACGCAGAAGATTGCCTGGCGAGGTGTTATTTGTCCAGAGTGTCATAAATGCGTATCCCGAGGATACTGGAATGGGTGGGTCTGTGCTGATTCATTTAGTATTAATCTTCAAGACCCAAACCAATGCCAGTGGAAGTTGATTATGAAGATACCTCCAATCTCACTCCGATGTGTTATCTCAGATTTCGAAATAGGAGTATGCAAACGAGCAATTCGCCTCGAAGATCAACTTATACGGCCGATAACTTACTTCACGCGTCCGTATCAAAGATTCACATACACCATAGGGAAGATTGGTACCATCGTTCATTTCAGTGCCAACCGAGCGACGTTGGGTAGGCCAAATGGGCCTAATGAGCTTTATGAAAGGCTCCAAAAGGTAGATCTAGGCCTTCGTCGTTACCCACTGCAGAAGTGTGTGGGTATGTCTTTCAGATCACATGAAATATCGCATCACCGTTGTTAATAAAATCAGTCGAAGGAACTCTGACAGCACACTTTGCTGTCAATTTCGTACGAGAACTGTACCTATCAAACACATACATAGAGTCTGACACAAAATAAAGGGTATGCCATATAAATATGTTGTCTCCGTCGACTCGAAGAGTTTCAGCGAAGCGCCTTCCGAAATCATGTACGCTCTAGGACGCCTTTCCTGGGCAACCAAACAAGCCGTCGGCTCGAAGGCTCTTACTCCTAACGAGTTGTTGACCCTCGGATATTTTGAAAAAATGGCAATAGGGGTATGTGAATGACACTCGATTCTCGTTTGACACTGACATGTTCTAGTTTCATGACGATGGCGAATATTCCTTGGGTCCAACTATCGCGACGTTGTCTCTTGGTGCAAAAGCGACCATGAAAATCCGTCTCAAGGACGAGTATTTTCGAGGATGCCGCCGACGTGCCCAGAAGCCCATCACAGACGACGTTGTTCTTCCAGGTTGTTACAAGCCCGAAGAACGTCTGAAACTCCAAGAACAACACCAACGAGGCGAGCTAACAACGGCCGAGTATGACAAACGCCGCATGGAGTTGGCAAGAGCGGTCACCAGGCGAGAAGGGGAAATTTTGATCTGCCTCGAACTGCATCATGGAGATATGGTCGTCATGCACGGTTCCTTACTCCAGAAGTATTACGAGCATTCTGTTAGTTCTGAGGATAAACTCCGCTTTGCACTAACATCTCGCTACATTAACCCAGACGCGGTACCCGAGACCGAACACTACAAAGGGCACTTCGTTCTGAAACCGGATCAGATTTATGATGGACAATGACATTCATGTCATGTTTGAAGCTCTGGGCCACATCAGAGCTATCCAGAACAGGCAAGCTGTCACGCCACGTGCAGGAGGCTATGCACTCTATTTATATTGGCCGAAACCCCCGACTAGTTTCTGACATCACTAGAATTGTATCTAAATGATGTATAGTATATAAAATACCAGTATATAAGATCACTAAATACCATTCACTTCATGTATTCTAAACATAGCCGCGCCACCTTTGCGAATAATTGCGCACAGAACACGTGCCTCGTAAGGAATCGCAGTAGTCGGGGTGCAGCCCGGGACAAACACACCAACGTTGTTAGACCCGAGAGTCAGCCTCAGCTATGCACTAATAATCATTACTTGTGTCGCAACTGCTCCCCCGACAATTAACCCATCGGCCTACGTTGGTCATCCCCCAGTCTGCCATCTCCCACCCCAGATAAACGTCTTCGAATCAACCATTCCAAGGCTGGAAGAACACCCTTCTTGTGATACACATGCGGGGATGCCAGACATACCCGCTACACTCCTTTGCGACCGGTGAATCGTGCACAGAGACGTCTTCTCGAATGCGCTGCGGACGGCCAACCTCAAGCGACTCCCACGAGGATAGCAACCCGTCCTAATTCTTCAGTTCTTATTTTCTTGAGGGTTCCCTCGTCTTATTGGGGAAGCGTTGATCGACAGCTGGCTTACTGCGACCCCACGGGTTTGTCGATTGACTGTACGTGATAGTCGATATTATTCGGGTCGTATTATTTAGGCAACGAGCCGAATAATACCTCCCAGACGTGCGATGTCTCAATACCAGGGTGGTCACCAGGGGTACTTCGGCCAGAATTCTGCTGCCGCTCAGAATGCGTCGCATCGTCCCCAATACACTTCCTACTCTCCCCAGCCAGAACAGGCCACTCTTCCGTTGAGACGAATGCCCAGTTATATTGCTGGCGACGATTCGACTTACGCTCCTAGCGGATCTAATGATCCTGGATATGGGCCTCAAGGCCATGTACCTGCCCCAAATGTTTACAATAATCTGACAAACACCTCGCAGGCCAACTTGGGTTCGAGACACTCTCAGTTCTCAGTGAATAGCTCCCAACAATCAAACCCGAGTCGCGCATCTTCACATGGTTCATCGGCGATCTCTACTTATCAAACACAGGCATACCAAGCTTCAGTCCTACCTCCAACGTCCCCGACTACAGCATACAACCCCCAGCAATATGCCCGGCCGCACTCGTTATCTCAACCGCCGTCCATGTCCTACAACCCACAAGCATACACCAGCGTCGGTGGTAATCAACAATATACAAATGCCACATCAGCATATCAGCCCTATAATCCGGCTGCTTATCAACCAAACCCAGCATTACACCGGCAACAGACGAATGCTTCGATACGCTATCAACAACCCGCTGCATATGGAATGCCGTCTCCCCAACCACAAGGCCCCCCGCTTCCTCCTCGGGGGGCAGATCATCCTTACGGCCCGCGTCAGACCCAGTATCCAGAAACATCCTCGGTTCCGAACTATGGTTATTCTCCCACAAACCAAGCCTCGCCCTCGCTGAACTACAATTCATCGTTATACCATACTGGGCAGGTATCGCCAGGCTATGCGTCAAATCAATCTTACATGGGCTCGAGTCCGAATTCGCTCCCTTCACGCCAACCTTCATACACATCACACGCGTCGTCTCCTCCCCCAGCAGTGCAGCCGTCTCCTTCTATTGAGGAACGGCCTCCTGCGCCACCTGCTCACCAATCCCATGGTGATTCAGGATACGGGAAGCGTTCGAGTATCTCAGGGCCGTCTTTGAGGAATTCAGGATCGTCACCAACCTACCAGACAAATCCGTCATCGTTTCCACGAAGGACAGATACTCTCACGCGCCATCCACAATCTCGCCCTCTTCCTGGTCCTCCACCTGATGCCGAAGCGGAGATACAGAATGGTTCAACAAGTACTTATGATGATCTAATGAGAGAGGTTGAAGCTGCTATGCAAGGGAAATCTTCAGAAATGAGAAACAATAATACCACGTGGTCATCTGATATGGGAGAAGAACTCACCGGGGATGAGCCTCGTCCTTTACTTACTCATGGAGACAACCAGACACCCCAGTTGTCTCCTGATGAGCACCACACACACACAAATGGGAGTGTTGCAACTGGTACAGGGGAATACGTTAATTATGATGCGTACAGCGATGGCAGTGAGGCAGAAGCCGCATTCGGAGTTGCATCCATGCAGATAGCAGCGGATGAAGAGGGAAGAAACAGAGGCGGAACATCGGCTTCGTTATTCAACCCGCATGGACACCAACCATCTAGCCCCAGGTTGTACACGTCTTATCAAGATGCTAGTAGCGACAGTGATTATGTAAATCATGATTTGTCGCTATATGGAGGAGGTTACGACGGCCAGATGCACTACGGGGTTCCACTAGCTTCAAGTTCCGAGATAAAGCTCCCCCGAATATCGACTTCTATACCAAACTCCGGAGGATCGCGCAACGGGCATACTGCTAATGAAGACTCAGTACAAGCATTCACTCCCACTACTCCAGCGCGTGTTGATACTGGGGGTACAGGCGGATTTGCAAGGCCGGGTGCTGCGGGACACCGTATGAGCTTCGATGACATTGATGAAGAAACTGTGCTGGCGATGCCTGATAGTGATGCTCCATCTGGAAGTCAAAGTCCGGAGAAGGGTGAGCCAGCAGACCTTTTCTACCATCCAGGAATGCGTCCACTTCCTCCTGCCCCTGTTGAACCTGCGAACAAGCAAAGTATTTTGCCGCATTTGATTCCCGCAGGAACTTATCGAAACAGTCAAACAAGTGATGATCATGATGACCTCGATCAGTTCAGGCCTCTTCCGCAAAACATTTCTTCCGATGCTTACTCACAATCACAAACTAACTTGTATCAAGTTCCGCGGTCGTCATCCTTATCGAGTCATAGCAGTACGCCGCGTACTGAAGCCCCCATCAGATCCAAAACCGATGCGGATCGTGTGAAATATAAGCAGCAGCAGGAGTTTTTGCGCCAGCAAGCGCAAGATGTGACTGGCTCTCTCGGGTACAATGCTACGCCAGAACCGTCTGCTATAGCTCTTGATCTACCCACCATTCCTGCTAACAGAAGGAAGAAATTTAACCCAGCGAAATTATCGTCGGAGCAATTTCGTAAGTGCTCGGAGCCTTGGGCGCTTAGTTCAATTGTTGCTTGGGTAAAAGATCTGAGTGAAGGTGAAACGGATCTTAAGGTGCATGCTGTTATCAATGCCATTGTTGCACTGTTCACACATAAAGTACCCACGATGAACACTGCTGATGCGGAAACTCTCGGTGCTTCAGTTGTCAAAAGTATGCTGGATGAGGGTGCATTGATCGAAGATGAAGAGTGGGTCAAATTCAGCGACACATCATTGTCTGGTGTTTTGTTCCAGATTACCGGGAGCGGATGCTATTCTTCACGACTTCACGTTCATGAAACTAAAAACTTTGGTCGCTGCTACTCTCGCCATTGCATGAGAACGCTAAGGAAGATCAACCTCAGGGCTCAAGTGATGGAGCCCCAGAAGAAGGCGCAAGACTGGGTTACATTCTATGGAATCCCTAAAGAAGTCTGGGAAGCCCATCCTAAGAAAGAGCTCGACCGTCAAAATAACCTTCACGAAATTGTCACTACCGAAGACTCCTATATTGGTCAGTTAGACGTGCTGAGAGAGCTTTATCGTGATCAACTAGCCGGCATGCAACCGTCCATTATGAGCCCGAAACGCCTGGAAAAGTTCTTACAAGACGTTTTTGGAAAAGTTGATGATGTCAAAAGGGTCAACGAGGATTATCTCTTGGCACAGCTCAAGTACCGGCAGAAGGAACAAGGACCTTTTATCACTGGCTTCAGTGATATCTTTCGGGAGTGGATACGAAAAGCAAAGGCAGTTTACATAGACTACGCTGCCACTTTTCCTCAAGCCAATTTCTTGGTTCGCAAGGAAGCTGAGCGTAACCCTGTCTTCCGGCAATTTTTGAATCAAGCTCGTGACAACAAATTATCAAACCGTCTCAGCTGGGACACGTATCTCAAGTCCCCCATTACGCGAATTCAGCGATACACCTTACTTCTATCGACAGTGCACAAAAATATGGTCAAGGATTCAGAGGAGAAGACTAATCTAGCACTGGCTATTGAGGAGATCAAGGTTGTTGCATTAGATTGCGACAATAAGGTTGGTGAGATGTCAAAGAAGGTTGATCTCATGGAACTTTCTGCAAAACTTCAACTCCGACCAGAGATGAGAAGCGAAGTCGAGTTGAATCTTGAACATCTAGGAAGAGAAATAATCTTCCAAGGCGATCTCCAGCGGCCTGGTAACCGAACGAGGTTCAATTTGGTTGACACACACGCGGTTCTTTTCGATCACTATCTTGTATTGGCTAAGGCAATGCAAGGCAGTAGGGCCGATAAATCAGAAGTGTATGATGTGTCGAAACTACCGATTCCTATGGACTTGCTCGTCCTGGAGAGTACGAATGATGACCCGGTGGTGAAATCGTCGGTAAAGGGCATATCAGCAGTGGCGCCTCCAACAGCTGCTGCCGCCGCCGCAGCGCGCGGCCCTGGTCCTGGTACTCTGACACATACTACCAGTGCCAACTCCGCAGCTTCGGCCGGGGGCTCTTCTACTAAGTCGTTTGTGGCAACAACTGTTCTTGACAATTCCAAGGACGACAAAATCTTGTACCCTTTCAAGGTGAAACATTTGGGTAAGACGGGTACTTACACGCTTTTTGCGCCATCAATTCAAAACAGGCAAGACTGGTGTGAAAAGATTATAGAAGCCAAGACGAGACATGCCGCTTCCCTGTTCGCGCAAAATGCTGAGCCTTTCCGACTGCGAGTGCTAGCTGACGCTGCTTTTGTCTACTCTGAAGCACCAGCTGCTAAACCTGTTATGATTAATGGTACACCACTGGATCGGGCTATACAAGATGTCGAAGCCAAGTATTCCAATATAGGCATAAGGCCTAATCCTGTCTGCAGAGCATCTGTTAATTGTGCTACGATATTCAACCAGCCAAGCGGACGACTAATGTGCGCTATTGGCACCGATGTCGGTGTTTTTATGTCGCAATACGATGACCCTCGTGGCTGGGGCAGGGTAATTACAATCAGCCGAGTTACTCAAATTGCAGTTTTTGAAGACTTCAACTTGCTACTCCTCATTGCCGACAAGTCCCTCATAGCATATCACCTGGATGTTGTTTGTCCAACCAGTGGCGTACCTTCTCAAACGTCTCAACATGATTCCGCACGCCGAGCTCCACAGAAGATATCAGGAAATCGTGAAGTTGGTTTCTTTTCAATCGGTAGAATGAAAGATCGAGTATTGGTGTTTTACAAGAAGAGAGATGGCATTTCATCAACTTTCAAGGTAGGTGTTTTCGATTGTCATATATGATAATGATATTCTTTGTGCTCACATAATTTGCAGGTTATCGAACCTGTCCTTCACAAGTCAACGGCTAGCCGTCCGCGTATCTTTTCCTCTCGTCGCGGGCAAACTGAATTCTTCCGCGAGTATGACGAGTTCTACATTCCTACGGAAAGTTACAATATCAACTTGTTCCACACCTCTCTGGCTATTTCCACGCAACGTGGTATTGAGGTCTTGACGCTTGACAAGAAACAGCCCTGGTCTGTACCGAATCTCAGCTCTGATGTCCCGGAGACACAGCCCTATTTGACCAGTATTGCAAGCCGGATCAAAGATCTGCGGCCCCTTGGCATGTTCCGACTTAGCGACAGCGAGTTCTTACTGGCGTACAGCGAATGTGCAGTCTATGTCAACAAACTCGGCGATGTATCTCGAAGCGTTGTCATGGAATTCGTTGGCCGAGCACATACGGCTTGTCTATATGGAAAATTCCTCATTTTACTGAATGACGATTTTATCGAGGTCCGCAATGCCATGAACGGTCGATTGAGGCAGGTCATCCCTGGCCGTAATGTGGTCTGTCTCGATGACAGTGGCAACTTTTCTGGACCTGCTAGCAACTTTTCGGATTCCGGCGTTAATGGACAACATACTTTGACAAGAGACCTCGCTCGCGTTGGTCGTACGGTGAAAATCTGCATGCAGCACCCAGAGTACGAGCGCAGTCAGATCGTGGTTGAGCTGATCGAAAACGAAGGGCAAAAAGACTAGTTTCTGTTCCATTGATCTTAATGAAAATGCTATCTACGAAAGAATCACGCGGACGCGATTAATTCCTTTCCTGAAACGTCCAAATAATCACGAGTGAGAGGGAAATATGCCCTCCTTATTTTTTATGATTTTTTACTTCCATCCTTCATGAAGGTAGGCAGGCACCTTTGACGATGTTGGCGAAGCATGCCGACGATTTATATGCTTTGGATCATATTTGGAGGGAAATTTTCTAATCAAATTTTCTCAAAAATTTATATTGTGTACTTTGCTCCATGACTCGGATTCCCCGAAAGCAAGTCTGTATTCTGAAGGTTTTTGTTGTACATAATTGCTTTGTCTGTGGCCCCCTTCTACTCTTGTATGGCTTAGGTGGAGAAATCATTGCAAATAGACCAACTGTACTCTGAAGCTACAGGCTATTACAATAATGCTAGGCCAAAAAGGTGTATATAGTAGGGAAGACCGTTAAAATAATGCAATCTATACATACTTGTACGTAATTGATAGGAGTACCGACTGAACCGAGGCTGGAGAGCAAATAGCGGGGCGCCATTTAGTTAGAGCTGTCCTACGGCCGTAATGCTTGCTTCCCCGGAAATTGATGACAGACCATCCGTATATAATAATGACTGTCCTGGGACTTTTAGCTATCAGGCGGTGACTTGTATAATTATTTCATTTGCTGTGCTCACGAAGCAGCATTTCATCAACCATGTCTCTTCCAAAGGCCGACTACGTCAGTAACGTCTGGAAAGATGGCTTGTTTAGTAGGCCTGGCCCCCTCCCTTTCTGCGATGCGAAATTAAAAAGCAGCTTTGCTAACGTTTTATTCTCTTCCAGAGAACAAAGTAGTGTTCTGCACTGGCGGCGCCGGAACCATTTGCAGCGCCCAGGTCCGCGCTCTCGTCCATTTAGGCGCCGACGCATGCATTATTGGACGAAATGTAGAGAAGACCCAAAACATGGCGAAGAGCATCGCCACTGCGCGCGCCGGCAGCAAAGTGATTGGTATTGGAGAGGTGGATGTGCGCAAGATCCAAAGTCTGGAAGCAGCTGTGGAACGTTGTGTCAAGGAGCTGGGTGGTATTGATTATGTGATGTACGTGTTCAGCCAGTCGGCCGTGGTGGTATATCTTTTAATTTGGAACTGCTTTTGATCAGTGCCGGTGCAGCTGGAAATTTCCTGGCCTCGATCAACCAATTATCCGTTAATGCCTTTAAGTCGGTTATGGACATTGATGTTTTGGGCTCCTACAATACGGCTAAAGCGACTCTGCCTTACTTGAAGGAATCTGCGAGAAGACACCGGGTGGACTCTAAATCATGTATGAGTGTTCTCTCTCCGTGTTTATGCTATATTACAATTTATCTGTTTACTGATTGTCGTTATAATAGTGAGGCCATCTCCGGAAGGTTCAGGCGGCAGAATCCTCTTCGTCAGTGCCACGATCCACTACACTGGTATCCCATTTCAAACGCATGTGTCTGTCGCCAAAGCTGGAGTGGATGCTTTATCAAATAACATAGCATTGGAATTTGGACCTCTGGGACTGACGTCTAATGTCATCGCCCCTGGTCCAATTGCCAACACCGAGGTACGTGGTCTTGCAAGCCAGATATTGGCGGCTGAAGGCTGTTGGATTGACTCTTTGATGCGATGTGTAGGGTGTTGATCGACTTTTGCCTAGTGATGTTAAGGAAGAAGCTGTCAGGGCGCAGCCTCTCGGGCGGTTTGGATCCGTGAGAGATATTGCGGATGCCACAGTATACTTGTTCTCCGACAGTGGAAGCTACGTGTCCGGGCAAACGCTTGTCGGTACGTGTTGTCTCCTACCATCTTCTCAACTTATGGAGACCTGTATTCTAACACCATCGTTTAGTGGACGGCGCTTCATGGCGCATGCCATCTGGTTCAATTGGCTCCAGTCTTAAATACCCCGACTTCCTCCTCTCGGGCGAACCGGTTGCTAACGTCAAGGGACAGAAGAACTCGAAGTTGTGAATGACTAATGGCTGATCAATTGATGTAGGTTGGATGTTTCTAAGTGTGTATATCGAGATCGGGATTTGATATGCTTTCTATTTGCCCGGGCGCTTATTGTCACTTCGTTCCTCCTTCTAAATAATAGATCGGATTTGAATGTGATTCAATACTACCTTCGAACCAGTAAAGGATTTCCGTAACATAGCGTTTGTAGACGAGCAGAATCTGACCAGTACACTAGTTAGGCGGATTGGACAGAAGTAGGGGAATAGGCATGGAATTTTTCTGTCGCAAGCTGAATAATTATGGAGTTTGGATACGGTAGTCGTCACCATGGAGAACATTGGCAATAAATAGCATCAACATCGCAGTCCAATCAACAAGAGCAGGATAGCTGAAACGCTGCTTGTCGCCGGGCTTGCGTCAGCGTCTCCATTCCCCAGCGCCGCTTTACTGCAATCATGTGAGCGCCTGCGATTGCCACGGCGGGCCGGTCGTCATGATTAAAGCAGCGTGCCAAGCACTCCATAACGGTCCTAGTAAACTATTATGGGCCAATTAGCAGCCGATAGTCGGGTGATCGGCATAGAGGGCGGAGGCTTGGCTTGGCCGAGGCGAGCTTACGTAGTCCCCTCCTGCTGGCGGTCGCAGCAGGCTGTGGCATTCCATCCCGCCCCCTTCCACTATTGTGTTATAACTCAAACCTCCTCCATCATCAACCTGCGATCAAGCCATACTGCATATTACTCTCATCGCCTTCTATCGCGAGAAAGTCTCCGCTGCTTACTCCCGTCTTTCCCTCCTGTTCTTTGTCGTTGTTTCCAACTCAGTGACTACCCGCCATGTATCTCCGGTCGCTGTTGACCGCCAGCGCTCTGTCGCTAAACGCCGCCGCCTTTCTGGTTGTCCCAGAAGCCCTCCCTCCCCTCGAAGACGCCTCTCTTCCTCATATCGCCCATACGATCGGTGCCCCGAGTGACCATCTCGAACAATTTCAACTTGCCTGCGACGCATGCCCGTTCCCAGAAAATGAATCCGATGGTGTCGTGAGCTGGTCCACAGACACCCGATCTTCCTTGGTAAGCTGGCCTATTTTTTAAGATCGGAATCACAGTATCAGTTCCAGCTAATACGATAAAGGAATTAAACTTCTACACTAATGATGGCCAACTCTACGTCAACGATGCTCGCGTCTTCCCCGTTCCTCCCACCACAGTCGATGTCAAGGCAGTCCAACGAAGGGAGTCCGATGGCAAGGAAACCGATCCATTGAAACTCGGCTTTGCTCTCGTGGCTCTTCCCGTGGCTCCGCCAGAGGACGGCCTGGAACTCATGCAGATCCGATTCTCACCACTCGACATTGAAGGACACCCAGCGCCGCTTGATACCATCAGCCTTGCCATGATTAAGACGGCATCAGGCGATCTTTTCATCGCCCGCACTGACATCGAACCCCCTGCCGGTGAAGATGACCACGAGTCTTGGGAACAGTGCAACGGCGATATTCGGTGTTTGAGACGTCTGGTTCTCCTTCGCATTCACGCCTTGTTCCAGTCTGCCAAAGCTCACATGATGAACTTGAAGTCGAAAATTCTTCACGCTAACAAAGGCTGCCATGGAAAGCCTCGCATCGCCCATCTAAAGCATGGCCACCACGGAGAAGCAGACGCTGGTGAGCTCAGACACCCCGGCCACCGCTGGGGCGCCAACGGCCACCAACACCCACACCACCGCCACGGCTGGCGACGCACCGTTTCTCGCATCGTCCGTTTCATCGTCATCCCTGCCGTTCTTGGTGTTCTCGCTGGTCTCACAGCCAGCGCTATTGGAATGCTTGTTGGCCAGCTTATCGTTTTCGTGTGGATGCGTTACCGTCGCAGCACCACCAGCCGATCTACCTCGACCCTAGAACAGGGAACCACATCCGAAAAATATGGTCTCATGGTTGAAGATGCCCCGGAAGAGGATCTGCCCCCTTATCGTGATGAGGACCAACCTCAGCTCCCTCCCACAGATGCCAAGTAAATCCCCCTTTGGTCATCTTCCAGTCACACTAGGTGGCTATGAACTCTCATTATACTTTATTGTGTAGTCAACTATACTGAGCATGGATTATACGTTTTGGGTTTTGTTTTTGGAGCACTCACGGTCGGCGAAGAATTTCTAGTCATTCTCTCTTTTCATTTGGCTTTCTCTTGTGCTTTTCTATATGATATCATTCCCGCAGTTTGGTGGTTGTATTGAGACTGATGTAACTGGCTGGGCTTATATCTGCTATTCATACTTACAAGAATGCAGCCATCATCATGAGTCTTCTTCTACGTTGCAGATGTAGATTAAAATAGTATCATATGCCACCCCACCAACCTGATATTTAGATAATGACATATGTTCGATCGACTCAATCTGGACTGAGATTCCCAGTGAAGGTCAGCACACGTGACCAATAGACTTCAGTTACTAACTTACCAATAAACTTATCATTCGCAGTGACTCAGTGAGTATCCAATGGGGCTGAGGGTTTGAGGCTGCCGCTAGCCGTCAGTGGTCGCTGGTCAGCCGCCCCGTAACTAGTACACATACAGCATGACTACAGTTACCTTACTACCACAACCGCGACCTCCCACCTCAAGCTGGCTGGTCTGTTTCAATCGACTGCTGCAGTCTCACCTCCACCGAGATCCGACAGCAAGAGAGAGACAATGCTGGCATTGCCCAGGCCATCATGAATTGACTTCTTTGACTTGCATAAGCGATCCACATACCGGGTCATCTCACCGCATTAGAGGCTTGGAGCAGTTGGAGCTCCTCTCCAGGCAGCCCTCTGCTATCGTGCGCTCTCACCATTCATTCCGTTGGACAACTGCTCGCTGACACGACCCAAGATATTGACTTGGGCTTCTACAAACCATGTTTCAATTCTCAAATTTGGTCCAAAAGGCTCAGTCGTTTATTGATCCGGCCAACTTCAACCTACCGACGATCTCCTCCACCGACCGCAACCCCTCCAAGGCCTCTCTTTTCCGCCAACAGTTCCGCCTTCCAGACTCTCAGAATCCTCTACAGGAAATCACTGCTGATTTAATCCTCCCAATCGCCCGCGGCGGCTCATCGAATACCCAAGATGAACGCTCCCGCGAAGCCGATCGGGCTGGAAACCGATATACCGGTCGCCTACATTTAAGTGAACGGTTTTTGTGTTTTTCCACCCAGCCAACCAGCTTCATACCCTCCGCTAGCCACAGTGCATCAACGACATTTACCGGACAAACCCACGGAACTGGTCCCTCTGGAAATGGGTTTACGATTCCCCTGTGCTCTATTCGCCGTGTGGAACGACTCAACAGTCTCAGTCATGTTTTCTCCCTCGCATTGACAACTTGGAATGGTGCGCTAGGGAAACAATCCATCAAAGATGCTTCGTTTACTCCCCAGCGGTTTACTCTTCAGTTAGTTGGAAGCAGGCAGGCTTGCGAGCGCTTCTGCGATGGATTGAAGAAAGTGCTGAGAGAGAGTATCAAGGAGATTGATAATCTACGAGCTGTGGTTTTGGATGAATATTCTGAATACCTTCTTACAACGCCTCCAAAAGGCAAAGAGGAGTCTGATACGGCGTCAAGACAGCTACCAGATGCGGGACTTGGGATGGTCTTCAGATATCCCGGAGATGCTCGCAAACTTCGAGATAGGAGTAAGATGCGATTGTGGGCAGAGTATTTTAGAGGTACAGATTTGTACAGATTCTATTCGGTAGTTTTGATATTGATTGTATACAGAAAACGGACGCAATGCAACGCTTCTCCGTCAACCGACTTTCCATAAGCTCATTCGCGTGGGCTTGCCAAATCGTTTGAGAGGGGAAATTTGGGAGCTAGCCTCAGGCTCTCTTTACCTGCGATTGAGATCTCCTAAGCTATACGAAGACACACTGACTAAATTCTCGGGACGCGAATCTTTAGCCATTGATGAGATCGAGAAGGATCTGAATCGTAGTCTTCCGGAGTATCCGGGCTTCCAGAGCGAGGAGGGTATTGGACGTCTACGGAGGGTATTGACCGCTTATAGTTGGACTAATGAACAAGTCGGCTACTGCCAGGCGATGAATATAGTGGTTGCAGCCTTGCTAATGTGAGCATCCCATAAACAATGTACGGACTTGATCTAACCTTCTCTAGATATATGTCGGAGTCACAGGCATTCTTTTTGCTATCTGTGCTTTGTGATCGACTTCTTCCTGGATACTACTCGACAACGATGTACGGCACGCTACTGGATCAAAAGGTGTTTGAATCCCTGGTCGAAAAGACCATGCCTATTCTCTGGGAACATCTCGTCAAGTCTGACGTACAGCTATCCGTGGTATCTTTGCCATGGTTCCTTTCTCTCTATATAAATTCAATGCCTCTGGTATTTGCCTTTAGGGTTCTAGATGTGTTCTTTCTCGAAGGGCCGAAAGTTCTTTTCCAAATTGGGCTGGCTATCCTGCGCATCAATGGCGAAGAGCTTTTAGATGTGCAAGACGATGGCTCTTTTATCTCGATACTCAAGTCATACTTTGCACGTTTAGACGAATCAGCGCATCCACGTTCAGAGAATCCGAAACTCAGAGCCATTACCCGGTTTCAGGAACTCATGGTGGTAGCTTTTAAGGAGTTCTCGGGCATCACCCACAATTCCATCACAGAGCAACGTACCAAACATAAAGATGCAGTATTAGAAAACATCGAGAACTTCGCCAGACGAACATCCATACGAAACCTCGGCCCAGAGAGTAAAAGGTTGAGTATGGATGATCTTGGGGCGATTTACGACCGTTTTTACGAAGTCCTCTATGACCGGGAGCAAAGAGAAAAACTACTTTCGGAAGAGAAAAAGAAGCTGGAGAAGAAGAAGGTCGAACGGTATTCCGTCCTTGGGCCTCCAGTTGATGCCGAAGTTGGACGTGTTGGCCTTGGCCCAAGTCCAACTCACATGGACTACGATGCATTCAGAGGATTCTTAGCCGAGACAGCAAAATGGGCTATTGCAGATTCCCCTGGTCAGTCGAGAAAACAATCTACATCCGAAAAGGACCGTAATATGGCAAATAATGGAAGTGTCCGCGGCCGGAGTGCATCGAGTACTAAATGGGGCGATAGAATAGAGCCTGCAGACCATGAATTCATGCAACGCTTATATCGCAAGTGGAACACTGAGGGTGCCGAAAGCTTAAGTCTGCAGGATGTTGTGGTTGGGCTGGCGAAATTAAAAGGCACGCGCGATATCATGAACTCGATCAATTACTTCTTCGATCTATATGATGATAGTGGAAACGGTCAGGTTGACCGAGAGGGTATCTTAAGAATTTCCGAAGCCTTACTGTTCCTATCAAGAAGGGGTTTTGATGGAGCTCTCACCCCGAGTGAAACGGAGGATATTGCGGATCCCAGTCTTCCACTTGAGCAACGGGACAAGGTAAAGCTTAGTGTCGACGAACGGTTTCTGGGGAGCGTCAGTGCATTCATTCGACGGTGTTTTGAATATGCCGACCCGAGCCATCCTCAGAATCAAAACCATGGCAGTGCTACGGATGGAAGTGATAATGCTGCCGCAAAATTGGACGCATTTACGATTGGCGATGATGAGGACGACGAAGACCTTATCGAAGTGGATGAGAAGAAAGAGCCGGAGAAAATTTCTCCGTCAGATGCACAGCCGACGGCTACTTCGCCAACTTCCTCTCGCCAAGAATCAGCGAATGCTGCTCTTGATCCAAACAACCCGCTGCACATAACGCTCCCTACATTCCGGATGGTGATTCTGGCGGATGAGCTTTTGGAACAGTTTTTCGAGACGTTTTTCCCACAGTCGTTCCGTCTATCGGACCGTCCTAACCCTGCTTCTTTGGCACCAACCTCGTCGCTCTCATCCAACTTGACCACATTTACTAACCTTGGAGCAGCGCGCTCAACGTTCAGTTCTATTTCAGGCGCAACTGCTGCAGGTGCATCTGGTGGTATCGTTCCTCCGAACAAGGGCCTTCGTGGCGTGCTTGACAATATTGTGTCGGATGGAATGCGTATGGCAGCAGAGGTACGCAAGAGAATGGAGGAGGCACAGCGGGAGATGGAACGAAATGCGTTGAACCGAAATGACGAGGACGAAGACGAAGAGGACGAAGATGGCCGCAGTCTAGGCTCGTCGGCGACAATGGTCGGCGGTATTTCTAGCTGGGGAGCGGGTGCATATGGCATCGACCCCGAGCGACGCAGTGTCCGTGAGCGAGACCGGGATCTTCTCGAAGGCGCCGAAGCAGCCTCTGTCCCGGACGGCAGAGATACACATCAGCCGTCCCACCCTGGCGAGTCTATACAACCGCAGTCGTCGTCTGCTTCCAGGCAGTCAGCCGAGGACGATGTGACCAAGGTTGAGTTTGACTCATAACGTAATGTGATAATACATGACTCCTCTTTCTTTGCTCTTTTGTGATTCCTTTTATACGATGATCCGATCCGATCAGTCTATACGATTTTGATGTACATAGTTGTCATGTAGCTTGGAGCAAATTCTTGATAATACAGTACAATGAGAATACATCTTTGTCATAGTGAGTGATTGTTGACATTCTGATAACTTTACCCATTAGCCGGACGGCCAGCCAATCACAGCGCACCCAGAGCTCCCCGCTGTTAATCTACGTCACAAGCTCGACTCGCTCGCGGCCAACCTTCTACAACATCAGTCTGCCCCTGCTTGGATCGATTGAAAACCAAGTAGGCCATGGAGGACCTACACTTCTACATCCTGACCTTCAACTGTGCCCGCAACCTGATTCACCGTGAGCGGTTCGCCGCGCATCTCTTCGATGTGCTCCCGCCATCAAAAGCCGCGCCAGAGGTTCTAGTTCTCAACCTCCAAGAAATCGCACCCATCGCATATGGATTTCTCGGCGGATCATTTATCGATCCATACGTGGATGCCTTTAACGATGCAGTCAATGCGGCATGCAAGATCCGCTGGCCTCGCGAGGAGGTCAAGTACGTCAATCATGTAACAAACAACTGCGGCCTAACCGTGCTCCTCGTCTTTGTGCGATCCGACGTAGCAGACCGTATCTCCTGGACGGATACTGCAGAAGTCGGAGTCGGGGTGCAGGAAATGGGGAATAAGGGCGCCGTCGGCGCGCGATTGGGCTATTCATACAGCTCGGATGAGACTGTCGATTTCACTTTTGTAGCTGCACATATCGCGCCTATGGAGGATGCGTATCATCGGAGGAATCAGGATTGGAGGAGTATTGTTGAACGGCTAGTGTTCACAAAGGGAAGTCCTGGTAGAGGCGAGATTGATGACAGGGACGAGGACACGGCTCGACTCTTGCAAGAAGAGAGAAATAGTGGCCAATCAAGCATGTACACGCCCAGATCACATCTTTTTTTCGCCGGGGACTTGAACTACCGCACATCAGATGTGCCGCCGGCGATCAAAGACTACGCACGCTTCCCTCAGCCTGATGCGGCTCCGGAAGATGCAGCTCATTACTCTCGATTACTTACAAACGATCAACTAACGCGAGAAAGACGCGCGAAACGAACCCTTTATGGGCTATCCGAAGCAGCCATCAACTTTCCACCTACTTACAAGTATTCCTACCAAGCCCAATTGGCGGCCCTGGAAGATAAAGAGCCCACGGTATGGCAGTGGTCGAAACACCGTTGGCCAAGCTGGTGTGACAGAATTCTGTATCTGGAACTTCCGCCGTGGATGAGGGGGGATGGCAGTGTCCAGGTTCATGGGTACAATGCATTGCCTCTCTTTCCAACCTCGGATCACCGTGCAGTCGCGCTCGCAGTAACAGTTCCGCTAAAGCCGATTCCTCGGCCACCGCCTTCATCGTTCGACGATGATGTGCGAGTTAATCCGCCATTCTCTATTGATCCGAATTGGAAGAGCAGGAGAGTGTCGGCGAGGGTGAAGGAGGCGGTAGTTGGCGGGCTTGCATATCTAGTGCTAACACGAGAAGGCAATGGGTTCTTACTGGCGGCGGCCATTGGAATGTTTGGTGGCTGGTTTGTGCTTCAATCGCTTGTTATGGGAGATGCGTGAGGGTCATACAATACAAGTAACTCGATTTATTCCATCACGCCATGATATGATAATTTTAGCCCCGATATACTTCACCACCCCATCATTTGTAATTACATTTTGTGGAGCGGATGGACGGCACCTCACCGCTTTTCCTTCAACTTTACCCGGGTTTCATTCCTGCTTGATGAAACGAGCAATAAATGCTGGTCCGAAACAACTGTGGAGTGTCGACTGACGAGGCTGTGAGTACCATCGGTGCCCGATGCACAGCAGGCTACAGTATTACTTGCCATCTGGTGGAGATAGACGGCAGGCTATGTCTGTGGGAATAGGCTGTTTGAAGGATTGGTATACGAGAAGGACATACACGTTGCTGCTGTTGGTGCGAGGCTTAGCATCAGCAAGGCTGTGCAATGTTGACCACATGTGCATGCAGGGTGCAAGCCACTCGAGTCCAGTTAGGGCTTAGACAGGCTCTCGGAGCGATGGCCGGGTTTTAGATAGCCATTCCATAATTCTGGTACAGATTAGTTGTTCATCTTTGCAACCGGCTCAGATCAATGGAGAAAGTAGAGACGTTATGGGTCAGCGTGGGCGGCTCGTTTAGATCGCAGCGCAGCGCAGTGTGGACCGGGACAGTCGGATATGACGGGTGGAGATAATACGGGCGTTGGTTGACTCATGATCCAGTCCAGCGGTACCTTGCAAGAGCTTTTCTGTGGTAGCAAGAACAGCAATACCAGTTCCGGGATTGTCCAGACCAGGCTTTGCAATCCACACACCGTTGGAGTCCTTCGGTTGGCCGTTCCGGGCCCGCTGATTGGCAGGCTGGTCGAGAAGTCATGCAATGATACGGCGGAAGAAGGGCTAGGCAGCTTCCAGAAGCCGATGCGGAAGGCAAGGCTGAAACGACGACTGAAATAGTACGCTACCTAGTATGGTATAACTCCTAGTAGGGCACGTCACTAACTTGGACGTGGCTTGAAGTCCAACGTCCCGGCGGTCGGGGCGGTTAGGCTGCTAGGCGGTTAGGCTGTTAGTATTGGCTAGTTACATGTGGCTGCTCGGCGCCATGCCATGTAGTCGCAAGGCCCTTTGCTGATGCCAAATAGAAGGGCTAAATCAGCCATCGACGCGGATAAGATTGGGCTAGGCTATGCCGCCGTCATCATTGTTATGATTGCTTGGCCTCGGGATAGAGAGATATATATATAGCTATATGTATGTGTTTATAATTACATGCATATATAGCGCAGCTACTTCCATGATTCCTTGGTGCTTAATGGCACCCAATATAAACATGGATATAATAGTATAATTCGATAATAATACAGCGTATACTCTACTAGAAACATAAAGTAATTAATTGATCGGGCTGGTGCCGATCTAGACCCGCGGCGGCCCAAGAAAACAGCGCCGTACTGTCTGCATACTCCAAGTTTCTTAGTCGCTGCTAGTGGCCGTTTTCTGCAAGCCCGCCTTCTTTCTGCACTCTTTTTTCTTCTTCCTGCGCTGTTCCCTGTTCCTCGACGTCATTCCTTTTAAATAACTAACCCATCTTACGCTCGTTATTTTCTGTTTTCTTCTTTCTTTCTTGTTCCTCGGTTGCCCTCTTTGTCTACCTCGACTGCTGCTCGCCTCTCCTTCACGACCCGCACACCATCATTATTATTATCTACTCAACACAGCACAGCCCATATACCCAGCACTGGCATGCACCCAGTCTTGGACGTCTTTCTCCAGCCAGAACCAGTAACTACTATATTCAGTCTCACAATGTACTCCTGCGCAAATTATCCACGCGGCTGCCGTGGCCGCTGCAACATCCCCGGTGGGAAGTGCAGTGACTGCACTGTAAGTCTGTCGATTATTCAGAAAAACACCCAGAGCGAAAATGCTGACAAAACCTGCCAGGTGCTGAATCTCCGACGACCATACACCTCCGTCTCTCCCTTTGCGCAGAACCGCGACTTCCGCCGCCCAATGCGCTCCGTCTTTGCGCCTCAGGAGGCCCCCGATAAGACCAACGAGGTCTAGCTACGAAACCCCAATTCACGAATTCGCATTTCTATACCTGCATCCACCACCTGTGGCGATGGTCCACGAATAAAAGCATGAATGGGAGGCTATTTGATTGGCATTTATGGTATCAGCGCGGCGTTCCACTACGATTACTACACCATTACTACTATACTACGACTTTATACTGAGCCGAGAGAAGCCGGCTTCCTTGGAGTCTTGTCAGGAGATCACTCTCCTTTGCAACTGGAATCCTGGACTTTCCATTCATTCATTCACTCATTCATCTTCACCTTCACCATTGACCTATATTGATTCTGCAAAATCACGGCTGGTCCACCTCACAAACGACCGAACAGAACAGGATTATCATATGATATGGTGATTCTTTGGATTGTGCCGAGTGTGAGAGAGTACGTATTCGCAGCGTATCTTGACGCTCCGCTGTGCGGACGAACAAGGAGCTCGGAAATGAGCGGATCTCTCTTTGTTATGTTTCGTCATCTATTTTCTTGAAATTCTGATTTTCAATGTTGATTCTTATTTATTGCTATGCATGAAACACCCACTCGCTTTAATATACCCCTGCTTACTTTACTCCATGTATCCTGCGTTTTACTTCTAAATTGTATTGTATTCACTACCAAAAACTTTTTGTCTGCAAAATCCTGCCATTTCGCTACATGTTTGACAAAGTAGCTCGTCCGTGAACCGAGATCCGAGTCCCGGGCACGGACATACCATTGATTACTATTATTAAGAATTTATTTCAAATGATAAAATAGCCATGTAACGTCTACGGTGATGATTAGACCAAGTGGAGCAACGGAACAGCCTCGGGGATGTCAGGCAGCACTGTTTACGATTGACGCCGTATTAAATAATTGTTGTTATTATTGTTATTATTACAAAATTAACCGAATATAAGACTTTGTCCAAATCTTATACATATTACACGTCTCAGCACCTTGACAGGAATGTTTCTCGCATACAAATTGTTACCCAATATGAACATCAATTGGCTGAATTATTATTCGCAATGTCCAACCCTAAAACGCCATTACGCGGCCGGAAATAATAACGGTGTTTCCAGCAAACCTAATCCGATCCCAGTCCATCCCTTTAATATCATCCTCGTTGGAATGTGTTATTTTGTTTCGTTTCAGGGTGTAGCTCTAAATGTGTAAAGATAATAATAATCTCTGCCTTATTACTGCCTGGAATTGAGTACAAACTCCAGCCAATCACAGCGATACCCTGTTCTGCGGTTGGCGATCGATCCGATCGATCTTGGTACGGCCGTTTTTTTGCTTTTTTTTTCCTTTTTTTCTTTCGCCTTGCCTTCCGATGTGGAGACAATGATATCTTAATTGATAACACTACATGTATATGTAGTACATCCCGAGCCTGTACACATCACCTGATGATGACTATGATTAATATTATTTTTGCTTCAACCGTCGGATAGGCTACGTACAAAATTTCTTCAATTTCAGTCAAGAATGAAAGAGTAAGCAGCAGTGGAGTAGAAAGGTATCCAGTCCACTTTCCGTGTTCCGTAATTTAACGGCCGACTCCGCTTCGTGTTCGTTTTTTTCCCTAATCAATAACCTTTACATAACCCGAAGAGAGACAGTTAAAGGGGCTGTTACCGATCATTTGCTCGGGCACTAAGTTGATAGCGCTAAAAATTTGTCTTTTATTGTTCCTGATTCAGGAATATTAATGCAGGGCCAGTTTGGCGCTCTAGAAGTGGTCTAGACTCGTTAAATGAAACCGAAATGATGGCTCGGCGGTACTTAGTACTTTAACTTGCATGATTGTTATCGTAGTGGGGGCGTGCCACTCGTTTGGAGCTGGAGTGACATATTACATGTAATATTAAACCGATTGACTAGGGTAGTGGTGGTGGACCGGTCGTTTCATGAGATGATCGATGGGCTTGCGGTCAGATGCTGACGCTGACAGCAGGGTTCATGGACTAGGCGGGCTAGGTCTAGGTCATTAACACGGCACAGCTCCAGATGCCATTTGATATATGTATATTGATATCAACGTTGAAACACGGGTATATAATTGCAAGTAACATGAATCTATGCTGGTTTAGTTGATAAATGGTTTTCCAACGACGTGCTGCTGTTTCGAATCATGAAGACTAGTATGTCGTTTATCCCAGACATCCGGTCCCAAAATCTGTTCACACACCCATCGAGCTGTCCGCGTATGCAGACTCCAATACCGCTCGTCTTCTTCGCTGCTAATATTGGCCGCGTGGCCGGCGGCCTGTCTTTCTAATGACCCCAATGCGTCAAATATGACTAACTGGTCTCGCATGTGCACGTCCACGTAAGACTGATGCTTCGCAGAGCTGTCGCTGCTTCCATGCAGTTCCTCCATGAGACTGTTCACACAGCTATCTGCCAACTCGTCCAATGTCGATATTATGCTATTCCCATCCCGATCGCCTCTGTGCCTCCCGGCGCCCCCATGCTTCCCTGAACCGCGTTTGCTACCGCGGTCCTTGAAGCCGTCAAAGAGAGCGTCGGCTCCGATGGTGAAACCACTTGACATGTGCGCAACCAGCAATATGTAAAGGTGCGTGTGATGGAGAGTGCCTTCAGAAGTTCGTACCTCGATGGGCATAATCTCGTCATCTTCTGCGTCGTTTGAAGTCGACCGTTGCGTGATGATATCGCTTGGAAGCCGCTCCATTGCCCGACGTAGACGTCTTTCGGTCTGTTCTTCGAGATATTCCCGAATACTTATCTTCGGAAACGCGTCATCAAGTTCATTGCCGGCTTTGCGCCTATCTTTGCGGTTCCCTTGAGCCTGCTTGTCTCGAAGATCCTTATCTGGAGCTAGAATCGTGATGTCGATTTTCGTGACAGGCCCTCTTCGATACTGACTCAGATTCAATGCTGGAAACCCACCAATACTTTCATCCTGCATGTCTGTTGGGGAATTTGACCCCAGAGGATGGATTTGGAACGTCACCGCACCCAAATCTACAGGGCCCGTGGACCATCCGCGCTTGCGCAGTTTTATGGACAGCTCTGGCAATCCGATTTTTCGTAGATTAGGCACGAGCACTTGCTCTATATAATCGAATGACGGGGCACACGTCACATTTGTTCCACCGGTGACGTTCAATTCTATAGCAGCATCTAGGTTGTTGGATAGGCTGCCGGCGTAGACTAGATAAGGATATAGGGCTTGAAATATCAGGAATATGGAGCCTGCGGTGGACTGATTGATTGTATATCTCGACTTGATTTTGGGAAGCTCTCCATTTGCCAAGGTAAGATTCAATAATGGCTGGGTTTGGTTTTCTTCCTCGTCGTCCTGTGGCTGCCCTCGAGGATAGAATGTTAGGGTCTGAGACCCAATTTCCCCACCAACAATCTCGCCTTGACAGATCTCCACCAGGAACTTGATGGCTGCTGCATGGGAGCCTTTCAGCCCCGTCTTTCCATGCCGATTCCCGCGAATGTGTGAAATGGTGATGGACTTGCCGGTGAGCGCGGAGAGGGCAATGGCGTTCCGGACCAGCTGCCCGCCGCCCTCGAGTGTTCTACCGTCGAGATGGATCATTTATATCAATTAATGTGTCTATATATTGATCTAGGTTCAATGTGGTGAACAGACGGGAAGTAAATGCGCTTGTGTTCAGGATGCTAAGATTCCGCCTCCAAGAAAAGGAAGCTGGGCTTTAAGTAAGTCATACATTTTACCAGCAGGATACATGGCAATAAGGCCCAGTTGATGATTCTAAGCATGCACTGCCTGAGTATGACTCAGTGTGAGTACGGATTAGTGCCTTGGTGCCTTCCGGAGGCTGACTGCGGGTGGAGTTTTTTTTGGAAAGCTACTATTGGCCAGTCTTGATAATACTCCGCGGGCCAATCCGGGGCTGGCAATTAGGCAGTCCCTGGGCTTCTGCCGCGACGTCACCATTCGATCGTTTCCTCTACGACACGAGGTTGAATACAGACGGCGGGCATTTCATCGCCGCATATCGTTCCAGTGCGATAGTAGACGCAGATTGTCATCAATATGCCGTGCCCTATTACCATTACCAAATTTATCGGCACCGTTTCCCTGGGGCTGCTCACCGTAAGTAGCTTCTCAACCCACCTCGTTGAAGCTTCTTGACGATAGTCCTTGCTTGTGCTGAAGCTAATACGCGATGTAGGGCGTGTCTTACTCGACTGCATTCATCACTATCCCAGCCTTGAAAGCGCTCCCCACTGCGTCGCATGCTACACGACCCTTGAAAGACGTCAAACGCCTATCTCGAAAACATGCCATTCGCTTGTCGAATCTAGCAACTTCTTGTCTCTTCTTCGCCTGGCTCGTCGTGCCCAAGCGCAAGAAGCATCCTTATTTACTCTGGGTATGCTTGACTTCGACTGTCAGCACTTTGGGTGTTGATTTCTGGTTCAACCGGTCTCTCGGTCTAGGCGGCTGGGCCCGCAGTGTTGTTGAAGACATTGATTTCCCATACTTGAGTGTGCGGAAGCAGTCGCCTTCGTCTTCGCCATCGAAGAAAGACGAAGATCTAGTCGTGGTGGAGACTGACTCTGATTTCAATGGCGAGAGCGTCGAGCGAGATATGGACCGAGAACGCCGCCTGCAGTCGACTCGCTTCTGGTTCTCTGGCGCCGCGCTCTCCATGGCGATAGTCGGCCTGTGGGGTGACGGGGCTTAAGTCTTCGGGCTTCTAGTTGGAATAAATAATGACCATGACGATAAGAGCTGATTGATTATGTCTGGCGCTTTCGAAAACCGGTTTCTCGCAAGATGGCTAGGCGAAGGCTTGTTTGGGCTCCTTCTTGTTTCTTTATACTATCCGCAACCTCCACTTCATCTGTACAATCACCTGTCTTTAATCTCCTCGCCTATATGGTGTTTGATAATACGTTTTGTGCTGGGTATATAGTAATGGCGCAATGAATTATTCTCCCACTGTCTCTCCAGCAAGGTCATGGAAGGCGCGCTTGGTCGGCTGGGCAGCTGCTCGCAGGGCTCCTTCCGGGCATAACCGCCACAGCTCCCCCTAGAATTTCAGCTTGATTCACTCCTGATTCCATTCAGTGGCTGTCTTGCTTCTTACCCATATTGCATCGTGTTCGATTTCATTTCATCCACTGGTAGCATGTACTATGTATGATTGCTTTACCTCATAAGCACCCACCTTCATTATGCCTTCTGAATCTGGGAGTCGAATGAGACGCAGCAAGTCCACCCCATCAGTCCGGAAGCGTCGTTCAACTGTCTCTACGCCAGAGGCTCTGGATCCTCAAATCGCTCGCCATCATGCCACCACTGCTGCGTCACTCGCCATGGCTCAGGCAAAGGGTAGGACCGCTCATGCATCATACGAGGAGAGAAAGCCTTATAGGGGAGATATCGCCTCGATGACTGTGGCGACCACCGTGCCAACTGCTAGTAGAACCCCTCGCCATAGTCCTAGCATCCGTTTTGTCAGGGAAGGAGGGAATAAGAACTATACTGACACCGCTGTATCTCCTACTCTTCCATCAATCGAACATGAGACTGATGGCATCTTTGAGCAATGCTTGCCAGATGATGACTACGCAATTCGCGAGTTTCAGGGCTTTGGAAATGAGGAACTTTTTGCTCCATCATCCTATCGCCGACTTCGCAAGGCCCGGTCCATGTTCTCGACGAGATCGATGAGAAGCCCTCGCGGCGGAGCTGTTCCTTCGAATGAGATGTCAAATATAGAACCTTCCTTACTGAAAAGGAACTCCGAAATTGCAGTCGATAAGCCCAAATCTCTTCGTCACTCGTTGTCATTTTTCAATGGGGCCTCAAGTACGATCCGGCGAGCGAAAAGTCATTATGCCATGTCCAATCGTGTGCAGTTGTCTGAGGAGTCTGTGAAAGAAGCTATGCCTCGAAAGCATCCATTATTACCATCAAAGGAAAACCGTTTATCGCAAAAATCCCTGAGGCCCACAGTTAGGGCGATGCGAGAGATGAGTCCCGATGATGATGCAGTTCCTGTCAGCGACAGTAATGGCGTCCACAAGAAAGCTCGAGCTTTCTCAATTAATATCAAAAAAAGGTTGAAAAGGGTCTTTGGAATACCAGGCTCTTCTGATGATCAGCTATCAGAAGACCGTTCATTTGGATCGCCCTACAGTGAAAGTATTGCTTTTGATAGGTGAGCAGTGACATTGCTGGGTTATTTTCTTTACCTACGCTCATTTTGAATGACTACAGTCTTTCCACTTTTGACGGAGCATCACCACCAACGCTTCGTTCCAGACAAAGTCTTGAAAGTATCGACACGTCAGCCTCTCGAGTCACTAGTTGGACGAATTCGACTGCAGGAAATACCGTGAAGACTAGACATGCGCCGAGTCGCAACCACCTTTCAACCATCGAAGAAGGTGTGGATGCTATGAGTGGCCAACAGTTTGAAATGCCTGAATTTCGTAGATCGGAACGTGTTGCATACCCACAGAGCAAGCAGATCGACTCGCAACGAATTTACTCCGCTTTAATGAAACACATCGGTGAATCATCATCCAAAAATGGGGAGACGGTATTATCGGCTGGTGCCGTGAGAGGTTATCCTACCATCACAGAACGTTCATCCTCTGTTCAACCTTCACGAGAGGGCCGTGGCATTCGGCCAATGGCAAGTGACATGTCAATGAAAAATGCTCAAACATCTCTTCAGATTGATTCTCGTCCGGAAAGCTCGCAAAGTCATATATCTGGGTATTCTCACTACCTGGACGCCAACAGATTCATTGCAAAGGGTAAATCAGTATCAAGGAACCCTTCAAAGGCCCCTCTCAAAGAACCGGACTCACTCTTTTTCCCTTCGACTGCATCACACAAACCTAAAACACCAAGTCCATATAGGATGGCAATGAATTCAATACGCGAAAATGATTACTCTGATGATGACGCTACTAGCGTGATTATAAGACAAACTACAAGGTGTGTCTCGACTTCCCCAAGTGTTTATTCAAGAACTCCAAGTGGCCAAGCTATAAATCACGAGGATCTTTGTCATGAATACGAAACCCCTGGGCAGTCAGGTATAGCAACCATTTTTGACAGCCAGGTTCCGTACAGATCTCCCAAGAAACACGGGTCTTCTGGGATGGGTATTCGCTCGAAAAACAGTGCAGAGTGGAAGAACTGGATGGACACTCAAATGAACAATATCACCGTTTTTGATGCTCCTAAACTGATCTGTCAGCCAGTGCCAAGAGACCATCATCGAGAGGATGCCGAGTGTGACGAAGAACCAATCCTAATCAGTCCTCCAACTCGTGATCGACTTATAGAATATAACGAAATGACCCAACCAAGAACTTCTCTCAGCGAGCTTCGGAAATTGTACACGTTGCGAGATCTTCGCCCAACAGCGTCTACAACAGAAACGAAGCCTTTGGAACAGAGTAATTTCTCCCGCCCACTCAGCAGACAGTCAGTGGCATCCCTCAGAACGACAGGTCGATCTGCTGTGAATAGTTGTGCAAAGGATCTTTGCGCAGTCTCTGAAAATAACAACATCCCTCATCAGCAAGATATTCGAGATCCACCCGGAGAAACCTTTCGTACTGTAAGATCAAAAAGACTCGTTGATATTGCAAACTCCTCGAATCGCAGTTTGGCTATTAGGACAGCACGCGAAGCTAGGATCAACCGTAGTCCCGACGAACGATGCACAATGCGACAGGTCGATGACCAGAAAGGTGCGAAAACAGTACAATTTCGGTCGGTTAGAGAGGGCCCAGACGACACATTAGGCAACAAAGAAAATGAGAGATCACCGAGTGTCAACAGAAAAGGCAAATCTGTGGTGAGACTTTCTGATCTGACGGGGCTACACTCAACTATAGATAGCAAGCGCATGGTGGATTTGTTTTTAGACAGCCGTCGTGGCCGGGAGAACAACGCTGAAAGAGATACCCCTTCCCCAGCCTTCATATGAGAATTGAGACCCGTTAGGTATTTTATTGCGGTTTATTCTCGTTCACTTGTCGTTTTTATATTCTCTCTATGGTGTACGACATACAAGCATACATCTCTACTATAACAGTACTTGGACCAATGACTAGGTGCTGTAACTATTAATCAAATCACTTGATATTCATACATTCGTTCAAGCCGTTTATCATAAACTGCCATATTCACTGCACAGTTCCTATTTCACTGTACTGAGTTGGATTTTCGGTTCATTCTTAATATTCCAAGCTTGGCTTTGAAGCGACACGTATCGTATTATCGAGAATGAACCATTTTGAATAGGAAAGTATATAATCGTTTAATGTTTTTAATAAATAGTATGCCGAGGAATCGGCCTAATAATGACTATTCCCGATCCAGTGAGAATTTGCAGTATTTCGTGATTTCCAAGTCCTCCATCGATATGCAGATATGTGTGTGTATTATACGTAAAATGTTTCGAGCGTTTGGTTGGTTTTACTGACAATAATTTGCCGGGAAACTGCCTTTAATACCATGGAGCTCACCTTCCCACCAGTCGTCCGTGCTATCTGTTTTCTTGATAACACGGATACGATCTCCCTCTCGGAAGACTAGGTCGCCCTGTCCTTGGCCCCCGAAATCGTATAGTGCCGTCACGTATACTGCACGAGTTGCCGAAGGTGCACGCGGTGGAGGGGGTGGAGGCGGTTTCTTTTTCGCAATTGACCCAAGACAACCGCCCGGTGTTGTCACGTTTGATGATGACGATGGCTGTCTTTCGCGGCTGAAGTAGTCACCTCGAGGACCTGCTGGTGCGTTTCCACCAGCAATAGAAGAAGTCTGAGGAATGGAGGAGGAGTAGTCTGGGGAAGGCGGGCTGAGATGAGTTGGGTTTGGCGATGGGGAAGTCGACAGGTAGTCCCCCATTCGCGGTTTGGTATCCAGGTTTGGTGCTGGTGGAGGAATACCTCGATTCGGTGACGTTGCTGATGATGATGCCGAGAGCTGTCGATTGTTGCTTGGACGTCGTGCGCCAATCCCATTGCTATGACTCCCACTGCGACGGTCGTCGCTGGTGCGTATTGCTTTCCCATTGGCAATGCATGCGAAGCCTTCGGCTTCCTGTTGAACGGGCAGGAATTGACCTTTCCAGTCTTGAATTACCTGCTCCATGGCCGGTGGAGGAGACGGAAATTGTTCTTCCTCCGAGTAGGTGTGAAGGACTGTGTAGTAATTAGCTAGGAGGGTATACTGGATGTTGATCTGCGAATCAAGAATATGTGGTAGGAGGGAAAACACGGCGGCGATCAGCGGTGGCAGGCGCTGTCGCAGATTCTCATCGGCGGCGTTATACTCCTGAACCCATCGCAAATAGTGGTTAGTCCGGAGCAAAGGTGGTGTCCTCATGGGTTGGAACGAAAGCATACCTCTTTTGCCCGCGACAAGTCTATCTCAGCTTTGGCCAAAGCAGCATTGTCACGGTCTGAACGTTTGGCCTTCTTTAGAGAATTGTCGACTCGGTTTTGGTAGTGTTCGAAATCCAACTGAGTATGTACGTCAACAATTACATTCTCTTAACCTTGTGAACGAACAAAGGCTACTAACTTTCTTGTCTTCTCGTTTCTTTATTGTTTTCTTCAAAGGTGCGATTAGCTCCTTCGCCCGCTGAGCTGGCTGGATCATTCGACTATCAACGGCATTGACCTCTTCCAACAAGTCCGTCCGAAGCGACTCGTACTCTTCATTAAGGCGGTTGGTCCTCGCCAGGATGGCTGGTGGTGTTGCGACACTTGGTCGAGTATTGGATGTATCCGACGATCCGACAATCGGTGCATATAAAACTTCAAACTCATTGACCAGTCTGCCTTGGTACGTCAATATCGATACCCATGCGTCACGCCACGCTTTCGTTGACTCGATGATCTACGCAGGAGCACATTAGCAACCATCATTCTCCCAGCTGAGCTTCACAAGGCTGAGGAGGGCAGGTCGTCGCTACCTTGGCCAAGAGCTTATCCGCCTCGTCAAAATCCTTCAGCAAGACCGAGACTTGGCTGTCGTCCGCTGATCTTTTCATGAACTTGCCAAACTGCCTGTGCACAGACTGCATGGTGGGCGAGTTGGAGCTTCGAGCACTCGATTTTATTGTGATGGAAAATAGGTGGTTTCCCCTGCTCCTCCTCTGTTAGTCTTTTGTAGTAGGGGCGAGAACTGCAGACAAGACTGAAATCGGACCGATCATGAGGGTAATGTCAGTTCACAAAAAGCAAGCGAAGGGTTACGCAGGAGGCATCGCGGCGGGGGGGCGAGGCGGCGACAGGTGCGGGCGCAGAACGGGTTGAGCGACGAGGGAGAATGCGAGGTGCAGAATACAAATAATCACAATTAAAAAGAATAAATAAAATATAATTTTTAATAAAGTGTGCCAGAAAATACAAGAAATAGCAAGTTGTCAGATCAGGAGCAATGGGAGACGAAGGAACGGAGCTGTTCTTATGCCATTCCAACTGGTGTCAGTTACTGGACTGGCCAGAACCATCAAATCAACATACCGGATCTGCTTTTCTGCGTCGGGGCTGTGAACCAGCATATGACGAGGTCCTGGACCCACGCGTGTTTCAGCCTTCCGCTTCCATTAATATTCATATTAAGTGGGTTTCACCAAATGCCCAGTTACACGAATATATGAGTACACAGTATTAACGTAGAGGAGAGGCATATGTGATGTTAGTAATCATACAGTAATAGACGTACGGAGCTAAGCCGTTCCGGGCCTGCTTGTTCCCCGCAACACCGCTTCACAGCTTCACAGCTTCACGCTTTCGCCTTCCAGGCTTCAAGGCCGTCACCACTCCAGCTAGCAATCCACGTCCAGGATAATGAAGCTCTCGGCGAGCTGACATGTCTCGGCCACCGTTGTCGCTTCCCCGCGGAACTACTAGCAGTGTGCCTGCGAGCCAGAACACGGCCCCCGTCATTAAATTCCGCTGCCTGTACACCCACGACGTCAGGCGGAAGGCAAAGCGCTGGCAGGATGGCTATCTCAAATTTCACACCTTCAATAAACGTGCCATGGTGTACGACGACGCGGGCAATTTCATAGGCGACCACCATTGGCGAGACAGCAACGAGATCCAGGACGGCGATGAATTGGAGCTGGATAAGGGTGTTCTGATACAGGTTAGCGAATGCATGGAAAGAACGCAGGCCGATATTTCTGCGTTGTTCGAGAAGCGCAAAGCCAGCCAGGAATCTCCACAACAGAGCACCCCATTGGCACCCCCATCAACACTCCCTCTGTCTTCTCGAACTGCGGTACCTGCGCGGACCGGGCCACCCAGATCCCTCAATGACCTCCTGGGAATCAAACGGCCGTCTACTGGCCGTGTAGCTGCCATCCAGTCACCGTATGAACAACGTCATCCAACAAAAACAAACCATAAACCCCAAGAGCAAGAAGAACGCCCTCGCCCAGCCAAGCGATCGAAACAATCGCCTCCAGTTGTTTCAGAAGAAAAGGGTTCTCAGCGGCAAATCCGAGGCTTCCCTGAAATAATCGAACTAGGAAATTCTACTTCACAGACACACTTAACCGGGACCATATTGACGGAACCTGTGGTGTCCAGTGAACCGCGACAGCCAGACAAACGACATAACAGCTCCCATGTTTCTGCAAATGCAACCTCTAGGCCACGCTCCAATGATCATGTTGCTAAAGCACAAAAACAAGTCAATAGTCCTGTGCCAGCACGAGACTTGGCACGGAACCAGTCAAAGTCGATACTAGGAGAAGCTCCTTTACGCACTCCTTTATCCTTGGAGAAAACAGAAGTGCAAGTTGCCAAGAGCAGACTCGAAACAAATAAACCTCAAACCCGTCTAAACCCACTACGCATGAGCATTGAAAAGCCCCGTCCGAAACTCATGTATAAGGCTCATACCTCGAAGGCTTCAAACAATAGGACTGTCGAATCAGCACAGGCGGGCTCCAAGTCAGTACACATCTCTCGAAAGTGAATTGGCATACATTGACGAAAATACCACAGTCCATTCGTTTCTGGGACATTACTACCAGGGTCACACACTGATTGTGATATCTCAGCTTCGACTCTTGCAGTCCTCGAGGAGATTAATGAGGAGGAGTCGTTCGGCAATACCAGGGAAGAGAATGCCTTAATGCCAGATAGCATCCTGTCCAAGAAAGAAACTTCTCAATCAACACGAACAAGGGCACTCTACCGAGTTCCTTCTCATACAGCAATTCACGGTTCTGCCGCATCTTCTGCTGGTATAGAACTAAAAGATGATCTCAACCCACCAACCTCGTTGCAGATACATATTCAACAACGGGATTCTGGTCCCACTCATACAAAACATAATATAACAAGAAGTCACTCTGATTTATCTTCTATGCTTCTTGAATCTCATCCGATGGTCTCAGATCCCATGGTAGGAATATCTGAACCATCAGTGGCGGAAAAGCAAGGCTTTGCTCGCAGGAGGAAAGAACCCAAAGCATTCCGTAAATCCTACTCTGACACGACGGCGCTGTGGAACGAACTTAATCATAATCATGGGCCATCGCTTCCAGTAGCCACAGAACGACCTCCTATAAGCGAGTCAAATCATGAAGATTCCGAAAAGGGACCCTGGACTGCGGAAGCATTAGACTTCTTTGACTGGTGGCCACCGGGGCGGCAGAAGCCTTGAAAATTGATGGTGACCTAACCACAGCATCAACGATAACGATTTATGATGTACTCTATACGAAGGCTTTGCCACTGGATTTATAGGTATATAGATATTCACTTGTAGAAATAAATGGAATTGAACATGCCTTATAACACCAAACTATCACGTAATAGAAGGTACGCCAAATCAAGGACATATACAAAACAAACAGCATTGAAGCTCGTATGAATAACCTATATCCATGCATACATCTACAGTCTCTTCGTCAGAGTTCCGGCTATATAAGGCATAGCTGACCATAAAAACCTCTGTTCCAGCTCAACCTTTCCCCACCCTCCATCCTGATCTGCCGCCTTACATAAATAAGACATAGTGTCCCTATCAAGCCGGCAATCCCCCACAAAGTAGCTCCATCCCAGGAGGGTAAACAGAAGCTGCGAAACCCTCGCAATAGCACTCGCACCTTTCTGCCACGGAAATGGATTAACAACATGCTCAACAACAATTATCTGTCCCCCCGAACGCAAAAGAGAATATAAATCAGCAATTGTCCGTTCCGGATTGGGCACGGAGCAGAGAACTCGAATACAGACAATCGTGTCGAAAATCTGACCGGGTTCACCTCCTGCATTGTCAGTCTGGACGCCCTGTTTCTGCAGAGCACTAAGCAATTCCGCTTTCTCGGCGCTAGCCGGCACGATGTGGTATTTCCCATCGAGACCATTAATTGTGGCTCGTCGACGCAATTCAGCGTGCAGGCCGACGCATGGCTCAGCACCGTAAATCGCAGAGATGTTGTTATTAGGCGATGGCTGAGCAGCAAAATACGGCATTTGTGAGCCCGTTCCCGGCCCCATGTCTAGGACAACACCCCGCGCTTTGGCGAGCAATGGTGGGATCAAGGCGGCTGAGCCGGTCAGCGTGCTTATATCTGGGACTGCCTGCGTGTCATCCTCGTTGGGAGGCACGGAGAACTCGACCCAAAATCGACTGAAGGCCTCATCGCGAATCTCCTTGGAGCGGAGAAGAGGCGCAAGTGGTTGTCTGCGGTAGAAGATTGTCTCATATACCACGATGGCATAGTCTTTTGGTAAATCAACACGGTTAGTCTTATATCTTGGATGTTACATGTATGGGTTCAACTTAGAGTGGGTTGGAGTGTTTACGTTTGAGTGCCCAAGGAAGTAGAATGCCAGGCTGGATAAGACCTAGGATACGGTCCTGGAACGTCGGCGGAGCATCTGGCTCAGTCATCTCGTCGAGTATGGCCAGAGGGTTTGCTTCCAATACTAAGCGATTGATAGTGCCGGGATAGAGGGGCGGCGGACAAGTAATTTAGTGTGTTTGTCAGTCCTTCAGAGCAGTTGGGAAAATTTTTTTTGAAGGTCAATCACATGTATGCTTGGACAGTAAGCATTTCAAAAGGTGCAAAGAAAACTAAGAAAGATATTTGGTACAAGTATGGTTATATACACACCCACTTGTCGGGACCAGGCCACATTTCATTGGTTTAAAAAATACTGTAATAAGACTGTATGAACGGTATCACAATAACGGGTAAAATACCAGTGTACCTGTATTTTGACTATTTTTGCCCATCTCCCTCTAATCATCAATCGGCTTGGATTTACTTCACTTCGCTGAAAAATATGAAGTAATATTCCATTGAAACTATATATTTGAATCATCGACGTCGGGTTTTCATTTGCTAGTAACAACAATTGAGGGCGATGGGTTAGCGACTTGACGCAATGTGTGATTTAGCAGATAGTGCGTCACAAATCTGTTTGAAATTGGATATGACGTTTCTAAACAAATTTCATTCAATATCGCTGGCGGTTCAGGGGTCGAGATCTTATTAAGTTCTAATAGGCAATCTATGGAAGTTATGGGTCAGCAACATGCAACAGACTGTCTATGTAGCTCTATGTCTTCTACAAAAAAGTGCCAAGTATAAAGACCGCACGACCTCTATGCCGTTGGATAGATCGCCCTGTTGGCCATATCTCTCAACGGGCGATGAGAGCGGCCTCGCATCCGGTTAGACCCTGCGAAGGATTTCATACGTTTGATTAGGCCCAGAGTATGGAGACAGTGCAGCGGGCGCCAAGCCTGGGAAAGAGGGACATGGATAGGAGAGAGGAGACCTAGAGTGTCATGGTGCCCACTAAAACGAAAACTTCATAGCCTAGAGGTTGGGTAGGGCTGCTAAACCTGATTAAATGATAATACCCATCGTCTAGTCATTTCTTCTTGAATTACTGTTCTAGTTTCTTCTTTTCGACATTGATATTTCGCTATGTGGAGGAGGTTTTAAGCTCCTTGTTTTCAGCACGATTGAGCTAATGACTCTCATTTATTGGAGTCTGTCACGTTGGTCATGAATTTTACTCTTGGCCTTTAGCGCGTCCTGTGCCTTGCGATTTTTCAACGTATGCGAATTATCAGACATCTCATTGGTTGCCTTTCTTGTTACCAATAAGGGCTTCAGGAATAGACCCTGTAATTCGGCAAATTGCTCCGTAAAAGTATCAAGAATATGTTATAATGATTATTGGAAAATATCATACAACTTTCTTCAAAGAATATTGCTGGAGAGTGTGTTGTCTGGGAAAAGAAGATTTGAAAGGCTGGGAAGGTGCAATCAGCTATATAAACCACCTAAGCGATAATATACGTGACAGTTCCATCATAAATATGTAATATTGCAGAAATGATTCACCTAGTGGTATTGGTACACCCCTGCTGGGCTGGAACTCCGTTTAACCGGTCCTTAAGCCAGTTCAATGCGTCTGATGCACCCGTAAACATCAACGATAGATGATCTAAACCCTCTCTCCTATAATCGACTGAAGCTCCGTCATTGCAATATGATTGGATCAGTTTGTCGGTGTCTGCCACAGGGCTTATCTCATCAGTGGCAGATTTATAGACCATTAAAGGAATCTGAGGTGTATGATGTCCCGGATTGTTTGCGTCTAAGATCTTTGTAACAGTTGTGCTATTAAAGATGTTGGGATCTTTGACAAACGAAAATATGTCTTGGAATGCAAAATCAACAACAACTGCTCCTAGACACCAAGTACCTATTTGCTGAATGACACCAGTTTTGTTGGGCAGAATTTCCGATGCAATTAGTGAAGCTATATCAGGATATTCATTTCCAAGCCCTACAACACCAGTTGCAATCAAACCTGCAAATGCACCTTTGTTGATAGTGTATAAAACCGTTAAAATGTTTGGGATCGTTCCACCCAATGCTGCTCCAGCAATTTTTAACTCAGGTGCGTAAGTAAGCTGGAGCTCTGCAGCAAATTCTGTAGACATGCTTCCCCCTGAGTAGCCCCACATCGTGATCGTCGGGTCTGCCGCAAGCTGTGTGAAGTCGGACGATGCTAGGGTCGCACGTATTCCATCTAAGACTGCATATCCCGCTAAAATATTTGCAAGAAATGCTGATTTAGGGCCCAAAAAATCAGGAACCGTCACATACCAACCATAGTTCAGGGCACTTTGGATAAGCGTTAACTCCAGTTCCGTAACAATAGTGCCAAAGACACCTCCTGTCTGAGAGCCTTGCTGAAATACATATGATGGACAGCAGCTTGGATTAGCAGCATCCTCAGCCACCTGATATGAGAGTAACTTCGTGTTACTCGCATTGTATGGAACTAGAATTGTTGATACAATGGCAATCGCATTCCCAAACGTATCAGTAGAACGATAGAGGATTTGGTACGCCGCAGAGACATTAACGGGGACCGCGCCGAAAGCTGCTAGAGGGTAAGGAACCGATCTATTGCGAAGGATAGTTCCCGGGTGTTCATTTTGAAAGCCAGGCGGGGGTGTGTAGAATGGGTCGTCAGCTGGCAAGATAGGAGAACCAGAAGAGTTGGCTGCTGGTGAAGCAGTGACTCTCTGATGAAGGAACAAGTAAACACAAAGGAATAACAATTTGAGGTGAAACATTTGGCAAAATAACTAATCAAGCATTAACTAATATCAACTATGTGTCTTCAGTGATGTTGGGAACTAATCAATTCTCAGAAAGCTCATTCAAGTTTATTGATTGATATATTTCATTCAACGACAATATAGGAGATATACACTCCGAGGTATATAGCCAACACATGCTCATGATACTACCAATCCTGTATAGGCACAAGCACTAGTTTCATACTCTGCAATAGGGCTACGTTAAAGCCGAGGATTTTAAACTACTATTAGGGCATATGAAAGCTGCAGAGATCAACCGCTAATTCAAATAATATGGAAGGGTAGGGTAATATAGTTTGTTACTCGAAGGCATCACAGTTGGATGAAAACTGCAACGCCGGATCTGGTAAGATCACACGCAGGCTGATGAAATGTAAGGTTCGCACCCCAGATAATACCCACCTCGCACGAACTTCAAGAGTTGAACCTCGACTTCTAATTAACTCCCCCTGAATATTAAGAAACGCTTCCATCCTACATCATTTTTAGCGCCATTACTTGATTATTATCGGATGGTAGCCTACACTAGCCCCAGGCCGATATCGAAGTTTTCCAACGTCGCTTGTGCCGATAGGGGCGGGCTACGAGAAAGACATGAAGGAAGTAGGTCGATATTGAGGACATTTGGATATCGTAAATTAAGCTTTCGCGCTAGTCCAAAGTATTAGATTAAAAAGGGTCGAGAATCATCTACCTGTTCCGCTTTGAGGGCAGGGTGGCACGGCTAGTATTTAGGTTAGAAAAATGGCTGCATTGCGTTCTAGCGAACCTAATAAGGCTAATAGTAACGGTATGGGATGCACGGTCAAAAGCTCATATGATGTGACAAATCAAGAAGCGCACAAGTGCTATGTAACCAAACCGTTCTCCTGAGAATGCCTGCAGCAAATCCCACAGCGAGTTCGGCCATGCTTGCGACAATCGAGCCTAGTTGCAGACAAAATAATATCGCTAATTTCCTTAATACATATGGTACCTTCCGAGAAAAGAATCTAACTCCACTCACGGGAGACGTAAAGAGCGTTACCGAAATAATAAAAATCACGACGCCAGCGGGGAAATGCAAAAACATCGTTCCTATCAAATTGACATAATTGAGAATGGCAAATGTCCTGGCTGGCGACGAACATCATCCCTTATAGAGCGGGCAGCGCCTGAAAGTATCGAAATCAATGGCATTGCCCACGCCAAGTTTCCAGTTCGAGACAACCCGTGTTATGGAGGTGAATTGATCATAAAATAATGCTCATATGTGACGAACATGAGTACTTGAATGTAGAAAAATGAGACCATGGTTGCGATTCCCTTGGAGCTAATACTGGCAATTGACTATATTCCTCCATCTTTTGTAAACTTATTTTCCGATGGAATTCCTTCTCAGTTACCACCCCTGCTCTATATATCGCAGCCTACACCTCATGACTCCAGGGCCAACAGCTTTGAAAACTCACCGTCCGGTCTGCCCATTAACTCACGCGGGTGTCCCACTTCTACAATTCGACCACTATCCAGGACAGCGACCTGGTCAAAATCAAGCAGAGTGCGAATTCTATGTGCTACCATGATCACGGTGCAGTCACGGAACGATTTCCGTATGATCCTTTGGACTTTGGCGTCTGTTTCTGCGTCCAGACTACAGTCTTCTGGTTAGAGTACCACTCAATCTGAAACAATGGAATGGAGACAAAGCAGGATCAGCTATGAACATACCTACTAGTTGGCTCATCGAGTATCAAAATCTTACTCTTCTTCAGCAGAGCTCTCGCCAGACAGAATAGCTGCTTCTGGCCTTGTGATAGGATGCTATCGTTCAGTTTTGCATCGAGCACCGCTTCTTCATGAGCAATGTGGTTTGCCACAAGAACATCCCAGAGTTCGACGCTCTGCAAAGCATTGATTATGTCCGTGTTCGTCATGATATTCAGCGGGTCAGCATTTTGACGGATGGTACCTGGAAAAAGGAACGGTTCTTGGCTGAGGCAACTGATACGTTGTCGGAGGGATGATCGGGATATGAGTGATACATCCTGCCCGTCAATTAGGATCTGGCCTGATACTAGCTCGTTAAGACGGAGGAGTGATAGTGCTAGGGTGCTTTTGCCACTGAAGTGTAGTGGTTTGTTAGCGTTACTGTTTAATTCCTGCCTTCGAACTAGAAGGGGATGGAATGATGATACTCACCTTCCAGTCCTACCACACAGCCCGATTTTCTCCCCAGCACGAATGTGAAGATGAAGACCGTTCAGTACGGGCTTCGTCTCCTCCGAGCAATCATACGCGATGCTCGTACGCACAAACGCGATCTCCCCACGACTTGGCCATCCCATGAGCGGTTCATGAGTCTGAATATTCATGTTTCTATCCTCACTGGGCGTATCTTCAGCAAAATCCTTTATCCGCGCAATCGCCCCAAGCGACGTCTCAAGCAGCGTCCAATACTGAATCAGATCCGACAGTACCTGCCCTAGATCCATCATCATGACGAGGGCAATGCCCAACAGGCCTGGGTCGACATGACTGCGGAGAGCGACGGCAGCACCAACGAGGAGGACAGCCAGAGCGGCTACAATCAAGTTTAGCACCAGCTCAAGCCAGCGTTGAATGCACAGCAGGAGATAGAAGGGTTTTTGGGCCGTATTGAGCATAGAGAGCATCCTGGTCGTAGAGGCGTGGGTCCATGAGAAGGCGCGGATTGTGGTTACTCCGGCGAGGGATTCGATGAAGTGGGTGTAGAGAGGGCTCTTGAGCTCTATTCTGGGAGTGGATTAGTTTTAGTGCAATGAAGAAAACATAAAGTACGAGAGCCGCGTTAAAGCAGGCTTTGGCGCGGGTGAGACGTACTCCAGTAACCGCAGTTGGCGAGATGTGCGTAGGTAAAACCGCTGAATCAGAACCAACACCCCGATTAGAACTGGCACAGCCGCTGCTAGATAAGGCAATGAAGCTATGGCGATGGCGCCTTGAGAAAGGGCCCCAAAAAGCTCTTCAGACCGGACACGTCAGGCGAAAATTCTCTTCAGATTATTCATTGTGTACTTACGGAAACCTGTCGAGATAAAGCCGCGAGGCAAGATCATGTCGACCAGCCTCATATCTTGGCTGAAGCGGGTGACGAGGTCTCCGGTCTCGACGTTACCCAAGAAGAATAAGGGAGCACTTCGATCTGTTAGCTGAATTATCCTATCGCAACTATAGTGAGCGACTGTCAAGACTCACCTCATACAAGCACGGAGCACGATAGAATGTAGATTCTTAGACGCAGCTGGGACAATGATGACCCATGTCCAGCTGACCAGTTGCAAGATAAGTTAGCCCACGGTGTGACTGACAAAGGGTGATTAAACTTACAATACAGCGAGAGCAAGGGCGCTAGCTTCGATGACAGACAATACTCCATACAGTCCGAGCCAGTAGCCCAAGCGCGAGTTCGAGGCACCGTTACTGCTGGACGACCAAAGCTCCACCCAAATGTCTATACAAAGGTAAGCCTCATGCCACAACGACCAACATCTCAAGGTGAGGTCATGACGTACAACGGAGTCCATTAATTCCCGCATCGACGACAAGGAAAAGCAGCAGCACGGAGACTCGCAACCAGCCCAGAGCAGAGAAGTAATATTTGTAAACAGATAGATCGGATGTCTGCCGACGGCCATCGGGGGGAGAGGGGGTGCTGAGAGGACCCGTTGTGATTTTCGGTGACTCCGATCGGCCATTGTCATTGTCATCCATCCCCTCTGCCTCGTCTATCTGTTTTGCTTGAATGCCAAGCCTCTGGATGTAGCCTCCGGTGTGACTTCGAAGCTGGGGATAACTTCCCTGTTCGAGGACCTGGCCATTATCCCCCAGAACAATGATGAAGTCGGCTTGTGATAAGTAATGAGCTAAGTTTAAATCAGCGTGAGCTCAACTTGGACCATCCAAGCTGGAAGATGGGGGATGTACGCACTGCTGTGGGTGGCCAGGAACACGGTACAACCCAGTCGACGTAGCAATCCAGTCGGGCCGAAGACGTTGTTGAACACTAGCCGGGCGGTTACATTGTCCAGGCCGCTCAGGACATCGTCGAAGCAGGCGATATTTTTGCGAGAATAGACGGCTCGCGCGATAGCCTGGGACGGCAGAAGCAAAGCTATTAGGGTCCGGCCCGTTGCCATACTCCTGGAAGTATAGTGGAACTTGGGTACTCACAATCCTTTGTTTTTGCCCACCGCTTAGTTTAGCACCTTTGCTACCCACAAGCGTCTCGTCGCCAGCTGGCATCCTCATAAGATCCAGATCCAGCCCACATGCTTTCACCACGGTGGAATACCATTTAGCATCAAGTGCAGATGATGGGCTCTCACCGATAATGTTATCCCGGATTGTTCCATTAGCCAACCACGGTATCTGTTCGCAAAAGGCCAGGTCCGGATACTTGATGAATAGCTTGCCCTGCAGCACAGGTGTCTCACCAGCAAGGCCTTTCAGGAAGGTGGACTTACCGCTGCCCACTGGGCCGACAATCGTGATGAGAGTACCAGTGGGGGAGGACTGGAGGGTGAATGTAATATAGGTTCTGTCTGGTGGAGAGGCTTTCCACCCAAAGCGGACATTCTCCAGGGATAGAACTACATCTGTTTGCTTCTCGGGAAGCGGGCGGGAGGCGGGTTGTGGAATGGGAGATAGCTCGATGCCGGACAGATCGGGGAATGAAGTGGAGGGCATTGGTGCCAACTGGGGAAACTGCCTCATTTCTGTGTATCGGGTGATATTAGTTGGTTCTTGTTGCTTTACGTAGAGGTGGAATTTGAGATCTACTGCAACTGGACCGTAGCCGAAAGGCTCTGGATGGGGAAAGGGCTAGAGCACTCACCAAGGCGATTCGGTTGACTAAGAAAGTCCTGTATCCGATGCAGACAGCCTATCGACGCAAATGTGTCCGGAATTGCCAGCAAGAGACTGCAGAGCGGAGTGATCAGCAGGTTGATCAGCGACAGCGACGTGATAGCTTGTGAGACAGAGAGACCACCAGAGCCCTGCACCATGGCTACTATAGCATAGCCAGCGAATGTTGAGAGCTGCCCCACGATTGGGGGAAGATTGACTGGAATACGTGTCAGCCCATTCGTAGTCTTTCTAAACTATTCTTGGAGGGACAACGTACTCATGCAGACACGAACCGTCTGGATCCGGCGGAACTTCTTGGAGATATTGAGCTCGTCCACACGCAAGGCATCGATCATTGCTGCCATAGTCTCGGTCAATCCGAGAAGCTTGACGTTTCGAATAGATCCGAGGATAGCAGTGGTGAAGTTGATGCGCTTTTCAGTAGCCTCAAGCCATGTCTTCTGCCGAGTGGTCACGGCATTTCCCATGCCAAACGAGGTGATCGTGAAGACTAGCGCGAACCTGTCAGAATATGGATGATTGGGCAGACGGGCAAGCTTACCTATTACTACCACCACGGGCGCGATACAGACAGCACCCACCTGAGTTTCAAGAAGCCACGTGGCCAGGCCGAGCTGTATGACGTTGGCCCATGTTTCACACACTGTCGATTGGAAGTATTCGGCAAGCATCTCTATGTCAGATCCCATGAGGGACATGGCGCTGGACTCGTCTATGCTGCCTAGTGGGAGGTCCATCATGTGCTGGAAGACAAGAGCCATGAGGCCACCACGGAGCATAGTCGTAGCACGATACCCCAAATGCTGGTAACAGGCTCTGGACACCTAGAAAAAACGATGAGTGCACCATTCGCAAGCGGAGGAAAGTGAGATGAGAGCGGCCGAGATATATAGCTTACCGCAACCCCAATAAAGACAATGATGGTAGCTCCGATCAAGCCGTAGCCCTTATCCAGCGAGAACAAGTCAGTCTGCTGCAGCATAGTGACAATTCTGCCCACCAAAAACGGCTGCGCGATGCTGAAGCCCACAACACAGAGGCGCGGAAAAGCAATGCCAGCAATTTCCCACCGCAGACAGCTGACGACCGCCAGAAGCAAGGCATTCCGGCGGCTCTTATTGCAACGCGCCCAAGAGTCCGTGAATCGGGTGCATAACTCGCGGGAGGAAAGTTTTTCATGGATAGAAGGCAGCGTATCCCCGGCCAGCAGCTCGGAGTACCCTGTCCACAGCAGGCTGTTCAACCAGACGAACAGACCCCGGCTAAATGGTCCGCTTACGCTCTCACCAGATCTGCCTTTCTCGTTTGGTACCAGCCATTTTCGCTTCTCAACATTCTCCAGCCCCATGAAGAGCAGCTTGATAGCGAGGGACGTGGAAAGGCAGGCCGAATATGCTCGGCAGTCTGGTAACAGCCAGGCCGTGCGCACACGCGCAAGGCCTAGAAGCAGCGTGACGAAGAGGTAGGCAGAGACCAAGAACGATGGCCGGATGGATCGGACATGCTCCAGATCAACAAGTACTACGACGGCCAGCGCGGCTACGAGTTCGAGGACGGCACCCGTAAGCGACACGCGCACTCCAGCGGCGTGCTGCGTTGCGACAAGCGCTAGGAGGGCGGCCTGGATTGCGGCCAAGAAGGCAGCGAGGACCTGTGTGAAGGCTTTGCTCAGTATCTAAATCTGCTCCCATAGACATCGGTGGACGGGCAGGAACACGTACTAGGATCGCCACTCGTATAGTAGACGACTGTACTTTGGGAGACTGTCTGGACAGCTGGAAAATGCGGATGGGCGCCACCAGCAAGAAACAAACTGCCGGCACGATAGTCAAGATGCTTGCTTCGAAAAGGACTGTAAAGTCGAACCCCCCGCGACAACCCGTCGTGCCGACGACCGGGCCAAACCAGCCGTCGTCGCATGTATCTGTTGAAGTCATGGGAAATTGCTGGCCGCTAGCCTTATCCCCGACTTCGATGGGTCTATTATTTATTTATTATGCGCTGTGATGGTGGTGTGGAGGTCGGTTGGATGATTGATGAGTGATGTTAGGTTAAGCTTGCGACCCGCAATCTAGGTATATAATTATAGATTGGAGCTTAAGAGGAACTCCACTTGAATCCTACATAGCATATGTAACCTAACGGACTACATTACGCGCACGGTAGTAGGCCAAATAATTAATTCTTGGTACACCGCCGCGACATTAATTTACATATAGCACTAAAAGTTGGGCGAAACTGCATTAGTGTAGTCTAATCAGTAACTAGATGCGTCCGGCTGTGTTCAATAGGATACAGGCTATTATTAGGGTAGTCTTATCTATCTGTGTTGGTGCTAAGACACTAGGCGCCTTTTTAGTGCTATCATATTCTGTCCAACCATTTGCACTCCTTCTCCAACAGTCAAATAGAATCTGTCAGATCCTTGTTACTATGTTATACACCGGAGTTGCGGAACTAGCGCTGTAGTGAGCCATAATATAAAGGACTCATTTGAAGTTTGACCTAACTCGCCGTATACATACACTATCGATTTACTCCCATGACGGCTTAGCACTCCTGTTCATTTGTAGCTTTGCTATCAAGACCTTGATAGTATGTATCTGCACAGAGACTGCAAGAAGGCTATGGGAAGGTCTAATCTCATCTGGGGATAGGGTCCAGTTCGTTTGAGATCGCAACGGGACGTGCGGTCAAGCGTTGGTAAAATTCAAACAGATGATCTTGCTTTGAACTTTCCTTGGCTGGAGCCTTCGAGAGGGACTGTTGGTGAAAGCCGGTCGTCATGTATGCATCACTAGTGTTACGCTATTTCTGCGACGGAGTTCTTATTTGGCAATAGGGGATTCGTCAGCTCAATAAGGACTTGATAAAAGTCTTCTACCTCTAGTAACTATCAGAAACTAGATACAGAATGTCAAAGCGCCATCTGTCTCTCAAATAATCCATATTGAATCGAGCGTATTCCCGGCGTTGAACATGCCCCATCATCACCACTAAACACGGATAGCAGACTTGCCGTTAGAGAAGGAGTACGCTGGGGACCACATTCGGCATGAGTTTAAGCGCGCTCCTGGTACTTGGTGTAGAAGATTTGGCCAACAGCAGACTCCGGACTCGCGGCCTGAGTGGTGTCTTGTAGTAACTCTGATCAGCAACGGAAATAAGAAATTAAGATAGTGAAAAATATGAAGGGCAAGGGCATTACCTGGAACAGGAGCAGCTAGACTGAGGCTAGCAGTCAGTGCCCGGAGAGAGTATGGAGTTTGAAATGCATCTTGTCCGATGTATCAAGAGTAGGATATATTAGCTAGTACTGAAGATGAAATGATGAGTTTCGAAACCGGAAGCTTTGGTCTTTGGCTAAGAAAAAGATTCGACCCTGTGCTGTCGTTATAGGTATTCTGACCGACATACCCTAGCGTTCTGGTTTTATCATCAGGCCTCATTCCTTGCGCGGATTGTAACGAAGCAGTAGCTTGTTCCTAGTTCGAGACCGAAGCGGTAGTGGAGAGAGGGGGGAAGTGACCGCGGGTTGATATCGATGTTGCTCCGTATTCCACCAATCACTAATCTGCGAGTTCAAACACCATCGATGGGACCCAAGGCAGGATTGGGTCATGCGGAGAGATTGATGAACCCTGCTGGACACCTACGCCGCCAAACATGCAAGATACTGTGCACGACACTGACATCCAACCACACCGCCCAGTAAAGGCAAACGGTCTGAGTTGATTTGATGAGGCCAGGGTAAGCTGCTACGAGCACCTTATAGAAATTTAGAAACCAGGCTCTGCATGCAGAGTAAACCCTAAGACGCGGTAGTCTTGGCCCGGCGTGTAAGAGAGTGACGCATAGGTGAATTGTTGGATTTACTGGTTTTAATTCACAGACATCAAAGTTACATTTCGAATTTCGACATTCCTACATCATTCAAGGATTATTATTTGCCTAGAGATTGTGCCCAATAATCGAGATAACGTGATGGTGCCGTTGACTCGAATGCCGTCTACAGAGGCAAATAAAATGGGTCAAGGACAGACGCAAGAAGTCCAATCACTGACCAAACGGCCCTGAAAGCAGAAAATTACTACCACATATATCATCGATATCGCTCCCCCCCCCCCCTCTGTGCCCCTTGATTGTTGGATTGCTGTATTCTCTTCTACCCTCTCGAACTTCTTCGTTGTATCTCAACCCCTTCGCGACATCGTTTGCGACCATTAGCTTCATCATGTCCCAGCTACGAGAATAGAACAATTCAGGGCTGTCAACATAGAAGGAGGAGCAAGAAAACTCAGCCAGCGTCAGGGCATTCGAAGACGATAGCTTGATCTCGGGGGAGACGCTGCAAAGATCGCCTCATTCGCTTGTAAGGTGATGGTATGTGTCATGGCTGAAATATCTGCTTGTTGCTACAGCCTGGATTGTCTCGATATTTGCTGCCATCTATATCTCAAGGGAGAAGAGCCACCCATATGATGGCCTTGCTGAAGTTCTGGACACCGAGCTACGTAAGTCGACCACTCTGCAATGCAGCTTTTATGGTTTGTTTTTTTCCCCTCCGTCAACGCTCATCATTCTCTAGGTTCAGTACAACCTGCAATTGAAGTTCAAAAAATACGTTTCGTTGGCACTCTGGACTTTGCCGAAAACAGCACACTCATCCAGACATTTTGGGACCCCAATGCTCCGAGATATACTGGGGAACCAAGTGATGAGTCAGATGCCCGCTGGCACAGCCTGTACCAGGGTGAGTCCATCACCTAATCACTAAGGCCTGTCCTCAAACTGACCTAGGGAAGCATCTGACGGTGTTGATCTCCGTGGTGTGGAAGCTGATACAATACGAGGAAAGACCTTGGAGAAGCCTGGAGGATAGTCGATTGTCAGTTTAGAAGTTTTCCACCAACTGCATTGCCTTGTGCAACCGCATTCTTCTATCCCCTTTCGACGCTGAGGCAATACTCTGACCCATTTGTCATAGGACATGCTCCGTCAAGCGTTGCGCCCTGACTACTACACCCGGCACTATCCAGAATCTTCCTACACGACACACATACGTGAGTCAACGCAGCCACGAGAAGAGGCTCCGGCCCCAGCTAAAAATCTGCCTCAGATCACTGTCTTGATCATATCCGGCAAGCGGTGATGTGCCATGTGGATGTAACGCCGCTCCCCGTTCTCTGGGCCGAGCAAGAGGAGCGCCCTCTGAATGATTTCCAAGTGGAACACACTTATCGGAACTTTTGGAAGGTGAAGGAATGGGTGTTGGAGTGCGATGCTCACAAAAATAACTACAAATATCATCAGCCTCATTAAGCCTTCCGGTTTGGCTCTAGCATGTACAATGGTCAACTGCCTGACACACGTCCTTTTCGATATGCGAAGAATCTATTTTGATGCTTTAAAACGCCATATAATATTAGAAATTTATAAATTTTCTAGAGTAAGTAAATCAGGTATAGAGAATTCATTGGACTAATATTTGCTCATGATACCGACCTGGAAGACGTTTTTAGCAATCTCAATGATTTATAGCTGAAACAATCTTATTAGCTTACTTAAGGCCTTTAGAAGCCTTGTTCTTAATTAATTTGTTTTCTGGAAACGTAAAATCAATTAGATATTATTTAAAGTTGTAGATTAAGTTATTTTAAAGAGTTTTTTTTATCTTAAACATGTTACTTTCACTTAGCTTCTTGTTAATAGGACTTTTTAAAGTTTTAAACACTTCCCCCTTACTAAACTATTAGTAAACTTTTTTGGGGACCTAGACTCCTAAAATTTGTTATGCTGCTTATGTTGCTTACGATGCATACGTGCTTACGATGCATAAGGTGCTTACGGTGCTTACGGTGCTTACGGTGCTTACGGTGCTTATGGTGCTTATGGTGCAGAGGGTTTCGTTGTAGCTTGCTCATGTGAGGGATCAGTCATAAAGCGAATTTTATGCTAAGCATAAGGAAAGATTCTAAATTATGTGACGTTTGGAGATCTTATTTTGCGACAAACAGCGGCGATCAGACGGAGACCACCCGAAGCGCCACAACTCTGGGACTGGTGTGATAGAGTTTCTTGATCTAGTAACTTCGAGTTCTAAAAAATCAAATCCATGCGTACATAATTGATGTGCTGATATTTCCAATGATAGAAGGGCATCTTCACCCTCTTACCAAACTTCATTGCTCAATCAGGATTTCCTAACATCAATCACCACGTCAAGATGCGTCTAAATACGTTTTTGTGTAAGCTATTTGCAAAGTCTACCTAGAAGCTGGAATGATTTAACATTTCGCCTATTTCAGCTGCTATGCTCAGCATGGCCTCTTTTCAGATCATCGCTGCGCAAGACTTTTGCGAAGGCCCTGGTGGTAAGTTCTAAGCAGATACCTTCATCAAGAGGCGATACTGATGTATAAATCAGGTGAGGCTTGTCCTTCCGGTCTCCACTTTATTGGAACGGTAACACAACTTGTTATCAGAAAAAGAACACACGTTAACGCCATATAGTGCGATGCAGGGTCCCAAGCATGTACTGACCCTACCAATACTTATGTGTGCGACTGTGATCTCAACAAGCAGGTAAGTCATATAACCGAATCAACACATCTTCCATAGCCAACGAGACCAGTGTCCAAGTGATAACACCAAATGCTGCTATAACTCTGGAGTGTGCAACTGCGATTGTTGAACATGTCGCCTGAGAGGTGCGGATTGAATGAGGATGAAAATCAAAGTTATATTATAACTAGGAGGAGAATGAGTTATGTTGGTGCTGATTTGGTAATCATCGATGCCAGTCTGTTTTTTATGAATTCCGCTGTTGGTCGCTCGGTTGGATTGGTTTTCAGAACAGCAGACACAAGGTTTTTACATAGTATGACATTCTGGGTATCGGAATCAGTCTTGTTCAGATGTTTTGAAACATCATAAGCAATGTGACTGATATCTTCATTTTCTTCGAAGTAATATTTTGAAATGGCCAGTCCATTTTCACCGCCAAAGAAATGGCCCAGAAGAACATCGAAAAGAATACAACCAAATGACCAAATATCACAAGATTTTTCAATTAAGGTTTCAATCTTGTGATGGATTTCAGGAGCAACATAAGCCCCTGCTGACAACTTAGGAGGCGGCAGCAAGGATCGCCTATTCTCTGCTATCAAATTCGAAGAACTGAAATCTGCAATTTTCCAGATTCCAGCAGGATAATGGCAATTTCCATGATTGTAGTTGAATATAAGAATATTAGTCGGTGCAAGATCCATATGCCAACAAACCAATTGTTCTCCTTCTGAGGTTTGTATTCCTCTATGTAGGTAATCCAATGCATCTGCTAGGTTAAAAAGTTCACCTAGTAGAGCGTTAAAGTCAAGTTTGGTCAAATTCCCCCCTGACATGAATTGTTCGAGATGCATATCCGCCAAAGGAAATAGAAGACTGTGTTCGACTTTTGGCAAGTTTTCGTGGTTAAGAATAACACCAGCGAGATGTTTGACCACTCGCTCATGAGGTTTTCGTGCTGACTTCAAGTACCTGAGGATAGCATATTCTCTCTCAAAGTCCGGATAATAAGGGAATCGCTTACGAGCCACAGGTAAAGGATTCTTTATTATATGTTGTAAGCGTGTGATCAACTCCTAATGGAACGATTCAACTAATAAGTCATGAAAGGCCAGACTTACTTCGTTCAAGAGTATAGAGCCTCCCTGGTCCTGATGATATGCAAAGTGGCGAGATACGATAATCTCCTTATAGACTGTACTGTAGCCTCCCCATCCGATACGTTGCCTCTCTATAGGAATAAACGGTAAAGGGCTTGCTTCAGAATGGGGTACTATTTGGTCTTCTGTGATAACAGCGAGGTCCGACATTGTGATGTAGTAGTCGCCTGGAACATTTGAACCGTCAAGCGGCCCTCGAGTGGTGGAATGTAGGCTCTTATATATGTATCAATTATAGTGATAGTCGCCAGGCTGCAGGGTAACATCAAAAAAGACGCTAATACAGGGTCTGTGTGTTAATATAGTATTATAATTTATTAAATCAAAAATTATTAATAACTCTAATAGTTAGTCAAAAATCTAATCTAAATATCATTATTGTAATTATTTTAAATATTTTAAAGAAATCTACCATAAATCAACCAATAATAGATGGTTTGATAAGTACATGTATTAAGCAGAGACGTGAGAGACTCAACCTCCAATAATGGCTAGGAATTCGCTAGCGTGTAATTCGGGTTGACCGAGTACTCCTCCGCCTGACTCTGTCCAGCATCCTAGTTACTTCTCATCCCTCCTTCGGTTTTCCGTGATACTAAACTGGAAAAAATGCACGAAGAGACATCTCCACTTCTCGCCAGACAACAACCAAGATCATCAACATGGCACCTATAATTGTCAATATACCTGCTCTCCTTCTGCATCTTCTGTCTAGCAGGTTCCGCCGCCTTTCTCATCGAAAACAAACTCTGCCGCCGACATGATTGGCAAGGCTCCCTGATTGACGAATGGGGGCTGCAAGACCGACGAGATCCAGTCCAATTTATCCTATCTCAACGGCTCAATTTCTCTTGTAGAGGCCATAGTATGTACTAGAGTTTGTCTACGTCTATATACGTCTACCCAAAACCTCAGACACTGACTGGCGGTTACAGGTCTGATTGCCGCATTCCCAGAAGTTCGGGGTTCAGATCAGTCCACCAGACAATGTATTTGATGAACGACATCCACCCCCGTTACCCAATACCCATTGAAGAGCGTCGTTTTGTCCCGCACCATATCGGCCTCAGGGCCCTCGAGCAAGACAATGGACCTTGGCACAAGTAAGTATTGTTCGTGCGAGTGACGCATAAAATCAGCTTCTACCTGCTTCCACTCGATCCCACAGCGCATCCATCTCCGGTGTCGGGTTGCCAATCCACTTCTCCCTCCCGAGGCAGGCTCTATAACCAGTTTCCCGCTTTCATTATACGATAGAGCTCCACCAAAGCGGACTTCGTGCTCTCCTATCCATTTTCGAGCCGGCTCTGGAATTGATATCAGCACCGTGTTCTTGGGGCATGTCTATGTCCACCCGGGATTCTAGAAAAGCTTACCGAGATTCGTCCGCCGCCATGGCTTGCAAGCCGGTGCAGACGTCGACATAAGATGCAGAGCAAAGGCAATGGCGGCAAGGGAAGCAAATATAACAGTAGAGAGAATCCAAGGCCAGTTGTATATCGTATTGTCTCGAATGGCTCGCTGGTGTATTTGCTTGTGCTCTAGGAAGGCTTCCTCCTCTGACTCTTCGTCGGCGGACGGAAGTCGGACCCATGGTCCTATGGCGACTATATCTAACCTTGCTATTGTATGTTTTAATAGGCCTAACATTTGATGCACGTCTCCGGTGTAGCTGTCAGCGTAAAAGTTTGCCTTCTTGGGTAGGAGAGTTGATAATGAAGTTAGAATCTGGCGTTCCTCGAACGAGATGGGACTTAGCGCTGTCCCCGTTCAGGACGAGGAGATACTCTTCCTTGTTAGTGGCTCTGACACCATTTGTACTCTTTCCAGGGTCTAGAGAAAGATTGGATTAAGGGCTATAGTATCCCGGCCTGGCCAGCTACACCGTCGACCCTCTGGTATCCAGCTTATCGCAACCCGAAGCCAATCGTACGCGTGATTGGGTCTACACCTAGTGCGTTTGCAGGGATTCAATGAAAACCTTTACTAATCCCTGATGTTTGGAGGGAATGATACCTACGAATAAATAGTAATATAAGACGCAATATGAGCCCCTAGTGGCCAATACCATACCGAAATGAATAAAGAAGTAATGATTCACTTGAGCAGTATTATTGAAAGTGTATACTAAGACTACATCCTTAGGGCTTGTCAGACACGTGACGTGCCGAGCCAAAGTGAACTAAAGCTTACAGTGGTTCGCTGCCCGACACAGATTATCGCAAAATGAAGCAAATTTGTTAAATCGACTAAATTCATATAATCAATTTTAACTCAAGGACTCGCTTTAGTGGGCACTAGGGGATCTTTACGACCCGATCCCCTAATTCCCCGCGTCACCTGCCCCAGGCTGGTACCTAAACGTTCAAATGCACTAACAAATCCCTCACCCTTAGCCGCTTATCTACGCAGGACAGGGGCTATGGAGACCGGACATTTAGGCGTCGACTGCCGCCCAGAATGTCGCCCTTTCCCCCAAAGTGCCCCTGGGCCTTCTTCTTCCTCCATTGCGTCTCATCTCCATAAATCGGTCCTTGGGGCCTTAAAGTATTCAGCACTACGTATAATGACTATCCAACACCCAATAAATCATATTTCCAGTTCCCGCCAGTGCTCCTTTCCCCCTCAATGTGATGTAACTGTACAGCATGCCAAATTTAGGCTGACATATTTTCGCTTTTCTAAATATAATTTTGACTGCGCCGCAAGTTGTTAGCCTACTTGACAACGCAGTAGGGGGATTTCCAAGTCTATCTCCTCTGTGCTCCCGATCACATGGCTGCATCTGTAGGATTGCAATGGTTCCAGCTAGCCAGGACCAGTGGCCTTGCCACCTGTCTAAATTATCCAATTTCGCAATTTAGGCAACCACCCACTCAGAGTTGCTCATATCTGTACCTCCTTACTCTCTAAACAGCCAACCACCTGCAGCGGAGATAGCGATGAAACTACATTTGTGATTGTCATCATAAAATACGAATCTATGTCTATATGACTCTATGGAATCCTCAGTAGAATATAGAATCAATGCCATTATAGCGATGGCAATGGTGTGTTAAGTAATTTTTGTATCTAGGAGTAATCCTATTGAACAAGCACTATGGTTTCATGGGTCACGTAATTTGTAAATTATACCCTTTTACCACTACTGTGTTTATAAGATACATCGAACCCTGTCACTAAGTGAGCTGGCAACGGGGCTCAAATCATAGAAGCGTCAAGTCTGCGCTTAGCATCTCGGTTGCTATTAGTCCTCATGCGGGGACATCGATCAGGCAAGTATTCTATTGGCCACAACTACTGCTGCACCAAAAAGGGTGCCCACTTAGGGGGTAGGGATTCTTAGTGGTATTAATTTCTTTTTTGTAAAGTAGTGTATATTCCGGCTGGCATATTCTGCCTCGGATATAGTAAGCTGCCGTGAATTTCCAAACTGATTTGAACTACAACATTGTGTTCAGTGTTGACAATCGACATCCTTCCCTGTGTTCAAGCATATTTAGGGCCTTTAGATAGCATAGATAGCTCATTATCTTGTTTATATTGAAGTAATTACACAATAGCTTGCTGATCATTATGCTGATGCGGCGCAGTAACCCCTCTCAAGGATAAAACCTGAAATCAGAAGAGAAACCATGATTGGATGAGCTAGCCTAGTACTATTAAACTAGTCTGTTTCTCAGCAACCTATCTCACTCACTAAACAGCATTAGAAAACAGAACTACTTTTGTTGGATACATCCTTGCTACTTCTACATTAGTCACACTGTAGGTGACTAGTCTGACCAGCCTTTTTCTCTTACTTGGATGTGAGAATGCAGAGTGCGTTCACAAACTTGAGTCTTGATCTACCGCCTTTCCTTCTTATGTGCGAAACTGTTTGGTGGATAAACTGCGGTTACTTTCCAAGACAAAGAGGGTCTATAAAATTTTCAAGCTGTTGACTTGACCACGATGAGTTGAATCTGTTAGGGGAACTGCGCCGCAATATTGCCGAATAATGTACGCACGGCGATCTATAGTGAGGTGGCAACTTTTTTAGCCCGTATATATGTTCTTTAAGCTATGCCGCAGTAGCGTGAGTCTCATTGAAATAACCCAGGCGTTGCAGAGCAGTCGATTCATCCACCTTTTCTTAAATAACACTATAATGGGTTCTTTTTTGAACTCAAATACGATGGGTATTGGAGGACAGCCACATTTCTCGGAACGAAGAAAGATTCAAAACCGCCTCGCTCAACGGAAATTTCGTGCGTTAATACCTACACATGACTTTAAGGATTTATACTAATTTTGTGGTATTTTGTATAGGTGAAAAGACAAGAGCGGAAAAACAATCAGGCTCTTCTGGCACCCCAGAAAATTTCATCAATGATGATCAAAGTCAAAACAATCACCTTGATCCTTTACTCTCCGCGATGGAGTTTCAACAACAAGAGGGGAACACAGGTTTGTCGTTAGGGAATTATCTTGGGGCATCGCTTGTATTTCCCTGCAATGCATCAAGTATGCCTTCACATGATGGTACTTTTGCCATTGCTGAAACAATAAAAGATACATCCTGTCCATCCGTGCGAATCGAGGCAGCAGCGGATCCCAGCTTTCAGGTTCGTATTGCTCGAAATATCAATACAAATACTAATATCCATCTTTATTTCCCAAATTAGTTAGCAGATCTTGATGCGAGATATAAGATTTCCCATCCAACTCAAGCTGAATGTGATACGATGTTCAATCAGAACCCCGTATTCTTTGGGGATGGGAAACATGACCAGCAAAGTCTATATCAAGTTAGAACGAACATCAACGAAGAGCTTCTTAAAAGCTGTGAATGTGTATAGTGTCCTGTCATCTGATTTGTTACATAGCTAATGGTGACAATTCAGGGTCACTCTGATCGGCTGAATAAAGCCCTACAATATCAAAGAACACAGCTGTGCGACCAGGCAGAGCAACTCATCGAAAAAGCTCTGTCAGTATACGACATTGGCATATCCCTTGGAGTTTTGGTATCGAATTCACGCCTTCGGGATCTTCTAATAAAAACACTAGACGGTTTCCGTGCCCAGCGACAGCCCGAAGCACATAATCGAGATGAGCGCGCATTAGAAGATAATGAATGCATATCGTAGAGTAACCACCTAGCTACCTAGCCTTATACAAATTAGTTTCAGCCCTTTTGCTGTATTGTGCTCCTTATATTTAAACCAACTATACCTATGCATTTGAAATAGATATGATTAGTACCTGCCATAACCTATTATTTTCAAACTTCTGGAACTGTCAGAGCTTCTACCATCTAAGCAAGGAAAGAAATATGGCTCTGTGTATCCAGTCTGTTGTTTTATCAATTTATATCCATATCACTTTAAAATTCTACTCCACTACAGTCACCGGAAAAATACAAAGCAACTGCATTGATGCCTCACTGCATAGTAATTGAGTTAGTAAAGTTTGGAGGGTCCATGATATCTCGCTGGAAGTTCAGGAGTAGGATCTATAAAGGTATTCAATACGCGAAAATTTACATGAAATCTCCAAGATAAACTGATGGTCGTCAAATTTTAACTAATTAGATCCATCTCAAATATGTATGACCCACAATTCAATTTTAATGAAAATCGAGACATGGCCGCAGCCAAGGTGGATCATTCGATTTGCATCCAGCTACTGGTATTACCGCACTGAAGGCAGGGAGTCTATAGGACGAAACCTTATAGCAAGCTCGTTTGACAGCGAGGTATTCAAGTTCTGTGACAAGAATCTACTATGTACATTAGAACCAATACGGGCTCCTCGCCTGGACGACCAGGGATTGATCGAGCTTCTTTGCGGGAAATGTTTCTCAACTCAATCCCTAAGGAAATCATTCGCTAGAGTTGCCATCTGCGTTCATTCGATGCGGGCCAAGGGCTTGCCTTCGATCAAGGCACTAAAACAGCATTTGACCCAATTGTAGGTGCCGATGGTGCCCGGAGTATAGTCCGTCAATTTGTTTCAAATCAGATCCCCGAGCACTCTGGACTGGATGGCTTTAGTTGGACCTTCCCCAAAGCGAAGGAAACAGCGCCGGGTTGCCATAGCCCTACAAATCGCGGGTCAATATTTGCCGTTTCTAATAGCAAGACAATAAATCATGAGCCAGCATATTTGCGGTGGAAGTCTTGATATCTATCCTTGGATAGTGCAACCGTAGAACTGGGAGGAAAGGCTGGTTTATGGTGTCCAAGATCCCAACGGCATCAAAGAAGCAATACTGAAGGAGTACAGCACATGGCACCTCAACTACTGGGCTTCATATATTATAACGAATACATGAATGCAATGAGACCTCTAGTTTTAAGCAGTTCAGAGCCTATTAGCAAGTGATTCCAGCTATTACATTCTCATACTCTTACAATGTTATATTATGGGCATTATGACTAGTATGATATTTATTGGTAGGTTATATTATTATTATCTGTTTATGATTTTTAGTGTTGTTTTACTGGCTATTAACCGTGATCTGTTGATCAATCTATGTCTTAGTAGTGGCCTATCAATCTAAGCTAATAATAAGATTCCATATGGAGTAAAAATAGGATTTATAACTACACGTCTACTACTTACCTTGCCAGATATCCCCCCTCCCCCAAAGAAGTGTTAACAGAGTATGCTATAAATCCAGATGCCCTCCAGGAGAATATGTAGGATCATCAATAGCACTTACTACCCAATAAGCTGTTTTTGTGAGTGTAGTCAAACTCGATTTAGGTTGAAAGTTTCTTTAATTTTCAAGCTGGTGTGACAGATTTGTATAATATCATACCATTAAATACATTTTATGCGTATCGTAGATTTACAATATTGTGTTGAATTAAGGCTAGTATATCTTGCTTGCTTTGTCTAGAGTTTCTCTATTTCTTGTTCTCAGGTTTCCGTGGAAGAGGATGGATATGAAGGATAGAAAATGATCCATTCGATTTTGTGTTGGCAAATATCATAGAAAAATACATTTGAAACCTTATGATGCGAATGAAAAAACAATAACAGCAATTATCTATGGCCAATATAAGAGTAATATGCTTCTTGCATTCTCAGTCCCACCTTTTGAACATTAATTAATTGAAATATCCAAAATTGAATATGACAGGAATTTGTGCACAATCCTTCTGATTACCAATTTTGCCATGGACACCTAATACAACACACAAAAGGCAAGAAAGCACAGAAAAATGAACAGAAAGGGTTTAAAAATTCTGGCAATGGAAAAGATACAGATAACAAAATGAAAGAATAAAGAGATAACGAATGAGTGACGGCCGTTTCTAACTTGTGAACAATCTCGAACAAAACGAGGAAAGGCCTCAACAGAAAACCTTTCAAAATTTCAATGTCGAAAAGAAACGGTCGTAGGATGTTGATATCAAGAATGTGACAAACAGGAGGAACCTTAGAATGGAAATTCTAGAGCTCACGAGTGACACAGAATGAAGGACAAGACATATTAATAGTGACAGTATCAAAAAGAGCGATAAGACTGAAGACCTAAGAGAACAATTTGTAGTTCAGAAAACCCATTCAACTCCGATTCAACTCCGAGTAGAACAACCAGAGTTGCGAGTGATGCGAATTAAGGACCCAAACCGTACACAGACACAAAGGGAACTCGTTGACCAGTATATAAATGGAAAGTTCAGCGTTGTAGAATTTTGTCGAAACGGAGAAGCAATATTACACCAAGATACCACTTGGAATATGAGGATAAGATGGAGATTAATGATGATGATGGCCATGTGAATGCGACAAACGCTTCATCCCCGGACTATAACGACTGGTCCTCGACAATGATCCGACATCGTGTTTCCCTGAGATAAGAAATTAGAATAGAATCCTCAAGCCGTATAACATTGTAGCTGCCAAACTTACCATCGCAACAAGCACGAACATTCTCCAAACGGTCTGCTTCGCGTTCTTGGCGTTCAATGACTTGTCGAAGGTCCTCCGCGCTATCGTGCTCCGCGTTATATGTATCATGGTCATCAAGAGGAACTGGTGTATGTCTTCCTCGAATGCTTGCAAAGGATCCTCTGATTGTAGCATTGAAGACGCTGCTGATGCGTGACGATGTGCTTTGGCGAAGCGCTGAGTTCTGTTGTGAGCTGGGTGCCGGTGATACACGACCAGGAGTTACTGGAGGTCGAATTGATAGAGACGATGTCGCCCGTTGTTTGGATGTGTTCGTTTTCAGGCTGTGGTACGATGACACAGACATCCTGGGGCCAGTTTGGCGCGAATGACTTCGAATGCCTGGGTTGAATTCTTCCACATCCTCCGCCGTCATTTCCTGGTCTTCTGGTCGTTCATCATCAGTTCGGAGAAGAAGATATGATAAAGCGTTATACCAAGTCTCATGTCTCTGACTTGTAGGAGCTGTAAACCGGATACGACGTCCAGGGGTGAGAACTTCAAGACTCTTGCGATGCAGACCAGGAGGGTATGGATTATCATCCGTAATCACACGAACGGCTTCAATAGCAACACTCTTCGCTCTACTTTCATTTTTGCCAGTGTGAGACGGATCTTGATCGCTCCAGTAAAGCGTGCGAGTATAGGGGTGGACCCAGAAGTAGCGGCGATGTCGGGTATTAGACATGTCACCTGTCACTGTCCTGCGGGTATACTTCCAAAGATACTCTCCAATCATGGTTTGGGTTATGGCTTGAATCATACGTGGATCGGTTCCAGGTCGTATTCCTTGGGGCAACTCGCCCGCTTGCATGTTGAATCTGACATCAATCTCGGAGACAAAAGAAGACAAAGATGACCGCGCGGTTGAAGTTTGACTCGCACGCCTCGTCCTAGCTCGAACTGAGGCGGGTTGAGTAGAATTCTCGTTAGGTGTCCTAGGGCGTACGCTTGTTTTATATGCTGATGCTGGAGCGAGAGGAGGTCCCATCGTGCCTGGCATATTTTGAGTAGTTTGTGCGGCAGCAATGACCTGTCTGTGATCAGCAGGAAGAGGGGGGTGATTGCTTCCTGAAGAACCGATTCTAACGCTACCAGAGCTACTAGGTCGCCTAAGCTGCGAGACTGGGGTTGAGTTGATATCGACAACGGGTGCTTTAGCCTTCGGAGTAGCACCAGGGGAATTGAAAGTTGAATCTAGACCGGATGCCGACCTTGATTCCGATGGTGTGAATGGGCGACCTGCCACACGGTCCAGCAGTAATTGATCAATTTGCTTGGAGGACAGGATGGTTTGAGCAGCCTGGTCGGCATTTTGTACCGTAATTTTCTTCACTTCCCTAGAGCTACTGTTACCAGAAATGTCATTCAGAGGCAAGTTTGGAACGTTGGGTTGATTCTCAACACCCTCCCTGAGGCTTGTTTCGCTAGTCGCATCCTCTGAGATGAAAACGGTGGATGGCTTCTTGTGAGGTGATAGATTGTGTTCAGTTCGTCGTACAGCGGACACAGGTCGGTTAAGTGAGTCGTCCACAAAGGCAGCAGATGTAACTCCCAGGATGACGGGCTCTATGGGCAAGGTCTCAGTTGATTGAATAGGAGAAATCGACAAAGGTAGTGATGTTGAAGAAGTCTGTTTCTTGATTGGCAATGGGTCTGTTTTTACAGAGTATATTGACGAAAAGGCGACTTCTGGTTTTGGAGAAGTGTCAAGGCTGGGTTTTTGCTCAATAACAATGGGTTCTGGCAACGCCAATTGGAAAGAAACAGGCTCGGTCTGCTCGCTGTATATCGAAGAGATTGACAGCTGCACTACTTCTGACTCCCTTGTCTTTTCTGGTATGAGCGCCACCTCGGGCTCTCGTGGTTTGGCTGCAATGGGTTCGGTCTGTTGGCTGAATATTGTTGATAATGATAATTCGCGAACCTTCGGGTTGACTGGCGCTGTTTCTTCCGCTTTGATTGTTGAAACATCCAGCTGAAACTTGACTGGTGATTGAAATTCCTTGATATCCTTTTTGCCAATTCCAATTGACTCGTCCCATATGGTCTTTGGCGGTGTTGGGACGGTTGCCAAATGATCAGGACTTAACCCAGTTTGGAGCTTGGTAGGCGTGTATTGAGTTGATGAGTCTACCGAGGGCAGTAGTGATTTTTCAAGTACCACATCACGTGTAGGAGCTTGTTCTGCTGCTACTGCAACTTCGGGGGCCCACGGTTCAGTCATTGTAGAAGAGTCCACCATCTGTGACTGGCGCTTAGACAATGGAACCTGAGAACTGTCTCTGTCCAAAATGACCGAGTTTTGAAGCGGGGTTGATGGCTGGGATAACATGTGCGTCGATCGGATGGGTGTACCGAATTCACCATCACTACCAGGACTGCCAAGTTCTTCGAGTTCTGCGAAGAGGCTTTGACCCATGGGTATCGCACTCTCATGCTGGAAGGAGCCAACTGGTGAGTCTTGAGCACTAGACGTTTCGTGGATGGAGGAAGCCATTGGTGCCTCGCCAGACGGCCGTATGCGTCTGTAGCCAGGCCGGTTCGCCTTCACACGTTGACGTTGAGACTGTGCCTGTACCGGCGTGTGAATCTCACTAATCTCATCATCCGAGGTCGATGCGGTGCTCATGAAAGAAGACCTGTTGCCAGCCTTTGCCAGAGCAAGTTGAGACGGGACTCTTCGGCCTCGCAATGTGCCTTGACGGGGAGTTCCCCTGTCCTCAGTTTCAGTAAGTTCCTCATTGCTATCCTCAGCCATGCTCTCAACCCCAGTTTGAAATGCTTCGCTCTCAGTTGCAGTCTCTCGTTCGTTGGCCGTTTCAAACGCATCTTCAGCTTCGGTAGCAGTCTGGTAGACATCGCTGGCATCGGTGTTGCCTCTGGGAGAGCGCATTCGTTGGGATGCTTTAGATCTGACGGTGCGAGTTGGGCTTGCCTCACTGGTATGGTCCTCCCAGTCCGGCTCATCCAAGGTAATCTCAGTACGGCCCCTTCTACCTGGACCAAGCAAATCAGACCGGGGAAGGGGTTTCTTGAAAGTGTCAGGCTTGATTTTCTGGCGTTTAGCTCCACTTCCCGGTGCATTATCGCGTCGGCGAGTTTCCAGCTCATCTCTAGCTTCTTGTAACATACGTTTGAGCTCAATTTTTTCCGTTTTCTCGCGATGGATGTTGCTCTTAAGATTCTGGATCATCCGATGGGCATGGCCCAAAGAACTTCGCAGAGTCTCCGTCTCCAGATGACCATGTCTTGGAGTTTGTTTGTTAGGTGACGGAGGCGGTGAATTATCAGGCGTATCTCTTTCTGGCTCCGAATCCTCGGCATCGGGTCGAAAGGGTCGAGGTGTTTCCGCTTCTACATGACGGCTGCGCATGGATGCAACTGCTTTGGCGAGTTCTTGATTTTGGTTTGTCAGTTCTTCGACTTTGGCTTGAAGTGTAAGTCGTTCCGCATCTCCACTGGTCAAGTTTCTACGGAGCATGTGGGTTTCAGAGTCATGAGCTTTCTGTGCAGCGGCCTGGTCTTCCATAAGCTTTCCATTGTTCTGCTTCAACTCCTCCAATTCACGTTCCACCCCCCTTTTTTCAGCTGTTAGAGAACTCAGAGCGCTATTTAACTTGGTCTCGCGGTCTTGAGCCTCCTTAACAGCTGCCATGAGTTCACGGCCTTGTGTTTCCAGGCTCCAATTCTCGTCTTTGTATCGTTGTTCACTTTCATCTAGAGTGCGAATTCTCTGCGTGAATCCCTCGGCCTCAAGTTCAAGCCTTGAAGTTTCTAAATTTGCAGCCTTCAATGCTTCCTCCCGTTCAGCCAGGAGTGACTGTAGTTGACGAACTTGAGCCAGAAGTGATGTCGAAATTTCCGTAGCAAATTCAATGTCGTGCACGCGACCAGAGGGTTGGTTGCGTTGCTTGCGTGAAGGCACACTGACTTTTGATGGGGACGCACTTGCTTGACTGGTGAATACGGCAGACGCTGCGGGCGACTAATGAGGGGTGTTAGTCTTTATCCAATTTCCTAGATGAATGCATATTCTTACGCGTAAATCAACGCTTGGGGTTGCATCTCCACCGCTGATTGCTCGCTTCGGGGCCAGGAAAGCACGAGCGCTTTCACGACCTATCTCGTTGTATTCTTTTTCCAAATCTACAAGCTTCTGGCGTAGTTCGGGTCCGATTTCTCCATCATCGCGCTGCTGTTCGACTTCCTTGAGTTTGTCAGAGAGCTCCTTCTGCTGGTTTATGAGCGAAGTTCCTAGTTTCGAAGCCTCCTGTAGCCGCCGCTCAGTTTCTGCTAAATGCGCTTCCAGGGCTCGCTTGGCCTGCGACGGGGACGATGCGTTTAAAGTGAAGAGTTGCGTGTCGAAAGAAGAATAGCGATGCGGTTCTCGCGATGCCGGAGCCCCGTCTGGGCTCGAAACAAAAGGGTCCTCCATGTTTCAGCGAACGTGAGTTTTCCCCTCCAGTTCACCAGCGCGATATTGAGCGGTCGCTGGTCCCTGAAGAGTAAATCGGTCGCAGGGTGTTTGATGCTGATCCGGTGTGCCTTCCGCACGAGGTTTCGATGGGGATCCCGTTTAGACGGCGGGCATTATCTACCTATTATTACTAACAACGTCGGCAATCTGTCGCGGACTCTGTGCTGGCGTGTAGGTCGAAGTCTAGTACGCGGCTATCGGTCTTGGCATTAACGAGGTCTCACCAGACGCACACGATTCGCAAGGAGTGCAATCAAGGGCCGCTGCTGGTGTGGTGTAGCACGGCGTCCGGGCGATCGCAGCGAGAGGGAGAACTGGCGTCGGATTGTTTGTTGACTCCAGACCCAGGCACATCAACCTGACAACAATGGGCGAGTCTGGTACGCGTTTTGTGTGGTCGGCGGTGTTGGGGCAGCGGGCGGGCGCGCACACGGGTCGCAGTCCAACCACAACACAGCACTAGATCTGTACAGGCCGCGCCAGGAGGGCAGTGTGGTGATGCAATGGGTGCACAAAACGAAGGCAAATAACAAGAGAGCGACAAAAGAGAGTAATATGTTGCAACGAAGTCGAACGCGACTGTTTCGACTCCGCTGGGCGGGGGAACACAGGGAAGGGGGAAGAGAAAAGGAAGGGCAGCAGAAGACTGAAGAGAATATTAGCAGCAGGCACCAAGTTAGTTAGGAGGCAGTCGGACTTGGCCTGCGGGAGCCACCCTTGCAAGCATTGATATTACCAATACCACAGTCTTACCTTGCATGGGCCGTGTGTGTGAGGAAGACTAATATTATTGAACAGTTATTTATTATTTATTATTATTGTTTTCATTGCAGGATCTGTATCGTCGCGTATGGGACCTGTAAATTATCGGCTGCCGCAGTAGCATTGCTATTCCGCCGTCCTTAATACGCTGGCTGCGCTACGTAATAATAGATGTATCGTGGTGCGACCCGAATGGCACGTTCAGGACCAAATCTTAATCTGATTTAACTTTCCCTGCTCTAGACCAGCCTGCTTGTTGGCAGGCACATTGTCAATATGCAAATTATTTACTCCGAGTCCAATCGAAGATGACGCTTCGTATGTGAATGCGGCCAAAGAATAAAACGGCGATAAACAAAGCTTAGCCTAAACTGGCTATGGCGCGAAAGCGAGAAATTGCAGGGTTGCGTACTAGGCCCGAATGAGGAGTGGCTGTACTACAGTCTTGGCACAATCATGTGACGTCAGGCAGCTGACTCAGAACCCCAAATAATTATTAGTTATCAACCTTCAACTAGTTGCCACGAGCCACACTTGATAACGCAACAACGCCACCACGACATACACTCAGAATACTTGCAATATGACAGAAGAGAAAGCAGAAGCAATGCCGAGCAATGGAGAAGCTGATGTTCCTCAAGTGACCTTCAAGAAGCGCTCTGCCAAGGCGAAAATCAGCTCGCGCAAGAAACCCGCGACGCCACCACCAGCCTCCGAATCAGATTCCGGCTTCACATCGTCCGACGACGAGGAAGGTAGACGAATCAAAAGGCGTCGGAAAAATGCGGTGGTGACTGCATCATCTACCGCGAACAAACTTCATTCCAAAGCTGGCGACGAGGCTGTATACGCAGCTGCAGCACCGCTGGTCGCCTCGAACGATGCCACGAAGCAATCGAATTGGTACGACGAAGGAAACGAGAATGGCCTCAACGAGAAGGAATTACTCGGGAAACCAAGGACTCAGCCAGTGGCTCCATCATCGGATGGCACGTACAAGGGCACGACGAATTACCAGTCCTTTGTTCGCAAGAATCCCGATGCCCCTACAAAGCAATTCGGTCCGATGAAAGCAGCGACCAATATTCGTACCGTCACTTTCACAGACATGGCTCCCGATGTATGTAAGGATTACAAGCAGACAGGATTCTGTGGATTGTAAGTAGTACCCAATCTGACTTTTGCATGTCTATACTAACCTTTACCTAGTGGAGATTCGTGTAAATTCGCTCATATCCGGGAGGCATATGCTCATGGGTGGCAACTTGATCGAGACTGGGAAATCAAAACGAAGGGCAAAAAGCTTGCCGGGCGCACTGTCGCATCTCAGGAGAACAGGGGCAAAGGAGTAGAAGAGGATGAAGACGAGGATAACAAGCTATTAGAGAGCATTCCCTTCGCGTGTATCATCTGCAAGAGCGATTATAAAAGTCCCATTGTTACAAAATGCGGCCATTACTTCTGCGAGCCGTGTGCTCTACAACGGTATCGGAAAAATCCGTCATGCGCGGCGTGCGGCGCAGGTACTGGCGGTGTTTTCAATGTGGCTAAGAAGCTGAATTATCTGTTGGAAAAGAAACGTGAGAGAGTCAAGAAACGCCGGGAGCAAGCCATCGCCAACGGTGAGGATGTGAATAGCGACGAAGACGCAGCTGCTGAAGTCGACAACTAGTTATCAACTAGCCATCACCTAGCATTTGCAAGTGCTCGAAAACAATTGATAAAAGCAGCCAGTTTAGACTCACAATACAGCCTACACATGTGCAGTGATTGGAGATATACACACGACCTAGAAATATATCAAAGACGATAGAGTTGTGTTCATGATCTCATAACTAGCCGTGTCTTTAGATAAAAGCAAAAGCCACAGCTATCCCTTCTTATCAAAATATTCCTCGACCCTCTCTATCAAATCCGCTTTTTTTCCCGTCGTGGAGAGCTTTTTAGAGGACAAGAAGTCCTTCAGGATTGGAAGTGTTAATTTTGACAAAAGGCCACTGTGATAGTGGTTCAGAACGTCATCAGCGGTGTTTTGGGCACCATTTTCAGTCTTCACCTTTTTCGCAGGATGCTCTTTTTCTGCCAAAGTGTCAGAGGCCTTTGGCGCCCTTTTTGCTAAAGTTGAGGTTTTGGGCTGTTCTGAGAACATTTTACGATATTGGGAGTCAAGCTCATCGCCCCATTCAATGACATAGTCGCCAGCCCGCTTATCAATCTGCCTATACCTGGGAATTGTTTTGTCTACTGGCTGTTCCGGCAGATCCTCGTCTAATGCGAGTGCTTGTAAGATTCGATAATGCCACTGTAATGATGGATTTGGATACTTCCGCGGGTCGTATTGGGCTTTGGGAAGTTGAAGTTGTTGGACAACTGTCCTCATGCGATCAATCAACGGCTCAGGGGCCACATAGAGATTCGTTTCGGGATTCTGCCTAATATCATCCGCGAATGGCAGAGGTATGATCCATAACCCTGGTGGAGATACCTGAACCTCATTCTCGTCCGTCTTTTCTGCGCCGGGAAGCATAGCAGCTAGGACAGGGGCAGCATTTTTCCTAGGAATGAACCAAACGATTCCAATCTTCTGATCGTGCAGGAGCTTCTGGTGAAGGGCCGAGAATACTCGGGTTGAACCGACATAATCTTCATCGGATGGGTATATGAATGTTGGGTGTTTGATAGAAGCCCAGATTGGAAGGGAAGATAAAGGTTTAAACCCGATTATTTTGATGACAGGATCACCGAAATTGCGCAATGCTTGTTGCTCTTCGATGGTGAAAGAGACTTGCTCCCCACCATACTTGTATGCCTTGCGTATTTCCCCTTTCTCGACTGTACGTGCAGTATCTTCTGCCATCTGAGTCGTTGTACCTTTTGCGATCTCGGGTTTTTCGCCTCCAAGCCAGACAAAGCAGCTTCTAGCGGGTTCTTGTTTTTTGAAAAGAAGGTAGCCAGTCACCGATATTTTGAAGTTCGGGCCAAATTCTAATGGAACGTTTGAGAAAAGAGCTCGGCGAGGGACTGATTTTGAATTCACTGAAGAGAGAAGGGAGTTGAGCAATGAGATGCCGTCACCGCCTGAGGTGCGAGCCTGAGTCAAGGCTGGGGATAACCCAGAGGCTTCTAGATCATTAGGACTACTTCTATAAATAATATCCTCGTTCATGTTAGTGAAAGTCTTCGTCAAATTTCAGTAGACATACATCGTAGAATTTTGACCTATCAAAGTCGTGGTCCGGCTGAGAAATCGGGAACAGTTCAATAATGACTCCAAGGTCATATAAATCTTTTGCTCGGACTGTAGCAGCAGATCGCATGATTCGGTCTTGCCCGTGCGGGTTATCATTGTCCGTAACTATGAAGAGCCGCCGGGAAAGAAAGTTGGAGGCCTTTGAGGTGAATATTTGATTAGCACAAAACAGCACATTAGCCATCGAGACCCTATCCTTTGACGGAACAAGGATCTGGTCCTCCTCTTCGTCCTCCTCAGCTAATGCGCGTAACTTCTTCACATCGCCCGCGTCGGGAATATCCAGGTCTGTGAATAGGTAGCAGTTGGGGTACGACAGGTCGCCTCGGCTATTTTCATCCTCGTTGTAGAACTTCGAAGCCTCTGTTCCAAAAAACAGAATCCCCATCATATCTTTTGGGTTCGAGATGATGCGCTGCTGCATCAAACTATAAGCGCATTTGATAGCAGCCTTGGCCGGCGACTCTGGCGGTTCCTTTTCAGAGGCTGACGGCCGTAATCTCAACATAGAATCGCTGATATCGATGGCGAAAAGCACCGCGTCTTTGACGGATTTATAACCCTAGGACGGTAACTACGGTCAGCTCTCATATTGAATTTGAAGAATTCCCACGCGCATACAGCATCATCGATTTCATCATCTTCTTGGTATGGGTCTTCCTCTGGGGGTGGATAATTGTCACTCATTGTGCAAGCTTGGGCTGTTGCATCTCCTGGGATGTAAGAGCAGCTACCTCTGTCGTGCTTGTGCCTTTGTTAATATTAATGATTAGCTCCTGCCCTCCTGCTGCCTGGCGTTTTCTTCACGTGCCCCCGCTGATGACGCAGACGCGAAAGACGCGAAACTCACGTGACGCTCTCCGCAAATACCAAGCCAGGCTGACTTCTACCGAGGCCGTGATTGGCCCGATGCGGGCGACAGAGGACAAGCTTGCCGTCGGCTTCTCGGCTGCGCCGCAAATCGATTTAGCAGTCAGCTTAGCCACTAGATGATTCAACTCAAGACACACAGCGTCACCTTTGTTAGAAGCGAAATTTCGAAAATGGCGCTGCGCAATCAATATATGCTGCCAATGCGCATCCTCGCAACCAATTTCCACAGCACAACCAAGCCCACGGTTCCGGCTCTGGCCTGCCAATGGACTCGGAGGCATGGGTTAGCAACCTCTACCTCACCGCCCACAAAGGGTTCTAAAGGGCCGACTGCCATGGTGTTTCTGAACATGGGTGGCCCATCAAAAACCGAGGACGTTGAAGATTTCCTCAGCCGTCTTTTTGTAGGTTTAAGATGTTCATTGACAGACAGCACGTGTTCCACTAACATCAGGCTTGTACAGGCCGATGGCGATTTAATCCCTCTAGGGCCGCTTCAAAAGTACATTGGCCCACTCCTCGCTCGTCGACGAACCCCAAAAATTCAAAAGCAATACTCAGCAATTGGCGGAGGCTCGCCAATCCGCAAATGGTCGGAACATCAATGCGAAGAGATGTGCAAGATCCTCGACGAGATATCACCCGAAACTGCTCCACATAAACCATACGTTGCGTTCCGCTATGCGGCTCCGCTTACAGAGGAGATGTACAATAAACTCCTTGAGGATGGTTTCGGCGGTGAAAACGGCGGCCGAGCTGTTGCTTTCACGCAATATCCCCAATACTCATGTTCCACCACCGGAAGCTCTCTCAATGAATTGTGGAGGTGGAGGAACCGATTAGAAGGGCCTCGTGCAGGGCAAGATTCAAAAGGCACTATCAAATGGAGCGTCATTGACCGGTGGCCAACACATCCCGGTCTGGTGGAAGCTTTTTCTAAGCTCATTGAAGATCGGTTGGCTACGTACCCGGAAGATAAGAGATCCTCGGTCTTGCTCCTCTTTTCTGCTCACAGTCTGCCTATGAGTGTCGTAAACCGAGGTTAGTAGCTTTATATGCTATTTTTCTTTCAAAGAAATACTGACAAGTATAGGTGATCCGTACACTGCGGAGGTTGCCGCTACCGTCCATGCAGTTATGCAGCGTCTTGGTTTTAAGAATCCTTATCGACTCTGCTGGCAGTCACAAGTTGGGCCATCAGCATGGCAGGGTGCGCAAACCAGCCACACGGTTGAGAATTACGTCAAGAAAGGATTCACAGATATGATACTGGTCCCAATCGCCTTCACTAGCGACCATATCGAGACTCTCTACGAGCTCGACAAAGAGGTTATTGGTGAAGCTGGTCATCCGGGAGTGAAACGAGCAGAAAGTCTGAACGGCAGCCCAACATTCATCCGTGCGCTGGCCGACATTGCTCGAGATCATTTACAGTCGGGGGAGACATGCTCCAGACAGATGACACTGCGGTGTCAAGGCTGTACCAGTGAGCGGTGTTTGGAGCAGAAAAGGTTTTTCGCTGGAGACCAGCTTGGGCCACTTGTACGATAGATACCCTTAGGGGATAGCTGAAGCCAACTACTGTCAACAGCATAACATACCCGAGTGAAGAGAGTCATGATAGTACACATTGTGTATGGAACATTGAAACTGACGTGCTAATAATGCCCATGCGGAGATAAGCCAACGTCTCCGCCAGGTATTACAACAACACAATAACATTGTTCTTCAAACTACAGGCCAGACGCTCGTGCGACGTCAACATTCTCAGGTTTAGCTTGATTAGCTTTGATTAGCCTCGGGCTTTCAAATACTGTAACATGCATTTCCAGTCGTCGTTCTCCTAGTTTCATCCCGGACTAAAAACCGTCCGAGATTCCAACGCCCGGCGGGGCCGATGCTAGTCCTTATCGCAGTCAATCTAGAGCCGTAAATTCGTCAGCAACTCGAAGACAGCACGCCAGCGCGCTAGCACCGCCGTTCAACCAACTTAATCGTTTGAGAACTTGCATGCGCTGCCAACTTTCCATGCATGATTTAATCACAGACAACACAACCCGCGAATTCCGGACCCCAGGCGTGGTCCTAACTTCAACCTTATCCTCTGTTGCGCGGATCGTCGATGTTCTCGTGAGTCCAGGGATGCAAGTTAAATCCATTTCGCTGAGCATCCTTTATTATCACTGTAGCGCTATAGCACAGGGCATGGCTTTTCCCCTACATAATTAAGTCCATTTTCATTGAACCAACTTGTCAAACAACATTGGCGCCCCAATATGGAGACTGAGGCGGCGTTCGTCGTTGAAGCCGATGAAGATGCGCGCCTACTATATCGAGAGCAAAACACAGCTCGGGACTCTGTGTTAACCGAAACTGCTCCGTTATTACCAGAGACCACTCCAGAGCCCGACGATGGCCTTGATAGGCCGTGGCTAGGGTCGAGCGAATTTGCTCGGAAGCCGGCATGGAGGCGACCATCGGTATGATGATATTCCACCTTTTATTTCATTCTAGCGATACTAACGCGTGTAGGTGTGGTGGATTGTGTTTCCATTGTTTCTATTTACAACCGCATATGGTGGTATAGTCGTTCCAAGAGTCAATCTCATCCTGAGTCTCGTGTGTCGAGACTATTTTGCCGAGCGGGCTTCCAAGGATCCCACCTTCACCTATCTCCCAGTGGTACTTGGCGATAATAACGACCAGTGCTCCATACCAGAAGTTCAAGCAGGCTCGTCACAGTTTCTACTATATATCAACCTCATATCAGGGTTGCTCTCGGCAATTGTCAGTCCACGTTTAGGTCACCTTTCCGATCGGTATGGACGCACATTGCTTCTGTCACTTTGTGTCTTCGGAACCCTTGTGGCAGAGGCTTTTACTGCATATGTCGCAGCAAAAATCGAAAGCGCGCCGATTTCCCTTCTTTTGGTCGGCGCATTCTTTGATGGCGTTTGCGGCTCATTCACATTAGCCCTCGCGTTGGCGCATTCGTACGGAGCCGATTGCTCCTCTCCAGAGCGAAGAAATGTTGTGTTTGGATTCTTCCACGCGACTTTATTTGGTGGAATCGCCATCGGTCCGTTTTTGTTCGGCCTCTTAATAAAGCTCACCGGAAGTATCATTGTGATGTTCTACACGGTCTTGTGTTTCCATGGCATTTATTTCGTGGTGCTGCTATTTATCATCCCTGAGTCCCTGTCCAAAGAGCGCCAACAGGCCGCAAAACAAAAGCACCGCACAAAACAGTTACAGTATGACCATAGCTTTCTGAAAAGTCTGTTGATCGAGATAAACCCTGTAAACATTTTCACGCCACTCAAAATATTGTTTCCTACAATTGACAATTTGCAATCGTTCTCATTTGAGGAACGGACCATGTTCAAATCCCTACGCAGGAATCTCATCTTGATAGCTTCCATTGACACCTTGATATTCGGCGTGGCCATGGGCACTATGCAAATTATCATTCTCTATGCTGAATACATGTTTGGCTGGCACAACTTCGAGACCAGCATTTTCATTTCAATCACCAATATTACACGCGTCATTACATTACTTGTCATTCTCCCCATGGTGACACGACTTATACGTGGGCCACAGCAAAGCACGCAAACCAACTCTGGGTCGGATAGGCTAGATATTACTTGTATCCAGCTTGCGATTCTATTTGAGCTTTTGGGGTACATCGGATATTCGCTTTCGCGCAGCGGCGCTGTTTTCCAGCTTTCAGCTGTAGTCGCTTCGTTAGGAGGGATGGGTTCGCCTACTCTACAATCATCGATTACGAAGCATGTACCTGCCAGCCGTACAGGCGAAATATTAGGCGCCACGGGTCTCCTACATGCACTCGCTCGGGTGATTTCTCCCATTATCTTTAATTTAATTTACAGCGCCACCGTTGGCAAATTTACGCAGACTGTGTTTGTGTGTCTAGCATCGGTATTCGGACTTGCAGCTCTTCTGAGCTTCTTTATTGTGCCTGGAGGTAGGTTCACAACCCACTGAATTTCATCTCATCCATTTTTCTAACTTGGGTCTCTTAGTCTACTTACCGGCGACACCTCCAGCTAGTCGTGAACCGGAATCTACAGAAGATGTTAATATAGCAGATTGATCTTGATATATTGTCTTTTGTTTTCTATGTAGATTTTCAGTTAGAGGCTGCCTCACAATGCAGAGTAGAGAAATTTGGCATTCGCTTTTTACACGCTCCTTGCAATGCATCAATTGATGAGGATATAATAGAACATGAGATCTTAGTAAATCCATCACAACTCCAAAGGTTATTGGATAATCATCGAATATAAAAACTTGATGCAATCGTCGTGACCAAGAGAGAAGGTTAATTAAATACCGATGCTTGGCAGTTTAATGATGTTGGCTGGTCAGCGCCGGTGCGGTCCGAAAAAATTTCCCAATCACCTCTCGTCTCTCGACCTCCCCGGCCGGAGCTTCAACAACCAAGTCAACACCTAGGTCATTTTCTTTTTCCCAACCGCGTGACTTCTGTATTACCATTTACCATCTTTTCATGCATCGATTAACACCTCATTGAATCTATTCCGCCATCTGGGACCATTTAGGTCATGCTGCCTCGGCGTACGAAAGCAGTGGCCATACCCTCAAAAAATGCCCTCCGAATTCTACGACAATTGGCCTTAGCTGGCTCGACCCTTGGAAGCGTGTGTACGGTCGCTGCACTTACGTACGATGTCCAGCGACGCGTGGCTATCGCCGAGCAAATTATCGAAAACAAGCGAACCCTGCGAACATCGGCTCCCTATTACAATGCTACCTCTGCGGCCAGAAAGTTGAAACTTATGGTGGAAGCAGCAGAAGCAGGAGAATTCGAGGGGCTGAATTCCTTAAAGGATGGAGGCTGGAGGAAACGTTCCCCCGGGCTTGCGGATGCTAAAACCGACGGTTCTACACCCGATGATTCTACCACCCATTCTACTAGCACGTTCAACATTAGACGTGTCTTCACCGATTTGACGCCAAGCGATTCTGCCCGCTTATCAGGGATCAGTCAAGAGCGAACAAGCATAAATGCTGATTCGAATTCACAGTATCGGTTGAACAAATGGTCTCAAGCACTTGGCCATTCTATGCACGGCAATAGAACGAAGGAAGTTCGTGATCGTTCGAAGCATTGGGAAGTGACCACGTACCTACGATCGCCAAATCTTGACTGTGTGCGGCGCCTCTATAAACTCGACCGAATCATCGAAGCAGCGGAATTGCTTCTGGAGAAACATATGCCTTTGGATGCCCCGTTATCTCCTGAAACACGAGATCTGGCACAATATCTTTTCTATGCTAATTGTCATGGTGGGAATGCCTTCATAGCAAGGCACATATTCACTCGCCTCGAAGAGGTTGATTCTATAAATGATCGTATGTGGGAAGCCTTATTGGTCTCCTTGGCAAAAGCCGGCGCTGTGGAATCTACTGCCCGGCTGTACCTGAAATACTACAAGTCGAGAGAATTGCCTACCTACCTTATTGAGGTAATACTACGATGCTTACTTGAATCTCAGCGGCTAAGTCATGCATCAAACCTGATGTCAAAAAGCATCCGCCACGATCACAACTGTGGACTTTGTGGTATCTACTTGTCTACCCTTTGGAAGAAGACAAGGAATATTGATCTTATGAATCAGCAACTTGAAAAGCTTCTATTGATCTTACCGCGATTCAAAAAGACCCCAACCCAGAAGCTTTTCAATCCCGTCTTGAAAGCATACATACGCTTCGGCCGCTTCGCAGATGCAGAAGCGCTGGTAGCTGATATGCAAAATGTTTACAATATTCCTTTAACTGGCAGAACAATGGGATTATTGCTACATGCACATGCTCTATCCTGCAATTGGGCCGAGGTCGAAAAGGGCTTTCAAGAACTACATGAGCGGGGATACACTTCTGGTGATCAATACAATTTTACACGAACCTTTGACACCATTTTCTTGGAATTTTGGCCAAGCCATAATATTGCTGAAATCCATCAATTCATCGTGACGGCTGTGGAGAAGTATGGGCTCATTCCAGACCAGGTACTCTATACCCACATTCTCATAGCTTATCTCGAAAAGGGCGTCCCTCAGGATATTCAGAATTTTATAGCCCTTGGAGAAACTCACCAATGGAGTGTCAAATTTAATGAAGACGAATTCATGAAGTTGGTGCAAAAGCGACGACGTTCTCTTGAGCACAGTCCTGTCGGCCTTTGGCAAATGCTAAATGTAGCAAAAGCAAAGAATCAACAGGCAGCATTCTCACGGCAAGTCATGGGATACGATCAGCGTTCGGTTCCTCATTCAATGGCAAATTTGATTCCGTATAAAAAGAGCCATCCGAGCTGGTATCGCAGAATGGTACGAGGAGTTCGTACTAATGAACGACCTATTGACCACTACCTCTCACTTCACACACAAATGCTCCAAGCTCTATATAGTGGCAGTTACAATGGGGCTCTACGATCCTTCAACGTCGCCAAAATTTCCGAGTTTACCTTCAAAACATATCATGTCCAGCTAGCCATTATTGCAACTCTTGCAGGACCAGGGCGGCTCAAGGCGGCTCAGGATCTAGTCGACGAACACTGGGAAGTCAAGCGCAGAATCACTCCCAAATTTTTCTCCCAAATTAGGGAATGTGACCTTTTACTACCCGACATCGAGGTCCTCAAATTAGCCGTATTCGGCCTCTACGGCCTCTGCTGGGAAGAGCCAAGTTTACAACTAAAGCATCATTTCATGATCAATATAGTTCGCTGGCTCATCAGCCATGAAAGGCACCACGACGCGTTGGATCTAATGATTACCACATACAAGTCTCGATATGCCCGTTATGAAAGATTTGACGGCGTCTGCATGAAATTGTTCATACGTGCTTTCACGGCGACTGGGAACTTCCAGGGCGTTCGTTGGTGCATCATGACAGCCTTATCGCGAGAGTCTGCTTGCGGCGAAAGTTTCGTTAGTGAGATGCGACGATCTGTCGCCATCCTGCGGATGCGGATGCGCGATAGGTTCCAGATACAATACCGAAAACAGACATTTTATTATGACAATCTCGACACTCTCGTGGATATGGTAGAAAGGAAAATGAAGGGTGATCCCCAAATGGCCGGATTTGAAAGCCGAGCCACGCGAAAAAGACTCTCTAAACACTTTCAACCACAACTCAACAAGTGGCGCGATATCGACTTGCACACCGTCAAGCAGACGATCGTCAACTGGGACGAGGAGCTCGAGTTTGAATACCTGCTTCAAAACATGACTAGGGCTAGTAGTGTCTCCAAGACCGAATCGTGGAGGGAAGTGGATGTTGTCCGAGAAGGGGACGAATACAGTGTATAATACTAATCCATGCATGTACTATATCGACTCTCAGTCAATCACCTATATAACCAACTCTAGTTCACTCCAATGCACATTGAAGACATATCAATTTCAGATAATAATATTAGGAAGAAGTGAAGAAGGTCATGCAATTCGGCCGTGTAGATCGGCGAATCAGACGGCGGGCGGCGCCGGGGTGCCGGCTAGGCCAAAACAGGCAAGCCAGGGGAAGATTATCACATGTCACGCCACCCTGTGCAGGCTGCTGCTTAGTGGCCGCTGCCTTCTCTCGTGTCGTTGAAAAGCTCGCTGTTCAGCGCCTGCAAAAATATTGTCATTATCATCCACGCAATTATTCTCATTGCTGCTGCTGCTCTCTCTCCCTCTGCTCCGTCGGTCTGTCTGATATGAGCGCATAACGAGCCATTGGCTTTTCTGACTAACCTCAGCCCTCCTTGAAACCTCTTCGTCCTCGCAACCATGTCCGTGACCGCCACCTCCACCTCCGCGTTCACATCCTCAGGCACAGGCGCGGCCGCGGCCACCCTGACAAAGCGAGCATCGATCCCCGCCATCACCGTCAATGGCGAGAAAGACGCACGGGGTTCGCCAGAGCGCCAGGCCGATATTCTGATTATTGGCGCTGGAGTCGTCGGTTGTGCATTAGCAGCTGTTTTCGGAAAGCAAGGACGGAGGGTGCTGCTGCTGGAAAAGTCTTTGAAGGAACCCGATCGCATTGTTGGAGAGCTGCTTCAACCTGGAGGCGTTGAGGCGCTCGAGAAGCTGGGGCTGCAGGGCTGCCTGGAAGGTATCGACGCCATTGCAGTCGACGGTTACAATGTGATTTTACGCGGCACACATTTGAAAATCCCGTATCCGGTGGATAAGAAGACGGGCATTGCACCCAAGGGCCGGTCCTTTCACCATGGTCGTTTTATCATGAAGTTACGAGAAGCTGCAAAGGCAACACCAAATGTCACCATCATCGAAGCCACGGCTACAACCCTTATCAAGTCCCACTCCGACGTGATTGGCGTTGAGGCCACAGTCGGTGGTGCACACCAGCATTTTTTCGCGCCTCTAACCGTTGTCGCTGACGGCTACGCCTCTAAATTCCGAAAGGAATACCACCCGCGAACTCCTGTTGTCAAGTCGAAGTTCTGGGGCATGGAACTGATCGATGCAGAGCTACCCATGCCACAACACGGCCATGTATTTATCGGCTACGGCGCACCAGTGCTCATGTACCAGATTGGAACCCACGAAACCCGGGCTTTAATAGACATACCCGAAAACTTGCCCTCGGCTTCTGTCCAGAACGGAGGTGTCAAAGGCCATATGCGAAACGTGATATTACCATCACTTCCGGAGAGTCTACAACCCAGCTTTCTCGCAGCCCTTGAAAAGGGTGGACTCCGATCGATGCCGAACTCATTTCTACCTTCCTCTCCCAACAAGACTCGCGGCTTGATAATTCTCGGAGATGCATCGAATATGCGACATCCGCTTACCGGTGGTGGCATGACCGTGGCCTTCAACGATGTGGTAGTATTGCAGGACTTGCTGAGTCCGGAAAATGTACCTACATTCGCCGACGCACCGCTTGTTACGAAGAAGATGAAAACATTCCATTGGAGGAGAAAGAACGCTGCGTCTGTTATTAACATTCTCGCCCAAGCATTGTACTCGGTGTTTGCAGGGAACGGTAACTAACCCCTTTTCTTTCCACACCCAACATTTCTCAGCCCTTCTAACATGCCACAGATCCTAATCTCGCCGTTCTTCAACGTGGCTGTTTCCGCTATTTTGAGCTAGGCATGATCGAGCAGCCAGCCGGGATGCTCGGTGGAATAATTAAAGACCCGTCAGTGCTCGTACGACATTTCTTCTCCGTCGCCTTTCTCTCCATATGGGTTATGATAGCCGAATCACCCATTTATTTAATGCCTGTGGCGTTTCTGCGATCATTTGTTATTCTATACACCGCATGCGTTGTTATAATGCCCTACATATTCGCTGAATTGGAGAGGTAGCAAACAATGTTTTGCTATTATCAAATCCAATTTTCACAATAAAAAAAAGCGTGTACCCCTTTTCAGTCTGCCCATTCAAATTACCTGTTTTTAATGCCATGGGGTTCTAAGAAACATCTTTCTTCATATGCTACTTTCGGTTGGAACACGAGACTTTCTTTCTTTCTTCGTTTTGGCAGATACACTAATCATCAAGATCCCAACCCTATGGACGCACTTATGTGTGTGTTTGGGTTTCTTGATACACTTTTCATTCTGTACATAGAAAATATCCGCATATACTCCACGCCACTTTACATACGAACCTAATAATCAATACAAAGGATAAAAAGAAACTTGAAATGTACTCTGTTCTGTCAATAAAGTTTCCAATTCGCGGGGCTTTACAACGGTGAAATTGCGTCGTTTTCTATAATTCTCTTATTTCATAGAGGCATCAATGCAAGTCTTACATATGTACATTTGATATAGTTGATTTCAAGCGAGTGGCTCTGTTCAACTCTGTTGAAAGATTGATGGTTTCGACTTCCACGTCGTACGCGTCATACATCATCCACTCCAGTGGCTTAGAAAGACAGAACAGGAAGATTAAGGAAGGGGCAGCGGATGATATAAGAGCTCAAGGGTAACTATTCCATCCTCTTACGTTGAATGTTTTAGCGGGAGCCGATTTTAAAGAACTGGGGAGGAAATTAGGGGGAAATTCTTCGTAATCCCAAATGTATTTGGCTTGCAGCCATGTCACGCTCTCTTCTATGTTGTCATAATTAGGTACACTGTTGAAAAGTTCAACTGGATTGATGGAAAAACAAAGCCTGACAGAGTCTGATATCGTATCTTCGCTCGCCTGCGATGCAAAAAAACCCCTGAATGCACCCTCCGGAACACCGTAGTTACCACCTGAAAATATGCAGCAAGAAAAAAAGACTCATCAAACCCTCTCGCATGGGTAAAAATTTGCCAGCACACTAACATAGTAACGGAAACAGAACTTGCAAATCAGGTGGTATATCTTGCATAAAACTGCCAATGAAATCCGTAAAACACCTCAGCTCGAGGCATCATGATACAAAGGTTTGAAGGCTAGAGAAATGAAAATCGCGATGATTCCAACATTCTTCCGTAGGTGTCCAGAAGCGGCAATGTTGAGTTTTAGGCTCAATTTGAAAAATTGAAAACACCGGGTATAGTCTCATTTATTCTCATCCCCCCTTCCGAAGAGACTCCTCCAGGGGGAAGGACTCCCCCATATTTGTCTGCTGAACCTCCGCCATGGACTTTGCGTTCCGCTTATGTTTCTTCTTGGTTGTCTGCCAGCCACCATTCATATTTGTATTTCCGCTATCCCGGCCGTTGTGAATAGGGGGCAACACTTCAGGCTTGCGTGGTAGAGAAGCAGGTTGGGTGTCTCTTTTACTCAGCAATGATACTGATGGAACAGGCTGTGGTTCTTGCGCAGATTTCGCTTTTATTTTGTGATTAACACCGTTCACCTTGTCGGACTCCAACCCATTCGTCCGGCTTTTTGTTGTAGGGGAGGTAGGAGAAGATTCCTTATTCGAATGAGGGTTTCCCGTTGCTGACAGCTTCTCCGGTGACTTGGACTGGCGTTGATGGGCAGGTGGTTTGGTGGGTGATTCTCCGTTAAGTTGTCCGGGCTTCGTTACCTTTCGATCACGAACAGATTGTACATCATCAATACCGTCAGAGCGCGATACTTGCAAGCCCTGAAGTTGATTACTTAGGCCAGAGTCTAACCCTCCGGCCGTATGGTGAATGCTATTTGTTGATGAAAGAGGATCCATTTCGAACGTTGTTGGCTCTTGTGCTCCGGCTGATAAGGCATCCGATGCCCTGGAAGGGGATTCCCACCCGGTTTCCACGTCACTTGGTACAGACGCAGCTAAGTTAGAATATTGATCTGTATAGTCGCCTTGTGACGATGTCTTAGGGTCCTGCGGGGGAACAGAGCCATCAATTATTAGAGGACCACGGTCACGAACGGTTGCTTGTCTTGGGGTCGAGACCATGGAGGGTGACACTGCCTGCCCGTTGGGTAGAGGATATGCACCAAAAGGATCGGGATAAGCCAGAGCTGTATGGCGGTAATCCACCGGCGTCTGAGGATAAGCTGCTGCAGGCATAGGCATGGCCATAAGGGTCTGCTGGTATTGTTGTGGTGTCACATAAAAGCCAAAATATTCGGAAGGTCGATGTTCTTCAAGAAGGGCGGAAGCAGGCATAGCCGACAGCGAGGGGCTTTGCAAGGTCGAATCAGTTTCTGTTGTACTTCGACTTGGGGATCCAGGTTGGAATCGATCTCTCGAGCCATCATTCAATGGGACCGGTGAATACAAAGCAGCAAAATTCTGCATCACCGGAGAGTGCACAGGTCTCGCGGGCTGGGAGTGAGATCGCAGTGACCCACTGGGCGAACCGTTGGCAATCGATGAACGACGAGGATTTCGCTGCAGATCTGGAACTGCTGACGACAGCGATGGAGACGAAGGGTTTGTGTTGCTTCCCTGGACACTTTGCGTGGCGAGTGGCAAGTATGCCGGATTATAGAACATTCCTGGACGGAGGGAACCCAATGGTGGATGGTTCACTGTGCCGGCTCGAGCTCGAGCGTTATCATCTGCAGGGACCTCTTGCTGCGGAAATGAAAATTGTATCAGGGGTTGGCGAATGAGGACAGGTGGAGCCCGTCCAGTCAATAGAGATTGGTTATGTAGTTGCATTCGCAGCTCTTGCTCTTGTGCCTGCAATATCTGAATCTGTTGGTACAACTGGTCATGAAGTAGGTATTGCGCCTGTTGGGCATGGATATTCATATCCGGGTTGACCTGGACGTGGTGAGGGCGAAAATTGCCGTTGCTACTGCGATTAGTTGCACTAGATGAACGACGTGCAGAATTGCTTCCTCCGCGACCATACTGATTTGAATGCCTGGCTCCACGACCACTGCCTCTGCCGCCTCGGGAAGAGGGGTGTGACGACGTGGGTGTCAGGATTGGCCGTGGCTGGGGCGGTGGCCGCTCCCAAACACGTTCCTCCTCAGGAGGAAATACATACTGCTCACAGCACTTCTCCAAATTGACCTCTGAGATGGCCTTGAATGCTCTCCGTAATTCCATATGCAAGCCACGGAATGAAGTATCGTCTGCAGTGTTGCCCAAATTTCTGGTGGTATTAAATGGTTCTTCGACACATAATCGATTATTTTGCAACAGGTGCCATCCTTTTCCTTCTTTTGATATGAGTTTCCCCTCTCGAACTGAGATGGCAGATTTCTCGTAGTCCACCTCGTGGCCATAATATCGAAAGAATTGAAATAGGAGCTGACCGAGGGTCTGTTTGTTTTCATTGCCGAATCCTTGTAATGAGTCCAGATCATCATCGAAAGATACTTCAACACCATCGATTACTTTCTTGGTTTTATGTGGCCGATTCTGGAGACTTGGGAGAAGAGGTGGATCCCTGGTCTGCAAAAAGTTTATGATAAGGCATATCCAGGTGTAGGAACTAAGTGTTCCACCAAGTGCTGTGATGAACAAAGACTTAGTGTGAGAAGAAAGCGGTATAGAGTGAAGTACTGACCTGCATCATTGAGCACTCTTCTCTTTGTCCAATGCTTCACGATCATGGCCAAAGGACGAACTCGCTCATCAACATCTACATATGTGCGGATCATGCGAGTGTTCTCCAATGCTAATGTATTATTGACGTTCATGTCGCAGGCCATTTTCAATTGTGGGTCCCAGATCTTCACGATGGGAACCTTAGCATGAGAAACACAGACCACTCGCTCCATCCCATCTTTCATTTAGGGTTAGCTGTGAAGCAATCTAAATGGACAGAACTCTCTTACGATTTGCCAACACCTCTGCCAATAAACAAACATTCTCCAACTCTTTGAAAGATGTTGTGATGCAAATATCGACTGTCACAGAAAGCGTTAGTAAAAACAACACATCTCAATAACATGGGTGCAATACCATCTGAATCACTTGAGCAGAGTTTATTCCCGGAAGACCCAAAAACATGGACTTTGATATTATTGCCTGGCCACTGATCATTAAAAAGAGTTTCCAATTTTTGAACAAGCTGCCTTCGGCGATCGTCGCTCTCCGTGGACGGTAATAGCTGGGTAAAAAGTGCCTGCATATCGGCACTCAATTTTTCTTCTTCTTCCGATTCAAGTTTCTGTTTTATCCCAAGTTTCTCTTGTGGTAATAAATCGCCTCCCAAACTGTACGGCATCCGCCGACGAAAGAAAGCCATCCCCGTCTCATACTTGCAGCCGCCGAGAGGTTTTCTGAAAGAGGGCAGGGGATTGATCTCGGAGTGGGTGGAATGAGGAGAGGTACTTCGGCGACGTGGTGAGGGTGATCTCGAGTGGAAAGACAGTCCACGCGTGTGCTGATACGGAGTCGAGGGAAGGGAGTTCGACTGTTGCGAAGTGAGAGGCGGTCGGGAAGACATGTTGGCATTTGACGCCGAGGACTCTGTCGACAGGTGCCATTCCATATTTGATGGCAATTCTTGTGCTAGCTGTGGTCTCGCATCTGGCCTCTGTGAGTTTTTGTGGTTCCCATCAGTTTTTTCTGAAGACATCCAGAGAATCCAACGTTGCGGAACAACACTGGCCCTCGACGAGGGTTGAGCCGAAATGACCGCAGAGGCAAACGAGAATCAGGGAACACCAGTTAATGAAAAGAGGGCACTTGATATGAGTTGCCAAAACCAATGCTTGGATGAGATTGTATGTCCACTTCAGATCGATCGTTTCAGACGAGGATTCGGAGTTGTGTGTTGGGGTACTCCGACCGGGAGTCGACGAAATGATCAAATACGTTCGAGGTAAATTATACAAAAGCGTTCGCCAACGGCCGAGGAGAAAAGGAAGAAAGAGTGGGGGAAAATATGTGCGTAGAAGTGAAACAGATCTATCCAGTAGACAAGGACCAGGTAATTTAGGAATTCGTTGGATTATGAAAAGAATGCAGCCATGCGAGTGCGGAGGCAAAATGTACGATCGGCAAGCAAACGGCAAACGAAGACTACTTCAAAGGAAAGGTTAGTATTCTAGATCAATGATGCGAGGTATTCAGTGTGAGAACAGAAGGCGAGACCGAGTGCGATTGTCAAGGCTCCGAGGTGGTTGTGGCTGGCTCTTTGGGGGGGATTCTCCCGCGGATCCTTCTCCTAGGATTGGGATGAGGGCAACGGCATATAGAAAGGACGTACCGCGAAAAAAACAAGGACCGCAGCCCAGGCGGGGTCGAAGTACTGCAGGACTGTACAGAAACAATATTCTGGACCAGGTGAGGAAATCCACAGCAACAGATGACGCGGGAGGGAGGGAGGACGTGAAGTTGAGGCGATGTGAGGTGGTGGAGGTGGTTCGCCCCGTGGGAAGTAGTAATTAGCGTCAAAGTGCGTGCAGCCAGTCAGTACTATGACAAGACGCCGCCCGCCTCCAAGAAGGTGTAGGCGTCACAATGCCTGTCTCACGATTATGGTTCCCGATTGCTCACTAAAACAGGGTTAGAAGAGGCTCTGCAAAAACGCCGTTGTATTTATTGTTTCTGGTCTGCAGAGAGGGCCATGCAAAAGGAGGGCAATTCAAAGAAACAAGATGCAACGTGCAGCACTGGAGACAGAGAGGGTTGCAGCAATAACAATAGGGACAGGACAAGACAACAAGACTGGGAGCAATTAATTAACTGATTTTTGAATAGGGCAGGAGCGACCCAGCCGTAGCCATGATCATCAGGCAGGAGGCAGACAGGCAGACAGGAGGCAGGCAGGCAGACTCGGCGCCTGAGGCACCGCCATGCTCTTGCCTGTGCACGGCTCTTTCCATCTTTCATTGTCTCAATTACTTCCTCCCCCCTCTTTTATCTTTTCGGACCGTGGTTCTTGAACATTGTTTTCGAGCTATCCCCAGCCCGTTTATTGTTTCGGGGTGTGTTTAATGTTGCAATACCGTGCCCCGCCTACCAATCAGCAGGCTTCTCGGTGGTATGTTTATAGTTTGGCATCTGGCACCGCAGGGGCAGACAGCTGTATGCCAGGTGACGTGATATCCTGCCGAATCAGATAAGACTCTATGCACGCATCTGTACCTGATTTCGCAGTCTCGGCTTTCAGGGGCAGACTCATCTGTTGTTGGTCATGGAGTAACTCGTTAGGGATCCTGCTCATAATTACCATCACCATCAGAGAGTTCCGCATCGCATCGACTGAACATTGAAGCTTTGGCTATTCTCGAAATGCACGAAACTACCTCGTTCCAATATAAGTTCATTATTGTATGTACGACATCAGATCCGATGCCACGGGTTTATTCGACACGTTGGGTGCGCATGGTGTACTGCGGGGTGATTGGCTGTGCGGCCGTGGTGTACAGCCAATGTATATATAGAATATATAACCCACGCAGTGCTGGAATGCTCGGCATCATATCAATTGATAGAGGTCAGCGGAGTGCTCACTGATCGCTCAGCTCATTCGACACGCCTGCGGTTGTGCCAGACACTGTCTCAGAATGAGTAAGAGACTGATCAAATTTGCTGACAGGAATCTAATTTTGTTTTACAATGCTATAAACAGGTTCAACATAAATTGCTCAGAAACCAAGTGACTCACAGTACAGCCCACGTGGGCTTCGTTTCGTCCACTATATACTGAAGTACTATACTTCGTAGCATCAAAAAACCGGAATACTTGTACACTCTTTTCGAGCTGCAAGAATACACAATCCATATTTCACAGACGTCTTGTGAGCACACAACATTGACGGAGCGTTGCCTCGTTGTCTGGGTCATTAGACAAGTATGTCAAGGGCATAGGCTGGCGGCTTGTGTACGGAGGGCGCGCCTCTCCACATGTTATCTTCTATATATCAATTGATGTAGTGGATAGACTTAATCTACGGTTTTTCTACTAGTAGTATAGCATAATTATCTAAAAGTCTTTAAAAGTAAAGGGAATGGGTTTAACAGGTAGGTGGAGGAGTGGGTGGGTTGAGAGGAACAATATTAATATAATAAAATATTCTTAATGTGCCGTGGTAGCTAATTAAGAACAGATTCTAGCATTATCAATACATTTCACGATACCAATCCATCAATTGACACGGATTAATGCTAGATCGGTGCATAACATGTCTCGCCCTCATTGGCTCCCCGGGCAGTTGAACAAAAGCCGCTATATACATCTTTACTCCGGACTCCGGCGACCAGTCAACTAATATTTAATATTTATTACCCTCGTCTTTTTACGATTGAATTTCCAATGTGCCACGGTCTCCACATCTACTAAAATCAAACATGGCTAGCCAGTTCCACTCTCTGATTAGCTTTGACTCTCGAGGCCCACCACTCCCCTGGACGAAATTTTTCCAGATTTCTACGGACGCGACAATTTCTTTCCGTCAATTGACCGAATGACTTCGCTGCCAGCACGTGCAAATAGCCTACTCTGGAGTGCCACCATTAGAAGGCTCGCAATTCTAGATGCCTCCGCATTCTGGCTGGGCAGAAGGTGGAGAGGTACGAGTACCAAGGACTGCTAGCCTCCACTAAGTAGTAGTAAGTACCTCGACAGCCACGGGTAGACCGGGCTCCCGTTCCTTACTAGAGCCCGGCCCAGCCCGTCTTGCTCTCACGATTTCATATCCATGATACGACATTCTTGTCATGGATTTATACTGTATATAATTCCAGAGTATTGGCTGTCTCTATTGTGACAGCTGCAATGTGCATGGATCTTGCTTTGGCGTCTGCTGGATTTATAACATGACATGGTGATTTCTATCATGGTTAATTACATGTATGATACTGCCGTCTGTCAATGTTTTCGACCCCGTTGAGAAGAAGGATCATTTTCATGTATATGTGATCTGCTAGTCCGCTTCTAGAAGGGTCAGCACTTCAAGGTTGCAGGCAGAACTCGCCCCCGTTGCTTCTAGCAATAAAAAGCAGACCGTATTAGTACATATTGATCAATTGCTGTATGCACAAGTCGGCATATTTGTAATACATCAATTGATGTAAGCAGACGTGTCCATCAGACCAAACACAAGCAAGGATGATCACTAGACACAATACGAACCCATTCTAATATAAATTAACACGATCATGTAGACATTCATGATTCACCCTATGTAGTATACATATCGGATTTAATACACCAACTGAATACCCGTATGAAATAATAATTTCCGGTACGTGGTAACTTGTAAGCGACCAGAACAAATTTAATAAAACGACCACCTCCACTAGGACGGGGCTTACGTCCTCCCCCACTGCAACCGTGCCTGCGCGCTTTGCAAGACGGCGGTTCTCCTTCTGATTAATATAGACATGATTATTCCAGGGATGGGTGTACATATCGCAGGAAGATGCCAGTACATAAATTAGTATTGATATCCCACTCTCTTCAAATGTTAACTGGAGTTCGGCGCAGCCAGCCGCACCCTACGTAATGCGTAAAGCATAATTAATTATTATTAATAATTATTTGCAACGTTGAGAAGCCTAATTAATCTGCAAGCTGCACGAAAGAGTCAAGACTTAAAAAAAAAAAAAAGGCAGAGCGGCCAAGCAGGCTAAGGCAGCTTTGGGGGGAGCCCGGGAGCGAGTCGGGACCCTCAGGCAAGCCAGTCCAGTCTGTGTGCCGTCGGGGTGTCCTTCTTTCCCTCCGTCGATTCTTCTCTCTCCCCTCCACTCTCTCGGCTTGATTCTCTCTTCTTCTCTCTTCCTTTCTCGCCGTCGAGAATTTGGTTTTCCCTCTTCTCTTCCTTTCCTTCTCTCCTTCGTCCCTTTCCGCGACCACCCGGTCGTTGTTGTGCCGAGGGCTTCTCCTTTTGGGTTTTGGCGCACTCGGTCACCACCAGGCCCCCGAATCTGTCAAGAGGCCTGTCTTTTTGGCAACCGCCAGTGTGAGTGATTATCCTCTGTCGATGTCATCCAACAGTTCTCCCTCCTCTACTTCGCAGGCGAACTAGCGCACGTCCGATATCAGACGACCAGGGGTGGTGTGCGGCGTCTGAGGAGATTTTATTGGAGCAGAAAGAAAAAAAATCGAATGATTTCAGCCGCTCGCTCTTCCTATGTCATCGCCGTCGCCATCGCCATCCACATACGTCTGCATTTCGGAATCGCTTGTTACCCCTGCGAATATACCCATCGTTTTTGCCAATACTGAATCATCTCTTTTTCTGTCTTACCACTAACCGTCTCCTCCACAATAGACTTCTTGGCACACCTTTGCACGGTGCTTACCTGGTATACATTCTGACACCGACGCTGTCCATTAGGCCCATCCTTTTGGATCGGAAGTCATGTCTTCCTCGTACTACGAGCCACAGGGTTGGCAAGCCCCTGTTCGCCAGGCTTCATGGGAGCAACCCGTTCCTCCCTCCCGGTCAGGTAAAGAATACCGCTGCTTCTTGCACCCAACCGAAGATGAATCTCATTTATTTCCTCAGGGACGAGCTCGGTCTCCCAGCGAGATGAACCCTCGGCGTTTTCCTCTCAGTTCGATGAAGTCGATCGTGCCATCGACAACTTAGCCAAAAGTGGGAAACTCTTCAACGGTCCACGAAGAGATTCGATGCCGATGATGATGATGGGCCGTCAATTCCCAGACTACGGTATGAGCTGATTACATGGTGAAGGGGATAAGAAATGATAGGATCTCTAATTCTTTGCAGATCCTCGCTTGTCCGGTGGCATCCCCCCTCAGAGACATCACTCGGTGAGCGAGTTCGATCCATCTCGCGGCGGCCACCCAGGGTCTGCCCTACAAGGTTTCTACGCCTCCCAGCGATTTCAGGGCCGACAGTCAGAGACGGAACAAATAATGCAGGCAAAGCGTCGAATGGCAGCGCAACGTGAACGGGAGCTCCGTAATTATCATCAGGAGCAACAGTACAATCGCAGTATGTGACAAGCATTGTCTTCCTGCATTCATATACCCTATCATTTGCTTCTTCGTTTTCAACTTTTGAGGTAGCCAGTCCTGCATTGTATATTACAAATTTTAACATATTTTGATTTTCAAAAGGCCTTCTTGCCGAGATGTCGGGAAACAAATCCGAACGCTCTCTGAGTCCCGCTGCGATGAGTGAAGAGGGTCGCCGTGACCTGATCGCACGCCAACATCGCGCTCTATACGGAAATGAAAGTCCCGCCTTCTTCCCCTCGGGATCTTTGGGCGACGATGCCCACAGCGCCCGCACCGATAATGCCAACAGCGCCACGCCGACTTCTGGTACCGGCGGAGTTGGATCGTCTCCCCGAGGGATCGATCCCTTCGGATTGCCTCAACCGCAACCCGAAGGCCTGGTTCAAGGCGGTGCGCCTAACACAGTAGCGGGTCGCCAATCGCCCACACGTGCAAATAGCACCCGCTCCCCCAGCACTGGAGGCGCCTCGTACGGTTTATATGAGAGCAATGTCGAACAATCGGCCACTTCCACCTCATCTCCTGGAGGAACAGACTCGCCGTCGTCGCGACAAATGCCATCGAAACCTAGCGGTTCCGTCGGCCCTATCGGCTCACGCCCGTCGCAGCCTACTACCAGCCAGGCAGCAAACTCGGCCTTGAATAAACGGTCTACCACCCCATTGCCTTCCCCCTTGGGACTGGGATTCACACCAAATGAGGCTGCCGCATCTGCAAACGAGCGCTCGACATCTTCCACGTCCAATCATATCAACCCTGCACATGCTAGCAACAAAGAGTCCGCTTTTGCTTCTGGATGGGGCACTAACAGCGGTGTCTGGGGCTCCAAAAATCTGGGTGTTCAGGCTTCCGTCTGGGGCTAAATGAATATACTTTCTTTGTTTTGTTTTGAGTACTTTGTGATACTTTTTTTCTCTGGATGAAGCACCATGGCGTTGTGAGTACTGCATTCTCCATTCTATATACGGATGGAAAGCCAAGTACATATTACACGAGAACCGAAGGGGTCTTTTTGTGTTTATGGTTCCGGTCACGGACTGGATATTTGGGATTCCTGGAGCACGGTTGTTGGTTTACAAACTCATTGGCTTGGACTGGTCCGGGGGGTTTCTTTTACATTTGGGTACTTGAAGGAGTTGTATCCCCATCTTGCATATGTGTTTTCGGATTCGCATATTCCTTTTTCCTTTCTCTTTTCGTCTCCATTCTCGGTGTCGCTATTCGTCAGTTGTACTCTGAGCGTTCTGATGCCTGCGGTGAACGGGATCTGTATGTCGCGTGGGACTGGATTTGTTTGGGCTATTTAATATGGGTGTGTCTTATGTCTGTGTTTCGGCTGTTGGTGCAGGTTCATTTTGATCCCCTATCTTGTCTAAATTGGTTTTTTACATGTTTTTCTTTTCTTTCCTTTTGGGTCGAAAAACCACGGCTGGAGGCTCGGGACAGGAACAGGATAGTACAGGATTTCTTTTTTCTTTCATCTTGCAGGATCTTTTTGAGTTGGCAGGGAGTTTGTTGATGTTGTTCCCCTCTCTCCAACACCCCGATTTTCATGTCTATTATTTGACCGGTTTGTTTTAACTGATACATAATGCCCCCTTGTATTGTGCTTTTTCTTCTACATACATCAATCGATATCCTGAACATCGGACTGAACTTGGCAAGACGTTTACATATATGCTTACATCTATACAATGAGGTATGAACAGATACTGATATCAATGATACAATAGCGGGGTAGGAACCTGCACACCTCCACGCACAATTCTGTGTTCGAACTCCCTAGCTAGCCTGGTTGCATCACCCTGCATCTTCCCGGCCTTTGCCGCAGCCATTCAGCCGAGGGTATGCATGCCAGAATTATTCCATACATGATATGCATTATAAAAGCCAGTACTAAGACGGGCTCCGCCCGCTCGGTCTAATATTACGTATGTAGGTTGAGTGGATTTGCTACAGTCCATAATGGTGGCTGTTAATATATAGTAGGATATTGTCGTTTGCTTGTCATTTCTATTGGTAACAACTGGAAACCCCCCCACACCGGGGTGAATATTCTTGAGCTAAAATAATTCGAGAAAATAAATCACTAGACTCACGCTAGTTAGTTGTAGTGTTGACACGAGCAGCTGTGGAACAGCCCACTACGTCGATGGCGGGGTAATCAACCGTAGAGAGATGAATATTTGCCACCAGGAAATAAGAAATTCGAGTGTGGCTGGCGGGGAATTAGTACGGACGATAACCTGCAGATAATTTCAAATGCATACGCATTGATCTTGAATACGATGGGAGAGCGTGGCCTCGAAGCAAGTTTTTTATGCGTTTGTTTGACACTATTGGCCGCGGCGAGTAATATGCAATGCAACCTTGGTTTTCTTTCGGACTATGGTCAGATGATTGGTGGTTTGTGTTGGTGTCGCGAAGGCTGATAGCATGTGGTACAACATGGATGATACTTTTTTTTTCCCTCGTTATTAGCCATGTATTGGTGAAACACCAGTTTGGTGTAATTTTTAGTAGTTTATCTCATCGTGCCGTGTAGCGTTCGCTTGCTCGATCCTTCTTTTCGCCGTAAATATGCCTGATATGCCTCTTTCTTGATTCCGACCGAGCCACGGCTTACGAGCCTCGCCTAGCACAGGACGACCTAGATAGTAGACAAAGTGTCCGAGCATAATCAGTACAAAAGCAATTGGGTACATCCAGTGGACATGCAAATGCAGCACATGCACACCGATAATCACGCCCCAGAAATTGCCCGTCAGCATAGAAATATTCATGAACGAGGCTGATGCCAGACGATAAATCAAAGGCGCAGTTGAGTAGAAGAGCGAAAGACACAGGGTATATCCAATGAGGTAGCCAGCGACCTGTCCGTTCCAAGTCGCGGTTTCAAATGACGAACGGTCAAAGACACAGGCTTGGATGCCGTTGATGATTGTGGCCCAGAAAGCTAGTTGGCCGAGGACCTCATAGACGGGACGTTTTGTTACGAAGTACTCCTCGACAACATTTGAGAAGCCGTAGAAAGTGGCTGATAGCAAAGCAAACATATCGCCTTTGACGGCGTCCACGGCTTGCTCCCCATTGGAGCCAGTGATGTGGTCAGATCCGATCAAGATGCCCATCCCGCCGATACAGATCAAAATACCCAATATCTGCATGGAATGGTAGCGAACATGCAGAATAAAGAATGATGTTGCGACGACTATAGCGATAGCCCAGAAATTTATCAACTGTGCACTGAGAATGGTCGTGTATCGGTAAGCCAGGATAACAAAGTAGTTGCCTTCGACGTCGAAAGTAGCAAACAGGATATCTGTTTATTGGTTAACGCATTGCAATGAATTAATATTAACTTCATACATTTCCAACCATCTTGCCGTATAATGCGTATCCAACCGTTGAAGCCGTATTTGAATATGGTTAACGGCGTGAAGACGAGATTTAAAGCAGCGTAGCTGAAGAAAGTCTGAAAGGCAGGAATTGACGTGCCTTCCAGAGCTAGGAGGGAAGTAAATGTGCTAGTAGAGGTGTTGAGGATGGCCAATACTTGTCTATATACGTATTACCGTTAGTAGATGTAGCCATTCTTCGTCCTCTGAACGTACCCTAGAAACAGAATAACCCAAAAGTCCTTTGTGACGAAATATGCAAAAAGATCCTTCTTGGTGACGGTCGAATCGACAGGCACCAACGGTGTTTCCTCGCTATGTGCACTCAATGACTCTGCCAAATTAGGATAGGAAGTATTCGCTTTAGCAACATTTCGTTGATTATTAAAGTTAGAAGAGGCTGCCTCGACGCTGGCTGGTTGTCTCATTTTGAGGAATCCCTGTGTTGGCGAATGGTTTCCAACTAGTAGCAACAAAGTCTTGTCGACACTGCTATTTATAACAATTTCGAAGCTTTTATGTACAGTGAGCGCAAAGCTTGAAGGCGCTCACTTGCAGCATCTATCAACACATTGATAACGACGTCGGCTTGGGCAGGGCTTGCCGAGGGAGGGACATTGATAGGTAGGTCACAGGGATCGCCGTAGCAGATTAATAGAGAAGCACTATGTGTCGACTGGAAAGTCTATTAGAATATACAGTGTTCAAATGTGCATGAATATCTTACTCTGTTCTCAAATCATCAATACTCTTTAGTCGTAGGTTTTGAGATGTTTTGGGCGGTCCGCAATCGATAAGCAGAAAGAACAAGCAATGGTGTGCAAACTGAAAGTCAAACTCGCGTGCCGCGCCAACAGCGGAACAGCCGAAGATCTGCCTTGTCAGGCGGATTCCGCCAATCACGCGGGGCTTCGAGTCATGCTTCTGGAAACATGCTGCATGCTTTTATTATTCAAGCTTTGTTGTCTCCAGACAGCTGTTAGCAGTGCTGGCAGACAGCTTTGTTCGGGTCTGAATGCATCATCTTTAACCGATGCTGGCCGAAGCGCTGATCAGTGGTTGTTCATCTTCCTGGTACTCAGTCTGTAAAATCAACAGCGGGCAGAGAATCAAACAGAATACAAAGGGATGCTAGGATCTAGCAATAAATAATAAGAACGACAATAATAATAATAAGACAGTAATAATAAGAACGACATTGTTCTCATAAAGAAGAGGAAGACGTGAATGCGTGCAGCAGATAATGCCTCGAATAAAGAAAGCAACGCCTCACTATTGAATTATGACTGGCTTAGTCTTTAGGCTAAGCTGGGAGGCTCTAGGCGTTCCCGCGGCGCCCGCGCAGGCCCAGGCCAGGGGCGGTTGACAGGGACTGTGCCCAGGCTCAGATCTTCCCCATCTCGTCAGGATTGGCCCAGCCCGCGACACGACAAGCGATGGCGATTTAGACGCAAGTGTTCTCCTGCCACGTCTCCAGCTCTGGCACCGGTCGGGTCGCCCTGCGTGCTGCTTGGTGCTTCCCCGCGCTGCAAGCACAGCAAACTGGCGCTGAGGACACGCTAAACCCAAGCAGGTTGGCTGAGGTCGCGTGCGGGCGGTGGGCGCTAGAGGCAAGGTTGCCTAGTGCCGCCGGCGCCCAGTGTCCTTCATGCCTGCAGTTTGCCCGCGCCTAAAAATCGGCTGGCCCGTCTTCCGCAACACCAGCCGGCCCCGACCCTCAAACGATCTTCACTTCTTCTCTCCCAGACCATCATCATCGCCATCATCACCACCATCGCCTTCTCGACTGCCCTCGCCATCCACCACCCCGCCGCCTCTCCCCGCTCCCTTGTGCTTGAATTTCGAAACCCTGGCGCCCCTATCTTGACCATCTTGCGGCGCTCATCACCGCCCGGAACACTCGCGCTCGCGCCAGAGTGACGGGACGACAGCCATCTGTCCCCGGGCCGAGATGGCGCTGGCGATAAAGCCACCGCAAGACCGCAAGCGCGTGAAAGTCTACGAGTTACGAGATAATGACTGGTTTGATCGGGGGACGGGCTTTTGTACCGGTGCGATTGTCGAGGTAAGCCGACCCGTCACCTGTCGCGCGACCGCCCGCAAGCGCATCGCATGCCAGCACATCATCGCCATCGCCCTTGCGAAGAGCGCTGCCCATTTCACACTACGCTTAGTTCGAGCGGATTTGGGCTGATCCAATGTGTTGCTTTTATCTAGGACGTACCGACGATATTTGTCGAATCAGAGGATGAAAAAGGCCGCTGTCTGTTAAACACGAGTATTGGGAAAGATGAAGGGTATCAGAAGCAGCAAGGTTCGTTCGTCGTATTTGTATCGTAATTTCGGTGCCGCAGTGGCTCACACCGGTCATTCGTGAACAGAAACGCTCATCGTGTGGACGGAGACCAATGGAACCGATATGGCGCTTAGTTTTCAAGAAGCCGACGGATGTGCTGCTATATGGTTTGTGACATGCCATTTCGAAACAAGAAAAACAGCCTTGGTATGGCTTCTAATACCGATTTTTCAGGGATTATGTTAGCAGTGTTCAACATCAACTCCTGGCATTGGCTGGAGGTGGGGATTTTCGGAGAATTTTCATCCGTGCTTTTCATGCTGACTTTTGAATAGACGACGCCTTATCAGACGACGCCATTGAAACATACCAGCAACCTATCATGCTCCCTTCTCCAGAACTGGGAAACCTACCCGATATTGAACAAGCAGTACGGAACGCGAGCCTAACACAAGTCGGTCGCGACTCTCTCGGCAAATTCATACTTGGCGATAACTACATTGACAAACTGATCCCCTTGGTTGAGACGGCAGAAGATCTCGAAAGTCTACCAGATCTCCATCGCTTATGCAATATCATGAAATCTCTCATTTTACTAAACGACAACATCATCATCGAACACGTGGTAACTGATGGTATTATCATCGGTGTCGTTGGAGCGCTGGAATGTATGCATGGCAAAACCTTAGTTGAGGATTATGTACTGACCGTGGTAGATGACCCTGATTTCCCCACGCACAAGGCCAATCACCGGCAGTATCTCCAAGACCAGTCCAGATATAAAGAAGTGGTGCCCATGAAAGATCCCGAGATTCAGAAAAAGATTCGCCAAACATGGCGCCTCCAATATTTGAAGGATGTTGTGCTAGCACGTATTTTAGACGACCCGACCTTCTCAGTCCTCAACTCTCTTATATTCTTCAACCAGGTCGACATAATCACTCATATCCAATCCAGCGGTCCCTTTTTGAAAGAACTCTTCGCTATCTTCGACCCTCGGAATACGGACCTGAAACGAAAGGACGACGCCGTCACTTTTATTCATCAATGTGCTTCGATTGCGAAGAATCTCCAAGCTCCCGCCCGCGCATCACTTTTCGCCAATTTCATTGGCCATGGTTTATTTGCGGTGATTTCTTTTGCTGTGAAACACCCAAAACCTGCAATGCGCACTACTGGAATTGATATTCTCGTCGCGCTGCTAGACCATGACCCGATTATGATGCGTAGCTATATGCTAAAAGCCGTGAATGACAAGAAGACGCCGCTTACGGATACGTTAATAGACTTGTTGCACACCGAAGGCGATTTGGGAGTCAAAAACCAACTTTCCGACGCAATCAAGGTTCTCCTCGATCCTCAGATACCTTTGCAAGAATCGGTGGCTAGGGTGGGAGGGGATTTTGCGGCCAAGATTCGCTCTGCAAACCAAATCCCTGATGCTTTTATACAAAACCACTTTGACGAATCTGCTAAACGGCTTTTTGCTCCTCTTAAACTTCTCGAGGGGCGAACTTCCCGTATGTCTTCTCTCTTTTCATCTATTTTCTCGCATTGTCCGTTCAGTTTGACATGCCCGTACTGACGGTAGTTATACCTAGTCAACGATTTCACCTTCCAAGACGTTTCTCTCTATGCCCATCTTGTGGACATTCTGACTTTCTTCGTCCGCCAGCATTTGTTTAGGACCCGCAATGTTATTCACACAGAGTCCTTGGCTCCACGTGTAGCACAGTTGCTGAAAGCTCCACAAAAACACCTCAAACTCAGTGAGTACAACCTTATCAAGGTACCGATATAGTTAGAATGTTTGCTTATAGTAAAAAGCCGCTCTCAAATTCTTCCGCACTTTGGTCAACCTTCAAGACACTTTCTATTTCGCCCAGTTAACGCATAACAATATCTTTGGACTTATTCTCGACATCGTCTGCGAAACCATGCCCCGCGATAATCTTTTGAATTCGGCATGTTTAGAGATGTTCGAGCATATTAGGCGCGAGAATATAAAGCCAATTATAACTCATGTGGTCGAAAAATGCCGCGATAAATTGAGAGCTGTCACATATCTGGAAACCTTTGAGCATTTGATTCAATCTTACGATCGATTGCAAGGCTATGGCATTGAAGGTGATGCGACTCTTTACAGTCAGCAAGAAGCTGCATTGCCTCAACGTGGTCCCGTCAATGGACAGTGGCAAGGTATTCGGGAAATGGATGCTACTGAGGAGGAGTACTTCAACGCTTCAGATGAAGAAGAAGATGTAAGTTATTACATATGTGGCTACGTAGTATATCGACTGACGATGGATGATTTTCAGTGGCCACCTGAAGTTCGACAAGACGAAACGGCGGCACAGGAACAACCATCAGCCACCATTAAGTTGGTTGATTATCCTGACGATGACGATGAAGTAATGGATGCCAAATCAGATGCCAATGTTGAGAAGCAAGAAATCGAATTGCCAGAACGTAACCTTGAGACAGACACTCCTACAACACCTTCTGCTTCATTACCACAGAATCCTCCAGAACGACTTTCAGAGAAACGTCGTCGCAATGACGAAGATGACGATGAGCTTGTACGACTCGCTTACAATGGACCGAAACGACGAAGCTCTAGTGCCAGTACTACCGGTTCATCGTACTTACGCCGTCGGCAAAATTCGATTGACCAGTCCATTACGAGCAAAAAGGTCGCTGGCGGTGAAATTTCTAGGACTGCTCCTAAGAAGATCGCGATCAATTTAAGCCCGTCGCTAAAGTCTCCAGTCACAGTTGAGGCCGAAGCAATTCAAATCAGTGATATAGAGGAATTGAATACTGACAAATCACAAGGTGATGCAGAGAATGAGGAGAATAATTGATTCGCTTTGTCAATTTCTCTCATACTTTCATCTGCATTGTCAAACATATAGATTTTTGGAGTTTGTCTGCCTTCTGCATTTACGGTCATTCTATTCTTGATACCCTAATGAGTCGCATTCGATTACGCGGTAGCGACTTGCGCCGAGGAGTAATTATACATCCTTAATCAAGTCCAAGTACAGCCACCATTTCAGTTCATGGCGCAAGGATGCCTTCACTCATCGGAATCTGCGATCTCAGATGGCAATCGTTACATCGGCCCAGGAGAAAAATAATCCCCTGGATGATAGCATTAATTATGGCGTCGGAGTTCTGGAGAGTTCCTTGGTTTCGAAATGACAGGAACCGTACTTGTTAGTTGTCAATTGTTCATCATTTGCAATGGGGTTCAGCATGGTTAATGAGGACTTGGGGAGTCCTCCGCAATGGATGTGGAGTTTCAATGTGAATAAATTTTGGGTCTGTCTGGGGATTATTTCTCGTGGATATTATCCTGGTATGAGATCGGTTGTGCATAGACTTATGAATGGATAGGGCATGTTCCCCTCAATGTTGAATCCTCTTTCTGTTTGGATCCGCAGCGCGGTCTGACAAAAGATTTCTAAATTTAAAGTCTAGAGGCAGAAGCTTCACTGTCATACTAACAAAGGTGTACGTTGTGGAAAGGGTATCATTCAGCATACAGCACCTAAACTCCGGCTTTACCCATTGAACCGCTTAAGATATGCAACTTGAATTCTTCATTGACCCTGATGCACCAAACCCGCTTTCCGAAACAAATCCCCCAAAACGTTGCCGCCGCCCGGTTGCACTTGAGGAAGGGATTGGGCCACTGGCACTTGTTGTCCAGATGGCCCAGCACCCCAAACCCTTTCCTCGGCTGGAGCCGCGAGCCTCGGGTTATGGAAGCCGTCCTCTTGCATACTCGGTTGGCCGAACAGCTCTTTCAGTGAAATCTCTCGACCCATCGGCACACTCGCGTGAACTTGCTGCTGTGGTTGCTGTTGAGGACCATTGCGTTGCTCGGCCGCCACCCGTTCGCGCGCCAGAAGCAGACTTTGCCCCGCGTGGATTGCGCATTCTCTGATAACCTGCGCATTCAGTTTCCGTGTTTCTGCAGTTGAGTTTGGTGGAGGCTCGGAATAGATCCATAGGCCGTAGATATGAGACGCTGGGGTATCACCTCCATTGGATCCACTTTTGTCGTCGGATTTCAGAATAACAAACTCGTCTGTAACCTCCACGTTGTTTTCGTCGGTCAAATGAAGGTCGAAATTGTTGAGGCCGCGGCGATTCAGGACAAATACGCTGTATCGTTCTTCGCCGTACAGCCCTTGCACTAATTGGCAAACAAACATGCTCCCTTCCACGCCGTTCTTCTCCCACTGTTGCGACTCGGGGTTGAACGAGTAGATCACGACATAGGGGGCTAGGGATAGAATAGAGGTGATTGCGGGGTTGTGACGACGGAGGACGGCGATGTTGAGCTCCTCGTTGGAGCGGACAGGCGGCGGGGCTGGCACGGCGGGTTGCTGCTGGGTATCAGAGAATGAATATAGGTTGTCAGACTCGTAATCAGATGCTTGCGAGACGATGCCAGCGTATTGTTGCAGATATTGGTTGTTCAAATTGTAGTTGGCGTAGTTGGTGTTTGTGGCGCTGGCAGAATCGCTGGGCCGGCTGCCTCGGCCTTTGCGAGGGGTCATTGCAAGAAAAGGTTCGTAGGAAGAGCTTGTAGCTCTAGGGATGATTCTTATTGAACGGCGCAGCACGCCACAGGAGTGCGTGCCGAGGATAATGAGTGATGAGTGATGAGTGAGGAGTGATGGATGAGTGAATGATGATGAAGCGTTGCCGCAGGGCTTTGGCGTGGCGTGGGTACGCACCGGATCGACGGCCGCCTTGCTCTGCTCCCCACTGCGTTCGGTGGTCTGGACTCTGCGGCCAGCGAGATAGCGCGCACTCCAGCATGAGGTCGAGGGCTACCAGGCTAGGAACAGCCAAAATGGCGGCGATCAGCCAGCCAGTCGCTCGCGGCTTTTCTCTGTGTGTGTGCGGCTTCGCTGTAATCGACCTCCTCCTCCTCCGCCTGCTCAGCGCCTTTTCCTCCTTCTCCTCGCTATCCCCCCACTTTCTCAAGCAAGTCTAGCCACGGTCTGACACCTTACTACTGTTCCTCCTGGGTCCAATTAGACCCAACTTCGTGATCGCCTCGCCGAATCGTCTCGCACTGTCATCTGTCATTTCATGGGCTTTCCAGCCCCAACGTCCTCGTGATGTTCGCGACCTGCTTCTGATAATCCGGCTAGTCTGTATCTCACAGCCTCTGGTGATGGCTGTTGCCTGCTCTCAGCCTTGCACAACATTTCTACTACCTGCGCGCTGTCCACCACTATCGCGCTGATCCCGAGAACAACAACGGGTTCCGAGCTACTTATTTGTTGCGCGGTTTCCTGAGTTTTTTGCATTCAATGAATGCTTCGGGGGAATCTAGCAAAGTATTGTAAGAGTCAACAGTGCGCCAGATAGCTATGCGGACTGAGATTTCCGTCGACCAAGTAGTTTCGAAAGGATGGCGCCCGCTAAGGAGGACCAGTCTAATAACCAAAGCCTGAGCGATTCAGATATTCACCATCAAGACGAACAGTTTCCTGATGACCCACCGCCGTCAAACCCTTCGGATTTGCGGACTCTCAAAGAGGCAGTGAGAGCTCGCAGAGCTGAATATGTTCGACCCCGCACCATTCGTATCAAGGTGGGCACGTGGAATGTTGCCGCAATTTCCGGCACTGAAAGAGACATTGGGAAATGGTTCGTGGAAGGAAAAGAAATAATCCGCCATTCTGTTGTCGAGCGAGATGCACCAGAAGAGCATCTCCAAGAGGAATCCCAGACCGGGCATAGAAAGCCGGAATCGACACGGGGAAACCCTGAAGGTTATTCAGCATCGGATGTGGGAATATATGTATTAGGACTGCAGGAAATTGTTGACGTCTCATCGCCATCGGTATTGAGCCCTTTCGTCGATCCGGGACCGTCTACTCGCTGGAAAGAGGCAGCGCAGAAAGCTCTCCCTGCGGGGTATGAGCTTGTTGCCGAGTCTCAATTAGTAGGGATTCTACTCTTGATATATGCGGCACCGAACGTTGCTCCAACTATTTCGTCTGTTAGTTCATCTACTGTAGGGACTGGGTTGATGGGATATGTTGGAAATAAGGGGGCTACAGTAACGCGTCTCGTGCTTGGGGAAACAACAAGTATGGTGTTTGTCAATTGTCACTTGGCTGCCGGCGCCGACAAGGGTAGTCTCGAACGACGAAATTGGGATGCTTCTCAGATCATAACTCGGACAAAATTTAGTTCTGTTGATCCCGATAACGAGGTTTCTGCCGATGTTGACGACAGTATCGGTAGTGAAGATTTTGGATTCTGGTTTGGGGATCTCAATTACCGACTCGATGACATTCCAGGTGACGACGTCCGTCGTCTACTTATGTTGCATACCCAAAATGATTACGATGCAAGGCATAAGTTTCGCAAGAAGCATAGTGATGACCTCCCGTCACCTGTTTTGGTCGCAGAGTCGGATTCTGATACGTTTTCATCCGATGAGGAACAAAGTTCAAAAACTCAAGCATCGTCGAAATCATCGCAAGATCTGAGTATCTCACCGTCTACGCCGACTCTAAAGGAAGGGCAGCTGTCTGAACCGACAGCAATGGTGGACACCATGGACCCGTCCGTGGATCCATCATCTCTTCTAACAACTTTGAATTCCTTGCTGCCTCATGATCAACTCCGAACCCAGCAACTGAAGGGAAAAGTTTTCCATGAAGGGTGGAGAGAAGGGGAAATACGATTTCTACCTACCTATAAGTATGACGTTGGTAGTATTTCTATGTTCGATACGAGTGAAAAACAGCGTGGCCCAAGTTGGTGCGACCGTATACTATATAGATCAAAGAGCGATCGCATCAATTATGATAGACAGGTCAGAGAAGCAGAAGAAGCGCGAAAGAGAGACGAAGAGATGAAGGCACGGGGCATAGACAAGGCTGCGGAGGACGAGAATGTTTTATTCGATTACAACCCAGAAACAGACGGCGCGCATGAGGATGAGTACAGAGAGGATGATAGGGCTTCTCAATTCTCCTCGACACGTTCTGACGGGACAGACGGCCATGAAGATCCCATTACATTAACCCATTATACATCTCACCAGGGGATCCTTTCATCTGATCACAAACCGTTAGACGCTGCTTTCGTGCTTACATATGATGCTGTGATTCCAGAGCTCAAGAGAAAGGTCTGTCAGGATGTCGTGAGAGAATTGGATAAGGCAGAGAACGAGGCCAGGCCAGATTTGACCGTGATTGTTGACAATCATCATGAGGAACTGGACGAAGCACACCGCGATATAGCGAAGGACCAGAATGCAATCTACTTCGGTGGCGTACCTTTTGGCGTACCGGTGAGTAGGACTGTGACTGTTGCCAATACTGGTGCTGTACCTGCAACCTTCTATTTCACGTCGAGACTTGTTGCAGATCCTTTACAGACTAGAGACAATCCGCCTCCATGGCTCGAAGTTCGAGTTGATTGGCCTAAAGACGAAAAGAAGAAAGACGAGAAAGAGGAGCATCAAGACAAATATACCCTCGCACCGGGAGACTCGGCGACTGTGGACGTGACAGCGCGTGTGAAGCAAATAGACTATGTGAGGGCTTTGAATGACGGCACAGCTAAAATCGAGGATATTTTGGTGTTTCGAGTATCGGGTGGTCGGGATCAATTCATTCCAGTGTACGGCAAATGGCTACCAACATGCTTTGGCCGATCATTGGAAGAACTCACACATATCCCCGAGGCCGGCGTTCGTAGTCTGGGAACTGCATCTCAATCGGAAGCTGGAAAATCTGCAAAAGCCGTCCGCTTATCTGCTCCGCGAGAGTTATTTCGTCTGACAGAAGCAATCTCACGTCTCACGGAACGAGCTGTTGCTGAATGGGGCATGATGAAAGGAGACTCTGATGGTGAAAAACCCCCTTGGCTATCCGAGCCTCACGGGCTTGGGTGGCCATTCGACGGTGAATCGTGGACGTTTGAAGACGCAGAGAAACGAGCACCACTGCTCTTTAGTGTCCGCGAGGCTCTTGACACTGGAAGCTCCCTGGGCTCCATATTTCCCCCAGAAGTACCGTCGCTACCACGACTAGAAATATTTGCGGAAACACTTGTGTCGTTTCTGCAGTCTCTCAAGGATGGAATCATCAAGGCCGATACTTGGAAACACATGGAGCAGCAATTGGTGGCACGAGAAAGGTCCAAAAATCCATGGCATTCACCGGAAGAGCTCCAAGTTTGGGTCCTTGACACTCTCGCTCCTGCACCTGTACACAGTGTCTCGTTCACCTTTCTGACATTTATGTTGACACAAATCATCAACGAGGTTGCTCCTGCATCGAACCCAGCGGTTCTACCTGCAACACTCGATCCACCAGCTCCACCATCGCAAACCGATCCTAATATCCCACCTGAGCAAAGCGCTCCCCGGGTTTCCTCCGAAGTTCGTTCGAGACGAAGCACTGTAACACTGACATCGTCCGACTCCAAGGACAAAAAAGCCCATCTCTTCGAAAACCCGATGGAGAAACGACGTGACGCAGTTGAGCGGACGCTGTCGTCGCTATTTGCGAACCTCATGATCTCTTCATCCGTACATGCGCCATTGAAAGAGAAAGAGCGTCTTGCGTGGGAAGAACGGAAACGGATTGTGGTACAGGCCTTTTTGCAGCCCACGATCACACCTAATCTCGAGGCGGGCATTGCAGCTGAACCTGCTGATGAACAGAGGCAGTCTACGGTGCAGGAATAGAAGCAAGGATATAATCCGGCGATCTGATAATGTGAAAGGGGTTATTATCCCCATTGATTGGTATATATAGAGTAATCACGTCAAGGTATATTTATCACTTCTTGGTTAGTCCGACTGTCTATTAAATGATAGATGATCATCATGTTTTTTTACATTCATTTCTGGGGATCGTTTCCGTTTCTGTATTTCGCATCGGTTGATTTGGTTCTTATATTATGTACATGTACGAAACTGAAATGATGCTTTGGATTGACAAGTGCTAATAGTAAGTACGTAATTCAACATTCAATCAATGTTCTGTTAGTATCATTCAATTTTCTAAAGAAAGCTCACGTGTAGGAGAGATTGCAGAAGGACCAACAGTTTGCTAATTTCTTTACATAGATCCTTTTTCAAAAATGGCAACTCGGGCGAGGACTCAACGAACATCACGTATAAGGTAATAACGATTGGAAACACTACGAACTAAAAACCAGCATACCAATACACGCGAAGGCCTTGCGGTTCTGTGTTAAATGCACGGTATGTATATATTATATAATGTACATTACTGAACGCCTCGGCTCGGTGCCACTGTCATGAAACGCCGAGGAGTGCGGAATGCCTTCCGCAAACATGGAAGCCCTACACCTAGCCGGAAGTCTAAAGAGCTAAAGCATAAAATAGAATTATTTTAGGTTTCAAACCCGTGCTAGGGGATACGCCGTGGAGCTTTATCTAAACCCCTGCTTTACAGGTTTAAGATGAGTGGATTCCGTCCGGTTTGCTGAGCGTCTCAGACATATGTCGAGAGAAGCCTGGTTGATACAGCATGGATCCTTTGCCTCAGGAAGTTGTCTCGCAGGTGTAGAAGTCCGGCATTTTCGGCGAGCCTGTTACGTATGATGATTCAGTCCAGCCGTGTCTAACGACGTTGTCATAGCAAACAAGGTGGTGTTCTGCACAGGTGGCGGCGGTACTATCTGTTCTGCTCAAGTACAGGCGCTCGTATCTCTTGGTGCAAACGCATGCATCGTCGGTCGAAATGAGGAGAAGACAAACAACGTGGCAGAAAAAATAGCGAGCACCCGGAATGGGTCTCATGTGCTAGGCATAGGGAATATAGACGTTAGGAAATTGGATAGTTTGCAGGCCGCAGTCCGCCAATGCATCCAAACGTTGGAGCATATCAACTATGTAATATACGGTGACTTGCTCCTTACTCTTAACTCTGCAGGGGCCAAGTCTTTCTAAAGTTACGTGCTAACATCTATCCTATGATTTTTCAGAGCAGGAGCGGCAGGGAACTTTCTTGCTCCTATCGACAAGCTTTCTGCAAACGCGTTCAAGAGCGTTGTGGACATTGACCTTCTTGGGTCCTATCATACACTCAAAGCAACCATACCACATCTTCTCGAGTCAGCAGCGCGAAATACAAACCCAGGACGGACCATAGGCGGACGGATTATTTTCATATCTGCCACATTTCACTTCACTGGTGTTCCTTTTCAGGCCCACGTCGCATCTGCCAAAGCCGGCGTCGACGCCCTTTCGGCATCAGTTGCCCTGGAATACGGCCCGCACGGGGTCACTTCAAATGTAATTAGCCCTGGTTGCATCCAGGGAACCGAGGGAATGGAGAGACTTTCCAGCAAAGAGATGCGTGAGTCCGGATCGGCCGGACGGGATGTGCCGCTGGGTCGATATGGCCTTGTAAAGGAGGTTTCGGATGCAACGGTTTACCTTTTCAGCGAAACTGGAAATTACGTCAATGGACACGTTTTGGTCATCGATGGAGGCGCGTGGCGATTGCCTGGACTTGACGACATCTCCAAGGGCTTTACCTACCCTGACATTGTGCTACAAGGTGCGGATCTACAAGGTGATATCAAGACTGGGCGCAGGTCGACGTCCAACATTTAGACGAAACAAGATTTGCAGAAATACATTGTCAATGTTTTATTTGTAGCTCCGCCTTTTCTTCCCCCTCCTGTTAGAACTGAAGTTCACCCACATATTCGGAGCTGCATTCGCATCATGCCTCAAAATCCAGGACCCGGCGATATTTCCGTGCCCATACCCTGTCCAAAATCAGAGAATAAAAGCTGACCGAGAACGAATTCGGAGTCCGGACTATATATGCCGAGCCGGTGAAGAAGGTGGTTAGTCCTTGAAGAGCGAAAACCGCATTAAAGTGGTAGTAATGGCCAAGACGGAGCTCATACATACCATGGCATGTTCAAAAACTCATTGTTGAAATAGGGAGACCAAACATCAGAAAATTGGGGAAACTGTTCCTCGGCTGTCGTAGTCGTACTACGCGAAGGGTCATCGTGGTTTGCATCACACCAGACCCGATTTTCGTCCGCAGTAGAGGCCGTGTCGATGCGCTCTCCTCGTTTGCGCAACTGCCTGCTTGCCCCGGAGAACATTCGGAAAAGGATTTCAGCCCCAAAGTATGTAGTCTTTAACTCTTCAACAACAATCATACATAAGTCAAGATGACAGTTGCCCAGTCGTTGCACGGGTAGTCTCAGTGACACACAATCGAGAAGATGTATTTGTAATGTCGGAACTAGAGCAATGCAACTATGAGATATCTTCAGTTCTCATTGAGCTCGTAAAGCTTGTCTTTGCATACTTACATCATTGAAAGGCATTCGTTGATCATATCAGCTCTAATCATTTTGCTCAGAATTGCATTGGTATTTATTGCCGCTGCCCTTGTTTTTCGTTCAACGATCACCCCCCACTCTCTATGGCAAGCTTCCGTATTCATTTCAGATGTTTCAAGAAGAAATGGGCGATATAGTGTCAGTAAGACAGACCTAGATTCCCGTGTTAGCATGCGTGAACCTGAGTAGTATCTCCTGAATTTCTCTCTCTCACTGACTCCGAATAGATCTCGAGGTGATACAAATGTAGGGAAGCGATCCGACTATTAGAACGCGAAGTAAGATTGTCAACGCGATAGTGAACCGCTCGAAGCTGCCTCTCAATCTCCTCAACCTCGACTCGAGTATGCAGCGTTCGTTTTACACACTGTTGAACCGAAAGAATCCTCGATAAAATGGATGTGATACGGAGTAGTTCTATCCATAGCTCTAAAAGATATCCACAGTCATCCGGCAGGTACTTCAGACGTATCTCATCCGTGATACCTGATAACAAATTGTTGGAGTCCCTGCTATCCGGCATCGACGTATTGCAGTCGGCAAGATTGATGCGCATCGGTCGACCCATCCCGGCAGAAAACCAAGTCTCACGATATACGCAGCACCACCAGATCTGCCTCCACAATCTTCGTTCCTGTGAACTTATGATTCCCATCCGGTCTGTTCCAGTATCTGGTTGACGATGGAGGCCAATGGTGTGGCAGAGGCTGATGGCGATGCCGTTCCAATACCACGGGCCAGTCCGGTCCTCGGTATCAGAGTACCAGAACTCCATTAACAGCACAGATTGAATCAAAGTAATCCTTTTCCTTTCATACTCCGTATCATATAGGACCTTTAAATGGTTAGTGAAAAGCAGCGCTCCGTCTTCTCGTGCTGAAACTGATATTCTTGCCTTGGCTTTCGTATACATCGCGTGTTTCATTTTTTTACGGCTCGAAAAGCCAGCGGCCTCGAGCGTGTTCTGGTCCGCAAACTGATTGCTAGTCAGCCCGTTCGCTTGTTAAAGGCAATTGAGAACCGTCATGGTATACATTCGCAGCCGCCAGAAAAATACTCCAAAGTAGCTGAAGGCTCAAATTTTCTCGCTCATTACTTTCATATAACTCGAGAAACGAGCGTGGTTCGATAATGGGAAAAAAGGGATGAACATAGCGGAAGTATGTCTTTATCATCATTACGCATACGATCGGTGGAGGTAGATCAAAGACGCCTTTACGTCGTAAATAATCCATCGTTTCAGAGCCGATATTCGCCGAGACCATTGGCGGGACTAGATAATGTCCACTCTTGTTCTTCAGCTGGGGTTCGCATATATCCGCGACTAGGGCAACGCCTCGCGGATCCCCTACTTGGTCAATTACACTGCACTAAAGATAACTGCTTAGAATTTGACCCAGGTTAAGCTCAACATACCATATATAGGAGTTAGAGTCTCTGTATCATGTGATTCTTGGTCAAGAGTCTCCTCCGTTCCATAGTGCCTGAAATGCTCTGTTAGTAGCCGATAGGGGCTGCCAGGCTTATAGCAATCCCCGTCAGCCTCAGGGGGTTGTGGTCTTGAGGTTAGATCTTCGCTGTTCGGCGAACCTGTGTGGGCTTGTGCTTGACATTCGCGCCTATACTTGACCCGACTCGACGAGTCATTCAGTGACTTGACCAGGACGTCAAGCTGGGACAATTGCTCCCTGCCTGGTGGAATTCTGCTAACCTATCATCATATACTTAGTACAAGATGTCTTCGAAAGAGAAATAGGAATTGATTTTTTCTCCTCAGAGATTCACTTGCCTTTGCCTCTTCCTAACCCGCGCCTCGCACGTAATGCCGTCAAGAGAGCAATTAGTGCAAGGCGATCCGGTCTGCGCCAAACTGCATCTTACTTTACGGGTATGACACGAACGACACGCAGCTGCTGTGCGTTTCTTGGGCTGTGTTATGGCGTTGATATTTTCCATACGGTCGCTGGAAGCCATATCCAATCGTAGACGTTCATCAATTGATGTTGGTCGCTGGGAAAGATTTCGGAAGCTGTATATGTCCGTGAAGCGGAGCATTTAATACCGAGATCAACTTGATTTTAACCTCGGTTCGGCTGATTGTTATGTTGTAATTCGCAGAGCCCTTATTGCTTAGTGTAGTAGGATGATTACTAGCGACTAGGTACAGACCATGTAAATAACAATGCATAGAATTCAATTTTTTGAACCGATCCATTCCAATACATGTAAGGCATAACCCTAACCTTGCTATGAAAGTCTGTTACGGTAATTGTACCAAATGGAACAAAATCTCTTCACATGGAAATTTCACTATCAATGAATTACATAGGAAACAAAGGGGTTCAAAATCTCAAAATATGGTGTAAGGATAGAAACATTACAAAACTTCGGCCGAGATAGGATCTGAAGCTCTTCGGTTCCCCCAGTTGGTCAATCTGGATTGAATCCCACTAATCTATAAACGGTGCTTCTTCTCTCCAGAGAGTACCTTTCCCATTTCTTCTTGAGGAATGCCCTGGCAAAAACGATCCAAACCGTCGAATGTCTCCAATGGAGCTTGCTCGTCTTGTTCCCGAATCACGCGGCGACGCAAGAGCCGCTTTGTTCCCAAGAGACTAGTTCCGACGAGATGGTTATTGAACGTATTCTTAACATATTCCAAGACCTGGGATCGAAAATTGCTTTTATCCTGGAAGACTTTGTTCACGAAACCCACTTGAGCCAGTTCAGAAACAGGGATTCTCCGACCCAAGAGTAGGGCTTCATTTGCCTTCCCGGGTCCCAAGCGGTGAACAAATGCAACACTGGAGCCTCCTTCCGCTACCAAGCCCAGCGAGGTGAATGGTGTCATGAGGTAGGCATCTGCGACAGAATACACGAAGTCGGAATGAGCTATCAGCGCGGCTGACAATCCTATAACAGGGCCGTTTAATGCCGTGATCAGAATCTTGGAGTGGGCATAGAAGGCTCGAGCGACGTCAATATTGTTGTTGATCAGCTTGGGTAGCCAGTAAGGGCGGGAAAGAATTTCGTCCCTTGGCGGAGGCTTGTCCTTAAGATTCGCACCGCTTGGCACAATGTTAGTCAATACTCTCAGCTGAAAATGGAAGTCATGCACTCACGCAGAGAAGAAAGGGCCTTCGCCGATCAGGAGGGTGACCAAGACATTCTTGTCCTCATCAGCTTCGCGGAGAAGGGTTGCCAAGTGATAATATAGACTTTGCGTTAGGGAGTTGAACTTTGACGGGTTGTTCAATGTAATGATGGCAAGACTGCCGTCCAAGTCAAGGCGAATGAGTTGTTCTTCAGCCATCATGTTCTCTGTAAATGACAAGAATTAATGGGACGGACCACGATCGTCCTCCGACCCCATTTATGTTTTTCAGAAGCATCGTTGACCAATGTCAAGACACTTGCATTTGAGCGTTAGACAGACTTCATTCTCCGAGGCGATACAGAAATACCGAGGGGCGGAATGGAATGACCTCACTACTCACCCACCCCCGCGGCGATTTCTCATTTGACTTTGCCAGTATTTGTTCATTCACTGAGGCGACCGTCCAAGTTCGTGGCAATTACTGTGTAGAGGACCGGCCTAATCTATTGTTATTGAAACTGGCGCTTTGGGTATCGAGACCATGTTAGCTGGTTATTTAGCTTTTACTAGCCTTCCTTTCATATGACATGTCAGTACGTATGATTGTGGATGAGGCTGTATGCATGCCCATAAAAAAAAATTAAATGCACATATTCTAGCTTCTACGGAATTCATATACCTGTTTAACACCACATCGCCCTTTGCTATAGAAACCTTTCTCATATGTCATTGCTCCGAAGTGGATATGACATTGATGTAATGAAGGAATTTCGATATCCGTATATTGGATTAGCCTTACGCCAGTGATCAATCTCTGTGAGAATAGGTGAATGAGAAGGGACGTATAGTAAGGGAAAGGTCGCTCAGGCTACGTGTCAAGTAGACTGTGATGCCTATATATTGCACATATGCGCTTCAAATTGACTTGTTTGATTTGTTTACAACAAATCAAACATCAACTTTATTGGTATTAAAATGAAAACAAAAAGTACATAAAGTCCTGCACCGTTGTGTTAGACCCGGCACCAATGACTTCGACAACGAGGGCTTCATAAGGGAGAGTGTTGGCGATTTAGTTGTGAATAGTCCAGAGTGGAATGCCTCCCATCCAACAATTTGTTGCAGGTAAGTGAGGTTGTTTCTACACCTGTGATAACAATCTTTGCTAGCGCTTCTGACAGCTTCTGAATAGCTGTCATTCATAGCGATACGCGCCATGCAATTGACAAGATCAAGCCCTGCACCAGCTTCAGTAACACGGTGCTCAAATATCAAAAACAAATTCCACCCTGCCAACATTACGGTATTGCAGCAAATATGCTACCGCAGCCACCGCACGATGCATCTCAGCACGAACTCTGGCCGGCACAAATACCGCAAGGATTTCTTCTATAACCTTTGTCACTAAGAACCTGGACCTCTATGTGGCGTGTATTGTTAATAAAAAGCTCAATGAAAACGCCGTCGTCACTAAAATTGGCTTGCCTAAGCCGACGCACACGGTCGAACGCCTCTCGAAGGTATTTTCGTTGGTGCACTGTTGAAGCCCAATCCCACCTCCGCTAGCAGTACTCTTTACCATGACCAGATATACAATATTGCTTGCCTAGAAAAATATTTAAGATATAATTATCTTTAAGAAGTAAATTAAATTGTTATGTCAAAAATTTAGAAGCAGAGATGTAAAACTGTATTTTTATTTATTTCTAATTCTGTCTGCTGGCTCCTCTCGTATTTTGGTGTTTTTAGAATTACTGGGTTGATAAGTGGTTGTGGGATAAGTCATACCAGTCGTTGGACATAACGGTCAAGTTTTCAGGATATTTGAAGAATGGGATTAGTGCTACATCCTCCATCAATCCATCTACTGCGTCCTGTTGAGTAGAGAGGATAAAATATAACCAAGTGATACAAAGTATAAATCAAACATGATTCAGCAACGCGTATCTACAATATTCGCATATTTGGAGAACTCCTCATCCGTTTGAAACATCTCCAGCTCCTCTGGGTACGTACCCATAGCAAATTCTATTCCTCCATCCTCCCTTATGGGATAAATGACCAGGAAGCGGAATCGTCCGTTTCCACGCTCGAGCTGTGGCCGTAATGACTCCGGCAAGCCTCGATTGGCGAAAAATGTATCACCAAAGCAGACTTCGCTAGACGGGAATAACATCATGTTCGAGATCATAACGTGCATATGCTCAATGCCCATATTAGCAGTCGAGAATCGGCTGTGATCCGGCAGTGATTGCAGAATTGAAAATGCGTCGTGCACGACCTGAGGGGTGATTCGTGCAGCGGACTGACGGAGCACATACGCGACGCGGCCAATGCTCGTTTCGTCCGAACAAAGCTTCTCAATCGGCATAGTTGATCGGTTGAGAATAAGCAAACTACCCATGTATGTCGAGGGTAATAGGGAAGAGAAGTATGGGCGGCCATCGGTGGGTAGCTCGAGAATGGACACTTCCTCAGGCTCAAATGTCTGCTTTCGGATCTCCTTAGCAATTCGATATCGTACTCTAATGTCAGCTCGCCAGAGGAAGGCTTGAACAATATCACTGATTGACTTAATGACTCCCTTGGCCTCAGGATCAGCAATGACCTCTTGCTTCATCTTCTCAAGCTTGTCGGGTTTAATTAGGAATAGTGTCGTTTTTGGGCATCTTTCAGCCCGGGAAAGTGGCCAGACATTGTGCAACTTGAATTTAGGTGCAGGCGGTAACGTATGGCCCTTGGTAGACGCTGTGGCAACGTCGGTGGAGATTTCTCTTCTTGTTCTCATGTCGCCCGCCGGGAAGAAAGGCAAGAAGCTCCACGTTCCGGGGTCAATTTCGTCGAGCGGGCGAGACCATCCTTCTTGTTCATGAATGATTTCCGGTAAACTGTGATTGAAGCTCTCAGGGTCGTACCAGCTGCAATTTGCTGTGTGATCACCTTGCAGGTATCTGCAGTTCTCCGCCCAAGCCTTAAGGGCGACCATGACGCCGAGACCGTCAAGGCAGCAGTGGTTCAAGTCGACTGCAACAATGCAGCCACCGGAGACGAAGTTCACTTGACCAGAGAAAATGTCTGCGGGGAGTGTAGGGAATGGATCGTCTCGCAGAACGAGATCATCTTTGAAAGCAGATGGTGGGAAACCAGCGGCTCTTAGCTTGTCAAAAGATGGAAGAATATCCGAGAGATCTTTGTACACCAAGCGGTCTCGAGCAGAAGCTGCTTTGGACAGGGGCGGAATCGTCACGCAAAGGTCTCCTTTGGTATAGCCGATCTCTTGTTCAGAGCAGGACATTATTTTACCGCTGAGAGCGGGTATCATATCAAATGTACGGTTGAGTCCGTTTTGAAGGTTTGCAAAGACTTGCTCGAACGAAATCTCGTCTTGAATAGAGAAGTAGAGCATAATACCCATTCCGTGGTTGGGATTAACGTAGTCAAAAGCATTCAAGCGGAAAGACTGCCGTGCCTTGTGCTGGGTGATCACAGTGTTCATCCCAGAGACATGATCGTCTCGAACTTGACCGGATGAGATAGTATCTTTAGCAGCCTGTGCCTCCGCTATCAGGAAGGAGACAGTGGCAGCGAGACTCGTAATGGTTGGATTTGCATAAACATGCCGAGGGGCAATCTTTTCACCCAGTGATGAAGCTCCTCGAATTGTCTTGATAGCGGCAAAGACACCTAGAGAGTCGAGTCCCAATGCAAATAGATCTGCTTCTGGAAGGGCATCCTGAGCTTCAGGAAGTGAATGGCTGAGGATGGTACGGATTGAATCCTCGATCGCGTTGATAGAACTTAGATCTAGACTGATAGACTCATCGAGATCATCGCTTCGTGAACTGTAAAAGCGCTCGATATAGTCAGCATACAGTGCCAAGGAAGCTGATCTTTTCACAGTTCCCTTGTCCGTTCGCAGGAAGGGCCTGTCAGGTAGTGTGAATGTGACGAAATCCTTAAGTAACTGATTTTTGTGCCGAGACATGGAATTGGCCGTCTGAATCGTTTCCCAAATACTATCAATGAGCTCAACCGGCTTGCTGGATGGATCCTTGAGCTCAATGAGTAGGCCCGCCTGAGGCTTCCCAGTTCCGAAAATAAGACATCCATTAACGGCCGGGTGAGTGGTAACAAATATCTCCGTCTCGAGGGGCGATATTTTGTACCCATTCGACAGGACGACAAGATCATCGCTTCTTCCCTTGAAAGCCCATAGGTTGGGCTTGGTAGGGTGTTTCATGTATAAATCTTTGAAGTTGATCGAGTTCTTGTCGGGGAAAGTGTGGAAAATGCCTTGGAAAAGAGCCCAATGCTCGTTGCGATGTACCCAGTGCTCATAGGTATCTGCCTCGGCTTCTTTGAACTCGAAGCCGGAGTAAGGGTGGAAACAGAACCAGAACCAGTCTTCTCGTGGCGTCCAAAGGTTCCCAATGAAAAGACCCTCCGTCGTACCAGTTAAATTGAGCACCCTTACTACCTCATTCACTCTGCCGGCGCTGACAGGGTTGACAGGACCGCCAGATGCGCAGATGAACTTGCTCCCTTCGAGCTTCGCCAAAACTTCGGGAGCTTCACCCAACTCGTCGACAAGGGATGGAACCATACTCCATATGTCAATCTTCACGTCCACGGCCAATCTTTCCACGAGATTCAGATTAGGCAAAACACCGACTGGGCCCAAGACACAGTGGAGATTGAAAAGTGCGGGCATCAGAATATCCATGATAATGCCAGCACCCTATTAATAGTTTAGTCAGCTTATATATCTTTTACGGGATATTGAGCCCTAAAACAGAGTAAAAAGGACGGTTTACGTACGTGACTCATTGGGAACGAGGAATAAATCTTGTCTCCCTCATCCCAGCCAGAAGTCCATGGAACCAGATCTGCATTTTCACCCACTGGTGGGAGCAGTCGTACTGCGTCCATAGTCCCAATGAGTCCGTGAGACCAAGGAATGGGCTTGGGTAGTCCGGTGCTTCCTGACGTATGCAGAAAGCAGAATGGATCATTGATGGCATCTTCAAAAGTTTTATTGTATGGAAAAGGCTCAGTAAACTCGGTATCAAGAAGCTCGTCAAGTAAGGGAAGCTGTAAAGACGTCATAGGGCGTCTTTGACGAACCTCCTTGACGAAAGGCACCGGAGAAGCGTCGATTGCATTGACCCAGATGTTGCAGCTTGTTGCCTCGAGTACTGCCATAACTCCTTCTATGTTGTTTTTGGGTGATAAAAACATGGCCTGCCGAGAGGAAGGTTAGGGTCGATGACTTAAGAAGGGTTTCCCTGTAGTGGACGTACCGCATAGCCCGCTTTAACACATGCATATGTCAATAGGATATGTCGGAGATCGTCTGAATAAATAAATAAAGTCAGTGACCAATCTCTCAACAGAGCTCTATTTTCTAGATATAAGCCGAACTTACGTGGCCCAATGTAAACCACAGGTTGAACTGCACTCGGTGTACCAACCTGATCACGAAGCCACCAGGCAGTCTTATCAACCGCTCTGGTAAATTGTCGAGCAGAGACGTGGTTGAGCTTAATATTCCCGTTCAAGACTGATGCAAGGGAGAAGACGGTCCGGTCGGGGTCGGTATCAGCAAGGTTGTCCATTATCTGAGGAATAAGCCTTCTACCGTACGAGGTTGAGAAACTGGCATTATTGTCTTTCGGCCGTGCCGTAAGGTCATTAGTTTTGTCTGGTGGGATACACAACCAAGTCTGCGCTGATTCAAACTCTGGAACTGATTGTGTCTCTTGCGTGGTAAGTGTACTTCCAGATAAACTGTCTTCAGACGAAGAAAGGGAGACCTCGCTGGATAAAGATTTTAGTAGTGATCTATTACTGGATGAACCATTGACATATTGATTCATATTGATCGGCCTGGCTGATTGAAGGTAGCTTGCCCCTGTCATGCTAATCGTGAGACCGTCTCTCTGGAGCTTTTCTTGGTAGTAACTGGGCTTCCCGTCAATGTGGACAAGTTCCAAGCGATTATCTTGGTTGAATTCACCCATTGGGGCACTAACCCACACTCCATCTGCCAACTGAGCGACACTACAGTGCCATGGAGTTGTGAAACCGGTCTTAGTATTCAGCAAACTGATAGATAGTTTAGTACCACACATTGACTCGTGGATTGAAAGCCGCAGATGGTTGGGGAAGGCCTTCTTGATCGCCGCTGCGAATGCCTGTCACTCAGAATCAGCGGCAGCATTCATCACCGTTAAACTTGTTAATGTGGCTAGATTCTGCTTACATATCCTCTTGTGAGCATCTGCTTGGCCAGATATTTGCAGTCTTGTTTGTAGCTGTGGGCGGAACGATTCTCCCCTCGAGGGAAAATGTACTGAAGATCGGATTCCAAGAATCGCTTATATCCAAGGTATGTCAACTTTGTATCCGGGTTTGTGGCAATTTCACGGTCTATGTTGAGGTCACCCTTTCCGTATTCGTTCATAAGCAAGCATCTGAAGGTGGTGCAGTTGGCCACATAGATAATCTCGCTCGATTTCTCCGGAAGAGGGAAGTCGAGAAGATCTTTAATTCTCGAAAAATAAATGTTATCGAATCCCTTCTCGACAACCATTTTGCGCAGGGCTTCGCCATACATCCAGGTTTCCTGGTCAGAGATACATAACAAGTCTGCGATGACGAACCTCAATACGTTAGCAACCAGTCAAATTGGGTTGGATCAGTAAGGTTCTTCACGTGCCATTGTAGGTAATGCCATCCGATATTACGACAATTTCAGCACCAGGAGGGTAGATCTGCTGAATGCGCTTGCAGATGGTATTTAATCTTTCAAGGGCCAACTCCTCTGCCTTGTCCGGCAAGCTGCCGAGCACCTTGTAAACTTTGTTTGCCGACTTGAAGGGGAAAGCAGGGAGACAGGCTTGCACCCGTTCCCCTTTCGAAACAAATCGGCTGATGACAGAAATAAAGACATCCCCAGAGCTCCCGAGATGGTCTTCTACATGCTCGAATTTGTTGAGAGCATTCTCCAGAAAGATATCAAGGATGAGCCGCGAGATATCCTTCACATTGTCGGCAGGCTGCAAAGAGCAGCCTTGGGTGGTTTCATCCGGCCTAGTATCAGTATATCTTGGCCTCTTGGTTTCTTTATGAGGATACATGTCCATTGAAGTCATGTTGATATAATACAACAAAGTCACCTAGGGGACTGTATCTCGGCGGCTGGCTACCAATCAAGTCCCGGACTTAGTGACAGAAGTATACCACAGAGGTATGATCGATTTAAAGTGATGAAGATGAGAATTACAAGTGTTTTGCCTAGAGATGGAAGGCAAACTTGCATGAGGTGACTCGAGCGCTACCTGTATTTCAACAAGGATATGACCCACATCTCCAAACAAAACCCTGCGATATCACCTTCCTTTAGACACACATCACCCAAAGACTATATCGGGAAATAACCATGGTCGAACATTCCAGATTACTTTAGAGTCTCCGTCAAATGAGGTGTTGAGCATGTTTGAGGCAATTTTGATCGACAAACGATTCAAGCGGCCGAATGAGAATGGCCCCAAGAGCGTATTAACGAAATGAGGACCGTGCACTTGGTTCTGAGGGTGCTGCTAAGGTAGTTGAGGAAGGATTCATATAATCCGAGTTAGATCGACTTCGTCAAGGCCTGATCGTGTCTGGTGTGGGGGGCCAGTGTGGGTTGTGGGAATGAATCAGACGCACGGAATTTGTTGTGCCACGCCCAGTGTAGTATATCTAACTCTTTGCCGAGGCTAGGATAGTGATAACTTAGTTCTTTTTAGCTAACGATTGGAAATAGCCCGAGAATTAATATTAGGACCTAAACCCAGAGTCTCACCCTTGGCATTCCCACTCCGGTAAGTTCTTGCACACAAAAGTAGGGTGAGTAGTCCACTTTCGCAAAAGCTTGCACTTTCAGATTGTACATATGTTGAAATTAAGATGAGTAGACCGAACTAGACTTCTATATGGTACGAAAGTTTCACATCCTTCGCGCAAGAGCACATTTGAGGCAATTTTGATACCTTTCGTATTCACCTATATCCATTCTCGTATAAGGCAGTTATCATGAGAGATGTCGGATTAGACCTAATTGGAGTTCGAGTAAATTGCTAATGAGAACTAAGAATATCACGAGGAAGAGATACGCTCGCTGTGCACTTTTAGACTTTGTTACAAATTTCGGTGAAGGGCAAAATAGTTAACCAGTCTTCACTTTACCTTCTCTTCTCGCCTTCCTATCCTAAAGTCCAATCGAAAATCTCGGTTAGATTCTATTGGAGCTAAGCGGTCTTCTCTCAGTTGCTGGAAACCATATCATCATGAGTGAAGGTTTAACTTCCTCACAGCTCGAGGCTTCTAGTGAGAAGACAATTCAGCAGCTGGGTTGTGAAGAGACAAATATCCATCAATCAGACTCCTACGAAGGGACTGAATATCCCCCTCTTACCAAAATTATCATAATTGTATTGGCGATTTATCTGGCAGCCTTTTTGGTGGCTCTTGATCAGACCATTATTGGAGTGGCTATTCCAAAGATCACGGACCAGTTCAAGAGTATCCCTGATATTGCCTGGTATGGTAGTGCCTACTTCTTGACGTCTACGGCGCTACAGCCGTCTTACGGAAGGATCTATAAAACCTTCAGCGTAGGTCTTTTAATCATAGTCCCTCTTGACAATTCCTGGAAAAGTCCTGTTGACGCTTATTCAGGTGAAATGGTCTTTCCTGGCTGCTGTTAGTATCTTCGAAATTGGATCACTGGTCTGCGGTGTGGCGCCCTCCAGTACAGTATTGATTGTTGGACGTGCCATTGCTGGAATTGGTGTTGCGGGAATCTTCTCCGGCGCTTTGGTGATCATCTCTAAGACTATTCCCCTAGAAAAGAGGCCGCTTGTATTTGGTATATATGGCCTGGTTTGGGGAATAGCTTCTATTATAGGTCCCCTATTGGGCGGAGCATTCACCGACGGTGCCTCGTGGAGGTGGTGTTTCTATATCAATCTTCCTGTCGGCGGGGTTTCTATCGCGGTTGTTATTCTGGTCCTTCGCATTCCTAACAACGATAAGGTCTCGGGAATTCCTATTCTGGACCGTGTCAGGGAGCTTGACCTGGTGGGTGCAAGCCTGCTCATCCCCGCTATTATCTGTTTGATTCTTGCCCTACAATGGGGCGGAAATGCTTACCCTTGGAGGAGTTCTACAATAATCGGACTATTCGTTGGCTTCGGTCTGATATCTTTTCTTTTTGCCGGTTCCCAAATCTACCTGGGTAAGCAAGACGAGAAAAATGGGACAAGGGGGAAGAGTGGAAGGGCAACTTTACCACCATCAATCCTCAAGCAACGCACTATTTGGTCTACAGCGCTTTTCATGCTGTTCTTTAGCGGCGGATTCTTCCTTCTGGTTTACTACGTTCCTGTCTACTTCCAGAGTGTTAAAGGGTCTTCTGCCATGACTTCTGGACTTCAAATCTTACCATTCATGCTCGCCACTGTTGTCTCATCCGTGGTGGTGGGCGCTCTGGTCACGGCGGCAGGCTACTACACACCATTTCTTATTACTAGCACTGCTATTGCTGCTATCGGTACGGGTCTGATTACTCTATACGAAATCGAAATCTCCACCGGGAAATGGATCGGCTACCAAATCGTGGTCGGCGCAGGCATCGGTGCTGGGCTTCAAGTCCCAATGACAGCTGTGCAGACTGTCTTGACACCGGAGGACATCCCTGTGGGAACAGCTGCTGTCATGTTTTTCCAGACGCTGGGTGGTGCCATATTCATTGCAGTAGGCCAGTCGGTATTCCAGAATGGCTTAATACTAGGCATTCGAACATATGCACCCGACGTTGATCCAAGTAGGATAGTAAGTGCTGGGGCCACCGAAACGAGGCATGTGTTGGGTGCGTTAGGCCAGCTAGATCAATTGGATGGAGTGATCCAAGCTTACATGCGCGGATTAAGGGACACATATCGAGTCAGTCTAGCGTTGATGATCGCCGCCTTTGTAGCAGCTTGTTTTGTCGAGTGGAAGAGTGTGAAAAATCAAGGCGAAAGTGAAGATGAAGACACAGCGATGGCTTCTTCGCCAAGTCCATCCCATGGATCCATCTAATGAAAAATTGGCTTTTACGCCATCACGTTTTATTTTACAGATTATAATGAACGTAATTCAGCTTTGAAGTTCTGAAAGAGTTTGCAGCAATATTTTCTAGATGTTTCTAACAGCTTCTTCTAAGAAAACCCCATATCTGCATGCTGCAAACCCTTTAAAATATAAAAATTTTGTTACCTTGTTACTGCATATGTCAATCGGCCATAATCATTGAATATAAAGCCCGATAACTTGGAGGACAACTCCGGTCAAATGCCGGGTTCAACAAATCTGACACCCTACTCATGACAAATAGACTTGGAAGCTATACCAATAAGGTAGGCACTTCTTCACTTAAGCACAGGATTCACTTCGTACTGAAAGTCAGGACTTTCTGACTAGTAACTTTGATTTTTTGGTCGTTCCTGAAGACCTTGTTTAGCGAGTGACCCTAGTCTCAAGACAACTACCATCGGTGGCATATTATGTCAATACCAAATAAGCAATCTATGTCAACTGACTAACCAGTCTTTTTTAAAAACAAAGGTAACGCCCGCAGTGACAGAGTTACTAAATCATCGACCAGTGCTTGCCACGTGTGACTATGTTTTTCAAAAAGTCACCTAAGCTAACGTCGTATTTGGCCCCTGGAGTCACATTTAGAAAAATATATCTAAGCCTGATAAAAAAGAAAAAGAAAAAGAAAGAGAAAAAGGCCCTATATCTTCAAACTCCAAGGATTACTAAAAATGTAAAAAAATATGAGCGGGTTTGAGCACATTTCTATACCGAAGCGGATGGTTTTGGGAACTAATGCGGAGCTACTATCTTGATTCGATAATCGATGAATCTGTTGGTATGGTCGCCTGCCGGGGTCCATTTCGGCGGATAGATCGACAGACTCCCTCAACAGGCTGGACATACTCGGCCCGGAAATCAAGCCAAACCAACCAAGATTTCGCTGGTTTTTGAAGAGCGTGAAAGGCTGGGAGGTCTGGTCTCTCGTCCAGGTGGATATACATTATGCAGATTAGTGTCCCAGGTTAGACATGGCTAGCATCGTGGTCGACGCTCCTGTCAAATAGCATGCAGAGGGAACAATCTCGTGCAGGGCATCGACATTGATTCGTATACCCATGCAGAACGACGCGTACTAAACAAACTTCCCTGGTCACTGTTATCTTGTGATAAATTATAGTTCTGCTGTGGATGGTAATCTCATGGAATAGGAAAGCTGCTGCTATTAGAACATTTTGGCCAGCTATATTTCCGGGAACATTCCAATGCCCATGTATTCACATGAAATATGAACGCTAAGTATACAGCTAACTTCACAATTAATATCTAACCTTATTTCTTTTGTGTATGTAGTATTTCTTCGCACAATAAATAGACAAGCTATATGATGCTATCCAGTGATCCGAAAAACAATCCGCGCCTGCACCTGTTGTCTCTAAGAAATACTTCATGCATTTAAATTATGGTACCCTTCACCTGCTTTTTGTCGACATTGTAATTTTTCCACATAGCGATTGCTGGGAAAGCGAGTACAACGAGAACAGCAGCCGTGATACACTCGTATTTCTGACTGTATGCCCACGCGTAGTTGATTGCGTTCCTTATGTCAGTGCCAGGGGGATACATGAGTTGAGCTGCTGAACCACCGGCGAAGATGGCCTCGTAATCGGCTTTGGCAGAATCAGGGAGGGCACTGAGCAGAGCCTTGGGGAAAGTGTTAGAATAAATGGCGGCTGCAACAGCGTAACCAATAGCTCCGCCAAAACTCGAGGACAGACTGATCATGGAAATCATCAATGGGACACCGTCGCGATCTGCAGCGGCCATGGCAGCCATCTCATCACCGATGACAAGAGTACCGCCTCCAAAGGCAATGAATATTTGACACATAATGAGGTAACCGATGTGGCTTTGGGAGCCTCGGAAGTGAATCATAAGACCTGCTCCAAGTAGCATCAATGGCGCACCAAAGAAAAGACAGATATTCTTGAAGTATTTGGTCTGACGGATCCAGACACCAACTAGGACAGCCCAAATGGTCGATCCAACGCCATATATCTGAGTCATGTATCCTGTCTTGGAGGTGTCAAGGTTGTAGACAACTTGTACATAGTAATAAAAGTACTGATCCCAGGTGTAGTAATTAAAGAAAATCACGGCTGACAGGATGCAAGCTCCGAGAACTGTTCGCTTCTTAAATAGCTCCCATTTGATAAAAGCAGTTCTAGCAAAGAACCGCTCCCAAACAGCAAATACTGGGAATAATAGGATCCCGATGACAACCATAGCAATGAAAGTTGCTGAGGAGTATCCACTGAAGCCGTAAGTCTCGAGACTGAATGGCAAAAGAAACAAAATGAAGGCGGCCATCAGAATGAAAGCGCCAATAGTATCAAACTCGTAAAAATAATGAACAAAGGACTGGAGAGTGGTCCGGCCGCTTGGAGTCCGAACAAAGAGATTCAATTTCTCGGCTTTACGCTGAAAAAACTTGAAGACAAGCGCAAGAGGAACGAATATGACAACCGTGATGATAGCAAAGCAGCCGTAAGACCAACGCCAGCTCGAATGGTCTATGAATGCCTGGGCAGCCAGCGGACCGGCAAAGGCTGTACAGATTGTGGGTGTTCCGATAAACGCGTAGACGAAAGCTCGATTTCGGAGCCCAGATACATCGGCAACAAAGACACTCAGGATAAAGTTCATAGCAGTATAGCCAATCCAATATAGGGTGTATCCAGCTGCAAAACCGTTGGGACCATTGCACGAGGCGATCACGATAAGACCCAGGAGGAAAACCACCAGGAATGTCAGGAAGCCCTCCGCACGGCCCCATAGATTAAGAGTCTTTGCAATGGGAAGTTGAAGAACCCCGCCAACGATGGTCGAGATAATGAAAGCCTGTGATATTTGAGGAGCCGAGGCGAAGTTCGCGTAGGCGTAGTAGATCATATTGTTGCTAATGGACGATTGCATAGACAGGACGAAAAAGCATAACCATATCCTGGAGGGAAAGACATTTCATGTTAGCGATATAGTAATTCCAAGTTTGAAGATAATGCGGTTCCGAGGAAGTTCCGTTGTCTTCTTGAAGATAGAGCTGAGGAGCTTCAATTTCGACTTGACTTACCAGGCGTATGTGGCATACAAGGCAGGTCTGGACCAAACCAAAGCCGTAGCTTCAGCTTTTTGCACTCCAACCTGCGCTTCCTGGCTAATTTCATTGGGATGCTCGAGGATTTCCCTCTCATTTCTCTCTTCGAGGCTCTGTGTATCGATATTTGCTTGGTGTTCGCTATGCATCGTGTGGATGTCGGCGGTCTCTTTGGAGCCGCGCCTAAAGTTCGATGTAGCCATGGTCACAGAACCAATGAAGCCGCAATTGCGATACGTGACTTCCACTCGTCAATAGGCGGCCAATGTGTATTGCTTCTGAAAATACGCAAGCAAGCAAGTCAAATGACCATCCCTAGTGGACACCGAATTGAAGATGCAAAGGGGAAGGTAAGGGATAAGCTTCCTCATAAAAAGATTAGTCTTATTTAGAGGGATCGGATAGTCGGCGCTGACTGCTAGGTGGAGGGAGCAACACACTCAAATTTGCGCAAACTCCAACGGTCACTGAATGTCGTGGAAACCACATATGAACTTCGATGGGATACTTCCCCACACACCGAATGATCTTTTGTTGTGCAAGAACATAGTCTGCTCTGAATAGTGGCTCAGCCGGCTAGGATGTACAATTATCAAGGTAGCAAAGCGAGGAAAGACCAAGCCAAGAGCGCTGAATGGACGTAGAAGCATTCTACGCCAGTCTGGATTAGGTAGTCTGTAGTTCGGAGGCTAACGCTAGCACATAACTAACCAACAGGGGCTCGTGCCTGTCAACCCTATATTCTGCTCAATTCTGCTCAAAAATTCCAGGTCTCACACGTGCTAGAATGAGACCGGTACCAAATCATTTAACACCCATGTTAACACCCATGCGAATGCCTGCTGAACTCCTGACATGGGGGTGTCGATATCTCGTCTTAAATGCGTGTGATCTCTCGATCTAGACACCTAGCCAAATACGACTCGGGGATCCAGCGACACGAAATGAAGAGGGAACGAATCCTCATCCAGGAAGAAACTTTGAACATGGACAAGAAACTAAGTGGGTTAGGGAATTTGCTTACTACGCGAGGTATCGTCTAGATTGAGCTGGCACGTTTGGGCGCCAACCGATGTACATCTTGTCCCTGGCTAGTTATCGTATTTTCACAGGTACTCCGTACAACCGTTTAGTCTATACTCGATTGAAGCTATATAAATCGCTGTTTACCAGCAATTTGTACACGTGGAAAGTGCACGCCTTTGAGGCGGAGAAGCCTCAGCTTAAGTGTTCGATCAGTCAGACAAATTAACGTATCTTCCCGCCTGTGCATTGTGGTCTTTCTTAGGCTCAGAATCTGCTTAGCCTCATGCGGTCGTAATATAGAGCTAACTGTCTGCCAGTGATCTCGAGGTTGTTGGAAAATAGCGATCTTACTAAGCAAAACTGGCCAATCAGAACGTTGAAATGCAATGCAAAGTTAAAATGCATCTTTTTGAACAAATTCAAGGCTCAACACCTATTAATCATCCAATCAGACGAATCCACCAGGATCATAGAATTCATCTTGTTCATTCCTGCGATTATTTTCGTTACGATTTTGCTGTTGTTATGATTTGATGTATTTAGTGTGGAACGGGACGGATCTTACCAAGGCGGCTCCAGGAACGAACTCGTTGACGTCATGGAAGACGAGAGTCTTATTTAAAAGCCCTCAGTCACTCCAAGATTTCCATCCATGCACATTTCATACTACGATACCTCACAGCTTGGCTTCTACCTTTATACACGTTGATTTCCTGGAACAATATATTCATCATGGGTAACGGTGACGGTAACTGCGGATGTTCTGGCCCGAAGTCCTGCAACTGCGGAGCCAGCTGTCAATGTACCAATTGTGGAGTATGTATAGAATCGTAACCTGCTAACTGTACTGACACGTCGTTTTAATAGAAGTAAAGCGGCTCCGAATCTTCCCGGTGTTCAAGCTTAAGCTATCTCCTTCGACCTCTCTTTCACTACTCACTTACGACTATGAGATACGTTGACAAATACAAGAATGACATGATTTAGTGGCACATTATGCAAATGCTTTATGTACAGCATGATTGTTGTCTTGACGGGTCCTCCGGGGGAGTTGCTTTACAAATGTTATCCTAGCACGAACCCAACCACCTTAATGGAAACACTTGTGCATTATTAGCCCGTCAATCAGTACATATGCCCTGTAAACTACGGATAGAATCACCCGTCAGCTATAGTAGCCTCACGATGTCGCATTCTTGATTCCGCGTACAAGCAAAGATTCTATTGTAAACATGGATCTCCTCGTCAATAACACCAAAGCATGATGGATCTCTCCGTTGAAGGAATATCTCTATTTGCCTAAAATGGGATGAGTCCCTTTCGGCCGCTTCGTCCTGGCGTTTCTTTATGGTATAGATGCTGTCGATGACTTTGGTCGTCGTTGCTACTGTTGCTTAGCTGAAGACTCTACATTGTCATTACCTACTAGTCCAACAATTCCGACAAGGCGCGTAATCTTGAATGCAGAGATAAATAGGACTAGCACAGTTATGACCAGATATAAGCTCACTTTATCCATGCGACTGAATTGCAGCGTGTTCCATATCATGATATCGTTATATTTCTGCCTTCTCCAAAGTCCTAGTCGAGAGCTGAAACCATGTTTCCTTGCACTCATTTCTATTCGACTGATCAGAGTTTCAAGTGTGAAAATTTGACTTATGGAAGTTGAATCTTTGTATGAAGAATTATCAGTCTGTAGAGAAATGGACATGGCCAGGCTGTTATTTCGAGGGAAGGATTGTGCAGTGCTACATTCACCAGTTGACTGAGCCTTACAGCCATTCCTGGGAACCCGCTGATCTCGCCCGCTCGGCCACATTGTTCTTTTCTTTTCGCCATGTAGACCGTGTAGAACCCGAGAATAAGCGGATAAAATGCGAGTAGAATATGGGTGACTGGATGCCATTGCTATAAGTTGATCGATAGACACGTGCGAATTTCCTTAAAACAGATATTTTTCCAACTAGTACAAAACGCAGCTTTAAAGGTGGCTTATTCATGTCTCAAGCCCAAATATTGAGGTAGTTTTGCAAGACAACCGGATGGAATAAACGCAACCGACTGAATAGATATGTGAGAATAAGTTGACCGGTCTCTATTTCCACGTCCAAAGGAACCAGGTTCAGTGATTGGCAGTGAAATACTGGATTCCTTTCATCCTGTATATCATGAATCAGCTTGGTGCAATGGTATTGTGTACCTTGATGGGAGCTGGCTCGTAAGCGATTCCGCCAAATGGCCCTCGGTTATCGGGGCTAGTATTTGACAAGATTGGGAAAAAATGAGTAAGCCTTGGTAAATTGCATTCTAGGACTGGCAAAGATAATGAAACCAATGGATAAATGTTTCAAATTATTGCTTTCATCGTTGTAGGAAGAGTTCTTTTGGAAGTACAGTTAGAGAGCAGAGGGTAAACCCGCTCACTCTCCACCTCTGGAATGCACCGCTACACATATATTTCGCGCAAATTCCCTCATTCACCAACACATACAGTGTTTCACGAGTAGTAAGGGGCATTTCCGTCACATTGATAAGTTGGGGGACTATTGCTAAAAGTACATGGGGAATTTTAGGTGTTGGAATCCCGTATTTCATGATGAGCATATTTGCGTCCCTTTAGTAACGGCCTCGCCTCACATGGTGGTCGTCGTCTGACTGGGCCCTAGTTAGCATTCGGCTCTGGGTCATATAGCCAGTTCACTAGCTAGTTTTTTTAGCATCCCAGATACGGTGAGTGCTCTGAATTGATATCCTTCTCAGCTACCGTGGCCGACCGACCAGTCGAGATCACCTCCACTTTTTATCGCCTCCTACAGCTCACTTATAGACAATATTAATTTGCAAGGTATTGTATTTAGTTGAGTGTAACTTGGTACGTACCGATTCTGTCAAAGTATGGAAATGGACATGGATATGGACCATATGCATCAACCACCCTCGGACTCATCAGCTACAAGCAAGTCATCTGGCGCGATGGCCATGGGCATGTCGTCAATTTTTACTTCAGAGACCAGAATCACACTCTTATTCGTCGGATGGGAAGTTGAAACACTGAGAGCATATATTCTGACTCTTGTTTTCATATTCATGCTTGCGATACTGAATCGTTTTCTCGGCGCGCTTCGATTTCAATTGGAAAAGAAATGGACCCAGTCCCTAGCTAGGAAGGGAGATCAAAGTCTCACGCCACTTTCTATCACACAAAGACGATACGCCGATAATCTTCGTCAAAAAGAGAGGCTGAGTCCTTTACCGAAATATAGGACTCTACGTAACGAGCATAAGATGCAGGATGGCTTGTCCGACCTGGGTCCGCTCAACTTTCATCGCGACACCGATGACAATTATGATGAATGCGAAGATAATCATTTGCCGGAGGATAATCAGAGGCGAGCTTCAAGGGTCGCTTTGTGGCTAATAAATGTCACGACATATCTCCCTTCATTAAATTGGACACCTAGTGCAACCTGGAGTTGGAAGCGAGATGGTGCTCGCTCGGTTCTAGAATGCTGTAGGGCATTGATTGGATATATTTTGTAAGTACTGATTTATCTTCTAGAGAAGCACTGCAATCCATCTGAGTTTACTGATTCTTGTTCCTTCATTTCTTTGTCCTGAGAGAAAACTAGCACATTACTGACGTATTAATGAAAATTGTCAATCAGAATGTTGCTAGTTATGACCTTCAATGTTGGCATTTTTTGCGCTGTGATCGCAGGAGTTTTGATCGGTGAATTTATTCTAGGCCGATACTCACAAGCTTCATCTGGATGGCAAGAAGGAGGTTGTCATGATGGTTAGTTGTGTTGTTGTTTTGGTACTTGCCGCTTGCCAATATTAGGGTCTTAGACATTCATTAGTGTATTCAATTTCCAAGCTTATTGGAACTATTAAGTACTAATGGATTTACCTTTTATAACACCCGCCCAGGACCCTTCTAAATCACATATTCTATATTAATATTATAATTTCAATATACTAATATATCATTAGTTTATGAAAAAATTGTCTAAAATTAATTAAAGTAGAGAAAATTAATAGAAAATAATCTTACGCATATTTCTCACAGGAAATTTCAGTTTCTGTGGCCACCCTAGCTGTAAACAATTCAACCCAATTTTATTGGTATTCAAATTAAAGTTTTAATACATATCAAATCATTTCATGGATATAGTGTTGTTGAAGAACCCGAAAATTATGTTCCGATTATGGCATGGAGAAAAACTGTTCGAGTCATTCTCAATAAGATCGCTCCACTCAGAGTATATATTATAAGTTTTGATAAAGAAAAGAGAAAGAGAGACGTTAAATCAATCGCAAGTATCGTTATCACGATAAATTCAATGTCGTATTCCTCTTCGTTGAAGGAGAAGTACGTCGAAGAGGAGCTGCAGTTCGTGCTTGAGGCTTTTTACCTTTATTGATTTTCCGCAACTTTCTGTTGCCCATCAACAGAACTTTGATACTATTGAGACACCACGATGCAGTGCGCGCTGGGAGGTTGATGAGTTGGATAAGCGTCTGAACTGGGATAACCACAATCGCAGATATCCAGTCTAGGAAAATAAGGGCAAAGCTCTGGTGTCGATCTGAAATCGACCTTTGAGCGGCAGCGGCCAGGGCAATGGCGTCTCCGACTTGTGTTTCGAGTTCGTTTAGTCGAGCATCTGTTTGGGTCGCGATCAACGCGGTCCTCTTTTCATACCGCCGAACTGCACGGGTGAGTGCATCGAGTTCAGGCTGGATGGCCTTGTGGACTTCTGCCACTAATTGTGCGGTTGAGTCAGCCTGGTCCGGTGATACGACCTCGTTCGCATTCTGGGATGAATTAGCAATGGCTTTGTCTGCCACGTGCGCCTCCAATTCCTCTAAGCGTCTGGCCAAATCGATGACTTTGGTTTCATCGATTTTCGCATCATCGTCGAATACTGGAGCCGCTACTATTCGTTGCAGGTAGAGTGTTCGAGCTTGAACCATACGTAGTAAATGGGCAAATGGGCGGATTTCCGCAGCCAGAAGAAAAATGGTTAGATTGTAGTTAGATACTAGGCCTTCGGAGGGTCGCGAAAGAGCCCCTCTGATTGTATGCAGAAGCCAGGCGCCGATGAGCGGGAACACGAAACATGATATCAACGCAGCAAATTCATGCTTGTGTAGTTCCTTTGTGGCGGCATGAGATGCGGTGGCAAAATCTTTACGCGGAGATTTTTCGTGTGCTTCTGAGCCATCCTCATTCTCTTCCTCGTTGATGTCCTCGAGAAACTCCTCGGTGGACTGCTGGCGCACTTCCTGTGCGGACCGATACCAATCCCTGTTTGGATTAACACCGTGTGCCAGCAGGCCCAACTTTGGGTTTTCTTACCATGGTAATCTGACCGACCAGTTTAAGAAAATAGCGGCTAGGATTAGTAAAGTCGCGTCCGTTATGAAGGCACTTCCGTTCTGGAAAAACAATCCTCCCACAGCAGGCAACAAAGCGAGCGCAAGGGGAGCCGATTGCCAGTGCGAGTCGTCATGATGCAATGCGATATTCTCGCCTTTGTCTGCGCGCGGAAAGAGGATATCGTCGGTGGAATCTCGTAGCGATTGCCTGGCTTCGGAGACGGTGTCGGAAATAGCGGAGTTGCGGCGAAAGCTGGAGGAGTTCCCAGCATCGGCGAATGTCGCTGCTCGTCCTAGGGGTCTTTGACGGAGATACGACGAGCTTGAAGGGTTCAAATTGACGCCTGATTGGAAGGAGGCGGCGTGCTGGGAGACCGATGGGCGCTGCTGTTCAGGCATGACGTATTGGGCATGTTCTGGCGGTCGCGCGGTCTAAATCTCAGAGAAACAAAGCTTGGCAGCGGCACAGAGGGGTCGCTAGAGCATTCTATACGGGGTCCGGACCATTGGTCGAATGACAAGGCTGGGTGGGATGAAGATGAAACAAGATGATCTCAGAAGATGCCTGCTCGACAGGACGGTCAGGATGAACCGAGGCTGGCGGAAGTGCCAGCCATTGTGGGGCGTCGCTTCCCGCTTCCCCGGATCCGCCGAATCTTATCCTCAATCCCGTCAGTGCTTATTTATTGATTCCTTGTTGCTTATGCTTATTGCTTATTGCTTATTGATGATATTGAGCAGTCCTTCCAAAAAGGTTAATTTGCCTGCTGTTTGCCTGCGATCCCTACCGCTTGGCTGACAATTCATTCAATAACGCTTAGACCCGTGCTCAGCCAAGGCTAAGCCCCCCAAGTATCGTCAAGATCGAACAAAGCGCAGCAAAGCGCGAGACAGACATCAATCGTCAGCTTATCGATCGATCATGGCAATTTGAATCGATCTCGGCTCTACCGACACCAGCTCGAACCCTGTCAGTGTCAGTGACGCTGTCACAGCAGGTCAATCGACGCTACTATTGAGAAGTCTCCCCACTATGAATAGCTGCCGTCCTATTCACACCCAAAAGAGGAAAGGCCGCATTCACAGCATTTCTGCAGCTCTCAATAGCTTGGATTACAATTCTCGAGCATCAGGCTTACAGATCCAAATGTCTTCCCTCGTCCGTTCTGGAGGCCTGCATTGCCCGCTATGCATCAATGTACAAGAAGAAGTTGCTATCTTCCGTCCTCTCTATCCTCTTTCTACCTGTATTTCCAACCTATTTTCCGCTGCTTCGTGTGAGCATATCTCGGCGCCATGGAGCCTCTCTTCTACAGGTCTGCGCAAGCTGTTACTGTGACTGTGCTTTCATTTCTGTCCTTGATCCTTTGCATCCCGCCCATCATCTGGCATCTCACGAATCGAAACTTGGCAGCCTCATTTCTAGTTGCCTTTGTCATACTGAGTGATCTGTTCAACTTCATCAATGCTCTTATTTGGCCGACAGACAATATCAACTCTTGGTGGGACGGCTCTGTCCTCTGCGACGTCGAGGTCAAACTCTTCATTGCCATACAAGTTGGCATGCCGGGAGCCTTGGTGTGTATTTTCCGAAACCTTGCCTTGGTAATGGACACCGAAAATGCCGTGTTGATTCCAAGTTGGGGCCAGCGTCTTCGCCGTATTGCGATTGACCTTCTCTTCTGCGCCGTCATCCCGGTCATCGCCATGGTCACCCACTTTATTGTCCAGGGAAATCGTTACTACATCTTTGGTATCTCGGGGTGTAACATAAGCTACGACGAAAGCTGGCTGACCATTGCGTTGTCGGCCGCATGGCCTCCGACTATCTGCATAATTGCCGCCGGATACTGCAGTATGTCAAAAATATTCATCCGAGTATATACGTGGTTAAAAAATTACTAACTGATCAGTTAGTTCTCGTCGTGTATCGCCTGATAAAATACACTTCCGAGTTTTCCAGCATCCTCAGAGCATCAGGCAGCAACTTGACCACGAAGCGATTTGTTCGACTCTTTTCTCTCGCCTTGGTCATGATTTTGTTTGTTTTGCCCTTACAAAGTTATGTTTTTTACACCAACGTCGCTCTTATGCTACCGTTGCAACCGTATTCGTGGACCATAGCACACGGCCCGGATTTCAACACGATCATCAAAGTCCCTTCCGGCGGCGTAGTGAAACCAGATCGATGGATTCCCATCGCGTTGAGTGTGCTTGTCTTTGGCTTTTTCGGTCTTGGTCAGGATGCAATGAGAATGTATCGCTCGTCCCTCAGCCGTATTGGTCTGACACGCCTCAATTCATCGCTTTCTAGTCACAGTTCTTCAGAGACCGGAAAATCAGGATCTTCATGGTACGACTCCTTGATGTCCAAGAGTGGCAATGGCAAGTGGTTGAAAAAAAAGCAAAGGCATGTTTCCCCTTTATAGAACGGTATTTCGAGATACTGACGCAACGTGGCAGCGAAGGGTCCGAGTCTGTACCCACAGATTCACATACAGATACTTCTATGTCTGGTGGTCTCGCGGACGTTCAGTTGCAATCATTTGGGTTGCCTGAGTACGTCAGTCAGAGCCATGGTTCCCAAACTTCTGAAGCTATTTGCCTGGAGCATCATAGCAATGTCTAGACACCAAAATCGTGTTTCTCAATCACTCAGTGTATTACAGTTCTAATTTCATCTCTCCTACGTTTGTCCCAGGTTCAGGACGGACACCCAACTATGGATAAAGACACGCAGCTAAATATTTTTAATTAAACACGGGTATCAATTTTCTTAATAAATTCTTAATTAAGGACTAGTATCTCTAGAAAGGTTTAATATAATAAGATAACTTACTTACCATCTTCACTAGTTAGTTATATAATATCCGGATTAGCAAGCATCCCTTTTACTAAAAATTAATATCTAAAATCAAAAATAAGATATCTATTAACATTTAAGATAGTGGGGTGCGGTCGTGAGTTTCATCCAACATCGCCTTAACTAATTGTATCCTTTTCCCCTTCATCTCACCTGATTTACCATGTCGATTCAACTTTAGGTGGTACTATCACGGTCAACACAGACACCAACCCTCTTACTTTTTCATGAGGCCACACGGATACTGTATAACCACGCCATGTACCAAGAATATTTTCGCAAAGTAGTTCTTATGGATATTGAAATCCAGAGAACTGGATTCAGCGTCGCATTGGCCAATTGCGAACACTCTGGACGCCGTTGGTGTGACAGGATCCGTGGTTTACTTTCTCGGAGATAACCAAATGACAGGACGTGTGGCCTTGAAGCGATTTCGTTCCTCACCGATACACAACCTTTCAATGCGTATTTCTATGACCAACGGATCAATAATAATCCAAATTCCCGTACAAGCAATTCATGATCCATAAACATTTTATAATTTATAGTATCCAAATTAGTCTGAGAAGAGATTGTTCTTGCAGCTCACAGATTTACAGATTGCATTAAAAGTACTTCCACAGGGTATCCACCGTGAGGCTTTTCGGCCTCCTGCTCATACAGAGATTGATAGTAAGACAAGGAGAATTAAAAAAATGGACATAAAGAATACATGCGAGAACAACTCCCCGAGAAGCTCTATACGATAAGTTTGGTGTTTGCTGTGAAAGAAGCTCTAAAAATTTCCATGTTAAGAGAACGTATAGCACTGACTGACATGAGGAGGGCAGTATGTGTTCAGTCCGATGGCTCGCTCGATTCTTGGCTGGCTTCGTCACTGCCGGAAGGGTGGTTGCGTTTGAGAACTTCAAAACTCCCTATCGAAATAAAGGTACGTTAGTAGCCGTCCTTCAGAGTATGCGGGAACAACTCACTCTGCACAATGCTCACGACGTGGTGTTTGGTACTCTCATTGTCCACAAACGAGCGCAGGGAGACGTCGCCTTCGACAAGAACGAGAGAACTGTTTCAATTCGTCAATCATTAATATCTTGCCTATATGCATAGTATATATGGCAGTGGAACTCACCCTTTTGGTACATTCAAGAGATGCTCTCGAGAAGGGCCTTCTGGTATAAAGCTGGCGACACGGAACCAGGATGTTGTGCGGTTGTTTGATGGACCCGTGGTAGAGCCCACTGAGTATCTGATGATTTCCTGGCCGGTCGTGGTGGTCGACAGCTCGGGTTCGGCACCTAGACGGCCTGTGAGAGTCAAACGAGCGAGTGGATTAGCTGGCGTCGAGCTGAAGTGTCGCGCAGTGGTGGAGATGGAGGCGCGAGTGCGCAGAGCGGAGCGAATTGCCTGCATTGTTGTGGCTGTTTTGTTGGGATATCGGGGCTGTTCCTTTCCTTTGTTTATGTGTGGGAGAGAGAGATCAATAGCGACGACAAGGAGACGGAGAATATAACAAAGATCTGGGAGACATTGAGGCGCCCCTTCAGGGTGATTGCGCGACGACGCGGAGACACAGTCACGTGACGCATCACGTGAATAGAAATACTCACTGAATCTTCTTGGGCAAATCGAAATCGAAACGGTGCTTTGTATTTACTTACTTAGTTACTTGATGAACTCTGTGATACTTTGATCTGATATTGAAAAGAGAAGTAGAAAGAGTATGATTTATTCATTCTTATCTTGATATAGCCAGAGAGATTCTTAATATTTGAAGAGTTATTATCTATTATATTAGAAATGGAATATTCATTATAGATTTTAGGTAACTTTTAAAAAATATTAAGTTCCTATTTCAAAGGCTAGCTTACACTTCTATGAAGAGTGTCATACTCCTGTTATGACCTTTGTAGAATGTTTAGCATCAGAAATGATACCCTCGTGACTCTACTTTAGGGTCTCAACTATCATCTAATTATTGGCTCTAATGGCTTCCTTCACTGTTTATTGTTGATGTAAATCCTTCTTAATGGTCTCTAGGAACCCTAGAAGCGCTTTAGTGGCTAATAGATTAGCTATATTTAGGATTAAAAACTTTTTATTGAGTTTTAGAGTAAGAAGAACATTTTTAGAAGTTATTAGAATGTATATATAGGTTGTAATGTCAAGTATTATCGGTTGTTCATAGATTACCGACCAGTGGTGATTCGACTAATTGCCGTCTATCTAGCTAGTAGAGGGATAGCTCTTTGTAGAGCAGATCACTCAGAAGGTATGTAGTTGTGAACTCTTTTCATGTGATTAATCAGATTCTATTGATGGGGAAATCTATGTCTAGACATGACTTGATCGCACTCTTCAAAGAGGTATAAATAAGGGTTGTTTTTATGACTGTGGAATCTATGGGTTTTACGCTCGTGATGGAATAAGGAGGTATTCAAAGAGAAACACACGTTCTGGGGTATAAACGTGGGTATTCTATATCTGTATAGCTTGAGATGGGAATTAGATATTTGTTGTTTAATAGTTAGTACTATTAAAAGTTAGATATAAGGTAGAAGCAACTTATTAATAAATAGCCTTTTAAGTAGTTAGGGAATGGTTATAGGGTTTTTCTCCACTGATAAAGGGTTACTAGTACTTTCCATCACTTTAGATTGATAGGGAGTAGAATGAATAATCTTGATAATCTACTTTAAAGGACTCTCTGGTGGTTATAAATAATACAATCTTCTTCTTTTATGTTGATTGGGTCTGTGGAAGATTAATCTGTAAAGCGCTTTCTAGTGTAAGTAAGATAGTTCTGTAGGAGAATGACATGTTAGTAGGGTCTAAGTTAATAGGAATCACTTTTGGAAATACTGACCTGTTCGGATATGGCTTAGTGGATGGCAGTGTATGATCTTCTTGACTGATATTATGGCTATTAAGTGGAGATGTCACGTTCTTCAATATGGTATTATCATGAGTTATTATAGATGTAGGATACCCCCGGGGTTAGAGTAAGAGGAAGTGATAGAGACATTAATTCTTTCTTTAAAGGCGATTATAGGGATAGGCTGGAACTTATCTGATTGCTATTGCTTTGGGGTTTCTGTTTTTTGGAAATAGTAGATTGGCTGTACTGATCTGATTGTTGGGATATTCTGGTATTTTCTGAGTTATGTGGTTTATTCTATGTTGGCTTGGTCTTAGCTGGCTGTAGGTATGTGTATTAGTTTAAACTGGGTAAACTGCTGAATATATTAAGGAGCGGATTGACGTGACAATATACCCATCTTTGATCGCAAGCAGAATTGTGATATCCTATTCCGCGTAGACAATAGACGACTGCTCCTCAGCTGGGAGCAACTAAGCGGGCTCCATCAGTCTCAATTCGCCAGAACTTCGTGCTCCACTTGGTCGTGTATAAAACTGTTGGGAGGAATCGGGATTAGCATCATGTATGTGCGGAAAGACTACAGGTCCAACGCGCAAGGGGCATGCTCGTCAAATCACATCCATCGCTGTTGCTTGACCCATGAGTCTGTGCTTTGTACTCGTACGGTGCAAGCCAGCGCATAATTATGACTTAACGTACATCGCCAGTTCACTCTGCAGCGACAGACCGCCTCGTCGCGAAGGCTCCCGATCGCGGCCGAGGGTGACACGTAGGACTGGTCAATTGCGAGGTCTGATAATGACTGTTAACACTTAATAGCGTTGGAGTAAGATCGATCGCGACGACGGTTTAGGTGGGCCGCTCCTGGCCTCCGGTCCAGATGTCGCTAGTACTAGTCAGCAGACAGGCACGAACTAGCCACAGAAAGAGTACCCTGCCCTGCCCCCGTCGATCTTCTCTTAATTATTATTATTGACGTCGCTGATTTCATTCCCGCCCAACACTGCCCCGATGGCTGACTCTGATGGCCGTTTATTATATAATAATATCGACTCGTGTCGACTTGATTTTGGGTTCTGATACGAATCCCACCCCATGCTTTCGGAGCTGACCAGCCACGAGCCCTGACGCTCAGGTACGCGCGCACTACCGGCAGCTATTTGATAGCTGTCGTCCACTGGCGTTCATCCACCAACCCCTTTGCCCACTTTTCATGCAATATCCATATCGCCGCTAACGCAGTGCAGTGAACAAGTTCGCAATGCTCTCATTGGCGTCCGTGCTAGCATGATTATTTCCTTCACCCTTGCCTGAAGCTTTCCACCGCGCCGAATCAAATCCACTTCCCATCCCAGCTTCTTGGGAAGATCGGAGTGCCGGTTCATTTCAACCAGACATATTGTATGGCAGATAATTTGCAATCGTGCGTATGGCTCCTGCATCGGCTTGACCCTGTCCCACTTTTCTTCTCTCGTTCCTTTTCAAAAGGGGTATAATGACCTCTTAACGTGATGGTTGGAGTAGTCGGCAGAGAATCATTGCCCACAATATGCACCCGCCATGCACTTTCATCCATTCCCTTACTTGGCATTGGATGAGTGCTAGCCAAATATACTCCGCAGAGGAGAAACAAAAAAATAACAGCCGTGGCGGGCCTAGACCTGGTGACGGCTGCCAGTTTCGCTGACTGTCTCCTTGTTTTCGATTCTATCCATAGCTCTTGTATCTCCAGCATCATGCTTTCAGAGTAATCACAATTCATTAAAAGTTACGCGTTGTAATAGCCACATTCGATATGTGTCTTTGACCTACTGCTCGTCCTCGCAACCCGATTGCGATTGTGTGCAGATATTAACACCTTTTGCACATGTTCCTCATGGTTTCTTCATCGTTTTGACTCTCTGAACAAGATGCATTTGTATCAAAATATCTTCATCTTACTTGGGATAGCAAGTTTTTTGGTGGATGCCACCAATATACCCGTCATAAGAAGACAGGATGTTGCGACAACAACACGCGGACAGGCTGCGTTTGCACATACGACAACGCAGCCAAACACCTTGGTCACATCGATAGCCACTGCAACTGATGGACTCCCCGCTACTCTTTCAACAACAATGCTTGACTTGCATACAGAGATATCGGGTGCTGTTCCCACCTCAGCCTCCTCACCATCGAATACTAGCAGCAGTAGGTCTATCCCACCACCCGCCGCAACAATTCCCTCATAATTCTGATTTCAACAGGTATATCTAATGGAAATGAGATGCCGATTCACCCAATTATCACGCCTGCTATTGCCATAGCTGGCGTGGTCTTGATTCTTACTGGTATGGCTTACAACTTGATAGGGATCAAGAACCTATGGTAAGTGGGATGTATCGATCGACTTTTCAGGTTGCTTACCTTTTTCTAGGTTACATGTTTTTCTATCCGCGGCATTTCTTACAAGTTTATCTATCTTTGTAAGAGACATGGTTCCATTTATGCAGCCACCGGCTAAACATAATCCAGGTCTTGATAGAATACGTAATGAGTCCTCCGGTTTCAAATGGGGTCCAGGGAGCATATTTTGTCGCCATATTCTGCACCGGGACTATATTCGGCGGCCTTTCCCTAATCTTTAAAGAACTAACAGAGGGTCTTGGCTGTCTTCTCGGCGGATTCTGTCTTAGTATGTGGTTACTCTCACTGAAGAGTGGAGGTCTCCTGACCAGTACAAGCAGCAAAGGTGCCTTCATTGGTGCATTTTGCGTAGTTGTATATGCTCTTTCATTCAGTTCTTATACACGGCCTTATGCATTGATTGCATCTACTGCATTTGCTGGTGGCACTGCAGCTATTCTTGGAGTGGATTGCTTTAGTCGAGCAGGGCTAAAAGAATTCTGGCTTTATAATTGGGGTGAGAATTAACAGGAATATTCCCTGGGTTTAAGCTTTGGTTGCTAATTTCGCATCAGGCTTGAACGACAATATATTCCCACTGAACACCACGACATATCCGCTGAATAGAGGGATCCGAGTTGAATTAGCCGCCATCATCGTGATATGTTTGTTCGGCCTTTTGTCACAGTTTAGACTGTGGAAGGTAATCAGAGAACGGCGTCAAAAACAGGAAGAAATCTTGGCGGAAGAAGAACAAAAGAAAGACGAAATTGAAATCGAGCTCGGCCGGACGATTGAGGAAAGAAAAATGCAGGACCTGGCTCGCTGGGAAGCAGTATATGGAGATCATTCCAAACGTGGTTCTACAGAAGCAGGAGCATCGACCTGCGGGTTTCATCGAAACTACTCGGCCCCAGATATCCTGCAAAAACCTTCGGAGATTTCCGTGGAAATGGTGACTATGTCTATACCAGGTTATAATACACCCTCGTCACCCGAAAGGAACGAAAGAGAGGGAGAGAATGTACAGCATGATAGTGGTATGGTCGATGCAGAAACTACCGATGGACGAGCTGTTGCCTCTAGCGTCATCGAAGAATTGCAAGTTGAGAAGCCTGAGGCTCGTGAGAGTGTTGATACAGCAAGGGATTGTGTCGATGAAAAGATAGAGGGCGAACCTACAAGAGCGCCGACGCCTTTTCAATTCTTCAAGTCGCCTCCTTTCAATATTCCATCCCCAGAAGAAAGAAGAAATGGCGACGACGATCAGTCAGTCCAAGCGATCGTAGATGATGGTGACTCCATTGCCAATCGCCTCTCGAAAAGATTATCTGCAGTATCTCTGTTAAGAAGACTGTCACACCGAGACAGCACCAGCAAAATAAGCCATATAGTCTCTGACTCGGAGGAAATGCTTGTTCCTGCTGCTCGGACAAGCACCGCATCATCCGTACAAGGGATCGCAGACATGGAAGGTAGCAGCACTATCGAGGGCCAAGACGCGTGTCTTCGAACAGAATACGAGGGAAATTTGGGTGACAATACGAGCTCACGTTATTCACGTCCAGAGGTAGCTTCGAGAACGGAGGGTGATATTACCGTGCTAAAGGACCCTGACAGCACCCATCCTCTGCCAGAAAATTCAGACGACCATGTTGTGGTAGTGAATAAAGAGGTTGAGCAAACAAAGGACATGATTGAAAGGGAAGGCTTGGGTCTTTCATTGGTCAAACGCCGCCATACATTTGATGGTGTTGACTCTACATTAAAAGCTGGTCAAGCCATAGCTCTGACTCATACGAAGGAGTCGGTTACCAGCATAAAAGACAAAACCCCGGAGAAGGGGGTCAGTGGAAAGAGCCCTAAAGTGGCTTTATCGAGCTCACAATCTCGACAGAGTGCTGGAAAAAAAGAAAGTCTCACAGCTGGAGCTGTTGGGGATCTACCTAGCCACGTTTCTCCGCTTATTATGTCTTACCGTACAAATGAGTGGGCGAAACATCTATCAGACGCGGATACACCTGACTTTGACACAATTGACGTGAATCAAACAGACACCACTCACGGTGAAATAACAGCTCCTGTGTATGTGGAGGAGTTGACACAGACTGCTACAACGGCTGCACCGCCTCCTGTAAAAGAGAAACGTGCGTCTCCCACTGAGAACGTGGTGGAAGGTCCAATTCATCGAACATCGTCCAATGTCAGCAGGCAATCTACACATGAGATTACATCTAGGCTGTCGCCTAACATCTATGTTGATACTGCGGCTACACACGCAACCAACATCGCATCTGGAAGGTCTGCATCGAATCCAGACCTATTGCTTCCCAATGCAAATCGATCGCCACCATTACACGGCACGCAGATTGGGTTTCGCAATTCCTCTACACAGTTCCCGAGCACATCGCTTACAACGTCGCCTATAGACGAGAGCCAAGTCGTAAATTTTGATAGTCTGCCCAATGACGGGTCATTATCACTGCTGGCACAACGAGAAAGGATGGTTCAGGCTCGCTTGTCATCCTTATCTCTGACTCGTGACTCCTGGACACCACGGTCTCCATCACGTCAATCAGTGAACAGTCCGCGATTACGGCCCGACAGTCAAATTAGCTTGGCAGAAGACGATGAGATGACCCTCGCACAACGGCGGGCTTTACTGCAGGAACGAGCCACATCACCTATCAGCGTGAATGCAGATGCTCGAAGATCAGCAGTAGACATATATCCCGTCGCGGCTAGACTTTCAAGAGAGTCAAGAAATTCGAGCAAGTCCAAGTCTGCAACCATGGCGGCCTGGCGCGAATCGATCCAAGACGATCTCAGCCGGTCACATAGCCCCCTAGCTGACGTCGACGTGGCGCGCAAGGAGATGATGGAGCAACAACGCAAAGCGCAGATGGCAAAGAATCAGCGAGTCTTGGCTTCTGAAAGTCTCGATAACTCGATAGCCGAGCGAATGCGACGAGGAGAGATGCAGGATATCCATCGCGAAGCCATGAGACGAATGCAAGCAGCGGCCAACAAGAAAGTGCGAGAAAACTGAACCCATTCTCCGCATTCATTTACACGAATATACCTTTAATATTCCCAAATATCGATTCTGGACTCCTTTTTCTGCATACAACCACGAGACCATTTCATGACTGGGACCAACGCTAGTTCTTTTTAGAGTGATAATAATAATGCAACGTCTAATGAACCTTTCTGTCACCCTCAGACCGGTCCAAATGATCGAGATCTCGTATTGACAAATACTATTACTTTGTGTTACTAATCATACCTCATGGATCCATCCCAGTTCCCGAGTGTCGGGAGAGTCGGTCCACCGGATCCAGTATTTAGTATTTACTACTACTCCACAACCTAGTAAGCTAGTACTAGGCAGTCGCAGGCTCGCTCGTAATATGGCAGATCGCGTAGTGTGCAAGAGCTCGCTTGTTGCAGGCTTTTATTGAACATTCCCCGTAGCAAGCTAGCCTGTAAGCATTGCCATGCAAAAAGAAAAGAAAAAGCAAAGTCAATGGGCCGTGCGACAATATTAATCTCCCGGCGCGGTGATTGGCGAGACAGGCCACCACTCAGTCTAAGCCGTCTAGGATGCTCGTACTGGGCACTAAGTAAGTAGTAAGTCGTTAGTAAGTACTTGGTGCTAGTTGGTAGTACTGGGTAGGAACCAGGGCCACTTTTCTTTCTGCCAGTCTCGACTCTGACGGCTCAAGGGTGTACATTCAATAATAACATTGATCCAGCTGGCCAACAACCGACAGCCGAAGTCGACTTGCCACTGCCAGGCTAGGAGGGCGTCGGTGGTCTTGTACAGGGTTTGGTTTCAGTATAGCCCTAACCCGGAAAGTTGCTACTTATAACCCTTGAATCTTCTGAATGCTCAGACGTTTCGGATAGAGCCAGACAATCGCCTTCTCCCCCTTTCCCCAAGGGCAATTCCCATTCACCATGCGCTCCGAGCCGTCCAATGGCGCAATCGATCGACGGCGGCTCAATGCTGCACCGCGAGTATTAGACTCTCAGTCTATGGAATACCGTCTCTTTGTACGTCTCCAGACAGGCAGGATTCGCGCTGGTGCTGGCGCAGTCCAGAGCTCTGGTTCTGGACCCGGGATGTCGATTCCGGCTGCTGTCTAACGCTTTGGAGTCAAGATCTATGGTGCTAAGCAGCGCTAGGCGGACGACCAGTCAGCCCAGGCGGCAGAGGCCGGTACTTGATCGGAAGTGTTTCACTTCCACCACAATCAGGAATGAGCATTTCATATTCTGGCCATTGTATGATTTGACGTTCTACTCCGCACTAGACCAACACAATGACGTCTTGTCTGGTCCTCTATTAATCCTATTATGGTGGACTGGCGCTGGCCTATTTCGGATCCCTTTGTCCGTCTCTCTTCTGCTATTAATCCGTCATATCATGCTGTATTTATATTTAGTTCTATAAAGTATTGCATTTCTCCTCCCTTGCTCCCTCCCGCCTGGATTGCACTCGCCATTCGCTACAGTGGCTGCCCAATTGATCCCACAGACTGACCCCGAGGCGTTGCATGCACCTTTGCCTCTTCGGTCTCGACCTATTGCAGTACTGTACCTCATTGCCACAGGTGGTGTTTGGCTAGTTCAATGTGAGTCGAGTTGTGTTGCATTGGGTGGGCTTGTGTCTTAAATACCTGGATGCGTAGTCCAGGGCCTTTGTTGTTATCTTCTGTTGCTCCTACGTTAAAGTGTTTCTTTCCATTTTCTATTTTCCATCTTCCATTTTTCGGTTTTTTTTTTCTTTCCATTCTGTGGAATGGTGTATTCCATCTGAGTTGGAATATTAAATCAATTGTGCTGTTGTCTGTGGTGCGCCACGGCATGGGGGGAAAAGCGCAGACGCCGCCGCGAGGAAGAAATCACCCCCTTAACCACCTTAACCACCTTCACCACCGCCGCAACTACCATCCGCTCCTCTCTCCACGCCCGCCCCCGTCGAGCTTCACCTCGCGGCTTCTCTTTTCTAGCACCTGCCCTGGGACGCTGCGGTCTTTCTCTCAGAGGGGAATAATCAGCCTCCTCGCAGTCCGCGCGTTTTCTTCCGGTCTCCAAACACGGCTTCTTCCGCCGGCCACCAGTTTTCTCACAACCTATCACCGCTGGCGGCGAAAGACCATCACCAGCGCCCTGACGAAGGCGACTTTCAGTCAATAGCCATCGGTGCTCTCCCCACGACTCCTCACATTGCTGTGCCCCCGCCGCTGCATCACCCCCCAGAAACCCATGTCCGCAGCCATCGAAGAACCCCGTCCCGAGGTCGCCTTCTTTTTTCATCCTTTCGCAACAACAGTAACCAGCCGAAGCCGATAGACGTCAAGGTCAATCGCTTGCCATCCGGCTCTCGTTTGTGGAATCCAATCAATCACGTCCCACGTACAACTGTCGTCACGCCGAGTCTAGCCCAGCAGTCCGACGAAGACTTGAGTTTTGCAGGAGCCGGCCGCGACGTCTATCCACTACTGTCAATCCCCGAACAACGCCGCAGTCGTTTAACCCCTTCACCAAACAGCCTTTCTGTCGAACGTAGCGCTGCAGAATCTGAAAGCGGCCGCACGAGCATTGCACTACCACGGAGTCGCCGCCGTAGTGAGCAACTCGAAGGCTTAGAGTTCGCCGCAATGCCCGAGAACACAGAAGACCAGGAAAATGGATCAGGCAAGCTCCGACCAGACGATGGCATCACGCATCCCCCTCGCCATGTCCAGTCAAACTCGTCTCTCCGAAATTCGACCTATGCATCCTATCCGTCTGGCGGAAACCCGAATGCTGGTGGAGACGGAGAGGCAGAAGTGGCAGAAGAACTAGCTTGGGGACCTGCGCATCCCTGCTATCCACACATGAACCCGCATGTGCCTTTGCACTCAGAGGAGTTCACAACAACGCGGATTATTCGCATTCGTCGCGATTGGATGGTCAAAGGTGACCTTGCTCCGACATTCTCCAACCTATACCCCGAAATCCTCGACCCGCTGGTCTCTGAGCAGGAATTCCGTCGCATAATAGCCAAAGTCAACAGTGAGCTGGTAAAGGCATTTGACCCGTTCTCGTTACGCAGCTGGTTCGACAGCGCTATGGGGCTTGTCACGGGCTGGGTATGGGATGATCTGGGGTTCCCCGGAATTAAAGCTCATTTACGCCGGGTAGAAGATTGGCTCGACAAGTGGAATCGTGAAGTCGGATCCAAGGAAAACGTGCGAATATGGAGTCTTCGTCGGACAGCATACATGACGCTGGATATCCAGATCCCAGACCCCAAAGTCGGCCCCGTCAATAGTGAGGCCCATTCTGCAGCTGGCACGCGGCCAAATACCGGACCAACCAGCCGGATTCCTGCTCCTGAGACCCACGAACGATGACAAGCGAGGAGACCTGCTTCGGTCCTTTTCACTTCTTGACTATATTCTCGATATGCATGTTCCCATTTCCCTGCGGCAACTGAGCGTTCTACTTGATTTTATTCGCACCTGACCACGACGTCCGGATTATTCTGATACCATAATGACTTTGGCAATACCTTTTGTAATCATTAGTCCCGCCTTCTGGCCCTTAGTCTGGATAGACCTCCTCTTATCACCCTCAGAAGTTGTTATATACTGAGGCTGTACCTAATATGTCTATACCAGCTGCTTATACATAGTCTGCACTGAATAGACATAGCACTCACTGTACTGAATAGTATTTATCGATGGACATGGATTATTGCCATCTACGTATTAATAATAATAGCCTTCTACATCAAGTGATGTATCAAATGTATTGTTAGCAGTTGTTGTACCTAGTTTACAGTGCGTTGTGCGGGGATGCTGATAGGCCGAGGGGACAGCACAGGTCTCCACTGCCTGATTGTCTATGCCGACCCTGTACATTACATTAATGATCATATTCATACCTGAAGAAGACACAGCTGTGCTCTCAATCCGACCCCGATCGACGATCAACCTCCAGGCTGTCACCATGATCTCCGGAATCCTGGTCTTCAACCAGAAAGGCGAGAACCTGATCTTCCGCGCCTTTCGCAACGACTGTCGTCCACGCCTTGCAGATATCTTCCGCATCCAAGTCATCTCGAATCCGCAGGTACGATCGCCCATCTTGACTCTTGGATCGACAACATTTAGCCATGTCAAACACGAGAATATCTACCTGGTCGTGATCACCAAAAGCAATGCCAATGCGGCCCTCGTCTTCGAGTTTCTGTATCGGCTGATACTGCTGGGAAAGGGGTATTTTGGCAAGTTTGACGAGGAGGCTGTTAAGAATAACTTTGTGTTAGTTTATGAGCTGTTGGATGGTATAGTCTCCTTTTTTCCATTTTGTCCATTTTGTATTAATCTAACATGGAGCAGAAATTCTCGACTTTGGCTATCCGCAAAACACAGAAACCGATACCCTCAAAATGTACATTACCACCGAAGGCGTCAAATCAGCAATTGCGAATTCACCCTCCGACTCAAGCAGAATTACCATGCAAGCAACGGGCGCGCTCTCGTGGCGACGGGCAGATGTCAAATACAGGAAGAACGAAGCCTTTGTAGACGTTATCGAGGACGTGAACCTACTCATGTCCGCCACCGGGACGGTGCTGCGGGCGGATGTCAACGGACAGATTATCATGCGAGCATACCTTTCGGGGACCCCCGAATGCAAATTCGGATTGAACGACCGATTACTTTTAGACGGAGACGAGTCGGGTCCGTCAGGAAACCGGGATGGCCGGACAAGAGCCACCCGTGCAGCAGCCGGATCGGTCACGTTAGAAGACTGCCAATTCCACCAGTGTGTCAAGCTAGGCCGGTTCGACGCCGACCGCACCATCTCGTTTGTGCCCCCAGACGGCGAATTCGAGCTCATGCGGTACCGGGCGACCGAAAACGTCAACCTGCCATTCAAGGTGCATCCGATTGTGCGCGAAATCGGTACGACCAAAGTTGAATACAGCGTCGCGATCAAGGCCAACTACGGGCCGAAGCTGTTTGCTACTAATGTGGTAGTGCGCATCCCCACGCCGCTCAACACGGCCAAGATCACGGAGCGCACGACGCAGGGGAAGGCAAAGTATGAGCCGGAACATAACAACATTGTATGGAAGATTGCACGGTTCACGGGACAGAGCGAGTACGTGCTCACAGCAGAGGCGACCCTTACCAGCATGACGCATCAAAAGGCATGGAGTCGGCCGCCGCTGAGCTTGTCGTTTAATCTGTTGATGTTTACGAGCAGCGGGCTGCTTGTGAGGTATTTGAAGGTGTTTGAGAAGAACAATTACAGTAGTGTCAAGTGGGTGCGATATATGACTCGGGCGGGGAGTTATGAGATCAGGTATGTTCCAGTATATTGATGATGGCTTGAGTGGTACTGACTGAGGCAGGTTCTGATCGGCCAACACTTGCACACTTTAACACAAGGACATTTGAAGAACATGGTTATTTTGTTTCTGCTGTCACGAGCGTTATGGAGTACGGGCCGGGTCTGTCTGCATTGTGTATTCAAGTTGTGAGGCATACCCTTTTATTCAATATATATATTCTTTACTTGAACGGCTGAGCCCAACCTACTTTTTTTCTATGCGTTAATTCAAGGTTGAAACCCCTACAGAATTTAATTTGATATAATTTAGGCACGTTGGCATAGCTGGTTTCTGCATCTTCGCCAAAGTCAGGCTGAGACAGATGGCGCCCGCTGATCTGCGCAGATCACGGTTTGTCAACTACCATCATTATCATCATCTTTACATCCTTCGCATCAATCTGTGCCGTGGTTGATGCCCACTTATAATAACTAACCTTGGTGATTCTCCTGGGATTCCCTGGGTCTGCACACACAACAACTGTAGAACCTGCTCCTGAACCACGTGAAACTTCAATCGAATAATTCGGCTAGCTGTCAGGAAAGGCACTAAGGAATGGCCGAGACCGGTAGCCTTCAGGATAGAAAACCATTGGCTGGCCATAGCGGCCTCTCGATGTTTTGGGGGCTGTGGCCTGGCAGCTCTACATGCTTGAGCAGTCGTGCAGGTTCCTATTCGAAGCTGAATGATGATTTATTCAATCTCCTTTAATCATTTACGGCTGCAGTTTGAACTGGTGATATGATATTATCAGTAGCCTGTATGTCTAATACCGAAGTATACAACCGAATGGCAAAACTAACAGGCTACATAGCATCCGACCTCACCTTCAAGGCTCATGAGATCAGCGAGAATGGCAACAGCCACACCTACGCCCACCCATCCTCCTGAAATACACAATGGAACCACAACGTCCTGGTTCCCTCTAACAACTGCCTTCCCCTCCTCTGTCGGCTGCGAGTCCTCTTTCTGGATGGAAACGCCCCCGACCATCGCCGCCTGGGACCCCGGGTACGGATTATACGTGCAACCGGGTCTGGAATGCCAGCCGCCAGAGGTAACGACTTGGTGGGATGAGAACAAGACCCCGAATATCAACACCACAGCGACGAAGTACAGTATTGGACCGATCGTGTGTCCGTCAGCGTATACAACGGCGAAGACAAGCGTGAATCAGCGTGGGAGTACGTTGGTAGGGTGTTGTCCGAGGTACCTACCGCACTCGATCATTTTGTATATTCTAGCACGATACTGAATATGTCTGGGCAGTGGATATAGCTTCTTCGAGTTCCTCGATGGCGGCGTGGGTGACGAATGCATGTCGCCGCTGAGTGCGAGCCAGGTTATTGCGTATGCAACGCAAGACTCGTCGTGGATTACCACGTCGTCGACAATACATGCTGCGAGCTTCGTGGTGGGCGTGCAGGTGAATGGCTGGCTGTTTCCGACAGAGACGGCGACTACTACTCAACCTTCTCAGCCTACTCAACATGCTCAAACTGCTCAAACCACGGCCCAGTCTACCCAGACAGCAGCAATTAGCGACCTTTCACACGGCGCCATCGCGGGGATAAGCGTGGGAGTTGCGGCGGCAGCTATAATGATAGCAGCAGGTGCGGGGGTTTTCTTTCTACGACGCAGAAAGAATAGGCAGTACACCGTGGATGATGGTCTCAATGGCGAAAACCCACAGAAAAACGAAGTGGACTCGGTGGCTCTCCATGAGGTACCATCAGACCTTGGCATCAGAGAATTACATGAGAATGGCACGCACGAACTTCCGATTGAAACGTATACGAGATGACGGGTTGTAGTGGTTCTATCAATTGGGTTGTGATGACTATGTTCAATACTATATAGCCTGAGGGTTTACACATGTACAATCAACTGGCCTTGCCCAACATTGAATTATCTTCTGGCGACTGCCATATTTAGAGAAAATTCTGATAAAGATGGTAATGATAATATACCTTTGCAAGTTTTTCCTAAGTAATTCTGAGAGATAACATTTGAAGCGGTCAAAGCTACATATGCAGTTGGGACCGTGCGTTTGGGTTATCTCGGATCACGATCACCCCGGCTTTCCACCACTGTCGCTATAGGAGGGCCGCCGCCCCCGCGCGCGATCGAAGCAGATAACAGAGCATGGATCAGGTGCTCCTCGATCGTAACGTACGATGTGTATCTGTGTGTTATTATTATGTACTGCCAAGCAGCCATTAATCATTAATCATTAATAAGAATCCATATGTCAAGTGCTATTCGTATTACCAGTAGGTTTAGTTACTAGGCGCCGTTTTCTCTATTGCAGGGGGGCTATAGCACTCTAGTCTGCTCGCGGCTGGTTAGTTTGAGGCCTTGACTCAGGAGGCCTCAGGTGACACACGTAATGTCTATACTACGCTCTGCTATTGATATAACACCAAGACGATACCAAGAGGCTAAGAGATAGGAGGAGACACGTGGGGGTCCATCGCGATGATCAGCTTTGCATTGCATTGCATTGCAGTATGGCGTGCATTGCCATCAACACAGTCAATAATCAAGACAATAATAACGAGGAAGAAAAAGAAGAAAAGAACAAAGAATAATAATGAAAATCACTACAATAATAATACGCATCAGATTAAAGGAGGGAGAATAAGCGATTAGATCCACCAGCGTGTCATGGACGGACGGGACGCGGCCGGGTCGGGGCGGACACGCAGTGGAGCATCATTATATTAACTCGGGTCCCGATGGAATAATGATTCGTGGATTGATGATAGAGTGTATGTATGAGTGTAGATAGAAGTAGAGTACAGCCGAATATTAAAAACAAATAATAACATGATAATAAAAAAAAAAAAGGTATCGGATTAAACACCTCCCGGGGTATCTCCAGAAACAAAGCCCTCCTCCTGTACTGCAAAACTCCGCAAGATATGCATGACAAATGAAACAAATATGAGACGGCAGAGCCAGGCGGCCCGTCGGAAGATAAGAGAATATAATAAAAATCAATCAAAACACCCATGCAGCCGCCCGCGTACAAACGGCCCGGACCCGCGGCGAAGGCCTACGTTGCCTTCTCCCACTAGAGCCTGCCACCGCTTGCCCACGCTGGCATTGTCCTTGCCCAAGCGTTGCGCACATTCTTCCCACTCGCGTTGTGATAGTTTGAGTTTCTCGAGCACCACGGAGACCAACTTCTGGTCGTCTTCCGCGGTCCACGCAGTTTTTTCGGTATCTTCTATTTCAATCGACGGCAAGACCACGTCTGGAAGAGCTTCGTCGTCTTGCGGAGCCACGCGAAATGGTATGTTTCTAGGATTACCCCCGTCGAGAGATTCGAAATCGGCGATGCCGAGCCCCAGCGGCATGTTGTAGGGGAAGCGCTTCTGGCGTTTGGGGGTGGAGAAGCGATCGCACGAGCGGCGCGATCGATGCTCCATTTTGCTGTCACTGTGATCATCTTCGTATACACTGCGGCTGCGTTTGGTGCGAGTGCGCGGAGGCGAAGAAGGAGTCTTGGGTCGCGGAGTGGCCGACTTGGCAGGTTTGCGCGGCGGCAGTTTGGCGGGTTTCGGTTCATCGAGATGGAAGGGACTGGCAAGACGCAGAGAGCGTCGCAGAGGAGTCGACTGAGGCGCCGGCGATACGTTTAACAGGTTCTGTAGCTTGCGACTGACGCCGATCAGGCTGCCGCCGATGCCATCGCTGGACGGGGGAGGAGTCGGCGAGAGCGCGCGGTAGATGGGCTGGTGTAGGAATTTCCTGCTGTCGCAGGAGAGAGCCGATTGCATCAGCATGTTGGCGACGGTTCGTTTGGTAGTATTCTGGTAGGTAGAGTGGTGTTTTGGCGAGGCAGGCCGTCCTCAGCGATCCTGACAAAACGGAGGCTGGGAGCAGGCCGTATGCGCCGGGGCGGTTTGGGGGTTCAAGCGCGCAGTATCGAGAATAATTTTGGACTGCGCGACGGAGCGAGGACGAGCGATAGAGCTAGACGTAGTTGCGAAAGCATGCGACGTGGTGTGGGTGTCGGATGCTGGATGTTGCGAGTGTGAAGAGTAGAGAAAGAGTCGCAGAGACGACGGGGCCCGGGGCGGTGGAAAAGGGAACGGCGGCGGCCAAGTAATTGTCAGAATTCGGACTGTGGGCGGAGCGTTGAAAAGTACTTAGTGCCTGCTCCTAGTCTGACACCGGGTGGGCCCGGTGTCACGATGTACAAAACGGTATTGTACTATTATTACCATTATTACCATTGCTAGTTCTAGTCCTATTCCTATTCCTATTAATATTAATTTCAACCATCTTTTTGTTAATATCAAGACTCGCAAGGAATCGCCCTGGCAACGTCGGAGAAAGAAGCTGATGCAAGTCATCAATTCTCCTGCGAACCCTCCTGCTGCCCTTGCGTCACTCCTCCACCACCACCAACACCACCATCACTCTAAGCGCTCGACCTTGGCAGCGCAGTCATCTTGTCATACTCAACTTCTATTTTATATGATAATACTGCTGGTAGACTGCTAATCAGCAGACTGGCGACACACTGCCAGTTGGAGTGACTGGCTACTGCTGTACCGCGTCAAAGCGCGTCAAAAACGCGTAGCCGCGTCGGCCAATCACAGCCCGCCAGATGACGTCGGCTGACCAGCCTGACTGGCCTGACCATCCAGGCAGCAAGGCCGTGGGCCCGCCTGCCTCAGGCCTCTCGGCACGTGCGGCGCTGATTCGACTGTCTACTGATTGATGGCAGTTCCTACTTAGCACTGGTAGTGAGTAAAGTAGTGAAAGTAGGGTGTGCTCAGGCTCCTTGCTCCCCCTCTTCCCTTCTTTTGCTACTGTCTGCTCTAGCCTATGCGCATCTCAGTCTCTGTACCTTCCGACATCATCCGGACAGCAGAGGAACACAACACCAAAGCCTAAAAGAAATTAAAACCATTATCCTCATTACTAGCGCGTACACTCCAGACGATCAGCCGCGATGATATCATGCGATACCTAGGTCTTACAGACTACAGGCTAGCCGATATGGTTTATCGGCCCTCCTAGACTGCGCCCTCATCTTCCTACGTCCGTGATGATTTCTTGATTTGGCACTCCTTGTGGGCTCTATCAGGTCGCTATCCTATGTCTAAAGGGTTAACCAGGTTGGCAAGTTAGGGTAAATCGTAATATTGTGAATCGTAGTGATGCTAATTCCATCTCACATCAAAGCTGACTAGTCGACTGTTGATGGCTGAATATTCTGTGGTGGCTGGTGATGTACTAGAACATCGCGCATATGCGCATACCGGCAGGTGGCTGCTGTCAAGAACATGTGTGCAGGACAGCCGCTCTGCATTGCATCGCATTGTGCCGCCTGCTCGCCCTGCAGTCTGTACTGTGGCCTGAACTACCCTGCAACCAGTCTCTTGCTATGGCAACACTCTATCCCTTCTCTTTACCTCCCCTCCTTCTCGGGAGAAAAAGCAAGGGTCTCCAGCCACGTCCGAGAACTTTGCACGATGCCTTAACCCTATCTTTCCGAATCCAGATGTGCTAGGACATGCACTCCAGACGCCACCTGAACCTAATCTCGAGACGAGCCCTACGAGGTCGCTCGAGATGTCCTGTTTAGGTGGCCCTCTGGATCTGCTAGCTAGCCCAGCAAGGGGTGACCGTGGCCGTGATCGTGTGCCCTGAGGTCTGACTCGGTGATCGTGGGCTCGGCAGGAAGCAGCACGACTGTCGAGTTGTATTGCCCGGTCACTCGTGGTGTTCGCAGATTATCAAGGGGGAGAAGAGTGTTACCGCGACAACCCTTGATAGACTTCATCCTGACTCGCGATGTTCTAGGACAGGTTCCTAGATTATATTTCTTGAATTTGAGAAACATATTGAACCGAATCAATTTTGTTTACTAGCCCGTACTTGACTGATAACATCCGTATACCCGTACTGTGTGGTTGACGGGTACAAAGAACCATGTCAGTCTTCTCTGCAGCGGATGTACGCCAACAACCCGTGGTAGTTGCAGCGCAGTGCAGTGCATTATGTACATGTACATGCCACAGCGCGGCTGGGTCGGCGCACAATCGATAGGAAAATAAACAAACACCGAACCTTCCGACGAACCATCCCGATCATTTGATAGGAGTTATTGAAATCGATAGGAGGAAAACAGGGTCTTATCGGGCAAATCTTACCCCATCCGTCGTAGTAGCCCGTTTATATGCAAGTAATAATCATGCAAGGTGATACATCTCAATAAGTGGATATACGCCCTTGCTTACCAACTTCCTACCACGTACCAATCCGACTTTGTTATCCTAACTGATATAGGACAGTTAAATTGCCTGTTTGGGAAGGGTTCACCAAGTAAACTGTATATTCTAGATTTGAAGTTGGCGGACTAGGTTTATTGTGTTGTGTACCTGTACATGTGTTGGCTGCTGATTATTACCGGTTAAGTTCGGAAACTCCCTTTCTGTCTGCTAGATGGGGTTCTTCACTAGTAATGTATGGCAATATTGGTATCATTTAAAACAGCAAGTTTACTAACTACTGCCCTTAATTAATACTGTTGTCACTGTTTCAGACCCAGGGCCTTGATTGTAATGATCGTCCCGATCCCCAGACCTAGTTCACGAACTGGTCAAATGGCAAGCCATGAATTGACCTCTATCAATAGTCTATATCGCCCTATATTTCATCTCTCCCTCCTGTATTCATCCCCACAGGGCGTTACCATTTCTTAGTAACCCCGCTGTCTCTCCCCATACAGCACTCGCTGCGTCTTCCCAGTGAGCTTGTGCTCCACTTCTTCGTATACTTCGCCTCCTTCCTCTGACTGGGTCGACCAGGATACAAGAGCGTTACTAACTTGTTTTTCAGCACCGGAGATGTGGACCAGCAAGGGCTCAGCCTTCGATACGTCGCCGTCATTGTTTGTGTGTGAATACCCTACCAAAACTCCTTGCTTCACTCTTGACTTTGCCTCTTCCATGCCTAAAGCCTGATATCTCTCACCTTGGTTGAACAACTGGACACAATTTGAATGAGACCTTTCAGCTAAGGCACTCCAAGCTTGTAAGCTGAGAGGGCGACGTAGGCGATGGTCTGCCAATCGAGGGCTAACACTAGGGTGGTTTACGCTTGTACGTCCCTGTGTAGATCTTTGGCAAGTGGCGGATTTCCCGGCTGTAAAATCACTTTCTTTTAGCAATTTGGAGCACACTGAGGCTGGGTAATCGATGTTTGCACCACCTCCATCTGAAAATGATTGTGCAGGGTCTTTCCCGCGCACTGATCGTGCCTTTTTCAAAGGAAATCCATCGGAAACGACATTCGATCCCATGTAAATAGCCGAATTCTGCAACCCAAGTGACCCTACCGGTTTCTTTCCATATGCTGACATTTCTTTTCTTACAGGCATAATAGCGCTCGATGTGTCAACGGAGTCGAGATTGCATTCATTTCCCGAACATGAATCTTTCACCTCTGTAACGAAGCTTGTCCCCAAATATATGACCGACTCTTGTGATCCTAAACAAAGCAACTCCTGCTCCACCTCCTGTTTCACAATCAGAGACGATTTACAACGAGGACTCCAGTTCCGAATAGCAGCTTGGTATTCAACTTCCAACCTCGACTTATACTCCATGTTTTCGAACCAGTAATGCCGAAGAGCCTCCTTCGTAGTCAGTCTCTTTTTCTCGTCTAGAACAAGTAGCGAGAGAACAAAATTTTGCGCCAGTGCACTAGCCTCGTTCCACCGCGTGTTATTAAACACCCCATTCATATCGCCTGGCTCACTACCTTCGATCAGACCGGACGACGAGAAAGGGAATGGAGGCGCCCCGATCAACAAGACAACTGCTATGCAGCCGACAGACCAGAGGTCGACTGATTTGGTGTATCCTTGCATCATGGACTCTTTATATACTTCCCTAAACGATTTTAAATATGCACCATGGTATCAGAGTCTAGAATATTACTTACGGAGCAGTATAATCCCAAGTCCCGACCACAGTGGACATGCGCTTGCTTTTTGATTGAATAATCTGTGCGCAGCCAAAGTCTGCCAGAACTACCCGACGCCCGTTTCCGTGAGTGGTCATCAAGATGTTTTCGGGTTTGAGATCGCGATGGACGATATTGTTGTCGTGCAGGTAATCCAGTGCAATCAGAATTTGTCGCATGATAGAAGCTGCGTCAAAGTCCGCAATATTCCCACCCACAGATTCAACAAAGGTGAAGAGGTCGCCGGCTGTAATGAGATCCTCGAACATAAATCTATATATGTCAGTACGATCAGTATAACTATAGTGCATACTGACATTGTATTATCCGTATGGATTACTTTTTCGATCCCAATTATGTTAGGCTGGCCGTATTAGATTAGACGTAGCCAGAGGAACGATATAGGAGGTTTCATACATGAGACAGCCTTTCAAGGATTGAAACCTCACGCTTCTGAAGTTCTAGAAGGCTCGTGCCTTTCCACTCTCCATCATTCGTCCTCTTCTCAACGGCTTTCTTCACGGTTCTGAGATCCACGACTTTGCAGGCGACTTGGCTGGCAGTTTTTCTATTAACTGCCATATGAACCCTACCAAAACTACCTTCTCCTAACAGACGATTTGTGATCAGATATTCGGCCACAAAACACTAACTAGTTAGTAACGTCCACAAAGCGGAGAGGGAGAACAACATTTGCTTCTTCTCGCTGAACAGGGGTCAGGGGCTTGTCAACTTGATAGTCACAACGGAACTCGAGGTAACTTTCTGGCGACAGGCGCAAAAGATCTCCATCGCTAAGGAGGAATGCATCTCCATGTCTCTCGATCTTCTGGCCATTCCAGAATGTGCCGTTCAACGAGAGATCCTGGGCATAGACCAAAGGAGCGATGTCCAAAGGATTGTCGAAATCGTAGACAATGGTGTAGATACGAATATGTCGCCCTGATACTCGGGTGTCATTAAAGATGTAATCACTAGACGCAGAAGCTCTTCTCAGCAATGCAGCTGATAATCGAATAATCGCACCGCACCTTTTTCTCTGATCTCGACCGATATACAACGGATGGTAGGCAGAGACGTGTCGAGGATCTGTAGCCTTGCGTGTTCTTGGATCCCAACGGTATATCGTTCCGATGCAAGTCAGAGGGTCTTGAGACATTGGCAGCATGATGATATAAGCATATTTAGTCACCTCACGAAGTATCTTTGGGGATTGCACTCAACAAAGGCTTGTAAAGAAGGCTGTAGAGGACATTCCCGCAGATGAAGCCTCTGTTGCCTGTGGAAGGCACGACTGGGCACTCAAACGGAAGGTGCGACGCGTCAACTATTGGCGACTGCCGCCAACTCAGATTCAAGGACTACACGCATCTACATATGTATTTATATATCAATTGATGTGAACTGGTACAATTGGGAAAACTCTTTGCCAAGAGGATATACCCATGAGGTGTTATATTTAAACCTAAAATAGCTGCAGGTATCACTTTCCTTGCATCTTCCGAATGCGCTCCTCCGCAGCCCGGGCTCGACGCTCCCTTTCCAATCGCATCCTCATTTCAGGCGTCATTCCTCGCATTTCATCTTCTCTTTTCTCTGCAGCAGTCTTTTCCAAGGATGCCAGCTTGCGACCACCTGCATTCTTTTTACTTTCAGCCGACGCCGCACTAGCAGCTTCTTCTGCCTTCAACCGCTGCATTTCAGCCTGACGACGACTCGCCTCTTCTTTTGCAGCATCCTCTCTCTCCTGCTCTTGGCGGCGGTCAACCTCTGCGCGAGCCATGGGAGAGGGTACGTGGGCCGCCTCCCAGTCCCAGGCGGATTCACCTAGTTCATACCGGGCAACCCGAAAGGCATCACGCGTATCTCGGTCTCTGGCGAGGTCAAAAGGCGTTTTACCCTCCCCATTCTGAATGGTAGGATCAAAACTTGCTTTTGTTAAAAGTGATGTGACAAGCGCAGGAGAGTCGGAGTTCGCAGCAAGGTGAAGAGGGGTAGGAGAGTGATGGTTTTGAAGCGAATCTGCAGGGAAGAATTTAAATGATGGGGAGATGGTATTGTTTGAGATGTATGACAGCAGAGCGGGTGCCTTTGAGCGGCGGATAAGAGCCTGGATCTGGGAAGTGTGCAACATTGCAGCCTCGTCTTCTTCCGACAACTTCGGCTTCTTTGGCTGTGAGGCGGGCTTCGGGGATTTCGAAACTGTCTCACGCTGCTTGGCTTCGGCAGCAGCCAAGGCAGCCTCGTCAATCTGGCTGACCTTTACTCTTGTTAGCTCCTTGAAGCACCTCATCAACTCTGCCTGTGTCGCACGGCGGGTGCTGAAAGGAAAGTTCCGCATTCGAGGATCATTATGCTTCAGAACCTGTCCTTCGTACGAGCCAAATAATGTTCGTCGATTTGTGTTTCCTGTGGCACGCACAAAGACAAGCTGGGCTGTATCAATCATATCCTTCCAATCTCGCAGCAGATCACGAATATCTTTTTCTAGTGCAGCTTCGTTGTATCTTCGCAAGCCTGACCCGGCCGAATGTGCAGCGCCCCTGGAGGCATCGCTCGCTGATTGTGAGCCACCCTGTTTTCTGCGCGTCGTGTAACGATGGAATGTTTTATGCGCTATAACCTTAGCCTGCCTTTCCTCAACCCCCCCTCGCTTTTGTACCTCAGGAGCGAGTGCTATAATCATGGCGGCAAAGTGGCCACCGCCGATCATGCACATAAATACATGGGGCCCGCTATACCTAGCTGCAGGTGCAGAATTATTTGCGCGCTTGATGGGTTGGAGTTGCTTCTTGCGCAATGATTCCGTCATGTGATCGACTTCGTCTTGTTCCTCATTCGTGAAAAGAGCTCTATACACTCCAAGAGATGTGTTTGGAGAGAGCTTTGAGCTGGAAAACCACACAATAGGCTGTCTTCCGGCGCCTGCCTTTTTGTGCGACTCCTCACTCCCTGCCGTCTCTTGAGAGATTTTCGCCTGTTTTTTCAACAATGCCACCAATGTGGAGTCTGAGGAACGAGGATCGTCTTCCTCCTCGTCCGACTCAGAGCTTTCTGATCCTGATATCGACTCATCGATGTCGCCAATAGCTTTCGTGAACTCGGTTTCTGTCAAAGGTCGGTTGCCCCGCAGTTGAGCTTTGATGTTGTATCGGTGATGATCCGATCGCGCGTGGTCGCGGTGCTCCTGCACATTCTGGAAGGATATTTGACAGAGGGTGCATGTGTTCGTGGTCGGGATTCCATTCTCTTTTTCAGATGATTCCGATGTAGCTGGAGTGACAGTTCCGGTGGGAGGGAGGGAAGTGCTGGATTTAATGGTCAAAGTAGACAGCAAGTCTGCCGGGAGGTCGTATACTATAAACCAAAGGGTTAGATCATTCACGCGATATCACAGATGAAATAATACTGATCTAGAGGTACCCACCATAGAGCGGCCTCTTCAGAAAGTCCTCGGCCTGAGGCCCGTTGCTCGCCATGGCGTACAAGCGTGGATGACAAAAGTGCGGCGGGCGGATCGTGAATTCTATGCGTGCTTTATCCGTTATCGCCGATCTTACCCCTCCAATCCGATAAGCTTTCTGCTTTCTCCTGGGGAGCAGACACGACAGGAAGCGAAGCAATATTGAATAAAAACTGGTAGGCCGACTGAATACAGCCAGAATTAGGCTCTTCTTAATTTATTTATTCTGGTCTCCTGCAAGTACCCAGTGCTGGGAAAGAAATGCATGAGTCATCATGAGTGTGACCCCAGTGCTATGACGTTGCTCCGCCTGGAGGCTGAGCACAGCAATCGAGATGATTTTGATGACATTATTTTTGAGAACCTTATATTGAAATCTATTTTATCGGCCATACATATGTATAGAATCCAAGCCTGTTACTTGAGATGTTTCTTTTGTCAACTCGCAATATATGATTAATTTGTTATTAACGAATGACTAATTGGTAACTAATTAGTTAACTAGGGCCACGTAGGATATGAGACTAGACGAAGTTAGAGATCAAACATTAAATATCCCCATCAAAGATGTCTATGGTGATCACAAAACTTCGGTTAATATTTTAAATCACTTCACATTCTCCACCAATGTCTCTTGCATTCGATAAAGTGATCCTCTTCGGGGACTCGATCACTCAACTAGCTTACCTCCAGGAGAAAGGCTTTTGCTTTGGATCGGCTATGCAAAATGGTGACTCGTTCTCACTCGGCGGCTCATTAATCAAATACTAAAATGTTTTTAGCGTATTGCCGAAAACTAGACGTGATTCAGCGTGGTTATGGGGGTTACACGTCTGACCATGCCGCTGCCATAATCGATCGCATCATCCAACAGGAAACTATCAACTCCAAAATCAAGCTCATCGTATGAAACAAAGTTTTTCTAAATTTCCTCAGCTAGACATTGAAATGTTCAATTTGACGAATGTTAGGTTGTTTTCTTTGGAACTAATGACTCGGTGGTTCCTGAAACCGAAGACCACGTCCCTCTTGCAAGATACAAGGACAATCTGAGAAAGATGATAGGGGCTTCTCATCAGGTCGGTTCAAGAGTGATTCTTGTTGGACCAGCCCCGTTCAATCACCATCAGTTCATGGACGAAATAGAAAAAATTCGAGACGTGGTGGGTGTAGATTGGGTATGCGATCGTACCACCCTTCGAGCACGTGAATATTGTGATGCTGCCATTGAGCTTGGTAAAGAATTAAATGTTCCCACAGTTCCCCTGTGGTACTTGATTATGGCCGAGATAGGTTGGAGAGAAGGTGATCCAATAGATGGCCTGGCTGAGTCTCCTGCTAGTAATGAACTCAGTAAATATCTGAGCGACGGTGAGTTCACGGTTATATCGCCTGAAATGAGTACAGAATTTGCTGATGAATCTTAATAGGTCTTCATTTCCTTGGTCCGGCTTATTCTATTCTCTTTCAGCACACCATGAAGGCAATCAAGGTCGTCTATCCGGAGCTAGACCCGTCTGCTCTCCCGACAAGGGACCCTGCGAGGACCGCCCTTTAAGATATGAGTACCTTGTGAACATTGAAGGATCTAAAATCCGAAGTTCATGTTGAACATAATCAACATTTTTGGATGCCTAGGCACCCCGCCTCACCCCCGGCACTGACACCAACCCGTCAGTTCAAATACACATACAAATGCGACATTTTAAAAAAGCGCGTAGAACGCGGGCTGAAATTACGTTGGTTATTACATAAATACCTCTAGAAAATGCAAGAGAATACTATTACCGAGAAGTATTTCATCGGCGTTGGTGGCAATTGCAAGCCCTTTAGGGTTTTGGGCTGGTTGCTTGTCCTCAGAATATTGAATAACCCAAGACAAGATGCGATGCGAATTGTTGCCAGCTCAACAGGCTGAGCTTTTTGTTACCCTAAGGTCCTCTTCTCAATAGTAAAATAAACACACCTGAGAAAGGAAGAACAAGCTACAACATCTGCCAGCGTTTCAAGATCAAGAGTGGCTTTTCTCGCCGCATTAGATAATTTAGAATCCAACTGGGGATCGGTTTCAAGTTGAGCTGAGTTGCTGTGAGAACAAGCGTCGATCAATTTTCACACGGGCAGAGAGACAGACCTAACAATGTATATGTGGATGAGAGGATCTGGCCCGATAGAAATCAGGATATTGAGTTTCAACTGCGGAAATAATATAATTCCTTGGTCGACTGCTCCGAGCCCATAACTTCTGATTCCGGGATCTCTGTGATCAGTTGATTTGTCATTTACAAGAATTTGTCATGTTTGATTTTTACATATAGTAGCTACTAAAGAACGACCACAGAATGGAACAAGCAGATAGCAATTGATCACGTTACTTTGAAAATACCTGTAATTAATTAGTCGTCCTTTTCCAGCTCGAGCAAAATATGACACTCACTACTCATGTAGACATGGTGGTGTTCGTGCGATAGCGACTCCGTCCTATCACCTCCTCTAACAAGCTGTTTGAGGATGTTATGGTGATGTGCAGCGATAATAGTTGATTCTGATCCATTGATAAAGGTTGAAAAAATATTTGAGGTTGTAATTAAATATCAATTGATAAACTTTTATTGTGTAAACTGCCGCCTATGTAGCCTAACTAGTAGCCTAACTAGTAGCCCAAAATTGAAAGAAAGAACAAAGCCAAAAATATCGACGCATGTACAGAACAAATCACTCTTCGTAAATCATCATCAAGTTGTAGTTGTTAATTTGTCGTTTGCTCGTCGTCAAAGTGACTGTACTGTTTCACCAGTCTTTTTTATTATTTTGATTCCCCGAAATATCACGAGATCGATCACTGAAGCGCCGAAGCAGATAAATCAGAGAACCAAGAAGAAGGAATGAAACTAAAACCAAGAACAGAATAAGGCCGATAAAGCAAACCCCTAAATAAGGATGCGCACCAACGAAAAACATTAAATCGCATAACACCATTGGATGACAGTAGAAATCTGGGAATAAAATGTGTTGATATGATGGTGCTGTCTTCTCATCACTGGAGCTCATTGAATCATATACCCGTCGAGGTCGATCATAGAACAGAAAAAATATGTATGTACATCGAAAGATGTATGGATGTATAAATTTATGTATAACTCAGGCAAGTAAGGTTGTGTTGAACTCCTTTGATATTCACTGGGGTTGAAGTATCGACCGCTAGGCGCAAAAAGTATATTCATGAAGCCAAATTTCTTTCATGTTAAGCAAATAATCAGGTATCCACCAGCGCCCTCATTGGATATGTTGTTTTGAAGTCCTGGGGGTTCTCATTTCAATCATAAAATCGTGGTAGCGTTTGTCCTGACAACTCACAGTGACGGAGCTCGGCCATTGTCTGGACGCGGTAGGACATTAGGATGGCTCAGGGACCCGGACCGAAAAGGTATGCTCCCCATGTTGAATAAATCCATTTGAGAACGCTCAAGGTCAGGAACAGAATGAGATGAAATAGTGTGAGTGTGAGGGGTCGGGCAAACAGTGTATCCCGGAAAAGCCATCTGCGGAAGGATCTGGCGATTTGCCACAGGGTATTCCACAGGCGCAAACATATTTTGTTGGAAAGCCGGTGACCATCCAGGAAAGGTAGTCTGTGTGCTCATTTGCGACTGTAGTGGGTGGCTGACAGTCAGAGGTTGCATTGCCTCGTGCGAGGTTGGAGGGGCAAAAGTTGAGTGTGTCATGTACTGATTGGGGGTGGGGCTAAGGATTGGTGCTGAGATAGGGGTGCTAATCATAGTCGGATGATTCATCTCTGGTTGAGAGGACTGAAAGTGATGTACCGATTGGTCCTGGCCTCCAAAATTCGCGTCTGGAGATAGGGTGAAGCTTGAAGAAGTATCTATTGGTGAAATCTGCTGAGAGGCGGTAACCATGTTGATAGGGCTTCTTGACTGGTCACTAAGAGTTTCATTATCGGATTCATTGGGAGTTTGTTGAGTTAGTTCACCCTCTTCGTCGTCAGAATCTGGTTCCCGGTTTTTCGCTCCTTCATGGTCAATCACAAATATAACCGCGTTTGCATCTATCACAAATGAGCATATAGATATTTAATCAAAGTAAAGGTTTCCCGCATACCAACTTCATTCCGTTCATAGCGTTCTTCCAATCTTCGAACACGGAAAAGCTCATCCAGGATTCCAATCTTCTCAGGGGGTTTGATTTGACGCCTGTTGTCATTTGCAATTTCTTGCAACTTGTCCGCAGTAATTCCTATTGGCGAAAGGTTTTGAACGATATGGACAAGCAGCCTCAATCGCACTAATGATAGTGAGATAAATTCAAGGACTCGCATGGATATGATCTGAAACTTACGTTCTTTTCTAAGATGATCTGGTTCTCTGTGCATCACCCCTTGAGGCCACCAGTCAGGCTTCGTCCTCTCAGGATCTCCTCTTGTACCTGGGGGGGAACCTGCTGGTGGTTTTCCACCGTTGTAAGGATGCTTGACCTGCTTACGAGGCTCAATGAGCTTAATGAAGCCCTTGGCGAGCATGCGACAGTTAAGTTGTTGCATTCGCTTGAAGGCACTGTCATAGTAGGCCGTCACCTTTCTCGTATCGCCAATCTCAAGAGGCACAAGATCTGTCTCCTCCTCCATTGGCTCCATGTATTCAACAACGAGTGATTCCTCTTGAATACCTTTGCGGCGCTTGGCCCGACCGGAACGCCGTGAGTGGCTGACATGGCTGAAGTTGAAGGCAGAAGCAGAAGGTAACAGAGATGCATTATCTCTGCGTTCACTCTTCTCACTGGCGATGATGAATTCCTCACGCGCCTTATCAGAGAAGACGCTTGACGAAAGATTCGATGATTCTCTCAAACAGTTGTTTTTATCCATGTATAGTATGGCCCAATGGGAAGCGAAATGTCCTGATATTATTGAATCCTGGGAAAAGTTAGTAAGGTATCTTATGTATGCAGACAATCATATGGTAAACGTACTGGTGTCGGTGTATCAAAAGGTCTATAGTCTTGCGAAAACGAGGCACTAGAGCGCGATGGCTTCATCTCGGCACTGGCTGGAAATGGTCTTTGAACCATTTTGATCGGAGTTGGGAGCTGGTTCTGTCGCGAGGTGGTAGAAGTTTAGGTAATTGCTTGAATAGTGAAACAGAAGATTCGGCCGCCCAATTTCAAACTAGCCACAAGAGTAGAGCAATATATGTGAAAATGAGATTGCCAAGGAAGTACGCTCACGAGCAGTATAAAGGGGAATGAGCACAGGGTATAGTGCGTGTAAAAACTCAACAAGGGTAAGTTAGGCTATTAACAAGCTTGAAGCGGATAAGGTAAACCGCAAGTCTGATAGGGATAGGGAGGATTAAGAGGTAAGCCACGATTGTGAAGGAAATTATGAATCTGAAAGGAGGTGGAAGGGCTTGATATAGACGCGGCATCTGTCAAGAGTCAATTCATCACTGCATACCCTCTTGCGGTGCGGGCTAGTCTGGACCCGCTCGAACGATCCAAACTTCAGTGGAGATAAGGGACCCATACTCCAAAAACCCAAAACAATTGCATCAAAATAGATCGGTGAATGCTACCACCCAGGTAGAAGGAACACTAAAAGACTAGTTCTAGCTGCTAAGCGATGTTCGGGCGTGCAGGGGTAGCTCGAGTCTAGGAGCAATTCAAAGTTTTCGGAAGGCCAGGACCGTGATCCGGTGGACAAGGATCTTTCTTTGGTTAAGTTAGTCTGAGGGTGTGTGACAGTGGCAGCACAGATGGATACCACCGGTGAAACCAGAACGGGCTCGAATGAAAATAGGATGTAGAGTGATTGAAAAAGAGTAATGGAGATCGGGGCTAAGGAAAGCTCATGTGGTTGGTCGGCGATGCAGTCGTGCATCGAGCTACATGCAACATCCGAAGCGAGGGATGTCATCGTCTTGTTGATACGATGAAACTAGTGTGATAGTCGCCTCTGTGGCTGATATTGGCGAGACTTCCGCATTCTTTTAGCCCCGCGGATCCTAACAAAAACGTCAAGTTGGGTCGTTAATGGGTGAAATGTTTTATATGCTATACGGTATAACCCTTAATTTCTTCGTATTTCCCCATATCTATACAAAGGCCTGAGCGAGTCGAGAACGGGCGAACGGGGCATTCCAATTATACTTGCTTTTGCTGAGATCCAGTCAGTTTAGCATGACCAAACTGTCGACGGGGCAGAAGGTCCTGACGGTGGCGCACTATTTGAGTACCCCCGCTGTTCCCGTGATGCTTGCACTTGTCAACCCTACTTGAGAATGACTAGCCCTATTAAGAATAGGATCTGATGGCCAATATAATTGTTTATCAAATAACGAATAATGAACTTGAAGCTGGAACTTAGGTCATGTCGTAGCGAGCCGTAGTGCATTCCTATAGTCCCGCGTTCGTTTTCTGCAATGGTTCTGTACTTCGGTCACTATAGATAGATGAAAATGTGTTTATATTCATTGCATTGACATCAAATGACCGAAAATCACCAGGGTTTTCCCTGGAAGCAGATGCATTGCATATCAGATCTCAAGCCACTCAGGCCTGGGCAAAGCATGACGTCTACACAGGCTGTATAGTATGAACCAAATGAACGCATTCGGAGCGTCCGCATATACTTTCTAGTCTAGCCGTTGCATGAGGCTGATGGCCTGTTCTCGCCGAGACTACAGAGGCGGTGGTGGAAGGTCGAATCGCCATTGTCACTCTAATGCGCAAACAAAGGGTCCTAGATTGCAGGGGCGTGCATAATGAGCGCCAAATCGGAGACTCTTGGCAGCAAGCTAAGTTTTAACTCGATCTCCGGAGATTCAGCTCAAGTTCCCCGGCGACACTAACTGGCTCAAAAGCGGGCTGCGTCGAGGGCAGGCCGACGTGGCAATACGGTAATCGCAGCTGTACGAAGGGACTGTGCTGCACAGAGCACGTATTAGTCTGGATTGATAATTGGATATGCGCTCTCGAAGACCGGATCATCATCCTGGTGATGGACTCCAAGGCAGGGGGCTGGGAGCAGTTCCTTCTTCCTGCACCGGCCAGGAGAGGGTCGAGGCATCGGAGCATCAGGGTCTAGAACGAAAATAGCGCAGTGATCTGACTGTGAAGCTGCAGGTTGCGGGCTGATGCAAGAACTAAAAGTAAATAGACGAAGCCATTCAGCATCCAGGCTTTCAGGAAGGAACAGCGTTAGGCCTTAGGTGGGTTATCACAGAGCGCGTCCACGTCAATGACACAAGCCGTTGTTGCCAGGCCCAGAAACCATGTGGACGAGGCAGTTATCAGCTGAGATTTGATGATGGCAGGTACTGTGCGTGCGGACTATGTTGTGCGTGCGGAAGGCGGGAAGGAGCGGCCCACCCGCGACTGCTCGGCGCTAATCAGGGAGATAAATTCCATTGTCGCCTATAGTGTCATGTATTATGTACATCGTACAGGCTACTTGAGTGATGACCTAGAATGCACTATGTAGTGTGTACGGTGCACTACGCTACGAGTATGCAGCTGCGACGAAGGAAAGAAACAAAGAGCCAGGGAAAAGAAAGAGAGAGACTACCAACAAAGAAACAAAGAAACAAAGAAACACCAAGAGGCGATAACTATTGCCTTGTTTGGGATACGTACTTCATTCTCCTGACTCGTAAGTAGTAGTAAGTAAATATTTATAGCCATACTAGCCATTCTAGCCACACTATCTACACTATCTACACTATTAACGAATAGTAACGATATTAATTAATAGTTATACGAATTATATTCATTAATCTGGACAGTAATCTGGACAGCTATCTCCGAGCTGAACCGAGCTACAACTGTGACTCCAGATGACATAATCGCATACACACAGACGAGTATCGACAGTGCACAGACAGACAACTGACAGCTGAAACTCCCAGTGCCGATCATTGTGGTATGGACATACTATGTACGGAGTGGGTTTATAGGAATCCGTGTTAGCCTCGCGGATCACAGCCACTATATGGAGGTGCTGTCTGTGCGATGCTGACAATAAGTCAATAACCACGTCCTAATTGCTGTTGCGTGCAAAAACAATAGCTAAACCCAGCACGGGCCGCTGGCTAAGGCTGAGGCTTGACCATTCCTGGTATCATCGCCGCAGCAGCAGGCTGGGGCCCCCCTGGCTGGGATTCTTCCGAGATCACTATCAGGCAGGATCCTGGTCGTCGATTACCAGGGCCATCCCTGCCCCGTCCCGCTCCGTCTCCCCGGATTCGAGCCTGCCCCCAGCCACGTCTGCTTTGTTTGGCTTTGGGGGTAATACCTGAAAACGGAAGGGATCGGTGCTGTCTTTACACACTGTCCTGGCAGCTCCCGAATATTAATTGGTAATTTGATAAACGTTTAATTGTTACTCCGCACTGTCAAAGCGTGGCAAAAGAAAGAATGGAGCAAAAAGAAAAGAAAAAATGCATGCTAGGACAAGACTGTACGGATAGCTGCCAGCTCGATGTCGACACCCTTTCACCAAGAATCAAAATACGTCTCGAGATCGATGATGATCGTGTTGCGGGAAGCACACTCCCTGGCTATAACTTTATGCCTTATGCTTAGGCTTCAGTTTGGAAGCCCCTTGCTTTCTGCCTCCTGCTTATCGCTGGCCACATTGCCCTTTAGCACTCGCTGCATGAGCGCTATATGCTAGCATACAAGCAGACAAGTATACCAGCAGACAAGCAGACAAACAGACAAGTATACCAGCAGCTATACATGGTCGAATCACCACAGCTGCATCGAGAAATTTCGGTGGAAGTAACGACTTTAGTCTAGCCCTAGGACTTGGATGATTAGAGTGGGCGGTAGCACGCCCGGCCCGTCAAAGCCGCCCGACCGTCCGACCCATAGATCGAGGTAAATGAATCAGGGTCTGATCGTTAATGGCAATGTTTAATTGTCATTCACGGACTAGTGTCAAGCTAGCGACCAAGGGCGCTGTGGCTACTTAATATTATTATGATTGGTTTATTACTCTTTCCGCTCAGGGCATCTACTCTACAGCTCAACTGCTAGTCTGACCAGAAATATCCGAACGCCTGGAGTCTCAATTTTGGTTCCCGCTTTGACAGCACTCGCCCCCCTGCCTTACATTCCAGCCACGGGGTCATCACGAGGCAAAAGCCTCGCAGAGTGGATCACAATGATCATGTCTTGTGTCTCCCAACCAGCCCACTGGATCACTATATTCAGGGCCAAGGTGCTCAGACTTGAGATGGGAAGAGAACAAAGCTCTTTGCCCAATGCCCTGGTTGGCCACTACTATAGAGTTACTGTGAGGTGCCGAACAAAACCGCAATGTAAAGCCCTTCCCCTCATCAGTCACTGCCCAGGGCGATGATGGTGACATTTGGATGTGGCTGGATTGATCGATTGCAACAGAACCTAATTCCTTGCTTTTGAGTTACTTGCGGATAGCCATGTGTCGATAACCCAGATGCTCGGGTCGGATATTTCAGGTCCATTAACCTGTTTTACTTGCCATGCACACCGATCAACACCTGAAAAGAAAGACCATCAAAGGTCAAATTCGTTGAATGAGTGAGCCAGTCCCTAGCTGGTATGCTTCCGCACAATTTAGCGCATGATAGTCTGCTCAAGGGTCCTGCGTCTGCAGAAAGCACAAGAGCTTCACCGACTTGTCCTGACGAAAACACCGCAATTAGTGCCACCTAACCGACAGGTGTTAAGCTAATGTATTCTAAAGTGGACTTATCGCCGAGAGATCATCACACCGTCTTTTTTGACTCGACTGATATCGGACAGGTTGTTTACAAGAGCAGTTATCAGATCCAGATGCCGATTCTTGGTTTTAGAGGGGTTTTGTAGATCGTCATCTAGGTAGCATCATCGGGTCTGAGCCAGATTTACGCCAGGATGAGAGTGATCATGGTTCCATAGTTTAAATTGAGCCTAGTAGACTCCACACAGGTCTCCATACGCGATACACTTGAGTATATTTGGGCAAGCTTAGAGAGTTGGCGGGATTTACACGTTGCCACATGTTATGGGTATATTTCGTTGCCCTCCTGGTGGAGCGGTCGGTCGAAAGGATGTTGTATGCAAGGCAGCTGCAGGATTAACTGAGCACGAGTAATTAGAGGACAAAATTAAGTGAGAAACGGCAGGACGTAAAAAGGCAAGGAGGCAGGCAGACCAGACGAGAGAATACAGACAATTTTGTTCAATCATGGCGGTGAGCGTGTGACAAACCAATCCAAGGACGTCATGTGTGACATCTACCACGTCAAACACGAGTTTTGTGTCATAACTGCCATTAATTCTCCTACGCGGACTATTAACACTTAGAGGTTTTTTGTTCCTGGCCACGCCCACGCGATCAGACGGGTGCTCGTGTTGCACATATGCAAGATTGGGGGTTTCAATGACCTGCCCCCAAGTTTAGCTGCAGATTCAGACCCAAGAATTGGCACATTCCTCAACCAAGATCCAATGGCTTGGAGGCGCATACATACACTGTACGCTTATCATGCACAAGTACGGATAACCAATGGGACTAGGTTAGTGCGCCTTGTTCGGCAATTGGTCGGCAGGAGTTCGGGCGAGAGTTGGTGTGCTGGTGAAGTGCAGGGTCAAAAAAGAAGAGATTGATAGCCTTCCTCCAGATGTGTTGAGCCGAGGTTGGGAACAGCGAATAATGAGTGTGCAAATAATATTAGGATGGTTAATTAACTTAGTTAATACTACTACTGAGGAGGCTGAGGAGGCGTTCCTTCCGTAGTTGGTGGTGGCGCGTGGTTGCACACGGCAAGCGCCGCCCGAGTGATCTCTCACCCTCGGATTCATCGTCAGTTCATGATTCACCGATCGATCCTCGATTCGATCCCGCTATATCGCTGCTATTATTACTGCGGAGTATCTGCCCCAGTGCATTTTGAGCCTTTAGTATGTCTCGTTCGCCTGTGTGCAGCGATGCATCTAACAGACTAACAGGCAGGGAGAGGCAGGACATGTCCAGCTGTTCGCCTATGCCAGAGATGCCAACCAATCCTGTCATCTGTCAAGCTATTGATTGTCCTCGCTTCCTAAAGCCTTTGATGTCATGCCAGCGGCACCAATGTAACCACCTATTCAGTCCCAGACACCGGGTTTCAACTCGAGGCTACTGCTTAGTCCATGCGGTTCAGGTGCGCGATCTCGATGATTCTTGCAGTGTGATAGGCTCCGCCAAGTATATACTAATGCATTCTATGCCAGTCATGACTCGTCCGTATGCATTAGGATCCCGATTATGCAACCCGAAATCCGCGATTTAGAGACAATATGCGTCTACGGAGAACCATGCCCTGACGCGGCCCGACCCAGCTGATGGCAGAAGACCACCAAGTGTCTGAAGTGGCCTGAATGGAGAGAGAAAAGTGGAAAAAGAAACGACGCATGGAGGTAAAATTCAGCTTCGGCTTCGGGGTCTGCTTGTTGACATCGGATATCTCTCCGCGTCAAGAAGGGCATCGGCAATAATCCGATGCAGCGGATATTCATATTATCAATTGATATGATTTTCAATCTTTTGGTAAGTGCTGAGGCAATAAGTGTAAATCCGACTATTTTCATACAATGCATACCGTTGACATACACGAACCAACAAGCAAGTCACAGTAAAGTGCGGGGTGAATCCCTGTCCTAAAGCCGCTCTTGTTGATCGATCTATGTAGGCTGAACCTAAGCAATTGTGAGGCCAGAAAAGCCCGGTTCAAACATCGACCCAAGACTCTAGCTGTTATTACAACCTGGCCAGTGGCTAGTAGCTAGTTAACTGTGTCCCGCTATGGCCCTTGCACCGGCGCACCGAAGTTCAACGGCACTAGCTGCTTCGCTAATCATGCAACTACTCCCCTCGCGTAAGCGGCGAGTGCTTCCCCGATGGTCCAAGCCACAAGCCATGACGTACGGATGTACAGTGAACACCATATTCACCTACCAATTGCATCAGTGAATCAGTGCGTACATGCAGCACTTTAGCATTCACAGTTCATCTAGTCCTCTTTTTTGTTTCGAATTTTGTCGATACAAAACTTGATAGAAATGCAAGATGTTAGCGCCAAAGGTGGGTTGATTATGGTACGACGCATGCAGGCTCGATTTAGTGCTCTTACAAGGAAACCTTTCACGCAACAATCCATCGAGTTCAGTATAAAGTTACTGTCATTTTGTTGTTCTTACCTAATATCTTGTCTCCCTGAGCAATTGCCTTTCTGAAACGACATTTACATCAACCCGCCCGATACATGCGTCTGAAGCTTCAGAAGGTGGCATCTATACTTATGTTTACAAGTTTTCAGTGAATTCTCCGCAATCAAGCGTCAATCGATAATCAATAGTGGGCATTATTCCAGATTCCGATGCTCCTCACCATGATTCTCACTCTACATGTACATGTCGAGACAGCGCATCAACGGCGAACCCGGTCCTGACTCTAGACGCTACTCCACTTCGCAGAAACAATACGCTAGTCTATATGAGAGCACCTTCGAGATATGACTACGTACTAAAGAAGCGTTGCATTAACCTGCATTAACTTGCTTTAACAGGATTCCTCTTCTCCAAAACAATTGGCTTTCGCTGCTGAGGCCAGGAACACTCTTCCGAAGCAGTCATATCTATTTTAATAACAGCAGGAAAATATAAATGGCGATGGACTCTTAATTAGTTTGCAATAGTAATAGCGCAAGAGACGGTGAATGATAAATAATAAGTGAGGCGGAGATCTGCAGAGTCATGTGTCATGACTAGCACGCTTAGCTGGTGATGAGGATGACGATCAAGAAATTATGCCCTTCCCCTTCCTTTCTTCGCGGAAATCGGAGGAACAGGAAACCTTCTCATATCCCGAGAACCAAAGACTATCCAATGTCACAGTAGCTCCCCTTATCTTTCAGCTACCTAGCTTATTATCATAGGGCATATTCATCCACCTATTCAACTTAGTAAAGATAGGCAAAAGTGAAAAAAGTCATTACATATCTCATTATACAAACAAATTAACTCTGACCGAGGACGTAATGAATTTTCCTACTTTGGTTGTAAACTCAAGGAACTAGTTGTTCAGGTTGAGCTGCTGGTGCCTGCAAGGCCGGAAGCAGACACTGGGAAAGGCTTCCAGCTGAAGTTATTTCTACATTCAAATTAATATTGATATATATTTGATTGGGGTTATATCAAAAGATTAGGCAACGTGAAACCAGAATGTTTAGAAAGCTCCCTTCATCAAGTGATATATCCCGCTGGTCTTCTAACTTTTGGTTGAACTACCAGTTGATCCACTCGAGCATCTTCCAATTGATCTCAGTGAGTGGTTTGCATGTAAATTTCCAAGCTGTAGCAATTTTAAATATCAACATAGGCGGCATTCTTGATCTTTAGGGATGCCACGATAGCTTTGTATTTCATCGTCTTTTGACTTCTGCCAGATATTTCAATGGAACCTCTATTTCTCAGCTCCACAGATCATATCAAGGCTGATATATACGTGGAATGTAATTTGATTGGTATAAATCATGCGGAGTTTTCGTGGGCTTAACGTCTCGAAGCCCTTCGGCGTAATTTTAAGACATGACTTCTTTTCATCATTTAACTCTCCAGGAACATCCTGAATGGTGGTCTCAGTAGTTAGCTCGTTAATCACGATTACTTTAGATTGATGTATGCTACACTAATCGGGAGGAGTTATGTAGTGTTATTGTGACTTATGAAATGGGGTACAGTGGCTGAGAATATAACTATAAAGACATGTTGGGCTGTTAAATTTGACACGTATCTACTAGAGTATTCGGAAGTAACATAATTGATATGTAGAAATTACATGTTCTAATATTAACATATGTTAACAAGAATTGTTCCTACTCAAAAATCGCGACATTTGGATTGATATTTTCAACTCATTTCCTCACTAGGTATCCCTACATAGAATAGTATTTTCAAGTCTTCTCCCTTTTTTTAACTATAAATTGAACAACATTTCAAGATTCCCTCTTCAAAACAAGAAAAAGAAAGAGAAAAAACGAAACACCTCTCAACTTTTCTGTATGTACAAGCGGTATTCTACAAGAAACAAACCAATTTCCGGACTGATAAAGGTGAGGAAATCTTCCCCGCGTGAGCAACAGCACCCATTAAGTGATGAAATCGTTGATCCATGACGTATGTTAAACACACTTTTGAGACTTGAAACTATACATCGGGACGAGCCCTCTCTGTATAAGCGTCGGAGTATAACGTCCACCAACTCGGCGACCAGAGAGACCCAAAGATCGTTTTCGGAGATTATTGGTCAGTATAAGAAACCAAATTCGAGAGATTTACTATGCCTTGATACCGCCACTCATGCATGCTCGCACATTTGTATAAGTTATGTTTAGAAAATTATGGCACTGTGACGTGAAGAATCAACAAGTGCATGGACAAGTCTGAGCCAAGAGTGGTTACTGCGGTAGCTTTGCGTAGAGAGGGTGAAAAGAGGGGGAATTGTTCATCACCCGACTAGGTAGTAGGAAGGGCTGAAACCCCGGATCTCTTGTCTGGCATGAGATTATTTGTTGCCCAAAAGGGTTGCTACAGCATCGCTTTCCAAAAGACCTGCCTCCTTCACAAGCTCATAGAATTTGCCACCGCGTCGGATGAGTTCGGCTGGTGTGTCGAACTCGGCGACAGTGCCACGATCCAAAACAACTATGCGGTCTGAGTCGATGATAGTGTTGATGCGGTGCGCAATGGTGATAATGGTCCTATCTTTGAAAATACTGCTGCGTAATGTCCTTTGAAGAAGAGCATCGGTCTCCACATCAACTGCCGCCTATTACTTGTGTTAGGCATAACTACCATACGTTAAGAAGGTTCCTCTTACCGTTGCTTCGTCGAGTACCAAAATGTTGCTTGGTGTTAGCAAAGCCCGAGCCAACGAAACAAGCTGACGCTGGCCCTGACTGAGATTTGATCCTGGTGAAATCTGTCAGTGTCTTTGAAAGTATATATAGTTCTTGGGTGGTGACATACCCCCTTCTTGAATTGCGGCATCTAGCTGACCATCCATACTGGCAACGTGCTCCTTCAAACGTGCGTGGCCGAGTACGCTCCATAATTCAGTATCATCATGTACATGTCGAGGATCAAGATTGTCTCGAACAGATCCTTCAAACATTGCAGGGTCTTGGGGAATGATAGCTAGACGGCCCCGAAGATCAAGCAGTCCAATAGAAGATACGTCTAGGCCATCGATACTATAATAATAAAATTAGTCATGTTGTACAGTGTTCATAGTCATGTATACTTACTTGATACCGCCATTTGATGCTTCAATAATACGGAAGAGAGCCAACGTAAGTGAGCTTTTCCCGGCACCAGTGCGACCAACAACACCGATTTTTTCATGCGGCTTGATATCAAGGTTTATATTCTTGAGAACCAAATCAAGCTCAGGGCGGTAACGCGTGCTATAATTTTGGAAAGAAACGCCGCCATTTGCTGGCCACCCAATGGTAGGTCTGCTCTTGAATATCACATCTGGGGCTTCGCTCGGTAAATTGGCGTATTCCAATACTCGTTCCACAGAAACAATGTTGGTTTCCACTTCCACTGTTTGTCTGACAATCCAGTTCAAGGACTGGGTAATTTGCAAAGCGTACGACATCGCTAAACCCACGATGCCGGCAGATATATCGCTGCCACTAGTAACCGAGATTATGGAAAGGGTAGCTGCAGTAAAGATGATAATGGAACCGATAAATTCAAGTCGAACGGCCAACCACCTGTTAGCACTTATGGATGGAAAGTAAGCTCGATTATTAGCATCCATGCGCCACTCATTCTCTAAAACAAATCGCTTGCTTTGCCTGTATGCACGAATAGTCGATACACCTCCCAGAGATTCCTGGAAGTGGGCGTAAATAGGACTGCGACTGACACTGTCCAATCTTTTAAGCTCGCGAGATGTCCTGATATAGTACTTTTGGTAGGAAATATACACAATTCCAAGTGGAATTATGAAAACCAGAAACACGGGAGTTGATATAGAAATGACACCAATCGTAAACATCGCACGAGCCCCGTTTACGAACAGCTATGCCATGTCAGCATATGCATTCAAGTATATCAAGTTCGGCTTACCATGTTGAAGGTCCGAGCTAGCACTTCATCCACTTTATAAATATCACTCGAGAATCGATTGAGAATTCGTCCTGACGGTGTGGTTTCGAAGAAGACCATTGGAGATCTAAAGATAGCATATGCCATACGTTCATGGAACTTGCGGGATGCCTATTACACGAATTAGATAAGTTAAGTAAAACTTAAGTCGAGTACAAACCTCTATAGAGCAGAAAATCCACAGGATAAGAGTTTGCAAAACGACTAGAGCGGATGATCCGAGGCCAAAGGCGAAATAAATTCCGATATATTTTCCAACATTTGGATTGGCACCTGCGATTTCATTGGCTTCCGACCATCTCTTGAGCCAGAAACCACCGGCGATCTGGGCGGATTGAGATGCTAGCAGCGTGAAGAGGTAAATACTGACAGCGTACAGGTTGCTTTCCTTGGCGTATTCACCGTAAACGTTCCACTTGACTTTACCCTGTTCGGATTTCTCCTTCGTCTGCTTTGTTTTCAGACCGTTCTCTTCATCGGTAGTCTCTCTTCGTGGGCCATGCCAGCTGGCAGTACTAGCGCGTCGTAATGTAGCCATACTAGATTTTCTTGCACCCCCAGATCTGATAGGCGCGAGAACCCCAACAGCATCGCCAGCCTCTTCATCTTCTGACAGATCAGACTCGTCAGCAGTTGTTGAATCCGGAGTAGTGGGACTTTTGTTGTCGTCTTTGCTGGCCTCCGAATCATTCTCTTCATCATCACTGGACGTTGTGCGAATTAAATTGGCAACTTCACCTTTCATTGCCATCAACTGTTCATATGTTCCCTTCTCAATCAAAGTACGTTCCCGAAGCAAGCCGATGAAATCTGCCTCCTGTAAAATAGTAATGGCGTTGGTGGCAAGGATACGAGTTTTGCCGTTAAGCACACCATTAGGTCCCAATACTCTGTTGATCAAGTGGCGTCCTACATGGGAATCCACGGCAGATAAAACGTCGTCCAAAAGGTAAATATCAGCGCGTGCATATACTGCTCGGGCAAGTGTTACCCGGGCCTTTTGTCCTCCAGAAAGCGATATACCTCGCTCGCCAACCTCCGTCTGATCACCGTCAGGAAGAGTTTTGAAATCGGTCACCAGTGCACAAGCCTCGATGGTAAGCTCGTAAAAATGAGGATCCCAGCGGTGGCCGAAAACAATATTTTCTCTGACGCTGGCATTCATAACCCAGGCTTGTTGGGCGACATAGGCAATTCGACCACGAACAACTACTTCTCCATGGTTCTTCCATAGGTCACCAAGGATCGCTTGTAACAGTGATGATTTGCCCGCGCCTACACGGCCAACAATACATGTGAGCTCTCCTTTGCGAGCGCTTAGATTGATATTTTCCAAAACATTGCCAGCCTGGTGTTTATTCCAAGTAAAAGATGCATCGCGAATTCGAATGGACTCGTCTCCATTGTGAGTTACCGCGTCTTGGAAGAGCACGGCATCTGACTGGAGTTCATCCGCTGTAAAGTATTCGGTAAGACGCTTCACGGCGACTGAAGCTTCAATGATTGCAGTGATAAGCATGGGAAAGATAGTGAGAGGGAAAGTCAACAAGTTGAATAAAGTCAGTGCAGGGAAGACAATCTCAGTCGTTAAAGGCTTATCATTGGTAAGAACAAACACTGTAAAGGTGCAACAGGACACCAGGAAAGGCGTTGATGACCACGTGAAGTTTGCAACAGCTTGCGTGGCACCAATTTTTCGAAGGGTGTTCAACTCAAGGTCATTACGAATGTGATTGAGTTTACCCATAAAAGCCTTGTTCCAAGCATATAACTTGATGCTCTTCATATTGTTCAGGATCTCAGTCATGAGTCGTGTCCTGGAATCCTTGTTTTTCATTTGAATGATCTGCAGCTTTTTCATCATTCGGGCAATAACTCCATTAAGAGGGACCATGAGGATCATGACTCCAATACCAGCCCACATGCTATTGCCGACAAGCTGGTGAAGGGAAACCATGCAAAGGACAATTTGGAATGGTGCAGACCAGAGCTGTGTTCCAAACTGAGTCAGGTCTGCGAGACGTTGCTGATCAATAGCCATGTGATTAACAATGTCTCCAGTTGTTTTAGCTGAGCGACCTTCGTTTGATAGTCTAAGGGCTTTGGCATAGATGAGGGATGTCAAAGAGGACTTTACACGCATTCCAGATTCAAATGCTCTCTGGAAATACTGGTGTAGAAAGACAGTCTGACAAACCGAAATAAAAAACATAGCCAAGGCAATGGCAACGCCTCTGACCACAGGTAGTGGTTGGTCACCGCGGTAGGAATCAATGAAACCTATCAAGACGCGTAGCAGTTGAGGTTGTGCAAAAGCGAGAACGTCACTGCCACATTTGATGATTGCACCCATCACATAGGGAGCACCGAAAGCTCGGAAGAGAGCGATCCATAGCGAGGGCTTCTTTTTATCAAGTTCGATGTTCCAGGCATCCTCCAATGCGCCACCAGTAGATTTTGTAGTATCTCGATTTCGCAAATTCCACATATCATCCTGTGTTAGATAGTTTTTGTAACCGGCTTTCATCATCGGTGTCATCCAACCAAAAGTCAAGACAGAAAAAATATCGGCATATTCATAAGGACACTCGTCCTCCGCTCCCAACGCGTCGTACACACTCTTTTTCTTTGGGATAAAATATTCCAGTATGAACTCTAATATAGCAAGACCCAGGCTGATATTGAAGACTACGAAGTATGGAAGATTGCTGTGAAATACTTCGCGTGCGACAAGTGATCGCAGTTTAACAGCGTATGTGCCCATGAAAAAAACCCAATAGAAAAGAACGACTCCATTGGGCTGTCTGCTTCGCCAGTGTTCATGGTATTGGACAGCAAATACCACAGCCAACGAAGCTAGCGTTAAGAGGGATGTCCAAAATTGAAAATCAGACACCCAAAGCCGAACATTAGATTCCAATTCAAGGTATGCTTGTAGTGCAGTAGTCACAATCAAAACTCCGAGGACGTCCTAGTAGAGCACACGGACAGTTAGTCAGACTGTTCCCACTTCCTCAGTCCCTTGGAGGTGTCGATAATAGGACTCACCAGTTTCGCATGGAAATGCCAGTTCTTTGGCACTGCTTGTGGTTCCCGCTTCTTCAGAAGCAGCCACAGGGCACCAGCACCCAGCACAATACCCCAGGCGGCAGTGACCGAGACCCAGACATCGATAAAACAAGGGGTCAGGTCATACCTAAAGGGACTTATGGGACCCCATCCTTCGATATCGCCACAGAAAGGCTGCAGTGGTGTCGTCGGAATTCGAAGCGGCTGGGTGGCAGTGGAAAACGAAGCCGCGAGGTCGTTGGCTAGGACGACCTGTGGGTTGCCATCGATCATTTTCCGTCGCAGTCAGAGCACAAGTAAGAGTACGAGTACCCTAGTGATTTTCTTGCTTGGAAAAGAGTGAGCCCGAGCTTTGCGTGTTTGGCAGCGAGGTGAGATTGGCAAGGAACTGAGCGACCTTTTTTGCTGTCAAGAGAGAAGCAAGGCAATTATGTAAGAGGCAGAGCGAGTCTAGCGCTAGCCGGGTTGGGCCATGCGCTCCTTGCCGTGGGGCCTGCTGGTCCAAGCTCCTGATGTCTGGGCCAATCGTTACGCGTCGTGGGTCGGCGATAGCTGCTATTGCCGATTCCGATGTTCAGCTTATTAATGCCCATTGCGTGGTTAGCTGCCTGGAAAGACGACGAGGAATTGGGTCAGGAGCTGGCTGGGCATTGGGGATTTTTGTTTTTATCCCTATAGACTGAGAATTGAGGGTAATATCAACGTTCTCCGCATTTCCTAGGGGATCTGGAGGCTCTGAGAGTGGGGAACAGTCGTTGTTTTGAAGATCGGTGACGTGATGGCCGAAAAGCTTGTCCTCTCGTTGTGATACGTCGCTGCATATACATTGCATTCCAGCCCTTTCCCTCTATTCCTAATAATGAAAAATGGCCCAGTTAGTCATGGTAGGGGCTTGCTATGTCGATACCATCCTAAGGTGAGGTGTCTACTATCCTCATTCAGACAAAGTACCAAGAGCCAACTCCGTTTCTAGCGTGGACCACTACCCCGGAGAAGATGAAAAGCTTCGCGCATCAAGTCTGAACAGGCGACGTGGAGGCAATTGTCCCAACTCTCTCGAGGTGCTCCAGCAGCTAGTGCATCATTCGCAAACAGACTTGTCGCTGAGCCTGATATCAGTGTTTCCAAAGTGCGAGTCGGATAGCACGACATTCATCCGCCAATCCCTGGGCTCAAGCATAAATTGCGATGGTTGCATTTATCGCCAAGACCATACTGAGCCAGCATCATCATATGTAATCCACAGTCAAAAAACAAACAGCAGAACAATTGTCAACTATAATGATTTATCGGAAATGACTTTTGAGGAATTCGAGTCTTGCATCGGCAGAGTCCAACTACCAGCAAATTGTTGGTTTCATTTTGAGGTATGTGATCTGCAACGCTTCTCTTCACTTGCACGCCCTGACAAGGCTACGATTCAAGGGGAGAATCCCGGATACGACATTAGAATGTATTCTTTTTCTACGAGAACATCATCCTTCCGTAATGATAAGCGTCGAGCTCGAAAAACCCGGTCGTCCTGGGCTTGAGAAGCTTGCTGCCGAGGCTGATCTAGTGTTTTATGCCAAGGGCTGGGCCCAGGCGAGTGGCTATAGATCAATGGAAGAGTGTCTACAATCGCAGTCTCAAGCTACACCAAAGTCGTATGCATAGCCATCTCATATAATAGGAGAGCGCTCACATTTTCCCGCGATTATAGGAAATATCTATGCTGTACCTGGGGGGAGAACGGTGCTGCACTTTTAACAAAATTCAACAATAGCTGTATATCAGTCCCCGCCTTGAAAATCTCAGAATTTGAGATAGTAGAGTATGCTGATTTTCATAATGTGAATGAACTTTCTAACGAACAATAAATAGTACGATAGGTGCGGGAGACACATTTATCGCTGGTATCTTCTTTGGCCTTTTATGTCACAATGACGACTGGAATTGGACTCGCAAATTGCGCTTCGCAAACGAGCTCGCAGGACGCAAAGTTATTCAGAATGGCTTTCAAGGACTAGGATCAGTTATGACACACCATATGGAATGAACAGGGGATGCTCTCTCTGGGATATAAAGATGCCACTAGTATTTTCAATGCTCCATGAAATTAACATAGGGAAAGAATCACACATATATATAGTAACCACATCTATAAGGCTAATAGACACTATTGCACCGTATTGACATATCGGAGATCACCTAAATTCGCAAATGCAAATAAGAAAATAGTAAACAGTAAATATGGTGAGATGGTCTGTGCACGATCAGCAGCCGCCGAGCCGCGCCATGCGCCTAGGCGCAATTCGCAACAAGCCCACGGCGCCGCGACGGCTCACTGAGCGTTTCGCTCTTCAGAAAGCACGACTAATACATCGTTGGAGCAACTTGACCCCAGTTGTGAAGCGAGGCAGCATCGCGGACAGGAATGACTCGGGCTTAATCTTTTCCCTTATTTCCGTGAACTTCTCCGTTATTATTTCATCGGCCTTCTATCCATCGCGACCTAAACTAGGTAGCTCGTTCCGTCCTCGATCCTCGCTCGCGAACCTTGATGAGCACATCGACCCATGCCTAAGCCAGGGAGCGTTTTGGGCGCAACCCGTGCTAGTCACAAAGATGCGACGAACTCCGGGCGTGGAAGAGGCCGGGGACGAAGCAGCGTGAACGGCACGAAGCCTCATACCGGGCGTCACACAGCGACTTCAGGACGTGGAAGAGGCCAGGCTCAATCGGCGTGGCATGCAAGCAGTGGTGCTGGTACCGAACTGGGAGGGGAGACCCTGACTGAATCACTGTCATCGAACTCGCCTTTTGCTCAGATCAAGCAAATCAATAACAATGCCTTCTCGTCCGCGAACGGATCGAGAGCGCCCCTCATGTTCGGAAAGCCATCGGCTACCCCAGAAACCACCAACGTCAATGTCTTTGGAGCGCCTTCTGTTGTGCCCAAAACGGTGGGTAGTCAAAGTCATGTGGATCCTGCCAAAGATCCGCGTCGTCGTCCTACTTCGAAACGACCAGTTCAGAAATCTTCAGCTGTTTCGAATTTATTGGACGGCGCGAAACCAGTGGACTACCAAGAACGCTATGAGAAGGTACTTTGAACAGAGAACGAAAAGTTTCCGCCATGCTGACGCTTTAAAGCTTAAAATCGATCGCAATGCGAAGCAGGAAGAAAGGGCCGCCAAGCAAAATAAGACAACCGATCCTAAGAAAAAGCTACAGGCCCAAACTCCGGTTGGCACATGTACAACCATGTGTCCGGAATATGAGAGAGTAGAAAGGATTATTCAAAAAATGATTGACAAAAGCGAAAAAGTGAGTAACCTTCCAGCTCGATCCCTGATTTCAGCCCGCTGACTAGCTACGTCTTCAGTCTTTTGATCCTTCTACCGGAAATTTCGAAGTGCAAGAGCTCAAAATGATAAAAAGATTCAGACGATCAGCTGCGGGTTTAGATGAGCCCCTGCCATCTGATATCCGCACACCCATCACTCTTCTGTACACTATGAACTACCTTATCCGACACGTCATTAGCGGGTCTGAACCCCTTGGTTTGGTCCATAAATTCGTCTGGGATCGTACTCGATCAATAAGAAATGATTTTTCAGTTCAACAGGTGACCAAGATAGACGATGTTAAAATGGCAGTCAAGTGCCTTGAACGAATAGCCCGTTTTCATATTGTTTCGCTACATTTACTCTCTAGCCCGAACAACGAAGAGCATTTTGATCACCACCAGGAGCGAGAGCAGCTCAACAACACTATGCTTTCTTTGATGCATTACTATGATGATAATCGAAGGCTTATTGACTTCCCGAATGAGGCTGAATTCCGTGCATACTATGTCGTCTTGGCTTTTCATGATCAGCGCCCGGATATCGAGGATCGGGTACAAAGGTGGCCGCGAGAAATCCTTGAGAACCCCAAGGTGCAAGTAGCATTGGATCTCCTGGCAGCCGCCAGCAATACCTGGGAATATCAAAGTGTGTTGGAGGAGGTGCGTCCCAACGTGATAGCATTAGGGTTTTACGAGAGATTTTTCAGTTTGGTTGATTCGCCATCTGTGTCTTATTTGATGGGCTGTGTTGCGGAAATTTATTTCAGCAGTGTCAGACAGACTGCACTCCGATCCATCTGGAAAGCATACTGTCGTGTTCCATTATCCCAACAGCACAAAAACGAAGATTGGACTCTGGATGAGCTTACTCGAACACTTTACTTTGATGATGATGCTCAAACCGAAGAATTCCTGGAAGAACAGGGGCTTCAGCTTATGGAACGGGATGATGGGGCTTGGTGTTTGAATTGGGGTAGTAGCCCAATCGACTTCGCTGGTATGTCCAATGGTCCAATCCGAAGCATGACTTCCTAATCATTTTAATTGGCAGACTTCAAAGCCTCTTCGCAACACATATTCTCTGATAGATACGTTGAGGTGAAACGCGGTGGTAGAACACTTGCTGCTCTCATCCTTGGGTTGAATATACAACAAGCAGCGACCCGTCACATGATTGACGCTACTTTAATTGAGTCTCATGCTTCTGATATGTCCGTCAACGATGACGACAGTGAACTTTTCGTTGGCCAAAATGAACAGCAAGATTGTGAACAAGTTGAACCTAGTACTGACGCTGTTAACCATTTGGTACCATCCAGCTTCCATGCTGGGCCATTGGCTTCGTCTCCTCCATTTCTGGGGAACAATGATTCACCGTCACACCCAACGTTGTTAGTGTCTTCGGGTGATGCCGAACCCCAACCTTTTCAATTACCCAAATTTTCGGCTACTACGTCCATTGAATCATCAAAACCAAATTTTTCGTGGCCTGCTTCCGTGAACGATACAACAGCAACACCAGAGGCTTCATCAAAAAACCTCTTTGGGAAACAATCACAACCATCACAATCACCATTCTCCTGGCTATCGTCTTCCCAGGGTCCTTCATCAACGGTGGCTGCACCTCCCCCCCCATCCGCCGAGCCCTCGAAAACGTTGTTCTCTTTTGTGCCTACGTTTCCTAATTCCGCTTTGTCGGATTCTCCAGGCCCTACAATTACTCAAGAATCCAAACCTCTTTTTGCATTGACGCCGTCATCATTTCCAAGTCAACTAGTGATACCTCAAATCCCTACAACAGCTGCATCAACCGAGGCGCCGAACTTTCTTTCTTTGGAATCAGCAGAGTCTCCCAACCTACCTGCGACATCATCTCCTGCTATCAATGCACCGTCGAGCATGGCCCCGGCACCATTTTTCTCCTGGAAGCCCTCATTATCTCCTCCCGAAACATCTACGAGCTTTTTCAAGCCACAACCGCCAATATTTCACAATCAAAAAAATCAGTCATACATGAAAAGTGCGTCAGCCGTGATACCCAGCGCAACTCCAACCGACGATGTTATGGTTGCCCATTCGAACGAAACCCCTGGCCTAGAGGCCGGTGATAAACCACCTAGCATTGAGTCTACCCCAAAACCGGACTCTTTCACAGAAGAATATCCAGAAGAATTCCGCCAGTCATGGATAGAAACTCTGAGGCAAGCTGCAAAGGCCAATCGAGGCTCAACTTCTAGTCGTAAACGGCCGCTAGGGGCCGAGGAGATTCCAGAATCAGCTGGGTTGAAGCCGGAAATACCAGCTTTCAAGGTTCAAAAAGCAGTGGCCGAAGAGGTTCTGAAGCCCGAGCCTGTACGACAAATTCCAAAAAAGAAATCACTGGCTCTAGCTTCGATTGCACCTCTTCCAACCCTCCCAATCCTCGAAGAAGTGAAGAAAATGACTGAGCCTAGGAAATGGGAGGAGGATGAACTTGCAAGTTCTAAAGCATCGCAAATCGATGAGGATGAATTACTACTTTCGGCTGCTCGTATCGCAGCAGAGCAATTGAAGAACGGACCGAAACTTACGGGAAGTATGCCGTCCTACGCACATGCAGACTCATTTCGCTCCTCTACCTCTCTGGGGCGAAGTCTCAATTCGTCGACTCATTCTCATAGCGCGTCACCTTATGCCCGCATTAATGGGTATGATGTTGCCTTGGCGCCTGAGACTCCTCTAGGCCTCGGACGCACCCTGTCACGTACTGAACAGCGTTTGAGGTTAACTGGAGGCAAAGGGTTGGCATACAAACCACTCCAACTCACGCCAGGTAAATTGAAAGAACCCGGTGAAGCGGGACAGCTGGGGAAAAGGAAAAAAACCAAAAGCCAATCTTCGACTTAAACGGTTTCGAGACCCGTGGTAACTATCACTTGTATTTAGTATTTAAGCACAGGTTCGGTGCATTTCACTCAGATTTGATCACATGTACATATAACTACGTGGCACAAAGGAGTATTTGGTATTTGGTATTTGGTATTTGTGGGGTTTGTGATTTTATGTTTTTTAGGCATGGCGATGGTGACACATTTAGATGAGATACCAATGCATTTGATTTGCTAACATGTATACAAATTTTAGAAACTTGATGCTTCGTGAGAATCATTTACATGACTGCATCCAAATGTTGGTTACAGTTTACCTAAAGATGAGTAAGTACTACTAGAAAACGCAATGAATCATCCCACTTTTTTATATTCCGCAGAAAGCCTTTATTGGACCAAACAAATGCTCATACGATGATACTTATACACCCGGATATAACGTCTGAGATTGAAATTTTTCGTTGTTAAATGTGTTGGACAGTCTGAAATATTGTTGGCTTAATTCCTGTTGACCAGGCTGCAAACCGATTGCGAATCAAGCCGCTACTACAAATGTCTAAGACTTGAATACAACGGAAGTGGGGCTTTCCAGCACGCGCTCTCTCTGTTTTTAAATAAACTTATCATTCCGATCCTACAATAAAAGTTTTACATACCACAATTACTGACCTGGAAAAATCGAGAAAACAACAGGCCAGCACAACACCTCAAGTATGAGGATTGCCACGCTACAGTTCTCGCCGCAACTAGGCGATGTGGAGGCAAACATCAGGCGAGCAGACCAATTGTTGAAACTTACTACCAGCAATGCCTCAGATGAACCGGGGATTGTGGAATTGCAGCCAGATATTCTGGTGTTACCGGAAATGGCATTTTCAGGTAAGTTACAAGACCGAAATTCTTCTTTTGTTGCTATTATTTTCACGGATGGATACTAATCAGGACACGCCAGGGTATAATTTCCCATCTCTGCAGGCTATCAAACCTTATTTAGAGATTCAAAATGAAGGGCCATCTGCAGAGTGGGCTAAAAGAACAGCATTGCGGCTGAAATGCAAGGTCTGTGTCGGATATCCAGAGGTATTTAGGGAAAAGTCGACAAGTGAAGACGACTCTATCAAGTCGGAGACATATTACAACTCTCTACTTGTTGTGGATGAAATGGGGCAGTTCTTACACAATTATCGAAAACGCTTTCTGTACTTCACCGATATGTCCTGGGCATCAGAAGGCCAACCTGAATGGAGCTTCAAATCACTAGAATTCAACACATCGTCAACGAGAGACAGCCATGGGTACAAATTAGATGTGCCAACTACGTTTGGGATTTGCATGGATATTAACCCATACAAATTCGAAGCACCATTTACAGCGTTCGAATTCGCGAATCGCGTTCTAGATTCTCAGTCCCATATGGTTGTTATACCAACCGCCTTTTTAGTTAATGATGCGACGACGATTACGGCAGTGCCTGAAAAGTTACCGCATATGGAGACGTTCAATTACTGGCTTCAACGGTTCTGGCCACTAATCGAGAAAAAGATAGACTATTCGACGCAGCTGGAGGAGTTTTCGACGCCAACAGAAAATAAAATTATTCTAGTTTTTGCCAATAGATCGGGTGTTGAGGAGGGAAAGGAACCTGTACCTACAGCTACATATGCAGGAACGAGCTGTATTCTTACAATCAAACAAACGATACGCAGCGACGGAATAACAAAATGGAATGATGAGACTCGCAGTTCATTTGACGTCAAAATTGATTGCTGGGATATCAAAGGAGCGAGAGAGGAAGGAATTTGTTTTGCTGATACGAGGGCAGAGCCAAAAATGACCTTTGTAACGAAACCACGGTCCGAGAACGACAGTGATGAGAATGCTGCCGAATAATCAAAAGAAATACTTCTTCAGGGTAACCCTAGAATAACGGGGCATGTAGCGAGCCTGCTCCAAACTAAGCCATATTCGTCTTCAAAAGTTCGCGCTATAATCCTTGTATGACGCTATATCGTATTAACCCGATATTATATATACTAACATCTGATCATATGCTAGTATGGTAGGTTCTTGTGACTTCAGTCTGTAGGCAGCAAAACGAGCATCCTTCTACGTTCTGTTTTTTTCTTTCTTTTCTCACCCTTCCATTTCTTCATGCATTATAGTGATGATCATGATCCCGAAACGCGCAGAGTTTGACGCTTAAGTTCTGCGCAATTGTAGATCTACATGCCTACATTATGTGAATAGTATTATTCAAACCATCCCATGACACCATAAGCCACCGCTGGAGAACGGCGGTCTTGTGTTTTATTGGAGCAACCGATGTTTGCGACGCTTTCTCTTCTCTGACCTTCCCATAACACAGCAATATGCTGGTTATCTGTCGAAAGTATAGGAACTACCTGAAACAGTAGTTGAGAGTGTAGAAACTGTGGTTCCAAGCCCATGTGACACTGATGACAATCTAACCGTCGATAGTTAGTTGTGGGTACACAGAAAGCTGATATCGCATACGTCCCCCACTGTTCAAACAAGATACCGGCGGTCACCACAAAAATGGCCCAAAATTCCACTAAAGGCCTCAAAACACCGAGGGGAGCTCTCTTTTTAGCTAAGTGGTAAACAGCCCGACAGAGACTGACAAGAAGGAAAAGAAGAAGGATCCAACGTTCATTTTAGTAACAAGAGTCCTTGTCTCTTCCCATTTCAACAGTTGCAGGGCCGAATCCTCGCAAAGGTCAACACATCATGTATATCTAGCGACACAAACACCATCAATACGGGCCCCCACCATGGCGACAAGTAGGGTGGGTGCGATAAGCAAGTCATCTGCCTGTCGAGACCTCGAAAAGCGATGCTTCAGGGTGGTTACGCTTTTCTGCTGGGATGGAGGGCTACGGCGGGCACGTGTGGCCGCAGCTCCTCAGGCTGCCACCCGGACTGCCCGCGCTGGCCAATCAGCGCGGTGTATTATGCTCACGGCCGAGCCACAGCCGCCACGGGATCGTCACGCATGATCACAGCGCTCACCACCCTCAGGGCAGCCATAATAATAATTATTGAATAATCAATGCACACAGCAACCGACAGTCAGCGATTTGCGCGGCAGAATATGTGTGAAGCATCCAGCTTGCGGGTTACAGCGGCCGCGCTCTTCATTGGCGGGCCGGCCGGGTCAGGTGACGCACCGGTCGCAGCCTTAGGCTTCAAGCGGCTGCAGCACTCACTGTGATTGGCGAGCCGGTGTTTAGCGGCTATGGTCTTTCTCCCCCGCCTTAGCTGCTCCTAGCAGTTAGCTGAGGACGCTGAGGACTGCGCCAGAGATCCTCCTACCTCGCCACGTGAGCAGCCCGCCCTCTCTTACTACTACTACTACTACTGCGCGACTTGCGAGTCCTGAAGCTATTATTGTCTATTGTCCATACCAGTTCGCGCCTCTGAGGCCTGCTGTTCTTCAAATTCGGCATTTTCAAGAGCTGTGAAATCTGCTCGAACTGCCTTTTTTTTCGGCTTCTGTTACCTGAATTTATCAGATTCGGATTCGAGATACTCGGTCCATAGACTCCATACTCACCTGATTTCCCGTGACTTGCTGTCAGGTGATATCGACACTCCAGCACTTCAAAGGTACGCTCCAGCTCCTCCACCCTTGATCCTTCGTGCCGTCATTGCCAGCATCGCCATGCAACCAGTTTGCCAGCAACAGATGCTGCGAATACTGCTGCATGTCAGCGACTGCCAGCCGTTGCCCAGCAGTCGCGACCATGTCTGTGTTTTTCCCTGGTCGCATCCTTGACGCGGTCGCATAAGGGCTTCGAACATGAGGAAATTATAAAACTACATCCAAGCTCTCAAAGATTCTCGTGAAAATTGGTGATGCAATTTATAAGAATACTAGAGAGCTTGATTGTCGTCTTTTCTCCCTTGTTCTGTTTGCGGTTGTGTCATTCACCCGTGTCGTGATAACGCGTTTCCCAGTACCCCCGCAGTCATCACCTCTCTACGCTGGACCTAGGGACAATTATTTCATCACTTAATGCTTATTTATTTGCCTCCCATGTTTTCTCTATAACTAACATGATTATTTTGTTATATAGGAGCTGTAGAGTCTACTGATCTCAGTCATTACCAGTTCTACATACGCGAAGCTTCTTATTCCAGCCAGTATGATGGTCCTCAAACCACGCTTCATTGTTTCAGTCAATTGACAACAGCAGCGCACAGAACAAAAGTAAATTCTTTCATGATGTCAGACACTGGTATTACCAATGCCGACAACAACGGCAGCAACAAACGAAAACGGGATGAAGACAGCTTGGGTCCAGACCCTCAACGTCTAGCCACCCCCCATAGTGGCAGCAATGGAACTGTCCCTGGGCTGAATGGGCCTAATGATGCTCAAGCCTATACACATTCAGCCCTAGGCCACTATGATGGGACGACCTCGGACCTTAATATCGATGAACAACTCCTCACCCACGTCGCCCAGTCCAATGGCTTAACAGACGACAGTGCTCTTACAGCAAATGCCAAGGCTGCCTTAGCTGCGAATGCACAAAATAAGTATTCTTCGCCCCCAGATGGAGGATTCGATGGCCAGATCACACATGGACTTCCATTTGGTGATCAGCTTGGGCAATCAGCCGGACTCCCTGGGCACACATCGTCCCACACCTCAACTGCTGCTGCAGTCTACGCCGCTCGTGAAGCCCAGAGCATGAATGCAAAGCCAACTGTTGGATCTCCAGAATGGCATGCTTTGCGCAAGAATAATCACAAAGAGGGTATGTTTATTAGCTTCCTTAACATCACACTACTTACTGAATCAATTTACAGTGGAACGTCGCCGTCGTGAAACCATCAATGAAGGAATCAACCAAATTGCACAGCTCGTTCCTAACTGTGACAAGAACAAAGGAGCGATTCTGCAACGCGCTATTGAATATATTGCCCAATTGCAGGAGGAGAAGAAGCAGATGGGGGATCGCTTTGATCAAACCAACCTCACAACACAGTCAGCCCTTTCTGAGATTACCACGCAGAATTCGAAGTGGAAAGCTGAAGTCAATCGACGGGGCGATATTGCTCTCAAGTGGATTCAACGCGCCCGCGACGCAGGTCTTGAGTTCGATGATTACGATGACGAAAAAGACCTCGGTAATTTACACATGGACCACAATCAAAATGTCTAGAACACATCAGCGGACTTGCTGTTTTTCAGTGCTCAGTACCTAGCTGAATCTAGTCATCTTTGAGGTAGTTTTCATCTTTCACGGCCCGACTGCTTTAATAACGACCTATTCTTCCACAATCATGATGCTTTTATTACTGCTGTTGTGTTTTTAGTCTATTCGTCTGTGCTGAAGCGCAATATCACTGTCGCTATATAAACGTAGGCAGAGATTCGCAAGCCAGGCTATATGTTGATTTCTGGTTCGTCAGCTGTTCTGTTTGTGTTTTTTCTTTTTCAGACAGGTCTTGTGCTGTCTTCGGAAATGGACGGCGAACAAGGTGCAAGGTCTCTCTAATATCATTACTCTTTGTATTTTCTTTACATACGACTTGGTAGTCTTTTATGTTGTACGGTTAATTTCTTATATGGTCAGAGCTGCCGTTTTCAATGAGACTCGATGAAACTGTTAATTTGTTTTATGTCCACTATGCCAGAATATAGTCAGGCAAATCTGGTCCGGTCTGTTGACTAGATATTTGTAATCTTTAGAATCGTTTCATCATCAATTAATGTATAAGCATCTTCAATTTTATATTTAGACAGTACATGTGTAGCAGTGCTAGTTTATCTTCTAAATCTCAATTTATCAATACACAATTCATCTAAGCACCAATCACAGCTAGAAAATATTTACCTAGCAATCACCATCCCAACAATAATAATCCAGTCGCCAAGCTGACTCGCTCATAGGCATAAGCCATAAGCCATAAGCCATAAGCACTAATGGATCTTCCCCTATTGGTCGCCTCGGGCAGCGAAACGCCGACTCCAACAGAGTCCAACCTCATCCAGGCAAACTCGGGCCCGAGCATCGAAGGGACTATTCCGTTTACAGCTGTCTCGGGCCCGGGGTGCCCTGTCGGCCTGCCTATTTGAGAATCCCATAGGAATTTAGTATCATAAAACGTGGAACTGTGTCAATTATCTTAAACCCGGCGGCTCTTACGAAGATCATATAATTACATTGTAATTTCGGAAGGGTTTTTTTCTTTTAACTCCGTTTTTAGCTCGTTTATGCCTTGTGGTATTTAATATAAGTATCGATGGCACGAACATAGGTGCTGGGATTATTCTTCACTTTTTTTCTTGTAACTTCAGTTCGAAGTCGAGCTTATAAAGAGTCTTGGCGAGGGTAATAATATGACATCGCAGATCTCTTAAATTATAATGACAGAGCCCAAAGAGGAGGGCAGGTCGCCTTCGCCACTCAGAAAATCGTGGCTTTCACGACTCAATCCGATCGCGCAAAGAAAGTCTTTTCCTGTTCCAGACCAGCGTACAGAATCGCCTGAATCGAAGGCTGGCTTTCTCAGTTTGCTTACTTGGGAATGGATGACTCGCATTATTTTTGTACGCCTTTCGAACTGGAGGGTAACTTCGAAATAGAGACCAAGAACTAATAGAGCTGCTATATAGGTCGGTTATCAAAGACCACTTGAGGAAAATGATCTGGTTCTGATTAATCCAACCCGCTCGGTTCCTGTTATTACTGCAAAGTTAAAGGAGGCATTTGAGAGAAAGGTTGCATCGGGAACAAGCCGTCCTTTGCTCAAAGCTATCTATGAGGCTTACCGCGCTGATATTATCATTGGTGCCCTTTGCTGCTTGTTGGGAAATCTTACTCTGGTCTTGGTGCCTTTCGTTTTGAAGTATCTGATTGAATTTGCAACTGATGCGTATATGGCCAGCATGACCGGAAAACCCGGGCCTCCAGTCCGCATAGGGATTGGATATGTCATTGGTTTGACATGTATGCAGATTCTGGGTAGTATCGGTAATAATCATTTCATGTATCGAGGGATGGTTGTGGGTGGTCAAGCTCGAGCCGCTTTGATCTCCCTCATTTTCAGCAAGGTCATGACGATCTCCGGACGTGCAAAAGCTGGCTGGAAACCGCCGAAAAGCCCACCTACTCATATCAAGCCGGATACCGAGGAGGAGAAGAAATGGTACGCCGATCAACTTCAAGAGACAAAGGTCGAGGGGTGGAGTAATGGCCGCATAATTAATCTCATGTCAACCGATACCAGCCGCATCGACAAGGCTGCTGGATGGATGCACATGGCATGGGCCTCGCCAATGGCAATGCTCGTGACTATAGCTCTTCTTCTTGTCAACCTCACCTATAGTGCTCTACCGGGTATCGCTATTTTTATGCTATCAATTCCTTTCATGGGCATGGTTGTACGACAAATGCTAAAAGTTCGCTCCAGGGCCAACAAACTCACAGATCAAAGAGTCAGTTTGACCCAGGAAGTCCTTCAGGCTATTCGATTTGTCAAGTATTACGCCTGGGAACCCGATTTCTTGGAACGGATTGGAAAACTCCGTCGTAAGGAGATTCGGTTTGTGCAGATTCTTTACGCCATGAAGAATGGCATGACTGCAATTGGTACATCGATACCAATGTTTGCGTCCATGTTGGGCTTCATTACTTTTTCATTGACAAATCATCCTTTGAGCCCTGCCCCTGTTTTCTCATCACTGACCCTGTTTAACCAACTTCGATTGCCATTGATGTTATTTCCTATGGTTCTTGGTCTCATATCAGATGCGTTGACGGCTATCCAAAGAATCGAGTCGTTTCTACTTACCGAAGACTTGCAAAATGACGTTGCACCGACCGATGAGCAGCCCAATGCCGTGACTCTTGTTGATGTAAGTTTCACATGGGAGAATGCTATTGAAGGAAGGGAAGCAGCAAAAAAGGGTAAAAAAGACACCAAGAACAAACCAAAAAAGGCAAAGCGAGAGAAAAAAAAAGCGAAGAAAAACGATGATGCTGGAACAAGCCTGGAGAAAGATGTCTCTACCGACACTACTGAAAGTAGCCGAGTATCTGACCCGTTCAAAATCGAGAACCTCAATATTCAAATCGGTCATCATGAGTTTCTTGGTATTGTGGGAGGTGTAGGTTCTGGGAAAACCTCTCTTCTGGCAGCACTAGCCGGCGAAATGCGAAGATTGCAAGGTGATGCTATTATCAGTGGATCAAAAGCATACTGTCCTCAAAATGCATGGATTCAGAACGCCACGGTCCAAGAAAACATCATCTTCGGTCAAGAATTGGACGAAGAAAAGTTCCAACGTGTCATTGATGCGTGTTCTCTCCAGCAAGATCTTGATATACTTCCCCGCGGTCGCTACTCAGACATCGGTGAGCGCGGAGTCAATCTTTCAGGAGGGCAAAAAGCACGTGTCAGTCTCGCTCGAGCAATTTACTCAGATGCGAATATACTACTCATGGATGATCCGCTTTCAGCCGTAGATGCACACGTTGGAAGACATATCATGGAACACGCTATTTGCGGACTTCTTAAAGACAAGTGCCGAATTCTTGCGACCCATCAACTTCATATCCTGAACAAATGCGATAGAATAATCTTGATGGATGATGGCAAGATAGTTGCAAATGACACTTTTGACAATCTAGTTGAAAATGACGAAAGATTTAAAGCAATGATGACAACTGTGTCATATGATCAACATGAAAATGTTGAAAATCCCGTCTCTGTTGCAATTCCAAAGGATGCCACACTTGCCACTGAAACATTAAAAAATAGTTTGATGAAAGAAGAAGATGACGGTCCAGATGAAGTTTCAACCAGCATGTATTATCAGTACTTCGGTGCCGCAGGCTTTCCCTTCGTTTTCCCACTCGTGGCAGTGTTATTGATACTTTCACAAGGTGCCAACATTGTTACTAGCCTATGGCTCTCTTGGTGGACATCCGACAAGTTTGGATACAATACAGGAACATACGTAAGTCACATTCGCTCACCATTCCGATCAGCCTCTAACTCTAGTAGATCGGCGCATATGCTGCCCTTGGTGTTGGTCAGGCTGTGTTACTTTTCGTATATTCCACAGCACTTGCTTTGGCTGGCACAAGCGCAAGTAAACACCTGCTTCAGCGAGCGATTAAGCGAGTCCTTCATGCCCCGATGTCTTTCTTCGATACAATACCTCTCGGTCAAATCATGAATCGATTCTCGAAAGATGTCGATACACTTGATAATAACATGATGGACTCGATGCGGACTGCCAGTATGACTATTGCTCAAATCTTCTCAGTGTTCATTCTTGTCATTGCCTATTATTATTACTTCGCAGCAGCCGTGGTACCTCTACTTATGATATATATTTCCATCGCACTCTATTACAGTGCATCAGCGAGAGGGATTCAAAGACATGAGTCTCGCTTTCGAGGTCGTGTTTTCGCACGTTTCAACGAGGCTGTTTATGGCACTGCAACGATTCGGGCATATGGACTGGCGAAAGATTTCACTAAAAACATAAATGACGCCATCGACCAGATGGACAGTGCGTACTTTCTAACATTTGCAAATCAAAGGTGGCTCGCTGTTCGGCTTGACGCTATCGGTGTCATTCTAGTATGTGTCACTGAGATTTTGGTGGTGACTTCGCGATTCAGCATCTCACCGAGTATCAGTGGGCTGGTTCTGTCATATCTCTTATCCAGTGTACAAATGCTGCAGTTTACAGTACGACAGGCAGCCGACGTTGACAACAACATGAACTCTGTCGAAAGAATTAATTACTATGGACGATACGTGGAACAAGAAGCCCCATCTCATACAGTACTGGTACCAGAAGAATGGCCAAGTAAGGGTGAAATCATATTCCGTGATGTACACCTGAGGTACCGTCCCGGGTTACCTTTTGCACTGGAGAAACTCGACCTCCATGTTCAACCGGGCGAAAGAATCGGTGTCGTTGGCCGTACCGGTGCCGGCAAGTCAACCATTATTATGGCGCTTTTCCGTATGGTCGAGCTGTCGCAAGGGAGCATCGAGTTGGATGATTTAGACATTGGCACCATAGGACTGAACGATTTGCGCTCTCGTATGGCCATTATACCACAAGACCCGACCCTTTTTGCAGGGACCGTGCGGTCAAATCTTGACCCCTTTAATACTCACACAGATCTTGAGCTTTGGTCTGCATTGAGAAAAGCCCATCTCATCGACCATGACAATTCCACGGATACGGGAAATAAGACTGGACAGCATCAAATAACTCTTGAATCGGTGATAGAAGAAGGTGGGAACAACTTTTCGCTAGGTCAGAGGCAGCTACTGGCATTGGCACGCGCCCTTGTTCGAGGCAGTAAGATAATCATCTGCGATGAAGCCACTAGTTCGATTGACTTTGAAACGGACTTGAAGATCCAGGAAACTATTTCGGACGGTTTTAGTGGTTGCACACTATTTTGTATTGCCCATAGGCTGAAGACCATCATTGGCTATGACCGTATTTGTGTCATGGAGCGTGGGAGGGTGGCCGAACTAGCGTCCCCATTGGAGCTTTATGACGCCGGAGGAATCTTCAGGAGCATGTGTGAACAGAGCTCAATCACCCGGGAAAACATAATTGCAAGTAGGAGAAGGGATTGATTCAGTGGATAGAATATTTCGTGTATATTAAGTTTCATCTCATCTCATTTCAAGACTTTAGAACGCTTGAAACAAAATCAAAGCGCAATATTGTAACCAAGAATTTCTTGTCCGTAACCACCAAGACTAGGTTCTGAGAGTAAACCATCCCAGAAACTCCAGTCTACGTCAGGGGTATCCAATGAAATCCCCATGGAAAGGGGCGTACTGGAAGATGCAACCTTGTTTTGCGTCTCATTTGTAATCAAGGAAGGGCCGTTGGTCAAATTTGTTGGGGAGAAGTGTGATTCTGTGGCTGAGTTATGCATGCTGTTTCTCTGGTGTAATAGTTTCAATATGAACTCGGGCGTTGTATGCAAGCGGGAAGAAGATATTCTTGTTTTCCATGCCTTGAGAGCCAAGTCACCAACAGCCATGTATAACGTATTTTTAGTATCTTCCACGAGTAGTGTGTGGTCAGCATAAAATATTTCAATTTGCTTCCAAGCATTTTCCACTAATTCTCCCGTTGCTCGCCGTCTCAACCCGGTCAAGATACAGATCAATATGTCAATCTGTATCTTTGAGGTGAGGTGTTTTACAAGCTGTTGCGGTAATTTGGTTTTCCGGAGGCAATTATCGTATTCCAATAAACGGACACTGTGGAAGAACATTATTTCTATCTCCTCTGGGGTTGACCAGTCTGGATTGTTTCGAGGATGATGCGCACGGAATTTCATTCGGGAAATGGCGAAATTGCCCATAATGATAGCATAATTTTGGAGAGGAACCTTGGGATCACAATATTGTAGATACTTCTTTTGGTAGTGTTCTGCGACCGTGTCGATTATTTCGTCTTTTTCAGCAAGAGCCATGTAGAAATCTGACCATATCCGTAGACTGCGTGCGTGTGGAGGGATATGCTTAGACAGTCTTATGATAGAATTGCAGTCATATTTCATGATGCAAAGCACCATATCGGTAAATCTTCCATATTCAGAAGGAGGTTCTGACATTTCCGGATAAAGTTCTGAGTCATTCACATTTTTAGGAAGTCTAAGCTTGTCCAGTTCAGCAACTGTCAAGCTAGCACCAACGTTAGGCCTAGCCATTGCGGCACGAGCGTCGAGGAAAATAAGTTGCCACCATAACCTAAGGCGCATTTCATTTTCGAAGACGGACACTTTTGGGTCATCTTTCCCAGTTACCCCGAGACGTTGAGATATCCTAACAGCAACGGTGGAGAGAATAAACGTTTCTTCTGAGTCAGGGTCACTTAGCTAGCCATGGGCGAAGTCAATACCAAAGTTGTATATCATCAAGCATCCGTCTAGGAAATTGGATGAAGAGCATACCATATAAAGGACAAGAGCCTGTAGGACTTTGAAATCCATAGTGGAAGTGAAATTCGCATTCGTCAGTGCTTGTTGAGCAGCATTCCGAAATTGGGCAAGCAGGTGAGCTTTCTCATAAGCCAGCATGGCTAGACAGTCGGCGGCTGACATTGAAGTAACTACGAGGGTATAGATGGAAAACATGAGCGCCTCCTGAGCATTGTCCATGTCTTGAGGATTGTCGATGGCCTTTAGAATATCCTGCTGCATCGTCGGCCCATGGATGATTCTGATTAGTATGTTGATGTTATCAAGAAAGTATTGCCATATTTTGAATACGATGTTGGGAGAAGGATGAGACATTAGTTTCCTCGATTCAAGTCTCGATCCGAAGAGTAAAGAAGTTGTAGTAGGTGAAGCAGGGACGGGTGATTCGTAGGGTGATTCGTAGGTTGAAGACAAATTTCCAAGCACCTGAGGTAGTGGAACCTGCTGCTCGGTGGGGTTTTTAAGCTGTAATTAGTTAGCATGATAATGATTGACCAAGTATTGGATCATTTCTGACTTCATCGCTTAATTCTGCCCACCAGTTCCTGTGAAGAGGTCAGATGAAAAGTAGAACGAAATCTTTCGAAAAGGCTTACTGCTGTCCATGTGCAGGTTTCGATGCATTAGACGTATCACTTGATGTCGTCTCAACAGTGTATGAAGAATCATCTTGCTGCTTGATTGTTGCATGGATCCAATTATCAGGCAGGCTGATGTCGATGTTATGCTTTCGCAGCAAATCCTCATAGCGGTGGAGACGAGCATAAAGGTCCTCTTGCGACACCAGTCTCTTACGGCTTCTGGATGGTGCTGTGCGAAGAGCGAAGCTGCATACTGTGTTTGACTTGACGCAATTCGAACAAGGGTCTTGCCGGTTGCATTTTATCTTGCGGCGAGCACAGGCAGCACATGCATTTTTCTGTGAGGGTTTTTTGCCTGGTTCACCGAATAGACGGGCAGTCGAGTCGTCCATCGAGTTACTCATTTTGGAGAAAACCAGCTACATTTAATTGTGGCGATCCAAATGCAAGTCTATCAGACATGTTGGTGGAAGGGTGAAGTATGAAGTTAGATTTGGCAAGAGCTATTGCGGAGATAATCACATGACCCGGACTTTCCTGCATTTGCAATCAAGCCTAAACAATAATAATATATGCTAGCACTTCGGTATCGTCACTACCATGTCCATCCAACCTTGCAGCACTCGAATTTCACTGCATGCTGTTCAAATATCCTCAGCAGACAAAGTGCACCTACAATTCTACGTGCATTGAGGAAATTAGGTCACCAGTCTTGGCAGGGCGGGAAATTAGCACTGTACCTAAATTACTCCCCGGCAGACTCATCAGGAAATGATGATCCGCCTGCCCTGACAGACAGGACTGTCGGACCTTGGCATCGACACGATTGCCATGTGGACTAGACCAAGAAAGCTAACGAATAACCCCCGCTTGCTGAGAACTGTACTGCGTCGAAACCGAGACATTTCCGTCCAACCAGCGAGACCATCGATTGTCCTCATGACCTGCAATCCCCCATGTATGGACCCATCGACGTTACATCTTATTTCTTCGCTCTTGCAGCATAATGTTCTTGGAAGTCTCAAACAAATAATACAATATTCTATTGACGTCCAGAAGGATCAACCTCGGTAGACGATCGAAAAGCATGAGATAACGAAACTTTCCCGGCGGTTATTTCCTCTTTGCTGTATTTTCAGATTAATAACTGATCAATTGTATATGATCGGGGCGACGGAATGCGGGGGAACGTGCATTTGCGGCGTCCGGGGACTATCCCTGCTGCATCAATACCCTGCTATATGGGTGGAATGAACGCCTGTTGTGCTAATCTGGGCTCGTAGAATCTAATAACAGCATACCCTTGGATTTATCGACCTGCGTCTGTGTAATGCTAAAGGACATGGTTTTGATAGGTAAGTTCATAGGCTGGAAAGGCCAAGAAATTATCAGCAATGTATTTCTGCAATATCACAAGACAAATGCAAGATCATTTCTCAAGTCGGCGGTCAGCCGGCTTTCTGCAACGGCGAGGATAATGATTGGTCTTGAATATTCTACTGACACGCGTTCTTACCACTTTAAATCGCACGCATGAGATTCGATTTCTTCAATGTCACCACCGGATACGGGCGGGGGCTTACTAGCAAATGGAGTACGTCCCGCCATTTCTCCGTCAAGCCATCTTTCGAATTCGAGCTGTGATTTGAAACATGCCATTATGTCTATTCCCCGCTACTACAAATGCCATACTAAGTTTATCCACATACGGAACTATTCCCGGTAGAAACATTGCTCTTTCGGTGCATTCCTCCTCCGAGTGTACACCGCCGTGGATCTATTGCACCAACTAGGTGTCTATTGGGACGCGCTGACGTTTATCACAAGTGAATAACCGGGATATATCCACATGCAAAAAAGCTATTTATTAAATACCCCGCGGTTCAAACAGAAATCATGACCGGAGTCAAGCTGAAGAAGGTAGGACAACCGGAAACGGACCCCAAATAGGTCAACAGAAGTGTCATTAGGATTCGAGGGATCGCATATATAGACTAGGATGATCCTTTCAAAATAATTTCTAAATCGGGTCCTTCCAAAGCACTGGTTGCTTCATCATTCAATCCTGTTGATTAAGATAGGAGTCTCCTCACCGGACTCTTTTCTTTCGTCTTGTCAAGAACATATACACTGTCTCTGCAACCAGTGCTCATCAGAGAGTCCTCCTATACACAATGTATATCTCTTCATGTTTGACCTTCCTGTCCCTCTCCATCCTCAGTCTCTCCGTCCCCCTCGCTCTCCGCAACACCCCTCTTAACACATTCCTAACCCTCCTTCTCGACCACCTCCCCGACATCAACGAGGGCATCAACGATGCAAGCAGCGTGATAACCGCCCTAGATAGCCTTCTCGCCGGCCTAATCCATGCCAAAACTACCGAGAACGAACTTGGCTCCGGTTCATGCGCCGAATACACCCTCATCTTTGCGCGCGGGACGTCTGAACCGGGGAATATGGGTGTTCTGGTGGGACCGCCGCTTGTCTGGGCGTTGCAGGATATCGTCGGTACAAGTGGATTGACAATCCAGGGTGTTAATGATTATTCGGCCTCTGTGGCTGGATATCTCGCGGGTGGTGATGCGGATGGAAGTTCTAATATGTATGTATCTTTATCCTCTGCCTGACACTGCTGTATTTGTACGTATTTGATGAACAATTCTGACTTGATTAATCTCTAGGGCCTCTCTAATCTCGCAAGCATACTCATCTTGCCCGTCGACTAAGCTCATTGCTGCGGGATATTCTCAAGGCTGCCAAGTCACGCACAACGCCATCTCGCAACTCGACTCTACTACCGCTTCTTGGATTAGCAAGGTTCTGCTCTTCGGTGATCCAGGTTCGTTCCAAGCTTCCACATCAGTAACATGAAACGAAATTGGCAAATATCAACTAACCATCACGCTGTCACAGACAACGGTACGGCAATCCCGAACGTGGACTCATCCAAAGTGCACACCGTCTGTCATACCGGCGATAACATATGTGTGAACGGTGATTTTATTCTAGTGCCGCATTTGACATATGCCGAAGATGTAGCTACGGCGGCGTCGTTTGCAACTTCTTAGGCAGGCGACAGAAGGATCAGTTCAGTAGAGATGACGATGCATCTTGATGATGGAAAGATCAATGATCTCATGTACATAGCTGGTACGAAATAGTCATCAATCATATTAAAAAAAGGATATCTGAAGGATATTGAGAACATATTACTAGTTATTTGTGTCGGAGTATACTATAATTTTGACATTATTGTTTTTGTAAGTATATTCTATAATCTATGTCACAAGAAGGCGAAGGGTATGTATGATACACGTAATCCTGAGCAACACCAAAGAAGACACCTAATCAGGCAACGACATCAACGCCTAAACCCGCGACAAACTATTAAAGAAAGAAAGACAGAGACATAGGTATGTGAAGAAAACAGCCGCTGGACGATATGTATAGCGCTAGATGCGGTTATGTATGCTCATGGCAGATAGAAAGTGGAAGGAGACAGGACGATTGGTTATGCACTTCGTCGTCATTCGTTATGTTGGAAGATCGTAGTGAGTGCTATCGGACTCGGGTGTCACATCCTTAATAGGATGAAAAAACATGGATGGCAAAACGACTCGACCGTTTTGTTTTTCATACTATTTGATTGGTTAGTATCATCTCGTGTGAGGATTGAAGTTGGGGTTAACTTACATCCGGACCTCCTGTTCCGTCCTTTTCCCAGCCTAAGAGGTTCCAATATAATCGACCAGGAATGTTGCATCGGTAGTACCATGACAAGTCCTTGAACCGTTGTTCACGACCCCATGAAAATGGGCTGTCTCTAGTACTGCCTGACCTTCCATTCACGCCAGAATTAAACCACCGATCCATGCGATGCGCAGCCAGCGGCTTGTCTGACCAGATGGGGTGCGGTACGTAGGTTGTTTTGTAGCCATGTAACAAGGCAATTGTTTGAGGTGCCATTTCTGAGCCAATGTGTCGGCCGTTAAGATTCTCTGCATCCATGGCTAGAATCACTCGCCGGGAAACGCGAGAATGAGTGATGATGGTAGATCTGCGGGGAGTGTCCTTGCCGAGGTAGCCAAATACGTCGTCTCTCAAGACCCAGTCCGTGTTATAGGGGTTAAACACAGGAAGGAATCCAACCCAGTCTGCTTCTTCACCAACACCCCATACATAATTGTCCATCTCTGGCCTAGGAACTGGTGGAACCGGACCCTTAGGCTTAGGGAGCTTATCTTCCTCATCTTCGTATGCCAAATGACCCCAGATGCCTGCTCCAGCTTGTTTGGCAACATACTGTCGGAAATCCGTGTCATAGTTACCGTGGATAGAAGGAATATAGAAACGTTCGCTGCGTTCCCAGATACCCCGACGAGGTTGCTTGCGACCAAAAGATGCAACAGCTTCTGTGAACTCGTAGTGATGGCCAGTGTAGCGTGTATCAATCTCCCAGTTCCACACGAAGTCGAATTCTGGATATTCCAAGACAAAATGCTGGATCGGAAGCCATTGAGATTGATGGACACTACAATTATTAGCAACACCACAGCAACAAAAAGAGTATAACTTACTTCATCACAGCCGGGTCAAGTTTGTTGTATCGCTCCGAAACCATGGGCATACTCCATAAAATAGTCATATTCCAAAATTCTTGAGGAATATTGTCTTGAAGGACTTGGTGATAGACATCCTTTTCATTAATAGGGATACTGTCGTCTTTGACGTGAACGAGTAAGAATACTTCATACTCGCCGCCAGACTGCAGCGACAACTCCTGCACCATGGAGCGAATAACCTGCTTGTCATTCTCCGAGTATACTTTGTCGGTATAACTCCGGATCAAAATTGCAGTGCGCAGCTCTGGCTTGATATCGGGATTGAGCAGATTTGCAGGGCTCGTTTTGCGTTTGAGCCAACTGGCGAGGCCGCTGCCTTCATTGGTTTCAGTCAAGTTGAAACGACCGGCATTTATGTGAACGCATTCTTCTTGTAGTTGTCCCCAGTCCACATTCTCCCAATCCACTTTGGCCGGGCGGATCCAGTTGGTAGATGGGTCGTCTTCACCGAAACCATATGCTCCGTATCGTCCATATCGATCGTAGGACAGGTGGCCGTCAATTCCAAAGGCTTCGTAAGAGCCAAAGCTAGGTTCGGGGAAGCCTGTGCCTGTCAGTTTCTACTTTCAACGAAAAGTCCTTGTATCGATAATATACCTTCTGGCGCGCCAACATAAACGCTGACACTATCATCCAGACTCTCATCTAGTTTACTGCCGCGGGGGCCGACACAGGGTACGAATGCACCGCGGTGAGTGCGCTTCCACTCATCGGTGTTGTATTTGGGATAGGGGCGGTATATTTTGCTCGATTTGGCGATGTCACTTGTCTGAATAGAGGAACGAGGGTCATCGTAGAGCTTTGGATTCTTGTACTTTTCGGGGGCTTTAAGTCGGGGAAAGGTTGATTTGAAGCCTTTGAACTGGCTACAGGGCGTCAGTATCCATTTGCCATCGGTGGTCTCGGATGGTAAACTGACCTGGAAACTTGTTTTGCCTCTTCGAGGTATCTTTGCTGAGGCGATTTATAGTTTGCTTTGGTATCCTACCAAAATGGAGAAGGAAAAAATCAGCGCCATCGATTAGCTGGATATAGAATGGTGACATACAGCGAAGGAATGCTGGTTTTGCTCCTGGGCGCGTAGGTCGTCATCCTTCAGCTTGAAAAACTCCCACGCGAGACGGCCGTCCGGCTTCCCATCGACAAAGTCGAACTCGGCATAGGCAACGACAAAGATCACGAAAAAGACAGCAAACGAAAGAAATGAACGGAGACCCGTCCGAGCCGACATGGTGTTGGCAAGACCACAGAAAGATGCATTGATAAGAGTACCGATGCGAGTGACAAAAGTCATTCCGCAAGGGAAGGGATGGGAAAGGTGGCCAAAAAACGAGGGTTGGTTGGGCGGACCGCCTAACGACTAAGGTTTGCGGTAGAACGGATGCGGCAAAGAGGCTCGAGGGTGGCACGCAGAGAGGATGTAGGACAGAGTCAGACAAGACAGGCCAGGATAGGTGTCGTGCGTATCGTGTCGCGAGCGGCTATTAACAGGACAGGAGGCCGGATTGGTCACGGCGTGATTGGCATCGCGCTGGGGATGGGAAAAATAATGAACGACGATCGTCGACGTGCGCGGGACAATAATGTGGCTCGTACGGACTGGTAAGTGAGTGGTAACTTGTAGGGCCTCGTATTATTCAATCCCACCGACAAAATTATTCTGGCCAGAACAAAGGAGCGATCAGCCTCACCTCAGACACCATCATCCTGCGTACTTTAATAGCTGATGGAGATTAAGAGCCAGATCAAGCATTGCTAGTTTCAGGGGCCGGATCCAGAAGCCAAATCTGGGTGACATTTCATCATTTCCTTCTTGGAATGCGGGTAACACCGTGACACTACATTGTACGTACTATGTAGACACTGACATTGATTGACATTGATATTAATATTAATATTATTCTTCTTAATACCAGTTCTATTACCTTGCGCCGATATCTATTGTCTCTACTGCGTATATTATTATTATTGAAGTCCTTTTGTGTTGCTTTCTGGTACGGGCTAAGAATAGGAAACACACGGCTACCAGTCATTTGCCTGGTGGTAATTTAGTAAATTAGTACATAAATAGTAAACTGGCAATAATACCCGTGTAAACCTGGTGCCTGCTGTCCCGCCTGGCCAATCAGCGAGTCCGCAAAAGGTGAGACACGACGTTGTGGGCAGTAAATTACAGGCACATTACAGTCAAATACCACCCGATTATAGGCAGATATCGGTGGGGCGAAGACATGGCCAATCAAGCGCTGCCTCTTGAGCCTTCCTGCGAGACAATTCACATCCACATTCACATTCATTCTCTTATTGTTCGAGTTATTCGCAGGACTCGGGTTTGCTATCATTATTTATACGATTTGGCAGTATCAATAGTAATAATATGAATACCCCTCGAGTGCCATCGGCTCAGGCCAAGACGATCACGCCCACCAGTGAGATATCTGACTTGAACCGGCTAAAAAGCTTGCTTCCCAGCGAAAGCCACTCAGGGGGCGCTGATAGCTACCAGCATACGGGCCTCCACGCTTAGCTTGATACCCGTAATTACCTTGACACTATTACAACAATAGAATTATACAAGAGTGGTGGCCCTGATCGGTCCCAGAGTTGAGGCCCCTTGTCGCGTTAGGGAATCCGCATTTCGGGCTTCCAGGTTTCAATCATTTCACTTCCGTTGCTTTTCCTGAGATGTTAAATTAATCTGTGTAGCATATCCATATTTAACCGCCTGGTCACTGGCTGAGTAGCGCAGGGCTCCACAGCATGAAATCATCGCCAGTCAGTGCGCCCGTCCGTCCCGGTGAAATTATGAAGATCGCATGTTCAGTGCCCATGTATGCAGGCCTAGCCCATCACGTGGGAAGCTTGGCTTGCTCTGACCGTGTTTAACGAATGTTAATAATAATAAAAAATCCCATCTCGCCATCGATTCGAATACTTGGTTTTTGATATCGTTATCATTATTTATTAATATTATTGTCATTCAATCCTGAATCCTGACTGCCAGTGGATTTCGATCATTACCTACGTTTCGCCGACCTAGGTACTTCCTAGTAAACGAGACCCGTAATGTCTCATACAAGGATCGCTCCATCCGTATGCTTGTCGAATCCTCTTTTAGCTTCCTCAACCAGATATCGGATCATTTACAAATAGCTACGGCAGTCACGTGTTAAAGGGCTTGTGTTAGGGTGGGGCCCTGATACTAACCATATCAATTGATGGCTAGGGCCTGCATGGATTGACCTTCCAAAACACCGCATGAAACGCGATTATTGTGCTGCTTTCACCACCAGAAATTCATTTGAGAGACTTCTTAGATCCAGCACCTGTCGTGTGATTAGCTACATTCAACCAGCTCGGTCTCTTTTAGTCATTCATTGCGGTCACTGGTTACTGATCCCCCAAGAACAATTCTAATTGAAGCCATCTAGTGTATAACGCTTTCCCTCGATATTACTACATGTATTCTCCGTCGCTATTGAATGATTCATTCTTTCACTCTTGCAAGAGTGGTAACTATGACTGTTTCATCTGTAAACGATCATTGATTTGCAAGCTTATAAGTGTCGATATATATACCACCCTGTATATCAGAGCTATGATAATATTGAAGTTTACGGTATATGAGCGTAGGAATGAGGCTAAAGAGCCTGTGAAAAGGCGAAAAGCATCAACACTGCGATATTGACGTTGGCGAGATAGTAAAAACAGACGGGAGGGTATTTGCATCCACGTGGTTCTAGTATGGTGGTGCCTTCGGCATATGAAACAACATGGAAAGCTTTTCACAAAAGTATTACACACCAACGCTTTATATGCAAGAAATTGAGTCCAATGCAATAGATTCCAACGTAGACAATTTACTCGGCATAACTGCAACCACCGCACGACCATCGTGTTTTCTCCGTCGAACTGAAGCAGGTTCTAACGACTCTCGTGGCAGCAACTATGGTGATTTACTTGTTCCACGCGGTCGCAGTCGGCGTCGCATATGTCCCGGTAACACCACCGCTGCTGCACGCCGAAGGCACTGCGTTTGCCTTAGACTCCCCCCACGACTCTGGCACAGTGCCATTACGACGTGCGACAGCCGTCAGGAACGAGGCGTAAGACCAAGTCAGATCTCGTGCCGAGAGAGGGGTGCCATCGTCTCTTGAGAACTGCTCGGCCAGGGAGCCATTGCTAGGGGTGTATTTCTGCACAACCGATACGAATCCATCGGCATAAGTCTTTACTGCGCTGGTGATGGATTCGTAAGTTGCTGATGAACTGGAATAGTTTCCAACAGCCGCAGTAGACACCAGGTCCGTGAAGAATGGTAGTGATGTTGACGTGATGGCGAGAGATCCTATATTGTCCCATTGGTAGAGGGCGTCATAAAGCTGCTCGGCTGCTGCCAGAGTATTGAGGTACCTAAGCAATATCAACAAACCTCGCCATTTCTATCAAGCAGACATAGTTTATACGTACCATGGGTTACCACCCTGATAAGAGTCCTCGGGATATCGACCAACAGCCGCAGCTGTACCCGCAGCGAGACCGCTATTGATCGTATAAATAGAGCGGAATGAATCGACGACCGCTTTGTGGTTAGAAAGAGCCCGCGATGAACATGGCTGGAAAGTAGTGTCATCGCATGCAGCATCCGGGTCGAAGGTATGGATTGAGCCGAGAATAGAATTAGCATCCAGGCCGCTGCGTCCATTGTTGGCCAGGTTCGATATGACGGAGCTGCCGTTCCAGAAATCCTGCAAGAAGCATAGAATCTGCGGCGCTTGTGAGACGCATCCGTCACAGGTCTCACCGAGAGAAGTAGCAAACGCGTTTCCTGCTACGAGCGACTTGTGCTGACTCGCAATCGTAAAGAAAGAGGATCCCTGGACTTCTTCCCACAGATCGTATCCGGTCTGATTCCAGTACTCTGCCACGTACGAAAGATCGTTTTGAACGATCGGCCAGATATTGGAGAGCACAACTGATTTACTACCCTTGGAAATCAGATGGTTTCCATATGCAATCAGAGCAATTGCACGTAGGGCGGGGCCATCGCGTTGCGGCCGACCCCAGGCACCGGTAAATGCAGTAATGTTGACATAGAATTTGGGTTCTGCTAAGCCGGTACCATCGGACAAACTTCCAGATGGGTTAGAAACTGTTTGAAGGTGCGCCTGAGCGGTGATATACGACTGGATAAGTGTCTCCAAAGAGGAGTCACCGGCAATGAAGGCCTCGATCAGAGCGGTAAAAGTCAAGGCAGAATCACGCGTCCAGGTGTAAAAGTCTGAAAGCGAATGTTAGTTACTCGTTTAAATATCCCATCAACAAGATAAGTTTGACTTACAGTCTGGGTTCGTTTGTGATGGCGATGCAACTACAATTCCAGCATTAGCTCCAGGTGCGCCTGTTCCATTGGAACCGATGTTGTTCAGAGTTCCTTGTAAGGCTATCGGAGACTCGGAAGAGATGAAGCTCTCAAGATCGGCTCGTTTCGTGATGCTATGGCTGATCCTAGGAGAAGCCAGGGCAGAGCCGACAAGGCCCTGGACAAGAGCTGTCTTGAAAAGCATGTTGAGAAAACGATATTTAGGTTGGATTTGAATTGTCTTCAAACTTAGTTTTATCTTGTCTGGCTTCTTTTATGATCGGGGACCAGGTGCGGCCTTTTATACTCCATTTCAGTCCGATTATCAGACATCAATTGATGTCGGTGGCGTTATTTCGTGGCAAGGAGTATGAAATATTGGAAGAATAGGAACAAGTAAAGGCATCATCATCATTAGGGCTAGTAACGGGCTGATCACCCGGAAGTAATTACAACAATTTTCTGGTCTGAAAACGAATGACAGCCGAACTATCGATCGGTTTTCTCTCCACTCAGCCTCAGCCGAGTTTGAATCGTCAGTATATACTACGCAACGCGGAGATCGCTTTGAGTGTGGCGTAGATTGAAACGCCCCAAAAACGGTAAAAAGAAGAGCGATCTATCTGATTCGACATTCTGGTCGGGGAAATGCTGCACATCATTTCCCCGTTTCATGAGCCGGCATGCCACTAAACAATGACCCAGTTCTCTAGCCGACCCGAGTAGAGTCCGATGTGACTTTCAGCTCTATTTTTCCGCCTCTCAGTTTGAGTTTCCCCAGTCTTGGTTGTCTACGTACTTCCAACTAACGGTAAATAGGTTATCCGTTGAATAAAACGCTTCGTAAGTCGTTGTGTCACTTCTAAGCGTGGGGTATAGCTTTTTTACGCTTTCACATGTGTAGCGATATCGAAATAAGCGATCAGCGAAAATATTTTGTTGAGGAAAACGAATTTTGTCTAGAGCTCGTATTTAATATAGCCTAAAAGGCTAGCCCTTGGTTTCGTATTCATATACTTGAGCTAAACTAACTTCGAATTGGGCAGGGAGTCCGTTTGATTACACTTTAACCAGCGAGCCATTATGGACGTTTAAACACGAGTCGGTGCTGTACTTCCTTCTGTGCTTTCTTTCAAGTTGATATCTGCTTTTTGGTAGGAGTAACTGCAGGGTTCATGTCCTATTGTTCTTCCCATAAGAGTACACTGCATCCACTACTATCTCACATCAACATTTGTCATACAGTGGCTAAATAGTGCTCTCATGCCCCCTGCTGACGGTCTGCCATGGCTTTTTTATCCACGACTATCCTTGGTATTGGTCCAATCATTTTTCTCTAGAAGCAGTAGCATGATTCTCTCATAATTCTTCCTAGCTGACTACCACAGCGATGCTCTCACAATTCTTCTTAATATCATCAACATTTGTCTCCCTAACATTCAAATACTAATGAACCTAGCTAGGTTAGAATTTTCCTCTTACACAATGTGTCTAACAAATGGTAAACACGAAAAATCTAAGACCTCAGTAAGAGCAGACAATTGACTTTTTGAGTTATCTCTTGTGATTTTTCAGTTCCATCGCGTATGTCGAAGGCACGGCAATTTCCCAGTTTTGCCATCGGCCTTCGTTATTGTGAGAATCACCGTAGTTGCTAATTTCTGGGCGGCGAGGCTTGGGAGATTTTCAGGAACCCTGCCACCACCGTTTTGAGGTTTATAATTGAATTCTGATAGCGCTAGTTAGTTTTCTTCATTTCAACGCAGCTTTCAAAGACTAGATTACCACAAGATATTGTTCCACGGTGTGCTTGTAGTATTCGCGGAGACTTCATAGCAAATTTTGGATAGATATCATCGTCCCGGTAAAAGTCCTTGTAGACGCTTGCCCTATCAACAAGTCTAGGGGCGCAAGAATCAAGTACTACTGTGGTTAATGATATATCAGTAGTGTTAATAGAGTTTAGTGACAATTAAGGCAACGCCGAACATGGCTCTACGTCCAGAGATCAATCGATTTATACTAGAATCTAGTTCCTTGATAGTATTCCTATATATCAATTGATAAGAGAACACCAATTGGCATCTAGATTTCGAATTTAGAAACTAGGCCTATAGAGTGTCCACTCCAGCGATTTAAAGTGCGTGTTTCGAAAGAATATAAGTGAGTGTCCATAGATTATTATGCCAACAACCAACACTTCTGAATTGAATCTATGTCCATATCTAGGTTAGACCATGTCTAAAATAAATTTCATAATTAATAGTGATGACATATAGTTACCAGCAAGTCTATAAATTTCTCCTTCGTCGCCTTCTCGAATCAATGATAGCTCATCTCCACTTCCATCTCCAATTCTTGATAGCCAGCAGAATTACTCCTACTTTCACAACCATCGAACGAGAAGCTTAAAATCAAGCCACAGCTATGAGTCCTTTCAAAGAACTCGCCGTCGTCATTTGCCATGGGTCATACTACACACCCGCCCCTTATGTCCCCTTCATGGAGGCATTGAAATCACAAGGACTTGAAGCTTACTGTCCACAGCGTCCCACCTGTGACCTCAGCAGGCTTAATGTGGGCGACATTAACAATCCAGACTTTGATCGTGATCCTCCCACTGGCGGATATCCTACTGACACAGAGGATGTGGACGCTGTCGTCGAGATACTCAAAAAACTCGCCAACGATGAAGGAAAACTGGTTCTCCTAGTCGCTCACTCATCTGGTGGCTGGGTCGCTACTCAAGCCGCTGTGCCAGAGCTTCATGCCAAAGCTCGCCAGGCTGAGGGTAAAGCTGGAGGGATAATTGGAATTTTTTATATGGGTGCTTTCGTTGTTCCTGTAGGCGAGTCCGTCAATAGCTTCTTCCAGCCTAAGGATGGAACTTTGTTCACGCCACCGTTTATGCGGTTTCATGTAAGTATGATAATATGGATATGGGTATGGACATATGCTGATTGAACTAGAAACTCGGTCACGCCGGACTTGGCACTATCGTTGACGCCCCGCACTTCATGTTCAACGATATCGATCCAGTTGCTGCCGAGAAATGGGCAGCTACGCTGACAGCAGCTCCTAACATGCCCACAAAGCTGACAAATAACCCTTATTCATCCCTTCCTTGCTCCTACCTTGTGCTGGAGAACGACCAGACTTTGCCGAAGGAGTATCAAGAGCAAATGATTGCATTACAAAGCCAAGGAACAAGCTTGTTCACAGTTTATCGTGCACCGTCTGGCCACTCCCCTCATCTTAGCTGGACAACAGAGCTAGTCGAAAAAGTTGCCGAGTTTATCGACAAAATATTAAATGAGTAGCCTAATTTTTTCGAGCATGTTAGATCCACTATACCAAGAAACCAATGCTAGTATGAACCATCTCATCTGCGCAAATTAATAGAAACAAATTATTTCCGCCTCTTCGAAAGCCAAGTATTGAATTCGTAGTGCTCAGGCTAGAATTTATCACTATTGGGTCAAAAATTTGAGAGTAAGTGGAGATACTTAGGTGGTGGTTGCTACACTAGGCAACGTAGGGCTGATTCCGTACGAGCCGGCCAATCACATCGATTCAAGTATAGGGGTGGATTGTTGCTCAATAGATGGGATGTGGCAGTAAAACAGCGTCGCTTTGGTACAATCAGACAGATTTTACTAACAAAAAGTTCGAGTTGTTGCCTAGTAATATCAATCAATTCAATAGAATCTGAGTAAGAAACATAGGGTCTGAGAATTTTTAATTCCATCTTGTAAATTCATTAGCTGATCGATTCCATATACTCATAAGAGAAATAGAAGGAGAAAAATCAATACTTACATGAAACAGATAGGTATATCTTAAAAGTTAGAAGTTGCATTAACTGATTTGGAGATCAAATCCACGCTGGACACCGTAATCGACTTTCCATCCACGTCTGTGATACGGACATCGATAATAACACTACCAACACCGCCTGGCTTGGGGAAATAATTATCTTCCGTCCGAGTGAGAACTTGCCATGCCGAAGCCCCGGCAGCAGTGACTTCTACCTTGCTAAGCGGTATATTATGGTTACGGAATTGGATCGCGAACCAGCTTATATTTGATCCGTTGTCGATCACCACTTCCAATGGTATGCTAAGATCGCAGGGCACTACCTGCCATTGTACCGTTATATTCCCAGCGCTCGTCGGAGAAATTTGGCCAAATCCATTCTCGAACAAGTCCAGATTGTCTACCGGGCAAGTGGAGCACGAGTCAACAATCTAGATAAATTTTATCAGTACAGATCATAATGGATGGAGTAAGATGAACATAACTTACCATAGCCTTAACCTTGGATCCACTGTTTTTCTCAGTAACCTCGAGGCATGAGCCGCAATGAGAGGCATTAGCCCAACTCTGAGTCGAAAGTGCAGATCCAAAAATACCCGCCGGCAAGGTATAACCTATGAATGAGCAGTGACCATTATTAAGACCATCTTTGACATAATAAGTGGCGTACACATTTGGGAGACTTTTAGCTAGGTTTGAGTGGTGGGTGAGAAATCCGTCCGGGCCAATGGTAGGAGCAGGAAGCACAGTAGTAATACCAGACTTGGTCGTTGTTGTGGTATATTTCAGCTTGGGAGGATGGACTGAAGTAGTCCATGATGGAGTAACAGTTTCGGCATCAAATTCAATTAAAGGTTTTAATATAGGACTCTCAGAGATTGAATATGCAGGATTGAGTGGTAGAGCCGGCTTGGTCACGTAATGGGTAACTGTTTTCGTCCATGTGATTGTCGTAGTTTCCATCACACAACTGGAAGAGCCTGCAACGACATTGTCACGACGAAAAAATGTATTATTGTCTTGCTGGAAATCGTGACTTGAATGTTGATCAGTAGCTTGGACGAGAGCGCTACAAATCACTACCACTACCACCGATGCGAAAGCAGCCTTGAAATTTCCCATTATCTGGGAAGAGGTATATTTTAAGATGGCAGCAACAATACTGAGAGACGGATAACACTTTTGACTGCTGAATTGTCAATAGTAAGGATATTTTGATCAAAGAGATATCTTACTTTGAAAAGCGTCGAGAGTCCATTTATGTCTCTCAGAAATCTCAGACCGCCAGACTTTTTGCCAAAGAATATAAAAAGCAGCATTGATGCATGCTCAAACAAAGAGTTGTTTCAAGCAAAGCAGTGGCCAGTATGGTTTATATTCTGCTATTGGTGCAGTGGGGTGGCCTTCCTGAATTGGAAATACTGACAACAATGAAATGACCAGATATCCTACGGACCAGCTACTTCTAGGCCCCTTGGCCTTTGATGCGAGCAACGTGTCAATGGCTCAAAAAATTTGAAGCCTGCATGTGATGTTGTGGAGTCAATCCTTAAGGTAATTATTATCTATCTGACGTACATCCTCATACTTTCGAGTGTGCTGCCCCAGGCAATGAATAGTCACCTGAAAGAAAGGCAGCACGTTACTCATAAGACAATCTTGCATATGTATTCTCAAGTAACAGTTAGTCGATCAACTATTCAAACACTTACTTGGTTCTGCCAAAATATTGAGGTTTACATTTTATTCATGCTGCCTTGTCTGGGGCTTTGTTTTCCCATAAGGCTGGCTGAAATATGTAACACGCACTGCATTATAAAGTATGCTCGACTATGTGAGACGAATAATATCATCTAAGAATGTAGCATTAGTATTGACGCACAATCGTATCAACGAGTAATTACGTATTCTCGCTGTGCTGACTGTGGTGCAGTGTGAAGCTAGACGGCTTCGAGAAGGCCTGACAGCCTTAAGCCTAAAGAGTGGGGTCGACCAAATGATCATATATGATTCGCTAGCTCTTGCAGATTGCTACTGACACAGCGCTCTAATTGGCTGGACGGCTGTTACCACGTTCCATTTTAAGATCATTTTCACTGGGTCAGATGGAGGCTGGCATATCCAGGAACTTCGCATGGTCCAATCAGCGACTGATCCGGATTGCGAGCAGAGCCTCCAGTCAGCACAGTTACAGTTCATCCACTCGTATATCTGCTTTTGACTGGATAGATCTGGCCGGCCCATCGGCCATTGGCTCCCCTGAGACTTGTATCAGCCACAGTGGTATTGCATTCGATCATTCTGGGGTCCCATATACTACTCGTACGCCTTGCATACAGAGACCACAGCCGGGCATGACACGATCTAGTCTCTTTCCTCGTTAGAGCATGGCCCTCGAGGCTGGTGGCCTAACATGCTAAATTGAAGGGTATGTATAAAACAAACGAACTCCCATCCAAGCCCATGTCGTGTACCTGGTAGCCTCTTCTTGAACTATCATCCATCCTGTCCCTCTGGCCTCTCCTTACAATGGTTTCCTCTAAGACTGTCGTCTCTGTCCTAGCCCTATCAGCCGTTGCTGCTGCTGCGCCAACCAAGACCAGCGGCGGCAAGTTCACTGCCAATCAAGTTGCAGTACCTAGAAGGCATCATGTCAACGGTCCGGCTCATTATGCCCGTACTCTGGCCAAACACGGCGCTATGGTTCCCTCGCATATCGCTGCCGCCGCCGATTCGACCGTGTCTGGGTCTGCTACCAACACCCCCCAGCCCGCTGACTCCGAGTATATCGTTCCTGTGACCGTCGGCGCCAGCACTGTCAACCTCGATTTCGACACTGGCTCTGCCGACCTGTATGTTGGATCTAACCTGCCGACTACATATGTATATATTGATACTATACTGACCAAGAGACAGTTGGGTATACACGTCCAGCACCGCTGGCGGTGCCGGACACAACTACTACACCCCCAGTGACGGCGCCACTGTGATGAACGGCGAGACCTGGTCGATCGGTTACGGTGACGGTAGTTCTGCCAGCGGCAACGTGTACCAGGATACTGTCGTTGTCGGCGGCGTCACTGCGACTGCACAAGCTGTCGAAGCTGCACAAACCGTCAGCAGCTCATTTTCCTCTGACACTAGCAATGATGGTCTACTTGGTCTCTCATGGAGCAGCCTCAATACTGTCTCTCCCGACCAACAGAAGACGTTCTACGACAATGTTCAAAGCAGCCTTGCTGACCCCGTTTTTGCTGCAATCTTGAAGCATGATGCCCCGGGATCTTACGACTTTGGTTTTATTGACAGCTCAAAATACACTGGCAATATCACGTACACCCCCGCTGACAACAGCCAGGGTTACTGGGGTTTCACTGTTGACTCGTACACCGTTGGAACCACTGTCACCAGTACCGCTCTGTCCGGTATTGCGGATACCGGTACTTCTCTGCTTCTCCTCGATGATACGACCTGCGGAAACTACTATGCTCAGGTCAGCGGCGCCATCAACGACTCGTCACAGGGTGGATGGGTGTATGACTGCAGCACCTCTCTGCCCGATTTCTCCGTCAGCATCAATGGTTATACTGCTACTGTCCCAGGCTCGTATCTCACTTATGACCAGCAGTCAAGTGGTCAATGCTATGGTGGTATCCAGTCTTCTACTGCTATTGGCTTCAATATTTTTGGAGATGTCTTCCTTAAAAGTCAATATGTTGTCTTTGATGGTCCCAATGTACAGCTCGGCTTTGCCTCGCAAGCTTAATTTCTTGTTATCAATCGTATTTTAGAACCAGTTGAAAAAGTATATAGGAAAATTAGGTATTAAGTACATACTAAATAGATATTCAAATATTCACATTCTGCCTAATATCTTATTGCCGCATGCTTTATTACATCTATCGATAGTTAAAGATTTGATGGAATGTAGTTTGTGCACAAGTTACTGATACCAGCTAACAGAGAGCTAAGAGGAATTCTCTAAAACATAATTGCTCTTTAGAAATGGAGGTGATCGTCTTCTCCCATGCACATGAAGACGCATAGGACGTGATTCAATGTATGTGTTTGATATACATACATAGGGTTATCAATTGATCTGGGAGAGAGTTCCACGTGAGAATATAGCAACAAATTCATAATATCTATGCATCAAATACCAAAAATTTAAGGCTCCGCATGAAAATACCCTTAGCGCATGAATATCCATAGGGCATAGCCTAATATATACAGGTATCACTCACTAATCTATTTAGAATCCCACATCACCTCACTCAACCGCAGCATCGCGTCGCCGTTACTTCGTTTCGCCGCCATAAAGTCCTCCCGATTCTGCCCTGCTCGAGGACCACGCATAATTTCCGAAAAGCAGAGCTCAACAAGAACTCGTAGCTCCTCATACGTGAACGGTTCGCCGTTACCCGCAGCAAGAGCCTTGTCGCCCTGGGCTGCAAACAGCTCTTTCTCTTCCTTAGCGTAGTCGAGTGCTTTCTGAGGCCCTTCGATAAACCAATCAAGGAACTTGGCACTGCGCGGAAGTGCTACAACTTCTGACGGTTCTTGATCATCGGTGCTCTTCTTGTCGTTTGTCGAGGCATCGTCGATTATGACATTCTTGAGGTTTTGCTGCAGTACAAGCACATCAAGTTGTAGTCTAAGAGCCCCGTTATGGTTCATTACTCCAATGTATCGTGTACAAGAAACAAAGACTTGGTCGATAAACCTTGCCAGGCCGGAGGTGATGAATCGGCGCTCATTCGGCGCTAAGTATGAAGAAAGATTGGTGTCAAACGCAATAAGTTCGTTGTTAAACTCTAGAACTGGCTGAGAAGCAGCTGAAGGGGGATTAGGGAGAATTAAATGCCAACTGTTATTGTTGGAACCCGATGTCTCCGCCGATCCTAGTGGGTTTGAAGCCCCAGCCATTGTCTTCGTAAGGATGTGGATCGCATTGCATCTGATATCAATGTGCAATGTGAGCAGCGCAGTAGCAGCAAGACTTCGCAAGGATTGTAAGGTGTTGTCAAATATGATGACTGTCTCGTTATTCATAGGAAGGTACACAGGTTGGCTGACACTATCACGTCTCGGCTTCAATGAGCTAATCAGAGTCCACCGACGAGCATGTGTCATACGCTTTGACTCTCGCCGACTCGAGTCAACCGACGTTTTGGTGATAAATCTAAGTTTCGATAGGTGACTTGCAAGCCATTGCTGTTATATTGGTTAGTATCTGGTTTCGTACTTAAAACGGGATTAGCCCACCAAGCTATTGTGTAATAAAGTCAAGGCCACCACATTCTTTGGATCAGATATTAAATCATACTGATCCAATGGGGTCACATTTGTTTCTTGGATCAGTAATTCAGTTTCCTAATGCGCTATTAGCAAAGCCGTCGCAAATTATTCGAAATACATACCCTATCAATAAGTTGTTTCTTGTCTCCATGGCCATTTAAGAGTTTCTTGACTGTCTCATGGACTTCACCCACGTCCGCAAAGGACGCAGAAGCTTTCAATCGCATACCTCCCGTAAGCTGAGTTGATACCCGCGTAACCAGCGCTGGACCTTGTCAGCACATGTAATAGCATATATATATTGGAAAGCATACCTTTGTACCAACCACAGCATTTGTCGTAGTAAGTCACGATTTGGCTAAGTACCAATTGAGTGAACATCTGATCGTGTGGGATGCTGTCAAGCATTTTGCTAAATGCTTTGACTAACAGCATGAAGTTTATAGTTCCCTATACATTCAAGCCTTAGACAAAATACACCTCATACTAGAAGGTAACATCGGTAAAATTACCTTGAAAATTGGCTTGGGCGATACAGCAGCCCAATTGGGGTCTTCTGCAAAGGCATCCGCCGCAATAAAAGTCAACGCGCAAAGATCTGTAACAGCCTCATCCAGCTGAGGTTGAAAGACATTGACCAAGAAATCATCCAAGAAAGAGGTCAACGTGCTCATTACAATTTCTGATTCCTTCGGAACGATTTCTTTAAGCCGTTGGATGAAAGTCAGGGACGGAGGAAGCAATAAGCCCATGTTAAAGACACTTGGCTCGATTAGAAGCTTGTGACCAGTGCCTGAATTTCCTTGGTTCGACTGAGATGCGCCGTCTGCAGTGGATTTCTGCGAAGATTTTGTCACGAGGCCAGGAACTGAAGACCTTAATATCTCATCCAGTTCTTCTCGCTCTGTCTTCATATCGCTCGATTTTTGATCGACGTCTGACATTTTGAACATTTTCTAGATAATTTAACAATTGGGACTCGTAACTCTCGTAAACGCAAGTCGGAACGTACCTTTGTTCTGTCTCTTTGGTTCAGTGAAAAGTTGCGTTTCATTTCTGCCTGGCGAGGAGCTGTTCGGTAAGAGTCGTCGCCGTCTGTAGCCAGATAGTCGTGCAGAAGGGAGCGAATCTTCAGAATGGTTTAGTAAAGCATGATATTGATAAGCTTTTGAAACCTTACTTCGCTTTGATATAGTTTCCACAGCTCTTTAAACCCATCAGCCAAGCCACTCTTGTCTAAGCCTTCGCGCTCGACAATCCCGATTATCACGTCATGAACAACACGATGACCCTCCGCAATAGCTTCAAACTTGGCGTACAAATTCCACAGAAATTCGGTCAACACGTGTCCCCGCTCTTCATTAATTTCTGTTGGTAATCCAGTCTTGCTGTCCCTTAACAAAAGACCTCGTGCTAAATTTGGGTGACGAGTATCCACTTCAGCACTGGTCTTGTCCACTACAGCAAACAACTCCACGGGCAGTCTCTGCTCAATCCGGTCAACGGCAACTTCTAGGTTCCCCATTCTATTCAGAGCTTCGATGATGACTCGAATATAGTAGAAGGTATCGGCCTCCGGGTTGCGAGATGCATCTTCTACCATGGAATTAGATGTATCGAGATTTGCGAGGAAGCCGTGTACTGGTCTTTCCCAAGTCGCTGCTTTGCCGTTAATAGTACCGTCGCCTTCAGTCGCAGGGGTCTTCCAGCGATCCTGGCAGTAAGGAGACTTAAGGTATAAGTGATCATGGAGCTCTTCAATGAGAATGTCAGTAAGAGATGTTTCTTGATTTGAAAAATAAGAGCGCAAATCAGCAAGGGCGCCAATATTTTCAAAATCGGACCGACGCATTAAGCGTAGCCCTTCGTGAAGAATATTAACAGCCGCCAGGAATCGTTTGTCAGATATCCTCTGCTCCAGCTTTTCTGGGAGTAATTGGATCTCTTGAATGTGGTTGAACAATTGCAAAACATCATCGTAGTCCTGTGATGACGTTGCTAGTCCTTGTAGCTCTGGCTTCGTCGTGATCAGGCCAGATTTCGCCTCCTCGAGAGAATTTCGTAGCGCGCGGACACGGTTCTGCGAGCTATGAATACTGGATTGTATCTTATGATAGGTACCGATTGAACTGTTGAATCCCTGGTGATGTTCTTTTCAGACTATTAGTAAGAGCAAGAGGAATGTCTAAATCACTGCGGTAGACATACCGTTGACAATGCTCTTCAATGTTCGTTGAATCTGCTTTTGTGTCTGTAGAAACTCAGGCTCCCGGTCCGCTTTTCCAAGCGTGCTGTTGTCCATCAACTGTAGTGCTACTTGAACAGGTATACAGTCTTCCGTTTTCATGAAATCCCAGTTGCGCTGGACGTTCTGAAGAATATCTACGGTGCTCTCTCGTTAGATTAAGATATCTCTAACTGAAGTAGCATCACCCACCTTCAATTGATTGGGGCGCACGCGCCCCATTCACTCCATCCGAACGGCTTGTTGGCAAAGGCCTCAAATATTCACCATCGCCGCCTTCAGGCCGCCGTCTGCCGCCAGTATTCTCACGTGGCCGCGATCGCGAAGAGGAGGCAGTCTGGGGACGATCCCAATCCGGCCGACCACGCCCATATTCCCTGTCAGGATCTCGATCACGTCCGCGGGATCCAGGCGGCGATCGCCCTGCTGGAGGCTGCAGCGACTCGTCATTGTAAAAGCCACCGTAACCCCCAGGGCGACGGTCACGGTCTCTACCTCCCCCCCCTCCAGCACCACTCCCTGCTCCGTACCCATTCACACTTAGATTGCTCGCGCTGCCATATCCCCCATTGTCTAAGCGTCCAGAATCGGAAGGGTATCCGTATCCGTTGCCGTAAGGGTTGCGACCACTCATTCCAATATTCGGGGTCGCAGGATTGTGCGAACTTTACGTAGTCTTTTTCAAGTGAGCTGAAAAGCCGATGCGTAAACGAGGGATGACTGATCAGTTGACGGAAGGCGATCTTTCGCGACGAGCCCACTTAGGATCGAGTGTCGGGAGAAGTGCTCATGTTCTCAACGACAGGCTTCAGAAGGTCTGGCGGATTGGGATGGTTGGTTAGAATGGCGTTCTGGATGTGATGGAAAATGTTTGTTGGACTCGGTAGATTATTTGCCAGTTTGCGCAGAGTCCCTGGTTCGCTGTGCACATGCATCTGGGGTGTCTGGAGTGCTCGCTGCGTGCGAGACGTTTCATCAGCGACGGTAATCGCGGGACGGCTCCACACGAGCTTGGGGCTCCGCGAGCCTGCTATTGGTCATTCTACAGTTGTACACTCAACTACGATGGAATTTACGTTGTCATCGAGTATCCTGGGGATGTATTGTATAACCTAATATATGTAGGTTAAAACTAACTCCTTGGCAACTCCATAGTCTCGTCCTTTTTGGCAGGCAGAATCTATATACGAGGTATTTCTAGTAATGGGTTTATGCTAATTCTTAACCATCTTCGAGTTTTATGTGCGCTGGTATCCTCATATCTTACAGACCGACAACTATTTCAAAGGCTGGGTTTCTCTCTTCAGCCATTTCAACGTCAACTCATCTTCTTTGAAGAACCCATTGGTCTTCTCCCATACTTCACCATGGTAGTCGTTGACCCATTTGATTTCTGATTCAGTTAAGAGAGATGGGTCAATGAGGTTTTGTCCAAATGGAGTCATGGTAACATGTTCAAAGCCCAACCAAGGCTTGTCACCAAATTTATGTGGCGTCTCAACTTCACGAGCCATGATGATATCTAAATTGTGTCAGCATATAGCCAAACAAAGGGATGCATTAGAAACAAACTCACTTTCAATACGGATGCCAAACTTGCCATCTTCATAGTATCCAGGTTCTGTCAAACAAGTAAGCACAACTAATCAAACAGTCACGGGTTCCACTCTTACCATCAGAGAGCACATTGCCTGCAGACAATGAGACTTCAGAGTATTGAGGGCGGGTACCTATTCCAATAGGTCCCTCGTGAACATTCTGTTTATGAAATCAGCACTTTTCTAGTCACTCTGTAGTAAGAAAACCTACTAGATATGCACCCACACCGTGACCGGTGCCATGGAGATAGTCAAGGCCGTGACGCCACAGGTGCTGGCGTGCGAATGCGTCAAGGGCAAATCCACTTGTGCCCTTGGGGAAAATAGCAGTGTCCAAGGCGATGACGCCCTTAAGGACGAGCGTAAATGCTTTCTTTTCCATTTCGGTGGGTGTGCCAAAGTGGAAAGTGCGGGTGGTGTCTGTTGTACCATCAAGAAACTGCGCACCGGAGTCGCAAAGGTAGATAGCGTCGGGGTTGATGATTGAGCAGTATCCTTTCTCCGGCTTATAGTGGATAACAGCCGCATTTGGTCCAGTAGAGGAGATCGTATCGAAGGAAAGCCCGACAAATTTCTCATGTTTTGAGCGAATTTGCTCTAATTTATCTGCACCATCTACTTCGTCTAGGGTAGACTTCTTGTTGATCAATTCGTTTTCCAGCCATGCGAAGTACTCAGTCAATGCTGCTCCATCACGAACATGACAATCTCTCATGCCCTTCAACTCAACCTCGTTTTTGATGGCCTTGGCGTCGGAGACAGGACTGCGGGTCTCTTCCGCCTTGCTCTCGCCACCTAAGCTGAGGCTCAGTGCCCACGAAGCCTTGTTAGAGAGGAGGTATTTGGTCGAGACACCGCTATCGCTTGTCGAGGCTTTAGAAGCGAGCGCCTTGGCGTCGGCAAATATGGAGTCGTAAGGCTTGATGGTTACATCTGAACCAAGGTGCGCTTTCACCTCCGGTGTTAGTTTCTCAGCGTCGACGTAGAGCTCTGCTGTATCGGGTGTGATAACCGCATATGAGAAGAATACAGGGTTGTATGGGATGCTTGGAGTGGTGTTAGCTTGAGAGGCATGCCATAAACGGGTTGGGGGCACATACTCGTTTCCTCGTAGATTAAAGAGCCACGCAATCTCATCAAGAACAGCTATAGTTTGACATTAATTAGCGAGGAAAACAAGACAACTGGGCCCACTTACAGATAACGAATGCGGCGTGCTTCTTTGACTGTAACTCCTTTCTGATATCTGCGATCTTTTCTTGGGCGGACTTGCCAGCGTATTTTTCGGGATGCACCTTGACCTTCTCGCTTGGTCGTGGAGGACGTTCCTCTCCCCAGACCTGGTCTACCAAGTTCTGCTCAATGCCCACCAGCTTCGCACCATTTTTCGCCAGCGAGTCAGAAAGCTTCCGTGCACTTGCTAAAGTCACTGTTAGTCAGATATCCAATCGCCACTGACCATGTTCTCTCTCACCAGCAGTGATGACTGTCGGGTCAACGCCCACCACTTTTCCACCGTCTGCTTGCTCCGCAGTCCTGTCACCGGATCAGAAACAGGCCATTCAGGTCATGCACGAATGCCAATTACCATTCTTGCCATGTTGGGACGCCCTCAAGGCCACTCTTCAGGAGGGTCCAGTTGTTATCCAGCTGCTTGGCAGCTTGGTTGAAATAGCGACCGTCGGTGGAAAGGGCGGCGGCGGCAGTCGAGATAACAGCGGTTCCTGCAGAGCCTGTGAAACCCGAGATAAAGGCTGGGTGGAAACAAATGTAAGCGTGAGCTAATGAAGTCGCATGATAGGTTTGTGGCGTTAATTACCTCTGCGCGCATCGCAATGGGCGATATATTCAGACTGGTGGCTGTCTTCAGAGGGTACAACTAGATTCCAAGCTTTTGTTCAGCTGCGGGAGGGACAAGCAGAAAAGACATGAAGCTCGAGGGGAGAGGGAAAAAAAGACGGCATACTGTAGACGTCCAGTTTATGTTGTTTCATCAGCTCTCTCAGCCTCGCAAGGCGACTCGATGTTTCGATTGTTCCCATGTCGGCGGCGTGGCGGATGAAAGAATACGAAAAGAGCCTTCGTGAAGCAGCGGGTTCGGCGCGTGGGAAAAAGCGCAGGGATGGGATGAAGGCCGCAGACTGCAAGCGAGAAGGGACGCGGCAGAAGAGCATGAGGGAGAAGGCGAAGGGCAGGCGGGGGAGTAGGAATCACTGGAGGCAAGATGGTGGGGGTGGATGGTCTCGTGCTTGCAGGCGCGTTGTTCCTAATGCCACCCACTACTCCTGCTAACTACTAGTTACTACGAGGGTTAGGTAGCCAACTCGATAAGATAAGGCCGCACTTTGCGTTCTTCTTGGTTTTGATTTAGTTTATCTATTTAGATGGCACAGCAGAGTAGAGACTGCCACGAAGGTCGGCAACATCGTATTACTGTAGCCTGTCGGTGTTTTATCCCGAATCCTCAATTGATCTCAGCAAACGGCTATCGTCGGATGAGATACGTGCTAGCTACTACTGGTAGGATCCGCCTCACCTTTGTTGTTTGACAAACTAGTTAGCATTTAATATCGATGGAGCCGCAGAATAATAACAATGACAGGCATAGTGTATTGAATTTACGAAGATTAATAGTGTACAGTGTACCGTATTTGATTTGCTATATTAGCGTTATTCTCTGTTGAGGGTAAAAGAAAAAAAAGCTGGCTATGCCCCATGTTATCAATTGATGGACTGATTGACTAGTGTCTTTGTTGGTGCCAGCTCTAATAAACCCAACCTCTCAATTGACCGCATCTTCAATTCCATTCCTCGAATAAAAGATAATCATCACTGCAAGACACTGCGAGCAGCAGAATAAGAGTCGCCCTCACCTTGCCTATTCCCGTTAGCGCCATCAGCCGGGCTGTTGTTTCCAGTTTCACAAGGGCGATCACAGAACAAATTATCTTCCCGAACTATACAATAATCATGGATGCCGCGGGGCAGGCCACGGCCCTAGGCTCTGCACAGGATCCTCAGGCACTCCTGGAACATGCCAAAACAGTTAGTGCTCTTCTTGGTCGCGCAAATATTGTGCCTTGCTTTGCTTTGCCTTGCCTGCCGTGTTAGATGGCCTGACTCGCGTCTAGTTGGTTTCGCAACTATACAATCCGTCAGGAACGACACCAGAACAACTGAAATTCATTCAAGAAAGACTCCAAGAAATCCAACGCCTACCACAAGGATGGCAGGTAGCGGAAGGGCTCTTGGATCACCCAGATTCCAACACAAGATTCTTTGGTGCCTTGACATTTATTGTGAAAATAAACCAGAGCTGGTACGCGCTACCGAAATGGAGAACACCTTGTGCCTGATATTAAACCTCGTCTCAACAGGTCTGACCTACCCGACGGTACGCCACAGCAACTCAAAAACCATCTCATCACTGGTTTCGTTGCCCTCGTGGATGCTCGAGAGAAGTATCATGTTATTCGGAAGCTCGCCGCTGCCCTTGTAGCCCTCTTCTTCAAAGATGCGTCCTGGGCGCATCCGCTCAGGGATCTGGGAGTGGCTTTCAAAACGCGGGCAGTGAATGATTCTTCCAATGTCGATTTTGAAAATACGACCTTGCCTTCATTGAACGAAGCTCAGATTACCGGTTTGCTCTGCTTCTCCACAGCTATAGCGGAGGAAGCCACCAAAGCCAGTAGCCTCGTGCGAGAAAGGTTGGTTATTGTTCTTGATATAACTGATTGCCTTTGCTAACAAACCTAGTGGCGATCATCCTGTGGCAGAGAGTATACAAGATGCTTTCTGTCTGTTTGACTATGTCTTGAAAGTGTTGCTTCAACAGATATCTGCTGGGAACGCCACTGACACAGAGGCAGGTCATGAAGCGCTCCGGTCCTGGCATGTAAGTCAATGCATTTAATTTTCCTCGCTTGTATATCGAGTCTAACATGACAATCTAGGCTTGGCTAGATGTTCGAGCCTCCATCCATTTCCGGACTCCACTTGATCAACGGCACTTGAGTAGTCCTACTAACCGTCTTGTTCAATGCATAGGTATCGCAGAGCTGTCGGAGACCGCAACAGAGATTATTGCTGAGATGCTCAGAAGTGAAAGCAGTCTTCTAACAGATGCCCACCGTCAATATATTCTGGAATATATGAGCGGCAAATCTGCAGCTGAGCTAGTGCAAAGACTAAATGAAGGAGATTATGACAATGAGGCCATGGCTTTTTGGGATCTTCTAGATGCATACACCTCTACTCAGCAGGTAAAACTCGTTAGCGGGACTCTGGGCCCTAGCCATGCCGTGATCCTTTCGTATTTTGATAGGCTCTTTCATGGGCCCGGGTATCCTGGGGTGGATGACAAAATTTCGCCCCTCCTTTTGGACTGGTGGACTGCAACTGCTGATGATTTGCAATATGGTGTAGACAATGGCCTTCAGGAGGCTCGTCTATGCCTTGCCAACTCAGTCCTCAATGTATACAACCGACTAAGATGGCCCATGCCCGGTGAATCCGCACATTGGGACGCAGATGAACGCAGCGAGTTTCACTCCTTCAGACGAGAAACGCAAGATTTTCTTCTGTCTGCATTTCCCACCCTGGGAATTGAGCTAATAGATCTATTTCGACAAAAAGCTGTTGCCGCTCTCAGCACAAGTGACTGGACTGAGCTCGAGACCGCCTGCTTCTGTCTCGCGCAGCTTTCTGAAGCCATTGATGGGGATAATGAGGCGGTCGCACATTTGGACGCCATATTCAATTCCGAGAGGTTTACTGTCCTGTGTATGAATAGCGAACAACTACCTAATAAGCCGCGACAAACTTTGGTGGATATTCTTGGCAAATATCAAATGTTCTTCGAGCAGAAGCCAAACCTCCTTCCTCCGGTTCTCACATTCCTTTTTTCATCATTGAATATCAGTTCGTGCACCAACAGCGCATCTCGATCAATTGGATCTCTCAGCAAATCATGTCGTCATAAACTGGTTGCGGAGCTTCCAGTCTTCCTACGGATATTCAGCGAATTTCAACTAAGCACGATTGCCACTGCTCAAAGCTTGGAACGCGTCGTTGAAGGTATCGCGGCTATCGTCCAGGCTCTGCCATCTGAAGAGACGAAAGTCCCTTACATAGATGAATTGCTTAGGCCTTTTTTTGTTCAATCTGCATCTGCGCGTGATGATGCACAAAGAGGAGATGTTGAATCAGCACATACCCGTGGCCATCTGGCCCTTCGATGTATTGCTGGCATAGGACGGGGGCTACGAAGTGACCAGGACAGCGTCATTGACCTCGAAAGTGAGGAGACAGCATCCTACGACAACACGTTTTGGACAGGGCATGGCATACAGGAAAAACTATGCCAATGCTTACTAGTATACCTCAACGAATTCCCGTTAGATCACGTCATCGTCGAAGACGTGTGTGAAGTGCTCAAAGCTGGATTTACGGAATCAATAGGTCCGTTTGTGTTGAAACCTGCCAACATAGCACTTTTCCTAACGGGTATTCCACTGGGAACTGCGGGAGCTGCCGATGTTATGATGAGCACAGCATCATCTTTCCTAGCCTCATACCAGAAAACCCCAGCAAAGGTCCAAGAAGAAGCCGCTCTCCTATTCATACATGTTTATTGGGCCTTCTCGGTCATGATACACCATCCAGAAAACAATGACCCCGAAGTATCCAACAGCGGTATCGCATTTCTAACTAGATCATTACCAAAATATCACGAAATTCTCTTTGCATTAACGTCCACACCACCTCCGCCCGCATCACATATCGCCACTCTCCTCGATACCCAAACCTATACCCCCATTCTCCAAACAATTCTCAACTTCGTCACAACCGCTCTAGGCGGTAAAGAGCCTTTGCCACTACGGTCCGCCGCGCAGTTCTGGGTCGGTGTTCTCAACCTGTCCAATAGCACCAACACCCACACAAACGCCTCTCGCGCCATTCACGAGTATCTGCCTAATCTCTGTCATGTACTAGTCACCCAAGTGAGCGGCGTGTGCGCGCGGTCAGATATCAACCATCTATGCGAAGTGTTGAAAAAGATTGTCTTCAAATTCCAGGGCGAGGCCCGGCCTCACCTCTCAGCATCCCTAGCATCAATCCCAGGGCCAAATGATCAATCTGCTTCTAACGGCATCGCATTGTCGTTGTCCAAGGAGAAGGAGAGGTTTCTAGCCATGCTGATAGGAGCAAGAGGTGGGTCGGCCACGCAGGAAGTTGTTCGTTCGTATTGGGTGAGTTGTCGCGGTGCAGGGTTCGCTTATACTTGAGAGCGCAGATCGAGGGAGTTGGGTTGATTCATAAATTTGGTTATTGCATCTAGCGAGTGGTGGGCCGTTTTTTTTCCTTTTGCTTTTTAATATTTCTCATTATTGTTCATTTATACTGGCACTATGTGGCATTCGTATGAAATATAGAAAATCAAGACTCGGCTGTTGGTTTGAATGTACATGAGTATAATGGAAAGTCATTCAATTCGTAAAAAATGCACTAACTGCACATGTCTACGCTACTGACCAAATTGCAATGTGTTGAACGTGAACTGCATCCGTGAAAATAGGGCAACTAACCATTTTTTGCCCATTTTTGCCACCTTTTAAACGCCAGAATAGATAAAAGACGAGACAAAGAGTTTAGCATTTCCAGATGTAAAGGATTGCTTGAGAGTGTACAAGAAACGGTAGAATTACCATCCCCGTTTGGCCAGCTTGTCCCGGTCATCCATCTGCGATACGTTGATGCCAACCATGGCTTCACCAAGACCCTGGCTGACTTCAGCAAGGACCTTGGCGTCCTTGTAGTGCGTGACAGCTTGCACAATGGCCTTGGCACGCTTCTGCGCATCTCCCGACTTGAAAATACCAGATCCGACAAAGACGCCATCACAGCCAAGCTGCATCATCAGAGCAGCATCAGCTGGCGTAGCGACGCCACCAGCAGCAAAATTGACGACTGGCAGACGACCCTTCTCGGCAGTTTCGCGGAGCAGTTCGTATGGAACCTCAAGCTCACGAGCATAAGCGCGAAGCTCGATCTCCGGGTCGGATGATCCGAGCAGAATCCCGCGAGCTCGTGAGATCTGGTCATTGACTGTGCGCATGTGCTTGACTGCCTCGACAACGTCACCGGTTCCGGCCTCGCCCTTTGTACGGATCATAGCTGCGCCTTCGGAGATGCGGCGTAGAGCTTCACCTAGGTCGCGGCAGCCGCAGACAAAAGGGACCTTGAAATTGTGCTTCTTCACATGGTATTTATCGTCGGCGGGAGTCAGGACTTCAGACTCGTCGATATAGTCGACACCGATTGACTCGAGGATCTAGGATAACGGGCGGTTAGAGACGGATAGAGGCTTGTGATACAGGAAGTAGGTGGCGAATTTACCTGGCACTCAACAAAGTGTCCAATACGGGCCTTGGCCATCACAGGAATTGTGACAGAAGCCATAATATCCTTGATCATAGTTGGATCAGACATACGGGCAACGCCGCCTTGAACTCGAATGTCAGCAGGAACTCGTTCAAGGGCCATGACGGCGGCAGCGCCTGCCTCTTCAGCAATACGGGCCTAGATATATGACAGCGGCTTAGTGTCTGTCATGTCGAGATTTCAGATGAGTGTAAATTACCTGCTCGGCATTGACAACGTCCATGATCACACCGCCCTTCAACATTTGTGCCAGCCCAGCCTTCACAGTAAAGTCGGCCACACCATTGGCGGCGCCATTGATCTGTTGCTCTGATGCCATTGCGACAACTGTGAAAGAGAAGCGGGGTCGATGGAACGGGAGATTTGAATATTCTTTTTTGCAGACGAAGATTAAAAGGAGAGACAGAGCGAATTTTGAGTGAAGTTCGCAGACAAACGACTCAATAAAAGAATGCGTGAGTCACCCGGCACCCACATTGCGAAACATTTATGAACGGACTGTCGTGAGCTTATTTCGTTTTGGGCGACCACAAGGTTCTCCGACCGACTCGCAAGCTCATTCGTCAAAAGCACCCATGCCATCGATTGCGGTTCCCCTCGGTCAATGATAATAACGATAGCTCAGAGACTGACCCCGCGGTGGAACAACGATAACTTTTTTTCCTCCATTGGCCGGAACAATGGCCTGGTCTCCGAGGAAAACCGTCTAAATGGGACTTCGGGCCAGTCAGCGACCATGGGTCTCCGAGCACCGGCCCCAGTCCGCCGATACAGGCGTGCTATGTTTCTATGGACAATAGAGATTATCGTTGTAATAATAATATCAGGAGGTGTTTTGTAGCACCAGCCCCGTCTACAGGCCAGCCTGCGCAGCCTAAAAGAGGCTAGTGCACGCCCTGCAGTAGCACTTCCCCAACTAGGCTTAGCCAGTCTTTGTCATCGCGGAGGGATGCGATTCGTCAGATGAAAAAGAACTAACCTGTTATAGAATAGCCCCTTGCTAACGTTTGTTGCCTTATTCATAAGGCAGAATAACCCTTTCGCATAGTGACGTCACCTGATTGGTTTACTCTTGACCTCCAAACAAATAACAAGGGGAATGAATGATATGAATACCCACTTGCAATCATCCATTCAGAATCATATCCTTTAATCTGAGAACAAGGAACCTCAGGAGAAAGACCAACAATTCCTCTCAAACATCACCGTTTCAAGACGTATAGTTCAATCAGTAGCGGCTTCAACTCTTACAGAATAGCTACCGGACATGGCAACGCTCTTGCTATCCTATCGCCCATTGTCTTATGCTGCAGCGTTTGGCACAGGAATAGGTCTCTCACTGCTGCATCCTGCCTCCCCATTCCGCTCCGCGCCGCTCCAATGCCAGTACACATCACCATATTACAACCCCCATGCGCCCCAGGAATCGGGGTGGTCTCTGAACAACAGCCCAGCCATTGAAAAGCAAGGACGAACTTCAACAACAACCAGAGGCCATGGCCTACTTAATGCACGGTCAATACGACAAATCAGCTTTGGAAGCGTCTTAGGCTTGGCCACCGGACTGGGATTGAGGGTGTTTTCAAAAGCATTAGTGTTCGTCTTAGGCGTAGGAATTGTGCTTGCTGAGGTATTTCCCTTTTTGCAATGTCACTGCTATGGCATGGCTAATGACTCTAAATCTCTTAGTGGGCCGCATCAAAAGGTTACAACATAATCCCCTTCAAGACAGTGCAGAAATATGCTAGGAAAATCAACCTGCAGCAAGCTACCAGGGAGAATATACCATTCAAAGTCAGCTTCGGCACAACAATGGCCATGGCAGCTTTTGCCAATTTTTCGGATTACAGTTGAGTGATTTAGACCATCAAATACCAGATGACGAGGTGTCTGCCGCTTATATCACATTGCTGTTATTTAGTAGTATACTATAAATATAAAAGTCTATTTTTGTGGGGTATCTTGATTTGGTAGTTGAAGACTTATGTTCTCGTCTGCTAGTACCCTATGCATCTTTGGCATCTTACCTGACATATGCACTCAATATAATGCCCCCTAACGTGCGATTACTCTTTATGGCTATCTATATACATATTTTCAACAACATCACGATATGAAACCCTTTCAACTCAACACCAACTCCTCCAAGACTCCTTCCATATCCTCTCGCGACAAGGGAACGCCAAGCGTCTCTGCCCCCGTTGCATCCATGCGTGATGTAACCATCTGGTGATCATGGAATTCCTTAAGCAAGGTACGGAACATCATCTCGGACGAGGCAATGAACTCTTCCGAAGCTTTTTGATATAGAGCCCTGAACTCGATACCTGTTTCTTCGTTTCGGTTTCCTTTTCGGTGAGCTTCGCCATCATCATTTTCTTCTCCATCACTAGCCCCGTTACCCTCACCAACTTCGAGGGTTAGAAGCTCGGTCAAAAGTAACCGATAGAGATTTCGAGCGTTTTCAGGCAAACTCTTCAGCACGAAGGTCACCCCTTCTCTACCACCGGCACGGCGGCCTTTTCGGCCTAGGAGACTGTGCATTTCATCGACGACGTTAATCTCCGCATGGTACGGTGAGAAGGTAGTGCAGTCATGAAATATAAATTTAAATTGGTCTCGCAGACTAACGTCCCACATGGTTGAGAAATTCGGCGTATCAATTGTTGCCAGAATGTTGATGTTAGGAATAGCAGCCAGGCGAGCAAGATGCGCTTGGTGTACAACGCGCCGAAGAGGAGGTGCGTCGATTGAGTTAATTAATACTGTAACTGGTGTTTCACACGACTGCAATGCTGAATGAAGGAACTCGAGGACTTCTGTTGGCGTCGTACCAAGTTTTGGTGGTACGTCGTTGCCACATACTGAGGCAACTATTGTGTTGAGAATGGCACGCACTGATATGTTTGGTGTATAGCCATTAACTATGATGATTGATTGTGATGTGGATCGTTTATACAACCAGTCTGCGAATTGTAGCACCAATCGTCGTTTTGAGCCATATCCATAGAGGCATATGTTGAAGTCCTCACGAAGTTCAAAATTCCATTGGGGAAAGGACCTTTGATGTATGTCAAGCAGTAACGCCTTTTCTTCCGTGAAGGGATCCTGGTATCGACCAAGCAGCTCGAAATATTCCTCGTGCGTCAATAATGACATCTTATTCAATGTGTTGTTGGATGTGTTCGGTGGTCCCGTTCGGTTTTGAAAAAAGTACCTTTCATGTGGTGGTATCTCTCCTTCAGGGGTTGGCGATCTTTTGTTCTTCGCACCCTTGGGCCGACCAGCTCGACGTTTCGGCGGTTGTTCTGTCGTTGCTTCGGTCTCTCCATCTTTCTCTATCGTCTCCAGCACACCATTGTGATTCTTGGCCCCATTCGTAGTTGCATTACAATCTCCCAAGATCTCCTCTGCTAGTCTATCGGCACCGTCCCATATATCATCATCATCCTGCTCCAGAAGTAACTTAGCACTTTTTCTCTTGGCCGATCGATCAGCATTCTTCGTTCTCGAGGGTGTTGCTGCGCCATTCCTTTTTGGCGTTGCAAACAACGATTTTGCTTTAGACTTGAGTGTAGGTGTCTTCAATCCCGACGGATTGAGAACATCGTTCGTCGGCGCAGTTTTCCTAGGGGTTACTCGAGCGCGTTTCGAAGGCGTGGCATGGCCAGTCACGGCCGCATGTCCATTTGCATTCTCTTGTAGGTATTGAGGCCCAGGCTCTGTCTTTTGTCGCTTCGGAGTGGATGCTCTTGGCCAGTCATCATCATTGTTTGTGGAATCTGCTGCTTTGCGCTTCATACTTCAGTGAGATAATGGTCACAAATTTGTAGGGGAATAAGCATTCGTCGATCACGCTTCACGACACGTCGCGTACCATAGCTAGAAATAAAAATTCACCCAGAAAACCTATTTTCCGAGCATGTAGCCAGTTGCACGAAAGAAGGGCTGACGCAAGCTGCAAGGGAGGAATGATGACTTTAGCCGCTCCTGTCAACAAAATGGGTTGAGCAGCTTACCCTTTTCGGCCTAGGCCGCCGCATTTCCAGGTACGTGCGATATCGCAGCACTGCTATCACTGACTTCCACCGACTGGACGAGAAAAAACACGCAGAGAGCTTTTTTTGAGCTTTTTTCGTCTCGTAAATTGTCACTGAGTGAGTGGGAGGCCAGGACGGCCTATTCTCCAAGAACAGCCCTTGGTCAAACACCCATTCACGGGAATATCAAGAAACCCATTCCATTGTTTGAACCGTGATAGCGGACATAACGGACATCGCCTCATACTCATAGAGTGCAATCTCTGAGCACTCTCCTCTCCTGTGTTCAATTGACTCGATTGAAAAGACATCTTCAGTGTTTTTGTTCTTACAGTGTTAAGTTGCTGGGATTAGTTACTCACTGATTGGTGACTCATTGATCTGTTACCGCGCATCTGATATTTTATAATTGGCACTTTCATCTTCAGTCCCGTCATAAAGACTAGATTAGAATCTGAAAAAATGTTTGCCATTTCGAAAACCAAACCATCGTCATCCCTCGTGATGTCCTATGCAGGAGCTTCCTGGCGAAGCCAAATTCGCCTCTACAATGTTCTCCAGGACACCACCATTCCAGAAGCCAAGAGGAAATATATCCCATCATCTGGAACATATCCTAAGGGATTCCGTGTGTCTGGCACCAATGTTGGAGTAAAACCTTCAAATACGAAATTTCCAGACCTGGCTTTGATATCATCTGACGAGCCATGCAATGCCGCAGCAGTGTTCACCACGAATAAATTCCAGGCCGCACCCGTACAGGTCAGCAAGGCTATGCTTACTAAAAGACAAGGAAAAGACGTGCAGTCAGTTGTCATTAATTCTGGATGTGCCAATGCGGTTACTGGAAAGGGTGGGCTTGAGGATGCGCGCAACATGGGGGGAAAGGTCGATGAGTGTACTGGACGTACTGAGCCAAGCACCATTGTCATGAGCACCGGCGTTATTGGGCAGAGGTATATAATAATGATTCACGATACTACTCTCTTCTCCCCATCTAACATAATCCAGACTTCCTATCACCAAAATTCTCAACAAGATTCCAACCGCCCACTCAAACCTCGCCAACACACACACCGACTGGCTAACAACTGCTCGTGCCATCTGCACAACCGACACATTTCCCAAGCTTATTTCCCAGACATTCACACTTCCATCCTCTCCAGGAATCACCTACAGCCTTGCTGGTATGACAAAAGGTGCCGGAATGATCCATCCCAATATGGCTACCCTCCTCGGCGTTCTATGCACCGACGCACCCATCGACGCCGCAGCAATGAAGGGCCTCTTGCTCCATGCAGTCTCTCGCTCATTCAATTCCATCTCGATAGACGGCGACACGAGCACCAACGACACAGTTGCTTTGCTCGCCAACGGCGCAGCTGGCGGTAACCCCGTACCTGCATCACCCTCCTCACCTGATTATATCGCCATCCAAAATGTTCTCACATCCTTCGCTCAATCACTTTCTCAACTCGTCGTTCGCGACGGTGAGGGCGCAACCAAGTTCGTCACTGTCCGCGTCCAAAACTCACCTTGCTACAACTCCGCCCGTCGGATTGCCTCCACAATCGCCCGATCTCCGCTCGTCAAGACAGCTTTGTATGGGCGTGACGCCAACTGGGGTCGTATCCTATGCGCTATCGGATACACGGAAGGCGTTACTGAGGGAACTGTTGTCCCCGAGCGAACTAGCGTTAGCTTCAAACCTGTAGACAATTCGCCCATTTTGAAATTACTCGTAAACGGCGAACCTGAGGCCGTTGATGAAGAGCGCGCTAGCGCAATTCTGCAGAACGAGGATCTGGAAATTGTTGTCGACCTCGGGGGTGGTGAGAAGAGTGAACTTGGTGGGGAAGAAGCTGTGTATTGGTTCTGTGATTTCAGCCATGAGTATGTCACTATTAACGGTGACTATCGGACGTAATGCCTCAGGAATGACCAACCGAGTGGGTTGACTTGAGGGTTCTATCCTAGATAGCTCTTTTAGAATACTTGATAAAAGTCTTACAACACTAAATTACTTTATTTTTTCACCTTGGCCTTCGCGTCAACTTATATAATGATACAAACACAGATGGACAATATATAAGTAATATACAATTGCGGCATGACACTTTTTTCTTCGCATCTCTTGAGGTACTTCAACAAATTCTATGCTTTTGCATAGAGATGGATTGTTTAGCATTCCCAACACCGATCGATAAAATGAAGCCACAACAGTAGAAAACCCGCCAATCTGAAGTGTAGTAGAAGAATCAAGTTTATAAAGAACAAATGCAACCTATTTTCCCATGAAAATTCATTAATAAACAAGGGTGGTTGTAGTCATGTCACTGCTTAGTTGCCAGGGACAAGTCCCTTGAGACCCTGACCGAAGTCACCCTCTCGGGCAGCAATTTCGAAGTACCCATAAATAATACTAAACACATTTATTAGTAAGAATTCAACATTAGCACTATAAGAATGACTCACGTGACGGCAAGCAAAATACCGGTACCGCTGCCTAGGGCCCCGAGAAGGTCCGAAGCAACTGACAATGCACCAATGCAGGCACCACCAAAGGCGGCGGCGGTAGGGATAACACGCTTGAGTTCTCGGTACATGCTCTGGTCACGGTGACCAGCCATGACGAGACCCTGGTCCTTGAGCTGCTTGGCAACGTCACGGGGCGCAGAACCGGACACTTCGATCCAGGTCTTAGAGAAGAGGGCGCAAGCAACCAACATGAAAGCCACATAAATAGCAGTGTGCACAGGGTCCAGGAGAGCCTCCTTGAAGTTGAGAGGAGGAGACATATAGTAAGCAATACCAGAGGCAGCGTAAAGTTGAGCTGATCCCTCACGAGGCTCCCAGACACCAATGAGACGGACCAGCAGGTTATCAGAGAAACGAGAGTACAGCATCTGGCTGATCAGGAAAACGTTTGAGCAGAGAGCTGACTGGAGCATAATGGGCATGTTGGAGGTGTAGAACAGGCGGATGGGGTAGGAACCACGCATGCCACGCTGACGGGACGACTTGACAGGAATCTCAACACGGAAACCCTGGAGGTAGATGACAGCGGCGAAAACAAGGAGGGTAGCCAAGAGGTTCATGACGTTGGGAAGATTCTGGCGGTAGAAAGCCTCCTGCAAAGCACGCTGCTTGTCGGGCCAGGTCAAGAGCAGGTGGAAAAGAGCAATAATAGCACCCTCAAACTCAGGGCCACGACCAGTGTTGATGGTGGTGGGAGAGAAGGCCTTCCAGACGATGGACTCGCAGATGTTGGTGGCAATGAAGAGAGAAATACCGCTTCCAAGACCGTAACCTTTTTGGAGCAATTCGTCGAGTAGAATAACAACCAAGCCAGCTACGACCAACTGCACTATCAAAAGAACACAGATGCCGGCGCCGAGATCGCTAGGCTGACCATAGAGACCGGTGAGCACGTATACACAAGCTTGGCCGAAGGACAGGATAATGGCGAAAAGCTTCTGGGCAGTTTGATACAATTCACGATCGGTCTTGAGGTCGAGGTTGACGTCGATCAAGTGGGTTCCGGCAAGAAGCTGGTGGCAAGACGACCGGGTCAGTTTGCAGGTCATAACATGCGGCAACAAGAAGAAGAAGATCAAATACCTGGAAAACCATGCCTGAAGAAATAATAGGGGTGATACCCAGCTCCATCAACGTACCACGGTTACTGGCCAACATCATACGCAGCCAGTAAAGGGGATCGGAGGTATCTGAAGACACAATACCATACAAAGGCATTTGGCTCATGACCAAGAAGATCAACAGGGTCAACTAGATATTAATTGTCAGCAATCAGTCATCCTCGCGCCAACAATGGAAATGAAGAATCTCTCGTACCCCAGTCCACATGAGCTTCTGGTTGAATGGCACCTTGGTCTCAGGCGCAGCCACCTCCGGGAGGAGGGGCGTAAAGGGCTTAATCAAGTCAAGAAAGCGTACTATGACGGGTCAGTCAGCGCACAAAGAATTGAGTGCTGGAGATGCGCGACCAAGTTGATCGCGTGCGGACACGGTGGAACTTACACCCGCTCATGATGACACTACTCAATGCAATCAATGAAAGAAAATAGTAAAACAAAAGGCCAGTATCTCAATCCCAACTGCAGGACTGATACCGGTGGAAAGCAAGAAAAAAAGGGTGGAAGGGAGGGAGTGTGTGAAGAGAGGGAACGATGAGGTGGCCGTCTGGGGAAGAAGAGCAGAGTCAATCAGGGAGGAATGAATCAATCGCCAAAGTGAAAGTGTGCTTGCTGGCCAGTTCGCCCGCGATCTGCGCTAAACCGCCTCGGGCGTGGTGTAGGTGCAGGCGGCAGCCAATCAACGGCGGCCCTCAAGAAGACACATCGCCGTCTGTATACAGGCCAGCGAATGTCAACGAAAGGCACAGAGCCTGATGGAAGGTCGGTTTGATGCTCTTGAGTGTGTATTATTTCTATTATATATCTAACACCTGTCATAATTTCATTAGAAGCAGTGGCAAGTCGTGACAGCCATGCGAAGAGAGCGGATATTCCGCACAAGACAGGATGGTGGTAACATTGAAGATAATTAAAAGTAGCCAATAGAAAGCTTCATTTGAGACAAATGTGCCGAAATTTCATTTTGGCAAGGATTTGATTAAATCGCCCACAGCCGAAGCCAAGAACTCAGAGAGTATGAAGAAGTATACGGTTTCAAAGTAACCTGGTTCACACACTAACGGCATTCGTGACATTTGAATTTCATGCATTGGTCTGCGCGTTGACGTCTCCAACGCGGTTTTAGACCAGTCTCACCCCGGTAGTTCCATTAATCGCTTGTGAATGAGATACTGGTTGCTCTGGGGAGTCCTCATCTGTTTCCCCCTCGTCGTGAGACGCAGTCGATTTTTGTTTATCGTGCTGCTCTTGGTCAAGCTCATCTTCTGTGTTTGACTTCCCCAGAAATTGCGAAGTCAGGTCTGAGCTGAACCTGGTAAGCTGCTCAGTATCGGCAGTTCGAAACCATTTCACAATATAATACACGCCCCAGCCCCAGAGCCACACTCCAACTGCCGTAAAAGTAGTAATAAATAGAGTCGGGAGGAGGACCAGTAGTCCAAATCCTACACAGAAAACAGTGAATAACAATGCACCGAGGACCCCGATAACCAGAGCAGCAACCAGACTTAAGGCGAGTACGCTAATCGTGAGGACGACAAATAGCACAAGTGGAATGCCAGAAAACACAGCCTGTGCTAGTAGCAGAGTAGCTAGCACAGGATGAGATACAGCGAAAGCGACAAGCTGCTGCTTTAAGTTCTCCCGTCGTTCTGGGGGCAATATATTGTTCACAGCAGTTTTGACCCTGTTCGTAAGCGAAAAGATGGTGTTTGCCAGCGTCGATTTAACCGCCGAGACAGGCTCAGCTTGCGTGGCCGATGTAGCCATTTTGCAATCTTGTTGAGGTTGATAACTATGGGTGTTGGCGTCTGTGGCTGGGTTATCAGGACTGATCGGGCACTGAGGAACGCGGGCGCTCAAGGATAGGACAAAAAGATGGGGGGGAAAATCCCAAAAAAAAACAATTGCTAACGATGATTATACCAATTTTTGGTTGAAAATTAAAGCAGTAATTGAATTTTACAAGAAGAACAATCATGGCAATACTTGACAGCCGATCAATGAGGTAGGTATCAAGTAAACATGGAGCGACACAACATATGATGGTGTGCCACCTTTGGCAGCCGTAGGTGGATGACGTCAAATAGTCAAAGTAAACATCCCAACATTCATTCAGACAAACTCCGAAATCTCGATCTGGAATTGTTGAATTTTCTATCAAACTCTGCATTGAATTATTGGCTGGCTCATAAATGTAATTAACAATAGACATGCAGGATGCATCCAAAAATAACCTCAATATTCGAAGCACAAACCACTTCGCCTGCCAGAAATTCGCGCCGCGCCATGCTAATCATTAATGCTAATCGTAAATCTAGTGCTGGTGGCCCCAAGAAACCCATCGTCGAACACACTCATCAACTAGCCCCAAGGCGTCCTTGGTGGCCTCGAATTCAAACCATTCTCTGTGCTCTTTACCACATTCAGTGCAACGGCCTTGGCCTCGCACTCGCTGGTCTGCTAGCTCGATATGAATCAACCTTTCTATCCGATGAACATGAGGAACGCGTCGACCGTGCTCTGCGGAGTGGCTGCTGCCGGGAGTTCCAGCTGGAGAAGGAGATGATGAAGAAACAGCGTGCGGGTAATAGCGAATGAGTGTCAAATCATGAGAGCATTGCTTGGACCATTCATTTAAGCGACGGTGTACATTGCTTGTGCGGCCGATTTTAAGACGAATGGTACCCGGCTGCGAGTTACTTCCCCTCCAGCGTGGATTAACGCTTTGTGCCGCACGCAGCGCATCACTCGTTCTTCGGCCATGCATCCTTCGATCTGGAGGAGGCAAAAGATTAGATGCGATATCTCGTGATTGTCGCTGCCCTACAGCATTGGAGCTCTGTGGGGTGACCCAAAAAATGTAAATGTAGCCATCTTCATCGGCATCCGAGATGGGTTTTGCGAGCTCCGTTAGCAGTAGTGCCGCTGTTTGTGGATTTAGGTGAGATGGTATCAGGGAGAATAGTGGTTGAAGGTGTGGTGAAGGCGATAAGGGAGTACCTGGAAGTGACGGCCGTGTAGGTGTACTACTATTTCCAGACTTGGTCGGGGTTTGATAAGGGGATAAAGAATGCCGGGATGATGGCTGTGAAGATGAACTGGGCCATCTTTCTGAAGAACTTGGAATAGGGCGCTGTTGAACTATATATGACCCTGCTGAATCAGTACCTCTAATGAAAACAGGTCGTTGCGGGGTCATGGGTGGACGAGGAACAGTCGACAGTTTTTCTCGCCCACTATTCCTTGATGCTGGAACCTGTCGCGAGGGTGGCAGACTCTCCGATGTATCCATGACCCGAAAACAACATATAGAAGCCTCCTTCTGACGGGCTGGGGTCGTAGTATGACGGTTGCCTTTTTCGTAACGATTTTCCTGTGGTTTGGGACAGGGCTGAATGTGCGTTCGTTGATTTTGTTGATCTTCACCGACATTGAGGATACCCATTCGCTCTACCAAAGCGTCAATGCTAGTTCTTTCTGATATAGGAACGATATCTGCCTGTCGCTTTCTGGGTAAACTGCTGGTGGAATGGGGGGCTTGGTTCTTGTGTTGCCAGCAATAAAATGCAGCTGTATCGGGCTGTTTAGTACCCCCACTCTTGACCATGGCAACAACTCCTCCAGAGGAAGCAGATCGAGCCGATACTGCCAGGGAACGGCGACATGGTTTGCCGTTGACAGTAATACCCCGGCATGTTGAGGCGGGATTCCGCGAGTCTGATCGAGGAAGTATCGATTCTGGCGTGTTGGTGAAATGTGGCATAGCAGATGATCGCTCGTTTTCCAGACCGCAAGCCGCCTAGAAATTTGGCAGATGCTCAGTATTTTGTTGACAATATCAGATATAGCACTTCCAAAACTTCGCTCAAGATGCATGCATGTTAAGGATATACACACTTGAATGACTTGAATGGCGGCACCATGCCCAAGTAACGCGGATGAAAGACCTCGAGCAAAGACAAAAGGCAGAGGTCCGAGACACGTCTTGAGATATACTTTAGTGTGTAATCGTGATACTTCCTTGAGGCGAGACGTGAGGCTGTTGCGAGCTGCCTGGCTATTGGGCACACGAGTCTCACCGCCACAGGGCAAAGTCTCTCGAGAATGTGGCTGTACCTGGCGATGCAATATCATCCCTCCAGCTAGGTGGCGGATTACTTCGCGGGTGACGCATCGCTATAGTTTGAATAAGATAAAAACAACAAAGCAAGCAATCAATAATATTAATTAATAAGTATACACAACACACTCTACTCCTTCCAGAGGACTAAATTGCGCTGGTCCTAATTCGTAGCCAGCCCCCACCTGGCCGCGAGCTATCCGCATTGGCCTTGTCAGGCCGTCAACCGTCATCAAAATTCAACCTTCCTCGTCGCAATGGCTATGCCTCGCAATTTAGAGGGCCTCTCCAATCCCTTGGCTACACCTGCTCAACTGACCAGCTCATCCTCGTCCCTAGACGGCATTCCCACCGACCTTGAAACCTCGGTTCGCTTCGCTGGGGCTCTTTTAACGCAAGCAGCTGGCGTGCTTTTGCGACTGCCTCAAGATGTGATTGCCCAAGCTATTGTGACATTCACTCGGTTTTGGATAGGGCCTGATGGTGGCAGTCTGGCTGTGCATTCGGTGAAAGTAAGTATTCTACGAAATACTCAACCCTGCGAACCATCTGTCGTTCATCCAAGCAATCAAGGCTAAACTCGCGTCTAGGATGTATCCGCAGCTTCGATTTACTTGACAGCCAAGCTATCCTTTCACCCCACGTCGCCTCGCTCAGTGCTCAATGTTTACACCTACCTATTGTCCAAGGAGGCCTCTCCGTTGTGGTTTGTCAATGCGTCTGTGCCGAAAGACAAGCCAAGAGCGGAAACATACTATCTCTCGGAAGGCAGCTACCAAGCTCAACGGCTATCGCTTCTGAAAATGGAAACCGTCATACTTCGAACCCTCGGATTCAATACGCATGTGGTCATTCCACACACAATTGCCCTTACATATCTACAAACCATGAATACGGCATCAAACAACCTTGCTCAACGAGTCTTTGAACATCTAAACGCGTCGCTTCTTTCTCCCCAGCTTCTATATGCAACACATCAGCCAAATGCATTAGCTGTGGCTGCGATCTATCTTGCTGCTCGAGAAGTTGGTGTGAAACTTGCAGAAGAAGAGTGGTGGGAAGTTTTTGATGTTGATCGCGAGGAATTGGGCTTTCTGGTGGTTGCCATGAACAGCATGGAAGGATTTTCGAAATCTGAAAAAGAAGCTTGGGCTGATACTCCAATACCGTTAGCCGTCAAAGATGTGGAAGCGGAGTTGGCAAAACGGCAGAAAGCTCAGGATGGGGAATGAACAAGATATTGATTTTGTTGATCAAATAATGCTACCGCACTTTCCCCTTCGCCTTTCCCGCTCCGCCCATGTCGCCATAGGGAAACCTGGCAGGTATCCCAGTGTGATCAAAACGTGCCAGATTGGCGCTCGTTTGAGACTGGTTAAGAGTGCCAATATCACCTAGGTTCATTCAAACTTTGGTGGCATCGAATATTGTGATTCTTAAATAACGCAACGGCGTTGGTTCTTGTCCGCGAACAGAGTATAAAAGACCTTGACTACTTCTGTGGTATAACAAGAATGTACTCTCGGTTTCTGCGTTTATTGCCAGAGAGATTTGGATATAGGCGCTCTTCATGACACCTTAATAGTTCATTGACTATACCGACAATCTCTATTAATGGGAGCTCATACGGAGTGGAATATCATTCTATCTTAAAAAACCCAAGAACCCTTTCCATTGATTTTTATTGAAGATTGTCATGAGGAATATCTGGCAATACGCCTACCGAAATCAACAGACTTGGTCAGCCTTGTGAAGCCTCACTCGCACCTGCTTAGCTGTGCTCGTAAGCGTGGATTGATTGATGACCGGTTCCTTAGGATCAACAGCAACCAGCTCATCGAACATTTGCACCAGCCGCGTAATCACATATCCAGCCTCCGTCAGGGCAAACTGCTGTCCAAGACAAATACGAGGGCCTCCATTAAATGGCAAATACTCCCATCCATATCTGTGCGATGCCCACCGGTCTGGAATATATTCGTCCGCATCCGGGCCCCAGATGTCTTTCCGACGCTGCATCCCATATACACTGTAATTGACGCGCTCGCCCTTTTTAATATAGACTGGAGCGGTGCCATTCAACCCACCGCCAACAGGTAAACAAGTGTCAGTAGTGGCAGTGCGCCCGTTCACGGGTACCTGTGGATAGAGTCTCAGAGTTTCCTGCATGACATATTGAAGATATGTGCATGCCTTGAGACGCGAAAATGTGATATCCTGCGGTGAATCATATTGTCCGAATGTCTCGATGACAGTGGCTCGCAACCTTTGGTATACCTTTGGGTGACGTGCTAAAAGGAAGAAAACCCATGATAGTAGTCCTGCAGTCGTGTCGCGACCAGCAAGCAGCATATGTAAAAGCTGGGAGCGGAGTTCAATAGGATCTCTGGTTTGTTTGATCAACTCGTGCAAGAAGACATATTTACGATCTTTTTCTTCGCCGCCACCGGCTTCCTCCTTCTCCAGCATGTCGTCCATGGCTGTCCGTTTTAGAGCTTCCTGTACAAAATAGTCCGCAAATTGGCGAATTTGGTGACTATTTTCTCTGAAATCACTAGGATTATGCAACCAATACAATGGCCCAAGACGGGCTCTCGTTCCCAAATGTCTTGTACCACTGTCAAAATGGTCGGCTAAGGAGCGCCAGCCGTAGTTCTCATGTGTTTCCTTCAATGGTCTGTCTGACAGAGCCTCGATTTGTGAGCCCACTGATTGGCCGAAGAAAAATTCTGTGGCAGAATCGATAGTTAGCCTAAAAAATAAGGGCCTCAAGTCAATGGAATCAATCCAGCCTGATTCTTTGTCTGGTCGAATGTGCAGCAGCATTTCTTGAAAATGCCTTTCCTCCAATTCGAGGTCTGCAATCTGCTGTCTCGTAAATTGCGGTCTCATCATGGCTCTCGAGTGTTCCCTAGTTTATTTTGCGATTAGTACAACTAAGCACATAACAACGCTTCAAGGAAATGTGAAGGAAACATACCAATACGTCCCATTAGCAGAGAATATGCCTCTGCCGAACATGGGTTTGACGACACCCTCTCTTTCCGGTGGCAACTCAAACTGGGAGAACTGGGTTGCAAGAATCGCTTGCACATTTCTTGGTTCCGTAGTCCAGAAATGTTTATGTCGTTGAGGGAGCCAAACTTGAAAGGTATTGCATTGTTCCTCTTCAAAGAAGGACGAAACCTCTTCGCACAGTCTGTCTTGGTTACTAGCTTTCGCCAGGCGACGAACGAAGTCAATTCCCCAGGGTAGTCGGGTGGCTTTGGTACGCGGCTTTTGGCAATTTAGACGGCGTGCGTTGGTGAAATGACGGTAGTAATCGTATAAAGGACGCAACAGGAGGATGTAACATGCAAGAGCACTTAGAATAAAGGGCAGCATATTGGTAGATCGCGAATATTAATTATCAACTCGAAGTGTAGAAATATGATTGGTAGACTGGAGTTTTCAATAAATGCAACACCTAGGAGTCTAGACCCTAGATATCAACTGATGAGGGCAATACGTATATAGATATATATATATACCTGGTAATGCACATGTAGGGTATTCGTAATCTAACTAGTGATAATAGTTCCGATTTCAGAAACCCCGTAGTAGGTCAGTCAATGTGCCAGCAGATGATCGACACCTCAAAGTGGCATGATTTGCTGATCTTTCCCCTGCTAGGTATGAAGATTGCTGCAGCGCTTCAGGACTGCCGCTTGATTTAATTTATGCCGTGACATTTCAGTATAGTAGCAATTATCCCTCTTTTTCGGAATAATCGGCCCATAGATCCCCCCGCTTCTCACAGTTAGTGTTGCGCCGTTTCGATAGTTAATATTGATTACATATGTGGTGAGAAACTGATTTCGAGTAGAAGTCGACTCAGACTGTCTAGATTTTCTACCCCGAGAAGTTGGATTCATGAAAATGATTTGGAAATTAGTGGTTTCCATGATGAATGGTAACTGTAGAACTCTTTGATCGGATCGTGACGGCAGAGAATTCGGGATATGGGAGGGGTCGTCAAGTTATGAACTGCGTATTGATCATATTAACATACAGGGGTGACATACGCATGACCAAAGGACAATTGGATGGGAGCCAACAATGCTGGTCTGCACCTTTAGGGTGGTGGAGAGTGTTATCAGAAGCAAAAGAAGAACGAGAACATGCACGATTATTACGCACGTTGCAGAGGAGGGGTTGACGAAGCTGCCACTTTCATCCTAGTACATGGGGAGGCAATTTATCATCAATTTGTTGTTGAGTGGCGATACATCCACACACGTCACTACGTGAGGAAAAGAGGCCGGGCTCTTTTCCTGTCCTAAAGCATAGGTAATTATCAGGTATCGCGAAAGCAGAGCCCGAGGAGGTTCCCAGGGAGAATACATCAAGTTCTATGCTCTAGCCAATAGGAATCCCCTAGTATCTGTTCTTCTATTGATAAGTATCTTCCATCCAAGCCAATTATAATGGTTACTTACAAGCTCATGCTCAAGTTCATAGCAAGATGAAACAGCAGAGAACATCGTCACGTTGAGGGAGAACAGCAGCAAACAGGACTGACCTGTTGACGTGACTGGCTCCATGGCATGTGATTTCCGAATCTGGGATAGTGGCATCCGCGATACGGTTATCTGCTCATTTCCCCGCCCTGGCACAGCTCATACGGCGAGCGGTGTGATCCAAGTCACATTACTAGGCTCTCTTCATCTCTATCTTTTACTAGCCACCCTGCCTTATATCATCGTTACCTATACAGCACCCCGATACCTTGATTTGAGCCTTCAGTCCATACCAGTTCAGACATTGCAACGTTACCCCGCACTGCAAGCCGCCGATATATTAAGAAACCAACTAAAGATGTCGAAGAACATCATCCATCAGACGTGGTCAACGTGGCGAGACTGGATAACCCCAGTATCTCACACCTCCACATTTCGAGAGACCGGCAAGATCACACCAGAAGAATTTGTCCTAGCCGGCGACTATCTGGTCTTCAAGTTCCCATCGTGGCAATGGTCAGACGCATCAACACCAGCCCAGCGAGTACCGTATCTTCCAGAGGGTAAGCAATACTTAGTAACAAGAGGTGTACCCTGTCATCGCCGATTAAACGAGAATTTCGCGGGGGATTTGCAGGATGACGTGATCATTCAAGATATGCTCCGTGCAGGTGCTTCGGGGAGTGGTGATGGTGATGATGATGGATGGTTGCAGACGGGCGGTAAACGCGAGTATGCCGATACACAGGAGGCGAAGAGGAAAGATGTCCGGACAGTTGATGAGGCGGGAAATGTGGGCGACCAGGTCGAGGATGACGATGAGATTCCTGATATGGAGGATGACGATGACGATGAAGAAGCCATCATTCGCGATCCCGCTGGAGGAAAGTCTGGCACGACAGCGTGAGTATATTTTCTACATTATTGTGAACCCGGAGTGTCAGCTGAGCAGCGTTTTCTATACAGCCCCCTTCGAACTTATAATTTGTACATTACCTACGCCAACTATTATCGTACGCCACGGCTATATCTATCAGGCTATCTGTCGCCTTCAGAGCCGCTACCACCACACCTAATGATGGAGGATATTGTTGGTGATTATAAAGACAAAACGGTTACATTGGAAGATTTTCCATGGTTTGACACTAGCGTGCCTATGGCAACAGTGCACCCTTGCCAGCATGCATCCGTCATGAAAATCCTTCTCGATCGCGCCGACGCAGCTCTAAAAATCCGGCGCCAGAAACTACGAAATGTGCGGTCTGCCGAAGAAGCCTCCAACATCAAGGTGGATAGTGGACTTGAGGGCTTAGTTGACGATACCGCCAAACTTTCACTCGCCGAGCGACAGCGTAATGCACATGCTGCGGGTGTTGCTGCTGCAGGTGGGAATACTGGAGATGAGTGGGAGGTGTTGCAGCATGAGGAGAACCAGTCTGAAGAAGATGAGCTTCAGTCGGCGATCCGTGTTGACCAGTATCTGATTGTGTTTCTCAAGTTTATAGCGAGCGTTACTCCGGGTATAGAACATGACTTTACGATGGGGGTATAGCGCTTTATTTCGCTTCTTATGCTGGTCTTTCTTCTGTTTTGCTCTTTTTGGAAGCGTTTCTGTTCTTACAGACACTTAATGCATTAAACTTGGATTTTCCGTCTTACTACTCGATTCGGGATCTGCTAGAATGTGATATGATTTCAGATCTTAGGCTTCAGGAATATCAACCTTATACTACATTGGAATTTAACTAAGTTCCACATTGACATTCATAACATACATTGTATATATCCAACATTAGAATGGTTCGAAAACATGGACAGGCTGGTTGCGTTTTAAATACTCTTGTATTCTATGAAAGATATTTTAGATACATATGACCTTGAAAGAAAGTAAGTGGGCTGAAGCATTTGTATCCTCCAGAAAGAAGGTTGTCAATAGGAAACTCAGAAGAAACCGGAACATGTACATCATATTCCAAAAACAAATCACAAACACTTTACACCCTATGGCAGTGATTTGATCGCCAGAAGCAAAAAGTCAAGGTAAGAAGGTGGACTTTTTAACTTAACGGATTCACTCGTCCTGACCAGGGAACTGAGGAGTCTTTTGCTGCTGGTGCCCAGATCCAGAGGGAGAAGGCTTAGGTCCACCAGTGAGGATTCCCAATATGGCATCGAGCTGTTCAGGGCTAAGCTGGGAGGCGCTGGATGGGAGCTCGCTATCCTGGCCTCCTTGAGGGGAAGCAGAGCTAGAAGGCGCGGTGCCGGCGCCCAATGGAGATGGGGTTTGATTGGGGAGAGACTCGGCCTCGGCTGGTGCTGAGCCGGCGGCGCCAGTGATGGGATCGACAGGACTGTTGCGGCCACCGAGGAATTTACCAACGCCAGAACCCGAACCAGAGTCAGATCCAGAGTCATTATTGTCCGAGGATTGCTTGGGGGTTTGTTGGGCAGTCTCGGCGTCAGGGTTACTGGACTGGGAGGCGAAAGAACTCTGGCTTCCGGATTGTTGCCCGTTGACAAGCTCGCTGGTCTATTTCGATGTTTGTCAGGCTGGTAGGGAATGGAAAATGGAATAGGGATACTCACACCATCCATTGCCTTCTTCAATGCCTCTCCGACTTCTTCAACAAGACCACGCTTGCGGAGCTAAAAGAATTCAATTAATAAGACTCCTATATCCTTGGCAACATGAAGTGGAGCTTACACCACCGAGAATATCCTTAAGAATCTTCTCAACCTTGTCAAGGATACCCTCATTCCCAGATTTCTGGCCCTGAGAGCCCATTGCACTGGAGCCCTGAGGAGTGGCCTGAGAACTAGCCTGGGGCTGGGCACCCTCTTCTCTGACAGCGAGCAAAGCAGTTGTTGGGTCTGTGGAAGTCGCAACAGGAGCAGCCATGATAGCCGCAGGGCCACAGGCGAGGGCAAGAGCAATGATAGCAGAGCACTTCATTTTCTTTTCAAAACAGACAAACCTTCAATAAAGCAAATAAAACAGTTCGTTAAAAGTAAAGAGTGACTGTGAGTTGGATGAGGACGAAGCGCTAAGTGATTGAATGCAATGTTGATGAGAAAAAAGTCATGTTGAGAAGGGGAAATTCAGGTCCTTTTATGTCGACAAGACCCTAGCAGAATCAATATATGACTGCATATTGGCAGTTCTCAAAAGGAAATTGTTTATTAGGAACTTGGATGATTTGCCAAGGGGAAAAGAGCAATTCCACCCGGCATCAATCGATGCGCGACTAATATCACACGCAAATGTAGTGCTATTGCAGCAACGTAATTATAGGCGACATGCAAGGTACCAATATGGATAGAGACGATCGTGATTTCTAATGCTTGGACACAAAACTTTCGTCCATCCCCTTCGCAGAAGAATTAAACAAGCTTGGCCAAGAGCGCCACAATGCGTGATGCATTAGATGAAGCAGAAGCAAGCTCCCAGCGTCAACCCTGTCATTCAATAGCGTGTCGATCTATGGTATGATGTTACTGTGATAGTAAACCATAACATGAGGTTGGGCTAGGGTTGATCTGTGACGTCGAGAGTGGATGTAAGGGGCAAACGGATAGTAGGGAACAGCCATGCAGGGGGAAGACATATCAGGCACCAAATAGCGAAAATTGAGTGAGACCGATGATGCACCAGCTTATTAGGTGGTAAGGGTGAGGAAATAAATGATTCTATCAGATCATATTTACTGTCTTCGCTGTGCCTGCAGACAGACCGCTAAGATGGCGGGTTAATCGAAGGCCAAAAATGTTCTACCACCATTCAAACGGCTCACCAAATCATAATTATGGTCCAAGGCACGCCCACAGGATATATGAAACACATCAACTACATACGTACATTCATGCACCTGCATCGAAACCAGCTGCTTTTATATCAAAAATTAAAAATGAGGTGGGCCAACTCTTCCCGCCCGGGTATACATCCAGATATGCTATCGTTATCATTGCGACCATCATTATACCAGACCAAAAGATCAAATCAAATCCACACTAAATGGACAAAAATTTCAAACTTGAACTAAGCCTTCATTTGGCCAAATACAGTGCCAAAGTTAGTTGAGGCTTTGAGTCTCAGCTCCGGGTCCGGCTCTTCGGGAGCTTTATTGTCGTCTTCCGTTTCTTCGTCGATTGAGGGACCGGATAGTGCTTTCTTGGCCTCGCTCAGGAGCTTCTTATCGAGCTCTGACAGAAAACTGCTATCTGCCTCTGCCTCGTTTCGTAATGAAAGGGGCCCCTTCAAGGCGGGGTCATTATCAATTGTTGGAAAATAAGAGTCTCCACTTTCGACTGGTTGTTTTGTCACTACTGGCGCTAGGGGAGCCTCTTCTTCTGCTATTTCACTTGGAGATTGGGTACTGGTCTCTGTTTCCGTGCCAATAATTGCCATCGGCGTGTGTCCTGCGTTCCGTGTCAGATTTGCGTCTGGGGGACCAATATTAGCAAGTTTGATCTTGAGCGGCAATTTCCTATCTGTCGGTTGTTTCGAGAAATCTGTCTCGGTCTTGGGAGGAGACGATGTGGGAGAGAGGGAGGTCGGAGGTGTCATGACCTTCGCGACGACGTCTGGAGGAAGTGCAGTCGACTTGAGAGTGATGCCATCTAGCCGACTGTCAACTCTCTCTATTGGCACCGGTATACTGGCCTCTGCTGGACGATCGAAGAATTGCGGTGACAGAGCGGCGTCGAGAGACGAGCGAAAGCCAAATCCATTTGCTTCGGTCGGGGGAATGTATAAATTAGATCTGCCACTATCGTCAGGGAACACCCGTGTTGGCCGTCTTGATCCTGGTATGGGACCTTCCCAGATATGGTGTTGACTGTCAGCGGGGCCATTCGGCTGCCACAAGCCGACGCTCAATGAGGGCTTTTTGAAACTCAGTGAGGGTGTTTTGAAAGTGAAGTCGGGTTGAAAAAAATTGGCTCCGAGTGTTGCATTGACGGCCAATTCCAATTCGGCGATTCTCGACCTCAAGACTGCCCGCTCTGTGTCCCATAGCTTCCGTTCCTGTGCGAAAATGGCTCTTTCACGCTCAAAGGTGAGCCGTTGACTCTCCAGTAGCGATCGCGACTGTTCCATGTAGGCAGCATATTCTGTAGATGTCTTTTTAGTTGCACGGGCAGCCTGGTGCGCCGGGTCCAACAGCGGGTTACTCGAAGCGACCGATCGCGCGCGACGTATGGGGACAAGCGGCTGGGAGAAGCGGACTTCTTTGTACGAAGCAACGGGGCCATACGGCCGGTTGACAGGTGATGCCGAGGACTTCATGGCTGGAATGTCGGGGATATGCGAGGGCGCTGTTTGCAACGTTTGCGGTCGTCCCCGCGCGGAGTTTTGTTCTAGATCGATTTTTTTTAGAAGAATAATAATTGTCAGAGTAGGAATAGCGATATCAGAATTGACTGAATAGATAGTCCGGACCCCGAACCGACGGGTGGGTTTATCGCGAGGGATTTGATTCGTGTGATTGCGGCGGTTACTGCACCTGAAATGATGATGCTGGCACACGACCCTCGGTAATGACACCAACCGTCGAGACTCAATAAAATGTAAAGAATGGTGGCGATGATGTTAGCAGTGGCTTGTGTCAACGTGCACAGGCGGAGGTGTGATCTTAGGCAAAGGCCGAAAGAACGAGCGAGGACGAGACCCGCTTGTTGGATAATATGACTATGTTATCGTGCCTGACGGTTGACCGCTGTCCATTCTCAACCTGACAGCTGTATGCTGCAGTCTGCGAGTCGAGACTGACCAGCGAATGCGAGGCGTCTAAAATGACAGTGGATGAGCACGGTGACTCACTTTTCACAACACATGCACACCACACTCAGCGGAGGGCGATGACTGTATGATAATGTAGACTTGGGAGGCGGCCGACGACAATATAAGCATTCCGTCTCCGTGCGGGGAAACGTGACCAGCCCGTTCCTGGAACTATCTCGACTAATATTGCCCAGTGTCTAGTGTCAAGTCAACCGAGCGAGTTTGGTGCCCTGATGGCAGATGGGAGTGCGCTGTTCCCGGAGCTATCGACGTCATGGCTACGATCACCGTGCCTCTTGGTTCTGCGTCGGCTGATCTTCGGCATCTGATTACCTACGCCTACTACTGTCCTCAGTACTACAAGTGTAACAGACAGCCCTACATGTATTGACACTTATCTCGATGCTGCCATTCATCTGCAAAAAAATTATTATTAAATAGCTATCTTTCCCGGCGACAGAATATCAATGTCCTGTACCTAGGCCGACACTTGCGTTCTAGATCGATCACATGCTAGCGGGCATTCCGCCTACACATTTATTAATACAACTTGATGAATATCAACATTAATATTATTATAATAGGTGAAGTTGGCGGGCTGTGTATGTACTCCTAGAATAATGGACGACTCTTCAAATTTTATATTTCTCTATCTTGGAAATGAAACAGTCAATATCTGTACTTGAAGGGTTTATGCATACTTAAACTACAAAAGTACCTGTTGGCTTATCACCGAAATCGACACATTAATTGATCAGCACTTGAGGCTGCTTTAATAATTGTCTCCATGGTGGTGGATTTTCATGTGTGCATGTAAGTGTATGTAGAAATCCATATATCAATTGATACATGCCCTTGAGAAAAAGGTAGAATTTCTCCATTCTGTCAGTCTGGTATATTCAATATTATGTACATTCAATTGTTTGACAATCATGGCCGTCTTGAATCCTACATATGAAAATGTACATGTGATATACCGCAGTATAAACATTCTTCTGATCTTAGATATGACAATTATAATGTTTCTTGATAAATGTCTTATTTGCACTATGAAGCCTTTTGAAAGAGCATATCCGGTACTCCTAAGTACTATAATGGTCTGGTTCATGAGCCGCATTTATAATATTTGAACTTCAAACTCTTGACAGAATACATGTATACGGAACTATGCGACACGATATATTGAGCATTCCAATGAACTATCTACCATCTTTTTGCCGGCAACAAATAATGGATGGATAAGGGAAAGACAGGGATTTTTGCTGTACGTTTTCAAGGATCGAGATTGTGTCATAACTGTAGTCAAAATTCAAGAGGACAAAGTTATAGCTGATAATAGAAAGGTGAAAAATGAATTGATCAATAGGTGCTCTGGATGTCATACTTACATGTATGTCGTCGCCTCACTATCGAGTATGGCCGGCCAATAAGACACATCTACAAAAGCGGTTCGTCGCTTACCAGCTGCTCTGCGCTGTCTGCAGCAGTGGCTGACTGTGCTTCCTAGCCCGTCCAGATATTAACAACGATTTCATCTCTTGCCTCAATCTCTTTACATAATACTTCAAATTCCCTTGAAAGAAACCAGGCGTAAATCGACGGCAGCACCTACCCTTAACAAACAGTTACACGACATTTCTTCACATTTCACCCGCAATTTTGCCCTGGAATGGTGGATACTGTCCAAATGCAGGGTAGAAGCTGCCTAATAGTCGACCCAACATGAGGCAGGCATTTTCGCCCTGTCAATCTCTCACTCTTACTCGCTTGTTTTGAAAGCTTTAGAAGCAAGGCGACCACGAATAGCGCCACGTCGTCTCCTTCCGGTTTTTTGCCTCGACAAGCCCTCGATTTAGGGAGAATGTCACGCTGTTACCCACTGTATCTGCTTCACCTGAGCCTGTAACCCAGACTCACGTTGAGCCCGGGTTAACAGACGAAGAGGCTCCATAGAATGACAAGCGGTAGGCAGTGCAACTGAACCGCTTACAATGCTAGGCAGCCACAGTCTATCCACCTTCCACATGGGGCCGGGCATTCACGGCTCAAAATTGCAAATATCAATGCCTAAGCATACCGTGCCCATCGCCACGGGTATGGTGCATTGGTTCTGTATTGTAAGCTGTTGTAACAACGCGTGGAGCCTCCAAATCACGATCTAACTGGCCTCAGCTCAACAGCATTGATCACTTGCTGACTGGATTGGTATTCCCACAACTGAAGCCGGTGATTGCCACTGGATGCCAATGGCAGCATTGAATGCCCGTACCCGACTGGGATAATAGGCCAAACGACTGGCGCTAGAAGAAATCAAAAGAGAGACATTATTTTGTCCAGCGTCGTGGACTCGTCACAACTAGAGTTGAGTCTAACTGGCTCTGACGACACTAGCAGTGTCCACCATCACAGCTTAGGAGTGGAACCGTTGACAACTAGTCAAAGTTGGTTATTATGCTCGTAGGTTTCAGACCGACAGAAATAGTAATTAGTGAAAACAAGGTTAAACCCAGAGCATAATAATAGCAACTATACACCAGCTGAATAATTTATACCTCAAGTATTATTATCGAATGACGCAGCTTCACGGTCAACCAAAACGAGTTCTTCGCCATCGCCACGGACAAAATTGCCATCTGCAGAGTACCCGGACAAGAAGATATCCTGGATGGAAGGGTGATGCGTCGAACGGTGAATCGGTGAGCCCCTTTTTCTCTTATTTACTTTTTTTTTTATCCTTGACCGCCTCTCACTACCGGGTAGTGTGGCGCCGCCGAGGCAATAGGAGCTGTCGGTGATCGCCGTAAACACAAAAAAAAAGTTTGACGTGAAGAGGCAAACTTGATCTCCTCACCGAATGATGAAGCAGAGTTGAAGGAAGGAGTGTGACTCTGAGAGGCAACATCGAAAAGAATTCTGTAGTTGCCACAGAGAAGTGGTCGGGCGGTTCCTGCCGCAAACATGCCAGTGGGATTGGAAAAGGGACTCCCGTGCAAGGGTCTGGACAACATCGACAGCCAATAGGATCTATTGGATTGATTAAACAAAACAAGCTTGGCTTTGGATACATTAAAAATAGCCACAATTGATGTTAAATTGTATCAAATCCAGTTTGTATTACTGTTTTGGGGCTAGCCGGTTATAGGAGCCAGCCAGGTTGCTGCTGGGATGTTGACATAAATAGAAGTGAAATATCCAGGGGTAGACGACTTCTAGCCACCTCAAGGCTTGCTGACGAGCATTTCCGCTAGACCGGCGGACGCTTGTATATTGTACGAATACTGACCTTCCCGAAGGCCTGAAATCTTGCCCTTGTGGCCCCAAGAGCCTTGTCGATTCAATACTGACTCAGCCTTACCTACATATAGAAGGGCAAGACGGACAGTGAATCAGATTAGGCACTGCTGAGCTGTAGCTTTCTTTGCGATAAATGAATGGCTTTCTTGATTATGAAGTAAAAAAGATGTTTGCAGTTAGAATAATTATTCGCGCGCAAAGCTTTGGATACCCTGGAGATTAGGGTTTTCACCACTACGTATGACGCGACCCCCTGTATCACTATGAGTATGTGCCGATTCCTCAAGCCTTAGTATTTTAGTCGTATGACTATATGCTGTGTCGGATGACTTGTTCTCGGACCATATCTCAATTACTTAGCTAGATTCAGCGAGTTGCGGGACATACATGTAGGGGAACGCGGGATAAATCCGAAGATATTAATTGTAGGGTGGTGCTAGATCTGCAAGGCAAGCTGATTTACCCGGGTGCGGGACACCATGCACATTTAGTGGGGGGCCAGGAGGCTCTTGACCAGGGTGAAGCAGCAAATTAAACTTAATTGTACACATGTATAATGTAGCCATCGACTTTGAAATTCTAATGTTTGCTTACTCAACATACATATATTGTTGTAAATTAGTAACACAGAACGCCTTTAAATCTCTTTTATCAAAAAAAAGGGGTGGTGGCACGGGAAATTGTCTTGCGGCGCTCTGCAGGTGGAAATAAAAACTAATAGGCGCTCGATTCACATGGAGATCTTTGAACAGGGCTGAAGCTGAGCGGCCAGCCTTGCATATTTTCTCAACGGAATATGTGGGCGCCCATTAGCCAAAAAATAGTAGGAAGAAACAAGAAATTTGGCATACTGCATGAGAGTTACCAATGAAACTCTTAGAATTTGGACTTGTCCGTATTGATGGTCCCCTTTCGTGGTTGCTCAAAATGCTTGTTCACCCGGGTGACAGGTAAAACTAGAGTTGCTAAGAGCAGATTTAAAATCGAACAAACATGAAGATCCGTAGACGTAGATAGGCCATGTGACAGATCGAAACTGAGGTTCATTGGTAAGAGGCCGAACAAACCAGCCTCATGTTTTCCTCATTGTCACTTAAGTCTACCGCCACACTTGATATATGGGCACCTCTCCTAAACGTAGGCGATGTAGCTGTACATATGTACATTAGCCGATGTGATTGGCCGATAGAAGTGTATCAATCCCATCGGGTTTCGTATAGCACATCAGAAAGTCCATATCTTTGTCGCTTTGTGAAATGCCTTATCCCGGAGATCCAGGCGGCAAAAGAAACAAGTGTCCACGAGGCATTCAGCCGGTTATTAGACTTGTGAGCGCGTCTCTAGACCCTTTGGCCCCCATTATAGAAGCTCAAGGCTGCGATGATCACATTTGAAGCAATTATCAAACTCGTAATACGCTTGGGTAGGCACATGGTCGATTTCTAGGTCGTATTTGCTGGAGCATGACCTTGGTAAGACATGTTGTCACGGCCATTCATGGCGACTGAGACATGGCTCGTCATTTGGGCCTTCATAGATATGAAAATACCGACTGACTTGATCCTCTTTCTTTCAGCCTCTAGAGAAGAAGCCTGGAAAAAGTGCCGGAGTTCAAATGCAGTACTACATGGGGAAATACATATTGCAGTCAGGCCGAATAACTGTTATACAAAACCCACCGGTAATGTACAAAGTCGGTCGGTTGAAGTGCCGCAAGGCTTTGATTGTTCGTAAAAAAATGTCGAAGTGTTGTGAGAACGGAATAAGTGTAAGTTTTGGATGAATGCGACTTAGTGGCTGCCTCGGCATTTTCAGCCGCATGGTCCGCCAACTACAACGACACTGTTCGAGTTCCGACTCAGAGGCTCTGTTATAATGTATATATTTCACTGCGATTCCTCCATCAAACATCCAGAAAATAAGAATCATGCATTGGTCTCCTTGTGCTGACAAGGCGACTTGATTTTGTTGTAAGCAGCTCTCTCCTTCCATGGCGTCGAAATTCTAGCTCGTTCGATGTCGGCCGCTCCTGCCTACACGCCGCCAGGCTTCCTTTGCCATTGCTGACTATTTTGCCATTGCTAGCAGTTCTCCTTATATACCTTTGAATGATGATGTGTGACTCACGCGATTCGGCTCTATCTCATGGTGACCCTGACCCCTCGTGCGCATCCGGACAATCTCCTTGCTACTCTCAACGGAATTATCGGGGCCAACGTATTGCACAGCTATCGCTGCAGTCGATAGTCACGCACACCACGGTATATAATGAACAACAAGAAGTGAGCTTATCCTCGAATCTTCACTATCCGATTCTTCCTTCTGTCATACTTGGCTAAGACCTGGATTTCCCATAGCTTCTCGACGACTTCCTATCCAGACCCAGGTCGCACTCCAGACACCACCGCCTCGTCACCATTTGCGCATACCACCGACGACACAGCCAGCCCCAGTCCGCCTTCGACTGTGCAACAGCTCAGTTCTGCAGTTAGTTCCCCGGGTGCCGGCCGCTTTGGAGAACTTCATATTCAAAATAAGAGTCCTAGCCCTGTAGACCACGGCCATGTCGCAACTACCCCTTCGTATCTGCCTGCTAGTGCCGAAACATCGGATTTGGGACCACTGGTCCACCCATCAGCGAGTCCTAATTATGGCGAGGTCCAGGAAGGCCCGAGGCTTTCAAGATCGCCGGTTCCCAGAGACCTCGGCGATACTCAATTACACAAGGCATCTCACGAGTCGGATGCATTGAGCAACGTCGCACAGAAAAGTGTACACGATACCGACAATACCTCTTCAGTTGCTGTACCGTCTGCACTGTCCCGGCAGCCTGATGCTTCTAGACCGTCGAGTCACCATGGAAATCCTCTGGATTTAAAACCACAACATTTGCCGCGAAATTTTCCAGATATCGATGATCTGGACGAACCACAGGTTTCTTTGCCGGTTCATGAAGCAAAAGCAAAACCTATATTATCTGCGGCCACATGTCAAGCCCATGTATCCAGTGGCATGTTCCTACAACCGGAGACTCACGCTATTACCGAAGAGCAACTAATTAATGAGGTCAGAGCAATTTATGCCGGCCTAGTTATGGTTGAAAAGAAGTGCATTGAAATTGATAAGCAACAAAGTAACAATGCAGACGGCCTTAAAGAGTTGCAGTGGCAGGCTCTGATTGCACTCCATAGAACCCTTCTCCATGAACACCATGACTTCTTCCTTGCTTCAAATCACCCGGCTGCAAGTGTTGTATTGAGGAAGTTAGCTGATAAATACTCAATGCCTGCGCGCATGTGGCGATATGGCATTCATTCCTTCCTTGAGTTGCTACGGAAAAAGCTACCAGCATCTCTGGAGCATATGCTCTCATATATTTACATGGCTTACTCCATGATGACGTTGCTTTTAGAGAGTGTTCCGGCTTTTGAGAGAACCTGGATCGAATGCTTAGGAGACCTCGCCCGGTATAGGATGGCTATTGAGGAAATTGACATGTCTGAAAGAGATAAATGGAGTGGAGTGGCTAGGCAGTGGTACTCTAAAGCAGCGGACAAAAGTCCAGAAGTTGGGCGAATTCAACATCATCTCGCTGTGTTGGCTCGTCCAAATCTGCTCCAACAACTGTTCTATTATTCCAAGAGCTTGACAAGTATTCAGCCATTTACAAATGCACGAGACAGTATCGCGCTTGTCTTTGGCCCTCTCTTGGATGCAAGCAAACCCGTGAATAAATCAAACCCAGAAATATTGATAAAGTTTGTTAAAGTGCATGGGTTATTTTTCAGAAGAGGAGAAGTTTCCAAAGCTCTTCCTTTGGCTAAATCGTTCCTCGATCAGCTTGATGACCATATTGAATCAGTTGGAGCGATATTCCGAGAACAAGGCGTGTATATCTCCTCTTCCAACTATGCTGCGATATTCGATTATGGTCAATCAGACTCCAAGCTTTTTCCTATGTTCGACTCCAAAAACCTTGCTCAAGAATCAAAACAAGAGATTGTGGATGCCGCTTGTGCCTATTGGGCCAACCCGCCTTGCCAGCAGACCGCGATTAGTCTTCGGGAAATCCCAGAGAATCTAGACCTCAGATTCCATACAAGTGACCATGTTGCTTCCTATGCTTCTCATCTGGCTTTCTACACATTGGAGCTTGTCCTTGAAAGGATAGGAGATAGGGATGTTCTCCCATATGCTCATGTGTCATTAGCATTTCTGTGGTGTATTTCTTTGGTTCCAAAGAGTATGGAATATATTCAAGCAGATGTTCCTTGGGCCCGAATTGCTTCGTTCCTGAATTCACTTATTAAATCAGAGAAGGGCAAGGAGAAGACTGATACCGACGAGTTCCCGGTTAACGAGACCTCTAAACAGCTACCAGAAGACTTTTTAATTCGAGGCTTAGCATGGAGTCAATTGTATTATCCCGAGGATTTCTTTGACGAAATTGCAGATGAAGAAGAACGGTCTGTTGAGGCTCCATCAGTGGTTATACCTCGAACGAAACGCTGCCTATGGTTAGGGCTCAATATCGCTAAGGTGAGTTACTAATATTTCGGTTACCAATGCTTTCATGTTTGAATCATATTCTGACTATTTTAAAGTTAAACTGCTGGATCAAGTACGACGACGAAAAACGTCGGTTCTTTGCAACTTCATTCACCGAAGAACTAGCTGGTCTTACTGAAGGACATCAAGTCTTAAGCAGACATAATGAACAACATGATGTGGACACCAAGATGACCGGTGTGTGAAATGTGGGCACAGGGCTAGGCTTGTGACAGAACTGGCCGAGGGCCGACTAGAGAGCTGGATTGATTTACATGCATTGAGGGTGGACTAATTGATCATTAATATACAACATGCGTAGTTACGTTTCGTATTATCTTTGTTTGTTTGCATTCGTTTTTTTTTTCGTATCGTATCTCATCTGGCTTTTGAAGAGTGCGACTCAGAATATATGCACTTATTTCGTTATGAGTCTTGTTTGGGGTGTTGTCGAACTTCCGTTAATCGATGTTGGGAGTGTGGTTAGGTATATAGATACTAGTCAGCAACGAATAATGATAGAAACAGATCTTTCTGCAATGGTTGTAACTCATAAGAACAACCTGCCGTGCTTTATATTTAGAGTGGGTCGACAAGGTTACACCTGCGTCAGCTAGCTGCAGCGCCCAATCGGCGTGGCGCATCAAGGCATCCGGCCAAGTGGCAGTATGCTTGTCCATTTATGCCTTCTCCGCCGCCTTCTTAAGTTCTTTCTCACGGCATCAATTGTTGAGGAAATGCTACACGCACTCGTCTTTTGTATGCCACTGTTTTCTTAAAAACCAGCCTGCCAATCTTTGATTTGTCTGCTGGGCGCGATTGAATGGAGCCGTGCCAATTGCTGTCTCCACCTCCCCGAGACCTTCTATGAGGTAAGCTGTCTTCTATCCGGAGAAACAGCTGGGGTTGTCGGCAAGCAGGTCTATTGAATTAAGCAGCAGCAGCCATTATGGTTGACTACGTCAGCGAGACCTGCACGCAGTGCATACAGCTGCTGGGCGCGGTTCCTCCGTCGATCTTCATCTTGTCCATCCTGACCACTTTTGTCGGATCAGTTGTTTTTGTGAGTTCTGTCGTTGACACATATACAAGAGTGAGATAATATTAACAGCCCTTCAAGGTATATCTATTTCTTTTCGCCGTCGCATTCAAACCCCGCAAACCATTTGACCTTGAGAAACGCTACCGAATTCTGACCGAGAATGATGAAGTTAGTCTATTGCAAGAGCTGCCTTGCTGGTTAGATACCTGGGAACGCGAACGAAAACAAAAGCCGAATTCCAAGCGAGATGTGGACGTCGAGAAACCCGAGCTTTTTATGTCTGTGGTTATCCCCGCATACAACGAAGAGGAACGTCTGGTTGGCATGCTCGAAGAGACCGTGGAGTATCTTGAATCTGCGTATGGAGTCGAGAGCAGCCATGAGACAAAGAACAAAAAGAATACCGTAACTAAACGCACACGAAAAGACAATGCACATCAATCCAATGGTCACGTTAAACAAACCGACCCAACTAAAGGCTGGGAGATTCTAATTGTTTCTGACGGGTCGACCGACCGTACTGAAGACGTCGCCTTTAATTTTGCTCGGAAGCACGACATTCCAGTGGATAACTTCAGAGTTATCGTATTGTCGCAGAATCGAGGCAAAGGAGGCGCAGTCACCCATGGAATGCGTCATGTTCGCGGCCAATACGTCGTTTTTGCTGATGCGGACGGTGCAAGCAAATTTGCGGATCTTGGGAAGCTAGTACAGGCATGTCAGAAAGTTGAAGATTCCAACGGACGGGCAGTTGCTGTTGGTTCGAGAGCTCATATGGTTGGCAGCGAAGCCGTTGTCAAGGTAAGCTCTACTTTTCCCCTTTGGTAGTTGAGGCTCTATTAACGCAAATTACCAGCGCTCCAAACTACGCAACTTTTTAATGCACTCGTTCCATCTCATCCTATGGCTTTTAACTCCATCGGCCACGGCCAAAATTGGGGATACACAATGTGGCTTCAAGCTTTTTTCGCGCGCGTCTTTGCCATTCATCATCCCATACATGCATTCGGAAGGCTGGATCTTCGATGTTGAAATGTTGATGTTGGCGGAATTCTCCCAAATTCCGGTTGCTGAGGTGCCCGTCGGGTGGCGGGAAGTAAAAGGCAGCAAATTGAACGTTGTTTGGGATAGTATCGGTATGGCTTGGGGATTGTTCGTCCTCAGGGCGTCGTGGAGTTTGGGGGTATATCGAAGAACATAAATCGGTTTTGTACATATTGTCTGCTTGATGCTTGTATATATCATACCCACATTTCTTATTTATTTTGCTCACTGATTACATTCTCAATGTATTCTTTTCAAAAGAAGATCATATTCTTCCCTCTTGTTTTAACCCCTTATACAATGCCCAAGCCGCCAACGTCTTCCCATCCCTTAATCCTTCCTTCCACAAATTTTCCAATGGCACAATTTTTAGCGTGATTTTTTCTCTCTCGTGCCTATTCCCCGTCAACCGGCCTTGCATAGCCTGGATTTCTTGTCTCGGTATTCGCTTCTGGCACAAAAAGAGTGGAATGAACTCGTCACTGCCACCGGGAGACGGATAAACGCCGTTTTGAAGGGATTCTTCCGCGTTTTCTGAAGACGTAGAATTATGATTACTGTGATTATCAGCACTATTAATATCGGCATCGTGGCTGATACCCTGGCGAGTAGAGGCTAGTGCTAGTGATGTCATATCGACAAGCTCGTTTTGAGGTATCGACAGTCCAGTCTCTTCATAAATCTCCTTGGCTGCCCCGCCAGCAAATGTGCCGCTGTCATCGAGCATGCCAGCGGGAATTTCGGGGAACTCGAGAGACCCTGCCGGGATGCGTGGCTGTATGGTCATGATTGCACGTTTGTCTTTATCGGAACCGCTTGGAACATCATCAGGTTGCAGTATGAGCTGAAACTTTGTTAAACCGGCTTTCATTCCGCATGAGTATAACGGAAACAAACTTACCAACATACCAACACTTCCCCCTCTTAAGAATACACTCCCGGGTAAACTCTCCCCTTCATCATTAGATACCTCAGCTTTGAGTTTTATAAAGCCGAGTCGCTGTTCTTTTCCAAAATAGTCAACGGCCTGGATATCAATCTTGCGGAGAGAATACGGGGACTTGTGGAACTCGTGTGCGGGCTGTTGCTGTCGAGATAAGGAGTGGTGTAGTGTGGTGAGCCATATGTTGAATGCGGGAAAGGAGAGAAGCTTGTCGCGCGATAGGTTGCTATCAAGTGGGCAGGTTATAGTTAGTTGCTCTTGTTTTTGTCGCTGCTGTTGCTCGTTGGTAGGGATGGTGAATGATGTTGTCGCCATCGTTGCTCTCTGTTGTGCAGCTCGGAATATCTGGTGTCGCGGGGCGAGTCTCAGCCTCGGTCTTAGTATCATGGAATTCGGGCAGCTTCGTTATTAGCTTATAAGTAACCCTGGCACAGCGAAAATCTCGGAGTCGGGGAGTAACGGAGTATACGCAAGTAACGAGGTTACAGGAAGCTTCTTGAAGGGTGGATCTAGCCTTGGGGAAAGATCGGGGCGATCCGCGGGTGACGTAGGTACCCGCACTAGCTACCGTCCATTACTGAGAAATAATGATAACAATAATTTCATATTTAATTTTCATGTTTATCGTATACAGAATGTCGATTTGCCGAATTACGCCTGAAGTTTGAGTGTGCTGGCCAGCTCAATTCCCTCGGCCAATGTCCCAACCCGCGCATCGATAGCGTAGCCTTGACTTTCCAGCTTCTTCAGCTCGGCGAAAAGTCCAGAAAGAGGGACAGTGAAACATTCAATGAACTCATTATCTTCGAGTTCTGGTTTTGGGCTCTGGTTTTCTGGGAGGCTCATGTCGACTCGAACATGGACCATATTCAGATTTGTATTACAGAATCCGGGGTCTAAATAAGAAGGAATCTGTTAGTCACTACGAATAATTTATCTCTTGATACTTTTCATACCATTGTACATTACTGTGCTCGTCTGCTCTGCAACTCCTACATATCCAGTCTCTTCTTTGAGTTCTCGTACGGCGCATTGCTCGGGCGTTTCTCCCTCGTCGATCAAACCGGCGGGGACTTCGATGGCGACCTTGTCGATTGGGGGTCTGTATTGTTTTTGCAAAAGAATTTCTGGGCCATGGCGCTTGTTGAGGATAGCTACAATGCCAACACCGTCAATCAGGCTGTTTTTGGGACGCGTCTGAAGAATTCATCAGCCGGATAAGTCGACTTCAATTAGGTAGATTATGAACTATCATAAATCCATAGTAATAGTGACTGGACTGCCAATGTTTGAAATTGCACATACCGTCCTCTCAGCAGTCTCCCATGTCCGCTGCACTCCCAATGGGTCCGTATACGTGATCTTGCTAAGCTTTATCCATTTTGCGTCTGTTGAGGCCTAATGGAGTTCTTGATCAGTTCTGAATGCGAAGAATCGTTATAAAAAGCAAATACTGTATATAATGTGAGACATCAAAGTATCAACGAGGTGAAAAAAATGAATAGGAATCAACAAACACACCAACGGCCCCTTCTCGATAACCTTGGAAGCTTGCGGCATTTTTTTTTTCTCTGTTAGAGAACAAGGGCAATCTGGAAAGGACTGTAAAACAATCTGAGAGTACTTTTGTACTTGCCCGCTAAGGCAATGATGGTTTAAGTAAAGGAAAGAGAGAGGTTAGAAAGAGCTTCGCGCAGCAACTGATGTCATGGAAAGCGGGGCTAAGCCCTTATCAGAGCATACCTTATAGCGGGGTATCGGTAATTCGAATGCGGGTTTCAAGCTGCTGCTAATAATGGCTTTTAGAGAGAAAGAAATTGCTCTTGAGAGGGAATAATAAAATTCACGATCACCAAAAAGATGATATGAAAGCAAAAGCATTAAAAATTAATCTGACTAAACTAAACCAGGACTTTATTGGTACAACCATCTTTGGGAGATTGGATGATACAGCCATTAAGTATGTGATCCGTGATTCTGCTACACCATTCAGCTGTCAGTTAATGCTTGAACGCAGGAATCAACGGCACCTCAAAAAATTTACCCTATCATAAGTCTGGGAAGCCCAATTTAGGTAACCCGGATGTGATGATTTTTAAAATTCCTAATTTTTGAAAAATAAGGAATCCATATATATTGTAAATGAGCTCTTATTTACAAGTATTCTATTCCTAGATGGAAAATTTGAAGAGCTTGTAATGGTTAGCAATGGCAACGTTGATTTCTTTGGTGTCGCCTACAAAGACATATATCACTAATTTTACTAATTAATAAGTGATAAGGTGAGACTCAAACAAGTGGGTATGCCAGAATAGTTGCTACTAATGAGGACAAAAGATACCACACCATTAATATCAAGCCTTGTTAGTCATCAATAGTTCCATGCAGGACTTTCTGAAGGAAAGGTAGGGTCATTTGTACCTCCCTAGAACCTGGAAGTTCGAGTGTCCTGCTGAAAGCAGGCAATAACATTCATGGTCATAAAAGTTATGGTCTGCAGCCAGTGTCAATAGGCTTCTTATTGGGCTTTGCCTAGGTGCCGGTTAGTTCTAAAAACGTTTAAAATGTCACTGACTACATGAGCTGTTTGTGTTTGACTTCGATATAGCGTAAGGACAGACAGTGCTGGAGTGCGTGAGAGTTGTCCTAATATATGATATGAATTAACTTTCAGTATTCATTTTTTGTCGGGGTTCCACTATAATATCGATGTCTAAAACTGAGTCAAAGAGCCGAAGACTTTCCATTGCTACGTGAGGAGAAAGAAACGATTAGTCTTGCTTATCGGCTCTGGTTGAACTAGCCGTGAGGGGAAGCGATGGATGCCCTTGTCGGTTTCCCCCGCATGATTTCTTATCATCTGACCTGTCACTCGTCTCAATTCACAATTCAAGGATGCTAAAACTAATTTACAGAGGGATCTAGCGACGGTCAAGTATAGCACATAATTCTTCTCAGGTAACATGTCAGCCGACGATTTGCGGCCGCCAAAGCGTACAAAACAGGCCTGTGAACCATGCCGGTAAGACATCCGTTCGCAACCGGATCGCAACGTACTATGTGATAAGGAGAGTTAACCATGCCCATGATATCGCCCGAGATAGCCGGAAAAAATCTAGATGTCCCGGGGAGCGCCCGGCCTGCTCATATTGTGAACGGTTGGGACAGCCCTGCGAGTACGGCGACACTGTTGAAGAAGGATCCGAGTTTTCCAAGAAAATGGTATCTACAATCTTCAATACTATTAATAGTGCCGGTAACTTATCTCTTGCCCAAAAAGGAAGACCGAATATCTGGTATAGAAACCAAACTTGAAGCTATGCTGGAATGCTTCACGTAAGTTAGCGATGGTCTCTATCTTCTGGTATTTCACTAAAGATACGTGTAGTCAACAGTCCGCTCGGTCCCATATGCTCTCACCGGCTAGAACTCTTCGAAGCGGAAATTTACGTTCGGGGACTACGGATAACCTGCCCCGGTTGGCTTCTCAGTCATTCTTTTGCTACCAGTTTTGCTGATGTTAACAAACACGTAGGCAAATTATTTTTTCTAGCGCCCAGACATTTCTGTGGTATTGCAATCACCAGCCTATTCCATTCTTTCATTCAGAAACTTTCCTCTCGACGGTCAGCGCTCGTGATGTTGAACTGATAGACGCGATACAAGCGTTAGCTTTACGTTTCGAAGAGGGAGGCTTCCCTGACCATGACATCAATCAACAGATTCAAAACAAAACAGAAAGCTCTCGAAAGGCAGTCATGAATCGTATAGCCGAAGGCACTGTTGAGTTGAGCACCTTACAATCACTATGCCTTTTGAGTATGATTGATTTCACAGGTAGGAGATATACTACTGACATATCGCTCTGCCGCTGATTTTATTTTATTGTAGCTGGGAATATAATACGGGCAGAAGTCAATATGAAACTTGCCAGGCTTTTAATGAACAACCTGAAAATGGGTAAAGATGAATATCCAATCAATTTAGAAAGCGAAACAGACGAGAAAGTACTATGTCATTGGAGTATCCATATGCTGGGCAACCTCATCTGTGATCCTTCTCAGTTAACTGCCACAGAATCTAGTCATATTTGGAACGAATTAAATATACCCCAACCTATTCATCAATCGAAAGTTTCGGCATTTGGCGTCGGACAATATCAAAACCATTCCGACCTTAAACGGGATAACGGTCTACTCGCAAATATACTCCAGCTTAGTGAGATATGGATGTTGGCGAGAAAATACACAAGCATCAAGAAAAATGTCAATTCACCACCTCCTTGGTCTCCTCAATCAGACTATTCAATCATCACCTTCCGACATATCGAATACGAGAGCCAATCTCCATTAAAATACCGCCTACATGCGAGTCGCTTCCCGGAAATGTCTGCCGCAAGTCTAAATCAAAAAAGGGAATACTGGGGTCCTTGGCTCTTCTTGCAGCTTGTATACCACGCAATTCCATGCCTTCTCAACCACCCGTTTTTACTCTCCGTGCGACTTAAGAATTTTCGACAAACTATGCCACAGTCCTTTTTGCGAAATTCTTTTGAACAAATTACACTACACGCAGGATGGATATTGTATTTTGTTGATCTGCTCCAGGAAAAGGACTTTGAAGTTTCTGATCCGACGTTGGGGCACTGCGTAGCGATTGTAGCTACAATATACTTGCAACATAGTTTTGTTGAAGAGGTAGCATTCAGAGAAAAGGCTCAAGCTAGCTTTGAGAAGTGCCTCAATTTTTTACAGCGCATGGCAACTCGATGGCCTCACATTGAAAAACAGGTTTGATCTTGTCAAGCCCACCCGATCGTACAACTATTTACCAATTATTTAGGTTAAGAATCTGCTACATTTGAGAAACAGTATATCCGGTAGTAGAGTACCGAATATAGGTCAACAATCAAATCGAAATTCGCATCAAGGGTGGACAGTAAATGTCCACCTTTTATGTGAAATTTTAGAGTACAATAGTGCCAGCAAAGCGTCTGATCCTTCTGGAGACATATTTGGATCGGGGCTTGTTAAAGACAGTATTGCATATTACACTAGCACACCAGCTAGCCCGACCCCAGACCTAGACTTCGCATTGATCGGCACACCAGGTCTTTCGGGCCACAAAACGGTAGCGAACGAACTCGTCACTTACCCCCCGGATGAGCTTCAAAGGATTGATCCAAATATGTCTCAAATCTCACCACCAAATATTGATTTGTCAGGACTAATAGGGGATCAGGGTTTTGATGCGTTTGATGCATCGGAGAGTAGTTTCCTCCAACCTCAGGAGTATGGCAGGGCAATTGAAAACTGGCTAAATTTTAATGTCAGATAGCTTCAAATTCGGATACCTGTTGCATTTATATGTACATTTTATTATTACATTATGGAAATATTAATACCTTCGTTGGAACTTTTGAATACTTGTACGACTTAAATCACTTGGTGTAATTGAAAAAGTCGGACAGTTACCAGTATTTTGTATAAAGTAATTATTTCGTATTATTTTCTGCCGGCGAATTTGACTACATGTCTTAGAGCTGGTGTATCTTACCAAGATAATGGCCCATTATTACCCCCACTGGCTGCTTCACAGTCAAGACTCTTGCAAAATTCAATTTCTTCGTGCAACTTCTGCGTCATGTCTGGGGCAGGGGTAGCAGGCCAGATATCGGCACCATTTTCTTTCTCACGCCCCCGGTGAGTCATGACTTGTTCCTTGACCAAATCTTGAAAGTATAGAGGTCCCTTTTGATATCAACCGTCAGCATTTATTGGAATTTCAAATATACAATATCGTCATATCATAGTAAGCATTCTATGGTTGACTTCTTACTTTTTCATTGTGTGGATGCAGTTGGCCATTCACATATATTCCGGCATTGAGATTCTTTTGGGCTGCATTGCACAGATCCTTATCTTCTTTTAAGACTTGTTTGAATATGTTGTCCATATTACTGAATTCTTCGTCAGTCGAGTTTTTACTACGATAGACTTCATATTCCATTGAAGTTTGAGAAGCTGATATTGGAATGCAACGCATGATGTAAAAGAAATGTTTTCTAAGGATTCGAGTCATGCCATTGTCAGCTATTGTGTTATGGAGAACGGTTGAAGGACTAGGTTCCAAGGTCTTACGAGATAGTGATTGATGCATTGGGGAAGTAAAAAGTACTGTATACCCCCATTCCTTCCCGATTTGGTCGATCGGTGTTGAAGTGCTGAATATGACCACCCGACGTCTCGACCCAATATTTTGAAAGGTCAGTATAATTTAAAAGATTTGGATGTCCAGTTGGACAATGATAACACTAGCTTTCGGGGTTAGCCTCCGTTTAACAAAGCATAGACTATCAAACAGTATGAAGGCATCTAGGGAATGAGGAGAGAATAAATTACCTCATTGTAGTTGTCGGCTAAAGTTTTCCAATTGTAGTCCCCGATCATTTCCCATTGGTGATCAAACCGAAATTCAGAGAGATCAAACTGGAGTAAACGAGGCTGTTCGTCTATGCCAGAGAAATCGTCTTCCCATGAGACACCTGGCTTCTCCGATGCTTCGAGATTTACCCAAATAAACCCCATTTTGTCGACATGAACATGAATTGGGAAAAGACCGTTTTTGTCTTTTTCAAAAGCCTCTATGTCCTGATATCGAGGGGCTTTGGCGAGCTTTCCATTCAATCCGTACGACCAACCTTGAGAGGTTATGATCAGCGATAATAACTTCTGAAATCATTCCAAGATGGCGTACCATGGTACCTGCATGAAATAATGCTTGCACAGCCTGACTTCTCTTGTATAACTGGATAGGCCCGATGGCGACAGACATTGTGGAAAGCATTTATAGTTCCTTGTCTATCCTTGATAAGAAAAAATGAGAATCCAGCTTCTTGAATTTGGACAAAGTCACCAGGTTTGCTTAATCGTAATTCATGGGATACGGCCAACCATTTCCTGGAAAAAATGGCTCGCCTTTCCAATTCGTACAGGGCATCTGAGCGATACCACGACGCTGGCAAATTTCTACTTATCTTCGACTCCTGTGGAATAACAGTCTCACACTTTCCATATCCAAATAGTTGATTCATTTTCCCTGTTCAGGTTACCGCAGAAATAAGAGATGAACTAGAGCGATTTCCAAACTGCAGCTGACGTCCTGCAAAATTCTGGTATGCAAGTTATTCAGTACCCTATTTAGGAATGAATAGCAGCATCCCTCTAATGCAGTCGCCGTTTATTACTCATTCAAGATTTAAGTTCGCTTTCCATATCGTATCCTGTGGGGATTCTCTATGTCCGGTCGGGCCCGGACCGCATCCGTACCCGCCTTCCTATCTGGGAAAGCTGTATAGGATCTTGATCCGCCACATTCTTTCTTGTTCTCTACACAGATAACTCTTCTATTATCGTTGAGATATAGTGATAGTAATCACTATCAATTCGAATTGATACCCAATCACCTTCCATTCTTTCGTATCCCTTGTTGATTTAGCTCAAGCATCGACTTTTCGCAATGGCACCGATCAAAAATAACGATTCAATTATAGTGATTGGGGCTGGTGTATTCGGACTTTCTACCGCATTAGAGCTTTCCAAACGAGGATATAGAAATATCACCGTGTTAGATCGCCACGTACCGCCCGTGGTTGACGGCAGCAGTGTTGATATTTCTCGCATCATTCGCATCGATTATGCTGACCCGTTGTACGCCCAAATGGCCCGTGAGGCCTACCAAGGTTGGATCAACGAATATACAGATTTCTACTACGAGTCAGGTTTTGTGATGTTGGCAGACACATTTTCAAATCCGTATATGAGCAAGGCTAAGGAGATAGTAAAATCTCAGGGTGGAAGATTGGATGAATTCAACGATGCGAATCAGATACGCAGCCTATACGCGAATGTTCAAGCAGATTTGGATGGTCTTTTTGCTGTACACAATCCGATCGGAGGATGGGCAGATGCCGAGAGAAGCATTCAACACCTAGCCCGTCAATGTAATATGGCAGGTGTGTCGTTTATCACAGGGCCACGAGGCACCGTTCATTCGCTTCGAAAGAGCGGAACAAGAGTGGTAGGTGTAAACCTTACAGGAGGAGGCTATCTTTTAGCATCACAAGTCATATTATCTACAGGTGCTTGGTCTAACCGGCTTGTTGACCTTTCGCACGCAGCTTCTGCTTCCGGCCAGCCGGTAGGTTTTATTAAACTAACACCAGAAGAGTCTCGGGAGTTAGAAAACACTCCTGTCATGATAAATATGAGTACTGGCGTTTTTTGTTTCCCGCCTACACCTGGTACGAATATTCTCAAGCTTGCTCGACACGGTTATGGGTTCGCAACCGAAACGACATCAGAAGCCACCGGGAGATTGATCTCCTCGCCAAAACGAGATGGAAGCAATGCAGAATCTGGTTATCTACCGAACGACGCCGACGAAGGGCTTCGTGAAGGGCTTCGACAGTTTTTCCCTAAGCTCAAAGGCCGTGATTGGATGAACCGACGTCTTTGTTGGTACACCGATACTCCCGGCGGCGATTTTATTATTGACCATCACCCAATACTGGACGGGCTGTTTGTTGCCACAGGTGGTGCAGGACAGTAAGAGAATACACAGTTTACATAGTAGTGTACTCATGAATGCTAACGACTCTTTTTCTCGTTAGTGCGTTTAAATTTCTTCCTGTTTTGGGTCGCTATGTTGCCGATTGTTTTGAGAATACTGCCTCCCAATCTATACGAAGGAAGTGGCAATTGCAGGTACCGGTCGAAGGTGCGCAGGCTTCATCAACTATGATGGGAGATGGAAGTCGTGGAGGCCCTCCATTGCGGAAGCTTAATGCAATAGAACAGTCGAAGCTATAATCATGACGTGCCATTTTCGTCACTTTTATTCCAGCATCATAATAGACTTTTAAATTGAAATATTTACATCCGAGTGAGAAGGAGGCAGGAAGTGTTGCTGGGTGTATACGCTACATTATCAACTGATATTTGCAAAAAGCTCACTTTAGGAGAAAACAGCTAGATAGAATGAAATTGTACTTTGTCTTAAGATTTGCTAGAATTTACCGAATAGAAAAGAACCACGTATGCTCATTTTCGTTTGGGGATTGATTAGCTAGTATAATAAAATCTAATGCAATGTTTGATGCTTGGCATCAATTATCAAGTATGCCACTTTTGCAACAAAATTCCCCAACAACATAAAGCCAGATGAGATTTTTTACCACATGATCAAAAGAGCACAATATTACTAAACGTGGTTTCTTTTTCATCACATGCTTGACAAGCATGGCTGGTTCCACTGCTCGATAGGAATCCCGGACCGTCTCCGGGCGAGATGCGGAGAGGGGAAGATGGCCCAATTAGAAACTTATCGAACATATATTCGATAATCAATTAGATAAGATTTGGTAGAGGCCTCAACATCAGCCAAATTTGTTTTCAAAGGACGAAAATTTATTGCAATACTCTACAATACATCTTCAATAGCAAATAATTGGCTAGTTATAACTTCAAAAATATGCGGCAGCCGAACAGTGACGATAACATGAAACGGGTACGAATTACAATTATTGGAGCAGGGTGAGTTTAATATTATGCCATCTCATGCCTTGGAAATTGAAGTTTATGTTTCGATTGGTACAGGATCTCTGGGATCTTGATAGGTAAATTATTCTCCTCTTCGGTTGATAGCAAATGTTTATACTTAGAGACTGATACGATATTCTGTTGTTTAACAGCATTCAAATTACAAAAACATCTGGATCAATATGTTGATATCTGCATCGTCGAGAAAAATCCTAATCTAGGAGGGACCTGGTATGAGAACCGCTATCCAGGATGTGCGTGTGATGTTCCGAGCCATGTTTATCAGTATTCATTTGCTCCGAACCCGGAATGGTCTCAGTTGTATGTTACTATTGTCTCTCAATTCCAAATATCTCCAAAAGAAGATTAGTAGAGAAATTCTGCTGACTTCAATGAAGCTACGCAACTTCCCAGGAGATTCAGCGATACCTCAAAGGAGTGGCTAAGAATTTCGGTCTTGAGCGTTTTATCAAATACAACAGCAAGGTAATAGGCGCACAGTGGCAGGAGGAAAGGGCGGTATGGAGAGTTGAAATTGAAGATGGAAGAATTATTGAAAGCGAGATTCTAATCAATGCTGGAGGTATCTTGAATAACCCCCAGACGCCGGACATCAAAGGTCTGGCATCTTTTGCCGGTCCAATGCTTCATACAGCCACCTGGGATAATTCCGTCGATCTCCATGATCGTAGGGTTGCAGTCATTGGAGCTGGAGCAAGCGCTATTCAGCTTCTACCACAGATTCAATCTAAGTGCAGCCATATCGACATTTATATCCGGACTCCCTCTTGGATCTCACCACCCGTTGGAATGCCAAACCCAGATACTAAGAACTATGCATACTCGGAGGAGGACAAGGACTTGTATAGAAAAAGCGGGATTTCATATCTTCGCACTCGCAAAGAGCTCGAAAATCACTTCAATGGACTATTCAAGGCTTTTGCAAAATCTACACCCGAACAACGAGACCTCCGTAATCGGTTTGAAACCCGCATGCAAAGTTTGATTGAAGATGAAGAATTACAAAAAAGCTTATTCCGTCTTTTGAAGCTGGGTGCCGACGGATTAATCCCGGCGAAGAATATCTGATCACCTTGCAGAAGTCGAATGTTACTCCTATATTTGAGAAAATCGAGGAAATCACGACCGACGGAATTGTTACTTCTGACAGTCGTAAACACCCCATGGATATATTGATTATGGCTACAGGATTCAATACCACCTTTAGACCACGTTTCCCTATACTTGGTCGCAGGGGTATCAATCTCCAAGAGCTCTGGGAGACCACTCCAGTGTCGTACATGGGGACCGGGGTATCCGGCTTCCCAAATTACTTCATGTTTCTTGGACCAAATACTCCGATTTCTAATGGAAGTTTGATGGGTAAACATAATTTATATTATTCGCCCCATCTCTACTCACAAAGCTGATTCGATACTTCCTAAACAGGTCCTTTAGAAGCCACAGGCGACTATTTCGTCCGACTGCTCCGAAAGGTTATTAGACAAAATGTCAAGACATTTGATGTTAGACCAGATGTTCAGGCTGATTTTGATCAACATACTCAACAATACATGCAAAATATGGTGTGGACTGGAAGCTGCCGTAGTTGGTGTACGTATTTCCCGGAAATCCGTTTATTATCCACCTCTTGAACCCTCGGACTTACAACCCCCTTATAGTTAAGAACCATAAGACTGGCAGAATTAACGCACTATGGCCCGGTAGCTCTCTGCACTACATGCAGATCTTGGCAGAAAATAGATGGGAAGACTATTCGTGGGGATATCATCACAACCGGTTTGCACACTGGGAGGGAGGTCGTTCCTGGGTTGAAGATCCGCTAGCTGATCCTTTGGGACGAGAAGAGAGGATATCTAATTATGCTACAACTGTTCCAGGGAAGGATTCAGACTTGAGCTTCTACCTCTGGGAAAGCGAGCCTTTGCCTGCAGCATCCCTTGTAGATGATGGCTACTCTACGAGTGTGCTCGATGAGGTTAAAGAGGGACAACGCCTCAATGAATGGCTTCAAACTTCAGTTTCTGCTAGTATAACGGTACCTGTTTAGTTATCAGAACTCAAATAATACAAGTTTCTATTCTGCGACCAATATGAGAAAGAGAGGGTAGAAAATTGTGTCTCGCTGTTTTTCTTGTAATTAAACGGATGCTGAGTAGCATAGGAAACTTCCAGAATACTCTCAATGAAAATGGTAATACCCAATTAATGTAAACCGGCACACAACTGCGCCAATATATCTACAGCAATTGCAAAGGTAACAGTTTGGCTTTGTATATAGCTAGGCTTGTAATTTCTTATATTTCAATTGATGTTGTTTAGTTTTAAACTTGGGACCTTAAAGTCGCGATTTTACATCCAAATCCCATAGCCTCATCATTGGTCCGTGGGTTCCAAATACAGGATCCTGTTTTGGAAAACCAACTGATTGAATCTCCTTTCTTAAATCGGCCAAACTAATGGGCTTCTCACCCAACTCGTTCCGCCACCGAGGACAACCCTGCATACATGCCACAAGGAGTTTAAAACCGGGTTTCAAGGATAGAATGGACGACATAAAAACATACCTCTGGGTAGACGCCAATATATCTATAATCTTCTGTACTATCGGCCATACTATGCGCCGTCCCAGCAGGAAGGACTATCACATCACCTGCTTGAACCCGTACTCGAAGCCCGCCTGACTCATCGCCTCCTCCTACGCCAAGAACGATAGTTGATGAGCCTCGAAATATGCCTGGATTAAACTGTCATTACAATTGGGTCTCCAATTCCGGGTTCCTTAACATACCATAGCATTCATGACTGTTTGGATGAAAGTGTCGGGTTGGAATATGACCCCAAGTACCCTAGAACAAAGCAGTCAATAATTTAGATTAACCATGGAAATGAAATAGAGGAATGCATTATACCCGTTTCTCCCACTTATGTGCAGTAAGAAAAGATGTCACATTCTCTTCTGTTGCGGGATATGGAAGTACATTTCTGTAGTGAAGCACGGGTAACGAGCTGTTCGGTGCATACACCGTGCTCTGAAGAAAATAAGTGTTAACTAACTCCATTGAGCTCTTGAGACTTATTGAGGGGGTGTATGAGAACTACACTTACTCTATGCCTTTATCGTCCGATGTTAACCCCGCACACGGGGAACGGACCGGCTCCGCCATCAAAGCGATAGGGGGTTTATCCAAGGCCCTAATCTATGTGGTCATAATATTTAAATCACACAAGTGACAGCATCAAGATAAGAGTTTCACGCACAGACCTATACATGATGCCTACATTATAGGCACATCATGTACTGTATCTTGCGGTGAAAATTCGCATTCATAAAAGAATGAAAGGATAAAACACTTTGTGTCTTATATCTCACCATAATAAAATCACGCACTATCAGCTATGAATGTTTCCGAGAAAGACGAATCAAAAATGTCAATGGAGAAAGTGGCGCCTGTGGCCAGTCAGGCTCAGGGGACCCATTACACCATGGCAGACTCTTCCTTACAAACCGATAGTACTAACTTGATCGTTGCTCATCACGCAATTGAACGTATCGGAATGGGTCGATACCAGTGGCAGCTACTTGTCACGTGCGGTTTTGGATTTCTCGTTGACCAAGTATATTTCTCATATTCCGTCAAAAGCTCAATGATAATCCCTTTGTCCATGCTAACTGCAGTTTCTGTTGGTAGATGTTACTTGTTTCAATCAGTATAATCACTCCGAACACAGCAAAAGAATTCGGACCTGCTCATGCCACCTTGCTGTCCGCATCTTTGTACGCGGGGTTGCTAGTTGGTGCCATATTATATGGTGTGGCTGCTGACTATATGGGACGGAAGCTGGTCTGGCAATTATCTATATATGGGGTGTCAGTCATCACTATGCTCAGCGCTTCTGCAACCAGCTGGACAGCAGTTAATGTTTGGATGACATTAAATGGGCTTTTTGCGGGTGGAAATTGTAAGCCCTATAAACCGGTTCTAGATTTTATATACTGATTAAAGGATATCTTTGCCTCAGTGGCTATTGATTTGACGATTCTCGCCGAGGCTCTCCCTCGGAAATGGACGTTTCTCCTTACGGGATTGGCCGCTGTTTGGGGTCTGGGAAATGCAATAACAGGATTGATTGGTAAGTTTTGCGCCATTATAATGAAAGTCACAAGGGACTGAGGACTTATGCGCATCAAAGCTTGGCCACTCGTTGATAGCTTCTGCTGCCCAAATGGAGCCACTCCAGAGACTTGCACTCGTGCAGAGAACATGGGGTGGCGATATCTTGATATCATCCTTGGTGGACTCTGTTTAATCATGGCCATCGTTCGCTCTCTCGTTCTAGGAATGGATGAATCGCCAAAGTGGCTGGTCACAACCGGAAAATTGGAAGAAGCAGTGAAAGTAATCAATGCTATCAGCGCAAAAAACAAATCTGACTACGTAGTCGACATTGACATGTTTTCTACCACACCCGTCCAAAATAACTCGAAAAATAACTGGTTGTATCAGCTAGGTACTGTGAAGCATCTTTTCTTCGGCCTAAAGCAGGTGCGTTTAATTATCTGTTTGGTTTTATTATGGGCCCTCGTTGGGATAGCGTAAGTGGAGGTTCATTTCTTTCAAATTCTCAAATAGGCCCCTATAACTGTTTTTGGTGTCACAGCTATCCCCTCTACACTGTTTTTCTGTCGTACTATCTCGAAGCTCATGGCGCCAACCTGGGCGACGGCAGCAACTACCAAACTTATCGTGACTGGGCGATTTCATCCGTCGTCGGTATATTTGGTCCGGTACTAAGTGCATATTTGGTCCGAGTTCCTTTTCTGGGACATCGCTGGTCTCTCACAATCACCGGGTGTATTTGCGCGGTGTTCGCCGGAGCCTTCACATCTGTCAAGACAGAGGGTCAAAATATTGGCTTTTCATGCATGATAAATTTTTGGTTGAATGCCTTGTATGCTATTATATATGCGTAAGTGTTTATTCACATCCCAGAAGGGCAACTCCATGTGATCCATGGTGGCTAATTGAGGGTGTCAAGATACACCCCGACCGTTTTCAAAACAGAACATCGCGCGATCGCGTGCGGTTTACTCTTAGCCTGCGGGCGGTTAACCTCCTTGTCATCTCCATTTATTGCGACATACGTTGATGTGACATCTCCGGTACCTCTCTGGATCTCATGTGCGTTTTATGTCGCCATTGGAATTATTGCTCTCGCGCTGCCGTTTGAGCCGTCGAAGTTGAATGATTTATCTACCGAGGAGCAATTAGGTTGATAATGTATGTAGAATAAAATTATTTGGTCTACTTCTGTTGGGTAAGGTAGAATATCGTCTCTGACGTGACTTGATTTAGGGCTAGGGTTAGGGTTTATGGTATCCTCCATATCTAGTAATCCTTACATATACTAATTTGGTAAGCGCGCAATAAAGTGATATTACAACCTCCGTTACTCGTAACAGTTCATATGCTATTTTAATACGATACACTATTAATGGTAGTGGGGAAGACTGGAAAATATTTACTATGAATCAATAACATGTGTCTCTCATCCATATTACCAACCATCGTATATTCAACAGCAGTTGAACTTTATGTAAAATCTACGTAAAATGCCCAGCTAAGTGGAAGCGTCGTTCGGGCATTGTATCGCGCTGCGGTTAATTGACTTATTGTTTTCAAAACGCGAATTGGGCCGATGCGTAACGCTGAAACTCCGAGTATAAGTCTCGTCGCGTGATTATTGCATTCGTGCGGACCGAGAATCCGACGTGTGTACCATCTAGATTTCGAGGTGCTGGGTTGATACATGACCATAGAACGTTCTATTTGCCCAAGGTGACAGCTTCAAGTAGTCCGTCTGCCTAGAATAGAGTTTCGAGTTAACAGCTCTCTCTGGCTTGATTTTTCATCATTTTTAGATCGTTTCCCCCTCATTCTGAATCTTTTTATACATATCAGTGTTACAAATGTCTCATCGTGTTGCACAGAATATTTGGATGGGTATTAGTTGGTCATGAGACCTTGTACTGCATGCAAGCAGTCAGAAAGAACTGGAGGATAAGTGGTTTTCTCGGGTGGATTTACCTACCAATCTACGATCGATTTGGCAGTTTGCAAATAAGGATATAAATCCTCAATCTTAGTATACTCGCGTTATTGAACGGCGTTTACAATAATGACTATACAAACTAAGCCGGCTATTATCTACTGAAAACTGATCAAATTTTGAGTTATTTATGTGTTTCCCGGGACTTGCCTGGCTTTTCTCACCGGCGGTGCAGTGGACGCTATTCAAGTTACAGGTGGGACAAGGTTGGATCAGCAGGGTAATGAAAGAGGGTAATCAATATCCCCCATTATTAAGAAAGATAGATGTGTTAGGAAACATACGCTTTCTCGTTCATCGAGTCATTATTCAATATGAGTACTACTCTGCCATGGCCCACACATTGAACGAGCCATTTCTCCGGCGCTAAGACTCAGTGATAATGCGTAGTCATCAGATAGACATGATTATCAAAGCGCAGCTGAAACTATCACGGGCAAATAAAATCACACATCCCCACCACGCTTACCTCGCCCCTTACCATTCTCGCCATCAACAGCGCAAATTCCACGATCCTGGCAGACTGGGTTTATTCTTTGAGTTATTTATTGTTCTCCGGGTTTCCCCATGTTTCAGGCCGTCGTTTGCTTTCTGCGGGAATATGCGGGAGGCCTACAATGAGATGCATGCATGGTGCGCCGCTAGTGCTAGGGCACAGCAAAATGGACGGCGTAGTGTCGGTGCTGGGCTAGCGTCAAGCTGGGCTAGCGTCAAGCCAGTGAGAGGCTTTGTGGGGATTCTTTGACGACGTTATTTTGTAAATCTGTAGTCGGGTCGATACTACATGCAAATTTAGGTGTAAGGAAGAGGTGTTTTGATAATGTATTTCTATTGATGTTGGCTATTGTATTGACAACATGTCTATGGCCGAAGCACAAGTGTGTAATGGACCGAAGCCCAATTACTGGTCAAAGTGGAAATCAAAACTCCATGCGCCAGATCATTGCCCGCGCTCATTTTCGCCAGCAAAAGTAAAGTACATGATCATGCAATTCGTAAAAACTCATAATGCTCACCGGAAGCCCTTGTTACACGGCTCGGTGAATGGGGAAATAAATATCGAATAAAGGGGAATCAATGGAGAATCGAAGATACGGTGAAAGGCGACTGCTTTAGAGATTCGCTTCGCTTCTTTCAACCGGCTGGTCCTCAATCTGCTTCAAGCAAGACTCGAATTCGGACCAGTCTTTCATGACAACCTGGGCGCCGAGTTCAATCAACTTGCCCGCCATCTCGGCCCGCTTCGCGTCACCGGGATAGCTTCCAACATAGGCAATAACGGGGATGCCGGCACGAATAGCGCTGAGGGCACCAGAGCGGCTGTCTTCGATAGCAACACATTCTGTGGCCTTCTTGTTCAGCTTTTCGAGGGCGTAGAGGTAGATAGCGGGGTCTGGCTTGGATGTTGGCTTGGGCAGAGAGGTGGCCGCGCTGAAGACATGGTCGTGCTTGAAGTATTTGTCCTGGTTGACCTTCTTGATTGAAGCGCGGACACGACGAAGGGCGGACGATGATACGACTGCCATGTCGTATTGGCCAGAGCGCTGAAGTTTTTCGAGTTCCTCCATGACGCCAGTGCAGGGGACGGCTTTGGCCTCCAACTTGGCAATGACTTGGTTCTCTTCTTCCTTGACGTAGAATTCGATCTCGTCCTTGGGCATCTCGAAGCCGTACTTGCCCTGGAGGGAGATCATCATACCGCGAAAGTTCTGGCCAACGAAGTCTTGAATCAGTTGCTCGCCAGTGTAGCGGTCGGTGATGTCGCGCTTGGCCAGGATCTCGTTGGCAATGTCAGCGCAAGCCTCGAAAGCAAGCTCCTCGGACATCACGAGGGTGTTGTCGCAGTCAAACAAAAGCTGGGTGATCTGGTGAGGGGTCAGGTCAGTGACTCGTCCTTAACGTCCATGCAGCATAACAAAAAAAGCGGTACATACCTTGGCCATGTTTGCGGATGGTTGTGGAATGAGGGGATGCAATATCAATGTAGTCTATGTACGGTCAATGGACTTGAGTGAGCTGGTTGAAGAGAAGTAGGTGGTGAGAAAGAAAGAAAGGTAGGTGGATGATGTGTAGATAGAGTAACAAAAGAAAGAGCCTGGAACGGAAGGCGCAGAGCGGTGGTTTAAGTAACCACGGATTGCGAAATGACGCTCCTTGCTCAGTTGCAAACCGGATGCTGCCCAGGAATGACGCTCTGGATTGTAACTGCGGGCACCATCCACTGCCACTGCCACGGCACCACCGATGGCAGCCCGCTTGCCCGTATTAGGCATGGTTCTGGCGGCGGGAGGGCTAATCAGCACAGCCAGTGGTGACGTCGTGTGGCCGCGGTGACTTCATTGGGCCAGCCCCTAGTTAATTAATTGGCAGCGCGTAATAGGCCCGGCTCGCTACTACAACAATTGATCCCCTACCATGGCATCCGTTGCCACTAGGTTCCCTTATCGTGTCGAGACATCTCCAATGATTCATTGATTGGACGACGATAGGATCCAGTAGTGGGAGAGCCTAGGAGGTGTAGACAATCACCAACAGCCTGTAGGGCGCGCACGAACGCCCTTGAAGGGAGGAATGGAATGCTGTATCATGCATGTATCCCCGGTCAGCCATTTGGGCAGCCCTGTACGTGCAGGCTGTAACCCTGTGGGCCTGTTGCGCTCGAAACTTCCACGCCAAGCCGTCTGGCCGCGCCAGTCCGTTCCAGGCCTAGCCCGTCGTCGGGTAAATGAGGGATTCACCCGGCCTTCTCAGCGCAGCGCTGCGGCACGCCGCCTCTGATTGGCCCGCTCTTGTCCTTTGTAGACTCGTACCGCACATGTCTGAGTGCACTTAATTAACTAATTCTTCCTGCTTGCGAGCAACGAGTAACGTCAGAGATACCCCGTCGCTAGCCCAACCTTGCGGCGCAATGAGCTCCGAAGGCCCTGCCTTTCCGGTGTCTGTGTCCGACCTGCACTTTCCCTCTGCGGCTGTATCCGTATCACAACTGTTATCGTCGCTACGGCGATCTGCTCTGTCCGTGACGAATCGATTGCGGTCCGTTGAAGCTGACGCCCGCTTCGTCCACGAGGTAGCCGACCACTACGAACTTCCCCTGATTGCCAATGAACGCTGCGGCAGCTGGTACATCGATCCTGCGCAAAAGGCGGCTAGTGCCTACTTCAAAAGCACAGATGGCCATACCGGCCAGTGGAACTTCAGCTTGCGCAGATTGAATTTACAAATTCTCTCCCTAGCTCGAGATCATGGCGGGTACGATTCCTCTCTCTTTTTTCATTTGTTTTGAAAATAGCGCAGTTGAACTAAATGCTCGTGGTATAGGTGTATCATTGTGGACTCCACCCGTAGGGGTAAACGTATGTGACTAACTCTCTTCGGACGACAAGTTACATGTGAATGTATTCAAAGTAGCCATGGGCCGTTAACATGTGCAGTGATGCCCGATGCACTATCTAAAACCATCCCAATATGGTGTGCAGTCCTCAATCGAACGCTATTCCCAACTGAACCGGCCTTGCATCCCGTCCAGTTTCCCCCAAACTTTCTGACTGCCTCGGAGGAAGCTCAGATCGAGAAGCGTATTGACGGCTTCGTCAAGGCTCTCCAGGTAGGCCGCCGTCCCCTGTAGTTCGAAATGTTGGGTCTGGTCTGATTGCGAATTCTTGCAGGAACTAAAACTAGACTTGAAACAATTGACTCAGGACCTCGGTCAGCCCATCCAGATTGCGTGGGCCAATCAATCCTATTTTTATCCAACTGCATTGCAAAAAGGAGAAAAGTACAACCTGTTTGTGCTCTGCTCTGCCTCGCGGCGAGTACACGGCGCAGAGGCCTCCGAAGGGGGTATATTCAGGGTGCGGGTGATGACAGCGAGGGATGGGCTAATGGGCTAACAGCTCCGGTGTTTTGGGAGAACAAAGATTTATTACTTGCTACTGAGGAAAGCGAGTTGCCTGATGTTATCAAAGAGTTAATGCACAGCCATGGAAAAGCTGACACTGGTCGACAAGCTGCATTGCTTCGACCTTCTTCAAATCTTTACATTACCCAGGCCTTTGGCGCCTCGGGAGAGTACGGAGACTATGATCTCGTTATTTCTTGCAACGACAAGCCCCCTGAAAGCGGCAGTAGTGCAAATAGACTTGATTTAGGATGTGGTCCCCACAAAATTGGCAGTCGAGATTTACGGTCTGCTTTGGGAAAGGTTATTGACTTTGTGGAAAAGCACTTCAACACTGATGCTTCCCAATCATTGTTGGTGGCGTGTGAGACCGGAAAAGACCTTTCTGTCGGCACTCTCCTAGCTATCATTTGTCGGTTCTATGACGACAACGGTAAGTATTTACCATTGGTATGTGCGTCGTTGCTGTCTAATTCCAATCATAATGTACAGGAAAGTTTGTCGACAAACAACCACAGAACCATATAGACAAACAGTTTATCCGTCAACGCCTGGCATGGATCATCACTTCAAAACCCGACGCAAATCCTTCCCGGGCAACGCTCCAGTCGGTTAATGCCTTCCTTCTACAAAGACCTGATTGAAGAATACAGCATATTGTGGATGGCAGCTGCTGACGACTTTGTGGAAACGCTCAGTCTAGCGCTAGACGTCACTTGTAAGGCATATCGTATATGCTATATACGGAACGCGGAATTAGTCGTCACTGACTGATTCGACTACTACCCCGGCGTCACCCTGGTCTAAGCTATCTAGGATTCCCATATCCTCTTTGCTGATGTGAAAATCATATACATCGGCGTTGGAAATGATTCGATCCGGTGTGCTACTCTTTGGCAAGGGTACCCAACCTTTCTGTAGACTGTATCGAATCAGAATCTGAGCTGTGCTCTTTTCGTACTTCTTCGCCAACCCAACCAGCGTAGGGTCATTGAACTTATTAGCGCGGACAAGCGGACAGTAGGCTTCAATGACGATTCCGTTTGCTTTGCAGTACCTATCAATCCGGGGCTGTTGGCACCATGGATGAAGCTACGACCATTGAGTTAGCTCTGAATAACTAGAATAGATAATTCGCAGCGAAATTTAAGAGGGACGCATACCTCGATCTGATTGACATCTGGCGGCCAAATCTTCGCGTAGGCCTTCATCTCCTCAATATGTTTGATACCGTAGTTGCTCACCCCAATACTCTTCGCCCGTCCTTCCTCGACAAGCCTTTCCAAAGCCTGCCATAATTGCTTTCGCCCTGTCTGCCCCGAGCTGGGGCTGTGTATCAAGAACAAGTCAACATAACCGTCTTTCCCCGCAATCTTATCCACACTATCCACAGCCTTCTGATACGTCGCCTCTGGCGAACCAGCTGGGGTCATAATCTTCGTTGTCATAAACACTTCATCACGAGGAATCCCAGACGTCCGCACGATTTCGCCAACTTCTTTCTCGTTCCCGTAGAATTGCGCCGTGTCGATATGTCGATACCCAGCTTTCAGTGCTGCCCCGGTGGCTTGCACGCATTCTTTGCCGTGTATCCGATATACCCCAAATCCGAGACGAGGAATGCTCCTGGTAGAGTTGCGCAGGGGCAGGGGGTCTGTTATGGCGAGTGTTGTGGACATGGTATGAGAGCTGTGATGACGCGAAGCAGTGCGGGGTATGCAGAGGGGAGAACCAAGTCGCTGTCAGATTTGATGGTTGGGATTTGGTGTATGGACTGTCTTTGTTGAAAATATTATATAATCTCTTTTCTATTTTGGTAAAATGGAAGAGACGTAAAGACGAGAGATTAGAGAGAGAAAAAATTCAAGAGAGGAATTTCGAGCTCCTTGGAGAAATGTGAAATCGGCAGTGACCCCACTTGGAGTGATCGCGGCGGTGATATCATCGCTCTTGGGTCTGCAGCTTCGTCAAACAAACACCATGCACTGGAACAAACGATGTTTCGGCTGAGGATTTGCCATTGAAAAATTTCTCTTCTTTGTATTATAATCCTCATTGTGTTTGCTTTGTCCCGATATTGACGATGGTGTCTAAGACAACCTCAAAGATGGCAACCAATTGAAACACAGGCTTTGTTCGGACTCCAAGAACAAAAAGGGCATGATGGTTCAAGCTCAATTCATGACGAATACATCTAATACAAAATATAAAGACAACAGCATCTGAAACGTCATGATTATTGTTGTAGTTAGGTCGTGTCGATAAGATTCGGCAGCTTACCGGTTGCTGTGGAGCGGCCGGACAACGCATGGGTTGGCTGGGCTAGCCTCCAAGGGGAAAAAGGGGCGGCGATTGTTTATCGTCCCTGCCAGCGCCAGCATGCGGAGACCATCAACATTGCTTAATTGTTTGCTCCCAGACTCTTGTACAGCTATTATTTTAACAACGACTGGGCTGGTGATTACTGCTGCAGTCCCGGCTGATTGACCTATCTCCGAATCGAGAATCGTCCGAAAGTGCCTGCAGGCCACTACTGCTCACTCCGTAGCGACTATTGACGATTGGCCAGCCGATCCCTCTGACCCCTCCCTTGCAGTCTTAGGGCGCTTTTCATCACCGTCTATCTCGGATCTTTATTCTTGTCTCTTGTTCTATTACATTCCTGCTGCATTAATACATTTGTCACCTTGGATGGGTGCCCGCTTCAATCATGTTGATGGTCGAAAAGCAGTGGATTAATGTGCAGCAAAAGACCTTTACCAAATGGTATGCGTCCTCATTCCTCCTATCAATCCGTTCTCCGACTTACTTCTTCGACTTGCTAGGCTCAATAATAAGTTGAAGGTTAGAGACCTCGCAATTGAGGACCTCGTGCATGATCTCTCCGATGGAGTAAGTTTATCGGATTTACTTGTTGAATGGTATCCCAGCTGAACCAGTCTGACGGTAATCTAGGTTGTTCTCCTTCATCTCCTCGAAATCCTTGGCGATGAGTCCCTTGGTCGATATGCCTCCAAGCCAAAGCTTCGTGTGCAAAAGTTCGAAAATGTCAACAAGAGCTTGGATTTCATCAAGTGGAGGGGGATTACGATGACCAACATTGGCGCCGAGGATATCGTTGACGGGAATCGGAAGATCATCCTGGGTTTGATCTGGACGCTCATTTCAAAGTTTACCATCAGCGACATCAATACAGAGGGCATGTCCGCGAAGGAAGGCTTGTTGCTATGGTGCCAGCGGAAGACTGCCTGCTATCCGGAAGTAGAGGTTCGGGATTTCTCAGGCAGCTGGAATGATGGCCTCGCTTTCTGTGCGCTTCTCGATATCCATCGACCGGATTTAATCGATTTTGATTCCTTGGATAAGAACGATCACCGCGGTAACATGCAGCTGGCTTTCGATATTGCCTCCAATGAGATTGGTATCCCTGACCTGCTTGACGTGGAAGACGTTTGTGATGTTGCCAAACCCGACGAGCGATCTCTCATGACATATATTGCCTATTGGTTTCACGCATTTTCGCAGCTTGAAAAAGTGGAGAATGCTGGACGACGAGTTGAGAAGTTTGTTAGTAACATGCAAGGTGCTTGGGAAATGCAAACCTCTTATGAGAAAAGAATGAGGGAGCTTTTACATCAAATCTCAGCGCAAAGGACGAGCTGGCAAGAAGCGTCATTCCAAGGCACTTATACTGATGCCAAGGAACAACTTGCCGAGTTTTCACAATATAAGAGGAATCAGAAAAGAAAATGGGTGGCCGAAAAATCCGATCTTGCTGCGTTATTAGGTAACATCAAGACAAAGCTAAGCACTTATCGCCTACGACCCTACGAACCTCCAGCAGACTTGCGACTTGATAAATGTGATGATGAATGGGAGAATTTGATGAAGGACGAGCATGAACGCAGTCAACATATCAATGAAACCATTCGAGATATTAAGAATAGGCTGCGCCGGACCTTTGCCGACAAGGCTAACGATTTTGCACTTACTCTAAAGACCTTGACTCTCGCGATATCAGGGTTGGAAGGGGATGTGGATGATCAGCTTTCTCATGTCCAGCGGCTGAACGATAATCTACCGCCTCTTGATGCTTACTTGGAGACGATCGCCGATCTAGAGGACCAGTGTGCCGAAGCCAACATTGATGAAAATGACTACACGACATATACATTGGACGAGCTTTCATACGAATTAGGCCTCGTGAAATCAAGCGTGGCGAAGAAGCTTATGTTCCTCGAGAATCAAATGGTTGCACGGAGTATGACAAATTTGACTCCCATACAACTGGAGGAATTTGAGTCAGTTTTCCGACATTTTGATCGAGATGGCTCGAACACCCTTCAGGAAATTGAGTTTTCGGCGGCCTTGGCGAGTCTGGGTTTGGTTTATGATGAAGATGAAATGCACGAAGTTTTCCTCGACACGTGTGGTCGAGGATCGTCTGTCAGTTTCGAGCAATTTATTCGATTCATGGTTAGTGTGACGGAGGATCAGAACTCGGCAGAACAGGTCTTTCAGAGTTTCCGTGAAGTTGCAGATGGCAAGGTGAGTCAACAAAAGAAAAAGAAAAAGCGTCAATTGGAAACACTAACATTTGTAGCCATATGTTACGGAGCTGGATCTGCGACACTCTCTTATCCCGGATGATCTTATTGAGAACCTCCTCGGATCTATGCCGAAACACGACGGACCTGATCTCTTGGAGGATAGGGATGTCCCTAAATATGATTATATAACTTTTATGGAAAAGATGATGGACCACCAAGAGGATTCGGGAGATCAAAATCAGCATTTAAGTAATGGGAGACACTAGGTATCCCCCCGTCTTCGTTTTAATGCATTCGTGGTCGTTTGGGATGCGCTTCTCTATGTTTATAGGTGTTTAGGCTGGTGAGGATCGGCATTGCGCCGGTTTGGTTGTTTATAACTTTATATGCATGCTGGGCAGCATCCTTGTTCTAGTATAGGACTAATATGTTTACGGTTAATTTAAATTTCCACTATACTGCACGTCGCACGAAGTGAAAAAACTTTTATAACAGCCATGTAGGCTGAAAATAAATCTTTAACGCAGAGTATTGTTTGAGGCTCTGAAGGGGATCACGTGCTGCGTGGCGCCACGGCTCATGGGGGCCACGGAGTTGTTGGGTGAAGATCCGCGACAAACGGCACAGCCTTTTCCTTGGCCTTGGCATACATTGTGACACCGCTCAACCTGTCCTCTGGAACTCAACTCATCGCCAACCCTCAATTCTATACCAAGTCAACAATCCGCCTATTGACTGCAACCATGGATCGCAGTCTTGACGAAATCATCGGGGAGCGTCCGGTAAGTACCCAATTCAAGCTTGTGATCAACCCGCTCTCTTCGATCAACCAACTAACAGGCTCGAAATATAGCAAAAGCAGGGCCGTCGTGAACGACGAGGCGGAAATACAAGCAGCGCACCACGCGATGGTGTGAAAAAGGTATAACTATCGAAACAGACACAACACCTTTATATTTCGATTTGGTAATACTAATTGATACTGGCGTATAGGTCTTCCTCCTCCTCCAGTTTTCGCCTCCAGTGATACCGTGAAATGCATCCGATATGTCTGGTTCCGCGAGGTTTTGAGACCTGCGGAACATGACTGCAATTCTCGAGATGGATGGATCATGATCATTATTATGATTGCATTAAAAATTGACCCTCAGCTGACCTTATCCTCCTCTTTCAAACTTACAGTCATATCGCGAACGTGTTAATTTGGATCGGTGGGTGTTGACTCTTTGGATAGGATACCTGATATTTGATGCTGATTGTGTTTCTAGTGACTGGGTGCACGACCGATTCGAAGAAGACGGAGATTGTGCGTGCTCGTCTTGATAATAGTAATAACCTGACCTTGTGCTTACATACGCATCAGCCCGTGCATATCGTCGCGACGACCGATCCAGACCTGACCGTATCTCCCCGGATCCCGAACAGCCGTAAGACTACTACCAACGTATCCAAATTTCTGTTACAAGGCTAACTCTACCCAGAGCTCGTCTACGCATTGATAACCTTCACTATGATCTCACAGAAGAGGACCTAATGGTAGAACACACCTCCAGATTTCGTTAACCATATCTAATATTAAGGATTACAGGGCCTCTTCAGCGGAATCGGCTCTGTTGCCCGTGTACGTGTTGAGTATGATCGTGCCGGCCGCTCAGAAGGAGTCGCCATTGTTACGTACCATCACATCGAGGACGCAAGACGGGCAATCAAAGAGTTTGACGGCGCCAACGCCAAAGGCCAACCCATCCGGTTAACTCTTCTTCCCCCTCGTGGTGCGCCGAAGGCAGAGAAATCAAGGAGTCTTTTCGACCGCATTGAGCGTCCGGCTGATAGAGATCAACGCAGCCTCAGTCCCGCTAGCGATGGAGGACCCGGTGGCCGACGTCGTCGTCGAGGAGGTCGTGGAGGAGCAGGAGGTCGTGGAGGAGCGGGAGGCCGTGGAGGAGCGGGAGCTCGTCGGAGCGATGTTTCTAAGCCCGCCCCAGACCATATCGACCGCTACGTGCCCGGCGAACGAACCTCCCCGGTTCGTCGCAACGCTGGACGTCGACCTGGCGAACGCCGAGATGAGAAGCGCAGGGATGGCCAGGGCCGTCAGCCAGCCAATGGCCGCCAGAAGAAGACGCAGGAAGAACTCGACCAAGAGATGGATGATTATTGGGGCTCTACCAACCTAGCCGGCGAGAAGGAAGCCGCTACTGTACCCGCTGTCGATTCTGGAGCAGCTCCAGCTGAAGCAGTACCTGCAGCTGGCGCTGACGACGACATTGATATGATCGAGTGATTGTTATTACTATTTCTCAGTACTAAGATTGTTGTTCCGGATGTATTGTAATCAATATCACAACTAGAAATGCGCAAAAAGATTTTTTCTGCGATCGGAGCTTTTTTTATTTCTGTTTTTATGGGATTCATCATCGGATTTATATGATAGTGTATGGTGCATCGTTACTATTAGATACGACATCACTCTGAAAGAAAAACTACTTCGCTCTTGTCACCATCTTCGCTGTTGGAATAGAATTTGGGTTAACAAGATTAAATGTTGCCCGTAGTATGAGCAGAGAATCCTTTTTGTCCCTTTTTGAGGTGACGTTTGTAGGATACATCTCTATCGCCATAGACCGTATGGTTCGCGACTAGCTTTCCATAGTTTGATCGTGCCATCTTCGCTTCCGGTGCCGTACAATTTGCCATCTGGGGAGTAGCTGACAGACCAGATAGGGCCGTGGTGGCCCTTTTGAACCTCTGTAATTGGTATTAGTATTGAGAGGCAAAATGAAAAGAAATTGGTGCTTGTGATATCATACCGAGCTCATCGTCCGTGTGCAGATCGTAGACTCGCGCCCAGGTATCTTCACCAGCACCACCGGTCACAAATCGGCCCGTGTCGTTATTGACTGCAACACTAGCGACCTCGTAACGGAAATCTACTTTCTTGAGCAGCCGGCCAGGCACAGTGCCATCAAACAAATAGACTGACTTCCCAGCCGCAACACTCAAAATCCCGGGATCGTTTGGACGTGTCGCCAACATGTTGAGCTCGCAACTACCGATCGTACCCTCGACATTATGCTCGGCGACAGGGTGCCGAGACCGCAAATCCCACCATCGGATTTTGCGGTCTTCTGCGGCTGTCGTGAGGATGTTGTAGTCCTGGTTCCACACAACAGACTTGATGGTACCGCCGTGCACGCCAGGCCCGATTTCGTAGCTGGTTGCTGATCCAGTGCCATTTATCGAGCTGCCGCCAGAGCCCTCTGCAGCTGGCGTTGCAGATGCACCTGATGTGGACCCAGAGTCACTCCGGGATAGGTCGAAGATTCGTAGTTTCTTTTCCATCCCTCCGGTAGCGAGTACCTGAGGATTGGATTGGATTGGGAATGCTACTGCACGTACAATGTGGAAATGCTGCAGTGTATGCAGACACTCTCCTGTGTGTGTATCCCAAACCTTCCTGTTTTATATGTTAATAGGTCCAGAATTATCAGCGTAGATTTTACTTACGCTGAGAAATCAGCTGCTGCAGTAGCGGCTATATTCGCATCAGCTGACAGCCGGGCTTGCCATACGGCACCTTTATGGCCCATGAAAGTACCGATCCTATGCAGTTGTGGCTTAGTTATGGTAGATGAGGAGTCTTTAGCTAGGTTCTCACCAGTCACCAGTAATGCCATCACGAAGCATGGGATTGTTATCTAATGGAATGTAAGTATGGTGAAAAAGCACGCTTTTGTTCAATATGATCTTACCTTTGCATGCTGATATGAGGTAATATTGATCATCTTCCACTATAGAGGAGAAGCTAATATGTGGAACTGGACGAGAATGACCATGGCAAGTCAACGGGACTACCTTCGGGACCTCTGTAGCAGATTAGTTTTTGCCACATAAAAATGAACGAGGAGGATATACCGAAAGACATCTTTAATTAGAATGGAAAAGCGGAGATGAAGTCGCAATAAGCGGTAGTCTGAAGGAGCGTGATCTGTGTGAGGTCAAGTTGGATAAAAGATATGTATCCAACAAGAAGGAAGTACGTCGTAACCGTCTTCTAGCTCGTAGCTAAGACCAGCTGAGGATTGGATTCGTTAAATCGTTACGTCGTTAAATTAGTTGGTTGAAAAGAGTCGACTGGTGTACGCCCGTCGAAAAGAAAGAGTGAGGGAAGCGGCCGTGATGAAAGGAAAGTAAGTACCCGAGAAAAGAACTCTTTGAAAAGAAACGGATCTCTCGAGTCGTTTCTTTTGTTGTTTCAGATCTCAACTAAACACAATCCAGCAGAGGCTTGTGAGGATTTACTTTGATCCAAGACAGACGCAGATTTACGATGGAGAAAATGTCCGATCTTGACTGGCTGCAAGAAACCCGGCCACTTTCCCCATTTAGCATAGCGCGCTGTGCCCCTTGCTTTTGTGCACGTGAGATTCGCATTGTTCTGTCTCAACATCGAACAACATCAACACGTCCTCGTGGGCTGTTTATGGGTATTTGTTGCTCATTTTGGCACGTGCTGAAAGGATGATAGACTTTTGGATTTTTTGCCTTATTTAAATGTTGTTTTTGTACGTTGCTTACATTTATGTCGCCCACAGGCCAATCTTATCTTCCCCACACGGGGCTAGGCTGTTGTTCTGGTGGTTAAGAGCTGGTTCGGATTGTCATTGCTATGAATAGAGTGAGGATTCTAAATCTTTCTAAGTAGATGGTCGGTAACAAAGTGATGTTTGCTAAATCGAATATATAAGATTTACAACATTTGAAGCCGACTCAGGTTGACGTGGATTACAAATACCCCGCAACTCTACCAGAATCATTTGCCAATCCCCCCAGCAAAGCACGCAGAGATCAGCTAGACCCGGTGTTATGTGCCAGTAAGCTCAAGAGAGAGCTTTCGGCGTGTTGAGCGTCTCGAGCGTATCCTCGCATAGTTCCATCGAACTGCCCGTGACCGTAATCTTGGCTAGAGTAGTATACCTGAGTTCGTGCGTGACACGAAGACCCGTCTTGATGGGGTACGGGCGAGGCTTGGGACACAAGAATGATAGCAAGCCTATGATCAAGATTTGCATATTATAATGTCACTGTCGTGCACATCGTAAGCAAATGCTCCTGGGCCAATGGCCCCTCATCCATTCAATAATATTGAGAATGCCTCTCATTTCACGTTCAAACCACCAAATGCTCTGTCCAGCTCCTCACCCTCGTCTCGCGGTGCTATAGCAGGAGTGGCTTGCAATTCTTGCTCTCGCGTACTCGAGTCCAAGATGCTCGGGGATGCAGCATCACCATGCACCGAGGAGCCGTGTATGGCTTCGGGCTGCAAAAGTTTCTCATCTCGGTCCAGCCAGCCGGGCGCTACACGTCTCTTTTCCGCCAGTTCTCGCTGTCTGACAGAGTCCTCCCAGTCAGTAATTGCCTTTTTCGCATCTGCCGCTGTCCTTTTCAGATGATCTTCAAGAGACTGGCACGATGCTAGTATTTCATCCGGGTGGGCTGCATGGCCGCCCGTGGAGGAGACGACGTAGCGAGCTTTCTCATCCGAGTTGGCTGGGTTCACCGTAATGGACGGAGGCAGCGATGACGCGACAGATTTGTATGTGTAGGGTAGAGTGACGGCTGTCGGGAGTGAGATGAACGGGGACACGGTCAAAGGCACCTGCGCTAGCAGGGGGTGCGGTCCTTGCAGATGTCAGCGAGCAGTGTTATAGAAACAGTTGGACGCTACCTACTGTTGGAGTCATACATGTTTTGAATCACAAAACCGAATCCTGAATCGTGTAGAATGCGTGGTTGCAGGATAGAAGCAGGTGGTAACTGGTGATGTCAGCCCCGCTGCAGGGAATCAGCCAATCAGCGCCGAGATGCTGCATGTTTGGGAATGCCTACCTGCCTGATTCAGGCGTGAGGCAGTCTCTGACTCAGCCATGAATAATTGCAAGGTATATGCTATAATGCCATTGTTTGCAAAAACTCTTAGCTGTAAGCCTGTGCTCTTAAGACTCGCGATCGCGTGCATACATACATACCTCTATACAGCTTCCACGTACTAGCAGTCTTGCACGCAGTCTCCGCTTCCCGCAGCCTGGCGCCCCCTCGGGTCTCTCCTGTCAGCCGCCGAATCGATTGATTTCATTCTCGACCTGCTCAGCCTGTTTGTGCTGCTTCTTCCCCAACTCCACGCGACCCTTCCATTCCCCTCCTGTTCGCGATCGACCCGTTCGCCTGGGACTCGATTTATTGTCCTCCTGGTTTGCTTCCCTTCTGTGCAGTCCTAAGTCGGTTCTCCTGGTTAGAACAAAGTGCGATCAATTATTATTGTTATTGTTCCTCCTCCACCTCCCCGTGCGGCTCGACGAACCCCGCCACACGCCTCCTAGCCACTTTCCACCTCGGCCTTGCGACGAGAATAACTCACGTCGCTCGAATTATTACAAAAAATCACTCTAATTGAAACTCGTTCGCGATGGATCGGCAGCTGGAACGTGCGGTGATACACAAGAAGCCAGTCCCTGAGATCGACTTTTCTCTACATACAATGGAAGATGGCACTCAGGTATCGACGTTAGAGCGAGTTTGTAAAGGTATTTATGATATATTGCATGTCTTTGTGTTTGCTGCATCCCCAAGAGCTAATATCGTATACAGAGGTGCAGGCACCGGCGCTCACTGTCCCTTCTGAGGAGAATTTTCGATCTCCGGAAGACCCCAGCAAACCCAATCTCCAGTTTCTCAAACAACATTTCTACCGAGAAGGCCGACTCACAGAGGAACAGGCACTATGGATCATCAATACTGGTACTCAGCTGCTTCGCTCAGAGCCCAACCTTTTGGAGATGGACGCCCCGATTACAGTGTGCGGCGATGTTCACGGCCAGTATTTTGATTTGATGAAATTGTTTGAGGTCGGCGGGGACCCTTCAGAGACACGGTATTTGTTTTTGGGCGATTACGTCGACCGAGGCTATTTCAGTATTGAGGTTGGTGACATTTGCTCAACTAACATGACTCAACACGCTAACGTATTAGTGTGTGCTTTATTTGTGGTCTCTCAAAATTTGGTATCCAAATACTCTTTGGTTGCTGCGAGGCAATCACGAATGTCGCCACTTGACAGATTACTTCACCTTCAAACTTGAATGCAAACACAAATACTCCGAACGTGTCTACGATGCCTGCATGGAGTCGTTTTGCGCCTTGCCTTTAGCTGCTGTTATGAACAAACAGTTCCTTTGCATCCACGGTGGTCTCAGTCCAGAGCTGCATACTCTCGAAGATATCAAGGCTATTGATCGATTTAGAGAACCCCCCACTCACGGTTTGATGTGCGATATCCTTTGGGCCGACCCACTGGAGGAATTTGGCCAGGAGAAAACTGGCGAATACTTCATCCATAACAACGTCCGAGGCTGCTCTTATTTCTTCTCATACCCTGCAGCATGCGCTTTTCTTGAGAAAAATAATCTCCTATCAATCATTCGGGCGCACGAGGCCCAGGATGCTGGTTATCGAATGTATCGCAAGACTCGTACCACTGGCTTCCCGAGTGTGATGACTATATTCAGTGCCCCCAACTATCTTGACGTATATAATAACAAGGCCGCCGTTCTCAAATATGAGAACAATGTTATGAATATTCGCCAGTTTAACTGTACACCTCACCCGTACTGGCTCCCAAATTTTATGGATGTTTTCACATGGTCGCTTCCCTTTGTTGGTGAAAAGATTACGGATATGCTGATCGCCATATTGAATACTTGCTCAAAAGAAGAACTGGAGGACGAAACACCGTCGTCGGTCTCGCCTACTCTTCCTTCATCACCGCCCTCTGCTGCCGACAAGGACGAGCAAAGCGAGTTCAAGAGACGCGCTATCAAGAACAAGATTTTAGCAATTGGTCGTCTGTCTCGTGTTTTCCAGGTGTTGCGTGAAGAATCAGAACGAGTCACCGAGCTCAAGACTGCATCCGGTGGTCGTCTACCTGCTGGCACTCTTATGCTGGGCGCTGAAGGCATCAAGCAAGCCATCCACAATTTCGAAGATGCACGAAAAGTTGATTTGCAGAATGAGAGACTGCCACCATCACAGGAAGAAGTTACACGCAAGAGTGTGGAAGACCGGAGAATTGCTCTCGAAAGAGCTCACCATGAGGCCGAGAATGATGCTGGTTTGGCTACTGTCGCTCGACGTATCAGCATGTGAGTATTATTCCTTACCTTGGTTATTTATCAATTACTAATTTATATTGCAAAGGTCTGGCAACAGACGTCGTAGGGAAGCTGCAAAGGAGCCCTCCAGCTGATAGACTTTAATATCTCTCCAAGCTATCCTGAAAATAATACCCGTTGTCATTTATTCCTAGTGAATTGTCAGTTTTTGTGTAACGCTGTGTGCATCGACATAGAGTGCGTACGTACAGTACCAGCGGGATGAGTAATGATACATGGACATGAAACCCGACTTCCCCTCTCCCCTTACTCATTATATCTTTTTTGCTATATTTATTGATGATATTGGTGCCTATTGTCAGCACGGGCGTCAATGTTCTTTTCAGACCGAGTCGATGCCGTGTACATCAGTCTGTATCGAGTGCAACGTCTGAGTTATGAGTCGATGAAGTGTATTTGTTTTTGGTTAGAAAAGCTTTATTTATCATTGACATGAATTTGAATAAACCCATACATATACAGGTGTTAAGTTAGTCGGTCTTGATCGCATGTTCCAGAGCCATGCAACCTGAAATTGATGCCTAACATTTGAAGGTCAAGCATATATATGCCTTCAACATGTAGACATCTAGAGTACAATCATCCATAACAAACCGTTAGAGATAGATTTAATTCTTTACCTACAACGTTATTATTTGGGTGTTTTTACAAGCATTTCAGCTCATTTTGAGCTCAATCTTAAAGCAACAAACCGAGCAGCTTGATGGGCATACTCTTTTAAACCCCATTCAAAGTATTGCGTAATACACTCACAGAGACCAGTACATATATAGAAGTAATGCCACCGAATCATTTTGCTGAAGCTTGGACAGATACGCGGGAAATGCTATGGCAGGCTACCATGCAAGCTGAATATACCATCGTGGCTTGCTCCCAAACCTCCAAGCTCCAGTTGCGAGTTATTTGCTACAACCTGGTTGTCTGGATGCAATGATATAGAGCTAAGGTCTTCCAATTTTTTGGGTAATGAGGTTGATTATATGGCCTGTACGCTTGCTGTTAATGACTGCATCTCCATCTAATAGCCTCGAGATAGGAGTTTGTCGGTACATGGCACAACAGAGTCCACCAGATAGACAGCCCGTGTAAAGTGTTGATGCAGTTCATGGGGTTGAAAGAAGCCGAACAAACTTTGAATCTGCCAGGAGCACATGAAGATTTGAATTGTAGCATGTTCATGATTATTAAAAGGCAAATATAGCCGTAGAATTTTCGGTATTGATATTGTTGACCATCGCTCGGAATTGAGATGAAGGTCTTACATGACTTACCATCTGCCCAGGACTAAGATAAAGAATTGCTTTATAAGCAATACGAAGACTAATCTCAGTCAACAGCTTGAACGTCCCTCTTATCGCTAAATCTGTTAATATGAATCGACATGTCTATCTCTGGAGATGGCGGATTCGGCCTTGCTGCTTTCAGTACCTACTACTATAGTAGGAAACTATCCGCTACACAGTCTATGCAGCTTCACTTCGTTATCACTCTAAACAAATCTAGGTTTCAATGACTTGGGAAATTAAATTCAATGGGATCTCTTAGCAAACAATGACTCTATCATTCCGCAGGTCCACTTTGTAACTACCTCAACATTTTTTCCAGATTTCTTCTAATGACCTGTGCGTGTTAAACTGCGCCAATTGCTATTTTGGGCCCATCGGTTTGATATATCCTCTATCTGATACAATATTCACCCCTGAGTTCTATGCTTCTCTAAATGTCGACTAACTTCTAACATGCTTTCTGGCCACCAATCTTCGTTCTTTTCCCACATGAACATGCGTCGTTGCATATATTTTTTCAAAGGGACAACACGCATGAGCTCCCAAACCCCGATGCCACCAATCCACCATACGTTGTCTAACAGTATGACCAGGACAAGCCAGTGGGCAAATATATCTATGGCTAGCAGGTGTGATATACTAGGGTTCGCCGTCATAAATGTCGAAGAATCCCAAGCTATCTGCTCATCGACTGGCGACTCAGTCTGGATGAGGCTAATCGTCTCTTCAACCAATGTTAAATATCTGGTAGGAACTTTGTGGATGAAGGCCATGATGATTCTACGAGGAAGCTTTGAGGGTATCATGGATGTGATGCTAGCTGTGTATTTCCGCAACCAAGGTGAAACTTCCGAAAGCTGTCCTACCGGATCGATATCAACCTCGGGGGCCAGATTGCCGTAATCCGGGGTGCTTGCAGCTGAGAAGTTGTCAGTGAAGGTCTCAATGACAATGTTATCGAAGATGGCCAAGGCAGTAAAACAAGCATCGAACTCGAGGTCGTTGCAAGAAGTTGATGACGAGTTGTGACAGCCATCTTTTTGGTTGCTTGCTTGAACAATAGCTGTCTCCCTGGCCTTTTTATGGAGTTTTGAAACTGCCGAACCTACCGTAGCAGCTAGTATAGGGTATAAAACATGGTCTATAGGATTTCTCTGCTGCTCAACAAGAGCTGAGCCTTTGTATTCGTATTGCATAGCAGTGGGGTCAACGGCATGTCGGTACAGGCTAGGCTGAATCGTGTCGTTTACCCCCTGAGTATTGTATAGAATCCCAGCATAAGCTAGATGAACAGCACGAAAGAGTCTAATCCACTGAGAATGTTTGGGCATCAAACCAACGGGAGATTGGTTGCTGAAGGTTGCCGTTGTTGCTAGCCAGATGCGAGCGCAATGGCTGCCCGAGCCGTACATTCCCATCATAGCTGCATTTGCAAGAACATAGTCATAGTGCTTGGTCTCTGGGAGTGAAGCTTGAATTTCCCGCAGCGAATCCATATGATATTGATGCGCAAGCGATAGAAGCTGAAGAACTTGCCCGCGCCCTTCATGGGATACTGGTGGCTGGCTAATTATATCGTAGCACTTACAAACTGCCGCTATTGCTAGCACAGATTTCATAAGAGGTCTACTCTCGCAAGCTAAATTCGGAATTCCGATTTGGAGAGTATGTTGTTCGTCGTCGTCAACTGTCAGGTCCCTGCTAGTGTGCTCGATATAGTGTTCAAATAGCTCAAATTCTGTGGGTGTGAGCATTCGTGCTACATGTGATCGCATAGATGAATCGAGCTTTCTATCTAGCAACCGAGCGGGAGGAACGCTCAATGCTGATGGGAAAGGGCAGCCGTCAACCGTGAACGAGCCCCCAGGACGTTCAGAATCGCCCTTTTTAGGGTCTGTTCGGAATACCTCAGGCTTCAGAAGCAGTGGGTTTCTTGACCCTCTCCAATAATCCTCGAAGTTCAGGGGTCCCAAAGGTCTTTTAAGATATTGGCAGCTCAGGTTCATCTTATTGCATCTTGAGCACCGCGGCATGAGCTCATCACACTGTGTGCTGTCGTTAGAGACTCTATTCATGGTTTTCAATCTTGATATCACCATGCGTACCTTGATCCTTCGCTTTTTGCATTTTGTACAGCCGTTCCTAGACTTTCTGTGCGGCTTGCGCGTTTTATACTCGGTCCAACTTCTTCCTGGCCCTGGTTTTGCGTCCATGTGAGATGAATTGAAATGCGACAGGGAAATTGTTATTGCTACGAATTCCTCTGTAGGTCCTAGAGACGAATACGTGCCACAGTTGTTTATATAAAGTTATCTGGTATCTATGGAGTCAAAACCCCAGTTATATTCACAGACAAGATCTTAGTCAGTGTCACGCTCAGACTCCTAGATCGTTCTAGGAGAAAGAGCACAGCCTCATGTATTACTATTTATTTGGAATTGTTGAGTTCCATGACATATCTGTCTTACGTGATGAGATCTGCGCAGGCTTGCAGCTGTCTGGGACTCGAAAGTTAGTGCGTGGGTGCTGAAAAATAGTCTTGGCAATTTCAGCTCCCAGTCAATGATTATAGCCACTTTACATTCCCCTTATATACACAATACAACACTCCTTAGTTCCCTTGTCCCCCCTAACCAGAGTTCGCGGTAGTAGTGTTAATAATCGGTGGTCATAAGATAGCAACCAATCAAAATTTACACTAAAAATCGGCTCACTCAGCTTTTAATTCCAGCAGCCGCAGACTAACTCGGAGTCCTGGGCCTTTCACACAGCTGCTCTTATTGGGCCTGACTTGTATTGCCCTCTCGATGAAAGTGATCTAGCATGAGGGTGCTTTCTTTTCGCCTGTAGATAATATGATATGCACATGTCTAGCTTTTTAATTTACACTGCTGAATGCCAGGATAAACGAAAACAACTATTTGATAGGCTTGAAGCGCCTTATTACTAAGTATACATAATATAGAGCGGCTTACCTGGTAGCTTGAGGCTAGCGGTAGGCCCTTATGCAAGTGCGTATTCGCTAATGTCCGAATACGCGGTCTAGTTAATGATGCTACCCCAGAACATTTCTCTTCTTGCAAGTATTATTCGTTAAGAACCAATTAGATGAATCGGGTTGTCCCGCCAAAACGCTGACAATCATGGGCTATCAGACCACCCAAAAGAATGATTTTCGGCTTGAAAACTTGCCGAAAAATGCTTATTTGGACATATTACCTGCTGGTCTTTACAGCAACACTCTATCTTCAGTTTGTACACCTTTTCTATCTTAAAGGCATTGCGTCAAGACCAACGGCTACATAATTGTTGCTTACGACAGGAGGCTTGGAATCTATTTTATCCGGTAATCTATTTTCTGCAGCTATTTGATTTCATGCTAATGGACACTACTTCTTCATGCATTGATCAGAATTCAATCAATTTGTTTATGTACATCTTCCTCATGACAAAAGAAATATCCCAGTCTCTGCCGAACTCCAAGGGTCGGACAATGACTAAAGCGAGTATTTCCAGTTATCATCAGGGCTTGCCCATCCTTCAAGGAAGTTTGGTTCCGCTGTTTGCAGGGTATCATTTGTACGGAATCCATTTACCACACTTTTGACACATCCAATCCTCGAAACCGGAACCCCAGACAACCGTTCTTTAACCCACGGTAGCCACTTCATCTGGCTGGCTTGAATGACTGGAAAGTGATTCATGGCCGAGTATGTGACCATCTCCAACGACTCCTTCCACCGCTCCTGTTTTAACATTCTGCAAGTATCATCCACCGCAGGCTCGACCGTGTCGAGGGGAACCACAATGTCAGCCTCCCCAGCAACGACAAGCAATGGGCCCTTGAACTTCTTCCGTCCACTTTCCGCTACTTTGGCGAATCTCTGGACCTCGGGAGCCTCGTACCAGTCAGGAACTGCGAGTTGATCAGCAGTCACATTCGTAAATGCTACGCTGTCAGTCGGGAGACATCCATCCAAAGGCTTCAGGACATTGAACCATCTATCGTAAGATACAGGCGTTAGCCCAGAGTAGTTATACGAAGGGAAAACAGCAGTAACTGCGGCAATTAGCTTTGGCTGTCCAGCAATGATGACCTGGGCCCAGGGCTCCGTGATGTTTCCGAAGGCGTTTTTCAAATGGTCAATGGTTCGTGTAGGAGGTGCAATGGCAACTGTGCCTTTATATCCGGAGATGGGCTCATTGACTTGCTTTTCTGCGAATGCCCAAGCCGCCCCGCCGCCTTGAGAATGGCCCATAGCGACGAAGGGGCCTTCAGCGGTTAGAATACTGGGAAACGCTTTGCGGGCAGCGATTATGGAATTGGCGAGGTCATTGGCCTGGGATGGTCCACTAAGCCATGGATGGCCAATCTCTTGTCCATTCGGCAAGGTATTGATGCCGAGCCCAGCGTAATCTGGCGCAACGACAGCCATGCCTTGTAAAGCGAGAAGGAATGGAGCCATGAAGTGGTACTGCAAATTGCGATAATTACTTGGTGCGCACCCCCTAAGCACGCCAGAAGTTCCGTGGGCCCATGCTACCATTGGAAAGCCTTGCTCCTGTTGATCGGAGGTCGAAAGTGGTGTGTACGGCCAGAGTACATACGCGGAAGCCGGAAGAGTAGTACCATTCAGGTCGTTGGTGGTATACACGATACGGGACATGGAGAGGCCGCTAGGAATGCTGTAGTTGAAGAGGTCGGTAACCGGCTCAACTGAGAGGAGACTTCCTGGGGCAAGATCGGAAGAAAAGTTGGACGGAGTGGCGTAGAATGAGAAGTCCCGCGAGGCGTGTTGGTCAACCTCCCATGAGGAGGCATTCTCAACACGCTCCTGGCAGAAGCTTTCGCAAGTGGAGCTGGAAGGAGTGCAAGCAGCAATATATGCCCCGGCGCCAATAAGGGCTACGGGCAAATAAAAGCGAAAATGTGAGTACATACTAAACTTCGACGTAAGGAATCGATAGTGATTGAAAACTGTGGGAATAAGTAAAATGATGAGTTTATGATGAGATACTATTCAAGTATTGCGAGAAGCTGCATTATATATGCATTTTCATACAATTACCAAATCTTTCTATGTATCAAAATAATTTACCCTTCGCAACCAGTTGATCAGCAATTGGTCATACTATGAGTGAGATCTCAATTACAAATAACAGAGACTCTCATTGACTTAATAATCGAAGTTTCATCCGCAATCATTTGGAATTGGTTTTCGCACCCGGGGCTTTTCCTGCGCCTCAGCCACCTAGACCGCAGTAGTGGGACCTTTTGTCAGAAGTTATTAAACGTGCTTACTGGATACGCTTTATAATTTCCGTCTCAAATACGCTGTGGGGTTTTTCTATAAGGCTGAATACGCATTTTATTCAGCCCCAAGGATCCGAATACGCTGTGTTGCTTTGCTTCGAGGTGCTAAATACACTCTCTTTTTAGCAAAGATCGGCTCTCTAGAGAAATTCAGTCAGACTTACAAGTATATAAGGCCCATGGGATGCCTAACTCAAGCAGACAATCGAGAGTCTTTATCTCATCACCGGCAAAGATATAGCTTGACTATCAAAATAAGGAAGCATGAAACTCGGGTTGTTCGTCAAGATAGCGCTTTACAGCCTGGCTACCACCTCGTACGGTTGGAGGCCAAAAGGTCATGAGTGGCATCCACCACTGCCAGGGGATAGTCAGTATTCCAGAACATATGATTCCTATATTTCCTCATGACACAACTGACCAGGCAACACAGGTCGGTCCCCTTGCCCTGGTCTCAATGTCATGGCAAATCATGGTTGGCTTCCTCGTTCGGGTAAGAACATCGATCTGGCCACACTCCGAGTCGCCGTGACAGGTGCCTACAACTACGCTCCCACTACATTTGACAAGGCTTTTGAGCAAGCGATAGCATTCAACCTGACGACTACGGGAAACAGTTCGACCTTCAACCTCGCTGATCTGGCAAAGCATGACGACATTGAGTTCGACGGATCGCTATCGCGCAACGATTTCTACTTCGGGGATGATCTTCATTTTGACCCTGTCATATGGGCGACTGTAGCCGAGAAACTCGGTCTGTATGAACATGGGGATTCTGAGAAGGACAAATACGTCACCGTAGAGACGGCGGCGAAGGCCCGCGCCGCACGCGTGAGGGATGCTATGAAAGTTAATCCGACTTTCAACGCTTCTCTCAACGAAATTTCTGGTAGTCCTGGGACAACAGCTCTTTACTTGACTACCTTGTGGGACACCAAGGCAGATGCCGCGCCAAAAGCATGGATTAGGGCCTTTTTTGGTAAGTTCTGCAATTTATACCCCCCTGAGCATTACTGCAATGCAGGATACTGATGATCAGATAGAACAGGAGCGTATCCCATTTCTTGAGGGATATGAGCTGCCTGAAAAACAGAAGACCGGCGCAGACATCAACGCGATGTTTGCAAGAGTTCAGTCAGTAAATGTTTCAGTGCAACATTGAATGTGATCGAGTTTTTTTCCATTCCTTACGGTAAAAACGATATGTCATTATTGATAGCACGATGATTTTGATCAGATTATGAAAGCGCTCTCAGGTGCTATGTAGAGCAATCATGATATAGTAGGGGTGGGAGATACAAGCAAGAACTCACATCTGAAACCATATATTTGGCATACTATCTTCTTCAAGGTTCTTATAGAGAGCTTAGTCACGGAATAAATTCAATTATCATTGAATTATGCTTGTTTTTTCATTTAAATCCAAGATTAAGTCTGCATGTATTCTTTAAATCTAAACTATAAGTTAGATCTAAATGGACCAGCAAAATCTTACGTACAGCTCAGAACCAAAAGATACTTATTAGCATTTAGCTTGAAGGCCGGTGGACTATTTCCTCTTTTATATCTGTGACCCCTGCTGATTCAATCAATAGCATTGAGTTGAAGATTCCTTAGTAGGGTTATTGAGTCACGTGTCGGAGCTCTATTTCGTCAATGTAGTTCTAATTGCCCACGCTATTCTAGATAGCATTATGGTCCGAAATACCCCATTCTCTTTTATTTCGTAATCTTCATAATATCTATTGGCTTTCAAGTGGAAATCTAAGAATGATGGTGAAAACTATATTGCATTTTCCTGAACCTTGGAGACGGGTATCTGAGATGGTAATGGTTTAATTATCCTTTTTCCACTTATACGACAAAAGTTTGAATACAGTATTAAGGGCTTTCACCTTTTATCTAAACTTACACTAATTAATATCAGATTAAAATCATGTGCTTCTGAGAACCCCACCCATATAAAATTCTAAATGTTCCAATATTACTAGTATTTTCTATACTTAAACCACTTTCATATAGCCATATTCAAGCTTTTGTCTCCTTACCGTAGCAAGAGTGAAGATAACCAGGAGTATGATGGTTAATAGGCATGATAAATATATATACAGAGTTTGACTACTTCTATTTAAGATGTGAAGTTTATCAATGCCTGGCTAAATCTCTGAAAATATTCTTTAAATAGAGCACGATTGCAGTATTCTGTTTCTATACAAGAAACGGCTATTAGACACTGTCCCGAAAGAGGCCGTTCCACTATTTGTTTCAGAGTAGCCAATCAGGATATAAATCAGAATTAGTTTGTAAAGGTTGCCAAGCACAAAGCCATTTCTTTTACTCACCATGGTTGTAAGTAAGAGCTTTCTAGAAATGTTCAATTTATCAGGCTTTCAACGTCGAATAAAGCCTCAAGGAGGTATTGTACCTGCAATTGATCACTTGGCGCGGAAGCTCTGACGGGACGCGGAAACTAGACTTCTTCCGATTTCTTGTCGTCGAACCAACCATCTCACCCACTTTTTCTCATCACCTTCACTCCTGCCTTCTAATGCCTCCTGGGATTCGTGCCTCTGTTTCCAAAAGCGTCTTACGCTTTTGGGACAATGGCACAAGTCTACCACAAAGGGTTTTTTTCTGTCCTTCGTGCTCGACATGGAGACGAACGTTGACGACGACTCGAACGCGCAACGGGGTCAGTGACTTGCGACGACAGCACGACGCTTTCACGAGCAGGTTTATCGGCAAGAATAGCAGCGATATTGCACGCCGTTTAATATCGACAAACTCGCCCTTTGAAACCAACAGGACTGTCCCGGCGCGTTATAGGGATCTGTATGCATTGCTAGGAGAACTACAGCAAACGGCAGCGGATCAAATAAGTTTGAGTCGGCTTCAGCTTGCCCAACGGGGGCTGGAATCAGAAATCCCTGTGATTCGTGTCGCCGGTCAGCTTTATCTGCTGCTTTTAATCTTAACATGCTGACAGAAATGATTTTAGTGCTTGGTTTAAATGATGCTTCTACGGCGCGTCAGCTGGTTCGACTGCTCTTGGCAGACCCCTTGACTGGAAAAGAACCCTGGGAGGACCTGATAAACTCTCATGGCTCTGAGGAATCTCAGGGCTTGCTGATTCGGCAAGTTCAATATATGCGAATGAAGTTGAAGTCTGAACTAATGAGCCTTTGTTGATAGGTACGGAGAAGAGTCTGGCATCATCGACGACAGCGCCTGCCCTACGATCTCTGTATCCTCGCCACTCTTAAAGAAAGGAAATATTCAAATTTTAGTCGGCAAAATTGGCACAGGAAATGAACCAGCCGGGGTCTCTATCACCGAAGACACTCTCTTTGTTCCCACTATTTCGATTTCCACGCCGAACTCTGAAGTGCAGAGCGTAATACAATATCCTGTTCATAGGACTATTATATGTGGTACGGGAACAGATGGGCTTTTTGCCTACAGTGGATTGCTTGGCCGTGCCAATCTGGGCCTAACAGAACAGTTGGTTCACGGCGCGATCGAGTTGAAAGATAGTGGAAGAATCTCTGGAGAGAGCAAAGTGACATTTGTAGATATAGCAGTTGCGGATGCTGCGCTGGCCAAATTTCGAGAGTCTGTTCAGTATGCATCCGACTATGAACGCGGCTGGACAGCTAGTGGAATCCAGGAGATCGTGAATTGGTTATCCATGGCAGACGATACAAAAAATGGGATAGTACTGGATTTGGAGATACTTGTACAGTCATTACTAAATACAGCCGAGGAAGGTCTGGTTGCTAAGGAGGCCATGCGAATCAAGGAGCAAGAAATTACAACTGTTTCGGCAGATACGCGTCAAAGTCTTGACCAGACGGTATCTGCATGGTCTGAGCGAGCTCACACAGAACTTCGCAATTCCTTAGAGGAGGTATTTACCAGTCAGCGCTGGCGGGGTCTCGCATGGTGGAAGTTATTCTGGCGTGTCGATGATGTAGGCGCGGTCGCATCGGAGATCCTGCAAACCGGATACCTCAAACAGGCCGAGAAGGAGATGATCTGGACAGCTGGGCGGGTAAAACAGGCCGGGCTACTGAACAGGTCTCCGAACGCGGAAGATTTTATAATACCGTCTTCGAGGGCGGAACCAGAGCAAAGCGCGGAAGCGACTGAAGTGAAAAAAGACGATCCGTGGCCGATGCAGATTGCTGCTAGTCGATTCAAATTGAGTAGCTCAACAATACCTTCCTTACAAGCGCTCTCACAAAACCTGGTACTTTTCAGCGCCTCGACTACAGGCTTAACCTCGGCACTGTCTGCGTTACTTTATACATCTTCATCAACAGGCCTATACGAAGCATGTACAGTAGCAGCCGTAGGATTGATCTACTCGATGCGTCGACAACAATCCAAATGGGAGAAGGCCAGGTCTTTTTGGGAAGAAGAAGTCCGAGAGACTGGTCGAACGGCTTTGATTGAGACTGAAGAAGTTTTACGCAAGTCAGTTCGAGATGGCCCTAGCCGGGAAAGGGAGGAGCTGCCTGAAACGCGGGCAAGGCTAATTATTGAAAGAGCTAGAAAAGCGCTTGAAGATGTCAAGCGAGGATAACATCATATCGCATATGATTTTTTTGTACAATAGAAAACATAGACCCTGCACTGCCTTTCTAATTTTTAGTTGGGTCACTTGTATATTAATTCTATGTCAACTCAATGCTTCCAGCAGGTACGCCTTTTCTACTTTTCAAACGACGGGCAAAAAACTGCATGGCTGGCAGCATTTCCTCCCGATTACGAGGCATTCCATCACCGCGCCTCGACCAGCGATGCACTTCCACGAATTCAAACGCTTCTTTGGTTCTTTTCACCGCCATCTCGCTGACCTCACTTTTGCCATCATCCCGTCCAGCGAGCAGCAACACAGGCGTTCGATCCTTTGGGCCAACCGCGCTGGCGGACAGCGGGTATGGGCCCCCAAAGGAAACCACACCTGACAAAGAAGTACGGTAATCCGGCTTCCCAATGGACTCTGCCGTTGATGAAGATGACGAGGGGGAGATGGTCGCCTCTGGTAGCTCCTCAACTGGAGGGTGCAGGCCGAGTTCCCTCGCAGCATCCAGTGCCGCCATACCACCCTGCCCAAACCCAACCAAGAGAATATCGCGTAGCTTATACCCATACTTCTTTATCAACGTCTCCGTGATCACATCTCGTACAATAACCTGTCTGGCTCGATCAAACCCGGCATCCATCGACAACCCGCCGCCGGCATCGTCGAAGATGACATCATTTCCCCAATGATACGCCGCTTGATCGACCAGCCCAGCTGGCAGTGGTGTTGGCGCTTGCACTGTTAAGCAGACTGTTTCTGGAAGATTGAGGGCCCGTCCAAAGGAGGAGAACTTGGCAGCTGTGTCGCCTAGTCCGTGCAGGAGAACCAGAATATTACTTGCCTGATGTGCCGAAAGAGACGGCGGAGGGGTGTTATCGGAGGATGCTGCGCCAGGGTAGGATATCACCACAGTCACGTTCGGGGGAAGTCACCTGCGACGGGTAATCGTGATGGCATGTTTATCCTTCAGTTCTATTATTGGTATCACGATGGTTGAGGAGGATATCTTGCGAGCTCGCGGCTGAGTCCAATCATGGCCGGAATGCGCACAGGTAGAAACGGTACCTTACAGCAGCTATTCTTAGAGCTCTACCGCGGCTCTTGTATGAATAAGTTTCTCAATCGTATCAGTAGCAAGCGTCTGGAAGAAAAGATACCGCTAATGCGTACATATAATTAACTACGACACGGCCGTGGTTAGGAATTGTCTTCGTCGCGGGGCAGCTGAGCTGCACCGCCTCAGGTTACGCTCACGTTGTGGCTTTGCTGCCCCTCTGTGGCTGAGCGCGACCCTTTGGATTCCTCAGGCAGCAAGGATAATCTTAGGGACAACATCGGATAATTGCGACTGCTGCCGACCTGTGGTAATCAACCCTTTGCCACAGCTGTTGTCATTGGTAACCTATGTTGACAGCTGCGCCAAAGCCAAGCGTTTCAGCCAATTCCAAGTGGATCAAACACTGCGTAAGCCTTTAGTACTCTGCCCCTCTCTTTCGGCCATCGTACCAGACAACATGGTGAAGGCTCTAACTTCTTACAAAGTTACAAACCTCCCTGATCCTTATTTCGGCCTCTCGGTAATTTATGTCTTCCACAAGTCGTAAGCCCACGGTTGAAATTCGGAGTCAAGTATCCAATAGGCTGCCAACGGACCTCCCCGTGATGGAACATATGTGGCTGAGCTGCTCTGCTCTCTCTAGACTTGGCTGATGGATGGCAATACAGTAGTACCAGTGGGGTAGTGGATGGTTCTGCTAAATGGTTTATCCTAAGCAACCTTGTAGGCTTTACCTAATGAAAAGGGCTTCGGCTTTCGTCCTGGTAGCTGCTAATAACAGTGAGAGCGGCTTGGAAGTGAAGAGGATTGGATATTTCTCGGATTCAAAGTGACAGCAATTGGCAATTGCTTCGAGCTAGTGAGGGGCAAGCTTTACCCTGCTCTTGAGTTTATAAGAAGGAGCCTTTCTTCCAGTTCATTCTGAGTTCCTTTTTTCTCTTCATCAATCTTCTATCACCCTCTCCCTCTCAATAGATATATATATACATCACAAATTCACATCCATATCAAACAAAATGGGTTTCTTCGGTTGGGGTATGCTATAGTCCTTACATCTTCTTCATATGAAGAAGACTCAAGTTATCAATCAATCAATGCTGACCCATCCAGAAAATTCCCAGAGGGATCACGAGAGGGTATACGGTGACCAACCACACGAAGGCAAGCTCTCTCACGAGTTGATTGCCGGTGCCGCCAGCTTCGAAGCATTCAAGGCCTTTGAAGACCACCGCCGCTCCGAGGGCATGTTCCATTCCTATTCATTGATTTCATTTATATTCTCTAATCCAGTCAATTACAGGAAAGCCAGTGTCTCACGCTTTTGCCAAGGAAGCTCTCGTTGGCCTCGTCGGTGCCGAAATTGACAAGCTCGCTGAAACCAAAGGGCTTGACGCATATGATCGCCACGAGGCCAAGAGACACGCCCAAGAGAATGTTGAAGGCATGTACCAACAGCACTACGGTGGCCAGGAGCAGTACGACCCTAACTACGGCCGTCCTCGATACTGGTAGATACTGCTGGTAATTCTGCGAGACTGTGGTTAACTGGGTGGCTGCACTTTGTATTAATGAGTTGATCAAGTATGACTCTATGAAATTTTAACTTTACATCTACAATTCATCGTCAGCACAGGGCTACGTAAGCTACTGCATAGTATTCGTACGTAGAGCAGCAGTTGACTAAGAGTAAACGTTAAATTGCATGTCAATCAATTCTTCCGATTCCGGAGAGTACAAATGTACCGTACATCAATGCCTCAATTGATATTAATTGGTGTATATTAAAGATTCGAATAGTCAATCTGAGCCCTGATATTGACCTAATCTGAGCGTACCACAGACCCATCCAAGACTACCGCACGGATATTTCATTTATGTCAGATTGTAAATGTCTATTGATTACACGTAGATTGAACCTAGCGATATCAATTCTCGGATTTCAAGTACTAGTATATGCAATGCTTTACAACAGCAATTGGCAAGTTTTCTTGAATGAATTACATGCAAGTCAGTTTATAAAGTGCCAAAAAACTTTGAAGGCTTCTTGTAAACAGAATATGCCCTTTCACGATATAATCAATTGACGTTTATATTTTATCGTAGTAGTGTTTAAACTTCACGTGATAGTCTTAATCTCGCGTTGTCACTTGGAAATAATTGGACGTTTTCAGTTTCACAACACCAAAGCAGGATATAAATGGTGCTTTCATGAAATATATGCATACTGTTTAGGTTCTTCTCTTGGTCGATGGTCGCGGGAATTTCTACCTATGCTTTCTCACCAGTACTATTTACTAAACCATGTACAACTGAACAAGTTCAAAAAAACAAAGCGTATATTTTATGGTTCAATATGTATATAAACCTACATGCAATGGGAGAACCAGGCCCTGGGATATTCTTAAGAGACAACCAAATCAAACAAAAGAAGCAGAATAAGAAGAAAATTGTCTATCTGAGATAAGTATAGAAGCAACCCAGCTGCTTCCCTTCTAAAGCAAGGCGAAAGCCATCGTGACTTTTAATAGATACGTGAAATCCGGTCGGTGTAGATACCGGTTGCTGTTCCAGACAGGAGCTCTTGGATGTACTCTTCAAGCGTGATCGGTTTGAAATCCGGGTATAGTTCTTTCGCGTCAAGATATCCGAGATATTTGGCATATGAAGGCACGTTATCCCCGCGTATACCCCACGATAGTTGGTACTCGGCTGCGATTCGGAGAGTAAATTTTGACGCGTCAAAGGGATATGTTTCACTGTGTGCTCGACCTTCTTCGACACGTGCCATAACAGTTTCTTTGGATACCTATTATTTATTAGTCATTCCCCCCTATTTTAACTAACAAAAACATACATGTTTTCGCTCAACTTTCTCCCCGCTCATTTTCTCGACCATCGCGAAAATATCCTCTGGTGACGTCACTGTGTTGTATGAGAAGACCATCTTATTTTCTGTTCGTGGATCGACGATAATCCGAGTAACATATTTGCCAATGTCGCGCAAGTCAACAAAGGCACTTGGTGTCTTCCCACCTTCGACCAACTCGTCATTGGCGACTGTCATCGCGTAGTCGATTTTTCCCGATGTGAGTCGGGGAGTCGCGATTTGGTACCACCAACCAACATCAATGATCGTGTAGGTAAGTTTTAATTGTTTGATATGGTTGTAGACTTTCTCTTTCTATTTGAGAGTTAGTGACTGATATATCCCATTCCAGTGACAACAACGCAAACCTCATCGCGCAACCACATGATGCCGCCGGGTGCGCAGACGGTGATAAAGGCACATGGAACGAATCGCTTAACACCAGCAGCCTTCGCTGCTGTCGCAATGTTGAGCTGTGACAACTGATCGGCAGGTCCCACACTGCTGACGACAACGTCAATCCCCCGCAAAGCCTCAGCCAGTTCTTCCTCCGGGGCGGACAGATCGCATTGTCGGATAATGAGCCCTTTCTTTGCTAGGTCGAGGAGTTGTGGCTTCTGGGCTGATGCCGGCCGTGTGAAAGAGTAGACCTCCTATATTTTTAATCAGCAACGACCCGACTCACAAATGTCATTTAAGAGGTGTGAACGTAGACATACAAAGCCGCCATCCTCAAGCAAACCATTCGCTATAGACCGTCCAGTCTCACCTGATGCACCGATGATCAGAACCTTTGTCTTTGTCGTCGCCATTGTGATTGAATCGGTTGTACAGTCGTCGGTAGCTTAAGTCAACCGCAGTGAACTTGGAGAGATTCTAAAAAGGTGAGGATGGGAGGAACTGAAACTGCATCATGGTTATGACAACATTTTTTGTATCCGGTACGACCAGTAAAGCTAGCAGGCTGAGTCCTCCACCCAAACTAACTGAAAACTGAGATACCCACCAAACATCTGGATGGGATTGGGCTGGGTGGTTCTCAACACCCGCGTGAACAGTCAATGGGAGCCTACGAAAGCTACGAAGGGTGGGTCGGAAGGAGAACTGTACGCCGATGGATGATCAGAGTAACATGCGCACATGGGCGAGAGAAGAGGGGGTTAGGCCACCTATCTCTTTCGACGTGATGATGATAGCCATCCAAGGATTGGCAACGATCAATTGTTATTCCTGGAGAGGTGAGGAAGGTGAGCCGATCGTCAATTAGGCTTGCCGAAGGCTTTTCTTTATATTCTACTTGTCTCTTCGGGTTGGCGCTGCTTGCTGCCTTCGTTCCGAATGACGTCAGCCGTCGCCGCAAATTGCCGGCCCGGTTCGTCGGCAATTTCTGCAGCCAGATGCCGATCTATCACGTCTGTTCACGTGCCTGCCGACTCTGATCATGCATGTACAAGCGTGTAATAAAAGATAGAATTGTCTTCTTCTTAATCTAAGTGCATTTTTTCCCAGATGTGACTCTAGGTGCTATAACAAAATGCTTCCCGATCTTTGCCGAGCAGTTCCCGAGGCATCTTGAGGCTCTGGTATCACGTGTTCACCAAACTGCCCATTTTAGAGAGAGGATAATCACCACAAATGGACACAATAATGGTCGGAATGTGCTATTGCATACAATCTGAGACTCTGCCGAAAATGTTAGTTTAGCTACATTCCGCAGACCCCAAGACAAAGACAAAGACCGAAGTGATATAGATTTCTGTTTAATAATCAGAACAAAGTAAAGAAAATTACTGCCCATGCAGAGAAGACAACAACGAATCCGGCGTCGCACCGTCATCCGCACGGTAAACCATCCCTCCTTCTCTCGTCCGACATAATATATTAATCAGACATTTCTCAATACCTCGATGTGCCTCGAGGCTCAAATGGCTGATGATATCTGTCATTTGCATGACATAGTTAATTTTCTGCGCGCCGGCAACATAGAATTGGAGGAAATGTGTGTGAAGAAAAGATCGTAAGGCGTGGACAGAGGTTTGCCATGCATTTGGGGCTGCAAAGAGCGACATGTCGAGCAATGCTAGCGCATTTTTGTTGTTGCTGGCGCTGGTTGTAAGGGTTGGCACGACAAAAGTTGAAGACACTGATTCCTGCACTATAATACAGATGGAAAATAACGACACAAGTCTGTCGTAGTCTAAGACAGAGTACTCTGTCTTCGAGGTAGAAGAGGACGATGAGGAAAAGGTGAAATCCATGTCAAAGTTTGACTGAATGAATAAGACTGCATTATACAAAGCAGGGAAGGTCGAAAGTCCATCTCGGTATAGTTGCAATGACATGCTCATGAGATTGCGCATATCTTGAATGAAAGATATGAGCCACAAAGAGCGCAGGCGTTTGATATCACTGATCATTGTCATTTGCTGGAGGTTCGGGGACGAGATGCCGGAAATATCGTTCGTGGGGGAAAACCAGGTCGGTTGGGACATAAGTGAGACCCTGGAAACGATTAGCTACAAAATGAGGTGAGCAATAGGGAATGTATAACATACAGTCCCACCACCAATTCCAGTCTCCAGTCATCGTGGAGTTCTTGGAGGCCTCCTCTCGCTTCGATCATACGCTGTAGTCCGTCCCGGTGGACCTGCCACTCTGCTTCGGTGCCCCAATATCTCTACATTACGTTCTAGATCAATACATCTCTAAGTATATATTGAAGCGGAAAGTGAATACATACCTCGAATGTGAGAAGCCGCACAACAGCCGCGAATGCATCGTTACCCAACGCCAGCTTCGGATCATTTAGCCATTGACTGAGTATTTCAACAGCTTTCGTTTTATATTTCAAAGCTTCCGAGGAATTAGTTCCACGAGTAGGGGTCATTCCGCCATAGTAGTAGGCTAGATGCGCTGCGGAATGAGCCATTATAACATTGAACGAAGCGGCATTAGAAAGGTCAAGAGGAAACCAGACGTCTTTCATGGGGTTGAAATCCGAGGCAGGCATCTCCTCGAACATCATTGTTGCATGCGTGGACAGCCCTAGTTAATTGCATCAATATTTCACTTTTTTTTTTAAAGAAAGTAAGAAAAGGTAGACAAGGATAGAAATACAGTGATGAATTAGTTTATGGTGTTGGGTAGTAAGAGCCACCGGGAAAACATCAAAAGGGTCCAATCTCGACGAGCTCAAGGCATGGTTCGCTCCAGTCAGGAACTGAGTTGGGATGCCTTGTAACAAACCGGATTGAATTAATGTCATCTGATCCCTTTCTTCTGAGGTATATTGCCGTTGCTGCTGTTCAGTGACACTGAATGGGTTAGTGGAGAAGCGGTAGAGTTCCAAATCTTGGATATTTCCCAGCGTCGGGGCGTTTCCGATGGTGTATTTCACGTCGGAATCTTTACCAGTACTCGCAGACGCCAATAAGTCAGCTGAAGAGTCGGATTTGGAACGCAACGGTCTTCTTGCTCGATCATGCGCTTTCTCCTCCTGTTTTCGTCGACGTCGATCCTGCCAGTGTGATCGCATAGCATGAGTACGTGCTCCTGGCTGATTCTTTTCATGGACGAAGGCGAAGCGAGGATGACCAGTATCGTTGACTAAAGACGAGCTTGAGGAGACGCTCTCGCTAGTTTGCTTGGAAGTGTTAAATTCTGGTGTCTGCGACATCTTGCCCTTGACCCCCCCGCATTCAGGGACCTAGGTGCCACGTTGGTGAAAATAATATTATTAATACGAGGACTTAGTCTCAGTAATTGTGTGTTGATGCACAGGACCGAGCAAGTCCAATAATGAAAGACTCGTTGAAGCACCGAATCGAGGGAAATTTTCAAATGCATATATGCACCCCACCTTCAAAAAAAGAAAATGGCCGAGTTCAACTATTTTTCCATAAACGAAATAGTGTTGCCATACATACCGCCACACCCAGTATTAGATGTGTATTTGGTGGTCGCACAGCACCAACCGCTCCCGCCTCTTGGGACGAACCAGTCCAATGCAATCTTTGATTTTGTGTAGGTTTCTGACACAAATTAAAAAATTATACAGAAATATATAGATAAATAGTTAATATCTTTTTTTAAAAATATAAAAATCTTATTAGTTTCAATATTATGCATATAATTATAAAATATATCCTCGTATAGTGTCACGTCTGGTATGGTAGGGGGACCCTAATTGACACGGCCAAAAAGACCAGAATTAATCGCCAATAGGTGATTAACCCTAGGCCCACTTATGTACACAACTGATTCACATAGCATTATCCATTTTCTTAATTAGCTTGGTCCCTACATATCTCCACATACGGGTACTACCCATAAGTATTAGGCCCCCAAGCCATATAATTAATAGCATGCTTATCAGCCTTCACTTGGTGGCATTAATACTCAAAAAAACGGAATTTTCTTAATTTGTATGGGAAATCCATATAAAATCGAAGATTTGCATTAGTATTCAATTTTGTAAGATGCCTCAGGCACCCTTCCTTGCCCCGCCGAGCGTTTGCAAGCTCACACCAGATAGCCTAGATAGCTTCACCTTCATCTTACTCACAAATTTGACTGTATCTTCTTTGTCAATATTAGAGTCTATGGTGTCGTTTCTTTTGGAAATACTATGCTCTCCAGAAATCTCCCATCACGGTCCTTTACAGTAGATTATTGGCATTTGGGGCGCAATCTCTCCCAGGTAGAAGGGACCAATGATTCGAGCCAGCTAACTTGAGCTTTAGGAAAACAATATCGAGTGTTAAGTTTTATAAGCAGAGTAGCTTCCTTACAGGAAAATCAGCGGCTAGGGCTGACTCGTTCTAGCTTATGCAAAGATGCATATTGACGACATGCATCTTACAGTACAGAATAGCACGTCCCTGTATTAATAAATAATTATTGAGACGAGACCCTCGTGCTATTGCCGTCCGGTAGGTATACTTCAATAGTACTTTGTCCCAAGCAATGATAAGTGGTTAAGTAGAATGCCAAAATTTGCAATGGCTTTGTATCAGACATTGGTCGATTCCCACGCTTCACTATATTATTTATAGTGAATAACTACCTATACGAACTTGATATGAACCATGATCGTCTCTGACTATAGCTCTTCTCGCTTGGACATTATTTTAATTTCGCGACAACAGCTATCAAAAGAGCCTCATATTTCTCCATCGATTCTATTCGTATATAAGATAAAAAAAAGGCGGTGAAAACGGGACAAAGTATAATTCGTAAAGCGCTGTTCCAAATAATTTACTCGATTCCTCGCCGTCAACCATGGACCACTTATTGGTCTAATCAGTATTGGTCTAATCAGCACAGACAACACTAAAGATCATGCAAGGGTTGAAAGAGGAGAGAAACCAGATATTGGGAAGCATCAGATCTATGGATCGGCGATCGGTTTAATACAAATCGTAGCACTAGCTTCCCCACTGTGGCTCATTACGGTAATAGTAATACAGTCGTCTCATTGATCATCTGGCATGGCCCGAATGGGCTATCTGCCGCTGTTGGTTTAGCTGGCCCACGGTCACGCAATAGACCCTGATCCAGACTGCGTATTGGATGATCTCACAACAATATAAACGAATGAGTGGATTTTATTTTTATATTTTACATTGCTAAATCTAATAATTATGTACGAGCAGAAGATAAGCACACTCTATTAACCACTTTCGATAATCTAAATGCCACTTTCCTGCTTCCGTCGCTGCGTGTGGAACGCATTTCTATATCATGCCCATGTAATGACAGCACATTAGATGGTTGAATCAACAATGAAATACCAATTAAGACTCCAATGTTTACTGAACACAATTAATATTTGGAAATATACATTCGGAAAGTGAGTTATCTTCACCATGTCGGCAGGTAAAACTATCACACTTTCATATCAACCATGTATTTGGACCTGGGACTCTTACACTCTCCACCAGCGCTTTGAACAAACTGTTTCACCGTAAAAACCACGATGAGCATGGCGGAAAGACGGAAGATTCTGAAGGTGCCTCGAGTGTGAGTGTATCCAAGAAAGAAAGTGAGATAAACAAGCCTGAGGATGATTTGGAGAACTCGGGAGAGACACTCAAAGACTCTCTCCATAAGGATGAGGAGCTCGAAGAGGAGGGCAAGACTTATGGGGGTTTGATGTGAGATTAACTAGTCATTAATGATTCGGTCCTTAATCCATGTGACGCAGAGCTCTTCGATCGTTTTGAAGGATCCGAAGTCGGGTATTTATGCCGCCTTTCCTTCATAATTGTAATAAGTTAATACTCCTGTGTGGTTTGCTTAAAGGGTATAGGTATCAACCCGTACTCTTCAATCAAGTTTTCCCGTTATATTGCAACTCAAGGATATCGAAATGATTATTGGATGGAAAACAGCATCTTTGGTACCCTCTCGATTCGCATCAGGAGATAAAAAAGTTCATTTTTTAGCACTTTAGATCTTATCTTATCTATAGTACTACGCATCTATTCAAATCTATTTAATGAAAAATTATTGATTTTAATGGGTTAACTGAACGAGATGTTAATAAGTACTGGTTACGTACTGAGGCCTCAACATGACCGAATCCTTACTCCTTAATTTCCAACTCTTGTAACGACTACTCTCAACTTTCCAAAGCACCAGGAGACTTTTCTGATACTTATTGGTTTTGAGGATTGTCAGAAACCTACTCGAAATGTCTAGCGCGACCACACGAATTCGTACAAGGCTTCTCTCACTGTAGAGATGGTTCGGACGTGGCTATCAGACAATCAGCGCGTTTTAGTCTCGAAAAACATGCAACTGCCCCTTTCGACTAGTTTGCCAGCATCCTTTTAAGCAAACCACTGTTTCAAACATAGCTGGATGTTAAAGAAAATATCAGTCAAATCAGAAAAGTTGGGGCTTATAATCATCTAATGCGTTACAGAGACCGAAGCAAAAGCCGAATCCGATTTAACAAAGTTCGTTATGATACCAATAATTCAATTATAAAATCTACACATCTGCTGAGTATATTTGATCTATATCACGCTTCGTCATTTCATGTAATATCCTCCATATTTCACCTGGGGAATGACCAACTATGAAAACTTAAACACGGTGTGGCTTGTAAAGATCTGGATGGTCAGCTTTGATCAAATCTGCACCTTTCTCACCAATCATATAAACTGAATTCTGTATACGGCAGTCCGGTATAACAGGAATAATAGAAGCATCAATGACACGAAGATTACGGACACCATGAACTTTGAGCGTCGGATCAACAACGCCTTGTTCAATAGACTTGGAAAGACGTGCAGTGCCACATGGATGGAATGAGGTCTGGGAACGGTCCAAGACGACTCTCTTCATCTCCTCATCCGAGTCAAGGGGCATGTCCCAAGGGTACTCGTCGACAACAAAATCCTTGAATTCATCGCCGTTCTTGAGAACATCGTAAGCAAATCGAATACCCTCCCGAATAGCGATTATATCGAGATCATCGGCAAAGAAGTTTAGGTTGATGTTGGGCTGCTCTAGAGCATTGGTGCTGTTCAGAGTGACCTCACCTCCATCTGAGACAGGCCGAACAAGGTCAACCATCACGCTAATATGGTCGCCAGACTTGGGAATTGGGTAGTGCCACTGGAATGCACTGCCAAACATGCAGATAAAGTCTATTTCAAAATGGGGCTGGCCATATGGGCAGAACGGGTCACGGCCACCGTTGGCGGCCTTGGCCTTGCGGTACTGAGCGTCCTTCTCGAAGTACTTGTCGATTCTTGGAAAGCCAATTAGCTCGAGTAGACCAGATCCAAGGGGACCATGATGGCCCTTCTGGTAGGCAGAGATAGCAGCGTTTTGCTTAGCACCAGCATGCAAAAGGTGACTGTCCATACCATAGCCGTCCTTGACACGAAGAACGAAAGGAACACCAGGGTGGTCAAGCAAGTGCTGGCCAACGTGACGAGAGTCGACGATAACGTCAATGTCATGCTTGGCCAACTCACGGGCGGGCCCTACACCGCTAAGCATCAAAAGCTTAGGGCTCTCAAAGACACCTTGAGAGACGATGACCTCCCGTTTGGCATAGAATGTGAGCTCTTTGCCTGATTTATCGTAGACAGTGACACCCCTGCAGGTACGATCGGCATAATCAATGATTAAGCGCTTGGAGTTGGTTTCAGCCAGAATAGTAATGTTGGGTTTATTCTGCACCGCTAAGAAGCTTCCAGAGCGCTGGCCTTTGTAGATAGTGTTCACACTATGAGTGAGACCAATCATCTCTCCGTCAAAAATATTCCCAGTAATAGGCTGGCCGGTCGACTTCCAGGCATTAGTGAGTGCTTGACGGAAGGGCGCCATTTCCGGAATAAGTTCCACATGGGAAATGGGAATTGGGCCTCCTAAGCCGATCTTCTGGAGGTCAGCTGGGAAGAGCTTTTCGTCGTCATGGTAGGTGACACTCTTGCGGAGGTAAGGGACCAGGGGATCCCACGTCCATTCCTTGCCGCCATACTCCTCCCACATATCAAAGGTACCCTTGCTGCCGGGAACCCAGCTGAAGTAGTTGAGAGAGGAACTACCACCAAGAGCCTTGCCACGGGTATTAGGTTTCTCGATACGCTCGTAGTCGTCGCGCCTAATCATGGTTGTCTTGTATGCCCAGTCGTATTGGCTGCCACGGAGATCCATAGCTTTTGCAGGGGTAGTGATTTCGCTTATTTCATGAGAATTGGCGACACCCGCCTCAATGATCAGGACGGATACATTGGGATTCTCCGCAAGGCGGCCAGCTACAGTGTTCCCAGCGGTACCTCCACCAACAACGATAAAGTCAAAGGAAGCACCGTCGGTGGCAGACATGATGGATTCTAGGAGATCAAATAATGATGATTTTTGGAAAAGAAGATAATCGTGGGAGATGGAAGACTAACTATGGCCGAAAGAACCGTTCTTATAAGTTCATGGCGGAAACTCATTTCTCGTTATTGCACAGCACTTCCGGACTCTCCAGCTTCATCCATTGCGAACTAGACACGAGTCATAGACACGAGTCATAGACAAAGATGCCAATTCTAGCCAGCGTTAGCATGGCATATATACCCAATCGCGAATGTATTCTACGTAATACAAACGTTGGTGTGGACAGTTTTGCATTGCTCTCAAACTTATGAAGCAGTATATATAGTATGCCTCCATATAGAGCCCAGACGACTAAGCTAGGTCAGCACATGACTAAACAGCGTCCGAGCTGCCATTTGACAGGTGCTGCAGTGGGCTGTCTTAGCAGACAGACTATAATTACTGATAGCTCGGGAACGGAGTGTTCCGCTGATAGCAAGGAACTCCAAAGCTGTTTTCCCAGCTACGCGATTGGATATTCCGCTGCTTCCCGCCTTAGTAATCCCGATCATCTCGCACGACGTACCGTGGATTGGAGGCGCAAGTTCAGTAATAGCGCGCCGCCAATAATGCAAGCTTATCCAAGCACGAGCGGGGCAGATAGTGTGCGCCCCCGTTTTTGGCAAGAGGAATTGACCAATCGTGCGGCTAGAATACTATATCTCGATTCGGAATCACATTGTAAATCCTGTCATGATATCATCACCACCACAACTACCCCGGCCGCGGAGTCTCGAACGTAGCTAGATGACCACATCCGTACGTTCTACATCTTCTAGCTCAAGTTATCAATGTCCACTTTCTGGCCTGTTAGCTTTCAGCTGATAAGCCAGCAAAAGTGGTTGTTGCTATTGGTCAGGAGGTCGACATGATTGGAAGATCGCCAAGACCATTCTGAATTATGGGCGCCACATTCCACTCATGCATGTATGTTCTTAGTAATAGGTTATCCACTGTCAATTGCAGGACGTTGTAGCTGGTGTATTATAAAAGACTTGCTAATTCTTCCCCCCCTCCATTGCAAGAACCCTTGGCACGAATTCTATTTATTTGAATCTCAAGATTACTAAAAAATGTCTTACTACACCCTTGCCGAAGGTAAATGATTACGTATAGTACATTCATCCAACAGTCTTACTAAAAGAGAACTTTAGGTTGTCCCTACGCCAGAAATGACACTAGTGTCCAAGTTCGAAATGGCTCAGGTGGTGGTCTGGTTTTACTTCAAGACACCCAGCTAATTGAAACATTGGCTCATTTCTCTCGCGAGAGAATCCCGGAGAGGTAATATATTTCCGTGTTTACTCGTTCTACATTGAGTTTGTCATATCTAATGATTCGGTTTACAGAGTCGTACACGCAAAGGCTGCCGGGTATAACAATCGACATCAATAAGCATTCTACCAGCTAGCTAACTGGAGTTCAAGGGCGTATGGAGTGTTTGAGTGCACTAATGACTGCACTGATATAACCTCGGCCAGCTTTCTTAACAAAGTGGGAAAAAAGACTGATGTTCTTTGGCGTGTCTCGACTGTGGGCCCTGAAAGTGGCTCCGCAGATACCACTCGAGACGTTCATGGCTGGGCGATGAAGTTTTACACGGATGAAGGAAATTTGGACTGGGTTTTTAATAATACAGTAAGTGATTACCCCGAGATTGCTTTAATAAACAATAAAGGTCAAGTCTTCTAACCGAATTGAAGCCTGTTTTCTTTGTCAGAGACCCAATTAAATTCCCATCCTTGAACAGGTCTCATAAAAGACACCCTCGGACTCATCGACCCGATGCGAATATGGTATGTTCATTATACGCAATATTTTGGAGAATGCACTAACAGATATAGTTCTGGGAGTATGCTACATAAACCAAATTCCGACATATCGAGACTTTTTTTAACGTCATATATAGTTTCCATGTTGGTAACCCGGAAGGAATCCATGAGCTCATCCACTTGTTCAGTGACCGGGGAACACCTGCTTCGCTTCGTCATATGAATGCGTATAGTGGACATACTTACAAGTTTACTAAGGAGGTTTGTACCAGCTAGATTCCCTTTGGACTCTGGATTGATACTCATATTAACCGATCGTATAGGATGGGTCTTTCAAGTATATCAAGGTCCATATCAAATCCCAAATCGGCGTGAAAAACTTGAGTACAGAGGAGGCCACACGCATCGCGGGAGAAAACCCCGACTTTTTGCTCCAGGACGTATTCGACGCAATCGAAAGTGGAAATTACCCAACTTGGAACGTCTATGTCCAGGTCATGGATCCCAAGGAGGCTGAGACTTACAAGTGGAACATTTTTGACATGACCAAAGTTTGGCCTCACCAAGACTTTCCACTGAGACAGATCGGAAAGTTGACTTTGAACCGTAACGTGAGTTATTTTTTTGTCTATGTTGATTACTGTAAAACATAGTCTTTCGCTAATGCTTGGTGTTTCTAGCCTCAAAATTATTTCACCGATATCGAACAAGCGGCCTTTTCTCCGTCAACTATGGTACCGGGATGGGCACCATCTGCCGATCCTAGTTTGTGCCCTTCTCCCAACTGAATTGTAGATATGTTGCTAATTCACCTCAAACAGTGCTTCAAGCTCGAATGTTCGCCTACCCCGATGCTGCACGCTACCGTCTAGGCACAAACTACCAAATGCTCCCGACGAACAAAGCCCAAGCACCCGTTTACTGCCCCTTCCAGCGAGACGGCCTGATGAACTTCTCCAACAACTACGGTGATGATCCCAACTACGTTGGCTCATCGTTGCGTCCAACTTCATTCGCCGTAAATAGCGCTGGAAAGGGCCCCGCAAGCACTATTACGGAGCATGAAAAGTGGGTTGGGGAGGTGAGCACATTTACTAGCACACTCCAGCATGAGGACTTTGAGCAAGCAAGAGGCTTGTGGAATGTTCTTGGTCGGGAGCCGGGCCACCAGGACCGGTATATCGCCAATGTGTCCAGCAATGTCAAGAATGTGACTAGTAAAGAGCTCCGAGAGAAAGTGTACTGTAGGTGGTCGTCGTCGTTGAAAGTGTGGGGTTTTGAAGTATTGCTAACTTATAACCTCTTAGATCTTTACCACTGCGTTGATCCAAAGCTGGGTCAGCGTTTGAAGGAGGCTACGGAAGCCAAGGTCTGATACTCTTACATAAGATAAAGCTATATGTACATGTGATTTTCAATCTACTATATAGGCATATTTGAAACCTACTTCACCTATTTCATAATCTCTTTAATTAATTATGCCACATTGCTAGACTACTATCTTTGGCTAATAAGAATATAGTTACAGCTTTACCCTGCCATTTCTATATATTATTTTAACCTTTATTATACTCACCTAGGAGAATAGGGCACAACAAAAAGGGTATAAGCAGGTGAAGCTGGTTTTGGATCTGCGTGATTCAAGAATTACAAAAACTGCGGTAGACTGGTAATGCGGTTACTAAATGTCGAAAAATACATTCTCCTACTTCAATATATACGTACTGTACCACTTTCTATTCTCCAGAATTATTTACCAGTCCCTATATTCTAGTTAGTATCCCTAGTTTGAACCTCGAATTATGATTCAATTGTCTCGACAAGCAGTTCCAGTTATGCCAAACAGTAGTCCTGCTTTAAGACTTTCTAAATGCATACTCGTTTAAGAATGGCCAAGCGAGAAGTATAGGTCAGACTTGTATATATCGCAACCCGAAACTGGCTTCGAAATAATTCATTATTTAACCACTAGATCCAACAGGTGGTTGAGCATCTACAGAATGTATTTCCAGCTAATCACCACACAAATAGAGTAATTTGGCGGGAATACCTTCCCCATGCTTTAACGCTTGTGCATGAAAATAAATTTGTTATACAAGAGGATAATTACCTCGATCTACCGAAAACATAGCAGATTGCCTTGCCAGCAATGGAAGACATAAAGAAGCACAGGTACTTTACATGAAACTGATGAGGGTCAATCAGATAAAACTCATAACCGCTCTTTTATTACTTTACTCAAAGATCAAAAGTCTCTAGACCATTGATTCATTATTCTAGAATACATGATTATCCATCTTCAGGGAAAAGGCATGGAACCCTAAGCTACCTTCTCAGCGATGCTACTAACCAACTACAGATATTGTATTATAACATCCTTGACCCCTTTGTCGATATTCGTTTTGACAGCTTCAAGTCGACCCAGTCGAGTTAAAACCTTCGACATATTTGTCGGCATTTATATCGGTATTTTATTGATACCCTTTTCGATATTCCTTTTTGATAACCTTTTTGATATATGAGTAGAAATGAGCGAGTCTGTAACCGGTTACAGCGGGTGTAGCGAAACACATTGCTCAAGCAGGAGAGAACAAGGGTGAGTACATCTGAATGACCTGATTTGTAGTAACCTCTGGCCCGAGAACCCAATGCAGTGTTCGGGAATTTGAAGGTGTTGGTCTCTGGTCATTGGTGGTTGATTCGATATTGTCAAGTTTTAGTTTTTTGCTTGGAGACTGGCTGGGTTGTTGCTCTTCTTCTAGTGAACGCTTAGAGGTTGTTGAAGGAGTTAACCTATACATGTCGTAGAGAAGAGAATTAATCGGTTTCGGTTGATCTGCAACAAAGTATAGATATCGCAATTTCTCGAGATCATCGCGAATCCTTTTGTCGAGAATGTAGACCCGTGGGGTGCCAAGCAGCGCAAAAGCCCGCATGAGCGATGCTATTGGGTTTCCATGCCAAGTTCGATGTTTGCAAAGATCGGGCATTATCTCTGGAAATCGTCCTCCTAAGACAAAATTCTTCAAGAAGACACGTCGATAGAGACCCCCCTTAGCATCGGATGGAATTGTGTTGGTCTTTAGTTGGTGGGCTTTGTAATCTTCTGCGGTTGGTACACGTCGTCTCAAATCACCATCATTGCGTCGTCGATCTTGGTCGTTGATTTCGAAGTCGATGAAGAATTGTAAGTCGGTGGGGAAGAAAACGAAACCAGGATCAGCTGCATTATCAAATTTGCGATGACATGTGGGACATAGAGCAATCCCATTTGCGATGGTTTTGAAATCGGCGTCACTATTGAATAGCGCAGCTTCTTCCCAAATCTGGACCTATATCACAGTTTGTCAGTGTATATTATCATTTAGTAGAGTAAATGATGTCTATCTACCTGACCATGCGCTTGCGCAATTACATGGGCGACGTCTGTATCCTCAGGTGTTTGGCATGCCCAACATGCGTCATCAGTGGCTCGCCTAACTTCAAGCTTTGTCAATTCGGAAAAGGCGCTTGAATTGACAGATTGGTTGTCGTTATAGGATGACATGGCACGGTGTCGTGTGACAGGACCGGATTGTTGTCGAACAGCCGATCGAGAACCAGGTTGCGAGGTAGATCGAGAGACAGACGCAGGGGTTGAAGGTGGGAGCATTTGCCCCAAGTCTGTTGACATGGTGTCAGGTGGATTGTGATGCTTGATAAGATGTAGGTTTTAGGATACTTACTAGATCAGATGAAAGACCAACGTCATCTACCTTTCGCAGGCTGAGCAGAATGGAAGGAGTGGATAGAGATTCGGGGAAGGTGTAGCCTCGCTCAATTTCCATGGTTCGCTTTCATCCCGTAGAAGTCATCACGCGCTCATAGAATCCCAGACAGAAAAAACGAAATAATAGAGTAACAGAGATAACCAGTCCATCAAATGACTAAGACATGAGTAGAATTTCTTACATAGTTCATAAGGCAAGTTTTACCAAAGCGAATTTTATAGTATCCAATCATGAAGAGCCATGCACTCACCTGAACGCAAGATGCCTCTTTCTGACCGCACCCTGCCGCTCCTCAGGGCAGCAAGCCGCACGAACTAGATTGGGACAGGCAACCCCCATCTCGCACGATATTCTATATATAGCTTCTAGGCTGTAGTAGAATGGAGGAATGGTAGAGAACACGCTCAGAGAGAGCACATAAATCTACTATAGTCAATGACACGGCAGTGAACAATAGTCTTCACGAGTGTAAGTAGAACATTTTCAACAGCCTCAAAAGGTGATCATGCAATTATAATGATCGTCGTATTCACAAGCCAACCTCGAGACCCTTGCCCTGCTAAAAGAGCCTTGAATTTGGCTGTGCTCCAAATTGCTTTAATTAATTGCCTAATCCAAAAGTAAGCCTAATTATAAATATCCTCAGACTTGGCATTGGTGTTCCAGGAACATGCATCCCTATGCTGTCCTTTATCTGCATGTTGAAACCTGTGTTGTCCACCCAATAGACCCTATTAACCTACAGCACTACTACAACTCTGGAGAGTCTTCCGACGGAAGTAATGAAGCAAATCGGCTGCAATTCCGGGGCGGAAAAAGGACGCAGATGGGCAGTCCTGGGACCCCGAAAACAAGTGAGAGCGGACTAGTCAACCAATACACGCGTGAATTATCCACGTAGAAGCTATCCTATCTCATGTAGAAGAGAATGAGTTTCCACTAATTCCTATTTGTGGAAGTCGCTCCTGGTGAAGAGCGTTGATATGGAGGACAGCCTAATGCAGTCGATGGTATGGTAGTCGAGATTGGATCTCACTTCCAAATTTAATAACGAGGCCATCAACGCCGTCTGATATGATCAAACGATTGTCTAGCCGATTCTCGGTTTTCGCCGCACCCATACCTCCTTGTCGGTAGCATTAGAAACCGACCGGTCACGCAGCTGCACTTCCCAAACCTTGAGCTTGTAGTTGCCGCGGTCCGCTTGGCCAGAGACAATGTCAAAGGACCAGCCATGTTGGGGACATGTAATCCCGGTGCTGAGGGTAATACCAAAGTCTTCAATGTCGAAGATACTCCCTTGGGAAAGTGGGAATGACGAGTGGGGGCATTGCTGGATTGGACAGGTTAGCTTGACTCAAGCATTGGAGCACATGTTCCGCAATTCAATACATGGTCGATGGCATGAAAATTGCCCTTATATTTGAACACGAGAACCTGATCTTTGAGGTCTCCCGGTAGATCAATGCTTGCTTCGACTGGATCCTGGTCTTTGGTGTGCGGGATTCTGAAGGCTTTGCAACTGGGTGTTATCTGACAGCCATTGTGATCTTGGGCTATATCGGGGAACTCGGAAGCAAGACCGATGCGATGCCAGGCTCCGCCCGACTGGAATGCTCGAATGAAGGGGTTCATCGCATCGCGGAGGGAGAAGAAAGAGTTTTTCTTTCCGCTTGGTCGCACTCGGGAATAAACAGTCTAACAGTCAACCCAACAGATCAATTGATAGAAAGACTGCTATAATTTAGAAATTTATAGGGAAAATCTAGATGCAAACCAGGTACTAGTAGGTAGTACCCAGACCCACTCACAGCACTATTATTGGCCCTCAGCTTTGGATCATGTGATTTGATTTTGACCCATCCATGATCTTTCAGGTAATGTCTATGAATAACTACTTCCAATTCCAATGACTTTCTATATTTCGATATCAAGTAAGGAGGGTATTTCCACAGAATGCCGAACAAGCATATACTATTTTAATGTCCATTTCCTTAATGCCAGGCCCTCGGGCACCTACGTACTTGCTATTCCCAACCGCTTTTAGCATGATTGGGTGTGACGATTTAACTTGGCTTGACGCCTAGATGACCTTGCTTGGAAAGGGCATAGCACTGTATATATCGGCTCGCAAGTGCTATTTGTGTAGACATCTTCCACGGATGCTATTGTGTATCCAATAGCTATCTATTTTGGGTTTAGCATAATCATTTCTGCGATTCTAATTGGAGGCTTCGGGGTAATCCAATGTTGACATCACACGCTAAACCCGAATAAGTAGCCAGCTGGTTTCCTGGGCATAAACGGACTTAAAATCCCTACAATACACAGAGGATCGAAGAGAAGGCAATTCTAATAGATAGAAAGACCTGCTGTCTGCGCAGAGTATAAATAGCTGGCATTGGCAGGTCAAATAAAAGGACTATCAGTTCCTTTCCTTCCAGACAGACTTCGCTTCCAACCTTGCAAATCATATCGACGTCGTTGTTCATAATCCTTTCACCATGCAACATCTCGCAGGAACAATAATCTCTCAGAATGGACTGGGTCTTGCGGGTATGTACTTGAAACCCACATTTTCATCTCTCGAGAAATGACCTAACCGTCCCTTTTGTATGTACCCAGGATTCACCAACCCCGGCCTTCAGCTCCCTGATGAGGAAATCTTCAAAGTCCTCAAATCTGCCCTTGCCGCTGGAGTCACTCTTTGGAATGGAGCCGACTTTTATGGAACTCCAGATAACAACTCTCTCCATCTGATGAATCGCTACTTTGCTGCGTACCCAGAAGACGCAGACAAGGTTGTGCTGTGTATCAAGAGCGGGTTAAAGAGTTTGGGAACATTTTCAATGGACTGTTCACCAGCTGGCCTCCGGGGATTCGTTGACAACGCCCTGAAAATCCTCGGTGGAAAGAAGAAGCTAGATATCTTTGGATGCGCCAGAGTCGATCCCGCGGTCCCCGTGGAAGAGAGCATCCGAGCACTGGCCGAATTCAAGAAAGAGGGCAAAATAGGAGGAATCCAACTGAGTGAGGTGAGAGCCGAGACAATTCGGAGGGCCGCAGCCGTAGAAAAGATCGATATGGTCGAAGCGGAAATCAGCCTGTGGGCAACGGATGTCTTTGAAAACGGTGTCGCCGAGGTTTGCGGAGAGCTGGGAATTGTTCTTGTTGCACATACGCCCCTGGGAGGAGGCATGTTGACTGGGCAGATCAAGAGTTTGGATGACATGCCAGCACATGACTACCATCGTCATTTTCCACGGTGGCAGCCTGAAAATTTCGCGAAGAACAGGCTGCTTGTGGAAGAGTTGGAAAATTTTGCGAAAAGAAAGGGATGCACTACCTCTCAGCTGGCTTTGTCGTGGATCAAAAGTCAAAATCAGAAACAGGGAATGCCGTATCTCGTTCCTATTGCGGGTACAAAGTCGGAAGCAAGGCTCTTGGAGAACATACGGGATCTACACCTGACTGACGAGGACCAAAAGGAGTTAAACACCGTTTTGGAAAAGTACCCGGTCGCAGGCGCTAGATATCCTCCGGCTGGAGCAAAATTAGCTGAATACTAGCACTGACAAATATGCCGAAAAGAGTATATGTTAGATAGTTAGATGATAGAGGTGTCAATCGAGAAACGTTCTTTCCCAAGCCGAAGCCACGCTTGCCAAAGGTTTGGTTGACAGTTATCGGTTTCTTGAAGTAACTGAGTCATGAGTCTCCGAACGCCAGAGAATTGTCCCACGCTGAGAGATTGCAGGCGTTTCTGTAGTAGCTTTTGTAGCTGGTCCGAGATCACTCTACAAGAATTCGCAGCGTAGAGTTGGAAAAAGAGTGTGCTTGTCTGCAAATCTGATACATTTTCGGAGGCCAAAACGGCAGTACTACTTTCAGAGGCAGAAGCGTAGATATCTGAGCAAAGAGTGTTGATAGTAAGTGTCGAATCGTGGAGTTTTTCGATGATGGCGGTAGTTCTAGTTATATCGGAGGACCCAAGTGATACAGCACATTGTTCACGTATAACATCGGCCAACAGCATGCGAAGTACACGAAGATTGTTCCAGCTTCTTCGTGTATTGTTATCTGGATAGCTTACTGATGATTCAGCAATATAAGCATGTAAACGCTTTCCATTCTGTCTTGTAGAGGTAACTGGACGCAGATGCTGCGACAGCCCTTCGAGCTCACACCCAAGACGCTCAGCCCAGGATATCGCAGCCTCGGAAGAAATTCCAAGTCTCAGCCGTTCTTTAAGCTGGGCATATTCGAGCAGAACTTTCAAAAACTGCCACTTCGGAGCGGAAGCCACCACGTTGCCAAATACCTTGCTGCTCAACATCAACAGATCAGATGGCATATCTAGTTCGTGCGCAAGACATTCGATGATGATCAGTTCCACAAGCCCTAGAAGTATGTTTATTCTGATTGGATCACTGAATTGACTGTCGCCTTGGTAGACTGCGAGGCCTAAAGCTCCTCGCAAATGAGCGTTGGAAGGCGGCGATAGGTTTCGTTCTCCGTAGTTGATGAGTCTTTCGTATACTGTCAGCAGCAATAATGACATCAAGGTTCTATTTTCATTAACTTCCACTGGCGATTGAATAGCGTTGGTGGTAAGCAACAATGCTGAGCCATAGTTGACCCGGGCATCGTGGAGAGCCACAGGCGACTGGTGAGAAAATGAATAGAAGGCCAACCACACGGAGCGGATGACCGTTTCTAACAGGGGCGATTGTCCCTCTTGTGGAGGATAGAAGACTCGCATATACGAGAAAAGATTTGTTTCATGCGAATCCGTGACATATTGCGAGATAAAGAGGCGCTTTGCCCGGGTTTCCCATGATGGAAGAAGAACGATTGATAAAGGATCGGGCAAGGGAGATGAACGGTTGAGAGGAGCTTTGCGTTTTTGCCTTTTGTTGATTGTAGATTTTGTTTCATCATAGATGATTAATTGCGTGGGATCTGGGTATCGCGAGCATTGTATGGCGGCTCGCGAGCACTGGGAGCAGCCATTCGGCTTCTTGTCGCACTATTCTCTCATCACATACCCGATGAGTATGTGGAAAAACAACCGAGGCCAATCACGCCTACCTTGATATCGCGCCTTCTACACTCACGGCAAGATCTAGATGGCTTTCCGCGATAAACCATGTCGGTTGACGCAGTTGTCAGTGTCGACAGCTAGTTCCATTTGGGTTAGGCCAGGAGAATAATCAAGGGGCGAGGAACTTGGGAAGGAACAAACGAACACGGGTGCCTAAAATATTAGGCCATTGAACAGGGCCTCGGATAGGGCTGCGACTAACCTGATTGAAACTAGCCTGGGCTAGCGCGCTTCGGCTGACTCCGACTAGGACTAGTCTTGGTCCCCTCCGCTTTCCTCTGTTACGTTTCCTCCTCGTGAAGCGAGTCTGTCTCATTCAGGAGAGGTTTCTTCGTTCGAGTGAGACATGCGCTTAGATGGCCCCTGAAATGAATGGTCCTCCACTGCCGCGTCAGTCAGAGTCACGGCACAGTCACAGTCACATCCAGTCTCGCCTGCTCAGTAGGACGCACTCAATAGTACGTTAGTTCTAGTACCAAGACCAATACCCCAGCATTAGAACAGTATTAGAACTGGATGTCATTGATGCCAAGAGCCCCCCTGTGACTTCTGACGAGTTTAATTATTTGCTCTCAACTCTTTATTGCGGTGAAACTGAGCGATTATTATCCACTCAGCGCCGGCTAATAATAACATATTCCGCCTACGCGTCCTCGCTGGCTGCAACAGCCAACCGTGGCGCCCGTGGCTGAAGTCGTTGACGAATCCCGGCGCGGCCTCGATGCCCGAAACAGGCAAGTGAGGTCAAACTTCACTAGCCGTCCCACCTCGCTCGTCGTGCGATCCGGCCCATCCATGGCTCCTGTCGACTCTTGGCTTTGAGGCCAACGTCCTCAATTTCTCTCCTCGTTCTGTTTTGGACTTCGTTCTTGCGTTGTTGAATTTGTCGCTGCGCGCTGTAGCTGTATGCTTCGCATTTCTTCATAGTCTCTCGTTATACTATCGTTACTATTAATATTCTCTGTACTTTGTTCCTACTTCCTTCTTTATCCTTTCTCGCCGCTCGCTCAGGGGGATTTAATCGTGTACTGGACATTTATCAGCTTCACAGCGCAATGAAGTCGTCTATCCTCGCTGCTGGCGCTTTCCTCGCCGGAAGCGCCTTTGCTTCCACTGCGTTGGACCCCGTCATCTCCTATGGAAGCAAGTTCTTTTACAAGACCAATGGCACCCAGTTCTACATCCGCGGTGTTGCTTACCAGGAACCTGTCACCGCCACGACCACCTCCACCTTCATCGATCCGTTGGCAGACATCTCGACCTGTAAACGTGATATTCCTTATTTGACCGCTATCCGCACCAACACCATTCGTGTATATGGCGTGCAAGCCAACAGTTCCCACGACGACTGTGTCAATGCCTTTGCCGCCGCTGGCATTTACATCATTGTTGATTTGGGCTCCCCTACCGACTCGATCAACCGTAACTCACCCTCCTGGGAAACGAGCCTGTATACGCGCTACACTGAAGTTATCGACGCCTTTGCCAACTACACCAACGTCATTGGATTCTTTGCTGGCAATGAAGTCTCGAACTCGGTCAACACTACCGCTGCGAGCGCTTTCGTCAAAGCTGCCGTTCGCGACTCCAAGGCTTACATCAAACAAAAGGGCTACGGGAAGGGTGTTGGCTACGCTGCTGCCGATGTTACTGATATCCGTGTTCAGTTGGCCGATTACTTTAACTGCGGTACTGCTGACGAATCTGTCGACTTCTTTGGTGACAATGTCTACGAATGGTGCGGTACCACTGCTACATACAAGTCTTCCGGCTACAACGACATCAACTCGGACTTTTCCAACTACTCGGTTCCCTACTTCTTCGCCGAGTACGGCTGCAACAAGGTCCAACCCCGTACTTTCACCAACATCGAAGCTATGTACGGTCCTGACATGGAGGACATGCTTAACGGCGGTATTGTCTATGAATACTTCCAAGACACCAACTCATATGGTATGCAGCTTTCTGACTGCCAGAGAAATGAAAATCTAAATGAAAATCTAACTTCTTTACAGGTCTCGTTACTACGAGTGGCTCTAGCATCAAGACGCTTGATGACTACTCTGCTTTCTCCACTGAGATCGTCAAGGCCACTCCTACTGGCATCAACAAAGCCTCTTACACGCCCACCAACACCGCCCTTCGCGCCTGCCCAACTGTCGACGCCAGCTGGCAAGCCGCTTCTGCTCTTCCCCCGACGCCCAACAAGGCTCTCTGCGACTGCATGTTCAGCAGCTTGACCTGCGTTGTCCAGGACAGCACCTCCACCACCGCCTATGGCGACCTCTTCAACTATTTCTACGGCCTTGATGGCGGAAAGTACGTTACCGGCATCACCGCTAACGGCACAACTGGTGTCTACGGCGCGTACAGCATGTGCGAGGACAAGGAGAAGCTCTCCTGGGCCATGAACGATTACTACCAGGCCCAGGTTGCCGCCAACAACGCCAACGGTGCCTGCGACTTCAGCAGCAAGGCCTCCACCCAGGCTGCCACCACCACAGGATCCTGCTCCAGCTTGATCTCCGCCGTCGGTACTGCCGGCACCGGTTCAGTCAGTGCTACTGGCACCGGCAGCTCCTCCAGCTCGTCCGGCGCCGCATACCCTGGCTTCGCCCCCACCGCTGTCTTCGTTGGCAAGTGGCAGATGGGTGCATACATCGTGACGGCCCTGCTTAGCGGTGCTGCCATGCTTGTCCTGTAGTCGGCCTCATGTTGTGTTTCTCAGCGTCCAGTCAGTCATTTAGAGAAACTGTTCTATCTTTACTTTTCGATGTATATTGAGTGACAAAATTTGGACCTTTATTTCCTTATTTATATAGTTGGCTTGTGAACATTACAATTATACCGTCTAGTTTTGACCTCGTAAAGCCAGGTAATTTCTTCTTTGACCAACCTATTTACATAAACCCCGTTACATAGATAGTCACAGGGGAGATCGCGGTTGCCCCGTCCCGATGCATGTCGAGTATTCGAACGAAGCCAGTCATTAGAAAAAAGGCAAAATAAGAAGTCCAAACGTTCGTGAAACTTGGTATTATAGAAAGTACAGAGTATCTTCGTCGTCCGTATTATACTTTAAATGTTTTAAGAGTCTTATCGCGGGCGTAGAGCGCGATCATTTCTGTTGACAATCTGAGCACAATCGCATTACTAGGAACAACCCGCCAGGACGAAAGTCATCGCTTATCTTGTCTTCTTTTCATGCAATGGCATCTCTCTGCTGCCATCGCAAAGACAACTTCATCATCGTATCCTGGCCGGGCCGATTCAGACTGCAATATCCGCTGTCCATAGAGCACCGACCCTTCCAAAGCGATTCTGCCTGCCATCATTAGCTTCCAGAACTCCTCTGGCGCATGAGAAAATGACCTCGAATGCTGGGAGGTAAACACAGTGTCGCCCAGGCTGCCAGCGGCTTTTCTGCCAGCTATCAGTACATTTTCTATGGAGAATCATTCACGCAGGCGCACAGCATCCCCGAGCCAAGTCTGATTGTCCGTGGGAGGAGGTATCGGTAAGGATAACCAAGAACCCGCAACTTTTAGTTTGCCTCTGACAAAAGGCTCTTACCTGCAGGTGACCTCCGCCTGCCATCTGGACACTGTCTACGGGTGCAAGGAGGGGAACAACTTTTTCAGCTTTGGCATAAAAGGGAGGACGACTGCTTGGTGAGCCCCTGGAACAGTTGTGTGTCCGACAACCATTTCAGAGAGGAGGCAATTCCCAATCACGTGGTAGTACTCGTTTATTGAAAATCAAAAGGAACATATAGACCTTTAGGGTTGACTCCGTGGGTTATTTCATGGGAATGCTGCGCGCTCTGTTTCACTGTCTATTTGCGGAAAACAAAGCAATTTTATATGGGAAAAATATCTAATTGATGTGTGTTTAACACTTAGTTCTCTACTCTATATGTATAAATAAACTTCCAAAACACGTCATGAATATAGTCGCACCCGAAATGTCCTTCCATGTTTTGCACATTGTAACACGTTTCAAACCCTAAGCGTTAAGACCTAGCTAATCGATAAGTGGTTACTCTGTATTTCCAACACGTTTTCGAATTGAATAGTACATTACCGAACGGACAACTGTCTCAGTAACCTGTTTTGTGATAATACTCAGAATCCTGTTGCCTTGCATGTGCTTCTAAAGTCGACGCCAATCTAGTATGACACCGCTAAACCTGGTCCAATCTACGATTTAGTAGGAGCTTGAGAAAACGGGCCTAAGATTATGAATCAATCAGTAACTAGATAAAATAAGTTATGTGACTGGTAATTGGGTACATCATCTATGAGGAACTAATTGAAGAATCAGCAATGGCTCATTTCTCCAATAGTTGTTGCACAATGTCGATATGTCCTTCAGCAGAGGCAGCTTGAAGAGCATTCTCATAATGTCCACCTTGGGCATTGATATTGGCTCCATTGTCCAAGAGTAGCTCCACAATATCAAGATATCCTCCAGCAGAAGCGGCCTGAAGAGCATTCCCATAATGTCCATCTTCTCCATTAATATCAGCTCCTTTACCCAAGAGTAGCTCCACAATATCAAGATATCCTCCAGCAGAAGCGGCCTGAAGAGCACTCCCATAATGTCCACCTTGGGCATTGATATTGGCTCCATTGTCCAAGAGTAGCTCCACAATATCAAGATATCCTCCAGCAGAAGCGGCCTGAAGAGCATTCCCATAATGTCCACCTTGGGCATTAATATAAGCTCCTTTATCCAAGAGTAGCTTTATAATATCAAGATGTCCTCCTGCAGAAGCAGCCTGGAGAGCGTTTCCATAGTATCCACACTGAGCATCAATATAGGCTCCATTGTCCAAGAGTAGCTTTATAGTATCAAGATGTCCTCCAGCAGAAGCAGCCTGGAGAGCGTTTCCATAGTATCCACCCAGAGCATCAATATAGACTCCATTGCCCAAGAGTAGCTTTATAGTATCAAGATGTCCTCCAGCAGAAGCAGCCTGGAGAGCGTTTCCATAGTATCCACCTTGAACATCAATATAGGCTCCATTGTTCAAGAGTAGCTTTATAGTATCAAGATGTCCTCCTGCAGAAGCAGCCTGGAGAGCGTTTCCATAGTATCCACCTTGAACATCAATATAGGCTCCATTGTCCAAGAGTAGCTTTATAGTATCAAGATGTCCTCCTGCAGAAGCAGCCTGGAGAGCGTTTCCATAGTATCCACCCTGAGCATCAATATCAGCTCCTTTATCCAAGAGTAGCTTTATAATATCAAGATGTCCTCCAGCAGAAGCAGCTTGAAGAGCATACCCATAATGTCCACCTCGAGTATTAATCTTGGTTCCTTTCTCCAATAGTTGTTGCACAATGTCGATATGTCCTTCAGCAGAAGCGGCTTGAAGAGCATTCTCATAATGTCCACCTTGAGCATTAATATCAGCTCCTTTATCCAAGAGTAGCTTTATGATATCAAGATGTCCTCCAGCAGAAGCAGCCTGGAGAGCGTTTCCATAGTATCCACCTTGAGTATTTATATCGGCTCCACTTTCCAGTAGGATCAGTACACACTTGTAATGTCCACGCAGAGATGCCCATTGGAGTGCAGTTGTTCTTGTACTATCTTGGTAATTGATTGTGTTTTCACAATCCATGATTAACCTCTGTATGATCTTATTATGTCCATTAAATGCGGCTAAGTGAAGCGCATTCATCTGAGGTTTTGGTACATGTGGCATTACCATCTCCCAGAAGATAGGAAACCACAAAGCAAATCGTTTAGCGGCAAGGTCGTACAGCTGATAGGTGTACGCCATTAGCTCAGGCGTCGGTGAGGATATCTCGCGGAAGTGATCAGGCCAGTTCTGTGCTGAGTACTCCAGTAAGGACTGTACATTCGCTTCGTGCTTGTTGCCTCCTAAGTCGTCCATTAAGAGGTATTTAACACAGATTTGAGTAACTTGGATCTGTGCATCGCTGAGTTTAAAATACCATTTGGACCTGGTAGATCCAGGAATGTTGTTAATCAAAAATTCCCTTGCTGTCTGGTGAATAAGATATATCCTGGAATCTTTGATAAAAACGAAGAGCCCACACAGTCGCCGTATCCTTTCGCTTAGCCCTTCTGGGTTAAGACCCGCCTCCTCTGCTGTTCGTGTCTGCGTTGAAGTAGCCACTCCTAAGGCCATGGCCATTTCTTGAATAGTCAATGGACGCTGTGCTCCAATGATGATTTGCAATATTGTTCTCACTGTTGCTTCTTGTTCAGGAGTAACATGATCCAGAATCTTTTCATATGCTTCACTGACCGATTTAGGGATCAAGGAAATTGATTCTTGATCGGGTTTAAAACTGTCCTGGAATCTGTTCCGAATATCGTCAATCACCAAATGCAACCATAAATATGTGCGCTGCTCCATTTGAAGGAGCTCTTTCTCAAGTCGTGCCTGCGTTTCAGCTTTAAGATTAAACATTTCACTAAGCTCTGCCACACGGATCTTCGCAACAAGACTAATTTCATTATGAATCTGATTATTTTCTGCTTCACCTCGGAGATGAATCTGCGGAAATGATTTTGTTACTAGCTGAAAAACTTGTTGAATTTCCTCGTAAGGTCGACTAGTAACCAGGAATTTCAGCCAATTCCTTCGACTGGATGAACTGGGCTGGGTATAACATTTTTGAAGCTTTTCAATAAGATGTTTTTGATCCTGGATTTGACACTCATCAAGAGCATCAAAGACACAGACAGTGTTAGCTGATGTTGGATCAGATGTTGCCGCTATGAAAATCTTCCATAGGTCTTCTACTTCCTGCTGAATCTTCTCTTGGTTCTTTTCCCAAACTGGTAATGCATGTCGTAACAGTTGTGGCTGTAATATAAAAAGCTGATGAAGTACAGCACATAATGCAGTGGCTAGATTGTTCTGTTCATCGTTGTCCTTAAAGAAAAAATAACAAATTGACAGTTTTGGTGTAGAAATTTTGAATATATCGTCAATAAGTGATTTTGCAAGTACTGATTTACCGCATCCTGGGTCAGCTGAGATCCATAACAGGTCATCTCCAGTAGCTTTCCACCAACGCAGGTACTTAGGGCTTCGCAAGACCCATTCACAAGTCCCTTCCACTCGATCTGGGTTGATATTTTTATACATTTCATAATTTGAAGTCTTAAATGCTTGGTGACAACGGCGTTCAATGTTACCTATGAAAGAGAGGTGAGCTCGACATGTAGGCCTATTTAGCCATACGCTGAGACAGCAAATTCCACTTACCACAAACGTCTGTTTCTAATATCTCTTGGGACAAATTTCCCCATGGGACATAAGCGAGGAACTCTTTGGTATATGCTGCTGCCGTTAATGCAGCATATCCCTGCCATTCCTTGTTCTTATGAGAGTCTGCATAATCACATACTCCCCGTATCACAATACAAGGAAAATCTGACATCAGTCCAGCGGCTTCTATTTCATAACATAAAGCACCTGTCTCCTGGCGGATCTGTTCTCTAGTTGCTCCGTGTTTAATGACTGTATTTCCAGACGCAATGATCCCGTAATGTATTTGGGGGTCGCTGTCTTTCCGTGGTAATCTTACCTCTTCCCATTCCACAGGACATCTATCGCAAATTGGAGCAGTCATTGGATGCTCATATTCAATGCGGAACAATCGATCAGTTCGCAGATCAGGTCGGCTAAACCTTTTCTGCGTTCTTGCGTTCCTTTCAATGGCTTGTTTGATATAAGATGGATAGACCGCATCTTGATATAACCCGGCCGCTCTGATCTGGCTAAGCGCAGTCAAGAGAGATTTCGGTGGAGTATTTAAAGACTCCATTCGCCAAATTTTGCCATCCTGACCGATCTTTCCCATGTCATGTTGGATCACGCCACCACAAGAGCCATCCTCCGGATGACTGACCACAATATCGCCAAGTCGAATATCATGATCAGGAGACGGAATCCCTCCTCCAATGCCCACCATCAGTCCAATCCTCAGTGATTTTGAAAATGTACGCATCATGTTTTTGGCCACGGTGACAGCTGAACCTATCCCGTGTTGTACAGGGAGACAAGCAATAGCAACATAGTGGTGACCGATTCTACCTAAGGTGTATGTATTTGTATCCATTCTGTCTTGGTCCTGGAGAGCCCCAAAGTTCTCATCCAGCATTTGGATTGCGGCGGCTGCTTCAATGGGCAATGCACAGATCCAGCCAATATGGAACTTCTCCTTTGCCTGTGAAGGTGTGACCACATTAAATATGCTGTTCGAGTGCTGAAGGCGGGCGAAATGTTCTAGTAAGAAATCTTTCTCTCCGTCGAGTGTAGAATGTGTAATTTTATAATCATTGAAACCGATATCATCCCAGTGGGTTTCTTGTGTCTCTTGGATTTCGAAAAGCTGGTCTGAAACGATTTCCAAATCTGTTCTTGGAGGGTCTTCGGTGAAGGATAAGGAAATGGAACGGATATCCGAATCGAACCCAGTGAGATACGAAGCTGTAGAGCCTTCACTCCTCAGGCGCCGTTTGTCTTCCTCATCGGCATCAGATATTTCCAACTGGTCTGGATCTGTGCTTGTCCAGGCAGGGACTGATATGAAGGCAAGTGTCTTCACATGTTTTGCAATATGTTTGTTTAAGAGGTGCTTAATCTCCTCTGGGTTGCCTGTCTGAATGACGGGCTCGATGGAGTCAGGAACGCAATTGCAGAGAGGGCAAGAGTATTTTTCCTGGCGCACAAGCATTTTTTGCTTACTCCTAGAAAGGGCGTCAAGTTGCAGGTCGGTTGGAGATTGTCGTTTAGGATGGTTCGTACAGTCCTTCATGTGCGCAATGAATGCACTATGGTCGCTGAATTGAAGGACTTCCCCCCCATGTTCAATGTCGCAATACCAAGTCATCATATGAATTTTTTGATTCCATTGCTCTGAATGCATCGTATTCATGTGGTCGAGCCACTCCTTCATATGGACAAAAAATAAGAATGGAGATGTGCATTCCTCGGAAAGACATACGTAAGGTTTCACGTCTATGTCAATATGGTTCCTAGAAGCTGATCAGGCCGATTTGGTTCGCAAAAAAAAAAAAGGTTCGATGCATTGTACGTACTCCCAGTACTTAGCATCCATTCTTAACCTCCCAAGTTCCAATGGTTTCGCGCAATAAGGGCACGCACAGTACTTATCATCATTTCCAGCGTTCGGCTTTGCGGGATAATCGACTTTCGTATTTCGAACTGAAGATCCCGTACTGATTGTCGAGAGGCTCGGCCCTCTGTTCAAATAGCTGCGAACTGCCATACTGTCTAATTTACTCCGTGTGTCGTCGGACCAGGGGGAGGCTTTATACTCTATTTTCAATCTATGAGGTTGAGAAGCTGTCAACTGTGCGTCAGCCTGCGAAGGCGATACTCGTGGTTGGGCCACAGGACCTGAGCCTTGCTTTGGCAGGACGATTTCCCGCCTCGTGCTCAGTTTCTCTTCATGTATATTACTACGAAACAGTCTTTTCCGACGAACTGCGATAGAAGCACCGAGTTGCTCACATAAAGAGCGTCTAGCATTGGGAAAGTCACGTTTGACGAGGAGTACGGAGTACTCCTCGAAGGAGATGTCGTCATCTCTGTCGAATCGAGACGAGAGATTGTACCTTTGGCTTTGGGTAGAGGACCTACGAATTGCGGAAGCCATAAAGTGTAGACCATCGATTGCGCTCTCAGTCGCCGACCAAGCCTCTTCCGCCAAGTTCTGGGGAGAGGTTTCATCCCGTTGGGCCTTGGAATAAAGCAGGCCTGCAGCGGAGACTAGAACGAAGTGAGCACTTGTATATCCTATCGAGAAATATTTCTAACACTTACTGTATTGTAGGTTTCTAATAAGCATCTGAAGAAGTTCGACCACCATACATTTTATGTCTGGATGGCCATTCAGCCGATCATCAAGCGATCGGCCAACAGCGGCAAGGGCACCAGTATAATTAATAAAAAGATCGAAGCTCCTTCCCATCTGCTTCACCTTGAGCTTTCTCTTGTCTTTCTCCCTTACATCATCTTTCGATTCAGAAGGCCTCTGGCCTCTGTCAGGGTTTATGGACGGAGAATCATTGAGTTTGGGCGATGTACCAGTCGACAGTCCAGTCTTATAGTCGGTACCAGATTGCTCAGTTAAAGTCTCGAATAAACTGGAGCATTCGATGACGAGGCTATAAATTTCACCCTCATATGAGGAGCTGTCATCGCGATTAGTGGCAGACCACATTTCTGGGAAAGGATATAGTGCGCTCATCCTAACATTGTGCGCTTAGTCTAGCTCTTCGTGACGGAATCTCTGTTGTTGAGTTGCTCGCCTTAAAACCCCGCAATGGAAATCCATCCTGATTAGGCTTAGCGCACAGACTAGATCGCTTCGATAAAGGCTTCGCAGCCGACTACTAGATTTGGACCTCTTCAGACTTCCACGTCCGGATAATTCACCACCCAATGACCGTCTTGCTATCACGAGGTGCGTTATCTCTAGTACCGATTTCCCCCACCCAAATTCCCGCAACGGCCCGTGCCGAAGTCTTGCCAAACGTCGGGCACTCTTAAAATACTAAGATGCGAATTATTGTACACGCCCAAGTACAATGGCAGTTATTCACTGCTTTGTACCCACTGTTCAAGCACTCTCTTCCGCAAATTAGACGATCCTCTAGTGAAGATCAGGACCTGAGAATCCAAAACGCAATTACAACAATCCGCCATCACCTTCTCGCAATCCCTCTCCAATTACAACAAGTCCAGCTGAACCAAGACCTGCCACAAGCCGATTTTGATAGATTTTTAGAGGCTCTCATATTTTTGTTGAATGTCTTTGAGCGTCTTGTTGAAGAAGATGTTTGCCAACATATTTACAACCTCGGTACCGACGAACATGACACATGGGTGAACCTGCTCTCCAGCTCTCCTAGGCCCTAACCACTACTGACGGCCTTTTTTAACAGTCACGGTCCCAGTATCCAAAGCTCACAACATTGAAGAACCTTCTACTGAAGTCGCGGTCTGGACCCGCGACCGCCGACAGTGACACGAACCTGGCAAGCGACTGGCATGAACCAACAGAATCCTCAAGCGATATACTATCGGATTTAGGGAAATATATTAATTTTCATGGATCTAAATCAGTGCTGGAATACCAATACATCTCACGCGAGATAAGAGGATTCAATTCAAAAATCAAAGACATCTTCCACAGCTCTCTCGGAACCTCGGACGACAGTTTAGGGAATGCTTTTCCACTTAGGGACGATGAGATCAATTTCATTCGACGAGCCCATCGCCTAAATTTACTGTCAAGTTCTCTATTTGCATTACTTGGGAAGAGCATCGCTTGCTCCAAGGCTCATACTGCCAGGTTACACCTCTCTGGGTTTCTGGACCCCGATCTCACATTTGATTTGCATATTGCGGCCTGCGAGAAGAGGATCTGGAATTGTGCTAAGTGTAGATGGTTTGAGTTTAACAACTGTGTGTGAGAGTTTTGTTTGCTGATATAGAATAGGGTCAGTGAGCGTCCGACAAAATGCGATGAAATTGCCCACATTTTCTGTATCGATTCAGAGCACTTGAGAGATGAATCCAGAAGCATACAGATTGCATTTGATGACGGTGATATCTGGGATGATGCAGGCCAGGGGCCACCGCTGGAATCAGCCTTTGTTCCTGAGCTCCTGCCAACACTCGGAGAACTTGTATTCCGTGGGTCGGACAGTTTTCCATGCTTACTGACTGAAAACTGCGAATTCGAGCCTGAAGATCAGAAGATAGTTCAACTGCTTCTTGCTTCCTCATTACTCCACCTGAATACCAACCAATGGCTCCGACGTGAGTGGGAGCTGGAAAAAATACTCATGCTTGCCAACCCCTCTGCTCAGGATCCCCTCAAACGCTGGAAACCTCATGTCGCATGTTCCCTCGGAAGTTCTGCTGAAGTTTGCTCTGATAATTATGACGACATTCTCTCATTCGGTCTTCTTATAGTAGAGATGGAAGCGAAGCGAAAAATCAAGGCGAACCAATATGATAACGACTGGATCACTGGTCTGCCGTCCAAGGATAGCATGCTAAAGCGGGCGTTGACGGACTGGAATCGGAGACTTGAAGATGGCTACAGAGCAATTGGGAGGGCATGTCTGCAATTCCGAGAACTAGCTGAGAGACTTTATCATCCGGCTCTGACGAATGACATGAGACGCACAGCAGCAATATACAAATACATTCTTACTCCTCTTCGTCAGCTCGTCACCCAGAGATATTGCAGCACATCACAGCAATTCAGTAGAATTCCACGGCAATCGGACAACCATTCAGTTTCAGCGTCTTATCCTCATCATTTTCAGCCTAGTTGGAGCTCCAGGCTGATTTTATTCGACGACTCCAAGTCAGATTCAACTTGGCACAACCCTTTGTGAGTTACATTGTAACCTAGATTTCTGATGTCAAGAAAGTTTGTAGCTGATGTTTATTCCGGCAGAAAGATTGAGTATGCTTCAGAATTCATGCGTGCCATTAAACCCTTCGTCGATATGATCAGGTATTTATCGGTCAACTGCGATCCCTTGCCTGCTCTGGAGCAATGGCGAGCAAGGAAGATCAGAATTGCGATCATTGACACAGGAATTGATACAGAAGATGATATACTGATACAAACTGCGTTGGAGTCGGGCCGCATAAGAGCTTGTCGGGGCTTTATCAACGATCCAGGCGATTATAAGGATTCTCACGGCCATGGAACACATGTTGCTCGACTTATATTGTCACTGGCACCTGCAGCGGAATTGTACATTGCCAAGGTCTCTGATAGTAAAGTTGTCCATGCGGCAGCTTTACAACGCATCTCAGAAGTAACTACTCAGACCAAGGCTAGCATTTGCATTCACTAACTCCGCCAGGCTATTAGATGGGCTCACAAGACCATAAATGTTGACTTAATCTCCATGTCATTTGGACTCGAACCTGATAATCGCAATGAAGAGATTGATAGGGCAATAAACAATGCCTTCAAATCTAATATCACCATGATCGCGGCAGCTGCTAACAATGGCGGCAATAAGCCACGCGCATACCCTGCCAGCAGGCGTACCGGGGTGCTTTGTATCCACGCCAGCGACGGCCGCGGCAATGATGGCGAGATTAGTCCTACTCCGGAGTCAAAAAAAGACAATTTCTCCACGTTGGGTATCTCGATCGAATCGAAGTGGAAAGGAGAGAAGGTCCTGAAATCAGGGACGTCTTTCGCAACACCAATTGCGACCTCTCTCGCTGCTGATATGCTGGAATTCGCCAGATACAAATGCTCTCTCTCTGAATATGAGCAGGAAAGTCTGCATAGCTTTGATGGCGTCGCTGAGATGCTTCGCCTCATATCAGCACAGCGACAGGGGTACGATTATATTATGCCACTTCATCTCTGGAAATATGATACGGAGTCGGAAATCGCTCGTAAGATTACTAGAATTGTTGCGTCACGATAAGCGCTTCAAACCTACCATAAATACATGTGAGGTCTAGAAGGTTTCTCATGGATGGAGCCTAAGAGAAATAAGATGATAGAGCGCAAGAAGAACTAAAGACTCGTCCAATTTCGCACAACACTGACTGTGGATGCTGACTTCCTGTGGGAATCCAAGTTACTTTAAACCCTTTTATTATAAGGTTCACAGGACGATACCGTCACGCTAAGTTTAAAATTTTGACGCAGTGCGTGCGATGTTCTCGCTTCCTCTATGTCAATTTGAACCTTGATATCACTAACGCGTTTGAAACAAATGCAAGGCAAGTCCAATGTTACGAGATGGATCTTCACCAGTTAGCTTAGTTGTAGGGATTCCTAGGTTTCTAAAGCCAATAGGACATGATCCTTAACCCGCATAGGGCCCTAACCGAAGTAGGCGACATACTAGAATATTTACCCCTCTTTGAAAAGCGGGCGATTAATATACGAAATCGTTACTCTTATTTTATAAACGTATTTCACGGATGCACCATACTCGGACTATTTTTTTGAGAAAGCGAAGGCTTAGGCATGAACACGATGAGCGCAATGAAACCTACCTATTACTTGCCACCCAACTTCTCAACGCCGCCGCCTCCCACTGGGCCTTTCCACCTGGGAACCGTGCTCAAAAATTTCGAACGCAGGGAAGAGATGCGACCCCTCAACCAGAACGCGGAAAGTCGTATTCCAATTCCTGCAGATCAAATCTACTTCGACTACAAAGGCGGCTTCGAAGCCACGCGAATTCAGCTGAAGAGCGGCGGGCTTGGTTTATGGGCCGAGTTCATTGGTATCGACGGCATTGGCGCCGAAGCGAGCATTTCGGTAGATCGAAACGATAGTGACAAGTATAAATTTGAGAGTGTCCAAACGATGTACTTCTTTCCACGGCCCAGCTATATCTCGCAATGCATCCAGATTTCCGATGTCCAGGACTACCTTGAGGGACATAACTATAAAAAACCCGTCTACCTTATCACTGGGTTGAAGGTTGCTAAAGGTGTATCGTTGCAAATCGAGAAGATAAGAAAGGCAGCTGTAAAAGCGGAAGTTGGTTTAAACAACCCCGGTGGGTCAAACACTTCCATTGGTCCAAGGATAGAGGGCAACGTAGCGAACTCTCCCGTCTTCAGTTTCGCGGAGTCGAGTGACATCGTGGTCGGCCTCCAGTGCCTTAAGCTTTATTACAAGATAGGCTGGTTTGGCAGTCCTAAAAAATTAAAGGAGGAGCTCGTCATGAACGATGCTACCTTCGTTAGCGATGAGAACAAGGGCCAGTATGAAAACCTTGACAACTACGTGATTCCAGAGCCTGAAGATTACAAGCTGGTAGATTACATCCGTCGGAGTTTGACGTCTGACGAAGAGACTTGGATTGTTCCTGAATGCTAATCGAACACTAGTTGGAAAAGAGGGGTGTTCATCATTTTCTTTCAAGTACTATACCCTCAATGTGATGTCAAATTCGAACGTATAGTAGATACATGGCCCTAACTGTTTATCGTTGGTGTTAAAACTTAGGCCTTGGCAGTGGGATTGAAAAAACATCAGAATTTGGCGGAAGCCAGTTTTGCAATCGCCAAATATAAGGTGCGAATTGCGATACGGGGCTACAGATACACCAGCATGGTTAATAAAAGACGTGATTTTACCAAAATCCATACTGCTAAGGCACTATCGACATATAGTTTAGTGCATAATGGCAAATTAGGGTTTGTAAAGCAATCTATATGTTCCAAACGGAAGGACATTTCGGGTGCGACTATATAATAATATTGGTCATTCAGTCGCATTAGATTTCCACTTGTTTTCAGCTAGAATTTCCCTTTCTGTCTTAGTGATATCCATGCATGTGTCAGCAGTCTGCACATTTAGCGGCCCCCTGTATGGCATTTTCCTACTGCTACTCCAGTTCAGGTGTAAATTATGAATTGACCCACACGATGTCGGAGTTTAAAATCACCTTGCCATAGATCCACCAATCGAGGGGGGAACTGGTAAAATACTCTTCGTTTACGATGAGTCATTCCTTCGACGCAGACACTAGGTGCCACGGACAATGATGTAGCCTAACCATTTTTATCCCCATGCATTAGTTCCCGCCAAAAAAACAGGGAAGAAAGAATGAATTAAGAAACTGATCGTTTGTATATACAGAGTACAAGGTTCAACGATGTCATGTTATTTGTAATTTTGCTATGAGAACCAGTAAAACAAATACATTTAGTCGCCGGTGACCTCACCGTACGCAGAGGTTGTTCGGATTCTCGGAGAAAAGACATTAAATGAGGGAATACAAATCCGCGGGCTGCTCCTTGCAGGACTATGCAGTATTTTCGTCCCTAGAATTTTGCGCTTTAAAATTGTCCAAGGATCCTCCAAAAGTCTTCTCATTCTCAAAATTTCACATACCCTCTGTTCCTATTAGCATTTCTATTGCCCAAAAGAGCCCAAAAAATACCAGCATAACCTACCTCCAGAATGGCAGCTTCCAGGGTCTGGCTTATCACCGGAGCATCTTCTGGCATCGGGTTGGAGCTCGCAAAGGTTGCCGCCAGTCGGGGAGACCGTGTTATTGCAGCAACACGATCTCCTCAGAAAATCGAGGCTCTTGGTTTACATGCAAATATCAAGGCCGCTCGACTCGACCACAATGAATCCTTGCCTCACGTTAAATCTGCAGTTGAAGAGATTATAAACATTTTCGGCACCGTCGATATGGTTGTAAACAACGCAGCCTATGTCCAAACCGGCATGCTAGAGGAGACCTCTCCGGAGGAAACCCTTGAACAATTCCAGGCCAATGTCTTGGGCCCTTTGAATGTCTATCGCGCTATCCTACCTCATTTACGCGAGAAACGATCCGGCACACTGGTGACTGTTGGCTCGATGGCAGCGTGGTATCCCATGCCCGGCTGCAATCTCTACGACGCATCGAAGGCAGCGCTTCGCTGGCTAGGCATCGGCCTGTCCGGTGAAATTTCACAGTTTGGCATTCGTCATACCCTGATAGAACCTGGCTTCTTCCGAACCGATTTACTCAACCCAAGCGCAAACTTTGCCACCACCGATGCGTCGAAACGGCTGCCGGCCTACGCAGATAGCAACGCTGTCACTGATTCGAATTTTGTGAATTTCCACGGTAAACAGTTGGGCAATCCTGTAAAGGGAGCTGAAGTTTTATATGATGTAATAACGTCAAGTGGGATTGCTGCGGGCAAGGAGTTACCGGATTTCTTCCCCCTTGGCAGCGATGCAAGCACAGAGATTTCGAAAGCTGCTGCTCAAACTATTGCCACAGTAGATGCATGGCGTGAAATCAGTGCTTTGAGCGATTTCCCAAGCGGTCAATAAATGGAAATTACTGGCCCTTTTAATTAGATTGATGCAGTGGACGTTTTGACCGAAGTCGTTTGAGTTATAACTATCGCTCACCCTGGCACTGAGGCAGAGATTCCGAATCAACAAAGCAACTCAGTTTATTCAAGTCTCCCATACAATTTGTGTGTGTAATCAGAAGATCCGGGCAGATTCCCATAACTGCCAATCCAATACTTTCATCTACTATTTGGGCCTCCTCGAGTGGTTAGGCAGGAAACTTTTGGCGGAATACATTTTTACTTCTCTTTTCCATGTTCTGGCATCTTTCATCTCTCCTCTCCTATCAAGGAAATACAGGAATAAAACAGTTCAATGACTTATACAGTATTGTTCAGTCTTTTTGTGCCGAGGTAGAACTACCTATACAGTTGATTGCAAAACCGCTGCAAGCTTTTGCAGTCTCTAATTGTTTCCCAAACCCTTGCTGGCAAGGGACACTAAACTATGTTCATGAATTATTCCGAGGCCCCTGTCTCAGGTTTCGGTAATAGGGTTGTATGGTATGTTTTAAGAGTAAGTGCATTTAATTACCTGCATTCGCAATACCTTACGCCACATGGGCCTTCCGCCTACTAGATGATCCTCTGGGGAAATCAAGTAGATTATCCTTCTTCAAGCATTGCTACTCAGATGGCTCCAAATCTAGCATTACAAATCGTGGAAGTCCCCAAGTGTAGCATCGAGACCATTAGCGGCGCTGATCCAGACTAAATGCGATACCGAGATCGAGGGGCAAATATTGAATTGGGCAGCAGGCTAAGAGTTTAATCATCTATCTCCAATGCATCGAACAGGCGGTGCATTTCATGTGGGTACATTCAGGACATCTGTAATGTATATGGTCGATATTAAACGAACGGCAACTGTGACATTCCCAGAATAGAATTGGTTCTATGAACAGTAAACAAGGCTCCCTAGACGCCCCCTTTCCTTGTAAATCATTTTCTGGATGACGTAGTAGGAAGCATATTTAATTTAAAAAGGTTTTCTAACACTTCAGCATGAGTAAAGAGTATGAAGGAAGACCTACAATTTATAACTTACAACTTTTCAAGCTATTAGAACACTTATAAGACTATACTCTCATCATGACAAACGTCCTATTGTTTTGCACTTCTGAGGAGGCCAAACAGGTCACTCGCAAGGCCTTGAATATGAAAGAGGGGGACAGAGTCAACATATGTTCTACATTCTATCTTGTTGAATCGCGTACTTGCCCGAAAAATCGTGAAGATTTCAGGCAAGAAATACAAGACAATAATACGTTTGAATCTGAGTTTATTGGCGCTTCTGCACAGGACTGCCAGAAATGGGCGCTGAACAATCAGTACAGGGTCAACTTTGTTGAACATGATATCATCACGATGGCAGATTCATGCAATGCTACTGATAATACTCTTTCTATCCAATTTTATAGCAGGCTTGATCCTCCACTTGAGTTCGAGGGTTTTGGCGCTCTTCCACGAGAAGTTAAAACATGGCATGACTTTAGAGTTGATTATAAAGATGCTCGTACTGTCTATACTTCTTTATATTTTGGTCCATTTGGTGCTGTCTACCCTGCTTATTTTGGACGGAAAGAGGAATTTACAGATGAGCATGGCATTTTTGATGTTGCTAAGGCTGAACGGGCTTTACTTAGTCATGGCCCTGATACCGTTCAGGATTGATAGAATGAATTTCCGGTGACAGATTGCTCCGACATCCCCTGAGGCAACGGCTGCCACAAAAGGTGCAGCTGGTGTGTAGCGCTTCATCTAAACCCTCCTAGATAGAAACATCCGAAATCGTTGAGATCGAGCATCTGGGAATAGTTTCGGTGACTCCTTCTCCAATTTACCATCGACTCTGAAGTCGCATTAAGTCAGCAATGAAGCAATAGTTAACGTATTCCACAAGCAATCCGCACACACTAGTAATCTGTGCACTCGCGTATTGTATATTAAATGGCCATTTTCAATACGATAATAGCCCTCGAGTAATACCCCACGGTTTCAAGGGATTGACTAAGTACATTTCTGGTACCAACTATGGAATTTTGAGGCTGGAGCTAGCCATACAAATAAACGGACCACGCAGTTAACTTACACTTTACTCGTCATTCAATTTGAGCAATCTCAAAGTCTCCTCCCATAGCTTTGCCTCCCCATCTGGATCGTATGCCCACGGAGCATAACCGGGTCCATGCCGCTTTGTGGGGTCTGCAGGTGATGCGATTTGACAGTCATCCAAATACTTCCCTCCAATTCCTTCAAGCTCCCGAGATACAGCGGCCCAGACGGTAGTTGCTGCACCCTGCTCCGGACTTTTCCAGTATTTTTGGATGTAGGCATCCGTGTTCCACTCCTCCTTTTGTTGGTCAGAGACGTGCCGAAGAAGTCCAGTTGCAATTGCACCTGGATGCAAACTGAAAGCGTGGAGACCTTTAGATCCGTAAAGTCTTTCAATCTGATTGGCGCTCCATAAATTGGCGGTCTTACTCTGGCCGTAGGCTTTCCAAGGCTCATATTCGCCTTGCAAGCTGAGGTTATCAAAGTGAACCGGGGTGACGCGATGAGCGCTAGATGAAACAATGACGACCCGAGAATGGAAACTAGATATCGATGAAGAAAGTAAAAGAGGTTTGAGCAAGTAAAATAATAGAAAATGGGCCACATGGTTTGTGCCAAATTGGATCTCGAATCCGTCGGCAGTTTGGCCTTCAGGACAAGCCATTACCCCAGCATTCTCAATGAGAATATTCAGGTTTCTTGTTTTAGACTTTATTTGTTCAGCACATGCGCGGACACTATCAAGCGAGTTCAAATCTAGATGCAGAAGATGCACCCGAGGACTATCAATGAGATCTTTTAAAGCAACCTTGGCCTTTTCAAGGTCACGAGCAGTCAAGTAAAGCGTTGCTCCAGTGCGAAACAGAGCTCGAGCGGTCTCAATTCCTAGCCCGGATGAACAGCCAGTGATGAGGATCACTTTGCCCTCAAGGTCGTTTTCACGGCTTTCATCTTTGACTATCTGCAAGGCTGTCGGTCGTGCGTCACCGGGGCCCTGGGGTGATGCGTATGCTTTGGTATATTTCATGACTTCTAAAGGAATTTGGATGAAGCTGTCAAGTACTCAAGAGGGCTCGTAAAGACTTAGATTGGGAGAGTTGGCTTTAAGGGACCAGAAAAATAATATTGTTTGCCTTAGCGATCTAATGCCATTGTGTAATTTGCACACCGTTTCATCGAGGTTTTTATAAACGTATCCATGGCTAAGCTCTAGTGCTCTGGCAAAACCCCCCCACATACTCTGCTTATAAACAATTTTTATCGCTGTTTGGCACGTAAAGGAGCGATTTCTTTTTCCTTTTTAACTCCGTCGGCCGACGTTATACCTGGCCCGAAACCTTACATTCATAACGTCATCAACTCTGGAGATATCGGTGGAAATACCAGAGTGACCGTCGTGGGCAGGAGATGAATTGTTATCACGATAGTGTTACTACTGCATCTAAAATGTCGCTGTCAATCAAAACTGTATCATACAAATTTAAGAGCCTCATGTCCCCATCTAGGTAATTTCTTAAGGTTAGTATAACGTACTTGATGTAAACATAGTAGTTTTTGAAAGCCTTAAGATCAGAACTCCAAGGAGATTAATCCTTTGTGTTTATGAATTATGCCTGACCCTTAAAAAGGTTATTGACCTTTTCTAGGCTTACAGTACGAATAGAAATGTTGTCATTCAAGAAGTAACGCAGATCCATTGATATACGAGAGCTTAACCCTAACCATTATGATGTGCGAGGGAACCCCAGGCGCCGAGACACTTTTTTTTGAGATTAGACCATCTAGATTCCCAAAGAATTATACGTCATATAATTATGTCTTCATAGGTGCTTTATCATAAGGCTCAATAGTGCGCATAAATATATTACTAATATCGACTATCCTAACCACATTCACTAATACATTCACCTAACTAGTTACGTATTCAGAGCCGAGCAATACAAATAGATATGTCATTTATTAGCCTTATATTTGAGGTCGGGTGGAGCCATATAATAATCTTCTGTCTGTATGAATTGAAACTATAGAATGACTGTGCTGTATAGTCTGATGATATGAATTTTCAAGTCGGCATGATTTTATCCAGCTTTTAGTGTGCGTGAGTCGTTCCTAAGTAAAGTAAAACCGCCCCACTAAATGGCGGAAGCTCTTGATTCGGGCACTCTTTCACAGAAATCTTGAAGCTACTTTGTTGGTACCTTCTGGTTTTGAGAATTCAAGTTTAAGTAACGAGAGGCAGAAAGTTGGTGTTTGGCTCCGAAACCTTTTTGAGTGTCTTTTTTTAGCGCCCCTGTGAGAGGCAGCTTACTTCCAGTATTTCGAAGCCACATTGCGCAGTTAAAGCTTATCCAAAACTATCTAGGGTATCTGACTTCAATTGGAAGTATCCTAAAAGTGACAACACATGATATTCCACTTTTCTGAAACCTTTGCATCAATCATAGGCCGTGTGCAGTCACATTGTTGGTCCTGATTCAACATCTTATATTCCAAGTCAAATACTTGTTCGTAAACTCAGCCAGATAATTAGCAGCAGGTTTCAGATATGCCACATGGTTATAAAAGTACATATGCGCACCATATGAAAAATGGCCTTCTTAGTCACACCGTCAATAAGCTTATCCAAGTTCTGAGTGTGCTGTGCCATAGTGAGCGAGGTAAGAGGCATCAAAGGTGAGCACGCGCGGCAAAGTAAGATACAGCATCTCGTTTTCAGCTCGGGGATGCTGCGTACAGCGCTTGAGACAGTAATCAGTTGCTTCCCTCATGTCTCGCGAGGTTTTATCGTCAGACTCCGGAGAAACATATAGCGCAGCGGGGCAGTCAGCACCTTTTACCTCAGCTCTAATCTGAGCAGCAGCTCTGTTCAGTGCCTCAACATGTTTCAATGTGTCCTCATCCCCTTCTCATCCCCTGCGCGCAAAATCCCCAATATTAACCATATTGACAATTGCTACAGCCTTGGGCCGATAACCCCCCTTCGCCGCACTGACAGCATAGCCGCATCCAGCACAAATACCCGACACGCCAATCATATTTTCGTCCACAGTTGGTCAACCACCGCATTCTGCTCCTTAGAGCTACTACCGGGTTGCACCGTCACAACGTCAGGCGTTTTACCGGAAACCTTTTTTGGTGGGTTGAATTTAAGTCTCGACAAGAAGAAAAGGCCTTTCTTGACCGAGATGTCAGGCATTGCTAGTAATTCTATTGTAACAACAGGAATATGGAGCTAATTTACTCAATAAATAGAAATACCACTTATTCTTGTTTGGAGATAGACCCATCATCCCGTAACCACTACTTATTTCAATCCATATCCGAAAAATGTTCCTTCGGCCGATGGAAAGTGGATCATGGTATATCTCCGAAGTTGTCTCGAAGTCTTTTCGCCACTTGTTTCTGTATTGCTCCATTTCTTGGAAAGGTTTAAGCCGGAAACAATTTGGAATACCGGTTCACTGTCCGGCAATAGCGGTTGACCCGGTATCATTCCTGTGTTCGGCGTAGTCATCGCTCGCAAGAGTCTGGGCCGCGTACCGGCGACCATGTGGGATAGCCGTGGGGTTGCCTGATTATGAAAGATGATTCAACACGGATAAATAGTAAGCATCTTGGATATCAGGTAACCATGATGGTATAATGACTTACTAAGCTCAAACACAGTAGCTGGAGCTATACCAGGTTAAATAGGTGAACTTTGAACATTCCGCTTTGTACGTTATTCTTTTCGACAGCTAGCTCGAATCTAAATGCTAACACCAGTCTTTCAACGAAGATATTTGAAACAATGGCAATCCCGAAATCATACAAGTCCTTCAGACGTGCGATGGGAAAGGATGAGCAAACGATTCGCCCAGCGGTCGAATGGATACCTCAACTCCAGTCAAACGAAGTCTTGGTACGGATTCGTGCTGTCTCGCTGAACTATAGAGATGTCGGTATGCTGCATGGTAAGTATCCAGTGCCAGTGAAAGACAATGGTATTCCGGCATCCGACTGCGCTGGAGAGGTGGTGGCTCTTGGATCCGAGATACACAAGGTAAAACTTGGGGACCGTGTTTCGCCCGTCTTTGACTTGAAGTACATCGAAGAACAAGATGAAGAAGATAAGGTTGCTCAGCTGGGTGGAAATGTTGACGGTGTTCTCCAACAATATGCAGTATTTGACGAGAATGTGCTTGTTCGTGTCCCACCACATCTTTCGTGGGAAGAGGTTCGTCTGTCTTGATATATATATTTGATTTTTTGCGTACATATTCTACTCCGTTTGAACCACACCATTGCGACATTTGTTAACTTCATGATATTCCTCAAGGCTGCGTGTATAACTTGTGCTGGAACTACGGCGTGGAACTCTTTGGCTTTGAGCGAAAAACATTACCGGAAATCATCTGCTCTGATGTTAGGTGAGTCATACTTGGAACCAATATGCAAAAACCAGAGAAGGGACGACAGAAAGTTGACGCAAATATGATCTAGGAACGGGTGGCGTGAGTCTGTTTGCCGTATTACTCTGCTTGGGTGCTGGTATCCGCCCTATAATTACGTCCTCATCAGACATTAAACTTCGGGAGGTTGCGGCCCTTGGACCAGAGGGTGCGGTTGATGTTATCAACTACAACAGCAATCCTGAATGGGAGAAAGAAGTTCTTCGACTAACAAATGGGAGAGGTGTTGACATCGTCTTGGAAACGGTAGGCACGAGTATCTCGAAAAGTGTCGCTTCGGTGGCCACCCGTGGTGTTATCTCCTGGATTGGCTTTTTGGGCGGACTCCAACTCGACAACTGGGGGGAAGCTTTAGGCCGCTTCTTCCTAAAAGTTGGGACTCTGAAGTAAGTTCCTATTGGTTGCAATTACATCTCTAGGCTAGTGAAACACTGAACAACCTTCTTAGAGCAATTCAAGTCGGCTCGAAAATCGACCAAGAGAATCTTTGCCGGTTTTTGGAGGAAAGGAACATTTCCCTGAAGCGTATAATTAGCAAAACATTCCAGTTTGAAGAATCGCCCGCAGCATTTGAATACCTGTACTCTGGAAAACATACGGGAAAGGTGGTTATTACTGTGAACTAGTTGCGTCACTCGCCGAGTAAGATTTCAGCCGAAACCTGTCGAAGCACCAGAAGTATCAGTAGTCATTATTATGCTTTGTTAAAATTCTAAGATAAGAATCAAGGTGTCATATTGAAGGAGATCGTTTGCTCTCTCAGTTTGTTTCTCGCTATCATGGTAACCGTATCTTCACTGTTGATAATTATAACACGCCGCCACGAATCAACTTATCAAATGCTACCTTTTGAGCATTGCATGGTTTCCTCCTTCCAAGTTTGCATCTCCTCCTTGCTAATTCTAAGATCTGCCTCTAGTAGAGGAATGGTTTCCGCTCCCATGAGCAGCCTTCGGGGTAAAGGTCGTTGCTCCTGCGCGACGACAGCATCGAAAAGTACCCTGGCGCATTGATCTGGCGAAGAAAACGTCTCCTGGATTGCTGGTTCTCCCATATATGCCATCAACTGATTCAAAGGCGACTCTGCCGTGTCATACGCGGGGTGGCGCACACCGAGTGCGATATTGGAGCCAAAACTTGTTTTAATGCCTCCAGGTGATACGACCATGAACTTAATATTCCACGCCGGATTCATTTCTTTGGCGAATGACTCCGTGAAACCGGTGAGCGCAAATTTACTTTATTGCTCGGTGTTGTTTAGTACGAAGAATAGCTAGCGTTATTTTGTTATTGCGAAGTGGCTTACCTTGCATGATAAAATGCGCTTCCAGGAAATGTCACCAAGCCCCCAATAGACGATATTTGGATGAGGGTTCCTCCCTGCTCCTTAGGGTTAATGTCTCGGAATATGCGGACGGCCTCCTGAGTAACGAAGACTGGACCCCAGAAAAGTGTTTCCACTTGCAGGCGAGCATCAGACTCCGCAATGCTCTCCGTATCACCCATAACTGCATACCCAGCATTATTCACTACCACGTCAATGCGACCGAACTTCTTCACTGCTGCGGATAAAGATTGCGTAATTGAATCTTTTAAGGTAACATCCAGTGTAAGCTTTAGCACATTGGGTCCGTCCGGCAGGTAGGAAAGAGCCGCCGGATTGCGAGCAGTGGCGATAATGCGATGCCCTGCATCATAGGCTGTAGAAACGATTGATTTTCCCAATCCAGAGGAACAACCGGTGACTTTCGCGACACGTGCCCGTTAGCTTTAGTCTGCAAATAAAGGGTACTGTACGAACCAAACCATACAAGGCCTGGCTTTTCCATCTCGTTCTTATCCGCGCTATTTGCTTGCTTCCAGTTTGATCGCTGAAATAAAAGAATTATAAATTTTGTATTTACATTCCGCGTTTTGCAGGCGAAGTTATATGATTCACAGTACTAGACTTTGTTGAATTGGGAATTGCTGATGGACGTGGAGATAACGGGGTTAATGCCTCAGTTTCCCTTCAAATTAGACAGTTTTCCGATCCGCTTATAAATGTAAATTGTGCCGTACCGGATAATTCAGCAACTTGCCCTGTGCTGCATAAAGTGGAAGGCAAGTCGATCCCGGATTTGTCTTAATTTTCTTCGGCCGATGAAAATCAGCGGTTTCCTCCACGAGGGAAGTCTCCCCACCGAAGAGATTGTCCTCACCGACACATTTCTAGATGCTCCTAGCATGAAAGGCGCTCACTACCGGACTTAACGCCAAGTTTCAAATTGTGGTTGCCTTTTCCGTCGGCTATATTGCGTTCATGCTACCGGGATCAAAGGTAGTTACGCTACCGTTATCGTGGTATATTCCATAGTGACTTTACAGACACTATTACACCTTGAGAAGGCGGACGGCCTCCTGCACATTACCTTATGTGGATCCTCCATGAGGTCGAGGCACGAAAACCTGATGATCAGAGAGCTGTGTTTGCCGTAGTATGAATTTCATGGTGGCTTGGGTCTCGAGAAAGATGACGGTATCTTGTCGAATCCCGATTGTATACCAACATTCCATTTCACTTTACATCAGGTATGGACGTAGGAGTCGTTAGCAATCTCCACCTTCATAGATTTTTGTAAATCTCAGAGATTCAGATATCACGCTCGCTCAATTTGGCTTCAAGTTTCTCAATTTGCTGTTTTTCATCCCGTTTCTCGTCTAATGCTCTCATCGTGGCTGAAATGTTTCGCGCTGCAGGTGATTACTGCCTAGTCTTCCTATCACAAGACCGGAGCGTCAGGCAGACATATAATTGTTGCCCGAGCCAAATAATATCGAAGCCACTAATCGGTTGTACGGGGGAACGAAATATCAAACTAGTACTGCAGCGGTATGAAAATTATGTTTGCATTGTTTACACATGAATTCTTTCAGGCCGAAACGCTATGCTGAACGGCCGAAATTTTTGTTATCCCACCGAAGACCATCGGATGCTACGGAGGCAAAGATAGGTTCAAATGCTTTTGTCGTGGCCCGATAGTCGTTAACCCCACCGAAACTCTTCGGACTTGATGACGTCATGACCTTTTTTGTCACTAGAAGTATACCTGCTCGTGCAGAATACAAAACTACGGCCTAGTCAGCTCCCAGACTGTATGAATTTCCCAAAATATATCAAACTTCCGATTGAAAACGAGCACAATGTCTATAGAGGTCAAGAGCGTGAATATCCCCAACATTGCGTGGGAGACGGCCGCCGATATCCACTTCCCACCAAACTTCGACAAGAGCAAGAAATATCCAGCCGTTGTATCAGCCCACCCAATCGGATCCTGCAAGGAGCAGACGTCGGGAAATATCTATGGCAAGGCTATGGCTGAGGCAGGCTTTGTGGTTGTTGCCTTCGACGCGTCTTTTCAGGGCGCTTCGGGGGGTAAACCTCGCTTCATCGAAAATCCTGAGTTCCGTGTCTCTGATTTCCGCTTCGTTGTCGACTATATCCAGACGCTTCCCTACGTAGACCCTGAGCGCATCGGTGTGCTCGGAATCTGCGGTGGTGGCGGTTATGCTTTCAACGCGGCCATGACTGATTACCGCTTCAAATGCTGCGTCGGTATCACACCTGTCAACTTCGGCCGCCTTTCTCGCGAAGCCTTTGGCAACTTCGACCCTGCTGGCTCCCTCGAGAAGATGGCCAATCAACGCACCCTCGAGGCTCAAGGTGCCAAGCACTTTGTCATCGACTACCTCCCTCCGTCGGTCACTGAAGCTAAGAAGACAACCACCGACATCGATGTCATTGAGGCCACCGAATACTATAAGACCGCTCGCGGCCAGGCGACTCATGGTGCTACCAGTGGCCTCTTTTCGTTCAACAGCGCTGCGCTCGCATGGGATGCCTTCAATCACGCAGAAGTACTCATGACACGACCTTTCATCGCTGTTGTTGGCGACCAGCCTGGGGGCTTTGGCGCATACCGTGACGCCCAAGAAATTCACGGACGTGCTGGGTCCAAGGACAAACGTATTGTCGTTCTTCCCGGCATCTCGCACTACATGCTCTATGATAAGCCTGAAGCCGTCAAGCCTGCGCTCGATGAAGTCCTTCCATTCCTTAAAAAGCACCTAGGTGAGGCCTAATGAGGCTAGTTAATATTGCCAGTGCGCAGTCCGCCGTATTTTTGTCTAGCTCTACATGAAACTCCATGATGTAATCCTTAGCTTCAAAAAAATAACCTGTTTACCTATATAAAACCATTCTATCTAAATGCAGAATGGTAAACTAAGTCACTTGTTACCAACGTAATGTGATACAGTATCGGGCTAATAGGCTTTTCGACATCGTACAACATTCATAGCGGAGCTTCAGCGTTGAGCATAACTAATGACGGACTGGATACTGGAGTCCCATTTTACCTCCATGTCAGTTATATCTTCCCCAGTTCCGCTGTATGAAAAAGCTCTAACCTAGCAAGTTTAACATATTTCGGCTTGCAGACAAGATTTTCTCTGTCATATCCGTCTTTTTGAGGCAAAGAGCAGAGTCGATAATGAGTACATTAAAAGTAAGGCGGCTTTATGCGCCAAGACAACTTCCCTATGGCTTACTTATTTTGCACGAAATTACTCGTCCCCAATGCTTACATCAAACTTGTTGTAAATGATATTCTCTCAAACAATGATAGCCAAAGGCATGGGATGAGATGAAATAAAAGTCTTCGGGCAAGTACGTCCAGCTGCAGCCAGTCCCGCCAACTATCCCTATCTTCTCAACTGGGGACGTCACTAAAACCTTGGGAAATTTACACTTGCAATCCTTTGCTCAGCCTCAACTGACACACAGCAAATATATCTCGGCTTATATTGAGAAGATTCCTGTTGCTAAGATCCTTGAGTTTTGGAGTCAGGCAACGGAGAAGCCTACTGTTTACGTCCAAGTGTCATCCTTGAATAAATCAGACAATGTGTGCCCCAAGTAGGGCCATGCTTAGGTATTATGATGCAGCTTTGGGAGGAGTACGGTGAGGCGAAAGTGGGTGTGAAGCTGTCGAGATACGATCGCAAGCCATTTGGTATGTTCGATCATGTGCGACTCGTTTCTGGTTACTGGTAACGATAGCATCGGCTGCCGGCAATCAAGACCAGAGATCTAAGACGGCTGAACGCCATCGAAACAATCGACCCAAGCCCTCTGACCCCATTGATGCACCAGTAGTTTGAGAAATCAGAATCGACCCAGACAACAAGGTTCTTGCCTCGGCTCCCAATACTGTGGTTTACTTAGATACATCGGAAAACCGAGACCACTAAAGGGTAGCAGCAGTTACTTGGACCACAATAGAAACAGCACAGGTTCTAGGTATTGCAGCATTGGACCTAAGTTTCACTAATCACTCCACACGGAGAGATTATCGGCGACCATTTTCAGTTTAGTGCATTCGTTGTAGTAATTGGGGCTGGAAAATATAGGGCAACATAATGGTACAGCGTGGCTGAGACAATTCTATCAGTTATTGGAGGCCAGGTACAGTAAGATGATAATCAACTGTCTTGCACTGATGTTTGGTCCATGTTTCGCTGCAATGATTGTATTGAGAGGAAGGTTCCTTCCGATCAGATTAACAATCTTAACGCAACGTTTTAGCTCCGAAGGAATCCAGTGTACATTCTAGTTCTAAGACATTGAAAAAGAAATAATAATACTAACTTCAAATGTAACCGCGTCAGCCTGCAACTGCTCTTGCGCACCCGTCCTCTCCAATTTTTTCGCATTTTCAACAAATCACACAATTACTCACCACCATGAAGTTGGACACATACAGAAAAAAGAGAAAACCATTCAAAAGGAAGTAGAAGCCTATAGACTTGGAACAAAATAAAATAATTAATGAGCTGACGCGTCACTATAGCGTTTCTTATGGCTAGTTACGTGATCGAATTGCAGATAAGAACTTGTGAACAATGTAAATTCTAAGCCTATCCCCAAAGTTTTGTATTGAGCTGGTGCGCAGGCTAGCATGGTTACATGAGTTGTAGTATTATTACTGTTTCTAGTCATAAACACCGCAGCCTGCACCCTCTTGCTGAGTAAGATTTTAATATACTTCTAATTATAAGAGCTTGATCAAACCATCAAACCCTATATATATTCAATGTACATATCAGATCTAATAACTCTAGCTTTCTCAATTTCGATTATATCTTATTCATACATTCGTTGTAACACAAGTTGAATGATGCGCTTATTTAAAGCTCTAAACACGGCATTACTTGTCAGTGTCGTAACTGCGGCGACCATTCTTAATAATTCACCATCCTTAAAATCCCGTGTTCTTCACGAGAGACGGTCGTCTGCTCCTGCCTCGTCATGGGTCAAGCGATCTCAGGCCCCTCGAGATTTTGTCTTGCCTATTCACATTGGCATTAGTTCACAAAATATAGAAGAAGGCCATTATCATCTCATGGATATTTCTGATCCAAGATCGGAGAACTTCGGCAAACACTGGACCCCTAAACAGGTATATGACTTCTTTTCACCTTCGAAAAAGTCGGTTGAGAATGTGCGCGGATGGTTAGCCTCAAATGGAATCGATAAGCATCGTCACAAAGTCGCATCTAGCCGTGGTTATATCCAATTCCACGCAACTGTCGATGAAGCCGAGTCCTTACTGGGAACCCAATATAACATATGGGAACACACTAACACCGGTGAAATCAGTATCTCCTGCGACGAGTATCACGTTTCGCGAGACATCCAGCATCACATCGACTTCATCACACCAACAATTGGCCTAGATGCGGCATCTGGCTCTCACCTCACTATTAGGAACAAAAAGCGAGCAAGTATTCAAAGGGCACGTCTCGCACATAGTAGCGAGAAGTCGATGAAAAAGACTGTTTTCCAAAATCAAACATCCTGCTCGGATAACGTCACTCCAGAGTGCATTAAAGCACTTTACCATATTTCACCATCATCATCAACAACTAACCAGCCAGGAAACGACCTTGGATTGTATGAAACCGCTCTTTCCTATGACCAAATGAATCTTGATTGGTTTTTTTCTCTATATGCACCAGGTATCCCTAATGGCACTCACCCAATATCCAATAACATTGACGGTGGCGTCGGCGCGGTTCCGGCAGGGATGGGAGGAGGTGAGACGATGCTAGACATCGAAATGGTTTATCCAATTATCTATCCTCAGAGCGTTAAGATATTTCAGGTTTACGGTCTAATGGATACCCTTTTTGGCCGTAATGAAACTGGTCTCTTCAATCAGTTCTTGGATGCTCTAGATGCTAGTTACTGTACGTATGACGGTGGTGACGACCCAGATATTGATCCTCGCTTTCCTGATGGCCATACATGGAATGGGACTAGACAGTGTGGCATATATAAACCGACCAATATAATCTCAATCTCATATGCTGTTGCTGAAGATGCCTATACCCCAGCTTATGCCACAAGGCAATGTTACGAGTATATGAAACTGGGATTGATGGGGACGTCGATTATCGTGGCTTCAGGAGATAATGGTACCCTGGCTAGGTTTCCCAACGAAGGCTGCCAGGCTAACGGGGCTCAGAGGCCGTCTTTCCCTGCGTCGTGTCCATATGGTACCATCCTCCGTCCTACATTCTATATTCTGCATATGGTTAACCAGTACCTTCTCTAGTCACCTCAGTTGGAGCAACGCAGATCCCTCCTAATGGCACTATCCACGACCCTGAGATTGCTGTTATACCCGATGAGGGTGGGTTCACAAGTGGTGGCGGATTCTCCAACATCTTTCCCCGCCCCTCATATCAAGATGATGCTGTCTCCAGCTTTCTAAACGATAATACGCATCTTCCAAAAAGCAGTACCTACAACGCATCTAGTCGCGGCTTTCCTGATATTTCTGCTATTGGATGGAATATTCCTTCAGTTTCCCAAAACAGTTCAAGCCTGGGATTTGGTACTTCAGCATCAGCCCCTATTTTTGCTGCGATGATCAATCTAATCAATGGAGAACGTATTGCGGCTAGAAAAAGTCCTCTTGGCTTTCTGAATCCTGCTCTTTACAACAATATTAATGTTTTTAATGATGTTGTTAGTGGTTACAACTGGGGCTGTAACGCGGAAAAAGCATTTTATGCATCAAAAGGCTGGGATCCTGTCACTGGCCTAGGAACGCCAAATTATCTGAAGTTAAGGGATGCCCTTCTAAATCTTCCATAGACAGTTTCAAACTTGGTTAGATGGAATAAAGTGTGCTTTGTTGATTTGTGACCGCTTATTTTCATTTCCGGAGACATGGACAATTATTTGTCAGAACATATCAATTTGAGAGACTACATGATATATATGTATCGAATAGAAATCCGTATCCCAGTTTAGACTAATCTATCCTGGGACTGGCGCGGGTAATAAACCCTAATGTTTCCTCTTTATAGGAAGTTGTCTAGATTGTGTATTCTTCAAACTTGTCATATCAATTTCGCTCATCTTCCCTACATCTCGACCAAAGCTATGTATATTATTTGACACTTCAATGTTGGATGGTATTCTTGATCATGCCAAACCCCTGTTGGAAAGTTGTTGCTCGAATAAACTCGCAGGTTGTACAGTTTGCCCCTGCGCAACGAATGTCCCATTACTACCCGATTGTTTGTCCCCATTACATCCAATTTCCCAGTTAGTTCCTAACGGAGGACTTTGAACTTCATAATCGCCATCTACATTCCACATCACGCCTGAATTGATTGCCCATCCGTGCCCGCTACCATCAGTACCTCGGTTGATAAAGGATGTTGTAACGGTAGAGTTATCCACAAGAAACCCATGCGCCCAGCGAGCATGTGGCTGTATTCCCTTTTGGACTTGTTCGGCACGGTATCTCACCACTGCATTGGGACCAGGTGTAAGGGATTGCGTGACGACAGGGAACGACTTTGCGTTCTGCGCACCATTGGTGCTGCTGTCAATGACAAGAACCTGTGTTCCTGATATTCCGATATCTGCGGCATACCCCGCGCCATTGTCTGTAGCATGGTCGCGGGTTATAGACACGTTCTGGATCGTCAGTCGTCTGGCATTCTTGGAGATGCCGATGACATTGTTGAAGCCCGTCAGGGACACATCACGCAGGTAGCTATCGACCGTCCAAGAGAGAAATGAAACTGCAGCGCCACTGCAACTATCGTCATTGATAACCACGCCTGAACATGTCGGGGCAAGCGTCATGCTGAGGGCCTCCACACCCATTTCTGAGGGTCCTTCAGGTACATCGTATGGCGCCAGCTCTGGACTCATGTATTTTGAGTCTAGCGTATCTGTCAACGGAATATCCAAAGTAACGATTTTGCCTGAGATGGACTGTATTTTCCGAGGTTGTTGAACGAAAGCAGATGTCTGGTATTAGCAATTGGTAAGCCATCGTTTTTTTTTAAAAATCTATTCTGTATAAATTCATACCGAAAGCCATGTCTGATGTTTCCCGTCTCTCACAAGATCACCCATACCCATCGCGTCGATCCACTCTTGCGTGACCTGCCTTTGAACCCAAACATCCTGACCCTCTTTCAGACCCAAGGTGCTGTCAACTGTGACATTTGTAGAACCCACAGGCACATATTCATCTGTGATAGAAACCGAATTTCCGGATTTGGGATCCTTTATAGCATCAGTCCCCATGGTGATGACGTGCATCGATCCGTCCTTGGGTAACAGCGTGGTTTTGTCTGGCCCTGCACCACGAAGCACAGTTCCGTTTGGAATAACCAACCCCGCTGACAGTTGATACTTCCCAGCACCAAGGGAGAGCACACCGCCGCCGGCCGCTGAGATTTTATTCAACTCATTTTGGATTCTCTGTGTTTGGTCACCGCTTGTGGCATTTAGAATTGCTGCGGGTTGCCGGTCTGGTGATGGAAGAGGCTCATCGGACGCGTGATAACCACAGAAACTGAAGTCGGGGATTCCGTCGCCCTTGTCGGTTTTGAGGGTTTTGTAGTCAACTGTGATTGCAATAGCTTGCAAGGCATAGAGTAATGCCGGTAGAGCATAGAGCTTTCCGCCAAACATCGTTGCGCCGTCAAATCTGAAAGCACATATGTAGATGATGATTACGACTTGCCCAAAACCCTGACTTCATCAACTATTCTTATATCTCATAAAAAATATCGCCCACGGCTTCACACCCGAAACGGCCCCTTAGCTGGGATGGCCCTTTAGTTGAAATGGCCCTTTAAGGGTTACATTTGCATATGGAAATTGAAAGGGGCGGAAACTGCTAATCTCCTTTCAGTTTATCTCTGCCAACTCTTAAACACATGTCAACTAAACATTCCAAGCCATTGGTTGACCGAAATAAGCATAATTAAGGTCCGCCCAGCGACACTAGAACAGGGACTACATCGGACGACATTCAAGCAGCACTTTGGTCATGCCCGTTCTACTTTTAGGAAAATCGATCTAGACAAGCAACGTAGAATTATTTTTCAAATTGTAAAGGCAAATATAAACCATGAGCTGATTGCCGATTTCACCGGTAGAAAGGTTACAATGTGCCTACACGGTCATTTGGAGAACCGGGAAACTTTTCCCGGCGTCGACCCCAGCCCCGGCCAGTTGACCGATCCAGGGCCCACGTGATAAGTGGGTTAGGGTTAAAGAGGAACATGTATGCGGTGTTTTATAGTAGTCATCTCGGCGACTTGAAGGTTAGTATCTGAATTCGCCCCAAATGGTCAATGTGGTTGTATAATCATCTCGACAATGGCCAATGTAGCTCGCCGATCCTCGGCATACCCCCTCTTACTTCCACATTTGAAGGAAGAGCTTTCATCCGCTGGACTGAGAACAGAACCTGCTGACGGTTTGAGTTGACAAAACGAACCAGACGCAGTGATTGAGGTTCTACAAGTGGTGGGAAGTGATCCATTATTGGAAGGGGGGAAATTGATTTCTTATTTTGACATTTCTTTTGTATGTCCTCGTACATGTAGTTGAAGAGACACCCGACTAGATTTTTGATATTTGCCAGTCTTTTCTCTGTTAAAACTTTCATGTATAATTTCTTCATAAATTCCATTATCTCGCAGAAATACGTACTGAATATCATTGGTAGATCAGATATAGATCCCTATCTCTGCTTAGACTCCTACTATAACGTATATAGTAAAGGATCTACCGCGTTTTATGGAGTATCTACGTAGGTTCTGTCGATCGATGAGCTACTCCACTTTAGATATGTACATGTAGCCCTAAATACGACTTGAATAAATACTGATAGGTGTACTACTATGAAACTACTCATATAGGACATCGAAGGGGTTTAACAAGTTCTGTGGCAAAGTCAAAAATAGAAGAAAATGGCTAAGATATATATGCATATCATTTCTTCTATGAAGAACTTAGGGATTATGTTTTATTACTCATTGTTTCTGCTGTCTGGATTAGGGTTGCGGACGTTGGAGCTGTATCCAGCGGTATTAATTGATACATGGCATAGATGTACATATACATGTACCCTATCAGAGGGCTTTGGAGAATGGATACAGATCAATTGGATTGCCGATTTGACTACGTATTTATACTACTACGTTGACGTCAACTTGGCATAAAACATTGAATAATCCCTTGTTGAAGAGAACTCCTGATATCACTTGATATGTTGAAAATCAACCCCACCGCCATACATTGAACTTTTGCGCCTCAAAAAAACATTGAACATTGAAATCGATGTTGAAGAAACAACCCCCATGCTTTCTTAACCTAGCGCCGCAATCTGTTTGCTAAAGTAAACATTTGAATTGTTGAACACAACTTTTTCTGAAATTGTTTTAACATTCTATAACCCCAAAGAAAACGCCGAGTTGAGAATGGCGCCCTGTTTGTGGCCTTTTTTTTATCATCATCGTCTTCGTATCTCATATCCCAAATGCTGATATCATGCAGGTTGTTGAACACTTGTTTTAAACAAAAGAAATAAACTTGAACATAGGAAATGAAAAGAAAAAGGATATCAGAGGGAAAAACATAGCTAGGTTATACCCAGTCTAGATGAAATGAACTATTATTATAGGTTGAATCAAGGCGTGCCCTAAGTAATGGCTTAGGCCTTGTTCTGCTCGCGGAAGTACTTGGCGGCTTCAACCAAGTTGGTAAGAGCGGGTTTGACCTGGGCCCAGGTACGGGTCTTCAAACCGCAGTCAGGGTTGATCCAGAGCTGCTCAGGCTTGAGGTACTGCAGCATCTCGGAGATACGCTGCTTGATTTCCTCCTGAGGAGGAATACGAGAGGTGTGGATGTCGTAGACACCAGGCTGTGAAAGCAGTTAGCAAGCTGAGAAAGAAATAAACGAGAGCTCGACTTACTCCGATGTGGCGGGGGTAGGCCTCGTCAATGAAGACCTTGAGGAGCTTAGCGTCAGATCGAGAGTTCTCGATCGACAAGACGTCAGCATCAAGGGCAGCGATGGCGTGGAAGAAGTCCTGGAACTCGGAGTAGCAGAAGTGAGAGTGAATCTGGGTCGAGTCCTCAACACCGGCAGTGGCGAGCTTGAAGCTGTTCACGGCCCAGTCAAGGTAGGCTTCACGTTCCTTGCCGGAGCGGAGAGGAAGACCCTCACGGAGGGCAGGCTCGTCGACCTGGCTGTAAGTTTGTTAGAATTTGCAAGATAATATCAAGAAATAGCTCAGAAAGTCGTGGGTTCAGGTTAATGGGTGGTTTTGCACGTACTACATAATTAGTTAGCAATGTTTCTTTCTGATTAATAGATAAGGATAAAGACTTACCATGACATAAATTCCGTTCTTCTCGAGGTCAACAACCTCGTCACGGAGAGCTAGAGCAAGCTGCTGAGCTTGAACGGACTGGTGGACGTCGTCACGAGGGAAAGACCATCGGAGGCAAGTAACCGGGCCAGTAAGCATGCCCTTCATAGGCTTCTTAGAGACGGAGGCAGCGTACTTGCTCTCCTTGACAGTCATAGGAGCGGGGCGGGAGATGTCACCGACGATGATAGGAGGACGGACGCAACGAGAGCCGTAAGACTGGACCCAAGCGAACTGTAAAGATTGTTAGTCGTGTCTTTCTCCAGAAACTCCTCGAAACAGGAGTAGAAATCAAGTGTCAGTTATCAAGACGTACGGTAGTGAAGACATAACCCTCGAGTCTGTGACCAAAGTTAGTTTATGTTGCACTCAAAAATAGGATGGAAGGAATTACTGTTCGCCAAAGTACTGAACCATGTCGTTACGCTCAGGCTCACCGTGGACGTAGACATCGAGACCGAGCTCGTCCTGGATCTGGATGCAAAGGTCGATTTCTTTGCGGATGAATTCATCGTACTGCTCCTGAGTAATTTCACCCTTGGTGAACTTGTTTCGCTGAACACGGATCTCTTGAGTCTGAGGGAAAGAACCAATGGTGGTGGTGGGGAAGAGAGGGAGAGAAAGGTGAGTCTTCTGCTGGGCATAGCGGGTGTCGAAGCCGGACTTGCGGTTGAACAAGTCAGGGGTGATCTTGGACTGCCGTTCCTTAACCTTAGGGTCGTTGGTGCGCTTGGACTCAGCACGGGACTTCAGGGCGGCAGCATTGGCATTCAATTCAGCCTGGACGGATGCAGCACCGGAATTAATAGCCTTGGCGAGGATGGCAACTTCGCTGGCCTTCTCAGTGGCGAAAGAGAACCACTGGTAGACTTCCTCTGGGAGCTTCTTCTCGCTGGCGAGAGTGTGGGGAACGTGGAGGAGAGAGCTGGAGGTAGAGATGATGACGCGTTCCTTGCCAAGTGCTTCAATGGCAGCATTGATGATCTTGAGAGACTTCTGGAAGTCGTTCTTCCAGATGTTACGTCCGTCAACAACACCCAGGGACAGAGTCTGCTTAGGGGCAAGGCTCTTGATGACAGTCTCGAGCTGCTCTGGGTTGCGGACAAGGTCAACGTGAAGGGCGTAGAGGTTGGAGAAAGCAGGGACAACATCAATGTTGTGGACGATGTCTCCGAAGTAAGTGGCAACAACAATTTTTGGGCCAGCGGCGCCGAGAGCACCAATGGCTTCGTAGGCAGTCTTGAAGACAGCCTTGACCTCAGGCTTCAGATCGAAGACAAGGACTGGCTCATCGATTTGGACACTATAATCAAGAGCATTAGGGTAGTCAAATATACTAGAGAAACCATGTACTTACGATTCAGCACCAGCGGCCTTGAGAGCCTTGAGGAGCTCGACGTAGACGGGGATGAGCTTAGGGAGCAAGGAGATGGGGTCAACGGTGGCACCACGCTCAGTCTTTCCAAGGACCAAGAAAGAGACAGGTCCAAGGAGAACGGGGCGGGTCTGGAAGCCAGCCTCCTTAGCCTCGAGGTATTCCCGGACGGGCTTGGGGTCCTTTGCCAGAGCAAAGGTCTGTCCATTGTGAAAAGATGGCTTGGTGTAGTGGTAGTTGCTGTCGAACCACTTCACCATCTCCATGGAGGGCACATCGACACCTCCCTTCTGGTGACCACGGGCCATGGCGAAGTACTCGTCAAGAACATTGAGGCCGTGTGTAGCGTAACGTTCGGGTGTGGCCTACGAGACTGGTTAGCGAGTGCAGACAGAAAATTGAGGGGCAGGAGACTCACAGAGAAGAGCTGGATGTGATCGAGGACCTGGTCGTAGAAGGAGAAGTCGTTGGATGGGATGATGTCGACGCCGGCATCTTTCTGGATCTGCCAGTGGGCAGCACGCAGCCTCTTGCCCTCAGCAAGAAGGTCGGCCTGGGAGATCTTGTCGGCCCAGTAGGCCTCAGTGGCCTTCTTGAGGTCACGGAGCTTTCCCATACGGGGGAAGCCCAGAACGGAAGACTGAACCATGGTGGGCGGGTAGTCTGCGTTGGGGAATCTGAGGAATTGGAAATAATAACGACGCTGAGGGATGGGAAATCAATCAGCGGTGGATAGCTGGAGATCAAACGTAAATGCAAGGGGCAGCAGGCAGGCCTTAATAAATGAAGCAGAAAAACGCGTTCGGGGACCGAGAGGGGCGGACGAGGAGGGGTCGCCAGAAAATTTTGGGGCAGTTCGGGCCCCGCTCTGAAGCCGATCTCGGTGTGTTGCGGGGGGTTTTTATTATTTTGCATTCGTATTTACTATTTACTCTTTACTATTTATTTAATATTATCGCGAACACTCTCGTTATTTATATGATCCAGCAATGCTGTTTATTGCACGCACGATTGATCGACAGGACGCCTCAATGCAGTGCTGGCAGCTGCACAGCGAAATCTCTGGGACCATCCCGAGCTCCCCGCCATGAGACGGCCTGCCCCTCCAAGCTCGCCTCATCACGCAATCTGGCTGACACTGAATTGTCCTTGCAGTCCCGAATACTTGTCGTCTTGGAGCATTCGTCGCGGGCACACTTGCAAAGAGCCTCCGTCAATCGATTCGCAAAGCAGTGATGGTCAAATGCAGTAGGTAATAAACATTCCGAGAGCTTGATCCTGGCAATTTCAGGGCGGGCTGAGCTTGCGAGATCGCGGGAGGAATCGGGGTGCTGTTTGATGCCTGGGTGCCTTGGGACCTCGTCAACTTCCAGCTGCGATTATCACCACAACTAGCATTCAATTCACCCCAACTGGAAAGGTAGAAAGCAGAGAAAAGGCATTGACGATAACATCGTGGATATCTCAGCGTACGGGGCCCGAACGGGTATTTCGAGTCTGCCATGTCCATTCACTAATTTCTAGTACCGGGCAATTGCACTCCAGAAATTACGGCAGATCAATTATGTCCCGAAGTAGCACGATCAGCGACTGAACTAATAGGCAATGCGACGCATTTTCTCTGTTTTCGTTTTTCGTTTTTCGTTTTTTATTTCTCGTACTTTGTTTGTTGGGCTTGACATCTTCAAAGCTATTACTTGCGACGACCTGATTGGTTGATTAACAGCGCAAGCTTTCAAGCGAGGGACATCCGAAGAGCGGTCAGTAATTATCTACGCGTATTCTACGATACTTCGCACATGTTGGTGTAGACAGCAAGCAACAGTATCTATGTAGATCAGATGCAGCCAATAATACAAGCGTCACGTGATAGCTCTCGGAATCCGGAAGTTCTGCCCCCATATCACGTGGAATATCTGAACCCTAACCCTAACATTCCCTTTCCAGATCGCCCTACATATTAATTACTTCCCTCTTGCACATGGCTTCTGGTCGGAAGCTGATCATAACCCTAAAAACCGTTCAACGGGTGATAGTGCTGCCAATGCACTTGTCGAAGCAGCCGTAGTATTTGTGTACCAGTCAAACAATCACAAAATGGCAATACCTGACATAACTCAAGTTAGTGAGGAACGTCAAAAATAAGCCACCGATCATCTTGCATAATTTCCCGCGAATTCCAACACGTGGGCCCCTCCATACCAGCTCTGAGACAAACAACACCGTTGGAATCTGTATATAAGTATTGTTGTGTCATGGCCGCTCATTATTCTGGCCGAAACCGAATTTGGCGCTTATTGTCTCACTGGGTCGCACCGTTTCAGTCGAATCTACATTCTGCCTATATTCAGAGATGACTGGACGTGCTATAAAGATGCCGACTGACCCACCCGATTTAGTTAAGATGGAAATGTAGATATCCTGTAGTATAAGAATATCTCCTTCGCCTCTCGCCGGTTGGTGACCATATTCTTGATGTTTGGATTCACTCATTCGCATCGCAAAACTGCTTCGGTGTAAAAATGATCTTGCTTTTCTTACTTTCTTACGTCTTTGTGTTCAATGTCGCTGTAGCCGCGATGCCAAAGTATGTTTTTGCCCACTACATTGTGAGTCCTTCCTGCAACCTGCCTCCTCAGGTGCTGGACTGACGTTACGTACAGGTTGGTAATGCCGCCAAACTGACCCCAGACCAGTTGCAGTCCGACATGGAACTGGCCAAGCAGGCATTCATCGACGGGTTTGCCCTCAACATCGCTCAACAAGACCCATCCACCGACGCAGTCCTGCAAAACGCTTATGCAGCCGCCGAACGTGTCGGCAATTTCTCGCTTTTCCTATCTTTTGACTATTTATCCGGTGGCCCGTGGCCAGTCGATAGAGTGATTGACACAATCAACCGATACAAAACCTCTCCAGCACAGCTTTACTACGAGCGCAAACCGCTCGTGTCTACGTTTGAGGGTGTTGGGAATGTCGATGATTGGCCCAGGATTAGGGAGGGGACTGGATGTTTTGCGATGCCGGATTGGACGAGTCTAGGACCGGAGCGATTTGCAAATGTCAGAGATAATGTTGATGGGTTCTTTAGCTGGGATGCATGGCCCGTGGGGAAGGCGAATAAGTCTATCCACAATGACCAGGAATGGGTTAATGCCACTGCTGGGAAACCGTATATGATGCCTGTCTCGCCGTGGTTTTATACCAATCTGCCGCAGTGGAATAAGAATTGGCTGTGGGAGGGTGCACATCTGTGGACGCACCGGTGGGAAGAGGTATATCATTTCCAGCCAGATATTGTCCAGGTAAACCCCTCCTTTCTTTCACAACCATAGATCTTGTCAGTCTTACTTCACTCATAGATTATCTCCTGGAATGATTACGGCGAATCACACTATATCGGCCCCATCTATCCAGACGGCATCCCACAAGGCGCAGAAAGATATGTCCAAGGAAATCCGCACGACCCTTGGCGAAAACTGTTACCGTATTACATTGCATCCTACAAAACCGCCAGCAAAGCTCGAATCCGTGTCACGAGAGACACGCTCGTGTTCTGGTATCGACTCAATCCCAACGACTCGGGCAGTAATGGTGAAACTACGGGGAACTGCCCCCAACAAGGCCAGCCTGCAATGGACCCACGATTGCTGGCCGAAGACAAGATTTACATTGCTGCCTTGGTCAAAGAGCCGAGTATCGTGTTGGCTCAGATTGGCGCTGGGCCGGTGACCGAGCTGTTCGCGAGTCGTTCGGGTATGAATACCTTCGAGGTGCCATTTGGTGGACAGACCGGGAATACAACATTTGCGATTCTCAGGGATGACAGGGAGGTTGCATATGCGACGGGGCCTGCCATCACGAAGCAGTGTGTGGATGGGAAGGTCAACTGGAACGCAGTCGTGGGGTCGAATTAGGAATCCCGGATATTCCATCTATTACATTCATGTACACACTTCAGATCTCTTGTGTTTCGCTATGTCATAATTTCGGACATCGGCTTTGAATGCATTCCCTGTAAACAAGTCTGTGAAGAATCCAGTGAGACAATAGCCGTCTCGCGCCTTGCATAGCAAGCCCTGCCCATGCCGAGTCAGCTAGAATGAGCGGCGCATGAGAGGATTGTAGCTAGTCCAAATGTAGCCGAAGGGACAAGGCGATATTATATGATTATCGATGCTGTTCGGAGTAATTGTAACAGTTGTTGAGGTGTGAGAGAAGATGCAGATAAGATCGCGTGATACGGCCAGCTGAGCACTTATCGCGGCAGGGACTGCGATACGGTCCGTGCGAGCAGCTCTCTCCGCAGCTCCTGCCAGCTGCTCCTCCTCCTCCTTCCTTCCTGCCTAGCATTGCTCACTATCCTGTGCTTATCCTCTTATCCTTTCATCCCTTTGCTCTTCTATACCGATAAATAATAAATAACCATGACGAAACAGCGCTTCTCAACCCTGCACTCGTCGGTATCCAACCTCCGGCTCTCCGAGTCTAGTTCGCAGGAACGCCAGCAACAACCTTCCCCGCAGCTACAGTCCACGTCGCCCTTCTCCCCAGAAGCCTACGCTCAGCCATTCGTTGACTTTATCAGTAAAAACCCAACGATATTCCATGCCGTCGACGCCTTTAGCAAGCAACTCGAGGCAAATGGATACAAGAGACTCTCTGAACGCGACTCATGGACGTCCGAGCTGAAGGCCGGTGGGAAGTACTATCTCACGCGCAATGGCAGTTCATTGATCTCATTCGCCATTGGCAGCGAGTATAAAGGCGGGAATGGTATTGGGATTGTTGCGGGACACATTGATGTCTTGACCACCAGATTGAAGCCGGTTTCGAAGCTACCAAATAAGGCCGGATTTAGACAACTGGCCGTTGCCCCATACGCGGGTGCCTTGAATAAGACCTGGTGGGATAGAGATTTGGCTGTGGGGGGTCGTGTGTTAGTGAAAGATCCATCGACTGGCGTGGTGGAAACGAAGCTGGTTAAGCTGGACTGGCCCATCGCGCGTGTCCCGACACTGGCCCCTCATTTTGGAGCTCCTTCGACCGGCGCCAACCCGGAGACTAATATGGTCCCGATCATTGGAATTGATAACTCGGATATTTTCTCTGACAGCGCAGCCGATGTTGATGAAGAAGCTGGCATCAAGGCCGGCACTTTTGCCGCCACCCAGCCTTCCAAGCTTGTCAAGGTCATTGCTGGCGAATTGGGTGTTACTGACTACAGCAGCATTCTGAACTGGGAGCTGGAGCTTTATGACAGCCAGCCCGCCCAATTTGGCGGACTCGACAAAGACCTAATTTTTGCTGGTCGCGTTGACGATAGACTGTGTTGCTATGCAGCTCATGAAGCTTTGCTTGCGTCTCCCGATACATCTTCTCCAGGCCTCGTCAAGCTTGTCGGCATGTTTGATGGGGAGGAAATCGGATCCCTTCTTCGCCAGGGTGCGAAGTCCACATATTTGAGCGGCGTGATTGAACGCATATCCGAAGCCTTTGCCGATGGCAATTACGGGCCTAACCTTTACAACCAAACCGTCGCAAACAGCTTTCTGATTTCTTCCGACGTGATCCATGCCGTGAACCCCAACTATCTCAGTGTCTACCTACAAAACCACGAGCCACGGCTGAACGTCGGTGTGGCTGTGTCTGCCGATCCAAACGGACACATGGCCACTGATGCTGTCAGTACCGCCATTCTCCAAGAAGTCGCCAATCGGAGTGGCTCGAAGCTCCAGGTATTCCAAATAAGAAACGATTCCCGCTCCGGCGGTACAATCGGACCCATGACCAGTGCTCAGATTGGGCTGAGAACTATTGACGCTGGCATCCCGCAACTCAGCATGCATAGTATCAGGGCAACAACGGGACGTTTGGATCCAGGATTGGGCGTCAAATTGTTCAAAGGCTTCTTCGATCACTTTGAAGAAGTGGATAAGAGCTTTCAGAGTTTTTGATTAGTAGACATGACTGAGATATACCGTATTGCTGATTTCCAGTCGATTATGCTTAGCTAGATATTACCATGCATCGCTATATAGATATTTCGCGAATTTATCGTCAATTTCACAATCAACTACCATCAATCTGCATTTCAGCTTTCATCTATGAATAGCAACAATCTACCAACCTGCCATGCATGAAGTATCTTATCCAGCTAAAGTAACCCTAGCAACATTTAAACCACCCAGAAAAGCAAGCCAGCCATCTCAAGACTAATCCCAGAACTAATTTATTTACGCATTTCCTTCAACACCATGAACACCCTCACTACAAGTGCAACCATTCAACCCGAGGAATCACATATTTCCATCATACTTACTTGCTTACCTCCTAAACCTCATTCTTCCGTGGCTCATTAAAAAACGAGCCCTTACGCAGCAAATCCTCCGCAAAGGCATTGCCGGGAATAGGATATCGTTGGAGTCGATGAAACTCGCCGTAGCCACCACCATTCCCCCGTTGCATATCCTTTTCCTTCTTCGATTGCTCGTGTTTGCCCGCTCGTCGTCGTCCCATGTTGATGCTGCTGTATGTGAACCCGATGCGTGTCGTGAGACGGCTTGACGAAATGGGATGGCTGATGTGGGCTGGGATGAACGAGGGCCACAGACGGGATAGGAGCGGGTAGAGACTAGGAAGGCAGGCGCAGGTAATGGCGATGTTGCATTCGATTATAGACCACTTTGAGAAGTCCGGGGTGTCGTCTGTGTGGCTTTGTTAGGCGGGTTTGTTGGGAATTGGAGTAGGTGCTCACGTGTGAAGTCAGTTGAGTCTAGAAGGTTTCTCACGCTATTCAAGCGGCAGATACTGACGATGCAAGTTCTAGATAAAATTTTAGTAAGGACACGAGGTTTTGTCTGTATGGATAACCAACATTCCACCCAATGCAAAAAGAACACTTAGCCTGATATGCTGTCTCAATGGCAAGTTGAAAACTGCTGGTGCGGGGATTGCGAGGATTATGATAATCACATCGGTGAAAATATATAAGCCTGCATTGGTGAACCATACGATATCCTTTGGCAAGCATTTGCCTGATATCGCCGTATCCCAGGACTTGGCTACGGGAATGCAGTTCACAAATGCGCTCAGAACCGTCCAAGTTCCATACGCCCCGACGAACACAATCAGAACCCAGCACATTTCGTTGAATTTCTTGGTTGGAAATGTGCGAGAGTACTGCAGGACAATGGAGATTTTGGCAAGAACCATTGTGGCGTTATAGAATGGAGCTGCGAGCCAGAAGAGCTTTCGAGAGTTAGCTTGATTCTTGGTGTCATTGTTGGAATCCTAAATCATACTTTCATCTGCTTGGTAAGAGTGTCAGGCGAAAGGTCGATCTCATGCCAACCCATGCCGTATTTTATCTCTGCGGTGTGTTAGTGTTAAAGCCACGCTCAATTGCCTTGACACGGGCGTCTTACCGGTGATGGTTACCACCATAAAGGTGACAGAAAGAATCTGACGAGATATAGTTAATATGCTGTCTTCCTTTGTTTACTATTTGAAATATCATTTTTTTTTTACCAGTGCCACTAGAACAACCCAATCGCTCGAATCCAGTCTACCGAGGATCCGAACTCGCGCACAGAACCGCGCTCCCACGAAGCCAATAGCCACGACGGTGAGAACAACACTCGATATGAGAGCGTGGGCTGCCCGAGGTTCCATTGGGAGATAGTGTACACTTGTAGCACCTGCCATTTTTGTCAAAACAGATTTTAGAGGGTTTCAATGACAATGAGCAACAGCTCGACTAGGTTCAAGTCAGTCTCGAAGGCAGCACAAGGCTGCTGGCGTCCGCCAAGGTCGATTGCAAGATTTAGAGAACAGATGAGAATTTGCAGAGCAGACAAATGGGAAGAGATAAAGTTTTCAGAGATGAAGCAGTCAAACGTAGGGGAGGGGATTTCATTGGTGGTGTGGTTGAGGGAGGAAACAACAAAGGCCCAATTAGGAAGGGCGGTGTTAGGCACATCTGAAACGGTCGTCCATGCAGAATAAAAAATGATTTCACTACCATACCAAGTCTCTATTGTTTTTCAAGTCCCTCGCCACTACTAAAGTAAATAGTAGCGCCGTCTCTGGAAACAGCGCTATAATCAACAATTTCACCCAGCACCTGCTGACTTTCAGAGACAAAAAACCTCATTTTTGGAGTAACCTGAACCTTCATGTGGAGGGAGGGAGTTGCAATTACGGTTGCGATTTTGATTGTGGTGGTAGTCGGTGCTTTGAACGATGAATATCGCGGATAACATCACTCATTCTGCGAGGCGGTGACACATGCCCCTCGAACCACGTGCTAAGCTAGCTATGTGACAACATGTTCCAATTATAATCTCCTGCTCAGACTCTAATTATGTTCAGGGCCAGGATCTGCCAAATCACTCTCATTGATTCTGTGTAAGTGCAAATAATCATAGAGAGGATCAGTTTTTTTGCATGTGCGCACATCACGAGTACCATCCACTACACCAGTCCGAGTGCTGTTTATCATGACCTCATGTTCTATAGTACCATCGGCATAACAGAGCAAAGACTGGTGAATACAGATTAGCAATAGTTTCAGGTAGACAAACAACATGATTCACACACCTTTCTTAAATAATCAAGACAGTGAGGCCAATGCTCGTCCTCAGTGTGATCAAAGGCTACTGGATTCCCATCATATGCCGCTTGGAGTGCAAACCGCAGAGCAGCAAGACAATGGAGCTGATGGAACCTGATGGATTATCGGAATTAGTACGCTCTACAACAATATTTTGACTTGATTTCCTTCAAGAAAAGAGGTGCAACTTACAAGGTGATAGCGCCGAATCTTTGCTCGCCGTTAGCACGGTCATCCGAATAGTAGACCATGACATTACGTTGGGCCATTAGATCCTTCCAAAGTATATCGTAGTCATGACTCAGTGACATGTATTGAATATCAACGCCATATTCAGATCGAATCTCCTCGTCCGGATGTATGATCTGTCTAGCTACACCCTCTTCTGAGTCTGATGCCTTGCCACCAAGGTGATAGTTTGATAGTATATCGATGAAGACCAGAATAATAAGAATGAAGATGAGTACATTGTAAACTGCGCTGACCGCGCCTTTGATGACCTGATGTCTGATTGACTTATACTTGCGATGACTCACTTCGTTATCACCTTCATTTTCGAGCAAGTATTCCTTTGCGTTCTGTTCTGATGATGAGCGGGAACTCGAAATGCTAGACATGTTTTTCATTAAAAGCAACAAAGTGTTAGACAATTGAGCAATGTTCAAGTTTAAGTATTGTCTATTTCACTTCATTTCAACTAGGATCGGGCTTTAGAACCTACTTTGGGAAAAACGTTGCGCTATATTCTTCTACTCGAGCAAAGATGTCTCGCGGTAATAAAATATTGCGGATAGCAAGAGTCTTTAACTTTGCCGCTATACAAGCCATACTCTACTTGAGGAAAGACGTCGCGCTGTAATAAAATACTCTGACCAAAGTTAATTAGATCTGAAATTTATATAAACAATCTAAGATCTCCTTCTTTTTTTCAAAATTCACTCAACCAAATTCACTCAGCTTTCAGATTTCAACTCATTTAATCTTTACCGCTACTTTGGATCTGTGGTTATTATTATTCTACGTCTTCATCATGCATTTTAAGATTTCTTCCGTCGTTGTACTGCTTTCTTTGGTAGTACTAGGCTCTACAGCGCCAGTTCCGGCACCAGACCCGGCACCTTGTGGTATTGTTGGGTAAATAGCCTCTTAATCTGTTCTACGGAATAAACGATTGCTAATTTGTTTTTTTGATATTGTTAGTGCCGCTATGTAAGTAACTTTTTTTAATAATTGCTTGAGACAATTCACTTTTATGGGCTGTTATTAATATTGTATATTACAATAGCAAAGCGTGTACCAGTATATTGTCGAAATGAGAAGGGATAGAGGATAAGGGATAGTGGATAAGGGGAGGGGAGAAATAAGGGGAAAATAAGGAGAGGGGAGGGGTGGAGGTTAAGGGGAGAGGAGGAATAAGAGGATAGAGGTTAAGAGATAGGATAAAAGGATTGTGACCACTCAAACATTTGCTCTATTGTCTATAATGTGATAGGCCTAGTTGGGCTACACTACAAACGGTGTGACCTAGGAGCCGTAGAACTCTCAAAAGCCGAGGCTCGGGAGTACTGTTCCCAAAAGAACTTCTGACCTCAGGAGCGTGTTAACATTGGGCCATGTAAAGAGTCACGTGACGGATTAGTGGATTAGTTGGAGGGCAAGGAGGAGGCACACACATCGACACTCTCTACGGTCGACAACCTAATTGATGATAATAATCTAAATAATAAAAGATTTAAATTATTTGCATTCTACGACATAACTAGGATATTCTTAGTGATTGATAATTTCTGAGACTCGCATTTCAGGGTATATCTTTAATAACAAGAATTGTAATATATATGTAATATTAACCATGCCTTTGTGTATATCAATCAGATACCACAATATGAAAATATTAAATTGTAGTTGATTTCAATTTCAATTGATTGCTTTTGCCCGAGCCAAATCTAATACTTTTAGAGGACGTAGTTTGAACCTCTACCGTTTCTATACGATACCACTGTGTACGCTGGTATGGAGGTCAGGGAATAACCCTGCGCAAAGTGAAACAGGATGCCACATACGTAGGGCCTTGCCTGAAAAGAAGGTCACCGTGTTGAACAGCCACTAATTGTTTCTCAGGATGCAGTTTCTGTTTAAGCAGCAGAGGTATCCATCTCCTCTCGCTTCGCCCCTCTCCATTTCGGGCCATATCGCAGCACCATGAACACAAATGGGCTAAAAACAAGCCACATTCCAGCGATCATAACTGCCATCCATCCCACTCCACCAGCCTTATTCAAGGGACCTGCAAACGCCACGCCACCGGCACCCATCCAACAACGAGCCAGATTCATCGCTGCCGATGCGGCCCCTGGTTTGGTGCGATTCAGGTCCATAATCAGATTATTAAAGCCGGAGAAGGCGCTTGCATTACCAAAAGATTGCAAGAACAGGAAAATCATGGGCGCGGCGAGCGACGTCTCGGTTTGCATCGTCCAGCCATATGCTACTAGGCTAATACCAGCTAGAACGAGAACATGAATACCAACTTGAAGACGGGCAACTTCGATGGGAAAGTCTGTCAGGTCTTGTTGTTTGTCTTTCGAGATTTCCATTCCGAGCTGCTTTGCATGACGACGGAAATTCCAGTCGAGAAGACGTCCGGTGAAGAGGACTGAGGTCATTGTGCCAACGCCGGTGGCGAGGTAGCAAAGACTGATTTGTAGGGTGTTAAAGCCGTAGTGTTCTTGTAGTTGGTCTGGCATGGTGGATAAAACCATGTAGGAGCTTGCGTAGATGAGACCGCTGTATAGTAATAAGATACAGACTTCTTTATCTAGAAATATTTTCAGAGAGCTGAAAGGGTTTAGTTGTGCTCTAAGCGCCATGGGAGCCTGTCTATCCACCGATGCGCTTCTCGTAGTTGAACACACTTGCTGCTGTTTCCGGCTTCGAAGATAAACTAGCAACGACATATTCCACTTTGGAGGTGGAATAGAGCCATTGCCAACGATATTACGACTGGTTTCAGGCAAGAATACCAACAGGACAACGAATACCACCGAAGAAAAAATAGTGAGGAACCAGAAGATAGACCTCCAGCCTAGGTAATGACTCAGTAGCCCTCCAATGACCTATTCCAAGAGACAAACGTCGTCAGCACCATATAGCCATCCTTATAATCAGAAACTGCGACAGGGGTTTACCGGTCCTAAAGCTGGACCAACCATCCAGCCCATCTGCACGTATGATGTATAGCTTCCTCGTTCAGCTGAAGTGACAATGTCGGAGACGGTTGCCAGAGAGAGCGCAATTGTGCCGCTGCTGCCAGCACTCTGAAGACAGCGCATAACAAACAAAAGGGCATAATTCCCTTTCACCGCTGCGCCAACACAACCAGCGATGTAAATGATAAAGGTGACCACGAGCGCGGGTCTTCGGCCGGTCTCGTCAGATAAGTTCCCTGTAAACGATGGGGCGATGCCTTGGACGATCTATGGAGTCACACAGGTATTAGATGTCCTCTTGCAAAAAAAACTGAGTAATGTTTTAGTAACCTACCAAGTAAGCCGTAATTGTTAGATTAATATCACTGATAGACACGTGCAGTTCCTCCGCCAGCATTGGAATCACGGGATAGTACATGCTCCCTGTCAGCGGGGGTAAAAGGGTTGTTAGAGCGACGATCAAGACGATTAGCCTCTTTTCAGCAACCTTAAAGGTTGAGAAAACAGCTTCCGAATTTTGGTTTTTTGCTTCTTTTCCCCGTGGCTCTGAAGAATCCGAGCTGGCAACTCCTTTCTCGGGGTCTAGCGTATTCGGCGCTGTTGTTGCGTGTTTAGAATGCTGTTCTGAAGAGATGACATCTAAGATATGGTCATCATGATCTATGCCAGGTATAGATTCACGTCCTGCATGTGGATTATCGGCAACATTGTCGTGGATTTGCTTGTCTGTACCTTGCGCCGACATGATGCCGACAATGAATAACGATAGGATGTATTCTAAACAGAGAAGGAAACCGCAAGATTGAACGCTAAAGGCCGTGACTCGGGATAAATCAGGATAATGAAAACAATGCTAGGTACAAAGTAGACAAACGACCAAGAAAGCAAGCCTTATTGTAATAGTTGCGGCTATATCGGTGGGCGGCCGAGACCCGGTCTTCGTCCCGGTAGGTGTCCCTTATTATGGTTAAATACTCGCCATGTGCTGCTAGAAAAATGCGATAAAGGGTCTTGTAGAAAGGAATTTTGAAAGAACAAATGCAATCACAAGTAAGAATTATATCCTATAGCTGATTTTCATAATCGCTTAAATTTTGAATTTCTGAAATTAGTCTGTAAATTAAGGCAAAAGTGCTTATTTGGTATTTCATACGAACCAGGAAACTCAATAAACATAGAGTATAATTGAATGCTGAATGCAGGCCGATGCTCCTTTCGTGGATTGGAAAGGTTGAAACAGTTTCCTTAGTATCCTCAAGCGGCCAGAAGACATCCAATAACCTCGTTAACCGTCTGGTTAAAAAGATAGTTGGTGTATTCTATCTAAGCTGTATTTAGAAAGCATAGCAGCAAATTATCTACATTAGCGTGATTAGGGCATTTGTGCTTCGGTCTGACCGAGGAGCAAATCGTATTCATTCATAAAATTCGGGTCAAATATCCCATCGGCTGCCAAGTTCATGTCTCCGTACAGCACATCAGCATCGGGAAAGACCTGCTGGGCAACTTGTTGCGGCATACTAGTGGATACACTAGCAACTGGGCCAGGTATTAGTCCACTTCTTTGTAGGAGATCATCGATGCCTTTCGTAATTCCAACTAGCAGATGATGTGGATGCATCGAAGCCGCCACTTCCTTCAGAACCGAGACCAGCGTGATCATGAGACGCTGAACTTCTTGAATATCAAGTCGAACGGATGCGGAGAGTCGAGTGGATACCTTGAGCAGGAAGACTATGGCGAATGCAATCATAATATGAAAATAAGTTGGCAGGCCATTAAGGTAGGATTGGATCTCAGTGTCCGAGACTACAGCCCGCAGTATAGATACGGCAGAAAGAACGGCGGAGTTAGCGATTTCGTCTACCTCGAGAGCCACATCGAACGCTCTATTTTTAGGCTGGTTTGAACCGGACCCTCGAAGTGCATGCGAGCAAAGGTAGAGCTTGGCAAAGTGATATTGTATCCCGACCCCTTTGCGGGGGTAATTGCCCACATGAGCATTAACCTTAAATCGGTCCGTCCACTCAGCACGAAGACTATCCAGGGCGATACTGAACCGTCGTACTAGCGGGACATCTGCATCAGAAAGCGGTCGGTCGACATTTGCACCAAAGGTATCATAAACATTGGAGCAGATACTCCAGCGGAGAACCTGGCTCACCAACCGCGCATCATCCTCCGTGGCATGCTCACACTCCAGAAACTTTCGCGCATCCCGCACAGCTTCACATTCTCGAGTAATCGGCGGTCTACCATACGGTACAGAAAAATGATGATCGCACGCATAGACTAGGAGATATAAACGGGTACGTAAATGTTGTTCTCGATCGCCTTGGAGAGCTCTGAAGAAGCTTCTGTGAAGCTGCAAGTCTGTGGCTATTCGAACGGCAATTCCCACCAATGACCAAGACATATCACCGAGCCAGAAAGCACCAATGCAGAGTGCCCTGACGTCATCAACTGTGTTCCTTTTGGAGAAACTCAAAGCGGCGCTCATGGCGATGAATTCTTTGTAGAGTAGGTCATAATCAGGGGAGGCTAGATGAAGTGAGCCCACTGCACATATAGCGGTCGCTAAGAAAGGTGAAGCCTCTCGAATGCTTTCTAGTGTTGCGGAACTATATTCTCCCAGAATCCCATACACAAAGTGATCGAGTCTGTTTTGGTATTCACTGAGATACTTCCGAGCATTCTCAACAGTTATCCCACCACGGGAAACAATGTCCTGACGTGATTTCGGTTGAGTAGAGGCAGTTGACTGCAGGTAATGACCAGGAAGAGCACTTGGACTGGACTCAAGATCTATGACGATTTTCCAGCGACCAGTGTCTTCGCTCGCAGCACCTAAATTTCCCTGCTGATAGTCTTCAGGTGCGGGTTCATTGACGGATGACGGATCCTCTGATATTTCCTCGCGTCGCCAATAATCGTTTGAGCTGGAGCCATCATTGACCATTGTCGACATAGTCTCCTCTAGCTTTTGGATTTTCTGTTCTATTGCTTGCTTCCATCTAGCAAGCGCGATGAATTGGTATGCGTATGCTACAATGACTAAGACCAAAGACTACATACGATACATCATTCTCAAGCAGCATCTGCAGACTGCGATTCACAGTACAAGATAGGCCCTTCTTCTTGCACCGAGCACATGGTGGTTGGGAATCCGGCATATGGCATTTGATCTAGCAACGGCTTTAGTGCTCTCGCCACTCTGTTGGATACGTTGAAGGAAATTTGGTTGGATGCACCTTCTGCTTACGACAGGCCACGCAGGCCGTGATCTTGCGGCTAATTTCAGGCGGTTTCGGGTCGCCAAACATGTCTCGAAACGAGCGCACCGAAGATCGTGACGCTTCAGCGTCTGCCATCCTCTCTTCAAATATACTCCTAGCACGCGCGACGACGGCAGGGTAGTTCTCAAGAATGCACCGGATAAGCAAAGGCAGGAGGAAGAATGGAATAGTGAACGACAAAGGGCGACTCTCTGCGCTAAGCCCGAAGAAGACGTTCGTCGATCCCTAATTTGGTATCACGCCACAAATATCGGCTAACCGGAATAGTGTTAGGGCTGATATAAAGCGATATCGCTATAAGGAAGCAATCTCAATCTTGATCTTGAATAATTACTAGGAAGTTGATAACTACAGTAGATCTAAGCTATGAACTGCACTCTTGCGACAGGCAGGTAGGCAATTGGCATTTAGCAGGCACTCCAAGCAGAATTTGATTGGTCTGAAGGCAAGATTGAATGAATGAACGTGCAAAACCATCTCCAATGAACTGCTCAACATGGTTATCTTCCTCTGCAGCGATAGGGCCCCGAAGAAGTGTCAGATAGCAGGTCAAGAAGCGCTACCATACCAGCACCGGTTTCATCTTACTAATCGTGTCCACCACCGACGGCGACTGGTCTCGCTTCAGAGGTTGGGTTGTCAGCCCAGCTGCCGTAGAAAGGAGCTGCCAGGGAGTATCGGAAATATCCCGCGGAGTAGTCCTTATCTGGCACGCGTTCTGTAGGAATGTGTTTTACTGTTAGAATAGCATATCTGAGTGACCCCAACAAATCGAGTGGAAGAAATACAGTGCCTGGCGGATATTACGGGCAAAAACCACAGGGCAGGACGGGAATTGCTCACCGTGGTCAGGTGGAAAATGGATCCGACGGTGATCATAATACTGCTTACGCAGATCGGTTCCTTCACTCTTATTATGAAAAGTCGCATACACGCTCGCTCGGGCCTTGTCGGTATTGTTCGGAGCAGAGCGATGCGCCAGATGGGATCCGAAGATCAAGATGTCGCCCGTGTCAAGAGGCACTTTGATCCATTCATGGGAATTCTGCCACTCGAGGCTGATGAAACCCTTGGTGCAATCAACCTCCATCTTATGCGACCCCGGAACGATCTCCAAGCACCCATTCTCAGGGGTTGCAGGATCAACGGCAAAGTTAGCCGTGATATGTTCCATATCACCTAAGTGGGCGTAGGCTCGAGCATCTAAATGTGCCCGGAAGCCATTGCTCTTGGCTTGCTTATAATTGATTTTGTCCTTGAACAGGAGAACTTCCTAAGCTTCTATGTTAGCGCTTCCAGCCTGTTGCCAGCACAATTGTGGTTCTGGGTGCGGTTGATACATCACCAGCTAGGGTACCCAAGATGTCACCCAGAGCTTTGCCACAGATCAGCCCCTGGAGCTGAGGATGCCAATCAACAAAGTTCTCTGTGCGCATCAAGATTCTCTCGCCTGTGGAACTCTTTTCGTCGTAAGGCATCCATTTGCCGGGCTCGCGTGGCCAGGCCTTCACCTCCTCACTCCATACTTGGAGGTCGTGAGGATTCTCTAGCAGTTGGTGTTCATGAGCCCGCAGTATCAAGAAGCCCTCTTTGTGGTAAGAGTCAATTTGCTCCTGAGAAAGTTGGAACGGCATTGTAATAGTATGCTTAGCAGTATGACAAGTGTATCTCTTCAAGATGTCGACTAGATCTTAGATTACTGAGTTGCATAGCATCCAAAAAAGGTCTATCCAATTCCTTATTTATCTTCATTCTTCATATCTTGATGATGGCACACCATTCTAAATGTCGGCGCCCTGCCGGTGCCATTAGAGTACACTCTTGCTGTCCTGAGAAAGGGAACCATGTCATAGACAGCTTCGATGTTTTCCCCGGTCTGCTATTCTGTATAGTCGGTGTGTTACCGACCTACCTCTGTTGTATGCTGGTAGAGGCAGGGCTTGGCGCAGAGGTCGGTTGCTCGCCGTCAATATCGGAGTTCGCACCGGTACGGCGATGGCGGAAGCACTTTCTCAAAAATGGGAGAGCGTCAAGGTGTCACACTACCACATGCCACATATAGCTAGTAAGATTAATGTAACAATGATATTTATACTGGGGTAGTCTGCAGGCACATGCAGGATGCTGCATTTGTTACTACCCCGCAGATAAGCATTCTTCAGTCAGTCGCACGGGTTGCGTGATTGCTCGAATCGACAAGGACCAGGGATACCACACTGATTGACCATATGCGATGAAAAGATTGATTGCGATGGAAAAAAAAAGGAAAGGAAATGACGCAAATAGCGAGATGGAGAGGAATCGCTCTCTCCCCGAGTTCCCATCGAGGACGCTTGCCTCTTGCGTCAGCCCTCGCTGAACCTTCGACTCCTTCAAATACATTTAAGTCTTTCTTCAACATCGAAACGCATTCAATCGTAAAGTTTTGAAGTCAGACTCCCAAAAATCAGATCCCAAAGACACAATGACGGGTCTTCAACCAGGAGACACTTTCCCCACCGGCGTGACTTTTTCGTACGTCCCATATACCGATGAAAAGAGTGACATCTCTGCTTGTGGCGTCCCCGTAAACTACGACGCTTCCAAAGGTACATATCCCTGTATCTAAATTAAGCAACGAAAGTGCCTTGCTAATGGATCATTGTCCAGAATTTGCTGGCAAAAAGGTCGTCCTTGTCTCCGTACCCGGAGCATTCACTCCGACCTGCTCTGAAAAACATCTCCCAGGCTATATAGAAAATTGGCAGAAGTTCAAAGAGAAAGGGGTCGACATCATCGCTGTCATTGCAAGTAACGATGCATATGTGATGAGTGCCTGGAGCAAGTCCAATAACATCAAGAACGATGATATTGTACGTTCTTCTTTAATTCGTTCGTGCTACGTATACCGCGTGTATTAACACCATAAAGCTGTTCCTATCTGACCCCGGAGCGGCCTTTTCCAAAGATATCGGTTGGACTAAAGGTGAACGCACTGCGAGATATGCTCTTTTGATTGATAATAACCAGATTGTGTATGCTGAAAAAGAGCCTGGCCGTGAGGTGACTGTTTCCTCTGCTGATGAGGTACTAAGAAACATTTAAAGCTAAAAGAGCTGTAATTACAGTCACACTCAAGGTCTGGGTAGGAGATATTTCTAGTAAGAGGTTCACAAGTGTTTTTTAAGTAGTTTACAGATTCAAATAGCCTTGCACGATCACTAGATATGTCAGGTTTTAAGAATAAGAACGAGTGAAGTAAATCCCGGAAATATTGAACTGAGTATTACGAATTGACATTAGACTGCTCGTTTCTCTCTTGCGTTCTTAAAAGTCTTAAAGCATGCAAGTTGCATCCGGATGTCGTCGTGTAAGACAGATCCATTTCATAGAAGAATAACAATTACCCCCCAAGATAAGCTTATTTCAACTTAATATTTGAATAAATGTACTCTGCTTAATTTCGACCCACCTATCAATTAATATCAATCGATGTTAACCATAAATATCCCTATTTACTCTAAGCGGTCTGGAATTTTATCAAGCATATTGCATTAGGATCGAGAAAAAAGACATGCATTCTGCAAGAAACATCATAGACGAAAACATAAATACAGTAAGTAGACTATTACTATAAATTTAATTAAGCCAGATATATAACTCCAGCACTATGCAAGAGCCTTAAGAAATAGCCCCCTCAACTCTTCCACTGTCTCCTTCGGGCGCGGGAGGCTCTTAGAAACCCTATCATTAACAACAACAACAATCAGAGTTCCACCAGAAGCCGCAAGCAAGGCAGCTTGCAGTCCACCAACACTGTCAACAAAGACTTTCTGTCGATATGGAAGTCCCTCGGCCAGATCAAGGAAGTTGTCAGGGGAAATCATCAGCGGCTGACTTCCTGTTGAGCTGTATACAGCATTGAAAATGACTATGTGAACGACATTTGAATGCGTGCCAATCCCAGCTAATACAGCGTTATTACCAATATGCATCAGGAATGATCCATCGCCATCAATGCACCAGACTCGACCACGGGATGATGGAAACCCCAGGGCTAGTCCGTGAGCTAGAGCAAATGCATGACCCATAGCGCCAATGCAGAAGAAGTTCGGTCCGAGATCATCCCCTTTCTCCTTGCGGATCATGTACAGTTCGCGACTATTTCCACCAAGGGAAGAGACCGAGGCGTCGGTATCCTTGACGTGTTCAAGTACGTGGCGGATAGTAAATTCACGAGAAAGTGGTAGATCTTCTTGTCCTATCGGCGAGAGCCAACGTCTCGCTTTGACGAAGCTTGTTCCCGGGGCACGCAATACCTCCTGCGCTAGCTCGTCCTTGTCGGATTCGTATTCTGCAAAGGTATTTCGTGGAACAATCAGTGCTACTGGGGTTTTCTCTCGCAGAGATCTTTCAATAAGACGCGCGATAGTCTCTTTAGCGCCGTCCAAAGTGTCTGGAATCTCCTCAAAGGGGAAGTCATTGGCTCTAAGGTTGTCCAGAAGGCGAGGCCCGATAAGAGCATGTTGGGGTTCGTCCTTTTCCCCAGGTTTGCCACGCCATCCAACCATGACTAGCATGGGAATACCGAAGACTTCTTTAGCGGCAAGTGACTGCAATGGGTTGAGCGCATTGGAAAGTCCCGAATTCTGGACGTACGCCAATGCAACATTTCGAGTAGCTAGGTAGTATCCAGCAGCAAGCGCTATTGCAGCACCTTCGCTGGCCGTGACGATATGCTCAGACTCAGGCTTTGTAGCCGAAAAATAAGACAATAAACCACTGAGACTGGAGTCAGGTACGCCAAACGCGACGTTAATATCGTTTGCGAGGAGTGCTTCATTGTTGAACTGGCGAGGATCAAAGCGGGCCATACTGACGAAGGATCAGAGACTTGAAGGGAGTATATGCTACAATCTAATGGGAGTGAGTATCAATTTTGAATGTTCTATCTCTACAGATGAACACACTTTCTATCGGAGGAGTGAGCTGGTAATAAGCATCGGCATTCCGCTATACATCCCGATGTAAACTGGTGATAAACCCAAGGTAGGAATATCGCAAGTGACGATATCGTGATTGTGTTCATTTTCTCTCCCACCACACCCTTCATGTCCCCTGGGAAGTGATTACCGATTACAGCCTCGAGCTTCAATCGGAAAAAAGACCGGGGGTTTTTCGACCGATGGCGAGCTGAAAATGATGCTATCACAACTGTGTCTGACGACTTGACATTGTGATGGGTGGCCTGAATTTTTGAAGTGGGGGGATGAATCAACTTAGCGATTAAAGCGGATGATAATATATTGCTATGCATACAATCTCACTGCCAAATCAAGCTCGGGGTTTAATCGGATAGCGAGCTACTAAGTCCATATACCATGTTTCACTTCAATCCTGTTATTGAGGTCTATCAAGGCGGTGCATTTTCCGAGACCTCTCGGTGCTATACCGGCATGGATAGGGCTAGTGGAGACGACCTAAAAAGGTAATCAGTCACGCGCCACCCAAAAGCGAAATATCGCTTAAGCTTGTTTACTTTCTAAATCGGGAGTCTTACTTGGAGGGGTGCCCTCAACTGCTGCAACCAACCGTCGGTTCCGCTGATTATATCTGCAGTGTATGCATATCATCGGAGTTTCTCTATAGAATGAGAAATAACTCCGACGGCCTCTGAAGCCTCTTCCCGTGACTATTGGGCAGAAGTCTCACATCATATGCGGCGCTCTATATAAGCCTGTTCTAGAGCAAGAACCTCGCTGCATGCGGGGGTTGAGAGTCATCCCTCATGATAATTAACAAAAACCTCTTAAATACACCTCGACAAGGATTGAAAGGGCGAGTAGTACAAAAGCAGTCAGCGTCAGCAGCTCCCCAACGCCATGATGCCGTCATTAACAGAAACCATGGCGAAATAATGAGGGGATGGGAGGGAGGGTAGGATGAGAATGGGATATTCACGTCACCAAATTGGTTGATACGATATCGACAGCTTAGGAAAAAGATCGATGGCCAAGTTGATGAGGCTTACACCAACAAAATCTCGTGAAGTTATCAGTGCCACAGCTCGCTAACTTCAGAACTCTAGACTTGTCTCGCAACCCGCAAAGGTGACGGAGGTATCGCCGGTCATCAGTATCAAAGATTGCCAATCCATTCCTGCAGGATAGATATTCCCATTTGAGGAGAATGCATCGGCGTCCATCCACGATAGCTTGAGCAGGACTTGGAAGGCATTCTAACCCCGCCTGAAAAGATATAAATGGGCATTGTAAAACGGCCACCAGACATCCTCTGGCAATGTTTATAAGCAGCTGTCCTTCCAACTTTTTCTGATTAATTTGTGCTCCTTGTACAGTTTATCCTCTAGACTCCATTGTCTACTGCAAAGATACTTGTTCCATCAAAGTTTCAGTCGACGCCACCATGTCTGCGTCAATTAGATCCTTGCTTGCACAGGAAAAAGGCCGAATCCGCCTGCTGGAAGCCCATGATGAACTCTCCAGAGAAATTGTTCGCAATGGTATCGGCGATGACGGCCAGACATTTCATGGTACATGGATTAGCGGTCTCACCCAGACCACCTATCTCGGGATCCCTGATACTGAATTGATTTCTCCTCTGGAGCGGGCTGCTTTGATCACACGCACTCAGAGCCCACCTACAAACACTCGTCCATTGTGCACTGTATATGATGCGGACAGTGGTGGCAAGCGCGACGACATCCCAGCCTTGGTAGAATCTTTGGCCAAACAAGGAGTCTCCATGATCATTATTGAAGACAAGGCAGCCTTTGAACCGGGCAAAAAAGTGAACTCGCTCAAAGAGACGTCCGGATTGCAAGCCCAGGCCGACATGTATGAGTTCGCTCAGACCATCCGGGCTTTCTCTACCGCGGCGGCAAACTTCGACATGATGATCACGGCCCGAATTGAGACTTTCACTGTACGTACTATCAAAGATGATGAGGCCGAGGAGAAAGAGTCGTTGAAAGAGGCACTTCGTGATGCTCTTCGACGAGCTGCGGTCTACCGAAGTGCCAGGGCCGATGCAATCATGATCCATAGTAAAAGTCCCTCTCCGGACGAGGTTCTGTCCTTCTTAGCAGGATATCGTGCCAACGACCCCATCACCCCATTAGTAATTGTTCCGACCACTTATGCCAAAACAAGTGAGGATGCCTTTTATAATGCGGGTGCAAATGTTATCATCTATGCGAATCATCTCATGCGAGCAAAGATCAGCGCAGTCAGCAAATTCTCCGAGCAGTTCTTAGCTGAGAGACCGGCTCTGTTCGCACAGGACAAGGATCTAAACAATTGCGTCCAGGTGCAGAATTATGGCTGCCTGTTGCAACGGTTGCTTGGCAAGAAGAATCTCGACGAGGCTGTCAAATGGTATCGGATTCTAGCAGAAGCATATGCAATTGAAAACATGGCCCGCGTCGTCAAGTGCCTGCTTAACGGCAAGCGATGCAGCGAGGCCGATAAGTACATTATTTCTGTGAAAGAGCTGCTGAAGATTAATGCCTGTCAACTTTCTTCTTTGGAGCTTCTGAAAGCATAATGCAAGATGCATGTCGTTGGAGAACTTGTCTAATGTTTTTGATCATAGTGCCATAGTGGAATCATATCGAGGAATCTGGAATTTGCTGAAGATGCTTTTAGCAGGACTCCCTAATGAAATTGAATAACATTGTGTTAAGCTGAATGTAAAGTTCATGAACTAAGAAAAACTCCAATCCTCGCTATTACTATGTTACACCTTGTGGAAGGCAGTAAAAAGTTTGAAGTATGAATAATCATGATGTAGGATGTTAAAAACAGTGTCTCAAGGGACTTGACTGGAGATCGTTGTATCGAGAAGTCAATTGGGGGATAAAAGAAGCATGATTAAAGTTGCAGGTTCTATGTAGACGTTTATGGTAGAAGGAAAGTCGCCCGATAGGCTAAACTATACTTAGAATAGCCGGCGTCCGATAAGATAAGAAACGCACGGGCCATCCACGGAAAAAGTGCCTGAAATTTTGGAAACAGGAATGAACGAACTGCCTAGTGACCCGCCAGCGCGCCCTGCTCTGTTGAAATAACGACCATCGCGGTGATTTAACTTGCATCGTTTGATTCCTGTAATCATGGCGGAAGCATCTACCCCGAAAAAGCCGGTGCACACGATCGTGCTCGATGCCGGACCCCTCCTCAAGAATGTGCCCCCGCTATCGACATTACTCGCCCAGGCAGAAGAACTAGTCACCACACCCGCCGTTGTGGGCGAGATTCGCGACCCCGATGCTCGGGCTCGAGTTCAAACGCTTTATCTTCCCTTTTTGAAACAGAGGACGCCGTCTCCTACGAGCGTACAGGTAATCTCTGGGTTTGCGCGCAAGACGGGGGATCTGGTCGTGCTGAGCAAGGTTGATATTGAAATTTTGGCTCTGGCATATGAAATTGAGTGCGAGAGAAATGGCGGTGATTGGAGATTGAGAAGTGTTCCTGGTCAAAAAGGATTGAATGGAAAGCCTCCTGCGAAAGAGGAGAAGCAAGACGGAAATATAGAGGAGGGCGAGAAATCAGGAGAAAAGAACGATGCCACCCATGCCATTGATTCTTCGAATACTGAATCGGTGTCGAATGACCTGGAGAACACTCACCTTGATGAAAACGCTGATCAAAGGATCGTGGAACCGACAGCTACAGAAGAAAAAGCACCACTTACGGAGCCGGTGGGTAATGTTGAAGATGCGGAAAGCCCTGTAGAAGAATTGGAAGATGACGACGGCGAAGATTCAGATGGAGGAGGCGAATGGATCACACCTTCCAATATAAAAAAGAAACAAATCAAGGATGACGCTGAAATGGTATCGGCCGTCCAAGAACCCAAAATCATGCAAGTCGCCTCTATGACAACTGATTTTGCTGTAAGTCACGCACACATTGCGATTCAGAACAAATTACTAATGTTCCTTGCAGTGCCAAAACGTTCTCTTACAAATGAACCTCAATCTTCTCTCCACAACGACTCTGCAAAGAATTCGTCACTTAAAGACGTTTATTAAACGTTGCCATGCATGCTTCTCTACAACCAAAGAAATGAACAAACAGTTCTGCCCTCGCTGCGGTAAAGACACCCTTACCCGAGTGTCCTGTTCCACAGATGCCAATGGTCAATTCAAACTCCACCTCAAGAAAAACATGCAATGGAACACGCGCGGAAATGTATACAGCATTCCCAAGGCAACGCATGGCTCTGCGAATGGCAAATGGAAAGGCGGTGGTGGAAAAGGTGGATGGGGAACCGACCTCATTCTCGCCGAGGATCAGAAAGAATATGTTCGTGCTGTCACTGATGAGCAGCGACAGCAGCGAAGGGAGCACGATCTTATGGACGAGGACTATCTGCCTGGTATCCTGACCGGAGAGCGACACAGATCGGGCGGTAGGATCAAAGTCGGCGCTGGCCGTAACGTGAATTCCAGAAAACGATAATGGCTACGCATATGGTATTGCATATTTATGGAGTCCTGGATGATATGAAAAGATATTTCTTTCAATGGGGTAGATAAAATTATACATGACCCTCATGAGACATGATAGCTTGATATTGCAGATTTAATCAAAACTGTTTCCGAATAACGCTACTGCCACTAGCAATGTCGAAATTCTCACTGTAATCATGGTCTTCCTAACTTTTGCGGTAGACCAAGTACAAAACACCATTCGCCAAACTCAATGAAACGATACATTTAACCATTCAAAAAACCCTGCCATGGCCCCAACTGTCTTTCTACTCTATAAATGATTTATGACTTGGCGGCTTCCTTGTCCGGCTGCTGCGTAAGAAGCAGACCGTAGCGTTTTTTGAGCGTAACTCGGTGCCTATTCAACGATGCCCATTAGCCAATTGGTTCCATTTACAATAGTGAGTCTAAAACGGAATTCATAGGTTTCCACCCACCTGGAGTACTTGTCATCTGGCGAAAAACGAGCTGGGTGAGCGGACTTGGTGACTTCGCCGCTCAGAACCTTTTTCAAGGTGTCTAAATGCCTATTAGTGAGCTCCTTTAATGAGGTTGAGTTTGACCGTTGGCACGTACAGACACGCTTTCCATCTTTGTCGAGGGTGTACTATCTCGACATTAGCATAAAACTCTGCTAAACTGGAAGTAACAATGGGTTTTGACAGCGACATACCATAAGATGCATCTTGGCGGCTGCTGAGGAGGTCTTGCTAGAGTGCTGGGTTGATTGCTGCTGTTCCTAAATTTCGATGGCAGATTTCTCGATGCGAAAAGGAAATTTTTGGCGCAGCTCTCACCGCCCGCAGTGCTCGGCTGCTGACTGGCTGGCTGCTGACTAACCGTCTGACAAAAGCGTGAAATTTTAGCGGCTGCTGTTGTCCGGCGTCGCCCGCTCTGCGTTTAATTTTTCTCCTTCGTCTCCTCTACACAAACAATCAATACTCCCACACTTCAAGCTTGGTCTCTATGCGAGCGTGCTTCAATGATTTGAATCCACTCTCATATCCAACGTATCTTCAATTATGCCCATGTATCGTTAAGAGTGGCTCTACTATCGTAGGAATAAGTATCCGCGAATCACAATATGCTGGGTGAGCTTCTCCAACTACCTATCCCCCACGCTGCCCATACCCTGTCTCTCGGTGATGACACCTTTTATTTTAATGTCTAGACCAATGGCGTTTTGATTTCTTGCTGTTGGATCAATGCTGGCGTTATATAGACTACAACGGTATCTGAGAAGAGAGACTCAACCCTTACAGTTTCGTCCCGGATTTCATTTCTTGCACATGAATCTGACTTTATCTAGTGACAACTTGAACAAATCATTATCGTGACACAATTTGCAGAGATGACTTCGCAAAACGTCGTGGACTCTGCAGCATTGCCGCCGGCGGGAACGCCTCAGCGTCCTCGTCCTCAAAAGCCTAATTACAGACATATACATCGTTTTCCTCTGCCTGTTGCTGCTCATCCTCTTCCTCCTCTAATTCCTCATAATCCACTATCTATTATAAGCGTGCTATTCTCGTATCTCACATACCTAGTTTCCCCTCCTAAAAAAGAGGTCTATTCTGCCTATTTTGACTCGGCTACATCATCTGTGCATGTCACCGATGAGCAGGCAATGAGGGCGTTGTGGGAGATGGGATTTTTTGGAAAAGGAACGCTCAGCAGAAGTGAGCCCAGCTGGCATGAGCGAGAGAAGAAAAGAAGGGGACTCTCTGGCGAGAAAACGAGCGAAGAAGCTACGCGAAAGCGAAGGGCAGAACGCCGTGAGATGAAACTCGAAAGGGCTAGAAAAGAACAAGAAGCAATCTTGCAACAGCTAAAAGCGGAAGCAGCTAAAAGCAATGCTTTGGCCAATGGCACCGATGGCATCGCGAATGGTTCCATCAACGGATCTGCTCATCAGGAGGCCTCCCTATCAACAAGTGTGGGTCTGACAGATGGAACTGAGAATGACAACTCCGATGATAAAGGTACCAAAACGGTCCGCTTCTCACCGATCGTTGAGAAGAAAGTAATTCCTGAGTCGGATTACCAGCAGTCGAATAAAATAGAGGAGGAGACTTTTGCTAGTCAGGAACACCTGCAACTATCAAATGAAGAGACCTTCTTCCTCGCGTACAGCTTGGGAGCTGTTGAAGTGTTTGATCAGAACACACAGTCTGTGATGCCGACGACATCCCTTCTCAGGCTTTTCGCGCAACATTCTACGTTTCCGCCCAACCCAAACACAGAAGATGCCCTCGAACCAGATAACAAGTTCCTAGTGTCATATGTTGCCTATCATCACTTTCGGTCCCTCGGTTGGGTGGTGCGATCCGGCGTCAAATTCGGTGTCGACTATTTACTCTACAACCGGGGACCCGTGTTTGCACATGCTGAGTTTGCATTGCTGATTTTGCCATCATACGAGGACCCTTATTGGAAGGCTACGCCAGAGCGCAGGGCACAAACTGTCAAAAAAGAATCTCGTAGTTGGTGGTGGTTGCACGGGGTCAACCGCGTCCAAGCACATGTCAAGAAAACGCTTGTGCTATGCTATGTCGACATCCCCCCTCCTTCGGAGTCATTCTCGACAGACAATATCGGAGAGATCCTGCGTCGCTACAAGGTTCGAGAGATGCTCCTGCGGCGCTGGATTCCAAATCGCAGTCGAGATTGAGACTGATATTGGATAACCTGCCAGTGGGAACCTGTAAGATGATATGTATGATGACTAGATGATTTAAGATACCCAGGAACATGATTACTTCATTTACCTTTTTTTTTTTTTTTTTTTTTTTTTTTTCGCTTCGATTATTTCATATATTTTCACCGGTAAATTTACGAGGATGACCGTATAATATAACCCTGACACGCTATTCCAAAAGCAGGAAGATGGCTTCCCCACTTCAATGTCCCAGCACGCGTTGACTCTCGCGTCAAGGCGGATCCCCGCGATTCGCTGCACACTCTGCAAAGACCTGTTTTAGAGATTATTTTTGTGACCACAGCTGCGCAATTACTCACATATATTGCAATGCCCCTTCTTAGCTAGACTCGGGATGGACTCGCAGCCAGACAGTCTCGACATAGCGAAGCTGAAGCGTTTCGCGCTAGGCATCGATGTATGCGCTTCCAGTGGCGTCGGGATCCCTGATAAACGCGCTAAAACTAACAATATAACGCTTTTAGGAAGCTGATGTGTCGCAAGCATTTCTCGGCGAGCTTGATTCTCAATCTGCATCCCTGCAACCACACTCTCTCGTCGCTGGACAGAAATCGTGCGGGCACAGCTCAGTGTCTTCTGTCCACCACATCCCGTCATCTAACGCTGCTTCCTCGGCATCCGTCCTCTCTGTCCATGTTATTTCGACCCCAACCCATGATGTGCACGAGGCTACCCAGCGCCATACACGGTCAGAAGAGTTTATAATCAATAATAGTTCCGAATTGGCTCTTGCCAAAATGAGTTCCGGCGATACTGGTCCCGGCGACACTCAGCCGATATCTCAGACTGTATTCGAAGACATCCTCTCGCGCAGCAAGTTACTCGCAACTTCTCCAGAGAGCAGCCATATCGACGTGGACCTGCGTGATGCCAATCATGAACCCTTGCACATGACTATGCAAGAGGGCGATCCAGGTCATATTGACCTCCTTTCAGGCTTTGGGGAAAGCAATCCTGCAGCAATCCATCATAGCTCGGGCAGCGATGGCTTGAGCTCAAAGGACGGAGAATCATCGCCTGCCCATGACCAAGCCAATTTATTCAGCGACTCACAACAACACTTTTTGACAACTCCAGTGACGGTGGGGAAATTGCAAAAGAACGTTTCGGATTTGGCAACAGCGACCCCGTCTCTACCTCGCAACCCGCTCGCTGCCGACTTGGGGTCGAGTGGAGGAATAATGGCACTCAGTCAGGTTTTCAAAGCTACGCAGGCTCCTTCCTCTCCGTTCGTTAATGGCCTTCCATCCGGCCCGCTTTCCGACCGTCCTTCTCCCAATTTCCCTATCCAAGCTCGCCCTATGGAAACATATGCCTCCTCCCCTTTCCGCACGCCACGGTCAAATCTGCATCGCACCCATACCGATCCTTACAGTTACGTTTCAATGGATGAGTCACAAAAGAAGCGTGACAAGGTAATTGAAAATAGAAGGACCCGCTCCGTTGAGGACATGGATTTAGAAGATCAGAGTGACGAGGAGTTCTATAAGGAACCAAGCTTCGTTCGGCAGCAGCAACGACAGAAAAAGATTGATGAGGAAATCAGTGCGCGTCTCTCAGGGATTACTCGAAGTAGCCCTCGAAGACTTGTCAACCAGTCCCCTACCAAATTATCCAAATTCACCACTTCGGATCCAGTCTCGGAAATTGGAGGCGATGCTCAAGGCATCAGCGAAGAGGAAACGGAGCAAGAGGATAATGTCGTGACATCCACCAGCCAGATACGGCAGCCTATATCTTCTTCGGAAGAGGACAAGGAGAACTTTGTGGGCCCTATTGCTACAGCGCCTGTCACAACGTCTCTTGCTCACGACCGTCTATCACAAGCTTTGGATTTGTACAAAGATCCCCTCAAACACGATGTACCACTTCAGGAAGAAGATACTCCCTTACAAGAGCACGATTTCCCCCCTTTGGAACAAATAATCAATGTGCGAGACTCTCAACCATCCCCGAGTCAACAAGAGTTTAGATATCACAAAGATGTACACGTGTCTTCCCAAAATGAGGTCGATAGGGTGCGTTCCTCTCCCGTGGAGTCTTCACCACCGAGAAAACGACAACGCCGTCAGCATAGTCTAGGTCAAACTCCTGATGTATCTCCTGTCAAAAAATCCGCTCAAAGGCGTTCACGCTCACCTTCGTCCATTCCTTCAGGTGTCCGCTCTCCGCAACATCAACCGCCGCCGACTGTGCCTCTTTCATCAGCACAAAATGCCAGTGCTGCAGAAAAATCTTCCTCTATGCCTTCGTTAGTTGCCAACACCCCAGTCAATAAGATGACCAATAACGACACAGTCCCTGAAACTGTCCTCGAGTCAAGTCTGAATGTGCCTCGACAGTTTCCTCCACAAACAAACCTAGTTAATCCCATCGTTACTATAGATGAACAAGAACAAGAAGACGACGATCTGCCAACTCCTCATCATCAACGAAACTGGGACAAAATTGCCCCTGGGCCTTCACCTGATGGAACACCGAGAGCATTGGGTAATATTTCGCGGGGCGAAAAGCTACTTACTAGCTCAAGTCCAATGAAGGGGAGAATCAAGAGCTTATCTGAACTATCAGCCGAACACTCTTCGCCTCATGCACCTGACGATGAAATAGATTTTAATATGTGGAGTACGGGAGATAAAGAATTCTCGGAGGTTGTTGAAGTGTTCAACCGTCGTACGCCAATTAAAAAACGAGGAGTTAATGAGGACAAAACACCTCGGCCGTCCACACCTTTGCGAACTCTGTCTCCTCACTCTGCGGTTCGAAAAATAGACTTTGGTCATGCGACGCAGCAGTCAGTTGACCGTCAAGAACCCGAAGATTCAGATATTCCAGAACCATCCTACACGCCTACTGTTCCCCGACGGCAACGAGGTCGACCATCACGGCGTACCGAGAACATATGGGAAATCGAAGATTCGCCCCGGAAACTTAATACTACGAGCTCTCAATTGTCAAATAGCCGGTTCAGAAGGAAGACTCCGGGGATTCCTGCTACAGTGAATGCTCCAGACAACGAGAGCTCTCAGAGCTCCTTACCATCGGAAAATTCAGCCCCAATACAGACTGAACGTCAGACACGAGAGACATCTATCTCTACAAGTGTTGTGCATCTCCCGGGAACAGACTTACCATCTGAAGATGTGGCACCCGAACAAACACCACAGCCGGAGGAACCCGTAATAGCTCCAAATCAAGTACTAGCTTCCTGGAATGGTCCCAAGCGTGCTTATTACCCTGCAACATTCCTTGGTTCGTGTGGTCAACAACGCTGCATCGTGAAATTCCCAGACAGCGCTCCAGTAGAAGTCGCTCTTGGTTCTATTAAGAAGCTACAACTGCGAATTGGAGACTCCGTGAAGGTTGAATGGCAGGGTGTTCCAAAAGTTACTCACATAGTTCGAGGGTTTACCAACAAGTTTCAAGCTGAAGACCTCACAAAGGAGGACGCCTATGGAGCTCTCCCGGTAACTGATGTTCATGGGTACTCGAAGATCAGACTTTGCGCAAAGGAACGCAAAAGTCTTCCAGGTGGCGGTCAAGTGGAATCTGATCAGACCATCGAAGTTCCCATTTCCAGTATCTACTTGGACAACATCCTGTGGAATCGGCTAAAAGGTCATGCTTTTACCGTTGACCCGAAGAAAGACCCGGTTCCAACTATCACACAGACCCCAACTGGTGGTGTAGCAAAGGCAGCGTCTTCGGGGTGTAAACCACCTGGGACGCACCTTATTTTAAAGACAGGGCTCTTTACAGGGATGGTATTTGCTGTTTCTTTTGTTGGCCAGGATGCAGCTAAACTGCGAGTCACCAAGTTAATATCAGAAAATGGTGGCCGTATTTTGCAAGATGGATTTGAAGAACTCTTTCAATTTCCTCTTAGTGTGCCTGACGCCATGCCCTCCAAGGCCTTGTCCCAAGCTTCAAATACCGAGGCATTACAGTTTCACCTTAAGCCCGAACATGAGAATATTGGTTTTGCCTGTTTGGTAGCCGATGGCCATTCTCGTCGAGCTAAATATATGCAAGCGTTAGCTCTGAACGTTCCCTGTCTTTCCGGTAGATGGGTTGAAGACTGCGTTCGTAAGAAGCGGATTTTGAGCTGGGAATATTACTTGCTTCCAGCCGGTGAATCAATGTACCTTCACGGTGCCATCAAGTCAAGAACCCTTGAACCAACGCCTGCAGAACACTCACACTTTTCGGAAACTATTGCCAAACGCCCAAAACTTCTTGACGGACAGTCTGTGCTGCTAGTCATGGGACGTGGAAAAGCCGAAGAAAAACGCAAACCATACATTTTCCTTACATATGCTCTCGGCCCAGAACGTGTTGAGCGTGTTCTAGATCTAAAAACCGCAAAGGCAACTCTTGACCAACAGGTTACTAGCCGATGGGACTGGGTTTACGTTGATGACCGCGAAGAAGCTGCTGCAAAGAAGATGATTACTGACTATCAAAATATCTCCAACTTTAGCAAAAAGAGGAAACGGTCATCCATGTTCATACAGTCTCCTCGCGACCAGACAGCGAGTTTAGACAAGACAGAACGAATTCTGACCAATGACTTTATCTGTCAGAGCTTGATATTAGGGAAAGTATATGAGGAGACTTGATCTGTTTGATGTGTGGAAGATCAATGTTCGGTCAATCTGTTATAGCACAGAAGTTACCCTTTTTCATTCGCTTCGCAACTATATTTCCTATACTTGTTTTTTTTGCTTTGAAAAGATACCCATCTGTCATACATTGCTATCAATGTTGAGAGGTACATGCTCATCTCGTTGAATGAATGTCTGAAATAAATAGAGTCTGATTCTAGAATTTCAGAGTGTACAGTACTGTAAGGATTTTCGAATGTAGACATGTGAGCATAATTTGACATCGTGTGCAATCATCTAAAACCGAAATTCTCAATGGTAGATCGGGCTTATGAAGACAGTTTGCTTTGTTGGGAAGCAATATACGGAGTGATATGTAAGTTTAAGTCAACATTTTTGAATTGGTGATAAATATCGAAAACTAGTGTACTTATGTCCTGGGACTAGACGATCATGATGATATATATGTAATGTATATTTCAAAGTAAATTTCTAGAAGCAAGAAAAAAGCAGTGAGGAATTTGACTCCTGATTCGGTCCTAATTATACATGTACAATACAGAAGATCAAATAAAACGCCCGATCGAAGAAAAATACCGGTCCGTATGGGAGCTCTATCTGCCTTTGCCCTTCTTAGAAGACTTCTTCTTGCCCTTCAAACTCTTCATTTGCGCAGCGCGTTGAGCACGAGCCTGTCTCTTCCTCCAGGCCATCCATCGATTCTCTCGATCAAACTCTTTCGCAGTAATTCCCGCCTTCTCTGCTGCCCGGCCAATCTGCCAATTGGCTTCACGATACATGTATCCAGGGCGCAATGGCAGGTTGGCCTTGGCGTTGGGAATATCTTCCCCGGCGGCAGCACCCTCAACAGCTGTCACATCCTCACCAAACATATCAACATCCAACTCAACCCCAACTGGTTCAACGCGTGGCACAGCAATCCTATTCAAACGGCGTCTTGTAGGCGCATTGCGCGGCGTAGGCAATTTCCCTTCCCGCTCAAAGCAGACACCGATATACCTTCGTTTCGGGTGCAGTTCGGGATCGAGGTAATATTTCACGTAGCCGGATTCAGTAGCATAGATCGTGTGGTCTCGACCCATCGCGCAGTTCTCACCGGGAAACCATTTTGTGCCTCTTTGTCGAAAGATGATGTTTCCGGGCACGACGTATTGCTCGCCGCTCTTTTTGGCGCCGAGGCGTTTGCCGGGCGAGTCCTTAGAGCCCGAGTTCGCGCGGCCTTGGGCCTGGTGGGAGGCGTATCGGACTTGGAGAGAAGATAGAAGAGGGGAGGAGCGAGAGAGCGGGTGAGAGGAGGCGGTAGTCCTTGTTATGGCGGAGAAGAAGGAGGGTGTGGTTGGAGGAGGAGCGATGCGAGCGGAGGATTTGGAGATGAGTGAGGGATTAATCGAACGCTCTAGCGTCCGAAAGGACGCTCGCAACATGAGCCGCATTGATTATGGCTGCTCTGAAAGCGCGCCAATGGTCGATTGGTGCGCTCTGAATGTGTTATGGACAACTTTGGTTTTGGGGATAGCGGAAGAAGTTGTTTTCCCCGATTGTTAGAATATTCGGCACTAACCATTTTGGGGATAGTCTCGAAATTCCCAAAATATACTATCAACAGCGCCAAAACACTGCGTGAGAACAAATAATAGTGTAAATTAATATATCTATATATCTATATAGGTAAATTGATATCTAATTTTGATTTATCCGACCCTATCTCATGTCGACTCCTTAGCGATATTGTGGCTAGAATAAACATTCGATAGGATTAGACTAGATTCGCCCCTATAAATATATACAGTAGCTCGAGTTGTAACTTTCGTTAACAGACTCTCCCTTGAATGTAATAACTTTTTATTTCAAGCCTGACCTGAACAAATGAGACGCAGGGGCTTAGTTAGGATGCCGCTAAGCACCTCTCAACACCTTATAAATCGAAGATGATGACCATCAACATAAGTACGCCTTCTGCGTTCGATTAAGATCACCTGGAGGAGTCCAAATTTGCTGAATTCGCGATCAGTATCGCCAATTCATACGAAACTATCGATACATATTCTCAAACGACAACGTTCAGAGCAATCCTACCCTGGAAAGTCTTGGGATTGGCTTTGGTGGGGAAGCTGTGGTAGAAGTGGCGAGTACATAATAGTTGTTCCTTAATGACCGTTATAAGTTATGTAGTCGGTTCAAGCTGATTTTCAGTGATTATTGGGGAAAGAAAATGGAAACAAAACCCATCCATCCCTGTAATATCGATTCAGAAAATAGCACACCCTTGGTTAGGACCTTTACTGTCATTGAGTGCCCGCCATATTGTCCACCCATTTCGAGGAATACAATTATTATGTATATCAGAGTATAAATCCAGGCCTCCACTTGAAATGTCGGCTGAAACACTCAGATTTTCCATTTCTAGCGTGTCCCAGATATTTTGGAGAATATAGAGAGCTTGCCGGTGGATAGCAAACCCAGAGAGCCTGAGAATACCCCGTAGCTTTCTTCTCACTATGTTTTGCTGTTCGGCATAAATGCATTCAAAGCCGACTATAAGCAGTGGCCATAATACCCTGGATGACCAGTCGATATTTTCCATATCCTCGAGAGCTCGGGAAACAAGATTTTGGACACGATAATGGCTAGATGGAAGTTCGGGGGAAAGGATTCGTTGGCAGTAGATAAGGGACGCATGCCGAAATAGTTCTGATATAGCCACGATCTTTGATTCTATCGCGTTTGAATTTCTGGTCGTCGATGATGTGTCCGAATGCGGAGAGCAAGTCCCTGGGGATAATGATGAAAGATTATTGCAACCAGCTGATATTCTGTCCCACGATTCAATCCGGGAGCGGGCCTCTTCTAATAAAACACCGCCAAAGTCGGTGTGGTATTGTTCATCGTTGAGAAAAGAACGAAGCTGGGAGAGCCTGGCAATCTCTTGAAACAGCAACCCATCACAGCCAGTGGTGTTGTCAAGGGTCCAGTCTCCACCTCCTTGGCAGGCAATCGCGAGGTATGGGTTCGAAAAAGTACCCGGACGACTGTTAATCATTGAGGTCAAGGTATCAATCCATGTGAACATTTGTATACAAAAATATGTCACATGAGAACTGTCTGCTCTTCCTCGCTGCCGTAATTCTAATAGCTTGCGAGCTGCCGAGAGTTGTGATTGAAGATTGCTCACACCCGTTTTGCATAAATGATAGAGAACAAGAAGAAGAAAAGCGACTACTATATCGTCTTTATATCGATGCCTAACGTCCGCCAATTGTTCATTGAGGCATTGGACAGCTCGGGTCCTGTGCATTAAATCTTCGGGGCCTCTAGCGTCTTCACCAGGTACGAGCTCTCCCTTCAGACTTTGGGAAGACGTTGGAGATGCCAAATCAACCTCGGCTTGTTGTTGGATGTGGGAGGCGGCTATCGCAGCTATTGCGCGTTGGAGCATTTCACTTTCATAAGCCATACACAAAATAAACGACTGGAAGGGATTCGGTATATGGTCGAACTGAACCAGATTTGACGCTATTCTCTGGGAAAAGTAGTTGACCAAATAACGGACTCGTGGCGTACTGCCGGGCCACGTCTGAATAAGTGTCTGTGATATCGAAGTGGTCAAGGGTGGCATCATTCCAGCATTTTCGGGGCAATGCTGGAGGCTATGGTTTTCATTGGGAGAAAAAAGTGGGGAGCTGTTTTTCCAGGTTTCTTTGATGTCAGTAGTCATTCGTTCTGAATTTCCACATGAGCCCTGAGAGTAGTCAGAAAACATCAGATCTCGGGTATGGTCATGTTCCGGGTGAATGTCTCCGAGTGAATAAGGAAGTAGAGTTCCAACAACTGGGGTTTCAGCCTCGCTCTCAGTATAGCTTTCGAGGAAATAAGAGGTCGATTGAATATCTTGCTCTGAAAATGACTCGGTTGACAAGTTTGACTGATCGTTGTCCCACTGGAATGAATTCGCAGTTCGTACCAGGCCCGATAGATTTGGTCCGTGAAGTTGGCCCTCAATGTGACCATGATTTTCGGAGGAAGGAGATGGATTATTCTGGGGGACAGGACATGTCTGACCCCGCAATTTACCTCGACTAGCGATACCTACACCCCATGTTAAAGAAACCTGGTACCCTGGACATTGATTGCAGTCGGCAAGGCATTGCGAGCAGTACGGCCGTTGGCGGTCGCATTGAAGTCGTTGCTTAGTGCATGCAAAGCAGTCATGACCCGCCCTGCCAGTGCTCAATCTTCGATGTGTTGGACTAGTGGATATTCCCTTTGCCATTATAAGTAATTTGAGGGCCTCATTCCGGGATTTTATACCGATTTACCCGTTAAACCTGATGGATACATTTACAGAAATTGTCAGTTCGTCTTTTTAAAGGGACCTTTCCTTACTATAAAGAAGGACATCAGGATATGATTAAAAGCGGGGGATGTTATAGTTAACCAATAACATTTGGAACAGTGATCGGCCAGGTTAAGATAATGATCTTTCAGCAATCAAGATTTAAGCTATCAAATTAGTTGCGAAATTGTGTCCCAAAAAGGGAGGTACGGCTTCTCCTCTGTTACTGGCCAAAAGTGTTGGTATTATCCTGTTCTCCATTGAGAATGACGTTGATCATTGTCTGTCTGGTGATGGCTTACGGCTACGTCGGACGTTTCTCAGCCATTCGTAATTGAAATTAAACAAGGGTTAATGTAGCTAGTCATATCGAGACACAAGAAATCCACCCAACAAGTATAGAGTTTAAGTTTCCCGATCAATGTATAGATAAGAACCATGAGATTCCATTTTCCGCGGAAAGCTGGCTAGTGTTACTTCCAGTCTTTTCAAGAAAAGCACGTTTCTATTTAGTCAAATATAAGCGTCTCGGTTTTGTCACCAATGACGTTAGAGATAGATTCGTATTGTTTAAACTCTTGGGCCAGGTATCCCCACAAGTTTAGGTCGTCCCTTATTTTATTGTTATTATTATAATCAAGTTTAACGACCTTGCCCGGCTTTTAAACTAGGAAGGCCTGGGCCCTAGGGGGGGTCTTTAGATGCCGAAGCCCTAATTCCACACGCCCCTGCCTCGAACTGGTGCCAAAACCTGCCAAACACACTTACGCGTTTCTCGCCTCAAGCCGCTTAGTTATTTGTGCCGGGCGATTTAGGGGCCTTATATCAAGATACTGGCAGTAGCTGAAGCTATTAGGGAAAGAGAATTCGTGGAGAGAGAATTGCTATTGATCCCTCTTGGCGGCAATCATATGAAGCAGCATCAATTCTAATACTAGGGGCTAGAAGCGACAACAGCTAGTAAGCCTAGACTAGCGCCCCTAACATCGCTTGGCGTTTAGAAGGTCGCCTCTCGGGAAACAGTAGACAATTTCTACAAGTCTATCCAATGATAGATCCGATCAATCCTTGACGATCTCGCTATCCACTTCGTCGTCTATGGTACTGGTCGGTAATTGTTGTCGGTAGTTGTTGATATTCGACTGTAAAGGATGATTCTGTCTCGACCACAATAACACGAATGCGGGGTCTTCATAATTACTAGACACTCCCTGCCCCTAATAACAGACTAGAACATCTATTCTAGCTCGATATGGAAGGTAGGCTTGCCTGATATTAATGGAGTTTAATTATCTTAACAGTCATTTCGTGCCAAGAATGGGGACCCCAGATGTCAGCCCGGTTGTTGAGATAAAATATCCTCCACTCGTTCATTAGCTGACTTCTTGTTAGGAGAAGTGATATTGCTGAAAGATGTTCAGATATGATGCCAACTTGAATAGACACGGTTAGGATTTCCTGGTCATTTTTATCGTTTTCCATCTTTAGAACAGCCCAATCACTGCACGACGATCTAGTATAGGCCGCATTAAGCAGTGCCTGGCGCTAGAATAGTGAAACGATCCGCGACCCTAAATTAAGCAAAGCAAGTTTCCCGCGGGAAAGACTCCATCGATCGTAAGTGCGTTATTTTCTAGAATCAAGGCACATGTACAGAGATGGTTAGAATGGATGGACACTAAGAATTTAGTGGACTGTATTGTCCATACTATCCCAAATTCGGTTCTTGCATGAATCGAATGACAAAAGTATGATGACTGCGAATGAATAGCGGGATCCGGCAAAGGCCACGCTGTAGATTGTCCTCTCAAGCCCAGGAAGGTGGTACTTGGTCCTTGGCTGTATAAAGCAGATGCTTATCAGTCAGTGCAGTTTGAAATAAAGTGTTGTGAAAACTCACGTAATGATACCTTCCGTTTCTAGACAATAATGGCTCTGTAGAATGATAACTGCCGGGTGGATCTATCTTAGGGAGTATGTGAAACAGGGCTAAAGCTGGAGAGCTTTTGTTAATTATAGATATCGAGACCAATCCTTATCGATGTGTATATAAAAATTCTGAGAGCAAGCAGTGTCTCAAGTCAGTAGCACACAGCATCGTATTATTTCATTGAATCAACTTATCAGAATTAGGGTGTGATTCGACAATTACCTTGAAAATGTCCTCCATCAAGGCGCTTGCGAGCATTCTGCTCTTTGTCAGTGCTTGTCTCGCCTCGCCAATTGCGCAAAAATTCATTTCGTTCGATTTCGTGGCTCTCGCCCATCAAACATAACATTTAGCCCAGAGAACAGTGATACCCTATCATTCTGCAACTGGCTGACGCCATCCTGAAGTCATCTGATGTTACCAGTGTAACCGGGACGTTCATAATTCCGAACCCGAAAGTCCCGTCTGGGGGTAATTCATCAACTTCATACTGTGGCTGTACCCCGGCTGGAATCGATGGCGACAGCGATGTTTGGCCTAATGGCGGACTTCTCTAGGCCGGAGTAACTTGGTGCATCCAGGGTAATACCCCTTCATTCTATGCATGGTACGAAAGGTTCCCAGCCCAGGATTCGATAACCTTTGACGGCTACGACATAGAAGCTGGCGATGAAATCAAAGTCACTGTAACTGCGACGAGCACCAGTACCGGCATCAGTACTTGAAAACTTGACCTAGGGAACCAGCATTAAGCATACTTAGTAGTAACGAATCGCAGTTGTCTGTACTGTCGGTGGTGAGTGGAAGGATTGCCCTCAGTAGGTCTTTTTTTGATTTCAGAAAATTGACTTCCTATTTTACCAGTGATGATCAAAGGAATGATTCCATATACCATATACGATACCAACCAATATCTATCTATGTAAGCTAAGACAGTTGCAACCTATCATTTGGCAAATACAAAAAGTCTAAAGTTGGCAAGCATCGTTACGGTGCTGCATCTAATTTAGTAAGGATTGTTAGAGCTACTAACACTTATAATAAAGTGTTAGCAACAACATATCTACTGCTAAACTAATAAGACTATTTCTAAATACAAAAAGTTTAAGTTTGGCAAGGATCGTTAGAGTCCTAAAGGTCAAGACAATCGATCAACCTGCATCTTCTAGCACACACCGTTGCTGTGGTATTCAAAGAACTCATCTAGTCAAGCTACACCAGATTCATTGTCTGAAACAGATTCCATATAAGAGTCAGATCCACCAGTTCGCTTTGCATAAGTAAGGTAATTCTATCGGAGAAAAACTCCCAATTCAATGTCATCTAAAGCATAGATGTCCTATTCCTGACTTCGCCTCAAAATTTTCAAGACTCGATGAAAATTATTGCGATCAGAGATTTCGCAAGCCGTTCACAGCCGGAATAGCTCACAAATGCGAGCTGCTCATCTTCGCCGGGAACCCGTCGGCCCTTTTCATCCTGGGACATCGCTCCACGAATGACGCCAGCGCGCTGGTGGCCTGGTGGAACTTTCAGGTCGCTATGTGGCAAGCCCCTCCAATGTTTGACGAGCAGTAGCCACTCGTCGCTGGTGGGCTGCCAGACAGTCAGGTCGCGTAAATCCGGGTCTCGAAACACCATGATGGCCCCACAACTACCGGCGTACATTTTCGCCGTGATAAAATCAGACGTAACGTATATGCCCGGTCCGAACTCATCGTCGCCATTGTTGCTTTGGATGATGGGGATGAAGAAAGACAGGGAGAGCTCAAGAGCTTGGAGGCTCAACCCCCGGAAAAAAACATTCTTCTTTGTCAGTTCATCTGGGAGGGAGTCTTGCACCATTGAATACATTTTCTGAGGCTTCTGGTTTTTGACTTTGAGCATGGTGATCTTGGACGGAAACGACGCAGGCCGGCACCAAGGGTAAATATCCTCTAATGGATGCGAGGAGGGAGTAGTCGTTACTGCAGCTGGAGCTGCCCAGATGGGGAAAGAAAACTCATGATCGATTGGCCGATACTCCCAATCATCATATTTTTCCATGATGTGTTTAGGTATCTGAGCCTCATAAAGCCCAAGAATGAAAGACCCCGGGCTAGTGCCATTAGGGATAACCGCAATGTGATCTATCAAGGTGCATGCGGGGTCGTCGACCGCATCCAGGATGTCGAAAAATCGAATTAGACAAAGGATGCTTCTCAATGACCCGACCATATCTGTCGCGAGCTGCTGTTAGCACGAAGCATTCCTTCTGGAAGAATTATACTTACAGCAATGTTTACCATCTTCGACTATATCCGCCATCTCTTCGGTCATGGGCCCAGGGAATCCGTACGAAGACATCCAAATTGGTTCAAAAGTGTCCGGATGCAGTATGGATGGGTCCCGTGGCCATCGTGGTAGCACAGCCTCCTCTTCTGGCTCACATTCTGCTGATGATGGTTGTATTTCGGTGATCTCAGGCGGAATTTTAATTGTGAGTGGTCCCTGCACGCCCTCTAATGTAGGAGGCTCAGGAAGCTCGGGGAGCCGATCAAAAAGATAGCCATCCCGACTTTCACGTAGTAAGATTATTACCTCTTCCATGTGACTTCTCACAGTATGAAGTTCTCCATGGATAACAGCTGCTGCTTCCCTGATACTTCGCATGTGAGTAGCATGCCTCCTTGCAACTTTTCTCGGCGTCTTCATTCTCCTAATGATCTCCTTAAGGTTGCAGAAATCTAACGCCACTTCCAAAAAGTCGGACGTCATCTCACTCTCATTGATAAATGATTTCCACCCAAACCACAGGTCACTTAACGCCTCATGTAGTTCTGTGTAGTCAAAACAGCTCGTAGCGCCAGTCTCTTCGAATATGCCTCGTGCCTCTTGTATCTTGGAAATAACACGATAGATGATGCTCTTTACAACAGAGCGCAGCTCGAGAAACCAGATCACAGCCTGGTCTTGATCTTTCCACTCAGGGGCCCTCAAGGATTGGGCCTCGATTGGCCGAACAGGCTTGCTAGGCGATGTCTCAGAAGGACTGGCTGGGGGAAGAACGACGAGTGTGTGCTTCTCTGGTGGAGATATGGATAGGGAGTGAGGGTCAGCCATGTTTCGACTTTGTTTTGGGGGGGGTGGGGATGGGATTCAATCAAGATGAAGGTAGGACATCTTCGAGGTGAGAAAAGAAGCTAGGTCAGGGACGGGGGAGAGACAGAGATAGAAGGAAAGAGGAAGAATTTGTGAGCCCAAGCGAAGCTGGTGCCTGCTGTGACAATGTCATTGACGAGATGACTAATCCATCCCATCATACTTCGCATTCTAATTCACCATAAAGGGAGGCTAGCACACCAGTATGTTATTCTAGTTTACATAGTCCTTATAAAAGTACTTTCTAAATTTACAATTCACATTCTAATCCTAAATACAGAGAGTCCGGTATCCATAGTTAGTAGCTGATTATTGGTATTAACACTGCGCCTGATGCTAGAAGTTCCTAGAAGCTGCACCCTGGGGTGTAAAAATAATTATATTAATTCTTTAAGTCAATTATAGATTTAGAAGTCTTTAGACTGTAGAAATTAGATAGAAGTATGTATAGTTGTTAAAGAATCCATTATATCTACATAGTTAGGGATCTTGTCGATTGAATCGAAATGGTCGATCAACTCTGTCAATCTGATCCCAAGGGTCTACCGTCACTGTTGACACTACGCAGACCACGCCTACTACATCTACTCCCAAGCCGGCCATTGAGTCGAAGCGCCGTCGAGGTCGTTCAAGAAACCCCGAAAGCACCACTACCACAATCCACACCTCGTCTTCAGCGCATCTAAACAACTCTCTACTTACTATGCCACTGTTAACGACGAGGACATCGTCTTTTTTTCTGAATGGGGCACAGTCTGGAATATACAGACGTCACGCATACTGTGGATACTATCCACAATTAGTCTAGATAGTCTTGGCAGACTATTAAAAAAATTAATAATCTAGAAGATAGTAGGATTTATGTTATATTAGCTTTACTAAATCTTTGCGGAAGAGAGTCTCTAAATCTTGATATTTATAAGTAATACATATCATATGTGTTCTCAAGTGCTGGGTTTGGATTTTGAGCAGCTACTGGTTTTAATACTATCTTTTTCTGGATTTTGTAAGAAACAGGCAATTTCAAAGGTGGAAAATGGCTTGGTCTAATTGTAGCTCAGGTCTGATGTTGGAGAAGCATGAGATAATACCAACGTAATTGACTTGAATATTGATGATTGAATTAGCAATAAATCTGGTCAACGTAGGATGGACCTGATCTGTCATTTTGATATTCGGTTGCTTAAACTTCCATGTCACTTAAATACATGTATTGATGCATATATCAAAAGAGATCATGGCGGGACCTTTGAAGAGTAATGAGTGCTGCTCGCGCTATGTGCATTTAACCTAGATAGTCTTTCAAACAGAGACACCAATATAGCTAGCCTGTCGGAAGGATGAAAAATAATTCCTTATACTATTCAAACAGATCACACAATCACGGAGCCATACGCATAGCAGACTCTTTTGTCTGGCTTGATCTACAATCTCACCTGATCGACCCGCTACTGCTCGTGCCGCTCACCACCTTGAAAATAACTCAGCTCCCCCGAGATAATCGTATCCTGGTCATACGTGATGCCCGGAGAAGGTGAGATGCCCGCAGGAGGTGGGATGCCCGCCAACACTTTGAAATTAAACTTGAATTCTGCCACCCTCTGCCAGGCGTAGGAAACATCGAGTCGCAGCTGTTGCAGGTACGGTTGCGGCACCTGGCCTTCCGCATCCTGAGGTTCTCTAGTGGCGACAAGCGCTCCAAATGATACTGACTCTGCCGAAAGCTCGGCGTATGCATTGGTGATTTGCGAGGGGATGTTTTCTGGAATACTCACTGTTTGCCCTGGAATTAGAGTTGCCAAGTTGATTGCAGTTCCCGGGCTTCTCGTAGCAGGGCTTATATCCGTCCATACTTCGTAATACGGCTGCAGGATTCGCTCCTTGGAAATGTCGTACGCTGTGAACAACCGGATTTATTATTGTTAATTTCCAATCGCGTCAGTTCATCACGAGGACTTCTCTTACAAGACCACAATTGACCCCGGACACTGCCTACTCCGCCGATGGCACGCATCCAGGAGTATGTCATCAAGAACACCGGCATCTTGTCATCGACCTTGCCGAAATTACCCGCCGCCTCGATGTCCACGCGAATAGAGGCCAGCCTCGGGCTCGCCGGGTCTGTCGTTGTGTTGAAACTGAGAACCACTTGCTGCAGACTGAGTCCTTGGAAGGTATCTCCGGGTCCGAAAAAATCGCGAACTGGGAGATTCGAAGCAACTACTCCTTCCAGCCATTTGAGTACATCGTCCAGATTACCATCGCTCTGCTGGCTCGGTTTCAAAATAAAAGTCATTCCGGACTCGCTGAAGTCGATTCCCATGGTCATTTGGAGCGGAGCAGCCATTTTCGTATTCGACACGGTGCAGGTCGCTTGCAATGAGACAGTGCCCTGATCAACTCCGACCAATTCATCATCGGCTGTCTGGCCCTCTGTCATGATTTTCCTGCAGATGGCGGCGAATTCAATAAACTCCAAACCGGGCACTTGGTTCTGGAGAAGGCCCTCGAATGCATTTTTGGCATCAAGCTGGTACTGCAATCGAAGGATAGTCTGGGAATCGAGTTCAGGATTGAACCACAGGGCATTGCGGCGGCCTTCGTAAGTTGAGCTGCTGATAGTCGCAGTCAGTGCCGTTAGAGAGGAAGGAAGATTTTCCAGCAGTTCTTCCTGACCGACATAGTTGAAAAGATCTTCTACTTTTGCCGTGAGATTCGATGACGGCTCGATAAGACCACTGTAAAGCAGCACACTCGACGTAACCAAAGCGCCTGGCGGATCTACTAGGCCTGCTGCCTCACTGCCGAACGCCGACTCCAGGGCTTCTGCGGACGACTCGAACACCAACGCTTGTCCCCCGGGACCTGCGACATTGAACTGAAAGCTCTGCAATGCCTCATCCGGTTCAAGTTCTGGGTCAACCATGGCGGATACCTGGCCGTTTTCGCCGAAATTGCCCACCCATTTCACCCATTCATCCGAAGCATCACATGGTGTGTATTCATCAGCCTCTGGCGTTTCTTGTAGGATAATTACTTTGTTTTTCAAACGAGATACAAAGTCGTCAATTGGAAGGTCTTTTTTGAGAATTAATTTGTTGGTGCCGCCGCTCTGCCCGGCATCGCTGGAGTAGATATAATACTTCTGATCCGACATCCTCAGAGAGTCTTGGGACTGGTAGGCACGACTAAGTTATTTTTCGTTGCTCACTGAAATGGAGGGGCGATTTTAATGGCAATCGGAACACTGTGGCCAGTTTCGACATTCAATTTAGAAAAGTCCGTATCTTTACCCACCAGAGTACAAGAAAAATGAAAGCAACGGAACAGGGAGACAGGTAAGAGCGTGGAAGGATTGAAGACGCCTGGTGCGTGGCACTAACTGTGACAGAAGTCATATGTGGCTAGACAAATTGGGTCGCAGTAATTGCAGAACCGTTGCATGCATACTTGTATGATTGAAATACCGATACGGCCGTAGTCGTCACGTACGTACGGCATTTGTAATTACAACTGACAGGGCAGGGTTCATGCAACACAATTCCTAGCGAGCCACTTGCTCCAAGCCAACCGACACGCAGCATGCAGCATGCAGTAACACTGCACCTTCACTCTCCAGACGCAAGAAAAAGAAACAAAAAATCAGCGGAAATGACTCATAGTCCTGTGATCGCCATGACAACTTTTTCGTCAGGCCCTGGTGACGCGATTGAGACGCTTCACCTGAAGACCAGACACACCTTGGGTCCCAATCGTCCGCAGGATCTCATTCTTAATAGTAGGACTCTCAATATGCCAGACGTCAGATTCGATCTGGTTCCAGAGGTAGTACTTGCTCTGGGACTCGATAAGGTACATGCAGTTGCCTGACTGTCGGGTGCTGCATAGAATCGGCGTTGGATTTGCCAGGCCATACGCAGCGGCCATGGTTCGAGCGGGACTTTCGGGATCGCTCCAGTACTCCGAGTCCAAATCCAATTCCTCGGGGTCATCGGTCCATTCAGAGGTGACCTGCTCTGTTTAAGTATGAAAAGACACTGCATCTAGAGACGGACTCACTGGGTTGGGATTCATGATGCACTGTAGATTGTGCGAGTATGGAGTGGGAAAACCCTTTCTGTTTCTCGTTTTTCAGAAATAGGTGAAAATGAGGGAAGCCTGAAAAATTAGACGAGAGAAGCAGGAGGAGCTGAAGTGCATGCCGGGAAGGACAAAAGAAAATGATGAGCCATTTGTAATATACATATGTAACAGGAATGTGATACGCAATACATGGACGATACATATGTACACTGCATCAATACAGGAAGCTCCACAGGGCACTGCATTGACATTGTGTACTACGCCAGTTGAAAAATTAAGGCCGTTAAGCATGATGAACTGGTGCAAGGAGCAGACAGAGTGACTCGGCATGGTTCATTGCAGCTTGACCGACCTACTGCAGCCGACCTCCTCTCCCTGATTCATTCCGTCCATGCTTGCATCGAGATTAAAACCCTCTACGAAGCAACTGCTGTTATACATGAGAGTCTTTCGTTTACAATTCACAGCAAAAGATCGGTAAAAATGCCTCCCAATAAGCCTAAGCAGCCAATAAAAGCGTTCAACAATACGCTCGACATGGTCGATGCTTACACGTGGAATATCGATGCTGTAAGCCTCATGTATGCTATGACAGAGTGTGAAACATATTAATCCTAGCGAGGTTGAAGATCTACGACTGGATAGGCGAGGTTGCTGACGACCCGGCCAAGTTTGGAGCTCCCGAGAAGGGAGACGACCTGGAAGCGAAGAAAGCCCATCTTGAAAAGATCAAAAAACAGATCATCAAACTGGGGTAGGGTCTAAGCCAAGCTTCCCTCGGTGACTCACTGACAAGATATGATTACACGCAGTGTCCCAGCACCTCGATGGAAAGGCGGCGAAGAGTATCAAGATGCGCAATTGACGCCGAACCAGCATATTCGGCGTCGGCTCAATACTAACAACGTGCCACCGCCGCCAGAGTACACTTATATAGAGCCTCCAATAGAAAAGTCACCCTTTGAGGTAAACGGTTCCGAAAGCCAGAAGAAGAACGGAAATGGGGCGGCTGTACTATTCCCATCTATGCTTTTCTGGAACCCGTGTGATTTGATGGGACTGTTTCTATCGACAATCGGACTCGCCCCCGCGGCGGCCAACAAGGAGCAGTTCTATGTTCCACTGTTAGCTATGTTTGGTCTTTGGTGTGCGAAAATAAGCCCGCCCGTTTGGAAAGATGGAAACTCTAGGAACCACGGCAACTATTTCCCGGCAGTGGTGCAATGCACATGGGGAAAGGCTCAAGGTGTTCCCGGCGCACGGGATGACTTCTTCCTCGGAGCCTCATACTCGGGCATTTCATTAGCAGGCCCCTGGTCTCCTACGCAATATTTTTGGGATCGAGTTGTCAGATACGAGCGGTTTAAACTCGTGCCTATTCAGTCGCTGAAATTTGACGACAGCCCTGCTCGAGGGAACGGTAGCGGAACGGCAGACGTTCCGGGCCACCGCTTCGGCAATTGTGCAGAGACATATCCCTTTACGAATATGATGAGGTATTCCAAGCACCTTCCCAGAATCATCTCCTAATATAGGCAGACCTGTCTGCTCCCGAAGTCTGATAGATTGGCTGACTTGCCCTGGCAGAGACCCGAGTCATAACCTCCAGGGAATAGCTATCAATAGCAGATATACATCCTACCCAGCGCCCGAAAAGAAAATCAAAGACAACATTGTGGATCCGTGTTTTAATTGTCAGGATTGGATCCTGCGCTGTCGAGGGACGGTAAACAATTTTGCGAAGGCAGGTACAGTGAAAAAGCTGTGGGTGCCACCCCCAGCGATGTTTTAGGAGCAACTATAGAGGGAGAATTCATTGCCGGGAAGAACCATCCGCGGGAATATACCGTATGAAGCGAAGTCATAACTTTGTCTTTTTGTCTTACATGCTTAGGCCATAATTTTTCTTTTTTTTTGCTCTCCGTAAACAATAATGGTCGTGCACTACAGTATCTATTATTGTCGTCTACATGTATACTTGCCCGCTTAAAATCTGCACAGGCTAACGGATTAGGACGTACTGATAACTGAACAAACAATTTGAGGTTAAAGTTATTGCATGAATTTTCTCTCAATTTCTGAAAATGCTAAATAGATTATACTACGCTCGTTATACTAAATCAACTGTTCCGGCAACCGTCCGTCACGCCTTGCTGAGGGCTGGTGCCCACAGATAGTACTTAGTGATATTCTTAATAATCCTCTCGGGCTTCGCTCCCGTAAGTGCTGCTTCCTCCTCTCCAGCTTTGATTCTGTCTGCGTCCCATCCCATCTTCGAGGCGAGCACGTCCGTCCAGAGGTCCACAGTCCTCTGCGCTGCATTAGCCTCGATCCCTGGTGTTTCCCACTTTGCCTTCACACGTGCCCATTGCTCTGTGTCCTCCGCGTTGTCACCTTCAAAATCTTGGTCTCTAACCTCCGTGAGGGGGAGTTCGAATGGTCCCAGGCTACCAATTTGAAAGAGGGCAATCTCGTAGGCAATTGTTTTATCCTCCGCGCATATGGGCTGAGGGTTGGCAATGCGGATACCCGTCATGTGGTTGAGCGTTTTGCCGGATGTCCCATTGAGCAGGGCCGATGGGTTCCTTGTTTTTGAAGGATCGGTCCGCGCATCGTCTATATTGGTTAGATTTGTGGTTCGCAAGTAGCCAGCTGATAAAGCTGAGGGCCTGAAGGTGAACGAAGTGGAGGAGGGGAGATACTACTCACATTGACCCCATAAAGCCTCAGGAACATCTGTATAAATCGCGTCGTAGTCGTCCCAAGTTGGATCCGGGAAGTCGGTGTCTCTAACAAAAAGCTCAGTGGGCTGAATAGTCACCTTTAAGGACGATGTAACGCCATTGGCATGCATGGGCTTTGCGTTCACCGTATGGTTTTTTCCCACGGTTTTTCCTTCGTAGGGTTCTCCGCCGTAAGTCTTGGTGATAACGACGGCTTCTTGGACAACGAACTTGCAGGCGATGGAGAAAATAAATCCGCCTGGGCTGACAACCCAATGGTCGCCGCTGGGAGTCGACTCGATCTCGTACTTGGGCACAAGGCCCTCCTCGATCGAAAACACGTGCAGCTTGGGCTTCTCTTCTTCGGTTACAGGACCTTTGATAAATGCCGCCGCACCTGGTGTATCAGCTTGAGAGACGAGGTCGATGAAGTCCTGCAGCTTCAGTGGTGCCGGACCAGGAATCGACTTGGCACCAAAGTCGACGTCGAAGCCAAATACCCAAAAGTCCACATGCACGGTACCCTGGATGGGGGGACCTCTGATGTATAGTCTCGCGCCGATCTGGACGCTAATTTTGATAGTGACGAGCCACAGGTCCAGCGTGAACTTCACTCCCACGGACACTCCGCCCTCGGCGATGAAGTAGAACGGCTTATAGTTGATGAGGAAGTCGACGAATGCGTTGAAATACGCATACAGAGGCTTCAAGCTCAACTGTACATCTAATCGGCCGCCGCCCATACAAACCTTTGGCGTAATGGCGAAGTATGCCTGGCCCGAAATGCTGATTGACTTTCCGAACTGCCAGCTGATGCCTAGCCGAGAGGGCTCGGGGTACTGTGGAGGCTTCTGGTACGCAGGATGGAATCCACCGATACTGAAGACCCAATCACCGCGTAAATTAGGATCTCTGCTATCGAACCAACTGTATAGGGCAAATCCACCTGTCAAATGGCAGCTGGGGTCTAGGATGTAAGATGAGGGGGTTAGTTCGCCCTCGATCTTCAAGATACCCGTTTCGAAATTTACACTGGCAATTATTCCTAGCTGAACAAAGGCAAACTGACGCGGGCTCCTGCCGCCAGGAATGCTGGCCGTGGCAACAGCAAAGATTCCCAGTTCTACGTAGGGATTCCACTGGACCACGACAACTGCCTGCACACTAAGGATCTCAAAGGCCTTGACGGTAAGTCCAGCCGCAACCCAGAAGGACTTTTCCTGGTGGACAAACCACGAAGTTTTCAAGAGGGACTCCAGAGCGTCAACTGGGCTTGTACCTCCACCAGGCGGGTTCGCTGCTCCCTGGGCAATCAACGGAAACTCCATCACATTCTTAGCCGTGGGAAACTTCAGCTGACTGTTGAATCCAAAACCGCCGCAGATTCCCTCAATGGATGCAAATTGAAGAGTTATGAGAGGGCCTTTCAGAATGCAATACACAAACACCGTTTCAAACTCCTTCGGGGTCTTGATTTTCCCATAGTACCCAGCAGCCTGGAAGAGCCAAGGGATGAAGCTGATGACCAAGGCACCTGCGTATGATTCTAGTTCTGTCGTTTTTAGTAACTGCAAAGCCCCAGAGATCTGGATGGGAGGCTTATCGAACGATGTCTGTAGCCCTTCAAGCGTGGGATACGGCGTTGGGAGATTGTGTAAGCTGTACCTTTCGCCGTCCGATTCGGAGCCATCGGCGAAGTCAAGGTTGATGCTTAACCCGAGGACGGAGAATTCAATCGGTCCAACCATCACGGACGCATCTAAACGAATCGAGAGAATGGATTGTTTTTCATTTAAGCCGGTAGAGTACCGCAGGCCAATATTCTTGATACTGAACACCCCCATGACCTTTTGCAGGGACACCATGCGCGAGCCGGGGTTATCAGCGCTGTCCTGTGGTGACTTTGACTGGCCGCTTTTGGCCTGGCTGAAAGCGTAGTCAAGAATCACTTGCGATTGTGCCTGGGTTGTATTCGCGACTACCATGAAGTGCAGTCCGTTTAACAGTGCTGTTGTGGTGGACGTTTGGTCTTCGTTCTTGTCTAGGATCTTGTACGGGATTTGCGGCTTCTTCATCCTACTGAGTAGGCTATTAATGTTCTCGATCTCTCCTTTTACTAATCCCTTTGCATTTGGCTGAAGGGATTGTACCCATGCGAAAACAATCTGTTCAAATGGCTGAGGGATATCCCCGAGCATCGGAATGGGAGTCGCAGATAAGTTGTCCAGAGAAGCCAGAACAACACGCCTTAAAGGTGCGTTTTTTGCTATTTCCCGGAATTGAAGGTATTGGAATGTCAAGTTACCGATTTTCCATGTGGCAACAAGAACCAGCAGGTCTGACTCCTGCTTTATGGATAACCCGATTTCGTTTTGTCCGTTCTTGGGGATCACAATATTCACTAAGAAGTCCGGAAGACCCAGGTCCCCAGCTATGCCACGGATCATCTCGCCAGCGTTGGATTCCACGTCTTCATTTTCGTTGGCATTCATCGTGGCATCGAAGTTCCAAACTGCACCATCGTGGGTAAAATCGAGAGTCAAGCGGTGCTTGCCAACCAGCAAGTTGCCGGCGATTACGAATGAGGATGCTTTCGCCTGCCCTTGTCCTAGTTGATTGTACTCATAGGTCACCTCGAGCTTTTCCACTAGGATCTTCTCGAGCAATGGGATGACTGCGTCCTGCAAGCTTGATGGGAAAAATTTGGCCATAGTAGCGCCGTAGAAGTAGTGCATTGAACCTTTTAGAATCCACGTCCGAGCAAGTGGAGATGGATATCGAACGGCACGAGCAAGTCTAAGTCCGTCTGCAGATCTCATAGTTCCGTTATACATGTAAACACTTTTAATTGTGTGAACATTGTCGCGGGAAAGCCAGCCCTGTAGTTCTGTCTTCTCATTTTCGACCAGGTTTCCTCCAAAATAATGGGATGCACGCGGAGGTGACGTGTCCCACATCATCACAGCAGTAATCGCGTGTGTTTTGTTCCTGCTATGACTGGCCACTGTAGTAGGTTTGTTCGAATAAGAAGTAATTGAAAAGTTGAATCCATCCGCGGCCACACAGTACATGGCTGGCCACCCTTTCTCAGGTGGATTCTTCACCAGGAGCACAGCGGGAGTTACGTCCGTAGTATCCTCGGCGGGGATTTCCAGTATTGCATTATTTAAGAAATTCGCACCCAAAAGTCCGTTTCCTGATGTGCCATGGTGTCTGGCAAACGAATAACGGGACTGCTGCTTAGAATCCCTGCTCAACGCCGACTTGATAGACACCGTACCAGAGGAATAATCAAAGCGGCTTTCATCATCCGATCCAGTGCTATTTGTGTTGCTCCCTACTAGGGAGTAGAAATAAGTCAACGGCCGTCCAGCCTCGTCCCATTTGAGCCAGGGTATTGGGGTTCGGGTTGACAGGCCATGCGCTTGAACCACCGCATCATGGAGGAAATTTGCAATTCCGTGTTCATTCGATCCTGTCACGACAATGGAGGTGAGTTTTAGCCGTTTGTATGGGCTTAGGTTGTAGCTCTTTTCAATCCACTCGAACGTAGACAGAATTGGTCGCCTGTCGATCGTAGATTTGCTATCGTGCATTTTAACTCCTTCCAACACGCCATTTTCACTATCAATCAGCACTGCGGCGCGAATCTTGTCTTGCACGCCGATTTCTCTCTTTTCAACAAGCAAATAGAGAGCACCGTCATTTCCTTGACTGATTGACACAGGGATCGCTTCAACGATGAATTCCCCAGCCATGGTCAGAGCAGCTGCAGTGTACGCTTCTCTATATCTCAACTAGTGGGGTTTGGTCATTAAGAACCTCAAGATATAACTAACTTGCACCGCTTAGCAATGGGCATGAGTATGATTCTAGCGATAATAGGGTGCTCTTAGCAAATGGTTGCCAACAGGGAAAAGCCGGCGGACAATTGGTCCTGTTCTACGCTTGCGCTGGGGAGCAAATCCCTTCCTGTGCGCAATGCAAAGCGGTTATTTTCTTTTCTTTTGGTTTTCATTGTCTTATGCTCCTCTTGCTTATTCAGTTTCTCTATTTGCCATTTCCGGAGGAAAGACCGCTCATCTCAAACGCTTCCTCTATGGCTGGCTGCATGGCGGCCTAAAACCGGGCTTCATACTAGATGAGTTGACCATTTCCCCGAGAATGAGAAAAAAATCACTTGAGTTATTTGGAAAATGCACTGCAGTCAATGCATACAGAGGTGCAGACAGGACAGGGGGCAAAAAAATGAATAAGTCACATGTAATGCATGTGCATGTGCTTTGCAGATCCATAGCTCCTCCTCAGCCAGCCATGTTTTCCCCTCTTAGATTAGAGCATGGCTTGTCCACAAAATTTGAGGGTTACTACATATGTAGAATCAATGTATGATTACAGTTTCTTATTACATCATTTATCGGGGACGTGGTTTACGGCTGTAATTACGGTTTCATACAGCGTACGGCACGGTACGGTGTATGCATATGAAGATGACATTCTCGACCGAGAGAGATCGTCGATGCGTTCTGCATGAAATGTGAACCCCAGAAAAATGACACATTGCATGTACGAAGCGATTCTCTTACGTTTTCCAAATAGTAACATAGAGAAAGAAAAATGGCCATCCGAGGGATTTGATCTATGTGTCTGGTGCAGTGTTGCTTCAATGCGGAAATGATATCCGGGTTCAGCTAGGCTTCGTTCTACACTACGACGATAAAATGTTAAGAAAAGAATATTAGATTTGCTGATGGGTCTACATTGACTTAACAGCAACGAAGATAATTTTGTAAATACGTTGCTTGGAAATTTGAAATTTATACTAAATCCAAATGAGGAAATGACAGACAATTCTGAAGGTCCAACAGACCAGCAGTCACCCATTTTGATAATTCGTAGCTATTTTTCACCTTCTCTACTTTGTGTCATGTTCTTCAGAATCAGGCTTTGTAACCGATTTCGTCATCTGAAGGAATCCCTCGATCGCAGTCAATGGGCCCTTTTCCCACGTAGGCACCGGATCAATTTTTCCAACGCTGAATGCCATATATTTCTCTGTGTCCTCATCGTCGCCGTCATTATAATTGGTATTCCTCGAAGTAGCAGAGTTTGCGGAATCGGGGTAGGGCTGGAGCCAGCTCCATTCTGCTACTGCCAGGGACGGCAGCTTGACTGTTCCAGCCATCTGTTGTCTCTCATCGGACAGCTTGTAGTCGTACTCGAGCTGCTTGTCGGCGTCAAACCCTGCCACATCATCGGTAACGACCAGCGGACCGAAATGGAAGAATGCAGTCATGCTCTTGAGAGCAGACTCCCAGGTCCAGGGTGGCAGAGAGAGTTTTTCATTAGGGAGGACACTAGAGTAGGCATTGACGGGCGCGAATGGGTCCATGATAAAGCCGAACGTAGTTAGCATGTTGTTTCGATCGACTATGAAACTTCTGGCAGCCTTGCTAGCTTTATTAGTGTGTCCATAGTCGGCGGGATTCAGCCAGAATGCCTTCAGTCGTGGGAAATCAGCCTTGTCGACTTGATGGATTTGTGACGTTGGATATTTCTCGTTTGGCGGCAGTGGCGTGTAAAGATCACCAACTTCGAGCCCGTTTTCCTCCTCGGGGCTGGCACGAGCGTGAAAATACCCAACGAGGCCGTCATGAGGCCGGTCAACGTCTCCCAGTTTGATAGGAAACTTATATTGGATGGTAGGTTCTTCTGGTTCCTCACCATCACCACCGTCGCCGCTATCATTATCACTAGGTGGCAACAGCGAATAAGGAGGCTTTATATTCGGCTGATTGCCCTGTGTCGACTGGTTTTTCTTGATGTCCGTGGCCAGCTCGAGAGAGAGTCCAACATTGACCAATGCGAGAGGTCTGCCGATCAGAGAGTTGACACATTCGCTATACGCTCCCGGAACCGAACGCGAGTTCTCGGTTGCACGATTAATGAGATTCATGAATGCGAGGAGATACTCGCGGGCCTTCTCGGACCCAGTAAACTGATCGATGAGGTGATCCATCTGTCGGGGGACATGAGAGCCCTTGGGAGGCTTGAACGGCAACCATTTGTCCATCGCTACGGTGCCTTCAGGGTTGTTGGGTGCCGCCACGCGTACCTCACGATAGAAGGTTCCGTCGTGGAGGAAGAACTGGACTCCATAGTCGACGTAGTTGACCAGCACCCAGCCCCAAATTGGATTTTCCCACTCGGTGACTGGACGCCAGTCATTATCGCCATCGCTATTATCAAAGGTGACAAAGTCCATATGCAGACGAGATGGCTGGTTCATAGCCGGTGGCATTTGGACAAATTCGTTCTTTCCGTCATTTTCCGGTTTTTCAACAACGTTGGGAAGTAAGTCCGCCAACTTACTCTTATATATCTGCGGCTGATAGTACTCACTGATACAAGGGAACACAGGAGGTGGCCCGGTAGCGAATCTTCTGGGGTCAATTACGCAAGCTGCTTGTCCGAACTTGTCGATGATATTCAGCTTGGTAAATTTAAATTGTCCGTGGGTCACGGGTTTAAATGCAGAATATTCAGACGGTGGGATTCTCGTCAGTGATGCGTAAGGAGTCAAGTCCGTCTCCATTCCCATGAGGGTGACTTCGCCAGCGTTGATGCCGATTGTCTGAGAGTCCTCGTAGGCTTCTTCCAGAGGCATGGGCTGGGCACCGGGAACTCGTACATTTGGCTTCAAATGGCTCCCCTCATTGAGAGTCAAGAGATGGTTGGTGAAGCCATCCAGGGGGGCGGAAACAAAAGGTAAACCGATGATGTCCTTCAAAAGCTGCTCCTGTTCCTCTGGGGTGAGAGGCATTTGATTCTCCGGGACAGAATCAAAGAGCTGCATTAGCTCAGCCTGCAACGAAAATACCGGCTGCGGTAATAGGAGGATCCTCCCGGACACCGTTCGGCGGTCCTCGATCTCCTGTTCCCAGAGTGGAGGCAATTGCTGGTTTTCTGAATCCTCCTGTCTAATAACGTACCGAAATCTTTTATCTTTAGAACCCCAAGAAGTGCTCTCTTCCATCTCCCATTTCGCGTAGTCGATGTGGTAGTATTCAGCCTCCCATTCGAGGAACAAGGGGAACCAGGGTTGCTGGTTTTTCCATTGATCACGATCATCATCATGGTACAGAGGTGGCGCGGTTTCCTCATCCTCGTCGTCATCACTGTCACCGTTTTCTTCATTGGACTCGGCATAGTGTAGAAATTCATCAATTAACAGGCTCGCCGTTCTTTGCAAGTCGTCAGGAAGGCTATGCAGGCCGTAATTGTCTTCGTCGTCGCGGGCACGCAGCCGAGACTCATAGCTGGGGATCTGGAAGTCTAGGCGAACCTTGAGAGGATTGAGATAGTCAAGGGGCCAGCCAGATTGGACATTTCCAACGAACAGGGTAGGATCAAATTGCTGGTTGAACTGAGGGGTGATGGCTTCCTTCAGCGACAGATCTCTCTTCTCTATCTCATCTTTACCTTCGTCCAGACGTATTTGCTGCTGCTCTTGCAAGCTGAGCAACTGGCCTATCCTCGTTTTCAGATCCTCGACGGTCGCCTTGTACGCACCATCGGCATCCTCGTCACTCCTATCCGAATCCGTGGAGAACTTCCACCACACGGAGAATAGCTCCCACTGGAGTAGCTCGATCTGCCGCGTCGTTGCGTCGAAGAGAGCCTGGCTCTCGTTCAGCTCGGCCAACAGATCGGCATCCTCTTGCTCCGGCGCTGCTGCCGGGTTGCGCTCGTCAATCTGGAGCACGTAACGGGATCCACCGGCAAAGTGGGAGAAGTTGTAGTTCTGCACCTCGTCGGAAGCTGCGCGGCGATCCTCAATATTCTCACTCTGGGCGCGCAGTAAGTCATTGAGCTGGTCCAGGGTGTGCTCGATCCCCTCCTGATGCCCGCTGACGTAGGAAAGCAAGGAATCAAGCGGTGTGGTGCCCACGGCAATTGGCATCTTCTCCTGGAATGCCCCGGCTACGTCGTCTGCGGGAATGTGAGGGCGAGTTGCCTCATCCCACTCACGGTGCCAATTTACGTTGTACATGGCGCCATGGCAGAGCACCCGTGCGCTCGTTTCATCCTTCAGCCACTCTTTGACTGCCTCGGGAACGTCATCACGGTCTGCCTGATGGAGGGCCAGCGAGAGTGCGTCCAGACGTTCTCCTCTTGTGCCTGCATCCCTCTCCATATGCAGAATGTCCTTGGCTGGCGTACTCTGCCAACCCAAGACGTAGTAGTCAGCGGTGGCCGACGTAAGGCACTCGGCTCCATCCTTGATCTCAAAGTTGTCCAGCATGGAGAAGACATTGATGTTGTGGGGTTGGTAGTCGGCGAAGAGCTGGTTGGATGAATTCAGCACGCCTAAAGACACCGAATTGCCGTTGTTGTCGCTCTCCTGCCACTCCGATGCCTTCCTGCGCTCGCCAATGAAGATCTCGGCCTGGTCCTGGATGCTCGGTGTTCCGCCTTCGGCTTGACTACTCGTGTCGATATACGGTGAGAAGGTGGCCTCGATGTCGTACGGCTTTGGGACTTCCGTATCGTCGAATTCGTCGATCTTGTGCATCCAGTCACTCGCAACTACCCACGCCGTCACTTTGGCCATATCGGCCGTCTCGGGCTTGTATCCATCATGCAGCTTTCGAACGACCAGCCAGCGGTTTGGCGTCTCTGGGAAGGTCGGAGCCGCCGGGTCAGAATCCTGATGCAGGCCCAGGTGCGGGGTCAGGCCCCTGCGTTTTCTGGATCTCGTGTTGTCATTGTTGGTGGCAGCTGCGCCAGAGCGATAGACTCGCGGGATCATCCAGTGGAGATAGACGCCCAGGCGCTCGGTGCGAGTGTTGTCCTGGTCGACAGGCCCACCGACATTTGTCACACGCAGGTTCTTGGATGCAGGCGCTGCAGCGTGAAGCTCAGTCAGTCGCATGACATCATTCTGCAGCGTGCGATAATCCTGCAGCCTCGGGTCCTTCAGACGCAGATGGCTATAATTTGGCTGGACCAGCGGCGCTATCTTGGCCTTGTCGGCGTCTTCGCCATCGCAGGCGCTGGGGTTCAGGACAAAGGCGTCCAGTTTAAGGGGGAGCACCAGCGGCGAGGCCATCGTTTAATTGCTATTGTTGCTACCGTTGCTAGTGTTGTTGCGTGCTTCCGAGTCGGTGAAGTCAATGGTGGTGGTTATGATGATGCTGGATTTGGCATCATTTCAGTTTTCTTGTTGGCAAAGATGGGCAATTTATGCGCTTGCCCGCGGATGGGCACGACCCAGTCTCGGTCAATGTTGTTGTAGCTAGATTGACGTTCAAAATGTTGTGGCGGCTGTATGTGCAGTCATGCATGCCTCTGCAGATATAAGAGTGTTGCTGCTACAGGGAAAATCATTATGTGCTTTGTGACAGGTCAAGTCTCTCTGTAGCCTGTGCAGTGTTAAGCAGCCATACCAAGGTCTCACTCTCTATCCTGTACCACTCAGGCACTGTACTAGCCTCTGCAAATCAGCATCACACGGTGAAACACGACAATACGTGAGGCATAAGAGCACCTGTCGAACTTTAAACCACTATACCAAAAACGGCGCAACCCTTATTTAGTAAGGATTCTAGTCGCATATTATTTCTGACAGCACCTTATGCGCACGTGCATACATACCGTACTGTACCATACTGTACCTACCGTATCTTAAATACGTTAATACGTCGTATACATGTAACGATCAGCTCCGTTGGTTACATGTATTGATCGCTTTTTAATTTTATTCAGATGTAATTGATTAATCAATTGCTCGGATTTTCGTGAGATATACGCCTATAATCTCCTCAGCGCTTGTCTTTCTATTTCGATACAAAGTGTAGACGCGTGGGTGCTGAGATATACACACAAACAGGTACGGCGTACGCTATACTAACACTAAAGTACAGACCTGTCAAGCAGAATTACACTAATACCAGAGAAAACCCACTAAGGGATCCCTTTTTGGTCAAGTGGTTTAGTGCGCGACAAGACCTGATTCTGCCCCTTGATCATGTTTTCATCTGTGCATATGTGTAGATGATTGAATTAGTGTAGCAATATGTAAAAATATGCAACAAAACGATCATCCCTATACTGCTATCTTCCGCTGTCAACTACCGCGGACTGCGAACGGAGTACAGCCGCTTCACTCCGGACTACCAGGTGCAGGATTCGACATTTAAACCGTCTCGATCCAGCTACATACAGGAAAATGGGGTAGCTCCTGCATGAGGTGTGACATAGTACAGGATACCAACGTTGCAACCAGTCATCTGCCTGGGTCCCTTTGTTTTCCTTGCGTTTCCCCTCCGAACCCTAATTTGGTGGCCAAGTACCTCTAGGATGCATGCATTTGCATATGCATGCGTTGTGGCTCCACGCCGACTGCTCAAGCTGCACTAGTCCCTCGCTCCGAATGTCTAAATATTTGCTTTCATTATGGATATTTAATTTATTTCCTGTCTACGAGATGTCTACTTGTGGCAGTTGCCATTCTTTATGTCATGATCAACGAGCGGTCATTTCAATTATGATTTTCCGGTGTGTGTAATGAACGACAGAGCAGTTGGAAGCACGAAAAAAAGAAAAAAGAGATCAAGCATGATGCATTGATTGCTCATGCAGCGTGAGCCTGTTGAAAAACCTAACTCAATACGGTCGGCGCGATGTCCACCGTCACGTCATCGATCAACTGCACCACTTCGCCTGTATCCTCGGTGTAAAATACATGTACCTTGTTTGCGTCCTCGACAGGAACAACAGCCAGCCATGGGAAGTTTGGGACGGTGCGTCTTCCGACCTGAGACGGGGTGGTTTGCCAGGACCTGCTCATGTAACTGTACTTGATTCGGATGATCCGCTGTAGACCGTCGACATAGTACAGATAGAGATACTGGGGTGTCTCAGCCTCGTTGTTGTTCAAATGGGCGACCGCAACCGGGCTGTTTCTCCAGCATTCAATGTCGGGAATGCGTTCCGCTGCGGGAGATTCGACTGTCAATACCGATCAACACCGCAGGTGGCGGGCACTTACATGTTTGGTTTCCAATGTCATATACATGGATGTAATTGGAATTGGTTTCCGGCTGGAAGAAGATCCGAAGATTTCCGCTACCTCTCATCTTCACCGCAGCCAGCATAGAGTTAATATTAGCATTGATGTCGTAACGCTGGTATTGTGGCGAGTATTTGCTCAGGTTATAGCGCACCAAACTGGCCTTCGCTACCGTCTCTGAGCTAACATGGGTCAGTGAGAAATAGCCCGGCATGGCTGAGCGACTTTGCTTCGGGAGAACAGCTACGTACGCTAGATAGAAGACATAGGCCGAGTCCTCCGAGAAATCTGAAATGGCTGCTATTGCTGGCTGCCACAGCCCCTGAACAAGTCCACTGCTCACATCATCAATAGGGGTCCACGTTGGGCTTAGCTGAGTCACGATGGAGCGATCATTGTCGGCTTTGGAGAAACCGAATACTCGGGGCTAGAACGTAGAAACAGGTCAGCCAATTGACTGCAGCACAGAGGATAATACGGACCGCTCCGTTATAGAAGGCGATAACGAGGCCAGAGGGGGCTAAGCGGAGATTGCTGGTTTCGATATTGAAGTCTCTGTACGGGGGATTCTCCCCTCCGGTTAGAGATCTGCGGTAGACTCCCAGGTTGGTCAACGCGCTGTTGTTAGATGGATGTGAGTAGAAGAAAACCAGGGCTTCGCGTGGGTCGAGGGGGTTTTGTGCTGCTGCGAGAGACATAGTTTCACGGGATATAAAATCAAACACTGATATATGATCACGTATGAATCACTGTAGGAAAATGCAAGGTTAAGCTTAAATCAACTGATGTTCAGAACCGTATCATTCGTATGGGAAGATAAAGTAAGTCCATTTTATACATCTAGCAGGCCCTAGAGACCGATGTCGGATCTTCAGCAGAGGCCAAGCTGCCGCTGACACAACATTGAATTCATCATACAGTTGACGATTGAGCCCGAAACCGGGTCGCCTCAATGTGCTAAGACATGCATACCATCGTATGCATCACATTCCTTCAGCAGCCACTAACACTTCATGCATGACCAGGAACAGTCAGATGAGCGCAGAGATGCCCAAGCCATCAATTGATCTGCATGGCTCGGCCCGGACCGCGCATGTAGGCATCGCGCTGACCGTACGAGTGCAGATTGTCTGATGGCAAAGATGCCGCCCCAAAAATGGCGTGAGTAGCTGTCCCCAAGCAGAAAGCAGATCCAATCTAATACCACACCAACGCCGTGCAGGGTAATATCAATGGTAGCAGAATTGCCTCTCTCTGTCTCTCTCTCTCCCGCCAGCTTCAACAGTTGCAGGAACAATCTCAGCATTTCACAATCCCACGTAGACAACGAACATCGCCCATCATGGTTGTAGTTCGGCGACGCAAAGGCCTTTCACCACGCTATCTCACCTTCCGTCACGCCCGATGCCTCCTGCGCCGCCAGGGCCTGCTCTCGTGTGATTCTGAGTACATTCAGCCAGGCCACCAGAGACTTCGCTCCTACCACGTCCCGGGACTGGTAGGTGGCGAATATACTATCACTACCGAACAAACAGTCACCCCCCCAGGTGGGCAGGGAACAACCTTGGAAAGTCAGCAAACCTTCTATGTCGACACCCCAGAGTTTCAACTGCCAGAAGACATCATCCACTCGGTCTATCCTCCCCAGGGCCACGAAGAGTGGGTGACGTCCCTGCCTCATATAATTTTCAACAAGCCGTCGTTGCCCTGGGACTGGGCAGCAAGCCGGGACGAGGACGAAGAAGACTACAGGGAGAATCGAAACCGTGTTCCCTGGCTCGCACTGTTGGCTTTTACCAAAGAAGAGCTGGAGCTATCCAATCCAGACCTCACTATTTCCGATGGCATATTTAACGAACCAGCCAAGCAAACATCAACCTTTGCCGTGAACATGCCCGCTTCTCAGATCAAGTGTATCAAAAGAACAGCGATCCCACTTGCTTTAGACACAGATAAAGACATCAGCACGGACGTGATCTTGCTCAAACGCGACCTTTTCACTTCATTGTTTACAAAGTTCGATAAAATGGGAAAGGCAGTACCAAGTGCAGGACCGGACGTCCGTCCCTATCGATTCCTCGCACATAGGCGGGATGTCAACACCGAAGGGATGGCGTACGCGGCGTTGACTGCCACTGAAGATGACCAGATGTCCTTTGGAGTGATCTTTGCCCATCGCTCAGGCCCGCTTTCCACGACCCAGCCAACTCAATGCATCGTACACTTGGTCTCCATTCGCGGCGTCGAGGGGATGCAGTGGCCAATCCCTGACGAATGCCATTTTGTGGCCATGTCTTCGCTGCATAGCTGGAGCTACAGCTGCTACCCTGCAACAACACCGACTTTGTGGGAGCAATTCGCACATCTGGGGGCGACCTGTAACTTGCTGCGCTACAATCCAACAGAGGGAGACGAGAACGAGATTCGTGGTTTCCACGAAAAAGTAGGAAATCGGGTTCTAGCTCGACTGAAAAACGGTTATACCTTGACGCGTTATCGAGTCAAGACGGGCGAGTCCACCGCATGCTTCATGAGAGGTGCCTTTGTCCCGGTAAAGGACAACCAGGGTGCTGATACATGGGAGAGACTCTCAAACATCGGAAGCGATTTACAGATACTCGATCAGCAGCTGGGCATGATGGATATTACTTACTCAGCTGCCTGGCAACTAGGACGAGCCCTTGCTATTACAGATCAGGGATTCGTCGCCAGCCTTGGCCGTGTTCGCAAACAGATCTATGACCGTGGTATGCAGTACGCCCAGTTGGAAGCGCTTTCCAGCCAAGGCGTGCGAACACGCTCACAGATTATTGCAGCCTTGCCATCCATGGTGAAGTCATTGCGTCAACTAACTACCAGCCAGGCATTAGTTGCTCCGGACTACCTGGCACGGTCTCGACGTTGGCACCGGCCAGCTGTCGAGCCGATTGATCTCTCATATAAGGGTCGGGTGGCAGCCAGAGGCGGGGGAATCCGTCGAAAAACGCTGGAATCTCATTTTGAGAGAGCCGCACTGGAGGTATCCGCGGCATACGACGAAAATTCACCAGGAACTCCACTGGATGAGCCATACAATGAGTTCAATACTCCTTTTTCAGCAGACTGGATGGTTGTCCTGAGATGGATCCTTGACCGAATGGTACTGTCCAACATTCCCACCCAATATCTGGTAACAGACAGCAGCCACCTGCCACTGGAGAGTATCCGGTTTTTCCAGATTGACACGCAATGGATGAATGCTCTGATAGACGGGGCACTCAGCTTGGCGAATTACCTCGACCAAGAAGATGACTTGGTTCGGGAAGCTATATTCCACGCGCTCAACTGGTATCGCAAGACTCCAATTCGCGAGCTGGAGGACATACCTCCTCCTTTTCCTGTGTTTGGCTTCTTGATGAGATCAGGGCTCGTGACAAGGTTCCCCGATCTCAAGCTGGAAGTATTCCGGGATGAAACGCCAATTGACGACCTCATGCTTCTGCGTCACGAAATCGTCAACCCGGATACAATGCTGTGCTTGTTCGCTCAGCCTCCATCTGCGGAGTCCTTCAATAAGATTTGGTTGACTCAGCCTCCACATCAGCAGACCTTCATCTCAGGAGTATGCCTTAAACCCAAATCCATTGTGATGAGATTCAGGAAGGCTTATACCGAGTCCTATGAGGGCGACGATGTCACCGAAGAGATTCTGAACCCTAGATGGAGAAACCCTACAGCAGGGCTTGATATCGACCCCGAGGATCCAGACGAATGCCATAGCGAGGACGAGGATGTGGTGGATGTGGAGGACAACGCGGCCTTCCTGTGGGACTATCAGCCACCATCCGGACCGAAAGTAGAAGCGCGTCGCCTCTTGATGGATAATTTGGCCAAGTTCTACCTAGAAACTGCTCAGGAGAAGATGGACTCCAGTAGATTTTGCGATACATTTGCCACGTCGGCCTTGATGGGAACGCAAATGGAGTCATTCACCTGGCGCTTGAAGATCGAGCTCAAGGACGCTCTGCACCAGCAAGTCGAAGTCTCGCGTGGTCCTCGGTCTGCAATTCCTCCAGCCCCGAGTTTGAGCACCGATGAGCCTCAAACCACAACGCCAGTTGCCCCTGACCAAGCGGAGAATCCCCAATTTCGCTACGCCTTCCGCTCCACTGACACTCCAAAGGAGGATAACAATATCACCATGACTCGAGTAGCACAGGATCTGGTTTTTAGCATCAATCATACCGGCAGAGCACAGGCCTTTAATCTGCAGAGCATCACTATAACCCTGCCGCTAGGAAGTCTATACGATGAACCTCCTTGTATAATGCCATCTTACGAGGGTGCAGGTGCTTATATGCTCACCAACGTCCGCTTCAATCCCTTGGTTTCCGTAGACACCGAGAAGCTAGTCATTCGGCTTTTACCACGAACCAACCTAGGATACGTCCCCGTCGCCAACTGCAATGACCTCAGCTTCATCCTTAGCGGCGTCTTCGTGAACAGGATTTCTACGACTGCCCCTGTTCCCATGAGGGGTACGGTTAAAGAGAAGTACCTCTCGCAAAACGAACCTGTGAACCCAAGTACTGAATTGCCCACTCTGTTGATGAAGCCGGACCTTAACGATCCCGATAAATTATCAATGGCAGATCTCAGGACGTCTTTCCTTCGGTCGGTAGCAATGCGATGATTGTGCTATGTTGCCCTGCGTTTGTTCTTGCTAGGCAGCGAGTTGTTTGCCGCTCTTTATTATTGATAATTTACGGCCCGGTCATTCGAAATATCATCTTTTCGTCACAGCTAGATATTTATTCTTATACTCATTGATCTAGGTTATGATAATAATAAAACTAAGTCTGCCTGGGTTATTTTCTCGTTCCATAGACTCGAACATACATGTATACCTTGATAAATATTGTTGAACTTTAAGCTGCAAATTAGCCGGTCAAGATGGACTCTTCTATGTCTTCTGAGGCCATGGTGACTCCCCTGCAAAGTCTCTTTTCTGATTTTACAGATAAGTTCAGCGTATCGCTTCAGAAATTCCAAGATCTATGCAACTGCCACACTCCGCGTAGCGAGACTCCTTGTACTAGAACTTCCAAGCTAAATCTGGTGAAAAGTAAGATAAAGAGGCTCCGCTTAGACCAAATAGCACTAAAGCTAGTCAAAATAAAATTCAATAAGTGACGAACCTACATGAACATAAAAAACACTAATTTAATCAACAGTGATGCTATAGAGGGAAAGGTCCCACTTAAGTAAGCCCAATAAATCTGGTCAAAAATGAAGTTATACAGGTGAAGAGACTTCATGTTTAACCAGATTTAGTGCTCCTTTTGACCAGCTGGGTCCACGTTACTTGTTGAGCTTCAATTTTGACCAGACTTAGCGTGATTTCTGTGACCTTATCCAGGCCAGGTAGATCTCACCTGCACAAAAAGCACGCTAAATCTGGTCAACATGATTTTATGGAAGTAAAATAGGCCCCTGGAAGGAAATGATGCTAAATATATTCAAAGTGGTCAAAAGTGAAGACAATCAAGTATAGCATAGAATCAGACCCGGACTAGTCCCAAAGATTTGGGGTGCTTCATTTTTGACCAGGCCTTAGGTATTCAGTGAGTTCGTACCAGTCCCTCCAATCTAGACACCTGGATCACGATGATTATAATCGAATCTGCTCCCTGCTCCCCGGTACTGAACTTTAACCACCGACTGCAATTCCTACATGGGCTGGCCTGGAATCATGAGAGCCCATATCGTTATTACCTCCAAGTAATTTTTCAACGCCAAGGGTCTGCAAAAAGTCCATCAGATGGAACTAACACAGCATCAAATACCCCACGCATTTTTGCATCGATACCGATTTTCCTCCCATTTCAGTATCCACTGGCGTCATTCGCTAAGTTACGAAAGGGCCAGTCGGATTCTTCAAGCGCTCGCTAGTAAATCGCCGTAAATAAGTTTGATAATTAGATATATCGGCTGAATTAGAGGCTGATGATCTAAACGCAAGGTCGCGGCTTGATATAAAGAGTTTGTACAAGTTAACACCTTTTGCACTATGAAGTTAGAAAGCCATTATCCTGTGCTCACTATTTTTTATTTATCTTATGTCTATTATATACGAACTAAGAGATTTATATAGCTGTCACATAATTAAGGCTAATAGTGGATATAGCTAGAATATAGATATATATTTCTAAGAAAAATGCTTATATTAAACATTTTAAATAGAGATATATCCTATCTTTCCGACTAATTCAATAAGGGTGTGAATTCGAGATAGATATATTTAAGTGTTTCCTTAGATTTTGAATTTTGTTGGAATAGAATCCAAGTTATTTTCTAGTAGAAGTTTGCCCTACTTCCACAGCATGGAAATTTAATACTATCTAAATAATTATTATTAAAGTGATAATAATAGTACAAGTTGATAACTAGGAATTCAATTTAGTTCTAGGTATAGTTCAAGAGATAGTAGATGAGGTTGGAGTCAATCTCGATAAGGCAGTTGGAGTCGAGGTCGCGGAAGAAGGCGCCGAAAGGAATGAAGCCGACGTGGATGAGGTTGAAGTGGCTGAGGTTGAAGTGATTGAAGGGCCATGCGATCCACACGCTACACGGGATTCCTCCTAACCAAATGCTGGGTGGCAACCTCCCGAGTTGATAGCAAAGCATTGCCCTAACAGGGCTAGTATCGCGATAGATCTTAACATTTCTTATTCTGACAAGGCGAGAACCGCAGCATATCAGTATACTAGCTCACCAAATCTGCTGGTGGTGAGGCTATTCAAGAATCTATGGTAGCAAAGAAGAACTTTATAAACATTCATAGTATGTTTTCATGACAGATGAGAGGAATGATTCATTCTAAATGTTTTGTGAAAGAGGAATGGCAAGTGCCTGACAATGCATGTAATGTGTCGGCCGTAAAACCACTATACCAAAAAGGGGTCTGAGTGCTTTAGAAGGAGTATTAGGGGTTCGCGTATGGCATAGTTCCACATTACCAACCTCCCCTTCCCTCTCTATGCCGACTTTCGACATAAAAATCTTCTAAAGTTTTTCATGCTGTTCCCTTAGAATTGGTACTCAATATGGTGTGGAGCCTGATGCAGGCCACTATGGGGCTAAACGTGGAATCACGATTTTGTCTACTCTGCTTTACACCGATGGCACATATATGTATAAAATAGTGGGACAGTCTGTCAACCAAACCAGGTCTAGATGCGGACTATAATATGAATTAACAACAACAACAACAACAACAACAACAACAACAACAACAACAACAACTATGTACTGCCAGGATACCTTGTAGTCGCTTCAGAATAGAAGTCGGGAGAATTTAATCACTGGTGCTGTCATGAAGGGAAATGCTGGCTGTCCTCGCCATCCTGCCTCAAGCAATCTACGTATAGAATGGTCATTCTTCCTGAATAGTTGTCTAGGTCACAAGTATGACTCTGGCTAACGCAGATAGTGATAAATGCAGGACTTAAGCTCATATGAGTTGCAATGGCGATCGCCGATGATTGTACTATAAACCGTTGTCCTTGATAGATTGTAACAGCCATGGCCAAACCCACCAATGCCCGCGGAGATGCAACAGGAAAAGCAATGCATCATCTGATGACCTGGGTCTTCCATCAGCCAGCCACTAGGGCTTCTCGATTAGTTTGGGATTCGTGCTGGCATAAAGATACCATGGTTTATTGAGCAGACGCTATTGGAGTAGGGGGTTGAATAACAGGGCGTTTTAATATGTTGATTTACCTTCAGCTACGCCAGGCCCTACCCAGCTTCATGATTGACGTTCTTGATCATGCGACAATGCCCATTCTGGCATAGGTTACTGCCCTGAGAATGGGCGACGAATGTGGGCTCAGCTTTGACGGGTCCTATCACGCAATTTTATCCTGGTCAGCTGGGGTTTATACCTCAAGACGCAGTTGTGGCGGTGCGCGGATTAATTTCGCGGCGCGCGCATCAGTCCCTGAAGGCGACAGGTGAACATGTTGCATCACTAATATTAGGCTGCACAGTATTACAACCCACCATTCCTAAAGGAGATATCACATACTAACTTCAAAATCGGTTTAAATACCCACTTTCAATGGCTACCACCAGTTGCAAGGTAAATAAATATACATGTGCGAGGGGCGCAACCCAAACAATTATCTCCCATTGACCCGAGGTACAATTACCGTGACTATGGCTGGCTGAGAACGGCACGGTGGATGCATATCGATAACTTTTCTCTTCAAAAATCGTTCAACTGGTTGACCAGGCTGTTCAGGACTGGGGTAGCCTTCGATTATGAGTGCTTGGGCGCGCTATCGGGCATGCTTGTTGTCAAGTGCAACTGCTTAGAACTGGAGAAGCGATTAAAGTATAAGAAGCAGCTGCAGCACACATTACACCTAGTCAAAAAACAAGTCAGTTTGACATAAATCGATTGATCACTTCAATTCTATACAGTGAAAGGTTGCCATGTCCTCGACGGAAGAACCCCCATATTTCGATGATGCCGAACTACTTGGCAAAAGCGTTATCCTTCTGCCGGATGGTTAGTTATATATATTTCAGTTCCAGTTTTATATAACTAATAAAATTATTACAGGTCAGGATCCTTTCAACCTAGATAAACTCTTAGAGTCCACCAGACGTGTTGTCAAGTTAAGTCTGGACAAAAAGATAGTCGGAGGATCCCATGGGTCAGGTTTCAAGGTCCCAAAGGACGTCGATTACACGGGAGTCCACGAGACTCAGACGAAGTCATTACAAGTCGAAACAGGAGACGAACTCAGCAAAGAATTAGATACAAATGCTTCACTTAGCGGCAGCTATTCAGGAGTTTCAGCAGAGGCTTCAGCGAAATACAGCTACCACACGTCTCTAAACAAATCCAACTACTATGGAGTCGTTAGTCTTAGTCATGTGTCCTTCCTCTTGACCTTGCATCGATCTAGTATCGTCAAAGACAATATCGAGTCTAGCTTTATCAGTAGCGCAAGGAAGCTGCCCGAATGGAAAGACTCTGCTATACCCGACGAAGATACATACAGCAGATATCGTGAATTTTTCGAGACATGGGGAACACATGTGATCAGGACTTGCACATTTGGAGCTCGATATCAAACAAAGTTGAGAATGCAAAATCAAATGTGCAGTCCAAGACAGAACTGGAGGCTCAAATCAAGGCTGAATATAATGGTGTTGCCTCTGTGAAAGGGGAGGCTAGTGTTAAACACACAGAGGAATACAAGAGGTATATTAATACACGGAAACACACTGCTCTTGTTAAAGGTGGTGATCCAGGTTTGAATACAGACCTTAGCAACTCTCCCGATGATGCAGAGAAGTTCTCCGCGTGGGCGGACTCCATAAAGGATACGACTGCCAATGATGCCATCTCTATTTCTGTTATTGATATTGGGGAGGTACTGAAGGAGGCGAAAGAGGTGTCAGATCAATCTATTTCAAAGCGACTCAAAAATGCACTTGGGTACTTTAACAGCTTTCAACTCATAAAAGGAAACGGTTTCATTCGTTCCATCCATGACAGTCAGCTTGACTTTGATCTATCATTGAGTGGTCTACCGGGAACGAAGGTTCTTCTTGAAAAATTTGAAACCGACAACCCATCTATCTCTCTTGAGAAAAAATCTTCAACTCACTGGAAATTGGTTTCTGGGGCTTCTCCTAATATAGAGCCTGGTCAATGGGGCTTCGACGCGTTGATATCAGCTCCTCCATTACCAGTTAATGTGAAGATCGTTAAGAATTACAGTCTTCAATTCGATTCTAAAGCAGATGAGAAACCTAAATCTGGGGGTCCTAAATATGGGGAGCCTACATATGTGGAAATCCCGGATTACGGTCTTCAACTCAACTTTGCTCAAGGTGGGGGACCATATGTACATACAAAAAGGGGCCAGAAGGAGACGAAGTATCAGGTTGACTCCTTCTTTAGTCCAGGGGAATATCCATAATAGGCTTCCATTGGTAAGCGTCGAGTTATACTCTAAAACGAACAAAAAAAGATAATTATCTTGCTGTAACCAGGCTGACATCTCCAGGGCTTCAAATTGAGTATTCGACAGGGCTTAATTCCTAGAAGAGTGTGTCTCATCAAGCCCTGCAACCCGCCTTTCCAACATTTTCCTTTCATAAAGTTTGTTATTAGCAAAATGAACCATGAAGGTACTGGGATTCTTTCAACAATTAACTCCCAATTGGTGTCCTTATGTTGGCATCAAATTTCAACCTTGAGCCACTTCCGCCCATTTTATGTATTTGTTTTTCTAGGCTCTTAGCATCCAAAATACGTGATTGATTCCAAGTAAAAATCAATCAATTTTAAGATTAAAGTTTATTTTTTGTTAGTGTTCAATTGTTCCGTTAAATAGCAAGCGTTACTCTTTAACCTAGAAAATCCGGTTACAACAACTTCGACAGCCTTTGTAGTCCCTCCCATTGGGAGTAAGAGCTAGTCCCATTTCCCATCCATGATCAGCACCGCACTTGGCATCGACACTGGCACTGACATCCCCCACAACGTACCGCCGGCAAGATTGCGTTTCGCACTAGTCAGAAGGACTGCACAGCATTATTCGGGATCCCACCTGAGATTGCGATTAATACCTTGCAAAAAGCCGACAACGCCAGGCACTCACGGGGGGCGACATGCTGGTTCCTGACATGAGTTGCTCGTTTGAAGCCACTGCAGTGCCGCTGGCAGCTATTTCTGGAAGCTCACGATCCCCATGGGTACTTATTGGATTGCGGTGTCGAGCCGCCAGCCATTCCTATCCTCGTGATTACCAACGGCAATGTTGTTGCATCCCTTGTGGTTGACGTACTCATTCGAATGAGGATTGATACCCCTTCCATCGCCTAGCCAGTAAGTTCCAGCAGCATGTACAATGGTTTGGGTACGGCGAATGAATAGCATAATAATCCTTCAGAATGTCGCCCGCCTGCATAAACCGCTGGCAGGTCTTACCTACATCTAAAGGATGAACAGCACTTGAGTCTCATTTGACTAATATACATCGCAAGGCTCTCTCTCGGCAACAACTACTTCATTAGGAAGGTTTCAACCCTTCCATTCATGGCCATCAAACCTAGGTCGTCCTGCGAGTGTTCATATGATTAGAATGTCCAATCGAATATCATGGGGTGACCCTTCTAAACCGAACCCAGCCTTCTTCACAGGCATTGCATAGCATGCGGTTGAATTTCTATACTGGCTGCCAAGAGTATCAATGAAAATTGTCCGCGTGAACAGCGTCTATGATTGGTTTCTCAGGACGATGGAGGCTTTGGTGATATCGTCGGACGCCATTGTGAATAGATTCAATTCGCTCGGATTAGGAAGGAATCGATAGATAGCGTTCAAAGTCGACTGAATATAGACAGAGAAGTAATATTGCTTCAAAAATTGAAAATCAATGCGTCAAGCCGGACTCATAATTGTCGGACTTTGTACGCGTTAGAACTAATTGAGTTTAGGGGCAAATTCGACTTGATTGAGATACAAGCCTGATTTACAAAGAATTCGAATATCTAGACCTATTTATATGCGAATTTACAATATATTTCGTCATCAGGGGTAAGGTATTGAAAACTGAGAAAATATCAATTTTTGGCGTGGCGTTTTGGCGCTGTTGATCGTAATTCTGGGTATTTCAAACCTATCCCCAAAATGCTTAGGGTCAAATATTCCGATTAAAGGTCACGTGTCTTGGATCTATTGGCCTCGGTGGCTGCAACTCATCTAACAAGGAACTACACAACTTCAGCTTTTCACACGAATTCTATTAATCCAGCACAAGGAACTGCTTTTCAACTGCCTTCTAATAATTGAATTCAAAATCTTTTGGAAATGTTCGCCAAGTCCATCACAGTGCTTTGGTCGCTGTTTCTTCTTATGACCGCTGTTCAAGCTCAGTTTCAGTTCTTTGAACAAATGTTCGGAGGCAACCAACAGCACGGCCATCAAGGCGAACAAGAGGCTGCCAGTGATAGTTCCTGGTATCAACGAACCTGGGAAGGAGGTAAGTTCTGCGGTCCAATCTATCTGATATGGGAGTGCTGGCTAATTCCGTGATCTTTCACAGCACACTGCACGAGGTATCTTTGCCCTGGTACACTTGCCTGCGTCCACTTCCCACATCACTGTCCATGTCCTCATCCTGATGTCGAAGAAAAAGTTGAGCTTGGTGAAGGAAGTGCAATTTGCGTATCTCGAGGTGGATTCAAGGCCGGAGAGGCTGCAAGGAAGATTGAATTGGCCCGCAAAGGTCTCCTGTAAATACTTGTCGGTTATATGATCACCTGCATAGTTAGATTTCATGCACAAAGCTATTCTCACGATCCAATTCTTCGCTAGGTGCTCAGCTATATCGAGAATTTAGAACCTAGAACCTATAATTATATACTATGTTAGCATGGCTACTGGCTTGCCGCCCCGGCGTGGAGCTTCATAGGCTGCCAGCAGACGTCATCGGCTATCCGTCCCTCAGTGATTCTGACAACCGACATTTGCGCCACCACGAATGTTCTCTTGTACCATAATCTAACACCCTGATGCCTTCTTTTGCGCCCATCCATTTTCAGTCTTCAAAATGAGGAGAATACTGCCGCTCACGTTGCGCAGGAATTTCGCGACCAGGTACTCGCCTGCATCGCGAGGACCTCGAAACTCTGTACGAAGAAAAGATCTCCCGTCGCCTATATCTTCTCGTCGAACAGTACCTAGTCGGGACACAGAACAAAAAGTCACATCAGATACCGAAAATGTATCAGCGACCTTACGTGCTACAAATCCAGCAGAGAATACTCTGCTGTCGCCCGTCCATATACCGGAGGATCCGAACGCAGTGCTGAGAGAAAGACATCCGGCTGCGAAGCTTTTGGCGAATTCGGGTCTTGTGGTTAAAAGAGAATTAGAGCTGATGAATGTCATGCTGTGGGTTTTATGCGTGATCTTGGTTAGGATGCTTCGACTGACATCTCCCAATGCAGTGGTTTTGAACAAGCAAATCGTTATGTTATAATGGACGCCCATGGAAACCATGTCGGGTACATGGCAGAGCAAGAGACTGGTTTAGGCCGTATGATGGCTCGTCAGTGGTTCCGCACACATCGCAGTTTTACAACCCACGTATTCGATCGGGATGAGAACGAGGTCCTCAGGGTATGTTCCTTGAAATAATCATCTCTGTCAACAACTAAGTTTAGGTTATAGTTTAATCGACCGTTCTCATGGATTAACTCTCGCATACGTGTCTACGATCCTCTGGACCTAGCAGACCCTCTATACTTGCCATCTAACACCTACCACTCAACTTCGCCTACGTCCCTAGTATCTGTTGCTGGTGGTTCAAACATCAAAGTTTCCCCATTGCCGATTTCTGATATGCGCGTGGTTGGCGAAGCACAGCAGCGATGGGCTCCTTTACGCCGCAAATACGATATGTTCATTTTCCATGCGAACCCCAAACCTGAGCTCGATCTTGGGACTAAACATATCTCTGGCGGGCTATCGAAGACTCAACAGCTGCAGTTGATGTATCAATCGGGTGGAGCCAATCCCACTGGTGAATATCATCAGTTTGCCTACGTCAACGAGCCATTCCTGTCATGGGACTTTTCTCTTCGGTCCGCAGATGATCGACTCATTGGGTCGGTCAATCGTGACTTTGTGGGGTTTGCACGAGAAATCTTCACAGACACTGGCGTTTACGCTCTTCGAATGGACGCGGCGGCTCTAGCGGAAGAGAAAGAGCGCCAACACTTACTCTCACAGACAGCTCAAGGACAAGTTGCTTATACAGATAAGATGACAGGGATGACTCTAGACCAACGCGCCGTTATGCTGGCTACGGCTGTCAGCATCGATTTTGACTATTTCAGTCGCCACAGTCACGCCGGCTCGGGCTTATTTCCCTGGATGTGGTTCCCCGGCGAGTATGCGCCAGGAGGAGCTGCTGGGGGTACTACTGCTGCTGGTGAGGCAGGCGTAGCAGAGGGTTCTACTGCCGTTGGAGAGGCCGGTGCAGGCGCTGTCGGTAGAGCAGGGTCGTACGGCAGTGTAGCAGAAGGTGCTGCTGCTGGAGCTGCAGGTGCTGGCACTGTTGCAGGTTATGATGCAATGCGGCGAGGCATGGATGGCGGCCAAACACCCCCTTCACAACCCGAAGGAACTTCATCTCCGTCGTCGAAAGATCAGCCTGGTACTACAGAAGAGGTTTGGGGAGAAACACCACCGGAACACTGGGGTCCAGGAGGTGGTGCAGGCCCTGACGAATCCAGCAATGGGAATGATGTCGATTCTGATGATTTTGACTGGTTTTAAATTATCTAGGTCATTCTTTGCATATATTCTTCCGCGTCAATATTTTAGACTTGTATTTTGGGCATGGCAGCGTCATATTTAGCGATAGTCATTAATCTTATGTCTGTATAATATAATCACTCTACTATACAAAGAATACTGGAAAAGTAAATGCACTATTCAATACTGTCCTAAGAGAACATCAAGTAATTAAATACATGTATGAGATCAACCTCGGTTGAGCGAATATACACTAGGTCTAATGTAGACTAGCATCGGAATAATATTGATCCTGGTGTAGTATCATACAGTTTCGTTACGAGATTTGTTTACAATACAGGTACACATCTGATGAATTCACTTCATCGACCGATCAGCTAACACCGTAAACTTTGCATCTATCAGCAAGTTGGGAAACCGGTATTTGGGTGAGGCTGTTCCATTAAGCAGGTCAGCTAGTGCTCTAGAGTGCTGTGCATCACTTATGCCACTAGCAATCTACTAGTCATTCTTCTTAGCCTGCCAGGGTTCAGCGGCCAGTTTATTAGAGGATATACAAGCCTAGGCAGCAGTCTACGCACGGATCCAATGCTAACTCTAGTACATGACCTCACTACCACTTGCTAACCACTAACACGTCAATCATTCACACATTCCCAGCATCGATAAAATGGTTTCAACCAGATATACATGTGCATCTCAAGATGCTGTTATGAGAATACCCGAGCTCTTCCAGATGATCCTGTTGTGCCTCGATCAACGATCTCTTTTAACCAGTGCTCAGAGGGTCAATAAATACTGGCACAGCACCATTCAGAACACGCCTGCAATCCAACAGGCTTTATTTTTCAAGGCATTTCCTGCGTCATATGATGGACCTCCCGTTTTCAATCCGCTTCTTATGGAAATTTTCTCAGATTGGATTCCTTACGACTGGGACTCTGACTATAAATATCGAGAACGTAATGCGGTGGTGCTCGAGAAAGCATTTGAATCACTTCTTCCCACAACAGAGCATCATCGAATGTTTCGCCAGAAACGTGCCTCGTGGACTCGCATGCTAGTGCGGCAACCACCTATACGCACGCTCTGTGTCTGGCACCAACTCCATCGCCGGGGCGGCAACAGTCATGTCGTAAAGAAGAAGCGCTGCAGAAGGGGTTTACGGATGGGGAAGCTCTACGATATATCCATATGCTTCCCGTTGACCGTATATTGGGAAGGTTGGGTACAAGGTGAGACAGCTTGCTACGAAGACCACTCCTGCCACCATTTAGACAAGAACGCTACAGCAAGGCTGAATCGCATAGCTGGGATGGCAGACCTTACTGTGCACACATCGTTTTCCCAAACCTGTATGAAGCCACAACCGCCTTATCGACCTTCTGTAAAGTATTGGAGAGGAATTGAAATACCAAAATATGACACGAGGAGTACGGAATGGATGACCCGGAGGACTCGGTTTAGAGTTTCCAGGTACAATGGGCCGTAGTGCTCCTCCTGTCTTTCATAGCAGTTCTTTCGTAGCAGGAGAATACGGAACTTGGGACTGGTCGAATTGTGTACTTGGAAATCAGTTCTAATCAATGCAGGGTTGTCGTGACTCGGAGAAATGTTATACTTACCCCGCAATCTCATCTAAATATAATGTTCATTCAATGCCGTATTTTTCTAGATACATCTAGTTATACATGTAGAAAACGTCTAATATTGGGATTACTTAACGCCAGTTAATAAATATTGTATAGCACTGGTATTATTACAATATTCAAGGTTCAATTCGATACAACATTGAATAGTCAGAGCGTTTTTTGGTTTCTAAAGATTATCATGTCAGGAAAAGATAATAGAAGGTAATACGGGCACATACGTAATTTACGTATGTTATGTAATAAGCGTCAACAAAATTACAGAACCGGAGATTCCGACTAACCATTGATTAGCAAGCGTTTCTTAACAAGCACCGAGAACTAACGCCTTGAATATTCCAGTTGTCAAACTCACTGTGCAATATAGTTTAATTGCCCTCCCCTCCTCATTGAATCCGCTTCTACAGAGTTACTCTCTTTCCACTCCTTCTTTATCGCCTCCCTTGCGGAGCCCGCAGCAACCCCGCGCCACTTCACCGAGTCTCAACTCCCCTCACAAATAGCGTATCGCATCACAGAAATAACAAACATATACAATTATAATAAAAACGATGGGCTCGAACGTAGCTCAGAAACGTCTCTTTCACGAATACAAAAACCTCTCTACCAACCCCCCCGAAGGCATCACCGCCGGCCCGATTTCCGAAGATGACATGTTCCACTGGGAAGCGTTAATCCAGGGACCCGAGGGCACACCTTTCGAAGGCGGAATCTTTGCGGCTGAGCTCAAATTCCCCAAAGATTATCCGTTGAGTCCACCGACGATGAAATTCTTGGGAGGCGGGGTTTGGCATCCGAATGGTGAGAATTGTTATCCTCTTGCTTATCCCTCTGCTGTGGCAGGGCCAAGTGTTTGCGGAGTTGGCTGATAGATTGGTTGATAGTGTATCCGAATGGTACCGTGTGTATCTCGATCCTTCATCCCCCTGGCGACGATCCCAATCACTATGAGCATGCGTCGGAACGCTGGTCGCCGATTCAGAGCGTGGAGAAGATTCTGATTTCGGTAATGAGTATGTTGGCGGAGCCGAACGATGAGAGTCCTGCGAATGTCGAAGCGGCAAAGATGTGGCGTGAACGGAGAGGGGAATATGAAAACCGGGTTCGTGAGGAAGTCCGAAAGGGCTTGGGGCTGTAAAGAGCTAGGGAAGAGTTTGGCTTGCTTCCATGATGCATGACGTTGATTGATGACTATTCATTGACGCGGAGTTATACCTTTTGGTAGGCGTATTTTTTTGTTTATTGTTACTCTTACGAACGTTAATTCGTCTTGAGATATTCTGGCTGGGAGCAGTTTGTGTATATCTTTTGTCCCAGTATACACTATAAAATGCTGGCTCAAACATGAGCTATCTCATTCCAGTTGATGGTCACAAAGACATCATCTTAGAATCGATCCACCTTTCTAAACTACCACTTGCTTCGTACAGGACTTCAGTTTCGACCTTTATGTTTAACATCATCATTATCTGCAGACCTGCTCTCCAATCCGGTTGTGGCCCGTCTTCGGCAAACACGGGGTTGTTACTCAATAACGTTTGGATCTTCTTTGTATCCCTTCGAGATAATAACATAGACATCCAGTCGTCATTCTCGAACTTTGTCATTTCGGCAATAACGTCGGAGATTCGTGTCCCAAGCCATTCTAGGCTTGGGACATTGAGACGAGCACTCTCGTGCGCATGAGCCATAGAGCCGTATTTGTATGTTGACATGATGGCTAAGCCATCAGGGTCGCCATCCACCAAAGCAAAGAACCGCGGCTTCTGTGATGGAGATGTGATGTTTATATCTGGAATTATCGAGCTTTGATTCCGTACCACGATGTCCGAGAGAAGATGAACGAATTCACGGCTACAGATGTCGGGGTACCCCTTTCCCGTAAGCAGAATCCCCTTTCCAGCGGTTGATGTCATGTAGAATCGGTTGTGGACGAGTCTGCGAAAAACCGCCTGTTGTTTGTTAGCTAAACAAGAGGTATACAATGTAACAGTCTCATAAATGAAACTGTAAGATATTCATATTCTTTAATAATAGAGTTTGGTATTGTGCCTGCCTCTTTTTCGACGATAATAATCCATTTGATCTCGGATAAATCAAGGCTTTTGATATCTGCAAGACGGGGAATAAGTACATCCTAATGCCACGAGGTGTTAGCCATAAAACATGATATATGTATGGTTTCTTATACTCCTGCTGATATGTCAAAAAGGGACTGGGCTTTTGTTGTAATGCGAGCCGCTCCAGCAATCAACCCTTTGCCGACAGATATCTTGACTGGTTTTAGTTGACGAAAAACGTAAATGAAAATTGTAACAAGGGCCCTACCACGTGCAAAGAAGCCCTGTTAACTCCGATAGTATAAGAGATGTCATCAACAATGCTATCCACGACTGTCTGTGAGCCGAATAGGTCAGGATTGTCATAGTAGATGCTCCTTCAGGTTCATCAGCAGGTCTAAGCTAGCAGGATTTCCACAACGACAAAGATAGTACCTTTTTGAAATCAACAAATTATCTTGAACGGCCTCAAATATGAGAGAGAGCACCCTAAGGATACAACCTTTACCCTTAGTTTTGGAAAGTTGAGTTTACACCAGAATACATACTGAACCTCCATGCCTCATGTGGAGATTTTCCTGGCCACGAGTAAGTTATCTGCCTTGGGGTCGTATCTTTTCCAAAGGCTAGGATTATTTCATCCGCTCCATCATTGCCAGATGAAATTTCAAACTGGGTCGGTCGTTTTTTGAGTGTGATGGATAGATTCGCCACGTCTTTCTCAAATTCATCGAGGAAAGCGGATTGCAAATTCTCAAAGAATCGAGTTACTGGATTCGAATTGATGGGAACGGCACCATGCACAGACATGTCTTGGCTCATTTCGATTGCAACTTTGGTTTGTTGGGGAAAGATGAGGTTGTTGCAGGGCTGTTGTTGTTGAGGCAGGCACCTTCCTTCTCAATACCATCAATATCACGTGCACCACTAGGTCAGCAAATACATATACATTCTATGGTCAGGAATCAGTATGGTACCTACGACGAGCCATAGCATCATCCAATTCCGAGCATCTGCCTACTTTGCATAAACGTTCCTCGCAAAAGGGTGAAATTGAGGATCTGAAATGTGGAAATGGTGAGGATGGCTGGCTAGTCTTATTTTAAAAACCTCGTCTAGAGCAAAGACCCATCTACGGAGAAGATATCCTATCCCATCAGAGACACCTTGGTACTTTTGGTACCTCTCCAGTTCACTATTAGTAGCAAGGTGTCTGAGATGTTCTGAATGCGCGGCTGTAGAGGCTGTGAGGCTTCCGTTGACGCCGCTATCTCAGCATCTTAGACCGCTTACACGAGAATTTGTCAAAACAGGAGAAAGTCAGACAACCTGTGGACACTAGAAAGCCTATGGTCTCTACTGTGAGGAACCACTGCGCGGCTTTCTACTGGCTGGTAAGGCTTTGTTTATTGTTGCTCCAAGCCTAACATACCGAGGATTTTCAGAAGTCTTATACTCAAAATTCAAAAATTTTAAATATTATCGATGCCTGAATAGTCCAGCGGTAGGATAACCCCTTCGGGCATTTTTATTCTCTTTTCCAGGAAACTGGATTGACTGGGGGTGGTCCTTGGTCCAATTTCCAGTTCAGGCCTCCTTTTTTTAAAATCTGGATGACAGATCTACCAGTTCCGGCCAGAAGTTCCGTCAGTGACCGCATTAATAAATATCACAACTGCCGCTCAGCTGTCTCATTTTACGCACATAGACCCAGCCCTGAGATCGTCAGGTTGTGCATTTTCCTGCTTGTCCCAGCCACCATGATGATCGCGAGAGTAGTGAATATGCTTCACAACCGATGGACGCCTGAGGCAGTTTCCTAAGCGTGGGCTAGGCCAAGAGCGCGACAAAACTGCACTTCTATATATGCTCTCTGATGCTCTGCAACGCTGATTAGTCGGTTTCGATGGTCCCAACCAGACTAGCGTTGCCGAGAATCCCCTGATTATTTGGCTACTCTGTCACCGTGATTGGCTAATCACTTTCGTCACTGACGCTTCGTCCCCACTCCGTGTAACTTGGCAAGAGTAACTCAAAATACCCCGTCCTGAATAAATGCGGCTGCCTCTACTTTCAATAATATTCTATTGGAAACCCTTCACAAGATGTCAAAGCATGCGCAGCATTTCGGTCAATGGCGCACTGCGGCAAACGGCCATATAACAAAAGATCCTAATGGCGATAGCAAGACGGACTACACCAGATGGAGGTTGCACGACAACGACGGTCGCTTGACCTGGCGATATCTCCAGTCAGATGAAGAGGTCGAGAGCTGGCCTCAGACTTTCTACGATAAATACCACATTGGGCTTCCAACTGTGAGGGACTCCCCCTTCATAATATGTGATGTGTCTTCTGCAACAACTATTAACGATGCTGCCAGGGAGCACCTGAACTGCCCAAAGCAAAGACCCCGTTGAAGGCTGCTGAAAATGGTATGGAATTTTTTTCCAAGCTGCAGATGCCAACAGGGCACTGGGCTTGCGAGTACGGTGGCCCAATGATTCTGTTGCCTGGCCTGGTCATCGTTTGGTATGTAACGAAGACCCCGATACCTCCAGAGTATGCAGCAGAAATCAGGAGGTATCTTTTTGCCCGACAAAATCCTGAGGATGGTGGATGGGGTCTGCACATCGAGGGCCACAGCTCTGCATTTGGTACCTCTATGAATTACGTCGTCCTCCGTCTTCTTGGAGCGAGTGAAGAGGATCCTCGTATTATCAAAGCTCGTGGGTGCCTACATAAGCTTGGTGGTGCGTTATACGCGACCCATTGGGCAAAATTCTGGCTGGCTGTTCTGGGGGTCATGGACTGGAATTGTGTCAACCCTACACCACCAGAACTCTGGTAAGTTTCCATCTTTTCTCGCTTCATTTCATATCTCATATTATCTAGGCTATTGCCCGATTGGGTGCCCATCGCTCCTTGGCGATGGTGGATTCATATTCGCATGGTATTTTTGCCAATGTCTTATATCTGGTCCAAGAGATGGAGCTATCCCGAAGACGAATTAACAAAACAACTTAAATCTGAACTTTACACACAACCATACGAAAGTATCGACTTTGCGTCTCACCGCAACTCCATTGCTGATGAGGACAACTACTACCCAAAAACCTGGATTCTTAATTTACTCAACTTACTGCTGACTACTATCTGGATTCCGTTCCTTCGTTTGTCCTCCTTGGCCAAGCGTGCTGAAGACTGGGTTTGGGAGTTGGTGCGGATGGAAGATGAGAACACGGATTATGCTGGACTTGCTCCTGTAAGCAACGCGATGAACTTTCTCGTATGCTACATCCATGACGGCGAAGGAAGTTATTCGGTTCGGAAGCACCGCGAAGCTCTACATGAGTATATGTGGATGACACGCGAGGGAATGCTTTGCAATGGCACCAATGGCGCGCAGGTCTGGGATACAGCTTTTATTACACAGGCTGTTGCCGTGGCTGGCTTTGCGGAAGATCCCAAATGGCGGCCAATGCTTACCAAGGCTCTTGAATTTTTAGACAATCATCAATTGCGAGAAAATGTGCCTAATCAAGAAAAATGCTATCGTCAGCATAGAAAGGGAGCATGGCCATTTAGCAACAAGACACAAGGCTACACAGTAAGCGACTGCACCGCGGAGGGTCTGAGGTCTACGTTACAACTGCAGGAAATCTATGGGTACCCTAAACTTCTCTCGACGAGTCGACTGAAGGACTCTGTTGACTGCCTGTTATTGATGCAAAACGACACTGGAGGATTCAGTGAATACGAGATTCGACGAGGATCACCTAAGCTGGAATACTTGAATGCAGCAGAGATGTTTGGGGGCATCATGATCAGCTACGATCATGTCGAATGCACAACCGCATCCGTCACGGCACTATCACTCTTCAGCAAATTCTACCCCGATTATCGGGTGGATGAAATCAAAGCCGCGAAACACAAAGCAGTTGGATATATCAAGCGAGCCCAGAAAAAGGATGGAGGCTGGTATGGAGCATGGGGTATCTGCTTTACATATGCAGCCATGTTTGCACTCGAAAGTCTGACTAGCATTGGAGAGACCTACACCACAAGCGAATATTCTCGCCGGGGATGTGATTTCCTGCTCTCCAAACAAAAGGAGGATGGAGGCTGGGGCGAATCATATCTCAGCAGCGTGAAGCACGTCTACGTTCAGCACGAAAAGTCCCAAGTCGTTCAAACTGCTTGGGCCTGTTTGGCTTTAATGGAAGCGGAATATCCTGACCCAGAACCGATTCGCCGAGGCATTAAACTCCTGATGTCGCGACAACAGCGCAACGGCGAATGGCTACAGGAAGCGATTGAGGGTGTTTTCAATATGTCCTGGTACGTACCAACGACACTGATTTTGCGCAATTTTCTAGCTAACACCCTATAGTATGATCTCCTACCCGAACTATAAGTTGTACTGGCCTATCCGAGCTCTAGGACTGTATTCGCGCAAATTCGGCAATGAAGATCTATTTTAGTCATCGACGGGGCTTTATTCACTAGGTATAAGTTACACTTATATAATTTTAATAATATTAAATTTATCGTATTTCACTTTATGCAATGGGAACGATTCCCACTGTAAGAAGCAGAATAAAAGATTACTAATACTTGTTAATAAGCCTAATATAAATGAAGAAAAACATATAATAAGGGTATAGCAGGAAACAGACTATTATTAAAATTGATAGATAGCTCTCTAATATTACCTAATTAGACGGTGATAATTCTAGCTCTATAATAGATAATAAAATTAATCATTATGCTCTAAGTTATACTAAAATATTAAAAGCCATATTAGCTGTCCCTGTTAAGTAGAAACTCGAGAGAGAATGACAGCAATACAGCAATGCCATTCAGGCAATTATTTCCTATTGTGATTATGAGGAGGAGGGTCCCTTTTGAGGCTAGCCCAAAAGAAAGCAGCCATCTACTGACGTTGATAAATCTGCTGAGAGCCATTCTTATTATGTCGAAGAACAAGAAGTTAAGGAAGTCTCCAATGAGGAGGTGAAATGCACAAAAAAAGTGCAAGTATAAGCAGGAAGAGGAGGAAGTTTGGGTCTGTTTTCAGTGCGGAAAAACTACCCTCAGAAAAGCAGTCTTCGTCGTCATTTCCGGCCGGCTCATTTGGACGACCGTTAGTGTAACTCCTGCAACAACGGCTGGGAGCACCTCAAGCAGATACACTGGCGGCGTCATATAGAAGCAGTCCATCAGCTCCGTACTTGATGTTTGCCATAGATATTTTTCGCTATTGTCTCAATAAAATCTTTTATAACGCAAATACGCTGATATCGTTTGTTGCAGCATTATACTTTTCTTTGAGTATGTGAGAGACTATATTATGTGCAATAGCGAATGATGTCACAAATGAGATGTGCGTGAATTTTCTTGTAACGACTTTCTAATGTCATTATGATTTCTTGAGAAGAACAGCTATTCCTTTCACTGAGCCTCGACGTCGGCTTCTTTGTACTGTACTTGATAGACGATGTCAAGGCCCTCCCGTTGATCCTCGAGCATCAATGCCGGCTTCTTTGTCGAGTAATGTTTGGACAATGTCTAGATGTCCTTCACCAGAAGCAGCCTGCAAAGCATTGCCATATTTTCCCGTAACCTTCGACTCATTTGGATGACACTGGGAAATTGACATGCTTGCCTGCGGGCAACACCAACTATGAGTAGAGACGAAACGCTTGCGCTTCAGGAATTCGCCAATTTAATTTGTTGGAAGGGTTCCCACCTACCACTAAACACGCACGCATGTCAGTCTCATAATCTCATAATCCATGCTTCCTTCCAGGAGCTTATTGGGTGATTCTTGAGGCTGAAGTCGCTCAGCACTTGATCATGGCTGTCCACTTTGGTCACTGTGACTCGCTGTGGCTTCATTCGGCAGGGAAATGGTCATGTTCATGTGCCCTGCAAACGAAGTCATAGTAACCCGATACTTGTCTTTCCGTGGACATTTAGGAATTGTATCTGGTCTACTTCTTGCCAGTCTCTCAACTGCATATTTAACTCGACAAATTTCATGTTCTTCGATCAGATTCACCGCCAGTAAAGTCCTTTGATCTTCTCAAAATGACTGAAACATCTATACTGTCAGTCGACCTTTGAATCTTCTCGATACAAAACGAATACTACTAAGTATATAGACCGCCTAGTACAGAGAAAGAGCTCCTATGCCTGCTACATCTAGCAATAAGTGCGAACGGAGTACTGCGTGGCAACAGGCCTATATCTTTGCTTCCTCCGACAGAATCCATTCTAGCCCCTGATTAATAGTCTCGAACCAACGACTCGTAGATGGTAGATCTAGGTAGCGTTGGAATCCGTGAGGAAGACCCGAGAAGACGGTCAATTTGGTAGGCACTCTAAAGAGTGTCAGTGTCTTATCTTGAATCTAAAGACCCGGCTTGCAACGTTGGCTTACCCTAGGTTGCGAAGCCGCTCGGCGTAATCCAAACCCTCGTCGCGAAGCACGTCCCTGCCACAAACCAACATAAGCGTCTTGGGCATGCCCATCAACTCGTCATCATCAGCATTGCTTGCAAATATCGCCTTATCTTTTGGGTCTTCCACGCTCAGAGCACGAGTGAAAAACTCGATTTGGACACGAGGCAATATTGGAGCACATTCGTTCTGTGAATACGACCCGACTCTGCCATCACTTTTTTTCGAAGCGATATCTGGATGTGATAGCCATGGAATACACAGGACCTGACCAAGTATCTTTTTTTTGTCGCGGCTGCGGTTTTCCCGAATAGTCAGTGTGGCCGCCAAAGACGCTCCAGCTGATACCCCTCCAACAATGAGCTTTTCTGGGTCACCTCTGAGGTCATCCATGTGTTTAGAAACCCAATAAAACGCGTCCTGTGCATCATAAACTTGTGTTGGGTGCTTGAATTGAGGTGTATGTCTATAGCAGACATTAACAACAATTATGGGTAACTCGCTCGCTATTCGGGCGCAGGTAGCATCTTCGGAGGAGAGTGTGCCAAACAAGAAACCGCCTCCGTGGAAGAATAGATATACAGGAAGACGGGAGTCTGTCACAGCTCGTGCATATTTACCTTCGTATGCACGAGCAGTAATGGTTTCGCCGTCTCGGGTAGGAATATCATAATCCACCCAATGGATCTTGTCAGAGAGCCCAGAAGTCATAAACCTAGCTGACACTGCATCGCGAGATTCATTTGTCTTACGTTGCAAGTCTTCGATTGTTTGGTCTCGTTCAATGGTTGTCTGGGCTAGGGGTCCGGTACGGTCGAGGAAGTCAGCCCATTCTTTGGGTGGAATTCCAAAGTGCGAATAATCTGCCATGAGGATGGGTATAGGCTGCGATACCAGTAGAAGTAACTTGATAAAGAAAAATCAATGTCTTACGGCTAGAGGGAGCATCTCCCACGCAGGTAAGATGTACGACATTGTAAGTAATGTTGCTTCGCTCCGATTCGGAGATTTGATCTCCGCACCACTGAAGGGCCTGCTGGGTGGCAGACTTCGCACAACGACAAGCGCAGAGACTTCCGGAGTTGGGAAACAGTGGTCAGTTCTCTTGTACCGTCCGAGGGGCCGTTGGCTACTTCTGTAATCGCCTTCGAAGTCCCGACTATCCCTAACGCGTTACGCGGTACACCACGTTGAATCTGCGAAGGCAGCCTAAGGGTCACGGAATCCACCCAGCCCCTACATCAACCCCGATACATCGAGGTGATCTTCGCAGTAACGCAAAAAGTGATAAGTACGATGTAGTAGTTTTTACCCAGCAGAAATGCTGGGACTTCCATCACCAGCTAATTTGAGTGTAAATCAAGGTACTTTTTCTTGGCCTCTGTTTACTTGGCTCGAATCCCTACTAGACACCCAAAGGCTGCCTTCGCAGATTTAATGGGATGAGAAGGGGGTTTCCTCTCCGCTATAAAAGATAGCGCAGACACTAGAGAGAGGAGTAACAGATCGAATGGAGACCATCAATGCGTACGCGGTGTCACCTTGGACAAGCCGACTGCAGGCAAGATGTGATTGCGATGGAGAGACAACCATCAAAATCGCTAATAGTGCAAAGATATCTTGATCGCCACTAGCTCGTCCGCCAAGGGTGACACAGTAGGCATGGGAGGCAGCATTAAGGACACCCCAGGTCAGCACTACAGATGATGAAATCACCAACTCCTCCAAGGGAGGGGAAATGTGATCAGGCTACTTTGGGTCCCAGCTCACTCTGATATCGCATTAAGATTAAAAGCAAAAATGGCCAAGCGAGACAGTAGAGCACCTCCTAATCCGTTGCACCAAATGGACAACATTAAGAGAAGGCATGCTACAGTGTATAGAAACAAGAGGGAGTCTATCATTCTACCTAGGAGGAAAAGCACGATCTGACCTAGAGCGATGGCGACCAGATATCAAAGCTGTACGAACAACAACAAAGTTTGTATATATAGCTGTCTGGTGAAATAGGTTCATGATGAAACCTCTCCAGTGCTACACGTAAATGCACCATCCACTACAATCTCAGCACCAGTAATGTATCCAGCCTCCCTTGAAGCTAAAAATAACACAGCATGAGCAACATCCCATGCCGTCCCCATTCTTTTCATAGGGACCTGGGCGTTCCTCTTCTGCCGGAATCCCTCGTAATCGCCCGACGCATATTTATCCGCCAACCTGTGCACCAAAGGCGTGTCGATCAACCCAGGCGTAACAACGTTCATCCTAACATTGCGCTCGGCGTACATGACAGCAGTCGTCTTGGTAAACTGTGTCACGGCAGCTTTTGTTGCCGAATATGCTATCTGAGGTTTTCCGATATATCGCAGGCTGGCCACGGACGAGATATTTACCACGTTGCCTCCGTTCTCTTGCTTCTCCATAATCGGAAGTACGAAATGGCTCGTTAGATACACCGATTTGAGGTTGACATCTGTCTGATGATCCCACGTATTCTCAGACATGCTTGCTGGATCTCCTGGTTCGCTTCTTCCGACGTTATTGACAAGAATATCGATGCGACCGTGTTTGCGCATACAGGCGTTCACAAATGCTTCCATAGACTGGGCTGAGGTTGCGTTTGCCTCCACGACGGTTATATCTGCATGTGGAATTTCGTTGAGGATTTGAGTCTTGGAGTGCTCTGCGGCCGAAATATCTAAGTCGCAGCCGAATATAATTGCCCCTTGACGAGCAAAAAGTGCTGCAATTGCAAGACCATTTCCCCACCCAGGGCCTTGACAGCCGATGCCGGTGATGAGGATGACCTTGTTGGTGAAGTCGAGTAACTGGTGAGATGCACTCAGAGGACTTTGCTCAGCCATGATTACCCGATTCTGTATATGTTATCTTGAGATGATTTCAATACGCTATGTCGAAGGTCCGAGTTAGCAGCCAGCCCGCCGTGGGTTTCTTATATCCGGAAAAGTTGTCCATTTGGAGTAGTACGTCTCGGACTTCGCTGAATGTTGGGACACTATTCGGTTTATTGATCTCCGAAGCCAAAACCTTTAATTGTGGAGTCCGATTTTGGATGACCTAGTGTGTGTGGGATATGATCACCCACGCAATCTCGATTTTTTCGCAGATGGGTTGATAGATTTATGTTGAAAACTCCCCTCAGGTTTACTTAATAGCATCAAATTGGCATGAACTACCTTGGATAATTAATCTACAGCCTTCGAACTTCGACTTATACCTCCTCACGGTCAATCACTTCCTTATGAGCGGTGGATGACTTTTGTGTCTCAGCACCTTGATCAACCATCTCGACAGTAGCCCCTCCTTCATCTTCTACAACCAGCTTGTGAGTGTTGTGATCTACATTGATCTGGTGTTGATATACCATGATGTCGTCTTTGTCTCCATAGATAGCGGCAATCTCTTCCAATGGTATGCCTTTCGTTTCCGGCGTAGCCCAATACAGCCAGACATATCCGACTGAAGAAATGCAAATATAGATCTGCGAAATACTTAGCTCGTACATTCATGGACACATCGACATGGGCGAGTGTTAAAATGAAAGGCTTACCAGAAAATATTTCCAGCCAAGGTTGGAAAACCCCTGTGGTGTAAACTGCAGATACAGGATATTAATTGCCGATTTGCTTGCAACCGCCAGAGCGATGCCTTTGGCACGGATGAAGTTGGGGAATATTTCCGATATAATGACCCACGTAGCAGCATCCATGCCCATAGAGAAAAACAAAAGAAACGCGAATAATGCAGCTACACCCACGCCGAGACCGGCTTTGTTAGTTCCGGCTTCTGCGTATTCGGCGACCATTGCGGCTTCGATGCAGAGACAAACAATGCAACCAGCGAGCCCGGTGAGAAGTAATTTTCGTCTACCAAAGCGATCCATGATGAAGGAGCCGCCCAGATTTCCCACAAATGCGACTTGTAAATGTCAATAATCGACGTCCTATCAATCAAAGGTCTAGAAGAATACAGACTTACGCGAGTTTCTTCCACTCTGCAAGATCAACCTATCCAGCGTGCCAAACCCTAGTTTGCTGTAGAAAGTAGGCTCCTGGACAATTGTCAGAAAGTACTCAACCGAGGATGATGCAAATGACCATGAAAGCTCCGTGAAACGTACATATTGGTTAACAACAAGCTCGGCTGTGCTCTGCGATAACAGCATGAGGCATATGACAAACAAAGTACGCTTCCTATAAGATGGTCTCTTGAACATCTGCAACCAACTTGAGTTAACTGTCCGATCGAAAGTGGCTTGTTGGCTCATCTGGTAGAATTCGCGTCGCGCGTACTCGTCATCAGGGTCGTTTGGATCCTGGTGAATTGACTTGATCACAGACCATGCCTGATCCGTCTTGCCCCTCATAAGGTAGAATCTTGGAGATTCAGGTATAAATAGTAACAAGAGTAGAATAATGGCTGGGAAGATGAGTTGGATGCCCAAAGGAGCACGCCAGCTTATCAATGGGTCCGATTCGTAGTAAAAGGCAAGGCCGAAGTAGTTCGCTACGGCATACCCAAGACCGAGCATAACTCCGGTCATCCCAACGAAAAAACCGCGCGCAGCTGGTGGAGCTAGTTCGGAGCAAAATACAGGCACTGCGAGATTCATGTCAGTGGTGTTCTCAAGCTTCCGGCCATAGAGTGCTGACATACCAACTGCTACATAGCCCCAGCTTCCAGCGCCAGCGAAGAAGCGAAAAACGAGGAACGGGGCAATGCTAGGGCTTCCGGTCAAACCCGCTGCTCCTAGAATAGACAGCACAGAGCAGTAAATCATCCCAGCTTTCCTTCCATAGGTGTCTGTGATATAGCAACTGCAGAGACAGCCAACAATTGCCCCCCCCTAACAAACTCAGTCAACATTACTTCGACATAGGCACACGAGTTCGAGTGAAATGGAATATGAGCGTGCCGATTCGAATCCCGCAAAGAGCAGACATACCTGAAAAATACTTGTGATAGCACCAACAAGATTCTCTTTGTTTGGAAAAACGCCTTTTTCATCGCCTAGGCCCATATACTCCAAAAAAGCCGGTTTGCCCAAGGTAGTACTGACAATGGCTGCCAAGTATCCATATGCAAGGGCACCCAGAGAGATCGCAAAACAGATGAAGAAGTTCTTCCAGCGGAAAGGAAGCCGCTTGATGCTGGTCATTGTGTGCGGAGTTTGGTAAGTTAAAGTATGGACGCCCGGACGACACCCGGATAAAGGTTGCTGCTTTCACTGGAGAATAACAAGAATGTGATGAGAAGAACCTGGGACTTGCGTATGTAGTTGCTTTAAATATTCTTCCAATCGTCCAACCCTTGTTGTCTTAACGCATAGCCAGTCTCCACTATGTCTGGGGACTGATTGTCCGAACTAAACTGGGGCCCCGGACTTTGAACCCGATTTGCTTCTTTCTGGGGTACAAACTTGCCCCGCCATCGGTTCCCAGAGAAGTTTAAAAAGCGTAGCGTAAAGACATCGCGATTTTTGTTAACATATCGACCTTCAAATTCTCAATCGATTCGAAAACACTGCACATCGTCTGATCTGCAATTTTATCGCAATGAGCTTTCCCGGACGCAAACCTCTTCCACTATTGGAGGACCTGCCCCTGCGCAGTGAAGACCCGCCTTTGTCTGCATGGGGACTTTGGGAGAATGACCAACTAGGCAGTCTTAATTATTTGACAGATGAAGTTGTTTTGAAGGCCGCTAAAGATGAGCTGCAGACCGGAACGAGAGTCGGATTGAAGTAAGCCGCGCTTGCAACATCCTATTCATGACACAGTCTATGGAGTCGTGGTTTTATGCTCATGCTTATTGTTGGCAATAGTCTACCAATGGATTTCATTGTCCCTGCACTTTTGGGCCGCGTAGGTTTCTCAAAACACATTCATAATAAGGCTCCCCGTGTGATCAATGACGACATCGTAAGGCATTCCACTGGGAGGAGTAAGACCAATGACGGCACTAACCATTATTGAATGCAAGGTCACCTTCAACACCCAGTGTAGCTCTCAATGGGACAGTTTCCGACACTTTGCGTATCAGGCAGAAGGAAAGTTCTATAATGGGTAAGCCCGTATTCTTCAAAAGCTGCTATTGATGGCTTGATCACCAACATATTATGTTCAATAGTGTCACGCAGGACGATATCCACAAAGATTCAAACACTACCGCCAATGGACTTGATGCATGGGCTTCAAGGGGCATTGCTGGACGCGGCGTGTTCATCGATTATTTTGACTGGGCTCAAGAGCACGGTATCCAATACGACGCCTTGACGGCTCACCCCATCCCTATAGGGCATGTCAAACAAATCATCGCGGAGAAGAGTATTCATATACGCCAAGGAGATATACTCTTCATGCGGACGGGTAGGGTGGCCCCTAGCAACTTCGAAGACACGCACATGAAGAATCTCTAACTTTTTATATTCTTCTAGGATACGTCCAGGCATACGCAAAATTGACGCCAGATGAGCGCGAGGAGCTGAGCAAAAAGCGCGGCTCCCCCGGTCTTGGTCAAGGAAAAGAAACAACACAATGGTTGTGGGATTCGCAATTCGCAGCGGTCGCTGCTGACTCCGTAGCCTTTGAAGTTTCCCGTATGTCTGTCCCTTTTGGCTAGCCGTCCCAAGGCCATATGCTAACGCGATGCCATAAGCTCCGGTTGATCCTCAGTATCATCTGCATCCGATACTTCTGTCTGGCTGGGGAACGCCCATTGGAGAGCTTTTCGATCTGGAGGCTCTGTCGGTAACATGCAAGAAATTGAAGAGATGGACGTTCTTCATGACTTCGGCGCCGTTGAACTACACTGGAGCTGTAGCATCGCCACCTAATGCCTTGGCTCTCTTTTAGGGCACATCCGAAGAACTATTCTTTTACCTAATAGACCATCGTGCCAAATTAACTAACATATTGGATAAGCATCCCGCTCAGAGACGCATTCCGCGCACCCATGTAATCCATATAAAATGGCCTTTTTTGAATTGTAATATCTCAACAAAATTATATAAAAATCATAGCTCAAAATCTAGTATATTATTTACATATTAATAGAAAATATATGGTTAAAATAATTTTTAGAATAACTAAGTAGATAGCAAAATTACATCAAATTATATAAAATGCTAAAAATTAAATTATATTTTTAGTATTATGTATCAATTTTCAATTATCTTCTTTTATTTTTGATATATAATTAATCACTATATTATATCTAATATATTAGATTTTGAGCTATGATTTTATAATATAATTTTGTTGAGATATTACAATTCAAAAATGGCCTTTTTATATGGATTCCATGGGTGCGCGGAATGCGTCTCTGCGCGGGATGCTTATCCAATACGTTAGTACTCTGTATAGTTACGTGATAGAATGGAAATGGTGCCCCAGTAATGGTCTCCGGAGATCGAATGTCCGAACCAAACAAACTCCACACCGTCGAAAGATTTCACCGACCCCCAGTCTGTCATTTCTCGGAAGCGCGGCAGAACGAGAAGACTTTAAGCCATACCTACTACATACATAGACACGCGGATGCCTAGAATTTCTGGCTACATGTACTGCGACACGATTTATCATTTACGCTTGTATACATTTTCAGCCCAAATATGACCCTCCTCAATGACGAATTCCTCGGCGAACTGGCTACCCTAGCAGCGCCGTATCCTCGATACAAATGGTATCTGTCGGCTCTTGTGGCCCTTGGTGCCATGAACTACCCCGAAGAAATCCCTGCTCTGTATGAACGACTGCTCGCATCCTACATTCCCAAGGATGAACAGTTTTCAGAAACTCGGAAGATTCGCGAAGCCTTTACGAAGTTGTGCGGTATTCAAGGCGCTGCAAAAGTGAGATGCGGCAAAGCGTGACCAGTCTAGACAGAGCAAGGGATGGCTAACTGAAATCAACCAAAAAAGACAGGGTCGGCCTTAAGGCAACTTTATAAAGCCACGCCTAAGGAGCTTCTCGATCCGGTGATTTATCGAAAAGAAGATACCGACGAAGTCGCATTTGCTCGGGGAGAAGCGTTCCATAAAAGAATATATGCTCAAAATCCAACTTATGACGACAATGCAAACAATTTGGCTGCGCCGGACTATCACTTTTTAGTGAGAAGTAAGAATTCCTTCCTTGTAGACTAGCCAGGACGCGTATTCACGGCATTAACCCTTTAATAGACTACTTTTACGGCCGCATATTTTCTTTCGATAAGATCCTGGATGACCTGGAAACATCGCAGTGTATTGTTTCTTGTTTGGTTGGCATTGATTGCATGCAGCAACTGGGGAATCAAATGAAAGGCATGCAATATAATGGAGCTCGCAAGGAAGAAGTCAACATGATACGTGAAATTGTCATCAGAGTCGCGAAGAAGTTGGACGTTAGATTCAAGCCGGGAAATCCGATACCGGTTCCGGACATTCAATAAATTGGCGCCGGACAAGCGGTTTCCGAAAGTAGAAAACTAATACCGCAAAGTCGTGTACTTATTTGATGCATTTGACGAATCCACAACCCTGGCTATCTATAGGGCAGACAACTCACAACCTCCATAATAAAAAAAAAGAAACATTTCTCCAAATGGCGCAGACTAAGGGAATCCTTTATCTCTTACTGACTCCTGGGGACAACGTAATACCTGGCGATTGTTTTTCTTGGTTCGATAGCAAGTGCCCAAAAAAACTGGTCGGGATCCTCGGTGCAGCAAGGTACGCGGCCATCGATGACAAAAAGCCCGAGTACCTAGCAGTTTATGAGCTTAAGCATCTGGAGCACTTCGACCTCTCCCAGGTGATAAAGGCTGCATCCCCACCTGCTAATCTGGAACTTGTGGACTTCCGAGTATACAGCCAGTTCAGCGAGAAAATATCGCCCAACTATGCGAGTGCGCCAGACGACAGAATCTTCCGCACACTCGCCTTGCAGCCAGCACCAGATCTTTCAGCCGATGACTATAACGAATGGTACGAACAGGACCATGTACCGCTTCTCTCGCTATCCCCAGGATGGCTCAAATCGACTCGATGGACACTGAAAGAAGACGTATTATTCCGCTACGGTAGTGTGCAAAAAGATCGGAAACTATGCAATTATCTCGCTATTCATGAGTATGAGTCTATGGCCTCCTTCGAAACCCCCGAGTTCAAACGCGCCATTACCTCGCCATGGCGAGCCAAGGTGATGCCGAAAATTGAGAATATCGTGGATGAGCGACGGAATTTCAAGCCACTAAAGATCATTTAAGTATTCCTTGGATGAGGATGCAAGAGTCACCCACTACCTTCTAGCCTTGTATCGACAGAGCATAGTCGTCTTTGTGCGTCGTACATAGCCAGGAGAACCAAGCAAGGTAGCCTAGATATATCCTATAATTGAGCTTAATCTGATCAAGATCAGGTATCATTTTACACACTGTACTTAGGTATTAAGACGTAAAGAGACCGTACATAGAATCATCGAGTAAGCCGCCATCGTCAATATCCGTGCTTAGCCATTGCTCAAGGCTCCCCATGTCGCCATACAGAGATCCAAGCATCTCGGCATCGTCTAGGAAAGTCTGCTGTTGAGGATCACACCCCGTAATACCACTTTCAGCAAGACGCGCGGCACTGGGATTCGCGTTCAATGGGGTGCCAGACTCGCCCGAATTGGGAAAATGCTTGGCTCTCCTCTCACCCAAGATGGCCAAAATTTGAGGATTTTCCTCGCCCAACCTTCTCACAAGAGTTTTCAGTATGTTGAGGGGCTTCTTTAATCCCGCATTACATCCCTGTTGAAGGTCCAACAAGGCCGACCAGAAAAATGAAACACATCCCGAGAATCTTTCTCGACTCTGGGGAGTTTGCCGAAGGATCAACAGGACAGCCGAATATATAGCGTAGCATAGCAGATACGGTGCCCTTCTTAGCGTGAATGTGCTTCTGTAAGCTCGAACTAGACTCCATATGCGGAAAACAGATGTGGCACACTTCTCTTCGCCTACTGCTTGAGATGTCGCGTGAAAAACATAGTTTAGGTGTCCGGTGCTGAGGAACGGACGTTCGAGGAGAATATTCAAGGTCCAAAATGTTGTGCTACATAACCTAGTTAGTACTCTGGTAAGAAATAGCGGGGATCATGGAGAGGTACTGACTGCAGCGTGATCTGGTGTGGTGGAGGGACTGGACATCTATCACTATCGGAGTCGAAATTTAGATGGGCAGGCAAGTGCCTCTGCCAATCATCTAATCGACCTTCTAAATCAATCTTTGCCTGCGTCATAGCTTCCGTAGGGGCGCTTAAACATTCTTTAGAATAAAAGGCGTCAATGATTCTACTCGCAATCTCGGCGAGATTCAAGAGCGATGTGAAGGTGCTGACGGCATATGCTGGTTGAGGCTGATAGGATTGTTGGCCGCCTCGACCAGGCAACCCAAGTCCGAGAATTCCAGTATACGGCTCCCACATTTCCAACTCTTCGTAAGAGTCAAGCAGCTCCTTGGGCAGCTGGGCTTCTGACGACCGAAGAGCAGGGGCGCGGCCGAGATATAGCGACTGGAACTTATCATTCATGAAAGCACCCCAGTACACCCTCTTGCGGATTTCGAACTCAATCGTCGTCATTTTGAGGGGAGGTTTGTGTTGTTGCGCTTCTTCCATGCTTAGGTGACAACCGAGATCGATAATCATACGATACGCAGTGCCACACAACACCCACCCCGCACTTTGTTTTCCATGAGACACCAAGCTGGCACCACATAAAAGTAATGCAACAGCAGTCGGTACACTCGGCCGATCGATTTCATCAACCAGGAGCTCCTTGAATCGACGGTAAAAGCGAGTGCTAAGTGGGTTGTCTGTGGCAGAGTACCCGTCTCCCGAATCGCACGATAAGGAGCTGGAATAGTAGATTGCATTCAAGAGCAGCTTGTTAACGTGTGGTCCTCCATTCATCAGACTGTCCATGATGGCCGGTCGATATGTCAGCAGGTAGGAGTAATGCTGTCGGTTCCAATGCAAGTTGAATAGATGCAAAGCAACGTCGGGAGCCACTCCATCCAGTTCTATCGTCGCCTGCATCTGTGGACCCAAGAAGATGGCTGTTTCTCTTTGTCTTTGGATAACAGCATTGGAAATTAATTGATCTCTGATCAGCTGATGACGAATAATCTTGTCTTCTTCATCTTCAGCAGGTGTATTGGTCTCTGGTAGCAGGGCAGGAGGCTCGTGAAGTGTACTAGTCACGCCATAAGCTTGTACCTGGCCATCGTTGGTCACCGTTCCGGTTATGTATATATTCTGAGGCGATGTACTCTGTCTCCCCTGCTCTGACGATCTTGGCGTGCCATTGCTGCCTCTCCTTGGCTGGTTGGTATTGATCCGCGAGCGGCATTGTGGATCCGATAGCAATGCTTCAGGCGATGGACCGCACATCGGCAGTTCACCCGATGCCGGTTCAAGTACATTGGTAGAAGTAGGAGCCGTATCGGATGTAGGGAAACTCGTGCCAACATTGACATTTGCATGGTTTGATGAGCTCTTTGCGACAGGAGGCTGGACATCATGTAATGTTCTCGTCGCCAGTCTCGCTTCAACGCTCGAATCCAGTTGCTGACGCTCAAAAATGAACTGCCGCAATATGGAAATCTCGTTGCGTAGAGCTTTTGTGTCTGCCTTGGTCGTCCTGTTGGACCGACGGGCATCTTCTGGGTATCGGCACTCCTGATTTGATGCCACGCAAGAGTTGCAATGCGGTCTATCGCCGCTGCATTTGACCTGAGGAAGTATTGTCAGTGGCTATGCGGAAACGTTGCTTTGGCCATCGATCTGTATGCATGTTTGCTCACTTTCTTTGTACGACATCTCTCACACGTTCGGCAGAACAGGGTTGTCTTGGAAACACCAATCCTTTTCGGAGGACGCTTCGCAGAAGCACGCGTTTCGGTAGTGCTGCCATTCGGCATTGTGACAAGTCCAGGAGCACCAAATATCATCGAACATACGATAATCGCTAGTAAATACAGAGAATACCCCTCGGAGAAGAGTTGCGACCCAGCAGATTATTCGGACAATGGGACTCCGCCGATAGTTCCCCCACAGTCGATAATCATCTACCGATTTTATGGAGCGAGCGTGCGGGGTAAGATTGGGTGCCCGAGATTCATCCTAACCAGCAAAAGCTAGATTTCAAACTCGGAATGATAATCAAGTATTTGGAGTTCCGTGCCTTGCTGTCATGGAATCCTCCTCCCCCTGGGATTGAATCGGAAACGGAGGTGCAATGACCGAGAAATGGAGGTCTCGTGTCAACACAGGCATTGACCTTAAATTTCTCCCAAACTTATTTCCAATTATGTGCTGGCTCGGACCTCATAAACTGGTGCTAGGTAAATATCGAAGACGGTAAAACGTTGAGAACGCTGGATTTCTTTCATATCTCGATATAAAACCACAGCCTTTGCTAGTCACCGGCAATCCAAAGATCTCATTGTAGTTTCTTCCTTCTCATCTCATTTCGCAATCAGAATGGCTTCTGGAAGGCTATCTTCTGACGATATGGCGTCTGTCGCGCCAGAGTATGGTTACAGACCCAATGGCTTCACGGAATATGAAATCTCGGAAGTGCCAATTCATACTCGCCGACAACTACGAGTAGTTTGTCTTGGCGCAGGATACTCTGGTATTCTCATGGGCATCATCTGGAACCAGCGCATGCAGGATCGGAATGCAGACCTCGTGATTTACGAGCGAAACAACGACCTAGGGGGGACATGGCTAGAAAATCGGTATGACCCAGGCTCCATTTAACTTCCCATTGCTCGAAACACTTGTTCATCTGTTCCATCAGGTACCCTGGCTGTCAATGCGACATCCCGGCGCACAACTATGCGTACTCGTTTGAGCCAAATCCGGAGTGGCCAAACTATTATGCAACGTCCGGCCAAATATACACCTATCTGAAGAAGACAGCCATTAAATACGATGTTGAGAAGCGTATCAAGTACCGACACAGTGTTCAGAATGCTGTCTGGAATGAAGAAAATGGCAAATGGAACCTCACGGTTCAACATGGAGACCGGATATTCCAGGACGAGTGTGATGTTTTCATCAACGCAGGGGGTGTTCTCAAGTAAGCGTACTAATTTCCGACGACCTGCTAATTGATGACTCTTACTAAACAATTTGTGATACTTGCAGCAACTGGAAATGGCCCGACATCGAAGGCTTCGAGACATTCCAAGGCAAGCTCGTTCACTCGGCCAATTGGGACGAGTCCTACGATTACTCTGGAAAGCGAATCGCTGTCATTGGAAATGGCTCTTCTGCCATCCAAATCATCCCGAAGATGGCTCAGGCTGCTTCACAGCTCACATCGTTCATCCGTTCGCATGCTTGGATATCTCCTGCTCCGGGCATTAATGAACCCACTGGAAACGACCCGGATATGGACGAGAAATACAACTATGCCCCGCATGTTCTCGAGCAGTTCAAAGATGATCCGAAATCGTGTCAAGAGCACTGCAAGAACCTCATTGATAGACGACTGACCAACTTCAAAAGAACCCATGTCCATTCAGAGGAACAAAAGGCTGCCCGCCAACTCTTCCAAGATATTATGAAACAACGTCTTGGAGACAGCCCCAAAGGCAAAGCTTTATACGACATGCTTGTTCCAAAGTTCCCTGTAGGATGTCGACGACAGACGCCAGGTCCAGGTTATCTGGAGGCGCTACTCCAGGATAATGTTGAGACAAGATGGGATGACATTGCTCGAATCACTCAAAAGGGAATATACACAAAGTCTGGAGAGGAATTAGAGTTTGATGTGATTGTCTGCGCAACAGGCTTTGATACAACTTTCAAACCACGATTCCCCACTGTGGGAAAAAATGGGGTGAACCTAGGTGAAAAGTGGACTAAGGAGATGCCAATGTGTTACTTTGGAATGGCAGCTGCAGACATGCCAAACTATTTTAGTATGTTTCATCTTTATCCATCATGTTGGTCTCTTTGACCACCTGCTAATGAAAGCACAGTGTTCATTGGCCCCAGCTCGCCTATATCCAACGGGTCTCTCGTCCAAGGGATCCAGATGATGGGCATTTACATTTGGAAGTGCATCGACAAGATTCAGACCGAATCTATCAAGAGCCTCACTATCAAAACTGACGCTCTCAAGGATTACTTTACCCACATACAGAAATTCCTGGACAGAACAGTCTGGGTGGGCGGCTGTCGCAGTTGGTATAAGAGAAATACTACTGATGGTCCTGTCGTTGCTATTTACGGTGGAACAAGCTTTCACTACCTAGAGGCATTACGCAACCCCCGATGGGAAGACTACGATGTGGAGCTTCTTCCGATGAAAGTTCCCAATCGATTTGCATATTTGGGGAACGGATTCACGATGCGAGAGGTGACGAATGGGTCTGTGGCCGATACACAAACATTGAATTTCGATGAATACTGGAACTTGTTTGTTTTGCCTGATATTTATGCCTGAGAAGCTTTTTCCTGTTTTACACATTAGATACATAAATGATACATTTACTTGGAAACGATTTTATTCACGTTTGAAGATCGCACTGAACATTCGAAAGGGGCCTACATTGAATAAAACTGCAGCTGTCTCTCGGCTTGCAGGCAGCAATGATTTGAAGGTCATCAATTTCCAGCTCAGTATCTATAATTCCTCTTCTCACGCCAATCGACCACTCGTGAAACTCGTTCCATCCGCTTCCATAGCTCCGGTATCGGTGTTCTTCGGAGGTATAAGACCGAGACCACGCAGCTTATAAGTAGTAGTTCACAAAATATGAGTTCCCCACCTCGAACGAATAAATCGTCGCTTCGCATAGTAAAGTCTCATCAGACCACCCAAAGCCATGCGTGTCCCTTATGTCAACGACGAGCAACTGCAGGCCTCTAAGGACCTTACCGAGGTCGCCATCATCGAGCGCGTCAGAGCGAGACGGCAACCCGGTGAACTTCTACCTCTTGACCGTGCTCTTTTAAATTCTCCACAAGTCGCAGATGGCTGGAACTCATTTCTCGGGGCTATTAGGCAAAGAACGTCTCTAACGGCCGACATCCGAGAATTAGCCATTTGCCGAGTGGCGCTGATAAACGGAGCGGAGTTTGAATGGTCGCATCATGCACCACTTGCTAAGGAAGCCGGGGTTGACGAGAGAGGTCTACGGGGTGAGGCCGAAAATGAGTGGTTGACGGTGAAACAAAACGCTGTGCTACGGTATACGGATGAAATGACAAAGGATGTGAGGGTATCCGACGACACATTTCAGAATCTACGCAATTATTTTTCAAGTAAGGAAATTGTGGAGCTTACTGCAACGATTGGGGCATACAACTGTTGTAGCCGTTTCTTAGTAGCGCTGGATGTTGGGGAGAGAAATGGACTGGTCAATCATGAGGATTGGGTTTATTAATGTTCTTGCGGTATGATATACTACCACACTATTACATAACAACAAAATGACGATCAAATTTCAGGGCATACCAGTATGGGACGGGTCGTTGTAGGGTATGCCAATCTAGAAGGTGTTTGGGTTTGGGTTCGGGTAATTGATTTGCTCAATCCAATCGAATTTGCCACTAAACTAAATTTGTTCTAACGCGTAAAAAGTCCGACACATGATGTACATCACCCCCGCAGTGCGGAGAAACTCATAGAAGCATCAGCTAGCAAACAAAAAATAAATCACAACACGTCACCGAATGACAGGTTCTTCCCCCTATATATTTCCTTAATATTCCAACCACTCCTATCAAGCAGCTTACACTAGAGACTCGCTTCTCAACCATTTCGCATTTATACCATCATTCCTCGAAAGTTCCCAACCTACCGTTCCCCGCATCCTCATTCCACCATGAACACAGCCTCGGAGGGGGACAAGGCCGCCGCGGCCTCTGACTGGGCTGCAGCTATCAAACACTACACAAACGCGCTTATAGAACTACCGCGTGCCCCAGGCTACTACATCAAACGATCAACAGCCTACTCTCGCCGCAAGGACGGCGAGGGCGGCCCAGACTACCACGCCGCGCTTCGAGACGTCGAGCTCGCTCTAGCCCTTGCTCGTGAACGCGGCAAGCGAGAACTAATAATCGAAGCCCAAATACGGCGCGCCATTGTCTTTTTTCAGTTGGAAAAATACGGTGACGCGGGGTACCTGTTTGACATTCTTGCCGAGAAACTCGGGGTTGGAGAGAAACAAAAAGCAGAGGATAAATCGGCACAAGTGCAGGCTGCAATGACGCAAAAAGGATCCCAGAAGCAAGAGAATGAGTTGTCGATCTGGAAGATCAAGGTCAAAGGGAAAATCGACAAACTGGACGCAAATGATCAGAGGTTGGCCGTCACGGTTAAGGAATATCCAGATACCAAAATCCCGTCGGAGCAAGAGCTTAAGAAAAACCTCACGGCCCAGTTGGCAGCCTCAACGACTTCGGGGATTGTCGAGGAGCTGCCTGACGATAAGCCAGCTGGAGACAAGACAAAGGAGACGAAGTTGGATGTAGCTGGTCCTGGCTCGGCTGCGCCTTTCACAGCCGGTCCTGGCGCACCTCCAGCTGCAGCGCCAGCGCCAGCGCCAGTCAAAGTTCGACATGAGTGGTATCAGTCTCATGACTCGGTAGTTGTGACGGTATATGCCAAAAATGTCAAGAAAGATGAGTTAGAAGTCGATCTGCAAGATGACTCGGTGAGTTTCTCATCAAATTAACTCCAAATATTGGAAGCTGATTTAAAAACAGTTATCTCTTGAATTCCCCCTATCAACTGGGTCTACGTTTGCATTTAATCTAGACCCCTTTTACTCTTCTATCGACCCAGCACAATCAAAAGTCAACGTTCTATCTACGAAGATCGAGATTACACTTCGCAAGAAAACACCCGGACAAAAATGGGGCGCATTAGAAGGGACTGCTACAGATACAAAACCCATAATAACACCAAGCATCCAGCCTTCTCAATCCACCGCACCGTCATATCCCACATCCTCAAAACACGGTGTCAAAAACTGGGACAAACTTGCCACTGATCTGACAAAGAAGAAGGACAAAAAGTCTGAGGCTAAGAAACCCGAAGACAATGCCGGGTCAGGAGGCGACGACGACGACGACGACGCAGAGTCCATCGACTCAGAGTATGGCGGCGGGGACGCAGTCGACTCGTTTTTCAAGAAACTCTACGCAAATGCAGACCCGGACACGCGACGCGCAATGATGAAGAGTTACCAGGAAAGCCAGGGTACATCTCTGAGCACAAACTGGGATGAAGTGGGCAAAAAGACGGTGCCTGTTCATCCGCCATCGAGCGATTAAGCGGTGTTTCTTACATCACCATTTTTATGACATGGCCTTTGAGACATGGGAAGCGGCAGCTCTGCATTCGATCACTTTCTGAGGTCGTGGCGTTTTTTTTTTCTTTCTAATCTTTATGCGAAGGGAACTTTGAAGTTTGCAGCACGTGGAGTTGAGGGAATCGTCAGCCAACTGAGAAAGCGAAGGTTGGTATTAATTAGGTACTTTTATATAAGGTTTATTTTTACACCAAAAATAGAATTTCATCCATCACACAAATTTCATGTCTGGGAATCAATATTTGGTTCTTTTGTTCTCTACGACTCTTCCTCATCACCCTCACCCTCATCCCAATCATCGTCCTTTCTGTACAAGAAAAACTGCACGAAAATAGCCATATCAAGCAACAGAGTACCCAAACTGCCCACTAACCACGACAAATTCACCAGAATATATCGTCCATAAACCGCCGCCGCCTCACCAGGCCCACAAACATCGGAGCGACAAACAGGCTCATATGCAAATATTGACAACACATATGTCAGATTCCCGATGCACGCAAATAAAAAGAATAGGAGCGATACCCCTTCCGTCGATTTTCGGCGATAGTTGAGCAGGAGCTGTGGGATTCGTGAACCGAGGTACAGCACGGCGCAGAGGTAGCCGAAGACTTGGCCCCAGAAGTCGAGTGTGAGCGCTGCACCGGGGGTTGGCAAGTCTTGCTCCGATTTGGAGCGCTTGGTGAGATGCGAGCTGACGTACCAGCCTAGAATACCTGCAGCGCAGACAAGGACGATGGCGAAGATGTTGAAGAAGGCGGCTTGGAGGTTGGACGGTGGGCGCGAGGGCTGGACGCTGGTGTTTATTTCAGTTGCGTCGATGAATGGTGTTGCAGGAGACAGGTGGGTGCCGTCGACATGAATCCATTGGGAGTGTGCATGTCGGTGGTCTGCCGTAGTTTGATAGTCTTCAGTGGGATGGCCATTCCCATTCCCACTTCCATTTTCCAGAAGTGTCGTTCTCTCGGTCGGCTCTTGACTCTCTGCATCCTGCCCATTCGGCTTAATTTGTTTCGCAGGCTCATCTGACAGGGTGAAGCCGCGGTAATAGAAGCATTGTCCGAGCAGAACAATATCGGCAAGAGTGTAGTACACCGCGAGAATAATCATCGTCGGTAATACACCCTGCAGCACTGAACCAAGGATGTTGAAAACATCGCCGGCCAGCCAGACAACAACAAAAAGAAGAGAGAGTCCATCTGCAGATCCTCGTCGGAAATTCTCAATAATCTGGGGCGAGAAAACGACGACCCAGCAGGCAATAGATATCGAGCTGTAATTAAATGTTAGTATAGTTGAAATAAGATGGGACTGGTTAGCGTACCCAAGGATGCCACTCAAGGCATCGATGTCCAAGTTTCCTGACTGAGGAGGAAACATGTTGAAGGTGGTCAATGAGTCATATACAATCAGAAGGAGATATATACACTACGTATGCAGGGCTCTTGTATGAAAATCGACCGTTGAAAACTTTATCCGCGACGGCGGATAGCCGTGGCCAGTGAGATGACTCAGCAAATAAATCGAGTTAAGCGGCTGACAAGTGTTGTTGCCTGAGGCACACGATATTAATCAAACTTGACCTTCAAGCCCATGGCTATATGAGTTATTACTTCCTCGGCTGAATATGTGAGCATTGCTGATTACTTTTCATATGTCTGAACTGATGATTTACTCTAATCACAATACCTTCAGTGCCGCAGGAATGACGCACGGCCATGGTGACAAGTCCGTAGTCACTGCCCGGATCCAAATCATTCTCAACCAATCTCCCATTGCATAGGTAACGTCCCCCCTCGAAACGTCATTTTCGATATCTGCTATCAACTCCAGAGCCGTCCGTACATAGACCATATTGGCCGACGCTAAATATCAGCCCAAGAGTGTACCACTTGCTCGAACCAGTAGCTTGAAGTTGATCTCGGCAGATGAGTAGATTTACGGTACTCAGAACTTAATTGATGGGGTAGCCTAGGATGATAACTCACGCCAAAGAAGGTTTCCCCGGGTTCACCAGGCGGAGAGATTGGCGTTTGCGGGTTCGCAGATGGACGGGTGCATCTAGGTTCCAAAGATAATGTGCTCATGGAGGACGAACCTGATAGTCACCGTGGAACTAAGGGCTGGAAGGAGGCGGAGAAGGCGAATAGACGATGAGATGGGAAACATGGTTTTGGATATTGGTTGAATCTGGATGGTGCATTTGTTTTGTAAACAGTAGACGCTGGCGGTAAGGATTTGTTCAGTTGAAATTGTTGATGATTGGGCAAATGGGAAGAATGAAGGAATTAGGTATGAAGCAATGCAAGGAAATATCTAGGTTAGTTTATAAGTGCCGAGGTAACACTGGTTTCTGAGAGAATGGCAAGGCTTTGGATGACCGCTCGAAAATTACCTTAACAATTCTACGCTGTGAAGGGGTATCAGCAACCAGACTTGTCCATCACATTTTAGTAGGCAATCTAAGGCATACTTGGCCTCTCTCTTCAATATCCATGGAACTAGTAACTCATGGAATGCTGTGTGCAGCAACGTTCAGTTTCTTTCAATTGGGTAACTGACATGGAGAGCATTTAACTCATAAATGAAGTCGTAATAAATAGTCAATACAATATGATGTAATAGCAGTATAGAAGACGGGTATTCCAAGAAGTCACAAGATGAACGTGAATATGTTGACCCTGAGCATTCAGACGAGCCTAAACTTAAAGCGACTTTGCAAAAAAGAACGAAAAAATCTATCGCGAATCTCAGGGTATTTTTCTTTATCCTTATTTCGATATTGTCAATGGCACCCTGAAGTACAGGAGCCCCCTCGAATAAGTGAACGATTGGATATTACATAAATGGTCCTCTGTGCACTTTGTATCTTGCTAAGGTGTTTGATTGTTTTGTGTCATAGTATCCTGGTATGGGTTTTCATCCCCTTATCCTCCATAGGTGTTTCCTATTCCTAAATGCTAATGTAGGGAATATCTAACACTCTTTTAAATTGATCTTGTTGTATTGATAAAATTTGTCTTAACTATACAAAGATAGTGTGCTCCTATTTCTTCAAGATAGGCTTCCGTAGCTGCAAGTATCCCTCGATGGCCGTGTATGGCGGATCTTCAAACCGGGGCCGCTGATCCGAATCTATTAGTCCTAGTGGCATGAACGATGTTTCTTCCGCTGGCTCGTCTTTCTTGACCGGATGGCTATATGGCTGAAGCCAGGTCCAATCCTTAGCATCCATACCTGGAACAGCAACTGGGCTAGGCCGCACGATGTCAACTTTTTCTAAATTGTAATCCGCATGCAAAGTGTGTGACTCGTCGAAGTTGGGCACATCCTTGGTAATCACCAACGGGCCCGCGTGAAAGAAAGCCGTCATACGCGATAATGCAGTCTGCCACGTCCAAGGCGGCAGTTTGACGGCTTTGGAAGGGAGGATTCCAGAGTAGGCGTGTACAGCAGTAAAAGGGTCCATGATGGCACCGTAGACATTACGGCCCAACTGCTGGTTTCTCTCTCTCTGAATGGAAGTTGCGTCCTTATTTGGGTCAGTGTAGAAGGCTTGGAAGGAGGGATAGTTGGCTGCTTCGATCTTGCGTAAGGGTGCGGTGTCGGACAGGCCATATTTTTTGTCAACCCCAAAGTAGGTGAAGCAGTCGTCGAGCTTGAAATCATTGCCCTTTTCCGTGTTCTCCGTCACGTTGAAATACCCGACCAATCCATCATAAGCCCGGTCTTTGTCACCCATCTGAAATTTGAAGGTATACAGCGGTCGTTCCGTATTTATTCCCGTTTGTTTGGGGAGTAGAAATCGCTCTGGTGCCGTTTCATTTTTCGTGGATTGGTTAACGTACTCATCATCGGCTAGCTCGAGACTCCAGGCCACTGTAGTTAGTGCCAGTGGCCTCCCAACGACACTGCTCTGGAACTGGGAGTAGGCATCAGGGACCAACTGAGATGTCTGGAGGGACTCGTTGATCATATTTACAAAGGACTGCAGGTAATCTGGCTTTCCCAGTTTCTCGATCAGATAGTCTAGCTGGGTAACTGGTTGTCCTTGACTCGGCTTGTCAAAGGGAAGCCATTTATCGGATGTACTGGCCGCTGTCTGACCTCCGAGTCGTACCTCGCGGTAAAAGGTCCCATCTTGGAGAAAGATCTGGATACCGTATTCGGCGTAGTTGATAACTAACCACCCCCATATGGGATTCTCCCATTCTATTCCATAACAAAACATATTAGATTGATTTCAAACATCACACGGAATGGGGGGCAAGAATGGAAAATTCACCGGTCAGTGGTATCCAAGACTTCATATCGGTGTCTCTCTTAACAAACGCACTATTGACACGGGCAGGCTGGTTGATATGGGGCCACATTTGGATGAACTCATTCTTCCCATCCGGCTGCGTCTCAACCGTATTAGCCACCTTCGGGTTATCTGATTTGGACTGTGGTGCATAGAAGTCGCTAATACAAGGATACAGCGGGGGCGGTCCGCCCGGTAACCAGCGTGGATCGATGGCATGAATTGCCTGGCCGAATTTGTCAATGATGTTGATCTTGGTGAACTTGAATTGGCCGTGAACTGCCGGCTTGAAGGCCGCCGCCGGGAAGTCGTAGAAATTGACCAGCTGAGCGTAGGGGGTCAGGTCGGTCTCCGTCCCCATCGCCTCCAAGACCTCATCGATGAATCCGGCATCCTCCTTAAAGGCGCTTGCGATACCCTTCAGTTTCTCGCCCGCCAATCGTAAAGTTGGCTTTATATGGCTGCCGTGCGCAAGAGTGGCAAGATGGTCATGTAGACCAGCTAACGGGGCAGACAGAAACTTGAGCTTTTCCAAATTGTCAAATAGTTCTTGTCGAGCGGCTTTGTTCAGAATTTTATCCTGCTCCTTCTCAGGAAGAAGCTGGAAGAGCTGCTCGATCTTGGATCGTAGCGAGAAGTTTGGATGTGGAAGAATGAGGTTTCGCCCTGAAACACGTCGACGGTCGATCTCTGTTTTCCCAGCAAAATCTTTGCTGACGTCTTTGCCAGCCTGAATCCCGTACTGCAATTTACCGGATCGCTGCTCCAGTGACCAGTAATCATAGGCAATGTGGCTATATTCCACCTCCCATTCTAGAAATAGCGGAAACCATGGCTGTGTGCTGTTCCACTGGTCACGGAGTACCCCAGGACTCTTAGGATCGGTATCGTGATACTGGGGTGGACAGGTTGTCTCCAGCGATCGACTTTCCACGTTGGAAGAAGCCTTGGGACTCAGGCTGATGAACTCCTGTACGAGAGCCCTAGCTACATTTTGAATATCCGCCGGGAGGTTCTTGATGCCACAATCGATATCTCTTGAATAGTCCGTTGCTGCCTTCCACGTCGTGATATCTGTATTGACTCGAACTTGTTGTGCCTCGCGCCAGTCCGTAGGCCATCCAGAGGATATATTGCCGACGAGAAGCGTTGGATCACGCTGGCGGTAGAAGCTAGGCATTGCCCCTGGTTGAGCTTTTGTTAGGGTCGGGTCGGCTTTCAATTTTTGAATCTCTTGTCTGGAAGAATCTATCTCCTCCGATAGGTTCTTGATCTCCCCTTGATATAATATCTGAACTTTTTTTTTATATATACCCATTAATTGTTTGTAGTCTTTATCTTCTGCGTCCTCCCAGACACATTTCCACCAAAGTGAGAACAAATCCCACTGTTTGCGTCTGAGAGCACGCTGCAAGGCATCAAGTCGGAGTTGTTCTTGATTTAGCAGTGCAAGATTTGATAGAGCCTGTGTGCTAGGAGGAGAATAGTCCTTAGGCCTGTCCTCGTCGCCAGCCAGATGAAACTGCGTACCTCCATCAAATGCATCGTAGTTATAGTTATACATCAGATCACTAGCTATCTGCTGCCCGTCGACAGTGTCATCCTGGTTGATGAGGTATTGTTGAATCTGGATGATACTTTTCATTACGTGATGGATTGTGTCATCTCCTCCATCCTGATGAGCGTGGACATAAGCCAGAAGGGCATCGAGGGGAGTACTTCCCACTGCAACGGGCATCAGATTGTTCAGGTCTTTACTGCACTCGTCGGCCTCGACAAGATTCGGTTTTTTTTGCCAATTCCACTCTACGCCGTAAATGGCCCCATGACAGATTGTGAGTCCAGAATCCGTGCGATTCCACCATGTTTGATGGTCCGGGTTGTTGGATTTGAAAACCTAGCAAAGACAATAGGCTGTAAGTCCATATTCCATTGGACATCTTTGAGGTTCATACGGAAGTCAAGAACAGCCACACTTACCATATCCAAGAATTCAAAGCGGACTGAGCGATTTAGCGAAGCTCCTGATATAAAAAAAGGGTCTGCCACTCAGTACGACTATCAGTTGAGTCCACGGTCCTGTTCGTAACCCGTAATACATTTGGATCCATATGTAGTACTCACCCTCATTCGCGCTGGCATGCCATCCTATCACATAGTAGTCCGCCGTAGCCTCTTGCAAACAATCACCGGACTCGTACTCAAAATTGTCCACCAGACTAAGCACATTGCTATTGTGGCACTGGAAATCCGCAAAGAGCATGTTTCCAGAGCCTAGCACACTGAGAGGCACTCTGTCGGCCTTGGTCTCGTTCCACTTGTCGGCGGGAGACTTTTTACCGATGAAGACTTCAGCCTGGTGGTCGATAGATTGTCCGACCTCCGCATGAACAAAGGGGGTGACATCGACTTCGAGATCTACAGATCGCTCGATATTGTCGATGACAAACTTTCGGTCACTCTCAATCACCCATGCCTGGTATTCTGGAATCTTCCCTGCCGGCTTAGCAGTGTCCAAATGAAGACGCCGGATTACCAACCATCGTGTTGGAATAGGTCTGAACTGGGCTGCGTTGTTGTCGACATCTTCAGAGATAGGCTTTTGGAGACCCTCCTTGTCATGGTCCTTGGTGCCCGACTTAGTAGCTGCAGTCCCAGATCGATAGACGGGAGGTATCATCCAGTGGACATAGACTCCCATTCGATTTTTACGAGGATCTCCTGTACTCAAGTCCGTGGCTCGCGAGTTTAATTCCACGGGTGTAGTATTATGAAGGTCGGTATGTGGCTGGATGTCGTTCTGTCTCTAATATTAGTATGTGAAACCTTTCATGGAAGACAAATGGAAATATAGATTTGATGTTGTTACCTGAAGAATATTATGCTTCAGACGGAGAAAGGTGTAATTAGGTTGCGTGATAGGCGCGATTTTTGCTAAGGTTTTCGCATCACTATTATCCGTACAAACTTTTTCGTTTAAGATGAAGGCATCTAGTTTCATAGGCACCGCTAAGGTAGAATCGAGTTGAGACATGATTCTGGCAAGGGAATAAACGGGGGACAATAGATGAAGGAACCCAAAATGGAGACGGGATTACCGAGTTAGAGAACAAAGGCAGGACGATCTCATGGTGTTTAAGAATTTTAGGCTTCGGTTCCAGTGCATTTCCTACAGAGTATTCCACAAACTTCTACACACAACATAGAGAAAAGGAGTTCGGTGATATTATGCTGCATGTAAGGAGCTCGCAGATTGAATGCTGCAGTAGAGGGGGACTATAATGATTCCTAATAGGTTATGCGGTTCAGAGAAGACCGATTGTTCACCTGCCATGCAAAAGGGAGAATCATACAACAGCAACAGCATAAAGGCGGCAAGCATTGCCCAAGGACACCATCCTCGAAATCTGTTCGAAACCTCTCTTGTTTGCTATCTAATCTCAAAAAGTGGAACATTCTCCTGCCTCATATTACTCATCTTCATCATGGTTAATGTCACCGTGTGCCGCACGCCTACCAATCCTCGCTACCTGACTCATCGTCATGTACGAAAGCTACTAGCCAAGGCGAAGTCCCCGGGAGAAGGGGAGAGCGACGACCAGTTGCAGGTTCTGGAGCCCAACGAAGAGCAGCTCTTCTCATTCTACATACCGTCCCTACCAGCGGGGAAGCATACCATTACCACGTCCCAAACGGTCACCGTTCCCAGCTACGCCACGGGCGAAAAGGATGCCAACCTGCAGGCGACGAAAGAATTCACGGTGGTTGCACCGCGCTACAAACTACCAAATGGGAGCATCCATTCCGTCTATCCCCCGCAGGGACATGCAGACGAGGTGAGAATGCTGCCGCATGTTGTCTTCAATGATTCCCACCTCCCCTGGGAAAGATTGGCGACGGAGAAGGAAGAGCCAGACAAGGACAATAATCGAATCCCGTGGCTGGCATTGCTCGTTTTCGTACAGGATGAACTTCGTGTGACCGAGGCCGGGTTTCTTCCCACGTCAGTGAGCCAAAGTACGACTTGGGCTGCCACATTGACCCTCGAGGACCTGGCCAAGGTCTCCGCAGCCCACCCAATCCTGGATGCCAACAAAAAGCCGCGAGACGGTGACGATCCACATACTCAGGCTGACTTCATCTTCCCTCAAACTGCCCTGATTCGCGAGCTCTTCCGAGATCACACCCTGAAGAGTGACGTGGTGCAGGACAAGTGCAGTGTCTCTGCCTTCAAATTCCTAGCTCATGTGCGGAATATCAACACTATGGGCATGGCTAATAGTGGCATCGACGACGAATTTGGGACGTTTAGTATTGTTGTTTCACCACGTACCGGACCCCTGGACATCACGCAGCCCACCTCTGTGGTGGTCCATTTGGTCAATCTAGAAGGAGTGGACCAGCTTAGTTGGAATTTGCAAGAGTCCCGTGTCAGTCTGTGTAGTCTAGATAGCTGGTCGTACACATGTTTGCCACCAGACTCGTTCAATGTCTACGCGGCCCTCGAGAACATCGGTCATACGTGGGATCTTCTCCGACCTGATCCGACACTGATAGATGAGGCCAAGCATGGCACTTGCCCTACTCGGTTGCTCGAACGTCTGCAGGACGGCCATACAATTGTGAAATATCGCACGCAGACCGGCGAGGAGACGGCAGCTCTCCTGCGAGGAGTATGTGTGCCCAGCATTGAGACACATCTGGACCAGCCTGCGTCCAATTTCGGGACTGATCTGCAGGTCTTAGACAAGGATCTGGGGTTAATGGATATCACCTACAGTGTGGCATGGCAGTTGGGTAGGACAATGGCATTAGCGGATCAAGTAAATTTTTCTGCCCTCCCCCCCTCCTCCTAGCTTGCACGGGGCATGGGAATGGACTAACCTAATGGGATACGCGCAGAGCTTTACGACGGCGTTGGCACGAATCAGGATACAACTGACGCGCCAGACCCAGCAAGAGATCCTCTTGGCCGCATATGAGGCTACCGGTCAGATTTTGCGTCACAATGACATGGTCCAGAACATCCCCAGCTTTGTGGAGACACTCTCCTCACTGCCAAAGGATCGTCTAACACGAGGACCTGCCAGTCGATGGCGTCAGGAGAGGCAGAATGCGGGCGTCACCCCTGCTATAGACAGGTCATTTGAAGGCCCGCTAATGCAGGCACACTTTCTGGAGTATGGAATGCCACTGGCGACGCACATGGCCGCATCTACTGCACCCGGAGAGCACTATACAGAGTTCAACGACCCCATCAGCCCTGATTGGCAGATCGTGCTAGCCTGGGTGATGGACCGGATGCACCTCAGCGGCATTCCCGCACAGCATTTAATTCCAGACCCCTCATTCCTTCCCCGAGAGCGCTTGCGATTCTTCCACATTGATCGTCGGTGGGTTGACAGCTTCGTGGACGGGGCGCTCAGCATAGCCAACCACCTGCAACACGACGACAAGGTACGACAATTAATCAAGAACCAGCTGCAAGAGTACCTGGACAAGCCACTGCATGCCCAGGCGTATCCACCGCAGATTCCGTCACACGGTTTCTTGCTGCGGTCAGAGCTCTGTACGAAGTACCCCGACTTGATTGTCGAAGCCCCAGATCCCACCAGTAAGAAAGCACCAATTCTGCGACAGGAGAACATCGATGATGGCGTTCTTCTGGTCCTGTTTGATCGAGTTCCGGGCAGCGCCAGTTTGCCCAAGTTGATTCTTCGTCAGCCCCCACATCAGCAGGCCTTTGCGGTGGGCGCTGATCTGACCCGCGATTTGCTCGAAGTAGAGTTCAAGCGAGTATACACAATTCCCCCCCCAGACCCGTTTCCCTCGGGCGGCTTCCAGCACACATACCACCGCGTCAATCCCCCGAAGGACGAGCAGAAAGTCTTTGTGTGGGATGGAGAAGCGCTGCCGAATGTGCACAGTCTACGGCTGCCACATTTTGTACAGGAGACCTACGATACAATCCGCAAGGGGATGAAGACTGGCGAATTCACGGAGACATGTCCCACAGCAGCACTCCTGGGCATTCAGCTAAATGATCCCATGTACTTTCTTCAACTGGGCTTGCAGACGGGAAGTCCTGCTCCGTTGGACGACGGCCGGTTTCGCCAGTTCAAAACCGTGCAGGGCGGACCGTCGCGGCCCGGCCCGTCCCCGTTAGCCGCTATTGCTCGCCAGCCAAGGATGGGGCCGTTGTATGACGACTGGCTACAGGCACTGCCATCACCGCTCGAGCGGCTGCGGATCGCCAATGCAAAATGCGGGGCGGCGAAGCAAGGAGCTGCCGGATCCCCTTCTTCTATGGAACGACTCCGTGGAGACGTTCGAGAAACGCAAGAGCATCCTTCCCAATCCAGCTATTCAAGCTCAGAGCCAAAGCCTTCCTTGGACGACCCTGCACAGCCGCCTAAGTTCATCTACAAGGTCTTTCCGCTAGGTATGACAGCAGACCACAACAGCGGGGTTTCGATGTACAAATCAGGCGTGCAGCAAGACTTGATCTTTTACATCTATCTCGCCAATGATCCCAGTGACTACAGCCTGCAGGAGATCAGCATTCGTGTCCCCCTAGGCCCCACTACCGCGCCTATCAAATGCCTGGCTGCGAACTATCGTGGACCAGGGGCCGTAATGCTCAGCAATCTACGCTACAACGTCATCGCTGTTTTTATCACGGACCAGAAACAACAGTATCTCCAGCTGCGGATCATGGTGCGAAGCGTAACCAAAGGCAAGGTCGAAATACAGAAGGGGGACAACCTGAGCATTGCATTATCGGGGGTCTCAGTAAACTTGTATAGTAAGCCATGTTGGGTAATTGGGCTGGTGGAGGAAAAATATGAACAGACGACGATAAAACCGGACAATATTGAGATCCAATTAGTGTTGGAGTAACGGCTATACCGCGGACTCTTACGGGCTGATAGCCCAGACGACTAAATTCTCAATTTCAAAAAAAAAAAAAAGAAAACCTCGTTTACCTTGTAAGTGTTTCATACTAGATAGATACTACCAAAAAATATCAATTGATACATTGTAAAATAATACCTGAACTTTACACCGGGAAGCCCCGTTATAGACAATCTACATGGGATAGGAATTGCAAATCTCGATGTAATAACGAAACTAAAATAGCGATTGTAGAGTGATCACTGCAGACAATGTAGGGCACGGCTTGACAAGTTATCCTCGGGAGTAAACTCAAAGGAGAGTAGATCCAATATAGAATCAACTCTATGCACAATCATAGGCATATAGGGAGTAGGTGGTGCCGCTACTCGTTATGTAAAAGACATAGATCTTCTTTTTGCCTGAATCATCCAAAGGAACAGCGGTGATGTTAGTTGCCGCGTTGACTTCATCTGCGCCTTTGGCATCCTTTACGGTCCATTCGGAGCCATTAAAACTGCCAACCACTAGTTGGTTGGAAGCCCCTGCATAGAAAAGGTACCCCGCGTCTCCAATCGTACAGGCGGCTAATGGTGTTTTACCTCGCGGCAGCAAATTGTCGGACACAGGGGTTTCTGAATGCATTGGTTCTTTTAGTCCGTGGACTGTCCTGACTATCTGGCTGCGGAAGAATCCAACTTACCGACATTTTTTACTGCGTCCATGTACATGAGCGTGCCAGAAGCCTGATAAATCACATACCGTGCGTTCCCTTTTGGCACGTAAAAAGCGGCAAGGTAACTCCCATCAACTGGATTGGAGCGAGTAAGGGTCGTATGGCCAGAGTTGCCGATGTTCAACTCGTGGACTCTTTGGATCTGGTCTCCTTTTCTGTTATTGGAAATCGGCTGTCAGAAATGTGCCCTCAATACTAGCTCATTTACCTGATTGAACTCACGCAAAATAATAGACCCATTGGGCTGTGCTTGATTCACATGCCGCAAGAGAAGACCAGTTCGCTGCGGTTTCGGGCTTGGTGCTCAAAGCTTCAAACGAAGGGCTCACAGAGCACAACACGTTGTCTTCTCGGACTCCAAAGACGTAAGGCTGATAGAATCGATCTCTGAATTAGCAGAGGGAGTTTGGGGATGTGGGGAGTGAATCGTCTGGCCACAGTACTTACCAATCCATCGATCGTGAGGCCGGCGAATGAACTCGGGTTCTTCACGACCCCCTTGTTGGTTTTCTCTGTTTGATGTCCTTGTTGTTAGTATGTGTATATGAAACATGTGGTAGTTGCTAGTTGCCTTCATTGGGGGTCTCTCCAGCTTGGACCTTGATTGTGCCGGTGATCTGTTGCCCGGTAGTATCAAACAAGCTGATACCCACCTGGCTAGTGGGAGAGCACGTGTACAGCACCAGCTTTTTGGTGTCCAAGGGATGAATTAGAGTTGCAGTGGCAGCCATGATACACTAATCAAAAAGGCAATAAAAGCTTTAGATGCAGTATCAATTGATTGATGTAGTGTCTGTGCGAAAGAAAGTGGTCAACAACTTTGGAAGGTGAGTAGGTACCAATGGCATCAAGTCCGATCATAAAGATCTAGGGATTATATACAATATATATATACAGGCCTGGTATTTCATTTACGTCACAAATTTCCCTCCGCATGCAGACCGCCAGTGGCTATCGTCTTCAGAGGGGGTTACTGTGCCGCTCAGAATTGCTACCTAAGTTTGCATCTGTAAGTATCCTGCACCAGGTGCATGAAATCTGTGCAGTAACTCCTCATTCTGTACGACACTGGGCATTCCGCATGTAGAAATGCCGTCCTCCTGCAACATTTGAAGCAAGGATATCAATATTGGTTAAATACTTCTTTGACTGGTCTCAAATCGGATTCACTGATGCCTGCAGTTCCCAATCGGGGGTTGCGGAATGAAAGTTCTCAGATATCGCCGCCTGTCGTTTCCACATTCCTAGGCATGTATAATGCACTTCCGTGGTTGATTTCAGCCCGCCACATATACGGCAGAGACAGAGCAAAAGCTCGGAACTGGGGTCCCTGGGTTACCCTAGCCACAGAAACAGCGCCCCTGTTCTGTAAGAAAACTACTGAATGCTATAAACACATTGGAATTCAGATTGAAATTGAAATTGCTATACTCATAGTGATTGATATCGTATACATTACTCTTCAACATGACAGATCCGTGGCGCGTAGAAAGTTACCACGTTGCTGTGTCAATTGGTGACGCGGCAATACACTTACTAGTTAATGAACCGGCCGCTGGGAAAGCTACTGTGGAAAGAGCGTGTCTGATTGATGGAGGCGAGACTGACGGACTCCAGCCTCTTTCACTCACCATCCGTTGGATCGAACGACATCACAGCCTAGAAAATCTTCAATTTGATAGCGTTGTTGTCACTCATTGGGACTCAGATCACTATAAGGGTGTCGTTGCCCTGATCAACGACGATCTCGAAAAGCAGTTTGAGGATCTGAAGAAAAAGTATGATCCTGTCCCCGCCGATAAGGTGGCAGAGTTGAAGTGCAAGTATTTCAAATATGACAAGTCATCCAAATGTCTCACCACCTTCTACGCCCCATACTGGGACGGATTTGCAAGAAAGGATTTTGGGGGGGGATGGACATCTGCTGTTGTTCTAGAATCTGAAGGAGATGATCCCAAGGAGAAGAAGCCGGTGAAGGCTCAAGACCGGCCAGATAACCTTACAGAGAACACGGATGATCCAAAGAACCGTCTGCTCAATTTTGGATTGATGAAGAACAGCACAGGCAAGCTGATGTACGACTCGAGCGGGAAACCGTATTTTGCCAACGGAATCTGCAAGCTGCGCTATACTCCAATCGAATTGATCGGGGTCAACTTTTTCAATAACATCAACGGGTTCAACGAGACCAGCAAATACCAAGATGCAAAGGACCGAGCTGCACTCGTCGGACAAGTCGACTGGAAAGAGGCCCCGGTGGGAGTTGTATGCCTGGCCAGTTTGAACGGGTGCATTGGGGACTCTGATCCAACGTTTCAAATAGGGAAGAAAAAAGCGCTAGGGGATCCTAGTTTTGACAAGCCGCCTCCCCCTGATGTTGTGAACGACAAAAAGTGCAGCAAGAATAATTGGGCTTCCATTTGCGCTATCGTGATTTGGCAGAATCAGAATGTGTCACACTATTTTGCAGGGGATGCGCCGTGGTTTATCGAGAATCGCCTGGCAAAGTGGCTCAACACAACCGTTCCAAAGATGAAGTTGAGGTAGGTGGAAGACATTCGTTCTCAGGATTTGATAATAACGGATAAAAAAAGCCATCATGGGTCACTGTCTTCAACATCAATGGACCTCCTTAACAAGTTGAACCCGGAATTGATCGTTGTGAGTGCAGGAAATAAATACTGGCATCCGTGTATGTGATCCCTTCCTTTCCCTGCCTCTTCCACCAGCTCATCCCAGCATCCCAGCATGGGCAACCCTCGCCTACCTGAACGCCCGGCTTCTGGATAAACCCACTAAAATGAAGCCCTTGCTTGCTACACGGTAAGGATGAAGAACGAGGTGGTCTATGAGAATGAAGGCGCTGACCTGTCGTGCTTAGATACCCATACTACTGCATGCCTGAAGGCACCAGCGATAAATACGATCGGAAGGGATCATACGGAGATCTTGTGGAATTTGTGAGTGGCGACATTAAGTTGGATAATAACAGTGTCTGGAAGCAGTACCTGGACGACCTTGCCAACCGGTATGTGGAGTTTAACAAAACAACCAAGCCCAATGTGCAAGATTTCCGCGAGCAGGCGAAAGCGTTCTATAAAGGGATGCAGTCAAAAGTCGACAAGTACATAAAGGAGCACAGCGTTGAAAACCTTCGAAAGCTCTTGATCGAGTATAATTGCCAGGTTTGGATGGCCTGGCAAATCGACCAGGCGTGGCAGGCGTGCCTCAGCGAAATGTACAGTATGACCTACAGAGGCAAATTGGAAAAGAGCAAAAAACCACTTGCCATCTGCGTTACCAGTCACCAGGAGTCCATGGATTGGTACTGGGTAACAATCTTTCAAGAAGTCACAGAAACACGGGTCGCGGGGAATCGGCCAGCTACGGCAGTTACTGCGGTCCCTGGTGTTGTTGGCCTGGTAAATTTATATGGGGATGTTCCAGATACGCTGCTCGGATTCTCAGATCAGGCGTTAAAAGAAGCTATAGAGGGAGCAGACAAAATAAAGCGAAAAGCGACGGCAGATGAGAAGGTCAAGGGAAAACGGCCTAAGCCTTCAGAGAGCGATACTGTCGCTACGGCGGGTTCCGATATGAGTCCTCTGTTACCCATCATATCAAACCCATCCCCTGCACCAACTCCATCTCCTCCTATCCCGGACGGGTACTGGTATGCCGCCAGCACGGAATCTACCGATCCTCGTATCCAGACGTTACCCAAGGGTACGGATCTGGACAGCTTTATTGGGGGGTTGCATTGGCGGATGTTCGGGCTGACTGCAAAGCCAGCGGCTGGAACTGCCCAACAATTCCTCAAAAAGGACGAATGGTTGAGCTGGAGTACAGACACCATTGGGGCAAGTCAAATGACTGTAATCACTGACAATAGTGGAATACCAGACAGCTTCCAAGTACAGATTCCTGCTCCCTGGTCGCCGAAGGGTCTTCTGTCCTTTGATAGCGCCGCCGTGACCGCGGCCTTTGGGTTGAAAACGGCACTGCCGAACCATGGAATTGTCAGCCAGCTTGATACGATGGTCTTTGCCCTCGTATCTGCTACAGAGCAGTCAGCACATGCAACCCTCAAAGATATATTTTCCTATGCAGGGCTCTCCACACTCACTAACTCACCGCTCGGTAAGGTAATTGGAGAAAGTGTGAATCTCACACTGCGTATGGGCCCTGGAATCAGGAACGCGGTCTGGTTTGCTCCCCATGGGTTGTACCGGACCAGTATGCGCCTCGAATGGGTCTTTGATGACGAGGGAATTAAGAGGCTCGAGCAATTATTCAACTTTGAGGGGAAAATTCCAATTAAATCCGCCAGCCTAACCACCCGAATTGCCGGCTGCTGGAATTTGTCAACGAATGGTGTGCGGGTAGCAACCTCCAACCACGCCCTCCTGGTGGTGGATTTGGGTGGTAACGTATTTGCTGGCTTTCAAGCAGTCGTCCAATTTGACACTAAAGCTTCCTGGATTGAGTTGCGTTTACAAACCAAAGACAAAGATATCCAGCTAACTCAAATCCTTACGTGGCTATCTAAAGAGGTCAAAAAATCGTTCAATGATCTGGATCCTACCGTTGAGTTGCAAGAGCTACTTAAAGCTGTCACAAGCATGCTGGATAGTATCCGCATACGTGAATTCAGCATAGAAATTGACATATCTACCGGAAAGCCGGAGATTCGAAGCTGGGGCTTCACTCTCGAAATCCCCCTCAAAGTCGATGGTTCCCCCACGTGTGTCTTCACCTACTGGAGCATGACGGGGACACTGTCAGGCCGTCTATGGTTTCAATCAGATGATGCGATTCCCGTCTGCTTACAGCCCGATTGGGAAGAAGTCCTAGACTTGCAACCGTACAATAAGTCTGAAAAGTCGTATTTGGATCTCAATTCATTGCTGCAGGCTGGCACTCAGCAGATCCCTCAGGGGCTCCCTACGGAGTTAGTGGAGGCTAGTATCGAGATCACCAAAAAGTCTCTGATTATTCGAGCAGATGCGAAATGCCCGGTCATCCAAAATACCAGCTCGGTGCCGCCCGTGGAGCTAGAGGATATTAGCCTTTATGTTGAGTATGATATGACCACCAAGGCTGTGATGTGTGAGGCTGCTTTCAAGCTAGAGTTGATCAGTGCTAATGAAGAGTATGAAGAGCCCTCTGTGATCCTTGACGGGTCCATTTTGTATGATTCTACAAGCAAAAGCTGGACTCTGGAAGCGAAATTGCACCCAGTCACTCTCGGTGATTTGTATGTATTTTTTGACCCAGATGCACAAGACATTGTCTTGGATATTTTGTGCCGGTTAGAGGTTGCTCAGCTCGACTTAACATATAATTATGCCAAGGGCCAAGGAAGTTCATTTGAGTTTGCAGGTGGTCTCCAGATCGGAGACCTCGAGCTGGACCTCACGTACAGCTATAGTCAAGACGGTTGGGACTTGATCGCAACGCTGGGTGCAGCATCCCAAGGTGCCACTTTGGAGACTATTATTGAAGGTCTTGTGGGGAAAGAGGATAGCGAACTCCTTCCCTCATTTATTGGCAATATCCCCATCCCAAGCGCGGCAGACAAAGGGGCAGTGAAAATCCACTGCGCGCGACTGGGGCATAGTGCAAAGGCTCTCGGTCTCGCAGCTCCGAATGATAATAGGGGGGTTTTCTTCAGCGTTGAAGTGACCACCGGATTCATTGGAAACATTGAGTTGAGTGTGACATTCATCCAATACCGCCATTTAGACTGGCAGCCAGGCGCAGCACCTAAGAGGGTTCTTAGACTTGCCGTAAGGGACTTGCCAACGGTTATGATTGACCTCATCGGACCTCTTCCACAGCCTTTCGATCAAATGTTGTATCTCTGGGTGAAGGACCCAAGTACTCAATCTTCTTCCATTGGTGGACTGTCTCGAGAAGATATAAATACAATCAATAATGAGTTAGATCCGACTGGAATTCACCCAGAAGACAGGCTCATATTCCGAGATACCAAAAAGACCAGTGGGGCCAAGGATATCGTGTTGGCCTCAGGTTCGCACTTTATCTTAGTGATGAGGGAGGGAAATCAGCGCCAAGCTCTCATTGACTATGTATTCCAATCTAGCAAGAAAAAATTGATCAGTCGTCAAGTGACCACGCTGCAGTCCGGCAATGCAGAGGATACTGGAGACACGTCGATGGCGCCATATAATAAGAAGTCTGGTAAGATATGACCGCGCTCTTGTTAATAACCGTAGAAGAGTTTAGTAGATACTAACTGACTTGATGGCCAGGTCCAATATCGATCAGTAACATCGGCTTCACTCTCAAAGGGAGCACGGTGATGATCATCCTCGATGCGTCTTTTCTTCTAGGCCCTGTAGGCTTCACTTTCATTGAGGCTGGAATTGGCCTGGATCTGTCCAAGACACACATCCAGGATATCAGTCTGAAGAACGTGCAGTTCCATCTCGGTGGGTTGGCTGTGCAGTTCGATCGCTCCCCGGTAATCCTTGCTGGTGAATTCACCATGATAGATTCCGGTAACATCAAGGGGTTTGCTGGGGGAATTGTCGTATCATTCAAACCATACATGTTCGCTGCGGCCGGGTTCTACGGCAAGGTGACACTCGACCACGGCGGCAATGAATTCACCAGCGTGTTTGTATTCGCGCGACTGGACGGACCCTTGGTGACGCTGGAACTGGCCGAGATCTCTGGAATCACTGGCGGATTCGGATATAACAGCAATATTAAATTTCCGAGCGTCGCGGAGGTATCGGAGTTTCCCTTCGTAAGCAAAACCGATCTTGAAGCAAAACCTATGGATACCGTGAAGAAACTAGTCAAGGCCGATGGCACGGGCTGGTTTAGCCCTCGCGATGGCTCCTTTTGGTTGGCTGCAGGCCTGCAGGTGACCGCATTCGAGACCTTGGTTTTCGATGCGGTGGTTGTGGTATCATGGAATCCCAAGGTGAAGCTCGGCATATTCGGTATCGCCGTCGCAGACATTCCCAAGGGCAGTGATATCCGGTTTGCACACGTTGAGCTGGGAATAGAGATGGTGGTGGACTTTGCAGCGGGCGTAATGAAGTTCGAGGCCCAGCTGGCGCCAAGCTCGTATGTCTTCCATCCCTCTTGTCATCTGACTGGCGGTTTTGCGCTTTACTACTGGTTTCACGGCTCCGAGGAGTCTGAACATGAGGGCGACTGGGTCTTCACGATCGGAGGCTATCACCGAGCATTCCAAAAACCCGCACACTACCCCGAACCAAATCGGCTAGGAATCTCATGGCGTTATGATAGTAACATCAGCATCACTGGAGAAGCATATTTTGCCATCACTCCGAAATGCTGCATGGGAGGTGGAAAATTGAGCGCTGTCTACGACACTGGACCGATCCGAGCCTGGTTCGATGCGTGGGCGGACTTTTTCATCAACTACAAACCGTTCTACTTCATGGCCGACATTGGGGTCTCACTGGGTGCCCAGCTAAGCATTGATATTGGAATTACCACGCTGCGGTTTAGTGGAGAGCTAAGTGCCTCACTATCACTGGCTGGGCCGCCTCTGCACGGCGAGGTGAAGGTTAAGATTCTCGTCTGTACAGTCAAGGTTTATTTCGGTGAATCCCCTAGTGGACCGAAGCCTCTATCGCTGGAGGATTTCTACAAACTCGTCGTCCAGGCCGATAAACAGTCCAGCCTTGCACGGACAATCCTGGATATCGGAGCTGGTAGCATCCCAGTGATCGACAGCAAAGCACATATATTCAGCTGCGTTCAGGGCATGATGGAAGGCGACAAGGATAATTCGGAGGTGGAAGAGGGTGCACCCTGGAAGGTTCGTTCGGGAAATTTTATCTTCGCAGTGCACTGTAAGTTCGCTATCAATAAAGCGACGGTGTCTCCTTCGGACGAATATGGGACGCCCGTCAAGACAGGCCCATCAGTAGAAGATCAGACCGATATATTTGCAAAGCCAATGCATTTGACGTCTCGCCTGACGTCTGAAATCACGATCACGATCCACCGAGAGCGGCAAGCAGTGTTCCTCAATGACGCGACAGACGACTACGAGTGGAATCCCACGAAGATTATGAAGGCTGTGCCTTCAGCTCTCTGGGGCATATGTACGGTCCACTGGTCACTTGAATTTCCATTGCGATGCACCTGCTAACTGTTGTTCTATAGATGATGCCAGCCAGGACCCCCAGCAACGCGGCAGCAGCACAGATGAGTTGATGAAGGGCGACCAACCCGCTAGGAATCTTTTAATGGGCATCCAGGTCGAATCTCCAAAACCCCAACTATCACCCGACAAGATCAAAAAGTTCAACGTGGTAAATGCAATGAAGATGCAGGTCACCATTGATGACCCCAAAAAACAGGTTCTTCCTACCTTCCCTGCCCGAGATGGCCGTTGGTCCCCTGCACCGTCCACCGGGGACAAGACGCAATGGGACAAGGTGAAAGCGCAGTGGCTAAACCCCGCGCAGCCTCATGACCGAGATGTAGCGGTTCAATGTCTGCCGCAGATTCTGGGATGGAAAAACACCTCTTCACTAACCGCAAAATTACCCAATCGACTGCTAGACGATTTCGGCAATCTGTACATGGCCGCACCGATGCTTTCAGTGGCGTGAACTTGTTGGAATTTAGAAGTCTGTCATTTGGACAATCCTATATTTTTATGAACAGACACAGTTTAACCCTCATTGTTCCAATGTCAGATTCAATGTAATGGCAGCGTACTGGATACGCTTGTTACCTCACATTTTGCCTTACCTCCAAGTATGAGGGAACGAGATGATGTGGGTACGGTGACAGGGTATTCAGGTGAGTCTCTGTACAGTTCTGCGAATTTAGATCATGGTCGCTCATATTTCTATGTAAACAAGAGTATGTGCACTGTGGACGGTTTTCCTGCCATGTGTCTTGTAGTAGCCTAATATTCCGGTGCTATATCCACCAACCTAGAAATTAAGTAGTCCTAATCCTGAGAATCAATGCTTGTTTTGGCTCTCCTGGTACAAGTCGAAATTCCCCTTTTTTAATTTTATTTGTCAAACATGTCATGAAATCCCCTAAACAGTTTCCCTTTACCGCCGGAGTGTCTCTCTACTCCATCTCCAAACATACATATATGTAGTATACACCTTCAACAACAGTAAGTTCCCAGGACGAATACATGCATATACCTGGCAACAACGAGCGCCTCTAACGGGACTACCAATGTCAATAGTAACCGAACTACCTCGTCGGATATTCCATCACCTAGCCAGTATTAACCAGGACGGCAAAATGCCTACCTCAAAGCCTGCCGGTGGTTGCCAAATAAGCAATATGATCTGCCTGACGATAGCGGGCTTCAGCGCACTCTGCATCCAGGGGCATTTGACCTCCTGGTTCATACCGAGTTTCTCCAGGAACCTTGCAGACAAACTGCCGCAGCACAACCAGGCCATCTTCTGGTGGCTGGGCTTCCCGGACGGTGCGCTGAGATCCGTTTTTATCATCTTCAATATCCTTCTCTCGGTTCTGCTCGGGTCGACGAGGTACAGGGCTATGTTATGTGTATGTCTTTATTGTGACCTGAAGTTGGGCGAGAGTCCGTTTCCACATATTTATTGTTCAGTCTTGTGGGAGGTGCGATACCGCTGAGATAAATACTTTTGTACATTTTTTTTCCATTTTGGTATCTTATTGTTGCTAGAACCGCTTTGAATATTTGGCCTTGTAGGCACTAACAATCACTCCATGGTGCTCATAGGCCAGGAAGACAGGTTGATTGGATAATAAGTAATAGCTTCAGTATACATTTACACTTAGCGAGACGCTGATGTAATACCATGGTTGCCGCTCAAGATCTACTCCGACTTGGACTTTACAAGGGCAATCAGTTTATCCTGCATGTCGCAAAAGATATTGATAGCCTTTGACCAGAATTAGCGAATACCCCTGTATTTGGAACTAAAACTGAGACATACCTGTGTCAACTTCTCTTCACTGGCACCGCCTAGATCCCGCGTGAACGCGATCCGGTACGCGGCTTCGTCTTTCAAGTACGACGTCCTCAAAAGACCCACTGTCATGGCAGGTGTCACCTTATCAAAGATAGATCTCGGCCTGGGGCCTGCAGGAAGTGAAAGGAGCTGGAGAAGAGACGGGGCGATGGTGATATGGTCCACGCCTGCCAACGCGAGCACGTCGTCTGTGGAGGTCAGACTCGCGGGAAGAACTTTGGTGACAGAGCTCATGATTTTGTAGTACTGCTGTATATTGCAGCAGAGCATGAATAGCTTGTTGGGGTCGACGAACCTATAAAAGTAATGGTTAGTTTAATAGAGACGGAAAAAGTGTATGGTGAGACAAACCCCGGCTCAAAGTGGACTTTTAGTTGATTGACGTATGGAGCGATATATGTACAGCCCACCTCCGATGCGAGAACTGCCTGCGGCATTGAGAACAGTGTCGTGGCGAGGGTATGCACCCCTGCCAACTGCAGTGTTCGACATGCCATCATGCCCTCCCATGTGCTCGGGATCTTGATACAAATCCTCGAACTGTCCCACTGGGGGGCAAGATCCTTGAAAAGATAAACAATCCCTATATAAAGTCAGCTCACGCCATTATATATAAGGAATTGCATCCTACGGAAAGCATTCGCAATCGTTTTCTCAGTCGAGTAAGCATAGTACGGATTAGTCTGGACATGCACCCTACCACGCAAATAGGGCGTAACTTGAATCGCCAGTTTCACAGTCTAACAGCCATTAGCAACACACTCCTAGGTATATCCTAGGCATATCCGAGAAAAAAACCCATACAGCAATTTCCACTGCCAATTCATCCAGCTCAATGCCTACAAACCGAGGCTCTCTCGTCTCTGCCATCGCCCGTAGAAGCGTGCTAGCTTTGAAGTGAGATTCTGCCAAGAGCTCCTTTCGCTCTGGTTTTGAGAGCTCGGCAAACGCGATTGCCTAGTCGTCTACTCAGCACGATGTATGGACTAGGAGCATAGACTAGGAATGGGGGGAAAGACCTGGTTGGATGTGCAGTCTTGGAAGGGGCCGAGGGTCTGGGCGACTGGAGAGCGTTGTTTTAGTACGAGAAAAGCATCCTGTGAGAAGCATGATAATGGAGGAAGGCACCTTTGGCGTCGAGCGTGTCGCAGTCAACAATACTCCTTGTTCGGAGATAGTCCAGTGCTGAAGCTGGAGAGACTGCCATCTCGAATGCAGCTTTGGCGCGATTTGTGAGGGTCAGTGGGGTAAGTGGATGCGATGAAGATGGGCAGAGCTTGGTGAAGAGTCAGTAGAATGTAATAGAGAAACTGTGCTTGTCAGGATGGGAATTAGAGAGTGATGGGCTATGGATCTTCAAGCTCCCCGCAGGAAGTACAGCGCCTATCAGCTTCCCCGCACCCGAAACACCACTAGTATGTGGAGGTATGGCTTACAATCTGCGGTGAAGATTAAGAGAATAACTAGAATGGCCACTAACTTATATATTGGTATTATCCAGGAATAACGCCATCTAATGCAAAACTACAACGAGATACAGCACTTCTTTATCCAATACTCTTCGAGCTGGTCGCCAACCAAGCTTCATGCAGCTTCTTTTGTCTTTCCCAGTCCTTGCGTAGCTTTTTAGCCCGGCTTTTAGGAAGCTCTTCACCGTCAGAGTTGTGCGTGGGAAGCCCTTCGGCGTCCCAGGCACTGTATTCGTTTGTTCTGAACATGTCCAAATGGCTCAGACGTCCCTTTTCGGCCTTTTCGCGAGCTTCTTTCTCTCGTTTCTCCTTTTCAATCTGCTTTTGACGTGCCCTATGCGCCTTTTCTTCTCGGGCTTGTAGTAACTCCTTGGTGACGGGCCGGACGAGTGCAGGTAGGTTATCCCGATCCTCAAGATAAACGCCTAGGTCGAAAAGATCGATGTCACGGACGCGGTCGCAGAGGGTCAAGATCTCCTTGCTAATATTGTCTGAGTCACCAAGGGAGTCTATTTTAGTTCGAAAATCCGAAAGCACTTTGGCGTATGGCTCCGCTGCCTCTGACGTAGAGGGCTCAGATCCAGCTTCCTGGCCGACAATACTCTTGATCTCAGCGCCGGTAAGTCCTTCCTTTGATCGCGCCTTTTCTCTAAGTGAGTCGCGCATTTTCGACAACGGGTACAAGTATGGCTTCGCTTCTTCAGGCACATCAATGCCAGACCAGCCAATTTCTGAGACGTCGGGTGATGCCGAGCCATTCAAACCAAACATGTTGACCATGAAAGTCACCCACCTCGCGGCTTGCTCAACATGCTCAGGGTTAATAGTAGCCTTGTCGGTCGAGTTATATTTGGTGATGAGATCAGAAATTGCGAACATAGCGGCTGGAGTGTTGAAAGAGTCGCAAAGGGCATCGTGAACTGCAGTCTTGGCAGTCTCGAGAGCAGCGCCCAACGATTGATCGGATCCATCGCTTGACGTCTTCAGCAACGAAAGATCTTTCATTTTCAAGAAGAAATTGTTGACTTTTTCTTCCCATGCGCTGCTGGTATTTACAAGGTCTTCTGTGATTTCAATCCCACCGTTCCAGTTTCCGATTAGGAACACGGTGCGTAAGCTCCGAGAAGTCCAGTCTTTTCGATCAAGTGCTTCTCGAATAGTGGTAAAATTCTTCAGACTCTTGCTCATCTTTGAACCTTGTATCTGTGAGAACAAATTAGTCCTGGTCTAATACCAAGTCGAAACATGATACTCACCGAAAGATGGCCCATGTGTAAGAAATAGTTGATCCACTGGTCATGAGAGTGAGTGTTCCAATAAGCTTCACTCTGAGCCAATTCATTGTCATGATGGGGAAATGCCAGATCAATACCACCACTGTGAATATCTATGCTTTGTCCCAGTTTCGCCGAGGCCATCGCCGAGCATTCAATGTGCCAACCAGGTCTTCCTTTACCCCAAGCGCTCGCCCAGCTCGGCTCACCTGGTTTGGAAGCTTTCCATAGCGCAAAGTCGGAATTTGACCGCTTCTCCGTCGATTTACTTGTCAGAGCACCTTCACCTTCGGCGACGAGCTTTCCGTCAGATCGGCTCCACGGCTCGAGTCTTGCATATGGGAATCCAGCTTCCTCAAACGCTTTGATATCAAAGTAGACAGAACCATCAGATGTGACATATCCAAATTTATTGTCCACGATGCGTTGTACAAAGTCAGCGATCTCCTGACCATACTCAGTCACTCGGGTTATCTCATCAGGATCCAGTACGTTGAGGTCTCGCACATCCTGCATGAAACGATCCTCGTACTTCTTCGTAAGCCTCGTAAAGATAGAATGGTCGCTTCCATCGATAGTCGACCCTTCCAGTTTGTCTAGATACGGGAGAAACACGTCCTGCGCATTTGTATAGAATGATTCACTCAATACCGACGCAGGGTTGCTCTCGGCGTCCGCAATCACTTTCGCCGCCGAAGCAACGGTTTTGATGTGCATCTTCACTTTTACCTCGTCATCCCCAGGCTTTTCATTGCCTGGCAGCGGCCCGCCATTCAGCACGAAAGCATACACCTTTTCAACTTCCGATTGGTATTGCGCCGGTGGCAGCTCAGGGTCTAATAGAGGCAGGCTCTTGGTTATATAAGCCTTATAAGCAGTCTTTGCGGTGTTGAGAACGCTCGCATCGATGGTAGGGTGCGCAGAAACGAACTTGTTGAAGAGATATTGCTGACGGCCTCGAAGAATAATCTATTCAGTTAGATAAACACACAAACACCTCAAGGTCGGCGGCAGGGATATACTTTATCATCGACGTCGGTTATGTTCATAATAAACTCGACGTCAAACTTGAAGTAGTCTCGAAGAATGCGACGGATGATGTCTGTAGTGACATAATTTCGTGCGTGGCCCAGATGCGAATCGTCGTATACTAAACCAGACATTAGCTACAATCTCCCCACAATCAGCAGCGTTGAAGCACTCACCTGTCGGTCCGCAGGCATACCAGGTCACTTTGCGGCCCTTGGGATCAAGCGGCACAAAGGGGACTTTGGACTTTGTCAACGAGTTGTAGATCTTGAGAGGGGGCAGCTTGGTGTCCGGGTGCGCGACTGGCTGCTGCCATGTGGGCTGCTGGCGAGCGGTCGCCATTGTTCTGGAGGCAGGAAAAAGAACTGACGGGGGACGCGGTCTGAGATGGAGACTGAGAGGAGAGAAAAGCGAGAGCCTCATAAAGGAGCGCGAGGAACGGGCTTTTATATGCAAGGAAGAGGAATGAGGGGCGGGTGAGTCACATACACATACAACAATAATTAACAACAACGAGAGCAATACGAGTCATTTCTGTAACAGTCACAGCCCGCAGCAGGAGGCTGACCCGCCCCCGCTACGGGAGACCGCCCTAAGCCCTACTTTAGCCTAGTTGGGCCAGCTGCGGCAGAAAAAAGATTCCTGTTAAACTTCAACCTCATTTCACCCTGCACAAACATATACGAATATCTGGGCCTGTATTCCGTCAATTCCCTCTGACGGTCGAAGCATGCCCTCGCCATTCCTCAACCCCGGCGCGCGCTCGACAGCCAACGGGCTCTCCCTCCTCCATCTCCGCCGAGACAACCTCCTCCCCGTCGTCCTCGACGCCTCCGATGCAGACCCCAGCACTGAGAAAATCGTAACAACACGCTTCGGCCCATTCCCGCACAGCACTCTGCTTAACAAGACGTGGGGCTCACAAATCGCCTCCTCAAATCCCCCCTCCAACAAACGAGGCAAAAAGGCACTGAAACGAAAAGCCGACGATCTTGACTCAACAGAAGCCGACGATGTGCCGGCGTCTGCAAGCGGGTTTATACATATATTCCCACCCACCCCTGAATCCTGGACTTCGTCGCTTCCGCATCGAACCCAGGTCGTCTATACGCCAGACTACAGCTACGTTCTGCACAGACTGCGTGCGCGACCGGGCTGCACGATCATCGAGGCGGGCGCCGGTAGCGGGTCGTTCACGCACGCCGCTGCTCGCGCCGTGTTCAATGGATACAGCTCAGCGTCGTCACCCAAATCCAAGAAGAGGACGCGATTCGGCAAAGTCTGCAGCTTCGAGTTCCACGCCCAACGCGCGCAAAAGATCCGCGAAGAGCTCGCGCAGCACGGCCTAGAAGACGTCGTGCACACCACGCACCGTGACGTCTACAGCGACGGCTTTCTCCTCGGTGATCCAAAAACCGGGAAATCACCGCGCGCCAATGCAGTGTTCCTGGATCTGCCAGCGCCGTGGCTCGCGCTGAAGCACCTTGTACGGAATCCGGCTGATGGCGCGGCCGTCTCACCGCTTGACCCATCCTCACCGGTCTTCATCTGCACGTTCTCGCCGTGCATGGAGCAAGTGCAGAAAACAATCAGCACGCTGCGTCAGCTCGGCTGGTTGTCAATCTCAATGGTGGAAGTCAACCAGCGCCGCATCGACGTGCGCAGAGAGTTGTATGGGCTCGGCAACGAGGGTGTTCGGGGCGCGGTGCAATTCCCCAAATCCGTCGATGAGGCTATTGGGAAGCTGCGGAGTGAGGAGGACAAGATGCGCGAGTATCGGAAATTGCAAAAGGAGGGGGTGAACTCAAACACAGACACAAACGGCAACGAAAGGGCTGTCAAAGAGGATGATAATACAGACGAGGCTAAGAATGAAGTCCCCGTGTATCAGCGTGGCCGTCTGATCCATCGCACAGAGCCGGATTTGAAAACGCATACGTCGTACCTCGTCTTCGCGGTTCTACCGCGGCCTTGGTCAGAGGAGGAGGAGCGGAGGTGTCGAGAAAGATGGCCCTCGCGATCGGAGCGTAATGGAGAGGCTGCTGTGAAGACTGAGTAGAGCACTGGAGTTGAAATTGACTACCAGTTCATAATTGTATATTTAGGAACACAGGCATATGATCAATCAATATGACCAACATCGAGAATTACATAGTTAAGAAGTAGGTGGTTCGATATGTACGTGCTCTAAATTCTATTTAAGTCGTAATATGTCCATGCCAGCTGGCTCGAAATAGCAAGCCAACGTGTGCATATATACGCGGTTTGGTTCAATATCGCACTGAAGATTCTCAGTTCCAGCCAAGGATCAAGATCGAAATCGAAAGTCTAGATATTATTTTCTTTCCTGAACTTATCCCATGCTTCGTTCAGCGAGCTAAACACCGCGCCAGCAATCATCCTCTGCTCCGTCGTCGCGGTCGTCGGGATCTGCATTAATCAGGATTAATCAGCCAGCTGATAAGAGTGTAAGAGTTTAGGGTGCGGTAAAAGCTTCTCACCTTGTCAGGATGTACCTTCGCAATTCCCTTCATGTACTGGATCTTGACTTTATTCGGCAGCACCAGTTCCGCAAGACTAATCTTCTTCCACCCCGCCTCGACCCAGAGGACAGTGTCGAGGCTGCCGAGTAGAGCGCGCAGATTATCCTGTTTCCCGTCCTTCCACGCTGCGATTCTCGCGTCGACGCTATCCGTCAGCGCGAGTTTCTCCTCGTCCGCGCGCTCGGCAGCTTCGTTGGCGGCGCGGAGCCGTGTCACGGCTTCGGCGGGTGGTGCTGGTCGCGAAGTCAAAGCAGGCTGCTTCCGGGCTGTCGATGGCTGTGGGTTAGATCGCGGAGTGGCGGATCGCGATGTTGCAGGGGTGGGTTTGCTGATCCCAGCGGCTTTTTCGCACCGGTCTCGACCCTGGATGCTGGTGCTCCCGCCGTGGCCGGACTCAACCGCTTGTCTCCAAGCCTGCGCTGCATCGACCCATTTTTCAAGGTGTTCCAGGCCCTCGGCCTTGCGCATGATGGCCTTGCCGAAGAAATCTTTCATTGGTTTGGCCGGCTGGCCATTGCCAAGCTCGATGCTTTCGCCTTCGCCTTTGGACGGTCCGATAAATGTAATGACAGATTCTGCGTCGCTGATGGCTAGCTTTGGGTCTCCGATTTTGAGCGCCGTCATGGCACGATTACTGCGTGCTAGTAGTGTGACGGGGTGGGTTCCTGGAAGGTGTGATAATGACCTCGTAAAAGCTTCGTGTGCGGCAGCATAATCTCCTCTTTTATAAGCCTCATTGCCAAGTTCACGGTCCTTATGAAAAGAACTCAAAGCCGAGGGCGAGGCCTGAGGAGCGTTCCGCGTAACAGCTTTCGGTCGAGGCGCTTGTGCCCTGGGTTTCTGCGGCGCCTGGCTTGGGGAAGAGGCCGATAAAATAGGCGGAGGTGCGGGTGCGGGTGACATTGTATTATCTAAAAGATCTATGGATTGCTCGTCTTTCTGTGGTTGTGGCGTTCTTCTCCGCCTTGCAGGGCTAACATATGCCTGGGCAGACTGTTCTTCTAGTGCATTCCGACTAAGCTGGGATTTCAGATCTTTCTTGGAATTCTGTGGCCGAGGTGGTTGTAGTGGCTGTGGACGTTCTCGCTGCTCTCGTAACGGGAAAGGCGTGGGCTCATGATGTCTCATAGGAGCTTCTGTAAATCTTCCAGAATGTTGTGGCGGCCTTGGCTCCGTGGATTCAGGTTTTCGCGCAGTGCGACGGGTTGGTTTCCCAGAGTCCATTTCTAGAAGCATAGCCTCGTCGGTCATGTTACTAGGGCGCTGTCGCTGCTCGTCTCGAACTTGGGCTTTATCCGATCGTGATGGTTTGGATGCACGGCTTTCCTTCTCTTCAGCCAGCTGAGCTTCCTGCATCCAGCGAGGTCGGTTAGGATCCGCCTCCGAGTTGAATTCGTGAACAGCCTGCTGGACTTTCTTGCTCCCCGTTTTCCATAGCGTATTCGCTGTCTTGAATAGCTGGTTGCCAAAGTTGGTGGCCATTTCACCGACGTCACGGTCACGAGAAGCAGGAGATCTGTTATCCACACGACGTCCAGATGGTTGTAGCGAGCTGTCTTCTATCATCCAAGACGGGGTGCCGTTCTGCCGCCGATTGCTGCTGCTCTTGCCACGGGGTTGGCTTTCCTCTGGTAGCCCAGCCTTTGCTCTAGATTTCTGACGCGATTCAGAATGTGCTTGATTCAAAAGCCAGCCTACTGCAGCCTGCACATCGAGACCAGATTCGGTGCTTTCCAGAGCGAGCGCGGCCTTTTCCGGCGGGAATCCCATATCGACAAGTTCAGCAATTGCTTTGTCCCGTGGGTCACTAGGTTTCGGCAATGCAGCAGAAACGCTGGGTTCTGGAGTTGATTGTTTTTGAGGTTGCGGTAATTCCGATACTGGTTTTCCAAGTAGCCCCAAAAAGTCATCGTCGTCATTAGAATCTGCCGGAGGTCGCGGGGCTGACGTTGATTTAGAAGGTAGTTGTCCGAGACCAAATGGATCATCATCATCAAAAGTCAGATCGTTACTGCTTTCCTGCGCAGCAAATTTGGCCGGACTTGCAGATGCACTTCGGCCGGTAGGAATAGGGAAATTGGTGGATGCGTCGACGGGCGCTGAAGCATTAAAAGCAGCCAAAACGTCGTCATCTTCAGCCTCCGCAGTTGGTACAGGTGACCCCCCTACAGTTGATTTTGGCGTCCCTCCCCTGCTCTGACCCAGGCTATCCCAGAACTGAGCATTCTGACCGCCATATTGAGCCTCGAATCGGTTCCGTTTCTCGGCCTCCTGCCTAGCTTTTTGCTCTTGCAGCTTCTTCTGTTGCTCCAGCAAGGACACATTCTTGTTGCTCGAGCCCGAGTTGTTGAATGAAACCAGATTAGCAAAGCTGTCGTTCGCTGGCGTTGCTGGCTTCGACGGGGGGTTGTTGGAGGCTGTGTGTATGTTGGCTGATAGTGGGGTGGCACGACCTGAGGCTGGCGATGGATGTATGGACGAGAAAGAGCTTATTGGTGGGAGCTTGCTAGCATTGTTGGGGCTGTTGCTCCAGCTCAAGCCGTTCAGGTCATCCATACTAACTTGGGGGGGTTCGGACAATTAATCGCAGCAGCAACGAGTGGAAAGCGGCGAATTGGTGGTATCATTGAAACACACAGCGGGAAGGACACGTCGACGCTCGCTCACAAATGAAGGATACAACTCATGGCGAAAAGAAAAACATAATACGCTACTTTCGAATGCTGGGTTGAAGTCAGAGCGCCGAAGGCTCACGGTCGTAGCGTAGAGTTGTGATTGAAGCTGTGACTGGTTGTCTGTCGAGTGTCGTGATGGGCTGTGGCTAGAAGTGGCTAGTGAGTGGCTAAGATGGTCTAACTAGTCTAGGAATGGCCCAGGATGATGACTGAGCCTAGTCACATGATTGCAGCTAAACTTCTGGTCATCGTATATTCGCACTAGATTTTAATTGGATAGGCCTAGCCTAAGTACAAGCATATGCAGGCTACTCCTAGTCTCCTACTAGTTATTATCAAGTCCCTCGCAACGGCGGACTTCGCCTACAATCACCGAAGGCCGACGCACAGGCCCGAGTTGATTATCGCAAGTTTCCGTATAGAGTAGTGCAGGTTTGACGCGTCGGATCACTTCCGTCCAACTGAAGTGCTTATTTCAATCTACTCCAGATGTCGATGCAGTGACAGCCGCACATACCAACCAGTGCTCTAGACGGGTATATGCGCGTCCGTCGAGTCTGTACTAAGTAATACCTCCGTTCCTAATGCCACTATTAGTGGGATTTGCGGTGATCGCCCACTATCGGTTATACTTAATAACTTGATATTGGACAATATTGAGCGCCTGTGTTTAAGTTATTGAGACTGGCTAGACCGAGCAAAGGCGAGGATTCTCGTAACTTTGACTTGGACTAGTGTGGCAATTGACCTGTAAAACGGTCTATTTTGCCGGTGCTAGACGAATAGCAAGCTCGCCTGGTCGAGCCAGGATTGCATCCTTCACCGAGGAACTAATTTCCCTGCGTTATCATTGCTCGTTATAATTTACAAAATATAATATAATTATATATTAATATTTTCAACAGTGCCACCACTAGTACACATGTAACAGGCGGTACTAGGTGGTGCTGAGTGGGACTGTAGTGTCACAGTCTGACAGTACTTGATACTACCGGGTAGTCATCAACAGTCATCCCTGACGGAATATTTGAAAGACATGATTAACTGGATGGTAAACATACCCAAACATACACAATACAAACAGTAGTGAAGATATTGAATGGAAGAGACAGAGGCGGGAGTCCGTGCTTGCGTGGCGTTTTGCGGTTTAATTAACGCTCTAGGCTCGACGGAGTATTTATTTACATGTACCAAGAAATCTCTGCCGGCGCCGAGGTGCAATCCTCCTGTATGTAGTAGGAATGCTTTGTACTAAATAGAGTAAGGGAATAATATTAATAATACGTAGCGTGGTTCGGATCAGACAAGTGATATGATTGTTTTCTACTGTAGAGTTAGGGAAGTATTACAGTTTGTAGTGCTCCTCCCGCCCCTCTTCCCCATTCTCCCATTCCCCCCCAGGATCACCCTCATCCATTCACTGCGTGCACAGCGCGATAATAGGACCCTCTCTCCAGATCGAGGCAGGCCTGAGAACTTGACAGTGTCCACTCCACGGCCCAATGCCAATGCCAATGCATGCCCATTGCCGCCGCCCAGCTTGTGCCTCCCCCCCCACTACTTTGACCCAGTCGCGAGTCTCCCAGACTCCTCCCGTGCTGGCGTCGTGCATCGTGATCGATCATCTCAAAGCTCCAAGCTCGCCTCGCCATACCCCGCCAGATCCTGCCGCCAGCTTGAACCAGCCTGAACCAGCTTCTGTGTCACCTCCGCAATCACCTCGTCTGAGCGCTGTGCTGCCTCAATTCCATCGCTCTCGCTCTTCGCTCTTCACCCTCTCGCAGAAGCTGCTTCACCATGGGCCTGTTCAAGCGCAAAGACTCGAAACACTCCATCCACAGCGACAGAGATGAGCAGGACAACCACTCCTCGCACAGCACGCGCACGTCGACTGCCTCGCTCAAGTCCCCCGCACTCCTCTCCTCCAGCACGCTGCCAGCCTCCATCCCTGAAGTGCCCATCTCAAGGCCCCCCGACCCGAGTCTTGACCCTGCTGCCTATCTTCGAAGCATCCATGCCGTGAGAGAGCGGTCGCGCATTGTCTCGGACAGGGCCAGGGCCAATCGCTTGAACCATTTCGATGTCGACATGAGCAAGTTTGAAGCCACGGCTTCGTATGTGGTTTCGATTATAAAGGTGTGTTCCTTATCTACTACCTCTATCCACATTTTCTTTCTTCGTATTCTAATTTGTCTGCTTCATTCACTAATATTCTGCTCTTTTCAATATTTAGAGAGATTATGCCCCCAACTACTCCTCAATTCCTCCTCACGGTCGTTGGCAACACTTCGATGTGGGTGGAAGACCGCGGATCAATCAACTTCTACAGTCGTGGCCCAGCACGATCGATGTGCAAGAACGAACTCGGAGGTTGATCGATTTATTCCTGATTTCCGTCTTGCTGGATGCAGGTGCCGGGACTACATGGGTTTACAAATCAAAGGAGTCTGGCAAGATTTACTCGCGAAGTGAAGGCTTGGCCGTGGCCAGCTTAGAGATGTTCAAGAGTGGTTTGTTTAGTAGCGATCCCACCGAGCCGTGTCAAGTTGATGGAGCGGGACTTAAGAGAATCACAGTCGAGACACTAGCCAAGGGTATGCAGCATTCGGAGTCAAACATGCTGGCAGGAATAGAAGGTCGTGCCGGACTCCTCGTCCGACTGTCGGAGGCTCTGAATAACCAGGACCTATTTGGCGTTGATGCCCGTCCAGGCAACATGCTTGGTAGGCCGCTCTCCTATACTAGATTGCAACGCTAACATGCCTCAGATTACTTGCTTTCTCATCCTTCCACCCTCGCATCTTCTGTGCCCATTGTGTCCGTACCCACCCTCTGGTCCGTTCTCATGGATGGCCTCTCGGAAATCTGGCCGCCATCCCGGACGCAAATTGACGGGGTCTCGATCGGCGATGCATGGGTGTGCTCTGCCTTGCCCAAGTCTCCCCCAGCCAAACCCTGGGAGAGTATCGCCCCGTTTCATAAGCTGACCCAATGGCTTTGCTACTCAATCATGGTACCAATGACGAGGTTAATGAAAATCCATTTCGCCGGTTCCGAGCTGCTGACGGGGCTCCCTGAATACCGAAACGGCGGTCTTCTCATTGATATGGGGCTGTTGACGCTGAAAGACCACGATATGGAAAGGGGGCTTAGAGCATACAAGGAGAATGCTCGGATTAGAGGACAACCCAGCGTAGAGGTTGCTCCTCTGTTCACGGCTGATGACGATGTCATTGTGGAGTGGCGCGCAACCACCGTTTGCTTCCTCGATGACCTGCTAGAGGAGGTCAACCACCAACTCGGTCTTCGCGGCGACGATGCCCTTTCCCTCGCTCAGCTACTGGAAGCTGGCACATGGAAGGTGAGTGCTGTAACAACGACTTATTGGCCATGCTAACCAGCTGTATACAGGGCGGCCGTGAACTTGCCGAAGTGTCGAGGCCCAACACCAAAGAGCCACCGATCATGATCCTCTCTGATGGCACCGTTTTCTAATTTTCTCCTGACTAATTCATTGTCATTATATATCTATAAATATTGCGGCAACATCATATCTATCAGGAGTATATTTTGTTGGGACAATTTGATCTGCTATACCATTATTATTATGTACTTGTCTCATTGTTTTATTCATAACACTGCGATTCATGACAGGATAAGATAATGCAACGGCTTCGCATCAGCTTGAAAAAAATATATACCATTTAATATAGATAATCTATACAATTATATTGTACTAATATTGTATTAATATGATAACAATATTATTATAACAATATTGTAATGATATGATAATATGAATATTAGTGTATCTGCTTAATAACAATTGTATCGGATTAACATTGACCCCGCCTCACTCCGCATTGACCGCGCAACTTGCGCCTCAAAGCTCTCCAGAATCATGGGCAGAGCTCCTGTACTAGTCTCATTGGCTGCCCTCAACGAATAACGAATAACAGCTAAATGCCATCTCCTGGGATCCTCGTCTAGTGAACATCGAGCCTCTCCATGAGGTCGTTCGCGACGTCGCCATAACTACGCAATAGCTGGTAGGAGCAGGATAGCAGCCTTGGCCATGGATCAGCGCAAGAAGAAGAAGAAGGTTCTGTTGATGGGCAAAAGCGGCTCTGGGAAGTCGTCCATGCGATCGATCATATTCAGCAACTATGTCGCCAAAGACGTGCGCCGGTTAGGAGCGACAATTGACGTGGAACACAGCCATGTCAAGTTCATGGGCAACTTGACGCTGAATCTGTGGGATTGCGGGGGGTAACTAGGACCTTACCATTTTTTTATATTTATGAATGCTCTGCTGATTCTCTCGACCAGACAAGATGCTTTCATGGAAACCTACCTGGGCGGTCAACGCAGCAACATCTTCTCCGACGTCGCCGTTCTCATCTACGTCTTCGACATCGAATCGCGCGACGTCGAACGCGACCTCGACTCATACAACTCCGTCATCGAAGCGCTGCACCAACACAGTCCCGCCGCACATGTCTTTTGCCTTATCCACAAACTCGATTTAATCCAATCCGAACACCGGCAGCGGATATACGAGGAACGATCGGTGCTCATCCGGGCACGCTCAAAACACTTCGACATCGACACGTTTGGAAGCAGCATCTGGGATCAATCACTCTACAAAGCGTGGGCGGGCATCGTGCACAAGCTGATTCCCAACCTATACGTTATCGAGCGGTTCCTAGACGCGTTTGCGCGGAAGATCGACGCCGAGGAAGTCATCCTCTTCGAGCGCTCGACGTTTCTCACCATTACCTCGTTTGCGTCCGAAATCGGCAGTCTGAACCCCATCTACGACCGGCATGAGCGGCTTTCGAATATCATGAAGGCCTTTAAGCATTGCGCCGCGCGCAACACGCACACCACGCCGGCGTCGGCCGGGTTCCATGTTATGCATACGAAGACGCCGCAGTTTAATGTCTTTCTCGGCCAGTTTACGGATAATACGTACATCTTTGTTGTTGTTCCGCCGGGAGAGGCGTCGTATAACTGCGCCGTGTTGAATACTATGCTTGCAAGGCAAGGCTTTGCCAAAGCTGCGTCGTCTGGATACGGAGACGCATTTCCGCTCCCAATCTCCTCTCAGTCGCCTGTTCCAAATACAAATGGGTTTGCGAAAATGCAGTCTGATCTTTCTCCGAATGAATAACGCGATATGAATCAAAACTGTCTCAAAATTATCTTTGGTGTAAAACTTCCGCGCTGATACTTTTCATCTAGACAAAATGTGCGCCATTTTTTTTTTCTCTTCTTTCTTTGAATAAAAGGATACCCTTGCCATTACGCTCAGCTGGAAATGGAGTGGATGGGCAGAACCTGGTTTGATATGATTTTCTTGGGCTTAGCGTTGAATAGCAACCACATACATACATACATGTAGTTGTTAAATGTTTCATGTGAATGTGATGGATATATTTTCTATGGATTATGAAATAATGCATGTAGGCTAGTCCAGACCTACCTCATACATACACAAATCGTTGATACGTACCTGTATCCAGGTCAACTGGTATGATGGTTGCCAGCGTCAAGCCTAATGCATTGATGGGTACAGAACAACCATGTATTCCCCTGCGCCAGCACTTATCACCTATGTATGTACATGTACCTAGCCCCCTATCCAACCAATTACACACGCTCCAGCACCAACCATGCAAGCCCAAATCCCCCCCAAGCCCTCTCACTCCATAACTAGAGCAAGAGATGCAGAGTCGTGCTGGCCAGGCCTCAAAACCGGTGACGAAGACCATAACACCAACATCTCTCTAATTCGTCGAACCATGTCCCTCCTTCCCCTTTCAGTCGATCCGTCTTAGGCATTTCGAGACTAAAAATGGGAAGTGATCATGGTCTACGGCTAGTCGAGTGTTTCGCCCGGGTGAAATGCTAACGGGGATGCAAGAGTCGGGTTCCGCGCATGGGTCTACCACATGCATCCAGCACCGCATGAAAAGAAAAGAGATGCAAATATGAGCGAGAACGAGGTATAAAGCATGCCATTTCTCTCGTTTTAGTCGAGTCGAGAGACTCTTCTCTTCTTCGATGTTTTTCAAAATGTTGTTGGGAAGAGGAAGAGCCAAACTCAGCCTTGTCTAACGCCATCCACCAGTCATTTGCGGGCATCACCTGAGGGTTTGATTCGAGCACATTCCCTGAATTCTGTTCCGTGGCGTGTACGAGGAGAAGTGCATTCTGTCCAATATATTGATGGGAAAACTACGGCATTCCCACTACCATCTCTCATTATATCCCTAGTGCCATCGAAGTGCGACGACGCCAATGGCAATGGGTATCTCGTCACATCTCGTCACTCCTACTATGACATGCCGTCTACATTGCACACCGACTTTATACTCTACTGTCATGATCAGGTCGTGAGCGTTCTGCACTTCCGAATGGACGGCCGATCTCACTCATTCAAACACGACATACGAAACACGAGACGCCGATAGAGGTTTGCCAGACATAAATCAGTGCAACAAGTCCGCCAGGTGCTGTGCCCAAGCACCGCCGTCACCGTCACCGTTATCACGGAGCCAATGACACCCCTCCCATGGCCCTGACGAGTCTGCCGGATGCCGATATACTTACATATATGCGCCGCCTGACACATGAAACGGCCGCGCTTAATGGCCGGAGAGGACAGCAGCCTGCAGATATGAATCGACAGCAGCCCAAGGAACTAACCCAAGGAGCTTTTAGAACTTTTAGTTGGCTGGCGGTCTGCCCTTCTCACCTGCTTTTTCTGGCTCTGTTTGGCAACTCCGACTAGATCGCGTTGGGCAGGCATTCTGTTGAACTACCAACCAGTCAAAGAACATGTGAAAAGACGGCTTGTTCCGCATACGCACTCATTCAGACGTGCGACTATCGTTTGCGGTGTGCTGGCCTGTCTGCTGACGACTTGAGCCTCATGGCGCGTTTGGGGGATATATGGCGACGACTCTTGGTTGAGTACTGGTGGTGTTCTATACAGTACGTACCGAGTTTGACTAGGTTCGAGATCACAAGGTCTATACCAATTCTTTTCAATCCTCTACCGCTTTTCTCGTGAACGATCAGAATACAGTCACCATGGAGCCACTCGCCGGTCTAGAGTTCTACTTCAAAATCACGCCCGTGAGAATCGTAGGCGCAGACCGCGTTGATCCTCTGGGCCACTGGCTGCCCCCCGACAACAGGGGCAACTTCCGGTGCGACGACAGCAACAGCACAGGCTGGTGCCACTGGAGCACGTCAGCAGTGCAAACGCTCGACTCCGTCCCCGGCGACCCAGCCGGCGTGACCAGCTGCTCGATCTTTTTCGACTACGAACGGCAGTACTTCCTCCTCGCACAAGCCGACTGCACAACACGCCGCTTCGAAGCCATATTCCGTGGCTACGAGGCCGAAGCCTGGCGACGGCTTGGATTCCGGCACGTCTTGCGGCATGGCCAACCTCTCTCTCTCCTCCAATTCGACCCCGCCGATCACTTCACCATGCATGCCCGCGGCGGAATTCCGCAGCTTCTGCCGCGCAACTACGACGGACCAGGTCGGCAGGAGTATGCGAATGTTGCGGGCAAATTGCTGATTTTGCTCGGTCTCGCGGCCTTTACGAGTGAGCCGGAGAGTCGGTCGATTGTTGCTACCATACGCGATAGTTTTCGGCTTCCGTATTGGAATCGGAATTATGGAGGTCCGCTTAGTATGTCCAAATTTGATACATGTTCCCTCCCCCCTGAGTGTCAACTGGTGTCGTGATTGCTAATAGTGTGGTTAGAGGACGACCCTAGCCTCTCGCGTATGGTGGGATATGTGGTCAAAGTAGCTCCAATCCGTGGTGTTGAGTTGGAGGATTATGAAGAGGGGTATTGCGGCCCCTTGCTTTATGGCAGATACTAACCCTGCCCATCATCATGGTTATGGTCATATCTGGTGTTGAGCATTCTCACAAAGGAGTTTATATCTTCATGTTTGTTTCGTGATAGTATTATTATTATTATTATTATTATTTTTCTTCTTCTTCTTCTTCTTCTTCTTTCCGACTTTCTTTATTGCCCTCTTTAATGTCCACTCGCTCGCATTAAATAGCATCATACAGACTACCATCTCGTCCGCAGAATGACCAGCAGGACTTGTCACTTCCAGCGAAACATCAGTGCATGTATACATTGATTAATAATACATGGCCAAACCAATAAGCACACAAACAGCATAATCTACATATGTACTCACAGAACTATCCCTAGTTATATATATATGTACAGATGCATGTAGGTCGCGAGACGAGAACATCGAAGCGTGGAGATACATACATATATTTACAACCCGCCAGTACCTACATATATTAGACAGAGCAGACGCCAGCACGCCAGTGATGTAGGTCATCTGCCCGCCTGCCCTGCCTGCCCAGATCGGTGCATGTGGGCGGCAGCTTTGACCCCGAAACGATCGCACTGAGGCTCTTCTAATACTAATCTCCAATCCCTCTTCTCTAGCCACATGTAGACTGGCTGGTTAGCTGGCCCTTCACTTCCAGTCAGCTGGTGAATCTGTGCAAGCTAGAAAAAAAAAAGGGTTACATGATGGAATGATATAATATAATTTACATGCAGTAAAGCATTAGCACTGAGAAAGAATGGCACGGGGTTTGGCTGCACGTGTGGTCTGTGGGTTGGCATCTGCGCTTGGTATATGTAGGAGGGGAGGAGGAGGTATATTCCTTTCTTTCCTATTCGTTTACATCTGGTGTTCAATCTTGATTATGTTGGCACTGGGGCGGGGATGGGCTTTGTGGTTGTTTTTATGATAAATGGGATGATGGAGTGGGTGATGGATTGGGTCTGAGAGACGTATACAATGTAATAATTATTCATCATCAACTCTGAACATCTGAATGTCAAATATTGACGGCCCTGTCAAGCATATACAGTTCAGTTCTGAGTCTACGATGGATAGAGGATAAAGTAAGATCGGATATTCTGGGCTTAACATCAGACATTAAATCTCATCATCCTCTCTTAATCTCGCACCGACCTCGAAGGTACGTTTTATTGGACATCTGGTAATCGAACGGCAATGTCGCCTGACTGTGTAATGTATCGAACCCAAGGTAAAGATGGGTATTGTAGCTGACAAACTCCGATTAGCTTCAACACCGTCAAGATCGAGATGGATGAGGATAGGATGAGGAGGGATGAGTGAGGGGAAAGCAGGAAGGGTCGTGATACGCCTATCGTTGGGTATAAATGCAACCATCCACGCCCCTAATGCAAGCAAAGTGGCCTATACTATCTATTGTGCTCGAGTCTCCGCTAATGCACTCAAGCGGCCCGCGAGAACGGAAAAAGCAATATGAAGGATACCAGTGGCCCGAGAGCAAGGAAAATATGGGATGGTGGCTAGTGATATGCAGGGCGACGAGATTGGAAACGAAGGAATGAATGGACTCACCTTGGGCTCAATGATCTTTAGATAGCGCACCTGAATCCCACTCGTCGTGAAATACGGTATCTCGAATTTGACGTTGATCGGTCGCTTCCCCTTCCCTCCCTGGCCCGCACCACCCATGCTGCCTCCGAAACCACCAGTCATGCCTCCACCGTGCTCGTCATCGCCCTTAACGGAGGGCAGCCCAAGCTCGGCACGCATGAGGAACTCTTTCCCGCCGCCAAACTGCTTGATCTTCCAAATGATAGCCGACTTTTCTGGCGCATAATGCACCGATCCAATGTTTGTTCGGAAACGAGGTGAATCCGCATCTTCCGGGACTGGCACCAAGATCTCCACATTGTTGGCAGTACTTCGGCGTTTAAACTGGGCTTTTGCCTAGATAATCAAGTATGTTAGTCATCCTCCCATCCCGCCAATGATAAGAACTTGCCTTGAGCATGTACTCGATTCTCGATCCCGAGTGTGATTCCACCAAGCATTCTACCCAGATCAAAGGCTTCACTTGCGTATTGAGACGATAACTCATCAGCTCAAACTCTCCGTCCGGCGGAATAAAACTGATGGTTCGATCGTTTTCGAATCGCGACAGGCGGACGCATTGGTGGAATTTGACGTCTTCCATCTCAACCGCTTTGCCGCGAGTTGCTCGGCCGGTCGTTTCGAACATGACTTTATCGTTCAGTCCCAGACGGAGTTCTGGCATACCGCTGAGATAGCACTTCATTTTGATGGCTCCCAGAATCTCCGAACGCAGCACATTTCCATTGGCCGAGACCAGAAGGTTTAGTGACTCTACCACATCCAAGAACACTTCGTTCTTTCGGTACCGGATACCTTCACTTCTCCATGACACGGCGTTTGTGACTGCAATTGGTGGTCGCGCCTGTACCTCCAGCTTGTGTGACTCTTGCGTGATGTACCTGTCGATCCTGTTAGCTTTAAGATACAATTTGCGTCTGTAAGACTGACTCTTGTAGAATCTTGCTCTCAGTAGTCTGCGGATACCCAAAGTCCATCATCTCATCCAGCAGCTCGTAAATGACGACAAAGTTGTCCCGGATACTCTCCTCCTCCAATTCCTTGAAATACTCGGTAAACACCTCGACGATCTTGTGCAGGAACAGTAGAATCTCGGCCGCATTGGTGTTCCGTTTTGTTAACGCCAGCAGGTACAGGTTGCTGTGACGGATATAGAGATACTACCGCGCAATGGGTCAGCTAGATTTGAAGAACCAAGCGGGGAAACACACGTTGATGCCTTCATGCGAAAAGCAAGGCGGCACAGCCGAGCTCTCTTCTTCGGCTTCACTGAGTAAAATAGGAAACTTCTCGACGGCCGACATGGGAATATCGCCACGGTAGTTGCGGGCAAGAAGGGTCTGCGAGAGCACACATCAGCACGATTCAATATCCGAACGAAGATACACCCCATCCCCCGGTCCCTGCACTGAAACCTGGAACACCAATGATTTTGTATTCATACCTTGCCCTTCAAATCCAGGAAGAAAATCGCCGACGCCATGGTTGGGACAGCGCGCGGGCTGCTCTCCTTATCGTCGGCGGAGTATAATATGATGATGCACAGTGCGGGAGGGTTCAGAAACGCATAGCGAGGTTCCTAGCACCACACACAAGAGAACACGGAGAATACACAGGAGCACGCAGCTTGCCTGACAGCTATCAGTAGCGGTGCCAGTAGAGAATCAGCAGAGGAAGGAATAGAGGAAGATAGAGACAAGTCGACCCTCCACATGTCCGTTTGGCCCGACCCGCAGCCCCATCCTAATATGGCTTAGCGCGCCCAGCTCGCCCGCTACAAAAATTCGCTTGTTTTTGCAGTCCCTTTCTGATTCTCTTTTCTATCCAACGCCCTCTATTAGACAGTGCAAGGCAACATTGTGGTCACACTGGCATTTTGCTGGCTGTAGCTTACAGTTTCTCCTCCCTTGTTGAATCTTGCGATCATGAGGCGCGCAGACGTAGGATCTTTTTCCAGCGATTCCATAAGAGCTGGCTGTGTATCACTGTTTCGACAGTTTCACCGTTGCACAGGCGGTGTCAGAGGAATCATACATTTTCCAATTTCTAGTATAATTTGTAATTTATTATTGAATGTGTCTTTGCAATGGAGATCGACCGTTGACTATATATAATACATCTAATCTCAATGGTACATGCAGTCCTAGTAAAGTACATGAAAGAGAAGCTAAGGTAAACAGCCCAGAATCGTAATCTGAACCTGGACAAGAAAGAACGCCATTAAATGCTGCTCTAAATATCGACTCAAGAACTCGACAGCCCCTGCGGCGCTAAGATTCGTTCTTGCACAAACTTGTTCGCCTCGACACCGCCTCGCTCGACTGCGATGGCTCCAACAATGGCATACAGGGTATGGGCGAGGACGATTTCGACGCCGGAAACAACTAGGTCACGAGGCTGGCAGAAAAATTGGTTAGTCTAGATAAAGATTAGAATTGGGGGAAAGCAAAAGTACATTTTTTGGTTGCCATCTCAGGACTGTGAGCAACTTGTAATCTTGGGCCAATTGCACCATTTGCCGCTTGTGCGTCACCCAGCCCCGAGAATTATAGGAAAGATTGTCGAGGCCTTCCAGGGCCGGGTGCTCAAAGGGCTGCCGTGTCTCTGAACGGTCCAGCGGCGGGATGGGGTGCTTGTAGTTTCCTGGGTTTTGCACCAGACTCAACGATGCCTGCAGGTGCACTATCCGTTTACCTGTCCTCACCATTAGTCCACAACAAAATATATGAGTTATGCCCATGCAATCCTTACCAAGCATTCCCAAACGATCGTTAAAGCCTCGTCGGCCCTGATCAAAGCTCTTGTGCGTGACCGCCAGCCATTTGAGCTTGTCCGACAGAACCTTGTCACCTCCGCTCCCCAACAGAGAAATATAAAACTTGTCCAGTACTTCTTGGTCCTCGTTCACAGGGTAATTGGGGCGTTTGCTGTGTAAATGAAGACTGAAGGGGGCCTTTGTGCCAGGGGGAGTGTACATCCAGCGCGGCTTTTCTGCTTGATCGGCTTGGTTCTCTTCGCGGCGATGCGGCGTGCTGGACAGGCTTCGTCGCGTGGTGGAAACGCTGGCGATCCGTGTGGAGGATCTTGCTGGAGAGGCCAGCGCTCGCAATGACCGGCAGGGAATATTGGATGCCATGGTGCAGCCACAGTGGTAGTCAGTATTGTTGAATGTTGATGATCGCAATCGTATTTGGAGGAGATGCAGGATTTCAGCCTTGCGCTAGTCCGCTTCGGGATTACTCAGAGACCATATATGAGTATAGAATAATTAAGATTTCTCTGTCAAAGAATTCAACATTATGTAATAAATATAAATAAAATATGGCAATTCATATATAAATGATTAATCTAACTTGATATTAAATATAAATTGGTTGTTGAAGATATAAAAAGAGTGTCTGTGTCAAATCCCTAATATCATAGATGTTCCTAGGAACCCATAATAATAGGTTTGATAAAAGCACAAAACAATGGATACAGGCTACAGCTAAACTTGACACGATTTAGAGTTTTATCTGTCTTGATGAGTACTGACTACAGAATATTCCTTATTATTTATCAACAAAGTGTTGAAACAGCCCTCTGTACATGTAATAACATATTTTTCCTCTTGTATTTTATAGTTGACGCCGACCCCCTAATAATATTGAAATGACAAATCACATCTATGCGCGTACTTTACAATTACAAGCAAACAGCACCGCCATCTACCACAATATCAGCACCAGTCATGTATCTCCCAGCCCGTTTACTAGCCAACAATACAAAAGCTCCAGTGATTTCTTCCACATCCCCCATCCGGCCCATGGGACAATTCGAAGCCCAAATCTCTCTCAATTCTTTCAGATTCTCTCCAGCATTCAGCACAGTATCCATATACCCCGGGCTGACGCTGTTCACCCGAATTCCATAAACCGCCCACTCAACAGCTAGATTGCGCGCCATGTGCACCACTGCCGCCTTGCTGGCGTTGTACGCAACTTGCGGTTGAGGAAAGTTGGTTAGATGGGCTGATATTGACCCCGTGAACACGATACTGCCCCCTTTCTTGCGTTCAATCATATGCTTCGCTACCGCCTGCGCACACACGAAGGATCCTTTCAAATTCACATCAATCACCTTCATAAACGCGTCTGCTGTGACTGCGGTTGACTCTTCGCAGCCAACGATTCCGGCGAGGCAGAGGAGTATATCGATGCCCCCCATTACCGTGGCGGCCTTTTCGATGGTTTCATTTACTAGTATAGGACTGGTCACATCGACAGAAAAAGTATGAATCTCGCATGACGAGTTTGCTGCAAAGTCGGTGCGAAGCCGCGCAATGTCTGGAGCTGATGATTCCAGAGTCGTGGATAGGTCTAACAGGGCAAGTGACGAGAGCCCATGCTCGAGAAGGCTACGTGCGGTGGCCATACCTAGAGCCCCAGCACCACCCGTGATGACCGCATTGCCTTCCACGGCAAAGCGTGACAGGGCTCGAGTGCTTGGGCTAGTCAGAGTGGAATCTGGCGGCAGTGGTGCATTGAGAGGGTTTTCTGCGGAGGATAAGGTCATCCTGGGAATCTGACGGAAAATGAGCGCATCTCGGTCATTTGGTTGGGAGGCTGATCGGGGAATCTCTCCCATTGTAATGGAAATGGAAAGAGTGTTTGCTCGACGAAATGCTTGATTTAGTGGTATATGAGTATGATCAAAGTAGTCGTGGAGAGGATAACTTGATCTAGTTTATCACATGGAGGCTTCAAATGTTAATAATACTGTCTAGTTTCTACCCGGCTAAATAGCATTTAATCACTTTCTCCTCTTACACAGTCTAGCTAATTTTGGGTGAGATTAAGTGCTCTTTGACACTGGAGTATCACAAGAAAGCAAGTTCCCCACGAAACTTGGAAAGCGCCGGTTTGCATGTGTTAATCTGTTTCGGGAATACAGCTCAGCCCCGTAACTTTCTCCAATTGGACAGGCTTCCAATTCAATCATGTGCTTACTCGGGTGCTTCACTTCAGATAAGCTGGATCAGAGCGGGATGTAGTAACAATTTGTACATTGTATCAAGGAAAATTCATTTAAGTTCGATCTCTATATGGGATCGACCAACAAGTAACTTGACTATCATACTACTCGGTAATTTCGAATCAGACTACATTACGTGTTCAGTAATAAGTTTCATCATTGTGTTAGATATTGTGTTGACGTATGAATCCCTGCAATTTACACATAAAGACGGCCAAATACTTCTGTGTACCAACAATTTAGCCCACATTTTAGATAGCAGATACAACGGTACCCTCCAGTCAGTAGTCTACAGGGACCGCAGTTTTGAGTTCCTCAGGATAGAGTTTATAAATGGGATCGAGGTCATCCACAAGACCACACCCTGGGTCAGAGCAAGAATAGCCGATAAATTGCTGGACCTTGCGGTCATATTGCATAAGTATATCACGTGGAATAGCCAGATACATCTGGTAGTAACCTGGTATTAGCATTCTTCAGATGAACGGAGGTTAGGGTTAAGAAGGTAATTACATTATCTTCTTGCCTCAACCACCCACGCGTGACGAATGTGCTATAAACTAGCCTGTGTTCATCCGTAGTTATGTTTTGAGAACCACCGTGGAAGCAAGAGGCGAACATAAAGAAGGCGTCTCCCTTTTCCAGTTCGGCATAGACCGTCTGGTTTTCTGGAGGAGGATTTTTGCGTTCGTAATTACCCCTACATATAGCAAATCAGTATGCTCCTTTGAAAGAAAGATCCTATCTTTTTGATCTAAGGTAAGCTACCAGAGATGCGAGCCCGGAATAAAACGAGTTGCGCCATTGGCCTTGGTAGTTTTTGTGCCAGCCACAAACAGACCAACTGCACTTTCACGGTTCATGTCCCGTTCGTCGTTCCATGGAGCTGGAACTTCAGTGTGAACGTTGTGATGGAGATAGTCATCGCGATGCAGTGGTTGAGCTTTTGCTCCAGGCCCGATATACATGGCGGCCCCCGTGTGCGCCTGCGGCTTCGAAACGGATTCCTTCCAGGTGTCACCCCACCAGAAGGAATTCCGAGTAGTCAGGAAATGGTCGCAGATGGTTTGGTAGAGAGGGTTCATGAGTAGTTCTCGGGTATAGGTTGGGCTGTTGGCAATAAGGGAGGTGCATTTTCTGGTTTCTTTCTGTGACGACTCAACAATCGAACATATCACTTTACATATATAGAGAGATATATATATATATCTTCAAGAGTAGAAACCTACCGGGAAAAAGCTTCCATTCCAGCGTTGTTCGGCGTCAAGTTTCGGTTTGATTTCGGCGTTGCACTTGTCCATTACTTCCACCGGTGCAAAGTTTTCGGCGATAACACCCCCATCTCGTTTGAGCAGAGCGATGAAGTATTCCGGAGGTGCCGTTGCAGGTAGACGCTGGACACCGGGTGGAAATTCAGGAATACCGTGGGCTTTTCCGTTGGTATGCATGCTTAATGCTAGGATTGGTGCTGTTAGCCTAGGACAAGGGTAAATAAAGTGGCATAGTTGTCAATCTAGTAACATAGTTGATGCCTCTTGCCCTTATATACCTTACCTCCAACTTCTATTACTTTAGTTCAAATATTATGTCATTGCTACATGTAACGTAAAACGGTCTATATTGGTTTCTATTCGTAGACAAAGAAAACCTTTGCCCTAATTGTTACGCAATGAATGCCGCAAACAGCTATTTTCGGAAACTTAGCAGTCTTTTATTCTAACAATATTTGGTACCGAAACTAACAATGAAAGGGGTGGGGGGGTGGTTCGAATTTCAGTATCTTCTGTGTTCGGATGACACAGTGGGAGAACTGTAGGAAGAGCTAAGTATAGTTAGAGTGAGAGAAACGTATTATCCAAAGATGCTATTACTTTAGATAGGGAAATACATACAACCATAACATTTACAGACAATTCAATTGGTTCCCTGGTGTGCGGAGTTTTTATCCTATGGCATTCTAGCCCTACGGCGGCCCCAATTACCCTTTCGGGCTAAAGTTTGAGCAGAGTGCTTATGCGCCATCCGGTGGAATTGTCTAGAGTTGCTGTATTGTGATAATAACCCAACGCAGAGAAATACATTTTATACCTCTTTCTCATTGGTTGTTCGTACAGCAGATCTGCTTGGTACCACCAAGCTTGCATTCACGGTAGAATCTATCCAGTCTATTCGAGTCATATGCACATTTCGTCCTTTTTTATTTATTATTTCTCTCCAACGCGCAGATTGTTTGCCATCGCACTCCTTCAACCTGATCGGATATTACTGATTTCAACATGCCTGACTTCAAAGGCGTTGACCTGTCTGGAAAAACTGCATTGGTCACTGGCTCGTCCAGGTAAGTTATTGATACTGTGTAATATTCTGTGCTTTGATACTGACCAAGCTCATGTCTGTAGAGGCATTGGATCCGGAATAGCCCTCCTGCTCGGAAAGCGAGGTGCGAATGTCGTAGTCAACTACGTGTCGGATGGAAGCAAGGAGAGAGCAGCCAAAGTTGCCGCCGAGATCGAACAGGCTGGCTCCAGGGCAGCTATCTGTCAAGCGGATGTAAGCAAGATGGAAGACATTCCGAAGCTAGTGGAGGCGACTCTGTCCTTGTCTTCCAACAGGAAGATTGATATTTTGGTTCACAAGTACTATACCCCGACTTTCTTCTGACCCTTGGAAGTTATGCTAAGCTAAATCCAGCGCCGCACAAGGATTAGATGCAGACTTGAAAAATACCACCCTGCATTTTTATAATATTCACTTTGATTGTAACGTCCGCGGACCACTCTTCCTCACGCAGGCCTTTCTACCTCATCTAGCAAGAGGCGGTAGGATTGTTTTCGTCTCTTCTGCTGGCGCGCGCATGGGTGTGCCGCAGCAAACTGTATACGCGGCTACCAAGGCAGCCAATGAATCCTTCGCTCGTGTCTGGGCCAAGGAGCTTGGTCAGGAATATGGCGTCACTATCAACTGCATTAATCCCGGCCCAATAGCTACTGGTAGGTTCAAAATCGACCATATTCCACCTTCCATTTTTTAGCAGTTGTGCTAACCACACCCACAATTTGCCTATAGATCAATGGTTCCAGAGTGATGAAAAGTTCCTGCAAGAAATGCAGCCGTTGATTGAGTCGACACCAGCCGCTGCTCGGGTTGGCGAGGTCGATGATGTCGCGCCTCTGGTAGCATTTCTTTGTTCAGAAGACGCTAGGTGGACTACAGGCTCGGTTTTGTCTGCTAGTGGTGGCTTGTGTCTCTATTGAGTTATCTATTTTGTTCGACAACTACTCTCTCATTCTGCGAATGAGCTAGACTGCCATTCGTTAGAAGTAATGATATGTTTGTAGTAAAGCCTATTTGAGCGTGATTGTATGGAAGTTATTAAATCTTGTCTATATTAACTTTAGAGATTTAATATCGTAACTTGCCTTTATCAGATACTGGAAAAGTTATCAAGTTATTGGTGAAGATAGTAGTTGCGAGCTGGCCAATAAAAAGAACTAAAAAGGCAAATCCGTGGGAATTGCCATCATTGATATTCTCGGTGTACATATATGGTCAGATTAATAGTTCCCAATTAGGCTAAAGTCGCAACTCTTCCAACAAAAACATGTTTGCTCAGTCCACATAACTTCACTAATAGCAGCACTTGAGGTATCCACTATATCCTCGTTCCTAACCAGATCATTTAATGTATATATATATATATGTGTGTGTGATCACCCACTCTACCACTACTCACATAATATAGCTATTTACAATGCGTTCAACCTTGTCTAAAAATTCGCGAATCATTATTGTTGGTGGGGGAACTTGGGGATGCTCAACGGCTCTCCACCTCACTCGCCGCGCCTATAAGAACGTCACTGTCTTCGACCCTTTCCCAGTACCCTCGGCCATTTCTGCAGGCAATGATATCAACAAGGTTCTCGAAGCCGGTACAATAATGCCTACCATACACCATATAAAACTAAAGAAACAGCTAACATGCTCCCTAGGATCTTTTGCTGAAGGTGATGATGAGGCAGTTGTAGCTGAGATTCTGTTGGCTGCGGCTACACAGGGATGGAATAAAGATCCAATATTCACCCCCTACTTCCATAATGTTGGATATATTCTCGCGGCGTCCTCTCCACAAGCAATCCAAAATGTGCAAGACCGTGAGATCAGGCACCATGCTGGAAATTTCTTTGAATTGTCCACACCGGAGGGATTCCGGAAGAGCATGCCACCCGGAGTATTGACTGGAGACTTTGCCGGCTGGAAAGGATGGCACCAGAGGTCAGAAGTCGGTTGGGTACACGCCCGCAAAGCAATGGTGGCAGCAGCTCGCGAAGCGGCTCGTTTGGGCGCCACTTTTGTCTGTGGAAATGCCCGGGGACAGGTGAAGGAGCTGATTTACGCAAACGACGGAGATGTCCACGGCGTCAAAACCGCTGATGGTCTCGAGCACTTTGCAGATCGAGTGATCATTGCTGCAGGTGCTCAAGCGCCTTCGCTCGTAGATTTCGAGAATCAACTACGGCCGACTGCTTGGACAGTCGCACATATTCGAATGTCACCAGATGAGGCGAGGCTCTATAAAAACATTCCCGTCATATTCCATAGCGAGAAAGGGTTTTTCATTGAGCCTGATGAGGATAAACTTGAGCTCAAAATTTGTGACGAACACCCAGGCTACTGTAATTGGGTTCTCCAAGATGATGCGCTTCCACGCTCGATTCCCGTCCCACGAAATCAGATTCCGGCTTCGTCTGCTCGCCGTATTCGAGAATTCTTACGAGAAACAGCTCCCCAACTTGCCGACAGACCGTTTAGCCACACTGCAACAATGTGGTGTGCAGATACGCCAAACCGCGCATTTCTGATTACAGCACACCCTAGGCACCCTTCTTTAATCTTGGCTGCTGGCGACTCCGGCCACGGCTTCACGCACCTTCCGTCTATTGGAGGCTTTGTATCGGACCTTCTAGAGGGTAATCTCGACTCAAGGATCGCTAAATCTTGGCGTTGGAGGCCTGATACTGGACAGGAATTCTGGGGCAACGACCTTCTAGGTCGTTCCGGAGCCGGCAACAAAGTCCTTGATTTGAAGGAAACTATCACCGAAGGATGGGTCCAAGGCTGTGACGACTCTGACATGGCAAAATCCTCAAAATTATAATATGGATTTGAGAGTTGTTACAACTTGTTGCACCTTGTTATTTGATTGGTTACAAAGTTAATATCACATAACGCACGTTCAATATGGGATGTTGGTTTTACAATATTTTTCAATAACAGACAAGTGATTTGATTTGATATTAATGTTACGAGACTCCAGATGAACAGTTTCCGGCTTTCTTTATAGACAGTGTTTTGTGCTAGAATTGTGTTAATCTCAATATCCTGAACTTCACCGGATCCAGGGAGATCACGTAAACAGCCTCTATCTGTATACATCTTCCAGCCACTCAGGTTGACTCGTCACATCATCTATCCAACTATGGGAATACTTGCTTCAGTTTCAGTTTGCTCAGCTCCGATATTTGGATTTCGATTTAGCCTTATTTCCATCCGCAATGATACGGTAATTTCAATGTCTATCTGGGGTAAATGTGTCCCCCAAGAGAGCAATAAGCTAACTGGGAAGTAATTTCCCATGCTAGAATAATATCTAGGCCGAGCTAGACTGCTGGCATAATTACCTAAAGCAGTAGTTAATACTCCTTTCCTTTGTCGCTGGGAACCCAACTAGGGTAATTCGACGAATCGAAATCACCATGGACCCGAAATACAATAGTACAACAGAGTGAAACATGTTTTATTCATTTTCTATCTCTTAGGAGGCCTTATGTGAAGTAGGAGCAAACCTATCTATAGACTAGATATATCCATTCTGGCTGGTATACAAGGATTTGTCTTACATGAATTTGAATTTCGGTTGCGTCGTACGGACAAGATTTCGTTGAACCATTCTCGTTTTCCGATCATTTTTGAGTCAAGGTTTTCTTGTAATTAAACCTATCCTTCTATAATCCTTGATCAAGCAATTGGTTACTAAACGCCTACATATGTTGTACTCAAGGGAGACATGTGGGGTGACGTACACTGAGAAGATGCATTGTCTGGAGTATTAGTTGCTTCATTGTTGAGACGACAAAGTGAACTAAATCCAATTAATCAACAGATGGTTGAATAATACTCGCTGCGCATATCAGCGGGGCACCTCAATATAATCCTTACTATCAAGGATTAAGATTACGTATCTACCCCCCAGATGGAGTAGTACACGGCACTCCAGGAAACCCTGAATAGGTATAGCCTACACCGTTATCATTCCTCAATAAACCTAAAATCACTCTACTCCTCCATCATTGATAACAAACTAAAACATGCGGTTCCATAATAGTTGCATTTCGCAGATATAAGGTTCCACTATTACCATGGTAATTCAATCAATTTTACAGAGGATTGAAACGGCTACACTCAAGTTTTTCACTATTCACATATTCTCTTGCTGTATATGGACCAATCAAAATCCGGAGAAGTCGGCCAGTCTGACAAACATAAGCAGCCGATGAGCCAAACTATCAGCGATCAAAAGAGTGAAAGCGATGTCCAGGGTAAGGTGACAGAGTACAATACTTTAGACGAGGCGGTTCTGCGCGCTCAAGGACATGAGGCGGTCCTCAAGAGATCCTTCTCACTCTTGTCATCCATTGGGTTTGCATTTGAGTATGGTATTTATAAGGATACGATGAGACTACTATGACTAACTGTTGCCAACAGTATAACTAACTCATGGGTCGGTGTTCTGAGTAATTTCGGACAGAATTTACTGTATGGAGGGCCACCGCTTGCTGTATGGTCTGTCTTGATCGCTTGTTTTGTCCAATGGATCATCACCCTCGGCCTTTCTGAGCTGGCATCTGCCTTTCCATCCTCTGGAGTAAGTGATAAACTTCTCCTTGTAAACTCATCGGTTTATTAAGTGGGAGCTAATAAATCGCTATCTTAGGGCCAGTACCATTTCGTCTACATTGTTGCACCCTCTAAATCCAAGCGATTCGGTGCTTTTGTTACCGGCTGGATGTCCATATTGGGCTGGTGGTTTGGAACCTGTTCAGGTCTGTCTCTTGTAGCCAACTCGATCCTCGGTCTGGCCAGTTTTTTGCACCCGCAATTTAGCCCGACACAATGGCAGACGTACCTCGTATATCTTGCGGTGTTGATCATCACAGGTATGTACGCTTCTTTTCTCTCCAAATTCGACTAAACGTATATTTATAAATTAGTCATTCCACTCTTTGCATGTCCCAAATGGCTGCCCAAGATAAGCACTGGAGCGCTTTCGTTGACTATCATTGGCTTCCTGACCTGGTTTATTACAATCCTCGCCACCAGAGACCATTCCAGTAGCGGCGACTACATCACAAAGCCCGTCCAAGGCACTAGTGGTTGGAACCCAGGAGCTGCATGGGTTCTCGGGATTATCAATTCTATGTATGCTTTTACGGGAACTGATGGAGCTATTCATATTGCTGAGGAAATGCATCGACCAGGCGCAGCATTGCCACGCATCATGTAAACCACATTTAAGTGAAAAAGAGTCCAAAACAAACTGACAAAAGCTTAGGAATATGACCATGGTTATTGGTCTTGTAACGGCGTTCCCGATCATCTTGGTGTTCATGTTTTCCATGAGCAATATGACTGATGTCATGAATGCACGGTGGCCAGCAGTGGAGCTACTCTATCAGGTTTCTCAGAGTAAATCTATAACAATTGGGCTGACTATCTTGTTGATCGTTATCTACGCATGTAAGTCTAGCAAACCAATCCACACAAAGTTCGTATCTGATATAAACAGCCAATCTTCCTCCTCAATGGATCGCATCAGGGAGACTTGCATGGGCTTTCGCACGTGATAATGGAATGCCCTATTCTAAGTTTTTCTCCCACATACACCCAGGATTAGGCTTTCCGGTGCGAACAACACTGGCTTCCTGCGTTTTTGCATCAATTTATGGTCTGATCTATCTTGCAAGCACATCTGCTTTCAACTCGATCATTACCTCGGCGATCTTATTTTTGAATATCAGTTATGCAATTCCTCAGGCAATAGTGGCTTTTCGTGGACGTTCTAAAACACTTCCAAACCGCGTGTTGAAGCTCGGAAGAATCGGATATGTCTGCAACATCTTTGCTCCTCTTTGGATAATTATCATGTGTGTTCTTGTGTGTTTCCCGCCTTCGTTGCCTACTACTGTCGGTTCTATGAATTACACAGCACCCATCATTGTCGGACTGTTTATGGCCATTATTGTTTTCTGGTTTGTGATTGGAAAACAATTCGAGGGGCCAGCTATTGATTGGGAATTACTTAGCGTAAGCAATGCAACATGATCAGACATCTGGAGGTGAAGGAAGGCATCCGTGTGTTGAATATCGATAACATATATTCATAAGTAGGCACATTGGCTATGGAGTCGCATGTAGCACAGAAATATCAAGTGATGTATTTATGTATCTATATCTCTATCTCAACTACAATAATTCCAAGGTGCCATCTCAGGGTGCCATTCTGACAAATTGTTATCAATGATAGGTTGGTTTATAAACTCTATTTCCAAGTCTGGTGCTAAGCCACTGCATAAGTATCTAGTAGCCAACAACCGGGAAAGTTATTAATTGGCCTTATCTACTTGCTTTCTCCGCACATATTAACGGGAAAGATAGACTCCAGCTTATCTATCACTCTCAGCGGTAACTAGTCATCTCCCAAAGCCAGTCACAGCTTGCCTCCCGCAGACGAAGATGTAAATCTTTACATGCTGAATTGTATGCAAGAGAGATGCCACCTAGTGGTGCGTGTGTGTGACTGAGCATACCTACCGTACATTATCGAGATCTCTAACCTCTCCCATAGCAGGACCTGCCTGTGCAACGTGTCGTGCTAAATCCCGACGATGCGATCGCGGCCGACCCATTTGCAGACGTTGTATCACCAAGGGATTGCAATGTGGGGGATATCCCGACAAGTTTCGCTTCTGTGGTCTGGCCAGTCGAGGCAAGTGGAAGGACAGAGATGCACCGACCGGCGACCAGGAATATCCGTCTTCGAACAATTCCCTCCCCTTACGAGACCGAAGGGGTAGCCAAAAGGAATCCGCCGAAAAACAGGGGACAAGAACTGAAAGGGAGGACGTCACTCAGGAAGGCGATTTTCCTGGTAGTCTTCCAACCATAGCAACTCCGGATTCTACGGACAATATGCCCTATCAGGGCCTGAGTATTTCTCCATCGCCACAGAGTCTCACATCCGATGATCAGTCCCAGATTGACAAAATCCTTGTCTCAACGGAAACAGAAACATTGCTCACTCATTGTAAGCTCTCCATAATATGGAAGAGTTCAACTGACGTTGAAGCATATAGATGATAATGTGATATGCCCTCATCAGATAGCACAGTATACTGACAGCAATGATAATCCATACCGAATTTATGTGTTACCGCTAGCTTACGAGCATATTGGTCTACTGTATGCCGTTCTTGCACTGTCAGCATGCCATCTAGGCCGGCTAAAAGGTGACCAACATCTTTGTGAGTCAGTAGCGGTGAATTATCGACTTCAAGCGATAACGGCACTAGGTGCTGCTATTAGAAAAGGATTTACAGTGAGATTTGATGATGATGAGTTGGATAGTGTGTTTGCCACCATCCAAACACTCCTCCTTTACGACGTGAGTAATATCTATAGCTAAGAACTAAAGAAAGGCTAATGCATTTGTTTAGATCTGCGAATCAGGTATTTCGGAACACGGTGCTCACATTTCAGGAGCCATGTCCATTTGCTCGCAGCTGATGCTGAGTCACCGCTTGACTAATGAGCATGAGCGAACGGTCTTCTTCCTAGGTAATCTGGTTTGGTAAGGAGAGATCTATGAAAACATCCCTTGAGGCTGAGTCTCACCCTATCTGTTAGGTTGGATATTGTGCGTGCATTTGCGGCACCTGAACGATTATGCTTCACTCAGGACCTTCGTGAAAGGCTAGTATCCTTGGGCAACTTGAAGTTTGAGGCAGTTAATGGTTGTCCTAGAGAACTAGTTCTTCTCATTGGTGACTTATTAGAGCACGCAAAAAGGCATGCAAGTGGTAATCTGGGATTACAACAATATGTGGATATCGTCCAAAGCTCAATTCAAAAGCTGTATCTTTGGGATAGCTCACTCTGTATTTATCCTAATGATGACCCTCTCTGGCCATTAGTCGGTGAAGCATTCCGGCACGCCTGTATCCTGCGTGCGCTACGCCTCCTCGACGTTACTGAACCTGCCGAAACACCACGAATACAGGACTCCGTCATTGCAATCTTAAATGCTGTATCTAAGGTGCCAGCTGAGAGCCCATTGATAGAGCTCATGGTACTCCCCATTTTCATGGCCGGCGTGGATTGCATTTTGCCGTACTCGCAGCATTACATTCTAATACGAATAGCGGATATTAAAGCAAGATCCGAGATGAGTAACATGGCATCAATGCAGTTGCTGGAGAGAGTTTGGAAGGAGCGAGAGAAAACACAAAAGTGTGATGATCAGACTAATGTTTCTTGGATGTCCTTCGTAAGTTTAATCACCTCCTCTTATCAAATACTCAAGTAGATATTTGGAGTTTCTAATCTTCTTCAGACATACGACAATGAATTAATGCATCAACATGACTATCTGATAATATAAGATGATAGGATCCAATCATTCCTTACAATATTTTCCATCCCAGTCCCGTCGATTCCGGTTTATAGTATGTATCCTTATCTAAAGGAACCAATGTCCAATCCTAATAATTAAGCAACGCTGTCTAGTCGACCGATAAAGTCAAGGGGCCGGGTCCACCCTTTTCTTTAGCTCTGAATAAATAAGTTTTTCGATTTCCGCCGAGCACTGCAATACTTTACTATCTTTACTCATTTACACTCATGTCAGCTGCAAAACATCCCATCAAAGAGATCATTTGATAAGAGGAAGCACCCACCACCATATGGAAGTATCTGGGCCGCTATAATGCCTCCAACCCCATTCTCACGATCTGCAAACCAAAAAATATTTGGCAAGCCTTCCCAGGATGCGGAAGATGCCGCCCTTCCAATCGGGGAGGTTGTGTGGCTTAGAGAGAAGGTCAAACCCCAACCCTCTGTTTTATCATCCTCAACATTGCCATTGCTATTGTGAATAGGTGGTCCACCACATGGGTTTGCTAACCAGGGCTTGGCGCTGTCTGAATACTCGTTCACGTACCTTGGTAGGTTGGGTATCTGGTCGGTGAACATTTCTGTGATTCAATAAATAGTCAAGACTTGTTGGTCCAATTTTTTTTCCATCAGCATACCTGTTATTGTTTCTGGCCTCAGTATCTGCGCATGAGTCTTGGGGCTTGTTCCATCGTTTAGTATCGCTGCAATGATCTCTATTTAAAGTTAAAATGAGCACACATTTCATCAAAACATCCTATCTTTGAGGCGATCAACGAGCTTACGACAGTATTCCGTAATAGTACCAAAACATCCACAACCTCCCATACAGAACCCTTCCGTTGCTTCAGCAGTAGAGCCTTGCAACAGAGGAGCGCGGTAAAGATGGTCTGACAATCGTAGAGTGCCGCTCGATTCTCGCTGGTGCATGTAGGCTAAACGCGACTTCATGTCGGAATTGGGGGAAAACGAGATATTTTTTATTCCAATTGGTTTGAAAATGTATTCCTGGCAGTATTGCTCCAAGGACATGTTCGTGACGCGCTCAACGAGTACCCCAGCCCAATCGACTCCTACCCCGTATTCGAAAGCCGTCCCGGGTTGATGGAGTAATGGTCGATAGAGACATTCGTCTTTGGATCCGAAATCGTCCAGGCCTACTGGACCAGCCCATTTTCGGAGCTTGGCGCTATCGAATGCGTATCCAAACCCAGCTAAAGGTAGAAAGAATGAAGGAATTAGCATCAGTCAAGAGTAATCATACTTAGAAACAGCACCGAGTGAGGATAAAAAAACTCAAATGAAAAAGATGAAATGAAAGACAAAGAGTTTCCACACATACAAGTATGAGTAAGTAGCATTCGCATCGTGATACCCCTCTCTTTAGGCACAAGCTCAAACGAGCCGTTTTCCCTCTCAACTAAAACCTTCACATCTCTCAACTCGGACGACAAGCCTTCCACAAAGTCTACATCATCCAGCAGGATCTTTCCCTGCTCAGCCAGCTGCATGCACGCAATCCCCGTAATCAGCTTTGTACACGACGCCAGCCAATATACCGTGTCCAAGGTTACGGGTCGTGGTATACCAAGACCAATAGTCCCAGAGCAATGGCTAAACACAAAGTCCCCGTTGCGATCGACTGCACAGTAGCTAATCCCTGCGATACTGGGGTTCGCACCTGAAGTTTGTGAGTCAAGGCAGGAGCGGAGTGTAGAGATTGTTGCGGGAGAGAGGGTGGCTTTCTCGCGTCTGTTTGTGGTCAATGTCATTTCTGAGGGGTTCGTTTATGAAAATATTATGAAATATAATCTTTGATCGGGATAATAACAAATGTAATTCAAGCAATTTAATTCAAGCGAAAGGGTCAGGCAGAAAGAAGTAAAATAATATAGCAAATTCGGCCTAGGTCTATTCAAGATAAGAAGAAGAGCCGAATAAGGAAAGTCTTGCCACTCTCCAGTGTTCTGTTTGACTAGATTAGCAAAGAGACTGGAGTCAAGTGGCTTGGCCCATCGCCTACATATGCAATATTTCGTATTAGTAACCTATCAATGGGAGTCAAAAGGCTGTTTTAGATGTAGAACAGGACACAAGGTGATTAGGAAATCGCGGTCCGATTTTCAGGTATTCATCTACAGCCTCACTTTATTCTGTTTTCTACGAGATGGACATAGAGTAGATTTTGCTATCAGAACGCGTTTATATAATCTGTCAGATTTAGCTAGAATTAAGGGATAGTGTATCCACCATCAACAACAATATTCAATCCGGTTGTGTAGGAGGCTGCGTCACTGGCCAAGTACAGATAAGCGCCCTGCAGCTCTTTAGGGGTAGCTTCTCGACTATTTGAAAAGACAGTATTAGCCAAAGGACAATATAGATAAATAACACTTGAGGGTGTCTCACCCCATTGGAATTTTGCTTCTCCAAATAGCTTTGGTATCCTCCGGAATAAAGTTGGAGATCTCAGTTGCAATGTAACCAGGGGAGACGGAATTAACACGAGCAAATTTAACCCACTCAATGGCCAGGGATTTGCACATGTGCGTAACACCCGCCTTGGCAGCGTTGTACGCTGTCTGAAGCTGGGGGATATTGACGATTTGGCCGCTGATGCTGGCGGTCGCAATAAAAGATTTACCACTATACGAAGGGTCTAAAGGGTTACCGTTCAGATCGGTTCCCTCGAGGTGCTGACGACGAAAGTGCTTGCCCGCTGCCATTGCAGAATAGAATGTACCATTCAGATTAGTTTGAACAACGTCCAGGTAGTGCGAGCTTTCACCACTGAGAGCAGCGCCTTGCGTCCACGGAATGCCCGCGTTGGCAACGAATATGTCCAGGCGGCCATTGAATTCGCTGACGATTTGATCAACCACGCGCGACACGTCTTTTTCGGACTTTATGTTCAGCTGATATGCCTTGCCTGTGCTCGTATGACATTGAACAAGGTTAGCCAACTCTTTCAACCGTAATCAGGGAGTTCGTAGTTTGCCCACATTTCACTTTGAAAGTCTTCTCAATCTCTATTGCAGCCTGATGAGCAGCATTGTTGCTGTTATATGTGATGGCTACGTTTGCCCCAGCCTCCGCGTAGGCTTGTGCAACAGCAAGACCGATCCCACTGGCAGCACCGGTAATGATGGCAGTCCTGCCCTTGAGTGAGAAGAGACTAAACACTCCACGATCAGCGGGAGCTGGAGGCGTATTTCCCACCGTGAAATTTGAGGAGCTGTCCAATCCGCCGTCTGACATGTCGAAGAGATGAATAATAGTGGTAACTGAACAGAGTCTGCTCACAAATGCCGTATAGCGAGCCTTTGAAGTAAATTAACGCACTGAACAATAAGTTCGAAAGGCGCAAGTGTACGTTTGGCGCGAGTCTAAATTGTTGAGTCTTGCTGAAAACTGGTTAAGAAAGAAGAGGTGTCGAGGCAACCCTAACCCTAACCCTACCACCGTTCGGCGGGACCATTTTCCCGAATAGGTAAATGACCCAGCAGAATTAGACTTTCCTATTGAGTTCAACTACTTATGCCTGGGCTCTTGGCGAATATGTGTAGCGATTGTTACCTGATAACAGTATACGGAGTAATATATTTCCATATTTGAATCCAAGAGTGGACAGTGCTTCCTTAAACGGCAGGACGTGACACAATAGAGTAAATGAGGAGAAATATTAATTACACAAAGCATTCACTTCTAGTGATATAGACGACCTTCAAATGTTATGAAGACTGAATAATTAAAATTGGAAGCTAGAGAGTGAAGTATAAATATTGCATTTAATATCCTTTACGGGCATAAATTCTATCTTAAAATTTCTTGGGGTTACAACAATGTCTACCACTCAGACAGTAAGCCAACGACTACGCTTATGATGCACCTGACTAAAGTACAATGTTAGGAGAGACATTTAGCCTTTGTGCTACGAGGTGTGCACGATACAATTATCGAAGAACGTCCAATTCCAAGACTCCGCAACGAATGGGATGTGCGAGTCCGAATCGAGCAGACAGGCATTTGTGGCAGTGATGTTCACTATTGGGATCACGGCAGAATTGGTGGTAAGGACTTACTCATGAATATCGGCGGGGGGAAACAGAATGTAGAGCCGGACTGACTGTTATCTACCTGAAGATTTCATTCTGACATCGCCTATAATTCTTGGACATGAATCATCCGGCACTATTGTTGAGGTTGGACCTGCTGTGAAGAACGTTAAAGTCGGCGATCGTGTTGCGATAGAGCCGGGTGTCCCTTGCAGACAGTAAGTTGTTCCTATTCTTAATCAATATTCACACGTTCTTATAGTTGCATTCTTAGTTGCGATTACTGTCGAAAGGGAAGTTATAATCTCTGCCCCGATACTGTTTTCGCTGCTACACCCCCTCATGATGGTACTCTGTCCAAGTACTTTGTGGTCGCTGCAGACTTCTGCTTCCCGATTCCCGCTCACTTAGATATGGAACAGGCTGCACTGGTCGAGCCTGTCTCCTCCGCTGTACAGATGGTCCGTACCGGTGACGTGCGAGGTAACCAAACTGTCGTTGTTTTTGGCTGCGGGCCGATGGGTGTGTTGTGTCAAGCAATTTGCCGGGCTTGGGGCTGCAAACGTGTGATTGGCATTGATATTGTCCAATCCAGGCTTGACTTTGCTGCTTCTTTCAGTGGCGGAAGTCCTGATGATGTTTTCATGCCGCCAAAAAAGCCAGCAGGTGAGGACCAGATGGCGTGGAGCGAGCACGTGGCACAAGTGATCAAGGACCAATTCAATCTCGGAGAGGGGCCTGATGTTGTGCTGGAAGTAACAGGAGCTGAGCCTTGCATCCAAACGGGCGTTCACTTGTGCAAGAAAGGGGGTACATTTGTGCAAGCCGGCATGGGTACTGAGGTAAGTCGTCCTGAATCCACATTTTGTGCCTCGTAGTGAATTTCATGCCCTTAGAATGTTAATTTTCCCATCTCTGTTGTCTGCGTCCGTGAAATTAGAGTCCAGGGATCAATTCGCTATCAAACCGGTTGTCACCCGACCGCTGTCGACTTGGTTTCTAGTGGAAAACTAGATGTAAAGAAACTCATTACTCATCGCTACAAGTTCGAACAGTCCGAGGAGGCATTCCAGAAGGTCAAGGCCCGCGAGGAGGGTACTCTTAAGGTCATGATTGAAGGTGTTCGTGACTAGTATCACGCCAAGTAGGAGGTACAATTGCATACAAAACATAACCGTACTCTCAAGTGTCTTCGGAATAATCCCTATAATTTGTTCTATCGTATCTCTGGGACAGACGTATCCTTTTATAATTTGTCAAGCCATCAATGACTCCCTAAAATCTTAGACTTACCATAAATGAAGGGCAACTCGTAGGGATTTCAGAAATGAGGTGCTCTTGTCTCAATTTTATAATCCTATAAGAAGAGCATCATTTCTATGACATATATTTTGGATTTTATTTGCAAAATCTGTAATCTAGACGAGATAAAATATGCTATTTCAGCCTGCTCGTTGTTATGGTTTCAAAACTGTAATCATCGGATCCGTATTTGCAACATGCTACCGATAAGCTTCATAGATTCGCGCCTTTCAATCCTCCTGGTCCTACCCATTAGAGACATGTTAGCACACATATATATATATATATATGCAAGATGGAAATAAACAAGATTCTTCAGGAAGATGGACAAACCCATTAAATCCTCCGTAACGACAGCCTCAGCTTGCAACTCTATGATCATGCCCTTAAGACCCAAGGCCCCAGACCCTACTGACATCCACGTTGGCCTCTTCCCCGGATACCTCCGCCGCCAAATCGCCATCATCAGCGGATCATATCGCTGATCGGGCAAAAAGCTGACAATCTTGTACGCCGAATTTAAGCCATCAACCACCCCGGCCGATTGCAGCGCGACATCACAGCAGTCAAAACAGGCTTCGATCTGGGCTTCCGCCGATGACTCCACCAGTTTCCCCGTCTTGAGATCGATGCCGGCTTGACCAGCAGTAATAGCAATTTTCGCGTTTGAAGGAATTACCACTGCGTTGGAGAAACCAGCCGCAATGCAGTCTTTGCCGGATGGGCCAGGCCGCTCAAAATATTGCTCTGATGCAGGCATGCTGCTGTCTATCTGAATGTTGGGGAAGAAGTATGAAAGTGGGGGAAAGGCTTTTTTTATGACCTTCGAGGATTCAGTGAGGCCATGACATTACTTAAGGGGATGCTTATTAAGGGCGAGGACGAGGTATTATTAAACTGTACTGAGATAAGCCCATATCCTGCGGTGCGTTGAGCCTGATTCGGAAGTTCAATGCGCTTCATATCCAGCCTGCTACGCTCATCCCAGCCCATGCTCCAGATTGGAACGGAAATTTCAGCTTTCCAAGTAATCAATCCTTGTTAATATCAAGACTGTCAATCATTCCAGTAATTTCGTCCAAGACACTATCCTGAATCGCTTGTTGGAGTTGGGGCATGCAAAGGTCATTCCCAAAACCAAAGTCGCAATCGAGGCATCTCTGTGCGATTTCCTTGTATCTTGGCCCTAGCCTACAAGCCTGGGATGCAAGCCTTCGAACCCCGCGAATATCTCCCCCATTAAGCCGTGCCCAATGTCCAATCTGGAGTAGGACTACCCCTAGACTATATAATGGCAGGTTGCGGATGCCCTGCTGAAGCATAGCATCTTCAATTTTAGTCGACATGGCTGGATTATTGTAGTCTTCTACTCCATCCATACCGATTTGATCACCACGTCCTTTCGAGGAAAACTCGGTAGTGACGTGTAGGGAACGTAGAGACGCATCGGAGAACTCATCACCATACCGAAAAAACCCAATATCCTGCAGCCTCCAGCATTCATTCAACCAGGGAGTGGTGTGAAATTGTAACATCGCTGAAACTAAAGTGCGCACTAGCTTCAGTTGATCCACTACCGTCAAGGTATTATCCAGAGGCTGCCTTAATAATTCATACACAGGTGCTGGCTTGCCATGGGTCTCCGTCTGGAGTAGCTCATTCACCCTGCTGTTACCTGAGAAGAAAAGGTGGCGGTACTTATCAAGGACTGTATCTGTATCAATATATCCAATACAATTTTCTTCTCTTTGACTTTTCTGACATGGTCTCGCTTGTCGAGCCAGGTCAGAACAAATATCCGACGAACTGCGAAGATCCATGTAGTCGCACCACCGCGGTCTCACCTTGTGTAGAGACCCATCAGAAATACCATTGGCCAATTTTCGCTTACGAGCTTTCCCCAGTCGATGGGTAGCTTCTTCTGCAACATGGCGTGAGGACTCGCCATTCGGCATTTCTACCTTTTTCGCCGCGTCCGCTGGGAGTGGACCAGAGAAACCGGGATCAATACGTGCCTGGTTATAGGAACGTACTGACAAACGCACCGGATTATCAGGTCTAAGAATTTGGAAGCGGGTGTTAGTATTCATTCGTTGAAGCCATCATTACGGAACAAAAAGGAAACAAAAAAGAGAACAGAAAATGAGAAGGCCGAAACAATCTCAGAAATGCAGTACTGCTCACCTTATGTTTCGACGGGAATTTTCTGACAGAATAATCAAATGTAGACTAACTTCCTGGTCGACTGATACACTCAGTAACAACTTTGCATAATGGCTGAGATGGGTGGGTTGGGAACAGGGCCACGCCGTTGTTAAGGCTTCGTGCAGCGCTCGAGAGGCATGCCTGATGGGTTCATATTGGGTATACTCCACACGACGTCGCTTTCCACGGCGATCGATTGAGGTGTTGTTTCGGTATTGATTGGTGTTCTGAAACTCGTTGAGATGTTTGCGCAGTGTTTGCAAATCTGCATTCGCCGTGCGAAGAGCCTTGATCGATTGATCATACCCGGGCTTTTTAAATGACATCTTAATGGCTGATTGTATCCGATCTAACCTCCGTTGTGAATTCTCTTCCTAGATCAGTTCCTCTTATCAGATTCTTGCCCCAAATTGAACGTCAGGTTCGTAGTTTAGGTCATACCGGTAGTTGCGCCGAAATGGAGTCAAAATGATTGAACTTCACGCCAAGCTCCTCCAGTTTTTCGTTGATTTCCTCCACAATTTTTAAACAGGTATCATAATTTTCATCCAGGTATCTCCTCCACTGCTGGTCGATGGACCTACTAGCCCATTCATCATGCCGAGTATTGGAGAGCATGGCCCAGATGGTGCGTTCGTCGGTCACAACAAGTCGTAGCAAAAAATGGCACTCGTTTAGAAAAACGCGACGCTGGATTTCAAGTTGTCGGTTCAAGCGGAGTATTTCTCTTGAATACTTACGGTATGTTTTGAACTTGGCATGTATCGTGCTATAGACATTGATAGCGCCGACCACGAGGGGGGTGATTCCGAGGACAAGAGATACTGGATCTGTCATGATGAATGTGCGCGAAAAAGTACAGAAGCATCACTGGAGCTTGTGTGCCTGTCTATTACATTGCTAATTCAAGGCTAGAAGGGCTGCGCTATAAAGCATTGATATATGACTGCGAGCCGCCTACGAGGCTGACTAGGTAGCCACCTGCAGGAGGGGTTGGCTGTGCATGTAGATTGTATCAGGCTGAGATTATCACGGCTTTTATATATTCACAGAAGACAAATTTCGTTGTATGTTGAAAAATGCTGGATTAATATCTAAAAACTTTCAAAATGTCATCGTCTCTCAGCCCAGCAGCACCCGCAATGCCTCAGCGGTCAGGCACACCCAACCTAGCAGGACTATCGAATAAGAGAGATATTATAGCCGATTTATACACCGAATGTATGAAATTCTATCGCATAGTCCTTAGGCGGACATCCTTGAATCGAGATATTCCAAAATCTATTTACCGCGGTCTCGAAAGCAGCTATAGTTCTCTTATCCTTTGGGCTCAGGGATATGGGGTTGCAGCTGGAAATCTCGATAGGCTTTTGAAAAAGTCCAGGTTGCTACAACGCATGACACTGGAGCCGTTGATTAGAATCTGCAGAGTATTAATGCAAAGTATGTTTCTTTCTTCAGCCAATCCCACGCATCTGCAGGGCTAAGTTATCTTCAAAACAGGACTTCATATCCAATTCACTTCACGTAGTAGTGACAGTACCCAAAAAAATAAATTATTATTATGCCTCTCCGAAGCCAAAATAGTGTGGTATACTATTCAAGATGAACTACAGGATCCAGAAAACGAGGGGGGCGCTTATCTTTATACATCTGATTCACTGGATGAAGACTCATTGGAAGATATGGTCGCTGATCTCAAGACTGATGTGCAGTGCTTGATTGATCTTGACTCAATGTACGAATGCCCTATCAGCGACCTGGACAGCGGCCCTTCAAGCCAGCACGGGGGGACGTTAGCTTCTCGAGACCAGTGCCAAAAATTTGTGGACCAGATTTATCGTCAATTTCCATTGGCTGATCGAGACCTAGTTCACCAGCTCGCTTGGTTTTTGAATGGATTTCACCTCGTGCGGGAGAGCAAATTGAAATCGAAGCACCAAACAGAAGCAGAAGTCCTGCTAAAGACAGATGTTGAGGATGCCCTAAAATTCTACTTTAAGACCTTGACACTGCACGAACGTTTTGATTCTATCTGCCCTCTGTGTGGGGAGTACGCAGAAAATAATCAGGGAGTTGTTAAATTGCATATACCGCAGCATGTGGACAAACTATATCTTCTAGCGCTTCCTCCTACAGTTAATAAAGCCAGCAAAGATGATTCCACTGAATCGAATGCGACCGAGAAAGAGTCCTCAAAATCACTGTCAACAAATCTGCCGCAGCGTAACAAGGGCAAGGAGGTACCTAGTTTTACAAATCGGCATCCAGGTCTGCACGATTCAACGAAAAATGATCCCAAAAATGATGCTGGAATAAAGAAATTTTCAGACCAGGGTTTCCCTCTCAAACAAGAGATCGCTGCCAACCCTAAGGCGTCATTTCGGCCCCCGCCAGACTTTTTGCCACATCTGGACTAACCACCCCGACGGGTTTGGCGGAGAGCATGATTTGAAGCACCATATTAAACATGTTCATGGAGTGGTGCGCAAGTACTAGGTGTACGTCGATATCTCTCCTGACAAAACTTTTCTTGTCGATTGCAAAGCCTGTCGGAATGGCAAGAGATATGGCGGCAATTATAGTGCAGCTCACATTTGCGTCGCGTCCATTTTAATCCGTGTCAGCGTGGCAGGAAGATTAGTGGCGGGATGATTAGAGGTAATCACCCACCGATAGAAGTTCTAAAGCATTAGATGGGGGAGAGGGAAGAAGTGACCTTTGAAAATACGGAGCAGTCATCTCATGATGAATTCGTTCCAGAAATAAACATCCCTGATTGTCTTCTGTCCGCTCCAGAAGAATTTAGCAAAGTCGCAGAAACTTTGCAAGATCTGTTAAGTGAGAATCATTCAGTAATACGACCTGCCCCTTTATACTTGATAGACAACATCTAAGTCAAAGCCATAGAAGTTTCCTCACTAGAATCTTACTATTATTAGCATCAGCAAACTTATCCAACAGTTCCCCTGTCCTCGGCTATCACATCCCCAATAAGGACATCAGTTAATCAAATACCAGACTAGAAATGGTAACGACATGACATATACGAATAATTAAAAAAAACGGAACCCACTTCAGCCACCACCATAGGTATGCCGTTCGCTGCCCTTGCAGTATCTAGCCCGTCGACCGGCCCTATAGCGGACAACTTACAGTGTACCTGACCAGTTACACAAAGCTTATTTATGTCAAACACATGCAGTTCAATTGATGTGCAGAAGACCCATTCCGGCGGTGAGGAATAGGAAAAGAAGAGTAAGTGGCGCAAAGCTCAAATGTTGTAGAGACGCTATACGCATGGCTTGATGGTTGATGAACCTGGTTGATGGTGGAAGGTTGACACGTACATGTAGCCGGCACCTGAATCCAAGATCGAGAAACACGGGAATACGCATGTGAGTGCATGGCTGAGTAGGACATTTCTCGGGAAACACGTGGTAAATGACATCCGGGTGCTTGGTATCGCATGGGTGTACAAGCATGCGTCCTGCATGCGTCCTGGGAAGGGACGGGGTTCTGTTGCTATCCATCCGCGGGAGTAAGTTCAAAATTTCCTTTCCTATATCAATTAAACATCAATCCCCAATTTTCAATATATCTAAAGTATTGATCAAACACTGCAGTAGCCTACAAAGACATACCAAACAAGCCAACAAACAACTAGTCCGCACGCACACATTCTCATTCGCTACATGCAGACAGGACAAAACATCCTAAGTACATCTTGATGCCAGAGGTAACACAGGTCTGAATAGCCACGTTCTAGACGTCAAACTGCGTCCTTTGGAGAGGCGAGCAAGCCAAGGCCCTCTGCAGCTAACAGGCTGAAAGAGTACTTTGCCGGCCTGCCAATGTAGCAGCCGACGGTTAAAAATACGGGGATGTGAGAATATAGTCATTATGGCTTGATTATTCGCAATGATGGAAGATCCTATTAAGCAATGACTTCATACATCTTCCTGTGGTAGTTGAAAATGTACATACGATGCAGAGCAAAGCAACAGTACAATTGGACTATCCAATTAACATTTGAATTCCTAATAAACAAAACAATGTAATTTTTGTACGAGAACATTTTACTCCACCTATAACAAAGCTTGCTGCCGTACAACACAGTCCACCGTTTCTTCAGATGGAGATGTGCATTACCCCGTGAAACATTCTGATTCTCAGAATTTCCAATAACGGCCTTGCACATGCACGAGTGCGGAACCGGCAGCTGCTATCCGTTGGACTGAATAATGCATGTAGCGAATAATGTACATGTAAGGCGAATTGAAATAGTGAATTGGTCTATGTCCAGTCCAGCGTTAATAGACGGCTGGACATTATAAAAGGGTTACATGCCCCAATTTGAAATGGTCCAGCTGTCTGGATATTCGACATATTGAAACATCTTTATTCTATTATATTCTTTCCTCTGATTAGGCGGGTTTCAAGCGGATAATTTCATCAGCTGGTTTCTTAAACCGTCCAAGAAGCCACGCTGAAGTTGGTTGCGGTCTCTTTGGGTCGAATATGTCAGCATTGTGGTATGGTCTAAACACATACATCTACTCTGCCTCTATCCCGGACATCAAAGAATGCACAATGCCTCACTCGGTCGACGAATCGCCTTCTTCTCCTCAATACCCGCCGAACCCGCCACCAAGTCCTGCATGAGACTGCAAGTATCAACCCACAGGATTGAACATGGTATGAGTCCGACATGAGATTGCAAAGCCAACGGGTGTCAATTGATGCTAACAGGAAACTAGAAAGAATCGGAATCGAGATCATTAATTGATGGCTTTACTTATTAGCGACCTACGTGAATGGTGAATGGTGAATGGTGAATGGCATAGAGAATGCGCCCTTTCAGTCCTCATGAGATTTCGCCATAGGTGCTTCAGGTGTTGTCTGCTCTGTTGTATTGTCATGCATGTATAGATGTATCAAGATGTATTCTAGATATGATAATTTCATATACAAGAGCCGATTTTGACATGTCGGTTGCATACATGTACTATCTGGGTTGATTCAAGTGACAAAGTCAATTGTATCCTCATATTGCTATATTTGCCTCATATAACGATAATGTAACAAACAATAAGAAATTGAATTCAAGGAAAGACTTTACAAAAGCGCAAGAGCAAGCGCAGCAGCACTGCTAAGCCCAACCACCGTCCAGCCTGTGGTGATGACCTGCTTGTTCGTGAGTGCCTTGCCAAAATCCCAAATCAAATGGCGAACACCATTGAAACTGTGGAAGGTGACGGGCATAGCCAGCGCAGCTTTGATAAGAACCTTGGCGAGAACCGGCAACGCGCCGAATGCAGCTGCAATCGATGCAGACTCCAAGTGCCATCCCACGACGGGGGCAACGAGGTACGCGGTTGCGAAGAGGTAGAGGCTGCCGGAGGCGAGGGAGCCGGTGATGCGGTGCAGAGCGCTGGCGTACCAGGTGATCTGGGGCCGGTAGATGGTTAGATGCGGCGCGACGGGTCGGTTCAGGCGCTGCTCGGCGAGGATCTTGGTCGGGTCGGTTGTGGTTGTAGTTGAGGATGTTGGTCTACATTGACATTTGTTAGCCGAGTTGGCTTGATGCGCACAATGCGGATGACGGTTCAACACACGTCATTCGCGAAGAAAATATATTTTTGAAAATATTTTGAAGGGGCATACACACCTCATTTGCATATATCTACCAGTCGCAATGGCAGCGGGAGAAGCAAACTTGGCCATCGACGACGTCAAAGCCGAGGGCGAAGCCACTGGAGCGGTTAGCGATGCGGGTTGATGCGGTGAGGATAGATGGTAGAGAACGTACATCGCCGCAGCGACTGCTGCGCAACCTTTTGTGAGATCATGCTGGCACCTCAATTCGCTACTCTAGAGCAACCGACGACGTCGAGGTGATGGAGAGAAAGAAGCGTTCTCGCATCCGGAGTCACGGGGAACCTCGGGTTGCTGTTGCCGCTTAGATCATCGCGGCCAATCAGAGCCGGCCAATTAGTTACATCGGGAAAACATTGTTCCTCCAATTTTTGTTTGCTTCCGTTGTGCTTGTGTTTTGTTCCTCTTTCTTTTTCTTTCTCCTCTCTCATCGGCCTCACCTGCACAATCTTTACCAGTGCGTCTGGAATGATAATATTGTGGACAGTCCGTCTCACTGACTCGGCATTCTGTCGCTGTCGCAGAGATGACTTGAGAGGTCCTGAGAGGGATTGCCCGTCGTTAATCGCCCATTCTTTTCTGTCAATGAAATGGAAGGGTTTCATATCAGGGTTACATAACAACACAACATCTAAGCTGCTTTAAATCGTTTAATTCGTTTAATTCGAAGGTAATGCTAGTGACTTTTTTATTCAACATCATGTTGGACGACATTCCTGCCTATCTAGTCCATATAATTACATCGAGTGGCGGAGGAGCCGGATATCATCATTCATAACGGATGTGAGGCCATTGTAAATTTAGCCTTGTAGGTGAAAGCCATTCTGTAGATCTCTCAACCTTTGCAGATGAGACTAGTCCGAAATCAACTTCGGCAGTGGTGGGTGACCACTGGTATACACTATAGTGTCATCATCTGCGGCGCGAGTGCTTTGTGGGTATAGAAGTGGTAAATGTACAGTGCTCAGTATATCGACTCTACAGTACAGCAACACCTTACTTTGAAGCAAACCTCCTGTCAAAGTATCGCAAAACTCCCATGACACTAGCAGCTTCCACTTCCATAGCTGGCCTACTAGAAATGCTAGCACCCAGTCCATTACCCAGAGAGGGCTCGCGTGGCTTGGGCAAAGTATGTAGTTTTGGAAGCCAGCTAGACAATTCATCACTAGCCTGTGAGAAATTTGGGTGACGCGACAGTGTAGTAAATGCATCAGCGCATGTCAAAGTAAGAGGCGTAGCGTCAACGGCAACGGAGACACGAGGTTGTGGTCGAGATTGGCAGCAACCACCATCGGTCCCTTTACCACCACAGCATCCAGAGAGCCCACTTGCGGCGCGCGATGCAGCTAGAGTTTTGCAAAACAGCGTGCTGTGAGGATCAGATTGACACTGTGTGCAAGTTCCAGGGCCGTTGGCACAGGGGTTTGTAGCTTGGGTGATAGGCGGCAATGTCATTTCCCGCACATCGCCATCGGAGGGGGGTGGTGTGAATGCCGAGTAGTTTTGGATAGGTGCAAGACGATTCTGCTCGGGAGCTTCCTGTCTCGAGGCTGCATCTGCCATTTCTGCACAGATGCAGGCAGTGCCGTCCCCACAGAATCCACAGCGCTCTACTGGAGGCGTAGAGGTAGCACTATGATCAGCTGAAGCGGGTGCACGAGTCGCAGCAAAGCGTTCCGTGAAATCTATTTCCATCTGGTCCGGATCATATTTTACCGCAGGCTCCTGAGTTCCATTTCCATCGTCTTTTGGGGTGGATTTATCGACCAAGTGAGAGATCTGGATGGCATCTTCCAGGCACTGGCAATGAGTCGTTGAGCAACCACCACAACCTGCGAGATGGTCTTGTTGCTCAGTTACAGCATGAGGATGGCTTGTTGCGCTATCTTCGACCACTTGATCACTGGATTTGGACTTGTTTGTTCTACGTATGTTGATCGGCACAGTATCTGGAATTGCCGCGGTATTCTGTTTCCGTAGTGCTTCTATTTCCTTTCTTTCAAGAGCTAGCTCCTGCTCAAGCGAATAGCAACGTTTCTTCCACCACGAAACCTCATTCTGGGATTGTTCCAACTCTTTAGAGAGGCTGACTGTCTTGTTTCTGAGATCCAATTCACGGATATCGAAATCATCCTCGATTTTTTTGACATGTTCCTCGAGTTCACCGACTCGAGCAGCACGTCTTTCACGGAAAGCCCGCTGCGCAGCGCGATTCTGAGCCTTTCTTTTGGTTGGGGGTGTATCGGTGGCTGGTTTTCTTCCGGGTTTCGGTCGCGGCGGAATAACCCATTCCTTGGTGGTGACGGAACCGCAAAGGCCGGGACTCGGCGACATAGCGGCGGGGGACGCCTGCGACTGCATGGCGGGTGCCAGGGATGGTGCGACGGCACCAGGTGAGGCTGCAGAAGATGGAGTTGATACAGCAGACGACATGGCCCGCTTGATGCGTGGAGGTGGAAAGCCTCTACTGTGCGGTCTGGTTCGGGTTCCTGGGCGATTCTCGGAAAAACCTGGCGGGCTTTGGGGCTGAGCGGAAGAGTCAGCGAACGCCGAGCAGAAGTCAAGCCTGCTTTCGCAGATTCAGCGTAATTGACCACAACAGGGGCCTGGTGCAACTAGAGGTAAAGCCTGGCAGCAAAAGGGCATGAGGAACGAGCAGCGTCGGGAGAAGGAGGAAGCTGGATTTCGATTTTGATCAGAACTGATTGATTAGATCGTGCGTCCCACGTGACATGCCGATTTCGGCATATCTGATCGCACTAGCGATGATCACATGATGTAACCGCATTATCTGATGGCAGCGGCGCTTCCTATTTGCCAACGCGGTCCACTGCATCACCTTTACACCACTGTATATAATATAATAACAGTTGCCAATAATTAACACGAAACGATCCTAGCCGAGTTCGGTGCTGCCCCTCACCACGAAGGACGAAAAATCGGATTTCCTCAGCGACTTTTGCTTGGCATTACTCACAGTGCACCACAGACTATTGCGTGCAGCCTATCGTTCTAGCATCGGCACGGCAAATATCGTTAATTGATCACCTGCTTTCATTCTAGTCTGTCTACAGCATAGTTTTGTAAGTTCTCGTTGGCTGAGTGGAATTCAGATAAGAACATCAATACGGTTCTAAGACGGCAGATTCTGGCATTACGAATTCCATATTATCTGAGGTGATGAGGGTGGTAGAGAACACGCTGCCTAGGACCGGGTGGTGCCAGATTGCCAGTATATTAAAATCACGTAGCTTCGCCTTACTAGTCGTGCTTCCCCTCAATTAGTGGCTCAGAAGCTTCTGTAATACGCTCTTTGGGAGTATGCATAGCGCGTCGAGCCAAGTTTGAATACCGTTTATGAACCTTGTTCGGTTATGGGGCCTAGTACAAAGCGTCGGTGTATTGCCAGAAAGAATTATCACGTGCTCTGTGTTTGAGGTAACCGACGAGCCTTCATCATTCACCATTCAACCAACACATCACCATTTTGGTTCTGTCAGTTTTGGTCTTTACCGTGCAAGGTAAACTCTTGGGTCTAGCACCTCATCACAATAGCATGCCAACAGCAAGCTGCAGGAACTTCTCTTTGTAGGCTTACTCAGAAGAATACCTGACAAGGATGCGACTTATCTCGAGCTGTTCTCTTGTATCCTCGTGGGTCAAGAAAAATGTCTCAGTATGTCCTGTGAATGATGTTGTCATATAAACTTAATTTCTGACAACTGCTCATTTGCCAGCCAATAAGTACCAAATTAATTACCCTCACTAATAAGGGGGGCCCCTTCTGGTGTGGTGGTTTTTCGGCCAACATAATTTGAACTAGGCAAGCTCTATGTTCAATTGGTAGACCTGCCTAACTAGCTGACTCCTGAGGCAACTCTTGTCCAAGCCAGATCGTCTTGGTTTGCCCTAGAACGGGATATCCGAGAGGTCCTTGAGATAGTGCAACGTCATATAGATGAATATCTACCACCTAGAAATTCCACAACTAACATAAAAACGTATGCTATCCTAACTCTTCGCCAGTCATTCTTTGCAAGGCACAAGGAGTAAGCTATTCTAAACAGGGCCCGAAACGCTATTCAATGACATCCCTATATCCGATACTACCATCGATATGATTCTCTGAGCAACTAACACAACCAGCACCGAGCCACAGCCAAGTAAAATCAACTGTCTCCCTATTGGGATTCAGGATAGAATTCTCTATGACGCAACGATCAGGTTATTTGCATCAGCCAGATTTGGCTGTGAACTTGGTCTAGGGCCACCTTTCTCTTGGGTTGATAGAGGCGTAATGATTAGTCTTCAAGAGGCCAAGAGGCACCGATTTGAAAGCTCTCTCGTTGAATCCCAGATCGCTCTTAATGGAGTGATGAGCGGCTTTTCATACAAGCACCAGGCAGTACATGCTAGCCTTCCTAGTCTTAAGCCGACGTAGTTCATTTGTTATGCCACACATGGTGCTGATGGCAGTTAAGGCGAGCAGCCACGAGATGGTGATGATCAATAAGGATCATTTAGCCGCTTCCAGTTGTCATGAAGTGTAACCGGCTGGCAATGGCAGAGCTGTACTTTGGCCATATCTGGGTATTGGTCAACCAGTGAGTGTTCAAGGTCTGACCCGATTCCTATGGTTGATGAACACGCCGATACACAGTAGCTTTATGCTGTTGACCATCCCATTGCTTGTTAAGCTACCCCATACATGCCACAGATCGTAGCTCCGGCGCTCTAATGGAGGGAGTACCTACCGTAGAGCTCATCGGCTAAATTAGGACGGACGTTTGCTGCAACGGACAGAAAGTACACAAATATAATTTAATATAATAGACGCCTGTAAATGATATTGTACAATTATCGTGCTCGAACAAAACAAATAGCGATAGTCTCGTCTATGCCCGACCAGCCATGGCAGATTTCTGCCGTAGGTAATTCTTAACAATATTCTCCACACTGCCCATATCATGCTTAGGTTGCCTAATTAAAGATCAAAAATTAGTATCAACGCGACTCCAAAATGAAAATAAAAAGTAAGACGTACCGCATGTAATACAACCTCGCCCTCCTCTTCCTCTTTTCCGTCCTCTGCACAATCTCCACGCCCTCGACATTCGGACTGAAAACCTTGATCGACATCTCCACGCCAACCCTGGTTAATTGATTCCGCAGTAGAACTGAAGTATCAACACCCCGGGATCGAATAGCCAACACAACGCCTGAAAATGGATCGCCGCTCTTGAACGTCACGCGGATGATGTCGCCTGGTTTGACGCTGCGGGCGCTTCGTCGGTAGTCGAACAGCGCCATGCGGTCGCCTGTTGGATCGAGGACAGCCAGTTGTGCATTTGCGATGGCGGCGACGGGTTCGCTGCATATGTTTGCTTTGGAGGGTGGTGGGGGGAAGATTTTCATTTCCTTTTTTTCTGTGTAGACAAAACATCAGCTTTGGTCTCGGGGTATGGCAGCCTTGCGCTATAGCATATGCAGGAACCATAAATGCAGGGAATATGGCACGGGTGTAATACCTTGCGGTCGAAATCTTTCAGGAAGTTGTGACCAGAATTGTTGGGGCAATTCCTCAGGAAAAGGTTTTGGCTTGGGTCGCGGCGTCCATTTCGTGGTGACTGTGAGCATGGCGGTCTGCGGACGGCAGAGCAATTTACTGCTCGGCCTCAAGCTGGCCAGCGGCCGGAGAGCTGGCACATGCGCAGCCATTGTGAATGTCGGTGCGAGGATAGAGGGTTGTTGGAGGGCCTTGTGTCGAGCGTGAGGATTGCACATCGACAACGGAGGTTGATTGATGTGGTCCGTGCATCTAGCAGATTCTCAGACTCCGCCCGACGGGATGGTACAAACTTCTTTAGCAGCCAGAACACGGCGTCATTATTCGCGATCTCTGATTTTCACGAATTGCTTTACGGATACAGAAATATTCAGCTTACTGATATTTCGGTATCTACAATGGCGCAAAATGCCATAGGACAGCTATTTCGCGCCAGGTGTCTACGGCAGACCTTGACGCCTTTGGCACAGACAAGAAATCAATCTACCAAAGGTGCTTCACAAACTGTCCCTCAGCCGCCTTATATTTACTAACATTTATATTTGAGCATAGCCGTACCCTCATTCGGCCCGTCATCTTCCCCAGATCTCGAGAAGCGATTGAGCCACATACGATCAGAACTATTCGCACCAATGTATCTGGCCAAGCCTCAGCAACGCCTAACCTTTCGAAAGCGATACCACGATCGAATCAGCAATGAGAATATAGTAGTAACGATAGGCTCCGAAGAATTCGTCCTCCAACCCCGGACGCACCAAGACCTACCATCGAAACACAAAATCCTAGAAGTCGTGGAAGCCATGAAAACGCCGCAAGACTGGCAAAACTTCACGCCGCTATTGATCGGATGTCGACACTCAAGGTACCTCTTTGGCCCACACAACTTCCAGAAGTTTGCGCGATTAGCTGGAAACTGTAATGCGCTAGGCGCGGTTATCGAGAGTGCGAAACAATGGGAGCGCACGGGGTTTACATTGGATGATCGGCTGGTCGGATACCAGCTTGCTCTGGCTCTACACAATCGCGCTGCGGATGCAGGGTTCAAGGGTGAGGAGGTGGCGATAGCGCTCAGGCAGGCTGAGCAGCTGGCCTCACTGATGGACGCGCCGGAGCATAGGCCTAGATACTCCGGTCATGGTACAACGTATCAGCCGTTCTTTATCGGCGTTCTTCTGGAATTGAGTGCTGCACGTGCGCTCGAGCAGGGTGGGGGTATTAATGGGGATATTGTGTCGTATGCTCGCAAATTGCTGACGAATTGGCATCTTATTGGGTTTGATAGGGAGCTTTCCTCGTGGCACCTAACGGACAAGTTTTTGGGGGAACTTGCTATAATTCACTCGGGTCTGAAATTGGCGCAGCAAGTGGACAGTATTTCTGGCGATGTGACACTCAAGCAGGCGATCCAGGCGCGTTTAGAGGAGCTTGAGAAAGTGATTGCGGACCTAGTAAACAATGCACATAGTGAAAGGCAGGAGAATCCATCAAGAGGTTTGAAACTCGCTGCAGCTCTGCTTGGTAAGTAATCTACTAGCATTACATTCGAGAACTTTTCCTTTTTCGACCCTCAAAATGTATCATAACTCTGAAGTGGATTGTCTGAAGTGGAATTTGTACGTTATTGGTCTACGAAAAATACGGTTTCGTGTAGCATATCAAATACCATGAGATCAACGCCATAGTTTTAATGTAGGAATATCATTCAATATTTTGATTCATCATTGCATAATATTTGATATTTCTGGCTCAATGAAACAGTCTTCGGTTGCCAGGAGGTCATTATTTGAGCAGTTCCAAGGTATTGTCCTCGAGGAAACGCGCACGAGCGGTGAGCGTAACTGCTCCTGGTACGACGGCCGGTCCTCTGATAGTAAGCTGTTTCGCGAAGTTAGAAGGCTAACTGCGTTTGAAAAAAAAGGATATGAGAACTGTACCTGTCCCTCGGTGGCTCTTTCGATACCAGAGTCCTCGGTGTGACCATCGAGAACAATCTCTACACTACTCAATGGAGGTCCGAAGTGTGCCAAGCCTGGGCGCCGTCTATAATCAAATATATGGCTCTGGCTGACAGCACCAGCAACTCCCGGAGCAGTCAAGGCATAGATAACACGAGCTCCCGTGAAGATGCGCAAGTCGGTCAGCTGCTCTGAGCTCAAACGGTCTTCCGACGGCTCATCTACACGGTATGGAACGATAAGCAAGCGTAATTTCGACAATGACAGCTCAGCTGTAGGTCCCAGGCTAGCTAGCCGACTGAAAAAATTCTGCGATGGCATTCTCCCAGCATCAAGTGCTCGTGTTTGGACCCAACGGCCGAGGGAGGCCACCAGCCCTGTACGGGGAGCCATCGACAGCTTATGATACTGTGAAACAGTGCGTGCGGACGATATAATTACAGTTGGTGATATGCCGATAGTTGCAAGTGCAAAGTCAATTTCTTCGCCCGCCACTGAGTTGAGAGCAATAGATGAGTTCGAGTACAACGCAGCCAACACCCAACATAATGGGTATGGTCGAGAGAGCGAGTCGATAGAAAGCACCACATCATTGGAGCTCAATCGTTGGGATCTTGGAAGCGAGCTAAGAAGTGCTCCAATAGCGGACACAAGATTCTACAGTTTAAAATGAGTGTCTAAATTCAAAGGGGTTCGTAGCTGGTAAACTTACGTGACGCTGGTATTCAATGAACTCACCGGATGAACTCCATATTGCGGAAAGAGAAGGAGTTTCGGTTTTGGGATCGTAGGCCGGAACTTCAGTATCAGTCAACGTCTTTTTGTCCTTGACAACTTCGTGCCAAACAGAGACATCAACATTGCCTCCAATGCCCTCTGGGACATCGTTCCAGTCCATATGCCTGCTGCCTTGCTTCGCTACCCAGATGACCTGTTTCAATTGCGCATTGCCCTTGGTAACGATTGTAAGATCAACTGCACCGGCTTCGGCGACCAGCGCGTGAGCCTCCGCCTTTTTGAGGAAGCCTCCCAGTTCTTCTGGTTTAAGGTTGTGCGGGATGATCACCATATGGAAGTTGTAGAAGGCGCCAGCTATACCAAGTCAGAATATGCTTGATCAAAGAAATAGAACGAACTCACCAAAAATAGAGGCCAGCAGCTCAACTGAGTCGGATAGGCTAACTGCCACATTCTTCACCTTCGACTCGTGAAGAAATCTGCCAATAACATTGATTTCTGCCGTGAGGTCATCGACGTTATGTTCGATTGCAGTCTTCCCTAGTACGCTGTAAATCTTGCCTCGCTGACCCGCCTCGCTTGTCGAGCCACGAGCAGCAGCTCTCCAGATATCGCGAAGGTCTCCATTTCGACCACCGCTCCATTTCGGGGCTTCGGGGTCCTTCACACTGAGGCCTGATCTCAAAGGATAGCCATGCGGGACTTCCATGCTTCTGAAAGCTGCCGACTGGCCAGGTTGTCGAACAGGAGCTTCGGTAGCCTGCCTCGCGAGCAGGTAAGGATGAACATCGGGCTCTTTCGAAGATAGCAGGGTGTATGTGATGAAAATAGCGATAGCGGTTGCAATGGCAGTCGAGTAGATACTCCATTCAGCGAATATCACGGCCAGGAAGGCATCCAGCCTAGCTAAACCGGAGACTTCGGCAGCCATTTTGAAAAAGGAAGGCTCTAAGAGGGCGGGATGGATACACGTGAGGTTGTCTATGGCAGTATCATTCGACTCAATGCAGATGTCAGCGTACATTTGCTACATCTGTCTAGGATGAGAAACATGGAAGTGGTCAGTCGTCGATGGAAGCTCAGACGGTACTCGGGGTATAAAGCAGCTGCCGTGGGGTCTGCTGCCCGAAGCAGCCTAGCCTGGTCCGCGGTGGCTGGTCGCTGCAGCAGCAGAGCGTGACGGACAACACCAGAGAGCAGCAACTTGACAGTAACGACATCAACCAAACGATGAGCTGGTCTTGACACCCCTCTGATCGCAGCCTCGTGTAACAGAAGATAGGTAAGTAAGGTAAGTTTCTGTTGTATTGTTTCTCGCTTCTTCTCGCGAGGTAAGTAAATCGCTGCAATTCTTGACTCCAGCCAATCCACTGGGCTGACAACACTACTAGCAGTGTCCAAGTGATTCCCAACCCTCTCACTATCTTGCAATGGCTTCGATTACAGCGCCATCTACCCCCAAAGCCTCTCCCAATGTCGACTCCCAGACTCCGGGAAAGTGGCGCCATCCGCGCTTGAAAGAGATTATCAGACGACAGAATGCCGCAACATTTGATAGTCGTAATGTCAAGACGATTGCGCTCAATGTCAGCGCCGTCATTGGGACGTTGGTAGTGGAAAGCCCTCTACGATCATTGTAAGACTACCTACATTTTTCCTTTGTCGCAGCGTCGCTAACTCTATTAGTGTACATGGTCTCGATGCGATTTCAGGAACAGCAGCATACACGGGCCTCGTATTCGTAGCCTTACGGCTCCTTTTCCTCTTCAATATCCTCGCTGCCTTGTATCCGCTGTTCCGGCCGAAGGATGATCTTTCTGATATCCCTTTGACGCCCACTCAACGCGCTCTGCTTGGCCTAGATCCCAACTCCGCCCCTCCCTCGACGCCTGGAACCCACTACATCACGCCGCCAAGATATCGCCTTGCCTCTGGATCTCGCGCAGGTAGCCCTACAAGCAGAGCCACCTCACCGACAACAGCCACCGGCAGTCCAGCTCCTCGCAGGTCGTCATACTCGCCTACAACCAGTCCTCTCTTCCAAAAAGCGATGGCCAATGGAAACCGGGAAAGTAGTCGTCGACAAAGCTTTGGGTCCTCGTCATTCAATTCTTCTTTACGGGAGTCTACTTCTTCTCTACGAGAGTCTACGCTGTCGTCACTGCCTTCTTCGCCGTCTCCTTTGGTTAATAAAGGGAATAAACTCGGACTGAGCAACAAGTGGCTATACGAGAAGAGTCGTAGGCACTCGGGTGGAAACAATTTGATTTAAGGCATATTCTGACTCGCATATCTGGAAGATGGAGTTTGGGAATGATTGGCATGCAGTGTGCAACCCGGCGTTCATACATTGTAAAGTAATTAGTCTGCCTACTAGCGTTCGGGCATTCAATGTGGATTTTTATCAGTGTTCATATTAATAGAAAGAAGGGTATGGATCATCTCGTCAACGCAGCATTAATAGTTAAAAAAAACGTGGGGATTAGTTGTGACTTGTAAGTTGTACCTCAGGCCAGAATAGAAAAGCGGAGTAACCTCCGCACGTCGCAGCCTTCCCGCATCTCTTAATTAAACAAACAAACACAGCTCCTTTTCGTCCCGTCGACTCGAGAACACTACCCTGACTATATTAAGGCTTTTCTGTGCCCATTATCAGCTTCACAATCGAGGCCCCCTCTTGAATGCGGGACATCTATCGATAGTGTCACTTCGGAGATGGGAGCCTCGGAATCGAAGCTCGTCTTTAAACAAGGCATCTTTCGCTTGTACGAGGATAAGAATATACCCGCGGACGACCCTTTCTGGGTGAAGGTACGTTTCAGCTGTTGCGTATGAATATCTCATTCTTGTGTAAACTCATAAATCGATGTAGTTCTGGGAACTACCCGAATCCACCGAGGATGTCTTCAGTTTGTTCACCCCCGCTGACATTCGCCGAGCGAGAGACTCTGCCCTACCCAATCTCGAAACTTTACTACTAGCTATATGCTCTCGTTTGATCGTGCTGAAAAACCATCCTTCGTTCCCCGATCCCGAAATCGCCCCGGACAGAGACGCTCTCAACTGTATTCGCATCTTGACTAGACTTCTTCCCTTCATACATGAAGCAGATCATTTAGAGGGATGGGAAGAGCAGTTTTTCTGGGCGCGCCGCAAAAAGAAAACCCGTCAGGCTCAAGTCGCATCAGTTGTGTTATTTGATGAGGCTCATACAGACAGCGAAGAGGCCCAATCTCCCCCTCGGGACAATGATCTTGAGGACGCCAAGCCGCTGGGAGAGGAATTAATAGACACTTTGCTGGATCTCTTATTCCATACCGGATTTACTATCCCTCACTTGGCTACAGCAAAGGCAAAAGTGTCGTACTCAATATGGCAGAGTGGGGTTGGATGCAACGCGGCAATGGTTTCAACAAAGGAACATGAGAATAATCGTATGGAAATATTACGTTTGCTTCTCACTTTGACTGGAAAATCCATGTACATGTCTCCAGGTAAGTGTTGCTTAATATTCAGGTGACTAGATTAGTAACTGACGTGGAACCAAGCTCTACTTCCTGTCAAGGGTGTCAAAGCTATCACGTACATTGCTTCGTGTCCTGACAAACAGATTGTCTTGACTGTCTTATGTTCATTGTTGAATACAGTAAGATTCATGACAGTACTTGTGTGAAAACTTGCTAATAGTTTTCAGACGATTAAATACAACCCGGCCATTTGGAAAGTTCCGTATGACCATGTTGTTTGGAAAGATCCAAAGCAAACTCTCGTGATTTACTGTCTTCAATTCCTTCTAGTCATTCTTCTCTACCCTATTCCTGAAGATGGCCGTGGGGCTCCTCCTAAAAATTACTATCGTCATTACTTTGGACGGCTGCATCGACCTCAGGATTTTCAATTCCTCGTTGATGGGATGACCAGGATCTTAAATCAGCCGGTGAGGAAATTGATTATCTCAGTTATATATTAGCTAACGATATCAGATGCATGCAACCACTTCATACCTTCCAGGAAGTCAGAGATCTGTCAAATGGGCTCCTGAAATGCTTATGTTATTCTGGGAAGCGCTGCAGTGCAACAAACGATTCAGATCATTCATCATCGACTCCAATCGGTCACATGATTTTGTCATACTTTGCCTCTTCTACGCGATTGAGTATAAAAACGACCCATCCAAACAGGGGTTAGTGAAAATGTGCATCTTCATTCTCCAAACTCTCAGCGTCGAGGCCAGCTTTGGGAAAAGTTTGAATCTGAAGTTCGAGGCTCAAGAGACGCTACCTCCGAGTATTCGCCTGCCTGGTTTTCGAGGATCCTATGCCGACTATCTCATAATCGTGAGTTTGACCCAATCAGGCTAAGCGAAATAACTAACGACTCTAGTCTATACACGCCTTGATGACCACCAGTAAAGGGAAATTGGACGCAATTTACCCTGCACTGCTAGCAATTTTGAACAATATAGGAGCATATATAGAACGACTATCACCAAACTCCTGTTCAAAGATACTACAATTGTTTGCTTCTATGTCGTCACCGAGCTTTCTGCTCGCTAATGAAACCAATCATTCGCTACTAGCTGCTTTGCTTGAGTTCATTAACTTGATAATTGAGTACCAATTCACAAGTATGCACTAGACGGTTATTCAGTACTGCTTGATTTGGCTAACGATTAACAGAAAACCCATTCTTTATATACAGCATCCTTAAAAACAGAAAGCGATTCGAGGCTTTGCGAACGTTTACCCTTGAAAGCGGCCAGCAGGAAATTGAACGCCAGAACCAACTTCAAAAGGTCAATTCTTCGGGTGACAATGTTCCGAATAATAATTCACAGTCTGTCGATGAGCCTCGACGATCAGGTGGTGCACCTTTGACCCATATTCCGGAGGAAAGCAGCCCATTTGCCATTGGAGGTGACGATTCCGATGAGGAGGATGAAGCACCAAACACGCCATCGCAGTCATCTCCATCGCTTCGGAATTCGCGCGCACCTTCACTTTCGTCGTCGGTTGATGACGCTGTGCCTCTTCAGACGAGAGGGATGTCAGAGAAGGCTCGAGGGAAAATGCCTGCTAGTCAATTGAGCTTCTCACGGCAAAATAGTTTGACGAGCTTGAACAGTTATTCCGCAACGATTCATTCTTCTTCAGCCCAATTCACTCCGACGGCGGTGTGGGTAAGTCCAGCCTCCTTCCTATCAATATTCATTTGACTCATGCCTAATCGACCTCTGCAGATCGAGTCCTGGGTAGTCGAGCTTCCTCTTCACACAGTCCTGACAGTGATATCATCAATACTACCTCACATCCCTGCCCCCGCCTTGCAAACATCCGCCAGTCCAGAAGGCAGAACACTAATCAGCAATCTCCCTACTTTTGCCGAAGAACCCAACATCCATGCTCTATCAATGGACCTACCGCCAGTAAAAGTCCACTCTTTTGAATGGTCTGCACTGGCCCTGGGCTGGTACGAGTCACTGCTCTGGGGGTTCATCTTCTCCAGTGAAATGGTTGTTGGATCGGCAAGCAATTCAACGCCCGGAACCGTGGGTGTGTGGAATAGCACAAACATCAAGCTTTTCAAAGTCCAGGAGACGGCAGCCCAAGGTCCTTCATTGCTCGCTCCCCGCGGCGCTGTCGATGCTGTTGGTAGCAATCTGGTTAACCGAATAGGAAACCTGAGTTTCCGCGGTCGACATGGCAGTAATCAGGAAGCTTCTAATCCTCAATCGCCGAGTGTGCGAGAGGTGTAGTCCAATTTTTTTCCTTCCTTTCTTTCTATTCTTTCTCATTCTGGAATTACATTCTATTGACTTGAGCGTGCGGCGTTTCAACGATCTATCAATGTTGGCATTGTTGCCAGTTATGAAATCAAGAGCTATTTTCTATATTGTATGAATCATGATTGATAGTAAATTAAGTCATTCATACCCCTTCATACCCATTGTATCAATGTATACATGTATACTCGTACAATCTAATCTCAGATCACGTGACCTCCTCATCTCTATTCGCACTGCAAGCCTTCACAACAAACCAGAGGCTCTATTTTCTAATCCACTATACCCCAATTATCCGATGGCCACCCCCAAGCTAGCAGACCTCTTGGCTGAGGTCCTGCCCCAAAACATCAAGTTGAATGTGCGCCACATCTCTACTCCACCAACCCCCAGCGACGCGATCTTCTCGGCGCCGCCAGGCGAGACTCCCGAAGCCACATTCTGCGAAAACCACTTCTTTGTAGCCAGTCTGAACCGTTTTGGGAATGTTGACGACGAAATCGCAGTGTTGGGTATAGAAGTCTCGATTTACACGACTGATCGGCTTACTATTGTTTTTGTCTCAAAGGCGGATTCGACGGGATACATACATCTCGTCAACAAGGACGCGCAGCCGCCATCGCTCAGGCTGATTGTAACTACCTTCTTGTCGTATTTAATCCGCACACACCAGAGACCCGGCATCAGATTGGTGCTCTCACTGTTTGCGCGAGCACAGAATCAGTATCTTTTCCCCGGCAGCGTCGACAATGCGCAGAAGCATGTCTTGGATGATCGTGGCTTAATTAAATGGTGGTGCCAGACCGCCGATCCGATTCTGCGAGAGCACACGGTAGAATCTCAGGACGGAGGCAGCAAAAGCCTTGTTGACGAGAGCATTGAGAGTGTGAGCAGCTCGGCTACGGGGTATTTACTTGTGCCCGGCTGCGACAAGTACGAAACAAGGGCATTCTTCCCGGCAACGGCGAGGTCGGATGATCAGAAGAATCCAAGATGGCGCGTGTCGTACCCCCTCAACCAGATTTGTATCCATCCCCAGGCGCCTCCGAGATGTCTGGTTCCGAGGTTTCCGGATGACCCCAAGGCGCGCTTTCTCGTCGACCTTGATGGTGAATTGTCCGAGGGCGCGATCGCTGGTCAGTGGAAAAGTGTTAAATCTCTCGATGAATTCTGGGAGATGATGGCCTTTCGACAAGAGTGCTCTGCTGGAAGGCTTGTGGGGTTTCTCTGGGTGGTTATTAATCCTCCTGGTGTTCTTAGTTCAGACAAGCTGTCGAATCAGACGCAAGAAGCTGGAACAACTGATAAGGTACAGAATGATGCGTTATTATCTGGCACTGCTGCAGAAGCAGAGTCTGACAACAGGTCACTGAACCATCTACAAGACGACCAACCAAAGCCTAACACTGAGGTGCGTGGCAACACATTCTTCTGGCCTGAGGCAGGTCGAGGGGAGATCGTGCTGTGTGAGAAGGAGTACAAAAGCGGCAACGATGAGCTCCTCGAGCAAGATTTCGAAACCGAGGAACTCGCAATGGCGGGCACGATGGCTTGGGTTCGGAAGATTGCCTCGCTCGCTGATGTTTTGTGGTGGGGAAAGCCCGTTACTGGCAAGAGAGAAATTTCCAAGACTACAACCTCGTCGAAAACAGCGGCGGTTACGATAAACTCTGGGCTTAATGTTCGCAAGAGAAAGAAAGATGCTGAAGGGGATGACACATTACACGTTGAGGCTAAGGACGAGCAAGCAGTATCTAGCAACACAACGCAGGCTGAAACGGAGTCAGGGTCACCTGAAGTCAACGTTCTCAATGCTAGTTTTATAAAGAAAAAAAAGAAAACCTGACGTTGCTCTTTGCTCGTCAATTGGCACATCTCATCTTTCGACTTTTTAAACTACTAGTAATGCCGCAATATCAGCCGGCTAATAATCGAGATGTAATATTAGCATACCAAGGGCCATGGCCAAGCTATTGCTCTACGGATAAATGGGTCGAAAATTCACCTCAATATTAGGCTAGAAAATTGCTGTGGCGCTTTTCGCTAGGGTATTGTAGACTAGCTTATGTAGACATGCACTCGTGCTACACGAGTAAGCTGAGATTACAATTCTTTGAGCTTCGATCGTCAGACACGTCACGACAGGATCCGACGTGGGTAGTCGAAATATACGGGTACCTGAAAGTGAAGTCCGGTGCATCCGGAGCCAACCAATTATTGGTTGGCTCCACCTCTATAATAATACTTTATGCTCTTCCTTTTCTGCATGCACCCTCGACTATACCAACCATCCCTTCTCTTCTCCTCCATTTTTCGAGCAACAGTTTCAGTTTTGTGTGTGTATTCCCTTTGTCTGCGGTCCCGCCCATGCTGGCCAATCCGCTGGGCTCAGTCGTTGTCTTGCAACGTGCCGCCGGGGCTTTTTCCTGCCTCTCCGTTCCATGGCTCGTTGACAGCCTGGGATGGATCGGGTTGATCTGGTATCTTTTCGTCGTTGCAGTTTGTACCTTGGGATATTTTCAAATGTACGTCCTACATTCTTCTCGCCTGATTGACTAACTAGCTAACTAATTTGGCGCACGCAGATGGCGGTACTACTCGCATGCACCGCGCAAGTCCGTATCCGCATCCTCGTCTGATGCACCGCACGTCACGGTGGTGCGGCCAGTCAAAGGCGTTGAGCCGTATCTGTACGAGTGTCTGGCTTCGACGTTGCGACAAGACTATCCTAGCGACAAACTGACGGTGTATATCTGCGTGTCAACAAGAAAGGATCCGGCATTCCCGATTCTCGAAAAGGTCGTGCAAGACTTCGCGGCATGCGATGTGCGTGTGCTTGTCGAAGAAGAGGATCCGCTGCTGCAAGATGGCAGCTCGTATCCCCTGGGGCCGAACCCTAAGATACGGAATATGAGTCGCGCGTATAGGGAGGCAAAGGGGGATCTGTTGTGGATCATTGACTGCAATGTCTGGGTGGGAAAGGGTGCGTGTGGGCGCATGGTGGATAAGCTTTGCGGGTATGACTTGAAGGATGGCAGGAAATATAAATTCGTGCATCATCTCCCTGTCGCGGTCGATGTCGATGCCGAGGACGCTCTGGCAGACGAGGCTCGCCCGATGCTTGCGAATGGGAACGCCAGCTACAAGGTCGAGACAAATTCCTTGCTAGGAATTGGAGGAGGCAGGCTAGAGGAGCTTTTTCTCTCCTCGTCACATGCCAAAATGTACACTGCCATCAATACGGTCCTGATAGCCCCTTGTATCGTGGGCAAATCTAATATGTTCCGACGGTCCCATCTCGACTACCTGACGGTCCCGAAACCGGGTGATACTCAGCCACGAAACCCCGGCATTGACTATGTTTCCGACCATCTGTGCGAGGACCATATCATCGGCGACTGGCTGTGGAAGAACAAAGTACGCGAAGAGGCCGAACTTGGCGTGCGCTTAGGCAAACACGCCATGGTCTTCGGCGATCTCGCCTTTCAGCCCGTCGCCAGCATGAGTGTCAAAGCCTACATTGCGCGTCGAGTCCGCTGGCTGCGTGTGCGCAAGTATACCGTTCTAGCAGCTACGCTGGTCGAGCCGGGGACAGAATCCATTGTATGCTCATCTTTCGGCGCATACGGGATAAGTACCGTCGTCGCCAAGATGCTTGACGACCGCGGTATAGCCCTCGGCTCGCAACTAGGTACATGGTCCTCATTCTTCCTGCTCTGGGCCTCGAGTATTATACTGTGGTGTCTCATCGACTGGACATTATACCTGAGACTGCACTCCTCCGCAACAATCGAAATCGACGCACACACCCCCCCATTTGCGCGCCCTTCTCCGCAAAGTGAAAAAACTCGTCGCCCGTTTACGCACTGGCTCGCCGCTTGGATTGGCCGCGAATCCCTTGCCTTTCCCATCTGGTTCTGGGCTGTCTATGGCGGATCCACGGTTGTCTGGCGGAATCGGGCTTTTCGGGTGTCTTTATGGGATACGAAGGCGCGCGAAGCGGGCAAGGAGCTGCGTGTTGTTGACTCGTCGTATTCGAATGGGAGTCCTACTAAAAGTAATGGAAACAAGGTTAGAACTGATTAACGCTTTCTCGTCTCGTTTTTTTGGCATGGCAATGGTGCAATAAAACTATGTACATAGCATGTTTACGTCCGGTTTGACTTGGTATATAGCCCGATATGATAAAAAACTATAACCCTATAATTACCAGTGAATACGTATATTCGGCATCCACGAACGTCTATCCAATCTTTACTCTTACTCCTCCATCGCCTCACCACCCTCGCCATCCCTCCTCTCCACCGGCGCCTCAAACCCAGCGCCCTTCTCACAGCCCAAAAGCCACTCAACCACCAACCTTGCTTTCGTCGGCGGCGCTTCATCCTCCTTCTTCTCTCCATCCACATTCCCATTCCCATTCGCGGTCACCTCAATCTCCTCCTCCTCATCACCATCATCCTGATCATCGTCCGCCGACCAATCCGCCCGCTCCGCAAGAAACAGCGCATCATGCCCCGCGTCATTCTTAATTCCGATATCCGCGCCCGCTCCAACAAGCGCCTTGACGCAGTCCAAATGCGTATTCAACGCCGCCCAATGCAGCGGCGTGTTGCCAGTGTAATTCCGATAATTCAGGAATGATGCTAATTCTGTTGACTCCTCGCCGAGAACGGAGAGGAGATAGTTTAACAGTTCTATCCAGCATTAGCCAAAACATAGATATATCTACATTTGGGTGTAAGGTAGGAGGGGAGACGCACCAACATTCCCATTCGCAGCCGGCCAATGGAGCAAGCAAGCGCCCGTCCCGCCATCGCTTTCGGGCTCGGTGTCGAGCGCAGACCGGATTATCGAGGAGGCCGGGACGTTATGTTCTGTGCTATATTTGGTGATGTCGGATTTGAGAGAGGGGATGTCGCCGAGGCGCGCGGAGTAGATGAGGTCGTCAATTGCTTCGAAGGAGAGGGGGACAGGCGCGGGGGGTTGGTAGGGTGGGAGGTCGACATTGTATAGTTGTCAACCAGTATTGTGTCGCGAGGAATTGCTGTGGTCCTCGTCTTCAAAAAAAAATGTTCCCTTTGTTGGCCGAATTGCGCGGTGTTCAGAGAGTTTCTTTGTTAATGTTAGCTTCAATGTTGCGGCTTGTGTTTTAATGCTGAGGGAATGTAACATGAAGGGAATTGTAAATCTATTGTTGTCAATTGAAGCCTGGCTGGCTGGGCATATAAAATTCATTGCAAATTCATTGTCATTTGGTAAGAGAAGATATATATCGAAGCTCCGATAAAGATCAACATATATTTCAGATAGAACATTGAAGGTGACACCCCTCTTTCGCTCAGAAGAAAATGAGAACTGGAAATAAATACATGAACATGCACGTACCTTTAACTCGAATGATTGGATTGGATTAGAAGAGATCTAGTGTTCGTATAGTGGAATCTGGCGGACTGGAAAAAATATGGCTATCGCGGAGGGGCACATCGCTATCGCCACGTGACTTGAACTACATACTAGTAACTATGTGTATAAACGAATTGCAATAAAATATAGATAGGTTGAATGGTTAAATTGTGTGATAATTGAATATGAAAGTAGTGGACTTCTAATGCAAAAAAGCGATAACTCCAACTCCATTGCCATGCAATACAGCCCAACCTCAACGCCACAAGAAACATACAGTAAGAAGTAACAAGTCCACATAGCATATAGAGAGTGGTACAGGTCAATCTCTCAGCCAAGCGCGACGCTTCTCCTCCTTCCGCTCTCGTCGCTTTTCACGAAATGCTTTTACTTCTGCCTTGGTGAGCTTCTTCCCACTGCGCTCGGCCTTGAGACTCCGCCCATTATGGCTGTTGGCAGCAGCATCAACATCGAAATAGGCATTCATCTGCCGCCGCGACTTGTTCTCATCGTTGTAGTTCTCCGGCGTCAGCGACGTGTCCTGCCACTTTCCCGTAAACCGATTGAAAGCGCCAGTGGCTGCGTAGAGCTGCGATGCGTCCTCTGTCGAGCCTGCACCGGCTGCTTGAGGGTCTTGCTCGTATTGCTGCGCGTATGGAGCCGTGGGGTCGTAATCGCCATGAATCGCAGGATTATAGCCGCCCAAAGTCCCCGTCCCCGTTCCCGTCACAGTGCCAGTGCTAGTGCTAGTATCAGTCCCGCGAATTGGTTCTTTTTGTTTCCTTGTACCAGATGCATCATCCGGTACGCGTGGATTCTCCCACTGCGAGACTCCGGTAACCCGGTTGTAGAAATAGTATGCCTGTGCATTGCCGTCCCAGACAGGTTCCCAGCCATCGTCCTCGGAATCGCCAGGCGGCGCTTCGTCAGGGAGTGGTGGGAGCGGCTCGTCAGGTAATGGTGGCGCTGCAGAGAGCTCGCCCTCCTCTTCTTCTTCCTCCTCCTCCTCCTTCTCTTCGTCACGATCTACATTGCCAACACCATCGCCTTTTTGTTTCCTCTCACCGTTCTCTCGCTCTCCCTCCTCTGGGCCTGCATGCGAATGCGCGGGTGGCATCGTCGTCGTCGTCGTCGTCGTCGCAGGGCGGTTAGTCGAATCGCTCGACGCCGCGCCCTCACTCATTGTGTATTAGTAGAACTCCAAATCGTCTAAAAGATAAATCGCACGCGTATGTGCCTGCAAACGCAGAGGGCATCGGGTTGTGGCGGTCGATGGAACTTCGAATCAACATTTTGCATCCAGATTGGTGACTGGTCTCCGCGACGACGCTAACCGTTTTGGGATCTATACTCCTCTTTGATGCATTGCCATCGAAGCAGAGTACGTGTGTCGCTTTCGGCTCTCTTCTGTAAAGGACTGGCCTTTTTTATTTTTGTTCGTTCTCATGTCAAGTTACCTCCATCTATCTGGTGATTGAAATGTACTTATGTACTGCAATATATGTTGAGGATGATGAATTGGTTCAGACAGAACGGGTCTTTCCATACCATATCTCTGTGTCACTGGGACGAATGTGACAAATTGTTATTGTTCGGGCATAATTTAATTTTTCCTTACTTTGGAGCGACGGTCAATATTGTATTTTGTCTTTATCTTCTTCGCGCTGATGATGGCTTGTCCTTGTATGGTATCATTAATCGATAGATTTCTCCAAGTGTACCCGGTTTCATTCATGAACTTCGGTATCCTTTTAAGTAATCTTGTAGCTTTTTAACCTTGCAATATTACGTATCATTGAGACTTGCTGCATAGATGTCCAATATACTTTAAGTTCTTAATAACCTCATGTTCACTCATGTCTCTTTTCTTACATACATGTATCATTGACGATAGTCGTGATCTTAAAAATTCGGGCTTCTCAACCACACCTACGTGTATATTATACACCCTCCGCGATAGGATTACTAATAACTTCCCTGACTCTTTGCAGCTTTCCTAAATCTGTACATATGTAATATATTGCGTAGAAGTATCTGAGTAACATTCGTCTTTTATCAACATTTAAATGATGGATGTCAATATCTGCTGCACACGTAATGTATTATTGTATTAGAATTTATTGGTGTCACAAAGCTACCAGCGCCGAATCACGTTAACTCTGTCTTCCATACCCTGTACTAATCTTAGCGTGGATGACGCTAAGAGGCAGCTATCAACAGCCTGAATTGTAAGCACGTCTTTACCATTAGACCTGATGCAATCCAGATATCGGAGAGATAATGACCATCGTCATGCATGATTTAAATACCAAATTATATCCCCTGTCGATTGGGACTGGCCATGAATATAAGTCGTGCACGGGCTATATTTTTTCGTCGCATTGCTGAATTTATCTGACTGTTATTTTCGTCCTTAAGATGGAAGACAAAAATGTCCGCCTCACGACAACGGTATTAGACGTCGATGAGTTGAACACACCTGGAGCCTTACAGCATCATATAATTGAAGAGATTGACCCACGTGAGGAAAGGGCGTTTGTTTGGCGCCTCGACCTCTTCTTCCTCACTATCGGATTTCTTGGATACATGTTCAAATATATCGATCAAACGAATATTGTTCGTACCTTTGTTTCTCAATTAATGTCAGCTTCTCCGACATTCTAACCGGGTTTCCAGAACAATGCCTACGTGTCTGGCATGCAGGAGGACTTGTCTCTTTTCGGTAATCAGTTGAACTACTTTACAACGCTCTTCAGGCAAGTTTAATTAGCAGCGCTTCCTCATTGTCCCCGAGAATATTGATGTTAATAACCATGTAGTGCCGGATACATCATTATGCTTTACCCTTCTTGTGTAATTATTTCGCACTTTGGGCCATCAAAATGGTTGCCAACCTGCGAGGTAGGTCAATAGCTAGATGATAGATTCGTTATAGCGGAGGTAACTGATGCACACCATAGCTGATCTGGGGCATCTTAACTTGCTGCTTGTCTGTGGCGAAGAATTATCAACAGGTACTCTCACCATATCACTGCTCTGGCGTGCATGTGCTAACTGTACTGCTAGGTCTATGGACTTCGTTTCATCATTGGCTTTTTTGAAGGGACTGCCTGGCCAGCGTACTTCACAATGATCAGGTACAACCAATGCTCTGCTACCCTCGAAGACAACCCGTACTCACTGGAATATTAGCCAATGGTACCTGCCACATGAGATTGGACTCAGAATGAGCATATACAACATCGCACAGCCTACTGGCGCGATGCTGTCTGGCGCAATGCAGGGAGCTCTCGCAACTAACTTGAATGGCGTTCTAGGACGCTCCGGTTGGAGATGGGCCTTTCTCATCAACGTAAATATTTCTGTAAGAAGGTGACTGTTTCTTATCTTTTTCTAACGAAGAGTAGGGAGTATGCACAATTGCGGTTGCTCTGGCGGCATTCTTCATCTTGCCTGGATACGTAAGTACTAAGCGCCTCTACAATATTGCACTGCTGAGTTTCCGAGCTTGACGTTGTTTTTTCCTGCAGCCAGAACGCCAAAATCCGCTCTCAAAATTTTATCTTAAGCCTCGACATATTGGTTGGTCACCACTACTTCCTCTATGGTTTTTTTTTTCCTTTTCGAAATGATAGGCTAAAGCTGGTGGTGCAGAAATCGCGCTTGCTCGTGGCCGCCGGGTCGGCCGCAAGCCTCAAACCGGCATCACTATCAAGAGTTTTCTGCGCTGCTTTACCTTCTGGCAAGTTTGGGCTATATCAAGTGTGTCATTTCAAATGCTTTCCATTTTGAGATATATGAGCTAATACCTCTTTAGTTGCGTGGACATTTGGGGCAAACACCATTCCTTCAAACTACTATAATTTGTGGCTTAAGTCGTTGAAGAACCCGGATGGCACCGTTAAATAGTCCGTCCTACTCCTGGCAGAATACCTGACATTTGCTAACTAGGGGATAGTTCCGTGGGAATGCTTAATTACCTACCAATTATAGGCCAAGCGATCCAATTGGTATGTGAGATACTATTCAGCGGGTTCAGCGACTTTTTTGGTAAACATTTACCATTCCTGCTACTTCATTCTGTAAGTATCACATATTTCGGTCGATGATTGATGTTAAATTGTGGCTTAGGTTATCAACATCACATCGTTGGCCATATTAATTGTCCGGCCAGCCAACGAACATGCGTACATGGCTGGCTGGTATTTGAACTACGTCGGAGCGTACGTCTCAGGAGCTGCTTGTTTCACCAAACGTCTGTCACCCCACTAATGGTATAAACAGTGTATCTACAATGCTTCTCTGTGCCTGGGCCTCCATCCATCTGCAGGACGAGCCCGAGGCACGTACAGTTCTCTTTGCGACTGGAACTGTGATGTCTTACATCTGTAATGCATTCATACCAATCGCTGCCTATCCAGCTGTTGAAGCACCTCATTGGAGAATTGGGGCTAAGTTGTATCTTGGCTTTGCCGTAATGGTCTTCTTCCTTATGATTGGCATTCACTTCGCCTTTAGATGGCAGAAAAAAAGGAATACGTAGCGGAAGGTTGGTGTTGACAACAGAGAAGCTATAAACCAAACAATATTAGAGTACTTTAGTACGCACATACTAAATATATTAAATACCACTTTGTCTTACTACTTATAGATTTTAACGTATTATGTTTGCTTAAGCCAGTAACCTTTTCGCTTACTGTCGTGATTGCGGACTTTTGCTGTCACCACAGGTGGCTTCGAATATGACATTGATAAAAATACACTGGCGCCATGAATAGCACGTTACGACAATGCTGACAGCCATATATGTACCGTTGTCTATGATCTCCTTGGGATTTGTGTCGGCCTCCTGTACTGATTGATATTGTAATCCGCCGAGGACCGTTATCGCCTATCGCTTATCGAAAAGAGCTGTCACATGCCGACAAGTGGCTTCACCCACCCATTAATATGGTAATATGGTAATATAGGTTAATATGCAACAGCGAGAGCCTTGACGAACCAAGCAGTTAGCATAACTTCATAAGTATATGTAGCAGTGCAGAGTATGCATCCAGGGATAATATGAAAGAGGCTTTACGGCCGAGAACGCGGGGATAACCTCTAGGTCGGGCTCGGCTAGGTGCAGTGTGGAGAAAGAGCCAGCCGAGGTTAGCGGTAGTACACGGTTCAATGTTATGTCTTATATATCTCTTCCTCTATTCTTTATCCGTACATACCACTTATATCTATCTATATCTATCTTGTATATATATATCGTTGTGTCTATATCATGCCGTTCAACACCGCCCTCACCAGGAAACTGGGCATCACAGGTACCTCTCCTCTCATCTCAAGTTTACCCGTCAACTGACCCAACAGTCCCCGTTGTCCAGGGCGGCATGCAATGGGTTGGCTACGCTGAGCTCGCATCAGCGGTCAGCAACGCCGGTGGACTCGGAATCGTACGTCTTCCCTCATCGACTAGCCCATTAGGCTGGAGTTTGAATGCTTGCGAGGCCTAATATAAACGCAGTTAACCGCCCTCACGCAACCCACGCCGGAAGACCTACGCAAAGAAATCCGCCGCTGCCGAACCCTCACCAAACGTCCCTTCGGCGTAAATATCACGCTCCTCCCTGCCCTCGTGCCCCCCGACTATGCCGCCTACGCACGCGTCGTGATTGAAGAGGGCATCAAAATCGTCGAAACCGCAGGCAACAGCCCTGGCCCCGTAATTGAGCAACTGAAAAAGGCCAACACGATCATCCTCCACAAATGCACGACCATCCGGCACGCCAAAGCGGCAATCCGGCTCGGCGTCGATTTTCTCTCTATTGACGGCTTCGAGTGCGCCGGCCATGTGGGCGAAACCGACATCACCAATTTCATCCTCCTCAGCCGCGCGAGACAGGACCTTAAAATCCCGTTTATTGCGTCCGGCGGGTTTGCAGATGGCCAGGGTCTAGCGGCGGCGTTGGCGCTAGGCGCGGAGGGGATCAATATGGGGACAAGGTTCATGGCCACGATCGAAGCGCCGATTCATAATAATATCAAAGAAGCCATTGTCAAGGCGCAGGAGACGGATACGGCGCTGGTGCTGCGGAGGTGGAAGAATACGACAAGGCTGTTCAAGAATAAGGTTACGAATGAGGCGGTGAAGATCGAGAAGGAGAGCCAGACCGGTGAGTTTAAGGAGGTTGCGCCCTTTGTTAGTGGGCAGCGCGGGAGGCAGGTGTTTATTAACGGCGATCCTGACTTTGGTGTACGTCCCCTTACCTTCTAACTGTGGGTTGATTTGCTGATTGGTGTAGGTGTGGACTGCCGGCCAGGTTATTGGTTTGATTCACGATATCCCGACGTGCCAAGTGCTGATTTCGCGTATTGAGAAGGAGGCTGCGGAGACGCTGAACAGGGCCAAGTCTCTGTATTCTGAGGGCGCGCAGAGCAAGCTCTGATCTAGACAATATACTGCCAGATAGATGAATACATATTGTATTGACTATACAATGCATCGAATCTCTCAATGATGTCACCTTATTTAGGTAAACAAATGTAAAGTAATGGTAAGTAAGTATAGACTGTATGTCTATCTAATGGTTGAGTTTACACATGTAATGTGGAGAGTAGAAGGAAGAAATTCTGATAAATTCTCAAGTTTGCTTAGATGAGGAGGAAGTACACGTAATTAGATGTGAAAGACGTATATTAGGTTAATATTGTCCATTCCGTCGAATCGGACGACATTGAAGGAGTGATAGCGTATCTATGAATTGAAAAATCGCCGCTCGGATTCACCATCAAGCTCATCTTTTTTCAAATAATGAGAAAGGCCTCCCATAACATTCAATATTTACAAGTATGTACATATCAATTGATGTATCAAAATATCTGACCCTCCTCTGTTGGCTAGACCGCTGATTGGTCAGGTACGGAGATTCATGGCTTTTGATATTATCAGCAAATATCGTACTACTAACTAGTAATATGAATTCTAATAGTTATGTACTTCCGCAGTTTATACTCCATATACAGCAAGCTTGGGAGGCTGGCAGCCCTAAAATAGTCTAAGATCTATGACCGAGACAGATTAGTAGGATAAGTAAATCTACCCCAGCTTTCCCAATAAAATACATATCCATTGAAAAATACATCTCCGCGACCAATGCATTCCTCATCCAAAATGATATTTTGAAAATCATTATTACGCAGCTCCCAATTATTCTATATAACAGACATCAATCTCCAAAACTTTTGAGGTATATGTACAAGACAAATTATATACAACTCCCAGCGCTCTTATTTGGAGATTGCGGGCATCTCGACCGGCTCAGTGGGTGATTTTGGCGAATTACCCGGTAGTTCACTGATAGGAGCGTCAGTTGACAGCTCATACATGTATGGCAGCGAATCCCGCGCCGGTTGCTCCTGCATCGGTTCCTCAACAGGATTCTTTTGTTTCTTTTGTTTCCGCCGTGCAAAGAAGAGGCCACCCGCGATGGCAGCAATGACGGCAATAGGGATGGCAACGCCGATTCCGGCCTTTGCACCTGTCGATAGCCCGCCAGAAGATGGAGATGAAGATGAAGATGAGGAGGGTTCTGTACTAGCCGAGGAGGCTGCAGTCGATGCGATGGAAGTAGTAGTCGTCCGGCTGATAGGAATGGTGGCTGGTGGTATTGATGTTGTTCGTGATGTCAGCACGGAGGTTTGGGTTGTTTTCGAGGATGTCGTCGAAGATATCCTCGAGGCTGTTGTAGTGGACGGCTCCGTTAAATTGAAATTATGGGAGAAGATGTTGGTTACATGCCCGGCGGAGTCGATCCCGCTGCTGGGGAATTCAAACCAGAACACGTTGCTATCGCTAAGATTGAAGCCGCTGAGTTTGATGGTCCAGTTGTATGACCACGCATCGGCGGTGACGAGTTCTAAACTCTTGTCAGCCTGTGGATCGTTGCTAATGGGAAACGCTAAAAGCTCACGAGAGATAGCATATCTACCAATATAATCACCTTGATTTAGCCACAGCTGAAATGATTTGAATTCGGTACCTGTTCCATCAGACCCCCATTTTATTTCCAGGATGTCGCCGATGGTATATACGGGATCGGGTAACCCATGAATGTCTTCACTTGGAGGATTGACAAAGTAATAAATGCTGTGAACCTGTAGGGCGAAGTGAAAACACAGGTACATGTACATGTACATGTACCATATGGCCAGCGCCATGTCGACGGGGAGTTATGAATTGATATTGACACGCATGTAAGGATAGGTGTTTGTACGAATTTGCAAATCTGGCGCGAATTCCGGTGCGTTGACATCCAGGTTCTGACTAATTAGCACAGAAAACTGGATTCTGAGAAAAATCAACTGTTCATTTCCATCATTGCGCTAGCGTTATAAGTCTAGTAATGATTCCCCTGTTCATTACTGCTAGGCAACGCCGCAACGTGGTGGTGATGTTAGGGCGGATCTAGACCGGCCAAGAAGACTGGACCTAGGAGTTTGGGCGGGGAATCGGGGATAATACTATGCGTTGGCACGAGGTGTGCTTCTTGTAAGGCGTGGTGCATAAGGGCTACGCCAACCCAATGAGATATCTAGTTTGGGATAGACTATAACTTATGTGCTTGGGACGACATACTGTATTGGGAAAAGGGTCTTAGCCGCGTGCGAATTTCGACCATACAGTTCCCCCGTTGCTGTAGAGTGGAGTTGAGTAAGATTAGATTACTGAATAAGACAATAATTTGAACGAAAATGTGGCACTGTGCAGTTTCAGGCTGTCTAACTATGCGGCTAGCATGATAGTCGAAACTTGAAGTAGCTTGCTAACATAAACCCTGCTAGTGTACCGAAATCTAAGGCCAGAAAAATTGCTGTGTCGCCTTTTAGTCTAGGGGTAAATTCGAATTATGGTTATTATGGTCAGCGAAAATACAGCATAGCGTCATTCATCAATTTTTTCTCATGGGGGATATTCTCATGGGGGATGGAATGATGAACTAATGCGTCAACCCATAGGGATAAATAACAACATTGAATGCGACACGACTAGATTCCGCGCGTCACTACATCATTGACTCTTTGTTGTGTACTTAGTAGTACAAAGAAAGGAACCTTAGGAAGGAGAGGCGAAGCGATCATTCCAAGAGTAATATAGTACTCGATAATTACATGAGGGAAAATGAAAATCATACATAGCAGGGTCACTCCTCTCTACGAGAAACACCATGGGAGTCAAGGCGGGGCACTACTACTGTCCTTCGAAACTTGGGCATATGCTCGTTTTCTTGTCGTGATATAATTTGAAGAATAGCAGAGCTAGATAGTGCTGTGAATCTTGATATCAGCAAGTAGTGGTATCTCGGCTTAGGTGAATTACGTCTTAGAAAATAAGCACTCTAGAACGATATTGTGTAATGAGACTTTCCATCTCCCAAGGTTCTTGAAAGGTGGTGATCATATTACTAGATGAAGAGGTAGTCATCAGTCATCTGAGCGGATCTCGTTTAGTGCATCTGTATGAATTTTACATAAATATACCGTGGCATAGCAAAAATTTTCCGACTGTGACGGTTCTGGCAACATTTACTACATAAGTGAGTAGTGCTGAGGATTCGCCATCTTCAATATTCTATTCTTTTGGCGCAGAGGCTTAGCGAGCGAATACTCCCGCCGACATGGTCGTGACCCTTCATTCCCTACTTTTCGCGAGACTAAATACGTTAGATTAAAGTGGCAAAGCATCTCCCTTGAAAGGTGTCGCATAGTGTAAGGTAATTAAATTGTGCCATCGTACTAGTAGATGGCAGAATTTTACATGTATATAATTATGGGGTATTTTGGAAACTTTTACTGTGCTGCTGTAAATTTGTGCTAGAACGGCGTATAGCGATTAACACCGAATGGTTGAACTCTGCAAAGTGGTCTAGCCCAGGCCATTAAATCCGTCCTTGTGATGACCAACATGTTATCGTTTAATGAAGCCTAAGACGAATTTCAACACACAAGGTTAAAAGTTACGGGGAAAAGCCTTTAGTATAAGGAATACAGCCGATTGGAATGATAAGTGGGTAGCGGTAGTGGGGTAATTAGTTAACAAGTGAACGTCAGGCACCTACAATCCTCTATCCATATTAATATCATCCTGGAGACTTCTTCTATATTTTACGCGCTAAGCGTCATTAGTATATAATGCTTAACGGACTGTGATGTCCACAAGTTAAATGAACCTCTTAATTTCCTTTAATGGAAATTGATTTAAGGGCAGAACAGTATTAAAGACAGCCTCAACAAGATCCTAATCATCACCGTGCTGTACTTGGATATTATTGCAACATAATATGACGGCAGACTGCCCCACAGACGTATGCATAACAAACCCCACAAGGCCAGGATGATTCCCCGCACTTGCTCTTGCCGTGACATCATACACATAGCAACTTTATCATGGGAGAGAAGAGAAAAGCTTCAGTGACTCCTGACGCGTGTGCCAAGACCTCTTCGTATACCGGAATATCTTCGTCGACGCTTTCTGTTCCCACTAATCCTTCAGTACCACTCAAGGTTCCAATACCCCGACAGCAGAGCAATGATCCGCCAAACAGCGATTCGACATCTACCCGTCAAAGGGCCAGACGTGCATGCAGCGAGTGCAAAAATTCAAAAACAAAATGTAGTGGGGAGCAGCCTTTTTGTGAACGATGCATGACTTTCGGTTTAACTTGTGTGTACGGACCAAACAAACAAGAAAAGATGACAATGTAGGTCCAACATGTCTGTTGTTGTATGATTCATTCCTGTGGCTTTGCTGAAGTTCAGGATTATAGGGAACTCAACGACCTACATCACCGTTTGCAAATACAAGAATCACTCTTGGCTGAGATATATCCACATTTGGACAAGAGATTGCAGGACAAGCTAGACGGCAGCCAAGTAAGTTGCGTGGATTATATTCCCCTGTTGTTTTCTAAGTTAACAACTCGTGAGTGGGGCCTTGGAGAAAAGCTCAATTACACAGCACAAGGAGATCCCTCTTCTTCTCCGGGAATAGCAGACTACACGGACGAAGATTATAACCGTGAAGAGCTTTCCCAAGCTACGGGCCATGTAGGCCAGTACTCCGACAGGTCGTGGATTCTCTCTTTGAAAAAACACCTTGGTAAATCTTCGACTTCTACAAGGTCGGATACTAGTAGTGATTCCATTGCATCAGTGAGCTATCTCCTCGATGACCTCCACATTTCAATAAAGGACGATATAAATCCTCTTAATCGTCCAGCTCGCCATACTGCTGATCGTCTTATGAGCATTTATTTCCGGTTGGTACATCCCTCGTTCCCGATACTAAGCAAGACAGTGTTTTCCCAACAATATACGAGGTATTACAATGAAAATGACACAATTCCACAGAAAAAATGGCGTGCAATCTTGAACCTGGTATTCGCCATTGCGGCAAAGCATTCTCGTAGGAATTCCGAGAACTTTGTAACTGATGATACTCATTTGGAGTTTTTCTCCCGAGCATGGATGTTGGGCATGGGCGGGAATACCTTGCTGTTGAACCCAGATCTTCAGCAAGTGCAAATTGAAGGATTAATATCATTTTATCTACTGACCGTGGAGCAGGCAAACAGGTATGTGTTTTGTCCAGGTACATAAGACCAAGCAAACATGGGATAAATGCTAAGAGTCATGCAATAGATCTTGGAGATTATACGGTTTGGCGATCAACTCTGCCTACGCAATGGGGCTTCACATGCGGTCGGAGAGCAAAGACATTTCTCCCACATCAAAAGAGATCAGATACCGCGTTTGGTGGTCTCTTTACACATTCGAGACCACATTATGCATCATTACTGGTCGCCCAGTTAGTGCCACTAACAAGTTCTGCTCTACTCCGTTACCTATACCGTTTCCCGAAGAAGACTTCCAAGGACCACATGCAACCTCTCTACTCAATAACAACGCATTGCGTGTCTGCTGCCTTGCCATACTTGGATTTAGCCTTGGTGATAGTGATTGCCAAGAACCAAATAGAGGTTCTGCCAAAAATTCGACTTGCGAATCAGCTGCAAGGATAGCTGCGTCAACGATGCCTAATATATCATTATATTTCACCCAATTTATTACCTTGACTGCGAACATGCGAAAAACACTTCATACTCTCTATGCTCTGGGAAACGCTCAAAACTCTTGGACTCAAAATGAAGCTCAAATGCATGTTCTTGACACGGAGGCTAATGTCTGGTATTCAAAGCTTCCAGTTGAGTTCAGATTCATGGAAGATAATTCATCTCCTTTATTTGAAAGGCAAAGGGTAAGTTTAGCATTTCTATTTTATAGCGCCAAAATAATCTACAGCTGGCCTGCTCTTCACCGTTTTCAGGCGCTAAATAACGAGAATGCTTCAACTAGTCTTCACATATTTGCTACGCTTTGCGTTAATTCGGCTTGCGATATGCTCGACGTGCTACCCGAGAAACCCGATATGCGTTGGATTAATGAGACATCACCGTGGTGGTGTGTTCTACATTATTTGATGCAGGCCACGGCAGTTCTTTTGCTCAAGATGTCTGTCCAATTGAAGGATGGAAACGAAGACATCAACAAAACCGCTATTATTCGTCTCAAAAAGTCTCTTGACTGGTTACAGAATATGTCTTCGCATAGTGAAGCAGCAGAAAGAGCATGGAACCTTTCAAACAAACTCCACGGCCAATTGCTTTCACAGGACCCTATCGAGATTCCGGATCCTCTTCTTTCCCAATTTCTGTTAGGCGACGACTTTCCCATTATGACCTAGCTATTTTTTTTTTTTTTTGCAATCTTTTCGTATCAAAATTCATATTTTCCCATCCTTTATGTGATTATGCCGTAAGCCTCGCACGCGGGAACCTTGGACTCGCTGTAATCGCAGTCTCTCATCGCTTCTATTACATTGAAACGGGTAGTAAACACCAAAGGTTCTGACGCTTATATGCAATTGCGCAATTCAGTTTAAACTAAATCTCATCAACATTGATGAAGAATTGCTTGAGTTCTACAATGTTGAACCATTGGTATGTCATATTACACTTTTATTCTATTTTTAAAATCTCAGCCATGTCATTCATAATTACAGTTTAGAATTTTTATCTTTAAGTCTTTTTTAACTGTCTTAATTCTTAGCTTAGGCAAATACAGCTTCAATGTTATGTTGTTCATCAATTCGTCCAAATATCTATGGCATTGAATAGGTAGATATACCTGCTGAGAAATGCATCGTACAAGAAGATAATATTTCAGTCTGTTCCAGAGTGGGTGAGGTGAGATTAGATTATGATATGTAAGTAATTAGGAAAGAATCATTCGCCATGGTATATGTTGAACCCAAACGCCATCGTAGCCCGTTCGCCAATGTACAACGCGTATTAACACCCCCGTATGTATGTGTATGTGTCTATATAACGTGAGTTAGAACCGCCGGATCTCACTGCGATATCCCTCCTCTTCACCACCCATACTAGCACCGAGGAAACCTGCTCCCCAGATCCCAGCCAACCCCCACATACCGATTCTCCAACCACGGTAGAGACCCTTGACGCCCTGTCCTGGTTTGCGTCGTCGTTGAGTTGTTGGATTTCCCGGTATCCCGCCGAGTTCTGCAGGAGCCAGGCCTTCCTCGTAGACAATCCCCCACATCGTGCCAATAATACCTCTGTAGGTTTTGGGCGTTGGGATAATGGTTTCGATTTCGGCTTCGTCTGTGTTGGTGCCAATCACGGCCTTGGATTTTGGATCGCGATTCGTACGGTTCTTCTGACGGAGAGCGGGGGATGTGAAGGTGGCGATTTGGGCTCGGCGAAGGACCGTTTCCAGTGGGAATCGCACGCCTAGTTCTAAGCCAGTTGAGACGAAGGAGAAGAAACTCCAGGTCGATGGGTTCAGGACAGGGTCGACGGCAAGATAGTTTTTGAGGACCAGAGGTGTGCTCATGGCGAGGAGGTTCGGGAGACTGGAGTGGAGGATGGTGATCGGTATTAGGTGCACGGGGATGGAATAATTTGGAGTCGGGAGAAGGCGGATTGCTCGAAGAAGCGAGCGTGGGCCATGGGTGAGAGGTGTAGCAATAAGAAATGTGCGAGCGGTGTCAATTGGCGAAAGCACTACCGCGGACAGAGCAGAGGAAATGAAGCTCAGAATAATTGTCGTGCTTGGAGACGCTGCAGTCAAGATATCCTCCGAAGCAGACGTTGCCACTCCGATTTCTGGCAGGCCGAGAATTGCAGACAAAAGACTTCGAATAAATGTATTGAGCGTGGGAAGGAGTAGCGAGTATATGAATGTAGCATTTGACGCTTTCCACACCGATGTCGGTCCACTTGTCGACCATAGCTGTGAAATCACTTCCGTTAACGAGGAGGCGTTCTTGATATGTAGACGGTGTTTCGGGGCGGCAGGCGGCTGGATATAGCCGGTACGGCTTGGGACACGAGCGCGTAATTTTCGAGATCTTGGAGTTGAAGGAGAGGGCGTAGTGGGAGCAGTAGAGGTGAAGTAGGTACTTTCGTCATCGGAAGATTGGGAGTCCTAAGATAATTAATATAATAGTACAACTACACTGGTCCAGCACAAACCTGATCGGAAATATCTTCGAAATGGTGACTCTGGCTACGTTGTTCATCGAGTATGACTTGACTCTGCTCGTCGCTGGGCACGACATATATCTGGAGGATAGTCTTCGCGACATCGAATGGCTGCGCGATCAATACACTCGAATACTTCCATACCGCACGGTCGAGCAGATCCTTGAACCATTCTGCCACCGAAGGAGATGACTCGAGATAGTTGCTGTAATCTAAATCCGATAACAGGTCTCGTGTTGAGCGGCCGATCGTTATTCTCGACGATGCATTCGACGTGATATGGGCGGCGGAAGAGGCGGTGATACTGTCGGTGGGAGACAGGCCGATGGAGGGTACGTAGTATGGGCGAAAGGGGTTGGGTCCCTCCTGCTGCGAAGCCATTTCTCTGTCAGAATGTGCTGATATCAGAGCAGTCGCAGGTTGAGAATAGGAGGGTAGAGTGTAGACTCTAGAGAAGTGTCGTTAAAGATGGAGAGTAATTGCCGCCCGAAGCTTAATCATAGCGCCGAAAAAAACATGACGCCGCTCTTCCCTGCTCCACCTGGTAATTAACCCCGAACCACACCTTTCGTCTTATATCCGCATTCTTTCGTGTCTGTTGCGTTCGCTTGGATGGGAGTACGATATCTCTACCAGCTACTCCTGTCTTGATATTGTGTTACAATGCTCTTCTGGAAGGAGACTGGCCAACAGCTTCGGCTGGCCGGAGCAAGGATAAGCTCGGTCAACCGGCTTGCCCTGCGACGAAATTTCAACGGGCACGCCTTGCAAAGACAAGCTACAAATTCCAGACAAGGGCTACCGAGGAACACGCAACTTCAGAGCTTCGTGCGATCCCGGCGACGGTTCTCCGTGACTTCCGCCGCTGCACATGGCCACATCACTCCGCCACGACCTGGCGAGGAGTGAGTCCAATGCCCGCGTTTGTAATTCCTTGGCTGACTGGGACAGAATAAACGTGACGTTCATTGACAAGGACGGCGAGAAATACGACTTCCAGGTGTCGGAAGGCGACAATTTGCTGGATATTGCGCAGGCTAATGACCTGGAAATGGAGGGTGAGAAATCACATCAATATTGGAATTATCCATGGATAGATCGACTGATGATTGTAGGTGCCTGTGGAGGATCTTGCGCATGCTCGACCTGCCACGTTATTGTCGAAGACCCCAACCTCTACGACCGAATGCCTGAGCCCGATGACGACGAAAACGATATGCTAGATCTCGCCTTTGGCTTGACCGAGACATCGCGCCTGGGATGTCAAGTGAAAATGACCAAGGACCTGGACGGTCTGGTGGTGAAGCTACCGTCTATGACAAGAAACATGCAGGCGAGCGATTTCACCGACAAGAAATGAAAATACGCAGCATATTCTGTACTATTTACTTGAAGTTTCAGTTCAGCTCTCTACTCTGGTAATGGCTTATCAGCGATTTGTATAAATAGACCAAAAACTTGCGCTTGTACTGCGCACTTCAACAATATACCAGCACTTTTGAGGAAACAATCCACTCCAGGCGCCTAAACTATGCAGAACCAGAACGTAATATCAAGCTTCTTCGATGTTCAATGATCCTCCTTTCTTCCCATTGATAAGCTCCAGAAAGCTTTGTTTGCTAACCTCATTCGCTGCCTTCTTTCTCTCTTCCATCCCAATAGTCCCCTTTTTCTGCTCCTCTCGAGCAGCCTCTTCACCACGAACCTGGGCTGCACGAACAGCATTGAATAGTTTGACAACACCACGCTGTGCGACTTTCCGTAATCTCTTCTCCTCCTCTGCCGTATCACCAGCCTGTCCACGCTCAATACCAAGAACATCACGAACCCGACCCCGTTCCTTCTCTTCTTTCTTCTCAGCACGCAGCTTTGCGCGTACACGCTGATCAAGTCGCTCGTTCGCAAGCTCAGATGACGCCTGCGCGGCAGTTTTGCTTCGAGACAGGACTGGATCTGCGCGCGCTGAAGTGGATAGTTTGGTGGATAGAATTTTTGAAATGGATGTAGAGAAGACGGACGGGTCGTGACGTTTCGGGACTTTCTTTATTTTTTGGTTATTTTCGCCTTCTTCGTCGACGGGAAACTCGTCTTCGGCATCTGTTATACCCTCGTCGCTGTCGTCATTTGCCTCTGAATCAGAATCCACCTCTGAGTTGTCTTTTTCGTCGAGTTTATCGTCACGCTCATCTTGTTCTGCCCTTTTTGACGGTTTTATTGCTGGTGTTTGCTTGGAGGTTTTGCCTTTGATATTTGGAGTTGTAGATGTCTCTTGTTCTGCGTCCGAGTCGAGCAGATTTACAGGAGTGAAGTCATCATTGCCATTCTCGTTCTCGTTCTCGTCTTCGGAGCTGCTGTGGTATGCGGCTTGCTTTCTGAACTTCTTTTTTGGCTGGACCCTTCCAGCCATCCCCTCATGGACCTTTCTCTTCTTCGACGCTGAGGTAACACCCATTGCAATAGCTGCTGATCCGTGTCTTTGCAAGTTCCTGCCTTATACAGATGGAAGTTGTAAATGTAGCAGCGGAAGCACTTTGACTATTGAATTATTTTTTCGACCAAAGTGAGCGGATCGCGTAGTCTGCTCCGATTGGCCGAGCCTCCGCAATCTGTACTTGCCACATCCGTGCATCCCACCAAGACTCCAGACACTTATTCAACCCATCACACTTATTCCAACTCAGCCACGACCTGCCACTGGACAGAGAATAAATTTAGCTGGACAGAGATAAATCTAGCTGAGACCAGTTAATATGGTCCTTCAAGACTTGGGGCGGCGCATCAATGCCGCCGTCAGTGACCTCACAAGGTCCGCCACGTTAGACGAAAAGGTTCGTGTCTTTCCCCAATTTCCATGAATATAAAATTTACTGATAAATTCCAGGCCTTTGATGATATGATAAAAGAAATCTGCGCTGCACTCTTATCCGCAGACGTCAACGTTCGATTAGTGCAGAACCTGCGCAAATCTATCAAATCTAGTGTCAACTTCTCCTCCCTTCCCACTGCCGTCAACAAGAAACGTCTGATCCAAAAAGCCGTCTTTGATGAACTCGTCGCGCTCGTCAACCCGCACGCCGAACCATTCAGACCGAAAAAGGGCCGTGTCAATGTGATCATGTTCGTGGGGCTCCAAGGTGCTGGCAAGACAACGACATGCACGAAGCTCGCTCGACACTACCAAATGCGAGGCTTCAAGACCGCGCTCGTCTGCGCAGACACCTTCCGCGCCGGCGCTTTCGATCAGCTGAAACAGAATGCCATCAAAGCCAAGATCCCTTACTACGGCAGCCTGACGCAGACGGACCCCGTGGTCGTCGCCGCCGAAGGCGTCGCGCAATTCAAAAAGGAGCGGTTTGACGTGATCATCGTCGACACGAGTGGTCGCCACAAGCAAGAAGAAGATTTATTCGAGGAAATGACACAAATCCAAGCGGCTGTCACGCCAGACCAGACCATTCTCGTGCTCGACAGCACAATCGGCCAGGCCGCAGAGGCGCAGTCATCGGCGTTCAAAGCGACGGCAGATTTCGGTGCGATTATTATCACAAAAACGGACGGGCATGCGGCTGGCGGTGGTGCCATTTCGGCCGTTGCTGCGACGCATACGCCGATTATCTTTTTGGGTACGGGTGAGCATATGATGGATCTGGAACGGTTTGAGCCCAAGGCGTTTATTCAGAAACTGCTGGGAATGGGTGATATGGCTGGGTTGGTCGAGCATGTGCAGGCCGTGACCAAGGACTCGGCAGGCGCCAAGGAGGCATACAAACACATCACTGCGGGGATCTACACAATACGCGATTTCCGTGAGAATATAACATCGATTATGAAGATGGGCCCATTGTCGAAACTTTCTGGCATGATTCCCGGTCTGTCCAACATCACAGCGGGCCTGGACGATGAAGACGGAACTATGAAGCTGCGTCGCATGATTTACATTTTCGACAGCATGACTGCGGCCGAACTCGATAGCGATGGGAAAATGTTCGTCGACCAGCCCAGCCGAATCGTGCGCATTGCGTGTGGCAGTGGCACGACGGTGCGCGAAGTCGAGGATCTGCTCTCCCAGCATCGCATGATGTCTGGCATGGCGAAGAAAGTCGGTGGCCAGCGCAAGCAGATGCAGCGCGCGCAGAATATGCTCAAGGGCGGGAATAAGGAGCAGCAGATGGCGGCGATGCAGAAGCGCATGCAGTCGATGGGCGGCGCCGGTGCCGCGGGAGGCATGCCGGGTATGAGTGATATGGCGAAGATGATGCAGATGTTGCAAGGCCAGGGAGGCGCTGGAGGAATGCCTGGTATGGGTGGCATGGATTTGCAGAGTATGATGAGCCAGATGAGTGGGCTTATGGGAGGGGGTGGTGGTGGTGGTGGTGGTGGTGGAGGCAGAGGACGAGGCCGATGATTATTCAAATGTTATCTTTGGATTGAGTTGGTAATGTACTTATGACTTGGGTCGTTCATGCATAGGGTAATAAGACCTCAGTTGGCTGGCGTTGTTGGCGTGTCAGATTGATACGACGCATACTTGGATAACAGCAATAAAATGTAAATTTGTATCCAAGCTCTAACTTATCTAACATTTGAGATAATCCAAACCTAGTCACAGGTAATAAATTTCCTTCTCAACGTTTGACAAAAGGCAGAAGTTTATCTCTCAAAACACCAACCTTCTCCTCCAACAGCCCGATAAACTCTTGCAACCCCCATCCTTTCAAATGGATGTCATCCACCAAGACCCTTCCAGGCGGCAGACGCCCAACCTCAGGGGCATGCAATGGGATAGCCAATTGATACTTCCAAACAACATTTCCGTCGACATGAAGAGTATACGTGAGCACCGAATGCGGGCCTTTATTATTCTCGTTAATAATGTTGGAATCATCGTACACGCCAATATCAATTTGCCCGAATTTCACATTCCCGTCTGGTGCGTATTTGACCATGACATCCTCGCTGTCGGTCTGTCGGTATGTTCGGATGGGTAGGTAGAACATGTTCAAGGGCCCGACACTGAATTCGTGAATTCCCTGGCCTGGTGTACCTGGCGCAAGCTCGCTGGGGCTGAGCTGGTAAGCAGGGTCGGGGAATCTCGTGGCGCCGAATTCGTGACGATCACCGCTTAGTAGAATAATGCGCACGCCTAGTTCTTTTTCAGCACGCCACATCGCCTCGTACACAGTTTGCCGTTCGAGGAGGAACCCGCCCCAGGTGTCTTGGGTGCCGATGTGCCAGTTTTTGGTGAAGGGGACGCTAGAGGCTACGATCTTCCATTTTACGTCGGCGGGTTCGGGGCGGGCGAGATAGGCGAGGAGGGAGTTTAGTTGGGCATGGCCGAGGATGGTGGAGTTGGAGAGGCCTGGTGTTGTGCGGTATGTACGGGTGTCCAGCATGAAGATGGAGGCGGGGCCTTGGATGAAGGAGAAATAAGTAGTGTTCTCTGGTGCGGCGTATGGTGTTGGCGGGATGGGAGGGTTGACGCTGACATGGTACAAGGCGTAGGGGTCGACTGCTTCTGGGTATGGGTGTGAGGTGTTTCCTTTAGCCCAGTCATTGGCAATCTCGTGATCATCAAGAGTATGGATCCATGGCAGGTCGATTGGGCGCTCGTCCTCAGGCTCGTACCAGCTCGGTGAGGAATATACACGGCGGTACTCGCTGCGATACTCCTCGACAGAAGATCCATACCGTAGAGGAACATCGATATAGATAAAGTCACCTAGAAAGAGCATAAAGGAGGGACGGGAGAGAGAGGGAAGTTTCTTGATTGCCTCTGAGACCTGCTCAATGCCCGGGATACGTAAAGGATGAGAGAAGGGGTTATAAGGAAAGTTAGGTTTGATGCAGCTGGATGTGAGGAAGGTCAATCTATTAGCCGATTGCGTCCCCGGTAGTGGCGCCGTAGTGAATAAACCAGTGTGGTTGTTGGAGAGCGCATAGCGATATTGGATCGACGGCTTGAGGTTTTTCAAAACCACCGGGTAGGTGTAATCGGATTTGGCATTAAGCTGGTAAATCTTTCCTTCTTCGGTCCAAGCTCCTGTCTCAGATTTAGATGCCTCTTGGTACTTTATCGACACAGGGAAGTTGTCGCCATAAGGCTCTCGAACGAGCAAGTTGGCTGTTGTGGGGGACACATAGCCGATCCGGGAGAACGCGAGGTCCTCTGTGGGATAGAAAACTCTGGCCCGGAGGAGAAAGTCCAATGTAAGCGCAGTTAAGAGGAGGTTGATCAGGATGGTGATAATGGTCGTGAATGCGTTGGCCGCCGAAGGTCTACCCAGTAAGAGCGTTTTCCATGGCGCTATACTTCGACTTGGCTTTTGTACATTTTGCTTATTTGCAGATAGTTTTGAGTCTGGATTTATAGCAAAGGTCTTAGTATGTTGAGCATGTAATCTCATAGAAAGGTCCTACCTGTTTGTTTACCTTGAACGGCAGGCTGCCGAGACGCTGGTCCAAGTAAAAGAAAGGTCGACGAGAGATAAATACCACTGGCTGTGAGTATTATTGGAGCAATCAAGCCACCTGGAATCTGCAGCATTTGTCAGAAAACCACAACTTCTTATGTATCAAGGAGAGCAGTGTAAGCCAACCCATCGAAGAAAAACGAAGCTTGCGATCCGAATGAACACCGAGCTGAGAGTCGTCGCTGCAGCGAGCCAGAAAGTCATGACAGCGTCATTAATCTGGAGACCGAATATCAATTGATAAATTCTGTGTATGAGGAGAATTAAGCTGGGGCATGGAGCATGGAGTGAAGTGAAGGTATCAAATTGTCGGAGCTGGCAGGAGAAAGCTCGGGATGACGTCGGTAGGCTCCACTTAATATACTACAAACTCCCTTCCTTAGTCCGGAGTCAATAATGTGTGTGGAATCATCCATTCAGAGCTAGCGACATCTACTCTATTTAATCGGCTTTAGCATTCCTGGGCTTTCTGCGATGCGGCACACCCCATCGCCCAGCCGAGCTCACGCTTAATAATGAGACTACCCTGAAATTAACCATTCATCGTAGGAACAGTCACCCTGTAGGACTCTGGTGTGAACTTCAAATAGTTCTGCTGTTGCAACGATTCAGGGTCTACATATACGCGCAAGTGCATATTCTCCTTTCCAAGATTGTAAACTCGAAAGATAACGTAAATAGTACTTTCAGGCACCGTCAGTCTAGGGTTGAGCTTGTGGGATTGCATCTGCAAGAATTTAGCATATTCGTCTGACATGTATGTGTATACATGGGTGTGTGTGCCATTTATGTTTTGACTGAACTTACCCGCCTATATTGGCTCTTGCTCATGAAGAAAGCACTCTCCCAGGCCCCGGTAGTAGATTTCACTTCTATTAGATACTCAGGAGTGGCACCTTGCCATCGACTTCCTGGTAGGTATCCGTTGTCAATCATAATACGGGTCAGCACAGACGCAGAGTCCTTATAGCTTATGTCCGACACTTCTGCTTCATTCCATGGGGCGAGGTTGTGATACGCTGGGTGAACGCAGACTTCTTTTCGAATGTTGCTCTTCCAGTTATCTCGGCCAAATCCAGGTAAACCCATATTAAGCAGCATCTCGAAAACCTTGGTGAGTTTAGTTAGCTGACCTAGTTCTTTGCCATGTTGCATGATTTGGATGATGTGTCATGTGAACTTACAAACAATTCACCGGCTGCGCCGATTTTGATGTCATGTGCTAACTGATTTTGAGATCTGACCCCAAACGCAGAAACATGTTCTTCACGCGATATGCCGGCTGCCGCAGATGATGTGCCAATCCGGGCATAGAAAGATGGAATGCGAGTTCGCCGTGCTTTTACAATGACTGTATCAAGTATCCGTACATATGTTGATGCTTGTGTCAAGGATGCTAGAGGGTCATTTTGAAGGCCGTCGCTATGTCGACCAGCTGTCAATGATGCTGGTTCGGGCAGCAGTTCAGCTCGATCAACGGCTACGTACGAAGACGATGATCTAGAATGTGATGTGATCGACTGGATTTCGTTCGATACAGAGAAAGATGTAGAAGGTGACCTATTTGGACGGTTATTGATAGGTTCTTCTGACACTGACTCATAAGTAGTGTCGCTGGAGCTGTCTGGTCGCTCAATGGAAATGTCGACATAAATTTCCTCCCCAAGAGAGTCTCTCTCCACTGCCCGCTCAAAAGATCTCAAATCACTCTCTGGAATCCTAACAATCCCGTCTTCGTCCAAAACGTCATCCAAAACATGACGAGAGGCCTGAATGACTAGTAAGAAAACTTTCGAAGCTCCAGGATTATCAATGAGAAGATAGCGTTCTAACGCATTCGGTAATTGAGTCAGGTAGCATTTCTCTCTTTGTTTGTCGTCTCTCGGTACAAATAGAATTAATGTACCATGTACATCTTCGAGATGGAATATACCTCGGTCACTGACCGCATTTACTGTGAGGTCACCATAAGATAGCCGAAGGTGTTTTGTGAACCCGTCACTTTCGTAGATCAAGGCTTGCCGGAACTTATGGTATACTTCCTGGCCATTAGTTTGAACTTTCGAGCTTCGATAATGCAGAGCACACCTGTTTATAGTTAGATACTCTTTGCTACTGTAACGATTGTGAAGAGAGTTAGAATGATTGGAACAGAAAGTCACTGACCGAAAAAACGCTTTTGACTTGGCTCGGAAGACTTGGCTGAGACTGGTCGAGGGACTCTCTGATCGCCGTCGAACCATGGTAGTTTCTTGCACTACCACAGACATATATCGGTCTGTAAGTCGCAAAGCAGTCAAGAAGGGATATATAGCGTGTATCTCTTCGAGTGAAAAGTCCAGGACAGGGACCTTTTCTCGGAATAACTTTTCATACTCCCTTCTATCTGCGACAAAGAAAACATCAGAGGGTCTCATTAACCTGATTTCTGCTCCTGAGATATGAACTGGTAAGCATATCAATTGTCTCAGGCCCTTTAAACTATTCCGTGTTGGGCTTAATTCGTTGATGCAATTGATGGTGTGTTTGATTTCGGCTACGGAAGGGGAATCTTGGGCAGCAAGAAGTTCTAACTGCTCAACATAAGTTGCTATCGTTGGCGTTTGGATATGGAGGTTCTCCGTGAATAGATTTGCTAAGTTGGAGTATATGGCTTCAATTCCATACTGCCTGCCAACATTAGAAGCTTCTGTCCAGACACATGATGTAGGTGCAACCCAAGCTTCGTTTTGTTCTGTAGGTATATATATCAATTCGTGCTCCTCAAATTCATTCCTATATGTGAGATTTGAGAACTCGTTAGTCCAATAAGGCTGATACTGTGATAAGGAAAAAGATCACCTACCGGACAAATTCCCAGTCTTCATCATTCTCTGTGGCAGTCAGGAACTCAGCATATATCGCGCATATATTATCAAAAGATAATTGCCCAGCAGGTGTGGTACGCTGGAGATACTTCAGCTCGTCTAGATAGGTTCTACAGTCTGCATCTCTCAAATCCAGAATATCTTGGAAAAGAAATCGGACTCTGGCGTTTTCAGCGTACTCTGCATATTGTGAGAGGCAGTCTTTGACGTGCAAGGAGGGCAACCCATTCCAGACACAATTTTCTAAAGTTGTGGTCTGAACTATGCGTCTGGGGATGCAGACGGCTGATAATTCATCAAGTATTTCGCTTGGAGAGTTTAGTAAAGAATTTGAAAGAGTATTCACAATATCCGTACCTGATCCGTTCCCCATCATTCGCGTGAAATTCCTCGAAAATCTGCTCATATATGTAGAAAAGACCCGTTTTCAAGTCTTGTCCAGTAATATTCTCAGTCAGAGCAGAGAGAATATCACTAAAGAAATTCAAATCTGGTTTTGTTCCAACGCCGAATTCTTCAAGAAACTCATACCCAGCAGGTGTCTCCGTCACCCCAGAAGATGTACTTAGATGGAGGAATAGGTTGAAATAACCACGAAGGCACGCTTGATTACATATTGCTGTTAATTGTAAGGTGGGCAGATAAGTAGCTTTGAGAGGACTTTGAGTATCGGTGTCAATACATGGAACCTCAGCATTTCTAATGGTCTCCACGATAGGCTGGGTTTTCTCGTCTTCGTAACTACTCCAGTATCTTTTGAGAGTTCCCACTAGAAGTTGAGGTTTGTAATTGATGATTCTGGTAAAAAGATGAGAAATTCTAGATGAGGATTTGCGTCCTAACCTGGGGACTCTCCGGATTAGCGCTTTCTTTTTTAACCACCGTTTCCACGGTCGATTTTCGAGTTCTTCATGTGAAGAAACGGCCTCAAGGTAGGCGTCATGTAGAAGGTGAATACCGGACAGTCCCTCATCGGATTGGAGCTCCATTGCTAAATGCCTAGTGCCAAATTCACCCGATGTATCGAAATAGAGATCATCAACTGTTATGGGACGTCCAAAAGGCACGAGTATCCGGTATATGGGAACCATACTCTGACTCATCACAAAAATGCAATTGTTCAATTCCTTGTCATCAGGGAGTGTCTGATAGAGATATTTTAAATGAGCAATAGATTTTGAAAGGTTGATATCTCGTGGCGGGTTGTATCTTTTCGAAATCCGGTCTTGGACAAGGGAAGGATCACATTTCTCTACTCCAAGAATTTCATATAGCGACTTCCGATTACAATCTTCAAGTGCATTTTCATCCACAACTTTCAGGCGTAAGTCAGCGGGGATATGGTTTCCAAACATATCGGTAGGGAAATATATTTTCTTCTGAAGGTTGTTAGAGAGAGATCCATCTCGCAAGGGGATCAATGGTAACTCTCTTATTCTGTTTCGAATACTCCGCGCGCTAGAGCTTTCTAGTCCTCGCATCAACAAACTCGCTACGCGTGTATGCCAATCTTCGTCTTGATCCTCATGAAGGAATTGTGGATCTTCCCCTTGCAAGTATGGCTCTAATCTTGGAATTAGAGTTTCCCACGTTATGTCTCTTACACCCAAAGCCCGCAAATATCCAATATGCGCAGGACGATACTGGGCTGACAGGTAAGCCTCCTGCCGGAGATCCTTGAATAAAGGCTCGCCATGCCTGTCACAATGCATATTAGAGAGTAGTACCAACTGAGCGGGCGATTTATTGACCCCTCCACGGGTCAGAAGAATAGGATAATCTCTCAAGAGCGTTATTATCATATCATGAAGCCTATTCCAGAACTCATGGGTAATATCAGGACCTGGAAGAAAGCAGAGCCAATCGTATTGAAGTATTGGGTAGGTGCAGAATTTATTGACTGCACTGAGGAAGACTGTGGAAACATGCTTCAGGAGAGCAGAGTTCCAAAGGCACGAACGTATGTCTTCTCTGCTCGCAGCAGTAATAAAATCAGACTGGATAATGAACTATTACATCGGATGCGGTTAGTCTTTATTATTCAATGTATCACGGCAGCACGCAGCTTACTTTGAAGCCAAAATCTCGAATAGGAAGAAATGAAAAAACTCGCTGAGGCTCAATTATGGGCCTTGAATCGTCAGTAATTGGAAAGGCAAGGGTTACTTCCGCCCCGTTCCTGTTCCTTCGAGCATTATCTGAGGGAAGACGATAAAAAGTCCTTCTTTCAACATGAAAGAACTTCACAGAAATTTCTCCGTCTATGTTTTTTATGAGATTTATAGTAGAATTGTCACTACTATCCTCACATTCGTAGCTGATTTTACAAGAAGAATTGTCTTCTCTCTGAACCAAAAGCTCGATCCGCTGGAGCTTAGGAAGAAAAAGAATAAGTGCGTCCGGGATACTGAAAAGATCATTCTCCCTTTTATCGAATTCATCAAAATGAAGAAGAGACAAAGTAATTCGAGTTCCATTATAGAAGGTAGGCGTGTCTTTTTCGTTCATAGGAGTTATCATGCCCATTCCGGAGTCCTCTGGACGATGTTCAAAAGAAAAGTTGAACGGACCCGATTGAATTTGAACCTTTTGAGCTACTTGAAAGACGGATTTGAACCCTATTCCCTTTTCGCCAATATAACCTAGTCGATTCACTTTGGTGCTATCGTTGACTTTGCAGATCGAGCGAACGTCTGCCTCGTTAAAGCCGTCCTCGTTATTTTCAACAACAATTTTTCCGGGCATGAGAGTGAACTTGATAAATGGAGCACCATCGCGTATATGCTCGTATGAATTATCCTCCGCATTTTGAATGAGCTCAAGCACAAACCTTGACTCGCTAGAATAGAGACCATTCGCGATCGTGCGAGTAGACGAGCCTAGTTGGCGGAGAACGTTCTCCAGTACTCTCAGCACGCTTTCAGAAGTATTTCGCCGATCTTCAGCACTGAGGCCTCCATTCAACTCTCGAATTCCATTCACTATTTCTCGAGCTCTTTCCGTACTAAGTCTGCTCATTTTGAAATCAAATGGCCTGTGAGTAAGACTAGTGGTTATCCAGTCATTTGGAAGGCGGAGCAGCAGCACCGAGTCGATAGAGCTAGGACTAAAGCAGGATCAAAGTCGGAGAGAAAGACAGAGAGGGACCGATAGGAGGGGTATTGATAAAGGCCTGCGTACTCTGACGTTCAACCCTTTTTACATGCGAATACTTCAAGTTTCTGGTGTGCTACGTACAATCAAGACTACAGGATCTGGGACGCATCGTCCAGCGGCTATCATAGTACAACACTTGCGTCGTTTCAGACTTTCAGTGATGAAATACACCATAGGACACGGGTCATTCGGTTCGATATGCATGGTAAGCCTATTGTTGCCGAACAGCCGTCAGTCGGAAATCTCGTTGGTCGAGAAATGCGGCGCAGACGAACGGGAGAGGAGAGAACCACAATCAATGCAGTTCCTAGTTAAGCGCCGCACATTAGATCGACTAACCCTTGTCTTTTTCAACTTTGCACGCCATTTATTGGTTCATCGTCTGGCGGTTACACCAGGAGAAATGTCAGGTGGCTCTGTGCCGCTGTCCGAAATCAGGTCAGAAGCAAAGGCCAGTTTCCCATTTATTATCCTGTCTTACAATGATTAGGCCATATGTGAAGCGAATAGTCTGGCAACAGAGCCCACTAATAAGATTTATAGTCTTTTGGATTCCTAACGATCTAGGCATAAATGCTGGATATACCTGCACATATATTTGGTAGTGGTACGAGGCCAAGAGACATGGCGTGCTGACCGAGTCTCAACGAACAAAAACTCATCAATAGTTTTATGTTCTTTCATCAACCAAAACTACCGCCTCTGCCCAGACTTTATGTTGGTCATAACTTTCGGCATTATCATTCCCAAACGCAATGAGAGCTGGTTGAACAATAACGAGAATAGGCTGCCTGTCAAATCGCGTGTCTTCCTCATCAAGACGATGGAATCTATGGGCACTCATTTCTTCTCGCCCTGCAAAGAAATGAGTGATACGCTGACGATTTAAACATTCTAAATACGATCTTTGTGTCCATAATGACAATGCCAACTGCCCTGCATAGCAATATATATCCGCCAATGCCTTCTGCACCGACTTATCATCTCCACTTGATTGACCAAGCAAGTACCTCGCTGGTCCACGGAGGAACTTCTCTGCGCGCTCAACACCCATTTGAGAAATATTCGCTTGTAATCTTCCCGTAAAAAAAATGTCCGATTTTGAAGCTCTATCTGTCGCCTGCAGAAGCCGGAGCATTTGTGATCGCCAAATGTGAGCTTCTGTTTGATCGACTGTGTCATGTCAGCAATATCTTGGTTGTGAGGACCCCGACTTACTTTTAATCATAGTTTGATAAAGATTCAAGAGTTGTGTCGTAGTTGGGAAGTCAGTCTGTCCTTGCAATTCCAATGTGAAGAAAGGATTGCCGATTATGGTTTCGAAGATATCTTTCGAAAGTATTGCATGAGTGAAAAGGTAAGGAATTCGCTTTTCAATATGTGGAGGTATTATTTGAACTAATTGGTCCCAGTCATGTGGAAAACAATAGTTAGACATGCTTCGCATGATTTCTTGCTTTTGGTCAATGGAAAGACTTTGTGAGTGTTGGTCACCGAAAGCTTTGAAGGCGCTGTTCTTAGCCCACTTCTTTATATTCTCTTGAAGTCTTGAAAGATAATCGCGAACTTTTGCGTCTTCCGGGGCTATCCATCCGCCATTATTCATGGAGCGAAAAGCCCGTTCTTGAATTTCACTCAGTGTCTGTTGTAGATGAGCGTGAGAGGTCTTTAATTCTTCCTTCTCTTCGGCCACGTACTGTAACTGCCGTAACTGCCGTAACAACTTTTGAATTTTTGATTGGTCATCACTATGTTGTATATTATACTTCTGGGCCCTCTTGGATAACGCCTTTTGGGTTTTGTCCAGTTCCGAGCGTAATGTTGACTGTTCAAGATTGGTTTGTTCTAGCTCAGCCTGCAAACATTCTAGTTTCGCCGCTTGCTCTTTTTCAATGCGCTCGGACAGATGTGTTTCCGGAATATATTTCTCTGCATTGCTTTTGTCTTGCATTTTCTTCATCGCAGTGGCTTCCTGAGTACTATTGACTCGATACTGGGCAGTAATAGCGTTGGGAATTTCACCAGAAAACCGGTTACTAGTTGTCGTAGAATTGGGATCCCGCGATACATGTGGACCCTTTTTGGTTGCGACCTTCGCTTTTGCTTCAGCCGTTGATGACTTCGGGGTCTTTAATAGGGCTCTTTTAGACTCTTTGGCTGCTTGATCTGCTGTTATATCCTTTTTTTTGATGGTCAATTGAAAATGATAGTCATAACACGATTCAGTATGTTGTTGAAATGGATTAAACACACACCTCTTCCAGCTGCTGAATTGATTCTTCAGTAATTTCTCCCATCTCGCCTTTGCCCTGAACCCGACCAGCAGGTTCTGATTTGGGGGAAATTGCACCGAGAAAGCCGTTTATTAGGGTAGAAAATGGCATCCTTGTCAAAGGCGAGTCTCGAGAACATTTAATTAAATAGCGAGGCTACGGTCCAGGAGAAGTTTTTACGGAAAAGCGTCAGTAAGTCAGTAAGGTGAGAACTGGACTATGGGAGGTAATGGCGGGGCTTTGGAACATGGGGATGTGATGCCCATGCCTTAGCCTTGGACAGTGTCGCCAGTCCTAAAATAGCTTCAAACAGCCTCGGCGCTACGAATAATCTTTCTATTGGCTGCCCACGCCTGCCCTTATCCATGCAACTTTATGCAGTTAGCTATTTCGAGTGCCCATTAGAGGGGCGATGAGTACAGTAGTGAATGACGAAAAGGCTATATGGCATTGATTCTGCTCTGATCCGCTATAGTCGCCGGATGCATGCATATTGAGCTCCTATTATTCTTTTGCGACGAGTGTAAACATGTCTCTCGGTAACATTAACTACAAGTTAGATTCGCTCTCCCTGGCTTCAACAAAAAAGAAAATCATCGTTGCGGTCGACTATGGAACAACTTTCACAGGTACCACTTATTATTCTTATCCTTTGAAATATCCTAGCAAATGCTGAATGGAATTTTATCACTAGGAGCGGCTTACGTGAACTCCTCCAGCGACGTCAATATCATCAACATATGGCCAGGAACTGGAAGAGATACCGACCACGTATGGAAAACCCCCTCCTGCATTGCTTATCCGGACGAGAACAAATCACTCGGGAAGCGGAAATGGGGGTTTCAAGTTGAACCAGGGCATAAGTGCTACTCGTGGACCAAATTACTCCTCGACAAGAACGCTCCTTTAACGAAATATGATGACCCGATGTTGGAGAAAGCAACAAAATCAGGCATTATGCAACTTCCGCCTGGGAAAGACGCTGTGGGCGTTGTTGCAGATTTTCTGACCAGTGTATATGAGCACATTATGCACATCCTTGAGAAAGGACTCGCCGAGGAAATTTTGGGCATGTCCGCCATTGAGTTTTGGTTCACAATGCCGGCGATATGGTCCGATAAAGCCCAGGCTGCGACTAGAGAAGCGGCGAAAAGGGCTGGCTTTGGTCCCAGGCCTGAACGACCTTTGGACACAATCTACATGATCACTGAGCCTGAGGCGGCAGCCATTGCGGCGCTAACAAGAAGCACAACTGACATAGTCAGTGTTCCGGTGAAGGTAGGGCCTCAAAGGTTTGTTATAGACAACAGGAGTAACCGTATAAACCTAGTCTGGGGATGGAGTCCTGGTTTGCGATTGTGGAGGAGGAACTGTTGTGCGTAATGTCTAGATTTCCTTCCCCCAAGAGGGCAAAGTCGAGCAGCGAAAACAGCTAACCATACAAGGATATCACCACATATCTGATAAGTGAAACCAAACCGAGGTTGTCTTTTGAAGAACTTTGCACTGGAACCGGTAGGTATCCCTCTACTGCATGATAGAATTTTGTGTAATTCCTCGTGTAGGTGGGAAATGCGGTTCGACCGCACTTGACCGAAACTTCTACAAGCTCATGTCGGAACGATTTGGTACCGCTTTTGATGCGCTACCAGCAAAACGAATAGGACCTGGAAGTGCTTTCATGAGACGTTTCGAAGCTCTCAAGAGAAATTTCGGTTTGGACACGGAAGATACTACCTATGAGCTTCCTCTCAACATCAGATCTTCACAGGTTGCCCCTGAATATTACGACGAGGAGGAGGGATCGGTTATTGTGTCTGAGTAAGTAAAATTCTATATATCATTGATGAACACTCTTATCTCGCAAAATGGACCAAGGTCGTGAGTTGGCGTGAAAGCTCGTTATGCTAATTCGTAACCATAGCCAAGACCTTCGTGATGTTTTTGACCCAGTCGTGGATCAAATCATACGTTTGATAAAAACACAGATGCAAGATGCAAACAAAGAAATGGAAACTGGAACAATTAACGTATAGACAGACGAATTATCTACTGAATTTCATATGCTAACAATTCAAAGAGAATCATTCTGGTCGGTGGTTTTGGAGACTCTGAATATCTTCGACAAGCAGTAAAGAAAACATTTGGCTCAGAAAAGAAACTGACTATCACCATACCAAACAATCCGTTAGTCTACAATCACCCGTATTCTGTATAAATGAATCTCTGACAGTATGCTTCAGACAGAGTGCCATCGTTCACGGAGCTGCCCTTCGTGGTCTACACGGAATTCAATCTACGGCAAGAAGATGCCGTCGACATTACGGATTTTCTTGGGGCATATACTTTCGCGAAGGTATCGATGACGAAAAGAATTCGTATTGGGATGAATACTACGATGCGAAAATGGTACGAGGCATAACTAAATGGATGATTAACAAGGTATACTAGGGGCCTTTATCTCCTTGCCCCAACAGAACATGCTCTAACTATTCCACTTAGGGCCAAAAATACCACCAAGACTATTCTAAACTTGTATCTATCTCTCACACGCATTGGCCTTCTAATTCGCTAAAAAAATCAACTGAGCTATATTCCTGCGACCTGGTTGATGCTCCTGAACGAATAGAGAATCCTAGTAAGCTGTAGCCCGACCTTGGGTGCTTAAAATTCCCAGTTCTGAGACTGAAAGATTCTAGGTGTCAAGTACATCGGTACAATAGATGTTGATTTCACTAAGGTGGATCTCACTGGGTTTGACAGCAAGATTATATCAGGAAGACGGGTATATATGCTGTCATACTCGCTCAAGGTAATATTTGGTGCCCAGGAGGGAATTCTTAAGTTTAAGGCAATTTCAAAGGGAAAAGTGGTGGGAAAAAGCGAAATCAGCTTCGCATCAGGAAGTTATTATTGACGGCTTTCCACAGAGCACTGAAGCTTAACATAGAAACATACACTTCAACTTAGAATTGTTCCATGAAAAACATCTGTATTGTTATCTGGCCACTTATGAGATATTTGTGTTACTCAAACTTTCCTTTCTTTCATCTTTGTATAATTGATGGAATAATTCCGACAGGTGCATAGTGGCAACAAATAACATTCGCAGATATAGGCCATAATGACACTAGCAGTCCAGTACCTAATATACGAAAGAGTAATTATAGCTTGAGAGTCTCATAACATATATACGGGCTCAAGAACAGCTTCATATATCTATAGCAGGCAAGTCTGGGCTGGAGAATCGCGAAATCATTAATCATTATGATCCAATTGAACGGCAATCATTTACAAAACCAAAATTGTTGATTTCAAGTAGAACAAACTTGATTTATTGGCCTCTATTCTGATTCTGCACATTGCTCAGGAAATTCAGCAGACCTTCTCTCAGCGCACCCATGCCGGCAGTCATCTGCGCGACCGAAAGCACATGTGCCATGCCCATACTAAGCGACATTTCTGCCGCCCATTGCCACGGCTTCTGGTGCTCACCCGGCAGCGCATTGAAATACTCCCATCCCATCACGCCTCCAAAATCCGGAAACTGCAAGATCAATAATGCCAGCAGCGGCCCGATCACCTTCGACGAGACGTAACCCTGACTGCCATTCTCAGCATTTGTCAACAAACCCAGGACGACCTTGTTCGGCGACCAGCCCGTGGCAATGATGGCAGCATACATGCGCAGATCTTGCGCGGTACCCCAGCCATTGTAAAACTGAGTGTTGTACCAGCTAATCTTCGACCCTCTGCTCTGTTCGAGCTCGCGGTAACTGAATCCGGAGAGATTGCCCATCCCGACTAGCGCTGCGGCAACAGGGGCCAGGGTGATGATGAAATCATCGCCTAGATCGGCTTTGAGGCGATCGATTAGCCTGATGATGCCTTGTAGAGACATTGCTTCTTCAACGTCGAGATCAAGCCCCTCGAGGCCGTAGCGACGGATGATAGCGAGTAAGGGCGTATAGTAGGCTTCGAATTCAAGCTGCAGCCCATCCAAACGCTGAAAGCTGCCCATAGCGGCGCCGCCTAGCATTCCCATGACCTTTACCCCAGCTCGCTGGATACGCGGTACTTCTTCCCATAGGGCATTGTATATGGGGCTGTCTGGGGGATCATCGTTGAGGGTGATGTCTCCTGGGCGTCCGTTGATATGGAACGCGGCTAGGATGACATGTGTTGTCCCTGTGTGATTGTCTATCAATGGTGAAATGGGCACGTAGCCACGCTCACGCGGTACTATTGTTTGGTGATAGAGTACTATGCGGCGCTGGCTGGGAATTCCAGCCTGAGGCAACGGTGGCATTCCAACACCTCTTATTAGCACCAACCTAGGGGGGTGGCAAAACGAGGGTCTTTCAGCAAAAGGACGGAGAGTCAGTCATTCAAATTAATTATCTGAGTACAGGTGCTCTGCCTAGTTGCCGGATTTCAACGTTTCTTTAAAAAGAATTGTCGTTTTGACTGGATCGTTGGGCTTCGTGTACATAGATGACTAATCAACGATGCGAGCGAATCAAGTGCAATCCTTACAACAATCGCTAATATTCTAACTACACTGGATATAGGGTAAATTGTATGCTGTGAAGATCATTTTACTAAGTTGTATATTTTATAGAGTGACCAGCAGAAAACGGAAACAATGCGTTGAGCACCTACGGAGGCAATCCATGGTTAGTGACCAAAGTATGATCATAGTGGCCACAATTCGCCTCACTTTGCCTTATATTCCGCTCAACGCCAATATTTCTGTACACAGTTTTCTTATATTTAGCACTTACTCAGGTGAACAACGATAATCGATCTTAGTCATGACCGGGAGTCGGCGGATTTACGGGCTTTCCAGCCAATATCTTCTCCGCTGCAGAACTGGGATCTTCCAAATGACAAACTGTGCACCTCGGTGGATTTTTAAACCCAGGTTTCTTGAAAGTAGTAAGGGATTGACTACGGCTACAATCCCACGGCGAATTCTTCAGCACCCGAATCCAGGCAACTTTGCCAATCGGCCAAAGGAGGAAGTGACAGAAATTGCCCGGAAGGGAGGCCGAAAAGGAGGCAAGGCAAGAGGTGTTGGAGGGTTTCATGATATGGATCCTGAAAAACAGGTAAGTGCTGACTTACTCGAGCATCGATTTTTATTATATTCTGCTGTTTGAATTGTTTAAACCAATAGAATGCGGCCATCAGCGAGCTGACAATCCCGTCTCTTTTCACTTGAATAGCGCAAAATAGCATCTAAAGGAGGTCAAGCTTCAAACGGCTCTTTTACAAAAAGAGGCGGGCGTGCCCGAGAGGCTGGACGAACAGGTGGAAGGCCGCAGAAGCATATAGCGGTCGAAGACGAGTACGCAGACGTATTTGAATGAGAGAATAAGCGACGGCACCTTCCTTTCAGAATGGGGCGCATGTATATTGAGATGAAATTAGGTAGTTTACGGTCTGTCATTCCTAGAAACGGGGCTATCAACAGGGAGAGAATAATAGCACTAACAGCCAAAGACTTGTTGCATCATAGTTATATAGTGTAACATTTACTCAAGAATGTAAAGCCAATAATCGTGGTCTTCGTACAAATGGCAGCTTAGCAAGCTGAGACGTAAAGCATACCCTGTGTCCAGGAAACGACAACTCAATTTTTGGACCCTAACGGCTGATGGTATTTTCCTTAACTGACTTTGAGACATGGCAATTTGGGTGATGATGGCCATGAAGAAGCATTGAATGGCCTAGCCTGGCCGCGTCGTCAATGCGCAATATAATATTTATTCTTTTATAAAGAATCGAATGCGAGTTGGGTCACAATGATGGCAGATTCACGATAGTCGAGAACAAGAGTGGATTTTCCGTCTGCAACTCTCTCAAAGTCTATATCAACCTTTATCATTCGAGAGAGATCCAGGTCAGTTTGCTTAGCTCTCTCTGTGACAGGATCCTGTGTAAAATGGTCGCGATTCGTATTAACTGTAGGGGACAAACTCTCTTCCTTTGCTCCGCTTTTGATTGTCTGTCCAGCAACAAACAACTGGGAGGACTTCTCAGGATAAAGATGCAATACCCGATTCGGGAGGGTATGAATTTCTCGAATATAGTGATTCTGCAAGCCTTTGTATGTCTCCCGTTGGTCGGCTGTACAAATAGATAGATTCGATGCCCGCTGGAAGAATGCTAACAGATGATATGCTAATCGCATTCGAAAGTTAGTCTGCATAATCAGCGCCCCACCGCAATACTGGCCATCGAATTGATCTGGACAAGCATCAGGTACAAGTGGAGAGTATATGGAGCGGTAAGCAATGGGTTCTAGGTCAACCAATGGAAACGTGTCATTTCCTACTGCCTCAGCATCTTGTTGGATGGATGATGCATTAGCCAGAATCTCATCTGGCTGGTTTGCATTTAGGAGACATTGAATTTTTCCACAGAGCTGGCTGCACTGGTGGCAGAAGACACATGTTCGAAGTCTTAGATACTCCCATGCGTCACAATATCTGTAGAAGTGCTGAAACCATGTGGTAGCTTCTTTCCATTCCTTACCAAGCATGTATGTTTGCATCTCCTATATTATGGAAGCCTGAATCAGAGAATGCAATTAATTGTACATAGGTACGTGACGCACCGTATTGCTTAAGAGAACTAGGAACAAGTCTCTTCCGTCCTGCCGTGAGAACTGCTCGGGGCCTCTCACTCTGATTAAGTGGGCAATGATTCCAGAGTGAAATAGCCACGAATGGGTGACATTTCTTTCATCGTGAAGGAACTGTGACTCGCATAGGATTAGTAATGCCTGGAATTGGTGCAAATTTCGTTTCTCACCTCGTACATACTTAATAACCAGATGGCTAACAAGGTGTCATCACTTTTGACTTCTTGAGGATCTTGTAAGGCGGTTCGTAAGGTGGAAATGGCCGTGTCATATGCTCTGACGTGGTTGGAGACAGTATTGGGAAACTGCACTTTGCGAGCTAGAAAGATGGATGCCACCGCGTTGCAAGCATGATAAAGAGCAGATGAACTTTTTGCCTGAGCAATCACACGTGGCATAATGCCGTATATGTCTCTTGATAGATCCTGTGCGGATTGAACACACTCCATGAAGAAAGGGAGGATATGAATATCCCAAGACTCTGTCAAGGAGCACAGGAAGGCTGATGAATGTTGCACAGAGTTTCTTGAGGTTTTAGCTTGGTTTCTATAATCAACACAGTCGTTTGTTACGGTAATTTGGTTTCGACCTTTGGTGAATATATTGGACTCCCCACGACCTTGTCTTTTTCGCCGATCTTTGCCCAGAGCACCGGTAAATGAGGATACATTTTGAATTCGAAAGCGAGCAGTCGCTTCATCGCGGTAGCCGGGACATGACGATCCCTTTCTCCGACACTGACCACACCCAGGACGCTCTAGGTCGCACTATAGAATTAATGGGTTCGTTACATTAGTCAACTGTCGACCGACAACACAGATTTGAATGGTCTATGTGTACCTTGGTACGTCGCTTTCGACATGTATGACAGTCACGGCTCGGTCGACCGACATTTGGCATTGTAATATGGAAAGAGGCGAAAGTTTGTTGGGTAGGTGCGATGAGATGTCTGGAGAATCGAGACTGCTGATATAGAAAGCTAAGGAAACTCGGTGTAACCCGCCATTGGCCTTAGCCTCACGCGGGGGCCGGCGCTAGTCAGCTTCAGCTTTGGCAAATCTCTCATGGCATTTTCCTACTGGCTGAAACGTTGGGAATATAGATAGCAAGCTCTAATCATCCTGGCCGTGTCTCAAAATAGATATCACACTATACCTAAAAATCCGTGGTACTGTAAATCACCGTGAGCACGCAATTCAGATGCTTTCTTTCCTCGACTGAAGGCATATTTGTCGCTGAAATAAGCTCGATATAAGGACTCGATATAGGCACGTTTGTTAGTGAAGCCAAAAAAAAAAATTAAGCCTGGTGCGAATGTCCTGAGTTAAGCAGTTTTATATGTGAATTCAAACTTGACGTAGTGCTTATATACGGGGTGCTTATAGTGGCGGTTTACTGCATATTCTATTAAGTGGATTCCTGGTACTAGACGATTATAGTTGTATGCCCTTCGACATCCGCCACATTGTATGAAGATATAAAAAATATTAAATGATAGTGCTATTAACATTATTCAGTATCGTAATTTTGGGTTGTTGGCAGAGATACTGGAATAATGCAAAGATTGTCTGCGGCCAGTCTAATACGGCAGTAGAGTAAGTTTTCTTCAGCCAAATAAACAGTTTAACAAATGCACTGTCAATGACTTCCAGTTATTTTTGAGGAATTGAAAAGTTGCGCCGACTTTACGATTGGCATTCTGAATTGATCGAGTGATGTCAAGTATGAGTTCTCATAATTTCGACTTTGTAAATTGACCGCTATGGCGCTAGACCATATCGGGTGCAGCGTAAACATTGGCGCTTTCTATTCTTGGCGGTTCGTTATCTCCCCTCGTGTATCGTGACGCGCCGCACCTCATGCATATTGTTGACAACACGTTGTTTTTACATGTGAGCCGTTTGCAGTCAAGGCAGTATGCAGAATTGATTCCATTATATCCCCTCATCTTATGAAAAGGGAGCTCGCCGTAACCATGCCTATATTTACGTCGCCATTCCCGACCACGCACGACACCATCGGAGCGTCGACTGCGGACAGCCCGGTTCATGTACCCTCGTCGCCTGTCACTGCTCCTCAGCCGCACAATGATGTTGAAAATGGCCACGAAGAATCGACAATCAACGATAACGCCGGGGAGGAGACAAACAAGAGATCATCCCAGACTTCCTCATTCATGGGCCTCGCAGTAATCGACCTGGACCAGAAACTCGCGCAATACTCAATCGACTTTAACAAATTCCCTGGCGGCAGCAAGGACAATGAACACGCGGCTCCGGAGGAGGAAGACCCAGTAGAACATGAATTCGGCGGACCGGAGGATTTGACGATGAATCTGGACAAATATCTCCTTGGGGATGTGGAAGAAAAACAAACACATGATAATGATGATGACGACGATAGCTTTGAGCTGGAAGATGATGACGATCTCCCAGACTCACCATCTCCGCTACCCCGCCAACATCACGAGATGGAAGAGAGTGAATTCGGTCCTCCAATTGACATGTCGACGCCATCGCAATTCATGTGGAAAAAGAACGGTGCCGGTCTAAGTAGCAAAGAGGAAACGTTTCTGGAGGATATTCAAGAGAGCTTTGCCAGCTCTCCAGAGAAATCCACGAGTCCAACCAAACACAGTCGTAAAGATGAAGAACTGGAACGGAGCCGGACTTTTACGACCGTGATACAAGAGATTGAAGATTTGCACGAACAGCGACGAGAGAGAGATGAAAGGATCCGGATTAGTCAAGAAAAGCTTGCAGCTGCGACGGAGATGAATGAGTATTTGCGCGCCGAGTTGAACCGGAAATCATTGCAGTTGGCAGATGCGAATGCTAAGGTGGGCGAGGAAGCTGTATTGCGCGAGCAGATTCAAGTGTTGAGAAAGAAAAATGAGGAGAGACTTTCAAGCGACAGTGGGCTTGCGGACCAGCTTACAATGCTGCGTGAGCAATTGGATAGTGCACATGAGCAACTTAAGAAAAAAGATGAAGCTTTGGAGGATAGTACAGCTAGAATACGCGAATTAACGGCTACCAAAGAACAGCAACTGCGTGAGAAGAATACCGAAATCGAAGATCTCAAAGCGCAGGTCAGTGAGCGTGACCTAGAAATGGCCAGTCTGGATGAGGAACTGGCAGACGTAAAACAGGAGTATGCGGTCATTGAAACCCGAATTGCCGCGCTAGAGACTCGCAATGGACCATTAGAAGAGAAGAACATCTCGTTAGACAAGGAAGTGAACCGTGTCAAGTCGGAACTTGTCGCCCAGAGAAACTCACTGTCAATCATGGCCACTGAGCTCTCCATTGAAACTGACGGCAAGACATACAACGATATAATAAACTCCGTCAAAACACTTCACAAGACCAAACAGCCGCCACCAGCAAAGCAAGAAGGCTCTGCCGAACTCGAAGATCTGCGGAGTAACCTCGCCAAAGCTGAAGCCGAAGCACACCAGCTTGCTACCGCCAAACAGACCATCGAGACAGAATGGAAACAGTCGCAGGAAACACTGGCCGAGTCACGCAGCTTCATGGCTGCTGTCGAAGCTGAAAACACCCGTCTGACAGCACGCCTCCAGGAGCTCAGCTCCAACCTCGCTGCTACTCGCGAAGCGCTACGTTTATATCAAGAAAAACACGCCAATTCACCACCCCCAACAACCCCCGACACTACGCGCCAGGAAATCCAAACCCTCAAAGAAGCTCACGCCCATGCCATCGCGGACCTCCGCGCATCTTACACCTCCTCAACCACCGCGCTCCGCTCTCTCCTCTCCTCATCCGAAACCCGCGAAGCAGACCTTCACTCCCAACTCCATACTCTCCGCACCACGACGTCAACCCAGGCGTCCCAAATCTCATCTCTAACCTCGCAAATCACCGACCTCGAAGCAACCCTCGCCGTTAAAGAGGAGACATCCGTCGAACTCGATCGGCGCATCTCGCGGGCCATCGAGAAGCGTGAGCGCGAGTGGGAGCGACGAATTGATATTCTGCTCAAGGAGAGGGAGAAGATGAGTAAGGCGTTGATGTGGGCGTGGGGGGAGAAGGAGGTTGGGAAGAAGGGTGGTGGTAGCAAGAGTGGTAAAGAGGTGGAAGAGATGCAGAGTGAGAATGGGACTGGGCAGGGGTATAGGTATAAGTATGTTGTGAGGTAGTTTTTTGTTCCTTCATGTTGGTGGCGTTTGGGTGCGTGGGATGATGCATGGAATGGAATTAGGGACTTTGTTAGGATTGGAGTTCTAGTCATGACACCTGTTTTAAATGGAATAATTCTTATGCGCTATGCACTATGCATCTTTGAAATTGCAAGTCGTTATTCATTAAACTAAATTATGTCAAAACCACATTGCCTCGGAAACAGTGAGTACAGTGAACAGGGATATCCGAATAGAACATATACCGAAATAGAAGAACAACGGAATATAATCACCAATTGCTTCTCCATACTATTTTACACATCTTACAACGCCCCATAGAAGCTGGTCCTCTCCGCCCCGCGGTATGTATTCCCTATTGTTATCTTCTGATCCTCACCTTGCGCCACACCTCCATCAGCAAGATTTAATGATCTTCGCGCTCTAGCTTTGTGGATGGAGTCGGCTACGCTTTCTTTGCCTGATACGCCGCCGTATGTCGAGCTTCGTGGACGTCGTGTGCTTGGGTACAATGTTGCTGTGTCGTCGCTGCATGGAATTGGGGGCAAGGCTCGCGATGGGTCGAATCCCCGACCATCGTTTGAGTGGAAGCGACGGGTGTACGCTGGTCGAACAGGAGTCAAAGGATGGCGTGGTTGGGGATGAACCATGTGCTGGTGGTGTTGACGACGGTATTGTGTTTGGGTTCGTCTGGGATAATGTTGCTCTGGATGATGAACGGAGTGATGAGGGCTTGGGGACGAAAAAGGAGATTGTCGGTGTTGTTGGCGCATACTTGAGTGGTTGCGAGGGACGCCGGAAGTATGGCGGCGTTGAACATGATGGTTCATGCTGCCAGTGCGGTTTAGGGGTCTTTGAGGTGTCTTGGGGTTACCATGGCCGGCATTTTGAAGTGGTTTCAGCTTGGGCGGTGGAGGAGGCACGTAATCTGGATGATGGGGATGGTGAATGGACTTTGATTTTGGCATCATATATGATGTCCGTGACTTTCTAACGACCAGAGGTGCCGAGGGAAGAAATGGTGGAACGCCATTGGGTTCTGTCATTGACCGAACCCTTGTGCGAGGTTCATCAGAACTATCTTTAGCGTCTTTTTTCTTTTCGACATCATCGGTTGGTTGGCTTGACTCTGCTGTGATATTTCCTCCAGAGAAATCTCCGGGAACATCAGTTGTCCCCATCGAATTCAGCGGTGGGGATGCAAGGGCACGAATTTGTGGATCTTCTGATAGAAGTCCTGATGCTGTCCAACCTTTGGGTAGAAATTTTTGCGACGAAACCGATGATTTCTGCCTTTGATGGTTCACCTTGGTCGGACTTTCGGCGATATCGGGAAGTTCGGGCTGTAAGGGTCTGGTATATGCAGTTTCTGTGCCCGGCCGAAGAGTAGAAGCAAGAGAGGGGTTTTGGGAAACATTACTTCTAAAGCTAGTTGACCTAGTCACCTCGTCGAGGGGCGAAGATTTTGGTGACGATTCTGTTGGTAAAGTAGAGATGGAGGGTCTCACAGAATTGGTTCGAGTGTTGACATGTAGCTGTGGTCGAACTAGATTAGGACCTGAATAGCGAATACTGGGTGGTCGGACCGGTGTCTCAAATAGGGAACTATCGTTCGGCGACCAGTATAATTCTCCGTTTCCCGGGCCAGCATCTGGATGACGACAAAGGTAGAAGATCTCATGTTTTAGAGTTTCACTCTCCCAACTTGATTCTGAAAAGATACTGCCATCACGAGGAGCTCGTTGTGGCGCACCTATTGATAATAAGGAGGCGTCGTAGGGTCTCTGGCAGACCTGGAAGCAGAAAAAGAGCGCGGATGAGGTGAAACTAAATATCTATTAGCATCTGCAAGAGTGAACCCGAGGTTTTGACATACAAACTCAGCATGTCTATAACTACCAAGCTACGGTGAATTTGACAACTGACACCTGCTTTCCAGAACTGCTGGGATTCCGAGAGTGAAAGACAGCCTGCCTGCTTTGAGACTGTGACTAAACCAGCCACAGAGGCTGAAAGCCACATCACAATCATGATGCGAGGAAGATGAGAGCAGGCGATATGAAGAGCATTTCGAGAAAGGTTCGACCCCGGTATTTTTCGATACTGCCACGAGAGCAATGTGTGGAGAACCACAAACGGGACTGAGAGGAATGACTGGGTATATTGTAAGAAAGATTATCGTCAATTTTGGATGCATACTTACCGCTACAAGGCCAATTATCAGGCTAGGGGTCATGAACTCGTCGACCAAGCGGGTTCCATAAAGATACAGAACCAGCACACATTCCGCCAAAGACTGCAGAAGCACCAGGTATAGACCGACAAAGATGACTCGACGGATCCATGCTTCTCTGCCCGCAGCTGTTCCCGCTATTGCTGAGCCAAACATGGTGAATATGGATTGGTTACTGCTTGGCAGCGTCGCAGAAATATTTAGGTTCACACCATACGGGGAGAGTAGGTTAAGCGTGTTGATGATCGAGATGGCGATGAAGTCGTAGTGTAATATTTAGTCGATGCTCGTCATATAACGGAAGTAAGAAGGGTCTTAGAGGTGAATTGAGAGATATGCGGAAAGTTTGGCATCCAAAGTCTCAGCAGTCGCAAGCTGGGAGGGAGCACGGTGAATAAAAACGAGCCATGGAATTAGGGCTAGACGCGTAGACGCGAGCATAATTCAAGGGCGGGGAATGCATCATCCATCGTGGCGGGCATAAATAAGTGAAGTGCTTGGCCTGCAATGGCAATGCGATGAGAAAGGGATTACGGGCGCGAGGTGGTGGTTCTGGAATGTCGAAAGACGTGATAAATTCCAGGCCTGCAGGGACGCGAAAGGATCACCTGTCGACGCGAGCCCTTCTCGATGGACATCACCGAGCAATGACAGGATAGTTTTGCGGCAGAGAGTCATACTGTAATTTTTTAGCCCTTGGTAGGAGACGTTGGACGAAACTGTCGATACTGCAATGAAGGGTCAGCCATCCAGGGGCCACGGCGGCTGCAGAAGACCGGCCTAACCGCATCATAGATGTTTGAGTGAGACAGATGGAAGGGATCCATGCCGAGAGAACGAGTTCCTGGCGTATTAGGCTAGATTTAATGATATTGCAATAATGAAGATGGGACGAGGAGATCGAAGAGTTGGTTGTTGAGATGGAAAGTTGAGGCTGTCCAGGAAGGGCCTAAGGGTTCATTCATGCCTGCGCTCCTTCCGGATGACGCAGTAAGTCTAATACTACACAGGAGGCTTATAAAAATAGAGTATATGGCAGTAATAGAAACTACCAGTAATTCCCACCATGACTTTTTTATTTTCTTAATTGTAAATATCATTAATATTAGTGAATGAGAATGGCATACGTATCCATCGGTGTTTGTGCTGTCTGTGCCTGAGGTTCTCGGGGAGAAGCCTTAACTCCCCTGCTTCCGTCCGCCAGAAGCGGAATTTGCCGACCCGACTGACGCGGCAACCAACAATTGTATTATTGCTTGCCAAATATTTTGGACTTGATTTGGGACTGGTTCTTTTCTAATTTGGTTGATGGTGAACGTAGCACTCCTCTTTTCCAGTATCTATGGAAATAGGAAATACGTTGGTCATTAATTCAATACTGGCAAGGTCAAAATAAAGACGATAATTTTCATGGCTATTCCATTAGCAGTTTTGCTACGTAAAAAAAAAATAAAGCAATGATCTTTACTACATGCCTGTTCACTATCGAAGACTACACCAGTCGTAGGAGAGACGGCCACCAGTCGATAGTGACTGACTGGGACGTGGCCTGTAACTAGTTATGATTAAATATTATGTCAGAAAACACATGCGACTATAATATCACTAGAAATCCTTACTAAGGGAGGGTTGCGCCCTTTTTGGTATAGTGGTTAAAAGCTCGATGTATTATTAATGCCACCAAGGTCGGGATAAAAATAGCCAAATCGGAGTTTCCCCTGACTTCAAGGCCGATTCTTGTGCTTGCTCATTTTTGTTGCTTGGGCTGAGGCTGAACTACTATGGAGGAATAGTGCTCATTTAGTTGGGCCTCGGAGGCAAGCGGACTGACTCAATTTGCCTTGTTGGCAACCCCACCATAACAGGCACTGAACTTTGAAAGGCCGTTTGGCGCCGAACTAAAAAGCGCGGCGAATCACGGCCGCACGCTTAGCTGGAACAATTCGCATGCCGCGCTGCTAGTCAGAGACAGAATATGAAATACTTGGCGGTAGTGGCTACTAGCCCCTCCCTAACACTATGATTGTAGCGAATGTAAGCCACTGGTGTGGGCAACTCGTCGCTCAAGGCTTGCGCGAAGTCCACTCAAATAATTAGTTTGGTGGTGATTATGTTTTGTGGCAGTCAGTTGACCCGATGCAGACTAGGTGATATCAGTGGAAGCTATCGATAAGGTGTGCGCTGAACGGTAGGAAATAATAAGAAATAATAAGAATACGAACGATGCAGGAACAGGAAGGAAAATCGGCGATCCTGCTGCTTAGCCGACGCGGAACATCGCCGGACCATGAGGCTCTGTCCGATTCTGGTGAGTTGCCTCTTGGCTCCTTGGTGGTGACTAGGCATACCTGAATCATTGAAAATTCACTCTCTAGTTTCTACCGGACTCCCCATGTAGCTTAGTAGATGTGCTGGGCAGCCTATACCAGGCACGCTTCGTGGGTGGGCGTTGGGTGCTAGTCATGGCTCGCTTGCAGGGTTGTAACAGTCCGTAATAGCGTGTATCAATTCCCCCTTCCGATTGGCCAATCTACACTGGCGGAGCGGTCCAGATGCGCGATAAGCTGTTGCCCCGCTTTGCTGCGCCAGTATCAATACAGTAAAATACGCATTGATACAGCAAATCATCCATAATATTATGCATTGTCAAGGGTCGAGGCGTGATGCGGGTGATGTGATGCGGCTTTTCTCTCATTTCCCTCTTTCTCGCACCTGGCTGACTATGGCTCGCTACTGGTCCCTGGCTACACCGTGCAGCACAGGAAGGAGCACATGCACATCTTTATCAAATTTCAACCCGGCTACACACGACTCCACCTATCCAACATGTGGGAAGCGGAGCTGGTGGTAGTGGTACCATGGATCCTGCGCTGGGCAGTGGAATAGTGTCTGTTCGGAGAGATGCATACGGAAATTAAACAACCAACGCCATCTGACCACTGTCTGTCATGGCCGGAAGCTCGGTATTGTGAACGGCTCTGTGCCACTCCACACCCACGAGGCAGTTGTGTGGTGCAAGTCTCTTTGCGGCTGCAGTAGTTATGCCACCGTCGTATCCTTGGCCGGCAATAACAAGGCCGTGGCCTACTGTCCCACCCATGGCATCTGTAGTCGGCATCGGCGGGGACCCCTATCGTCCCTGGTGCCTGCATTTTACGTAGTGTAGTCCTCATTTAAGCTGTAATGTCTTCTGCTGTGCAGTGGTGCTGTCTTTCTTTCCTCTACTCATTCACTTGACAGTATCATCTGGCAGGTATTTGCCTGCGTCCTCTCTTTGGCTGCGTCTACATTCGTTTTACAGCGCGCCTACATTTTAAAAACCACGTTCATTTAATATTACACTCGTTCGTACTGTTTGCTATTAAGAATGACTGTCGGCTCCGCCTGTGTGGCTTCGGCCCTGAGCGAGGTCGCCACCTACTACGTATATTTTCTCTTTCTTCTTTCGCAACATTGTCGAACTGACCGATTCCTAGGGCCAAGGAGCATACCAACCTCGTCTAAGCACCTTTTGCTCTGAGACCTCGCTGGATATTATTAATGTTGGCTTTGTTAATGTATTCCCCGATGTGGGATTGGGCGGATGGCCCCAAACAAACTTTGGAAATCAATGTGATGGGAGTGTTTATGTGAATGACGGCACGGATACTGGCCTGCTTTTCAATTGCCACCAGATTATGGAAGACATTCCCTTGTGCCAGGCCGCCGGAAAGAAAGTTTTCTTGTCATTGGGTGGCAGTTATCCCGGATGGGGCCAGGTCATCGCGAGTGAACCTTCGGCAGTTGCTTTTGCTGACTGGATCTGGGGTGCTTTTGGTCCGGTCGACTCGAAATGGACCGCTTTAGACCTTCCCCGTCCTTTTGGTGATGTAGTTTTTGATGGTTTCGACTTTGATATTGAATGGGGCAATGGATTTGGTATGCATATTCCCCTGTTTACGATATTCTGCTGACTGTGATAGGTTATGGATACATGGCAAGTCAGCTGCGTCAGAATTTTGACACCTATCAGGACAACAATCCAGGCTCCAAGGACTTTTACCTTTCTGCTGCTCCTCAGTGTTATGTTCCAGGCAACCTTTTGACTTCTGCCATTAGCTACGCTGCTTTTGATTACATCTGGATTCAATTTTATAACAACCCATCTTGCTCAGCCAATGTCTACGCGAATGGTGGTGTAGGATTCAATTTCGATGAATGGGTTTCTATCGTCAAAAGCGGCGCCAGCTCCAATGCTAAGATTTTTGTTGGTCTGCCTGCGGAAGAGTCAGAGGCTAATCCTGGTTATTACATTGGCTCCAGTAGCATTAAGCCTCTCGTCCATGAGTACATGAACAAGTACCCCAAGAACTTTGGTGGAATCATGCTGTGGGAAGCTACTGGGTCATTGAACAACACAGACTCTAAGGGACATGTGTTTTCTGACAGTGTGAAGAGTATACTGGTGGATGCTGCGGATACCTTGTGTCCTCCACCACCTCCTCCTACTACTACCTCAACAACTGTGTCTTCTACTACTTCAACGTCCACTTCAACTACTAGCAGCTCATCAACCACCACCACCACGACTACTACGACGACGACTTCTACTTCGACAACTTCTACGTCGACTTCTACGTCGACTTCTACTTCGGCAAGTTCTACGTCCACTTCTGTCGTGACTCCTACGCCAACGCCAACGCCGACACCCAGTACTACTGCTTCGTCAACAACATCCCAGTCGTCAACCACGAGTACTTCGGTTACCACCCCAACAGTCAAGCCCACTTCCACGCCGACACCGTCATCTCACCCTGTGCAAACCCCGTCCGCAAGCGCTTCGACTTCAGCCGTTTCTTCAGCGTCCTCGTCCAGCGCTGTTATCCCAACTACTCGGTCTTCTACACCTGCTGTCCCCTCGTCAAGTGCTGTCGTCCCAACTACTCGGCCTTGCACTTCGACGCACTCTTCAGTTGCCTCGTCTAGTGCTGTCATCCCGACAACTCGACCTTCTACACCCGTTGGCTCGTCCAGTGCCGTCGTCCCAACTACTCGACCTTGCACAACGACCCCATCTTCAGTAGCCTCATCCACTGCCGTTATCCCGACTTCATCAAGCGCTGTAGTCCCGCCCGTTTCGGGCACGTCAAAACCAACTACAACGCCATGCTCTACTGGAACTCAGTCTACAAGTACCACCTCCATTTCCGGGACTCAGTCCTCTGGTTCGTCCGGGCCCACCACGGCGCCTACAACCACCGGCACTCAATCCACGTCGGCACCGACCCAGTCACAAGGTTCTTCGACCACATCCTTGACAAGCGCACACACCACCGGCTCCTCAGGCCCAGGATCTGGCACCACCACTGGTTCAATTACATCTGCGCCTTCAGGGATCACTACCACTGTCTCTGCTACCAGAACTGAATCCTCGTCGTCGACCACCACGGTTGTGACCACCACCTTCATCTATATTTGCCCCACTGGATTGGCTACGAGCACCATCACCTATACTGAGACTTACTGCCCGTGCACTGCCACCGGGCGTCCTTCGACTGAGCTCCCCACCGGTTGGAGTACTACCGTCACTGTCTGCACTGTCTGCGGGCCAAAGCCTACCACTGTGACGTTGACTGTTCCACCGGCGGTTAGTGCAACGGCGACAACTGTTCCGGGTGGCTCTGGCTCTGGCTCTGGTTCTGGTTCTGGCTCTGGTTCTGGTTCTGGCTCTGGTTCTGGTTCTGGCTCTGGTTCTGGTTCTGGCTCTGGCTCTGGTTCTGGCTCAGGCTCTGGTTCTGGCTCAGGCTCAGGCTCCGGATCAGGCTCAGGTCAATCCCAGCCTGGTAGCGGCATCTACACGACAGTCCCCGGCGTCGCCCACCCCAGCGGCCGACTCCCATCGTCCACCCTCGCCGTATCTGTCACGTACACTCCTCCCGTGCCGAGCGCCACCAAGACCGGAGTCAACCCAGTCTACACCGGCGCAGCGGGTCGCATTGAGCTGACCTCCTTCGGAATATTTGCTTCTCTAGCCTGTCTCCTAGCTCTCCTATAGAAGCAAAACAAACCGTGATGATGCGCAGTGGGTCCGAGGTTATGGACATTAGACGATATGCATGCCCAGTAACACGTTTACTCTAGTATTTAAAATTTCCTGTTAATTTTCGCTTCTTCTTCTTCTTCTAGGTCAATTTTCTGGCAGGTTTTGTGTACACTATTACATATGTAATTAGGGTAATTCTATCGCTCCTTGATACATGCTCGAATTAACCAAGAAAGCTCCGAGTGTACATACTGTTCAATATTGGCTTTAGAATTTATTACGGGCTGCATTTAATTCGCATTTGCACTGTTCTTCTATACACCACTGGTGATCTATTCGATGCTGTTTCGCAACCTACGCTCCTGATTATTGCCCTAATAGATCTTAGGGCTATGTGCAGTAAACCCTATGTATCGAGGTCATAAACCACCCAACATACTTTCACAATTCCTTATCAATATATTTACCATTCGATTTGTTAGCAATAAATTTATCTCCTCCGACTAAATAAATATTAAATAGCACCTGGGTTTAAATCACGAACTTCGGCGTCGTATCTGCACAAGCCCTGTCAGCCCTGTCAACAATTGCCGTTTTAGGCCAAGGCAGATCCGGGCGGCTCGTTTAGGCGCCAAGAGGGTTTGGGCGGTGTTTGGTTTGCGGCGGCTGTGCGGGTGACTCGATGAGGATGATTGGATAGATCACGAGGCTGTTTGTTTAGTTTAAATCAATAAAATGAATGAATTAATATGTGTGGAGAGTAAGGTCAGGTCAGGTCGGGGCGCAGGAAGTTACCTATTAATTATACCGTTCTGTAGGACTGATGGAGTTGCCTTGGCGATTATTCTATCTATAACGCTTTATCAGGTCATTGAATAGGTAGACTTTGGTGGGGTTTGCCATGTCATTGTGAAAGGATGCCCATTCTAGCGGCCCTCCCCGATCCGCCTTGCGGCGACAAAGAGCTTTGATGTGGTATATAACAAGTTTCGGTTGATATCTGTTTGTTTTCTCACTCTGCTTTTTCTGCACACGACCTGGTGAGCGATTGATATCTATCATTTCATCGGACACCCGGGGTTTTCTGCTCCATACATATATCCTCCAAGTCGAGGCAGGAGATGTATCCTCATAATCAGAATAAACCTGAGGATATGCAGAATCCCCCCCAGCGTATACACCGCTCCAACCGAGACCGCTGTCCCCAAACAACATTTTCGGTTCTGACAACAATGATTTACTGTTACGCTCTCTACAGACTCCCAAACGCAAGTACACATGGCCAAGTACGAATCATGACTTCACCAGCGAAGACTACGGCGTAGTACTGCATTTCCTAGCTGGCCTGATCATCGTCTGTGTTGGGGCTCCGAGTTTTGAGCTGTACAAGCATCCCCTCGACGAGCTGCCTGGTGGTGGGATACTGCAGTATGGACTCGCGGGCTCGATTATTGGGTTTATCATGGTATGTTTATCCCCATTTTATAGTGTAAATGTTACGGCATGCTGATGTGATGTTTTATAGGCTGTCCTCTCGCTCTCGATGCTTGGCCTCGGCCATCCTAGATCGAAATGCGGGTTTTTCTTCAGGGCCATTCAAATGATGCTATACTCGCTGGCCGGCGCGCTACTGGGCTACGGGACGTATGTGACGCGGGACAACGAGGCGTGTGCTGCTGGCGCAGCGCAGTCGGAGTGCTACTCTATCCGTAAGACTGCGGGTTGGCGATGCGGGATTGTGATAGTAGCGATGTGCGGGGTTATTGTGTCAGTATTCCCCAATTTTTCTATACTACCGACATTTTGCCTTTGGCTTTTTAATGTGTGGGTTTGGCTGATGGTGAGCAGGTTGCAGGAAGTTGTCGTGCGGGCGCTGTGGGCTGTGGCCGTGATTAGAGCTGGCAGGATAGGGAGACAGCGGGAGGCCGATTTAGGAGTTTAGGGGAATGTACGATAAGAAATTAATACGGACTGGCGTTTGCTTTGCTTATCGATAAGAACAGTCTGGGATAATTAATATAGCCTTCAGTAATTTCACTATCTAGTGTCTAATTACTGTCGATATTGTCGCATGCACCGCCACGGGCGGTGTCGCTGGCTGTGCACCGGTCGTGGCTGCTAAGGTCATGTACACAGCCACACTTTAATGATTTTCGCATTAATTGTAGCAATTAATCCATTACTTAGTGTTACTAGTACTAACTGTTATTCGTGCATGCAACGTCGCTACAGAGTACGAATGGCATACTATTGGCCCGCTATTGCCAACGGATCGTCCCGCGCGTGGTGAAACGGTGAACCTGAATAACCACCTCAGAAATGATATTATAATTAATACCCGAAGATCGCTCTTTGTTTCTCTTTCACGGCTGCCTGCCAGCTCCTCCCTGAGGTGACACAACCCGCTGACTCCTGACTATCACGACTATCGCTGCGCGATTTTTATGCGTTGTCTAGGGATCATTGGTGGACACGGCGTCTCGGCCTCTGACAGCATGCAGCGGGCCAATGCCGTTAGGTGTTAGCTACATATGTACTGGAGACTGTTACAATCCTTCAAACATGGCGGGGTTGCCCCGCCGATTATCTTCTAATAAGATTAAAACTATTCATTGTAAGCTTAGCTCTTATGTTGAATGTATAAATTGCTCGAGTCGCTACTTCGCGTTCTCCCTGTTAGCATCTCCCCTCAACCCAATTTTATTTTCTTGTTCTACCACCATGGAATTCGTCCAAAAAGCCATGGAGACGTTTAGCTCCGGCGGTGGCGGCAGCGGCCGGCAGACGGAATTCGTTGAGGAGCGCACCACTGAGTACTACTCCGGCCCTGCACAGTCGGCGGCTGCAGACGGTGGCCCTCCTCTCCCTCGTCCATGGGTCGCTCGCTGGGCTGAGCAAGACCGACGCTGGTACTACCTCAACGAGGAGACGGGCCAGACGTTGTGGGAGCGACCCGGCGCTGGATATCAGGGCGGATATGAAGGCCAGCGCGGTTATGCTGGTGGAACAGAGTATTACCAAGAGGAACGGTATCAGGAAGCGCCGAAAAAGGACCACAGTCTTGCGTATGGTGCCGCGGGTGCTGCAGCGGGACTGGTTGGGGGCGCGCTTTTGATGCATGAAGGGGAAAAGATTCGTATGTCTTTTTTTTGTCCGATGTGAACATTGAATGGGTGAGTGCTGATGCGAGTAGATGATGAATGGGATGGTGAGAAGGAGCGTGTCGAGGAGCGTGTTGAGGATTTTCCGGAGAATGCAGCTGCGTGGACAGGTGAAAAGGTATTTAGTGCAGCGTCAGTTGAGAGGACGAGGTAGCTGACGAGAGGTTACGGTCAGGTCGGTGAAGCAGAGTACGGCGTGAATCGATTCGAGCAGGGTGTTGAAAATTTCCCTGAAAATGCGGCCGAATGGGTCGGCGACAAAGTCGGTGGTGTTGAGCGGTTTGGGGACGAGGTTGATTATGCATATGATGAGGGGAGGGCTGAAGGGCGAGCCGGATGGTGATGCTCGGATTTGGATTACTATATCGATAGTCACTATCACAAGCGGATCTCTTTGCCAATCTCATATTCAATTATAGACTCCTCACTAGAGCCCATACTTCCATAAGAGCTTCAACCAGCATCCATCTGTTCTCTTCTTACTAATTTGTCTAACAGGACCTGCTTTCTGATTATCTAGGTACCGTATAAGTTCTCCATAGTCTCGGACTATTCAGCCTGCAAGACAAAAACATTCTCTTCTTCAGTCATACAGATAAACTTGAGAGCAAATCCCTCATCAACAAACGTCTTTTTCACAACCTCCTCATCGTTCTCTGCCTAAGTTCATAAGTTGCGTCCTTGGCATATGTTTCACAAGTCTACTCCGACGACAACATACTTTTCTATATACTCGTTACCTAGATCGCCCATACAAGGTCCGAAGCTTTTCCAAACGAGGAGCTAGAGTCTTTCGATTTCGAAAAACTAACCTCAATATTGGCATCTAGTAGACCAGCCACAGAGTTTTCATGCCGTCAGCAGACATGGACTACGACATACCACAGTTTCCGCTGTCTATCCCGGTGAGGCACTATTCCTAGCCTCCGATTTCGGTATCATTTACTGCAAGATAAGGAAGAAGTCAGCAATTGTAGTACCATGACATTCAGATATTTGTCGCGGCAGGCAACGAAGCAAATGTCGGATTCATCAAATTCCCTCCCAATGTTGACTCGACCACCTGCATGTTCATGTTCATGTTCGCCACGGACGCCAACGACAAGGCGGCTACGAGCTCAATATGCCCGTCCCACGAACAGGAGGGTTTTCTATAATTTTGCCAGCTTTGGCGAAGACGCAGTTTCTCGACCGGACTCAGAACCGCATCGGGAATGTCAATAAAAATGTATATCTGAGCAGCGGCCGCCGGTCTCTTGCTCGGTTTCCTCCGGTGAGTTGAAGGTGATGCGCACATAGACAGATCAGATGATTGTGCTCTCGGCTTCCCATCTGCTTGCAATGTGTTTGATTGGTCCTGATCAGCAGCGTCGAATGCATCGTCATCGAGGAATCCGATTTATATTCCAACCCAATTGCTGTCATGCGCTCCCCATGTATTGATCAAGTTTATAGCCATGGCAATAGCGGTGGTGGTGGTGAGATTAACAAGATCCCTAGATTTGGAAATAGTGGAGGTGACTGACAAGGGCGTTGGAATGATGGCAACAGCGATGGATACGAGGGTTTGCACTGCACGTGACGAAGTCCCTCGGACAAACTTAGATCAGCGACCTTGGGTTAAAGCGTCTAGATCTAACCTTAACATTGTGGAAACCGAAATATATACCCGCCATTCTATAAGGGAACTAATAGTGCTATAGTATTGAAAACGCGGAATGACATGATATCAGATATTCATGAATAACAGACTTCATGTGACATGAGATTTTGAATCCGAAAAGTGTCTAGGAGATGAAAATTAAAAAAAAAGAAAGAGAAACCCCGAAATAGAAAGGCCAATATACGAGATAACACCCTTTAACGGACGGTGTTATCCCTAACGCGGTAATATATTTGTAAAGGGGAGCGAGCGGTAACGACATGTCCCCTGTTCCATCTCAATGGCTTGCGGAGTACAACCACCATGTGTCGACATCGAAAGATAGGTTGAAGCCCTCAACCGGTGAATCGTTGTAACAAGAGCTTTGACTAGAGGGTTGATGCATACCATCCACCCCAAAATATCTTGTGGTCAGATCTGCCTGCTCCCAGCGGGCACTTGTCATGGATGACGATGGGACTTCCGACGACGGGGCTTCAGACGTCGGCGTACTCGATCTCTCTGCCGACGATGTTGCTCCTATACAGACCCCAGGAATGGGGAACAACGCACGTTTTTTTGCTGTAATCAGAATTTGATGATCAGTCACTCCGTCAATAATGTATCACGGTGAGGCTCAGACGCACCTTCAAAATAGTTCTCACATAGGGCATCGTCAAGCTGCCCGGCATGGCGTGCTCTTATATGGGCCTTGAAGTCATTCTTTTTGTCAAAGCGAAAAGACTTTGAGCAAGTATGATTAGGGCAATTTATTTTCGGAATCTGATGGCGTAGGAGGTCGTAATGGCGCGCAAACTGGCGCCCACAATCGATACAGGTTACTGGCATGCTTGCAGAGTTTATAGGGCTTGTAGGTTGCTGATACCTTGACGGATGCAAAGTATTTGAGAGCGTCTCTCAAGTGCAGTTTGACTTTGGTTCAAAATACCAAGGAACGTGGACGAGACGCCCGGGACTGGAGTATGCTCGAAAGAATATTCAGTCATCGTAGGTATCAATCTCCTACTCTTCGGGGGAATTGAATTATTTATTTATAATTGGTATTTTCAATAGAAGGGAAGTTGCGACACATCTGAAGAGGGAAGAGTGCGATTGAACGACGCCGCGATGCATACGGGTCGGGGTGCTAACTCCTTTTGGGGTAGCGATTTCGCGATGTGGCGGACATTATTGGTCAAGCGACTCCAGCAAGCTTAATGGGAACTCACACATGGAAAAGGGAAAAGCATAGGGAAGAGGCCATTGGGCAGCGGCCATTGGGCAGCCCCTTCACCCTTTGATTGGCCTACTCTCTCTAGCGTGTTGCTAGTGCCGATCACGGCCTCCTTTGCGCTTATCCCCTCCACCGGCCGGGTGCGCGCCGTGCCCGAGTCGACTCTGTGCAAAGCGCGTATTGGCGGGAAACAGTGGATGGAGAAAGGCTAGAATCTTGCCTAATACTTACAACCATTATCTCCTCGATCAGCACCAGTCACTCCGGTTGTCCCAGGAGCGGTTTATCCCGTTGACATCGAGATATGGCCAACCAATGTTGTTGCCCTGCCTGGTGAGCGGTTAGTCTTTGAGGTTTCGTTGGGTGATATATAGGGGGCAGGTCTGTTTGAGCACAACTCTGATGTCGACCGATCGGAGGCAAAGCTTCATGGCACCAATTCAATCGAGTTTAATCTAGGTTTGAGGACTGGATACTTATTCCTGTGATTTAACTAAATTATGATAAGATTAAAATAAGGTTAATATCTTTATAAATATCTTTTATTAATAATACATTTTTTATTTCCTATTTTAATATAATGAACTAATTGTGAGGCCTGGCAGCAGCGAGGCGCTGCAGCGCATGGCGCGCAGGCACGTGCTGCAGGCTCACAGGGGCTTATAAGCGTGCAAACCCTGGAATTGGGCAATGGCCCAATTACCTCAGTATTACTTTTTGGCATTTAGAGGTTGGCGGTGTCAAGGAGCCTTACACTAATGATTACTTTGAGATTAGAAATTAATAAATGTTATATAGATAAATAAAAAATATATTTTATTAAAATAATATATAATTAAAGTTGATTTATAAAATTAAATGATTGATATAAAGTTTATAAATCCATTGAAAATATATGATCAACCAGAGGTCTAATATTCCTGAAAGAACTAGGAGAACTAGAAGAACTAGGAGAACTAGAAGAACTAGGAGAAATAGGAGAGCTAAGAAAGCTAGGAGCTTAAAGAATTATAATATAATCTAAAATAAACATTAGATTTAAAACTCCTATTCTAATTTATCTTATACTAGCGAGGGGCTGACCTGCTGGGTTTTGGCTCGGCTTCCAGCTAGTGTAAGAAAGACCTGCTTTTAGGATGTCGGGAATATACTTTGGAGCATTTGAGTGATTGATAATAGAATCCCATAGAACCTAAAAGAAATGCAAAAGTTATAAGATTTCCTTACTGCTGGTTACCGCTTTAGTTGTTGTAAAAGAGGTAGATTGGATATACCAAGGTATTTTCAAGTGCGGTGATAGTGCTTCAAAGCTTAGGTTACAGAAAATATCTAGCTAACCAAGTTGGTTGGCTAGCATTTGTGGCACCGACGTCAAAGTTCTCTGGAATGAATTCATGTACCACTCAATACCCAAAATTTCAAACGCAGTGCTAGCCCTTCTGCGTCCACTTCTGCATTCACCTCTCTGATATCAATCCCCCGATTTGTTTAACCTTTCTGTATTAAGAAGTCATTCTCGAATCCAGAGTTATGCTGATCTTTCGTATTGCTGCTCAATGTTTGAGGAATAATGTGACCAATCTCCAGATCGCCGATACCATACACCTAGATGAAGTTTTACATAATTATTTTTAATTATTTCTTCCCGTACAGTAGCTAAGTTGGCTGTTGATGATCTACAATTGCCCCGCCGGTAGTGACTTTCCACGGATTTGTACTTGCTTGGAAGACATTTGTAGGGCAGTGCAATCGATATAACATAATTTTAAATTTGGCTTTGGCTTGTTTCCAATCCTGTTCGACTTCTAGCATATTTAAGACTCCTGGCACACCGCTAGTGGTCTAGTTAATATTGAAAAACCAACGAGAGAACAAAAACTCATAAATGATATCAGCACGTCATACTTCATTTTCACTCAGGATTAAAAAACATAAAGAATCAAAATATACAATTTCTTATTTTGGCAGAGCCTCAGTCAATATTGAACTGGCGTATTGTTCCTTTTTACACTTATTCCCAAACTGGGACAGGGGGCCCCCAGATAGAAGCTGGCGTACCAACCGACCGAATAGTTGGTGCATCCTCGTTCACTACATCACCGTCGGCATAGTGTTCAATGACGAAACCGGTGGTGTCAACCCAATAGTCAAATAACTGCGAGCCCATGATATGCCTGCCCACTCCCCATCTCGCCTTATAACCCTTCTCACTCAGCCAGCGATGACCCATCATCTGAGTGTCTAGGTCATCGACCTCAAATGAAGAGTGATGAACGCTAGTTCCTTTGCCATTGCTATCATGGGATGCCAAGAGTAGGCAGTGGTGATCGACGTACTCGGCGCCAAGGTCTAAATGGTAAAATGACATCAGGTCCGTACCAGAGCCATCTCCCTTGCCAACGATATCTGTTGGCTTGAAGTTAAAATGACTAGTGTACCAAACGCAGGTCTCTACGTAGTTGTCTGTTATGTAGCCAAAGTGACCAAGTTTATGGATCATGGCGGGGCCTTCGTTCAATCGATTGAATATACCTTGCCACAAGCAATCATGGCGAAGCCATCAATAACCGCACTTCGAACTGACGCGTTCGAAACATGAGGGAGAAGTTACATACCTTTGCGTTTTTTTTCTATTGCTCCATTCGTATTTGGCAGGCCATCATGCACATTCGAAATCGCCTTTGTTGGTATTGGCCTATCCTCCTGGCCGTAGATTACTTCAATAATATATCCATTGGGGTCTGTCACAGAAGCCATCTTTCCACCACCCGGGCGACCGGTGACGTTTACTACTTCAGCCCCTGGGAGCTCGCATGCTTGTTGAAAGTCTTGCGCACTCTTTGCAATAAATCCCACCCCATGAAACTTCTTTCCTTGCCCTTCGGGCGCCTGCCGAGCTATGTAGCAAAAAGGATCTATGCCATAGCCCCTGTAGAAAATATCATTGTTGGGCGACGTCCATGAGAGCTCAAAACCAAAGTCCTTCGCAAATTGATCAAATCGGGAAATATCAGGGTGTTCATAGATAACATATGAGAGTCGCTTAAGGATGATTTTGTCCAAGATTGCCATGTTGAATCGAATCTGCGTCGTTTCGCTATAAGGCTTCGGATAATCAAGGATCTGCCTTCAAAGTTGATAACACCGGTTTTATATTCCTGCATAATAATAATATAACATAACTTCCGAAAGAGATTGGTCTGGGGAGACTTCACCCCAGTATTGCTCCAGAAGATATGCATTGTCGGGCCACGGAATAGACAAGTCGGATAGAGCTGGGGTAAAGCCGCGGAACCTCACTCTTGGGGCCCCGCGTTTCCACTTATTGGTAAGAGACCCCGTCCAGTCCGATGACTTTCATGAGTCGAGAATTGCGACGAAAATGCTCTTCGATCTCCACACCTAGATGGGGTATATAAATGCAGAATATCGCGGAACTGCCGGGATACCTTAGCCCTGTTCTACTAACCAACAAGCCATAGTCAGGCGGAATGTCATTATCTCGTTGTACTCTCTTTGAGGAATTGGAGCGCAGCGAGCATTGATTAACCAGACGCAGAATACCCAACACTTCCTGAGTAGTAGCATGCCACGCAGTATTATAAAAGGCTCATCAAGAACTAAGCGGCCGATAGCGTTTGCATCGTTTGTCATGAGTGAGGAGTTTGGGATTCTCGTTTGATAACAGGGTATGTTGATTTCTATTAAAAACCCTACCATGGTTATATTATACGGTCTTCTAGTCTATATTGAAATCTTACATGTTGCCAGCCTTTATTCCGATCTGCACAGTCCGTGACCTTCGTCTTAGTCCCCGTTTCGTCGAATTTTGTGATCTTCATCTCCGGTCAGTTTCAAATTCAAGAGGAGATCAGAGTTGTAATACATATTTCATTTCTACTGCTCCGGCCGTGGCTGGATCCACGCCTAGATACAATAATACACCGTACGCATTGGTTGGAACATTTATGGCGGCTCCAAGTTCGTTAGCAAAACGCGATTACTCAAAAACCTAAGAAATAAAATAAAATTAGCCTCAGAGCGCTGCACAGTGGCTTCGGTGTGGCCGCACATTGACTTCGTGTCCTTGCCGACGCAAAGCTATGGCTGCAGCGAGCCCTCCTAACCCACCACCGATAATGAGAACCTTCAAAGGCTTCGTCTCTTTTCCTTCGATTACCGCAATAATAAAAATGGTGCGGTTGGAATAGTGTACAAAAGGGTAACAGATGGACATACAGCCACGACTGACTCTTTATGAATTCGATTGGGCAGGGTTATTCATAATATTGAGACCCAGCCACGGCTGTACCATTCCCCATCTTTGCCGGACTCGGTTAGAAATACCGCGAATATTACAGAGGTTATTCCCCGCCAATATTTCGATATTCTGGCTTCTCTACGAGGCGACCAAAAATTCCCGTGGGGGCGGGGCGTACGGACTGTTTGCTAAATATTACAACCCAACCCAATTTGATCCGATGAATTAGAATCATAATTAGATATTTCTTATTCGATGGCCTCGATAAATTGGCTTTCTGTTGACTAACATGCTAAAAAATTATTGCTTTTACTTGAAAATCATGTTACATAAGCAGAGAAAATTTCTTGATAGATGAATAGGAGAAATACTATACCGATACTTCCCTATTCATCTTATCAGTGTGATTCAATGGATCTACATACCCAATTAGATTGTCCTAGAAGCTAGCCAAACTGGTCAAGCAATGACATGCTGAATGTAATATAACATGTTCGACCCCACTATATGGAATTAACTGACTCCAGCCTATCTGCAAATATTCTTCGTCTTGATTCATAGGGCTCATCTAGTTAGAATTAGTTATGAGAACTTTCGGAGCTTCTTATGCGTATACGCGTGATCCCTCACATAAGAAATGGAGAGATCCAATAATTTCTGATATGTTAGTATAGAGAATCTCTTTAAGAATTTGATAGATCTTGAAAGTCTAATCGACTTCAACATAAATTCTTAGAATCTTTAGAATATACAATCATTAATTGTTATATATAATCATGCCTCAGCTATCTTGATGTAGATTTTATATTTCCAATAGCCCTGTAGACTTCGCAGTCTCAGTAAGCATCTGTTCTGGCTAGTACACTCTTTTCTGGCAAGACAAAGACGTTTTATGTTTTCAGGTACCTCTTCATTCAAGTTTACGACTGATAATTACCAACAGTAGAGAGATATGGCTTCGCAAACCCTGTGTTCCAGTTTAAAAGTTCTTTACCAGCTTATAACTTTGAACCTGGAGGATGTGAAATGTCTGATCTTAGCCCCGAATAAGTATAGCGGAATTCCAAGTGCAGCAATAGCGATGAAGATTCCAGTGAGGGCACCATACATCTGTATATAATTAGTGTCTGTAATTAGCCATTTGCCTGAAAAATTTTAAACTTACCTTAGCGAACCCAGACGCAGACCACCAAGGGACAATCCCATATAAGAAGCCAAAGGCTACAATGTTCTTGAGCCCATTGACTAGAAGCAATGCCTCTGCCGCAATTGGATAATAAGAATCCATTACATAAGTCATGCCAATGCTGGCGATGCCTGTGAGTCCGGTATTTATCAGGCCGTAGCCAACATATATAACGGCCCAATGAGACGTCTGATCACAACCAAATCCGAACATGAGAAGACCAGATCCAGTGAGGACGGTAGGGATTATACAAAGGACAAGTCTTGATTCGGGAAGAAAATAGCCGTCGTTTTTGCGAGCATATCGAGCGGAGTATATGTCTGTAAGGTAACCTCCGCACACAGCGCCGACAAGATTGCCAACTTTTGATGCATTAGTTGGTCCTATCACAAAAGGCATAGGAATCACTGACTAATTGCAGGGATATTGATAAGGCCTTGGATGCCTGATGAGAATAGATACGGAGGCGCTTGTAATACAAATGGGTTAAGAGTGCCGGAGGCAATGACGCAGGCTAAACATATCGAGTCTGGAAATACTTTAGTGTATATATGGACAAGTGTAATCCATGTCCTTACAACTCAAGAATGCCCACATAACTGCCGGATAAGCGATGAGAGGGAAAGGCCTGACAAAAAGATTGATGAGATTGGTTCTGGGAACGCCGGAGAAGAGTCTCAGGCTTTGGAAGTAGGTCATTTTTGATGGTGAAGGAACTTCAGAGCAATGAGTTGGGATGCTCTTAATATCATGTTGTACTGTATTGACGGGATTTTTGGAATTGTTCTCATCGTTTTCTTGGCCAAAGTGGCGTTCGTATCTCGTCTCTGGAACTAGAAACAGCACACTGAGGAAATTTGAAGCGGTGAAAATAACCATCACCCAGTAGAACCAACGCCAGCCGATTTCTATAGTAGATTAATGGTTATACCAGCGGTGAAGTCGCAGCAACTCACTTTCATCGACGAACCCAGCAAGCAGGGGGCCAACAGAGTTGCCACAAGATAGAAATATGATATATATTCCAATCTGAAACCCTCTTTCATGAAGGAAAAACAAATCCTACAAATATGTATTAAAGTTAATGATCATCTGATATACAATTCAGTCCTCACATTGATAATTGCAGCACCTAGGGCTTCAGTTGAGGATCCGGCAAATCCAGCAATAAATCGCGAATTCAGTAGGCTATGGTAAGATGTTGAAGTAGCTCCCCAGATGTTGGTTATACATAGTAGGAGAGAAGAAACCACAAAAACTGGTCTCTTTCCAAAATATATTGCCATTGGGACCCAAAAGAAGTTCTTCAACCAAAAATATTAGCCTTTTAAAGAAATCAGGAATGAGAGAACTTACGCCTATTCCCAGCAAGAGGATGGGATAATTGAGAAGATGGCTTATTGAGTTGATGGACTGCTCGAACTCCAACGACATGACATAGAATGCTGGTGTTATGCCTCCGATACTGAAGTTGGTGAAGAATGCGAAGGAGCAAACGTTGATGAAGATAACTTGCTTCTTCCACTGGGCCCAGTTGAGAGGATCATTGGGATGTTTTGACGGCTGTGGTACGAGCACAATATCTGAACCGCCACGATGCAAGTGGTGAACTGTTGAATTGAGACCTTGCATTGTTAGATTAGTAATAGTTTTGCTACGCGTGGCAACGAATCACTTTACTTTCAACCAGTTGTACAGTTCCATTGCTGTTGTCAAGCTCTTGAAGCGTGTGGTACATTATTTCTGTACCTAAGCAGATTCAGGTGTTTGCCGGAGGATTACAGATTCAAAATGAGACGAAGGTTGTATTTTCACCCGACTGGGAAACCGCCCATAATTAATAATTATATACCGCGTTATTTTTCACGTCTAAAGCCTGAAAATCTTCCCTGGTTAATTAGGTTTTTACAACAGCGGTGCTCTGGGTGGCTCCGAGTAACTGGTATATGGGGAAATATGGGGAAATATGGGGCGTACGCGGCGGGGCGTGGGCATCAGCAAAATTATGTTAGTCGCCCTGCTTTCCGGTGGGGTGGTGCTGCGGAGAAGAAAACAAACTTTTGGGGTACTTATCATGTTTCTTAGGGCAATTAATCAGTATTGACAATTTGGTTGTGGGGAGGGGTGTAGCACCTGCTCTTTCGTTCTTCCATCCGGTCCAAACCATGTACGTCGTTAGTGGTTTTCCGGACCCTATATCCATTACTTCGTATTATTTTATTCTAGCTCTCTGACCGTTAGAGAGGTCTAGCGAGTTGGGTTAGTAGCTATTGGCGTTATCACTGATTATAGTAGCAGTTCAACCCAGTTGTATTTGCAACCAGTAATGCAAAGATACTTAATTTGAGACCAGCATGAAGACATATCTAAGGAGGAAAGGAGCTTAGTAATATCTCTAGAGCTTCATGAACCTTTGAGTTCTTCGACATCTCATGAGACTGTCTAGTCGAATACAGAAGCCCAAACTTCACTACCAAAGATTACACAGCAAGAATGCTTAGGTAGTAAGCACATCTAGATTAGCCTCCAATTTCGGTAACCCCAGAGAGCCTTACTCCCCAACAGCTGGGGGAGTTCACCCCACATTACTACCCTGATTCCACATAGTTTTACGCCTGCAGTCTTGCTATACAGTGCTGCTGAAATTATAGAACAACTGATGCACTGAGTGAGATGTCACAGCTGCAGTTCACTGTTATGATCCATATGCATCCAAAGAATATCATTGCCCTTCACTAAATTTTCTTACCACCTTGGACGTACCGAACTTTAAGTAGTTCATAACTCTGAAAGTATATGTGACCCTAGTTTATACCGAAACCTAGCCTATATATATTATAGGATATAATTTTCAAAGTCATGGTTGCATCTTGTCTGAAATTAGGTAAGTAGAAAGTGATAGTAATGTGTTCATAAAGAATTTATAATGCCTATACTGAAAACGTCCGATGTTCTGATGACGCAATTTACGATCTTAGTTGCTGAATTTTTCCCTGGAATTTTGTACACAACATTCGAGGTCTATACGGTTAAACACGTATAGTTTACGTATAGCCTAGAACCATTGTTCGCGTACGTAGGATCCAGATATAAGATGTGACCAGATGTCATATTGCGTAGGGACATCCGTATTCCTGTTGCCCACATAGTCATCAGCGTTTAGATGGCTCTTGGTATGATCATTTATTACGATCAACTCCCGGTCTACGATCCAATACCAGCGTGACACCCAATGGCGCAGCACATTGTCCTAACCTTTCTGCCAACATAAACACCTAATCTGATTTATTCCTTGGAAATAAATCCAAGTTCGTTACAAGATTGCAGATCCTGAGCACCACAAGACGCGAACTCGACAGTGAGAGAGGCCAGAGAATCACTGAATAATTATTATTGGAGCGGACTGGTGGAGCGCCTAAAGGTCACTTGCTAACTACACATAGCATGCGTATTATCCTCAACAAGAATCCCCTCCAACTCTATCCTGGCTGTGTGGGGTTATGCCGTGTGGAGCAATAGTCAGTGGAGTATTGATGTATAGAGTAGTATTTTGTGGAGTAATATCACGCAAAGTAATATCGTGTGGGATAGAGTGACATTTCTCAATGAGAGGCCATAATGCATATAAAGCTCTAAGAGGAAGATGATCATACCAAGTTCTACCCATTTCTCTCAGATTAAATATCGCTTTATTCTCCTAGAGATTGTGGTAAGTATCATTCAAAATGGGAATACCGTCACGCTCCCTCAGCTTGGCATTGTGTGTTGCTAGTCTTGTAGACGCTGTCAACTTCGAGCCAGGAAACTGGACTATAGGGCAGGTGGTTCAGACCAGCAGCGGCTCGGTGTTTGGGCATCCGGCATCTGTGTATCAAGAAGTCTCTGAGTACTTGGGCATTCCGTATGCCGTTCCACCAGTAGGAAATTTGAGGTGGACTACGCCACAGATGTTTAGCGGTACGGATCCTATCAATGGAACAGATTATGTAAGTTTCTTTCTTCATCCTAGGTATTTTGTGGGTTATCCTGCTTTAGGTTCCCTTCTTTTTTTTTTAGCAGCATAGAGCTTCCAACTATACCAGGGCTTCAAGATGAAAATTGATGAGTTTGGGTAACCAAAAAGCAACTAAGCTCGACATTCCGGATCTTGATATGCCTGCACAAATTACCCTTTCTTTCAATGCTTAAAGTTGACTTCTATCAGGGTTTCTCCTGCCCAGCTGTTATACAACCCACCGACCTCAGTAACTTTCCACGGCTAAACGTCACAACAAGCGGCCTGACGTATCTCTCACTGCTTTCACAGACCGGGGATAAATTCGACGAGGACTGCATCACCATAAACGTCTGGACCAAGCCTCAAAGTGGAGAAGTTAAGAAGGCCGTTCTTGTGTGGATATATGGTGGAGAATTCAGCTCCGGAAGTAACGACTCTCCGGCATATAACGGCCAGTACTTTGTCGAGTAAGAGGATGTAGTGCTGGTCTCGTTCAACTACCGGCTGAACATTTTCGGGTTTCCTGGTATACCGGATAGCACACAAAACTTGGGTCTTCTGGATCAACGTCTAGCTATTGAATGGGTTCAGAAAAACATCGAGGCTTTTGGTGGTGATGCTTCGAGGATCACTCTGTTCGGCCAATCTGCTGGGGGTGCCTCAGTTGACTATTACACCTACGCCTGGACTAGTGACCCCATTGCCCACGGCTTCATTGAAGAGAGTGGATCCCTCTTTGGCCCTGCAGGCGGCCTCGGTGCCATATCCGCGGAGGCAGCAGCTTCAAACTGGTTTAACTTGACCAACGCCCTCGGCTGCGGTAACTCGAGCTCTGATGCTGCCAGCACACTCAGCTGCATGCAATCCAAGGAGACCTCGCACCTCCTCAGCACAATGGCGAACCTCAGCGCCTAAAGCACGGATCCCATCACAATCTCCTTCGGTCCTACAGTCGACGAAATGATAGTGTTTTCGAATTACAAGCAACGGTCCATCAGCGGCAACCTTATTAAACTCCCCCTCCTGCTCGGTACTACCAACAACGAAGCAGGACTGTTGCGTTCGCTTGATGGCTTGCTCAACCTCTCCTATCCAGACCCCTACTGGAATGCTTTCAACGACTTCGTCTTTGTATGCCCGTGCTCAACCCGTGCCAATATCTCCATCAGTAATCGCATCCCAACATGGCGGTACGGCTGGTTCGGTGCCTTCCCCAACACTTAGCTAACCACCATTCCCTACTCTGGAGCCTGGCACTCCAGCGAGCTCGCCGTGTTGTTCAACAACACCCCGAACGGACAAGGCCTGAATGGGCAGATGATACCAAATAATACTGAAGCGGAAATTCAGATTGGGTCGTATATGCGTGGTGCGTGCGCTACGTTTGCAAAGGACCCGATGAATGGGCTGAAGAGCTATCAAGACGGGAGGCCACAGTACGATCTAAGCGGAAATACACTCGTTAGGTTAGCATATAAAATCAAACTGGCGCGAACTTGGCGCCGGGAGTCATGTATGATGGGTCATGTGAGGATTTGGTTGCTTTTGGTCGTCGATGAACCTAAGACAACTATTTATAGGTTTCTTGGACCTGATAGCTATGGGAAGTTCTCAACTACCCAAGCTAAATATATTTAATCAAGACCAACACCAAGTCTCAGAATAGACACATGGTTAGCAGCAGCTTTGATAGTTGTGATACTACTGATCATATTCTTCATCTATTCCTTCCTACGTGGCTGAATTAAATTAGCCCAAGGTTTCCATACCAGTCACAATAAACCCGAAGGTACTTTAATGACCAAGTTCCAGTTGTTCCTTCTAGTGCAAGATCTCCATCAAGTTCCTGGTGATCCATATTAGCTGTGTTCTAAGATATTAGGACTAGCAGGTAGCTTAAAAAGAAAGAGGTGGCATTTCCTGCCATAACATACTAAGAAGGCGTCGGCACTGCACGGCTCATATCCCGAGAGAGTGGAATCCTCTCCTGTAGTTGCAGTTGCCCGGAACAGAGAGCTGGGTCCTGGGGAAGAGAAGTTGCCGTAAGCATTAAGAGTTCCAAAGGTTGTGCCATTCGAGTCGACAAGAGATAATAAGGGTGCTCAGAAGAGTGGCCACAGTAAGATTAACGAGACCCGCAAAGACGACAGAAACCTTGGAGAACATATTAAAGTTTATTCAAATTACGAGCCAAATTTGACCAAACTTGCAAATCCGTCGGTAATGAAGAGAATTAAAAAAATGTACGAGGGTGACGGAGAAACTAAAATAAATACAGCAGAGGGTACGAATGCTACTCATAGTCTCTCTTATGGATTGCATTGGTCTCCGGAGAAGATAACTATGGATAAGCGCCTTACAGACTCCCACACAAGCTGCCTACCCCCAGCTCAGATCTTCACCACGTACGTGGCTGCGAGTGGTAGTCGTTGCTGAACTAGCCTCAACATGGTCAATTTGCTTGACTTCACTGTTACCGTCACCAAGCATTCTAGTTGCGTCTACCTTTCCGAAGTCACGGAGCCGTACATTGTTGTTAAACAGCCAGTCTACCTGCTCCAGCGTTTTACCTTTGCATTCAGGGACACAGAAAAAAGTGAAGACAAGCGACAAGAGCGCAACAGCCCCGAATATGAACCCGACTCTACTACCGAGATCTGCTTCATCCGCAAAGACGAGGTATGGCACAGCGAAATTGACAGCGAAACTGAAATTGTAAGTACTATTAGCAATTGGAAATAATTATAGAGCTCGCAACAAGTACGCACTTGAAACAGACGTTAACGCCAAAGCCGACACGGGAGGTGTGGTCGCGCAGTCGCAACGAAGAGACTTCTGTCGCCACTACATAGGTCAATGGCCCCCAACCGCAAGAAAAACCAACACCAAAGATGACAATCATCGAGATTATGCCTTTCATCCTTGATGTTGTGACAGGTTCATTGATGCCGAGCCCACCCATTGTCATGAGAGCTCCAATGATAATGACTGACGAAAATATAAGCAATTTCCTAGAAGACGTTAGTGGTAAACAGCAAAATAAATCACAGTAACTGCGGTCGTACCGTCTTCCAACCTTGTCAGTGACGAACAAGGTGCATAGCATGATACCACATCCGATGCAGCTACTCATCAATGTGAATAACTGCGGGTTGAAGATCCCCAGAGACCGAACATAAACACCTCCGTACTGGGATGAAAAGGCCTGGCCTGTCGCCTGCTGGAAGAAGTTGATCGCCACTACGATAAGTGTTCTTTTGAGATTCTTACCCTGGAATAGTTCCACGAATTTACCCTTCTCTACTTCATTCACCAGGGCAAATTCCAACTCTTTAAACTCGTTCTCAATCTCTTCCTCGGTAAATGCCCCTTGACGAAGCTGCTGTATGCTCGCTTTGGCCTCTTCAACTCTGTTGCGCTGAAGTAGCCACCTGGGAGACTCCGGTATGAAAAAGATTGAGGCAGCGATGATGGAAGGAACGATGTAGAATAGTCCGAGCGGTATACGCCATCCTCGGTTGTCTTCAATATGACTAGTTCTATAGCAAATCGCGTTGATGATCACACCACCAAGGCCGATACACAATTGGTATGTTCCGACAATAAAGCCGCGTACTGGGGCGGGAACTACAAACGTCGTTAGTGACTTGAGAAGAAAGACTCGGTTATGTCAGTTCACGTACCAATTTCAGATTGATAATTGGGAACTACGGAGAGTTCCATGCCAACATACACGTAATTGAGAATCCGGCCGGCCATGATTTGTTGCCTAGTGTTGGAAGTGACGGTGATGGTAGCCGAGACAAGCGCATACAAGCTCATTGTGAACATACACCAACGACGACCGAAGCGGGCAGAAACAAAACTACCAATAATAACGCCTGAAAAATGGCATTATGTTAGAAGGTGGACCAGTAATGGGAAAAATAGACGCGGTTGCGATATACCAGCGGCAAAACCAACATAGTTCAGACTGTTGAAGAGGGACAGCCAACGTGAGTTTAGATTATATGCATGCGTCCTGCTGTTATACTCGCCAAACTGCTTAGTAAAAGTATTCATCGACTGAGTCGTAGCAAAGGCCTGGTTATCGAAACCATAGTTGAATGTCGAGACTGCAATTATGAAGACAGAAAAGACGAGAGTCCGGTTAAAATACCGGGCCTTATCGAATTGGAAGCCCATTTGTAAGACAAATGGGTTCAGATTAGTATCAATATATCGATTTAACACGAGTAAGTTTAGATCCCTCCAAATCTGATAGGGAACAAAAGTGAGCGCGCCGAGGGAAGAAGCGACAACAATGAAGACTCTTTAAGTGCATTTTGTTTTTGGAGTTCAAGGTGCATGAGGCAATTCGACCCACTGCATTTCTCATAGATAAGAGGGGAGAAGGCCTAGAAAAAATCTGGGGATGGGTAGGTTTGACGACACTGGGCGTCGTCTGGACCGAGATCCGGTCCATATCGGGGCATTACCGGCGCACTATCCGGGTCGGTATAGAGCTTGGGGGTCGGAAGCGTACCCTTGCTCGGCGGCTAGACGACCTGGCTGTTCACTTGAAAAGACTGAATCTCCCTCAGAATTGAATCCAAGTCGATTTCCAACTGCATTCATCATACCTTTCTGAAATGGCGTCATTTTCACTTCCACCGAAGCCTCTTCCGCTGAATGTCTCATCTAGGAACGGGGGCGACAAGCCCAATTATGTTGTCTTCATGCCGGACCAGCTGAGATATGATTCGCTTGGTTGCACTACAGATGGCAAAGCCGGAATTAACACTCCAAATATCGATGCCTTTCGTCGTCGTGGTACCCTCTTTACCAACTGCTTCACCCAGGCATCTGTCTGCTCACAGTCAAGATGTAGCATGTTCACCGGTTGCTACCCGCATGTCAGCGGCCACCGAAGTCTTGACAATCTTATCAAGCCATGGGAGCCAAACATATTTCGAAGTATGAAAGAGAATGGTTACCATATTGCCTGCCTTGCACCTAGAGGAGATACTTTCGCTCCTACGGTTACGGAGTTAAGTTTGACAGAGTACGGCTTTCTGGAAACTCCCGAGTTTACTACCCAATTCGCGGGCGGAAATGATCATGGTATTGACAAAGACAATGTCTGGAACCGACTATTTTACAAGGGCCTTCGTAAAGCTAATGAGGCCCTGGACTATGATGAGGCTGTGGTGCGATCAGCCATAAAGTGGCTCGAGTGTCCTCCGGATGACAAGCCGTGGGTATTGTTTATGCCACTTATATTTCCTCATTGTCCTTTCCAAGTAGAGGAGCCATATTTCACTATGTACGACCGCTCCAAGATGACCGGGATTGTTTCAAGGCCAGAAAAGAAGACGGGCTACGAGCCTCGTTACATGAAGACAATCCGCGAAAGGTACGGGACGGATCGTGCAACAGCGGAAATCTGGAGTGAAATTAAAGCCACTTATTTTGGAATGATTACTCGTTTGGACGATCAATTCGGCCGTGTCCTTGGGAAGATAGATGAGTTAGCACTGTGGAAGGATACGGTAACGATGTTCTTTACCGATCACGGCGAGTATCTTGGGGACCACGGCCTGATTGAGAAGTGGCCGTCAGGGCTATCAGAGACGCTTTTAAGGGAGCCGTTAATTATCGGGGGTGCCGGGATTCCTGAGGGTAAAATCATCAATGCTATGACTGAGATGGTTGATTTAGTGCCCACGATCCTTGAGATTTCGGGAATAGGCGAGCACTTTCCTCATAATGGCAAGTCTTGGATTCCAGTTCTCGTTGGTGACTCGAGAGAACATAAGAAGTACGCCTTCTCTGAGGGTGGCTTTCTAACATCTGAGGAACCCTTACTTGAGCAGGCACCATATCCGTATGATATCAAGTCAGGACTTCAGCATGAGGATACGACTCTCGTTGGTAAAGCAATATCTTTAAGAGATGAGAACTATGCCTATATTTACCGGCTGTATGAACCCGCAGAGTTGTACGACCGGTTAGATGATCCACACGAAATGCATAATGTCGCTGCTGAACCTCGGTACCGTGACCTTGTGGATAAGTACGAGAAGGAGGTCCTGAGTTGGCTCGTGGCTGGTAGCGATTTCCTGCCGTGGCAGAAAGATCCCCGGTTTCCAGAGGTCAGCCTGAAGAGTCCTAGAGAACAGATGGAGGAGCGGCTCCGCAAGTCCGGTTGAAAGACTCTGAAGAAAGGTACAAAGCAATAGCCACAGTAACAGGCAATATTATGATCTTCAAAAATAAATTTCTTTTAGTTTAAAGTAGGCTTTCTTCAACTCGGGACAGAAATGAGTTCTCTCACTGCTGAGCCATTACGTACGTTAAAGACAGTCAGAGAACAAATCAAAAAAAGACCTCAGTTAGTGCCCCTTCATGGCCACTAATTTGGACGAGCATCATTATTTAGTGCGCTATCGCCATCCGGACACATTCTCACGCAAATCCGGCTAGCGGGCGACCCCATTTCCGAGCCGGCCATAAAAGTTGGTCTATCCGCCGACGTCCGGCGCCGACAACCTGCATATCCCGTTAATGGCTTCATTCCCAGTGCTTTTGCACGCAATGTAGTAATGGATCATGAGGCCCTAATTACGTCCAGTAGTACCGAACCCGCGAAGGTGTTGCCAGTCTGTAACGCATGTCGATCAAGGAAGGTCAGGTGTGACCGTGTCCAACCCGTGTGTGGTCCTTGTATGCGACTCAAGCTCCAGTGCTCTTTTGATAGAAGTTCAGTGAGCCCTAATTCTGATATTGGGGACTTGTCAACTCATACACAGGCTGGGACAAAAAGAAAAAGATCATGTAGGGCGTGCGGAAGCTGTCGAGCTGTAAAAGCAAAGTGTTCTGGGAGCGGCCCATGTGAAAGATGTCTTTCCAGAAGCAGAGTCTGTGATCTCGTGGCGGATCCATCTCATCAATTTAGCGATGACTTGTTAATGAGCATGCCAACTCCTAGGACGGTGACGAGCAATACATCTACAAACACCACTTGGCCACTGGACAGGGTAGCAACGAGGAGTTGTATCGACGCCTACTTCAATGCAGAAACCGGTGCCGCTCCTGCTTTTTTGCATAAGTCGAGTATTCTTGCCGATTGGAGTAGGGGCATCATAGATCCAAACTTACTCAAGTGCATTGTGGCAACTGGGCTTTTTGCCAACGATTCTCGGCCAGAAGCACGGGTGACAGCTCGAGTATGGATTCAGGAGGTGCAAGAGGACGCATTCAAACGAATAGGGAAACAGACAGTCACTCACCTGAGGATTCTCGTAATGCTGTTATGTTTCCACTTTCGGGCTGGAAACTTTCCTGATGCTTGGAGTCTTCTCGCACTCGCTGCTCGCTCAGCTTTCACTATGCGACTAAACTATGAGCGTGACGAACGTGACCCTCTTATCCAAGAGTCACATAGGCGGCTGGTATGGATTATTTATGAGATGGATTGCTTGTGTTCCGGTGGAATCGATGATTTAGCGGTCTGTCCGGTGGAGAGGATTCACATTCGCCTTCCATGTGATGAACGAACCTTTGAAATGGGTATTCCTTCGAAAGCTAGGTTCCTAAAAGATACCAGGCAAGACCCAGGAGCTAATGTAGATGCCCACGCCTTCAACCTTGAGCTTCTGTTCATCCGAGATCGTATTTTGAGGTTTGATCTATGGGAGAACCCTGGATATTCCGAAGCTAACAGGAGTAGATATACCAAGAACGTGCGGAGAACAGGCAAGAGTCCAGCTGAGAGCCATCAGGAGATGGAATCCCTTCAGGCCGAGTTAGACAGATTTGAACGAAGCCTTCCTTTAGAACTCAAGCTCAGCTCCCGGAGTCTAGTGGTCATGGGTCACTCTCGAGAGGCTAGTGCCTATGCCAGACTTCACACGATGTGGCTGATGTGTCACTGTGACCTCTACCGCTTCTGTGTTCCAGGGATTCGTGAGTCCGTGCCCAAAGATGCGTTGGCTTTGACGCCGTCCGATTTCATCGAGTACTGTCAGCGAGTATGCTTAAGTAATGCTGTCCAACTCTGTGGGCTGTGGTCCAACCTGTATCACCTCGAGTCCAGCGAGCGCCTAGGCGATGGGTTCCTGGCCGTGGCTATTTACCAGGTATCTGGGATATTGCATCACTTGCCTCACCTTTTACCAGATGAGGGAGACCGCTGCATCGCATCCCTAAAGAAGAAGCTCCTCGAGGCACTGCAGCTCGCCTTACCCCTGCGGCCGACATACGACTACGCAAAAAGTTGTCTGAAGGATGCTGAGCGCCTGGTCAATGCCTTAGGGCGAGGGTCAGTTCCACGATTGTCGCCAGTTTCAAAAGTCGTCGAAGGTATGGAGGCCACTGCTCGGGAGCATTTCGCGTCGAGGCATTCATTCTTGCAGCAACTAGATAAAGATCAAGAGGCTGTTGATAAAGGCACTGAAAACCAAACGATAAGAAGCGTGAGTCCGGATGAAATCGACCACCTCGATGAGAGGACTGTGCCCTCCTACCCTATTACGGAGTGGAACCTATTAGATCGTGAGCGGAGGGTAGAACATGAGGTCGAGCAAGGGGTTTCCGACCTGTATCTCTGGGATCCGTTCAACATGCAGTTGAATGGATATTACGATCCTAGTCTAGAATTTTCGTTCGCGTCATGATCGTGGCATGGGTTGCAGCGGACAAGTGCGGGGAAAGCTTCAGAAAAACAAACAGTTAGCTAGATCTTGCTTCTACTAGGAAGCAGTAGGATTCTATTAATGGGCTTGGGCAATCTTGAAAGTTGGCATACATTGCACTTGTTGCCGTTGATTGACTGATAGAGTACTATCAGATTGTCAAGATGACCTTCAGGAACCAACTTGTTCCAAGATTCCAAGCTAGGGGGTACTTGGTTGCTCCCATCTCCAATCACAAACTACGGTAATTACGGCGGACTATGGCGAGGTGGCAACTTTTTCAGCCCAAGTCTGTTCATCGCTCAATTGACTATCTTTATTACGGTGGAATATAGCGGCAGGCACGCAGCGTTTATATGTCAGGATTTCTGGTGTTTTATTTATGTGCAACTAGACCCGTTAAGGTGACCGTAGCCTGCCAGTTACACATGAAGTCGTACGAAATCCTTAAACAGAACGAGACTGCGAATTCAAAGTAGCCGATGAGAATTAAAGAATTTACTTAATTCAATATACGCTGAACTATCACGTGTTATGTCCTGACCATCGTTCGTCTCAGCTTACGTAACCTCAATTACTTAGGTACTCTTGGGATAACCAGGTTGGCCATTACACATCCATGGTTGCTAGCCATTTTGAAGATATCTTGTTAGCTCGCGACAGAGTTGACCTCATTAAGCAGCACAAGCCCATACCCCCGCCAATAAAGTCAAATTTTGGAGGGTCTATTCTGTTTGAAGTTGCCAAAAACTGGCCACATTTTCTTCCAGTCTAGGAAGAACCCGAAAAACCTAAATGAAAGGAGGTTGTTGTAGCGGAAAACGGTGTCATCTCTATTTTCAAGTCATACTTCTACTGATCTATCCTAGGGCTTAGACATAATTGGCAGTGATATGAGTAAACGAGTCTAGGTTCATATAAATTTGGCCATTCACTAGTCGCACGCATATAGTTAATCCTATGTATTCTGAGTATTCTCTGCTTTAATCTATAGACAATGTGGTGGAACCTTGTTGGCGGCGGAATGGACTATCTCGTTCCCGTCACTCTCTTCCAATTAAAGGTAGGTTGACCTCGCAATCATGATCATTATACCAGCATAGTACTTAGAGGGATTCTATACCTCATCTTCCATATCTGTGCGTACCTTTTGACGTCTCCCTTTCACTACCTCACTTAGATCACCAACCGGCAACACAATTGGGAAGTCAATGGATTCCAACATCTGCACAATAAAAATGTACCAAATAGGGATGCAAAGGATAAAGTTAAACGCTCCGGCTACCTATTCAATGTGTGTGAGTTTGAAACTTTTGGGAGATCCAATAACGAATAATAAGAGGGAGGAGAAATATTAACATACGATTTCTAATTTACCTGCGAACCCAAAGTCTCCAAGTGCGTTGTAGAAATACACGGCAGCGTAGAGGCTATATGTCAGTACTAGGAAGAAGAGAGCGAGAAAGAGACATATGTTGGTCCGGATTGAGCAGATGAGATAAACAAATGTGATCAAGGCGAGCGTCACATAATAAAGTCCTAGGGTAGTTCAGCATTGAGTATCTTCTCTTGTTAGGCAAGTGATTATACGGACCAGTCGTAGCATTGTATCCGGTTGTCTCCTTACCCAGAAGATTGTCACCTGTGGAAGTATAGTTGATTCCCACTGCAAAGAAGGGCATTAAGGATGCTCCTTGGGCAAGCCAGAATGCTCCTGGGAGTAATAGTGTTAATACACATATATATATTACCTTTTTAAACCGCCATCTCTTCGTAGGGAGGAAGTTGAACAAAAGAGGCATTTTTGGGACTCCATACCGTATGTGAAAAAAACTGCACACGAGAATGTATTCCCAAGGATCCACTCTCCGATTGCCCCTATAACTTGAACTATACCACCAAAAAAAATATAGGCTGGACTAGTTTTGTGTGAGTATTTCTAAGTATCTCCGAGTCCCGCCTGGGCGGCTTGTAAACTGGTCTTACAGAATAGCACCTCCGTCCCCTCCAGCTCCTCTCCAGCCCATATGAAGCATCGCATTAGGCGTCGCAGCAGCCAGAAATCCCATCAGCGAAATAGGGGTTGGGTTTCCAAAAGTTCGACGTAGGTTTCCCGCAATGGGCATCTTAGGAGTTAGATAGAGCTTCTCAAAGGTGTCACGAGGTATCGGAAGAAGGACGCTCTCCGCCGTCTGCATACGGCGAAGTGTCTCCGTGCCGGAAGCTTCGGCCTTGTCACTCATGTTATTGTTAGACATGATGTTGTTACTCGTAAAGGATTCTTTTGAACTCAGTTTAGTCACTTCCGTAATCTCATAAATAAGTCTTGGTCCGCCGCTGGAGGTGGCAGAGAAGGATTCATTTATACTCCAGATCTAGCCCTTTAACCCCTAAACTTTACATTCGCAGACTAATTTAGTGCCAAACAACAATGCGGGGTATAATACCAAGATTTACTTGCGCTGATAAACCGTAGCTGAACTCCGAGGAGATGTATAATATCACGATAGGGGTCATTCTCCTATTATTTGGACGTTCAGTATCAGTAACATCAATTGATCTCTTTGAAACTGGGAATTATACCGTAGAGTATCAAATGCAGTTTTCAGATGAGTTATTAAGATAATTTAATACTACATTTAGGGACAGCTTTTCAACTACAAGCGTTCTCATCCTGACTGATCAGTGGCTTAATAGGAATGTACGTTCTACATAGACATTTCAAATGTTAATGTCGCGCGAAATCGATACGAATATTAACAATTTAAACTTCCATAAAATGGCTTAAAGATGGGAATACTGCTTTCTTGCTTTCACCACACCATGAAAGCTAATTCAGAAATATTAGGACTCGAGGCATTTGTAAATATGCCGCAATATCCGTCAGTCCCGCACGCTTGCCTAAGTCAAATGAAGTGCTGTGATAAAGCTAATCCACGCCACTTCTGGTGCTGGTGTGTTCTTGGTAGAGATAAAACCTTCAACTGAAGAGCTCTGGTTAGTTTACACCTCCTGTAAACTTTTAAAATACCGCAAACGGCATATCTCGAAACTTTAAAGAATCATTTTCAGGTAATTCCGCAATTCCCGCGCGTCCTGTAAACCGTCCTTCTTGGCTTTCATTACATAATGTATGGAAGCGCAGAGTTTTAGTCCGCTTGTAATTCTGATTGACACTTACATATGAGGTTGTCTATCTGAGTATTCTGTAATCTATAGATATCTGCTTTCAAACTGGTGCATTGCGTTAGTTTGACGTTTTCCATACTTCTATACGTATTGTAACAGTTACTTGTAATGAACGATACAGGGGATTTACGGTTATCGAACCAAGTTAATAAACAGTAATTGCTTAAAATTTTTATGGCAACTTTGAAGTGATAGTACCTTATTTATAATAATCACACTTTATATGGTGGTATATGTAATAGTTCTCTTCTGTACACTTATAATATGTTAAGATGACGATGATAACATAACACACACACATTTCCAGTCCTAGTAATTTTGCTTATTATGCTCCTAATTCTCACAATATACTTATATTTGAGGTTACTATCGTGAGACCCTGTTATAATTACTCTCAGAGACATGTGTCTAAATAAATATATGGGACAACTGTCCTGTGCTGTGACCCCTAGGGGGCAAGGAGATTGGTGAGTTTCGATTGTCGAGAAACCTGCTTTGCGCTCGTCTGTACTCAATAATAATTTCTAAAAGCAATGACGATATTCGGTTACCAAACTACATCGAACATGCACCATCTCATATCACCAAGAAGGATCTTGACTATTTGCAATCCAAGGGTGCATTGGGACTTCCGCATTATAAAGTCCAGATGAAACAGTGGAAGGCATATTGGAAATATGCGTACCCATGCAATCCTATCCTGGATCCAACTGAGATAATGAATATCATGCAAGGACATAAAAGTCGAACAAAAATCAGTCTCTTCCTTTTCCAGTGCGTTTTGCTAGTTGGCAGGCTCTTCCTCGACATTCACGAAGGATCGTGTACCAATTCTGTCCATCTTCAAGCGATGTTTCAGAAGATTCGATTACTATACAACCTAGGTTGGGAAACTAATCCTTTCGTTGTCCTCAAGTCCTTACTCCTCATGACCTGGTTTCCACAAAGCGTTGATGAATCCAAGGGCCAGGCGTATTGGATCACACAGGCTGTTTCTCTCGCATTTAGAATCGGTCTTCATCGCGACCCTTCGCAGCTTGACATAGAACAACGCCTTCGGAGCTTAAGAAAGCGTTTGTGGTGGTGCCTTTATGTTCGCGAACGTACCCTTAATCTTGATGCTGGCTTGCCGTGGATAATAGACGAAAACGACTACGACGTTCCCATGATTACCATCCATGATTTTGAACTGGTGCCACCGTCATGTGGCTTCGAGGATAATATACCATTTGCAGAGTTGGGCGCCATAAATAGACAACGCCAAATTGCCTTGATGTCGGTTGAAAGAGCCGCACTGATGGTGTTGGTAGGACGTCTTCCATCCATATCAATTCATATTGCCGATAGAAGTAAGAAGCGGCCAGGAAAGCCATTGCTTCACACTCACGGCCAGCGTCTTAATAAGCTTTCCATCGACGAATTTGATTATAGCTTAGATCAATGGATGAATAATCTTCCACCGGAGGTCAATTACCACGGGTCGAATTCTCTTGCTTCATGGGTCGGCGACGGCCAGTTGTACATGCACTGCACAATGCTCCGACTATCCTATAGTATTGTACGTCTCCAATCAGCCGCTCTTCGTTACCTTCAAAACAAAAGTATCGTCGATCACCGGAGTCGAAAAATGGTTAGTGCTGCTTGCTTTCTGATCATAGACCTCATAGAGGAACTCAATTACCACGAGTATTCAGCTTATGTTCCCCTATATGGGTTTTCGACTCTACGGCCGGTTTTGATATGGGCGATTATCAGCCAAGAACAGAATATAAAGCGATATCAGGGATTTCCGCAGTTGCTGGCACTCCAATACAAAGTTGGGAAAGCAGACCCTTACTACTTGCTATTTCAATCGTATCTACAACATAAGAATATAACCATGAAAGAGGACACTCTGTATCTGTCGCCCTAAAAGTACTTTTCGATTCAGAAGTATTACGAGTAGTGAAATGAATGTCGATGTATTGTGTGTGCACTTACGCTTGACTGACTGCCTCAGGCAGAATAACCATAGTGACTCCACCGATCCTAAAGTGAGCATAACATCATTAATTTTTGATTGCAGAAGAGTGCTCGCTAGACGGTAGGAAGTAACAAATAGTAATTTATACCAGTTGCTTAGTACAACCAGATCCTAAATATCCCTAGACACAACGTATTCCTGCACCCTTATTTATACCTTTTTCTCTTCCTTACACAGTGAAACATGCTTAATTACTATACCTAGCTTAGACCAACAATGCGAGAACTACCATATAATGGTAGATTATTAAGCATTAGGTTCTCATAAAAAGTTCGTCTACCTGAACTCTTTGTGTATCAATTCATAATAAAGTCAAGGGCTCTCATTCTTATTCGTGGTATTATTTGCCTATCAGGAAGAGCTTCAAGGATGGATCGCTGGTTTCCAATTACGCAATGTGAGAACAGTTCATCCAATTTACTGGTCATGACGATACTTGTAAGGCAGATTATAAGCGTTTGGTTGCGGATCGTAATTTAGATAAGATACGACGCTGACATCATGTTGGCTCGGGTATTGCGGCTGAATCGGAGATGAAACACTAATATCAATTGATATCAATTGAAGATACCTCCGCGGAGAATGAAGAAGTGGTATGCTGGCCCTTAGCCCGAAGTCCAGATGATGAGTCCCATGAGTTTGTTATATTTATCGTTGTAGACCTTATACAAGAGGTGAACTAGACCTCAAGTAGCAATTGACCTTATCACATACATATATATTTAGATAGCGATCATACGGATTCGAATTCCGGTGCAGAATAGATATTGGTTGATCTATTCAGGTAATAGTATCATAAAGGACGTTGTTGGAAGAACTCAATTTATTGTAAGTGGCTATTTTATCTGCAGAGCTCAAGGAGCGTCCTATCCGATATAGTGCAACAGTAGGGATTTCTTTCTCCAATCTCGAGGAAATAATGCTTAAAGGATTTCTTGAACATGCAATCCTCAGTTGCGTTTTTGACAATATGCTTCAAGCTAGCTTCTCAAGTGTGTGACTTCTCGTACTTTTTGCTTGTTTGGTTTCAACTTGTTTTTAGGATCGAGTAATCCAAAGGCAAGTGCACGAAAGAGAGGTTCACACACTTAAGGAAATACTTGAAAGTATATTAGTAATGTACCCATTATCTTCGACACTCTATCCGTATAAAGAAATTAATCATACTAACCTACGTTGACCATTGTTAAACAAGTCACGTCCTTAGGCGCTGTGCCTCCCCTAAGCCCCTATAAGGACTATATCAGCCCGCTTTAGGAACCTTTTCCGCGCCTTGCCGCTCGTCTGCACCTATAGGGTACAAGTCACGTGGCCTGTACAATGCACTTTTACTAGATGATAGCTTCAGCCTAAAGAGCTCCACAACAGAGTTTGAGTACTGTCAATAAGATTATAAATTGACAGATTCGACTCTTAATAAGTATCAATAACGCTGTTGTTATATACAATAAATAATTGATATAAGAATAACTATTGCGAACCACCTCGGCATTATAGATCCACCCGCCACTAACCGCAGTTGTTCAGCTTCCCCGCATGTCTCTCTGTTCTCCTCCTCTCCCGCGATGCCTTGACGATGGCTTCTCCGAGCTGCCGAGTGCCGCGGCCGGCTAAACTTGCCATCCTACGACTATCCAATGCTCCAATTTCTGTTTAAAAAGAAGGATCTTCGATGTCGGAGATCCGATAGCATCAATTGCTTGAAACAGTTTGTTTCATTACGACCGAATTATAGACACCTTTCAATGTGGACGAATCACCCTTTGCACGGCGTCAAGGTTGTCGAGCTAGCTGGACTGGCCCCAGGTATGAATCTACACCAAACTCACACCACTCCTTCCATCCCTCTCTAACGACAATAGGACCCTTCGCCGGTCTCCTCCTCGCAGATTACGGCGCCTCTGTACTGCGCATCGATAGACTCCCCGGCCAAACCGCTGCACCGGCCGGCGACAATCTCACGCGCCACAAATCATCGATATGTCTGGATCTAAAAGACTCGCGGTCGCGCGATCTCCTCTTGTCTATCCTCGCCAAAGCCGATATCCTGATCGACCCTTTCCGACCAGGCGTGCTGGAGCGCCTCGGCCTGTCCCCAGCCGACGTGCTACTCAAAGCCAACCCGCGCCTTATCATCGGTCGCATGACCGGCTTCCGACGTGATGGAAAATACAAAGACATGGCGGGCCATGACATCAACTACATCGCCGTATCCGGAGTCCTCTCCATGCTTGGCCGCAGCGGCGATCGGCCGTATGCCCCCGGTAACCTATTGGGTGATTTCGCAGGTGGCGGTGCAATGTGTTTTCTAGGGATACTACTAGCGCTCATCTCACGTCAAGCGACGGGCAAGGGCCAGGTTGTAGAGGCAAATATGGTGGATGGGTCGGCGTATTTGGCTACGATGCCGCGATTGGCAATGAAACAGCCTGTGTGGGATGCATCGAGGGGGGAGAATTTGTTGGATGGCGGGTGTCCGTATTATGATACATACGAGACAAAGGATGCAGGGAAATATTTCGCGGTTGGTGCGCTCGAACCGCAATTCTATGCAGCTCTCTTGAAGGGATTGGGGTTGAAGAAGACCGATGTCCCGGCGCGAGAGGACCGAGAGAATTGGCCAGCGCTGAGGGATATTTTTACGAAGAAGTTTAAAGAAAAGACACGCTCGGAGTGGGAAGCTATCTTCGATGGGACAGATGCATGTGCGACGCCTGTCTTGGAGCAGGCCGAGCTGGAAGCGAGCGGTCATGAACAGAGACTCCCTGTTGGCCTGGTGGGTACACCAGGCAAGGTATACGCTGCAGATGAGGCAGGGTGGACCGGCGGTGGACTCTTCCCTGGCGATGGTGGTGAGGTAACGCTGAAGGAGTGGTATGGATGGACGCGGGGACGTGAATATGACGAGAAAGACGGGATTTTGGTCAAGGGCAAGGGTGGATCGCGATTGTGAGCGGTGCTGATGGTAGGCGGCGGAGTCTATACCGGTGGAGTTTATACAGGAGTGGTCGGGAGTAGATTCGGTTTCACATTAATATTTCATGACTCTCTAATTTGTGACTCCTCAATTCTCCCCGTTTGCATGTGTTTGTTTGCTCTGTAAATCTTCTCCTCGTAGAACGGCCTCAGATGGCACCGAGCAGCCATGGCGCTGTCGGGCGTGTTTTCTTTATGTATAGCTCCACTTCCTCGGTGAGATTCAGGTTACCAGACAGTCAACTGAAGACAAAATCTCTGCTTTTGTCTTCTCTTCATCTTCTCATCCAGACGTCCGGTTTACCCCTGTCTGCTTCTGTCTCCAACGATGCCATGATTAATGGTTGTATGAAGCTACTGTTCACACTCAACATCGGCAAGGAACCAGGACTATCATCCCATGAGCCAGATCATGATCTTAATAACTCTCGGAGTCAATGGGTATCGAGGAGATCACTAGTTGGGGAGCTCTACCTCATTTCCCATCTACATCCGTGGACCAGCTTTCAGGTTACATATGCGATGTCCGACGACATGCCAGCGACAGCATACAGACTATGTATGGGATTCTCGAGATCGAGGACAAAGTGAGGTTCTACCAAATGAACCGTGAAAATAATTCCCAATGCAGTGTGGAAAATTATATCCCCAGAAAACCCGCAGGCGGTGCCTAGCCTGAACCCGAGTTATTTTCGTATGTCTTTAGATTATCCTTCGTCGCAATCCTTATTACTACTTTAGGTATACTGAATTCTCGATAGGTTTCAAGAGCATAATTTTGAGTCTTTCCAAGGTCACTAATAGAAGTACCAGTCGCCATCCTCATTCTTTTCCCCTCTACTGCCAAAGCGGTATCAGGAAATCTCAAGGCCTATGGACCTACGGGTATGCACAGCTGCAGTCAGATCCGCAGATTTTCCAGCATATCCAGGGAATGGTTGATTCCTGGCGAGGCAAAGGAGCAGGTCAATGAATATCCCATGAAACCCGCGGATAGCAAAGGGGAGTGTTGGACGGAAGTGAGGTACCATACTCCCTACAGAACAACAATGGAGCATTGAGAAATGCAGCCAGAGCTTAACCCTAACCCTAGGATTCGCGCAATTCGCACATCTGCCATCGGAACCATGCGGCATCGCAGCAGACACAGTCGGACCCGCTGTTTATAAGAACAATAGGATTATCGTAGGCCTCGCTGGAGAATTTGAGATTGCAAAGGAACGTGAGCAACCAACCAATCGCACCTGGTAACGTCATTACATGGAAGGAGCCACCGCGGCGAGATTCAGTGAAATCGCTAATTCATGCATTAGGCGATACTATACCAAAGGCATAAACTACAAAACTGTCTGGGAATGGAAAAACGAAGAATGGAGAACTGCCGATGACCCAAAACATGAAGTGTAGAAGAAGACTGGGTAGTTAATCGAAAGAAATGCGAACCCGTATCATCAATTGATGAGATATGACTGCTTGGTTCAATGTGGTGTCATAGACTCTCTAGATCCCCTCAGAGCTTACAAACTGCATGAGGTAATGAGGACAGTATCGCCCAGAAGGAAGAAATAGAGCAGATTCAGGTTCAGTCAACCAGGGCACATTATGGCTCTACCTTAGTGCAGGACACTTCGAACAAGCCTTTTCGTTCACAAATTGCAAAGGCCCTAGAGCTTTATCGTCTATGTAGGGTCCATGGGGTTTAGGTTTTGTTCCTATCAATGGTAGTACTAGATGCTTCATTGTTGTACCCTCTGGTCATGTCCTACCAATTGATCTATGTAAGCTTCGGCTTTTTCGGGAACTCTCCCTCGTCAGCCGTATTTCCTGTCCAATTTTCCATCGTGCCTCATTGTTACCTCACTCGTAATCGTTAAGTCTACATTACAAGTTGAAGGACAGGTACAACCTGAACCAAATTGCTATGACCAGCGGAATACTCCCTTAGCCCACCTGGCAAACATCATCCACGACGATGGAACCGTCAGCACGCCTAAAATCGTCCTGAACTGGGATGACACTATCTCCAACATCCCGACCCGTTCATTCCGCACATGTCGGAATACGTTATGGCCTTCGCCGAAATCTGCATGCGTATCTTGAAACATCGGCGCGACGCCGATGGCCACTTGCAGCCAGACGACCAACCTGCCAACTCTGTATTTGAGTGGCTGCAAACGTATTCACCCAACGCCATATATGCCGACATCCAAGCCATGTCGGATCACATTTACCAGGAATAGTCATAAGAATTGGCCCGAGTGAACAACGTGCCGAAGCGACCAGCATCATCGTCGGAGAAGGGAGATGAGTCTCAAAGACGACGGTTTCTTATATGAAGAATCAGTTCCTACGAATGATTCTACTGTGAAGATCTTTCGACTCAGATCAATTAATAATCTTAGCGAAGCCCTAACTGATGACTCGATATCAGTCTTATTGAAAGTTGACTTCGGACAAGGATTGCTGCTGCGAATGTAAGTGTTGGTACAGGAAAATAATCGAAAGACTGAGCAGTAAAAGGCTCTTTTCGTGTCCCAATAAGAGGTGTAGTGTAATTACATTTGGACAGACAAGATAGAGTGTCTAATGCAGAGTTCAATGATACCCAGAAAGACGCGATGAACGTCATGAAGCCGAGCAATCAGGGGAATGCTAACAAGAACTGATTTATTTGACCTCAAGAAGATTCTCAATCGTTCTAACCCATATTAATGAGGCAATCTCATAAGGCAGTTCACAATAGTGCGCATCAGATATGATGAGAAATTCCGTTGGGTGTCTTCTCTGGACTCTCAACAACCGGTATATTATGAAATATCATTGAATACTTTTCTGGGTATATCGTCTCATACCCTTCTCTAGCATTGCATGCTACTGCTTGTCAATGGTGCCAAGGTATAGTCCAAGGATAATAAATATGGCTAGACACCACTTTCATGGGTTGCTGAGAATAGCCACGAGGCGGTAGTCAAGCAGCTGCTTGATAAGGGTGCTGATATTGAGTACAAGGATGAATGCGGTTAGACACCACTCATCGAAAACGAGGGTTTATGAGCCACTGCCTATTTGAGGCTCTCACGCTACGGTACGTTGGAATGATCAACGGTGTGGAGGCTTTGTTTCAGAGTTTTCAAGATAATCAATGTGCAAAGCTCAGTCAAATATTTTCACAGGGTAGATTGAAAGATGTGAAAGGATGTCAAAGGCAGCATATGGACAAGGAAAGGAAATTGTGGCAGGTAAGTGCACAGTTATATAATTACTGGATAAAATATGTTGACAAGACGGTGAACCACAGAATTTGAGAGAAATTCGGAAGAGAATAATCGACGATACAGAAATTAATGAATTACTTTACGGCTTTCTATTGTTACTTGATCAAATATCTTCGCTAAGAGAAATTTTGACGCTGGCATCATTAGTAGTAATATTAAGAACCAGACTTTATCTACCAACTTTCCCTTCCGTCCGAAGTCATAGGACCAGTAAGATTTTCGCAAGTTCGGAAATTAGTCTACATAAAGCAAGGAAATACTTGAAAATATAAACGATGGTAAACCTACCGTTGCTTCCTCTTGGTGGATTATGTGGTGGTTGGTGTGAAGGGAACTCGCACGTGGCTGACTTAGAATGAAGCACGCAGAGTAACTGATTGCAGCAAGCTGGTTTTTAAGATCCACACCGCTCTCCTTGACCTGTACATTTAATGTTTAGTTGCGTCTATGGCGTCTAGTTGCGATACAGGCGCAGCAGCTAGGGAGATTCCTGTCATGAAGAGGAGGCACATGCAAATTGTTGAGCGCATGCTGAGGTCTTAAATTTTGGCCGATTCCCGATTTGATGATGGAACCATTTTTAAAGGAGCTTGGTGGAGGAGAAGCTGTCCTCCAATACTTTTCGTCGCTTGTGAAATGTTCTCATACTTGAATCATCGATTATGAATGGTCATGAAAGGATGATATGGTTGGCTGTCCCACGTGTACCACACTATGGGTATTATTCTACGGCTATTATTGAGAGTACTTCATACTGACATGCAATCCCTCAATGTTGACAGCTTGACAGTATGCATTCATATTAATCTTAGTGATGCTGTAGCGTAATTTTTATGGATCGAGGTTTTTGTTTCGGGAGTTATAAAAGACAAATAATTCGTGTCGTCTTTCTTTTTCCTCTTTTTGTTTTATTTTTAGCAGCTATGAACTAAACAACATGGGCACCTTACAACTGATCAGGGAAATTATGAATGTTATGGCTTGGGTTTAGCAATCAAAATTAAAGAAATAATCGCCCTTGCTTTGAAGCTTACCACAAAGTACAGTGTAGCGTTACCAGAAGAATGCATCTACAAATAAGAAGTATACTCTCTAGATAACTTAAGAGTTTATTCATTAGACCTAAACTATTCGCTTAGGGCACTTGGGTTAACTCGAGCAATTACTTTTTCACTATCACCATACAACATGCCAGCATGTTGTGGAATAAAAAAGGCAAATAAAAATAATTCAACACTACTGCTATTTGATTCTCATTCAATCAAACAAGACCCTGAATACTACCTCTTCTCAGAACTCCTCTGATTTCCCGACATAGGAATGTTGATTGAACGGCCACAATAGTTGGCTTGAGTCCAGGCAACTGGCGATTCCAGATTTCTATACCACATTTTTCAGTATACTAATGTTCTTGCTGATATTTGAATCACTTTTACCAAGAGTGGTCAAAATGGTAACGAGGTCAATTAGAATCGGCTCAATCTCAGCCCCCAGAGCAATTGGGTTGAGAGCACTGCTCAGCTCCGTGTTGTGCGCACAGCCACTGGTGGTTTTCCCTGCGAATGCCGCCTCAACGAACTCAACGACATCCACAATACCCAAAATCTCGGTTGTAATATGCCCTCCACTAGCAAAAGTAGTGAAGTTGACACTTGCGCCGTTGCTACACCAAGAGTCGACGAGAGTGGAGGCATTAGAGTATGGAATAATCTCGTCCTGGCTGGCATGGTAAACGAAGACTGGGGCGGTGGGTGTTTCGTCTTTAACTACGCCCATCACATTCTCTGCTAGTATGGATGCAATGGTGGGATCTTGAAGAAGCCCATCGCCTAAGCTTTGAATGTCGGTGGATAATACTGACTTTTCGAAAAAGTTGACCAGATCTGAGATGGCGCAGTTGGACTCTGTATAGCTTATTGCCGACTTGCCCTCCGAAGTGAAGTATTCATCAATGATGGGGCCAAGTTGTGCGCCATAGGTACTTGACTTTGAAAGCCCAGCAATCGCATCTGGGCCAAAGCCGCTAAACACAGTGCCATCAATGTTTAGCAAAGTGCCCAAGAGATTTGCCGGGGTGCCACCTTGCGTCCAACCCTTGATATTGAGCTCGGGGGCATAGGTGGGATGCAAGGATGCAGCCCACCCAGTTGCGATGGAGCCACCAGAGTAGCCGGTACCGACAATCATTGGCGAGGTAGTATTGAGGCCAAGTGTGCTTTTGAAGTTTGCAACAGCTCGCATACTATCTAAGACACCCATGCCCGCGAGGCGACCAGGGGCAAATGCAGCCTCAGGTCCTTCATAGTCCGGCGAGACAACAATGTATCCCATGAGAAGGTAAATCTGGATAATCAAAAACTCGAGTTGCGCTATCAGATCGGTTTGAGGATTTCCTAATTGGTATTGATAGCTAGGAACACAACTCGTCGAAGAGCTATCGTATGCAGTTTGGAAAGAAATAAAGCGATCTGTCTTTGGGAACCATGGCTTGAAGATGGTGGTCACCGAAGCAATTGCTGAACCATTGACGGCTGTAGTGCGGTATAACAACTGGTGTGTCTCGATGGGCTCGGGTATTAAACCGAAGAAGGAGGCTGTAATACTACGCTCGCGCAAAATGGATCCAGGTTTCTGTGAGGCAAAGCCCGCAGGAGGTTGATAGAATGGATCTGTATCAGGGTTGTTGGATCTACGCGGAACAGAAACCGATGCCGATTTGGCCGAAGTCATTATCAACATTATAGTTGATAATGCTGTAAAGGCGCGGAGGAAAGCCATAGTCGATGTGTAACCAGGGAATCAAATGCTGATATAGTGGAGAATAATATTTACATGTGTATACTATTGTCAGTTCCAAAACACAGCATATGAGGAGATATTTATAGAGAACGAGATCTCTTCTCGAAGTTTGGAGGTAACCATCATACCGAGGAACTTGGTCGCAACGCAATGGACATAGAAAGTCTTTCAGCTGATAGTCCTTTCTTTTAAAGACAAAACATGTGAAGACAAAGGCGTTGGATGCTCTCATGACCAGTAGGCCTAGCCTGGTGTTTCATCGACTCTGGGTATCTACTAATTTCGGCGATTTACCGGCAGGCATGATTGTTAGTGCTGATGAAGCTACAAGACTTTTAATTTTAAACGAACCCTAAACTCCTCCTGAATATCAAACCCCGCAATTTTCATAGAATCTGGAGTAGATATTGCAAGGATTGAAAGCGATAGGCTAGCAAGTAATCCCGCGGTTGCATCTGAAAAACAATCTATGGATGCATGAGCAATTATGTCAACAAAATAAATAATTGGCGGCCTCATAAGCTTGAGTTAGGTGAGAAATTGTCAGCCAGTAAGGACCAAATTAATCACCCTCACTGATAAGGGGACCCCTTTTTGGTGTAGTGGTTTTTCGGTCGACAGAAATCAACATAAACAATCGAAATTTTGTAGGGTTGGGACCGGATCTGGCGGAGCTTTCTGCGGAGATCTACCCCATACAGGTAGGATTTTCGGCTCACAATTTATTACACGTGCAAGTGGTGTGAATTCATGAATAAGGATGTTTTTGAGTGGCTTCGCATGCATCAAAGCTTATTTATGGTGAAATACAAATGTCGATCCTTTCTTTTCAGCATAATAATAGCGGGAAGGCTGAAAGCCTGCTGTAAAGGGTAGGGCAGTATGATCTCGAAGTGGTAAAGCGACAATGTCCTCCCACGGTAAACAGCCGAGTTACGTGGCTAAATATTCATCCCCCCATCTGCACATGACGGTGTGTTTGCAGGTACGTTATATAAGCTGTATATGCACACCGGGCTTACACTCGCCCGAGACTCGAAAGCGAGTGCGTGGGTGCTGGAAAAAAGTGTTGGCAATTTCACTACCGAGTCAATAACCACCCTATACACACATCTTAACAGATACGCTAAAAATCATTCTCAGCCCCCAATTCTCCCTAACGAGATTACCAAATTTTCTCTAAAAAGTGTGTGGTAATAGTATATATATAGTGGTCATTCATTAATCGACAACCTATCAACTTTTATTAATTCCAGCACTCACGCACTAACTTTCGAGTAACGGGCAAGTACAACCCCGAATCACCCTTTCATGCTAATGAATATCAGGGTTAGTCACATTATATAGTTCAACTAAGCAGCTTAGAGCGAGGAACGCGTATGCATCTGAACGTTTTGGGAGCAGTTTGGGGCAGGCAGCGCGGGGTAGTAGGTGCTTAGACCCCTAAAGACCCCTAGCGTCCACTAAAACGAGATCTTCATAGCTTTAGGACGTTGAACTGACTAAATAATAAATATATAGATAACACCAATATAACTGGACGGTAGTATAACCCGTTTACCTAACTCGTCGCTAGCCGCATCTGATATAGCAGCTGTATGAGCATTACCCGAATATAAATCGGCCCGCAGCTCGGATTGACTGTGAAAATCCACTTCAAATTCAACTGATCAATAGTGGCCCACACCAGCAATATACTGTTGCAAGGGATGGCAACCACAAAGAACCGTATTGAATTCAGTACGGCGAGGAAACACGCGATATGCATGGAAGTAGCGGAGGGTTAGGTTCCGGCCGTTTTACGAAGTCATATTTCCACAGTTGCAAAATCAACATCAACATCATCTTCCAGGCCTGCAGCGTCTGCGGGCTTTATATCAGCATTATCCTCATTGTCGACTGGCATGACAGGGTCATCGTGATGCGCGGTTCGGTCCGCCAGCCGCATGCCCCAGTGTCAGCCCGTATCATCGTGGGGAAATACCAGAATGTATTGGAGCGACAGATATGCCACATGACTGGGATCAATACGCTGTAAGCCTGTAACGCCAGGTACTGACGACCGCAGTTGAAGCTGCATATCCCGAAATGTCCTTTGGTGCCAGATCGGACCGATATCTGGGATAATGGCCGCAACCTCGGACACTGTAGGTAGATTTTCACGACGACGATCACTACCTACCTCCTGGATCAGCCGTAGTTGAGCAGTCAACAATACATTGTCAGGGGTAGAACAGTGCTATAAAGCAATAAGCTGTTCACGGGCAGTCACATACACACCGATGTACGGATTGCAGGACTGTAACATCAGGCAGCATACTCAATGTTGGAACGTCAACATTAGAGCCCTGCGGCCCATTGGCCCGGACCATGCGGGAATCAAGAGCCATTTCCTAGTCATAAAACCAAAGCTGCGCATAAGCTGGCGTAGTGCCTTCTGCAGGCCGTAGCGGGCCGTGCAGATGACACAGCTGGCCATAGATTTGGAATGGTATAAAGCCGTCATTAATTCTATTATCAGCTGTATAACTTGCTGAAGTGAAAGCCAATGCCGAATTATAGAAACGAATCTTCTTCCAGAAAGCAATAACCGGGCCGCTATTTGATATATATAGCTCCTTAAGATCATCAGGCGGTGCCTTTACAGCAGGTAGTTGAACAGCACCTTGCTTTCAACAACGACTAAAACGTGGAGCTGTATTATTTTAGTTGAAGTTGTCACTTTTTCGGCCATCCAGTGGAGGGTTCTACACTATGTACACTAGACGTCCATACGGCAGCAGTTGAGTGCACTACGTCGAAAGTACTCCGAAATAAAGCCAATTGGAGTACGGCCCCGTCGATCCAGTAGCTGGTTTGGCGCGGCCGATTCTAAATTCGGACCAACTGGCCCGTCTATTTGTCCCAAGTCACTGATTAACGGCACTGGCAATATATTGATATCAACACTACTAGCAGTTACAATGATATTTTCGGCCACGGGAGGCAAAGAAGGGCGAGGGGTTAAACAGCTGTAGCAGATCGTGACGGGCCGGGACTTTCCGAACGACATGATATACATCTTTTCAAGACTTTGATAACGTCGCTCACTAATGTCTTCTCAAACGATTGACGGCTGTACTTCTTCTTACAGCCCTGACATGGAATGGCATTATCTGGGGCTGAGGCGGCCGATTCGGAGCTGGAAGGTATGATATCAGCTGCACGAAAATCCTATATACGAAGTTGGCAGTTGTCTAGATTAGTAAAATAATGCAATGCAGAGCAATCACAACAATAAGTATATGCCCTTCCGGCCCATTCAAACCGAATAAATGAATCAACCGAGCATTGCTGATGACAACGCTGACAGAAACAGGTATCTTGCGAAGGTCGACGACGTCTTTTCCGGGGCCAAAAAAGCTCAATTGGGTCTGTATTAGCTAGAATATTCTGGGCAGAAGCCAATAGTCCTTGAAGAGGCATATCGTGGTGGTATAAACTGAAAAGGGGGCATAATTACGGACCGAAATAAAAAAACAGTAGGACCGGAATTGGAAAAACAATATAACGGTGCCACGACAGCTGCTTATATAAGAAGTGCGAAAAAAGAATTTTGCGTGTATATATAGTATGATTTGACCGTTCTATCTATTCTGCCTTAAGAGTTACCTCTTGAGATTTACTCCGTACATTGTCGGCTTCGGAGCTCGGCTCGTCTCGTTCAGGTTCGGAGCTCGTCACCAGAAACCGGCCAGAAGTAACGTCGGAGCCTGTCTTCACTCCAAGCCACCACTCGGACCGCACGAGTCCGACCCTCATTACACGGGCTCCTTTTCACCCTTTCATGCCAAGGGCAATTCATAATGACTGATAGGGTCCGACGCAACGGCCAACTGTCCGCATGTGAGCCATGCCGTAAGTCCAAACTTCGATGCGATCACGGACGACCAGTGTGTGGGAGGTGTGCGCGTCGCCAGCTGTCCGAGCAGCAATGCCATTACCATCCAGCTCCGATGTCTAAACAGCTCACGCCCCAAAGCGACCGGGAAACGCCGCATCAACAGGAGGCTCCTAGGTCGATCGCAACAGGTTCAAGCCCTTACGAGCTGGTTAATATGAACAGGGACTTGATGTCCTTTGCGGATCCAAATACTCCCCACCCGCATCGCTCGTATACATCATCCCTGACAAGGACTAGTGTAGCCCTACCTCAGCCTTCTCCACCTAATCAACAAACAAATTCCCAAGGAGCAAGATTATTGAATGATATTTTGGAACTGGTTACCGAAATTGGTGTACCTCTTGAAAGCTTCTCGATTCTTGAGACAGACAGACCTATACATTGATGGACCCCTTGTCGAGGTAGCGTGAAACGCAACAAATAATAGCATACGAAGTTTATTAAATAATCGCTCAGTTCTAAATCTGGAATCGATATCCCGAGAAATATTCGAGCGAACCTCTTTACCCCCTGTCTTTCCTCCCACTGCAGCTGCTGGCGCATTGGAATCAGCATTCTCCACACAGGCTTTGCGCTGGGAGATGATTGGCATATACTGTGCGCTAAATTGGAATATACCTAGGTGGAGAAAATGACATGTCATTCAGCTTATCTGCCCATGAGACGTGGAAATCAGATCGCAAAACATTAATACAACGGGCCTTTCAAGCTTGCATCCAGTGTGAATCGTTCTGCGATTATCTCGGTGCTATGAACGATCTGACGCTATGGTTTCTGATGCTGACTATCCTATTCGCTACATGGTGCTTTGGTGACGACTCATACCATGCGTTACGGCTTGTAGGTAGCATGTCGTCAGTCTTTTTGCCCTGGGTTTCCATAGAGGAGTCCAGCATGATCCTTCTATGCTATTCTATATGACTGAGATTCGGAAAAGAGCGATCGCTTGGGCCCATGATCACGACAAGGTGTGTGCCAGTTTCACATCGCGGTAGGATCTTATGCCTAGGCTATAGTACATATCATTTTCACTAATAGTGCCCTGGTTATAGACCTGTTCATCTTAGTCGCCACTTCTGCGTAATAGAAATGCCCCTTGATCTGCCAGACTCTGCGATTACAGGCACACCCGAAATGCTCCTCAAATCTCACGAGAACTTAGATGCAGATGGCTGGAGTAAAGATAAAACCATACGTCCAGTTTCTGGACAGCGAGTACAACTAATGCTGTGTATGATTCGTGAAGAGGCTCTAGAGCTGAAACTTAGACCTCCAGCGCCAGACCTCGAGGCAAAGGCAGGGTAAGTAATATAATCAATATACCTTCAATCCATCTTAACGCTAGCTTCAGACGCATCCTACGAAAATTAAAGTCGACCTGGCAGTCAATTCCGTCACATATGAAATACGACTCAGCCCAACAGAGGGCAGGACAGATCAAAACTGCCATGATCCTACATAGTCTGCGGTTGGAATATCTGTGCACAGAGTTTCTTCTACACACTCTGCTTGCCATTTCTAGCAAAATCAGTCGCGAGAGGCTGCTCCTAACCGCGCACGAGATTGTCAATACTGTCCTCCTACCGATACGGAAAAGGGACCTACTGCACAGTCATAGAGCAGACATGGAATGGGCTGTAAGTGGCGTGATTCCAGAAATACCTGAACCAGCTCACGAAATCCCGATTCTGCCTCAGCCAAAGGGGCAGAATCGCAACCGCGGGGTCAGGATTATGCAAGGCGACTTACCTGACCCTACTGGGCTACAGAAAATGTGACCCCCGAGTCTAGTTGAGGTGTCTCCACTACTCGGGTATGTCGTTAAACTTTCCCGTATACATCAATTTTCTTTTCATCGGTATATTTGACTGCTATAAATGCGGTAAAACATGGCATGCGTGTCTTGCTTCATCACACAGGCTGCAAGATGGGGGGTAAGAAAGAAGAAAATGACGAATTACTGCAAGGAAAAACTTGTCAAATTGTCCTACGACCGGACTCTGCGTTGTGTAACTAGTCAGTTTTCAGCCGTGCTACAAGAACAGCTAACCGGTGGACTCGGAGCAAACATGGATCGTTCTTGTGGACACGGTTGTCGATTAATAAACCCGTAATCAAAATTCCTGTTACGGCCCAAAAAGTTGCCTGGTTCCAGAACACCTTGTGATTTACCAAGTAGAGAGCGTAATGTATCACGATCTGGACTATAACAGAAAGGAGAAGCTTCGTGAAATCAAGAAACCATAGAGTAATATACAGTACGATAGGGTCAAAGAAGGTCCAAAGACTACGGCTCGGTTTCTGTGCACTTCATCGGGACGTAGGTATTCAGGTTATACAAATTACAGCCAATGTCAGCCAGAGCTGAAACTGTAGCTATGCTTATATCTCGATGCCGAAAAAAATGAGTCAACCGCAAATGTGGTACGTCACCCGCCCAATCTCAATTCATGCATTCTAGGAATCAGATTGACATATGGAGAAATCAGGTGAAAGACAATCCCTTTTTCTTAAAATTTTCATGTGACTCTTCCCTTGCTAAGTGTTATTTCCCGTCCGCCAGTATTGATTCGACAGGCAATACCAATATTTTCTGAATAGAAAACAGGCCTCGATTAAATCTATAATGCAATGATGTCTGGCAAACTTATTGACAGCTTGTCTACCGTTGATGAAGGCAGTTACACACGCATAAAGCTGTCTCATGTAAGTATTCCTTACGACACTTAAATCCATCGTCTATCGGAAAGTATTTCAGTATATAGACGGGTTCCTAGCGCCGGTCTCAGAGCAATCCACATCGATATCGTACGTAGTACAAGTTTTGCTTCTAGTATCTTGGAGTATATGACATTATATCCGACGATATAACAGATTACATCAACTAGGAGTTTCATATGCATTTGTCAAGGCCCCCCAAAGTACATTATTCTCACCGCAAGCGATTGGTTTGATCCATCTTCATTCACACCATCCATTCCACTCTCAATTCAAGCGTCACTTCAACTAACACCTATAGTATGACTGGAAGGATATCGTCAACTTCCCTGACTCCAGCTATAGATAATACACTTTTACTGGTTCGGCAGTCCAGTAATCAGCTAATATGTATAGCCTTTATATGGATTGGCTGCCCTTTTATATTTTTAATGACATCGTTCATTCAATGTTGATAGGGCTCCTGAACACATATATTTGCTAAATGGGTCTATTGTTTTCATGTAGTATTTCAAACGTCTATCGGTTCTACTTTCTATATAACTCACTAAAAACTCTACTTTATTCGTACGTCAAGGAAACTTAGCAACTAAATTAACACAAATCCAAGTCTATTGTCAAGTTTCCTTTTCAAAACATATTCGACTTCATGATCTTCTAAGTAACTATACATGTCAAGAAAGCCTCCAACACTTTCTCTTTTTGGGTAATGCATTGAATAATATACTCTCGATCAAAATTTGACAGACCACCAGGGGCGTCATTTAAAGTATTTCCTTCACAAGAAAGACCTGAATCTGGGACCTCTAAAATCAAACCCTCATGCCCATTAACAAGTTTTCGTAACTCTGCTAGGGTGTGGCTCCCTTTTGACAGGGCCATTTTTAGTAGCACTTTCCGAATAGCCTGTTCCTCCTCTTTGCTCACTTCGTAGTCACCAAGATAGCACAGAATATTCTGCGGATCGACGGCTTCCATGTTGTCATTACGCCCCACGATAAGCAGCTCGAATAGTTGGAAGATGAGATGGATGGCGGAAAGGGTTAGGAAGACAGAGGAGTAAGTCTTTTTGCACAATGTGCAGCCGAAAAATTGGGTGCAGGTGTTGAGGGTTGATGTGATGGATTTCATAGTCAAATCGACACGTTCAAAGACTTCTGCTCGGTGGGAGGAGAGTTTATGGAGCGTGGTCACGTTGGAGGCTTGGTTCTGGATACATGCACAGCTGTATTGGATATTAGGGTCGATAAATGGGTTATTTTGGTCGAGAGGAGTGGTCCCATCGCTGTGTTGGCAGAAGAAATTTTCGTCAGTGAATGAGAGAGGGGTATCCAGTATTGCGAGGTTGGAGAAGTCGTTGTTCCCCGCTGTATGGATTACATCCCCCATGTCGATTATCCCAGGGTCAATATTCCCAGGCGAAGATGCTGTGTCACTGAGGATTTCATTGGTTGGAAGCTTGTTGATTGGGTCAATTGTTGAGCTTTCGGGGGGTGAAGGCGAAGGAGGTATCTTAAAACAGAGTAGTTTTAATCTCTGCTACAAGCATTGAAACTATATTGAAAGCGACTCACCATTCTAGATTCTTCCTTAGTGAGGGATGTATTGGACAAGAAGGCCAAGGAGTCTGGGAACTTGAAATCCAAATCACATTGATCTTTCCGAGGCTGTTCGAACTGTTCTGCCAGCCAGTTTAATCGCATCTGCTGCATCCTAGCAATGGTCTTTCGATTCTTGCTTCCTTTTGGTTTCCCTCCTCGATTCTGGAAACCATAGCAACAGGACAGCTCCTTAGATGCGCACCGAAAGCATGGAGAGCCTCCAGAGCACTTCACCTTCGCCTGGTGACAACAATTACAGGCTGAGCGAAGCTTTTGTTTTTGCTCTGGATTAGCCTCGGTGCTTGGGTTAGAAGTGGCGTTGAACACAGCAGTCATTATGGTAGAAGAACAAGGAGCGAGGGTTCATGATCTGATAATCCCCTAGCGGGGAAATCACTAGCTTCTTATAAGATCTGGAGGGACCTGCCTCTCGGAAAATATACGAAGGGGAATAGTGCAAGCCTTTGCTGACACCATTCCTGACGACTTTCCTGACGACTTTTCTGACGTTTTGACAGTAGCTAGGCTTGACGGATACCGGCTGTAAACAACTACACCAAAAATGGGTCCTCTCAAGGGTGTCCTGGTAATTAATTTGGCTCTCATTTCGGCTGACAACTAAGCTGTCTCAGACGCGGAGGCTGGATAGGACCCGCTGATTTGCAAGCATGAGATGTGAAAAGTAGAATGGAGAATAAACAATTACGAATAGAAACAACATAAGAATGCTCTGGCTGGAAACTGGCTAGGCCAAGAAATATTAGCATGATTTGGTCGAGTGTTGGCGTAAGATTTCGTTGACATGGTAATTTCATGTAAAGTTGATCCGGTAATTACGGAGTACATATCCAGAGTGGGGCCGCTGTACCCAATAATCTTGACCATCATAGAGTTTAATTGGCAATTATTAAAGAAACACTCAAGATGACTAATCCCGAGCATCGTCTATATCTAATATGCTGTAATTACGGTATCGGTAACATCGCTCTCACTATAACAAATTTACCATCCCTCACCAACGTCCTTGAGTGTTTACCTCATCCACAGCTATCGCCAGTGGACCCGCGGGGGGAGTCAGGGATGACGTGTAATTTTCCTCCACGTGCACTGTCCGGGGTTCCATGAGGGTTTTGACGGCTTAATCTGGCACGTTTTTGACTAATTGCAGGGTCTTGATTCGCCTGCGGCGTAATCCTTTCACCAGCAGCTACCTCAAATATCGATCGAAATCTGATCAGAGTATAAACGTCGTATATAGCTATTTTGTTGTGTTCCGACATCAGCGTATCCTTGCGCTTACTCAGCTGTTATTATAATTGAAAAAACCTATATCCTATCTACGGTCTCAAGATACATCAAGGTAGGCATACGCGGCAGATGCATATATCCGTGCAGTGTTACAAGGAACCCTGGGTTCGTCTACGGTATTCTATATTCGCTTCCATTGGCGTGCACTCAGGTTCATCCGATCCCAATCGGTGCATTTTGTTTATAACTATCAGCCTGACCAGCTAGCTGCTTATCGTAGTTGATCGTATCCGTGTCGAACACGGGGGCTGGAAGCATTATTGGAATGGCTGTGTCTGGAATTACGGCTTGGTCAGGTCTCGGTGGGATGTTTAGGTGGATCACGATTGCATGACAATCGATTCAGTCTGTGCTTTTTGAGAAAACTTTTTCGAAACTTGGCTCTAGTTGGGGGCTGTAAATATACAGACTGCATGTCAGCTCGAGTCTTATACAGAGTCAAGTCAGCTTACCTCCTAGTACGCTCGTTCCTAGTGCCCACAGCGCCCCCCAACGCCCCCCAACGCCCCCAAAATGGTCGGGTGCCCATGAGCACTTGTAATGGTGAAAATTGGCGCTTTCGCCCTTGTTTAAAGTGTTGGTTGACACGACCGGAGACCGCAACGCGGGGCTGACCAGGGTAGCTCGGCCGAGCTAGTGCTTCGGCCGACCTAACGGAATGCGTCATCCGAACTAGCGTCGTGCGATCGACAAAGATCGCTCGGTCATGTGGATCATCTTGCCCTATTTTCGACTACTGTATGGAAGCACATGGTGCTACCTGGTAGACATCTGGAATGGCTTGCATCTAGCACTAGAAGGTTGAAAAATGGAGGTTATTTCTGCCGACGAAGGCCAGGATTGGCGATTATCTCGTGTTTGGAGGTACTCATCGCCGAAACATCGCTACATTGGAGCCTAGCCTTCTAACCACCACGTTGTCAATCTTTGCAAGGGGTGGGATCTAGATCTCTCTGCAGATGCTACCTAAGAATCCTACTGCTTATTCCACGGTGCCACTAGGGTTTTGTAAAATTACTGACCTAGCTTGTCATTGTAAACCTGACATGACAGGCTTTGCCATGTCAAATCTGACAATTTGCGTAATTTTGAAGTGGGTCCAATGAAAGTGCTTTTATTGGTCGAATTTTCTCCCCAACCAATCGACATTGTGAAAGGTTTCTTGGCGACGGCCTAGTGGCCGCCAATATTTAAAAAAGCTAGATCCAAAATCACATGCATACTTTTCCGCATTTTGACATACTCAAGATAGTATAGTGCATAACAAAATTTGCTATTCAAATGGATTCTAACGCGGGCCCCAAAAGTTTGTGTCATATCAAAAGAAGGTCCTGACAATACCAAACACTAAATGCCACTCAGTCTATGCACGTGACACCTAGAACCCTATCAGGCTATTACCTAATACGCCACATGATCTGGTGGTGTTGAGGGTTGTTTTGTATACCTGCAGAAGCGCAAACAAACCTCTCCGGTCGCAATCCTGGCCATCCTCGACTGGCGTTCGCTTAACATTCTTACAGTCCATTAATGCTCATACTATACAGGAATCTGTATGTAGTTATACCCACATCACTGCACGCGGAGTCTGGAGGCTTGGCAAAGTGTACGAGGCATGGAGAGGCGCTCGAGGCGGCAAGTCAAGCTAGCTCGGCCGAGCTGGTGGTCCGCCATTCGTCCATCTCAAAACACGAAACAGCCTATTAGGAAGATCACCAGAAATGCTGCCTCCTTCTCCGCCATCTGTCTCTGTATCTACCTACCTTACCACTCCTATAGCCCCGCCGGCTCCGGCTGACACACCCCGAGAGTCCAACTCCGCCGAGTTTTGAATGTCCGGTCGGTACCTGTAGAATGACGAACTCGATAGGCACAGTTCATAGAGGAATATTAATGGCGTACAATCAATCTTGTTCTCTTCCATAATCTCTCTCAGAAAAACTCTCTCATACATTAGATTGGGTCTATCCATCAGGACGAATTCAGACTTTACCTCATCTACTCCCACTGATCACATCTCTTTGCTTGACAGCCAGCTAATAAATATCTACCGCGGGAATGGAGCCCAAGGACGTGGCTGGGCCTGAGATTTCGGCTGGCCTCCGCTCCTCATCTAGCGACTGCGAGCAAACCCCTGTCAATTCAAAGACCATTGACCGTACCCCTCCAGATGGCGGCACAAAAGCGTGGTTGTGTGTTGTCGGCTCGTTTCTTCTCCAGTTCTGCTCCTTTGGCTATGTGAACGCGTATGTGACAGATCCTGCTACTTCAAGGAGCTCTAGCCAAACTAACGACGTGAGAACAGGTGTGGAATGTTCCAGCTCTACTACTCGGAGGCCCTGTTGAAGGATGAGTCCTCTGCCAATCTAGCCTGGATTACCACCCTGCAGATTTTCCTGCTGTTTATGTTCGGGCCCGCCATCGGCAAGCTCATCGACGTTTATGGCTGTCGCAAGCTTCTTCCCGTTTTCAGCATCCTGGCAGTTTTTTCAGTTTGTATGATGAGTTTGTGCACCACATACTGGCAAATCATCCTGGCTCAAGGGGTTGCTTTCGGATTTGCTGCCTCTGGGTTGTGTCTCCCTGCCATGGCACTGGCAACCCAGTGGTTTTCAACTAAGAAAGGTCTGGCGGTGGGCATTGTATCCTCGGGTAGCAGCTTAGGTTAGTTCGCAAGTCGCTAAACAGTCCTATACGTAACTTCCAATGCTTACTCTCATAGGGGGTGTCATTTACCCATGCATGCTTCCCCGTCTCATTCAGGAGGTTGGCTTCGCATCCGCGGTTCGCTGGACAGCCCTCATGCAGGGAATTTTGCTGCTAATTGCTAACCTTCTCTGCTCAACGCCATTTCCTCCCAAGGGCAAAGAAGAGTCTAGTGACGATGCCCCCAAAAGCTCCGGTCTTCGCGGTTTCAAGAGTTGGCCGTGGGCTTTCTTCGTTCTGGGCTGCTTTTTCACCATGTGGGGATTGTTTGCACCTCTCAACTATCTGCCCGAGATGGCGGCCCTCCACGGTCTGGCCGACTTCGCTGAATATACGCTGGCTATAGCCAACGCAGGTTCTCTGGTTGGTCGTATCGTGCCTGGATGGGCCAGTGATCGTATTGGACAATTCAACATGATGGCCATTGTCACCAGCCTGTCTGGTATTCTAGTCCTTGCATTCTGGCTGCCTCTTGAATTCCATGCCTCGAAGGCCGGTATTATTGTCTTTGCGCTGCTTTACGGCTTTGTCAGCGGTGGGTTCGTCAGTCTGGGTCCTCCCTGTGTTGTGGCTCTTGCTGGAGACAAGGTCGACGAAATCGGTGTTAAGCTGGGTGGCTTTTGCTTAGCCATCGCGCTAGGCGCCTTGACCGGACTTCCCATTGAAGGAGCGATCAAGGACCGCGAGCAAGACAAGTTCACTGGTCTTATGGGTTTTGCGGGTGCTACCATGATCATGGGAGGTATACTGACAGGCACTGCTCGTGTTATGAAGGGCGGTGCGCAATTACGAAAGAAGATTTGAGCGAGACTCTTCACTCTGAGAACGAGACGAAGGCGGCATCTTATTCTCAGTGTCAAATTTGGCAGGTTTTGTCGTGTTACGAAAGAAAAAATGTAAATAACGGTAGATTTGCTGGAGGAGAGTGCCGAGAGGCCTAATAGTAGCAGGCATATGTATATTAGTTTTATGTTCCTTTAATAGAATAATTCAATAGCTTTGAGTATGATAGGGAATTATATCCTTATTTAATTTCATATCTTTCATCCAACTAAAGCTTATTCGTAGTCTACTGTGCGAGTGTCTCAAGGAGTATTCAAACATCAGCCGAACCGCACAAGTGATAAATACTGACTCTCGAGACTGATTTCTTATTGATCTATTATACATGAAACTAAGACTAAATATGATCCAATAACGTTGCTTACAATCTCACAACTAGAATGGCAAGTGTTAGAATTGTTTGGGAGGGCAAATCACCACAGCCGGAATGCCACGGGCGGGGGTAGAAGAAAAATAAAAACCAATTTAAAACCAAGAAGCTAACTCAGATAAGTACAACCCAGTAAATCACAAAATCAGATCTCCAGCGTGCCATTTCCATTCACATGCCCATTGCCATCCAGCACCTCACCAGATGGTCTCAACTCAAGGATCTGCGTCAAGCATCCTCTAGGCGAAACCACCCTCTCTACCTTCCAACCGGCCTGCGTCGCAATGTTTGTGTATTCCTCCAATGTTCTCTCCTTGCTTCGGCATCTTGCCAGCATCCGGATATCTGCATACCTGGCTCCGCGGCCCAACCGGCCCTCAAACACAACAGACTCAACAATCAACACACGAGTCACCCCTGGTTTTACAACGGCCGCCTCGCGAATTCTTTTCAACAGCTTGATGCTATCCTCGTCATTCCAGTTATGTAAGATCCAGCGCAGATGGTAGACAGTCGCTGCCGGAATCGCATCTTTGAAGAAATCCCCCCGGTTCACAGCCACTAGTCGGTTCGCAATCGGATCGTCCGCTGGGATCTGCGTCTGCAAGACGTCAGCAGTCTGCGGAAGTTCAAAGGCACCTGCAGTAGCAGTTGGGTATTGCTCCAGATATGCACGGATGAAATCTCCCGTGCCAGCGCCAATGTCCATGATAGTTTCGGAAGAGACTTCATTCCACGGATAATCGTTGAGTAGGCCTGGGGCTTCTGCCACGCTGCCGGTTTTGGTCACGCGGTGGAACTCGGCTACTCGTCCCGTTTCGGCAAGGTATTGGTAAATTGGCTTATCTGTCTTGTAGAAAAGCTCGGTGGCGGTCTTGGGCTGGTCGATCTTCAATTGTGAGGGGAGATGGGAGATGAGGTCGTAGTATTCGCGGGGGAAGAAGTCGGCCCAAGCGATCCAGGTGGTCCAGTGGTCGTTTAGGAGGAGGCTTGAAAGGCGGTTGTTGGAGAATTTCTTTGTGACAGGGTCCTGGGTGAAGTAGCCCATCTCTCCAAGGTAGCGCATGACCTGGGAAAGACCCAGTTCATGGACACCAGCAGCACTGGCCAAGTCCTGGATGGAAACAGGCTGGAGTTTTTGGATGTGATCAGCGAGCTTGTATTCAGTTGCACATAGCAGGACTTTGCTGTTGGTGAATGCTGTTGTTTCTTGTTAACGATTGGTGGAGGAAATTCTTGTGGACGTAGAGTTTACCGAAGATGCCATCGACAAGAGTCAAATGGGGAGGAGTCAAGGTGATAAGAAGTTTGTCTAGCACTTGAATTGTCTCTTCGATCTTCTTGTAGACAGGGCTGAGTTTGGTAGACTTGACGTCAAGCACGCCGTCAAGTTCATTGGCCAAGGGTCCTTCTAGCAACGACAAGCTGTGCTTAGCGTTCCAGAGAAGATGGTCGATTTCATTCTCCATTGTGTTTTGTTTGAATATTTGCTATTTGATGTAGTTGCTTCAAATGTGCTTGTACCAATTGATGTTCTAATAAACAGATATAATCAGAAGCTGTAAGTAGATTATCTTCTTTCCTCTTTCTAGCCGAAGACACTCGATAGATATGCCTTGTTTTTATACACATCCCAAAAAGTTAGGTTCTAAGTCAAGACGTAATTACCGAAACTTTTCAATTCCCTGCGTATCGGTCTTCGGCATGTTGGAAGCATAGCCGCGGGGGTAACCGGAGGATAAATTTGGGGCTGAAATTAACAGTCTCGGCCGGATAGTTATAGGCGGCGCTCGGAAATACTAAGGGAAAAGCGAAGTTACAGCATGCCAAAGTAAACAGAATAAAAAAAACTATTTTTCTGTCATGAAGAGAAATTGAGTATTAGTTCGAACCCTTTGCTATTCTAACTTTTTGTTATCATCTCTTCATGTATTGTGTCGTTTTGCATGCTCATGCCCATACTGTCAAGAGTGAGACTCTCTGAGCAGGATGTCCGCTCAAGACTACTCTAACACTGAGACCCTCCTTGATCACTTCCATAGAGAACGCCACTCTTACCCTTCTACAATTGCAGTGGAGGATGGCACAAAAGACACAAACCCCATAACACGCCCCAAAATCACTTATGCTCAACTCGACTCTCTGTCAGAACTATGGAGCGAACGACTGCACCTTGCTGGAGTAGGCCCCGGCTCTATTGTTCCTCTTCTCTCCTCACGATCCATTTCTATGGTTGCAGCTACTCTGGCAATTCTTAAATTACGCGCTGCTTATGTACCAATGGATGTCCATTCGTGGGGGAGAGATCGAATAGACAGTGTTCTCGGGACTGTCAGCCCGAAAGTTGTCGTATCAACATCGAAAACAGGATCGGAGGTGCTAATGAAGGGAGCTCAGAGTCAAGACCCTACTCACGGACTCGATTATACCGTGGTCACTCTTGATGACAGTGTCGATAGAGATGCTAAAACTGGTGAGGTTACGATCGTCAACGGGTTTCATAAACCTAGACTGGTTGGTTCAGAAGACAATGGCCGTGGCGACGACCTTGCTTATATGATATTTACTTCCGGAACGACAGGAAAACCAAAAGGTGTGATGATCGGCCAGAGGTCAATCTCGCGCTACGTTAAAGAAGGAGGGGAACTGCCCTTTAACCTTAATACGACTCGGGGTACGAGAGTCCTCCTCATCTGCTCAGTTGGATTTGACGGTAAGAATCGTTTTACCCCTTAAATCTAAATGTCTTCTACTATGGCACAAATGATACAGTTCACTAATAAAATATTTTAGTTTGTGCTGGAATCATGTTCAACGCTGTTTGCAACGGAGGAACCATAGTTCTGGCTGACCCTCCTACCCTTGAAACGATAGCGAAAGAATGCTCCGTTCTACCACTCACTCCCAGTATCCTGGCCACGCTTGATCCTACCGCTGGGTTTGAGCGTATAGAAAAAATCTTCTTAGGGGGTGAAAGTCCCCCACCAGCATTGATAGAGGCTTGGACTTCAGAAAACCGCCGGCTGTATAACTCTTATGGACCTACCGAAACGACTTGTACTGCTACAATGGCAGAGTTAAAACCTGGTGTGCCGGCCACAATCGGCTATCCAATCTCCTATAGTAATGTCATTCTCCTTGACAACCAAGGAAATGAGTCTTCTTCAGAAGGAGAAATTTTAATTTCCGGGCTCGGGCTTGCACACGGATATTTTCAAGACGCCGAAAAGACCGAAAAGTTATTTATCATGCGCGATGGTATTCGCTACTACAAGACTGGAGACTATGGTAAAAACACCCCTTACGGGCTCCAATTTTGTGGTCGAAGAGATCATATGGTGAAGAATCGCGGTTTTTTGATAAATCTTGAAGATGTTGAATTAGCTCTTTCATCATCCCCGAAAGTTGATCGTGCTTCGGCATTAATGTTCCAAGGCAGGCTTTCAGCCTTTGTTGCCCCGATATCAGCGAAGGAAGGGTTGCGGGAATACCTGGGGGATACTGTTTCTACTTTCCTGGTTCCAGATACCGTCTACTCGCTTGATAGTTTTCCAATGACAAGTAATGGGAAGGTGGATAGACGGGCTCTGGTGCAGATTCTCGGCCAGGGGGGGTTGGCCACCGATGGTGAGAATGAGCAGGTTGGTGTAACTGATCTTTCCTCTGTTGAAGCTGTGCGAAGAGGCTTTGCCCACGTTTTAAAGCTTCCTATATCGCAAATTTCTGAACTCTCATCCTTCAAAAATCTTGGAGGTCATTCTCTAGCTGCTGTACTGCTAGTGACAACCTTGAGAAGAATGGAATTCGAGATCAGTGTTGCCGATGTCTTGCTGCTCGACTCCGTCCAAAAGATCGCCTCGTCTGCTAAGACTTCGCCTTCCATCAACAGATTACCAGATGTTTCTTCTTCTACTTCAAAATATGAGAATGAACTTGCACAACTGAGACAGGATGTAGCAACTGCAAAAGGCTTGACCATTGACAATGTCTTACCTATGACGGATATGCAAACGAAGATGGCACGAGCTAGTATCGTCACCTCAGGACTGTCTTTCATAAAGACTTCCTTCACGTTTGACCATGCTGGAAAAGGAAACTTTCCGTCAATCCTTAAGGCTGCCTGGATCCGTCTTAATGAGCGCCATGGTATCCTCAGAACCACATTTCTCTTGAGCTCTCCTCGTCCAGTTCAAATAATCTCTCCGTATGCTCAACCTGATTGGGAAGAAATTGTGACCACCGACTCACGTTGGGATTCTATTTGTGAGCGCGAAGAGATATTAGACATGAACGATTTCACCAATTTCAATGAAGAAGATTCCGGGTCTCTCTCACGGGTCTTGCTTGTTATAGTTCCTAATAACCGCACAAGGTTTATCTGGACAGTTCACCACAGTCTAATCGATGGCTGGTCAATGGCTAACCTTATGAGTGACTTTTCTACTTGTCTGAACGAGAATCAGCAAGCACTTCCGCCAGCACCTCAATTCGCAGATGTCGCACTTTCAATGAGCCGTCTCGAGTTTGAACAAAGAGAAAAGGCTATTTCGTTCTGGAAAGGCTATTTGAACAGAAACCTGCCGCCCGCACGTCTCAGACTCCCAGAATCCTCTGATATCAACAATTATAGAACATCGACTCAATCTCAGAGACTTACGGTCACCGTCTCGGCTATTGAATCCGCTGCCAATACCTTTTCTGTGACACCAGCGACTCTGCTTTACGCAGCCTGGGGAATAGTAATATCCAGATACAGTGGCTCAGAACGTGTTAATATCGGTGCTGTTCTATCAGGACGAAGCCTGCCTATACCAGGAATCGAGAACATCGTTGGCCCAGTCATCAACACACTGCCACTTCCTTTAAATTGTTGTACTGAAGAAAGCTCCAGCGATTCAACATCCGGACCCCGAACCGTACAAGGTTTCCTTCAATCTGTGTTCAAAGCTCTATGCGAGATTATCGAATTCCAGTGGTCCAGTAGCTCCCTGATTCAGGACGCCTGTGAAAGTAAATTCGTGGATCTCTTCCAGACCCTTTTCGTCTTGCAGTATGACTTTCCAGATAACCCTTGGGGAAGCAACGCGGTCTCTGCGCCGAGAGATCAAAAATACGAAGAGACGACAGAGATTCCACTTACAATTCTCTTGGATAGTATGGGTGGGGTGTTCAATGTGAAGTTTCTATACAGACATTCTTTTTTCGAGAACTTCATTATACACAATATGTATAAGCATTTTGATAATGTTCTCTCCGCTCTTGTTGCAACGGCTCCGGAGGAGGGACTAGAGAGTGTTATCGGGCGGATGCTTGGTGTTGATGAAACCGAGACTTTAATTGCGCAGCCTCGACCATCACCTGAGCCTCAGTCCGACCTCTTTCAATCTCAGTTGGGGTCTTTAGGTAGATCTCCAAAGTGCCTAGCTGAGGCTATTGATAACATAATCCGAAACTATCCCGAAAATTGTGCTGTTGAAGGATTGGATAAATCCCTCACATACACGGAATTGGATCAAGATACAAACAGAATCGCTTCTCGTATGATAGAGCACAGTGGACCTGGCAAAGTCGTATGTATTATAAGCGATGGTAGTATTGAATGGCTTCTAGCCATTGTTGCAACGATTCGCGTTGGTGCTATTTACTGTCCCATTGATCAAAAGCTTCCTGACAAGAGAAAGAGTTACATGATCAGCAACTCTCAAGCGTCATTGATTATATATACAAGTTCCAAGCAAGACAGGATTTCTGGGAGCGAGGCTATTCCGTTCTTGGACATTAAAACTGTTCTGTTGGAAACAGTTACAGCCCTTTCGGCAGATGCCCGACGAATCAGTTACCGCAGTAGCGATGATGTAGCTTGTTTGATTTACACCTCAGGAAGCACAGGCTTACCAAAAGGTACGTTATAGTTTCATAAAATCATCACACTTTCTCAATCTGCAAATCAGTCATTGGTGTCTCAAGCTGACTGAAATACTTATCTAAAGCCGTTCAATTACAACATAAAGGAATTCTGAGCGTAATATCCGATGGAAAAGGAAGACTGTATTCTCGCCCAGGTCAACGTAACGCACAACTTCTGTCTCTTGGCTTTGATTGCTGTATCAAGGAAGTGTTCTCAACGCTCTGTTTCGGGGCAACACTCGTACTTAAAGACTTCGAAGACCCCATTGCGCATCTCAAGAGAGTCGACGCTACAATGGCAACTCCATCACTACTAGCAACATTAGATCCATCCGACTACGCCAACTTAAAAGTCATCACCGTTGCAGGAGAAGCTACTTCACAATCTCTCAATGATAAATGGGCGGTCGGCGGAAGAATTCTAATTAATGGGTACGGTCCGGCGGAGTGTACTCTGATCTGTACGACAGCTCGTCTGAACCCTGGAAAGAAGGTTTCCATTGGCAACGCTGTACCTGGGATGGCCTGCTATATCCTTGACAAGAAAATGCGACCTGTTCCGCGTGGGGTTAGCGGTGAAATCTTCATGTCTGGAACTCAAGTTACGCCGGGATATTTAAGAAATGAAGCAGAGACAGCGCTTCGTTTCCTTGGTAACCCGTTTTATCCAAATATACCTATGTTCAAGACTGGAGACATTGGTCGAAGACTAGAAAATGGAGAAATCGAGTACATTGGTAGAGAAGACAATTTGGTGAAATTGCGAGGATTCAGAATTGACCTGGGAGAGATTCACAGCACGATCTCAAGGGTGGCTTCCGCGGCTAGAAATGTTGCTCTCGTGGTGTTTAATGGAAGCTTATTTGCTTTTGTTACTCCTGAGATGTTGGATGGTGAAAGTCTGAAGAGGGATTTGGAAGGTCAGCTTCCTGAGTACGCTGTGCCCAGTCGAGTAATTCCACTGGCGAAACTTCCGACTTCCACAAACCATAAGGTTGACAGCAAAGCCTTGAGGCAACTTCTAGTTCAACGGGAAGAGGAAGTGGACAAGAAAAGTCAGGGTCAAGTGCAACTACCTAGGACCGAAACTGAGCGTGTGGTTGCGGGAATATGGGCAGATGTGCTTGGTCGAGATATTAACTTATACCCTATCAGTCTGACTGATCGTTTCTTCGAAATTGGGGGTCACTCTTTATTACAGATCCAGGTTTCACAATTTATTGCTAAGAAATGGGAAATAAACTCGCCACTCAGACTAGTCACTCGGCACCATATTCTGCAGGATTTGTGTCAGGCAATAGAGAGGGTTATCGAGGGAAAAGATTATGCAAATATTGCCTCTAGAAAGCCAAAACGCAAACCGTTCCTGGACTTTGAGCCAATCGAACGTACTGTATCGCTTCCACTTTCTTACCTTGAGAAGGAAATGCTGCTCAATCATTTAATCTCTAGTGGCTCACCGGCTGGGAACATGACTTTTGTCGGAAAAGTCCGTGGTAACATTAATATACAGGCTATGGCGGATTCTTTCCAATACGTTACGGCAGAAACAGAGGTGTTTCGTTCCAAGTACCTTGTTGTAAATGGCGAGCTGCATCGATCCCAGATGAGAAGACTACAAGTACCTCACGTTGTTCAAACTGGGAATATCGATGCTTTTATCCAGGGAAAGTTAAACAAGTGCTTTGACCTTACTGAGGATCCGCCTGTTGATGTTTCCATCATTATAGAGTCATCAACGCAGGCTACAGTTGTGGTTGTAATGTCCCATGTCGTTGGAGATGCAATAACCATGGCGAACTACCTCAAAAAAGTGTCCACGAGTTATGATATGCTACAAAGCCCCAAAAACGGCATGCATTCCCAAGTCCAGGTAGCGAACAGCGAAAAGTTAACATACCTCGATTGGGCAGCGTGGGCAGAAACCACGGAGCTTGACGCAGGACTTGCAAATTTCTGGAAGTCTTACCTTTCCAATCTGCCAGAGCCGTTATCTCTCGGACAGCCTAAGGCAATTCCTACCTATATGGGACTTTCTAGATCGTCGATATTGCCGCAATCATTACGCTTGGGACTGTCTCAATTGGCCACAAGAACATCAACCACCATGCATCAAATTGTTCTAGCTGGTGTTTTCTTGTGTTTGCAATGCATAGATAGAAGGGACGATATGCTTCTCGCGGCACCGTTTACTCACCGAATCGAGCAAGGCACTGAAACGATGCCTGGTCTCTTTTTAGACAGACTGATAATCCGTCTTCGCAGGGCTCAGGAGGACAGTTTGTCACAATTTTTATCTACAGTGAAAGAGAGCAGTCAGCAGTCTTTGGCACATTTCATTCCGTTCAAGTCGCTTCGCAAGCTGTTGGAGCTGAACCCTAGTTTATCCAATCCACTTTTCAAAATCATGGTCACGTACCATACACAGGTGGAGAGGGGGTCTGTTCTAGAACTAAAGGGGGCTGAAGTCCAGTCCATCCATTGCCGCAAAGGCGGTGCCAAGTTTCCAATAACGTTCGAGTTCACTGAGAATGCTCACCATGGTGTTCGCTTAGATATGGAATATGACTTGGGTTGTGTCTCGGAAGAAATTGCGACGAGATTGGAGTTTGCTCTGATGTTTACTCTGCAACTGATGGTACTCGATAGGCCACCTGATGAGATCATCAAACTTGTATATGATTCTTTTCATACTACATCAAGACTCTCTTCTGAAGGAACAATTCTCTTGGCTAACGGCACCCATACAGCCTCTGAGGGTAAAGAGAGAACTTTACGTCCAGTTGAACATACAGCTAAACTCATCCAAGAGGCAATTAGCGAATGTCTAGGGCTTAATGAAGGCGGGGTGAAAGATCAGCTGTCATTCTGGGAGCTCGGTGCTCAAAGTACAGACGCAGTCAGGTTACAGTGGCTATGTAAGAAACAGGGGGTGGATGTCAGTCTTCGGGATATTTTTGTTATTGGGACTGCTTTAGAACTAGCAAAACGTGCAACCGCATGTAAATGATAGGGTAAGTTATGATTATGTTATTATTACTCAGATTTTGTGACCGTATCCAGATTCTAAGCTAGGAGAATTTCAGATAAACAAAAGTGGAGCACAGAGATGGTCACTGTTTCTACAACACACAGTTCTGTTCTATGTTAGGATGTTTGTTTAGCTAATATTGGAGTGTAATCATTTGGAAACTAATTCGTACATTTTCTCCGAAGTCTCAAATTGCACCACCGAGCACTCGTGTGGCATCCACGTGTAGGATATTCCCCAGACGTCCGTCGCCGAGAGACCATACAATTGGGTGTTCGTCATTCATTATAGCGTAATCCGAAGCTTCCATGACGTCTGAAAAAATCAGATTAACGCTCTGAGGAACCAAGGATGTGGTCATCGGAAATACAATTAGAGTGCCGACTTAGGATTCCAATCGGACGCCGAAAAGTACTCACCGCACGGCGGCGACTCTGCCATTTCCGGGTCGCCAAGAGATGTCTCAACTCCATCTTCCAACTGATCTTAAATAATAGCACATTTTATTCTTCAGGATGTAGATATATCAGTACTCCAGTAGCTCGTGGTAGAATAAGTTACTTAGAAGCAATCGATCAGTATCAACGGGGGAATCAAAGCACCACCTACCATCGATCAATCAAGTCAAAATGCCTACAAGTACTGAAGTTGTTCTAATCCCCAACAACAATCACTCAATAGAGAGCAAGCTCAATGCAATCAACGGAGAAAGAGATGTCAATGTCAATGTGGAAGAATTACCTCTGGCATCTTTGACGCCCTTTGACCTTTTATCCGTTGCTCTACCTCTCCCTGGCCCAGTGTCTTCGACAGATTACTGGTGGCGAAAGACTGGACCTATCATCAGTGGGCTGCTCTCAAAAGCGAATTACCCTCTGTACAACCATTACAAGCATCTCTTGTTATACCATAGCCATATTCTTCCACTACTTGGACCTCGCCCGCCACATCATAATGATACTCACCCATCTCCTTCAAACGCACCATGGAGGGCATTCCTCACAGATGACTTCACTCCCGTTGAACCGAGCTGGAACATAAGTGGCAACGAATCTACCATCCGACTTGGAGTTGAACCCATTGGCTTCTCAGCTGGAACTCACACTGACCCTTTCAATCAATCTTTGGTTACCGAATTCATGAACTCTTTGGTAGCTAGCGAGGCAGATGCTGATTTGGAAATGTTTGAGCACTTCCGGAAGGATTTCTTCATTCCAGCGGAGTCGTCTTGCGAGATACTCGCGAAACTGCCAGATGGAGAGCACAGCTCACAGAGCTTTTTGGCGTTTGATTTTGATAAAGGCCGCGTCACGAGCAAGGCATATTTCTTTCCTATCTTGAAGTCCCTCGCTACTGGACAAGATACAATGAGCCTCGTTAGCGAATCCATCCTCAGGCTTGCAGAGAAAAGCTCGTGGGGTGCTCAAATGATCACTGCAATCTCTGTGCTAGAGGCATGGATGACTACTTGTGAGGGTGCTAGAGCGGAGATGATTAGCGTGGATTGTGTGGGTGCAGATAAGTCCAGGATCAAGATCTATGTCCGCATACCTCACACATCTCTAAAAAAAGTAAAAGAGACATATAATCTTGGCGGTCGACTGAGGGACGATGTCACCACCGAGGGACTGAAAGTGCTCGACAACTTATGGAGAACAATCTTCCAACCAGCCAACGATGACGATGAACTTCCTCAAAATTCACATCGCACAGCAGGCACTATCTTCAACTTTGAGCTTCGTCCAGGAAAATGGTTTCCGGAACCAAAGTTATATTTGCCGGTACGACACTACTGTGCCAGTGACCTTCAGATTGCGAATCGGCTGCAGATCTTCTTCGGAAAGATGGGCTGGAAACGCTTGGAGCATGAGTATAGTACTGATCTTCAGGACTTGTTGTAAGTCATTCCATATCATTGTCATTGGGAATTTGTTCATTCTGACTTTATCCTATAGCCCGCATCATCCATTGTCTCGTGAGACGGGAACACATACCTACCTATCGTTTTCATACAAGAAGCAAAAAGGTGTTTATATGACGATGTACTATAATCCTAAAATCTACACTGTGTAGTGTCGTAACGAAAAGTCAATTAAGCCATGACTAGAAAAACGACCATCCTTCTCGAGATTGCCACAATATTTCGGCCCTTTCATTTGTTTTTATTGTGAGATCGATGTTATGCATTATTTATTCAGGGAATTTTTCATTTTGGAGTTGAGATTTCGCATTGCTCATGTAAGTTGAGACTATGCTATTTGTTCATTTAGAAGCAATGGAATGTTGGATACGTTTAATCTCGTTAAGAAATAAAATCGACGTAGATAAGATAATCCACCATCTCGACTGTAGAAAAATCTATTCATGAATTTCGACGACAACTTTTGGCCCGCATCTCAATCCTTCCCATTTTTGTTTTTCTCAGAAGCCTTTTTGTAGGATATTAGGTGGATACGTCAAGATTCCAGAATCCCTAGAATTTAATCAGTATTACAACTTCCTAACTAGCTCCTATGAGTTTCTTACCCAGTCAAATGCCGTAGAAGGGTCCTGCATATCCAGACTTCCGAAGTTTGCCAGGTCCAGTGATGGAGGGGCTAAATTAGTATCTTCCGATATCTCTTGAGTAGAAAGCGATACAGGCATTGTCTGGGGTGGCTGAGTTGTTCCCATTGTTCCCGGGCTTGCATCAGGCAATATTCCCATAATGTCGGGGAATGGTGTTAGAGGGAATGTACTGGGTGAATTCTTGGACAAAAAGTTGACAATAATACGATTTATCACATGCCAAGTCCCTCGAGATTCGTGTTCTCTCGTCTTTTTCGTCCTTTCAAGCGTATTTAAGGCGCGAGTTCGAAGCACAATATGGTTAGGACTCTGAAACTCGGGGGTTTTGAGTTCAGATACGATGTGCAAGATGGCTTGGAAACATGCATGACCGCCAATATGCCATTGGAATCGCTTTGCATCTTTGTCATCTGGCATCTGATTCATACTTTCCATCAAACTGACCGACTTCGCCAAGACCCTAGAAATTGCAACAGCGCGTGAGCACCGAGTATGAACGAATAGAGGCAAACCAAAATAACCACTTACATTGTACGAATCTCAGGCGAAACAATGGCCTCACGATACTGTTGTGGTATCCGAAGCCAAAATATAGACCAGCATCTCCATTCTATGATCGCGGCCAGTCCAAGCGAAAGTCGTTGTTCAGGCACCTGAGGGTCACAATACTGCAAATATTCCGTCTGGATATGTGTGACCATTTCATTCACCATCGTATGAACTTCTGTGAACAATGCTTGAAATTCTGCTATCGAATTAACAACACCATTCCCCAAGGTGGTCGAGGATTTGATCCGGCGCTCTAGGCGGTAAGTGCTTCGTACAATTCTCCTAAAACAATGAATGCCATGCAGACGAACCAGCTGCCCTGTCATGTCAGTAAATCCAGGATTTGAGTATCCTTCGCCAGTTGGGAATTGCCCTTCAATTAGGTCCTCGTCATTGACGTTGCGTGGGAGTAAAGTGGTGTAGTCGTCGTCTGATATTGTTGGTTCCTGGCCTTTGCCTTCGGCAGATCTGAAATCCAAGTGACATATCTGATGCCATAATCTGCGACGAAGCTCTACTTGCACAACGTCCATATTGTCTGAAGGAAATAGAGAGGGCTCCCTATGGAGGCCTTGCGAGAGAGCAATTCTGAGGACAAGGCCAAGGAGCGTCCAAGTTTTCGACATGTCATCTTCTCGCGATTGGCAGGTCTGGAAATACAAATGTAAGAGCTTAATCTGCCTTAGCAGGAACTATTTAGAATGGCTTACCAAAAGTAAAACAAACGCCTGAAGAACTTCAATGCTGGCCGTGGTCAGGAATTCCTCTCTTGCCAATCCAAATTCAACTCCTCGTTGAAATTGAGCAAGTGAAGTCTTCTTATCTGCAGAAAAGCGCTCTGCAACATCTTCAGGTGACATACTGTTCACCGCAGAGTGGAAGATTGCCAACGCTAACGGTTCAAACGAACGGAAACTAGGAGCTTGGACAGATAGATCTATTTCCTCGCTAGAAATTTGAGAAATCGTACCGTACGTATAGTAGAGATACTGCATAAATCGGCGTTTGAGAGAGGGTTTATGGATGAGCCGTGTCATTGGATCCACATTAAGGAAGAATATGTCCAATAGAGTCGTACAGTCTTCTGCAGTCGTGGGTAACCAAGGTGCAAGGCTGTCCACAGACGGAGTAGAAAATAAGAATGAGGTATTTGCTTGCTCTAATACTGGATAATCTGTAGCATCAGGCGCTGCTTGGTTGCCTAGTAGCATTTTCACGTCATTGATCTGAGAGTTGTTAGTCTCGGGATGCCCATATCAGTCAGAGTTTAGCGGACCTCATCGGCCAAGAGAGCATAGTGAAGCGAAGAGACCCAGCGCGATTGGCCGTTTTCAGCCTCTAGTAGTAAAGCTCCATCGTAACCATCAATCGACAGAGTCTCGCTTCTATTGTTTGGAGTCGGTGTGACAACCGAAGCCACTCTATGGTCGCCATTACCAGACGTCTCCATTCGGCTGTCCAGTACTCCAGACGGAGATGGTTGAGACATGCCATTGCCACCTGCGATTGCTTGCTCCAAAAGCTTTTCGAGCCTTTCCAGGCGATTTCGAATTTCATCCTGCCCATCGCGAGGCCTGGGTCGGGATGTGCGATTGATTGTTGCAGGAGGCCTCGATGGCGGGGATGGTTGTGATTTAATATAGGAACATGGGTGTTTACCTCTCTCACAGGTTGAGCAAACAGGCTGTTTATGGTCGCACTTGACCTTGCGACGGCGACAGGTTAAACATGAGGTAACTATGCGCTGTCTGTTATTACTAGATTTCTGATTTCCAACCGGTGGATTTAGCTGTGCATCGCTGAACAGTGTTTGCGGCGAAGTAGAAGTGTCCATGATGAATAGGCGCGTTTATGAGAGAAGCGTGCTCCTATCGTACCCATACACTAAAGGGACCCTATCTAATGCGATGGTGAGGGTCAACGTCGAGCCGTCAGGGCAAAACGTACGTCAACGCCGGCGGGTAAACCATCACCTGACTAGTTCTACCACTAGGCCGATTCTAGCAGTTGGAATACGCCAATCTGTGTAAAATCGGTATTTTTGTTTCGTATTGTTTTTACCTCCTCTAAGGAAACCCGCTTTTTCGCCCCCAGATTTGAAGTGGAATTCGCCAAGTCTCATTTTTTTAGTATACCATCATAATTAATTTTTCTATTCTAATAACCAGGATATCCTGGGTTTCAAAGCTTCCAGACTTCCTGACCGCTCAAAAGAGGCTAATTTTCATTCTTCACACCTTTACGAATACGAGTAATACGAGTCAACGACCTGCCTTGGCATTTGGCCATGTAAACCTCGCTGTTTAAACATGAGGATTTTCATTTTCTTAATTTAAAATACTAATTTTGAGGGATTTTCTACCCCATTTTAGTTTATAAGGCGCAAGAAGTGACTACAACGCAGATATAGTTTAGGTCAACTAGTATGTATATCAATTGAAGTGCTATTGACATTGTACTCTTTCAACAATTTTATCAAGAAAGGGGTATAACTCCCTTAATCACCCCGAGCGGATCCCATTTCGCCTTCAACGCCTGGAGTTTCTCCAGTCGTTCTTTGCTGCCAACGATTTGACTGGCCGTGGCATCTTCAAAAGGCATGTTCACATAGCTGACGCTGGGTATTTGGTTTCCAGCAGATGTAGTCAAGAAGGCTTCTCGAATATCTTTATTCAGGGTTGCACAATCATCATCCAGTGCAGGGTCACTATACCAAGCCAGAGGCATGACCCAATACTTCACGTCTCTCCTAAATTCACTGGACAAGGACGTTTCTGTACCGTCCTTATCTAACTCACTAGCAACATCCATGCTGTAAAATTCAATCAGTATGTGCGTCTGCGCCGCTTCAGGATGCTTAGCGATAAAGTCAGTGAACACCTTGAGGGCGACGGTGCCGGATTCCGCTGACAACGCCTTCATGCCAAATGCTGAAAGGTTTTTGCGACCAGCATAAGCGCAAATGCGCTTACTCGAGTCATTCAAACTCTTGTACGGAATCAGATGTCCGATAAAGTTTAGAGGATGATCTGCTTTCGAGGGAAGATCCAGTAAAGTAGAGAATTTTCCAGCAGCCTCCTCAGGCGGCCCAATGTACCACAGCTGAAGGAGAACTAGAGGCTAAAAGAGGTCAAAATCACAAGGAAGTTATAAGCACAACGATAGCCACTTACCTTCCCATCTGGAGGTGGGGCGCAAAATACCAGTCGACCCTGCATACCGCCGTGACAATGCACCTTGTCCAGTTCCTCTGAAATTAATCCGATCTGACTGGGATCGAAGACAAGCGTAGTATGCCAAGTGAGGTGTTCCCATGGAATGGCTTTAAACGTGGCCTCAACGACTACTGCAAACAAGTGGCCATAGCCACGAAGACCCCAAAAGAGATCCTTTTCTGTCTTTGCGGATGCCTCAACTATACTAGCCTTTCCGGTCTCGTCCACCACCGCAATACGCATGGAGATAACTGTGTCCGTGCTATATCCCAAGAGACCAAGGAATCTCCCAATGCCTCCCCCAAGCGTAGCACCGACCTGTTCAGTCTATGAGGCCCATTCCGATGTGAATATGGCGAGTGTGGACCTACCAACCCAACTTCGTTACAGGTTCCGGTCGCCACGGCGAAGCCAACTGATGCCGCTGCGTTTATGCCATCGCCCATAGTGGCTCCTCCTTGAGCAACAACAACTTGCCGTTCGACATCGACAGTGACTTTTCGCATCCGCGAAAGGTCAAGTACTACTCCAGGACTTGCTATAGTTGAGAACCCATTACTATGGCCTCCTCCTCGGACCTTAAAAGGCAGGTCTTTGTACACCAAATATGAAATCTGTGGCCACAATCATTACCATCTGAAGATAGAAATGGGACACGTGGAAAGAGAGCTCTAACCGTCAAGATCACATCTTCCTCCGTAATCGGCTGGACGACTGCAGCAGGAACCTCAGTTCGGTACCTCGTCCACCGTCCAATGGCCGATTCCCAGCCCTCATCGCCAGCGATGATTACAGCTGAGGATATAGAGAGACGAGCGACCAGATCTTGCTTAATGTCAAGCGCCATGGCTTTTGTCTTTTTGACGTGGGTTGAAATTAGTGTAACACTGGTTCGAGTCTTTTTTTTAATAAAAAAGACTAAAATCTAGATATTTAGGCGGGTTTAGCTTCTCCGAATCGTGCTTGTCCAGTCTAATCGACTTCGGCTTGATTGCCTGATGTTTTTTTGTCGCCGCGGTGTTCGGTTAACAATTTCGATACCCTCCGAGGGCCCCGAACTTGGTTTGAAAAATAACCAGCTGACAGAGCTAAATTTTTGCAGACATGGAAGGTATTATTATTTTTCTTCGATGCCAGGCGAAGGCAGAAATACCTAAGTCTATTAATAATCCTAATTTTAAACCAAAGCCGTTGTTGTGATCATGCCTCGAAGGAGGGCAAATCACAGTGGCAGTGGTACATCTACAAGTGAATAATTGATGAAGGGTTATCACACACTGTAGATGTGAAGTTGTTCCTGATCTAGTTTTTACCACACTTTTGCCCCGTATTCTGGCAATATCCCTAAACCTAGGAACTGGAAAATTGGGTACCTAGCAACACGAATGAGTTGGGACTGATGTAGTATTTCTTGAAATATTTGAGGTAATCTTTGATCGTAGAAAAGAAAAATTCTGTTTATACATTCTTCCTTGACATTTTTTTCAACTCACTTGATCGAACGGTCATCCTTACGATCATCACAGTCACTTTAAGATAACGAATGCCTTGATAATAAAAGTTTGCTCCGAGTCTGAAGTGGTTTGTTCCTATCCTTCATCTTTCGTTCTGAGTAAAGTGAACAAATATCTTCCACTTAATTTACCTCGCCACCAGTTTCAATTCAAGGTCATACAAGCCCACCCAACTAGTCTTATCAACCTTGAAATCACCTTTGTCATCCTGGCCTAGATTCAAAGAAACCTCGTACTTGTAGAACAAGTGAAATACAAGAGATTTAATGATTTTATCGGCAATATACTGACCCAGGCATTTTCTGGGACCGTAACCGAAGGTTGAGAGGTTATAACGGAGCTTTATTTGTGAGAAGTTGAATCAGAATGTGGAGGACTGAAAAGAGAGAGTAGGCGAGAATGAACGAAAGAATGGATGATTGAATGAATGTGTAAGACAAGAAGAAAATTTTTAAAAGGAAGGAGGAAAGGGTGCGTCTCGTCGAAGTACGCACCTGGTTTGGCTTGATCGACTCGAAACGTCTCGGTCGATATGAACGATTGTCCGGTCCCCAAAAGGGGTTACGGATGTTGATTGCAAATGCGTCCACAATGACTGTGGTATCTTTGGGAACGATAAAGTCACCCAGCCTTTTTTCTCTTGGGGGGTTTTCTGGGAAGGTGAATGCTACATATCATTGTTAGCCATAACGTGAATTTTTGCCTTTTTCAAAAACAAAAAACAAGAAGCAAGCAAGAAGCAAGCAAGAAAGCTTACCAAGGACAGGACGAAGACGAAGAGCCTCCAACAGACAATAATGAATCAAGGTATCTTTCCTCGCGATGTAATTTTCATGGTCATCCTTATTCTTCCGAATCTCCGCAAGTAGATCAGCTTGGACGGCTGGGGCGTCCGCCAAAAGAATAATACAGGACGAAATGACCTGGGTAACAATGTCCAGGTTTGCGAATGAAGACTCGGCAATAGTATCAGTCACCTGCATATCCAGTCAGCAGGCCATCAGGGCCAGTGCAATAAAGTGTAAGGTTTTAAAATATCAAAATTATTCAGCTTTGATCATACCTCCTTCTCCGTCAATTCTCCTCTCTTAGCAGCATCGATCAGAGTCACAATGGGCGTTGTCGGAGCATCCACTTTCCTTGAGTTGTACATGTCCATGTTGAAATGTCGGAACTGCTTCTGATACTCTTTCGCGCTCTGGTAAGCTTTGGTGTTGATGTACTTTGTCCATTTGGTACGATGAATACCTCCAAACACGATGGATCCAAAGACTTGTGAATAAAGTTTGCCAAGTTCCCACAATTTCTCTTTCTCATCCTTGGTCATCTTGCCATAGAACATCTGCGCGACTTCAAAGAAAGGATATCTCTGCACAGCCTGCGTGGCATTGATGATAAAACCCTTTTCATCATTCTTTTCTTGTGGTTGTGTCACAGCATACTGGTTCAGGTTGATGACATGGTCTTCAGCGGTAGAATTGAAAGTTTCATGAAGAAGCTGCATAGATGTTCGATGTGAGAACATCGGGTCGAGCTTTTTGCGGAGATTCGTCCACCGAGTTCCATTGATAAGTCCAAGACCTGAGCCTAGGAGTTGGGTCAACAACCAGCCCGCGTTTGCTTGGTGAGCTTTGTTATGGTCGTTAGATTGCTGGTAGAGCCTTTCCACGTCTGCAGATTGTGTGATAACTCTGAGTCGAATTCATTAAGATACTTCATTCAATAGAAATTGTCAAGAATATTCTTACACTTCTGGGACTGTCCCTGCCCAAACACGATAGACTGATCCATTTTCCTCTTCCCATTCCTTACTTTTCTGAGCGGCATTAAGAAATTTTTCGGTCATTTGGCCATTGGGAAAAATGTAGCCTGGCCCCTTCATGTAGCCCTTTCCGTCAACTCTGGGATATTGGTACCTCAAATTCAAGAAGAACTAGATTTTTTTGGATAAAAGGTTAGCTTTACAGGTCAGAACTAATATGTTTAGTTTGCCAATATCCGTGTCTACATGTATGGGATGCTTTCTTACGTTCATAATAGTCCCTAGCACCGACTTATTGGTGAACAGCAAGGCCGTAACAAATATCGCAAGGGCAGATGTCCCGATGACAGCCGATGTACCACCAAGGGCAATATAACCCTTCAGGAACATCTCCGAAGGGAGAGAACTGGATTGATTGAAGGAATCCATGGTTTATTCTTGCATTAGTAGCATTGATATTGTAAGAAATACCCGAAGTCTGTAGGACCGCGGTATGATTGGAATATACCTTTTATTTTTAATCTGTTAAAAAGGCATACTCATAGAAATTCTTCCCCCGGCCGCACAGCTGTCGGAGTTGTCATCAATTTTGACCCCGATATATGACATAGCGGCGGACGGGGTTCTATTTACGTCCATTTGCACGCCGAAGGATAGAGAAGAACAGCGAGCGGCCCGTGGGAAAAAATTAGCTGAGGCTCCTTCGTTTGTCATGTAATCGATCAATATAAGTTCTATCATTCTCCTTAAGGAGTCTGACCATTGGCTGTTACAATTTGTTGGGTTTGATCGTGCCTTGATTCGGGGTTAGAAAATACGACAAGTGCCATTTTCCGCCAGTCCACTTATATGACAAAAGTTTGAATATAGTATCCACATTCTCTTCCTTTAATCTGCATTTGCACCAATTTATATCAGAATAAATGTAGACTTGGATAATGTAAAAAGCTGAAATATTATTAGCATTAATATATGGAGGACTCCTATGCCTCGTCCATTTTTTGTAGTGCTATACTCAAACTTTTGTCACCTTCAAATATTACCGTACGTGGTGTAGTACCGAAAAAATTAACCAGCAGAAGGAATCAATGAGTAATGTTCTAAAACGAGTGGAATGAGGGATATATAAATTGTTTATAAGCTCATAACATGGCTTAATACGATGATAAAATTATCTGCAATTATGAGAAAGTATACTATCTAACGTAATATGATTATAAGAATTAATTTAGCTCCAGCAAAAATATTGTGGTGTTTTGGATCTCAATTATCAATTAACGTATGACAAGTTAGAGCCATGGCGAGGTGCGGAGGTAGCTTCTGAGGAGGGGAAGGTCTGCTCATAAACCAGAAAATATTTTAAAGTAATGTACCTTTTACAAGAGACATGAAAATAAAAACAAGGCCAACAAATGTACGGCTTGATGCGATGGGATGTTGTATTACAGAATCACTCCTAAATTCGGCATATATATATCAAACGATCTATCATTGATTGATTACTTGATAATATTTCCCTCCGCATTCTACATACGTGCGTACTCACACTACATGTATTCTTAGCTCTGAGTGAGATAGCGTTGCATACGGTCTACATAGCGGAGCATTAATCCTTCCTAGTTGAGTTGAGACACAAGATCTTAAGAATTATTTTCTCTAAATCTGACATTTGCTAAACATCAATCCAAGTAATAGCAGAGAAAAATTTTTCCTTTTTGTAAACTTAGGTCGAACGTGTATATTGGCAAACCCTTAAGCGGAGCGCTGGAAGATGTTCTACTCTATTTAGTTATAACTAGAATAACTTTTATCAGACCGCACAGTTAGATATTGGAACAGGTGCTTAGAACCTTACTATCCATAGATAGGTTTCGACAGATCTGCTTCGCTTTTACTATTTTTTCGCTATTAGAAAACAATATCCATTTCAAGCGGCATATATATATATATATATGTATATGTATATCGTAAAATGAACATTATATATAGAGCGATTGATATCAATTGATAGCCCTGAGAGGTATCTGCATAAAATCATAAGAAATCCTTTAAACTACGCGTAGTTTCTCTTAAAGGTAATATATTCAAGTCGAATTATCTTTTTCTCTTGTCCGGTATCTATTACTAGGGGTTATATGGGCGATCCACGTGACTTGGATGAGTACCGTTTCAGTGATCGAATGCAACGGTATTGTGGCGCAGACAGATCAGCAGCAACATAGTTTACCTATGTACCACTCATTGCGCAGACACAACAAAAATAAAAGAAGACCCCCCCCTCAAACGTGTTTCAGCTCAGCATTAATCTGATTCATACATTGTGACTTGTACGGGCACTGATAGGCCGGTTGCACGCCTGAACCGGCGCCGGTGGAGAGACTCGACGTCACAGCGTGTCATTGTCTGTGGCTCGTGGTTTGGCTGGAATTGGTATTACCGTATTTAATGTAATACTATGGGCTTTACAAATCGGAGTCCTATGGTTTTTCTGGCTAACTGCAACCGGTGGGGTTATTTACTTTGACTTCGACTACGACAGATGCGGCTGTTAATTGCTGTACAGTGTATGCTAAATAATGGCGAATATTCGCGAATACGAAGCCTCATCTGACCGGGCTGAATTAAGCGCTTGTAGTCACCACATCGCCAGTGATGGACGCCCGTCAGCAGCGGTACCCAACAGCCTCAATGATATCTTTTCATGATGACCAGCAATTTCCCAGTCGTTTAATCTGGTTGTATAACTGGAACAAGACTGGAATTAAATAATTAAAATAGTTAATTGATACCTGTTTTAATTCATAATTTATAGTCAAAGCACTGTTAACGATCAAAACTTGGCTCCCCGCCAGGAGGGGTTGATACGGTACCGTATTGTAATGTGTCAGCGCAAAACTGGGCACCGGCTCCTGTAGCATTCACCATTGGACCGATGCGACAGCAAACCGCGACTTCATGCTCTTTCCTTCTTTTATCTCAAACTTCTTCTTGCTCTTCTTCCTCCTCCCCTATTCTATATTCATAGTACACACTCTCTAGGACCTCCAAACGATAGCCCTTCATAAGGTGCTTGCCAGTCAGCAGCAGCCCTTATCGTTAGCGCCGTGAACGAACCCCCCACTCTGCCTACTCGAGATTCTTTTTAATCTCGCAGCTGACCAGGTCCAGGAGAGTCTGGCAGTACTATCTCTCCTAGAAGATTCTGTTCCCTTCGAGGCAACAACAAAGCCTCCAAAGAGCGACGTGATCTCTTTGAACTTCTAGGACGATCGCAGGCCTTTTGTCTGTCTCCACCAGCTTTCCGGTGCTGCCGCGCGCAATCAGCCTATCAACCCACAACGATCAGCGAATTCACCACTGCTTCGGTTAGCGGTGCCTGGCGCTGAATCTTCGATCTCCCAGCAGCACTCCTCTCTTCCTGCCATTGAACTGTCAAGAATGGCTGCAAGGGTGCAGGCGCAGAACAAGACGCCGGACTATCGCATGTACAAGGCCGCACCACCACGGAAGCCCGTGGCCGGCCACGCCGGCTTGCAGTTTCAGCCCGCAGAGGCTTCTAGTCCGCAGCAACAAGGACCAGACGCCCCTAATTTCGACAAAGCTGGCTACGCTCACCAGCGCAACAGAACTAGCTCCTCCAACGTCCTCCCCTACGCTGGCTCGAACCACCACCACCACTACAATAATTTTCACCCTCAAAAACACCATCACGGCCAATTTCTTCACCGCCCGTCCCAACAGCACACGCAAGCGCCTGCGACGCCTTCCGCGGGGCCGACTCGCACCCTTTCAAATGCCACTTCCTCGACCAATTCTACCGGCAACAATTATCTAACCCAGACGATGTCCAGCGTTTCGTCCGACATCCAGCGCAGCGCCTCGTCGCGGTCTGCCGCCGTCCCTCTCAGTTATGTTGCTCTCATGAGACGTCAAAAGGGTACCGTCTGGTGCGACCGGGCACAGCCTGAGGATCCCCGTCTGCAATCACAGAAGCGAGCTGCCAAACAAAGGGCATACTTGGAACTTAACGGCGCCTCAGGACGCACAGGTACGCTTGCGAGTGGCAAGATCAGACATCAAAGTGGAAAAGCAGGCCCGGCGTATTCGCCCTCAACCCTGGTTGGCGCGACCGTCCCTGTTCGGCTGAGTGCGAACGAGGTGGGTGACGATGATGAAGACGACCACTCCCACCGCCGCGCATCTGGAAGCGCGAGGAGCTCTCTGGGGAGCATGCACCGCTATCCTAGTGGCTACCAGCGACCTCCAGGCAAAACGCCGCCCAATGAGCAGGCTAACATTCCCGAAGTTGCTGAAACTGCTCCTGTGGGTGAGAACCAAGGCTATGATAGCAGTGGACATTCATCATTGCAAAAGGACCACGAAGCAGCATATCAAGAAACGCACCCTGAGAACGACTTTGGTGACATTGGCGAAATGGCTGCTCCTCCCGCAGCTGACACCGCCATGCAAAAAGTCAACAAGGCCGACGATCTTCGACGACGTGGTAGTGTGGACGACCGAACTACAAGCCTGACCGGAGTGAGATTGTTTGTCGCCAATCCCGACCAGGATGACTGAGCATGTTGTCTGGAATTGAGAATAATGCCGTTTCCCTGAAGGCCATTGCGATCATGTGCAGATCATTTATGTCGTAGCTGGACTACAATTGGGGTCTACTACGCCCGAATTTAACACCCTCAGAGTGTCAATCCGCGCACCGCAACGAATTTCATTCTCATTCCATTCTCATCCATTCTAGGGCACGGTGATACGACCTCTAAAATTTCGCCCAGCCAACACAGGAAACACTCACTGGCTTTCCCTATGCACTCTGCACATATTCTGTTGTTCGCACACAAAAGTCAGGCGGATACCCTTGTGAATTTTTCTTTCTATTTGTTCCTGTTTTTATCGATTTTCTTGTGCTAGAAATAGTCCTCGTTATAGCGGGTGGTTTGGGTTGCATTGGCCATCTGGCACTTATTTTGTCTTCGTTCGCAGGTGTTGGATACATTCGATTTCTTGTCACGAATCTTTTAATTCATGTGTGCATTTTTACTATCTCGCCACATATTTCTCGACGCCAGCTTTGGCTGTCGCAGGTGGGATTTGTCTTTATATTGTGTATGATTCTTTTCTCACTTGTTTTCCACTCAATAGCCTCATGTATACAACACAAGCCTTAGGTTGGATCCTGCAAATAGGCATTGAAAATAATAAATCTAATATTTCAACACTATTATTCTGACGAACACTCTATTGCATTTGATCAGTTGTATCTAGGCGTCACTATCTCAATGCTTCCTCAGCCACTAATCATTAATGTATCGAATCACGTGATCTAATTTACGCCTGGACGCGTGGGATGAAAGGCGCGAGTCAACGCGTTTGCCAGGGGAGAATCTCCGAGCCGGAGAACCCCAAACAACCATTCTCACACACAAACCACAGGGCAACACGCCAACACAAAGTTATACAGTTTCACTAGTTGCTCCAGCTGATGGTGCTTTGTATGACTATTATTTGATCGTCAATTTATAATTCTCAAATACCTGCTCAGTGAAATTTTACATCTTATTGAAAGCCGTCTTAGCTGGCCTTGACGTTTGTCCATCACCCAGCCGCCCCAATTGATGAATATACAAATATATATGCTCATTCGCAGAGCAGCAACTCTCACACACTAATCCAGCTTGACGACGCACGAATATATCGTCATAGGATGGACGTGTCAATCGAACCTGCCCCTTCGCCCGTGGGGCAGACATTCCCACCTTCTGCTACACATTCCCGGAAACGAGCATTCAGCGAAGTTGACGAGCCGAATATCTCCAAGCCGGATATACACAAGTATCAAAAACATGGTAATTTAGACGAGCAGGAGAATAGGAATCCGCTGGGGCCTGGGCCAATGTTGATTGATAAACCTTCGGTGACGACCACTATGAATATCCCTGTGTCCGCAGCGGTGGATACCAACACCACCGCTGCTACCTCTACTAATACAATTACTCAAAATACTGGCCGTCAAAAATCTACACCGACTCCTGGCCAGATTCCTCAGAAAGATACGCAGTCACCAGCTCCCTCTACCCCCCAACCACCATCAAATGCTGTTCCACTAGCGAGCGCGAACAAAAAGCAGAAACTATCTCCAAACGCCAAAGAAGCGAAGAGGCTAGAAAAAGAGGAGAAGGACCGCCTTCGGCTTGAGGAGAAGGCCAAAAAGGACGAGGAGAAGCGAGTTCGAGAAGAGGAAAGGAAGAAAAAAGAGGCCGAAAAGGAGGAAGAAAAGAAAAAGCGCGAGGCAGAGCGCGAGGAAAAGAAGAGAGCCAGAGAAGAAGAAAAGCAGGCTAAGGAAGAAGAGAAACGAAAGAAGGAGGAAGAAAAAGAGAAAAAAGCACGAGTGAGTTTCTGCATACCGATTGAGATCGGTGATGACGACTTGCTAATCTTTACAAGTCTCAAATGAGATTGAGCTCTTTCTTTACGAAGCCACCTGCTGACAAGGCCAAATCTCCTGACCCATCGGAGTCGTCGCCCCATAAAAATTCGACTCGAGATGTTGCGAATTCTCCAACTCCTGGGATAGGCACTGAAACTGTCCGGTCAGACTATCACAGTGAATTTCCAGAGTTCTTTATCCATGAGAACACACAACTTGCTCCTCCACATCGATTTCAGCGCGATGAAAATGCATCGGAACATATTCGTGAGAAGCTGGATGGGTTCTTGAAGCAGACGGACGCACGACCAGTATATCGCTCAGCAGATTTATTCGACATGATCCCATACCGGCGCCGCAAGGGTAGACACGTTGTGCCTATTAAGACAATAATTCAAAAACTCCAGGACGAGGGCAACGTCGATGCCTCCAGAGAGTCCATCCGGCACCTTCTGCGGAAGACGACGATGAAAAGCCTCAAGTTTGGTGAGGACGTTCGTCCAGCATATTACGGCACCTTTACAAAACCTCTCTCTAATGACCAAGCCACCAAACTCTGCCGCCGTCCATATGCACGTACATTGCCGGATATTAATTACGATTATGACTCGGAAGCGGAGTGGGAAGAGCCAGAAGAAGGCGAAGATTTAGATTCCGAAGGGGAAGAAGAGATGAGTGAAGACGGAGAAGACGACATGGATGGTTTCTTGGACGATGAAGAAGAGCAAATAGAGGGCAGAAGACGTCTTATTATCGGCGATCTTGAGCCTGTCTGCACGGGGATTAAATGGGACGGTGACGGTGACATTGACCCTGCCATGGAAGCGTATCGCATTGAAGCGATATCAGGTATGCTACCAACTGCACACCTACTTGTTGCGAAATATAGTCCACTAATGTTCAACTACAGATACGATGCGATTCCCTATCTATCCCTTTTCCACGGCTTATTGGCCAAAACCAAAAGCGGTGGAGCAGACTGTCGCTAAAGGACATACAATGACGTCTGCTCGGGGTACTCTTCACGCCTTTTCTACAGCCCAATCCACTCAGAGCCAAACGCCACTTGCAACGGTGGCCCGACCTAGTATAAGTACCGAATCGGCTATCCCATCGAAGGTTAAGAAGCCATTCCCTCCTGAGCAGCTTGACGCATTTAAGGAGGCCGTCGAAGGGAGTGACCTGACAAAGGCCGGGTTGATTGAGGTATTGAAGAAACGGTATGAGTTTATCTGCTGTGCTTTAACGCAACTATTCACTAATTACTATCTTATATGTAGCTTTCCCAAGATATCAAAAGATGTTTTGAAGGAAACTCTCAATTTAGTTGCTGTTCGTGTTGGACAGAAAGAAGCAGACAAGAAATGGGTGTGCAAATGATCTCATTTGGCCCATTTTCCGCTTTGCGATGTTGTTACTGTGAGGTTTACTTCCAGAAGGCTCATCCTTTTTTATCTGAATGGTTGTTGCCTTGTCTCAGGGGCTCCTACAGGCTCCAGGGGTGATGAACGTTTGTTGGTTAGACCACAGTCTATGTACCTGGCGATTTATCAGCCACAGCTACGTGATTGGTGCCATGGCCCTAGTTTCAGGGTTCACCCAGTGGCTCTATCGGATGATGACCGGGCGTGGCTTGTTCCACTGTGGCAATGGACCATTCTAGATAATAATGTGTTGGCTAGTGAGTATGATATCTCGTCAACAATCAGCTGGCATGGTTGCACGATCGTGACGTTCTACTGATGAGAACTTTTCTGGTTGGTTCAACTGGGCCGTCTACTGGATGACGGAGGACAGCTTCACCCTGACTTGACTCATCGACACGACAGATATCTGTCTCCACGTTTCCATCGAGTTTGATGTTGCTCATTTAACGGGCTGATAACCGAGATCGGGCGCGTCCAGATGGGATTTCAATTTCTACGGGTGGCTAGCATAGGAGCGGACGTCTAGACTGTGGGTAATAGTGCCCTTTAACTGTTCATAGCGCTATTAATCAGACAATCCATAATGCATCTGTCGTCGTGGCATGTTAATAGCGAAGAGGAGAATTGCAAGTATGGACGGCGCTTTGCCTGTCTGGGATTCAATTGATTCAATTGATTGAATTGATGATGGAGGGGAGAAGCGCGGCAGACCAGGCCGAGAGGGGAATAGGCTGGCCAGCGCATCTGCAGTGCCAACACATCGGTGAACACAGTGGCCAATGCCATTCGCTTGCCAGGCACAGATCACTGACCGGCCTGACGACGTGGCAGCGGATCGACGTGCGACCGCTGACCGGCTGGTGCATCTACAGTGGTGCTAGTCATCCTGCTTCTCCAGCGTGGCAACCCCATCACGGTGGTCTGGGTGGTTTGGGTGGTCTGGGTGGTTTCACGAAGGACAGCGTGTTCGTCGTCGTCAACCTGAACACTGAGGAATCCATCAGCGCCGGCATGCTATATCTAGTTACCGTGGCTGCTCGCCGCTTCCTATATGTGTCCAGTGTCCACTGTCCAGCAACAGCTGGCCCTGCTGCGCTGAGTCAAGTCCATCGATCCCTTACGTTTGAGCTGTCGTGGAGAATGTACACTGTGCGCAGCGTAGCCGTCTTTTGCCTCTGCAAGCCACGCAATAAACAGACTGGTAGATGTAAGCTGCGTTTGTAGCCACTATGTCGGTAGATGAATCATAATGGAACACTGCTGTCACTGGGAGTCTGCATATTATTCTTCATCGCATCGTTTAATATCTTTAATATCAGTTATTTATTGCTAATTGCTGGGATTCCAGCTTAAGCGCATCTGCCGTACCCCGCCAACCTGAGCTGGCCGCGTTGTTCGTCCTTGCCTGCTGTTGCACCCGTGACCTGCTTTGCTCCTCCCCTGCCCTCATTCTTATTGTTACTCTTGTGTCTCTGCGTATCCCACAACATTGCACCATCCAAGATCCAAGAACCGCCTCGTTTCCCTGGCAAAAGAAGCAAAGAGTAGACTCGGAGAATTTCGAAGCTTTGGCCCCAGCAACACCAATTCGCAGCAGTACTGCTCTGCGATCGACGTGCCTCATAGGGTGCATCGCGCGATACCATCTCATTGGCCTGCGGCTCTGGCATCCTTCGATTCGTCCATCCTGCAGCAGGCCCTTTCGAGTCACGCCCTCGACTGCAGCCAATCGACACTTCATTAGCGGACTAGCCCTCTAGTTGGCTAGTTCGCTGCGTGCAGAGGAGTCGACATCCGGGCTGTTTTGCCGCAGTGTGTATGTATACTTCGACGCTACGCACGACAACACTGCTAATTATCCCCCACCAGGATCGCAGCTCTGTGAACTAGCGACGAGCCACTCTAGTCTGGTAACTGGCGCGCCGTCTTTTCACTATTTCCCCATCGGGCTATCTGCGTTCTGCATTACTTCGCGCTTCACTCATCTGGTTCGCTGCCACGCTCATCCTGTTAGTCAACCCCAAACCCTGCTTCTGCTTGTCGCAGCTTTTTGCCCTTCTCCTTGCTGCAACTGCCAGAGCACCAGTGTTTTGTGCGCGCTGCAAGTCATCGTCTTCAGACTACCCCCTCCCACTACACTACTACTGCCCCTGCCCCCTTCCACCTCGATCGACCGGCTCCTCGTGTCCGCCCTCCGCCCGCCATCGCTGCCACTGCTCTTTATTGGGAAGATCTATCGCTACCAGGGATATTATCTAGTTGACTGGTCTCGTTACTCTTTACATACAGACCAGTGCTATCTCTTCTTCATTCCCATCCGCGGCGCGCCAGTTTCACGAGCAAATCTTCGTCAGAAGATAACTCTCTGCGAGCTAGTCTTCGCCAAACCCGATGCTCTTGCTTTAAAGCTGCGTTGGCGCACTAGACCCAGCACTAAACCGCTAGCAAAACTGAAGCCGGCCGCCGCCCGTTCTTCATTACTCTCCCCACGTCTATTTGCCCTGGAGTTTATCGCCTTTATCTCTCCCTGCCAATTTCGCTGTTTCACTTGGCTTAAACAGAAGTGACGAGTCACGTCGTGACGAATGAAGAGTATATCTATTGACAAAGAAAAGGTTTCATTCACTTTGTGCGGCTGCAAAAATATGCGATAAAACATTCATTTCCAACAGCCAAGGGCATCGCGCATTCTCGAGTACCATCTCGGGATAGGTGCCAGTGGTCGCCCATGGCAAGATGATCGATGCCCAACATGCTTATTCTCCACCACCCGGTCTGGAATACACAATCCGTATGTTTTCGCTTTTACTTTCATTTTAAATCCTTCTTTCAAAACGTTTATGAGTGCGCTTCTTTGTCTCCATTTCGGCGCATCATTCTTTAGGCGCGTGATAATGACATGACTGAGTCTCAACCGCAAATTTGGTAATTGCACTAATACAAAAGATTCTTCTACAGCATTACCCCCTTCTCCAGCCGTCGTCCCAACATCATGCGGCTCTTCATCTAATGATAACCAGGCATCATGCCCTCCCTCGGACTCGGTGTTGTCGCCCCCTTCCACCATGCGCACTCCTTTCGGTGGTTCTGGACCAAACACTGAAGAACCTCTGAGTGCAGGTGAGTCTGGTGTTGACAAATCCGACGTTCAACCTGATTTTTGTTCCATTTCTCCCTCGGAAAATCTTCCATGCGCGCCTCTTGTTCATGATATACCACCGTCAGTGATTTCGGTGCCCATTGTTTCTTTTGAGGAATTCGCGACCCAATATCGGCGGCGCAAGCAGGCCGAGGCCCAAAAATGGAATCTGGAGAACCATTTGCTTGCCACCAAGGTTTCGATATGTCTAACCTCGAGGCTTTTGAGAGCTGGCGCTACAGTCCAAAAAGGTCTGGTTGAAGTGTTTAAACATGGAGACAAACCAAGCTTTATTTCAATATATAACACTATCCATGATACCCATGATGTTTGTGAAGCTACCAGCCGCCCAACCTTACTCCCAAATGGGCCGTCGGAGGATTCCACCTCTTTGCATCCGCAAAGAAACCGCCACTCAGGTTTTATGCACCAGCTCAGCCTTCAGTGTAGGAAGGACCTTTTAGAAATTCTTACATTAATCCGCACGGATTCACAATTTCTGGTTGATCGCATCACTGGTCTTTCTCCATCCCAACTATCGGCCCTAACTTCTTCCGTTGTTTGCTCCGGACCTGAGGATCTGTTTTTATCACTTCCCTCTTCTCGTTCCCGGAATTCGCCATCGTTTGTTAAGCGCGCTGGCCCCAGCTTTGTCCCGTTCAAGGATCATGCATTGGCTTTTGAGCGTTCTGATTCTCTTGCTGCACTTCTTTTTAATGTGTTTGCCGTGCCATTAGACTGGGACCTGGGAGAATCGGAACTCCGCCTGGATGTTTGGTCCTCAACAAGCGCTAAACTACTCAGTACCGGGGATACCAAATACCATACCTTTGTCGGCCATGTTCTGTCTTACTGGTCGCTTTGCAGTGATTGGCAAGCCCGCCCAAAAATTGAACTTTATCTTATGGATGTCCTCCAGAAGGGTGCCTTCCTTCTCGAAAATATCGAAAACCCCGTGTCAAACCCGTATGGAGTTGAGTCCCCGGACCCTTTAAGGACTGATGCCGCCGAGGAATTTTTTGAAACCGCTGTTCAGACTTTATTTGAAGTTTTGGATGATTCTGATGCTGGCCTTCCATCTACCGCCCTGGAATTTGGCAGTGCCATTCTAACCAAATTACCTGACACTGAGACTAAGGATCGGTTTTTGGAGTACATCTTTGTTCAATGGCTCTTTGCGAAATTTCTATATAACGCCTTGACTTTTCCAGAGGTAGGGGTTTTCTTTGAATATTGGAAATTTTCTGTCAGCGTCTAGCTTGGATCTTTCTAACATCACCACAGAGCCAAGGCTTGCTCCTTGACTTCCACATTAGCAAAGAAGCAAGAGAGAAACTCCTAGGACAAATTGCTCTCCGAGCCCAGTCCCAGATCTACCGGGTTCTGCACTCTGTGTAAGTAAGTTGCTTTTATGGAGTATGATCATACTAATTGTTTCTACTAGTCCACAATTCTCCACCGTTCATCCCAAGGTGAGACAACATGTCGAAGATATCCTTAAAAAGTTTGTGTTAGCCTCCAACATGGCCACAAATATAACATCTCATACCTCTGGCGGTCCTCCTCTAACTACCGAAGAAAATGTTTCTGATTCTTCGCGCTTCCTAATGCTCTCTGCCATGGATGTTGTTACGCTTCTGAATGCTCTATTTCCTAGGACCAACCATAGCCAACATGGATCTCTAAACTCTCCGTTTACTGCTTTGGATATCTCACAAGGCGGCCCAAAGCGTGGAACTATCCCTGCTCATTGGTCTGGAAGAATCGACACTGTCCTGGAACAATCGACTCAAAATATCGACGCACAGAAACCCCCTCTAGAGAGCCCTTATAACCGAAAAGCAGAGCTAATTCGTTTCGATCTGTCAGACATAGGGGAAACAGAAGATCGACCCATCCTGGATCACCCGTCAACCGAAGATTGGACCGTGTTAACCATATCAGATGATGGCAAATCATTAACTTGGGATTCCTCAACTACAAATGATTCTAGCGGCATGTTTGATGGCGTATCTGAAGACGGTCACCGTTCTGTCACCATCCATCCGGAAGAGAATTATGAGGCACTTCAAACAGCTATAGTAAGGCTAGTAAATGAATCGGAAAAGGCCAAGCAGCCCATTAGGAGTCGTGCCACTGGTATCCATCAATCTCGGAGCCTGTCACTAAAAAGCAGATTTGACAGGGCACGCACGGCGTGCGAGAATCGGTCAGATTTCCTTGGTGCTCACTACTGGTGGACCGCATCACATCATTTGGCCAAAAGTCTCTCCAAATTAAATAAACCTCCTCCCAATGATACATGGGTTCTCTCACCTATGCTCCGATCATCCAATGATGCATTCACTCGATGGAGTACTGTGATCGACGATTGCGAAGGAAGTCTAATGACTCTTACCCCCATCGTTGATCAACTGAAAGATCTTGCCAAGGACAATCTGGCGCGCATGGCCAAACTCAGGAACAAAATGTGGTATATGACGGACGTCAAGAACTCGATGCGGTATGAAGACGCCAAACACGTGGCCCTGGCTTTGAAAACCATGGTGTACCCGAACTTTCACCGAGATAATCCCAATGAATACCGCTCTCGTCATGGGTCTCGGTATCTTCCCGGAGCGTTTCTTCAAAAACCCGAGATGCAGGTCATGAACGTGATGAAGGCCTCGAGTAGCCAAGGAGGCCCGAACAAGCTAAGTGACGAGCAGGTTGAGCTCACGCGGAAGTGGATCACGCATCACGGAATTGACAACTTCTGCCGTGGGGAAGAGCGTATTCATCGATTCTGCTATGAAGTCAAGTCTAGTATCAACAAATTAGTTGGAGACACAATGGCAGAAACACCGGTTCTTTGGGCAAGTGAGCTGTTTCAAAAAGAGCGAGCCAAGTTCGAAGGGCCAAGTAGCCGAAGCTTTCCTGGAATCGCAAGTACCCCTGGAGCTCGACCTGTCAGTCATGGCAGTGATGATGTCCTTCTCTCGACACAATTCCCAAGCCTGGGCTCTCGCGCCACAGAGTCCTCTCGATCACAAGACAACGCGCCATTCATGCAAAAATTCTCTTACCAAACTCTATCCTCGGAAAAATGGCGAAGCTCGAAAAACGTTGAAGTTGATACGATATCGTCTCTAGGCGGGTCCTCTACGAAAGCTGCATCTACTTCGACAAGCGATTCCTTCAGCACATTCTGGTCACCATTGCAAACTCAAGCCCAATCAGCAGCAAGTGCTTCCAGTTTTCAGTCTCGCCCGCCGTCCATGTTCAGTGATGTTCCTACTCCGCGCCGCGTGGAACAAGTTGTTCATGGCAAAACGGCTTTCTTAGATGAGCTCCGACAGACATTAACTAGCCTCCTATTGAGTGACCTAGGATCACCCGTGTGGAGCTGTGGCAGTGAGACTGATGCCTGGTTCATGAACTTCTTAAACCAGAAGCGCGTCCAAGTGCAAATGAACAAAGAAGCCAGTATTCAAAAATTCCTGGTTGCTTCTGAAAAAAGGATCCGCCAACGTACTGGCAGGCCGGTATTTGGTCGAAATTCCTTGCGGCATCGAAGAACCCAGTCAGCAGATTCAGTCCTTGGTAAAGATGAGGTTTCTCCTAGATTCCCGGCAGAGTCGGACTTCGACTCGTTAGCTGAGCAGTCCGTTAGATCGGATTTTGCGTACAAAGCTGCCTTCTCTCGGTTGCTTGATGTTTTCTCGCGAAATGCAAACCCATATGTGAAACTCGGAGCGTTGAGAGATCTTCGGGCATTGGTTGTCGCGTCTTTGAACTCGGCCAGTGAAATTACATCGGTCTCAAACAAGACATCCACCGCCCGTAATTTGAACTTGATGGACAATCCCAATCTCAAACGTCATAGCTTTGTCGAAACTCTCGCTGACGAAGAGTACCTGCGAACTCCCACATCGCCCGTGCCAGAGTCCGTTGGGTTTGAATCACGCCCTTCATATGACATCCTGAGCACTTCGGAAAGCCAGATTATCAAGACAATGAAGAGCCTATTAAACGAACTGCAACCAAAGACATTGTTTCGCGACTTGCAATTTGTATCTGCTTTTGTTCCCAGCGAGACGCTGAACAAGACCGACAGCGGAACGGCGTTCTTGCAATTTGGTCTAGCAGCACTGTCTCTCAAAGACGATGTCTGTTCCAGCATGGTCGAACTGGCGGACAGAATTGTGTCACAAGAGCTTAATCAGCGCCATTTGCAGACGTTTGAAACTACCTATCGACCACAAGACCCCATCGAAGATGCGGCGAGGATGTGGATTATCACTGCCAAGGAAGGTAACGCGGTGGCACAGCGTGAGCTTGCCATCTTATATCTTACCCATCCGGAAATACTGCCGCGGGTGACCTTCCCCCTCACTCTTCCACGAGATACATTTAAAGCGGAGATGATGTACCGTCGTGACAGAGACTCTAAATCAGACCCTCAAAGCATGTGCCTGGCCCTGCACTGGATGCAGCTGTCGGCTAGTGGAGGGGATGAGTTGGCAAGGAATCGTCTCCGTGAGCGAGAGGAATTCGAGTCTCTTGTTTGAGATTTTATATGTTTATTACCCGAAATCCGTCTGCTTCTTGATTTTTTATAACCGTTTGACGAAAATTTCGCTTCTACACTATACCCTATTTTCTCATTTCTGCCAGGCTTTTGTGAAGCACGGGATGGACTTCTTTTGACATGATACATGGTGTAGTGAGGCGCGCCATTGGTAAAGCATATATTCTACTTACTTTTTTTGCTTTTGGTAGTCATTGTTAAATTTTGGAGTTTCGCGCCGGTTGACTACATGGGATGCACTTTGATTCGGACTTTCGCTCAATCTAATATCATCTCTTCTTTCTCCTGTATTTTCCCGGAGTTCAGATACCACCATTCCGAGGCGCATTCCGGGAGGCAGCCTGTTGATATCGTTTGAATATCATCTGTTACCCATTTCCTTCCATGTTCACATGTGCTTTTATTTTTGCTAAGATTATTATTTATATTTATACTATATACACCATTGTGCTTCTGCTTGTCTACGACTGTTTCTTTTGCTTACTTTCTCGTGGCTGAAAAGTACAAACGGATGTTTTGTTCTTATTCTGCTGGGTCTAGTAACATGGCTGAATCTGATAGTTGAATAGAGCTGGTTTACAATAAATCAATATGTATTGCATGTTCACCGAGGTATATGTATATAGCTTAGTGGGGTGGCTACACCACTATAGTTTGTGATAGCTAGCCCACTCAATACCAAAAGCCACCAGGTCGCGACTTGTCAGCATTCCATGGCAGCATGCATGTATTCACAGTCATGTTCATGCCCAATTTCCAGAGATAAGCCGGCCGCCAATTGACGTGGGCAGTCCACATGGTTGAACGTGACAGGGCGGCCGCATCCGAAAGCGGCAGCGGGTGGGCTGTTGCGTCATATCACCACAGCGAAACAAACAGACCGAGAACAATGCCAGACATATCCCTTCTATTCCCTGCACACGACCGCCTGTCATCGCGAACTTGCGAATACCCGGCAACCTCGCTCTCGCAGCCTATGCGGGAATTCCGGAGTCTACGGTAGGTGGCTGGATCTGACTACATATTTCTCTCTCAGCCGCGCGCTCAGGCAAGGTCTGCGCGGCCCCAGCGGCAGTTTTGCAGACCGTAGGCCCCGAGATATTTAGAAGTCGGCGCGCTTTGCTCATTCTATTTTATTCTGCCTCACTTGCTTCCTTATTATTTTTAGCAACTGACTGGTCCAGGCTTCAACGGTCAGAATAGACAACTCTACTCCCGTTTATACTACCCCACGGTGATCTCTTCGCCATTTATTATTTTCCTTCCACCCCACCATGACTGCCTCCAACTCCCATAGCCCAGAGGAGGCGCCAAAGCGACCAAAAGGTGCTCGATGCTCGCCGAAACTCTACACATAGATGTCTACAGTTGCTGATAAGTTCCTAGGGATCTTGAAGAATTCCCCGCAGCTTTCGACGTCACCTGAAAAGCCCGCGCTGTCCCCTCCCCTACCGGCTGACTCGGCTGACAATAAAGAAATCACCCTGCAGAACACATTGCAGAATGCCGGTCGTCGCTCGTCCAGCACGCGTCGTGCCTCCGCTGGCCGACGTTTATCAGGGATTGCTTCTGGCGAGCACGACGACGACAGAGCCCCGCATCTCAAGTGGGATGAAGCAAACTTATATCTCGCCGAGCAGGAAAAGACTGCCAAGATGAAGATCGATGAGCCAAAGACCCCCTGGGCTCCTAGTTACGACCCGGCACAGGATGATGATGACCGCGATCAGATGGAAGTTGAAGCGCAAGACCGGACCCTGGACGCACATGACCTGGTTGTCGATGAGCTTGATAAAGCGAAAGAAGGCCCTCGGCAGAAGAAGTCGGAGCGTGATAACGAAATCCCAGATCTCGAGCTGGGTGAGCCCGAAGAGTATTTTCTCCACAATCAATCGGGAGCGGCGGAATCCGGCGAGAGTCGTATTACGCGCGAACGTAGTCTCAGTCAGAATTCAAACAAGAGCGACAAGCATGTCGTTGTCAATAATGAAGAAGGCGGCCATGGCGAGCAGTTGATGACAACCGGCGAAGCGCAGGAGAAGCATCGCCAGTTCGAGGAGCGTCGGAAAAGGCATTATGAGATGAAGAATATCAAGGACTTGTTAGCGTGAGTGTGTCCCTTCTGGCAAGCGTGCGTGCTTATTGCTGATCATTTATGTTTAAGCCACCATGAAGAGATAGATAAGATGGATGATGATGACGATGAAGATGATCCGGTTCCCCTAGTCCCGGGTAGAAAATAAAATATGCCTAGAAGTGCGCCGACTCGGTTGAAGTACATAACTTTGATTGACGTTTCGTTCTTGCTTTCTCCCCCTCTCCACAGTGACGTTTTACGAACCCCTATTCATACCGGGAGTATTTAATACTCTGACCGTCTTTTGCTTTCCTTGCGTGACCGAGGCGATATGGTGGATACCCCTGTACATTCGCAACAAATGGCTTGTTTCAGTACTCAAATCGATAGCTTTCAAATAAGCTTACTTATGTAGTTTTCGTTATCATATACGGTTACCTATTATACATATGCCTTATGTCTTCAAAGGTCTTCTAGAATATCATCATCACAATCCGCAGGGGCATTCACAGGATTGCATCTCGCTGCCCTTGCTCCAGGCAACATGACAACATAGTCACTATTATACCTCGCGCCCATGCCCACCCCCGGCCAATCCGTACTAACAATATGCGCGCCACTCGCCAGCGCCGCATCTCGCATGCCTGTTTCATTCCGCAGAAGCACTTGAATTGGCTCATCGGCTCGCGTCCGAATGAAATACCCCATCGCCACGAGCTCCCGAATCTGACGCATATTCTCGCCCGTCAGCGGATCGTTTCGCTTGATAAACGCCGCGTCGGGCTCGCCCGGCACCGAATTCGTGAATATTACCCGTCCCTCGAGATTCTCCCGTCCGCCGCTTCGATACGGCTCTCGAATTTGGATGGGATGCGTGGGCTCGTTGTCCATCACGAAAAACACCTTTCCGCGCGAAGCCGACAAGGTCGGCCACCCTCCGCCATCCCTGGTAGATGCAAGTAGCACCGCTTCTTCAAGCGTCAGATCCTTTCGTCCAGTTGCGTCCTGCGCGCGCTTGCGTATGTCGTCTGGCGTGATGAGTTCGTCGTCTGCGAAAACAGAGCGGATTTCCGCATCCACGCGGTCGAGAGCTTCAACCGTCCATTTCTCAGCCCGCACGCCGCCTGCCTGCTCAATGCCCGCTTCGGTCATTTTGAATTCGAGCAGGATCGGGATCGGCACGTGCTGTTTGTTCTTGCTCTTGGACCATGCTTTTACTTGGCCTAGGCATTCCACGAGTGTGTGGCAGATGGTGCCCACGTCTGCATCGGCAATGTGCAGTACTTTAACACCGGGCTCTTTCATAACGGCCTGCGGTAAGGCGTAATGCAGTTTGTCCGTCTCGGACATGTTTGCGCGCTGCCGGATCAGCGGGTCGGAGTATAAGCCGCCTTTGGTATCGACGTATATGTCAAATTCAAAGCTGCGGACGCGCTGATGCTCGAGTTGATCTGTGACAGAGGCGTGGGAGTAGTAGTAGTTCTCAACGTCGGGGTCGACGTTGGCCATCAGCGAAGGGAATATTACGCGTTCGGGAAGTGATACTTCGCGATGGTAGCTGTTGTGGGTGCCTATTACTTGGAGATGGTTCAGGCGGAGGGTTTTATCTTGGCTTTTCTGAAGGGTGGATGATGAGGGGGTTGTTGAGGAAGGTGATGAGAGTGGTATTGATGATTGGGGATTATGTTGGGCTGGCTGCAAGATTTGGGAGATGCTAGATGTTGATGATAGTGTTTGGTTAAGCACTGAGACTGGTGGGAATCAGCATATTTCCTCTATCCAAAATTCATATCAATTGAGGGCCAAACGTACCGCCAATGACAAAGATTAGCATCGCGCATAGCACGATTTCTCGTAATGTCATCGCCATGATGAGGGATGTTCATTTATGACTCCAACAGTATTTTATTACTCGACGTCGCGACTCGGGTTAAAATATGCAGGTATATTTATGTCATTCTTTCTATTTTAAATTGTGTAGATTTGTGGTTGCGATGTGTTCATTGGCGATGTCTTGAATATGGACGAGTGTGAGTTAAGGAGCTTTGGAGAAGTTAACTGATGTGATGTTGCAAGAACTGGATGCATTCCGAGCATGTGATTGGCCGGGCTTGGCACTATCACTGCCCTACCTAATCAGGAAGCCAGGGTCTGCCCTCTCAGTAAATTATTGAGTACAATATCATATTCAGGCATTCACCATATCGCATCCGTTCAAATGTTATACGATAATTTTATACTATTTAGCTGGACATCAATATGTGTTAGATCGGGTTTTAGAAGGAAGCAACTTCCTAGGCCAGAAACAATAGTTATATGGCCATAATAATTGAATATTCCATGCCCTTGTCACTCATGTCTGTCGAAACTGGTGTAAAAAGTTAAGTCATATTTCAACATTGAGAAAAATGATAGGTGTAGGTGATGGAAATATTGTTGTTAGCCATACATGATATACAAGTCGCACCTGCCTTCTCTGCTGTCGAGGGCAGTTGACGCGTGCGACAACAGACATCACATTAATTTCACCTCCATTGCTTATAAGCCTCCCGAAATCATTCTGGATGCATCAAAACTTATAGAAGACTGCTTGTGTGAAGTCCATTGACTGATATTCGAGCCTGGCCATGGCCATCCTGAGTGTCCCAGTCCGTTCTCAATATGAAATTCCAGGGAGAGAGAACTCGTCTGCGTTGACAATTGTAAGCTCATTCAACTTTACCATTACATCCATTTCAAGACTAATAGTTGAAGGGCCAAATAATCACTTGGATGACTGCCCGCAGCATGCACGACGCTGACTGCCTGCTTTCTCTCCACCACCAAAAGGCCAGCCGGAACACATACGAACCTCTAAGCGCGGACAGTGCAGACTGCGAGTATGTCGAGGAATTACGCCTCGCAACACAAGAAACGCTCCTTGAAATGCGTCAGTACATCCGGCACCACAGACGCGAGAACCTATTCACGCAGGGCTACTTCTACCGCAATATGGCCCTTCGCCATTACGCCCTTACCATGGCGGCGAATAATACCACCCACCTGGCAATTCTGCGCCACGCCGAGGGTCTTAGATGGGTGAAGCTGCCGACACCAGAGCAGATCCGTCTCTGGGAAGGAAACAATCAGCAGGAGTCGGAGGTCGCGGCGGATACTTTGCATAGTTGCGAATGCAGGTATTTGCCGGATAAAGCAGAGAAACCGACTATCGAGAACCATCAGCGGGTTCGCCTGGACGAGTATGTGAATGGATTCTGGCTGGGGGAACACGAGGATGAAATATGAATCAGGGGCTGATTGGCGTTTTAAATCCTTATCTGATGGCACTACGGAGCTAGTACCCCGGGCATACGTCTAACCAGCTTCACACATGGTGATTTCCTGTAGTGTAGCCGGTCGTGGCTTTGAATATATATCCGATATCCGTAATCTTGTCCTCGAGGGTGGTATGTGTGCAGAGACTGAAGAGAATAAGAATGCAAGAATCAATAATAGAGACGGGGCGCCACGTGACCGACAGCTGGCCCGAGCGCCAGCTGACGGTCCACAGCGGTCCAAGCTCCTGGCGCTTGTCCGCTTCGGGCAGCACGGCAATAGTTGTTTTGGAGTCTTGTCGAGTCTGGCCTGCTAATATTAATATCCCCCTGACTCCTGCTCCGTCTCATCTCCATCTTCCCTCGTCTTCTCTCATCATCCTCTCTTTATTCCTGAGTACAACAGAAGACGTTAACTGCTGTGAGTTGATTGACAAGGTGCGTTCAACATTGCTTGCTGATGTTTCAGGTCCCCACCATGACAAATCTTGCTAACCTATCCCAGTGCTTTCAAAATGTCTGCTGAGGCCGCTGCTGAAGTTCCCAAGCCTGTCGCCGAGACGGCTGAGGTCGAACCAACCACCACTGCCGCCGAGGCAAAGCCTGTCGAACAACCTGCGGAGACATCGGCGGAGACACCGGCGGAGGCTGCATCAGACAAAAAGGACGAAGCTGCTGAGGCGCCTCCTGCCCCCCCTAAAGATGACAAACCAGATACCGAGAACAAACCGGAAGCTCCAGCCAAGCCAGAGTATCTGACTAAGATCGCCGGTCTCGAGCAGTTCTTCACCAGCCTCCCCTCCATCCTCGAGAAGACTGGCCACCCAGAAATGTGGGGTGTGACATTGAAGGACTCTGATGACATTCCTACGGTGAACGTTCTGATTAAATTCCTCCGTGCCAACGAAGGTAACGTCAAGCTGGCCGAGGAGCAGCTCACCAAAGCTCTCACATGGAGAAAGGAATTGAAGCCCCTGGAACTGGCCGACAGCGCTAGCTTTAGTGCGAAGAAATTCGCTGGACTTGGCTATATTACCTCCTATGTTGATCCTAGTTTCGGAAAGACCGTCTTCACCTGGAACATCTACGGCGCTGTTAAGAATGCTAGTGCCACATTTGGTGATGTTGACGAGTATGCCTCACCTATCTCTAGATACTGTGACATCTGCTGACAGACTTGATAGGTTCATTCGCTGGAGAACTGCATTGATGGAAAAGGGCGTTTTGGAACTTGGCTTGGCTGACGCCACCGAGGTGGTTGAATACGATGGCGAGGATCGCTATCAGATGAACCAAGTCCACGACTACCGTGGCTTGTCGTTCCTCCGCTTGGACCCCAATGTTAGGGCTGCCACCAAGAAAACAATTGACGTCTTCAGCACTGCCTACCCAGAATTGCTACGGGAGAAATACTTTGTCAACGTTCCAGCTATTATGGGATGGGTATATGGTGCGATCAAGGTGTTCCTGAGCAAGAACACTGTTCGCAAATTCCACCCTATCTCCAACGGTGCCAACCTTGGCCGTGAATTCTCCTTTGTCGAAGACCTTCCCAAGTCATACGGAGGCAAGGGTGCCGAACTCGCGGACTCTGCACGCACCATTCCCCTAGTGGATGACATCCCAGCTGGTGAGCCCGAGAAGGCTGGTACTGAGGCTGCTCAGAAAGAAGCCGGCAAGGAGGCTGCCACAGAAGCTCCAGCTACTCCCCTGGCCGCAGAGGTTGCCCCTGAAGTACCTGCTAAGGAAGAGCCTGCACCGGCTGCTCCTGAGACCGCTGAGCCCGCCAAAGACGAGTCCGCCAAGGTCGAAGCTGCCCCTGCCGAGGCAACCCCAGCTGCTGAGGAGACCAAATAAACGGCTCAAAGATTCCTACTGGCCTATATTGAGATACCCGATCCTGTGCATGCTTGAATTGATCGATGTAATAGGTGTGTTTTCTGCCAGATTTGGCACAGCGTTCGTATGATGGAGGCGGTTGTAGTAGTGTATTTATTGTCTTGATTGCTTGATTAGGTGGAAACGAGGACTGGTCTCGTAATTGCCTCCCAAGTGTGACCAGTTGATTTGATACCCAGTTGCAGCGTTATTGGGATTCCACATTTCGCATTAGTTCAGTATAGAAAACTCGATTGAGCATGTACATTCAAATCCCGATTACGTAGTGAGAAAGTACGCTTAATGACTTGTAAAACACGAGTAAATAAGCTTAACAAGGACCTGGTTCTGGTGGATTAGGGGCAAGTCGGATCCATGGAATGGACTAGACTCCACCTCACATCAACCTTACAACAATTTATATGTACACAATTTATTATGAATGCGAACAGACTGGTTGTTCATAGTGGAAATTATTTCTGCTCCCCTCGCGATCGCCATTCCCTCCTGCTGATCTTCTAAGCCGCCCCACTGGGTAATTCTTATACGCCATCGCTAAGATCACTTCGTCATTGTGCATAAGCCAAAGAAATGATGATTTACATCCACGACATCACATACAATACAGACAGGTGCGGATATGAACATATACATGCTGCACCGTATATTTCACTTCCATCATACGCTACCCACGCAGTCTGTATGAGCCCTTCGTGCGACATACTACACCATGGATGTGATCGGCTCTGTATCAGCGGTGCTAGGCATCGCTGAGGTCGGCATCAGCACGTCATTCAAACTGCTCTCCTTTGCGGGACAAGTCAAATCGTCCCCTAGTACCATCACCGGCATCGCACAGGACACGTCCCTGACAGTGAATATGCTACAGCAACTAGGCGAGCTAATGAAGCAACAAGTCCCAGCTTGCGGATCATTCAACGGGGAACTTTCCGGCGATAAAGCAGGTGCTAGCAACGGTATTTTCAACAAAGAGGGCTTGCAAACCGCGCAGGAGCTGGCGAGTAGATCCGAGGATATCTTTCACCGCATCGACCAGGAGCTGAAGAAAGCGAGCAAGCAGATTAGTCGGAAAGGACTTAATCGTGGAGAGCCTATTAAACTGTCCGCTGCTGAGAAGCTGAAATGGCCGTTCTTTCAGCCTCGGATAGAAGAGATTCGCGCAGAGCTGAAAGATGTGAAAGCGTCGTTGACGTTTCTACTGCAGATTACGACGCTGTCTTATTCTAGGTCGGTGGCTGAACGGTTGGTTGCTTCCTCTGTTTCTGTGGGAAAGTGTAGGAGACTAATACTGTGCGTTAATAGTCAGAATTCAAAGGGGTCAAATGCAAATATTATTCTACTGTCTCCAGATGAAGAAGTAGTGCTGAGTCGATCCATCCTCGCGGCTTACAAGGAAAACGCTGCTAAAGGCACGGGAGTGGGCTTGGGAGATGGCGATGTCACAATATTAAATGTCAAGCCCACAGAGTCTAAGAATATAGATCGCGGCCCTCCTCCGAAATACGATTCTCAGGATGTTGGAACATCGAATATTCAGGGTCATAGCGGGGATCCAGTCTCGAGTTCTTCAACAGCCAAGCTAGAAGCGTGGACTCTGTATCCCACTGTTACCGTTTCCGCATCGAACAACCATTCGCTGGATCATAATCTTTCTCGCTGCCCAATACAAGAGGAAATAATCCAGCAGCAACTTCCAAAGTGGAAATCAGAAGCCAGAGATTCTTTATGGAGCCAGTGGACGAAACTATCTAATAATGAACAAGAGGTGATATCTGCATTAGGTTCGCAAATCGACTGGATCCATATTGAAGAGCCGCGGCCATTCATCATTGGGCTGCCCGAGGTAAAAGGACGAACTGTCTACTTCGTCGTGAGAAATACTGCCACGTTCGACACTATTGTTTCCACCTCAGAATCGCCTCCACAGACAAGACTAGGAAAATTGCAGTCACATCACGAGACTACGCTACGAACAATCTCCGCGCCTGTGCAGGAAACGGTGGTAGAGGAAATAAGTTATCAAACAGCAGAGCTTCCACAGAAATCGATACAAAGGCATCACTCCGCTGAAACATATGCTGTGGGTGACACTTGGGATGCCACCGAGTCGTCAGATATTGATACAGAGGAGCCAGACGAGGACTGGGAGGAGCGAAAAATGGTCGACGACTTGGTGGCTAAATATACGAATGTAAATAAGAGCCATGATATTTAGGACAGACTCGGAACAGCTTGAATTGCCTCACTTTTCCTTTACTTTTCCTTTAATTTTCCGCTACTTTTCCTCTACTCTTCCTCCATAGATATAGATTGTGCAACCTGATTGGTCCGCTCCCCGACCCACTACGTGCGGGCGGCGAGAAAGCTCCAAGTGCAGCTCTTCGTCAATCAGGAAGACCTTCACATTTGACAGATTGTCGAGCGACCTGGGGAATATCTAATATCTGCCATCCAGACATAAAACCATCGCCGGCGCTTCTATCTGGGCTGCGAGTCTGCGTCAAATACGATAGAGAATGCGCCTTGCCTTCAGCCGCTGATTCCTACCTCAACAATCGATACCGCTCAATCTCCCTCTGATCGACCTGCAAAAACCACACCGTCCAGACTGATCCACGATGTCTGTCTGGAACCCAGACAATATCCGTGATGTGGCCGAGTCGGTCGGCATCACGAGCCTGAACAACGACGTGACGGAGAACCTCGCGCGCGACGTCGAATACCGCATCGCCCAGGTCCTGGAAGAAGCGCTAAAGTTCATGCGCCATGGCCGCCGGACTATACTCACAACCCAGGATATCTCGCAGGCCTTGCGGGTGTTGAATGTTGAACCCCTCTATGGATACGAGTCGGCACGTCCGTTGCGTTTCGGAGAAGCTTCGCTGGGCCCGGGCCAGCCATTGTTCTATGTTGAGGATGAGGAGGTAGATTTTGAGAAGTTGATTAATGCGCCTTTGCCAAAGGTGCCGAGAGAAGTTACATTTACTGGTAAGTGCATCTTACTAGATGTCTTTATAATGCGGCTGCTGATGCTATCTATTACAGCGCACTGGCTCGCCGTGGAGGGCGTGCAACCTTCGATCCCCCAGAACCCGACGTCGAACGAATCGCGCAATCTGGAACTCGTTTCAAAGGGACCTAATGCGAACCCGAACTTGGCTGCCATGAGTGGCAACCAAAATACCACAGTTAAACCTCTTGTCAAACATATCCTCTCCAAAGAGCTACAGCTGTACTTTGAAAAAGTGTGCAGTGCTTTCTTGGACCCAACCAGCGAGGAGTACCGGACTTCAGCGTATTCCAGCCTGAGAGAAGACCCCGGTTTGCACCAACTTGTGCCTTATTTTGTGCAGTTCATCTCGGAGAAGGTGACGCATAATTTGAACAACATCTTTGTCCTGACGCAAGTGATGCGGCTGGCAGAAGCGTTGATTCAGAATCAGTCGCTATACATCGACCCCTATGTATGTGACGCTCTTTGAAACAAAGGTCTCGAGAGTGGAATTGATATGCTGACTTGATAATTACTTAGGTCTCCGCTCTTGTCCCACCAGTGCTCACATGTCTTGTTGGTCGCCAGTTTGGCGGTAGCAACGCAGAATTGACTGAGCAATTTGCACTACGCGATCTATCCGCCGCTCTCTTGGGGATGATCACCAAGAAATACTCGCATGCATCTCACACACTCAAACCAAGGATCGCACGTTCGTGCTTAAAGAACTTCCTTGACCCCGCTAAGCCCTTTGGCACCCACTACGGAGCTATTCTTGGATTACATTCCATCGGAGGACCTGATGTTGTTCGCGAGCTAATCGTCCCCAACTTGAAAGAGTACGAAAAGTTAATCCGAGAGGCCATTGCCGAGGAGAGCCCGCGTCGACCCGAGGCCGAGAAAGTGCTGAATCTGATCCTGGCCGTTCTTTCGACCTTGCAGCAAGACCGCAAGCATCTGACGAACGGTGACGCGGCAGAAGTTACAGACGAGCTTCGCGACCAGCTCGCGGACAAGATCGGCCAGCTGCTAGCGTCAAGAATTGCGGAGGCGGGTGAAGTACAACTAGCCCATGTTATCCTGGTGCCCTAGCTTGTGATTTTATCTCCTGCGCGTTCATTATTGTATATTCCCATTTACCCTGCATAGTACCAGGCGTGCGTGCTACTCGCGCGCTACATGCTTGTTTTCCTGGCGTTTGGGGTGGACTAAACAGCGGCTGGGACAACGCAGGCGTTCTTTATTTCTTCTATCTTGGATCTTGAATTGAAAATTCTCATTTTCTATTGTAACAACGTGCTTTGGAACCTTAACCCTAGAGAAGACGGCGAGAGGGCGACAGAGCAGAGCAAGCTGCAGTTAGCCTACACTAAGGATGCAGCTCTGCATGGTGCCTGGCTACGACGTCACAGCGCCCTGCTGCCCGACAATCTTTGAGGGCTTTGACCCAGGCTCGTTAATCGCCTTTAGCGCCAGTCGAGACCCGTCGCCGCTCACAGTGCGCGATTTCCAGTCACGCTGTTGGTATAGTGGTCTATAGATAATCAATCTATCGATGCAACCCATGAAACTGGCGCATGTTTAATCGGCGTCGGATGTCTCGCCGTGTAGAGTGTGTAGAGGCGGTCGTGTGAGAGACTTCCTCATTCAACTGGCTCCCGAGTCGGAGAAAACTGGGACGAGAAGACGTAATTACTGCTACTTAATATTAAGTAGCTGACTGGCGACGACGAGTGGGGAGCTGGAGGGGGAGCGCTGTGTGGGAGAAGGCGCTCCCGTCAATCAAAGTGCCGTGCAGCGCCTCCACGCCGCTTCGGATTTTTTTTCGCGCAGCCCACTTGGATCTGTAGGAACCCTCACTCCTCACACACACAACCACGCTGCCAACCCAACTCGTCTACCAGTCTCTGCACCCCCACACTCAGGACTGCCTCTGTTTTGTTTCCTGGTTCACAACAATTTGCTACTGTTCTCGTCAACTAACTTACTATCTACCTCTCTTCCGCTCTGATCGCACTCATCCTCGCCACTGTCCCGCCCTCACGCCCGTCACACCTGTCTTGACCAGCAATGTTGATGTGTGCATCCGCCTTGCTTTAACCCAGATTCTTTACTCACCTTCAATGAGCCCGAAGGATCTACTGCGTTTCCTGTCCAAGCCTGCAAAGTGAGTCCTTGCTTCCCTGAGCAATTGATGCCTCGCTGCCTGCGATGTTGCTGTTTGCCAAATCCTTCCCTTGTTGTCGCCCGCCCTCAACCCCACGGAAATCTCTGACCGGTCCTGTGGCAGGCCTCGATAACGCCCCTTCGTGCCCTCTGTACTCCCGCTGTGCCGCTGGCATCCTTCTGTTGCAATTCCTGAGCAGATATCCTCGTCTGCGAGACCCGATACTCTGACCGGTATCGGTATCTGTCAGTTCGAGGACTACCCAGATAGTCACCATTTCGTTCGAACTCTTCTTCGCCCTTCTCTCCGCGCGCCCTCCCTAACATTCCTTTGGGAAAGCTCTTCTGATTCACCGTCTCCTGCTGGCTGCTCGGCCAGCGCTTTCAACTCTCGATAAAAGGGCCTTCTACTTCTCAGGCGGACACCGCATTGTCCCCTGGGTGGCAGATTGTGCTTCGCCGGCTCCAGTCGTCCAAGCCAAACGTCGTGATCCGCTTTGTTTAACCAACCGAATTGCTTTGTTTCTCTAGTCTTTCTTGGAGATCTACGGATATGGTTTGCATTGGTATTCCCAAGAATTATACAACTTCGCCGTCCTCGTATATTGGCACCCCGTCTTTGACAATCAATCATGAAGCTGTCATTGATCTTGATAGCTCCAATGCATTTGAAGGTATGCTGGCTCAGCCATTTCATATCTAGCTATGATGGCTGATTTATGTGATAGGTCCCGAAAAGCTGCTAGAGGTCTGGTTTGGTCCCTCCGCCGACAATCTTCTTGGAGGAACTGATCCGCTCGGTCTCAAAGCTGTCCCGGCCGAAATATGGAAGGACATGCTCGATCTGGTCAACTGCAAGGTGCTATCAATCGTCGAATCCGAGGACGTCGACGCCTACCTGCTTTCGGAATCTAGCATGTTTGTCTGGCGCCACAAGCTCATCTTGAAGACTTGCGGCACCACCACCTTGCTATCCGGTCTCCCTCGCATCCTGGAGATCGCTGCTTTGTTCGCCGGCTTCCCCAAATCTACAGCACCTTCTTCCCGGAACATTTCGATCGCTGCTGCTCCTTATCGAGTCTTCTATAGCCGGAAGAACTTCCTGTTCCCCGATCGCCAGCGAGGTCCCCACCGCAGCTGGCGCGATGAGGTGAGGAACCTTGATAAGCTCTTTGTCAATGGCAGCGCCTACATGATCGGGAAAATGAACGGCGAGCACTGGTACCTGTACCTGACCGAGCCATATACTCTGCTGACGCCACCATCAACTCCACCTCCTGATACTCAAACCAAGGTTCTCAACATCCCGGAGAGCCTCCAAAGCAAGAAAGCAATCTCTGGTTGTGAAGAAAGCGACGAAACTCTTGAGATTCTGATGACGGATATGGAAGAGGAGAATGCAAAGCAGTTCTATCTCGACCATGCGAGTGCGGTCGCAGATCTCCGTTATCGGAAACTTGAGAAGGACAGAGACGAACATGTTGACGTGTTCAGCAACACGTCTTCAGACATCAGTGACCCCAGCTCTGAGGGCGAGCACGTTTTGCCGCCGGAGCTGACCACGGAAGGCCATACCCTTGGTACTGTCGTGTCCGAGTCCTGCGGCCTGGCCGACGTGTACCCGACCAACAAGTATCCCGAATCTCGTATTGATGCCTATCTCTTCACGCCTTGTGGCTTTTCTGCCAATGGTGTCGTGCCTTCTCCTGACGGTAAATCCGGTACTCATTATTTCACCGTTCATGTGACACCAGAGCCTCAATGCTCTTACGCATCTTTCGAGACAAACGTGCCGCATTCTCAGGAAGGACGCGAGACTGCGGAAATTGTCAAGAACGTTGTCGAGATATTTAAACCTGGTCGTTTCACGGTCACCTTGTTCGAGGCAAAACCTGGATTCGCCCTTGACGAGGCACTGACCCCTACCAAGTACCATCGTTCGGCAGTCATGCAAGCCAGAAAGATGGAGAACATCCCTGGGTACCGCCGAGTGGATCGGATCGTGCATGATCTTGATGGGTATGACCTAGTCTTCCGTTACTATGAGCGCAATGACTTCAAGGGGGGTGCTCCACGGATTGGAGAAATGTGAATCGGAGCTCTCGGTCCAGATTTGTCAATTTCGGATCATTATTGTTTCATTCCGTCTTTACCGCGCATGAAGGTGGAAACTGTACATTCGGTTCTCACGTCCTGTTATGCCTTTCTTCTGCTTTGCGTTGCTTTAACGTTGGGATGATTGATATAGTCTCTATCCCATGGTTGAATGTCTAGCCTATCGATAACCTTCATTTTGAGCGGTGTGTTTCTTGTTACTATCTTTATAATCCGTCTTTATCGGAGAGTTAATGAGACAATCTGCATATTTGCAACCTTTGAAAGTTCCACATGTAAGGCGTCTTGAGTAACATGTAGGTGATTATGTAGGCTACAGATTACCTGTGGCATCAAATAGAAACACGTCACTAGCTGTAATATATATTTGTCGTCTAATTCTCTAGTTCGGCCCATATCTTTATATCCAATTGATTCTCACGCAAGTTGTTGTTCGCGCTCACCGCCTTTACAAACCCGGCAGTATTCAACCTCCGCATCTTTCGGTCTTCCGGGTCTGACCTTGACATCAATGAACCAATCTTCACGACACATCGCCCATCTATTTCTCGAATCTCAAACACACCTGAAATAAATTTAATGTTTAATCACCAACCGTACACGCGCTCCCGCTCATAGCCACCCTCAGAACCATCCCATACTCTCAACCCCTCCTCGCGTCGCGCTCACTTGCGCCTGATCAAAAGATGTCTTCACCACCCCCAACGACGCCCAACCCGCTCAACCCGCGGAAGCGGCCTTCAATCTCGTCTGTAGCATCCGGTGCGGCGAAGCGGCCGCGCATGCACCCTCTTCGCCAGACCTCCTTTCCCACAGGCATGGAACCGGGGGCTAGTCGCGCTGCTAGTGATGCAGGCAGCGTCACGGGCAGTTTTACAGGTAGTTTGGGTGGTAGCATTGCCGATGGGCCAAGGAAAAGGGGCCGCAAGAAGAAGAATGATGCCGGCGCCGACGGTCGCAGTACGAGATTCGGTTCGATAGACCCGGATGCAGCCTCCGTGCGCGACGGCGCTGGGGGAGGCGCTGGTGGTGCTGTTGACGAGGCTGGGGAGGAAGAGGAAGAGCAAGATGTTGAAGGTGAACTTCTCGATGGAACTGAGGGGTTTCTCGATTATGCGACGGAGAAGAAGAATCTAGCGTACGTTTTTTTTTGCATCGTTTTGATTGTTTGAGATGTATTAAGTGTTGAATAGAGTCTTGACGAACTCTTTTACGCCGCTTCAAGCGGATCGATATGAGAAATGGAACCGTACGAGGTTACGAAAAGAGACTCTGCGAAGGATTGTCAACCATGCTTTGTCACAGTCCGTCCCGCAGAGTGTTGTGACGGTTATCAATGGATTTTCGAAGGTTTTTATTGGTGAAATCGTCGAAAAGGCTCTCGCCGTACAAGATGAATGGGCGGATGCGTATGATATAGCTGCCATGGATGCGTGGATACAAGAACAGGCAGATATCGACGCTGCCGCAGCGAAGAAGGCGCGCGCAGAAGCAGATGCAGCCGAGAAATCAAGAACAGAGGCTGGTAAGAGCGAGTCGAGGCCATCATCGGAATCGAAAGAAGGCGAGGCGCAGAACAATGGAGTCAAGCAAGAGCCAGGCTCGTCATCTTCGCCAAATGATATCCCTGCAATGCTATCGCCAGCTGGGCTGCCCGCGGACCACAAATCTCCATATACATCAACGACTAGTACTGGCCAGCAGCTCAATGGGGAGTCCACCTCTACATTACCTGTAAAACGCGAATTTGTGCCCCCAGTCAACCCTCATCGTGGCCAGCTTCTTCCCGATCACCTTCGCGAAGCCCTCAGACGCTACAAACGCAATGGTGAGGGCGGCGGGACAGGTATGGCAGGGTTAAGTCAGCCGGCACTGGGTGTGAAAGGCTCTTTTACATGGCAGCTAGGGGCTGGGGGCAAACAGCTGTTTCGATGATCAAGCCTTCTGCTCCTGATTGCTGATAGTGCTTACTCGTATAATTTTAAATAAGGCATTACTTGGAGTATTTAGGTACTTTGCATTTTTTTTGTTTTGTTTTGCAAACCAGGGTTTTTTGCTCTGTTAGGGTCCAGTTCTTAGTTAAGATACCACGTCGTTCAACCCAATATCAAATGCGCGTTCTCAATAACCATTTCAACCAAATTCATCTTGAGCTATCTCGACTTTCCATCCTTTCCGCTTAATTCACCTGCCGTCGTATCTTAGTGAGACGAAGTAAAAATCTTTGCAGGTTTGAATGTCATCTCGCAGAGCCAAAATCATACTAACCATCTCAACTTTCATACTGCCTTTCACAACTATTAGCTCAGAAGTTCTTGTACAAAACAGAGAAAGACCCAACCTTCTCTTACTCGACTGCAGCGGATTTCTTGCGCTTTACTTGCTGCCTTGGTACGTAGTCACTATCGTTTGACGGAGTGGACGCTCTCTTTCCGGTCCTTTTCGGGGGGAACTTCGGAGGAAGATCAGCCGCAACCTCTACAATCGATTCATCTTCTGGAATTGGAACCAGAGATACAGAAGAAGAGTCCCCTGCTTTTGCCTTTGATCGTCCATAGGTCCTTTTGCTTGATGATTTGTTTGTTGATTGTCCAGCCTTGGAGGACTCTGGGAAGATTATGTCACCATCTCGAAGAATAATTCCAGAGTGTGGGAACTTTAAGGGGCAGCCACCGGGGGCTAGAACTGGGGTAGTAGGAGAACTATCAGGCCCTGTTGGGAGCCTAGAAGCAGTATTCTCACGATCTTTTGAAGTCTGCCAGTAGGGCAACATCCCTTTGATGCCGTCGAGAATGGCCTCTTCAAGCTTCTTCTTCCGTAGTTCTTCGATGAATTCGCGTGTTGATTCGCTTGGTTTCCCGTCTTGTTCATTCAGTTTTCTTTCGCGCTCCTTGAGTGCGAGAGGAACAGGCTTGATGGTTTCTGGATTTAGTAGCAGTTTCAAGCCAGGTGAAGAGTCCCAATTTTCGCCAACCAGACCCACACATTTCAAATATGAGCCGATCGTTTTGATGTCCTTGCCAGCTTTGGATATTATTTCCAGAACTGAGTTGACGGTATCAGAGTCATCGGCAAGCTTGGTTGACTGGATCGCGGCGAATGCTTCGTTGTACTCTCTGATGTTGGTGAACAGGGCCTCGAGAGTGCCAAAGGCGAGCACCTGCGGTTCGCACTCAGGGGTGATAATGGGGGCAGTCTCGCGGGGGAAACCAAGCACTCTGTTGTTGATCTGCTGGATTTCGAATTCTCCGGTTGTGTAGACTGGAGGTTTGTGGTCTGGTGGTTGAGACATGCTGGATTGGATGGCTATGAGAGATGGGTAGGCGTGATACAAAAGAAGTTGTAGTGAAAAATAGAGAAGGATTAGGGTAGAATAAATAAACAAAGAATTAATTGCACTGGAATACCTGTGATTTGCATTCTGCACTGTGACAAGCAAAGACAAGGCACGACAAGGCATCAAACTGCTTCAATTGGTTATTTGACCAAATAAGAGAATTTCACTTCTGGGCTTTCTTGTTTACAAGATTATTCTGTGCACATCTTATGCTAGAAACTTTTAAGATAATCTTTAAAGTTATAAAGACTTTTGCTTTTCTTTTAAAAGATGGTAAGATCACATATCCTCCTACACATCGAAGTAAAAATAATAAACATACTAGCACAGCCCTAATTTCATACGCTACATACAACTGCTTTAAAACCAGATCTCCCAACATTTGTTTGCGGTAAAGGTTAAACGTCTTGAAAAGATATATGATAGTCTTGAAGGTGATAAGTTCCTTTCTATTAAGGGTATCTAATGCATGTAATAGACACAAGTATATTTCGCAACCTCTAACAAGCTATTAATATCAGAGGGTATCACATAAGCATAGTACCATTTAGGTCAAAGAGATAAGAATAGAAATAGAAAACCCACAAAGACTGATAGGAAATCTAGAATGACCAAGGTGTTGTGGTTGGATTAATCTCAGTGCATCGAAGAACCGGGATAACCACTAGTTGTCTGGTGGTGTAGAAAAAGAAAATCGAGTAATGGAAGGTCGATAAGTGTTCTGTATGTGAAGTTGTGCCAAATGAATAATTCATGTGATAGCAAAACACAAGAGAACAACGCCAGGATGCCAGTTGTCAACTAGGCTAAGATCTGGGCGTACGGAAGTGCATTGCCAGACTAGCCACTTGGTTTGTAGTGGATTTCCTTGACGGCCTGTGACTTCTTATCAAGCTCAGAAAATATTTCCTTCTTAACTCGATCGAAATCCTGCGACGAGAGTCCTGGACTCAGTCGACCTTCCCGGATGGCCAAAGGGACCCCCTCTCTATATACCTCTTCTAACGGGGCTAGGAATCGAAACTTATAGACACTGAACTGCATCATCAAAGATGATTTGATATCTTTTTTGACATTTGTCAGCGTTTCGAAAGATTCCTCGATCTTTCGTGAGAAATCTTGAAAACGGGCTTCGGTCTCATTGCGCGAGTGATTGTGGACCGTCGCCCGCACAGCTTCAATCTGCTTGAGTTGAAGTTCTTTAAAAGCTTCAAAAGTTTTTTGTCTCTGCGTCTCTATTACGTTCTCGGCGGGCTCGTCATCAAGAATTTGAGTGAGAAAATCGCTCTCTTGAATCTTCGGATTCCATTTATCCCAATAGATCATTCTGTTTTCGGTAGCGAGGGGAGTTTCCAAAATGTCTTTGATCTCAGAATAGTGGTATGGTGCAAATTTATATTCCAATCCTTCTTCTATTAGATCAATTAGCTTGTTAACGTCGCCCTTGATCATTGGAAAACAGGCAGCCACCCTTTCCATCCAGGTACGAAAGTACCCATCAAGCCGTTTATCCTCTCCAAACTGGTTTTCGTGTTCGATCACCAAATCTTCAATAGATGCCATATATGGTACAAGAGTTTCATTGAGGAAGTTTTCTTCAGCTGATATCATGGCTCTCGCTGTAACTTCCATCATGCCTCGCTGAGTCATTTTATTATTGGCATCCCACCATGTTTTCGCCTGTTCAAGTGCGTTGATATAAAAGTCGAACATAGACTTATAGTGTGCTTTGATTATTTTCTTCCTCGCATTTTGTAGCTTTTGAACCCAAACCTTGTCTTTTTCCTCTTGCTCTGGGTTAAAGACAGTGACAAAAGAAGTATTAGAAGAAGGTGAATCGGCCATTGTGAGGACTCGAGCTAGGTATTTCTAGTATCGAACAGAAGGTCTCAGGCTTCGAAAGATAGTAGAATGGAAGAAGAAGAAGTAGTAGTAGGAATTATTCCTCTCGGGAAATCAGTTTTTAAAGTCGTGCTGTGACTCAGTGGCTGGTATTGACTCCTGGAATGAATGCAACTGTCACTCTAGTTCCATGACTTCACCATAGAACTAAGCTAAGAGTTCCGTATGCGTCACCGTATTCTGAATCAAACTTTGGGATTACTCTATGCTTGCTGTTTGAGTAGATATAGATGTGTCAACAAATCAACTTAAGTGTGAATGACTCGAAAGTTCTAGGGTCACATTTCCCCCTAATTGATGTAACAAGAAAGAAAAAGGAATACCCCATTCCAACTCACTGTTTTAACATTTAAATGATTTAACATATCTATGTAAACAAGTATTTACTTGTTAATATCAACTAAATTTGAATGGATATAGTCAGCATTGAAATCTTGGTGGGGCTTCATAGAAATGTGTCACAAGCAATTCATCAATGTGGATGCAGGCTACTTAGATCAAGAGTTCTGCTTATATGGTCGAATAGGACGTTAAAACCTTGTTACAGCACACTAATTTACATTTGGATAAATTTTGTTTTGGATCAGGCCGTCAATTGTACAACATTTTTGAATATAATACCTTCATCACTGGAACTCAGTGCTGTTATAGTCTAGCGAAGATATTTACGGTTATATTTCTTTGCATCCTACAGTTACAGAACTTTTAGCATTCTAAATTTAGTTGATCTCAATTAACTTAGCCTAAGCTATACTCGTCTATAAGTTAGATACACGTATATCAAGTATGAAAAGACTTTATGCATCAACCTCCAGTCATGCCATATCATCAATTCCCCCCACAGTCATTAATTGTGTTGTATATTGGCTAAATATGCAGTCGTATTTTAATAAAAGAGTTGTCCCCATTGAATGATATTGGCAGACGAGTTGTAGAAGTGATGGAGGGAAGCCCTGGCGTTCTTGAAGACAAGGGCATCCTATATCGAGTCCAGAATTTTGATGATGTCTCTTCAAACCTGCTTGTGCTCTTCGTCAAAGTTGTTTGTCAGATGACTCTAGTTCCGGTTGTTTAAGGTTGTAGCAGTTTAGGTTTCTCCTCTTTGATCGAATCCAAGACCCTTCGAACCTCTGCTGTTGTGAGAAAGGAGATGGCATACCTATCCCCGCCAATGAACGCATCGATTGCCTTTTCCAACTCCATTCCACTATACACACGAAATAATTTGTCAAAAGATTTTCCATAATCGTCGATGTTCTGCAACATTCTTCTCTTCAAAAGTACTTCATTTCCATCCACGGATGCATTGACCTGATATTTCACATTCTGAACTTGCATATTGTATGTCGTCAAGGTGCGTTTGAAATTCTTCAAGACATCAGATAAGCCTTCAAGCTTCTCTCGGTCAGATTTCTTGGAATACCGAATTGTCGTCCAGGTTACAGAAGACTCCTCCGCTAATTCAAGACGTTTGAGACGCTCCTCATGTATTTTACGAATTAGAGCGTTATAATTGTCGTACTGATAATCTGTCTTTTTTGGTAATTTAGAGGTAACTGATTCGGACATTTTGGTGAGAGCACGAGAATTTCTAGAATTTGAGGTAAGATAAGTGGACAAATAGTAACTTAAACAGTACGGAGATGACTTTCTGGAGGAGAAAAAGAAGAGAACTTCAAATTTCCAAACAGAGATTTTATAGCTGCCAAATGACACATCCATTTATGAAGTGGTGGCTGTATGGAGGCATTTGGCTCAAGGCAGAGTCATACCTGATACATTGAACGATATGAAGTTGAAGGATTTCGAGTCATATTTGACTCTGCAGATGCTTTTAATCACTAGTAGTTAACTGGATAATCACACCCTCACTACTTGGAGTGTCTATATTCCAATTAGTTCCAGAATGAAGCTTGAATTAAAGTTGGTGATATGGTTTTCGTAGTCGATTGACATTACTGATATCCGTAGTTTAATATATCAATATATACTCCCCCAAGTCACCTTTCATGGTGACAACTACTCATAAGTATTACTCAGTAGTATACGACATATGTAAGTACTAACAGTTTCTAAGGCAGAGTGATGCGGTGGATTAGTCATTCTTTCCGAATTAGGCAAGACTCAGCAGCGCGGAAACCGACATCTATTTGCCCCGAAATTTGTGCAACAATTGAATAACTCCCGCATGTTATGTATGACGGACGACTTCTGAGTCAACCTAGACTTTTAATCATGTGATAGAATAACATAGTCACACTGGTTAAGAAACTAGAAGTTACATGAATAGGGGCAATGGCGGGAAGATAAGCGGTGATGATCAACAATAAGTATGAAATATTTGAAGTTAACAGATATAATTTTGTCCGTCAATCTAAGTGGTGTTGGATTTGAATTCTATTCAGCTAAAATTGAAGAGGTCCTAGATGAATACACGTACATAACCAATAGTAATCCTATCCAAATTTCCACCACCAACATGCAAAATCTATGGTACTCAATGGCTTCAATTGCTAAATAAGAATGACTTAGGGGATCAATGAGTAACGAACGGGGTTATGGGCCTGTAACCGGTGAAGCGTTCTCAAATCGCAGACTAATCTCTCGTGCTTCCGCTTCAGTTATCTCATCAAATATGTCATCCTCGCTGCTGTTTCGAGAACTATTGTCGTCGGCTTTAGTCGCTAGTGGACTCGGTAGATTCTTGGGATTGTATTCATTCCACTTGAATTCATAATCTTTCAATCGACTGTGGATGTCGGTTCTAATTTTCTGCGTGGCGACCTGAGACGCGAATGTCATGTGCATAAAGTCCTCGTCCCAGTTGTGCCATTTCGTTCCGTCCAATTTTCGAGGCAGATACAGAAGGGCGTAGCGGTTTTCGTCAAATTCATCTTGCCCTCTCTTCTCCTTGTAATGATAGGAAGCCAGAAGCATGCCCCGTTTACCCAGTTTGCCGGCTCCGGGTACCTGCTCATCTTTGTCAAGACGTCTCACCTCAACGCGAGTAGGGCTTGTCATGTACTGCATGTTGAGTTGGCCGTTAACTATCTCACGAATCTGCTCCTTGATCCCTTCTCCTGTTTCCTTGAGTATCTCGTTCTCCTGACAATTATTACACTTCCCTCTGTAGCGAACCGTATAACTGTCCTTGCTATTGACGAGAACATTGGCTTCTATGTGACGTGGAGGAAACAGGCAATTGTCTTTCTCAACACTGTGGCCGCAACCAAGATACTTGTGGAGTCTCTGTTGGTCTATTTCACGCGCTCCAGTGTCTATAGTTACCTGTGTCGGCGGCACCCTTTCTAGAGACATTATGTTGCGTTCAGAGTCGAGATCTAAAACCAACAAGCAACGCCGTATTCATAAGTGGATTATCTATTTCTCTACTCGGTGCCAAATTATGAGTAATTGTAAGATGTGCTCAGAAAACAAAACCGAAGAGTTCCACATACCTGAATAAGAAGTAATGCTATTAAACTTCTTGCGGATATTGAAATATCGTGCCCTAATTCAAATACATAGACAAGAGTGGGAGAGGCTCAAGAGGATCAAGAGCGGGTTTTAAAGGGGGTTTCCTACTAGTAATTGCGGTCGTAGAGCCATTTATGCCAGACAAAGCCACGCAATTTCTGACTCACACTAAAGGATGTGACAAGTTTAGTTTGTTTTTCTCCTCTGATTCTTAGTACTCCATGACAGTGTGAGTCGCAGAATCATTGATCGAGAGATACGAGTTGGAGATGGGCTAGCTGAAGGTAGTACGAGGTACGATGGCTGGAATTCCGCAAATTAAAGGCGGTAAGAATAGCCTCTCTGCATGTCTTAAACAGGAACATTGACTGTGCCTCTGTGAAATATTTTCAACGAGCAACTGCTATAGAAAAACTCATAGTGACCAAATTGTGGTCATTTGACAATGCTGCACACAAGAGGGTGCATGCATGAATTGCAAAGGGGCAACATGAAAAGAAGCAGAGCCATATTGAAGTCTAGACTAATCATTATTCTAGGCGAAGAACAGATATTGAGAAGTAGACGATATATCGTGGAAGCTTTTTCTATAGGTTTCCAAATACATAATATATGTCTCTCTACATGTTATACAAGACTAGGTGACCAGGTGGAAGGGTAACCAAACTGTCAGCATTTTAAAGAGATAATCCCAAAGACAGCAGAGGACTTTATATGAAATAAAATTAACTGACTATCCTGAAGGGCCCAAAAGCGAGCTCCTTAGATATTGGCTTGGTTCGTATTAAGTTGATTCTTCAGTTTCATAGAAGGACTTATTTGGCCAATAAAACAAGTAGAGCAAGGAGATAACAACCACGAAATCAAAAGCAATTATCCACCGTCGGTACATTTGCAAAAAGTTTGACTCACAAGGAATTAATCCGTACTTGGTTTGTCTATGTGCGGCTGCAAAACTTGATACTAGGTTACTCTTCGTATCAGCTAGGTTTTCAGGCTACGCACTAAGATGCACATTTTTTCCCTCTCCCCGATAGTCCTTTTTTATCAACTTCATAATAGGAAAGCCCTTGCCATGGTATACTCAGCAACCACCGCACTGCGACTATTTACTCTGCACTAAAATTTTATTTCTTTTTCGGATGTTATTATAAAATACTTCGATGTTAAGGCTGCTGATGAGCTTATGATGAGCCAATTTATCAGGAGTACGCATCACTAACTCAATACCCCGAGCTGGTCATACTTTACACACCTAACCACTACCTCGGGCTATGCCGTATTATAATTATTAAGCTTGTTGCTCTAGAAAGTGACTACGGAATATAGTGTTTGTGGCAGGCGAATAATTTATTTGCGCATATACCAAATGCAACGTCACCTTAAAAGATACAGGTACAAAAGTATCAATTTATTCCGATTCCACTAGTGTAAATCCAATATAATATAGAAGGCAACGAAAATGTATGAAAAGGTAGAATATTCAATAGATTCATCCTTGAACCAAATGATCAACCATCTCTTCCTTCAATACATAAAATTACCTCTGCCTATCTGATTTCCAATAGTTTGGTATCTCTGTTTCCCAATAGAGAACAGCACTTTTAACCGTGTATTCGATTCAATCATCTGCTTTTTGTATCGACATAACTGACCACTGGCAAGTTAGGGCACGCGGAGAGTCACGTGAAAAAGCATGTCAACATTTTGAATGTTCACAATCGATCAGTTAAACGAGAGGCGCTATATTTTAACATCATATTTTTGGTTACGATTATGACGGTCCTTAAGATATGTCCATATATAATCGCAGAAGATCGAAGACCAATTGTTTCGGACAAAGCGTACGGAACATGAAGCTTCATATTCAAACTCGTGGCTGTCAGAAAGTCATCAAAGACTATCCAGGCATCAATTGGTAAATTAAAAACAGAGTAGCCAAATAGAAAGCATATATAAGTTCTTCATTGAGATTAATTACTATTTCGAATTAAATCATCAGAGAACTTTGTCTATATGGTATACACTACATCGAAGGCACTCCCGAAACCACTTGTAGATTATCAGATAGGTCTAGCATATTGGAAGGCTGTAACAAAATTCTTGCAGCTTGAAGATGTGCATTTACCTAGGTCACATACCCAAGGCTTATAATAGTTGCTGTGGGTGCCATGGACAAAGCACGGCTCTGGGCCTCTAATTAATAGAGTTTATCTAAACATCAATGGTTTCCCATAACAGACCAACTATCGACAACATAGTACCATACCGACAATTGCGAGATTCCCCACCAGGTTATGCATTTCAAACGTGACCAAGCGGCAGGCGAGTATAAATACAATGAAGCAAGAAATGATGTCCTAAGGAATCCTTTCTAGATGCCATCACCCCGTTCTTGGGCTCGCGCGTCTATATTATGAACAGGGTCATCCCTTACGAGAGAGCGCATGAAAAAAGAGCACATGTTGAGCGACGAGAGGAGCTGAAACTCTGTCTTCAGAAATACTGTCAGTGGCGAACGACTGGTGTCGATAGGCTGATCTGCACTAGTCCGGCTCAATCAGTGCTCGGCGAGAAAACAATACGCCCAGAACGGAAGAGCGACCGCTGCCGTTCTTTGTACGTCGTCGAGAATTGTCCTGGCCCTTTTGTTGGTCACATGCGGGATTGGGCAGAGCTTGATCCAACAGACTAATAGAGACACAGACACAAGAGCTGTGCAACTACGTCGAATCGGGACGTTCCCAACTTGCGAGCTTAAGTGCTGCGGCTGCCCCACCTTCACGTCGATCACCTTTGCGGTCACTCTGCTGCTGCATACTACTCACGACAGTGTTCGCAGTTACATTGTTCCTCCATCATCAGTTTCAGCTCCAACTCGGTCGTCTGATGAGAGACTACACCATCTTCTGCTGCCATATCGAAGCGGATGCTCGTCTAGATGGATCCGCCGCCAAACGGGGACGCGAATAGTCGTGGGGTACGCCCGTTGACTGCCCCAATCCGCGGGCGCCCGCAGCTATCATGTACACCGTGCAAGCGCAGAAAGTAGGTTTGGGCATCGCTGATCCATCACTATAACCGTAATACGGGGCAGCTACTAATACGAGATCGCTTTTCTACGCAGGCTAAAATGTGATCGCGCCAGACCCTGCGATAATTGTGTCAAGCGCAGTGAGGCAGAAACATGTGTGTATCCTGCCAATGGATCTACCGGCCGCGACCAGACACGCGAGTCCAGGAAGACCAAGAAGCGCATCGAGCGCCTGGAAAGTTTGGTGATGGAGCTACTAGATAAAGGCGCTCAGAATCATGAGTCGTTCTCTGACGGACCGGCTACCAGCGAGAGTGACGGCCATTCCCAATCACAGCCACTCCGTAATGGCAACGAAGTAGACATCTCGCCCGCTCACAACAATGCGCCTCCAGTGCGCCATATATCAGGTCTCCCTGCTAGCACTTCATCTTCTTCTTTATGGGAAACTGTACTACAGGACGTTAGTAACCCCTTCTACTTCCAATCAATCAACAATCCGCTGATCAAACTAGATTGGAGAAATCAAATTATACTTCGAAGAACATGAGAAAGACTTCAAGCTACAAGCCGGAAAAGTGGAGGGCGCAAGAAACCCACCAGAAGAACAATACATACTCGAAGGCAGTCCCGGCCAGTGGGGCATCGATACTTTCACTCCGTACCTACCGCCACGGCCCGTCGTTGATTTGTTGGTTGCCCACTATTTTGGGGCAGATAGTATTGTCAGACGTAGGTCAGATCTTCCTATTCACGACGATGAGTATCTAACAGAGATTTTAGCTATTATCCACCCTCAAAAGTTTCTTCGTGAAGTATAACTTCCCTCTCCCTAACTTCTTATACCGCCTAGAGCCACTAATGGTTTTTTACAGTACGAGAATTTTTGGAAGGATCAATATAGTGTTTCGAGAGCATGGCTTGGTCTCCTGTTTGCGCTTATGCGGCAAGGGATCAAGATTGCCATAACAAGTGGGTTGGACCTAGTACCAAGTCTCGGTGATGTGGATGAAGCCGCGACTCTGTTTCGGATGCGTACGCAGCAGATATTAATGGCAGTCATGTATACGCCACCATCAATAGCAAAGCTCGAATTGGTTGCTGTCCACCTCGATGCCGAATTCGTGAATAGCCAGGACAGCAGTACAGATGTTTGGATTAACACAGCCACGGCGGTTCGTATGGCAATGAAACTCGGACTACACCGTGACCCGAGTCTATTTGGTAATATCTCGCCATTTGAGTGCGAAATGCGTCGGCGGCTATGGCTGTCGCTTGTACAAACAGATATCTTGGTTTCATGGCAAGTCGGTCTGCCCAGCATGATACCCAAAGGGCAGTGCGACACGATGCTGCCGAGGAACCTCCGCGAAGAGGATTTTGACGAAGGCTGCGAAACGCTTCCCCTGAGTCGACCGTGGAACGAGATCACAAAAATATCTCCTTTCATCGTGAAGTGGCCACTGTTCGAGGCCTTTTCCAAGATAACATCTCATATACAGGACATTCATCCCAACGATGCAGATGTTCCTATTTTAGAACGTGAATTGTACACAGCGCGGGATTCACTGCCACCGGTATATAAAGTCCGTTCATTACAGGAATCCATTCTAGACCCCCCAGCTATGATTCTGCGACGTTTTGCTATCGATCAGACAGTTCACAGCGGTATTTGCGTTCTCCACCGGCGTCTCCTCCCCTTAGCTCGAACACATCCCCAATATAGCCAATCTCGCAAAGCTGCTATTGATGCGGCATTGACCTTACTTAGCTATCAAGCTTTGAACCACCACGAGACTGGGCCAAGTGGTCGAATGGCTGGTCATAAATGGATGACAACCTCTGTCATTCGGCACGACTATCTTCTTGCGGCCATGCTTCTTTGTTTGGATCTGCGACAAGCCATGGCTGTGACTACACATCCTGCATCAACCGATATCAGCCTTTGGGGACGAGACAGGCGTGAAGAAATGGTGCTTGCTTTAGAAACCTCATATCACGTGTGGCGCGCTTCGAAGGAAACTTCGATTGAAGCTTTTCGTGCTAGTGAAGCTGTGGCGGTTCTTCTAAAGAAGGTGCGCAGCGCAGAAGATCAAAAACAGAAGCCAGAGTCTAGCGTCGGTAAGTTTAGTCACAATGACCGCTTCTTTCCTTATTTTCCCCTCTTCTTCCTTTATCTCACCTACCTTATAATCTTTACTAAAATGTTTATTTACAGGATCTATGCCCTCTGTTGAAACCCTCGAAATTTCACCCCCCGAGTTCGCAGTTCCTAATCCAGATCCTTATAGTCTCAGTTTACCCTTTTCAGAAATGGTTGCTTCTCCTGGAGCCATCGACTGGGTAAGTAAATTAACTCTCCAACACATCCATATACTCGTAACATATGAAATTCAACCCATTCTTGCATTATAAAGAATCGGTGCTAATCTGGTATCTTTCAATAAATCAATAGGCCGAATTCGATCGTTATGTCATGGGTGGCAATACAGTCAATGTGCCAGTCAGTATGGAACATATTCAGCAACAAATATAATAATAATCCAATTGTAATAAGGACATGATCATGGAAATAATTAACGATGGTGGCACGAAAGCATGTATCTTTTTGTCAGTCTAGTAGGAATATTGTTCAATATCTTCTTGCAAGAGGGGTTCCAAGCTATACATACATATCTGGTATTACCCTTGGTAATTAAAAACTTATACTAAAACATGAAAGAAGGAGCAAGAGCCGAGGGGTAGAGATGAAAAGAGTTGTGGGGTGTTTTAACATGAAAGAAACGCCATTATTAGTACACATTCCCGTCCGATGATGCATGGAGAACATTATCTCCTGCTCTTTGATAGAAAATCTCAACCCACAGGATGCAAAAACGGAAAACCCAAGGCAAAAAGTTCTACTCTTTGGCCGGAAAAATATATATATAATCAGGCTTTCATTTAGTCAGACTGCGGACAATCCCAACTGCTTAATTCTTTGCCCTCATTTTGGCTTTCGGGTCTGGCTTTGACGTTGATTTTTTGGTTACTTCTTTCACTCCCCGCCATGTTTTAGATGTATTTTTCTCCTTCTTTCTGAACATGCTTTGCCTAAGGGCTTCATTGCGTTGATTGCGAATAGCGTTATCTTCTTCTTCGCGCAATAGCCTGTAGCTCTCAGCCTCTCTTCGCTCTTCGTCCGTTAAACGGGGCTTGGGAGCCGGCGTGCCGTCGTGGTTTTTTGGACCTCCTCTGAGATTGTCTAAACTTTCGCTCATTCCGGTTGTCATACTAGAAAAGTTTTGTTTGGTGTTGTTGATCATCTTATCCAAATAGCTGATATTTTGGGCTTTCGTAGCGGAAGCTTGCGTTTCGGACGCTGTGTTCAGCTGTGTTCGCACAGCAGTCATTTTGTCCTGAATCATCCGAAGTTGGGCTTGTCTGGAATCAAGCGATACGCTGTTTCTCGGGGGTAACGGTGATATTCCCAGCAAGGTGCGTGTGGATGGGGTATTGATCAGATATGCCTGGACTAGACCGAAGAGGCCGGTGGCAGCGAAATACATCTGAAGAGCAGCGGGTTGCCAGGAAATAAATAGCAAAGACATTGCCGGTAACCCAATAATCATTCCTCTACCGAGATTACTTCTCATCATCTCGTTCATCCCTGTGTCTGCTCCTTTCTGTGAAGTGAAAATTTAGCTTCCAGGAGAAAAACGCGTATCTCGACATTTGAGCATACCTTGAGAGAGTAATACATAAAAGCTGTTGTTGCGATAGGAAGTATGTACAGAGGATCGTAAACCGTAAGATCAGTTATCCAGCCAGCCTGTTCCACCGCAAGCGCAGGAACTGGGAGGTTGGTCATGCCTCGCACGACTCGGAAGCAACCGAAACCAAAGGGTAGTTGAAGCAACGGAATGAGGCTCTTCCACATGCTGATACCGAGCGACTTCCTAATTTCTTCCGATTGCGCTTCGACTTTTGCGGCCGCCAATTGGTTCCCCTGGGATATATATAAAATCCGCTCTGTTCTGAGGGCGGAGAGCTGGGCTTGCACAGGCATGGTTCTCGCGGCATTCTCGGCAGCGGTTACTGAAGGTTTGAATAGAGCCAGACGCAGTAAAACGCCAGCTGCCACAATACTGGCCCACCAGGGCATGCCACCCCAGATATGAATATGTTCGATGGCCCATTCCATAATAGACGACGGGCCCCAGCCATAGTCGAGGCCGAGCGTTTTCAAATAGCCAATTTGTTCAGGAATTTCGCTGAGTTCGGGGAGAACTCCATCAAGACTTGTCGTAGTAGTCACTGTACCTTGGGCGGCATTTTCAGTAATGGGAGAGACTGTAGCCGTCGACGTGGAATTAAAACGGGCGAGTGAGTGACCAGATATAGGGATCGGCCTCCATGACGAGTTAGTTCCGAGTCGTGCCTGTGCTCCTCGGCAAACAGTTGGAATTGGGCGAGTGGCAATGTGTGAGAGCTGTTGTATGATCAGTGGTCGTTATCCTTTAAGGGAAACAGAGGAAGAAATTGCAATCGCAATGTTAGACATACTGAACGAGCAGACACGAAGGAAGTAACCGGTCGTAAGCTTCCTGCCTTCCCTATCACGGCGGATCTTGACAAGCCACGGCCGCCGAGCATTTTGACGGTTACGACTGAGCAATTGCGGAGGAAGAATCGTGAACCTGGAGTCAGGTCGGGACTGTGATAGGCAAATTATTTTGGTGTCTCCGACGCCGATTCTGCCTGTCATACCCGCCCGGCCACTGTCCAATCATAGGCGCTTATGGAATGTTTATAGAGTGCCATCACATCCATAATAATCACCACAAGGATGTATCTTACGAAAGTAATATAATAACTACATGGAGTGTAGAGGAATCAGGGATAGTGGTGACAGGTTTGTAAATTTTTCTTCTCCCATGAATATACCACAAACGCCGCCCAGTGAATGTGCCCCATTCTATGTACATACTCAAGAGGGTGTCGAGCCAACTAACATAAACATCGCATGATTTTGATACAGTGCTTCCTCGATGTTGTTACAGCCAGATAATTCGAGATTAGGGACGGCTGTTTATTAATCCCTCCACCACACCCGCTGTCTATTCCAAGGATGCCGCATCTTCAACATTCGCACTAGAATTCCTTCTGCGGTCTCGAATTTCTCTCATTTCAATGCCGGGGCCGGCAGGAGCAGTGCGTCTCCACGTCGGGAAAACCTGTAGAGTAAGTTAGCGGGCCTTTTTGAGGCTACTCGGCGACGTCCTGACCTTTGTGCCCGACCAGCCTAAGCGGAATGCAGCTTCGTGTGCAAGAAGCTCGCCTAGCCCGAGCATGAGCCCGTTAACGAAAGGAAGGAGGACATTAATCGCAGCTCCACGGAGAAAGCCCCAGACCGTGGGCGGTTTGTACAGAATCAAGGGAGAGCTTGACGTTGACGGTGGCGAGGAGAGCTCGTTGTTGGCTGAGTAGTTCTCGGAATCGGAGGGTAAAGTCAAAGCAGAATCGTAGAGTTCGATCCGCTCGCTTTCGTCGCGCCCAGTCATTATGAATATTTTGGCCGGAATATTCTGTTTGCCAGCATAAAAGTGAGCATTTGCTAATATTATTCTTCCATGTCGATGTCCATGCCGAACCCGTGACTGTTTCGGCCTTGGCGCCGTGACAAGATGTTTAGTCAGCGGCCAGGCGTATTCTTATTCGCTACAGCCAATCCATAACATGGCATATATGGGAATGCTTTTCTCGAGAACATTATTGATTTGTCGGTGCCGAGTATGTTATTCAGCAGGTCGTATATGGACACTTTTGTGAACATATAAAACAGCTTATGGTTGTAAATGTGTTCAGAGAGCGAGATATATATGCCCCTCCTGATGGTATATATTCCGCGAAAAAAAGGCGGAGACAAAGAAACATGTCAACAAAGGTTAATCCTTCTATGAATGTATTCCCTAGACTGCAGTGCACTTGGTACGTCCTAGCAAGTTGTTCTACTCTTTGATTTGGTGTTTCGATGTTCGTCTCGGACTTTCCAAACTTCTAATGCGGCTCCGGGCGGTGACCAATCAGGCAACCGTGACGTACGCCACCAGCAGAGCTCAGCTACGGCGCTCCGTCAACAGTTCCTGTTCCTTACAACAACATTTGCTGCGTGTTTGATATCTCGATATCGGCCCGTGTATTAACTCGCGGCCCATTTCAGACCTAGAAATACTAATAATCTAGGTTGCCCAGCTTTGCGAACCCCTTCATTGCATAGCCGATCTGTGGTAACCCCCGCCACCAAGATGGCTTCGAATACCAGTCAAGATGACATTCTGTCTCAGTTCTGCTACATGACTGGGACATCTCCATCAGAGGTAGGGTGCAAATTCCACCTTCCGTTTAGATGATGGAAACTTACGAAGAACCTACAGGCTCGACCCTTTTTGGACGCAAACCACTGGGACGTCGATGCTGCCGTGACGGAATACTTTGCAGACCAGGAAGAGGAGTTTTTAGAAGACATGGAGGCTAGTGGCGGTAGGCGGCTTGGTTCTGACGACCCGGCTGAGCAATCCTCGTCTGGCCGTTCTCTTGGACAAGCGGGTGACGCCTCTCAGTCATCCAAGGGTCGGTCCGGCGCCGCTAAGAAATTCGCAACATTCCGTGACCTATCGTCAGGTAGCGGAAGACCCGATTCTGGAAACGACGATGACGAAAATCAAGACTTGTTCGCGGGTGGTGAGAAATCCGGCCTGGCCGTGCAAAATCCTGACGACATCAAGCAGAAGATTTTAGAGAAGGCCATGCGGTAGGAACCAGCCTGTTGGTACGGGGATGAAGATAGGGATATTAACGTTTCTTTTTTTTAGAGCACAACCACCCCCTTCAGACGAATCGAAATCAAAAGCATCTCACTTCACCGGAACGGCCCGCACGCTGGGAGGTGACGATGCCCCTAGCCAAGTGATTCAGGACCCGAACGAGAATCGCCCACAACGCCCACCAAGAGTACAACGCACCTTGCATTTCTGGGCCGATGGATTTTCGGTGGATGATGGAGATTTGCACAGGTCTGATGACCCCAGGAACGCTGGAATTCTGGAGGGTATCCGTCGTGGAAGAGCTCCTCTGTCAATCATGAACGTCCAACCAGGCCAGGATGTCGATGTAGAAATCAAACAGCATGAAGAAAAATATGCTAGGCCCAAACCGAAATACAAACCCTTTGCCGGTTCTGGACAACGATTGGGTAGTCCAACTCCAGCCATCCGAACATCCCAGCCCGAACCGGCGGTATCAACACCTAGCCCTTCAGAAGCACCGAAGCCCGAAGTCGACGAGTCGCAACCTACAGTTACACTGCAGATCCGTCTTGGAGATGGCACGCGTCTCACATCTCGGTTCAATACAACTCACACTATTGGAGATGTGTACTCGTTTGTGGCAGCAGCAAGCCCCTCTAGTCGGTCTCGCCAATGGGTGTTGATGACTACATTTCCAAACAAAGAATTGACAGATAAATCCGCTGTCCTAGGCGAATTGTCTGACTTCAAGCGAGGTGGTGTTGTCGTGCAGAAGTGGCAGTAAATCTGGGTGCAATCCTACAAAATTCTGCATAGCTTGTCTGTCTCTGTTGCTATCTTACTAAAATCATGCCTATACGACTTGGATAGATATACACAACTATGAGACTTATGCCTACAAGGCTGACTGAATCGGTCAAATCAGAAAATATCTTCCTGAATTAGTAATTAATAATCCAAACAGATCCCTTGATATATGTAAACTTTGCACCAGACAGTACAGTTGACTAAGCTAACAGTTGAAGTTTTCTGGAATCTATGTTGAATGTTTGAATACACTATCTGATTTCTTTTTATTTTAATAATTTTGTTCAGGCAAGACAATAAGAAAACGTTGAAGCAAAGGATTGCTTATCAATCAGCTCCGATGACGCAGGAGCCTTTAAACTTTCTTCTTCCGCGGAAGAAAAGAACCACGAATTCTCTCTCTGTCGCCACGCTCCTATCCCCTACGAGACGCGTAATAAAAGTCGATATATCTATAGCTAATATTCGAACGCTGACTCTAGAGAGAAAATACGCTGCGTGAGATGCCACTGGACGGCGTCAAGAAGATTGTGCTGGTAAGTCGCGATTTTTCACCATCGCTGATACTTCCCCTCACCCGCTTATCGATAAACCCGCTTGGTTAATCCAGCAATTATCTTGATTACACGTCCATAGACATCCGTGATACTAACCAAACATGCTTTTAGGTGCTGTCCGGCAAAGGAGGAGTCGGAAAATCCTCCGTGACGCTTCAGCTCGCCCTTGCGCTTTCGCTCCAAGGCAAATCAGTCGGCATCCTAGATATCGATCTCACAGGGCCGTCAATCCCCCGACTTGTTGGAAAAGAAGACGAGAAAATTACACAATCAGTTCGTGGCTGGATTCCAGTGGATGTTCATCCTGAAGAGCCTTCAGGAAGTGAGAACACAACGCCACGTGGTTCGCTACGATGTATGTCCGTCGGCTTTTTGCTACGGGATCGTGGCGATGCGGTTATATGGCGCGGGCCAAAGAAGACTGCTATGGTGCGGCAGTTTTTGACTGATGTATACTGGGGCGACACAGATTATCTGCTTATTGACACCCCACCGGTAAGAACTTGCGAAGCCAGATTGCGTGAATGTCGCTAACTTGGTGTTCTTCTCATTAGGGAACAAGTGACGAGCATATCAGCATCAGCGAGAGCCTTTTGACTATGGCCTCGACATCGTCATCGTCCGCTAGAGCCCAGAATATACCGCACCTTGCCGGCGCAGTCCTTGTGACCACGCCTCAGGCCGTCGCAACGTCAGATGTGCGCAAGGAGATCAACTTTTGCACAAAGACACAGATCCCGGTTTTGGGAGTCATTGAGAATATGTCCGGTTATACATGCCCTTGTTGTGGGGAAGTAAGTAATTTGTTCTCGAGAGGTGGTGGGGAGGTAATGGCGTCTGAGATGTCGGTTCCTTTCCTCGGCCGGGTCCCGATTGATGTCAAGTTCGGTCAGCTTGTGGAGAGTCAGAAAATTCATGGAGATGTGGAGAGTGATGTTGACGATGAAATGGAAGATGCGAATGGGCAGCAGCAGGACCTACAACAAGGCCAGATAGAGAGTGATGATCGGTTGTTAGTGGATAAGTATAGAGATTGCTGGTCTTTACCAATATTTGAAGGGTTTGTTAAGGACCTATTGGGGAAAATAGAAAGCGTGTGAAACCGAACTATGTGTTCTTTGGATTATTTAGCATGAGACGGCGCCACGGACTGCATTGTATATTTTAAATATGACGTCTGATTCTACAACCAATGGAGTTGAACTTTAGGATTATGTGCGCTAAATATAGTCATCAGCGGCGGGAGATAGGGGTTCCTGAGTACCGCTACGCAATTATCTATCCTGATACTACCGTAGGAGTATTTAGATACGGAACAGGCCCCTGGCATTATATATCAATTGATATTGCTTATATAATTGTCTATGTGCGTATGGAGACTTGAAATATATTGCTGAATCCCTAATATTAATATAATTTAGCACATCGCTTATATAACATTTGAAATGTCAAAAGTCAAGTTAGAAAAGGCCGTGAGAGACGCCTTCACTAGATCCTATAGGATGAGATTAAAATAATAATAGGATTCATTAATATAAATATATGTATCAATTGATACTTTTGATTTAGATACTAATTACAAGAATCGTAAATCCTTCCGTCTACTTATTGATAGCATACTGACTTGCTCCCCGAAGTCTTTCACCGAAAAACCATAACACTATAGATCCAGAGTAACCGATCCCGAGAGTGGCGAACCCAAGAACACTGTTGCCCCATCCATCTCCCAAGGCATCGTACATGTAGTTTGCGAATAGCGGAAAGGCAAAACCAGTGGCACTTCGCGCCACGGCAGTTGCGCCTATTGCAGACGCAGCATATAATTGGTAAGTATCGATTGTGTATGTTTGGAGAGTCGTGAAAGTCATATTTGCGCCAGCCCCGAAAATTGCTGCGCCGATATTTGGCACGATCCAGTGCGTATGGGCTTCCGCAGACCAGCCATACATAAAGATGCCACCAGCTGTTAATATAGTCGAGCCAAAGAGAATTGGGACCCGGAACTCCGGTCGACCCTCTCCATTCGGCGCGCGTTGCTTGAGTTTGTTATAGACAGTATCAATCAACCGCCCAGCCACCTGGGCCCCAATTGTTAGACCAATCATAAGCGAAAGGTAGTTCAAACCGCCAATGCCCGTAGACTCATGATATACATTAGTCCAAACCGTTGGATATGTAGAGAGAATCAAATAAATGACGCCATAGATAAGAGCCATGTATAAGGCAAGGAATTGAACAATCGGTTGAGTCCCTAGGAACAGAAAGACTCGTGTGAGCACGCGACGCATCACGGATAGGATCGTGTCGTCATTGGATTCGAATTCTGTTCGCAACTGCTCGTTTCCTGTTTCTTTGCGTAGTTTTTGAGCCTTCCGTTGTAAGATCCGTGGCGCGAAAGTCTCTGCTAACGTAAAATATATCAATACTTGTACTGCCACCCCAAACATGGTGACAGACCAGAAGCTCCACCTCCATGTTGTTCTCTCCGCAATCCAAGCTCCCATGAGAGGGCCAACAGATGGCCCTAATACAGGCGCCAATGTGTACAGTGCTACTGCCTTGCCGCGCTCTTCCGATGTCCACAGGTCTGACAGGACACCGCCGCCGACTGTTTGGGGGGCACATGCTCCAAGTCCAGCCAGGAAACGGAACGCCAACATTTGGCTCACATTCTGCGCAAAGCCACACACAAGATTGAATATCAAAAACCACTAAGTGAAGGTCAGGAATTGTGTAGGCACAGCCCGTTTGCCGGGGAAGAACATACAACGTTAGCTAGTTGCAGGACAATCACCCGTCCATATACCTCGCTCAGTGGCGCCAGGAAGAGAGGGCCAACCACGAATGCCAGCAGAAAAATAGAAAAGATCAATTCCGAATCGAAAGTCGAGTGAACATCAAGGTCTCGATTGATAGCAAACTCCGCTGGAGCTATCATGGATGATGCGATAGGCGTCATGAACGTAATCAACGATACCAAGCCCGTTGCAAGCCATCTTCTTTTGAACGACCAGTTTTTGGGATTGGAGGGATCGTCAGGTCCGTCCCATGTCACCTATACTGAGTGAGACTTTCATTTTCCGGGCCGACTGCTCTTGGAAGGACTTCTTACGATATTCGAGGTGGAGTAGTCGCTCTCTGAACTTTTTTCCGGATCTCTCTCCATACGGTCTCCCTCAAAATTTGACTGACTAGATGCCGCGATTTCCTGATCTGTCTTGTCCTGGTCCGATTGTTGGCAGGGAATTCCTGCTGGAGGAGGAATTTCATGGACATTTTCACCTTCTGTTACGTTGATAACAGGTGTAGGTTGAGACATTGTGACTTAAATTGAGCGAAGCCATAGATGCAGTTCGATGCAGACGAAGTCTTTTATAAAATCTCCGCTGTCATGGCTAATTATTCAAGTAGACCCCGGTGTTTCGAAGATCCCGGTGCCGGCCCGCTAACGGGGGGTTCAGCAAGCAAAACATGTTTTCGAGCAGCACATTCTTTCGAAAACTGATTTCTCATTATATTTATTGTCAGACCAACGAAGCTGATATTTTCGAGGACGTTTCAATCTGGTAGTGCGACTCACTTATTCAGAGGTTAATGACCCGGTTCAGGGAATTGGCCGTTTCCGTCCCGGGACCACGGCGGCTGGCAAATCTACTTAAGCGGTTATTTTGCGAAAAGATCAAGCCCAATACTCCAGATGCCCCTATTTGACCGGCGAGTAGGCTCGTTAGTCCACCCAAACGTTCACATATAGTGCCGTCTGCCGGCTTACAACTACCATGACAAATACTGCCACGATGTCCAGTACAGAAGACCCCAACCGCTCCAGGCCAATATAAACCTTCAGGGACGGCGCTACTTTTGTTGGATTTTCACACCATGTTCATTGAGAAAGCAGGTGGTCCCAATGCGCCTGGGGCTCTTGAAGCTCCAGCAAGCTTGCGAGACTAGGCGAAATCGCAAGAAATTCATGTCATCCATGATTTGAATGACATTTACGTCACACAGTTTGAACTGTGCAAACATGTTAAAATGTTCGCACAAATTTTGGGTGGCATGCAGTCGAGGAGAGGGGAGGAGTCTGCCAAGCTACTTGGAGGAACTGAGGACAAGGCTTTCAAACGTAGGCCGAGTTATATCTCCGCCCTCTCGTCTCCTAGGCTGGAAAATTGCCTGCAGGAGAATGGCATCAAGTCGCTTATCTTTGTAGGAATGAGCACACCTGGATGCGTTCTTAAAACTGCGCTTAGTGCGAGCGACGCGGAATTTGTGGCTTCAGTCATTTCCGATGGCTGTGCAGACTCGAACCAAGGCTGGCATGAGTTCTTGTTAGGCGATGTCTTGAACGACCGCGGCTATGTTGCCCCATCGGACGAGTTCAAAGATGGTTATGAAAGAGCCCAGGAAAAAGGCTCGTCATCAATAAGTTTGTCATAACCTATGAGTGCTCCAGTCGTGAAACCGGGCCGCAGTCTCCATGAATAGCTACCTAATCAGAACTTACTCCATAAAATGTGACATACTCACCTTCATATAAAGGCTGTATATGTTGTTTCTCATCGAAGACTAATCCACTTCTATTCTTCCCTGGCTTTTCATGTTGAATCAACCATGGCTTCCGCTAATAATATTTCGAAAAGGTCCTACTTTGGATTGGTCGGAGATTGACTGGTGTTTTGGAATACATTATGACAAATTATGATATGGCGGGAACTACCTGGCGCAACAACAAAAGACCGGAGCTAGCCTCATAAGGGAATCACATGGTTTGAATATAGCTGGTAGACCTAAAATTCAATTTAAAAAGAACTATATGAAGCAATACCCTAATAATCCATCACTGTCCCTTCAGGTGTATCTGATTTTAAAAATTTGATCTCTATACAATACAGACCATAGATTTTAGCACGTCTCGTCTCAGTTAATCTAGCTTTAGTGTCTATACTAACTGGACCCATAACCACTAGTTAATTTGTGGGGGTCTCGTCGATCCTGAATGATGGTCATGGCGCATGTGTTATTATTCATTATGAATCATACCCCATCCGCGAGTCAACGAGCATCTCATTGGTAGAAGTTTGAAGTTCGCCGCATCGCCACCTCCGCTTTGGTCCAAAACCTGCATTGCCCAATGGCACAAGGCCGTAACGTGCTCATAACTGTTGCAGCGCCTAATTCAACCTAGTCCAACTATATAAAACAGACACAAATTCAATTCAATCCGTACTATCCACCTGGTAATAAAAATTAGCAACGGCTGAACACAAATACAAGACTTGAGCTTAACTCCATCTAAAACCGCGACAACTTCCAATTCATTGATATGCTAGTGACGACGACAGCTACGACTTCAACCACAACTGCACCACTATCGACATTACCAATGAGTCCATCATCAAGCCCGGAAACCAACTCTACACCCACGTTCTTCAAGGAGTCAGTCGACTCTCCTGACGCTGCCATGCAACCATTCACACCTGGGCAATGCCTATTATGTCCCCATCCCTCACCAAGCTTCAATGACAGTGTGATACACATGCAAAAATCACACGGCTTGTTTATTCCACATCAGCAACACCTAGCCGTCGATCTCGAGACTCTCTTCAGATATCTGCATCTTATTATTTTTGGATACCGAGAATGTATACAATGCGGAACACAGCGAGCTACTGTACAAGCTGTACAGCAACATATGGCTGGTAAGGGTCACTGTAAATTTGATATATCAGAACAAGCCTCGGAGTTTTCCGAGTTCTACGACTTCTCTAGGCTGGAGGATGACAGAGATAGTGATATTGAGGGCGAGAACGATGAGAGGAATCAGGAGAAGTCGGTGACAAGCTCAAGTCGAAAGCCACTGCTGGCTGATGAAGACTCAATTCGTTTACCGTCAGGTAAAATTATATCGAAGAAGTCATCAGCACAAGCAGAGCCGTCATTTACTCAGGTACGCCGTCGAGCTCGAACCTTGGCTTCAAAACTAGATTACTCCCCGGTAGAACCCGACGACGAGGAGGGATCTAGCAAAGAGGGCCACAACTCGGATATAGGTGAAACACGATCATTATCCAAGAGAGAGAAACGAGAGAAGGCAATGGCGACATATCAGTTGGCAAATATGAGCGCGAACGACCGAAGCGGCTTAATGCACTTATCCACGCCTCAGCAGCGCTCAATGCTGGCCACGCAACACAGGCAAGCAGAAAAAGTGCAGAAAGAAGAGAGACGAAGGCAGAGCAAAATTGAACGGAAAGGGAACAAGAATTTGTATGCATATTGGGCCACTGAAACTCCCGTCTACCTATGTGGCTAGATATACTGAATGGCTTCTCTCGATCTACTCGACGAGTAACCATGCGTCCTCACGGCGGCAATAAAATCGCACACTCGGATAGAATTGCGGTGCTGAACCTCTTTAATAGAGAAGAGCAGCTGCAGTACTTTTGCACCATTTGGGCATGAGCCGGAATCTCAATCCTATGTCGCGGCCCGTAAATTTTGCGCCCCTATAAACCGTCGTAGGGTTGTCACAGGCGAATTCTTGTATTCGCGGCGTTCACAGTCACCCCGTTCCTTAGGGGAGCTACCAGAGGTGTGCCTGTAGTTCAACCCATTGGCTATGCATGAGGTTGGCTGAATGCTACTCACGTAGCAATACCATTGATCTGCCTACGTATCTGCTGAGATGAGAGGACCGAGCTGGAGTTGCTCCCCGTAGAATCCTTGCTCAGCGGTCCAGCAAACATACCATCTAAAAACAGATTAGATATTAAATATATTGAGATTATTATCTAATCACTAATCAATATAGAAAATATAAAATATAAAATTCTTGGTCGAAGATATTTTACATACTATCTTATTTAACGGCGCACCCTAATTGTATAATAAGACAGCATATTCGTTTTCCTAAGTTCCCAACTACGCAACGAATCCAACACCAGTCGACGTCTCTACATCTTTTCTGGTCAAGACTCTGATACCATTGCTCATCATATAGCCGATGACAGACGTCACAATCGTGAGAGCGATTCTAAGCCTATAGTTCGTGATTGTGGTCTGGTCTGTTTTGGATGCAATGGCAGTTATAACGGAGGACAAACCAGGCGTATACGCTGTGCGCTTCTCGATTTCAAAGGGGTAAAAGAATGTATGCTCAAGTGGCTCAACGCAGAGAATTGTGTCATTCAGATCGAAGCTCCCGGATTTGACACCGAGATTACCAAGGACCTCAAAGTCAACTTTGGGTGAAATGTGTGCTTTCGAAGATGAACCCATAGGCTGTGGAGATATATCGAAAACTTGCCACTGATTTTATCTATCGCGCAGAATGCTCATTTGCCAGAGTTGTAGGTTTTCGACGTTACCTCCACACGGTATTGGGATTCGCTGCTAACGTGGTAGTGACAAGAAGGGTTTCCACCTTGATACATCAATAGATGTTGGTTCTGCGATTTCCGCCTCGATTAATGTTAATAAATTAGACATTAAGTAAATGCCTTTCAGTCTAGAGGGAAAAGCAAGGACATCTCCTCAGAGCAATAGTATTTTGGTACCTATTCATTCAACACACGAAATACTTAGTAATTATAGCACAAGAAATATCAGTGTTAAGTATCGATTAATATAGCTACCAATAGACAGAAGTAGAGGTTTTCATCTTCCAAAACATGCATTAACCATCATGACTACTTCAACTTTAAAATTGATTGAAGTCCTTTTCAACCTTGAAAATCCAGACTCCTGTTCTCTGAGGAAAAGAGCAAGCTAAAAATAGGGTATAAGAGTCGTGTTGCCACATATAGAAATCTGTTCTCAAATAGGTCAAGCACTCGGGACGGCAATAGCTCGATCCTGGTCCCTTTCCAAGACTGCACGCAGAGTTAATTCCGCGGAATGGAATTGTGGATAAATTCTCTGCTGGTTGGTTTTCTCACGCTGAACGATAGTCTTCAGCCAGCCTAACCAGCCTTGTACTTCCGCGATGAAAGAGGTCTTATCGACCAGTCGATTGTGGTGACTGCCTGGCCCATTGATAGGAAAAGCAGATGATTGAAGTATAGGTGAGCTCTGTGGCGTATCAGGAGGAACTGACGGCCATGACGACCTGCCCCCTTGCGCTTCAAAGTGCGTTTCTGATAGAAGGGCTGGGGAGGTAATTGATGACTGTTGCTTAGTAGTAGTTTTGGATGGTGTAGAAGCTGATGCTAATAGATCCTTGCCGGCTGGCTTGGGTGCCTTTGAAAACGCCTCGATCTTTACCACTGGGATCAATGATGGACTTGTCTCTAAGCTAATAGTATTTTGCCTTCTTGATGATTCAGGATTGACTTGATCCCCAGCTTGTATTCGAGAAACTCGCTGATAGCCCGTTGCAAATGCTGTCTGTCTCAAGTTCTCTAACAACCCAAGTGTTGAGTTGTATTGTCCGCTCTCACCATCGGCAACCACAGCATTGTCATTTAAACTTGCAAGCCTTTCGCTGTGTAAGCTAGCTTCTTCAACAGTCACTAAGCCACCAGGAGCAGGAATTTCGCCAAATGGGGCTATGTGGCTTTCATATTCGTTGGCAAGACTCAATCTACTCCTGCCACAGATCTCTGCAATGGAATCTAGAGTGCTGCGGATATCAGGCTCGATTGCGCGTAGAATAGATTCAATATTGAAGTCATCGACAGAGGGCATTTCAATTTGCCGCGGCACCGAGTCTGGCATATTTCGAAATGACTGAGACTCGTCGACGCCGGGGGAATACGATCGAACCAGCACTGGCTGAGACACCAACGTTGAGGATCGTCCGCTTATAGGTTTATTTTCTCGGGGTCTTCTTGCTAGAGGCCGTGGATTACCATGCAACTGCCGCAAAGCAGTGGTTCGCCGTGCTAATATCGACTCGTCAAGTCTCGGCTCCCCCTGGTGCTGTCTTACCGCTTGAGAGGGACTCGGTGACGGTGCTGAGCCCGATGGCCCTTGCGACCAGGTCGGTTGTGGCAGGGAAGATGATAGTCGAGATCCATCACGGTGGGTCGGTAGAGCATCGGATCTGGCGTCCATCTTGTCCACGTCCTGCAGCAGACAGCACGCCTGCAGCACGCCAACTGACAGTCAGCGTCCCCCAGAGCGGTGGCTACGTAAGTATACAGAAAAGAAAGACACGCGACGTCGTGTGCTGAGTGCAGTAGTACTAAGAAATGGCTAACAGGCGCCGGCCCGAACTAATCAATGTGGCATTTATGATGATGGTGGGCAATAAAGCCAGGGTACAGATGTGTGCAGGGGAGAGCGGCACCAGACGACGATATAGGAACTGCTCAAGATTGGCTCATGAGCGCGGATTGCATATTGAACTGCAGAAATGCGGCACTACTAACGATGAAAGAGGCGAGACATACATGGGGCGCAGGGGATGCAGCAGGGAATGAGTTGGCACGCACACATTAATCTCAACGCAGGCCAGAGTTGAGTGAGAGAGTAATCAATGGTAGTGAGGGAGGCGCCAAGGAGGGGAAAGGCGGAGACACGGGATCACTGGCCTGAGGCCGTCGCAGCCAACCACAACCAGCACACCATTATTCCTACTTGACATTAAGCAGTGAGCTTTTAGGATCACGCGCTCCTCTAGGGCCTCCGCGGATATTTAAATCTTAGTGGCAAAACAAGGCATGGCATTTTTGTCAAGATGAGCAGGAAATTTGTATGCTGGCCCCTCGCTTCGGCGACTGGTCGTTGCGGCACCAGAATACTGACATACATTCTGATAGTTTGCTGACTCCGATGACTCGGGCTCTGACTTTGACGCAGAGACGACCGATCTCCCCTTCCCTAAGCCATTGTCACGGGAGTCTTTCCTTGCCCCCGACTTCGACCCAGCAACTTTTCTTGCTTCTCTCACCAACCGACACCAGACGCTGGAAGATCTGCGGTTGGAGCTGCGTGAGCTGAGCCAAGGGCTGAGCAAGGAACTGCTTGACCTGGTCAACGAAAATTACCAGGATTTTCTGTCGCTGGGAAATGCTCTCAAGGGAGGGGATGAGAAGGTGGAAGAGGTTCGGGTGGGACTGTTAGGCTTCCAACGAGATGTATCTGCAATACAAGCCAAGGTTGAAGCCCGGAAGGCCGAAATGCAAAGTCTGTTGGAGGATAAGAAGGGTTACCGGGTCAAAACGAACATTGGAAGAGCACTGTTGGATATCGCCGAGCGAATCGACGAGTTGGAACTGCGACTGATGATTTCAGGCCCTGAAAAGGAGACTGGCGTGCCCGATGCCTCTGACGATGTCGATTCAGAAGTTGAAGACTTCGACAACGAAAGCTCGGATAGTGATGGTGACTTGGAAGACGACGATCATGAATCCACACTAATATCGCTGAAGAGACTACAGCACAACGTCCAAAAATACGTTTACATCACCATTGAGTGTCAGCAGGTAGGCCAGGCGCATCCTTTTCTGGTCAATCAAGAGTCTCGCCTACAGAAGATCAAATCAACATTGCTTTTGGATCTGGACACTGCGCTAAAGCGGGCTAAAAAGACTGGGAATAAGGGCGAAGCTCGCACAGCTAAAATCCAACACCTGTACGATATTTTAGGGGTGGAGGCAAGCGAAGTACGCGCTGTCTAAGAAAGGAGAATCCACACAAAGTGTGGCATTGCGTTGTAATATATTTTTGCATAGCTTGGAGTTGGGGATATATGAAAGATAGCTGCTTCATTTGATACCATGAGACGCCGTAAATAGAAAATGCTTATATAAAGATACACTCTAGGAAAGAAATTATAGAAACAGATATTTTACAATCCAGTTAGGTAGGTTGCGTCGATAGAGTTGTCGGATTTGAAATCACCATTGAGACTGAAGCCGGGGCCGTTCGTTGAGCTCAGCACCTGTGGCGTGTTAGCACAAATTATGTCAAAATTGAGTTTAGTAGCATACCACTTCATAAACCTCCTTGGTAATACGGTCGCTCATCTGGTTGGCATCTTTCTTGATCTGCTCAAGTGTGGTTCGTAAATTGTCCCGGAGCTGCTCGGGCGAGAAACCCAGTTGGCCAATGGGCATCCGAATCACAGCATCTCTCTCACGATACACAGTGCCTCCACGAAGCATCTGCACTCGAATTCCGACGTCGTCAACCACGGTGCCATTCTTGACGTTTGGCATCAAGCCCCTGGGGCCGAGGAATCGTCCCAACCCAGCTTTATTCATAGCATTGAGACTGTCCGTGTGGCAGATGCATCGGTCGAATTCAATGATTCCTTTCTTGACAGCATCAAAAATTTCTTGTTCTCCAACAAGTGAAGCGCCTGCCGCCAAAGCATCCTTGGCATGTTTCGACCCCGGAGGAGCAATAACACATATTCTCGATTCGGTCTGGACAGCGTGTGGAAATCGTAGCATGTTTCGGATAACAGGACCGTCCCGCTTAGACTTGAGCCGAATGTGAATCTCATATTTCGACGTTTCACGGTCCTGTCCGACTTCGAATGCACGGATGTATCTGTTAGGTTCAGTGAGAATTGCACCAGCATTGTCTTCAAGCCAACAGTTCGTACCTCATAGCATCGCAGAGGGAGTATCGGTCAATTAGACTCAGATCCTTCTGCTCATAATCCCTCGGGCCCTTTTCCTTCTTCTTGGGCTTGTTTTTGTCCTTGTCTTTTTTTCCCCTGGCCTGAGGATTACTTGAGGCACTGCGGACCTGGTGTTGTAGAAGAGGGTACAAGAAAGGGGCAATCTGAACCTCTGTCCGCAGAGAGGACCGGCCGGAGAACAAAATCCTCCTTGAAGCCCCCGGTAAAGCTGAGGCAGGGGAAGCCATGGCAATGAAATGGGGTGCGTGCTGCTCTTACCAGCTGTTGTCAGCTTGCTGCGCCGGCGAACTGACAATGTTTTTGCGGAAGTTGGAGAACCGGAAAAACAGTTCGGCCGGAGTCCATTCCAGTGCGGGCTCAGCGGCCAATCAGCGCCGATATACGGGTTGCTGTGGGGCACTGTTTGACTCACCCCGCCATAGATTGAATCGGTCTTGCTTTTTTTTTATATAGCGTTGTGTTAGTTTGTATACCTTTCACACTGTCAATTCGATTCGGATCAGCAAATCATGGCAACATTCAAACTACTCTGTGCCTCCGGGGCAAACCCGGCTACTGTGCTGCCCGCTACGCTGATTGCAACCTCTGTCAACGAGGCCCGTCCAAACCCTGTCGTTGAAATCGTTTACGAGACTGTCCCTACTCTACCTAGTGGCGATGTGGTGGAATTTACTGGCGCAAGCGGACAGCCTGCCGTAGGTATCGAGGCTGTCGTCAAGGAGCTTCGTGTTACGTTTCCCTTTCTCACGGGCAAAGACAAGGCCAAGGTATGGTTTCTGTTCCGACGCAATATTTCCGTGATTTTTAACTGGGTGTCTCTAGGAAGAATTATGGTTGTCTCGGATAAATGAATACACTCCCCTTGACTTCAAAGCGCTAGAAGCTCCTCTGCAGCGTCTGGATTCTTATTTGGTTCTTCGCTCGTTCCTCGTCGGTTACACTCTGTCCGCACCTGACATTGCTATCTGGGGTGCAATCCGTGGAAATCGCGTCGCCGTAGCTGCAGTTCGGAAGGGTACTCTGATTCATCTGACTCGATGGTTCCGATTCTTGGAAGAGCTCTGCTCATGGACAGCTGCAGCAGTGGATGACATTAATGCGGCCGCAAAGGCAAAGAAGGCAGCCAGGTCGAAAGCGGGTGCTAGCTACGATATTGCCCTCCTCAATACCGATAAGGGTGTCATGACTCGATTCCCGCCTGAGCCGTCTGGATATCTTCATATTGGACATGCGAAGGCGGCATTGCTAAACGACTACTTTGCGCATGAGAAGTATAACGGCACTATGCTACTGCGTTTTGATGAGTACGTTTCGCGAGTTTCTTACAATGTGCCTGTACTGATAAAATAAAAAGCACAAACCCCTCGAAGGAAAAAGAAGAATACCATGACGCTATTCTGGAAGACCTGGCATTGATGGGCATCAAACCCGACAAAGTATCCTATTCCTCGGATTATTTCCAACTGCTGCATGATTATTGTATCCAGATGATCAAGGATGGTAACGCATATGCGGATGACACGGACAAAGAGACCATGGCTCATGAGCGTATGCACGGAATTCCTAGCAAGCGCCGTGATGCTTCTGTTGAAGACAACCTCAAGCATTTCGAGGAGATGAAATCGGGCTCTGAGGAAGGCCAGAAATGGTGCATTCGTGCCAAGATTTCCCCAGATGATAAGAACAAGGCCATGAGAGACCCTGTCATTTACAGATGCCAGCAGATTCCTCACCCTCGAACAGGAACAACCTGGAAGGTTTATCCCACTTATGACTTCACTTGCCCCATTTTAGATTCCGTCGAAGGAATTTCTCATGCGTTGAGAACAATCGAGTACCGAGACCGAAACCCACAGTATGAGTGGATGTTGAATGCTTTGAAACTTCGCAATGTGCAAATCTGGGATTTCGCTCGCATGAACTTTGTACGGACCTTGTTGTCGAAGAGAAAGCTCACGAAGTTGGTTGACAGCGGTGCTGTCTGGGGCTGGGATGAGTATGTCAAACAACCCTTTGCAGATTCCATATGCTAACGTGGAAATAGCCCTCGTTTCCCAACAATTAGGGGTATCAGACGACGAGGGATGACAATTCCGGCCCTCAGAGAATTCATCCTGAAACAGGGTCCGAGCCGTAATATCATCAACTTGGACTGGACTATTTTCTGGGTTAGTCTTTCTATCCTTTATTTTGGCCCCTTGCAACAATTGTCGCAACATATTTTTGCTAACAATATTACAGTCTACCAACAAAAAGCACATTGATCCTGTGTCAGCGCGTCATACCGCTATCCTCAAAGAAGGTCTGGTCAAAGCCACGGTGAAGGGTGCTCCTGCACCTTACGTGGAAGACAGGCCCAAGCATAACAAGAACCCCGAAGTGGGTACGAAGAAGGTTGCCTTTAGTGATTCGATCATTCTAGAACAAGAGGATGCCAAGAGCTTCAAGCAGGATGAAGAAATTACTCTCATGGCTTGGGGTAATGCTTACGTCCGTAAAATCGAGAAGTCAGGTGATGTCGTCACTCATCTCGAGTTGGAATTGCATTTGGAAGGTGATGTCAAAAAGACGGATAAAAAGGTGACATGGCTGTCTACCGAGGCACAACAACTTGTTCCAGTTGAGCTTGTGGGCTTCGACCATCTACTAACAAAGGACTCCCTACAAGAGGAGGACAACTTTGAGGATTTCCTGAACCCCAAGACCGAGTGGCGCGAAGACGCCTTAGCTGATGGCAATGTCGCGAGCTTGAAGCAGGGCGAAATCATCCAATTCGAGCGAAAGACTTACTACCGCTGTGATCGACCCTTCGCCGATGATGGAAAACCAGCCGTGTTCTTTGAAATCCCAACCGGTAAGACTGCGAAATAAACTGGTCAAGAGCCATTCTAGCCGATGGGGAGGCATAAAAGCAGCATGGCATGTTTGACTTCTACTTCAACGAATCAGTGAATGAATATTTCAAAAGAATCTCATCATGGTGCTTGATTGATGGCTGGGGAACCACGTCCACCTAGCACATATGAGTAATATCTCTTGCTAATAATAATCCAGCATGCCTTTCTGTATTGTAAATGACTGAGAGAAATAAAGACCAAGACAGGGAAGAGATGAGAGAGCCGCTATCTTTTTTGGGTGAATTAATTCCCCGGCTTTCATCGCCTACGATGATGCATTAATATTCTTAGTATGATCATCCTCGGCCCATGTGACAAAATCCCACAATCTTTTCAAGCAATTGAGTACCAATATGGATTGCTTCATCGACTCTTAACTATTTAAGCTGCGGGATGGCGCCATTTAGCTCGATATGAATCTATCCACCCATGCAGCACCCCACAGTTAGGCACTGCGAGGAAGCATATACCGCGTAATTATTATCCAACTACGAAGCCTCATTCTGCAATGCTACCCTATCTTCATGTGTGCCGAGACGACAACAGTCATAGGCCAATAAGTGCTTCTGGCTTTCACGGAATAGAATTGTATTCTTCTCGTTTAATTTAGCGATTTGTTATGATACTGCGTCGTTAGCGATATCCCAATGAAAATATCACAAGTTTGAAGACAACATGATCTCGGAATGAGATGCATTATTCTCATAAGTGCTGTTGAAGATATGCTTGTGTCAGTTTGAAAAGCATCATGGCCGACATGAACCAACTCAGGTATAAAAGGAATGCCTTCCTCTCAGCACTTATATCAGTATAAAGACGATCCAATCCAACACGACTTTCAATACCAAACAGATTTCAAAAATAATCTTTCTTTTAAAAACTAACATGCGTTCTCAAGGCCTCACTCTTTTCCTCTTGGGTACCCTCGTGGCAGCAAGCCCTCTCGCTCGTCGCGATGCTTCCACTGTCCTTGCTGATCTCAAAACTATCGGCACGAATGTGGGCACCCTAATTACGGCCATCAAAAATTTTGACGGCACTCTGGTTGGTACTGTCCCCATCACCACCGATGAAAGCACCGTGGAGCCGGACATCAAAAAAGCCATCACCGACACTACCGCGTCCTCAGCATTCAGTGCCGCCGATAGCAGCAGCGTCACTCCTTACCTTTTGAGCTTGATTCCCGAGATTGAGCAGACTACCGGTGACCTTGTTAGTTAGGTTCGTCAATATTCTTCTAGCTTTAGTTGAAAGTCAAGACAAAGGACGTGAACTAATGTGCGACTTTGTAGGAAGCCAAAGCCAAGTCGGCCGGTATCTCTTCCCTTGTCTTGACTGACTTGAAGAACCTGCAAAGCTTGACGGCTACTCTGTCGACTAATGTTCAGGTCCTAGCACTATTGCTACTAGCATTAAGGCGGTTGATGCTACATTTTCAAGCGCTATCGCTGCTTACTCTTAGATTCTTCTAGGGCTTCTGGGATTATTTGAAACTAAATAATCCATTGGAATAGTCGGAGGAAGGCGAGAATGTATTGAATAACGTATATCACATTGAAATGACTCATATACGCAGCCAAATATTAAACCATTTGTGGGAAAGTCTCGTGTTCATAAATTGTAACCCCTTTCTGTAGATGACATAAATCGGGATAAATGACGCGAATAAGCATGTATTTGGATTGGCTTGACTGACTGGAATGCAGATCCCTGGTTGTATCACAAAATGACCACCGACAGACAGACAGGGTTATGCGCGAGCTGGCTGCCCCACCTCAGGTGCTTGAGACCAGACGTAAATAAGGCTGCATGTTTGCAACCTCGTCCCTTTTCTTGTAACAACTTATTACAGAAATTCGGGACGAAAAACAAATCCATCTCTTTTCGAAATTGAGGGAAAGCAGAACATTCATATGCCCACAATCATGTCGCCTATCCCAGCTGGCTTTATCATCACATTGCTTGTTTCGGTAAGCTCTACCTCATGTGGATATATATCTGCAATCGAACATTTTATCAATCTTCTACAAAGTTGAGGAGGAGTCAACTAATCCACAAAAATCAACGCAACTAGCTTATCGGCATTTCTGTCGTATTAGGGGGGTAGGTCCATGCCTCTCATATAACGGGGATGATCAGAATACTCACAGTCATCCAGCATAGCATGGTCACGAACCATCTCTCTGTTCCTGCCATTCCCAACCTCCATCAGTGCGATCGCCACCCTTTTCCCGTTTGGATCTCTTTTCATAGTAGTCGTCGCGAATCTATTTGCATCCCGTTTTGAGCGTGCAATCTCTCGCAGAAAACGCATCACGACAGGAGACAACGCCATCGAGACTGCTACCCTCTCTGCCCACCAGGCTCCGTCCATTCTTTCTCCATTCCTTTATTCAATCTTCGAAAATGCTTTAACTATACTTCCGACCATTCTCGCAACTCTTGCTGCTACATATATAGCGCCAAGCGATAACAACTGTCATCTCGAACAGGCCTGGCAGACTTACTACCGCAACAAAGACGTGACTGCAATACGCTCGATTCAGGATAGATTGCAGTGCTGTGGTCTACGAAGTACTCATGATAGAGCATGGCCTTTCAAAGAACGGGACAATAATGACGATCATGTCTGTGAAAAGTCGATGGGGTACAAGCAGAGCTGTTTGGAACCGTGGAGCGAGAACGAACGAAGGGTTGCAGTGTTGGTTTTTGTCGCTGCGATTGCTGGGTTGGGTATAAAGGTATGTATTTATCTTTACTGGCGGGTAGTAAACTGCTGATAGGGGTTAGCTGGGGTTCTTGTATTTCGGCTCTAGGTCGTGGACATTTAACAATTCGGCTTTCCGTCGTGGTACGGGGGTTAATGGTACTAGGAATGGTACTGGGGGCTCATCGGCTATTCCTCGAATGCTTCCATATTACGATGATCCAAACAACATCCAGAATGAAAGGGATGAGATCGCAAATAATAATTCCACCACAATCGACAATCCGTTGCTCGACGCTGATGCTCATGATATCACTTCACCTGATGTTCGAGACCTTTCTGGCAGTGGTCCCTGGAGAAATATTGATTAAGATACTCAATATGGGCTGTTTATTAAAATTACTTGCATGATGTATGATGTTTCGAAAAGAATGTATTTGGGTGTTTCTCACGGGTATTGTCACAATCAATGTAGGGCATGTAAAGACAGGCTCAAAAGTTTCCAATCAAGTACTCAGCGTCTTCAAGCAACGTTCTCTCTTGGATCCCAAGTTATATCCAGTAGTCCATCAGCGTAAAGTCCGCTAATAATAAGTCGACCTCGCCTGGAGTCCATGTCACCAGATGTGCTACTAGGATAGTTCGTTCCATCATCTGTAATACGGTGTTAGTCTAGCTCGAAAATATATGTCTCTTTGTTACTTACCAGCATAAAGAGTTCGAGCATAGTATTTGCTATGCAGGTTGAAAAGACTCCCTGGAAATGGACTGAGATCTGGACCGTGCCCTCGACGGATTTCTGCAACAACAGACGGCGCTACACATCCGTATGGGCCCTTTGCCATGCAAAATAGTCTACCAGCATCTGGAGACCCCGCCACGATGACCCCGCGGAGAAACTTGCCTTTTTGATCAAAAACACTTGGATCATCGAGGGCTAGTGATCCATCGAAACTGAGGTTGTCGGGATGAAAAGTCAAGTAGACCTTATTGAAATCTCCAGAAAGTGAGTTGGTTTCAGGATCGCGCTCGTATATTCTCACGAAGTCAGTGCTACTTGAAGCGACCAACACTTCTTTCCCAGTCGGCGTCACGATTATTCCATTTGCAAATGGAATTCCCCCAGCAGCGATTGCACATGTGGGTTTTACTTGAAAAGTGAAATCCACGAAAGTAACCCACCCCAGAGGAAGGCCGAGAATCGTCTCTGTAAAAGACAGGACTGGGTGTTTTCGCCGAATCAGATAGTGGTCGTTCGTAACATAGAAAGATGTATAAGAAACCGGTGAAACTGAATTGGGGGATCTTAATGTGTGGCTCTCGTCTGATATCGTTGTCACGTAAGTAGCCTGTGCATGCTCGTAGTCGATGTCCATGATCTCGACTGTTCCTCTTCCGCCGCCATAATTGACCACAAACAACCTGGTCCAATTGCTTCCGTCGGCACGAAAGAAATTGAGTCCAAGGGGGCGCAGGTCAAACCTGCTAGGAAACCCAACCAATTTCAGCTCTTGGAGGCCGCCCGAGCCTGCGTAGTCATAGAGTAGCAAACGGCCTTTGGGGCGAGGGTTTTGACTTTGGCCCTAATCTCCTACTTAACAAGTTTCAAACAGGTGTATTTATCATAGATTCGTACCCATAGAGTATTCCAAAAGACCCTACCGGGATCCGTGCTGATGATTGCGAAGCCATATTCATGATCCAATACAACATCCTCAGAAAACCCTACCCGGTCCTTGAACAGAGTCCAAGCCAGGCCACTCCGGAAGGCAAGCCATTGTTCAGGAAGTCGGGGAAGCTCTACCCAAGGCGACAGTAGCCTATGCAAGAAGACTAGAGGGAAGGAAACGATCGCAATTGTGCCGAAAGCCTACATAAATCTCAGTGACAGCGATAGTAAGAGTCGTTTTTGTGGTTTGGTACCTGGACAAACGATAGTCCCATGCCGAGAATGACCCTTATGAATATCAATAACTATGACTTGATACTGTGTTGCATGCGGAAATAAGGATAATTTCTGGTGAAAATAATGTCACGATGGAATATTTTCACAGGAACTGTCTTACACAGTCAGTGCAAGAAGGTAAGTCGTCCCAACCTTAAGAGTCGCTCCTTCCTTCTATCTTACGCCGTCACACGTTGCGCGCACCGCTTCTATTTTTCCTTTGTCTCTCCCCAATCCTATCCTATCCTCGGTATTACATTCATCGACTCTATTGCTTTTGATTTCGACACATCGTGGGGATAAAAATCTTCTCTGTCGTAATCGCTTGTTTAGCTTTCTCCGTGACTTTAGTCGGATTCACCGGGAAGCCTATTGACATTTGCCAGGGAATGCACCGTTCAGAACAGAAAATAAATTGAGAAACCTACCAAGGCACCACGATTTCTATTGAACTCTGCCGCTTCTCCGGGCCATTGATTTCAGGTTTAAATTTCCATGAGTCTTCAAACTCCACATAACTCTCCACTCCCCTTTGCCTAGATTCAGAGTCTAATATACCGTTTCCTGCTAAATGAATAGTATATAGAGGCACCTTCGAGAGTTTTACCATTGAAGTATACCAGTACTTTTATTTGCGCCAAAACAAGGCCAATACGTCAGTCCGAAATCATTCGAATGTTGGGCACCCGGGGAATTCGCAGATTTTTCGAAGTACGTCAGTGTGAGCTGGCTTTCACCTGTATGCTGTGCAGCAATATTGTGTGCGTTGTTGGACAGTTTGTGAGCCAAAATGAATTTCAAATTTTGCATTGGGATTAAAGGGAAACACAACTGTCTATACAGGTAAAAGCACACTATTGTTATACCCGACGCCTTGTCTTGACTTCAGAGAAATGATCATCTATATAATTACCACATCGACAAGAGAAAATTGATTGCTTGTCAAAATGTCAAGTGATCCGCGAAATTCTAGTGATGTTGAAGGCCAGCAATCACGCTCAAGGCAGCAATCCCGTGCCGAGCGACGCATGTCTCGTGCCGAGCGGCGGATGTCCCGAGCAATGAGTGTTGTAAATGATCCAACTCTAGACGAATATGAGAGACTGGTTAAGTACGTGTCAGTTTATAGAGAGCCGGGGAAAGGCGAGTTTACTGAGGAAGGGGAGATGAGGCGGGTATGGTACGCCCCCTGGAGAAAGAAATGGATACCTGCGAAAGAAACTGGTGAAGGAACTCAGCAATTTCCTGAGAACTGGCTCATAACCGACATAAGAGAAGGCCTGACAGAAGAGGAAGTGAGCAACCGTAGACGCCGGTCTGGATGGAACGAGTTGATATCTCAAAAGGAAAACCCCATTGAGAAATTCATGTCGTACTTTCAGGGCCCTATTTTATATGGTGAGTTTAGAGCCGTTTTAGTTTTTCTGGATTGACATATAACTAACTCTGTGGTAAATAGTAATGGAGATAGCCGTACTCCTCGCTGCTGGTCTTAAAGACTGGGTAGACTTCGGAGTCATCATTGGTATTTTGTTTCTCAATGCTTCCGTTGGGTGGTATCAGGAAAAACAAGCAGCCGATGTTGTGGCAAGCTTGAAAGGAGATATTGCATTGAGATGCATAGTAGTCCGTGAAGGTAGACAACAAGAGATCCTCGCTCGTGAGCTGGTCCCTGGAGATGTGGTATGAAAAGCTATACGATTGAAAATATGGTTTTATCGTGCTGATACAAGTAGATTGTTGTTGGTGAAGGAACTGTCATACCTGCTGACGCTAAAGTAATTTGTTCTTATGATGATCCAAATGGATTTGAAGAGTTCAAACGCATGCAAGCAGAAGGTGTTTTTGATGACTCATCCAACGAAGGGGATAAAGATAAAAGTGATGAAAATGAGGAGACGCCTGAAGGCGACAAATCCAAAGAGAAGGAAAGTGGCGGCTCTGCTGGAGAGGCCGACGAGGATGACAAGAAAGAAAGTCGAAAAGGCTATTCACTTCTCGCCTGTGATCATTCAGCCATTACGGGTGAATCCCATGCTGTCGACCGATATATGGGAGACGTGATTTATTATACAACAAACTGTAAGCGGGGGAAGGCCTATGCCGTTGTGCAGACGACGGCTAAAACATCATTCGTCGGACGAACTGCAAGCATGGTAGCTGGGGCGGGCGATAAAGGGCATTTCGAAATTGTCATGGATGGCATTGGTACATCACTGCTAGTTCTCGTCATGGCGTGGATATTAGCAGCTTGGATTGGGGGGATTTATCGCCATATCCCGATCGCCAGCCCTGGTCGCCAAACATTGTTGGAATTTACCTTAGTGCTATTGATTATTGGAGTACCAGTAGGCTTGCCTGTTGTCACTACTACAACCATGGCAGTGGGTGCGGCATATCTGGCACGCAGGCAAGCAATCGTGCAGAAGCTTACAGCTATTGAGTCCCTCGCAGTAGGTCATTGCCAGGTCTGTTTTAGTACTGAATACTTGCTTACTATTTTAGGGGGTGGATATTCTTTGCTCTGATAAAACTGGAACTCTCACGGCTAATAAACTAAGTATTCGAAATCCTTATGTCGCAGAGGGTGTCGACGTGAATTGGATGATGGCAGTAGCCGCTTTAGCATCCTCCCATAACATACAATCTCTGGACCCCATTGACAAAGTGACTATTCTGACACTTAAAGACTTCCCTAAGGCAAAGGATATTCTCCAAGAGGGCTGGAAAACTGAGAAATTCACGCCATTTGACCCCGTATCGAAGCGCATAGTCACAGTTTGCACCTGTAATGGTATTCGTTATACGTGTACTAAGGGTGCTCCAAAGGCGGTTCTAACTCTGACCAAATGCTCGCCTAAAACTGCAGAGCTCTACAGAAACAAAGCGCAGGAATTCGCTCACCGAGGCTTCCGATCACTCGGAGTGGCTGTTCAGAAGGAGGGTGAGGATTGGGCCTTATTAGGCATGCTGCCAATGTTCGATCCGCCACGTGAAGACACAGCTAAGACAATTTCTGAGGCACAGGCATTGGGTATTAGTGTAAAAATGCTGACAGGTGATGCTATTGCAATCGCGAAGGAAACGTGCAAAATGCTTGCGCTAGGAACCAAGGTTTACAATTCAGAACGGCTAATTCATGGTGGTCTCAGTGGAGCAATGGCTCATGATCTAGTGGAAAAGGCGGATGGATTCGCAGAGGTTTTCCCGGAGCACAAATATCAGGTGGTTCAGATGCTCCAAGAACGTGGGCATTTAACTGCTATGACAGGTGATGGGGTGAATGATGCACCCTCTTTGAAAAAGGCGGACTGTGGTATAGCCGTTGAAGGGGCATCGGAAGCAGCACAATCGGCTTCAGACATAGTTTTTCTGGCCCCCGGGCTTTCGACTATCATTGACTCAATTAAGGTAGCACGACAAATATTTCATCGCATGAAAGCATACATCCAGTATAGAATTGCATTGTGTCTGCATCTGGAAATATTTCTTGTCACGACGATGATCATTCTCAATGAAACAATTAGACCCGAGTTGATTGTTTTTCTAGCATTGTTTGCGGACTTGGCCACGGTCGCAGTGGCGTATGACAATGCATCCTTCGAGCTGAGACCTGTTGAATGGCAACTTCCCAAAATCTGGTTCATATCGGTCGTCTTGGGAATACTACTGGCTTTGGGCACCTGGGTTGTTCGTGGTAGCATGTTCATTCCCTCTGGCGGCATTATCCAAAACTGGGGCTCCATACAGGAGGTTATGTTCCTCGAAGTTGCGCTGACGGAGAACTGGTTGATTTTTGTAACACGAGGAGCGGATACTCTTCCATCAATTCCATTAGTTGGGGCAATTGTTGGTGTTGACATTCTCGCTACGATTTTCTGCCTGTTCGGCTGGTTTACCAATCAAGATATGCCAACGCATCCAGCAGACCAGTTTCACGAAACGACTAATGGATGGACGGATATTGTCACAGTGGTACGTATCTGGGGCTATTCGCTTGGAGTAACAATCGTCATCGCACTGGTATATTTCACTCTCAACAAAATGGAGTGGCTCAACAACCTTGGCCGGAAGTCAAGAAGTAAGGGAGATATTCAAATTGAGAATACGCTTAGTCACCTTGCCCGAATCACTATCGAGCATGAGAAGGAAGGTGAAGCAAAGGGCAAATACTATTTGACTGCTGCTCGAGAGGAAGAGGAAGCCGAATAGTTCGCGTACATACGTTAAACGTAGTATGTACTGTTCAGCTCCGATTTTCATAATTCATGACGACAAAATTAGTATGTTGTGAACATAATTAGTTTATGTTCGGAAAGGTGGCCTGTATTGATGAGATGATGTTGTCACAAATTGTTCTTTTTCTAACATAATTTTCTTCTATGACAATTTGCATTTCTAGAATATCAAATAAAAGATCTAAAATAAGAATTTGTGAACTCGAGCTACTGTGAATATAATGTTCCTGTTTAGATACCAGTCGACATCAATTGAAGCCAATACCAACAGTCGGAGTAATAAGGGTTATGAATGCCACGTGACTTCCCAGAAACTATATCTAGAGAAACAATGCTTCGCTTTCTTCAAATCCATAAATAGAATCCCTGAAACTAAAATAGAATCAAGGACACATATTCAGCCACTAACTATTTCCGAAGGGAAGAAAAAAGACGTAAAATCATCGATTTTTCTTCCTTGTTGCCTGCCGACACAGAAGTTCGGTGCGTGTTGCATGCCGCAAGGGAGATTTGCCCAGTAACGCATGCTCCTGTGGTGCTATTTGCAGAACGAGGTAGTTATTGTTATCATTCAAAGAAAGAAATCGCAGTCTTGTTCATCTGCCCCCTGCGAGATGACGTATGATGTAGAATATACGTACGTGCAAGGTCAGCTCTTCTGCGCGAAAAACTAAGGAAGAATGTCATATGTTCAACATTAAAGCTTTAACGGGAAGATTATTTCTACGATCTGCCCCTACTGCGCAGATGACTAACTTCACCTACAGGCCGAAGCGGGCCAGATGATCTGGATTCGGATCGTCGCGCGATTTCCACTAGCTTACATTCCAGCGGAATTCTAGATTCCATCGTCTATGTATTAATATTGTAGACTGGGGCGGTATGTTTTTGTTTTTCCTAATAAAGCGCTTGTAGCATTTATAATCACCTACCTTTATGTTCGGGGTTCACGAATGAGAATAGATTTGTTCGACGATCAAATGCTCGATTTGTTAAGGCTTCTAACTATGTACAAGGCGAATGGTAGATGATATATATACAAAACCAAGCAGGAAAGGCAAAACATGAATTCTCAAACAAAGCGAGCGGATGATCAGCGAACCTTTTGTCAAGTCACGATCCGGTCTAGAGAGCGACGATTTTCACAAATCGGGGTATGGTAAAAAAAAAGAAAGAAAGGAAATAGGCTTTCGATTTTATTCCTCAGCTAGAATTTCTCCTCAGCTTCTCAGCCAGCAGAAAGAATGTCGTGATTTTTGGTTTCATAACCAGTCTAGTCTGCCAGAGACTTTAAAGGTTGGTTAATTTACCAGTAAGGGCGAAGGCGGCGCATGATACGAGAAGTGGTGGAGTTGCCGCTGGGCAAGTCAGATTTGACACCAGCAAGGAAGCCATTGTTGGCGTAGGCCTGAGAGGCGTCCCATGTCATAACACCACCGAAGCTGGAGAATGTAGCAGAGTAGTCAATGACGGGCTTGAGGTCGGAGGCAGATAAGTATCCAGAGCCGGCAGCGCCGGTGTTGGCGGGAACACCGAGGAGGACCTTGACATCCTTGTTCTTGGAGGTGTTCTTGGCCCAGGTGTCCCATTGGTCAAAGTTGAAGGCAGTTTGGGTGCTGGAGCCAGAGTGGTAGTTCTGAACACCGCAGAAGTTGTTGTAGAATTGGACCAAGATGGCATCGAAGGAAACAGCACCGTCAAGCATAGCGTTGTCGGCGGCATCGGGGTAGACGCACTGAGGAGCAGCGGTCAAGAAGTATTTCTTGCTGGTGTCGGCATCCATGAGGCTGCGGAGCTCGTTACCGAAGTATTGCATGTTTGAAACAGTCGATTCAAAGTCAAAGTCGAATCCATCAACAACGGCATCTCCGAATGGGCGGTTGGCAGTGCCGTTGGTGGAAGAACCGAAGGTCTCCCAGATCAACTTGGCTCCGGCAACGGCAGCATCTTGAGTCTGGAAGCCACCTTCGCTATAGGTGGCACCGCCGATGGAAAGGAGGATGGTCTTGCCCTTGGACTGACAGGTCTTGATGTCCTTACTATTTAGCACTGGGGTTAGTTATCTTCTCTCTTTGAATGGTTGTTTCTTAACGTACCCAACTTGAGGGCAGTTCAAAAGGTTGGTACCACTGAAGGTAGAGCATGCATTGCCGGTGTTAGCGAAGTTGATTTCAGGAGCACCACCTTGGCCATTGATGTTGGTGACGAAAGACATGATCAAAACGTCAATGTTGTCGTCGTCGCAGTAGTGGGCAAGGTCCTGCTGTTCCAGGTCACCACTGGAGGCACCGTACGAGTTCTGTCCCCAGTAGACAGCAACGTTGTTCGAGGAGCTTGTGTCAAGCTTGGCTTGGGCGCCTATGAGGCCTGCCAAAATGGCAGCGCCGGAAAAGATGTACTTCGCAGAAGACATGGCTGGTAGAAGGAGTGTAATGTATACTAGATCGTTCAAGGGAATGAGACGATTGTACCGAAAGGAATGTAAAGGAGAGGCTGGTTATCCGGAGACTTTGTTGACTGGGGAGGAGAAATCGATATGAGATTGACGGGTGTCATGGGGGATTATATAGCAGTCCTGGTGTCTGCCGCAGAAGCTGATAGGGTTACTCCCAGGGCGGCACTAAATTTCTCGTTGCAGCCACCCGATGCTGTGACTTGCGCCTGCCGCTAGTTTCTTTCCTGCTTCTGTTAGAGACATCACATTGAGTGTGCATTCCAAGAGCCGCTCCCCCACAACGAGGGAAGTCTGTCCCAGGCTGTGGAATGTAACAGTCGAAGTATAATCGGAACTCGGTAAGCGGGCGGCGCAACACCAAAGGAGCGCCACGATGGTAGTCATCTCGATTTGGCGTACACTACCAAATGTCGAAATATAGTAGGGGTTCCAATTTTCTATCCCCAAGCCGTGCGGCTAGCTGTTTCCTGTGCTAGGCAGAGTCACACGCACGCAGGACCGGCGTCAGCCAAATCTAAGCGTGGCAGCCGTGGCTTACTGTAACCTGGGGTCAGCGCAGCACACACAGCAGCACAACTCTACCAACGTTACCATGACCTCAAGCCACACGACCTCCACGAGTCGGTCAAGCTGTTAGGCATTGTCGATCACTCCACAGGCTATATTGAGACTAATTCTAGTAATAATGGTGCGAACCTCAAGGTTATTATCATCACCAAGGAATACGCAACAAAGGACATGACGATGGCCGGATCGCCCAGTCAAAAGGCTAAATTTTGTATATCCTGGTCATTTAGATGGTTATATTTGCCTTTTATTAACTCGCACACTCGTACAACCTGCCGGCTGATCAAGCTGCTATGTCCCGAGCGTGCGATGAACGTGCATGTGTGCAGATGAAACAGAAGAGGCACATGAAACAGAAGAGGATATGCCGGCGATGGATCTGATTGGGTAGGACGTGGCTTGCTTCATGTTTGGTCAACTGTCGCTCTAATTCCAGAAGAAACGCTGCCTGTGGCCGACCATACACATTAGATTGCTTGTTGTCAACGTGACATTGAATAACAAGGAAGTGGCATCAAGTTCGTGATTGACAATCACCACATAACAATTCAAGTACTCTCAGGCCAGTAAAATGGAAGCAGCGAGGGATCGCTCAGCGCGGGGAGAGATGATTGGCGACGGGGATTGCATGTACAAAGAAATGATGCCAATTAGATAGCAGAAGAGAGTATAATTAGTTGGTGGTGTACGTATTGATGGAAACCGCTAATCGACGCTAAGAAGGGGCCGGCGTGGTCTGTGCGCAGGGGCAGCGTCCTATTGGCGCGCGGCGCTCTCTGCCTGAGGCTGCCCCTGGTACTTCTCTGAACATCGACAGACATTCACCTTCTCTCTACCTTTCTGATACTGTTCAACATAGCTGAAATGAGCCCACTACATCAGAAATAACACCCGAATGGCCTGGTTATTCATGGCAGCGTCTACGGCTTTCGTCTCGAAGCGCCCTCTCTAGTCCGTTTCACCATGTCGGTGTTTATCAGACCGGTGGGAACAGCGTTGGCTGAGGTTGCATCGTGACTCGTCTCGGCCTGATCTCAGCCCCCCTTCATCTTCATCATTAATCATCCCTGAAGCTGCCCGTGACCGCCGGCCTCCTCTGTGATTACGTACTGTCCTTTGTTTCCAACCACGCAGTACTCCAGAAGTCCAAGCGCTGGGCAAGCACATTCCTGCATTTGCACACGTACCGAGCGTGTGACTCCAGTAGATGTCACTGAACCGACAACATAGTGAAAGACGTCTAAACGCCCTACTGTTTGGCGGGGTAGATAGCAGAAGTCGAAAGAACTCTCCACTCCCCCAAATGAAGTCGGCTGCGACCATTGTCAACAGGTGGGTTATGCACATCACGTTCTCAAGACACGGTTGCACCGAGTCACTAGTTAACATATACAGACAGTGCGGTGAGGAGTAGATAATAATAATGCTACCTCATGATCTATCTTATGCATGAGATAGCAAGAGATCAACAACGCATATACTACTTGATAACCATATATCTAGTAAATGTGCGATGCTCGCGGTTATGTTTCGTTATCTCTAGCTGAGTCTGTAGATTGCTCAGCGTCCCAGTCGTTCACTGATCTACCGGTCCTAGAAGATCACGCCATATTAATTATAGTAAAGTCAGTGAGGCTGAATAAGAGCTTTAAATTGCATAGGGTTGAAAAAGAGCCGTTATGCTCTAGTTCATTTGATATAGGCATTCACTCGATATTGAAATGGAATCCAATTTGGAAATCGAAAGACAGTACTTTTCATGCAACTTTAGTTTCCTCGAATCATTTAATTGGTTTATTTTGCTACGGAGTTTTATCTGCTTGGTACCGTGACATTCCCCAATTCTTGATTTATCTGATTCCTTTACTAAGCGGTGGTACAGCAGTTAATGACTGTAGAAAATCACAAGTTCTTCCTCATAGTCTTATTCAGAGGGACGTTTAATATATGCCTTATCTTGCCTTGCTTGTCTATAGTACAAGATCTTGTACCGCTTAAGTTCCGCGCCTCAACCGCCCTATAGACACTTTCAAAATCCCCAATGCTGCAATCATCAATTGATAGAGTATAGACAACGTCTGGCCACCCATGTCATGATGTCCAAGATTAGCGTAAAAGCTGAACGTAGGGCAACGGTCAACAAAGCATCAATTGACGTAAATACCTTTGCTATCTAAAGTATACTACGGTACTATCAAACAAAGAAATTAATTATTATTCGGAGATTAACTTCCACCTTGCCCGGCGCGAACTCTACATTTGTCAACTCGCCTCGATCGCCATCATACGTGCCCGAATTGGCTAGCGACGAGGTATAGTTGATGCTACCCGGTCGGCTTGATAAATGCTTTAGGAGTTAACTATCGTATCCTTCTAAGGTATTAAATTCTACAGGCAATAGTTACGGATTGTATGTCATTAATTCTTGCCTCATTCTATTCGGAATTTGTTAATCTGACCAACGCCTTTCAGGATTCCGAACACATGGGACACTGTTCTTATTATAGCCCATGTGGCGTGCATGGCATATGGTGGCGTTAATAGCCGGCGTGTTCGCTGACCTAGTCGAAGCCACCGGGCAAGAATAGCTTCGGGATGCAATATTGGGAAATGACCGAACTCGGAAATCTTGAATCTTCATAAAACTGACTCAAAAAGCATTTCAAAAGCTGGCGGTGAATAACATTCGAAATAACCTCAAACACGAATATCTAGAACCCGACGATCATGAAATCTTGGTCCCTTTTGCGTGTCTGAAAGAGGATTGAAAGTTAAAACAACGGACCCAACTTTTTGGGGCCAACTACTGTTTCGCTTGATAAAGCCTAAAACAGGGTTAGAAAATCATAAAGCCGTCAGCAAGTCAATTTCGAAGGATGTTTCGTAAACAATAAGGTCATTTTTGAACCGCCAATAGTTTTTAAGTAGCACTGCTATTGGAAACACCCCCAATATTCCAGGCGTATATGTACGTGGTCATCACAAGAAGATGACTAAAAGATGACCTGACATCAAGCTAGAGAATGACGAATTATAGGTCTTCTTTACGATCTCGATAAAACTTCAAATGTTCCAATCTTGTTTCTAAGCTTGAATAAGCTTATGCACTCGTCCCCCATATGATGTTTGCATGTTAATTCCCTTAGATAAAAAGGTGGCACTTCAATGTCGATCAGATTACCGGGGCGTAACTGGGGGTTGCACACTTGTGATGTTACAGCCGAAGGCCCGAACAGCTTGTTTATTTGTCTAATAATATTGCTATTTGGTGACAGAAGAATGTATAGAATATAAAAATGTGCAAGTAAATTTCCTGGATGATCAATTATTCCCATTCATCAGCGTTTCCCTACACTAAAAGCTCGAAAATGAATGACCACATTCATAGCATATAACGGCATCGGAATACTATTTGTCTAATCGCTTGACTGATTCAATGCTATTATTGCATTGCAAGTATTTCTGAAGATAGTAATACATTGTCTTCAACTGACCTCCATTTGTAACCACACCGATGATGCAGTCAACTCTGCTTTTCCCAATCTCTGCACCCTAAGTCTCTTACTCTCCCCTTACAATGTAATAATTACATATCTTCATCAGATAAAGAATCAGAATCAACTGAAAAGTATGGGAGTGTCCCAGGCGCCTTATTGCTGGGCTGTTCCTTAGCAACAAAAAGCTCGTTCCTGTCATTAATCTCCATTTCAATAGTGTCTCGTACATCAAAATCACTTTCCGTAAGAGTCAATCCCCTTAGTATTCGTTTCCAGTCTCAATGATTTTGGAGACCGGAATAGGTCCTCGAGCAGGGGGAGCAATGAGAGACATTACCTGCAGTCGCGGCCGCGGGCTTGTCCAGAATGTTTGCAAGGCCTCGTACTTAGACTGGATGTCATATGTCGAGCTTCTACTTCTTTTCTGCTCGTTGTTAGATATGCCGTCAAGAATCGCCCATGTTGCATCTCTCCAGAAAACCAGTGCCGCTGGTGCTCGCATTTCGAAAAGCATGAATTTCGGATCACTCGGCAATGATTCTTCGCCAACTTCGATTGTCAATGACGATGCTTCTGATTTTAGTTTGCACTTTTCACAATTAACCTTGCTGTGGTATCCTGATTTTGTCATTCTTCGTCTATCGTGCTCTAACATCAAATGACTGTCCTGCAACTGGGCATACTTCTTGCTCAGTGACTCCCATTCCGATAGCTTTTCCCGACGACATTCGGAGTTTTGGTCGCTTATCCTATTTTCAAGTTCCTTCAATACGGTACAATTTTCCTCATCATCGTATAACAATTCTGGAAGGGTCGCTGCCATAATGGGCCCCTGACGAGTAAATACCGACCCCGTGGTGGGAGACCTCTCAGCATGCCGCTTGGCGACATACTCTTCAATTCTGTGTGAACGTTTGAAGTCTCTTTCTTTATTTAAATAAATTCGTATCAAGAAGTCTTTCGGGATCTCCGGCGAGAGTTGCTTAAAGAAGGGAAATCTCTCACATGTTAGACGGTCCAGCGCAACCCCCAAATCAACTGAGGTAAGAAGCATTACATGCTCGACACTGCCACGGTAGATACTCAAAGCTTGAGAAATGTAGGTTTGAATAAGAATACTGAGCTTTCGATAGTCTTTGTCTAGGCATTCCGAAATGGTGAGTGTTGTCCAGGCGTCGAGGTTATACTCGACCCAATGCTCAAAGTCGGCGAGGGCGTAAAAGTCAATCTGTTTGACACCTTCTAAAGACTCGACGCTTGGCAGCTCCAGCCTGTTGGTAGGAATTTTCTTAAACATTTCATGGCCACTAGAACGATTGTCAGCTCTGTAAGCGCGATGGTTCGTTGCTTTCTCAATTTGTTCGAGCACTAATGAGCTCAGTTCCAGACATATCTCTTCTTCTGGGTCAGGTTCAAGCAGCTGGATTGAATGAAGACTTTTCGTTCTTATCATTTTCCATTCGCTTTGGAGGCGACGATAAATTTGATGTGTGACTTCCTTCACGATTTGCATGACACCTGGTGAAACAAAGCTCTCCGATTTACAAACACGACGCGCGAGTTTGTTGGAGATTAGCTGAAGCATTTCAGGTGAGGCATTAGTTCGGAGAAATAGTTTGGCGATCTTGCTCAAGAAGAAGAGCATAAATTCTTTGTACTGTGATGATTCGTTCTCATTTTCGGAAACGGATGGTCGAAGCTGAACGACGACCTTTAGAGCGAGGTAAAACGGGGAACGTCTCCACGTAGATTGCCCGTCATAAGTTGATAAACTGTCTCGGATCTTTTTGAAAATGGTTTTTTGTGAGGCGTAGACCCGTCCCTGCGCTAATAGGATGCTCATGAGCAACTCTGAAAGTATTTTGGGCTTCGACATCTCTGTAGACTTGGGCGATTCGTAATCCAAACGCTCGAGAAAATTAGAGAGCTGTTCCAGAAACTCCTTTTGTTTGAATTCTTTCCACTGGATTTGGATCGCTTGCGAAGGGAAATGTATGAGGACAAAGGCATGGCTCATGACGGTCTCTGCTGGAGGCACCACAGAGAAGTAGGCTACTATCACGCCGTTCGGAATTGCCTCAAACGCAAGAATGCTCTCCAAGGCCCGAAAAAATAGTATTAGATAATCTGCGATAAAAGTCAACAATTCAGCCCACAATTCATGTAATAAAACATTTCATGGATGATTTTACCTCCATCACGAAAGGAATTGAATGCTTCGAAGAGAGATATACCAGAGAAACCGTTCACTGATCTCAAGCTTGTACACCAGTCAAGAGTCTTCTCAATTTGGTTCCAACATCCGCAAGCACTACCCGGGCCTTTTTTGAAGTCTACCACGGTGTGTCTCAGGACTGAAAGAAGGAATTCTTCTCGAGATGCAACATCATTTTCTTCCTCGCCTGGAAGCTGAGGGGGGAGTAAAGCGTTGATATAAAGAAAATGCACGTCCTCGGGATCTGCTGTGGCGCTATCTATCTCCATTTTGATAGAGATAAGCGGACAAATCTAGTCGCGAGAGACCACTGGGGGATATTTGGGATTGAGGGATTGATGGATTGGGGGTAGAGGAAGAGAAGTAATACGCAGGCTTGGTGTAGGAGTTCAAAGACAGTACGGCAATGTGTAAGTGATGACTTTTGTAGAGATAGAGTTAAGGAAGGTGATCTGAGAAGAGATTTGACTGGGATTGGGAAACGATGAAAGATGAGGACAGGAGGATGTAAGAAGAGCGTGGATAGTAAAGGGAAGGAGGTGATATTCAAAGTGGCGTACTGGCAAACGCGTTCGTTTGTATCAAATTTGTTCCTGTCACTATGGCGGCCGTCTCTAGCAATTCCAGTCAAGAAGAAATATTCAAATGGATAGTCGAATCACACGCCTGATAACGCAGTTTCCACGGATATTCAGGATAAAATTTCTGACGCAATGCAACTTTCCTGGAAGTTTCTTATGCACTAAGCTGAATGGGTATGTATATATGCCGTTGATCTATGGCGTTGTTGATTCCTATAATTATGATTATCGGCTTTCCAATGCTGCATTCTGAAGTATTCCACTTATGGTCTTTCCAAGGCAGTTATCTAGAATAATCATTTGGTATTCAACATTCAACCCTCTCATGCCAGCTGCTAGCAACTAATTGATCTTTCACTGAGCATATCATCGTGTTATGTATTCACCTATCCCCATTTGAATATTAACGTGCCCAACCCAACGCATCTTCGACTTCACCAGATAGTAATTATACTACTAGTTGAACTAGTTCAGTCATAACTTCATCATTTTGGGGACTCTACAGTACCTGTATAGAAAACATGTACGAAGCTAAAATGCTCAGGAAGTGCCGTTTCAAATGCTAGCACTCGGAATACATGTAGTTTTGAGAGCATTTACTAAGCAATACTCTCTAGCTTGTAATCAATGGACGTAGATAAAGGTAATAAAATATATATAAATATCTATATAGATATAGATCCCTGATTATATAATAATTGGTTTTACACCAACTGGTACCATGCTCCTACGCAACACTTAAGGCGTTTCAGTCAACTGGTTAGCATTACAGTATTCCTCTACAAGTGCTTTATCAGGATTCTGTTTTACAACATATGAGAAGTTTCAAATGTCCAAGTACGTTGAGGTAGAACAATCTTAGATTTTGAATCGATATTCAGCTGTCATAGGAGCCTTATTCCGCTGGTGTAATATAAAAAGAAGTGGGGGAAAGGAAACAATTCGCTTTCGCCATAATGCAGGCATACATGAGTGGGGAGATACAGTTCATCTTGATGTAAATGATTAGAATATTGGAATAGAAACAGACAAGAGAGTATGAAGAGTTGGAGGTTGTAAAGGGGGTGTTTTGTTCAGGTGTTAGCGTAAATATAGGAAATTCGTAGTCATATCCGTTAAAATTAGTCAGTATCAGCGGTCAACGAGTCCAAAACCAACCACCAGTAGGTTTTCCATCGTCATCATTATTTTCGGCATTAGAGGAACCATTCTGCTTCGTGCTCTTTTCAGCAGGCGGGGGAATGAGCTCTTCAGTCTCGTCACTCTCCTCACGACCATCGGTAAAACGTCTAGTCTTGATGGTCCTTGTTGAGACAGACCCATCAGGCTGGGTGCGCCGCACAGTTCGCGTGGAGGTCAGAACAACTCTTGGCTCGGAAGAAGACTGGTCGTCTTTGTACTGAGAATCTAGTATTTCCTTATTTCCATTGGCTGTATATTCGAGCCAATCTTTACTTTTTGTCTTCTCCATATTCGATTCTCCAGAAACTTTGGCTTGTTCTAGATGACGTTTGCGCTCTTCTTCTAAAAGACGCATCAGAGGACTATCCGCAAAGGCTCGCGAGTACCTTTCATGGGCACTAGAAATATCGTCTAGAAAGCGGTCGTAGAGATCCAACTCTGTCTGGGGCTCAGAAGTTTCGTTTTCATCCCGATTTTCATATTTAATTTCAGAGTTTCCTTGCACAGCTTCTTCGTTGTTGTACTGTTGAGATCGCTTAAAGGAAATTCCATAGGGTGACAATTTCCAATTATTGCTAATACTGCCTCTCTGAATCATTCCCTGCAGCCATTCCTTTCCTGTTTTTCTGTTGCGGTCGGATTTAGTGCTCGGATCCAGCATGGGTTGTCCGTTTTCAAGCCTCAACAAATCCTCAAAGGCGTCCCGCCATAGCGGTTCCGTCGAGTCCAACTCGGTCTCAGAGAACGTGAATAGAGACGAAAATATTCCCCGGTTGCTGCCCCGGCCCTGTGGTCGCTCCAATTGTAGAGGCGAATATGGACTAAATAATATATACGGTACCGCCCAAGTCTGCGAGTCTCCGCCGAACAACATGTTTTCTGGGAAGAAGGATCCGCCGAAGCCGAACGGGGATCGATCATCAATGAAAGAGTCGGCAAGTTTGAATGAGAAGGGAAGGAAATTCCAGCTTTCCGAAAATTCGTCATCGTGTTTATTCCTCCACTGTCTGTTGCTCCATCGGCCATTTGATTGTCCATCAGGATGTTGTTCGCCATCTTCCCCGGTCTTCCGTAGTCGCTGGTGACTTTCTTCCTCGAAATGTAGCCATCTATTGGACTGTGGTGAGGACATCATTGATGGCAATCCCATTACAGACTGCAGCATAGATGAGATCTGTTCGTCTGCATAGCGTCGAAAAGCAATGAACGGATTTTGTTCTTCAGGCGATGGGCGGGTAGACGGCGGGAAGGGCTTGCTGCAGGATTCCGGGTTCTGATCACTAGGTTTATCGATACTAGAGGAACTCGCCATATTAAATGATAGAAGGCTGTATGAAACAAGATATAAGCAAGCAAGATTTCGATGACAACGTTGCAAACAGTGAGTCGATGTTTGTTAGTCGATGTTGAGAGTGGCGTCTTGGCGTCAACCACGCGACTGCGATACTGTTATCGCCACGTGACTAGGACAAACAGAACAAACACATTCAACCTCTAATTATGCTTTGAAAAAGTTATTGCCACATTATTGATGCATAGTCATGAACGAAGCATGAATTTAATAGATAGTCTATTTAGTTCAAGAGATAAGATTTATACTATGTCGAAACCAAAAAGAACGACTGTCGATATACAACCTTGCTACTACTAAATACAAAAGTGGAGCCGGTTAGGGTATTTGAGGGCTCCTGCCCAATATGGTAAGTGGTAAGTGGTAAGTGGTAGGTGGTCAGTGGTCAGTGATATATGGTAGTTGGCAATAAAATTGCCATGGCCGCACATACTCGAAACTACACTCTATTATTCTACATTACCCTCATCTTCACCACCCTCAGCAGCATCATCTCTGAAACCTACCAACATGCCAGACCAGAGAAAGAGCAGCAGCATTGCATCACCCAAAAGAGAACCCGAAGAGGTGTGCTTTGACGATGGCAGATCCGATAAGTGGATGAGCTTCTCATCTATCCTAAAGTAAGCTCGTCAAATGACTGCGCACGATGAAACAACGCTCATTACTCTAGTCCTGTAGTAGTTCCACCTCCACCACCAAGTCTATCATCAATCTCTCGTACTTCACCACAATGATTACTTACTCCAGTCCTGCCAGATCCTGCACAGATTGCAGACCAACCACGTTTGAAACTGTCTACTCATAAGGCATCGGCTTACTATGTACCGACTGTTCAAGGCAAATGGTGGTCCAAATCGACAAACGAATGGGGAAATATGTCTCGCAGGCAACGTTTGCATTGGAGTCAGATCGCCCGCATCATGGAATCTGAGCTTGGAAAGCAGCTTTTGGGAGACGACATATGCGTGATCTGTAGAATAACAATGAGGAATGCTGGATCTATACAAAAAGGCGGAATGTGATATATTCTGGTCTGGTGGTCGTGCCTGTGCTCGTTGCCGGGTGTCTGAAGATGGCAGGATGTGTACTCTAGCGAAACAGCGCCTCTCACGTATGATAGTGCTACCTCCCAAACCTGAGGTTGTTGAGGAAATGGCAAGGAATAAAGAGCATCATCTATGTGTAGCATAGCGCTGCAGAGTATAAGCATCACATCAAGATGTTCCAGCTAAATAAACCTGGAAAGACCTAAATTGATACACAAACCTCAATCTTCAATCAATACTAGTTGACACCAATCGACACCAATCAATCAGATGAGGCAGAACGCTGCCTAGATATCAATTGATATTGACTAAGTTCATTCATCACTCAATGATTTATTCCTTTACATGTACCCACGCGCGCGGCCCTCCTCCCATCGTTGATGTAAAAGGTTCGCATCTACTCCTACCAGTCCGGTCCTTATATCAATTGATGTAGTCAGCATCAGACTGACCCAAAAATGCACCCATACAGGCGAGGCAGGCCTACGCAGGCATATTATTAGATTTGTAGTTATGATACCAATTACTCTGCTATCGCGTTGCAAATATACCCACACGAGGTAAGACTTAGCAAAACGGGTAATGCGACTTCCCGGCTGTCATTTACAATCGAGCGCGATCCTCAACTCCTGCCCAAGCCTCGTCGAACCCGGTTCCAAACACCCATCTCTTCTCAGAAACCGTCGAGTCAATGGCTAGATGCATCAGTGGTTACGCTCTTTTCTACATTAATGCTCGGCTACTTACCCATATTCCCTGCCCTGAGCCACGCATCCCCCTTCATTTTCCATTCGTTTGATTTCCCTTGTCCCTCTAATATCTTACACACCCGCTCTCCGTTCGCTATGGCTCGAACAAGCTTGACGAGGTGACTATCATCACTAGGACTCTGATTCCCAGCATCGAAGACTTGTTTCCAATTTTTGCTGGTGGGATAATTGGTGATTTCCTCAAGGTCAAGCGGCGGCGTACCGCGTGAGACATACAGCAGCAAATCCATTCGCCCTTTCCATTCCAATAGACGCACTTTTGCGCGAGAGCTAATCCATGAACGCGACAAAATAGCAGAGAAAAAAACGGAGCAGTTAAGCGCGTGGATCAAAATGAAGTCGAATTTGACGGCTTTTGGAGGTTTCTGGGATGCAGCAGCACAATAAACTATTCGCATGTTTAGTTGGCGGCTTTTAAGCTATATCAATAGTAGGTGCTCACCTAAAGCATTGATCATTTCAGCGAGTTGCTCATTCAAAGTATCTGAAGATACTGTATACTGTTTGGCGAATTCTTGCATTTCCTGCGGGGCTCTTTTCAAAGTACCGTCTCTGATCAAATTGCCGTCACCCCAGCGGGCACTTCCGGCAAGCTCCTTGTCCTGGCGGGCTTCGCTAACCAGCTGTGTGAGAGACTTTCCTGGTGTAGATCCCACACCGCCGGCTGCCTTTTCCACGTTGTAGAGATATGTGCCAATCCAGTTTTCATGAACGGCAGCCTCCGCAAGCGCCTGTGCAATAATGGCCGGCTGATTAAACTCAATGCCAAAGCCCAGATGGATAATAGGATGGATCAGACCTAATGTCATGTCAGCGAAACCCAGTCTACCAGAAAGACAACCCACCTGCAAACATCCTCGCAAGCATATCATCGGCATGTTGATCCTCTGCAAACAAGTGTTCCTGAAGCGCTGTCGGAACTCCTTTGCTATCAATCTCCTGCTGAAAATAAGCCAAAAAGCTTGAATAGTGTTCCTCCTTCCCCAGATAGTCCTTAAAATTGCCCTTCTCAATGATAGAATGGACAACATCGTCTTCCACCGGATATGCGGTTCGCTGGTAGCTATGACCTCGGTCGTAGGCGGCCTGGATTTCTTCTGGGGAAGCTCCCAGTGCGAAAAGGGTGAGTAAATGATGAACGATGTGATCTGGTTATTAAGTAGACTCGTTAGAGCAAAATTCCCAGCGGCTTGCTTGATAAAGCTCACTGTGAAATCTCGACTTGTTGAAGAAGATATGATGCAGGCGCATGTCTTCCTGCAACAGTTCGCTAGCACGTTTGGCAGAGTCCTCTCTTGCACCGATAGAGAATACACCGGCGTCTGCCAGCGACAGCTTGATGGTTGTTGCGGTGGCCATGTTGTCAGGTAGATTTATATCTGACAGATCTGGGATGTTGCGGATCGAAGTTATTGCTCGTCTGTTTGTGAGGGCGGTAGTTCCTCTCAGTCTCATTAGAGAAAAGCTGCTCATCAACCAGCGACGACAAAGCAGGATTCCGGTGGTATTTAAGCGCAGCAACAGCACCACCTATACCAAGCCCAGAGCCTGAGAACATCGAACACGAAGCAATTAGTCATGCGCGTTGCAGGTACTGGGATCTCGCAGACACAGCATCACGCGTGGCAGCCCAGTCGAATTAATAAGCCCAGATCTGCTATTCGCGGGATTTGCTAATGCCTACATCATACAAGGCAAATAAGCTCACCCCGCACTCCGCATTTTCAAGATCCCTGGAAATTGATCCCGTGTCCGTGGTGATACTGATTAGTCACAGATGCGATGCGTTTTGGGCGAGGCCCGAATAACAGTAAGCAATGCGTTCTAGAGCGATTGCCTCGAGCGCAATGTTTAATAATTGAAACGGTCTATCTTCACTTCATGCAAGATGTACCCACGATGCCCAAAAGTGAGTCTTTATCGGCTTCGACAGTCAGTCTAATCGTCGATCATCTTCCAGACAATGCGGCTCATTCCGCAGGTTGCAGCCTAAGGCTCCAACACCCTCAAGCCTGTAAGACAAGTCTGTTCATTATTAATAGGAAAGGAAGCTGGGTGCTCCAACAGTCCACATTTTGCTGCATTTAACCGACAAGACGATGTCGCTCGGTTAATTGCCTCCCAACGCGTGACAGGGAGAGGCGCCTTGCAACGCTCAAGATGATGAAGCTATTTCATATAACCGAGCATTCCAGGCATCCAGGATTGCTTGAGTGCGAATTTCACATCCAGGGTGCTGAGAATATATGAGCGAATCGAGTGGATTTAAGAATTGCTATCGCAAGCCCACCTCGGCGGCCTGTCCGAGTCTGCAATGCCGTGACAGGCGGATAATTCTACAGAGACGTTCCACCAATCGACGCTCTCCTATCATCCTATGTATTATTAGCATTTCTATACGCTTCTATACACTTATATGTACATGTATTCAACATAGGTCTTGTTTTAAGCAGAGATATTCTTGTGATAATTCTCAGTAGACGACTGGCTGACGGCAACCGAGAAGAAAGCGGCAACGTCATCGTGCATCGGAGCATGTCCGACCGGGCCAACTACCGGGACAACTTGAACCACAAACTACGACATGGGTAATTAGAGTAGTATGCTCGGCCTCACTTGACCGATGGCGTTGAGCGCGGTGGGGGCAGGAGGGGCAAAGTTATTGTCTCTTCTCGTTGATCGCGCAAGAAGGCGCGACGTGGGGTTGCCAGGCGATTGCTGTATTTTTTATTTAATACTGTCCCCCCACCGCACATTTTGATCTTCTCAACCACTGTTCTGTTCATTAAGACAAACTCCTGGCTGTGCAAGAGAATCATTACTGAGCAAATACTCCAATATGTCTCTCGGAAAAACCGCAAAGCTCAACACCGGCGCCGAAATCCCGTATGTCGTTGCACACTTCCACGTTCAGGCGCAATGCTGATATGGCGTGATTGACAGGCTTCGAGGATACGGCACCTGGCAGGCTGCCCCTGGTGAGGTCGGCGAGGGTGTCTACCTGGCATTGAAGGCTGGCTACCGTCATCTGGTATGTTTGTACCATCTGTGCGGCTCAACATGTGCTAACCGTTCTATAGGATCTTGCCAAAATGTAGGCAACATTCTATACGAGATATTGTGGGAAGATACAAGGAGAAGACTAACAACTTGATCCAAATAGCTACCAAAACCAGAAAGAGGTCGGTGAAGGTATTCGTCGCGCCTTCAACGAGTTTGGCATCAAGCGTGAGGATGTCTTCATTGTATGTTGCGAAGAGCCTAACCTCAGAGGCACGGATGCTAATATTTTGGACGAAACAGACTTCCAAGCTCTGGAACAGGTATGCCGCCCAATGCTGCGTTTTTATATCCATATTGACAAGATAGTCAATTCCACCCCGACGACGTCGCGGCTGCTTTAGATGACACCCTCCAAGAGCTCGGCCTCGAGTACCTTGATGTACGCCCCACCAATCTTTATTCATATTCATGACAACTAACACCGCCTAGCTCTACCTTATCCACTGGCCGTCCGCTTTCAAGTCGAACAGAGATATCCATAACTTGTTCCCTCTGCAGGCCGGAAACCCCAATTTAGTGGAAATTGACGATAGCATCTCTATCGTTGATACCTACAAGGGTACGGAATCAAATTCCATGACCAGACTCCGTTGCTAAGGCATTCTAGCCCTGATCAAGCTACCCAAGACCAAGACCCGCGCTGTTGGTGTGTCCAACTACTCCATCGAACATGTACGTGCCGCTTTATCCTTCTCCAGCCACGCACATGTCTAATAGTCTTCGTTCTAGCTCGAGGCAATCATCAATGCCACCGGTGTCGTCCCTGCTGTCAATCAGATCGAGCGCCACCCTTATCTTCCCAACCCTCCTTTGATTGCGTACGCTAAGGAGAAAGGAATCCACATCACCGCCTATTCGGTATGTTGGCGCCCAACTTACCCTAACCCCCTTACTCACTATCATAGGGCTTCGGCAACAACTCAGTCGGCGTTCCTCTGGTCATCACTCGCCCCGAAGTTAAGGAAGCCGCGGAGAGCGCTTCCAAGCGCACCGGTACCACCGTCACTCCCGCACAAGCCGCGTAAGTGAATACACACAATGGAACCCCGTCAAACTCCTATCTAACGATCGTGTGTCAGTCTTGCCTGGGCCCAGGTCGGCGGTATCAGCGTTATCCCCAAGTCGGTCACCGCATCGCGCATCGTCGAGAACTTCACGGATGTTGAGCTGTCGCCCGAAGAGATTGCCAAGATCGATGCTCTCGCAAGCGAGAACAAGCGCTTCAATGTCCCCGCCGTCGTCAACACACCCAAGTGGCCCGTCAACATCTTCAACACACCGGAGGAGAAGGCGGATCCTTCCTACCACCAGATTAACACCCGTGCCTAAGAGGGAAAATTTGGGATGTGACTGGTGTGTACGACAAAAAAGTGAATGCGAGGTATCTAAGATAGACAAATGTACATAGCCATGTCAGCTAGTAAATATTATTTATGGATACCAGGGAGTATCAGATACCATTTCATTTAATACAGCTCAAGTGTATATTCGTTCATGTTCTATTTTCATCATGTAAAAATCATAGCCGTAAATACCACCCAAACGCCCGCTAAATTCCAAATATGCAAAAGTAGATCATGTGGCAGTCTGGTATACATGAGTGCTATATTAGGCCTTTCAAAATGTCATGACTAATTCCCGTCTTTCATCGCCTACTCCCGCCCATATCTTTCATAGCTTCTTTCCGTTTCTGCTGGTCTCGGGCGATCTTCTTGAACAAGGGATGATGTTGCGCCTTATCTTTGAGTTGTTTGTTGCGAGACTTGTTGTACTCCACATACGCCATGTCTTCACCGCCAGCAAGACCGCTGAGTGTCGCAGCGCTGCGTTTGACGCCCGTTTTCTTGGCTTTCGAGCTGCGTGGGCCACCTGAGCGCTCGCCGAAGAGGTCATCCGTGACAAGCTCGACTTCGGCGGAGGTTTCGTTCTGTAGCATGACTTCTTGAAGAAGTTCGCGGCGTTCAGCTGGGGTGGCGTAGGCGAGTCCCTCGAGGTTCTCGATCCCTTGGAGATGTGTAATGACCTTGAAAGCGTAGCCTTGGTCGACTAGGAAAGCTTGTCGTTTGGAGGAGTAGAACATCTCGTCAGTATCCTTTGAAACGAGGGAGTAGAAAAAGGCATTGAACCCTTCATCATTACGGCGTTTGGCTCGTAGAATACGACCTAGCCGCTGAGCTTCCTGTCGACGGGACCCGTAGTGTGATGAAATCTGGATAAGACAAGTGGCTTCGGGAAGATCGAGCGACGTATCACCGATCTTGGACAGGAAGATAGTGTTGACTTGCTCATTGTGCTGGAAGTTTTCCAGAATACGCATGCGTTCGTTTTGCGGAGTGCCGCCGTAGATATATGCCTTGCCTAATTTCAGAGCGTATTTCTCTAGGGCGTACACATTGTCGGAGAAAACGATGATCTTGTCACCTCTCTTCTCGTGATAGTCAATTAGAAACTGACACGCCTGAAACTTTCGAGGGTTCATGATATACAGCAGTGCCGCTTTTCGTGACTTTTCCCGCATGTATTCCGAGTAAAACTCGGTTGTCATTGGGCACCACACCTCGGCACATTGGACTTTGGCGATGTGGCCCTGTTCCGCAAGTTCCATCCAGTTGGCTTCATATAACTTGGGTCCGATCAAGAAATTCAAATCTTTAATCTTGTCATCTTCTCGAAGAAGTGTCGCGGTTAATCCCAGCTTCGTTTGACAAGCGATGCTAGAAGTGACCTTTCGAAACATCGACGCAGGTACGACGTGAACTTCGTCCAATATCATCAATCCCCACTCACGCTGTGTTAGCCAGTCCATCATCTTCTGAGCATCATAGGATCGCGCTCTCGTCTGTGAAACCATGGAATAAGTAGAGACAATAATACCGGTCGACCGTTTGAATTTCTCCTTATTATCAGAGGTAAAGATGGCAATATCGCTAGGATCAATATTTGACCAGCGAATAAATTCATTGCGCCACTGAACGACTGACATGGAGCTGGTGCAGAGTACAATGATACCCTTTTTGATCGTGCAGGCCGCAGTAATGCCAACTAGCGTTTTACCTGCACCACAAGGCAAAACAATAATCCCACTTTTGGCTCGCCCGTTACCAAACATCTTACTCAAGCTCTTTTCTTGATAGCTTCGAATCTGTGCATTCGGCTTCAGATCAATGTCGAGCGTGTCATTGTTCTTGTCATTTCGAAAGTCGTACTCTTCAAGGGCTGGACAACCCATTGCCTGACATCTGGCCTTTACAGATTCGACAGCATCGTTAGGAATCTGGAAACTATGGACCTGCGCTTGATCATCGTCATCATCCTCATCCCGAATAGTTGCTAAAAAGTCGTCTTCCTTAGGCGCATTTCCATTGACTCCATTCTGCTCACCGGCATGCTGATTGGCCTGCTTCACACCCGCCGCGTCCTTTGTACCAGGAATAACGAGGCCGGCCATCTTAGGAGCCGCCTGCTGTATGATACCCTCAGAGCCCTGGACTCGCTGTGTCCCTATAACATCGTCTTGAAGAAGCATTTGTAACATGGCAGGATCCGTGCTTTCCACAAAGTACTTATTGTTGTTGAGAACCAATTTAATTTTGCCATAGGATTTCGTAAAATCGACGATGAAAGACTGAATTGCATCAGGCAGAGGGGTCTTAGATAGACGATCCAGAAAGTGTATTATATCCTTGGGCTCTAAACCAACGGAAACAGCAGCATACAGACTGTTACCGGTCAAGCGGTATTCATGTAAATGCACAGGGCGAGAAAGAGGCTCGGCGATGGTTGTCAAAAAGTCTGCAGCCTGCGATGCGAGCGGAGAGAAGCTTTCTAGAGTAATTGTGCCTTTGAGAGGTTCGATCCACAGAGGCCGGTTGGCATGGTCGGGCTTCAAAGGAAGGGACGAGAAATCCTTGTACCCGTAATGAGGATCAAACCCTTCGCCAACACTCTTCTGTTTCCTGCTGAACGATTCTAAAGAGAACTTTTCGACCAACTTCTGCGTCTTGTCGTCCTTCTCATCGTACTCGGAATACTCGTCGCTACTGCCAACGTCTTGCGGCGTATCGGGAACAGGAGTCGCTCGTTTCGATGCTCTAGTAGAGCCACTGTCGATGGCCTTGCGCTTAGGTGCCATGGTGCAACGAAGGTATAGTTCAGATCACTGGTAAGTGGCAAATGAATCGACAGGGAAGCCAGGCAGGAGGCATGCCCAAGAACGGCGGTGTCAACTTGGAGGGCTTTTAGCGGCGGCAGGTGGATCCCAGCATTTCCAACAGCGGCAGCCAGCAGCAAGCAGCGAGAGGTATCAGCGGTGAGAGACGAGGATGAAAGAGCGAGAGATGAGATGTGAGATGGCGATGGAAAGGCATCTCTTGGCATCGCTGCCTAGCCGCAACTGCCAGTCGAAGATGTGTGGAGCTAGCCTAGTTGGGCCTAAGCTGTCCGTACAGCTTCCGATCGTCGATGAGCCTTGATCTCTTCAACGTCATAATTTTTGAACCTCAACACTCGCTCAGTCTCTGAGATCCTAATTGACCACAATGAACACAGTGAGAGCTTGCAACCATGCTGAATTATTTGAACTCGATGGCTAATCACAACGTTCACAGATTAGATCTACCTGGTACGACAAAATCTATCAGCTTTGGCTATGCTTCTACAACTGACCTTTTTGCCCGACTTTAGGATTGGATGGGGTGCCCTTTGTGTGGGTAGGTATTGAGAAAAACCTTTCACGTGTGACAAACTCGATCTGATTGTGGTAATACCCAGCCGGGGGTGGCGCTTACTACTTCGCCAAAAAGTCCATCAACGCCGACCGTGCTGTCCGATATGAAGCGGATATGAAACGCAAAGCCCAGCTTGCAGCCATGGAGGCGGAAGATCGTCGACAACAATTCGTATTAAAACCGTCAAGCCAACCGCCTAAACCTACCGACGACCCATCATTACGTCGTGCGATCGACGTTTCGTGGTCTGGAAGAGATGATGTTGCGTCCCCCAGCGCCGAAGCCAGCCAGGATCCCGCTCCGACTCGACACGAGCCAGAAACTGATGAACAAAAATTGCTTGAAAAGTCGAAGTACGAAGCGGCGCAAACCTTCCGACCTCCTCGTGGGAATCGGTTTAGTTGAAGGCCTATCATTTGAAGATAATGTGTATATATATGTACGAGAACCTGCATGGCTGGTATCAATTGACGGCGTTCAGTGTTTTATACCTTCTCCAACGCTTCAATATGGCAAAGAAGATTGGTTTATGAATCATTTCACAATATCTAATGATAATTCCTAGACGACAATAAAACTAAGAGTTTCGTAATGATGAAGCGACATCGAAATCGAGAAGAACGCCTTAATGCAAACCTCCTGACCCTCAAACCTGACTAAAATGCAAATAACGACTCATGAGGAGCCGAATGGTATATGTCGTGATAATCCATGGATGCCTGTACTTCCATATGGAGCGGGTATAAAAGTGCCTTGACGCAGCCAGCTCTGTTACCTGGCTGTCCATGTCTTGAAAATGCAAAAGGGTATTAATAGTGCGCTTTGGTGTGATACAGCACAAAGCCAGTGCGCTTGCAATAGCTGGCCTGGATAAGTGTTTATATAGGACGTCATGATCTAGCGAGCATGGAAACAGAGAGGTGGTAGAGAGCGTGTCCTGTAATGTTCCATCTTAGGATACTATCACGGAGAAGGCTATACAGGGATTACTGACTTATTGTTAGGGTAGCCGGAGTTTCTCTCTCGCGAGCTTTCCAGTGCGGGAGGGACGAACGGCAGAACCACCATAGAAACCAAGCAGGACGAAGCCACAAATCGTGAGGTACGAGTATCTGGGCGTGGGCGGTGCGCTGAGAAATGCCGTACCGAGCTGCGGATTCCCTGGGCAGCGATTGCGATAGCCATGTTGCGATGCTTTTCAGGTTGTCTTGAACTAGAAGGAGGCTCACTTCGGAGGCACGCCCGGGCAGTGGAATAGCGGATTGTTTCTATTGAGAGTGAACGGGCAACTACAATAGTCAGGAAGCGAATCAGTACAGAAAAAATATATCCCATTTCCATGAAGTGACGAGGGACACCGCCCCTTCATAAGGAAGGCAGGCCACACGATCAGCCATCGATCGACCGAGAAATCGGCATTCAAAGCGTGTCGGGAGGGGCCGGAGTGGGGACGGATTCTGCGGGGCCCAAAAACAAAGCGCTTGCTCACCTGGTCCGGAAGAGGGCTGCCCGCTGTGAGCAGAGAGGATTATTGCGGGCTGTCTGGTATAGAGGAGAAAAAGAGAGAGAGGGACGAAACAGAGACGTATTTAACAAGGCAGCCGTGGTGCCTGGCGACGTCTACTGTTAATTATAGAATGGCCGTGATGGGGCGCTCAGACTGGCAGCCAATCAGCAGCGCGGCATTAATAATGATGGCTCTCAGCCGACTTGCTTCTTCCAGAAAATTGCGCCACAAACCCTAAGATTGCATACTTCAGTCCTCCAAGGTGCGTGAGAAGGCCTAAGGGGATGGGCTAGCTTGGGGACCTTTGCAGCAGCGGTTGGGTCTGTCATTTGTTACTCTTACTTGATGCTGACAGAGCAATTCTTGAATCATCCACCAGAGCACCTTCGGGGCCGATACATCTCCGCCAGAGGCTCGCATGTCATGATCGGAGAAAGTCATCCCCCCATAGCTGCAGCAGTAGCGTGGTTTGTATTAGTCGTGCTTTACCGCCGTATCCAGCCTCTGGTTATGATGATAGTATGCTGCTAATGCGTGTATATCTTTTATCATACTTGAGGAACAGCGTAGCAATACAATACACCAAGAGTCCTCTTGTGACTGTACATATACGTACAGGGATCTCTTAGATCAGAAATCGCCTTAGAGAGCTAATATAGACTAGTCCTGTGCACCAGTAACCACTGAATAGGATATCCGGAACGACAGATGTCGGGATGAACGCCGTCAGCCACCGGCCTCGTCGGCGCGATAATCAATGCCTGAGGCCGCCATGAATCACGTGCTGAGATCCTTTCCATGTGGGGACGGAAGGAAGCGTCCAGTGTCCAGCGTCCAGCGTCCAGTTTCAAGCTTCAAGCTTCAAGCGCCGCAATCGCCTGTCAGTCAACCCCGAGGCCGTCCCTATTCCCAGCAATGGCAGCTCACCAACTCGCCATTGCCAAGGCCTCCTTCTCCGCCGCGCTCTTGCGCCCGGATCCATCTACAGTTCCGCGAGATGACATCGTGGCGTTCCACGCCTTACTCGACAAGGCTCTGTCGCACTGCTCGCAAACCAACGTCCAGGTCTGATCCGTTATTGTCCTTTGGTAGCTGTGGTCGAGATGTGAATACTAAAATTTGGCATGTGCTGGTGATTAGACTTGCAAGGAATGGCTTCTCCATTATGTCGTGTCCTCGTCAAACAGAGCAAATGTACTGGGCAAGTATTTGGCCGCTCTGTCGGAATCTTTCAAGCCGCCATCACAGCAGGAGGAGCAACCCGGTGGCCGAGGGCCGCCTGGGAAACGATCCAGGCTCCACATCTTATACTTACTGAACGACATCTTCCACCATACAAAGTACCATACAAATAACGGCCCTGGTGCCTTTGTCGCCTTCAGCGGCGCTCTGCAACCCCATGTTCTGGAGTTGTTGGGATTCGCGGCATCATACGATCGCAATAAGAACCCGAAGCACCACAGAAGACTCGATCAGCTTCTGGATATATGGTCCAACCACGGATACTACAGTGCCGATTATATTGACAAGCTACGAGAGGCGGTCAAGAATTCGGAATCTATCGACGCGATCAAGGCCTCGGTAGGTCTCTTGGATGGTGTTGTCGATGTCCAGTCTAAGGGTCCACGGCGAGATGCACCCTACATGATGCCCGCTACTCACGGGGATCCCTCATTACCCTATTATGATCTTCCGGCTGGAAATTTCGTACCTCACATTATTCCGGATTCTACCGCTCCCATCAGACCAGACATGGTCAAGCCATTGCAATTTATGGCTGGCCCAGCAGATAAAAAACTTGTTGATGCGCTGCAAACATTTTTCAACGATGTCGACAGGATATATGGGGTGTCTGGTTTTGAGTCCAGCGAGAATACTGTTATTGATGTAGACGAGTTGGGACAGCCTGTTCTGAGGAATGAGAGAGGAGACATTATGGCCGGAGACACCTATTACGGATGGTCACGAGACTTCTGTGTGCAAATGAAAAAGCGAAAAGCAAAGGGTTCTTCCCGGAGTCGCAGCCGTAACCGCAGAAGCCGTTACTCAGATAGCAATTCTAGCGACTATGATCGAATATCGCGTTCGCGTTCACGATCTAACTCCCGGGATCGTCGGCGATACTCTAGATCGCAATCCAGAAGTCGGGCTAATAGCCACGGCCAACCTAGCCGAAGATCTAGGTCTCGGTCAGAATCATATTCTCCAAAGCCGGCTACTCCTCCCTCATCTTTCCCAAACCCGCACCAAGGCTATCAACAGCAACCACCCCAGCCTCCTTATTCTTTCAATCATGGTTCCGGGTTTCCACCGCCGTACAACGGAAACATCCCACCTCCACCACCACACAATTTTACCGATCATCGGCCACAGCAAGGCTTCCCACCTCCACCACCTCCTATACCCTCCTTCCCTCAAAGTGCACCGTTGATGCCACCGGACACGTCTTCCTTTCCACAACCATACCAAAACAGAAACCAGCCTGGTCAGTATGGTGGCCCGCAACAGATGCCCCCTGGCTCGTTTCCCCCGCCATGGCAAGGTGGTCACCAAGGGGGATACAATCAAGGCAACGGGAGATGGTGAATCGATGTGTTATAATATTAACATAGCAACTTTTTTAATGATTATTACGTCATCCATGACGATGATATATTCTCTGATCTTTCTCTCCTTCTCAATATTGGTATTAATTACACAGATTCCGCCAATGCATTCTTCCAAAACATCTATACGAGACAATCCAAATTTAACCCATCAATTACCTGTACTTGATATCCAACATGAACTCCGAGACGCGCCTTGTTCAAAAAACCAAGCAACAAGACAACGATTGAAACAAACTTTTTTTCACCTTACACAAGCGGTTCACAGCTCATATACTCAGAGCCCAGAATTGGCTGTTATAACAGACAAAAAGTTAGCTCATCTTAATCCACAATAATACTACTAAATGGCTTGAACAACTTACAATTGTTTCTTCAGTACAACAGCTCACAACCTCATCACAGACCTCATCATCTGCCAGAGTCGCACAAGTCAGGCCCACAGGGTTAGATCTGGTGCTATCCGACTTAAGCTTGCTTAGATGCAGGCCCGGAAGAATATCATCGATAATCTCCAAGAGACCATTTGATACTTGTTGCAGGGAAGTGCAGCACTTCCGCGTCGCGCTGGCAGGGCAAGTCTGTTGAGAGGACGACACCGACGATTGCTCTGGTTCTTCGGATGCCGTTGGCGTGGCGCTGGTGCTTGCATCCGTGGGGATAACAATATTGTTTGTCTTTGTCAATGCGGAGAGGTCTGGCGTCGGGACCACGAGTGATAATGTCGGGGTCGGGATTGTGAAGAAGAAGGAAGATGATAGGAGGGAGATCTCGATCACGCTCGGCTGTGTTTTCTTCGTGGTCGAGGTTATAGTTGGAGTTGCCGATGAAGAGGCCTGGAACGAGGAATGAGGAGCTATGGCCGAATCCGAAGTGGGGGAGGATGACAACGTGGTGACAGGCCTCATCGTCCCTCCTCCTACTATTGGATCAAGGAACTGCTCCACCCTGGGTGTCAGCAGCGGAGTTGGATGGACAGTAACAGTTTTGAAACTTGTCACCGTCGCCGCCGGGGTCGGGTTAGGAGAAGTATGCTGTAATCGCTCGTTTCGCTGGTGGTATCCTTGGCGAGGCTCGAGAATAGGACTGTTAGTGTGTTTGTTGAAGGATGGGAAGGCAGGGTATATCCTGAAAGGGGCTGCGTCAACAGACACCGAAGATGTTGAGAGGATAATTGCCAGGGCGATGGCGAGGGGGGAAGGATGGATCTGCATTTTGCTTTGGAGCTGATTCTCTGTATGATTTTCTGCCCTGAGGAAGCTTGTGCAGTTACAAGGTATTTTGATGATAGATAATTTTGGTTTGGTAGATAGTTGAATGATTGGTACAATCGAAATAAGCAATGCTGATCTCTTGTTGGTCTTGTGTCTGTGACTTGATAGACTGAATCATATCAATGGGGATCATGGCTGGATAAATAATGGAATTGATCAGCGCTGATACTGAGGAGGCAGAAAGATGTATTCCCAACCTCTCAATTTTATTCTTGCTAGTCTGTGGTACAGATAGTTGCCATTTTAGGTAATATAAGCCATATTTAGGGTATGCGGAATAGAGTTGCGGTCGACCAGCCTCAGCCGGGACTTGTGGCGTCGTGGCCAGGATTTTCGGGCGCTCTAGAATAAACGAATAACTAGGTTTGGTTCTACGGACATGGTAGGTTCAACCAGCCTTTCGATTAATAGTTTCTCTTTGCCTGCTTTGTGGTGGCTTGCCCCTTTGCTGTGGCCAGTCTCGACCATATTAGGCTGCATGAGGAATGCTATCAACCTCAATAATTACACACAGAGCCAATAGTGTACTCAGGAAGAATGTTAACGCATAACTTGAACTCCTATTGTCATTTCCTATTGGTCTTTCACTCACGTGGCTTACATTCCACGGTAGTAGCATTCCGCAAACTATTGATGGGCTTGAATTACTCTTCCGGAATTACGATACAGCAGAGTAAAAAGTAACAACTAATCTATGCAGGACCTAAAGACCTACCCAGTAACGGGTCTTCTCAACCGCGAATGGTGCAGAGAGTGTTTCCTGGCCAGTACCCGTGATGAGAACCTTGTATTCGCCCTTTTCAGATGCCCATGACTGGCGAATTTCATCCCAGAAACTAGTTGCTAGTTTCTTCTCCACAGTGATTTTAACATCCTTCTTTTCCCCCGGTTGGAGAAAGACCTTTTTGAACCCTTTCAACTCGCGGACTGGTCGTCTGATGCCCGTCGTTGCTGGGTTTTCAACCCAAAGCTGCACGACTTCGGCGCCTGCAAGGGATCCTGTATTTTTGACCATAATGGATGCAGTTACTATTTCTCCATCCTCCAACGTATCCTTCTCAGAGGCTACATCCAGAGACAGATTAGATCGCTCAAAAGTAGTATATGAAAGTCCGTAACCAAAGGGGAATAGAGGCTGGACACCCGTTTTTTCGTAGTAGCGATATCCAACATACACGTCCTCGCCGTATAACACGCGGCCTCTTTCGGAGCCAAAGTTGAGATATGATGGATTGTCTTGTAGACGAACGGGAAAGCTCAAAGACAGCTTTCCAGAGGGATTCACATCGCCATACAAAACGTCAGCAAGGCCATTGCCCAGCTCGTTTCCTCCGAACCACGCTTGAGCAAGGACATTGACTTTGGAAGCCCAAGGCATTGTAACGGGCGTGCCACTTTGAATCACGATAGCAGCATTGGGGTTAGCATCGAGTACGCGTGAGATCAGCTTGTCTGTTCCAGGTGGAAGATCCATGGTCTCTCGATCATGGCCCTCAGTTTCCCATTCACCGTTCAAACCAGCCACCACAAGAACTTGCTCTGTCTTCGATGCGAGATCAACAGCCTCCTCTATAGATTCGGCCAGCTCACGACGCCTAGAAACCCCGAATGCAAATCCGCCAGGTCCAAAATTAACGACCCGGGTATCGTTCAATTTTGATGTAGGCCGAGAGCCAAACTGGACAAGAATCTTGTAGGAAATACCAGCTTTAAGCAACCTCGAACCCCGCTCCTCTGCTGTAGCGGCACCAAAAAAAGCTGATCCCTTTCTTTGTTTGGTAAAATTGTCCACAACGAGTTCGCCGTCAACGAACAGCTTCCCTGTGCCAATCACGGTCACGCCGAAATCGTACAAACCGTCCTCTTCTGGAGTGAAGTTTCCTTCCATGTCAGCGTAGAACAGGTCAGATTTGACTTCAGTATTTTTATAGTCGGCAAGGAATCCAGTGGAGTTGACTAGATGTAATCGATCAACCACCTTGCGATCCTTTTCCTCGGGAGATTCGTTGTATACCTTGAAGTCGAAGCCCTGTTTCCCATCATTCGTTTTAAGATGCGGTCCAAGAGGAGGTAATGATTGATGGGCATAAGTGCCCTGTGCAAAGGCGATATCGGCCTTACTTGCCTTACTGACACCCTCAAACGGAGTCACCGCATAATACGGTGGTAGAGATGCCGAGCCGCCTCCACAGTATGAGGCAACTTTGGAATTGGGCCCAATGACTGCAATTGGTTTATTTTTGTCAAAGGGGAGTACGCTATTATTGTTTCGTAAAAGCACGATAGATTCAGCCGCAGCTCGTCGGAGAAGTTTCTGGTCGTCAGGCCGATTGAGCTCCTTCTCCCCAGCGTTTTCGGGGATCCCTGACTTATCCGCATAATTAATCAGATTAAGCAGATTTCGGACTCTTTCATCTAGAACATGATCGGGGACTTTTCTAGATTTCACTGCGTGAGTAAGGATTTCTCCACGCCAGAGAGTAGGGCCGGGCATTTCGAGGTCAAGCCCAGCATTGACAGCGTCAGCAGTACTGTAGGTGCCGAACCTGTAAATAGCGTTAGTCTTAGTCCCCTACCGCATAATAGAAAGTTTGTCCATACCAATCACTCATGATGAGCCCGTTCCATTTCCATTCCTTGCGCAATATATCCTCAAGAATGTTACGGCTTTCACTAACATGCACCCCATTGACCTTGTTATACGCGGTCATGAAACAAGCAGTCTTACAAATTCGTAGCGCCAGTTGGAATGGAAGCAGATATATTTCCCTGAGAGCTCTCGCTGTCACAATTGTATCGACAGCCAGCCTTTCATGTTCCTGGTCATTGCACACGAAATGCTTAAGCGTGGCACCGACGCCTTTCGACTCTACGCCTTTGCAATAGTAACCAGCGAGCGTACCTGACAGTACCCCGTCTTCTGCAAATGATTCAAAGCCTCTACCACCGAGAGGCGATCTCTGGATGTTAATCGTTGGCCCTAACAAAACATGGGTGCCTTTTGCCCTGGCTTCGTCACCAAGGAGCTCCCCAATCTGTTCTAAAAGCTCCACATCCCATGTTGAACCCAGTGCGGTTGAACATGGCAAGCAGGCGGCGGGAACACCATTAAAGAATCGTGTGCCGCGGACTCCATTGGGGCCATCAGAGAAACGTACGGCAGGGATGTTGAGGCGTGGAATTGGCACGGTATGCCAGAAATCAGCACCTAGTCAATTGTCAACGCTGTTGGTTTTGCTTCTTTCATGAGGATCGAATCATGGCAGAGGGTACCAGCAGTGAGAGCGGTCTTTTCTGACAAATCCAGCTCTGAGAGCGTCTTCTCAACATCGATTTGAACCATTGTTGCGATCTATAGTGATAGTCGTCGTGGGAGCATCGGAGCAGCGAGTAGTTGCAGGTATTTAATAGTCAAGCGACGGAGTCTCTGGAAGAAGGGCCTGTGGGCGGCCCATCCGTCGAGTTGGCCCATTGGACATGCATGCAGTGAATTGTTGTTGCTGTGAAGTTAACTATTCATGCAAGCTGGGCGAGTAGAAATGGATGCCGAAGATTAGCCGGGACCCCGCAGTGCCTTTCGACGCAACGTCATTGGCCGCTCATTCCGCGGAGTATCGGCTGGTTTATGTTATCCGAAAAGCGAGCTCTAGAGAGCTTCACTCTGTCAACTTCTCTTCTTCAATTCTTTATCCTGATATGTGATCTCAATTAGTGATTCATTGACAGGCTGTGGTAGTAGCTGCTCTGGGCCTGCCCAATGGATTTACAAGCGGCGGACCGCCTTGCCTTTGGCGCGTAATCACAACTGTTGCTGTTGCTTGCTATGCCACCATCAGACGAAAGAAAACGAATAAAGACAGCCTCATATATACATTTTCTTTTCGTGCAGGGTAATCTGCTAATAACAACTAGTACATCATAGAATATACGAAACTGACTAATCGAACCGGTGTTTCTTATTCCCGTTTACTTCATTATCACCAACCAGCTCCACGAGGACAATCGGAGCTGTCACAATTTTCGTTGACATCTTTACACCTGACCAGAATGAGACGCTGGACACGAGGCTGTAGATTAGGCCTTCAAAATTTCAGTGCCGTATGAACAAGGCCCAAATGATTCTCAAAGCCAGGCAGGTCGATACCACTATTGATGCTGCGATCCACACAAATAGCCGATTCTTTACCCAAATTGACTAATCATCAAACCTTCTTGCAGAGAATTTCACAGAGTCGGTCGCTGAACGTCGAAAAATAGGTTTAAATAACAACTCAAACTACCTTATAACCATTACTCAAGCTACGACCTAATAGAGACCCATTTGATCTATGCCAGTCCCCATTGACCCCTTAGCAAACACGGTAAGTGAAACCATCAATTCCGACGTCATTCCATTCTTCCCTGGTCAGAAGGCGATGTCATCTTACGACATTGTTTCTCCACCACATTTGCCATTAGAGAGACCAGGAAATGGGTGGCGCTAAAAATACACACACCTCCTTTACACATTGACATCAGGTGGATCAAACTATGTATCATGGTGTGATGAAGACCCGATAGTCCTCTTCTATAGTATGACTAGGGGTGGAAACCAGCAAGAAACTGGGTATATTGAGGCCATGACGAGGCCACCACGGAGGAATTTGAACGATACCCGCTCATCCATGAAGCGGTCCCGGCCGATCGCATATCAATGGGCTATGATCATCTCTTCTTTGAATTAATGAATATTGGTTGGACGGTATCCACATGACGCTCGCTTAGGTCAGTTGATGATATCCTTAAGCCCCAAAATTCTGCGAGACGTGGAAGACAGAGTCAGAAAATACGACTAACACGCGACAATAAAACTGCAAGTGGAAACGATATGAATTATGTTGATAATTCAATAGTATTGAATGATGTTCAAGCCTAGACCTCCGCATGGGGAGGCCAAGCACACACACACTATTGCTCCTCGCTAGACAAGATTCCAGCCATGACGTTTTGTCCAACCTATCCAAAGGGACAGAGTACTCCACAAAAACACCGCCGATCACATACCCTGACATTAGCAGAAAAGGGAATATGAAACTTGTAGCAGAGATAACGATAACCCTGGGTACTATGCGCTGACTCTTTATTTCAGACACGAACATTGGTCACGGCCAGTCCTGATGTCAGCGGAGACAGAAAAGGTGAAGGGTAAGCACCGTATCATACGCAAAAAGCCTATTACCTTCATAGGTCTGCCACCCATTTACTCTTGATACGTGTGCTAGAAAGTGCGGCACTATCCCACACAGGCTGTACTTTCATATCTAGAGTAGGATGTAGTAGTGATGTATTTCAGAATAATCTAAACCTCGTAGTCAATTTCAAATCCATTAATTTATTGGTGGGATTGGCATAATAACCTACGAATTCGCATCAATTCAATGTTTGATATGTACGTCAATTAATTTTACATATGTAAGAGACCGCCAGTGGCTTTTACCCATGGTGTTGTCATTATTATGATAAAGAAGCATTGAAATTGACCTAGAAACCATATCCAGCTACATATGTCGTTATGTTAACCTAACCCAAATCCTTTTGATCCTTCCCATAATAATACAAACTGGTAGATTTACATCTCGATCCAGCGAGGCAACATCATGCAACAGGTCGTAATGTCATAAACAAATCATAACTCGCTCACCGAATAAAATTTCAAATGGGATAAATGTGTATTTTTATTGTACGAGATGAGTCTCACAAGTATCCGCATCCTATCTGGTAGAAAGGGAGGCTGTAGACTTTCTCGACTGCGAAAACACAATGAAGGGGGTAATATCGAATGCAACGCAAATGAACACCAGGGTGCGGTGTCCCTATGCTGGATAAAAACTCACACAAAACCTCAGCGATGGGTTCATTCAAATGAGTTGGACGAACAGTCGGAGGCTCCTGAGTTGGAAAACGAATTGAAGGGCTAAGCGAATGACTAAGATGTCCAACCTACTGGTGACGGACAATACCGATGTATGCGTAAAAACTCCAAATCTGACGCCTCGCTAGGACGGGTGCGACAAGTCAAAGCGTGTAGAATGGGGTTTGATCGCAGGTACTGCAGCTATTCCCATTCCACCAACCTCGATGCCTTACCATGTCCCGCACCGCATACTTTCTCTCATTCTACATCTTCTCATCCATAATCGAAGGCACTTGGTGGATTAACGAACTCGATAATCTAAAGGTTGTCAGCTGGTTCACATCACGTATTGAAAGAATGCCCACCGTAAAAGAGCCGACATAGCAACATCAAGTTGCATTTAAGTGCGTTTATCTTTAGATGAGCGGCCAGATCCACTTCGCCTGGGAGGAGGACCGTTTCCAGCGCTGGCCATGTTGGTGACGGATGACGAATTGCTGTGGCCGCTACTACCACTGGTAGCGCTGCTGCGGCGATCACCGAAGTCGCCATTGTTGGTGAAGGCAGCCAACTGCTGTTGAGTATACTGCAGCATGACGCGGTTGTAGTCATCAATAGACGCAGGAGGATTCGTACTTCTATCGAGACCTTGTGCGTCAAGGCCCGGAGCACGACCGCTCATATTTTCGGTGGGCACGCCGCCGCCTGCTTGATCCAGGGCCATTGGGGGAAACTGCATAACCAGATCGGTCTGGACATTGTCAGTAAGCTGTCCAACATAGTACAAGACATTTCGTGTGGCATGTGGTCCGGCGCCGAAGGGATACCGTCTGGCTGTCAAAGGTGATATTGACAAGCACCACAGCCTGTCTAGGTCAAGACTTGATGGGAGTAAGGGGTACCTAACAATTTACTTGACAAGAGTCAGTGAGATAGCAGCAGAAAGCTAGGTAGGGCATAAATCTAGCGGCGAGCGGATGTTAAGAGGAGATAGAATCGATAGATTGCTAGGATGACCAGCCCAGGGCAAGACAGTATATAGAGGAAATCAGGCGATAGTGAGGTACGAAGAGTGATAGAATGGACCACAGAGAGTGACAAGCGAGCGATGCCAAAGTCTTTAACCTTCGCATGATGAGCGGGCAGGCGCAGCAGCGCGCACGGCCAATGATGGGCGCGAGAAGGGCTGCTCTACAGCGGGCCTGGCCAGCACGAATCAGACAGCGCGCTGGCAGGGCTCCAGGGGCTCGTCTGTTGCTTACACTGCCGTTCTGCAGCAGCGACATCATGGGCCGCCACATGAATTCATAGTGGGTGCGCCGCCTGTTTGTCTGTCCAGCCAGCGGCCTTGCCGCCGTCAGGACGATGGATCTAACCATCACCTACGGCCCACTTGACGTGCTGACAAGTCTGTAATCAGTGTAATGGTATCGAGCATCCATCTGCAGGCGCAAGGTGGAGCTGCCTCGAGACCCTCGGAATCTCACGACATGTGGGATGAGGTCATGTAGGGACTTTCTCACGGCAACGTGCTTGGGTGGGCTGAGACGATCACCAGACGACATATGTCACAGTTCACTGAGTACTCACAGCGTAAATAGTACTGGCGGGCTTACTGATGTGCGTATCCACCGTTCTCCTCTCTGGCCATGCATCCACCGTCCCATCCATACGAACTCGGAAGCAGAAGGCTTCGAAGGAGTGGAGATGCCGGCCATCATTCACTCTCCTGGGCATGGACTGGCGTCATTCATACCCACTCGTCGACACTAGTGGGTCTGCAGCGTTCCGATCAACATTTGCAATGCATAAAAGATCGCATAGTTTATATAGCGTCTGCAGCAAGCGACAAACTGATAGACGAGTGCATCAGAGCAGAAGCTTTATACCAAGAGATGATGCTCGCAGTGTATCAGTTATATCAATTATATCAATTATTACTACCATTAACGGAGCAAATGGCTGCATCCTGGGGCCTGTGACGCATGTCATCCATCTGATCTACAGCACTCGTCACGAAACCTTACATCGCCCTATCCTACACTCGTCCTCCTTCTCAGACAATGAACACAGTTCACGACGTCGGGATGGAGACTTCTGGCGATGTCGATAGTAAGAAACTGCGAAGTAGCCTGCGGTTATTGAGGACTGGCTAGAGGAATTGAAGTGACGTAGATGTGCTTTCCCCATATTGGCGGGCGTCGACTAGCGCAGCGTCTGACGTCAATCTGCATTATTTGCCCTGCCCGCTTTGGGCAACGAGGCGCCCCGGATTCCGGAAGCCATCCCATTTTGGGCGACGCCATAACAGGGTATTTCTTGATGTGGATAGCGTCTCCAGAACCTTATCCCACGCACCAACGACGGAAACAGCGCGAGGAACGGCCCAATAGGATCCGCTGTGGCTTGCTAGCCCCTTTTCCTGAAGGCGATCAAAGCATGCTGTTCCAGCCACTGACCGCAAGCGGTTATCTACTCTCCTCCTAGGAAGCACTAAGTAATGAGTGCTTGTCGTCGTCCTGAGCGGGCCGTACACTAGTAGTATTAGGTGCATGAGTTTGTGGATTCGGGCGTCCCGGAAAAGCATATCCGTTGGCTCGGTGCCGATCATTTCTCTTTGCGTGTTCCTAACCTTTGGTGCCTCATTAACATGTATTATTGACAGTGCTTGGGTGTTGGATTTAATGACCAACAGTCCAGCCGTGTCGTTTCTACTTGCTAATTTTATCTAGAATGCACGACATTGTACATTGGAAACATGTGAGAAAGCTGCGCCCTGATTAGCTACTGAATAGACTCCTAGTCAATGTCTCCACAACAGGTTTAGATAAGGCTTTTGCAGGGGACGATGGTGAGTTCCAGGATTAGCAGTGAACGCAGACACAATTAACGGATTAACCACTTTCAGATTTGCTCAGTCACCTACCTTATGCTGTTGATGCTCGTTTCTACTCATATAAAAAGCACTACAATCCTACATGACTTCCCAATACCTCCTCTAGAACTAGTAAAATTACTAAAAATTCCCTATTAGATGCGCTCAGGCGGCGCAGCGACAATGAAGGGACGTCGAAAATTGAATGTGAAGACTAAACCTGGAAGGGACGGGGCTATTTTGCTCATTCTACGCTTCCCTGGCCAAGTGTTCCCGTCCTACATTGACATGGGCGGCGTTGTGTTGTCCCTCCTCAGCCTCAACACAGCACAATTATTTCAACAAATTATCTAATCAACGCTACGTCGAAATCACTAAAAGCCATTTATCATCTACTCAAATGATACAAAATTACCGCTCTTGCCACAATGCAGCCATGGGCTGTGCTGTCGACCCATTCGTGCGTTCAGCCAGACTCGGCGATGAGACGGCCATCGGCATGATCCATGTGCGTCGTAGCAGGAAACATACCAGGACTGCATGCCTCGGGGCTTTCTCGACGGGTTGGATGTGAGCCAGCGTGTTGAATTCTGGCGCCAGCGGCTCCTCACGACATCCACCACTGCCAATCAGGGGAAGAAACCCCCGAAGGGGCGTCGTTGTGGTGGTCGATGAGTCGTCACGGCATCAAGATGGAGGAGAGGGTATCGTTGGTTTCGCCATGTTTGGCCCGTCCCGCGACGCCGACGCGGAGGATGACCAGCGACATATCGGCGAGGTTGACGCAGTATACCTACGCCGTGAATGGACTAGCAAGGGGTTGGGACGGCTCCTGATGAACGCGGTAGTTACAGGGCTCGCACAGTTCGGGTACGAAGAGGCAACACTGTGGGTTCTGGACACGAACGCACGCGCAAGGCGGTTCTACGAGGGGGTGGGCTGGGCGGCGGATGGCAGTGTCAAAGAGGACTCGATCAGGGGTAGATTTACCATTTGCGAGTTGCGATACTGGCGGTCGCTCGTGGAGACATCGATTCGGGCTGAAATCGATTCTTTGTAATTTTCCAGGAACGCAAAGAGTATTTGTAGATCGCAGCCTATCTTCGATGTCTATCCATTGATCGCCAATATAGTTCAGCCACAATCCGAAGACATACTATCCAGAATGCATAACTTAGGCACTTCCTACCAGAATCCACTGATGTCAATCGATTTGATCTTAAGGACGCGTATCCGGGGATTATTATAACCTTGTTATATTCTAAGACATACCAATAAAGTCTCTGAATAGATATATACTGCTCCTAAAATATATTAGTCTGCTGATTCCTATATTGAGCTGTAACACATTGTCGAACTTTTACGCGTTAGAACAAATTGATTTTAGTGGCAAGGTCGGTTGGATTATGATATATAAGTTAGGGGTATGGGATGTCATGGTACTGAAACCTATCTTCCTCTCTTCATCGTCACACCTGATGATATTGCCGTATTTGCCAACTACTCAGAACGCAATGAGAGGGTATTATCTCCCAAAGCCCGCAGGTTTCGGGAGCAATTCCATGGAGGGCGTTTGCCCAGGTGCCACTCTCCCTGTCACTATTTCTACACAGGTAAGAAATATGCATTGAATAAGTATTCAAATGTATTTTATTCTGAAAACTAAAATTATAAGTGTAAATCATAAAATGCGGCGTGGGCTGCTCAGCTCTAGTCGACAAACTAGTCATGCTCGTTTCTCGTTCCTCGTTTACTGTATTTCAGAGCATCCTGTAGCATCGTGCATTAGATCATTTCCAAAATCTTGTTAAGCATGACTAAAGCATGCCCTGTGCGCTCAATAGTATAATATTTACTAATCTCCCCCAATTACACACAATAACATAACTACCCATGTTATCAAAAATCATTATGTATTCATGAACCCTAATACTCCTGACCACCACGACAGATCTCAACAGTATGAAGTTATTAATCCAGCTACAGCCAGCGGCCACTGCATCGCTTCTTGCCATTCAGGCGGTAAAACTCTCTGGATCGCTAGGATTTCTCTATGCGGGATATCACCCACCCACCACACCGACTGCGCCCTACTCATGAGCGCAAAATACATAGCAAGGATAACCAGCGCTCGCGGTCGCTGCTCCTTGACCAGCTGAATGAATAGGTTGGGCACGAAGATGGAAAACCCCATGAACCGCCGCGTGAGCGAGAACACGGGTTCGTTGATGTAGACAGCTTCGTACATGCTGCCGATATACCCGAGTGCGTCCTCGTACGCTTCCCGGGCAGTGTAGTCTGGCGCGTCCACGGTATAATCTAAGAGAACGGGAAGCGGTAATATATTCTCTTTCGAGTAGAGATTATCGTTTCGGAAATCTGGCGGAGCGTTTCGCACCATCAGCACTGCGGATGATGGCTTATGGTTGGGATTGTTGGGGTCGGGGGCGTTTCTTTGAACTGAGCCTTCTAATACAGCGACTAGAACAGATCTGACGCCTTTGCCGACATGAAGCCAATCGGTCGGCGGAGTATAAGGATCTAGAGGCCGATTCCACAGACAGGAGAAGGAATAAAGAAAATGGAGTAGAGCGCTATACACGATGGATTCGCTATTGACATGGTTCATGTTGGCGACGGCCCGCTGCTGGTCGCGCAGTGCGAGCGTGATGTATACCTGATGAGCATTCGCTACCTCGCCGTTATCAGGCAGAGAGCGCAGCAGATGGGCGCCGGAACAGGCCAGCATCATGTACTGCAGGTTATCAAATTCGAGAGACAGTTTCGGTACCTCTTGCAGCCAGCCTAAAACAGCCGCCGGGGTGGATTTTTCCGCATATGGATTTGTTAAATGCGTCATGAAGTTATGGAGTAACCGCATCTCAAGTTTCCTTCTGGACGCGGATTCCGGCAGATCTATGCTGTCGATGCTGTGGTACATGTTGCCGAGGGAGACCGGGCTGGGCGTGGATGCAGGATTGAATCTGGCCAAATCAGTTGCTGAATGATGACTGTCGCTTGGGGAGCTCAAGGATCGACCTGACAGGGCCATTTTAGAGGATGATGTTGGTTTGACGGCGTCATATATGCAGACTTCGCTGCCAATGCGTATGCAGTTGTTACATCGCGGTCGTTTCTCGTCGCATTTGACGCGGCGAGTCTTGCAGGTTCGGCATCCGCCGCGCGATTTGTGATGGAAGGCCTTTGTTTTGCGGCGCGGTCCCGATGCCGTCGACATATTGTCTATATTCTCTTTATTTACAGTCTGCTCTCTCTCGACGCGATGAGGCCGTGACGGCGTCGAGGAAAGAACCTCACTCTAGATAAGGAGATAAAGAATGTAGTGTTTTATGCGGCTGTAAATTCGACAATACCCTTTTCAGCCATGACTTATATATTCATTAAAAATATATAGGTCAATCTGCTGTTCACTTAAATTTACTTGAAATCTTGCAAATTGGCGGCCGCAGATCAACGCTGTGTCCGTGTTGAACCTGGGGGGCGATGAATTCGGCAAAGCTGCATATGCGCAACGTTGGCGTGCCACTTGGTCTTAACAAAAGACCGTGGAAGTTGGGCCGATATTTTGATTCTTCAGATTGCAAGAGTGACGATTTTGCAAGGATTGATAAAGGGCAGTTTAAAATTGGTAGAGATCAAGAGGACATTGCGCCATAGCGCCGTTTTAATTGAGCCCGAGGCCCCAAGGCTGCAATATTAGTACAAGCTTTGCACCGTCGACCAATTGCAATTAATAGTGCTTATTGCTTTAAGACCAACCATGGACCCCGAATTATATAAAAATTTGTATCAAATCTTAGCAGATCGATTCTTGTATTATATATATGCATTTACAATCTACGATATAGATAAGAAGCCATTCGTGCAATGTTTTGAAATCCTCATAGCAGTGAATGGATAAACCGATGCCTTCTGATCAACTCCAGGTAATTAATGAAAATAAAAAGCCAAAGCTTTCCTCATCCGAATTCATACACGCTAATGTTATGAAAATGAAATCCATGCCCAAAAAATTAGTCCGTCTGATTTTTATCATTATACGTAGCCTGAACAGTGTTAGCATGCAATACTAAAGCATATTTTAATGCCAGTGGGTTTATGCAAGCTCACCTTTCCGCGCGCCCTGGAAGAAAAAGCGCACAATAAAGACTTGCAATCCGGCCATGGAAACCATCATTAGACTCTCGATCACACTAAAGTTGAAGATTCGTCGCTCGGTGCTGCGCACGGTGCTGAAGTTGCGGTTTTCGCGGGTACGGAAGTATTTCTGGTTACGGGAAATGGTAGATAGCATGGTCGACACTTTCATGATTGATTCTTCAATGGTGCTTGATTGTTCGGGACTGGCGCCTTGCTTGGATGGGAGTTGGGCCTTGGATTCGTTTTCAACCTGTGAAGTGTGAATATTAGTATTTGTATTGTAAACTGAAATATTAAGATCTATCGCAGAGCGCATTGTAATGTGCTCTATGTGATCATGCTTAATGACAATGTAGGTGATGATCATACCGCAATCTCAAAGTCCACAAACTTCTCCGCGAACGTCGACATTTCATTGCTGAAGCAAAAGCTATATTCGCCCACACTTTGGGCGGTGAAGACAAAATCGCCCTGTCGCTCTTTCGTGCCTTCCAGAATCACTTTTTCGAGAGGGCCGGTGACCTTGTAATCGATATCGAAGGAGCCGCCAGATTGCACCTGTGCAACAAGACGAATCGAGTCAGTCTGGAGGGTTTGCGCAATTGACACATGGAGAATCGGGGAATATGGCTAATGTCCATCCAAATATAACAATAACTCACAGCAAAGTAGAAGGCCATCTTGGAATCCTGCTGCGTAACGTCGGCGTAAAAACAGGCTTTCTCGCTGGCATCGATTCTGTAGGTCAACGCAGTCGCAGAGGCCAAAGGGATTGCCATGGCCAAAAGGCCGCTCAATATATTTTGGACGCGCATAGTTTGTGTGGGCTCCAAGCTGGTGGCAGTCGTTGCTCGCGAGGGCTCTTATGATCACTTTGTTTGTCTTTCTCCTGAAGCGGGCTTGTCCAGCGGGCGATCTGGACAGTTTAGCACATTCCGTGGTGTTTGCTGCATTTGCACTGTGTTGGTGCCTGAGGCCACAATGTATATGTCAGTCACATTACTTACAGTTACGAGAACGGTAACTGCTTAGCTGAATATCGGAATGATAGCTCTGATAGTCGAAAGAATATTCATTCTGAATTTGCCTGTTCATTTGCACATAAAACATACACCTGCTTTATACACATTTCAGCCTCGCGCACAAGACCAGCTCGGAAGACACATTATCCGATCAGCCAGCAGACAACAGTTCAGATAGTATGACAATATCAACGTAAAACCACGCCACACCACGCCACGCCACTTCATTGCATGTATTGTATGGATCATGGCATCTCCTAAAAACAAACCAAAAGAACGACTAAATAACGCACCCATCCCCCTGCAGGCCGCACACCTGACAACGCCGATGCAGGATCTATCTGATGAAGAAAGATTCACCCCTGCTCCAGAAACTCTTATTCTTATTTACATGGTCAAGACCAAGGAGGTCATCAGAATCAATTGCGACATCCGAGAGAATGTCATCTGGAAAAGTCAGCATGCTTTGCATTGTTGAAAGGTTTTACAACATACCATCTTCGAGATATTTCGTGCCTGTATACATCCCACGAGGCACGACAGCAAATTTTATCTTTTCGAACTGCTTTCCCTTGATGCCTGTGCGTTTCGACAGTCGCTCTTTGGTCTCTTTGAACACTTCGCCCTAGTCACTGTTAGCTGTTGTCGCCGGTGACCCAATACAGATACTACTTACAGGTTTGACTACGAATTTGAAAGGAATACCGTGTGACTTGGTCGGTTCTCGGTCAAAGTTGAACGCATTGATAACTCGTTCATCCTCTTGAATATCGAGCTCCTCGTCAGGAATTCTCTCAGCGTATAGCGATACGTATTCATTCAACCTAGAAATGTCGGAATTTTCGGGGAGCTCTCTGTAGATCTTGCCAGAATTTGCCTCGTAAATTCGTACTTTCTTAATCGTCTCGTCGTCTAGCTCTGCCTTCTTCTGCAGCGCGGCTAGCAGGTCGCTTATAAGGCCAGTTCGAGGAACAAGGAGTTCATAACTCGTCTGACTGATGTTAGCCTATAGTTAAGCCTTCTGGGTTGGTGTTAGACAAACCTCCTTGTTGATTCCTTCGGCTAGCCAGATAACCTTGAGGGACTTTTTGGTTTCGTATTCGCTGAGGCTTGTATCAAGAACTTCATAATACAACGCATCTGGCAAATGCATGCTGTAACCATACGTTCCGTACTGTCCACTGAGAATTTGATACAATGTTTGGTTAACATTGCGCTTGATTGGTTGTTTAGGCTTGCCATTGGTGGCAAGAACTGGAGAGAAGCGAAGATGACTAGGATCTACATTCAAGTGCTCGCCAACTTTCTTCGAGAACTGATCGTAGGTCATCTTCCGGCTTAGGGTAAGAGTAAAATCGTCGCCCTGTCTTTTCAAAGGTGCAAATTTCACGTTCATTCGGTTCAGAAGATAATCATAGTATTGTCTTGTTTCCGTGTATATCGCGGTGGAAGGAAGCCTATGCAAATTTCGAGTCAGAATAGACATCTGATTACTCCAACACGACACTCACTCTGATTCGTTCAAGGCCTTCTGGAAGGTGATGATATCACCATCTTGAATTTCAGATTGCTGGAACGTTTGTTTTGGCTTCATGGGATCAACCATCGTGTGTTTGATTTCCTAGGTCGAAAGTTAAGCATACTATCGTCTGATGAGAGCAGTTTCACAAATACACACCTCAAACAGAAGGAATTCGGTCCCAGCAGGCCAGCCCATCTTTTCAAGAATCGTGGGTGCGAGATCGGACACTTTTTGGTTCTTGCGAACATAAACCGAGCTGATTCCGGTCAGGGTCTGAAGAGAGGCATCGAAATGTTTCAGGAAAATGAGTACGGAAGAGCTGGGATCTGGCCAGGAAACTGTGCCGTCGGGGCCAGGTTCGCCAACTTCCATCCATAGCTTGAAGGCATTTCCTTTGGTAGCAAGTCGGTTCCAGGCATCTTCAATAGTCATTTCTGGGTTTTGAATGACCTGATCCGGTCGTGTGGTTTTGTTTTGTCGGTTTACCATGACCCAAAAGCGGATAGATTTCGGGTCAATGCCTCGTTCTTTGCCAATTTCGTCTGCGAACTCACTGACTTTTTTGGATCGCAAAATGCGATACGGCTTTGGTAAAGCCGGATCACCACTGGGCAGATCAATGCTTGTCAGATCAAAACCATGATGATCTTGGAACGTTTCTTGACTAAGAACTCCGACATTCATATAGAGGTGAGCTTCCTCTTTTTCCTTCTTCCTTCGGGCCAGATCAGCACGCTCCTCAGCAAGACGAGTTTCTAAAAATGGTCATTAGTAAATAAGCTGAAAGAAAATTGCCTGGAGCGTTTTACCAATATGTGAGGGAATATCATCCGATGTAATAGGGACTAGTACATCGTCCAGACGAGACTTCCGAATGTAAACCAACATGTAGGCATTCATGGAGCGCTTCGTTGACAAGCCTCTAGAATACTGTTGTTTCATAGCCATGGTGCCATTTGAGAAATCGTATTCACCGCCGTAGTTTTCTTCTAGAACCTCTTTTTCCGTCGCACGGATCACTTTATCATCATCAAAACGGTAGAAATGGCCATCTTTGGTTGGCTTCAAATATGCATAATAATGACCGGCATTGAAATCACCGCTATGTACGAGGACTCCGTGAAGCTGATACTCCCAAGATTCAGACTTGTCCGCTTCTTCTGAGAGGTAGGGCGTAACGTCAAATTCCATGGGAAAAGTGTGACGATCATTCAATTTCATCATAGCATCCCGATTGATATCATATTCAAATCGCTTCAGGTGGAGGTGAAGTACAGGAGGGAAACTTTCGAAGATGACCCCTTTCCGTGCGTCCTGGAGGCCGTAAGGACTGCCAGCATCGTATTTGTTCTCACCTTCAAGAGTCTCTACCTGGATGTAGTCCTTGAAACTGTCATCCAATGTTTTGTTCCCTCGGACGTTGAGCTGGATATCCCAGAAATCTTCGACACGAGAAGACTCGTAATTGACATTTATGCATGAAAGATATGTTTTCGTTTTTCCGACGAAAAGATCTGGCAGGGCTGTTTCGACGGATGTTCCCTTCATTTTCTGTTCTAGCCGCTCCATCAGTTTTCTGCATAACTCCTGGACATCCTGTTGCTCAAAAATTTGACGGGATTCCCAGCCAAATGAGGCTGTGAGTTCAGTAGTGGATACAGCATTCTCGTTCGTTTGTAAATTATAGAATAACCGCTGTAAGGTCCATGCGCTGTTGGCTCTCGTGGCCTCCTCGTCGGTAGGGATTTTATAGACGGCCTGTAATCATGATTTAGTATTTGCCTTCTCTTTCCATGAATCCTTTTCTTTCTAGTTTGAGATAAGCTGTCCTTACCTTTCTGAAGGCGTTTGTGAAGTATAGTGACTGTAGAAGGGAGTTGAGATAGCATGTTGCTCCTTGGTTGCGTAGTCCTACCATGCCGGTTTCCTTTTTGGAGTCGTAGCTAAATTTGGTCAGATCCTGGTCGTGCCTCAAAGTTATGTGGCAACATACTTTTGGAAGCTATGCCATAAGACTCCAGTAGGGTCCTTGACCACCCGCACATAAGCTGTAACATTTGCCTCGTCATTCTGAACTAGAGGTACACCTCGACTATCAAACTGTATGCTGAAGAGTCTCCGCAGTTCACAAAACCGTGTAAATCCCCAATCCGCTTCCTCGGCGTTGAACCTGTGTGTGGCGACTACGGATGTGTCAGTGGAATTATACCACAGAAAAGCTAGGGAAAAGCGAATGCGTACCATGAGAGACATGGATAGAGGGATCGTTCACATTCCAGAGCACCAAGGCAAACTGGACACATGCATACCAGTTCTCAGGAGGTTCCTTATCCCAAGCTTGCTCGAGATAGAACGAAGCATGGTCGACCTGGTTACCGTAGGGGAAAAAGAGAACACGCCTAGTCCAGTGTCAGTAGGTGGCGGCCCGCCGTAGGTGTGCCGAAGGTTGACAAACCAGGGAGCTCCTCCGCATTCGAAAACAGGCCCATGTTCCTTTTTTTTCAACTTCCGCCAGTCCGTTATATGCCATGTGTTATACGCTTCGGCTTCGATCTCTAGTTCGGGATCCTTTGGAAGGATGCGGGCCATCATAGCCTCATCTGTTTGGTAAGCACGCTGGTTAGGACTCATCATACGACAAAGGGGTATAACTGGTATCAAGCGGAGGTAGGATCGTACAGTCATTTGCGGCTGGCTCCGACTCGGGCTCCTCCTCTGAGCCGGAGCGAGAGACGACGATAACATCGGTGCGGTCATTGTTGTACTGTTCATACTCATCGACGAGCATCTCGCCGTCTCCGAGCTGTCACCGCGGGGGAAAAACACTGACGTCAGCAATCAATCGTACACTTGCTCACGTTGGAGGCAAGACTAAGAAACAGAAGCTGCATCCACCGTGGTTGACGGCACACGTGTGATGGGCGGTGCTGTGGTTGATGTACTTACATGGTCCATGGAGGGTAATGCCTCCGCACAAAGGAATCGAAACGGTCCTCCAAACACCGGGTTGCCCAATCAATCAGCGAGAAAACGGTGGCGCAAGACTGCCAAAAAGAAAAAGCATCGAGAGCGACAACGAGAGCAAGGAGAGGGCTGCACGGTGCAGATGACAGTCCCAGTGTGTAATATGTAATATGGAAGTTAATAGGTCTTTGCTAGATAGTCTTGCCTGCGCAGAAGCCGGAGCTAATGGGTGGCGGATCCACAGGTGAGATCTTCCACCGGCGAAGCGACGGGCTGGTGCGTCTCTCCTGCGCCAGGCGAGCCGTGCGTGTTGCCAAAAAGAAAAACCGAGATAGTCTCGTGTGTCTCGACTCTTGACACAAGCAGCTGCTGTTGGAAACACCAGTCGTACAGCGGTCGTGGGGAGCAACAGGGAGTTTGTGCAGCAGGCCCGGCTCAAGATCCTATTTGCGAGTGGGGTTGCCGTCGCGCCTCGGATGCCCGCTGAGATCATGTAATTACTGACAGTTTATTTGGGATTGTTGACGCTTGTTTGAGATTATACAGCTTCTAGCATCCAGCATCCAGCATCTAGCATCTACTTTCTCTTTGTCTGTATCGGCCAGTCTGCCAATGACGTAGTGCGGGCACCTAGGACAGTCGTGGGGTTGTTTCATCTGGAGAATGAATGATTTATTATAATGGGTTGCTTGTAATACAGAATGCCCTTTGCTTCTTTGATCGCTAGAGGTCGTTCAATGCTATTTTCAAAGGTTGTATTGGATCGCACCAGAAGATAGTAACTCCTGATAAATAACATACTATATAGAGCTCCAGCAGCGATTCCAGTCAATCACGTGGTGCGCAGGAAACAGCTGATCAACCACTGGCGACTCCATTCTAGCGAGTGCATGCAGAAGCCAGTGAGCAGCCTGGAGAAAAGCCAAGCATGCCTAGCAGCATTGGGCCGCAAGGTGTGCCGCAGAGAGGAATAAAAAGAGCAAGAAAAGGGAGGAGTAGTCTTCACATGCTGGCGCTAAGGCATTACTTTAGCCTTCTGACCGCCTTGGCCGAGTCATCTTTACTATACTAGAGTCTTAACTAACTAGCAGTCTTCCTCACACGACCATACCGTGCCTTCTCCTCTTTTCCTCTCGCGACGCCTCACAATGGCTCAGAAATAAATAATTACCCCATGGAACGCTAGAACGCCATGTACGACGCATCGCGCCAGCACAAAACCAGGTCATATTACAAGGGACTTGCCAGGCATCCCCAGCCCGTGAATGGCGAAACAACATGAACCGAGGACGTGCATCTATCTCTCTTCATCTGCGGAGGCGGCGATGTCTGGGAACTCGCGCATACTCGTCGCAATCCCATCAGCCGCCTCCATGGAGACCGGCTGTCGTTCTCGACGAGTAAGTTCGGCTGATCTGTCGTGTTGGAGAAAAGCTAACAGATACCAGATGGGTTGAACGGGGTGTACGCCCTATCAGTCTGCGCCAGTTGACTTTCTTCGGCCGGACCTTGACTGAGTCCCGTCTGATCAGCTCTGCTAATTATGTGCGGACCGAGCTTCCCACGAGGTGTGTCGATAGTTCCCATTAAAGTGAGTCATACCAGCTAACTCGCGAAATAGATTAGCGCATCGTTTGCGCGACATGCAAAAATTACCCTACGTTGTCGTTTCAAACCCACATATATCTATCGTCTACGAGCTATATTACAAAGCATTTGAAAAATTTAGAACGGTCCCGGAAATTAGGACCCTGGAAGATAATGATCACTATTGTGACATCTTACGAGAGACCCTCAAGGAACATCTCACAGTCATTCCCAATCTGGCCATGGGAGTCCTCGAATGCCAGGGGCTTGTGAAGCCCGACGAAATGGATCGGTTCATGAATACCATGCTTCGCGCAGTACGTCTTCTGTACTACCTTTACCACCACATATAACCCTTACTGACAATCAACCTTCTAGAGAATATCCCGTCGAGTTATTGCAGAGCAACATCTTGCTCTCACCGAAACCTTTAATTCCCCATGGCACTTCCCACAATCCGTGGCTAGGACCGATCTCAATGCAGACTTTGTAGGAGAAGTCTTTCTCAAGTGCAACGCAAAGGACGTTGTGGAAGGATGCGGGAAAGTTGCCCAGGAGCTACTGCGACGGAGTTCAGGGTCAACTAAAATCCCTGCAGTTCGCGTACAGGGACATCTCACGGCGACCTTCCCTTACATTATTGGACATCTAGAGTACATTATCGGCGAACTCCTTCGAAATTCCATACAGGCTGTTATCGAGAAATACCACGACAGTCCAAACGATCCCCCTCCAATTGAGGTACTTATCTGCGAGGCCCCTCAGCATGTGATTTTACGCATATCAGATCAGGGCGGGGGTGTTCCCAGAGATGTCCTTCCATATTTATGGTCCTTCAGCAAGGGACCACGCACCCAGGATCGCCTTGAAAATTTAGGTCAGGTTCCAACCATGGCTGCTACAATGCAAGAGCTTGTGGTTCCTATGGACAGGAAACCCCAAAACCGAGAGACATTCCAAGAAGGTTCTTTGTCGAGTCTGAGCTCACGGCCACCGAATCTTCGCTTAGGAATGGGACTGCCGATGAGCAGAGTATACGCAGAATACTGGGCAGGGAGTTTAGAGCTTCATAGTCTAGAAGGATATGGTGTCGACGCTTTTCTTCAGATTTCCAAGCTTGGAAACAAGAACGAACAGGTTACGGCGAGAGCGTCTGTGGATGCAGTCTGAAACTACTACTTGGTTCTTGATCTATGTCAATGCTTATGTACTCATTCACTGCATAATCGACCACGAACTCAGTCATGCATAACATCAAAAACGCAGCCTTCATGACCCGCCTCACGCACATCTGTGTAGACCATGTCGAGTATTATGATTATCCTCACGAATGGCGTAGCCTGTCGACTGGACTTGTTGGTTGCTTAGGCTGGCTTTTTGAAATACTCTGATTTATGGCCATTTCAACGATTATAGCTTGTGAGAACACAATCCTGTGTCGTAATCAATTGAAAGTAAACTATAACATGGGATTAAACATGGAATCAATTGATGGTAGAGGCACGCTTATCGATAAGAGCTTGCGAGATTCCACGAGCCAATCATATCCGGCCACTGTGGCTTCAAGCACTCATATTGTTGTAACTTCTTGCCGCGATCATCTTCTTCCACCAACCCCAATTCCCAAGAGACGCCGACTCTGGCGTTCAACTGCGTCTCGGATATTTAAACCTTACAGGAGATCATCCCACTCAGCCTGCTAATCCCGCCATCTTCCTACCCTTCTCGGCGCACGCAACAGCGTGTTCCTTCGCTCTCTCTCCTGGAATCTCAACCCGCTACGATGCACTCAGCAATCAACCGCGCGCAGGCCGTCTTTGGCTTCTTTACAACTGTCGCATTCTTCGTTGCCGGACTAGCCGCTTTATCTGTGTTTCTTCATCCCGCGACAGACGTCACATCCAGCGTTGAGTTGAAGAATGTTCAAGTGTATGCTTCCTCCGTCGCAACAGCCCGAACCTATTACTCTGTCGATCAGGAATATATGCTCACATCATACTTCTATACAGAATCAAAGGCCGGCCACACTACTACTCAACCAAGCGCGAAGAATATGCTCAAATAAAATTCGACCTTGAAGCGGGTATGTTTAGTTTCTTGCTTCCGTCCGCTGCTATTACTTATATGTGTTGCCTCAGACTTCTCCCCTTTGTTCAATTGGAATACGAAACAGCTTTTCGTCTACGTCTTAGCTGCCTACCCTGCCGCCTCCCCAGCCGGTGAAACCCTTCGGAACTCCGAGGCCATCGTCTGGGATGCAATCATACCCGCCGAAGAATCTCCCTACTCCTTCTCCAACCTCAAAGAACGATTCTTCCCGTCCAAAAAGTCAACTAAGAAAACTAGAAAGAGCTCCAGCAAGAAAGATAAGAAAAAGGAAACGGCACCAGCAACACCCGGTGTCGTGAGCCTGAAGAACCAAAGAGCGAAGTACCAAATCACCGATGTCTCGGGCAAGATCGCAGAACGGGGGAATGTGACGCTCATGGTTGGCTGGAATGTGCAACCCTGGGTTGGTGCTCTGTGGTGGAGTGATGGGACAGGCACGTGGCCCAGGACTGCGGGCGAGGCTGGGAGGAGCAAGTCGTTTGAATTCCCGGCGCTGAAGGTGAAGAACCCGCAGGCCGCAAGCAATTAGTGGGTTATGCTCGATATATAAAAATCAACATGTACTCTTAACTTCGGCTTTGACTAACGGTCGTGATAAAAATTCATTGCATTATTTGGAATTGAATGATAAGTTAACCCATTTGCAGCAAGGGATCAATATTGACTTGCCCAAATTCTCCGCCAACGTTGACCAACTTCAACATGACCAACTTGGACCAGCCTTTCCTAAGCCACCAACCTCAGCTCCCTTAAGTTCACAGGAGATAGAATTTCACATAGTCCCATACGCAGTACCGCGATGTCCGCCCGTCTGGATCCTGTCGGAGTAGACCCCAGTCGCCGGCTTACTGAACACGGTCCCCTGCGCACCAAGATTCTTGCGATGGTAGTAGACGTATTCCAGGTAGAAGGCATGTATATGACCGGGGAAGTACCTGCAGAATATTAGTCACGATATCCAAATATTTCCACCTAGAGACATTTGGAAGTGTCGGGAATACTATATGCATACCCAAGAATCGTTAAGCAAATGTTGATGAGCAGATCAGCACCGCAGCCAGAGATCAAAAAGACACCGACAGGTGGGACTAAAGGTATAATTAGTAAAAAAGAAGATTTAGAGGCTAACTCGAAGGCATACAAAATAAAGTGATGATAATGATGCAGAGCGCTGAGCAGTCCATATTGTGGCTGGCCTTTTTTTTGGCTGTTGGCTGTTTGTTTGGTAGATAATTGTCGGTCGCTGAAGAGAATACGAGAGTTAATAATGTGGCTCTGAGGACTGAGATAGTGTAGTTAGAGTTCCCAGGTGGAAAACAGGGGTTGCATGGAGTCACTGTTTATATACAAAACACCAAGAAGCACTTGACCTCCTGATGATGACGTCATTTGTGACTTCCATTTTTGTCATAACTGTCAATTTTGGGCCGAATATGGCCTAGCGCAGAAAATATGTGGCGGTGTATAGTGTGGCGTTAGGCCTATAGGTCGTTACCGGAAGGGGAAGATCAGGGTTGGGCTTTGTTTTGATAGCTTATTCGCTGCTTCAATGTTGAAATTAGGAGTCTACTTAGTCTGCTCAGATATGTGTTCATGTAAATCAATTATATTGAAAGGGTTGTTTAAATGCCGTCGGAAATAGATGTTCTGAAATAGGTGATCATGTATCAATCTCAAACACCGTCTCATATTTTCTCCATCCTGACGAATTCTTCTCGGCAAGGGCAAACCGTCCTCTATGATAATGCGATATGATGATATTACTTGTCGTAACGAGTCATGATACTTCTAACAAAGGAAAAAGAAACAAAAAAAACCACTTCAAAACGACATCTCAGAACTGAAGCGCAAATTGCTAAACCGCCCATTATTAATGCCAGGACTAGTTGGACGACTTCCATTCCCCCACTTGGGACTGCGAGGTTGTGTGCTTGTGGCTCGCGTCGTTGGGCGGTTGTTGCGAAGATTGCGAAGTTCCTCCTCCTTACGCCGGAGCAGGGTCTCTCGAGATTCGAGGGCTTGCTCTAACTCCTTGATGCGCGCTGTGTGTCTAGTTTCATCGGTTTGCGCTCGTATTTCCCGCAATTTGACCGCCTCTGCAGCAAGTTTATTCTTGATCTCTGCATTTTCTTCCTTCAGCTGGCGGATTTCATTACCAGACTGTGCGGCTGCATTGGACGCGTTCTGGTATTGCTCGCGGGTATATTCAGCTTGCTTCCTCTCGTATTCGGTCTTCCGCTCCAGACTGGCATTGCTGATGGTAAGTTTGCGGATTTCCTCGCGCGCATTCTCTAGTTCTTCCTTCATTCCGCCTTCTGCTTTCAGGTCATTCCTTGCAGCTTCCAAGTCTTGTTTCAACTGTGTACGCTCATCCTTCAGCTTGGTGATTTCATCTTGTTGTCTAGCTAACTTTTGTTCGGTTTTGGTCTTCTCTGTCACCAGTTTGTCACGCTCCTGTCGAGTTTGGTGCACTTCTTTAGTGCGAGATTCGTATCGATGCTGTAAAACTTCCCATCCTTTATCTCGCTCCGCAGACCGATCCTCTAATGAAGACAAGGTAGTCTGCAGCCGATCAATCTCAGCAGCATGGTTCGATTTCATTTCTACTAATTTATTCTCGAACGCTGTCAGTTTCGTAATCAAGTCCAAGTTTTGACTTCCACTGGGGCTAGAATCTGTGACTTGACTAGCTTCCTGTGACACGTGTAGACGCTGCCTCTTGGTATCTTGTGAATCGGTATCCATTGAATCCTACACCACGTCAGAGAATGCTAGTTTGGCTGTCATGTTTAAGTCACTTACAAATAACCGCTTGTTCATAGACAATCCGGCGGCAGATGGTTGCGGTGCATCGAAAGCACTGAGAGAATTTTGAGGTTCCAGAGAATCAGAAACAAGAATATGAAGAGGCTCGATAGTAGGGATATTCCAGCTCGCTTTAAAGTTCTCAGATAAGAGATAAGTGAAGAGTTCCTCGGCGTCCTCCTGCACACTTAACGCATCATCCTGGAGATCACCGAGAAGGTCACGGAGGCTATCAACAATGTGTACGAGGAGCATTAATCGCTGAGTTTCTGGGAGGTCGGGTAAACACCGTTGGATGTGCTCGCTGCTATTTGAAATGATCAAATGAACAACAGGAAGCAAGTTTCCATTGCGCGCGTAGGTAGATCTTAGATGCCCTACAGAAGGGCTCAGCGTATTAAAGGACGAGTCCAGCGCAAGAATAGCTGCTGGTGGTCGGTATGTCTCTATGATAGCATCGTGGTTTGTAGCGTGTATGCCAACGCTAAGTGGCCCGCTTTGCATTGACACTTCGATGTTGCCATGCATTTCTTCGCGTGGTCGAGTATACGTAAAGGCCTTGCCTAGAAAATATCGCTCGACTAGCTCCACGCCCTTTCCCGCTTTTGTCATGACAATGATATGTAGATCTTGTGCGCCGGCAATTTCAATAAGGTGGCCTAGTAAAAGGAACTTGGCGCTTGTGTATTCGGCCCATGATGCTTCTTTCTGAGGGTCGAATTGCGATTGCTTTACGTGTTCTGCGATGTTCAGGTCAGTGTGAAGAGCGATATTGTCAAGCTTTTCAAGAAGTGTTCGAATGTCTGCCAATATTTGACCCTGCTAATTTATTTTTAGTAAACACATTCCTATCTCCTCTCATCATTCTCACCTCAATGTCAGGCACAATATCTCCATCGGTAGATTTGAATCCGGCGAGAAGCACCTTAACAGAATGTGAATGTTCAGCGAAAGCTCGCTCGTATTCATCTTTGCTCCTGGAGTCCATCGGTAAAGATATTGCAAATTCAGATGGGCCCAGCTTTAGCGAGCCAGGGACAACAGTCTCTGCCTCGTCGAATATCGCACTCGGTTGGATAGTCTGCACTTCTGGCTGTTCTGGGAAGAGCAAAGCAGGTGGGACAACTATATCGGCAGCCGCCTCATGGTCTTCGGTTACCGGTGCAGGACGCTTGACATGATCCTCATGCGTCCGAACACTCAATGGCGCCGTCGTCTCTGGGATTGGTGCCACCGGGGCAGGGTCGATATCACCGGCTGATGAGGGCGTTGCACTAGCGCTGATCATTGGATTAGACGTAGCACTGGCGGTGGCACGTAATCGAGCGTGAGCATTCTGTACCCTCTCTCTCGGGGTTGCCCCTGGGATATCGTCATAACGCCCTAGAGCATCAGGGCTCGGTGAGTGTGTCTGAGCCAATCGACTATCCATGGCCAAAATATAGTGTGCCCTTCTCAAGGGCAAAGACGCCACCCAGCCACAGAAAGATAGTTGACCGTTTGAGTCCTAGCGCTTCTCAAAGGTTCTGCAATAATTCAATAGGATATGCTGTGCCGTTCTACCTTCCTTAAACTAGAAGCCCTTTGCTAAGCAGTGAATATGTTGAAAAGCCTCGTGAGCTGAATTCAGAAAAATAAAAACTTTCCCGCGGTTGCTATCAATTGAAAGCCACTTCAAAATAGGTGTCAAGCTTCAGGATTCGAATTTGATCGAGTTACCTGAATCGGTTACTGCTATTTAAGCGCTGGGTGTTTTGATCGCAGCGATAAAGAATAGACAAACTGGAGATTTAACTTTGGCAATCAAGGCTTGTAGAAGAAATGCCACGAAAGCAAATTGCCAATGGTAAATAGCCCCGTCTGTCTGAGAAAGCTGGGTCTTGAATGCCTTCTATCAATGTGATGCATCTACCCGCAGTGCAGTTAAGCGCCTTCAATGATCTGGGGAGCAGCAGTCTGCGACAGACATTGTGAAACTCAAATCAATGTGTGGAGAGAGAATAAGATTTCAGAGCTTCAGAGCTTCAGAGGGTATACGGGACTTTGTTGAAGTAGACGTGAAAGGCGCAGGGCGAACAGTTATCAAATGCAATGCTGGAGGATGGAGAGATGAATAGAAACAAGTACTGAGAGCTCTCACTATCGCCCGGCCGGACTGGGCGGTGATCGCCCGCCATCGCAACTCACGTGCCTAAAGGAGCGGCCCAACTGCTGCCTCTTAGGGCCCGCCACGCTTAATTCTGTTTCTACACCACTACATGTATGTACTGATCAAAGACGCTCTGGATATATTCATTGCGAAGTGCGATCGATTATTCTGGCAAACCTAGGCTCATAACCGTCAAGCTTTCCCTACTAGACTAAGGCTTCGGCCTTAATAGCTCTAGTATGTGGTGCATCTCCAGCTAGACAAACTCTTAACTCGAGTCTCAGCTCAACTGTTGTCAACCCACTAGGTTATCTAGTTTATGAAAACTGAAGACACATACATGCCATTTTATCCCAAATTTACCTCGTTATATCCACAAAATCTATACTCGTAATATATGTCTATACTACTGTCATAAACGCGGATGAAACCCTAGCTCTTCGATACTTCGAATTGAATGTCGCTTCTCGCCTTGCATGACAAAGTTCTTCTTTATGTCAGGAAAGTGCGACCTGATCCATTTTTCCTTATCTCCCCATCGTATCCCCAGTTTGCCTTTGCCATCATTTTCAAGCCCGGGTCTGACCTCAGCTGTTGCTGCCCAGTCATGGAGCATATTGTTATAGTCGGCATCCAAGGGGAAGGGAATAACGTGGAATCCCTTTTGAGATCCTCGTTTCTCGATTTCGCCATCCTCCCAAGCCCTCATTTCGGTTACTGAGGGTAATTTGAGTCTTCCAGCCCAAACGCGGGCAAAAACAGAGGCTTGGTTTTCTACCAAAGGAAAAGGAAGAACTCTTTGAGCTAAGACAGTGAATACCAGAGTTGGATGTTCGTTGTAGAACAACTGCTGGTAAACATTCATTGTGCGTGCACCGTTATTGATAACTGGTGTCTTCAATGAAGACAAAAACGGATATGCGTAGAAATAGCCAGTGCAGAAAACAATCGCATCAATGCCTTCTTCGGTTGTGCCGTCCACGAATCTGACGCCTCGATCAAATGATTCGGGAGGTAGGAACTCCAGTATTTCACCGCGTGATACCCTGTCAGTAAGCTCTCCTGACACAAACATCTCTGACACGGATCTATGTGATGAGATAAGAGGCTGCTTGCAAACTTTGGATATTTGGCTTCCTATGTCAAGTCCCGACGCCAAATTACCGACGACAATGACCTTTTTGTTCTTGAAATCATCCGCAGAATCATAGACTTTGGAATGCGAAATTGAATCTGGGAATGCTTCATTCCAGATTTTTATTCCTTTAATAGCCGGTATATACGGAACATTGTAATGTCCATTTGCAGCCACGACTGCATCATAAACCGATGTCGATATCTCCCCTGTACTTAGATTTTTCACCGTGACAGCCCAATTGCTTCGAGCAGGATCTTCAAGTTTAACATCTAACACTTGATGCTCGAAATTGATCAAATGCTTGACCTCTTCGGCGTATTCCTCGAGATATTCGAGGATTTGCTGAAATGTTGGAAAAAGCTGAACATTCTCGGCAAAGGGTTTTGTGCCATATTCCATAATCATTTTCGGCACATTTGCCTCCATACCACTATACAACGGGGAGACGAAGGTAGCTTCACGGCTTCCATCGTCTTTGGTGCGCCATATAGGCTCTTCATGGGGCAGATTGGGATCAGGCTGTGGCACTGGAAATCTGAGTTTTTTTTTGTCTTCAGCAGAAGCGTGAATCCAGACACCACCAACCCTGCCGCGCTGTTCAAAGATATCAATTTTGTCGAAATGATTCTCAGCCAACAAATACCTTGTATGGTTAGTACGGCAAGTATTGTATAGAAAATCAGATTGAGACTATCTACTTAGCGGCTGCTAACCCACAAGCCCCAGCGCCAATGATAGCCACTCGACGAACAGGTTGAAGTGTGGTCATAGTTGTCTTGCCACGTTGTCTCTACTAATAGGCCTGTCTGAGGTCAGAAAGAGAGATCACCAACAAATATGCAGGTGGACTATCTCGACCCATTATATACTGACCTGTGGAAAGGATTGGTGCGATTCTATCAACACCACCACGCTGCCCCGCACTCAGACTTCAATGTTGTATCGTTTATTGAAGCATCCAATGTTTTGACACCGTTTTTGACATCTACACAGTTAACATTGAAGTCTGGTAAAATATGTTTATAATATTTGCACGAGTATATTTAACAGACTGAGGGAAGAAGGAATCTCGGTGTCTATTATTCGAATTTTCTCAACCTTCTTGTCGATAAGGCTAGACAATCACGCCATCAGCGATTTGTCATGGAATATATAGAGCGCCGTCTATTTTTAAATTATTTATAACGCTACTATTTAGTGTTGTTTATGATCAATCGATTCATAGACTTTTCATGACTTCGAGAAATTACCGTGTATTTCCTCGATATATGCTATTCAAGAGACTGGTTATACACTCAACATTAGTGCTCAGTATAGCTTCGGTATTAACCATATAGCGCTCTCTCAGCTATTCTGTTCTCGGGTATTCTGAGATATCAAAGTAGAAGGCGGCTGAAGATGGTTCAAGACGGTAAAGTTCTAGTGATTGAAGTAGAGAAGCATCTCTTGCAGTTTCAATGCCGTACCTCTCATTCTGGACCGAAAAAGCGCAGTGGCACGCAGTCAAATCATGTCGTTCTATCAAGAACAGAGTACAACTAGCAGCAAGAGTACAGAATTGTGCTGCTGGTAAATCCAAGCTGTCTGGGAACTGGATACAATTGGAGAGGGAAGGCACGGCCTAAACAGAAGCATATGCGGCGCCAAGCCAAAGCGGCTGTGACGACACTGCGATTTCCTTCACGCGACAGCTTTCTTTCCTGCAACTTCGACGATAATATTCGACCTTTGGCTAACTCCCGTCTATACTATCCTGTACCCTTTTCGTTATATTATGTCTTCCTGACTATCTATTCACCTTTCGTCACTGCTGAACTAACATAACTCTCTTTATCGCTCTTCCACCTTTCTGTCCGAATGCGGAGCTTCCATCAGACGCCATGGCCACAACCCGGACGAGCCAGCAATGAATCACTTAACGACGCTGTATTCCCACAAACCCATATTTAATCATGGAATCAACTGATTCATCCTCGTTGCATCAAGTCAACCTACCGCAAAGCCTTGTACCTGTAGCGCAACTGTCCCCAGATTTAGAACACCCCGCGCAGCATTCCTTCCAAGCGGTGGTCACATTAGTGTGGCCGTTCTCTAGCTCGAATCGAGCCTTCAGTCTCTTGCTCGCCGAACCCGATTATCGCTTGCGACAGCAGTCTGGACAAGTCCGAGTCACATTTTGTGGAGGTTGCGCCGAGGAGGTAGCTCGAATCAGAGTCGGTATCGGGGATAAGTTGACGTTGAGCCTCGAGGGAGCGCAATGGATAGAGAATAAGAATGCAAACTCTACACCTGGGAGGTCGATTGGCTGGGAGATTCAGTTTACCAATCGCGTGAAGCTTGAGGTATGTAGCGCATTCGTTGTCACTGAATTCTAACTAACTCAGTCGCGGTAGGCATTTCGACATGCGCAAAAAATAGCTGCGGTTGATATCGATTATCCAGAACCTCAAAATGATAGCACAATACTCGCGACTCCCACGCGAGGAGACTATGGGCTAACGGACAGCTTGGCGTGGAAAGACAGATGGGAGACACCGGCTTTTCTGCGGAAAAGAAGGCTCTCATCGGAAAGCCCATTACGGACCGGCTTCGGTCTTCTAGAGGAGAAAGATGGGTATATACTAGGAAAGGGCAGGAAACGACCGCGTTTCAGCTTTCCAAGCAACGGATGGCGACTTGTGGATGAATCAGATAAGGAGGAGCCGTCAAACGAGGGTACATGGTTTGAATCTGATGAAGAAGAGCTGCAGCGAGATGATGAGATTATTTCGGACACAGCGGTTAAGGATGCTGGATTTGAGGTCTCAGAGCCTACAGAGCATGCTCCGTCTTTACCGTCATCTCCAACAACTCCAATATCTGCCAAAGCTCCAGATACGAACTCAATACCTATCCAAATAGTTGTGCCTGAAGGGAAATTACGTGAACCGACGTTGGCAGATAATCAATCACCACTTCCCACGGATACTCCTCGCCTTCATCCTTTGCCATCTCCAGGCCTTCCAACGCCGTCACCAATAGTCTCTACTCCTGAAAACGCTCTGGGCTATTTCTCTGGAATTACTTTCCAACCAACTTCTCAATTGCTCGCCCCTAGAACAATCCACAATCATCAATTAAACAGCATCTCTACCTCCAACTGTCTTTCCGGTGGTGTCATACACCCAGGACCTTCCGAGACGACCGACTTGGGTGCTGCGCCCCAAGAAACGAGTACGCAAAGCGCCCAATCAAACACAACATTTGATTTTTCTTCTCATGCAGCAGCCGCTTTGGCTGCCACTGGGGATTATAATTCGCTACAAACACCATACCAGGAATCATCCGAGCTGGGTATTGACCCGGTGACTGTCGCCGAATCATCTGGCCATCTCACAACCGAAGACCAGGGTAACTTACCCATAGACCCAACAATATCATTTAAGCGTGGACATCACGGGTATGAACGACAATGCAAGACCAACGACCATTTAGTTATGGAAGAGGAATATTCAGATGTGCCCGAGTATCAATATGAAGCTGCAACTGAAAAGGATGGCGAAGGGAATGCATTTGAAGTTGACGACATAGGATTGTCTCATGGAGACCAGCTCAATCCGGAACGGAGAAATTCGGTGAACGCATATGAAATTCAAAATGAGGGCGATGAAGATGCAACCTTTGAAAATACGGATCCTCATAGAGAAACTCCTGATGCGCCATATTCACACGATTATCCGAACAATGAGATCGAGCCTTCAAGGCGCAGGATCTATCACGACGGAACTGATGAGGACGAGATGGTTTCCGATGAACTTACACCAGACGATATGGACGAAGAAGATGGCGAGGCCGACGAAGACGATGAAATGTCTGAGGGACTCGAAGATGACATAAAGTCTAAGCCCGAAACACAAGGTAGGCTTTCCGTGGAGTCACCTCAAGAATCAAAACCGCCGCCGCGCAATGTGTATCCAGAGGTTATTGTAATAGATAGCGACAGCGAGGATGAACCAGCGCAACCAATAACGAGATCGCCACTTCAGTACGATGATGAATCATACGACGAGAGTGGCAGCCCATCAGATATAAATGAGCAAGCGGGGTACGACTCATTCGAAGAATTAGGAGAAGAATATGAAGAGGCAGATGACGAGGAAGAAATCAGAAACGAGATATATGACAAAGACCATATGGACGAAAATTCAGATATTCGGATTTTGAACAATGAACAAGCTTCAGATGACGAGAGTGAGAAGGGCGATGGACCTGGTCATATTGATGATGAGGAACTCAGGGGTGTCGAACAGGACACCGGTTCGGATCGCTGCAAGAGCCTAGAATCGTCGGACTCTGTACACTTGGACCATACCAATGGGTATTCCACTTCTAAGATTACACATGCCATCTCTACCACAACTGAAGAGGAAGTTTGTATCCTTTCGGATGCGGACGATGATCCTGATGTGTCGGCCACCAAGACTCGATCAGTAGAGTCAAGTCCGCAGATGGCGCTCATGAACCTTCCACTGGTAACCCGAACAAGGCCTCTTCCAACACCTCAGGCGACCCAGAGTGGAGAGTCTCGACATGCCTCTCCTGACTCTCTGGCCGATGTACCAGATGACACCAAGCCTTCCATCGATGAGGCGACTTCTAATATGGGTAAGGCTACCCCTGAAGCCAGCCAGCACCAATGGATCGACGGTTCAGACGACAAAATCTCGCCCACGATACCTATTCCCCCGGCTCAAGTCACCGAGTATGAACTACATGGTCATAAGGCCGAGGACACTGCAGCGCCAGAAGTTCTTGATGAGGTTGTTCTAGTGGACGATCGATCTGCTTTCGAGAGCGTAGAAACTCAATTTCCAGCTCCTACAGCAATCGAATCGATACCTGAACGTTATCCAGAGACGCCCAGTCTGCGGACTCGTGAAGCAACTTATGCAACACTTGTCACACTCGGAGATCATGTTAATGGATTGGTAGATACTATATCCGTCATTGTTGAAGCGTCGCCGGTCGAACGTGCAACGCATGATTCCAAGGACAATTACTTCACCTTACGGATCACAGATACGACCATGGCTGGAACAACTATCATGGTGCATGTTTTCCATTCTGATAAGGCATCTCTACCCGTGGTGAGTGAAGGAGATGTAATTGTGCTTCGGGACTTCAAAGTTCAAAACTTCGATCATTCTACTGCCCTCGTCAGTTGCACTGACAGCGCATGGGCTGTATTCAACGCCGAGGCAGACGAGCCTCGCGTTACTGGTCCAACTGCCAAGGTTGGCGAGGACGAGCGTGGCCGTGCTCAAGAACTCCAAGAATGGTACCACAGTGCCGGAGCTGCCATGGCAGCTGATCACATGCTACAAGTTTCCATTGATCAAGAACAAAAAGAACATACGCCGTCAAGCGTTGCATCAAGCGTTGCGTCCAGCGATGTTGGCAGTTTAGGATCGGCAGCGGTCGTATCATTCTCCCGACCACGCCTCCGGCGAAAGAAGAGTCGCCGCCGAATCACGATTCATGAACTGCGAGATGGACGAAGGTACACCGAGGCTGGGCCGTCTCCAGGCAATCAATTAATCCATGAATTGCGGGATGGTACTGTTTACGCACATTCTTTTGAAAGTGATTAGGATGGTGTAAAGTTGGAAAAGTCGACGTTTGAAGAGTCTGGAGAAAAATAGATTCTTCGTTTCATTCATGTAAATACTAAAATTATAAATATAATAAATATACAAATCTATATACAGCCTCCTGCGAAAAGAAGGATGAATGGAGAATTCGATTCTGATTCTTCCAGTTAGCCGCAGCAAAACAACAGGAAACAAACTAAAGAGAATCGACAGATAGCAGATCAGACTTTGCCTTTCGACCTCACTCTCAACCAGCAATCTCGCAACAGCGAGACGAATTGTAGTAGTCGCGGTTGAGACTCGGATTACCATACGCTCGTGATTCTTCATTCCAGAGAGGATGGGACACCGACAGACGAAAAGAAAGCAGACGTACCAGAGCCGACTTTTCCTCTCAAGCAATAGTACTAATAATCTAGTGTTCCAAGTAATTGTTATGTCCCGTCACTCAGGTCATCAACGCATCATGGGAAGCTAAGCAATGCAAGCCCTCGTGATGATGGTTTTATATGCGTAGAAGGCTATAATGCCAATTAATCTCGACGCACTCATCGGAATCGCCAGTGCTGTAGATCCACAAAAAGGGGCTGAGAACAGGCGATGATTTGAGTCGGTGGTCTTGGGTTTTGTGGAAGAAGAAGAAGAGAAGAAAAAAGCGAGGGAGCAGAAGGGCAGGAAAAAACAGCGCGCACCAAGTGGAGCCAGGCGGACAGGCGGACAGGATCGGCAGAATGCTGCTGATTTGCCTCTTGCCCTGCGCTGTCTCCAACAAGTTAACAACCTCATAAACTGCACTAAATTAATATCCACTGCTCGAACGATACCATCGACCTCACTGCTCGCTGACCCCATCCTGCTTGAATTATATCCTCGCTCCTTCGCTTCCCTTCTGACGCTCCTCCCCCCAATCCCACCGGCATCGTCGCTGCATACAGTTCATTTCGCCTACTCACCAACTCGGACCACAATTAGATAGATTACTGCAAGACCACCGTCCCGCCTTTTTGCTCCTCGCCAATAGACACATTCTGTTGGAGAGTCTGATGACCTCTTGCTTCCTAGAGCTGTCGTAGCCACCGTTCCGATGGATCAAGCAAATTTGTGGACCCGGAGATCAAAGTACGTTTGGTTGCCGCAGAATTGATTTTTTTTTATGCCCCGGATTCTAACAGAGCCTCGCTGTCGCAGCACAAGCAAGCTGTCCCTGTCCACGCCCGGCGACAAGGACGGTGGCGCCAAACTCGATCTTCCCCGCAGTCATTCATCGAAGCGCTTTGGGCCCGACAGCTCTCACGGACGCTCCAATCCTTTCAACGCCATTTCGCCTTTATCCGGCGGTGTGTCATCTCCGTCTGCTGGTGCATCCAACGCCTTTGGCCTGGGCTCCGGCGCATTTGCTTCTTTCGGCTCCTCTGCCAAAACTCCCAAGACTCCGGGTGGCACCTTTGAGTTGGGATCGGCAAGAGAGAAACGCGATTCAAATGACCAAGATGCCGCCTCTACGACAGATAACAAAGTGAGATTGAAATCCTCGTCATCATCCTTAGATACCACCTCCGGTTCGACCCTCAGAGGACACCCTTTAAAGTCAACCTGGATTATCTGGTATCGCCCGCCGACTCCAAAGTATTCGGATTATGAGAAATCAACGATCGCCCTCGCAGCTATATCCTCCGTGGAGAGCTTCTGGACTATCTATTCTCACATGAAGCGCCCTTCCCTCCTCCCAACCGTGTCCGATTACCACATTTTCAAGAAGGGCATTCGCCCAGTATGGGAAGATGAGGCCAACAAGCGAGGTGGTAAATGGATTATCCGCTTGAAGAAGGGTGTGGCCGACCGCTACTGGGAGGACCTTCTCCTGGCTATCGTTGGCGATCAATTTGCCGAAGCCGGCGATGAAGTCTGCGGCGCAGTCCTGAGTGTTCGCAGCGGAGAAGATGTGATGAGCATATGGACACGTATTGACGGTGGACGCAATATTAAAATTAGGTATGGTATACGAAATGTGTCCGCTTAATCGAATACTAATATGTTTCACAGAGAAACAATTAAACGTTTACTGTCCCTGCCCGCCGACACCAACATAGTTTGGAAGAGCCATGATGACAGTATTGCCCAGCGCTCAGCCATCGACCAAGCTCGGCAGGAAAAGGCAGCAAATCATCATCACGGATATCATGGGACTAATGAGCGCCGAAGGGCTGGAACCAGTGATGACTCTCAGGGAGACAAGGGAAAAGGAACGGCGTCTTGATTTTCTAACCAAAAAGAAATGGTCATTTTGAGCTTGCTATGACCTTGTACAGTAACATGTCTCGGCACGCGCTATTTTTGTCATTCGACTTTGGGAAGCTTTGGGCAATTTTTGCATGTCTGCTATTTCTGCGTTTTTTATTTTCCATTGATCTTGGACTCATGCTGGAGTTTGATGCAAACCAAAAGGCCGTATGGGAGCATGATTCAACATACCGGCAGAGAGAAAATCTTTATCTTTGGGTTTTGGAGAGGCTGTCGTTTTCTTATTCCTCTTTTTCGTTCTCTTCTACCCTTTGCGACAACTGAATGTTACTGGTTGGTTATGATGTGCATTATGAAGGTACTTGATCTATGATGTGAGTGGATAGGAATGTACCAGTATGAGGCCTAAGTGTCTTTCTCATTTTTACATAGCTTTTATCAAATGTATTATTATCAATATTGTTATAATACTATTCTTCTTCAAAATAAACTATTTGTCAATTAATATTAAATAGAACTGATTACTATTAGATACACGAACTAAACTGCCGTCCGCCTGCCTGCCTTCTCTGCCTAGGCGGTCACCTGCTGTCTGTCTGTTTGCGGGACTCCCGATTTCTTCTCCGCACACCACTACACAAACACCTCTGTACTACACAAAGACAAGTTATGATGTCTATTAATGCTGTCCAACAGCCGAGCTGCATTCCAAATAAATGCACCTCTTTTCCAACCTAGCCAACCGACTCATCCGATCGTCTGCGTCGACCAACCGGCCCGATTCGTCTGAAGCTCGTGCAGAGACTCGCCTCGCAGCCCATGGTGATGAACCGACGCAAGAACCGGCGAGGGAGTCCGGTCTAAGAAATAACGAGGCCTCGCGTCTTGAACTCGTGGATTCAGGGCCGTGGAACTCGTCTACGGTTAGTAACTGCTATTTTCCATATCCTCTTATCAGTCGATACGACATCCTGTTTTGTTACTCTTTATGTTGCTCATGCTGGCCATGTACATCTTCCCACATAGTTCAAATACTGACATCTGAATAGAAATTAGGTTCGATTAGGCGCTTGTAAATTCCCAAGCTTCCAGATTTCCCCAACATCGCATTCTAATCACTTGTACAGCGCCCCAGATATGCCACGGTCGACGAATAATGCCTCGGACGAGCGCAGACTATTCCCGACCTACGGGTACGTGAACACTCACTCACACGATAAGGGATACACTTTATCTAATAACTGCGGTGGTACAGAAAATCGCAGAATGAGGTTCGCATCACTCCAGGGCAAACATTCAACGGGTCGAAATCCCGGGCGGTACAGGTATTGGCAATTCACTCGAGTGATGGACCTATTTGACTGACTTGGGGTTGTCTTTGTAGAGACATGCTTTCAAACCAGTTGACCGAATATCACAGAGAGGGCTCAAGGATAGCGGTCCTGTGCGAGCTTCAGGGGCGTCGAACACAACCCATGGTAGGCAGAATTCACCAGTTTCTCGACATCCTCTTAGCTCTCCGACATTGCACGACGATGATAATAGAGTTCTGAAGCGCATGCGTCGTGCTCCTGATCAAATCATTCATTTAGTAGACGATGACGACGTACAGGTTGTTGTGCGTTCACCTAAACACAACACTTCCCGCGCTAGACGCTCTCCTTCGGTGGTCAGTGTTGAGTCGGCAGCTTCAAAAAATGATATAGTCTATGATCATCAAGTTCCCCAATCGGGATACGATAAGAAGCATGCAAAGGCGTTTAAGAAAGAAAGACAGTCGCGAAGTCCTTTGCAAGAGAATCAATTTTCCAAACCTAAGAAATCATATCAGGACAAGGAAGTACCTGCGAATCACAATGTGGAAAATCAACAACACGAGGTCATTTCAGAGGATGACAAATTTCGTCCAGGTTCAGAGGCTAGTGAAAGCCTTGATGAGCTGCAGAGAGATTTCTTAACAGCTTCTAAATCTCGGCCCATTCTCAAAAAAGCCATTAGAACCGAGTTTCCTATGGAAGAACCCCCCGAAACAGATGACAGCAGAGTCAGCCGAAGAAATTCTCCAAGTGATATTCCACCTACGGTATTTGGTATCTCAAAGAAGAATCATAAGAAGAAAAAGAATAAGAAAGAAGGCAAGCCACACCGACATCTGTTTAATGTCAAATTCTTTCGATATGGCGATATTGAATTTAAAGATCAAGACCTACGATTATCTATTGACGAAAAGGATAATACTATCGGTCTTCTCGAGCCCTTTTCCCATGAAAGGATACCGATTCGTCGGGTGTCCTCGGTTCTGCGGGGTTCCAACGGCAATTCGAAGGTCCGATTCAAGCTAAGCATGACAGAGGGTTCCATGAATCAATCGGTGGATCTAGAATTCAGAAATGACCAGGAACAAGCCCGACTTTGCGATATTCTTCAGAGGAAAGGCATCACCACCGTGAGTAAAGAAGGGTGAGTAAGGGAGTATTTCTCTTTTCGAAATTAGTATTGACTTCGTCATAGGCCATGGATGGACAAGGCTTTTGCGAATATCCCCAAAAATGAACCACGTCATTTAAAACGGCCCAATATAGAAACCGTAGAAACGAGCTCTAAGGCTACAGAAGAACCCAGACAGGATCCTGTCAAGCGTCAGAAATTATCAACATCTTTGCAAGGTGATAATGGTGTCCAATCGGGTCTGAAACAGCCTCCACGCCGATTACCTATATCAATTGAGACACCTTATAAACGCCAAGAAGATGGATCAGTTAACATCCCTGTAAAGAAACACATCGGCTTTCGCGAGCAACGTGAAACCCGGTCAAAGGTACGCCAGAGCCTTGTCGACCTAATCGACGACGAGCCAGTTTCTGCTAGTGATCCAGTCAACGGTACACTGTCAGGGACGCTTGTCTATCCACGTGAAGGAAGGCATAAAGCAGAGGTTCATGGCTCCGATATTGAGCGTCTGCATGATCCGGCGGAATTCCTCAATGATAATCTGATTACCTTCTACCTTCGTTTCCTAGAACATCACCTTGAACGTAATAACCCTGATGTTGCTAAACGGGTTTACTTTTTCAATTCCTACTTCTTCGAAATACTTACAAAGACTGCGAACGGAAAAAGGGGAATCAATTACGAAGGCGTTCAGAAGTGGACGCGAAATGTGGACCTCTTCAGCCGTGACTATGTCATAGTTCCTATCAATCAAGAAGCTCACTGGTATGTTGCAATCATTTGCAACCTCGCCTCTCTAGGAAAGCCTAAAGAGAAAAGCGTTGAGCCTGTGTCTCCGCCGCAAAGTATTCCTGTCAGCTCTTTGAAACAGGTGGAAGAGATCCCAGAGACTCCGCCTCCTGAACGAGTAGATGCGCGTGAAGAGAATACTCGTGAGTCATTTGCTTCGATGAATATAACCGAATCTACTTCGAGTTCACAACAAAAGGGAGGTCACGATTCTGAAGATGACTGGCCAGAGAAGGAAGAAAACCAAGTTTCGCACCCTACAAAAATTCGAAATGATGAGCCTTTTGGTGCTATTGAGATGGACACAGGAAAGGGAAATGTAGACGAAGGCAAAAATCCAAAACGAAAGGGGCCAAGTCTTTCAGTTGATCAACCCACTATAGTCACTTTTGACTCACTGGGGCTCTCAAGGCAACCTGCGATAAAAGTCCTGCGGACTTACCTTATTGAGGAAGCTGTTTCCAAACGGTCTTTGAACCTTGATCCCAAGGATATTAAAGGAATGACAGCTAAAGAGATTCCTTTGCAACCAAACTTTTCTGACTGCGGTCTTTATCTGCTTGCTTATTTGGAAAAGTTTGTGCAAGACCCTGATACCTTTATGCAAAGACTTTTGCGGAAACAGATGAGCGCAGAAGGCGATTGGCCAGCGCTGAAATCTGGTCTGTTAAGGCAAAGGCTTCGAGGTTTCCTTCTCAGGCTCCAACAGGAGCAAAAGGATTCAGCCACAGAATCGTTAGTTGATGTACAACCGATATCATATCTCCTCGGCCCTTCTGCTTCCAAGGCACTTGAAACTACAGATCAGCCTTTAAACGCTCTCCCGCCTGCAGAGGCCGAAGTGGTACCCGAGCCCGTTCTGAGAGCCAGGGAAACATGTCAGGACGAAGATACAGCTCCAAACTTTGATGAAATCGAAGTTATTCGGGAAACCCAGCTATCCCAGCTTCAAAATGCTGAATCAGCACCTGCACTCCAGGAAGTCCCTACAAAGACAGAACCAAATACCACGCAGCCATACGTCGAAAAGAAAGACACGGCAAAGATAATCGAAGAGCCAAAGACACCAGAGCCCAACCCCCCTGCTTTGAAAACCGAGAATTCTAGTCTGGTGATTGTTTCATCCCCGAAATCGACACGCAAAGGGAAGAAGAAACATTCTTCGTCAGAGATCACGCAGTCACCAAAGCATAGCAAACACAAACAAACCAAATCCGATTTAATATGGGACGAGATTGGGAATTTTCTCGCTGCTGATGATCCAGTGCCGAAGAACAATGTGGTAGTAGAAGTTCCTAGAGTCCAGGTGCCGGGAACACCACCGCCAGTAGGGAATGCTGGAAAAGCCATAGCCAGCCCTCGACAATCGAAGTCGAAAAGGAAAACTAACTAGACGCTGAGCAGTTAACTGTGTTTCAATAGTATGAAGCTTCTTTGTTGTCTTATTTTTATACACTCGTTTCGCAGGTTATTCGAAGAGGTGCGTTGTGAGACAACAAATTTGATAGTTGTGTTTCTTTCACTTGTCTGCATATTTTTTCATGGCGTTACATACATATATGGTCTAGCATCAGCAAGCATGCGTTTCAATTTTTTGAATATGCCTCTATGGATATAGGAGTTCAGCTTAGATACCAGTTGATATGTAGAAATTTCATATACCAAACATCTCTTCAATTAATCATCTATTCAAAGCAAATCCTACACCACTCAAACATTGGATATACCAGCAGGAAAATATACAACTACAACTCACTCTCATCTGCCTCAACCCACCACTGCATTTTCTCCTTTTTGAAATGCTCATAATCCCACTCCTGGTCCACATCCAGCCTCTCCTTGCCATCCTTCCACACGTACGTCATAGCCTCGACTTCCTCCATCTCCCTAAAGGCACTCTCATCACACCCCGCATTGGCAGTCTTCTCCAGCGCGTGCTGCAAACTCCCATCCCCTTCTTCGCCGCACTTGGTCTGGGCTGCCCCCCTTAGGACCTTGACTCGCACAGAACACTTCTCGTATTCGGATCCTTCGAACCGGTCGAGGCGGTAGATGTCGCCTTCTGTAATACCAGTAACAATAGTACCCAGTACCGGAGGCGAGTCCGCCGAGTCAGAAGGCGTTAGGGCTGGGTAGTCGGCGTTGTGCACGCGGTATCGCCGGTAACCAGGGAGAAGTGCTGGGCGACTGATAATAAGGGATTTCTGCCACACTTCGGGTGTTGAGGAGCCGTGGATTATGCGGTGAAGAATAGCGGGCGCCATTAATGTGCCTGTGTATATTTGGTCAGTTAGAAAAGGGATGGAAGGGGTGAATATACCGTAGAAGAAGAAGGTGTAATCTCCCATGTTGAGGCGGGAGCTCCGTCTTATCTGGATCAGACTCCCTGAGTGGATTGGATAAATTCAAGACATAGAAAGTCAGTACACTATCTACCTTGAACAAGTACGCCCAATAAAGTAATAGAACTATACTATCATGCAAGCTTACAAGCTAAGACTGCTTGTCCTGCGAAGCCAGAAAGCAAATGATTATCAAATGATGATCGATGCGGGGGACAACATTCCTATCTTATCGCCGTGCAGGGTGGGGCATCAACAATCTGATCTGATATGAAGCAGACGTGCCTGTTATCGCATATCTAGTAACATAATTATAAAGCTAGTATATGCCAGGTCAAGTATCGATATTCTGAAAGCTAGGTGGATATGAACAAGTGAAGGCGATAGGTTATTGTGTGTCTTGATTGGTGTACGGCAGGCTAGAGACTGACGAATTGATGTTTAAACCCACCTGGAATCATAAAGCCATTAACATAAATACAAGAAAAGAGCCTTCAAACCAATTGGAATTGATTGAATAAATACATCATTCTTCACCAAGACCAAAAAAACGAACGAAAAGCATGACGGCCACCCTCATTTCTACACTTGAGCACGATCCAGGACACCCTAAGCAAAGAAGGATCTACTACGCTCCTTCTTATAAGCCGGCCAAGCTATGATGTCAAAAACAGCTTCGGCAATTTCTATATCTCTGCGTATGCACTCCTTCAACACCAGCTCGTCGGGGCGCTGGAGTTTGACCTGATTCCCCATAGAACCATACCCCTCATACTGCATTCTTCCAATTTCAGCCCGCGGAACTCCGTAAACAGGCCTATTGGTGTTGTCGCGAGGCTCGTGTTGCCAACGAAGGTAAGCTTGAATAACTTCGTAGTGCGTGGTGAAAGCGGTGCGTTCGAGGGTACGGTGCAGTACGCTCATGCTTGGTTGAGCTATGAGCAAACGCCTCAGACCCCCTAGAGACCGTGCTGCTGTGGGCTCAGTGAAGCGCATGTCAATCCTGATCAGAAACATGACTGCGTAGAACAGATCAGTAGTCGTCCATAATTTAGTGTTCTGGATAGTTCCCAGACGACGTCGGTTATCCGCAATGTCCATGAGAAACCATAGTTTCTTGATAGCGTCTTCGCACTGCCATGGCAGATAGAGACCTTCGTTTGTCAAACTGTTCATTACCCCCCTTACCACTTTCTCACGCCAGCATACCATGCGAAGCCATCGAAACGAGGGTACCAGGCGAGACTGACCCCGGGACTGGTCGATTTCGACACGAGGATCCGAGATGCAAAGCCTGTTGTAGCATCGAAAGGGGAATATTTTTGCAGATGCTGGGGCGTGTCTCATTGCCTGCGCAACTATCACTGTTGTTAGACCTGTATTGATAACATGGTGAAAGCCCTTTGCCATAGTGTAGATGGTAATCAAATCTTCAACTTCGAGAAAGTCGGCAAAGTGAAAGACGATATGCGGATGTTTGATGATTGCTTCGAAGATATTGAAGTTTGAAGTTTTGGTGCTTGATGACGGCGTCTCAGAGATAGACAAGGCCCTAGTAGCAGCTTTATTGCCTCTAGCACGCTTTCTAAGAGGTGCTGAATTAGACTCTGCTTGTGCAGCGTCGTTTAGTAAGTTGACAGTAGTTTGTCGCTTTCTTTTGTTGTTCCCCTGCTGTACGCGAGGTCCTCCTTGGGGTATGAAAAGGATTTGAGAAGAGCTTCTAGCAGCTTTAGGGCGACCTCTGGGTTTAGAGACTGCATGAGTATTCGCATTAGTCGTATTGGCGTTCCTTTGGGAAACAGACGCAGAAGAAGATGCAGGAGCAGAAGCTACATGGGTAGAGGAACTATAATTCGCGACTGAGCCGATTTGTAGTCCAACAACGGCAGATCCAAGAGCACCGAGTCTAGTCTCCTGGTTCTGAGATGGACGCTGGATTGTTGCTTCTTGAGTTACTGAGGTAGTTGGTGGAGTTGGTGCCTGGCTGTTTGCAGAGATACTCCCTAAACTCGCCCCTTCTTGGTGTATCATCTCACCCTTTCCCTTGCATTTGATCTTTTGTTCATCTTCAGTGTTATGGTGGGCTAGCTCAACTTCTGAAGCAGGAGCCTCGTCATGGCGTGGTGGAACGAATTTGACACGCGCCATGCTGTGGTGAAAAATGGTGCAAAGATAACCACTTTGATTGGTGAAGTCCTGCCAAACCAAAACAACGACAAGTTGAATGGCTATATCATCATGCTGAAAACATCCTCGCACTAAGCGTCGACAAAGCAGCTAGATACATTTCTGTTCAACGATAGGGCATTAAGAATAGATGATCATAGGTTATCGAGACAGATCAAAGAGAGAAGGAAAGATGAGAGAAAGAGAGACCAGAGAAGCAAGGCCGAATCATGCAAACGGGAGGTGCTCAGATGAAAGTAGCGCAGACTGCAAACAGGTCTGCCAACCATTTAGGCCCCGCCATTGAATTTGATGGTGTAATGCAAAGTTGATTTTGCTGCTAGTAATGATACACTGAAACGCTATATTACAGTTGATAGCTCGATGGGATTGTTCTTCTAAAATGACACTGTATGTCGAGAAAACATCAGATATCAGATCCCCGCCGTTTTTTAACGTTGAAAACTCGCTCACGCACGAGCGTAGCAAATGTCAAACCCCAAAAAAAACTTCCGACGGAAAAAAAGTATTGTCAAGATCTTGTGTCGTTCGTGCAAATCCAGTAAGCGATTGTCCACGCAGAACTCCCTGCCGATCCAATTATGATATGTTGAAAAAAGAGATCCCTTTTCTCACCGAGGAAATTATGTAATAATCCAATGACATGAACCAACGTAACCTGTTGAGAGGTGTAACCAAACTCCAAAATAAAACAATATCGCTCTAGAAATAGTATGTCGCTTAGATAAAAACACAAGGGGGTTGAGGAGAGGCGCATATTCCAATACTACCTGCGGTGGAGGAGCGTCAAGAATTCTTCGCGGGTCTTTGCGCTACTTCGCATGCATCCCAGCATGCAGCTTGTTGTCGTGGTGCTGGTAGTTTTCTGCACACCGCGCATAACCATACATAGATGCGACGACTCCATGACGACACCGACGCCGCGGGGGTTGAGCACTTCCTTGATGGCCAGAGCCACTTGTTTTGTAAGGCGCTCTTGCACTTGTAAACGGCGGGAGAACATTTCGGCCAAGCGAGCTAGTTTCGAGAGACCAAGAACTCGACGATCTGGAATGTAGCCAATATGTATCTGTGTGGCGAGTCAGTCCTGACGATTCCCATGCTATTCGCATAGCTTACCTTTCCAGTAAATGGCACCATATGATGCTCACACAGAGAGAAGACTTCAATGTCCTTGACAATCACGAGTTCGTCATGATCCTCCATGAACGTGGCATTATTCACAAGATCTCGAACATTCTCCATATACCCCTTTGTGAACCAAAGCATAGCGCGGGCGTAGCGTTCGGGTGTCTCCAAAAGACCTTCTCTGTCTGGGTCCTCTCCCACACATTCTAAGATGGTTCTCACCGCTCCTGAGAGCTTTTTCACTCGTTCCTCATGCTGCTCTGGGCTTTCTTCAAGCCGTTCCTTCGTTCCAGGGCCTAGTAGAGAGATTTAGTTGATGATGCCTAGCAAGACAAATGTGATACTAACATGGCCAACTTAAACCATCGAAATCAATGGGCGGTACCATGGTATACGGACTGGCCGGTCGACTAACGGTAGATGGGGGTGTTGGGGGCCCGGTCTTATCTCGGGGGTCACGGGGAGCACCACTCAGTACAGAACTATAAGCAGTCAGTATTCGTACGTACATGGTAGCGTCAAGGTACATGGATTACCTAGGCTTATTGCCTGACTGGGTGGTAGCTGCTGTGGTCGGTTCAGCCATTGGGTCCGAGCCAGATTGGGTCCTATCGACGGAGGCGCGGAAGGAGGAACGGATAGACGAATTGAGGCTTTCACGTTCGCGGGCACTGGTGGAATTGCTTGCTGAAGGATTCAATGACGAGTTACCATTCAAAAGGTGCGATGGAAGGGCTGACAAGGGTTTCGGGCCCAGGGGTGGGGAGGAAGCGGGATTCATCGAGCGGTGACAGTGTCCTATCTGAGGAATACAAGAGAAGATTGATGTGGTGGATAGGCCGCGGAACGATCCGTGAGTAATAAGGGGGTCAGGGGTGGAATTAGAAGAAGATAGTAGTTATGACAGCCCGGTAGAAGGTGAGGCTATCGGAGCTGAACTCGGGAAATCTGGTGACTTTCGGGGAGCGACAAGCCGTTGCCTTCTGATTTTTTTGGAAACTCCCCGCAATGCATGCAATCGTCTGCCGCTTTAGTGGGCCGCGCTGAGCTCGGAGTTTTGGAGGGGCATGCGGCGTCTATGCAGCCAATGGTGGTCAATAATACCCTAGCTAGACTAGTGTTTTCTAGGTTAGACCACATGCCGCCTTGAGATCGCCGTTACGGAGGACGATAACAGGCGCTGATAAGAATCTACCCCGGTGTGTGTGTGTATATATGTATATATTTATATATATATACTATTTGATAGACGTAGTGCTGATAGTATTATTCTGACAGTTTTGATTTCATTACTTGTCTTGCATTTTGCCATGTATGGTTTAATTAAAACGTTACGCCGTTTGGAAATAGGAAATCAAGCCTCGAGCTCCTCTGTCGGGACATCTTCCAAGTCTTTGCCAACAATCGCATCCGACACCTTCCATACTTGCAACAAATTGTCTTCTGCCGCCGAACAAAGAACCCAGGGGTCGCTCAAATTCCAGCTAAAGTCGGAAATCCGATTGGTATGACCGCCGTGCATGAACAGCCTAGCAGGAGAAAAAAGAAACATTAGTGCTGCTCAGCTTTGTAAGAGGGATAACTTACAACTCAGGTGGTCCATCCTGCGCATCTTCAGGGGTCTGTTCTTCTCCCGCCCGGCTGAGGTCCCAGAACATGATCTTGCGGTCGTAGCTAGCACTAGCCAGCACCGATTCCTCAAACGGGTGCCAGGACAAAGATGTGACCGACTCGCTGTGGCATTCCAGCGCATGCAGTTTCGACTTCAAGTTACGCAAATCCCAAAGACCAATGGTCTTATCAGCAGATCCGGTGGCTAGAATCGTTTCCGCGGCTGGGTTGAAAGCGATCGCGTTGATTGCATCCCTATGCTGGCCTTCAGCTACAGCTGCTGCTCGTGTTGTGTCGGCTTCGCGGATGTCGAGGATTTGAAGAGTGATGTCATCAGAAACGGTGCCAATCAGAGAGGAATGTAATGGGTGGTATTGGACATCATTGACGATAGAAGAGTGGTTGGTATAAGTGCGTGATGGTTTGACGGCTTTATTGCCTTTGGTGTATGTGGTCAAATCCCTGACGCTGTTAGTTTCGGCACAAAGAACCGCTCGCTCTTTACGGCAACTTACCAGAGACGGACTGTTTTATCCTCACTTCCTGTAACCAAATGGCCCTCTGCATGGGGGCTCCAGCTCAATCCAAAGCCTTCTTTGGTATGGCCTAGAAGTTCGAGTTGGGGATTCACTGTTCCACTAGGGACGAGAGAGTGCTTCGACCGATCCCAAATCATGACTCTGCCGTCTGTACACATAGTTGCAATGATGTTAGGGTTCTGCGGCTGGTACCTCGCTTTGTTGACTTCGCCTTTGTGGTCAATCTTCTGAACAATGTTGAATTTGACTTCCATAGCGTTCTTCTTGGAGCTTCCACCGTAGCCGCCAATTTCACCGCGACCCTCATCATAGTCCTCCGTTTCTGGGTGGTTTGGGTTTGGCAATTGTACCTCTGCGATCTGCAAGTAATTTTTGGCGTCGCTAGATGTGTGTGTACCCAGCAAGAGGCGATGGGTCGAGTAGGGCTTGTCCGGTTCTCTTAGAGACGTTAATACTATATCTTAGTCTTCCACGCGATGGGCGTACTCTTTTTTATCAGGGAGCCACTGAACTGTCAGAGTTGGCCATTCAAGAGCTGTGCTCAAAATCATATCGTACAAAAAGGGCGCATTTTTCTTCCACGTCTTGTATTCTGCCAGAAATGGTTAGCCTGTAAAATAGGCGATATTCTCCTTCTCGCACCTTCGTTAATGATCTTTTCCTCTGTTTTTTCCTCTTCTTGTTCCTCCTGCTCCTCGATAAAACCTAGACATAAAAACCTTGTTAGAATCCAGGGCTAATTGGCGCATCGAGAGACCGCACCATCATCGTCGTAAGGCTCCATGACTCGTTCAACCGCAAAGAAGGCGGCGCGGGCAAGTTCTGGGGAGAGTATTAAGCTTGATTAGAGGTAAAGAAGTGATGAGCACCCTGCGTCCCAAAAGATGTGCAATTCGGCGGATGGGAGCTGTGCGTGAAGCCGGGGAGAACTGCCAACAGAGCAAGGGCCAGAGCTCCAGAAAACGCGCCCGCGGCTCAGCGCGTTAATTGGCACCAAGCCTAACTCAGCTAGAGGATGTCTGCTGCCTCTGCTCCGGAGCGCAGTTATTCCGAGCCTGCGGGCACCGCCTCCATCATGTGCTTGAATATCTTCAGGTCGCTGAATCCACCACCCTACCTCTCAACTTTCTTCGCTGCTGAATTGCTTTTCTCGGGCGCTTCTTTGTGAGCTGCTTGTTATTTTTCTGGTTATTTGCTGCGATCCAGGCCGGTCCTATGCTTTCTATTCGAGACTAAGGATTTTTACTAGCCGTACGCACTCTTTTCTTCGCTTCAATCAATAATTGCCATAGTCGCAAGCAATCATGGGTGTGCCAAAGTTCTTCCGCTGGCTGAGTGAGCGGTATCCCGCCATTTCACAGCTGATTGCTGAGAACCGCATACCCGAGTTCGACTGCCTCTATCTCGACATGAACGGTATCATTCACAATTGCACGCACAAAGACTCGGATTCTCCTACATTTCGCATGACGGAAGATCAAATGTTTATTGCGATATTTAACTACATTGAGCACTTGTACGGGAAAATTAAGCCCAAGCAGCTCTTTTTCATGGCCATTGATGGAGTTGCCCCTCGTGCCAAGATGAATCAGCAGCGCTCCAGACGATTTCGCACTGCTCTCGACGCCGAGATGGCAAAGGAGAAGGCCATTGCGCAGGGCATTGAGATGCCTAAAGAGGATGCTTTTGACAGCAATTGCATCACACCGGGAACCGAATTCATGGCGCGATTAACCCAACAACTGAAATATTTCATCAGCAAGAAGATCTCAGAGGATGTGGATTGGCAAGGCGTGGATATAGTCCTCTCCGGCCATGAAGTTCCGGGAGAAGGAGAACATAAGATTATGGAGTATATCCGCCAAGCCAAGGCGCAGCCTGGCTATGACCCAAACGTGCGCCATTGTTTATATGGATTAGATGCGGATTTGATTATGTTGGGACTTCTCAGTCATGACCCACACTTCTGTCTCCTGCGTGAAGAAGTCACCTTTGGCAGACAAACTCAGAAAAAGTCAAAAGAACTCGAACATCAAAACTTCTATTTGTTGCATCTCTGCATTGTTAGGGAGTACTTGGAGTTGGAATTTCAGGAATTAAGGGAGAACCCTGACCTTGGCGTTGTTTACGACATGGAACGAATCATTGATGATTTTATTTTGATGGCCTTCTTCGTTGGCAACGATTTTTTACCTAATTTACCGTACATGCACATCAACGAGGGTGCCCTCGGCTTAATGTTCAAAAAATACAAGGAGGCGCTTCCAAAGATGGGTGGCTACATCAACGAAGGCGGCAGCATCAATTTCCAGCGCTTAGGAATCCTCCTTGATGAACTCGCAGAATTCGAATTTAGATTTTTCGAGGCTGAATATTCGGATGCAAAATGGATTCGTTCTAAATCTAATGGAGTTGTGACTATGGAGCTTCAAGACGCTCCAAAATCGTTTACAATCACACCGTCCCAAAAGAAACTTCTCAAAGACGTGAAGCAATACGTTCTTAACCGCCCGCCTAGCGCGCAGCATGCCAAGCCGTTGGATCTCCCTCCGACACTTCCAGCAAGAGATCGCAAATTTGTTGAACAGCTTGCAGATGATCTCCGCTTAATGTGGACGACAATAACCGACGACCATGGCGATCGATTCATCCGATTACAATTGCCAGGATCGACCGTGGCCGATGAGGAATCAGAAGAGGAGGATGAAGAATCATTAATGGCTCTTCGGCGAGTGATTAAAAAATACGACAATGCCAAAGTCCATGAAATTAGTGCAGAAGAGGTTCAGGCTGCCGCTGAACAGAAATACGATGCCAAATTTCAGGAATGGAAAGATAAATATTATACTGATAAATTTGGGTTTGGTATAGAAAATGAGGTAGAGATGAAAAAGTTAACCGAAAACTATGTCCAAGGATTACAATGGGTACTGTACTATTATTACAGGGGTGTTGTTTCATGGCCATGGTTCTTCCAGTACCATTATTCGCCGATGATTTCAGGTGAGTAGATGAAGAGCGAGTAAATAAATACACGCTAACAGGTTTCACAGATGTCAAGAAAGGCCTCGGTGCAAATATTGATTTCAAGCTGGGGCAGCCTTTCCGGCCGTTTCAACAACTTATGGGTGTGCTTCCGGACCGCAGTAAAAAAATTGTGCCAACCGCGTACTGGGACTTGATGACATCCCCAGAATCACCTATCATTGACTTCTATCCTCGTGATTTTGAACTCGATATGAATGGCAAGAAGATGGAATGGGAAGCCGTCGTGAAGATTCCTTTTATTGAAGAACATCGCTTACTTTCTGCGATGGCGTCGAAGGATCATCTTCTAACCCCAGAGGAAAAGGCAAGGAATGAATTTGGTGTCTCTCTGAAATTCACATACTCTCCATCGATTGAGTTCATATATCCATCCTCTCTTCCTGGAATCTTCCCAGATATCCCTCATTGCCATTGTATTGAGAACATCTTTGACCTCCCGACAATGGACGGGCTTGAACCTTGGACGGGCCTTGTTGATGGCGTCAAGCTTGGTGCAGCTGCATTGGCAGGCTTCCCGAGTTTGAAGACCTTACCGCACGCCGGACAGCTTGCTTTTCATGGAGTCAGCGTTTTCCAGCAAGAAAGTCGTAAGGAAAGCATGGTGGTAACTCTACTCGATCCTGAATCAAGATCGAACGTTGAAGTGGCTAAGAAGAAGCTTGGGCAACGAGTATATGTTGGGTATCCCTTCCTGCAAGAGGCTTTGGTCGTGCGAGTATCCGACGAACTCTTTGACTACACTCTTCCTGAGGGAGAGCAACACGTTGTCTCCGTTCCACATTCTCCGCCTCAGATAGAACAATGGGTTCGAAAGTCTGACAAGATTGAAGGCTACTACAGTAAACGGCTTGGAACAATCATTGGTTCGGTTGATGCGATGGTTCATGTTCAAATGCTCAAGGGTCTGAAGAAGAATGACGATGGTGCAACGATAAAGGAGTTTGCGGATATTCCAGGACAAGAGACCGATTATGCTCTCCAACTAATTGTCGACAAAGTCATTAGTGAAGACGAGCGTTTCATTGAACGTGCAGCCCTGCCAATCGAAGAAGAATTCCCAGAGGGCTCCAAAGCCTTTTTCCTCGGAGAATTCAACTATGGAAGGCCTGTACAGGTCATTGGCCATGAAAATGGAAAGGTCAATGGAGTATTAGCTGCAGTGAAAGGAAAGGAACCCGAGTTCGGGAAGCTCCATCTTAAGGAAGCAGAAAAACTATCACCTTACACGCCTTCGTTTGCCATAGCAAGGAATCTACATCTGAATCCTCTAGTGTTGGCAAAAATTACTTCGTCATTCTCCGTCACAATAGATGGTCAGCGCGTCAACCTAGGCTTGAATCTCAAATTTGAAGCACGAAAGCAGAAGGTTTTGGGTTATTCGCGCCGTGGAGAAAGTGGCTGGGAGTTTAGTCGAAAAGCCGTCGAGCTGATCCAGCAATACATGATCAATTTCCCTGATTTCATCGCTGGGATTCAGCGAAATCCACAAGGTGACAAATATGAGCCTACGGATTTCTACCCCAAAGACATTGCGACAACAAAGATGACAGAAATTAGAGACTGGCTCAAGTCAATCGAGGCGAAACATTTCGAAAGGGTTCCCCTTGATGCCGAACAACTTGACTCCGATATTGTCAAGCTTATTGAACTAGACGCGGATCGCTTACTACAAAGCCAACCACAGCCCGAAATCAAGAAGCTCAAGGGCGTTCCACGACAGGCTCTTCTCAAACCTGCTGATGTCGAGCATCGACTTGGGAACCAGAGATTTGCGCTGGGAGACCGTATTGTATACGCACAAGATTCCGGCAAGGTGCCAATCGCCACGCGAGGAACTGTTGTAGGCCTCACACGTACACCCCAAACAGTTCTTCTAGATGTTGTCTTTGATGTATCGTTTATGAGCGGAACCTCAATTGGTGACCGGTGTTCTCCATTCAGGGGACAGACCGTTCCAGTACATTCCGTCCTTAACCTTTCCTATCGACAACTTGTTGCTGGCACGCGAGCTGCAACAACCCAAAAAACTCAAAAAGAATCGACGAATGTGGGATACGGTGCTCCGCTAGGACCGAGTGGACTGGGACAGCTGAAGGAGGCACAAGCCCCCCCTCCACTGAGAGGTTCTTACCGTGGCGCTATTTCTGGACACCAAAGCGGTCATGCCACAAACAATATCCGTGGTGGTAGAGGCAAGACGAATGGAAACGTAAACAACACTTCCATAAACTTACCATTACGCCCACATCCTAATGTAGATGGTCAGTTAAATGGCGGTATTGCTCGGGGAGGACGAGGTCGTGGTCGTGGGGCTCGTGGCCAGGGCCACACTAGAGCAGGTTATGTCTCTGTCGAGAATGGGCACCAAGACGAGGGGATAATTCAAAACAACCCGAATTTCAGACCACAGCCCTACAATAGAGTTCCACCTCCTGCTGATCTCAATGCGGGAGGGGGTCAAGGTCAGACTACTGGAAACCGTGGAGGTAATTCTCGGGGACGGGGTAGGGGTGGCAGAGGAGGGAAACGGGGAACCGCTTAAGCTCAATACTTACTTGGTCTCCCATGGAGAAGTCGAATGTCGATGCTCGCAACTTGCCGAGCTGTACATGCTTCTTCATGTAGCCTTGATCACCCAGTGGATAATGTAGACGATGTAGTCATGAAGTGATGGTCTTTAGTATCTAACGACAAACTGGTGGCTGATATGTAGCTCATAGTCAACTTCTGTAACTGAGTTGTACCATAATCAAAATATAATTTTTTTTTTGGACTTTCTTTAGCTGCATCTTACTTTTAAACAACATTTGAAGTATATACGGAAATTCGCTGTAGATGAATTGGCTATATTGGTGCCTGAGGCTGCGAAGCTAATAGTGAGTAGTCATCACGTGCAGCTCCAGCTAAGTAAAGTGTCTTCAAACCTCCTCAAGCCAACCACCCGTGCTATCCTATCAAACTCCATCACCCCAGTCAGTGCGCTATCAGAAGAGATATTCTACTTGGGCGTTATTCTTGAAAATATTTCACTCAGTAAAATGTCGTTGAAACACTCAGACCCAGGGCTACGTGCCTTTGAGGTCACCTTACTAAGCGCACTGCTGGTACCTCATCTTGTCGCTCAACTGGATCGACCACCAAGATAGCCTTTCAACAACTTTTATTTTATCCTTCGAATCTCCCGCATGCTCATAGGTGACAACACATACAAGCAGGCTTGTCCTATCCTTGTTACCCCGCTTCGACACGAGCCTTGAGGGCAGCTTCATCGACCAGCAACTCCATAGACCTATTTACTCCGCTTCACACATTGTTTGTTGACAAAGGTGGTTCGAGCAAAATTCAAACAAGAAGAGATCATGTCTACAGAGAGTTCTCTTCTTTTCAGAGACTGAAGGACTGACAAACTGCTCGTTTTGGGTCGGCGCGCTCTAATAAACATCCATATAATCTCAGCAACAGTAACTTTTCGTCAACCCTGTATGTTAATCAACTCCACGACTAACAGCACAAAAATACTCTGGGTCTGATCCGCACAACTACGTTACAATTATTTATAGCCGCGAGCAGGTCACACAGGGACAAGGGCAATGCTCTTTTTGCTTTCCTATTGAAGCAGATGGGTTTTCACTATCAATTTACTGGAAAATATGTTCGTCTTGGTAGCACTGGTCTGCTAGATCGATTGCATTTATGCAAAAGGAATCATGCAGGACAGCGGTGACAGCATGAAGGGTGGCATCATCACTCTGGCTTTCATTGAGCAAACTTCTTCCTTCGTAGATAGCTTGTTTTCGATGCACTGGTACGAGGCGCGTTTTCTCATCTAAGTGCTGCGTGTCTGTTAGACGCCGGTCTTTCAGGTCCAAGTCATTGGTCTCAAAGCAAGGCTGGAAGCCCATTCGAAGAGGAACCCCTCGATGTCTTGGCTGAGATCTGCTACGCTTTCAAATCGCCACATACTGGGAGATAGTTTTTTATGGAGTTGAGCGAGTGTGGTGTTGGCCGAAGGGTGGCCCTGGTATAGTTATGGGGGTATCTGCCAATCATGGCTCGCACGTTCATGGGAGGAGGAGCGGCCTGTTTCGCCGGCGACAAGAAACTACTGTAGAGCTTTTATATACGCGATGGAAGCATGGCAGAGCAGCTGTTAATCGGGAGGGGGATTGTCGCAACCCGAGAGTTTGGCACGGATATCATTTGAAGCTATCCACAAACCATCCTGGGCGACACTTGGCCGTAAATTGACTTGTGAGTGCGAAAGTACCGTATTGTAAGCGAGATCAGATGTGCGAGGTGCGTATAGCTCCCCATCTTTTGACCCTGTATGCAGTCTCTATTCTTGTTTCTTACGCCTTGCGATACTAACAGGACTCGCGCGACACGAACCAAAAAAAGCCGGCCCCAATTTCAGCCGCCATCGGAAAAACCGATCTTCCGCACCACCAGCGCTAGCCTCCAAAGAGCACTCTGAGCCAGACACGACAATTCAGCAAGCCGACAAGACCTTGTGCGATAGGCATGAAATGTGGGATTAGAGCGACACCATACGCCGCTATACCCGTTTTCGACTTTGTGCACCATCTTCTGTCATCGTCCTTATTCATTTGCGTACGCGTGATGGTGTGACTGCTTGACTTTTTTCCCCACCAGATGCAGGCACTGGAGTTTACATGGCTGGATCGAGAGAGAGTCCGGGGCTGAGAGACCAGTGGAGAGTCCCCAAAGAGCCTCGAGGCAGTGTGCTAGATCGTGATCTGGACCGAGGTCACGGACGGGGCGTTGAGCACGAAAGAGGCCGCAATAGAGCCAGAGGCAAATTCAGACCTGGTGGATTTGATCGTAGATCATCACCACCCTCAGCGCATCGTGGCCCCCCATCGAGGCACGATATAACTCGATCCCGTGGACCATCTCCTCATCCCTTATCGAATCCACGAGTGCCACATCACTCTGATCGCAAACCATCCAGTCACCCGTTCCCTGCAGAGCGAGAGTTGAGGCGTTCTCAAGGAGCCGGCAACAATCCATCACGTGTGCAACCTGAACATCGCAGTGAAACCTCAGCATCTTTCCCAAAGCGAAAACGAAGTTCAAGTCGTTCACCGCACGAGGCCCATCGGGACCACTTTCGTGACAGTCGGAACAGCGGGCAAAGCTTTCGTGGGCGACCAAGTTATCGTGGGAAGCCGTCAAGAAAAAACCGATTCCAAGATAATTCATCTAGCAATCACCCGAATCAGCGAAATAAAACTAATCGGTTCGGACCTCGCCGAGAAGACGAAACTGAGTCAAATTCCCGTTTTTTCAACTCCGACGCCTCCCTACCAACAACACGACGCAATTCCCAATCAAGCCTAAGCTTCCCTAGATCAGGTAGCCGTGAGTCGACTTACGAAGGACGTTTTGAACGCGACCAATCACGTTACTCTATACATTCGACTTCCTCAAGACGGTCACGGTCGATATCGCCGAGTCAGACCCTTAAAATGAGCCCCAGCAAGCCTTCTCAATCAGCTGTTGGTGATTCAAAGCGATCTCCGTCACCACCTCGACCGATACCCACTTTGGATTCCGAAAATCCCAATAACACTGATGGTGACGATCGCATGCAAGATTCTTTTCAAACTCGGCCGTTCAACATGCAAGCCAATCAGCGAGGACGCCTGTCACGTCCGCGTCTTGATACTCGACGATATTCTCCCCCACAGTTTGGAAATTCTAACAGTTCATATCATGGTTCGCCCCGGTCTGGGTCACCTCACTCAAGCGGACTAGGGGGGTGGAACAGCCAGCCAGGGCCGTCGGCGCAACGCGGGTAAGCTTGAGAGAAGATCTACATGCATTGAATTTTTCTAACCAAAAAAATCTACTAGGAGCCATTCACCTCAATATAGACAGAACACATATTCATCTCAAAGGCCACCACAAAGACCTTCCCATCACAATCAAAACCAAAATTCCAACAATAGCCGCCCCAGCTCTCCTCAGCGTGAAAGCTATACTAGAGGCGACTTTCAAGACCGCAGGTTCTCAAACCAAGGCTCTCAAGGTTATGGAGGGCCGGCCTCGCACCGCGGTCGAGGACACTTCAATAACCTCCAATGGGTCGCATCAGCACCGCGGGGTCGTGGGGGACATCACAGTCCTCTTAGTTCTCACAGTTTCTCGGGCTCAAACACCCCATTACTTCACCCACCACCGGAGGATAAACCACCGACTAATTTTCAGGATAAACCACCTACTGAGTTTCAAGAACATGAAATCACGCCAAATCCTTCGAGTGATTTACATATAGAAGACTCCCTCTCAAAGCATGGTTCAGAGAATGGAGACACTCAGAAGATGCCACCACCTAATACATCGACAACTCCAGCGAAAGAAGGTGGTAAATTCAGCTTTGCATTCAAAACGAAAGCAACACCTGCTCCTGCAACCAAACCTGTTCCTGATTTAGCGCAAAGAATGCAAATCAAAGAGCCTCCCCGAACCTCGGCGCCGCAGCCACCGCCACGCGCACCAGAACCGCCTCGAAACAGACTTGGACCGCCTCCTCCGAAATTCAAGCATGATTCTCGCCAAGATCGAAGAGACCGTGATCGCGATTTCCACCGTGGTCGGGGTAGAGAAGACCGCAGGGACTTCCGTGATAGGAATCCTCGTGATTCTCGGAGAGACGATAGACGTTTTGATCCTCGTGAAGACAGACGCCGGGATGATCATCGCCCAGATATGAGACAGGATCGCCATCGCGATCGATCACCTGATCACAAGAAACAGAAAAAAATAGCCAAACGCCCAAATCCTCGTCCGACATTACCTGAAGAATACCGAGAGTCTGACTCGGTGTATTTCCGCAAACCTGGGAACGAATCTGTTATCGGTGCTGGTACATATGGGAAAGTTTTCAAAGCGATACACATATATACTCAAGGAAAGGTTGCTCTGAAACGAATACGGATGGAAGGGGAGAAGGATGGTTTCCCGGTCACTGCTATTCGAGAGATCAAATTACTACAACATTTGCGACACAACAATATTGTAAGCTTGCTAGAGGTCATGGTGGAAAAGAACGAATGCTTCATGGTTTTCGAATACCTGTCGCATGATCTGACTGGTTTGATCAATCATCCTTCATTCACATTAACCGATGCTCACAAGAAGGACCTTTCGATGCAAATGTTTGGAGGACTCCTGTATCTTCACCACCGTGGTGTGCTACATCGAGACATCAAGGCGGCAAATATTCTTATCAGCAATCGCGGACAGCTGAAATTTGCAGACTTTGGGTTGGCGCGGTTTTTTTCAAAAAGCCGCCAGCTTGATTACACCAACCGCGTCATCACCATCTGGTATCGACCTCCAGAATTACTACTCGGCGATACTCGGTATGGACCCGCTGTTGACATTTGGAGTGCTGCCTGTGTGTTTGTGGAAATGTTCTCCAAAAAGGCTGTTTTCCCTGGAGACGGGCGAGAAATCAGTCAACTTGAAAAGCTTTATAGTAGCCTGGGAAGTCCAACGCGAGCCGAGTGGCCCGGTATTGTCGATATGCCATGGGTAGAACTGCTGGGACCTACCGAGAGGAAAAAGAGGGTTTTCGAAGAAGTCTACAAGGATATTTTGAGCCCCGCGGCATTAGATCTCGTTTCTAAAATTTTCCACTATGATCCTGCTAAGCGGCCTACGGCGGAAGAAGTGCTCGCACATGACTACTTCGTCACTGAAGAACCGGGTCCACAGCAGGCTACAGAGTACGTTGTGTCCTTACTTTTTCTTTCTTCGTTAATGCTAACATTCACACTTGCAGACTGGAAAATGTTCAAGGCGATTGGCATGAGTTTGAATCCAAAGCCCTCCGAAAGGAAAAGGATCGAGAAGCTCGCCGAGAAAAAGAAAAGGAGAAGGAAAAACGCAAGGCAGGCAATATGCACTCTCAAGAGGATGAGCGCGAAGTGAAGAGGGCTCGTCAAGATATTGATGATGCTGAAGACCATTGATTGCTCTTGCACTACTATTGATTCTTGGTTTATCACCTCATGTCTGGATTCGCATGTGTCCACCTTCGTTACTAGCTTGGAAGTTCCATTGTTCTAACGCGGTCCTTTTCATTTGGGAGTAGCGGTCCCATTATTATTAATTCGGCCGTTCGATTTGATGATCGGCGTTGTCATATTTAGAAGCTCAGCCACAGGATGCAGATGAGCGATGATGTCGAAGATATACTAAGAATCTAAACATGTATACTATTATAAAGATTCTTCATGATACCTATAAGCCTGTGTCAATTGTTGTAGGTTTGATGATATGCATGGGTAATGATTTTACGACCAAAATAGATCTATATTCAAAGGTCTATATAACTACTGATAAATGACACGATATCTACATCCTAGCAAGCTTATCCCCCACATATTCCTTGCTGACCGCTGCCTGTATTAGCTGATTTGCAATAGCAGTAGGCGGCGGCAATCGCAAATTGCCCTCGATATAATTCTTACTCGCAGGCTCACCCAATGCACTCGTCCCATTCCTCAACGCCTCCTCAACCTCAGCAATGGTGAACCATTTAGCATCTTCCAGTTCCGGGTCATGCGCCAGATTGATAGTTTCGTGCGCCGGGTCACTGACCTGCGCAATGGCGCCAATCATTAGGTTGGCTGGATACGGCCAGGGCTGAGTCGAGTGAATCACGACACGAGAGAGCGTCACGCCAGCCTCTTCCCATACCTCGCGGCGCACGGCGTCTTCAACAGACTCACCCGGTTCGATAAACCCAGCCAGAGTCGAGTACCAGTGTGGGGGGAACCGCTTTGAGCGTCCGAGGAGTAATCGCTTGCCATCGACTGAGAGCGTTGCAACGATAATGGTGGGATCAGTGCGCGGGAAAGATAGGTTGCTTAAGGTGGTGCGAGTTGAACAGGGCGGCTTCTCTGGGTTTTTGCCCTCAGCGGCATAGGCTTTGTCGGTAGGTGGACATGTGCGCTTGGTGCCAGCGTTCACAGACAACGTGGGATAACCGCAGGTGCCGCAGAACTTATTGCGGTTATTCCAGTCCAAGTAAGCTCGGGCTTGTGCATAGATAGCACCCTCATCCGGCAGCAGAGTCATATGAATCCTCGACAGATAAGGCGTGACTCCTTTCTGCTTGAGCGTCTCGACCAGTGCACGCGCTGTGGCCTTTTGCTCCTCGTTGCCCTTCTCGCTCACGTCCAGCGCAAAATACGGTCGGCCCTTGTAGATCTTCCATTGTAGCAAGTCCTCGTCTTTCGCTCCGCTCTCGGCCGCGCTCTCATCTATTCCCAGGAAGACCAGATCGGGCCGTGTGATGCGCGAGTCGAAGTCGCGGATCAAGTCCTCTTCGGGCAGGTCAAACCATGATGTTGGTAGTAGGCTCTGCACGTCCGAGTGCTGCGCGTGGAAGAGGGCGCTGGGGGATTTGACTAATGGTGAGAGGTTGTCTAGGAGGATGAATCGCGAAGAGGGGTGCTTCACGGCGGCAGAGAGGAAGGGATAGTCGGTGCGCAGGAAAGAAAGCCGATTGAGTGGGCTCCCTGTAACAATTAGGATCTAAGAAAGAGACTGTAAATGGTGCACTGACCGCCAAAATAGTTGACAGTCTCCTTTCCGAACTTTCTCGCCAACATTGAGTCTGCCTGAACATGGGCTGGTGTGGGAAGGTGATCGCTGCTCATCGTGGACGTTCTCAGTCGAAGTGCGACAGGCTAGCGCGATGACCAAGAGAGTAAAGGCGGCAAAAATATATATACTCTGCACGAAAGAAAAATAAAAAATAGTCTAGGTGTAAGAAATGGTTCCTGATAGAAAGGCATCGTGTCTCCACCCTGGAGAAGATTATGGATTATGGATTATGGATTAATCAGCCTCGCAATATCAGCCGAGGGTCAGCCCAGACAGTCCGGAGAGAAGGCCCTTCTTTTTCCTATTCGCCAGCCTGTGATGCTGAATAAGACTTCCATTTGCAGGCGAAAACAGTCTTGCAGTGACCTCTTCTCCTCTTACTATATCCTTCAAACAGATCTTGAAGTAGACAATGTTGGACGAAAACTCCCGAGCCTCCCCTACCCCTCACGAACCCCACGTTAACTCTCATATCTCCACTCCTACGCATGTACAAAAAGGAGTTCTGATTTGCCCTGTCCATCTTTTAAAATTAATACAGCACACCAGTTTGGCTGCAATCCTAATATCACTATATAACATCTGAAATTAGTCAAAACAGAAAATATTATATGTGCCGAAATATTACAGTAACCGCTTCAGGTGAGCATCTTTGGGGACACCCCAGTTAACCTCAATATATAATGCTTAATTTGTTTAATTCCCAAGGACGTGTAGTACATGCAAGATAAGGCTCCCCATAGTATCAATTGACATATTAGTTCTTTTTATAATAATACGTAACACGATGAATTGGTTGTTACATGTAAAGCAGACACCGGCTGATGAAAGACTTAAGAAAATTAAAAATCTTAATAGTCGCGGCCAGTGGATCTTCCCTACCTTGTAAGATTGCGTAGGATTTATTTTCAGCTTTCGGGAGTGTATATAGTTGCTTACATGTGGCTGCCTTCCAAATCGAGCAATATATTACCCGTTTGGTTAGAATATATATCGCCGAATGAACCAGACACGGAGTGGAGGTCGCACCGCCAGAACACGTTGATGTATGCAAATATCACTTTAAATAAATGATTTACTACTTCACATGTTGATTTGAGTAAATGGAGTTATTACTTTAAATGAATGCCTGCGCAGGCAGCTGGATAGTTTGAGTTCAGCCGGGAGAGAGGGGCCCGGTCTGCCTTGCTGCCTGCAAAACGGCAGCTATAAAAGTCAAATTGAACCTCGTAGTTCTCGCGCTTCAACTTATTGTCCATAACTCCTCGCGTACATTTTGTGCTTTTGTATATATAACAGAGGGCTAATAATCAATAATACCCCGATCGCCATGTCCACCTCTCTGGATGTAGCTCATACTTTGGAAATCGACATTTTCGATCTGCCCACCAAGGCAGTGAGCTTTGCCCCAACCAAAGCAACAATTATTCGAGAAATCAAAGACATTCAAATCAAGGCGAGTACTGTCAACCAAAACTCTTTTCACCCACAGCTAACATCTGAAAGGCCCATGCGAACGAAATTACTGTCTTGGGTCTTGATCCCAGGCTGGATCCCGACTCTGTCCGCGTAGAGGGCTATGGCCCCGCGACAATCACAAACATCCAGACAGAAATCGTTCCGCGCAAACAGCAGTTTAAGGATGTATACCCAGAAGATGATGACGATGATGATCAGTCAGACTCGGATCTTGAAGCTCTTGACGACAATGACGGACCCGGTAGAGTCGCCATTGACAAAGCCAAAGAAGAAGTACGGATCGCCGAGTGGGCACTAGCAGCTTCAAAGAACGAACAGGCAACTTCGGTTAAACTGCTAGAGTTCCTGGATCAGTATGGTCAAAGCCTCCAGGCCCAAGAAGTAGAGGTGTCTAAGATGAATGAGTTCCTCGACGTCTACAGAGTGCAACGTGTTTCAGAGAGCCACAGGCATCAAAAATCGACTGCAGATATTCCCGCACAGCAGGAAGAACTAGAAAAAGCTCGCCGAAAGCTGGTACGCGCGGAGAATGCATTTGAAAAGGCTAAGAAGGCCGTAACTCGTGAAATTCGCGAAAAGCAAGAGAAGAAAGCCCGCGAAAGACAGCAGAAAAGACAGGAAAAACAGCGAGTTCTAGAGCAACGAAGAAAATTTTGGACAAGCAACGTCAGCCAAGTTGTTATCCATTTGGATGGTTTATCAACTTCTACACCTGGCTCAAGTCGACGAAGTTCTATTGTTTCTGCCAACGAAAAAGGTGCTGGCCATTCCAGCTCCACCTCGTTGGATGGCGATACCGTCAGCCTTCTGCTCACATATGTGGTCCCTGCAGCAAAGTGGGATCCTCGTTACGAATTAAGTATCAACACACCAACATCCTCGGCCAAGCTAGTTTACCGTGCAGAGTTCGAGAACCAGACCACCGAAACTTGGAAGAATGCAAAGGTTACTTTCTCGAATTCGCAGACCTCCTTCTCTGGACTTGACGAGAAGATTCCCCATCTGGATCCATGGCATATCAAACTCGCAAAGGCAAACCAGTTTGATACCGGGAATAAAATATGGGCGAATGGCCTACGCAGTCAAAGCGAGTATCCCGCGAAAAGCTCATTTACTAAGAATACTAGTGCAGCGCCACCATCTATATTCAGCAAATCGGAAGAGCTTAGACGTGCCGCTCCTATCTCTAGTACTTCACAAGCGTTATTTGGAAGTGCTGCTCCCCCAGCTCGTGCTTCAGGCTTTGGTTCCGTTCGCCGTGATGCACCATTCACAGAATCTGCTCCTGCTCCTGCTCCACTACCGCCGCCGCCGCCGCCAGCAGCTCACGTATCGCCTTTTGGCGCCACGCAGTCCTTATTTAGCCGTGCACAAAATGAAGGACTGTTTGGTCAAAGAAGTGAAAGACAGGACAATACGCCGGCCGAACTTAGTAGAGAAAATGAAGAAGATAGTGACGATAATGATGATGCATTGACGTTGAATCCCGAGCTCAATGCTCTGGGCCACCAAGACTCTCAACACCAGAGCTACGGCCTGACAACAACCTACGAGCTTTCTGGGCAACGCACCATCAATCCATCTTCAGTCAAACGACGCAATGTCATTACCGAACTCGAAATCAAATCTCTCACACTCTCACATGTGCTTGTACCTAAACTCCGTCACGCAGCGTTCCTCAAGGCTCGCATCACAAACACTACATCCGTGAGCCTTATCCGCGGAAAGGCCGGCATGACTGTCGACGGGACATTCCTCGGCTCTACCACCCTTCCAAACTGCGAACCGGACAACTTCGTCGATCTCTCTCTAGGGGTTGATCCATCTATTCAGGTCACATATGCTAAGCCAACGGTGCGTCGCGCAAGTTCCGGATTCTTTAACAAAGACGAATCGGCAATTTTCACCCGCACCTGCTGGATTAAGAATACCAAAAAGGTTACTGCTTCCATTACCGTCTTTGACCAGGTTCCTGTTAGTGAGGATGAGCATCTACGCGTCAATATCCTCGAACCGAAGGGGCTGGATAGGGAAAATGATAGCGTGAAATTGGATGCTATCTTGGATGGAGGGAAGAAGGGCAAGGGCCAAGTTCACCTAGGCAAGAATGGTCAGGTAAAGTGGACTATCGACCTGCGGCCTGGGAAAGATGTAAAGCTAGTTTTGGAATACGAGAGCCGGATTCCAAGTGGACAGAAAATTATTGGATTGGATTAAGTCTGGTGACTAGTGTGGACTGTTGAAAAATCGTTTGAATATCACTATTTTACTGAAATTCTTGACTATTAAAGGAATCTTGTTCTTGTTTTTCTACAATAGTTATGTAACACAGCTTCTGAAGAATAACGCCACCATCTTAACATAGAGGTATTAAGTGTAGCAAGTCGTGGAAAGTGGAAGGCAACCACATGCAATTGATAAACAAGGAGAATAGAAAACCAAAATGTCGAGGTAAATATTTGAAGACTCGATCAATTTGATATAAGTGAATGCATGTAGCTAAGACCAACTACCATGTAATAAAACTTATTTTAGCTGGTCCTTGACAACTGCTGCAAGTGACGAGTAAATAACAGAGTGAAACTTGTTACTTATAATTATATATTGAAGAATACATGTATATAATAACATAGTTGACTGGTGTCGGCATGCTTAAAGAACACCGCAGGGCCATGGGACAACATTTAAATTTCCTTTGGTTTTCCACACTCATTCTCAATATGACAAGAGTAGAATGATGTATTTTATAGTACAGTTGATATGGAAGTAAATTTATCGAGGGATATGTCAATATGGAGACATTCGGCACTCCCACATGCAAAGAAAAGGATTACAGCGGAGATGGTACAACAGACGCTTGACGCTAAAGGTGGTCTATCCTTGGCAGGTTTTCTGCTACTTGACTAGGCTAGGCCTAGTAAGTCAGTTGATGCACCTTTGGCGTCAGCGTCTGATAGCTTTATGTCAAAATTTATTGTCAACGGTTGATGAGTGACTACATTTGGAATTTTTGACCACTGCGTTCAACATATAAAGACTTTAAATTCCGCTTCTTAGAAGTGATAGATCTTATCAAAAGCTTTTAATTAATATTAAGATTGCTCATTTTAACTATATATTTATATTGATTTTTTATGTCAAAATCCGATTTAATTGTCACTCTGCTTGATATTTTGATTGACGCTGTTATAATATGGCATAATAGTGCTGCGCAGCACCCGATATTATTATAAAAAAGATGTCTGGAAAAAGAGGACCTAATTCTCTTTTAATCTATTATAATATTTAATAGATTTTTATATTGAATCTCTTGCCTGTTAAGTGTGTGGTTTAATGTTGGCTTAGGCCAGATATAATGAGTGGCTATGAGGCTCTGAGACAGGTAGTCCAGGCGGCAGGCAAATTCTGCCACTATATGAACGCGCCAATTACTCAAACAACGGTAGTATCATAACATACATGTAAGCGCCAGGGTTAATTAATTATTCCTATAAATATATGTAGCGTGATTAACATGAAACTAGAACGCCCCACTTCCACCAACAATCCCAGCGACTCTCTATATGAATGGTCTGTTATAAACATAGATATAGCGCTTGTTCTCACCAGTAGTCTGATCGACATTTAGGCGCCGGAAGAAAATGGTTACCACCGACACCTGGAGACATCAATAGGGAGTATACTGATAAGAATGAAATCAAGATACTTTGCCTGATTTTTGATCTAGACTTGAGACTTTACATGTGATTGGATGATTACATGCAAGCACAGTGGGTATTTCCTTACTATGGCACAAGGACCCCCTACTCAAGCGCTTAGCAGTTGTTTGTAGCTTCAAGTGCAGCGATTCCCAAGGCGCGAAGCCCAAGGCGCGAAGACGTGCATGCTTCAGCGCTTGTATCATATTATACGTCTCTAAAGTAGTTGATTGGCAATAGGATTTTCTTTATACAAGTCTCATGCGGGCAAGCGCTTCGAAATCGAAGCCGTCTGTTTCGAGTAATCGTTTATTTGCTATCATCGCATGCAGCCATTTCAATTCAAAGTTTGACCATGCATGTGTTCCGATTTGGCATATGAGCCATGCATTCAATGTTAATGTGCGAATCTAGAGGTGACAAATATTATATAAATCCTCCAATATCCTACTTGACATTGTGTTTCGTAAAAACCCTACTTCTTACTACGTTCATATTCGGCTACAGCTATATATATACGTGTATACATCCTTTACTTTTTCTTTATTCCAGAACAATTAGTTGATTTTCAAAACATGCCTTCCAGCGAGAGAGAATACTGGCGTGCCGTTCAGGTTGTAGAATCTGCCGTTGAGGAGGTCAGATTGCGACAACAGTATGTTGACCGGGCCAACAATCGCCTCATCGAAGCACAAACAAGGTCTTCAGCATCCCGTAAGTTACTTTAAATCTATTGAAATTTGACACCACTTACCATGAGTAATCTCAGAGCGTAAAGCTAGAGGTTGGCTTAGGAGGGAAGAAGGGATTCTTATGGATGCTCAGTCCTCTAGGAGAGAAGCGATCCGTCGTTGTCGTCAGGCTTATGAAGCTTTCTGCGCCTCAAAGTGGGCCGTGCAGTGGTGCGTTATAGGAAGACCTTACGGAGATACATTGTTATTGACCGAAATGAATAGGGGACTTCCTCAGGAACTTGCCGATGAAGTAGCATACTGGGTTAGGGTATCTTAATTGGTAAGCCTAAGTCTCCCTTGCTATTAAAGTGCTGCTATTGGGAACGTCTCTACAAGTCTGATTATATCTGACCTCTTTCTAGGCATGGAATAGAGTCGTGGCCATCTGTGTGGACTGAAAGGAGCTGATGCATTGGCATGAGAGTTTTGTCGGGTCTATTTAATTTCTTTGACGTTTATCAGTTGATTCTAAATCTTTGACGTGTTTGTATATTTACTGCTCTGTTCCTCATCAGGCATGGGTACAGTATGTCATTTCCTTAAGAAATTACGAAGATTTCCATTGATGTTATAGTTGTTACGTGATCGAAGACAAATATACGAAACCAGTACATTATAAAACAGTTCATATTGAAAACTGTGGCCTTGGTCTCTAGAGATTTAATTGCTCTAGAAACAAGCCTTTTCCGACGGCCGAGAATAGAATCGTCATTGCCTAGCCATTACTTTTTTGCATCTTCCTTGAGTGACACGATTCTGTTAAGAACTACAGATTCATCTGAGCTATCACGATCTAGGCAGAAATATGCCACCCGCATCCCCTGGAATCGAACACACTCTGGAGACACATGCGAACCTTCTGGCTTTTCCTCGCCGTCAGATTTTGGCCATGGGGCTCTACGTTTGATTTCGTGGAGACCGATCTCGATCATAGCATTCGGGAAGATCTCCTCCGAGTTTGGATTAACGACAGCAAGAAAACCAGCAGGGTGCGAGTCCGGATTGCTGCAAGTGAAGAGAGGATTGTGGACGCGGGCAGAGGCTTTAATGGGACTATTCAATGATGGACAGTCTGAAATCCAGTGGATGTAGCTAGTAACCAGGTCAGTAATGGCCACTCTTTTAGACCAAGGTTTTGCAACTTCACTCACGCTTTTGGTTTTTTGAATTTACTGCCCTCCTCGGGTATATCATATCTAGCATTTATCGATGTAACAAGTCCACTATTTGGATCTTTCTCGAAACTGGTTGCGGTTATAGGAAACGGAACTTTAAGTAGCCCTACTGATTTATCGGGTGTGAGCCGAAAGAAGTCCTTACTAGGCGTCTCGCGGAAGTCGGCTCTATCGATATAGATCGTTCGTGTGAATGGAACACGATGTGACTGCCTTAATTAGCATGAGACCAATAAAAGTAGTGTTTCCCTCAGATAAACGTACTCCGAATTGCGGATCTTTCGAAAATGGCAGTTCCACCATTTCCAAGTAATCTTCAGGAAGATTATCAATAATAACGGGGATTGGATCGAGAACGACCATTAAGCGGGGGACAGTGAATTCTAAATATTGCCGAACGCATTGTTCAAATTGCTTGACCTCAATAGTCGTTGTCGCCTTGGATGCCCCAAGTAAGCTAACAAATGAAAGAATTGCACCGGGTGGAACGCCTCGACGTCGAAGAGCAATAAGCGTATACAGACGAGGATCATCCCAATCACGAACATGTCCATTCGAAATTAGGTCCATGATCTTCCGTTTTGACAAGACCGTACTTGATAAATTAAGCCGTCCATATCTTTGAATACAAGTTAGTAATGAAGACAGATAATAGCCATTGATATGCCAAACAGCACTCACTCTCTTTGCATTGGCCTATAGACACCAAGCGTGTCACACAACCAGTTGTAAGAAGTTCTTGACAGTTCAAACTCGGTCGTGCATAAAGAATGCGTAATACCTTCGAAACTATCCACCAAGCAATGTGTAAAGTCATAAGTTGGATAAATCTTCCATTTGTCTCCAGTGCGATAGTGAATCCCAGCTTTACTATCTGTGTCCTCTTCAAAGTCGGGACTTTCCTTGTTATCGGGCTTCCGTGGTTGAATCACACGATAAGCAGTTAAATCCCACATCTGGGGATTGCTAGATTTCATGTCCTGCTTCATGCGAAGCAAGGCTTCCTGAGGTCCATACTTGCCATCTCGCATAGCTCGAAACTCTGCAAGTGACTCATCACTTGGACGGTCCCTATGACGGCAAGTAAAACGAGGAGTGGCGCCTTTACCGCCCCCACGTTGCTGGGCAATCTCACTTTCTGAAGTGAACCACGTTAGTGAACCGAAAAGTGCACAATCAGTCAGGTACGTACTCGAGCAATGGCAGACATAAGCGCCATCTCGGCGAATTAAGTCTTCTGCAAGCTCATAAAGATTATCGAAATAATCACTCGAATATGTGACCTTGACAGGCTTGAAACCCAACCATTGAATAATCTCTGCAATAGCTGTGAAATATTTCTCCTCTTCTTTAGCAGGATTGGTATCATCATAACGCAAATAGCAAACCCCACCATGGTGTCGTGCGAATCCGAAGTTAATAGCGATAGCTTTGCTGTGTCCCAGGTGAAGAAACCCATTAGGTTCTGGGGGGAAACGGGTAACAACTCTATCGACTCCAGGAGACCCTATTGGGTTCTCGCGGTATACCTCCGCAAGGAATCCAGATTTGAACATAGACTCTAAATCATATGTGACACCTTCATTGATATCCCTTGGTGGTTTGGATGTTGGTAAAGTAGGTGTCTCTGCTTTCGTCTGTTGATCTTTGTCCTCATGTTGCTTTCGTGGGCGATTTGGGATGCCTGACACATTCGCCGATTCACTGTCTTTGGTATGTGTCATCGTGTCTGAATGATATCAAAGGAAAGATGGCGATGCGGGCGGGGTACGTGTCAAAAAGGTTCTGCGTCTCGCGTTTTCTCCGTCTCAAGTATGCTTTGTGGAGCGGAATATTTTTGCCCCGCGCAGGAGATCAGTGCAGAGCCACAGCTTTTTTTCTTTCCCCCACTTTATCATTGATATATTTGATACATTCCACTGTAATTCTCTCTTACGTGAGTGGATAGCCTGGATTCTCAACTAAATTTACTAAACTTATCTTTCTGCCAATTGCTTTCACTTTATGCTTATCGTGTGACTCATCCACTATAGACTCGGAGTCCATTTGCATAGCCCCTCTGCCCAATGACTGCCTTATGTCTCTACTATCGAGCTTTCTTACAGGCTTTCTCCAGCGTACTCACAGGATGATTTTCGGGATGAAGCGACATAATTCCAACCAGCAAGCAAATCTAGACGCCAATGATAGCTACGCATCGTTGTATTGTAATGGCGAGACGGCCTCCCTAGCACTTGTGGTGTTTGCACGCCCGGAGATACGTCTGATAAGAGATACTGGGTCTTGACGACACGTGACTATTTTTTGGTAGACTCTGGAGCCACATCCTTTAATCTAGAGATACTTCCGAGGATCACGAGTGGTTATGTGTCTGACCCTGAACATTGAAGAACAAGCAAATCTCGACACGTTCTCCCTACTTAGTCGAGTTCAGTATTGGCTCTGCTATCAATAAATGGCTACAACCAGACGTGCTAACAACAGTGCTGTCGTTTGACGCGTGGTGCCCAAATCTTTTCGGCATATTGATATGCCTGAGGCACTTGGTCATGCACGCTCTTTCTTTCCTTCCGCTTTCAACTTTTACTCAACCTCAGTTTACCTAGTTTATCCAAATTGAAGGCATTTAAATACCATTATATCCAAAATTTGCCTTGTTTACCCATAGTAAGTAGTTAAATTCCACATTTTGGACGAACCTGTGCCTGCGCCTGCTTGAGGAGCTCCCGCCGTATGATCGTTACTGACTTGACTCTGCGCAGGACGAAATGTGTGATCGTACATTATTATTTTACAGGCAGTAGACGCCTTAATAAAAGTCTAGTATAAGCTTATTATTATATTATTACCATTCACGATATTATATTAACCAATTAGATCTATACATAGCAATAAAAGTGGTAATATAATCAAAATAGAATACATTTTCAACAGCGATCTTCCTTTTCGAGAACTTCTACCGTCCCTATGTAAAATCGACTCGATTCGATTCACCTTGGGATGCCTGTAACACGTTGCACGGCCTCTTCCTCTGGCAAACGCTGGTCAATAACCCCAGCCACTTTCAGCACATCAACAGTCTTCTCTACAACTTTCCTATCCAGCCCTCTTGTATTCTTTACAAACCTCGTCGCTTTCAGCCACTCTCTCGCATCATCCTCAGTATAGGTGCATCCCAACTCTCCCGTTCCTAATAACCCAACCACTTCGTTTGTCTTACTCTCGAACTCGGCGATACCAGTATCAAACAGACTGAATAACGTTTTCAAAGTCTCATCTTCCTCTGGAGAAGGGAATGTCTTGGTCGATGCAACGATGTGCCATGAAGGCCACGGCGTATATATCTCACCGATTTTCTTGAGCGGTGGAGAGGGATTGGTCGATGGATCAGAGGGTTGGAAATACGGTTTTGTGGTGAAATGCTCCCACATGAAAAACTCTGCCCCTTTCTGCGATCCTGCTGCATGCCCTAAAACGCCCTCCCGTAGAGCAGCAAATGGGCCGAGGATAACAGGTTTCAGACTCTCGGCGGACCAGCCTTGTTGTTGAGAGAGAACAAACGACATGATATGTGATCCACTGCGATGTCTCATTAGTGGCACTTTCACCTAGGCAGGCGGCCAGCTTGTATATATCAACAACTCACCTGCCCAACCGACTCACGCCAACCCGCGAATCCTTCAGGCTATCCACACCATTCAGGTCTGCCCTCTCCTTGCCTGTGACAATTGCCCATCGCAGGGGTGTCTCAACCCACTGTCCCACAATCTTATAGCCCCCTCCACCAGCGGCATTGTTTTCATTTAATTGCTGCTTGCCGGTAAGTCCCGCAATCCATCCTTCAGTAAGACCAATGCCGATATCGATTTCATCCGCGCGGAGAGACGTGATCATATGGCCTGTGCCGGAGGGGAACGGGATGAGAGAGAGTTCAAAGGGGAGGTTTTTATAAGAAGGATGGCGGACGCAGAGGTGGAGGGGTGTCAGGTAGTGCTCTAGGAATGTATCAGTTCTGTTGCTTCAATAACGATCTACAGCGGACGCCGGGATGAGAGAGTACCAGGCACGTAGCCAATTCGGATATTGGGTTTGCTGGACGACATTGTCTTCGGCAATGCGTTGAGGTCTTGTGAAGAGTTGCTGCAAGAATATAATAGAACTGGCAGTGGTGCTGAACAGTCTATTGAATAGGCGGGGTCGAACGCGGGGTTATGGGTTATGTCAACATCCTCCGCATGCTGCTTCCGGAAGAGCGCTGCGGATGATACGATTGTGTAAATCTATGCGTTGACATAACATCAATATGCTATTCACTTATATTCGCGTGTTCTATATGTCTTTCTACAGTCGCTTAACCTGTAAAACCAACTCCAAACAACACTATCAACCCAGACGTATGTCTTTCTCGCTGGTTCCCCACCGGTCGCCTTTTTCTTGTCGGTACTCGGTCCTGCCATTACCATACATCAAATATTGGATACCCAGGTAGCAATCACATATGCACTGGAAAATGGCGCAGAATTTGAATGCAGGGGGAATAACGTCCTTGGTGTAGAACAGGTAGCTCATTTTCATAGCATCACCGAGAAGCCACGACACGAGGACAGATAACCGGAATCCCTTGCAAGAACGCGAGCGTTGGTTTGCAAGGACCTGCGGAACGGGCAGGAAGGCTTCAACACCGAGGCCGCTATATCCCAGAAGACCGATGTAAGTTTGGGAGCGAGAAATGAACGGACAAAACACTTGGATAACGAAGAGGATCGCAGAGAAGTAGACTAGGAAAGTCCAGTATCTGCATCGTATATTAGTTGTTATCAAACCAAGTACTTCAATGGAGATGGACATACGGTTTTTCTTTCCTCCAGCGCCAGAAGTTGTATGGTCGCGGAATGCCAGCATCGGAATGATCTTGTTGCTGGCCAGAAAACGGCACATGTTCGATGCCCTCCTTGGCGCCTGGAGTTGGTCGATAGTTCAATGCAATCTTAAGTAAAAATAATTGCACAAATGTCATATTAACCGCCTGCAACAATAGTGAAATCGCGTAGTGGTCGCCGAACCAGTAGAAAATTCTAATAGTAATCCTCCATTAGATCCTGTTCGCGTCGAGTAGAGAAGCATGAAAACTCACTTGACAATGGATGCGACAAGCATAATCAAAGGTATATCTAACGAGAAACCCGCGGAAGACCTGCTCTTGTGGATACTATAAATCTGGTCGGCATAGGATGTGATAGGGGCAGTGACGAGGCTATTGCAATTGAGTATGGTTAGCCATTGGACTGTCTACGGAGATGCGTGCCATACAAAAATGGAGCGGCATATTCGAGGATGATGTCAAAGAGCCACATTTTGGCGACGGAAAGTATGAGCGAAAGAAGCAGTGGATTGATTAAGATTTTTGAACAATGCCGGATCGCCAGGTGTCAGCGAAGTATCGTGCTGTCAGCCGGCGACAACGGAATCTCGAGACAGCTGGCGTTATAGAATTATAGAAACGACGGATGCGAGGGATAAACGAAAGAATGAGCAGAAGCAGAAAGGATGACAGAGCCAAGCACGATAAGGCTCAAGATAATGCATAATAATAGCAGTTGGGATAAGCATTAGCCCATGCACTTGAATCACATGACTAGACAGGGGCGGTCTTGGCGCTTAGTCATTGCATTATACCTCTGTTTTGGACGCTTTGGTGGAAATGGGAAATTGTTTTAAATAGGGTGGAAAAAGAAATTATATATTCTCTTATCTTAAATAAAACCGAAATAGTTGACATATCTATGCAATACAGTCTATCTTGTGTAGACTATACAGAGGCGAATCGACCGTCGATGCATATATCTAGAACTCGATCTTCCACGATTTACCAATGCCCACATTAGGATTCTTCACAATAGCATAAGCAGCCTTGCCAGCTAGACCAGCAGTAAATTGCAGCGGAGCAGTGGTGGCTTCCTTGGATCCGTCTTCAATCACAGTGACAGTCGATTTCTGCTGCCACTCCAATGGAGCACCAACAACGACAATCCTCTCTACACGCACACCAGCCATGGACTTGAGATATTCTCCAGTCTTCGGGCCGGAGGTGCCAATATCCTCAGAAGAAAGGGTTGACTCGGTGAATCGGAAGCGGCGATGGATGAAAGCGCCCTTTTCAAAATCATAAGTCTCTCCATCATCAACGTAAAGTGTTCCTTCAGCGGCACCATGCTTGTCTAGCACCACGACGAGTGTGTACGGGTCCCATTTCATCAACCCACTACTGCGCCGAGGACGGTCCTTACGAGGAATGACGTGGCCTCCCTGCATGAGGACAGGGGTCTTCTCCAATGGAGCATCGATAGTGTGTGATTTGCCCTTGCCCTGGTAAACCGTGTAGTCAAAGTAGTCGTAATACTTTTCGTCATCAGACAAGTAGATGCTCACGGAGTTCTGGTCTTTAGTGACGATAGGTTTAGCTAACAAACCTGTCGAGGCTAGGTAAAATTGGTCGTCCAGAGCGAAGCCTTGCTCATCTTCAGGATGGACGTAGTACTGGGGTCTGACAATGGGCGAGCCATTAACGGATGCCTCATGAAAGGCGGTATACCACGCGGGAAGAAGTTGATAACGTAGGCGGATTGCCTGGCTGATAATTTGCATGTAGGGGTCGCCTACCAAGTATGGCTCACGACGACGAGTATCGATATGAGCATGAGCCCGGAAAAACGGGTACCAGATACCGGTCTGATACCAACGAACCAATAGATCTTTATCAGGGTTGCCAAAAAATCCACCAACATCTGCACCGGCGAAGGGGAATCCCGAAATACCCTGGTTGAGAACCATAGGCATGGAAATAGCAAGATGGCCCCAGTCGGCTTGGTTGTCACCAGTCCACATGGCGCCCATCCGTTGTGTGCCAGCATAGAAAGAACGTGTGAGAATGAAAGGCCGCTGTATCTCGCCCTTTTTACGCTCAACCAGACCCCGATAAGTGGCGTTCACGACCGTCATACCATTGATAAGGTGAACGTCTCTGTGTTCCCAGTCACCATAGTGAATGTTGTCTTTAGGCATAGTAGTCTCTGGCCCGTTGAATACGGAAGGCTCATTCATATCATTCCAGATAAAGGTGTTGTGGAAGGTACCCTTGAACTTGTCGTATTTGTAAAGATTCTGCCACCACGAGATTGCGGCTGGATTGAAGCAATCGACCCAGTGGGATGAGCCAGGCCAGCACCAACCATCATAAATACTCTTGTCTTTGTTTTTTATGGCCAGATCTTTGCTCTTCAACTCTTCAATAATCGGGTAGCCATTTTCATTCTTGAGATGAGGGTCGATAATGATCACAAGTTTCCGCTCCGACTCATCGAGCTGTTCTTGCATGCCCTTCGGGTCGGGGAAAGTCAGAGGGTCCCATGTAAAGTACTTCTTTCCATCGGTATACTCAATGTCGAGCCAGATAACATCATATGGGATTTGGTATCGATCGAATTTGCGGTCGACATCCTTCACGTCTTCATCAGTCACATAATTCCAACGGCACTGGTGGTATCCAAGTGCAAAGTGCTGTGGGAGCTGCGTATATCCTGTAAGCTCTCCGTAGTTTTTGCTGATAGTCTGTGGATTGGGACCAAGAAAGACGAAAACGTCAAGTTGGCCAGCTTCCGAAAACCAGTGCGTTTGACTGGTTTTCTTTCCAGCAGCTCCCAACGACAGAGGGTTTGCGGTTGACTTAGACTTGACAATGTCGACCCAAGTCTCAGCTGCGTTAAGCCAGAAGACTCCGACGGACGAGTTCTTGCGATGAGCTTGCATGAAAGGAATCGCGCCGTATAAAGTCATTGGACTGTTGAGCTCGTATTCGAACACATCACTGTTATACAGCCGGTAGGGGTCTTCATGGTTTCCAGAGCCGCCGCTAAGAACTATTAGTATGCGGGTACAATGCAACAGGCGCTGCTACCTACCGAGTTTCTCTGAGTGAAAGCGAGTCAGCATGCTCTGGAATGCCGTAGACATGCTCATAGCCTGGGAATGTTATATCGAGAGCAACACTCTCGGGACCCCTTGGTTTCGAATCAGTGTTACCGCCAAAAGTCTCTTCCCACCACGTTGATTCGTCTTCTGGCTGTGTCTCGTCTTCTGGAGCATCTACCTTCGGTCTCCAGTGCTCGAGATTGAGGAAGCCACGGTCATTCAGTTTCACATGAGTTTCTCCATCTCTTTGGAACGACACTTCAAAGGGTGCATGGCGAATCAACGCTCTGTACTGGTTCTCTGGTCCATACTGGACTTTTGTGAAACCAGCCTCAGGCTCCGAACTGAAAGCGGCGGCCCTGTTGAGGTTCAGACCGCCAACAATTGTCCACTTCTCGGCTTCATTGTACCGCTCCTTGCGGATCTTGCTATCATGCCGCAGGTCAATTTCTCCCTTGACCCGCTTCTCCTCATCTAACACAACCCTGGCGAGGCCAGACTCCAAGAACGACACGGTGAGAGGTAGCCGGACCTTCTCTCCTAACGTTGTAGTTTTCACAACAGTCCCTGTCAATAATCCGTCTTTCAATTCGATCGTCGACGATTCGAGTTCATACGGGGATTTCCAAGAGGTTCCAAGTGCAGTGACATCGTCGGCATAGGCTCTGTTGCGCTTGCAGAAGCCTGACTGGGAGCATGTTTTGAAGCTTTCATGCTTAACGGAGACTGAAAAGAAAGGATTAGTGAATGTACGGGCAGGCGAGCAACTTTACTGGGATCATACCAGCCGGTACAATTAGACAGCAAAAGGCGACGACGAGAGTCGCCAAAAACAGCGTCAAGCGCTGCTTCCCCGGCCTGTGCAGGGCCATGATGAAGTAAGGCAACCCAATAAATTGAAGCTCAACCTTCACTATGGATTAGTATAATATGCGATAATTTTGCTCTGACCCCCATCTATATGTATCAGGTCAGGCACAACATTGAAGCTTTGAGCGGCAGATCAATCAGTGATGCAGGAGTGCCAGCAGGGTGAAGCTGCCAGATAAGCCAGACTAGCAGGAAGCTGGGCGTCGTGCGGCATCGTGATTGGCTGGGCTACGAATACTACCAAACATCGCCTATGTGTACCCTCAGTTTCAAAGCTGGAGGGGACGGCAATGGATGCCCACTACTGAGGCGACACGCGCAATGTTTATTGTCTGGCTGGCGGGTGATGGCTACTTTCTGGAAAGAGCATTCTGTTTAATATACATCTGGTATTTGCGTGCCCGAGGCAGCAGACCGCGTGATGATAAGCAAGAACCGGCTTCCATTCTAATTAACTACAGGATGATCGATTAAATCCTTGAAATCCAATCCTGCGAGACAGCAGGCCGGCCCACCCACGTTGTGCCCGCTAAAAGAATAATAAGATGTAAAGAAGAAGTAAATATTGGAGGTTACCCCTCCTCGGCGGCCCCACCGCCTTCTCTGCTGGCGGACCGCAAGTGTATTTTATATTTTTCACCAGCCCACACCTACCTTCTTGCTTCTTCTCCCCTGCATTCAGCTGATTCCAGTCAATCGATTGCTATATTTTCAAAATGTCTACCGAACAGACGTGAGTCCTTGCTGTTAACACCGACTCTTGACCCATACTCCATTCGCACAATCTTTTCTCATCTTTGCGAGTTCCAAAAAAACTAACGCTCTACAGTTTCATCGCCATCAAGCCCGATGGTGTCCAGGTACGAACCACCCTATATGATTTGCAGAACTCAGGCTCGACGAGAGCTTCTTAATTGCAACGACACATAAATAACTGTCCCTAGCGTGGCCTCGTTGGACCCATCATCTCCCGTTTTGAGCAGCGTGGGTGAGTTCTCTCAGAATGCGCGTTCTGCTCCTTTGAAATTCGAACTGACGTTCTCGTGATAGCTACAAGCTTGCTGCTATCAAGCTCGTCACTCCTCCCCGCGAGCAACTCGAGAAGCACTATGCCGACCTCGCCGATAAGCCTTTCTTCCCTAGTCTCGTTACCTGTTCGTACCCCTTATAACATCTTCTTGATTTCCTTTCGATGGATAGGATAGCAAGCTAATAGCCTTTCAGACATGCTGAGCGGCCCCATTTGCGCCATGGTCTGGGAGGGCCGTGACGCCGTCAAGACTGGTCGTGGTATGTAACCTGGTCCCCTTTGACCCTAATAAAATATGCCATACTTACTCGTTTTGCAGTCCTCCTCGGTGCCACCAACCCTCTTGCCTCTTCCCCCGGCACCATCCGTGGTGACTACGCCATTGTAAGTATTGCTCAGTAGCTACTGCGCCCCCCAGTCTAACTCATTGCAACAGGACGTCGGTCGCAACGTCTGCCACGGCTCCGACAGCGTCGAGAACGCTAAGAAGGAGATTGCTCTCTGGTTCAAGGAAGGCGAGGTTGTCTCCTACAAGGCCAGCCAGTTCGACTGGATCTACGAGAAGGCTTAAATGTCACCATAACAAAGTCACTCGATTGAGATGAGATATGACGGTGTTTGTGTGGTAGAGATTTAACCAAAAAGAAGCTCAATGCAATTAGAGAAAAAACGATTCTAATCGAGTAGGCACCGTAAGCCGCTATGACGGTAGTAAATATGTGGAAAAGCTGAAGACAGAATGGAGAATGTAATTATCTGTTACACAGGAATCAAAGGGGGTATCTCAATTGTATGTACGGATCAAGTATATTATCTAGGCAGACCTTTTCTGGAATATTCGCCTCATGCCTCTTCCCAGAGGACCGATGAAGACACGGGCGAACCATGGCGTAGCCCAAACGCTTACGGCAATCCGCACTGGCAAAAGAGCTTTGGTAACAGCATATGCGGCCGCAAATTCAAGAACCAATTGGGCACCCTTTTGCTCGCTCACGACCTGCGATTTCTCATCGCCTGTCGACGAAGCAGTCTTCGCAATCTCCACGTCCTCAGTATCAACCCACCCCTTTTTTGTCATCCACTTGCCAAACCGCTGTACAGCCTCATTGAACGGCCCGCCCTCGCCAATTGTAAGAGTTGGCATCCACCCGGCGTAGTGAAAGGCACCGAAGAGGCCGAATAGGGGGGCCACGGCGGTGAGCTCGTGAAACACCAGGAAGGATGTTATATGCGTGGCAGGCGCGCCCAATAATGGGGTAGTGTAGCCTCGAAGGAATGCCGGCAGCCGGTCATTGAACTTTTGTAGTCGTGAGCGGGCATTTGTTGAGACTTCAGCTCCAGTTCCGCTGGGCGGCGGAGGAGTAGAGGTGAAAAAACGGCGAGCGGAGAATCGAGTTGGTGTGAAGAAGTGCGAGCGTGATATGAACTTTGGGACGGCATGGGAGGGCGCCATTATTATATAAGTAGAATAATCATCATTGTCGTATCCATCAATGTTTTTACTCAGGCTTAGAGTCAGATCTATCACACTATACCTGATTAGGCGGGGAAGCTCGTATGGTGATGCCTGGGAGCCTGAGGCAGGAACGCACAGGTTCAGACTCCAAGTAGAGTGGTTTTCAATGGTGCCCTGATTGCTATTGCATATTGAGAGAGAGCTTAGAGGTGGATATGAGTAGAAAGCTTCGCACCAAGTGAATGGCATTGTACCTTCCGAGTTGTAGGATTCATAGTGAGTGTAAAGGTATAGTCAGTAATGGGCTTTGTGCTGCTGCAATTGGCACTGCATTGCATCGCATCATATCCCAAGAACCTATGAATACCTTCGTAAAGATCGTGTATACTTCTAACTTATATTATATGGTTAACGCCCTAGAATGGGAATTATCGCAGTAAAATGTGTTTTGCTCTGTAATTGGCTCATCCGGAATCCGAAGTCGGCTGCTTTCTTGCATCGCCATGCTGTTTCTTTCTGACGCAGTTTTGGTGACAGAGTGCTAGATACTGGTTTCATCGCTTTCTCCACTTCCACTTCTTAATTGCAAGTTGTCGAGTCTGTCAATTGCATTTTGTGCTCTTATCGGGGACTGAGTTCTGCGGGGAAGATAAAAGAGCGCCCCACCTGCTCGTCCTGAGTCTTCACGCAGCAAAGAAGCCCGCCACCGCAGTTGAAGCTACCCCGTTGATCAAGTAGACTTCTTCACCACCGATCAACAAAAAGAAAATGGAGAAGATCACGGACAAGATCGCGGCATTGCCGCCGGATGGCCACTACTTCTCGCTGGAATTCTTTCCTCCCAAAACCGCGATGGTAAGGCTCCTTCTCAGTCTCTCCAACACATCCATTCCTTCGATTTTGACATAAAAGCTGTTGAACAGGGTTCGGTGAATCTTCAAGCACGTCTAGAACGTATGGCGCAAGCCCTTCGACCACTTTTCGTAACTGTGACATGGGGCGCTGGAGGCACGACCGCAACAAAGTCCCTCGAATTGGCCGAGATCTGCCAACGTCAATTACAACTAACGACATGTCTTCACCTCACATGCACCAATATGAACCGGAAATTGATCGACGAAGCATTAGAGCAAGCTAAAGCTCTTGGTATCAGGAATATCCTTGCTCTAAGAGGCGACCCACCACGCAGCGGAGATTATAACGTGGAAGGTGATGATGATAGCAATACAGATTTCACGTGGGCGATAGATCTAGTCCGATACATTCGACGTGTTCACGGTGACTATTTCTGCATCGGGGTTGCTGCATACCCAGAAGGTCACCCAGGAGAGTCGCAAACCGATGTGCAAGACCCGGAGAAAGACCTTCCCTACCTTGTCGAGAAAGTCCAAGCAGGGGCAGATTTCATTATGACCCAGTTGACCTATGATATCGAGGCATATAAGAAATTCGAGAATAGATTACGCAACCACCCTTCAGGGGCTATGAAAACAATGCCCATTATCCCTGGTCTTATGCCTATCCAAGGATACAAGATTCTCACACGAGTTACTAAGCTCAGTGGTGCCCACATCCCACCCCCTATTATGTCGCGAATTGAAGCTGTCAAGACAGACGACGAGCAAGTCAAACAAGTTGGTGTTGATATTGTGAGTGAGATTGTGGATTCAATCAAGGATATATCCTGCCCCGGCCCTCGCGGCTACCACTTTTACACCCTCAACCTGGAAAAGGCTGTATCGTTCATTTTAGAACGGTGCGACTTAATACCACAATCAAGCGAACCTGATGCTGCAGATGACGAGATTGCCATTGAAATAACTGCGATGAATGGCACTGACGGTATCAAATCTGCTTTCTCACGACGACGAGCCTCATCTATTAACTCCGGCCCTCATAACCGAGTCATCGTTGATAAGCTGCACGTTCCTACCGACCAACAATCAGAACACTCTTCGAGAAAATCGATTACCTATGAGACTCTCGCTTCTAGTGCTGGTGTTCCAGCACTGAATCCCCCTCCCCGCAGCACCCAGCTACAAATTTCAGAAGGCATAGGATCTCTAGGTCGTGAAGCAACCTGGGATGATTTCCCTAATGGACGCTGGGGTGATGCGCGCTCGCCTGCATTCGGCGAAATCGACGGTTATGGTCCATCATTACATGTCAATGCTACTGTTGCAAAGCAATTATGGGGTTTCCCAGTGACCAACTCGGATATCAGTACTCTCTTCCGAAAGCTCGTATCTGGAGAACTGTACATTATTCCCTGGTCTGAAGGAGGTGCGGCTGAAGACTCAAACCTGAATGCTGAAACCGACACTATAAAACCCCAGCTATTGAAAATCATCGACAAGAACTGGTGGACACTTGCCTCACAACCTGCAGTTAATGGCGTCCGCAGCGACGACAGCGTCTTCGGCTGGGGACCTCCCGGCGAAGGCTTCGTTTTCCAAAAGGCATTCATCGAGTTCTTCTGCCCTAGCTCCGACTACAAGAACAAAGTTAAGCCCACGCTCCTTAAACACGGTAGTGACGAATTCGCCTGGTTCGCCACCAATGCCACAGGGGACTTTGAGTCCTCATTCTCAATTTCCAATACCGCAACCCCCGAAGCCACACCGAACGACCAGTCCACTGCTTCCGACGCAGACGAAGACTACGTCGAACTCCCCGAAAACCAGGGCATGGCTGTCACCTGGGGAGCCTTCCGCGGCAAAGAAATCACCACACCGACGATCATCGAAGAAGTCAGCTTCCGCGCATGGGGCGAAGAGGCGTTCCGGATCTGGGACGAATGGCGCCGTATATACCCGCGCGGGTCTGCAACAGAGCGGTTTCTGGCGCAGACTAAGAGCGATGTCTGGCTTGTCTGTGTCATTGGACAGAGATTCGGAGCTGGCACAGAATCTGGTTCTGCGGAAGAGAAAGCAGAGATGGGGATGTTGTGGAATGTGCTTGCGAGTGCAGAGTGATAGCGGTCGAAGATGAAAGGGGGCTGACTGTAGACTTAGGCATATATATTAACTTGCATTAAGGGATGTGGTTACGAAAAGTAAATTAATTCAACATTGTTTTGGTGGAGGAATGAGAATGACAGTGCATAAATGAAGAAAAGTATCAGCCAGTTTAATTGCTTTGATGTAGCCTTAATACCTATGTCACTTACTACCACTGACGATTTTCTGCCGAGACACTCCTTTTCTTTCTTTCTTATTTATTTTTCCATCTTCCTCGATTTTCACGTTAGCTTCTCAAGCACTCGTTTATCGTCGATGACCCCAGGTTGTGCAACAAGCGAAAATGGAGGGACATAACAACTTGAAGTTGTTCAATCGCAGCTTGGTGGGGAAATAAATCGACTTCGAATACCAACAACTGGACTCAGGCCCCATTTACCGGCGTCAGAATTTGAGACGCGCGAGGATAGAGAGAAATAAGATACTGACAAGCTACCTTGCTTTTCGTCCAGTGAGCTCGAGGCGCTGAAGAACCTGCGTGAACAAAGGTGCCTGTATTCTCCAAAACTCCAAAACCACAAACAAGTCAAACATAATGAGTCTGGAATTGTTCCTAGAAGTTTCATTTTATATCTACCAATCTCGCGTTAGCCGGCCGTTACACTGGATGAGGACCTCTTTGGGGACTGAAGCGGGAAGTCCTCTAGACCCTTGGGAAATGGCAGATCCGCCAGAGGGTTGGAAGACTCTGGCAAATGACGGCAAAACCATTGATAAAGAGAAGTGGCGTTTATAAAGACATCCCTGGTTTTGTACATAATGAGCCATGCTAGTACATCAGTTTTCCAGTCTGGGTTGGTGTCATTATGATATATCTTTTTGGCGTCAGTCTATACAAATTCTAGGAAATCATAACGATCATTTTGCTGTTGGACAGCATACGTATTACACTCGTAAGTGTTCAGTATAGATCGGTGAGGGGTGTCTGGTTGATCACGGGATATAATGTAAAAGTGGTAAGAAGCAGTGACAGCCCAGTATCTACATAACAAATATGTGCAAAGTCAGAAACCTGGTGTTCCGCTGTCCATGGCAAAATCCTTGGCCCTGGAATCGTGCAATGACTGTTTTGAAGGGAATACATAGAGTAAAGAGCCGTCTTTAACTGTCTTTCTTGAAAGACTTGATAGGCCTTTTAAGATACCAATACGCTTGAACATTTATATCTTACCTGTCCTCCCATTTAACAGATGGGTCATCCAAGAGACTTAGGAACTCTGGTCCAATATCATCGTATGCTGCGTCACCGTTTTCGTCGTATGTATGGGGCTGCATCTGGACAATAAAAACATCGACGTCGGCAGCTTTTGGGAGAAGTCTGCGCGGAATACGGTGGTCTTGTGCTCAATTTTGGTCACGCAGGACAGGGAAGTACAGGATCAGGTAGGGCCCACCATGAGAGCCCGTCGCAGATCTGGTAAATGACCCATACAATAACACCATTTCCCTCTGTGCATGCTGTCTGCTGTTTTCGTAAGGACCAGGGTATACGGTGCAGAACCATGAGCTGGAATCCTAACTCCTGTGATTTGGACAGACTCTGGCGAAGGAGGCGGCGGTCGTCTGCTATCGAGGAATACACAAAGACCATACAGAAAGCCAGCCGAAATATAGAAGGGTCATATGTAGAAAAGGCCAGAAAGAATAAGGGCATCCATGGCCAAAGCAAGCAGTTAGCATAGAACACATCTGCGCTGAACATTATAAAATGCCCTTCCTGATCCTAACAACATTGCATAATAAAGCATAAAGGCAACGACAGTTTTTGATCACAGCCTTCTATTGTTACACTTATTATTATATATGGCATACTTGTGTAAGGAAGCTGCATCAATTGATATCTCTTTTACGTATAACATACATATGTAATGATCAAATGACCTCAATATAATTACTGCATTGATTAGAATAAATTTAAAAGATTCTATGTGCCCATTTACAGTCGAGAGTAACATAGACTCAGATGCCGCTTTTCTCACCCATGCCTTTCTCTTCCAGCCCCTCTGCATCCGTATCTGGCGTTGCCACAGAAGATTGAGACTCAGCATATTTCTCCAGCGCGTCATTCAGCCTCCCATACGCAGGCGCATTTCGTTTCGGTTCTTCACGTTTGGATACGTAGGAACTGTAACCTCTCAATCTATGCGTATCAATTAGCATTTCATGTCCAATGAACGGGATGACAGGGAGCCATACCTTGGTCCCTGACCGGTCTGTTCGGGAAACGACGATTCGTATCGCCGCTCAAAAGCCATCGAGTCTGCCTCAAACGTGCCATTTGCAATCGACCTGCGAACATTGGTGAAAAAGAGGTCCATGACATGATAGTTGTGAATCTGGAGGAGTGTCCAAGCGAGCATTTCTTTCACAGAGAGCAAATGACAGACATATGCGCGGTGATGGTTCTGGCATGCGTAGCATTCACATCCCTCTTTTAGAGGGGCGAGTGAGATTGCGTGTGAGGGGTCCCAGAAGTCGACAGCTAACGGTTTTGGTGTCGAGCTGCTTGCTTCGTCATCTGCCTCATTGGGTAGGAATGAGAAATCTAGAGCGATGCCGGCATTGGAGAGATTGCCGATGAACGGTATGGTAAGAATGTCAGCCCCAAGAGCAATCTCGCGAAGGACTTGTTGTGGTGTAGCTGGTTCGCTGAAGCATAGTCGAGGGAGATCGCCAAGTTTTTCGGGAATGATATCTAATGAGGCTGCATCGTAAAGAGCGAGGCCGGAAATGTTGGGTCGCAACTCGCCCACGAGATCATCGAGGTATAGCCCTTGCTGGGTATTCTCCAATGGCAGTATTGGGGCGAAATATAACGGCCTATGCTCGGAATTTGTAGGGTCTGTCTCGTGGTATATCTGATTTGTGGCATCTCGGGTGTAGGCATGCGTCCGATCTACCATCTTCTCTCGCCGCTTCACCCCGGGAGGGTACCCATAGCATATATCTGACATGCCAATGACAATATCTGGGCGAAGCTTCTTGAGCGAATCAAGCCAGTATGGGGCTTCCAGATGGTGAAATCCAACGGACGTGAGCACGGCGACTCCATTTGCGAGATTCGATTGCGGCGTCACGACCGGCGGTGTCCTGCGCGTTCCCAGCACGAGTATATCATCATCCCGGGCTGCTATAAACTTTCGAAGTCTAGACTCGTGCGGTGCTTGCGGTATATTGAGAATTGGGGGGGTCGCTTGAGGGGCTTTCTCTAGAACTGCACTGGCCAGGGAAGAAAGAAGTCAGTCTCTGCGCAATTTTCAACACACATAATGGGAGGGAAATAAAGTGTACAATCTTCCAGCCCCAGATATAGGCTCCCAATAGAGGTATGCTCTCGAATCACATCTGGCGCGAGATGGGGGATTGTGCCTCGCGACGTGATTGCGACATAGTGCGGCGTCTGTATAATTTTTCTGCCGGGAATGACGAACTTGCCCACGCGAGGGGCAAGAACCGATGGTGCGGGGTGCAGGAGAGAAAAAGGGCTCGGCATTTGCTCTGGAAGCTGAGCAGCCTCAGACACCATCTTCCCTTGGAGGACAGTCGAGAACAGAAGACGCTATAGTGGGAAGCCGTGTTATAATAATGGACAGGGACTAAGGTCGATGCCCGCTGTCCTGTCCACCACCTGGGGGGCTGTGTTGACCGCCTGACTCCCGAGCCTCTTTCTCCTGCTCGTTCACCAAAGCCGTTTGCAAGCAGCAGTCCTGCAACGGAGAATACAGCCTTGCTTTGAATCGTTCCTGGCGCACTCAAATATGGCGCATGACAAGATCAAGCGCGGGGCTCTGGTGGTGGTTGAGGGACTGGACCGCGCGGGAAAGTCCAGCCAGTGCGAGTTGCTCTACCGCAGTCTTTTGGACATGAACTACAAGACCGAGTATATCCGCTTTCCAGGTGTGTGCTTCTCTAGTTCTCTGCGTTTGCTATCGCTTTTCTAAGTACATCAATAGATAGAAGCACGCCTATCGGGAAACAAATCGACAGCTATCTACGCGGTCAATCGCAATTGGGCGATCATTCGATCCACCTGCTATTCTCGGCCAACAGATGGGAAGTTGCCCAGAGTATTCAGGATGATATCGCTAAGGGGATCACTGTCATTGTAGATCGCTATTCATATTCTGGCGCGGTCTACTCTGCTGCCAAAGGCAACCCGAACCTGTCGCTTCACTGGGCATGGCAACCAGAGGTCGGCTTACCTCGCCCGGACCTCTGTTTATTCCTAAGTATATCGCCAGAGGAGGCTGCCAAGCGGGGAGGCTATGGTGTAGAGCGATACGAAACCGACTCGATGCAGAAACGGGTGAGGGATTTGTTCCTATCACTCCTAGATCTGCCACACAATGATGAAATCTGCGTTATCGATGCTGGAAGACCAGTAGACGAAGTGGCACAGGACATCTTAGAGCCTGTTCTCGAGTGTATGAAAAATGTGGACTCTATTGGATCGCTCAAGAAGCTGGCCCCATGGTCATTTATTCCCAGCGGTGAAAGCTCGGCGATTCGCATAGACAAATGACGAGCTGCTGTCAATCGAATATGTCAGAATCCTCTGCCTCGCTGTCTTCGATGACGATTTCGATACGTGAAGTGGTCTTCTCTTTCGGCTTTGCAATTGCATGTTCTATAGTTTCCTGATCAGACGCGACATCTACAGCGTCGATCCAATTTTCATCGAAACCATCGTCATCATCAACGACATAATCGCGATCAAGTATATTATCAACTGCTTCGGTTAATTTTTCGTCACCCTTGCATGTCTTTTTGTTACTGGCGTTTGTTTTGCGTATTCGTTTCGTTTTGAATAAGCTTGTGATGGTATCTCCGCCTCGAAGCCGTAGCGTCACCTCTTTTATCAATTCGGCCCATCTGTTTTCTCGGTTGCAAGCTGGACAATCGCCAATGGTTGGAACCAACTCTGTGCTTCCATCTTGTTCGAGGAAAAGTCGCGAGAGGCACACCAAATGCGACGCAGCGCGGCAGTTTGGATGTGAACAGACGACGATCACATCGCTTTGCACAGATAAGCGTTTCTTACATACCTCACATAGAACAAGGTTGGAATCATCCAACAAGAACAACGATTTTTCTAAGTACTCCTTCATTCCATTATAGCTGGCGTCGATATGGGCCATGTCATTAGCCGGCAGATGCGGGTTCAGGAAACTGACACCCTCGGCCTGAAGATCCAGTTTAATATGCATATTATCCGGGAGTAGCCCATCGACACGCTCAGTCCAGCGTTGCCAATGACCATAGGCGTCTGCAGACAAGAAACGCACAACTAATGGCCATGTCCTGAAGTAGTCTGAACGTAGCAGCTGATGTAGATTTCCTAGGTTTTTCGCTAGAGACTTGGAGGCGCCGGATCTCTTGTTGCTGCCAGAGTTGACTTTAGCTTGATGGTTAGTTCGATTCAAGATATCACTTTCGACTATATCGATGTGTCGACATTTATGCACGTTCTGCCACGACCACCTGTAAGCAATGCCCGAGTCAGCAGAAGCTCTGTCGGGTGCCGTGCTCAGCCAGCATACTCGAACTGCAACGCGCCTGTGCGACTGGTGAATCCCTCGACAATGGCCACCATTTGCCAGGGTCTGAGGGTTTGTGCGGTTGTCCTCTTTGCGCCACCACGTGAGATGCCATTGTGCTGTTCTAAGCGTCGGGCTGGGTTCGGCGTGGAGCCGATGTACATACAGTCGCTTTTTTTCGACGAGCGCAGGAGATAGCAGCAGTAGAAGGCGGGCATTGGTTTTGCCCGGGACGAATCGTCGGTCATTTTGCCGCTGTCATTGTTATTTTCATTGTTATTGTCAGTGTGATTGTTATTGCTACCAGTCGCGTAGGAATTACTCAATCACAACATTGGATGCAGTCGCTATCGACAAATCACGTGATTATCGAGACTATCAGCTCTGCAGAATCCTTAGGAATCGGGCATCAATTAACATGATTTTATCATTTGTTACTTTATTATCAACACAAATATCAAATGCCATGCGATTATCGGTCTTGCCAGCTGCATGCCCATGAACAGCGAGCGCCGAGCCAAGATAGGAGCCAATAGATGCACTGTAGCGGTCATACCCGCTATGCTAGAATCGAGGAACAGCAATCAATAATGATATTAATAGCAAGGACATGAAATATAGTCATAATGAAAACGATCAGTGGTGATATTAATAGAAGGCATAAAGAAGTCGTTATAATTCCATCTCAAATCGACACGTGATAGTAGACCCGCGGGCTAACAGGATCATTAATTACGGTATGAATACCGTATTAATGGATTGATGTATTCTTAGTTAATAGTGCTATTATCATTGATCGTTGCATAGTCAGAGGGTCATATTGATCCTTACCCTAGTGCCGCCCCGTGGAGGCTAAATTCGACTGCAGTCGATGCATCCTGCACGCCTACTCACTAACTGGGCAAGACCTGCAGCCTGTTCGATAACAGTGGTTCGATGACAATATCCATGGCCCTGCTGGTGCTGGCCGGCTTAATGAGCTGATGGCAGGTTACGGGGGCCCAGCTGAAAGCAACTCGCCGCAGAGGATCTATCTGGTCTGCGCCGCACCGACCGTATGATGCCGACAACAACTGGCTGAGACGATTGATAAACCGACCAGCGGGCTATCTTCACCCCACGAATGTGCACTGCAGAATCGCCATTAATGTTATTAACAGTGCCGAAATGACAATATAGCAGTCCGCTTCTCTTGGCTTCCGTTTGCATACAGACAGGAATGCCCGTACCTTTATCGCGGAACTGGATGTATCAGATCGGCGTCCCGACCGATGACTGGGCTCAACCCAAGCAACTTGAAGAATTAGATAAGCCATAAACATAGAATGGCAAATCAATAATCAACGCGTAAAAAATCATTACTTTCATGCCACAATAGTAATTAAAGAGCGAGATGTTCCATGTTTCTGGGCCAGCAAGGCCTCGGTACCAGCCGGCTCGACCTATCACATCATGCTGGTGGGGAACAGCCGCCCAATAGCGCCAACAGCTCCCACGCTGCCTCAGGCTGTAGGGCCCCCTCCGGCAGCTTACTCACCCGCTTCATTCATCCGAACTTCTCATACATGCACAAGTACGCTGGCTGCTTTCCTCTGCATCCTCCTCCGTCGTCCCTCTGCTCCCTCCCACCCCCCTCCCAGTCTTCCTTTCTTTATTCTCCTGTCTCATATTACGTTCACGACTGCTTGTATTCCCCCCTCCAGCCGTTAGTTCTGCGTTTCGCCCTTCTGGCCTTCTGCGCCGCCCGTTATCTCTCTCTCATATCTCCTCCCCCCTCGTTGTCGTTCTCTCCAATGCCGTTCCAGCAGCCCACCCACCCTTGATAGATTTGGCACCAGCCCTTTTTGATACAAAATCTTCTCCACGTCACTCCAGCGCTACACTGTCCTTGGTAAGAGATGGTGGCTCCTGCATCGGCAGGAGCGAATGCGCAATCCGCAGCAGCCCGCCAGCGGCCCAACTCGTCGTATCCCTCGTACGGCCACAATGTGCCATTGAGTATTCGTCGCTCGACGCCATTGGACCTTTCGACCGTGGAGCGCCGTGGTCAGCCCAGCGCGACTCGAGAACCAACGAAGCGGGTGCGCCCTCACGGCCTACAGGAGGCTCCTACCTTCCGCCCTACCGAAGAGGAATTCAAAGACCCATGCGAATACATTCGAAAAATAGCTCCGGAAGGCGCCAAATATGGTATATGCAGGATTATTCCACCAGAGAACTGGAATCCGCCTTTCGCGGTGGATACAGAGGTACGCCGATTTTTCCATATTCTCTACCCCCCTTAACAAAACTTTCTGAAGTGCCATTTTACTGGCATTACGCCTAATAACTCGCTAACACACTTTTCATGATAGCGCTTTCATTTCAAAACTCGTCGTCAAGAGCTTAATTCGGTCGAAGGAGGTATGCCCCAGCGTTCAACAGTTGCTGTTGCCGGTGGAGCTTCCCAGGACCAGCGTTCTGACCCAGAATCAGGCACCCGGGCGAATTTGAATTATCTCGACCAACTGTCCAAATTCCACAAACAACACGGCACCAACCTGAACCGATTCCCGAGCGTCGATAAACGACCGTTGGATCTATACAAATTGAAGAAAGCCGTGGAAGTCCGAGGGGGTTTTGACCAAGTCTGTAAGCTGAAAAAATGGGCTGAAATCGGGCGCGATCTGGGCTACAGTGGCAAAATCATGTCCTCACTCTCCACTTCACTCAAAAATTCATACCAAAGATGGCTGCAGCCTTACGAAGAATATCTTCGTGTTGCTAAACCTGGAGTGCAGCAGCAATTGGAAGTTGAACAAGGTGGGCCATATACACCATCTCCGAATCGCTCGCCAGTAGCCAAGCGACCCATGTCCGCTACCCCTTCGAACCCACATCCAGAGTCCCCCGCAATCCGAGCCTCTTATATCCTCAATGCTTCGATCGAGACCGAGGGAACCCCTGACGGCCCGACACCTCCTTCCGAAGTTCCTGCGCGACCTGCTTCTGGTTTTATAGCAGTCAACAAGCCCAGCGGCTTCACGCCTGTCAACCGCTCGCCGTCCTTTATGACTGTTAACAACGTTCCACAGGTGAAAAATGAGAACGAGATTGGCTCATCAACCCCGAAGAGCATTGCCCCGCATCCTGGGAAGGATGTTGAAGCCAAGCAAACTCCCATCACCAATGGAGATGGTGCTCATCTACTAAAGCGGGCAATTAGCCATGATAGTCTCGCTACAGACTCACAAGCTGATTCCCCGGACCCAGATGGCTCTGGCCGGAGAAGCAAAAGACTGCGCAAAGGTCCGTTTTCCCCAAGGAGATAATTACGATTGTTATCGTTAACAGCTCTAATCCACAGACGGTGTTCCAATGGTCGCAGGCTCTCACATGAGTCTTCTTCGCCCGACACCTTCGAAGGGGAAACCAAAGACTGGCACGCGCAAGACTGGCGAAGTACGTGTCTCATTTTTCTACGCGTTGAATTATATGCTAATTTCTTCCAGAAATGTGAATCGTGTGGAAAGACCGACAGCCCGCAGACGATCTTCGTTTGCGACAGTTGTGACAATGGATATCACAAAGCCTGCCTCGACAACTCGCTGAATGCGGACCCGGATTATGACTGGCATTGTCCCAAATGCCTTGTTGGAACTGGCGAATTTGGCTTCGAGGAAGGTGGCATCTATTCACTCAAACAATTTCAAGAAAAAGCGAACAATTTCAAGAAGAGCTATTTCGCCCCTCGAATGCCTTTTGACCCAGTCCTCAATACGCAACGTCGTGAAACGGAGGATGACGTCGAACGCGAGTTCTGGAGACTGGTCGAGAGCTTGACGGAGACTGTCGAGGTCGAGTATGGAGCTGACATTCATTCCACAACACATGGAAGTGGTTTCCCCACAATTGAAAGAAATCCTCTGGATCCATATTCCCACGACCCCTGGAATCTGAATGTGATGCCTTTTTATGGCGAGTCTTTGTTTCGGCACATCAAATCTGATATTTCCGGCATGACTGTGCCTTGGGTCTACGTTGGCATGTGCTTTTCCACCTTCTGCTGGCACAATGAAGATCATTATGCATACTCTGCCAATTATCAGCACTTTGGTTCGACAAAGACTTGGTATGGTATTCCTGGGAAGGATGCTGAGGCTTTTGAAGGAGCGATGCGTCAAGCCGTCCCAGAACTGTTTGAAACGCAGCCTGATCTCCTCTTCCAGCTGGTAACACTTCTACCCCCAGACCAGCTGAGGAAAGCAGGCGTCAACGTCTATGCACTCGACCAAAGAGCTGGTCAATTCGTTATCACGTTCCCTCAAGCATACCATGCAGGTTTTAATCACGGCTTCAATTTCAATGAAGCTGTCAATTTCGCCCCGACCGATTGGGAGCCATTTGGTGCGCTTGGTGTCGAGCGGCTCCAAGCTTTCAGAAGACAGCCATGCTTTTCGCATGATGAGTTGTTGCTAACAGCCGCAGCTAGAGATTCTTCAATTAAAACTGCGAAATGGCTTGCTCCGGCCTTAGCCCGTGCTGTTGATAGAGAAATAGCGGAACGTGAATCTTTCATCTCGCGTCACAAGGAGATCTATCCACACCAGTGTAAGTTCAGTGGCGAGGATTGGTCTGCGGATGCAGAATGCAAAACACAGTTTGTAGTGGAAGAGGAAGATCTTCCAGAGGAGGATTATCAATGCCATTATTGCAAGGCCTATACTTTCTTGACTCAATTCCGGTGTCACAGCACAGGCCGCACTATTTGCCTGACCCATGCAGATACTTACGACTGCTGCGGTATACCCACTGCTCAGCGGATGATGGGAGACAACCATACATTACGATATCGGTTGACAGATGACTCTCTAAGGAAGTTGGTTCAGAAGATCAAGGAGCGTGCCGGGATCCCTGAAGCATGGAGTGAGAAGTTGGATAAGGTGCTGGAGGATGAAACCAAGCCCCAGCTAAAGGTCCTCCATAGCCTCCTAAACGAAGGTGAGAAAATCCCTTACCACTTGCCCGGCCTTCAAGACCTGGCGGCTTTCGTTCAGCGGTGCGACAAGTGGGTGGAAGAAGCCAATAACTACATCACGCGGAAGCAGCAAAACCGCAGGAAGAACGAGAAAGCCTGGCGTAAAGGCACTTCCAAAGCCGCCCAGCTTGAAGAACGCGACCGTGAGCTTCGCAGAGTGGAAAATATCCACACTCTACTTGCAGAGGCTGATAAACTGTCGTTCGACTGTCCACAGATGGCGGCCCTGGAAGAGAAGACCCGCGAAATCGAGAAATATCGTCAGGAGGTCCATACCGCCCTCAACTCTAGTACACAGTCCATCTCCGAGATAGAGGAATTGGTTGAATCAAGTCGCAACTTTAACGTGGATCTTCCCGAGGTCGAGAAACTTGAGACTATGCTTCAACAGATGAAATGGAGGGAACAGGCCCGATTACAGCGCGACCAGCAGCTTACTCTCAAGGACGTTCAGGAGCTGATCCAACAGGGCGAGGAACTTGGCCTTACCGAAAGCGATCAGGATCTGCAACATTTTAAAGCCCTTTACCAGTCCGGCGAGGCATGGGAAGCGAAGGCTAAGGAACTGATGGCTGTCGAGGCTGTCCACTACGTCCAGCTGGAAGCGCTGTCGGCCCAGGCTTCAAGGTTTCCCGTATCCCCAGAAACACGTGCCCAGGTTGACGCGATTTTGACCAAGCAGCGCGAGGCCCAGAAGCATATCCAGACCCTCTATGAACGTAGTCAGGACCCAGATCTCCGCAAGCGGCCTTCGTACAAAGAAGTTCGAGAATTGATGGAGTCACTCGAACAACTTAATAGTCGACCCGTTGGGGCTCTTGATTTAGAGCGCGAACAAAAGCGCCACGAGGACTGGATGCGAAAGGGCAAGAAGCTTTTTGGCAAGGCAAATGCTCCGCTTCATATTTTGAAATCTCACATGGAATTCGTGGAGAAGAAGAATGCCGCATGCTTTGATTTGGAAGATCGTTGCCGACCGCCTGTTGAACCTTCTTCGCGGGTAATACGCCTGATGGTCTTTTGGAAACCCATACTTCAAACTGGTGGGAGGCCAAATCGCGCAAAAGAGATGTCTTCTGCATTTGTAGACAACCCGAAGCTGGAATGATGATTGAATGCGAGATTTGTCACGAATGGTAAGCTTTGTATACCCCTTGTTCAGGCCTTGACGTATATTAATTGAAGAAAGGTACCACGGTAAATGCTTGAAGATTGCACGAGGCAAGGTCAAGGAGTATGATAAATATACTTGTCCCGTATGTGACTGGCGGAGGAAGATTCCCCGTGATGCGGCACGCCCTAAGCTGGAGGACCTACAGGACTGGCAGGCAGAAATTGCAGGTCTCCCCTTTCAACCGGATGAGGAGGATGTTTTGGAAAATATTGTCAAGGGAGCAATGCAATTTCGAGAATTTCTTCACAGCTCTACTAATGCGGCTTGCACAACAAGCGAAGAGGTTCCGACATTAATTTTTTATCTTCGCAAAATTGAAGGTGCTGAAGTGCTTCTTGCCTATGAAACAAACTTCTTCCGTCAAGAAATTCACAAATGGGCTCCAGTAGCCCCAGAGCCTCCTCCAATCTTGGAACAGTCTCTTTCAACTCGAAAGCCTCGTCCTACGAAGAGTCAAAAGATCATGGCTCAGCTAGGTGTTGATCGCGTTGAAGATCTCCCCGTTCACCTCCGTCCTAAAGCGAGCCACGCAAATAAGCGCAAGTCTATGGATGCATCACAAACAACCCGCACCCAATCGTCTTCTGTGGGGGCTGATGGCAGTACAAATGGGAATCCACAGGCTCTCTCCGGAAGCACCGATGGTGTATTAAGTGCAGGACCCAACAATTTCTTTTCTGGCGACTATACAAACCAAGCAAGAGATTCTAGTCCATCATTGCTTCTCTCTTCAACACCAGAGCCTGGCCCATTACTTACGCAAGCAGCTAATCAGTCGCCAACATTTCCGCCGCGCTCACCTCGTGGTCTTGATCAGCCCCTTTTTAGTGCTCCGTCTGCCTTCCGGAACCCGCAAGAGAACGTTTCTGCAGTGGAAATTGACACCAGCAATCCTTTCGGCAGCAGTCCACCCCGTCAAGAAATAAACGATGTCTTTGCGGCATTAACCAATGAAGATGCCGATAATGTCGAGCTGATGGAGAACACCCATGCAAACGAAGCATTGGAGGCATTAGACGTCAGCAACGAGGACGAGCGCGAAAGTTCCGGTTCTATAGTTGATGACGGAAACCGCGGCGAAGATACCGATGGATTTTGATTCATGAATATGATGTAAAACAATGGAGTTTTCAAAGTGGTTTGATGGATTTTGATCGCATTTGGGCGCACACAATACTAGTAGGAACTCGGGCGTCTTTGGTTTCGTTTCTCGTCTAGGAGGCGCGTTTAGCTAGAAAAGCATGGCGTTTGAAGACCCTAGGTTCGTGGGTTTGCGGTATTGTTTACTTTTATCAGTAAAGAGTCTTTTGCTGATATGAATTTTTCACTTTTTCTACTTGCCATTATTCGATGATTCCTCTCTTGCGTGTATGACATCGTTATCTTTGATGTATGAATATTTTAGTCAGGTGGAAATGTACTATTATCCTATTCTCGGAATTGTTTTTTCAGCTATCAATTGATGAGATAATTAATCTTCTAATACGGGCTGAATCAATCACTTCAATATCAGTGCATGTGATTACTAGATACATGTATTCTTGGCCGCTGAGTGAAATCGCCTGTATATATGTACCAGTCCATATACCTTTTCTAGGAATGAAGGCTAAATTATCTGAGGTGACTGCTGGCGCTGCTTGTAGAATAGTTATTCTCCCTTGTCTCCTCTATTCCATTAATTGATGTTTTCAAATGTCAGTTTTCTACTTCAAACGATACCGAATAAACTTTACGCACATATTGTCGGTTCCTCACCGTCGTAAGCTGTATGCATAGATGAAAGCGTCTTGTATTGATGTATCTGAAAGCATTAGTAATAATAACATTACTTATTACAATCGTTATTTCGAAGAAGGTGGGTGAGTACAACACCCTCCACAAGATTGATCGCAAGCGTCATGTTTCTACTCCGTATACTCTCAATCTTGGAGCACTTAGCATGAATTCCCGTGTCCCCGACTCGACGAGATTCTCCATGGAAATCAGCATGCTGCATAAGCATTATATTTTCCCTGCTTGACAACAAATATACCGGAAGTGTGGCATTGGTCGGGTTGAGCCGACTGTCTTGACCACCAATTCATCCGACATCAGGTATCGCGTGATAAAATGTGGATTGTAAGTAGTCAAGCCTCAAAGTATATCTCCTATAGCTGCATGGTTGTAAGCCAGTTTCCCACGCAGCCTCATCCACGTGTTGACTCTGTCTTGTCTCATGGAAGCCCTTAAATCATTTATCCTCTGACGGCGCTAAGGCCGAGGCTTGGCGGCTGACCCGATGTCAAATGGAACCTGCTTGATTCGCTGCGGTGACGGCGGAATTCTTGGCGTTATCCCGTGCGCTCAACCCTAAATGGGTTTAATTTTCAGCCATTTCAAACGTCAATAGATCCAGATTAAGCTACATGTGTATACAGACCAAATTGGGGTAGGCGATGTCCTGCGTGATCTCGAATTAATAATTTGACATGGCCCGTTTGACGCCACCCCCTCCACGCGGTGAGGAGGGTATCCAACCGATGTAAAGGATTAATTTCCACACTCCTCGTGTGCAGATGTATCTTGCCCTACATGGGGGCGGCCATGGATATTCGGCTTCTGGATCGCATTCTACAACCCGCCAATATGCGGGCCATTCCCCTTGAAGAAGATGAGCCGTTGAGTTGACCAGGTACAAGGGATTGGGCACGTGGAATCGTCATCCTCAGATATAAAAAGCTATCCCTGGTACTCTTTCTGAACAGCAGTAGCATCAGCCTAGGCATTGCCAATTCCTGAGTCCTCAATATGCATCCTAGTGCTCTACTGGGCCTGATGGCCTTTGTGGCCGCCATCTCAGCCTTCCCCACGGCGCCTGACAGTGCCCACTCGAGTCCCTCGATCCGCAACCTGAAGGCCAACATCAAGAACGTCGTCATCTTGGTCATGGAGAATCGCTCCTTCGACAATCTGCTCGGCGGTCAGAAGCACAAGGGCCTCGACAACCCAATCAACGCTGGACCCTTCTGCAACCCGTACAATCTGACCGATGCGTCACAGGGTGTCGGCTGCACGGGAGCTAGGGATTTCGATTCTGTAATAAATGACCCGGACCACGCTATCTACGGTAACAATATTGAGTTCTATGGCGACTACAACCCGGACAATACCCTCATCGCCGAGGGTAAGCTGGTCCCTCATCAGCAAGGGTTCCTGCACGAGCAGATGCGCCTATACGGCGCCAAGCAGAACAAGACATTTCTCGCTGCAGAGGTCATGAATTACTATACTGAAGACCAGGTACCGGTGCTCACCACACTAGTGCAGAACTATCTCACCTTCAACCACTGGCATGCAGATATCCCTGGCGTAAGCCCTCCCCCTCCAATCAGTAGTTCCAGCTAACCAGGTATTGTAGAACACCGATCCTAACCGTGCGGTCCTCGTGTCCGGCACCTCGTATGGCCACGGCCTGAATGATGCCGACTTCGGCAACCATGCCCTCCCCCAGCGCTCCATCTTTCAGCAACTCACTGAGAACGGCCACTCGTGGATCAACTATCACGATCCCAAGGGCGGCACCGGCCCGGATGCTGGCTACTTCAACTGGACCTATGCAAGCAACAATGCTGACAAGATTGTGCCACTGGCTAACTTCTACACCGATGCGGCGGCCGGCAAGTTGCCTGAGCTTGCGTACCTTAACCCGTCCTGCTGCGGTGTCGGCACAAACTCGATGCATCCATCTGGATTAATCTCCGATGGTGAAGCATTGATTCGGGATGTCTATGATGCCCTCCGCAATAGTCCGCAGTGGAAGGAGTCACTGTTCATCCTGACCTTTGACGAGAGCGGCGGTTTCCATGATCACGTCCCTGCACCACTGGCTCCTCGTCCGGATAACCTAACCTTTACACTGAACACGCCCACTGGCCAGCCTTACACGTTCCCGTTCGACAGGCTCGGCGGACGTGTTCCCACACTGCTAATCTCCCCATGGGTGTCCAAGGGCCACGTTGAGCAGAAGGGCAACAGCGTCCACGGTAAGGCAGTGTCGTATTCGTCCGCATCAATCCTGCGCACTCTCGGCTATCTATGGGACTTTGAGCCGTTCACCCCACGGGTGGAGCATGCCGCTTCATTTGAGCATTTGATTCGGAAAAAGGTGAGGTCGAATACGCCAACTGCGCTGCCCAGCCCGGTGCCTTTCAAGTAATTGCTAGTATCATGATTTATGGGATACTGTAGGGCTAGGCTAAACCAACGGCAGGATGGTTTCATCTACATATAGGTAACTGTTATATAAAAGTCTCTGCCTTGCCTGTTCTAGCTAATATCATCCCTATATATCATCAGTATACATACACTGCCATAAATTGTTATACTGGTAGCATACTACATAGATGTAGAGTATGAATTGTGTTCGTTGCCTGCGGGAATAATGCTTCTCGATATACTACTAGTTTCTTTACTAGTGACTTTTTTGTTATAAGACAGTCTAGTATTTTATCTATTATTCTATACGTGTTCTAGGAATGAAAGCTAACTTATCTGCTATGTGTACGTATCCTAAAGGGGTACTTTCCACTCCGAAGGAATAAGTATATGCACCCCCGATTGGTCAGTTTGTAAATGTAGTACCTAAATTATCTGCTGTGTGTACGTATCCTAAAGGGGTACTTTCTACTCCGAAGGAATAAGGATATGCACCCCCGATTGGTCAGTTTGTAAATGTAGTGCCAAGGCTTTACCAATGTAATTAGACCAACACGTGGCTATAAGAGGTACTACTTTTGAGTGGTCAATCAATCTTCTTACCCTCTATGTATTGTGTAAGTCTGCTGACTTGTCATACATACGTTGAACCATCGTGAAGGCTAAACTATTTTTGGTATAATAGTTCCTTTTAGTGTCGGAAGGATCTCCAAAATAGGAAAGGCTAGTGCAACGTTTTGAGATACAAATTGTTGTAGATTTCCCAGGTCATTATTATTGACTTTTTATTTCTCTAATTTGAGTGCTACTGCAGAAGTATTTCATCTTGAGATTCTCTAGCAAAACATAGAGCTGCTCTTGAATCAACTTACAATGTTGGTGTCCACCGAGGGGACAGGCCTCTCGCAGACTGCCCTCAAAGGGGTTTTTATTATCATCGTGTTCGGCATTATAAAGTTATGCCTTCGTCTCTACCAAGTCAGGAAATTATTTCGAGATATTCCTAATAAATATGGCATCGTAAGTACGACCTTCTACTCCCAATCTCTTGTTATCAGTCCTATGCTGATAGGCAACTCAGCCAATTCTTCCCCATTCCTTTCTTTTTGGGCATATCCCAATTGTTATCAAAGTCATGAGCTCGCATCCAAAGGATATATATGGCAACTATCTTCCCATGCTCCTAAGGCAAGAGTACCCTGATATTTGTTCCCGAGGGTTAGTATATGTCGACGTGTGGCCCCTCGGATATCCATTACTGGCAGTCTTCGACCCTGGACTTATGAGCCAATTCACACAAGTGCAGTCACAGCCAAAGCATGAACATATCCGACGCCAATTCGAGCCTTTTACACAAGGTCAGGACTTGCTCGTTGCTGAAGGCGAGCAGTGGAGTAAATGGAGGCGTATTTTTAACCCAGGCTTCTCAGCCAAAAATATAGTGCCATGTATCCCAGCGATACTAGAGGAGATTGAGGTATTTCGAGATTGGTTGAAAGAAGCTGCAAGGTCGGGGGAGACGGTGACTTTGGAACAACAGTCTGAGAAGTTGACGGTTGATGTAATCAGTCGTATTGTCTTGTGAGTAAATACGGCAATTACTGGTATTTTCAGCAGCTTGTCTTTTTTTAAATAGCTGACCACTAAGCTAGAGGCTCGCGACTTCATTCACAAACTGAACAGAACTCATTCTATAGCGCTATGAGGAACCAAACCAGTTGGCTTAGCGTCGATAATCAGCCTCTCGGATTTTTGGCAACGATGTTAAATCCAATTCGACCAATCGCACTGTGGAGAAACAATATTACCATGAAATCTTTCTTGCTGCCACATATTCAGAAAGTCTTGAGACAAAAAGAGAAAGAACATGGCCCCGAAACCATTCTCAGTCTTGCTATCCAATCATATACTGTCCAAGATGAACCTACACTGCGAGATAGCAATTTTATTGATGTTCTTGTGGCACAATTAAAGATTTTTATGTTTGCAGGGCATGAAACAACGGCTGGCATTCTCTGCTATCTTTATCACATACTTTACAGCAATCCGACCATCTTGGATACCATGCGACGCGAGCATGATTCAATCTTCGGCTTGGATTTAGCGACGACCTCAGCCAAAATCAAAGACAACCCGACCCTCCTGAACAAACTCCCTTATACTTCTGCGGTGATCAAAGAGACTCTACGACTATTCACACCCGCAGGAACGGTACGTGCGGGCAGCCCAGACTTCTTTTTGAGACAACCTGAAACTGGCGAACGATACCCAACGAACGGGATGATGGTATATGGATGCTCATCTGCAACACATCGTGACGAGGCGTTTTGGCCAGAGCCAGGGAGATGTATTCCTGAGCGCTGGCTAGTCCCAGAGGGGGACTTTTTGCACCCCCAGAAAAATGCTTACCGGCCGTTTGAGCTGGGCCCTCGCAATTGCATTGGCCAGGAGACTGCCCAGTTGGAACTACGGGCAATCATGGTTATGACAGTCCGAGAGTTTGATATTGAAAGTCAGTTTCCAGCGGACGGACCTCGTATGTTTGGTGAGGTGGCATATCAAACATACAAAGTTGGGAAAATTATACCACAGCCTCGGAATGACATGCCTGTGAGGGTGATGCTTCGTACTAGTTGATTCAATTGTTCATTTATTGCAATATACTGGTAATGTCGAATTAATATAATATATGTCCACCAGTTGACATATAAGGTGTAAATCCCAGCCATCACTGTAATGATGTAGCAACTAATTTCATCACTTAATCACCATTGATTCGTCTTTGTCTGATAGTGATAATTGACTGACTGTTTAAAAGTCAAAATTCACTATGGCTTCCTTAATTCGGTACCACTGATGTAGACACAAAACAAGGACAAATATACCCAGTCATGATGCTCAAAAAAAGTGCAAGCGCTTGTACATTAGACCAAGTATACCGTTTGCAGCTGTTTTCTGCCAACCTATCGAAATGCTGGACTGGGCAATTAACGCCAACGGGTTCAGTATTCGCAATACATCAGTCCACTCTGCAGAACGAGTGCCACTCTTTCTCTGCTTCAGCTCATCACAGAAAACAATCGACTCCATATCCCACATGGAAATAATCAAGGACAGGACTTGGTATGCCTCATCCTGGAAGTCTCTAATGTAATGATCCCGACTCCGAGAAAAGTTATCTTTTTGTTGAGATGTACAGACTGGAGTATCAGATATGTAACGTAGAAACTCGACCCCATGGCATAGAAGTCGCATTTTCATTTCACTTTGGTAGAGATTAAGAGAAATGTTATACTTGACGAGTTTGTCGGCGTGTTGAGATGGCGCTGATACTAGTTCCTGCACCTTTTTTGTATCTAGGTGATTATGAGATGTTAATTGAGTCGCGGTCTGGATATCGTTTATAATGGATCTGGAATCAGATAATAACTTGCTGACATCGCCTAGTTTAATAAGCCCTTGAATAGTACTGCAGATACGAACACAGTGGTATGAGAACATTCCAACAAGAGCTGTCCCGTATGAAGGTTGTCCGCCGTGACAGTAGATTTCATTGATCCAATTCAATATTTCTGAAGAAGGGTTCCCACCAGTCATCAACGTTCGGTGTAGCTAGAACGAATATGAGTTAAATACTACGGAAAGAAATATTGTTAAGGTTAACCATACCAGAGTAAATAATACATTCCAGAAAAGGTCCTGACCTTCCGGTCGCAGAAACTGAGATACACCTCGAAGACGAACTAATTGCAGCATTCCTTCAATGTGGGAATCGGACTCACAAGTGACAACGATAGAACCGATGCCATCCTGCGTGCTCCAAAGGACCTTGACAGTGAATATATCAGTCTCTTGATTTTTACCGAGCTCTGAGTGTAAGGTCTCACCGTATATAGCCTCAACAGCCAGACGCTTAATAAAGTGCCGTCTGCCTTGCATTCTTCAGAATCTTGGAGAGCTGAATTGATAGCTGCGACAGTATTTGCATAGGATTCTGCTTGTCCTATAATATCACGAGAGCGAGTGGCACTTAATAAATAAGAGCACCCCAAAGTTTTACAGACGTAATATAGAGGTGATCCTTGTTTAGCATTGGACATAATATGCGAAAGGGCGATAAACGAATCGGGGGCACTGCCAATGGCAATATGAGATGAGAACTGATGAATCAGGAGTGGTATAGAGTGCTCAGTCCGGGAGTCTGCCAGGAGGTATTGCAAAGGAGGACTATAATATGTAGATGAAGTTGCGAATCCACCATCAGGTTCATATCGAACGCCTGTGATATGGAGAGCAGCATACTCTATATCGGTACTAGGTAAGATGCTAACTGTAGTGTTTGAACTGTATTCGTTGCCTGCGGGAATAATGCTTCTCGAAGTCCAGCTAGTGCTGCGACGATCTTTGCCAATGTTAGATCGAAAAGACGCTGTTGTTTCTACGCGAAAGCGGGTGTCTTCTTCATTTCTGTAGCCAGGACATGGATAACCGCTTCGTAGACACCGAAAGCAATGAGGACGTGTGAGATCGCACTGTCAGATGGAAAAGTAAGTATCAAGCATCACGCTATGTCGAGTAGAGTCAATTCAAATACTCTACAGACCTTTATGCGCCGCTTTCGACAAGAATGACAGGCCTGACTTGGCCGGCCAGTATTAGGCATATTATTATTCAATGTGTAGTCAAGACGTGATCAATGCTGGTGAGATAACTGAGGATTATGTGACCGCGAAATTTGGGTAGTGACAACCTGATACAGTTCGTATAGATCTCATGTCATGCAAGGCGACAGCAACAATATTTTAAGGATCAATGCTCTTTCTACTCGATATTCTGAATAATATCAATTGATCTGGCTGATCAAGACCAACATTTAAAAGGAGCCAAGCATCGGAGACGGAAAAACGTTTCTGTCAAATGAGGCTAAAATGGCCCCCTCGCCGCTAAGCCCAATGACGTCGATCCATTTATAGCGAATTTAATATCGCGTCAACTATTATGTAGAGATTGGTAGAAATCGTGTTCCTCCTCTACATTCTGAATATATGAACATATTTGTTTCATAAAGACAAGGTACTTATGGCCGTATGAAAATGCCATCAGAATTTGGCCACAGTCTCGGCCACACAAACCCAATTACCGGTCTTCTTCCCTTCCTCAAACAAGCCCTCCAACACCTTCTCCCCACCGCAACACGAACAGCAGCCTCCTTACCAAGGAACCCAGTGTACGTCCTCGGAAACCAATCCGCGGACTTGGATTCTATCGTTTCTGCAGTTTTATACTCTTATTTCTTCTCTAGATCCACTCAAAGTATCCACGTGCCACTCGTGAATCTACCAGATGTGCCTAGTGGAACTGAATTGAGGAGATTGCGCCCAGAATTTGCATGTGCGTTTGGGCTTGCGACTTCTAAATCATCCAAAGATCGGGAAAAGCTTACTACAGATGCTGGCGAGGATGGTATTGTGCGGCTGCTAAGGGACCATATTATCACCGTGGCCGACTTGCGTGCGCGGCTACTGTCTTCCAACAAACTTGAAAAGGGAGGTGAGAAACTAGAGCTAGATGCTGTCTTGGTCGACTGGAACAAACCACCACACAGTATCAGTGAAGAAACCACGAAGGAAGGAAAGAAAATCGTTAAAGGGTCCATAGACGGCCTTGCTGACCTTGCCACCTTCTCAATCGCCGGATGCATTGATCACCACGCCGATGAAGGCTTCGTCCCTTCTGCAGAGGATCTGGTCGATAGTAGTAATCCCCGTGTGATCGAGCTCGGTCCCGGCTCATGTACCAGTTTGATCATTCGCGAGGTGCAGCGTCGTGGACTATGGCCCTCCTCTTCCTCCTCAGCCGTAGACGAACCGCATAGCGCAGATGCACATGCGGACGCCGAACTTGCGAAACTCGCGCTCGCAGCGATATTGATTGATACGACGAACCTGACGGCGGAGGGGAAAGTAACCGATGTCGACCGCGATGCTGTCTCGTTTCTAACAAGAAAAATCGAAGAATCGGCACCGTTTCGCGCAGGTACAGAGGTATGGGACCAAAAAGCCCTTTTCGAGGAAGTACAGTACGCGAAAGCGCATAGTCTGGACTGGCTCACTGTAGACGAGATTCTTGGGAGAGATTATAAGGATTGGACGGAAACTATGCCCTCGGGGGATACGACGGTGATTGGCATAGCCAGTGTTGTGCGGCCACTGAGCTGGATAATAGCTAAAGCGAATGAGGAAAACGGACTTAAGGAGGAGAAAAACTTAAATTCTCTTCTTGAGAAAACTAAGCAATTTGCTGGTAAGAGAAGCTTGGACGTGGTGGCGATTATGACTGCGTTTACTTCGAAGAAGGAAGAGTTTCAGAGAGAGTTGCTTCTCTGGGTAGTCAATGAGAAGCGGATTGAGCAAGGGGAGATTTTTGTAGAGAGTGCTAGGGAGGAGTTGCAACTGGAAAAATGGAGTCAGTTCCCTTTCGACGGACGTCAGGAAGTGGGCAGGTTGTATATTTGGAAGCAAGCAAATTTAGGGAAAAGTCGGAAACAGGTTGCTCCTCTATTAAGGGAGGTGTATACAACATAGCCAAAGGCTGATACAATAAGGATATCCCACCTTCGACATCATTTTCAGAACCGGCACTTGGTATTCCATTTTTTTTAATTACATCAGGACTCCTATATCATTTTCTGAGTTATTCGTCGACGCAGCACGGCCTTTGATCGATTCCGAAAGTTAGATATTCACGGATGAGTTCGAAATACCTCGACGCCAGTGCTATGGTGGGGTCTTGACTATTTGCATGCGCGGGGTCGACTGTTCCAATTCTGAACTGTTTAATGAAGGAGAAATAAACGAAAGACGATTCGAATTCGAAAGTACTCACGTGCCAAAAATGATGACTTGCATTGTCCGATAGCGGATACTGTGGGGGTCTGATGTTTCATTTGGAAATTTGAATGATATTAGTTGATGAAAATTATGATTTAGATCCGTAATTTTAGGGTCTGCACATCGCTTCTAGATACACACCTTAGTCGAAAATGTAGTATATAGGATCAATGGTGTCAATTGAGATACCAACATATGGATAAACGCCGAAGTTGGAATAGAATTGGTTATGAAACTTGAGTTGTCATCGCTACTCCATTGAGGTGACCTCCAACACTTGCAAGCTTACAAAATGTCGCCAATAATCACAAAAAAGAAGAAAAAAGACAAACAAACACATTGTACAAAATGACTCCGTTCAACCAATGCCGCATACATGAATCAATTATGTACCTCGCTTTGTTTAACACCGCTCATAGCCATGAGATGAACCGGTAGACAAAAAGTCAGAAATATAGTATGGCTAAAAAGCCCGCCGAAGGATAACGGAGCCGAAAACAAAAAGATCAAATGGGTAAATAGACTATGATCATGCAGCTTCAAGGCGTCAAGCCCATATAGTAAAAAGAAAACACCACCAGTGCGATTTCTGGCCCATGTATGCTAAATCAATGCAGATTAATGACACTCCCACTCACAAAATACGCACCAGCGCGCGCTGCGATCCGCCAAAACGAGTCCTCGCCAAACGCCCCGTTCCCCGATTTTTATGACTGTTTCCCACACACTACCGTCCGGAGTACCCTCCGTTAAAGAGTCAGAATTATTGCTTGCGCTAACCATGTGATCTGCCTTGCGCATTAGGCGTAGAATTTTGCCTGATGGAGATTGGATTGCTAGCTTAGCCGGCTTATCGCGACTGGAACCTGACTTTGTGGACGAAACGACAGATGTGTTGGCCGTAAATCCGTCGAGAGACGTGGTTGAGGCCACAGAACCTCCGTAGCTACTTGATACCATGCTCAACGCACTCGATGGGCGTATCGCAATCGGAGATGCTCGTCCTCCAGTTATATCACCGCTGCTTGACTTAGTCAATGAAGCTGCAGGGTGTTGACGGACAGCAAAAACAAAGGTATTGTTGATCGCCAATTTCCCACACTGGGGCTGAATAACATAGATGTCGTGACGCTGTGCATGCGGTGTTGGGTGTCGAAGTAAAAATTCATATGGGGGATTTTCTCCCATATGAATAATGGGTAAAGCTGCCGCGAGGGGATGTGGAATATCCCTTATTGAGTGCATCAGTCCTTTCTTGCCAGCATAGATCCTAAGTACGCCCTGTCCTTCATCACCGGGGAGAACGGCTTTGATGGTAAAGCGTTTTTGGCCATGTATCCAGTCCGGCTGGGCGAGTGCGCGTTTGCGCACAGTGTCACCACTTTCAAACCAATCCCCATCAGCGTCGCGGCTAAAAGACGGAACTTCAACCTCGGCAGCACATTCCACGTCGGGAGGAACCAATATTCGCAACTGCATGACTTCCAAACCTTCAATACGGACAAAACTTGTATCATAATCTGGCATATGTAGGGAATTTTTGAAGAAAGCTGGACTTGCTGCGGGAAGAGCGAGTAGCACGTCTGGAGAAATGGGAGGGCAGATGTGCTGTTCCTCAGGGTGAAGAGGTATATGTGTGTAACAGATCTCAAGTGGCCGAGCGAGAAAATACCAGCTTTCAGCATGTTGGGAATTCGTTGTGACTAACTGGTTTCGTCGTGGGTTTGTTGGGTTTGCCAAGGAACAATCCATGATCCTCCATTCGCCATCAATCAATACAGCATTCCACCAGTGGTTAGGTCTCGACAAGGCGCCTAGATCGAAGAGCTCTCCGGGAGTTTTTAGGTAGCCCTTGATGGCATCGGCATGCAGGCCTACAGCTGCACACATTTCCTTAACCAGGTAGGCAACTTCTCGTGGACTCCCACGTTTCATATTGATCACCCTCCTTAAGTCCAATTCATCTTCGTCCACAGGCTCATCCCAGGATATCTTTTCGCTCACCCAGATGAAAATCGCTCGTAGGCGTTGTACATCACTCTTGTATGGTCTGCAGACATAGCCTTGTGCTAGACTTGCCGGATTAGTCATGGGTGGTAGGCTGCTTATGAAGCGGGCACTTTTGTCAACAAGCCCTAAATTGAGAGCCCCCCAATTTGTCGGCTCACTGAGAGGAAGTCCATCGATTGTTTCATCGCCCTCGGCTGTTTCGTGAAGTTCTTCCACAGCGTAAATGACCGGATGGTCCATCATCTGACATCTTTCGGCACGTTCAACACGCTCGTTGCGGCTTGGAGTGCTTGCGCGATTGACATCTCGTCGTACCTGTACCCAGTCGACGGAGCCACTGCCTCCAAGTGCCATATCTCTGGACGTTTCGCTTTCTGAATTTTGCGACATATTGAATGATTGGGTGAGTCGGTTTTTCGTAGGCGAGGGAGATCCTCCACTTTGGGCCACATAGATGCTGCTTCTAGCATTGGCAGCACCAGTCTTGGCAGACTCCAGGAATCTTTTGAGGAAACCACTTTTCTTGACTTTAGGAGTAGCAAAACCTCCAAAGACCCCTGGTGAGTCACCGATGTCTTTGCCAGGTGACCAAGGCACAGCTGACTGCGCTCCTTGTCTTGAGGTATTGTGACTGGAATGATATGAGATGCCACTCACCGGTGTCTGCGATCTTTCCAAATCCGTGAAAGCACCTTTATGCAGACCATCTATTGCTGTACCAGGTCGTTCAGCCGAGACACTGCCCCATTTCCCATGCCGTACGAAGCTCCCTGCACTAGTTGCACTGAACGCTCCAGCCGATGTTCCACTCATTAAGCTGACACTGGTGTTGGTACTTATTGTTTCATTAGTGCTAACACTTTGCACGCCACTTGACGAATTCGTCGCACTTGATTTATTCGTCATAGTGCGACTTAAGAATTGTTTTCCCAATTCTGCGGCTGATTTACGACCTCTCAACAAATGAGTACGTGCGGTCGGTACGGAGTCACGTCGAGAGTGGTATGCTGGTTGTTTCGGTGGAGGGGGTGGGCCAATATCATCTTCGTTGTCCTGTAGTAATCGGTCAGAACCAGAATTATCCTGTTCATGAAGTTGCCTAAGTCGACTTTCCATCCTCTGGACATAATTGTTAAATTGAGGGGGGCTATTTGAGCGTTGATATGAACTATACTGCTGGCCATCGTAGTTGTCATCGATGTCGAGTTCTTGTTCATTGCCAGCGCCGAATCCCAAGGATGTATTCGCTCTGGCGCGACCTGGTCGCGGTCGTGGGCTCGCTACTCCAATAATGTTGTATTCGTCTGGTGACCAAGGATTCGTTAACTGAGGTGTCGGAGACGGAGATGGAGCCCCGCGAGGAAGTCCCATATCCTGCAGAGAGGTCATCACGTCCTCCATGGCATCCCGTAGAGGGGATGGAGTATTGCCGTGACCAACCGACGAGTGTCCTCCTGGCGAGTGACCAGGTGATGGGTTAAGTGAGTGGTCATCAGGGGAAGGAACAGCTGGAGAAGGAGGTTTTGAAAAAATAGCGTAACGATCGTTCATGTCAATTGGCGCAGGCAGACCAATGCTCTTACGGCGCGATTGGCTATTCACAGCTACTCGATGAGGAGGCGGAGGGGGAGGGGGGGCGAATCGTCTGGAGCTGAATGTGTTCGTAACGCTGGTAGGGGAGACATTGACCGTGGCTGAGGTGAAGTATACGACGGTGACCGGGAAGGATGGCCATTGCTTTGAGGTGGTGGCGGTGGTGCTGGCACCGGCGACGGCGTACGCTTGTGTTCTTGAGGAGACGGAGATACTGGGTGTGGAGGTGCTTTGGCGAGCGAGCTTCTTGTACGAATCGCGGTGGTGGGGGTTCGTGGTTGTCGAAGGGGAATACTTGGCCGGGGAGGTGTATTTTCTCTTGAGGGAGGATTAGATGGAGTTTCTGATAGTCTTTCCCTGGCTCTGCGATTTGCCTCGCCAGGTGCGATGGCTTTTTTGTGCGCCTGGAACGGCTTCCTGAAGACGGTCTGTTGCTTCTTTGGGGTAGCCGATGCATCGCTATCAGCTCGGGCCACTGCATCGGTAGTAGATCGATGAACAGGAACGAAATCCTCTCCAAGAACGGTGACGAAGTTTGAAGGGAAGAGGCCCATCATGCGTTTATCACGTCGTAGGCGTCCCATCCACCATGATCCATCGCCAGCATTCAGACATTCAATCAAATCCCCCTCGACAAAGCCTAGGTCTCGTTTCGACTCTCCACCCCAGGAATATACTGCGCGGCACCAACAGGGGAACTTCGTGGGCAGCGTTGGCGGATCGGCCGCCATGGTGAATGACCGATCGATGTGTTTGTTTTTGTCAAGGTCGATCTTGAGGTAGATGTTGATCTCGATGCGCGGTCGGGAAAGAAGAATCGCCTCTTACACTGGCCTAGAAGCTAACTAGATGATATACTTTCGACAAACCTCATGGATCACGACAGGCAATTGGTTGTCTAAAAGGGCGACTATCGTTGTGCGGACTCGAGATAAAGGGTGTATGCGCCGGGATGGAGGCGGCAGCCAAACGAGACAACAATAACAAGAGTACCGTGGTTCACAACGAGCGACTAGTAAGAGAATGACAGCGCACAGATTGGGCGAGCCGCACGCCTAACAGCGAATTGATTGGGACGATTGAGAACTAGCCTCCACAGAAATTGGGCAGGCAAATCGAGATCGTGTTCGTCGTGGGAAGTATTAATTAAGATTAATGAATCGGTGAGGAGCTGAGGCCTGAGGCGGCTGTTACGGTTGCCATGTTTGGGCCCGTGTTTACGCCGCGCCTCTTCGGGCCTAGCGCGACCTTATCGATAAGGCATCAAATCAAAGCTACAACGACATCAATCTTCATTCTTTGCCCTATCGATTACTTTGATACTGCTTCCTTACTACTAATTAAATAACCATTGTTGAATGTGATGTCTGTTGGCATTGTGTCTGGCTGTGTGACCAATATTTTGGATGATTAACAGAGCAGAGCCCAGCTTGATCTCGACTTTCCAGGGGACTACCCAAGTATCGCAAACCGGCTCCCAAACAGCATGGACTCGAAAACAGCTTTGCGTCACTCTTCTAGTAAAGGGTCTGTTTTAAAATTGATTGCTGTCATCTTTCCTCAATGAAAATTACGAGTTGATAAACTACCAAGATGACCTTGGCACTTATCAATGCATCACGTGATATCCTTTACCTAGGTCACCAGGTGCCAGGAATGTTTGTCTCAGACGACAGCCGTGTCATTTGAAATGTGCAGCACTTCAAACCCTCTTACAAAGCTGTCAGTGGAAACACGAATCCCCCGTGACACTCGAATTTCTTCAATTTCTAGCTGTAGGAAGACGACGTCATTGACTACGGCGGAACAGGTTTTTTGACCTCAATTGCCTTGGATATATATCGAAAGGAATTGTTTTGAATGCAACATTACAGATTTTAGAATGAAACCGTTTCAAAGCCCTCGGACGCTGTGGTGCTCGGCCGCATAAAATCTCGAGACGTTATTCAATGAATTTCCGTTTGCAGAAGTGACTACCAAATGCGGAAATAGACCTACATTCCACACATCCAATGCGGCAAGGATGAGCAGCAATACGACTTCATTGGGGCAATTTAATTATTGATTGCTTGTTGGTCATTCAATGTGATCTTTGGTAAGACTATTTTGGTTCGTTTGTCAAGCAATGCGATGTACTAAACCAGAGGCTTGTCCACAATTTCTGTAAGGCATCAAAGCTATATTCGACGAATGAAGCATCAATTGACGCATCATTCAGTCCTAATAACTTGCCCTCATTTAATACAATTATTTTCATCTTCTGGAGGTATCAACTCTTGAAGAATTGCACCAAGCCTACATGTATGTAGCTTTCCGAACTAATTGATTTAATCCAAGTCTTGTTAATATTGTATGCACAAACAGGAAGCATACCTCTTCATGCCATTATATATGCACATATATGGCCGTTTTTGGGGACTGATCTGCACAATCTTTATAAAGTACAGCATCTTAGGATGTGCTTTCCCGGTACCGAGATGAATAGGTTACATTCACCAGTTCATGATTTTTGAGGCCAATTGCATTGGCCTCTGAAGCTCGTCATTTGTGATATGAACTCAGCCGATATGTTGAAAATTTCTTTCTCGTATATCCAAAGAATAGAAGCTCCTGGTGATTTACAAGCATAGGGTGCAATGTTGGTAAACTAGCCGCTGTACACGTATTCATGGGAAATGATTGTTGTTGCCTTTTAAGCGTAAAACTGTGATATACAAAGTCATTGATGTCATTTTATTCATTCGATAGTACATGAAACCTTTTTAGCATAACTGGTGCCAAGAGGAGTGGTGACATTCCGCAAAATGGCGGACGAATTTCTAGATCTATGATATTACATACCTCCAGATATGGCAGAGGCATGCAACGGGAGGTCAACCAAGTCTCCAAACTTGTGGAATTAAACGGTAAACGACGTACTAGATAATATATACTAAAAACGCTCTCGATAAGGAAAAGCATCACTACTTCCTAAGTATCAATGAAGGCAGTGTAGCTCCTCTTCGTATAGACGATATGTTAGGGCTTACAGTATTCACGTGATCAGCGACGGGCCGCCCGAGGAATGTTCAGATCATCGAAGATCTCTGATTAATGCATTCCTCAGGAATCTAGGTCTCGATCCTTTCTAACTCCCAAATGGGTGTTTGCCGCAAGCGGCCAGTGAGACTTAACCAGTAGATCCTGGTTCTGTACTGCTTGGATTTTCCTGTTTTCCTCGCTTATGCCGATCTTCTCGATCAGAAGCGCCTGGAACAATCCGGTCTCGAGCCTCGAGCGATGTCCGCGTCTAAGCCGGCCAACCACTGCGACTCTACTTGCTGACTAGTATTGATGGTATTTCTCTGGCTCTCCAGAGCTTGGCACTCTCAAAATAGAAACATCCGATATCGCCTGATCGGTAGCTGGCAGTGATTATCTTCGCCGTAACGGTGGCATTCCTTTCTTATCCACTTCTTATCCACTTCATCTTTGGATCTGCCATGATCCTCTCTGTGAGCCCCTCCTTTAATGATGTCCGGTTTCCTGTATTGTAGCGCATCCATCTGCCCGACCGACCCGATTAGGAAATTTCTCGATTCTAGAAGCTATCCACGGCCATGATGGATCTCTACTGGACCTTACCGCTTGCAACGTTGCGATTCGCGACGTCATCCATTCGTTCCCATGATGGGGACCCATTTTCTGTACTTTTCAATCCATAAAGACTTACCAATGCAAATAATGTGTATTTTTTTCTCTTGCACAAGTTTCAATGCTGTGGGAATTGACTTTCAACACTCATTCCACCCAGCAACCTCGGCGTTAGTATATGTTACAATAGTTGTTCTACAGCCAAAATATTACAACATCTATTGTTCGGGTAGAACCAAGTACAGCAGCTGGAATTGTTGCAGGCAAATGCCTACGGTTCCAGCTCGCGTTTGAGGATTTTTGTATTGACTTACCAGTCAAACACCACCACTCGTTCCTTGTCTGGTTTCTGTTTTCCTAAGAGCGATTATGGGCACGACAAGCCAAGTTTACCTTTTTGGTGACCAGACAGGCGAGTTTGACTCCGGGCTCCGTCGTCTCATTCAGGCAAAAAACAACAGCCTTGTCACCTCTTTTTTTGAGAGATGCTTCTACGCATTGCGGCATGAAATAGCTCAGCTTCCGCCTTCCGATCGCAGGAATTTCCCTCGTTTTACTAGCATCGTGGATCTACTGGCACGATACCGTGTCACTGGGCCTAACCCTGCTCTCGAGAGTGCGTTGACCACAATTTATCAGCTAGGTTCCTTCATCAGGCAAGTCAAATTTAATCGATGATACAAACAAGCCTCTACTAGATCTAACTATATACTAGTCATTACGGAGATGGCGGTCATATCTATCCAGCTGGTTCTGAAAGCTACGTTATTGGATTATGTACCGGTCTGCTTGCATCCGCTGCTATTTCCTCGTCAAGGACCATTGGAGAATTGATTCCAGTAGCCGTTGAGGCCGTTGTGATTGCCCTGCGTCTTGGATTATGCACTTTGAAAGTCCGCAACTTTGTTGGACGAAACGAAGGCTCATCTCACAGCTGGTCAGTAGTGGTTTCTGGCATGGATGAAGCAAATGCTCTTGCATCCATCCAACAATTTTCCTTGAGCAAGGTACGTCTTAACACCAAAAGGCTCAATTACGTATTCTAATAGCCCTAGGGTCTTCCACCGTCAACACGCCCTTATGTTAGCGCCGTTAGCTCCAATGGTCTTACTATCAGCGCACCACCACTTGTCTTACAGGAGCTAATCGAAACACAGCTCCCTAAAGATGTCAAGCCATTCAGAGTATCAGTTCATGCACCATATCATGCACCTCATCTGTATGGACAGGAGGACGTGAATTGGGTACTAAAATCTCGCGACCATGGTTCCTTCACTGGCTATTTATCTCGTATCCCACTTCTGTCGAGTACAACTGGCCGCCAACTGGTTTCCGACAACTTTGAAAATATCCTCAGAATTGCTGTAGAAGAAATTCTTCTAGAGCAACTATGTTGGGACAAAGTCCTCGAGGGTTGTGCCGCGGCTCTTAAATCCTCCAGCGCAGCCAAATGCATCATTATTCCAGTCGCCACTGCTGCATCTTCCGGTTTACTGTCTACGTTGAAACGTGTTGGAATGTCAGATGTATCACTAGATAATTCCCTCATGGAACTCTCACAAGGAAAAAGCCAAGCCAACTCAACTGGAAGAACTGAACAATCCAAAATTGCTATTATTGGTCTCTCTGGAAGATTTCCTGAAGCGCCAAGTCCAGAGCATTTTTGGGACGTTCTTGAGCGGGGCCTTGATGTGCACAGAGAAGTCCCTGCAGACCGATGGAACTGGAAGACTCACGTTGATCTTACCGGCAAAAAGCGGAACACAAGTCAAGTGCCTTATGGATGTTGGATTAATGAGCCCGGTCTTTTTGATCCTAGATTCTTCAACATGTCTCCAAGGGAGGCACTTCAGGCTGATCCAGGTCAGCGACTCGCCCTCGTCACTGCGTTTGAAGCTTTGGAAATGGCTGGATTTGTCCCAGATACCACTGCTTCAACCCAGAAAAACCGTGTTGGTATCTTCTACGGAATGACGAGTGACGACTACCGTGAAATCAACAGTGGTCAAGACATCGACACTTATTTCATTCCAGGCGGCAATCGTGCATTTACTCCCGGCCGCATCAATTATCATTTCAAATTCAGTGGTCCTAGTGTCAGTGTCGATACCGCTTGCTCCTCTAGTTTGGCGGCGATCCATGTGGCCTGCAATTCATTGTGGCGCAATGACTGCGATACAGCAATCGCTGGAGGTACCAATGTGTTGACGAACCCGGATAACCATGCCGGTTTGGATAGAGGCCATTTCCTTTCTCGCACTGGTAACTGCAACACATTCGACGATGGTGCGGATGGATATTGTCGAGCAGATGGAGTTGGAACTGTTGTGCTAAAACGCCTTGAAGATGCTCTTGCCGACAAAGACCCTATTCAGGCAGTTATTGCAGGGGCGTACACAAACCATTCTGCGGAGGCTGTTTCAATGACTCGCCCTCATGTTGGTGCTCAGGCTTTTATCTTCGACAAGCTCCTCAATGAAGCTGATATACACCCACACGATGTCAGCTACGTAGAGATGCATGGTACTGGTACCCAAGCCGGGGATGCAGTCGAAATGAAATCGGTGCTCGACATTTTCGCACCCGATTATAAGCGCAAGCCTGAACAATCACTCCATTTAGGCTCAGCAAAGGCAAATATCGGCCACGGCGAATCAGCATCGGGTGTTTCCGCCTTGATCAAGGTGCTACTTATGATGCGCAAGAATACGATTCCTCCGCACTGTGGTATCAAGACGAAGATCAACCATAATTTCCCAACTGACTTCAAGGAGCGTAACGTTCACATCGCTATGAATTCTACCCCTTGGATCAGACAGGAGCACCAGCCTCGGAGGTGCTTCATTAATAATTTCTCTGCTGCTGGTGGAAACACGGCTCTGCTCATAGAGGACGGCCCACTGAATCACATTGATGTTAACACACAAGATCCACGCTCAATGCATATGGTCTCTGTCTCCGCTAGATGCCAAACATCACTGAAAAATAACATTAGAAACTTGACGGAATATATCAAGAAGAACATACCCGACGATGGAAATCAAGGTTTGGCCAAGCTATCTTACACGGCAACTGCTAGACGTATTCACCACCCTTTCCGAGTTATGGTATCCGGAGCAAGTATTTCGGAGATACAGGAAGGCCTTGCAGCCGCTGCATCTAGAGAGAGCATCACCGCCGCACCAGCTGCTACCCCAAATATCGGTTTTGTTTTCACTGGGCAAGGAGCTCAATATGCCGGTATGGGTAAAGAGTTTTTCGACAAGTTCTCGCAATTCCGCTCTGATATCTTGCGTTTCAACGGAATTGCTCAACGACAAGGATTTCCTTCTTTCCTGCCATTGATCGATGGTAGTGTCGCAGTTGAAGAGCTTAGCTCAGTTGTCACGCAGCTGGGAACAACATGTTTGCAGATGGCGTTAGCAAATCTCTGGATGTCATGGGAAGTTCGGCCTGCTTTTGTCATGGGTCATAGTCTTGGAGAATATGCCGCTCTTCACGTTTCAGGAATTCTGACGGCATTTGACACAATTTACCTCTGTGGTCATCGTGCTCAGCTCCTGGAAGACAGATGCAATATTGGAACCCATGCAATGCTTGCAGTACGCTCTGCTGTAAGCGAAATAACCCCTTTCCTCAACCCTGGAATACACGAGGTTGCCTGCATCAATGCTCCTGGGGAGACTGTCATTAGCGGCAGGTGCAAGAACATCGACACTCTATCCGAGCAATTGGTTGCCGCTGGAATCAAAGCGACAAAGCTGAAGGTGCCTTTTGCGTTCCATTCGGCGCAAGTTGAACCAATCCTGGAGGAGCTTCAGGATGCTGCCAAGGGGGTTAGATTTCATAAGCCTTATATTCCTTTGGTGTCTCCACTACTTGGAGACGTCATTAACGCAGAAAATCACTACCAACTTGGAGGCAAATACCTGAGCCGTCACTGCCGAGAGACCGTAAACTTTCTCGCAGGCCTGGAGGCTAGTCGACACGCGAAGCTCATGAACGATAAGACAGTTTGGATTGAAATTGGATCCCATACAGTCTGCTCTGGTATGATTAAGGCGACTCTTGGTCCTCAAGCCAACACCGTCGCCTCCCTTCGCCGTAACGAAGACGTGTGGAAAGTCCTCACCCAGAGCCTAACTTCGGTATACCTAGCCGGCATTGAGATACAATGGAAAGAGTATCACCAAGACTTCACAGCAAGCCATGAGGTTCTTCATCTACCCGCTTATAGTTGGGATAATAAGAATTATTGGCTTGACTACAAGAATGATTTCTGCTTGACAAAAGGTGGAGACTCAACGGAGCAGGCCAACTCTAAGCCCGCTTCCCAGTATCTCTCGATTTCGGCCCAGAAAGTTATTGAGGCATACAGTGACGAAAACAAAGGAAGCGTTCTTGTTGAAACCGATATAGCCGACCCACTTTTGGTTCCTGTTATTGAAGGCCACAAAGTAAACGGGGCTGCTCTTTGCCCGTCGTCCCTCTACGCCGATATAGCTCAAACACTGGCCGAGTATCTTATTGAAAACTTTAAACCTGATATGAAAGGTATGGGGTTGGACGTTGCTGACATGGTTGTTCCAAAGCCCCTGATTTACAAGAACGCTGGACCGCAACTCCTGCGTATAGCTACTACGGCAGATTGGGTTTCTGGAAAGATGTCAGTTCAATACTACTCTGTCAATTCCGACGGCAAAAAGATGCTTGACCATGCATCCTGTACTGTCAAGCTGTTTGATTGTGACTCAGCCCGCGAGGAGTGGAGACGTAACTCCTACCTTATCCGTCGAAGCGTCGATCGGCTATTCCAGAGTGCTGCTGAAGGCGAGAGCCACAAACTCGGTCGCGGGATGGCTTACAAACTCTTCGGCGCACTGGTTGACTATGGTAGCAGATACAAGTCGATGAAGGAAGTCATTTTGGATAGTGAGCAATACGAGGCTACTGCTTGTGTCAAGTTTAGCGCAGAACCCGCCAATTTCCATCGGAACCCCTTTTGGATTGACAGCCTTGGTCATCTAACTGGGTTTACTATGAATGCGAACGATGCAACCGACTCGGCCAACTATGTTTATGTCAACCATGGCTGGGATTCTATGCGTTGCATCAAAAAATTTTCGGCAGACTCTACATACCGCAATTACGTGAAGATGCAGCCTTGGCAAGGTACTATCTATTCAGGCGATGTCTATGTCTTTGAAGAGGACGAGATCATTGCTGTGTATGGAGGCGTAAAGGTGAGTTACTAAGAACTGTTATAATGTAAATATAGCTAATATTTCAATAGTTCCAAGGAGTACCTCGGAAGATCCTCAATACCGTTCTTCCTCCAGCAGGTGCTGTATCAGCAGTATCAAAGGGACCATCTCAGAGAAAAATCCCTGCTCAAGTTACAGTTCCCAAGCCAAAAGCGATAGCGAAGGCAATCACGCCAAAGGCGGCTAAAATGTCCAGTCCTAGTGTCGTTGTCCAAGCATTCAAGATATTAGCTGAAGAAGTTGGATTGTCTGTGGCCGAACTATCGGACGACGTTGTCTTCGCTGACTACGGTGTTGACTCGCTGCTTTCCTTGACCATCACAGGTAAATTCAGAGAAGAGCTGAACATTGATCTGGACTCTACAATATTCATGGATCAGCCTACTGTCAAAGACTTCAAACAATTTTTGATGCAGACTGCAAGCCCAATGGATAGCAGTGAGTCATCTTCTGATTCTTCAGTCTTTGACGACTCGGGATCAACCTCGGAACCACCTACACCAGGAACTTCAGGCACTTCAGATGATATCAATACTCCGGTCAAATCTACTCCAAGCGAACAAGACAACAAGATTATGGCCATCATTCGTCAGATCTTAATCGAAGAAATTGGAGTCTCTGCTGAAGAGTTGACTGGAGACGCTAATCTCGGTGAGATGGGTATGGATTCACTTCTTTCCTTGACCGTGTTGGGAAGACTGCGAGAATCAGTAAATTTGGACTTACCTAATGAGTTCTTCATTGAGAACCCAACCCTGGACGACGTCGAGGAAACACTTGACCTCAAACCAAAAACTCCGGTAACCGCTCCGGAACCAATCTCGGTACCACCGTCTCTTCCTGCAGCGGAAGCTTTGAAGGCTGATGACTTGACATCCAAGTTTACTCATCCACCTGCGTCGTCTATTCTCCTCCAGGGTAATCCAAAGACCGCAAAATATACATTATTCCTCTTCCCAGATGGGTCTGGATCATCTACCTCATATGCAACGATTCCCAAGATTTCGCCGGATGTCTGTGTCTATGGACTAAACTGCCCATACATGAAGACCCCGAGAAACTTAATTGTGCTCTCCAGGATCTCACTGCTCCATATGTTGCAGAAATCCGACGTCGCCAGCCCAAAGGCCCATACAATGTGGGAGGTTGGTCTGCTGGAGGTATCTGCGCGTATGATGCAGCACGACAGCTGGTGTTGGAAGATGGCGAGACTGTTGAGAGACTGTTCCTTCTAGACTCACCATTTCCCATTGGTCTTGAGAAACTACCTCCTCGTCTCTATCAATTCTTTGACAACATGAAGATTTTTGGTGACGGGAAAGCCCCGCCACCTAAATGGCTCTTGCCGCATTTCCTTGCCTTTATCGATGCATTGGACATGTATAAAGCCATCCCTTTCCCAAGTAAGGATCCAAACTTCGAGAGTCGTCTTCCCAAGACATATCTATTCTGGGCTAAGGATGGTGTTTGTGGAAAACCTGGAGATCCACGGCCTGAGCCTGCACCAGATGGAAGCCGTGACCCTAGAGAGATGCTGTGGTTGCTCAACGACCGTACTGATCTCGGGCCCAATGGTTGGGATACTCTTGTCGGAGAGAACAAAGTTACTTTGATCGAAGCCATGTCAGGCGTGAATCATTTCACAATGATGAACGGTAATAAGGCAAAGGGTTTGTCTGGATTTATCGAGAAGGCGTTTACTTAAGCTGTGGTTTGACGTTTGTTGTTTTTCATTCTGATTTGATTATAAGTTACTGTTACGTTTATACTTTTCTTCATGTGACAAAAGTGTCTTCGTTTACTTTTTCTCTCTTTGGGTTTCATGGGGTCATTTTTCTCTCTTCTTTTCTTTCTCGACTTCATTTTGATAAGTGTATACATGGAATATTTTGGACCTATCTATATTAATGTGCTGATAGGTAGATATAGATTTTTAATACGAACTGAAATTGTTATATATCTAAAATGTCTTTCCAATGTGGTCAAAATATTTTCTAGCCTCATGAATAAGAAAAGTAAGAGAGAAACAGGAAGCTAACATGTAATAATAGATTTTTGAAATTTGGTCCACGAAATCCTTCGTTTCATACCTGAGGCGCTATTAACAACATTAAATGGCAGTGATATTTAAGCCACGTTCATTCATAATAAGACCTAAATAGCAATGCTCATTCGCACTTCTTCGTGTCAATCGCAACAATTTTACCATTTGTAGTGATCACCGACGGTGAGCCGTCAGTGGAGACGTAAAGAATATTGCGATCACCGTTTCCACGACCAAATTGTGCAGCCATAGGACGGGTCATGGCAGATGAGCTGGTTGAGAATTTTTATAGCAAACAAAATTTATTTTCCGGTAGGATGACATGAGAGTACAAATTCGGCAGCCAGTTGTGCTCAGCATAGAGCGACACTATACCTGCGATTTAGTGTCAAGTGTTGTTGATACTTCTAGGTAGATGTATAACGTTTAGCACTGCGTTTTGAAATAAAATTAATGAATTTGTAAATCTAAATATTAGACTGGCTGAAGACATTCGTGTACGTCGTCTATGAATATGAAAACATAAAAAGAAGTCATGAAATATGTAAAAATCTAGCATTGGCTCCAGGAATCAGCTTCCATTTCTCCCCAGACGTCTGCGCCATCCATCAACACCATCCCCATACCTGACCATAAATGCGTTTCCATATGACAGTGCAAGAAAAATGGCCCTGGGTTCTCTACAAAGTATCTTATTGCAATCCAAGCTATCCCTCTGGGCGATGTGACAAATGTATCTCTGTACAATGGTCTATCGAGAAAAAAACTTTCGGGGCTTGCTTTTATTCCCTCCTCAATAGATGTCCAGTTGAATACACCTTGCCCGGACCCGATGAGAAACATTTTGTTTGAATGTTTGTGGATTGGATGAGGCGGCTGGAGCGGTGTGACTGTTGGATCATCAATGTGGATTTGAAAGACAATGTCGACCCAGGTATTGTTCCGGGTTGTGATTTTCAGTGCATTTGCAAGTTCAGGAGAAGAAGGGTTGAAGTACACAGGCTCCATACTGTCAAGATCGGCAGGAAGGAATTTAGTGCCGTCCAAGGACCATTCCCAGGATGAGTTAATGCGAGACAAATTCAACAGGTAGAAATCATCGGCATATTTTGCAGGGTAAACCGGGGGGAATGGGGGTAGAGTTGATACGTTAAGGGGGATAACGTCTGATGAAGTTGGTTGACCACCGTAGTTAATGTACGGGTTTGATTGTCGCGCGGTTTCCTCTCCGCCAACATACTGAAGTGTAGCATATGCGGCAATGATTTGATTACCGCCGTCATTAGCAATGGTGATATTGTATTGAGCGGGTTCTTTGTCCAGTTTGATGAGGACAGCGTAACGTTCGCCGTTGTACATTTCAAGAGTATGCGCGTACTGTGGCTCGATATACCTGCCATCAACTTCGTATACCCACATCGGATGCTCGTCGATAGAGACAACAAGAGCCTTCTCACTTGCACCACCGACGAAGTTCAGGCTTGCCCATCCGTAGGCAGGATCTACTTCAAAGACTGCTTTGAGGCCGTTACTTGGAACACAGCCATCGTTTAGTCCGGGTGGCAGTTGCTCAGGATTGTGCTTCCAAAGACCTTGAGAACCGGTAACAAAAGGTAAACATCTATTGACGCTTAACACAAATATATCGTATGAACTGAATGATTCCTTACCCCTTGTCTGTAACAGAAGTGATATTCAGGGCCATTTTTACTGAGTCTATAATCAAGGAATTCAATTCTTCTTGGCTAGGGCAGTATAATGAACCTTTTCCTTGAATCAAAATGCTGTCAGAGCAGCTGTTGCACGATGTTATTGGAAGAACGGGAATGAATAGCGAAATGAGGTGGGTGAAGCTCACAAAATGTCATAACCAGTCTTTTTCATCGCCTCCATATAGTCAAAGGAGGTATATTGGCTCCAATCAGATACCATAATTAGCTCCGCATGCTGCTCAGCTGCTTTCATAGCCTCTATTTCGTTTGTGTCATTGGTGATCGTGGAGAATGGATTTTCTCTGCTTCGAGATGGTCTAATAAAAGCGTACACATATGATTAGTGATTGCTGGTCGATATAAAATTTTAATGGAAAAAAAAAACATACCGGATGCGAACGGGTCCGTAGAGACCGTCCTGCAGTGTAGCCATATCATGAGAATGGTACCAGTATGTGCCATATTGATTGGCGTGCCATTGGTAGGTATATGAAAAATTAGGCTGGATGGCCCATTGATTGAGACCAGGTACACCATCTGCCCAAGCTGTATTTTTTTGCCTGCCACCTTTAGTGTCAGATCGATATTTTCCGCGTGACTTGGTTGAATAAAGCTTACTCGATTCCATGAAAATGTACTGTTGTGTTAAAGGGCAAGCGGTTGTTCACAGTTACTGTAACATCATCCCCCTCGTCAACAATTATTGGAGGACCTGGAAACTGTCCGTTTACAAATATCATCTCTCTTTCTTGGCCATTTGGTGCCCCGACTTCCCATGTAAGATCGAGTTCGAAGTTAACGCAGGCACTCTGAGTCAAGCTTATCAAGGCTGCGAAAGAGAACAGTTGTGTCGAGATGACCATAATGAGGATACTATCTAGTCACAGACCAGGAAAAACAGAGTAACAGGCCAAAAGGGAACAAGATAAGTGTTTTCGAAACGAATGGGAAACATTAATATGCCTCTAAGGAGACTAGTGTGCAAAAATAATAGTCGGATCTCAATTGAGAACGCTATGGAGATACTAGAGAAATGTGTTTTTAACTCATTATTTGGGACTTGTACCTTTTTGTCTTGAATCAAGTATAGGTAAACAACTCCGTCGGAGACCGGTATGTCATTTGCTTTCTCCCCTGCGTCGACGCGCATTCTTTCGGAAGATCCCACGAAATTAGTCTTAGTTGATTGGGAAATATACAATTTTAAGCAGAAACCAAAAAAAATCGATAGATTTAGATTCACGATTAAGAAGCACGTTTTCGCAAGCTTCGTAGTTGATTTTGTGAACTCAAGGCGTCAACGCAGGAACTTTAAAAAAGCCGTAACCAGACCCAATGAAAAATGATATGCACATTTATATGTTCTGTGACATTTAGATAGCTTTTTTAATTCCAACAGACCGAATCAAACTAAACCTAAATTTAACTAATGACGCAGCATTTCTCATTACCCATAATTCAACCAACAAACCCGGAGCTAGGCTTCTACAAGTCAATGCCCACAATCTTCGCGGGCTCAGAAAATTCGCCATTGACAGGGGCAGTCTGCCCCCCGTTTGTAGTGACGTATAGCGTAGAGTCGTGTCCCTTCTTCATGTACAGGACGGCGGTCGGTCCCGCAATTGAGGTCGAGTTGAGATCCCCTTGAATCGTTGTCTTAGGGTGGTCCTCATCATCAAGGTCAATTGCAACCACTGAATTCTCTATAAACGTGGCCATGTAAGCCAGACTTCCGTTTGTTGACAATGCAAATCCATCTGGGACAAATTTCTGGTCATCGGAGATAATCTCAATTGGTCCAGTTGCTGTCGCTTCCTCCAGGTCGACAGGAACTCGTCCAAAAATTTTGTTTTGAGTAGCCGTAAAGTAGAGGTATTCATTTTGAGCATGGATATTGTTGACCCCAGCCAGAGACTCGTTTTTTATGGCGATGGAATAATTACCCGACACCGTGTCCAGTTTGTAGATTGCCCCTTGTCCCGCATCGGCAATCAGAACAAGAGTCGAATTTTTTCTTTTCTGAAAAGTCTCTACGCCGTGTAGGAATTGGCCTTCTGGGATCGCTGCAATTAAGCTTGCTGAGCCGTCGTTATTCGAATCAAGATTCACCTTCCATGCCGAAAACGAGCCTGCTTCTGGTGTAAGAGTCGCAGTATCCAAGTTACCGGCAATAACCACATAGACATCATCATCAATCGCAGAAAGTCCTATCAGGTTGTTCGCATCTGGGATTGTTGCAACTAGCTCAGCTGTGCCCTCATCGACCTTGATAGCCCATACTTCCGGTACATCGGTGCGAGTGATCACCAAGTCATTATTTGGCCGGGTAGCAATATTCGCAATCCAAGATCCATTTTCAGGAAATTGGTAAACAGTGTAAACCTCGGGGTCGTAGGGTCGGTAGCCAGGTTTGTTAGTGGCCAGTGTCAACAGTGGCAGTGTCGCAGCACCGAGAATGCAAAGGAAGTTGATCATCTTGGGCGGTTGTCCTGAACAATAATTGTTAATTCTAGGGTTGGTGACCCTTTCAACGGTGGTAGAAACGCACGCTCGGATTATACAAGCTTGGCCTCTAGTGCCTAAAGTTGAAATAGAAGAGGAAATACAATGAGATTTGAGAATAAGTGGTTGCTATAGTAATAATTATACACACAATCAGGGCCTTGCCAGAAAATTTGCATTCCTACATCCATGAGGGCCTTAACAGAATCAATACTTATTTTACTCTAAAATTGTGCTTTGGCCGTTCGAGCCAATATCCAAGAATGATGTTTCCATTCCACATTCCTATGGCTGCTCACGCCCGGCCACTTGGCAGATCAACAAAATAATCAAGGGTCATAAAAATTGGCACATTAAGCCGTGTTAAACTTTAAATCTATTCGTTTACGCGCCGTGGCTTAAGCCTGAATCTATACATTCTTCACCTAAATGTACCGCTGCTAAATCATACTATAGGCACTCAGTATCAATCATAGGTCAGATTTCGATATTGTCGGATTCAATGTTGCTGGTGGCTATTTAATTTGTGCCCCGACGGGTACATGAGCCCTTTATTCTATTCTTTCTATAAATAACTTGGTAATAGAAAAATTTAATTTGAAAAATTTTGTAATGTTTATATCAATGATACGTCGCGTGGTGATTCTCTTCGCGATTCTCTTGCGTTCAATATGTACGGCATGGGCCATCGCAAGCTTGGATAGTCGCTTCGAATACCGTACAGAAATGAAACTTCCAAGTGGTCGTATTTGCCTAATGATGGCAAGCTTTGAATACCTCTTCAAATTGGTATTCATTCCATCTCACAGTCGGTTTCAGACCTGCAAACTTCCACACACCATTCACTTTGCGGTAGTAGTGTTCGTTCGTCGCATGGCCATGACCTTTGACTCTGACCGTCTTGAGACTTGGGTCAGTATATACCTGATGGGCTGCACGCAGCTGATGATGACCTATGACCTCTGTCTCGGAAATTTTCTCCCACCACGTTGCACCAAGAAGGTGTTGAGTTTTAACTGTCGGATCACCTAAGAATCCTGGATCAGTCACCATAGCCATGTATTCCTCGGCGTCCATTGACTCCCAGCGACTGAGGCCTATCTGGGTGTAGTCAACCTGAAGAATATTAGCTATCACATCAACGTGGATCTTCCGAATCTTCTTCATTTACAGTTAATGTCGGTGCAATAATGCCTCTCAAGCGTTCCCAGTCCTAGTACAGTTAGCGAGATACAAACAATTAGCAAGGATAGCTTTCACCTTGAAGTCATAACTGTCCGCCCAGTCAAAGACGACCTTTGATAGTTCAAGATAGTCTATACATGTTAGCCATAAGATACGGATCAGCCTGAAAATAATACCTTGAAGGCTGATGTCCAAATTAGGCTTCTTTGCGCTCACAAACTTAGGGTTCTCGACCTCGGTTTTCATGGATGGGGCCATGACGACTGGCTTGTTCTGGTTCTTAATTATGGATAAATATCTTGCGTAAAACATTAATACTCAATCTACCTCAAAATTAATATGAGAGAATGTTCTTTTTCAGTGCGATGGGGCTGAAATACGATGCGTAAGAAATTCTCTTTTCGTAAACCCAAATTGCCACACGGTTGCAGCTAGCTTTTACAGTGAAAACAAGGTGTTCTTGAAGGTAGTTTAGAAGATTCAGAAGTGGATTCAGAAGTATTTTTCGAGCTTTTTCCTTCGTCTAATTTTGTCTCATATCCCCCTACATTCCGCATACAGTTGCACTATATTCTACGGTTACTTGCTGGTTGAAACAGATATTGCAATATTAAGCTACCAATGATGACGATAACTCAATTTTTCTTGGATCCACTAAAATAACCTGTTTCTCTTCTTCCTGGGCGTAGCTTCTCATCAATTTGGCCTCAGAAAACTAAACAAGAAAAATTTCCGAAAACAGAAGATATGTCTGGTTGCGACTGCAACCCTGATAGTGGTCTTGAAACCAAACACGAGCTGCATTGGACCCAGTCATTTCCAATGACACTTTAGGTCACCAAAAATAGCATTACTTTACTCGGATAACCGTGTTCAGGGGTGTGCTTGTTTATTTGCCTCACGAATAATTATGTCCGGCAACCCAAAAGACTACATATGCACTAATATACTGCACGCCACATGAGAATTGGAAAATTATTCTTTCGTTTGTCTTGTTTATTCCCATTGACATAATACGTCGTCATTTTCCATAATGGTTGTTCTCAATAACGGCAACAATGGCACCAATGGCCAAAGCAGCCAGGCCATTCCCAAAACCCTTGTCGGGAAAGTAGCTCTAGTCACTGGAGGTGGCCGCGGTATCGGAGCTGGTATTGCCCTTGAACTAGCCAAACGAGGAGCCTATGTCGCTGTCAACTATTCTACCAGCGCTAGTTCTGCCGAAGAGGTCGTCCAGGCTATAGAGGATGCCGGTTCTCGTGGTGCCGCCTTCAAAGCCGACCTCACAAAAGTGGAGGAGATTGAGGGACTTTTCCGCAGTGTCGTCGCTCATTTCGGTCGTGTCGACATAGCAGTGTCCAACTCAGGCCGGGAGAAATTCAAACCATTGAGTGAGACAACACTCGAAGACTTCAATGAGGTGTTTGACTTGAACACGCGTGGTCAGTTCTTTGTCGCCAAGGCTGCTCATAAATATCTTGAGCAAGGGGGTCGACTAGTCCTGATGTCGTCTATTGCTGCCGGCGTCGGTGTTCCTGGCCATGCTCTGTATGCAGGCAGCAAATCCGCCGTCGAGGGTTTTACGCGTTGTTTCGCTGCTGATTTTGGCGAGAAGCGGTGCACAGTAAATGCTATTGCGCCGGCCGGAATCAAAAGTGATATGTGGTTGAAGAATTCATGGAGATATGCGCCAGGATGTGACAAGACTTCTTCACTCGAAGAGATCGAGACCGCGTTGGCTAATGGCAGTCCATTGAAGAGATGTGGTGTTCCAGCCGATATTGGAAAGATCATTTGTTTCCTTGCTAGCCAAGACGGTGAATGGATCAATGGTGAGTAGTATATATCGATCTCAATTTTATAATTTTGCGTATACTAACCGCTGTCTCCAGGTCAAACTATCCCAGTCAATGGAGGCGCTAACATTTAGGCTCATTTTAAGTTCAGTATTGATAATTCTATCATCTGTTTTTGTATATAGAACTGTACCTGCCGGAATCCTTTCTTGCTCCCTTGTTTCTTATTCACTACAGATCACAATACATGAGTTTTAATCTTATCAATTATTTCAGTTATATTAATTCACTGGGCTCGGTATAGATACATTAATTGATGATATCAATAGACGGAAAACCCCATACATTTGCTGCTTGAAATTATATAACCTGTGCATAGCTACCACCCAAAGACAATCTAGGAAAGCACATAATTTGTTATGTGGTATTTCCTCTAGCTGAGATCTATCGAAGCCTCCGAAGGACTTCGAAGCGCTCGAATTTAGAAAGATAGGTGGGCCACATTCCATCAGATGTAACGGTTGCCTCCACACTGAACATTCCGCACCTGAGACAGTTTCCGTTTTCAGTATTCTCGGGGAATGTAGCTGTTGTTCCAGGTTCAAGAGACAACGCGGAGATAATATCGGGCTTTCTGTTTTCGTGACATCTATGGGCTAATATTCGCTGGATTTGATGGAACATCACCTGAAGGTCTGAGATGTCGACGAACTGCTATCGGGTCAGCACAATTAGGGCTGCGATCGGAAACCCTAATTCGGGAGGCGGATATCCCCTGCATTTTAAGCCGTCTATCTTACTCGGAAACATTCATTTCAAAAATCGAAAACGAATAATCAAAGGAGAAAATATCACGTAGCATCAGAATTATAGGATATTGGACCTACATATGCTCTCATATTTTGAAAAGTGCGTCACGTTCCCCGGAAAAGTGGCAATCCCTGTTGATGGTGCTGCATACGGCACGCACCCAGTGCCTTTAGCGTCGGCGATTTTATACATAGCAGTTTGATAGTAACCTTAAAGTCGTATATGTACGGGGACCGATATCTCGGGTATTAACAGCTTCATTATTATTTCATATTATGCACCTTATCAGACTCCATTACAGCCTCAGCATAGGAAACCTAAGTGAAGTCTAACTAGGACAGAATAGAAAAAACAAGCACGTCAGCGAAAATGACAAACTGGATCCTCGGCGACAAATTTTACGCCGTCTATCCCCACAAGAATTCGATCAAGGGCCTGTGGGATTCTAAGTGGAAGTTCGCTGTACGAAGACCGTTTCATTATCCGAGTCAGGAAAGATAGAATAATTACTTACATGAACCAAATAGTGTCAAAAGTCCGTCTATCCTTTCCACGATGGTGCTTTCGAAGACTTCGAACCTATTTTCGAGAAGCTTATCTCAGAGAACATCAACGATGCTTGCACAGACGAATACACAAGTGCCTTTCTGTCCACTGCTAAATCCCTTGAGATCAAAGCCGAAGAGGAAATAAAAAAAGGAAATACTGAAAAGGCATCCGAGTATAATCGCCGGGCAGCCGTCGTCTACCGCATCTCTCGTTTTCCTTATGTCGGCCCCGCGTCAGCTGGAACAAACCAATTAAAGCGTGCAGCTTTCGACCGCCAGAAGCAGGTCTATCTTGATGCTGTGTCTACATGGTCCCCAGCCATCAAGGAGGTCGTGATTCCTCACAAACACCGTGCGGGTCTAGATGGCGCCTCTATTCCCCTGCTTGTTCGTGTTCCTGAGCATGCCAGCCCCAGCAAACCTGTACCTGTCGTCCTGATCATGACTGGACTTGATGGTTATCGCTGTGACAACTCTCAGCGAACCCACGAAATCGTCGGTCGTGGATGGGCTACCATTATTTGCGAGATTCCCGGAACAGCAGACTGCCCTGCTGATCCGGCAGATCCTCAGTCACCAGATCGCCTCTGGAACTCAGTTCTTGAGTACATGGTTTCTCGACGAGAATTTGATATGCAAAAAGTCGCTGCTTGGGGATTGAGTGCAGGCGGCTACTATGCCATCCGCGCAGGTAGTACTCATGGAAAGCATCTCCTGGGCTGCGTAGCTCACGGACCTGGTTCTCATCACTTCTTGAGCCCGGAGTGGCTAGAGAGAATCGATGATCACGAGTATCCTTTCTTGATATCCCCTGCCATGGCTGAGAAATATGGTTTTAAGAGTGTCGAAGAATTTAAAAAGAATGGACAAAAGAAATTCTCGCTGATTGAGACTGGTATTGCTGACAAGCCGTCCTGCAGAATCCTTCTTCTCAATGTTGGTCCTCGTATCCTCTTTTCTTGCATGAAATATTTAGCTAATATAAACCCCAGGGTGTTGATGACGGCGTCGTTCCTATTGAAGACTGTCTCGTTCTTTTCAACCACGGAAGTCCTAAAGAGGGAAGGTAAGAGAATTGTCTCTTCTAATAAAGCTTTCCGAGATGGTTAACCTGGTATAGATTTATTGAGAAACTGCCACATATGGGCTACCCTAACACTTTACCAGTCGCATATGAATGGTTTGAGAAGTTGCTGGCTAAGAATGCTGAACCAGGTCTGAAGAATTAAAACATTTCGATGTTTAGCTATTCGGACTTATTCAGTTGTGATCATTACATGTAGTGATGTAGTGATGTTCAGTAGGTATTCATGTTTGCTGTTTTAGTATTTGCTGTTTGCGTATCTGTTTTTAATAATATTAACTCTCTCAATTTTTCATATCATTTTGACTCAGCTGCAGATGTGAGTAGACATCATAGGTAGGACATATTGGAGCAAATTATACTACAAAATCAATTCCTGCAACATTTAAATTACATCCATGTGGTAGAAATCGTTTATTATTCTCCCACTTGAAAATCGTTCAAAGGTATCATGACTGTTTACAGCAATTGAGAATTTTTGATAGATATGGTAGAAAATGATACTATGTGTTGAATGTAAAGTGGTTTATTCGACCAGTTGACATAAAAATATCAATTGATATCATATGTAGAATTGTACGATGCCCTATGCGCTCAACTCCATCACACACCAGCATACACGGGCTCCTAATTAGATGAAGAATGCATAAGTTGAAAACTACGTGAAAGTTGGTGGAGGATAAGATGCCCTGAACAGGTGCGTGTTAGTTTGCTTTGATGATCGGGACAATGGAGACGAATGCATCACTCACCCTGACTCTCCGGGATAAATGTAGTCATTTCCCCCTGTCAAATCCTCGCCCTTCTTTCCCGCCGCGTTTCCGCTTGAAGGCGAGCCATATGCATCACAGATCTGGAGGTGAGCTTCTGGAACGACTAGTTCCTGAAGCTTGTCTGGGGCCTCGATTATTGTAGCCACCAACCCGGCCTGGACATGCCACTCAATATGGCAATGTAACAGCCAAATGCCCGGATTGTTTGCGCGGAATCGAATAACAGTATGCCCATAGTTTTGCACCATGATGGTGTCTCGCTTCACTGGAGTGGAGGATATATTGGCGAAATAACCATCGAAAAAGCCGCCGTTGACATCCGTGCGCTGTAGAACTTGGAATTGATGACCATGCAGATGCCAGGGATGCAAGTTGCCATGGTGATTGTTAATAACGATCTCGATAACATCATTATTGTTGATGATCAATGGATTGACATTGCCGTAAACTTTAGGGTCTGAGTTGTATTCTGACCCGACCGTCAATGCAGTGTATAGAGTGGGAACTTGTTGAGGCATATAGGTTTGTCCGTTCACAGAAAACCGCGTCACATCATTAACAACCGTATGGCCAGTATTGAGTATGATCTGGTGATCGACAGGCTCAAGAAGAGGCTCACGATCGTAAGGAACAAAACTTAGGTCGTCAATAAATGCTAGCTCGTGTATGACCGGTGCTTCAGGCAAGGGCAATGACTCGTCATAGACAAGCCATGCGGTTGCGTTCGGATTGAAGTTCTCGGGAATAGATTTATTTTCGAACACAAACATCATGTTGATATCCATTGTATTCCAAAACGCATAGTTTTTGCTTGCGTCCTCCTTTGTCTTGATAAGCACGCTCATCCGCTGACCGGTAGCAACGCGGATGTTTTTCTCTCCAACAGGATATGGCTCTATCCAGGTGCCGTCAACTTCAACGACAGTCATTTCATGGTCGTCGAAAAGGAATGCATGTCCAGGCCAGTTTCCAATGCAGATAATGTGGACCAGATATGTTGTATTTGGTTGTACTTTGAACATGGACTGCGTAGAATCATTAATCAATGCAACATCTGGAAGCGGTTCATCGCCAGCCGTATTACTTGTTGATTGATATGAATCAAGAAGTTCCGGCATTTGTTTGTGGTACCAATCTGCCAGAGTAATTGTGAACTCATCATCGTATTCTACAGGTGGGTTTGGATCGTGCACAATTAAAGCCCCTCGTAGTCCATCAGGGTATTGACCCATATTGTGTGAATGGTACCAGTAGGTTCCAGCTTGGTCAACCTACGAAATATCCATAAGTGTCTGTTAGGCTTACATGATGTTCATCTCACAACTTACAACAAAGTCATAGCGAATCATTGAACCAGGAGCAACAGGGCATTGTGTGACTGCAGATGCTCCATCCATCGTCCCGGTCATGAACTGATGAATACCATGCCAGTGAATACCGGTTGACTGGTTGCCCAAGCTGTTTTTGACATCAATAATGAGTCGATCTCCAACGTCAACATCAATTTGAGGGCAAGGCCATTCGCCGTTGATACCAATCACAGGCCTTTCGTACCCATCGGGAGAAGCATTAACCCAGGTAATATTCCAATGGAAATAAACATCTTTAGCCGCGACAAACTGAGCCAGGCCGGCAAGCAATAGAAAAGAAAAATACGCGAACATCGAAGCGATGATAGGAAAGAACGACTGTTGGTTAGTGGTAACGAACGACAGAAAGCAACTGGACCGTATGGAAGATCTAAACAGAGAAAGCAAAATAAAAGAGCGAAGTAGAAACTAGTCGTTATTTATTGAAAAGTCAAATTACCACGAGGTCGTCGATCGTATTTGTTTTCCTGTTTGTGTAAATTCCGACGCGTAAGAGTGAAGGCCAGGAATGTATACACAAAACATCAGAAGCAAATAATTTCGGTAAGGATAAAGTATGATTTGCGAACTAACCAAGAAAAGACAAAATTTTGAATTCAGGTCTTTATTTCGTTAAGTCCAATACGATTTAATCACTATGACAACCCCTTGCGTTCTTCGGAAAAGCGACCATGGTTGATAGGGATTCTTACGTAGAGAGATAATATTGAAGTTATATTAGTTTCTTTGCTTGCCTTGTTATTTACATTTTGGATGTTTTCATCGATTCGCCTCGCAAGTAAAACTGTACCTTGATTGTCCTTCAGAACTTGGTGTGTTGCATCGGCTGTCTGTGGTTGCTGCATGCGATATATCATGCATTCGATATCCACCATATACCTGGCATTGCATTGGTCTCGATGGTAGACCAATGGATGTGCTTGCAGAATCGAATAGTAGCGGTAATAGTGAATTCTTTGATATCTAGTAGCATTCGGGAGTCGCACAAGAACACAGCTGCTGAACCTGTTTTCTACTTCCGTTTTCGTAAAATCCACAAGGTTCACCACAGATCGTGCAATGGATGACCGTATCTATGCTTTCGAATACTGTTCGGATTGTTTATTTGTGTGGGTGGCATCAGAACAACATTGGAAACCCTTTTTCTAGAAATATGTGTGGAATCTACTTTGTACAATCGCCATATGAAAAAGAAGCATCCAAGGAATATCCATTACCAATAGAGACAGACTGTGTAATATAAATTGTAGACCGCTGTGGTTACTACATTATTAAATTGTTACACAAAGTACGACAGGCATTACACACTCACCAGGATGAACACATGAAAAACTGACTATAGCCTCTAGCTAAATCATAGCTTCTCAAATTATTGCCATATAGTAGTAAGATCTTTGATGGGCGATTATCTCGGAAAGAAACCCGACACCCTCGGTTCTTCCCGGCACTCGTATATTTATCCGGGGCAAGCTAGTTGGCAGTATATGAGAGATTCCCTCAATCGTAATAAATTGCTTTCAATAACGTCCATATTAAGAATGGCACAATAAAAAATTCGTATTCTATCCTTGCCAAGTAGAAAACCTCAGCAGCAATGGCACCGGTCGAACTACCGGTATTCGACGAGCTGACCCTCGACCCTTCCGGCCCCAAAGGCAATGCGTGGGGTCTCTTTGGAAAGGACAATAGCCTTGGGATGCTCAACCTTCTCACCCCAGACGTTGTAAAAGCTGCAGCAAGCGAAATCAAGGACGGTGTTCGTTTTGCACTGGACTGGCAGCTCAATGCTCTACGCCAGCCTGCGTTTGGCAGACAGGCGTTTGACCAGAAGATTGTGTTCAAGGCGCCAAGAATTGTCAATGATGATGTTTTAACTTTCAATACACAGTCAAGTAGCCAATGGGACGGATTCAGGCATTACGGTTTGTCTTGAATGGTGCCCATCTGAAGCTTGATATGAACCATAGCTGAATATGTATGTCGAATGGAACAGGTAACCAAACGCATAAAGTGTTCTACAACGGAACAACACAGCAAATGATTGAGAGTAGCTCCGTTCTAGGCATCGATGGTATGGGAGACCTCTCCTTTTCAAAAGTTTGTCCAAGGCTGATTGCGAGCTAGCCTGGGTACAAAACGGCGGCGTCGTTGGACGTGGAGTCCTCCTCGACATTGCCTCGTACGCCGAGCGTAACAACATTGAATTACCTGCCTTTGAAAGCACCGTCATTCCTCTTGAATTGGTCAAACGCGTCGCCGAGGAGGAAAACGTCACTTTCAGGCCAGGCGACATCCTTTTCATTCGCAGTGGTTTTACAAAGGCGTTCGAAAAACTGTCGGAGGAAGAAGCAGCGGCTCTAGGTCAACGACCTGTTGCTAAATTCGTCGGAATTGAGTCAAGCGAGGCAACTCTAAGATGGTTTTGGCAGAACAAGTTTGCTGCGGTTGCAGGGGATGCAGTGGCGGTAGAATCGGCGCCTGTTCAGGGGCCACAGATTCCTCAAGAGTGGTCGTTGCATCAATGGTGCTTGGCCGGCTGGGGAATGCCACTTGGTGAGATGTTTTATTTGGAGAAGCTAGCGAGTCACTGCGCGGAGAAAAAGCGATGGACCTTTTTCTTTTCCAGTGTGCCGTTGAACGTGAGTGGTTCCTCCTAGATCTTATCCGCCGAACATGCATCTCTTAGTAATTGACTTTGTATACAGGTACCCGGCGGCGTGGCAAGTCCTCCTAATGGCGTTGCGATCTTGTAAGAACCAATTAGAACCCCGGTGAAACATGTAAAGTCGTGGTCTTCATTGTTCTATATCTATATATACATTCAAATGCACTTGAAATGCTCACTTTTGAGAACCCTGAGGCATTACCAATACGCTCGCCAAACGCCAAATGTAAGTTGTACATATTACTCCAGCCCCATCCATTCCCCTTGTCCATCGTCAGCAACCGATAGCGAATCAGCCGTTTCCTCCTCAGCAGGAACACTCTCATCGATAGCCAAGGCGTATTTCATCTTTCTTGAAGCAAGAATCGGCTTTGAGAGAAGATAATCCAAGTCATACTGATTTCGTTCCGTAAGCCGCTTTAGACTCTCACGAAAGTCGTCCAAAACCCGTTGAAGGGCTCGCAGTTCCGGGGCCAATTGACCATTAAAATCCTTCAGGTATCGGCCGTGTACACCAAGTATTGATTCTATCCATAGCAAATTGAATTCCAGATGAGGCGTTTCATCCGTTGAGTGTGCGATGAAACGAATGAATCGAGAGAGATAAGCCTGTGGGATAGAGCGAACAATATGAGGGATGTCCGCATGCGAAATACTTTCATAAACTGTGCGAATAAGAGGTGCTTCATTCAATCGAAATGCCATAACGAGAGCCTTGAGGTAAGATGCCTCCTCAGTCGAAGTTGCAGATGACGATGCTTTTGCTTCCTCAAGGGTGTCGAGAATGGAATCTGGGGTGATATTAATATCCAAATCAAAGGGATCAAACACGAAATCCGTGTCAAGGCTGTAAATAAGGAGGCCTTCGGTAGTGGCTGCACAGAACGATCGGCCGGTCGGTGAGAACGACACTGCTGAGACACGTATTTCGGGTCTTGTCTTTCGTTCTCCGGCGTCGCCCCGTTTTGCGCCAGGTAAGGTGCTATTTATGCGGTCTTCGAGGTCGGAGGCTTCACCAGTTTCGTCAATCAATTCTCGCGGTCCGGCCTCGGTCATGTTTTTGCTGTTCAAGTACTCTTGAGTACCATCTAGGGACGTGTTCACGGAAACCGTGAACTTTTTCACGAGCGAACCAGTAATTACATCGTACAAGCAAATATATTTGCTATTACCTGCAGCCAGTAAACACGATCCATCGGCGCTGTATGCGATTCTCGTGAATGATTTCGTGCCTTCAGCATTAGCAGCTGTCCGCCGATCAGATATCTTTCTTCCACCTGATACATCACGACGTCCTTCTATAGAACTATCCTGGACGGCTTCAAACACATTCCAGAAGCTCAACTGGCCATCAAGACTTGAAGCAGCAATCTGTTTCCCGTCTGGTCTGAAATCAACACTTAAAACGTCTGACTGCATCTGTAGGGGTTCACTGGTTTGTGATCGACCGAAAATGCTCCATATACGAAGAGTTCGGTCCCAGCTGCCACTAACAAGGTTGCTTCCATCGGCAGCGAATGCTAGTGCCACGACTGGTCCTTCATGGCCAGCGAGACGATCGAGTAATTGGCCAGTCTGTACAGACCACACATGAATATCGAATGAGTCATGTGATCCAGCACAAACAACTTCTCCACTAGGGTCAACAGCCAAGGAAGTAAAACCTAGTCGGGTCGGAGCTGTAAAGGTTCGGAAATTTCGATATCTTATGAGGTCCCATGCTCTTACCGAGCCATCCAATGACGATGTATAGAGCACATTTCCCTTTTTGGAGAATTTGCAGTCCGTCACGGCGGCCGTATGTTCCGTGAAGGTCACTATGCAGAATCCAGATGAGGTATCCCATACTTTAATTTTGCCATCATCGGCACTAGTGATGACTCGCTGGCCGTCGGCAGAATATACCAGCGAATTTAGTGAGTCCAAATGACCTTGTTGCTTCAGGATGTATGACTCTGATTGCCATTCCCAAACGAGGAGTTGCCCAAGCTTGGAAGATCCAAATGCTAGCCACTCTCCTGACTTATTAAAGGTGACGAAGTCAATGTTGCTTTGCGATACGCTGATGAAAGTGAGCACATATACGTTTGGGAATTAAAAGAAGGAATATACCTCAGCGTATGGATGTTGTTGAATTCTGGCAGCTCATACAAACCAAACAAGCCATTCGAAAAGCCAACTACTAGGAGGTTGGACGGGGCATGAAAGGCAGCACACTTGAGTTTGGCGTCATTTTGGATGAAAAAGTCCTTTTTCATGATTCTCCAACGTGCCTCACCTTCGACTTCGTTTTCCAATCTCTTCGTGGCATATTCCCACCGAAAGAGAGCACCGTCCTCGCTCACAGTGTATATCTTTTAACCAGTCAGCTTGTCGTGTACAAAATAGCAGTATATATTCTTACTGATTCCTGATCCGCAGCGAAATATGCCGCCTTGACGCTCTGTCGATGCCCTGAAAGCGTAGTTGGCTCGAATCCTTCTTCTGGGTTCAAACTCCACACTCGCGCGGTCAAATCCTTTGAGGATGTGAGGATGAATCGAGAATCGCTCGACCATTCGATATTTTGAATAGCATCAAAGTGCCCTGTTAGTTCTTTGTGAAGAACAAAAGGGGCAAATTCAAGCTCCCCGCCAGCATCAGTTCCGGGGACTGATGGGGTTTGCCACAACTGCAGCCGCCGCCCGATGGCAACTGCAAAGTGAAGACCGGAAGGCGAGAATTTGAGTGCATCGACAGAGCCTTTGAACGACATGTAGTAAATAACAATCCGCCGCTTGAAATTGGTCAGAATGGCACGGCCATCTTCGTCGACAGTGAGGAGCAGGTTTCCTTGAGGGTTCAAATCGAGTCGCACGATATTCTTGCGGTGGGAGAGTGGCAATGTGTAGGACTTGTTGCTGCACTTAAATGTCAGAGGAATTATTTGTCTCTAGGCAGAGGAAACGTACTTGACCAAGTCAAAAACGGTGACCCGGTTGCCCACAGGGGACAGCAAGCAGGTTCCATCGGGGCTGAAGAGTAAATTTCCCTTGCGATAAACGGTCCCTAAGAGATTGGAGAACTGCGACAACAATCAGCTCGACAGGCCAGTACCTGAGAAATAGAGCATCGCATACCTTGAAGTCTGTCTTCATTTTCCTGGTCAGTGCCCGCCACGAAAGCACCTGCCTGCGCGCCGTCGGAAACAATTTTTTGACGCTTCTGAGCGCCGGAACGATAAGCAAGAGTTAATCCGAGCCGAGCGGCTTGCTCAGGAAGGCGCGCTAGTCCCTTCCAGGCAAGCGCCATCCGGGGCCTGCACCTTCCCGCGCTAAACGGCTTCTGCGGGCGCCCATTGGCTCGTCTACCTTGTACACCTGGTCCCACTGCCGTTCAGGGGCTCCGACGCAGAGAGAGCCAGGGAGACACAGAGCGAGAACTTGCAGGGCCGACGACGACGTACTCAAGCACCGGCTGCGCTACTACTGATCTCCATCTTTGTTTGTCTCCTGTCCCTTCATTACCACCTTTTGCCCTTCTTCTACCTGTCTATTATTCCCCTTTTCAGCTTGTGTGCCCGGATTGACAGACCACCAAAGCTGCTGTGATTTTTGTTTTGGCCCGTCCCTCCTATCACAGACTTCACCACTTCACACAATGGCTCCCTCAACCGAGACCGCCTCGCCTATCGGCATCGCCAATGTAAGTCAGAAATGTCCCTCGCAAGTCTATTCCGGTCCCCTCTGCGGCTATGTCGATGCAACAATTGCTGACCAGCGCCTCAATATAGCTTCCCAACCAACGGTATGTTCTATACGGATTCATGTTGCGGTGGTTTGATGCTGGACGCCTGAGTGCTGACTTTACGATATAACAGCCACAAGATAGTCGCAAAGCGGGGTGCAGCTTTCACGATCATGGTGCGCACCTCAATGCAAGCGATGTGTGATGTGGCAGTGATTGATATATATGCAGGTTGCTGGCGAATCTGGTTTGGGAAAGACGACCTTCATCAACACCCTCTTCTCTACCACGATCAAGAACTACGCCGACCACAAGAAGCGACATGCCAAGCAGATCGACAAGACCGTCGAGATTGAGATCACCAAGGCAGAGCTGGAGGAGAAGTTCTTCAAAGGTACACATCATATACGGAATGCCGATTTCCCAGCTGACACATCTTTCAGTCCGCCTGACTGTTATTGACACTCCTGGGTTTGGTGACTACGTTAACAACCGGGATTCGTGGCAACCGATCATTGAATTCCTCGATGATCAGCATGAGTCGTACATGTTGCAGGAACAACAACCCCGCCGGACGGACAAGATCGACTTGCGTGTCCACGCCTGCCTCTACTTCATCCGCCCTACTGGCCACACCTTGAAGCCTCTTGATATTGAAGTTATGAAGCGTCTCAGCTCGCGAGTTAACTTGATCCCTGTTGTTGCCAAGGCTGATACCCTCAGCCCAGCTGACCTTGCTCGTTTCAAGCAGAGAGTAGGTCCATACCGTATATAAGTATGACTAGGGGGTCTATGAACTAATATGAACCAGGTCCGTGCTGTTATTGAAGCCCAGGGTATCAAGATCTACCAACCCCCAATTGAGGAGGACGATGAACACGCCGCTGCCCACGCTCGTAGCTTGATGGCAGCTATGCCTTTTGCCGTTATTGGTTCTGAAAAGGACGTCAAGAACAACGAGGGCAAGGTTGTCAAGGGTCGTCAATATGCTTGGGGTGTTGCCGAGGTTGAGAACGAGGACCACTGCGACTTCAAGAAACTCCGTTCCATCCTCATCCGTACCCACATGCTCGATCTCATCCATACCACCGAGGAGTCTCACTACGAAGCCTACCGTGCCCAACAGATGGAGACAAGAAAGTTTGGCGAAGCCCGACCCCGCAAGCTAGACAACCCCAAGTTCAAGGAAGAGGAAGAGACCCTGCGCAAGCGCTTCACAGAACAGGTCAAGGTCGAAGAACAGCGTTTCAGACAGTGGGAGCAGAAGCTTATCGCCGAACGCGATCGCCTCAACAAGGACTTGGAGGCTACCCACGCAGCGTATGTTGTTATTCATTGACCGATAGTAGAAGACTAAACTAACTTGTGGCAGCATCAAACAACTCGAACAGGAAATGGAAACAATGCAGGGCTCTACCCGAAGCCACGGCCGTCGCTAGATATTTCCGGGCTAATGCTTGTGTTTCGAAGATATGCTTTGGCTGTTGACGACAGTTTACAACATGTCGACATTATTTTCTATTTGCGATAACCCCTTTCTCTTTTGGCGTGATATTTCGATGAGCGAAAAAAAGTACTAAACCTTCCGGACCAGACGATGCCCGGGCCAGGTGCGCTGCTCTGTTTTCGTTTGGTATATTGTTGAGTGATGGCCTCTACTTTTGCCCTACATAATATCCTTTCTCTTGTGTCGTAGCGTGCCAATGCAATTTTAATCTCTATTGTGCGAGTGGAATACATACGTGCATTTACGTAGCTGAATTGTGGACATAAGCATTGTATTTTAGTAGGTGGCGGTCTGAGCTTCCGCGTGCTCCTCACCGGATAAGGGTAAGAGTAATTACTTTGGACAAGCTTGACGCACCACAACAACTCAACTGCGACCTCCCGACTCAAGCCGTCTTTTTTTTTTCAGCGTTTCTATTCAGTAGTCTTCATGCCATCTCTTGGCCGCTTTCCCAATCGGCATGTTCATACACTCAAAACTCACCATGGTAAGGTCTGCCCTTCCCGCACAGAAAACCGACACGACCACTGACTCAACTCTCCAGGCCCCGTTAATACCGTGACCTTTTCTAGCTACCCCGGGACCTATGTATTGACTGGCTCGTCCGATAGAGCAATTCATTTATCGCGAGCCCTGCCCAGCTCCAATTCGAACTCAGTAGCTGAAACGATCCAGCCTATTCAGAGGTACGAAGCGCATGGGTATTCTGTCCTCGATATCGCCGTCAGCGCGGATAATGCACGATTCACAAGTGTTGGTGGAGATAGACAGGTTTTCCTATGGGATGTCGAACAAGGTTCGACCGTTAGACGATGGACCGGTCACTTGAGTCGAGTCGAGGCCGTGCAATTTGCTGGCGAGGGAGATTCGGTAGTCGTCTCTGGTTAGTCTTCGACTTCTGTGACAGAGCTTACAAAACTATCGAATGCTGATAATTATTCGAATAGGGAGTGCCGATACTACGATCAATCTGTGGGATACGAAATCTAACTCTACCAAACCCATTCAGAGCCTGACTGACGCTACGGATACTGTTTCTTCGCTTCACGTGCATGCGCCGACACATTCAATTGCTAGCGGAAGTTACGATGGAAAGGTTCGGATATACGATCTTCGCATGGGCCAGGCCACTGTGGATGTCATCGCACACCCAGTGACAAGCGTTCGCTGTTCGGCCGATGGCCATGCCGTACTGGTCTCGAGTCTCGACGGTCGGATCCGGATGTTGGATCGAACCAATGGGAAATTATTGAAGGCGTTTGGTGGAGATGACCAGATTGAAAGGCTAGGACAGCAACGATACTTGAATAAGTCTCTCAGAATACGTTCTGTCTTTGCCCAAGGAGGTGCTGTGGTCCTCGCTGGCAGTGAAGCTGCAGACATAGAGAAGAAACAGAGCACAAGTCAAGCATCGGTGTTTGCCTGGGATGTTCTGAGCGGCGAGAATATCGCCACAATTGCAGCAGGAGACGGCGTGAAGGCTGTCAGTTGCGTTTCATGGAACGAAAAGGGAGGCTGTTGGGCTAGCGCCTGTGCAGACGGTAAGTCGGCATTACTCCGGCCAGCCACAATACCACTAATCAGTGTTTGGTAGGCACCGTCAAAGTCTACAGTTGATCAGATAACATGGACCAGCCGAACATCCGGATTCTTTGCTGCCAATGAGCGACTGCGCTGTATTATGTCAGGGCCACGTGCCGCAGCCTGAAGCTGTTCAGTCGCTGCGAGAGATTATTAGCGGCATCGTCGGGAGACTTAGTTGCACTCGCCCACTGCAGCGCCACGCCAGACAAGCTGCCAACCTTCTATCCAGCACGTTGTGTCCACGATATAGTTATCATTCGCCAATAACGGGCTACATATACGCGTCTAATAACATGTTTAATTTCCAAGTCCCGCAAGGTACATTCGATACTGGGATGCATTGACGTACTCGTCGAGCTGTATAAACATCGCTCCTCCTTTCCATTAATGTTCTTATTTCGTATCAATTGGCCTGTGAAATTGAAAAATCACAATGCATCTGTCACGACTATTACTAGCTGCTGCATTGGCCGCATCCAGCGCGGCATCCTCCAATGTCACAATCTATAGTAACGAATCATTCGTTCCTGATAACAGGCTACCGACGTCCCACGCGACGTCTGATGGTGGTGAGATCGTGAATCTTTTCCTCCAACTAAGCCGCTCAACGACATGGAAACTCATCTCCAAAACCAAACTTGAAGGCGACACAGGCGAGCCCGAGGGTATGGTGCGTGTGGGGGACTCCCGACTATTCGTTTCCTCAGGACAGTGGACCGTTCCAACTGAGAAATACAACACTACAATCAACGGCACAGACCGCACTACCGGCGCTGGATTTGCGCATATGATTATCTATGACCTCCAAGGACAACGGATTGCCAATGCCACACTCACAGCCCCCGGCGATATTGAGTATCATGGCGGAGGCATTGATTATGACGGCCGTTATATCTGGATCACAATCGCTCAATACCGACCCAACTCCACCGCCACCATTGCTCGCATTGATCCACTGAACCTGGAACAGACTCGCCTATTCCGCACCCATGATCACAACGGCGGCATCGTCCACGACACAACCACCGACGAACTGGTCACGTTGAACTGGGGGGCCCGCAACGCAACCACATGGTCTCTGAGAAAATACCCACGGAGGTTCACCCCATTCCCAGGCTTCACTCCGCCGGTACGAAGCGTCGCCAATCCCAGCTTTTTCGTGGATTATCAGGACTGTAAATTTCTAGGTCACCATTCCATCCCCAGCCTTGTTGCGTTTCAAAACCCTAGCTCCTGGAGCCGCCACGGCCTCGTTCGACCGGTCATGCTTTGCGGCGGAGTGGCGACGATTAGCAGCTATAATCTGGGTGGATTGGCGCTCGTTGATCTGGAGACTATGTTGCCATTGTGGGAGGTGCCGATTTCGCTGACGAGTGATCTGGGTGTCTCGCTTACCCAAAATCCGGTGGATGCGCAAGTTGTGGATGGGAAATTAAGGGTCTGGTTTTTGCCGGACCAGAGAAATAGTACCCTGTATATCTACGAGGCGCAGTAATTTTTGAAGGGAACTGAGACACTAAGTACATTAAAATAAGTAGATCAAATATTTTTGGTGTAGAAATTCAAGAAATGTCAATTGCCGGTATACACTAACAAACAAAATTTTGAATATAGTATGATGTTTTTCTGCTCTTTATCTGGATTTACACCAGTTGACTAATTTATATCCCATCAAATATAGACTTCTTGATTGACCGTCGCATGTAGATACCGCAAAAAGTTGAAATATTATTAAAATTGCTATAGGGAAGGCTCCTATATACCTCATCCACTTTGTGGTGCTATATTCAAACTTTTGTCACCATAGTGTGTATACCATCTGATTCGTACAATTCGTAAATTACATTGTGTATCTAAAATTCTAAATCCATCTTCTAAAGCATATATATCCCAAGCCATGTCTTATATACAGTATGAAATCCTTCATGGATCGGGCTTCTTCTGCGGCTCAGGACTGATCCATCTTCCGTCCTTCAGCCAGACGCCAGCTCCACCGTAATGGCCCGTCGAAGCGCCTTTCATGAACGCAAAGCGGAAGAAAAGATCCTGCGGTGCGTCGTGGTTTTCGTCGCTGTTTGTGTTATCGAGTGACGTGAAAGAAGCGTTGTTGTCAACATCATCCGTGTTGAGGTCGGCGTTGACAAGCTCTAATCCTGCTTTACCGTGGCGGCGCCAGGTGAATTTCCCCTTGCGGTTCTCGTCAAGATATCCACGCCAGCGCTCAACGTCATTGACTAGCACGCTGATCCCGTCAACGCCAAGATGCTCCATTCGCTCGTGCTCCCAGAGATTGAATGTGATGTTGCCGTTGCCAGGGTATTGAGTTTGTTGCCAGATTGGTGGGAAGGAGGGAGTGTCCAGGTGGATAGAGACGGATGTGTTGGTGATGTTTGGGTATGACGCACCCCACCATCCACCTGGTGTTGTCGGGTCTTCACCCAGGGCTGCTGGTGTTTCGACGATAGACGCGAATCCCCAACGGGCGACTCCGTTGATGAAGAGACCGAGGAGTAGGCCTTGGTAGATCAACGATGCGCGTGTTGGGATGATTGTGCCTGGCATGAGCAGCATTGCAAGGATGTAGTGGTGTATTCGGAGACGGAGTCCAGGCAGAGCCATCAAGAAGAGGAGAAGAGCTACGAAGGAGATATAAACTTTGAGATAGCGTGGCATTAAGCCCGCTTGACGGATGAGCCATGCTTGTGTAACCACAATGGTGATAATGATTGTGATCACTATCCCAAGTGCAAGTTTGGCACCAGGCTGGTTTTGTAGGTCGTGTGGGGTGAGTCGTTGAAGGGGAATCCAAAGAGCAAATGTATAGTTGTTTAGAGCCCCAATGAATGCAGGTGTAAGGTATAAAATGGTTCTCTCCAGTTGATATGCAGGAGTAGATAAGTGTCTCAGCAGCAAACGAACTGCATAGAGATATAGCACGTACGCTATGAATGATGCCGGAAGGACACGCGATAGTAGGATTGAGAATAAATCTGTGAGCGTCGGCAGATTTGGTGGATCGGATACCACGCCTACATGGGTGATAAGTATACCAAAGGTGCTGAAGTAAAACACCGCGGGTGATGTTGTAAATATAGAGATTAAGACGACGGCCGTCGTAGTGATTCCGAGCAGGGGCCATCGTGGATCAGAGGGACAGGTAGCCTGAGACGCAGAAAGTGGGATGAAGCCAAATGACTTGGGAAATGTCGATGCAAATTCCGTAGATGTGAAACCGTTGCGCGTAGATGCTAGGAACGAGTGCGCGGCCCCGTTCAGCTTCACCACGCCACAGCCGCCGGCCGCATCAGTAGCAACACCTGCATGTATTGCAGCTTGGCAAATGTGGCTATCTGCACGGTATACGCCGAGGTCAGAAGAGTCAGGCTGAGGCCCACCGATAACAAGGGGTTGGTAGTTGAGGGTTTGATTGCCGACGGTACGTTCGTCGAGGAGAATGAGGGATTTGCAGTTTGCTGGACAACGGAAAGCAAAAGGCGAGGCTTTGAAAGGGCGACAATCGTTGCCATTTAAGCCGCAACTGTTTCCAGACGACCTAGGGAATGTCAGTCACCAAAATACTTCAAGAAGTACTGCAAAACATACCAGTAGCTAGCAGCACATGAGATGGACTGCGGCAGCCCGTAGCCCTCGATATTGCCCGACGAGTGGGACTTGAGTAAGATGAGAAACCAAGTAAGGAACCAAAAAAAGTAGGCGAAAAGCAGCGCCAGAATCTTGCGTGGTCTTGTAGGTGCATAACGCTCAAGTAGCTGTACTGGGAGCTCCTGTAACTTTGGAAAGAAAGGCCGAAATAGCAGATCGTGAGGTGGGTCAGGGCCTTGAACCCAGGTAGCTGTTGCACGCCCTGCTTTCCTTAATGGCAACGGAACCCAGCGCCAGCGAAAAGTGGCAGACGACTCTCTGAGCCAGATCGGCAGACGAAAAGTCGTCACATTGTTCAGCTCTTCGTCTTCGGCCTCGACGCCGAGTATATGCACATCAGGACCGTCATCCTCATCGTCCCCGATAGGGGTCAATGGAGGCGCGATTATACGTCCTCGTTCTTCGTCATTGCTCCCCTCGATCATGTCGACTAGCGATGGGTATATATATTTTCCAAGAGAGAGAACATTCAGCGGCGAACGACTTCAGATGCCTCTCGAGACAAGCGCAAGTGGGGCCCGTCTGAAGCTATCGGGACCCAGGAGCTCCGGAGGCTACAATGACCAGCCTGATGTCGAAACCGGAAGCAAAAAAAGCGCCAAAAGGGGAGACGACGAAGCAAAATCACGGCATGCGCATAGATGAGAGGACGAACAGGACCACGCCTAATAACAGACTGGACGACCGCAGATGACGGCGGCGGTTGGGCGCCGGATCATCGGTAAGCCCGCTCCGGCCCTAGCTGGGCCAATCCACGATTGTCGGCCCGCCACGCCCCCGCTGCCTTCCTAATGCGGAGATTCGGTCCCTGCAAATTTGCAGGCAGCCGCATTACGTGAGAACGCATTTTTTTCAATTTTTTTTCAATTTTTTTTAAACGTCAAGCTCTTTGCCATTAATATTCAGCGGCCAGCATTCTTTTCTTTCCCCGATAATGAAGACCGCGTTGTCATTTTGATGGGCTAGAAAGAGAATACAAGTGGCTACTATACTGCGGCTTACGACACCCTCGCTCTGACAGGGGTTTTACCACAGTTTCGAATTACACAGTTGGAGGTAGAGAGGATCTAAACCATCTTTCGGGTGTTTTGTGTATTGTGCTTGGCTCATGCAGATAAGAAACTGCGCGACCGCTGCTCTGCGAATAGCAATACAGTACTTCGCTGCTGCGCTTATCGTGCAGTGCATATGTATGGCATATGCAAGCGCCAAGCCGATAACGACGTCTGACGAACAACCTCTGACGTCCAACGTGGTGCCACGTGTGGGGCAGCCAATCAGAGTGCGGTGCCCCGAGTCTTTCTCGGTGTCTTGTGAGGAACGCCATATATATCCGATCGAGTGATATTATTAAGCACGGCGACAGTGGCAGATTGCTGGGTCCTGCAGGCGGGCCCAAAACCCAAAGACATGGCCTTAATCAACCCCCAGCGTCCAAGATAGTCCAATGCAAGCCCTTCTCAGCCGTGAACATAGCCAACGCCGCCTAGCAAAGAGGGGGGGAAACCGGAGAAGCTAATGAAACTAGGAATGCAACTGGATGAGGGCCGTCACAGCCAAAAGATAAGACGGCTGGCTGCCCCGGACCAAACACCCCCCGATATGCCGCCGTGGGATTAATAATCGTGTTTTGCTGCCATCTTTGACTACTTTCGCGCTCGAACCGATCGACTCTCTCATAACTACTATATTCTACACTTGTTTGCATTGCGTGACCTGCAGTCCTTGCAAATAGCTAGTCAATATGGAATCACGCCATCTGCAGAGCACGCGAGCTCCGCCATTAGACCTATCTCACTACTTCTCAGATGTCACCAAGAACCGCCAGGCAAGCGATGTGAAGCGCTTCTATAAATACTTCGCTCTTCCAGGAATGCACAATTTGGCTGGTGGTAGGTTTGGAGCGTCTGGTTTTGCCTCATAACCTCTAATCGCAGTCCAGGTCTCCCCCATATGTCATACTTCCCTTTTGATACCCTAGAAGCCTCTGCCGCTCATCCACATCGTTTTGAGCCGACTCCCATTACTCCCGTGGACCCAGAACCTCCCAAGTCAAATCGAAACCCGGCCGCGTTGCATGTAAAGGTGCCCAAAGAGAGCAAAGCTACCAATGTCCTGAGTAAAATCGACCTGCAGACCGCTTTACAGTATGGCACTGCGGATGGGTACCCGCCACTCAGCTCTTTCATTCGGCAGTTCACGCGTGATCATCTACACCCTAATGTGCCGTATGCCAATGGGCCTGAGGTGATTTTGACATGCGGGTCGACGGACGGCTTCAGCAAGGCGATCGAAACTTTCACAAACCCCTGGATAGAGCATAAAGACGATATTCGAGATAGAAGTGGTATATTATGCGAAGAATTTGCATATATGAATGCGATTCAAACAGTTCGGCCTCGTGGCCTGAATATTGTGCCGGTGGTTATCGACTCACAGGGCATGATACCTTCTGGTGAAGGCGGTTTGGCAGACATCCTTGAAAATTGGGACTTTAGCAAGGGTAAACGCCCACATCTGATGTATACGGTGACGTAAGTTGAATATCTGATCATGTGGGATGAAGATATAAAACTGACTTGAATAGTCTTGGGCAGAATCCCACTGGCACCACCATGCCGATTGAGCGGCGCAAAGAAATCTATGCACTTTGCCAAATGTATGACATAATCATCATTGAAGACGAGCCATATTGGAATCTGCAATACCCCTCTGCAATTCAAGCACTTGATAAGCCTCGAGGTGGGGATGAACATAAATTATTCAACCGGAATTATAACGCACACGGTCGTTCCTCTGGATACGATTTTTTGGACAGCCTAGTCCCTTCGTACCTGTCAATTGACACAGACGGCCGAGTTGTACGTGTCGATACATTTTCAAAAACCATTGCACCAGGCTGTCGGCTTGGTTGGCTGACTGCTCAACCAGCCGTTGTTGAGCGGATCACGCGTATTACAGAGACATCCACTCAGCAACCTTCTGGCTTTGTTCAGGCTATGGTGGCTCAGTTGCTTAAAGGACAGTCAAGCTCAGCCATGACCAACAGAGCCAGCAAAAGCGATGAGGCATGGACAATGGACGGATGGGTTCGATGGCTCGAAGGGCTGCGAGGCGGCTACGAGCGCCGCATGCAAAACATGTGTAAAACTCTTGATGACGGCAAATACGTCGTCGTCGATTCAGCCCCCGGCTCCTATCCCGATAGCTGGTCCATGGTTAGCAAAGTACCAATGTATGAGTTTGACTGGCCCATAGCGGGCATGTTTATATGGATTAAAATTCGATACGACACTCACCCACTCCTTGAAATATACGGAGCAGAGAAAGTGTGCTCAGCGTTATGGGCGTTCCTGACAACAAAACCGTTCCTCTGTCTGGCTGCGCCTGGATTGATGTTTGCACCCACGGCAGCTGTTCAGGAGTACGCTTTCCAGTACCTGCGACTCTGTTTTGCACCGATGCCTGAAGATGAAGTCATCGACTACGCCCAGCACTTTAATGCGGGATGCAGAGCGTTCTGGCAGTTACAGGACTTTGACGGCGTTCCTGATTTAGATGAAGACATGGAGTCAGGAGCAGGGTTGAAGGTTTGGTAGAATAATATAAGATCTAATGCGTTTTTGTTGGAGATCAATTTTTTTGATTGAATGATATGACATGACCCTACTAAAGAGAAATGAAAGTCTTCTTAGGTTGACGTGGCAAATTTAGAATCATTTTCGAGAACAAGTAGAGTTAAATGAATTTCTAAAAGCAAATAAAATTATTGATCATTCAACTTCGTGTTTCGTTTTTTTTTTTTTTTTTGCTTAGCTTGCTTTTTCCATAACGCTTCATATATCGATATATGGTTTATGTTTCTTGTATTTCGGGCTTTATATATCAATTTTAAATTATTTTCTTTTTTTCTATTAATAAATTTATTATATCTAATATATTAAATTTTAAACTACAATTTATATATCATTTTGTTGAGATATAAAGATTCAGAAAAAGGTCATTTTATATGGACTGATTGGTTCCAAATGCCCGTGGAATAACGTTACTGATTGTAGCTGACATAATCTTCTATTAATGATTATGTAGCCTAAATTTTTCAAATTAGATATCCGCGTAGGGGTGATGGGACAGTTGGGAGTCCGTTAGACTGAAGTATTATATTTCGAAATCTAGAAGTCCTGGGATCGATGCCCAGTCATCCCATTTTTTTTCCCTCCCAGTATATGTTATCACACAAAGAAGCTGCCAACTGGTATAAGAGAAGAATATTTCTTCTAGTCATGCTGTTGTGTGCGTTGCTTTTTCTGCCAATGCAGATATTCCGGCCCATTAATGAATTGGTTTGAGTGCACTATTTCATAAATACTCATAGATATATAAAGTAGTCTTTTGGATAAAACCATGATGTGTCACGACCTCGTAGTCTTGATATAATTGACTATACATTCAGAAAGTATTTGAAACCTCCAAAGAACAAGGCAGGTGTGAGGCCTGGCAGCAGCGAGAGGCGCTGCAGGCTCACAGAGGCTTATAAGCGTGCCAACCCTGGAATTGGGCAATGGCCCAATTACCTCAGTATTACTTTTTGGCATTTAGAGGTTGGCAGTGTCAAGGAGCCTTACAGCAGGACTATTTCAAATCATAGTCAAATTTTAATACCAAAGCTAGGTTGATATGAATAGAGTTATAGAGCCGTAGCAGTAGAGGTTTTTTCGAGTAGGTAGATAATCAAGCCATTAACTGTAGACCATGTGGTGTCGAATGTACGTAAGATGAGGGACCCTTATAGGCATTTTTGGTCTCGACCTTCTGCTGAGGAGAAAGGTGAACTTTGGGAGAAATCATCGAGGCCTGTCAAAAGTCTTTGTTCTCATCATCGTTGTTGTTGATAGGACCATAATTGTCGATGCAGCAGTTGGGTGGCCTTATAAATCGTAGGTAGATTGGAACTGATGGAGGATTGGAGGCCAATTAAACAACATGTTATCCTCGGCAGTTCGTAATAACTCCAAACTATTGTGGTAAATAGGAACATGTCTACACCTTGTCCCGTGTCTTTAATTATCGAAATATACTTCAAGAACTAGGTCGGCGGTTTGAGCTTCCGTGATATTGAGGCATTTCTCAATCTATTGCCTGCTCTCGGCCGTCTGAGAGGCTTTGGATTGTTGAATTGGTTTTTGAACTTTGAATCATAGTGGTAATTCGTAGGCACTGTGTCTATACAATGCATTGACGGGATTAGTTATGATCCAACTTTCAGTCTCACATCGACATCTTCTTCGTCATCATACGTCTCTTCGGTAGACAGAATTCGGAGCGTTTCGTGGCCCTTGTTGTCACGAATTGGCATTTCCAGATTACACCCCCATCCACGGTTAGATAATTTTTCCACTAGGATTTCCATTCTAGGGTTGATATTACCGCGAAGGGATGCGAGAAAATTGGCCAAATTATCGAGCATGTCGCCTGGACCAATTCTCATGACTTGTCGTCGTTCTGTGATCCAGGGGACGCATGACAAGACATCCGCTAGAGATATCGCTACATCTGCTAGTTTCATTTGCTATGAGAGTCGTTTGTCAGCAAGATTTATAAGAATATTAACTCAGTATCAAGTTGAATTCCTACCATTCCAAGGCCATGTGCCTCCACAATGTTCCGAGAAAATCTATTCAGAAAGGTGAGCATGCTTTGCGCAACTCGTTCTGGAAATAGAATGCTGAGATTGTCGTCATTGGAATTCGCAGAAAGTTTGATGTGGAACATAGACATCTTCCAAAGCACCATCCGCATCCACTGCTGCGTAATGAGAAAGTCTGCTTGTTGAAATTCTCTCTTCGACTGCATTTGACGCATCTCACGCAGTTGAGAGTCCACATTACTGAAGAAGTCGGTAGTACGATTCGACAAGTCGCTGTCCATGGCAATGCCAAAAGCTCTAAAAAGCTGACATAGATCTGTGAATGCCACTAGCCCAGGAGGTACCTCCTTAGTTTCTAGTGGTGGAAGGCTTGGATCAAGATGCAAGATTCTAGGGAGATCAAATCGAGTTGTGTGGCCCCTAGAGAAAGAATAAGTATGCTTTCAAATATAGCTCATGCGGGACTAAATACCGCTCCGTAATGCAAAGGATCCAGATTATGCGAAGATGCGATTGCCGCTCCTTCTTAGGTAGCGTATCATAGTGTTTCGGCTGATCAAGCTCAAGGAATTGAGCAAATGTGATAGCCTCACGGATGAGAACGGTGGCTTTGCACACTTGGCCACGGTTTGAACAGAAAATATGCAAAAAGAATGATGAAATTAAAAGGCCAACGGTTGGATCTTCTTGATATCGAAGATAAGCCCGTGCTCGCTCTGATTCATATGCCATGTCGGAATCACTGACTGGGTCAGGGGCCTGGGTGATATCTGTTGGGTTGAGTCGCAGGTGTGCCATGACGACCGCCGCAAGGGCAGTACACAATGCATATGCTTCTACGTCATCCTGGTTCTGGATGCGCGAAATCATTTCATCTCGGTCAACCACCGGCCATACTGGAAATAGTCGCTCACTGTAGATCTCAAGATAGTGGCGTATCACCGATACTGGCGCACTTGGCGTAAAGTCAGGAGCCGGAATTGACTCATCGCTTTCCTGTTCGTCCTCTGCCTCCTCCTTTGTTCTGACTGGAATAGCATTCTCGCCAAGAACGTATTTCCCGTGCTGCAAAGCGCTCTGTAGCCGGGCTAGACGCCTTTTTTCCGCCCATGGCCCCTTCGGGCCGGGTTTTGACTGGGCTCTGGACGTCGTGCACGGAATGTCCAAAGCATGGCACCGCTTGCAAGGTTGTCCTCGATCACATTTTATCTTTCGTGTTGCACATGGATCACAAGCTCGACTACGTGTCATTGGCTCGAAATATTGTACGTTGACACGATGAGCCTACGAGTATGCATAGGAGCTAGGCTGATCAACCTGGAGACTCCGCACTAGCGACAGCCTATCCCAATAACTTGATTGGTTCTTTCGGAGTATTGAATTTCTTCTTGGACCTCGAGAAAAGACTATGTTTTCTGGAGTTTCCGGGAGTCAAGCAACGTAGCAATCTGATCGCAGAAATTTTTCGACTGGCTAGAATAATGAACGACCAGCACTTTTTGCCATCGTTCGGGGAGCAGCGCCAGTTGGAGTTGCTCGGTGGAGATCCGAATCGCTCGCTCATGGGAGCCACGTGAATCGTCGGTTTGGCCTGAAAAAGGTGGCCAATCCCGGCGAGCAGGTAAAATACGGTAACGCTTATTATAGCCGTAATTAGTAATGCCTGCTTTTATCCGTATGTATGCACTGCTCGTATTGGAATTACAGCTTCCATCGCTAGAATCCCAACGTACAGAACCTACCAGGAGCTCGGTCTAATCACTACTACCAATTCAAATAGACGCAATCGTATGATTTACTGTTAGTATTATATGTTCTAAAGTGGCCATGCGAGCACTGAGACGGTGGCACTGGATATGTGCTTGGACATCGGACGATGCAAACAGAACAAACCCAGGCAGAAATGATGTCAAGGTTGCCTCGCTGCAACTTTTTCGCATCAAGCATCAATTGATGTTCAATCATCCATCTCTACGTATCGATCGATAAATTTTCAACTGCGATAAATAGCGATGTTGGCCTCACGTTTCGTCTGTCGCTTGCGATCCTCAGCAAATCTCGGGTTCAGACTTCCACATCTCCAGCAACAAGCTCGAGCATTTGGCGTATCTACCCTTCGTGCAGATGACCGCGCTCCCAGTACCGCAAAGGAACACCGAGAAATTCAGAAGAAAAGGCCACTGAATCCACATATCCCAAATACCACGTCAACACAGACCAATGATTTTCCTAAAGTTGGTGCGACTTCTTCGCCTCCGGAGTTCCTGAGCTCCGTCGATCCTAATTACAAGCCGGCCGACCCTTACCCTGGACGAATTGAGCATCTGACTGGTGGCAGACAGGCACCGGGCCCTCAGAAACCAGAGTTGGGTGTTGGCGAAATGGAGGGTATTACTTTCAAGGTCGAACCGTTGAGACGCGAGGGAGAGGATGTCAGTACTATGCGGGCTCGGCTACTCTGTATGCGAAACTTTCCCCCTGAATCATGGTATTATATAATTGCTGACTACGGACTTGCAGACCAAAGTAGAAAGAGAGGCATTCTCGAGTCCGATCTTCTCCTTTCCACTTTCGCAGATGTTTACCTCGGCACAATGACGGCGCAACAGCTGCAACAATACGACCGCTTTCTTGACGAGAACGACTGGGATATCTACTACTGGGCTACACAGGAACCTAAGGAGGCTGATAAGAATGCATCTTCCTCGGTTGCAGATGCAGATTCAGCTGTAGAAGTCGATACGGTGACGGAGACGTGGAAGCAAGGAGCTTCGAAGTCGGGCGAATGGGCGCAGACTATAGGCGCATTCAAGCCTGCGTATCGCCCTGTGCCCTCGCGATGGGCTGAGTCGGAGGTTTTGGCTCTACTTCGACAGCACGTCCAGGACAAGAGCGCAACGGGGTTTCATGCCGCAAAGCAAAGAAAACGAGGAAGCGGGCTCGGCCGGATGCCTGAAATCAAGGTATTCGACTCGTGAGGGTGCATGTATAAACTTGTATCATAGCTAGAGCAGGCGTGGCCGCTGTACATATATTATAATTATATCGACGGATTCTTTCATCCTGGATCATAGTAGCTAGCGCCACTTTATTCTGCCACCGCTTTTTATTCCGGAACAGGCTGTGGCGCAGGCGGACTCGGCGGGCTCGGGCGGCGACTCGCTTAGGCGGCTGTCTAGGGCTCAAACCCCGAACTAGTGCGCTTAGGGATTACTCGTCCTTTTCCCTCAATATCGCCGTAGCAGGAGCTCAACGACATAGCCCTTCAGCCGTCTTTCTTCCCTTCTCCGTTGCAAGGTTCTTCTATTGACTCGCAACCTTGACCATGGCCGAGCAGCTCATCCTCCGCGGAACCCTCGAGGGCCACAATGGCTGGGTCACCAGCTTGGCTACCTCTCTTGAGAAGTAAGCTCGTCGTACCTCGAAATTTTGATGTCGTGGAATTGGAACGGTTTCTGATAACATTGGCTTCACAGCCCCAACATGCTGCTCTCCGCCAGTCGCGACAAGACCCTGATCGTTTGGAACCTGACCCGTGACGACCAGGCCTACGGTTACCCCAAGCGCAGTCTTGAGGGCCACTCTCACATCGTCTCCGACTGTGTACGTCTCTTCAAGTCTTATTTGGCAACTTGGAAAATCATTGGAGGATGGTGTTACTTTTCTCTGGAGGACTACTGGGCTGACTGGTCTTCTTTACCCGTCATATAGGTCATTTCCTCCGATGGTGCCTACGCTCTGTCCGCTTCGTGGGACAAGACTTTGCGCCTGTGGGAACTTGCCACTGGCAACACCACACGTGTCTTCACCGGCCACACCGGCGATGTCCTTTCTGTTTCGTTCTCTGCCGACAACCGCCAGATCGTCTCCGGCTCCCGTGACCGAACAATCAAGCTCTGGAACACCCTAGGTGACTGCAAGTTCACCATCACCGAGAAAGGCCACACCGAGTGGGTGTCTTGCGTCCGATTCAGCCCCAACCCCCAGAACCCCGTCATCGTCTCCGCTGGCTGGGACAAGCTCGTCAAGGTACGTGGAACCAGATGCCGCGTTTTGCCGCAGGTCATATGATGTTTTGCATTCTATGTATTTGCTACTTCAGAGCCCTTCGGGGCCATGAGACAACCATCACCATTATGCCCTGATTGACCTACAGGCAATACGCGATTATCAACAGCTGGAACTGCCACGGGAACCGCGCTAACTGATATCAACAGGTTTGGGAGCTCGCTTCTTGCCGTCTTCAGACCGACCACATTGGCCACAGCGGCTACATCAACACCGTCACCATCTCTCCCGATGGATCCCTCTGCGCCTCCGGTGGTAAGGACGGTACCACCATGCTCTGGGACCTCAACGAGTCCAAGCACCTCTACTCCCTCCAGGCCGGTGACGAGATCCACGCCCTCGTCTTCTCCCCCAACCGCTACTGGCTCTGCGCTGCTACCACCACCAGCATCACCATCTTCGACCTCGAGAAGAAGAGCAAGGTTGATGAGCTCAAGCCTGAGTACGTTGAGAAGGGCAAGAAGAGCCGTGAGCCAGAGTGTGTCTCCCTCGCCTGGAGCGCTGACGGCCAGACCCTCTTCGCTGGTTACACTGACAACAAGATCCGCGCTTGGGGTGTTATGTCGCGAGCTTAAATAGAGCCAGGGGAAGTGGGATTGTAAAGGGCATAAAATATCCATCAGTTGTCTATTCCGATAATTGATTGTTTTTGGGTTTGGAAGATGGATGGATGAGCGATGAGCATATGAAAACCAAATTTGATGTCTGTGACTTCTCGCAACTGGAAGATTTGCGTTGTTGAAGTATGGATGCAAATTTCTTTTCCTTTGTGACATGTCTAGCTTAACGTGTTCCTCGATCTGCCATAAAATTCGGAGTGACCAGGGAACCACCGCCATGTGATGTTTTAATATCATACAGACGCAAAAAAAGAAACATTAAAAATTTTATATCCGTGTATATCTTCTAAAAATGAGCAATGTAAACCTGGCTCTACGGTAGTTCAGTATTTCATCAACATGGGCGATTCTACATAACATTTACGTATATGGCAAGTGTGTGTGCATAACAAACATTAATTGGGACCGTCTATATCGAGCAACATCTGAAGCCTGCAAGCAAGTACAGTTTATATAATTAGTTAAAAATTCAATATATATCTACACGCTATATATGGAGCAGGTGGCGTCACATAGCACCATGGCCATGCGGCGTGAAAAATAGTGACTCGCTTTTCCGAATGTGGTAATTTTAAGGCCTTCGGACTTCAGACGACGATTAGCGGTCGCTGCATGCCCTGAGTCAGGTACCACTCTAGAAAAAAATATTTTTGCATTAGTAGTGAGCCTTAGAGAGGATCGTGCATACTTCACGTACACTATTGTATGTCAGGCGTAGCTTGACAATTCAGTATCTCAGCTAGACCCCAATCCTTCAAAGATTGGGACGTAGGTTGTCCTAATAGGCCGTGCAGATAGCTTGTACAGGGGGGATCCGTTAAATCAAAATGAGCTCTGAATGGTTGCTAAGGTTGAAAATGTATTAAATGTGCTGTACTATCGGCTTTAATGCAGATCTTTTTATGATAAAGGAGAGTGACTTGGGCCTAGACTTCAGTACAGCCCTATCAGCATTTTTTCCATGCTGGACTCAGTTCACGTGCACTTATAAGGCTTACTTGGCAGTCTTTGTGTCCTGCTATGTGGCAGTTAAAATCAATTGCATGCTGGTCCCAATACCTTTGAAGTGTATTGTACCTTAATATTATTAAATCAACTCCTATGCACTCCAATGTTCACCAACATAGATGTTGAAAAGGCCAGCGATGGCTTGTTATTCCTTGTGAGCTGTTATTAAACATTCCTGTTGAACTTAAAATGTGACCGCGATTGGGAGAAACCACTTATTCATCCTTTATTAAGCCACGAACATAACTAGAGTGTCAATTGTTAACTCTACGGCGCAGAATATACCCCCGTGAATACTACCACGTTCGTACTCTGCTCCACAATCAAGAATACAAATGGTCTATCGAAGACAACGGATGGTAAAGGCTTCTGCCTGCTGCGCGTCAGCACCACCGCAGTAGCGGCCGCAGCTTCTGTACCGTTCTCATCCAGGACAATAGCAACACTGTGTATAACATGTTCGACCATGAATCCCGCTGCAATACCAGGAAATGTTCCCGAGATAGGATACCCTAGCTCACGAAGACGGGATGCTATGCTTTCCTGCGTTCTAAGGTTGAATTTAGGCAGACCAAATCGCATGAGCTTCGTTCGGTGGAAATTGCGTGGAATGCACTGACGGCGAATACTAGGGAGTATATCGTTCACGGACTTATCTTCATTCGGTAAACATGCAATAAATGACCACTTTGAGGAATCATACGATTCGTAAGGAAGACAGGCCGCTGTATAATCGGAATTTCGAGAAACCAGGACCTCTTGTTGATGAAGGAACATCATCTCCACTGTGGTCGTTCTGCAGTCGGAAGTGTGGAAAGGAAAGTCCCTAACGGTATTCTTTGGGTTGAATTTTTCTTGCCACTTGGCCTTGAAAACAAGTGCATTAACCAGAACTGCGTTGGCCTGAGCGAGGATCTGGCGACTAAGCATGGATGGAATTAGACCATTCGTCTGGCACGATATCCAGCCATTTATCTGGTCCGTACCATCAACCAAGCGAGTAAAACTGCAATCTAAGTGTGCATCAAAACGTTCCAGGTATCGAATATATGTGGAAATTATTCCTGCGTCTTTGTCCGCGAACACAGCGTTAGCAATGGTGAACTGTGGTCCTCCATCGGAGGCGCGAATCAATGTATCCTGCAACTGTGATAGTGTAGTGGTAAGGTCGTCTAAATTTCCCAATCCAAGTTTCGTACACAGGCTTGTGCAGTTGTTCTCGTCTGCTCCTCCTGCGAGCATCGCAAGGGCAATGGTTATCGACAAGGCTGACACAACAGTTCCGCTGGATGGAATGCCATCAGCGCAAAGCTGGGCTAGCATGTCGTATCCTAGCTGGTTCGTAGCGCGGACCACAGATTGTGGTGCTAATCTCCTCCCAGAGCTCATAATAAGGATAGTGTGCTCGACGAAATATTGAGTTGTTGAGAAAACCTCACGTTTGTCACAGTGTCTGTGTAAATGTGTATTCCTGCCAGGACAGATATTAACACTAGAACTAATTGGTGTGCTATATGGGGAGGCGCAGCACGTCGAGTTGACTTTTGGATACTTGGCATCTGGGTCCGCTCGTATTATTACCCTGAAACGACCGAAGAGAATAAAAGGGAATGCGTGCATGTATGATATGTACCTAAATACGCAGCTTACACCTGTCGGCTCAAGTAGAAGTCTGTGAACCACATACGTAGAGAAGCAGAGCACTGCGTAATTCTACGAACGTTGAAATGTTTTGGAGTTTGTGCTACATTAAACATGTGTGATGGATATATTTATACACTATACTAAATGTACAACCCCGCCAACCATATTTTACGTCTGCCTTCGACGCTCTTTACGGCGCCTTTCGCCTTCTGCCATAATTCGTGCTACCTTCTGAACGCCTTCTGCATACTGGGCCGACTCACAATATCGTTTCTCTTCGAGTAACCATTTCCTGGCTTCGTCATCTGCCCCTTCCCATTCCGCAATCGCAGACAGGACATCCGCGGCTGCAGCACACCCCATATCGCATTCATCATCGTGAAAGTCTTCTTTGACGAGTTTCGAAACCTCAATTGCCTTGAGAGCCCAGTCCTTGGAGGACTTCATCTGTTTCTCGACGGGGATTTCAGATATGCTCTTATCGGCGCCATCCTTGGGTGGCCGGTGATCGAACATTGCCGCTGCAATATTACCAAGTAGAACAACTTGGCGACAAGATATATCCTTTCCTTCAACTTCGCGCAAAATCGCTACGGCAGGCAAGAGTAACTCCAAGGCTTTTTCGGGACGCCCAGCTCGAAGCCATGTCGAACCAACATCAGACATGGCATGGCTAGCCTCCTCCGCATCCATCCAATCATCTCCTTCCTCTGGAGTCGCAACTGGTGGAAGGCCTTTTCTCTCACGCCACGATATCTCTTGTTTGAATATATCCAGTGCTGTTCTCCTCAAGATAAAGGCCTGGACATTATCTTTCAATTGGCTATCTTCCCAAAGCTGGGCCATGAACAAATTCATCCCAATGACCTTTTTGACAATCCGACTTGTCAGGCGAAGTTGCTTATTGTAATCTTCCTCGGGCGGCGCGAAGATTTCCTTGGTGTTAGGGTCAATGTTCTCAGGCATCTTGTCAGATGGGAAATTTGGGTTCCTGGCCGAGAGTCGAACCCTAGTCGAATTAACCCATTGAAGACATTCCTTGGCCGTTCTTGACACGACTTGCACGGCGTTCTTATGAAGACCAGCCTTGACAAGCATCTCTGCAACCTGGAGTTTGATGCCAATCACTTCATCCGAAAACGGCGACATATTCAATTCTGCCGCTATCTTCAGTGCCTCTTTGTAGTGATCTAGAGCTTTGTGAGGCTCCAAGTTGACCTCTGTGTAATATAGCGCCTTCCGCAGTTCATTTGCGACTGGGTCTGGGAAGCGAGTGACTCGCGGGTTGACCTGTCTTGTTTGAATGTAAATCGCATATGTGAAAAACGCACTAGCCGCTATGATTGAAATCATCGCCAAAGGGAGCACGATCGGGTTCCTCCGCCAGAGGTCCTTGGAGGCGATGCGGTAGCCTCGGCGAAGTCTTTGGGGAAACGAGGCATATCGAATCTGTGTAGAGGGGTATGAAAGGGGGATTTGTGTCGGTCGATACCGCGCATTCGAGAGTGACTGTGATATTGATGGGCGCGTTGACTTGAAAAGCGAACGTCGAACAGCGGAGAAGGGCTGCATGGAAGGAGTGTGGGAAGCGGCCAAGCGCCTCGTAGTTGGGCTGAACATGGTGCGCAGACCCGATGGATCACACTGTTGTTGTATTCATGGATATACAGGATAGTTTCTGTATAATCCCAGATGTCGAGCGCCGTGGAGGAGTGGAAAGAAAGAAAGAAAGTAAGGTGATTGATTCTCGACGGTGGCCGCTAATGTGGCCCGTGCGCGGGCTGGCCATGACGTCGCCGGCCAATAACATCCACTGCTCTGCTTCCACGCAGCATTGAAAATATATAAATATACATGTCTGGATCACTATCGTGAATCCGACTACAAAGGGTTGCTTACAAGTTCGATAATATTAACAATTCACAGGATGTGCGGGCGATATGCACTCGGCGTTGTACGTAGAATCCCCCAATGTTGCCTAACCACCCACTTACTCTATCCAGCGAATGGCATTCATTCGGCGCCGCCTCGAGGAGCAAGGCATGGAGGTTGACGAGGCACCAGAAGATGACGAAGTGCGAGAAACTTACAACTTTGCTCCTGGATACTACGGCGCCGTCTACCGCGGCCATATCGACCGTACCAGTGACCATGATGATTACGCAGAAGGTAGAATCGATCAGCCCGACCAGACAGCACCTGAACCTCCCAGCACAGAGCATGAAAGAACTACCTTCAAGCTTCAGAAAATGCGCTGGGGTTTGATCCCGTTCTGGACAAAGCGGCAGCCGGACTACGGCTCTATGATGAGAACTATCAACTGCCGCGATGACTCTCTGATTGAGGATCGGGGTATGTGGACGTCGATGAAGAGGAAGAAACGCTGCATAGTTATCTGCCAGGGGTTCTACGAATGGCTCAAGAAAGGCCCCGGGGGAAAAGAGAGAATCCCTCATTACATCAAACGGAAGGATGGCGATTTGATGTGTCTGGCTGGCCTGTGGGATTACGTCCAATATGAGGGTGAGCTTTACTCCTTGTATTACTTTTATATCTAATTGCCGGTGGTAGGCTCTGATGAGAAACTTTATACATACACTATTATCACGACAGATTCTAATTCATACCTCAAGTTCCTTCATGACCGAATGCCGGTCATACTGGAGCCTGGCAGCGAACGAATGAAGAAATGGCTAGACCCGAACCAAACAACATGGACAAAAGAGCTCCAGTCCATATTAAAACCGTACGACGGGGAACTCGAGTGCTACCCAGTGTCCAAAGACGTCGGTAAAGTCGGAAACAACTCTCCAGATTTCATCGTGCCTATCAACAGCAAGCAGAATAAGAATAACATTGCCAATTTCTTTGCCAACGCGAAAAAGAAAGATGAAGGCTCGACACTTGACACTAAATCCATCATTAAATCAGCAACGGATGAGCATCGTAAGACGAAGGATGGCGAGTGGTCAGAAGATAACGCTCCGAAACCCGTGTTGAGAGAAGAAGCCGCAAAGTCGCCACGAGGAGTGAAAAGAGAGCTTTCGCCCGAGGACAAGGATATATCTTCCGTCAAGGTAACAAAGACGGAGGACCCCGACAGCTCTTTTACAGAAACGAAGCCATCTTCACCGATGAAATCATTTGGTCGACAAATGCGGAGCGCCACTAGAAACCATTCATCGCCCGGCAAAAATAAGAGCTACGGAACAAGCAAACAAGCCAGCGATGGCTCACAGCGAATAACCAATTTCTTCAAAAAATGATGCTATTTGCGGCCTACTATTTCCGAATTTAGTATCACTATGTAATGTAATGTATTCATGTCAGTTTTATCAGTATTATCTAGCAATAAACTCCTGGTCCTATTCCCAGACCACTGACATGCACAACATGTAATTAATTATACATATGCATCCCTTCCCCAAACCGATGTAAATGCATATCAATTTTCTCCGGAAAATAATCAAACTTTTCCCTGGTATCAGATTTTTCATGGCGCATTATCTGGCGTTAAACAGTATATATGATATAGATAGCAAAGAAAACTGGTTGTCCTTGAATTTTATCAAAATCCGGACAAAAGAAATATTCTTTATCTTGTCCAATTAGAGGTGCTGTGGTCCCCGTTGAGACGATCATGATCATGATTCTTCATGAGTTTCCAATTCGGATATTACATGCTGGGATTTCTCAGCATCGAGAGCTTCGACGGCCCGGCCGATTTCCCGCTCCCAGACCAAGACGGTTCCGGCGCGAGCAGTACTGAGGAAACTAATCTCAACTGCATCGCCGTATTGCTCAGGTTCCAGTCGGTGATGTGGGATAGTAGCAGTAGCAGGGAGAACGCCGCTGACATTACTGTCGCGGGAAAACCGACGGTCATAGATGGAGCTGGTGAAGGTGTTGTTTTTGGTGAGATTGTCAGTTGCTGATGCCGGGACGTTGCTGTATCCAGACTCGGACTTTTTGGCGCCGGAAGACGTGCTCGGTGCGAGACTGCTGATGCTCTCGGACAGACGGAGGTCGTCGATGTTGACAGAGCCGAAAGAAAAGCGTTTGGAGTCGTTGGCAGGCGAGCTGTTAGTTGAGAGTGTGGCAAGGGGGTCGCGGTGTTCAGTGGCGTCGGCGAGTCGGCCGGCAACACCACAGACAATGCCTGTCGCGTCGATGGGCACGTCGCGTAGGTCAAGGGTGATGGGGATGAGGATGTCTTCCTTGGAGCCTAGGAGGATGCTTCGCTCTTCGTCGTCAGACTGGATACTGGGATCGAGTGTGAAGCGGGGCAAGAGGCGCTTCTCCAGCAGCAGGGAGGCGGCGGGGTCGGCGGGAGTTAGGGTTAGAGAGAGAAAACGGGGGTGGTCGACGAGTAAGGCTGTGGTGAGGGCGGCGCGAAGGATGGCGGCAGAGGACTCGGTTGCTCCATCGCGATGGTGTGCACAGCATTGTACTAGGCGAATACTCTGGTCAACTCGAGGGATAATTTTGTTTTTGCGCAGATAGTCGAATGTCCGTGTCTGGAGCTCGTTCACGGTAGATGGAGGAGGGGTTGAGGGGGAGGCGTGAGGGTGGGTGACTGGATGGTCGGGTTCATGAAAGGAGAATGAATGGTGTTGACAAATTGGTCGGAATCTGTTTCGAAGGCAAAGCCTTGCTTGGTAAGCGTACGGACGACTTGGTCCTTGGATCGCAGGGGAACCAGGATGTAGTCGGAGAAATAGGTTGAGATAAAGAATATAGAACTATTGAGAATGTTAGTGTTTGCTTCATGCCGGAAATAGTGAACATCCACGTACATGCCCGCCAAAGCAAGAGGCCCTGTCAGCTCCAGAACGCGACGGCCAGCATCCAGACCTTGGCCCTCAACCTGCATCGCAAGATAATCATCCTTGCTGACGGATACTTGCTTATCCGAAGACGTAATTTTGTTCAAACTCGTAGCTAGTGGAACAAAGTAACGCTCGGCCAGCTGGCGAGAACACACTACGGAGGCCTCCACAGGAGTTAACGAGAGATTCACAAAGCCAAGATTGAAGGGCGTTTGACTGGCACGCTCGGCATCCTCTTGATCTTCTTTGCTCAGTTCGTCGATGGCAGGGATGTCACAGAACAGGAGCCGAAGAAGGGGCTGGACAAAGAATGGATAGAGGTCGAGCGGTATATGCACCAAGGCCAGGCCAGAGTCCTATAGCTATCAGCGAATGCCAAAATGATGTACATATATATATATATATACTTACCGTCATTTGGACAGTGGCCGAGATCAGAGATATGGACTGATCCATGATGTTGATGTGGGTTGGGGGAGAGCAGAACCGGGCGAGGCCGATATATATAATAATGGCAAACAGTCTTATGAACTACAAGTAGATTGAAGGACAACGTAGGTGAGTGTGGAGATGGGAGATGTCGTGGCTCGTCAGGAGCGAGCAGGGGAGGATGTGTATGGATCAATCACCGTAGCTGTAGAGTTGTCGGCAAAAGCATGCGGTTGGGAGTTGGATTGTTTTATTATGAGTAGTCGATGCACATCGAAGTCCCCTCACCTGAAGACCGGCAATGACGTGCACTGCACTGCATCGACGCAAAGGCAAAGGCAAAGGCGAAGGCGAATTTGTATCAATTTGCACGCCTGGCTGAGTCATGCATCCATTGGCCAATGGCGCCGCGCCCTAGACAGAGAAATAGCACACAGTACAGGCACTGCGAGTCTTACAGCATGGCCCAGCAGATGGTCCAGCAGGTCGTCTGCCGTATAGGAATAATAATAATGTTGAGCTGATGCGTTGCGACAGCGAAATGTTGTGATTATGGAAGAATGCGACAATTAGATGGCGTCACTGCGCCAGTAATCGACTGCACGCTGGGTGGGGCTGCCAGTGCCTTTTGCGCTGCGTTGGCTGCGAATATGTCGTCTTTGGTATTTATATGGCGATATTATGCTGTATGATCGCAGAGTACGTACGTGTAAATAAGAGCGAACTAGAAAAATCAAACAAGTCTGGGAAAGCAAAGAAGAAAATTTTCGCAGAGGCAACAATGCCCCCCACTTTGCACCGTTATCAACACTAGATCTGACAAAACAGCGTGACACTTAGATACGACAGACAGACGAAGTGGCGAGGAGGAAAGGAAATGCAAGTAGAGTGTAGGCGCTGACTTGCAGATCGTAGGCGCATAAAGAAAATCACCACGGATTCTTTATTCATACGTCGACTTATGTACATTGACGTGCGTGGCAATCAGTCACCGAGAGGGGTTGAGTCAATCGACAACGGCAATGGCCAGTCGCAATTAGGGCTCGCGATCATCCAAACAGATGCTTGCGCTCGCTCGCTCACCACTGATAGGCGATGCTCGCGGGGAAAATCGGGCGGGCTGAGCATGCACATACCATACGTCTCACGATCAACAATGCCATCAACATTGACTTGGGACCTTGTGGGACTGATATCATTTAAACGGCGGCCACGGCGCTTGACGCTGGCGATAGTGTAGTATAATAAATCAACTGATGGACTAGCAGAGGCCACATATGCTCTATTCGGATAGATTAATTCAGCTGCATGCCACTAGACTATTCAATATCACTAGAATAATTATATTTATTCCTACATTGGTGCTGTTTGGTGTTATAATCTATTGAGCTGACACAGATAACTCTAAAACGGACGGTCAGCAAGGTACTGCTGCTACTGCACATACCCAGATCTCAGCAAAAACGAATGGACCGGCCTGGCAATGTCATTTGCTGCCTGCAAGCGACGCAGTAGGGGTCTCGTTCAGCCAGCCAGTGGGAGATGATACTGTGGCACTGCTAACGACTCAATCCAGGCGCATGAGAACGCCGAACTTCAGCGGAAAAAGAACGCAGCCCAATCGAAGGGATAGGACCAGCTGCATGCAATATTATTATTATACTACTATAATTGCGTTAAATCAATGATTGTCTGCCATTTGCTGCGCGTGTGTGGGGAAAACGCGAATGGCGTCTCGGATCATGCAGGTCACAAGCCGAGAGAGATAACAGAGGCAGTGTTCGTTCACCTTTGTTGTCAGGTTACCAGACAGGGACATTTCCATATTAAATTATTAATATTCCATGCTCGTTGCATGGTGCGGGTATCGCGCTCTGTCCTTATTACAATATCTTTATATATCACAATCTTTATTACACTGTGTATGATTGATGCTACCACAGACCGGGCTTATATCCGGCCAAGAGTAGGCCCCAATCGGCCATTTTACACCATATTAGCTTGCTGCTTATCACTGTCTCGACTCAGAAAGCATGGATGGGCCAAAGTTGCCGTGATTAGGGCCTGGGGAGATAGGGCAAACCCGGACAGCCAGCGAACCCAACAGCGACGATATCCGCTGCTATCCTATCATGCACTCTATTTTTGTGCTTGTGTGCGATTCCTTTTTGAGTCAGGTGTTTATCTAAATAGTAATAATAAATATGGTTTGCTGATCTCAGAGCATTAGGGTTAAATATTGCCTGCCGAGCAGCTTAACGCGCTTAGAGGGGCTGAGGGGCTATTCTTCACATCATACTTTCTACCTCGGAAAAGTCAGCTTACGGAAAAAGGAGAGATAGCAAGAAGAGAGAAAGCAAAAAGACACAAAAAATTAAATTGGCGTATTCCATCCCACACTATTGATGCAGTTACCCGCCCAAAACCCCATGGGGAGAGTCAGACGAGACCGGCACCCTTGCTCAAGGGTTTCACTGCGCCCACGTCACCCCACGAATAGTGCCAAGGTCTCCAATAAGCAATTAGCATGCATGGCTCTTGGCGTGGGCATGTAAATGTCGGACGAGCTACTGGCGGATCGCTCGGAAAATGCCTTGCGACGTCAGCTCAGTCGTGCTTATAGATAGAGCGCTCAGGCCTTTCTCGTCTGAATAACCTGCTGTAGGTGGAATGTCGATGGCTATGACCCCTCGAGTCATTCGATACGGCAGAGCATTCCAGCTGTTTGAAATAGAATTGTCTTGGGAAGGATTGAACTTTTGGAGTAAGTGACTATTTGTTCTACCTATCCTACAAGAACACAAAGGCAACGGGTGAACGCCAGCAATGCAAGGGGGCAAATTTTCAGTAAGACAGTACGTATATGCATGGCTAATCCTCATCGTCAACTCTCGCACGTTTAGATCCCCGCCCTGCCTCTTGGTCGCCTTCCTGAATGCCATATCGCTTCTGGCCGGCGCCTGATGGTCCGCTAGTAACATCGGCAATCATACTGTCGATTCCAAATGGATCCGCCGTATCTTTTTCAAACTCCACAGGGCCGTCACGATCCTGGAAAGTAAATTAGTAGAGTGACAATAGTGATACCCTAACAGATTCCCGTAAGAGTATCTTACCTCTGCATCGGCGGCCCCTCGAAACCCTTCCTTGGCTCGACCAAGAACTTCAAACCGACCAGTCTTCTGGATCCGGCTCATTTCGCCAGCTGCGGCCTCCTCTGTGTCTTCATCGTCACCTTGTGCGCGCGGCCGATATATACTGCTTATCGCGTCCTGCGCGGCAAACAGCGGCTTGTCGTAAGGATTGTCTTCATTAAAGCCCGTAGCCATTCCGCCACTCTGATTAAACAATCGCGAGTCGTACATCGACTCGTTGCTTTGCGTAGGTTTTGCCAAGCCCAAAGCGACCTTTTCAGAAATGTCTCGGTTCTGCTCTCGTGCCATCATCTGAATGCGTCGCTCCGTGCCCATGCGCGACTGCCGCAGCTGCCGCTCAGCTTCCTGTCTGCGCTCACGGCGAGCATCTTCACGATCTCGCACGGCCTTCTCCTCGTCGTCACTGGGCGTAACTGATCGCGATGTTTTAGGCGACGGACTGCGACTTCCGCTGACGGACCGAGCACGGCTGGAGCTCGCCACGGACCGCTGTTCGCGAGCCTTTTGTGCCAGCTGTCGTAGATGATCTTCCTTTTGAGCCTTCTCCTTCTCGGCCAGCTTCTGCTGCATCTGTGCTCGCTGTCGCACTTCCTCTCGGGCATGTCGGTCGGCGGTGAATAGGGCCTCGGCGAACTGTGCAAACTTGTCGTTGATTGTGACATCCTGTAAACCTCGCCCATCTGCTGCTAAACGCTTGTCCAGCGGAACAGTGTAACCCTTGGGATTCTTCCAGTTGGAAACAGGCGGTGGGATCTTCCAAGCTTCTTGATCTTCGGCAGTCAACTTCCGTGGCGGAGAGTGCATCACCGGCGGCGGTGGTGACGGGGGTCCACGCGGAATCTTCTTGTGTTTGAATTTAGGCGGTTCCATAGGATCCTGCTGTCGCTCCATAATCTTAATGATACGATCATTCTTCTTGCTAGTATCTCCCATTTGATTTGCTGGCGTGTAGCGCACAAATGTAGGATCCGATCGCTGGCCGCCTCGAACATTTTTGGGTTTCTGAGCAGCCACGGCTCCAGTAACCAGTTTTTCCAGCGCCTCCTTTGTCTTTTCCATCTGAGCGGCAACTTCCTCCCCAGATGGCCGGTCGAGTGAGAGCTCGCCCATATCGACCCGCTGTCGCAGCGGGATGAGGTCTTTGAACGAGGCATGAACAATGTGATTGTCGCTATGTCCGCGTCGAGCAATCGCATCGTACTTCACTTTCCCCTCAGAGTCAACTTGAACGGCAAGCGCATTGGATGTCGACTGAGCGCCCTTGCGGCCCATGTCTAGGGGGTACTGCGCGACGAGAATCTCTGGAAACGCGCCTCCGTCGCCGAAGTCTTCGGGCCCACGAGGTCGCCATCCCGCTCGGTTGCCATACGGAGGGGGCCCAGATTTCTGTTTAAAAGGAGACACGGTTATTAGAAAATAATCTAAATCTGGGTTAATTCAACGTACCTTTAGGATAATCTGCGACTCGTCAAGAGAGCCAGGCCCAACCACGCGAGGCCCGCGTGGCTGGGCGTGGGCAGGCACCTCTTCATCTTCGCCTGTATACTTAGGCTTGGGAAGTGATTTGAAGAGACCCGCCGCAACAGATGACATGGTTCTCGACTTATCGGTCGTGTGCGTGGGAGTGGAGGGTGGTTTTGTTAGGCCAAAAAGATCAACATTTGAGCTTTCATGACGGCAAAGACTGCGCTTATGGCTATCCCGCTCGCCGTAAATACTATTTAGCTTGTACAATGTCGATACTCACTGCACTATCCTACATTTTTAGTTCAGTTTTCTTGTACAAATAATTCTCTATCCCTCATGTACTAACTATAAGCTGTTTTTTTAACGCCCTGGTACAAATATGACAAGAAATATTAAGGTCATGTGACTTGCATGAATCGTTGACCGCCCAGATAAATTCCCAAGGCGGTGACATTCTGCCGGATATATGAACTAATCGAATCTCACATTTACAATTGGAGATCTTTTTATTCTTTTGTTTGTTATTAGCTAGAGATTCACGATGGGAATTAATTAACGCGACGCTCGTCTTCGAGGGAGAGTCATGCCCACCCCCATTCACTCTGTCTGTCTGGTCTGTTTTTCCCTATCTCTGTTCTCTCACCTCGAACGCGTTGCCAGGAGTCGACCTTGTTGGGCTCATCCTCGGCCTCGATTTCTTGTCTGCTGGCTACTGGCCAAGCACCCGGTATTTTCTGCTCATCACGGAAATGTTTAATTGTCTCCATGTCACTGCTGCCTTTATCTTCTCCAATATTAGCTGCGATGTCTCCAGAGCCGTCAAGGTTTATACCCGTTAGACCCGTCCACTCAGAAGAACCAGAGTCATTACCTCTTTGCCCTGTTTTCTCAGTATCATTGTCTGCAAATGATACCCTTTTGTCTGCCTTTCTATTTTTGCGGTTGTTCCTTCCGTTGCGATTGTGCTTTCCTTGTTTCCCATTATAAGTATTGTCGTGAGAAGAACTAGCTTCGGCTTGGTCTTTACTGCTGTCATCGGCGTTCTCGTCCTCGGGGTTTTTAGCCGTCCATTCTCCCCATTCATCATTTCTGTTCTTCTCTGATGATTTATTTTTGTTGTTATTTTCCTCGTTAGAAACAGCAGCCGGTGAAGTCCATTCCAAACAAGGGTCTTTCTCTGAAGACTCCTTGTTGTTTTCCTCATCGCCTATAGGATTTGCAGGTACCCATGACGACGTCCATTCGCTATCCACATCCTTTTCAGAGGATCTTGTTTCATCGTCTCCATCTGCTTTAAACTTATCATCTGTCCAGCTTTCCCAGCCATCACTCGTATCCTTCTCTGAAGGCTTGTTGTTGCTCTCATTCTCGTCGTCTCTGGAATCCGCCGCTGGCCATGACTCCCATTCTGATGTTATGTCTTTCTTTGAAGAATCTGTGTTGTCATCACCTGTAGGGTTCGCAGGTGCCCAGTCACTCCAATCTGTACTCCTATCCTTATCTGTGGAATCCTTATTGCCTTCATTTTCGTCTTTCGGTTTCTCGCCCGCTGAACCCTCCCACTCATTGCCGTCTTTCGCAGAAGATGTCTTGTCTATCTCGTTTTTCTCTTGTGCATCATTTCCAGACGTCCAAGTGTTCCATTTATTACTAGCATCCTGTGCAGGGGCATCCTTTGTGCCACTCTTCACTGACCCCCATTCATCAACTCGATGTTCCTGCCACGATGGTACTCCTATACCACCGCCCTCTGTCTTCCCAGGTTCTTTCCCCCATTCACTACCCACCATCTCACTCGCCTTTTCCTTGCCTTTATCCTTAGACGTGCCGTTGCTCATATTTGACCGATCTTCAAAAATACCTGCCGTTTTCTGCGCCTGAAGATGTGGGACATTAGATTTGCCATTGCTCACATTCCGTCTCCTAACCATCCTCAAAACCCCCTGCTTGGCGGTCCCTCTATCTGTCTGGATGATAACAGCAGGAATTTGCCTCCCCTTTGCCGTTTTGCTCTCCTTCACATATACACCTTCGTCAGAACTTAAACATATCACACAAATCGTCTACAAAGATAGCAGGCTTGTTTAAAGAAGTAGTCTAATAACCCAAACAAACTTACCCCATAATCAACAATCTTATCCCCACGCATAATCTGTCTCGAGACCACCCGTCCCTCAACGCGCTGACGGACGTACCGCCATTTGGGTTTGGGCTGGTGTGGCTCGAGCGCGTAGCTCTTGGACGGGAAACAGAAACACATCTTATCGTTGCTGCTTAACTGCTTTCTAGGTAGGATCCGTCGAATGAATGGGCGGGTATTGAGACCTGCGTTCATGAGCGTTGCAAAAGCCGGTTGTTGGTGTGTTGGGGTGTATAAACGAACAAACGGCAGGAATAGAGGAGTAGAGTATTCTGTTCTCCCATGTCTGTTCGCAACGAATGGAGTATGTAGAGGAATTAGATAGTGTAAATGGAAAGCATTCAAAGGGAAAGGGAAGGAGAGCTTCTTTCATGTTGTGACCTTGTATGTCCTTACCGCCTCAGGTGCGTTTGCGAAGACTAACTAGACTGAGGACCGCCTACATGTACCGACAAACAGCAGAATCCGTCAATCACATGTACGAAACTGTCTCGGTTTCTTGAGAGTGGTGTATTAATGATTCCATTAGCGCCATGCAGGGAGAGTATCTGCAACAGGAAAATGAACAGCGCTCCTATATACATATAAGAAATACAGAATGCCAACTGCGTGTCTAAGATCTATACGGAATAAAGATGGCAAAGTATTCACACAGCAGGCCATCTCAATCACTATTTACCGAGTACTAATCAGACTCGAGTGATATATCTTCCCTCTTAGGACAGTAAATGTCTTCGCCGTCTTGGGCTTCAGTGTAATGTTGCTGATGGTTGAAAGTGTACCATATCTTCAGCACTTTGGGTAATAAAGGGGCCGGGTCGTAGAATCCGATGATTTGGAACTATAACAAAGTCAGTAAATATGAAAGCAGAAATAGGAGAAGGGAGCCATACGCGAATCGTGTTTTGTGATATCACGAGCTGGCTCTTTTCAACCAACGCAGCGACAGGAATGGTCACGTCGATTATTTTTTGCTCTGCAAGTTCGGTATTGCGGGATTTGATATCGTTGATGTTTTTCGGCGGCGTATAGCCGTATTCTGCCCTCTCAATTACGAGCCCGCCACTAGCATGCTGACGCTCTTGTCGTCGCTGGACATATTCAGCCATCATCTCGATTTGTCGCGCGCTTTCCAGTCTGCGTGCGGGAATCCTAGCTTTAAGGCGTTTCCGTCTGCGGTTTATGGCTTGCAGGCGTTGCCGTCTTTCACGAGGGCGGAGGTAGGTGAATTCGATTCCGACATAGGTGAGCCATGGGACCATGACGGCCCAGAAGGAGAGCTCAGGGTTGACTAGGTCCAAGGGGCAGACGGCAATGGGCAATTTAATGGACTGGCCCAGACGGGTCCAAGAAAGAGACATAACCAAGCCACGCGCGCTGCGTACACCGATGGCTACGCCGATACTGGATAATGCGCTGACCTGCCGTTTGGCACCGATATTCCATGATGCGTTACCAAGGAGGTCGAGCGTAGCATCGAATACAATCCGCACTCCACGGAAGCTTTTTGGCACGGAAATAGGATAGTAGCCATCGAGATTCCATTCTGAACGTGGCGGTTCTTCAAGTCTGTTGCCAAAAATAGTCCGTCCGTATTCTAGCGACAAACTGCCTCCCATCGGGGACGCACCCACGCCACATTGCCAGACTTCGTTTTTGACTGGCCGCGCTGACAGGCCAAGTAGCTCGGCTTGTTCCTGGGGTATGGAATCAGGAGTAGCAATGTATTTGAGCTGTAATGAGCTGGGTTGTTGAGGCATTAGGAAAGGGGTTATAGTTTCAGCAAATGTATTGGTGGTTGGTGCTAGCAGGTCCTGGATAAATTGCGGCCATAGGTTCGTTCCACTAGAGAATGAAATAGAGCCATGCTGGTATCGGCCAATTTGACGAGAAAGATTCAGTCCAATAGTTGGCATAAATTGCCTAGGGTAAGACGGAACGATTCCCGTAACAGTGACAGAAATTGGCCGACCCTGAGGAAAAGGGACCACTGGCTTCGAGAAGGATATAGCTAAGGAACGTATTGGAAAGATTCCGAATTCACCAGTGACAGCGGCACCATCCATCAATGACCGCAATCTTGAAGGAGAACCTGCTCTCAATCCCAACCCCGTAAAGGAATGAGTGATATTGCCACTCAAGGTAAATGCTCGCGAGACTACAATAGGAGGGCCATTAACCTGGGAAAATGTTAGATTATATAAAATATTAGTGGCATATTGATCGAATGGATTACCTTATCGGTTTTCTGAATGCCATCTTCCTCGTATTTAACGCGCTGTATAGTGTCTCGTATCCCGCCGCCGATGGATGCATTGAAGGTTAATTCAGGAGCGGAGGATTCCGGCTCTAATTGAGACTTATTTTCTTGGACAGGTGCTCCATCAATGTCATCAATGTCATTGTCATCTTTGACACTCGGCCATAAGCCTGCAAAACTCGGTAGAGGCGTTTTAAAGGAGTACTTGAGAACATAATGACTCGGACGTACGGTAGGTACATTGAGCTGTACCCCGTCCCCTTCCAAGTTTGTAGATATTAACGAAGTCGCATCAAGGCTAATAGAAATAGCCCCCTAGACCGGTCGTCAGTCTAAATCCGTCCACAGAGAGGATACATCTTCGCCATAGGTACCTGAGCTCCGACCATTTCGTCCAGCATCTCCCTCTCCCTCTCCCTCATCCGCTTCAGGAACCACAGCCTAAACTCATCCGGCAGCATCGCTCTAGGCCCGAGCTGCCTGCGACTCCCATCTTCAACGCCATTCAACTTCCCCATGACACCCCGCGCGCCCCATAGCTGCTCGACTCCTTCGGCGCCCTGTAGATCATACACAATTCGCTTCTGCGGGTCGACTAGGGTTTCATAGGCTTGTTGGATATTCCGGAACTGCCTCTTGGCAGCCTCTAGCAAGTGCGGGGGCTGCTTGTCTGGATGGAAGCTCAGTGTGAGGTTGTGGTATGCGGCGCGGAGCTGGCTTTCGGTCGGCGGGGGATGGCGCGAGAATCCGAGCATGCTGTAGTAATCAGGCTCGTCTGGGTAATCGCGCAGTATCTCGAAGTCGTCGTTTGCGGCTCCTGAACTGAAGCCATTGATGTGGGTGACGCTACCCTCGCCTTCCTGGCGAGGCGCATTATTCTCACGGCCTACCATCTCTAGCAAAGAGTCACCGATAGGAGGCGTTAGGGTTTTTGCAAGGGAGCTGCGAGGTCGTATCTAGCCATATTTTGCTGAACACACATATATATATGTGCGAATTTCGATTTTCACGATGCACAGTGACTAACAGAAGCTGTCAGTCAAGTCGAATCCCGTAGTGGCGGAGCTCCGCGCGGAGGAAATATTCCGCCAAAACCGACTAAGCCCGATTTGATCGAATTATCAACCTCACTCAACAGAAATCCTACTCATTGGAAAAAGCAAAGTCATGAACACAAGGAAAGTTTTCAATTTCAATACCCATCAAAATAATCAGAACAGAAACACAATGTTGTTGGCCAAGAAACAGCGCAAGAAGTCATGGTGGGGCTGACTGATAACCTGGGGTCAATACTGACTGCTGCGTGTTGATTAGCTTGCTGTCATTCAGGCATGGTGCAGTTCAGAATATGATTACACTTGAAGTATACCTCGTATTCAATTTCCTCCATACAACAACATCCCTATACACTGTGCTATGTATGATGATAGTGATTCAACCAAAACAACCCCGCTAGCCGCTTATGGTTAGAGCTTCCTAACTCTGGTCAATGAAATCCGTCATAGTATAACCTCTTGTGTAATACGAAGAGCTACTTCAGAGGGTCCCTTTGCATATGCTGCACAGAAAAGTAACGTTTCTTTAATTACACGAGTCAAGATATTAAACTATGTACAATTTCGATATGAACAAACATTGACAGGGTGACACAAAGCGGAAAACCTCCTTTTTTTCGTCATTTTCTGAAAACCATCAAATCATTAAACCCAGTCTCCGAGACCAGAACAGAGCTATCGCTATCAAACGCCATCCACAAATGCAAATGATTAAAAGGGACTTTTCGTTGCTCCAAACCGGCGAGCGGTTGGATGTATTAGGTCGCATCACTTCTGTGCCTGCTGAGACAGACACACTTGATTGCTCGAACTCTAGGGGAACGCCATAATGGATGTGTTTATTAGCCTTTGTGGCAACTCGAAGCATTTATATCACGTCGCTACTAGAATTTTGATCGATAACCTGCTTCGATATAGTCAGAATGGAAAAATGACATCTGACGGGTCTTAGTGAAATCGCCAGTGTACTTGGAAGAGGCTAGACTACCTTCGACCGGATCAAAAGGCCCTCCTCTTCTCCGCCGTTTATGAGCGTGCAATAGATTCTTGGCTCTATCATCTGAATGTGGTTGGGTATGGGCCTCAGGTGCGAATGGGTGTGATGTAGGAGCCGTTTGGAAAGGGGGGCTGCCTGAGCTAGGTGGTAGAGAATGCATTACCATGTCGACTTCTCGAGGACTGCTCGGTGTCGATCGCATCATTTGTCGAGATCCAGGCCGTGTTGGGTGAGAGTCATAGGAAGATGACCTTGCGCGATTGCCTCGAGGCCTGGGACTGGTTAGTAAATGCACATACCCTTATCTAGTAGGATGGTGGAATGACTCACGCGCTCTCGAATCTGCAATCTCGCCCGGACTTCTGGCATTGATCACACCTAGGTTTGCTAGGCTGGCACTTTATTTTCTTCTCTCGGCATGGAATGCAAGCCTGGGCTAAGCGTTTGCGGGCTTTGCCAGCCTTTGTCAACCCCCAATTAGGGTTGACCGGCTCGCCATCGATGGACTTGGGGCAGGTGCTTTGGTCGGCAAAAATGTAGCACAACCCTTTCCCAGGGAGGTATTTTTCCTCAACGACCTGGGTGGGAAGAGTCGGTCCTCGTGCCCCTCTCTCGAGCCTTGCGCTAGCAGAATGGTGCATTTCGGGCGACCCATGAGATGAACCTCCTGGGCTAGTTGTGAATTCGTGTTGGTGATATTGGCGTCCTCGCGAACCTTGTTCTAATGCGGCATGCGAGCGTGGTGGTTCTATTCCTACTTGAGATAGTGACGGCAGCCTTGTCGACTGCAAGCTGTGACGTGGTGCAGCATTAGGAGAAACTACCGGGCAAACCGACGCATTTCCTAGCTCACGGGGGCTTGTATGATGCCACTGCGAGTCAAGAGAGCGGTGGGTAGTGGGAGGCGAGCTGCGAGGGCTCCTCCCATAGTATGAAGTACTGTGCTGCGACGGATCTTCATGGCAGAGCAACTGACGCACCGAGGGTAATCGTCGGTCCTCGGTCTTGAAGCCCAGGGGAATTGATGAATTAGGTGGTGGCAGTCGATAAGGCATGCGATCCTGCTCGAATCTATGGTCTCCGTAGTTGGAGGGTGCGTCCCGAAACGGGAGCGTGTGAGCTCGATGGTCGATGTGTGAGTGTGCCATCGTCATGGTTATAGCGTGAAGACGAGCTGAGATTTAGCTGAAAAGGAAAACAAAGGGAAGATATATTCCTGTTCTTTCTCCGTGAAGAAAAAGAAGACAAGAAGAGGAGAAGGAGGGAAAGAATGGCGGGAGAACAAGGAGAACAATTGACGCAAGAACAAAGAGCCCAGGCTGCGGGGCAAGGATGAGGCTCGCCCCCCCCAAAAAACAGCAACAAAACACCAGACAGCAACAAGCAACAGCCTACAGTAGCTGTCAACACCAGGGGTGGCCCAGATCACAATTCTCGCCGGGATTTGGCTTTATTTTATCGGGTGAAACGGGAAAGGACGCCAAATGGGGAAAAGGTGAAGCTCTTTCGCGCGAGAACTTAGTCTGTTAGCTTGCACAGATACGAATGAAATTGTGTAAACACACCTTAACAATGAGCCTGCAGCAGAGCTCGATCACGAGGGAATAGGAGATTTTCTTTCTCTTTCTCTCGGAACAATTCTTCCACGAGAACAATGTGTGGGGAAGACTGTATATCAGAATGACTCGCGATCCCGAGCCAACGTGGGAGGCGGGACGAGCAGAAGAATGACTGGCCGCAGCACTGTATCACGACGGGATTGATTTAGGAAATTCTTCCCAGGGGAAACAAAGCAGATGGCAGGTGAATGGATGGAACTGGGCCCCCAAATTAATATTAATGTGCTCTCCGGGTCACCAAATCTGCAGTCGGCCGTCGGCAGATATCAGAAGCTCGAATGAGATGCAGATTCAGATTCTAACGCAAGAATATCCACAGCGTCGGCGCATATGACCTTTTTCTTTATCTCTTGCTGCTGGGAATGGCCAGGTGACAAACAGACATACAATTAAGCAGCAGGGCAGGTGTACAGTGTTAAAGTCGTCTGGTGAGCAACGCAGTACTAAACACCGAAAGATCAGTAGTTGCTGCGTGTTCGGTGCTGGGAGCAGTCAGCGGCGGGATGAAGATCGCAAATTTAATGTAATTATACTCGGCAGCAACGTCAATCATGGCAGCAAAGCGTAAATAAAAATAAACTCGGTTCACGAAATGGCATTATCTCTTTAGGTTTGGCTTTGCTTTTAGTCTCGCACCTCACGCCCACTCTCCTCTCTACGCCCGCCGTCCCGCATATGTATGCTATGCTAGCTGGCCTATCTAGATTGTGGGAAACTTTATTCGAGCAGGGTTGCCGCTACGGAAGCATCCTGGAATACCATCGACTCGACAGTTGCCCCATCCCACTACTGCAGCTAATGAGATAGTGAGGAGGAGGGCGAAGGGGGGCGCAGGTGGAGGGGACGACGCGCGAGGAAAGGGGAAAAGTGGAAAAGTGGAAATATCATGGACCGGAGGGCAGACGGCCAAGAAATTATACAACTGTTGAGAGCCTTGAGGCCGTTGTTGGCACGAGGAACTGTTACGACTCGCTAGAGCCCATGCTGGACCCCTCGGCGCCGGCTGGCCCTAGTCTCGCGGCGGTGTATTACTGCTGGATCCGTATTGTCCTGTCCGTAATGCGTATTGAATATTCTGCTTTGTTTTTTCTTTCTTTTTGGCTTTCCCTAGCAGCTGTTAGTCGACTTAGTTGTTATTAATTGACCAGGGTTGCGAGCCGTTATGCTGTCCCATTACTCGTCCTCATTTCGCGCCGCGTCCCGGCTGCATCGAGGTGAGACAATTCTCAAAGTTATCGGCGGAACTTGTGAAGATCAGTTGTGGTTAATTACGTAGCTGCTGTCACCTTTTCTGCCCTTGCCCACCCCATCTTCAAACCAACGCCAACATGGGCGGCAGCCGTTCGGGGCCGGGGGGGGCAGTTTCAAAATGCTGGCGACAATCATCTTAACCATATTATTATGCGCCGGTTGTCATCACTCGGAAATAGGTAGATCATTTGTGGCCTGTGCTGGAGATCTTCAACGAGGTAAACGGTCCTAACTCCTGCGTGACTTTGTAGTAGTACCTATTAGGCTTTTACTGGGCGATTAGTGCTGGGGCGGAGTAGGAAATTGCATTCCCAGGGCCGTCAGCGCGTAAATCCTTACTCTCAATAATCAATCCAGTCCCAGTCAAAAATTAGACTGCAAGGCCAGCACTCGATATGCTGAGAAGAGAGTTGCCAACCCTTCTCAGGTTCTGGCCACCACCATGAAGACACATTTTGTCTATGGTACTCTATAGAATGCCTATTGGCGCCGCGGCGCGTCATGGTCGCGTGGCTGGGGTTAGCTGTGCCTGACTGCCACGGAGCACGTCGTCTATTATCTGTTTTTTAGGATCATAATCGTTGCTATTGCTGTTGCTGTCTGTGTTGCTGCATGGTATTACTGTCACAACTTGCTGCTACCTTGTCGAGCGACAATAAACCTCTCACGATCGCTCTTGAAGCTGAATTATCCCGTACATTGCAATATTGCATGAACCTTGTAATTCTGTGGAGCACGGGAAGCCATAGTAAAACCTTGATTTAAAATCCCAGCAGTGGTCTATGACTGCCCAGGGTATATGCTGAGCTGCACAACAAGGTACGTGCCGCTGTCATCTAGGAAAGGCTTCTGTCGGAGTCCTCTCTGCATACAGGTATGCCCGCGAATCGCCATGCAGCTCTAGGCAGTGACAGATTGAGGACCAGAGTGCCTTTCGACGAAGCTTTTGTACAGGCTTTACCCTGTGTGTTCGACGAGCAGCTATTCCCCACCGAGGTGTCCGCCGCAGCTTCTTGGAGAGAGCCGTGGCTTTGCGCCTGCTAAATCTAATACACGGGACCCAGATATTAAGTAGTCAGCGCCGGACGGCCTGACATAGGATCCCTATTATTAAGGATGGGAAAGGGTGCGATGCCATCGTGATACGCCCGGCAACACAGCCGAACGGCAGGGCAGCTCCATTCTTGGCCAGCAGCTGAGAGCTTAACACGAGCACGCACACGACAGGCACACGACAGGCTCTGAAACGGGGTCGCACTGAAACGGGATCAGTGGGCAGAACAGTGAATCTGGTGGTTCACTGGTGAATAGTACGTGGTGGGGGCGGTGATGACGGGGCCGGCGAAGCGCTCAGCGAGTAGGATACAACAGCAGCAGCGAAGGGACTCGCTGCAGCGCTTGATACTTGTTCTGGTCAAGCACCAGACCCTAGGCTCGAAAGAGCATGACGGTAGAGCGGATCCTGACTAGTCAAACTCATCAAATCGATCCAGGATCCATCATGTGTCGGCTCTGGTGGTGATTCAGTTGAGCACCATTCCTATTGCGCTGGAATGACCAATGTTGTACACATTATCCTGCATGGGATGGTGGTCTCTTTCCTTTGGTATTCTTCTTCCCGCTTTCGATGCCGGCTGTGCTCTCGGGCTTCAAGTTGAAGCGGCCTCATCGACTGTTGCATGGTATCGTTAACTCCGCGTCAGACCTGGGCATGATTGGCATGGATCGACCGCCAAGAGGCGAGGTCAACTTACGAAACACGGGAGCATATGAAGCTCATAATACGTAGCAGTAAAAATCATGGTAAGTAACAAGTAATAAGAACGACGATAAGAAGCTGAGCTTCAGACACCGCCGAGGCAGCAGGGCAGGGGGCCAGCCAGGGAAGGCGCACCGCATGTGCCTTCCTCAGGCCCTTCCTGCTCCTCCCTGCTCCTTCCCTGCCGCCTCTTTTCCCTCCCTCCCTCCTTCTCGCTCTCTTCGTATTTCTCTTTCTCCTTCTGCGCCTCTCGCTTTCTATCAACTGTCAGCTGTGGCTGTGACTACCACATCGACTACGCTGCTACTAGCTGACGAGGCTGCAGCCAATGCCACAGCCGTTCCTGGATGATCAATATTATGAATGAATCACGATGCCGACAGCTTCCAGCCTCCAGCCTCCAGCCTTAATTTCGAGCCGGCCTACCACTCAGTAGCGCCAGACGCCCGCATACGAGTGTAACTGCCGAGCATCCACGCCCCTCGGTAGCCTCCAAAAGGGTCCTCCTCCTGCCACTAGTCGTGGCCTAGCGACTTTGGCGATGATTTAGTCTGATGCTAGCCTGCCCCGGGCTCTGGGGCATTGGCAAATGCGCCGACTTTGGCCCAACCGGAGCTGTTACTGTCCGTATCCACGCAACAGGCCCGCCGTCATAGCGTGCAGGATGGCAGGCTTCGAGAAATCTCGCGGAATATTCGGAACCCCATTTTCGCGACCAACAGTCCTGTTACGGAATAACTTGAATGGCCTGTTAGGTGTTGCCCATGTGGCATGTGGATTTGTAACCCTCCTTCCAGGCAAACAAAGACTCACTAGGAAAGGATTGTTATTGGCACTAATTTAATTATGTGAACAGTCTCCACCATGAGAGAGAAAATTTTCAACAGTACGGCATAGCATACGTGGTACTCAACCTGTACGCATGTCGAAGGAAACAAGGGCCCCTTGGTTTCACTTTTTGTTAGAAAAGAGCTGGCGCAAGATCGTCGCGGGTACGTACATTGGTTCTTCGTTTTCTCCGCGCCCCTGGTGATCGACAGGTTTCAAATGTGGGAGCCTAGGAGGACTTCTTATTGGGCTGACTAACTAAAGATCGATCCATCCCAGAGCGTCCAATTTTTATTAGCCATTAGGAGCTTGACAATGGGCTACTGTCTTGGTAATGAACTTTGAGATAATAATAACATGGTGTCAAAACTAATCAAATAATGGCTACAGCGGTCTTGTTTACCGTCTACGCTTTCCGCCCTTGTTTAGTGTGGCAGCAACGAAAAAGGAAAAATGTGAACTACCGAGCGCTGCAGCTAAAGACTAATTTACTCCGTGCTGAGTCCTTGACAGTTATTACTATGGAATAGCACCTTAGGATTAAAAGTAACAGTCGTACCTGGAGGATCCACTGTGCCCTTGGCGCATGAATCGGCTGCGACCTACGAAAGTCTCGATCGGATGACATCTACTACGATTCAAATTCCACCTAGTCCATGCAGAGCTCGACTTCTGGTTCGCGATCTACAGTACCACAGCCCAACAACGAGAACACGAGGGGGCCAAGAGTGACGGCCGAATTACCTATACGGACTGATACTTCAAGGCTCAAGTAAATAGCATGTTCGGGGCTGGTTTTAAACTCAGTCGCCCTGGCAGTTAGCAACCAACTATTGGCTCGCTTATTCTTAGGCCTCCAAACCAGATGTCATTTCCACACGCACATTGAGATGGGGATTGTTTGCGACTTCCGAATGGAACATGAACATGATCGAGAGCTCCACCGGTACGAAATGGATCATCTCCACAACCATGGATTGCATCGTGTAACCGTGTCTTTAAAATTGGCTAGCGGCCCAGCGCTCGGCTGGCCCATTACTATGGCGGAGAAATTGACAACATGTAAACAAATATATCATGTCATTTGGGGGGAAATTATTGACGAAATCGCCAGGATCTGGTGTCTCCCGGCCACGCAACAAAGAGAATGCATAGTAACCTGATTATAATAATATCAATATTATAAGCATATCCGTTATACTTCATTCTCCATATTATTCTCGGCTCGCCGGGGTTCGGCAAACGAAACGTGCACGTCCCTTAAGATCGACAACGAGTAGAGCCTGCTAAGTCGAATACGTACATACATACGTAACTTGACTGCAATCAGCAGAAGCACGATTCCCAGGTCGTTAAGTTTAGGCTAAGCCCCTTCTCATCTCGGTAAAGATTGTTGCGATTCACGAGATGGGCTACCGTGGCATGATTTTGAGATGCGTCCGTCGTCTACTAGATTGGGAACAGCGCGGTCAATGATCGCCGCCGAGCCGTCCTCGGAGAATATTCAGTCCATTGGAAAAGGCCACCGTCAATATCAGCTGTTGTTCGATCTGATTGACTTTGCCATAATCAGTAGTAAGTCGTCCATTCTCCGTGTACCCTGTGCTCAGTCTAAAACAGGGTGATTTCAATCCACGCCAGAGCCAAATCTTTCGAAAACAAATATGGATTACATGCCAAGCTGAAAATACCGTGTTGTTACTATTCATTACCGATGGCGTAATAATTATTATCACATCTGCCGTCTCTGCTTCAACTCGACCAGCCTTGTACTTGCTGGCACATGCGAAAACAAAAAGTGAAAACGATGACATTCATTTCATTAACCATAACTCACCCCTTAGTGGCGCTTACCGAACCTTGGATGCTCAAAATATCTCAGTATAATAACACAAACAAAGACCTCGGCTTGGCGGAGAGCGCCGATTGAGGGTAGCAGGCGCAAAACCTTGATTGTGACCGAGTTACTAACTTACTGCTCATTCGTATATAGGCTCCGGCAGCTGGGTAGTATTTCTTCCGTAAGACCTTGCAATGCATTTTTGCTCTTTTCCTTAGCTCGGCCAGAATCATGGCGATTCCTGCTTGTGCAGGGCAGCGATGCTACTGCAAAAGAAAGCGCAGGCTCTTGACTCTGCGGTAATTATAACCATAAATTCGTCATTACCAATCGTCACTTCACTGAGTGGACTCCGAAAGGATTCCTCTCCGTGTATGCAATGAGGATTCCGAGATATCGAGCCTGCCTTGCGAACTCACCAGTGGTTATCCTCACATGCAATTCAAGTAGCACAACGCCGCTGCTGGCATAATAATACTAATAATAATAATAATAATAAATTATTGACTCTGACCCTAGCTCTTTGTTTAATTTCACTTTAACTCTTTGAGACTAAGTATCATGCTCGACGCAACCAATTGGCTGTTCTCGACCCGCTCCGGCTGTTCTGGCTCTGGGAGGATCAGGGCCTTGCTTGCCCCCATATACTACTGACGCTGTTGCGTTCACTGTCCAGCCATACCACCACCACCAACTCCTCCTCCTTCTTCTTCTTCAGAAGTCCAGGCCCAGTATTAGGCTATCAGCGTCAGTGATCAGCATCGGTGATCAGCAGCCATCGGGCTCGGTTAATCAACTACCAGTATATCAGTCGCGGAAGCTAATGCTCAGTCCCGGGTTCTGCGCCGCATCCGGCACTCCATGGCTGGTTAGTCTCTTTTCTACATTTAGTTCTTAGAAACCGTGTTATTATTAATTGCTACTAGACGACATGCTATCAAACCAACCAACACATTGATTCCGCTACTCGGACGCCACCACTCGGACGATGCCTAATGTGCTGTACATGTAACCATCGGCACGGAGCCCACTTTCCGGGAAATGGCCAGCCCAGTCGATCATGAATTTGACATCTGAATCAATGCCAAAATCATAATATTATTATTAATGATTAATGATTAATGATTAATGCCTGTGGGAGGCCGTATGCCGAATGCCGTATACCTCGGATAAAGATAACGGCGCGTCAATGGCAATGCTAATCGCTCATGGGCCGCATGGATGGCATCGGCACCAGCCAAAGCGGGGGTTTGCCCAAAGACCCTTGTAGTTTCTTGCTCTGCAAGGGTCCTCTTTCACTATTTAGGGCCTTCCTAATATTTTGTATGTACAGGGGGGTGTCTGTATACGGTATACGTGCTGCCAGTTTGGATATAGAAACTTGTCTAATGCATGGTGGTGGCTAGGTTCGCAAGCCTAGTTTGCTATAAGTTACGGATTATACGTAATGCTATGACTGAAGCTTGATGTAATTTGTTGATGCGGATCAAAATGGTGAGTATTTCAGTCTCAAAGCGTTTCCTGCAAGCAATCCGTTAATTTTTATGTAAATGCTGCCAAGATCACAGATAGCTATTCAAAGTCTAGATCTAGCTCATATCAAGTTAATTGACTAACTAGCAATAACTGGTTAACTATTTACCGTGCTGAGATAAGAATTAAATCTTTGGATCTTGAATGCCAGCCCCGAACTGGTTGAATATCCAATGCCTAGTACATACAAAATCATTAGTCAGTCCTACAACAACAACAACAACAACAACATCAATTGATGGACCACGAGAGGATTGAGGCCAACTGCAAACCGGCGACAGTCTGAATCAAAATCTTCAACATGGAATCTTTAATCCAACGGGATATTATACTTAGCCCGGAGCTTTTCAAATTATCCATTCCTTCGTTTCCACATCCCGGACGGACTTGCAGTGTGGCTTGACGAAATTTTCGCGATCGGCAATATTAATTCTCCATACCAGGTCGTTATACCTTGTACCGTTGTCGGTGATTGAATGTTGACTATGAGATGTTTTATACGGGTCTCGGTTCTGGTTCGGGTGCTCAGAGTTGATTTCGCTATGACTGCATATAAATCATTTCTTATCATTGGAACTACTTTTATTCTCTTCTCCTCTCTTTCTTATCCTAGTCACCTCGGTTTTGATGTTGACTGGGCGGATTCATTGAATACCATTTTACCAAGGAGGGGTGCGATCCTGGTACATATGTACATAAAATATCTTTCCCAGCGAATATCGGACATGAAAAATTGGATAATACATGACATGAAAACACTGCAGAACTGTATTATTGAAAAGCGACGAGAATCTCGCCGATTAATCATCCACAATAAGAATGATGAACATGGTTGGTGTAACTTGTCAACAAACATCTCTTGGTACTGTTGGTCGCACACCCTAGCCAAGGATAAAATCGGAAGACAAATTACCGGCTCGCTTAGAAAGAAACAAAATATAGGTTTTTTTGCTTGTTGTTGGTCTTCTTTTCTCGTATATTTAGGCTCCGGTGTATACTAAATCTAGTCACCGCAGACTTGCCACACTTGAAATATATTTACGAAAAATATATTTAGAATGGTAATACAGTACGAATCATTAATAATTTGTTGTACATCTTCGTCGTACTGAGTAAGCCGGGTCTCCGCCCTATCCAGACCATAACAGTTGAGTACATGAATAGATAAAAATAAAAAGGCCGCAGTGACATCGATATGTTTCTTCATTTTCACTTATGCTACATAGTATCTTCATGCAACCTCCGATCCAGGTTATGATCCTTGCTTTTGCATTCAAACCATCGAATCCAGAAAATGAGAAATGCTCGCCGCAATTACTTATCTTGATTAATTTCAAATTACTTAATTATATAACAAAATAAACACACTTTTGGGTTTTGGAATTTGCTGACTACATATGTATGATGCAATACGACCGTCTGGCTCAATTGACGCTGGTACCAGCAGGGTATATTCATACACGAGATGTTGCATAAACTTATATTATTACTAACGATAATAAGATAAAAGAATAATAGCAGCAATAATAGTACATAGGTATTAATATCAATAAGCTTCCCATGTGATATCTCTTGTCAAGATACGAATGTATGTAGAAGATAAGAGCTATGTTACGAGCAGATTTTGCTATACCCTGTCTAGACTGGGATAGAGGAGAGACCAAAAAATGCGATTATATGCTTTACCAGTTGGACGCTGCAACTCACCATCGCGTTAATTCCAGTGATCAATGAGGATTCCGTACATACATATCTTCTGTAGAATCAGGGATGTACTTGACGCATAATTGTTCAGATAGACAGGTGGCAATGTACGACGTAAATCGATAACAAAGCGACGCTGTCGGAGAAAATATGACTTTCCCAGACGTAATTGTGCGACGTTGAAGTAAAAATATCGCTCTCAGGTAGGGTTTTCTTAGATATTATCATCTCTTTATGGTTTTCACATTCATCATTATCGATTCGAGAGTACGTCAACTGTGTAGAGAAATAAGCATATAGTGTAACTCCCAAATCTATTCTATTATACCTGCATCAGCAAGTTCCACGCATTCTGTAGATGAACGATCCAGCCATGGCCCGTCGACAGATTCCTCATTTCTGCGTCGGGTGTATACAGGGCAGAAGCATCAAGAGACATGTCAAGCGGAAACCCGAGATCCTCAGTGCCGAGTGTCGTCGGAGACTACCTGTCCAAAATTGAATCAAATTGCACTGCCTATCAAAGAAAATCATTCGTCTGATGTTATCGAAAATTAGGAAGATGGGCGTATACTATGTTCTGTGAGCAGATGTCTCTTGCTGTGTGGAATTAAAGATAGCCTGGTAAGTCTCTGGATTAGATAGTAAATGTAGAAGCCTATGTAGATATGGTCGGCAATTTAACTAGGCTGGAGTGGTGACTTTTCTATCAACCCTGATGCTTCTTATAGGTCGTCGAGTCTACGGAATTCTAGTGTACGCGGTTTAAACGCAATGGAGAAGAAAGTGTTGGCATCACACATTACAGCACCCATGCATATTCATTCCATGTAGCTGCGCTAAACTACCGGTATAGAAGATAGAAAAACCCCTTTTTGAGAGAAGACAAAGGAAAAGAAACGTTTACTGCTCAGCAAGGATCTTCTGGAACTGCTCACCAGCACGCTCAGGCTTGCCGTGCTCAACAGACTTCTGGCCAAGCTTTTCCTTGGAGTACTGGGCGGCGTATGGATTGAGACGGAGCATGACCTGCTTGTTGCGGAGAGGGTTCTTCTTCTGGACGTGGCTGCGCTTGGTGCGGGCTTCACCCTTGGGCTCGCGGAGCACCGACTGGATTTCAGAAGAGTTGATGATGCGGGAAATGTCGGCGTTGGCTAGGACGTTGGAAGGCAAGAGGAAGTCCTTTTTGAGAGCGGAAGCAGTGGTGGTGGTGCCGTAGACCTCATCCAAAGCAGCGAAAGCAGAGGAGGTCCAGACAATGAAGCGACCGAGGTGACCACCGGGGGCCAACTGGAGGAGGTTGAGAGAGTAGACGGAGGAGGTCTCGACACCAGGGATGTTGCGGAAAGCCTTGACGAGCTCCTTGCCATCGGTCTCAGGGTTGTAGACAACGAGAGGACCACGGCGTTGACGGAAACGACGGCCTCTCAACTTACCCTTACCGGCGCGGATCTTGCGGGACTTCTGGACCTTGACGAGGTCAGGACCAGCACCGACAGCCTTGAGCAGGGCAATGGCGGCCTTGGTCTTGGAGATAGCGGCGTTGTCGAACGTCTTGGACTCGACGACGAGAGGGACCTCGGGGACATTGGCGACGCGGTGACCGCGGGCGAAAAGGAGGGAGGGAACGGAAGAAGCTGCTAGCGCAGAGGCAGTAGCAAAACGCCTGTATCGATCATTAGCACTGAAAACCCAGCACCATATCTAGCACCATGCGTATCTTACTTCTGACCGTGGTTGACCTTCTGGTGCCACTTTCTCCAGACCTTGGTAGGCGCGAACATACGACCGGAACGGCACATGTTACCGAAAGCAGCTTGACCAGCACGGTGAGTACCGCCACCGGAGACACGGGGAATACGGGCGACAGCACGACCTGTTCGAAGAAGCTGTTAGTTTTCCATGTTCTTCGCATCTCGAAACATCTCCGAATCCCACATACCAGTACCCCAAGACTCGGCAGAAGTCTGTTCACCAGCCTTCTCGCTCACAGCATAGGGCTGTCTCTTGTTCTTCGCAATGCCGGTGTGAACCTTCCTGTAGAATCCATCAGCGCCGTCCTAATTGGCCTCCCAACAATTATTTTTATTGTTGTCGTTTAATCGGCGACTCACTGGACAATATCCGCACGGATTGGCGAAGAAAAGACGGTAGGGAGAGTGTGGGTAGCGCCCGAAGGCTTGCCCTCTGCCGTGGTGATGGTAACAGTCGGTCGGGACGCCATTGTTGTCGACAGTGTGCTGGTGTTGTCGTCGTTAGCAGTTCGATGTCGAGATAGCGGTCTCGAAGATGTGGGTTGAAATTTCTCGCTTAGTGGCTCCGCTGGCGGTGCGGTTCCCGGCCGAAACAGGAAACAAGGGCTTAGGGCTGGCAGTGCGGGTCGAAGCCCGCTTTAAAGCTCCAACCAATGATATCATATCTCCGAATGATTAGACTGGAGTGGGCTTTACGTTGTACATTACATTTATAGGAGTCGTGGCGTACATTTTAATGTTTGCGAAGCTGGAAACCTGCATGGCGGTCTAGATGACTCGCTGGAGAAATACCAATTCATAAACTAAAGACTATCATTCATGTCTCATGGTTCTTGGAGCTAGCATGGCAATTCAAAACAACATGATCGCCGATTTTTGCCTCTATCGGGAAAGGATTTCGTGGAAATTACAAAGAACCAAGGCATATTTCATAACGAATGGAATGGGAAGAAATCAAACGAAAATCTTGGTATGCCAGCCTGTGGATGATTTAGATGTGCACATGGTTGTTGGCGGCAAATCGTCTCCGATGCATTTCAACATGTCCTCGCTTGGTGGCAACAATATTTATTACTGCTGATTGTCCCGGCGTGCAAGAAGTGCCGGCTGCGACAGACTGAATAGCAGACCAGGTGCCGCTAGCACAGCGTTGGAACGAGTGACCACCTATACAGTTCCATTCGCCTTCGTTAGTACAAGCTCCAGTAAGCCCTTCATTGGTAGACGAAGTGGTGGAAGATTCGGGGGATGGGCCGCCGCTTGTAGGTGGTGAAGTAGGCACAACTGCGATCGTAGTTGCCGTGTGTTCTAGGAACATTCCTGGCGAGTCAGTCGTCGGTGCAACTTTCGGTGTATCACCGGAGGACCCGCCAGATGGAGGATTTGATGTGCCACCCGAGGAAGTGCCGCCAGTAACAGCGCCAGTAGCAGTGGGCGACGGTGCAGGAATTAGGCCAGTAGCTGTAATACCTGCACCGCCAACGCAAGCAGGCGAGTCGGACGGTAGAAGATTAGAAGGATTTCCAGCATACTGGACGGAGTCGCCGGGGTTTGGGAAGCGAATATCGAAATTTTCTTTGGTTGTACAGCCACCGATATTGGCGACAAACATTTCAGGATACTCATTAGCACGCTTGTAAGCGATATCGCTGCGCTTAGTGCTTAGATGGGTGACCTCGATAGGAGCACAATTCATGTACATCTCACGATTGCCAATACGATTGAACCATGTCCAAGCAAGAGTGTATCGCCCCACAGCGATGTCTGGAATTGTGAATTCGAACGTGGAAGCACCATTACCAGAAGGATTCGCAGGCAAATTTTGATCAATTGTCGCTGGCATTGCTGGACAGCCTCCTTCGATTGAGTGGATAACGAACCACTGTGAGGCTTTCGAGGGGGTTAAGTCAGTGGTCAAGCTGATTTGACAGGAGCCTCCACCATGAACAGCACTCCCAGTGAAGCTCAAAGTTTGGTTAGAACCGACTGGAAACCTGTTTTTTCCCAGGGGGTCTCCAGTTTCCATAAAGTACGTTTTATCTCCGCGTTGCTTGCAGGGGAAATCAGAACCATCGGCCGCGAGAGGTGAATTGTTCAGGCCATCGCCAAAAGGATATGGAGTGTTCATAATCATGTGGCTATTCACAGATGCCACCATCAAGATAGAAAGTATGAAAATAGACTTGAGGAGATTCATGGCGACGCTTCCAGCATTTATAACTTGGTAAGCTTGGTTCTCAAGGTTATGAGGATACTCGGTCGTGCCAGACGACGCAAACGTATCACAGATCAGTGGTCGAGTACGAGGCAACGAGCTTTTCGAAATCTAGCGAAGGATAGGTGTCTGCACCAGGCAAGACTTGAGAGATCAAGGGAAGGAAAATAAAGAATGTAGCCAGGACTTGCCTGAAAAGAAGGACGAAGGAAAAGCGAAAAACGAAGTCGAGTCTTCGAGTTAGTGACAAATAAATAGCGGTAATGAAGGTACAGGTAGGAGTCTCACTCAATTTATTTCAGTCAATGACTGGCCAGAAGCCAATAGTCAATAGACACTGTCCGCTGACTCAAAGGATCTGGATCTGCGGGTCCGGATTGATTAAGACTAATTGTTTGAATCAGTGGGAGAAAACCGCTGTATGCAAGGTCCAGAACAAAAGGAGGTTGGTCAATGGTATTCGAGATGGCTGGCAGCCTGTTTGCCTGGCAAATAAGCGGCACCTGTATTGAATTGGCCTGTCACCTTTCCACAGAAATCTCAATACAAGGCCGCTCTATAAGCAAAAAGTCCATATTTGGTCGATATTTGCTGCTGTCAGTCCAAACTACCAGCGCAAAATCTTTTGTCTACGATTTAATACTCCATGGTAGGGATATGTGGCCAAGAGCTTGACTCATTGTCGGTGGATATTCTTTGTCAATCGGTCATCATGTGGATTGCTCTAGGAAACAACAGAATGGGTAAGCTTCGTTTGCGACAAAGAGAAATATACTGCATGTGTGTAACGAACGGAGCAAGGACAAATTGGTGGAGACAGATGCGATTGCCAGGATCAAAACTTGGACTCGATAATCAGCAAGGACTATGGCGCTAGACCTAAAAGGGAATAGCGCAGTCTGTATACCTGTACTTGGTCTATTCTTAGAAATACATGGAGTTGCGATGCATCGGTGCATCATATCATAAATAACAAAAAGCAGTCTTTGATTCACCAAAATCATATACTAGATACACTTTAGAGTACGGAGTTTAATTTCATGGAATTGAAGCAAGACAGCGTCATTGCGGTAAATATATGTCTGTCTATAATGAGCAAAATCGCGGCTATAATGACTACAGTCAAATGTGGATTGATCTTTCAGCCGGTATTGCGTCGTTTCGCTACCTTTCGATTTGCTTGCCTTGGCACAGGTGCGCTTGTAAAGGTATTGCGACGATTTGCTTTTGCAAAAGTTGCTTATCTCGCCACTGATGTGTTGTCGCAAGAAAAATGCTAAGTAGTTGCACTACCCCAGAACTTGCGTATAATTCAGACTTAAGTATCCTGCGGACCGCGTCCGAAAAGATGCTCCCTAGGCTGTGGTTTGTACTCAATCAACAAGATGATGATTGTGATGATGCTCTCAAAGTGTCAACACCACTTGCTTCTTTCTTTGCTTGTCCGACAGTGTGCGATCTTGAGTCAGTCGCGCCAAATACACGACCTATAACTCAAATAGATCATTTTTTCCCTTTCTTTTTGCCTTTATCTTTGCCTCCAGAGGGCTCTTTTTGAAAGCCACCTATGGCTAATGCATCTTTGCCGGCATTATTAATAATGCGAAACCGATCTGGTCCTAATAGCACGCCTCCATACCACCTAGTAACAACGACTAGCACATCCCATACATCCATCAACTGCATCATGTGCAGTAATCGGCCGCCAGCAGCCGTCTCTCCATCATCGTCGCAGTCCTGAACACTCGTCTCGGAGCCATCATTTTTCTTTTCTCGAATACGCCATGCACTGATATTATGAGTTGCTGCTGCAACTTTCTTGTCGGTTGCAAGGAGATAGTCTAAATAAGCCTGCGCCTGTGCTTTACTTGTGACATGGACGGCCCTTCCAACGAAGACAGATTTCTTCTCCGTCATAACGTCAGATAAACTCCAGTCTGGAGGCTCGTTAATTCCGAACGCGTCTCGGAGGGAGAGAGTCGCAAATGAGTCTTTGAGGTCTTCCTCGTCATGACTCTCGCGAGTCTCAACCCCTCCCGAGTTGTCGTTCTTCGTCACATCATCTACCACGCCAATACTCAACTCCTCGAATTTCTCGCTAGCCTCGCTAATGACCTCGAACAGGCATACTTGGCCAGGCTGATGTGTCCGACGCGTAATATCTTCTAGAACATCAACCGCTATTCTTCCCTCACCCCGAGAAGCAGTCGATGCCGTTCCGATAACTCTAGGAGATGTTTCCGGGTATTTGTCGTCGAAGCCAATTAGGAATGATAATTCAGGATGGTTGGGAATTTGTATCTTTATAGTCGTAGTGACAGTTTGGTTCGCATTGTTCGTACTTCCCAAGTCTAGAGTCCGTAGTGAATTCTCTGTAAGTTTCCCAGTGACTGTGACTGTATTAAGGCCAATCGTTTCGGAGCCGTATATTGCGTTGATGGCTTCTATTTCCTCGGCGAGATCTCTGTTGTGCAGAGACTCGAGGTCAGAAGACATGACACCGTTATAGATGCCTCGGCCGTTCTTGAGTAGATAGCAATAAATAATTAACCTAAAATCAAGCCATGAATAAGGAAAAGGGTATAGTCAGCGCCAGAGACGGTATTCGTAGAGAAATGAAATGAGCATCTAAAAGATCGGATTTGATCCGATCACCCCACCAACGCTTCACCGCCCGCCACTTCTATACAGAGTGATTTATAAAATACAAGAAATACAACTTTTATCCCTCTAGAATATCAAGTCGTAGCTGTTTTACAAAACGTGAATCTGTTGAAAATCTACTTTAACCAATCCAAGCCTAATGCACACTATTCATCCGGACCAGCCAGTGGCTCATGAGAAAATGAAATTAGTCGCGTCCTAAGATTAACTTCCTTTTCAAAGTTCTTATCGAACGGCCACATTGGGCGCCGGATTCGATGATGGCCCAGTCTGATCAAGTTCTGGTCGACACCTCCAGGGGTCAGAGCCATCATCCAATCCGCAGCCATATTGTACAGTTCAGGCTCAAGATAGCCAATCTTGACAATTACGATATCGGCAGAGCGAGGTTTGAGATTTAGATCAGTAAAGTCATGCTCTTTATGATATGGTTTGCGCAGCTTGGTTAAGATAGCAAAGACACTACCGACTTGCAGCACAACTTCAACAACGGCATCTCGATCGCCGTGTTTGATGGAATGTACACGACCTGTCATAGTGATGGGTCCTGAATGAATGTCATCGACTTCTGCACCAGCTGTCACTGTCACAGTGGCTCCGACCCCCGCATTCACAGCCGTGTCAATCGCCTTCGGTCCAGGGACACTGGCATATATGACTGTGGGACCAGAAGGTTCTTTAAATTCCGGGCGATCCAGTAATTTAGTGAGACCCCAGGTCATATCGCCGCTTCCACCTGCTGTTGGGTTATCGCCACTATCGGAAACAAAATATGGGCGAGCAGAAGACGCGAGAGCAGTGTCGAGACATTCCTTGTAAGTACCAGTTGGGGCAACGAATACAAAGTCTGCGTGTGAGTCCCAGAACAGTTTCGCCAATTTCTCGGCTCCCGTTGAGACAACAGCTTTGTCCCATCCTGTGGCCATGACAATAGCTCGATTCCGAGGCTCGTCGGCCCAGGCATAGCCAACCCAGATTGCAGCATCGATAACACCCTCCATAGCTTCAACTCCAGGCACTGCAGCGTATATATGCTTTGCTGGCTCAACTCGAGTCGAGGTCTGCTCGCCTGGTAGAAGTATTGGAATAGGAATCCAAGCTTTAAACGGTCTAACGCGAGGACCGGCTGAAGGTTGCTTTGCGATAAGCTCCACAAGATTGCGACAGGCACGTTCTTTTGTTTCCATCACATCTTCGTGGGGAGCCATTCGGTAGCACGTTATCAAATCAGTCTGGTGAGCAAGTTCACGCGAAACGTTCCCATGCAAATCCATCGATGCAGACACAATTACATCTAGTCCAACGATGGCGCGAACCCGTCGGAGCAGCTCGGCTTCCACATCATCAAGCTCTTCTACGCACATGGCACCGTGGATGTCAAACCACAAACCATCAAGGCGCGGCGTAGAGGCGACGATATTAGAGAGCCTTGTTGTTATTTCGTCTGCCAGTTCCTCAAATGCAGCTCGAGTGACGACCCCCCCTGGGAGAGCGTGACCGATCAGAGCACCTCGCCAGTCCGCAGCATCGGCAAGAGGCGTTTCTGGATGTAAAAAGGCATATTTCTCAATGACTGCCGCGTCACGTCGCGGATGGAATGCCGGTGCAAGTGTCCTGGACGGAGTGAAGGTAGAGGTTTCACACGCGAGACCAGCAATTGCAATCACAGGACGGCCGGCCATGATTCTCCCTAGCTTCTGTTCTTGAACTGTAATTCCAAACTAACAGTGACAAAATATTTTCATGCGAAGGAACTCCTCGTTGTGCAGATACTGTCCGCCTCTTTAACCACTGGCTAGCTTCCCCCACTTCAGTGCTCTGCCTGCCGCCGGTGCCCTTGGGTCTGCCCTCCTTCATTCAACCGTGTCTTCATCCAACCTTGGTTCTCGACTACTATTTCGCCAGCTGTGTTAATGTCCCTGTGAAGCCTGGAAATGTACCTGCACGATCTCGACTGTCTGCCCGCATACTCCGTGGCATGTTTCGTTCCGCGCCGCAGCCCGTGCAAGACACCAACAATATTAATGTTGGTGCTGCTAAATGAACACATCACGGTACTATCTTCCGTCGGCCTATTCGTCCACTTGCAGCAAAAGAAATCCTTCACTTATTTGACGAGTGGATCAGCTGCCAACTAGAATTGGTGCGATGTCCCCAGATTGCATATGCGTTGGGTACAAACAGCTGCAGCGTTTGATGATTCGTCCCGTTGCATTGCGCGGATGCAACCTCGTTAGATAAGAACAACCGGGCTGTCCAAAACCTGGGGTTGCAAGCCTGCTATTGGCTCTTTTTTGGCTTGTTTCTGGGAGGCCCGAGAATAAAGCTTATCTCCATGTTCAATGAAACATATTTTGCCAGTTTGGGAGCTTTTCTTATCGGGCATCGGGATGCCCCGCATGTGAATACCGTTCTATTTACAAACGGCAGATCCCCAGTCGAGACAGACACAGAATCCAAGTCTCGAGAATATCGATACGCTTTCAATTCGAACTCACCCGCCATCAATTATGAAGAAAACGTCCACCGGGACCTGGATGCCCGCATGGGTTCCAGAGTCGACTCTCGTTCTTTCATTTCTTCTCATGATCTGTGCTATGGTTCAGTCGGCGGTGAGTTTTGCTGTCTTTTCTTTCCAAGATATAGTCAAGAAATAGGGGGAATTAGAAGAATCAAGACAACGTGCTGAACGAAGCTATAGACGGGTGGCTATGACGGGTCTATGTTGAACGGACTCAACATTCTCCCATCTTATACCAGCTATTTCAACTTAAATCCGGCGACTACGGGCTTGAATACAGCATCAGTATTCATCGGCACCTTTTTCGGTGCTGTTATTTCCGGTGTTTTGGCAGACCGTCTTGGACGTCGTCCAGCAATTTTCTGGGGCTCTGCTGTCACCCTGGTCGGTATCTTACTTCAGACTGCTGCCCAAAATATAGCTATGTTCGTGGTGGCGCGGATTGTGCTGGGTTTTGGGTCGGCCATTTCAGGCGTCGCTGGCAGCGTCTATCTTGCTGAGACATTTCCAAGTCGGTGGCGTGCTTGGGGAGTTGGGCTGTTAAACGACTTTTATTAGTAAGTCTAACTTGCGGCTTTTATAGTAGGACTCGTAGTAACCGCAATCCTCTTGAAGTGTTGGAGCATTGATTGCCGCTGGAATTACACTTGGAACAGGTGAATGGAATTCGACTTGGGCATGGAGAGCGCCTTCCCTATTTCAAGGAATTTTCTCCCTTGCCTGCATCATTATTCTCCCTTTCATGTAAGTTTATCTCATATCATATATATTGAACATGTATGCACAGGAATCTAACTGATACATCAAAATAGCCCCGAATCACCGCGTTGGCTAGTCCATGAGGGCTTTCACAAAGAAGCACGGCTCGTTGTCGCATTGACAAACTCGGATGGGAATCAAAGTGACCCAGTAACGATAACAGTCTACAAAGAGATTCTTGATACTCTAAATTGGGAGAAAAGCCAGGACCGTACCATGAGTCCTAAAGAAATCATCAAAACCCCAGTAGCACGGAAGCGTCTACTCATCGGGGGCTCGGCCGGTCCCTTTTCGTGTATTGCAGGCAATATCATTGCCTCTTACTATCTCGGGTCTGAACTTGAGACTGCAGGAATTACCAGTAACCTTGAGCAGCTAAAGGCAGTACGTTAGCCTCTTCTCCTTCTTGCTGTTTAGTAACAAAATCCTTTCGGGTACTGATGTAATACTTAGAATGTCGTTTTGAATGTCTGGTGTCTGGCCTGCGCTCTTGTCGGAACCCATCTTGCCGCTAGATGGGGACGGAAGTCGACCGCTTTACTCTCGCAAACTCTTCTCATTGCATGCCTCTTCATCATAGGTGGTCTGTCCAAGATGTACGCTGATGATCCAGATGGTGCTTCCAACGCTTTAGTATATGGAGATGTGGCAGTGATGTTTCTGTTCCAAGGATTTTATTCTATTGCCTGGACGCCACTGCTTTATCTATACCCACCAGAAGTTCTTAATTATTCGATAAGGGCTAACGGAATTGCCTTTTCGTCATTTGCACTGAATGCATTTGCGTACGTCCCATGTCCTTCCCCATTCAGGGATTTTCTAAGCTAATGAATAAATATAGTCTCGTGTTCGTATACATTATGCCGATAGGGCTTAATAATATTGGATGGAAAATGTACATGGTAAATGGGTCGTGGGATATAATTATCTTAGTTCTCATCGTAAGTTCATGTCTCTCTTCCATTAAATCGGATCACCTCTGACAAGCTCCTTTTAGGCAGTTTACTGGGTCGAAACCAAAGGCAAAACACTTGAAGAAATTGACGCAATTTTTGAAGGCGAAAAGCATTCTTCGGTACCCAATGTTGAACTTGTGCGGCAGGGGAAGGAGAGCGTTGATGTAGGCAAGGTGGAGCAACAGATCATGGCGGAGGTGCAAACGATGCGAGAGTAATTCTTCAGTTACTACATTGACTGGTAGTGATCTAAGATTAGTAGAATGAATGAAATATATAACACTACCCGTCAATTTGTGCTCGAGGGTGTGTATACAAAAGGAGCCCTACCTATACCAATACTAATAATTTTTGAAATTTTTGAAATTTTTTGCATTACCTACGGGCAGTTCTCCAAGAATTCTGGATTTAACCTGACAATCGGTGTAAATGCTGATGAAAGGCAAGGCAGAGAATGTTGATACTATCCTCATACTTTTGTCATATCAATTGATGCATTCAATGTTCTATTGCCCACTGCCCATTTCGATGCTACATATGTACTGAATCTATATATTTCAGAAACCTACATCAACTGATGACTCAAATACTGTCTTCAAAGTGATCCTCCCTTAACCCCGGGTAATGACTAGCCATACTCTGTACGAAAATGGACCCTTTATCATCTATCTTGAGTGAAGATTGACCTTTGGTTTAACTACATACTGCTTATTTTTGATTTGAAATTGATGTTCATGCTGCCTGGGTGTCTCTCCCAATCTTGGTGAGTTTATCACCCCTGCAGCACCTCCGGCCTAGCCCTAACCCTAACCCTAAGTACAGTCCCAACCCTTCTCTCTTTCTCCAACATTCCTACCTTATTCCATGAATAAACAGCGATTATTCTTTTGTGGATATTGTACGCATAAATATACAGTAAAAATTGCTTGTGGGGTCATGATTATAGCTTTCAAAATATTTGAAAATGCCGGTTCTTCGACATCTTGTTTAGATTTTTCAGTGTTGGATACATTCCAATCTCTATCGACCCTGGCAACATCAATTAACCTGAATTTTAAAAGAGTCCTAATATGACTACTGTTTGCCGAAATACTGATAACATAAACCAAATCCGAGATGCTTTTGATCATGCAAACACAGCAGGTTACTTCCACAATTGACCCATCTAACTATCAACACATCTTGAAACTATCGTGGGGGATTGCTTTGAAAAGGCTCAAGTGCTACTGCAGCTGGAGAGGACCTGATAAGTCTCTCGTTATTCTCGAGAATTTCCTCAACTCCTAGAGACACCTATCCGTCTCGTCAACGAGGCCGGCATCTGGTTAATATGCTTACGGGAAGATTTGCGTAAAGTTGCCAGTAGGCATGCGATTGCTTGTTCACCTGCGACAGAGAAGAAGTCCTTAATCATTTCCTTGGCCAAATATCGGTTCGAAGAAACAGGAACGAATCAGGATTTCACAAACTGATTTGCTGTGCCGGCTAAAAAGGTCTCGCCTTGGTGGGGAGCGTCGGGGCAGCGTGTACTTTACTCATAATATTTATTTATCACACCATTTTGCAGGGACCGACCCTGGTAGACATTGACATGACGTGGCTCTTGAAACCCGTCCCTGCATGAGCAAGGGTACATGTAATAGAGCGCGCAATTAAGGACAATCTACGCGTCTGGTGGTTTCACGTCAGAATCAATTGATACCACTCATTAAACTTGTGAAGCCACCAGCTGGAGGCTTTTGATTTCTTACGCATTTTGTCCACAAGATAATTTATCAGGTTTCAAATTAATTAACAAATCGTAGATTGAGCTAATTAGTGAGGTTATCAAGGTGGTGAGCACCAGCCAGCATTTGTAATGTTTAAAACACCACTGATGTATTTTACAATCAATAATACGTGAACCAGACCATCCATGTAAGGGAGATGCATGAGATGTCTCCCTTGCCGCCCTCGTCGATCTGCGACCCAGGTCAGCTGTTGATTTTTCCATTTTTCAATAATTGTCTCGTTTATGGCCAATAAGGCAAAGGAGCTGCCCCCACAAGACGATCTTAGTAGATTTTGGATGTTACAGCATATTTGACCTTTTTCACCTCATTCTCATTTACGCACCTCTGATTACGTTATCTTAGAGATCGAGGGGCAAAAAGAATGACTTTTGTTCAATAATGTGAGATATTATGTACTACGGGATAGTAAGTGGCTAGATAAAATATAATAATTTACAAAGAATGTCGGAAATCGAGTTCTATCCTCATGGCCAAAAAATGAGGCGCCAAAAGTTAAGAAGAGAAAAAAAAGTAAAACCAATCCGACAACTCCATAAAAGGTAAATCCCTTTTCGCCATTTCAAGTAGATCGTCACAGCTTGTTCAAAAAGAAAACAAAACACAGAACTTTGTTACACCGCATGCCCAGGGATTTCATGAGCTTCATCGTTGTGTACTGGTTCCGTCCGGAGCGAGATATCAGTTTTCACCATGACCTGGCCTGGACCAATAGTGTTGATAGGATCTTGGCTTCCCATACCCTTGGACGACATGGCTAAATTTCCCAGGTCGTCTGTTTGTTGATAACCGTGGTGGCCACGGCTTGACAAAGCACTAAGCTTGTAGTTGTAGGTGGGTCGACTGCGAGTTCCCTTGCTAGTGATGGAGGTGAATAGTTTGGGAACGAGCTGCTTAAGCGGATGTTTGAGGAAAGGCAGACAGGCGCAGATGATACCGCAGTTGGCCTCAATGGCACTCCATAATAGTGCTTCCCACGAGCCCCATGTCGGGTCGTCAGTAGCAACGCTCTGCACAAGGGCGTTGATACGTATGATACTGGTGACGCAAACGAAAAGACCCAGAGCAAACATGAGCATAACGCCAACCTTACGCACCAAATTGAGCTGCAATCTAGCTAGGAGGGGCATTGGCAGCAGGCAAATCCAAATGTCCGTCGCAGTGTTATAGCCTGCCCACCACCAGCGAAACCAGGCATTGTTGATACACGTGGCACCTATGTGTTTCTCCCATGACCCCTTCACTGGAATGCATTGAAAAATGGTCGCAAAGACAAACCCAATAACCCCTCCGATAATGACTCCCATAGTAATATGGCAGATCAGGTGAAACCGCTTGCTCGGGAAGATGCGTAAATAGAATGTCAGGAAAGAGAGTTTAGTCAGGCCAAGAACAAGCTTGTATGTGACTTGGAAAACCCAGAAAAACTGTGCTCCATCGAATTAGAATCGATATATAGTGATTATGCAAATCAAGGCTCCTGAAGGTTCTTACTTTTAGAGCCAAAACAGGATTACCGCCCGTCGGAACGACATCTTTTTTGTGCCGTCCAAATCCGTAATTATTTGCTAGTTGTCAAGTCAACTTTCGTGTTCTATGAGCAATTAAAGGAGCGACTTACCAAGATCACCAACGACGGTAGTCACTAACATTACACACTGTTTGGCAAGTGGTTAGAATGAAAGATTTTCAGTGTTGTAGTAGTAGAATGGGAATTACCATTGATGCCGCTATCATAAAATCATCAGTGTATATGTTTTTTCGTAGTATATATCCATGAAGAAGTCTGTAGATGACGAGTATCCCAGCAATAGCACACATAATACCCGTCACAAGTAAAAAAGTCGGTCCCTTGTTAGGGACCGAAGAAGGGCTTTCCGTCATGATTGGAGTAGGCTCGACGGCGAAGCGACCGCTGTGAAGAGATTGAAAAAGCACTCTTCGTCAAGATCCCCTTTGAAGAAGGACAATCTGTACAAGACAGAATAACTTTCTGATAGTCAATCAATTAGTCCTTATCTCATCTTTAAGACATAAGCGCAGCACCGGTGGAGCTTTGCGAGAGAAAGAAAAGGAAGAATATAATTTAGTCCAACAAGATGCGGATTCCAAAGTCAGATTAGTGGACCAATCGATATCATAGTTGAGCTGAGAATAGATGAGCTAACCTCATCTTTCTCTTCGTTTCATTTCCTATGGCCACTGCCAGCCAGCCCACCGAGCCCATATTCTCAACACGTACTACTATACCTAGAAGGATTCGGTTGACGGTCCTATGAGAATTCTTGCTGCAAATTTGACTAATTACTAATTCGTTACGGCTAAGAAGTTACGCGCATAATGATGGATATCGGCTCTTAGCCTTCCCACGGTTTCTGGAGAAAGCTAGTTGGCTCCATGAAACTCTGCTCCGTCGTGTATATCCTATACAACCCTACTCGCAGCTAATGGGGTCTGCGAAAGCAAGTCGGGATTAAATGGCAATCCTAGTATATCTTGCTCTCGTATCCTCCCAAGTTTCCCCGGCTTCTTTTCGATGATTTCCTAAATTCCCTGTCACTTCTCATTTACTAGGTAGCTAGCGGTTAATTATGGCTTCCCAGGTCAAAAATACTCTATAGGCTATTTAGTATACACTGAAGAAATAGCCCAACACTTAGCCAAAAAGCGGAGGCGATGAGATTTAGCCTGGAGGATTCAAGGGCGCTAGATTCAGATATCTTAGCATTCCGCAAGGGGTGGAGCTGGGGACAAGGGGCTAAAAAATACACCAGGATTTTACGCGAGCTCGGAGGAGCTGGGTCAAAATTTGGAATAGGCATTTATCGGGGTTCATTGCGCAAGAAATGACTAGGAACTACTTCGGGACTGTGGTGGTAAGTAAAACTGATGATCGATGAGTTGCGTGATACTCCACCTACAGATCCGTATCTTTCTTTCGATGAAGCTTGATCGACTTCGCAGGGATCGAGATAGCGTTCAAGAACATCCGATTATCCGTCATTGATGCATGTCGGATAATGCGGGCGGAATAGTTTCGCTCGACAAGTTCCAACACCATTCTGTGAGACCCACAAATCCTAAACAATGCATTGTTGAGAAAGAATCTGGCCAGAACAGAAAAGATGTAGCACCAGCCACGCTGAAGACCTGGAAAGAAAAAAATTACGCATTGGTTGGCCCAACAAGAGAAACGACTTGAGATCGAGATTCATCAATAGAGAGAGCAAAAATAACTGAGAGAGAGAAAGACTTCGATTTCGGCGGCCATTGGATAGGAAACTAAACGCTAAATGGGTTATAGGCGTGGTAATTTGTAGTTTGTAGTTAGCAAATAACAATCGGCATCGGAGTTTCCTACTCTGGACAACACTGTGAAAAAGTAGGAAAGGCCAAGTTGTTAATCCAGGCCAATCGAACACGATTATTTTTTTGGTTTTCTAACTTCTCGAAGATCCCAGACCAAGACCAGCCAGCCAACAGTGTAACGATGCTACATCACACCATACGCTAAGCTGGCAGTGCTCCACAATAACACATTCCCTATTCCAGCCTCCAGGCTCCGAGTCCAGGGTCCAGGGTCAATGGACCAAGAGTACTAAGTTAATTTTCTTCCCTCTTCCAGTAAGCACTATACCTACCTAGGCTGGACGCTATAAGAATATCCGATAGGACACTAGTGCAATCTTGTATGTTGGTGATGTCGGCACTTCGGCAGCAATAAATGAGATTTCCAAGTTGTTTCTCCGTAATCTCAAGCTAACAGTGCTTCGTAAGAAATTCGTGTATGGTGTACCTTCATGTTGTATATTTAATGGTCCATGGCCCTTGTGCGACCATTTGTTACTACGTATATGTGTGATGTAATAAGATCAACATTGAGGGCAGATGGAGACACTCGAGATGGGGTACTGTGTAGTGTGCACAACATCTGCTGAAACCACACAGTGGCACAGAATCGCCACGTATGTACTAAGTAGGACAAAAAGCACACAACTGACCCAGGTTTTGTTATAGAAATACGTAAAAGTATACTATTATTGACTCTCGTCTTTGGTTTTGTAACATACGCGCCGGGTAACCGTATTGTACGGATGTGGGACACGGTATTGAAATGTAACTACAGGGAATAATTAGCCCTAAATCTTAGCCTGAAATCTTAGCCTGAGACTACCTTCTGCAGGTGAGGCATATTTTTTCTTCTTGATGGTTGCCTCGCGCATTTTCCTAATTCTACGCGGCCACTAACTCCAAGTATTATATCAACCGTTTGCTGCAAATATATGCTAGCACTCTTGAAAGGTGGCTCCGGCTATTTGGCTTCATCGGAGAGTAATAGAATGTGCCGGGCGTTATTGAAAGCCGCATACAGCCGTTTCAATTCGTTCAATTTTGCCTAATCCAGCATTTATCCACTACACCATGTTCAGGAGAATTGTATCGTGACGTAAGAATTAAATGAATTGAATGTGCGCCCGATAATATTGAAGAAGAGCGCCTGAGCGATACTAATTATATATTCGTATTAGATAAAATGTACATTGAGCGCCTAGCAGTAGTTGAGAACAGAAAATTACAACTGGTAACGGAAATCGGGATGGCCGTCACCCAGGTTCTGCATCTGCTTGTTCTCTTCTGTAGTATAGGTCCTCGCAACTGTTTTCTCCGCCCTGTTACGCCGGCGATTCTCGTAGAACAGGAACGCAAAGTAGAGCGAGTTCGCAACGAGTCCCATAACGCCAAAGGCGAGGCCAACGCCAAAGCCGACTGGGTACTTGGGACTCTGGTTAGTGATAAAGACGTTTCCAGACACGAAAGCGCCGCAGTTTCCAAACCCAGTAAGAATTCCCATCCCAACGGTTCGCTTGACACCCTTACCCAAGTTTGTGCACAGCCAGACCACCAGAGTGGACATGTTGATGAAAGCGCCGACCGAGACGAAGAACATGGCCGTGTAGAGTACTCCTGGTGGGCTGGTGTGCGCCAACTGGATAGCCCAGCCAATGATTATCAACAAGGACCCGAAGACAGTGAACAGGTAGCGATGATTGAGATAGTCGCTGAGCCATGCACTACTTAGGGTAAACACAAACGCTGTCGCATAAACAGGGATGGTGTGCCATTGAGCTGAGCTTGCAGTCCAGCCCAAATCTTTCAAGATAGTAGGCTGAAACGCGACCAGGGAGCTGGCAGTTTCCTCAGCGGCCATATAACCGAGGACACTTCAGGTAGTTAGCACCAAAGAAATTATATAAGATTGCAAAGCGCAAAGTGATAGCATACCAGAGCCAGATTTTCCAGTCCGCAAGCATCGGCAGCACACGCTGCAGGGTAATGTCATCGTCACGAACACTTCCTCCATCTTCCTCTATTCTTGCCATGAGAAGGGCTTTCTCGTCCGCAGTCAGGAAGGATGCATTTTCGGGGAATGGCACGATGATGAAGAACCCGAAAATGCTAACAACCAAGGTGATGATGGCTTCCATCACAAAAATCCTACCATTATTGTGAGCAAACAAATCTAATACGGTAACGGACCTAATCATTCAGAAAATGACATACCATTGCCACGCTTCAAGACCCCCTTTTCCGTCTAATTTCTGCAACAGAGTAGAAAACAAGCCGTTGAAAGCTCCAGCAGCCATGTTTGCACTGAAGAAGACAGCATATCGGCGCAAGAACTCGTTGCGCTTGTAGTAGCATCCAATCAAATAGGCGCATCCGGGAACAAATCCTGCCTCGAACATGCCCATAAAAAATCGACAAGCTATCAAACCCGATGTTGTTTTGGTAAGACCTTGTCCGAGAACGAAAAGGCCTGTTTTTAAAATCGTTCTGGTTAGCAATGATGGCAAAACTATGGATTCTATCTGATGCGACTTACCCCAACAGAACATGTAAACGGCGAGAATCTTCGGTCCAATCTTTTTGACCAACAAATTGGCTGGAACACCAAAAACTACATAGGAGACGGTGAATATCGTGACCGCGATGTTGTAATCGTTACCCTTCAATTTCAGCGCCTGCGTCATACCCGCAATCTTCGCATTTCCGATATTCGAGCGATCGAAGAAAGAAACAAGAAACAGAAACCAGAGAATAGGAATTACACGAAAATCCAGCTTCCGGACGAGTTTCTTTTCCAGTGCCCTGTCAATTGGCGTGCTCTCCTGAGTGCCAGCTTGCTTCGGGTTGAGTTCTATGCTGGCTGACTCCATTGTCATTGATTTGACATCCATGGTATTACCGGTCGAGTCGACCGAGAGAGGCACGAGGAATATTCAAAAAAAAAAAAAGCATCTACAAACTATACATAAGAGGAGATTGAGGATTAATGACCATGAAAATTATCTGCCAGTGGAACACTAAACAGCAGGGGGGAGGAGAAAACGTAAAGCAAAACCGCGAGTCAGGGTAGAATTTCCCCTCAACAACGTGGACTAAAGGCAAACTGTGGCCAGAAAGGGGCTAGATTGAAATAGTTTTGTGGAACTCTGTATGAATTCAACAAATAAAGATCAAAGCCAGCCAGGGAATATTCCGGGAGTCTGCATAGGTAAAGCGAGCCACCCTGGCCGGGGAGTTTAAGGGTTGGGCTAGGACAAATTCATTCTCCTGGAGGGAAGGCGATAGGTGTGGTTTACGTGGCTAGACTTGCTCGTTTACAGGGGTAGTGCCCATTATGGCAATAATTTTCAAGGATGCATATGCTGCACAGTCGGCTCTAGCCTCCGAGCTCCAGTGCCTCGAATTTGACGCCAATCAGTGGCCAATGGCGCTTTAAACCCGACCAGAAATAGTGTCAGGTTATTATCGATACGTGGATAAGTGCTAATCGAAGCTGGAACACCTTCTTTAACCGATGCAAGGGGTGGAGCATGGTCTATCAAGGTCTACTGTTGATGTACATATTCCGGGTAGTTAAACCTTTTTTTATTCGGAATGCGACGCTACGCGGAGAACACAATTAATCCCATGCAATCAATTGCATGTAGTTAACCAAGCTGTTCTCGGCCGAACCAAAATAGTCTTTTCATCTTCTCTGACCGTCTTGGTCTGAATCCTTCAGGGAGAGACAAGCTCGGTTGTTGTTCTTGGCAGTTGGATTCTGTATCCACCACTCACAGACAATACATATTTGAGTTTATATCCGCAAAGTCTACTTGGGGAAGTTCGATGGCGCTTGTGTGGCTGTCTGATCTGATCTATTGCCGTAGCGCCATTGGACACAGAAATACGTGCGTGCGGAATACTCTTTCGTTCCGTATATGGAGCATGTTGAATCCAAGTACAGACATTACCCTATCAGGGACAAGTTGGGTGGGCAAACTGTTAGCTTGTTGGACATAGCCCTAGCCACAACAAGAAGGATCTATTGTCGATCTGTCGATGTGATGGTATTGGGTCCGTAATATTAAACAGACTAAACAGGGGCCCCTTACAAGCTTCTGACTAGACGATACTAGCATCTTACTTGGAGAAAGTTTGGTATCTTACCGTGGCGCTGCCATCGCTTCGAGCCGCCGGCACTCTTAACGCAACTCCTAAGACAGAGTACAGCAGTCCTGTTAATTATGTGCAACTTTGTGTGTTGCCGCTAGGCTAGGAATCGGTATTATCGGAAATGCCAGGATAACTTGCGCTACAGTTACCACTTACCAGCATCATTATTTACTGTTCCGAGTACGGAGTACCAAGTAAACTGAGTGGTATCGTTGGTCGTAAGTAACACCATGAGATAAATGGATGGTGACAAAGCGGGGGTTTTCCAATGAATGACCTTTTTATAAGGTACATCAAGACACGCCTAACGCTCATCAAAATCATTCCTTCTTTCGGGCAATCCCCGCTACATGCAACAAATCGTTATTCAATTCCACGTGGATTGGATAATATTATCAACTGTTGTTCTTTTGTAAACTCTTTGATTGAGACTGTTGGTCAGTTAAGACGACGACTAAACCTGTTTAGTTTTTCTAACCTGACATGCTCAGCTGTGAAACATAATTACAAGCCACGATGTCAAACCAAGCTTCCTCCTACATCGTTGCAGATGCTTTCCTCGAGGCTTTGGCGGAAGTAAGTGCTGGCTTGTGCAAACCCCTGTCTATCAATTTTCATGCACCGTTTCTTATGTAACGTCAATGAAACCTAGGCCGGAGTCGATTACCTCTTCACGGTGCTTGGCTCCGACCATCCAAGTATCATCGAAGCCTATGTGCGCCGACAAAAATTGCTGAAAAAGGATTTTCCCCGTATGGTACTGTTTCAACACGAGGTATGTCGGAAATCTCGTAATTGTCGGAACTATGCCTAGTCTGGACCCCGGCTGTTAACCAGTCAAAACTAATTACTTCCCTTAGTTCGCCGCTATGTCTGCAGCAGATGGCTATGCCAGGATCACGCAACGTCCAGCCTGTGTTATTGCCCACGTAGATGTTGGCACCGCTGCCTTAGGACAGGGCCTGCATAACGCCTCAAGTGGGCGCGCCCCCGTCGTTATTTTCGCTGGTGTTGCTCCATCGACTCTTCATGGCGAAGCTGTTGGTTCTAGATCGGAACATGTCCAATGGTATCAAGATATCCCCAATCAAGCTGCCCTTGTCGCACCATATAGTCGATACACGGCGGAAATAAAGTCTCCCCAACATGTGCAGACTATCGTACACCGAGCCGTCCTAATGGCGACCACTGGGTCGCCAGGACCAGTCTACCTCACAGCAACGCGAGAGATCTTGGCACAACCGATTGAATCCCTAGAGTCTAGGCAACGACCAATTCCATCCTGTCGGTTGGGAGGCTTGTCCACAGATGCTATTGAGGTGATAGCCAACGCGCTGATTGAAGCGAAAGCGCCACTGGTTATTACGGGCTATCTAGGACGAAACCACCAGGCAGTGAAAAATTTGATCACACTAGCAGACCTCATCAAGGGTATTCGGGTGTTTGATTCGGAAATTCGCGAAGTATGCTTCCCGGCTGACCACCCAGCCTGGGTGACACGAGGCACTGGTGCTGCCAAAGCTGTGCAGAATGCGGACGTCGTGCTCGTCATTGATGCCGATGTTCCATGGATCCCCACCAAAGTTAGGCCATCGCCTTCGGCCGAGATCTTCCATATTGATCTAGATCCGCGAAAGGAGAAGATGAACATCTTTGACATTGGTGCTACAGCGACGTTCCTTGCTGATAGTGCCACTGCTTTGTCGCAACTGACAGATTATGTATTGAAGTCGGGCAAGGTCTCTGCTGAGTCTTATGCTGAACGGTGGGACGCCGTCAAAGCCAGTTTTGGAGAAGGCCAAAGTCTAGTTATCGGTCGTGCGTTGAAAGCTTTGGAAACCCCGGAATCTCCAACCTCGGTTGACTTCTTACTACACTCTCTTCGCTCTGTAGTGCCCAGTAACACAATATATGTTTCGGACTCGGTCACAAACCAAGTCTTACTCAGCGAGCAACTGCGATTCACTCGGCCAGGGTCACACCTGACCAAGGGAGGCAGCGGCCTTGGCTGGTCAGGCGGTGCTGCTGTTGGCGTAAAGCTCGCAGCAAAACTTTACGATTTCACAGACCGGCCTAATGTACGCCGCAAAGACTCGACCGATACCAGCGAGGATCCTTTTGTGTGCATGATCATAGGTGACGGTAGCTTTATCTTTTCAGTTCCAACTGCTGTATACTGGGCCAGTCATCGACATGATTGTCCTTTTTTGACAATAATTCTGAATAACGGTGGGTGGCGTGCGACACGCCAATGTATAGTAGACGTCCACCCTGAAGGGGTTGCCTTTGGAACCACCAATGAAGAGCTGGGCATCGCACTTGAGCTTGACGGTCCCAATTATGGCGAGGTAGCTAAAGCGGCTGCCAATGGAAACTTGTGGACAAAACGAGTCACTCGCGTGGCGGATTTGGAGCAAGCCCTAATCGAGGGCAGAGAAGTGGTTCTCCAGCAGAAGATATCTGCCGTTATCGATGTCATCGTGAAATGAGAGGATTCATCAAGTCCACTTTCTAAAATATATCGTTTCTGCCATAGAGAAAGCTGATTATGCTTCAGCTAATATAATTTGATTGTATGTCAGTGAATCATCACACCAATAATTGATGTTGTAATTCAATCATTTGAGGTCATTTCACAGAGAATGATATGATTAATAATCCGTATATACATTTCTTAGACAAGCCGATCTAACATCGGTCACTTGGATCTCGGTGCCTCAACCTCAAAATCGAACCGGTTGGGAATTTTGAGCCCTGCGTCGAGATGACCTTGCATCTCCAACAGGGACACTCCATCCCGGACTAACCATGGATCTCTTGTCTCACGCTGCCAATTCTCCATATCTTCCCTCATCTGAACAAGAACATTTGCATATGCCGGGTCATTTGCAACATTATTCACTTCTCTTGGGTCTTTCTCCATGTCGAAGAGTTCTTCCGCTGGGCGGCGGATGTAGGCCTCCAGTGTGCGCCATCCAATCTTCACAGGCCCATCAACATTTCTCATACCCTCCCAGGACAGTGAGGCATAGAGATCTGTTGAGAAGGGAAAGTCAAGTTTCCAGGCGATGTTACGATGATATTTATACCTTGTAGTGCGAATGAAGCGAGTTGGATAGTAGTTTGTGATTTCGTGAAATGTATGCGACCCAAATACCCTTGTCCACGCATTATCTAGTGAAGTTTTGGTCATGATCGGTAGAAAAGTCCTGCCACGCCTGGAAGGAGAACTGGACCCCGGGTGGATGGATGAAGACTGATAGCCAGCCCAGTCTAAAATGGTCGGTAGAATATCAATATAAGATATTAGATTTGGATTTAGCTCTGACGCTGTTACGCCAGGCTGGCGGACAATGAATGGCAAACGGATACCTGCATCATACAGTGTGGTTTTTGAATTTAGAAAAGGGGGACCATTGTCGCTCATAAAAATGACGAGAGTGTCTTGATCATGTCCATATTGTTTCAGATATTTCATAATCAAACCGAGACCCCTGTCGACTCGAGCAATTGACCGATAGTACTCTGCCAATTCTTCTCGCACCTCCGAAATGTCACTCAGATATCCCGGCACGACGACCTCGTTGCTATGATATAACGGGTCCTCTGCAGATACAGTCTCATCCCCATTGCCAAACCCGCCACGGGTGTGGTCACGATGCGGATCCATATATCCAACTGTGAGGAAGAATGGACGGTCATCTTGCGCGGCCGTCTTGAAGAACGATTCAGCGCGTCCAGCTACCCATTTGACATCACGCGTCGCGCTTTCATCGACTATTTCCCATGGATATATGGACATCGGCCCTACATGTATCTTGCCAATGATGCCCGTCAGATAGCCATGATCTCGCAAAAGCCTCGGCGCGGTCTCCACGTGATCGAACGTCATGAAATGGTGTGTATAGTGGTTGAGCCCGTACTGCCCATTCTCATGCGTGTGCAGTCCGGAATAGATGACGGAGCGGCTCCCGCTGCAGGAGGCCGTGCTTGCGAAGGCATTATCGAACACAACTCCTTCTTGAGCGAGGCGATCTATATTCGGGGTCCTGATAGTGTTGTCGCCGTAACATCCCAAAGCTTTGCCAAGATCGTCTGCGATCACAAGCAGAATATTCCGCTTGGGAGGCATTGAGCTGGTAGGGAGAATCTCGTGTCTCGCGCTCTGTCAAGAACTTATGACCCTGGGTCCTGTCATGAGGAGTATTTAAGGCCTGCCCCGTGTCCGCCAAGCGTGCAGATAAGGAGCTCCAGTAACAGCGTCATGGCAGGCCTTAATATTTCGTCTCTCCCTCTCTCTGCTGCTTCCATGGTGGGGGTGGCGTGGGACGAATAGGCAAATGGTAGCCAAAGAACGGTCGTACAGAAGCAGCAGGCTTGATTGGAGGGGTTTTCGGCTCAACCGAGCAAGCAGTACCATCAATCGCAGACAATCATCGCATGCATGCAGACACGCCTCGCACGTCGTCGTAGTGGTACTACTGTGATAGTGTCTAGGAATGTCGCGTGGTGGATAAACGGCCGGCAAGTCGGAAGGCGACGGCACCAATCACCACGTGCCAAAATCTGCCCGCGCCAAAGAAGCCCCAAAAAAAGCCTTCCGTAAGGCTTCTAAGTTCTCGGCGTCTTCTTCACGTTAATTGATCCTAGTACTGTCGCGTCGAGTCTAGCTCGGTCTCTCGTCCTTGCTCGCTTCTCGTGATTTCCGGCCACTCTCTTTGAGCCGCCAGTGCATTGCAATTGCACTCCGGATCGTGCAGCCTCAACTGCGATTGTAGACGGCCAGCATGTGTGATGTGTGCTGGCCCGCCATAACCAACGATTCAGCCAGGTGCCCCAAGGCATCGGGGGCTGCTGGAGATAGACAGGCTAAACTAGTCAACTGCTAGTCTTGCAGGGATCCTGCATACTGAAAGCATATCTGATACACTTGCTGCGTACTATCGGCGCCATGATTGCTGCTTTCCTGAAAAAGAACCACATCTTGTCGCATTTCACCCCACGTCTCGGAGCGGCGGTTGGTTTGATTGCACTGTCGAGCTTGAACTATGGCTTTGACAATCAGGGCATTTCGACTAGCCAGGCGATGACGACGTACAAGAAGCAGTTTGGCGAATGGGACCCTAGCACCCAAGAGTATACCATTCCAACCTTCTGGACATCGCTCCTGAACAGCCTAAACTTCATTGGGTTTGCTGTAGGTGTGTTTCCCCTTTAAATTTATCCCCTCGTGGCAGATTCGCCGTCCGACAGTTGTTGATATGCCGATCGCCAGGCCTGTTTGTTGGTAGCGTTGTCAGCGCCCGATATGGCCGCCGTATGGCAATGTTTAGCATGTCCATCTGGGCTATGGTGTCAGCCACAGTCCTCGTCACTTCCCTGAGAATTGAGCAGGTACTAGTCGGTCGTATTTTGAACTATGGATATGTTGGCATGGAGCTTGCTACCTGTCCGCCTTTCCAGGCTGAAATCATCCCGGCCCCAATTCGAGGGTTTGCTGTGGGTACCTATCAATGCAGCTTACTACTTGGCGGCATCATCATCAACAGTGTATGTCGAGGGACGTCTGAAATTCCCACGAATGCTGCTTGGAGGACCCCTTTATTCTTGTTCTACATTGTCCCAGCAACCGTGGCCACGTGCATTTGGTACATCCCAGAGTCTCCCCGGTGGCTACTATTGCAGGATCGCTGGGACGAAGCCCTTGAGTCGTTACGCAGCCTACGCGGTGATGAGAGGGAAGGCTATGATCCAAGACAAGAACTTGCTCTCCTACAGAGGTCACTGTCGGAGGAACAGAACCAGGGAACATATTCCGACCTATTTCGAGGCAGCAATTGCAAACGAACCTTGATAGCCATGGGTATGAACTTTTTTATTCAGGCTACAGGATCCCCATTCACCGCTGCTTATTCGACTTTGTTCGTCCAATCGCTAGACTCTTTAAATGCATTTGATTATTCAATAATGAGCTCTTGTATCAACACTTTCTGCTGCATTGTGTCCATCTCCATTACCGACAAGATCGGGCGCCGGCCCATCTTATTGCTAGGTTCAACTCTGCAGATATTATGGCTATTCACCATGGCAGGCATAGGACTTCACCACCACCCGTCATTAGTTCAAAAGCAAGTAGTTATCGCCGCGACAGCCCTGTCCTCGGCCAGCCTGTGTTTCAGCTGGGACCCAATGAACTATATTATTACGACAGAGCTTCCTGCATCAAGACTTCGTGATAAAACTCAACGCATCGCATCAATTGTTAACATTCTTACCAAGTATGTGTCATCTTTGTATCCTCAAAAAGTATCTTGAATACTAACTTGACTGTTCTAGTTTCACCTTCTCCTTTACCACCCCATACCTACTCAATGCCCCATACGCAGATCTTCAATCGAAAGTGGGCTTCATCTTCGGGGGTCTCGCTATTTGCTCGCTCCTGTTTGCATATTTCTGTGTGCCTGAAATGAAAGGCCGGTCACTAGAAGAAATCAACCAGATGTTTCAAGACGGTGTTCCTGTGCGGAGCTTCAAGGATTATAGTGCCGAAGAATCTCTGGCGTGGGCTGAAGCTAGCGGCAAAACGCTGGGAGGGACGACCTTGGGCTTGAAATTGACACACATAGAGAGAGTTCCAGTGGAGAGATCATAGTTACGGACTTTTTCTATGACGATATATATGGCAGAAACCATTTCGGGGCATTTAGTATACTCTATACTCATATAATGCATAATGCTAGTAGATAATTGTGACAATAACTTCAATCTGACGCATACTTAAACTGCGTTTAATTTATTGTAATCCAATGAAATAAAGATTCACATAACTTTCAACAAATACACCAATTACATGTACGCTACACTTGCCTGTCAACATTGGAACTAGTACATATCAATTGTTGATGTTGCACTGATCAATTGATATGTAATTGACAACCACAGTAAATGGAACGAATAATAGATGATTCGTCAGTGTAACTACTGGTAGAGCAATAATATAAACTTATAATCTTTTAATTCGTCGCTACCACCACTGCCACCGGAAACCATCATCAATCCATATCGATGTGTTTCCTGCGAGTCGTGATACGTTGTGTATATGATATGCTATTCGCTTCAACCATCCAGACCCTAGCAGAAATAAAGAAGTTGTTTAAAAATAAGTAAATATGCGCTTGACACCCTAATCGAAACAACCAAGTCATAAGATAAGAGGTAATACAACAATGCCATTCCATGACGTGCAATTGTTTTAAATGAGATGCTTGGATCTGTATTCTGTCAGCCAATCACCCTCACCAGATAACAACGTCATCCACATCTTTACGAATGGGAAAACAAACCTGAAATAAGCCCGCAAGTAAACAACCTGCCAAGCACCCAACCCAACCAACATCCCCATTGTGCCAAACGCAAACCACTTCACACGCTCATTGGTCGATTCGTTGGTGTCGCGCAGCTTCTGCTCGCGCTGCCGGAGGTATTCCATCTCAGTGACGATTTCCGCAACCACCTCCTCGATCCGTCGAAGGTCGGTTTCCACTGGCTTCAGCTTCTCGGCGGCCTGAACGCTTGACCAGTCCCGCGCGTCGGCACCGATTTCAATATCTAACTCAACTTCGCGGATGGGTTTGTTTCCGGCGCCTAGATAGTGTGGATGCTCATGTTAGGCTGATACTCTGCATGGGACGGGGAAAGGGGGGCGTACGGCGCGAATCGGAAATCAGATTCTCGAAACACACATCAAACGCTGTGTCTTCGGAGGGCGTCAAAGTCTGGCGATTCTCGCCAACAACATCCTTGGGACGACTGTAATCGTTTCCGAGCGCATCTTTGATCTATGCCATTATTCCATACAGTATTAGCATCCACTTTCAGCTTTTGTCACGCAATTTCAGGTTTCTTTTCCCAGGCAAATGCAGAATAACGTACATGCATATTAACAACTTGGCCATCTCCTTTTGTCCCCGAAACAATTGCCGTTACGACCACAAGCTGTCCGGCAGAGACGAAGTTGCGGATGCATCGCTCGTTACTGTGTTGTTGAGCGGCGAGCTCGAATTTCAGGGCCGAGCTCAATGAGGTAAACAGAACGAAGAAAATACCGAGAACGGCCCTCGGGTTTATTGTAGACGACACCATTTTTGCGCCGTGCCTTGCCGTATCGTACCGTGCCTAGCTATGCTGATGGGGTGGTCAGATTATTGTCGTGTGGTCTTGAAATTGAAGCCAGCTATCAGAACTACCAAAACAGTTAAGGGGCTTGGCTCCACCGAACAAACACCGGATTAACGTAGACCCGACTTTTATACATGCCACAAGTCTGATATGTCGTTTATATATACATATTATTTAAATAAAACGACTGAAATTGCAACGGTTATGAGAATAATTGAACTTGGCTCGCGTCTGTATCACTACATATGTATCGTCGCAGCTACGAAACAATCCACCCAAGGTTTACATACATGATGGCGCCTCAAAGTTTTGAGAAAATAAACAAATTTTATCTCATCAAATACTTCAAAAAGAAAAAATATTAATGAAAAAAGAACATTGGCTTTGAGCCAAGAAGAAAATCGGAGGTATCACGAATAAGAGAAAAAGAGAAATGATTAGTGTAATAGAACGTGGCAGTCCTAGAAGTGATCCAGAAAGAAATGTTCGTTAGAAGAGTCGGATGGCGCCGATATAGAACGCTAAATAGCAAGAATCGTAGTCAAGAAAAGAAAGATAGACAATTAGGTAGATAGGTATTTAGTTTCAAAATTCAAACTTCTTCCGGCGGAAGATTTTGGAAAATGTCGAGTCCTTCTTCTCCTCAGACATTGCTGTACCAACACGAACAGGCGGTTCCGGTGGGCCCGTGTTCTTCAGGAAATCCGCCAAGGCACTGGTCTCTGTAGGGCGTGACGGGCGCTCCAATGGCGCGGCTGTGCGAGGCTGGCCTGACTTGACAACGAAGCTCGACACTTGGGGCATAGGAGGGGCGGGTGATGTTTCCGCATAGAACTTGGCTGAACGCATCGAGGTCATCGACTTTTTTAGTGTAGGGACTTTGTCAACAGATGTGTTTCGTCTGAAACGGCCTTTAAGACCAAGTACCGAGGTCCCATTCGAACTCTTGGAGGGACCAGGGTTAGAAGAGAGAATAAACGGTTCCGGGGCCTTATGGCTGACTGGGGGAGGCACTGAATTTAGGAAGTCGAGCATGCTTTCCTCCTGTCGTTGCGGCTTGGACGGCTTGGACGTTTCTATTAGTGCGTCAAGATCATCGTCAGAGTCGTCAATTGCGTATGGGTCTCGAGGACCACGGCGCTTCTTCGGGGGAATGGGAGGCGGTGCATCAGAACGATTGTTGCTTTCCAAAAGAGGGATGCGGGAACTGGTTAAGGAATTGATGGAACCAGTGTAGTTGGCGGAATCAGCACGTGTGCTGGCAAGAGACGCGGTGATGGAGGGTTCATTGTTAATCGAGGCTGTATCCATTGACATAAGCTCCTCTGAGTCCATGGTATTCCGAAAGGGGGCCACCGTACGGGGAATGCGATGAGTAGATGCGCCAGGTGGGCCTTCTCTGATAAAATCGATCAAATCGGATGTCTTATTACCACCATTACCTGCAGCATCACGAGCTTGAAGTCGCGGTCCATTTTTTCTTGGTGAGCTTTGCGAGTCCCCAGCCCTGGCAGTCGCTCGCGAGGCACCGGACTGTGCAGTATCTGGCCTAGTGACTACAGAGGTAGAGCCATTGCGTTGATGACTGCGGACGCTGCTCTCAGAGGGTCGATTGGTGCCAACAGATGTATTACCTTGGGGGCCAGTTCCACGAAGAAATTCTGCGAAGTCGCGAACGGATTCATGGCCTGTACGGGCATCACGAGCTTGGGGCATTGTTGATTTGCCTCGGTCCGATCCTGGACTCACCGGACTTGCTGGAGAGTGCACACTGGTAGGCGTAGATTTCGCGCTATTATCCTCGGGTGGATGTGCTCTGAGGCCGTTGACAAGGGGAGTGTAGGACTTCACGCGAGGACTGGGAAGAGTACGATCCGTTGGAGTGCGTGGTGAATGTTGTTCACCTGGGGGAGCAGTGTTTTTAAGGAATTCAGCCAAATCAGCAGTACCCGAACGGTCTTGAGTAAGATCGTTACGAGGGGCATTCCAACGAGGCGACGCAGGTAACTATTGACACGTTGAATATCACCAAGTTCTACAATGACACAAAGAGTACTTACTTCCATGGCCCGCATGTTACGTGGTGTCAGAGTAAAGCGAATTGTCTCGTCGCTCTTGATGAGTTCATCTAAGGTCGGTTCCTCCAGATCTTCTCCAGATCCACTGGCTTCAGAAGATCGTCGAGGTCGCCCAGGGAGGGGAATATCGTTCTCTGCAGGATGACGGCCGATGAGAATCTTCAATTTGCTCGAGACAGTGGATGTAGCCGAGCCAGAAGTTTGTGGTCGTCTATCGCTGATGCTTTCAGACCGACGCGACTTGGTGGACGTTTGAGAAGTCGAAGATCCCAAAATTACACGCTGAACAGCAGCACGCTCCCGGCCAGGGGAGTTGTCGCCAGTGTTTTGACGATATTGGCCGGTGGTCGAAGGGGCGTGCGAAGCCGCGTAAGAGGGTGTTCGAGATCGATATACACTCTCCTCACTGTCATCGGAAATAGAATGCGCCACTTCAATACTTTCCGTGTACAGCGAGGACGTCGCACGACTGCCATTCAATGCGCGATGTGCTCGGTCATTAGTTATGTCTTCCGCTGATCCTTCAGCAGACGCATCCAATTGGCGAGGGTGAGAAGTAGGCGCAGTCGCACCCTGGCTTTGTGTAGATAAGTGTAAACGAGATTTGTCTTCTGAAAAATTGGTTTTTTGTTGCATTAAGCTGGGGTTGACAGGCGGCATGGCGGCTATCCCTTGCGTTGGGAGTGGATGATCGTCGCGATAGCCAGTGGCAATAGGATCCTCCTTTTGCTGTAAATCTCTATTAGATTTTCTCCTCGGTCTCTGCGCTGGTAGGCTGGATAATTTAGGTACCTGATAGGTACCCTGACCCTCGACAACTTCACCATCGGTTGCATGATCATCTTCCTCTTGTTGGCTAGTAGCGTTAATGTTACTTGTCTTTTGGGAGTTCTTAAGAGCTTGGGTTTCACGCTCCAACACCTCTAAACTTTCGGCTTTGCTAGGAGCCCTGGAGTCGACCACTTCTTCCTGCGCGGCATCGAGATGAATATGGGCCGGTGTTTCGTCGCTGTCCTCGCTCTCATGCGTGGTTTGTGAATATTTCTCTTCCACCTGAAGTGATTCCTCATCTTTGGTGGTCTCAAATGCCTCCAGTGTAGCCAAAGGAAAGGCTGTGCGTTGAACTGGAAGGGATTGAGAACGCTTATGACTTGCTGAGGATGTGACAGACTGGGGTTTTGCGGATGTTTCTGATGATGGCCGAAGCGAAAATGTCAGCTGCAAGCTTCTCCGGCGTACCTTTTCAATGACGGTAGCCTGCACTGCCTCTACCTCCTCCGGGTCGACCCAAAGACCGGGGATTTCGATTTCATTCACATCATTGTCGCTGACCGGTATGGCAATATCAGCTGGTTCGTGGGTTTGCGGATGTTCTTCTTCGGTCAGATCCTCGTGTGGAGGATCTCGTATGATCGATTCATCAACCAGAGTGGATGTACTAACGCCACTAGCGAAACCCCGTCTTGAGAAAGATTCGCGAGAGAGAGTCCTCGATAATGTTGGAGTGCGCGCTCGCTTCTTCCATGTTCTCCATAGACGACCCAGAGTGGGGTTCAGGGCCAATTTTTCCATGTCGTTTTCATCTACAGTTACCCTTAAGTTGACGTTATCCAGATCAGCCGAATTGGCGGAATTCCGGAATGATGCAAGTCGATTACCGGCATTTTCACCTGCAAGAACCAATGCGTGCTCGCCTAGGTACTCGATAATAGAGGTTAGAAAAATGGCGGCCGCTGGGGTAATATTTCCGGCATGGTTGGAAAAGCGTCGTGGGGTGTCGTCAGACTCATCGAGGGTCTCCAGAGCGATATACTCGCCTTCTTCTTCCTCTTCCAGGTCGCCCAGTCGGGTGTAAACCATGCACCTCAAACGAGTCAATTTCCACGATCGGATTAGATCGAACTCGCCATTTGGTTTCTGGCCACCTCGGAAGTCTTGTATTTCATCTTCTTTATCGCCACCCATATATTCACTCAACTCCTCATCGGCGGCAGATACCACCTCCTTCGCAAGCCGTGGCTTGAGAACGTCGGCGATTGCGGGGCGGAGATCGGCCAATTGCGTCGATTTGGCAGAAGCTAGAATATTGAACAGCAAATAGTCGAGGAATCCATTCAATAACGCAAGGCTCCCCTGGGAGACAATGGCATTGTCACCATCCCCGAGTATCATGGCATTCTGTTCCAATTCCACACTCACGATCTGAGAAGCCGCGGAGGCTGCGATAAAGGCCGGCCGGGGATCAACGAGAGGCGGCGTACCTTGAAGGGCCCTGCCCACATCGCTCGAGACACTGACGCTCCGTGAGCGAGTGAACGGGCTAGGTTCCTGAGGTTCGTAGGTATTCTGCATGACTTTTTTGGTTTCTTTTTTCTTTTTTCGGTATTATCGGTCGTCAAATAGTCGTATCCAAGGTCGTGTACAGTGGCAATTTGGGTACTCTAACAATGCGAACAATTTAACGTCAAAAAGGAAGCGTCGTCACCGATACTCGCACATGCTTGTTAACACCTGATGCTACACTGGTGACTGTTAGTGTTGTCATTTGCAGACGAAGAGTATTTTATTCAGGAACGAGGATGCAGAGGAGGATATAGTGATGTTTCAATGGGAATCAACTGGGGGTTGATGAAACAGCACGGCGTCCGCTTCCGCAATCGAGTCATGATTCTTGACAGGAAACATGCCGAGTCATCCTAGGAAAGAGCTTGACGTACCGTATGCAAGCAGCATGGTGTACATGCGTTGAAGACTCAACAGATAAACAAGAACAGATAAAAGGAAGGACAGTGCCAGTATCGCACCGATGATATTATTATGATCGGGGTCGCAGAGGTAACAATAATGAAATAAAATGGCAAGAAAGGCGGCGCTCGTGCGGATTCAGGAGAGGAACCGATTAGGTACAGCATGGGTCCACGGGCCAGGAGCCACAGTGGGACGGGAAACCAATGTCCATCATCGCCCATGCGACGTGCTCGGTCGCAGCGGATCCTGACAATGATAAGGTTAGGTGGTACTAGGTACAGAGTACCTGATACACCGACATAACTACTACATCCTAGCTAGTACTTACTACCAAAGGCACACGAATGCTGCGTTCATCATTCGAATGGCTCGAGTCATGGACTAATCACACTGATCTTGCACCTTGAGGCGATGTCCACATGGGCTCCGGATTAAGTAACAAGCAGAAAGTTCCTTGACCCACCGCAGAACATCCCGGCTGACCCACTTGTTCTCGCCTATATCTGCCTAGCAAGCTAACTAGCCATGTACTACTGGATTCACGTAGTAGTTACCTCGGTACGTACAGCGACTTACGTGGAATACATACATATATACTTGTGCCCAGTGATAAACAATATTCATTCAGCAGCGAGAATGATTCTACTACTCCCGTAATATAACAGCCAATGTACTAGCATAAGCAGGGACAGTTGGTAATCCGATTGGCCTCGCCCCGGCACCTGCTGGCCAATCATCTGGCTGGAACAGGGGTAGTTTGTCAGGACTCTGGCAGGGTTCAGCGAAGGCCGAACTTTGAAGAGATCCGGAGCCTGCTCATTCGCGCCCATTCGCCGCGATGGGGCGATCCCAGTGGTGGGTCTGCCGTTCTATTGGCTGGTAACGAGTACACTACTACATTTCGGGCGCACTCATGCAAAGAATTAAAGAATATGAGTTTTAGCCCCACTATAGCCCTATTTTTGAGCTTGTCTACTACCCCTGACTCTGAGTGATACATATACATACATATACACATACCATATGTGTATGTGTATGTGTATATATATAATGTATACAAGTTGATATAAGAGTTGAGAAGCAGTAAGTATGGGGGACGGAGAATAAGTCGGACAAGCCGCATTACTGAATACTAATAGTGCCCGCAAGGCATCGATAGCTACATAGTCATCCGTACAGATACTCTACTAAGTGCGGGAGGGGGTTATGCAGGTATGGGGGGCCAAAATCAGGTTCCATGCATTTTTCGCACGTATTCAGATCCGTAGTTCATTGCCATCGTTATTATTCAATCGTTCAATTGTTCAATTCATCTAATACTATATAGTAAGAGCTACTTACGGCTGTTTCAGTAGCAATCATTTAAATTGCGGCCTTCGGAGATTCGACACTGTGCCGGCAATGCAGTTGCCCCGTCATCGTGAGAGGACATCAAACGAATTTGATGAATCTAATGGCAGGACTCTAGTACTTGCGCAACATAGCCTAGCACGTTCGGCAAATCAAGCTCGCTTGTCCAGATTTGGCAGTACCCCAGGATAGGTTTCGGTTCGACTACGGGGTGTAAGTTGGAACCAAGAGCATTTATGTATCCCATTTAATACTGCGTACGACTATAAATCTTGATTTGGCTTCCACCATCTCTGGTAGACTTCAATAATCAATATGGTCAAAGTCTCCTCTATCCAAACTCGGCACACCATCCCCACCCCCAAACCTAAAAGGTTGATGGGGCTTAATAAGATAACAATCTCCTGAAAGCGTTATTTAATTACTTTTCTCAACTTTACTAGCTCTTCGGTTTCGACTACATATGCAATAATTCGGAAAGTAATAGTGATAATGATATAGATTCATCCTCTTAACTGTCGCCTGTTTCAGGATTCTGTTTTCTTAACGGCCGAAATAGCGCCTGCATGGAATTAGAGGATTTAGCTCAGCGCACGAGATGATAATAATCCTGCCTCCCCGCCACTAGTAGTAGTGTCCTTCGTCATGAGATGTGGCTATGAGACATCGACCGGGATTAACAGCCTGCTAGTTCTCACTAGCTATTCTACATGGCGGGCCTAAGGCCAGCTTCGTCCAAATGATTCATCATCATCAGTTCTGCTTGCTTATAGTAATAATACTTCTGCAGAAACATTATATCCTCCTCATTATTCTGTCTGCTAATGGCAGGGAAATCCGGTTTTCATGTCGATCAGTCGCCTAACAATTTCGAAATTGAGGGAAAACCTTCCTAAATCATTTGTCGCGGAGTCCGAATTCATGCTTTCCCAGGCCCACTTCGAGATTGAGCGCTCCTCAAAACTAAACAATAACGGAAAAAAGTTAATACTGGTCATCGTTGATAATTTAACGGCAAGTGCAAGAGACCAATTCTGGTCTGACAGGAATCGGTGTTTCAGAGATATGGGTCTCCACATATGACAGCTGGGTAGTGAGCACGGACTCAACCAGCTTCTCAGAAACCATGTATGAAAGAAACCTCCGCTCCTTTTCGGATCTATGACCATGATTTTCTGGGAACTAGCGACTCTCTGTGCTACCATGTCGTAAACCAATACCATACTATAAAGTGTAAAGTCTTACCATTCTTGGATGAGCAGCCGGCCACTTAGGGAATAGCCAAAAAGCAGAGAAAGCACATGAGGAAAGCTGAAAGGCTATATATCCATATTGAGATTCTCTTATCCGGGACAAGACAGGTGGAATTTGTATGAAGAGCACAACGAATTTGTTTCAAGGCAGTATCGAAAGTGTACCGATGATGATCTTTGTTGATGGTGTTGGGAGGTGGATGGAAAGAAGATGGGCGGCAGATACTTTTTCTCATAGCAACTCTCCCTTCGCACTTTCCCTCGCTTTATAGTAACCGTAGGGTTATCGGCGAGTGCTGGCTTGCGGTCATCAATCAGTGGATGTGCATGCTGACTGCGTGGTAGAATGACTGTTGTCGTTGGACACACAAGAACTACATTCTTAGGGGTAATTATTCGTCAGATACCTAAAGGTTACTGAATATGGGGGCATGGAATGCCATTGTACTGTAACTACGACAATTGCTGTCGAATAAAACTAAGACAAGACACAGTATTTATTCGCACACGTAATAAAAGCCAAGAAATCGTATCATGACGTATGATATGGTCATGGTATGAAACCATTGTAGCTAAATGTACACAATGCCGCAAGGTCAGTTTCCTACTGGTCACCGGAGCCAGCCATCAAAATATGTCAAAATTGTCGGGGTATCGAGACTTTTTGAGGTTTTAGTTGCTTTTCATTTTGTACCTCGGTTTCAAGAACCTATGTGATGGTAACTACGCTAAGATGTTGCTGCTACCTCGTAGGTGTAAATCTTAGGACGTTCCAAGGCGTACACAACTCCGTCTGCGAAAAAACTTAGCTCATCCTCGCCAACGGCTGCATTTCCGTCGAGCAGTCGTTCAGAAAGGATTTGCTCAACCCTCTTTAGAAAGTCCGCTGGTTGTTGCTCTGCCGATATCGGCAGAGATTCCTGATCTTTTCTTGATCCGGCAAGACGGGCGAGCTCCTCAAATTCCTCACGAAGGACAACGTTGCGAAACATGCCTATCACATGTTTCAAGGCTTCATCGAGAAAGAAGCCAGTAGAAGGCTCGGTGTCGCTTTCGAAGAAGGGAGACTGCAAGCGACCTTCACGAAACCCCTGCACACGATCATGGAGATATGTTTGGTACTTTTGTCTAGTAGCACCATGAATACCATTAATAAAAGCAACAAATATTTGTTTGTCCACTTCAATCATGTCGCGTGAATAATCTTTCAACACTTGTCGGATTATGAGATTGGCAATTGCGGTGTCGCTATCCATATCATCTTCCTCGTCATCGTTGTCGTTCAAGTCGCTGTCAGTCTGGTGCCGATCGTTTCGAGCCAGCAGCATCAATTCATGCATGGTCATTTCTGCTTGGTCTTCGACGTCATCTGGTATCTCGGGAGTCTCAATATATGAGACATTTGTGTCAAAGTGTACAGAGGTTTCAAATGAAACCTGCGATTCGTCAAGGTTTAGGTCCTCCACATAACTACCCATACCTTCAGATTCATTATCAAGGTCGAAACCGCTTTCACAATGATCATAGAGCGAAATTTCTTCATCCATGGGGATATTAGGGTAGATCTCAAAGCCGAAGATATCATCGTCATCTTGATATTGGCCATCGAGATATTGACGTACAGGGTCGCTGAACTCCACATGCTGAGCACTCTCTAGCTCAGAGTCGTCAGATTCGTAGCCAGATTCGTAACCATCGAATTCATGATCAATAGGACTTTGAAATTGGAGGTATTGTTTGGGTGTGAGCGGAATGGGAATCCCCAGCTCTGGCAAAGTCGATGAGATGTTCGTGAGAGTAGTGATTGTGGTGGCCATGGAGATGTCAGAAACATCATCTGAGGCACACGAGCTGTCGCGATGTAAGGAGGAAGAGGTGACATGCGATTGTGACAACATAGCTGGAAGCGAGTTCCAAGGGGCTTTTCTTTTCAAAGCCTCTTCCATGATTGTCGTTATAAGGAAATACACTTTGAACAGGAGAGAAAAAGTTATTCAAGAATGAGAATCTGTGTCGATGAAACCTGAGGTTCGACCAGAGTCAAATTTGATACCGATATAGCTTGGGTATCTGTTGAATGCTAGCGAAGAGCAATTTTTGGGTTTAACAGGAAGGCTCCAGCCACGAGTCACACGTGCGGGTTCCATGGTGAACGATGCTAAGGGATAATGACTTTAGACGACTGGCAAGAGGCCAGACTGGTAACAGTTTAGAAACATAGCAAAGTCACGATAGCAGAGAAGAAGGCTGTAATTTAAGTGAAGCACGTCACGAATTCAGCTATAGCGCCTTTTGAATTCGTGTTTTTTGAATCTGGTGTAAAGTCGCTTTGTTTCGGTCGCAATCCCTTGCAGTGTATTTGGTAGAGAGAATAAAGTGTGTCGAGATGTTGTGAGGTTGAATGAATACGAAAGGCTATTGTCAGGGTTCGACGCGTCGGAAGGTAGGAGGCGGGTCCGGGATAGTTCTCGTGGAGGGGAGTCTAATCGTTTCTCCAGGGTTTTGAATCGACGGTGATTGTATTTATTGCTGCGCAGCACCAAGGTAGAGGGGTGTTGGAAAATATTGATTTTGTCGACTTTCGGTCCCCGCAGTCTGAGGTGGAGTAGGCTAGACAGAGCCTACGGTGCACGTCTAGCAGGTCAGTGTTGGGAGTCAAAAATGCGATAGATGTCTTTTCGGACAGTTACTGTACGGAATACAGCAGGCGCAAGATGTCTTTGATGGGTGCGATGCGTGATGGAGGATGGCGAAAGAGCCGTGCTGGGAGGAAGGAGGCAGGAGGCAAGAGACTGCAAAGTCACAGGTTCGCTTTTCCCTCCTAGTTTCGGCCCAGCTGAGTCGCTGAGTCTATGACAAACGTCACATCGCAGCCTGAGGCAGCCATGTTGCCCAATCAGGGAAAGTGCAACAATGCCTCGGTTGCCAAGACTTGCCTTCCATGACTTTCCGTCAGTGATGACGCTGACATCTTTCATACTTCTAATCACTATTATTATTAGTGAGTTAATGTACCAGCTGACCAACATCACCACGAATGATAACCCGTCGCAGAAACACGAACTGGAAACGTCTCCAAGATGCACGAACGGGAAATTGATGTGGTATTTCCCCCTCCAATTGTTACGATTTTTGGCCGTGAACAACCCTAGCCTAGCCTAGCCTCCGGGTTTTGCAGGCCTAAACCTTCCTAATGCCGTGACTTGCATTAAACGGCCAAACACCACGATGATCTCACCACTAAGAGGCTCCCGTAGACATTTTTATGCAGGAACACACTTTGGGATGTCTTTGTCCGTCGATACCCCGTCTCTAACCGTTGCGTGAGTCTTGTTGCTGGTTGATGATATTTCTCTCTTGTGAAACACTTGCACCCACCCCAGCAGTTTCGCTCTAATGGCGGCTGGGAAGCAATCATGAAAAATAAATATGGACTATTGAGTCATTCGAGATTCGAGGCAGCTCTCTGCTGGAAAGTGTCCACGCAATGTCCAGTTCTAGAGGCACTGGCATGCTAATTTGGGGGCCAATCATGGTAACTACAGAGTGCCCAGTGCCCGGTGCCCAGTGCCTACGACAAGAACCTAGAAGAGAACTCCCACTACTAGTAGTCCAACAAGGTCTAAGATGGCCCTGGGCGAGTGGCGTGGTGAATGTGAATTGAGTGCCTCAGGCAGTACGCCCGCCGCAACCACCTTCCTCGACGGCTTCATATTTTTAGCATGAAACAGCAACTCTGTTCTGTTATTATTATCGTCATTATCATGACCAATTTTATTCAGAATACACACAAAGTCCTCTGTACTTTATTATTCCCGTCCTATTAATTGTGAGGTTTAACCGTCGGGACAAAGGATGGCCTGAATTGCGAGCGTCACTTTCTTTGTCCATCTTTTAGCTTTCTAGTTGACACCACCAACGGGTGCCCTGTGCCCTTGGAGTGTTGTTGAAACGAGAAATGTCCTCGAATCTGAAAATAGATGCGCCCAAGCAGCGTGTCTCGAGGATGCGATGATATGCAGGCATGCTCTAGTGCTAAGACCAACAAAGAAACAAGCATCCCACGTTCCGTGCGAAAAGGCATTAAGCCTTCGAGCTGCAGCATGTAGCGAGAGGTAGATCATCAACAAAGAACCGCCAGCATTGCATTACAGCTGCAGGAGTCCTGCACTGAACTCATGGCTATGGTTTTTGCATGCTAACGTATTTGTTGCTGTGATCTGAAACGGATTGGTGACACAGTCCTATCCCATCATTCGACAAATAGTCTCCTAGGCTATCAGGATAATAGATCCGCTTGGACCAACCACATCGTTCGAAGAGAAACGCTTGCTTGCCTCTATGTTCGCAGTCTCATTTTTCAGTCAAACCGCTTATCTAAGCATTTCTCGGCCCGGGGGACAGATATTCCAGCATTTTTTCTCCTGAGCATTCCAGGGCGTCGGAGCTGACGAATGATATTGCTGAGAAGAAAGTATTCACTGTGGAGATGTCGTTTGTGGTGAAGAACTCCCACAATAATGACAGTTCGTGTCGCCCGAGGATCACGGCTGATCAGTCATACGAACCCAAAGAGTATCAGCCTCAAGATCAAACTGGTCCACTACAGAGCCCTATCCTTAACTCCATGACGCTTACATCTCTGATGATGCTGCTCCGATTGCTATGGGGATTCTAGAAGCGCTGGCCAGTCAAGTCTTTTGGCCTAGGAACCAGAGTTCCACCCTTTTTGGTTCATGGCTCCAACGCCTCTTTCTTTGTACATTGATTTCTATCATTGGCTTGCAATGGAATTTAGGGCCCCGCATTGCAAGTTTCGACATGGTTGGTGTCTGCTTCTGGCTTAGTGGATTGGAACATTCTTCCCAGTGGCTTATCGGATGGCCTATTAAGTTCTACTCGACAATTGGAATGTCAGCCACCCAAGTCGTTCTATGACAGGCAAAGATTGCCAATTTTCAACCTATAGCCGTTATCCTGGCCCATATCCCAGCCCTAGCCTGCCCTGCAGCCGACATTCCTTGAGTCTTTCTTTAGATCGTCTGGAATGTCATGTCAAAAATCGAAGGCTGGTGGAGGATGCAAGATGTCATTCAAATATCGCCGTGCATCTGTTTGTTTGCTTTGCTTTCTTTGCATCATTTCATCAGTTGTCAAACAAAACATACTGTTTGCTTTAATTGTCTACTTTGCTTTTGCGCTTGGCGGATATCCAGAAGATCGATTTGAGCTAATAGCCTTTTGGACGCGCCGATCCTCGTGCCCTACAGGGATTCCTTGACAGGGCATTACTCTCCCTCTAATCCAATCGTTGTACACGTCAACGACCACAACGGCCTCTTCCTAGTCATTTGATACTAGCCGCAAGCGGAAAACAAAGCTCAACACGAGTCATCATGTTCGCCGCACCATTTGACCATTCGTTCAACGACCTATTTAACCAATACGTCAATCTGGACCCTTCTACTAGTGGTGACGGTAACAAAGACGTCGCATTTACTGGAGACCTAGACCAGTTCTTCCCCGTTGGCTCGCTGTCCAGTGACTGTGGCAACATTTCACCGGGTGGCTCCCGACAGTTCCTACAATCGCCGTCACAGACTTGGCGCAAGGACGCATGGTACCTACAGCAAGACTCGGTCACTGGTGATTTGCCGTTGCATCGAACCAGAGCTTGTCCTGACACCATCCATCCTTCCGATGCCTCTAATCTTGGTGGTGGAAATCTTGAAGAATCCTCGCCCCCCGACCCTCTAGGTCTACTCTCTACATCACCATCCACTCCCCCGACTACACCTAGGCGCAAGTTACATTCCAAAAGTGCCCCAATCACCCCTAAAAACATTCGTCGACGGGAGACTAGCGTTAACGGTACTCTGCTTCGCAAGCAAAGCTTTTCTCCCAGCCTTACGCGCTCAGTGCATGTACAGAAATCTAAGATGGCATACCCCGAGGCCTGGACTCCACGAGTACAGCGCTATAATAATCACTTTCGAGTGACTGAAGACCGTCTTCCATTGTCGCCTCCTCCATCAGATATTCTCGTGCAAAACGAGCATTTGCGCCGGGACAGTGGTGTCCATCTCAGTTCGAGTGCAGAGAATTTGCTAGCAGATGCAGCTGAGATGGCTTCGCAGTATGGTTCCAGTCTCTACACGGCCAAGCAGCAGCAGAACGCGTATTTAAATCACAACAATGCAACCCCTCCTTCATCAGATGACATCTTTCAAACTCCGCCTTCATCCGAGCAACAACAAATACACGCGTGGCATGCAGACGCCCTTGCGTCTAGCCTCCAGTTTACGCCAGACATGAATGGCCATGATGGCCAGTGGTGGTCCTCACCCTTACCAACCAGAGTATCTCAAGCTCAGAACCAACATGCCTATCTCGTTTCGCCACTTCCCCAGAAAGCCGCCGTTAACCACACCGTACAACAGCAGCATGATCTACTTCAAGGGGGTCTCATGATTGACTTCAACTCGTCATTCGATCTTGGTGCACACCATGATGCGTTCTCAGCCACACCAGTCGTGCATTCCACAAACGCTCCGCACATTCCAACACAACACCCGTCTAGCTTCTCGCACAACCCATACATAGCCATGACTCAACAGCAGGCTCTAGGCCAGCAATCGCGCTCTCCATCAATGTCTCCCACCAATCATACTTCTCCCAAGTCCCGAGCTGCGGCCAAGAGCAACCAACATCGCCGCACTCATAGCAGAAAACTGTCTTCGAACTCCACATCTGCCCCCAAGCCAGCGACTAAGTTGAGCACATCACCCAAGGGTAATTTGTCAAAATCAACGCCAAACGTATCGTTCGTGAACTTCACAGCTCATGACAGCAAAAAGATACTGACCGGTGTTGCGCCAAGTGGCAGTTCTAAAACTAAGGCTCGCCGGGAACAAGAAGCCCGCGAAAGGCGCCGAAAGCTCAGTGAAGCCGCATTGATGGCGGTTCGCAATGCTGGAGGCGATGTGGAAGCATTGGAAGCAGTACTATGTTGAAATTTGAATTTTATTTGATTTAATATCTATTAATACCGGTTTTTCTATTCTGGCGATTCTTTCCAGTATACCACTTGTTTTGTTTACTATTTGGGGTCCCGTCTCTCGTTGGGAAAATATCACTTCCACCACCTGTATATCTAGATATATTGCATATGTGTTATTAGCATTGAGATATCATTGACCTGTTTTGCAATCTATTTCAGGATTAGATTTAATCCGCTCACTCCTTCCAACCTGACGATCAGTTTCAAAATATAGGATACCCCGTAAAGTGAAACGAATTGACTTAAAAACGTTAAACAAAGAGTAGAAAACTAATATTAGAAACAGAGTGGGTTGAAATACGTGCTGAAGAAGAAACAAAACCGCCGGAAACGGAAGGGACAAAGCAAGACCCGGGTGAGTGAGTACCTTGAATTCATTGGCTTATTGAATCCATCAAAATGTTTACCTTGTACTACCTGGCTTGAAAGAATATGAGGATTGAATAATATGATTAATATTATGATGCTATCTAGGAAGCTGCGAAGGCGTTTCGTGCCTTCGCTAAGGGGAAAGTGAAGCCTGAGGCATCTCAATACCCTCGAAGGCATCCTAGAGGCGGTACAATCAAAGTTATATAAATCTAATAAATTTGGTTTTGAATATGAATTTTTGGTATTTTTGAATGCGAACGTCAGGCCAGTATTTATACCATTAATATTTTATTGTAAATACTTTCTAATATCGATGTGTCCCTAATTGAGGATCTTTATCAAAATATTTAATCATGGATAATATATACATGTATTTTAGATCAATTAATATATATTAAAAACTTTTTGAAGTATTGAAAAAAGAGGTCGTAAGGAGCTTTGTTATAAAATTGAATATTTAAGATATTATGGAGGTCTCATTTAACTCGTTGGGAATTTAAGTTTAAATTCCAAGGCGCTATAACCTTGCGGATTCAATTTAAATAATTTAAAAACGCTAGGAGGCCCCTAGATCGGATAAATGATTTAGGCAACTATAATCTGAAAGAAGATTCTAACAAGATTCACGTACTATCTTATTAAAATAACTTAAGACGTTGTGCTCTCAGTGTTCTTTTCTCCCTCCAGCTTCTCTAGCGCCTCTCGTCTACCAGTACTATTGGGGTCCAGATATGGTCTTTCACCCAGACTGACAGCACGCTGACCAGTGCGTGGGCCGAGTCCCTCGTAGTCATAGGTAGCAGTGTGATAAACACTCCGGTTATCCCAGATAGCTATTTCCGGTCATTATTAGCTCCGTTTCACAACATGTATCAGACGTGACAAACTCACCAAGGTCATTGGGGGACTGCCAGCGATGTCTAACTTGCAAGTCATGGTTCTCAACAACAAGTTGGACAAACCATTGCAGCAGATGCTGGCTTTCAGCCTCCGATAAACCATTAATCTGCTTCGCGTGGTGGCCCAAGGCGAAAATACTTTTCCACCCGGTGACTGGATTAGTGCGAACAACGGGGTGAACAGCGGTGAGACTGTCGCCGACATTCTCGGGACTGCCACGAGGCGCAGTGTAGAGCTGGAACTCATTTTCTTGGGCGCTCTGGTTGAATAAAGGTTGGGCGTATGTGGCTGTCAGGGATTCAAGGAATTTTTGGTATGGTTTGGAAATGCGATCATATACGTCATACCCAGAGGCCCAGAGGGTGTCTATATTGCTGTTTAGGTACACATCTCATTTAGACGTAAAGGGAGCACTCACCTCCACCTGTTTTTGGAAGTTCAGTGAGACGCAGAATAGCATAGTCGCTAGGAACAGGCTCAAAGGTGATATCGCTGTGCCAGCCCTCCTTGGAGCTCTGCTTAGTCGTATACAGCCTGCTCTTGTACAACTTCTTGGCCTGTTCCGAGCTTATCACACTGATTTCGTCGTCCTTTCCACCTAACGCACGGCCAGAGTTGCTGACAGGGTGGATGTGCAAGCCAGAAGTCGCAGGTTTTCCGGCCAGTTTCCCAAGACGGTCGGCCAGCTCCTTTTGCAGGTCATTGTCGAGATCATCTTGCTTACGGAAGAAGACGACGCCTCGTTGGGAAACTATATAATGTGATTCGTCGTTAACACGTGTTTTGGCTAGACTTTCCAATTACCGCAAGAAGGGACATCGGGGTAGCGTACTGGTAATAGCCAAGTCGCGCAAAAGCTCATCTGAATTGGGTGCACGAAGCCATTCCTTAAGATTCGCAGTAGGGAACTCTTTCCCAATCACCGGAGTAACATCGAAAGACTCGTATTGGTCCAATACACCCTTGAGTTGGAGTGGCTCTATTTGGAGAGTCGGGGTGGCGGCTAGCTTTAGGGCTTGCACGCCTTGAGCGGCGGTGTCGGTAACGACGTCGAGCGAGGGAGCCATGGATGAGATTGTGATGTGAATTAGAATATGATTATATTGATTATATGATTGTTTGCGGTTTGTTCTTGAGATTGATAAGTTTTCAGTAAATTCTGTAGCAGCTGGGAACCATCTACACTTAAATAGAGTAGCCAGATTGGTATTCGCAGCTATGCCTGCCTGAGCATCGAAGCATGTGGCATTCGCAATCCTGTTGTAGATGACGATATCAAGTAATCAAACCCTAAAAGCTATTTCACTGGCTACCAAGAAATGGTGAGAATGTCAGGAGCGGTACAACAGACAACTACCCCGCGCCGAAGATAACATAAAGCATAGTACCTATTTCGTCCAATTGGAAGGACGATCAACCGCTGAACAGAGCTCTAGTAGAGCTAAGCCTGGAAGCTGTGACAACATTTAGTCGAATAATGGTGAAATCGAGCAATCGCTTTGATGCTGATGCACTGCCGAGTTATCCGCTGATACGAGACGGTTTGAAGTATATGAGTAGCTAGACCCTGATCTTCAGGCATCAGGAGTGGTACCTTGTAATGCATTAAGTTTGGACGTTGACTTGACTGAGCGACGACTACAAGGCATCGAATGATGAGAATAGTGACACCAATAGATCAGGAGGTAGTCTTTGGTTGTGAACATTCCTCTGTTCAAATACAATTTATAATCCCAATAGTAATGATAATGATAAGCGTAAAGAAATAGAATCATCCAAGGTGAAAGTCTCCCCGCGCTGTCGGCGCCAATCTTGAATGACGACTGCAGGCCGGTTAGGGTTACGCAATCCTCCGCGCGCATCACTTCATCACGGCCCAACTAAATAGTTCTAGGCTGCCAAGCAGGAATATAGTACGGCAGATTTATACGTAACTTATATATCAGTAAATTGAGTTGCGCTATCTAATAACATCATCTGGTGACGGGAATAGGAGTTTGAATATGAATTATTCATTACATGTATCTAACATTAGCTCATTACTTCTTTCAAATACGGCCGGGATTCGAGTCGCATGATCTGTGCGGCATTATTAATACAAAATTCGTCACTTAACGCCTTCTAGTGTACATTATGACCACCTCAGTGAGCCCCGTGAGAGGCTTTTTGGATAGTATGTTCAAAGAGGTTTGCAGGCACGCAGGCCCTGTATGGCAACTATAAACTCAGTAACTCTGGATCGAAATATGGAAAGCATATCGCAGAACGACAACAAATGATTTGGAAAATGATATATGCAGCTTTCTAGAGAGTTATTCCGCTCTGGACTATCGCTTGACGGCGTCTGGCGTCCATGCCTCTGGTTGCCAGGTCTCGCCGGGCCCAGTAGGAACTTTCGCCCATGGACCCTTTTCCTTTTCTTTCGTCAGTTTCTCCTGTGTTGGCGTTTCACTCCGAATATTGTTATCGTCCGCTGGTTGCACATTTCGATCACGACGCTGTGGCTCTGTAGCACGTGTCGCCGGGTCACGGGTTCCGGTGGCAGGCCTTGTCGACTGAGTTTGTGGCTTATCAAGAAAAGAGGGCTTCGCAGCCCATCTTTCGTCTGCAATTTGCGCAAGCTTTTGATCTGCGCTTGTCGAATCACGTCTCTCCGTTGTTCCTCAATACTCGGGGGCCCATTTCGGACATATCGAAGCCACTGGTGCCATTGTGCTAGGTCACTGTAAGCTTGGGAAATATATAAGACCGTGGGGTAAGGCTTCGCACGTGATATTTTCACGTCTCCTAGATGAGCATTCTTGTTGTATCTGACGATGCGCCGTAATCGGTTCGCGTTTAATGCATCCTTGAATTCCCAGAACGTATTACCATACAAATCCTGGCCTTGCAAACAAACTGTCAGCGAATTCATTCATAACTCAGAAGTAATCGATCCCGACCGACTACCCACGACCTCCTCCACGGAAGCTTCAAGGCTTTCCACCTGAACCATAAGCTGTTTATTGGACTCATTGCGCCGGCATTTTCCGGACAGACGGTTCGACGATTGAGTGGGTTGGTGCCGTGCTGAGGCTATATGGTATCAAAAAGCTCCCCCGGGTGCCATTTGCACTTCCTTGCTCAATAATTAATCCTGGCGTGCGACGTTGAAGTAAAATCGATAGTAGGAACGGCACCGTGGCTAACGAGGATGAATTATTTTAGGCGCGGCACAACGTCATTGCGTCGCTTATATAATGTTCCTTCCCAACTAACGTATTCCACAAGCACCCTGCGCACACAAGCACCCTGCGCACCCCACCAAATTTCTTAACTTTCTTAATTCACCACTCGCTTCAAAATATTATTTATATCCTAAAATGCCTAAAACATATATAAAAAAAGGCCCTAAGTACAAAAAAAGACTTCTACTTGCTATAGATACGTTAAAAAATCAAAAAATTATGAGTATTCGCAAAGCAGCACATCTTTATAAAGTGGCAGAGTTAACGCTTTATAGTCACCTTAACGATCATATTAAGATCTCAGTAACAGACTTAAAATATCAAAAATTAATCTCTACTGAGGAGGAATCATTTTGTATATAGATATTTTTAATAGAATTGTGTGAATGCTTTATCTAACCTTAAATACTTCAAGTTATAGCTAATATTTTATTTTTAAAATAAGAAAATATAACTACACTAATTATTATCAATATAAATTAAATAAGTAACTTTTTAAAACATTAATCTGATTTTAAAACATAATTTACACATTAATTGACATATTCTTATATTAAATACAAAGATCCAAAGCTTATAAAGCAAATATTTTACTAATTTATAGCATATTTAAAGTGAGTATAATATTATAAATAAAGATATTTATAACTTTAATAAGACTAGATTTACTTTAGAGATTATTGCTATAATAAAAGTTATATATAGCCATAATCAATTAAATAAACCAAGCCTTATTCAATTTAAAAATTATGAATAGGTTACTATAGTAGAGTATATAAATACTTAAAGCTTTATTTTATCTCTATTAATTATATTCAAATCCAGTATTAAGCAGACTGATTAGTATATGTATCTAGATTTATCACTAGATTAATTAATAACACAATCATTAAATGGCTAGATATTAGATAAAATTGACTTACTTTAACTTCAAAATATATTTAATAAATTAATAAAGTCTTATACAGTTAGAAGATATTAATTATTAATATTAAATAATCATAGCAGCTATTTAACATCTAAATAGGATCAATATTATTATAATAATAATATTATCTCTGTATGTATGCCTCCACATTCTTTATATTTATTACAATTACTTAATATGGATATTTTTACTATTTTTAAGTGCCGTTTTGGATATACTGTTAAGGATTGGATATATTATGATATTAATTATATTAATAAATATGATTTTCTTATTATACTACTAGTAATACGCGCAAAGATCTATTCTATAAGAAATATTATGAATAGCTTCTTTTATACAAACATTTTATCTAGGCTGTCATTTGGTTCGGTTCTGGTCCTGAGTTTCTGGACCAAACCCAAAAGTGGGTCGGTTCGGTTTGGTCTTTAATATTGGAACCAGAACTGAAAACTGAACGGTTCTGGCTCTCCAAACCGAAACTGAACCACGCTAAAAAAGAATTACTAATTATGGTTAGATCGGTGCGAGTCTGGTCCGGTTTTCATTTAGATAACTGAACCGTATCAAAGAATTTTTAACTATAGTTAGATTTTATCCTTAAAAATATATTAAAATCTTTCTAAATTTTAGTGAATTTAATAGATAAATAATATAAAAATTAGAATTAATTATTTAAATTATAATTTTCTATCTAATTATTGAAATATACTCAAAAAATAGATAGATAATAATGAATACTAATTATACTATAGAATGGGTACAGAAATATATATTTTTTTCTTTAATAAAGAGATTGGCCGTACAATATAATCTAAAAAATATAAATAAAAAATAGAAAAGATATTATTACCATCCGAATAATTCTTAGATTATAATCTAAATATTAAGAATTTATTATAATATTTATAAAAATATCTAAAATAAAATCCTAATTTAAAAAATAAGAATTCAATTCATGACAAGCTGTTTCAGAAATGATTATATAATCAATAATAATTATAAAGAATTAGGGTTAGCCCTAAATGTTTTAGTATTATTAATGGAAATCCACTAGTATTCAGATATTCAGATAAAACCAAACCGAAAACCTAAACCGAACCAGACCTAAATGGGTCCCAAAAAACCATATGATCCTGGACTTGGTGAACCGAACCACATCGGTTCACTGTATATAGGACCAGAACCGGACCATTCGGGTTTCAGATCGGTTTTGGTTCGGTTCGAACCGAACCAAATGACAGCCTAATTTTATCATTCAATCCTAAATCTATTCTATCTTAATTAAAAATTATTATTAGAATCTCTACTCTAAAAACCATAAGATTAGACATCTTATTAATAAATAATACTTTACTTATAATACCTTATAATATTTAGAGTTTACAGCATCAAGCTAAATTAATAAAATGATTTTTAAAGTAATATATTATAAGCCCTCCTTTATCTACAAATTAAACTTTTAATTAGTTAATAAAAAGATACTCATTAGTAATATACTCTGTAGCAATTTTAATAAAAGAAAACTATAATCTATAAGCTATAAATAAATATAAAGTTAAGAAAAGAAAACGTTGATTAAAACCACTTTATAATAAGGATATTTTGACAATTATTAAAAACTAGAAGCTTACTACAGCATTTCTAGAAGTCAATTTATTTAATAAAACAATTAATCAAGCTAGGGCTTTTTAGTCTTATAAGTGTGTATTATCTAAATATATAAATTACAGATAAATAGAGCATAATTGTATATTATGTAAGAATAATTCTATATAGAAATATAAGCGATTTTTTAGTGTTGAGTAGAAATCTGAAATGCTTCAAATTGTGTGAAGTGGTGGGGTGCGCAGGGTGCTTGTGTGCGCAGGGTGCTTGTGGAATACGTTAAGTTAATGCATTGTCTAGTGTTAGAAACACCACTGCAATTCTTCATCCTGACAACATTTGATGATATTCCATTAAAGAATGCTAGCGCATGTGGCTATATATTGGACACTATACAGTACATAAGATTCGCTGGTCGACGATCGAAATATTAATATCAGCTCATCTCAAGCAGACTTCTTTTCCTCTGCGACCCGCTTTTGATGTTCTTCAGCCAGCTTCTTGGCGAACGGTTTCAGATTCATGAAATTTTGTCCTTTATTTCTATCATCAGCAAATTTCACAACTGCTATGGACGTGTTGTGTCTAGGAAACACTTACAAGCGTCCATTGTAGGAGAATCCACATCGCGAAGCGCGCCATGCCAACACCACCCCGACCCAGTACTTGCCTATTATTCCCTTGTCTACCTAATGCACAATATCATGAACATAGCTTTCGGGCCTCATACCGAACTAGACTTAGTCTGTTTGTTCTTCAATGATGTTCTTGATTCCTGAATAGTAGGAGTTTTCAGGCAGCGTCAGGAGTGGAACATTAGCCAAGAATTTCATCTGAACACCACCCGTGATGAGAGTCAGGACGCGCACGCCGAGTGGTGCCATCTCCAGACACCAGACCTCAACTGCCTGGATCAGAGCTGCCTTGGTCCCGTTGTAGACGCCTGATTACATACACACATTAGCCTAAGGCTTTTGTTTCGCCAGATTTGAGACGGTTTCTTTGCATCCCGTACTGCAAAATGATACCGGTGTACGGCTACCGACAGATGCATTGGTGACGATACAGCCCCGGGCCTTGACCAGCATGTGAATGAACGCCTGGGTCAAGTCAAGAACACCGAAGTAGTTGGCGTCGAATAACTTTTTGGCTTCGGCAATGGAAGTATCCATGGCGGGTTTGGTCAGTCCGAGGCCGGCGCTGTTGATTAAAACGTCGAGCTTCCCATCGGGTTGGCTACGAACTGTTTTTGCGACGGCGGCGATAGGCTCAGAAGACACGACGTCGAGTGCGAGCACGGTGATATTGGGTGCCACATGCATTGCCTGTGGAATCTTGGATGGCGAGCGTGCTGTCGCAAAGACAGGGTAACATTTATTGCTGAAGGCTAAGGCGAGGGCGGCGCCAACTCCACCAGCATAGCAGCCCGTAACGAGGCAACTTTTGCGAGTAATGGTCATTTTCAGGGAGCTTTTCTCGCCGAGACAAAGATTGAAGCCCAGACACAACACGGAGAAGGAAGATAAATGGGCTTTATATATGATTTCGCCATCATCTCGTTCAAGGAATTCCTTCTACATGTGGCTGGTGCAGTGTATAGTCAAATGTATATAATGGGATAATATTTGTTTTCTTAGGACATCGCACTAATAAACATAAGCTATATCTTAATAGACGACATTAACTGATAGGTCGCATGTGGGTTGTGAGTTGAAGCTTCAGTAATTTCAATGGTATCACCAGCTGATCAATTTAATGGCCCGATGATGCCTTAACTGGTCAATAATATTGTTATTTTTCGCAAAGTAGGTGATTTCATTGTAGATGCGTGAGGAAGTGCTCAGCCACAAAAGTTATTAATATTATTTTAGGCGCGGCAAAACGTCATCGGGCAGATCGGCCAATGGCTTCCCCAATTCCGCAACCACAACACTCACACCCCTTTCCTCCAGATATGCTACCTTCTCTTTCTTCTACGCTACGTTCTCTGAATATACACCGATAAAAATACTGCACATCGATTGCGACTTAACCCATCCAGGGACCATTCCTTCGTCTACCAGATCGCGACGGGGACTCACCTACACAGCCCCGCGATCGCATTGGGCTGACGCCTACTTCCCGACATCCGCGCAAACCGTAAAGCTTACTCAATTGCCATTCCATCTCGCATACATACTCTTCAAGTCAAAGGTAGCCCGAGCTGTCTGGGCATAAAAAATGGCTTCGGTTACGAGTTTAGACAAGGACCTGCGCAATATGCGCCTGTCCAAATACACCCCGCAAGCTGCAAATGAAGTGCGAGATTGGATCGAAGAAACCCTCCACCAGAATCTATCACCCGGGGATCTACTCGATGCACTGAGAGATGGTGTTGCGCTGTGCAGGTAGACCTTCCATTATCCCGAGAGTCTACTGGAAATAATAGAGGCTGATTTCTTATAGACTAATTAACCTCGCTGTTTCCCCCGGGGTCAAATATAAAGAATCTTCGATGCCTTTCGTACAAATGGAGAATATATCGCACTTCCTCCGTGCTTGTCAAACTGCACCGTTGAGCTTACCTCCACATGATGTCTTTCTGACCGTTGATCTCTACGAGCGCAAGGATCCGGCCCAAGTCCTACAGTGCTTAGGTGCCTTTAGTCGGCGCGCCAATGCTCTTCAACCAAGCAAATTTCCTCGCTCAATAGGGGGTGTCAAGAGCAGAGGTGGCGTTTTGAGCCCACAAGGCACTGGTTCTAATTTTGGGGCAGGCGCAAGACCTCGCGGTGCTAGCAATGTGAGCCAGAGTAGTTCTACTACGTTTAACCCAATTGCTAGAAATACGACCCCAGGCCGAGTCAGTCCCACCAAAACCGGACCATCTCCTGGCTCTCCTCCGCCGGCCGTTAGCAGTTGGAGCAAGAAGACCGATGAAGGAACCACAGCTCCAGCCTGGAACATCCATCAATACGGGTATATGGGCGGAGCAAGTCAGGGTAACCAGGGGGTCGCTTTTGGTGCCAGGCGGCAAATCACGAGTTCAGGCCCTACTGTTCCAAGTCTCGCGGAGAAGGAAAAACGACGACGCGAAGCAGAGATGGAGGCAGAACGACAGCAACAGGAAGAAGAGCTGCGACGGCAACATGAAGAACAGCGCGCTAAAGAAGAGGAAGAACGTCGTTGGGCAGAAGAAACTGCACGTTTGAGAGAGAAAGAACGCCAGGAGATAGAAGATGAAAAGATAAGATGGGCTGAGGAACAGAGAAAGTGGGAGGAAGACGAGCAGCGTCGTCTCCAAGAAGAGAAAGCCACTGAGGAGCGATTGGAAATGGAACGACAACGTAAACGGGGCAACAGTGATACCCGCCTGAATGGTCAATTCCTCAGTCAATATCAAGCAATGCAAAAGAGTCCTCAACCGGAAGAGCAATCGGCAGAATCGCAGCGTATCAAGGAACTTGAGAAGCAGCTTGAATTGGCCAAACAACGTGAGCTTCATTATGAGCAAGAACGAGAAGATCTCCGAGCGAAAGCGGCGGCTGAGAAAGCTCGTTCACGAAGTCGAAGCCGACCTCGTCTTGTTCAACCTAGCTACGATCTGACTTCTCAAGAGGAAGAACGCAAGCTCCTTCGATCGGAGTGGAGCAAACAGCCGAGCAACACTGCCAAAGTACCCGAACAAGACGAAACTCCTCCACGATTGCCCTCCCGTCCACTACCTGAACCAAATGCACCGGCCCTTCCGGCTCGACCGCTTCCTGATCCTTCATCATACAGCAGTAAAGAGAACCGGGCAGATCGGTTCCTTGCATCCAACCCAGCTCCTGTGCAATCCAGACCAGTTACCCACCGACCACAAGACTACTCTACAACTGCCGAAGTGGACGCTGAAAACAATCGCCGCGCGGCAGCACAAGAAAAGACCCGCGCTGGCGGGTGGGCTTCTAAGTCCCTTCTCGAACGGGAGATGGAGCGCGAGCGTGAACGCCAACGAGAATGGGAAGATAAACAAAAAGAGACCGCCGATGCCGCTAAGCGCGGCGTAGGGGTTGGCATCAACACGCAGCCAGGCCAAGGCGCATGGGACGTGCATCAGTATGGTTATCTTGGAGGTGACAGCCAGAACCGAGGTGGGCCCGGTTTGGGTGTGGGAGGAGCTCGACGACAGATCATCGGGCCCCGACCTCCGCCATAGATAGGGTGATTGATTGTTTTCTCATTTATTTAACCTCAGGTTTATGCAATTCCTTTATGAATATCCTTCACATATGCCCTTTTAGATAGCTTCAAGACATTGTATGAGCAAATATGCTGGCAGTATATTTCTTGTGATATCTTCATCCTTTACAGAGTAAGCTGAATACATGTAATAGCACGTAAAACTGGAAATTACTTCATTTGATGGCCTTCAACATTCCACGTCATCGTAGGCCCATCAATGAAGCTGAACCATTCAAAGTTCCCTGAAATTTCAAAATTAAGTTTAATAAACTGAATATACTACTTAGAATTCACGCATTTAGACATTTTCTAGGGGTGATATCAGTAAACACAACGGTGGGTATCATGAAAATAAGAAATCGTGTGGAAAAAGTAGTTATTCCTCCTGATCCGATTAGTCCTCCTTGGGAAGGATATCATGGACCAAATAAAGTAGTCGATCCGCGCTCTCGATGAGCCAGGACCGCTCGATAGTCTCCATCTTGCGACTGTTTTTATTGCGGCGAATCTCAGCCTCTGCCTTATCTAACCGTCTCTCGTTGCCTGTCGAAACAGCTTCTCTCAGTTCCGCCGTATTGCGGAGCCCGTCATGCTGGGCCAAAAGAAATATCAAGGATTCAAGGAGAATCGACATCTTCGCATTGTCTACTGCGGTGGAGTTGTTGGCAGCATACGGAAGGAAACACTCTTCGAGCTTTTTCTGATTGAGAAGAGACTCTTGAGACTGCGGCCCAGAGCTTTCACGTATACGCCAAAGTAAGATTTCGCATAATGTGCTATGTGCATCCGCTGATGACCATGGAAGAGCGGTCGGAGAGACAAAGGCCTGGAAAATCGGGAGTGGTAAATGTCGAATGTTCTCCACAAATAAATGATAAAGATCAGAAAGAGGCATAAAAGCTTTAGGCACGGCCGTCGAGGCTTGAACAAGTAGAATCAGCAAGCGTTTCCGAAGAGCAAGGGATTTGAAGCCCCCGTAGGTTGCCACGCCTCCATTTGAATATATATCGCTGACCAACTTGTCAGAACTCTCATCTTCAGTGGGCTTCGTCGCTCTGGTGCCTAGACGAGGACGCTTGGGTCGAGATCTTTCGGAATTTTCTTCTTGGCCCTCCGACGGGTCCTCATCGTCGGATAGGTAGTCGCCATATTCATCTTCATCAATATTGACTTCAGCCCTCTTTTTGGTGTTTACCTTCTTACTCTCTTTCGGAAGGTCTTTGAGTTCGTTGTTAAACACTTCACGAAACTCGGATAGTGAAGTCGCACTACCATTAGCAAATACAGCTCGTAGCACGCGGCGGTTTCGTCCGAGGCCCGCACTACCAGCCATCAGGTATTTGAGCAGCAAGCTTTCCTTCAACGCACGATCACGCCGTTTACTTGGTGTTACCGGTTGGGCTGTTGCCTGCTGAGCGTCGGCTGCATTTTCTCGCTGTTCCCAGTCGTCCTCTATAGCATAACACATGAACTCAAGCCATATCTGCCATCGTTCCCATCTTTTGGGATATAATACCGAGCAATTGAAGGCCCAGCCCACAGCCTGCCAGAAGTCTTCTGCCCGCGACCATAGCGAGCCTGCCTTGCTAAGGGTGAGATTTAATGGAATCTCGTCAACGTCATGCGTCGAGCCATTTGAGGCTGAATCTTCCCCGCGTCGCCGTCCGCCATGTCTTGATTGAGCGAAATGTGTGAATTCAAAGGCAACGTCGAATTTGGCTGACACTGGACCTACCAAATGAAGAGTCAACCGAAGCAGCTGGAGCGCTAGACTAGCTGCTTCCTGCTCTTCCTTTGATTTGGCACGGGTCGTGGTGGAGGGATGGACAAGGATGGTGGTTGCAAGCGCCAAGAGTTGGGGAGCTGGCACATAGGCCGGTGCATGTGCTGCAGTGCCGGAGGTCAGAATGTTGATTAAGAGGTTCAAAGCTTGGGAGTCTAGAAAGATGGAGTATTAGCTGTTATCGTTTGTTGTTGTTGGTGTTGGTCACGGAGTAGCCACCCACAAAGCTTTTCTTCAAAGTAGATGGCGCAGTGCTGGCGCAATTCAAACGGAATGGTCCGCGCGACTCGGTAGTTTGAATTGGGATCCTTGGCCGTGAGGGCCATGGCAGTGAGTCAGTGAGGCTACGGGCTGCCTGGACATTGTTCGACATCGAGTGAACAAGTGGAGGAATTTGGCGCGTGTCGAGAATGTTCGCGCTCCTCTTCTTATCGATAAGCACCAATAAACACCAAAGCGGCCTAGTGCGATGCAGGTGCGAACGTCAAGAAGTTAGGCTAAAAAAGGGCACAGGCACTACTAATATTATTATTAAATAATGGCCAGTGCTAGTTATCACATGCATGCTACATTCTTGTCGGCTCTTGTTCCCCCTGGTGGTGCCATGGTGATGCCATCAAAAACAAGAATCACCCGGTCTTTCTATGGCTTCGGGGGAGCCCCCGCCCCACACAGTCCCTAGGCTGCCATTAATCCGGCAATGTAAGTAATGGAAAAGAAGATGTCTCCGCTGTGATGCCTCAGATTGGAAGATTATATCGCTTCATGTTATTTTTCTATCGAGCCCTGCCACCCTGTAATCCAAACAATTTTTTGTATAGGCAATAGACAAGTTCTGTCCGCAGACGAGTAATGATCGGTAATGGGATTATAAAAGAGTGCGCATATTAAGATATAAGCAGGGGGGAGGAGTGAATGCCACATTGTGTGACTACGAGTCATCCGGCAGCTCCGAGAAGAGCCCTATCCGCATACGATGAGACTGGCATGAGTTAGTGTACCGTATGCGGGACAAAAGAAGCAAGAATAAGGGGTAGAGGAAGAGAGTAACTCACGATTGGTAACTTGGGTATAACAACGCCTAATGTTGCTAGGAAATTGATGAGGAAATAGGTCAAGTCGTAGTGTGTGTAGTGAGTGCTGAGCAGAAACAGAATGATAGGCACGCTGAGCAAGAATTTTTTTGAAGGGGTGTATTGATCGCCGTTGTCGATTTGTTCCCACATATTCAGGTTATCGTAGGCGCCAGCATTGAACTCAAAAGGAATCCCCCGCACCCAGTGGAACATGATAAAGGTGACGAACATATAGGTGATGTTGGTGAGCGTCCATGACGTCTCCTGAGATACGCCCGGAATGATATCGTAGAAGATTTTCAGCGCAGCTATCAGAACAAAATGGATCGTCCAAGCTCCTGTTATACGTTAGAATACGCCTCAATAACAATACTGTCTAGCAAGAACCTACCCTTGGCATTCACCCAGTTGGCATTGAGGTTCGGCAATGCTGCCTGGTCGCTCATCTGCTCATTTGACTCCGGGGGTTCCTGGTATATGATGCTGCTCGATCTCCTCCGCCTGCCGCCTTTTGCTTGGCTCATTGTCTTGGAATCGGGCGACGACCTGCCGGAGCCTCCGTCGACGTCCGGTGGAAAGGAGATAGTTCGGGGGATGAGTAAGGACGACAGTTTGGCGGTATTGACGGGGGTTCAGCGGGAGAGGAAGACAGGTATTGGGTACAATGAGTACCGAGATTATACAACAGGAAGCGAGGCTTCGATGATGTCCGCGCAGACTGACAGCTGAGTATCTACTGCGGCGTGAAGCACAGGACAGGGTTTCCGACGTCGGTGGAGCAGTGTCCGTGGGAGGCGCGAGGAGAGGTGGGTTAAAGAGAGTCAATGGGGGATAAGGGAATAGACAGTTGAGCGACTATATAGCAAGCGAGGAAGAAAAAAAGAAAGGAAAAATGGAGGGAAGTATCAAGGTCGCGGTTGGCGTGGTTGTGGTCAAACTTACGAAACAGCTGGCGACTGCGTGACAGTGCCCAGGCTAAGTAACACTGTGACAGTAATACTAATAGTGCTGGTAAAGTGCTCGGCGGTCCGTATCGGGGCTAGCGCGGCGGAACTCGGGGTGCAAACAAGCAAAACAAAAAGGCGCCTGCGTTTTCTTCCTCGCCACAACTACTGTCTATATGCTACAGAGCTGCTGGCCTTGTCAGGAGAACCAGACACTCTGTTTTCTCTTCTGCAGTGTATCTGCCATCAAGTCTTGCCAAGTCGCGAGCGATAATTGCCAAGTCCCGCACCGTTGGCTAAACCAGTCAAGATCTTTACTGCATAATTTTTGGAAGCTTGGAAGCGCCCAAGATGCTGCTGATTTGAAGCACTGGTTTCTTATACCCCCTCGTTTCGTATCAGACTGAAAGAAACAGATTGCGTCAATCACCGACATGCCAGACAGCTCCGACGACGAGCGTGACTCGCGCACTGCCGCCGCAGGAAAGAAGTCGCAGAATACCAATAACGGCACAGAGAAGAATCTACATGTCGAGCCAGATGAGGCTACATCGTCAGCAGAATCGCACTCATCGGAAAGCGAGAGTAACTCGGCAGACAACCACAAAAAGTCCGCTAAGAGCAATGCGCCGACCATCAATTGGAACCAAGGAAGTCGCAATGCCATTCGCACAACCCTTGGAGGAAGAAGTACCCTTCCAAATCCCACCAAACCCAAGTCGGCTTTTGATTCGGTCAATGATAAATACTTTCGAAGTCGGAGCGCTTCCATATCAAGTGATGAAGGAAAGGAGCATGGCTCTGCAAAAAATTCGGATAGAGATGGCTACACAAACGGCCAATCAAAGACCTACTTTGTCGATGACTCCGATGCCTCAGAGAGTGGAGAGGTTTCCGAAGGCAGCGAATCCTTGATGCTAAATCTTAGGAAGCAGGGCGACGACAATAGTGATCTTGCTCAAGCTCAGGTCGATGGTGCTACGGATTCAAAACCTCTTTTCGTCATCGACTCAACTCCGAATCCCGCATATACCCCCGGTAAAATACCTCTAGGAGGCGCAGTAGGATCTACTCATCTCTCTGAAGTGGACGACTCGGATGGCGCCATTTCTCAGACCGCAGCTGCGCAGCTCCCACCACAATCAAAGGCCGAGGCTTTCGCGGAGTTTTCTGCAAGATACAAATCGGCACCCGCCGTACTTGCGGATCTAAAACCCAAGGACCTTGAAATCCAAGCGCGGCATTTTTTTATTGATAGTAGCATTCACGATCTCGATTTGTCGATGCCGATTTCCTGCACCGAATGCCTACAAGAGGGTCATCTTGCTCTTGTCTGTCCGTCGAGAGAATGCAAGAATTGCGGGGAGTGGAATTTACATGAAGAACAGTTCTGCCCAACAGTAAGACGATGCCAAAAGTGTCGAGAAGTTGGCCATGATCTTAAAGATTGCAAATCCCTTCTGAAATCTTCTGCTGCAGAAACACCGTGTGATTACTGTGGCGCTGACACTCATATAGAATATGAATGTGACAAGATGTGGAAATTTCCCAGGCTAGAACCTCTAGAAGGCCCCATTAAGGTGTCAATATCTTGCAGCTATTGCGCCAACAAAAATCATCTTCTGGGCGACTGTCCATTGAAAAAGATCCCTACGACATCAAGCACATTCTCGATAAAATCATACCCCCCGTCCAAGATCACCAATCTCAATGTGGTTATTGGGCCTAGAAAGGCAAATCAAATGGGAATGCAAATTCGCGGCCGTGCTAACAACTTCCAGCCCCAGCCCCAACATGATGATGATAACTCGCTTACACTTCACGGCCCTCGGACACATCAAAGACCTCAGGCAGGACGAGGAAAAATCCAATTCCAAAGTGGCATTGGCCAGGATCGCAATTTCAATGGAGGGCCTCCTCTTCCCCGTGAAACTCCTCCACCCGGACCCCCACCGTTTCAGCCTAGGGATTACAGAGACCGGGATCAAGGCTATTATCCACGACCGCGTTCGCGATCTCCTAGGCTTCCACCAAAACCGCCTACTGCACCTCCGAAAGGCCGGGGGCCTCCATCATGGTCCGGTGGAGGAGCCAGGGGTCGTGGTCGCGGAAGAGGACGCGACCAGTATCGCCCAGGTAGGCCTTGATATCCCGTAAAATTATCGTTAGACTTTTGCATTAGTGGTTTATACCCTCATTTCCGGCGTTATACTGTATAAATCTGGACATTTTAGCCATTCCCAAGTTTCGTGGCATCGTTGATGACATTGTAAAACTGTATGTAAATGTATGCGAGACTATCATGATTGTATATGTAACGGCGAGTTGAGACGTGGAGGTGTTTCGAAGCCTCAAAAAGACAATCAGAAAATTCTAAATCTATTTTTACAACGCGCTGTCGTAATCACCAGAATTATCCCCCACAAACCCATTCTCTAGAATGCCGATAAGATCATCTAGTCTTGAAATAGTCAGATCTGTGTGTTGGTGGTCCTTGAGATGTGCATTATGCTCGTTCACAAGTAGCACTGTGGCTGCACCGGCTGTATGACCCGCGGTCATATCATCAATACTATCACCAACCTATCTGAGATTAATAGTTTATCAAACTAAACGAGGGAAGCGTCATATACCATAATCATGCTCTCTGCCCGGTTGCCCAGTCCCCATTGACGTCCAATATGCAGAATACCTGCAGGCTCTGGCTTGGGCAGGAGATCAGGCGTGTCACGAGTAATAATTGGTTCAAAGATGTGCTTGGGCAGGTGGTTCTGCAAGAGATGTGTCACAGGCGCTCTGAACGATTACCATTAGATCTTTCCATCTAAGTGATTGGGCGAAGATGTTTAGAGACTCAACTTACTCAAAGTTCCTCGTGCATAGCGCCCGACGCACATTCTTTCTTTCAAGATAGTCCATCAACTGTGCAAGACCAGGTTGAGGCTGCTGGGCGAGCATCGCTTCGCGCTCCACAGCCTGGATTTTGGAGGCCGCCTCGGTACGTGCTTGTTCAGTGGGGAGACCGCGAATATGCTCGAGAATATCGACCGAGCGGTCAATTCCCAGCGCGGCGCTTATCAGAGGATGATAGTCAATACTAATGTCATCTACATCTGTTCTACCATTACCGAACTTACCGCATTTGAGCAAACATATAGTTCTGTGGTAAGCTATTGCAATGCCATTAACATTTACTAGTGTGACTCCATATTACAATGCAGCGAAGCTTACCAAAGCGTGCCATCAACGTCAAAGACGATACCTTGCAGTTGTTTCTCAACACCGGAGTTTGCATGTGAGTCCTCTTTCAACGGCGCGAATTTGCGGGGCCGTGGAGGGGGGCTTTGTATGATTGATGCCATGTTGCGTGGAGTGTGCGAGAGCCGTGGCAAAGATGCAAGTGTCCGAGGCCGCGAGATCGCAATAGCCATAGATCACAACGGCCAATACAAGTGTGGAAGAGGATGATGTACAAGGACGATGAAGGAGAGAGCGATACGCTAGAACGCCGTTCGGCCGATGATCCTCAGGCCCCCACCTTTCCTAGTTCGGTAATGAACTTACTTGTGCCTCAGGCGTGCACGAATAGAGGCTGGACGACGAAGTGAGAGTATTTTCATGAAGATGCAAGATGTAAGGTCGCTTACTTACTCATAGGTGGTGCCTCAGGCGCGCATGGCCGCTCCTTCCTTCTGTCTCCCTCTTTCCCTTCAAGCAGGCGAGAATGTTCCATCGTTTACACCACTTCCAGATACATTGGACCATTATACTGACAACTATGATATCAAACACCATTAGATGCTATTTGGGTGGCGAGATCCAGCTCGTTCATCTAAACGCAAGCTCATTAAAGCTCTTCTCACTTGTCGCATACACCACATACTTACTCCTCCTACGACTCCTATCCGCCTTGATCTGCGTTGTCAGCAAAACTCCAAGATGCTTCATGGTTCATATTGATACCACGGAGATTCGCATTGTCGGGTTAGTCGTATCAATTCTCCGAATGCTCCCGGGTAAGACACAGCAGACGCCCTTGAGCGCCGCAAATCGCCGCGGTCGTTTATCAGGAAATGGAGACTACATAGTTCCAGTCGAAGGGCTTGCTGACAACATGATTATGCCTCGGGAAAGCTCATTAGATTTCGATCGTCCGTCAGAATCGTCGTTTCGCCGACTAAACGCCAGTTCAATCGCATACCGCCCACAGGCTCCTCGACCTCCTTATCGACGAGGATTTGAGAATATGAGACCGTCGTTAATACGTACTACTCAACTACGAACAGACACTCAGCAGAGTTTTGCTATACCATTCAGCCTTGACGGAACTGTCTCTCCCCCTCTCTTTGACCCAATCCCACGAGTTCCTAACCCGCCAATGCCTGTTTTCATCGCTCGCCATATTTCAGTCAGTGATTCAATCTATTCATCAAGGTCTGTTGGGCTCCCGGGACGTCGGTATCGCTCAACAAGCACTAGCTTTGGTGGAGAAAAATCTCCTGCCAATGTTGAGTCTTATACCAGTGTTCTCCCCAATCCAGCATTTGCCGACTCCGACAGCCCCTATCTATCTTCCGAGACTAAAAAAGTGCAGTCTGACAACGACATTCAAAAAGCGAACTTTAGTAATGCTTCAACATTTCCCGGACATTTTCCTATCAGTGAAGATCTCGAATACGGCTCTCTAACAACAGTCGCACAACATTACTTTTCCTCAAGAAACGAAAGACCAAAAATAATCAGGCCGTTGTCTGCACCGGTGGTTCGCACGTCATGAAAAGAAAAATATTTCAACAGTATCAATCATAGGGACTAGTGGGATTACATTCATTTTCTGTTCTTTACTTATTGTTATTACCTAACACGTTATTCAAATCAACATTATCAATCGGTACCGGCATCAAACATTCGATATTGATAACCCAATTAAGCCTCCTCCGCATGAATAGCGTGTGAGTTGTATCCCATTGCTTTAACAATAATCTTTGCACTTTCCAACACTCGCTGCCTACTCCTCCCATACGTATCCCTCCCCGCAAATGCACTATGTGTATCATCAAACTCCAAATCCTTAATAGCATCCCATATCTTGAGAATCTCGTCTGGTGGAAGCGGTATCTGCATCATATCAGCACACCATGACTTCAAGATATAAACTTTATAACCCACCAAATTAGGATAACTCCACATAAACGAAAACGACGCTGTTCCAAGCGGTCTATCAATATGATATACCCCGGAAGGTACCACATATATCGAATCAGCAATTAACAACTTCCGCATTGCTGGCCAGTAAAAAACTGACGAGCCGGGAAAATGGCCACCTGTTTTGACGCATAGAAATTCACTCTGCTTGTCCTCACCACTGCTATCTCCAGTAGTTGACGAGGAGGAAGAAGGAGAGAAAGCTTTTCGGTGTCCACTCCAAATCACCATTTTACTAGTATCGTCAGACCGACGCATAATCCATTCCTCGTCCTCTGCGGAGATATACACCGGACAACCGAAAGCCTCCGCCCAGTGAAGACAGGTGCTAAAGTAATGCGGATGGGAAATCACAATAGCGTGTAAAGTGCCATAGCTCTTTATTGTGGCTACCGTCTCGTCGTCAAGATAGGTGATGCAATCCCAGAGGATGTTTCCATTTGGCGAAATGCATAGAAGCGCGCGCTGGCCGATTGCGACTTGGGGGGTAGTCTGGATGCTGATTAATTGACGACAGCTAATGGTGTTACCACCACTATTTGCGGGGGCGTTTTGAATAACAGGCGTGAATGTGTTCTTGTACTTTCCAGACTCGCGCATGCAGCGTAGCGTGGTCCAGCATTGTCTATATACGTCTTAGCCATATCGAGATGATGAGACGGCGGAAATGGATAACGGAATAGAGGTCAAACCCAGCTGGCCCGACATATTGACGAGGATCATCGCAGACAGGGCATGTCTTGCGCTCTGATTCCAGAGTTTCAGTATATTGCACGCCGCATGTCACACAAATCAGGAAATCGAGGGGATCCGTCATTACGATGTTGATTGTTTGACAGTTGATGGATTCCGTATCGACGGAGTGAATAGGCTGAAAATTTTTTTGGTTATATACGCATAATATCCAAGTATCCTGATAGATTTGAGATTGCCACAAGCCAAATCGGATATGGAACTTTGCATCGATGATGTATGCTGATTGACGCCTACCCCACTTTTGATCTTGTAAAGCTGGCCAGGCAATACCCGTACGCGTAAACAAAATAGCATCGATTGATGGAAATGTATTGCAATATGAATTTGATCTTGTGAAGAGTCTTAATTTAGGATGGTTCTTCTTCAAGAGTTCTCCAAGAGAGATGAAAAAGCTAGCTAGATACATGCCTGGGACAATCAAATAACCCCCATATTTTGCGCAAAAAAATACATGTAAAACAGATACACAGCTCCCATGGTAAAAACCCCCTATTCCAATGTTCACCCGCCATGTCACCTTCATTATCAACTCGCAAAAATGTTAAAAATTTTGACAGCTGAATGAATTGAGAATTTTCAAGAACTCCTCGCTCTATGCAGAGACAGATACAAGTTCATTGACCGAAAAGCTCCGAGGTCCACCCGAGCATATTGAAGATTTATGTGGCCACAAATGAAAAAGAAACTAACAAATAACAAGAAAATAATATATCATTGGATTTTTGCCGGAAAAAAAAGTTGCTCAATAGTCGTCATCGTCGTAGTCGATTTGGTTCGGGCTGCCACGGTATCGAGTGCGCTTGATGTTGCTGGGACTCTGCTGTCCGGCACTGGTGATGGGTCGTGGTCCAGTAGGCTTTCGCTGAGGGGGCTGGCTGCTAGGTGAATACCTAGCGTTGGAATTGCGAGAGCTAAATCGATCTGTGTGGGTTGATCTCTCGTCTTCCTCCTTAATCTTGGGTGGTCGCTGAGGCACCAATGGTCCTGCGTCCTTGACTTTGGGAGGACGCGGCGGTCCAGTCATAGAGCTCACCTCGGAATATCCCAAGTCGGAAATTGGTGTACGGCGAGCACCACCACCGCTATATCTATTGGGGTTGCCACTAATACGGGAGAGACTGGACTGAGATCCCCATCTTTCAGAAGTAGGGGAGTTTGGTGCATAGTCCTGGGCTTGAAACTCGAGATGGTTCTGGTAGCGATCTGTTGGGCCTTTTTGTGGCTGAGGGTGCTGGAGATTGAAACTGTCTCGATGAGCTTTGTACACGGGTCCTTCGGATATTTGTGATGGGACTAGTGGCGATGGCGGACGGTTTTCCTCTTGTTGATCTTCAAGAGGGGTATCGGAGCGAAGCCGGTCATCGCCCTGAGCATCATAGAAGTCAGCGTTGTACGCATCATGATTTGCAAGGTCTGATCCAGATCGTGATACTCCAGACAACGGGCGTTCTTTTCGAGTTGGTTGGATGCTGTTGCGGATACCTTCGCCCACCGATGAAGCGGTGGTCTTGGACCATCTTGAGATTTTGAAAAAGGAAGAGCTACTAGATTTGTGCTTGCGTGTCTTCTCATCTGACTTTCGCGGAGTAGTCTCCTGACTCAAGGCACCAGTGGGAACGGGTTTACGTGGCGGTGTACCCAGAGGTTCAGAGAGGCCACGCTCGTGATGAGCTGGGACTCGATCATCGTAAGGCACTTCTCTATCCAAAAGTGGTTGTTCATAAGACTCGATTTCCTCATCACCTTCAGGAACAGTGCTGATGCGATTTTCCGACGCTCGGCGAGTGCTCATAGGTCGCGTATCCGCTAACGGGCGTGACGAATTTGACGTGAACTCGGATTGATCTCCTGGGGAACCAGTGCCTGCTTGGCCCTCCGGCTCATATCCATCTGGATTGAAAGCTCCCTGACCATTGGAGTTGATACTGGCGGGCCCAGTACCGGGCGCATGACCAACACTTCGTCCTTCTTGAGCTGCTCTTAGGGCTTCTACTTCGTCGAGAAGTTGCTCCAACATGTCCTCGATTTTTGTCAAGTCGTTAGAAGATTTCATGCTGAGACTCTTGAGGGCCCTTCTGAAAACATTCTTGCGTTTCGCTTGGATATCGGCACCATAATCAGCTGTGGCGAGCTGGCGGTCAGATCTAGATGTAGGTAATGGGCGGGGGCCGCCAATAGCTCGAGTACGTTCGTGTTGTTTTTCGTTGGCTTGAATGAGCAACTCATCCTGCTGAGCGATGTATTTCTTCATTCCTTCGAAGGAGTTACGCATTTCAGCTGCGCTTCTGACAAGGGTTACTAAGATTTCAGTGTCTCGGGCATTGCGTTGTGCGTCTCGGACAGTGAGCTAAGCTGGTTAGTATATATATATATATTATAAAAGGTGATCATTAGGAATACTCACATGATTCATCAAAGCAATAATATCCTTTGATTCAATGCTGTCAATACCTCGGCCTGTGGCACTGTCGTAGATAGGAGATGCTATGCCGTGCGAATACCCGCTGAAATGGCGTTGGTGACTAGAACCGATAAAAGGGTCTTCGTTTAAGTCATCGTTGTCGAAAAGAAGTGGCGGTTTGGTATGATCGAGAGTGCTAAACTTAGTGTGAGGCTCCGGTGTTGCAACACTGGGAGACATTGGGTTGGCGGCGGAGATATAACCTTCGTCTTTCGCGCCAGGAGGAGTTGAGAAAATATGACCATCCATATAAGGCTGACCATATGGTTGATCATAGCTTTTTGAATGCTGTGCCGCCGCCAGGCCCAGCCCAACTCCTAACGCTCCCGTAAGAGGAGCAGCAGCACGACCATCATGTCCAGGAGACAGCTGAACTTCTCTGTTTTCGGGAGTAGGATCATACGGCCAATGGTCACGGTTTTCATGAGACACACCCCCGATCGGACCTTGAATGAAAGACGGGTTGGTCATGATTTCCTCCTCATCTTCCTGGTATCGATCGTCTTCAGGCACATGTTCAAATTCATTATCATCCTTCACGATAGTAGTGTCAAGAGGATATTGTTCGTCATGTTCTACTGCCTCTTCTGATTGGGTGACGCTTTGTGGAGGCGAGGCAGCGCCGAGTCGCTTGGTGAAAGATTTCTCGTCGTGGGCATTAATGTCATATTCGTGTTTCAGAGGGCTTCCTCTGTGCGAGCTAGCTGGTCGGCTATTATTTATTCCTTCCATGAAACTTCCATCTACAGAACGGTTCAGAGAGTCTGCCTGGGAACGAGGTTGAGAGAGGCCAGACTTGTTGTCTAGTACGGAAGGGTCCAAAAGCGAAGCCACCGCAGATTCCACAGGATTACCTATGAGAAACTCTGGGCTAGCACCAACTCCCACTGTGAGCCTTCTGGGGGAGTCGGCATTTTCCAAGTGTGTTTCCTCGTCAGTAAAGCTAGCATCAACTCTTGAGTCCCCAAAATGGACAACATGGTGATCTTGATCCCAGTTTCCCTCGTGATCACCCTCCAGTGCTACTGTTGTTTCGTAGCCTAATTCCATACCAGGTTCGTCATGTTGCCGAAGGATTTCACTTTGGCTCTCCAGACTAACACCCTCAGGGCGCGTAGACCTGGCTAACTCAGTACTAGGCGCAGATGATAAGGATTCGATGGAATATCTACGGTCCTCCAGCTCATTCTCTTTATCATGTTCTGTGAGATGCGTATCATGCAGATCTTGGTCACTAGCAACACTTTGAATTGGGCTGAGGGAACGAGTCCGGTGCATATCATCATCTGGGCCTAACATATCGTGGTCTGGGTGATGACCAAGTAGATTTTCTGCTGCCGCCGCGGCGATGGCTCCAGCAGCACCTTCAAGTACAACATGGCCAAAAGGAGATTCCGTTCTGTTCTGTATCTCACGATCACTGTATGGAGAGGACAACCGGCGCTGGTTGCCTAGTGGAGTGCGAGGTGGAGTAGCTAACGACGGAGAACCCTTGTCGCGTGAAGAGCCTCGAATCAGTTCCTGTACGTGGCGTGGCGTTGGCGTTTCCGTATCAGCAGTTCTCTGGGAGAGGATCGAATCACGAGTCAATTCGGTATCAATATCACTGCGGAACGGCATTGGTGGAACATTGTGTTTGTTGAAAATCAACTCTGTCTCAGAATCATGGAGGCTTGCGCTTCTGCTGCTTCCCTTGGAAGACCTTCGCCTCCTCGACTTCTTGCCGAGGCTAGATTTAGAATCATGATGTTTGAGGGCGGCGGATGTCAGGACGCTGCCGACAATTCCTGCAGCAGCAGCTTCTCTGAGGCCCTTGCTTCTCTGGCGCCGAATCATATCATGTTCTGAGTATGCCCGCTGGTTTTCTGGCCGTGAGCCTTTACGGATCCGAATAGTGCTCTCAGGTGAAGCGGGGGTTTCTTTATCTCGTCGGCGTTCCTTGTGGCGTCTCCTCCGCTCTTCTGGGGTGACCGTTTCTTCATTACTCGCATCAACTGCGATGGTACTTCGACTGACGTCAGGGGCACTTGAATGCTTGGACAAACGTCGTTTGATGTCGTCTTTCGAAGTAGAAGCACTCGCGCCTATATCACGCTCGAACTTGGATTTATTCGTGCCAGCCGTCTGGTCTTTCTTCAGTTCCTTGAGCTCGGGAAGAATCAGTCGTCGAATCGCATCTTCAACGGTCTCTAAGAACTTGGTGTTGTTCAGTGATGATCTGGATGTGCCAGAGCGGAAGGAAACGGCGTCTCCTGACTTGTGGTGAGATGAAACATTCGAACCACTCAAGAGGCTCGACTCAACACTGGGTTGTTCCTCTCCGCGGTATTTGTGAGAGCGCTTCTTCAAATCGCCTGCATCAGCTTCAATCTCTTTGCCAGAATGCTTGCGACCACCGCTAGAAACGTCGCCGGCATTCAACTTTTGAGCAACTTTATACGCAATTCGCTCCCGACTGAGACTGCGACTCCTGCGTCGCGATGGAGCTTTGAGAAGGTCCACCTCGGCCGCACCTGAAGCCTTGTCTAAGCTTAGGCTGCGTTTGCGTCGCGGCACACCGGACACCATTGATCCGTCTAGCATGCTATCGGCTGGCATGGAAGAAATCTCTGAGGTTGGCTGGATATATCGCTCGTTGGACAGCTCGCTGCCTTGATCGCGCTCGACAAACTCTATTTCCAGTGGCCGTCCGTCTTGGTCGTCGTCAGTGATGCTCTGGTCGTCGTTAGTCTCAGCAGGTGCTCTTTGTTTTGACGGCGTGCTAAGAGATATGCGTCGAGTATAACTTCGCTTGCTGCCACTGTCCCGGATCTGAATTGTATCATTCTGATCTCGAGACCTTCTGCTGCCAGACGGGATCACCTTTACTCGAACGCTTGGTCGTGAGCTAAGGCGAGAGGAATTTTTCCCGCCTCCAAAATACTCGATGAGAAGAGAAGTCTGCGACTGGTGGTTTGTGCGCGACAGCTTAGAAGACTCATCTTCATCCTTTTTGTGAGACCGACGTCTTGTAGAAATTGTGATGGGGCTTCCGTCGTCCGGAATAGAATAGGAAGATTTGTCGGTGCGTCGAGAGACGTCGGTGGCCAGGTCGGTGCCCGTCATACTGCTGCTAGTATCGAGGATTGATTCGGTAGGAGCAGGAAGTAGAGGACGGCGGGAATTCACACCCATTGTGGTATTCGCACTTAGCAAGAGGATTGCATAATTATCACAGGCGAGCTAGGAAGCACATCTAACGGTCCAAGATCGCAACTGTTGTGTCGGCAGATGCGGTGTGGCCGAGCTGACCGACAATCCTTCTGGATATTCAATACAGAATGAATACCTACAGTTTTTGTTAGCGAGTATATCGTCAACGAGTAGTGGACTGCCAAGGCGTAGGCAATTCTTGTCGCGGCCCGTAGATGGCTGAAGTGGCTGTCTTGAGGACCTCGGCCACCGCAGTATCTATCCACTAGGGACCACGGCGATAGGGCAGCCAGGAGAGCGAGGGACAGGAAATAGGAGAGGGGCGCACTGTACCAATGCAAAGCTGGAATTCTGTTAGAAGATAGAAAGTAATTAACACAGGAATAAGAAGAAAGATAAACGGTCGAGGATACAAGAGAAGGAGGATAGGAAGGAGAAGAATTAATTAAGACAAGCAGCGACAAACGGGGCAGGCGATAAGGAGGCTGGGGACTGGCTCTGGGATCGCTGGCGCCGGGCGGCTGGGCCGAGCCTTCCCGCCAGTCAACTTCGCTCTTTCCACGGACACAAAAGAGGGGGCTGGTGTTTCTATGCTTTTACAGCTTCCTGTTCTTTTCTGTTCTGTTCGTCGACGGTTAATCATTAATCATACATGTGAATTCTTTTCTCTACTGTGCGGGTCGAGTCTCTTTTTGCAGAGATGTCGTTGATTTCGCCTCCGACCAAGCTGGACCTGCAGTGAACCGCCATCATCAATAATGATGTTGGCGCAACGGAGCTCAAAACGAACCCGCGAACTAGTTGCCTTCATCAACTGTGATGTCCATTCAATTGTCAGCACCTCTGGGAATTTTCCATCCGTCATTCATCATTAATGCTCAATCCTGACCCCGTGAAGCAGGAAACCCAACCTCCAAGTCGCAGCGAAAGACCATCGCAGCTAAGGCGTCACCCCAGCGACGCCGCGCTCTATTGGCAGTGGTGGGGCCGCTAGTCATGCTGCTGCGTCGCAGTGATGAGTTGTTCAACACCACCATCCCCGACTAGAACGCCGATTTGCCTTGCCATTGGGCGCGCTCGACTGCCAGGAAAAGCACACGGTGTCTTGCAACAGGCCACACTGGCTCGCTGAGCAACATCACACCGACCTGGTGTCGCCACGACATCGGCGTTGTGATCCATCATGCATTTTCAGCCGCATCACATAGCCTTGCTTTCTGACTGGACCAGCCACACTGCGCCACGCCGATGAACAGGCAGAACCAAAAATGATATAAACATTATTCTCTATCCATTTATACTTGTCAATAAGGTCGTTGTCGTCTTTTATCGGGATGGCATATCGCGAGGCTCTTCTGTAGGGCTAACCTTGAAGTGCTGAACTTGACAGATACTGATCATTCGATGCTGGCAACCCATGCTGTTATGGTATCAATGCATTAGATGAGCCCATGCGTCGTGAAACGTTAATCACAGTAGTTCGGTGCGTCCAACAACTAAACTTCTTGCGTGGGCGATGAGATGCCACCTATGTCGACTGAGTAGTTGATGATTCCTGCATGTATCCGTTGGGATCATTGCTGGTCAATGCTGGGTGGACATCAATTGAAAATCCTCTCACTAGCCTATGTCAATTATTGATTGGCATAAATATGAAATCCATGATAAACATGTCAATGTTTGATGTTACATTGTATAACATTGAATGACTGGGTAGGTAACACAATTGTAATCACCAACTATGCTCATTTTACGAACCAGAGCGATGCGGACTGGATCCCCCAACGTCACATTTTCAAATAGAAATCCAGTGACGATTACATATGCGTACGTCTATTAAAATTGGATCAACACTACTGAAATATCTATATAGTGAGACACATCTTGAGCTAGACAATGACAACGTAGCTGTACATTTACTGGCTTTTATGTTAGATCCGCACATTCAACTGTATTCGGATGCAGATGGAACCTCCAATTATACAAGATCAGTCGTGGAGTTGTAGAAAGTATAACCAGGACATTTACTTATTTTGTATAGGATAGTAATCATTCAGCTGACGAAAGGCGGTAATGATACAGTTTGCTAATCCCACTTTGCACAGTGGATAATATTGGTAGGAGGATTTGGAGACACCGAGTACCTCCGGCAAGAGTTGGTGAGACATTTTGAACCAGGTAATAAGATAAAGATTACTGTCCCAAATAGTCTGTGAGTGCTCTCATCGTTTATATGTTTCTCTACGTTAAATGTTTCTTCCCGTGAATGGTAAGCGAATCAGCTATTGTTCGTGGCGCTGCACTGATAGGACTGCAAGGCATTCGTCCGAAGACAAGGAGATTTCGACGACACTATGGATTAGCAAGGCGAGTTCTATTCCGTGAAGGGATTGATCCAGATGACTGTACCGGTCATTTATTCGTTCAGCATTGAAAAATGGGCGCAAGGAATAATGAAGTAGATACTTACCAAGTTACTATATGGGTTACTACTAGGTATCGAGCAATAGTGTTGTTCGTTCTGTTGATTGATTATTAGGGCGAGAAAATTGTCGACAATTATCATTCGAATCCCCACGAGTTGGGCATTTCTCACCGGGTTGGCGATACATTGAAGAAGCCATTAACGTTATACTCTCCTGAATTATCTGAAGCCCCGAAAGATGGTCTAGAGGCGGTACGTGCCCATCACCTTCTCTCGATAGTTTTAATTTTTTATTTCTGTCCTACGTGCCAGATTTCTTCATTGAAAAAAGGGAGAATCTAATTGGCGCTTAAAGTTGTGGATAAAATCGCAACGCTGCAAGTAGACTTCACTCAAATTGATCTGGGGCCATTTGAAAGAAGAAAACGCGGCAAAGAGGAATACATCTTGCTCTAATACTCTGTTCAAGTCATTTTTGGTGCCGAAGAAGGGTGTTGAAATTTCAGGTTGTTACGGAAGACGCAGTTATTGGATCTATTGATGTTCAATTTACACCCCAAAAAGATATACGCGAATACCGCACTCGTTGCGGCTTTTTCTTACTAGCATAATATTTTGTCATATTATTGGAAGTGGGATGGCAATGAATATGTTGTTGATTCTCTTCTATTATACCTCAAATCCAAATACAGAAGCCAGGATGACATTTAATAACATTTAACATTGAAATATTTAGATCCAGTCATCTACAATTCTCACACTCTTTTTATCCATTGCCGCGCTATAACCCCAGCAGGAGTCCACGTGATGATCCCTTGCAGTAATATAGTAATCTTGAAGTAATAGAGTCCCTTTAGTCGTCTGGTTATGCATTGTTCTAGGCCACCGAGTGCTAGTTCCTCGTTCATCATATATATTCAGAAGTAATCATCCAATACTCATCTATGGACAGAGACAATTGTATCAAAAATAAATCTGTTTTCGAAATGCTACCTGGAGAAGGGGTTTTTGGGTCTATCGTGAACTTCTCATAGCAATCCTGCAGACTCCTGATCAGGCAATACTAAACAGTCCTCGTTTTACAGTTTCAACTTTCATCTCTCTTTTGTAATCGATCTGCACGTGCCATCATTCTAGAAAATTTAAATTGATCGATTCGTCATTGTATGGCTCGCAAGGGAAAAAGGTAAGTCACGGTGCATATTTGCACGTATTAGACATAAAGACAGTTTACTCGCTCAGAGCATGTGAATTCGTCCATAATCGTTCCGAAATGATCAGCTCGGTAATTTAAAATTAAAAGTAGAAGTCATGTAGGACACAGTTGTGTGAAAATTTAGTATAAGTAATGTACTAGTAAAGTTCATGTGAGAATTCTCATGATCGGCGGGCTCACGTCATAGGTCCCGGGGGGGGGGGGGGGAATCGACACGGACATCTGGAACAGCGATCAATAGCTGATCTCTACTCTGAGACACTGCTAACAATGACATTCAGGGTCATAGTAAATAATAGACATCCAGCCGATGTGTCTCGGCATTGTGTTTGACATTTTTAATAACAGTATCGTATTTAGAAGAATATTAATAGCGGATCTTGAGACATCACTGCGGCCAAGATAATACTAATCATGGAGACTCGTAGCACATTGCGGGACAGGTGACACATCAGCTGAATGAGATGCCTAAGATTGCAAGATCTGGATCACTGGATCAGGGCTGGCGAGGAGCGAATACCAGGGCGGTAAAATCCAAAGAGAGTTAGGAGGGAGGTGGCTGTGCGCAAACCAGCGAGTCTGACAAAGCCTTACACCGTGCACGCAGTTCGTGGGTCTGAGTCTGGGAGCCAGACGCCCGTATATACTATTACTATTAAGTCGTTAAGTTATCCTAAGGATCAGAGTACTCGAGCAATTATGGTAATAATAATAGCAAATAATACGAAAGAGCGCGTGGAAGATGAAGCTGTCCCGAGACACAGGCTGGTTCAGGTACGTAAACTGATCGGCGCGCCAAACCCCAAGGAGGGCCCTGGCCCACTTGGGGCGCCTGGCTGCGGTGGGTCGGCTCAGTCTCTCTGCAGTACGCGCGTTGCCACTGTGTGTATATATTATTATTAGATATTCACAATTCGTGTATTCATAAACAGTCCTAAAGCACTCATTCAGCCCTCTGAAGACTCTGATCTCTCTTCGATTTCTTCCGCAGTTCCCAGTGCAGCCAGGCACTGAGTAGTGGCTCGTGAGTACGGAGAAATACGCCTGTTCTGCGTGGCTAGCCAATCAGTAGCCCTGAATCCCCCTGTCACGGCACTGCGACACCCCTCAGTGGTCATCCCGGCCCCCTCCATACCGCATCAGGCTAGGTCACTGTTTCAGCGAGCCAATCCACGGCGCTTCGGATTCTAGGGAGTCTTACGCCTAGTCCTATAATAGTTAGCATTGGCGCAGTCAGCATATCAGCGTGCCCACCGCGAGGCACCGACGGGTCCCATCGCATTGGCGCCTGACTGCTAAGGCTGCAACTCAACCCCCGGCCGGCCACCCCCTTCCAGGCCCTCCACCTGCCTCAACTCCATTCATTCCTCCATCTGTCAAGTATCTCTCTCAAGCCCGTCTGTCCACCGACCCTTGCAAGGACAGACTGCTCCTCGACACTCGTTTCTTCGTCGTCTACCTGCTATCGCCTTTCATTGTGTTCATTTCTTTGCTGGCATTGACCTCCTTCCCTTTTCCAGCGCCCTCGTGAAATTCGTTGCCGCCTACCTACCGTTATCCCACTAGTTACATTCTTTACACCATTCGACCTCCCTACCAACTCTCGTCATCAATACAAACCAAAATAGACCATAGAGTCTCTCGCCGATCGCTCGCTCTTCCTCGCCCCCCCCGTTGACCCTCGCTTCGCCTGCGTCGCCGACTGTGTCGCAATCCCCGGTTGGAGCAAAGGGGGAATCTATCAGCCACCTCAACCTTACTTTGGAGTTCTGACGGATCTCCATGCTGCACTTGCGCAGATAGGGAGAAGAGGAACCAGTCCATAATTGATTGCTACCGAAGGAGGAACTCTCCTCCCAAAAACATCGCCCTGAGCGTAATATTTCGACACAGGACTTCCGCATTCGGCCACTACCACGTCACCCCGGCACTCTGGAGTGCCTGTTGCAACGTCACTGCCGCTTTTACAAAACACCCGTTCTCGCACCACTACCGTTCGTGATCTTTTTACATTTTTGCTGCTTTGTACAGTCTTCAGTATAGCTCTCAAGATGCGGTGGTCAATAGTTTTACCCTACCTCTGTGCCCTCGTCTCTTTCTCGCCGCTGGCCTCGGCCATCCGGCTCCTTCAATCCTCCTCGCTCAATCAATGCATGGAAAATTCTAATTTCACCGCCTCACTTTTCAACGTCGTCTTTACCCCCGACAACAGAACCGTACAGCTTGATATCGATGGATTTTCGTCCATCTCCGGAAATGTCACTGCCGAATTAATAGTCACCGCCTACGGTTTCACGGCCGTGACGCTAGAAATGAATCCCTGCAAAATGAATATAGCCGGTCTGTGTCCTATGCAGACTGGCCAGATAAAAGTGAACCCGCCACTCACCGTGGCCCAGGACGTCGTGGATCGGATCCCTGGAATTGCCTATTCCGTTCCCGATTTAGATGGCAAAGTGCGAATCTACATCAACTCGACAGATACTGGAGCCACTATTGCTTGTCTCGAAGCAAATATGTCCAACGCTCAGACCGTCTACCAGAAAGGTGTTGAATGGACAGTGGCCATCATTGCAGGTCTCGGTCTCGTCGCCTCTGCCATTACCTCCGGTCTCGGTCACTCCAACACAGCCGCTCATGTGGCCGCCAACGCCTTGTCACTCTTTGGGTTTTTCCAAGCCCAAGCCATGATTGGCGCGACCTCCGTCCAAATGCCCCCCATCGTCCAAGCCTGGACTCAGAATTTCCAGTGGAGTATTGGAATCATTCACGTCAGTTTTATTCAAACCATTGCCACTTGGTACCAGCGCGCCACCGGCGGAACTGCCTCTAGTCTTCTCTCTTCTCTCAGTACCACCTCGGTGGAAGTTCAGAAGCGTTGGTTTGAGGACCCTATAGGTCTTACCCGCCGAGGTTTAGACTGGCTTTCGAAAAGAGACGACAGCACCAACGTTGCCAAGAGCGACACAATAGTAATTAATGGATTAACTCGTGTCGGGTTCAAAGCTAACATTGAGGTCACCAATATCTTCTTGACTGGTCTGATTTGGTTCTCCGTGTTTGTTTGCCTGGTGATGATTGGCGTTAGCGCTTTCAAAGGTATTTGCGAACTCTTGGTAAAAAATGGCAAGATGTCCAGCGACAAATTCCAAGACTTCCGTAATGGCTGGAAAGTGGTTCTGCGAGGCATTCTCTTTCGCTTGATTTTGATTGGATGGGCTCAGATGTGTGTGCTCTGCCTGTGGGAGCTTACAACTCGTGATTCGGCAGCGGAAGTTGTCCTCGCTGTCGTCATGTTCTTCTCGATGTTAGGAGTTCTCGGATGGGCATCCTTCAAAGTGATTTCGCTCGCAAGACGGTCAGTCACTATGCATAAGAACCCTGCCTATATCCTCTACTCGGATCCATCATGTTTGAACAAGTGGGGCTTCCTCTACGTCCAATATAGAGCCACTGCATACTATTTCGTTATTCCCGTGCTTCTCTATCTGCTCATCAAGGGCATGTTCATTGGATTTGGCCAAGGAAAGCCTGTTCTCCAGGCTGTTGCCTTGCTGATCGTCGAAGCTGCTTTCTTGGTAGGAGTTATGGTGCTCCGCCCATGGATGGATAAGAAGACCAATATTTTCAACATTTCCATTGCCGCTGTGAACTTTTTGAATGCTATTTTCCTCCTTGTCTTTAGCAATGTCTTCAACCAACCAGTAAGTTCTATCTTTCGACTGTTATCTTTTTGGGGGTTTGCATTCTAACTCACTCTCTAGGGCATGGTTACGGGTGTTATGGGTGTTATCTTCTTTGTAATCAATGTAGTTTTTGCTCTGGTTCTTTTGATTTTGGTCCTGATCGCTTCGATTTATGCCATTGTCTCCAAGAATCCGGATATGCGCTATCAACCCATGAGAGATGATCGGAACTCGTTTATCAAGTCTAGCACTGCGCTCAACACTGAGCTCGACGCTCTTGGCAACACAGCTCGGGGTGGTGAAATGGAACTGAAGTCCACGGCGTATCACCCAACATACGAAGATGAGCCGAATTCGTTCTCGGGTGGTAACGGTGCGAGCATAAACACCCGACCACAGTATGATGGACATAGAGCGCCACCGTCCCCCGTGGACCCATCGGTGCCATTGTTCCCGAGCCATGGACCGCCTCCGTCCTACGAACCCTATAGCCACGACCTTGGGCGAACAGCGTCCCCTGCTCGTGTGGGTGACTTTGACCCTGCATCGGCGCTAGCTGCGCACAATTTCAGACAGCAAAACAATTCAAGTCCCTGGCAACGAGGGGCTGGATATGACCACTAGGGTGGAATTTCTTTCCCACTTGCTTTGAGATGAAGACACGTCTTACAAAAAATCTTCAAGTCATTGATCCTGGCTGCCTTTCTGCGTCTTCTATTCTATATGGGTCTTGACCCTGTGTAGTTCTAACCTCAATATTTTCTTTATCTACGACAAGGTCGTTTCTGATATATACCTGGCGTTTGAGTTTCTTTTTGTGTTATACAGCATTAGCTTAACTGGCTTGGATGGATTTGTTTTATTGATTGGTTGGGGTTACCTATGATTAGAATATGTTGGCGTTGATCATTTCAATCAATTACAAATTAACTTCGAATGTGAGGTAGTCTAGAATTTCGTGTTGGTATAAATGTAGTTACCAATACATCAATGCCTGCCCTCAATTCGATTCGACTATCTAATCTAAAGGCATCAGCAGGACTGCACTGTCACCGCGGGCGAAGCATAGTTCCAGTGACCCATATGTGTGACAGGAGCGCCGAAAACGGTAGAAAACTCGGCGAGCAGTTCCTGACTGGGCTCGCTGCGCTTGAATCTGCCGATGCTGATGCTGTTGCTGATGCCGTTATTATGCTCCGCGATGGACAAAGACAACCAATACTTGATACGTAAGCCTCACAAGAACAAATGGTAGTGCAAGTCCGATTGCGGGCGCCAGCGGTCGTTCGGCGTCAGGAACATGCTCTCGAGTGAAAGGTAGAATAAGGAAAAATATCAGTACAATTATGGTGTAGCCGGCAACGTAGCATAGCACTGCGACGTCCGTCAGGGCTGAGGGAGAGGTTGACGAGCGAGCTTGTCCCGCGCCGATAATGCCGAGGACTGCGCCTACAACGACAGTGAGTTGGACAAGGAGGAAGTACTTGATCGTTACGGGTGTGGTTGTGCTGAAATTAGCTAAGTCGAGTCTGCAACGAATATCGTCAGAAGAATAACAACTTAGATCCAAAAGAGGGCATCGTACAAACGTAGCGAGGAGCAGTGGAATTAAGCCAATATGATCAAAAACCTCAGCTGTTGCCAGAAGACCGGTCGAAGTATTCGAGTACGTCAACAGCAGTAGTACGTCTCCGATTATGCGAATAAGACTTAGAGTGAATGTATAATACCACCTGTCACATTTGGGTAGGTCGCTGTCGCTAGCATGAATGTCAATCATCACTAAGCGCCATATGCTCAAAAATGCTCACCTCCCGGAACTCAGACTGAAGCCATGTCGGTTGCAGACAAAATAATGAGAGAAGCATGAGAGAAGAAGTGCCGGGACGTAGACCACAATTTGCACGACGGAGACGATCTGGTTTGCATCGAGAGTCATAGCAGAAATAAAAAACCAGCATCCTATATTATCGAGTGTGTCTTCAACTTCGAGTACCCTTTCGATACCAGAACATCAATTGAGGCAACTTCTCCCCTTCAAAACATTGGATCCGAGAGATAAGGATTGGATATCTATTTTAGCAACAAGATACCTTATATAGGGCAAACGAGGGTGCGAATACGGAGTAGAAATAGAACTTTTACTTGTTCTGGTAGGCGAAAGTCATCAACGACTTCCCTAGAAAGCAGACTCCATGCCTAGGGTATCGGAATATGTCGAATCAAATCCTTAGAGACTGGACGCAGTTAACCGCCCGAAAATGTCAGCTAGGGCTTTCGTTGCTTCTGAACGGAAAATAGCCAAGCCAAATTCATCACATTCTTTAGCGAATGTCGCCCTGGATTTATTTATGACAATATATGCTCCTTCGAGTCCTTCAGCTTGGCTCGTCCACTTGGGAAGCGCTGGGTCCAATAACCAACTATCTTTGTCCGCAGTGCTTGCACCTGTAATCGCAATCCTCTCGCATGAGCAAAAACAACCATCACTGATGAATCTTGCGCGGAAGTACTACTTAGCAACTATTGCAGAAACTGGTCATTCCTTACTATCCATCCAGCAAGCATTCAAAGATACCACACTCATGTCAATCAATCTTCTCATACTGTTCGAGGCTAGGGCGTTTCAAGGTTGATCCTCTCCCACTGACTGGACAACACATATTGAGGGCGCCGTAGACCTAATTAGACTACGTGGCCATGAGCAATTCAATTCCGCCCTTGGCTAAGCTCTTTTCCTCGACTCAATCAATAATATTCGCACTTGGTGTGCGCAACGTTGCATCGCTCTACCTGCACCTATCACTGACTTACTACAAACACACCTGCGGATTCCCCCGCTGAGTTACAGTGCGTTGGAAATTGACCTCGGAAATGGAGTTGACTGCATAATCGAGCTCGTGGCGGGGATGCAATCCGGGGCAATCTACCACAGCGATTACACGGTGATGATCCTCAATGGACTACGTTTAGATTCTCAAGTGTCTGAATTGAGTCAGCAGCTTTTGCAGATCCAGTCATATCAAGTTCTTCTGTCTGATACTTCTGAGGTGTGGATATATAACGGCGTGGCGAATCATTATGACAATCCGCAGAGCGCCGGACTTTGGAACTTATTGCACATGTTGCGGTTGTATTGAATAAGTGGATTTGTCTTGTATATAAAAAGGCGACCTTCTATCTACAACAACAAGGAGAAAAGTTTCTGGAAATTCATTCAGAATTTTACCACACTCCTGAGACTACAGCCGCGAATGCAGAACGCATGGCGGTGCATATCCTCGGCAGTCTCCCTTATTTTTGTAACTTACTATCGCTTCAGAAATCCCAATTATCCTCCTTGTGAACTGCCAGATGGCTTATCTGACCATTGTCCATTGTGGTTGTATCATTGTTGAGTCCCATTTCGACAAAGATCCATGCCCGGAACCGTCTTCGCAAATTGGGTGAAGAAATGGGTTTCGTAGAAGCGATTGAAATTATTAATATGTTGGATAATTCGGAGACATTGGACGATTGGCATGACCTTCCATATCCCACCCTAATTTTTTTTAAAGGGGCTCGCTTCTAATGTAGTATAGGTTGCATCTATATCATGTATCCTGACCCCAGCATTGTATTCCATATATTACAGTAATCGTGCTACATACTTTCTACTCGACGAGTTACGAACTAATTACCCTCAGACGGAGTCTATGTGTGACTCAGTCATCGTATCGTTTCTCAACAAGCCCTTCGGTGCAACTAAATTAGATCTAGGTCCGTGACAATATTGATATGAAGGTACTTAATATACCTATCGATAGCCTCAAGGTGTTAATCCCAGCATTTTGAAGGCCCTGCATGCTCATTAGCTATTTATTAGGCTTTTATAATATCCCTAGAGCCAGCGGATGCTGTTCAACAAGCAATCGGTGAATGATCCCGAGCTAGGCTGTGCGATTTCGTGTCGGGCAAATCTTTTATATATTCAGCATTCAAATGTTGGTCGTGACGAAAAGGACGAGGCGCAGCGACCTCAACAATAACGACTTACAAAATATGGGCGTCATTGGCTTGGTGTCACGGTCTGCATAAGTCCTACCATCAAAATCTCAAAATCAATTGTTAAACCAGAAGAGTGTTGGGGTTAAAAAGAGGGGTTGCTAGTCCCTTAGATGGTTGTAAAGAGGAACACCCAGCACCGCACTAGTAATTCTTCGTTCCAAATACAGTTCATTTCCCATATCTCTCTCTACTTCGCGAGGCAGACAGTCTATCCAACCCAGTCAAAATTGAAAGACCTTCAGCTAAATCTCAAAACAATACCATAACCCAATTCGGTCATGAACAAGGTTGTTTATGGACTAGTTATTTTAAGAAGTCAGACATTCATTATTAAACTGAATCGAGGTTATTGCAAGTTGGCATATCTTTGGTTCACAATTAGTCAATATGTGAAGGATACCTAACAGCTCTAGCATCAGCCACACTGACATATTGACACCTGTAATATCGTTATCAATACATCCATGTGAATATCAACCAGTCAAATGGTTTCAATTATAATCATAACTTATTGAAAACAGTTGCTTTAAGATGGTATCCCTGAACCTCGTATTTACCGCCTGATGCAGGACTGACTGCATACATGATATAATAGATCCGCACGTATATCAAACTATTCAAAACTCATTTTGAGCCCTAGAAAAGAAATTGTAAGAAGAAAAAACATCCGTAAAACGCCGGTACTTGTTCATCTCCGTCTTTGCCTGCGTGAATTATAATTTACATGCACATTTATCTTATGAATGAACTTTTCCCCTTGACTGTTGAATTATATCATCTCTTCTCCGCGGTCCCCGGCGGCCCAAACCCCGGCGGAGGGAACCCTCCAGCACCTCCCGGAGGCGGCGAGATGCTAGAACCAGGGGCGGCACTGGGACCTCCTCCAGGTGCTGTCGGTACCCCTGGGAAGCCAGGCGGAGGGGGGAAGTTCGCTGGGAAGCCGCCGGGTGGTGGGAATGGGAGACCAGCTGGTAGAGGAGGCATGCCGGCTGGAAGGCCAGCCGGTGGTGCACCAGATTGGCCGGCTGGTTCAGGACCTGATGGACCACCAGCAGCGTTAGGGAAGGGATGAGGAAATGGGGGCATGCCGCGGCTTCCTGGGGCTGGTACATGTTAGTTTTTACAAATGCGTGTAAACTGCTGAGGGGAGCTGCTGGGGAGGAAACGCACGAGGTAATCCACCAGGGGCGCCTGGAGGCGGAATACCGAATGGCGGTGGCGGCAATTGTCCTGGTCGTCCTGTGAACAGCGTTAGCTATGGAGTCAAGGCTGAGATGTTGCGTAAACGCACCTGGAAAGCCGAATGGTGGCGGCGGCAATGACCCTGGAGCACCAGGGTGTTGTAGCATGGGGTTCGCTTGTCCTTCTGCAGCATACGAGCTCGTGATAGAGTCAATTACTGACTGGGCCTTTTCATGGCCGATTTCTATGACTAAATCAGCATGGAGCTAAACTGATGGTAGGGTGGAGCACCCACGCTGGTAGTATTCGACGACGTTTCGCAAATGATTGCGTCCTGAATTATGAGCCTTGCGCACGCTCATCGAGTCATGCGTCAGGTAGACATCGCAATAATCGCCTGCATAGTGTTATCGGATTAGTCGTGTTCAAGATTCGTGTCACGGGTGCGCGCTGAACCTACAGAAGAGTGCACTGGTGTCAGTTTTAAATTCTCAAATAGACATAAATTTTGAGTAGAAGAGAGACTTATATTTTGGCATCTTGAAGACCTGCAAATCCTACGATCTGCCTGTGAGTGTGTGGGGAGTTGCGCTCGAGGCGCGTGGTTCGGCGGCTATGAGCTAGCCAGGACAAGGCGTGGCCGATTCTGATGGTCGATTAGGGTTGCCACAGATGTTTGGTTGTAGGCGACTTCGGGTAGTCGATCTAGTTTGAGAAAAGATGTGATCTGGTGGGGATATCATTAGCTTGCTGCGATGGATGAGTATCAAAACGGAGGTTACTTTTAGGCGGTGTTTTGTGGCAGAATAACAGAATCGCGCTAGTTATTTATGCCTGAGGTTATGTATGCCTGAGGCAACAAGGCGGCGATATGCATGCTTATGTGGGACTTTAATCGCCATCAATAGGATAGATCCTTTAATTGTAGACAACGTCTACTTCTAGAATGAGGTTCCCTTCGAGTCATCAGAAGAAAAAGAGATACTAACTTCCATTCAATGTTTAGATGATTTTCATAACACGACTTTTGTGTGTACATAGTAATGTGTATAGATACGAATTATGTTATAGTTATATACGAGCTCTGCTACATGTTGTATAATACTCTAATATTAAGTAGAAGACCTGGTAAGGCAAGTTATCACCCACGTGGCAGCCTTTATGCCGGCTCTGCAGCCCCAAGCCCTGATACACGTTGCGCAGCAAAGAACAGCTAAACATTGAAAATTCTAGCTGTCAGCTGGAGCTTGACCACAATACGAAATTACAAACACAGCACCGGTTACTCTCGGCGAAACAAGAAGGGAAGGAATCATAAAAGGAAAGAAAGCAAGGAAAGGAAAATCGACAAGCAGGAGTGAATAGTGTCGGCCTCGGCAGCAGTGCAGGATCGTCGCAAAAAACAAAGTTGAAATAGTGGCGAGCTCTCAGCCTTCCTAAGTTGCTAATAATTATTAAGTAGAATATCGGCGCCTTCCGAGGAACAAGTCGAGTCATAAATGAGATGACGTCGTGTCCGATTATGTGATTTATGTTGATCTAGTGAAGAAAAATTTTTCTGTCAGGTGGATTCATATTGCGCGAGCGGCAAAACGACAGCCGGGCGAGGTTCCATACGCTGGTAAACACCACTATTGCGCGATTTGTCGTGCTAGGGAGTACTCCAAGTGTCTAACATCAATTGTTTATTGCAGGTTGACAATGAAAGAATATTGATATTATTTAGAAGGATACATTTGCATTATTGAATCAACGAGGAAATTTCCCAATTGAGATAGCACTTTAACCGAAAGTGGATTAGTCGATATAGAATTAGGGCATTTTATACAAGAGATTCTGGTCATATAATCATAATGACGACGGACCTTATAATTCTGAGAAAGATAATAGCGTAAATTATAATTTAGATGATAATGAAGGAGATGATGATATTAAGCAGTTATAATTATACAATGTAGAACCTCCCAGTTCTCCAGACTAGAGTCCACAGTCCAGAGTCGAATCGCAAACAAGTCGATCAAACTCGCAGACAGGGTATCATGCTTACAGAGGCCGTAAAACACTCTGTCGCAAACCGTAAATAACGTAAATAAGAACATACAGCAATGAACAAAAGAACTTTTATTTCCCCAAAATTGATCGCTGAAATGGTAGGTGAATGGATGCTGATTGCGCCGTATTGAAACCTTTTTTGTCGTTTGAATGGTCATGTCTCGTGATATTTAATGTTGAATGTTGAATGGTGGTTGAAGTGATGTGATGAATGAGATCAAATAGAAAAGCTATTGGTGACCGGTGAGGCGGCTCCAGGTGCGCTCGAGGCTCGTGCGAGCCTTCTCCTTTGCCCGATCCGCCAGCGACTCGTTGCTCGAGGCGCTGTTAGACGTGTTCTTGCGTTCCAGGCCGTACTGGTCGCTGCCGAAGATCATGTTCCCGGCACCGCCGCGGCCGACATGGAAGACAGGAGCAATACCCTTCTCCCGGCGCATTTCGCGCTCGAGTTCCTCGTCGAAGCTAAAGATGGCGCGCTCGCTGCTGCTGTGCACGTTACCGGCGCCGCCACGGCCAGACTTGAAGGTGGTCGGCAGGCGCGAGTCGAGACGAGTCAAGGATGCTGGGCCCGTGGCAGACAGTGACTCGGTGGTCCTGGTGTTGCGCAGCGAGATGACATTGCCAGCTCCTCCGCGCGAGGTGTGCAGGGCTGGACGACGAGTGTTGGGCACGGAGGGGTGCGGCTCAACAACGAGGTAAGGCGAGGCCATATTTGACGTTTGTGGTAGATGTGATGGGTGTGATATGAAGAGGTTGGATGGACGACGCTGTTCTATAGCAAAGCAATGCTGAAGAGTCGAATACAGATCAACAAGCAATGCAGAAACAAAACGCAGTACAGAGAGACAAGTCAAGTCAAGCAGTCTTGGAATGAACAGTATGGATAGTAGTCTCACTGAGTCAGGCTCCTCTCCTGTCGAGGGGAGCCTGGTTATATACGGCGCGGGTGGAGCCCAGCAGGACCAGAGCGAGGAAAATGGCACCATTTTCCGGTCTGCTGCTCCATCATGTTTTTTTCAGGTACGGCGGCACGGTGACCGGGTGACTGGCGGTCCAGAATCAGATCTGTAGTCCCGCCTGGCGGTTGCTAATGGAGTCACACGGGGGGCAGCCCCAGTTTTGGCCATGTCTTTGCGAACTATTCTGTCGTCTCTCGTCATCGCCAGTCTCGCGGATTCTCCTGGCGCAAAAGCAGCGGCCCTCGCGCCGAGCTGGGCAGGTGGTGGTCACGGGTCACCCGCAAGCGCTCGCTGTAAAAGCATACCAACAAGGCAAACGGGACGCCGCTTTACGCAGACTGGCTGGCAGATCATCTGACCAGACGCCAAGCGGACCACTCACGTAACAAAAACTGGGCGCGCGCCAATCGTGCATTTCCTGGGGGTAATGGAAATTGTGCCGCCGGCATGATGCCATGCGCTGCCGTGATTTGCTCCTGCGGTATTCATTATTTTAATTGACGTGTTATTCTCTACCCTGGTCATGCGCGATTTGATACTACGATGGTGCCAGTGACGTACGCCTCCTCCTCCTCCTCTCCATGTGTCCTTCATGTATCATTCTAGATGCCTGTATACATCGAAGTCGGTGTAACTAAATGCAAAGCGAAACCCCTGAGTCGGTAGCCAATTGCCGCCACCGCCGAGCCTATGTTCACTTGATCGACGGTGGTTATGGAGCGGTATATCCGTGGTGTACTAGTAGCACTGGATTGCATTATTCTGCCCCGATGTGATGCGTTGATTCGTGATTCCAGCAGCCTGTGAGCAATAGACAGCGCATCCTTATTTCCTTAATAATATTAACTAATAGCCTTTTCATAATGAGGACATGTCCTCGCTCTAGACCGTGCCATTATGTAACTGCTCTGCTGCCGGCCGCTGATTGGCCCGCAGCGCCATCTCGGCGTCCTAGGTGCCGTCGGTAAGCGGGCCAATCAGAGCCGCCGCTGCCAGAAGGCTGAGTATTCTTAGAAAGAAAATGGAAAAATTTTTCATTTCCCCGGATTTTCCACTTCCTTCGCCTTTTTTCTCGTCTACCCCGCGTCAGGTGGCCTTCACTGGTCACGCGGGCCAATAATAGCTCTCCATGTGGACCTGCAATTTTATTTCCAGACGCCGCGTGTGATTGCTCTTCTTGGACATATCCACTAACTAAACTGTACTCGTTCCTGTTTGCTGCCGGCTGGCCGACCCCGAGGCCTTTCTTGCTCATACTATTACATTCATAATTGTACGTGGCTTGGAATGGCCTTGCCTGGTTGGAGTTCTTCATGCCATCCAAAGTCTGTACAATTCCTGGAATTAGAATCATGGCTGAAGATTCAATAGGATAAACTGTGTGTACTATGTTAAGTTACGAATACCTGAATACTACTGTAGATAAAATATGGTCAATGAATACAATCCACCGTTCCTTGACCACACAAATCAATAAATCCATGTGCATCAAGTAATCCTCACTCAATATCTTTATCGACATCGACATCGTCATCATCGTGTTCATCATCATACTTGTCACCATCATATTCCACTCCACCCTCACTGCAAACCCACAAACACGAATTCATGGTCATTGCGGCAGGTCCTGAGCCTGTCAATCTCTTTTTCATTTTTCTCGCACATGAACCATCTCCGGCTTTTGCATCTTCTAGCCGGGCACAACGAATTGCACATTTCAACACTGACTGCATGCATCTGTGTACGCTGATTTGATGGATACCACTGCCATATGCCGACCAGGGCCAATCTTTGCCCTTCATAGCTTCCAATAGGAGCTCTCTCGTAGGCTTGTACGGGTCATCAGGTATCGACACAGAAGCTCAAACATTCCCGTCATTTCTATATCGATCTCGAGCTTCTACATTGGCACACTTCTGAAGAAGAAAACTTACTATTACCTCGGACCCTTTGGTAACTGCCCAAAGTGAACGCTGTTCGGCCATCGCTATCCTTGCACTCGATATCAGCACCTGTATCGACAAGTATCTTCACTACGGATTCATGTCCTTTCCCTTGTAGCCCACGGAAGTGCTGTCAAGCCGTCAATATCCTTTGACTCCATGTCAGCACCATTCTCAAGAAGTGACTTCACCAACTATATATGCCCCTTCCTTGCAGCCCGTATTAGAAGTCTTAGGCTATGTTTTCGCACCATGAGACCTATCATTTCTGTATGCCCCTGCTCTTTGGCGATTAAGAGTGGGTATCGGCCTTTGTAATTCGAATTTTCTGGATCTGCGCCGTTCTCGAGCAGTAGCTTGACAGTTGTTATATCTGTATTCTAAACGGCCAGCAAGAGTGGTGTCCGACTAGCGAAGTTCTTAGTGCCGATTCCTTCTGCTCTTTTATTGAGAAACGGCCGTATCACTTATGTATGCCCATTGAGAATAACCAAAGCCAATGGAGTCAATCCGCCTTGACCATGTATACCTCCCCATTTCAATTCGCTGTTGATCAAAAGCCAGCTTACTACCGCCGTATGCCCATTTCTTGCCCCTCGCCGAAGCAACGTCCCCAGATCTGCATCTCTATGACCAGGTATTGCACCCCTTTCAAGGAGAAGCATCATGGTATTTTCATGGCTATTTATCACGACCCATGATAAAGGTGTTCGACCTATTGAATCTTTGGAATCTACATAGCATCCAGCATCGATTAGGAGCTCGACAACTGCAGAATGACCGTTGATCACTACTCGTGATAGTGGCGTATGACGAGTTTGGTCTCCAAGTTTGCTTATTGAGAGATTAGGAAGCTCACGATATCTGTATGCCCCTGGGCGGCTAGCCAGAGAGGCGTACACTTATTTTTTGACACAGAGTCTATCTCTACTACGTGTGCACAGAGTAAGCGAACAGTCTCTAACTGTCCTCTGGAAGCTACATAGTGAAAAGGAGTATATCCCACTGCATCTACCAAGTTGACATTGCATATGATTGACAGGATCTTGACCACATCATCGTATCCCAACTTGGCCGCTACATGAAGGGCAGGGAGCCCTTCCTCAAATAAAGGAATACTGGATATATTCTTTAAGTCTTGCTACGAACCAATTGCAAGGTAAGCAATGCAGAATTCTCCACACTCAAGTTCACCCTCTGTCGTACTTGGCGGATAATTTGGGATACCATCACCTCGATCCTTTTCAAGGTACTGTCTCGTAGAGGAATGAACGAAACGTACGCAATTATCAATCGGTCATTGACAACAAGATTCGTACAACAGCCAATAACGAAATCAGCTCTTGGTGTTTTTGCTGTATCCCACCATTTGTCGTTAATGCCAAAGGCCACAGCTTCTCTTAATTCGTCAATATGTAGTAGGATCCTTGAGAAACTGGCCCATTTCAGTACCTTGATAGCACGGCTGTCACGGAAGTTGATTCTTTCAACACAGCGATGGTAGCTGACTCAAAGATGCTCGGATTTCGGCATCCGTAACACATGTTTCCCAAAGAATCTCCAAATGGAGATACACCCATGAAAACCTATGTAGGTTAGCGTGGATTTTATACTTGGATTATAGGAAAGGAAAGTATACATTCCCGAGGACTCGGACAGAAGCACTTGTTTCATCTCTTCTAATAGGATGGCATTGTCTGTGAGTTTCCGCTGCCTCGATTTATCCGCGATACTCACTTCGATATAGGTTTCAATGTCTTGCAGGACATTATAAGAGGTGGAATTTCGGTGATTCCTTGGTATAGCCGCAGTGATATCTATATAACTTGGGATATGTTCCCTACTGAGCAAGAGAATTCGCGAGCCTTGCAATGTGGCTGAACCACAGGACAATGACCGGAATAACTTCAAGAGCAGTATGCTATCCTCTTTGTTTTAGGTTTTCAAGGCCATCCAAGATATATATAGCGTCGGATACATGATGAAAAAGTCGGGTGAAAATTTTTTCCAAGTTTTCAAGGTCTGGTCTAGTCCTCTCATCACTGAAAAAGTTCTCGTTTCAGCTTTGATATCATTCGGGAAAGACATGGAGGATTGTTTCAGGAAGACGCATAGCTGCTTGATAAAACTAGAGAGAATATATGATCCCTGCAGGATAGAATCTTCATCATTCTCACAATAGAAGAAACTAGTAGGAGCCTGTGCGGAAGGCGACCGTACACAAGGCTCTTACGCTATAGTTGATTTTGCCTGACCCAACTAACATGCTCGACCTATGATAAGCATTTAAGTCCAGGAATCCGAAGTGGCCAACTCATTCTTTCCAGAACACCATAAACATGAGAATCCTTTCTTGAACCACGATTGAAATTTTGGGTGACATAGAAACCATTGCGTCGTATCCATGAGTCGTTTCCGTGATAATTGCTGGTGAACTTTCTCGTGATTGTGATGAGTGCCTTCTCATCTGAGATGTCTACCTTAACTCCGCGGCAGTCCTATTCATCATGCTGGGAATGGTGCAATACCTCGATTGGAAATCCATCCTGAAGATGGTTGTCCATGTGACTGAAACATGCCTTGATAAACATAAACTGGATGCCATCAGTTTTTTAGTCAACTCTGATATGACCTTTCTCCACAACCCAGTAACATACAGCTAGTAATTGAAGTATAAAGTGGTGTTTCCGCCACCCGGCTCTCGTGGATTACTGAAATAAGCTCTGTCTCATAGGCAGCTGCAACGGCCGCCGCATATGGCTGCCACTGCTTGTTCTTGTGTGAGTTGGAGTAGTCGCAAATACCTCTAATAACTAGACATGGGAAGCTATCCATCAAGCCATCTGCTTCCATCTCGAAGCATAAGATACCAAGATTTTGGGCTAGTTTGTCTCAAGCTTGCCCATCCCTCGTAACTTGGTTCCCGGATGTAACAAGGCCGTAATGAACAACAGGGCTATTATCTGATCAAGTACACCGCGTCACCAGCTTACCTTTGTCACATATATTGCAAGTGCTTTGCGACTCCTCATGTTCATACTCAAAGTCAAACAGCTGGTCGTGGTTTTCTCCAAAATATGCGAATTTGTTCTTTCATAAGCGGGTATCTGATAGCCGTTTCGGAGAGGAAAGCTGATATTCGACTGGGTCCTGACATATGAATTGCTTGAATTTGAGAAATTGCGTTAGGAGCATAGCTGGTGGTTTATTCAACACACCTGTGCGCTCGGACTGCCCGCCGGATGTAGCTTTTCCGTAATCGAATTGTATAACACCGCCAAAGTCTCTGGTCGGTTTACTGACAACAAAATCGCCTAGGCGAATATCATCTTGTGCACTTGGAACACCGCCCCCAATCCCAACCGTAAGGCTGAATCGAATTGATTCAAAAGTGGCACGGATTTGTGTTGCCACCTTCGCAGCCGAAGTTGTCCCATAGACGCCCGATGGCAGGCAAGCAATAACGACATTGTGATCAAATATTCTACCGAGTATATAATTGTTACCATCGCCCGGATTGGTTGATAAACTGGGATGCTTCTCATCTGGCATGGCCTCCGCAACGGCCTTCTCCAGCGACAATGCACACACCCATGCGACTGTATAGTCCTGATGCGGAAAAACTCTGGCACAGGAGCCATTGAATACAAGTGGACCAGACATCCCTTAAGGAAAAGTATTACTGACTGCGATTACTTTCAGGAAATCAAGAGTAGAACAGTATCACGAGGTTTGTGCCCTTTTTCAGCCTCGCGCTCATGCCACGTTATCAGTCAATGCATGCTTGTCGGCCTTGTTGCCTTAATGGGGATGTTGAAGGATTGAATAACGATGTACTCCATTGTAGTATCCCTCGATATATCATAATTAATATCCTGCCATCCGCCATCACAGTGATTTGCTTCCACATATGTATGATTACACCAAAGGGCGGATCTGCGACGGAAAACAGCAGTATTAGGGCTTTTGACACACGTGCGGGGATAGAAATAGCCAGAGAAAAGACAAACAAATGGCCATTATAGTACGTATATTAAATGTGAATCTCATATCATTCTTATCATCAATTGATGCGATCAACGTGCGAGTATATACTCTGTCTTTTACACCCATCAAAAATTTCAAAGTGCATGTAGAACGTGACCAGAAAACATTGCCGACCATATAAAGATGCTCTGTTACATTTGCTTATCGACCCCTTTCGTGACGTTTTTGATACTTGGGATTATATTCTATCTTTTTCAGATTTCATCGGACTTCGTGCGTCTAGTTGTTTGTAGAGTTTATTCTGTATTGATTAATTTATCACCTGCACGCTTGCAAATCTTAGAGCCGTTACGACTAGAGTGGCGTGCTTTTCTCTACAAAACATCAATTGATCAAATTGATCAACATGATGCGATCGTGCGACGCAAAACACTAGGAATTTTCACCAGAATTAACACGCGATAGTCAGACTAATTGCTTTCACATATCATTGTTGTTGATAAGGCTAAAAGGCTTGAATGTCAAACAGCTCATGTTCCAGAATCCTCTAAAACATTATAGAATAGAGAATCCGGGTTCCATACAGCATGCACTCTTCTAATATCTACCAACATATCATCTGTGTAACCCAGGTGTACCTTTGAGTTGTCTCTAAAGTTATTTGGCAATGTCGCTCCTGGATACCCTTGCCTCGAGTCATCCTGTTGCAGTATCTCAGAGATATCTGTAGCATATTTTTCAACAGCTGCCTTGGACTCTGGTTTGTTGTACCATGTAATCGCATTACCAAACATTGATCTATCTCTACCAATGAACGGACGTTTATCGTTAACCAAGCCATTTTCAATCGTGGCGGTGGGATTGTAACCCCAGACCAAAAATACAGAAAACGCCCGGGCATCCGGTACCTCCTCACCAAGCTGCTTCCAGCGGTTGAATGCGGAGACAATTGTAGACGTAGAGAACGAGTGTGCCCTAGACATATGCTGCGCTTTGAATCCCCCATGAGCATCAATCATCTTGGAGCCGTCAAATATGCTAGTGAATGGCGCTAATGTTGTCTCAGAAGCTATAGCAAACTTTTCAATGTCTGTGGAAGCAACAATGGGGTCGACTATTTTGCTTGCCTCGCTACTAGGACCGTAATATGTGATACTCAAGATAATCACAGGCGCCCCAGGGAAAGGAGCATTTGGAGGTGCACGAACGCAGAGAATAAGTGGCATTAGCTTCGGCTTTACCGGAAGAAGTTTTTGGAAAAAGTCGACGACCTCACCAATTACTTTTCCAGGGAATGTATACTTTCTTACCCAGAGCTTATCTGTGTCGTCGAGATTGAGCGCAGAAAGTTTATGGATTTTCATCGAATGTGATGTTATGACGAGTAGTCCGTATCCAGCGCCGCAGAGGATATCAAAAAGAGCCTTGTGCTTAGGATCAGAGGCAGACTGGTCAACCTTTATGACCTCGCCTGAGGCTGTCACGCCTTCGAACGCAACGACATTGTCGATTGCTAGCCCATGTATTGAAGAGAGTGCGCCGCAAAAACCACCTCCTAAGACCAGTCCAGCCATTGAGACTGCTCCCGAATTGGCGTAGGCTTTTGAAGCAAGTTAGTCTTTAAAAACGAAAATGAGTAGACGTTTTGACGAACTAGTATAGAAACCGTCCTTCAGCAATTCAGTCATAAGCTCCAGGTTGGTAACAGCGCCACCTATCTCCACTGTCGCTTTCTCTCTGTTTACCTCGATTTTCTTGAACTTTCGCAAGTCAAGATATAATGTCTTATCGTTCACAGGAACTACTTTGTGACCTCCAGCGCCGGCGAGGATGGTAAGATTCTTTTGGCGGGCATATTGTATAGCTGCAATTATATCCTCCCGAGTTGATGGGATAACTATTATTGCGGGCTGTTGAAGACGCTCGTCTGACCAGCGGGTGATAACGCTGTGAATATCCGTTGTTGAAGTGGGTATAATTATCTCATTCGTTGTAGATGCGAAAAAGGACCGTGGGTCCTGCATATTGGCAGTGCTCGTTTGGTGACGTAAAAACAGCTGCGGGCTTAATCGATGAAATGAACTGGTTCGCTGCGTTGTTATATGAATGTGGGCACTCAAGTTTCCACCCGAAAGTACAACACTACTGAAGATCAAGGAATATTGCTAAAGTCTAAGCCAGAATACTCAAGTCTTGACTCGGTGTGATTTTATAAACTTGCCTGAAAATCTTATTCAGGGTCTATGCCAGGATTATAAATCCGGCTTCGTCATGCACAAGCTTTCCAGATTTGACGTTGTTGGTTTCACGTAAAGGAAATCCATTGGGTTAGCCCAAACCGCCAAATACCGAACAAGACAAAAACTCTGCACTGATTGGATGGTAATCTCCATTCGGCGTCAACTAGGAAATTCAATATGATAATATTCACCACTCATACCGCAAGTATAAGCATGAACCCCGCTTCTGATATAGTAGAAATATTTTGGTTGTCGCTAAGGAACACTAAGGAATAAGAACTAAGCAACAAAGAAGGAAACCGAGACTTATCCGCGAGGTCACAATTCGATGGAAACTAGGAATTCGCTTTCATACGCGAATTCAGACAAAAGATTTGACAATATACCTTCGACTCCAAACTGATCATACACCTATACATAATATTTAGAACCCTTATCTTTTTTGATCGAGCCATCTACAACTCCAGTTTCAACGTGTCGGATATTCGGAGGCTTGTTCGGATTCGCTTATTTAGTTGGGGTTATTATTATTTGCTCATAGTCTGACTCTGAATAGAGTGTCTGCAGCAGAACCAGAGAGCAGATTCTGGAAAGCGTTATGGTCAGTACAATAGGGCACATTTCCATAAGACTTGAACCCTCTAAACATCAGGTGATAATGTACGAAATCGGCCTTGGAAAGGCGGGAAGGAAAAGAAAAGAAGAAAAAAGAGAGGTTCTAAGACAAAAGGCGAAGGACTAATAAAGATGAATATTTCAGGGAAAGGTATTGAGTGCACATGTGGTTGCTCGTCAGCTGAGTTAGTTAGCATAGGAGGATATCAAGGTTGGGAGTTTTGGGTGGATCTGGAAGACCATTTTTCCGCATCAAATCACCCTCATTAATAATGGAAGGAATCTAGCTAGGTAAAAGAGGGTTTAAAATAAGCCGATATGGTAGATCCAGATAAGCCTCGTTCCTAGAAGTGGGGCAATTTGATCAAACCTTTTGATGCAGGCAGTAAATTTTCTAATTTAAGTCATGTCTCTCTGCTTCAGGTTCGCATGGTGGCTTGATATGAAATATGAAAGAATTACTGGATCTTGCTATGTTCCATTTGGAGTGACGTCTCGCACATGATTTCAGATGAAAATTCAATCCATCTCATGCATGGTCAGCGTAGTACCTGTTGGTTCACGCACTTCGCAAGTGTGACGGATCTCGCCGGAAATCGTCGTTAGAGTTAACTATCCATTTTCCACTGGGGGCAATGAACGTAATAATATTTTGAGTGAGTTTATAAAAGAAGAAAATCAATCAGTCTATGTAATTGAAGAATTGCACCATACCTTGGTATAATTAATGATTTTAAACGCAACAAACTTGCCGAGGTTTTTATCTTCATCTGTGGGGCTCTTCAGATAGCCTGTCGAGTGGATCTACAACTTTGTTATCTAAGAATAATAATGTCTCGAACTACAATCTGACTTTTGAGCGTATCTGCGCAATATTATAACCAATCGCTACAACTTTCGCCATGTAACCAACAAAAAAAGATTCCCACGTGAATAGTAATGCCAATCATTAAAAAAAAGGTATAAATACACTTAGAATTCTCTTCAAACTCATCTCAGGGAATCACACACATCAAGAAAAAGCAGGATTGTTGTCTTGAACAAACAAATATAAAAAAGAAAGCTCAACATGAAGCTCACCACTATTTTCGTTGCTACCGCTGCCCTCTTTGCGTCATCTGCTGTTGCAGTCTGCAAAATTGGTACCAGCGACAACTGTGCTGATGGGTTCCGCTGGGTATGTATAATTTTCAAATAACCAACAGGATATCTATAGGTTGAGCTAACATGTGAACTGCGGGAATAGTGTGACTCTTGCAATTGCTGTGTCGTGTGCGACATGCCTTGCTAAACAGATATAATGGGTATGGTATGTCTTGATCAGGTTTTGACTTGGAATTTCAACGTGAATAGGATAGTAACTTTTCGGTTGTCTGTTTAGGTCCCTGGTACGGAATATGAGACCGATAATATGAAATGGAGATGGAAGCCAAATATGGAAATGCTCTTTGACGATGATATGAAGGTAGACTTGACTATTTGTATACATATATCAATTGAACTTCCCAATATCCTAATTCCGAACATGAACATATACACTATGTTGGGTTTATAGAGCTTCTTCTAACGCCCATTCTCAAATCATTCGTGTAAATTGATTCTTATCGTAGCATAGAATAAGTGCCGTTTATAATACTCCTCGAATGATCACCATCTAAGAGGACCAAGGTTGGCACTGATGATACTTCCAACCCGGGTGCAAATCATTCCACCATATACAGCTAGACCCATCTTCATTCATACACGTAGCATCCTGATATCCATATTCTTCAGGGTTGCCAAGGACGCGGGTCATGAGTACCCATGAGTCGTATAGCACGACTGTCGCCTACGCGAATACGTCAAATTACGCACAGTAAGAACGACCAGAGAAATATAAACTTACATTAGAATGAATCTTGTTAAACTGATTTACCATATCTTGAAGGCCATCATTGTAAGCCGTGGCCATCTCTGCATGACGTTGAAAGTCTTCCTCTAATGAGTGGTTTTTCGTGTACCTGGGGACTGCGAGTTGGCGGACAATTGATAAAAGAAATTTTCGAGAGCACTCCGCATAGACCGATTCCACGAGTGACAGGTATTTATGAATCAAAACAGAGACAAAGATTGAAGGATCATCGTTATGTGTAAAGCCATAGTAATCGCTGGTAGAGGTGTAATAAATTCGAAATTAATATCAGCGAGTATTTCAAGGAAACTGAGACATTTTACACTTACTCGTTGATTCCAATCTAAAATGAAAATATCGTATTAGGAGCAGTGTTGAGTAGAGCTGATGTTGAAGCCCGTAGCAGTATATGAATCACCACCAGAACAGATCAAGCCTCTTCCCGACTGATGACTCACGGCTCACATGGTTAATATTTGGGCTTACAAGGCAAACTAGTAGAGGCGTGCTTCGGGTTTGGTTATTGAAAGCGTGGGGAGTAGCTGATAGTTGCGAATCCATAGCAAAGCGGTTACAATGAAGCCTGCTAGGGCAGTATAAGAGATTATGGATCGGTAAGATATGATGCACTAGATGAGTAGTGCGTCAAACAAAATAGGCCGTAGGGTGGCCATCCTATCTATTCATGGTTGAGCTTTCGTAAAGGTCAACCATACGATAAGCAACTGAGAGCAGTTGTAAGTTGTAACTAACTTAGGAGTTTCTATTAAGACACAAAAAGGGACAAAAGATGCCCACTCGAGTCATAGCCATTGGTTGATCGCCGGCATTTTACTTTCTGACTTTTGATTGGACAGCTTCAACTTTATCCCCAAATGATCTGGACCAGAATATTCATTTCTTTTAAATCGAATAACAAGGCCAAGCCATAGCCATTATTATATGGTTTCATACATGGCTTGACGAACCTATTTTACTTCTCTTTTTCGACTGATGTCTCCACGTGATATTAATCCGTATTGATGCAACTTTTCAATAACTTTTGTCTTGAGAAGGAAATAAAATCAAATATTAGAAACATCATAAAAGTACACGTGTACTCTGAAGTGTCCCGACAATAAAAATAATTGCAGAATAGTCCGACAAATCTCCATTATGTAAGACCAGTGGAGAGTGTCGCAAGCCCCTAGTAGGAAGTCCAAACTTAGCCTGACTTTATAGCTTTCGGTGAAGAGTTGCTGTGGTTTGGGCAAAATCGGTGCAGGTTAGACTGGACTTCAAATTTCCAGCCTGCTAAATCATCACGCTCCTTCTTCAACTCGTCCAATTCGTCCATCATTTTACGTATTTCTGACTCAAAATTACTGCAATCCCTTCTGTGCTCGTTGGTCAAGCGCAGATTCTCGGCCTGCAGAGCCTTAGTTCTTTGTTCGGAATTCTTCAGCTGCTGTTCCATCTCTGCAAACTTTTTCTCTGTTTGCGATTCTGTTTCGCAGTTCTTTTTGGCTTTGACGAAAATTTTTTTTACTTGTATCTGAAGCAGCGCGTAATCACTGTTCAGCTCAGCATCATCACCAACAAATTCAGGCTTGGACCCTTCATTAGTTTCAAGAGATATATTGGAGTTTCTTGACTCAGTTGCAAAAAGTGTGTTTGTTTTGGCTGGAGGAGCGCTCGATGTTGGCCCTCTCATCTCACTCGCGTTTTGATGCGTCTGCGAGCCGGCAATCGGAGCTGTAGGGGCTCGGGTCTCGGCTGAAATTTGATGGCTTGCTATTTTTCTTGGAGAGGATATTTCTCGTTCAGGTCCTAAATAAGGTCTTTCAGGGGATCGGACTACACTGCCGCTTGCACTACACTGCAAAGGAATAACGGGTTGCCGTAGTTTTTTTGTAGTCTACCATAATTAGTAAGTCTGGTGATTTAATTTTATCTGAATGCTAATGGCATGGCAACGCACGGAAGAGGGAACTTGCTGTACATGATACTCAATATCTCCTCCCTCGGAACTCCCATCGGAACTATCATCGTTGCTGGTCTCGACTGTATGTGGTTGATGCCTCTTCAAGTTGCGACGGGGTTGAGCTTCCGAGACATTATTCTGCAACTCTTAGTAACTTCGTAAAAAATAAGGGACCTTCAGTCAAATCGTGCTCTTTGATGATGACTAACCTGTGCAGTTTGAGGTTCCGCATTTTTCTGGGCCTCCATGTTCAGATGCAGTTTCTATATTGCTTAGGATAAGAAGATGCAAGCGTGTAGATGCTTACTTACACTATGCTCTTTCATCACGGCTTTCTCGGTACGATCCGGAAAGAATTCCTATTGTCCAAAGTATAAGTCTATTGTATCGGAGTTGCCGATGCTGGAAATGGGTGAATACCTCCTGGATATCCCTCCAGGTCTTCTTGGGATGTTGGATTCTCACAGACTGTAAACGATTCTTTTCCTCATCCGTCCATCGACGCCAAGATCCTTTGTGGTTTGCCGTTGTCTTATTCCGCCTGTTATCCTGCGACTTTGCCGTAGCCAGTTTGTTAGAAGGTACCGAAAGCGTTACGACAAGGGTTTGTCGTGATCGCTTCCTAACCATTACCTTGTGGTTCACATTTGACTAGATGAAAGAAGATGGCAGATAAGTGCAGCCTGGCAATATCTTTATATAATACAGAACGAAGAGCAAGGAAAGGAAAAGAAATATAAGGAACCGAAGCCTAAAACTGAAATGAGATTCCAGAACAGGAAGTGGTGTTAAGAACAAGATTATTATTTAGAGAGGATCAGAGACTAGAGCTCAAACAGAAGCCGAAAGGGCTAGACACCTGAGGGGCATGCACATATGGCGTTGGTAGTCCCATACCATTGTGAATCATGGTATCCAATTGCACGACGATGAATTATCAGCTCCTGCCGTACGTGATACTCGCTAGCTCTCTATCATACACAGACTCCCATTGCGACATGGAAAAGATTTTCTTCCTTCCACGAGACACCCCTTTTTGAGTAGAATCCTTGTCGATCGGGCTTTTCTCTCCTTCTCCAGTGTTATGCCGGCTGCCCCCAAGTCTGCGCCGCAAATTCTCTAGGCGCCAACGAACCAAGTTAAGATTATGGCGGCGCTGTAGTCATGAGACATAAGGACTTACCAAATTCGGGCCTTTATTTCAAGGGCGCAGCCACGAGAGAGAAATCTGGAGAATGTAGGGTGGTAAATACACTTATATACTTACTGCCATCACTGTCTCCCTTGATATCAGTATCGCTGTGGGTGGCCTTCAATATCGAAGATCCAATAATGGGGTAAAAGGGAACATTCATCTCCTCCCTGAGTCCACCAAGATCTACGCGAATGTGCAAATATCGTAATTTACTTTGTGTAACCACAGGTCCAGAGGGGGTCGCGATTGTCCAGTCCAACGCGACATTGAGTTCTTATTTCTTATTGAGTCTGAAGACAGTGACCAAGAGATCGGGGAACGAGTCCCGCCAGCCCTAAGTCGCGCTAACAATGTGACCCTTGTTAGGGGGGGCAGTAACTGGCCAGCGTTTGCCCTTGTAATTTCCCTGTTCTCTGTTTCCGATTCTCACGCTCGCTAAGATCAGAACTAAATGCTACTATTGTCCATACTATTGTTGCTCTTTGTTCTTCCAGATACTCTGAGAAGTCGATCCATCCCTTGATCAACTCATGGCAGTCTCCTGGCTTGTTTCACCACAAATGGCCCCCAACACATTTGAATTCGGTCTAGATTTCCTGCTCCGGCGAAAGAAAAGATACCCCGCCACAAGGTGCACAAGAAGCCAGTTCGGTTTGAAACACGAGCTGCCATAATAATCACTGTATACATGCTGCCAGTCATATTATTCCATGATTTCCAACGACCAGGGGCTGCTGTCAATTCTCACACCGCCCAAATATAAGCGAGTTGCTGCCTGGTCCACATTCACCCGGGCAAAGCTCTCAGCATTAACTTCACATTATAGCGCCAACTTGACACGTCAGCGGTGCCACCTTAAGTATGTGTATGGGTATCAGAGTCGACGTGGAAAATTGCTTTTTCCCTTTTTGTCGTTATCAAATTGTCAAAATGCTGATATCCTTCTTTGAGGTATTTAGACCATTCTAGGAACCGCACATTTCCAGTTAAGGATATTAATACTACGGATCCAAATAAGTCAAATGCAGTTCTCCGATCTATCCAGCAGCTCACAAAGGTGCAGTATTAGAAATATGTCTTTTGATCTCCTCTCGTCATCTACGGCTTTCTTTCTACGCTCTGGAGATCTCCCTTTTCTCTGACAAGGCTGAGATGGGTGGGCAAGTTACTACAATTTCGCCACGGCGTCCGTGCATATCTATTAAGTAATAAGTGAGACATAAAAGCTGCTATAGGATTGACTAAAAAGAGATATGCATTTGGGACGATGGTTTTCAATGCTGTCACTATGCCCCTAGCGGGAAATTTGGAATTGCTCGTTGCGAAATGCCCAACTCAACTGAGCAGGGCTTATTGTCATGTGCACACCCCACACAAACCAGTTACTCACCGTCAAGTATCGATGTAGTCAGTGTATTCTCCCATTCTACAAATGTTGAATTTGGGACGCATCCAAAAACATGCTCAACTATAGGGTTAGGGTTAGGGTTAACATCTAAACCAACCAGGAAATTTCTAGGCATCTCACATGCTAATCATCAGGTCAATCAACAGAACGTCCTCAACCCAGTAGCCCCAAAAAAGCCTTCTAAGTTTGGGCTGTTTGGACAAGTTTTTGCAAATGCGTTTTGATCTGTCTTCGAAAGACGATTCAGTCTTCAGGCGCAAGGTAACCAGCCAGCAGCCAGAAAATTCTTTGATTGCTTTTATTGGATGCATTTATTGACGACATCATGAGCACCCATTCGACGGATCTTGAGCTCGTCGAGGGACAAGTTATTCTAATGGAAATACATAAATAAAAAGAATGAGAGTCCTCAGATGGTAATGACAAATGTAATTAAGGCAGTAACAAAGTGACGTTATTAAATGAGGGTTTAAATACCGAAAGCCTTCCGACTTGACGGTAACGCTAACTCGAAGGGGGATTCACACTCCCTTCCCTTACACTTGATTTGCAACTTACAACGACCGTAGCTATTTTATCTCAAGATGCGGACATGCCTCGTCCGAGACTCAAAAATAGTAAGTTACTTAGATTGCCAGCGTGATATACTAAAAATGAGTCACGACTGACAAGGATGGGCCAAGGATGGTCGGTATTTACCATTCCACATGATCCAAATTTTTAGATATATATTGACCAACTGGCTTATTGACTCTCAGTGAGACGTGTCGATCTCGAAAGGTGAAATGTATGTCAAGATTTTCTCGAAGAAGAGTAATTTCAACGGAATCGCCTTAGCTTATTCTACAATTAGGCGACGGCCAAGTTCCAACTTGCAAGATTTGCCGCAAGTCCGGACGCCAATGCAAGTGGGAGGGAGTAAGTTTCCTAAAACCCGATTATCACTGAGAGTCTGAGGCTGATGATTTTAATTGTAACAAGCCGGATAATACGGGTACGCCCATAGATATAACGTCTTAATTGCAATCATCATGCTGAATATTAGTGTCGCAAGATCAAAGTACCCGGCCTAGCTTTCTCAACACAACGCCTCCATCCCCCGACAACCCTAGTCTTGCCCTAACCCACGACTTCATTTCCACGCTCTACCGCCACTACATAACCACACTTGCGACCTGGTACGACCTCAATGACTCCCAGCGTCGCTTCCAAGACCTCGTCTCGCTCGAGTCGTTAAACAATCCACTCCTTTTCAGCGCTATCCTTGCATTCTCATCGATCCAATTATACCGACGCTCCAGTGACAAGGAGCACCTATTCACAGCAGAGTTTTATCATTTGCAGAGTATTCAAAAACTGATCGTAATTACCGATGACTTGAACTCGTTTCATCATGATGGCGCTACGCTGGCGGCGACTTGTTTGCTGAGAAGTTATGAAATTTTAGCTCGTCAGTCGCACATTTGATTTCTTTTCCTCAAGCAATCAACAAAGCATTAATGACTTGACAGAAAATGTGACCTCACAGAGCCATCTACTCGGATCATCGTCCTTTCTACAAGACCAGCAAATCAACCTAACCACTTCTGATCTTTTCAGTGCTGGATTTTGGAATTATCTACGCGAAGACATCACTGTCGCTCTCATCGAGAAACGGCGGCTCAAGATTGACCTTGAGGGGATCCAAATTCCGTATGCTAGTCGTGACGACGAAAGAGCGAATTTGATTAGTTTGTTTCTCGGAAAAGCAATTAATATTTGCTTCGGGGCCCCTCCTGCTACCGATCAGCTGAGGGAATTAGAAACTGAAGTTTCTCGGTGGAAGGACAGTCTTCCAGTGTCTTTTGACCCGATATTGTCACAAAACCAGACAGACAAGGTCGATAGCTTTCCTGTCTTGTGGCTTTTTCATGGTTGGCATAGTAAGTTACTTGTCCAAGAAAAATTCCAAGTTTCCTCTGCTAAGTATGTAATATCTTCAGTTGCAGCATTGCAATACTATCACACTTTAAAAGTCATATTCTCTCTCGCATCGCTCACATCAATCCATGACTCTAGATCAGACCCATCCTCTGACAACATTTTTCACCGAGCATCGCACCTTCTGGAAAGCACCCCTAGCATACTAGACAAAATCGATTATCATGTGACGCAAATATGCGCATTGGCGATTTCAAATGACTGCGACGCCGCACGGGTGAACGCATTTGGACCGGTGGCTTTTTGTATGTTGTTTCAGTTCTTCGCAATTATTCCCACTACTGACTGGAACTAATGATGATTGCAGGCGGCCCCTATTTACGAAACGAACAAAAGCGTGCTCGGCTCGTCGATGAGCTGAGAATATGGGCAGAACGAACTGGATGGCCTACTGAGAGTATTCTGCAAGTTCTGCAGAGTGCGTGGAATTGATACATGAATAATTGTATAATGGTAGCTAACAAGGCTATTCGTACTGCAAGCGAAAATCTAAAAAACATGGCTATACATACAGTTGAAATGAGAAAGTCATAATCCCCTCGAAACATCTAGCTGTGGATAAGGTCGTATCCATACGATGTCAAAATGCAAACAGAAAGCATTCCACTCCTTCCATGGCGGAATCCCAATGATAGATACATAGTCGGATAATTACGCCATCTGCTTCTGGGCAAAACTACCGAAAGAGTCTCCCAACGAATCCTGAGGCAAGGTTGGACGCAATACCTCCTGTCAACGCACTATTCGCGAAATTACTGGCGTGGCTAAAGCGATCGCAGCGTGAGAAGGCCAAAGTATTTGTGACTGTTAAGACCAGCGCAATCACTACGCATAATTAGTACCTGGAGTTCCCACACATAGAAAAACAGCCTGCTACATACCAACCAAACTCAACCAAATAACATTATTCATCTTGATAACGGCGAAGATCGCTAGGAGAATCCACAGCGCAGGGGTGAGATAGAGACTCAGCCAAAAGAAGCGCTTGTCGGTGGCAGTGATGGTACGGGTGCCCGGCTCGGAGCTCTCAAAGACCCAGTGTGATTCACCGGTGGATGTATTCACCTCATTCCACCAGCGGAGGCCAACAAGTCGTCGTCCAGCAATGTTTTTGAGATAGTAAAAATCGGCAGAGAGGAGAAGGAGGGTGACGATGAAAGTGAGAATGCTATGAGGGCAGTTAGGGTATGCGATTGACAAAAGAGGGTGTGTAGGACGTACAATTTGCCGATAAAGAGAAATCCAAAGAGATACATTAACAAGCTCCCTGCAGGCGAATAGTCAGATCACTGTTCGATAACTGCTTAGCTTGGTCAAGAACAGGCGAAAGCTCACCAATGCGAAAGCCCAGGAAGAAGAGTAATGTGATGGGATGCGCGCTCAGGCGCCAATTTAGGTCGCCCTGCTGTGGTTGCTCCATCACTCGTGCCGTCGGGTCCTTGAAGCGTGGGTCGAGGCAATTGTTCGCATGAAGCGTAAGTGTGCACTAGGTGTTTATTGAATCTGCCTAGCAGGAGCTATCGTGGTTGCGTGTCAATTCCAGGCGGTCAAATGGGGCAGAATCGGCCGTTGAAATAGCTCCTGCTTAGTTGCTCTGGATGCAGCCATAGTTAGTCAGCAGATTGCCAAGGTATTGTGTTATTGGATTGAGTCAGGCTTGAACGGTCAAAGAGCGCTTTATAATTCCTACAACACATCGCCTCTACTCACCTGGTGTAGTGAGGTCTGGCTCGGCTATATAGCATACAGTATACAGTATGCGGTGTGCGCTAGTCCCTTTCGAGCAGGGCCAGTCGGCTATATCGCAGGGTGGGCCCGTCGCGGCTAGTGAAGCTAAGAGCCCGGGGCCAATCAGAATAAATGCAGGATGGATGCCTCGTCGCCTCTTCATGTTGTTATGCCAGCCAGTATATAAAATATAAAATGGCGTGGAGTGGCTGATTTCCCTTCATTTACTCTTCTTGCACTGCTGTACATACATGAATCGTCACCGCAATGGCAGCCTCATTGACCAGGAATACATTACGACGAGCCCTGCTCTACGGTACGCCTCTTCCCCGCATAGCCCAAGCTTCTGTTGCTGGCCAATTGATAATACATGTATACTACATGCCTTGGTGCTAAGATCTTTCCAGTCCCCGGCTCATCACAAAAGTTTCTCGACAAGTCGCGCTCTCTCGCCGCAGATTGCGTCGCATATGACCTCGAAGACAGCGTCACTCCGCACAAGAAGGCCGAAGCTCGCCATCTGGTGCGGAGAGCCATTGACCAACCCGCTCCGCCACAAATCCTTGAGCGAGCAGTCCGTATCAACTCCGTAGAAAGCGGACTAGCCTTGGCCGACTTGAATGAAGTTGTACGCAACCATCTTCTTCCTCTGCTAGCGCAAACAAATGTCCGTCTGACCAAAATATGTGTAGTTGCAATCCCCAAATTTAACCACCCTCGTCGTCCCCAAGGTTAATTCAGCCTCGGACTTGACTTTTATTAATGATGTTGTCACTCATACTCTGGGTAACTCAGCGACCGGGTCATCTACACGGCCACCAATCTCAATCCTAGCTCTCATCGAATCCGCCAAATCAATTACCAACCTCAGTGAAATCTGCAAGGCGACACCCCTTCTTCAGGGTCTCATCTTCGCCGCTGAGGACTTTGCGCTTGACCTCAGCCTCACTCGGACACCATCACTTACTGAATTCCTGTTTGCCAGATCCGCTATTGCGACTGCTGCCAGAGCACATGACTTGCCATCGACTATCGACCTGGTCTGCACGGCGTACAAATCAGCGGATCCAGTGCATAAGGGCCCTCCACCGGTTTTGGAGGAGGAGTCGAGAGGTGGGAAGAGGTTAGGATTTAATGGGAAGCAGTGTATCCATCCAACTCAGGTGGAGACTGTGCAGCGTGTCTTCAGTCCCGAAGCTGAGGAGGTGGAATGGGCTGTCAGGGTAGTGATTGCGGATGGCAAGGCGGCAGAGGCAGGAAGAGGGGCGTGGTCGTTGGACGGGAAGATGATTGATGTGCCTGTGGCCGAGAAGGCCAAGGCTATTGTGCGTCGAGCAGAGGCTTGCGGACTAGATATCGCGAGACTACAAGAGCAATGGCAAGGACAGGAACCTGAGTAGTTTTGAAATTTGTTTCGCATATGAAATAATAGTCCACTAGCTAGATACTTCGTTCTGCAGCGTAAGTAAAATGAGAGGGGATGCAGGGCAACTCGGTCTAAATGTCACGGAAGCAACGCCAAAAACAGGATGTAGTCTTGAATGGCGCAAAGGGGGTATCCAGGTAGGTCATGGCTCTCGTCGACACATTCAAATAGCATGCTAAATAAGCAGCTAGTTCAAATCATTGACTTCCTTGCCGTCTATATGTAAGGCAATCATACTTTCAACTACTAGACTCAAACCTCGTCGTAATCCTGGGAAAAAGGATTCGTTTGTACTTGTCACTGTTCCACAGCAATGTCCTCACGTTTGAGTAGTTGGATTTTTCCTGTCGGAGCTGAACGGGTACCTTCCTCATCTTGGCTAGCACTTGCGCCCTTTTTTCTGAGTAAAGTCCTATCATAACTCGTTGGGTCAATTCCAAGCACTCCGCCCACGTATCCTCCACGTTCCCCAGGAACACTAAATTCGCGGAACACATATTTCCACTCGTTCAGCCACAGTTTGACGGCCTTCCCAACCTTATCTTTTCCATTCTTAGAGTGATGTCCGGTGCCGGTAATAGCGTATAAGGTGCGGTCTTCATGCGAATGCTTCACAAGTATTTTCTCGAGGTAATCAACTGCTTCTTCGGGATGAAGACCGTGGAGATCGACATACAATTCTTCAAGATCGTCTTGGAGACCATTGTTCACAAGATGCTGGTTACGTTCGTCGTATAGGTATCGAGCAGCCTCCCTGTGGCATTTGCGCATGGCCTCGTTTTCTGCTTGGCCTCGGAGTGATAAAGCCTTCGCCGCTCTAGAGTCGTTTCGATTCCACGCTTGTGCAGCACTGGGTACATGTTAACAGAGTTCGTCAGCCCTGGTATCAAGAGCTTGCTTACCTTTGCAGAAATTTGTTACGCACGGTGCCATGGCGGATAGCATCCGTGCGGTATTTGATATACTGTTGATTAGCCCTAGCACCAGTCTCGAGCCAGGGAATATTCTTGGGTGCCGGAATAGCTAAGGCTGCAGCACTAAGTTCTCGTGCCTTCACGCTTTCTTTAGCAGGCTTGGATGACTTTGCTTTGCCAGGTCCAGGTGAAGGCGACATGCGAACCACGTCTGCTAGCGAGCTCGGGCCAATTTCCTTGTTGTTGTTATGCCCGCCTCTTTTGCCGTGATGTTTTTTGCCAGGGGTTTTGGCTGATACTGCTGAAAGCGTGGGGAAGGCTTCGGGGTCGTCAACTGACAACGGTGATGGGTTCATATCACGTTGTTGATGGCGGCTTGTCGGTCGGGAGTGAGGACGGCTGGAACTTATGCCGTTATTTCTCCGTCCACCTACAAAGGGTGATGAGCTGCCATTGGGATCAGTAATCAGGACGTGATTCCCGTGTCTCCTTGGGTACAAATTTGGCCATTGTTCCGCAATGCCTCCACCTGACTGCAATGCGGGAAAAGCTTCACGGGTGTTTTCCAATTGAAAAGTCGGTTGAGGGCTTGCGGCTTGTTGATTGGGCCCATCAGTAATACTCATACCGCCTATCAGGGCAGTGGGATCATGTGAAAAGGGGCACCCATCACCAGCAAGACAGTTGCCCATCATCCAGTATCTGCCTCAATTGATTAGCAATTCTTGTTATCGGACAACCTTAATTGATACATACTTGCAGATATGCCCCGTTAGATCATGGCTATAACTACAATCTGCCCGCAGGCACGATCCGGTGGATAGCCAGTATTTGCAAGGAGGCGCGCGCGTATGGCTAGGCGGAGTAGACGGTCGTGCTTGTTCCATTACCATGGACTTTCCAATGAGAACCCGGCGTTCATCCAATCCTTGACTATCCTCCTTGGAGTCTTGCGAAAGCGCAGCGATGGTTGCGCCGAGGTCATAATTATGTGTTTCTAAGGCGGCTTCGATCTCTTCGTTGGTCTTTTGATCTCCTAAAACTGACCTCAGGATATCATGCGGACTCATGTCTGGTATGAATTCAGGTGCCGATGCACTGAGTCCTCCCAGAGAAGAGGTAACGCTTGTAGCGTCATCTGCCACCAACCAATCCACGTTACTTTCGCTGCCAAAATCACCGTATAATTCAGACGTAGGGCTTTGATCGGAGAACTCGTACGCGTTCAGATTCGGAGAGTGAGGGATTGGCTGTGCGAAAGCCAGTCGAGGAGAGGGTCGCGGGGAAGTGAAAGGGGACACAGTCGATGAGCGCGGCCCTCGCGAGAGCCCAACTCTGGCGAGGTGAAAGCTCGAGGGTGCAGCTGGGCTAGTGCCTGTCATCGATGGCGAAGATATCGGAGTCGATGATCGTGCAACCTGCCAGGGCGCGGGCGATGAACGGCGGATGACTGTATGCCTACTCGGAGGAGGCGATGCATCTGGCCTGGCCTCGTTGCGCTGGCGCCATAAGACATCCAGGACTGCATTTTCTAACGATGGGCCGGATAATGTAGTATTTTGGCGCAGCAACTCTTCGATCTGTTCTGTCTGCTCCTCCTCATCAAGGCCCTTGTTTTGGAAGATAGATTGGCAGAGCTCAAATAGCTCCTCCGACACCATGTTGGGCTTTCAACAAAGGAACAGCGAAGTTTGCGCTGATACGCTGAGAAATGAAAAAGAAGACAAAGAATTAGTCAGTTATCTGAACAGTGAATTCACTCGATATATGAAGTCGTCGGGCAATCGGGGGACATGGAAGCACGTGAAAGCCGGATGATATCGTTGTGTGTTTTGGCGGGGAAGAAGACTCGCAGGGGGCAGTGACGCGACGAGGCCAGGCAGTCAGATACCCAGCAATAGTCACATTGTATCAGACTGCGCCGAGGAAACAATGAGCATGGACAGGGTATATGGGCAAAAAAACGAGAGCACAGCGCAGCCAAAAGAGTGAAATTCAGACGATGGACGGTGGTGATGGAGAAGGCGGGCAGTGGCTTTGAGGATGGGAAGCTGTGGTGGAGGAGGGCGAGGGCCGATGCGGGCTGGGCGGAACATTATTTACGAAACGATGATAAGTAGCGCAGCGCTAGAAGGCTGTATTCTTTAGCCTGTCCCTGCTATTGGTAGTATCAAAATTGTATTGTCGCATTAGTCTCTCCTTTCTAGTACAATCCAACGATTGGGCTGGCATGAGGCAAATAACAATACTACTGCTACGAGAGATGATTGCGTATGGCCCTACATTATAACTGACAACTCCCAAATGACCCAATATTCATAATCCATAGCACCGGGCTGAACGTAATATTCTGTGCCTGAACAACACACAATGGGCTGTGAAACCTGTCGACACTGTCCATCATGTGGGGAGGGGCCTGGATCCTCAAACCTGATCCTGTGTCGCATAGTATTGTCTATTCTATTATGCGAGATTAAATTAACGGCCTAAGGAGCCGGAGGTAGCGGTGCATCGGATCCTTGTCTGACAGTCATTCAAGCATCAAATGCATTCGAAATGGAGCGCTCAACAAACCAACATGATTTGATATTCGATGTTGAAGGAGAAAAGAGAGCAAAACAAGCCCAGGGAGCGATGACGTTCTCAGCCGGTTACGGTAGAACGCGTAATTAACCTCCAACTGGCGGGTGTAACGGTTCTGTGACAATACACGTAACTTGTTCTTTCCCAGGGCATGTCTCACAGCCAACATTGACGACTACTCTACCACGCCCATCCACCACATGCCCACGGTGCCGATATGTCAGACTGTCGCATATAGTACACTAATACAGTAGCCAGCAATATTCACGGTATGCAGCGGCGCTGAAAGCAGGAGTCTCCGAGCTAACAGTGTCATTTCCAGCTCCGAACCAAACATCGCCTCAATCATAGCAACAAGATCACCCATGAACTGCCGTGGAAACAAGAGCTATTGAAGTAGCTCTGGCCTTGCACCAAACCCACCCCCAGGCCTCAATCGCAATTCTGCGCTCTCGCCCTCCCCATTGCGATGCCTGCCGATTACCAGTCCACCGCCCGAGCGCTGTCACTTCCCATCTCAGAGTCTGAAGAATCCGACACGCCTCTGTTCGCCGGTATTCTTCCACCATGGAGCCAATCCTCTATTATGAGACGCGGCTCTCTGCCTCTTTCCACGAGAGAAGCCGCCACTTTCCGAGACCGAATGATCAATAAAGCCGAAGCCACGTATCGCACATTCAGAGATCGGTGGAGTAAGATGACTCTCAAGCAGAAGCTTGTGTCGTCACTTATCGGCTTTCTAAGCATGCTTGCTGGCTTAGCTTTTTTGTTTTTTGCAGGTCGGATCTTTATTTGGTTAGGGCCTGTCGCAGACCGATGGGAACATGCGCCCTGGGCTTACATCGTGGTATGGCTATCCGTCATTCTCGTCTCTTTTCCCCCAATGGTAGGGTGGTCAACAATAGGGACTGTTTCTGGGTTTCTTTTTGGTTTTTGGAAGGGGTATGTTGTGAAACTTTCGCTATTACGATGTGCGTCTTGTTAATCATTCTGTAGGTGGATTCTTTTCACCACGGCTACTATAGTAGGATCGACCCTTTCTTTGATAGTATCACGCACGATCCTCTCAAGCTTTGTTCATCGCTTGCTCGAGAATGATAAACGATTTGCCGCGCTTGCCTTGACTCTTAAGTACGATGGGCTCAAACTTCTCTGCATGATTCGACTGTGCCCGCTGCCGTATTCGATATGTAACGGCGCCATGTCTACATTTCCGACTGTCAAACCTCTCAGTTACGCCATTGCTACCGCGGCTATTGCGCCAAAGCTGATGGTGACTGCTTTCATTGGCAGTCGCATTCGTATTCTATCCGAAAACAACGAACAAATGAGTGCGGGTTCCAAGGCGATCAATATCATTAGCATTATCGTTACCGTTTCAATTGGCATTGGCACTGGTATATATATTTACAGAAGGTAAGTCTTCCCTTTTCGTATCCAACAAGCACTCACCAACCAATCAACATCAGAACGCTAGCCCGCGCCAAAGAATTGGAGGAGCAGGAGCGCGCTGCTATTCGACGCTCAATAGATGCCGACCACGCTGCAGGGCGTCCTCATCGATTTTCTGACGACCGGGATGTCAATACAGCAGCCACCACTTTAGCCCGCGATGAAGAAGAGCAACTCGGATTCCATGATATCGATGAAGATAACGTCGATATTGTTGTGGAAGGAGATAATTTGGATGTCCATGGAACTAGATCATACCGAGACGATTTCACTGATAACGACTCTGATGTCTTCCAAGACGATGACGGAGAGGACTCGGAAGCATTTGGCCTTCATACCCATGTACAGCGCTAGTCGAATCAACAAGGCCGGCGTTCTCCCGTATATAAATTCGTCTTGGCTCACAGTTGTAATAATTTTGTGTATGCGTTATGTAGACAGATAGACGATGACTCTCCAAATATTCGTTAGAGCATATTGCGAAATGAATGCCTTGGCCCGGCCTCAGTTAAAACTTTCATTCCGGGACAATGCCTCCAATTTGGATTCATTGGACCGGGGGCCACCCGATGCCATTATGCCAAAGTTACCCCGGACGAACTGGAAAATTATCTTGATCTCTTCTTTCCAGATTTGCTGTGTTTCTTTCCACCACCACTTCCTCCATCGCCTCCCCCGCCTGATATTCGACTTCCTGACGAACCTCGGCCACCAGATATGCTGTTTAGTTTGTGAAGTTTCACCTCTGCTTTCGGCTTCCTTCCAGAGTCAGGCTCATTAGGATCCTATGGAGACTAATGTTAGTTTCTTCGACATTTGGCATCGATCTGGTCACTAACCATAATCATAACCTGTTTCTTTGGCTTAAAATTCCCAAAACTCCTTCGACCACTTTCTTGAGGCTCTGTATCTAGAGAATCGGCTGCGAGAATCGAAGGTTTTGCAGGATACGCGGAAACTGGTGACCCGCCAGTGCCATGATAATCCAACACCCACTCAGACTCGCCTGCTTCAGCCGCCTGTCGGGTAATGGCTTCTGCGCGTTTCTGTTCTTCGGCCGCAAGAGCAGCGTTGACGGCTTCTAAATCAGAGAGAGGCTGTGCCGGGCTGCTGGGCGCTGACAGGCGTGGTCGCTTGGGTGAGGGCGTTTCTGGCTGTTCTTCTACTGTCGGTTGGGCGGCTGATGCCGCTGCTCTCTGCATGAACTATAGCATTGGTTAGGGTATACTCCTTGTATTTCAGTCGCTGCCACCTTACTTTCATTGTCAGAAGCCGGGAAGACATGGTCTTCGCCGGCTTTGGGTTGGGCCCTGGCGCTAAGCTGTCGGGCATAGTGAGTAGGTAGACCTGGGATTATTATAATTAATCAAGGGTCTAGGTTCGATATCGCGCCTGGCGCGAAGGGTGTGTGCTGTAGCAGAAAAGTGAATTGGAGAAACAACCATCACATTATTATCTGCCGCAAAAGCTAAAAGCGATGCCAGCCCGTGATTGGCCACCGCCTGCTCCCGCGCACCCGCCGAGCTTGGCTTTCGGCTTGACCACACCTCAAACCCTCCCGCTTCTCTGCAACGCATCTCTCAGCAAACACACCCCCAGTTCACTCCCTCACCACCGCGATGCTCTCGTCAGCCAGGAGTAGGATTGCTTCCGCCGCGCTCTCGGCGTCTCGGTCCGGCCGATTGGCCTCCAGGGCCTCTTACTCCGTGAGCGCCGCTCGCTTCGAAAACACCCTTCCACCCAACGACCCCGTTACCAGGAAGCCCGTCCCCAACGTGTCTGCTACCAATGCTGTTCCGGTAGACTCGATGGGCGCTTTCGATGGAAAACTTGCCGAGACACCCGAGCATGGAGAGCAGAATCGCCAACTGCAGGCTCCCAACCGTGCGTCAACCTGGGCGAAGAGCCAGGCCCCGAGAGAAGAGGCCATGACCGGTCCTCGGTTCGAGCAGACGATTATTGAACTTCAGGTTCGTTAAGCCTTGTGCGTCTGAATTGAGCTAGCGAATGGGCAGCATTATATCATTCGCTATCTAAAGCAGACTTCCCCATGAGCATTCAACATCATATTCTAACAATTTCTGAGTAGCCTCAACCTTACGCTGCCATTGAACTCATCCACAAGCAACCCGTCAGATGGACAAAGAGCAGAGTTGTGTCCTGCGATGGCGGCGGTGGTCCGCACGGCCACCCGCGCATCTTCATCAACACGGACAAGGCCGAAATCGCTACATGCGGATACTGCGGTCTGCCATTCGTGCGTTGACCACTCTTTTACCCTTTGACTGTTTGACTAACTAGCGAAATTTCAGGCCCATGAAAAACACAAAGCATACCTCAAGTCCTTACCCAGCTCCTCATATCCTCTCGAGCCCACTGGGCACCCTGCCGAGGTGGAAGAAGCCCAACGAGTCACCGACGGAGCCTTCGAGCAGCGATGAGCGTGACCAGTATATACATTCTCTGTACCGTATTCGAATGTCTTTTTGTCTCCTTTATCAGTGGCGTTGAAAACCTTGTTCTACCTTACCGTTTCATTTATGATCTTGAGAAATGCTCTCCTACATATGTATGCTATACGTAAGAAGTAGGTGTGGCGGCGTTTGACATTATCTATCAACATGTCGCCGTTTTACATGATAGAATGTTCACTGATCATTGATCACCAGAGTTCATTCAGTAGATTTATGCTCAATTAGACAAGGACTGTCGAGACATTCACACATCCCTATTCCATGCAATATATATGGGTCTTTGGTCTCGCCGTGAACTCCACCTCGTCTCTCCATGTATTTGAATATATACTTTGGTTCGGCCCATCCACAAGATATCAGGTATTGGCCAAAGCACCGTTCAAATATGGAATTTCTCCCACGCGACAAACTATTTTGTAGGACTAGGCAATCGTACACCTAGCGGGGACGATCTCCTTGGGTTTCTAGGTTTATCAACGCTTCACAGATTGTGAGTCACGAGGTGAATTTGCGAGATATAGACGGGTCCAAGCAGAGCTTGATCTATGAAGAGCCAATCTTGCTTTCAGATGCAGTCCTGGTTGGGCAGGTGCCAGCGTACTAGCAGTGACACTAAGCGCTCATGGGTACACACCATCACTGGCATCCGCTCATTGGATCCCCGGCCTTGCTGATTCAGCTTCAACTTTCACTCAGCAAATAAGGCTCGTCCCAGATGATTTTTGAAGCCTCGCACACAGAGCAATGTCTTCATCCCAACATGACGACCTTTTTGATCTTTTCAAGCTGGATGCAGTGGTAACAGACAATTACACAACGCATGTCGAATATAGAAATGACCGAGTTCGAGGTATACGCAAGGAAAAGATCGAAAATAGGTGGTATAGAGAACGAGATATTGGGGAAGGCGCCTTTGGAAAAGTGTGGCTTGAAGTCAGAAGAGATACTAATGATAAACGCGCGGTCAAAAGAGTCAGCAAGTTGCTGATGCTGGACTATAAAAAGGAACTTTTAGCGTTGGCAAAGTTCTCCAAGGACAAATATCAACAAGAAGGAACGTTCGTCAAATTCTTTGGGTGGTTTGAAGATTCATTGAATATTTTCCTTGCCATGGAATTTCTCGAACTTGGTGATTTAGAGCAATATATCACTGCAACTGCATCCATTAGCGAGGATGAAGTGAAGGAAATAACAATTGACGTGCTAAATGGGCTCCAGATAATGCATTATGAAAAATTTGCTCACCGCGATCTTAAACCAAGCAATATATTTGTTGTGCAAAAGCCACCAGAATCAAGGTGGTGGGTGAAAATTGGAGATTTTGGAATCTCGAAACGAGCTGAACATGGTATAACATCATTGCACACGGTAATTGGCACTCCTCATTATATGGCTCCTGAGATTACTGGCGATCTCGATATAGATGAGCCAACATCAGTATACGATACCGCTGTCGATATGTGGTCATTGGGCTGCGTTATATATAAAATAGCAACACAGCGGGTACCATTTTCTACTTTCAAAGACATGAAGAAGTTCTATTATGGCAAAACGCCCTTTCCTGAACAATTGCTATTGGAGAAGGCGGCTTGCAGCGTAGACGGAGTGCGGTTTATCAAAAAGTTAATTCTCCCAAACCCCAAGGATCGGTTATCTGCCCCGAGTGCGCTTGAACAACCGTGGCTATCACAAACGAAATGCAGTCATTCGGTAGGAGTTCCGGATGCGACCCCGAACAAAATAGGAGATGAAAACATGTCGCTTCCCCCGACGCTCTGCGATGAAACCGCGAGGACCCCGCCAACACAAGGGACAATGGGTTCCACGCATGAGAAGGCCGCGTCCAACCAATCCTCCTTGCCAGACGACGTCCTCCAAGGTCTGTTGACTCGACTGGAAGACGCCAATGAAGATACCCGGGTGGCTGCTGGTAGAACTCTAAGCAGCCAATCCTCTTTATCAGACAATTTTCTTCAAACTTTGATACCTCGACTCAAATATTCCAATTGGTTTGTCAGGTCAGTCGCTACTAAAACATTAGCAAACCAATCCTATCTATCAAACGACATTCTTCAAGCTCTAGGGTCTCTACTGGAGCATTCGAATTTGCACGTTAAGAGAGCTGCTATTAAAGCCCTACAAAATCAATCTTCATTGCCAGACAATGTAATCCAAGCTCTGAGGTCTCAACTGGAAGAAGACTGCGATTGGCGTGCCGTTGAGGATACTGTTGTAGTCCTGGGAAACCAGTCCTTCTTGCCAGAGAACGTCTTCCAAGCCCTTATGCCTCGACTGGAAGATTCTAGAATCAACACCAGGTTAGCTGTCGTCAAGGCTTTGGGCAATCAGCCTTCCTTACCACACAAGGTCCTCCAAGCTCTGGTGTCCCGACTGAAAGATTCAGATATGATGGTCAGATTGGCTGCTCGCGAGGCTTTGGACCGCCAGTCCTACGAGTATTCAGATGATGACGACCCTGTTTATCTTGAGGATACCAGATCGTAACATATTGCATATCACTTCACTTCTTTCTTAGAAGGGTTCTACGTGCTTGAGATCGAACTTGGCCTGTTCACTTCAACAGAGTCGAAGGTTCTCCTGACAGTAAGAGCGGAACCAGCTCCATTCCCATGAGATCCGTCTGTTGCTCAGCAAGTGCCTTTTTGAAAAAGATATGTAGTACGCTCGAGTGCCTGTTTGATCAGGTTTCACTTAATTCCCCTTTTTTTCTTTTTCTTCTACCATGACGATATCGATATGAAACGTAATCATACTGTAGTCTTGTCTAATACGTGGAAATTATCCTCGCCAAACACAACTTCTTATTACATATAACACGTTTTTGTTCTAGATGATTATTGCGTATGAAAGCCCTTGTCTCTCTACCCATCGAGTCACGCAGTTTCCCCTTGAATCGTCGCAACTACTCTCCTTGAATGCAAACTGTCCCTAAACTCCAAGTACCAAATCCCCTGCCATGTGCCCGTCGCAAGTCGACCGTTGGAAATCGGGATTGTTACACTTGCCCCGATAAGGGCTGATTTTATGTGAGCCTATTCCAAGAACACCAGACCATCACGTTAGTAAGATTAAGATTAAAGGGAAAAAAAACAACAAGAGGACCGTCGTAAATATATTCTGTACGCACCGGCATATCATCATCTCCCTCATCGTTATGTTTGTATAGATTCCCCACCTTATCCTTCGGGGCAATACGATCGAGCGCATTACTCATATCGATTCGCACAGTCGGATCATAATTTTCGTTGAGCGAGAGCGCGCACGAGGTATGTTGGATGAACAGGGTGAGGAGCCCGACTTTGTAGTTCCTGATCTCGGGGAGCTCTTTGACGACGGTATCAGTAATCAGATAGCTGCCGCGAGCGCGGGAGGGGAGGGTGAATTGTTTCTGAAACCAGGACATGGTTTCGATGGGTGGGGGAGATGATGATTGCGGGGATGAGAAAATGAAGCTCTGGAGGCCGCCGATAAAGAAATTGGGGAAAAGGGCAAAGAGGATGAGAAGCTCGAATATAGCGAATTTGGATAGTAAGGACATGTACTGGATTGTGCTTCGTAAAGATAAGTCTGGCATCTCGATGGCCAATTGACTTTGATGTCAATATTTGACGGTGGGGAAGGGGAGCTGTCCCGCTTTGACGTCATTCTCCGCGTCTGTACGGGTAACTTTATTTATTATAATACAGTAAAACCAGGGATTAAGGAATCGGTTTTGCACGGGACTTAAGTCTCTTAATATGAGAGATTTCTTAATCTAATTATATGGTAGCTTCTATAAATAGTTAGATTTTTTATTTAAAGTAAATCTCATGTGATATTTCCCAATAAAAATTCACTCTTTTTAAGCAACTTTGGATAGCAAAGGGGCAAAGTGATAAGGAATTTTAAAATCTATCTCAGGCGTACACGAAGCCACTTTTGACCGCCGTAGATACTCTCTATGCATTATCCTGAGATGGCAAGACAAATTCAGTATTCAATATTATACCCGAGCCTATTGGTTGCACGGCCTTACTATTAAATTGCACTTACATGACTTTCCACTCACAAGGATATTTTATAGACAAAGCGGGATAGAAAATCTATTCATCCAAGCCCTAGGCCTCGGCCTTAGGCAGTAACGCGACAAGCTGTCACTATTGCATAGAATACAAATGTGACCGAGTTCCTTATTGTTCACCACCACGTCCCAAGTCACACACCTCTTCCACTCAAGCGTGCCGACAAACCTCAATCGATGGTGTGAACAGGCACAGCTGGCGAAGGTAACAATCCGCCAACCGAGCTACCTGAGGCTACTCGGAGAGGAGGCTACTTTAATAAGAGAGAATGTTATTCTTCCTATGGGATTCAACGACCACTTGGAGTGCCGTTTTCTGCTCCAAGCGTAATAATGCCCCTAAAATGAAAAGAAAAAAATCCCAATCGACTCCTACATAATGACCGCGATGAGATCGTGATACATAAACATCATACATGAATTTTTTAGGCCGTAAAGATCGGTGGAGCAAGTCCATTCCTTTGACTCATGAATGAAAAATAATCTTCCAAGACGCTTGATAGAGGTAAATGAGAAACCAGTGCCAGTTCATTCAAATCAATGCGACAGCAAAATACCGATGACGTAAAGTTACATGCCCCTCTCTATGTTGTGCAATAAGCTTCCCTCGGCAAATTGACTTGCGGGCGTCATGTCTAGGAGAGGACGAGTAGTATGGCGGTCACCAGTAGCAATACCACGACCAACTTCGATATTTGCCTGTCCAGTGGCTGGGCTGTTTCCCGAGAGAGCTACCAGTCCATTCGGCATGAATGGGAAATTCGGCGAGTTGATCATCTCACCGTGTTGTGGGCTTCTGATGGTGTTTGCGCGGCGTGAAATAATCGAAGCAGCGGATGACTCGTTAGCTGTAACCGGCTGGGCTTGCTCTCGTCTCCATGTAGTTGCTGATGGGATATCGGGCACTCCAGGGATCGGTTCAAGGCCTGTAGCAGCTTCCACCAGCGGCATTCCTGGCCCAATCTTGACCCCGTGTCCCTTTCGCGCATGCTGAGGGGGCTCTCGGTAGACAGGTGTCAGATCAACTAGTGGTTTTGGCTTCTGGCGAACCGAGTTTGATCGGCTGTGCGAGACGTCTTCAGGGTGGTGGTGAGAGGGCACAGTATTCGAGCGACCATTGTTGTGGCGAGTCGAAGGGTTACTAAATGGCATGCTGTGAGATGAAGGGTTTGAAGTTGATGGGCTCAGATTGTTCAGAAGTCCCTGAGACATGAAAGCCTCGTTTTCTTTCGCTTCGCGCTCACGCTGGGCAGCTTGTCGTTGACTGTAGACCCTACCGAGGAGACTGTCCGGTGAAAAGGTGGAGCCGTCGTCTTGTTCCGAGATGGAACCATTTCCAGTGTCAAGTTTTGTAAGAGTAGAAGAATACGAGGTAGGCGGCGGTGCGTGATCTCGGGTTTTCTTCTTGCGTAAAAACATGTCCCTCGAATTGCCAGAACCATTATACTCAACGCTGCGTTTGTCAGACATTTCAACATCAGACTCCGCGTTGCGGCCAAATTCTACCAATGGTTTGAACGAGCCCAATTGATAAGGGGCGGAGTCAGTCGACATGTGATGGCGGTGACGCAGCTGGCCGTGTTCATCTCCAGGCATTGCACTAGACTTGACTGTCTCTTGGTGTTTCTCGCTCAGTTTAACGACATGGACAAGGTACCAACATCGCCAACCATGCACTGCATCGTACCAGTTTTGCGCCAACTGGGCATCGCTCGTCGCAAAAAAGTGCACAAAGTTTTCGGTGGAAACAAACAGCGAGGACTTCTGCTGGCTCTTGATGGCAAAGCATATCTTCTTTGGTGGACGTAGTTTCTTGGAAAGCTGGCGATTGGTGGGTGTGTAAATGTCAAAGTCCGATATATGGCAGATATTGCTGTAATCCTTGGCTTCTTTCGGGTCTGATTTCTTGGAGATAACCACCTGTCCATCAGTACGCAGAGTCACATAGCGTTTGTCCCATTTGCCAGGCTTTGATGAATAGTAAAGATAAAATGTAGCATCACTTGGTTGAGTTGCTGGCGCCGCTTTAAGCTCCAACCTATCACTGGCCCCTTCGTATGGCGACTCTGAAATAACAAGCGCGTTTGCATCTTCGACTGTCCAAGAATTCATAACATCGCGAACATGCTCGTATCGTCGGAGCGGTCGCTCGAGACCTAGCGAAGAGAATGACTCGAGCATGATGGCAGTTTTTGAATCAATGTTTGCAGAAAACAAGTTTGTGGCAGAGTAAACAAGATCCTTCACACGAGTGGTTGGCAGCACTGGCAGATGTATGGAGGTAGAATTGTGTTTTATCAGCACTCGCCTTTCACCAGCATTGACAGCGGAAAGAGGAGCGTCAATGCCAGGGAAAAGAGGCTCGGCGTTGCCCTGTGTGGCTTCTGGGCCAGGCTTGTCGTGGGAGCGAGCATGATCTGCAGATGCTTTGTGTCGTGAAAACCCAAACTTGTCTTTCCAGGAAGCTCGCTTGTGTGCATTGGCTGATTGTATATCGGATTGTTTCAGTTCTTGCCGTTTCTCCATGTCTGGCGCCTTCTGTTTCAGGTGCTGTTGTATTGCTGGTGCACGTGAAGCCGCTCTGGGCCTTTCCGCCATTGTCAGCGCCCTCATGGCTTCCTCCCTCATCCTGGCTTTCTCGACCTCGGACAATTCTTCGTCGTCAGCTTGATCGATGCGCGCTTCAACACCTCGATTATTTCCACGTGTCGCCGTCTCGCCGATCTCGTTCCGTGCCGCTCCCTCTGGGCGCGGCTTCGCGCTTGATTTTGACCCGTGGGACTCTGCGGTAGTCTGTGCGACGACGTGCCAGGGCTTGTTGATCGGTGACGAGGTCTGGCTTGCTGTTGGCAGCGCTGGCATCGGGGGAGTGTCTATGGCAGCAGGACCGGTCGGTGCAGTCCTATGGCGACGGTATCGAGACATGCTCCGTGCAATTGTGTCGCTCTGTGCTTTCGCAGCAAGCATTGGAGGAGCACACTTTGCGCTCTCCTCTTGGGCTTGTCTCTCTGCATCCGCAGCAGCAGCACGGCGCACGGATTTATATCGTGAGAACTTGGGCGTGATTCTCGCTGGGGGTGACTCGAATTGGGGCTCCATGGCGGTAAACGACTGCCATCCACTGGCACCAGACCTGGAAGTTGGTGTTTTCTTTGGGATATCGAGTCACGCAGTCAGGAATAAGTGTGCAGCCGTGATCCCATCAAAAAGAACCAACGAAAGAGACAGAATGCAACGGTGAAAAGATGAAAGTGAATGGATATGGGTGAGAAGAAAGGGCGTTTGCAGGTCGTCGCGACTTCAAGCCTTCAGATCAACGCTGTTCCTAATGTGAACACCGCCAATCACTTTGTTGTGTTGCAAACGTTGTGGTGCGCCTATCCGAACTGGCCCCTGTCAGTACCTTTGACAGCAGGACCGGATGTGTGAGCATGTTGCGCACAAAGAAACCTGCTAGGAACAGCACTTACTTGGGAGAGTAGACCCTCGTATCCCCGGCATCACCATGAGAACGAAATCAAGGCACCGGGCACCCCAACTATCGAGTTGCGTGCGTGAGGTGAGGATCTTAGGTTGGGCATACCACGTCCATTTTTTCCCACGTCGCGGCGCGTGCGAGGCTGGCTTGGCTAATTTAAAAAAATGAAGGCTAGCGCATTGAGAGCGTAGCACGCGAGCCAATCCCCTCCTGGCGCCCAGGGCCTCGCGATGGAATAATCTGGATGATCGATCACTTTGCCCAGCTCAACATCTGCTAGTTTACTGCTACTATTTCTCCAGACTTGGAATAATGCCGCGCCAGGACGGGGCGCCGCCGTTGGTGGGTCGCGTCACCAAATTGGCTTCTTTGCCATCGCATATGGCTGCAGCGTTCCAGATCTTTGTTGTCGCAGAGTTCAAGGGCGTCCGATCAGTCGGACTGTGTTAGAAATCCTACGATGCGTCGGCCACAGTCGCCTGGGTGGTACAATAGTTGCACGAGACCGTTGCGCTTGATCGCCGACACTGTCCGGTGGTGGAGACTCCATGCATGTTTTTTCTACTAGTTAGGCGCGTTTCGTTTGCGATGCTCATTTACGATGCAGGGTTCCAAGAGGATGTAATCCTGTAGTGCCTCTTTCGGAGTCTTAACCCAGCCTTTCGATCGACTGACTGGGCATGGGTGTGCGAGTATGCGACAGCAACGGAGGCCAGTTCCGAGCCAGCTGAAGCCTTACGGTCGCTGATCATCTCCTCCACTGTCTCCAGCATGAGACTAGGAGTCGATCTGAGTCGAGGATGAAGACGCATGCTAAAAATAACCGTCGAATGAACAACGCTAGGCTTTCTGTCCTTGCATACAACGCGTCGGTGAGCATTCACGCGATCATTCTTTATCTGATTTCTGTTTCCATTTACGTAGTGTGTATAAGATATATATATGTAGGGTCGATGAGAAATTGTTTTCAGGCTTAACGACCCAGCGCGTTCCTCGTGTCGTTACTGGGGCCTTTGACGATTCGGATTTATTGAATTAGATTTGAAACCAACGCATTTTGGTATATAGAATTGTCATTTATAAATTTGACTTCAAATTAACGAATTGCAAGGCTTAGCAAATTTTCACATCATAGGGCATCAGAAGCACTAATAAATTACTAGGAGATCTGGATACAAGCTAAGATAAATAGATGCCTGGCCGTTATTTAATACGGTACCTGAGTATACGTGTATTGAATATGTCGGTTTGCCGGGCAAGACTCCCCTTTAGTCCATGAACTAATTGACTCTTGACTACTCAATGTTAAGTTAGTAGCTCCGAGCACAAACTACTACAAAATCCCTGTCAACCCCTTTGCATTTCACAGGATGATAAATCTTCAAACAGACGTTTAATTTCTATCAACTCAGATAAACATTCCCGGTCAGCCAATATGAGGAATCGAATCCTAGCTGGAATACTTCTGACTACTACCGTCCTGTCCACACACGCCCAGACAACCACAGGGTATAACCGACCCATCAAAAAGCATATCTCAAAGCTGACGATTAACAGGTCATCATGTCCACTACAGCAAGACATAATGAATATGCAAGATGCCGACAATATGAACCAGGCCATTGAGTCCGCATATTCAAGTTTCGACCAAATTCCAGCCTACTCCAGTGCAAATGCCGTGTTCGAGGCGGCTCTGACCTCCTTTCCTGAAGACGTAACATCCTCGCTATCATGCTCGGGCTTTGGCGGGATCGATATCAGCCATCTTCCTACCTGGCTGGCTCCCCTTCCAACTTCAGTCGTCAGCCTCGTCTTGCAAGAGGAAAGTGTTTATGAGTCAATCATCAGCTCCTATGCTCGGGCGGCCAGCGTCACCTCATCAGTAAGCCCGCCGATTAGGGAGTCCAGCACCATCCCTATGTCTACCAGCAAGCCCACCTCTGCAGCCTCTGCAGCCTCTGCAACCTCTGCAACCTCTGCAACCTCTGGAACCTCTGCAACATCTGCAACATCTGCAACATCAGCCTCTCTCACTTCTACAGCGAAGGCTACACCCTCTTCATCTACGGCTGCAGCATCAAGAATCTCGGAACGCCTGACCAGCGGTATCCTAGTAGTCACTAGTTTGATCTTAGCCGGACTGCTGTGATCCAACTCGGGCTTACCCCATTCAATTCGTTCTGTTGTTTCCTAAGTTGTTATAGGCTATCACCTGCTTTACCCCTGGCCATATCTGACGCCGCTTCCTAATTCGTATACTTATACCCCTGTTGCTATCGTTTAATTTGTTTTTGGTTGTGTGAAGGCTCGAGGCGGGGCCGTATAAAGTAGTAATCTTGGTATCTAATTTAGACACCCCCTGTCTAACCAGGCACGACGGACTGTTCGTCAGCTATGTTTGAGTGATTAAATCTGAGACACATCAGACGTGCTCGCGTTATTGGCTAGGTGTCGAGAGATCGAGTCATTTTCTAAAATTATTCCGCCATATTAATGCCTAGCTCCGCAGTCTAGCCCTCCAGTTAGGCCTAGAGCCTACTATTCGACAGGAACAAATCAAATTCCCCTGCCGGAATCAAGCGGCGTTGCGCTAGTTTCAGTGTTATTTGACGTATCATTAAAAACCACTAAAACTCCATGCAGCTAAGGAAAAGGAGAGATTAGATCGGACACAGGACTATTGATTCAAAAGACAGGATCAATTTGCGACTTCCATCATGTTTCGGGTCAACCTAGACAGACCGGCTTATACTAACACATTAGAAATTTGAATGGAATCAAAAATAGATGATGATGAAGCGAAATTCTAGGCTTGTTGATAAGGACGGTCAGTATTGCACATTAGAATGAATTAATACCCTGGTTATTTCGCAGGCGTTCTAGGCCTCAGGCATTGCCACAAGGTAACAACAATAATGAACCTCGCATATGTATTGAATACTACATAGTTATATCATTTGATTCTTTGCCCCTCATGATTTGCTTGATGCATGAGAAAACTATCTTCATGACCTAGCGAATATCCGTCAAGCTGTTATCGCAAATCCATTAAAGATTATTTTCATTTCGTCTATACTTGAAACTTTTAGCCCTAGCAATATTATGCTCATTCAGCAAGCAGCTGTTTGCGTCGATTCACTTTATCAAATAAAATGACCTGACCACAGGTTAGTTGTGTCTAAACTAATACAGAGAACGACTCACCACCAGTCGTCAAATCCCACCGTCTTGGTATTTATGCCAATTTCTTTCAACACCTTTGTCGACAGCTGCGTGTTGTATGGTCTCTGCACAGCTGCATTAGGGTCATTTCCTTCTTTATTCGCAATCATGCCGGGAATCTCCACGCCGAGAATTTTTGCAAATCGCTGAGCAATCTCGTACTTGGTCATATTCTCCTCGGCCGAAAAATGCAAAATCTTCGGCAACGACTGAATATGTTTTTTGTCCTTGATAAATCGCACTGCCACATCATTGCACACCCGCCCGACGTCCAGTGTATTGGTCGGGTATCGCTGCGCCCAGTCGTCCATTTTGATCCCTGCGTCTGGATTCTTACTCGCCTTTTCGACCGCGTCCAGAATCGTATTCACTGCGCTTTCACTATTCGACTCGGCAGGTCCGTACAGGACGGGTACGCGGAGGACAATCCCTAGTCCGCTCTCCTTGGCCACGTCGAGCACGGCGATCTCGCCATCCCGTTTCATTTCACCGTATATATTAGTCGGCTTTGGCGTGGCGTCCACCTCATATGGTGCTTCGCCTTCTGTGCCGGGAAACACATAGTCGGTTGAGATGTAAATCAGAAGGATGCCACGGGATGATGTCCCCTCTGCAAGACGGCGTGTGGCTTCGACGTTTATTCTGCGCGCCTGCTCTGGGTTCTTTTCGCACGCGTCTGGCTGTCGGTTTGCAGCACCTGCGGATTTTAAGCAGCGAGGAAGATGGGAAGGGGTTGATCAGAGGGACACACAATGCACAACAACCTGCGGCCTAAATGTTGCGAGGGTTAGTTAGTTTGTTTGAGCAGGTGCCAATTGATAAAACAATCCCAGCACAGTGAGGGGAGAAAAAAAATTGTGAATTACTTGGACTCTTCCAGCAGCCTCGTTATCTCCTGCGGGTCCTCCAGGTTCACCTTCAGAACAGTCGGTGGCTTTGCGCGATTGAAGCCCTGTCCGACGGTCAACCAGCCGGCCTTTTTGAAGGCCCTGGTGACTTCGCGGCCCAAGAGGCCTGTGGCGCCGGTGACAAGCGCTGTATGAGACATGTCAATGGTATGCCTGTGCAGCTGTAGATAGAAAAATAAAAGAAATTGTGTGATTCTGTTCAATTGATGAGCAGGTTGTAAATAAGTAACTGACATTCTGCCGCGCGGGGTGGGGTGATGTCGGCCGATGACGTCTACAACTGGCCCGCTGTTTTTACTCCTTACAACGATGTCAATGATGATGCATCTATCTTCTATATCTTCTGATGGAGGTTATGGAGCCAAGTTTCTGGGCTGACATGTCATCTATTTACAATATCTAGGTTTGTCTCAGATATATTTGTACGGGTTCATGATTCCGTTCTACAGTGCGTCTTGGTTAGAAATCGGGTTGCTTGTCGCAGAGCAGAGGAGAATGACTTACCGGGTCATAGAGATTCTTCAGCTGCTTCATAAGCTTCACGTTCGTCTCGTTTTGGCTGTACCCAATGAACTCCTTCTTTGCAACTCCCAACCCGTGCTCCGCGCTGATGCTGCCGTTCCTCTTGGCGATCCATTCGTAGACCCAAGGTTCAATTGCCTTCTCGACTTCCTTGTTGTACTGTCTGACCGAAACGTTCAAGTGCAGATTCGAGTCTCCCATGTGCCCGTAACCAACAACTGCGCGAACGGGATAAGAATCATCGTCGCCGACGAGTCCCTTCTCGGTAAGACGAGCCTTGCAGTCTTCGACTAGTTGGTAGAGTTCTGGTAATGGAATGGAGACATCGTATTTGTAGGTTCCGCCGAGATGACTGAGGGCTTCCGTAATACCCTCGCGCCAGCGCCAGAGTGACTGGATCTGTGTCTCATCTTGAGCGAGAACACCGTCCGCGACGATACCCTCTCCCAGGACATGTTCAAGGAAAGCCTCGAGCTTTGCGATGTCATGTTCGGCATTGGAGCCGCTGGTTTCTATCAGGCAGTAGAATGGGTGGTCTCCTTCCAGAGGTTGCTTGTTACCAGTAGACTCTCGCACAAGACCTTGACTTCTGCCATCCATCAATTCAAAGGCAGACAGAATCTCAGACAATTGACCCTTGGCTTCGCGGAATGCCTTGCGGACATGGTCAAAGCTTTCCAACCCAAAGTATGCAACATTGACTGCCTTTGCGCGGGGTGGGCAGATAATGGAAATCCCAGTAATGATGCCAATAGTTCCCTCAGCACCGATAAATAACTGTTTGAAGTCGTAACCAGTATTGTTCTTGCGGAGCTTTGACAGACTATCCACAATAGTCCCATCTGGCAGAACAGCTTCTAACCCCAAAACATTACCATGAAGACTACCATATCGAAGGAGACGAAGTCCTCCGGCATTAGTTGCGACGTTTCCACCAATATGGCAAGATCCCTTTGCACCCAGATCCAATGGGAAAAGATAGCCTCGTTCAGCAAGGTACGAGTCGGCGACTTCCAAAATCACACCCGCATCAGCAACAAAGACACCCGATTCCTCATCAAATGAGCGAATGTTGTTCATGCGCGCCGTGTTGATAACGATCTCGTCAAACACGGGCACGGAGCCTCCCACCAAGCCTGTGTTTCCACCCTGCGGCACCACGGCCAATTTGTGCTCATTGCAGTATTTCAATATCTTGCTGACTTCCTGTGTATTTTCTGGCTTCAGCACCAGTCTCGTTTGCCCACCGTATTTGCGCATCCAGTCACTGTTGAAGGGGGCGAGGTCGTCCGTCGCATCGGCAGTCACGCCATCGACGAGCGCGGAGTCTGAGCCCAGAAGCTCTTTGAAGAATTTGACATGTTCTTCTGTCACCTCTGCGAACTTTGATTCGCGCTTGATCTGCGGATATGCTGCGGCGGTTAATTGGATCTTTTTGGGGGCGTCGGCTTCGGTTACCGATGTGATACTGAATGGACGGGATTTGCAGCTGTTGATGGCGATCGGCGCAATCGAGGGCCTAGGTAGGAGGCGACGTCGGGGCACGCCGGCCCTTCGTAGGGCTCCTGCGATGCTTCGAGGAGCCGACATGGCAGTTGACTGCGAGGTGAATAAGAACACAAGCAGTGCTGTACGAGAGGACTTTGTAGAAATTGAAGACGACGGAAAAGAGTCCGGAAGTCGTCCCCGATTGCGGAGACCCGCAGCGAGCTTGTGATTGGCCCGAGTCGAGCTCTAACGGAAATAGATGAAGATACAGCAAGCCCTAATTTGCTCGTAAATTATAAACTACGTTTACTTATCGCCATTTTACTATGGACAGTATGCGTCAGACTCAGGACGAGGTAAAGCGCTGACAGCCCTTCCACCCCGCTCGAAGGAATAGCCCACACCTATCGGCCGCTTAACGAGTCTCTGTGTGTTATATAATACATGTATCCATATACCTCTATCTACTATCAGTAGATAATATAGTTTCACTAGTCGTTCGCAGTACATTCTTTTAGTATGATCAGATACGTTAAGACTTTCTTCATCGATCCTCCGATACCGAAATATTGACGTTGACGCCGTTCTCATTAGGGTTGCGATTTGAGTTTCTTGACACCGGAAACATGCAAGGTACAACGGCGTTTAATGTCAACAGCTTGGAGATCAACATTGAAGGATATCGACCGCGTGACCATAGACTGGTGTCAGTTGCAGCATATCATCTGACGATGAACCGAATGTTCCCAAGAGATTACGGCGGGGATACCTCCACAAGGGAGTGCACAACATGGTATGCAGGTGTCAACCCATGCGAGAGCTCCGCATTCCAGTCGACTGCATGGTAGATAGCATGTGTATCGCCGGGCGGTTCTTGGATTGGAAGTGATAACTAGTAGTGAATGACATCATGTGATGTTTATCTGTGTCCTCAACTCTTGATTTGAACATTGAATATGCCAACATACGGTGTCAATTGCACCGTTCGTTCGTTCGTCAGCCATGTCAGGGACCTGCAATAGATCAGTCAACAGTATCGGCACAAAGATAAGTCCAGCATCCAAGGTCCTGAAGAAGGCTTTGAACAAGGGCGATCTCAAGTAAGCCGGTCTCCGGCAAGGGTCGGAGAAGACGTGCATGACTATCGATATTTAATAATTAACTCGACGTGAACATTTTATATCGGCAAGGCCAATAATGCAAGAAGAAAGAAGAAGCAGGCCAATAATGCAGTGGGGGCAGGAGCGGGCCCGATCGAATCGGCCTAGCGCAACTGGTTGCTCCTGGCGACGGGGGCGGGTGCTCAACTACAGCCTGCACTACGACTCCTCAGTAGCCAGTGAGGCCAGTGGCCACTCTCCTAAAATATTAATATTGAATATTCCCCCCTTTCCTACCGTATCGCAGACATCTGCGCCGCCATCTCCAGCTCCAAGTGCTTGTTGCTGCACGCATTGCGTCTTTCAGTGCTGCAGTCTCGCTGGATAACGCCGAGCACGTTTGTTTACGCTGCGCATTGGTCGCATTGCGCAACAATGGCGGTCGACAGCAGCATGGCGAGCCGCTATCAGATGATGGAGGAGCTGGGCAGTAAGTTGCTCTGCTATCGGTCGGGTAAATATGTTATCCTAACCACGATGTCTAGGCGGGAGCTTTGGCACAGTCTACAAGGCCATTGAGAAGGCCACCGGGGAGATTGTTGCTATTAAACATGTATGTCTCTGCCTTCGATGCCTTATCCCCCGTTCTTTAGATCGCTGACAATTGAGTCTACTAGATCGACTTGGAGTCGAGCGAAGACGATATCGCCGAAATCCAGCAGGAGATTTCCGTTCTGGCGGCATGTGCGAGCCCGTTCGTTACCCAATATAAAGCAAGCTTTCTGCGCGGCCACAAGCTATGGATTGTCATGGAGTACCTGGGCGGCGGTTCCTGTTTGGATCTGGTAGGTTGCCGGCCTTTTTTTTTTATGATATCGACCGCGCGAGGCTGACAAGGTCTAGATTAAACCAGGGAACTTTACCGAGGCGCATATCGCAATCGTCTGCCGTGAGCTGTTGTTCGGGCTGGACTATCTCCACCGTGAAGGAAAGATCCATCGCGATATAAAAGCAGCCAATGTCCTCCTCTCGCACGCTGGAAAAGTCAAGCTTGCCGATTTTGGAGTTGCCGCGCAGCTATCCAACATCAAGTCTCAAAGAAACACTTTCGTCGGAACGCCGTTCTGGATGGCGCCAGAAGTTATACAGCAGGCTGGTTATGACTTCAAGGCGGATATCTGGTCGCTGGGGATTACCGCAATGGAGCTGGCCAACGGTGAGCCACCACACGCCGCCACGCACCCCATGAAGGTGCTGTTCCATATTCCAAAGGCACCGGCGCCTCGTTTGGAGGGCAATGAATTTAGTCAGGCTTTCAAGGACTTTATTGCACAATGCTTGATAAAGGACCCCGATCGTCGACCTACAGCAAAAGAGCTCATCAAGCATAAATTCATTCGCAATGCAGGCAAGAATGAGTCACTGCAGGAGCTGATTCTGCGTAAGGAGGACTGGGAGAATGGCAAAGGCTTTGCGGACGATATGAGATATTATGCAGAGACTCTGTAAGAAATCTGTCGCATGTTTATGGTGCTGAAACTAATGTTCTTTAGGACTACTTTTACACAGAAAGAGAATGACGACGATGGATGGGTGTTCGACACGGTCAAGGCACCGACAATGAAGAGGCCAGTAATTGCAGAGGACTACTGCGATGACCCTTTCGTGAAATCAGAGGAGCTCAGCACACTGAATCTACAGAACGAATCGAAGCCAGTTGCAAACTCAACCGTTCGCCGGACACCCGCAGAGCGTTCGCCATCTGTCAAACGGGCGAACACCAAGCGCAGATCCAGTGGCGTCAAACAGCCTCTCGGATTGAACTTGAGTTACGGAAACAGTCCCTCGACGGTGCGCCAGTTCCGTCGAGTGTCAGACAAGAGCACGAATGACTCGGGCCACCACTATAACTATCCTCCGGGTATGGATGAGAATGCTGCGGCCAAGACCTTGTTCACCGATCCTGTTTCAAACAGCAAGGAAGCCCAATTAGGGAGACGGGCATATAGCAAGGGGATCGGTATTGCTTGCCAAGAGATTCTGGCAAACACTGGAGACCAGGAAAACCGAGAAGCCATCTCGCAGCTAGCAGAAGCTCTCAGTGACCTCGAGATGGTGGACCCGGAAGGGTTATACCATATTCTTAAACTGTCCAACGAGAAAATGAAAAGGTATGCTCACGTCCCTCACCAGAGCAACGATTCCAGAGTGCTAATTGTTTATCCAGCGATGCTAAGCTTTCTGCTCTCCTCCCTGAATCAACATCACCTCAAAAGCCCAAACTAGTGCTGGCCCAAAACAATCCTCATCTCAAAAGCCACCGACGCCGGCAGTCAGAGCAACTTCAAACTGAAACAAAGTTTAGCCCATCGCTGACCAACATGCCGGGTGAAAGTGCCCCGGGAATGGAGCACACCAAACAACTTGCTGATGTCCTCTATCAGCGATGGAGCGAAGGTCTCCGTAACCGATGGCCGGCCATCTAGGTGTCTCTTCCTCCCGACTCGTCCCTCGACTGCAGCATCCGCCTTATACTGATCTGCCCTAGCCCTGGAAACTCCATTCTTTGTATAACATAATCTTCGCGCTACGACCCGAACCACTTGAACCGTCATTCCCTAGTCAAAGCTGACAAAAAGAAGGTCTTGGTAATTGCCAACCCAAACCTAGCGGCTTTTGGCTTCTCTTCAACCGTCGTCATTATCCAATCTTCCATACCTCATCTCCATCCTTCCTTACCTCGATCGTTTCGATCTGAGATACACCACGTTGTCCCATTCGGAAGCGTGTCTTGCATTTAACCATTGGAGTTTGACTTTTTCTGCTTTGCCTTCTTACTTTCTTGGAATATTGCATTGAGCGTTCCGTCAGAGAAAAGTAAGATACTCCTTTTTAATCTTCTCTGCTGATATTTTTGCCTTGTTGATTTCATTTGACCCGATCTTTTGTACACTTTTTGCTGTGACTTGATTCCCCCTGGTGTGTATCTCGTTTACACCGGACGCGGACTTTTGTATTTACCCACCCAGTCGGCTTGCATTTTGGTGTTGCTCAGATTCTTTGATAGATATTGCAGCCTGCCTATGTGTACTGTATCTTTATGCTAATGTCCATATTTGTATGGAGAGGAGGAGCTGTCTGGCTGTAGAATAGGAGAATCAATAAATAAATTATCCTCGTATTTAATATTATTTATATTCTATTATGATGATTATGCTCTCCCAGGAGACGTACATATGTGAGGTTAAAATTGCACGGATTGTGCATTATTCCGACCCGTCGGTAGGGCTTGACCTCTTATTGTATTGTTTCATCTGACTTTTATAGTGGCCCTTATCTTTGAAAATTGGTCTCATGCATTGTCATGATCTGCTCAATTGTTGCATAATGTCGAAGATTACAATATATAGAGTCAATCATGGTACAATAGAGACTCCAACATAAAATATACGTGAATTTAGATGTAATAGCACCAGATCCTTTATCCAGATATTCATGTAAGCTACGCATCTAAATTACCTTGGCTGTGATTTCATCTGTGACTGTTGTAGGTCTTCAATACTGGCATAGTTATAGTTAATCATCACTATTATTAAACTTATTACTTCTATTATTCAAATATAATATATATTACAGAGTCTCTTATAATTACGCTAATTGACACTAAGGCGCTAAGCCTAATATCGTAGTTTACGACGAATTTTGGCGACTGTATACTATTGCGGACCGTTAGCGACGCAATAACTGTTTTTTCAGCCCTTTACTAGATCAGAGGGTACTAGTGAGCATTGGCCATGCTCCATCCTCTAATATTTGGCGCGGCCGCTTGATGAGTGAATCCTGCTGTGGAAAAGATGGACACTAGAGATATACACCCCTACGAAAACCACCAAGGGAGACTGGTATCAACATTGCTAAGTGGGGATTTCAAAACGCGATAATATCGGTAATAGCGGTATGTTAAGGTGCTAACAAAGAGGGTTCCACTCTGAGGGCATTTAGCGTGGCGAGGCGTGGTGCTTCTGCCGGTCAAACGCTCCGATCTATATACATTGTGCTCGCGCGGAGCATATATAGCCGTCCGGGCGTGAGAATGAGGGGCCTTCTCTTGACGCCGACAGGGCACCGCTTAGATGGCGCTCGAAAGGTGTACCCACATACGGGTCGTCTCAAACACCGATGATCCATTTCATTAATTGTTTTTGTACGCGGGTCTATCATAATGAAAGAAATCAAACACAAGAGGGTGTGGTACAGTACTGCCAGTGAGTCGTCAAGACCCTAGTAGCTCAGAGAAACATTTTTGAATACTTTCCTCAGCTTATAAACAATAATTATTGCTATTGTAGCTCCTTCGCCCTTTTTCTCTTTCTTGTTAGGAATTGACTATTTAGCGGGGTTGATTGAGGCTATAATCGTTTTGATAGCAGGAAATGATAATAAATATGGTCCTCCGGTTTTGATTCGCAGCCTATCATGCGGAAGGAATCAGTGGATAATTCCTTGATCGGAAGATGGAAACGGTCGAGCTTGTATCCTCACTAGGGTCTTATCGTAAGTCCCCTTTTAATGTCTTTTGATCATTTCGTAACAGATCGGACGTTTATTCTAATCATTTTTGCAGATTTAACGACACCAAAATCCAGCAACCCTACTTCGAAGACTAAGCAATAGCTGTGACACAGTGGAAGGGAAACTCCGAGAAGTCCGATCAGTACGAATCTACCACGTAGCTATTGTCTAAGCAGCTTTCGCAATTCGAGTCATCAACTTTATTCTGCCTTGTTCTCGTTCCAACTCTCCATGGGCGGGAACGTCGAAGCGGGCTGGATGAAAGACTGGCAAAAGGTACGTATATATCAAGATGCCTACATGGTCATTCTACGTCCATTGCGGCCAGCGGAAATCGAATACGAGTGCAACTCAAAACAAAGGCTAACATCTTTCCATGCAAGCAGATGCAAAAGATTTAGCTTTCACAGCTTATCAGATTAGCCTTAAACTATTTTCAGAGAAAATAGTTCTCGTAGCCTATGATAAACATAAGCAAGCTGTCGATGAAGTATCCCAATTCAACAAAACAATATTATCGACTAGGACAAATACGCTTATGCAGTGATATTTAAGTTGCCGCCTGGCACAAACGAGTCCGGTAGGCTGAACTAGAATGACTACAAGTTCAAAGCCATGGTTGAGTTACGTCTAGCTGTTATTCATTTATGAAGTGCCTTTTCCACCAGATCGTCGTAATCAAGGTCGTTTTAGATACGATTAAAAGGTTCAACAATACTCCCAAAGAAAGCACAAAAGATTTCTGTCTCGACTTTTTTAAATCAAAGTCTTGGTGATTGTCGACTATTTACAATGCGTCAACATTTTCGTCCCTTGCTCACAATGCGACGTTTTGGGTGAACAGTAAAATACGCTGCAATAGCAATACAGTGAATTAGCACTTCCAAAACCCCGTAGTGGACTGTTATACACAGCGACGACACTCGCGAACAAAAGCTGTCATTCTTATTTTCTACATACAACTCCCAATACACGACATGGAGAATGGGGAATTTTAAGACAAAGGAAAACAACGAGAAGATGTGATGTGTGGTGCGGATATTTCGTATTGCAAGTAAGTGGATAAAATCGATATATGAAGCTGTGTTATCACTGACCGTATAATAGCATCCCGGCGGTTTCTATAGCGGTCGAGCCATATTATATCAACGAGTTTCGTCAGGCGTGCCGCCGGTTTTTTGAATTTATGCTATAGGGCCAGGAAGTGTTCGTGCCACTTCATTGACACCTCTTGAAACTACCCGCGAAACTACTTTGAAGTGGATTAGGATCTGCTCTACTGTTTGCAAGGCATTTATATGGTGTCCAGAATATTGGTAGAAATATCGAGCCGAACTTCTTACAGATGATGGAAACAACTCTATACACGCCCATGTCATATGCGACGCATGCCCTACAACACAAGCACACCTGGAGGTTCTTACAACCGTCACTTAGGGGGGGCAATTGACAAACTCTGAAAGAAGAATTTGTCCAAGAACACCATTCTATAGCAAAGGGTGTAGCTTCACTTATCCGCCTGGAGTTTTTACCTGATCGTTTTATCTTGGGCATTTCCGACTGAGGCAGGAACTCTCTGTTACTTTTACTTGATCCAAAGCTTCTTTTCTGGGCAACCCATATTCCGACATTGTTAGCAGCCTGCATTTATTCCAAAAGTGGACAATGTATCTAGGTTCGTGTGGGCCTTATAGTCGGGGTCAGAATAGCTGTGTTCGGAATTTTGATCTCGAAACCAGCATTGTTGAATTAGATTCAATGGGCCATCGGTGTCGAATGTCCTTCTCGTTGTGCTTCAACCGTGGCACTATTATACTACCAATCAACCAAAAATATGGAAGAGCTTAGGTTCAAGGATCATTAGCGTCAGACACATGTGGCGTGATGTATTTCACCTATGTCACACTTCGCAGTGTCAACCTAGCCTAAAAAGCCATATGGAAGAGCTTATTCCATATCAATCTCAGCGGTCCTTGAGAAATAAGAACTTTACCTTTCAAAAGTTATCATGGCTCTCTTTAACAAGCTCTCTATTGGGAGGTTTATTACCTCCTTGGTCATGTCAGCCACCGATCAAATATACTGCTTTTAACACCTCTCAAGCGCGGTACCTACCGGAACACATGAACGCCCTTAGCCACTAGGCTCCTCAACCAATGTGAGACATGTGAAACAACGTTCAATCCTGTGGGCGTATCATATTAACACATGAGCGTCGTTGACCACTGGGTTCAGTACCAATGCACCTTATCACTATGACCGTGGTAGACATTAGCATTGTGTTGAGAGCAAGTATGAGCGGATTGGATTTCGCAATGCAACCACAGGGATATGCACAGAGCATAGTACCACTGGGAGCCTCAATTCAAATGCGAAACATGCTATAGAGAGTTTTCAACAGAGGGCGCAAACCGTCAGCATATGGGCGCCCTCAATCATAGAGCTCCTAGATCATAATGTGCACATTGTCGCTCTCGAGTGCGGCAAAACTTCGAAAACTACACACGTCAACACGATGCAGGTGACAAGACAAATAGTAGAATTCAATCGCGTTAGGTGTAGTTATATTGTTCATTAATACTTTTGAACGCATCTATCAATAGCATCTGAACCCTGGAGCGTACCTTCGCTTGCCGATTTCTTGTCTCGTTTGAGCTAAAGCCTGACAGCTTACCTTAAGTTATCCATCAACACAATGCAGATGACAAGATAATGAAAAGTCAAATTAGGTGGCATGAGGTGGACACAGGCGAGTATCCAGTCTGTGACCAAGCCTGCAACGGAAACTCTTGGAATGCTGTACTTGCCGTGGAAGACTCGGACACAGAGGCACTATGAGATCGACACCTGAGCTCTGCTACTCGCAAGCAACATGTCTACTGCTGTCAAAATTCCTAGTGTGGCAAAAGCAGATGGGGTGGCACGAAAGTTGACATGAGGAAATGTCTACTCTCTGATCTAGTTTCAACGGATAGTCTTGAGGTGCTCTCTTCACCACCGATGAAGAGTGATGGCATGCCTAACATGATGCAGCCAATATCCAGTCTGTGATCAAGTCCTTCATGAAAAGCCTTGGGATGCTGCCTTTGCCACGAATTAGAGACGGGGCCGCTATAAAACCAATATCCGAACTCTTCTACTCGCAGGCAACATGACGGGTGTCCGAATTTTAAGTGAGGAAGAATTTTTTGCCCTAGGTGTGCTCTTTGACCAAATTAGATACGATCTTGATATTTCCGATGCTAAATGTCCGAGAAGATGGGGTTATACGACTCGGACAAAGTGATTACGAAGTGGAACTACCTTACCTCCGGCTACACGTTCTATACGCGCCTCGTTGATTCTTCTTTCCCTTTTCTCCCCTTTTTCACTCCTTACTCAGCTTGATCACCCATACAAATCAAGTCTTTAAGGCATCTACAAATCATCCTTAGTTCTACTCTATTTACCAACATTTGCCAACACTGCTTACTTGGTTTTCACCACCTATAGAGAAGACACTCGCCATCCAGCAACATATTTGTCTTTGCGGTAATAGATGTGTTTGTCTCTGTTTATATGCTGGAACTAATGGTTTCCTGCTAAATAGGTTATCTGCGACACGGAGATAATGATGGCTCGACTTCCATGCAATGACACACACCTAAGATCTAACTACGAACTTAGGGCTTCTAATCTCGCTAAGTCTTCTTGGTGAGATATGAGAGCCTCGTTATAAATGAGATTTCTATTGACGTCTACTTAAAAAAGGTATGGACACAGAGATATGGCCATCAAAACTCTTCTCGAAACGTCGAAGCAAAAGAAATAAGATCTTCTTGATGAAAAGGACAAGTGCAACAAGCACATCTGTCCGGAGATGTCGCCAAACAATGACTCCTATACGATGGGAGATGCGGCGGTTCATTCCCTGTCAAACGTCCATACGGCGCCATGCGTGTGGCGGAACTATGGAGTGCTTTGGCGCCTCTGTCGTACGAGCACAAAATTGCACTCGGTCTCTAGCCACCAACAGTCTCTTGTGAGTCATGCTCGGAGAAGTGTATTGACAAGCAAGACAGAAACCATAAAATGTTTTCTTGAACAGATCTTTGCTTCCTCAAACAGTTGAAGATTCAACTGCGAGTACTAGTCCCCAGCGCCACGTAGAGGTGTCTGCTCATTGCTGGGGTCGATAACCACCATTGCTTTATCGCCAGCTTTTTCAGCGGCGGAGGGAAGCGCCAGCTTGTTCAGCGGCGGAGTGGGAGCGCCAGCTTGTTCAGCGGCGAAGAGAGACAGCCTATACAGCGCTCTCCGGTGGTTATCGACCGCGCGTTGCGCGGAGGTTTCTTAGGCACTATTCCTATAATAAACCTTTCAACGAGAGAAGAAGCGTGTTTAATCACTCTTCAATGAACCTACGTGAGTCAAATGACAGTCAGCAAAAAGTCTTCTCATAGGGTAAATGGCAAGAAGAATTGCTGCAACAACTTCGACATTATCGTGGTTTTTTAATAACCACGGCCCATATTGATGCATCTTCATTAGACTTCTGAGTTCAAGTCGGCCGCTATTGAGATAAGTCAACCAGTCGTCATCATATTCCGCAAATGTAACGTATATTTCAGCATCATCCTGGGAGACGAGGATGCGTCTTTTTTGTCAGCTAAGAAACATCAGTGACGGGGTTTGACGTAAACATACTGTCTCTCGGGGCCTGGGTATTGCTTGATCAATGCCACTATTTGCGCAGCCTCCTGCATATCGATAGTTTTCATATGTGTGCCCACACGTGCCATCGATTTACACTCGACGATTGCCTCTATCCGATTGTTTTGCTTTTCCTGCAATTGGCCATCGGTAACCGCGCTATAACCTCGGCCATATCCGAAACGAGGAGAGAGTCTGATTTTGCTATGGTGCCATTGAGCACGAGGAGATGGGACGATTTCTGCAATTGCCTGCAACATATTTATGAAAGTTGCATTGACTGGCGTTTCATCTTTCTTTGTCAGTATATCCTTTGAGTTAGAAGAGTACGCTAAGACTTCCCTTTGCTGCTTCCTGAGTGGATGGAAATCCCCGGATCCTTGGAAGTTATTGTCCCGAATAGCTCCTAAAAAGGTGCGGAATGCCAGTGAAGATTGCAAGAGTGAGCTTGCCTGTTGGAATTTTTGGCCAAGATTAAATGTGGCAGCATCAAAATTCCGACTGCCGTGCTTGATAAAGATCGTACGGAAGAGCAAGAATTGCTTTTGGCTGATCTTTGATGCAGACACAAAATTCCGGAAGCCCCTGAGAGACCGAGTTAGCACACCTGCTTTTGTTGCCGCTTCAATCCATCTTTGCTCTGTGTTAGGGACCTTCTGAAAGAAGGTTTGACGACTCATCGTTGTCAAGGGAAGTCTAGACCCATTGTTCCTCTGTGCTAGGGATCTTCTGGTCTGGGACACGATTGCTTGAGGCAATGCTGCAGAGGACAGTTGTCTCCGTGATTGGGATCTTCGACTCTGGGTCACAGTTCGTCGAGCCATTGCTGTCGGGAACCTGCCTGGTGATTTGATAATCTTTGGGTACTGGGGAACTTTTCCTCTAGACGGCTTAAAGAAGAATTGAGAATGGTTATGTGGGAGCAACACGCGAAAGGGGGAAGAAAAAGAGGGGAAGACGCGTGCACCGCGAGAGAACATTCGAGGAAGGCGCACGCTTGGGCCATGGTCGTTCTCATTTGTATGTTTCTCCACGAGAACAAGCTACTATTGTAATTACGCCTGTCTCTTTATCTGTTCTAAAAGATAATTCTACCGGGGTTCTTTCCTTATTTATAGGAGGCTATTAGTACGGAAGCCACCCATTGCATTTTCGTTGATGCTGGCCAGTTAGATCAACTAGATGGCGGTTTAGGCATATAGAGCTCCCCTTTTCCAGCGAACTGCGCCTAGATAGGACATTCTCTATTGAATTAAAACTGGATTAAGAAACCAAAGCGAGCTGGATGCATATACAATGCTCCGTACCATTTAGCTCGTTAAGAGCTAATCGAATTTCAATATAGATGATTTATCCACCTACCTATACATCAAATCAATGCTAATGTCCCACGTCTGATGCAAGGTTTTGACTGTGACACTGCCTACCCAAATGGCCGTAATATAATCAACTAGCCCATGCTATAAGATTACACATATTTTAACTGGTGCCTTGGCATCAGCGGCGATTACGAGAAACACTGTGAGCATACTATGCCATGAACCGGGGGATTCGAGACGCAAGTTTGTCATGTCGGTGACGACATTAAACGTCCGGAGAACTGCTGTCTACTTAGCTGTAGGTACAGGTGTTTCTCCCATAATTTTGCTCGTCGAGAAAGAAAGCCCTTGGTTTAAGTATGCCTCTATGAACAGATTAAGATTGTTATCAGGCAATTATTGCGGTATAGTTTCACAAAAAGGAACCGCACCTTAACTCCATGACCAGCTTTCAGTTGAACGAACCATTGATTTGGGAAAAGAGGGAAAAAAGGGTGCTTGCATTGGTTGAGATCTTCTCATTCTGTCTACATCGTCGCTTTTGAATCCAGAAATCAATCTACTCTTCCATAGAACTGTCCATGTTACATCTAGTCTGGTGCAATTAGAGACATTATCGATATTGGACTATTTTGAAAGGTTGGATATCTATTGCATACATCAAGCTAAGTTTGTGTTTATTCCAATATGATTCGACAGGATACTAAAGGAGACGTAGTTTAGATGAGCATGTCATGGTGATACCTTGAAAGCGGCAGGGCAGGTCTTTTAACGGCATACTGACGGCATCCACGAGCCCGCAATTGGATCTTTCCTTACCGCCTACCCTCTATGATCAACTCCTTACACGCAGTTCTCATTTTAAATCCTTCTTCACATTAATCCCCCGCATCTCTCAACTTCCTCGACCACAGGTTTCCTTCGCTCAGCACATCTCACGTCTTTGTTGTGACAGAAGCATTTTGAAAACGTTGAAGACTCTCCAATCTCTTCAAGATGTCCAGCATAACAGCGAGAATTCGCACAAGACTTCAATTCCTGCGGGACACAATTCAAGGCAACATGGAAGGTGTTCTCGACAGGAACACTACTGTTCAAGACAGCTTTCTTGAGAAACACAAGATACGTCTTATCCCTCATGAATTCGACAGAGCAACTGATAAGGCGATCGATCCCCCGATTCTGTTCGCACCCTTACCCCAGGCAACAATTGACAAGCACCCGATCAATGAACAAGGATGCATCGACCCTTTGGTTGGGAATGATTTACATACGTTCATCGATTACTATCCAGAAGACACCACCGATATTTATCAATCTCGGTGGAGCCCGCGCAGCTGTGCAGACCATGTCTTCCTCTATCTTGATAAATGGGTTTTTGGTGGTTTTCCACGTGAGAAAATGCCGCCAGGTACTTCGAGTCTTGCAGATTTAGGTGGAGTAGTCGGTATCTGGTAATTCTCAGTTTGAACATTGTCTTCATATTGTTGAATTGCTGAACATGAAAATAGGGCTCCTTTTGAGGTTCTCGTAGAAGAAGACCTCCAAGGACCCGATTGGCGTGCAGAATTTTACGAGTATGACATTGAACGTTTTAAAGAGAAACTTCCCCATGTTATCTTGTTCTCCAAACAGTCGCATTTTGGTCAAAATGGTTCGATTATATATGGTGAGCTAATACAGCTTATCGTCGCAATGCGAGGCCGCGCCTACCAACCTAAAATGGATATCGATGAAGATGCAGATGAAGAAGATCTCATCATTCCGGAAAATGCCGAGTTTGTATTCAAGTATGAACAAAGATTTCCGGTATGTATTCACCCAACTAGCTAACCTGTATTGCAAAAGCTAAACAAATATTTGTTGGTTATATCAGACCCTAATGATTTCCCTTGTCGGCCCTCAGCATGCACGGATTTACTATGCCTGCATGGATGGTTCAGAATTGATTGTACGACAATCATCGCTTTTCAGCTTTGAAAAACGCGAGACTGCCCCTCTCGACTACTTTGCCAGATTCCTTTCGAGTGAACCACTGAAAGAAGACAAGAAGGATTGTGTGAATTAGTTTAGCTCTTTACACCTCAGCTATATCATTACCTTTTAAAACTTTGCTAATGATCTCTGTTCAATACATGGGAGTTCCCGTGTTCTTAGATTATGGCCTGGACTGACTCTCTTTAGGTATGTCTTTCTGGACTCTGCTACCTATTTTGAGTTAGCAACTTGGTGATCCCCTGCGCACTGGAACAAGCTGGCGCTTTCACTCCGCCGCTGAACAAACTAGCGCTTCCACTTCGCCGCTGAACAAACTGGCGCTTCCACTTCGCCGCTGAACAAGCTGGCGCTTCCCCTCCGCCGCTGAACAAACTGGCGCAAAATCCCGCTTTTGAGCGGGTACCTGTCTGGCCAACAGGTCTCCAGCGATAAGCTCGTACCTCATCGTGGTGCTGGAGTCTAGTAGCCATACTGGCGAAGCTAAGACGAGCTTTTTAGATTAAGATATAATGGCATAGTTATATAGCTTTAGGATTGAGTAGGCCTATAGTATTTCCAAATGATTCTACCCTGCGGCTTTCTCAGGCCTCGCGCAGTGATCGCTCTGTGAATACTCCAGTCAATCGAGCCGAGCATAGAGCGGCACTGTGCTGCGCGTGTTAGTGTCACACATATTTGTTATAGGTACCTGCAGCGGAAAGGATGCGCGCCTCGTGGAGCCGCCGGTTTAATTACCTCTGATACATACTGTTATTGGCCATGCGCACTGTACAGAGCCGGCTCTCCATAGTAACGGCCAACCAGCGCAGCGTGTTTCACGAGCGAGCTAACTTAAATGCTACTGCGCTGCAGCTAAACCCAGCCGTTGCCTTAGCCACCTCAGTGCGCAGGCTCAGGAGGACTGCTTATTCCTCTTCTTCTTTTCCCTACGGTCGTTGTGTTTTCTCATCGTCCCAACTTCATTCCTTCATTTTCAATCGCCCTTCCACCATCAACCGCTCCTTATTGATCGTTGTTATTACTGTTTTGCAGCTGTCAGCCATGCGTATTTCCTGCCTGCCGATCACTTGACCACACGACTGTTACTGCAGCCACCCACGAGCTTCGTACGACCCCTTGCAGCGCCGCACCAGACGTTGCCGCATGCAGGCTGGCCCTCCATGGAGTCGAGTAGCGTCAACAACCCCAACCATGGTCCTGATCCGGAGTTGCCGCCACCACATATAGCCAACGACCAGTCGTCACTCGCTAATAATGCTATCATGGAGCCCCGACCCAATCTGCCTCCGCGGCCGAATCGGGCTGCTCGCCATACCAAGCGCTTGACCCTCAGCTTCCCCATCGTGTCCCCGCCGGCTTTTCAATCAGAACAGTCTTCACCATCTGTCGGTCCGGTCACCCCGGTCGTTGACACACCTCGGACAACAATGGCCTCAGGACAGCCGCCGTTAGACTCCTTGGCTCCTCCTAGCGAGGAGACCCGCGAGACGACTGATCTGCTGACCGCGATAGCCTCGCAGGAGCGCAAAGTCCTGGAATTGCGGGAGGAGCTGCAGAAGGCGGAGACAGAGCTGGCTGGGTTGAAGAAACAATGGGTTTCCAACGAGAGGCAGAAAAAGAGGACCGAGATCAGTTATCACGCAGAGGCTATGAAACCGATGAAGCCTACTGATGCGCCCGCCGAGGAATCTCCCAGAGCCTCGGAAACTTCGAGCCCAAGCACAACAGACCCTACATCTGTGCAAGTTAGAAGGAGCAAGGAACTGGAGAGACGAACTAGCGTTCGATCGAGCCACAAGGCGAATGTTTCGATCTCTTCCAATGGCCGAAGAGTGTTTGCGGGCTCTAAACATACTCGCACGCTCTCTCTGCTGTCGCCAGAAATGGGCGTGGTCAGGTCGCCGTTCCCCATGAAGGACGGGGAGAATCAGAAAGCTGGTGGCGAAAACCAAGTGACCAGGCATCCTCGATCCGCTACGTTGCCGTCCGTCGAGCGAGCTGAGGTCTCGAATTCTTCTGAGCAGGCTAATTCCCTAGAAGATGATGCGGCGAATCAATGGCGGCGGTCTATGCCACCGCCCTCGAGAGAAGCGCTTTTGCGCACGGGTAGACAAATGGCATCGGATCTGAGAGAGGGTTTGTGGACATTTTTGGAAGATATCAGGCAAGCTACAGTTGGGGAAGAAGGGATTAGTGGCACGGAATCGCGTACATTACAGCCGCCAGCTGCTCCAAGACGATCTAGTAGTGGACAACGGAGTGAACGCAGTGTCACGCCGTCTCGGAATCGTGAAAGACCGGAAACACTCGGTCGTTCGGATTCTTCCCAATCAATGTCCAAAGAGACAGCAAAAATATCTGGTAAAACCACTCCTCTGGCCGGCGCGGAGGTATCATTTTGGAGTGAATTCGGAGTTGATACGCCGGGGCAGAAGTCCAAGACAAAACAAAGAACCGCCGACAATATCCAAAACGAACAGAAAGAGCCCGAAAACTCGAGCCTTCAGCCCGAAGAGACGGATGATTGGGTTAACTGGGAGACGCCGCAACCCGCTAAATCGCATACCCCATCTTCCAGCCAATCGACCATCAATTCCAAAAAAGACCAATCTCCATCAACTCAGCTCAGCAGCCCCAGAACCAGTGCCAGGTAAGTCAGTTAATGCTGTTGGATGTGTTGTTGAGAAGCCTTCGCGTGATCTTCTATATACAGGCATGTTAACTAACTGGCATAGTTTTGGGGAGCGGAATATAGATGGAGAAGACCGGCGTCGCTCTGAAAGCATCCCATGGCCAGCACTAAGCAAGTTCACCGCTTCTCAGCTTACACGCACTGCGTCAAGCTTGATGGACGAGTGGGAAAAAAGTCTCACTTCCTCGAAGCAAAGCTCTCCTAAGCTGGATCAGGATGAATGGGAAGCTTTCTAATTATCAGCCTTACACCCCTACACTTTTGGACCTTCCTGCACATAAAATTTACGACAAGACAATGACCGATATAACAATATGCTGATTTACTTGTTTCGATGGTGGACTATGGCATGAATAACGAGACAAGGATTCTTCACTGTACTTATACTTCTCTTCTTAAGGACCTCGGCACGTCGAATTGTGCCAGCTCCACCTTTATACACTTCTTATTGAGGACCTTTTATGGTTGATATGAAACATGGAAGATCTTTAGCTATTTAATTTTTCCAATATAACGAGATTTGAATTTGTAAATCAATTAATGCCAGTTCTATACCTTCACAAAAGTCGAGCTTGACAAGTTGCACACATGGTCTCTGTCACCCGCCGGATAATTTTCAAAGTTTTGCCGTGATGCATGGGGAAGCGGCCGCGACCTTCGCTTTCCTCTACTCAAACCACCATTGAATTCTACCTAGACGCCAATATAACTTTGCCAACTCTATTCCTCCAAGTACCTTGAATCGATTAAAAAAAACAAGGTATCCGTCGGCCTCATTCTCTATCAGCCGCCAAAAAAAACGCTATTTGAAAATTCTCCCGTATCTCCGTCCGATATCCCAAGAAAACAGCAATAGCACCGTTGAACATTCCAACCCGGGTACACAATGAGTTTTCCGGGAATGCCACCAATCGGTGGTGCTGGGGGAGGCAACCCTGCAACTGCAGGTATGACTGAGCAGGAACAACGTATGGTTAAAATGGTGAGTGCTCACTTGATCTTCTGGTCAACTGATACGTTTCCACGGAGATAGTTCTTGCTAACTGAGCGTTCTCTGGCTAGATGAATGCGGCAGCGGAATCTTGTCCTTTCAAAATCGCTTTGGCAGGTGGTGGTGGTTTCGTGCTCGGTGGTGCTTTCGGTCTCTTCACAGCTGCTGTATGCGACACTCTTTCCTTGTCAATGCCCCCGTTGTAGTTGTGACCACCCACTGACAAGACCTGGATAGATGGCCTATGACACACCCCTAACGGCCAAAGGCCAAGAAATAACCTCTCTACCCATGCGCGAACAACTACGACAAGGCTTCCGAGACATGGGCAGTCGGTCATGGTCCGCCGCACGAAACTTCGGATACGTCGGCGCCGTCTATTCAGCCGCCGAATGCGCCATCGAGGGACTTCGCGCCAAGAACGATATCAAAAACCATGTTGCGGCGGGATGCGTGACGGGAGGTTGGCTAGCTCGCAACGCTGGTCCCCAGGCTGCTGCGGCCGGTTGTGTTGGTTTCGCGGCGTTTAGTACGGCGATTGAAATGTATATGCGTATGCCTTCGGACGATTAAGACGGCTGTACGCCAGTTTGCTGGTTGATGTGCGGTGTAAGTGCCGTTTGTAAGTATATATCGATGTTTTCGTTCTGGGAGGCGCTCTTTGGGTATGGGTGTTTTTAATAGATTTGGACAAGCATTACTGGCGTTGTGAGGGAACTTTTTCCACTCATGTTTGATCATATTTTTCATGTACATTACTGCAGGGAAGCCTTTGATCTGTGAGGAAACTACATGATCTTTAAAGGCTAGAAATAGAAAGGTGTCCGGACATGCATCTGAAAGGCAGACATCATGGATACATGTACTATATTAAATGCACAATTATCTATTTACAGGGTTATTTTCGGCGCCGAATTAATTACTATAATCAGTTGACGAAGACGTCAACTGACTCGTCAATCACTGGTGGCGTGAACTTGCCTTCCATCAATCCGCCCTCTCTAATGACGTATTCAATCGCCTCGACTGTACATATCAATTGATGTAATCAAATAGGTCATATTTCTTATGCACACTTACTTTGTAGAACAGCAGCATTAAACATGAGCAGCACACCAACTGGATGAATCTCAATTGATACGACGATGAAACACGTCGAATACTCAACAGAAAAGCCTTTAAACAGGGAACACAGCCTGAAGAGGCTAATTTCAAGGTACATGATGTTAGATCAGTTGTCACCTTACTGACTCGGCAAGCTCACAAAAATCGACAGCTTCATTACCCCAGACATTACATCTTACGACCGTAACCATGGACCCATCCCCCATCTTTCAGCCGATAACCACACCATCACAATTGACGGACAAGGACTAACCCCATTAACCCTCTCTATGGATGATCTCCGTACAACATTCGCACAACATGAAGTTCTCTGCGCGTTGCAATGTGCTGGAAATCGGCGACACACGATGCGCACCGAGAGCAAAGAAGTCCAAGGAATAGATTGGTTTGACGGCGCAATAATGAATTGTAAATGGAAGGGTCCTCGACTACGGGATGTCCTAATACGGGCGGGTATTGACGGAAATCAAGACATCTTGCAGGATGATGGAATGTATGTGGCATTTGGCTGCTATCAGGTTCCGTGTCAGGATGATTGGTGGTATGGGGCGAGTGTGAAGCTGGGGAGGTGCTTGGGTCGGGAGTTTGATGTTATTCTTGCATTGGAGGTGCGTGATACAAAACAGGATTTGGATTTCTGTGGTTGACCAAGACTAGATGAATGACAAGCCGTTAAGCCCTAATCATGGTTTCCCCGTTCGAGTGGTTATACCCGGTTATACTGGAGCGAGGTATGGAATGGATTGCCACTATGTCATGGAAGAAATGCGCTTATTATTATTTTGCACCTTGATCACATTTGTAGGTGGGTGAAATGGCTGGATCGAATCACCGTCCAGAAAGAGGAATCTCAGAACCACTATCAGCGCTACGACTACAAGATGCTCCCTCCAGATGTGGACAGTTCCGAGAAAGCAGATAAATACTGGGATCTGATTCCTCCTTTAGAAGATGTGCCCGTTAATTCGGTTGTTGGTGAACCCGGCGATAACGAAGAAGTTCATACGCTGGCGTCAGGAAAGGTGATTGCGAAAGGATATGCTGTTCCACAGGGCCATCACGGTCAAGTAACGAGGGTTGAGGTCTCAGGAGATGGGGGCAAAACTTGGGTTGATGCTGAATTGGATCAATTTGAGGGTAAGACGCAGAAATGGTGCTGGGTATTGTGGACGGCTTCTGTACATATGGAAAAAGGTCAAGGAAAAGTGATTTTAAGTAGGGCAACTGATGAAGCAGGAAATACACAGCAAGAACAGTCACCATGGAACTTGCGTGGAGTCGCATATAATGGTTATGGACTGTCAAAGAATTTAAATGTCGTATAAAGCAAAAAACTTCTCACTGCTATTCTTGGATGAATAGATGAGCATGTCTACACATGTAGCTAGCCATCCTATGCTTGAAATGGCTTGAAGAATAATTTTATGAATTATTAATAATGTACATTATGGCAGTACAATGTACTTCTCGAGATGCTTAGGGATAACTCCACGGAGATTCTTGCTTTGAAGCCATTTTTCGGAGAAAAGACGGTCAGCATATCGGTAGGCGCCGTCGCACAATATTGTAACGACAGTATGGCCTTTACCCAATTTCTCAGCGACCTCCTTAGCAGCCACGACATTCAAAGAAGAGCTTGCACCGAGATACAGACCCTCCTCATCCAGGCAGCGGTATACCATCTCAATGCTCTTTTCGTCGCTAATGTGCAGGGAGTCATCGATGAGGTCAATATCAGGTTTCAGGTTCTCGGTGACACGTCCCTGGCCAATTCCTTCGGTGATGCTGCCACCGCTTCGCTCAGTGAGCTTTCCTTTGCTCTGGATGTAGCTGTGAAGCACACTGCCTGGAGGGTCCGCAAGAAAGCTTTTCACACGTCCATTGCTGACCGTCTTCAGATACCGAGTAATCCCGGCTAGTGTGCCGGCTGTACCTGTCGCGCATGTAAAGGCGTCGATTTTGCCCTCTGTTTGGGCCCAGATCTCAGGGCCGGTCGTTTCAATATGAGCTTGGCGGTTTGCCGTGTTGTCGAACTGGTTTGTCCACACAGCATTATCAAGAGCTTCGGCATGGCGACGTGCTTGATGATTGTAATTTTCTGGGTTATCAAATGCAACGGCAGGAACGGGATAGACTTCTGCGCCTAGCAACCGGAGTAGATCAATCTTGCCTTGTGATTGCGTGTTGGGCATGTAGATAACCAGCTTATATCCCTTCGACCGACACACATGGGCCAGTCCAATGCCTGTGTTTCCAGCTGTACCCTCAACAACAGTACCACCTGGGCGTAATAAGCCCTTCTCCTCGGCATCTTTCACAACGTACAAGGCGGCGCGATCCTTGACACTGCCGCCGGGGTTCTGAAACTCGGCTTTGCCAAGGATGTTGCATCCTGTCTCTTCAGACAGGCGCTTGAGCCGGATCAGGGGCGTATTGCCAATGGCTATGCAAAATAGATCAGTAACCACAGTTTTCTAGAGAAAAACCCTTCTTTCCATGCCATTACCTTCCGTCAGGCCATTGACCCATCCTTGAGCCCTCGAGACCTTGGTATTGTAGGCCGTCGAGGCTTCTGCACTACGCAGGGCCGTCGTGGCAAATGTGCGAAGGCCGTGTTTAAACATCATGAAGAGCACTCAATTGTAGAGCCTCTGTCTCTGTGACAGTAACTAAGAGCAATGGCCGCAGAGCAAATCACGACATTCGCAGACGCAGGCGCAGACTAAGCTCACTGAGCCGATGATCGGGGTTAGTCAGCAAGGCGGGCAAGCCCTTATCTTATCGCTCCCATGTGCGAATCAAGTTAGCTTTGTTTACATCCGCCGACCCTGTTTACTCCGCGCAACAACAATCTTCTTCAACGACACAACAGACGACAACGGACGACTACGCCACGACTCGAGGCTCGACTAATCAAGCTCCGCGGATGAAGCGCTTACTTCATCTCCATTTTGAACTTTTCAACACTTTTCACCAACTTGACAGCATCGATATCGCTCCTGCACGGTCAGGTTTGCAGTAGCCATGCCCAGTCGCGCAATATCCGGCCCAGCTTCTGCTGCGACGCGAAAAACATCTGGACAGAGTGCTACATCGTCAAAACGGGGCTCTTCCGTGACTCCCTCTGTCGCTGTGCCTGACGAGCCCCCGCATCCTACGACATCAGCCCACCTTCGCGCAGATGTATGCGCAATTTTTGCAGATTCCCAACGTTCTACAACAGGCCACAGGAAGCTTGTTGTTCGCCTACGAAAAATACAAGAGCTATCCTGTGGTATAGCGCTACCTAATAAAGCAAAGAAAGACCTAGCGAATGAGGAGAGAGTGATTCCATCGAGCGATGAGACCCTCGGTGAGCAGGAATTCAATGTCGAGGTGAACCGTTGCATTCTTCGCATTTTGCCAATCAAGAAATCGGAGCCTGTCGGGGATCGCATTATACGGTTTCTTGGTCTATTTTTGAATCATGCTGGTGAGAAGGGTAAGTTTTGCCAGATCTGATAATGAAATTGGAATTAGCTAATGTATATAAGACGCCGAAATATTTAATCCAGCAGATATCGACGAAACACAAATGTTTCCGGAAACCCCAACTACTCGACTAACGCTAGCTATTACGCAAATGGTGGTACCATTACTGGCAGGAAAAGACAAAATAGTTAGATACCGCGCAGCGCAGCTCCTCTCACATCTTGTCAACTCGCTGGATTCGATTGATGACGATGTATACCGTTTGATCAGAACGGGGTTGTTGAAGCGCATCCGAGATAAAGAGGCTACGGTCAGAGTCCAGGCAGTTCTGGGTCTCGCACGACTGGTCGGAAATGAGGGCGACGATGATATGGAAGACTCATCAGCAGCTCTATTAGAAAAACTTATCGACATCATACAAAATGACGCGACAGCCGATGTGCGCAAAACATTGTTGCTCAACCTGCCATTGACTCCGGCCACACTTCCATATTTGTTGGAAAGAGCTCGGGATTTGGATGCTGCAACTCGACGCGCACTCTATTCTCGCCTCCTACCCACCTTGGGCGATTTTCGCCACTTGTCTTTATCCATGCGTGAGAAACTTCTTCGATGGGGCCTTCGTGACCGAGACGAAAATGTGCGAAAAGCGACTGGAAAATTATTTTACGAGCGCTGGATTGAAGATTGTGCTGGTAATAAGCCATCCCAGGAAGGTGGCCCTGTGACCCAGGTATCGGCTCCTAACCTTTCTGCGCTCCTTGAACTCTTGGAGCGTATTGATGCAGTCAATTCTGGAATGGACGGGGGCGTTGCGCATGAGGCGATGCGGGCTTTCTGGGAAGGCCGGCCGGATTATCGCGAGGAAATCACCTTTGATGAAGAATTCTGGCAGGGATTGACTGCAGAGTCCTCATTTCTAGCTCGCAGCTTCAACGATTTCTGTCGCGTAGAGAACGTGGGAAAATACGACGACCTCGCAGATGACAAGATGCCCGAAGTTACCGCGCTTGCGTATTTTCTTCAAAAGTACTCGTCTGCACTGCTCATGAAGCTAAAGGAATCTGCTGCTAGTGGCGAGAATAACGAAGAAGAAACCATGGAACTGGAGTTCATAGTCGAGCAGCTTCTTCAGGTTTGTTTGACTTTGGACTATTCGGATGAAGTTGGTCGAAGAAAGATGTTTGCCTTGCTTCGAGAAAATTTGGCCATTCCAGAGCTGCCAGAGTTATGCACAAAACTCCATATCGAGGTCCTCCGAAATGTTTGCGGTCCAGATGCTGCAGCCGAGTCGGAATTCTGCAGCGTGGTTCTTGAAGCTGTTGCTGAAGTGCATGACGCAATTGCGACTGAAGACAGCTTTGTGTCGGCACGCTCTGAACTCAGTGATGATGGTAGCTCAAGAGCTAGTCGTGATCGATCTATGACACCTGCAACCGACGTTCCCTTTGACAAGGAGAAGGCAAAGGCAAAGGTGCTCCGAGAGATCATGATCAACATGAAATGTCTTCATATCGCACAGTGTATGCTGCAAAATGTTGAAGGCAACCTTCAGCAGAACATGCATTTGGTCACAATGTTAAACAATCTTGTTGTTCCTGCTGTGCGAAGCCACGAGGCGCCTATTCGTGAAAGGGGTTTAGAGTGTCTGGGTTTGTGCTGCTTGCTCGATAAGGTAAGTTTTTTTTTTTTTCTTGAGAAGAATAGACTTTTGTTATTTACCACTAACTAATTCCACAAGACTCTTGCCGAAGAAAACATGATGCTATTTATCCATTGTTTCACCAAAGGCCACGAAGCATTGCAGGTTACAGCTTTGCACATTCTTGCTGATATGCTCACCGCTCACCCTTCACTTCTGATCCCAGTTCTGCAGCCTGATAGTGATATTGTGACACCACCTCCTTTCCAGAAGACTTTGTTGAAAGTTTACGCAAAGGCATTGAAATCCACATCGCCAGCTGACGTGCAATCCGCTGCCGCAGCTGCCCTATCTAAGCTTCTTCTCACCAACACTTTTACGCCAACTGGACCCAATGTTCCTCCCACCATCAAAGAGTTGAACGAGTTGTCTGTTGAGACTCTCCTACAATCGCTCATCGTTTCATTTTTCCACCCCCGCACACGAGAAATCCCTGTTCTCAGACAAGCCTTGACATATTTTTTCCCAGTTTATTGTCATTCGCGTCTTGCAAATACGGAGAGAATGCGCCGCGTCGCCGTTCCCGTCGTTCGATCAGTACTCAATGCGGCAGAAGAATTCTTCTCATTAGAAGCTGAAGAGGACAGCGATGGAGACATCGACGAAACAATTGGCGAGCGTGAAATCAAGTCACTGATGACCCAAGTCACAGGTATGCTTGTGGAATGGACAGATGAGCGACGTGTAGTAGGACTCGGCGGCGAAAACGTGCTTGCAGGCGCGGCTGCCAGCTCGAGTGCCCATGGATATGTTCACCTTGCCTTGGTCAGGGATATCCTTGAGCGCACCCTTGGGGTGAGCAAAAGTACCAACAAGTGCTCCAAAGAGGAGAGAAAACTCCTCATGTCCATGCTCAGCAAAGTATACATCGCTCCACCCACCGCCACACCTACATCACGTGCCGGCTCTCGAGCACCCGATACGACCAGTGAAGACGCCTTCCGCTCCAGCAACCGCAGCACGCGCGATGAGATTGACCCTGAGAACGTTGCTCTGGCCGAACAAGTCAAAGAACTTCTCAATGAAGCTCTTGAAGACGGAGCCCCCGACGCCGCCAGCCGCAACGCTCTAGTCAAAGTCAAGAACACGATCTTAAAAGTCCTTGCCTTTGCCGCTCAACAAGCTGCTAGCAAGGAGGCTACGGAGGCTACCGGACGCAGCACAAGAGCTAGCACCGTCGACACCTCGTTCTCCGACGCCGCTGAATCCCGACAAGCCTCAGTCGAACCTCAAACCACGAGTGGCCGCGCTGGTACTGAAGTTGCCGTTGACGAAACGATCATGGAGGTTGACGAAGAGGATGAGGACGATAATGACGATAGCCGGGGAACGGTCATCAAGAATGAGATGGCTAGTGAAGAGCCGGATGAGTGATATCACCAGACCTATCTATTAAACTGATAATTATTATATCAAAGTCGGTATTATGATGTTTTTAATTCTGTCTTGTTGTTGCGTTGGGAACGCTGAAATGCTGGGTTGACGTTTGAAAGGATTTTGGTTGATGGGATTTTGGTTGATGGGTGTCGTTAGGGCTACGGATTCTATTGCCCTTTTAAAGGAGTTATACTGATTCAAATGTATATTTTTATTTCTTATATGAGTTTGGAGACGTACCATTTAACCAAAGAGGGTTCACCCTGATGGTCAGTCCATATATGGCTCAACTTCATGCGTGCATGCTGACAAATAAATTGCCTATTCGGTTTAACGTGCCTATTTTAGAAAAGCGTCCCATTACTATTTGGAGACTCAGCTGACCTAACGTCACTACGATTGCTTCAAATCATCCACTCATCCACCTACTTAGGATGATGGATGCAAAGTGGCTAAAGTATGTCCAGCGTCTGGAAGACGACTGGTCATCCGTGGCCGACCTCCAGAGGCGTAGACGCATTCAAAACCGACTCTCGCAGAGGGCACGGCGTAAGTACGATCCATCCTACCTGGGATATTGGCGTACGGATTAACGACGGATTTCTCGTACAAGGAGCCGAACTGCGGCGCAAATCTCAGATGCCAGTTCCCGGCGCTGCAGAGGAAACAACGTTGCCTGGTGAGAGGTTAGTTTAGATTCCTTGTGGTAGCATTTCCCCTTCATCTAACCTAGTCCGGTCAGTGCCTCGCAAGATATTAGTATCGTGCCTAGTGATCAACCAGGCTCGTCCGAGCCCAGCCTCGTCAGGCCAGGAGTGCTTGTGATGCACAGTCTCAAAGCAGTCTCGGCCATGGCTGCAAATGCAGGCTTACTCCAGATCTCGTGCGAAGCCGGGCCAGGCTTTAGCATCTCGCCTTTCATGGTGGTGCCTGAACCGTTGAGGCCAACGCCCTTGCAGGAACTCATTCCCCATCTTCCTTATGTCGACGTCATTCCCATCCGCTCCGTGAGAGATAAGATCCTCAACTCGCTTGCGGCCATCAACGAACCCCAACTGTGCCTCGATCTTCAAGAGGAGACGATGATGGTGTGGGGCGAGGTCGCATGGGACCCCCATGGATGGGAAGTATCGGAGCAATTTACGCAGCGATGGTGGTTTCTGCTAGACGAGGAGGTGATTCGCACGGCGAATTTCTGGCGAAGGCAACGGGGGGAAAAGCCACTGCAGATCGCACCAACCAGTGATTTTAGAATTGACGCATTTTAGGAGGATTAGTGTGAAGAAATATAGTAAATAATAATTTAGTAAGAGAATCCTGACAAGTGAGAGGATGGATTTTTTCCGTTACGAATTCACAATTTACGCTCTAGACTCTACTATAACTACCTACTTCTATGACGATTTTACCATAATGCTTTCGGTCCGCCTAACAAAAAGACAAGTTAGCTATTCATGTTCGCATTGCTTCAAAGAGCTGGACTTGCCATATACTGGAAGGCGTTCTTCAAATCCTCCAAGCGAAAGTGCCTCGGATCGAGGATAGGGGTGATCTGGTGCGTTTCGATGAATCGGTTCATTTCTCGGAAGCTCTCTTTATGTCCCACCCCGATGGATTTCACCGTGGCCAGACGCTGGGAGATCTCTGCCACGGTGGCGGGTGAGTCCCCGTCGTCGCCAAACCCCAGGTTTCCGACTAGGGAGATGACTCCCTCTAGTCGCACTGCGCAGAGGGATTGTCGTATCGACCCAGCCCCTCCAATCTGAATCTCAGTCCTGATTAGTTCATGCTTGTTAAGGATCAGAGCTGAAATATCTCACATCTACCACGATATCAACCCCTATGTTATTCGCCGTGAGAGACTTGGCTGTCTCGCCCCAACGCGGATCGTCTCGATAATTCAAAATGTGGGTTGCTCCTAGCCTCTTCAAGTGCTCAGCCTTGACCTGGGAGGATGTAGTGGCGATCACGGTTGCGCCGGCGGCGCGAGCAAACTATCCTCATATTCGGATCAGATCCACAGCTAATTTGTGCCCCGGATACAGGAAGGGAAGTTCACACCTGTAGGGCAAAACAACTGACTCCACCTGTTCCCTGAATAAGGACGGTATCCCCGGGCTGCAGCGTTCGGAGCCCGGACAAGGCATTCCACGCTGTTAGTCCCGCACAGCTCAGCGTACTGGATTCAGACCAGCTTAAGTTTGGAGGAGCATGGATCAAGCCAGATTGCGGATAGATGCCGTATTCGCGAAACGGGCCGTCCTGCAGTGCTCCCAGAGACGACTGAATGATTTCGAGAGACAGGGGGCCGGAGTCATGACTCTGGAAGAATGTCGTGACGACGCGATCTCCAGGTTTGAACTCAGACACCTGTGAGCCCACTCGAATGACTTCGCCAGCGCCATCTGAACCAGGGACAACGTCTTTGGCTATCGGGAATGGGTTCCTTCCCTAGGCATAGCATATATGAGCTAAAAAAACTGTTTCCATCTAGAGTATAAATACGCACGTTCAAAATGATCCAATCTCGGTAATTGAGTGACACTGCCATGAATTTGACCAAAATTTCATTCTCACCTAGCACCGATGGGAGCGTACCCTTGGATAGTTGTAGGCTGTCTAGACCTGATGTTGAGGCAAGCGTCCATTGTTTGAACTGCGTGGTCGACATTGTGCCTTTTTCAAATTATGTATGAGTGGATGAATGAATAATAAAGTATATGATAAGTGAACGGGGGACTCAGGTATTTTAGCTGGTCTAACCCCTTGTTATTCGCATCGGTGGGCTGAATAATGCGGCAATGAAAAGATGTCAGATTCATCTGACAATCTGACAAACTGTCGGACGCCACCACCATAGCGGTTCAGAACCATAGAGTATTAACCACATTAACCGCTTCTACTTGAGCATCGTAATTCCAAGCAGCTCGGGTGCAAATACTCTTGAAATGTGGCTGTAGGATCGGTCTGACACAAATCTGACAGTCCCCGAATACGACAATCTGATCCAGTCAACTATGTCAGTCTTACCAAAAGCTCATGGCGTTATTTATCGATAGGGGATATGGTTATGCGGTATGCCACCATGATAGCCAAAACGGCCTATAAAAGGAAGCGTTTCTTCTTCATCTGTTAGCATTGTAGGCGACAGTCTCCATCTGGTCATTGATTACTTAGCTCTTACGATTTGACCGCCAACCATGGGTTTAAAGAACGTTGTGCGAGCCACTGTTTTCGCCACGAAGCGAGCCGACCTCAGTCAGGAGGAATTTTCTCGCCGATTTGCCAGTCATGGCCAATTGGTCTCAAAAGTGTTGCTAAAGCACAACGCCATATCATACCATCAAGTCCGTGACCTTCCAATCCTCTCTCCTTTTTATGAGGCCTGTGGCAAATGCCTGGAGCATTTCATTTCATTTATATCCTTTTGCAATTGTTCATGCTTACATTTGATTCATATAGCAACATCGCCTGGCCAAATACGAAGACGATTTTAAAACCACTTTAGGCGCCGAAGTCAGCGCCTTCTTCGACTTTCTCGACGCCGATGGGTTGGTCACAACGGTATTCCCGACCATTGCCGATCTCGTGGGCTTCTTCGGCGATCCGGCTCATGAGGAATACCTGAACAAAGATATAGCCGAGTTTGCCACCCTGGGTACTGTGCGTATTAACATCGGCGATGAGAATACTGTCATTGAAAACGGAATCTTGGTGTCATAATGCTTCGAATTCAAGACATTCCCTAGTTACCGTTAGGGATGAACCATACTTGATTATTGTTGCCCGCTCCTCCGATGATGGGACGATACACCTTGAAAGACTTTGGCTTACTGCTTCTTACAATATTGATTTCTATCTGGTGCAGGTACTGTGAAATTTCCTCTCTAGGGAATAAATAAAACATGCAGCATCATGTAGAGCGTTTATATACATAAAATGAGTATGAGAGTGATCGAAATTAATCTCACGATAGACAGAAATTTCTTCCGATGTTATAGCTCTTTATTCACTTGATTTGGCCTTAATCCACAAACAGCCCTCAACAACATTGAAGTTTGTAGAGCTCCTCTACAATAGAATTCCGGAAGAAGCAGTCTAGATGCAAAGAGCTGCCGATGCCAATGATGCCAAGAGAGCGTTGCACATGTTGTTATATATTTATGTAGACAAAGTTGAAAGTCCAAGGCTCATTATTGTGTAAAGAATGAAAGAGATACTGAAATAACGTAAAAAGAATATTTCTTCCAAGCCTTCAGCGTTCCATACCCCTAGGTGAAAGAGCTTGTCACAAAATAATATCCAGCCCAGTATGTCAACTTTGAAACCCCAACACCTCCTCTCCTTTTCTTTTTATATCCAAAATAAAACCATTGAACAATTGGAAGGCTCCATCCCATTTGGTAACGTGCCATAATTCGTTTTTTCCCCACATGGTGCTTTTGCTTAGAACACTTGTAGCAGTTATGCCCCGTTTCTATTCCATCAATAGGACAAACCCGCTAACTGAGACCCATATTCTTTCCAACCCAATGCCATGCCATGCATCGCTCAAATAAAACAAAAGTATTGTTCCGCCAAGACCAACCGAGAATTGTATATATACCAACCGGCACTTGCGAGACCATGGATGTCAGTTATCATACCGGGTCTGAGGCCGATCATCCAAAAGATCCCCAGTCCTGAACACAGCAAAGGCCAAAAAATTACAGCTCGTGGTGAACGAAGGAAACAGAGGACGAAGAATGTGAAAACACGAAAAAAAAAACAGAAAAAAAAAAACGAAAACCTCTGAAGATCAGCGACCAGCCTGCCAGCTCCTTCCGACCAAATGCACCAGACCAAGGTTCCTTATACATTTACGCATCAACAACGTAATACACAACCCGTGCCTATACAAACGGGAAAGTAGACACATATTTAGATAGTTAACTCGGGGCAAAAATGCGTTAAAAAGGGAATAAGTCCAAAAAAGACGATCATGCGGGTGACTTGTTCGCACTCGCACCATTTCGACGACCGTGTCCGTCGTCATTGACTGTTAGCCCACCAAGCCCAGAAGAAAGGAAGGCAAATGGATCATTTGAACCGTCATTAGCATAAAGATTGCCATTAGAAGCACTTGAATGAGGTCCGTGATCAGCCCCGGTAAAGGCTGCCTGAGTTGCCGGGTTGCCAAAGGAAGCCGCAGAGTGAGATGTATTAGCTGAGCCATATCCTGCGTTCATCTGACCCATGGGTGGGTATGGGCCGGGAGCACTTCCAAGCCCTGATGGTAACCCGTAGTTGCTAGGGGGAGCACCAAATTGTTGACCAAAACCACCAAAACCACCACCAGTTGAAGCAAATGGGGCAGGAGCTGGAGTGCTTGTCATTGAGCCTGGTCCCATGCCGAAGCCCGATGGAGGTTCCATAGGGGAGGGGAAAGCAGAATCGGCAACAACAGCAGCTCCCGAACGCGGAGCACCACAACGTAAACAGTTGGTGTTCTTTGCGAAATTGTGGTAGCCACAGCCCTCTGAACCGCACTTCCAGTCGCCTGCACGGAAGGGGACGACTCCTCCATTGCCTCCCGCACGCGAGTGGCCCATGCCATGCCCCCCGTGGTGGTTCATAGGAGGCATCATAGACGGGGGCCCATATCCGTAGCCGTAATTGATAGGGTCAGGGGCAGCACCGACGGCAGGGAACGAGCAACGGAAGCATGCAGTTCGGCGTTGGAAGTTAGAGAATCCACAAGACGGGCATGTCCAGTCACCAGGTCGAGGACGGTTCTTAGATGGTGGGAATGGAGTCAAAATTTCAGCGGCTCGGTCTAGAACGCGACTAGAAGATGGAGAGACCTCAATGGCTTTCTCATTGAGTGCCCGACCGTTCATGCAAAGACTCTCAGCTGCCTGCGTACAAAAAATAAAAGTTAGTGAATGAATTTACAGGTCAAATAGAAGAGAAGACAACTAACCTCTTCATGGGATGAGAAGACTGCAAAACCAGTGCCAGTGGGCTTGTGTTGGTCCGGGGTACGCAAGGTCCAGAATGCAATTGGACGTCCACCGAATTGTGTAAACCAGCTTTCCAGTTCTGACTGAGTAGTATCGTGGGGTAGTCCACTCATATGAAGGACCTTGCTTCGTTCGGCAAGGAAAGCACGCACATCGGCCCTGGCATCCATTGGGCGGGTGAGAATCTCGGGGTGCTCATGAGGGGGCTGCGACTTGCGGATTAGACCCTTGAGGACGCGAGCTAGTGTAATTGCTTCTTCCATTGCTCGTCGGGGCGAGGCTGGAGCGAGAGCCTGCAGGTGGAACGGCAGATTATGCTTGATTGGAGCGGAGGATTGGACGGGTTCGACTTCTAGGGCAGCGCAGATATTAGACAGAGAGCTGGGGCCAAAAGGCAGAGACTCTGGGTGGTGTGTTTGCCATCTCTGGTATTCAGTACGTAGATCGAAAGTCCGGGAGTGTTGAAGATAGGGTGGAAGGACGACAGCTTTGTCTCGGGCCTCACGGGGCAATTGTACACGGAGATCCCAAGAATCGAGGGTCACGAAAGAAAATTCAAGATTCTTCGAGACGAGGTGTTCCTGAGCGAAGGCATCGAAGCGGTTGATTGCATCCCGGAAAGTACCTGCACCACGGACGTTCTCCCATGTGAGGGTGGTCAGGCTCGCTGATTGCGGCGTCAGCCATTGGAATAAAAAGAAGCGAAAAAAGACAATGATGGTGGGTAGCCGAAAGCCATTGGATGTGCGGACTTACTGCAGAGAGGAGTAATTGGAGTGTTGACAGGCTTCACAAGAACGCTTTCTCGATGCAACTGTATGACAAAGCAAAAAAAAAGACCTCGGTCAGCGGGAGTAGAACGGATAGCGATAGGGGAGCCCAATTGAGCGGCGTACCTCGTCACAGGTTTTGGTATCGAGTAAGATCCAGCCGAATTCAATTACCTCGGCGGAGTCTTTGGTCACGTAGACGCCATGTTCGTCGCAAGTCGTGGCAACGTGGATGACGATGTAGCGGTCCAGCTTCGGAATGGGCGAGACGGCTGCCATGTCTCTCGTTACGCCGGAGCGAGGAGCCAGGGGAACAGGCCCGAGAGAGGAAGGGGAGTGAGGAGACGGGGCGTCTCTGCCGGCGGAGCACGAGACGAAGAGCGATCACGACAGCGACAGTCGTGATCGGGATGGAGAGGAGAGGCAGGAGGGAAGAAGGAGAATCGGAGGACCTGGAGGATGGTGGTGAAGGGCGGAGAGAAAAAGCTGTGCAGTGCTTGAAGCTGGTGGAGCGTGGGCCCGTCCGTGGCCCGGCAGGGAAGGAGCCAGAGCCACCACCAACTAAGTTAACTGCTTCTTCCTTTTATCGTTGCTCTTGTTATTACTATTACTATTACTATTACTACGACTACTATTATTATTATTATTGTCGGTTCTGGTCTTGCATTTTATTCTTTACTTGCTACGGACTCTGTTGGCGAGCAGGCCGTCTCAGCTGTTTCCCAGTGTCAACATTCGAACTAAATGCTAAATAATATTAATGCACCTCCGCAGTTCACTTGCTGCATGCTGGACGGCGGCGCTGGCGTGGTCTGACCGGCTCCAGCGTGATAACAGCTCCTTAGGGAACCGCTAGTCCGGACTTGCATCGGCCGTACATGGCCGACTGCCTCTCGCAGTACTGGGGGGGTGAATGGACTATTCTGGCCGAAACGCTTTCACCAGCGATACCAGCCATCACGCCCGCAATACAGTTACCTCTCTGTAATTGACGGTCAGTCCTCACATTGGCAATATTGCACATGGCTGGTCGCACCGTATGTGCATGGATTTGATGAAGTCCTTGAGGCTTATGCGCTGCAATGCAACTATTTATGCTGGATTTCCTGCTGCCTACTACAACGACGGCCGGGCGGAATATCGCAAAGTGCAGATCGGCATTGGCTACTCTCAGGGACAGGCGTTATGCACATGACATATAATTGCCATTGCTAGATATTCACAGCAAGCACTCTTGGATTCACAATGGCTAACTAATTAGCAAAGAGACGAGAAATGACCCCCAGCGAGAATCCCGTTTCAGTTTCAAAGAGTCAACTTTTTCGAGCCGCCCCATATTTCTCGGAGCCCCGCCGTGGCCGGATTGGCTGCTCGGAATGGACGTTGAATGCCGCGTTAATTAATTATTGCCATTATCTTTTTGTTGCTGCTGCTGTGCTAACTAAGTATCGAGTGTTCCCTGACTAATTGTTTTAATGATAGTTAACTAACGAGGCAACTGTTTTCATTTGGCTAATACGCCTATGATGATTTGTTGTGCTTTCCTAACATCCTGACATTGGCCGGATATAATTATTTCAGACTCAACTTCGACCATTAACCGAATGCACTCTGCGATTGGATATCTAGTCGTCACCAGAGGTGGCCAGCTTTTCTAGATATGCCATTTGCCCTGTCAGCAGAAACCCCAAGATTAGTATCAACCTTTCCTTAAGATGACGCGGCATTTGTAGTCGCCTAGTTATAACGGACTAGTCGGTGTTCATCTACGGTATAGCCCACCTCCTATTACAAAAAAGATAACGTGTTCCGTCATCTCTTTCAGACAACAAACAGCTCTCCAATTGCCCCCATAGGGGCTTCATGCTGTGTCCAGTGTCGCATGTATGGAAGTCTTTGGATGATGAGAATCCCCAGGTGGTCCAAGCTCTTTGGGCCCCACGTGGGAGCTTCCGCTGTCCGCCGGAGGCGCCGTATGATTGGCTGGCAAGCATACATACTCCTGTGAGCACGAAGTATTGAGCATTAGAGATGCGACATTATTACTGCAATGTTGATTAGTAATTAATACTTAATGGTGAAATTAATAGATAGGCTCCTGGAAGACGTCTGTAAATATGTTTCGCCCGTCCATATTCCTGGACGTCACCAATGAGGAGTGCCAAGACGTCCTGTGCAGGGTGTTGCACTGTGATGTGTCCAGAAAGTACCATTCTGCATAATGACTAGGCAGTAAAACTATTTAACTATCCGTGCAGCAACACTCTAAATGGAATAATGTTCGCCTAAGCTTGAGTTATTGTTTACCCCGACTCGAAGGCCCTGAACATAAAGTATGTAATACCAACGCTGTGTTTGCAGGAGACGCCTTTCAGCTTATATAAGGAATTAAAATGCACCATTGTAAGATAATATGGGACGCAGCAAGTTCTTGCCTGAGTAATGCCAATGCCTGGTTGTATCGGCTCGTCGAAGCAGTAAGCGCCCGTTAGCGCGCGCCTGGCGGCTAGCCCAGAGCTCTCTGAGGCAACCGCCGCCTTCGCGTCCCTGGGGCCATGGCTTATGGTCTCCGTCATCGTAGCTCGCAGCTTCACACCCTCAAACCTCCACCTTTGTCTCCCCCAATACAACCGTCTCATTACTCTTCCTTTTCCATAATTCAATACCGAAGCTTCTTGACCGTCCGCACGGTTACTACAACACAGGAATGGCGTCTGGATACGACAGAGCTCTTTCAGGTACAGCCTCCCATTCCGCATGCCCCGATCAGAATCTCACTAACAAACAACAGTTTTCAGGTATACCTCTACCTCGCAGTGCATACTGTCATTATCATCCCTCTAACTCTATCCAGTCCGGACGGACACGTCTTTCAAGTCGAATATGCTTCTGAAGCGGTGAAGCGAGGTAACGCTTGCTCTACACAGCTCTTGCACTGCAATCAGTACTGATCGGATTTTGTGGCCAGGGACATGCGCTGTCGGCGTGAAGGGCAAGGATATCGTGGTTCTCGGATGCGAGAAGCGCTCGGCAATGAAACTCCAAGACACTCGAATCACCCCGTCCAAGATCGGCTTGATCGATAACCACGTGTGCCTGGCCTTTGCTGGGTTGAACGCCGATGCCCGCATTCTGATTGACAAAGCCAGATTGGAGGCCCAATCACATCGCTTGACCGTTGAAGACCCCGTGTCGATTGAATACATTACGAAATATGTCGCCGGAGTTCAGCAGCGTTATACACAGAGTGGTGGTGTTCGTCCGTTTGGAATCAGTACATTGATCGTTGGCTTTGACCAGGGTGACAATATCCCTCGCCTCTACCAAACCGAACCATCTGGAATTTACTCTGCTTGGTAAGAAAGATCAGGTCTACTGCTCCGTGCCTGTCTTGATGCTGATTACGTTGCAGGAAAGCCAACGCTATTGGACGTTCGAGCAAGACGGTCCGCGAATTTCTCGAGCGGAACCATAAAGATGACATGGATCGTGAAGCAACTCTTCAGTTGACGATCAAGTCTCTACTGGAGGTAGTGCAAACTGGAGCAAAGAACATTGAGATTGCCATCATGGCCCCTGGGAAAACCATCGAGATGCTGCCGACCGAGCAAATTGAGGCATATGTCAAGAACATTGAGGCTGAAAAGCAGGAAGAAGCGGCCAAGAAGAAGACCGGCCGAACTCCAGGATCTGGAACTGCGGCTATCCTGACGCGGGCCGGCGCTACGGGTGAGGGTTCCGAGAGCTAGATAAATTTGAGATCTCACCTGAGCGGGCGTTGTTGAGGATAAAACAATAAATCTATAAATTAGCTAATGAACATTGAACTGTTTACATGCAATAACTCTGTACAGCGGCAGTAGGCGCCTGCGTTACTTCTATGTTCGTCCGGACAGGGATCAATAATGCACGTAGCGAGAGAGCCCTGAAAACGCCGTAGCACCAACCAGGCCCGTATGGATCATTCGTGTCGTCGTGATGGTTCCAGGGAACTCTAGGCCAATCGATCTGCTGCATCTCGGGGGTTGAAAATGGATCTCTCCGCATCTCCACGCACACGGTCGTCCTTAAGCATTCTTTAAACAAAATCAGCTTCATATTCAGGAGTTACAGATTAACAAGTTAGGTAGTACCTTGAATCCATACGGACATCATCGCCTTCCACCTGCAACGAGGCTTGAGGCGTTTTTGCGTCTATCACAAAGTGATTATCGCAATGAGGGCAGTACTCGTCACTGTTAAGGACAAACTATTCAGCGACAAAGAGAATTTTGATGTCCTATATATTCTCACCTCTCCTCAAACTCGGACGTATCTTTGCGGAAACATTTCTTGCACTTTTTGCATGCGAAAGTCTGATATTGAGAAAGAAAGCAAAGGTCAACGCCTGCCCAAGACAATATTGTTTCCCACATACCATATCGAACGATTGTAATAGAGGATGGGTTTCCTGTTCCTGATGGCATTCTGCGCAATCGAACCATTTCCGGCCTGGCAACGAGTTTAGCTAATCCCTGGCGACTCCTGAGTAGACCATGAGACATACAGCATGGCGACCGGATCGCAACCTGAGCATTGAGAACGTGTTTACTGTGTTGGAACCAGGGGTTAGCAATCAGACATTGTCTGGCCAATGTGCGGGGAAATCTCAGAGGGCATTTTGTTAGCCAAGGGGCTTTTCGCCACTCACCACATATTTTCAAAGGTAAGAACAAAGACTCAACCACGTAAATCAAATGCTATTCCAGACCATCCACCAGCGGACAAGAATGAAGGGGGGGATCGTGTACAGTGCTTGTCGTGAACCACTGTTCCTGCATGCACGTTAAGCGCTCTAGTCTACCCAGGCTTTTCGGTCTGGGGATCTGCGTCCTAGTCTCACTATTCTAAGTACTGCTTAGTGGACGGGGCAGATGCCGACTAACGCTCCAACAAATCATAAAAGTATTACCATCCCCTCTCCTTTCTGCAACAATCATATAAACACACTGTTTCTTCGTGCTTGGGTCTCTTTGTTCTGCGCATCATCCTGCCCCTCCAGTTCGGCTGGGTTCAACTGACATGGCCATAGGCCGTGGTAGGTAGGTACATCATTTGAAGCTCCCCGCCCGCTTCCTTCGGAGACTTCGTCATCCCTCCAGAGCGCCCTTGCCAGGGTCTATGCTTCTTAGTTGAGGTGGCTTGGCTAATTTCTTGCAGATCCATACATCTAGACTTTTGAAACGGCGCTTTTTGCTCCTTTGCTTAATGACAGCTTGACCTTTCGCTTTCGGTTTGCTGTATTCTTGTTGCCCTGGGACTCCCTTCCCCCCCACTTTGAAGTCGACCTACGTTCTACTCGAAAAACACAATTTTGGCGGCGACCACGAGATATTTTGAGGCTTATGGTTTGGCTCGGGTACAGCCAGCTTGCGCCTGAGGGTCATGGACAATAATAGGAAGAAGGCCGAAGGCACCGATGATGCGCCTCTGGTAAGTAGTGCTGTGTGCAGATGCTACAAAGGATAATCTTATAGTAAACTAATCACTATTTTGCCACTTCTAGAGACCTGTATCATCCCTTCTATCTCACTTCGAACATCTCTCGTTCTCTGGCAATGGTTCGACTGGAAATGGAGCACCACGTGATAATGCATCCCGATCAAAAGCGCAAAACTGGGATAGTGTTCAGCCAACTATTCGCGCATCCCTAGATATACCTCGGCCAGCTTGGGGTGTTTCAAACGGCCCACGAAGCGATAGCCCAGCAGGGTCCGCTAACGGAGGCTGGAATAATTCACAGCATGAACGATCACCAGGTGCCATAAATCGTTCTCGACCGACGTCAATGAGTCTCCAGTCGCCACAGCTGACGCCAGCATTGACTATCGAATCTCCTCGTTCTCCGCCTCCGTCGTCGGATCTAGGCCACCGTGGTAACAAGAACTGGCAGTCGCTGGGCCCAGATCATTCAGATCTATCTCCGAAATCAGCATCCTGGCAAAATCCTCATACGTTGCGTTCTAAATGCCCGGGTTCGCCCTTTGGAGGTTCTGTTGGTGTTCCGCAGTTATCACGAGAACCATCTCCGGTTGGTAAGCCAAAGAGCACATCGGTTCCTCCTCCAGTCAACCGAGCAGATAAACCAAAGGTGCCTGCTAAACCGGCGAATATCTCCCACTTCGGCATGGGAACGCTGGCACCTGGCCACGGGAAGGACTTGAATGACAACCGGGTTTCGCCATTTAGTACTCCTCCCAGTAGTCCAGAGAAACCGCTCGTAACGGAAAGCACCAAGCCTAAAAATACATCTCACGTCTCATTGTCTTCGCGCACAATACCTGAGCCACTTTCATTGCCGCCGCCGGTCGATAGAGGTCCTCGCACGCCTACCCCAACGTTGCGCTCCTATGTGAGTGATTCTGTCTCGACAAATCACAAATCAGGGGCCGATTCCCCGGGACATTTAAGATCAATGAGCCATTTTGCTCCAAGCACACGGGATGCTCGTGAACTTGGATTTACGAGCCGTAAAGCGTCCCAGGAGAGCGATGTGCCTGAAAACAGGCCTACTTTACCACCTCGTGACGGACTTCGAGGAAGGCAGACCCGAATTGTACGAGCACCGGAATTTGGACATAGTGACATTCAACCTAGATCTTTCGTTGATTTACCTGTGAGGCCAACCAAGCCAACTACTTCAAATCGTCCCCCGGCTATTGATACAAGCCAGCAATTTGCCCCGCCGCCTCGCCGACACACAGCCGCCATCGGTGGCAAGGCCACTTTAGATACGCCGCAAACACCCAGCAGCCACGTTTCTCCATTGCCTGATTCAAAAACACTTCCCTCAATGTCAAGACCACCACAGAGACAGGTTGTCGATGACTCAGAAGATGAAGGATATGCGGAGGACACGCTGATACCCAGAACTGACTTCCCAGATTCCTCTCAAGTTAACCGCCGACCTCCGGTTTTCAAAGATGGGCCACTATCAATATCTACCAAATACGATACACGTGTGTTCGATGTTTGTGGGAACAATGTCTGCACGACGGGTTATCTGACTCGAGTTTGGGATTTGACGACTGGAGAACAAAAGATGAGTATCAGTCACGGCGAGACTGTCAAAGCACTCTCCGTTGCTTTCAAGCCAGGCACCGGGCTCGGCGATGAAGGCACTCGGCTGTGGGTTGGGACAACTGTTGGAGAGTTGCATGAAATAGACATAGCCTCGCAGACAATTGTTGCATCCAGATCATATCCATCGAGACGGGAGATCATCAAAATTTACCGCCATAAGAAGGAGATGTGGACTTTGGATGACGAGGGAAAGCTTTTGATATGGCCACCAGATGAAACCGGTACACCAAATCTCAAGTATAGTTATGATCAGCCCCCAGATCGCGTTGCAAAGGGGCATACGTTTTCCATGGTTGTTGGCGATTATCTCTGGTTTGCTACTGGGAAAGAAGTGCGTATTTATCGACCAAACGCCCAGGATGATTCGTTCCATGTCTTGAAGAAGCCTTTGGGAGCAAATCACACTGGTGAGGTGACATCTGGAGCACATACCACGAAGGATGGCGGGCGAGTTTATTTGGGTCATGCAGATGGTAAAGTTACGGTTTATTCCACTGCGGATTACTCCTGTCTATCCTGCGTCAATGTAAGCGCCTACAAAATCAACTCTCTGGCTTTTGTTGGGGACTATCTATGGGCTGCGTATAAGACCGGAATGGTTTATGTTTATGACATATCCACCTGCCCTTGGGTAGTTAAGAAAGATTGGCGTGCTCATGAAAGTCCTGTTTGTGGCCTTGTACTCGATCCTAGCGGGCTATGGACGATCAACCGCTTGCAAGTTGTTTCTCTAGGCACAGACAATTTCTTACGTTTGTGGGATGGTATGCTGGAGGATGATTGGCTCGGTGGGTAATCTCTTTCGATTGGAAAGAAAATGCTTGCTAATTGGAATATAGAATTGCGCATGCAAGGAAGAGATGTCGAATACTGCAACTTCCGCGAGATACGGGCTACTATCATGACTTGGAATGCCGGGGCTTCCGTACCGCGCGATTTGAGCAGTAGTTCGTTCATCCAAGAGGCTATTCACCCTGAACAGCCTCCTGAGATACTTGTTTTTGGGTTTCAAGAGCTGGTTGATCTTGAAAACAAGAAAATCACAGCTAGTATGTGCCACTTTACGATGTGATTTAGAGAGCTACTAACCTCTTAATAGAAAGCCTGCTCATGGGAAGTAAGAAGCGCGAAAACAACGAGAAAGAGCATATGAGTCGACAGTATCGTGTTTGGGTAGATCATTTGACATCATGCATAAACAATGCTATGCCCCTCGATGAATCTTACTCACTGCTTCACACGGCGAATCTCGTTGGCTTGTTTACGTGTGTTTTCATTAAGCAGACGGAACGCCAAAGGGTCCGTCATGTCAGCGGGGCTGAGGTTAAGCGCGGAATGGGTGGGTTGCATGGAAACAAGGTATATACACTATCTACCATGGCTTGTCAAATACTAACCGATTAGGGTGCCTTGATTCTACGGTTTATTCTTGATGACAGTTCACTATGTTTTGTCAATTGTCATTTGGCTGCTGGTCAGACACAAACAGCACATAGAAACAACGATATTGCCGCCATTCTAGAAACGCAATCTCTCCCCGCAGAAAACAGCCTTACGGCGCGCGCCGATCTCTTTGTCAATGGCGGTGATGGGACTATGATCCTAGACCACGAAATCTGCATTCTCAATGGAGATCTCAACTATCGCATTGACTCCATGTCACGCAATGCGGTGATTGACGCCGTTCGTCAAAACAACCTACCCAAGCTATTAGAACGTGATCAACTCCTTGCATCAAAACGAAAGAACCCCAATTTCCGCCTCCGTTCCTTCAATGAAGCCCCCATCACTTTCGCACCTACCTACAAATATGATGTCAATTCGGATGAGTATGACACGAGTGAGAAGAAGCGGTCGCCTGCCTGGTGCGATCGGATTTTGTATCGTGGTGCGGGAAGAATCAAGCAGAGCGAGTACCGACGACACGAAGTACGCGCGTCAGACCATAGACCTGTCAGTGCTTCATTCAAGATGCGTATCAAAACAGTGTCGCCACAGGATAGGACAGCGGCGTGGGAGACATGTCAAAAGGAGTTTACGAAGGAGAAGAAAAGACTGGCGTGCGATTCCAGGTGAGCCCTAATCTCAAATATAAAAACGTATCAGTCTCTAATCTTTTTCGCAGTGTGGAGTATTTGGTCAAAGTACTTGGCATGGACCGCGAAGAAGCACGGAGAGTTATTACATCTGGTGGTTCTAAATAGTGGCCCACGCTAATCACGGCTCTATCCCCAATGCATTGTTGAGGCGTATGTAAAAAGCGTTTGGATGTTTCCGAGGCCCTGGTTTTATTCTGAGCGGTTCCAAGTTAGCTTGTGGGTGGATTTACTGTTATCAATTGATGTATATAAACCAACGACGACTACGAGACACGACGAGAATAGATGTACACTTGGAACTTGATATAATGGAAACGAACATGAGATAAGCATCTAATACTACTACATCTGGTACATGTTTGATTCCATTTATACACTCATGACCGGTCCCATCCAATTTTCTCGACAGCCAGGTGATGCGGTTAGTTCAAATTTTTATTTCTGTGTCAATCAGCATCTGCCATGCATCCAAAAGCGAGCACCAGCTTCATTTGAAGCTTCAAGAAGTACGTACTCCGCATCCCTTACAAGCGCAGTTGTTGTCACATGTACAAGTACCGTTGCCAGAGCAAGGACAGTTGGTTGCTCCACATTCACAAGCCATTTCGACGAGTTGAGTTTTTTTTTGACTTGTTCAGAATTATAGAAAGCAGTGTGGATATTTTGACTTGCTTTAGGTTTAGGTTGTTGGTAGATCACAAAAATCTGGGGATGTCCTGATGCTTCAATGTTCTTTATATACCCATGCCGTGGCGGATCTGAGTGCATCCGGGTATGCTTTAATATTGGCTACTCGAACAGCTGATGATCATTATGGCGTCAATTATGTCATAGGCTGGGCTGTGGCGAATCCGCGCCGATGCGGAATGGAGACCCGCGTTCGACTGTATATAAGAGAATAGGTGAATGCATATTTAATGTGTGTGAGAGGAAAGCTATATGAGGCTATAGAGGTATTTAGACATGTGTAAAATACGTGGATATATCAATTAGTAGTACATTTATGCAGGCAAATCATGCATTTGGTTGAAGCCCAGTATTGCATCTTCATCCGGCTCCGTGATTGGCTGGATTCCGTATTGTTCGCCTCAGGCAACGGGCTAATCAGGTTGCGTCAAATTTTGGTATCAATTAGGTATGGTTCTTAATATTACCGCGGAATGAGAAAGTATCCACGTATAATTTGAGCTAGACCTGTATAAAATTGTATATATCGGTTATTCAATTGTTGTATGGGCAGTTATTGAGTCTATATGTTACGTCGGTATGGTGGATAAGAAACTCTCCGACTGAAGATCTGTGAGTCTTGTCATTATTAATACATATCCAGAGTTAGGTGCATGCATGGTGCGGGCTTTTATGATTGGCTTTTTGCCTCAGAAACCGCTGGCTGGCTGGCTGGCTGGCTTTTCGGCGGCTTTTGGACATTCTTAGGGCTGTCTAGGGCGCCTGTCAGCAGAAGCACCACATATTTACAACAGACGAGAAGACTGATGTATTATTACGGCAACCCTTTGGAACATTGTCAACTACGAATTCTTCTCAAACCTGAAAAGTAGAATTATTATAGGCCCAAATAACGTGATCGTCTGGCCTCGTGATCACGCCTCGTGTGGTGTATACGGACCCAACTAGCCTACCCAGTACCAGCTAGCAGCAGTCAGATGACTAGTACCTATACAGTAGTCGATAATCCAGTAACCCGAGTTATCCTGTCGATTATTCTCGGCACTCTGCTTAATATTCACGGGCGACTCTCCCAGCATAGCTATGGGCGGGGTGAAATCGGCTGATAAGTCGATAAGGAAGGCTGGAGGGTAAGCAATAATATCGGGCTTCGATTGTGCTTTCGCCAGCTGTCCCAGAACAGTCAAGAAAAACGACAACTCCGAATCTGCGACAACGCATCGTATGGGGAGACTGGCAATTATTAGATAAAGTAGCAAGTGAAGTCGCTACGCAGGAGTATCTAAGATATACTACACACCCAGTGACGGTTTGATTCGCCTGAGCCGCCCCACGCCTCGGCGGCCAGCCAACAGGATCCCGCACTGCACAACCTCACCTCCTCCTGCCAGTGCATCATTATCGTGTTAGTGATCTCTTATCTTCCTTCTGCCTCCTCCCCTCGACTCTGGCTGCATTCGATTCTGTCTGTCGCCCGGAAATACAACTGCCCCAGCTCCGGATTACACCCCAGCAGTGATCACGGTGGAGCTGCCTGCTCTCGGCGCCTTCCCTCCGTCAGTCAGTTAGCGCTCTTGCCGGGCGATAGTGATAAGGCATCGGCTTCACTTCTCCTTCTCCCTCACCAGCTGCTCTTTCCACCTCCAGTCTTCTATCGCCCTCAGGAGCTCTCAGCCACCAGGTATATCTCCGCCACCCACCGTGTGCTTTGTTTGCATCGATCTCTTGCTCTTCCCACTCCGTTTTGCGTCCCCCAGCGTTGTCGCTGATCTGACTGGCCACCACACCACCCGTGTGACATCTCGCTCACCTACCTCCCATCTGGCTCGAATCTCAAGCCTCCTCGTCTGGTTCTTTCCCAGAGCCAGGCCGAAGGCAATCTTTCTTCTTCGACCTGGCAGACCATCCTCCCCAAGACCTGTCCCCTCATATCGCCCCCGACCACCCCGAAAGTCCTCACACTACTACTGGCCCAGCTACGGTATCGGCCGCTGTTGACCCCGATACCCTGGATCTCCCAGCTCCGCTGTCATCGATTCACCGTTTGTCTCCTGCCCACGAACCCCCCGGAACCCAACCCAGTCATCTTCTTTCGAACCTTGATCTAACACTGTCGTCAGACACCATCTCCCAGTCCCGCCGTCGCCGCCGCCGCTCCCGCTCAGATACCTCTTCCCCAGAGTCGTCGGATAATAGTGACCTTCACGAGGAACGCTCAGGGCCGTTGTCACCTACTGACGACTACAAGCCCCCAGAAATTCGCCGAAGCCACCGATCCGGCCGAACCGAAGGCCGACCGCCCTCCCCCAAGCGCAGGCGTTTGGCAAATATGCGGCCCGACGGTACGTCATCTGCAACAAGAGCAAATGGACGGTCCGACACATCAAATGGGCTGGTGACCAGCCCGAGGAGTAAGACGGGTATGGCAAGCTCGTTGAATGGGAAAGCGTCTGGACATATAAATGGAAAAGCTGCTACGAACGGTTCGCTGAAATCTCCCGTGTTGCCACCCACATATTTCGGCCATGACCGAGAGGAAGTCACGAGGATTTTGATCCAGAGCTTATATGATTTGGGATACAACGGTGCTGCCGCTTCTCTAAGTAGGGAGAGTGGTTACGAGTTGGAAAGCCCAGCCGTGGCGGCCTTTCGTAGTGCCGTGCTTGACGGACAATGGGCCGAGGCGGAACACATTCTACTGGAATCGTTCGAGTCTAATGAAGACAACCCTGCGGATGGACCGTCGCCGGTATGGGGAAGGCTTGCTCTTGCCGAAAGCGCCGACAAGAATGAGATGTTATTTCTCTTACGACAGCAAAAGTTTCTGGAGCTCCTCGAGGCTCGGGACCTAGGCGCTGCTCTGATGGTCCTTCGACAGGAACTTACACCTCTGAACCATAACATTGCTCAACTCCATGCTTTATCGAGGTAAACTGCTGTATACATAAGCTGTGGTTCAATAACTGACAATGTCCAGCTTATTGATGTGCCCACCCGAACACTTGCAAGAACAGTCTGGCTGGGATGGGTCAATAGGATCATCACGGGAATTTCTTCTGTCAGAACTTTCCAGTGAGTCCGGGTCTTTCTCATGAGAACTTCTATCTGCTGACCAACGTAGCATTTATATCCCCATCAGTAATGATTCCGGATCATCGTCTCGCCGTTCTCCTTGACCACGTGAAACAAAACCAGATAAACCAATGTCTATACCACAACACTGCGTACCCTCCTTCTCTATATTGTGATCATCTTTGCGATCGAAATGCCTTTCCACGCCAGTCTATTGTCCAACTTTCAAGCCATGAGGATGAAGTTTGGTATGTTGAATTTTCACATGATGGGACGAAACTTGCCACAGCCAGCAAAGACCGTTCTGTCTTTGTATATGACACAACGGACAACTTTTCGATCATTCATAAATTCGTTGAGCATGATGAGCCCGTCGCATACGCTACTTGGAGTCCTGATGATTCGAAATTAATAACATGCTCTCGAGATAACAGAGCTAAACTGTGGGATATTGAGGTATGATTTTGAAAGATGGTGCTCTTAGGTTACTTGGCTAATTCTTTAGACTGGTCGTTGTTTATTCACAACTGAACCTTTTTCAGAGCCTGTCACGGCTGCCGCATGGGCTCCCGATGGTGAATCGTTTGTAACCGCATCTCTTGATGCGAAAGCACAGCTTTGTCATTGGGGATTGCGGTCTCATCATCATCTCCCGTTGTATACGTGGCCTGGCGGGTTTCGAGTTCAAGACTGTGCTATAACGCCGGACGGATCTCGACTGATTGCTGCCGATGTGACTGGAAAATTATATGTGTACAACTTTGAAACACATGCTGAAGAGTATTGCCTACCGTTCAAGAGCAAGATCACGTCAGTTAGCGTCAGCAAAGACTCCAAATTCGTTCTCATCAACATGGCGGAAGGTCAGATTCAACTCATCGATCTCGACACAACAGAAGTAGTACGTCGCTTTCGAGGACAAAAACAAGGAGAATACGTGATTCGCAGTTCATTCGGCGGCGCAGCAGAGAATTTTATCGTTAGTGGTAGTGAAGGTAGGCCACTTTGCTCAAACAATTATAGGATTATACTAAATGCGGTCAGATTCCAATGTCTACATTTGGCACAAGGAGAATGGTACCCTTGTCGAGATGCTGGAGGGACACAATGAGGGCTGTGTGAATGCAGTTTCCTGGAATCCGACTAACCCTAGCATGTTTGCCTCTGCCGGCGACGACCATGTTGTTCGAATGTATGTATTTCCTTCGTGCTAGAGGGAAATAGCTGACAAGCGGTGTAGCTGGAGTCGAGAAACTCCGGGTGACTCCAATAGCGGAAAAGGTAGAATCACATCATCAAATGGCTTCACGCAAACGAGTGCACTTCGGTCAACGACGACCCTTTTCTAGAAGCCGTTCATTCAAGTTCATAGACTGGACACAGCTCCAGTCCCTTACGACACTGAACGTATATACATAGCCAAGCGCCATTCGCATTAACGAAGACTTTCATCTATCCGTTTTCAAGCCTAATTTTATATTTGGGGGGGTGCACCGCAATCATATTTTTATGGAAACATGGATCAGGCTAGAGGGCGCGACCGGGCTTCTGATTATCGGATTAAGCTGGAGTTTTTCTTTTCAGTCTTCTCTTTTTGTGTATCTCGTTTTGGTTACATTGGTCAGAACATTTGATAATTTAGCTCCACATGTGATTATCAGACTGCTCTTTGACACATTATAGTATCATATACAATAGCCCTTAATTAACTAGGTTGTTGACACGAATGCCCGGCTCTTGGCAGGCCAGTTCTTGACTGAGCCCACATGGACTATTAATATTGTTAATGAGCACCCAGGCCGCAGTCTTGGGTAATTATATGACCGATGACATTCTAGACATGCCCACTGGATACCCTCGCTATGGCAGCCCCTAACCAGGATGCATTAGGCCCCAATACTCGTTATCATCCCTTCCCCTGCGAATTGAGTAACGCCTCCGTAACCTTCAGTGCACCGGTAATAGTGAACGAAACAACCGGCGACAGCATATACATAACCTGCACCCAATCAATCTACTCAGCAGGTCATCTCACAGAAGGGCGCGCAAAAGAAAGGGGAAAACTTGCAGCCAAGACTTTTGCTATGGCCATCTTCTCCAACTCTGACACTTCTTCAAGCTCAGCCAGACCGGAAATTATTAGGGCTGGAGGACCCGTCGGCATAACCATCATACTAAACCAAAGAACAGGGTCATGCGGGAGCACTTTGGTGTATCTAATGAAGAAGTAAAGCCCGGAGATACTGATTCTGAAACAGACCGTCAGTAAATCTATGTTCGATGGAGAGCTCTCCTTCGAGAAGAAAAGGTATAATCACGCCGGCCAAACAACCAATCTCACGCAAAACACCACCAGCAACGCTCTAATCGGAACCCCTCCCGACCTCTTCGAACGTCTCATCTTTTCAAAACTCACACCCAGTTTACATCCTACTAGAAATACCTGAAGACTCGTGAACAGGCCGCCAATGTTCTCAACGCTCGACGTCAGCCATGCCTGGAATATCCCGCCTTCTTCGTAAGATGCGAAAAACGCACGGTGAAGTTTCGGAACAAGACCGAATAAAACCCCCGTTGCGGTGCAGAGAATAGCTAGGTCGAGGAAAGGCGAGTCGATAACGCTGAAGCCTCTTCTCAAAAACCGAGGGACGAAGGAGAAGAGATAGCGGATTCCTTTATGGAACTTGTGGCGAGCTCTCTGTACGGGTCTGGGGAGGAGAGAGGTTTGTTCGTTGGCTTCTTCCTCGGTGGCCGGAGAGTTTCGATCTTCGATGTTGTTGTTGTCATCGTTCATGTCGTGTGGTTGTTGCTGGGGTTGTGTTGTCTCTTCAGTATCATGATTTATTTGATTTTCTGGATCTATTTGGCCGTTGCTATCATGCTGCCTGTTACGATTCTGGTTTGCCTTTTTGCTGTTGATGTCACGCAGCATCCGCGGCCCAATGGCGTACGAGATTGTCTTGGTGGTTACAGCACAGACGAGAAAATACGACTGTGCGCGGTTCATTGCGTCTTCTTGGGATTGCCCAGGTAGAGTTATCAGCCTTAGACTCCCTGTGGCTCGCAGAGTTTCGAGGAGAAGCAGGGGTAGTGAGCTTGTGTTGTTGGATGCCACGGTTGGCGTAACCCATTGCGGGAGTTTGAGTAGATAGGAGAGAATATATCCCATAATAACCGATATACCGGTATAGGAAATCGCCCATACTTTCATGCAAGACAGATAATCAGCAACCCCATATCTTTAACTCTGCATAGGGTGTTTTGGGAAGATGCATACCGAATACCGGGACATAATTCAGGGCAGTTTCCAGATGTAGCTCCGACCCCAACTTGACCATGATTAATGCTGGAAGAAACAGCTTGACGCAAAGGCCGGACATGTCATTGATGGTTTGTTCATGGATGATGTTCGCCTGTCGAGTGACGAGCCCATAGAAAAGGGTTAGAAGGACAGAAGTGCACGCCTGGAGAGCTCCCAGGAAGGGTGGCACCAAGCCGTCCTCTAGGCGAGGCATATTGAAAACTGGAGCTGTGTACGGGGATTTTATGAGTACATACAAGGAGTTCAGATGCTACATAGGAGACTTATAATTGCGTTAGGGTTTGGGTGCCCGTCATTGTTACCACATAGCAAAAAGGTAGTGCCGCTGCTGTTTGCCCTCTCTTTCACAAGCGAGAGGAAATGCTATTAAAAGTTGACACTTTATTCTAGGATACATCTAGCCTATTACATATATCCTGATAGAACGTTGCTGATGTCGCGTATACCTAAGGCAACAATATCATGTGGCAGCAAAGGAGCAGTGGATTTATAAGATGAAATTTCTCCCGGCATGTTCTTACCCCCTAGTAAACACCAAGCCAAATACTAAATATCGTCTTATTGAAACTTACACATGCATGCCGCATTTAGCTTTCATTTTCTAGAAAAGATATACCATCTCTGTCCCACAACTCCGATTAAGTCGGCTTGTCGATTTCGACTTACTGAAAGTCAATCTTTTGTGCCATGTATCTTCAGGTGAATCTCCCTGTCGTTACACGGCTTCGTAATGGGTAGGGCACGATCTGTGGTGCGGATTGGGAAGTGTTCCAGGTCAAGTGACTGCCCGCTAGTTGATGGTTCCAATTAGAGCCGCTGCTTCTGTTTCTGAAACGCATAGCATCTCTTGTGGAGGGGTACGGCTTCCATAATGTCATGGCATTCTTACATGATGACTACACAGTCGCTTGGATCTGCGCCTTGCCGCTAGAAATGGCGGCAGCCAAGGCCATCCTTGACGAGATTCACAACCCTCTTCCTCGGGTATTGAGCGATTACAATGCGTATACATTGGGGCGATTATGCGGCCACAATGTGGCCATGACTTGCTTGCCATCGGGTGTTTATGGCACTGTATCGGCAGCCACTGTTCTGGTGCAGATGCTATCAACATTTCAGAAATTGCAATTCGGTCTAATGGTTGGTATTGGAGGTGGCGTTCCCACAGCTAGCAATGCCGATATTCGACTGGGCGATGTAGTTGTAAGTAAACCAACGACCACCATAGGGGGTGTGATCCAGTACGATTTTGGTAAAACAACGCCCAATGGAAGTTTCGAATATGTCGGGTCTTTGAATAAACCACCACCGGTTCTTTTGAGCGCAATAAGTCAATTACAGAGCGCCTACATGGCGGGCGAACAACAAATACAGCATATTATACACGAAGCACTAGCAAAAAATGAGTTCATGAAAAGGAAGTTTTCTCGACCGTGCGAAGACCGACTTTTCCATGCAGCATACAACCACCAGAATATTCCTACTCGCAATGCCTATGATGATATTGATGAGTGTTCAGCATGCGATTTGCACCAAATAGTCACTCGTCCTCTACGACCCACAGATGAGCCTTATATTCACTACGGCTTGATTGCGTCCGGAAACAATGTTATGAAAGATGCGCTGACACGCGATCAGATTGCTCAACCGTTGGGTGTTCTCTGTTTTGAAATGGAAGCTGCTGGGTTGATGGACCAGTTGCCATGTTTGGTAATACGAGGGATTTGCGATTACTGCGACTCTCATAAACCTAAAAAATGGCAGGGTTATGCATCACTGACAGCTGCAGCATATACCAAAGAGCTGTTGAAATTCGTTCCCATTCACAGTCAGGAAAATTACAGACAAGCTAGCAGCCAGCTTTCGGTTTCATATCAACGGTATTCGACTCAGGAGAACCTGCAGTATATGAGTTATCAAGATGAATTTCCAATTGAAACTGAAACCCCGGAAAACTTCATGATGAAATCCAACGACTCTCCAAAAGTAAATGGTCCGGAAAACATGGAAAGTCATGTTGGCGTGACACATTCATTCAACTCACGCAGCCCCGAGGATATATTGCAGAAATCCGAATCGTATGCCAGGCGTCGCCTCCTATGGAACCCCATACCATATGACTCGTCTCAACTTTTCAATGCTCTTGAAGCATGGGCTCAAGCACCTGGCTCAAGCATGATGGTTATACAACCTATTGGACCCCATGCTAAACCAAGGCTTGACGACTTCGCATTTGAAGTCACAACTTTCCTCAAGTCTGGAGGCCATCCGGTTCTTTGGGCACTGTGGCCAGTGTATGATGACCACTTAACGACGCGCGAAATTCTCCAAGGCCTCATCTATCAAGCTGTTCAGTATGGACCGGGGGCTTCAATCAAATTTGAGAAGTTTATTTCTGAGGATTTAGGAAATACTTCGGAGATTGAATCGCTTGGCAATCTAGCAGTGGATGCGTTAGCCAAGCTTTCAAGCTTTTTTTTGATCATCGAGGGAAAGGACGCTGAGTTTACCCTCACGTTCATGAGCGCCTTGCAGAAAGCTCTTGGGAACTGCATTACGTTGAGCAAAGTCCTTTTGGTCAGCTATTCGGAGGGTCTGTCTAGCGCTCTTAAAGAGCTAGTGCCTATGGCTAGCTTTCATAAACTAGGGCCACTATCACAACCGCGACGAAGAGGAAAGATGGGACGAGACTTGCGTTGGCAGACCATAAAGCCTAGTTTATCATCATAATAAAGGTGTTCACCTCCTACAGGATGGGCTTGATCTGGAGCAGACTGATCCCGAAGAAAGCCATATAAAACAGTCCCCCCCGGTTCTTACCACCCATTAGTTACTCGGCGTCAAATACTTACATCATATATTTTGGATGAAGACCCTGTATAGATCTTGATTCGTTGATACATGTGTGATTGGATGGCCTGCATTAGTCTGTTTACACGTGATCAGCTCTAGCCGCAGCCTTGATTTACCTTGATAATTGTAAATGTACAGCTTCATGGCGCGATTTGCCATGATTGATGAACAACGATGGCCTCTTCAGCTAGAACTAAATCATCGAAACGCAAACTGACCCACTCTAAATTCCACAAACCTCCGAAGCATCTGCGCCGTGGGTCTTACCGCGCGGATGACAGCTTTGAGCCCCTTATCATCCACCGCGTTATCTGCGACTGCGAGGGATATCATTACGACCATCAATCGCATGCAGATTATTTCGATATCCCCCAGCTGTTTGAAGGCGATAGTAAGGCGAGCGCTCTAAGAGGTGAATCGCCAATAGAAAACACCGATGAGTATTTTGAGCAGTATAAAGATGTTGTTCTTGCCTTATTCAAGGTATACAGCTGCAACGCCTATCACGATGCTGTCGAGCATAAATTTGAAATGCTCCGGGCTCCCAAGAACCCCGATGTTGAGGCTCTGGAGCGATATTTCTACCGCCTGAATGAGGATTGCGATTCACGTACCCCACAATGGGAAGAACTGGTGATCGTGTCCGAGGACTTGCAAAATGAAATCAAAGAAGTCACAGGGTTATTCGTTGAACGTGTCTTAACCCAGCGACAATCTACTGAGATGGATGCTATCGTCAATGGTCTTTACAACTATTCGCGGCGAATTAAACGCGCTGGCGATGAAGTAAATGGGAGAAGTAGGGAACATATTGCAAATTTCATTCGCTGGGTAGAGATTGTATTCAGAAATGAATACGAGGAGGCGGATGATTTGTTTGTAGCTGGCCGAGTCGCCATATCCCATCTCCCAAAACTGTTTGGCCCAGATGAAATTATAGTGACCACCCAAGGAGACCAGCCTCAAGCTTATGTCGTGGCGGAATACCCAGAGCAAAACGATGACACACTGGAGATACCCTGCTATACATGGAGCTTTAATGGGCGCTTTTGGCGAAAGCATACGAATCTTGTTGTTAAATGGCCCTTTTCAGAGGACGAGGTTTCCATCTATGACCTGAGCACCTATCCTCTACGTTTTGATGAGTCAATGAGACAACGTCTTCTGGACCGTGGTAAAACATTTTGGCAATACCGGGAGAGGAGGTTCGTATCTTATTCTCCAGCTAACTCTCCATTTGAATTCCAAACAGTAAGCACCACCAGCTCCACGTGCTCCCGGCTCTACGATCTAATTTATACATAGAACAAACCGCGTTATATGGTGGATGTGAAAACCTATCATCACGTTCATCCTGATGAAGCTGGTACAACAGAATTGGACTACCTTGAAACCGAGGCACATGATAACGGAGATCCCCCCAATGAAACATTCCAACTATTACTTCCGGCTACTATTCCGGGTTTTGGGTTTCATAATAAGAAATGGATAACTCTATTGGTAGAGAATATCAGAGAAATCGAGTGGAACGCTGAGGCTTTCAACCACCTCGTGCTTAAAAGCACCAAGAAGGAGCTTATCAGAGCCCTTGTTGCAAAGCATACAGCCACCAGCAACTCTACTGATGTAATAGAAGGCAAAGGCAACGGTCTCATCCTTCTTCTGCATGGAGGACCAGGCACAGGGAAAACCCTCACAGCAGAATCAGTCGCTGAGCTCACTCGCAAGCCTCTCTACCGTGTAACCTGCGGGGACATCGGCACGAATGCCGAGGAGGTCGAGAAATATCTCGAGTCAGTTCTTCAGCTAGGTACAATCTGGAAATGCGTTGTTCTCCTTGATGAAGCGGACGTGTTTCTCGAGGAACGGACACAGCACGACTTGCAGCGAAACGCTTTGGTATCCGTTTTCCTTCGCGTGTTGGAGTACTACGATGGAATTCTCGTTCTGACTTCCAATCGGATCGGCACATTTGATGAGGCTTTCAAATCACGTGTACAACTCACCGTTCACTATCCTACTCTAGATGAGAGTAGTCGTAGACGGGTCTGGACAAATTTTATCACGAGACTTCGCTCGACAAATCCTGAAGCCAAAACTGATCAGATCTTGGAAAAGGTCGACACACTTGCCAATTTCCAACTGAACGGACGTGAGATTAGGAATAGCGTTCAAACTGCGATGTTACTTGCAGAGTATCGTGGCCAACCACTTCAATTTAGTCATCTAGACGATGTTATTGAAGTTTCAAACGAATTCACAGATTACTTACGAGATATGCATGGCCATGGTCCGTCGGAATGGGCTAGATCGCAGTTAATAAGATGAGCGAAAAATCTTTTGGGGCTTTCGCCAAAGCTATAGCTTAAGCAGCGACGGAGCAGACTGAATAGAAAATCATTTCATCGAGCAAGGCTCGTTGAATTTCTAAGCCCAGTTTGTGCTTTCTGAGTGCGATGTTCTTGTGCATAGAATTCTGCTTTGGTATAAACGTTCCTGATCCTTTTTTGACGTATTAATAGATAGAAGTTCCTAACTAGGTCGCATGGAATCAAGGCCCTTCATGGCCCAGCTAGGACCTGAAGATACCCTTTTCAGATGTTCAACACGTAGCTCTCCCCATCGTTTGGATTCTATCTGAAGGCAATGGAGTTTCAGTGGCGGTTCACTTCCAGGGCTTTGGGTGCAGTCTTCAGATATTGTCCTCTTGATAGCAGGGTTAGACGGTTTACGTGGTTTTATTTTCTGTATATCCTGGAATATTTTTCTCAGCTCCTCATAGGACTTCAATCTTTTGGCGAATTCCTTCTCATGAGCTGGGCTTTCGTCAGCCAAATTTATCGGCGATCAAGAACTAGGCCTAAAGAATCGTACCATCCTCTAGAATTTGCTTACCACTCTTCCCGATCTCCTTAGATAAATGTGCCGATAACTTTCTGTCCCATTTTTGCGATATGTACTCACAGGTCGGTGCCGTCCCATCACACCTCAGCCTCCGTTTTTTGCAGGAAATACATGGAATATTCAGGCTGCCCTTGACAGTCTCGACCTGAGCCCCTGGCATAGGTGACGGATATTTGCGCTTTCGGCCTTGTTTCCGTAATAGAGATACATCGTTGGCAGTATGATCCTCCCCCGCTTTGACGGCCGGCAGTCCGTCGCCTTGTTCATCAGTGCGCAGGCGAATCGTTTTGCCGCTAACTGAGCCCTGAGGGGACTTAATGGCCATTCCATTCATACTCCTAGTAAAACTGCTGTGATCATCGAAGCGCGAATCAACGCCACTTCCATACCGCGTACGAGCATCGCTGCGTGAAGGAGGATAGCCGGCACCTTGCCCACGATCACGACCACGACCAACGCCATTATACCCTCCACGCGTAGAGCCTATCAATGCTTTGGGCCCTCGAGGAGGATCTCGAACAAAGTGTGATTCCTGTCTTTCGTGAGGAACATTGGCCACTTTTATGCGTTCATCTCGGCGACGTATAGGTCTGCCTAAGGCCCATCTGCCAAAGGCCCACTCATCATTATCCGACCACAATGTAGGTGGAGGGACGGATGTTTGACGAGAGCTAGACTCGTCCTTGAACTCTTGATATGATCTGGAGGGTCCAGACCGTGTGTAGGTCGACATAATATCAGAACTCAGCCCAGTCGAGCGTTGGGAGGGGGTGGTGGTCTAGAGACTTTCGTTTCGACCAATTCAGAGGAAGAATTTGGTATAGGATATAACATGGCACTCTGACAGCCTTTTCGACTTCGCGGATTTTGCTTCAGATGAAAAGAACAAACAGAGTCGATAGATGTGAGTATCAGTGGCTGATATTGGGCTCCAGGCGGGGGGCTGTGCGGACGCCGCCATGATGCAGTAGTACATGAACTAGTCGCCGAGTGGTCAACACAACCTTAGCGACGACCACCTTGCCATGCACCACTCAACAACATCTCTGCTCCAAACCAAAGCGTATGCTTGGTCTCGGGTTGCATCTAGGAAGGCCGCAGCTTAAGGTGCGCCCCTCTCTGCTGGATCTGATCTCGCACGGCGCCGTTGTCGAGAAGGTCGCAGTCGATCCCGCTCTAGGTCCTGTTCCAGCGTCGAGGTTGAGCTTACCGTCTCCACCTGACCTACACCTGCCACCGCTGCCCGCAACACCTCCCAGCAGCACCTCCTCCTCCGCCTCTCCCATCGTCCCAGCAAACAGCACCCCCTCTGGTCTTCACATCGCTTGCACACCCTCGACTACCCCGCCGTCGCCGTCTCCAGCTCCCGCCATGGCCTCTTCAGCCAAGAAGCAGACGCGCGAAGACCAGGATGGCCAAGTCTTCTCCATTTCCGGTCCCGTCATCGTGGCCGAGCATATGATCGGATGTGCCATGTACGAGCTGGTCAGTAGCTCTTTGCGACCTCCCCTTCCCTTCCTAAGCTGTAGCACTGACTTGTTGGAATTGATAGTGCCTCGTCGGCCGCGATAGACTGGTCGGCGAAGTGATTCGCATCGACGCAGGCAAGGCAACGATCCAAGTCTACGAAGAGACGGCCGGTGTCACGGTCGGAGACCCCGTCGTACGGACGGGCCTGCCTTTGTCCGTAGAGCTCGGTCCTGGCTTGATGGAAACGATTTATGATGGTATTCAACGACCGCTCAAAGCCATCGCAGAGACTTCCGAAAGTATTTACATTCCTCGTGGCATTGCAGTGCCAGCTCTGGACCGGGAGAAGAAATGGGACTTCAAGCCTACTAAGAAGGTTGGAGATATGATTACCGGAGGCGATATTTGGGGTATTGTACATGAAAACAGCTTGTTAAATGAACATAAAATCCTGCTTCCTCCTCGCGCCCGGGGCACCATCACGAAAATAGCCGATGCCGGAAGCTACACAGTCGATGAGAAGATCTTAGAGATTGAATTTGATGGGAAGAAGACCGAACATGGCATGATGCACACCTGGCCCGTCCGTGTTCCCCGGCCCGTGAACGAAAAGCTGGCATCCGACTCTCCCTTCATTGTCGGCCAGAGAGTGCTGGACTCTCTATTCCCCAGTGTTCAAGGCGGAACTGTCTGTATCCCTGGTGCTTTCGGTTGTGGCAAGACTGTCATCTCGCAGTCCGTGTCCAAGTTCTCAAACAGTGACATTATCGTCTACGTTGGGTGCGGTGAGCGCGGCAACGAGATGGCAGAAGTCTTGATGGATTTCCCAGAGGTGAGTTAATCGATTCAATCAACTCCTGGTTTCCGAGCGCTAACATTATCCAGCTTTCTATTGAGATTGACGGTCGCAAAGAACCAATCATGAAGCGTACATGCCTTATTGCCAACACTTCCAATATGCCTGTGGCCGCTCGGGAAGCTTCTATTTACACCGGTATCACCGTCGCCGAATACTTCCGTGATCAAGGAAAAAACGTTGCCATGATGGCAGACTCAAGTTCTCGTTGGGCTGAAGCCCTGCGTGAAATTTCCGGTCGTCTTGGAGAAATGCCAGCAGATCAGGGTTTCCCTGCGTATCTGGGATCCAAGCTTGCGTCCTTCTACGAACGTGCAGGAAAGAGCGTTGCTTTGGGTAGCCCTGAACGACACGGAAGTGTCAGTATCGTGGGTGCCGTGAGTCCTCCGGGTGGCGATTTCTCCGATCCAGTCACCAGCAGTACTCTCGGTATCGTGCAAGTCTTCTGGGGTCTTGACAAGAAGCTAGCCCAACGTAAACACTTTCCTTCTGTTAATACCTCAGCTTCCTACAGCAAATACACGACTATTTTGGATAAGTACTACGAAAAGGAGCACCCTGATTTCCCCCGGCTCCGAGATCAAATCAGAGAGCTCCTCTCCAATTCCGAAGACCTTGACCAGGTCGTCCAATTGGTCGGAAAGTCGGCATTGGGCGACTCTGATAAGATCACTTTGGACGTGGCTGTGCTGCTCAAGGATGACTTCCTGCAGCAGAACGGTTACAGTGACTACGATCAGTTCTGTCCTTTGTGGAAGACTCAATACATGATGAAGGCATTTATGGGATATCATGACGAGGCGCAAAAGGCCGTTGCGCAAGGCCAGAGTTGGGCCAAGATCCGAGAGTCGACAGCAGATATCCAGGCTGCTCTACGAAGCATGAAGTTTGAGGTTCCAGATGACGAAAAGGCCGTCACAGCCAAGGTATGTCCATTTCCCCTCCCCTTCCCGGAATGTGGGTTGCAAAATTTACTGACTTTGCCACAGTACGAGAAGCTGCTACAAGACATGTCAGAGCGCTTTGCGTCTGTGTCTGACGAGTAAGCGAGATGGAGTGCCAGTACAGGGCCGGGTGTGTCTGTAGCATATTTTAGAGTTGATATGTCAGTTCGATATTTCCATATAGCGATGTCATCCAGTTTTTCAAGAGCCGTTCTAGTTTCTAGTGCTTTCGGCGTAGTGTGTAGGGCAGAGTCAGGCAGCAGAATTGCGGCGCACGACAGTTACTGCACGACTGTTACGGCCCGGTGGCGCCATATCCCAGTAATTTCACAAGAAGAAAATAATGACAGCCTACTCAAAAAGCAGCAGCCTGATCTTCTGTTCCTGGTGACCTCGTGGATGACCGCAATAAGAGTAACTTAGCACGAGCAGTAGAGCGCGGCGTGGGTCGTGGCCAGGTGGGGCGCTCAGGGCCTCAGGCCACTCAGGTGCCTCGGGGCTCAGGCTGCTGCGTCGGACCAGGCTGTTATTATTTATTGGGTTAGGACAATTCGTGGCGGCCTGCATCACCGACCTAACTTATCGCTCTCCCACAAACATACTCCTCTCCTGCGATCTTCTCCCCATACCCTCTGCGAATCCGCTTCCTACAAATAGTCCGGTATCGTCGCCTGCTCTGCTGCCTTGTGCGACTCCGAATCTACAGCTACACCGTCGCCAGCATGGCATCCCCTTCTAGCCTTTCGTGCGCTCCCGCCCGCAATCTATCTGCCTCGCAATCGAGCTAACTATAGTATCTGCAGGATCAACGTCAACGACCCAGGGCTAATCTCCCTCGTGAACAGGCTCCAAGATGTTTTTTCCACAGTAGGAGTATGTATCTGCATGCGCTCGATTGCTGTTCCCTGCAGTACGCTGACTGTGCTGTCTCCAGGTCCAAAATCCTATCGACTTGCCCCAGATCGCCGTCGTCGGTTCCCAGTCGAGTGGAAAGAGTTCGGTGCTGGAAAATATTGTTGGACGAGACTTGTAAGTGATGGGCTCTGGATGTTCGCTGCGAGAAGAGTGCTGACCTTCACAGTCTACCCCGAGGCTCTGGCATCGTCACTCGTCGCCCCCTGATTCTCCAACTGATCAACAAGCCGCCGGCCAAGCCCCAGACGAATGGAACGTCAGAGACAAAGTCATTAGAGGGAACTACTGACACCGCCGCGAATGTTGATGAATACGGCGAGTTCCTGCATATCCCCGGCCAGAAGTTCTACGACTTCAACAAGATCCGAGAAGAGATCGTTCGCGAAACAGAGAGCAAAGTTGGCCGCAATGCCGGCATCTCTCCCGTCCCTATAAACCTGCGCATCTACTCTCCAAATGTCCTCACACTGACCCTCGTCGACTTGCCTGGGTTGACTAAGGTGCCGGTCGGCGATCAACCGAAGGATATCGAGAAGCAAATCCGGGACATGGTCTTGAAGTACATCAGCAAGCCAAATGCCATTGTTCTCGCAGTCACGGCGGCCAATCAGGATTTGGCCAATTCCGATGGTCTGCAATTAGCTCGTGAAGTCGACCCGGAGGGTCAGCGCACCATTGGTGTCTTGACAAAGGTGGATTTGATGGACGAGGGTACCGATGTTGTGGATATTCTTGCGGGCAGGATCATTCCGCTGCGATTAGGCTATGTTCCAGTGGTCAACCGAGGTCAACGAGATATCGAAAACAAGCGGCCCATTTCATATGCTTTGGAGCACGAGAAGACCTTTTTCGAAAGCCACAAGGCATACCGCAATAAAGCATCTTACTGCGGCACACCTTACTTGGCTAGGAAGCTTAACTTGGTGAGTACATTCGGGTTGATTATTTGAACAATTTGCTGATTTTTTTAGATCCTCATGATGCACATTAAACAAACCCTTCCCGACATTAAAGCCAGAATTGCATCTTCCCTCCAAAAATACAGCTCCGAACTGTCCCAACTCGGCGACTCGATGTTAGGTAACAGCAGCAACATAATCTTGAATATCATCACTGAGTTCAGCAACGAATACCGAACTGTGTTGGAGGGTAATAATAATGAGCTTTCCAGCATTGAGTTGTCCGGAGGTGCTCGTATCAGTTTTGTGTTCCATGAACTTTACTCCAACGGCGTCAAGGCTGTCGATCCGTTCGACCAAGTCAAGGACATTGATATTCGCACGCTCTTATACAACTCGTCTGGTCCGTCTCCCGCACTTTTTGTCGGCACCACTGCTTTCGAGGTCATCGTCAAGCAACAGATTAAGCGGCTAGAGGATCCCTCGCTCAAGTGTGTTTCTCTTGTCTATGACGAGCTTGTTCGTATTCTAGGTCAACTTCTCAACAAGAGCTTGTTCCGTCGGTATCCAATGCTCAAGGAAAAGTTCCACAATGTTGTGATTCTGTTTTTCAAGAAGGCGATGGAGCCCTGCAACAAATTAGTGAAGGATATGGTGAACATGGAAGCTTGCTACATCAACACTGCCAACCCTGACTTCTTGAATGGTCATCGTGCCATGGCTATTGTTAATGAGCGCCAGAGTGCTAGCAAGCCTACTCAGGTTGACCCCAAGACCGGAAAGCCCCTTCCCCAACGTGCTACTAGCCCTTCGCTAGACCCCATGGCAGAACCATCTAAGGACAGTGGATTCTTTGGCAGTTTCTTTGCGTCGAAGAACAAGAAAAAGATGGCCGCTATGGAAGCTCCGCCACCAACACTGAAGGCCTCGGGTACATTAAACGAGCGAGAGAACATTGAAGTCGAAGTTATCAGTAAGTTTTGGATATTGTCTACGGTGGGGACTTTTGCTAACATAATTAGAAATGTTGATCAACTCATACTTTAGCATTGTGAGGCGGAATCTGATCGACATGGTTCCCAAGGCTATCATGTACACACTTGTTCAGTATGTCATCACTCATCCAATGAACTACACCGAAAAAGAAGCGCCGATCTAACCTGATTATAGATTCTCCAAGGATGAAATGCAACGTGAGTTGCTCGAAATGATGTACCGCAACACGGAGCTAGACGAACTACTTAAAGAGAGCGAGTACACGATCCGCCGCCGAAAGGAATGCCAACAAATGGTGGAGAGCTTAACACGAGCCAACGAGATTGTCAGCCAAGTTCAGTAGACTTAGACACGATATCCTTTCCTTTTCTTTACGTGTTTGTGGTTTCGATTTATTTGGCGACGTTGGAAACTGGTGTCAGGCAACTCTTTTCGGCTTACGCTGCTGGTACTCCTTTTTGCTATTCTTAAAGAATGCTTAACTGATGATACATGGCGTGTGTATCATTTATATCGTCTATAAAATATACGATGATATGTCTTTTTTATTATGCCCCCAGACACGTACTTGTCGAGCACTTACTTGTTACTTGTTGATTTGAGCGCAATAATGAACAAATGCTGTTAAATACTACCAATTTCATTATCATGCTACCCTACCTACCTATCCACTGGTCTTCTATCCGGATTTTGATTTCTGTCCGTGTTTTGGGTTTCATGTCTATAAGTATAATACCATCCCTCAGACTTGATGTCTTGTCGAACCTTGTAGTTATCCTCCGCCACATCCAACACAGACATGTCTAACTCTGCAACTGCATACCCTTCTTCAGACCCCATTGTTCTCACCGGCCCAATGAACGGCAATACCACTCTGGACATGCCAAGAAACGTATCACTCGGCCCCGCCGCGTTTGCGAATATAATAGCACACGTATTCTCGAAACAACGCGATGTCAGCGTCGAGTCGAGGAAGAGCCGTTCACTTTCAGGATTTAATTTCAACCCTGCGGGCGATGCATCAAGTCGACCCCCTTGTCATCATATTAAAAACAGTGCCAACAACAAAAAACTGGGGAAAAAAAAAAAAAAAAAAAAGAAGAGAAACTTACAATATGTCGGAATAATAACAATCTCAGCTCCCTTGGCAATCAACTCCCGAAAGGCCTCTGGAAAGGCCAAATCCCAACAAATCAACATGCCAACCTTGCCCAAATCAGTCTGAATGACTTCATGTGGATCAGTGCCGCTGGAAGTGAGGTGCGGCCGCTCCGGATGCCAGATGTTTTTCTTCCTATACTGGCCGAGGATTTGGCCGGTGGAGGATATGAAGTATGCTGTGTTGTAAAGGATATCGTTTCCCGAGTCAATGGAGGACGTGGTTGTGGATTGGGGTTTGTGAGCTTCAATGATTGTGCCGGGGACGATGTTGATGTGGAGCTTTTTGGCGAGCGCGCAGTAGGAGTCTAGATAGGTCTGGTACTGTGCTGCGAGAGAGGCGAAGAGCGGGGATTCAGGGGCCCAGCCGCACAGGTGGTATCTTTTGATCAATATAAGTAGTTGAGATGATATTTGGGGAAGAGAGAACAAACTCGGGGAGAACGGCGAGAGTGGCTCCATCAGCAGCGGCGGCGGTGATGTATGAGATTGCGCGCGCGTGGTTGTATTCGGGATCGAGGTTCTATATTATGAGGCATATATTATAAGACATAGGTTGGTGGTGGTAGAATCAAGCATTGGACGAGAATCGAGAATCATGTGCGGAGAAACGAGGTTGACTGGACGTACTTTGATATGCCATTGTATCACGGCCACTTTATGCACTGGGGCCATGTCGGGCCTGGACTGGATGAATCAATGGATGTTCAATTGTATTCACTATACAAACATTGATATCGTTGTTTGCATGGGTCAGTAATGGATGATATAAAGAAATAATGGCTGTCTTATCGTCATCGCGGGGACAAGACCCACTCTTATAGTCCTCTTACTGTCGCCGTGACTGGCCAAGGGGCGCCGAGTCATTTCGTATACGGCATACCATTGGGCAGCTTTTCCGAATATAAGCTATATAGTATGCATGGACTATGAAAGTTAGTATATACTTGCTGTGAGGATTATATTCGACATCTTAGAGATGCAATCATATTTATATCATATACAATCTGGATGATCTTTTTATATCATGCTGGGCTTGTCGTGGCCAGTCTTCTGACTGTTCTCTGGCTAGGACAGAACCACGACAGAAACGAGAAAGCAAGCTGATGCATAGACGAACGCAAGCAATCAAAAAAAAAGAAAAAAAAAGAGCCCAAAATGTACTAGAAATGCAAAACAGACGGCAAACAATATATACACACGTACCCAGCTAGAGAAAACAGCTTATGAGACAGCTCCTCACGTGGGATACAATGCATAAACACGTCGCTCGCTCCAAAACAGCAACTGCGAAGGTCAAGTCAAAAAAATCAAGTCAAAAGAATGTAATTCCATGCATCAGCCGCGCCCGATTTCACCCTCACCATAATATCCCTCTCTCTCTCCAATATTTACAATCCCTAGTTAATAACCTAGCCTCGGCCGATTCACCGTTCAAACCACGTTGTTGTGATCATAAGTCGAATCCCGGTGATAGCTGGTGCCGGTATTCGGGTTAGAGTACTCCTTATGAACGCGAGTGGTATTGTCGAGGCCAGAAGTGTCGCGGTCTACATCGCGATGATAGTAGCGTCCAGAGTCGTCCACTTGCTCGCGGTGGTGGCGACGAGTAGATGCGTCGCGGTCGTAGTCGATGTGTTGGTCGTACGCACCCGTGGTGGGATCATAGGTAGTGCGGTTTGCACCATAGCCGGTTGTACCGTAGTTGCTTGTATCGTACGCACCGGTGTTGTAAGTGTTGGTGTCGTAGACGTTGCCGTAGGCGTCGGTGCTGTGGGGCCCGTAGTTGCTGTAGAGGTTGCTAGTCATGATGGGATTTTGTTTGGGATGATCCGAGATCAATAGTTTTCAAAAATTATATTTTTCTGATGTTAAATGTTGAGTTGGATCTGGAAAGTCAAATTGCTCTTTAAATCTTTATGCTACTTATATACCCTTTGGCAGTACTGATCCTCGCCTTATGATAGAGTATGATAGAGTTTGACATCATGTTTGCCCCTATTTAAGAAATATTAATTATGATTCAACCCCGTTTCTCTTTCTGGCTGAACCATGGCAACTAGATGGATGTCTTGGTTATGGAAAACGAATCCCAAGAGATCGGGTAGATAGCAGTAATGTAATGCCACCACATTTACTATCTATAGAGCATTTACTACTATAGTTGAGGTAAGCAGCGACGCCGCCACCACCGCCACCATTACATTTGTGAAAGACCTGGAACGATGTGGAGTATTCCCCATTCGGCTCATTGGCTTATTATTGGTTTGTGGTGGCGATGTTGAAACAATAGGTTGATCCCGTAATTCTATTATCTATATCCCGTAACTTCATATGAATAAAAAGACCCTGATCGTCAACAACATTTCTTGCAGGCATAACATAACAGACTAAGAAGCTTGGTAAACTTTGAAGCTCTTGAACTCCCAATACGCTTCCGTGAACGCACTCGGGTTTTGCGCAACATAGCTTGTGCAATTACTAGGACATTCGGCTTGGTCGGTATAACGGGCGGTTGACCCTGCCAGCGACCCACACAAGTCAATATTTGCAATGATGCTCTGGTTCTTGAAATGTGAGGAGATGCTGCAGTCGGTGCTGGGGAAGTCGGCTGTGGCTTCGCCCCATTTCGAAGGGTCTGGACTGCCGTTGGTGATATCGGACGGAATGGAGTTGCGAGGAAACCACCAGATACGAATGCCAGCATCCCGGAGTTCAGTAGCATAAACCTAGTACCATTAGTCAAAAATCACAAAGACCATTCAGAAATATATATAGAGCTTACCCCGCCGCCGTTCTGGTTGAATTCTGGCCCGTACGATGCCGTCGTACCGGAGACACCGCAACCCTCATTCGAGTTGGTGCCGTTGTAGCAGTTCGTTGACGTAACGCTGCCCGACTCCTTGCGCTTCACGCTCATGCTACAATCGTCGGTCGTATGCAGTGTCATGCTGTTTCCCCAGGTTCCATTGTTCACAGCCTCGACGATATCAATTTCGCCGTTTGTGGGCCAATTGCTTGAATCAGACAGCCACAGGGCTGGCCATGTACCGCAACCATAGGGCGTATGCAGAATGTCGAAAATGAACAATCCATCATTGTAGGTATTGTTAGACTGGATGCGGACGGAGTTGCGGCCACCAACGGTATTGGGGTAGCTAGTGTCGACCTTGATTATGGCCGACTCACTGGTCGCATAGGTCAGATTCGACCACTTCGCGTTGGCCTCTGCTATATACCTAATCGGCGTTAGATCGAAGGGAACTCGGGATATATATTCCCCTCTATGTATATTTATATAGAACTTACACAACAAAACCAGCCGTCGGATCCGCAGCTGACCAGTAATAGAAATTATCAAAAAACTTTTCGCCCGAATAAGTGTCCTTCAGGGAGTAGTTGAGAGCGGAGTAATCCGGGTATCGATTCGCTTTCCAGCCCTCGTAGGCACCAACGATAACGGCGATGATCACCACGACGACAGCAACGCCGGCAATGATCTGTGTCCGCCGCCGCCATCCCAGCGGATTGAACCTCGAGAATCTGGCTGCTGCATAGGGTTGCCCGCCGTCGACGACATGGCTGTAGCGCGTAGAGTTGGCGAGATCGTACGTCTCTTCTGACTTGGGGTATTGCGGCCGCGTCTGATAAGACATTTTTCTTTCTTTCTTCTGCTTGCTTCTGCTTCTGTTCTTCTGATGGAAGGTGGTGGTAACCAGCTAAATCAGCTGTATGTAGAAGATGGTGATATAATTTACATTCCAGGGGGTGGATGTGGTGGGCTGACTCAGGAACCAACAGGTACACAGTAAACACAAGTGATCGACTGGTACGGATCACGTACGTAGATCGTGCGTCAGAATCAACAATGTATTAGTTATTAAAGAGAGAACAGACAAATCACAGTATAATCCCACAGCAGAGCGAGTGTATACTGTCAGCGAGATAAAAAAGAAAAAAAAATCGTAGTTGACAATTGACAGGCAGGAGTTGGGCTGGCAGGATACTTGAAGGTGGGAGCGGTCCCCACCACCACCTGTCTCCTCCTCCATCGATAACAATGTCTGATTAGAATAATAGGCGCAAGGGTTAGTTCTGAGACAGCGGCAAGAAAGACAGGCCAATACGTAACTGCCTGTCCGCTCATGCGACTGTTGGAGCTGCTCAGCCACGCAAGCTACGGCGCCCAAGCCTATCAGACGCGTTGCTGCCCTCAATCTTTATATTTTCCCCTGTCAACAGTGGACACAATTGTACATTAATCAATCGGGTTTTACTATGCTTCCATTATCCGTTTCTACTTTGTTTTTATTTTTATTTTTATTTTCATTTTAATTCTAATTTTAATTATACTTCTCTTCTCGATGAGAAAGCGGATGTTTAAATTGATTATAACTGTGGATTAGCACGGAATGTGACAAGTCGCTCATGCGCTGTAGATCATAACTCATCAATTGATGGCATCATAACTGACATCGTCCAGGAGGATCGTCAAGCAGAAAAATTCTCCAGCACATCTGTCGGAAGGAGAAGCCAAAACATCAAAAAAGCAAAAAAGCAAAAAAGCAAAAAAGCAAAAATTCTAGTTAATATAGCAATACAAACAGACGCAGGTTAATGCTTTGCCTTCTTCGTCTCTTCGGCGAGCTCACTCGGCGCGCTCAGGACCTGCCATTGAGCTTTGCTCCATCCGACAATGAGATTAAAAACCTCGTCTCGCTCGGCGCCGTTGAGATCTAATGTCTCGATGCGCGTGCGTACCCCTCGTATCTCACCGTAAGTCATATCCAGCCCTGTCTCGTCCGTTGACGGCTGTCTATTGTCTCCATTATCCTCGGTTGTCAATGCATCACGACCCAGTAGAAACTCAAGTTCTAGTCTTTCCAAGGCTGTGTCTATTCCCGCCAGCTTGGACGATAGAGGGCTCTGCCGCTTCGTCATCTGAGCAAGCTGACTGAAGCTGTAAGACCAGTATCTTTGCTGAACAAAGTGCGATTTATTCGTCGGCCTCAAACCTGACAGAGAATACCCTTTCCTGACAAACTTTAGCCCATGTGATGAAACAACCAGTTGGCCCTGGTGACCGTGTCGATAAACTGCAAACGCAACAGAGTTTGCGCATGTAGGATTTCTGATTTTAGGGTTCGACTCTTCCGATAATCTCGTATACTGCTCTGGTGTCTCTACAGCATCCTGGAATTGCTCATTCTGGACCTCATCCTCTTTGACATCTATAGAATCTGAAGAACCCCCATGAGAGAGTTCATGAGCGCACATCTCATGTTTACGCAAGACTTCATGCTTTTGTAAAAACCGAATTGCCCATTCCGCTACAAGCAATTAGCGATGAATAAATACATCTCAATACATTCGAGATTAATACTCACGATGCGAAGGTATATCCCAGAAAACCCACCGAATCGGACTGACCAAATAACGATAGCGGGGGTAGCGACTGGCAATCGGCCAGCAGAGAAAAAAAGTATTAATCAAAATAAACCAGACAATTTTCATGCAAAATTCCATGTCAGCGAAGAGGGTCACTAATAGGCACGAAGTGAAAAAGAAGAGCGTCGCAGCTGTCTTCGATGGGTTGCGCCAGTGATAAAAACTATTTAAATTAGCTTGTTATCTATGTACGAAGCAGAGATACACACTTTCGAAGAACTTCGAGAATTTCTGCGAAATCGCCGAGTTGGATTTGAATAAAGGGGATAGCCTCTTGTATCAACGGCTCAAGCCATTTCTTCCTCCCATACCGGTCGACCAGCTCGCCACATCGATGTGCCTGGGCTCCTCGGTCTAACACACGATCTAGAGATTCGCGAATAGAATCTACATCGGTTGGATAGAAGCGGTTCTTCAACACAATGAAGATGATATAGGCATACTAAAAGAATTTAGTTCGGTCACTACAAGCTTTCGTAACATTTTGTACGTACCAGAAATCCACCGATGTGCTGGGTGTACCATAAAACAGCAAACACAGCGTACCAAAACGCCGTTCGTCGTGGGTTTTCCCAGCGATATATATCCCTCATATCCATTAACCAGGCCTGCCATACTTCTGTAGCCATGACAACACGTTCCACAAGGGTCACCGGATCAAATGGCAACCCTGAGGCTCCATCATCGATATATCGAGCTGTGAAGGATTGCGAAAAGTAGAGAAATGTCTGCTTTGTGTTAAATAATGGTAAAGTCTCACAAGAGATACCGCATACCTGGCCAATATATTGATCCCACCTAAACCCAACATCATCACCTTTTTCATTTCTCTTGATGAAATTTTCATCATTCAAGCTTGGACATTGGGGGACAGGCCACTGCACCAAGCGGATGCACTTGACATGTCTGCCCGTAATCCACGCCACTGTCAGGCTTTGTCGGTGGGCTTCGAGTAATTCGACCTTCCTCCTTTGAAGTTCATAGTTGGTGACAGACACATCTTCTCTATTGGTCTCATCACGAGCTCTCTCCGAATCCCGCTCATATTCAGCCTCGAACAGTGCATCATATGCCGCAAGAAACTCCCGGTCTGATTGCGGCGTTACATAAGGCTGAGTCGCGTTGGACAAGCTCTTGGCTGTCTTACCCTGATAATGGCGGATGATCGTACGTCGAGGATGCAGAACGCTCTTCGCAACGCCCTTTGTCGCCTTTTTCGCATTTCCATGAACTAATCTCGACATCCTCGACGCATTCGCTTTCGAGTTGGGCTCGTGGCCCGATATTTCGGCTGGATTAAACGCCGGATCCGTTTTGAGAAACTCGTGCGAAAGGACATGCTGCGTTCCGGCGTTATGAGGAAGCTGCAGTTCGGCTGAGGGCTGAGTGCTGGGGTTATATCCAGGCTGACTGGACGTGTTGTTACTAACCACGCCATGGATATTCTGAGCGGGTTTTAAGAAACGAGACACGGAGTCAGGAAGGAAGGGATGAGGAGGGTTGGAGTCATCTGACTCTGTTTGCTCTTTTCTGTTGGCATGTGCGTTGATGTCTAATTCCTCGATGTGTGACAGCTGCCACGACGAATCTGTGACTACTGGCGCGGACATTGTGGTCTGCGCGGCACTCATATTGTAGTTGTTGTGTGCCGGATATCATTGATACTCCGTTCGGTTCTTACCATTTCGACTATTCAGATTGATAATGTCGATGAGAACTGCTAATACTGTAGACCGAAAGAAATAGAAAAGAAAACCATCGACTTCACACGCTGCTGGCCTGCCATGCTAGATGCGGGTGGGGCGAATACCGACGTCGATGGTGGATTCCCGATGATGTCACTGTAAGGCACAAGTATATCTTAACAAGACTAAACAGCTTTCTTCGATAAAATCTCAAGATTACCTTGTTGGACAGGAAGATTGCTCTCGATCTTGCTATGGATAGATTTATATATTTAGTATGCCATCTGCGCTTGCTATATCCTTCACGCGGCAGTCGATCATGATCCACGATCCAAGCCCTAAGGTACCGGCTAGTGCAAAAATGGATTGAACCTGAATCCTGTTTCTTGATTTTCATCGACCAGTCAGCAACTGTATCTGTGTATAAACCAGGCAAAAATGCCAAACAACAATCGAAATATGTACTGGATTTACCGCATGACTAAAATGGTGTAATATGGTTTCAATTAAAGGTAAATCATGTAACAGCTAACAATATGCAATCCAAGTCTATATATTCCTCGCTAAATATCAATTAAAACAGGAAATAATGGAATAAATAAGGACAAAGAAGAGAAAAAAAGTTCTCCGTTATTACGCCAGTAGTGACCTGTCTAGCAGTTTTGGTCTCGGTATACGTATCACAAACGCTCCGCCGAGCGCCCAGCCCTACTTCTACTGCCTATCGACAGGCCGGTTTCAGCTCGAAATACGCCAGAGGCACGGCCACTGACAGCCGACATGTTGCTAGCGTTAGACGCTCGACGACGGATGCGCCGCTCCGCATCGGCCTGTTCTTTTTGATGCAGGGACTCGGATGGAAGAAGAATGGCGCGATCCAACGCATAAGGCAACCCACGATGTCGGCCGCGGAGCTGCATTGCGATGATAACTAGCTTTGAAATCACGCTGAATTGCGAGGAGAACGAGGCATTGGTGTTTGGATATCCAAAGGACAACCCGACCGTTCCGTATGCCGAGACGATTTCAAAAAGCACCGCAAATAATGTGAATGCGACATATTCAGTGTTATTTTGAATGCGGGTGCCTTCCACGATTGAGATGACGAACAATCCTAGGAAAATGTACCATAAGTCGAAACTAAGTTGTCGGCGTAAATGCGCCCCAATGTAACTAGGTTCATGGATATCTTCTTCATCTTCCTGGGCAGAGTTATATATACCTAGGCTTTTTTCTTCATACACATTTGTTCGTCGCATGGAGATGGCGATGGGAAAGACAGAAATATACATCATGATCAGATACGACACCTGAATTGCTGGATGAAGGTCCGAGAGATTGACAACGCCAAAACCTGCCGTTCGGGTCGAAACTGCCTGGAAAAGGCCATCTACGACACGAATTCCTCCTGGAATTGCAGTGATGGTAGGGTCGTTGATCTAGCAGGGTTAGTTAGATAGTTTACCTCAAAGAAAAATACCTGGGTACTCACGTCGAGAATAATGAAGAATATTAGATCAAGCCCATTCATAATCACCAAAATAGCAAAGAGCCACCATGTCGCGTTGCGAGGGAAAAGCAAAGTGAAGCATCTACGCGGATGGTCTAATAAGAAACGAAGTTCCTCCCATAATGGGCTACCGTCAGTCGTAAACTTTGAAAGAACCCAGATGATAAACCGTAGCATGCAAGGGAATCCAGTGTTTCCGATGACAATGAGAAAACTCATGAGTAGGAGCGGGAATATGGCATCACCGAAAGAGATCATCGAATCAGGTGTCAAAGTGAACCCAACATCGTTGAACGATGACTGGGATGTGAAGATACCCCACCACGGGCGGCCTTGTCCATCACCTGTAACAATAGCTCCATAGCGTTCGCTGTGGAGGATCCATGGTGTTAGACATATAATTCCCAAAATGTGAAAGCCAAAGAAGTAGCCGATAAGAACTAGGGCTAGGGTTTTCAGTGCGCGATATTCGATGCCACCCAATTCCTCACGTTGCTCTTCCGTCAAGGCAACAAAGGCAGAATTTCTGCCAATCGTGGCGTTCCAACTCAGGTATGGCATCGTATCTTTCTCTTGTTCTTGCGTAAGTGACCGGAAAATACCAGTGAAGGTGCCTCTTCGTGTACGGCTCCGTGCAAGATTCGACGGCTCTCCTTCTTCATCGCGAGCAGTGGTACGGCGAGATTCCATTCGAGGGAATGTGCCTGTGCGTGTTCTAAGACGCATCATATCGGGCTCGTTGATCGTAATGTGGTTGCCAAGATCATTCGCCGTATCCTGCGACTCTTCGACGGCCGGCCGGGTCTTTGGGCTAGATGGAGTCTCTAGCACATCATCTAAGGCTTGTGGGACCCCCCCACGATCGTACTCTCGGGGACTGGGTATACGCAAGGTGCCTTTGTCGGCGCGCTGATGCTCCAGGAAGGCGATGTGGTGTTCAGTGCTGCGTTGAGTAGGGAGACGTATTTCTTCACCAGGCGAAAGGGTACCGTTGGCATGTCCGTCAGACGTAACGGATCCTTGGCGAATTTCCTCATTTCCATTGGAAGACCCTGTCTCTGAGCTACCTTCAGCCTCGGCCTTGGGGATATCCTGCACAGTGTCGCGCGCCTCTCCAGCCTCATTACGGAGAACGACAATTGACTGGCCACGGACACCCTGTTCTTCTCGCCCAGCGTCATGTTGATCTCCCCCTGTGGTAAAAGTTCTTGACCTGGTGTGACGCAAAGCACGAGCGTCCCTCGCAATTTTTTCGAACCTTTTTTCGAACCAATATAGGCGGACAAAGACAACAAACGAGTGGATGACGATCGGATTCGTCCACATTGAAATAATATACAAGAAAATCTGTGCATATGTTGGCACAAGATTAAAATCGATGGTGTTCAGCCCGCTCTGGGTAGCAGCGCCAGAGGAAAAAAAGAGGGCGTCAATATATCTCATCGGACTACCGGCGAAGACGACCACCGACCCAACAATCGTCCAAGTAATGAGATAAATATAGTGTATTGTAATGAAATTGAACCTGATGGTTCGAATGTAAGGTATTTTGCTGTGAATCGCATCGATGCGCCTCAAGGCAGTCTTACACACTGACATCGCATGCCCGAACATTGATGGGCCAGCCTCGCGCTTGTGGACTTTTATGCGTCGTATGCGGTCCATTGTTGGCTGATATCTGAAAATGAGGTGTAAGATTTGTAGTTGACGTAACGAGGATGTAGTTCTCGGGTGGTGAATTTTGTTCCTTCCTGGTTATTTCTTTTCCCTCTGGCCTGGCGTGACTCGACCAATCGAGTGAGAAAAGACAAAGAATAGTATCCAGACTATTCACAGAACTGACGAATGCTGGAGTGCAGTTAACCGTCTGGTGCGGCCAAGCTGCGCTTCGAGTACGAGGATAGCCGGGCGAAGATCATGGCGACTGCATGCAGGATGGTGGCTGTGGCTGTGGCTGCGGTATCCGATGCGATATTCATACACAGAAGGCAGTGGCGCCTCTGCACAGAATATGGGATGGCAGGTTATGGCCGGGGCACCAGCGTCATTGGGAGGACAAGAAAGAAAAGAAACGAAGAGGTCGCTCAGTGCAAGTCTGAACGTGCGGGCTGAATGGCCACAGGCTAATTCAAGCTAATCAAGGCTAGACGCGGAGAATCTAACGCAAACCGGTCACGCGGGCGCACGGGCCGACCGCTGGCGTCATCTATCCATTAGTTACACACCATAACGATTGCATACATATAACTTGGTAACTTAGGAGAGTTTGCCCTTAGGATCCTTTAAGTGGTTCAGTTTGCGACTCAGGTGGATCTAGGTCTGTGACATACCAGTGCTAAGTATAAATACAGTATATTGTACTCTAGGCATAATATATAAGGGCTAGGATGCCACATAACATACTAAGCATATATTTATTTATTTAATCAAGTTTTACGACCTTACCCCAGCTACAAGCTATGAAGGTCTCGTTTCAGTGGGCGCTAGGGGGTCTTATAGGGGCCTAAGCCTCTAATTCCTTCTATTACCTATCTTAGACTAATGTCTAGCATTTCAATATACTGACAAATTTCTCGTCTTAAGCCACTTATATGTGTAGAGCAATTTAGAGATCTTATAAAGACTGATGGAATTCTAACTTTCCTTTTGAGATTTAAACTTGTAGATGTTATCTATTAATAAGATATTATCTATAGCTATCATCCTTCTTTTTGAGGTTTTTTCAGGCCTCTTTTCTCCTCTATAGTCCTTTATCTCTATAAATTGGCCTTTAGGCCTCTTTAGCTGCCTCTTACCACAGCTCTAAGGCCTTAATAGCCTCTATACAGGTGAGTAACGCGTTAGTAGCTTTAGGATCTATCAATATACACATCTTAGAAGTATCTTCAGCTGTTAAGGGTCTATTAATCTTAGCTTTTAAAAAATCTTTATAAAGGATTTCCCACTGCTGCTGTCACTATCTGTAATGAAGTAATAGATGCGCTATAGTCTTTAACCCTTATAAGCATCCTTTATACTGAGAGATATCATTTCTACTAATTTGATATAAATATACTGTTAGTGGAGTATCTCTAGTCTTAAACTAATATAGGTGTTATGCTACAGCCTTAAGGGCTTAAGCCGTCTTAGAATTGATATGTCATCTTTGGGAACTATAGTAGAGCTGATGTTTTCTCTTTTTAATCCTCACAGTGAGTGTTCTAGTAAGCTATACTATGTGTTGAGTCTTTAAGGCCACTGTGCATGCCTGGAATGTAAACAAGCGAGATGTCTGGGTATTTACTGTTTAGAGGTTTATTTATGGTCTGTTTAGCAGCCTTGTCAGCATTTTTATTTCTGAGAATATCTCTATGTTTAGGCATCTAGTAGATAGTGGTTTATTACCCTCTATCTAGTAGATGTTTGGTTAGGTCGTGCGCCTGTAATACTAGGTCTTAGCCTGCCCTAAGTATATTATGCTATAGGTAGTTTATGGCGGCCTATAAGTTTAAGAATACTCTAATTGGGCTTAAGAAGTTTCTATTAAGCGCTTACTTTATGGCTTCTATCGCATCTATTAGCTTAATATTGAATATCTTTTTACCTTATCCTAGTGGTGTCAGTCTTGTCTTTTAGGGTATATTGGGGGATTTATAGGCTATCTCTGCTCTTATATATCTATTGTCTAATTGGGAGTCATCTAGCTATAGCCTTGTCTCCGCGTCACTGCTTAGGGCTTCCTGTAGTGCCTCATCGGTTCTCAGCACCCTGAAATTTAAGGGTGGAAGGGCATGGCTTGGGGGCGCTGTCGTCTCGAAGCCTTCCGCACATAACATATTAAGCATATACATAGGGTAGCATATTGAAGGACACTTATTACTAGGCATTTGGTTTCCATTTATTGTCTCTTATTAACCATCCAGCCTTGAGCATATCAAGGTTGAGATGGCTCTGAATAAGATAGATCATCCATAACTGCCAATGCAGGTTTCCGCATACACTTTATATGTGGTATGCTTTTCTGCTCGTTCAATTATATTGGTCCTTCCTTATGCTTCTCGAACGATTTTGCAGTGTCATCGCGCTTCTGAACACACGATCTTTGACTATGCAAGGGAAATATTTTGAGGCTTTATATACCATATAAATTAAATATTAATAAAATTTATAGGGTAGTAGTCATTCAGGCAGAGTAAATTAATGAGACTGTAAGGGTGGTTTGTAAGAGCGTGATTATAGAAGGCTAAGCAGTTCGCCCCAGTATGTAGGTTTGTATTTAAAAATATATGTGCAGCATATTAGACAGCTAGTCGCTGTCCTTTCTAGTGAGCGAGAGAAATCTCCGCCATTGGGAATTGTTCTATAATTAAGGCGCATATAAACCTTTTCTATTCAGTTTTGCATTCCACTGTTATTATGTCGAGATTAAGACCTAACTACGTTCGGAGAGGCTCAAACCCTTTGGGAATTAGGATCACCCAATAATGGCAAATACCGATTTTGGCCAGGGCAATATAGATGACAAATAATAATGTAAATTCACATATAAATAGGTCTAGGTAGATGAGTTCTTTGCAACTCAGGCTTGTATCCCAAATCTAATTGAATATATAGTATACATAGTATGAGTATATACTTACAGTTCATCGCGAATCGTATTGGTGGTGATGGTGAATACTGTCTGGCCCCTATATTCTGTATGTTCTATGTATGTGCTGGCGATGCTTGCCTAATGGGGAGAAATTGATAGAATCAGATCTTTCGCATGACTCGTCGGTCGATCCCTAGGCGCGCTAACAGCATGAAGCTCGCTGACCCCAGTGCCATTGACCCCGCGTAGTATATCGCAGGGTGGAACGCGTCGATCCCTGCCTTTTCGCCTCCGCTGGCATTCAGCAGGTAGCCGGCAATAGGCGCGCCCTAGCCTGTCAGTTAGCTATCAATCCATGACAGGTCAAAACGTCGCCGAGTCAGACAAAAAAAACATACCAGAAGGTAACCGCCACCCCAGCCCGTTACCACCATGCCCATGGCCACAGACACTCGGGCAGAGCCAAACACATTACCCACGACCGTCGGCATGGTAGCGAAGAAACCGCCATTGGCCATGCCGTTGATAATCACAAAAGCGATGAGCGGCCCTAGGGAATTAGAGACCGGCCACAGCGCCAACGCACTGAGGGCACTCAGTAGCAGGGACAAAAACACGGTGTTCAAGGGCCCGATTCTATCACTGCCGAAACCGCAAAGCAGACGCCCAACTGCCGATGAGAAGTTGAATGCTGCTACAAGGCCGGCCCCGGCACTGGAGGTCATGTGGAGAGAGTCTGTGTAGAGAGGCAGGAAGAAAGGAGGCACGAACAGCGGAAACGTTGCGAGTCCTCCGCCTATGAAGATGAGCACGAATCGGTAGTCACGAAACAGGCGCCATTCAACGAACGAGGTCGGCCGGATAGGAGCGCGGGCCTTGATGAGATATGCAGCAGGCACGCCGGTAGCCAAAGTGATGAATCCTAGCACACGGAATGTCCATGCCACCCCCAGCGCCTGCAACAGACCGTTCGTCACGAAACTGATCACGGCACCGCCAATTCCGCCGCCAGAATAGACAATGCCGTTGGCGATTCCTCGTTTCTTTTTGAAATACTGGGCGGGCGTAACGGAAACGACCTGCCGATACGGTGTGGATAAGCATTTATACTAAATTCCATCAAAAAGACGACACCTTACCATGAATAATAGACTAACACTCAGTTAATATCAGATACCGTTTCTTGTCTCCCACCAGCTAACAGTACATACCTCGTCCCCAACCCCATTATCAGCCCAATAGTCATGAACAATCCAACCACGTCCGTGGTCACGAACCCAGCCAACACTTCCCCCAAGCCGAACAGAGACATGCCCAGCATCGCAGCCACCCTCGGGCCCAATTTCCGCACAACCCTGGCATTGAGCACCGCCAAAAACGAGATACATGCCGTAGTTAGCGAACCCACAAAAGCCAGTGTCGAGGCAGAAGAAACTCCCTGCTGGACAAGTGCTGCCTGGAACACACCCCAACAGTATGTTGTGCCCACGAACCAAAAGGTGAGGACAGCACACGCGAAAATGACAACCCAGCCATACCCGCCATCAGGCACTTCGGAGTCTGCCACGAGCGATGCTTGCATTACATCGTCATCTTCCCTACGGTATGCCGAGTGATTACCGGCAGCTGCAGCGACGGTTCTCGTGACATTCCCCGAGTGAGACTCGAGTTCAATGGCGGTGGTGGTGGTAGTTGTCGATGCCATTTACTTTGAACCTGGTGCATACACACGCTGCTACGTCGACAATGTCCATATAATTATTGAAGGTCAAACATCAAGGAAAAAAAGAAGAAATCAAGACGGTATTAGTCATAACAGTGATGAACTCAGACGCTAAGCGTAATTTGTAAGCAGATCCAGTGGGGCAACGCATTCATACAGTACGAGTACTAGTATTCACATATCCTGCATTTCATTCTTTCTAATACTAACTATACAAGAAAAGATAAACAAGCGCATTAAGCCGAGGTCGCGTTTCTCGTCACATTCATCATGAGCAGCTGTTGCGAGCAAAGACCAGCCTGGACGGATGGCGGGTTGCTGGTTGCCCCAGTCCCCCAGTTAGCCGATCCCAATGCCTGGCCAGCCGTCGTGGAGTTATCAGAGCGGATCTATTCCAGTCAGACAGTTTCAGAAAGGGAGATAAAGTCAGGGATACATACATAGTCGCTTGCATCGACAAAGTGCCACCAGTCCTCGCTGCGGAAAGCGTTGTCCAGTGATTGACTTGCAGGGTCATTCCAGCCGGTGTTGCGCGTGTCAAAATTGGCATGTTTTGACCATGATACATACACCTTGGGGTGGTCGTTATTCTGGACGCCATTTGGATTGATGGCATCACCCGCGTTGACTTGGTCTGTTGTTAATGTGTTCTGGATGTCCCCCCAAAGAAGATTGTGGTAACCGCTATGCGCAGACAGTAACGCACGGCTCGGCGCCCAGGAGTTGTCAGCTGTATTCTTGGTGTGGACGATAATCACACGCTCCCAGTCACTAGAAGTTTCGCAAGAAAAGTTAGCACATTCACCGTCGCCCGTCCACCAACTGACATGGGCTCGGCTTACTAGTCGTGGCCGGTATCGATGATATCGGCAACCTCAGCACCGTCCTTCTGATAGAACAAGTTGTAGACTACCCTAACATCCGTTGCATTACACTGAGAGAACGTGTAGTAGATAGGAAATGCCGGGCCTGGATTTCCGATAGGCACATCAGGTTGGCGGCAGCCACAGCCGACATCTGGGTACTCGCATTGCGGTGCCGGAGGGGTTTGATGTGCGGTGTCGTAAATGTCTGGTGTTGAGACATTTCCACTGAAAGCCCAGACAGGATAGCATGGCGGTTCGTCCAGTGCCTGGCCAAAGAACCACATCGGGGCGTACATAACCGCAAGGTCGACGGCGCCGTTGTTCAAGTATTGGGTCATCTGGTCATCGCTGATGGAAGTGACGGCCAGCGCCGTTGAGGCTGTAGCAGCCACGAGCGCGGTGTATCGAACGAACATCTCGGCTTATACGATTTCCGGGTTGCTTAGGGAAAATGACCACAGACAACAACGACAACAAGTAACAGAAAGAAAAAGAGAAGCAACAGTATCGGGGAGCAGCCCCTCTTGTAGTGGATGTACAGTCGGGTCAATTACCGACTAATCTGGTCGTGGCATAAGACATATCACCACTGGGTGACATCGTGTCGGCGACATGACCCCAAGGAAAGCACGCTTGATCTCCTCGCGCAGCCATAACGGCGCCACGAAATGCTAAGGGTATGGGCGAAGTAAAATAGTTAGTCTATCGACAGCCCGCCTTAATAGGCTAGAAATCGATCGGCATTTTGTCTGCATCTTTTGAGTCCAACTCGGAGGATGAATATTTAACTCGCAGCGAATGATAACGCCACGGGGATACGTAGCGTGGTAGGATAAAGGTCCGACAGTGCCACAGCAGTCAGGAACTCTCGGAGTAAGCAAGACGATTGGCTAGTCACTAGTGTTGTACACTGTGACTTACTCTGCACGTATTAGGTCAAGTGATCGACGCTGGTGGAGTTTCCGAAAGGGGATGGTCGATGGCAGGCGTGCTGAGCCATGTGATAGCCCAGATTACGATCGAGTGGTTTAACCCTAATGAATAAATTACCAAAAAAAATACTCATCTATTATTGATATTCTTTTTGGAAAATAAAGTAATTATATAATACCCGAGGAATGAATTTTCTTAATTTCAATATAATACACCAAGGCGTCTTATTGTATTATAACTGGATAATAGCGTAACCTTATGGAACATCGATTGATGTACGTACATTTTTCTCGTAAGCAGTTGCAGCCACCTAGACCCCTGTAAACCATCTGATTTGTGCACCATTGAATAGCCCAGAGCAAAATAGAAATTAGATCATCCATCTACTACTGAGAGATCAGTCTTTCGTTGCAGAAACCCAAGCACATCATCGATCTCATCAGGAACTTTGTACCAGTGACCGAAACCCTCGTAAGCCTTCCATGTGACATCCATTTTCAATTTATTGGATAGAAATTTTGCCATTTTCTCCCCTAGACGGACAGAAACCTTTGGATCTGCTGATCCATGGCCTAGAAAAACGGGTGTTCGGAGAGAGTGAGAGCATGTTGCTGTATCTTTACTTCCATCACGATTGCCTTGGTCGGACGCAGCGATGGAGATTTGTGGGAGATCAAGTATATCGCGGATATAATTTATAGTATCCATAATATCACTGGATGGGGTGTCTTCTTGAAATATAGATTGGAATGGAAAGAACGAAACCTGATCTTCCGTTGTAAATGTAGTGTGGTCACTTTCTACACCACGTAGCGCGACATCTGTTTTGTCGTCATTATCTGTGTCATCATATAGGGTTCTCTCTTCTTCGTCTTCTTCCTCGTATTCGTCGCTACTTTCGCCTTCTTCCGATGGCTCCATGTCTAGTTGTTGCATATAACCTGTCAACAGATCCGACTCGTCATCATCGTTACTATCTTCCCCCTCGTTCTTGGCTTCCATTGCAACGGTATAAAACATATTATTCAGTTGCTTCTCAAATGGTAACCACCCACTCATTCCAAAGAAAGCAGCAAGGCTTTCATTCCCGCTTTCCCCAAAATGACCCCCAAGTAAAGCAAAAATTGATGCTGTACAACCTTGACTTAGCCCTCCAAGAATGATTTTCTGGTACCCCGTCCCCCCGGTGCTGTCAAAGACATGTGCTTCCTTGTCGATCAATCGCCGAAGGAACTCCCCAGTTTCCCTCAGGCCGTCAACCTGCAAATCCGTTCTCTCATTCGGGTCATCCAAGCTGTAGTTGTCAAACCACTGGTTGATAGGTGTTTTCTTCAAGATTGTTGATCGGCGCTTTGAGGCTGTCGGGAATACAAATTTCACAGTAGGCAATCGAGCAGCGAGGTTGGCTGATGCGAGAAGTTCGTGACCGAACCGTTCTGCATTACTGCCCCTTCCATGAAGTATGATGAATGTATGCGTGTGCTGGGTACTCAGTGGCTCGATGGTGAGAGGGTCTGGGTAAGGTTTTCTGTTTTTGGGTTTCTGCATGCTTGGTCTCCGTTGTCGTTGAACGCTTGAATGCTCTAAACTCACTCAAGCTCTCTTCTCTTTACTTCTTTTGATATCAATTGGACATGGAAGCACGAGCATGACTCTTATACTGTGGGTAATAGAGTAGCGCCGGCGGGGGTTTCATTTAGCGCCTAACACACACTTTGTTGCAGTCAGCAGTCAGCAGTCAGCAATCCCAACCTCAAATTGTTCTGAGTTTACGAACACAACTCGTATTTAAGAAGAGCTTATTCAGATAACGCCACGTCAAGATAACAGATACTGAGAAAAATGGGAAGTACCTCATGAAATTGTTAATCCCTGCGTTTGGCGGCCTTTGGGTTTGGATGAATATTTTAATAACCCCAATACATGTATTTCCCACATGTACCAGTAATTATGGATGGGGTTTGTTTGGACGTATCTCTCTTCTATACTAATTGATAACTTGTGTTGAGACCATAGATATTATGAACAATGTGATATTGTCACAGAGCTCATACTTTGCAACCGTTATCGTCCAGTAACTCACTACGTCCGTCAATTCCAGACCATTTCGGCTTGCCATCCGCCACTTCAACAATCCGTCTACTATAAAAGATATGACAGCTATCTCTCAAGTTAGTCAGAGCCCACAGTTTGAATATGGGTCTAGGCAGCCTTACTCAATTTCAAATACCTTCCTACGGATCAAATACTCCTCCTCAGTTTCCCCAAGATCAATCAGCTCTGGAAATATCAAACACATATTCCGCCCTTCGTCCATAATGGGCGAGTTGCAATTAGCGCAGTATACCTTGGTTGGCACCTGGTATTCTCTGCTCTTCTCATGCGATGAGTAGAACATGAGGGTGTCCACGCCACGGGTGAATCGTACGTCTGTTTTGTGGTAGATTGCACACCACTGGAAGGGTGCAGCTGTAAACCATTACTACACAAATCAAAAAGGGTCTCGGCTGGATAGTCATGCTCCAGTACATACCATGCATAACTTGACAAGCTCGACAGTGGCAGTATTTCGCTGCCAATGGGCTTTCCCGTCGAATCTGATATTGCACTCGTGAACAATGGCACATGGCCTGCCATTTTACGGGGCCGAAGTCTTCGTCGGACGTGAAAATATAGGGAGCACGCGATTTCCAGGGCTCGTACTTTTGGCGCTGCAAGGGATCCGACGCAACTGAATTGTGTAGATGGTCCGAGACTGACTTGATGTCGGCCATTCTGATGCTGATTGGCGTCCGAGAATGAAGATCAATTGATGTCGCTGCTGTAGGTTACGTCGAACGCTCAATCGAGAGAGACAAGTAATAATTATGTAAGAATTAACCTGAGCCTAAGAACTGACGAGAAGTATTCTAAATCTCAGCGTTGACTGCGTTGTGTAGGTGAGAGATGTGATGGTGTGGTGATGTCATGTTCAGGAACAATTAACCCTAACCCCAACCCTAACTCCGTCTTCCCCTGCTCTACTCTTCTACATGCACCCTCTCCTCTCTCCTCTATCTCCCCAGACTCTTCAGTCTATACTTTTTTCCAATTTCCACCCATCACGTTCTACCGGTGCTTTACCAGAATCATAATACAACGTCCTACAACGCGCTGAGCAATGCACAATCGACAAGTTTGAAGCTGGCCCTTTATTTTTATCTTTTCGAGATTGTAATAATATATCGAACGTTGGCCACGCCGAAAGGCAAGAAGATTCGCTCTCAATGGCAGTTTCTTGTTCGGGTGAGGTCCATTGGTAAAATACTTTGATTTGCGGGGTTGAGCCCCGCTAAGCAACTTTGTCGGCCGAAATATTAATAATGGAATGCTGGTTTTCAGTGGTGGGTATAGATGGTACCATATCAATTTGATATGTAATCTACCTGTGAGTGAAGTGTGCAAACTGACTCATAGAAGTTGTGACCTGTCTCCTTGCATTTTTCACCATCCGATGTCCGCGAAGATGGCACGCGACCTGTCAGCCACTTTAAAAAGTGCTTCTTTAAACTTGGCTCCGTATGAGGATCTGTACAAGTATTTCCACACCCATCCCGAACTGTCGCTACAAGAAGAATCTACATCTCAAAAAGCCGCAGCTCATCTGTCTCAGTTGAAAGTTTATGAGATCCACACACATATCGGTGGTTATGGCCTTGCAGGAGTCCTTAGAAATGGACCTGGAAAGACCGTCCTATTGCGTGCCGACATGGATGCACTCCCAGTCAAGGAACTCACCGGACTTCCATACGCAAGCTCGGTCACCATGCGCGACGCGGACGGCGTCGAAAAACCAGTGATGCATGCATGTGGACATGACATGCACATGACTTGTTTACTTGCAGCGGCGGAAACTCTTGCGAATCTTCGGCACGCGTGGAGCGGAACGTTGATCGTGCTGTTTCAGCCCAACGAGGAACGAGGCGCAGGCGCGCAGGCTATGGTTGACGATGGACTCTACTCTAAAATCCCTGTTCCGGACTATGTCTTTGGCCAGCACGTGATGCGTATGCGTGCAGGAAGTGTTGGATCACGGCCCGGCACGATCATGGCTGCTGCTGACAGTCTTAAGATTACTGTCTATGGGCGAGGTGGCCATGGGTCGTTGCCACATCAGACAGTAGATCCTGCACTTCTCGCGGCGCATATTGTTGTTAGACTGCAGGGGATTGTAAGCAGGGAGATTGATCCAAGCGATCTGGGAGTCGTGACTGTTGGGAGTCTGCAAGTCGGACAGACAGAGAATATCATTGCAGACCGGGCTGAAATAGGGCTTGATTTTAGGACTGTCAAGCTGGAGACCCGACAGAAGATTCTTTCTGCTGTTCGACGCATTGTTGAGGCTGAATGCGTGGCTAGTGGCTCGCCGAAACCCCCAGTGTTTACTCCAACACGACGATTTCCACCCACCTCAAATGACACAGAGGTAGCGTCTCAATTGGCAGCATCTTTCGAAACGCATTTCGAGGAATTTGACGGGGATACACCGAGAACCAATGTTAGCGAAGACTTTTCGACGCTGGGCACTTGCAAAGATATTCCATGCAGTTTTTGGTTCATTGGGGGCATTGATCCAGGACTCTGGGATAGGGTTCACAAAGAAGAAAATCCCACAGAAGAGATACCTGGGAACCACTCTGCCCTTTTTGCACCTGTTATTCAACCGACGATGAGAACTGGAGTGGATGCTCTTTGTATTGCAGCTTTGACGTTTTTGAGGAAATAGCCGTGCAGCTAAGAGCATAAGCCACAGGAAACAGAAATGAGAACCTCTTAGGCGCCTTTGGGAGTTTGCTCTCGCTAGCAGCAGCGTGACTTCAAGTAAATACCAAAATAAGACGATAATATCAGTCGAATCAATAAAATAGGAAATGAGACAGGGCGGAAGATGAAACGCGTTTCAGACATAAACACCAGCGCTAGGCCCAAAGCGGACTGGTATGGGTGAGCTCCTGGCCAGTCATTCATTCCTGATGGCGATTATTATCGTTCTCCTCTGCTTATTATAGAACTCGACGAATATGAGATGAGTTCATCCACCAGCGAGCTCGGCCCTCATTTCCCCTGAGGCTGCAGTCCTGGAGTGGTGGCAAGCAAACAACTGGCTGGCCCTGATGTGACCTGTTGCATGTGCCTTGCCCAACCACATTGATTGACGGCAAGCAGCCGAGCTCCCTTGCCAGCATTTAGCTTTTAATTGTTATCTGTTATCCTTATTTAATTCGAATACATACAAATTTCCTTCTCTCGCTCTTCTGTCCATCTTCTGGGTTCATACCAGCCATGCACTTTCTCAAAAAGCTGCGCTCTCCCTCACGCTCGAAAAGTGCGGGGAACGAGTCCATCTCGAGCGCGTTCAGCTGCAGTAACAGCAGCCATTCGTCACCTGCACACTCGGACCGGAGTATCGACACTACCAGGCAGATTCCCCGCCATATTCTTTCCAAGATATTCTCCTATATCTGCCCGCACGCCCTCGATGAATCATACAAATCGGCCGAGGAATCTATGACCGAGGATGGCTGTATGCTCTGCGACATGCGCGACTTGGCCCATTGTGCCCTGGTATGCAAACGATGGCATTCACTAGCGCAGACACTGCTGTGGGTTCATCCTTCGAAGCTTGACAACGGCTCAGACTAATATAAGCGTTATAATCTTCCTGCAGATATCAGCATGTGCGGATTGATGCGGTGCACTATTGCGAGCTCGAAATCGAGCTTTCGTCAAAGCGCAAACGTCGTTCCTTCGTTGACCGAACCGGAAAGTCCATTGACGCTCCCCAAATGCGCCTGTTGTTATTCATGAGAACGGTCAGAGACTCTTCGCAGTTCGCCAACATGGTCTTCTCCGTACGACTGCCTTACATGACGCGAGAATCCAGCAAGTCTGAGCTTGCGCGTACAATATCTGTTCTCCCGCATCTGAGATACGTGGATCTGCCCGCCGGGTTCTTCAGCGACGATGTTTCATCGTACACGCTGAAGCAGGAGTTGATGGCGAATTGTCCAGAGATTCGGCGCATGACTTACGCGCATGGGTCAGAGGGAAGCTTCTCGCGAATTCCAGGGTCAGGGCTGTGGAAGAGCTTGGAAGTTCTGGAATTATCGGACTTGCAAATTGAAGAGAGCACGCTGCGGCTAGTCCTCAGCTCGTTTCCCATCTTACAAAGCCTGAAATTGGACAATTTGCAGGCAGTGAGAGATTCGGTTTTCATGCCCACCCAGTCATTGCCGCCATTTCCCGCTGTGAAGAAGCTGATTATATGCAAAATGCCACAACTCACGGCTAATGGATTAGCTACCCATCTTTCTATACGTCAAAATCGCGATGCTTTGACAAATCTCGTGCTAGTGCAGACTGGGGTCCTAGCTGAATCATTACATTTGCTTCTTTCCCAAGCATCACAGCTCACAAGCCTCACTCTAGAAGCGGTCGTAGAACGATTGTTCCCAGTTCAGGATGTCCCACTTCTTGCGTCGAAGAGTGTGAAAACACTACACTACGAAATCGCAACTGCTACGAGCTCATACGGAATGCAACCTGTGTCCGGCTCTTATTACAAATATTTGTTGGCTTCATTAACATCTAACTCTCTCCCCGCCTTACGCCAGCTCTACGTCCTCGACGCGCATTTCGCAGACTCCCTCCTCTACAGCCCTCCACCGCGCTTTGGCGCACAGGCAGCTGGATATGGAATCACACAATCCTTGTCTCTTTACACCAAAGGTATAGATGAATTGGAATGGAACCTTACTGAATTCGAGCCCATTTCACCGCCATCCCAGACATCGCCATTATCGCAATTATCACCCTCCTCCGCGAACCGAGCTTCTGCAACGAGACCAGTCAGTTTCCATGCCGCACAATTGAGTACTCGCTGGGGCGGAGATGCGCGTGAGAGTGTTGTCGTTGGGAACGGGTTTGGTGGCTTTCTGGCAGTTCCTGTGAATGAGGGACGGCCGAAGAGTACTGAAGGATGTAGCTATAAGAGATCCAGTAAATACGACATGTGGCGATAGAAGGGTCTCTCTTGCATGTACGATGATACCAGTGACGATTAATAATGAATCAAGATTACGATATAAATATTTATTTATAGATATTCTTATATACAGTAGGTTGACAAAAGGTTTGAATATAGCACCACAAAAGTGGATGAGGTATAGGAGCCCCTCCCCATACCAATATTAAAAGTATTTCAACTTTTTTTTTCATTATCTACAGGCGGGCCCCCCAAGAAGTCTAAATTTAAGCTGATGTAGATTGGTGTAAATTGTAGATGAAAGACAGAAACCCTCAACACTATATGCAAATTTTTGTGGCCCGGATACTCAAAGGACCATGATAGATATGCCTTCCATATCGTCCAGGATGCAAGTTGGCATTGTCGACCATATTATCACACGTCTACATGAACCAATCATCATTACTTGATGCCAAGTGCAACCTATGGACCCAGCTAACACTTCCCTTTAATCTTCAGCACCGCAACATCATGTGGCTGCAAATCAACGCTATACTGATCTTTCACGCAGCCCAAATCCTTACCCGTCCAGATATCCTCGACCTGGTATCCCCGCTGCGTTTTATGCGCATGTCGCTGTTGCTGCTTCAGCTGTGGCACCTCGCTCCACGACGCCGTCCTGGTGGCATTCACATCCTCTGAATTGAAAAGAAGCACCAGATTCCAGCCATACGATGTAGACCCCGACCAGTACTCTGGAGGGTGCACCGGATCCCACGTTCCGTTGCTGTACCCGGCTTTGTATGGGTATGCTGGCTTGCCATGCACCGGGTCTTGGTTGAAGGCAACCAGATCTGCGTTTTTCAGAATTTCGAGATGTGTCTCGGGGAGGGAGTCCAACTGTACACCGGTTAGCATACATCATTCATCCAATAGTACGGCCATCTTGAGGAAGGGGGTATGTACAGCCGTTCCGATGATAAGTGGCGATTTCATGATCGCCCAAAGAGCAAAGTGTGCGCGATTCTCTTCAATTGTCAGGTTGCCATTGCCGACTTCGAGCATGTCGGGATCATTGTGGCCCCAGAAATCAACGCTAGACAGCTCGTGGGCGTTGAGGTTTGCAATGGCGGTGATACGCGGCCATGTTGCTATAACAAGATGTATTGTCAGACTAGAGATAAGGATTAGAGGAGATGTTCTATCTCACCGTTGATATCGCCGGACATGCGCCATGAGTTGCCGGTTCCATTGCCCCACGAGACGACATCGGCCTGTCCCCATTCACACATAGAGAACAGAATCACTTGCTGGTCTTCTACGGCAGCTAGGGCGTCCCGCATGATGTTGTACCGCTTAGCAGTGTTGGACTTGCTCCAGTCGTAGCCCGCTGGAGCTGGGTTCTGCAGGCCGGGGCATGTGCCGTTAGGGTTTACCCCAGGGAAGTCGCTGTCTGCGGTGCAGGCGGTGTATTCATCTGTCCAGTTGGATGGGACATAGCAATTGTCGTACTTCAGATCTTTCCACCTTGTTAGTCACAGCTTCTGGTATGGGCGTGGCAAGGTACGTACAGTCAATGCCCCAGTCAGCGAATGTCTGGGCATCCAACGATTCGTGGCCAATACTGGCCGGGTATCCAGCACATGTCTCTGTCCCGGCACCTGCGTTGCATGAGTTTGCCTGTCTTGTATATACATGTACCAACTGATATATGCAACTGTTACTCACTGCTATAGATGCCGATCTTCAGCCCAAGATTATGGATCTTTTGCGCTGTACCATTGATTCCACTTGGAAACTTTTCCGAGTCCGGTATGATGCGGTCAGTGACATTATCACGCCCACCCTTGACAGACCAGCAGTCGTCGACTGAGATGACAATTAGAAATCCCCGGCTGATAAAATCTTCGATGGACAAGAGAGCATACTGTTAACATATTCATAGCCTAGGTCCTTCAGCCCTGTCGAAACGATCTCGTTGGCAGCCGTCATTAGTTTGGTCTCACTGACATCGCAACCGAACGCATTCCACGAGTTCCAGCCTAGAGCTGGCAGTCGTCCCTATTCAAATGCCAGTGCGATTAGTGCGAGCTCTTACGGCTAGTACTACAGGTTTCGTCCTACCACATTGTCAGGCAGTGTCAGGGCCTTTGCGCCTTCTAAAGACAGCAGCAAAGCTGCCGCAATGGAAGACCGGATCATCGTACAATTAAAGCAGATACCAGAAGCCGTTACAAGCGAGAGATCTTGAAGATTATGCGAAAACCATGACCAGGGGATCTACCAGTCTATTTATACATGCCCATCAACACCGATCTCATAAACCACGCTGCAGAGTACGTCAATACCGACGTGCCTAGGTGGATCACCTCAAAACATCTGGAGAATCACCGGCGGGGGCCAAGGTTGAGCGAGTAACACGAGGAAAGAATTATGAATTATTGAATTATTCCCAAACGAATCAAGAGCATCGCGAAGAATGTAACTCTACCACGTCTAGACGCTGCATAAGTCTAGCCCCGTTTTTCCAGGAATGAGAAACTACCACATGCGCTATGGACAAAATAGTCACGGAGAAGCTATTTTTTGTACCACATCAGATGCGGGGAAATAAGCAAGTGCCAATTAAGCTCGACTCAATTATCCACCCTGAATATTATTTATTATTATTTCCCCTCAATCATCGTCAACAATAACTCTCCCGAGTCTCCACAGCCCGAGTCTCCACAGAGGAGAATAGTAAATAGCCACTTCATTTATTATTTGTTATTACTCTCACACCTCGCCGGCCTTTTTCCGCGCCTTCGCTTGGCTTCTTGTGATCGACATTGTGGCTGTCTGTGTACTTATTCCACGCTGCACGAACCCCAAGGATCATTGTGATTACTAGCACTGCAGACACTGTGCTTAGTACACCGTTACGTACGTCCTAAACGGGTCCCGGTGAATAAACCGGTTAATTCTGGGACTTGATTTTCCTTTTCCATCCTTCTGGCCTTGTACTAACTCTTTGGATACCGTTGGTTGTTTGTTTGCGTGCGTGTCGATCACAACTATAACTCGCCGATTTTGGTATATTTATCCGTCCTACAGCAACTCACCCAGTAACTTGAATCACAACATAGTTAGTTTATTAACCGTATTCCTTTTAGCTATCTTTCTGCACTTCCTGAGGATCCGAGATATGTGACAAATATGGCATTGTATTAATTCCACATATGTAGATGTCGTACGCCGATCCGTCTACTATTTGTATAGTTCAATTATCAATGTTTTTCTTCTTCTAATATACAGTAGGGTGACGAATGTTTGAATATAACACCACAAAAGAGGATGAGGTCCCTCCTATATCAATACTAATGATATTTCAACCTTTTGCATTATTTACAGTTGCCCATAAAAAGCTTGAATAAATCTGGATTGTTTCCGGATCCACGAGTGAACGCGGGAATCCCGCTTGTCATTCCACGACATAGCCACTATGGATGATTCCGCCAGGCGAGAGGGAATGGGAACGGGCGTATATACCAATAACCCCTAGAATTTGATCCAAATTCTAATGCTTTGCCTGCTTTCTGAATAATCTCCTAACATAAGGACTCGTTGGAGAAGCCTCAGCCCATTTTAGGCTCTTCTTACTACAAAAAAAACTGATATAGTCTATATACCTTTAACGGAATACACTAGAGACCGAACGAAACAGGTTAGACAACATTGAATGCTCCGTGGACTATTAACCAGCCCCTACGGAATCCGGGTCCCAACGTTCCCCTTCCGGTTCCAAAGGTTGCAAAGCATGCCTTTGCTAGTTTCAAATAATAACTCCTCAGGTTCGTCAGCGTCCACCAAGTACATACAGGCTAAGGCGTCCGGACTTTTAGCTGAGGCTGAAAATGTTGATCCAAACGCTGGCAAAATCTACTTGGGATGTGGATTCCGGATGTCCTACAAGACCCTATGCTCTGGTGTCAAGATGTTTGCGAACAAGACGGAAGATTCGTTCGATTGCATCTGCGGAGGTGAACATCATATCACCATTTCAAATTTCGAGAAACTGACTACGGATCTCAAGGAACCGACTATTAAATCCGAGCCTGTCAGCAACGATAAACGAACTTCTCAACGACATCCTCAATGAGAAGACAACCGAGAAACCGAACCAGCTTCTCGACAGTATCGGAGTCACCACCGCTAGTCCCACCTAATCACTTCTGGCTCTTCAATTATTCTTGCTCTTGTTCTTCGGCTATTCTAGGCGCGACATTCTAATTATTCAAGAACAATAAGACTTCATACTTTATGATATAGAATTAGCTTATAGGATGATAGGATCAGCGACCAGCGATACCGCTGAGACCATCCGGATGCACCATATACTTGGCCAGGACTGTTCGGGATCATCGCCATTGTCTCGATTTCCATCACCTTTTTATCTCATCGGCTAAGGACGAAGTTCAATAATCCATACTCTTTACCCGTGTTACTCGCTCGTTTACGCACTCTGCCGCGCGAGTTATGACATCGGTGTTAATCACCATGTATAAATAGACTGGTAGGTAACTGTGACGGTACTGGCAACCCTTACTATATTTGTGAGTAGTGGGGAGGATTCACCATCCTCAATATTCTGGTCTTTTGGCGGCAGCAGCTTAGTGAGCGAATACTCCCACTTACAGGGTTGTGACAGATACCTTAGTCATAGCATTCGCATAATCTTCAATTTTCTCGTGGTGTGCTATCAATTGTAATTCAAGTAGAGGCATAGATATGAAACATCATTCTCCTGTGGGTATAACTAGTTCCTTTCATTCCTCACTGTCTGGTATTCATATTTAATAATCCAATCTGGTGTATCATAGACTATTGTTGCATATAGAACGGTAATGCGTTAGTCCATATCCAGACTCTTATTATATGTGATGGTACTTACCATTTTGTCGACATTCCCATTTCCTCCACAATTTGCATGGCTGTTCCTTTTAATTCCCCAGGCGCCAATATTCAGAGCTAAATTTCCAGTATGATAAACCAATTCACCCAGTTTCTCCTTCAAATGATACATAGTCGTTTAGAAAATTCGGGATCAACACCGATTACGACAGGAGATCGGCAACTGTTACGTCAACGTTAGTTTCTGGACAAGAAGACAAACAGATTTCAAATGCATACCGTTCATTGGCATCTCATCAATTTGAGTCGAGTAGTACAACTCAATGTCACGCAAAATGCGCACATCCTCGCTTGTCACGAAGTTGATCGCAACACCCTTCCTACCAAATCGACCACTTCGACCAATCCTATGGATATAGTTTTCACGATTGCTGGGAAGGTCGTAGTTGATAACCAATGAAACCTGCTGCACATCGATACCACGGGCCCAGACGTCTGTCGAAATTAAAACACGGGAGTTACCCTGTCTAAAATCTTGCATAATGCTGTCTCGTTCTTTTTGAGGCATCTCTCCGTGCATGCTGGAAACAGTGAAGTTGGCTTCACGCATTTTGTCGGTGAGCCAGTCAACCTTTCGGCGGGTGTTGCAAAAGATAACGGCTTGTGTAATAGTCAAGGTATCGTAGAGATCGCAGAGGGTATCGAACTTCCACTCCTCCTTTTCCACGGCAATGAAATATTGCTTGAGACCTTCCAGAGTCAATTCGTCACGCTTGACTAGAATGCGTACTGGGTCGGTCATAAACTTCGTAGTCATGTCCAAGACATCGTAAGGCAGGGTAGCGGAAACGACTACCACCTGAGTAGCAGGCGGTAGGTAGCGGTATACATCATAGATCTGCTCACGGAAACCGCGGTTCAACAGCTCATCCGCTTCGTCAAGGACCAGCATTTTGATGTTGCGGGTTCGTAGGTGACGGCGTCGAATCATATCCGCAACTCGTCCAGGCGTGCCTGAAACTACATGTTGGCCGTATTCAAGCTTTCTGATATCCTCTCCAACATTGGTTCCTCCAATACAAGCATGGCATTGAACATTCATATAGTCGCCGAGGGCCATAACGACGGACTGGATCTGAGTTGCGAGTTCACGGGTGGGAGACAAAACCAAAGCTAGATTCTATAAGCAATAAAACTAGATTATGGAGTGTTGAGCATACCTTGAGTCTCGCGCACAGCGGTATCGATCACCTGAAGAATACTGATCGAAAATGTCGCCGTCTTACCAGTACCAGATTGCGCCTGAGCAATGGTGTCGCGACCTTTGCATATCTGGACAATGGCACGCGATTGAACTGCAGAGGGCGACTCATACCCATAAGCATAGATACCTCGAAGGAGATTTTCCTTCAGGTGCATATCCTCAAAGGTAGGAGCCACGGTCACCTCCTTTGAGGTCGTGAACTCCATCCGATCTAGGTCGAGTCAGCTTCGCATTTGGAATGCACAATTGAAATACCCTCACCATCCGTGCGCCTATCAATTCCTTCAGCCATGATGAATTTCTGGTGCTATTTCAATTCAGAAAACAGAAAGACAAGGAAGTGTTCGAGCTTCAAACTCTTTCAGTGCTGGCGGTTGCGGCGATTTTTACCATGCTTGGCCCGAGCGTTTTTGCACGTGACCGTATTGCAAAAAGCTCTAGCTTCAATGCGGAAGCTGACTTTACGGCCGCGAATGCCACCTGCAAAATATATTCTTTTAGAAAGACGCTCATACACCAGTCGCCATGCTTCTGGAGGACCAACGATTCATCCACGAGGACTTGGAGCGGTTAGAGCAGGGGGTCGCTGACAGAGTCATTGACGAACCACGAAATGTACGTGAATCCTTTGAAGAGCAAGACTGCGTTTCACTAACCTCATCTACAGATACGAGAAAGATTAGCACGGGATCACCAAATCGCCGGGTTCCTCGACCGGATTGAAGAACAGTCAAAAAGACTAGTGGACATCTACAAGGATGCGGAAGGCATTCGTGCCCAAGAAATCCAATCAATCGCCACCGGTGACGCATTTGAAGAATTCTACAAGCGACTCGATGAAATCAAGGACTTCCACAAGCGATACCCTAATGAGCCTGTAGAGAACTTGGAGCGCGCATACAAACGAAAATACCCCGTAGAGGGCGAACATTTCGTATTGGAAACGGAGTCTATGTTCACGGGAGAAGAAGCTTATGGACAATTCTTTGACTTGACGCAACTCCATGAGGAGTACCTCAACATTCCGGGTGTTAAGCGGCTTACTTATATTCAGTATATTGACCAGTTTGATGTTTTCACGCCGCCTCAACTTACTCTTAAGCGCACGTCGAAGTTGTCGGACAAGTATTTTAAATACGTTGGGGAGCTGGCGAGCTACCTAGAAGGGTTTATGAAACGTGTGCGTCCTCTGGAGAACCTTGACAAACTTTTCGCATCTTTCGACGAGGAATTCAATAAACAATGGGCATCAAACGAGGTCCCGGGATGGGGTACTGAGGTGGCGAATGGGGCTGATGGCCCGAAGACACAAGGCACGGGAGAAGGAATCTGGTGTTCAGACTGCGAAAAGGAATTCAAGAATGAGAATGTCTACAAGAATCATCTCACGGGTAAAAAACACATCAAAGCTGCAGAAGCGAAGAAAGCCAATGGTGCATCCGCGGCACCTGAACAGAATCAAGGCAGTGCTATCAGAGATCCATCTTTAAAATCTCTCAAAGAAAAGGCAGTCGCAGAACGCGAACATCGAATCCGATCGTTGGCCAAAGCGCTAGACTCAGAACGACAAGCAACTCGTGTCAACGTAGAGAGAAAGCAGGGCATGACAGAGCGCGAACGACAAATGGAAATTGAAGCTCTAATGGCAGATGTTGAAACTCCATTCGGAGGGCCAGGTCGTGAGGAAGAATCAGACGGGGAAGGAGATGAACGAATTTACAACCCACTCAAGCTGCCTTTGGCATGGGATGGAAAGCCCATTCCGTACTGGCTCTACAAACTGCATGGTCTTGGTGTAGAGTACCCATGTGAAGTTTGCGGTAACTTCGTTTACATGGGCCGACGTGCTTTTGACAAGCACTTTTCAGAGGCACGACACATCTACGGCCTAAAGTGCCTGGGAATAACACAGCAAACCAACCTTTTCCGTGAAATTGTCAAGATTGAAGATGCCATCAGACTATGGGAGAAGCTGGAACAAGACCGAAAAGTTGACAAAGACTCCCGAGACAATGTTGTACAGATGGAGGATGCCGAAGGAAACGTAATGCCGGAAAGGATCTACCACGAGTACGTCCCCAAACATGTTTCCCTTTACTTCCTTCAAATACTAACGTTTGTGCAGTCTTCAAAAGCAGGGCATCTTGTAATTCGGCAGGCTTGCTTGTCAGCATTACTAGGACAATTGCGGTGTTCAGGCGCTAGATTCAGTGTATATCATATAGGCCCCGGTGGTTCTGGTGGGTAGAAACAAAGTTATCTCATTTGAATGACAGGCGTTACTCAATCTGACAACCTCGCACTAGCCAAATATAAATGTAGACAAGTCAAACCAGCCCTGGAACAACAATTTGAAGTAGGCATAGGTCACGTGTTTTCGCGATCCATGGACACGACGCGGGCCCAGCCCTAAGTCGGCTACCGCGTGGGACGGTGCCCTTGTTTGATCAGACTCTCTCCTAGCCGTTCCTCTACTGTAAAGGTCCCTTTGCTCCTCCCAAACAGTCTCAAGTCTGAATCATGCTGTCCTGTGCCTCCAGATGCGACTTCAATCGGATATACGGGACTGCAGTGGAGGATGGGATTCAAGTTCGTCTACCTCTGTGACCTGCTCTCAAGTTTAGAACGCAACCGCCACCTCAAAGCAGCAAGTTCGGCGAGGTCCCAGAATACGGATTTCCACATACTCTCGAATTGGTGTTTGAATCACTCAAAACGTATTCATGATAAGGATACGGATTTAGGTGCCTTGCTATCATGTCTCTTTCCTGAGAAACGCCCAGACAGGGTGTACGGGTTTCAAAGCGCTGCCCTGGCCCGAATCATCGCCCGGTGCTTGTATTTGGGAATCTCACGAATAAAGGATCTTGACAAATGGCGAGTACAAGGAGAGGGTGACCTGGGACAGTGTGTCGAGAATGTGATGAGACAAGCGGAAAACCAGATCATTCCCGGCCAGGAGGTCACTATAGAAGAAATCGATGCTGTGCTGGATGATATCTCGTCTCGCTGCCGATTCTCTGGTCCTAGCGTCCGAAAAAGACATGCTGCCGCTGCCGTTGACGAAATCCTGGGACCTTTATACCGAAAGTTGGGTAGTCGAGATTCAAAGTGGTTGACTCGGCTGATCCTAAAGTCGTACCATCCCGTTAAAATACCAATGGATGCTGCTCTCAAAAATATACATTTTCTTCTACCACAGCTACTGCTTTTTCAAAATTCGTTTGAGGCAGCGGTTTATCTGCTTAAATCAACGCCTCTCAAATACTTCCCCCGTAATCCGCCAGTGGATTCACGTCAATTACTGAATGAGAAGGCTATACAGCATCTGGTACCACAACCTGGAGTCAAAGTTGGTCGTCCAGACTATTATAAAGCTAGAAGTATTAAACACTGCTGTAGCATAATTTCAAGGAGAAGGATGAGTTTGGAAAGAAAGTATGATGGTGAATATTGTCAAATACACATTGATATGACAAGGGGAGCAGATTGTATCCAGATCTTCTCTAAGAGTGGCAAGGATTCAACGGCCGATAGAGCTGCTATTCATCATACCATAAAGCAATCTCTAAGACTGAGTGAAAAGGGCTGCAAAATCTCTCACCGCTGCATTCTAGAAGGCGAATTACTTGTATGGAGCGACAAGGATGGAAAAATTCTTGACTTCAATAAATTACGGAAGTTTATCATGCGCTCTGGAACATTTATCGGAACCGAATATGATTCCCAGTGAGTTTCTGCCGTACACAGTTGTTCGATGACGTGTACTAATAAAAGCTAGGCCGAAACCGTACGAGCACCTGATGATAGTATTTTTTGACATCCTGCTATTAGATTCTGATGTCTGTCTAAGCAAGCCTCACAGAATGAGGCGACTTATGCTAAAGGAAACGGTCAACCCGATCCCTGGGCGTGCGGGCATTTCTGAACAGGAAATTATTGATTTCTCTCGGTCTGATGCCTCACGCCGCCTGCAGATCGCCTTTTCAAAGTGTATTGCTGAAAGATGGGAAGGCTATGTCTTAAAAGGGTGTGATGAGCCTTATTTTGCTATTCTCTCGCCGGGAAGAGATCACGGTTTCTGTCGTTGGATCAAGCTGAAGAAAGACTACATCCCTGGATTAGGAGATACGGCCGATTTATCTTTGATTGGAGCTCGTTACGAATCAAAGGACGCTCAGTATTTATCTAATATTCGTAATCTTTCATGGACGCACTTCTATATCGGCTGTTTGGAGAACAAACATGCTGTCATTCAATCCAGTGCTCGAGCTCGGTACCGTGTTGTTGATATTATTGGAAGACACAGCCTTTGTGCTAGTGATATGCAGCTTCTCAATAAATATGGGAAGTTTATTGCTTGCGATGTCGAATCTAACATGATGTTTGACATTCATAGCATTCACAACTCCTTGCCAGAGATGGATATAGCATTCAAAACTCCCTTCATAGTGGAGTTGCTTGGCAGTGGATTCGAAAGGCCCAGCAATGCACAGTACTATACTCTCCGTTTCCCTCGAGTGTTGAAAATCCATTGGGATCGAACATACGAAGATGCAGTTTCATTCTCTGAACTGCAAGATCTGGCAGAGAAAGCTCGATCTGTTCCAACACAAATGATATCGGAGGAGAGCTCACTCTGGTATGAAAAGGTTGAGGCAACACATGGAAGAAGTGAATACATAGTTGAGAAATCACAAACCAGCACATCTTCTGTTTCTATATCCATTGGCACACCAACCCCACTGGGTAAGCAAAGCACATTGACGTCAACAACCTTGACACCGCCCACATCAAAGGAGACTGAGGAGGGGTCCTCACACAGTAAAAAAGCGTTTGCCAACACCAAAAATTTTCACACAAATTTTTATTCTGTGTTACAATCATCCATCACTAAGCGAAGTGCTCCTTCAACTCTCCTTGCTTCTCAAGCCTCTCTAAAGCGTCGCAAAGCACTGAAGCCCTCTCCTGCAATGGATAGAGTTGAAGAGGAGTCACTAGTACTCCATCAATCTCTTCGAGCTAGAGGGAGTCCAGTTCCCATATTTCGATTTCCTGGTGAGGAATTCTGTACAATGTCTTCTTCTCAGTCTCACCAGGCTCGCGGCCAAGTGGCAGACAAGGAAGCATTGAAAGAAAACTCAAATCCCTCCCCAAAACAACCGCCAGCCTCTGTCCAACCAGATATTGTCGATGTATCTAAGAACGGTCCTTTGGTGAATTGTCCTACCAAGTTGGCTGCATCTTTGCCTCTTCTCATGGCAACTCCTGACAAGGAAAATACAAATGAGGAAAGCCTGGGCCAAGTCGAGAATCACCTAATGGTTACAGACGCAATCCCTATTACTCGCATTCTGCCAGCTTATCTCGAATCCCCACTTTTGACGATTCCTATGTACTGTGGCGACTTCGGGTTCGTGGAATCACTCTTTCGGGCGGCCCCCCGTGATTTCACCTTTTCTATGGCACACTTTGTACATTCATTGGGAACGCCCTTGACACGCGAAAATCTACGTGCCTCAAACCCATCTGCGGTGGATAGCAATATAGCTCTGGGCATTGCCATTATCAACAAGCGAGACCCAGCCAACACTCTCGCCGCGCAGCTGTACAATATCGGGAATCTCGTGGCTGCATCCTTGCAAAATGAATCCATCGGCTTCCCGACTCGCGGCAAAATCTTTTTCCTTGACCGTAACATTCTTACCGCAGAAAATGGGGTTCACGATGAGACGTTGTTGTTGAACGACTGGTGGGCTGTGTATGGTACCATGTATTACTACGCTACCATCTCCTGGGGCTTTGGCATGGATTTAGACCAGTTCTCTCAGCGTGTTGACGAAGCGTGTGAACTTGGCGCCCAGGCCGTTTGGTATGATTTACGGCGAACTACCACTGTCATCAACCTCTATGAACCTAGTGATGTGGAAATCATTGGTGAATTTGTTTCCATTGACCCTGTCGTTCACATCCGTGGGGACTACTTTCATTCGCCAGGTAGGTTCACACGATCTTTATCCGATTGATCAGTCCTAATTAGTTGATATCTTTAGCCAATAACATGCATTCCTCCTCAGCCTTCATTTGATCTGACCAGATGAAATCATCATGTTCTCACCGCTCCAAGCCCGCTAGTCTTTTGCTTTGATTTTAAACGGCACATGAACAAAAGTTGGAACTCTCTGGTCTGGATAGAAGCCTTTCAGGCCTTGGGTTTCCAAATCATTCCTTTATCTTGTATCCAACGTTCAACGGAGGGCGCACCAGTTTTTTTCTTTCCCCTTCAGTGCGTGCGAAGTTGCAAGTGCAATATGATTTGGGATGCAGAAGGACGACAGGATGGATGGTCGTCGATACAGATATTTTTAAAGCCCCAAGAGTTTTCATATCACAGCTTCATCAGGATGTAATTGTACAGTCCAAATTTCAATGAACAATCCCCTTTATATTTTCTTTGTTTCAACAACTAAATGTATTTCTAGTGGCTCGCTTTGAAACCCTTCTCATATCATTCAACGCCAATTATGCTATCATAAGTAAAGTTTGGGAAATTAAGTCATCAAGCCACACCCCTTTCCCTTCTAGCCCTGACATCTCGCATCAAAGCTTTTGCTTCTTCGACTTCAATTCCATCTTGACACAGCTCACCAGCCAGTTGATCTGCTCGATCGAGGTCATCATGTCGCAGGGCCCATCGAGCCAGCCACAAACGCGCCTTTGACGTCGTGACCGTAACACCTGTCCCTCCCACAGCCTCTGTATCTTCATCATCGGCACGCCGACGAGATAAACCAGCCCCGTCGTCGGAGTTTCTATCATCTACGTCATCATCAGAGTCCGGGTCTGGACGGTCTACTTCCCCTGTCTCCTGTCGCAGCGTTAGCTCCATGTAGGCTGCAGCTTCTTCCTCGTCACCTAGTCGTTCGTAGAGAGTGGCGATTTGGTGGAGAGTGTCAGGATCGAGAATCTTGCGGCCTACTGGATGTGAGGAATCCATGCTGTCCGATGCTTGTTCATAGTAAGCACCGGCGACTAGCGCGCGTTTCATGGCTTTGATACTGTGTTGGAAACGGTCTAGCTTGGAGTAGCATGTGCCCACTGCCAGCCACATTTTTGGATCGTAGGGCCGCAGAGCAGCGGCACGCTGATAGTAGAATAGCGAGTATATAGGCATGTCGAGAACTTCGTATGCTTGGCCCAAGCCGTACCATGCACGGTAGTCTTTCCGGTTCACGTCAACAGCGCGACGGTAGGATTCGATTGCCGCGTGTGTGTTCTTCATTTCAATGTATTCGTGGCCCATAAGGGTCCAGGCGGATAAGAAGCTTCGGTCAAGTGTGAGAGCGCGGCGGAAATACATGACTGCCTTTTCATGTTCGGATTTGAGAGAGTAGTAGTTTCCAACCACACAGCAGGTCTCTGGTCGGAACTTGTCTGTTGCTGTGGCCAACTGCGCGACGAAGGCAAGCTGGGGTCTCGCACCCATTACATAGAGGATATTTGAATAATGATCTAGACTGTCTAGCCGATGCGGTGAATCGACGAGAATCTCTGAAAATATGGATGAAGCTTCTTCAAATTCTTCAAGATATCAGCTGACCATAAGGATCTCATGGAAGTATAGAATTACCTCGTGAATGATAGTACAGCAGAGCTCGCTCTGTCTTCAAGAATGAACTAGTTGGGAAAATAGTCTCCAGTCCACTGAGTGTTTGATGAGTCTCCTCGTTGGCTTGGTACAGTTCCTGGCTGCAGTGTACTTGGAATATAAAAGACATGATATTCTGAGGGAGCTCTTCTGCGACTTGTTTCAACTATGTCTTGATTAGTACGTTAATTGCACAGAGTGGAGAGCGAAGACTTACATCGTCAATACTCGGTAACAAATCATTCAACTCCTGCCAGGCACCCCAGTGGAATGGAAATAGATGTACGCTTTGTATCAGCCATTTCTTTGCCTCCTCTTCGTTTTTGCCTTTGAGTAAAATCACAGCATACAGATACTCTAGCCAGCCTTGACCTCGGCCTCGCAAACCCAGCTCATTTCGTTCCGCAAACCACCCTTCCAGGCCTCGTGCCAAGTCCGGCAATTCGCGATTGACAGTCATACCTCCATCTGCCGGGCCTAATACCATCTCCGTCTCTTCATCTCTTCGCTTTTCTCCAGCCAGGTATTTGGCATACAAGGCCAGAAACAGGGACTTTTGACTGAGTTTCGGGTAGGGGTTTTGTGTTGGCACCTGCCCACCTCTGGAGCTAGGCCTAAGTGGAGTTTTGCTCTTCCCTTTTTGAGGGGTCAATGAAGTTCGACTTTTTACATTGGGAGACACGTTGGAAAGCGGGACGGGCGGTATGGTAGGTGGGAGGAACACAGCGGCACATCGATCATACTCTCGAGTGTCAAAATATGATTTGGCAAGAAGATATTTGTGAGATTCTTGTGACTCAAGGATAGCTTCGGCGGGATCTAGCTGGCGCGTAAAAGGGTTCGTATTCGGCAGGGAATCTGCATCCATTGGCGATTCGGTGTCGGTATCATTCCCATCAATGGCAACGAGGGAGTCTAGCATTTCCGCGGCCCTGTTGGCAGTCGCTTAGCTCTATCCAATCCATAAGACGTACCCATTGCTACATACCATTTCGCGGACTGGTATAGACAGCGCTCCGAGCACTTAATAACGGCATCTTCGAGCCGGAATCGAAGCTCTTTTATGCTATCTTCTGTTAATGTCATAGCCATCTTGACGGTAATTTAGCCGGAAGCTCCGCGCCAGGTCAAAGAAAAGATGCAATCGTTCTAAAGTAGAGAGGGCGATATGCGACTTCAATTCCAACTGTATATCCTAGCAAATATCTGGTGGGGTAACGAAAGTCTCGAACGAATCTGCAAGCCCTGCCGGACAATGAACGCGTTTCAAGAGAAGCAGGCATCTGCGTGATCGAATGGAGTTCAGGGCGATATAAGGAACACGCCTGCGAGCGGTTTCTCAACCGTGTCGAGCTGTTTAATGCTGCCGGCGTCGACTGTTGACATACACAGCATGGAACAAACACTGCAAACACAAAATAAATCACCACAGAGCCCACATGCACTAAGCCCAAAGAGGGCAACCACAGTAGATGCCAAGACTAGATCTAATGGTCATTCACGCTGCGTTACACTGCTCAAAAATTAGAGTCAATCACTGTAGACGATTCGTAATGCGCATTCAGGAGTCAGTGTCACCGTCTGGACGAGGCAGCGAGAAACTGACTTGAGAGATTATGTCGCTGATGGTGCCGCGGCGGTTTACTTGGATATATCCCACGTCAGCAAGCTTCAAGAGTATTTTTCTTCCTTTAAGCACTCTTTGTCCTCTAAATACAGAGACAGTAGCAACTATTATTATTATTATTTCGACTAGTGAACGCTCAACTATGTCGCACTCTGGGACTATGGGGGCTCACCGCCTCCAGCTGCCAAATCAGGGAACGGCCAGAAAAGCCTGCAGGCCGTAAAGGGGTTCGCTCCCGCAATATTAACGTCCATCTCCGAAGAGGAGCTATCTCCCCTCTCCAATTTTCACATTCATAATTCCAGCTGCTCGCCTCCATTTTGCATTCTGGAAAGTCATCAATTGCAAACTCCCAGTTGCCAGTCTACTCCTCCTCCAACCAGTTCCACTTCTTCTGCTCTGTGATCGACATGGCAACCCGCATCTCGCGCCCTGAATTTGAGGGGCATGTAGCCCCCCTCATTCAAGACATTCTTGACACAACTACGCAGTATAATCTTCCTGAAAATGCCAGGCAATGGTTTGAAGCAGTATGTGTCTCCCCTAATTCTTTGCATAATTGGTCCTTTGACTGAACATACCATTCTTTTCTAGTCTCTCAAAGCCAACATTGTCGGCGGTAAAATGAATCGCGGAATGTCTGTGCCGGACACTGCCTCTATCCTGCTTGGTCGGCCGTTGACGGAGGAAGAATTGAAGCACCTGGCTTTGCTGGGCTGGTTCACTGAGCTTCTCCAAGCTTTTTTCCTTGTGAGCGACGACATCATGGACGGCTCAATAACGCGTCGCGGACAACCCTGCTGGTATCGCCAGGAGGGCGTCGGTATGATTGCCATTAACGACGCCTTTTTGCTCGAAGCCTCAATCTACAACATCCTGAAAAAGTACTTCCGATCACACCCCTCCTACCTCGACTTGATCGAGCTGTTCCACGACACCACCTACCAGACCGAATTGGGACAGCTATGCGATCTGATCACTGCCCCAGAAGACAAGGTTGACTTGGACAACTTTTCCATGGAAAAGTACATCTTTATTGTCAAATACAAAACCGCTTACTACAGCTTCTACCTCCCCGTTGCGCTTGCTCTGCACTATCTTCAGCTCGCTACTCCCCACAACTTGAAACAATCCGAAGACATCCTCATCCCGCTAGGCGAATACTTCCAAATCCAGGACGACTACCTCGATGCATTTGGATCTCCAGAGACTATCGGTAAAATTGGCACTGATATTCAAGATAACAAATGCTCCTGGCTTGTCAACCAGGCATTGACGATGGTGACCCCCGAGCAGCGCAAGCTCCTTAACGAGGCATACGGACGCAAGGACAGCGCGCTAGAAGCCAAGGTCAAGGCTCTCTATAACGAGCTCAAGCTCGAACAGCACTACCTGAAATTTGAGGAGAAGCGTGTTGGCGAGTTGCGCGAGAAGATTTCGGCTGTTGATGAGTCGGAGGGTCTGAAAAAGGAGGTGTTCACGGCTTTCCTAGACAAGATCTACAAGCGCACCAAATAGACCTGGAAACCAGGATCAATAAGTGGCCACTTTGTCAAGGTCGGGGTGAACGGTCATCAGTCGCGAAGTCACTGCTATCTTCTGACACAACCCCTTTTGTAGATGTTTATTAATCTTCCTTACCTCTTCTAATTCGGATACCCATACATTTCAAAAGACTCACAAGTTCCCCATAGAATATGCACATATTACTTGTCCCTGCTGAGGAAACAACTGTCATACTCCTCACTCTAACAGTCATCCTACGGGTCAGGCAAAGACAGCTCCTATTGATATGAACATGTGCTTCACGAGCCGATGCTAATTGATGAATAGAAAATAGATGCTCGCAAAAATAGAGGTAGTCTGAAATTAGTAATAATATGCTCATTAATCTTGCATCTAGTATTTACAAAAAAAACATAAACTAATATAAGCCGCCTTATCAAATACATCCATCAAAGAAATTCGTTACTCTATTGCTTTGTTCTTGCCTCACTCTTCTGAGCGATCACACCGGCAAGGTCTGCCAACCCTCCAGCCTGCATAATGTCGAAAATGCTCAATTCCGTTTTCAATTCCTTTGAAACCCAATACCGAATTTCTAGTGCCACCAATGAGTCGATTCCAAAGCTATGTAGGGGTGTTCGTGTCTCGACGTCTGTTTCCGGCACATTCAACAATTTGGCCAGCTTGTTGACCAGCCCTTTGAGTGCAACATCTGCTGCAGCAGTCTCATCCGACGCATCAGCAAGGAGACGTCCGAAATTATCTGCGCCCTTGGCAGACTTAGCGCCGCCACTGTCTGCATTCTGGAAGGTGATTCGATTGACTTCCTGCAGCTGGCGGAACATGGGTCGCCGAGTCCAATACACGCTTTCGAAATGCTCCGATGGTAATGTCATTGCTGCGCCCAATCCTGCAATCAATTGCGCGCTCTGTGGGTGTGTTGCTCGAGGACATTTTGGATCGCACGCATAATCAAGCAAAGCGAGTAGCTCGGGCGTGGTCAGTCCCTCAAATCCGTCACGGCGGAGAGCAGCATTAGTGCCGAGTTGTGCCGCGATCCCGACATCTTTGATAACGCCGAGGTTCAAGCTGAGGCAGCGTCGGCCTTGGGCAACGAGATCCTGTGCAAGGGCGTCCATGTAAGAGTTGGCTGCTGAGTAGTTCGCCTGGCAACGGGAGCCCGAGATGGCACTGATGGACGACAGTAATACGAAGAAGTCCATATCTTGTGGGAGATGGGCGGCGAGATTCAATGTGCCCTGTGTCTTGGGACGAAGAACAGCATTCCAATCCGCAGCGCTCATTGAGCTGAGGAGTCCGTCCTGGTGAATATATTAGCAGGGACATAGGAGATTTATGTGGTGTCACTCACTCGGAGAACCATGGAGCCCTGGATACAGCCTTTAATGGGGGGCATGGTTTGAGAAAGCCCTTCAAAAACTGCTCTCACAGCGTCCTCATCAGCAACATCGCAGCTTGGGGCTTTTATTTCAATGCCATTAGCGGTATGTCTAGCAATCATTTCCTGAGCTGCTTCGTTCTTCGCAGCCCCAGAACGAGATAGAAGGATGAAATGTCTAGCCTTCCGTCCAACCATCCAGTCGACTAATGTCTGACCAAGCCCACCAAGACCACCACCGATCACGTATGTAGCATTAGGGTCGAAATTATATCGTGGGCATCGACTTGGTACAATCTGAATTACTGTTAACACGCATACACAACATCCAAAGACAGGACTGAACATACCGGAACTTCGTTGGTAGGTTTCATATCCAGAACAATCTTTCCGCTACTCTTACCACTTGCCATATGGCGGAACGCGTCCTTGAGATTACCAACTTGGTAAACCTGCAACGGTTGAGGGGGAGTTATAGGGTTTACAGCATCAGTCATGTGGTCCCTGATGGCACTCATAATCTTCGCCATGACGGGTTTCGCCTTTTCCATGACAATAGATAGATCAACGCTGGAGAAAGACACATTCGTTAGAAAGGGCTTCATGTTCAATCCCTTGCGTGATGACTCAAAGTCCGCCTTGCCAACGTCCACGAACCGACCGAGCGGCGCAATACATTTCCACGAAGCTTCCTGAAGCTCACCCCGTAGCGAATTGAGCACCACATCTACTCCATCTGGGCAATGTTTTTGGAGTCCCTCTGCGAAAGTAGTATCACGACTGTTGAAAATATGACTCTCTGGTATTCCATATAGATCTTGAAGAAGTTCCTTCTTTTCGGGAGAACCAACTGTGGTGAATATTTTGGCGTTGATCCGCTGTGCGATTTGAATGGCTGCTTGTCCAACTCCTCCGGCGCCGGAATGGATAAGAACGGTCTCGTTTTCTGACAGTCTGGCCACCGTGACAAGAGAGTAGTACGCTGTGGCAAACACTAGCGGTATGCTGGCTGCATCAACATAAGGTATATTATCTGGCAGCCTGATAACCCAACTAGCATCGGTGCGAACGAAGGTCTTGTAGGCCCCGCTTAACGTACAACAACTCACTCGTTCACCAGGTGTAAACCCAGCCTGCGGACCAGCACGACTGACGATTCCAGAGCATTCAAAACCAAGTCTGTTTCCAGAAATCTGGCCCATGGCAATGAGGATATCTTTGAAGTTCATACCGGTCGAGCGGACTCTGATCTCAACCTCAGTCGGGCCCAAAGCGAGAGCATAATCAGGGTCATCTTCAAACTGCAAAGTGTCCAGCAGTCCTGGAGAAGTAATAGAAAGGTTAAGCACTCGCTGCGTGTCTGCACCAAACTGTTGTATACTAGGGCGCGAGAGACCAGTCGACGAACGGATCATAGAATTTACAGTGGTAGTCTCGCTGATTCGGCCTAGGCACAGCTTTCCATCTTTCTCACGATATTCTGTCTCGAGGTCCACGTCTTCTGCCAGAAGAGTTTTTTGAAGAACTGAAAGAATGTGATTGGTCGCCCGGTCCTTCGAGGTTGATGTTTCCAATGCAACTTCGACGAATCGCAGATCAAGGTATTCGGATTGAATGACTCTCCCTAAGCCGGATACAAGGCTCTTATCCGCACTTTGACCCTTGGTCATCCATAACAGAGACTTCGCCGTGGATAAGATCTGTTTGAACATGGCCCATTGATTGTTGCTTATATCTTGAAAGACAGATCCATCCAATTCGAGTAAAGATATGTAGTGTCGTCCTTCGTATTGTGCAGGGCTAATGTCTTCTAATGTAACGATATCCGGAGATCCAAGCTTGCTCAAAAGTCGTCTTCGGAGGACTTCGGCTATACCCCTTTGGAGATCTGAATTCGGAGCGATGATGATTGTACTTCCACTGCCTGCAGATTCGAGAATGCTGGAAGTCCCCGAAGTTGATAAGGACGAAAGATCCCCATTCACAAACTGCGCTTGATCTGAGGGGAAATCTTCCAGATTGTCCAGATCTGCCTTAGAGAGCACAACAAATTCGTCAAGAAGCAGGATCTTGGCATTTGGTTCTAACAGATGCTTAATGTTGCTCAGACCTTCTGGAGCAGCTGTGAGTAGATATTTGCGATCGTTGCAAATGAGCAAGTCATAGTGGCAGTCAATAAACCCCTGCTCATCAAAACTATTTACGGTGTCTAGCGTTCTTCTAAATAATCGATCAGATTCGGAGTTGGTATCATCATTAGTATCCGAATTTTGAGAATTCGTGATGGTGTATGTGCGGAAAAGAGGCAGACTTGGCTTCCCATCTATATCTAAACCATAATTCGTCAGTCGATCCCGGACCTTTTGCGAAGTAGCCACAGGAACATCTCCGGCTTCCAAAATCCTCATGATTGGGTTCTGATAGGCAAAAAGCTCGACGAGAGATGCCGCTGTAGCGGCCTTGTCATCGCTCGCACACATATCAATGAGGTCTTTGTTGGTAAGAAAGGATGGATCAGGTTTCCAGGCAAGAGACCAACAGGTCCGTCGGGCTTCTTGATCAGCTCGTTCCATCCACCTGGCATCCTTGACGAATGTGAGGGACAGGCCGTTCACAAGCACTTGCGGCCGGCGCTGTTCATTGACCGCCGCGATGGAAAAGTCTGCCTCTCGATATCCCCTTGTTTCAACATTATTGAAAACCTTCAAGGTCTCTTTGGTACTCCGGCCAAGAAGCTCGTGCGAAACCCATATAGAGCGGATCTTTTGTGGGATCAAAACGGGAATGGGGAGTCGACCACCGTGGCTGAAGGCCGCGATACTCGACTGGAATATGGTGTCTAAATCGGTTGGATGAATAATATGAGGTGTCGGAGTAAATTTGGCATTTTCACGGTTCCATTTATCGAGCTCGATCTTTGCGGTAGCCTGTCGGCTTGCAACCCGTACTTCTTGAAGTCCCTGGAATGCAGGACCAAAGCTCATTCCGTACTCGTTAATAGCCTCATAAAACTCCTTTGAGTTGACTTCATCCCAACGTTGATTCGATTCTCCGTTCAATATTTTTTGCAAGCGCTGCCTCTCTACCTCGGTCTGTACCCCTTCCTGTATAACTTTGCCATCGTTGATTTTGGTCTCGATTGTGCCATGGCATAGTTCATGCCAGGCTTCGCCAAAATATGCAAAAATCTGAAAGTCATATATGCGACACTGGTCTGGCATTCCCGGCTGTACGGGATTGAAGATGATTTGAGCCTCGACCGAATCCACATCCTGAGGAATTCGAAGACCTGCCGGGAAGTTGACATTACTCAAGAAGTATCCCGAGACAGATTGAGACCCAGCCAAAGAGCGCGCGGCTTCGATTACCATAACTAGCATTCCAGATGCAGGATAGAGATGACTTTTGTCGAGCTGCGATACTTATGTTAGCTTTCTCCTATTTCACTTTGGAAAGGCGACGCAGGGGTATGTGAGGAATCGAAGCAGGTAGGGAGTACTTGCCTGATGATCAAGTATCCAGCCATTCTCAGCTAATCTAATAACATTTCTCCATTTCGGTCGCAAAGGGTTCCAATCTGTCTCGCGATTGCCAAGCAATTCATGCCGCTGATGCTGTCGGAAACGAAAGTTTCGACTAAGTCGGCTTTCCTGCCAGTATTTTGTGCTATGATTGAATTTATAAGCCGGCAAATCAATGAGGGCACGCGCTTCTTTCACATCAGCGTTGGGAAAGTTGACTTGAAGAAGGTCAACAGGAATCCCGCTGCATCGAAGCCGACCAGTAAGATTGCTGATTGATACCAAAGCATGCATGTTACGAGTGAGTGTTGGAATATAGTCAATATCTCTGGCGCCTGGGGTGTCTTTGACTGTTTCTTTGATTGGTCGTTGCAAGGCACCATGTGGACCAATTTCGAGCAGGATGTCCTTCCCACTCTTATTGGAGCCATTCTTTTTCCGTTCCTCTAAGAGGTATAAAGTCATATCTTGCAGGGCAGATAGGAATGCAACTTGACCAACCAAATTCCGAACCCAATATGTCGGATTGCATGTGTTCTTTACGGGAATCATCGCTCCGTCTACTGAAGAAAAGAACAGGGGTGAGTTGCCAGACATTGAGCCTGGCTCCAGCTTGCCAAGTTTAGCAAGGTACTCGGCACTGATAGCATCCATAAAACGGGAATGATATGCAATACCCGTGGACAACGTTCTCGCAAAAACACCTTCATTCTGCATGAGTTGTGACAACGCTTCAACCGCATTAGTTCCTCCGGTTACCGTGACATTTTGAGGACTATTCACACAACCAACGGAAAGAGTCTCTCCTGTCCGTTGCATAGCTTCTTTAATATGTTGTTGAATTTCGGTCTCCGATAGCGCAACTGATATCATAGCACCTGAATTGGGCTGTTCCTTCAAAAGTTGAGAGGCCAGTAGACCTCGGTAGAAAGCTGCCCGAATAGCAGACTTATGAGACAGACCACCAGCACAGTACGCCGCTGCGATCTCGCCTGACGAGTGGCCAACAACCGCTACGGGCTTGATGTCCCAGCTATCTAGCAGATCGACCAATGCGATCTGTAACGCAGTACAAAGAGGTTGAGAGAATTCCGGTCGGCTCACTAAGGAGAGAGACTCGTCCTTGTGCAGTTCATCTAAAATATGAATTAACAAATTTTGTCTCCAACTATGACCACTATCTTACCTATTAAGCTCCAAGGGCAACCGAGATCTTTCATGTAGCTATCTGACCTCCGCATACTTTCGAAATATACGAGATATAGAGACAGCTCGCGACCCATAGCATACCACTGCGCACCCTGGCCAGTAAATACAAAACTCAGCGATGGCGCAGCAGATGATCTCTGAGGCTTCGACGCGATTAGATCACCCGATCGGAGCTGGTCCATGGAGCTGACCACTGAGAACGACTTCCATGGAAGGTTGCTACGACGCGTGGAAAGTGTGTACGAGAGATTCTGCAAGTACTCCCGCTCTTCATCGACCGATTGCTCTTTTTCAAGCTTGCTGAAGTATTCTTGATATGTTTTCAACGTCCGTTCAATCCCACTTTCGTCTGCCGATGAGAACGGCAATACAATCGGGCGATTTAGACCAGGTCCAAAGGAGGTATGCCCATTGCCATTCGAATTGCCATTACGGTGTCCATTAGGGCGTCCATTCGTTTTCACCGGTGAAGAACCATTGTGATAGCCGTTTGTATTTTCAATATTGCCCGTATTCGCGGTTTCCTGGGAGGTGGAATGAGATGATGTTGAAGTTTGGGGGTTGTCTAGGGCTTGTGGTGGTTTGACAACAGAAAAATGCTTTCCCCGCAAACCATGCATTCTGAGGTAATTAAAGGCATCATCAACAATTGCGTGAGTATTGGTTCCTCCATAACCAAAATTATTAATACTCATTCGGCGAAGACCATCTGTCGGGAAAGGCATGGGGCTTTTCAAAAACTATCCTCGTCATATTAGTCCATACAAAACACAAATACTGGCTAAAAATGGATTTTCTGCTGCGTATTTACCTTGAAGTTATATTTATCTATCGGTATATTTGGATTCGGCACCTGAAAGTCAGCGTTTGGTGGGAGAATACCTTTCTCCAGGACGAGAACGGCTTTGATAAGACTCGCCACTCCAGCAGCAGCTTCCAAATGGCCTATATTGGCCTTCAAGGCACCGATCCAGAGCGGCCTATCAGGTGGACGTTGAAAAGCATTATGAATAGCCTCTGCTTCAAGCGGGTCGCCCACCGCAGTGCCAGTTCCGTGGGCTTCAAAGTAATGTGTGTCATTCAAATCGAGGTTTGCCTCTTCGTACGCTCGTCGGATATTTTCCGTTTGGGCTCGCCTACTTGGCTGTGTGATACCCGGGGTTCTGCCGTCTTGATTTATTGTTGTTGCACGAATGACTCCTCGAATAGTGTCGTTATCGCGGATTGCGTCTGATAGTCGCTTGAGCACTACAACGCAAACCCCTTCGCCTTTCGCATAGCCATTTGCGCGGGAGTCAAAACTATACGAACGACCGTCTGGCGAGAGGAAGCCCAACGTTGAAAGCTGATTCATGTTTACTTCTGGCGCTAAGATGAGTGAGACACCGCCGACAAGCGCCTATAGTCCAATTTCTTAGCAAACTGCTATATTCCGTTATTCTCAGGGAAAGAGGGATGAAGAACCCACCAAATTTGATTCACCCGATTTGAGACTCTGACATGCCAAGTGGACAGCCGCCAAACCAGATGAACATGCTGTGTCCAAGGCGATACTCGGGCCTCGCAGGTCAAAAAACCAGCTGACTCTGTTAGCCAACAGTGACGTGCCAATTCCCGTACCCATATACTTGGGTGTCAATTCAGGGTCACGATAGAGAATGACTTCATAGTCTCTTGTCGATGCCGCGACATACACGGAGGTCTTGGAGCCTTGGATTTTGTCCAGTGGCGTACCGGCTGTGTAGCATGTTAGCATCGATGGAGAGACATTGATGAAAAGCCAAAAAAGCGTATGTTGAACTAACAATTTTCTAGAGCCCTATAAGATGTTTCTAACAAAAGCCTCTGCTGAGGATCCATAGATTCTGCTTCGATCTGCTGTATTGAGAAAAATGGGGCATCAAATGCTCCAATATCTCCTGTGATAAAGTTTCCTGTGCGCACATTTGCCTGTGTCCATGTTATTGGTCATATTCCTAAACATTTTTATAAAATACAGTATCGAAAAAATGATGGAAACAATGAAAACGACCTACAGTGTCAGTGCGGTCTGGGTTTGGATGGTAAAATGCATCCATGTTCACTCTCTCCTTCGGTACGCTCGTCGTGGCATTCCGGCCTCGGTAGAGCATCTTCCAGAATTCCTGGGCTGAGCAGGCATCCTGAGGGAGCCGAGCATCGAAGCCGATGACTACGATGGGATCCATGTCCGGCGAAGGGCGAATATCCTCCATATCGTGATCGCATCAGTTCCGTCTGGGTTTTCAACGAAATTATATTTAGAGACGGTTCAAGGGCGGGCTCTCCCAAAAAGGTCGCGCAAAAACCGCAAAACCGCAGAACCGCAAAACCTCCAATGAGAAGTCCAATTGACGGCTTCAATGAAGAACTCCGACTCTGTACACAACACAACTCATGACCGTGGTTTCTTTTGAGCAGCTTCCTGCTTCTATTGTTCGTTGCTTTCTTCCCAATTGTCGCCAACCGACTATACTTGCTAAATACGACCCCGGTTCAGCCCCGAAAGGAGAATTATTCGATTTAGCGCATGCTCCACGTACAACCAACATCTAGCGTCGTCGGTGGATCTTTTCACCGGCATCGATGAATGATAATTACTGGGGCTACAGCGGTACAAGAGGAAAGATAAGCCTTGCGTGTTGGGAATGTATGGTAATAATTATGATTATTAATTAAACGACACGTCAAACCCAGCCAAAAGTGAATTTGAAGAGAGGAAAAATACGAAGACAGTTCGAGCTAAACCCGGCCGTTGGGTCGACTATCGTAGACTCACAGGCCTAGCGCAGAACTTAGCCCTTAGTAGCAGAACCCACGGACTGCAGAAATACAAAATACGCCCAAACATGACAACAATTACAATAATTACAAACCTATTATGTCCGTTATTACCGGCACGAAGCACCCGTTGCATGTCTGGACTCTGCCCCTTTTGGCTAATGGTCAGGCCAAGCCAATTGCAGTATAACTGTGAAACCAGGCGTACGGACAGCCCAATCATTTCTGCACGGGAGATTTTTGGCGATCTTTCGATTGTGGATTCGTCAAGAGGAAGCAGGAAATGCTGCGGTTCCATCCGCCAGGAAACGCATGTTACTTGAAGAAACGTACGGTACGGTATGCGCAGGAACCTATTAATGGCATCGCATCCCTAGCCCTAATGCCGGCACCCACTTGGCATCCCACATGGCCTAAGCGAGGCGCGTGAAAGGGTGCGTGGATTAATATGCAGTATTATGGAGATTCGATGGTTGGCATTGTATCGCGCGCATGATGTTGCGACCGTGGAAGTGAAAGGATTGTGAAAATAGCATCCGTTCTCCATTGCTTCTCCTTTGCTTCGCCTTTTGTCTCGACCGACATCGCTGTTGGTATCCCTGATGAATACTATGAATACTATGAATACGCATAGCAGCTTTGCCCATACATAACACCGGCCGTAATATAATAATGGCGCGTGGCTCCTGCAGAAACGACGCAATCGATCGGATCTGGGCCCGATAAAGCTGGCCGTCTGCGCCCTCGGCGAATCGTGTCTGGCTGTATACTGTATACTACAGGCACATAATCATGTATCTTTCACATCCCGCTGATGTCGTTACGGAAGTCGGCCAAGACTTTCCACAATTGGCAGGTCTCCGAGCCAAGAGGCGTGAGGCGTGAGGCTTGAGCATAATAATTACACCCAACAATACCATGGCTCACTCGGTCAGAAACTTGGCTAACGGAGACAACCGCCAAGGTCAGAGTCAGACCCTTTTAGAAGTTCCGAGGATTGATCGATCATAGTCACATTAGACTTTTAGAAATAACTAGGTGGCCAGACGAACTGGGACTGCGAATCGCAGTTAGCCCTATCCATTCATGCTGGTTAGTCCTGCACTAGTCTGAGTCCGGGCTGACGCAGCGCACTAAAGTTCTTCACGAATCCGACATGTCCAAGGATTCCATTGCACATCATAAGCCTAATTAAAGGCCCCCAAATCCCCCCCCAGTACACCATCATGCGCTACTGCAACTACCACCCAATGCCCAGTCGCCGACGCGCAGTCGGCGACTGTAAGTGGTAGGGAGTACATGTTCTTTCTGCAACGTACAAGCTACGATCTGCACGATGATCCGCGGCAATGCCTCAGCTGCTGCTATTATTGGAGCGCCCACGGGGTGGTGTGCAGAAGTTACAACCAGCGCGACCATTTTGACGCCTGGATATTATATTAAGACTGCACTTGTGGCTGACATGGCTGGGTTCGCTTATGTGATATTCTTGACGTCAACTACACTTCCCCGAACGACAACTCTCTATCTCATGAGCTTAACTGCTTCATCCGGCGGCACTGTACCCGAGCGCTGCATATAGACTTGTCGCGATGGTGGTGCTTCAAGAGACAGGTCGCCTCACGCTGCGGTTGACGATTGCGATGATTGTCATCGCAGTGCTGTCAGTCCTCATTCGCTTTTTCGCGCGGAGGAAAACACGCACCAAGTTCAAGTTGAATGATGCGTTCATCGTGGCCGGACTATTATCCTTTCTCGGAGTTGAAATCAGTCTCCTCGCAGGTACTATATTCGCGCGATAGACATAGAGTTGGCTGGAGCTAACCCAATACTTGGATGCTTTTAAGGGATATACACTTCCGGCGGCACCCTCGATGAGTCGCAAATCAAAGACACGTCAGACCTGATTAATCTGTTCAAATATGTCTACGCGCTCGAATCCTTCGTTACAACCGCGATCACCTTGATCAAACTGTCAATCCTTGCGCTCTACCGAGACCTCTTCCCAATCCACAAATTCCAAACGTACACCCTAGTTATTGGCGCTCTATGTTTGATCTGGTACATCATATGCTTCCTCATAAACATATTCCAGTGCCATCCAGTGAAGGCGGCATGGCAACTCGATCTGCTGATGAAGGGAGAAGCGACATGCTTGGTTTATGGTCACTATATCATCGGCTACGAGGTTTCCAACATGTTGCTGGACATTGCCATTCTGGCGCTCCCCATCCGTGTGTTGCACACACTACATCTATCGCGACCGCGAAAAATCATCATCGGGGGACTATTCACCCTAGGAGGATTGTATGGTTTCTCAATTTATTGAGCAATTTTTAGAGCCTCGCAGCTAACGTATTACAGCATTATTATCGTCTGTATTATTCGAACCGTGTATTTGAGCGATGCGACTCTTCAGAACCCAGGTACACATCCGTCTCATTCTATTAGTACAGATACATGTACCGGATACTAACATATTTTTTACTATAGTGGCGCTGTACAACGGGTTGAACTGGACATCGGTCGAATTGGCTGTCGGGATTCTCTGTGCATGCATACCAGTCTATGGACCCCTGCTCCCCACGCAACGAGCAGCTCAAGCCCTTAGCAAATGGTCCAGCCAAAAGCAACAAGGGAAATACTTTACATGGGTGTTCAAGCCGTCGTCGAAATATCAACAGTACGATGGCGACAGCAACGAGTTAGCCGGGCTATCTCATCAGCAAATCCCGGAAGAATCAAGCATACGACAAAAGAGGATCTCGGATCACAGCGGGGTCTAATGTCGACTTACGAGGATATAGATAATGACGTGATGTATTATTATTTACCATTTTGTTTTTTATATACCATCTGCATGCCTATCCTGATGGGCCCCTATTTTGTACATATTGCATGAGTCTTTTACTGCAAGCGTTATGATATCAAAACATCACCTGATTGAAAATTCAGTCCTCAATAAGCAAAGTCCTGCGAGTGGCTTGTGATAGTTGCATATACGACCGATACACTAGCAGGGTGCATGCATGGGCTAGAGGCTAGACGAAGACAGCCCCTGTAACAGACAGAAATAGGGAGGGCAGCCCCCACAAAGCCCTAAACCCCGCCCTAAACCCCCTGCAGAGACGCCAGGAGGAATAATGATGCAACGCCTGTCTTGCTAGACACCAGCCACTAAACTAATTATTAACATCGATCGTGGTTGGAATTTAGTACTACCCCGCTTACGTTCTCAGTCTAGCCTCCGCCCCATAATTTTATTCTTATGAGGCTATTTATCTCTCTATCTTCCTCGAGTCTACACAAGAAACCACACGAAAGAGAGAGAATCACAAGAAGAGGGAAAAAAAAAAAGGGAAGAAATGCCAGAGCACTGGGATCCCGAGAAACCACTGGTGGCCCGCCAGCCGTGGAAGCTCTTCTACTCACTCTACTTCATCCTGTCTACTGCTGTCCGGGTCCCTATCTGGGCTGCGACGTACACGATTCCATGGCTGCGGCCGGTACCATCATGGTCATACAAGACCGCCCTCACCGTCAGCCTATGGCGACTGGCATTTCGGTTTCTAAGCAATATCCGCTTTCGCACTCCACAGCCTCTAGAGCCAGGTGCTGAAAAGGACTTGTTTGTTGAGCTCAAACCCGCCGCCGACTTGAAGGCCTACACTGGGCTTCTCGACAACGCCAGCGTCCAGCCAACCAGCGTGGGAGGGTTCTGGCTTCCAAGTCTCGAGTGTTTATCGACCATTTCTGCAAATAACAATGGTAACTCTAATATTGCCTCCAAAAATTGGGTCATTCTCCATTTCCACGGCGGCGGCTATGTGCTCATCTCTCCGCGCGCCTCGACGGCTCAGCAAGGACCGAGGCAGCTCTGTGAAGAGCTTCCAGCTGACGGTGCTCTGTGCCTCTCCTACCGACTCTCCTCGAATCCAGATGGAAGCTATCCAGCACCGCTCCAAGACGCAATCACTGCATACAACTATCTCATCCACGACAAGGGCATTTCTGCTTCGAGAATCCTCGTCTCAGGCGATTCTGCTGGTGGGCATCTTGCCATCCTACTGCTCCGTCATCTCATTGCGCATCCTGAGACGGGCCTGCCATTACCGCGCGCCCTCCTACTGCACAGCCCGTGGCTCGATTTAACAGCCAAGGGCACTGCTGTGGACTACAAACCGGGCTCGACGCAAGACTATGTCTGCGACCCGTTTTTGGAATGGGGCGCCACCACCTTCACGCCAAAAGGCGCATCGCGCGACACAGAGTTTATCAGCCCCGGGCTTTATCCCTTCAAAAGCCCTGTGCCGATCTGGGTATCGTCTGGTACGGTAGAGAAATTGTATGCTGTTGTCGCCGAGTGGGTAGCCAAGATGAGAGATGCCGGTTCGACGATTGAGTTGCATGATATGAAGGACATGCCGCACGACACCTTTGCCGTCTCAACCGAATGGGACTTGGAAACCCCAGCGCGAGAAGCCATTCGCGCAGCGAAGAGCTTTCTGGAGCGTGTTTTGTGAAGGGGAAACCAAGTATTTAGGGTTAGGGTTTTACTCCGTAACACAATGTTTACAATGTCCTCTAATTGCGTCTATTTTGAAATACGTGTGATACGGTAACTTTCTTGGCATACATAATCCCATGTTTCATTCATGCATTATTCCTGCAAGAAGAATTACAGTTTATCGAGCAAGGAACCCCCCGTCGACAGACAAATCAATTCCAGTCACATACCCACTTTCTCTGCCACTTGCCAGCCACACTGCCGCATTTCCAATATCCTGTGGCTGGCCAAGATGGTTGAATGGCGACGCCTTCTCAAGCCAGGTCACGTCGCCTGTAGCCTCGATAATTTTGTGGAGGAAGGGCGTCATGATATCTTACGAATGGTCAGGCGTTACTTTCAAGCCACGAAAAAAAGAAAAACAGCAGAGCCAATCAATGTACTTACACCCTGGCTTGATTGCGTTGCATCGAATTCTCCTCTCTGCGTACTCGATGGCAATTGAACGAGTAAATCCGAGCATGGCTGACTTGGCGGCGCAATATGCAGCTAAGGGAGGAGAAGAGAGGGTCAATGACCATGCTTCTTCACAGACGAGACGTCCAACGGGGCGTGTGTCACTTACAGCATCCCGGTAATCCGGCAGAGCCAGCGACGCTCGAGACATTAATCACATTTCCGCGGAATCCGTGCTCGTCTTCGTCTTGCTTGAGGAATTGGGTCACGGCGAACTTCGTGGCGATAAATGTGCCTGTGGAATCAACGGCACTAAGGAAACACACACGCATTTTAAGCCATGCCAAGTCGGGCTGACCGCCATTATAAGACTGACTCACAAGCATTGGTTCCATTGCGCAGCGGTCATTTCATGGAGAGGAATATCCATAATCCCCGCTCCGGCATTATTGACAAGTCTTTTATCTCGATTAGCTGAAGCATCACGGGAAGAAAGGGGAAAAAAAAAAGGACTACCAACAGGTCTAATCTCCCTGTCCTCGAAACGGCCTCCTGGACAGCATATTCAATGGAGAAAATCCCGTTAACAGCATCGCTCTTCTCGAGACTAATATCACAGCGAAGGAAAATAGCTCTTTCTTTTCCATAGCGCGCATGAATAAGCTCATGCGTTGGTGTATCGCCGCTGTCATCGCTGTCCTTGGCGGCGACCAACGCGCGCGACGCCATCTCGGCACCATGCGATGCCTTCACGCTGGCTCCCAACGTCGACTTGGTGACATGTCCCTCATTTAGATCTGCGCAGACAACAAGCCGAGCACCAGCTGCGGCCAATGCCAGTGCGATGCCACGGCCGATCCCCGACGAGGACCCGGTAACGATCGCTGTCAAGCCTTCCAGCCGAGGTGCTGCCATTATGTATATATACTCTTTTGTCCTTTGGATGAGAATTCGTGTTGGGACTATTGACATACAAGGTCGAAGTTCAAGGTTTGTACCAAGGTGTCCGTTGTTAAAGTTAGATTGATCGCTTAATGTATCCCGCAGCGAACATACTGAGTCTGGATTTGAAATCAAGGCTGCATACCACATGGAACATGCAACACTTTGTACATACGCCACAAGTTCAAAAGGTCAAAAGGGCCATTCATACTATTTTCTAATTTAATGTGTGATGTACGTGCATTCCGCCGGTTTATCGATTTACAATATATATATATATATATATAGAACAAAATAGCCCGATCCAGCTACATGTATTCTCAAGATTATTCTTTTTTTTTTCCCTCGCAAGCAGTGCCCACGGGCCTGTAATAAAAGATTGAAAAGGAAACGGTGCATCCCGACGTCCTTCCCGCTGGGTCCAAGCGGGGTAAATATGGAGTGGAGACTCTGGTATTCGTATTAACATTACACTGATTACACTGATTACGCTGATGACGCCGATTCCAGCCCCCAACGCATTGACTAAATGATGGTTCTTGTTTCTATCGGGATTCGCCGACGCTCAACATTCATGCTAAAAGTACGTACATAACTACATGGTCACACAGAGGAATGCCAGTCCGTGCAATGCCGATCATATCTCCGCTGAAAGGGGAATGCTGTTCGTACTATATGCTGTTAGTTAGTTAACTCCAGTGTATACAAAAAAAAAATGACCAGCTGCAAATCGCCTTGTAAAATATAGCCCCATATGCTAATCGCTTTGTAGAGAGACTCGCCACTGAGATGAGAAAACAAAAAACTTCAATCAAGATCCCCCGCACCTCTTCAACCCATCCCGAACCGCCCTCTGTACCAGCGCAGCCAGTTCACGAGGTTTGCTGAGAAACGGGGAGTGGGAGGTATCCAGGCTCGCGGTTGCAACAGCATCCCCCATCAAGCTAACAAAATACTGCTGCCCAGGCAGCGGAACACAATTATCTTGCTCGGCGAAGATGTATGTGCAGGGTATATCCCTCCATGGCTCGTATGAGTTTGGCATTTCGAAAGATGCCGCGTTTACAGGCTGCAGTTGCGAGATTGCGTGTTCCTGCATCGCCGGTGGTAGGTCATTGTAGAGTGCGTGGGCTGGGTTGCTGATGGTACGATCGTTGGCGAAGATTTGGCCGTCCTGGTGCATGTTAGAAAAAACCTTCATCTTGTACCTCTTTTTTTACAACGCCCATGCCATCCATATTCGATGCAAACTAGGGGATGGTCTGAAAGTGTTATGCCAACCTTGCACTCCCACCACGGCGCTGGGCTTCCCCCACAGCTCTGGACAACAGTCATACCCTCAGGAAGCGCACAAGCAGCGAGATACACAACCATAGTGACACCGCCTCTCTTGCCCGCGCGTTTTCGTTGTGCGTAGCCCAGATCTTTAACCGCGCCAGAGGCGACCATCCCGCCATACGAGTGTGCTACGACGGTAATCGGCTTGCCTTCTTGTTCGATCAATTGGATAAGCACAGATCGAAGGTTTTCCACGTCGTCAGTCAGCGTTTTGGAGACGGTGTTATCTCCTACTGACGGATTGGCTACTGCGATGGTTGACAAGTCCAGCTCAGCTAGTACTGAGCGGAATTGGTCGAAACAGGCTGGTGTATGCCATGCTCCTGGAACAAGGACAATGGATGAGGAGGAGGCCATGGTGAATTCGCTGGCGTCGATTAAGTAGAAGTATGGTTATATTGACATTATTATTAGGTGGTGGATTATTTAGGAATTGAGGATGGGGCTTGCGGGGTACAAGAATAAGAGGTGGTATTGTAATGGATCATTTCTTACGGATCTCTATGGATTCTGCAGAATCCAAGGCTTGGCATCGCATATCAATACTATTTTGAGATATCAGGCTATTAAGTCCTCGTTGAATGCTAGCTTGATAAAAAGTCTTGATCAAATGAGACCATCACAGTCCTGCCAGGCCACAAACGAGAGAATCTGGTGAGTAGTAGCAGCATTACAGAATCCGGCAGTCAGTGCATCCGAGTTTAGGCAAGACAAAGCAATGAGTTTAGGCAGTAGTAGCAACCTCCAACCGCTGGAAACCTCCTTCCTTGGCAATCTTCTTCTGCAACTCAGCCATACGCTTCTGGTCGCCTAGCGGGTCCTTGGAATCAGCATCCAGAGCCCACGAGAGCAACTCATTGGTATAGTTTGGCTGGAACGAGGCGTCCAAAATACCCAGACGCTTTCCATAGTTGGTGACCTTCTGCCAGTCGCGAGGCACGTTCTTTAAATCGCGACTGAAATAAGCGTAGGACCGCTCAAAGATCTTGCGGTTGACCTCCGTGCCCATGATAGGCTTGAAGTCGACGTACTCTTCATACGCCTCCTTCGGGTGGGCAATAACAAAGTCTGTGGCGCGTTTGACGGCACGCAGGAATTTCTTGACTTTGTCGGTGTTTGCGGCGAGGAAGGCGTCGTTGGCAATGTACAGAATCGAGCAGAAGCAGCAGCAGCCAAGCTCGGCGAGCTGGTCGATACGAAGCATTTGCACGTCGTCGCGAGGACGGCCCTGCGATGCAAGCCATTCCTCGAGTTCGACCATCTGCACGTTCTCGAGGCCAATTCCAGCGTCAATTTCGCCGCGGATGATGGCCTTGGTGACGTTCATGCCGCAGCGTACGGCAGTGTAGTCGTCGGGAGTCATGCCGTAGTACTTGGTGAGCTCGTCAATTTGGATCTATATACGTTAATTTGCGGCCTATTACAAATGGTTATATGATATGCTTTGTTCTCACCTTGCCAAACTCGCCAACATAGCCAATACGCTTGCCTTTCAGGGTCTTAAAGTCCGTGGTGATGCCGCTGTCTTTGAGGTAGACAACCCCGGTAAATGGTTCATCGAGAAGAGAACCGAACGAGGTGACAGGAAAGTTGCGGGCTTTGGCCTATTTCATATCAGAGCTTGAATTCAAAACTGGCTGTTCAAGATACTCACAGCCAAGGTATGGATCATGGCTTTGAAACCCATGTCCACTTTACCGCTACCGATGATCTCGGTCACGTCCGACGGGTCGTTGGGCTCTAAGAGGGCCACTTTAAGACCTTCCTCCTTGAAGTAGCCCTTCGATTGGGCGAGGTAGAGAGGAGCATGGTATGGGGTAGCATGCCTGACAGTGTCAGCAATGTTCGTCCAGGTTAATATAGATGATTCTTTATGAAATCCAAAGTAATATAAAAATAACGATAAACAATGCGTGTTCTGTACAAGGTCAGTCCTACCAGTTGGTCAAAAAAGTGATCTTGTCGGTAGACATATTGACAGAATATCAAGATTTCACTAGACACAGTCAGCCAGAATTTAAACAAGCCATCCCCTTTCTTCAAGGGAACAGGCTGCAGAAGAGACGAGGATCAAAGCCACGCATGTCCTTTCGCTAGTATTATCTAGATCAAGTTTTGACAGTATAATCTCAGAACAACCAGGCTTCGTCACGCCGTGGGGTGGTTTTTTTAATCTCCCACGGCACGACGAAACTGATTGAACACCTGTCATGCGGTGTGCAATGTCGGTTATACTAAAAAATACCTTGACTAGTGGTGATGGAGTCGTCCATCTTGGACAGACAGACAATAATCATCGTTGCTTCTTGGACATTACGCAACTCCGACCCTTGCGGGATCGTACCGAAGCTGGGGGGTGTGTTTCTAGCGAGTGTGTATACAGTTAGCAGAGGATGGAATGACTAGTCAGGCTAGGAGGGAGTCGACTTCATATGATGGGTGATACATACGGTTGTTGTTGACTATGTTGCTGTTTGAGCGAATTGTGTAGAAATCGAAATACGAGCACAGACGAGGGGCTCTCTTGGAGAATAAATACCTCACCGGAACAGGCGCGGGGCAGTGCCCACTTATCCGAGAACCTGATCAATTCGGAGTACATCATCATTATTCAATCTGAAAGCTTCCCAAAAATCAATATTCAATAAGGGATGTTTTCGTGCTAAAACTGTTACGTTATGGTCTTCAGACTTATGAAATAGAAGAGAAACAACTACATAGGAAGGCAAATGCAATGGATGTATGGCTGTAAATGAGAAACAATAGTAGCAAACATAGATAGAACTACAAGTGTGGGCCGGGAGATTGATTTGAAAGATAAATTATACTGTGTCAATGAAGCCAAAGATTATTTCCCGTTCAGAGAAACAGAGTCAAGCGGCGATTGGGGGCGGTCGCCCGACTTCTTCGTCCTGAGCGTGAGAGGGTAAGGATACTCGTCTGGTTCCTCCTCCTCACTATATAGCTATTAGCAAACTGATCACTCGATTGTGCGCGAATTCTACTCACGGTAGTTTCCAGGCAATGTAGTCTTCTGTGCCAAGTCCCTCTCGGCCTTCTTGGAGGGAAGCAAAGTCGCCAGGAGTCATCATGCCAGTGCGATCACGCGGCGATCCAGGCACTGAAAGTGGCCGTGAGATCTTTTGGGCCGTGCCACCAATGTAATCAGTGAAATCCTCGTCGGTATCGAAAGAGGTTGGATAAGCTGTACACAATGAATTAGCCACTCGTGGATTCCAATTCCAGAGACGAAATCATACCTCTTCTCAAAGCAAGCTGGCGAGCCTTGACATACTCAAGACCCATGCGCTTCCAGTCCAACAAATCACTCAATCGCTCCGTCCTGTTTCGCTGGTTGATACGTTGGCGTCGGCTCTTGGAAGTGAATTCAAAAAGGAACTCGGAGAGCTGGTTGACAGAGTCGTCGACACCTTTAGAGCGTCGGTCCACGATGTGAATTCCGTAGTCGGAGGAATTCTCGATCAATTCTTCCATGTAGCAGCCAAATCCGGACAGGTTAGTGGTGATGCTGGGAACGCCCATGACTGTACATTCCGCAGGGGTGTAGCCCCACGGTTCATAGTAGGATGGGAAGACACCCATATGCGTACCACGAACAAAATCATCGTAATCAAGCGGTAGAACGGGGTTGGCCGAGTTGAGGAATTCAGGATGGAATACCACCTTGACTCTATCCGTGGGATGATTAAAGAGTTGAACGCGACGGAGCTGATTAAGAATCGGGTCCTCGGAGTCATTGACCATGTTGTGCGTCACGATTGGAGGCAGTGTGTGGCGCTTGAGTGCGAAGACTCGGCGACGGAGAAGAACTCGGTCTTGGCTGGTAATCAAATCCTTCTCATCGGGCATGTTATCGCCATCTTTCCAAGTAAGACATCGTTCAAACAGACGTCGACCAATGCCCTTTTCAACCATCTCCAGGGTATCGCGCAATGATTTGACGACCGCCTGACCCTTCAATGCCTCGACAGTCAACGAGGATGTTTGGGCCGGCATGATAATGAAGGCAACAACTGTGGTTTTAGAGCCGCTCGTCTTCAACCGATGGTTCAGGCGCGCCAAAGACTCAATAAACATATCGACACCCTTATTGCGATACTCATAACGGCCAGCCGTGAAGAGATAAAGCGTGTTGTCCAGGTCAAAATCCATATGTCCGTAAAAGTGGCCGCGGACAAAGTCGTGGATCTTCTCCTTGGCCTGGGAATGGAGATTCTGGAACTCATGCACGGCAGAGAATTTCTTCACATTCAACCCATTGGGCAATACACCATCTGGTTTCCGCTTGAGTAAATGTTCACTCTCGAATGCAGTGATGTGCGACACCGTAGTAAAGACATCTGCGGAGTGGGCAGCCGCTCTCTCGACGCAGTAGCGATGGTAAATGCCACGCTTGCCTGCTTCTGCGTCGACATCGAAATACTGCAGGTTGTTATAGAAATCAACAGACCCGGCACAGAGATAACGGCCTAAAAGGGTCGCGTGCGTTGTGAAAATCGTCGTCAGATCCATGTGACGCTTCTTTGTCAAGGGAAGAGCGACTCCAGCCAGCCATTCGTGAAAGTGGGCGACAATGGCACGTTTCGATTCGTGTGAGATGTACTTAATTATCCACAAATCAGCACACCACACTTGTCCACACAATATACAGAGGTGCACCTACCTCTCCTAGAAACCATGCCACCAAGTAGCCGAAGACAATGGCTTCGTTCGTCTCGTGGTCGCCTTCAGGCGACGGGATACCGGCGATGTTCCAGAGATCGCCCTTCCACTCCTCCAGATAGCGATAGCCAGTGCCAGTATCTATAAGTAAAACTCTAGGCGCACCCTCAATGAGCCAACGGCCGTAGATCATATCAATCCCACGCTCCTTCATGGATGCGATAGTGTTGGCCATGGCTATGTTTGTCGGCTCCAGGACCTCGACTTCGACAGCCGCCTACCAGCGAGTGTATCAATCAGCTTTCAATCTTTTCTTTCCTGCAACTAGGACATACCGAAGCCTTGTTCCAGGGCCCAATGAGTGTGTAACGCTCTCCATACTCTGCGGTGGTGACTGGAGCTTTGGACTTCAGCACTGAATAGATACCTCCCACTACAGACGACGTCAGAATCCATTCACGCAATAAAATAAGCAAAGAGAAGATGCGAGTTACCTCGATTGGCGACTTCTGTTGCGACTTCGAAAAGCTGGTGGTTGCGAGTGTCCCGCTTGGGCGTATCGGAACCATTGGTAGCCATTTTGGATGGCTACGGGCAGGTTCACTGAGCGACACAGAGGGAGAGAGAAGGTGCGCTCTTCAAGCGACACCGGATGCGAAATGGTCTGAGAGATAGGAGGGACAGCAACGAAAGAGAAGGAAAAATGGTGGGACGAGAGGGAGCAGGATCAAGCTTGGTCTTCCAAGAGCCAAAGCTACTGTGGTATCCCCGGGGACGGGCGACTGCGGGGGATTAGGCTAGAGTGGACCCGGTGAGCTTTTCTTTGGCCACAACGAAAAGATGTCGCAACAGCAGCGATCGATGATGGCAATTAAAGGCTGGTCTTGGGATGCAGATTCCGTGGTCGGGAGAGAGGAACAGAAAATTCGGATTGACTTAAATGGCGACCTTAAAAGCAAATTTGCATCAATACGACAGAGGCAGGCCTAGACTGAGCTAGGCCCAAAGCAAGCAAGCACAGACAGACGCTTCTTGTAGTGGAGAAGCCTGGGCTAAAGAGTAGAATAGAAGGAATAGAAGATCCAGGACACTTGTCAGATATCAATTGAGTCAATTGTTGTCAATCGATGCACTAGCCTTGTGGTGCAAAGGCAGCAAGTCTCTCGTGACCTGGCTGCAGGGACTGGACCAAGCTATGAGCTAGCTTGCTGCAGGCCAGTATTACGTAGGAGCTACATATGCATTGAATATGAATATTATTTGATACTGTTTGATAGTGTTTGATACTATTTAATGCTATTCAATGCTATTTACCAGTAACCAACTAACTTACATAATTGAGTACAGTGTGCAGTGCAAGAGGAATGCCAGTGCACAGACCATGCACCATCCAAGATGCAGGCGCCTCTCCACACACGTCATATCATGTGACCGGAGACTTTATCTGAGCAACATCGCGAGCACAGGATATATGATAGGCGTTGTTCAGCCGGTCAACTGATCAATTCATGCGAGGTTTCCCCGCATCCACCGTGCACCAAAGCTGGGGATCGCCCGGACGAATCGAGTCAATCGGCCACCCATCCACCTGCACCATCCTCGAGCTGACGATCCTCTGCCATATCAGTGCTGCTGGCACAGATTCGCCAGGAGATACTATTAAATATATAATATTAAACGTCTCCGTTGGTTCTGGCTGGATAATATCAAATGTAACCAGAATGAGATCCAACAATGCATCATGCAACTCTTCGACAGTCAAACTATACAAACTGTACAAACTATACAAACACTGCAGCCAGCGCAAACAAGTAAAACAGGCCAATGTTACCCGAAAGGCCTTAGCGCTGTGGAGATAATGTGCCATATTTCCGAAGCCTCCCAACAATTCGCCTTATCCATGAACTGTGTATGGTGTTTGCATCAGTTAATCCAATTTCAACTTCTCATCATGGCAGCAATAAATAGACCCGATTGCGCCAAGGTTGATGGCCATATCTGCAGACAAATAACCCCAATTGCTTAAAGCCAGTCACATGCAATCCGCATCATTACTTTTAGCAATAGCACACACATTCCCACGACACACACCCATTCGTCACCTCACACCAGTGAAACAGCTGCTCTTCACCAGAACAATGGCAACTACCATGAAAGCAGTGGTGATCCACACCAAAGGCGGTCCCGAAGTCCTCAAAGTCGAGGAGCGGCCAATTCCCAAACCCGACAATGGCCAGGTTCTCATCCGCGTCAAAGCGTTTGGCCTCAATCGCTCCGAGATGTTCACACGCCAGGGCCACTCGCCAGGCGTCGATTTCCCTCGTATCTTGGGCATCGAGGCCACCGGTATTGTTGAGCACGCACCTGGCGGCGAGTTTGAAAAGGGGCAGATTGTCATGACTGCTATGGGCGGCATGGGCCGTCAGTTTGACGGTGGATACGCGCAGTACACTGTTGTGCCTACGAACCAAGTGCAAGTCATTACGGCTCAGACTCAATTAGGCTGGGATGTGCTTGGGGCCATGCCCGAAATGATACAAACTGCTTATGGTGCAGTCACAAAGTCTTTAAAAGTACAGAAAGGTGACCGTTTCTTGGTACGAGGCGGAACTACGTCTGTTGGCCTTGCAGCAATCGCGATTGCCAAACAACTGGGAGCACATGTGGCCGCCACAAGCCGGAAACCGGAGCGCGAGAATCTTCTTCGCGAATATGGCATAGACGAGTTCTTCGTGGACGACGGAGCCATCGGAAAGCAAATCAAAAACGATAGCCAGAAATTCAATAAAATTCTCGAGCTCGTTGGCACCACAACGTTGAAAGACTCTTTCCAATGTGTATCAAAGGGTGGTGTTGTCAGTCTTACGGGCATTGTTGGGAACTCTTGGGAAATTGACAATTTCGCGCCGATGGAGGTTATTCCTTGGGGGAGCTCTCTCGCGACGTATGGTGGATGGATTGAAGAGTTCATGGAAACTCCCTTGAATGATATTGTCCAGCAGGTGGAGGCTGGGAAGTTCAAGATCAAAGTTGGCCGGGTGTTTCATATAGACCAGATTGCTGAAGCTCATCAGTGCATGGATGACAATACTGCCGAAGGCAAAATTGTGGTTCTTACCGACTGATGTAGTTACTGCTTGAATTCTCTATAATGTATATATACCTTTTTAATATTAACATAAGCGTTAGCCATCAATACTCAGTCTTTCTATTTTTTACAACCACCACGGAATCATACCCTCACACGTTGCTACCTTCTTTTCCAACACCTAGCAGCCCTTATTATCTCTCTAAGCAATCAACAATCTGACTGAAATTATCATATCAAGTAAGGCAATGCCCCTGCGCATTTGCCAAAATTCAACAGCTATTACGCCGGCAATTCAAAGTTGCTACTCACCAACGAGCACAGAGTGTAATTGAGAAACCGGGTGCCATCCTTATTATGCGAAGCATCTCGACAAAGAGACCATACCTATCTTGAACCTAACATCAACCCATACTGGCCTTGTGAAAGTCAAGTCACTTATCCAAGATCTGATCAGCATAAGAAACATTGGACTGAAACGGTTCTCAGCTTAGGACCTCCTCATACCGTCGATAATGATAATTAGCGGAGTTGATGGTCTTTTTAATGACGGGTTTGTGCAATACGAAAATTAAATTTATGGTTCTTAAGAAGTCCATGATCGGTGGAGAGAGAATAATAAGGACATGAGAAAGTCGTCGTATAGCGTTTAGAGATATTAGACAGAAATGATGTCGGGTTCAGAAGCCTAGTAACTAAGTTATGCAATATTGATGTGCAAACTGTTGCACCATTAATACTATTATTAATTTTGTCAGGCCATTTAAGGCCCAGTTAACGACGTCAGCTACTGGAAGGCTGCTACACATATGTGATCTCGGAACTAACTAAGTAATTAATTGCAGCAATAATTGCGACAACCCCCTCATTAATGGATGTAAACTAATTATTGCAGCCTGCACGAGTCCCGACTGCCGAGTGCCACCCAACACTTCATATGTTAAGGAACCCCGCGGGGTGCCCTAATGTCCTGGTGTTGGTTGCAACCTGCTTAACTTCTCATGGTATTGTTCATGAATTCGCCATGCAGGTGTATTGGGACCTTCATTCCACACGGTTTCTCGTGCTGGCCGCCGCTGTATTAGTTATCTCATTCATTTTTACCAGAATTCACCGTTTCCTCAAACACCGTCAGTTCGCACGTCTCCACGGCTGTGAGCCAGTTACATACTGCAACTATGAGCCTTTCCTAGGGCTTGATAGGCTCTATCATTTTATTCGTAACCGCTGGGACCACAATTACCTTGAGACCAGTTGCAAATTTCAACGTCATTTCAATTATACCTTTGGATTGAAAGAGCTGTTAAATAATATCATTTTGACGACAGAGCCCGAGAATATCAAAACCATCCTATCGATTAACTTTAAGCATTATGGTATCGGGCACCGTCTCGAAGTATTTGAACCTCTACTAGGAAGAGGCATCTTCGACACCGATGGCGACCAATGGGCCATATCCCGTGCCCTCATCCGGCCCAACTTTACCCGCGACCAAGTAGCAGACTTGACATCATTCGAGGACTTGATTCAAGACTTCTTCGCATTGATTCCGCGGGATGGGCAGACTATGGTGGACCTGCAGCCACTCTTTTTCCGCTACACTATGGATTCCGCGACTGAATTTCTGTTTGGACAGTCTGTCGGTAGCCTGCGGATGAACGAGTCGGACCTCGGATTCTCACAAGCATTCAACTATTCGCTGCAGTCCATCATGGTGAGGGGTTCTCTAGGGCCTTTTAATCGATTTTACCGCGACCGAAAGGCTGAGGAATGCAATCGTATCTGCCGAGAGTTCGCGCAGCAGTTCGTCGAGGAGGCGATCCATACAGTTCGATCTGAAAAGGATGTAGATAGTAAAGACCCCGAGAGGAAGCGCCAGAAATATATCTTCTCGCATGAACTGGCACGACGCACATCTGAGAAGCGCCGCATTACGGACGAGCTCATGAATGTGCTACTGGCCGGCCGTGATACCACAGCCAGCATGCTAAGTAATTTGTTTTTCATGTTAGCCAAACACCCAGCTGTTTGGGCCAAGTTACGCAAAGAAGTGACTAGCTTGGAAGGCCGGTTGCCCACGTATGAAGAGCTGCGCGGCCTAAAATATCTCAAGTGCTGTATGAATGAATGTAAGGACACTGACTATCCTCATCTTTTGATACTTCATCATCGCTAATTGTCTCGCCAGCGCTGCGTCTGCATCCAGTAGTGCCACTGAATGATCGCGAGGCGCTACAAGATACCGTTCTACCGGTTGGAGGAGGCAAGGACCACCTCTCGCCGGTCTTCATCCCCAAGGGCACCATAGTCGGTTACAATGTATATGCCATGCACCGACGGACAGACTTCTACGGACCCGACGCAGAAGAATTCCGTCCAGAGCGCTGGGAGGACGGGCGACTGCAGCCGCGCTGGGAGTATCTGCCTTTCAATGGGGGGCCACGTATCTGTGTAGGCCAGCAATATGCCTTGACTGAAGTTGGATATGTCACTACCCGAATGGCGCAAGAATTTGAGACTTTGGAGAGTTGTGATCCTGGGCCGTGGGAAGAATCACTGACTTTGACGTTATGCTCCCGCAATGGGACCAAAGTATGTGTCCGTCCGGCCTGAACAGGGTGTTGTCGTGGAATTCAAATATGACACTCTTTAATACTTTGTGTCTTCTCCCTTGATCGTATAATTTTATACTGTGTGTAGGCGTAAATGTACACTCGTCAGGGTCGAGGTTGTTCTACAGGTATATCTGTATCTGTGGTGTTATATATTGATGCGGTTTCCATGGATTCAATGTTCTGTAGTATACATTACGTGTGGAATGGATTGGAAACAAGTGCGACCCATCTGGCATTCGACAATAACCGCGATATCGAAACCATCGTCATATTCATACATATGACGATCAATTAACACGGAGAGGTGTATTTCTGTAGTATATTCTATTGGTCGGCGGTGGGCAGAATAGCGGGCCACCCAATCGGAGCTACCCAAAATTCCGGCCAATTTTTATACGCTTAACAACGACGCATTCTCATCACCAAGTCCCCATTCGGAAACGCAACAACTCTAGTCTGGTCAAGAACATATAACAGTTCCTCGATAGTCTAGTGATAAGTTACAGTCTTAATACTGTTACGTATCATACGAAACTAAATTAACTCCAGGTGATGATTTCCGCTTGTCATTAGTATTACATAAACAATAGCAAGCGCGGGAGACCAGGGTTATCCCGTCAGGGAAGTTTCCTTTTTTTTTTTGGCTTTTCTAATTTTTTCTTCTTGTTGTCAACTAATTACTGGATTGTAAGGAAAAGGAAGTAATAATCCCTTGCTTCAATATATTCGTATTCCATATTAATGGCGTTTTAAGAAAGTTCTTAAATCTTGAAAGGAGAAGGGAAGGAAGATCGATCTCAATACAATATGACTTCGTTACATTTCGAACGACTTGGTGGATTGGGGAAAGTAACCGTGGTCCCAACACCTTGGGGGAGAAGAAGGGGTTGGGAGCATAAGCACAAGCATTGCATTGGCACTAGAAGTATACGCAATGAGCATTTATCGAATAGCCTATGGGTTCGGAATTTCATCTCATGTTTTAGGTAGTTGTCGGAATTATACATGATCTGAAGATACATGTGAATATCATCGTGCTCGCAGCACAGCAATTGGGCGTTGCGAAATGCGATGCAGATAAGTATTACGAGACACCAATTAAACTAGTGATAATTCAGCGTACGGAAACTACCAGGATTCCACGCTGCATATCAACAAATAGATATACCGATCAGTGCTCACGACTCTAAATGTCTAGAAATGATTACATATATGCATGAAAAAGGTTAGAGAGCTCAACGCCAAAGCCCTAGTATATAGGAAAGTAGAATAGAAGAAAAGAATAATGAAATACTGTCATAACAGTGGTGATGTAGAAATAAATATAGATTATCAGAAGAGGAAACTCCTGTACAATGCCGAGGCCGAAGAACAGGGAGAAAAGGCGGATTCATAACTGGTAAAGAAAGTCGGAGAATATGTACATAGCTTCATTCATGACTCGGAGCCCTTCTCCGGCTCCTTTTCTGAGACGACGGTATCCTTCTCTGGTACTGGAGGTGATTTAGGTGGCGGGGAGGCGTTTGGCTGCTCAGCAGCAGCAGCAGTAGTGTTTGTATTACCGTTCTTCTCGGGTATTATGGTTTTCGCGTTGACAACTTGAACGAGAATGTCACCAAGGTCACCAGAGCCTTCAATCTTGCTGACTCGTGATTTAAGGTATTCCACATCGGAAAGCATCCTAAAGATAATTAGTTTAATTCTTCACAGAGAGTATGTGGTAGGGTAAAGCTTACCGTTGTCTTCCGGATTCGGTCTTGACTGCAGCATCCTGGAAAGCCTTGGTCCATTGCTCCTTGTAACTGCTGAAGACCGGACCCATAATCATCATCACAGTCGCGTCTGGGAAATGACGGGCCAGTACACGATGCAAAGTCGCAGTTTCTTTCGTCAATGTCTCCATATAAGTGCTTACAGCCTGTGGATTCTTCTCTGCATCCCAGTCCACCTTTTTCATTGCAACAACGTGACTTGTGGAACGAGAGCTCATGATGTCTACAAGCTTTTCATGAATACCGTTCTGGTGCTCCTGACAGAGTCGCTTGACTTTGTCAAACTCGGCCATCAATTGACTTGACGGTGATTGTCTTCGAATAAACTCTCGTACGTATGGAATAAGTGCCACAATGAAGCTCAGTGCTTGCGAAGAAAGTGCTAAATGCTTTGTGGTGATGTTCTTCAGACCAGCGCTGCGAGTAGCTCCCGCGCCAAGAATTAGCTGTGAAGAACGTGAGTTGAAGAGCTTTAAACATTCCACCAAATTTGACCCAATCTCTTGCGTCATACTGGGAATATTCGCTGTCAGATGTTCAAATTCTTCGATGCTTCTCATGATCGTAGCTGCTGATTCTGGAAGTATGTACCGTTGTTCGTCGAAATTAGCTGTTCGTACTTTCTCCTTGCCTGATCCATTCATAGCACTTGTACCATTTTTAGCGATAGGTTCTGCTGAAGATTCTTCTTGCTGTTGCCAAATCTTCGAAGCTCGCGACCACGTTTCAACCTCCCCTGTACTCGCACGAAGAATCTTATCCAAAACCGCGTTTTCAGCATCGCCAAAGTCTTTAGCGTCCCACCTGTCTGAATCCATGACTTCAACAATCTTGTGACGTTGGCCGTCGCTGAATCTGACAATAAAATCCCGAATCTGGTTATCGACAACAGTCTTCAGTGATGTGCCACTTCGTCCAGATATAGCCTCACATTCATCAGAAAACAATCTATTTAGATAAAAGTACCGCAGAAAATCTTCCACAGGTAAGTGTGATGTCTGCTCTGATCGTACTTTGAGGACTTTGACAATTTGTGACTGCACAATATCCACGGATTGGCCTAACAGGCTCGACATATCTAAAACTTGAAGAATCTCCTCCTGAGCTGCGGCAACATCTGCCGCCCTTCCTTGTGACCGCAATACTTCATCCAGTCCCCTTGGGTCTGGGCTGCGCGGTGGCGATCGGCCAAGGGAGGGACTCGACTGACTTCCAAGTCCGCTGGTTATGTCTAAAAGCACCTTCACTTGCACGCTGAGCCTTCTGAGCGATTCGCTCACATTGGTATATATTTCCTTGAGCATTTCATAGGCATCTCCCGCGTCCATTGCTCGCAAGTTCCGCGCCAAGATTGAGGATTTCTCCTGTGAACTTAGCTGCCTCCCGCCGTGAGTAGAGGCAGACATCACGGATTCGTTGTCATCGTCACTTGAACTGGGAAGGCTTTTTCGTATGAGACCTTTCATTTCTCGCAGAATAGCTGTTTTGAATGATGTTGCTGCTGGCATGGTATAATGCGATCGCCCAAGTCCCATAAGATGGACATGTAATTTTGATCGAAGTTCAGCCCCAAATGTAAGGTAAGCTGGTGAGATTGACGGGGTAGATCTGTGGCCTCCACGGTTTCTCTGGAAAGACACCCCCCAACGCTGTAACGTAATGTTTCCTGGAACATTGTTGATGTGCTGTCTCAAATCTGTCAAAAGATCGTCCAAGAACCTGCTTTCATAGCCCATTCCTATACGCTGTCTTAGTTGCGAAAGCACTTCATCTACGCCTTGTAGTGCATGGAGGCCTCGGAGATCGACCGGCGCTCTTGGTTCAGATTCATATTTTCCACCAGATCTCGCTGCTTGTTCACCCGCAAGTAACCGCTCGACCTCATCCAAGCCACCAATAGCTTCCTCGATGTTTCCCTTTTCCACCAGCTGCTCACATTCGGTCACAGCCTCAACTACTTCGTGTAACTGAGTCATGGCATCGGCTAATTTTCTCACATTTTCCCTTCGTTGGCGCAAATTTACTACTTTCAGTCCACCCATGGCCATTTCCTTATCAATTTTGTTGAGATCTGTTCGCAGAGTTTGTATTCTTTTGACAGAATCTGCAGCTTCTGCATGCAACTCACGCAAGGACCCGAGTGCGGTAAAAAATGACTTGGAAGCGGTCGAAATCGACGAAATGAGGTGAATCTCCACGGTATCCATATACCAAGAAAGCTTCTCCTGAAGAATCGCATTCGTCGCAAGAACTTTTCGTCCGGTGGGCGGCTCCAAAGCGGCTCCATTGGCAGCATTATCCTGGCTTGGAGGTTTTGAAGGTTGACGCACAACCTCTGACCTCTCAGAGACAACATCAAAAGTTCGAGGGTTCTCAAGATGAAAATCTTCCTCAAAGTAGACATTTGGTATCGTCGATAACGGTGTTACCGCCTGCGGACCCTTGCCGTAAGATGAACGCCTCCTCCCTCTCATGTCAAACGGGGAATGAGCGCGAGAGCTTGCAGACATACCAGAGACCCGCCGCTCGAAGGGTGGAGGTTTTCGGCCATCGATATCCTCAAGCAGGGGCTGCGGCGGGTTTGGAGATAGAGCCTTGTTACTCCTGACTAATGGAGACTCATTTTCCTCGCTTCCCTCTTTCGCGCGCTGAAACGATTCGTATAAGGATCCCACCTGTTCAAGATATGGCTGAAATGCCTGAGATTCGACGTCAGGTATGTTTGAGAGTGTCACAGGCGGAATATCCTTTGCGGACGGAGGTTTGTATCCAGTCGCGGGCACTGACGAGTGAGGGACAAGACCGGTGCGGACAATAGGAGGTTGCAACAAAGTCGAAATAGCTATTGGTAGAAAGAAGGCAACAAGTCAGCCCACAAAACCACAAGCTATTCAGTGTAACAAGTAAAGGGCTCTGACTAACCATTCTGTCCGAGTTCCGCTATCGATCCATGATGTCGAGATGAGTCCAGCATACCGCCGATACTGACGATTGAACTGGCAGTCGACGATCTTCGCGGTGGGTAACGCTGCGAGGGAGCGACTCGAGGAGACTCATATTGAGGTTGCTGCCCATACTGCTGAAGCGACGGCGTGGAACTGTATGAGGCCAAGCTGTCGATCGACTTCCGCGGACTCGGAGCACTCATCTCGATCGGGGAGGCCGAAGCCTAGTCGAGGTCATCTACCATGGAACGACTGAGCTGATTGTAATGCACAATGCGATAAAAATCCGTGTATGTCGTAATTAGCAGATATGATGAAACGTAAAACGCCCTTGGCGTAGAATTGGGTGTGAATAACGAGTGTTCATCAAGTGAAGCTATCAGCGACGTACACCAAATGACATTACACCCGATCCGGCAAGGTGTGCCTTGGCCGGCGGTTGTGGTTTTCTGGCCAATCAAATATAGTGTTCATGGCTATAGATGGAGTCACGTGCTAACAATAGTAAAGTCAGAACTACGAACTTCCAAACATAACTGATGCGTCCTCGTTTAGTTTACCATTATGCTTGCGTGGGTGTTTCTCTTAGATGAACACATGGAATTCCTGTTCGACCTTATACATTGCAATGTCAAGATAGAATGGCAGTTGGCAGCTGATTGACGGGAGATACAATAACTTTAATCTCCAGAAGGCACGGGGATTGCTTCTATTGGTGGTGGGTCACTTTTAGACTGCCATGTACTAGGCTCTCTATTACGTTTTTGGTCCTTTTGATTCTATCTTGGACTTCCATCGGTGTTTATCGTCAGCATTATTGAACAGGCAACGATTGGTTGGGATCTGTTATGCCGGAACGAATCCTCTAAAAATAATTTGAAAGTATTTGAATTTCTAACTTGCCAGTTCACAGGGTTTTCCATCTACCGCATCAAACTATACAGGTTCCCGGGGGAAATGTAAGTTGGAGCCTTTCTGATGCGAAGGCAGCGCTGGCCTTTCTTTCGTCGGCAATAATCTATTACCTCGATGGGCGCTTTGCCTTGTTCAATGACACTGATACATAAGATTTAGAGAATGACCGTCTAGGCAATTTTGTAGGGCTAAGATAGCTACAGACTGGCCCAGCTACAGGATTTGTGTAGTGGTCCAGAGTCCAGAGTGCCCTGAGGCAGTGAGTTTGAGGGGTTACACTAATCGTAATTAGGAATCAACATGATCCCTCACATAGCTAGGTATGTGATAGGTAAAAATCTAAATATGAAATTAGGGATGCATCTGGAAGGGAAGATATTTGGTCTCCAAATTGGGTATTAAGAAGATATTCTACCTAGAATGAGAATACAACTAAACTCCATACGCCATCCCGCAGCCATATATGCCTTGAACATCGAGAAGCCCATAAATTATACATCGTCACATCATAGACTACACAAGATGTGTTTCTATACTCCGTTTCGGTAGATTTGCGATCCACCCGAGCGGATGTGAATAGTGTCTCTCCGCTGGAGCACAAGCAGAGCGCGGTTAAGAGCTTGCTCGCTGTATCCACGTCCGTCCACGAACTCACGGCGGAGGTTGGCAAGACTGGTGGACCAGCCGATTGGTAGGCGGCGTTTGAGTTCATCTTCAACCTTGGCAACTTCTTCCATTAGCTCTTTGCTTCCTTGTTTCTCGCCTTGAGTTACTGCATCCATGGTTGATGCAAGGAACAACCGGATAGCTTCGTCAACGTGCGTGGTAGTAGCGATTGGAGACAGAGTGAGCTTAGCAAGAGATTCAGTGATTCGCACGATGGCTTCGAGTTGACGAACGGTAATTGGGATGGATGACCGAGCATTAGCATCGAGCTCAGCACGGTGGACTTGCTTGCGAATGGAGACGAAGTGTGAGGAGAGTTTATCTGCAGCTTCCTCGGACAGTTGAGGGGCGCATCGTCTGCGAAGAACGTTAGATATTGGAAACCATATATCGGTAGAGGTTTAAACTCACGATTTGCAGTAGCTGATATAGCGTTTCATCTTCTCTACAGGAACTTCAGCTTCGGTGTACTCGTCAAGACCCTTGCCGCCCATGTGAATACCCATAACATGTCGCGCTATGCGTTCGTCACGGGTGCGGTCATGATCGTCACGGACAATGAAGATCATGTCGAAACGTGATAGAATGGTGGTCTGGAAATCAATGTTTTCTCCTGGTGACTTCAGATCATCATAACGGCCAAAAGTGGGATTTGCAGCAGCAAGGACGGATGTTCTTGAGTTGAGAATGGTTGTGATACCAGCTTTGGCAATCGAAATAGTCTGTTGCTCCATGGCTTCGTGAATGGCAACTCGGTCTTCGTCTCTCATTTTATCGAACTCGTCAATACAAACAACACCGCCGTCGGCGAGAACCATTGCACCTCCCTCAAGGTAAAATTCGCGAGTGTTGTGGTCCCTTTGGACAGAAGCTGTGAGACCGGCAGCAGATGAGCCCTTTCCGGAAGTGTAGATTGCAATTGGAGACGCTTTTTCGACAAATTTGAGCAGCTGGGACTTGGCAGTACCAGGATCACCTAGCAACAACACGTTGATATCTCCACGTAGCTTAATGCCGTCAGGAAGAATTTTCTTGGAGCCGCCCATCAGCAGACAAACAATAGCCTTCTTGATGTCGAGGTTACCATAAATCGACGGTGCAATGCTTCGAGCTAAAGCGTCATACAAATCGGGCCGACGGCTCATTTCCAGAAATTCTTGCTCCTCTTCTTCAGTGAAGGTGGCTGCTCCCTTGGCTGTATGATCGATGTCGCTACTAATTCCAACGGCACGCAGATATGGGTTGCGAATTGCCACTGCAGCTCCTTTGGCACCGCCCTTGGCTTGGTAGATCGAGAAGATACCCATAACCGTGCAACGCGATCCAGGTACAACTCGATTGGCTAAATACCGATCGGCAGAGATAAGAACATGTCGAGGCAATTCACCTACAGGAACCTGATCCGGAGCTTCCTGTAGCTTGAGAACTTGTTGATCGACGAAGTCGCATTTCTCGTGAGCAATCACGTAAGGATCCAAGGGGCATTTGTCAGACTGATCTTCCTTTGGATCTCGTTTGCGACCGCAAACTCTGGGCAGTGTCAAGCCGGAAAATCCACTGTCAACGGAGATATAATCCACAAAATCACAATTCTTGCAACGGATGCTGATAACTGTGGCTTTCGAGGAGATGGTAGATGCGCCGATCACGATACCCGGTATTCTAACAAGATGGGAAATATTTGTAGCGTTAAGGTCGCGAATAGAGATATGGGAGGCACTTGAATGGAGGAGAAGTTGGTGCGGAGGAAGGGATATTTCTTTTTGAGAAGGGTACACGATGTGTTGGGTACATTGTCTTAGTGCTCCCTCAAACTAGACCATTATCTATCAGTCGCTGCGTAGAATTCTTCTTTTCCAGACTTACCAATGGAATAATGTCACCTGGTTCTGTCGTCAGCTTGTGAGCAAGCTCCTCATTGTATGATATTAAGTGCGCAATGTCCACATCGCAATAGTATTGTTTGATCAGGACATTTTGCCGTAATTGATCTCTAATAAGCTGGTCAGTAAATTCGATTAATTGTCATATGGTGTTTTCTCTTCGGTCATACCTGTAAATGAAAGAATTGTCGAGCTGGAAAGCGAGAATGAATTCTCGAAGCCGAGCCTGGATGGCGACACGAGATTCATCGGCACCATCCTGGCTAGGAGCGAGAACGCTCAAAGTGTAGGGGGTTCGTCTGTCCATGAGAACTTCTGTTTGTGATGAGAAATGACCAAATGCAGAAGAACAAATGCAGAAATGATGGTGAGTCTGGTGGTTTTTTCTTCTGCGATCGTGCGGGGACAAACACTGGCAGATCCTGAGAAGAGTCGGAAACACGAGAACGCGTCGCGTCGCGCGTTAAGTGGTTTCTGTATCACGTGATTCTATACTCAAACAGCGACCATGATTGGTCCTTCATTAGTATTTCTTTATTGACCAGCTATTTGAAAAACCAACCACGCATTTCCCATGCTTCAAGTGCATCAAGGCAACAACCACACCAATTGAGTATATACTAAGCTGATAAGCCAATAACGCTTCAGATTGCCCAAAATTGCACCGTGGATTTGTACATAGTATACTTGTCAAGCTAGGTCCTCGTTATCGCTTAACCCTTTTCGGTTTTGTAAGGAAGTGGAGCTACTTTAGAGCTTTTTGGCTAGCCTGCAGAGAGCGGTGATGTCGGCGGGGTTCTCCGATAATTATTGTATCGCAACTCTGAGAATTGACACATTGCGTGAGACTATCTTTTTATATTATTCATCGTTTAATATATTATTTGACCATTGGTTTGGGTATTCATCTTTATACCGCTCTTTCGAGCCACTGCCTCTCGAACTAGAGTTCTTGAGCAAGAGTGCCAGACCCGCATATTCCTGGCCTGGTTTACCTCGTCGCGGTCCCGATTACGCTTTTGAACTACAGCGAAATTCTATACGGTCACAATGGCTCCTATCATACGAGTAATCGGCTCCCTCAATGCGGATATGGTCTCAGTGACTCCGCGCTTCCCCGAGCCCGGTGAGACAATCACAGCGTCATCTTTCATTACAAGCGCTGGTGGAAAGGGCGGCAATCAAGCCGTCTCATGCGGCCGATTATCTCGTTCAAAGCCATCTTCAACAGCCACGCTGGCTTCAACGACCCCTGTCATTGTCGAGATGGTTGCTGCAGTTGGTGGTCGTGACGGACACTTTCAAGCGTTGCTCCGCCCGACATTAGAAGAATCTGGGTTGGACACGTCGCGAATTCGAATAGTGGAGGATGATTATACTGGTGTTGCTGTGATTATAGTGGATACATCGGCTGGAGGAGAGAATCGGATTCTTTTTTCGCCTGGGGCGAATTACTCAGGCATGCAACCGATCCCTGACGTGATCAAAACAGCGCTGGCAGCACCAACTCCCGATATCATCGTCATGCAGGGAGAGATCCCTATTGACACTGTCATTGGCATCTTGCGGAATGTCAAGGAATTCAAAGAGCAAAATCGACGGGCTGGAAAGAAAGGAATTGAATCTGGGCCGGAGGTGATGTTCAACCCGGCGCCAGCGCCACCAAATGGCCTACCAGAGGACGTTTATGCGACTGTTGACCACTTGATTATGAATGAAACTGAGGCCGAGCTGATGGCTCCTAAAACAGAAGAGTTGCTCCGTCTTGTACCAGAAGCAAAGGGCGAGAGTCTCCGAGAGCAAGTCGCTCGATATTTCCACAAGATTGGCGTTACCTACGTCGTCATTACTCTGGGAGCGAAGGGTGTTTGGTATAGCGCTACTGATGCAGGCAATTCAGGGGCTCCAGATCACGTCACTAGGTTCACCAGCGAGATTCCCGCTACAAAAGTGAGCAAGGTCGTGGACACCACAGCGGCTGGCGATACATTCGTGGGAGGCTATGCAACGCATATCGCACGGTGGAGGGAGCAACGTCGAGTCCAGGGCAAGGCCGCCAACGATTTGGACACGGCTGAAAAGAAGGAGCGGTATGAGATAGTGATGGATGAAGCAATGAAACGCGCCGGACGAGCATCTGCTCGTTGTGTGGAGAGAGAAGGGGCAATGGACAGCATTCCGTGGGAAGATGAAATTTGAAGGGGCGTCAGAGAAGCAGATATAAAAAAAGGGAAAATAATGAATTGGCACTTGCAAGTTAACTGGTTCATTCTGCACATGTGAGATTAGTCTTTGTCAAGTATTGGCATTCAGCATCACTGCGTCGAGTGTACTCCGTTTCAGACGGATATTTCCTCCAGTCAAAGCATGTACGACTACGTTGGCGGCGCTATGATGACCAGTAGACATGAAACGACTGTCTACTGTTTGTCTGTCACTGACATCATTCTAGTGAGATGATAGCGAAAGAGGATAGAAAGACATGGCATAACGCGGTCACAGACCGAGATGGTGCATTCTCAATGAGCAGAGTCGATCAATCTACGTATTGAAGTATGCAAGCCGGCGAAATTAACTTTGTAGCCCATCTCGAACATTAAATCATCGATCACGTCTTGTGGCGATAGTCGAGTCTTGCCGGGTGCGTAGTGGGCGCGACTTGAGGTGCAGAGTGCAGGTTGCATGGCTGACTGACGATCGGATTGCGGTCTGTAAACGCTCAATTGATATCCAGTGGTCCATCCGCAGCCGTCCACGCGAAGTCATGTCCCACGACAAGAAGGAAGGGTGAATGGAAGAGCAATGTGAGACCCACAGGATAGTGCTGCATATCGGGAGCACGGAGGGGTGGACTATGATTGTTGGAATTACGGTAGTTAGTATGCAATAGTACTCGTAAAAACAAGGTAAAAGCAGTCAAGAAGCGTGTGGTGATGCTGCAGGACCAAGGGGGAACAGCCGAAAGGGGAATAGCAACGCGAGCGGCGCAACTTATTTCATCGCTGTAGGTAGTATTATTGTAATTACCTGCCACGGCTCGGTTGTACATCCAAGTACATCGCCACAGCGATCATGGGCAGAGGTACATGTTCAGTACTCCGCAGCAATGCGCGATGACGCCCTCAAGCGCGTCGCAGCGTTCGCGCTAGAACAGACCGGCCGGCATGTCAGCAAGGCCTGTGTCAGCCTGCGACAGGCTTTTTGCCCCTTTTCGTTAACCCTTCTTCTTTGACTCGATCGGGCTCCACCGAAATGTAGAGCAGAGTATTGACTATTAGTAGTACTGTGATTGTGAAGGTAACGATCTCCTGTCTGTAGGCGTACGATCATGGAAGGATCGAATATCAATGTATGTGAATTCAGCGGCGGAAGGAAGTAGGCTCGCAGCCGAACAGCTCCCTGTAACTAGTCAGTACTGCGGTTCTGTACGGAGCAGGCTGTAATCCAGAATTACAGTTCATTCCAGTCCAAAATGCAACCAGCAAGCAGTGTGGCCCAATTGTCGCCAGTGATGGAGAGAGCGCGCCTTGCTTTGAGCCTTGAGCGCGCACCGCAGCTGCATGGTCCGCCGGCGGCGCCAGCCAAACATGACGCGCCGCCGGGCTCTCGCCCTTTCGCTATTGGCAGCCACGACAGCACTACGCGAGGAATCTCTGCTTCCCAGGTCTGTCATGTAATATGCGGTCGTGTCTGCCTCTCACAGTCCCGTAACGTGCATAACGCAGAAACTAGCCAAGCCGATCGATCACGGACGAGAAACCTCACCACGGTTTGCTCTCTTGCCGCCGCGTCGTGCCTGCCTCATATGAATACGGCGCCCCTCCCCTCCTTCCTCCTGCGCTCCTTCCACCTTCCCTCCTACCTCTCTATCTCTCAATCCTTGTTCTTGTTCTCTCCTTGACTCTCTCATACGCACACACACTCTCCTCTCCTGTCGTACTCCAATACCACCGTGTGCCTCGCAAACAAAGCGCTCGCTGCTCCTCCCACGTTCTTTGACTCGAGCATCTGTTCGTGCGTCGCCAATCACCGCCGCCGTGATCGCTTGCTGGGCGCTCGAGTGGAACAATTGCTTGTCTGTCCGCACCTGAAAAGAAAAGGAAGCGAGAGCAGAGCTCAAGGCTCTGTCAGAATCCTACCTAGCCGCTCAATTGCTATTTAGAAGCCAGAGCGTGTCCTGATACTACTGGGACCACCTAGTTACCTCTCCTGCATATCTTTCGACCAGCCTCACATAGCCAATTTATTTCATACCTCCAGACTCTCCAGAGTATCTAGACGAAGAAAATATTCTTTAGAAGTCTTCTCTACGCAAGGCTCATCTCCTGACAATTCGATTCCTTGGACTACAAGAATTCTGGAGCATAAAACTTGATTTGATATCAGTCGAAATGTCTACCCTCGCATTGTCCCCTCTAGGCGTACAGCCTTTGGCGCCACTGGCTCAGCCCGGTCTTCGAGCCCTGCGCCAAACCAAGATGAGCAAGATAAATAGAATGAATGGTATAGTAGTCTTGCTCTCCTGGTGCTCATGCATTTTGAACTAACCAACGTTCAGCCATACCTCGCTCTACCCCTCTCAAATGTTCGATTGTCTATAACTCAGATGAGGAAAATATGGCCCCCACCTCCAAGCTCGACTCCACGAAGCGTAAGCGTACTGCTGAGGATGATGAACAACTCTACGAGTCCCCCAAGGCTTTGAAGACCGATCATGTCCCTTCGGCCGTCACGCTGGACAGCAAGCGTATTGAGGCTTCAACCCCTCGTAAAATCAAAGTAGCCATTGGAAAACCCGCTGGCCGCTCACCAGTAACCAAGCCCCTCAAAGCTTTTGGTCGTCGTTCACAGCGTGACTCGACCATCAAGCGTCCCTCTTTCGTGCCATCATACCGGCCGAGCACAAGCAAACTACAACCCAAGCGTCAGCCCACCCAACCTGCTGGCTGGGCCTTTGATATCCATGTTGATACCCCCGAAGAGGAGGCTACCAACACCATGCAGCACTTTGCGGGTCGTCTTGACATCAGCGATGACGAGGTCGCCGCCAAGGTTGACGACCGCGGCAAAGAAAACATTCCTCCTCATGAGCTTGGCATTGTGATGCCATCTACTCCTCAGCCATCTGTCTCTACTTCTCATGAGCGCAAAAATATGATGGCGCTTTCACGCTCCCCACTAGGTGAATTGAAAGCATCTGACTACTTCCCTAAGGATTTGAAAGATGTTTTCCACACCGCTATTCTCGATGAAGAACCTGTGAAATCTATTTCCAAGATCCCAAGTTCTACGACTGTGTCAAACTCCTTAGAATTCACTGAACCAGAAATTACCAGCTCTGACTTTGCCAATACCAAAGCTGAAATTGCTCTTGCGGTTGGGCTCTGCAGCGTTACCGAAACCCCTCTTTAGGAGTAGCGAAAATATCACTCTGATAGTTGTGGTGATAGGCTTGCAGCTCACATGGCATTGATAATAGCATGGTGTTTTGTCCTTCTATCTGTTTTCAGCAACGGCGCTCAGGTGGTGGCTGTTTTGAATTTTTAATACCCTTGACGAGCATGTTTTATGATTTCATGGTTTTCCATTCCAGCCTCTATCCTATGATGCTGGACAGTGGATTTGATTCGGATGTACTGAATTTCGGAGTTTGGTTGGGTTGCATCGGTGTTATAAACCTGTTCTTTGCCTGCGTTGTTTTATCGTCTTATATGTTCTGCCAGCTACTGTGCCATTTGACAATGTTGCTTGTATTGCTTACGCCTGTATAAGGGATCGGCTTTCTGTTTCTGCTTTCTGACGTTCTTGCTTTCTCGTGAGTACATATTGATTTCTCAAACAGGTTATGGCTCGCGATTATTTTCTAGTTTGTACGATAAATCAATTCAGCAATGAAATATTGAACTTTTTGATCTCTACAACATACCCTGATTAACGCAGGCGGTCCTATCCCTACTAAATCCAAAAATAGCTTATTTATGAAACGATAGTAGCTTTGAAAAGATTGTCTACATCTATTTTTCACATCAGCCTTGTTCAGCCTTGATCGCCTTTTCCCATCGTATGTATCCACAGCTTGCTACCAACTCAACCTCTTATACGTACGCGCTTCTGCTTGCCTTTGCCCTTTCGAGATTGCTGTCTCTTGCCCATTCCCGCACCTGGCCTTTCCACATCCACACCTTCACTTTCATTATCCTCATCATCGTCGAAGTTGCCATTCTCCTCCTGTTCGTCATCATCATCATCATCATCATCATCTTGCTCTTCGTCTCCCTTCTCTACATCCCTCTCCTCCTCTTCCTCTTCCTCCTCCTCCTCGGAAACCTCTTCTTCCTCCATCGCCCGTCTAGCAGCTTCTCTCTCTTCCTCGTCCTCTTCCCTCGTTCTCTTAAGAGACTTGGCGCCGCCCATTTTCCCCATAGTCACGGTATGTCTCCAATTCGCGGACCCCTTGATCGTCATTCGCACTTCAGTCGCCATCGCCATTTCCTTCGCCGTAGCGGTTTCGGGATTGAGATAGAATTCCTCCAATCCTTCATCACGCACATAATCTGGGAAACTCAGTATACACTCGTACTCTGAATCACCAGGCTCCCGGTGCTGCTGAGTCAACGCATTGATTTTCTGGCGTATGATAGTCCTAGCTTTGGCAAGTGTGCCGTTGCCAAACCACCCGTCGCTCAGCGGATCGCATTCCTTGCGGAGGAAATCCGGCGCAGGGTTGGCCGGGTAAAAGATATTTTTGATAATGGGATCGACGATATCGCACAGCATCCAGATCTTACCATCGAGTGGTAATGGTGCTTTGCCCGTCCAGAGGTGGCTATCCGGCATTTCGTCTTTGGTTACTGTTGGGATAGTCGAGATGTCAAGACCACTGAAATCGCGCGACTCGACAGTATCGCGCACGCCGCTGTGGCGTTTTGCAGCGCTCCCGCCGCCGTCACGAGCGACGTCTGGCTGGCGGGCTTGGACGCGGAAGACGAAGGTCTGATATTTACGGAATTCAACGTCGGTGCGCGGGTCATGGCCTAGTTTCACGATGGCATCTCGCCAGGGCCCCGAGCGGAAGGTGTATCCCACGTAGCCAATTGCATAGCGGAGAGAGGATCGGTGTTCGGGGGCTTTCAGGTGGTTGCGTAGTGCGCGACGAGTCCAGGCGAGTCGCTCAGAGAATAGCGCTTCGACGGCGGCTATGGTGGCCCGGAGGTCCGGGTCGAGAGAGGACACTGGGGCGAGTTCTTCGCGCGGTTTGGAAGGAACCTCGGGAATGTCGTACGGTACAAGATGGGCGAGGACCTTGTTTGGGGTTTGCGTGTTGATGGAGCTGATGTTGCCAGCGGTGTCATGCCACATCTTGACTGTTGGGTTCTGGCGGTAGGTGTATTGGAAAGGGATATGCGTTTTACTAAAGGCTGGTGGTGGGATGAGATCGATGTTTTTAGTCTCTCCTTTTTTAGGTCTATGTAGAGAGAGATCAAATTGCTTCATTTTCTCGACTGTATACGTTTGGTCAATCGAAATCTATATGAAATATCACTTGGAAACAAACTCACATTTGTTGGATAAAATCGATTCTCTGAATCTCTGCGTAAAAGGGCTGGCTGTGGTCGAGAACACGAAATCGGGAATACTCCGATAATTATGTGTTCTCTCAACCGCACCAACAGCTTCGACAGAGTACTTGGAGGCATTATCTCTCAGACTCTGCCGCCTGAATGTACAACTCTGTCGTTCTCTTTCAATCTCTTCAGGCGTAGGTTTGCTGTCAGCAAAAGGCTCATCACTACCTCTCTTCCGCTTGCGCCCCGTCCACTTTGGGACAGTGATTTTGAGCAGGACGTTGTTGGTTTGCCGGTTGATTGATTCAATCGGCCTTGCCATCGGGTCTTCAGGCTGGAGAAAGAGCTGTGCCCTAGATGTTGGCTTAGAAGGGTCTAATATCTGTGAGATTGTCAGATAATGTAGAACCAAAAGATTAAAGATACACTGTAAATATACACTTACCTTGGCTAGTCCGGCTTCACCTTGTAACGTTCTGATTGCTCTGTCGACATTTTTGACGATGCCTGGGTGCTCGACAGCAACGATCCGACGCTGTGGCACCTCGTACCAGGGTGCATAACGAGGGGGGATGTTGGTCTCCCCGGCCATGATTCAGCCACTCACTAGTGTCGATGTCAATTTCGGCTTGTTTCGACTGGTGGGCTCAGTTCTCAATTCGATTGTGGCGAATTGGAACTACGTTGACGCTGGGCTAGAGTCAAATTGGTGTTGTTTGCGGGTTGTATAAAATATGCATCGATGCCGCTCAAACAACAGCCCTTTTTCCTGCTTCCATCCTCAATCAGATGGTTGAAGTATTGCTACCGGCCCGTTCCGGATTTTCGATCTGATCGATTGTGCAGTTTTCATAGAATGGTTATGGTATTCACCAGGCAATCGCACTTGATAAACCGAGAAGGTCATGTGATTTAACGACCCACTAATCCGGGATGTTGACGAATCAGATTGTTTGCAGCCTAGAATCTACTGAATATTTCTTGTGATTAATTCGACCACGCATTTATTGGAATAATGATCATCTAAAGAACAGCATTAAACAGACATGTTTAATATAGATCGTCTATCATGAGTTGACTACAATCATGGCGACATCAATGGCAAACTGTGAACTATAGACTGGCTGCAGGAGTATATCCAGAACATAACCAGAACAACATTAAATTCAATGAGGTGAGAGACGCGAAAGCAACAGTAATACCAATTGATATAGATGCGTATTTATTTATTACCGTGTACATAAATCGTCGAATTACAATGAAATCTGTCGCGCTGGATTCAGGACGGCGCCGCCCTCGCCTCTGCTGCGTGAAACAGTTACCCCAATCCCTTTTCTGCCATCAACACAAAAACAAACACCCATTTCCATCATGATTGCTGTCTTTTAAAACTTGATCATCAACGCTGTGCTGCGCCCTTTCCCGAGCCTATCATTATTCTTCAGCGCATCTGATCGCCAAATCATCAGTCGACGACGAATCCACAGCGCAGCTAATCAACTAATTAGCTATCGTCGGGGCCGTCCCCCGCTCCTCACCTGCTAAGCGACGCTGGGACTACCAACCTCCACCGCCGCCCAGACTCCAGCCTGAGAGACTGACTGACTGCAGAGAGACCACGGAGAACCAGGAACGGTGAACAGACTTTACGACAGACAAGCTTATTTCCTGGTCACTTTGTCGCCTCCCCCCGTCCACCACCATCTGGCCTCCAGGTACGTTCGCTTGCTTCAATCATTTAATCCCCCCGAACAACAGTTCCTGGCGACAACCCCATGTTCATCCCTTAAAGCGTGTCGCAAAGATGCTACTGTGATTCCCACTATTTTCATCTGCATTGCGAAGCCTGCCCTCTTTAACCGCCCCCCCCCAAATGGTCCTCTTCCTATTGTCACGCGTCTTTTCCAGCACCGGGCTCCTAATTGTTGTCTGCAGGTAGGACTCCGGGCAGCCGTGGTCTTCGATTGTGTGTCTGCCATTACCCGTTCCACCCCTCCTCCGTTTCCCCCATATCTCGGTTCAGAGTCGGCGAGACGTCGGGGCACAAGACAAAGAATATCACGGCACGAGAGAGAAGATAGTTCTACTGGCAAAATGAAAGGATTTCGGCAGAGAGTGGTGAGTGCCGGTCTTCGCCGCATTGATTGCTGTGAATCAACAGTTGGTGTTGCTGGAGCTCTCAGTCTTGCGGACTGGCTGCGCCAATAACTCGACTGGCAATGTGTCCCGGATAAACGCTAACTGTCTCAGCACGAGCAGCTCTCGCGGGCAAAGGACTCCAATAAGTCATCAAAGAAACGAGATTCCAATAACTCAAATGCCTCGTTGAGCCCTGCCCACAATGCCCAATCGTCCAGCCCGAATCACGTCACGCCTACCTCGTCAACAACGTCGGTGAATGATACCCGGAGTACCAAGTCAGATAACCTATCCCCAGCTGCCGCCAATTCAGCCGCCGTTCAACAGAATGTACAGGCTGGTCAAACTGGCGCAGGACAACAATTTGTACCTACGGCGCAGACCATGGCGGGCCAAGCAGGGAATATCCCCGGCACACCGACTAGGCAAGGCCAGCAACCCATTACCCCGAGCGTTGTGATCAGTCCGAGCGTGCCTGTAAGTTCTACAACCGATGGGAATGCTCTTTATTCGTATTGTTTCTAATCTGCATGGGTATAGCACGTTCCTCCTCCCGGCGCCGCCGAAACCATGCCTGGCGACCTGGCACCTCCGAAAAAATCACATGCCTTCGATAGGCTCCATTCGACACCAAAGGACCTGTCGGAGGGTATCAGGACTCCAAAACGACAACATTCATCACGATTTGATATATCCGACCAGCGCCAGCGCGAATTGGAGAAACTCCCAGGATTCCACGAAGTCCCACCAAACCGTCGTCAGGACTTGTTCATGCAGAAAATTGATCAATGCAATATTATATTCGATTTCAATGATCCTACTGCAGACATGAAGTCAAAAGAAATCAAAAGGCTAGCACTTCATGAACTTCTTGACTACGTTGCAAATAATCGCTCAGTTATCACTGAACCAATGTACCCTCGCGTGGTCGATATGTTTGCTAAGAATCTTTTCCGCCCTATCCCACCACCTGTCACGCCGCAAGGAGAAGCCTTTGATCCTGAAGAGGACGAGCCCGTCTTGGAAGTGGCCTGGCCCCATATCCAGGTGGTTTACGAGTTTTTCCTGCGCTTTATTGAGAGTCAGGATTTCAACACCAATATTGCAAAGCAGTATATTGATCACCACTTTGTCCTTCAGGTGAGAAGAATTGCGTTGATGATGCTTTGTGGAATCCTGGTTGACGAACTGACAATGATATGTAGTTACTCGAACTGTTTGATTCCGAAGACCCCAGAGAGCGCGATTTTCTGAAAACAACACTACATCGTATATATGGAAAATTCTTGAATCTGCGATCCTATATCCGACGCTCCATAAACAACGTTTTCTTCCAATTCACGTATGAGACTGAGCGGTTCAATGGTATTGCGGAGTTGCTAGAAATTTTAGGGTCTATTATCAACGGATTTGCCCTTCCGTTGAAAGAAGAGCACAAGCTTTTCTTGACCCGAGTGCTTATTCCGCTCCATAAACCTAAGGGCTTAAGCATGTACCATCCGCAATTGGCCTATTGCATTGTTCAATTTTTGGAGAAAGACTCGGCACTCACTGAAGATGTTTGTCTACACCAACTCGAAATATTTTTCTGGCTATACTAACTGTTAGTCAAAGGTTGTGCTAGGACTTCTTCGCTACTGGCCAAAAGTGAATAGTACAAAAGAGGTGATGTTTTTGAACGAAGTAGAAGATATCTTCGAGGTCATGGATCCGGCAGAATTTGCGAAAGTTCAAGAGTCCCTTTTCACCCAGCTGGCAAAATCAGTTGCCAGTCCTCATTTCCAGGTTTGTCTTTTTATTCACATTTAGCCTAAAAATATTTGTTGTGCTAATTCTACTTGAAGGTCGCGGAACGAGCCTTGTATTTCTGGAACAATGAATACTTCTGCAACTTGGTCAGCGACAATGTTGAGACCATTTTGCCTATAATGTTTGCCCCATTGTATGAAAACTCGAAGGGCCATTGGAATAAGTATGTTTCATGATCAATAGCTACCCTCAGTATTGCTAATTCTGCTTAGGACAATCCATAGTATGGTGTATAACGCTATGAAATTGTTCATGGATATCAACCCGCAGCTGTTTGACGACTGTATGCAAGAGTATAAAGACCATCAAAACGGCGCAGATGAGAGGGAAAAGTCCCGTCGTCGACGATGGGATTTGGTGGCAGAACAAGCCGAGAAACAGAAGAATGGGTCGCCGCCCATCCAGCAGCCTTCGTTAATCAGTTCGAACTCTGGCAAAGCGGAAGAAATCGACCCGATCACACAAGATAGCCAGAAGCGAATGAACGCTCTTAAGCTTGATGAAACGACTACACCAAAGGAGAGGAGCTCGAATACGGTTAGTCACACCTGACCTTTGTTGCTCAGCACAGCATATGTTGCCTTCCTGACTTGTCACTTCCTGTGAATGCTAAGATACCGTTCTTTGATGTTTGAATAGTCATTATGATTCTAACTGTGAACGTCCGTTTGTTCCAGAGACGGCGACGAGGCTCCATTGAAGGTAGACGACGTAGTGGCAGTGGCAGTGGTGTTCGGATGCGGCGAAGCTCTCTCGGTGGCTCCTCTGGCTCTCCAGCCGCCTTTCTGTTGGCACGGAGCAATTCAACCAAATAATTCCATAACGAGTATTGCTCTGATATTGTTACAGCGGCTGCGTGGAACTTGTTATTAGATACGACCTGTTCGTTTTCTTTTTTCCTATTTTAGGTTTCTTATGATCACAGGAGTCACTCCTATTTTGTTACCCGGTCACACTTTTTCGTGTACATGGTTTTATGACACACACACACACACACACAACTTTGCTTCTGCTATCACAACTGCGAAGCTCATGGACACAGCGATCTACTGGAGCGCGTATTCCGACTTGGACTTTCTTCAGATAATGTTCGGGCGTGGGAAAACGGGATAAATGGCGTTTTTTATGTCCAATGTAGTACATAGATACTTACACGCAATGGACGCACCTCTGTTCTTTTGTTCTTTTTCTCTCTCTTCGTTTGACGGTTTTTGCATATTAATTTCAGATTTGTATTTTCGGGGGACTGTTGAATCTAGCAATGCAGTTGACAAGCTTCTGTGGTGAAATATAGGCAAAGTAGCAAATTGATTGGGTAAACGTTTGGGTATAAAGCTAGCCAATCATGATACCAGAGTTGACATTTCGATGTTATCAAGGCCAACAACATTGAAAGGTCAAAGCTACACTGTCCATTCTATTCTCTGTTTGACTCGTTCAGCAATAGAGGCTAAGAAGGGTTCAATGTTGTAGCGACAACCTTTGATATTTATTTTGTTTGTTTCAATGTTGTTTAGTTAGTCAAACATTGAATGTTTGACCCGGCTTCGCATATCAATCAATTGATTATGGCTACATCAAAAATATCAGTGATAATTCCAGACTCGTAGCAGCTACATATGTACGTATATTCCAGGAAATTTTATGGTTCAGTAGATAGTAGCAATACTGAGGTCCCTGGGACGTTTCTACTCTGGCTATATAGTTCGGAAATGCATTATGTATTCTAATGCTATGTTGACTAGGAGAAGTCTGGTTCGCCCATAATAGTTTCATACCAATCCTGTGAGATCTTCAGAGCTTCGTGTTTCTCACCTAGTATACGCCGCTCGATTTCGACGACTTGACGCATGATTTGTATTGCTTCATTCTTATAGTGGTCCTCCTTGCAACTAGCGTATGGCACTGGAGCAGCTTCAAGGGCTTCAAGGGCAAAGTAAGAGTAACATATAGCCAGTTCCTGCAGCAACTCCACCAGTTTAGATTCACTATCTTCACCCCGTGACTGCTTCTGGATCCTGACCACCTGTTCTAGCTCAGATATTGCTGCCTTGACATTACCGTTGTGTTGCAAAATCCGAACAGAAACTTTGTCGACACTTAACCACTGCTAGCCGTTTAATTGCCATTTAGTGAAACAATAGCGAAAAAAATATATCAACTTGCAAACCTCCTTGTCAGCTAGCAGCCAGCAACAGGTTACTAAGATACGACATCTCATCAGCCGAGAATGCTTCATCAACTTGATCATTTTCCATAAAATTAAATTCCGCAGATGATGCCGGAGCTGCTGTTTGTGTTTCCGCCATAGGATAGTGTCAACACTGGAGAAGGTGAAGATGTAGATGGATTAAATCCAATATTCATACAGCTTCTCCGCATGGACGTGGCTTCTCGCCCAAGTAAGAACCAAAGGGTGAATCGAGACACCTAAAAAACCTTCGTTAGTATCAGTCAACACGAATGAGAACTTTTTAAGAAGGTGGATCGCTTCGATAAGCCGAAACGAGTCCCAATGCGAATGCCAACTTTCAACGATTGATAAGAGATATCTTGGAGCTGTATTATTGTCCCGCGCCAATGGAGTCAAGCCCCTTTTCTTCAACCAAGTAAAGTCCCAGTGCGTCAATGGGGGCCCGTTCTCCCGTGTCAACCAAGTCAGGTCATCTTCGCTACGTTCCTTGTATACTTGAGCACCTTTATACGCCGCTTCAAAAAATTTCGCCAAAGGAAGATAATTTGCATCGCACAAGGCCAGGACTGACAATAAATCCAGCGCGTCATTGGCAGATTGTGTGCCTAACGACTGGAGAATATTGGCTGAAGCCTCAAACGTCGTATATACATCTCTATACCGTGACTGTACTGGAGATAGCTGAAATGTAAGGATTCGCCTCTGTTGCTGGTTAAATGCTTCTGGAAAGTCTTTCAATGTGCAATGACCGCGCGAAATATACATCCCAGCTTGGATCAATGCAAGTGGGTGTGATCCTAGAATGTTTGAAACGATAGAGGCATCATTTCTGAGTGCCTGACCACGACCAGAAGGTACATCGGCGGCTTTGAGTAGTAGCTCACAAGCCTCAGCATCTTCCAATCCTGGAAGATGAATGCACTTCGAGGTGGTGTACTGCTGATGGTCGCCATTGCGAGATGTTAATATCACCACACCCGATATACTCGCCGGGAAATATTGCTGATAGCCAATTTCGAGATTGTCGGCTTCGTCTAATATTAATAGCCAAGATTCTTTCAGGTTGGCAAGACCTTGCCGAGCATCTTGCCATGTCTACCCTGGGGTGCGAAGACGGCTCGCAATACTCAGAAATCCAATCTCAGCTGAAGATGCAGTGCTAACATCAACCCAAAAAACACCCCAAAACCTGAAATTTTCAGCAATGGAAGCCAGTCGATGTGTCATTGCACTCACGATTGACGAACACGCTGCGCCAGTTCGAAGCAGATTTCACTCTTGCCCTGGCCGCCAACGCCGGAAATGACAATCGAGTGATGATTGTACCGAGAATTCTTACCGCATCACAAACAACGTTTTCCAGCTCGCGAAGGATGCGATCCCGTCCGGTAAATATAGTGTTAGTAGAGCTAGGTATTGCCCAGTGTACAGGATTTGATTTGGAACCTACGGGTATCAGCTCCTTCTAAGAGGATTTCGAGTCAACGGTGATTTAGAATTGCTACTAACCTAAATGTTTCTGGTTTATCGGACGTCGAACAGGCTTATCTCTACTCCTCCACTCTTCTAATACAGCCTTCGTACATGCAGCCGCCGTAATTGCAGCGTATGGTTGCCACTGCTTATCTTTGTGGCTGTCAGCGTAATCGCACACAGTTTTTATCACAATCGTGGGAACATAATCCCAAGTTCCTGCACTCTCCATGTCAAATCCAATCACTCCTTCTTCTGCAGCGATCACATTCCGATCCTGCCCGCTCTTCATCACCTGGTTGCTGGATGCCATTCGGCCAAAGTGGATGTAGGGATTTCGTGCTTCTTGAATTTGAGCAGTCAATGGCATCCCTACTACCTGCTGAAGACGGTCACGTTGAATCAGTCGTGTCTCCTCATTGCAGCCTAATTCAGTACAAGACGCCTTCAGCACCTCTTCGCACACATCATCACCAGAGGCTTTGCATTTATCACAAATGGGGCAATGTCCCTTCTTCCAATGTTTATGAGGAATATTGGCCTTATATAGTTGATCGTTCTCAGGACCTGGGTATACTGATTTTGAGAACTGCTTCTGAGAACAATGTACGGAAGAATAAGCGCTGGTCTTTGCCTTCAGTCTCTCTGAAACAAGGCGCCCTGACATCTTCTCAATAAAAGCCCTGATTTCCGGACTCGCTCGACCCAAAGTATCTTCCATCCCCTTCTTGTTAAGGACAATTGGTGTAAGTGACACACAGTCACCCACTGATATATTATAGTATATTGCACAGTGCTACACTCCGAGCTAACTAGCTATCTAATCGGTTCATATATTGCTTAGGGTGTCGGCTTCTCGATGCCTAAGGCATAAAGTCATGTGCAGCAAAGCTTTTGTGCGCTTTTATATCAAATACCTTCTCCTTCTATTTTATCCCCCAGTTAACCCGAACTCACTATCATTGAGGTATCAATTGACCCATGTGCGTTTTACCCCAAAATCGGCCTCTATTTATCCACAAGGCAACTGTAAAGAATGGAATTCATTGCCAATTTATCAATGACTATGTTGGAATTTTAAAGATATTGAAATATATACAGCATTGACACTGTTTTGGCTTTGATATTAAGTTATTCATTGTTTATTTTATAATTTACCACTAAATATGATTTTTTAACTACTGTGCACATGTATTATTCGGTCCCTGGCTGAATGGCGCTATTCCTGAAACTGTACGTACCAGGCCATTATAAGGTTAGAACCGAACTTTATCCGCCTGTGGATCCGAAACCGCCACCTGCACCTGCCACCTCCGCAGGCAGATATCTAATGATTACACTGACCTTGAGATTCCTTTCTATGTGCTCTCTCGGCTGTTACTACCACGAGCACTACTCGTTATATACCTAAGACCGTTTCCACTGTGGCATCGAAAAAATAAAAAGGGTTTATTCTCGACTCCTTCCTCGGGCTTCCTGGTTTGTAAGAGTGTCGTCCTGGTGCCGTCTAGAACACGGTGTTCCTTTCTGACAACTGTGAAGCGCAGGACCGAATTTCCTGTTCTTTCAAATGGCTCTGTTTAATCGCAAAAACAATTATGGAGGGTCTGGAGAGGCGCCTCCTATGAACAATTATGGAAGACCGCCTTCTACGGCAAGGAGGCTAGTACGTGATGGCCAAGATCAAGGCCAAGGGGCCTGGAACTTGAGAGCTACGAAGAACAAACCCTTGCAATTTGAAAATCGGTAAATGAATCTGCTGGAATTGGAAATATTCCTGTTGCCGCTAACATGACTCCTAGGGTCCTTGTCACGTCACTGGACTTTCCTCCATCGAACCTCGGTAACGAGTTCTACCTGCTTGTCAAAGATCGCTACGTCTTCACCGCACAAATTCAGGAATCAATCCGCAATATACACCCTGAGGATAAAGTCTCACAGGGGCAAATCGGCTTCGGCGAGCTGCAGAGGACCTGGGCTGGAATTGGCTTGACGGATTCAGTGAAGGTACAGATTTACAAACCTTTTAACCAAGAGAGGGGGGTATACCTTGGTGCTATCAACATAGAAATTGGGTTTTATAAAGGAAGAAGGACGGAAGATCAATATGACCAGGATGACCTGGCAAACGTCATCAAACAGGTAAGTGGCTATTGTTGCTGTGACTTAGTTTGGTGCTAATGGTTGTAGGAATTCCAAAACCAAATCTTCGCGCCTGGCCAAAAGCTGTTAATGTCACATCAAAAGATTCCTCTTGCCTTGACTATAAAGACTGTCGAGTTGATCGATTTGATATCTGAGAAACAGACAGATGCGGCGGAAGGTGTTGGCGTTACATCTGACGCTTCGGCACGGGGTATTCTCACCCCTCATACCGTGATAAACTTTTATTCGGATGGGAAGGGGATAAGACTAAAACCTTCAGACAGCAAGCCTCCTGTAAATGCAATCATTCGGCCGGATTTCCAGTTCGAAACCCTGGGCATCGGTGGTTTAGATTCAGAGTTCAGCACCATTTTCCGTCGAGCTTTTGCATCGCGAGTATTTCCCCGTGGTTTGATTAACAAGCTGGGCATTCAGCATGTCAAGGGTATTCTTTTGTATGGTCCACCTGGTACTGGTAAAACGTTGATTGCAAGACAAATTGGCCAGATGTTGAATGCCAGGGAGCCGAAAATCATCAACGGCCCTGAAGTTCTTAACAAGTATGTCGGTCAATCTGAAGAGAACATTCGAAAATTGTTCGCCGATGCAGAGAAAGAATATAAACAGAGAGGTGACGAAAGCGAGCTCCATATCATTATTTTTGATGAGCTTGATGCTGTGTGTAAACAGCGTGGCAGTGGAGCTGGAGGTGGTACCGGTGTTGGTGACAGTGTCGTCAATCAGTTGCTGTCTAAACTGGACGGTGTGGATCAGCTCAATAACATTCTTCTAATCGGTATGACAAACAGGAAGGACATGATCGATGATGCATTATTGCGTCCAGGTCGTCTGGAAGTTCATATGGAGATCTCTTTGCCCGACGAAAAGGGACGAGCTCAAATTTTGAAGATCCATACTCAAAAAATGACGGAAAACCATGCGATAGAACCCGATGTCGATCTCCAGGAGCTTGCACATTTGACGAAGAATTACTCCGGCGCTGAAATTTTTGGACTTGTCAAGGCTGCGACATCTTTTGCCTTTAACAGGCATGTCGAGCCGGGTACACTTGCTACTGTTAAGAAAGACGTTGTTGATCTGAAAGTCAGACGCGACGACTTCCTCAATGCTCTTGAGGAAGTCAAACCAGCATTTGGTGTTTCTGAGGAAGAACTTGAGAATTGCGTGCAGCAGGGTATCATAGACTATTCTACGAGGATCAAAGACATCCTCGAGGAAGGCCGTCTCTTCGTCAACCAGGTTGGAGCTGCTGATGCTACTCCCTTATTTTCTGTCTTGTTCCACGGTCCTTCGGCCAGCGGTAAGACAGCGCTTGCGGCAAGAATAGCCATAGATTCAGGCTTCCCCTTCATTCGACTCATTAGCCCTGAAGATATGGTCGGTTTTAATGAGCCGGCAAAAATCCAGCATATCACCAAGGTCTTCACAGATGCATACAAGAGTCGTACAAGTATTGTTGTGGTTGATAATATTGAAAGAATAATTGATTGGGTTCCGATCGGTTCTCGGTTCAGCAATTCTGTTCTTCAAACCTTAATGGTCTTTTTGACAAAGCATCCCGCAAATAGAAGGCGGCTGTTGATCCTTGCTACAACTACGGAACGTTCTCTTTTGCGAGAACTGGACATGTACAACTCGTTCAACGCCGACATCAGGGTCCCAACCGTTGACACACGTAAGGAGCTGCAGTATATCCTTGAATATTCAGAAGCGTTTGAATCCAAGGAGATTGAAGAAATTCTGGAAGGGATCTATGGCCTTGACAAAGACAAGAAGATTGGTGTTGGAATCAAGAGGATTCTACTGGGCATTGAGACAGCCAAACAGGACAAGGAGAAAACAACACGTTTTATTAATGTCGTCAACCGCATAATGGACCAGGAAAGAAGCGTGAGCTTCAGAGGGTAAACCTGCGACATTTTTTTTTTTTTTAGGTACATACCATAACGACAACCTGATGAGATGGTTTGTTTGGGAAGCCTGCGTGACCTTAGGCTTGCAAGAATTAGGTAAATAGAGGCTGTATTAAGCAGCGGATATGAAAGACTTCATAGATTACTCGAAATGCAGCTGTTGAGTTTCACAACTACACAAATAGACGCATGACCAACAATGAGTATGCGCCCGACGCTGTAGGAATAGTGTAACCCGATTGGCTAGTAGCTAGACAGCCAGCTAATAGCCGCGCGGCAGAGAGAACAAAGCCGCGGGATTGGCGCAGTCGGAATGGAGAAACCATGGTCCGCGAAATTGCCGTATTAGGAATAGCGCACTCGTTCAGGGTCTCCGCGATGCCCGCGAGCGCGCTGGAAAAGAGCCTGCGGGCGTGACTCTCTCTGCGCAGTTGCTAACTCGGAGCCTGTCGCGCTTGTTTTTCGCTTCTGCACTCTTTTCCACCAGCTCCTTCCTGGTGATTATTGATGTTCTTTTTCTTTCGAAGATAAGAGCGTTTAATGACTTTTATATTTTTGCAATTTGTCCTCCTTCCCTATTAATAAATAATAAGTCGTCGCACTCCGCTCGCTTTATATCCGCCGGAGCTATCAATCTATCAGACAAACCTATACGGGCTTGTGCCCGGCACACGCATATGAGCCACGATTAACGGAGAGGGTTTGACTCCTCTAAAGCTTGCCGGCCCCGAGGCCTGGCTATTTGAATTGTCAGCTGAGCAACGATCCAGCGCTCTACCGCAACCGCAACCATGGCGGAGCGTGGCATCGACCTTTTTGTTGACAGGCTGAGCGATGACAAATGGGGTAAGTTGCCAGACAACCGAATTAATTATCCAAGATATTCTGTCATGAATTGAAAGTGATGGGTTTGGTGAGTTGGCAACTAACACTTCACCCAGATACGTCGAAGAAAACCAATGTCGCTACTGAGCTTCGAGACAGCATTGAGAGCTATTGCTCCAGTGCAAACTATCCCACCTTTCTTGCCAAGATATGGCCGGTCTTCAAGAAGATCCTCAAAGGTGATCCGGTTTTTACAAACCTGTCATACGAACAAGTGAGGAACCCAAACATCTATATTCTTCTAGACATGGGAATGGAAACTAAACTAGTATCCTCACTTTAGAAACTGCGAAACTGTCTCCTTGAAACATTACATCGCCTTCCTACCGCCTCCCCTGATGTGGAGCCCTATGCGGTCGATATGGTAGACACATTGATGCAGTTGGTGAGAGTTGAAAATGAAGAAAACGCCGTGGTGTGTATGAAAATTATTATGGATTTGGCGCGGAATCAAGTCAAGGCAACCGCGCCTCGAGTGCAGTCATTCCTTGAACTCATCCAGGAAATGTTCCAAACAATGGAAGAGGTTGTGCGGGAAACTTTCGATACTCCCAACCAAGGTGGCACACCCGGCATGCCGTCTACTCCAGGTGCCATAGCTCAGAACTTTCAATCTCCACGGCCGTCTTCTCCCAGCACGTCGGTCTCCGATCTAGCTCCTGACCAGCAGGCAAATCACCATCTACAAAAGGGCATGCAGTCGTTCAAGGTGCTGGCAGAATGTCCGATTATCGTGGTTTCGGTTTTTCAAGCGCATCGTACTTCTGTGACCGCCAACGTGAAGTTATTCGTTCCCCTCATTAAGAGCATATTACTATTGCAAGCTAAGCCGCAAGAACGCGCACACGCAGAAGCTGCTGCGCAAGGGAAGTTATTCACAGGCGTCTGCAAGGAGATTAAGAACCGGGCTGCTTTCGGAGAGTTCATTACTGCTCAGGTCAAAACAATGAGCTTTCTCGCTTACCTCCTCCGTATGTACGCACAGCAGCTACAAGACTTTCTGCCAACACTCCCCAATGTCGTTGTTCGGTTATTACAAGACTGCCCTCGTGAGAAGTCAAGCGCAAGAAAAGAGCTTCTGGTCGCTATTCGCCATATCATTAACTTCAATTACCGAAGGATTTTCTTGGAAAAGATCGATGAGCTTCTAGACGAGCGAACACTCATCGGCGATGGTCTCACTGTTTACGAGACTATGAGACCCTTGGCTTACAGCATGCTAGCGGATTTGATACACCACGTACGAGACCACCTTACCAGGGATCAGATTCGGAAAACGGTAGAAGTATACACAAAGAACTTACATGATGAGTTCCCAGGAACTAGTTTCCAAACAATGAGTGCTAAACTTCTATTGAACATGGCTGAGAAAATTTCGAAGCTCGAAGACAAACAAGATGCGCGATACTTCTTGATTATGATTCTTGACGCAATTGGCGATAAATTTGCAGCCATGAATCACCAATTCGAGAATGCAGTCAAAGTATCCCAGGCTTTCAAGAAAAAGAACGATACAGGTTCCGATAATTACCTCGTCGATCGTGACAGCCCTCCTGACTGGGACGAAATCGATATATTCTCAGCAGTACCCATCAAAACCTCCAATCCCCGGGATCGTGGTGGAGATCCAGTATCTGACAACGTATTTCTTTTCAAGAATCTCATTAATGGGTTGAAAAACATCTTCCATCAACTAAAGAATTGCAACCCGACCCACATTCAGATTGATCCCAGTAACATGCCGGTCAACTGGGCAGAAGTTTCTTATGGATACAATGCCGAGGAAGTCAAAGTTATCAAGAAGCTGTTCCATGAAGGTGCCCGTGTTTTCCGCTATTATGGCGTTGACCAGCCTTCTCCCGATGTTAACTATTCGTCGCCATTCGAGTATCTTGCGAGTCAATATACTGCTCCTATGACTCGCGAGGAAAAGGAGCTTCTCGAAAGTTTTGGGACAGTGTTTCACTGCATTGATACTGCGACTTTCCACGAAGTCTTCCATAGCGAGATACCTTATCTTCACGAACTTATGTTTGAACATGGTGCCCTAATACACCTCCCTCAGTTCTTTTTAGCAAGCGAAGCAACTTCACCAGCCTTTTCGGGTATGGTTTTACAATATCTGATGGAGCGCATCCAGGAAGTTGGAACATCAGACATGACTAAAGCCAAGATTCTGTTGAGAATGTTCAAGCTCTCGTTCATGGCGGTCACACTCTTCTCAAACCAAAACGAGCAAGTTCTTTACCCTCATGTTACCAAGATAGTGACTAAATGTATCGAGCTGTCCGTTGTGGCCGAGGAACCTATGAACTATTTCCTACTGTTACGCTCACTCTTCCGTAGCATTGGAGGTGGGAGGTTCGAGCTGTTGTATAAGGAGCTTCTTCCATTGTTGGAAATGTTGCTCGAAACTTTCAACAATCTCTTGATGAGCGCTCGAAAACCGCAGGAACGTGATCTTTATGTTGAGTTGACGTTGACCGTGCCGGCACGTTTAAGTCATCTTCTTCCTCACCTAAGCCACCTGATGCGCCCGATCGTTGTTGCGTTGCGTGCAGACTCGGACCTTGTTGGACAGGGTTTGCGAACCCTTGAATTATGTGTGGATAATCTGACAGCTGATTACTTGGACCCGATAATGTCACCCATTATGGATGAGTTGATGGCGGCACTATGGGATCATCTACGACCACACCCGTATAGCCATTTCCATTCTCATACAACAATGCGTATTCTGGGTAAATTGGGTGGCCGCAATCGGAAATTCTTGAATCATCCGCCTGAGCTCTCCTTCCAACAGTTCGCAGATGATGTTCCTAGTGTTGACATCAGATTAATTGGGCCCAACGAAAAGCGCGCGTTTCCCGTCGATATTGGTGTTGATCTCGCTTACGGAAAACTTCTGGAAAGCCCCAAGACACCTTCAGCAAAAGCTTCAGATACATACTATAAGCAGCAAGCATATCGAATGCTAAGCTCTCAGTTAAAGCTTTATATTGGTCATGAGAACCTCCCCGAAGACCTGGCGTCTTTGATTCGACTTCAAGCTGAAGATCTTCTCGAAGGCAAAATACAGGGCCCCATTGATATCTTGGATAAATCGGAACGTGCAGTATCGATCCCAAAGAAACTGGCTCAAGAGGAGACCTTGAAGAAGCTCCTGAAGGCATGCTTTGTTGCCACAACGATCCCAGAACTCCAGCAATCTGCGTCATCTTTCATTGCAGATGTTTGTCGCCATATTGTGGTCGTTGAGATTGGTCGAGCTTTCGCCCAAGCTAGACATGGTCGACGACCTTTCGATATTAGCAGTGGCGAAGGCCCTGTTTTCTTGGACTCTCGTCTGCTCGCCGATGTTATCGTTGATTGCTTTTCGTCCGATAACCCAAAGACCCGAGACAGTGCGCAAACGGCGATGGAGGTCATGAAAGAATCCGCTGGTATTATTTTTGGTGCTCCGGACAAAGCCGCCAAGCTGCCATTCTGGCAACACCTCGGTCGCGTCTTCTGTCATAGCTGTCATAGCGAAGAATGGTTTACGAAGGCTGGAGGAAGCCTTGGTATTCACCTTCTAGCAACCGAATTGGACTTGGGCGATAGCTGGCTCTTTGAAAAACAAACAGATTTTGTCAGAGCATTGATGTACGTGATCAAGGACACACCTCCCGACCTTCCTGCAAGCACTCGAATCAGAGCTCAGGAGACACTGGGGCTTATTCTCAAACGCTGCAATAAGGGAATTTCAATGGATGACTTGAAGAATGAAAAAAGCCGTCTCTACATTCTTTGCGGATTCTTCATTTATGAGTTGTCACATATGAACAAACATGTGCGGGAAACGTCGCAAAAGGCCTTTTCCATCCTGGCAGAGGTCCTTGGATGCGAAGTCCATGAGCTCATGCTTCCAGTCAAAGACCGCCTCCTTCAATCAATTTTCAATAAGCCTCTTCGTGCACTTCCATTCCCTGTTCAGATCGGCTTCATTGACGCTATTACTTTCTGCTTGAGTCTTCACAAGAATATTGTGACATTTAATGATGCCCTCAACCGTTTGATGCTAGAATCCTTGGCCCTCGCAGATGCTGAAGATGAGTCTCTGGCTTCTAAACCTAATGAGTTCAAGAATGCAGAAATGATCGGAAACTTGCGAGTAGCCTGTCTGCGTCTTCTTTCGATGGCAATGAGCTTTCCTGAATTTGCGACGGGTCCAAATGCAAGTAGTCGAGGCCGTGTAATCTCTGTCTTCTTCAAATCTTTGTATTCACGGTCCCCGGACATCATTGATGCCGCCAACGCTGGACTTCGAGACGTACTTACACAGACGAACAAACTTCCTAAAGATCTGCTTCAAAATGGCCTCCGCCCAATATTGATGAACTTGCAGGACCCTAAACGGTTAACAGTTGCTGGACTTGACGGGCTCGCTAGACTCCTGACTCTACTGACCAATTATTTCAAGGTAGAGATTGGCCAGCGTCTATTGGAGCACATGAAAGTCATTGCCGATGATGCTACGCTTCAAAAAGTTTCTTTCAATCTTGTGGAACAGAACCCCGCCATGAAGATTGTGGCTTCTATTTTCAACATTTTCCATCTTTTACCACCTGCTGCGACAACTTTCATGGAGCACCTTGTCAACAAAGTATTGGACCTTGAGGAGAAACTACGACGAACGTCAAACAGTCCCTTCCGAAAGCCTCTCGTCAAATATCTCAACAGGTATCCGAAGGAGAGCTGGGCCTTCTTTCAACAACGGTTTGGTGATGAGCGCTATGGGAGATTCTTTGCCCAGGTCTTGGCAGACCCTGAAAGCTCAATCTTGAGATCTACTGTGGTCAGCGATATGGATGGTTTCAAGACTGCTGCCTTTGGCAATGAATCGACCGACGGCAAGAATACAGCTGCGATCAATGCTGTCTACGTTGTCCATTCGATTTGCACACACGGAGCAACGAAGAAATGGCTCGTTAATCAAAATGACCTGAAAACTAAATTACTGAGCGCAGGTCGGGATCTGGAAATGAAGCTGAGGAATGACAAACTCCCAGCCAGTGAGAGGTTGAGGGTTGAGCAGGCCGAAGATCAATTGATGGATATCTTCACGATTTATCTTTCGGAATCTCTCCAAGATCTGGACTTCCTTTTCGAAGTTATCAATGGCCTTTCATCCGATGAGTTGAAGAAAACACTAGCCTTTCCCAAGTTCATTTACAAACATATAATCTCAAATGAGTCTATCGATTACAGACGATCTGTTATTATGAGATGCCTTGATCTCTATGGACAACGGACATCTTCACAGAAGGTGAAAACATATGCGTTCCATAATCTTGTGAACCCGATTTTCGCAATGGATGTCAAGGCAACTTGGAATAGTCCTACAAACAGTCCCAAGTTGATGGATAAGAGCATGGCCGAATCCATCCAAAATCGTCTATGGCGACCGCAAGTTGGCGATATTGGAGAAGAGTCAAATCAACCTGGAGTGGATCACTCTCGCATGGAATCGCTGCAGCTGACAGCTTTGTTGATCAAATATCATCATCAAACTGTTCAAGAGTCTCGGAAAGATATTATTAAGTTTGCCTGGAATTACATTCGCCTCGAGGACATCATAAACAAATACGGCGCCTATGTTCTAATCAGCTACTTCATCTCTCACTATGAAACACCCTTTAAGATCGTGGTCCAAGTCTATGTCGCATTGTTGAGAGCTCATCAGAACGAAGGGAAAGCCCTCGTAACCCAGGCACTCGACGTTTTAGCTCCAATCTTGCCAACCAGAATCTCAGTAACTGGCCAGAATGCTCAGCAGGCTCCTGATCCCAAGTATCCGTTGTGGTCTAAATGGCCTCGTCGAATCTTGGCGGAAGACACGGCAAATTTGCAGCAAGTAATGAGCATTTTCCAGTTTCTTGTTCGCCAACCAGACCTCTTCTACGAGTCAAGGGAGCATTTCGTGCCTCTCATTGTCCCATCCTTAATTAAAATAGCTGCTCCTCCAAACCCATCAAGCGAGAGCAAGAAGTTGGCACTCAACCTCATAGGGCTCATTTGGCATTGGGAAGAGAAGAGGATTAGTGGTCTGAGCAGTGGGAGCGTCGCATCAGAGTCACCGAACTCGAAAAAGCGCAAGCTGGATGAAATTCAGCAATCCGAGTCACCTTCGCATGCACCGCCTTCGACACAGAATGAGTACAGTGTCCCTCAGGAGATGCGCGCGGCTCTAATCAAGTACCTTATCTCGTTCATCACAACATTGCCCGAGCGTTTTCCTGTTCCTGCTTTCAAGCTTCGTGATCTTCCCACACAGAAGACCCAGCTCCCCGTTGTTTCGGGGGACATGATCAAAAAGGCGGTGCAATTATTGAGGAGTCTCCTCCAACCTGGATACTGGGATGACTTAGATATTGACCTCTATCCTAAGGTTACCGAGCCGATCCTTACTGGAGAAAAGGCTGAGAAGCCAGATGAGAAGCATATTACAACCATGATCAACACTCTTCAGGTGCTTCGCATTCTTATTGCGTCTAAGCCAAATGAATGGATAGTAAATAGGCTGCCTTTGATACAAAAACTTCTAGAGAAGTCTTTACGGTCAGATAACCCGGAAATTCAAGACTCTTTGCATGGATTGGAGGATGAGATGGAAGTCTCGCTCAAGCTTCCACCTCCTGTCAAACGTGTACTGGATGCATTACCCGAGGAACAACCGGAAGACGAAGATTCCATGGATGTTGACAGTTCTCCATCAGAGTTTGTTACCTATTTGTCTGCGATAGCCACTGAAGGGCTGTCAGGTAGCAATTATGTCTCTAGTCTGAACATTCTGTGGACCCTGTCTGAAAAGAAACCTTCGGAGATGGATGCTCATATTCCTCAGGTTATGAAAGCCTTTTCCCAGAAGTTAGCCAAAGAGCATGTTGCTGCCTATGCCAATAACCCGCCGCCTGCACAAAATTCTCAAACAGGTTCTAAACCAGGTGAAAACAATGCTGTGCCAGATCAACAAGAGTTTGAGATCGGAGTGGACCTGATTTTGAAAACAATTGACCTCATCTCCGTACGAATGTCCAACCTTGGTGATCAACGTCGCCCGTTCTTGAGCGTTCTCGCGCAGCTTGTAGAACGCTCACAGAACGTGAAGCTTTGCAGTAAGATCCTTGGAATGGTCGAGGGATGGATATTCCACTCTACTGAGTCTTGGCCTACGCTCAAGGAAAAGACTGCCGTTCTCCACAAAATGCTACTTTTCGAATCTCGCTCGGATCAGACTATGTTAAAGAAGTTTTTGGACCTGGTCATTCGTATATATGAGGACTCGAAAATCACGCGGACAGAACTGACAGTGAGATTGGAACATGCTTTCCTGATTGGAACTCGGGCACAAGATGTAGAAATGAGGAACCGATTCATTACTATTTTTGACAAGAGTTTGACCCGTACCGCCAGCTCTCGACTCAGCTATGTTCTTACATCACAAAATTGGGATACGCTTGCTGATTCGTTTTGGCTAGCACAAGCAGCGCATCTTGTGATGGGTTCAGTGGATATGGGAACGATTGCTCGGTTGCATCCTGATGACTTGAATGTTTTTCCAATCTCATTTCTGTTTAGCGCTGTGGAACAGGACTCTCGAAAGGCAACCGTTATGGTTGATAGTCAACTGGAGAGCTTTGTTGCTGAACGCAAGCGGTTCGTGGCAGAAATTGGTGATGTTAGGATCCGCGATCTACTGGAGCCACTTTGCCAGCTTCAACATACCGATTCTAAGACTTCATATAAGCTGTGGACTTCCTTGTTTCCGATTGTTTGGTCCACTCTTGCCAAGGAGGAGCGCATTGATTTGGAAAAAGGAATGGTAACTCTGATTACTCGCGAGTACCACCAAAGGCAGATCGACAAGAGGCCCAACGTCGTGCAGGCTCTCTTGGAGGGAGCCGTGCGAGCCACACCTCGATTCAAAATTCCGCCGCATGTTATGAAGTACCTGAGTCGTACATACGATGCGTGGTACACCTCGGCTGTCTACTTGGAAGAATCAGCAAATAATCCCATTATCGACACCCCTATCGTACGCGAGAGTAATCTTGATGCTCTAGTGGAAATATTTGCAGGCTTGCAAGAGGACGACTTCTTCTACGGTACTTGGAGAAGACGCTGCAAATTTGTCGAAACCAATGCTGCGCTATCTTATGAACAGCATGGTATGTGGGACAAAGCTCAGCAGTTATACGAAAATGCCCAGATCAAAGCTCGTTCGGGAGCCATGCCATTCTCACAGGGCGAGTATTACCTGTGGGAAGACCACTGGCTGATTTGTGCCCAAAAGTTACAGCAATGGGAGATTCTGAGCGATTTCGCTAAACATGAAAATCTTAACGATCTTCTTCTAGAAGCTGCTTGGAGAAATATTGAGAATTGGCAGAACGAAGTCAACCGTGAGCAGTTGGAGTCCCTTATCAAATCCGTTTCCGATGCTCCAACCCCACGCCGCACTTTCTTCCAGGCATTCATGTCTCTGTTGAACTACCATCTCAAGAAAGATAACATCCAGGAGTTCAACAATATTTGCGATGAATCCATCCAATTATCCATCCGCAAGTGGCACCAGCTTCCGACCAGAATCACTAACGCACACCTTCCGATCCTGCAGCATTTCCAACAACTTGTTGAACTCCATGATGCTAGTGTTATTTGCTCCAGCCTATCTCAAACCAATGAGAGGAATCTGGACACCAAATCGGCCGAGCTCAAACTCCTCTTAGGTACCTGGCGTGATCGTCTTCCAAATATTTGGGATGACATCAATGCTTGGCAGGACTTAGTGACCTGGCGTCAACACATCTTCCAGCTGATCAACGGGACATATTTGAATCTCTTGCCTCCTCAAACCAACAATGTCGCGAGCAACTCGTACGCTTATCGAGGGTATCACGAGACTGCATGGATCATCAATCGCTTTGCTCATGTGGCCCGCAAGCACCAGATGCCCGATGTTTGCATCAACCAGCTCAGCCGAATTTACACTCTGCCAAACATCGAGATCCAAGAGGCATTCTTGAAACTTCGAGAGCAAGCCAAGTGCCATTACCAAAACCCGAAGGAGCTCACCAGCGGGCTGGATGTCATTAATAACACCAATCTTAATTACTTTGGCGCTCAGCAGAAGGCAGAATTCTACAGTCTCAAGGGCATGTTCCTAGCGAAGCTGAACCATGTCAACGAAGCCAATGAATCATTTGGCGTTGCTTTATACTATGATCTGAAGCTTGCCAAAGCCTGGGCTGAATGGGGCCAGTATAATGATCAACGCTTCAAAATGGATCCTACGGATTATGAACTAGCTGGCAACGCTGTCAGCTGCTATCTTGAAGCTGCCGGGCTCTATAAAAATGCCAAGTCGAGAAAATTGCTCAGTCGCATTCTTTGGTTGCTCAGTCTCGATAACGAGGAAGGTCGCATTTCCAATGCTTTTGAGAATTTCAAAGGTGACACTCCAGTCTGGTATTGGATCACATTTATTCCTCAGCTTCTTACTAGTCTTTCACATCGTGAGGCTCGCCTGTGTAAAGCGGTTCTAGTCAAAATTGCCAAATTATACCCCCAGGCATTGTTCTTCTTGCTTCGTACAAACCGAGAAGATATGATCAGCATTAAGAAGTCCCAAGATGCAAAACAGGAGAAACTCAACCGGGCTAAGCAACAAGCCTCGCCTAATGTCAAAGCTGAGCCACTGAATGGAGCGAAACCTGGAACGACACCCAGTGGAGGAGTTACGCAGACTGCACAAAATGCGCCTAACAGTGCTAGCAATACACCAGTGCAGAACGCGAATACGCAGTCCACGGATCAAGCCAATGGACAACCTACACAGCCTCAAACACAAACACAAACTCAGACTGCAGGCGCAACCCAGAGTGGTGCACAGGGTCAGCAGTCTCCGGCTCAACCACAAGGACAAAACCAAAATCAACAAGCCGTAACTGGTGAAGCGGAAAAGGAACCCCTTAAGAAGCCATGGGAGTACTCCGAAGAAATTATGTCGGGATTGAAAACGGCTTTCCCACTCTTGGCGTTATCTATGGAGACAATGGTGGATCAAATCCAAAAGAACTTCAAGTGTCCTCCTGATGAAGACGCACACCGTCTCATTGTGGCGCTACTGAATGATGGTCTCGCTTATGTTGGTCGCAGTCCTGCTGCGTATGCCCAGGACTTCAAGTTGCCTCCGGCCACAGAAGCTAATATTACCCGATTCGCCGAGACAATACTTCCAGCACATATTCGCAAATCTTTTGAAGCAGATTTCGTTGTGAAGAAGATCACAATGTTTGAGTATGTTCAGAAACTGCGTCGATGGCGCGATAAATTTGAAGAAAAACTTGACCGCCGCCCACAATCGCAATTCTTGGAAGCATATTCACCTCATTTGAGCGAGTTCCGATTCTTGAAGTTCGAGGAAGTCGAAGTTCCTGGGCAGTACCTCCTGCATAAAGACAAGAATCAGGACTTCGTTCGCATTGATCGCTTCCTACCAGACGTGAATCTAGTTCGTGGTATCGGCGTTTGCCACAGACGCTTGAAGATACGGGGCCACGATGGTAGTGTGCATCCTTTTGCTGTACAGCATCCTGCTGCTCGTCACTGTCGTCGTGAAGAGCGCATCCTACAGCTGTTCCGTATTTTCAACGGTGCTCTTGCCAAACGCAAGGAAAGTAGACGTCGCAATTTGTACTTTCATCTGCCCCTTATGGTTCCTTTGGCTCCACATATTCGATTGGTTCGCGACGATCCTTCATACATCACAATGCAGGGCATCTATGAAGACTACTGTAGGCGAGTTGGTATGAACAAAGACGAGCCTGTTCTGTTCACAATGGAGAAAATGCGTGGTCTGGCAGAGATGAAACAAAGTGTATGTTGCATCAAGTCTCTTGGGTATTCGATTGCTAATGTTCACAGCGCTCTATCGAGCAACAACAAATTCTTCGCACCGAGATTCTCACGGCTGTTCAGGAGAAGTGGGTTCCTAGCCATGTTCTTCTTGACTACTTCCAGAAAACGTACCCAAATTACGCAGACTTCTGGCTGTTCCGTCGCCAGTTCGCGTATCAATATGCGGCAATCTGCTTCATGACTTATGTCATGCACATGGGAAATCGTTATCCGAATAAGATATCAATATCTCGAGCTACAGGCGACATCTGGGGCTCAGAGCTGATCCCCACTGTGAACCCCGCCAAAGCATTCTTCTATAATCCCGAACAAGTTCCTTTCCGTCTGACCCCCAATATTCAAACCTTGATGGGGCCGATTGCAACTGAAGGTGTCTTTGCCTCTGCTCTCATGGCTATTGCTCGCTGTCTTACGGAACCTCGACAAGAACTTGAGCAACAGCTTAGCCTCTTTGTTCGTGACGAGATGATTTTCTGGGCCACAGCTCACCATCGTGGTACTCTGACCGAGAACCAACTTCGCGAGTTGGTACAAAACAACAGCGACATCATTGTGAATCGTGCTTCTAGCCTGGCCAGTCCTCCAGAGGGCAATCTTCCTGCCAACCAAACCACGATTGATTTGATTTCCAAGGCTGTCAATCCCCAATTTCTTGCTTCTGCTGATGCTCTTTGGATGCCATATCTGTAGTCAGATAGAGGTGTATTTTATGAAGTCTTTTTTTATTTCCCTCTTCCCTTTGATCAGATGGGATATTGGCGTTCTAGGTGGTTACTTACGATTCCCTATAGGGTTCGTTATTTTGTTGCTATGTATGTTTGTTGATGTTTGTATGAATGTGATGTGGGCTATTTGGCTCTTTGAGCATGGCGCTTTGGGCACGGGGACACTCCGTAGATTTACTTTTAATGAAAGTGTTTCTTTTTTGACTTTGCCATATATACGTAAATGTTTTTAAATGATATGTATTCTTACTGTGATCTAGAGTTGTCTTGGCTTCAAAGTTGAAACTGATAAGGATAGTCCGCTTGTAGAAGGTTGAAGGCCCTGCAGGTAGTGATGAAAGTAAAGTAACCGAAAACGCCTGGCAACCATTAATATTTGATAATTATCGTCCATGCCTGAAGTATATATAAAAGTTCTAATTATAGTTACAAGAACGCCGAGTCCCTGCCCAATGTCATCCGTGATATCAAACTTAGCCCAGTAACATAACTCCTAGAGGAAATCGAGAATTCAAACCAAAGATGGCTTTTTCTTGATCCCCAAGCCTGCCGAAAATGGCTTTCTAGCCTTCTTTGTTCGCGCGAAAGATGGCGGGGCCGAGGGTACATCTTTCGGTTTGTCGTCAACGCGATCTACCTGATCCTCTTCAACTAACCGTTTCACCTTTTCACCCGTCGATGTCATGAATGCTCGGCGAGCAGCCTCTTCATCCTCCCTTTCCGCCTGAAGTCGAGCTTCATCAACCTCGTCTTTCACGTGCGCCAAAGCCACCTCCTCCCCTCGGGCTTCACCTCGTTCGATGCGTGCGTTTCGAGTGCGGATTTCGTCGAGTGCATCTGCAACTGCCATCTCGCGTTTGGAGTCAAGCATTTTTTCTTCGAGTTCGGCCATCTTATCTCGTTCTAACTGTTCGCGTTCCTCGTTTTCTTCGCGCTCCAGCCGGTCCAGGGTTTCTTGCTCGGTTTCATTTTGGTTATCTGCTTTATTGTCGCGCCAGGGCTCGATATTTCGTTTTGCGCCACGCTCGCAGACGTAGTCCATGTTTTTGGGGTCCGTTTTAAATGTGATTTCGCCGGAGCATCTCTGGATCAAAGTTAGATCGGGATTGATAGATTGTAAAAAATGGGCGGTGAACATACAGTGCATCGAATGTAGAAACGATAGATGGTGATGGATAGGTATTTCTCTTCGGTCGTTTCCTTTCGCGCATTGAATTTTCGTCCTTTGTAGATATATTCACCTGAGAGGAGGTTAGAATACGGCCTAAGACTACCACTGGGAAGGAAACTTACCGCAGCTTGTACAGCGCATAGAGAAAGGCGCCATTAATCGAACAGTTAAAAGCTTGGTTTGAGCTCCTGGTACCTTTTTTGTTCGTGTAATCGCCGACGGATCAAAGTCCGGTGGGTAGTATTTGGTCAAACTAGAACAAACAAGTCAGTTTGAATAGTCAAGAGAAGTTGATGGCAGGGATTGCGTACACTTTTCGCTCAGACATGGTGCAAGAGTGTTAGGTTCCCACTCTAAAAAACGCTTTTGACTATGAGGCTAAGGAGGGAGGTGTGTGCAAGATGGAGAGTTCACTGATTAAAGTGGCGGCTGTTGATTGTGGCAAGTGGAAGAGGACGCACGGACCAGCGGTTATCCAGCAGTAACAGACTGAGCCTTGACAGTTCGTATTTCTTCCTAATAACTGTACGTATTTGATTAGAAGCGAGGGGATAGAATGGAGTGAATGATTGAATGCAGTATTGATGATGGCTATTTTGAGTTTTCTACTGGACCTGTGTACTAGGTTTGGTATGACATATCGGTCATTCTATGCGGCATACATACTCATACTACTTAGTACTATTTTCAGCAGGAGAAAGTACAGTTCTCAGAGCTCCTAAACCTACATATAGCCAAGTATGAATACTGATACGCAACGGAGTTATCACATACATGATACATCATGCAGTGACGTAGTTCCAAGTAGTAGACGCTCGGACCAATGCAGATAGCTTCAATTCCGCCGCCCGCGTCGCGCTTTCAAGCTAACCTACATGTACCACTGTTGTTATTGTTTATTCTCCAAACAGCGGTTCATTTTTACGCCCTCGAAACCCCCTGCCTGGAGAACATTTGAAAAGTGCTGTAGATGCATCGTTACCAACTCCTCTACGCTACTATTTCCTTCGCATGACCTCCCCACGTCGATAAACAACATGGAAAAGTTCCTCCGCACCTGGCGCCAGGATGCGTTGAACCGGGGCCAGCATGACACTGCCATTTGGACTGGAGATAAGGTATTGGCTTTAACAAGTACGCTCTGGCTATGACTCCATCTGGCAGAGACTAGCGCTGACTTCTGGCAAACAACAGACAGCGACGCGGACGCATTTTGGCTGGCTCAGGTCCATTTCAATAACAACAACTATACACGGGCGTTAGCTCTCCTCTCTCGCAAAGATTTGATCTCCCGAAGCACATCTTGCAAATACCTCGCTGCGCACTGCTACATCAAGCAAAATAAATTTGACGCTGCGCTGAACGTCCTTGGAGACCAGAACCCAACCCACCTCATCAGCACCACCGGTCATAGTCGTCGCAAAATACAACACCTCAATGGACACAGCCATGTTACCCTCAGGAACGGAAAGACTGCTGCATCAAGGGATCGAGCCGATAAGAGTGAGGAGCGAGATCGAGAAGACCCCAACAATGTGCGGTTCGAGGCAGCAATGTGCTATTTGCGCGGACTCTGCTACGCAAAGCAGAACGCTTTTGACCGGGCCCGCGATTGTTACAAAGATGCTGTGCGAATAGATGTCCAATGCTTCGAGGCCTTTGATCAACTGATGAAAAACTCGCTTATGTCTCCTGCGGAGGAGCTCGAATTCTTGGAATCCTTAGATTTTGACTCGATTACAGTGCCTTCCGATCCTTCTATATCGCAAGAGGCCGCCCACTTTGTGAAGATGCTTTATACCACCAGGCTTTCCAAATATACTTCCCCAGCAACCATCTCCGATGCAACTGAGACACTTTCTACCCATTACAACCTTGCGAATAACCCCGATATTCTTCTTTCTCGAGCAGAGGCCCTCTATACACAGTGCCGTTTCGCCGAGGCTTTGGAGCTCACCTCTTCTATTCTCACTACACCGGAATCAGGAACCGTCGCGACCGGTTCTCCAAGAGTCCCTGGTCAGAACCTAGGTCATTCCCCGGCTGTATATCCCCTTCATCTTGCCTGTCTCTATGAAACAGGCGCTGTCAACGCATTGTTTTTGCTGGCACATACATTGGCAGATAATGCCCCAGAAGAGCCTTATACCTACCTTGCTATTGGAGTATACTATCTCTCAGTTTCTAAAATTGCTGAAGCCCGACGATTCTTCTCGAAGGCTTCATTGTTAGATCCTCATTCTGCTCCTGCATGGATCGGGTTTGCTCATACTTTCGCGGCTGAGGGTGAACATGATCAAGCTATCGCCGCCTACAGCACTGCAGCACGATTATTTCAAGGCAGCCACCTCCCACAATTGTTCCTTGGAATGCAGCACCTAGCGCTAAATAACATGTCACTTGCGCATGAATATCTATGCGCGGCTTACACAATGTCTTCAGGGTCATCCGCTGGGTCGGCGGGAATTCCCAGCACGGTTCCTCACGGCCTTCCGCCACTAGGAGGCGACCCCTTGGTGCTCAACGAACTAGGTGTGGTTTTCTACCACCAGGCTCACCTGGATGTTGCTGCAGACTTATTCCGTCAAGCTCTTGCGCTGGCAGGGTCCTTACAATGTGATCCTGGAGCTTGGGTTGCAACACGCGCTAACCTGGGCCATACCCTGCGCCGCATGGGAAGCCTCGACGAAGCTCTGAAAGAGTTCGATGAGTGTCTCCGGGTTGGAGCTGGAGGAGGTTCGACGGGTTACAGCGCAACCATAGGCGGTGTCACGACTACTTCGGTAGGGGTTGCTGGTTATGAAGATCGGGGTTTGATCGGGTCTCTCCATACATCACGCGGTCTTATATATTTACAGCAGGGAAGAACGGTGGAAGCTGTTACCGTGTTGCATGAGGCTGTTCGAGTACTTGGTGTCAGCGGTGGCGATGCCGCCGGTGGTGCCGGTATCGCAGGCACTATCTTGTCACGAGCCTTGGAACTATGGTCCTTAGAAGGTCGCGGGAAACACGTTCAGCCAGGAAGCAGCAGACGGGGGAAAGAAAAGACAGGAATGCATTTTCGAGAGAATGTAGATGTCGGAGAAAGCTGGACAGATAACGTCGTTGACAGTGGCACAATGGAGGAAAACGTCGAAATGGAGCTAGACGAGCAGGCTCAAAATCTATTAAGCAACGCCCTAACAAGAGTCCGACCTCGACGTGCCGGAAAACAACCTCAAGTGCAAGGGCGCGGAGGGACCGAGCCTCATGAAGAGATGGAACTGGAGGAACCGACAGAGAGCAGAAGTCGGGGTGGCTCACGGCCGATCAGTGGTCGGCGAAGTCCAACACGTAGAGTGCAGCCAAGACACCCTGGTAACGGTTGATACATATTTCTTCCTCTCTGATTGTTTGTGACTTTTGGGATAGTGAAGGCGAGCATTGGCGGCGCATTGGATATTAAAACGGAGGCAGCCTGGTTCTTTGGATGGATGCATGAAATGGCGCAATAAGCATGTTGAACCTTTGGTGGTTAGACAAAGCATAGATATCATGAGCATTTAAAATTAAGTATTGTTAAGCAGTGTTCCATTTCGATAAAGATATATATATACCCCAGTGTCGGGAGTCCGTCACTTTCATGTCGGACTGGATTGTTGAAAACGAATCCGCTTCACTCCCAGTTTAGAGCATCAGCCGAAACCCTAATTTGGTCGTTCTAGCAGACAACTTCCATTTGTCCCCCGATAAGGAAGACTACTAGATATAATCGACGTTTGCCAGAATTACCTATATTTTCTATAAAATTACTAGAAACAGCTGATTGGATGGGCTAGTTGTCATACTGTCGAGAAATAGATCCCCAGATAACGCCAAAACTCTTATTGAGCACCACACAACTACATCTTATAGTTAAAAAAACTGTTGCCTCTTTTGAAAAAGCGTGCCTTGACCAGCAGGGCAAGAACTAGGCTATTATAGGTGTTGTGTTGTACAATGACAGGCTTCATGTTAACTTCATATACCGCGATAGTTGGATGTCCAAAGTGATCTCGATTGGTGATATATTTGTTTGTTCTTGGCCTGACACGGCTAGACAGAAGTTGTAGGCCAGCCCATCATATCATCAAACCACTGATCACTTTCCAAGTCCATCGACTGCATCCAAATCATCTGGTCTAGGTCTGGTATGGAGCTATTGAGAGTAGACGCGCAAGGATCGGCATTCTGGCCTATATCTTGTAGCTGAGAAGCCAAGTTCCACCGCTCAGCAGCCCATACCTGACATTTGCTGAAAAGTTTTGATAAAAGTCTGAAGAGATTGTCGTCGCACTGAAGACCCAGTTCTTGGCTGGTTAGCTCGAGTTTCTGGATCATGTACTCCATTGTGGACATTATGTCGACAGTGTTCTGCACTGCTCGGCGATCCCAAGCTGGATCTTCAAGAACGGACAGGTATTTTAAAACCGTGATACATAGTATCATTTGTGACCAAAAGTGAAATGGAAGACCGACAAGTTCTGAGGGGGGGATGTTGTAGAAATTGTCCATCAACGACTTGATGCTCTCGACAGACCGCCATAAACTCTCAAGGCGTTCAAATCCAGGTAAAACTCCCACGTCAGTCCTCTGCCCTGACGGATTGAGGACCACCGAGTCCCATGTCAAACAGGAACCTAGCTGGTTTATGTATAGTTCGACGTAGTGCCCGTATGTAATGAGGATGCCTATATGCTACCGTCAGCAACGTGTATATACAAACTACCAGGATCTTAGCTTGGGGAATTACTAGCCTCTTTGAGGGAGATCCGGAGGAATCGAAGATCTCAGTTCATGCAGCTGCCCTAGTAATGTCTTAAGATATAACAAGCCTGGAACCGAGAAAGTTACGGAAGCTGTGGGTGAATGAGCCCGATCTGTCTCATTCTGCTCTCGGACGTAAGCCGCTCTTTGTTTGAGTAACTGCAGGCGTACTTGGAATGCGAAAGCCTCGTCTGTTGGACATGACTTGTTCATTTCGATTAGACGAAGGGCTTCTTCCATCTGAGGCGTCCATCTTAGAGCATCTACGCGCCCAAGGTGAGACGAAATACTAGCAGCGTATATTCATCAGCAGGATTTTTGGAGATAGAATGGAGAGTATCAAAATAATTGACAGGAATGAGACGGCGAAGCATACTTGGAACTCAAAACGAAACATGCCAGAAGTGCTCGTTGCTTCTCCATGAAAAGTTGGACAGTTTCGATGGTGTTTTCGTCATTCTCGTAAGTCCGTCCTTGTGTAATTGTCATAACCAATTTTACGTCTGGTGGGGATGGCTTAAACAGCCGCAGATCGTATACTAGTGAAATAGCGAGCATCATGAGGCGAGATACTAGGTCCGCTCGCCCAAGAAAGGCATCGGTACTCCATGCTAAATAGGTTAGTAGGCCAAGCAGTAGGTCGATATTGGATTGGAGATTGAGAAGTGCAGATGTGAATAGGATCCGCTTCAGCTCTTCGACCAAAGCTAGCTTTCTCTGTGTCGAAAACGTGGTAACGGTGAGGATGGCCTGGAATAGGAAGGGGCGGTCTTGGTATAGTTGCCGGGCTGTTATGTCTGGGGTAAGGTTGATAAAAGGAAAGCAGGGCAGCATTCGGGATCGAAAGAAACCGAGACACTCATCTGGTTGAACTGCAGACGGGTTAGAAGGGGATTGAGAGAACGGGTTTGGTCCCATCGGAGACAGGTCCGTTGCGGGCGTCGGCCCTCCACTGGTGCTGATGGAATTTGCTGGGGTGTCCTTGGAGCCAGACGTGGATGATGGAATGCTCCCACTGTCAAGTAGCCGACGGAATTCAGCCGACGGTGCGGAAGAGTTGACCATAGACTGCACTGCAGATAAGAGTGTTTCTATCTTGCCCTCCAGGTGGGCGATTCGTACATCGGACTCTTCATTTTTCTGACCATTACGTTTGCGAGTCGTGCCAGATGGCTGGCAATCTTTCTTGAGACGAAGGCATCTACAAGTCTATCAGTTATGTACAGTGAGTGTATCAATCGGCCTGTGCCAGGAGACAAGATATCGACCTTTCACAACCGTCACCACTTGAATGTGGCACACATCGGCACTTTGCCTTGTAACATTGCATGCAAGCTTGGCCATATGAGCTGGTGTGGCCAGGGCCGGGTCTGGGTTTCTCCATAGTATCAGTCGGTGGGATGACTAGCACAGATAATACTAGAAAGTCCGAATATCCTTAGGAATGCTGGATAGATCAATTGATGTGGGTGTCGGTGTTGAGATATGTACGGAAAGGTGGAGGGAAATTCCGACGGAATTGCCTCCGTGCCAGCTGCTGACTGTCCAGTAAGGTCTTGGGCAGTGATAGAATATTATGGGTTAGAAAATTTGGGCCGTCTTTTTCAGCATATGTCAGGCATATTTTAATACTGTCAAATATGTGTGTTTATCTCGAGAGAAAGTATTATTGGCATTGGGCATTGTCCGAATCTGATCGTAATACTTTGAGTTGGTGAGGCTAAGGCTCGGGATTCAAGACCGAACTCCGTTTACTAGGTGGCCATTCCAACTTCCAATCAAATTTGGAAAGTGGGAATCCACAAAAATGACCACAGTGCTCCAAGCACTATCCATAGTAGCTTTAATTAGGTGCTTTGCGATTTGTCAGATGTGCATACGTAGAGTATTCTTCGTGAATACCGACGGAACTAGCTTCCCGAAGTCCGTGTTGTCTGGAGTTGTTGACTTGCATATAAACCCAGGTCGGGGGTTTCGCCCATGGTTTCGATCCTGATGGCATCTCGGCTTCTCATAATATATATAATCGCTTAAATACTGGAAAAAGTCAAAATGCCGGAGAAAACGGTTCTTATTACCGGCTGCAGCCATGGGGGACTTGGACCGGCAATGGCAAAGGCCTATCTCGCTCGAGGCTTCAGGGTCTTCGCGACCCTACGAAATACAAGTAAGGCCGGATCTCTAGCAAAAATAAAGGGTATAGAGATCCTCGAGCTTGAAGTCACATCCGAGGAATCCATTCGCCAATGTGTGAAGTCGGTTGAGAAATTAACAGGAGGATCGCTTGATATTCTTGTCAATAACGCTGGCATAAGCCTGTGTAGACCGCTTTTAGACACGCCAGTCGAAGACGCAAAGAAATTATTCGACGCTAATGTTTGGGCTGTACTTGCAATGGTCCAGGCATTTACGCCGTTGCTTATCAAAGCTAAAGGAGTCATCTGCAATATCAGCTCGGTTTCTGGTGAATTGGTCATTGCATGGAATGGTATGCTATGATTTCTTGCGCAAGATTCTCGAGTTTCATAGGCTCACTCCGAAATAGGGATATACAACAGCTCCAGGGCTGCCACGACAAGACTTTCCGAGACATTGCGGCTTGAGATGGCGCCCCTTGGCGTGCGAGTCGTCACAGTTATACTCGGAATCGTTGACACAAGCAACGACAACTCGACCAAGCACGAGGATCTCGTCCTGCCTGAAGATTCATACTACCAGAAGATATATGACATCATAAATCGCCATAAAAAGTTCCTGGTGTATCCTGACAGACAGAATGTTGACGTAGCAGCGAAGAACATTGTCAGCGACGTTCTCGGTGGTCACGGTTATTTCATTCGACGCGGGCAAACTTCAACTTTGAGTTGGTTCCTCAACACATTTATGCCCTACGGACTCTGTACTTCTATGGTAAATGAGAAATCGGGTCTTTCCGAACTTGCACGTGGCAATAATAGGTGATACATCGGATGCAAGGGGTTATACAAAAATGTACTATTAAGGCTAGTTAAGACATGAGAACCGATTCTAGTAGTTGGCTCTCGAACCATTAGTTTACTGTAATCCTGTTAGGTAGATCAATTTAGCATAATGCAAACTAATACCAAAATTTCAACTATAGAAAGTCTCCTGTCAAGCGAGAACCCTCGCCTTTCAAGACTGGATTTCGAAATGTTAATTTGCCGATTGAATACGTGTCGTCTCCTACGTCAATTTAAAACCGTAATAATGAACGAAGCACCATTTCAGTCTCAATAAGATGATTTTTACGAATATCTCATTTTCAATTTATCCGCATAGATACGTTGTTACAAATATTATGATAAAGATGATGCTGTTTGTGTCTTCGTCACTAATTCTCTCTTCCACTGCTCCAGAATCTTCATGTCATTCCTCGACGTAGTACTTTGGTGCTCTTTGAAGCACATAAGTACCTGAACGCTTTGTAACGCTTGTTCAATGGTCGGTATGCAAATAGGTGCAAGATCTGTTTCTTCGTTTTCCTCTGATACCCTCCGTTGATGAGTTGAATTCTGCTCTCTATCACCAACTGCTTCGATGACACTATCTTCTTCCAAGGTTAAAAAAGTGTTAAAGTCGATGACATCCCGTTGATCCTTTACAAACAATCTCTTAATCTCATTATACAGCGGCTCGAGGCTTGGTGCTGGATTTCCTGAGAGTGTTGTGCCAGACGTTACTGGTTTTGTTGCATTGATGGCCTTGCTAAAGCTGGTATGAATTGAAGTGTCTGAAATCTCATAAAGCCATGCATGGATTGCCCAGTGGATGGCATGGTAAAGAGAGACGGTGGCAAACGGATCAGCTGATTGTCTTTTGCTTTCGAGTATGTATCGAAGCCATTGGCTCCGGTAGACTTCTCTCAGCATACGGCTTATGCCATGATCAAAGGGCTGAAAAGGATTGGGGTTGGTTGTTGAGGAAAAGGGGAGCCATTGAATACGTATGTTTGCTGGTGGAGGAGCGAGTTCGATACCCACAGTATGGCTAACAGTTTGACGATCAAGTAGAAGCAAAACGGAACGTTCCTTTTTACCGATATACTCGTAGAATTGGAGTAGCCACTCCTTCATCAAATATGGCGTGATTTCCGTCCCTTTCTTTGACGAGCACCAAAATACACCGATTGCTTTCATATTGAGGGTTACGAGGGAACGAGGTCTGGCTGTGCTTCCAATAATCCAAAGAGGAAGCCGTTCGCTACCTGAGTGATTGGTGCACATCATCAACGTGACCTTGCTGTTTTGTTTCTGGGGGCTTTGCAGAGATGAAAGAGGAGCTTTTCTCCAAAATAAAGCAGTTTCGCTCATTGAAAAGATGTCCTCGTCTTTATATACACGGCATAGAATTCTCATAGAGAGCACCTCTTCTGTTGAATCAACGGATGTGCTGTTCATGAATGGTTGTGGAGTTGTGGACTCTAACATATATGACTGCTGCAATCCCACTGGCCGTCTCTGAGCTGGTCTTTGGATTGAGACTGGCCCAGAGATGATGGTATCTACCGACATCGACTGTATCGCTGGTGGTTCCATTTCAGGCATTGTCACAACTTCTACTGACGGAGGGGCCGCCGTCGTCATCATCGTTATCGACAATGGGGTCTCGGTCCTCGTAACCTGCTCGCGTTTCCATTTTGTATTACTTCTCGGAACGGCAAGCATATGTCGCTCTTTAAACCTGGAAAGCCACCCACTACTAAACTCTGGAGGCTGTTTATCCTGATACTCTGGTATCTGTAGCCATATCTCCTTCGCCTTCTGCATGAGCATGTCCCCCGTGACCCTACCATGCCCTTCACGTACATAGGTTGCTTGCCATTCACTCAAGCGTTCTTCTAAAATAGGCCAATGGGAAGGCCGCGAGCGATACGAGGGCCGTGATTGTGATAACACCGCAGCATCGATTCCATCAAGATAATCATATCGCTCCTTGAGACAGTCGCAAATGGTTGACTGGCTGATGTTTTTCCCATGCTTCTGTAGGAACCATGTAGCTATGGCCCTGTGTCGTGGCCGAGGGTCCTGACTGCGCCACCAATCACGGATTTCTTTGCGCTGGCCTTCTGAGACTCGGTTACGTTTGGCAGGCATTGGGTTTCGGGGTATTTCTTCTCCCACGGTTATAACGATAACGTGTTGTCGGGGTTTAATCTGGATCCAAGATTGCGGGAGGATCCGGTCGCTGTGCCGAGATCACGCTTTACCTATAATAGATAGTCTTGTTTGTGGCCAATAAATTTCCTTCGCTATATCGCGTTTAACTTGCTCTAGAGATTGCAGGATGTTTATTCGCAAGATCTCTTTGGTGCATATGATGGTGAATAACACGACTGTTCTATGCTAGTTGACATGACATGTATGCTTTGCGATATATTCAGAAGTGATAGTAAGAATCTTGACCTGCGTATTTGGGATTCTTCAATGTTGAATATACACCTAACATTGAAACAATAAATCCCACAAAGTTGGTATACCTTCAAGCAATTTCCCAGTGCTCCGCTCATGCAATGATAACACTTTGTGGCTGAATTGTTGGATAATTGATCAACCCATAAATATGTGATAGCTGGAAGAAACACCAATATACAAACAAGCCAGTGTATATATATTTCATCCAATCCAATGAACGCCGCAAATCATACCATGTCAAAATTGTTAGAGCTATAAAATTCAAATATATATATGTTTAACCCCACAGAGGAGGATGAATATATTCTGCAGCCCGGTCTAGCAGATTAGGGATTGTCCAATCACCGCTACTTGAGCTCTCTGGTGTTGGAGGAGGTAACGAGCCCATATTCGGCGTAACACAGGCATTCGCCGATGTAGATGAGTTCTGTGTGTAAACTGACGACGGCATCACTTGGCTAGAGTATTGTCCGTATGGACTATTGCTGCGACGTGTTTGAGAAGGATTTTGAGCACCGTATGTATTAAAGGCAATATTCAGCTTCTGCAAGGCACGCAGAGACTTGACAAGGGGTTTCGCCCATTGTGTATGCGAATCGACGGGTACAGAATCCGAAGCTTCGGCGATTTGTTGCCCATGCAACGAGTCTGGTATTGACAAGTAAGCTTTGGTTATTCCAGCAGGGATGTCTAAGGTAGAATAGCCAGTTGCTGCCCCGACAACTTGTGGAGGTGCCGTTCTGTCATCGCTTGCTGTAGCTGCAGTTCCACCTGTTTCAAACTCACCTTCCGCACTAGCACGTTCTGCTATAATGACTTCTAGACGATGTAAGAGACCCCGGACTTTTGGTTCTGTTTTTCCTTCATCAATCACGGCGAGAAGAAACGCACAGCTAATAGCGCGTTGCAAAGTTATCCAGGCGCGTGAGCCATGACTACTGTAAGAGTGGAGTTCAATATAGGATTCAACGGTGTTAATGAGGCTTTCCACGCAATCCTGTCGCACTTTGAAAAATAGAGGATCTGTTTTGTCTGCTTCAGCTTTGAGTACTGGCCTGCAAAGTTCTGATGTGATATATGAGAAATGCACTTTAAGCGCAAGTCTTTCCAAATTATTCATCAACGTGTGACAATATTTGCGATCCCGCAGATGAGGAGCCGCATCTGCTAGCATCTTCTGGATTCTCTCTTTGTACTCTTGGATGGTCTTGAAGCTCATATGTGAGTTAGGAGTAACCATACGCCCACGGACGACCTCCAGGGTCAAGGCTATGATCCTACACATCGTTTCAAAGTAATCACGGTTTCCAGGTTGAGACTCCGCTCGATCAGCAATTTCAGGTTGACTGATTGCTACCGTGGAAGGTCGATCATAAGATAGAGAGAAATGGCTGTCTTGCCACGCCATAGACCACCTAAAACGCGTTAGTCGAGTAGAGCTTAGTAATCGAGATATAATAAATCTTACCAGATATGTCTCCGAGTGTACCGTTCGACAAAGTCAAATCGATTCGATTCGGCATGAAGTCCAAGTGCTATGCCCATGCGAAGAGTCATGCCTAAAAGTAAAAATCAATATATGAACAGTCTAGGAATAACGACTCGAGTATACCTAGTAGGACGTAAGACACTCCTGGGTTCATGTTGTAAGAGAGAACATTTCCAATAATTAGAAGCGTCTTCATGGCTTCAAGGGTAGGCTGGGAGACGAAATTACACATTCGGAGGCATTGATAGGAGCAGCAGACTATGAGCGGTTAGATACGATTTCTCCATGGGCGCCAGATTATTTACCATAGACTTGAGATGTCAATTCTCTCTCTTTGCCAGGGAGATCTGACGACTGACAGCCCGATGCCAAAACAGCAAAAAGCAAGCCAATAAAGGCCAGGCTCATTCCGAAAGGGCCCTGAGAAAGAAATCTGTCATCATCAGTTCTTAAGACACCCCCAGCTGCTGCTCTATTTTGTAAAAATGTCTCTAAATTCTGTTCAAAGCCCGGAACATCGACAAGCACAGGATAAAGACAGCCTGCAATATCTCTATAAAAGTAAAAAAACCTGCGTTGTATTAGGACGACTCGCGCCAATGTCAATTTTAGATCCAGGGCACACTGACTCTTTAATCTGTTCATCGCTGGGAAGTGCACTACAGACCGCGTTCACATCAAAAGATGAAGTATCCGAAGACCACAAGTCTACAAACGGATATGTTGCGGTCTCATTATCAAGGCCAAGCTTCGGCAGAAGACCGCCTTCAAGAAGAGCTTGGGCTTGCAGAGAACCAGACTTGTTTAATATATATGCTAGGACCGACCGCGACCCAAGATGGACTGTACCTTCGCCATACATATGGGCGGTATGAATACCTTCGCGCTCGGGCGACGCACGCTCGGAGCGTTGACTTGTATCGGTGGCACGGTTGCTTGTAGATGGAATGGCAGGGTTGTGTCCGTCGATTTGCTCCAGGCCACTTCGAAGTCCAATGATCGTGCTTTCCATTTCCTTCAGCTTGTTACATACATTGTCCCAATCTTCTCGAGGGATTGAGACTCGTGTTCCCAGAGGACTATTCGTTGACGAGGACTCTGCGGCGGTCGGTTTCATCGGTACATCGAGACTCGGCGTCTCTTTTTCTACAGAATCATAATTCATGGCATTGTCCAAATATAATTGGCTGGTAACCATTTGTCGTTTTTTCGACGGTCGTTCGTAAGAACATAGGTCTGCATGGTCTCGTTTCACGCAGCCGTCGCAAGGGAAATTGCGATCACACTTGACTTTTCTGGTATGGCAAGGATAGCAAGCTTTCGGCTCTCGGGCTTTTCGTTTGGTTCTTATGATGGCATCGATCTGCGACTGGGGGAGATCGGAAACTGCGTTGGACGACGCTGTGCCGCTTCCTCCTCCGGTCGGGGATGGATGGAATGAAGCCATGGCGCTGGACTATACGAAAGCATGAGGTATCGACATGATAGTATCGACAATAAGCAAGATTCAGTGGTGAATAAATTGCGCAGAAGGAGCCGCAGTCATTTTTGGGGGAGAGGTCAATATAGTCGCCAGGATTCTTCTCAAATTGAAATCTTTGTCAAGGCGATATACAATGGCCGTGCAGCCGGGGAGCGATCGACAACAATTCGGACCTCGACATTAACTTTGCGGACCAGGACGGATCGGGTCATTAACAGTCACGTGTAGAGGTCAGATCTATTATAGGCTCGTGCACGGGGCTGCTTTCTTCAAACGGCAAGAGCTAACCAGATCGGGATGGTCGCGTTGATGTCATCATTTCTGGCTTCATTGGCCCAATTTATCATTTATCATTTATCATTTATATATAATACTGATATCTTGAGACCTGCTACTTTGTTGTATTTGATGCAATTATTATGGACTCGGATAATATCTGACAAGGAATATATCGCAGACCTATAGAAAATTCAACGCCAGGTAACGCCAAGATGCAGACACACGCACTTCTACCCCTTCTATTAGTATTTTAACAATGCAAGTATCGCAAGAAATTGTCTAGCCGTCTAAAATGCAATCTCGCCAATTGGTGTTGTGCGGCGATCAAATGGCTGGCACCGCCTTCGTCTCCTCATCTTCACAATAAGCAAAGTGCGAGTGTCGACGAATCCCCTCTCCATAGTAGTAAAAGACATAAGGAATTGCGCAGCATGCGAGAGCAATGAAGGCAAGGAGGGAGCTTGCCCATTGATAGCCCAACCGGTGGTACATTTGAATCGTGAAGAGCACGCAGCCTGCTCCCCACATAGATCGCAGGAAGGTTTTGGCTGCTAGGGCTGATGCAGCTTGATGTTGATAGGTATCCACTAGAATAAGCACTCAGCTGTGTGTTCTCATATTGGGATAACAAGCATACATACCCAGGTAATTATTCGCGGAATTGTATAAGAAAATAAAGCCAAAACCGACAGGAAACCCACCAATGGCTGGTCCAATCCAATGAAGATGGGAGTACGAAGTCCAGGCAAAGATGAATAAGCCAATTGGAATCAACCAACAAGAGAACATCATGGGAATAAGACGCGCTTCTGCCGGTGGCTTGCCGTTATGTTTCGCGCATAGCTGAAGATAATGCTTATTGACGAGGGGTGCGCAAAATGCACTAGCAACAACGCCTATGGCCAGAGGAATAAACATAAGACCGGTGATTCCAGGACTATATCCTTTCCCTTCTTGATAAACGACAGGAAATCTAAAAAGATGTGTCAGCTAACTCAGGGCAATAGAAAGAAGAGACACCTACGCGACGAAGAACATGTATAGCAATCCGTACAAGACGGACATGTAGAGAGAGATGAATAGTACAATAGGCTCGAGAAATAACAATTGGAATGGACGTAGAAGGAAAATGCGAAGTTTCTCAGCAGTTGGCCGAGAATCAAGCTCTTGCTCAGTCACGTAACTTGAGTCGTTTTCAGATTTTCGTAGTTTTTTTGCACGCTCTTTGAGGAGCATCGGGGTGTAGGTTTCCGGTACGGTGAAAGTAATCATCGCCCAAGCCACACCAGCGAGAATCAACTGGATCCAATAAAGCCATCTCCATCCCGCGGCATCGTACAGAAACCCACCAACAAGGGGCCCAATTGCTGGTCCAATAAACGGAGCGGCACTGAAAGCTGCCATGGGCACACCACGTTCCTCATTTCTCCAGAGATCCGACAGGGTTCCTCCGACTAGTGTCATGGGGGCGCTGAAAGCTATACCGTCAATGGCTCGACAGACAATAAGCGTGCCAATATTAGGCGCTACAGCACACGGGATTTCGAATATAAGGGCGATGAATAGTGTTACTGCGTAGACTGGCCGCCGTCCAATCATTTCGGATAATGGAGCAAACACCATTGGACCTTTTAAAAATCACAAATTAACCTCCGCTCCAAAATTACTCAAGATTGATTTAATAACTTACCAACGCCAAATCCAACAACAAACACGGTGATTGTGAGGAGAGAAACTTCCATTGATACGTGAAAGTCTTTTGGGGGACCATCTAGGCCAGCAGTAATAACAGCACTTGCAAAGGCGACGACAAAGCATGTCCAAGCCACAACCATAGTGCAGTACCACTTCTTCGCTTTGGACCAGTTCTTCGGATTTTCTGGATCATCAATGCGAAAAGTGACCAGTTTCCAATCTTCCATCTTATTGGTGACATTAGATTTCACGCTCTTGATAATATTTCCTGTTCTTGTTTCCACAGTGAATTCCTCCAAGTTGGCATCTTCAGTAACGCCCAACGGCACATCTGTGGGGTCTATTTCTCCAGGGTTGTATCCAAACGTGGGATATCTTCTGAGAGTATCCTCAGACACATGGCTGTCGTGTGAAGCCATCTTGATAGGCGTCTGTAATCAACAAAGTCCAAGTATCTGTTGCACACTCCGTGGGGTAGTCAAGCGGCGAGTCGTGTACCTCAGGTGTCGATGCGTCTAATCCTAGACGGGTGTTATCGACTAAAATTGCGTAGCTACATATTACAGAAACCCAGCGGCGGGCTGCCATATTTATACATGCCATCAATTGATGTCTTGACCGAAGGCGCGAGGCGGCAGCCCTGTCCCGATCATTGTGCAATAGTGGGTCCATGAGGAACTGAGTATACAAGGCCTAGAATATTTTTTGATAGGATGTAAAGCACTAAGATTTGAGCCTGAAACGGAACCAATCTCTCTCAGGCTCAACTGGTCCGGTCATGGTTCGGAGTTGGGTTGGGTTCGCCAACGGGGAAGGATTTTGATAGCTAGGTGTCTGCTCAAAACGGCAAGATGCTTCGCCGGCTTGCTATGCTATCAACATAATTCAAACGTCATTGTGTCATCAACAACATCGAGTATTAAGTGCGTCAGTTGAAGATACGCAAAGCTTATACACATAAGGAAAACTTAAAACCAGGGTAAAGTGGCATCTTCATAAATTGGTAGCCATAGACATAGATCTATTCGAAAGTTACCACAGATGTGTAGCAAAACGTTCGGCTGATGTCATCCAAGAGCACACCACTCGTTTGATAGCCTAAATTCCCGACACTACTCGCGGAAGTTAATAAATTCATACTTAAGCTGCTTACCGGTTGCGAGAAAGGACGGATTTCTTCAATCCATCTATCCATCCTCCACATGATTGATACCTTGTAATATTGCCGTTTATGGAAAGATGCTCCGTCGGAGCATTCAACCTGATTAGGATAGCGTCAGAAATTTTTAGCTTGGCAAGCTTGGCAATAGCCTGACCAATCAACGACGATGACGCTGAACTGGTGCACTCTATGGAACTATATCTAATATATGGGAAAGCACGTATTATTAATACATAATGTGCTTGACGTATCAACCGCTACATATATCCGCTGGCAGCGATGAAAGAACTGGTACATTGACATCGAGTTTTATCACGTGACTGATAAGAAGCTTTGGCACGATAAGGCCCGATCGGGCTAGCGCGGGGCCACCGCCCACTATCGGCGAGGCAAGAGCGGGATCGATGGAGACGATAATTTTTCTAACGAAGAGAGACATCACATCGACAGAAGTTCTCCGGGTTTACTGTAAAGCGAACCAGTGCCTCCACTTTGACTGGCGCTGGGCCCTCAACCTCCGTCAATGTATTGCGATTGAGCAGCCGTTTCCTATTTATTGAAACCTTCCGAGCATCACACATAATAGTGCTGCCCTCAGGATGATGTCCGCGGTCGAGTCATATTTGTCGCTTCCTGGATCAGTTGCATTTTCACGTTCTCGTGGACGTGCAATTGCTTTTCAGATAGGGGCTGTGGATGTGCGAGCTCAATGGTTTCACTATGTGCATAACTCCCAAACGCTCGAAGAGCCTCAACGAGCTGTCCTCGAACAACTTTTGCAGTACGGCGATATCACCGACATTCCTCCTTCATTCGAGAAAAGCGATGGCCTCGTGAGGACCTTTTACGTATACCCCCGTGTTGGTACAATCTCGCCATGGAGCTCGCAAGCAACCGGCATTTCGCACGTTTGCGGACTCGGGAAATCCGTGAAGCGGATCGAACGCGGACTGAAGATATCGGCCCTCTTTGCTGAAGAGAAAAAAGCTGAGGATGGATATCTCGATTTCTTACATGACCGCATGACCCAAGTTATAAGTGAAGAGGAACCTGATCTCGACAAGATGTTTTCAGAGCACCCACCGCTTCCCTTGGAGACCATTCCCCTTCACGCTGGAGAGAAATCTGCGGTGGAAATCTTACAGGACGCCAATAAACGACTTGGTTTGGCTTTGGATCAGTCTGAAATCGACTACCTTGTCGCTGCGTATGCTAGCAACGGCCCCGTTCCACGCGATCCAACCGATGTTGAACTTTTCATGTTTGCCCAGGTCAACTCTGAACATTGCCGACACAAGCAATTCAATGCATCTTGGGTTATTGATGGAAGACAGATGCCTAACAGCCTTTTCGCAATGATCAGAAACACACATAAAAAACACCCGGAGAACACGGTCAGTGCGTATAGTGATAATGCTGCCGTATTGCAGGGTGAGCAGGCTGGATTCTGGGCGCCAGATCCTTCAACTCTTGAATGGGCATACACAAGAGAACAGGTTCATATTTTAGCTAAGGTTGAAACTCACAACCATCCTACTGCTGTGTCACCATACCCAGGCGCTGCCACCGGATCTGGCGGTGAAATCCGAGACGAAGGAGCCGTCGGTAGAGGATCCAAACCAAAAGCTGGTCTGGCAGGATACTGTGTGTCTGACCTTCTCATTCCAGGACTGCGACAGCCGTGGGAACTCGATGTTGGCAAACCACACCACATCGCAAGCAGCTTGGACATCATGCTTGAAGCCCCGATTGGGAGCGCTGCTTTCAACAATGAATTCGGACGACCTTGCACTGCTGGATATTTCCGGACCTTGCTTACTGAAATTGACATCGGCAATGGCCAAAAAGAACTCCGAGGTTATCATAAGCCTATCATGATCGCCGGTGGAGTAGGCACTGTTAGACCTCAGCACGCACTCAAGGATCCCAAAATCGTCAAACCAGGTTCTTTCCTCGTAGTTCTTGGTGGTCCTGCTATGCTTATTGGCCTTGGCGGTGGTGCAGCATCTAGTCTCGCTTCTGGAGAAGGTTCTGCCGATCTAGACTTTGCTAGTGTCCAAAGAGGAAATGCCGAAGTTCAGCGCAGAGCCCAAGAAGTCATCAACGCTTGTGTCGCAATGGGAACAGATAACCCTATTAAGTTTATTCACGATGTTGGGGCAGGTGGTCTATCGAACGCCCTCCCAGAGCTTGTTCACGATGCTGGGTTGGGCGCTACATTCGAACTTAGAGAAGTGGATAACACTGATCGTGGCATGAGCCCTATGCAAATTTGGTGCTGTGAAGCACAGGAAAGATATGTTATGGCTGTTGGAGAGGAAGGAATGAATAAATTCACTGCTATTGCCAAACGCGAACGCTGCGGCTTTTCTGTTGTTGGCAAGGCAGAGGGTTCCGAACACGGTGAAAAGCGCCTTGTGCTCCTGGACCGAGACTCGAAAGAATATCCAAAGCCAATCGATCTACCTCTTTCTGTACTTTTTGGAAAACCACCAAAAATGACTCGAAAGGTGGACTCGCGGAAGTTGAAACTGCCCCCTTTTGACACCAGCCTATTAACGTATCTTCCTGAAGCGTCATCAGACCAGCAACTGTTCAACGAAGCTGCGAGCAGAGTTCTATCCCTTCCTGCAGTGGGTTCCAAATCTTTCCTCATAACCATTGGCGATCGCACTGTGGGTGGACTTACTGCCCGGGACCAGATGGTTGGACCTTGGCAAACGCCGGTTTCTGATGTTTCCGTGACGGCTACCTCCCTTCTCCAAGGCGGAACCACTGGAGAAGCCATGGCAATGGGTGAAAAGCCCACTCTTGCTCTTATCTCACCGGGCGCATCAGCACGTATGGCTGTCGCAGAGTCGCTAATGAACATTGCGGCTGCAGACTTGATTGATCGTCTTCAAAGAGTCAAACTTTCCGCCAACTGGATGTCCGCGAGCAGCCATCCAGGTGAAGGAGCAGCCATCTACGAAGCGGTCGAAGCTATTGGTCTTGATCTCTGTCCTAAACTAGGTATCAGCATTCCAGTTGGTAAAGACTCCATGTCTATGAAGATGAAGTGGAAAGACGAGAAGTCTACGGAATCAAAGGAGGTGACTGCGCCGCTTTCTTTGGTTATCTCATCCTTCGCACCAGTTCAAGAATTTAGGAAGACATGGACCCCAACTCTACGACGTGTCGAGGATGTTGGAGAAACGGTCCTCATGTTCGTTGACCTCGCTATTGGCCGAAAAGCTCTTGGTGGATCTGCAGTAGCGCAGGTCTTCAAACAGGTTGGAGATGAATGTCCAGATATCCGGGACGTGGAGCTTTTCAGGGACTTCTTTGATGCTACGCAAGGGCTTCAGGAAACTGGTATCGTTCTTGCTTATCACGATCGCTCTGATGGTGGTCTTTTCACTACTCTCGCTGAAATGATGTTTGCCGGACGATGCGGTGTTGAAATCATGTTGGACGAGTTACAAAAGACCTCGGACACTGGAAGTTGCATTGAGACATTGTTCAATGAAGAACTTGGTGCGGTCTTCCAGGTTCGAAAGAAGGATGAAGGGGTGTTCCGTTCTTGCTTCGCAACCTGTGGTCCTCCACCAGGTTTAATTACTCGCATCGGCCGTGTCTCCGAGCAGCCAAAGCAAAACCTCACCATTTACCACAAACAGAAATTGATTTATCGGCAACCGCGGGCCAAGATCCAACAAATTTGGTCACACACATCTTACCACATGCAAAAAATTCGTGACAACGCTGCCTGCGCCGACCAAGAATTCGCTAATATTCTTGATAACACAAACCCTGGTATCTCATGGAGACCTACTTTTGACCCTAAAGATAAGGCTCTTCCTATATTGACAAGTCTTACCCAGCTCTCCCCTTTCAGCAACAAGCCTCGGGTGGCCATTCTCCGTGAACAAGGGGTTAACAGTCAGGCTGAAATGGCGTTTGCTTTCAACCTTGCTGGCTTCTCTGCCATTGATGTGCACATGACCGATATCATCTCTGGCCGTGTATCACTAGCCTCCTTTGTTGGATTAGCTGCTTGTGGTGGATTCTCATATGGAGATGTCCTTGGTGCAGGCCAGGGCTGGGCCAAATCGGTCTTATTGCACGACGAAACTCGTAAAGAATTCAAGTCATTTTTCGATCGTCCTGACACGTTCGCTCTCGGTGTTTGCAATGGTTGCCAATTCCTCTCCCGCCTCAAAGAACTCATCCCAGGTGCGAGATATTGGCCTAGCTTCGAGCGAAATGCCAGCGAGCAATACGAAGGCCGTGTAGCTATGGTCAATATCTCCGATCCCGACCCTTCCGCACCATCTGTTTTCCTACATGGCATGCACGGTTCCTCGCTGCCTATCGCCGTGGCACACGGTGAAGGTCGTGCATCGTTTACTTTGACCCCGAATATCACTGCCCAGGACTTTGTCAGGAACAACTTGGCTCCTGTTCGTTATGTCGACAACGCCACTCTTAAGCCCACCATGGCATACCCATTCAACCCGAACGGTAGCCCCGAGGGTATCGCCGCCGTGCGATCCCCAGACGGTCGTGTCCTAGCAATCATGCCTCATCCAGAACGAACCATCATCAATGGCGTTGCCAGCTGGTTGCCGCCACAAGCAGAGAAATGGGGAGATATTGGCCCATGGGGACGTATTTTCTATAGTGCCCGCAGATGGGTGGGCTAGTTTGCAGCTTGTGCTTTCTGATTTTTGGTGTTGAGGGCTCTGGGTATTTATAATTATATCATACTATATCTTTAGTTTTCTGCCCGAGACTGCAGTATTATCATAAGGATCTATTCGATGTTCTTTTCGGCTGGCGACTTTTGAAAGTCTCCAATAAAATAACATCACATATGTCTTATCTCAATGGTCTAGATATCAATTTTATTATCAACACGATTTACGTTGTTACACTACACATGTTACATGTATGAATGTATGTGTTAAAAAAAATATATACACATTCAGCCACTAAAATACATTTCATTTTAGCTCTTGTATTAATATGTATCATTTGGTCTCGTCTTCCAAGCCAATCTGTCTGCAAGCATTTCCCAACTCTGCTGCCCGTCGATCCTGCCAACTGCCCTCAGGCCAGTCACAACGAAAGCCAGCAGTCGCTCAAACCTCTCCTTGACATGACCGAGTCTCTCAGAGTAAGGCGATTCAAGGAATGATATACTGGTTGTGTTCCCCTCATCATAGTTCTCGTTGTCATCGTGTTCATTATCTTCGTCTTCGTCGTTAGAAGTTTCCTCATCATCGTTATCAGAATCAGAGAAATCGTTAAAGCCCCTTCGGGGGGTCGCCAGCGTTTGGGATATTGCCTATTTCCACCCGTCGATGAATGGAAAGAGCGGTTTGATTTATCAAATCGGTTAGCGCCATGACGCGCCGATTGAATATCAGCTAAATGCACGCATAAATCTAGTAAGCCGATAACAGCCTTGTAGATTGCTCCTAGGTTGGTGGAGAGAAGACATTGTTGTTCGAGGGAGGACATGTATGCTTCATGTACGGCAATCATGCCGTTAACATCTACGGATGCCGCCAGTGCCTTTTTCATGTTTTCAGTGCTCATAGCAACGACCAATTCTGTAAAATGGCTATATAGAGTGTTTGTGAGCCATAAGAGACTATGACGGATAATGTAACCACGGCCATCATCCCCGCTGTTATTATTGAATCCATCCGAATCATGGTCCTCCTTGCGGAGCCGTTGTCGCTCGAGAATGTATTTTGCCCTCCGGATTTGCATCAAGAATGTGGATATGCGTTGATATGTCGAAATAGCATTCTTGGTTATAATGTTGGCCACAGGCCATGGCAAAATGTAGTCGATTGACAATACTTTGAGCATTTTGACGCTTCTTATTGGATTTTCGGAATCCATGCAAGCGCCTCTAGTAGATCGCACGATAACACGAGAGGTATCAACGGAAACAATGCCACTAAATGTGCTCTGTACCAACTCCGTGAGTAAAAACCGGTCGTTCCAGACTCCCCGGCCCTTGTCAATTAATTCAAAGATTTTGCTGTCTATCAAAGAGGAGACAGTTATATCCTGACAAAGATAGATGTACTGCAAAGCGGAGAGGGAGTTCCAAAGCCCGCATTGTTCGCCCAGCTGTTCTCGTAGATATTCTGAAGCTAGTTTATGATTAGTGGCAATCAGGTCGTCAAAAGCCTTGTCTAGTAAGCCTGAGAAAGGTAAAAGCTGCAAGGATGCGTCATCTGGGCAAACATCATCAAATGAAAATGGCCTTCTACTAGCAAAGCCTAAGTCTTCTGGTGAAATATTGAGATTTTGGAGGAATATCATGCTCTTCCCGGTAGTAAGAATCTTGCGAGCACTTGGTTTCACAAATTTGGGAGCATTAAGTCGACCATGAATTTCCTCAAGCGAGTACCAATTGTGCCAAAGAGTTCGAAGGTCATTGTCGCGCCGAGTATCAGTGATGAAGAAGGTATCCTGGTTCGCCTCTAGGAACCCACTTCCCATCCACAAGTGAATGGGTTGCGTATACGCTTCAAAGCAGGAGAAGAATAGTTTCGCGAGAGCTCTATACTCGTCATCATTTCCAGAAGCTTGATTAGTACAGACTAAGTCATACAATAAGTCCAAGCATAGAAAGGATTGGCCAGAAGGGGCGCGTTCTAGTTGCGCCACTAAATCTGCTAATAGTGAGAGTACTCGGCCTCCTCTCCTAACCTCTTCCATTAACTGTAATAAACTGACAGTGACTGCTTGGTCTATTGAGAGGTATCTCAACTGCAGATTTGCCAGGAAATTGTCAAATTCACGAAGATGCGTCTCAACTCCCCTGACAAACGTTTGAAGAAAGATCACAGACTGTGGATTCTTCACATATCGTCTCACTTCCCCAAGACTAGCTCCAATATCGGCACAGGAGCGGAGGATTTGCAGAAAAGCGGAGTTTGAAGCGTGACGGAGTGCATATCTCCTGTCGACTGCAATGCTATTATCGAGCTTCCAAAATAGAGAAGTAGGAAGACCCTGAAGCATGAAGATAATCTCTCGAGCTGCTTGTAGTTCTGTAACATAACGGGTATGACTTTCTGAAAACTCTCTAACGGCAGCTGAGTCGTACTCCCAGAAATGGCCACTTTTGATCGTCGAGATTAACTCGTCATCTTCGCCCGACTGAATAAGCTCACTAGGAATCTCGAACTCGTCCTGTTGTGGTTTCGCACTCTGAGGAAATATTCTGGGAATAGAAATATCACTGGAAGCTGTTGAATCTTCCTCGTCAGAAGAAAGTTCTCCATAGTAGACCTCAGCCCATATGTCCTCGTCGGCAAAGGCCGTGCCAGTCGGGTCCAAGTCTGACCATGTTAAGCCGAGTTCGGGGTCTTTAGACTTGGATAGCTCGAATCTAGGTACTTGAGATATATTCGCTGGCCGATCTGAGAGCTGCTGCAACAAAGACAATATCTCTGGCATCCATGATATTCGTTGCCCTTCTAATTCGCTGAGGCGAACACTAAGGCTATCTGCCAAGTCATCTTTGCTCAGCACTCGAAATTTCTCTACAAGACCGTCAAAATGCTTCTCTACAGCAAACGGATCTGTGTGGTTCCAATTGCTGTGCTCTTTGATAATAATATCAAAGCGCGATTTTGCATTTTGAAAGGTGGTTGAGTTCTACTGTGCGTGAGACAACGAAAGAACATCTTTAAAGAGAGAAAATTTCTTACTTTTTCTGATTTTGATACTGCCACAATCAGGTCTTCAATCAGCATCCCAATGGCTGCGGAACGAGCCATTATGCACGCATTGAATGTACTTCATTGGCAATCAAAAATAGTTGCACGTATTTGGGGTTAGCATGTGTTGTTAGCAGTAGCTAATTGCTGATGACGTGGAATGTCGTTTCGAAATTGATCTAAAGGATCAACACGATTCGATAGGTGGGATTCCAAAAACAGCTCGGGAATAACATTGAGTATTATTGGCATCCAGGAGAGATAGCAACAATCACTGTCCATGTAACGCAAGTCGAAGTACGCGTCGCCAAGCAGTGGCGCTAGCCCTAATAGGGGAAGGTGGCAATTTATGTGACAGATCAAGATTTGTCGGAGCATCCGATGATCTCCAGGGAAATAAGGATTCATTTTTATCGCAACTAAGGAGTCACTTGTTTTGTTTCTTTCTTTATAATACCCGCGTGCAGTCGCTTCTAGTCGCTGTCCTACCTACCTCCTATATCGCATTCCCTCCCGCATATCGCTCGCCCGGCGCCAATATGGCCATAGCAAGGCCTATTCGGCTCCTAGGGGCCTTTTCAATCTTGCTTGTGCTAGTTGTCGTCTTTTACATTTCACATCCAACGCAGACATTTATCAACCTCGGCAGTAGACTCAAAGATGGAATGACTAGGGATCCATTATTAGACCGTAGGTTCAGTACCCATCATAGAGGCGAAGATGGGGTGCTAATTTGCTGCAGCGACGGGGGAACCGGAAGGTATACTATGGCGAGCAGAAGACAATGACTACTCTCCAGACAGTGAGAACTCCGCCCGCATCAATGCGACGCTCCTTTCGCTGGTTCGAAATGAAGAACTCAATGATCTCATCAAGACCATGGAAGATCTGGAACGGACATGGAACCACAAGTTCAACTATCCCTGGACATTCATGAACGACAAACCCTTCACAGAAGAATTCAAGCGGAAGACGCAAGCTGTAACGAAGGGAAAATGTCATTATGGTATGATACAATTCAGATAGGGTTGGTCGGGTTTGGGAATTAGCTGACCGAAGGTACAGAACTTGTACCGAAGGAGCATTGGGAGGAACCAGAGTGGATTGACGGAGAACTAGTAAAGGAATCGAATAAGATGCTCGAGGAAGCCGGAATCCAATATGCCGACAAGTCCTCTTATCACCGAATGTGTCGTTGGAACAGTGGCATGTTCTACAAGCATCCGGCTCTAGCTAACACGCGCTACTATTGGAGAGTAGAACCCAAAGTGCAGTTTTTCTGCAACATCGATTATGACGTGTTCCGATTCATGCAAGACAACAATAAGACATACGGCTTCACAATCAACCTTTTCGATGCACCCGAAAGTATTCCGACTCTTTGGCCAGAGACCGAACGTTTCCTTGCGGAGCATCCTGAGTACCTCGCCGATAATAACATGATGGAATGGCTTGTGGATGACAAGTTGCGGCCAGAGCATAATAAGAAGGCTAATGGATATTCTACCTGTCATTTCTGGTCAAACTTTGAAATTGGTGACATGGACTTTTTCCGTGGCGAAAGATACGAAGCCTATTTCAACCACCTTGACCGTGCCGGTGGATTCTTCTATGAACGATGGGGCGATGCTCCTGTTCATTCCATTGCCTTGGGCCTGTTCGAAGATGCCAGCAAGGTGCATTGGTAAGTCAAAAACCATTTTCTCATAGCCTATAGCGCGAAGGTATCTGACAGATCGAAAAGGTTCCGAGATATCGGTTACCGTCATATACCCTACTTCAACTGTCCCAACTCGCCTAAGTGCTCTGGCTGTAAAGCTGGGCAATTCTACGAAGGTGCAAGTTTCCTAGCCAAGGAAGACTGTCGACCGAACTATTTCAAATATGTCGGTACCCACTAGTTACGTGTCATGATCTCTCGATTCCAAGGTGCTTCATTTTGCATTCATTCCTGCTTGGACTGTGAATGAGCTGGTGAATATGTTATATTGCTTGACAAACCATGAAACTACTACACTATATACATGCGGGCTGGCGTATCGGGGTCTTTTGATGTGCATTCCAGATTATGCACATTCTACAATATTTCTCTGTATCTATACTTGATCTGTCTTTTGATTGTACCATCTGCTATGCTGTCCACAGCAAGGTGTTACTTGTTCTTAAATATCTTTAGAGTTATTAGCAATAATATTGGACCGGGTGAAATTGGCACGTTGAATTAGAGCTAAAGCCGAAAGGCGTCGAAGACCTGCAAAGGAAATGTTTGAGACAGACTAGACGAAGAGTAAACAAAGCATAATAACACACATCTCCCCCAACCAGGGTATACGTATGCATTTTGAATCACACGCGAGCGCATTGCGTCGATAATACAGCTACAGCCGGACCTGCACAACTCGTTTATCCATAAGGCTTTCTATTTATCTATACAAATTTTCCAAGACAATCGAGGTACTGCATTGTGCAACATTGAGATTGGACGTTTACTCGTTCTTGGGGTAGAGTTCCTCGCGAAGAGAGATACCGAGCTCGGTTCGCAGGTTTTCGAGTTGCTCGAGGTATTGCTTGTACTGGCCCTCATTCTCGACCTTGGCACGGACACCTGTGAAAATGTGTCAGAAAGTAGTCTATATAGGTAATATAATGAGTTTTAAGACATAGGTATATGAGAAAGCATACCTTCGAAAATTCGGACGGCAGTAGGAAAGTCGTTTACTCGGCGAGCAGCACGGAGAGCGGCCGAGACAACCTCGACGGAGGGAACAAGATCGTAAGCGAAGGCGTTATTCAGGTTGCGCTGTGATTATGGGTGGTTAGTCGAGGATGATTCACTCGATCCGTGCGTCCGTAGTTGGGCGTCATGCAACCGCGGCTAGGCTATCACCTGTGTGTTCCGTGACCTACCTGGAGCTCGAAAACATCTTGCACGGCATCGAATTCCTTCTCATATCTGCCATTGATTTGTCAGAAAAGGGTATGGTAGTCGTGCATCGAATTTTCGAGTGCAATTGGAATGTAACAAGGTCGAGAGGAGAGTCTATGCTGATCCAAAATCCCATGTGGCCTGACTCTTAAACATCTCCCTCGACCTCGGGTCCTCGACGTGGTATGCAATGGGTGGCTGCCTACCTGGCAGAAAATTCCTCAAAGGTCTCCTCCTCGTGACCGCTGCGAAGCTTCGAGGAAATGCTGAAGTTGTTGGCAGCGACGAAAGCAGAGGGCGAAGCGACGCGGGTCGGAAGGCTGGGACGAACGTATGAAACACCTCGAGCGACGCTGGCCGGGCGAACCGATCGCGCAGCGAGGCGGAAAAAAGTGCTAGATGCCATTTGAGCGGAGACGAGGGTGGTGGAAATAGGAATTGAGCTGCGTTGAGGTCTTTCTGCTGCTTCCCCAAGGAGTGACAACGAGGTTCTGAGGTACGGGAGCGCGGAGGTTTCGTAGGCGGAGTTTTGCGGGTGGTGTGATGCCTCGGGGCTGCCTCAGGCCACAAGGCCGCCACTGGCCCGTTGCGGAAGCCCTCACTGTGTCACATTCTTCCTGCTGACTTCTACGCAGGGAGCCCGGATAACTTTGCCAATGAGAGCGTTGGAGGCACAGGATTGAATATAATAAATAAATCAAGGGACACACTAGAGCCCGCTGATTCCCGGATGGCCATGTGAAATCCTGGCTCGTACAAGTCAAGCATGTGCTGCATACGGTTTACATCGAGCAATACATCTGAATGGCCGACTAATGGTTTCAGGCGCATTAGCAATCGCCAGTCTGACATTATTATTTCAGCATTGGTCGGCGTAACGCCGCGCATCCAGACCAACTCCTGCAGCTCAATTGATGCACATGCTGTCAGAATTAGACTCACCCGCCGCGAGGGGTATGCGAGGGAGTACGGTCTATCTAGTATCATATCATCTAGTTGTAGTATTAGTCGTATATCGACATGAATTCGGCTTGCGGGCGATCGCAAATCGGGTGGGGCTCGCTACCCATGGACCGATAAGAGCTTGCGAGAAGCGAGATATCAGCAGATACTATCTGCTAGATAAGTGATATCGCAGTAGTAGGAGGAGATCAGACTATTTTTTGTGAATCCTAGGTCGAAGTTGAGCCCCTTTTACATCCCTCTCGCACGCAACAGCATGGCGCTAAGCCCAAAGAGCACTGGCGCCGGTGGGCTTGGCCGCCGATCCAGCCTGTAAGATTGGGCGCGCTGGAAACTCCGGCAAATCGTGAAATTGGGTCTCGCGTGTCGTCCCTGCTTTTTTCTCCTCCTGCTGCTTCTTCATAAGACCGTTGACACTCTGCCTCGGCCTGGCCTTTCTTCTGCCTCGATTTCCCTTCTGTTCTTACGTTTCGTTTCGTTTCATCCACCGCTCCTTGATCAAATTAATTCTTATAGTCTGCCGATATCTATTTTAATAATCCGGGGCTGCATTGCTGATCACTTTTCTTCCCCTTCTTTCTTTTCTAGATACTCTGCGTCGAATCGAAGAGAGTATAAGCCGACGCTGCTTTTGTTCGTCAAGCATTGTCCATTGATACTCGTCCACCATGTCGTTCGATCTCAAAGACATCCCTCTCCCAACCATTGATCGCCCGTTCGGCATCGAGCTATGGCCCTACTTCAACAAGGCCTTTGAGGCTGTCGTCGGCTACCCTGCTGACGACTTCCGCTTCGTCTCGGGGCAGACGCCATTGTCCACACTATCCGAAACGGCTGTGGCACTGCTAACATACTATGTGGTCATTTTTGGCGGCCGTGAAGTCATGAAGAATTTCCCTGCTTTCAAACTGAACACACTCTTCATGCTGCACAACTTTGTCCTCACCTCCGTCAGTGGAATCCTGCTAGCTCTGTTTTTGGAGCAACTGATTCCCACCCTCTACCACCATGGTGTTTTTTATGCTATTTGCAACCACCAGGGCGGATGGACCCAGCCTTTGGTTGTCTTGTACTACGTAAGTTGGATTGAATTGCTAAGAAAGGCCAAGAACTGACAATTGCAGCTCAATTACCTGAACAAGTATTTTGAATTTCTCGACACTCTTTTCCTCGTCCTGAAGAAGAAACCGTTGACCTTCCTTCACACGTACCACCATGGTGCTACCGCTCTTTTATGCTACACTCAACTTGTTGGTTTGACTTCGGTCTCATGGGTGCCAATTACTCTCAACTTGCTTGTGCACGTCGTCATGTACTGGTACTATTTCCAAAGTGCTCGTGGAGTCCGCATCTGGTGGAAGAAGTACATCACTATTCTCCAGATCGCCCAATTCGTCATCGATTTGGGTAAGTTGTTGTGAACCGTTCAAGTATTCAAAACTAACGTCTTCCAGTCTTCGTCTACTTTGCGTCTTACACCTACTTCTCGAGCACCTACTTCCCATGGGCCCCTAACGCTGGAACCTGTGCTGGCGAGGAATTTGCAGCTTTCTCCGGCATGGGTATCCTCACTTCATACCTCGTTCTCTTCATTTCCTTCTACTTTGTCACCTACAAGAAGACCGCCAAAACTGGCCGTCCTCGCAGAAACACTGGTCGCCAAGCTCTTATTGATATGAAGGATGCTGAAGTCCCTAGCGTTGTCCCCAACGGTCATGGCCACTCCAACGGCATTGCTACCAACGGCTCTACATCTGCACGTGAGAACGGCGGTCCTGTCACCCGTTCCCGCAAAGCATAAACAATACAGTGAAAGTCAGACGGACATGTTCATCTAAGTGGGCGACTGGGATAACGCATGTCAAGACGCACAAGAAGCATATATCGCGCCATCATCGGACCATTCGATATGCCATCGAGATATTCACTTCTTGTCGCTGTATTATATTTTTCTACCCTTCTTTTCGACATAAAAAATTATTATGTTTAATGAGTCACGGTCATTACTGGGTCACTCCTGGTTGGATCATTGATAGGAGGGGATATGAGGAAACTGCCAACTCTATAGAAAGGAGAATAATGGGTTTGGTCGCTTGGGAATGATGAGAACTGGTTGCTAACAGCGATTGATTTACAAGCTAACATAAGTTTTTCTGTTCTTTACTTATTTGTACATCATTTAGGCACGGTTATTCTTTTTATTTTTTGTTAGCTTTCAATCCGGTGGTGTCAATGTTTTAGCAGGCTCATTTCGAGTGGTGTTGATCAATTTAGTTGCTCAATTTAGAGTTGGTTGATTTCATGAACTGGATGTATCCTGGTATTGGGTTCTTGCGGATTAAACTGAATAATCAATTCAATGTTGAGTTAGAAACATCTAAGTCTATGTATATGTCAATTAAGATCAATAATTGATACGTAGCATATAGACATCAATGTATGTATATGCAGTTGCTATCAAATCAATCTCTTGTACAACAGGTATGTGCGTATGTTTATATGCAATGTAGAGGATGTGTTCGGTAACAGATTGATATACATCAATTGATGTATCGATTGAGTGGACACATTTATGTTTGATTTTATTCAATATCGACATCAGTCCATCGTCCTTCAACGTCAAAACCAACACCAGTCTGACATGTATATCCTTACGTTTCTATTCGGAATAGCACCCGAGAACTTCAACACACCTTGAGTCATATCAGCATCCCACCAAGGCATCGACACATTGCAAAAAACAAGGCTGAAGTCAGCATTAGCAGAAAACCACCCACAACAATTGTCTGAATCGCGACTGCGCGCACTTCGGAGATTCTTTGAGCTTTAGTTTATTCATTCCCATCAGCTTTTCCAAATCCCTGCCAGGGGTAAATCGACATAGAGAGAGATAGGTTACTATCACCCAATCAAGTCAAAGCCAAGAGTCATCTCTGATCTAGTAAATGTGGCGTCAACATGGATTGATTATTCAACGGAAGGAAAAGCTACGCGGCATATGTCGACATTCAGCTCATACTAACCGAACGAGCAATGCCATCCATTCAATCGTCCTGTAATGTGTCTATATATGAGGATAGAAACAAAAATAGACCGACTTAGTATGTCTCGGTTATTTTACGTTGAAGCATGTTTAAACAAATCGCCGATATACTAATTCCTGGTCTATAGAACGCCGGTTGATGATATGCATTAGCTTGGGCTTTTCTAGATCAAGTGTTAAAATAGTATAAGTTGCATCGAACATATCTCTAGCTTATATATATATATACAGGAGATCCTTATGTATCCTAGTTCGTCTTTTCGGAGTGTCATACTTTCGTGTGGCTTTTTCTCGTCCATATTATTGATAAGCTGGCGCCTCTCGGTGAGTATACCCGTGGGGGCTATACAACATCGAAGCACAAAGATCCCGAGAGTATCCAGTACAAAATGATGTTTGTTTTTAACAGAGCCGAATTAGAGAGAACAGAAAAAAAGAAAATTCATTATCTCAGCCTTGAAACATTCTATAAGGTTATGCGATCCGCTGGTCAATGCATTGATTCTAGGTCAGTGCTATTATTCGAACACGGGCATCGGCACGGGTGTAGTTCTAGAACGGCGACTATGTATTCGTTGTTGCAATACCACTTGGTTAGTTCTACATTAGTTTTCTAGGTAGATATTGATATATATGGAATTCGATAGGTTTTTCAGTTTTTCTTGGGTACGTTGGTTGGAACCATGTATGTGGCTTTTCTAGCACTCTTGTGCCTTGCATAAGTGTACAAGGGTGCTGAGACTAGACTTTGTATGCCTTCTCCCGTACCAGGATACGCGTCAGCAATGGAGGAATATATACTACGTAGTATATAGATAGAGCAGTCCATGTGACTAGGTGGATTTTCAACTGAATATCTCATTATATGATTATTCTAGAACAATGGAGACTGGCTGAAGGATCGCTATCTTCAGTACAAGGGTCCTTTGACTAAGAATCCTCTCGAAGAACGAAAATAGAATTCTTTGAATAAGGATCTCACTGTCTAAAAATCGAGTCCGTGGGATGCAACGCTACGCTAGCATGATGCCTCCACTCATTTTTTTGAATATTCAGCCCAATAATAGAAACAAAAGAGAATGAAGAGAAAAAGGAGCATTCTTCAATTATGCATACCCATAACCAAGAATTCCAAGAACAGAGCGAGAAATTTCGGTTCATTGTATGACAGCGGGTTATCATCGGGAAGCCTTCTGGCTACGTGTGCCCATTCCTACGGGTTGCATCACGCTACAGAGAACCCTTGTCAAGGGACTGTTTCAGATTGAGCAGCAGCATAACATATGCTGGTAAAAAGGTGTAGAGCTTAGTTGCGCCATACATGTGTCACCTAAGCTAAATAATTGGAAATTGTGCTGCAGTACCTGGCATTCGGAACATTGACATGTGTGGGATATTATATGTAGGACAAGATGATATGAATGTGACAAATCAATAGCCATTAGTGATTGACAGTTACTTCCGGCACTATTGAATGTTGAATATTTAGAATGAATATGATGCAATGCCCGCAGCTCAATTAATTGTATCAATTGATGACTTAGTAGGAGTCCATCAGCATTTTTCAGGTATTCCCTTGCTGTTGAAAAACGTATCCCATTCACTCCATATAACATTGAAATTAGCAATGGATCGATTGATATTATTAGACAGTCACATGTGCGTGGATCTGGTACCTACACATCGCTGCCATGACATGAACTAAGTTAACTTCCAGTCCCACCTTGCCTGCAAGGACCAGATCAATAGCATCGGACCATGGCCATGGAAAGCCACGGAACCGACAGTTCAGCTATTGATTCTTATCGTCATAAAACCAAATTATCCATCTGACTGAACCGAAGCACGGGTCGTCAACAAGTGGATGTCCTTCACCGAAGCTAATAACTATAATAATAACGATAATGATGATGATACTTATTTTCGTCGCTGGCTTGAAGAGTACACATCATGATTTTCTAGTGCAGTCTCGGAATAATTAAAATTGAGCTAAGGAACTAGTCCCAGACTAAATGCGCAGAAAAACCAGACACTGGAATGCTAGGACACACTAAGGCCGACAATAGGCCCAACGGCTGTTTCAGCAGCACTACGGCCACGACCATGACGGGCCCTACGGCTTTGACGGTTACAGCATGCCAGAATTACATTTTTCTTTTGCCCTGTCTCAGGTCTGTGTCGTCTCCTCGCTGCCTCAGAAGAAAGGCAATTGTGCCCCTTATCCCTCGCGGAGTCTGGTCTATGAGGGAGTCCGGGCTTTATTATCCGGACAACGGATAGCACTGGCAGTTAGTGGCAGCCAGGTGGTGTGTCACAAATGCACGTTAGGCCTGCAGCGAATGGCTGCACAGGCTGCGCTAGTAAAAAGCATGCAGTCCGAGTTGTTAGCGTGGCCGTTGGAAGAAAGCAAGTCACTCCGGATATCGTTGTTGCTACTGGTCGGCATGAGACTAGTGGAAATAGAAGCAAGTCAGTACATACTACATAGTAGTGCATGCCTACCCTCACGTAAACCAAGCAGTTATATGGCGCTACGCATCCTGGCCTAGCGGCGCTATACCAATCGTGAACAGTGACATCGGACGTGTCAGATCGTTCTTTTCTTTTCGGGCGACTTTTTGTTGCTCGACGAGCGTCAGTGCTCGCATTGAGGATTGATTATATCATGTGGGCTGACTCAAGGGATCTGAGTGTTTGTTTTTGCCAGTGCGTAACAATGAAGCAGTACGTCAATGCAAAGAATTCCTGCCTGTCCAAGGGCCAGCATAGCAGAGTGAGGCGGAAGGGACGGCGAGTCCTTGAAAGGAGACGAGGGGCTATTCCGTGTGTGCCAGGATAAAGACAGCGGCATCCAGACACAGTATGTATTAAAATACCATAAACCGATAATGGATGTAATACTGGGGAGAGTGGCGGCGAATATAGGAGGACAGTAAATAGTAGCGATACCATCCGTGGACAATGTGGGTAGGACCAAGTGGGCAGGGTGTAGCAGCGGAGGGGCCAACAGCCGCCGCTAAGCCGTGCCAATCCTTTAGCCCTGACTCTGCAACACTCCAACAGTTCTCCCAGTCCACCACTCACGCTTGATGATGACTAGACCCGAAACCCTCGCGGCCAGCTCTTGTCGGACTTATTGGCCCCAGACTGCCATGTCAGGGTCACTCGCGAGTCGCGAATGGCGTTCTCCCTTCGGGAAGTACTGTCGTCCTGTCATGTATCTGTGCCCCTCCTCGCCCAGGCATGCGCTGCCTTGTTGCCCACAGCTGGCTTCCACCATATCTTCTCTGCACTACTATAACTATCGCTGACTCCCTCCCCACTCGCCCCCAGTTCGCCTGGCTGTAGTGCAGTTGATGTGTCTTCTGCTTGATACTGACCCGCCTTAGTCTTCGTTGTATATTCAATCACACCTGTGTGTGGCTTTGGTTGTGTGGTTGGACTGGGGAAAAGCAATCCGACTGGATACTGCCAGACCATCTTGAATAGTCACGCCATGGAGACGTCAATGGTTCACCCTCCTCAGTTGGAGGGAAAGTCCCACGACCATGATGAGCCGCTGCAATTGCACTCAATGCCTACCTGGAAGCGGTATGAATCCGAAGAAGAGGAAGTGTCTGAGACCAGCTCTGTAAGAGCCTTTACGCCGTCCGACGCAGAGTCGGGGAATGACGATACCGCCGATAGCTCTGCTAGCGAAGCAGAATATGGTGTCGTGATTGAGAATGGCATGCCGTCTCCGTCCCAAGAGGTATCAGACGAGTCGTCCAGTATCTACTCGCGACGGCTATCAGTGGTGACTGCTAAGCGGGCCAGTGCGGTCACTTATTATACTGACGGTAGAATGGGGAGTGATGACTCTGCCAGAGAATATGTTACGCCGCCTCTATCTCCATCGTCTGTTCCATTCCTTGGCGGTGAGGAAGAGGAAGAGGAAGAACAGCAGGTCTTTGAAGCAAAAAAAGTCCAGTACACAGCACCTACCATGCGGCCGAACATTATCTTCATTCAAAACCCTGAGTCACCCAAACGCCCGGAAAATCTACGCAAACGCTCGTCAACTGCCTCGGGCTTGAGCTCCCCTGACCGCTCCAAGCGCTACTCTGCAATGTTCTTCCGGGATATCTCGCAAGACGGCGAAGTCGCATACGTCGAATCTCAGAAGCACGTACGCGCACGATCTGCCCAGCGAGTTGGAAGTAGCCCTTATCGTTCAAGAGGCACTTCTCCTGCAAAGGGTGGAAATGCTAATGCTGATGCGGAGACACGACCACAATGGCCGCGAAGGAATACTTCTCTACGATCTACAGGAAGTGTCTACATGACACCGTCAGATGAGGTGCCTCGAGCGCGTTCTCGACCTCGCTCTATCCGTAGCTCTGGCCTCGCCAGCGACCAAATGAGCTCTAGCTCACGATCATCAAAGCAATTATCTACACATAACTCGTCCACATCATCACTGCACAACTCATCGACATTCTCCTTCGAGCCCTGCTCCCCCGACTCCGCCGACAAGACCAAGTCTGCTGCCCCTCACCCACTCTCCATCATCACCACCCTATCCCCTGCACCCATCCAATTCACCGGCCCTTTTGGCACGACTGAGAACGCTTCTGGCCTAACGCCACACGCGCGCTCAGCCTCGACCCAAAGCGACATTGACCCAACCTACACTCCATGCTCTCCCTACTCGCCCATGGAGCCACAAAATTCACAATTAAAGTCTATCGACACGACCCCGCAAATCTTACGGCCGGGGCCACCAGGCTTGTACGGGCTCCGCCACAACCCATCTCTCACGCTCGTTACTCGTCCCGAAGACCTCGAGCCATCCTCTGCAGACCCTCATCAACCAAGACGATTCAGCAGGGACTGGTCTATCTCATCGCCCGCATCAGCAAAACCATCCTCCAAATCAGCCAATGGAACGAGTGCTATGAAATCATTGATGGGCGGGTTCCGGGGGCTAGGGCGGCCACGAAAGCGATCACTGGCCCCAGCCCCCAACCAATCCTGAAACTCTAACCTTTCCTGACTCTGGACAATCAGCCGATCACTGATTCGCATCTAGCCCACATTAACGAATCATATTTGATATCTCGACTATGGCAAAAACCAGATCATACGGATCTGTTTTTTTTAATTTTTTTTTTACGGCGTTCCATATCTACTTTCTTCCGTTCCATTTCTGTTTTTGGGTATGTATCGGTCTAGCTGGGATAGGAATATTCTCTTTTTCCTCGCACGTTTTGCTTATGCTTATTCGGTGGCAACATTGTCTTATCATCGCACTATTACTGCGTATCATTATTGGATTGCTTGTGCGTTGATCACGCTTCTTACTCACGGACACGGACTCGGGTTTCGGATACGGATACGATTTCAGCTCACGGAACATGAGCCTCTCTCCTATACTCTGTTTTGATTGGTGTTTTTACCAGATACGAATACGTATGCAGATTCAGCTTTCAGCTTATACAGGATTATTCTAGTGTGTATTCTCTAAATATTATTGACTGACTCGATTCAAATTTGATTGTGATTTGCTGCTATTTTTGTCGCGCTAAGACTCAAAGCTTAAATTCCCGAACAACAACCATATTCTGCATAGTGCCGAGTCATTAATGATCGGCTAGCCAGTCAGAGTGCAAATTGACGGTTATAACATACGCTAAGAGAAGAGATGAAAAAGCTGATATATGAGGAAGTAGGGTTTGTCTGCTTCCATGAATTTGTTTGCGGGTTGATGTCATGCGTAAATGTTTGTGTGGCTTCGTTTAACTGTGGCCAGCTGGCCTTGTGGTTATGCACGCACTGCTCGGTGCATTTCGTTAATGCATTGGGGCCAATTGTATCATCGCGTTGGAAGGAGTTAATGGTGTGATCAATTGATACATATGTATCAATGATACAGTGTTTAATCAGCATGCTATCCATGCCATTGAGAAAATATTGCGTCAATTGATCAGCGTAGACTTAAAGATGCCACCTTAACTGCCAGGTCTGTCACAACGGGGCCATTTCGCTAATATGTACCGGTGTATACAATAATGATATATAATGAATCTGCACAATACGTATACCCATTCATTCTCCACTTATCTCCGTGCTTCGAGCGCAGCCTTAATCGCTGTTATTAAACAGATTAGCAGTGAATTTTAGATATTCGTCAAACACAGCTTACCATCACATGAGCTCTTAGCGTCTCCAAAGAGCATCTTTGTGTTTGGCATATAGAACATTGGATTCGGCACATCTGCGTATCCACTCGACATGCCGCGTTTCATGACGATAACCTCCTTGCTCTTCCATGCATGTAGCACCGGCATCCCCGAAATGGAAGAATCGGGTTCCAAGGCAATCGGATTGACAGTGTCGTTAGCTCCGATCACTAGAGTGACATCAGTGTCGTTAAAATCGTCGTTTATTTCGTCCATTTCAAGAACAACTGAGCCTAATTAACCGAATGATCCCCAAACGGTGTTAGAAACTTACTGTCATATGGAACTGATGCTTCTGCAAGAAGAACATTGCATTGTCCAGGCATACGGCCTGCAACGGGATGAATTGCAAAACGTACGTTGACCCCTTTGGCCCGTAACATCTTGGTGATCTCAGATATGGCATACTGTGCCTTGGCAACTGCCATGCCATAGCCCACAACCTGATCTAGGTGTTAGTAATAAGGCGACTGCTTGATATTTTGTGTACATACTATGATAACGTTCTCTGCGTTTGTAAGGGCGTCTACAGTTTCTTCGATGGCTGTTGTGGTGACCTCGCCTTCAATTTTCTTGTTTGCCTGTGTCTGTGCAATGCCACCGAAAAGTACATTTGTGATAGACCGGTTCATGGCAACGCACTTGATGAAATTAGTATACTGCCATAGACATAAACAGATTCACACTTACCATGATATAGGATAGAATCGACCCGCTTACTCCAATCAACGAACCTACTGTAGTCAACAGTGGATTGTCAAGCATCAGGCCTTCGGCGACCAATGCAAACCCAGAGTAAGCATTCAGGACAGTGATCACGACAGCTAGTTTGTGTTAGCCGCGAAGAATAGAATTTTAAATACATGTTTGACATACGCATATCAGCCCCGCCAATTGCAGCTGTAGTTGTAAACCCCTTCAAAAAGCTAAGAACCGTGTTTGCCCCTAGACATGCCGCAGCAATTACAGGCGCTCCGGGTGCCATTGTAATAAATGCTCCCATTGTCGCAACATTTGCTCCTAAAAGCGAGGTATTGATGACATGTCTACCAGGAAGAATAGTAGGCGTTGATTTCATACGGCCAGCCAATTTGAGGAATGCGACAATAGACCCAGTGAAGGTAACACCACCAATAAGGACACCGAGGTATGCAGTCACCATGTGTAGAGTTGAGATGTGGGCGACGTCTGCCATGACACTACCAATACTGGTAAGAACTGCTGCTAGGCCGACAACTGAATGCAATGCAGCCACTGTCTGTGGTAACCCAGTGGGAGTAATACGTCTCCCAATAATGGCACCTGAGGGATTAGAATACAGAAGCGAAAGTGACGGTTTATCCCAACTTACCTAGGACACCGCCAATACCAGCCACAACACCGAACTGAGCCAAAGTTTCCGGCGTGAATCCAACTGCAAGCAACGAAGCCAAGAATCCCGAGGCGACACCGAGAATGCCAAGTATATTTCCCCGTCTTGCTGTTAGCTGAGACGCGAGACCTGATATTGAGCCTATTGACAATATTAACATCATCTACGAGAGTCTTAAATGTTTGTCTTACTGATGCAGAGTACGCTGCTGACTAAATATCCAGCTTGTACAAGCCCGGCCATACCAGTAGCGGCAGCAGCAATGTAGCCTCCACCAAAAAGAACACCTGGAATGGCATACAGCCAGGGATACTCGGGGGATCAGTAGGGCCTAACTACGTTAGTATGGCTCAAATCATGGCATAAACACTCACGTTTGAACATATCTAACATGCGCTTTGTGATAACGAATCCTCCGGAAACGTTTACAAATGCAAGCAAAACAGAGACTGCTCCTAAAGCCTCCGGAATGGTGGTAGGAACATAACCCCCACCCATGACGAACAGTCCACCAATACCGACCATACCTCCAGCAAGTTAGTTGTCGCTGAAGATAGATTTGAGCCAAAACTTACCCGAGATGGCATTTGTTACACTCATAAGAGGGGAGTGTAGAGCTGGGACAACTCCCCATACTGCCCGGTAACCTACCAACCCAGCCAAGCCAAAGGTAAACATATTGCCCATAAAAACGGGACCGGTTAATTTTCCAAGGGCTAGAGCTGATCCCATTCCAGCTGTAATTGTGGTAACTTCACGTGTTGCCTTTTGCCACGGCGTCAACGCAACAGCCTCTGCATTCTTCGTAGGAGTCTGCGCTGCTGCAGTAGTCGGAGTTGGCGGTGGAGTTGGAGGCGGCGGCGGAGGTAGTATATCTCCATTGAAGCTAACAATCGCACCGCGAGTTACTTCATCGTTCAAATCTACTGTGAAACCATTGTTTTTGTCTGCGAGCGAAAGCAAGAATTTAGTGATGTTGTTTGAGTACAGAGTAGACGATTGAGTAGGAAGGCGAGACGGTAGATCGGTGTAACCTATGGACTGTTTAGTCATTAATTTTATACAAAAGATATAATTACTATGGCTGTCATACCGATAACCTTGACCCCATCGTAGACGGTTAACTTTCCGGGAACAGTGGCTTCGCAATTACCCCCAGCTTCAGCAGCGAGATCAACAACTACCGAACCAGGCTTCATTGCCCGTACCATCTGCTGCTGTTAGAAGGTTTTCAAAATCCAATAATGAAAAAGAAAAGGCCTACCTCCTTGGTGATTAGTTTTGGGGCAGGCTTGCCGGGGATAAGTGCTGTAGTAATGACGATGTCGACCTCACGACACTGATCCATGAAGAGTTTCATCTCGGCCTCAATGAATTCTTTGGACATCTCTTTAGCGTAGCCACCCTGGCCAGAGCCATCTTCTTCTAGATCGACTTCGATAAACTCGGCACCGAGGGACTGAACCTGCTCACGAGCAGCAGGCCGCGTATCGAAAGCGCGTACTATCGCACCGTTTCGGCGGGCCTTAAGAGTCAGCTTCTTGAAACGTATCTCGATAATTGGGTCCATACCGCGGCAATTGCACTTAATCCGGCAACACCAGCTCCAATTATAAGCACTTTACTAGGCGGAATCTACCGCGATTGTTAGTTATGTTGCTAAAAGTTGCTCATAGGGGCAATTGACCTTTCTATAATATTGAATTTGATTAGCATATGTTGTTACAAATAATAGTTTGATTGCTTACCCGGCGGCCGTCACTTGACCAGTCAAAAAACGACCGAATTCGTTGGAAGCTTCCAGGACGGCTTTATAACCAGCGATATTAGCCATAGAGCTGTTCAAAACAACCACATTAGCTATTTCATTCACTCGCTGAATATAGGCGTGCTCACCTCAATGCATCAAACACCTGAGCTCGAGAAATACGAGGTACTTTGTCCATTGCGAATGCAGTAATGCCGCGAGTAGCTAGAGCTTCGACAACAGGCTTGTTCTGAGCAGGATAAAGAAACGAAATGACAGTTGCACCCTCACGCATAGACTGTACTTCATTTGAGGGACCTTCTACGCTGGGAGCTCTGACTTTGAGCAGAATATCACTCTGGGCCCACACGGCGTCTTTCTCAACCATTACTGCGCCGGCCTTTCTATACGCTTCATCGGTGAATTGGGCGCCTTCTCCGGCACCGCACTCCACGAGAACTCGCGAAAACCCTTTCTTGAGCAGTAATGCCACATTTTGCGGAGTAATGGCAACCCGGCGCTCGTTTGGAAAGGTCTCGCGTGGAATACCAACTGTGAGCGACTTGTATGGTACCACCACAGATGGAACGGAGGTCGTAGATGCAAAGCGTCTTAGAATCGTCCGTTCGGACAGAAGACCGACCTCCCGTCGGTGCTTTGGAATACGTGTGCTCGAGGGGAATGTTTGGGCCTGGAACACTGTAACTAGAGAGCTGTCAGACTGAAACTACTCATCATCCTGGTATCCTCAAACTCGCGGACGTACCTGGAAGCCCTAGCAGGCGCGACGACCGACCCGCTCCCACCAGGGGAATGGGCCGGCATGGCGCCAGAGGCGGCGCCTTCACAAACCAGCTCATCCTGATCGACTCAGACGATCAATCTACATGTAGTGCTCGGTCAGGGCTCTGATCAGTCGGCAGACATGCTCTTGTCACCAAGCACAGAGCAGCAAGAGGAAAGGGCCAGCAGCGGGGTTGTTGGAGACGAGGAAGGCGCGTCTGCGCACGATAGCGGAAATCGGGGAAACAGCGAGCGAAAAGCGGAATTTGCATTCAAGGGGCAGCGTCGGCTGCTGTCGGCAAGAGGGGGCGCAGGTAGGTTGCAGGTAGGTGCAGCGACTACGACAACACGCGGGGGTTCCTTGGATGCGGAGAACCGGCTGGGACGACGCGTCCCCATAGCTGATGTCACCCCAATGGCTCTCCAGAGCTGCCACAGGCTAACAGGCTAAAAACCTGGGGAGAAAACGCGGGGAGGCGCCGCCAGTGGGGCCCACCCAAGGCCCCGCGATGTGCCCGTAGCGTTGCACAACGCCTGCATGTACGTTATTGTGCGCACTGCGTATGTTATGATGTGCATCCCTATCGGAGAAATGGAAATAATGGTTCAGATCTAAATATGACACAGACGCCATCTGCTGTGCTGGACTAACTGATATATCATGCTCTCTGCTCTCCATAAATCGAGTCTTTTCTAAAGAGCCAAGGTTGAGTGGATTTACTGTTACCACCTTCATATGTTTATGTAGTAGTGTGACATTGCAGAAGTACGGCTGATAATTGTTTAGCCGGTAGACGCCGAAGCAGGAATCGGATTGATTCTTTGAAGTCACTGCTAGTGCCCATAGTGGTTGGATACCTTGAACTTGGACGACCGGCTAGACATTGCTAGCGATGAGGAAGCCGAGCCTAAATACGAGTCTCTGTGCAAGCCCGACAAGGAATTCAATACTCTGCTATACATGTATGTTTACAGACTCACCAGGAAGTAAATTAAATAATAATGAGAATAATGTAATAGCGACTAGTCCCAAATTAGACTAGGGATGACTACCCCGGTTTCAGGCCTGGCAACGATGATATCATCCCCGCCGCTGGCTCCTGCCGTGGCACGCTCTCGACCCGCTCTCGACACCTTCCATGCACCCGACTGTGCCAGTCCACATTGAAAGTATATATATATAGACAGCGCTTGCAGCAACAGCCACCATGAAAGCGCGAACTCTAGTCCCGTTCACCTTCGACCTGCTCCCGCTCGGTGCGGTAAAGCCGCGAGGATGGATGCGAGACCAGCTGAATCTCAGTGCAACAGGGCTTGGAGGGAATATTTACAAGTTTCATCGCTTCGTCAAAGGCAGCAAATGGTTGGGCGGCAATGTTGAGTACAGCCCGCTTAACGAATCTGCGCCCTACTGGTACAACTATATTGTACCGCTTGCTTATTTGCTCGACGATGAGGGTTTGAAGAAGCAAGCAAATGAGTTTTTGGATCTGATCCTGAAAAATCAACACGCAGATGGTTGGATTGGCCCGGAGTTTACAAGGCATGGGCGGGGAATCTGGGCTCGATGTTTGGTCTTGATGGGTATGGTGAATCACGCCCTCGCAGACCCCGCTCAGTACGAGCGTATTGTCCAGGCAATGCTCCGCTTCACCAGGCTCGCGAATTCCATGCTCAAAGACAACTTTCAGGGTTTAATACCACACCCGGGAGATGAGTTTGATGAGTTCTGCATCACGCGCGCACACGAGTTATCAACCTCTTTGCAGTGGTTGTACGAGCAGGTGGATAACAAGCAGGATAAGGAGGTTATTTGGGAGACAATGGATCTCGCATGGAAAGCTACTCGTGAAGGAGACCGTGACTGGTCGAAGTTCTTTACCGAGCAACAGTTTCCCAAAGAGCCGGCTGCTCAGGGATCCACATTGATCAAGCACGTCGTGAATGTAGCTGAAGGTAAAGCAGCCCGTAACTACTATCGTTTATTAAGCTAATCAAGTTGATTGCCTAGCATTGCGTTATATCCCACAACTATATCGAATGACCCATGATCATGGCCTAGTCGAACATGCTCGCCAATCCGTCGAAATGGTATTTAAATACCACGGAACAACTTTTGGGGCGCTCGCTGGTGATGAATTCCTAGCTGGGCTGCACCCGAAACGAGGTGCTGAATTGTGCGGCACTGTAGAACTGATATTTTCGCTTTCCTATCTCTATCGCCTGTTTGGAGAGACACAGTATGCCGACCGGGCAGAACTCGCCACATACAACGGCTTACCGGCTGGTGTTACACCGGATTGGTGGGCTCATAATTATCTCACCCAAAGCAATGAGCCCTGGGCAAGGAATCTTCAGAACTGGCCATTTTATAACTGTGGGGGACGCGCTCTGGTATATGGATTGGAAGTCAACTACGTAAGTTATATAAGGTTATGTATTATACCCATATCTAACAAAATAATAGCCATGCTGCTTGGTCAATCATGCCCAAGGCCTTCCGAAGTTTGCCATGAACGCATTTGTCGCAAGTCCCGACCTCAAATCGATTGCCCATCAGTTTCTATTCGCAGCTGAGGCAACGATTCCAGTCGAAGCTGACAGCCCTATTCACATCACAAGTGAGACTTATTATCCATTTGATGAAAAAATCACGTACAAGATTGAATCAAGCCGCAGCTTTGACTTTTATATTCGCATTCCCGAATGGGCTACCAAAGGAAGTACAATCAAGAAAGATCTTGCCAGCAATGACGTCCAGGAAGAGGCGGTACAGCCCGACTCAAATGGCTTGTATAAAGTATCGATTTCTCCCGGCAAAACTGCCTTCAAGGTAACACTGAACGCTGCCATTCGTATCGTCCCTCGACCCAACAATGCAGTTGCTATTTACCGAGGCGCACTCTTGTATGCTATGGAAATTCCGCACAAAGCCAACGTTGGGCCCCCGAGGCACTTTTCCGAATGGACCCCCTTGCCCGATGACGACAAGTACGCGAAAGAAGTTCGCGACGTGGAGTATACGCCGACCAGCGACTGGAAGGTAGCCATTGACCCGTCACAAGCACAATTTCACCGCACCGAAATCAAGGGAGAGCTGGCCAACCCCATCTTTGAATCTGGCGCCCCGCCAGTATCTATTACCATCGCAGGAACGAAGATTTCCAACTGGGAGCTAGAAGGAGATTGCGCAGGTCTTCCTCCATCGAAGCCAGCAGCAACGGGCAAACCGTTTGCTGTAAAACTTGTCCCATTTGCAAGCGCAAAACTGCATATATCAGAATTCCCTACTGTGAAATTGGGAAAGGTGCATTTGGATAAAGTAGGTTCCCACTGCTCTGTTATGTAAACCGCACAAAAAATGCCTATTCTTTTGTTTGGGACACGATTTTCCACAAGTTTCTACCATTTTGGTAGACTTGTTTTTCTACTTCCCATTTACCTGAGGATGTATATAGGCGAGATTTTGGTTCCTCGGGCCATCCTCGATCAGTCGGCTATGTCGTCGCGTCGTGAAGCATAAATAGTTTTATCGAAACATCAATGATATAAGCAAGTGCCGAAGGCAATGATCATCCGGTTCATTTACCTTATTACACTGACTCCTAGGAAATTCCAATAGAGAATTCAAGTCTGGCCATATATATGCGTATATCAATGAATTATCATGAGACTTTATTTTAGATATTTGACGGTCAAAATAAATCAATCTTGAAACTCTTGCCATTTCACCATGCGGTCCTGCAAATCCAAAATATCACCATCGACGACGAACGTCCCATCACCACGATGGTGAAACATCTTGCCGCCCTCTCCAGGTTTCCTTTCTGGGTTGATCCATGCCCTGACCGGTCTCAACACCCACAAGGAGTATTTACTAACCATTTTTGTATCCTCGACCACACACTCAATGTTAGAAATAATGTCAGGACCTCCCACCAGCGGCGCCTTGACTTTATCTGCAGATAGCGCATCCAGCCCAAAACGCTCCCATTTGCTTGTTATATCGTCGTCGCCGGCAGAACAGTTCCCAACATCGACAACAACACCAGCCATCTCAACAGATGGGATAGCAAGCACACACTCGCGGTGTTTCTTCAGGGCAGCAAACGACACGTCCCATGGGCCGACGGTGATGCCGATTAGAGGCGGTGACTCGTGCTGCATAACCATGTGGAATCCAATAGTCATCACATTGTGTGTTGAGTCGGCTAGTGAGCCTGTCGTGACCAGCAGCACTGGGCCGGGCTCGATAAGACGATAGACTTTGGAGGGTGGGTAAGAGCCAAAACCATGCCGATGTCGGGTGTTGGCTTCTCTTGTTCTGGCATCGCATTTGGAGGATGACTGAAAGTTTTCCTCCTGCTCAACCTGTGCTTTTCGTTTGGGGGCCATGGTGAATAGCTACCCTCTGCCTATGGAACGTAAAGAGGCGTCTTTTGATGGTTTTCGCGTGGCTGCGGGGTAAAGCACGGCTGGGATAGAAAATGCGTCAATTACCGCCGTCCTGTTTGATGAAGAACAGCAATCAAATCCAATAAAGAATAGTGATTGAGTTCAACAATTCAGCCATGGGACGTTGTTTGTTGAATCGGGATGGAACGCTGTTGTATAGCGCGTCGCCGACCGATGTCTGGCGACGTCATCGGATTCTTTTGAGAAGAAGCATGGAGTCGCTCAGAATCTGCGAACCACTATATTTCGACGCCTATTTAGCAGTAAGCTTTCCAAGAAGATAGCTTCAGTGATGATTAATGATAAAGAGGTCTGTCTAGCTTATGAGTTAACAACTTAGCAAGGGTCAGTCAGCAACAAAACCCATTAGTCAACTCAATCAACAATCACGCCTTAACTAAAAATCGCGCTAAGCCAAAACCAACGCAAGATTTTATTGCACCGGCGGGACTTGAGAGAACTAGGCACAGCTCAGACTTTTTTTTTTGGCTTTATTTCTCCCCCTGTCGATTTTCGATATTCATTTCTTGTTTATTATTTTTCTTGGTGATTTTTCTGGATTGTCCGCGACGTTGGTTGCGCTGATTTTGGTTAATTGATTTCGCGATTGCGAACGGGGCTAGAAAATTTCCTCTAGCAAGGCCAGATTAGGGCAGTCATGTCACACCTAGAAGTAGAACGCGACCATGAGGTTGCCTCTCCCAGCGAATCTGTGGAGGAGACCAGCAGAGACCAATTGGTAATGGATGCAGATGCTGCGCTCCTGGTATGTTGAGTGCTTGACAATTGCAAAGCCAGACTGGAACAACTTCCCGATGCTAACCGTTGTATAGCAAACAATGGGGTACAAGCAGGTATGGAAATCGCTGTAGCAGCATATTATCGGTTTAAATACGTTTATATCTCTAAAACTCGGCTTTAGGTTTTGCATAGGTCTTATTCCTTGATTGAGAACTTCTCTACTACCTTTGGTAAGATCTATACAGTGTCGTGTAACGGCCTGCCGGCTAATAGAGACAAAAATTAGCCGCTTTGTATTTCGTCGGAGGTGTTCGTGTCACCTATAGCACAGGAATTGCCAGTGGCGGCAATCTTGCATACTGGTATGCCGAGAACCTGCTGGTCATCGATTCTATTAAATCTCTTGTCTGACTTTTGTCTAGGACGAGCTATTTGGTGACGCTAGTATTCACCTTTATCAGTGCAGCTGTTATCGCCGAAGTGTGCTCGGCCTCGCCCTCAGCAGGCTCTATCTATCTCTGGGCCGCCGAAGCAGGTGGTCCCAAGTATGGCCGCCTTCTAGGCTTTGTGGTTGCTTGGTGGAGTACGACGGCTTGGACGACGTTCTGTGCTAGCAACACACAGGCTGCCACAAACTATATGCTTTCGGTTCGTAACAGCCAGCACTTTCTTCAAATGATAGTGATATGCTGACGAGGAAAGGAAATCAATGTGTTTAATCTTAGCTTCCCGACTGATACGAGCGACGTCAAATTTCGTGCTGTGCAATGGATTTGTACCGAAGTCTTGCTCGCGTTAGCTGCCCTTGTAAACTTCCTACCACGTAAGTCCGAGAACTTTTATCTGTGCATAGATTACAATCCTGAATTATGGCCGACTGATTTTACGTGTAGCAAAATCATTCCGATGGATATTTTACATCTCCTCCAGCCTGGTCATGCTAGACTTCTTTCTAAACATGATCTGGTTGCCCATCGGAGTTGCAAATACCTGGGGTTTCCGATCTGCCCATGAAGCTTTCATGACAACGTACAACGGCACTGGTGCGCCGGCTGGTTGGAATTGGTGCCTGTCCTACCTTGCCACTGCAGGTATTCTGATCGGATTCGACGCCTCTGGACACGTCGCCGAGGAGACCAAGAATGCGTCTGTTACCGCTGCTCGAGGTATTTTCTGGAGTACAGTTGTCAGTGGTATTGGGGGTTTGATTGTCGTTATCATGTTCCTCTTCTGTGCGGTACGATTCATTATGAGGCCGGATGACCCTTTGTATTATGCTGACTTCCTTTTCTAGCCTGATCCTGACACACTTTTCAGTTTCGGCGCACCTCAACCATTCGTGCCACTCTATGCTGTTGTGCTCGGACAAGGAGGACACATTTTTATGAACATAGTCTGCGTGGTCGCCCTTTGGTTTGTAAGTAATCCCTTTATGCGATATTCCCTACTCTTCTGACAAACTCAAGAACACGGCCATCGCCATCGTCGCCGCCTCCCGCTTGGTCTTCGCCGTTGCTCGCGATGGTGTCCTTCCATTCTCCAGTTGGGTTTCTCGCGTCTCACCCGAAGGCCAACCGCGCAACGCCGTAATCGTCGTGTGGGGAGTCGCAGCCGTCATCACATGTACAATTTTACCATCCGCCGTAGCTTTCACGTCGCTCATCTCTGCCGCTGGAGTCCCGTCCGCTGCTGCCTATGGACTCATCTGCCTGGGTCGTGTTTTCCTCACACCCAACTCATTTCCGAAGCCAAAATGGAGCTTAGGCCGCTGGAGTAAGCCGTTTCAGTTCATCTCCATTTTCTGGAACGGATGGGTTGTGGCCGTATTGTATTCTCCATATGAGTTCCCCGTTAGTGGGGAGACGTTGAACTGTGAGCTTGACTTCCATCCTCTCCACCTTGTTAGGAATGGAAAGATGCTGATTTTATTTCCTTTCTAAAGATGCGCCCGTGATTATGGGCGCTGTGACCATTTTTGCAGTCATATCTTGGTGGGTGACGCCAGAAGAATCGTGGTTGCCGAGGGCACGGATCTCGCATTTCATCGAAAGCAAGGGTCAAACTACTGAAACCACCACGGAGATCACCAGACACGAGCCATCGTGAAGATACGTTGGGTACTGGTATATTTGGTATATATTCAATAGATTTCGTTGCTAGATACATATTTTGCTTGATCGACGTATATAACGTCGTCAGATGGATGTAAATAAAGCCAAACCGACGCATATAGAGCATCTATTTCAACCGAGGACTTTAATAGAGGAGAACGAGAATATTTTCAATACTTGATTCAGATCGAAGTTAGGCGAAACCACCAGACAATCAAATCATAGAGTACTACCAAAGTAGCCATCTGATAATCGATAGCTGCCCCAGATAGTTAACCCTGCAGGCTGTATCTTATGATAGATTGGCGAGCTAGACGGTGCATTCGAGGTTACTTCTTAGAGTTTATTCGACGTTCACATCAGCCTTGCTAGATCTATAGTTCGATTTTGAATCAGTGGTTGTTAATTTCAAATAACTAGTTTCATATTTGTCCTAGGTAGAATAGGAAACAAAAATAAGCTCAATACAGCGACGTATTATCGCCTCCCTATTAACGCTGGATATAAATAACAAGTTTCGAAATCAAGTAAGGGTTAAAGCCCAATCTGAACCCTACGACTATAACATCTAAAAATCTCAATTATTCACACGAATTCGAGGTACAAAAGAAAAGAAGGAAAAGAGAAAGAGAGAGAGTAAAATAAGGAATATACACACAGGCCGTAAGGTGAAGGCGCTTTGCAAATGTCGCAGCATCATCAATTGATAGACTTGATATGATTTACGCGTGATTCACGTCTTGACGAGGTAAAGCCATGCTACCCGGTAGCTGGAATTCAATTAAGCGCTAATGATAGGGGGGATAGCAGCATACGCACTGGCAAGGTAATAGACTGCCACCATGAAGGCGTCGTTGGATGACCAAACCAGGAGGACAATGTAGGAGAATAATTGCATTGACCCAAAAACTAAACGGATGATAGATTGGCGCTGAGTCTTATCTACTAGCACTACACTCACTGAGTAGCATCCATACTGATCGCGTATAACGTATGACCATCGAAAACGTTGATACCTTGCCGCTTTCGTGTTCTCGAAACCTTCTACTTGCTATAGAACACCTCGATGATGAGCGATATCTGAATACGAATGGAGAAAGTGGGTTCGACTCGGCGGGTATGGATTCATTCAACTCGCTTCATACTATTCTATGTTGCAGATGACAGAATCCTAAACATGCCTGAATTTCTGCATTTTTATCCACGAATAAAAGGCAGGTTGTATCAATACTTCATACATTAGAGTTCCTCAAAGTAAAATACTAGCAGATAGATATTCGGACTGCTTTAGATGACGAATGGCGAAATGGCAAGTGTGCCATTTCAATCGAGGACTCCGATCACTTATCACTTCGGCTTCGACTGAGCACGGGTAATTTATACTTTGATAAGTATTATAATCTCAAATAATCCGAGCTAGTTGATTTTCTTCCTCTCGATGAAATCATCCAGCGATACAGCTCTAGGGTTAGGGTTAGGGCTGAACGGCATTCTTCTGAGACCTCATTAATTAAGACCGTGAAGTTAAAGATAGCTAAACTATTCGTCGTTTAGACAGGAATTTTACGGGTTAAAGTGCCTGATTCTATAACCATCTATCTATGAAATAACAAACAATCCCTCCATTACCCACGAGGATAATCATCATAACATGCTCTGGATCTGCGCAGAACCATTGGTATTTGCGAGCGGTGGTCTGAAGGTATCCAAAGAATTCTCAAAATCATTCCATGCATCCTTCGATAGAATCGGCGCATCAACATATTCCTTTGCATCCGTATCATCCAACATCTGCTCTAAACGCGGCAAAACAGCATTCATCGCGCTCGATTCACGATCAAACTGCATTTCGCGGGTCAGACCTGCGTGTTGGACATACCAACTTGAGTCTTGCATGATAACACCGGCTTCGTAGAGAGCAAGTAGGTCGGGATCTATTCCTGCGGCGAGAGCTGCCTCGTAGGCCATGCGATGCCCGATTGCTTCGACGAGAGATTGACAACGGGGTAGAATGGCATTGTTAAATTCGACGCTGCGGTGGTCGGTGCTCATTTTTTGGGCAGCGGCCGTACGGCATTCGTCGAAAAGACCTTGCTCGTGCTGGGCCAGGAGGCTTGATGGATCGTGGGCTTCAGGCATCTCGTATCGACCTAAAAGTAGTTCGGCAGCCAGTCCTGTATCTACATCAGCAAATGACCTCCTTAAAAATACATAATAGCCTTGTATAAAGAAGTCATAACAAAGGAACTAGATAATTGAAAATAAAGATGCATACTTATGCATAGCGCCGTAACATCTCCTTCCGCAATTGAATTTCCCCGAGCCTCCAGTTGATTCTCGATAATATGGTTATGTTTAAACAGACCCTGTGCTCCACACCGTTCACTGAGATTGAAGAGTGTCATCTGAGTGGCAGAGTTCAAGACGGCCTTGAAAGTAGTAGCAATACCATGGCGAACTGGGGGATTCAGGCCCGGCTGCATAAACCCTTGAATACTATCTTGAGCATATGCTTCGAACACGGCAACTTGGGCTAGAGCGTGTAGAATGGGCCGCTGCTGCGTTCGAAACGAGATAATAGGGACTGGTCTTCCATCGTATCCTTGCACTTGCCGTCGGATGCTGTATATGCCCGCAACATAAGCAGCGCGTTTTATCACGGGAATCATAATAAGTGATAAAGCTAACGTGCCAACAGTCACACGTTGTATTGTAGATAGGAAATTGAGGCGCATGCTTTCGGGCTTTTCAAGTGAGCCTAGAAGCGCTGAGGCTGGTAATCGGACGTGGTTGAAGCTCGTTATCGCGTGGTCAACCGGCTTGGCCCCAGCTCGGGTGGGAAGTTTTCTTTTTGTTTCACAGTCAGCTTTGCCATGCCTGTTTGATAAAAGATATACAGACTTTGATGTTATTCCATCACACATGTTGTAGCCATCGTTAAGCCAGACAATGAATGGCCTAACACCACGATCCTCGCCGGCAACAACCAGTCGAGCAATAACCACGGCGACACGGGGGAAACCATTGACTGGTGTGGTAGGAGGCATGTGTCTAGAAAAAAACGAAGCATGTACTGTTAGAAGCCTTTGATGGACTATGAGGAATATAAAGGACTTACTTAGCCGCATGTGGGTTCGGTGAATGAAGATCAAATCCACCATCGGGTAGCAATGTGGCCGTAGTCTCCAAATTCTTAGCATCAAGGCCGTGACCGAGCTCAGTAAGCATGAATTGAGCACTTTACGTCGATTCAAAATCAGCAATTGTTAGTTTTATTCTTGTACTCTCATAGAAATATATGGTAGACTTACGAGACATCAAACTTCATGATTCGGTCCATCAGCTCTTGAAGATCCGGTCTGTCTGCGAGATATAACCCAATTGTGCCTGCTGCTAGATTATACTGGATTGTGACGAGGACAAATGTTGAGGCTGCCATAGGGTGTATCATGTCCAAATGATATTTCCAGAATTTGGGTGTGAGGTGCATCACATCATCACTTGTCATTCCTGTACATCCCATTCAGTCAGTTTCTTTTCACTAGCTCGTCATAGGAAAGAATTCCATGCTTGTTGATGCATGGTATATTTTATATAAAGAACTCACTGTATTCATGGGCAGAGACACGGGCACGCTCATATGCAAGGCGTATTGTCTCATATTCAGTCAAGGTTCTAGGCGGTGTTTTGAACAGCTTATTTCTAGCTAGACGTAGAGATGGAGTGGACATAATGAAGGGGTATGTATATTTAAAGGGTTCTTCAAGAAGTAAAAGAGGAAACAAACATCGATGATAATCAAAATTTTCTATGCGCTTTTGTGCCAGTTTGCAAGGTAACAAAGCACAGGAAAAAGGGCTTACATAAAATCAACGAAGAATCAATAGTTAAAATCTCCATAGCCGCTTTTATAAAGAGCAAAATCTCGATATTTACACCGCCACTGAGGCTTGTGCTGAATCATCGCTAGTGGCGGTCAGTGAAAAGATAATAAAATCGAGACCAACAAACCTGGCTGGCTGAAACCTCAAGCCACGTCAGAGCATAAAAGTCGTTCATCAAAAACCCTGTGGCTGAGCCTAAGCAGGCACTATATACCATTATCTAGTATGGTGTCCACATTTATCTTCATGTAACATCTACTGTATACAAAATAGGCAGTGCGTATTATCCTGTCAATGGTAGCGAGTTTATTCAAGCGTCGAATGAAATATCTTGGAGATCACACCATCTAATACTATGTATATAGTGGATAGCCCTTAAATTTTTACTCAAAATTTGGATCTGATCGACGAACCTATATGATGGCCACCATAATACGATAGACCAGTACGCCGATTGGTCTTAGAAAATCATACAGTGGGGGGATGCATGAATAAAACAACGGCTCATCCGGCACGGCTCGTAGGCGCTACATTAATTGATGTCATATTGATGGGCTAGGTGGGTGCAACTAACAACAACTGTGCTGGGCAAGGGGTATAGACTCTCAGCGCTTGAAAACCTTTGGCCTAATCCATCTACTAGTGGAGAGTAAAGGATCTAATCCACTCGAACAAGGCGTGCGAGGGTTAGCACAAAAAATTGGGACACTACGTATAGAGTATTATTTCCGAGTGAGGAAAACAAAAAGGGAAGAAGAGAGAAGGAGAAAAGCCCGAGTCAATTACCGAGTAAGATGCAGCCAATTCACAATAATTGATCGAGAACACAAACAACGCTAGCACTATATTTGACACATTATCTAAACTATTCTTTCGACTTTTACTTTTTGAACAGGACTATTAGCCCTGTCAATACGTGTCGCTGCGTCTAAAACCCGTATATTTGCATTTGTGCATTATGCAGTGTAGGGGATCTCCGACCTCCCGCATTAGCGCTGCAGACTCTCGCTTAAGATTGCCATGGTATAAAAAGCAATTCGAAATTATGGGATGATACCCACCTACGGGGTAGATGGAATATATTAACTATTTTCTTACCTACAGATGACTCTATTCAAAAACATTAAGATTTTTATTACATACACTTTTTTGGCATAGTTTAAAATTAAAATTAATGATCTCTTCTCGAAGCTTACTTACGAGGCCAGCAATTGATACCACCGGTTTCGGCCCTTTCGCAAACCTTAGTATTGCGTATTTGTACTAACTAGTTAGTTAGCTCATGTGTTATCTTTAATAAAGAAACTGATAATCTTTAACGCTAGTAAGACGGGCAATCTGTGTCTTATCTTTCTAAAGTCATAAATTCCGAAGTTTAACTGATTTAATATGCTTATAACCCCTAACTTTAGGGATTAAGGCTTGAATCATTGTTTCAGATACCCGTATAACAATAAGTTTGTGTATTTTAAGTGACAAACTCAAGGGCCATTGTTATTGCTCCTACTGTGATTAAGCAGCAGGCCCGGGCTTATTTGCCATGAAAGCATCCGATTCCGGCATAATGGCATCGCATTCGAATAGCAGATAGAGATGTGGTAAATCAACAATGGAAGGACAATAGCTTTGCAAAAGAGTCGTAACAAATTTGGAGAAAATTCACTTTTAGGACCGTCGACAGAGGTGTATTGTCCTTCTTGAAATTGAGCCTGCTGCAATAAACGGAGGCTGTGGTATCAGACAGACGTGCAAGATGTACCTCTTTCAATAGAATGGAGAGTACTTTGAGATATTCGGGGAAAAGCTCATCATACACAAGAATTCAAAACAGCCAGAAATACATGCAAGAATACATATCAGGGGGACGGCGGAGAAAACGATCCCGAGTTCCGAGCAATTCTCCCGGTTCCGCGGCTAGACATGCGTTTGATTGGCTGTTGACAGGTACGGCCGAAACGGACCGCGTCATTCTCCAGATGTTGGTGTATGATAATAATTAATAATCGTCGACCTTTTATTACCTTGTTGCCGCTGTGATTCACGGTCTTTTTCAAGTTCAATCATTAGTGGCAGCAGCGAAGATTTTGCGGCGTCATCAGCACCATATCACCAAGTCGATGAAACATAAGGAGCGGCAACCATGATAAACACACAACTTTCGCAAATAACTGACATGAATCGTGTCTATCTCAGTGCATCGGTGGCTGTGATCCCCTTGGCTGTGTTGTGGGCTGTTCAACGCAGTAGGAGAATGGAAATAGCCAAGGTCCCGTCCAAGACCGTGGTCATAATTGGCGGCTCCTGGGCGGGAATCAACGTTGCCCATGGTTTGTTGAAGCAAGTGCCGAACGTCAAGGTTGTGATGATCAATCCCTCTGGTGAGCCACCATCTACACCTTTCTGCGTCATTAAATGTTAATAATGTGCCAGAGGACTACTACTTCAATGTCGCTTCTCCAAGAATCATTGCTCGACCAGAGGTTTTTGCTAGAGAGAAGTACATGTTCCCACTTGCAGAACTGTTTGCAAAGTACCCTAAGGGGGGAATCGAAATAATCATCGGCAAGGCAACTTCCATCAATACCGAGGGCAAAAAGGTATCGGTCAGGGAGAATACCTCAGAGCCGTCAAGAGACATCGCATACGACTATCTAGTCATTGCGTCCGGCAGCACCACCAAGGCAACACTAGGCTTAGACTCGGTCAAGGTGCCCTTCAAGCCTTCAGTGAATGGTAGCACAGATGCCGAGATAAAGAATGCGCAAGAAACTCTCAAAGCTGCCAATAGCATTATTATCGGTGGTGCCGGCGCTGTCGGTGTCGAACTAGCCGCCGAAATCGCACAGGAAAGGCCTAATGTTGAAGTTACCCTAATTACACCAACGGACAAGGTGCTTCCAGGTCTTAAAGATGGACCACGCAATAAGGCTGGGAAAGTGCTGAAATCGTTAGGAATAAATCTTGTTACTGGTAATTCAGTACAGTCAGCGCACCAAGACCCCTCGTCTGGAAAATGGACAGTCACACTATCTAATAACAAGACCCTGACCGCCGATTCCTATGTTACTGCTGCAGGCGTGGTTCCTAATAATGATTTCATCCCTAATACCCTCCTCAACGAGAACGGATGGGTCGAAGTGGACCAGTATTTCCACGCCAGCAAGATCCAATCCTCCGCCAGTATCTACGCAGTTGGAGATATAACACAGAATCCCATGCGGGTTGTTTCGCGGATGACTGTTCAAGCAGCAGCCGTGGTCAGCAATTTGAAAGCCGATATACTAGGTAAAGGAAAACGCGTCTCTTTTGATTTCGATAAACAAGGTGTGATGATGGGTGTGCCGCTTGGTAGGTCGGATGGAACTGGCCAGATTGGTTCATTTGTTATTCCGGGATTTGTGATGGCATTTATGAAGGGGAGAGATTATATGACTGGCATGGGGAGGAAAATGTTGTCTGGTTAATGTTAATTATATGATAGATAGACAGCCCTAATATTCCAAACCTTCGTGAATGTATATAAGATTTTCAATATTAGAAACCATTAACCGGGCGTAAGCAATAGATCAATCATGCGAAAGACCATCCCCCAGTCTTTTCTACAAAGAAGCCGTCAGGATCATACTTTTTCTTTATCTTCTGCAGCTCAGCATATGTCGAAAAAGACGACAACGGATTTTGATCAACACTAGCGTCATTAATAAATAATGGTAGCCCCTCAGCGTTACCAACAGAGTCAACCATGCCCCGAAAACTATCCTGCACGGCATCATAATCGACTTGAGACATACCGGGTGGAGTCTCAAGGATATAGCTAATCCAGAACCAGGGCCCATCAGGCATCTGCATTGCATTTCCACCATTCTGAGCGTTGCTAGCGTCCGTCAAGCTCTGCGGGACGGGTTCGTAGTCGAATGAAAGAAGCTCGTATCGCCCTTTATTAGTCTCGGCCCAGTTTCTCCATGCGTCAATTGATGTTTTATAGCTATCGTCGGTGACTCGGTGCACGCCGACACGGAAAATGTTGTCTCCGCGTGTTAGCTGAGTGAGGAAAGGTATAGGCATGTTAATTACTTCCGGGTATGTCCTCGTGGCCATGGTGTTTAACAAATAGGGGATGCTCGTAAAATTGTTAAAAACGTCACCAGCATCCAGGCCGTCATAAACAAGAAACAATAAAATCACCTCATCGAGATTCAAGTACAGATCCGGTGTTGGTAGCTTCAAGTACGTCGCAACAATACTTGCTTTTGGATCTGGGTTGTATTGCATGAAATCGCTGATAGCATCTGCCACAGCATCGGTCTGTTCGAATAGATAAATGATATTTCCGGCAGCAAACTTCCCGGCCGGTCGACTTTGAACCGTATATTTCGTTACTATTCCATATGCATTGCCTCCTCCTCCTCGAAGACCAAAGAAGAGATCTGGGTAAGAATTGGCGGAAGCAGCTACGATCTCTCCGCTCGGTAAAACGACCTCCAGCTCGCGGAAATTGTCGCAGGCCATTCCATATTGGGGCGACAAATAACTCAAGCCGCCACCCAGAGCGGCACCCGTTCCAACGCCAGCGAGTGTAGGACCGAGCACAGTGCGGTCGAATTGGGCGTAGTAGTCATACAGCTCGCCGAATGTACTGCCGGGCTCATATGTAGCGAGAGTAGTAGATGAATCGTATGATTTTGCATCTAGAGAGCCTAGATCGATTAGAACTCCCTGATCAACCGAGGAGAAAAAGTTATTGGTGTTATGACCGCCAGCCTTGACAGCAAAGCGACTGCCAGATAACCGGATGGCTTGCACAGCAATCGACACATCCTGTGCAGATGTCGGGTAGACAATGCACGAGGGCTGGTAGTTGCTTTGAAGCACATTCCAGTAATCTTCTCGACTATCGATATAGCGTAAATCTAGCGGGTTGCTATCGACTTTATCGGCACCAAGAGAACCTGTCAGATTTGTACATGCAGTTCGCCCCAGAGATATCGTGCTATGCACGTAGGGTATAAACTGAATGCCAATTATGGTCAATGTTGTGATCATCTTTGGGGGCTGCATCGTCTGTTCTCTTCAGGAGACTGAAGAAACATTTTTCCGGGATCAGTCGATTAACAAGCCTCTACGGCGGACTGTTCGTACAATAATACTACAAATTGGCGTACAGTGTATATTTTCTTTTTCTTTTTTCTTTTTTTGCTTGTGCCTCCTTTTGTGATTGATCCTCGTGACCTGCAGGAAACTAGTTGGTGTAACTTTGCTATCATTGGTCAGTGCGAATCTACTTTTTGCATAGCGGCGCGATCCAATTAAATACAGGTGTGAGCTAACCCAATTATAGACAGACTAGAGAATCAATGTTTAGCACTGTTGGAGAACCTGTTTCCTTCTTTTCTTTCGCAAAAACCAATATTAAACGTGACAAAGGGGCAAAAAGCCTGGAAGGTTATCTCGCGGAGAGAATATGCCAGTTAAAGCTTATTCAGACTAAGCTACCTACGTTACTTTCGCTAGTGAGAAATGATTCGCCTTCTCTGAGCGGAATATCGAGCCCGTTTTGGCAGAAGGTAGCTAGCTATAAAGCATTCCAATTATCCGAAACGCCATTTCACCTAAATAATGAACTCTTTATCCCATCTTAAACTGGAGGCAATCCATTCAGCTCGATATACTCTGTATGTATATGCTACTGATGTCATAACAGGGCTTGGATAGTGGTATTGAAGGGGCTAAAGTGTGGGGAAGAGCGCCGTATGGCACCTAAACCGGTTAGCAGCTCTATCATCCAATAGGTCGTGATATAGGAAAGAGCGACTTTATTTTAAAAATAAGATATATGGGACATCAATATCTAAAGCGCTGCATCGTCCCATAACGAGTAATTAACAGTCTGCCTAGTGAGATCACTGTGAGGCTGGAGATGAGAAATAGGCCTATATAAAGGGCTGTAGAAGCAACTTTCACAACACCCCAGATCAAAACTTCAGAATTCAACTCCTCGGCCTTCCACACGATAGGATCGAAAAAGTCAAATATGATTTCCCTTTTCCTTCACCTTGCTCTTTTTCTAGAGCTCGTTTCGTCTCTCAACATCCCAACACAGAATAACGAGAGGGGTCCAGCATTACTCAACTTGGTAGCAGCGCCTCATAACGTTCCCGTATCCAAAGTTCGACGACAAGGTTCTCAACTCCAGTCAAGAGGCTTGCACAGAAGACATGAATCAAACAGCACTCTAATCCGCCCCACCAACTCTAATCTCCAATATGCAGTCGAGGTCAAATTTAATGGGGTTCCTCGCTACTTGCTACTCGATACTGGTAGCTCTGACACATGGATGTTTGCCGAAGATTTCCAATGCAAAAACGCAAATGGGACTTCTGTTCCACAATCTCAATGTAAAATCGGCCAGCCCTACACGGGAGAAGGTCTCGATATTATCAAGGGGGAGACTTTCTCTATTATCTATGGCAATAATGAAAACCCCACTGGCCCAATGGGGTACGCAGATGTTTCAGTTGCCGGTCTAACTGTCGAAGGTCAACAAGTTGCATTGGTCGACAATGGATACTGGCAGGGTGACGGTGTTCTCAGCGGCGTTTTCGGTATTGGTGATCGTGGTCTGACGTCTGCCTATACTCCTGGCTCTGATCTGCCTCATGAGTATACACCTATCTTCGAGTCCCTGTATAACACAACCAGACAGGTCAATCCTCTCTTTAGTTTGGCTCTACAGCGAGGGGAGGCTGGAGGCTACTTGGCACTGGGTGGCCTTCCACCAGTAGACTTTAAACCAGATTTTGTGACCACCAAGATGTTGGGCATCCCCTATGGAACAGAGGGGGGAACACGTGCTTTTTACTCAATCGAAGCTCCGGGGTATACGCTGAATGGGAAGACGCATAATGAAAGCTTCTTCGCGATTGTTGATAGCGGGACATTTGTCAATCGATTCCCGACTGATGCTGCAGATAAAATTAACGCTGCATTGTGAGTTTTCTACTTGATGGTAATTATTAACAGCTTACGAGCGCGATACTGACATTGCACCTGTACAGTAACCCACCTGCAATATACATCCCATCAGCAGATTTTTACGTAACTTCATGCAATGCCACAGTCCCATCTTTCGGTATCAGTATCGGAGACAAAACATTCCAGATAAACCCCACCGATATGTGGTTGGTAGACGAGCCTACTGGCCTGTGTGCGACAAGTATTACTCGTGGATTTCCTCTAAGCAAGGACAGCTATCCAGATGGGTTATATGTTCTTGGAGATGTTTTCTTGCATAATGTGGTGGTTGTTTTTGATGTGGGCAATAAGCAGATGCACTTTGCACCCCATACTAAGTATTAGATTTCTTTTGTTCATTAAAGCAAGGATACGTTGGGTTTTCAAAGGAGACTATAGCGAAGCGAAGTTTATGTATATTATTATCTGTATTATAGAAGGTATAGAAAGTTTCTGATAATTCTTCCTTTATCTCACTGCACTATTAATTATTAAACCCTACGTACATTATCCATAACTTATATATATATTAACCGGTATAACAACGGATAAGTACTCTAACGCTTCTCAATCGCATTCACCACGTGATCCATGATATCATCACACGTGCAATACTAGACGTCCAAGTTCCAAATCCGTAATCAGTAGGTGCCTTATGCTCCTCGTCACGCGGTTTAACAATGATTAATAGAAACCGCTCAAAAGGGACTAGAATTCCAGATTAGGAAATACCTATCACGCAATCGTGCCTATCTCCGCGAAACACCGACCTCCCCGCACCCTTTAACTTTTCAAGACACAACTGTCAAAATTGATTCTTGCATATATCCATGCATGAATTGCAAAGCACTGAAAATGATGCCTTCTCCTTCCTTCACATCCATCCCGATAATTGACCTCTCTCTGGCTTCTTCCTCCTCAGCTCCCACCGACAAACAAGCCCTCCTAAGCCAACTCCACTACGCCCTTACCAGTGTCGGTTTTCTTTACGTCACCAACCACAATGTCCCTTCAAAGGCCATTTCTGATCTAGTAGATGCCTTACCATACCTCTTCTCGCCATCGATATTGACAGACCAAACCAAAGACGAGATCGCACTCCACAATTCCCCTCATTTCCTAGGGTATAGCAGCGTCGGTGCCGAGATTACGGCTGGGAAAGTCGATCGTAGAGAACAGATTGAATATGCGACGGAGTTAGATGAAAAGTGGGCGGTGGGAAATGGATTGCCGTTGTATGAGAGATTGAAGGGGCCTAATCAGGTATTTCCTATTCGGTTTTTTCTTTCTGGGGTTCTACTTTACTGATTGTCTAGTGGCCGTCGGAATACCCAGAGCTAAGGCCGATAGTGGAAAGATACATCTCTGAACTGACAGCTCTGGGTGAGAGATTCCTCAGACTTGTCGCTGAAGCACTCTCACTTCCATCAGACATATTTTATCAGTTCTTATCCGAGCAGCACCGTCTTAAACTAGTCCATTACCCAGGCTCTTCCTCATACACTCTATTGACAGAAAATGCAGAAATAGAGCAAGGCGTCGGTCCTCACAAAGATTCATCAGGATGGTGGACATTCCTACTGCAAGCCTCGCCTCCACAGGTGAAAGGTTTGCAGGCGCTCAATCAAGAGGGACAATGGATCGACGTCCCAAATATTCCGGGTACGTTTGTCGTTAATATAGGGCAAGCATTTGAGGTCGTTACGAATGGGGTATGCAAGGCAACTGTCCATCGGGTTGTACTTTCTTCGGGTCAAAATGATAGATACAGTATACCGTTTTTTCAAGGGGTTAGAGGCAGTTTGACCAAGGAGGAGGCTGTAGGGTCATTGAGAGGGCATTTTCAGAAGCTTCAACAGAATCGAAATGCGGATGATGAAGCGACAGCAATCGACTCACCGTTTTTGAAGGGGAAGTATGACACTTGGGGGGAATCTCAGTTGAGGACTAAGATTCGATCTCATCGAGATGTTGGAAAGAAGTTTTATGCAGAAGTTTATGAAAAATACATCAATGATAACTGACTCAAAACACTCGTCATTATCCGTAAACTAATATTCTAATTTCTTTTCAAATGACTATTATTAAGTCCTACTATGTTCCAAGCTTACTCAAAGCGCAATGGCTCAAAGTTTGGCGCATTCCCGACAGCCTGTTCAATCTTCTCCAGAATTTCCGGCGTCAATTTCTTGACAACCTCGACCGCCTTGACATTCTCATAAACCTGCTCGGGCCGTGAAGCACCCGTAATCAACGAGGAAACATTCGGATTCTTCAATGCCCACGCGAGCGCCAACTGTGCCTGCGTAACCTTCAATTCCTCTGCAATCGGCTTCAATTTCGCAACAGTAGCCAGTCCCTTTTGCCATCTCTCATCACCCCACGTCGCAGCAAACTTAGTGATGAACTCGCTTCGTCCAGTTCCCTCAGCCAACCGCGAACCAGGTGGTGGTGCCGCAACGTCGTTGTATTTACCGGACAGGATACCCTGTTTCAGCGGTGAGAAGACGGTCAGGCCGAGACCATGCTCGGTGTACAGCCAGCGATACTCGCCCTCGACGCGCTCCCGCTCGAGGAGGTTGTACTGTGGTTGCTCAACGACTGGGCCGATTAGGCCAAGTCTGTCAGCGACGCGCCAGGCTTCAGCGATCTCGGTGGCGGACCATTCCGAGGTGCCCCAGTAGAAGGCCTTGCCCTGGTTGATGACGTGGTTGAAAGCGCGCACAATTTCTTCCATGGGGGTATGGCGGTCAGGACGATGGGCGTAGACTATATCGACGTAGGGTAGGTCGAGGCGTTGGAGGGATAGATCCAGTCCTTCAATAACGTGCTTGCGGGAGAGACCCTTATTGTTGAGCGCATTGTTGGGGTATCTACCGTTTGCTTGGCCGTGATAAATCTATTACTTATTAGTATGTCAAGTCAAATCACATTATCAAAAATATTTGTTTTATAGGTAAGTACCTTTGTGGAAATCACCAAGTCCTGCTGCTTCCAGCCGAATTTCTTAATAGCTCTGCCCATGATAATCTCGGATTTTCCACCCTCGTATCCCTCAGCGGTGTCGAAGAAGTTGATACCGACATCATAAGCAGCTTTCATGCAAGAGAATGTTTTTTCTATTCATCGCCGGTCAATAATTTCTCGCTCGTCCAACAAATTTCAGCAAGGCCATACCATCTTCAACGTGTCCACCATATGTAAGCCATCCTCCGAGTGAAATGACGGATACCTTGAGGCCTGTTCGTCCCAGGAAGCGGTATTCCATTGGTGGTAGATTTTCAGCCATTTCTTCTATATTTACTTTTCTTTGCGACTCTTTTTTATGGTGTAGAAAGGTGCGGTGTTGTGCTAGGATCGTGTGTAGGTAGTGGTGAGGGGTAATTATTGAAGCTATGTAGAAGATTGAGTCATCGACTAATAAATAATAGGTGATAGGCGCTAGAGCTTTTATGAATTCCCCTCAACCAGCTTTAGCCAATATTGTCAAAAATGGTGCAATGGCACTCGATTAGTGGATAATATTGAGAGCTACAGCGGGGCAGAGTATGCTTTGACCCAGGAGAATTAAAATTACCCCGCACTAAGAGCCAGCTTAATAATTATCCTCTTATTACCTTCCTATTGTGGAATATCCTGTCGGGCTTCGCGGGCGTAACTCCGCTTCCTTTTGGGCTGATTGAAAGGAGTAGAAACGGGTATCGCGGGTCAAATTGTGAATTACATACAGGAAGTACCTCCCACCTGAATGGTAGGAGGGGATAAAAACACATCAAATGAGCCTTCTCTCTATGGAATTTAGGAATGTAATGAGTGGTTGGTAGTAACAATGGCTTAATTTTCCTTTCTCACCAATGTCCGGAGGCATGCCTGCGATGATGACGGTGGATTGGAGGACGAATGTGGCCGGGCACCTTGTCGCGCTTCTCTGCTGCGCCGGTTGGGGTGATTGTCTCGGTGACGGTCGTCAGGTGTGAGGTCGTGATCGTGCTTGCAGGTTTGATAACGGGATCGTGGGTGGTGATTGGGAAGCCGTTGTTACCGAGTTCCACCACAATATCTTCGTCAACATAAACCACCTCGTACTCAACATTTTCTTCAACGGTTGTTTGTATAGGCTGGACATGGGTAGTGGTGGTGGTAGTAGTCGGGACAAGAGTAGTGGCAATTGTGGTAGGAGCCGAGGTCAGTGCAATATGTGCCTCCTGCTTAAGGGAAACAGTTGGAACCGCAGAATGAATCACGGAGGACACATCATTGATGGCAGAAGTAGCGGCAGGAAGAATACTACTTATCGCTACAGCTGCTTCACCATACGGCGTCGCCTGTGCCGGACCGAATTGAATAGGGACATTACCCAGTAGTCCGTTGGCGTCAAAAAACGGGTTTTCCATTTGTAGAGCCTCGGGAACGGGGAATGTACAGGTTGCAGCTTCAGCATTGCTTTGCAGATTGAAGAGCGAACAGTCAGATACTTGACCAGAGGGGTTTGTGCATCCGTTCATAGCTTGCTGGAGAAATTCTGGCTGCCATCCCTGGATGAAATCACCGTGATATCCGTAGCCGGTTGGGTCTCCCATTGAGAAGACAAATTCACCGTCTACTCCGGCGAAATCTTGCGTGTCATATTTCGTTTCATAGAACAGAGAGACTAAGCGCGTTTCGAATCCTTCAGGACATGTTCCATCGCTGACGAGATTGGGATAGGCCATGTGTGATTTGTGATCGTGACTGTCGACGTCCTTGCCATTCCAGCAAGATGGAAACATGAGTTCAAGGCGAAGACCGTCCCAGCAGTTTTCATCCAGGAAATTTTTGTCAGGTAAGAAATGGCGGTAAAGAGAACCCTCATCGGTCGTGTTATAATGCAAACAGTTAAATCCGAGAGCTTTCTGCGATAGAGAGAACTGGGTTGTTTCCGCGGCGGTCCAGTCCGATGTGGGCGGATCAGGCACAGGACCAGTGAAGTTACGTAGAAACTGGTCGCCAGCGAGCATGCGGAAACCTTCTGGGAAAGGTTTTGGGTTTTCGCCACGGACAAAGTAGTAGGCCAACATGCCGCCGTCCTGATTCACCATTGCTGTCGAGCCGTTAGGGTACTTGAACATGAGTGGCGGAGTCCAGTAGACGGACCGGTCTTGAGTGACCTGGCATGACGTGCAGCTTGAGTCTAACAGATTGGCCTGAGTAACAGATTCAGAGAAGCCTGTCGCATAGTCAGTAAATAGTCATGCTGTATCGACGCAAGATCGCCATACCGCTGGAGCCAAAGACAGTATGCAAATGATCACTGATCTTTCCTGGGGCCATGAGCGGATCCATACGCGCAGCACCTGAACGGCTCATGCATGGGAGACGCCAGAAGTTGCTGGAGGCATCGGCCAGGCTGGTCAACGCGACCAGGATGGCCACTGATACGCCAATAACGTTTGACATGGCGCAAACGCCACTATTGAGATGATGGAGTTGAAGATATTGTTTCGAGAAAGCAACACACACAAAGGTATCTATAAGCCTGAAAAGAAGAGTTCCAGGGAGAAGGAGAAGCAGAAACAAAGGTGTTTGTCAAAGACGTCTATCTACACACGCCCACGTGCGCTCACAACAAGGTGAGAGCTGTTTAGTCGTGTGGTCACAAGAGACAGGACAAAGTAGCAAGTGTGGTGCAGATGCTTTATGAGATATCACACAGATCCTGTCTGTGTATTGTAACTGGCCTTCTAAAAGATGTCGAAAATGTCGATTGGTTGGTCGCGATATAAATGATATTCTAGAACAGTCTGGTCAGAACAGCAGGAGTCACAGACTCGGTCGAGAATGCAATGAATGAGTGACTCTCGCCCGTCACGTCCAGGCGGCAGGCAGCGAGGGAAGAAAAGGTGAATGAGTGAATGAACAGTGAAGGAGCGTGTATCGGTCCAACCGATTGGCGGTGCAAGGGAAAGTAGAGGTCGAAGTCGAAGAGAACGAGGAATTAAGACAGAAGCGAAGGGCAGGCGCAGATTAAAATGGGAGGGGAAGGAAGGAAGGGCGACATTGGAATGCACAGGCGCCATTCACAGTGCTTGGCAGATCGTGGGATCTGCCGTTGGCGCCACTGGAGGCAGGTGTCCAATCAGGGAGGGCGTACTTTATTGCATCCTCTGGCTGATTCAAAGTCCATCATTGCTGCTATCTATCCACTCGCTCATTAACGACGAATTATCTGTGACCGCCCTTGATAGGATGACTCAAGCGGACAACTCTTTCCTGCACCAGTCTCGGGCTGCACAATATCCTGTCTGCTCAATATATTGCCCGCATCTCTATGTTAGAGAATGCATTGCGATCTGACATCTATTGTGATCATTTAGATTGGATTGTGGTCTTGTTTACTGAGATTCATGCCGGCAGCTCCTCTGATTGGCTGTCGTCGGAATGAAGTATGGATGGTGGAGTGAAGCGGCATGTAAGGGACCCCTGGGATGCCGGCAATATCCAATCGGCTTGCGAATCTCTGCAGCTGACGAGTGGGGCCACAGTGCTATTGGCTGCTGCCGGGCAAATCTCGCATGGCCGTTTCATGGTACGGCCAATTATGACTGATTCCCTGGCGGAACGGTACTAGCAGACCAACGCCGTTCTGAAGGGGTGCACCTGCCATACAATTGCACAACTTACTATTATTCTTGCCCTCTAAGATCAGCGTCAAATTTCAACCACCACAAACGCTCGCCCAATAGTAGTTGGAATACTGTCGCCTTCTCGTGTCATCCTCAGCTCCATGAATGGAATGGGTTGTCGGCTCAATCTCGTTGGCGCCGGCGTGTCGCACCAAATAACCTCATCCTGCACTAAATTAGGCTTTGTTTCATGACGCTTTAATCAGGCGCCCAGCTTATTCATTTCTATTAACAGATTACCGGAGTATATGCGAATAAAGAAGCGGATCGTATTAAACGTGCCGCCCAACCAAGAATAAGGACCGGCTACGGGCATTAATTCGGTGGTGAAACAGATCAGTGCCGTCCTTAATATAGCACACCAATATAATCGGCTGGGGCTATTTACAACATTAATATTTGAGGTTTCCCGTCATTATATAGTGGAACATGCAGAAAGTCAAATACATGTATAAGGGGCACTTTCAAGTGCTAGTTTTCTGTGTTGGCGGGATATAATGTCCAACTGTTAGATGCTCAGCGCCAGCGGAGCTAAATGTAAAAATCATATTCAAGCACCGTTAAACTTCCATATTAGAAAGTTCAAATGTTATCGGTTAGTATTTATCGGTTTCCTGATTAACCTTGTGTACATTATTATTATTTAATTTTGAGTCAAGTTCAGTATCAATTGAAGATTAAAGCTAGTTTGATCTTTAAATAATATCATCTGGTCAACTGTCACGGTCAACTGGTAACACCAACTGATATAACGGGGTAGGACTACGGCCAACCCTCATCTAGAAAGTCCTCCACCCTTTTACCCTCCCCATTATCCTTGCGGATTTCCTCCACTGTCCACAGCACAAATTTGTGTCCTGGGGGTATGTTGGTATTCTTAAATTTAGCGCCAGTCAACAAATGTGTAAATACTTATCCATACTTCTCATAGGCATATGCCTCAGGATCAGGCCGGAAGAACCACTTTGGAAACCGGAGGCGGACTTTCTTGGGGTCCTTCTTGATAGCATCCTTTTTTTTAGAGATCGAATTCAGCCCCTGCGAGTTGACAGACGCCACTTTCTGATTGCAACTCACGCGCTCGTACTGAAGCAATTGGTAGATTCTGGTTCCAAGAGGGGCGATACCAGGTCCAGTCCGTACTAAGACAGCTGTAGACATGATGCCAGTGTTATAGCGTCTTCGAGGGCTAGTGTGCCGCAACTAGCTGAAGTAGGCACATTGAAATGGGCGGCGTCACCTATTTGCACCACTCGCCCACCAATCGATGTCCACTGGTGGTGTAGGTTCCACCATTAACAGCGGCTAATGAATTACAGAGCCTCGAGAAGCACGCCGCACGAGAGCAAGAACGACCGGATCCCAATCAGGCACGCTCTACAGTGCCTTGAGGACTTCCTCTAGGGTCGATATTTGTATCCCACGACTCCCTCGCCTCGGAGCTGCCTGCCGCTAGGAAGCCTCTGCGCGGCGTGGCCCCCAAAGCCACAAAATCCGGTGATATGTAGACCTCCATATGAATGCCTGGGCCTAGCCAGAGCTCGGGGGCCTCGAGATAAGTGCTTCTGAATTGCCTCGTCCTCAGAAGCTGGCGCGCCTGGGTATGCTGCGCGGTAGGCTGCCATACCGCTTGATTGCGCAGATGTGTACTGGCTAGCAATAAGTAATTCTAAACGTGATTTCGAGGCATCAGCCGCAACCACTATATGGGCAACTCTAACAGAGCCGTCTTCCACAACCATTCCCCCCCCAAGTCCTGTAGCTTCATCCTCAAAATATCTTTCTACACGCTTTACATACTCGAATCCAAGCTTGGCTACCTGCCGCAACAGTATTAGGTAGAATTTCTTGCGGGTCTGCACTGCACCCAAGTACGGAAGACCCTCTCGGTCTGCCAGAAGCTCGGGGTAGTTGAAGCCGGCTTCGGCCGGTCCGAAGATCAATTCCCCATTATGTTTCCAGTAATATTCAGGGATGTCTACTCTATCTTCTTCCAAGTCGCGGCACATATCCGGGCAATGGCGCATGGTAGACATGGCCGAAGGCTGGACGACAATGAGATCACCTGTATAGTATGAGATCAGCAGACACGCATTTAAAGGACAGCTAGAATTTCTTTATTTTTGTAGAAATGATTTGAAAGAATCAGCACAGTCAGGTCCTTTATTTCTCTCGAGAATCCCCACGATGTTATGTCCTTTTCTCCAGCATTCCAATGCCGTCATTAGTCCTCCAACGCCAGCTCCCACAATTAACACATTGACGTGCGTTTCTGGATGACGTTCTAGCAGCGCATTGTGGCCATTAGACTTCCACATTTCAGGATCAAATTCACCCTTATCGCCTAAGACAAAGAAATTGGGCTGCGATGTTATATGTGTGAATCCAAAGACTCGGGAGTAGCACTAAGTATGCAAGTTTAGGATTCAAGAGTGTTTATCACTTGACGGAGATGACAATATTGGGATAGTAATTGCGCACAAAAGGTCAACATCCACAGCTAATACACTACCTTTTTATACTGGCATAATTGATGTACGGTTAGAAGCTTAAGTATATTGATTTAGAAAGTCAACATATCACGGTATAATACTCTATCGTGTGCTTTTCCGCAAGAACGAACAGATGGCCCGGAGTTTTTATCGAGCTACTATCTTTTTCATCAGCCTATTCATATTATTATCCAAAAAAAATAATATACCGGGTGAAGAAATGAACTAGAAGCCTAGAAGCATTTGTACAAATTTGAGAACTGGATAACCCGAAACCTCACGCGTCGTCATCAGTCTGACAGCTGCCAACGTGATTTTCACAAACTAGCCCTAACTCGGGAATAATTTAGCAACTTACGCCGTTTACATTAACTCCTAGTATGTCATTATCGCCGCTCCAAACCCAGTGAAGAATTAGCAACAGCACTGGCTGCTGCTATCAAACACTCTTTTCTCACCAACCCATTTCAAATTACAGCCTGGTCACGACCTCGTGGCGCTCCTCTATATGGGAGCCAATGACACCGAGTAAGTCCTTTATAGGCTTCATGCTTTAGCGATGCATGAGGTTGATTAATGCGACATCTTCGGCATCCCGCACAGAGCCTAGCCTGGTCAAATCTATTCTTATAATTGTATCAAGCCAATCGCATCGACGGCACCTCGCAGATTATGTGCACCCTAGATTTGTTATCATCCTTCAAGCAGTGAAACCCTAGGTGAGTCATTTGTCTATCTTGAGGTGCTTGGGGCTAATGATTGCGTGATGTTTAGATTCACAAATAGGTTGTACCTTTAAATATTAGGGCTAACCAACGAAGTTGGCTTTATATTGAGGATTCACGGTCCAAAATCTTATCTTTTTCTGGCTGAAGAAGACAGGGATGGAATGGAGCGTGGTCGAACTTGGGGAAATGATTAACAAGGTTTGATGAAATTCTACTCGGCGGAGAGTCTCAAAGAAGACCATGTCAGCTCCCTCTCTGTTCAAGCTGTTGTTTAGGAGAAAAAGCAGACCATACAAGCTATTGAGAGTATACTACCTTGTTTGTGTAGGCAGAACGGCTATCCGCTGATATTACTGTCAATAATTGTGTTTAAATGGAAGAACGGTATGTGGACGCAATACGTAACGAATTCGAGAATTTCGATGAAGAGGGGAAGAAAGATTCAAATAGCAATGCGAAAGAACATATCCAATGGCCTCACAGCTTTAGTCCCAACGGAAAATCCCCGAGGCGTAAGGCAATCCAACCAACTCTTAGTGAGCTGCTATAGCCCTAAGATTCGCCCAAGCTGGAGCCTCAAGCATGAGTATCATTGGTCACAGTCACTTCCAGCCGGTGTCGTGGTGTGGCTCGCAACTCCCGAGGCGGATTTTTTGAAGGGGAGGTTTATTTGGGCGAATTGAGATATCGATGAGATGAAAGCAAAGGCGGATAAGATTTCCAATAGCGATCTTTTGAATTTAAAGCTAGGTGGTTGGCCTTTAATCAGAAGTAAACTGTTAGGGGATGAGGAAGGAATGTGAAGGATATTAAGTGTGTTGAAATTCTTTAAGTCTGTCTCAATTTAAGCTTATTTAATTACCCTGGAATAAACTAGGTTAAGCATAATCTGAGTCCGGCATACTTATGGGAGTATAATATTGAAGTGACGTGAGCTCAGCCAATAGAACAATACGCCGAAAGTAATAGGTACATGTACCTTTCTGAAGGAAGATATAGCAGAGCCATCCACAAGATTTACTATGTTGCTGCTTTTTTTCAAATAAATGTACAATTTCACTTTCTGGCATAAGCTTTCAACCAATGCTTTCATTTTTATATTAACTCCATTGATAAATCTTGAAGCTTGGAACCGTCAAATCTTCATATACAAGTGTTAGAATCAGTAATTATTGAAATGACCGAAGTTCCTTTCCCTAGCGTATATCTGTACTTATACGCACATATCTTTATTAACAACGCCACTTTAACCACATTCGCAGGATTTCTAGGGACAGTCTATGAGAGAGAGTAATGAAATAAGGTTTTTGACCCATAGACTTGGCTGCCAGATGTTTACGCCACAGCCGCGCTCTGGGCTGCATCTCCATGAATCCTTTTGAAATTGCTGAACAAGCTGATGAAGAAAGCCACGCCTGCAGCGGCGATAGCCACTGCAAAAGCGGACTGGATTCCTTTGGTGTATGCAACTAAGATGCCGGTCATCTGCTCAGCGGTGAATGTAGACCGTAGTTCTGTGGCCCCAGTAGCAATCACAAGGTTTGGGTTGACATCTGGCGCGCTCTTTAGAAGGGTCTGGATGAGCTGGTTGTTAAAGGCGGCTTCTCCAGCGGCCACGAAGATTGCACCACCGACAGTTTGATGGACTGTAATATTTAGTCAGTTGATTCAAGTATGTAAGTGGATTTAGTCAGCTTACACATGATGATACCTGTTACAGTTGCGATGTCACTGGGAATTGAGTGACCGTGCGAGGCTATAATGGGAACCTGATAAGCTAGCCCCCATCCAACACCGGCGATAATCTGGTATCCAATCCACTTTCCCGTGCTGGTTCCGACGTCAAGTGTAAACAGTAAACCAGAACCAATAGTTGCAAAAACAGCTCCGATAACCAGAAGAGGAGTAGCATGGCCGGTTTTAGAAATACTACCGCCAGAGAAGATGAGTGAAAGTGACACTGCAATGATAAGAGGCAGGTTCCTTATTCCAGACATAGTAGGGTTGACGTTGTCAATGCTCTGGAAGAAGATGGGAAGGTAGTAAACGACAATGAAGTAAGAGCCAACAAAAAACACCGCATATGCAGCATTCACAGAAATTTTGCGGTCCTTCATTAAGCGTGGGGTTAACATGGCCCGTTCACCTTGTAAGTACTCGCAAACAACAAAAGCAACGAGAATTAAAAAGGAGCCTATGATTAAGCCAATCACGGTACTCGATTTCCACGACTTAGAAGACCCAGCGTACTGGAGGGCAAGAATGTATGAGATGACGGCACACAATATCAGGACAGTGCCGGGGAGGTCCATTTGTAAGATCTTCTCCTTCAAGCTCGCCTTGGCCGGCTGAGCCAGCTTGGGAGTGTGGAAGAACAGAAGAATCATTCCGGCTGCAAGACCACCGATGGGTAGGTTGATGTAAAAGCCTAGGGTTGACAATCAATTCACATCTAGTATAGAGCAGAATACCTACGAGCAAGGGGATACTTACACCATCGCCATGTCACCTTGTCAGAGAAGGCACCGCCAACCAGAGGTCCAACAACTGACGCTATACCGTATGATACACCAATAACACCAGTGAGTAGCGGCCGCTTCTTTGGCTCAGCAGCGAATGCAATGATAGTGAACGCGCCAGAGCCGATGCCAGCAGCCCCGACACCAGCAATGGCACGACCAACGATGAGCGCAATAGAGTTAGGAGCAACAGCGCAAATCAAGCTTCCGAGCTCGAAAACAAAAACCGAAACAATGAAGCTTGTCTTAAGAGGAAAATACTTGAAAACTTTGCCCCATGTCGACTGGAAGCAACCAATGGTCATCATGAATGCTGAAGCGTACCAAGTCACATCGCCGAGACCGTGAAATTCATCAGTGATCTTGGGAATAGCTGTGGCCACAATAGTCTAGCCTCAGTTAGAAATGGGATCTCGTCACAGAAAAGTGTAATTGGGTTAATAAGTACCATATCCAGAGCAGTCAAGAATATACTGAGAAGAAGAGCTACAACAATGAAGACAAGTGACAGGCCCTGCGGATAATCCCCTGAGCCTTCTTCTTCAGCCAGCGATTGAATAGATGAGTCAGTAGCTTTGGCTGCATTGGTATCGTCAGGCGTCTCGTTCTCCTCTAACGTGGAGGGAACGCGTGTTGAGCCACCACTGAGCTCACCATTCTGTGAGGCTTTTTCCGCCTCAGCGTACGCGGAACTAGTCATTGAAATTTTGAACGCAACAACGATAAGGAAAATGAAAGTGAGTTATGGAGTACTGTGGAAAGTAAAAAGGATGGGAAACAGTGTTGAATGGAATTGAAGCACTGTAAGATGATCAAAAATAATAAAACACGGTATAAACTCGATTGCCTAAGGTGTGTGAAGGGGTTTTTTCTACCAGTTCCCCTGAAGAACCACAGTATACAAATACAATTACTCATGATCGCTAATGCACCTTCGTCCGGCCGAGTATGAAGCTGCATTTCCGGCAAAGACTTGCCGGTCCGATACATCGGACAGATACATTAGTAAGACGAAAAAAAGTCATTTTGGAGAGTGGGTGGGGACCGATTGGCTGCAGCCAAAAAAAAAATAGATACGGAAATGCTATATTATGTCGGATATAGAAGGTGTAATTTTGATGGATGGTGCATTTACTGGACTGGAACACAGTAGGTTCGTTTAGACATACAAAATGCGCGGTAGCGCGCCAAGCGGCATGCCCCACTGCAGATCACTGAAAGCTAGACCCACATAGCTTGTTCGTCCGACCGATCGGTTGGACGACCACTGGCTTTGTCAGCTCAACATTCAATCCCTCCGAGACTATTCAAATGAAAAAAGACTTCCTCCGCCGAAACGCACCGCAGGCATGTACTGTTTTGCAAGCTATCCTACTAGTGTTTGTTGTTATCATGATAAGGGAACATTTAGACGATGATTTAAAGGTGTCCGCAGCTAGAACAGCTTGAATATGGCATCAAGAACACCTGCTTCCCGTGCTCGGTCTCGCAGCACGCTTACTGAGGACCACGAGACTGGGGCCGAACCTGAAGCAAAACGGAGGAAAACCAGAAAGGGCACTCACAGTTGCTGGGAGTGCAGGCGACAGAAACTGAAGTGCATATTTAGCGCACCCACCGATACTATCTGCTTCCGATGTCAGCAACGCAACACTAAATGCGTTAGCCAAGAATTCCCCGAGGAGGTGTCCGCCCCTGTGGAGCGGACTCGTCGGATGGGTGACCGTGTTGTGAGAGTGGAGGCACTAGTCGAGCAGTTAGTCAAGAAAGTTGGCAGTCATAACGACGGCACGGCTGTTGTTTGTAGAACCCCTGCCAGCGAAGACGGTGGAAATCCTCGTCATGGTATTCCCACCCCTGTTTCAACTGTTGAATCCGACTCTTCACGTTTCCTAGCTTTATACAAGCCTTCTAAGGTATGTTCTTTGGCACCAAAAGGCCACATCTATTGCATCTCCTCGTTACTCAGCCTTTCCTCAGGACGATGGCGCAGTCGAAAAGGAGATTCTCTCCGCGGGGGTTAGACTCAATAAATTTGGATTAATTGCAGATACCCCAACAGGACTAGGGAAATATGAAAAACTATCCCGACTCTTGTATGATTCTTTGCCAACTAGAGAAGATACCGAGATGATATACTCAGCTCGTGGTCACTCTTCGATGCTTTTCCACGAAGTCTGGACTATTCCATACACAATTCTCGATCAAGGTGATCAGAAATGGTCAGAGAATAAAATCGTGGCTCCAGGCCCGAAAACACACCCCGTTATCATAGCCAGATACATGCTTCATCTCGCCGTTTTCCTTCAACATATCCCGCCAGAATTCCACAAGGAGGCTAGAGGCCTGTCAGAATCACCACGGACTATAATGAAACGACTAGTAGACATGGCCATTGGTCTTGTTACAACGAATGATGAGCTCATCGGTAGTATCGAGGGCCTTGAATGTGTCATGATGGAGAGTTTGTATCAATCTAACACAGGTAATCTGCGACGAAGCTGGATAGCAATCCGGCGAGCTTTGGTTATTGCGCAGCTAATGGGGCTTCCCCGAAGGGGTAGTCGAGCACAGTACAAGTTTTTGGATCCTAAAACAAAGGCTGACCCACTGTTCATGTGGTTCCGAATTGTCTTCCACGACCGCCATCTCTGTCTTATGCTGGGTCTTCAGCAAGGCTGTCTTGATCACAGTATGACTTCTGACGCGATGATGGCAAGTGAGACTCCCGTTGGACGCCTTGAGCGCATGCATTGCGTTCTCGCATCTCGTATCCTACAACGCAACGAATCGGATCCCAGCTGTCGTGATTTTGACGTGATGCGAGATCTAGACATGGAATTGCAAAAAGTGACCAGAATACTGCCCAACAAGTGGTGGCTCGTGCCTGACCTCGCTCGGTCTATGAGCGATTCGCATGCTCTGTTTTGGGACATGAGAAGGCTATTTGTTCAACTATTCCACTACAACCTGCTCAACCAACTCCACCTACCCTACATGCTTCGTTCCTCAGACGAACGCAAGTATGACTATTCCCGAATCACCTGCGTGAATGCCTCTCGGGAAATACTCTCCCGCTTCGTCATGTTCCGCAGCTTCAACCAGAGTACCTTTTGCTGTCGCATGGTGGACTTTTTCGCACTGATGGCCGCTATGACGCTACTTCTGGCGCTTATTGATAGTCATCGCTCTTCATCAGCCGAAAAACTTCTTGCCCATCAATACCTCACTGATCGTGCCATGATAGAGCAGGCACAAGAAAACATGGAAGAGGTCAATCGTCTCAACACCGATCTGCTGAGTGCACAAGGTGCCGATTTGCTGCGGCGCTTACTGGCGATTGAAGCCGAGGCTGCGGACGGGCATATGTATAGGGCTGAAGGCGTGAGTGTTCAGGTGCCAGAATCTGAGTTGGCGCAATCAGAAGAAGATAATATAAGTGAGTTTCGCATGTACATACCTTATTTTGGGACCATCAAGATTGCCCGCGATGGTGTGATCTCGAAGAAGATACCCGCCGCCGAGCAACTTCTCGGAGCAAGCAGCAATAATTCCCAACTTCCAATAACCAACGAATTCAACAAAACTACCCCGGAGATCCGGAATTCAGAGACAAGAATCTATTCATCCAGCTACGCCCGTCATCGAACATCTAACCCCGCAGCAATAGCACCACTGCCAACTGTGGGGCCAGATTATGACTGCATTGAAGAATTTCCAAAAACACTACGACTAGAGCCCTATGCAAATATACAGCCGCAACTACCGGCGTCATCTCCAGGCAACAACAGCGTTGCAGCGCCGTTTATGCCACAGCTTTCAGGGTCTATCTCCGATACTCTTCTGCAGCAGCCCGAGTATCCTGTTCTAGCGGCGGATGTAGACAACTGGGCATTTCAAGGGGTCGACATGGCTTTTTTCGATAGTTTAATGAGAGGAGGTGAATCTGACGAGAATAGAGGGATGGAGTGGATCTCGTGGCAGAATGGAGGTGGAGATAGCTAGGTAGTGAACCAAAAAAAAAAAGGAAGTCAGTATCTTTTTAACTCCTGGCGGGAAGATTATATTGGAATAATATATGTATACAATGAAATCTCGGAGTACATGTTGATCATACCTATGTAACTTTTGGCGATTCGACAGGCTGCCTTAACACAGGGTATAGCAAGCACAGAGTAGAGGAACAAAATTTTGTCACCCAAATGTATGATTGATACACGCAGCATCGATATTCGAGTAGAAATGAACATATTCGTCACACTCGCTTTCATCACGCTCTTGAAGTGGCACAAACATTGCAAGATTGCGTGGGGGAACGTTAATTGTCCTCATCCAAAGCCAGAATTGAAAACGAACTCCGAATTTCGTAAAACATCTTGAAAGAACTCTGACTCTGGATGAAGAGTCCCAGTCGCTCCTAGGTTTATATGTGCGTCGCTAAACAGATCCAAATCAATTGTAGAATAAAACGAACTGAAATTGTCAATTGTCTCTATCTCGCCATTATTCGGGATTGTCAGGTGGACGTCTGGAAGGCTGTTTTCATCATCGACATTTGTAGGACCGTTATGTAGATTCTGCTGTATTTGTGTGGAGAAGAGTGGGGCGGTTCTTGACTGCCTTGATGATGGGACAGGAGTTTGAACAGATTTTCCATTGTTGGAGCAGTTATTTCTCGTATTGTGATCGTTGTTGGTTGCTTTCCACATAGACTCCCAAGATTTGAACGAATCATATCGTAAATCCGATGTTAATTTCGTATTTTGACTCGATTCCTGCGAGTCTAGCAGTTGCAGACGCGATAGCGCACGTTCTAGAGATTCGATCAGAGATACTTCAGATCGTGCTGAGTCTCCAGCAGCCGACATCTCACAAATCATATCGAGGCCACGCTGCAAAATGTCATGGAATTGACATGTTTCATCCTGGATTGAAAATGCAATCAACACTAATAAGGATGCACGGCAAGAGCTGTATTCAATGTAACAGGCTCGAGCTAATCCTGGAGTATTGTCTCTTAATGACAGGCAGATATCGAGAGCGTCTAATGCGGCTTGCACACAGTCATTCACCAGCTCTAGTCGCCGAGATGGAGGTTTCTCTTTACATTCCGAGGTATTGGTTGTGGGGTTTCTTTGTTCGATTTCTGGAGACGTTTCAAATCGAGACCGAGAGTGAGAACGGCGTAATAGAAATGGGCGTCCAACAAAAAGCCGCACTAGACAGTATTCTAGACGAACATGCATCGCAGCTCGCCAGGACGCGATACCGTGGGATAATATGGGGTGTGTAATTACCTCTGGAAGAGACTCCCACCATGCTGCGAGAGCCTTCTTTGTGTCCATCAAACGAGATAGAGTATTTGGTATTGTTTGTTTAGGTAGGGTACGAAGCGTTGTCCTGTGGATGATCCGGAGTTAGCCAGAGTTCATATATGCAATAGATAGATATATCTTTGTCTATTTGGATAGAAAACCAACATATGAAGCAGAAATTCCTCTAGATAATGAACAAGCCTGATAGAAGTGGCCATATGTATTGTATTCAAAAATTCGCCGTTCTCCCCATAATTCTCCGACACAGTTGGAAGGTTTGCTTCGACATCGCTACGGGAGAGTGATAGCGGCCGTCCATGGAAGATGTTAATTTTCCTATGAGGATAAATTAATTCTCCATCAGGGACTTAAAATGAATACATACCTATCCAAAGTATAGGCACTCCACCAAACACAGTTTCTGGTCTCGATCGTGACAGTGCTAAGCGCATTTCCTGTATACTGACGATGCATCCCATTTTGCATTGCCAGCCGAATCGCAAGATTCAAATAGACGTATGCAAGGCCCGAAGCATCTAACGGAAGTGTGTATACTCCAAACAGTAAACATGCCTGGACACTTTCGAGCGACGACAACTCAATGATTTCCGGAAGAAGCTGGACTGCTTGCTGATAGAACATTTTGCCCACCTCATCTTCGGAAAAAGTAAGACTGTCTTTTGCTCTGTGATTTCTTTGGGTTGAGTCCAAGTATACGTATTGGGTGCCGATAGCAAAGATCGTGAGTACTATGCTTATTGCAGGGGCGTCTTTAGTAGATAAGTTCTCAGGCTTTGAATAAAGCGTATTGATTTTCTCGATAGACCAGCTCTTGTCAACAAGAAAGTAGTTTGTTTGAGCATACTTGAAGAAGATATCGGCTAGAAATTCGGCGACGTGGCGAGGAGGGAAACAAGATATTATAGTGGAGAGGTTGCTCAAGCCAGATTGTACTTTTTCTGCTCTCCAATATCCCGAGATTTCATCCGACCCATGCATAGACTGGAGGTCATATTAAATCATAAGCCAGGAAGGCACCTAGTTAGGGTTTCCAACATACCTGGAACATTGTTGCAGATATACGGTCATCAATATGTCGCTTCAATCGCATCGAGAAATTCCAATAGGAAAATTCTCCGGAATAGTCTAGTTAGAGATTTCAGTAATGTGCGATGGCGACAAATGAAAGAGGAACCCAACGTGTCACATTTTCCTGGACCGGATCAATCGTGCAAACTTCTTCATCAAGAGATATCAGATCATCCTCGTCTTCTAAATCCAGATGCCTGGTGTCAACTAGGTTGGCTCCAGTTTGAGTGAGAGATTCATAGGTTCGCTGAAGACCCTCTGTTTCAAGATTCAAGTCAGGGCATCTGACTTTCAATATCTGTTCCATATAGAAACAACGGCTCGAAAGCTCAGTAACGTGAGACTTTGAAATTCTAGGTCTAGATATTTTACGAAATATCAATTGATAGTTAAGTTAATTAGCAATGCGTAAAGTTTTGATACCTTTGTGCCTCACCTTGCAGCACGCGGCGGGTCATCTTGATCTTGTGAATCGGTACGGTTGAATTCGCATACATTCGAATAATACAAACATCTTCGACAAGGGACTCCTCCCTCGCACTTTTCTTTCAGTTTTCGACATCTGTCGCAGCTACTGGGGGTCAGTCCTGGCAGTGACCTTTACTAAATCATTAAATCATTAAGAGGAGACTCACGCTCGAACTGCACGTTTCCTTTCTTCAGCCAGGACTCTCCGTGGTTTGTTTTTACGTGGCCTTTCTGGATAATTTGGGCTAGCACCGCTCACTGGATGATTTCCCTGGCGATTCTCTAGATTATTGGGTGGATCCAAGTTCATGATTTATCCGCTCCGCAGCTATCAGGGTGAAGCGTCATGAACGGTATAATACCTAGCCGCCAGCTGACAAAATACGGGGTGATAAGATGCAAGTGCTGAGGGGGGTGTTATTGAATTAAGGATGTAGGTGGAGTAGGCTTGTCATTATTGATTGACGACGATTTGACTCCAAAGTCCCCCTCCCTAGCCTCGTGTGCTTATCAGCACTCCATCCACCATCCACATTAGGGGATAGTGTCGACTTGGACCCCCACACGGTTCTTTGGCCGTTGATACGCTAAGGTTATAGGTCAAGAATTGGGCCAATAAAACAAAAAGAATACAGAAAGAATATAAGATGCCGGGCATACTTACGAATACACATATATAGCTTCGGATGTGTTTATCTGAAATTGCACATAAGATGGAAATAACCGAAAAAATATGTATAAATGATATAATATCTAAATATGCAATCCCACCATACAGGAATATCAAGACTTATTGCTTGGTTGCGGGAAATGACCCCGTACCCAAAATATCTCCATCCTCCTCACTACCATTCTGTGCCCGGTCGATCCGAGCCTGCGATGACTGGAACAACCTGGGTATACCACTCTGCTCAAACGGTACATCATGCGCGATCATTTTCGCCAACCCTTTCGTCGAAAGCCAAATAACGGGCATTCCATGGCCATTGAAACCAGCAATAACATACTGACCAAGCTTGTTCGGCACAGATCCGATATGGGGGTGCGAATCGTATGAGTACCCCATAACTCCGCTCCATATTTTACTGATTGCTGCACCGCTGTCCTCCCAACCGTGATACGTCTTTTGCATATAGTCATGGTAATAATCATTCGCGGCGTCGATGAGTATGCTATCATCCACGTTATTGTACCATTGGTCTCTGAAAGGTTTGAATTTCGCCGAAGCGCCGCCGACAACAATGCTCCCGTCACTTCGGCCAATCAAGTAAGAGAGATTGTTGTCGTCGGTTCGGTTGATGTACGAATTGTTGAGGAGAGGTGCTTTTGCGCCGTCTGGTACGGCAATGTGGCATGCGATGCCTTTGCAGGGGATGATATTCTTTGCGTATTCGGGAAGAAGCCCCGAGACGTATGCATTATTTGCATGGATAATTTTGTCTGCATGGATATTTCCGCGTGGAGTCTCAATCATAAATCCGCCTTGGGAGGCCGGCTGTATTGAGGTCGCCGGAGTATTGGTTTGAAGATTCACTTGGCCACTGGCGAGAATTAACTTCGTCAAATGTATAATGAACTTGTACGGCCACAAAGAAGCTGCTGTGTATGATGCGGCAGCTTTCGCACCTTTGACACCAGATATCTAAGAATAGTAAGTCAGTACTCACGGAATATAGTGTAGTCAACAATGTAAGGAATAAGAAAGGAAGAAATAGCCACATACGCCTTCTGCTTCCTTTCCGGAGTAAAAAATAACATCTTCCATATAACTAAGGCCATAAGCAGTCATCTGTTCGTAGACAGCTTTTGCTTTCTGGGCTGCTTGCTCGTTACACCAGACATCAATGGACCTGCAAAGATTGAAGTCACAGTCAATCCCTTGCTCTCGAACGAACTTCTTGAGGGCTGGAACATGTGCGATCTCAAATTCGGCAACTTCAGCAGCTGCCTCGAGGCCAGCTCGGTCAATATATGTCGGGATATGGCCGTACAGATCGGGTCTCAAATGTCCGCCATTTCGACCAGTCGCTCCGGAACAGACTCCTCGTGCATCGAGTATGGTGATGGAGGTCTTCGTGCCCTCGGCAAGCAGATGGTATGCTGTACTTGTTCCAGCGTAACCAGCACCGATAACCAGAATGTCGGTATGCGCTGGCAGAGCCTCTGTGGAACGATAGTCGCTGAATTCGTTATTTCCTTCTTGTTGCCAGAAGGTTTGTCCAGGATTCGGCGCCGGAAGGCATCCATGCGCCATTGAAGCACAGTTGGCAGAACTCATTGGGGTCGTAGATGATGAAAAAGGTCATCATGGGATTTCTACATTGAAGCGACAGAACAATTTTCGCTAGATTTATGCCGGCTTGATTACTCCGTGGTTTTTTGGATGTGGGGTGGTGATTAAGCCGGAATAGAAAATCGGAATAGATAGTTAATTGCCGACTAATCCTTAGCATTTTTGGCCGGTCCGGTCAATCCCCAGTCCTTCTTATCTTGCGCCAATCAACTGCCGAAGGCAGATAATTAAGCATTTTAGGTTCTGAGCATTGTTGAGAGGAGATGATGGCCGGAATACTATTTTTATTGTGACAAGGCGGGGCAGTAGAAGCTGCAGGTATCCGGTCTGCAGGCTTCCGGTGCTGCCCACATTTCAGAATGCAGGGGCTCAGGGCGTGTACCCGGGGGCCTCACGATGATAACACGAGCATTTAGTAGTAGCTAATTCTATCTACTAGCATGGTTGCTAATCCCTGCGATATGATTAGTGGCAACACCGCAACGAAGAAGATAACGAACCTAGAGGACTACGTATTAAAGGGCATCAAAATATGCTGAGTGGCCTCAAAATCCAATTACCAGTCCGTGTCATTCATCCCTTTACACACCATGTCCTCTTTGTCAGGCCACGACCTACCTTCCCCGGAAGAGGTGATTCCTGGAGACTGTAAGGACGAAGAGAAGGCGATGGTTACAGAGCTCGGCAGCAGGTCGGAACTAATTGCCAATGGATACTACGAGGAGCGCCAGGCGTTCCGCCAAGGCCTCCGAGAGCGTCATATCCAGATGATTGCTCTAGCAGGGACAATAGGAACGGGCCTTTTTCTCAGCTCTGGTCGTGCTATTGCTAATTCCGGGCCCTTGGGCTCGTTTCTGGGGTACTCAATCGTCGGATTATCTGTCTCCAGTATAATGTTCGCTATAGGTGAATTGGGGGCTCTTGTGCCTCTCAACGGAGGCATTGTGCGATACAGCGAGTACTTCTTCGACCCTGCGCTATCTTTTGCTAATGGGTGGAATCTGGTCTATTCGTACCTAGTTTCTATTCCAGCAGAGGTCACTGCTGCTGCGGTGCTTATTGAGTTTTGGATAACCATTAATAACGCAGTCTGGATTACTATCTTCGGTGTCCTGATGACAGCTACCGCAGTCCTGCTAGTGCGAGTATACGGAGAATTGGAATTTGGGTTCTCGATGCTGAAAATCATGCTTGTCATTGGCATCAACATCATGGCTCTCGTCATCACCTGCGGCGGCGGGCCTAATCACGAGTCAATCGGGTTCCAATACTGGAAGAGCCCCGGTCCATTTGTACAATACCTAGGTATCAAAGGCTCCTTGGGACGCTTTCTCGGCTTCTGGACGACAATGAACAATGCTGTCTACTCCTACTCTGGTATCGAGGTCATTACTGCTGCTGCTGCAGAGACAAGAAACCCGCGACGCGCCATCCCGCAAGCAGCACGACGTATCTTCATCCGGATTATTCTGTTCTACGTCATTACCATCTTTATGGTTGGTCTCGTGGTGCCTTCGAACGACCCAAGTCTCCTCCGTTCCACCGGTACCGCGTCACAATCTCCCTTCGTCATTGCAGCTACTCGCGCGGGAATCAAAGTTGTACCGTCGATCATCAACGCCGTCATTCTCACCTCTGCATGGTCGTCAGGAAACTCCAACATGCTCAGTGGCTCGCGGGTCCTGTACGGTCTGGCGGTGCATGGGCATGCGCCGAAGGTCTTCCGTCGGATCAACCGATTCGGGGTTCCATACGTGTCTGTGGCACTGTTCAGTGTATTCATCTGCTTGGGATACATGACCATTTCCAGCACCGCGAGCACCGTGTTTAATTGGCTGCAAGATCTGGTTTCGGTCTCAACTATCATTAACTGGTTGAGCATCTGCGTTGTCTACCTACGCTTTTATTATGGATGCAAGAAGCAGAATATCGACCGACACAGAGATCTTCCCTACGCAGCCCCTTGGCAGCCGTATGCAACCTGGGCGACGTTGATTTTGTACATTGTGTTACTTTTAACAGGGGGGTATAGTACTTTTATGCGTGGAAAATGGAGTAATGAGACGTTCGTTTCGTCTTATATCAATATTCCCATTATTCTGTTGCTATATTTCGGGTTTAAGCTGTGGAAGAAGAGCAAGATTGTACCTTTGGATGAACTACCGATCAGACAGTTTATTGAAATCTACCAGAGGAATCCGGAGCCAGCGCCGAAGCCGAAAAGAGGGCTTCACAGGTTGAATATCTTGTGGTCTTAGCCATTATCTCTATTACTGAATTTTTAATTTTACTATATGATAATTCAACATAATCTATTATACAATATAATCTAATCTACTAATCTAATCGGCGGACATGATGGCCGGACCGGTCAAAATGGGTACTCCCGATAAAGCAATCAACTCATTTCTTCCCCTCACCCCTCACTGACCACATCGTATCCAGCTTCGTTCTCAGGCCCGGGTTTATTAATTAATAAACCAAGTAGACTTGTCCCACATCAAAATCTATGGACTGGACACTTTTAAATGCCCCAATCTCATCTACAGCATTCAATTCAATCCACCGCCCGATATACACATTACTATATAGTTCCCTCAACCTTTAATATGCCCCCCAAAAAGCACGTCGTCTTCGACGTCGTCGGCACCTGCGTCTCCTTTGACGCATTCTACTCACGCATCAACCTCATCCTCGGACCCAGACTCCGCCACCACAACATCACCGCGCAACTCTTTGGCTACACATGGATGGAAGCCGCGGAACTCGACTTCACCTTCCTCTCCATCTCCGAGCGCTACCAACCCTACAAACACGTCTTAAAAGCACTCTTCTACCGCACCCTCTGGATGGCCGGGGTCCCAGACCCACGCTCCTTTGCTACTGACGCCGAACGCGATCAGTGTATCGCCGGCTACTCGGATCTCCAGCTCCGGCCCGGCGCGAAGGAGTGTTTCGAGAAGTTGAGGGGTGATGGGTTCACGGTGTGGTGTTTCACAACCGGGGATGTGGCGCGTGTGCGAGGATATTTTGAGAATGGTGGTGTGGATGTGCCAATGGAGAATTTTGTGAGTTGTGATTCGAGAGGCGTGGCGAAGCCGGCGTTGGAGGCGTATCGGTCTGTGCTGGAGAGGTTTGAGGAGGGAGACGAGAAGTGGTTTGCGGCGGCGCATATGTGGGATGTGTCGGCAGCAAGGATGGTTGGGTTTAAGGGGGCATATTGCTCGGTGTATGAGATGGAGTCGTGTAAGGAGATCTTTGGTGAGATGGATGTTATGGCTGAAAGTTTGGTGGAGATGGCAGAGAATATTTCACGGATGTATAAGGATACTTAGCACCTCAAGATATACTATAAACGGCATCTGGATTAATAGGCTAGATAGTCTAATTACCCTGATTGCTGAGAATATCCCGGGTTTACACATATCTATACCATCTAGCGTTGAGGCGGATATGGAGTTGAGGTCGGGTATTCCAGCACTTCTATCCAATAGATTTATACTAAAGCAGTCACTAAATAGTCACTAAGAGCGAAGGTAATAATCAGGCCAACTGCTACGTCAACTACCTATAAACGAGCTACAATGGTCTGAATGTCATCATATCCCAATGTTGACAAGGCTAGATATTACATATGCAGTATAGAATGATGTAAATGCTAGTAATTTAATATATTGAGATTGATACACATAACTAGAACATCGTGAACATAGACCATTCAAGTTCCTAACCATGCCCCAGCCGAGATCCAAGCAGCAACGCTCCACAGAATGAATCCTCGATGGCGGAAAACATTCACGTTAGAGGCCTGGGCGGCAACCAGGTTGGAGGATGGCGGGCAGATTAGCAAGATGGAGGAGATGGTGGATACGGCGTATTATCACGAGTTTTTCCACGGTTTCAGAAATACATGAGCGATAATCAATAAGAGTGGCTATGAACAATAACTAGGTAAATTAGGGTTTTATATTGAGATATGTACTATAGTCACGTTACACAACATCAATTGATCGCATCCTAGTAATCTAGTAATGCAAGTCAGAATTAAGAGCCCAAGCAGTCTACCTACCCTGCAATATGTAGCAAATCAGCTCGCCTTGAAAATAATAACTCAGAAATTAATTTTTCATACTATCCTAACTATGCCGATCGCGTTACGAGATAGAAATTTCGAGTGGGGCCGCTCAACCTTACGGACAACGCTTCTCTTCCATCATCGACTTTACGCTGAAACATTGACGGTGTGATAATATGCTGCTACTGATTTACCTGTGAATCTGTCCAGTTAGCTAGTATCGGATATGGACGTAGGAGTTGATTGATTAAATCCTTACAATCGAATCGATGCCATGGAAGCCCACCACCTCCCCAGCACCGTCCCCGAGTCACAGGTGCTCATCATCATGACCGGGGGCACCATCTGCATGCAGCGGTCACCATCCGGCTTCGTACCCGCGCGGGGCTTCCAGGAAACATGTCTCGCCAAAATCCCCATATTCAACGACGGCTCGCGGCCGCAGCCGATGAAAGTGGTCGTGGATGCAGACGGGCGCGCAAAGAAATATGCCAGCCTTCGCACGCCGGCCAGTCTGTACGACCGCCAGGTACGGTATACCGTACTCGAGTTTGAGGAATTGCTAGACAGCAGCTCGATTGATTCCAGGGGATGGGCGCTGATTGCGCAGACCATTTACAATAATTATACCCTATTTGACGCGTTTGTCGTGCTGGTCTGTCTCCTCATTACTTCTTAGTAGTGGATATCGGCTGATGATGATTCTAGCATGGAACCGATAGCTTGGCGTATACCTGCTCAGCGTTGAGCTACATGCTGCAGGAGCTCGGCAAGCCCGTGATCTTGACTGGTTCGCAAGCGCCGATGCTGGAGCTGCAAAACGACGCATCAGACAACTTGCTCGGCAGTCTTGTTGTCGCAGGCCACTTTATGATCCCTGAGGTCTGTTTGTACTTCAACTACAAGCTCTTCCGCGGCAACCGAGCAACGAAAGTATCTGCCAGCGACTTCGCTGCCTTCGACTCACCCAATGCACCACCGCTGGCGGTGACCACGTCGATGAGAACGCTGGTGAACTGGGATCTAGTACGACGACCAACCAGCCTGCAACATTTCAGCATCCGCACCAACCTCGACACCAGCCACGTCGCGTGCCTACGAATCTTCCCCGGCATAAAGCCGGAAATGGTCGACGCTGTGTTGAAGCTCGACGGTCTGCGAGGATTAGTTCTCGAGACATTTGGCGCTGGCAATGCGCCTGGCGGCCAGGACAACGCGATGACCAAGGTCCTCGCGAGCGCGATTCAGCGGGGAATTGTGATTATCAATATCACGCAGTGTAGATAACCTTTTCATTTCTTTTTCGATCTACACCACTAGGACTGACTAACTTGCTAATGCTATGCTAATAGGTCTCACCGGCCATGTCAGTCCCGTGTACGCGCCCGGCATGACGCTGTTCCGCGCTGGCGTGGTGGCCGGCCAGGATATGACGACGGAGGCGGCCCTCACGAAGCTGGCGTATCTGCTTGCACTGCCAGAATCAACGGCCGAGTCGGTGGCGAGGGATATGGCGGTGTCGCTGCGCGGCGAGCTCACGAACCACTCACAAACCGTCTTCCGGCATCCAGACGGCGGGCTGTCGGAGCGCACGACGACGCTGACGGCGCTGGGCTACGCGATTGCGCAGGGCGATCTGGCGCGCGTGCAGGATCTGGTCAAAGGCGAGAATATCTGGATCCTGAACGATGCGGATTATTCGGGGAATACGCCGGTGGTACGTCTCCTCTCTCTCTCTCTACCTATCTATATCAATCGATATTTACATGTATACTAACTACTCAGCACATCGCGGCTCACTCGCCGTCGCTCGAGATCCTGCGGTTCTTCCTGCTGCAAGGCGCGTCGGTGCACTTGCGCAATAGCGCGGGCCGCACGCCGCTGTTCCTGGCGGCGAGCGCGGGTCTGGCTGAGCATGTCGTGCTGCTCCGCAAATCCGGGGCGCATCTTCACGCGGACGAGAAGGCGGTGGCCGAGATACAGGCGCGACAGCGGCCGGGCGTGTGGAGTATGGCGGGGATGAATCCGCTGAATGGCAGTACAGACCAGTGGGCGGGGGGTACAGAGTGGTCGCCGAGCGTGAACGGGGTGGCGGGGTCGGCGCCGTAACCTACAGTCGATATCCGTACATAGAATATACTATATAACTATCCTATACACAACGAATAAGTTAGTTATAATTAGTGTCACTGCATATCGAGTAGGATACACTATTCCCAGAACGGCAAGCGCGCCAAGAAAAGGTCCGCGGAAATGCTTGATCCTCCGGCAGCCAATCACCGGCCGAGCGCATGCTTATCGGCGGCACAGGCCTTGATTGGCCGACGATAAGCGGCCGGCATCGGCAGCGTCTTAGTCATCGCGAATGATCTCTGATTTCGTCATTCTATTATTATCATTATCGTCGGACGGCGATAGAAAGATAGCGGTAGTCCGCGATAGATCGAGATAGACAGGCACAGATCGAGAATAGTCTCAGATAGACAGAATGGGACACGCGTGGGAGAAAAAGCAAGCATGCCAGGCACAGTCCTATTTAAGCGGGCGTAGTCGTGCGGGCGTGATAAGTGATCAAATATGAAATAAAAATCTCACCATCAGGCATCGACAGCAGCCACGCCTTGCGAGGAATTGGCCATGTACCGAGCGAGTACCCCGCGGTCAGGAGGGGCCTGGCTCAGCTTCCAGCCAGGATGCGGGCCGGCTTATTTTCTTCCGTCTTTACCAGCATGAAAGACAGGCACAGCCAGAAAAGAAGAGAAAGAACCGCACACCACCAGAGGGAAACAGAAAGAAAGGGTCGAGAATTGCCCCAGCGACATTCTCCATACTCCTCTACTCCAGTCTAGACTTTGCACCACACGCCGCGCGCTGCATAGTGTACCGTGTACACCGAGTGCCCAGTGTATACACTATACAGTATACACTGCTATAGAGTCCAGTTTCTGTTACCTCATCCGATCCATCTGCACGCTGCTAGTCGTGGAAGCGAACAGTGACAGTCGTGGCAAGTGGACCGCCGTGCCTGGTTACGTAAAGGAAAAAGGAAGAGACAGCATGGCTGCGGTGTTCTCGTTGGCATCGCTGTGCTTCTGTTATTAATTTTGGCTCTGTGGCTGCATCTGGAAGGTCCTTCCCTGCCTGGAGGGGTCAGGTGACTGCTCCTGGATATTTGGATAGAGACTCTCGCCTTCCCCAGACGATTCTCAAGGTCCTCTTGACTCGCGACTCGACTCGCGACTTGCCTTGGCGCCCTCGTGGAGACAGTGACACACGAACCGAGTGCTGTGTCCACTCGAACCAAACTCCAGAACGTGCAGTGCAAATTTTCATATTGCCCATCCAGTGACCCCAGTGCTCCCCCGTGCAGGTAGCAGCAGCAGTAGCAGTAGCAGCAGGAGCTGAGCAGAGCAGCAGTAGGCTGGACGGCAATAATATTATCGACATTATTGTCCCTATCCACTCGCAGCTCGATCCGTCCTGCGCTTATTCGATCTGCTCGGCATTGCACCATCAGCTTCCGCCCTCGCGAGAACGTGACGATATCCTGATCCAGCCTCCACTTGGTCAGTCGGCCAGTAGATCAGTAGGCGTCTCGCTGTGTTGGCTGCACCAGACGTCGCATTCGTGCCTTACTTGTTCCTTTCACCATCTGTCGCCATCTCTGCCTCATTTATCGCCCTTCTATCACCTTCGCCGCCTCCCTCTGGACCGTGGACGGTATATAGTGGGGACGCCGCTCTTCTACGCACCTCCCTCCAAGTTGAACCATCACCACCTATACAGCTCCCATTCATGACCCAACCGCACAAAACCATCGCCGTGGTCAATGCCACTGGCCGCCAGGCCGCCTCGCTCATCCGCGTCGCCTCCGCCGTAGGATATGCCGTGCGCGCTCACACCCACACGCTCAAAGGCGTAATAGCCGCCGAGCTGGCATCCCTGCCCAATGTGACGCTCATCCAGGGCAACCTGCTCGCCAACCCGTCGCTGATGGACGAAGTCTTTAAAGGCTGCCAGCTCGCATTCATCAACACCGTCTCGCAGGCCGGCGACGAGGTCGCAATGGGCCGCGCGCTCGCCGATGCCGCCAAACGAGCCGGCTCCGTCCAGCACTACGTCTACAGCAGCATGCCCGATCATTCCGTGCATGGCCCGTGGCCCGGTCTGCCCATGTGGGCGTGCAAATTTACCGTCGAAAACTACGTGCGCCAGCTCGGCATCCCCGCGACGTTCGTCTATGCCGGTATCTACAACAACAACTTCACCAGTCTCCCGTACCCGCTCTTCCAGATGGAGCTCAAGCCGGATGGGAGTTTCGAATGGGCCGCGCCGTTCGCGCCAGACGTGCCGCTGCCATGGCTCGACGCTGAGCACGACGTGGGACCGGCCTTGATTCAGATCTTCAAAGACGGGCCGCAGAAGTGGAACGGCCATCGGTAGGATCTTTCACCATGAAATCTCTATAACCGTACTAATTGTTTGTAGAATCGCACTCACCTTCGAAACACTATCTCCCATTCAGGTCTGTAATGCATTTTCTCGCGCGCTCGGACGACGCTGTCAGTATCGGCGCACCAACAAGATCGAAATCAAAGTCGGCATTCCAGCGGGGTACCGCGAGCAACTGGAAGGACTCGAGAAACTATTTGGACAGCTGGAGGCGCCGTACTTCCCGCAGCCCGAATTCAACGCGCCGGCGGCCGGATCGCCCAAGGGCCTTGGGCCTGCGGGCGGCAAGGGCGCTGGCGCAGGCGTGATGCAGGGGCCGGGCGGCGTGGTGTCGCAGCGTGTCACGGATGAGGCCCGCCGGCTGTGGCAGGGCTGGCGGGACATGGAAGAGTACGCGCGCGAGGTATTTCCAGTAGAGGAGGAAGCGAATGGACTAGAGTGGATGTTATAACATCTCTCTTCGACCTCATGATTCTACTTGCATACAGCCGATGGAGCCTTGATACTTCTTCTTACTCATACTTCTTTACTTGGCATGAACAATACAGGCGCTGGATACGTTACGACTTACGACGGTGCGGACAAAAGTTTTCTTCTACACGGCGTTGATGCGGACGGTGGCTACCTGATTTCTACAACTAAATTACTTAATCAAATTTCACTTTGCTACAATCCATAATAAATTAAATTAAATTAAATTAAATTGCTTCCAATCCTGTGGCGTGCGTTGGGCAGCGACGTTGATACCCCAAGTATACATACATGTATACAAATAGGTATGCATATATGTAAGCATGCAATGCATAATGGCCGCCAATCAAAGAATCACAGTATACACATGTATTCCTAATCGAACAGCCAGCGTCTGACCCAGCCAATAGGCGTACATCCACACCAACCTATCATATACACACCTTTCCACATACCCTTCCAATGAAACATAGCCCTCTCCATCCCTCCGTTCCTCCCTCAGCGACACCCACTAATCGAATCCATCCACAAGGAAGATAGATATCCTAGCAAGGATGATGAGAAATGGGAAGAGGGAGGGCGGTAGGTTTGAGGGTTTTATTGCAAGTTTTTCAATTTTATATTCTGTGAGAAGTGCTGACGGGTTATATAGTGACGAGAAAGGTAAACATTAACTTCATTAGCATACTCTATCTATATCACCTAGTTAACACGTATAACGGCCATGCTCATTCAGAGCGGATACATTCACTCCAACTCGATGGTTCCACTGCAAAAGTTAGAGACACAGAATAGTGTAGAATAGTTAGGATGTACTCACGGCGGTTTCGAGGTCGAATCATACCTATCATTCAGTCAGCAATGGCCTACAGCACATATGTACTCAACCACAGAATTTAACTTGAGACTTACACAACTCTGCTAACGCCCTGGATCTCATTCACAATCCGACTGGTAATCCTCTTCAGTAGCGCCCAGTCAAACTCATACGCCTCGGCGGTCACTATTAGCACGGTTAGAAGACCTTATAATATTATAATATTTGTGAGTGAATGTGATTGATGCTTACTGAAATCACTAGTTCGCACCGCCCGCAGTATCACGATATACCCGTACTCCCGCTTATCGCCCATCACGCCCACAGAGCGTGACGAGTCGAGGCCCGCGTAGGCTTGGGACATGTCGTTGTATATGCCGGCTTCGCGGATCATGCTGATGTAGATCTGGGGATGTCATGTCAATGATATTCGGAGATGAGTTGAATTTAGTAGCAGGGGCTTACATCGTCGGCTCGGCGCGCGATATCCACGCGCTCGGCAGTTACTTCGCCGAGGATTCTGGAGTTGTTAGCTAAGTAGTATGTAGTATAGGTTTTTGGAGATGTACCTGATTGCGAGACCAGGGCCTGGGAAGGGGTGGCGCATGACCAGGTCCTCGTGGATACCCAGTTGTCGGCCCATCTCACGGACCTCTGTGTATGAATTAGTAGTGTTGCAGGAATTGGATTGGGCGAAAGGAGTACCGTCTTTGAAGAGCTCGCGTAATGGCTCGATGAGCTTTAGGCCTTGACCGTCTATCATCCGCTGTGGCAGACCGCCGACATTGTGATGACTTTCTGTGCTGAGTTAGCAGATATTCATAGCCGCCATTGTCGTTGAGGACACATACTGATAGTTGCTGATGGCCCCTTGAAGGAAAGAGACTCAATAACGTCCGGGTACAGTGCTGTAGCGCGGTTAGCATGTCGAACGGGCCGGGAGACACTCTTAATACGTACTTCCTAATATAACAAGTTAGTGATATCCTCAACGCTGATAAGCGGTAGAGTTGCTCTACTATTAGGAATACTCACCCTGCAAAAACCACTTGACCTTTCCAGGGCTAGGAGCATTCTCCTGAGCCTTTTCGATCTTGACAGCCTCCTCCTCGAATAGGTCGATGAACTGTGGCAGTGTTAATACTCATACCATAGGAACTGGGATAAGAACTGGGGTAGTTACACAGCCACCGATAAACTTGCGCTTCTGCTCTGGCTCCGTGACGCCAGCAAGACCATTGAGAAATCTCTCCGCCCCATCGACGATTTTGAGATTGATCCCGAGATGTTGCGCAAGCGTCTGCTTGACCTGCTGGCACTCATTCAGACGCATAACGCCGTTATCGACCAACACAGCGTGGAACTTATCCGACTAGTCAGCAAAATCTAAATCAACTATATTGACTTGATAATAACCCACCCGATCGGCGATGGCCTCCTGCATCAACTTCGCGGCAACAGTTGAATCCACTCCCCCCGAAACGGCCCCAATAACGTGGTCAGTTGGTCCAACGAGCCCCCGAATTCGAGATATTTCTTGCTCGATAAAGTTAGACATGGTCCAGTTCTGCTTCGCGCCGCAGATGCCGACGAAATTCCGGAGTAAGTCTTTTCCTCGAGGCGTGTGCTCGACTTCGGGGTGCCATTGGATTGCGAAGATGGGCTCGGTTTCGTGGGCAATGCCGGCGAAGGGGGAGTTTCGGGTGGTCTGTAAATGCTATATTAGTAATTATTTGCATCAATGGAAGGGTTTCGTACAGCAATGGTGCAGAAGCCAGAAGGAAGCTGGCTCAGTTTGTCGCCGTGCGACATGAAAACTTGCATGGTATCTCCAAGGCCTTCGAAGAGACGGTCGACGTGGCTGTTATGGCGTTGCGCCACGACTTCCTAGTTAAAGTCAATATCGATCTTTCTTAATATGAGGCGAAATAACGGATTCTCACAGCAAGGCCATATTCACGAGCAGTACCAGCGGTTACATTCTCTTTAGCGATCGTCCATGCAAGCTCTTGAAGTCCGTAGCACTAGAACAGTCAGTGCAGGTACACGAATGGTTCGGACCTTGACGTACTATTCCAAGAATAGGAATACCGAGTTTAAGGAACGCTGGGTCGCAATCTTCGATTGTCAGTACGGTACGGAATTTCAGCGGATTTGGGAGCCTTACGGGGAGCATTGTCCTCATAGACAGAGTATGGTCCGCCAGACAAAATGATGCCCTTTGGCTTCCAGCTCAAGTCCTTGAGTTTTCTAGTCATCAGTTAGTTATGTTTATCTTCTGCAGTTTGCGGTTTCTGAAGTGACGTACGTAGTACATGGCAGCATCTCAGAGTATACATTGAGACTGTCGAGAATTAGCGATCTGTGTTTGGTTGGGCTCGGTGATGCTCACTCGCGGAGACGCCTGGTGACCAGGTGGGTGTATTGACTGATATTCAGATTAGCAGCTGCTTTATATTAATTGAGTCGAGGTCGCAGGTATGTTATGTTCTCTTCAGTATCTTGGCGAGTAGATACTCCTGTGACTTTTGAAAGGAATGCATAGCTCTAGAAACTTACGAGCCAAAATCAAGTGTGAGGATAGTCTATACACTCTTGTTAGAATAATCTTTTCTTTTGAATAACGACTAGATTGCCATGTTGAGTGAGTGACTCACATCGAAGTTCTGATGCGGCGCTTCGGCCTGCTCGATCTGCGACGTCATGTTGTCTAGTGAGGGAGACAAGGAGACAAGATGAGAAAATGAAGTATCCTATTCTCGATAAAAGCGAATTGATAAGAAGGCACTCCGAATACCCTCCTATCTAACTATGTATTATCTATGAGAATAAATTTCTGGCACCCCACCAAGATACCGGCTCACCGCCCGCATAAAACCAGCAGAACGCTCACCGTCTTCAGACTAGCTCCAATTAGCTCGTTTTTTGTTAAATTTTTTTGTTTAGGGTCTGCACGTCGCTTACCGTGCATCATCCCTCAATTGCAGTATAAATACCCTGTGTGGCCCCATTCTCATCTCACTCTCATCTTACTATTCTCTGACTTCGCTTAATACAACAAAAAACGCATCATGTCTGCTGAAGAAGGTCGCGCTCTCGAGGATCTTATCTCGCTGCCCGCCATCCCCAAGGAGGCCGGTCGCAAGATTACGCAGATCGAGCAGGAATTCGTGCGTGCGGAAATCGAGCAATGTATGTTTATATCTAAAAACTGCGCGCGAAATTAACTGATAAGAAAAGTGCGCAAGCAAATCCCCATTCTCCGTCCCATCTACGCCAAGCGCAATGCCGTCATCGCCTCCAAGGACCTCCAAGAAGCCGATTTCTGGCCGCGCGTCTTTGCCAATGCACCCCAGGAAGTCGACGAGTACATTCTTGCTACCGACGCCGCTGTCATCGGGCAGTGTCTCAAGAACCTGACCGTCGAGCGTCTCGAGGTTGACGACAATGGCAATGGTGGAGACCCGCGCAGCGTGCGCTTTGTCTTTGACTTTGCGACCGGCGAGGAGAACCCGTATTTCACAAATGCCCAGCTCGTCAAGGATTTCTACTACCGCAAGAATGTCACCAAGAGCGCCAAGGGCAAGCGCCGCACTTGGGAGGGCTATGTCTCTGCCCCCGTCCGCATCAACTGGAAGGAAGACCAGGATCTGACCAAGGGCCTGCTTGATGCTACTTGCGACTTGTACGAGGCCGAGCAGAAGGACAAATCGGTCGACCGTGTCAAGCTCCCCGAGTACGGAAAACTCGCTAAGAAGCTTGAAGAAGTTGAGGCTGAGGCGCTCACTGGCGATGACGAGGAGGAGGCTGATGATGACAACCCTATCGCCGCTAGCAGCCCGGCTGGCGTGAGCTTCTTCGCCTGGTTCGGCTACCGCGGTGGCGAGGTTACCGCTGAGCAGTCTGCTGCTGCTGAAAAGGAAGAGCTTGAGCGATGGCAGAAGATTGAGCGGGGCGAAAAGGTTGATGATGAGGATGAAGAGGATGAGGATGAGGATGAGGATGACGACGAGGAGGAGGACTCTCTTGAGGCTGCAGAGGTCTTCCCAGACGGAGAAGACGTCGCCATTGCCTTGGCTGAGGATCTCTGGCCCAACGCTCTGAAATATTACGGTATGTACCTGTAGCACCGATCCATGGATCATAATTGACATGATATGTACAGTCCAATCGTACGAGGAAATCGACGATTTCGATGATGAGATGGATATTGAGGAGCTTGACGACGAAGAGGACGAGGACGAGGACCAGCCTCCATCCAAGAAGGCCCGCACTTAATACCCTCGCAGTGTCCAAACGATATTTCAATCTAATACTCTTGATTCCCGTTTTCCTTTGTTTTTGTCTTTTTGCTTGGATTTCTTTTGTATATTACCTCACAGCGCGATCACCAGGATCAACAGGAGGACCAGGACGAATATGAGGACTGCGATACAGCAGGATGAATATGTATCTTATACCACGATTAGTTTGCCTTCCACATATTTCACCAGTCGAACATCACTCATGAAAGTCCTGCACTCACCTTCATTCCTCTTAACAATCGTCCTAATCCTCTTCATCCCCCCGCCAACTTCCCACCCACCCTATCCGCAAGATTATCCACGTCTTCCAACAACACGCCCTGATCCTCCAGCTCCCTGCCCATCGTATCCGCCTGCAGTCGTAGATTCCCCACGGTCCGATACACGCCATCCAACTGCTCATTCTGTGCCTCCATCATTTCGACCTGCCGCTGCTGCTCGAACGCCGCGTAATAGTCATCACCCTCCCCGCCACCCCTTTCTGCGCCATCTGTATCAAACTCTGCCGGGTTGGGCAATACACTCGCGCCTGCGCCTGCACCTGTATCTGTACTCGGCTCTAGTGTTTTGCTGACCTCCCCCGCCATCGAGTCAACCTCCCTCCCAACATCCTCGACAAATTTCCGCCGTCGCTCGACCTCGTCGAGATCAAGGCCGTACCGGTACGGGTCTAATTCGACGGCGCGCACGGATTCGGTCAGGTCGGCTAGGTCGGCGCGCAGGTCGGAGAGAGTAGATTCGAGCTCGGAGCGGGATTGAAGGAGTTCGGGATTGTTGGAGGAGGTGGTGAGCGAGCGGATGCGGAGGTAAGAGGAGTAGAGGGGGCGCGTTGTTTGGAGTGTGTTAATGACTTCGCTGGTTGTTGTTAGAGCTGAAGCTGTAGCTGTAGCAGGTATGGATGACACTTACGTTTGGACTTGGAGGAAGGGGTCGTCGGACATGGTTGCTGTGGTGTAGAGGGTCTGGTCTATAAAATATTGGTGAATAGAGTCGTGGTGTGTGTGTATGGAGATGGGGTTGAGTTGTACTAGTGTATTGAAGGTTATGGGGTCGGTGGTGCTACGTTAACCTTTGTTTAATTTCACTAGCGTGTACACAGTTCAACGTCTTGAACTCGCTATCCAACATGTACCCTAAAGTGTCATTAGAAAGATTACCCATCGGAGTTCTTTGCACTATATTCCGGTCAGTTGGAACCAAACATCTACGCCAAACCCTTCTTGTTTGCAAATGGTGGTATAATCTCGCAGAGCCAATTGCATTCGAGGATCTTGGTCTACACGCTGACGCCCTCATCACAGCGTCCGAGGAAGCACATCAAAGATTTCAGAATAATGTGCGCCGCCTCTCCCTCGAATTACATGGCTTTAAAGATGAACTGGCTAAAAATAGCAAAATAATTTCAACAGATAAAGCAATAACGGCAAGACAGTGGAGTAAAACTCTGGCGGATAACCTGGACAAACTCGGTGCTTTGTCGCGACACTCGGCTCGGTTGAAATCCTTTGCATTTATGGCTTCGGAGTGAATTCGACCCTGATGAACCACCAGGCCTACGGCACTATTACCTTTCACTCTGGTCACCGATAACATTAATAAATACCCTTAGAACCTCCAATCTCTCACGGCTCGTCATTGATACCTGTAGTTCTGAGGTACATGGCCATATATCCCCTAGTATAGCACTCAATATACCCTCTCTTAACTACATACGCTTGCGGATGCGAAGTATTTGTCCCGAGATTTTGAATATCTCAACTCGATCAGAGGAATTCCTCCTCTACTATCGATATCAAGAGCATAGTTATCAATCTCAATCGTAAAGAAGCCGACCGCTGCTCTGCAGGGTATAGTCACCACCGTACGAGGCCTATACGAGGTTGGTTTCTATATAATGACATGGTAGCAGCAGCCACCAACGTGGCAATGCAATACCCAACACTCAAAGTTTTACGAATATTGTGCCACAAACATCTGTCAATGGAGATGATTTCTAGGGATTGCATCTCCGGGTCAAAGATGTTCTGCTGATGGCGGCGACTGGGAGATTTCCAGCCAGGGATTTTCATCGACGGACAGCGATGGCAACGATAATTGATCTCGATGGTTTCTTGCAACTGTTTCTGGGGTTTTCGGCGCTAACTACTACTCGGATGAAACCGGCCCATTTTGGTGTCTGACTGGGCATAAGTGGGCATCGATTCAAAACACAGCTAGGCGTCATGCATGAACCAGATACGAAACGAAATGTCGAATCAAAATTATAATTAATCATGTGTATTCCGTATTTTGATAGTATTTATTACTCAAAGAGTGATATATCACCTTGGTGAGATAGATAGTTCCAAAAATTCCATAGGGAAAGTCCCACTTAGATTCAGGTATCTATTGTCATGGGTAAGTGAATCCATACTGCACTATTTAGTGTTCATCTACCAATGTACTGCAGTGTTTATAAAGCAGACGACAATGAAAAATCAAGCGAACGCTAATCTATATGCCAGCATCATGCTCGCGAAACGCCAAACCATGCCAAGCAACCAAAATACCGAGTATCGCAGAAGTGGTATCATTTGTAAATCAAAGGGGGACAAAATGAATGGTGCAATAGCCATGTGCGTATGTATGTTGTGAAGAAAGGAAGGAGGAAAATGCTATATGTCGAATAATAATTCGCCTTCTCCTCGCATCTGTCGAACCCATTCCTTGCCTAGGTTGTACGCGTGCAACCCGAAGAAATCATTGAGAATGGTTTCGGTGCTGGAGCTTCGCAGCCATGCCTCGCACTGTTTGCAATCGACAGACGAGTCGCCGCGGCGTGCATCCCAGTATTCTTTCAGAACTTCGGAATATGTGCACACGGGGCTATCCCGATCCTTGTCTTTGCGGGCCCGTTCCTCGATACTGCAGCATTTGGCGTCTGGTAATTCAAGGAAAATGCGAGAGAGGGAGTGAGCGTTTTGTCGCAGAATAAACCAGTTTGTCACGTCGAGGTCTTCGTTCACGCTGCTCGCGCTCCGGTCGTCATCCGGGCTGTGGGCGAATATTATAGTCTCCAAGAACTGCCGTAGCATCTGTAGAGCGATGTGGAAATCCACGCGGCGCTCCAAGTCCAGCTTCTGCCGGAATTTCCACCGTTGCTTGCCCACCTCCCGTTGCTGTGACTTACGGAGCAGGACAACGTAGATATGTGACATGTGTCGAGGGAACCACCAACTCCGACTCGACCGCGATCGATCAAACTGTAGCCGCGATAGACAGCTGAATAATAAAACGCGGTAGATGCTGAACGCCAGCGTGTATGGCTGGACTTGGGTGTATTCTATGTTTCGTGCAATGTCAGACATATGAAACATGACATAGAGCCCCTTTTCCACCCTCTGTCGAAACATTTCGGCCTCGGCATCCATCTCGCCTGAGCCCTTGATCGCCCACCACGCTCCCCATCCAGAGCGCGCAACGCGGGATGCCAGCTTCCGAGCGGTCTCTCGACGATACATGAACTTCTGCAGGTTGATGAAACTCAAGGTCGCGCGCTGGCCCGTGGCCGGGTCCATGGTAAGAATACGATCTAACGGAGGGGTGATATCGTGATGCCGGAGGAAGGAGGTGCAGATGAGCATTTCGTGCGATTTGATGGTCTCGTAGGTGGCGCGGTTCAGCCGACACAGGGTCGGGATGGTCGAGGCATCGGCCATGCTGAGGATGAGGAAGAGCACATCAGGCACGCGGCCGAAGCAAAGGGGCTTGTCAATCGACATTGCTGGGTGCCGCTGGTCATGTCTTGTCGAATTTTATCGGGGCCTGTGTGAATCATCGGATGGCTTGGAGCTCGAAGCTGGCGAGCTGGCGCTGGGGGTGGGATAAGCAGCAGCAGCAGCAGTACAGCAACGCTGTCACCATCTTGTGGGGTCCGGATTGCTGCTGAGCAAGCCTGGGGCCATCGCCGGCAGTTTAAAGATGCCGCAAGGTGCGCCTAACGGCTAGACTGGGCGGTCTAGCGCAATGGAAGAATCCAAAGAACAGTGCTAGCAGTGTTCCGCGGGGCCGTGCGTTTTCTAGAAGGAGCAAATGGAGGAGTGGGCTGGCGGCTGCAGGATGCAACAGAGTCCGAGTCAGCCGACGTTTCTCTAACAGTGCCTTGTGCCGCTGATAGCAATATCGGCTATAATCTAACAATCAGATCAATAATATGTAATATAAGGCGATGCTGCTGTGCGACGCTTGGTGGTGCTTGATCGTGGATGTGGTGTGGTGGATGGGCGATGGGTGTGGGTGGATGTGGATGTGAGTAAGCATGAATCCAGCCGAGGTGCCATTTATGCTGCCAAGCCTTGCCCGTCACACCAACCAAACCAGACCTATCACCTCGCTAACAGAGAAGTGCTGTCATATTCGACGATAAGCAGCCTGCCGCCTGACCGCTTCTCTATCTGATTACTCGCTGAACACAATCATGGAAAACAGCCAGACTCTGTATTGAGCGGCACTAGTGGCCGCTGCATATGTACAGCTGGGCCTGGGCCTGTGCTAGTGTTTGTCTGCGTGCAATGGCGCGGCGCGTCCATGTCTTGTGTGAATCTTATCATATCGAACTATAGCACGCCCCCGTAGGACGCTATAGATCGCGTCTTACTGCCTAGGCATGCATCGTCGCTGCCTAATAATATCATCGTCATGATCATCATGATTATCATGTCAACATGCTATCAATCACACGGTGTCTTATAGTAAGATCCCATTCTTTTATACCTCCCTACATGCGAGCATCCAGTCTGAAGCGTAGACAGTAAGGCAGCAAGGCAGCAAGGCAGCGGGTTCGGAGTAATGAATGCCTGACGCTAAGCCTCACGCTTGGCAACCTTAAAAGCGAATTTTGTAAATTGATTTGATTTAATTGAAACCCGGCCATGTTTCAAACTGATAATGTCTTTTCCCCTTTCCTTTCCAATCACATGGCTTGAATATTGACTGGTAAGCTGTGTATGTGTATGGTATGGCCCCGTCGATACCCCTCCCCCTCGCCGACGAGTGGGAGGACGTCGATAGCTATCTGGACGCGCTACTCTCCTTCACGACGTCAACGCCCTTGTTCCTGAACCTGTGCGGAGGCGTGCACATTCTTGATTTCCTAACCAGCGACCCTGATCTTTACACCACGTTACTGCCAGAAGACTGGCGGCAGTTCTTCGCCTGCCACGAGCTATACGATATCCTAGACTTGCTGTTGACCGACGACGTCTCTCATTTTAATCACAACAATAGCGGCCAGAAAAATGAGCATGACCAGGATTCAACGTGGCAAAACGGGCCTGTGCCTCCTCCCTCCCTGATAGAATATATCCGCAACATTCGTCGGTTGTGTCTCAAGAGAGATTTTACGCCTACGCCTACGTCTACTGAAAATGGCGGCGCCAGTAGTGGGAGTACGATTCCGCTCCGTTTGGCGGTTGGCATGAAGCCAAAGAAACTGCATGAAGTGGAGCATTTCTCTAGCTATGTCGATTCGTTCGCTACCAGTGTCTCGGAAACAAGACAGGAGCCGGTCACGCATATAGTAGATTTTGGCTCTGGGCAGAATTACCTGGGACGGACGCTGGCTAGTTCGTATAACCGACATATCATTGCGATTGAACGCAAGCATGATTTTATAAAAGGCGCCCAGGGCATGGATATCCATGCAAAATTGGCGCAGAAGAAGGTTAACATGGCTAAAAAGGGTCAACGAAGCATAGAAAGGTCATCAAAGCATAGAGGTGCGAAACGCGAAGAAAGGAAGGAGAATGGAAGTGCTAGTGTGTCGGAACAAGTCTGTGAGACATGTCCCCCGCAAGTAGAGCAGCTGCAGCAGCAGCAAGACGACGACATCACCTTCAAAATCTTCAGCGAACTGGACATCAGTGCCGATGACCTAGCAACCTTTGTCCCGAGCACAAGCCAAAAGCCCAAGGCAGAAGAGATCGCAACACCCCGAGGATCAATGGACTATATCGAGCACGAGATCAAAGACGGTTATCTAGAGCCCATCATCCAACACGTCGTCAACCCGATCAAACAAACAACCAACAGCCACCACCCAAGCGACGCCCGCGTTCTCGTCGTCTCGCTACACTCCTGCGGCAACCTCCTCCACCACGGCGTCCGCTCCCTCATCCAGAACCCCTCCGTCGTCGCCATCGCCATGGTGGGATGCTGCTACAACCTCCTCACTGAACGCCTCGGCCCAGCGACCTACAAGCTCCCCATCCTGCGGCACATGCACCAACGTCTCAGCGTCGGCGCAAACGAGTACGATCCGCACGGCTTCCCGATGTCGACCCTCTTCACTCAATACCCGTATCCAGGCGGTACGGGCATAAAATTAAACATCACGGCACGCATGATGGCGTGTCAGGCGCCGTATAACTGGACTCGAGAGGAGAGCCAAAACTTCTTCACGCGGCACTACTATCGCGCCCTACTACAGCGGATCTTCGTTGATAAGGGGGTGGTGACGAAGCCAAAACTCGCAAATCTCAACGCACTAACACGAGAGAATAGCGACGACCATGAAACGCCCCTTGTGATCGGCGCGCTGAAGAAAACAGTCTACCATTCCTTCCCGTCATATGCAAAAGCCGCGATGGCCAAGCTATCAAAGACGGCGGCACACAAGCCGAAAATGACGAGATTGATGGATGATATCAGCACGGAGGAATTGGAGAAGTATGTGGCAGAGTACAGCTACGCGAAGAAGAATCTGAGTTTGGTCTGGACCCTGATGGCATTTAGTGCCGGAGTGGTTGAGGCGATGATTGTGATTGATCGATGGCAGTTTCTCAGAGAGCATATGGCGTCGGGGCTAGTTAGGGAGTGTTGGGTGGAGCCGGTGTTTGATTATGCGCAGAGTCCGAGGAATTTGGTGGTTATTGGGATTAAAAATTGATAGATATAGATATTTGCATGATGTACATAAGATAGGATAGAACATGATACCCAAAATTTAGACCCGAGGACGCCGCATATGAAGGGTTGACATTGTTGCATATGTTATACAAGTGCGAGGCAAAGACTAAGCAATGAAGCGTTCAGCTTTATCGCCTTCGCAGTTCGTCAATCTAACACTCGTTAGCTCGGACTAACCTCGTAGGTGATGTAAACGAAGTGAATGGATAATATCAGGTACGTTGGATAACGCTTGTAACATCAATCACGCGTTGCGTGTCTGAGTGAGCTGGGTAACGGTGTTGTCATCATGTAATAGGATTTAAAGAGAAAAAAGAACGTACCGTAAAGTTCGTTAATTAGTCTCAGCCGGACTATCCCGCTTGCAAAATTGTAAAAACGGCTTCGATCTGACTATTCCTCACGAAGCCTCTGGACAAGTTTGTCTCTTAGAAAAGGGCTTAATCCTAGGCTGTTCCTCGTTAGCTGAACTGCCCCAATTTCTGAGACAAGACTATACTCACATCCCATCCCTTGTCACGAGTCGATAAGTCCCTATTACTGTCAACACAATCCTCTCCTGGTCGCACATCCCACTCACCACTTGATTGATAATTCCCATTCTTCCCCACAAACTCGCCATTTCCATCAACCTCCACACTCCCAAAGATATCCTCCGGCCTACGCTCTGTCAGCAATATATCCCCTTCACCGCTCTTGCAACCAAACTAACCACGCGATCCGGCCATACTCGGGTGGTCTCCGGCCATCAGACACATGAATCCACCCTCCCCTTCCCCCTGACCCAGCACCACCCTGCCCACTCGCACCGCCAGCGGAATCGCCACCAAGTCGCTTTTGATTGCGGCCAGCCGCGAAGAATAGGCCACCAGAACCCAGATTGGCGCCAGACGTAGACGCCATCACTTGAGCCTGTGACTTGACTTCGGGATCTTCCGTGGCATGTTTCGAGACCACGTCTTGGAGTATCTCGAGGAATTTGGTGTTCTCTGAGAACGAGTCGGGGGTAGGGGGGAGTTTGGATGTAGAACCGATAGCTAGGTCTGTTTTCGGGGGTTCGGAAGGTAGTAGAGATAGAATGTGATGGCCGGGCCGTGTACTATCAGGGAATGTATACTGGCCAAGTCAGCATTGAGCTGGTAGATGGGATGGCTTGCTGCATACAATATGGGGGTGGCCTTGCAGGGTGGACACAGATCGAGTGCTGCTCCATTTTCTAATAACCCGAGCTCGATTAATCCCGTTCATCAGTGTGGCCATATTGATAGATGGTGTGCTGGTAACTCAATGGCAAGCTGTCAGCTCCATTTCAGCAGAATATTTGTGATGGAGGAAAAAAACTTGGTGCTTGTGCCGGGACCACGACAGAAGTAGCTAGCATGCAAACAGAACAAACACCAAGCTCCTCCACGCTCCTTCCATGCGGAGTCAGGTGGGATTGACGAACTAATTATCAGGTTCAGTTTCTGGCGAATAAACATTTTCTGCATTTACTTCTCTATTCTGCCTATAGTTTGTTACTGGGGTAATCTCGTTATGTCGACTTCAATTCTTCCTCGTCTCTTCTAAATCACAGCATAGCTTGTGAGGCCTCTGCGCAAGCTCTATCAACCTCTCTCCTCGCTCAATCACCTGCAAAATGGCTACTCCCTCATCCAGACAGAACCCCGGCGCAACTCCCACGCATCTAACTTCGTCGCCGCATCCATCAGCGGTTTCCATGGGCCGCGGTCTGTCGCACAAATCCCCCTCCATCAAAACTCCGTCAGTGTCAGGTCCTGGTCATGGCCACCAACTCAGTGCCTCCTCATATCAGGGCGCCACCCCAATAGCCGCAACCGCGGGCCTAGAAGACCCTTTTTCATTCAGCTCGCCTTCAGCTTTGCTTGCGTTGGGCAGTTTCACGGGAATGAGCCCGGCGTTGAATGTGCAGGAGGGTCTGGTTGGTTCTGGTATGAATGATAATGACATCCAAGCGCTGGCGTTGGGCCTAGCCGGCGCGCGCAACCATGAGGAAGAGCGGAGAAAAAATATCGAGGAGGTTGCGCAGCTACTACGGGAGAGGGTGTCTGGTAGAGGCGTGAGTCGAGAGGCTGTGGAGCGATTAAGCCAGCTTGAAGGATTTGAATCGATATGGCAGGAGAATAGTATTAATATCGCGGGAAATTCAGTGGATCTTGAGATTGACTTTTATCCCGGTGAAGACAATGTTAAGGATGTCAACTTGAGTTATGCTTCGTTCGAAGCGGAAGGAGAAGGCGAGAGGCGAGAGGAGGCTACGGCAGTCTTGAAGGCTGATTTGATACAGACACCAGAAGATCGTGAGAACGGGATCTGGAAGCCGCTGAAAGGGTTTCATGGGAATCTCGCGCGACTGGCAAAGCTGGACAAGCTTAGTCAAGAGGTCAATTGCTTTGAGGCGGTGGAGGGTATTTTTGAAAGTCTACAAAAGATATGGGAGGCAGAGGGGAAACGGGACCTCTATCGTGATAACTACGAGCATTTATGCCGGGGTTCGATTGGCCGGCCCAGTTTGCATAGGGGTGGCAGGGTCGGGATGGGTGTTGAGTACTGGATTGAAAAGCATCGAGTACTACATGCGAAACGAACGAAGGCATCTCCGGACTCGATGGCGGTTGACGGCCGAGATGAATGTAGAGAGAATTCGAAAACTAGAAGCGTTACAATTGAATGTGAAGCTGGATACCCTTCGTTACGGATTTCAAAAGAATGGGTTGGTGATGAAGCATTGACGGTCGACACATCGTCGAATGAATCTTCTAATTCTGAAACAACACTGATAAATTGGATGGAGCCTCCACCTACTCTGCATTCATCGGCAAATGGACTTGACGCTGGTATGGCCGGAGAAGATACACCTAATCGGCGGTTTGTCGCTAAACTGGAGCCTCCTGTTCACGTTCCGATTTTGACAGCCAACGATATTTATCGCCTTCTTGGACTCCAGGTTCCTCAGGAGTATCGGACGACGACATATGATGGGTTACTTGTTGGGGGAATAAATGGAAATTCCACGTCTTCAGACTCGTTGGGGTCGCCTCAAAGACGCAAGACGACTGTTTTATCTTTCAATGCCGATAAGACGCCTGTTCAACATCCTCACAGCTACTCCTTTCAAGCTTTTGAAGCAGCTCCAGGAAGAACGATACGCGAATTTCCATTTGCGCACCCACGACAGCTGGCTGCTATTTTTCCAGTGAGACTTTGTTTCTGTTAGTGTATTTTACAACTTACTTACAGTTGCAGATACTTCGCCAATATGGGCTGCTCGAAACATTGATCCAACGGCTCTTCCCGGCAGCTAAGGAAAATGATCAGACAAAATTGTCCAATGGGAAAGAACCGAGCGCCAGCAACCATATCACAGTACTTAGCAACGACGATCCAGATGAGAAACTACTTGACCGTCTCCTTGCGTCGAGTGGAGATAGCACGGTGTCAGAAGACGATGCTCAGGATGTCAAAGTAGACATGACGCTACGCACTCAAGTAGCCCAGCCGCCGTTAATCATGCTACTCATCACGATTCCCAAGGCTCGACTGACCCGTTCCCAAACAGGGGCGCGCAAAGTATCGATTAATTTTGAGATCCGATTGAACGGTCGTATTCATGTGACTGATGTATCTGGCCTGGGTGGAGATAACACACCACAGCGCTCAAAGGCGCAGCAGAGACTCAGCGGCGTATTAGAGACAGCGGAAGACCTGGGAGTGCTGGTCGAGTACGTGGTGGGCCTGGCAGCACAGCACTAGACGATCGATACGTACAGTACCTCTACATTTCAGTGTACATTATTGGTCCCAGTTCGACGTGCCTGCAGAGACAGCTGACGTGATCGGCAGCCCAGTCGAAGACTAATCAGACGTCCGTTATCTCCAGGTATTTGCTATCAGGCGGATCTGGGGTAGCACCTGCTAGTAGCTCCCAGTGGCACTGCATGACGGTTCCGGATCGTCAGGGGAGCTCTCTCATACCTTATCATAGCTATGATGTGATGCTGTTCCACATCTTGCAGCTGTCAAATGTATGATATCAATTTGACTAACCCATTGGACGAAGGCAGGTTCGTCACCGTTCAAGTCAAAGTAAAGGTCAAAACCAAGAACCACCACTGTACTATGGACAGTCTTATCTATCATATTCTATGTAATTACTGCCACAAGATTAAGGAAGGGTACCGACGATGTACAGAATCTTGTACTGTATTCACGTATTGAGGGATTTTCATCTCAGCTGCGCGATATAATTATGACGATCAACCCCCAATATTCCCACACTCCTCTCACCCTCGCTGTGCATTGCTTTTTCTGCGCATCACTTCACATGTCATATATCATATTTCATATTCAATAAAATAATAAATTTGACTAGATCCGCCTGCATCGGCACGACAGTCCACGACAGTCACGGCGATGTGTCATTGCCCAGCACCAGCCAATCGCTGCATCCTGATAAGATGCTGCGCTAGCAGATCGCCCGATTCTTAACGCGCGCGCTAGCCTCCCCACACATGAACATGCATACATCCATACAATATAATTATCATTTATATTTATAATAATAATCCAGTCGTCAGTAGGTACACCTACCGCCACACTTGTTGTTACACTCACTATGTGTATTATACTGCTGCTTCCGGCGGCGAACTCCGCCACAGCGCTTGTGACACCCCAGTCTTTCTTTCCATTTCAGTCTCGAGTCCAAGCCTCGACGCATCGGGCTAGCTCGGGCTGCAGTGGGGCCGCTCGGCAGCCAATCGCGGCAGGCGTGCATCACCTACATATATCCAATACGGAGCATCCGTATCCTGCATGAACATTTCTTCGGTAACGACGTCGGCGACTGGAATGTCGATACATTCCTGACTCCTCTGTATTGGATATGAGTGTGGTCGTGATCGATGTAATAATAATATCTAGTTCGATATGTGTAAATATTGGGGTTGTCTCACACAGCCTCGACTGATTTAGTAAAGTACTGCCTTGCTAGTAGAGGCTCAGCGGCGTCGGGACTGTCCCGGTCGTGCCCGATTTGCCACCACCTTGGCTTCGACAATGAAGTCATGTACATGTACAACCTGTTAGGAGTTACACACACGCATGCGACAGGATCAGCAATCTTAGGTGCGCTACGAGGGTAGTGTAAGCGTGGGTGTAGAGGTCGGCACGCGACAGCGACGGTGTCATTCATATTGATATCTAGTTTACAGTATATCATAGTAACATTGAATACATTAATCCCAAGGTACGGAGTACATATGGATGTCTACCGGAGAGCAGCCTCCCGTCCGAGTGCAGTACCCGTGCGTTATCGGCCGCGTAACCGCCTATCAGCAGCCGGCTATTCCCCCGGTGTGATCATGTACAGCCATTACCGTTCTCTGTCATCCTGTTGCACCCGTATTATGATACTTTTATAATGGCCATTATACGATTCGCTGCAGAATCCTCTCTTACCCAGGGGCGAGGAGTGGATAGTCCTCTTATTCGTCCCCGGATTGCCTCTTGATTAGTCGACTCGATGGTCCGGGTTATTGTGACTGTTAGAATGCGTTCTTTTTTGTCATCGCATGACTGTCAGGGGGTCAGCGAGAGAGGGTTAGAGGAGAATAATAGCTCATAAAAAGAAAAGAAAGTCATCGCTTTCAGCGGTTGGGGGTTATTCGATTTTATTTTGAAGAAGCATAAATAAAAATAAAATCAATAATTAAAAACGGTACGGTAACGCGGATACCGCCCAGATAAGGAAAGCAGGTGGGGTGGGAAATTCTAATCCCTCACGGCCCTCCACATATTAAAATCCAGCTCGTCCCATTCTCCATCAATTCTCTCCTCATTCATACTCTGTGTCTATCCGTCTCTGTCTGTGTCTTATTTCTATCGTCTGTCCGGTCTCTGTCGCGAGATCATTGCTATCGCTGCTACCGTTCTGTTTGCTTGCTAGATACTCTCACATCGTCATCATGGTGCGTCTCTCTGTCTTCACGTTGTGCATGCTGCCCGCCATTGCTGGGTGTCGTGCTGCGACGATTATCGAGATCGCGGGCTAATGGGATAAACAGGCTGATTCTACCGTGGTTTCCAACACCGAGAATGTGCGTTGAATCCCGCGCTGGTGGTCGACAACTACTGACAAGCCCAGCTTCTCAAATACCTCAGTCTCGACCAGAAGGGTCGAGTCCTCGCCGAGTACGTCTGGATTGACGCCGAGGGCGGCGTCCGCTCAAAGACCAAGGTAAGCGCAGTCATCTCGATCCTCTTTTATTCTCCTGTCCTCGATTCGATCGAGGACGAATGCGAGGCGGCGTCTTATCTACTCCCCCGCCGATAAGCCTCGTACAGCCAAGCCATCATGCCACCACTGCACCACGCGACTCCTAGTGGCTTCCATCCTAGTGGTTTTTTAGCATCGTTCGCAGCTAATTTTGTCAGACTCTCCCAAAGGCTGTCTCCTCAGTGGACGAGCTCCCTGAGTGGAACTTTGACGGTTCCTCCACCGGTCAGGCCCCCGGTGACAACTCCGACGTCTACATCCGCCCTGTCGCCATCTTCCCTGATCCCTTCCGCCAGGGTGACAACATCCTCGTCCTCTGTGAGACCTGGGACTCAGATGGATCCCCCAACAAGTTCAACCACCGCCACGAGGCCGCCAAGTTGATGGAGACCCACGCCAGCCAGCACTTCTGGTTTGGTCTCGAGCAGGAATACACTCTTTTGGGACAAGACGGATGGCCCTACGGCTGGCCCAAGGGCGGTTTCCCCGGTCCCCAGGGCCCTTACTACTGCGGTGTCGGTACCGGCAAGGTCTACTGCCGTGACATCGTCGAAGCCCACTACAAAGCATGCTTGTACTCCGGCATCAACATCTCTGGTATCAACGCCGAGGTCATGCCCGCCCAGTGGGAGTACCAGGTCGGTCCTTGCGAGGGTATCCAGATGGGCGACCACCTCTGGATGTCGCGCTTCCTCCTCCACCGCGTCGCTGAGGAATTCGGCGTCAGCATTTCCTTCCACCCCAAGCCTATCCCTGGTGACTGGAACGGTGCTGGTCTGCATACCAACGTGTCCAACGACGCAACCCGTGAAGAGGGCGGTATGAAGGCCATTGAGGCAGCCATGAAGAAGCTCGAGGCCCGCCACGTCGAGCATATTGCCGTGTACGGTGAGGGCAACGAAGAGCGTCTCACCGGCCGTCACGAGACCGGCAACATCGACAAATTCTCCTACGGTGTCGCTGACCGTGGCGGCTCCATCCGTATCCCCCGCCAGGTCGCCAAGGACGGCAAGGGTTACTTTGAGGATCGTCGCCCAGCCTCCAACGCCGACCCATACCAGGTGACTGGAATTATCGTCGAGACAGTAAGTCCTCCCTAATAGAATAATTCTTCTCTTCTAACATATGCAGCTCTGCGGCGGTGCCAACTAAAACCATATCCATATACCCACCCTCCAGCGTCTGTTTTTCCCGAAGAACGACCATACAGCATACAGCTACACAGCGCAGAAGCCGGTCTCTTGTCATTTCTTTCTGATAGATAATTCTCAGTCGGACTCGTCTGACCCGTTTCTTGTCCTGCGGGACATAGATATTCTTTCCGGCGCGGCTTGAGTAAGCCTGGAGTTGGCATGGTGCTTACGTTTACGTTTACAGTTTTAGCAGCTGGATTATGACTTTTCCTTTGTTTGTAACGTCCTTAGCATAGAGCCTGAATGTACTGATATCGAAACATTCTACCCTATACCTAACTATCTACGTAGTCGAAACAACCCATCGAGACCCCTCTCCTCCCTCTCCCTTTTCGCTGCCCCATCCACAATCCCCTCCTCACTCTCCCCCCTTATTCTCCCTCCCTTACCATCCACAACCCTAAGCAATACCCACATCACCCCCGCTGCGATTATACTTCCCCCCAGGATCCCCACCATCACCAAATTACTCTTCCGATACTTCGCCCTACCCGGTGCCAAATAATCGCTTTCCCACCCCGCATACAGCGCGTACGTGGTCAGAATACTCCCCAAATTCCCTAACCCAGAGACCAGCGCAGACGCCGCCGCAACACCCACTTCGCCGTGTCGCGCCTGGAAGATCTCTGTCGTCCACGTCATTGTAATCGGCACCGTGGGACCCAGTCCAAAGCCCACGATTAACAGTCCGCCATACCGTGGCCATGGGTTGCTGGCTGTGCCGGCGTACGTGGTGAGTAGCAGGCCCAGGATTTGCAGACAGACCGGGATGATGAAGAAGAGTGCGCGGTGGTGGTGGAACCGGTCCGAGAGGGGCGTTATCAGGAGGATGGCGATGAGGTCCATCTGGCTTCTCGTCAGTATACTACCCTAAATTTCATGTGGTTTGGTTTGGTTTGGGGAGGCGGACAATCCAGATTGGCGCGAAGAGCAGTGACACGTCGATGTCGCTGAGCCCCGGGTTCGTAGCCATAATGATCACGCTGCCGTAGCTCTGCGTCCCAATGCCAACACCAACCACGCCAAAGTACATAATCACCAGCGGCCACAGCCGCCAGTCGAGCAGCACAGCAGCCACATCCCGCCATGTCCAGGCGACGCGCGTGTACACGCGGCGGAGGTCACGAAAGTGTATTTCCGCGTCACGGCCGGTGAGGGCGGGCGCGCTACGTGGGAGGAAGCGGATGTAAAACTTCTTCTTTTTGGTTTCGTTGGTTTCTTCCTCCTGGTTGTTGTTGTAGCTTGGCGCATGCGGCCGCGGTGGAAGCCACCACAGCAGCGTGATCCCAACCGCGATCGTGACCACCCCGTACACGAGGAACATCCATTGAAACCCAGCGTACCCGTGCATCCCGTCCATTTTCTGGAATCCGGCGGATACAAGCCCGACGACAGCCGCAGAGACTTGTGCGGCCGTGAAGTACTGCCCGATACGCTTGCCCATGCGTGATGGCGGGTAGAAGAGGGAGAGGTAGTAGGTCATACCGGGCCACATGCCAGCGATGACGATGCCGAGGAGAAGACGGAGGAGGCTGATACTATCAGTACATCATGTCATATAATGAGAAATGGGGGAGGGGAGGACAACTAAAAACTCCACGCGGCTTTCATAGCCGTCAAACACGCGCCTATCACGCCGACGCTGATCACAATGCGGCTCATCCACACATGCGGACTAAGCTTGGTCATGACCAGGTTGGACGGGACATCGAAAATGACGTAGCAGACGTAGAACAACGCCAGGCCCGTGGAGATCTGGTGCGGCGTGAGATGTACTACGGATGCGAGATCGTGGTGAGCATCCGCATTCATGGTCTGCGCAAGTCCGACGTTGGAGCGGACGGCCGAGCAGAGGAAGTACAGCGCCCAGAATGCTGGAATGATGCGCCGGTCGAGTTTGCTGGGGAAGTTAGAGACTGCGATTTAATTATATAAGAAAGGGGGGGCACCTGTATATGCGGTCGATGACAGCGAGCTCCTCGACCTCGACCTCGACGTGGGAGCTCTCGTTGGGCTCATGTCTGCGAGGGTCGACTTCTGCATCGAGTGGATTGCTGGTGGTATCGGGCTTGTCATGCTCGGTTGCCATGTTCAATACTGATCGCCGTTGCACAGACTGATCTATAAACAGGCGTGCTGTCGTACATGAAGAGATGATTTTGATGTGCGGGAATAAACGGGTGGACTCGATTACATGTATGGTTACACAAATCCGGCCGAGCTGTATTAATAGTGATAGAAATTGTTATGGCGGGTCACCAGTGCATCATTGATGCAAGTCGCATGGAAGTCTCTTAATGGTGCTAGTTGTACAAAAGACGGCTGTAACGGCGAAGAAAGAAAATAAGTAAATAAAGAAAGTAGTTCTAGGCGGGGCGGGCCAAGCGTCCAGTCTTTGTTTTCCTTAGTTCTAGAATACTACCTAGGGTCCACTCCACACGGAAGGCCGTGTCCGCCGATCTTAGAGACTGTATCTTATTATTATATCAATGATTATGTAAATTGATGCAGCATTACAAAATTAAATTGCTGGGTGATGAAGGTTTTCAGACTTACTTTATGCCGTATCGAACCTGGAGAAGCACTTCTTTCCGTATAGAATCCAATGTAGGTAATGGTTGGAGTTATATATCATTACTGATATCAATGACTATGTCAATGGAGAAGGTTTATTTAAAGATATGCTCAAATTCAAATATTGTTCTACTAATGTTTCCTTCGGCTGCTATAAATTGCTCGATATATGAGCCGTTGATTACAGCGGTTGCCCTAACCCTAACCCTAAAACTTACATGTATACAAGAGCATGTGTATATTCATGTCAAAATTGCGCCGAGTCTACGATCACTTACACCGAACTTACTTCTTTACATATTTATCAAGTACTTCAAGTAGCTTATAAGGTGTTGGCCGTGGTTCATCCATGGTATCTCCGTCCGACGCAGACTAGCATCATGGCACGTAGTTTCTTAGTGATAATTTCATTGCGAAGGGTGATTTCAGCCACGGCGTCTAATCTGGAGCCATTGAGGTTTGGTAATTTAATTGGCTGAATATTCACTAAGACTAGGAATGGTGACATGGACCTACTCATTTACCAGTGTGCACATCAATGCGTTGGACAGTCCAGCAACCGCCGTCACAGTGGGCTTCAAGTTGGGTATGACAGCTGTCGGGAATGTGAGCCCCAATGTTTCCTGGACGAGACAACGCTCAAGTAGCGGATGGACTCAGTGGACTGGGCGAAAAACAAGTTGTCTTCTTCACCAGGGCTAAACTAGCATTCAGCTTTTTGGGTGCTAGAGAAGTCAATGAGGCACGTCAGCGGGGACCAAGCGACAATTCATTGTCGATGGCTTCGATGGAGGAGAGTCTTGTGAAGCTAAAGTGGAGTTTTTTTGGGGACCGATTGCATCTTGAAAGGTTTGGGGAGAGCATAACCATACTTGAAAAGGCAGTTAGCCTACTGCATTGATATGTTGATATAAGAGTCAAGGGTATGATAAGAATGATTTTATTTTCGTTATTATATATCTACATCAAATTGATAAACTTGATATCGTCTTTCAATTCCTGAGTATAATTGAGCGACAACAAAACAGCAACCACATGAAGAAATATTCTGATAATAAACTTAACTAAAGAAAAAGAAGAAGAAGAAGAAGAAGAAGAAGAAGAAAAAAGACTTCCACAAATGAATCCCTGTTCTCCAGTTAACAAAACCCTACCACCACTTATTAATTAACTGCCGCGGTCCAGTTGTTAACAGTTAATGTCGTCTCTCCTCCCGTAAATGGCTCAGTACCAAATTGTACGGCTGGTGCAGAAACTGATGTCAGATACGATAGTCACAATGAATACACATAAAGCATGCTTACTGATTAAGTATTGGCTACTAGCCGGGAAGCCCTGGTTTTCGCTTAAATAGTCGAAGAATTCCAAAATATCGCCGGTCCACGAAGTCTGCGGGCTGGATGAAACGAAGCTGTATGTCTGCTGTGATCCATTTGAGCCGTACCAGAGCGCCCAGGTTGTATCTCCGACAGTGGCGGTTGAAATTTGGGAACCAAGAGGCTGAGCGCCACCGTAATTCGCCAACCTGGTGTCTCATTAGCACGCCAATTCATTTCCACAAATATACAAAAATATTCAGGTCCACATACCAGATCATAAGCTCATAGTCACCACTGGATGTGGAATGGTTGATGTCTGCGGCCGTGAAAAGATCATACGAAACATCCGCATCGATGTTGGTATTATCGTAGCTCCAGTCAACTGAAGTCGGAATGCTGCTCAGGTCGCTCACATACAGCTTATTAAAGCTGTTCAACCCCGAGTAGGCATAACTCTTTACCTCGCCATCGCCGCCAGACCAGTCCCAGGTGGTCGACCATGTCACTCCAGAGGCTGACATGGAATCCACATAGGTGCATTGAGAGCCACTGCCCTCGCTCTCACCCCATAAGTTGTTATTGACAATGTATTGATCACTGGCGTAGACCGCGAACTGGTCACAGAGAGTTTGTTCTTGAGCATACACAGCCGCCGCCAGACTTAATAGGAGAGTGGGTTGTAGTTTGAGAGGCATTTTGAAAAGTAATACAAAAAGGAAATTGGAAGCACTTTTAAAGGTACTTTGAAAGGCGGAATGAGATAATATTTCTTTGATATTCCCAAAGCAAGCAAGGTCTCGAATGACAAAATTCTGTGGAGGCTGGGTATGAGGGCTTTAAGTAAGTTACAGGGTCGATGCACTACCTTCTCTAACTAAGTAAATTGGTGACCTTACAAATAATCGGTGCCTTTTAGATCCCTATACTTAAACATAATAAACAAATACGACCATGGGGCCACACCTCAGCATCACATTCCCATCAGAGGGCATCCTTTAATCACCTGTAATTACACGAGTCTCGAATTAGCCTAAGATCCGGTCTCTGCATAGCCCTATTGTGGTGTTTTATCATCCTTGTTGACGGTCAGCTTGTCTACACGGTCTGCGCTAATTTCCTGCCTTGGATAGTGCAATATTCTTGCGCGTATGGTGCAATAGCGAGGTTTCATTATCGGATATCTTTGGAACCGGGGTTTGACAAATATCAATCTCCAGTCTGGTAGGGATTTGAGTTTACTGTTGCTCATTTGTCCAGTTGGATATCACGCTAAATTATCAAATTCCATAGTGTACTTGCTGACCCGATGTACACTGGCGACGCGGTGACGCCTCCACGCCTCAATGCCTCATTGTTCGTTGGCGCAAGTAATACTCTGGAAATCTTCCAAGACTCAAGTACTTCCTTGATTCTCTACTATAGGACGTGTTTAGTACGTTTTTCTCGCTTCTGGGTAGGTCTTGAAGCCAAGTTAATGCTCTCCTTTGGTAAAGCGAGTACTAGGTAGGTATAGTGTTCCGGGATCAGGAAAGCACTATGGACCTGTGGGGGTGCATGCAAATGTAACGCTGATTTTCCATCCGATCAGGACAACCTAAAATCGAAGCAGATAATGTTTATACTCGTCGAGTTCTAGATAGAAAATTAGTTGAGAACCTCCCTCAGTTGCACTGAGGAAGTTTCAAAACTGATAAACTCGATCCACGTTAACCATAACTGCAGGCTCGTTAAGACCTATAACGCGATCCACGGCTACCAGCCATCTGTCGACCTTAATCCGATATAACCGTGCAGCCAGGGGGAGAAGATAAAACCTTAGCGTGACATTCAAGGATGGGTCTGGATGGATATTGTGTGGATTTAGACGTGTGAGCTTGTAATCGTAGTTTTTCTATAGGCTTACAGCCGTTGCACTATTATCTAGAAATGCCGAGGCCATACTGTTTTTATGCATAATAAGGATCAGCGTAAGCAGTCCATGTGACTGACAATGTTGTAATTCATTAAGCTTGGCTGCAATTAACAGCTCAGGATTGGGTGATGGGGCCGTAATGGAAGCTTGTTGCACTGAATATGCACCATACTTACACTAGAGCTATTAAGGCCAAAGCTTTTTTGGCTAAGCTTCTATCGCCTAGGTCGATCACAGCCTCGGCCCTGCTCGGTATGAATTTAATAGGGAGTATTTCATCTTCCTCTCCTAGCCTTCAAGTCGAACCACCTAGTGTCATTATCAAACTCCCTTTGCTTTCCCACTTTTCTGCACAACGTACAAGATGGATGAAGCTCTACCAGTATCAAAGCGTTATCATAATAACCAGAGGATAAATGGTAGAGAGTTGCTAAATCCCTCTCCAAAATATTGATAGCCAAGTGTTAAATCTAATTCTTAATAAGAATATTATAACATATATAACTCAGACTATAGAGGTCTATGAGAACTCGGACTAAAATTCGAAAAAATAAGCGATGGTAGATTCTGCTACTATTTGAGCTCGTCGGAAGTCTTATTTTCTTGACAACAATCATGGCGGGAACAAGGAAAGGAAGTCTACTGCCGTAGAGTAACAGCATTCTGGGGTGTTTTTTTTTTTAAATCACAAAACATCAAGTATAAAATCCAATAAGACATATTCATTTTCAGTCCCGGAAGTTTTTTGTTCCCTGCATCTTGCTATCAAGTTATTGGAGTCTCCTAATTGTGAAGTTTTAGGCCACTCCTGTATCACAAATTATTATTCTTATTACTATTACAATCAAGCTTAAAGACCTTAATCAGCTATAAGCTATGAAGGTGTGATTTAAGTGGGCGCTAAGAGATCTTATAGAGGCCCAAGCCCCTAATTCCCCTAACTACCTGCCCCAAACTGGTGCCTAGCATTACAATGCACAAATAAATTCCTCGCCCCAAGCCATTTATATGCGCAGGACAATTCAGAACCCTTATAAGAGCTCATAAAACCCCAAAAATCCTCCTAGAAACCAAAATTGTGGGCATCACCTGCTGCCACCCTCCTCCCTAAGGCCCCCCTAGGCCCCCTTCTCCTCCATACCTTCCTACCCCCATAAATCAGCCCTCTAGGCCTCCCTAACGGCCTCCTTCGCTACTCCAGGGTCTTAATAGCCTCTATAAATACTAATAGTGCCTTAGCAACCCTAGGATCCACCAGTATACACGCCTCTAAGACGTCCTCAGCCTCCAAAGGCTCACTAACCAAGGCCTCCCACGGCCACCACCACCACTTCCTGCAGTAAAACAATGAGTACGCCATAGACTCTACCCCCTCTGAGCACCCCCCACACTAGAGGATATCACACCTACCAATTCGATGCAGATATACCGCCAACAGAACATATCCAATCTTAAATTCATATAGATATCATGCCGTAGCTTTAAAGGTCTTGGCTGCTTCAAGATCAATATACCACCCTAAGAAGGCATAATAGAGTTAACGCCCCCTCTTTTTAATCCTCACAACAAGTACTCTAATAAGTCATACAACATATTGAACCCCAAAAGCCTCTATACAGGCTCAATGGACATAAACAAAAGAGGTATCTAGATATTGACCATTTAGATGCCTCTTAAAAAAATTGCTTTACAGCCTTATTAGCCTCCTCGTTGCTAGGAACCCCCCTATGCCCAGGTACCCAGTGGATAATGGCCTGCTGGCCCCTATGTAATAGGTGCCTAGCAAGGTCATACGCCCGCAGCGCCAGGCCTTGGCCTGCCCCTAACATGTCATGTCACAGGCAGCTTATGACTGCCTACAAATCCAACAACACCCCAACCACACCCAAAAGGTCCTTATCAAGTGCCTACTCTAGGGATTCCACTACACCAACTAGCTTCACATCAACACCTCCTTGACACGTCCTAGTAGTGCCTACCGTGTCTCCCAGGGCCTATAGAAGACTTTATAGGTCACTCCTACCCCAGTGCACCCATTGTCCAATCAAGAGGCATATGACTAGAGCCTCATGCCTATACAGCTACTCAGAGCTTCCTGCAGCACTTTCTCCGTCCCAACACCCTAAATTAAGCAGCGGGGGGGCGTATTTCAGGGGCGTTGTCATCTCAAAGCCCTCCAGGGGTTCTATATTGAGGCAGCCTGCGAGTCTGCGCGCTAGCATGGGCGCCACACCGGATCTTCCCCGGGGGGTCGGGGTCGGCGCAGGCCATATCTTCCAAAGGCTGCTCCCCAGGTTGGGCATGCAGGTCCCCCTCTCGGAAACTGACTGGGAGTGCGTTAGAGGCGGCGTGCTCCTGTGGGAGCCCCAAGACTCGGGTGGTGTAGCGTTGTATCACAAATTGTCAGAGTGGATAAGGAGACTTCTCAATCTTATTATTTACTAAAGCACGGTATGAACAACACCTCGAATCACTGGCTGTATTACAACCTGAGTTCCTTGTAAAACCTCGTTCAATCCGTTTTTAAAACATACCGCAGCACCAAGGTCAATCGAATAGCTGGAGACGATCATTTCAAGATATCGCAGATTCTTCAGGCCGCTTAGCCCAATCTTCACCCATTCGGCTCCAATATCGAGAAGTTTCCTTCCATCTTCTATTAAATCACCCCGAATTATCATTGTTAATTTCCTCAGGCCGACCGTATTCGGTTCTGCACGAGCTAGTATCTCACAAATATCAAACCATCCACAGTTAGGCCGCGATTCGTCAAATCGGCTGACTAAGTTGTTCTCAACCACTCCTATTTTCAGGTGTTGAACTGAACATGCTTGCCATTTTGCTAGACATTGAAGGAATATTCGACAGGAATGCATTCCTGTCCAAGACCACTTATTGAAGTCAAACACGTGGAGTTGAAGGGTCAGAACACGCGATTCGGCGTATATCTGACGATTCACGAGAAGTAGGTTCAATGCAATCTCATGTTTATATCCACTGAAGGTTTGTGAATAGTAACATGGACAGTCTCCGAATACCACTGTGTATATTTTCAAACGTAGCTCGAATGGGAGGTTAAGTAACATTATTCGTAAATATTCAAGTTCAGCTGATGAAATAAGGTTCCTAGTAGGAATGATGTGACGCGATATGGTTTTTGAGCATTCAGCATTCAAACGAAACGTATACCAAATGCTGTTACTTCCAGAAATATGTTAATTACGCTCGTAATGTCTGTCTTGTGGTAAATTGGCCAAAAGATATATCTCCTTGTTGTTTGGCATTATTAAAATGGCCCTTCTCTAGTCTGCCATCATGAGATCTAGATTCTGTTAAGAATGAGCCAATTAAAATTTGACTCCAAAACATCCCATCATCGTGGTTGCTTTTAAATTGTCCAATCAGAAGCCATAGTTAGTAATCGCCAGTAAACTCAATATTATGATTGCCGTTAAACTATCCAATCAGAAGTCATTGCTCAAGACTACCCACTGAATATGCTTTTAGAATAACTGGTCATAATCCACAGTTACCGCGCCGCTATTGATCACTTCTATAGCAAAATGTGAGTCTTCCGAACGATCCTGCCCTCAAAATGATAAAGATGCTGCTACTGGCTAGTTCTCAAGCAACGAAAATATTTGCATTAGGCGCTAAAGATGTTTGAGAATAAAAACATAAATATAAATAGGGGGAAATGAATCTTGAATGTTTTCAACTTATAAAGCAACTAAGTGTTCACTTTTACAATTACTGTGTTAAACCATACGATTCAATAATTCTTGTCAAAATGGGATCTATTGATATTCCTCTATCCCAAAGAATTTCTCCAGCCATCTTCTACTGGGGTACGCCGGTTGTATTGATTACCACGGAAAACGAAGATGGAACATTCAATATCGCGCCCATGTCCTCAGCCTGGTGGCTTGGAAATCGGTGCATGCTAGGCTTGGGAGCAGTTTCACAAACGACTATCAATCTCATTCGAACTAAACAATGTGTTCTCAACCTTGCATCTGTCGGCATGGAAGGCGCCGTAAATGCTCTGGCCAGGACAACCGGTGCTAAGGGTGTTCTGGCGGCGGCTGAAGATACAGGATATCTATATTTCAAACGCATGAATGGATACAAATACGTGCCTGATAAATTTGGACATTCTGGACTGACTCCCATACCATCTGACCTTGTTCGACCTGCTCGTATTGCCGAGTGTCCTGCTCAGATGGAAGCGGAATTGAAGGGGGTGTATGAGATGATGCAGGATGCGGAGGCAAATGGATTTATTGCGTTGGAGGTAAAGGTGCTTCAGACACATGTTCATCAAAATATCCGAATGCTCGGGCACGCCAATCGAATCGACCCAGATAAATGGCAACCGTTGATCATGAGTTTTCAGGAGCTCTACGGACTGGCACCTAAAAAGGTGTCGCCTTCAATTCTTGCTAATATCAACGAAGAAGAGTACAGACCATTCTCTAATTCTGTTGAAGATGTGAAAAATGTGGAAAATACGCAAGAGCAAACTCAGTGATACAGCCATACTGTGTCACATGTTGCAAAATCACGGAGTTGAGAATTTCTAGATGCCAGCATAATTAGATCCTCTGTCTACGCACATTTTGGAGGAACTTTCGTAGCTTGCTGGGCTTTCTGGGGGGCCGATACAATGTTCTTGTTCTTTGAAGAAAAAATATTTGTGGAATGACCGTTTGAATGTATCCTGATTTGAAGACACGCTTCGGATTGGCTTCCCAATAAGATTTTAAGAAGAAAATTTTTAAAAATCCAAGCCCAACTCACCACTCTCTCCTTCGGGACATAGTAGAATCTACATGACTTTTCAGCGTCTTTCTGGGCATCCATGCCAAGAAAGCAACTTCCGTGGGCCAGTGACTTCTCTCTGCTGGGTTGGTGGATTGCCCGAGGAACATATGTATGACGAAATTAGAGACGAAATTAGGATAAAATCGGATATAGCCAGACTTTTGGGAGTCTCCAGCAAGGAAATATATGCAGTAAACAGAAAATGAAGCAAGCACCTGAGCATGAGAAGAGGAATACCATGGATTCTTGTGTGGGACAAATGTCAAAAAATCGTCTGGAATATGCGGCTTCGCTGGTAATAGTCCTGTAGCGCAGCTCGCGGCGTTGTTCATATAGCGAGCCAGCTTACCGAAGTGTGCCTTAAATAGATCCCATTTGAAAACAAAACATTCCACTTCGTACCGGATGTTATCCTGTCCACCAGTTGTATCGTGGAAAACACATCACTATAGTATAATGCCCACTGGTTTGGTTTACCCTTCTCTTGTTTCGGGAAGATGGCTTAGTTATAAATTGAGAAAAAACCATAGGTCAGTCTGAACTGCTCCATGTATGCAACTATCTGACCTAGAGAATACAGATTGTAGACTTTAAAATAGCCCCCGTCGCTGTACCACAATTCTGGCATGGTAATGTTTAGGATACAGCAGGATGTGGAGATGGACCACGTATAGGTCATGCTAGATTTGTAGCCGAAATAGTGGAAAATTTAATCTCCAATGATTGTACTATATCCTTGATAAAATTGTACATTCCTGCGAACAACACATCGTTGCATAGCCTAACCAGCGGTTGTAGAGGCTATGATGTGGTGACTACCAGACCCGGACTCCATGGTGAAAGATGGAAAAGGTTGATTATCTGGTCGAACTAACAAATCTGGCTCCTTTCTAGAGCTTGAATAGGGGCCACCGATGAATTCACTAGCTAGTAACATTGTTAAAATAGTCAATCACACGGTCGATGAAATTTCAACTTACTTGTACCAACACAGTAGTAGAGATCAGTTTGGTGTTGTTTAGTATCGTGTTCGCTGGCTGGGCACTTCGGCAGACGCGTATTGGTGGCTGAGAGAAGCTGAGCTATCTGACGCAAAAGAATCAATAACGGAATATGAACGGCAAGTTTCAGAAACAACACCTCCGGCAGTTGGCACCCCACTATCCACCAAACCAAAAGATTAGCAAATTATTTCTAACCATTCAGCAAGTCTGTAAGGCTGTACTACAACCCTAAGGTTCAGCAGTTGAGGTGGTACGAATGTTGCACAAAATTAGAACATGGAGTCACCTTTGTCCGAGTGGAGTGGTTTCATTATCAGAAAATTGGCATCCAACAATAATTTTTACTGATAATGGAAAACAGTTAGTAACTAAATAGCTTTATGACAGGGTAGTCGAGAGCCCTAACTTGTGTGCAGACAACCGCCTCCGGTTAGACCCATACGAGCTCGTGTACGTCTAACCCAGTTAGGCAGCTTCCTATTTGGAGACTGTCCCTACATCGCGATATATAGGGCTCCATATAACTCCATGCTGAAATTGAACCTCGTCCTCGCCCATTTCATTTCTGCAACCTGGACTCTCCAACATGACACCCCAAACCCGCCAATGGATCCTACAAACCAAACCCCAAGCCGGCAACAAACCCACCTTCACCCTCCTCGCCACCCCCATCCCACCCCTCCTCCCCAACCAAGCCCTCGTCAAACCTCTCTACTTCTCCAATGACCCAGCCCAGCATGTATGGATGACCCTATCCCCGCGCGACCAACATCCCGCACGACCCTACGCTGCACCCATCGAACCCGGCGATCCAATTCCCTCCTTCGCCATAGCCCAAGTCATCGAATCGCTATGCACGAGGATCCCCGTTGGAAGGCTTGTATATGCCAGGGTTACCTGGAGTGATCTATCCATTATAAACTCGCAGGACTGTTTGTATACCCTCGACGACGTTCTTCCGACAGATGCAAAGATTGGGATTACCCATTTCATGGGCGCGCTGGGCTTATCCGGGTTAACGGCGCATTACGGGCTGTACGATATTGCGTGTGCAACAGCGAACGATTCGATTGTGATTAGTGGTGCGGCCGGCGCGGTTGGGAGTATGGCGGTGCAGATTGCGAAGAAGATGATTGGATGTAAATATGTGCGTTGGCATCAACCATGAAAAGTGATCTTATTGTCATTCTGACTGTGATGTGATGGGGCCAGGTTATCGGTATAGCCGGGACGGATGAAAAATGCAGGTTTGTCGAGGGTCTCGGAGCAGACGAGTGTTTGAATTATCGGAGTGGGTCGTTTGAGGAGGATCTACAGAGGGTGACGAAAGATTGTGTCGATGTATATTTTGGTTAGTGATGAAGTTCCGAGAATCGTTCAATTGCTGCATGTGTTTTATAACTAATACGGAGGGCATGGCGTATCAGATAATGTTGGCGGCTGGATTCTCGATCTCATGCTCAAACGCCTGAAAAGTTACGGCCGGGTGGCTGCATGGTATGCCCATTTCAATACATACATACATACATCCTCGTCTATCAAGCTAACCAAACCCTATTATCTAGCGGTGCAATATCCCAATACCAAACCCCCATCACCGGCCTCACAAACTACGTAGTAAGTACCCAACACTACACCTAGATCCTTAATATTACCCACCACTAACCAACAGGACATCGTGACAATGCGCCTGCAAATCCTTGGCTTCAACGTCGTCGACGCCATACACAAATCCAGCGCGGTAACAAACGCCATCCTGGAGGCGTGGAGCAAAGGCATATTGGTGTTGAGCGATGACACCGAGACGGTAGTTGACGCGACGCTAGAAGATGTTCCGTCCACGTGGATGGGGATTTTTAGGGGGGAGAATAAGGGGAAGATGATTACCAGGGTTGTACATGGCTGACAGTACTGTCACTACTGTCGCTACTATGAGTTGGGGGAATTATAAGATTCAGGGGTTGGGTTGGGTTGTTTGTTGCTGAGGGATATGGAACTTGTTGGACTGGATCAGATTTTATCAATGAAGATGGTATGATAACATTGATCTAAGGGGTCCACATAATTGAGAAATTTAGCAGTGTGATTTGAAACCGCTGGATCTGGTTGTCTGGGACTGGTGGACAAGGGCTGCGGATGAGGCTGAACTTTATAAGTTAAATCTAACTGTCGAAATAATACCCAGCCCTACTAGCACACATATATTAATCTTACAGCAAAGTTACGAACGCAGTGATTGGTTTATTTAATATATTCAAATCCAAGCCGCGCAGCAAGAATCCAGTTAATTTCGAGTAAATCGTCCAGACCGTCGACAAATTAAACCACAGCCATAGATTCGGGGTATAAATAAAGAAATAAACAAAGAGAAAAGTCAAGTTGACATATACGACACATGCAGACCAGAAACAGGACAGACTTGGCTGGGTATGTGATATGTGAGGATCAAATACATCTGTAAAAATATAGTGGTTTTTAGCTTTCGTCGGAAATGTCCTCGGCGTTACCGTTTTCCAAATGGTAGCCCGGGTTGGCGTTGTCCTTGTTCGTGCGCTTCTCGCCAACCGCACTGGCGCGGCGGAAGTGGTCTTCGGTGTTGGTGTAGCTGATGAGCAGCTCACCGTTCTTGCCGTAGCGACGGGGCTCGTCGCGGGCGGTCTTGACGACGGACCAGATGGATGTGGTCTTGCGGAAGATGATGTCCATTTCCTCGAGGGAACGGTATGCTGTCTCAGGATAGAAAAAGTAGACAACGGGGAAGATGAAGGCGTTACTATATACATTAGTATGATAGATAAATGGCAGCAAGGGAGAGGGACATACATGACCGCAAAGATGATGTAGGTCTGGTATTCAATGGACTGGAAAGCTGGGGGAGTGATCATGACGACCATAAAATTGAAGATCCAGTTGGCCGAGGTGGACAGAGCGTTGGCGGGAGCACGAATACGCAGTGGCACAATCTCAGCGGGGTATAACCAGGTCATACCGAGCCAGCCCCAGGCGAAGAAGGTGTTGAAGACGAACAAGAAAACAGCAGCTCCAATACCCGGACCGCTTTGATGCTTGAACGATGTGCACACAGCGAGGACAACCATGGACAGAGACATACCGGCAGCACCCACAAGCATAAGAGGACGACGTCCGGCTTTCTCAATGATGAACACGGGCAACCACGAGGCGATGAAGTACTCAGTACCGTTGCAAGCGGCCAGAATACGGGACATAAGACCCGACATTCCGATGCTGTTCTGGTAGATGGTTGGGGCGTAGTAAGTGATCAAATTGATACCGGAGATTTGTTGGAACATCTGGTTGACGTAGGCAAGGACTACACGATGGAAATGACGGTCCTCTCCCATAGTGAAAAGATCACGCCATGAGGTGTTCTGGGCCTCCAAAACGGTATCCTTGATGGCAGTGAACTCATTCTCGATCAAGGCATCGTCGGCGGGGAGATCGAGAAGAGCAGTCAGCACATCAGTAGCCTCGTCCTCACGACCCTTGAAGATCAGCCAGCGGGGGGATTCGGGCAACAGCATAACAAAGGCGAGAATGATCAGAGCAAAGACGATCTGGAAGGCAATCGGGAAACGCCACGAGACGGTGCTTGGGTCGAGGAAAGAAAAGGCCAGATCGAGCCAGTAGCTGATACAGATACCGCCAGTGATCAAAGAACCTTCAATCATGACAAGCTGGCCACGGCGATGGGCCTTAGAACACTCGGATTGCCAAGTTGGCACAGTGGACGTGTTGAGGCCATTACCAATACCGGTCACGAGACGACCCACGATGAAATGTGGCAAGCCAAAGGCGGTGCATTGCAGGGTAGCGCCAACCACCATGATAGCAGATCCAATGAAAATAGTCTTGCGACGACCGAGCTTATCACCGATGAAGATACATAAGACGGAACCGACGAAACAGCCCAAGTTGTAACCAGCAACAGAGATACCTACAGAATTAGCCTGTATTTTTTTTTTTCTCTTTTTGTGGCCCCTACCCACCTTGAATATTCGATTGATGCAGTTGTTGCGATTTGCTCAGGACATTGTTGTAGTAATCAGAGGATGTGTCGAGCTGGGGAAAGGTCTTGACGAAGGAGTCCAGGGTCAACAGACCACCCATGACACCCTGATCATAACCAAAGAGCCTGTTGATGTTAGCAGTTGTATCAATTACGCTTATAGTGCAGGACATACAAGAAATCGAGACCGGCGATCACGCCGATCGCGACGTTCAGCTTCGTTCCACGAAGCCCGAGATAGGTTTTACCCATGATGCGGTTGGTGCTGAGGAGAACCTCTCAGTTTACAGTAGGTCAAATCAATTGACGAGTCACCATCCAGGTCGACCGCGATGTGTATGGATGGAATGAAGAGGGGTGGTTAGGAAGAAGAAAAAAAGCGACGAATGGAGCTGGAGCTAGAGCTGAGGGGGGGTGAGATCTTATATACGACGTTCGCGGCGAGACGGCCGGCATTGTATGTAACTCGTACTAGTATCAATAGTTATTGTGGTGGATCACGGCAGGCGACGTCGATGGCGCGGTGCGACTGTACTCCGGGGTGAGGGACGCGAGCCGAAAGGAGGAGGGAGCAAACCAACGTCTAAGTGCAGTGTGCAACGTGAACACGAGGTTTTACTGGGCGTTGGCCAAGTGGGCTTAACAGACCAGCAGCCGGATGTGGAGTAGTTCGCGTGCTCGAAGTGTACACAATCCTCCGTACACATACAGTCGGTAAGTGTACAGTGTATAATATGGTCGCCCGGGCCCCCAGGTTGCGCCTTGCGGCGACCCACCGGGCTGGAGGAAGACAAGGCTAGCGCATGTCAGGACCACGAGGCGCAAATTATCTTCGCGATGAAGAGGGAATCCGAGAAACACAGTACGGAGTTTACTAAGGCAACCCGAGAGGAGGAGAGGAGAGCACAGGATGTGGAGAGACCCGGGGGAAGCGAGGATCCACGGATGAGGTCATCGCCTCCCGCCAAACCGGAACTAGCGCGCTAGGCCGTTTCTGGAGAAGCCGGGCTTTGCATTTCCCTGTGCATTTATTTGCCTTGCATACATTTCCATTTACATACATGCTGTAAGTGTTTTATATTGAATATTGATTCTTTGTTGCACCCATGTGGCGACGCAGATCGAGATCTGGAAATCTGGAAACTGGAGATAGAAAAGAATGGGCCTGCGGAGATTCGTGGAGGTGACACTCCAGACTCCAGTATTTACTGACTATCCCCCGTCTGGAGTCTCCGTAAATCTTCTTCTCCAGGGAAATTAGCACTTAGCCCGTTTCCCCCTCTGTAATAATTTATTATGCTGTATGAATAACGCTGATAATACCCACTTCTTGGACTGGCCTGAGAGGGCTGCGGATACGCGTCTAGCGTCGGCTGCAGCCAACCTGCCGTCGCAGGATTGTGCGTCTTCTCCTTCAGCATTTGTGTATTTTTTTGTGAGTCGTAGAATATACAGAGCATGCTGTAAGGCGTTCCATAATGGTACTAGACTTTTCTGGCCTTGACGGAGGCTGCATATCCGCCTGAAGAGTACTACATGTATGTATTCATACCACAGTCAATCCGATGAATGATATGCCAGGCACGCGAGTCGAGAATCAAGACCTGGCGTTTCGACCCGCCGACCACATGTGACATGGGAGCGAGCGATCTCTCCTCGCTCGCTAACCACATGATCGATGCATATAAATTTCCTAGAAGACTTGAACCTTCCTCAGGGCTAGAACTCACGGGTTAGGATCGGCGGCTTGGCTGCCTTTTTGGGCTGATCCACCTAATTACCACTTCCACTCTACAGGCCAGGGACAGGGTGAATACGGTTGTAACTGGTTGCAACTTGGGCTGGCTCCGAAAGAAGCAAAAAAGCACGGGATTCCTGCTAAAGCATTCCAAAGCATATTATTGAATACGATCCGGGGTGGGTGCCGAATGTCGGATTTCACCGACCGGCTAAATTCTTTGCATCCCCACTGGTTGCTCAATACACTGAACATAGTGAATACAACATAAATGCGTGACGGAGCATCCAGACAGATTCCACTAGATTCATCAATTCAATTACTACGTATTAGCCAGAAAAAGAACGAAGGAAGGAAGGAACTAACAAGCAACCCTAACAATTAACATTTATTACGCAGGTATGTACTGTAATGAGGAGTCGGCACCCCGAAGTAGTCCTCCCCGGATGATCTCCGCGTGGCGTAGGCTCAAAGCGCGCCGGCGCGTTGCCCTGCCCGGAATACCGTTTTGGGCAGTTCCGCTGCGCAAAAGCAGACCAAGAATACCACTGCTATTTTTACTACCACCAAAGTACTACTCATACTACTGGTTGGCGTCGCACGGAATTCTGTGCCACCCTGTGTTTTGATTTGATGCCTCTTGCACGACACTTGTCAGCTCCATGCTGGTGGTAAGGGGTGCGGCTTTTTCGTGCAGACGAGAGAGTCTTCGGCCCACAAATCATGCATGTCATTGGTGTTGGGTAGTAAGTAGTCTTTACGAGCTGTACAGTGTACACTATGCAATGATGTCTAGACTATCTGACTAATTGCTCAGAATGTCAACTGTCTAACCTACATACATATTCATATATCAAGGCAACCGGTGAGAGATATGGCGGCCTTACTGTGCCAGCATTCCAAGTAGCCGAAACAATTCGTTTCTTTAGCCTGTACATCCGTAGACTCGGGCCGTAAGTGTAGTTAGTGACTCAGGGTAGTACGTTCAAACATGTATTGAAATGATTGAGCCATCAGGGATTATTGCATGATCAATATATCGTTTTCAATCTCGACTGGCATGGAGACCGAGTCAGTCATCGAGACTGACAGTCTAGCGCGAATCCACCGACACGTACCAACGGCGAAACGGTAAACTGGATAATTAGTCGTAGTAGTAGTAGTAGTAGTAGTAGTAGTAGTAGTAGTAGTAGTAGTAGTAAGCGGGCAATCAAGATTTCGGGCAGAATGACTTCATCGTCGCTCTCTTCCGAACACTACGAGCCGATGCCGAACCGGTCCCGAGAAAGATCCCGAAAGATGATAGAAAGATAGACGAATTTGGTCATCATTCATTGGTGGATTGCTACATAATTGTTACTTGTGCTATTTCCTTGTACATCTCAATGCATGATGAGATCATTAGACAGCAAGTCATCGCTCCACTTCCTTATCTCACCCTATCCATCTTGATTCATGTTATAGATTCATCTCATGCAGCCTAGTTCCACTCAGACTAGCAATAGAATGTAGTCTAGGTGCTACCAATTGCCCCCGCCGTCGGCGCTGCCCCAGTTGTTGCTGATTGGCTGTTCGATGTCGTCTTGAGCGTCGCCATTGTACCCATTGTAGCCATCATCCGCAGGCTCTTCTTCTTTGAGAGGTTGCTTGCAACGCTTAACGGTATGGCCTTTTTCTCCGCAATTGTTGCACTCAACACGGGACCAGTCCTTCGGCTGTGGGCAGTCGCGAGCATAGTGGCCAGTTGCATCGCAGTTTTTGCAGGTGATGAGATCCATGTTTTGTTCCTCGGTGCAATCACGAGCGAGGTGGTCCTCAGAACCGCACTTACGGCACGAGCGGGAAAACTTGGCTGGTGCCGACGGACAGTCCTTAGCAAAGTGTCCCATCTCATTGCAGCGACGACACTCTACATTGGCCAGGCTTCTTGGTTCCGTACAATCAGCCGCCTTGTGGTCACTGGCTCCGCAATTGCGACAAGCAAACTTGGAAGTCGGGCGTTCCTGAGTACAATCACGAGCGCGATGTCCAACCTCGCTGCAAATAACACACTTGATCTCAATGCGAGGGGCAGCCTCACGCTCCTGCTTGCAGCCTCGAGTTGTGTGACCCATCTCTATACATATCGTTAGCATGCCATAGTAGTACCATTCTGGGCCACTTACCTCCGCAGTTGTGACATTTCGGGATATGGCGATCGTATGCCTGTCCAGCATCGGCAAGACGTTCAAGGTTCTGTTCTGGGCTTTCTGGCCAACGATCCTTGACACTCGCACGCTGCGGCTGAGGATAGAAGAAGAAGCCGACCGCATAAGTGCAGTCCAACTTTCCTTGAAGATTGATCAGAGTGTAGGTCTCAAACCCTTCTTTTTGCTTCTCCTACTCGAGGCATCAGTTTGTCATCTTAGTCCTGAAGTTCTGACGCGACTTACCATAGCAATCAAGTAGACATTAGCATTTTCGGCACGAAGTTTGTTCTCAATGTCGACGAAGGTCACGGTCGGTTCAGCCTTGGTATAGACCTTGAAAGCCTGGGGCTGTTAGTCACTGAATATCTATATTTTTCAGGGCACTCACCTCGCGGAAGTCGTCTAGGTCACGCTCAGCGTCAGCTTTCTTCAACGCAGCCCAGGCTTCCTGGGGAGTCTTATCAGCGACGTCATTTAAGTCGAACTGACGGTTGTTGGTGCATTCCATCGTGCGGTGACCTATAGAATGTTAGCCTTGAAGAAAGTGTATAAGCAAGAGTGTGGCCAATCGCGTACCTTCCTGACGGCAATTCTTGCAAATGTCGGGTGGACGCTGCGGACATTCAAAGGCAGGATGCCCTTCTTGAGAGCAAAGTCGACAAGTGCCCTTGAAGACACGAGGCTGAGGGCAGTCAGCCTTGTTATGACCTTCTTCGCCGCAGTTGAAACAAGCACCACCACCCTTACGAGGCTCGGGGCACTCGCGGGCAAAGTGGCCTGGCTGACCACAGCTGCGTCATAGAAATATGAGTTAGAATGGAATCCGACAGGTGGAAGTGGAATAGGAATTAATATAACTACTTACTTGCGGCAGGTGTCAACATGGGGTTCATAAGCGTCATCTTGGTGTCCATGAGCATCGTCGTCATGAAGCTCCTTCAGAGGTGCAAAAGCCTTTGATGGACCTGGGGCCTCCCAGCCGTTGCTGGCACCGGCCCACTGGCCACCAGCAGGAGCTGGTGTGTCCCAGTCAGACATTTTGGATGGCTAGTCTTGATGAGAGCAGCTGGCCAGGATGGAGATGTTAGCAGATGAGAGATGAGGCTGCAAAGAAGAGATCAAGCTGCCTGTGCAAGACAGAGGGAGATATGAGGTTGTCTGGGGAAGAAAGAGGGGAAGGAGGGAGAGAAGGAAGAGGCAGTAAACAGCAATGTGAGGAAAGCGCGCGGGGCACAACACAGCTCGCTGATCTGGATCAACCTTAAGGTACTCGACTTACCAGAAGGCCAACTCCGTATCTCTTCAACTCGCGTCTGATCTGACGACTGACTAACAGATGAGATGTCCAGTTCAGCCCCTCGGCCTGGTGCAGGAGAGGAGGGAAGATGCAGGTCTACCGGGACAGGGTGAGAAAAAAATTGAGCTGTTGCCCAGGATGTAAAGAATCACCTGGTCGACTAGGGTGTGGGTGGTGCAAACGGCCTGCAAACAGAACTCCTCGGGGCAATGTATGTGGGTGGGAGCATCAGCCACCGCGCTGCCAGATGCCCATGTAGAGTTAACACATTATGAAACAATTGAGCGTGCAAAGATCAGCGTAGTCTAGAATCTATCCGGCCATTGTTCCTTACAAGGCATCTCACCGCGTCCAGGCATCAATTGATATCATTACCAATCCTGTCCACGAACTAAACTCTGGAACAAATCAATATCATATATCATATCTATCTCAGTCACCCCTCGTAATCTCCAAAACACTCCTCGTCTTCTCATCCCTCTCCCTCAAATCCCTCTCCTGAAGCACCCCATATGCCCCCTCAACCTGCTCACCCAGCGCCTTCCTCCAAGCCGCCTCCTTACCATCCTCACCATCCCTGAGCTCTGGCGTCCCAGCATCGTCCCAACAAGCCTGCACCGTCTCCCCAATCTTATCCAAAAACCCACTCAATCCTTTCTCCCCACCACCAGCATGATAACTCCAAAACGGGCCCTTGACAGCCCAACGCGGCCCCATACTCTCCTCCACAATCCGATCAACCTCCTCAGCCGTGACAACACCTTGGTTAACTAAATGAATTGCTTCACGGAACAATGCAAACGAGAGCCTGTTAGCAACAAACCCCGTGATTTCTTCCTTCAATATCACGGGGTTTCGGTTGAGTGTCCTCCAGTACGACACCGTCTTGTCGATGTATGCCTTCGAGGCATGCTGGTCTGGTGGGACAATCTCGAGCACGGGCATTATGTGTGGTGGATTGAACGGGTGTACGATTAACAGCCGGTATGGCGCTTGCATGTTCGCGCCTTGGATGGAGGCTGGGATGCCGGATGTGCTGGACCAGAAGAGGGCTGAGGGGGAAGCAGCGGCTTCGATCTGTGGCCAGAGGGACTGTTTGAAGGAGACATTTTCAGGCCCTTGCTCTTGCACGACATCGGCGCTTTCGACAGCGGATACCAGAGATGAGGAGAGTACGAGGCGGTTTGAGGCCCGTAGTGATGATAGACTGGGGGAAGTTGCGTTGAGGTAGCCTGGGAGACATTAACATATGCAGTTAAGTAAATGCATAGATTGATGGCAGTATTGCATACTTACCTGGTAGTGTGCTTTCGATGTATTCGTTGAGATCAGGTCGGGGATCATAGATGATGACTTTAATATTCTTGCTCGGATGCGATAGATGTAGCGCCGCGAACGAGAGGCCGATTGTGCCGGATCCAATCACCGCAATACACAGATTGTAGCCGTCAGCCATTCTATTTGATAATTATATACAATATTTCGAAGGGTGAGTTAGTTATTGATCAACTGGGCGAGGTTTGTTGGTGGCAGGTCCTTCTCGCAACTCCAACCTATGTTCGCTACATTCCCCACACTAACATTTGAATTCTCCCCGCATGGATTATCGACCATTTCTCTAGATTCAATTATCTACTAGATGACAGTCTACGGGTAAAATATACACTCTTTTCAAGTCCTTCAATTCAAAGGTAAGTAAAATATGGGTTCACATGAATGGTAATCAATCCTATACATCAAGAATGTAAGCCAAGCTATGGGGTATCAAAAGAAAGCCTACACTACTCTTTCTCTCTTTTCTTCTCATCAATTCTAATTCCTACCGCGTCTCCTGCCTAGTAATCTAGTCTTCAACCCTAAATTACTCGGTTCTAACCAATGCCGCATATCGGTTATGTAGCACGCGACTAGGCGAATTTACGGTGGATAACCTCGGGGTCCTCGTGCCATTCGTCTGCACTAACCCACATCTAGAATAAATAAGTATATGGTTTCCATCAAGAAGATATTCTCGACTCACCTTCCGGAATGTACTCAAGCCAGCGAGTATACCACCGCCAATCCACGTAGTGTATTTCCGTTCAGCAGGCGCCGAAATCCGGATTTTCATGTCCTCCACTGCCAGTTTTTTTAACTCACGCATGAGTCGATCGGGGAAGTTCTTGCATAGCGTTGTGCCGCCGGAAAGAACGATGTTCAGGTATAGTGCTTTTCGCAGATCGAGGTCAGTCCGTGTGATGGCGTCTTGCACGATCTGATGGACGCCGGGGTATTCAAGGCCGATAATCTCCGGGTCGAATAGGATCTCTGGGGCACGGTAGCGCTCTTGGCCGATCTGATCACTGTCAGTCATGTTCCCAAATTTCAGTGCCGTAACTCATACCTTGATCTTGTGTCCGTCTGGAAGAACGTAGTCGATTGTTTTCGACTCCGACTTGTGGTAGCTATTAATCCAGTCTTTCTCCTCCTTCTTCGGATCCAGCGAGACGTAGCACACTTTCTCCTTGATCATCCGCACAACCTCCTTCTCGGCACTGGTATGCAGCACATGGCCATTCTTCCTTAACAACAACTGCATCTGCTCCGTGACATCACGCCCAGCGACGTCAATTCGCCTAATACTATTCGGCACCGCAAACCCCTCATACACCGGCACCGCATGCGACACGCCATCCCCCGAATCCAGCACCACACCCGTCGTCCGGCCCGATGCATACAGCGACAGCACCGCCTGGATAGACGTATACAGGGCCGGAATATTAAACGTCTCGAACATGATCTGCGCCGCAATATCCCTATTCTTGCGCGGATTTAGCGGTGGCTCCGTCAGCAGTACGGGGTGTTCTTCGGGCAGTGTTTTCAGTTCGCTTTCGTACACATGGTGCCATATTTTCTCCATATCGTCCCAGTCCGTGACGATGCCGTGTTCGAGGGGGTATCGTATCTTCAACAAGCCGCGCAATTCTTGTGCTTTTCGTCCTACGAATACATCCCCTTCTAACCCTCCGGCCATCACCCGTGGGTGCTTCGGTCGTCCGACGAAGGATGGGAAGTAGCATGATGGGATCTCCTCGCCGGCGAATCCGGCGCGAATTGTCCCGCTGCCGTTGTCGATGACGATGGGTACGTTGTGTAAGCTTGCTTCTGCCATGGTGAATTATAATTCAATGTGGATGCTGTTCAAAACAATGGAGACGGAGCGCGGGCGGACGTGTCAAACACGAAAAGCCGCCGCCAACGATCAACGAGCGCCGGGAGTAGCCAAAATTCGAATTCGATGTAGATCTAGAATTGAAAGAGAGAATTTAATGTTATTCGAAAGACATGAACGATGCGACGTAACGGTGGAATTCACGAGAGCGAGTGTATCTGCGGCGAAGTTGTCCCCCTGTCGGAATTCCACTGAAGACTAAACACAAAGAGCTTGGGCCAACCAGAGCGCTAGCTCAGATCCACTCCATATCTTACATATGTATACAACTGTCAATCGTCAAATTATCGAATTATTGAAGATTATATTACATATTCATATTATCATAATAGCATTATAATATGCCAATAGTAGTACAATAACGCCAAGAAACAACGTAGCGGCGAATAGAGCCACTGATTGACCATAAGTAGAATTCCTATCAAAACCATCAATCCACAAACCCCATTTCATCCTCCATAACTCCAGCCAGTCCTCTCTTATACTTCGTCTCGCCGCTATTAACGGGTGGCCAACTGCGGGCAGCACGGCGAAGATCCTCCGCTTTCTCAACCGACTGCGCGAGATTGCTAGTCCTGTTAGCTGGCTCTCTTGAATCGCGGACTCTTTATCACTCACTCTAATCTACCTGTTACAGCCCATCCGTTCTTCTCGATTTCTCGCGCAAGCTCTTCTTGGTGGTTATCCTGAAGTGCCGGGTTTGGCACGACGACTAGAGGAACACCGATCCTGAGCGCCTCCATTATAGATCCCGATCCTGCAATTCATATCAGAACTGTAATCTTGGGAGATGTAATTTCAATGGAAGCGTACCTGCATGACTAAGTATCATTCCTTCTAAAGAATCCAGCTTGTCGTCCGATTTCGTCAAGCGCATTTCCCGCAGCAGCCCATCTTGCTTGAAGCCAAACCCTTGGATATCAAGGCCACACCGCTCTGGGCTGCCGGGGGCATGCTTTTTAGTAAATTTGTCAAAAACGGCCCGGCCTTCTTTGCCATATTGGATCACAAGCGTAGTATATTCGTGCTGTTGCAGAGCTTCGAGAAAAGATTTATTTAAGACATTCGAAAGGAGCACGTCAAATGGGGCGGTGGCTCCGATGGTCACGAAGCACACCTTGCGAGGTCTGCGGCTCATCTTGACTAGTTTGAGTATTTATGTTGCAATGATGTGATGCTAATTGAGTGCTGCAGTCTTCGGCGGCTAGCAATATGGACGTTATATCGATGTCAAATATATCAGTGTAGCTATACTCAACAGATTCTAACAAGAGCGTGAAGATGGAAGGAAGGTTCGAAGTATATATGATGAATGTCATGGGGCGCACGTGATTTGATACCACGGACACGTCTAAATTATCGTTGTTGCCATGTCATCGAAGGAGATGAAACCGACGAATTTGAAGTCATTTGACTTTTAATAAAGCAAAATTTTAATAATTGAAGCATATTTCCGCTAATTTGACTGTTTTACCAATGTCTGCAGCATCTTAACTGGGAACATTGACATGCTGTAACACTAGCCTTTTACGGTTAGCGTGTGATGGCCGAAATAATTATCGATCGGCCGGATGTGAAGCATACACCACCAACCTTTTAAGGTCAGCAACCACCCACAATGGCCGGCACAACAAGGGCGCTGAGTCGGGCAGCTCTCGCACTCTCCCGACGACCAGCCGCCAGCCGATCACAACTCGTCAAAACCCAACCCTCACCAATTGCGCTCCAGCAAACCCGCTTCTTCTCTCCATCCCCATTCAGTCACCTCCCCAAAGACCGCAAACCCACCGCCGACAATGCAACCAAGGACCTCCCCCCAGAAGACATCGGGGAACTCCCGTCCTACTCCGTCGACAACTTCACCAAGGCGGAAAAAACCATGTACGAGCTAATGTCTCCCGAAGAACGCGCGCTCTTTGACGCCGAAAACAAACGGTTTGTGGAAATGTGGAACGATCCTGAGCAGCGAAAGGAAGATTTGAAAATGGTCGACGAGGGCGTTAGAGCTGTCGAAAAAGATCCCCTTCGGTTCGAGGAACAGAAGACTCAGCGTGGGTTCTGGGCAAATGAGGAAGATGATGAGTTTTCGCTTGTGGAAGACGGGGATGATGTTTTCCATGACGATGAGATTACTTCCATGGCCCATGCGGAGTTGGAGTTGCATCGGGAGGTTAGAGAGTATGCGCGAATTGCGGCGTGGGATATGCCATTGTTAAGCAGTACGTTCGACATATGTTCAAGCGTGGGGTAGGGTACTGACAAAGTGACAGAGCTTGCAAAACCCTTTGAGCTGCCCAAGGAGAATCAGATTCTGCGTTTCCGCTACACAACGTATCTAGGTGAACAGCATCCGGCCGAGCACAAGGTGGTAGTGGAGCTTAGCTCCAAGGATTTGGTTCCCAAGCACCTGAGCGAGGCGCAGCGGCAGACGTTTCTCAAGCTCGTCGGGACGCGGTACAACCCGGACACGGATATCGTGCACATGTCGTGCGAGAAGTTCTCAGCTCGTGCACAAAACAAACGCTATCTCGGCGATACTATCAAGAGCCTGATCAAAGAGGCCAAGGAGGGCGACTCGTTCGCAGACGTGCCACTGGACCTGCGACACCACAAACCAAAGACCAGAATCACGTTTCCGGAGTCATGGAAAATGACCGAGGCGCGTCAGCAGCAGTTGGCTGCGGACCGGCAGAGCCGATTAGGTGCGGAGAGAGAACGGAATAATATTATTGATGGTAAGGAAGCAGTGCTATATGCCATCCGTACGTTGCCATCTTTGAGCCAGATTCCGCATCTCAAAGGTACAGATGATAAAGCTACGCTGAAGGAGACTGTTTCGCGAGGGAAGGGGGTGCCGAGAAACAGACGTGTGGTTTAGATTCGTGTATCATTCTTGTACAATACCAGTCCTTTTCACAGCAAATCATTTCATAGCCATAAATGTCTACATATTTACTGACAGTCTCCTCTTAGAAAGATTTAAACAGGTATGATTTGAAGTATAGATTAACCAGAGCATAATAAAGCCTCGATAACATCGGATTGAAAACTGATAGGATTCGTCCAACAACATCATTATAAAATTTTTTTCAAACGTTTCAACATTTCATCGTCATCGTCATCGTCATCATTATCATTCAGTCATTCTGCGAAGAGATAAAAAAAGGAACAAAATCGCCGACGAGTAAACGCTATTCATCGCGATATAGAATGAAATAAACAAGAAATCTAGCAAAAAAGATGCGTCGGGAATAGAGTCCTTATTCGGACGGCTTGTGAACCAAGGAGACGCCAAAGAACAAAAAATGAAAAAAGATGAAGAAGTGAAGAAGGGAAGGAAAAGAAGAGAGGAAATATCATCTCAGTTTCCAGACAGCCAGCAAGCCGATCTAGAAGTAGAAAGGGCAGCGCCAGTTCATGACGGGAACAGGTACAGGCTCTGGGATGATATTTCCGTTTCGATCTTCGGCAAAGGAGAACGGAACAAGCTCGCTGATGCTGCGATGCTCAGGCTCGGCGTCAAGAGTGGCGAGAACCTCATTGAGCTTGTCGAGGGTATCGTCGACGGCATCCATATCAGCCTTGGTGTAACTTTTCACGGTTTGGCTCGAAGCCGACCACGAGCTTCCTCCCGATGAGCTTTTCGGAGAACATGAGCTACTGGACGTGATGGAGAGAGAAAGGGTTGAAACGGGAGAAACGGGAGAAACGGGAGAAACGGGAGACATACTATAATCATTGTTAGGACGCGGGGAGTCAAATAGACGACGAGAGCGAGCGGGTGGCTGGGTTGGAGTTGCAGGTAGCTCGTACTTATTTATATAGGTTCCTCCCGTCCTCTCGTGCTCAATGACCCGACCGAACTCCGGGCTGGTGGTGGTGGTGGTGGTGGTGGTGGTGGGTGTGGAATCGATCGTGGTCGTAAAGGCCTTTTGATCGTTGTCATCATCACGACTCATAACCAAGGGGTCGCCTGCATAGAAAGGGTCGGGGTGCGCCTTGTGACGATACACCACTTCGGTACTCACATTGGAATGCATATTGAATGCAGGCGGCGCCAGGGCCAGCGCTGCATCACCTTGGTATTCGATGGCCTTGGGCGGGGTGTTCGACTTGCGCCAGTTCTTGACGAAGGTAGGGCGTGATCCCGAGCGCAGACTTGCGACGTTATGCTTCTCGCGATACCATAGAGGGATGTCGCTCAGGCCGATGGACTGAAGCGTTTCCAGGTCCTTCGGCATTATGTGCTTAAAACGACAGCCTAGAGAATGTTAGATGAGACAGCAAACTGGGTGATGATTGTACGTACCTTGTTGTTCAAAGTCGCACTCGCCACGACGGATCCAGTAGGAACAGTATATTTTCTCCTGTTTACTGGGGCTTGCCTTTAAGTACAGTTGTGATTAGTAGTCAGGATACTGATGAAGTAGGTGGACTCACCTTCTTCTCAGAAACACGATTCTTCCCCTTCCCAGCGTCACCCCCAGTGAACGGGGTAATGGCGAACGAATCATCAGTCACTTCTGTGATGCCAACACGGTCGTTTAAGCTCTCGACAATGTAAAAGGCGCCGCGAGAAGGCATGGTGCCCAGGCTGGTCATGCCGCGAGTTTCAGCGGGGTTCATGTTGCGAGGCACTCCGCGAACGGTGAGGTCGCTGGGCAATTCATCGAGAGCCACGAGAGGAGTGATGGTGCCCTCCTCGCGGACAATGAAGAATTGAGGGCGGATGTCAGACATGATGATTGAGGTTGTCAGGAATGGGTTGTGTGGTAGAGGGAGATACGAAGGCGGGCGAGATGCAGAGAAAGGATGCAGAGGAAGAATATAGACGAGGGATATGAGACTGCGGGATTTTGAGCTAGATACAGCGTCTTTCACAGGTCTATAGACTTATAGACTCAGTAAAGCTGAGACAGTCAAGATATTGATGGTCAACTGTAAAAGCTTGGAATTGGAATTGAATTGGAATGTGAAGGTGTGGAACGGCCAAAACTGCGTAGAAGATCTTTGACGGATGATGAAGCACGAAGAAGAAAGGGGGGAAGAGAAGAGATGGTAGAAGGGGACAAAAATGGCAGGAAATATAGACTAAGGGCAGTAATTGACGGGAATAGCCTCATAAGATGAGGAAAGGGTGTCCTCCTGCCAGCCTCCAGAGCGGGGCCTGAAGCGCACACAGTCTGGTAATAGGTGTGAAGGCGGAGGGCAAACAGGGTAATATAGAAAAATAGGAAGAGAGACTTATGAAGACAAAGAAGCAATCAGCTGGCAGTTCAGAAGGATGCACCATGGTGTGTAGTACTGTGTCCTGAGGGCGAGATGATTGGCGCGCAGAGGACGGCTTCCTGATTAAGAAGCGGTGTCAATGGCGAAGACCAGCCACCCTGATACAATATACCAGGACAACATAATTGAGGTATTTGTACAGGAATCAATGGCTGGCTGTTCTTTGTCTATTCAATCAACGCCAAGCAAGCATGTTACAGAGGACATTGTGACGGCAGTATCCGGCGGAAAGGCAAACAGGACCAAATTGCAGAAGAGAGTGGGACTGACCTCGAGTGTGCATGTGGTATATAGAATAGAATAGGCCTCCTCCCTCAATACCTGAGGCTCGGCCTATCAATTGATCTTAGTGATAATACAATAGAAAAGAAGACTAGAGGCTGGCTGTGAATATATAAACTTTCCCTCAAAAGGTACAACTATTAAATCCACCAGCTTCTTCTGCTAATTCATGCCTTTGAAGTGATATTGCCTACAAAAACGCAACCGAAATGAAATTGTACGCAGTCTTCTTTAGAAACCTTGACTGAGATGAGCCTGGCATTATTCTTCCTTGAGTAACTACCATATACGTACCAATTTGAACTCGACACAGGAAGACTCCAATCTAAACCACCATCAAATTCCAAGACAGTGGCGTATATACTTATAGAATCCAGCGAGATTGAATTAAACTTAACGCCAAGCCCTGCCATCAGCCTTAAAATTGTCATTGTTAGGGCTACAGGCCGAATTAGGAAGATTTCCCGTAGGACAAACTACAGCCACACTCCACCCGGGCATTTTACGTTTTACATTTTATTCTTAGTACGCACTCAACCCTAGCCCGGCGTATCGCGTGGGGACCAAGGGGGCTGGGCCTGGTATTTGAAGCCGAACTTTTCTGTCTGCCTAGATTGGTGATGGGTTGGCTATTGTCATCCCGGACACCGCCAGCAGCCCGCCAAGGAATGATTTATTACGTCAAACCAGCCATCCACACGGTCCTATTATTCATTACGCACTGGAATGTAATGCTATTATGGTGGGAACGATATGAATTGTCTAGTGGAAACACACACAGCTTATTCGAAGTTAACTGGTGCGAAAATTGATTGTTCCAGGCCTGATAAACGAAACTATACGATACCCCCTAATAAAGAAAAGGTCGCCTACAAACACATGCCATGTAGAAATGAAGTCTTCTCCTATTAGTTAACTCCAATGCACCTGGGTGTCATTATAAATGAGTCTTTAAAACGCCTGTTCATATCATGCAAAAGGAAAAAGCTGATGAAGTTAATGCACGCTAAAAGTTTCGACATGTTGACAGAATTTAGCGTCAAGGTAACGTGACTAGCAAACTGATCGCGCCACAGTTGGTCTGAATGGATAATATCATCGAGAAGGAGAGATATGTGACACCTAGGTGGCTGGGGGAGGGTTCCGATTCTGATTCTGCACAGGAGGCTGGGGAGATTGCTGGTACACAGTGGGAACGGGTTGATAAAGGCTATTCTGATACGGCGGTCTTGGAATACCAGACAGAGCCCTGGTGGACGGTATAGACGAAATAGTCGATGGAAGTGGGCCTATTCCAAACTGTATGAACGAGCTCGGAGTAATCCTAGCCGATGGTTGTGGTGGTGCCAGATACTGGTAAGGAGGTCGATTAATGGTATAAGATGGAGGTTGTGGCGCAGAAGAGGATGAATTAGGCAAGCGTCCGGCTGCAGCAGTTTCGGCCTTTTTCCGCCGACTAACGAGATCGCCCTTGACCATGTACAGATAGTGGCGGGCTTGGTCTACGAGGGCTTTCGGTTCGGTGCTTTGCTTGAGGGCTTGGAGTAGTACCAGGATCTGTTCTTCCGAATTTAGATGTGGACAGGTGCGCTGGTAGCCGATGTGTGCGAGTCCGCAGAGGCCGCAGTGTTCAACGCCAGCTAGTTTGAGAGGGCAGTAGCCCACAGGATGCATTGCACCGCACGCGATACATGGAAGCAGACGCTCTGTGTAACGCGACGATGCACCGTCGAGATTTCCATCCAACGAGCTGGGTTTAGTGGGATCCACGCGTTTAAATGGACGACCTAATAGATTAGTTATGTGATAAATTTATGTATGAGGAAAGTAGGGGTCTACCTTTAACCTTCTTCACCTGAGTAAACTCTTCCGGATCAGTATCTTCGCTTTCATCTCCCTTGCTCTTGAACTCCGCGTCACTATCAGCCTGCTGTGTCTTGGATCGTTTGGACTTGGCCGGTGGGCTTTGCTCCTTGTTGTCATGAGCAGTGTAATCCACCGCAGTTCGCTTCCGTTTGCCTCGACCCAATGCCTGCGCATTGGCAAGAGCCTCCTCGTCCGCAGCCTTCTGGCGTTCAGCGAGAATCTTCTCCCACAGATTATTATTCGGCGGCGTTGAGGCCTCCGAATTACTCAGTCGATCTTCCAACGCTCCGTTTTCATTCGCCCATACGCGAGCGAAACTGAATTGTGATTCGGCAGAAGCATCGTTGCCCACTTTAGTGTCTTCAGCTTGGCTACGATCGAGCAGTTTCTCGACAGATTCCGAATCGAAGTGAATATCGCCCGTGTTGTCGTCGTCGAACACAGCCTCGGCGCCATGGCGAAGAATTGATTCTAGATCGACCCCTTCGTCGTCTTCGGCGTCCATTCGTTCAATCAGAACGTGATCCAAGACTAGTTTCTTTTTGCCTATCTGCATGATTTTCTCCTCTGCGCTCCCACGTGTCATGATTTGAAAGACAAGCACCTTTTTCTGCTGACCAATGCGGTGAGCGCGAGAAAGTGCCTGTATGTCTTGGTGCGGGTTGAAGTCCGGATCTAAGATTATGACAGTATCTGCGGTAGCCAAGTTGATTCCTACACCACCAGATCTCGTCGACAGAAGAAATGCAAAGTATTCCGAATTTGGTTCGTTGAATGCGTCGATGTGTTTCTGCTTTTCGTGGGCTCCCATGGAACCGTCCAAACGGAGATAGAGGAGACCCAATCCATCAAGGAAATCTTCGACGACATCTAGATTGTCCAAAAACTGACTGAAGAGAAGCACACGATGACCTCGCTCTTTTAACTTTGGTAGCATGTGCTCGAGAAGCTGCAGTTTCCCTGAAGCTTCAACAAGATTTCTATGCGAAAGAGTCGGGTCGGATGTGCGCTCTTCAATTTGCCTGCTGTACACAAACGGATGGCACAGACATTTTCGTAGTTGCATCAAGATATTGCTCAGACTGTGACGCTCATTTTGCTTGCTGGCCTGTTCTTGATTGCTCTGGAATATCGACTTGATCAGTTTGCTATTCTTGGCAAGAATCGATTTGTAAAGCTTCTTCTGAACAACAGACATGGACACTGGAACGATGATCTGTGCCATGGGCGGTAGGAACGTAAGAACCTGTGCTTTTGTACGACGAAGGAAAAACGGACGAATCAGGTCATGCAATTCAGGAACATTTTCCTTCGTCAATGTCTCATATTCTTCCTCAAGAGCCTTTGCGTTTCTGGTTGGATCGCAGAACTGAATGAGATTGAATAACTCTCGCGTGCTATTCTGCAGCGGCGTTCCCGTAAGAAGCACCTTGAATGGGAAGTTGATTCGAGAGAGCGAATCATACAGTTGGTTCTTATCGTTCTTCAACCTCTGGCCTTCATCGACAATAAGACCAGCCCATGGTATACCTGCCAATACCCTCCGAGCCTTGTCATCCGTCATCGATTCATAGGATGTCACGACAATATGAGCTCTCAAATCACGAGCGTTTTCGGGGAACATTTCGAAATCGTGGGCAATTCGACGCGCGACAGCGCTTCCGTAGTACGTGACGACTCGCAAAGTTGGTGTCCATTTCTTGACTTCTCTCCGCCAATTTGGACACGTGGAGTTCGGGACGACGACGAGGAAAGGCCAGCAGCGGTGATCTTCGATCAATGTGGCGAGGAAGGAGATTATTTGGATTGTCTTTCCGAGACCCATTTCGTCTGCAAGAATGGCATTCTGTTGTTTATACCACATGTAATAGAGCCAATTGAGTCCGTCTAGTTGATAGTCCATTATCTTGCCACCAACCACACAATTCGGCTGGGCTTTTTTGACGAGCGTTGATTGGAAGTCTTGTTCACGGACAGTGGCAAGGTGCTGTTTCAGAGCTGGATTCTTGGGAACCCGTACATAGTCTTTCAACACCCAGTCTTCATAGGCTGCTCTGAAGTCTTCCCAGCACTCTCCATCATTTGGTGAGGGTACCGTTTCCCAGACAGCGTCTTCATAGAGTAAACCTTTGTACTTGACATAGGCTTCTTTGACGTCTTTTACCCTAGCCATGTCGATCTCCATCGAATGTGTACTGACGATATTGGTATATTTGACATCAAGAACAATGTCGATTCTTAAGAAATCTTCCGGAATAGCATCTTCCATGGTCATTTGGGGTCTGGTACCTTTGGGAGATTTGAAAAACGCCTTTCGCATTAGAGGTGATGCAACACCCCAAACCCAAGAGCCCTCCATCCATGTCGTGCGGTAGTAAGAAGTCCGTTTCCATTTAATCAGATACTCTTTGTCATTCTCTTCCAAAACATCAACCGAAAATCCCGGCGTGTAGCTGTCAGCATCAACAGGTCTCCAGGCAATCAGAGCCTCGATTTCCTCGGGCGCAGTGATACAAGTGTAGCACCTCCACCTTCGCGAATACTGTTTAAAGCGCGTGTTGGCAATTGCCGATTCAGATGGATCGGCATCTGCATCCACAATCTCAACATCATCCGCTTTTAGATCAGGTTTCGGCTGAAGATGGTGGAAATGGAAAGCCCGAGTACACTCAATGCAACGGAATAGAATATTATCGACATTATCCAGGAGCGATGGCTCGACTTTGGTGATTGGGTCCAGTCCTTCGTTATTTTCACGCTGCTGTTGTTCTTGGCGAGGATTGAGGCGCTCTCGGAATGGTCGCGAAGCTAGACCTTCTTCTTTACACGAGAAGCAATGACCTAGATGGGGGGCAGTGGAATCTTTCTTTTGAGCAACCCCAATACAGCGACGGCATTGTAAGACAAATTGATCATGACCGACTTTTGAGACGAGGTGCTCTCGCTGCGCCCGGGGGCCCAAGCAGGTTTTGTGATACGCATATGTGCATCCTTGACAGAAAACGAGGGGACCTTTCTCCCGATCATCTCCATGCCCTGAGCAAGTATCGCAGATTTGGCGGTGGCGAAGTCTGAACGGATCATCAGATGGCAATTTATAGAACCTCTCCTTGGCGCCGAAAAACTTCTTCTCCGTTTCGGCCGGCTCGTTTTCGGAAATGTCGTCTTCGAGCCGCTCTCTGAGGTTTCTTCTGTTCGATATCTTCGTCCTAGTCGAGAATCGCACACCGCGACGGGGTTGAGGCTCATCGCTCTCACTCTCTGATTGCCCATAGCGAAGTCTCGCCGAAATCCGTCTAGTAGATTGTCTTGTCGAGCGACGCCGTTTCGAAGACGACGACGAACGACTGAGATCGTCACTAGAGCTGAGGCCAGACCAGAAAGTTGACATCTTATTCTGGTGCGACTTGACCTGTCGTTTAGATCGTCGTTTGACAAGCTGATCATCAGAGTTGTCTTCATCATCTTCTTCGTCCTCATCGGAGATATCAAATCGCTTAGTTGACGCAGGCGGACGACCACGACGACGTCTTTTGGAGGGACCAGCTACAATAATATCATCATCCTCTTCCTCTGACGAAGATGTGCCGTCTAAGTGGACGGCAGATTGGTATTTGCGCATCTGATCTGATGTCTTTTCCTTAGGGGGGGCGTATTTTTCAAAACGTTGCAAAGTTTTAGTACCGTTATCCAAAGTCTTCAATTTAGAAAGTGGCACCTAAGCAGAAAACATGATTAGAAGGATAAAGGAAGTAAGAATATCCAAAACCCACCCATTCCTTTTCCAAACTCAGAAGCTCCACCATATAAAGAGTCCTCCCGTTGACTTGCCGCTGTTTCAAAACATTCTTAGCCGTTGAATGACCAGGCAGAAAATCAAAGTCAACGTCAGACGGTGGGGGTGGGACGACAACTGCAGCAGTTCTCCGTCCTGGAAATGGAGAGGCAGATGTGATAGCAGTTGGTTTGGCGGGCGAAGTGGCGGTCACATGGCGCGTTCGCAAAATCCGATTATGGGATGACAGTACGCTTTGTATAGCCGGCTCGATTCCTCCGCCAGAGACGGAGGAGAACTGCTGTAGGAGATCCGCGACCAATTCATCAGCATCGTCTGAAGTAGGCGAAAAGCATCTATCAGACACCATCTTTCCTACAAGCTCAGGAGAGGCGGAAAAGGCTCGCTACATAAATTCTAACCATATAAAATGAATAGCAAAAGAACCGAAGTGAATTGAATAAAACAAACAAGCAACGCCAACAAATAAACCCGAGCATGTATGGGAGATAAATGCGATGCCTCGTCGTAGACACGATACGCGCTTCGCCCGGCCCGCCGTTGATCCGGATTCCTTATCTTATCATGTTATTATCGTTTTTTTTTCGGTGATTGATTCCGCCCCTGCTGCACCTGCACATTTATTCCATCCCCATACGACCGATTCGATCGGTCATCGATCAGATAAGATGATTGCATACAGGCAACGGTCTTTACAAATATGTGAAAACCTGACTGGAGGGTTAGGGGTGATCGCACCCCGAACTACGATCCGCTATGCATCGTTAACTTCCGCGATTGAACGCGGGAAACGGAAATCTGAAAGATTCGAAACATCGCGAGAAGGGAATAGACGCTCTCGTTATGGAGATAAAGATTTTAGTAAATCTTCATCGGGTGGTGACTCGCGGAGACCGAGAGTATACGAATCGTCACGAGAAGGAAATCGACGCTCTCGGTATGAAGGAGGAGAAGATGAAGATCACACGAGACATTCATTCAACGACAAGAAAGCAGCTCGACTCCACAAATACTCGCGTCCCCGTAGCACAGGAGGGTTTCTGAGCGGCTTCACACAACTACGCGATACCCAGGGCCCTGTGCAATTCGACGAAGACGAATTCATTAGAACGGGCAAAGTCCAACAAATCAAGAAACTCGCCTACCCATCAACCCCCATTAGCAAAGAACCCAAGAAACCTATCTCGGGACTGGGCCGCCCAGCAACGAATGAGCCACGTTGGATGGGCCGGTCTGGAGAATACACAGTCAGCAAGAGGAAAGTCGGCAAAGACCACATCCCAAGCTCTGGCGTTCCGGAACGAGTGAAAGAGCACGTCAAAGTTCCCAGCGCTATTCCATATACCACGCCAGCCTCGGAATTCCTCTACGGCACATCCTCCGTCGAAGCTGCTCTGCGCTGCACGCGTCGCCAAATCCATAAATTATACATCTACCAACGGCCCGATGAAGACCTGACCCCTGAAAAAGTCACCATGCGCAAGATGGCGCTGGCGCGGGGTATCACCGTGAAAATGGCGTTTGCGGAATGGGACAGGATATTGGATAGAATGAGTGGCGGGAGGCCACATAATGGCTGCGTGTTGGAGGTATCGCCACTGCCACAGTTACCAGTCGTCTGTCTCGACGCGGCGCCGGCACCAGCCGAAAATCATTTCAATGTCAGCCTCGGCAGGCAATCGCAGGAAGAAGCCTCTCTGAACGGGTCGAGCGGGCAGGTCTCGCGTGTATCCCGATTTGACGAGAGTGCAAAATCCCGCTTTCCATTCCTCCTCTTCATAGACGGGATCCTTGACCCTGGGAATCTAGGCGCGATTATCCGGTCAGCGTACTACCTCGGCGTCGACGCAATCGTCCTCGCCGGCCGCAATTCTGCGCCCATGTCGCCGGTGACAATCAAAGCGAGCGCTGGGGCTGCCGAGAATATGGCGATATTGAAAACCACCAATGAGCACGATTTCATTCGCCTGTCGCGGCAGAATGGCTGGCGGTTTTTGGCTGCGGATTCGCCAGATAATGTCGCTCAGGACGCGGGGCGGATGCTCGTGGTGGATAGGGCTGCAGGGAGTAATACGCCGGATTTGCTCATGCAGGCGCCGACGGTGTTGATGTTGGGCAATGAGGGGACGGGCTTGTTGCCGCGGATCAAGGCGCAGGCTGATGGGTTGATATCGATACCGGGTGCACGGTTCCGTCCGGATTTGGGGATTAGTGATGCAGCGCGGGTGGACAGTTTGAATGTCAGTGTGGCGGCAGCGTTGTTGATGGAGATGTTGATGCGGGCGCCGTTGCAAGTCACTGATCTCCCAGTACAGGACGTACAAGAAGTACCAGGGGCGGTTGAAGCTTCATCGGAGACTGAAACCGAAAAGCCGTCGAATTCTTTCGAATTTAATTAGTTTGGTGCTTTACTGTATTATATTCCCGTGTATATCACCTTTTTACTGTAGTTATAGAAGCATCATAATCTCATTATCAGTTATCAAGTCTGTCTCTTTAAGAACCATTGCCACCGCCTATTCTCTAAACCCAGGGAACATCAACCCCTATCTGCCTCTAGAGACTATTCATCAAGCTGTCTTCAAGGGGTGACAAGTTCGTCTAGATAGCTATGAAGAAGTTACATCAGGGTCTGGCTTCTGGACCGCACCAAATTGGGTGTTTCCGACATCAAAGATCTGTGAAGCAATTAGTACAGTGTCAACATGAAAATATATATAGACCCACCGCATAGACGCCTTTGAGGAAAGTGTCGCCCAAAATGTCAAAGGGATTGTTGCCACGCGACTGTATACCTCCGAAAGAATTGCCATTACCAGCATCAGCGAACGCCAGAGCGGACTTGTGCACTGCAAATTGGGTATTGCCGACAGCGAATGTAACTGTAGGAAGCTTATCGGCAGTTGTGTTGGTTGGGAAGATATAACCCTGCTGGTTGCTATCGTACTTGGAGTTGGGAATAGCATCGTAGATAGCCTTGACAGTGTCGTCATCGACCAAGGCCAGAGTGGTACCGGTGTCAGCAATGGCAGTATTTCCTGAACGGTTGATAGTCTTGCCATTCACAGTGGCCGAAGTGGAATCAAAGGTCCAGAAACCTTGGCTGTTGTCGACGGGAGCATAGCTGATCTTATTGCCGGTAGCACTGACGGTGTCCTGATCAATGTAACCAAAGGTATAGAAAGAATTGTCGCCTTTTTCAGCAGCTGCACCGAGATGAGCAGTAAACAACTGAGCGTTCTGGGGAATCAGGTTGTCGGCTATCAGGTTCTCCACTGGGGTCTTGACTTGGTTGGGCTTGGCTGTGTTGATGCTGCCAAAAGCCAAGCCAAGAAGACCATCTCCAGTTCCCTGTTGGAACTCGGTTGACAAAGTGCTTGCAACTTCGATAGCCTGGTTCTTGATATCTAGATTACCGAGACTGAGCACATCTGTACCGACATCACCAGATGCAGACGAGCCGTCTCCATAGGAGATCTGCCAGGTCTCGCCTGATGTGGCCTTCCAAGTACTCGACTTGGAAGGGTCGAAAATAGAGTGGCTTGACCCAGACGACTTGGTACCAGATGGCAATTCAGTCGACCAAACCTAAAACCTGGCATCAGACGCTACATTATCAGAAAGCAGGGTGTATCCGAGACATACCCATAGATCAGCAGAGCCAGAATCAAAGTCCAACTTGAAAGTCTGGGCAGGAGTCCCGATGCTCACTTGGGCCAGATACTCGGTGTCATTCTGGACATCCTCTGAAGGAACATCACCGGTCTGGTCGCCTGTCTTCTTCTGCAAGATGCGCTTAACGTGGGCACGGCCTCCGACAGGAGGCTGGCCCTGGGCCGTGAATTTACCCTGCTGAGTAACGCGGGTGGCATGGAAGAATGGCCCAGGCAGGGTAGGGTCAAATCTGTACTTGCGAAGCAAATGCACATACGACTTGCGGCCGTTGCGCTGGTACTTGGGGTTGAGGACGAGTTTAAGCTTGGTAGCCATCGAGAGCGCTTGACGATGCTAGTTCGGTAAGTGGATAAGGATATGGATATGAATCAGTGATGAGAAAGGGTGTGAGGGAGTGATGAAGAGAAGAAAACAAGAAGAGAGAAGGGAGCATTGGGGGCTGGCGGGCTATGTACGGAAGGTGCTTGCTAACTACCTGCCTTAATCAGTAGTCACCTCCCTAGGCAGTCAGGGCAGTCTCGCGATGGGCTCACTTGAGCAAGCAAGCACGCAGCTGTCGTCACCCATAGCGGACGATGAAACACCACTATCACCACTACTACCACCAGGCAGAGGACAAGTAGTCCAAGCGCAGTGGGCGACGACGTCAGATGCAGCCAATGGCGCCGGCAATCCCATAATTAGCATCTACACACCAATATATGGGCTGCGCCACAAGATCAGATTCCAGCCTACGCTTACCACAGAGAGAGTACAACGACATCGGTCAGCCTACACCATCAGCAGAGCCACTCGGCGCCTTCCGTACAGGTACCCAATCATCAACAGAAGATACCGTGCCCGCTCGGACTCTTTTGCCACGCGCGGGGGTCGTTTTCGGTCATTATTTGATATTATTGGCCCAGGATAAGGTGATTACGTTGGACCCTCAAACACCAGGAAATTGGGATTTTATGATTAATGGGGATAAAAACACAATATATCCACGCCCTGGCTGACTATGCCTTTTAATTGGTTATAAAATTATACTTGATAATTTATTGGAGCTAAAGTTTAATAATACGTATAAGTAAATTAATCATCCATAATTGGTAAAACATCATACCATTTGAAAACTTATTATATTGCAAGAATAGACTGGGAAAAGATGTAGATGTATTGTATCCCGTCTGTTATTAGCACAGACTATCTGATTGATTAGACGTTATCAGTAAAGAATAGTCAATATTAGGCGTAATATTTATTTGTATCTTAAACGTTTCACGAAAACGAAGATAATACACAATAACCACTGATCTGGCTGAGTCTCGTCTCTAACGCCGGTCCAACGAGCCACCAAGTCCAACCAAAATCCCATAAAGAGGTAACAAAACGAGGGTAACAAATTTCAAGTACCAGATCTAACAAACCAACCAACCAACCAACCGTTTTACTTCTTTCTGCTCTTGGATTTGGTAGTCGCCGATGAGACACTTGTCGCCCTGGACGGGTTGGTAGACGCGCCTTTACTGCTAGTCTTGACGGTTTTGAGTTTTTTGTTCTACAAGCGTTGTTAGCGAGATAGTCTAGAGAAATAGAGAGAAAAACTTACCACTGCCCCGCCCTTGGACTTCTTCTTGGCTGGTGCATCCTCGTCTTCTTCATCACCATCCTCGTCAGCACGATCCCGTCCACGACCCTTGCTAGTCTCCCCATTGGCCTTGGAGTCCGGTTCAAATTCGCGGGCAATAGTGTTGAGAAGCGTGGTGCAGCGACGGCTGAGTTCGACGGGTGTGCGGCTCAAGAAGAACCAGTCAAATCGGAATAGAGGGCTTTCCCGGATTTCCTCCCGCATCTTCTCGAAGAGTTGGATGCCTTCGCTGTCTTCCTCCTTGCCGAGCTTATCAAGCATGACCAATAAGAATCGGTCTTCCTCTTCTGAGTAGACTTTCTTGTTGGTCGTGGACACCGTGTAGTTGATCTTTAATTGCTGGAGTGGCACGCGATACATGTCTAGCTTTTTCTTCAGCATCTTGCGTTGATGCGTGTTCTTTCGCAGCTTTTCTTCTCCTTGCTCAATGACACGAATGTACTTGGCATAGTCACTAATCTCGTCATAGCGTTCCCAAAAGACTTTGGCATATTCCTTGATTTCCGGAGGTGTCTTGCTATCAATTTCCGTGGCAATTCCATCGTAATCAGTCCGGCCAAACTTGGCAGAACCATTGACGAATTGCTGGAAGTCACGACGGTTCCATTGTGAAAAGCCCATTTCAGAAAGTCGATTTTTCTCGGCCTGCTCTTCCTCAGTCAACGGAACCGCGCTGTCAATTTCTTGTTGTTCTAGATCTCGGTTGGCTTCGCGTTCGCTCAAATCGTCCTCGTTGCCTTCAGCAAGTTGAGCTTTGTAGTTGATCTCTTTATGAAAATAAGCTGTTTCCTTCTCCTGCAATTCATGCAGACGAGGTGGGAAGAACTGCCAATCGTGAATCGCGACTTGCTTCGGAGCACGTGGCACCTTTGGCTTTGTCTCGGCGGTACGACCACCTGTAGCAAGAGCTTGTCTATAGTATTTGTCAATCGAATAGAACTGTTCCTTTCGTTCTCGCTTCGCTGGATTGATCCAGCTGATTCCAATATCCTTTTTACGGTTCGTAAAATCCTCGCCATTCCATTGATACGCATTATCTGACGTGAACTTTTGTAGATCGTCGATACCAAGCTTTTCATACTTCTTGTTGAGCTCCGCAGTACGTTCCTCGCCCTTGCGCAGAATCGCGTCAATATCATCATCCGTCACCCCGCCTCCCAAAGTGCCCCCTTGGTTCTTGAAGACATCGGCTGCTCCATGTTGAATCATGCCCAACAATTCATCTTTAGAAGCCGCATTCTTGGTTTGCTGCTGTGCACGGCCTTGTTGAATGACAAGCTGATCAAGTCGTAGTTTCTGTGCCGCTCGTTCGAGAACCTTCTCTTCAATCGCATTCTCCGTGATAAACCGGAAAACGATCACTTGTTTCTTCTGTCCAATACGGTGAGCGCGGTCCATCGCCTGCAGATCGGCTTGCGGGTTCCAATCGCTATCGAACAGCACGACAATGTCAGCCGTTGTAAGATTGATACCCAACCCACCAGCACGAGTGGTCAGCAAGAAGATGAACTTGTCAGAACCCTCCTTGTTGTAATCATCAATAGCCGCAATTCGGTCTTCATGTGCAGTCGAACCGTCGATACGGCAGTAATTGTGTTCCCGGAAAACACAATAATCTTCTAGAATATCAAGCACACGACTCATTTGCGAGAAGATGAGCACACGACTTCCTTGTTCCTTCATACGAGTCAATATTTTGTCCAAAACGATCATTTTGCCTGCATTGTCGACAAGATGCTCGTCAGTCGTATAGGGAGGTCCAGGCTCTGCGCCTTCGAACAGATAAGGGTGGTTACAACATTTGCGAAGTTGCATCACAATGTTCAAGAGTCGTGTCTTCGACTCCCGCTTGCCAGCAGCGCCATTGACAGCGTCAATGTCTTTTTCCAGAATTTTTTGGTACCATTTTACTTGCATCTCGGACATGCCAACGTACAAGTTCACTTCTTTCTTTGGCAACAGACTCTTCTCGACATCACTTTTAACTCGACGCAACAAAAACGGCCGCAGAACGCGGTGCAACTGCTGGATAACGGTGTCTTGGTCTGAATCCTGGCTAGAGAACCATTGGTCGAATGCTTCTGAGTCGCCAAACACGTCGGGTAGCAAGAAGTTGAGTAGGGCCCAGAGTTCGTGCAGGTTGTTTTGAAGGGGGGTTCCAGTGATCAACAGACGGTTTCGTGAGCTGAATAGACGGATAATTTGTGCAAGAGAAGATTCCTCGTTCTTGATACGGTGGGCCTCATCGATGATAATATACTCCCAAGGAAACTTCTTCAGATGCGATTTCTCGCGTAGAATCATCTCGTAACTGGTAATGCAAACATCGAAATCCCCCGTTTCTAAACGGTCAGAGATAAGTTTGTGGCGATCTTCCTTCTTTCCCTGCAGCACCATCACGTTGACTTCAGGAGTCCATTTCTCAAATTCTCTCTTCCAATTGTCCAGCGTGGATTTTGGCACCGCAACTAGATGTGGGCGAGTGATGTCGCAAACGTGTCGCAAATACCCTAGGAATGCGATGGTCTGAAGAGTTTTCCCAAGACCCATTTCGTCTGCAAGAATTCCTGAGATACCATTTTCGTGGAGCGATACCAGCCAATTCAGACCTGCCACCTGGTAGTCACGCATCTCTCCCTGAATGAAAGAGGGCGATTCGCGGAAAATCGTGGATGTCTCTCCACCCCTCTTTTCATCATTCAAAAGTTCGGCGTCTTCTTCCTTTTCGGTTCGTCGCCTTTTGGTCCCACTAGCACCTCCTTTGCGCGCGGTGCCTTTGGCTTTTGAAGACTCATCTGAATTCTGTCGGTCGATCTCTGCTAGAATCTCCTTGATGCGGGGATTTGGGTTAGTCTCGATGAAATGACGAAACAAATCAGTAAGTCCTAGTAGATAACGAAATCGTCTGATCGAGTCGTCCTCCTACAGAATCGTACCCATGTTAGTTTTGAAGTGCGCTAACTGATTCTGCAATACTGACCTTGGACTCATCTAGCCGACCGTGTTGCTTCTTGAGAATCTTCTTCAATTGGGACTCTTCTGGTCTCCTCTTGCGTCCATCGAGGTGGGATACATCGCCCGCGACGCTGCTTGCTGTTGTATTAGGGTTGGTGTCCGAGTCCTAGAAAACATTAGACCTTGTTGTTGATGTGAAGCTCGAGTATTTGTAACGGGAATCTCGTACTGTGTAATCCGGGGTATCTTGATAATCCTGAATTGAGGCGCGTTAGTGATGGCCTATTTCAATATCGAAGATTGTACCGCAACATACCACCATAGGATAGTCGGCCTCATCAACGGAAATGCGGGCGACAGAGTCATCGTTACCATCGGTCATCGGTGTATCGGCCTGTGACGAAGCTTCCGAGTCTGGTAGATTACGCGAAGGCGCCATCCTGAACGTTTGCACCCCAATGCAATGGGATGTATGACCTCACACCTATAATAGATATCACGCAGCTGCAGAATCGACGCGGCACCGCAAATTGTGATGGAACAATGGTTGCCGATGCTTTCTGCTGCAGTTGAGATGGTCGATGGGGGCACACGTCGATGAAGGTAGGCAGAGGCTGGTGAGAGGAAGAACCGGCGTCATCAAAAAGGCCGCGCAGGGTTTAAGGGAATTTAATCGTCGCGTGGATGACGCGCGGTGATTGGCCGGAAATGATGATTCAGCAAGGCTATCCGGAACATCATTTGGCCGCAATCCCAAATAAGGACAAGCGTGTTTTCCGGGTACCTTTCGGGTGCTGCCTGAGGCTGCGGCCGCGGCGCTCACGTGGCGGGCGATCGTGCCGCCGGACTAACGTTGTTGCGGGCGATAATATTAATGATTAATCTTGATGGCTCAGTGTGTGTGCTGTTGGCTGGTCATCTGATAGTCGACAACACATCCATCTGTCCTGGCGGTTCTTAACTAGCCCACTCTGTTGCTCCAACAGGTACAGAGGCTGTGTATACATTATACATTGTTTGAGGACACCTTTTCCCCTTTTCTTTTGTTATCAGCGCAGCCAATATATTTGATACGTCAAAAGAGTCAGCTTCACCGAAAGCACGGGCCGCTCAAGGCCCCTCGAGTGACTACCTCAACTAAACTGCAGCCCTAAATATCCCTTGGATACACTTGCGTTTTCACAATGGACTCGATGAGATCACTCAACAAATCTCTTCCAAGCTCGACGGCATATTCTCAACCCCCGGAGCAGCTCTTACAGGCTTTCAGATCTGCCGCGCTCTCGGTCACCAACTTATATAAGAGTGCTGTGACCGACGTAGCCCAAGCGAAACAATCAGGCTACCAAGAGGCCATCGAAGATTTATTACATTTTTTGGATCGAGAAAACCTGGGATTAGGAGATGGCGAAGGCTGGAAGGTGCGGCAATGGGCCACAGAACGAGTTGATGGAACACCCGCCAATGAGAGTGACGATGATGACAAGCCCATGAGAAGCTCTTCACCATCGATGAACCGAAAAGACCGACACGATAAAACCCACAAACGGCAAGGATCCATCTCTTCATCGACACGTACTGATCCTCCTACCGAGCAACAACAACAACCTCCAACGAATTACGAACAACCTACAGTAATTCCATCAGGAGACTCGACTGCATTTACCAGAACACCTGTATTCACATTCTCTTCCGGACCACCATTTCCTGCCGTCTCCCAAGATACAGACACGGAAACGGCTGATAATGTATCGATGGAGTCAGGATCATCAGGAGAAACGACAGGTGTAGGGCTGTCAGTCCTGCCACGAAATGCTTGGGCCGCTAACCGTCACAATGCCCCGCGACGATCCTCAACAAGAGAATCCGGCACATCATTTAGCGCCAAGCGGAAGCACCAGTTCCCGGATTTCTTTGATATTTCTAGTATTCATGGACGTGACATGTTTGGAGGCGGTAAACGGGGACGATTTGCATGAGGCCATTGTATCCATTTGCACGAAGGAATGATAACATGCATGACACTGATACCCGAGAGAGGAAAAAGGTTTCGCGAGCATTTATTGAGGAGTCTTTCGGCATTGGTCGTTTCATGAGCGCCGTCGTCGCCTTATCCGATTCTTAGACTAGAAATTTATATATATCTCACAAGGATATTCTCATATGCAGCCATAATTTTGTCATGAAAACGATTGAGCCTACTTGCATCTTGATTAATAGAAGCATAATTTAGTAATTTGCTCTAGTAACAATTAATATTTGAGCCATCCAGGCAGATAGGTCAATGCGAAGGCGATTATTTCAGCTAAATGAACTCTTAGTTAGATGCCATTTTCTTAAATAAATCAATGAAGAAATTTATATTTCTGTTTCTATCTTTCGATGTTTTGTAACATTTGCTGGGCGATGCTAGAGGTAAGTACGTGTAACTAACGCATCAAGCGAGGAAGGAATTTCTTTCTAGATATTCGATGTTGATATTCTGTGTCAAATATTTTTTCTCAGAAACACAGCATTCCAATGGCATGTTTTCCCTGTCAGATCAACTGTCGAGAACAACTTTTCTGCGTGGGTATAAACTTGATAGTTCCTCCTTTCATACCACTCTTGATTTGAAACCTAAACAGGGTTAACACATTCTCCCCTAACCAAAAAAGAAAATAAACAAAAAATGGAATTAAATTTCTTACTGGAGGAATTTCCATGCCGTGAGCCTTATATTTCTCCTCCCGCTCCGGATCCCCTCTGTCGTCCACTGTGTTCAATGCCAAAGTCTTTGCATACAGCGGTTCTGACACCGCAAATTTCTCGATTGAGTCCATCGCCGCCTTTCCCAACCCGCTTCTTTGAAGTGCCTTTGAAATATAAAAGTTCGATATCCAATAAACCCCATTTTCGTTCTTCGCATACCCTGCCGCCTCATACTCGACCGGTACACGACCTAAGCAGATATGCCCAACAGGAGTAAAACTCCTCTTTGGCGAAGAAATACTTCGCGATTTGCCGCCAAAAGAAACCGCTGAGTCTATCAGCGGTTCTTCTTCTTCAGGGAACGCCTGAGTATGCTTGAGAACCTTGGTGTCTCTGTCCGGATCGGAATCATCCAGAACCTTAAATTTTTAGAACGTGATGTGAGATGCAAAAGGATGAATGAGATACTTACAACCCATTGTAAATTGAATTCTCCGGTTTCCTGGATTGTTCTCCAGCCTTCGACCCCTTCATAATTCCATCCACATGCAATGCGCTGGAGTACTAATCGCTGGACATGCTCCGCAGAGGCAGGATCCCAGGGGATTAATGTAACTATAGATTTTGAGGATGGGTTTGGACTTTTGAAGGCCATTATTATTATTACTATTATTTTTGGAACAAAATGGATCGTTGTTAATCAAGAATTCTTTTTGTTTGGTGACTCACAGGGCTTTGTCCGTCACAGGGCGCGACGCTATGGAAAACCACTAAAATTTACGTGTAAGCTTACGGATATTGAGCTAAAATAATAGGCCCTAAACAATGACTTGGGGCAATGTTTCACTTGCTCTTTCAATTATCGACGCTACAATATCTTGATTGGCATTCACAAATTGTTTTCTTTTGGTCTCGGGTCCCAATGATACATTACATATATAGGGTCGGGCATCTTTTTAATTCTTTAGGAACTATGTATATCAAATTAACTGTAAAAGTTTAAATATAGATATTTCAAATCGATCAAACATGTAGAAAAATATCACTCGTAATAGATCTGATTGATCAAGGTTCCAATATTTTCAATCTCGACACGAATATCGTCGCCATGGTTGAGCACAACCTTGGGATTACGCATTGCTCCAATGCCAGGCCCGGTGCCTGTCATAATGACTGTGCCCCTTTCGAGAGTCGTTCCACTAGATAGAAACGAAATGATCTCTGGGATACGGAATATCATCTCACTGCAGAGTGTTTCGTTTAGAAAAAGTGCCTAATATATACTCATTGCAGACAACATACCGTGTATTAGAATCTTGCACTGTGCTACCATTATGGATAGCTTTGATTTGCAGAGAATGCGGATCTTTAAGGGCAGAAGGGGACACCAGAACTGGTCCGAGAGGGCATGAGCCATCGAAGCCTGTACAAAATATTAGCAACCCGTCGCTAGGATCGTCCATTGAATACACCACAACATACCCTTCGAGAAACACCACTGGCTGTTTTTCCACTGCTGCGCCCTGGCACTAATATCGTTGCTGGCTGTATATCCCAACACATACTCCAAAGCCTTATCTTCCGGGATATCTTTCCCGGACTTGGAAATGATAAAAGACAGTTCAGCTTCATAGTCACTGGTCCCATCCTGTGCGATCTGTGGCACTGGAACCTTGGCTGGAAACGACCCATTCAGCGCAGTACGCGGTTTGATGAATAGCACCGGGACGTCTGGAATGGGCATGTTAGCTTCCCGAGCATGGTCGCGGTAGTTGAGTCCCATGCAGCGAATTATGGGGACCTCTTCCACGCCGATGGGGGACAGGAGCTAAGCTTATTGTTAGTCGCCGGTATTTCTGTGAGATCTTGGTGCGTGTGATGGGAGATACCGTTGCGACATGCAAAACCTTGTCCGACAAGACGCCGTCAAAGATCGTGCCTGTGATGAGCCTAGCGGATAGCTTTTTGCCCTCATACACGGCCAGCCCGACGTCAGGAAATTTCTCCGCGTCGATTTGGCCCAGATGCACCTGGCCGTCTTCCTCCGCAATGAAGCGGATCAAATGTGTCCAGGAAGATGCCATGCTCAGGTTTCTTCAGTTCGCTCAATTTCAAGTTCTAAGGGTTGGCAGGTAGTGATGGATTTAAGTGCACAATAATTCCCGAGACGAAGGAAATGGTTTAATATAAAGAGTATCCATAAGGTCAGACAAGAGTGTGCCTGCTTTACGGTATCCGCCCCGGATTTACGGAACAATTTCGGTGTATCTATACCAGTCAACCCCTCAAAATTGCGATGGGATGTGGGGGTACAATCGTCCAGGGCTATAAGAAAACCCGGCTCTTCACTGCTTGACGTATTTAATTTTGATTGGATAAGAAGGCTTGATAGTCTTTTTCGAATGCTTCCGAACTGTCACCACCCCGCGACGGCGAAGACAGCTAGAATGATGAAGATAATGTTACGGATTCATCTATTCCAATGAGGTATAATCCCAGCCATAGTGTTGAGTCCTGCAGTAAGGTCTTCACTGAGTGAGTAAGTTTGCTTCCTAGAGGTCATTTACTACATGTATTGGAGAATGAGGACAGACTCGATCAAGGACATCCACAACAAGCGGCCTAATGCGCAGTTCAAGCTCTTGCCTAAAGATACCGTTCGACGTAATCTATCTAGACCAGGCCAGCCATACTCCATCCTCGACGCTGATGACAAAAACCACTCTCCCATTCGCAAGGCGTATTCGGCCCTCTTCAGTACCAAAGCGCTTCGTGCGCAGACAAACTCATTAACGCATCGAGAAATCACCCGGGGAATGGTTGAGAAGCGTTTGAAACAGTCTTTAACCTGGCCAGATTTTCTCTCATACCTCCAAACATCCAAGCAAGATCTAACGGATGATGAAATTGTCATCAATGCTCAGGCATTAATCTTCGCAGGCAGTCATACCCTGAAAACAACGCTCACAGGGGATAGTTTTCATTTACTGCATAATCAGGAGTCGCTTGCTCGAGTTACAACGGAGATTCGTGCCGCGTTTCAAGTCAAGCAGACATGGATGCCAGATCATTAATGCAACTACCGATTCTTGAGGCTGTCATTCAAGATGGTATGCGCTTGACCACTCCCGGGCCTCTAGGGATCGGCTAGGGAATTAATTGGCCATGACTTCGAGCCCGATGTGTACTTTCTCGCCATTACCGTAAAGATGGACACCATTGTCAATTTGACGTATCCGTAAACTACAATACTAGCATATGTTGAGAATGTCATATTGAGACATTGCCCCAAATAAAAGCAGAGTAGCTTAGCGCTTTTATAGAATGGTGCTCTCTATCTACCATACTCCGGACTATAATAGAGCTCTGGGTAATCAGAGTAAACAATGTCAACATAATACATAAAACCGAATGCCATTACCGTTGATATTTTCAGGTTGCCTTGTGCCGAGGCTTGAAGCCCAAAATTTGACTCCTTTCCCATTCGCCTGGCGTCGCAGACCGTTCTCTCGACGTGACCGCGACCTCTGTTTCTTTCAAGATATGTCTCTGACTCTCGCCATCGCCATCCCTATACTCCAATTTTTGGAACGTGTCCATCTTGATTCCAGAGCCTAATGTCTGATTTCCAGTCTTGGATCGTTTTAGGTTACTGCCATACGGGGTGGCGTTGCTTCCTCCCGCAGAGCTACGGCCGAAGATAGGAAGGGAGAGTAGAGGGCGAAGAGCGGGGAGTGAGCCGGCGATGATACCAATGCCTTCTTCAATGACGGACCAGAGTCCGATTTTTCCGGTGCCAAACATGAACTCGGCGGGGTTGCTGTAGAGACTCAGATATCGGAGTCGGACAATTGTTGCACAGCTTGCACTGAGTGGTGTTAGTACTAAAGGATTGCGATGTTGGAGCGTGGCGATGACGGTAGTGGATGGATGAATTCCAAGTGAGATGGGGTGAAGACGAAGAGGCTTACAAGGCGGCCATTCCAAGAATGATAATCACGGAGAACTTGACCCTGTTCTTCATCTGGATATTCCACAACAAGACCGCAGGCAGGATTGCCAAAGTGAAGTCCGTCATGATCTCCACTGCAGAGAAGAAGAAGCTGATATCACTGTCGAGGGTGGGGTTGCATGTCCCATTGGTGGTTTCACCCCAGAGGGTGGTGATCGGGTGGCAGATATTGGCGACGCCGACCATGAAGATAACGGCGGACAGGACACTGGCAATCATGGTAGCCCAGATAGTCCACGTAAAGCGACGTCGAGAGTCGGCAATACGAAGAAGAGCAACGGCGATGCTGCACTTGATGACCACAGCGCCGGAAGCATAGAAGAACTCAGCAATGAAAAAGAGCTGTGATAGAGAGTCAGTTAGCGGTGGTAAGCTGCCAGTTGGAGGCTGTAGGAGACACACCTTGGTTCCTTGCTTGATATCACTTTTTGCCAGAGCAGCAGCCTTCTGGCCGGAGCCAAAGAAACAGCACACAATACATAGACTCGCGGTGACCGAGTAGAGCAGCTGATAGGATTAGCAGGGCAATAAAGAGAAGGGAAAAGATCACGTCTACCAGGCCCATCAGCATCAACATGTCATCTACACCCAACGCTTTTCTCCATATTCGCACTCCAACCCGTAGGACATAGACGAACCAGCCGAGGGCCAACAGTATGATGGATGTATAGAAAAGCGGCACACCATCTCCAGCCGGATCAACCATGACTACATACGGCACTATTGAGTGTTCTGGATGTGATGGGGAGGGGGGAAGAGAGAGGAGAAGGTGAAGAAGCCCAAATAATCTGCCATCTTTCTATATTAATTATTCTTCTTCTGGTAGCGAATGCTCGAAGAGTCAGTCTGTGGAGATACCAAGCACTAGCCCAGCTGTCAAGTCCAGAATAGGGCTAGCCCAACGGCAGAGACGCTGCAGAAGGGTCGCGGGCTTCTTCCCTATTGGCGGCTCCCTGGTGGACTATAGGGACACGACAAGGCCCAGAAAAGACCAGGCTCAGTGGTCTGACCACCGACGCCTGAAACCGCCAAAAAACCCAAAATTGGGAAGGGAAAACGGCGATGGCTTCGAAATAAGCTCCACAAACTACTCTGTGGAAAGCACCAAATGAACGTCCTAAAATGGAGCCTGTCCCGTCTCTCGGCCGCCACCGTGGAGACTATCCCAGTTAGTCGCTCTTTTAGTGATAGCAAAGGCATCGCCTCTCTATATGTCAGAGCTTTTAAGAAAACTGCACTGTTTTCGGCTACTACTCCGTACGTTACGACTCTTCGCTCAGGCCCGCAGCACTGTGCTGTGTCACGCCCTGGCCAAGTTCTCAACATATAGTGCGAGTAATGCTCTTTGAAGCCAGGGGTATTTATGAATTACCCCCGCTCCAATTATTTTCTTCATCTAGAGCGTATTTTGCTGTCTTTTGCCCTCCGAAGTTTTGAGAGTTAGAAGTGTAGGACAATCTGCCGTCAGAGCACTTCATCTCAAAGCCATGGCCGAATTTATTATCAAGGACGAGGATTTGACTGGCATCAAGGGCAAAGTGGTCATTGTCACAGGTGCGATTGCTCACTGCCCCGCTGCGGTACCTGCATTCATCTGGGCAATACGAACTAATTAAATACACGCAATCAACTATAGGCAGCTCGTCAGGTATAGGTCTCGCAACCGTCAATCTACTCCTATCACTAGGAGCATCCGTCGTTGGCGGCGATATCAACCCCCCGTCTGCCACCAGCTCGACAGAATCACCCGAATTCCTATTTGTGCAAACAAACGTGACCAGCTGGGCCGACCTGAGCAACTTGTTCAAACAGGCAAAGGAGCGCCACCAACGAATCGATTACGTTTTTGCCAATGCTGGCATTGGTCCCCGTGCTGACTATCTCTCTCTTGCTACAGACGAGAATGGAGAGTTGAAGGAACCATCACACGAGGTTCTAGATATCAATTTGAAAAGCGTGGTCAACACGGCGTCTCTTGCCGTGCATTACCTAAAGCAGCAGTCGGAGGGTGGAAGTATTGTGCTTATGGGCTCTAGCACCGGCTTACAACCCCTTCGAGCTCCGGATTATTGTGAGTGAAAGCATATTATTGGGCCGTGGCGTATGCGAACTAATAAAATCATGTAGCTACGGCTAAACACGGTGTCCTCGGATTCGGAAGAGGCTATGCGCGCCTAGTAGAGGCTGCAGGGCTGCCTATTCGGATCAACACTCTCATGCCATGCTGGACGACAACCAGTATCCTTCCGAATATGGACGGGCTTATGAAGGGAATCTCGCATGAAGCGCAGACTGGGTTGGTGGTAGCGCGATGTACTGCGCATCTCATGGTCGATGCGTCCAAACACGGAAACGTGATTTATATCGCCGATGGAAAGTACAAGGAAATTGAAAAGGCGGTCCTCTGGCCGGCATACGAGTCTATCAAAGGAGAAGGAAATCCCAGCGATGATGATGTTTTGAAACGTATATTCGAACTCGCTCAGTGATAACTATCTAGTCGGGGTTGGAAGAAAAGAATCTAGAGGAAGATTCATAAATCCTCGGAATCCCTATTTTTACCAAGACGATATAAGCTAACAGTAACTAGTCTAAACTTCCTTTAGAAAATACCTAACTATTGCCCACTGAAACGAGCCCTTATAGCTTAAAGCTGGGTAAGGTCGTTAAAATTGATTATGATAATAACAAAAATAATAATACTCAATCCAAGTTACTCGTCCTTTGAGGGTTATTTGTCGCAGCATTTGAATCTTCTCTTTAATCTCTTCTTCTGGATACTCTCCATTGGGAGACTTCAGTTATATTTTCAGATTTTAATGCTATATAAAATAAATCCTTTGGTTTTGCCTATGCAGAAAACTCTTTGTTCATGAGTGAAAATGTGACTCTCCATGCTTGACACCGACAATGAGCATGGTTGCAAACGCCATTCTAGAAGGAAATAAAGGGGAACTTGAAACATGTTAATATGTTGCTAGGGAGGAAATTTGGGTAAAATATCTTATACTGCCAATATCCTGAAATCGACATAAATTAATGACTCGTTGGATTTCTAGTTGTAATAGTCGACCAGATATCGATTGATGACATTTAGGGCAACGGCACGCCGGCTTTGTATTATACAGATAAATAGGGACAGCGACTTTATGATTATAGCCGAGGCCAGAAGCATGTCAATTGAAAAGTCTGTACACCCCAAGGCTCACTAAAGAAGCAGATATTGTTGCAATGCCTAGCTGCCGTGAGCCCATTTTATATTTGGTTGAACTGCGCATGATGGCTCGTTCTTGCTGCTTGAGATTCCGCATCCCTTGGACATACGTGTACATACCGAGCCCGATAAATGCACCAGAGCCTAGAATAACCAAATTAATGATCAGAATCAAACGACCAATTGTTGCATTCAGGCCATACCAACGAGTCGGCAAGATAAGCAGTCCTCATAGTCTTGCTGTCCCGCAATCTGCTTCTCCACTTCCTCAGGTTTGAGTTCCCAGGGGGCACGATCTTTGGAAGCGGTCATTATCTGTTTATTCCTATGATAGACAGGCAGTTAATCATATAGCGAATCAGAAGCCAATTCTAGTCTGCGGATGCATGAGTTGACCTGATCTTTTCACGGCTGACGTACTTACAGTCTATTTTCACTGGAGAGAGAATATATGGTGATACGTCCTGCCCAATTTCCACTTTAACATGAAACGATGTCAATATGATAATTGTTGAGAAATATCGAGGTCTGGCGGCTTCCAGCGGCAAAATCGACCTCACCAGGGGCAGCCCGTTTAGGACTAGTCTCTATCGTCATCGCCCAATTCTTAGGGCGCAGCAGCAGCACATGCGACTACCCAGAGTCAACAACTGTCACCATGAGCGGCGCTATCAAAGCGCTCTATATCTACGATGAATACAAGTATGGAGCTCCTCACCATTTCGGCGGCGTTCTTACCTACTAACGTCTCACAGCGCCCCGGTTCTAGAGCATGCGTATCGGTCTCGGCTGCCCTCCGCATCGTCCCTCATTCGACTGTTCCTCGCACACCCCGCGCCGCGTCCTTCGTTGATCTATCTACCAGAGGCCTCACCCCCCGTCACAGTCTTCTCCATTGTCCACTCAAATCTACTCTTCCTTTCTCCTAGCGATGTCGACACCGAGCCGCTACTCGTTCTGGAGTTTATGCGCCGAGTCGTGGACGTTCTCGAGGAGTTCGTCGGTGCGCCATTGCTGTCGACCAAGCTGCAGATGAACTATGATGTTGTTGCGCAGCTTCTGACCGAAATGTGCGATGCGGGACTGGTCAGCAGCACGGAAATCAATACACTCCAGGAAAATGTAGAGACGCCGAGTTGGATGAATAAATTCTTGAGTGGGGTGGGGTTACCAGGGTCAGCCAACACAGGATCAATCATGCTGGGTGTTAATGACTGCAGAACTAACCGATGTGTTTGTGTAGAACATCATCACCAGCGCTGGCTCCACTGAATCCGCTCAAACCGCAATTACCAAGCGCAGCTGCTTCAGTCTCGGGGCCGGCCATCCCATGGCGACGACCTGGCATACGCCATACCTCGAACGAGTTATATGTCGATATAATCGAAACATTATCAGTCACAATAGCGCCTTCTGGTCGTCTGCTCTCCGCTCTTGTTTCGGGCACAATTGCATTTACGGCCAAGATATCCGGAGTTCCCGATCTTCTTTTAATACTCACGACACCTGGCGGCCAGAGAGCGCTCAATCAGAAAATGGAACTTCCAGTATTCCACCCTTGTGTTCGACTTGCGCGATGGAGGGAACGGCCCGGAGAACTGAGCTTTGTGCCTCCTGATGGTCGTTTTATACTTGCTGGATACGAAGCAGATCTTCTACCGATAGACACAAACGCCGATTCGCCTCCAAGCCATATGGAGAAACTTTTCTTGCCAGCATTGGTCGATATAAAGAAATCATTGGGCCCAAGTGGGAAAGATTTCGAAGTGAGATTAACCCTCAATACCAGTTTTCCCGGTTCGTTCTCGAATTTCCGCCAAGCTGGAGGTGGCCGCAGTGGCTCTGGGAGCTCGACGCCTTCATTCCTAGGTGTTGGATCCAGCAGCAACACCCCGTCTGTTCCCGTCCTCGAAGAAGTGGTCGTCCATGTTCCCATATCCAAGGCTGTTCGAAATATAACCGATATGCGCCCGAGTCGCGGTGAGACCATCTACTCGCCCGGCGACAACTATCTAGAGTGGCGAATACCCACGAAAGATGCAGGCACGGTGTCCGGAACAGCAACATTACGCTGCACCGTTCTTGGATACCAAGATGATTTAGATGAAGCTGAAGCGGAATTATTAGCTGGCCAGCAAATGCTACAAGGCTACTACGACGCCGATTCCTACCAACAAGACCCAACAACCTACACATCCGAGTCCCATCCAAGCGGGAAACCCAAAAAACAGCGAAAACCAAAATCCTCCTCCTCTTCCTCCAAGCCCAAAAAGACAAAGAAATCAAAATCAAAAAAGACCACCGCATCCGCCGCCGTCATCATCGAAGGACAGTCGAATATATCCCCAGACAAGCCATCCCCATCAGAAACCCCACCTCCACCAGATCCGCCCTTTAAAGAAACAGCATCTCGCAAGGAAAAGCTCCTATCCGCTCTAATGCCCACCTCGGCAACCGTCTCATTCTCCGTAAAGGGCTGGTTGCCGTCTGGAATAAAAGTCGAGAGCCTAAACATCGATCCACGGAAGAGCCGGGGTTTGGGCGAAGGGGTTCGACCGTACAAGGGGGTAAAATATCTCTGTGTTAGTCGAAAAGGCGTTGAACGACGATGTTAGCCTCCTTCCACCTTTTTTGAAACACCTTCTGTTCTAAATAACGCATCTTTTCGATATTTGGCGTGGTTTTTTTTTATCAACCCATGATGTTGCTTCCTATTTTCCCTCTGTTCTTCTCTTTCATTTAGCGCATTGAATACATGCATGGAAGGAGTCTGAGTCTGTCTGTCACAAAATCTAGACGACGAAATATGACACTCAAAGAAAGTATATCGTGGTGGTAGTGGTTCCCGCATACAAGCTGATCTCTCCTTGTAAAAGATTAAACCCCCAGTTTTACTCCCCGCTCACATGCAACCGAGAAAACCCATGGCGAATGAGCATAAATACCATGGTGGGAATTACTGGAAATTTTAATTTGATTTGAAGATGTCGTTAGTATTAACATTAACAGAGTAGCCCTATCGGCAACGGCCTTAAAGTTTGGCCGCCGTTGCCCATATTTTCCTGCCACTAGTCTGATTCAAGCTATCAATACATGTATACTCAGCAAGAAGACCCAACAGACATAGGCAGCTGCATATCTCTTTACGTATATGCTACATGGTACATTACATGTCTAGTAGTGATAAATCTCGACCCATAATCAATTTGACCAATCCCGAACAAGTACGAACAAGTACATACAATGTACATACAATATCAACGCATTCAAGTTATTCGTTTTGATGTTGATAGTTGATAGATGATGCACAAATGGCGAAAAATTTGAGGTATGATATGACAATTTGTTTTGTTTTTTTTTGGGTTTCTTCACAGTTTGAAAGTTCGTGGGAAGTAATCTCTGAAAAAGTAGATGACTAATTGGAGAGATATTTGTTAGAAATAGGAAAGAAAATGAAATTTTTTAAAAAAGAGTGACGGGAAATAGGTTAGATGTCGAGTATCACCAAATGATGAAACAAAACATATCACATTCAGGGGAAGGGAGAAAGGGAATCATTATTAAAGATTACATGATTGTAGAAGCAGGGGGGGTATCGTGTTATTTTGAGTAAGGGGTGATCCCTTTCAAGGCTTAAGCTAGACTTTCGGCCCTTCAGGCTCAGCGCCATTGGTGGTGCCATTGGCTCCCTGATGGCCATTTGTGGCGGGTTGATCATCTGAATGATAATATCGATGGTAAGAGATTTGAATGGCATCAAGAGCGGCGCGAAGTCATGGTAAGGGAGAAGAAACAGACGCATAGACAATCAAACAAGTAATAGTTTATGATTATGTTCGTAAATAAAGGGTTCACTCACCAATGGCAGCAACTGCGACTCGTGCAGCTGCGGCTTTGGGTGTTCCTCCAAAGACGTATCGCAGCCATGTAAACCGGCTTTGGCGGCCGTCGCGGTCAAAGTCTGGAGTCGGCACCATGGTAGCCTTGAAGAGCTTCAGCTTGCTGGCTGGGTATGGAGGGTAACGGACATCGAGCAGAGCGTCCATCCAGTTGGGCGTGTTGGTGTAGGGTCGGCGGTGCACAAAGGTTTCGAAGGTGGATCGGCCACGGTACGCGCCAGTACCACTTTCGCCAACACCACCGAAGGACAGAGTGGCGACATGAGGCTGGGCGTCGTTAAGAGAAACGCTTCCGGATCGGAGGTTGGCCATGACTAGAAGAGGTTAGTCGGGTGGGTGTATTAGAAACAGATAAAGGGATAGATGTAGGCCTACCCTTCTGGTGTTCCTGCTTGCTGCCGAATACAGCAATTCCCAAACTCGTGTCCTGAACCTTCTTGGCAATGCTGATTGCTTCGTCAACGTTGTCGATGGTGACAATAGCACAGATAGGGCCAAAAGCCTCGTTGACAATCATCGAATCTTCCAAAGAGTCCACCTGGATAAAAGTCTGTTCAATGTATCGGTCCTTTTCATCAACAGTGCCTCCAAAAACGATCTTGCCCTTGCTGTCGTCAATCATGGCTTTCAGGCGCTGAAAGGCTCGGTCGGAGACAATACGGGAGTATTCAGGGCCCTTGCTAGTACCACTGGGGTAGAACGACTTGTACGCCTTCTTCAATTCCTCCAACACGGCAGGCAAAATCGACTTTTCAATGAGGACATAATTCTGGGCCGTGCAGGTCTGACCAGCATTCATCGTCTTGGCCCACAAAAGTCGTCGAGCTACAATATGAGGGTTGGCATTACGAGTAACAATAGCAGGATTCAATCCTCCTAATTCTAGGACGACGGGAGTCATATGTGGTGCAGCGGCTTTGGAAATAATGCGTCCGACAGCATGACTACCAGTGAAAAAGATCTTGTCCCACTTCTCCTCGAGAAGGGCCTGCATTTCCGTGACGGCTCCATGGACAACAGTAAAGGCAGCCGGGTCAAGGGCAGCCTCGATAATTTCCTGCATGACGATGGCACAGTTTGGAGTCTGCTCACTGGGTTTGACAACAACGGTGTTACCAGCAGCGATGGCGCCAAACAAAGGTACCATGGTCAACTGGAAAGGATAGTTGCATGGACCAACAATCAAGACAGTGCCCATAGGGTCTTTTCTGATCTTTGGGCTGAGTGCTTTGAATGCAAAAGGAATATCTGGAGCCGGTTCATCCTTGAGCCATTTGTCCAGATTCTTGAGCGTGAAGAGGATATCGCTTAGCATCCATTGAGTCTCGGTGACATAGGATTCATGGGTAGGACGGCCGAGATCACGGGCAAGCGCTTCATGGATGCGATCTTGCTTGTCATGGATTCTGCAAGGGACGGTTTAGTTTCCACCACACTGATGATTTATGAAAGAAATAAGACAGAACTTACGCCCAGTACAGCTTGCGGAGCTGCAACTTACGGAACTCGGCCGGCCGGGTCTTTGAATCGTAGAAAGCTCCTCGAGCAGCAGCAGCCTTTTTCTGGATAGCTTCGACTGGCGTGAAATCAAGGGGTTTGAATTTTATGGACTCATCCCGGACAACCATTTTGATGGTAATAAATGGTAGTATTAAACCGTGATAGCTGTGTTGTGCTGCAGTATTAGCATGCAGATAGCTTCTGCAGTGATAAAATATGTATGATGTCAGGACCCCAAAAACGGCCTATATATCGATGTAAATGAGGGAATGCGAGAAATCTTCTCCAGGGAAAGATAAATAGGAGGAAAACCAATGAATAAATAAGCCAAGTCCGCACCAAATACCAAGGGGGGGCGCTCTGGTCGCAGAGGTTGGATGGACGATCTTGCGGAGGAACAGACCCTCCATCTCCGCATCGTTCGTAATTTCAAATGCTGTAAGCCGAGGCCTCGGCTCTTGGCAGCGGCGTTGCCTGAAAAAGCAGGCACCAGGCTCGGATGTCGGGTCTAGACTACATTCTCTTCTTTATTATTATTAATAATGTTTAGTGAATGTATATCTATATACAACAGTCATAGAGTGCTTGTTAATTATTATTTACGGTATTTAGAAGGTCACCATAGCAAGGCGTTAATTATCCCCATAAGGGTAAACCTCTTTTGGTGTAGTAGCATTCGTGGCCCAGAAAGCTTGTCGTGGAAGATCCGTATGTCAAAAATGTTGCATCAAATTTATTGATATCCGTTAGGTAAATCGGTTGTACATTGGGATAGGTCTCGCTCTAACGCAGAATGGTAATATCTAAAGATCTTACAAGGATCCATTGACATGCAGTGCAGTTGGAGGACAAAGGCTTTGATGATATATTCAACTAATGCCCTGATGGTATATACTAGACAGCGAAATGGCGTAGAAGCGAACATTAGTATTGAAACCCCAGGCGTGTTTAGTCTATCTTCAAAAAGGCTGAATTCGGGAATGTCTCTGCCCTCACCATTTCCGCTGTTTGTCACTATGATGTATGTAGTAAGGCCATCCCAGTACCTCAGTAATGGTGTGGCTGTCTAATGCTGACAATGAAAGCGGTCTTCGGGACTCGGCGTTGGCTTTGGTAGCTTAAATTAGCTACCGCCGCAAATTCTGCAGCACTTGTACACTAATGCCGGGCTTGCTAAATGGTCGTTTCTTAATCAGATGGCCACCCGGAAACTTATGCACGAGCCTAGAGCCCCATGAAGATTATGTTTTATGAAATGGTGTGGAATAGAATTTCAAACATCGTATAAATGGCACCTACGCCAATGTTATTGGTCATTTTTACAATCAATTGAATAATGCTTCGCAGTCCCGAAAGACTTTTGGTCGCCTTCCATTCTAGACCCTACTAGCAATATCGACATAGCAGCGCACATCACGCTAACAACTTGGGGTTGAGTCTGTATCACGAAGGAGCCATTTGAAATCCTATAGTTGAATTAGTCTTTTTTGTTTACCTTTACTGCAATGAACAACATGGTATTTTGACCGCATTGATGGGGATCAAGACTATCGATAGAGTATTTTCTTTCTAAAAGAATTGTCAGGGATTAGCACCAATTAGTTATTTCGTTTAATGCATACTTTAAATTCTTCCTAAGATATATATTATGATGCTTTAATTCTTCAGATTGTTTTATTTTTTTGATGTAGTGGATGGTTTGGTATCAATGACATGCATTATTGGCGAAATACCAATCTTTACAAAGCTAAGTGAATAATATGCAAACAATCGAAAATTTTGAAGTAGAAGTAATTCCAAAGCACCAATGCATCTACAACATAAGCTCATCCAACATTCACATCACATGATTACAACCACCCTATCTGCTTTTTCCTAAGACTTGAATTGATCTTCTGTCACACCCTTACCCATAGCAGCTGTACTGCTAATACCGCCAGTCACCATCGCAAGACTGTGGTCAATGAGGTTGGCGCCACTCCACTTCTGGTGAGTAACGATATCAACCTTGCGCTCCATCTCAGGCTCCTGCACGAGCTCACCATAGGCGCGCATGCCCTGCTTGGCGAACGCCGAGGCGAATTGGTCGGTGATCAGACCGGTGGTATGCAGACCTGCCAGCGTGATGAACTGCCAGACGTATCCGAGCTTGGCGAGGCGGTCGATGTAGCTCAGCTGCTCGTCCTGGGACATGGCGGACTTCCAGTTGAAAGAGGGGGATAAGTTGTATGCCAATCTAAGAAACGGTTAGCTACTAATGTATTTGAAAATTATGCTGTATGCGGAATCAGGACTCACTTTTGCTCAGGCCAGCGAGCGTGCACGCCATCAGCGAACTCCTTCGCTTGCTTGTAGTCTGGAAGCTTGCTCTCCATCCAAATCAAATCGGCGAAAGGCGCGTATGCGACGGCGCGGTTGACAGCGCATTGCGTACCGCCCTCGTAGCGGTAGTAACCCTCACGGGTACGAGGGGAATCCCAGTCCCAGAAGATGTCCACGCCCGTGATGCCCTTGGCGATAGCGCGAGCTTCGGTGTTGCTCTTGCCCTTGGCGGATTTCAGGTACTGGTTGACGAGTTGCGACTTGTTGGCAAACGCGCCGGCGTTGATGGTGTCGATGACGGCGTCTTCGAATTTCTTCAGGCCGGCCTGGGCGATCCACTGGTCTTCAATGGCTTGGAGTTGGTCTCCAGTCTTACCGGAGAGCTCGGCGGCAACCATGAGGTCATTGAGAGGCTTGAGGCTGGGGTTGGTGGCGCCAACGACGTATGCGTGATCCCGGTAATCGATGGTGGAGGTGATCAGGGTGGCGGCTTCGGAGTCGGTTCGGGCGATGGCGAGGAGGTCGACGCCTGGAGAAGTTAGTTGATGTACGTTGCTTGGTGCACCAAATGGAATTGCTAAACTCACCCATGATATCGGCCTGGGCACGGATGGCAACCAGTCGGTTGATGTGCTCGCTGATGGGCACAAGCACTTTACCAGCCATATGACCGCATTTCTTGGTGCCTGGGGCCTGATCCTCGATATGGATACCGGCAGCACCGCGTTCGACGAAGAGTTTTGTGAGCTTCATGACGGCAGTCAGACCACCATGACCAGTGTCTGCATCGGCAATGATTGGGCGGAGATAATCGTAGTTCTGGACCTGGCCGCGCTTCTCTTTAGGGGTTGTGACACGCTCCTCACGCTGTTTTCGGTCGTGGAAAAGCTGAGCCATGAAAAGCTGGTTGACCTTGTTCGGCACAGTGTTCTGTTAAAAAAAACCGTTAGCCAACCTATCCATACACTGCCCCCGGTGTAACCTACCATAGGGTAATCGGCAAGATCAGGCGAGGGTTCGTCAGTCGAGGAAGCGGTGGAGGAGCTTTGCCAGCCGGAGACATAGATTGTGTCAAGGTACTTGATCATCTGGGTGAGCATTGTCGGTTCGAGACATCCATAAGTATAACTAGCGCTCTTGTTCTAATACACAAAAGTGAGTCAGCTAAGCATTCTTAGTCGGGTTTGCAAGGGATTGAGCAACTAACGCTCCATCGTTCTTCGACAAGCTTCCACAGCTTCTTGGATTGTGTGTTGGATGGATATTCCACCTTCAATGTGCCGCGCTTCGCAACAATCTGCTCGGCAGTGAAGGGGCGCTTGGTGTATCTCCATCGCGAATCAGTCCACCATTGCTTAACGGCATTGACCTCGTCCAGATACTTCTGGTCCTCGGCCTCAAAGTCGTGGACACCCATATTGACGTCAGGAAGTTTTAGTTGATGTTACAAGATAGCTTTTAAGCCTGGGAGAACACTGTCTTTACCCAGCTAGAGATGTGGATTAACCTCACTCTAATTACTTTCACACCTTTACAGCGGAAAGGAAATCTGAAAAATACAAGACGTCGAAGCTTGGAGGAGGAAAGAAAAGGAAGAAAGAAACTAAGTCATGCAAGATCGCGAGCAAAAACTCTCTTTTTTGTATTCGAATCTTCCTATGACGCTTTCACAAGCAACGGCGATACTCGCTCGGTAATGGCTCGGCTCAGCGGGTACCCTCAGCTGCGAGTTTCCCTGGGACCAGTCAGAACAGACGTATCGGTCAAGAACGGTCTCTGAGTCATCTGGCTAATCACAGACTTCCTGTTATTTGCTCCGTTATTCGGGGGGGCAAAAGGATTGCATTCAATCATTGTTCTGATTGAATGCCTTTGATCATGCACTTCATCTTGATACGATGTTCGGCCCACCGGAATGATCTTCGTCTGCATTGTAGGCATAGAACCCGCAATTGCCGCACTGTGCAATATCTGACTGTATTCAAGTCATCTGAATGCATTGCGACTGATACCTCTCTGCGTATTATTGCATCCAAAATGTTCTTCCTGGCTTGAAGATCCAGTGCGAATCGGAGCGGGATGGAGGGAGTGTAGTCATTGCATCATCGGTCCAGATCCGCATTTGTAATACCGTTACAATACCGTATCGATCGTGTCGCATGCGAGCATGTGAGGGCGAACACCTTTTTAATGACTCATTACCAGAGGGAAATTTTCGTAGAAAAAAAAGATTACCCTACTTCAAAATACAGTTTTGTTCAACTACATAGCTTTTAGAACTCAAAAAAAGAATATATCAGTCCCGAGCAGGTGTTGAACAACAGCATGTGCTCGCGGTCAGATCAGAAAACCCCCGGTTTCCGGAATACACAGCTAGTACGGAAACGCGTAAATTACACGGCAACACCAGACGTTTGACCTCGGCACATCGCACAGTCCAATTAGGAAGCACGAAGAAATGCCGGGATGCTTCAATTTACTGTGAAATCAATGCCGGGCTGTGATTCGGTCTTCAATAACCCTGGCTAGCTAATAGCTGCTAACTGCGCCATTATTATATGTAAATCGGCTGATGTCGGGACTCTTGACTCGGGCAGTCTAATGGACGCTGTGAATGTGTGATATGAGCAACACGGTGGGCGAATCATGGTGTTGCTAACAGACGGAACTTGACCGAGGCGGAATTGATTTGATATTGAATTTGATATTATTTAATGGGCTAGACTTCTCTAAAGCGTTTTGAGACCTTGCACAACATCCCGAAATAAAGACCTCACGTTAATAACCAGATAAATAATATAAATGCCCGTCTGAAAACCCCATACCCACGTGACTCATGATCAATCATAACAGCTTGCAAGACATCCATAACGATGGAAAGTGGAAAGGAATGAAATGACGTTACTCATAGGACCTCGCCGAGTTCTCTCTAATATATCCTGCTGTAATTAGAATCACCTGGACTTCGCTAAATGTTGGCGTAATATGACGAGATGGTATGAAAAACCCGTTTAGTATGGATACTGTTGGTTGACAGCTTTGCTGAACGTCTCATAAGGAGTGACTGCGCCCAGCGCCCGTCTCTGATGCGCATTGAGGATGTCAAGGCCGTACACGAAGCTGGCATTGACCCAGCCGAATCTGAATTGGTCAGTATATATACCATTCCTCATATAAAAAAGAAATATAAACTCACCCAGTCTTGCTTGAACCCTGGTTCCCATACTCCGCCTCAACGCGATGAGGGTCGATAGGACGAGTTACGTCGTACTTTTCCACAACGATACCATTAAAATCAACAAAAGCCTTGGTGATCATGTACAGCCACTTATACGCCAGCCGTTCAGCCTCATCTTGATACCCGTACCGCAAGAGCCCCGTCCATGCAAGCATTTGCTGGGGAGCCCAGCCGTACGGATAGTCCCATTGACGGTTAGGGCGAATCAGACTGATCTCGCCACGCGATTCTTCAGTTCCGGAGACAAGGCCGCCATATTCCTCAAGCTTGGGGAGAGCGTGCTTGACTAGTTTCGAAGCCTGTTCAGGTGTAGCTATGCCAGCCCACATGGCCCAGAACGTCGTGGCGCTTTCGTAGGGTTTGCGCTCTTGCAGTACTAAATCGTAGTCCATATACATGCCCTTTTCGTCATCCCAGAGGAGTTTGTCAATAGTAGCTTTCCTCTTTCTGGCGCGGCGGTCCCATACGGATGAGGTCTCAAATTCTATTTTCTCGGATTGAGGAGTGCGGAATTCTTGTGGAATGGTCAGTCTGTCCTGGAAAAAAGTGCGAATTGCCCGTGAGATGTCCACTTCGTATTTGTATAGTAAAGAGTTCAGGTCAATAGTTGCCAGGTTTGCGCAAATCCTTTCGAGTCGATATGATGTGTCGTGCCCGGACTCGCGCACGGCGCGATCATGCACGAAATACTCATCCAGGTAGGGCTCCTTGACCACACCGTCGTTGTAAGCTGTGACAAACTCTTCAAAGCTCATACCATGCTTCTCCGCATAAGGGGTTAAAAGATGTAGAAAGTGGGAAGCTTCAGTCTCCGGAGGAACCCCCAGCCCTTCTGGATGATAGCGTGAGAGGCCTGTGACTGGGTCGTACCGTGGTGCCGCAGTCCAGACGCTATAATATTCTTTGATGGCAGCAAGTATAGCATCGCGAAGAAAATCCAACGCGCCTGGTTCGCCCTTGATCTTGTCGTACACTCGCAAAGCCATGTCCGTGAGAAAAGGAGGCTGAGAGCGCAAGAGGTAGTATGTCCGGGTAGCATTAAGAATCATGCCGTAGTGCTTAATGCAAAAGCAGAAATTCGTCACCATGGCCTTTGCAAGGTCAACTCTGTCACTGGCAATTAATCCAATCGATTCCATGTAGCTATCCCAGCCATAAAGCTCATTGAATCGACCACCAGGAACCACGAAAGGAACACCTCTTAGGTCTTTCTTCCCTTCCGAATCGGTGAACTCTTCCATCGCAACTGCCAAAAGACCCGGTTTGGCGTTCAAACTCTTTGCGTACTCGGGGGTGATCGGTACCTCCAACTTGATAACTTCCAACCGTATTTCAGGTTGTTCTTCGGCAATCCGATTGTAGTATTCCAACTGTTCCGGTGCACCAGGAGGCACGTATATTCGAGGTCGCGGATCACCAGTCCAGTCCTTTGGATCCAAGCCCGCGACGGCGATATTAGAACCATCAATCCTGCGCGTCAACGCATTCCAAAAGATTTTCTTAATAAACCGCGACAGCCGGTTCACCGGATTTTCACTCAACCGCTGTTCATCGAGGATAATTTTCTTCCGGCCAAACCCTTGCGCAACCGTCAATTCTTGAAGGAGATTCGATAACATGTACGTCCCACGAACGTCGAATTTATTGTAACCGTACGACGCCGCCGTACCCAGTGGCAGGGTCTATTGCAATCAGTATCTTGCGTAACCCAAATCCAACTCGTGCCTCACCTTCGGCCCGACATCCTCGATTGTGATTTCCATGTCCCGGTCGGTATCTTCTCTCTCCAGGAGAGCAGCGATTGTGGCGTCGACATCGATAAGGAATTTGCGGGGGGTCGGAGAGAGTTCATCTATTCACACATCCAGATTAGCATTGCATATATTCCGCCGCCATAAATATGTCTGTGCGTACCATGGCTCCCTCTTCGCGCTGGTATCTTTCCCAGGAATTCTTTGATATCCTGCCGATTCACTGATCTCATATCCTGCTCGGGCGTTGGGTCAGAAGACGCTCGTGTGAACGCCAGATAGCTAGCTAGCGATCGATCAATCAATCGGTGCTTACAGCAGAAAAAGTGCGTCGGTGGCCATGGCCCTTGAAGGCATTGTCCCCGCCATAATACACATCGGGATCGGAAAACGGGTCAGACACGATTGACACAGCGCGTTCCAGCCGGTTTGGCGAAGACATTCTGGGATCACTCCCACCAATATATGAAGCTGCGGGGTGGCGACTCTTGGTTTGTGACTCGGGTCCTGGTATAGCTGGCGAGTAGAGAAAGAAGATAGATGGCTTTACAAAAATTGAAAGTAAGAGTGATGGGTTAAAATTTCTTCACACCGAGAGATAGAGAGAGGGGCGTGAGTCTTCGCCTCCCAGAGTGCCGGTCTCTGAACATTTCGTCACTGCGGGCTCTGCGATGATGCCACGGACCCACTCCCCGCGTCTGATCCTCTGCGCTCCCGTACTGCTTCGCTCTTCGGTGAAGACGTGGATATCGCTTCGAGATTGCGGTAATTTGCTTTTCGCTGTGCTCGTGATATGTAGTGGGTTAGAGTTGAGTCTCCCACAAGTAAGTACACATCACCCAGGTAGAGAAGACGCAGTGGATAGTTTCTTGGTTTTGAGTGAGGAGTGTGGAATGGAATCTAATTCTCAACTTGGAACTTATAGGAGGGTTGGCAGCAGACTCGCTTTGAGATAATAATATCTTCGTTGACCGTTCTTAAGGGATATCTTAATAGAGTTGATGGTATGATAGGCCTAATTAGGTTGGGTATAAGTTATAGACTAAGAGCTGATATGTGTAGTGAATATATTTGTAAAAGGATTGACATGAGAAGTAAAGCTTGTTTAATATGGAGCAGATTATGAATTAGAAATCTTTGATTTTGATCTTGTTGACTGGTAGTAAATATATTGAGTATAAGCAGGAGGGCTGATAAATGTATTAAAAAGACAATAACTAAGACATATTTTTATTAAATAGAGAAGGAATATAGAATAATATAAACTTATAGGTAATAGCTATGAAGTAAATTACATAGCTTTTCCTTATTCTTATTTTAATAGTAATTTCCCAGAGGATAAATAATATAGTGCGAGATAGCGACATGATTAGATGTATTTATGAAGAGATATAGATGTAAGTAAGTCATATATCTACATCATATACAAGGCAATTAAGCGTTCAGTAGATATTGGACAAGTGAAGACCAAAATGTAAGCAACATAAAGAAGGTTACCAGGAAATTGGCAATATATCAAATGTGTTAGACTAAAAGAATGGATAAAAAATAGGATACATTGAGCTCGTTTGGGGGATGGTGAAATCTCGATTACCCAGTTCCCGTTGGTGCAGTACCACTCCAATTCAGGGTATTGCCAGAGGAGAACCAGTTCTTGCGTGTATATTATATATATAACACTCTCATATATCAAACATTCCAGATTGCTTAATGCACCTCTGTGATTTTAGCATGTACGGCCACAGGCAATCGTGTAACGTGAGAGCAGACGGCGTTTCTTGCTTTTAGATGGAATTTTCCCTAAAATTCTTCATGATTTTATCCTCTAGTATCTCTAGTTACTCAACGTTGACGCCATTTCTCATGCTTTCACCTCTGTTTTCATCTTTTATCCATATGTGACTAGTGAGCCGAGCAAGAAGAGTTCCAAAATTCCTAATCCCTCAATTATTACAGATAGCAAGGATCCGAAATTGAGCGCCTACGAGTTGGGTATTTGCTATAAACTTCTGAGCAATGCCGACCACTATCCAACTGCTGAGAACCATATCATGTATGTGATCAAATGCTGTGGTGGCAAAGCTGCGAGGGACATCATCTCTCGTACAAGCCCGACTCGCTGAGCCGTTATTGAGATGCGGAAGGCACCCGGATGTATCCATGTAAAATTAAGTAGCGACTAGAACAGATAATTGATACATATCAATCAATATCCCATAGAAGAGAAACTTCTGATATAGTATATCAAACTGCTTCAACTTTGGCATGGCCCTTGAAAAAAGGAAAACAGCATTACTAGAAATTCGGGTTACTTTTTTCCTCTTTACAGTGTTGTAAGTACCTTTTCCCCCACGATGACTACCTTCCCTATATGTACCCCGGGGGTTCTTACTGTTGTGGACATGTTCCTTCCTCTCCATCTGCAAGCCATGACAAGACCCCGTGTCTCTTCCGCCTCATTTCTTTCTTCTTTTCCTTTCTCCAGATGTGCGAGCTTCGATGAGGACAGAAAAGAACAGGTTTAGACATCGCAAGAGGTCGATGACCGAAACTTCATCTACACATTTATTATACCGAGAAGCATGCTGCACATGCCCAGCCCGCACTCAACGTCGTGGACCCTGGTAACCCCAACCAGGAGAGAGGCAAGCAATTTTTAGCCGCTTCCTTTCTTTTGCTCTGCTTAGGACAGAAACCTTCTCGTGGTGCAGGGTGTGAGTAGCCAGCCTGCTGGTGAAACCAAGATCTGTCACGAAGATAACTTGTTATCTTGCACTGTAAGTCAAGCCTCGCCTGAAAATTGCCCTATGCCCGCTGAAATTGCTGACTTTCTATGGGTAGCTGGTCTGCCTGTATCCGATCAAGAAATCGCACTGTCGGTGCACTCGCCCCAAATGCGCATCACCGGAGCTCAGTTCTCGGACCAAGATCATGATACTATCCACTTTGATGAACCTGAGAGATGAAATATCAGCCATGATGATGAAGGTAGATACGGGAGCGCGAGGTACAAAGGAATCATTTGCCTCGCTGATGGTGTCGTCGGAGATCAAGGCTGAAACATACAAGGTTGTTTCAGCACAAGTTAGTTAGGATATCTCTCTAGAATAGCTGCTCCCACCAAATTGCACCGAATTGACACATGAATGAAACGGTAGAAATAAGAAAAACGCTGTCTACTATATTCTGCAATTTTTATCTCTTAGTTCGGCCTCAATTATGCAGTCCAGTATGTGTCATAGGGACAAAAGAAATCCATTTTGAAAGCACACCTGAGCTCTTATATCAGAAGGTACTCGAAACTTACCCAGTTTTTTTCTATGAAACAGACTATCATTGTCCAGCACTCCGTTGTAGGGGCCTAAGGAGCCGTTGTGTCTGCCTATGTGAGTGGAGACAGTTGCCTAGTACTAGACCCGGTTTTGGTTTAGCGGTATCATCCGTTATGTATTAAAGCGACTCGTACCTTTCCTTTCCTCGATGCTTTCTTCCTACAAAAAGTGTAGTATGAAAGCTTCGGCCATAACCTGTTCTTTTCTTTCAAGTATGACGATGATGAACATAATTTCTCTCAACTAGATATGCGAAGCTGCATCCGGATGCTCAAGGAGCAGAACCTGGAAGCACATGCCGGCTTTTTGAGATGGATACTGAGTCATAACCTTCCCAATCTGCCTGGCTTGTTCAGCCATGTCTGTTACCATCCAGGAATGTAGAGGAGGCTTGTTCGCTTATTGTATAAATATTAGAATGTTGAGCTCTTGGAGATAGTCTTTTTTAATTTTTATATCGGATTATTTTTGCATGGTGCTTGTGAGTCTGGTTATTTAGATGGGTCGTACAATGGTGATAATCAATGTCTTTGAGTCTTTTCTCTATAATGCGAAAAGGACAAATTCAAAGTCCGTCGTGTATGATGTTCGTCTAAGGCTTAAAACAAAACTACAGGCAGCGCCTTTATTGAAAATTATTCTTTCAGTAATCTGTCAAGCCAAACAAATTTACATATAATATATTAGATTTGAATGGTTTCAATATTGAGTTTCTAGTTAAATATTTCCATATGCAATTTAAATCTCTAAACAGCCTACAAGTACCATCAATGCGGATGGCGGTCTATGCCCCATCTAGCTTAACTGCAGAGTGGTGTACAAATTCGTATATCTTATTGCCAAGCAGGAGGCGTTTATCGACATTCAGCGTCTAGTCACAGAGTATATGTACCCAAATAAAGAGATACGATTCTCGCATTATTTCCAAAACGCTGGTTCAACTCGATAATGATCATCTTCCCATCTCAAGCGGCTCCTATTTCGTCTCAACTAATTAGTGTTCAGAAGGAGGTTATTATCCCTCAGAAAGCCCTCCACCTCCATATTAAATTGCTCCGGCTTCTCAAGAAACAACCAATGACTGACTCCTGTCATTTTCTTAATTTTCAACAATGGAAGATGGTGGAACCAATGCCCATGAGCCGGGGGACAACTCGGCGCCACAATATTGATCGCAGGGACTTGGCCGTAGACCTCATCATAAGCCATAGCATGGGGTATAACTTTGGACGTAGTAGCTCTTGCGCGCACATGCTTCGGTGTGGCCAGCATCGTTCTCAGAACGGTTTCGCGGACAGTCTCACCCGTGTCGGAGGTGAAAAGACGGTTGACCTTGGCAATAAAAGCGTCGTCGTCTTCCAGGCTTTTTCCCAGGCTCTGTCGCTGTTGTAAGGTCATGTAGCTTTCTGGGAGATGCAAAAAAGAGTCTACGTAAACGATTCCGGCAATTATTACGCTGTTTTGCAAAGAAGGAGCATCAACAGCAGCAGCAGGACAAGGAGCGAACAGGCGTAAGAACATGGTGGCAATGGGCCCTCCCATGCTATGCGCTACGAGAACGACTTTTCGAACCCTCTCCTGCTCCACAACGACTTTGACTGCATGTGCGAATAGCTCAATTTGATAGTCGATATGGGGGGAGTCACTGTCACCGTGGCCCGGCAGATCAACCAAGATGGATCGATGAGTCTCGTATAGAGGACTCTGGGATGCCCATAATTGACGACTGCAGGACCATCCATGGATGAAAACGAGGGCTTCGTCGCCGAAACCGTAGCTGTCATACACGATTTTTATGCCCTGGACAGCTGCTGTTCTCGTTACTCGCTGAGGAGGGCTTGCCATTGTAAGGAGCAAAATGTATATTGATGACAGCCAGAGTAATAACCTTGATGCATTCCGTTGACCTGTGCAAAGTCTTAGTTCGGTGGCAAAGTTGTCATTCATATAAGTCAGGAGATTATACTTCAGTACTCAGAACATTGTCGGAACACCGTTTACCCGCACTCCACATTTTGTATCAATTGGTTAGTCAATTTAAGATCAGCAACATGAAAAGTGGTGGCACCCACATTCAATCTACCATTTGTGATTTTATATTTAATGAAGCCTCCGTTCACCTTTACATACCCCGTAAGCTGTCAAGCGCACATGTGTACCTGTATAATGCCGGTTGATAGTTCTGGTTAAGCTACGGAAATATATACATATTTACATGCAGGGTCGACTCATTCTGATGATTTATATTTCTGTTTATAAACATGAAATACCAGATCTATCAGTTATTTGAGTGGGACCTTGTATTCTGGATAATTGAGACTATCATTTCGTGTTGTTCTGCCCGCATGCATGTAGGTCTGATTTATCAGGGATGAGCGAAAAAAGTGAAGGTACGATATCAACTAGGTACATTTACAGGCGTCTCCGAATTCGGATCCTGTAGACTTCGTAGCCGTCTCGCCTCTCGTAACATCGCATCGCGTGGTGCTCTACGGCCAGTCATGAGCTCAAACTGGTGGATAGCCTGCAGCGGCAATATTTCCAGCCCATCTACCGTGACCCATGCGCGACCTGTCTGTTCTTTCAGACATTGCACTTGTTTCAAGAGTGGTGTACGTGGTGGTAGGTAGCCTAGCTGCAAAAGAAGTTAGTACGATAATATAGAATAGGCCAAGCAATAATCAATGAGAGAAAGAAAACAAATCTTCGCACCTCGGCAACCACGCCACCAGATTTGCTCTGGAGCCACTGCTCGGGTAGTGTGAAATTGGGTCGACGATTGTCTCCGAAACTATGGGCAGGGATTGAAGAGACAATGATCGTTGCAGGATCCTCTCCATCTGGCCATGGAGTTGTAAGAGTAGGGAGGATCCTCACAATGTCTCCTGAGAAAAGGGGGTTGAAATGCCGTGCAACATTCTCGGCTCTTTCTACTGTCCGGTTATAAACATAGATCTTTCGACAACCGAGTCGAATAATGGCGTATATCGCAGCGCGTGCGCCACCCCCTGCTCCAATGATAAGTGCCACGGACCGAGATGGCTCGATTGCATTCCGCGGCGAGAGATTCTGCAGAATGGTCGATTGTATTCCGAACCAGTCAGTGTTATCGCCGAATAGACCAGCGATAGGACCAGCATGATTTCTCTGCTCAGGTTGCAATGCGAAGGGAATTGATTTACCGTCATGGACTGATCGCCTTAAAGGTAGAAGAGTGTTGATCGCACCAATTGCGGCTGCGTGAGGGCTAATTTCCTGCAGTTGATTGAGAAGAAGTGTTTTAAAAGGAATCATGATACTTGCACCTCCAAAATTCGGCTTTTGCGCAATATTTAGTATGTCTTCACTATTTTTTGCCTGCATTATTTGGAACGAGTGAGAGAAGCCATATTTTTCATAGGCAGCCCGATGCATAGCTGGGGGGATCAAGCTGACAGAGGGATAACCTCCGATCAAGTAAAACTCTAGAGGGTCGAATACAAAGTTCGCACACAAGGCGTGAATGGCCTGTCTGAGTGTAATTTGGGGATCGCATGCGTTACGGTTGTCAAGCGTTCCATAATTGACGGGAGTCATAATTCTATTGGCAATTTGAGACGTTCTTCCTTGGACACCGACATTATATGCGATGAGAGGCGGGTTATTAGAGCTAGGTTGCTCATGTATTGATCTTACAAAATACTGGACATCCTCGTTGTCGGCTGGCGTCGTTGCTGGCTGAGTGAGTTGCACGATATCGCATCCTAATGATTTCGCCCATTCGTAGTTCTTCCTCCTATCATCTTGGATCCATGCTCGCACAGTAGGATCCGGATCGAAGAGGGAACCGATGATTTTTGTTCCCGGTGATTTTGATTCGATCAATTTTCGAATACGTTCCGTCTCAGCGTTGAGATTCGCGACGACGTACTCGACACAATTCCGCAATCCGTGATTGAGAAGTGTGAAATAATTTTCGACCTTACAAGGTATCTCACCGTCTCTCTCATGACACATTGATGTAACCTCAACTGTGTACACAATCGGGATTTTGACTGCTCTTCTAATGACCGATATGTACTTTGTTATCGTCGTTAGGACGTCAGGCGTGTCCATGTCAACTATGAGAAGGACTCCGTCTTCTCCAGATGCAAGGCTATCCACATCCTCTGCTCCATTTACCATGTCCGATAAACGAACACTTCGTAGGTATGAGCGATCTCGACATTCAAGCGGAAGAAATTCAAGTACAAATGGATCGGGATTTTCGTCATCACGATCAGCTTCGCTCCTGTGCGAAGACCGAGCAACTACGAGGTCCAAAAAGTGCGAAAAGTCTTGCTTCGCATTCTGGAGGAAGAACGGTGCTTTACACGGCTGCTGCTGCTGATCGTGGTGAGCCAGACTATATTCTCGAGAAAAAGGATCAAAAAGGTTATGGTATTCCAGGTTCGAGCATGCCCGATGCACTGTGTCGCAATCCTTCAAGAGTCTTGTCCCATCTTTATCGTCTAATCCCAAATACTTCATAAAGAAGCTTTGAGAACGGCTAATATAGATTATTGGATGAGTAGCTTTGTATTTCCGAAGAAGCTGTCGAACGCTGGGTATGAGGCTCGCGAGTCCGCACTCGAGAATACAGCCCGTGCTGTTTTCCTTCAACATCTTCTCCACAACTGCCCCCGTGCATTTCTGTAGCTCGCTGTTCCCATGCTTTTGTAGATATTCTGCTCTAGAGACCCCGATTTGTGTTTGAAAATATCGATCGGCGATGACCAGTCTGCGTCCCAAGTGTTTGACACCGATGAATCCTAATGACCTCTTCCCGGCACCAGGACAGCCGATTAATATGATTGATGGGTTGTTTGGCAAGCTCATTTCATGAAGAAGACAAGGCCGAAACAGGTTTGTGGTGGTTACATCGAGAAAGAGACACTTGGGTGTGGACAGGGAATTCTTTTGCTGACCTGGTGGATGGAAGGTATGAAAACATCTCGGGTGTATACTTTCCCGGTTTCCAACTTCTATCACTAATAGAGTTTGTACCCCCGCAATTGGATTTCTGGGGAAGAGAAATAAACGGATTAGTATACGAAATCACGTACAGTTTACTTCTATCGAGAGTATTTCAAATGATGGCCGGCTACACGATACCCAATTTATGCTTGACACCATTCAGCAACAGCATACTTGACGAGAATGGAGAGAGAAAGCTCGAAAGAGATCACTCCACGGAAAAGGGTCGCAGTAGCCTGCAGTAGATGTCGCCTCCGCAAGTACAAATGCGATGGAGCAAAGCCAAGCTGCTCAACCTGCTCTTCTGCCAAGCATTTGTCAATAGTTTGTACCTACGAAACCAGCAACAAGAAGCGCGGTCTGCCAGAGGGCTACGTACGTGGCATGGAGAAGCTGTGGGGCATCGCAATGCGCAAGATCGATAGATTGGAGGAACTCCTGCTCTCGGTGTTGAACAATGATCAGGACCCGCTGCTACAAGCCTGGAATGACAATTCCTCGGGCCCCTTGCGCGTGTGGAGGAAAAGTCGCTTAGCACGTGCGCTGGATCGACATTTGCCTATTTTGGAATTGAATCGTGATAGTGCAGGGAAACGGAAGCGATATATCGCGTTCTCGGACGCAGATGAAGAGGGAGATGACGAACGAGACGAAAGACAGAAAGAGGGATATGGGGACTCTAGTTTTCAAGTTGAGGATATGATCGATCTTCCCGACGCATTGACGACGGAGGGAAACAATATCAATTCCCAACTAGATGAATTGGGGCCACAGCCAACAATAGAGCCACCAAGACAACTTCTTCCTGCACCAATAAGCGACAGGTTACCACCATGCATTGACCACCTAGTCAATGTTTATTTCTCATACACTCACTGCTGGTTCCCAATCCTAGAAAAACATGAGATTCGTCGACTTGTGTATTGGTACTCGAGAAATGGCCATTCGAATGGCGAAAAGGCCCCATATGAGGCATTAGAGGTTATCCTATGGGCAATTTCTGCCCTTGTTACCCATCAAGTGTCTCAATCAGAATTGTGGTCCAAGAATTGCGGGCTCCACAACCCTACAGCGGATCTTGTAGGGCTTTATTACCAGAAGACCCGAAACCTGATTCCAGCGGAAGAGGACGAGGCCAGTTTCCACCTCGAACATGTGCAGGCTTTACTTATCCTGGTTCTTCTGAATATCGGTCACGGGGAGTGGTCTGCCGCTTGGCTCCTCGTTGGCAAAGCAATTCAGATGGCTATAACTCTGGGTTTAGGCCGTGGCCCTCAGTGTCCGCCTTCGAAGGAGCGTCATTCGAGATCACTTCACGTATTTTGGGGTTGCTTTGTGCTAGATACAATGATTAGTGCCAGGATCAAACGAATGCCGCGTCTTAGACCTGAAGATATTAATGGAATGGCTTTTCTGTGCGAAGAGGGAGATGAGGAGTGGGACTCATTGTCGGATTGCTTGCAGGCATATAAAGAAAAGGAGAACACAACCCATCCTCTATTTATCTTGAGCACATTCAACCGATTAATCGAAATATGCAGGATTTTAAACAATCATTGCGTGTCTCAACACCATTCGAGGACTGAATGTTCGAGTTTTTCTTCTTCTGGACGGCAGCTTATAAAGAACCTTATGGATTGGAACAGCAGTCAAAGATCCACACCCAAGTTCGATGCGCAGTCTCGTGATTCTACTGCATATTTGCATCATTATAATATCCAATTAATATACCTTCTGTCATTGATGATCATCAACCAAAGCATGCAGCGGGATCATGCCGAGAAACATTTAGATACAAGCAACAACGTACATGGTGGCCATCCCATGGGAAGGCTGGGTTTATTAGTCGTCAGTCTTTTACAGCAGCAATCAGAAAGACACAGCCTTTTGGTTGTTCCCCCTACCTACGCATTTATATCCGAAGACTTCATTGGCCATTCTGAAGCAGCGGTTGACCATACAACTTCGTATACAGCGGTGTTCCCTGACCTACTCAAGGTATGGCCAGGATTTAGAGGACAGGCTCGTCGTCATCATTCACTAGGCAACACCAGTGATTCAATGTTGCAGCCAAGTACAAACACTCTTCAACAAAACTTACAAGGGGAATATTACATTCCAATGGGGATTACCAATGGAGAAGTTTCAAAGTCAGGACCTTTCAGATTGATGCAGCACGAACCACAACTAGGCCGGTATGAAGGATTATCGGTTGGCGATAATTCCTCATTGTCAGAAGTGGATCTTCATTCTGCTTTTGATGAGCTTGTTACCATGGATACAACTTACTGGTCAGCATTCACAAATCTTGTTACTCTGAAGAGAAACTGACTAGATCACATTATAGGACGAGTAGCTGGCGCCAAGGACTAGCTAATCTTGGATTCACAGACGATGACCAAATAAACGATTTCTGCAATTTTTCTTGAACTCAGAAGCGAGATGGTATTGATTATTACCATTCTGATCAGAAAATTTGACGAATTATAATATAGGCAAGATCAAGGTCAGGTTGATCAGAAATGAATTTGATGATGGTCGGGATTTATTCCGGTTTTGTAGCTCTTCCACATGGCCGAGCCCTGATCTACAGTAGTTGATAAACATAACTTGACACCAATAGACCCCTTAAATATTCATACGCAAGACAACTAACATTCTATTTGGCATTTGAAGCCACGCACCGGGAAAACAAAGTGATATCCATAACTTTATCCGCCGTATTAATGCCAATCTATGTGGATTCAACCTTTATAGGATCGCCGACCTTAGTTGGTATAAATACATCAGCATTAAAGTACGGTGGCCCACTGAAAAAAATATATCCAAGAAATTAAGGTCTAGTTGAGATGCCCTGGGAGTGGAGGGATGCTTGATGGATAGGATGTTTCCATTATCTATCCCCCGCTTAATAAAAGATTAAAGCTATATTTTTAGGTGGCTAAGTAGCCAAAACAAGAAACGCAACATCCCTTCTATGAAGCGGGACCAGATTATCAAGTCTCATACCCCTACTAAAGTCCACACCAGAGCCATCATCAATCTAACGGGGAAAACCGCGACCCATGTAGCTGTGGATGAACTTTCATCAAAAAAATCGACGTTATCATTTCCGTGCTACCAATAGTCAGAGCTATCCCTTCAAACAACATTAAATCCTGAAGGGATCTCGGAGGCCCAAAAAGGGATATCACAATGCTGGGTAACAACAATCTCAACCCACCTATGATCATAGAAGGGAGACAAAAAGAATCAATCGACATTACTCAAGAAAGGGAAGATTTTACTCATTTCCCCGTTAGAAATTCAGCCACGTAGCAGAGCGACAATATATCGTAACGAATGCCTAATATTCAACTCAAGGTTATCACTGAAAAATGAGGGGCCCCTTCGTTACTCCAATAAATAAATGCCTATATAACAAACATTCATTCCTTGTGTACGACTGCAGCCTCTTCCTTATCCCCTTCTCTAACAACGCTCTCCGGGAACGACCCTTTGGCCAGCTGTTTGCGCAATTCCATAGCCAGAGACTCCGGGTCTTCATCCAGACTATGCTGGAGCATAGGCCTCTTTGTAGATGCGTCTTTATCGAGAAATACAAACACGGATCGTCCTTGCACAAACAAAAGATCCAGTTCCTCGAGAGTTCGACCGGCAGTCTCCGGGAAGAAAAGAAACCCCATAATAGCACAGAAGAAATTGATACCCGCAAAGATATAGTATAATTTCCAGGAGGCTGAGTTCAGTGCTTCAGGGATATATAAGCCCAACCAGAAATTTGTAAAGTAATTACTGGCAGTCGCGAGAGATGTGCCTCGTGCACGGGCAATGACAGGAAAGACTTCGCTCATATATGTCCATGGCACAGAGCTGCTGAGGGCACCAAAAAAGAACTGGAATAAGAACATGAATGTAACAGCGGCGTTTCCGGCGGATTCATTCGCAAATGTGAATTCTACTGCTTGCGTGGTTTGATCGAAATGAGGAGATCCGTAGCGGACTAACATTGAAGCAACAACGAGTAGGCAGACTCCCATGAAAGCTGGTCCCAGGAAGATTGGTTTTCGACGTCCATAGTAATCTAACAGCAGCGTAAGAGAGAAGGTTCCGATAACTAGTAAAGCGGAGCTAATCCCATTTGCTAACAAAGCCGCATTGGAACCCGTCCGGCCAGTCTGAGAGAAAACTTTTGCGGCATAGTATAGTACAATGTTAGCTCCAGAGAGTTGTTGCATACATTGTATGCCCATGCCGAGAGCGGTTCTACGACGAAAGGCCTTTCCAAAGAGAAGTGTGAAGTAGGATGGGGCAGTAGAAGACTGTTCGAGATTGACCACGGTGCGAATCTCTTCTAATTCAGATCGAACTAGAACATCGTTGGTGTCGCCATTTGCATGGAGCTTGGCCAGAACCTCCAAAGCCTGATCTTGCTTATCGTGTTGAACTAGCCAACGAGGGGATTCCGGCCGGAACAACATTATTATGCCAACAATGGCACCAGGAAGAAGTTGCAAGGCAAAACAGAGCCTCCAGGCGCCATTTCCTGTAATATTCAGAGCTGCGTATTGAACCCAGTATGCCACCAGGATCCCAACGGCGATACCGAGATTGAGAGTTGCTGTCACACGTCCACGGATATGAGGCGGAGCTATTTCTGCTGTGTAGCTATAAGAACATATTAATTACCAAAGAAGAAGAAAAGCCATATAACTCATATATATATGTAGGCAGCTCTCTACCAGACTTACAATGACATGGTCTGAAACAGTGGACCAGCCCCAAAGCCATTGAGAACCCTGCCGGCAATAAACATCGCCTGGTCCTGCGCAGCGACCACGACAACTTGGCCGATTAGATAGAGCACAACGGTAATCATTATGGTGATTCGCCGTCCAAAGTAGTCTGAGAAAAACAGTCCGATCAAGAGAGAGCCTACGAACTCTCCTGCAATCAACGCAACTGTCATCAGACCTTGTCTGAAGGGGCTCGGGGTGTTCATGTAGGAAAGAAATTGGGGCATGGCTAGGATACCCCCCATCGATCCCACCTCCCAGCCGTATGCGAAACCAGTAATGAAAATGGGAAGCACATAGTAGAAGATCGTAGAGAGATCCTGGCTCCGAATCGAAGTCATGACGAATTAGCCTGCGTGGAAGAGTTTGAGATCAAAACTGATACAAGTGAAGAACCCATAGCTGCTGTACTCTTGGGCTATATAATGAAATGGCGAACACAGGCAAGTTGGCCTGTGCACTGTTATTTGTGTCTGGGGATGAACTTACCCCGGTTTGTGGGGATTTGTGGAGCAGATCAATCGGATAATGGTTATTAGATTCCTTTTCTTGAGTTCGGGTATTTCTAAATCCATGCTGCGTTCCGAGGGTAAGCTCAGCGCCTTAAAAATGAAGGAAACTGATGATACAAAATTATTCAGAACTGAAATTGTTATTTTGGTTTTGCCTCTATGTCAATCATGGAACACGATCGGGTGACAGTCGCTGTCATTGGTGCTGGCACTATTGGAAGGACACATGCCCTGCTCATTGCACAGTCACAAGAGGCGACCCTGAGTGCAATTGTAGATCCAACAGATTCCGGGAAACAGCTCGCAGAGACTTATAATACCGAATTCTTCAAGGACATCGAAGAACTACTGCATTCGTATCCACTACCTAAGGCTGCCATCATCTGCACTCCGAACACAACTCACATAAGCATTGCAGAGCGCCTCGCTGCCGTCGGAATCCACCAGTTGATTGAGAAGCCAATAAGTCCGACATACCACGAGGGCCAGGATTTTCTCCAGATTGCTCGCGACAAAGACATCCGCATCTGCGTGGGTCATCATCGCCGCTTCCATGCATCCATTTCCGCAGCAAAGGAATCCGTTGCCTCTGGAAGTATCGGGAGGGTAATCGGCATCTCTGGTGTTTGGACAGCCCTCAAACCACCAGGTTACTTTGAAGGCGGGGGTGATTGGCGAACAGGTGTGACGGGGGGCGTAATACTCATCAATCTTATCCATGAAATTGACTTACTGCAGTATTTCATGGGCCCCATCCAACGAGTTTATGCCGAAAAAGCACCTTCGACACGAGGTTACGAGGCAGAAGAAGGTGTGGCGGTTACGTTTCGCTTTCAGTCTGGTGTGGTGGGCACATTCCTAGCACTCGACAACGCTGCTAGTCCATTCAATATTGAAGGATGTACAGGAGAGAATCGGAATTTATACCCGTATACTGGCCAGGACTGCTATCGGATATTCGGCACCAAGGGGACACTTAGCATTCCTGACAACACATTGTGGACTTACAAAGAACCAGAAAAAGGTCGACATAGCGAAATGCAGCAAACAGCCCTTGTTTTCCAAGACCGCGACGTGTATGCCAATCAACTGGATAATTTCATTGCTGTGGTCAGAGGAACTCAGGATCCAGTCTGCAGCGGAGAGGCTGGATTGAGTGCGGTGGCTGTTTGCGAATCTATCAAACAGTCATTACAGACCGGACTTGCTGTAGATGTACTTGGAAACTTCTAGCACAATTTTTTAGGGGTGTGTAAAATTTCAAAATCAAATGTGCATATTTCCCGTGGTAGAAAACAGAGCTGCCAGAAGCAAATCTTTATAAAGCGTCTATATCACCCAGTAATCTACCATACTCGTAGCCCTAAGCCGTCACCAATGTTCTAGGACACAACTACAGACTCTTAAGCTCAATATTTGCACCAATAACAATTTTCTCCACGGGAAAAATGACAAGAATAACAAAGACCCAAAACTCGACATTCAATCAGTGAAAAGGAAGTTTAACAGAGCATATCAAGTCGGGTAAATCTTATCCCAACGCCTCTCGGCACGTGAAATTTACATGTTACGATTGTCACAAATATATTAATTTTCTCTCCCACAGAATAATCGCATCTCTCTACTATCATGTCAGAGAATTATTAGGAGATACGATCAAATACAATGCGAAAGACAACTAGGAAAACTCTCTTCTTGTTTGGACAACCCATCGAGCACTCCGTCTCTCCTGTATTTCACAATACACTTTTTAAATCATTAAAGCTTCCGTGGAGATATATCAGGCTAGATTCTCAAGATGCCGAAGATCTGGCATGGTTCATGCGAAACGCCGATTTCGTTGGGGCAGCTGTTACAATGCCGAACAAGACACGAGTCATTCCATACCTTGATACGCTGACGGAAGATGCGCGAAGAATAGGGTGCGTCAACACGATATACACCAGGGAGGTTACCAGCAATAGGGAAGGAGGACACTCGCTGGTGGGGACAAATACAGATTGGCTTGGGATCAAGAACGCTCTATGGAGTCACGACCCGGGATTGGTTCATCTTCTCCAAGAACGTCCCGCGGTAGTAATTGGTGGTGGTGCTACGTCTCGGTCAGCGATTTATGCGCTGACAGAGGGTTTCGGTGTCAAAGAGGTGTTTTTAGTGAATCGCGACGCAGAGGAAGTGGAGGTGATGATCAAGGATTTGAAGAAACGCGGTATGCGAGAGGCTCTTACCCACCTTGAAACAATGGAAGACGTGTCTAAAAGGTTGCATGTCTGCCCGGCTGTGATTATTAGCGCTGTGCCTGATATGGGTCCACAGACACCCTTGGAACAGTTGGCGCGGAAGATCGCTTTGACGTTGATTCAGATGCAAGATACAGATAGCGGGATCACACCAGGTGCTCTCTTAGAAATGGCTTATACGCCAAGCCCGTGGACACAACTGGCAAAGGCAGCATCGGCTGCGGGTTGGAAGATTATCACTGGTATCGATGTGATGGAACTGCAGGCTATTGAACAAGCCGCTCTTTGGACCGGTGTGAATATAGAGACACTGCCCTATGAAGAGGCAAGGAATGCTATGAGATCCGCAATTTTAGCTCGGGGTAAGTGCAAGATATGATTACACTAGCCATTTTGAACGGTGCTTAGTAGCGGGTTTATCTTCACCCGGGCTGTGAGGGGAACATTATCTTGATGTGTTGTATCAATTGTTATATATCTTCTGAGATTTCTTGATACATTTTTTTCTATTTCATTTCCAAGTTATATAAATAATAAGAGCAATGAGAGATCTACATTCCTTACCATCTGGGTGGCGGCCAGACCATGCCACACGCAACAACGGCCCTGATTACTTGGCTCATGAACGATACAAACTCCGTGAACTGGCCGAGGGATGGCCAATGTATCGGTCTGTACTACCAATTAATCATAATGCCTTTCAACCAATAAGACAATATACGGAGCTAACATACCAATTTAGTGATGCTTGCGAGTGGGAGAACTTAGAATCGATCTTCCATCCGGATGCCTACATTTACACGACTTGGACTGGACGGATGTACTATCGAGACTTTATTACTGCATCGCAGAAGGGCATGGACAACGGTGCATTCATTATGCACCGAGTCCATGGTTCAACTACAGATATTGAACCAACCGCAAACAGGGCAGTCACGAAAATGAAGGCAACCATAACGCAACGATTCACGCTTGATGGGTGCGAAGTAGATGCCGAATCTGATTGTCGATTTTGTTTCTTTTGGGAAAAGAATAAGAATGCGCATGAAGGTGAAGGTGAATGGCGAGCCCGGTATGTCCGACATTGGTACGAGAAGGACAAACTGATTCCGGTGGACCCGAGGAAGATCCCGAATATTGACGACGAAAAGCTGGAAAAATTCCCCTGTGGGTATCGATATTTGGCTTATTGCCAGGAGGCGACCATGGGGGTTAAGGTATTGTTAGACATGCCTGGTCATCGTAGAGAGGGGCATAATATCAATGGGCAGAAGCATGATCTTCTATATTGGCTATGTAAGCAGTGGTTGGATGGGCAAAACGTCGACGTTTGAGCATGTAGAATATACACGCGACTACATCCATATCTGATATGTTTTCGTTGGAGTTTAAATCAGTATTAATCACCTTGCCTACACACCTCCTTATTGCTACTAGATCCCCGAGGTCATTCTTCAGACACAGAAACAAAACACGGTCTTACAACACCACTAACAACACTAATGAGCAAGAAAATTCTCTTATTTACTAGGTCAAAACTAAGTAACGAGGATAATATCTTGCCCGCAGGTAACATTACCCGAAGGGTATAAACTTATCCTGCTACTTGTAATCCCAGAATAACAACTCCTCTTCCAACTTCCCAGGGTAACAACCCATTACATACCTTATAATGGGCTCTTCATAAATAAGAAGTAGTATTTCAGTGTTTCCTTTGAGATAATTATCGATAAACCTGACTATCATGCCTAACCGACCCGCAATATCGTCCATGTCCCTAGGCCGGGCTTGGGCTGGCCATTCTATGGACGAGAAGATTGCCCAAGCCGCCGCCCATGGTTTTGAAGGATTGGAAGTGTTTTTTGAAGATATCGAATATCTTGCACGAGCGCTATCCGGGGCTGATCCGAGTGTTCCGTCCATTTTTCGATACCAATTGGAAGCAGCGAGGCAAATCCGCGGGCTCTGTGATCAACATGGACTAGAAGTAGTTTGCTTACAACCATTTATGTTCTACGGTGGATTGAAAGATCGGACGGAACACCAGAAATGCCTTGACAAGCTCAGAGAGTGGTTTCAACTACTCAAGGTCCTAGGGACGGACCTGATTCAGGTCCCCACCAATTTCCTGCCCGCTGACGAGATTGCGTCCGACACCGACGCCCTAGTCAAGGATATGAGACAAATAGCCGATATGGGACTGGCTGAATCACCGCATGTACGGTTTGCATTTGAGAATGTCGCCTGGGGTACATACATCGACACATGGGAGGGGGTCTGGGAGGTTGTGAAGAGAGTTGACCGGCCGAATTTAGGTCTCTGTTTGGATACTTTCAATATTCTTGGTCGAATTTGGGCGGACCCTGCATCTCCGACTGGAAAACTCGCTGATGCGGATGATGTGCTCACAAACTCCCTCGAACGTCTAAAACAAAATGTCCCTCGTGAAAAAGTGTTCTATGTACAGGTGGTAGATGCAGAACGTCTAGAACTGCCGATGAATGATCGACATCCTTTGTGGGTTGAAAAACAGCCGCCTAGGATGACCTGGAGTCGCAATTGCCGATTGTTTGTATTCGAGAATGATCGAGGTGGCTATATGCCTGTCGTAGATCTAGCAAAGGTCATTTTCCACGACATAGGATTCCAAGGATGGGTGTCGATGGAACTATTTTCACGGTCCATGGCGTCTGCAGAACGAAATGTCCCTGTGAGCCATGCAGACAGAGCGTCAGTAGCTTGGAGGAAACTTAAAGAAAAGCTGAGCTTATAGCAGTAGACAGTCACCTACTTCAGTGGTTTCCTGCAGTTTGACTTGCTGGGAATTGGTGATACATAAGTCCAGTACAGAAGAGTTGGGGAGAGGCAAATTGAGGCCGCTAAGGTAGGACTAAATGCTAGCCTAGCACAGGGCTAAAGATAGGTTTTAACGGAGAGACTCTTAAAATCGAGCCAGAATTGAATTGTATCAAGACATAAAGTCAAGGCTAAGATCTAAGTCTGGGAAGAGGTGCAAAACTGCCTGACAACAAAATACTTTAATGTACGGCCAGGCGCCAATTAAATCCGAAACCTGAGGAAACTGGGTTTACGAGGGGAATTGAAAGAAGCGATCGCATAAAAGTGAGATGCATGGTAAGAATAAGACCAGACATAGCGCTCAGGGAGCATTCTCACAGTGTTTGGTGAGTGCTCAACACTGATCAATGATTGATTAAATATTGATCATATAATAGAACATTAAAAATAGTGATGGGCTTCGACTGGACAGTGGCTGCTAACGCACATATGTATAGTATACACGAAGTTATAGTTTGGTGCCCACGACCGAGCCACCGTCAACCGTGATCGTAGCCCCCGTCACATACGACCCAGCCCGGCTGCTCAGGAAGAGACACGCGCCAGCCACGTCTTCCGGTGTGCCAATCCGGTTGAGGGGGATGCCTGATTTGATAACCTCCTCCATATCGCGCAATGTCGCTGCCATCATCTTACTCCGGAACGGACCGCACGCGAGCGTGTTCGACCTGAACAACAAAATATTAGTCAAATCTTTATTATGGCTAAGCTGATACGGAAAAGGAAAACTAACGTGATGTTCCTCTTCCCCAGATGACTCGCCAGCACCCGACTAAGATGATGCAGCCCAGCTTTAGATGCAGAGTATGCAAAGGTTTCCAAAACAGGCACCCGCAGTCCATCCACCGATCCAATATTGATAATCCGGGATGGATCACCTTCGCTAGCACCCTTTTCGAGCAAGGGGGTCAGGAGTTTCGTGAGGTCAAAGACTCGGTGGAGGTTCAGTGTCAGGACGCGTGTCCATGCCGCAGATGGGTATTCGTCGTAGGGAGCACCCCAGTTCGATCCGGAGTTGTTCACGAGGACGTGGAGTTCTAGAGTGAGAGTAAGAGAGCTGCCTTTTGCATGGAACTTGAACTGAAGAGAAAATTACTCACTGCTCTCGCGCTTTCCAAGCTCCTCGGCGAGTCTTTTGATGTCTTCCTCCTTGTAGAAATCGGCGGGAATGGCATGCGCAGTACCCTTGCCCAAGGCGTTCAGATCGTTGACGGCCTGTTCGCATGCCTTGGCGTCGCGAGACGAGATGTAAACTGTAGCTCCATTGATTATGTATCCTTCGGAAATCATCCGACCAATGCCTTTTGCCCCGCCGGTCACCAGGACGACTTTGCCCTACAGAGTAGATGTCAGATTCATGACGCAGGTTAGATTTAGATGGAAGAACCAACTTTGACATTGAAGAGGTTTTGGATATCCATGATCAGAAAAATTATGTATTGAAAACGAAAAGAGCTTCGAGATGGTCTCAAAAGTAAAGCAAACACGGCAAGACGATCAGAAAGTCCATATATGACAACTCTTCTTTGTCTTGCGCTTCTTGCCAGCGCGAAGCAAACAAGCCAAATTGGCCTACCCAGATAGCCGTAAATATGCCGAGGCCCAGAGGGAAAGACGGCTATTCCTATTTGGGACTGTACTTAGGGCTCATTTCTTAGGGCTGCGCGGGCGGGACCGCTCCCCGCGATCAACAGTTTTCTGCAGCTGGCACTGTCACGCCAAGCTCCAAGATAACAGACGGCAGGACATGGTGGAAATAACTCAATAGTCGAAAATCTCTCGGCACGATGGAGGAACTACAGGCACGACATCGCAAAGAGCAACGCGAACTGCAGGCTCGAATCACGCAAAAGAAAAAGAACGCCACCAAGAAAACACGCAAAGGCGTCAATGATGAATGTGACAAGCTCCAGCAAGAATTGAACCAGAAGCAGAACCTTGAGATCTCACAATTAAATGGTGATGATGTTTCTGCGACAGCCGACAGCTTAGATCATCTCGACTTAAATGACGAGGCAAATCAGCAGAGCACTACAGAATCTGCACCTCCAGCATCTGACGCTGTTCCTAAACTAGATTTACCTACAGGAGAACCAGGGAACAGAGGGAAGAAGCCAAATCGTCAAAAAGCACGACTCGCAAGGCGAGAGGCAGAAAGAGTAGCGCAGGCGGAGATCGCCGCCGAAGAGGCTGCAAAGCAGACCGACCATCGCGGGAACGAAAAAGAGGTTATGGATGCAGCGTTTTCACGAATTGGCTTGAAGGAGATCGAAATCACTCCAGATGGTCATTGCCTTTATTCAGCGATTGCCTGCCAGTTGAATGATTTAGGGCTCGGCTTGAAGCCTGACCCTAGTCGCATCGTGTTACAGCCTGCTACGGTCTCGCGGATCGATACCGTAGCGTCTCCTAGACACGATGGCTATCGAGCAGTGAGGGCAGTCACGGCAGATTATATAAAAGAACACCAAGACGACTTTGTCCCATTCATGGAGGAACCGCTGGATGAATACGTCAAGAAGATCAGGCTCACTGCCGAATGGGGTGGGCAGCTAGAACTACAGGCAATTGCAAGAGCTTATGGGGTGGAGATTAATGTTCTGCAAGGTGACGGTAGGATCGAAAAGATTGAAGGTGCTGGAGATGATGCAGACTTGGAACAACAAAAAAGGCAAATATGGCTGGCATATTATAGGCATACATACGGGTTGGGAGAACATTACAATGCGCTAGTTCAAAAAGCAGCGTGATAGGGAAGTCGCATATATCATAACGACATTGCAGGGACATCCATGCTTTATTCTGTCGAATGGATATCTATCAATCAACATCTCAATTTTGTCGACGCCATAAAGAGATCCTTTCGGTTATCTCTCCAGTCTTTTCATCCTTGCCAGCTTTATGCGTTCGCTCTGGTTTCCAGTGTATGACTCGCTCGAGTCCCAAAGGACTGACTTCTCTCAATGGGTCGAATTTTACATCACCGTTTGCATGGTATGGAATTTCCTCTCCCGGATGGCTCAAATGTGACATATAAGCCCACGACGATACTCCAAATGGAGGCCCTCCCAATGATGGATCTCTGGTTGTCGGCCACTCAAGACAGATCAAATTCCCAGTCGGCGGTGGTGCAAGGAGCTGGCGGTGTCTCAAAGCCCATTTGGGCCGTAAATAAGGTTGGAGAGCACAAAAGAACTGCAACAATTAGATGCATTGGTGTAGCGAAAAGCATTCGGAGCAGAGGTACATACTGTGTAGTCATATATCAAGTCAAAAGAATTTTGCTCCAACTCCAGCTTCGTCAACCAGTCGTCCTTGAAGAAATCACCCTGGACAAAAACCACATTTCCTTGTCCAACGGCAGGGTCTTTGGTCCCGTATTCATCCCTATTCTTCGCTGCCTCTTTGTTGGCGGTCTCCACCGCAGCCTCACTATAGTCCAGTCCGTAGGCATCATATCCAAAACTGGCCAGCAGCAGTACATCATAGCCCGTACCGCAGCCTGGGACCAATGCTTTCTTCCTGGATTTCTGGCCATCGGAACCTTCGATTATAGGACTCCCAACGAACCCTTTCTTCTGAATCAGAAAATCCTCCAGCGCAGGACTGTGCCCACCTCGATCCCACCCTAGTCTTTCGCCTTCGGCTCTGTTGTCCCACAAGCTAGCCCATCCTTCTACATAGTTCTCCCCCTGGAACTTGGCCATATGGTCGCGTAAGGTATTGGATGGTGGTCCAGCCATGATGAGCGTTGAGGTCGGATTTATGTAGGTGACAAGAGGAAAGAAGGTGGGAGCTGCGTATCAAAGGACGATGTGGACCATCCCCACTTTCGTCTTTCTCTCCCCACACCGACCTTTCCATTCTTTCCTCCGTCTACAAACGAGCAAATTCATTGCGATCTATTGTTCATGGGATGTTTGTTGGTTGTTCTAAATGTAACTAAACTAGTTTTCAACAATAAGGGGGCCATTTCTCCGACAGACCTTCCATTGGCTGATACTATGTGGCATATCAGCCTCAGCCTCAGTCTCAGCCAAATGATTGAGAGCTATATTAGCCGGCATCAATTGATATCGTTATCGTTATCGTCATTGCCAGCTTTTTCGGAGCATCAATGGGCACGGTCTATAATCTATTTCGTTGCAGATCTAAAAGATATGCGACTCCAGAGTTGCTTCCAAACCTGGTATCTGCTAAATCCTACCTTCTCGACACGGCTAACCCAAGGCTGAGTCTCAATCCTGCACAGCTGGCCATAGCTCCAGAAGGCAGAGACATAAATCACCGGCGTGCTGCATCATGGAGCTCCCACTAGTGCGTCGATCGCCAGGACAAAGTAGGATGATCGTCCACAGATGCTCTCAAGATGAAACACTCCTCGACAGCGACATCCGTCTGGGCGATCCGCTTACGGCAGTCGTGTCACCACCTCTACTGATGATGTCCAACAATACTAGCATGAAGCCATTCGCGATGCTGTACAACCTTCCGAATACGGCAAGGCGTACCCAGGGTCCTGACCAATCCGCGCTTGTCGGCATCTCGGCACAGGGAACGACAGCCATGATTGGCCATCCAGCGCATAGTATTGCAAATTTGCCAATCGAAGAATTTCTCCGCCTTGAAATGTTTGGTCTGGCAAAAGAGGTACTTTGGGGTTGTTGGGCGGAGACCTGTAAGCTGTTCAAGCGGCAACTGAGAGGCTGAAGCCCAGATAACAGATCAATAAGCCAGATAAGTTGGAGGCTAGGTTGAAACACACTGCGCAACTTAGAGCCTATGGAGTAGTTATGGACATGATCGCCGTCACAGCAGATCCGTAGCTCCATACTAACCATACATCTAATGACCTCTACTGGTCAACAGCTCGGCGCCTAGCCCAATCAATTCTGGCTTCGAATATGATGTCTTGTCCCAGACTGATTTGTGCCTGTGTCTGCGTGTGGGGTGCTGCACTTTTCTCAAAGGCATTATTATTAGGGCCAGCTTCTTATCTTACTGCTTTTATTTTCTTTCCTTTTCTTTCCCTTCTCATGTATCCTTTTACAACCCCCTTACGGTACATTCCTCACGACTTTAGTTTACCAAATTCTACCGTTCAGCCTTTAAATACGGTTATTCTTCCTCTGGACCCTGGGGTTAATCGCAGATACTACGCACCACTGACCTGAACCTCTGTGTCCAAATTTCTCTAATGATCAAAAGAAATACCTTTTAACTACAGAAAGAACGTTTTTGGGGACATTATCTCACAATAAAAAAGTGCGAGTGCTCGTGGCGAAGTTCTCGGAAAATTATCCGATTACCGAGAATGGACTCGACCGTAGCCGAAAAGACAGCAGTGACGAGCGAACTAAGCAAACAAGACCATGATACCAACACCGTATCCCCCCGAATCTCTCAGGAATCAGTGCAACATGAAATCTCCGGCGACGAGGATCACTCAGACGCGTCGACTGTCGCCGAAGAGCCCGCCAACACTGACATTGAAAATGCACAGCATGTGATTCGACAAGTAACAACAGACATCGGGCCTCCAGTGCCCATCCCGAGATTGAAACGTCGAGGCCTCTTCGCTCAATTGGCCGTTCTCCCCGAAGTAGAAAACCCAAAGACGTATCCGCGACGAACGAAATGGTTCCTGACCATCGTCGTGGCCCTGGCTGCCGCCGCTGCTCCAATAGGAACGTCCATCTTCTTACCTTCTTTGCATCAAGTAACCACTGATTTGCATACTACTGCGACCATTGCCAATCTATCTATTGCTCTATATCTCCTCGCCATGTCCATTTTCCCTCTTTGGTGGTCGTCGTTCAGTGAGGCGTTTGGACGTCGTTCTATCTACATCGCGTCGTTTGCTTTATTTACTTTGTTTAACGTGCTATGCGCTATTTCGAATAATATTGCCATGCTCATCGTCATGCGTTTATTAGCTGGTGGAGCAGCAGTAAGCCATCCCTTCCCTGCGCAAGCCGTATACAACTCAATCACTAATGAAATAATCCTAGGCATCTGTTCAAGCCGTAGGCGCGGGCTCCATTGCAGACCTCTGGGAGGTCCGAGAGCGAGGTCGCGCAATGAGCTACTTTTACGTCGGTCCTCTATGCGGGCCATTATTTGCACCTATAATCGGCGGCCTACTCGCCAACCGCTGGGGATGGAGAAGCACGATGTGGTTCAGCATGATTTTTGGAGGAGTCATCTTCGTCCTGATCCTCTTCGCTCTCCCAGAGACATTAGAATCGAGACAAAATATTCTTAGAGAAGCCGAGCAAACAACTGCATCACTAGACAGGACAACAAGCAGAGTCTCCTCCACCGTGGTCCGCGGGACAGCCAAGTGGCTGAAGATATTGAAAATGATCTTCCTCGATCCATTGGCCATAATTTTGTATCTGCGATACTTCCCCATTGCCCTAACTATATACTACGCTGCTATCACCTTTGGTTCGTTGTATATACTCAACATCAGCGTTCAGCAAACCTTTGAAGCCGCGCCTTATAACTTTTCCACCCTCATTGTCGGCCTGCTGTACATCCCCAATTCTCTAGGATATATGATCACGGCTCTCTTCGGCGGCAAATGGAGTGACACCATCATGCACCGCGAAGCCGTCAAAGCCGGTAGATATGATGAAAAGGGACGACCGATCTATCTCCCCGAGGACCGAATGAAGGAGAACGCCTGGCTGGGCTGCCTGCTGTATCCCGTAGCTTTGATTGTTTACGGATGGACGGCCCAGAAAGGCGTGCACTGGATTGTACCGGTATGTAATCTCACCAGGAAAAATATATATATATAACAAACAAACATATCAATCTAATAATATATTATTACAGATGATAGCAAACTTCGGTTTCGGAATCGGCAGCATGCTCATATTCGCCGTCTCAACGACAATGCTCACTGAATTCCTTCCGAAAAAGTCCTCATCGGGTGTGGCGCTGAATAACTTCGTCCGCAATATATTCTCGTGCGTGGGCACAATCGTAACCTCGCCGATTATTCGTGGGATTGGGAATGGTTGGTTGTTTACAATTATAGGGTTGGTTGCCTTGGTGTCCGGGTTGGCGGTCTTGTCGACGATGAAGAAGTTTGGGCCGAGATGGAGAGAGAAGCCGATTGATCATTGAGTAATGCATATAACTTAGTCATGCAGCGTATGGATTTTATAAATATTTATAGCATTATTTTATCACATTCGTTTAATCGTTTTATGGTTTGTTTGGATCGGTCTTTGTAGGAGCCGTGCGGGCATGACTCAAGTACTCAGTCAATGACTACAGACGTATTTGATACAAGCAGGAAAGTCACTGTCAAACAGAGTCAATGGAACATTTGAAATCGATCAGTTCAGCTATACAAAATATCCCACAATCCGAATAGTATACATCATGTGCCATGTCATCAATTGATATGTTTCATACACTTCATCAAATTGCAATAGCAATCGCAATCGCAATCCAAACAAAGCGCCATCAATGCATACTTCAGTCTAACAAAAATGCAGGTACACGTGAAACTACATAGACAAACATAAAAGGTCCAACGAATAATAAAAATATGGGCAACTTAAAACACAGTTTCATCTGAACGAAACCACTACTCAGAAAACTGAAATCGATTTCATCAAACTCTTCAGTCGTGATGGGGGAGGCGGCGGTGGTTCTTCATCTTTGTGACGCCGGTGGCGACGAGGCACTTCGACTGTACGCTCGCGATCGCGCTCCCGCTCACGTACCTCACGCTCTCGTTCTCGTTCACTCCTACGACGATCATCGTGGCGTCGAGCTCGTGGATCTGGCTCCTCCTCTTTCCGGCGTTCATGTCGCCGTTTCTCCCGTCGCTCCGATTGTCCCTCTCCAGACCCACTAGATCGTCTCTCTTCCTGTGAATGACGGATACGCCCAGGATGATTGACAGAGGACTTTCGCCTCGACTCAGGCGGTGTTGAAGTAGAAGGAACAGCCTTTGTGGTATCGATCGCAAGCAATGGTCCGTTCGTGTTGGACTCGCCTGAAGTCAATGAATCAATCACTACTCTAGTCAAGGATTCGGAATCAGACTTGGGCAAACTCCCAGCCACCGAGCCATGCACCATTTGACGGAGTGATTCGGATTCTGACCTGGGAGATCCGTCTTGTCTCCGGCGTTGACCGTGGCTTCCGGAGTGGTCTGATGAATGTCGCTGAGACTTGCTGTTCTTGCTATTCTTGCTGTCTTTGCTGTCTCGCCGTTGCGCGCGTCTAGCTTTTTCTTTCTCGGCGGCATGTTTCGCCCTCGCGGCTTCTTCCTCGCGTCTCTGCTTCTCAGCCGCTCGTTCAGCTTTCATTTTGGCGTCTTTCCGTTGCTTTAATTCCTGCTGTCGGCGGGCTTCGGCAAGTGCCATAGCCCATCGGTTTTTCAGTATCCCACTATCACCTTTGGGGCGTTCCAGATGACCGCGAGGCATTTCCATAGACCCTTTAGATGGAATTCTATCGCGAGTCCAGCCCGATGTGCGGCGTCGTCTTCTTCGTGACGATCTTCCCTCGACGGCCACATCTCCATCGTCTTGCGCGTCATCCATAACTGCACAGTCGTGAGGATCAATTTGTTCCGGTTCGTATTCCGGGGCTGGTTCAGCTGCCTGTTCCTCAGCAGCATCTTCAACAGCCTTTGAGACAACCTCTTCAGCGGGTGGCTCAGTTGCTGGTTCTTGCTCAGTAGCTACCTCCGTGGTAGGAGCTTCTTCGACGGGGGAAGGAACATCTTCAGGCTCAGCTGCTTTTTCGGTGGGCGAATCCTCCACCTCCGCTTCTTCAGGAGCGGTGTCGTTAACATTCTCTGCTGGGGCTTCTTCTGCCACTGGTTCCTGTTCAGGCTCAACTTCGACCTGTTCTTCGGGTTGTATATCTGCGGCTGGAGACTCTTCAGGAGCAGGTTCCGGTTCTTTCTCTGGTGGTGCTTCCTCCACTACAGGTTCTGGTTCTGGCTCTTCTTCAACCTGTACATCTGCAGCTGTAACAACTGGGGTTTCTACAGGACCGGGGTCAGCATCATTTTCTGCTGGGTCTTCCTCTGCCGGCATCTCGGTATTTGGGGAGGCTTCAGGCTCGGCTGCTTTTTCTGCCTGCACATCTGTAGCTGTAGCTTCCTCAGCCGCAGGCTCTTCGACAGGTTCTTCCTTATCAATGGGTTCCTCAGCGGCAGCTTCTGTGCTAGGTGCTTCCGATGCTGGTTCTTCCTTTCCAGCACCATCCTCTGCTGCATCCTCATCCGCTGTGGCCTCTACAATCTCTTTCACGGCATCTTCGGGTTCCGCAGGAATTTCTGCATTGCCTGGCTCCTCGGCTGCCTCATCCGCTGGGGGTTCAACGCGGCCTGTCTCTTCGGCTGAGGCGTTGGTTTCTTCTGCTGGAGAATCGTCTGCAGCGACTGCTTCTCCATCGCCGGAAGATTGCGCTGGATCATCAGTATCAGGTATTGACTGTGAGGGTGCTTCTTCCTGAATTGCTTGTGTTTCTTCTAGCAAATCTGCGGGTTCATCTCTCGTCTTCAAATCAGTACCTTCATCCACTACTTCTTTCGCTGTTTCAGCGGTGCATGCTGGATCTACTCTATCGGAATCGTCTTTAGCATCCTCTTCAGCACTTTCGTTCGAGGCTTCCTCTTCCGCCGGGGCATTTTCTTCCGGCTCTGGCTGCTGAGCTTCAACTTTCTCGGGCTCCTCGACAGCAGGTTCTGCCGTTTCGAAATTCTCCTCATCGTTCCAGTTTTCATCTGCGTCAAATTGGGACTGTTGATCTGCAGCCGCTGCCCCTTCCGACTTGGCTTCCTCGGCATCCTCTTCCGCTTGTTTTGCTTCGGCTTCCTTTTCAGCCTCTACTTTGTCTTTCTCTGCAGAAGAAGGGTCGATATCGGGGAAGTTGTCATCATCTGAGAATATTAGTAGGAGTTTATGTAAACTGGATGATAAGCTTCTCGTACCATTGTCACCTTCTTTACCCACTTCGGCTTTCTCGGATGATGTATGCGATGCTACTTCTATATCGCCAACATCGTCATCCTGCCAATCGTCAAGAATATCATCAGCCACTTCTTCAGCAGGAGCTTCTACAGGTGGTTCAGCAGCTAGCTCTTGGTTACTGATTTCCTCCGTTGCTTCTGGAATTTCGTCCGTCGAGGGTTCTGCAGCTGGGGATTCATCTGTAGGTTCTTCCGCTGGAGATTCCGCAGAATTTTCGGCGGGGGTATCTGCCGGTGGATCTGAATGCGCTTGTTCTTCAACGGAGGCTTCTTCCAATTCCTCTTCGGGTGGTGCATCTTGCGATACTTCTACAGGAGGGTCTGCAGTCGGTTTCTCTTCTTCAACAGGTTCGGCCGGTGTGATTTCGTATGCTTGTTCTTCCTCTTTTGGTGCCTCCTCCGCAGGAACTTCGACAGGGGGGTCTTCTATCGGCTTCTCATCTGATACAGCTTCGGAGACTTCTTCCTTCGCTTCGGTATCCGGTTTTACTTCAACGTCGACCATGGGTTGTTCCTCTGCGGGTGCCTCTGCGGGTGCCTCTGCGGGTGCTTCTGCAGGCGTTTCTTCAGCAGGTGGCGTTTCTTCAGGCTCTGGCGCCGCAGACTCCCTCTTTTTACCCTTCTTATTATTTTTCTTCTTTCCTTTCTTGGACGCAGCATCTGCCTTCGCTTCCGATGCTTTAGCCGAAGAGCCAGCTTTCGGCGTGGGGTCAGCTTCCGATTCCTTATTTTGCGACGTCTTTTCCTCGTTTGGTATCACGAAAACCCCCTTGTTCTTCTTACCCTTCTTGTCTTTCTTGCCTTTTTTACCGACACCCTTCCAGCTGTCGTCTTTGGAGTTATCCTCAGTCTTTGCTGGGGTTTCTTCGGCAGTAGGTGGTGGTGCAGCATCTGAACTTTCGTCTTTTTCCGTTGAGGGCTCTTCTTTTGGAGATTCTTCTGGATTATCGGCGTGTTCTGTTGGTGTTTCTACTGCTGCCTCATCTTGAGGGGGGAATCTTCTGGTGCTGGCGCATCCCCAGCCGGTGCGTCTGCCGCTGCGGCTTCTTCATTCTGAGTTTCTTCTGTCGGATTTTCTTCCGCAGGAGTGTCTGTTGCTGGGGATTCTTCTGCTTTAGTATCATCTGCTACCGCTTCTGCCGCTGAAGCGTCTGTTGGAGGATCTTCTGTATGAGTTTCTGCTGCAGCCTCTTCTATCCCCGGTTCCTCTACTGAAGTAGCTTCAGTTGACGAATCTCCCGCTGGTGAATCCTCTGTCGATGTATCCGCAGCCGCAGGCGCCTCTTCTGGTGGCGCTTCTGCAGGAACGGCTTCTTCTGATGGGGATGCATCTTCGGCGAGTGGTTCGTCCTCGGCTGGAGAATCGGCAGCATCGTCAGCCGCGACATTCTCGTCTACAGCCTCATCTTGCTTTCCAGCATCCTCGCTAGAATTTCCAGAGTCGTTTGGCTCTGGGGTTGGTTCTGAGATACTCTCTTGGTTCTCGCCGTCGGCGGCTTTTGGTTCAAGATCAATAGCCGAGTCTGGGGCTTCTGTCTCAGCTGCTTTATCTGCAGAGTCCTGGTCTGTAATCACCTCGTTAGCAAGAGAACCAGCCGTATTTGGGACTATAGTATTTGACTTACTCTCAGGTTCGGGCGAAGGGGACTCTTCGGCAGGGGCAGCCGGGGTCTCCTCGGCGACCGACTCAGGGTTCGCCTTTTCCGGATCGGTGTCAGTAATTTCTTTATTATTGGGCTCTGCCGGTAAAGTAACGATGGGCTTAGGGACAATAGGATGATATGTAAAGCCCAGGGTTTGACGATCATACGTTTGATAACGATGCTCGTCAAACCTCTGATACTGGAATTGAGGGATTTGTGCGTACTTCATGGGCGCCATCTGTCGGATTGGCTTTGGGGTTTTCTTCAAATGAAAAGGGGCTGAAGTTATTCTTCTTTTTATTCTTCTTCTTGGCCATGCTCGTGAGGACCACGAATCACTGGCGATTGGTTGGGAGGAAGGGGGGTGATGGTGTGTGGCAAGGGGATAGGGTCAAATAGATTGAGGGATGTTGCAGGGATCACACGGAGTAATGATGTTTATTTGATAATTAACAAATAAGTACTGACTACAGTAATAAGAATGTGTAAGGTTGATATATCCGACGACGTGGTGTCGCCTTGTAGGAACAGCCGACGGGACCGACAGGCAAGTTGCTGTGATTGCCCATTTTTCTCTGGTCTACCCAAATTGCAAAACCCCCTTAAACAAAGGGTGCGACTGATCCGCGAAATACACGCTTGATTTGGGCCCGATTTTGCATATGCGTTACCATTGGGGCCACGTCTTTGGGTCCACGATCCTCATCAAGACATGACAATGCACGGAAGCACCCATAACGTGAGGGGGTACTTTTTTTTTCGCTCCGGCAAAGGCGCTTTGTCACCTGATGGGTCGCATCACGGCGTGGGGACCAACAGTCCATCGTTCTGGTAGAAGCATGGTTTCACTAGAATCACTACTCCTGCAGGCGTGGATGGTCGTGTTTAACGGGTTAATATCCACCCAAGTTGACATGGCAACGGACAGGACGACCACATTGGCAACTGGCTAGCTAACTCATATGGGATTCCATCTTAGACTGAAATAGATTCATCTCCCAAAATTGCCATGCGCATATGTAGCGAGAGTCATCTTGCTGTGTCATCTCATGACAGCGGCTTCAGCGGATGGTGTTGCGTGGAGTATTATTATTGTCACGTTTGTGCCCAACGGCTGGTCAATAGCGCGCATGCAGGAAGATAAACGACGAGATCCGACAAGCTGGTCAGATACCTTGGTACTACTAACTCACAGGAATCGTGCCAGGTGAGTGGCTTGTCAAAGTGAAGCGAAACCTCATGCAAGAAGACCCCACCGAATTTCGGTCCATGTGTTGGCTTGATGCCCAGTTTGGGACCGACACGGTTCCGTCTTCGACAGGATAACTGGACAGGCAGAGATGATCAGACAGACCCCATTCGGGCATGAGTATGGAATATAACAGAGAGTAAAAGAACAGGCCAGTTGTTATTCACGTTGCAATGACTTGGACGGTGCAAGAAGGGTTGACTACGGGAGAAAGATGAAGGAAGCTGCCTTTTCCTTCCCAGAACGGCTAAGCCCATCAGGCGCAACGGGCCGCGCCATGCAGGGCTAGTATGCTGCTCTGGCAGGCTCTGATTGGCCAATTCCTTGTAGATACTGTGCACACATGGACGCACCATGATTCTTGTCTCCCCTGAGCAATAGTGCAAGCAGACAGGACCAGGTGTATTCCGAATAACTAGAAATGATACCTCTCTCTCAATATACCGCATGCGTGGCCAATGGTTTACTGCATTGCAAGGTATTGCGTGTCTATGCCATTTCGTCTAAAGTTCCCCCAAGCATTTGTTGTGAGTTCAATATTTAGTTTTTTCCATATCTTGAACCAGTCTACTCGACATGAAGCATCCAATGACGAAATTCATGCAGGAGGTGCATGCTTCAGATAACAGCTTCTTCGAGCCCCTCCTGTGCCCTTATCAGATGGCATGGAACATTAGTGTGAAATATTATACTAATAACTTGATCTATTCCGTAGGCGGTGAAAAAGCTACATGTAAATATCAATTGGTATATTTACATGTAGGTATAGGATGAGTGCTGGTTAGACTGTTGCTGAAGTAGATGGCTGGCTATTCTTTCGAAAATCGGGGAGATTGGTCAAATCGCGATCTGCCGCGTATAAATTCCATTCAACATGCAATTGCATGCACAAAGCCCCAGTAGGAACCACCAGGAAAAGCAAGGGCGCGAGCAAACAAAGAAAACAAATGATCAAGAGCTACAGCGGAATGGCCATGCCATCACCCCTGAGGTCGCTTCCAGCGCTGTAGATCAATTTCCCCTCATCCCGATGCACTCTGATCAACTGCCCACGTCCAAACATACCCCGCTCATGCCCCTTCAATACTTGAACTTTATGTCCCAGCTGACGCAGGCCAGATACTGTCGCCTCGCTGATGCCATCCTCTACATAAACCACACGGTCCAATACCTTTCCTGCCTCAGGCATACCCGCCCCAATGCAGATGCGGGGTGAGTCAAGTGCCGCCTGGGGGTCGTAGCCAAAGGCCAACATATTCAAGAGAACCTGTACATGACCTTGCGGTTGCATGAAACCACCCATTACACCATACACGGAATGCAGCGACCCATCCAGGTTAGTAATCATCGCAGGGATTATCGTGTGATATGGACGCTTCCCCGGGGCCAATGCATTGGGATGGCCTTGTACGAGTGAGAAATTGGAACCTCGGTTCTGCAACGTGAAGCCACATCGAGCTGGAATTATACCAGTGCCAAACCCAGCATAGTTGCTGTTGATGAACGAAATGCCATTGCCATCCTTGTCCGTGACGGCAAAGTAGACAGTGTCACAATGGTTATGAGCAGGACTTCCATGGTCCAGGATATCCGATGCCTTGTTGGGGTTGAATAGCTTCGCACGTTCAGCCAAATAAGGGCGAGAAATTAATTCCTTAGTAGGCACTTTCTCGACATCAGGGTCTGTCACCCACCAGCTAGCGTCGGCAAACGCGATTCGTAGACTCTCAATGACGGCGTGAAGGTATTCGGCCGAATTATGCTGCTCAGGTGTGAAGTGAGGGATCTGGCCTGAGCGCTCGAGTTCTTCTAAAATACCCAATGCCATCAAAGCTACAATTCCCTGACCATTCGGGGGATGTTCCCATACTTCCACGCCATCTTGGGGGTTAGCATGGCCCTGTTTCTTACCCACACCTTGCCCACTGAACACCAGTGAGATCGCGTCTACTTCTTGACTTCCGATTTCGGCATGCCTTTTCAAGTCATCCAGAGTAAGATACCCTCCTAGATCTCCAACGACCTTGACCAGCTCTTGCGCAATGCGACCTTCGTAGAAGCCCTTCTTCCCTTCCGCGGCTAATGTCCTGAATGTTCGCCCTAGTGTGGGGTTTTTCATTATTTCTCCCGGCAAGGGCGCTCTCACTCCATCCTTTGCAGACGGATCATTTTTGAGCATCTCTCTGAAATTGGGAGATGCATTGCGCACCTGCCTTTCGCCGGCTTGCCACTAGTACACATCAATTATGATCACCCAGTTTATCATGGTCGAACAACCTACAAAATGCGATGCCAGCTCGGAAACAGGGAAACCTTCTTCTGCCAGTTCAATAGCAGGTGATAAGATCTGCTCTAGTGATAGCTTTCCACTACCGAACTTCTCAATAGTGTCCACCCATCCTGCCGCCGCGCCAGGCGTTGTCACTGCTAGGGCACTTGTCAAGGGTATGCTTCCAGCTTCATCGGGAGACAGCTTCAAGTCTCTGCGAACGTCTTCCAACGCGACTTTTGCTGCATAACGACCAGAGCCATTCATGGCACTAATCTTCTTCGTCTCACCGTTGTAAAAGAGACAAAACATATCCCCTCCAATACCCGTTGAGGTCGGCTCGGTGACATTTAAAACGGCAGCTATAGCCACTGAATCAGCTTACACCATAGAACCATTGAAGGGATAAGGTTGTGCGTACCAACTGCTACAGCAGCGTCCTAAGTATGCCATGATAGTCAGCTCATGCAAAAGGTTGGTGGTTATTAATGTCATACCGCTGCATTTCCTCCTTCTATTAAGATCCTTTGGCCAGCTGCAGCAGCCAAAGGCTGAGTGCAAGCTACAATGCCATTGGTACTGTGGACAGTACTCCTTCTGCTCGGAAAGTTAATGAAGCTCTGGTCCGGCCTCGGATATATGGCGTTGGCCTGGAGAGTCATTTCGAAAATCCCGCTAGTTGAGAATGGTCTTGCTATGGAATAAAATCGAGTAGAGTCTCAAATCATTAAGCATAGAGCCCCTTAGCACACACATCCCACAGTACACACTATCCCAAGCAAAACAGGCTGCCCCTCATTTCCGTCCGACGTCGGGCGGATGGCCGTCCCGATAAGTTAGTGGTCGGAAGATCACCGACCACGATGGTAGGACAAGTCGTCTGGGAGTAAGGATTGGCGTGGATAGGTAAATACAAGCAGAAATTGCATCTGCAACGTTATTAAAGCTGTAAACGTCTTCGTCGCCTTCACATTCTCTTGCCAGGTTTAATCATGTCGTGGCTGCCATATTAAAGGTAAATGGCGGTGCCGGCCTGAGGCATTAACGGCACCCCGCACCAGTATGCTTGGCCAGACCGGAATGCCCTCTTTCCGAATCACGATCAAGCATCGTCTGCTTTCCATGTCTCTCGATTATCAATATCATCTCCCTCAGCCGAGCGCTTTTTGGTTCATATGAGTCGTTTGATCTTCTCTCACTTATCGTCCCTGGGACAGCATGGTGGTCTTCGTCGACTACGAGGAGGATTCGTACGATGACGCACATCACCATCGCCCGAAGGATGTAGGAGCCGTGCTTCACTCCTACATCCAGCCAGGCAAGAATACCGTCAAGAATACCGTCAAGAATACAGTCAAGAATACCGTTGTTTCGGCCGTGGCCACCAAGTATACCGACACAATCAACCCGGCTCGTGATTCTGCAGAGCATGTCGTCGAGTCGCAGTCGGGAACCCCCAATCTAAACGCTTTTGGTCGTTGTTTGAGTTGCTATCCGTATGCTGTCGATATCTTCTAATATCCAGATCTAAGCTAACTTTCTCTAGTGTCGTTAGGGAACTCGCTCGGTACTTAGACTTGAACAGCCTCGACGCGCTCTCCAGAACATGCCTGCAATACAGAGCCAATCTAATGCCATTCCGTGACCAACTCATCAAGCGCACCTTACGTTGTGATAACGAGTACATACAAACGCTGAACGAGCTTTTGGCAAAGGGGACTGCGATTCCAGAAAGCCTTAAACATGTTATCCAGCTGATAAACCAAGACGGTCTGGAGGCCGGAAGACTTACGAGTGGCAGGGTGGGAAAATGTGCTCGCGACATGGTAGGCGAGTGTCGGAGATGTTCCAGGGTGACTTGCAGGGTAAGCACTAAATCATACTGCTGATATTACTATGCTAATTGTTCAGAACTGTACAATTAAGCCTCCCAGCGCTGTGATGCTGAGAAATCGACTCCGTCGTCTTTGCACTGTTTGTTGTACAGCACCATTGAAATATCACCTTTCTCCGGAACATCGTCTTTCGTCGGGCAATCATCCTTCGACGGAAACTTGGAACCCACAATCAAATCATGGTTTAGATAATGGAGATATTGACGATACCGCATTCACATATCCAGCATTTGTGCGCAGCCCATGTCAGTGCGAAAATGCGGTTTGGTTATGTCAGGCTTGCGGCCACTCACTACGCAACGACGATAGGACCTATCGACGAGTATGGACGTGGCGTACTCGCTATAGCACGTATCTTGGTGTTGGTCTAGGTACTGGGATTGGAGAGGGTTGCCAGGGCGTGAAATGCGGGAAAGGCAAAGACTGTCTGGCTGCGCAGGTGATTGAAGTGGAAGTCGACTGCGAGGCAAATGACTCGACAGTGTCCATTCCAAATCATCACAATCACAGCCATGGGCAAACCACCAGTAACGAGGGAGACTCCTCTTCCAGCCATCAACACGACGATTCGCCGGGGTACCTCCGACAAGAAATCGTCGGCATCGGTGGTGTGGTCAAGCAGAAGTTTAAGAAAAGGGTGACAATCGGCGCATGCGTGGAGGAGCATGAAGACGAGCGCGAAAGCGGCAAATACCTGCACCGCGAAGAAGACGGTCAAGACAGGAGCTGGTGTGGGTGGTGTTGGAGGGTTGTTCCCAGTCGGAAAGACTGCCAAGTATGATTCGTATTCCAACCCGAATAAATATCTTTACCTAGACACATTGTATCGATATCGATATCGGTCATAGGATATATATCAATCAACCCTGCCCTTCGCCTAACACCAATAAAAGAACCACTGAAAATCAATGAGAGTAATATACAGTATATACGGCGCATGCTTCCATAAATCATGGCACCTTATCACAACCCTAACCGCCTTCTTTTCAAACATATACCCAACATCGTACTCAACCTGCTCTGCGCCATCACCTTCATCATTGTGAAACGGGTCATTCATATCCTACAATTGACAAGTTAACACTGACCGAATGATCTCCCGTCCAAACAACTAAGCCCATGGCCAGGAATATATCAATGGTAGACAGATTGATGACGATATTACGCCCATGTTCCTTGATTTAACGTTCTGTTCTGGCGAAAGCGTCGTTTTGTAGTGCGGAGTAATGTACATATATAACAAAACACAAATTCGAGTTGACGAGGTTGTGCGCTGAGAATAAGAGTTTCTTTCTTCGAGGCATTTTATACATATCATTTAATGAACTTTCCGTTTGTCAAATGATTGGATTATGGAGTTGGTGAAGCTAATAATATCATGTCTAGTAGCAGATCATAGAATTAATATGATAATTAAGAAATATAATTCGATATTCTCAACTCTGCTGATTTCACTTATGACTATGTGGACAGCTAGGTAACACAGCTCTACATCTATGAGTAATCTCTGATATAAAATAATTATAATTATATATGCTTTGGTGATTTTTATGATTCTAATATTCCTGTCATCAGGAATTTTGAAGGCTTGACAAATCTTATGCTGGCATCTAGCACTTGAGATAATATATTTTTATATTCAATGTTACGTACATCAATTAGTACGATCAGCTGGCATTTCAATGTGAATATATTCCAAATAATTGATGTCAATATTGACAACCATTACATCCACTCAACAATCAAGAGCACGACTTCCTCCACCTAAAAATTGAGCATCAAATGATGATCACGACAATCCGAACCCGACGATCCCGCATCAACCAAGAAAGTCTAAATCCACTATAAATAAACCCAGACATGAATCGCAGCAATTCGTATTACATTATTATTTTCTGTTCCATTATTATTAAATATGTTATAGACCACGCAAGCTCACGAGAGCCATCGCGCCCACGTGCATTGCAACCATCGCTGCCATTGCTGACAGCTGCGACGGCACACTATTCATCTACTCCACTCGCATTAACTGGAGCAACATACTGACTCGCTTAGTAAACAATAAATCCAAATTTATTGATCATGATCATGAGGTGATTATGATTGAGTCAAACCTACGGAGCAATAGTGCTATACCTATACTTAGCACACCCCGTTTCGTATATTTCTCCAAACTCATTTAATAGTAGCCGATGCAGGGCTACGTTTCAGCCTCGTAGTAGTGGCTGAGGTGATCTGAAACTTGTGGCACGCAGTCCCGGATGCATGTAGCGGGTGAGTGTTGGACTTGGTATTAATATTAATAACTGAGTGAATATGAAGTAATCTTAGTCAATACTAATATCCATGCCCGGCGTACTGTACGTAAATGGTTGCCGAGTATGGATAGTGATACGAACTGTACGACTTTGGTGATTAATATTACGTGAGGCGAATGCCTGCACATACAGCTACAGGGATGCATTCTTCTATGACGAAAGCAATCAAGAAAGGATTGCCGAATCTCGATTCTCGAGGCTTGAGAGGCGACAGCCGAGAATTCATTTCCAGCCGATTTGACTGATAGATAGCACAGTAGATTACTAGATACGTGGTAGATACGTCTATGTCGACATCGCGGCGGGCCCTGACGAAAGTGGGCTCGATATTGATAACAGTATTATTGAGCCGAGGAAGAAGAAGAATGGAAAGAAAGAACATTTCTCGAAGACTACTGCTTCCTGATCTGCCACACACACCAACCCCCCCGACACGGGACGGTGGCAGGTACAGTACGAGAGAGGCCCTGGCGATCAATCGCTCGATACAGGCTTATCGCGCTAGTCAGTATGTACCTCGTAGTCGTACGAGGCGAGGACGATCGCGTGAATAGTTCGGCGGCTAGTCAATTATGCAGGAGTCTGAGTCCATATACCATTCTGGACTAATGGAGTGAGTGTGGTGTAGTGTAAGACCAGGGCGGGGTGGTGGTGTGATTGATGGTGGGGGAATGTAAGCGTGGCGTCGACTCGGTGCTGGGCTAAGGGATCAGCCAACCGTCGTTGTTGGCTGATCACTTTGGCGTGAAGGTTGCTCACCTTGCATTGAACAGTCTGATTTCTAAAAGCAGGGAGAGAAGGCCATGGCGGAAGGATTCAGGGCTTCTTGGTATACATTGTGTAACATGTATGGGTGGGTGTATGGATGGATGAGGGATGGATGGATCAATTCGGAATGTGGTCCTGGTCACATGGCACAGAAGCCTTCTGGAATGTTTCCAAAAATGGCGATTGCGAGCTTGTCGGCTGCATGATGGCAGAGCGTAGCCAATCAGGGGTAGTTCGAGGCGCCCGTGGAAGTCGCAAATATGGGAAGTCGTCATATATTACCATACAGTACCGGTTTATATTACAGAGCCCAGGCTTGGATACGCGATTAAACTTATCGTTATCTGCTTCCTGCGCTACAAGTCTTCGTTAGACTTTACAATTTAGTAGACTTTAGTAGACCTAAATGAAGATGATCGACCACTACTTACCAACAGTTACATCGCAACATGTCTGTCGCGACTCGTCAGATAGAAATATGTTCAATTAACGCCAGAATATCATGTTGAACGGCTTCTGCTGTCTAGACGCTGACACCGAAGGAAGGAAGTAAGCAGATCAACCTGGAAGATCATCTCGATCTGAAACCGCGATATCTGTTCTGCATACACCCTCCCGGCAGCGGCCAATAACGAGCGTCGCGGCGCTGGTAGAGCCATACTGGGATAACGGGCGGTGGAATGTGGATAGATGGTTCGCATGAATACATCCAACAGTCCCCAAACTTTGATTCCCGCCTATTTCTCCATTGTCTGATCACCAGACAGTGTAAGTGTGGCACACTAGACTACATGTACGATCCACTCGAGACTTGTAAGTTATATAGTGTATACTTGTATTATTGTTATTGTATCAAAGTTGCATGTACGAGCCTGTGGCGAGCGGCATTGGCGGCTGGCCACGTGTAGGGCGTTCAGCATCCAAAACGTGGTCTCTTTAACTTCTATTCTAAATATGAGTACGAGTACACAAAATTGGGCATCTCAAGTCCTTGTTCAATCGAGCGCTCAATGACCCAGGATGATCAAGCAGCGCAGCACGTGGAGCCATTGGCGGATTTAGACCGGCGGTCACCACCGAGTTTCAGCGTCTATAATAATCTATCAAGTAATAATAAATAGCCTTCATTAGTTGTACTATACTACCACTTGACAGTGTACGTGGTGTGCAGACCATTCTTGTCACCATCAATTGATGTTCGCCGTCATTGTCGAGCATGTATTCTGACATCATTGTGAATATATATGTAAAATCATGAAATGTACAGATTCCTTAGTCGTTTCTTAGCTAGGCGCTCTCTTCTACATGTTTCCTCATCCTATCAACTGATATCACCTGCGAGACGATCAAAGCAGATGCATGCAGCGCCGACAACGTCATTGTTTGCGTCCTCAGTCCGAAACAGCGACTGAATTATCCTATCTGTATGCTGTGATAGTGCTTGAGTGTTGGTTTCTGATGCTTCGTGTTAGCTGTGATGTAATGGATCAACGCCAAACTAGCGCTGGCTGGACCACGGCGAATTCTGACTGGCTGGTGGCGGAACAGTCGGCGATAAATCACAGGAACCTTGCAAGCCACGTTCCCCTCTCTTCTGCCTTGTCTTTTTTGCTTTCTGGTTATTATTATGACTATGGTCGTGCTATTGACCGTGATGAAGGTGGTGATTATGTTTGATGATGATGATGATTGGTACCAGTCGAGATCGGCAGTCTGATCGCACCAAACCTAATTCCATCTGATAGAATTCATCAAAAGGCGGTAATGTGACGGTACAGTCACATCGCATTGGAGGCGCAAAGCCGGTGGCGCCCAATCATCTACCCGCAAATTATGGAGTGACTCGTGGAAGTGACTGGATGAGTTGAATTAATCGATAAGGACCGTGTTGGCGAGACGAAATGGCGATGGTAAAGGCTATTAAGTCCGCTTCGGTCCCCGTATCAGACGTTCGTTAAACTTTCGGCACAGCACGTAATGCGTTAACCGAGCAATTGACTCTGGGGATCGACGGCAGAGTTGCCAGGAACTAGCACGCGAGTCAACCAGACCTTCATGTCCAGCATTATTGCCGGGATGGTGGCATGGTGGCATGGTGGCATGGTGTCGTTTTGAATTCTAGATTGCAGTTCGATGCAGTCTCCGTACGGGGGTAGTGAGGCGGAGATGGCTCGATTTCATACTCTCCCCCGATGCATAGTGCATACCTTCATATCGTATCGCGACACATCAATCCGCCACTGACCGCATCAACTGACTAAGAAACTGCTAAGTTATGTGCTAACTGACGCCAACAGCGGCACCACTGTCCCAATTAGGACAACCGGGCTCCCGTCGGGGCCATTTGCTTTCCGTTCTGAGAAAGCAATGAACCGCCCGTTGCCAACTCGAGTCGGCCATCAGAAGTTTATTGCACGCGAGTCAGTTGGACAAGCTTTACTGTGTCTTGATTCCCGGCAGTGTGCAACGTCCGTCGTCCGACGTCCGACGTCCAATGCCATTGAATTGTGATTATTTCACAGTATTCCCGTGGTTATGACGGAGTCATGGCGTCCAGTGTGAAGATAAGTGTAGGAGTGACCAACTAGCAAGGATACGTAGTTGAAACAGCAACCGCGATGACGAGGCGTCCAGGGTAGAGGACGAGATGTCGGGGACCTTGACGGGGACATTGGAAATCGAACACCGAGTCCGACATCTTCACTTATTATTCTATATCACCTCTACGAATTATTAACATGGTTTTCTGATATTATTACCAACCACGTGCATCATGATAAGCGACTGCACTCCTTCTCTGGAGTATGTGCAATGGTTCCAGCATCTAGATGTATAGATCTGCAGGTAGCACACACCCGGCCGTTTCACGGGTTCCATGACAGCGCTCAGTCTCACAGTCGCATCTGCTCCTGCACCACACTTTAGTGTTCCTTTCCCCTTGCGAAGGATTGCCCCCCCGGTCCAGCACTCCTTGTGGCGCAATCACGTGATATGCACGATGTTGCAGTAGAAGCGAAGCCACCAATAGACAGCTACTCTATTCCCGCTGGCCCATATTTCTACCATGTTTAGTGACTTGTTAGTCTACTCTCTTGGTACGAGTGTGGTCTTCTTTCTGGGACAATCGAAAATCTGCAATCCTTCCATGCTAGGCCCGAAGCGGCCAGCACGCAGGATGCGCATCCCTGCAAGTGGCTGTTCTTGACATCACTCAAATTACAAAGTTGCACTCCTTATCGCTAGTAGTTATCTGGTAACTATCGTACCAAATACACCACTGTTGACTGTGGTGTACACCTGGCCTGTGCTACGCTACGGAAAACAAGAGAATTGCCGCCGGAGAGTTAATCGTCTGAGAGTGCTGCACAGACAGGGTTAGACGTCAGCCATTGATAATGTACCTAATCCAACTGATGAATTACTATTCGTAGGCAGGATATGGTCTGAGCAAGGCAGACCGCGACGAACCTGTGATTGCATTCCCGCCTTGGCTGCATGGGCAGCGGGCCTAAGGCTCGCTAGGCTGACTGGCACTCTGCTCGCGTACCAGACTCTCTCCGCTATATTATATTATATAATCGTAAATACGTAGTGCTATTAATATTACCATTCAATAGAAGCCTGAGCGCATTACTAGTATAGCATATGCATAGTATATACATAGCATTTCGTGGAAGTGAGATATATCGTCTCTGGAACGGCTGGTTACTATCTTTGGGCCAGCCAAAGGTCTGAGAGCACGCCATGTGGAGCACCTGGCCAGCCACTCTGCCCGTAGTCTAATTTCAGCCAATCAGGCGAGTCCCCGCCGGAGCCTGGCTAGTCTAGCCTGTAACAGCGTGAAGAAGCTAAAATAAGCCGTGTTGGCGCCTTGCCGCGTTGGGCGATGCAGGGTCTCTTCTCTACTGCTTCCTTCTTCTGCACATGATAATACGTAGACTACTATTAACAGAATAATAGCAGGGGATATTACTCGAGGAGTAATATACACAGACCTCGATACGAGATCTTCGTATATGAATAATATGTTGTATGGTCGGCATGAACGCATGATTGGCCTGTATAAATATCTCCTGCATAGTAAACCGAAGCTAAACCACTGCACTGCCAATCACCGCTGGCGCAGTCAGCTGAATGCGCGGCTGCAGCTGTTGCCCGGCCATGCAAGAATCATTCCTCCATTCACCACCAATAATAGTGAAAGCGATATTGTCATCAAATGCCGGACGATCGACAATGGCATTGCCAGACAATTAATTACATTAATACAATTACATTCTGTTGGCACACCAACTACGGAGTACACTAGACTAAACAGGAAAACCATCTATTTCGGGATATTTATCAACGCCTACCACTGCAGCAGCCAGCCTATCAGCAGCGCAGCCGAACCAACAACACCAGACGGTTTCTCCAGATCGGCCGGTTAGAAAGTTACACTTATACTTAGTGTTACCAGTCCTCTCTCACACTTTTACTAGATAGAATAAGACTGGTGATCCCGCGTCCACAGTGGATTCGTGGATGCGACGGGAGTCAGCAATCGCGCACTAGCCAGCTAGCATCAGCCTGGATACGGCTGACGTGGTATGCAATACCCAGTACTCAATCAATACTGCGATGTGGATGCGCTACACAGATAGTCGTACCGTCCAGGCACGATGCTCCGCTCCAGCCGCTCTGTGTGGCACTGCCATTGGCTGTGCATAATGTCTGCGGCTGAGCGTCTTTTTTTAGGCCGCCTGCTGCCGCTGCTAAACGAGCGCCGTACCGTACTAGCGCGCGCCGCACCGTACGGCGGACGGAGAATGCAGGCCAGCCGCCTGCCCCGCCCGAGCCTTCCTCAGAGAAAGCAACTGCCCACCAGTCACCACTCCTCCACCCACTAAGGCTAGCAGTGGCACTACCACTACCCACCGTAATGGTTTCCTCTGTATTCTTCGTATCGTCCTGCATGCATGCGTCGCTAGCACAGGATCATCAAGAACCGCTAGCACCCTCATCCTGCACGCCTCTTGGGACCGGTCCTGCGTGCCCACGTTTCAAACCCCCGTTCCAGATGAGGCCGGCTATTCGCTGCTGGTGATCGACAATCACCAGTGACTAAATGTCAGGTCAGTCAGTGTAGGCAAGTGTGGATGTCGGCACTCACGCTGCTGCAAGAGCTATACATAATGCTCTTCCCCCCTCCGTCAGCATCGTCCTGTCTTGGTCCATTTAAGCATCCCACCTCTCCTCCAGATCTCACTTACTTGACCTCAACTCGACCTCACTCAGACATCAACACTGTAACATCACACCATACCACACTACTGCGGCTATATCCAGCAACCCCATGGACAGGGAGCCCACTGCACGCAACCAACATCCAGCTATCAACGGAGCAAGCATCAGCCGTCCTCACTCTTCTGCGTCCTCAACTACCTCGACCCCGTACATTGCCTCGCCAGCCGAGCTCGGTGCCCGTCAAGCCGCTCCCACATCAGCTCCCACAGCTACCACAATGCGTCGCGCAAACACAATGGCTGAAATCCCACTCCCAATTACCTATACTCCCACTACTCACCGCATTAGCAAGGCTAAGAAGGGCAAGCGCGTTCATGCGTGCGAGTTCCCTGGCTGCAACAAGGTCTTCACTCGTGCCGAGCACCGTCGCCGCCATGAGCTGAACCACAACCCTGAAGCTTCCTTTCCTTGCACCTACGAAGGCTGCCGCAAGGCTTTCCATCGATCCGACCTGTTGGCTCGTCACATGGAGCGACAGTAGGTTTTCTTTTTTGTCTGCGCGCATCTTGCCATGTTTGCCTTACTGACCGCAATCTAGTGAGCTCGACGTCCAATCAGATAGCGGCAGTGGCAGCCGTCCATGGAGGCACCAGAGCAAGACCAACGTGACGCCTTCAATCACTTCGGTGCCTACCAGCATGGTCACCTCGATGCCTCTGGACGTGACTTCGGCCTCGTACCCCACCAGCCAGGTGTCAACACCCATGTCGGCCGCCAGCCCCATCATCGGAGGCGCCATCCACCCGGACCTTAGCAGTGATCTGTCCCTACCCTGGAGCGGCATGGAAATTCCCTTCCAGCCGCGCCCAACCCTCTTTGGAAGCCACATCCGCGACTCTCCAGATGACATGCCTTTCTACTCATCCCCTGAAACCTGCGGATCGCCCGCGTCAGATGCTGCTGGCTATGTGATGCCACCACACCCTTCCTCAGCTCCTACTTCGGTCATGGAGCCTTACGCCTACCATGATCTCGCCAACTCTCCTCTCCAGCTGCCCACCACCCGCGAATGGGATGGCGTGGATGTGGTTCCTGCCCCGAACATGATGCCGGTTGCTCTGGACGGTAACCCGATGCTCCAATCAGTAGGTGAACCTTCCTCTCTAGGTGAAAGCCGCCGAGTACCTCGACTAACATTGCCTAGACCATGCCACCTTACACGTCCCCAACGTGGGTGGGGATGAATGGTATTCCTTACGAAGAGAGCTTACTTCAGCGCCAGGCGTCGTATCCGGAAACGACCGCATGGAGATCATGGACACTGTAAAGTGGCAGGACTGTTTCGAGTGTTACTGGCAACATTTCCACCCTTTATTCCCCATTGTCCATCGCCCTACTTTTCTTGCGACAAGGCCCAGTCCGTTGATGGCTGGAGCTATGGTTGCGATTGGCTCGCAATATGATACGCGACCGAATTCGAAGGAGTATTCACTGGCTCTGTTAGAGGCCTGTTTGAAGCTCCTCGCGAAGCGGTCTCCTGTTACGAGCCGTTCTCGGGTTGCTGATATCCAAACAGTCTTTTTACTTGAATTTCTCTCCAAGTTCAGATCGCGCAAAGCCGATGTGCAGATTTCGCATCGCTTCCGCAGTTTGTACGGCAGTTTTATGCAAGACGGACACTGGACACGGGTGAATCCTCTTGCTGTTCTGAACACTTTATCTACGAATTTCTCTCAAGAAGCTTTGAAAGGCGCGCGAAACTTTTGGATTGAACATGAGACACGGCGCCGTGTTTTACAAGCCGCTTTTATTCTTGATATTCAACAATCTGCGCTCTTCGGCCAGCCTCCTGTTTTGCTGCAGCCAAGTCCTGCATCGTCCTATGCATGGCAGCAAGGCTCCCGAATGATCGATATTCCTTTCCCCTGCGGCTCCGAACTCTGGGAGAGCAGTCACCCCAGCGAATGGCTGGCATTGGCGCAAACCTATATCCCGGCATCTCTTGCTTCGGTAGCTGCCAGCTTTGATCAGCATGCGGGACTCCAAGCCGATCAGGTTGACTTCTTTCAGTCATCCTTACTCGTGGCCTACGGGCTCAGTGGCCGCGCGCAAGTTCGCAATCCAGGGGGCTCGCTTGATGGATTTGTCTCGGAATTGGAGCAGGCGGCTGGAAACAACCCGCTCATGTCACCCTATGCACGGACGCTATTCATTGCGCACACGATGCTCGCAACTCGGTTTACACCAGTGCACACGTTACTGACAGTCAGTGGAGAATCCTGGCTCTTCAACCAGAAGCTCGCGCAAGAAGGCGATTTCCGAAATGCCAAGATTACATTGCGAAAGTGGGTCTCGAACTCGGACAACGTGAAGAAAGCGGTCTGGCATGCGGTGCGTGCGCTGCGTTACATAGTGGATGATCCCGATGTGTTTTTGTCAACGTCGGGTACGCCGGCTCACTGGAATAATAACCCAAACCTCCTACCGGCTGCTCCTCGCACTAGTCCGTCGAATATGCTACAGACAAACTGGAGCGTTTACATGTGCGCACTGATTTGCTGGGCCTATGGATTCGACGCGACCGCCTCGCGGCCACCAGTCCATGACAATTATGCGGAGATGACCCGCGCGTACATCTACAATATGATCTCTCTAGCGCCAACATGGGAGCATGTCTCGCCGAGCAATATCCCGCCAGAAGTGCGATGCAACACTACGCCGTTGTTGACGTTTATCCGGTTGACGCGTTTTCAAGAATCACGCGTGGGCGGATTACTCAATGAAGGCGATCAAGTGCTTGCACGACTTTCCGAGCCGCGTGATGTTCATGGTGCAATTAGGGGAATGTGGAGTTTCTGACCTCTTCTAAATTCTCACTGTATTTATTTTTCTTTTTCATGCGCTATGCTTGACGATGTATACCTATGATGGGTCTGGAGTTGGCTATAAAGGTTCTGTTTTTGTTTTACATTGTTCTGTCTCTGGCTGTACTATACCCCTACCATCACTTGGTGATGTGTATACGATTAGACTTATATTTTGTATATAGCTGAAGTCACCGATTTTTTACTTCAATCCTGACCTTCTTGGCTACGTGTAAATTGATCCATCAAAGTCTCCCCTTCGCACTAGGCAGTGTAGTATGTACCACGCCCTGACCCGGCAATCAGCACGCCGGCTAGACTGGATATAGCCAAATTACACTCAAATTATGCTCGCTATTTGGAATCCTTCGCCCCACTCGCCCTGATCCTTCTAGATGTCGATCGGTACACTACTACGACACCCACTACTACACTACTTAGTATTTACTCCTGCTTGGTGCGTAGTAACAGATGGAGTTGTGTGAGAGGGGAGGCTGGGGTAGCGTGCCTGCGCTGGTAGTAGTACATGCACCTCTGACTGGGATACTGTTCCATACTGCATACATGTAATGCATGGCGGGCACGTGGGCGAATAAAACACTACGACTACGTGTATTTCTTCTTCTTTGAATGGTATATTACGTTCGTGTGTGCGCTATTGACTGATCGAGCAAGACACTAATCGACCCTCTCCTCAGAACTAGAAACAGTTGACTTTGATCCCCGCTCGAGATGGGGCATTGCACTGGTTCGGTTTATGCGAACCGCTGTTAACACTAAGAATATATTAATTAATATTAATTTTAGGCAGTGTTGACACAATACCTGCAGCTTGTCTAACTTGGTCAGATTGAAATTTGAAATTGGTGGTAGATATTGATATTCAGGACGAAGGCGTGGAAGTTAGACAAGATAAGAGAGTGAGACGATAAGGAGTAGAAACTGACTGGCCCAAGATGAGGGGTATCTTATCTAGCTCTCCAAAGTGAACAAGACAGGTTCGTGATGGTAAGGTGACTGATATGGCAGTTATAAGCGTTGATCAATCAGTGACTAATTCTTGATTTTGGGTTTATGAATGTTTAATTTGCGTCGATCAGTGCTTAGTTGGACTAGACTTATCTGTGCGAATTGTGCCTGCAGATGAGGAATTCATTTCGTTCGTTATTCTGATAAATAAAGTAATTGAGACGCGTCTGTATGTTAGTAATTAATATCATCGTAAGCTGAAGACTAGGCTGTACTGGTATCAATGTAGTAAGGTCTAGAATAATAGGAGTTCAACATGTACCGCGGTACGCAGATGCAACGATATAGGAGCCGCGCGATCATATATCCAAAAATTAATACAGCTCACCTATGCTTAATCTACGCGATTCATCTCGCCTAGCCGGAAGATTCACTTGCACTCGGGTTTCCTATTCCATGCTTCCGTGTAGTATGTAGTTGTACTTGTATGAGGCAGATACGGACGAATTGGATATCATCACTCCCAAGAAGAATATGCCGCGCCGCCCAATATTTGATCATATGCTGTACGTAACTGATTCTGAGGGTTTTATTATTACCAGACAGTTCATGACTAAGTAGTTAGGCTTGGTTTGAATAGTTGTATGAGGATGAAGGATCACACATGTAACTCTGGCGATCCACCTCAACATAGAAGCTAGAACCTGCATGATTCATGCGGGACTAAATGCGAAGGATGGATAGATTGTGCTGGAAGCACGTGCATTGTATTAACTTCAATAGTATCGTTACTACTTTCGTGCTCTTGGTAAACCACTTGTTTCATGTATTTTTTTCTAGTGGGTAAGCGAGAGGACGTAGGGCTCATGGTGTGATACCAGCATGCAAATCCTTCGGTCATCCCACTTCAATTTTAAATACATGTACAGTGGGATGTACGATCTGTATCGAATCGACGCATCACGGAAAACGCCGGTTTCACTTTAATGATTAGACGAAGACTATCGGCGCACATGTGGGCTTGAGAGGAAATGTATTGCATATGGTATCGTCAAATATGACCGCAATTGATGTTGAAATTGCCGGATTGTCTCGTAACGTCAATGAATTGATTAATTGAAGTATATTTAAGAATGAATTGGTATGATCGCTTTTAGTATTCTTTTGTCAAATGCAAACTTGGTATAATTCATATCATCCGTTGTATTCTTCATCCACCGTGATTTTTAATTACAACGCATTGACAAGTCTACGCTCCTTCTTCAAAGCCTGCAACTTCACACGAGCCTCGTCGAGAGGGACCAATTCACCCTTGCTCTGACTAGACGGGTCGTCACGGTTGCGAATATTGACCGTCCGACTTTCCTTTTCTTGCGCACCGACGACTATGCAAATCAGTAAAGTGACTAGATAACAAACAGGTTAAACTCACCGAAAATGAAGTTATATTGAGCAAGTTGGCCAGTGCGGATCTTCTTCTGCAGGGTGTTGCCACTGACGTCCACGTCGACGTTCAACTTATCGCCCTGCAGAATCTCCTGGAGCTCCTTTGCGTAGTCATTCAATGCCGGCATGACAGGCACAATCAGGATCTGTCGAGGACTGATCCAGAACGGCCATTTACCGCAAAAATGCTCAGTGAGAATACCAAGGAAACGCTCAAAACTGCCGATAATGGCACGGTGAATAACGACGGGGCGGGCGCGGCCGACACCTGCGTCTTTGGATTTGTTTTCGCCATCCTTTTTATCGTCACTAACAGCGACGGCTTTTTCGTTGGTAATGTATTCTAATTTGAAATTGAGGGGCGCTTGGTAGTCGAGTTGGATGGTGGCGCATTGGAATTCTCGCTTCAATGCGTCTGCGATGGTGATGTCGATCTTAGGTCCGTAGAATGCGCCATCGCCTTCGTTTAACTCCCAGTCGTCGCCCTTGAACTTGTTCAATGCTTGACGTAACTGTTCTTCGGCATAGTTCCAGTCCTCGATCGCACCCATGTATTTCTCTGGTCGAGTAGATAGTTTCAGCTTGAAAGTGAAACCGAACAGTCCATAGATGGCTTTCAAGAAATCAAAGAGAGCTTCAATTTCAGATGAAATCTAATCGGTTAGCCACCTTTTAAAGAATGGTAAGAAATAGAGAACATACCTGCTCAGGAGTACAGAAAATATGAGTATCATCCTGCTGGAATTTTCGCACACGCGTGAGACCGTGAAGAGCACCAGATGCCTCATTTCTATGAAGCACACCGAAATCGGCAATTCTAAGAGGCAATTCTCTATAACTTCTATCGCGATGCCCAAAAAGCATAAAATGGCCTGGGCAGTTCATAGGCTTGAGTGCCCATTGCCTTTTCTCGACGTCTAATTTAAACATATCATCCGAGTAATGAGCCCAGTGACCCGAGGTCTTCCAAATGCCCACGTCGTACATATTAGGGGTCTGCACCTCTTGGTATCCACGTTTGCGATATTCTGACCGTAAAAGCTTTTGCAAGGCATTGAAAATTTTGGTTCCGTTCGGAAGGAGGAATGGACATCCAGGAGAAGCTTCATCGAAGAAGAAAAGCTCTTGTTCTTTACCAATTCGCAAGTGGTTGCGCTTCTCGGCTTCTTCGAGAAACTTCAAGTGCTCCTTCATGGCAGCCTTGTCAGGGAAAGCGACACCTCTAATACGCTGCAGCGAATCATTCGACTGATCACCAAGGAAATACGCTGAAGAGTTCTGCATAATCTTGAACGTCTTAACCTTGCCTGTGTTTTGGATATGAGGTCCTCGGCATAGATCGACTAGGGTACCGCAGCGATAGACTGTGCTTTTCTCTCCTTCCACCAAGTGATTTATATAGTGAAGTTTGTATTTGCTGTAGGCAAACATCTTCTTGAGATTATCCTTCGTGACCTCCAATCGATCGAAGCTTTGTCGTTCCTTGAAAACCTGCGCCGCCTTCTTGTCGAGGATTGCCCAATCGGACTCTTTAACAACGCGTCTAGGAAAACCAACGTTAGTATGAAATGGTGTACGGTTGACAGGATTTCTGATACTTACCCATCCGGTATAGCCATGTCGTAAAAGAAACCCTGCGCAGTAGGCGGTCCATGAGAAAGAAGGCAATTGTACTCATGCTCACAAGCTTCACCCAGGCAATGAGCACTAGAATGCCAGAAAACCTCTCTCCCCTCCGGATGATCGAAAGGCAGATACGAAATCTTGCAATCCCTTTCCAATGGGCGGTTCAGATCCCAAAGTTCCTTTCCATCTATCTTCGCAACCACAACGTTGGCGCTGAGTTCTTTGGGGACGTCTTTCAGAAACGATCCAGGAGTAGTTTCCCAGGCCTTCGCAATAACTGTAGACGGCTTGCCATCTCCGATATCGATTGTGATGTTGATTTCCGGCTTGGGCTTATTCGCTTGCTCCTTGAGGTGTTCCTGCCATAGCTCTTCGAAGAGGTTGTTCCGTTCGATAATAAAATCGGGCAGTGAGTTTCCCTGGTTCGCCATTTTCGCATCTACAGCAGGACGAGTGGGCAGTTCCTTGGGCGCCTCCGAAGCCATTACGCCGACGAAAGCTGCTGTCGTGGTTAACAGAGAAAATTGGCAAAGCGGGGTCACCTTTTGAGTCACTCTCCGTATTTACTATTTTGGTGGGATGTCCGACCAAGGCGGTGTGTCACGTGCCAACCCGGCCTTTACCCCTTTGGGCGCCCACATCGAAAAACTTCGGGCTAGCTTTTCAATTCTCAACCGCAACGACTCGACAGAAAGAACAACACCAGAATCGCCAAAGATGTCTTTCCGCGGCGGTGGACGAGGCCGTGGTGGCTTTACCGGCGCAAACCGAGGAGGTCAGAAGCTTTTCAATATTTTCTCATGTCAGGTTGGTTGCTGATGGTGAACAGGTCGCGGAGGTTTTCAGCAGTCGTTCGGCCCTCCAGCACAGGTTCTAGGTATGCCACATTCTTTAATCTAATTTAATAAGCGGGCTAATAAAATCTATAGAGATGGGCACTTTCATGCATGCTTGTGAGGGTGAGATGGTTTGCGAATCAATCAATCCCAAGGTTCCCTATTTCAACGCTCCCATCTACCTCGAGAACAAGGTTTGCCTTATCCAGCCAATTTAACATAAAAGGGTTCCGCTAACTTCTTCTTTATTAGACACCGGTTGGCAAGGTCGACGAAGTTCTTGGCCCTATTAACCAAGTCTACTTTACAATCAAACCACAAGAAGGAATCGTTGCGACTTCATTCAAAGCTGGAGATAAGTTCTTTATCGGTGGTGACAAGTTACTTCCATTAGAAAAGTACGTTAATAGTTGCGACTATAAATTAATCACTGCTAATCGCACCACTTAGGTTCTTGCCCAAGCCAAAAGCACCTCCTGGTATTATCCGATCGATAACTATGCTATGTTGTTTAAATTACTAACACATTCAAGGTTCTAAAGTCAAGAAGCCTGCTGGTGCTCGGGGAGGAGCCCGCGGCGGCCGGGGTAGTTTTGGAGGACGAGGTGGTGCTCGTGGCGGTCGCGGGGGACCTGGTGGCTTCCGAGGCGGATGGGGAGGAGGTGGTGGTGCACCCCGGGGTCGTGGTGGATTCTCAAGAGGAGGACCTCGTGGAGGATCTCGTGGAGGCTTCCGTGGACGTGGTTAGGTGGAATATATCTTCCTGCATGTCTCTTGATATTTTTTTCCGGCGTTTTGGGAATGGACACGGACACTTTTCTTTTGCTGCGGCTCTTATGCGTATCTATAAAAGTCTACCGCCTAGTGAAATAGAGGTTGTAAATTACTTCACCATAGTCTATCATCTATCTAATTTTTTGTAAACTCTCGTAAGTATTCCAATAAGCATCAGTTAACAAAGCACAGCCACACAAAGTTTTCCGCAACTTTTTTTTAGCGTTGTGGCTGGGGCGAGTCAAACGCATCAAACAATGACGTTTAACTGCCGCAAGCCAAACTTGCAAGCCACTGACAACCTACACAGTAGCCGCCGCAGCGCTGAAGAAACATTCTCCACCGATTTTTTTTTGTTTCGTCCTAATCAATTGTTTCTGTTATTGAGCTCGTCAATTTTAGAGGTTTCTAGTATAGCTTACTCCAACAAGAATATGTCTCGCCGAACGTCAAACCTGGCTCCGGTCTCGGAGCAGAGCGCAGGTAGCGGTGTGCCTACAGACAGTATGGATGAGTGACCTCAATATCTCAGGAAATGCAAGCTGACCAGTTCTAGCAAGCCAAGAAAAGCAGAAGAAACTACTCCAGGCTGAGACGGGGCACTTCAGCATGGTCAGGTACGCAATTTCCTCGCCCGTCCGGATTGTGGGAGGAAGCGTGCTGAATAAATTATAGAACTCTTCACCTTGCTGATTTGATTACGGAGCTAAATGGTATGTGCAACCAGTTATCTCGAGATTTACTCTCCTACTTTACTTTTCTCCATATTTGAATCGTTTATGGCTTGTCTAACAACTATTTGTAGGCTTCTGTGGATGTAAGTTCCGGAAAACAAAGCATGTGATCGCCCACTTTACTGAGCGATGCAAGTTATGTCGGTCCTCTCGTCAATGCGATACCTGACCAACGCGGAGGATACTGGATCCCTATGGGCAGCACTCATCTTTATGCCATTCGGACTATTCTTTGATTTCATGGACGGACGCGTTGCGAGATGGCGAAAGAAATCGTCTTTAATGGGACAGGAGCTAGATTCGTTGGCAGACCTGGTAGGAATTCCGAATCTAATTGAATAAATAAAAACCTACTAATCAATGAAATGTATTAACAGATCTCATTCGGAGTTGCGCCCGCCTCGGTAGCATTTGCTATCGGAATGCGGTCTGCAGTCGACCACCTCTTCCTCAGCTTCTTCGTCCTCTGCGGACTGACGAGACTGGCGCGATTTAACGTCACCGTCGCCGTGCTTCCTAAGGACAAGACAGGCAAATCAGCATATTTCGAAGGCACACCGATACCTACCTCGCTCTCGATTGCAGGTTTGATGGCATACTGGGTTTCGCAAGGCTGGATTCATGAGAACCTGCCATTGGGTTTGGTTGCACAGGACACGATTTTTGAATTCCATGCTCCGGCATTGCTGTTTGTTCTTTGGGGCTGTCTTATGGTTAGCAAGACTCTGCATATACCCAAGCCTTGATCAGGGTTGGTGGAGGATATGTTTGTTGGCATAGCATAGCATAGCGTGCCGCTTATCCAGAGCTCAGGTGAAGGCTCAATCGAAACCTCGATTTGATTGGGGGTTATGAAAAGTTGTATTGTTTTAATATAAGATACCATGGTAGACATGAACACGCATATTCTACACGGTCATTCAATAATATTTGATAGTAGGTGGTGGCTAATTTCAGAAATGTCACTCAGTGACGGCCCTTAGCGTCGAGGCCGTTTCCAATATAATTCTTCAATCCAAACTGTTTTGATATTTTTCAATTCTTGAATCGTCTATTATTTTCATTTATAGTTTGGAGTAGAAATTGCCTCAAGTGCTATGCACAAACCCAACCATATTTTGATTTCGGAAATCATACCCGATCAGTATAATACGACGTGATGTCATCATGACAAGTAAGAATAGATGAAAGGCTTCGCATCAGCATAATAAATGGCACATACCGCCCGCTAATATCCTTTTAATCAATTCTAAGTCTTTCATGCCTGTCACTGTTAGTAGAAAAAAACACACTTGAAGAAAGGCATAATCATGGCCACAACCACCCTTCCCAAGCTCATGATAAGAGAAGACTTTCTCGACTACACCAACCTTCCACCAAAACTACTAGCTCTCAACAACTGGCTTTTCGACGGAAGTCTCAGTGATGGCGGAAAGCCCAACTATCAACCGCACAGGGACCAATATGTAGGCCACACTCCTTCACTCAACCTATACTGCATTCCTTACGATCCCCACAGCTTCGTCGTGGCGAATACTTCAAAGTCAGTGAATTAAACCAAGGAACTGGGGCACCTAGCCGCACAGCAATCAAAGAACTCTCCCGCTCCGCTGTATCACTGGCCGATAATCAAATTTTCGTTGACGGAAAGTACGCTATACAACTGACCCAAACAAACACGCCAACTCATAGAAATATGTAGCACTCGCATGGCTGTTTTCGTGATACTAGAGTATCTAGCTAGCGTAGGAGTCCTTTACTCCCGTGACCCAGTACGCATCTATTGGATTCTTGCACGACGTGAGTCCGACGAGGAGAGATATGACCCAGCAGATGCCGTGGAGGCCGTAGCAAAGGAAGTTGGCGATAGCACATATCGTCCCAATGGAGGAGTGTCAGATGTGAAGCGGGAAGAATATGCACAGAAAGTGAAGAGGGCGCAGAATGTCTGGAAGAGGATAGAGGAGATTAACCAGAATATGAAGGCTGCGTTAACGACAGAACAGAGGAAGAATATCTTACAGGAGGCGAAGCGCAAGAATGCGTATATTTACGAGCTGTATCGAGATATTTACAAACAGGCTCTGTTCTGATTAGAACCGAGGCGCAAGATTGTTGTAGAAGCTCTAATCGGCTAGTTTCGAGCTTTGTGGGTAGATGGTTGCCTGTTCTTTGGAAATTTTGGTAGGTTGTAGAAGGCCGGGCATCACCTATATTTACTTATACTTGGGGGTATTAACCATATTAAAGAAACTTCTCGTGGATCAAAAACAAAAAAACGGTTATCTTGTCCGTGCCAAACATTTGCTGCGCGGAATCTCAGCTCCTCTCCTCCCGTAGGATTCAAGCAGATGTCATTCCCGAGGCCAGGGAGTCAGAAATAGATTCTCAGCAAAACGAGTTATGAAGATTTGAATATGACGCCTCATCTACCGGTGGTATCTATTATTGCCCATTGTCCATTGACCTGCCAATGCTGTTGCTATAAATGCATAGTTTCCGAGACAGTTGACGTCGTTTCCCGGTCATTATTATCACATATGGGTGCTGTTCTGTTGCGTTCCAAGTAAATTGGCCATACGGGAAACAATTTCCACTTATGAATGACTTAAACCTAAACTTTAGGGGGCTACTAATTGAATGTCGTCGGATACCTCCTATGGATTCTAAGCCATCTCTGCCTACTACCGCTACCATTGGAGGAGTGCAGCATGGCGAATCGCTTGTTTCTCTCCACCACCCCCATAACAAAAGCTCTCGAGCCCATTTCACTCCCGGCCCATATTGCTGAGCAGTATTAGCTGGGAAATTCTGAATTGACCCGTATTGCGGTTCGTATCGCCTTAGCAAATCCTGCCGAATCATAATGACCGTTGTAGGTACATCTACTGATGTCGAGGCTTCACTGAACAGGAGCTTGATCCATCTGTCCACCATTTGCTTGAGTCTCAGCTGCTGCCATAAGAATCTGCTGCTGCTGCTGTTTATGATAGTTTGCACTCGCTCTGGCCTTCACTTTAGCCCGCTCCTAGATCTTCTTTGTTGCCAAACGGTTCTGTTCCCTAGATGTTGATCGTGACGCTTGTGTAGCAAATATTTTCGTTCGGATCAAGGTTCGCAAGATTTCCCTCTCCAACTGTTGTACGCACTCCATTAGCAGGTGGCCGATTAGGCTGAGCATAAAGTGGCACAATGCTGCACGATATTAGTGTCGCACATTTGTTATATAGGTAGGATCCAACATCCCAAGGAATGGTTGACTTGTTGGTCAATGGAGCTTTGATAGTAACTTGGTAGAGGCCGTGAATGCGCCGGACACATTAGACAGTCAGTTGTAGTTATATTATCGGCGTACGCTGCGACCTCATTGTTGTAACCTGGCAAGCACCAGAGGTTGATGTTGAGGAATGGTTTATGGACGACATTGGGGATACCAACAAGATCGACTGTGTATAGCAGATCACCTCTTGACCCAGATGTTTTAATTCACGTTATCAAGTTTAAGATTATCGGAATTGCATCCATGAAGCTTGGTCAATGTCTGATATTACCTTTTGTGCCTCTTAATTGGGACCAGAATGACATGGATTTCTTCGCAGTTGTGCTTGAGGAAGAGCAGCTCAGTTGCCCTAGGAAGCTGAGAATCCAGGATCTTTAAGCTGAACATCTAGCTTATTATGGATCCAAATAAAGGAACTGTAGTCGATGGTGTCCTTGGGAATATTCATATTTGCACGTATTATGCGTGGCTATTTTGCAACCAACCAAGATTGATATATTGATATAGAAAGAGATACAATATAATAATCAAGAATTTCATCATGCTCAATTTAACATTTGGATCAATTGATGTCGCTTGACTGAGTCACATATTATACTCCCTCGTTGCCAGAACCATCTAACTTCCTCGGTGTACATTTATGTTTTGGTGATAATGTATTAATTGATATTTATATCCACTTCAGAACTTACAGATTGCGTGTTAAGACTTTCCGAGTGCATATTATTGAATATATCAATGATGCTAATCTACCATGGATAGCCATCGGGAAGCACCGAAGTAGCATAGTTTAAAGTTTGCACCTACGTTGACGAGCTGACTGTTCTAGACCCTACTCGCGAACTCAGATTTCTTTTCTTTTTTTACCTAATAGTTCTCGCCAAGTAACTGGTCTGGATTCCAATCAACGGATGCCAAAAAGCAAGCCCAACCCTTCGAGTTGAAAACTTGAAATCGGAGTCCGGTGCTCCGAGCAGCTGACTTTCAGGAACCGTGAATGACATGGCAAGGCATCGATATGAAGAATTTTCAGGCCACGTCAAGTTATGACATGACACGACTGTTGGGCTGTCAGCAACTAATAATAATAATAGTATTACTATGACAGTACCAGGCGGATCCGAAGCCAACTCACACTTGTGTTCTAGACCGTCAGCCCCGTTGGCAACGTTAACCAGGGTAGAGCAGCTAGACGCATCCTGTCGATCCTGAGGAATGGGTTAATATTAATAATAGAAGTAAGACAGTCAGGACGAAGTATTTTTATTATTGTTGTTAGGGGTGTCATCGCTGTCTTGAAAGCACAGGGATAAAGTAATGTCTATAGTAGTCGATAATAATGTTGATGACAGGAACAGGTATAGCAAAGCAAGTAATCGAATAGTAGTGTAGTGCTGCAGGACAGCCAATTTAATTATAATCCAGCTACATATGCACCGAAAACAAACGACATTTCGTCCATTGGATGGATCAGACAAACCCTACATTAATATGATGTTTGTGGTGGATGATCACGACGAGCTATTATTTTTGGAGGCTGTGCAAGGAACCTAAACAGTCAACATTTCTTTCTAGGTTCTAGTACGGATAGTGTTATCGTACTATGGCGCTCTGTGTCTTAGTGGTGATAAAGGGGTCGGTATTATATACAGCCTTACGCGCTTATCCCTTGATCACTGATCCTTGAGCGAGGATATTATCGGACGTGCGAGTTTCGTATATTAGGCAAGGATTTGAAATAGACGAGTGGCATCGGCACACGCGAAGAATACATGCATAGAATATTGAATCCAGATGCTGCACAGATCGGATTCTTTCGTTAACAACCAGCGTTATCTAATCTCAGCGCAAATAGTAAATCAAGGATCAAATGATTTGCCACCAGCGGGCCTGCTGGTACTGGATCATGACCAGATGGAAAAATTATCGGGTCTTGTGAAGGAGGCCCAAGCATACGCATACTAATCACAGCCCAGAATTGATGCCTGATTCTGCAGGAACCGACACAGCCACCCCACAAAGCAAGCAGGGACCAATGGGATGGATGACTTAGGCCCCCTTCATGTTCAATAGTGTTAGTCCCTCGGTTGTCTGCTTTCTGTTGCACATGCTCCCATCATTTAATACCCATACTTTGTACTATTTATGCTTGATTGTCGGCACGAGAACTAATCCCTTAGCCCTGATGAGGATAAATGAATGTGCAGAACAAAGTAGGGATAGTCCCGGAGCATATCGAGAAGTAAAAGGACTCCATGTGACGAGTGACGAGTCACGAGTCACTCCCAGTCATATGAATGCAAGGACGAGGGAATAAAGAATGCCCACCGTGTCCCGAAGACAACAGTGTGTTTCATTGCTATCTCGAGGACAGAGATAGCCATAACTTAAAAGCAACGATAATATTGTCGATGATTATTCGGTTTGTGATTTGACTGGACAGGACCAAGTGTGATTGTGACGCAAAGTATGGAATAGCATTAGTACTTTTGACCAGTATCGTCCGTGGCGATAGCATACATTACAGGCCGTCCTGACTGGGCCTAGCGTGCGCTAGGCCCAGGTACGGGCCAATGGCGGGCAGGCTGGCACCTGGATTCCGGCTAGCGGGGACTGGTATGGGGCGGGTGGCCAATTGAAGGGGCAGATATAGACACTAGCGGCCCGCCAGGCGGCCCTAACGTACCGTGTGCTGCAGCCATGTTTCTGGCTGCCCAAAGGGGCTTAGCCAGCCGTCATTCTCCATTCCTTTCGCGCATTGCTCGCTCTGTCCCCCAGTGCAATTTGCTCTTGCTCCCGCGACCACCGCTACAGACCACCATCGATCCTTTTCCACTCTCGTTCACTTTCCCTTCATCTCTCTCTCTCGCCTGTCGTCGAAATACAACTTTCGTTAATATCGCTCGTGCCTTTCTCTGCCGGGTTTCGACCACGATACACGCCCAACCGCACGCCCATCCTCGTCAACCGTTCCGTAGACAGTCAGGGGCAAAAATTGCACGGCGCCGTTTGGCGTCTTGAGGGTCGTTACACCCCATCTCGACTTATCACGATTGCATCTCGTCTGCGTCTCGTCTTCGTGCGTCGCCCAAGCCTTGTTCGGCTATTCCATCATCATAACCAACAACACACAGTGGAGGCGTGATCAAGTCGAGGGCTACGCCGGCCGTCCCTCGAGATTATTTGGCACTCGCTACATTCTTTTTATAATCGTTTCGACTTCTTTCACATAAATAAATATGGGTTTAACACTACCAATGGCCGTCATCACGGTCGTCTCGATACTCGGGACTCAAGTGAACGCCGACCCTGGTCCCATAACTAAGGTTGATTGCTACTCCCAAGTCCCCAACTTCAAAAACAATGGAACCTTCCAATGGCAAAGTAATGGACATTGCCAGGGGGTATGCGTTGATATGGGATCCCCCGTTATGGCGTTGACGGGAGGTAATACCTGCTTGTGTGGTGACGAGCTTCCGCCAAATGCAACAAAGACTAGTGGGTGTGACCTCACATGCAACGGCTACCCTCCAGATGGATGTAAGCATGTCAAAGCTTGTCAAGATTTCGTTTCAACCACTAACAAGAATATTAGGCGGCGGAAAAAGCGCCTACGAAGTCTTCCTGACCGGCATGACCTCTTCCGTTCCCATCATGGATCAAAGTTCTGCCACCACCGCCGCTTCTACCTCCTCCACCACAACCGGCGTTTCCGTCATCACTCAAGCCGGACAAACAATTGTTGTCACCGCCTCTAGTGCTGCCAACTCCTCGAGTGCTCCTCAGTCGAGTGGTGTGAATACTGCTGGAATTGCTGCCGGGGTGGTTGTTGGCGTTGTTGCTCTGTCTGCTATTATTGGGGCCGCCTTCTTTTTCATGCGCCGCAGGAGGGCTAAGCAACTTGAGGAGGAGTATCGTAGGAATGCCGAAATCAACGCTTTCGCCCAGAAGAAGCCAAACACTCCCAGCTCAGATTCGAGATGGGATGGTGATTACATGGCTCAGCGCCGCCAAAGCAATGGTAGTATCGACGACGACCAAGATTTCTCCAGGAGAATCCTCCAGGTACGATATCTCTGTTTTGCCACAATTTTGGAATGGTTAAACTGACTGAAGTTGATTAGGTTACTAACCCGGATGCTGGACGTTACTAACCTTCAAATATCCATTATTATTCCACACCACACAAACACTACTCATTTCTCATATTGCCGTACATTCCGGTATCGAAACATTTATACTTACTGGGCATGCAATGCTATCTGTCCTTCTATCCGAATAACTGGACCAAAATTTCATCATCCGTTCTCAACCAACTTCATATTACGTTGAAAGAAATACCGTGCAGGATCTGTACATAGTGGGCCACTGGCAGAACCAGTACACCACAGCTGCGGAGAACGTACATGCTTCTGGGGAGGAATGAAATTAATAAACACCCATATTTGTGAGAGAGCGCTTTGGAAAGGGGAGGCTCATATGAATATTCATTTGATGATCGTTTCTTTTGGGAGACCGGAGTTGATATCTTCTGACGAAAAGTCAACTCGATCTTTATTTGCTTGCTTTCGAATTTATTATAATTCGAATTGACTTTGTAACAATGGAGTTGGTCAAGAGCGAGTGCTACAATACTGTTTTTACCTTTGACTTTTGACACTGTACCTGGCTCGATCATATTCTCTTAAGAACTTGTATGATAATAGTGATCGTGCACGAATAGATTGTTGACATACTATACCATCTATACTATTTCATTTAATTAATATCCAAGACCTATGCACTGTGGTAGGAACGTGTCTTGTAGTCTCGATCACGATCAGTGCCGAACCCAGCCTAACCCGAATCAGCCTTGATCACGATCTGCCATTCGCCGAGCCACTTGCTGATTGGCCCGATCGCTATCAGCTTGTCCATACAGCATCAGATTTCCAGATCGACCCGGTTCATCCTGATCGCTAGGAATACTCCTTTCTATACCCTCGCGTATGCCCACTATCAGTTCTGGAGACCATAAAAATGTGCAAATCAGACACAATGTTCGACGTTAGTGGAGGTTGTAGAAGAATGACTCTGGCGAATAATGTCGAGACATTATCAGCGTTGAAAGCATTCGATCACGATCGTCGAGGAAGGATTAGGGACTTGGTGTATTTATGAATGCCTTGTCGACCTGCTTCAATATTTTCGGGTTTTTGGTTATTCTGTTCATGGGATTATTCTTGCTATTAGCGGGCTTTTGTTTCACTTGCTGATTTTCTCAAGATCAGCATCAACGTTCATCAGCATCGACAAATCTACTCTATCAGTAGGATAGTCTTTGCTGCTTGAACTAAGCCAATGATATGGGCTTATTTTAATACTTTAGAATCTGGGGTTTCATGTTTGTATTCACGTCGACGCAGCCATCCAAAGCAACCAGCTCAGTCACACATCTCGCGCTCTTCCTCTCTATAGAATCTGTGTATCTGGTTTGAGAATCCCAGATGCTTACCTCTGTCGAGAGCCAGAATAACGCTGAGTCCGACCACTGGTTCGACGAAGTCAACCGCAAGGTCACGTCGCAGCTAGACGGACTAGGAGGTAGTTAGAACCCATTTCCTCAATCATTTCTCCGCTAACCAGGAACCAGACGATCCGCCCTTTTTCCTGGACAACGTCCAGGGACGCATATCCTCCAGCCGTGCCAGCCCCAGCCCTGAGGACCCGATTCTCTCCTACATGCGTTCTAACGACTGTGATAGGGAGAATGAGGAGCTGCGGGGCATCATCGACGACTTGACGCTGGACATGCGCCGCATGAAACGCAAACTCCGCAGATACAAAGAAGCCAACCCGCCGCATCTGTGCGACGACAAGCTCTTCGAGATCCGTGTTCACCGTCTCTCGAACCGCCAGAAACGGCAGCTAGAGGGCATTCTAGAGCGGTTTGCTGCGGAGGTATCTGCGTCGTCGCGGTTCTCGAAGAATAGTAGGACTTCGCGTCGTGATGGTGCGGTGCATGGCCAATGGCTACTACCGCCGCCACCACCACTACCACCAGCAATTTCGCCGGAGGAAGCGTGTATGGCTTTATTGGCGGTGGTGTTGGAGCAGTTGTGTTCTCCAGAAAATTCGAAGAAACTGCCAATGTCGACTCTTTTAAAGGATGGTCGAGAAGGGTGGTTTGGGATTAGTGAGGTGCTGGAGTTTGTTAAACAGGCTGCTTCGTCTGTGAATTCGAAACCGAGCCTCGAGGCTCTGAGGAGACATAGCAGACGGCTTGATATTTCTGCAGATGGCCGTTGTGTCAAATGGAAAGGCGCCGCAGAGGGGTCTACTGAATCGAACAGACAAGACGTGAATCGAATTGATAGCCAGGACGCCTCGATATCGTCATCGTCGAGCAGCGTGTCAGACCAGGAGATTCCTCTGGGCCTTGATAATTTGGACGTTGTGTCGCGAATAAAACGGAACCCGTATTACACGCCGTCTGTATTTCTGAACCACGCAAACGACGCTGACGATGAAATGATATCTGTGTCCAATAGTGACTCGGAGAGCGCAGCCCCTGCAGCCATTGGCAATGCACATGCGTCTCAACCAGTGCTGCCAAAAACCCGCCATGGTAGGACGGCGTATTACAAAGATGCGCCATTTTATATTGATTATTCCCGTGACGGTATAGACCAAGCAGATCAATGCAAAGCTTCGTCCAAACAGAGCAAGAAACGCCAACGCCGGCAAAAACCTAAACACAGCACAGCTGATCGTTTTAATGCTTACGGTACGGGGCACAACGACAAAGAGCACAAAGAACTCAGCTCTCCAGTCATCTCACTAAACGATGAAGAATTATCCCCTACCAAGGAGGGAGATCACACCCCACAGCCCATCGAGCTAGAAGCCTCAGGGATTGGCGATGTTGTTCCTGACGACAACTTCGCAGTTCATGTCAAGGTCAAACATACCTCTCTGATAACCACCGGCACAACGCAACCGAGGCCTTCAGGGCATGCATCACTGAATCACCTTTCACGAAAACTCACTTCTCGTCCTAAAGACAAACCTACCAACAGGACTTTTAGTTCACATATTATCACAAGCACACACCAAGATCTTGCCCCTTCTTCCCTACCGCCTCCTACTTACGGTTTCTTTTCGTCGACCGGCTCGGAGGAGGAGGAAGAAAGTACGAATTCGGGGTTGAGCTGTAGTGGATACGGCGTGGATGAGCGCAAGCATGTGTCGTCTATACAGAGGTGGAGGACGGCGGTTGTCTCTTCACTTGAGAATAATAGTGAGAGTGTCAATGTTGACAAGGGAAGTGAAGAGACGGCGTAAGACCCATTTTTTTTAAAGCATTTTTCGGTTTATTTTGTATCTCGAACTGCATTGTCGTTACAAAGAGTAGAATTTACGTGAACTATGGCAGAGTGATCTATAACAATACCCGTTATTAGCCGGTGATAGCCGACTGCGTATATTGTGCTATCGAACTATATATGACTTACAGTATGTACGAAGTCCTGAAATATTCGACCAACTAACAATCTCTATAGCAGAATACCTATATTCAATTATCCAAGCACAAATACGTAGTCAAACCAGCTCGAAGAGCCTTTAACACTGACAGGGCCCCTATCCGAGGGTATCGCAGTCAATTCCGGGGCGCCGGATTTACAGCGACGTTTTTGCGGGGAGCGGGCCGTACACCATACCAGAGCTCGGTTGAACAGGACGGCATTTACGGAATTACTGCGCTCTGCCCTTCTTTCCCTCCTTCTCTTCTTCTTTCCTCCTGATAGACTCAATCCTGTTCATTCTTTCTCCTGCTCAAAGTCAATCGAGTGGACTTACATCCTTTGCTTGGGTATCTTACACACAGTGCTACCAGCAGAATGCCTTCGCAGGTCACGTCCTGCCTCCGCCTGGCACGGCAATTCAGCTCCAACCCCTCCAAGGTACACCGTCTTCATAGATAATAATAAATAGATACTACTGTGGAAATCCTATCTAACCATTCTTCAGCACCAGAAATTCCTCGCCCGCGCATTCTCGAGCTCCGTGCGCCGAAATGAGATCAACAAGATCTTCCCCTCCGCCGTTGAAGCCATCAAGGACATGAAACCCAACTCGACCGTTCTCGCCGGCGGTTTCGGGCTTTGCGGCGTGCCAGATACTCTTATCAACGCTGTCCGCGCCAATCCCACCATCACTGGCTTGACTGCTGTCAGCAACAATGCCGGTGTGGACGGGTCCGGGCTGGGTCTGCTGCTAGCGAGCAAGCAGATCAAGAAGATGATCGCGAGCTATGTCGGCGAAAACAAGACCTTCGAGCGCATGTACCTCAGTGGCGAGATTGAGCTTGAATTGACACCGCAGGGGACGCTGGCTGAGCGGTGTCGGAGTGGTGGTGCTGGGATACCGGCTTTCTATACCCCAGCCGCCTTTGGCACGGTCGTGCAGACGGGTGAACTACCGCTCAAACATAACAGTGATGGTACGGTGGCGCTGTACGGCGCGCCGCGAGACGTCAAGATCTTTGACGGGAAGAGCTATGTGATGGAGGAGGCTATCAAAGGCGACTATGCCTTTGTCAAGGCCTGGAAGGCCGATAAGCTCGGAAACTGCCAGTTCCGCTACGCAGCGGCGAATTTCAACGGCGCCATGGGGCGGAATGCTAAGATGACGATAGTCGAGGCCGAGCACATTGTCGAGGTAGGCGAGATCGAGCCTGCTGCTGTCCACTTACCAGGCATCTATGTCAAGCGGGTGATCCAGAGCACGGAGGAGAAGAAGATTGAGAAATTCACATTTGCGAAGGAAGAAGGTGATGATATGTCGGCACTCGGGAAGGGCGAGACTGCCAATAAGCGGGAGCGTATTGTGCGCCGCGCCGCGAAGGAGTTTAAGAATGGTATGTATGCTAACTTGGGTATTGGGATGCCTATGCTGGCTCCTAGCTTTGTCGACCCGTCTGTCGAGGTCATGCTGCAGTCGGAGAATGGGATTCTGGGTCTGGGCCCGTATCCGCGAAAGGGCTCCGAGGATCCGGATCTGATTAATGCCGGAAAGGAAACTGTCACGCTTCTTCCTGGTGCGGCTGTCTTTGGGAGTGACGAGTCGTTTGGCATGATTCGGTCAGGGCGTATCGATTTGACTATTCTTGGAGCCATGCAAGTTAGTGCGAAAGGAGATCTAGCCAACTGTAAGTTTTTTCTTCTTCTTTTTGTTGTGATATACTAACCTGAACTAGGGATGCTTCCAGGGAAGATCAAGGGCTTCGGTGGTGCCATGGACCTTGTTTCCAACCCATCAGCTACTAAGGTCGTCGTCACAATGGAGCACACGGACAAGAAAGGCAACCCAAAGATTCTCAAGCAATGCGAGTTTCCGCTGACCGGAAAGGCCTGTGTTAGTCGTATCATCACGGAATTGGCTGTCTTTGATGTCGACTTCACTGACGGGTTGACCCTGGTTGAGGTTGCCGAAGGTGTCACCGTGGACGAGGTCAAGGCCAAGACTGAGGCTCCTTTCCGTGTTGCTGATGACCTGAAACAAATGCTGTAAATGTTTGTAAATGAGAGATTTGTATTTTCTATCCTCACATGGATTTGTATATAAAATGGGTATAAGTTGTAGGCTTTCTAGCATTTGATATCCGAACCTAGCATTGAGAATTAAAAGAAACACCTTGCCGTGCAGTAGTAATATAAAGTACAAAAAATTCCAGTATATCGCCGTAATAGTACAGAACATGTCCAGCTCATAGACATTATTATACGACCACTCATTTCAAACGCAGCACACCACTCAATCGTTTCTGTAATCTCCCTAACCAGCTGCGATTCGGCGCCTCTTCAAACTCTCTTATCAAGACATCGTAATGTTCCGGGTTGCTTGCCGGATAGCGTAGCTTCTGCGGTAGTGGGTATTGTTTGCTGTAGCGGTTGTTGAGGAGCGAGGTGAGTGCGTTAACGGACGATTCGCTGATAGTGGGTGAGCCTCCGTCAGCCTTGGGCAGACGTGTTCGTAGGTAGTGTTGTATGGAGACGGATTCTGGCCGCACATGATCCGAGGGCCATTGCTTTATTAATTGAGTGATGCGCGCGCTGAGGGTTTGCTGCTGAGCTGTTAGAAATAGCGCATGTATAATGGAAGTGAGAGAACTCGTGACAAGGTCATATGAACCAGGCTCGGGGTGAGGCTGGAGGGGGGCTGGAGAGACTTTTGGTGACTGGAAATACTTACAGGCGATTTGGACATGGTGAAGGCAGTTAATGGGTCGGTGGTATGTGTACAGGCTGGCTCATGGGTTACAGAAGTGACCCAATAGTTATCGAACAAATTCTTATCGTATCGGGAGATGTGTCTGCCTGATCTCTCAGGCGCCGACGGCCAGGCTGCCGCGCCACCCGTGACGCCTACTGCCACTGCCGCTGCCTCTTACCTCTGCCAGCGTTAACTCCGGCTCCTCACTCGCCCCTTCGAAGTCCGGATTACTGATTACGATTCGCTTCCATCGATCTCCTTGCTCCCTGCCATCGTTTCTATCTGTTATCCGCCTGTTTCCTTGTCTTGTGAATACTCTCTCTTTCGTTTTTTCGCTCTGATTTTCTTTATGCCATCCTCCTGTCAGATTGCCGCTCTAATTGGCTTATGATGAGTGCCCAGCGCTACCAACGTGTATGACACCTCCCAGGATCTACGCCTGCGACGCTCCCTCGATTTTCTACGATGAGAAATCGTGGCTAATACGATGTTATTCTTTCTAGGTCAACGCTCACGATGAGGAAGAGGATGATGATCGTGTCGAAGCCTTCCCGGCCGTCCCCAATCTAAACGCTCCCATCCCCTCGTCGCCACCACCCTCGTTTCACTCTCGCTCTTCATCCCCTTCATCGCGTCGTCTTCTGCACGAGGACCCTCTGCGTGGCGCTACAAATAATGATCTAGAAGACGCTTTTGACGATGGCAACGGCTCAGATGATGACGATGAGGTTGACGATAGGCAGCGGTTGATGAGGGGCGACCCAGTGGGAGCAGCCGCTGCAGAGACCAGTGTCGAAAGCCCGCAGTCTTCGTCAACACAAAGAAGGGTGACTTTGCTACCCACATTCTCGTCATCCGCAGCGTCTAGGGCCGTGGGCATGGGTTCCTCCAATGACGGCGTTTTCGCTAACCTGAATGCTAAGCCTGAACGAGGCGAGAAGGATGAGGATCTTCCTCCTGTATGTTACTACTATTATCCTGATATGTTTCGCATATCTGACTTTGTCCTAGTCGTATGAACAAGCCGCAGCGGATGCGACCCCTCCCTATTGGGAAACTACTATCATGGCACCTGGCATGTCTTCTGATGAGGTTTATGTCGACGGATTACCTGTTGGCTCAGTCTTCTCGTTTGTATGGAACGGAATGATCTCTATGTCGTTTCAGCTTGTTGGTTTTCTGCTCACGTATCTCCTCCACACAACCCATGCAGCCAAGAACGGCAGCAAAGCCGGTCTTGGCCTCACGTTGGTTCAGTATGGCTTTTATATGAAGGGAAGCGGTGACCCTAGACCTGGGGACAGTGGCGAGGAATACACACCGCCCCCCGACCCGAACAGCCATGATTTTGACCCCAATTCCATCGGAGATAATGCTGCCGCTGGGGTGGGCGCTCAGAATGGCGATTCAAACAGCGCTCTTTCTGCGATTACGACCAACGAATGGATATCTTACATTTTGATGATTGTTGGATGGTTCATACTCATTCGATCCGTGAGCGAGTTCCTTCGCGCTCGCAAGCATGAACAACTTGTCCTGCAAAGTCCAGACAGGGGTCTTAGCGTTCCTGTTATTGCGGAAGGCGAAAGATCCGAGACTGTTGTTTAATGGATTGTATATGATGGCAAGCAGGTTGGAGCTTCGGAGTTGGATTTGCTTTTTCACTATTCTAAGGCCATTGTGCAGCACGTCTGCTTTTCTTTACCGCATCATAGCTATTATTGGAAGATACCACATATATACAGGCACAACGGATCAATGCTCTAATATCAAATAGTTGATGGGCACAACTGTGAAATTGAGTTCCGGCACAGCCACACACGTACGTCTGCAAAATTCGTAGAGCATTGCATACGTATTCCACCGAGCATACCAAAACAGTAGCAGCATTCCCCATGCTATCATGATCAGGAGACTGTCCAGACTATTGGTTACGGCGGCGTTGGGGGTTAGCCAGGTTTGTTTTTGGCTGCCTAATTCCAGACAAGACCTGTGGAGTCATCAGTTTACACCTACTCAGTACAGCTGAACATTGAAATAGATGCGCCACCGCCTCCACGACTTTCCCTTTATTCTTTATTTCAGTCTGCTTTAGAAACTGGCATAACACTCAGTACTACTACTCACTCAGTCGCCGATGGATGAAATGCCGGGCTTTGGTCTTCCCCACCACGAATTATCACATCAACAACCACAAAATCAACTCTAACCTCAACATTGCAGCGTCTACAGTGCACTATAGTGTATCACTGAGCATTAATTAATTAATGGCGGAGGTTGCATCTACTTCATCCCCCATTGAAGCTCGATCTCTGTCCTCTGTCACCTCGATAGCCGCCAATCCCCCCGCATATCCGCGCAATCCGACGCAGACACCACACGATCGCCTTGTGCTGTACATTGTCAAGGTTCCTGGGAGTCAAGGTAAAAACCCTCCATTGATATAAAACTGCACTGCGAAGGAAGTGTTTCTGACAAATGTCCTGGCTGGACTGGATTATCTAGATGTCGTGTTGACTCCATTGAAACCTCCCACTAAATCCAACATCTCGAGCGAAGCGATTAATTCGTCGCTATACTATCTCCACGTCGCGAGCGAATCCGACGAGGATGTTCTACGATCGTTAGAGTCGGAGCACGAACAAACCCAACATGAACCATATGGTGTGTCGCAGCATGATGAACCTACGTCATCGCGTCTATCCTCAGAAACGTTTTCGCGATTGAATGACTTTCACCGAAAACCTGTAGGAGGGGGGAATGGGGACGGGGACCGGGAAGGGATTCCTCCTCCTCCTCCGCCACCACATCGCGAGATTCCTTCAGGTCAGAGTGTTCAGCGAAAGCTGGCGCCGGCGGCAGATGCATATGGGCATGGCGAGGAGGGTAGGAAGGATCAAGGGTCTGGATTTAGCGTGAGGAATGCATCGCCAGGAAGAAAGGATGAGAATCTAAAATTATTCACTATCCCTCGACGCCCGATAACGTCCTCGGACGGTCCTGGTGCTCCCCCATCCACCGCTATGCCCTCGTATGGTATATTGATGGAAAACTACAGGCCGCAAATGAGGCTGGATACGGAAAGGGCCCAAGAACGAGGAGCTGAGAAGGTGTCTTCTTCGCCGGCTACAGGCAGCCCGAAATCGTCGTCTGCATTCCGCATCACCGTGATCCGTCGCGATCCTGCATCTGGTTATCAGTGGAACGTTGGAAGTATATCCAGCTCCAGCACCAACAAAGGCACGATCCGTGTGGAAATAACGAACCCAGGCTATGGCAAATTCCTCAACAATGAGGCTTTTTCCTTGGGTCAGAGTCTTCCGGCTGCAAGTCATGATGGGAATGCTGCTGCTGAAGCTATCAAGGCACTAGCTCTTACTACTCAGCAGAATAATAATCACTCCGACGGGATCTTCCGCAGGGATGTAGTCCCCATCAGACATAATCAGCAACATCACCACCATAACATCTCCAAATCGGAAATATTCCACCGCCGCTCGGGATCGGCGGATTCGAAAATAACGGATATCGTGAACGCCAAAGTCACGCGGGGGTACTACTCCTTCACGTCGCCGTGGAACGGGACATGCTCATTTGTTGCCAGCGTCAATGGCCGCAGTATCAAGTGCAAACATACGATAGCGAACCCATCTAGAGGTGCCGGGGCCGACAGCCACCACAATAATAATGCTGAAGTAACTGTCTCTGAGCTCCGATTCAACATCCCATTCCCGTTTGAACAGACTTTCCGGTCCCCGCTGGCAAGCGTCGTTCTTGGGGAGAAGGGGAGTAAGCGCGGCGCATTGGCGCAGGCGATTACTTCGAATATACAAAAAGCCCAGCAACGCGCTCGTTCTCGCAGTGGAAGCGAGTCGGCGCCAAACTATCGACCTCCCTCAGCGAGTAGTTCTGAGGGTTTGGCTGCTGCTGATGAGGATCGATTGGATTTCTCGCTAGCCAGGGAGCCCGGCGGTGGTGGGATGAGTGGGAAGAGTGCGAAATTGGGGAAACTGGTTATCGAGGACGAGGGTATCAAGATGATTGACCTGGTTGTCGCGACGTCGATGGGTGTTTGGTGGCGGGCATGTAATCGGGTTCCATAGCATAACTATACCAGTTGAGATAGTTGAGACGGGTTTAATGATGTTTACGATGATCTTGTTTGCTACTACAGGATGGGCATCGCGCACGCTAAGGACACGAGTCGGCTTCGCGATGCGAGGCTGCAGGGTCCTTGGCTGCACTAGAACTGTGCGTGCTGTAGTTGTAGTGACATCACAGTACATGCCTATACTCGTACACGCGGCCTTCTGATAAGCGACATTGCAGCCAGCCGACACGGTGGTGCCAGGAAATATGAAGAACACGAGGTTAAAGTAGCACGCCAGCGATATCGGATATCGCACCCGATATCTGAATTGGCTGCGAGCGTAGAGCGATAAATCAATCGCGATATCTCGAATCTTAATATCGAGACGTGAGTTGTCAGTCTGATGTGATGTTGGTCTGGCGGCGTGCAGGACTCGGTGCCAATCACCTGGCCAGAAGCTGCGTGCCCCTCGTTTCCCCCTCTTGTCTCGCATTTGCGGCAACACACACTACACTACACAACACAACCACACGGCGGGCGATGCGACAGTCACGCTCTTTTTCTCCCGTTTCGCTTCAGCCTGATTAGCCCTAATCCTGCCAGCATCGTTAAGATTTTGCACCCGGACTCTGGCCACTGCTCAGCTCCTGCACTGACTGCTACTTCTTATCGCGTCTGTCCCCACCGAAGCTGAATGCGGGGCGTGTCTTGTTGACAGCTGACCTTCATAATCAGCATCAGGATTATTCTTCTCTCACGGTTTCAATCCCCGAACGCGCTCTCGCTCAAGCGCTCGAAGTCCACCGTCGCATATATATAATCGGCTGATTCCTCGCTGTCCCTTTGATTTGTTTCGCTGCATCAGATAACCCTGCGACCTCATCATGTCGGACCTGCAAGGGCGCAAAACCTTCAAGGTCTTCAATCAAGACTTCATTGTTGATGAACGGTACAATGTGACCAAAGAATTGGGCCAAGGTGCCTATGGCATTGTTTGGTATGAACCCGTTGGATCCGCGAAGACAGAGAGAGGGGGTAGCTGACATTAGATGAATATAGCGCCGCCGTCAACACACAGTCGAACGAGGGTGTCGCTATCAAGAAGGTGACAAACGTGTTCAGCAAAAAGATCCTCGCCAAGCGTGCCCTGAGAGAAATCAAATTGTTGCAGCATTTTAGAGGCCATCGTAATGTTTGTTTTCGGCTGAATACCCGCCGTCCTGATGATGGCTGACGGCGCTATAGATTACTTGTCTATATGATATGGATATCCCAAGACCAGACAATTTCAACGAAACTTATCTCTACGAAGGTTCGCTAATGTTCCTGTCTGAACACTATACAGTTGCTGATGTGTGGTAGAGTTGATGGAGTGCGATTTGGCCGCCATCATTCGTTCCGGCCAGCCGTTGACCGACGCCCATTTCCAGTCTTTCATATATCAGATTCTGTGTGGCCTGAAATACATACACTCTGCAAATGTGTTGCACCGAGACCTTAAGCCGGGTAATTTGCTAGTCAATGCCGATTGTGAATTGAAGATTTGCGATTTCGGTCTCGCCAGAGGCTTCTCTATTGACCCCGAGGAGAATGCCGGATATATGACTGAATATGTTGCTACCCGGTGGTATCGTGCTCCTGAGATCATGTTGAGTTTCCAGAGTTACACAAAAGCTAGTATGTATATCCCACTAATTAAGCAAATGCCTACTAAACTTGTATAGTCGACGTCTGGTCCGTCGGCTGTATCCTGGCAGAGCTTCTCGGCGGTCGTCCATTCTTCAAGGGCCGCGACTACGTTGATCAACTCAACCAAATCCTCCACTACCTCGGGACACCCGCCGAGGAGACCCTTTCCCGCATCGGGTCACCGCGTGCTCAGGAATATGTTCGCAACCTGCCCTTCATGCCTAAGATTCCATTTCAGCGTCTCTTCCCTAACGCCAACCCGGATGCCCTCGACCTTCTCGACCTCATGCTTGCCTTCGACCCATCTCGCCGTGTCTCTGTGGAGCAGGCCCTTGAGCACCGCTACCTCCAGATCTGGCATGATCCTTCCGATGAGCCTTCGTGCTCGTCCACCTTTGACTTCCAGTTTGAGGTTGTCGAAGACGTCAATGACATGCGGAAGATGATTCTTGACGAAGTCGTCAACTTCCGTTCTCACGTCCGCCAACAGCAACAGCAAGCTGCCTCTCAAGCCCAGCAGAACCAACAAATCGCGCAAAACGTCCCGATCCCAGAACACAACCAAGGGACATGGAAGCAGGACGAGCCTCGACCGCAGGAAGCCCCGCTTCCAGGTGCACATCAAAACGACCTAGAGGCATCTCTCCAGCGAGGAATTGACTTTATGAATTAAGATATACAATAAAGACTCCAGGCCGTCCCAAACTTGGGCGGAATTTGTTTTTGTTGGTCTTGTGTTTGGTCCCAGGGAGTCTGGAAGAAAGCAAACGAAAGAGGGCTATCAAATCATCACTCATATACATAGCAATGCCTCCCCCTTTGGTCCCTTGGTTTGTCATTTGTGGAGATGTGTTGATATTATTCCCCCTCGATGTTTTTCTTGATTTCATCTGCATGGTCCTGTTTGAAGCGGAACGAACTCGAGAAAGAGAAAGAAGTTGAAGTGAATGTCATGGGCTAAAAGAGAAGGGTTGTCAAGTAAACCTTTTCATTCCAATTGTCCATGTTTTTAAGAATTAATCCAGGGCGGGCCCTCTACGTTTGATATCAAAATTTGATGCTCTGTCTACATTTATACATAGTTCGAATGTTGTAGATTCTAACATTAGAATGGAGAGAATATGAATTGATATTTGTTTGGGATATGATAGAGTGGTTAATGTGATACAACTGCGTGTCTTGAATTTGGCCATGTACTGTAGAAAAAGTGTTTAGACACAAGTTGTCAATTGAATCAATGGTATCCATTGATATGTATGATTCCATGGATGTAGAAGGAATACAGAATGGAACAGCTGTCATTATCAATGATGGAGTTAGTAATGTCCAGGCATCTGCTCGGGAATCCGTGAACACTGGAGCTATTCCACTCTACTACGCCACAGGGTATCGTAAGTCGCAGAATTATACGCCATAGGTTTGTTTTTTTTTTTTTGATTCGCGCAGGATCTGGACTCCTCACTACCTATCAAGTGGGTTCCATCAGAGCTTCAGACCTGACTCCTGTCGCGCCTCTTACCCCGAGCATATCGCTGTCTCACTCGCAGTCGGCGCCCGTCTTCGCGAGATATGGGTTTGCGTATAGGCATAATGTCGTGGATGTTGGAGGCCCTGCAGAGGATGTGGGAATCATGGGCTAGCTCAAAGGAAGTGGTCACAGCCCGCTGACCAGTCTGTTTGGACAAGGCTCAGAAAATGTTCTGCAGGTCACTTTCGTGACACCGACGGAAGTGTTATCACTGCCTACGAATGCTAAAACGCCGACCTGTTCTGGGTCATCAGAGAAGGCGGAAGTAGAGCTTTTGGTTTCTTGACACATGTCACTATGAGAGCCTACCCTTCCCCCAGCGCGGTCGCCCATCGCCTGGACATGGTGGCCAATGATACCGACTACGACGGAGTCGCCTTCTGGAATACCGTCGCCGGGGTCTACAGTCTCCTTTCTGAGCTGAAGAGGCAGGGTTTTGAGGGGAACATTTTCATGGACCGTCCCCCGCTCGTTCATTGACGGACTTTTTCCTGGAATTTCAACCTTCTACGCACCGAATCGGCTAGCAATGACACCGCCACCTACGAGGCGCAGAGGGCACTGGTTTCTCTGCTCTCGTATTTGGATTCTGTTTGCATTCCATCACTTTAATAGGCTTTCACTGCCTTTATAATCACTTTATTTATAGTCTTGCATACGTCTGACTTCATGGGCTTTGCAATTTTGATGGAAATATTGAAATGTTGCCAAATTTGGCATTGGGCTGGGAATTCCACTGGACCGCAAGCCAGGCAGCCTCTAAAGCCCTGCACTGTTAAAGGTCCTTCCCTCTCCCCACGAAGGGCTGCTGAGACAATATCTCTTAATTTAGAAAAAATACGTGGTATTTTTCATTTTAACGCGTGGCTTTGCTCTTTCTCGTTCTTGCTCCTCGGCGCATTCGCTATTATTCCTAGCCTGCTTTCAAAGAGGTCTTTATCGAAGGTACCTGTGTGGGGTGAGCATCTTAGAGTGAAGACGTGCCGAGATGCTTTAATAAAGGGATACAAGCCAGTTTAGATGAAGAGCTACCTAAAGGTAAATAAGCGAAACCTGGTATTTCTTCGTGACGCTTTCTGATATCGACTGCAGAGTGTTTCCCAGGAAAGGGGTGGAAGCTTGAAACCCCGTGACAATCTCCGATGTAGACTGCAGAGCGCTAGTCCAGAGAGAGGTGGTGTTGTTAAGAGCAGTTTCTGGTATAAGGCGTGACGCCATTGCGATAACAGCCATGGCTACAACACCGGGTTCTGAACGGGCACTGTGATTCTAGTACCGGAGCTAGGATGGGTAGAATGGCATTGTCTAGTTCTACGAAACATATGACGCTTGTGTCTTTCTCATCACCGGCTTTGAAGACTTATTCTAGGGGTTAACCTTCGCTCAAAATTCCCACAGCCAATGGAGTATTATCAGATTATTAAGACCAAACCATAATTGGTTACATTACCTAAATAGATAATATTTAACTATGCATAATAATTCATGTATGCCTTTTTGTGGATACGGTGCTGGAGGTCGTGGATCCATTCAACGTTGCATAGATTCATACCTGTGACATTGAAAATTAAATATGTTGGGACTCGTAGCATTATCTCTATAAACAGTGTGTCATTTCGAAAACCACAGCGTTCCAATACCATGAGGTCGATGGTTGAATCTCCTATGATGCATCATACAAAAGTTATATTTTTCCACCCGCCCAAATGCGTTCAAAAACCAAAGAATATAAAGATTGGCTACAAAAAGCCGTTGACGCGAGGGAATATAATTGGGATAAACACGCCTGGTAGGTAATTTGAACCGGCTATACCAGCAGCTTCGTTTAGAGATTCTTGGAACTACGCCTCGGAACAGAAGGAAAGCCTGTCAACTACATGCATAAATAGGCATGATATAAACTAAGATAAACAGTGCAATGATTGGTTGAGCAACTCAGGATATGATTCCATTCTAAATGCAGATTGGCTGGTAGTATTTCGCATATCTAATGTGACTCCTGTGAGTGATCCTGTAATAGATTACCTCTGCTAATTATTTCCTCTTAAGGAAATAATTCGTGCATCGGGCGACCGCGTCAACCCTAAAGCCCCACATGTGGATTCGTCGACATCAGGATACATTAACCCTAACCCTATATACATATATTGACAAGAATACGGGCATAAAGTCTGAATCCTGAGAAAGCATTATCAATATATCGGTGTATCGTATATATACTAAATAATAACATCACTGATATTCGTAAAGTAGCCTTTGATTCGTTAATCCTAATTCAAGCATCAAATAACATGGCTGGAAACTACTTATGGCAGAGTTACCTCTATGATGTAATAACTCTTTATAACCTGTACCGCCAAATCTCTAAGAGACTCAACGGAACATTATGAGGCAAATAATATAGCCAGCGGAACGCCCACCTGCATACTATTGGTGTGTAGTTCTTTCGTTTCGTAGTTGTTGTGGTCTGGGATGTTGGATGGTGGTGCTGCGGTGGGTTGACATACTTGAATACTGGAATGATCGGGCTTGAGCTGCCGGACTTTAGTTAAGCAGGTGCTGCCCGGACTTAACTCAAAACTGGTTATATCCATGTACATCAGGTTGTATTGACCCGCACTTTATACGACAATTTGAGATGGCCAGACCCTGTGTACCAATGGAACACTATCAACACTCGGGCAACAAAAAGCAATCAACCTCCAAGGTCAAGCCATTTTCGTCGCTCCTTTGTAAACCTTTTTTCTTAGATTAGATTTAAGCGATAATAATAGTATATAATAGCATACTATTATACGGCACGTAGCCCTCCCCGCGAAGTGCCTTGGCTGAACGTAGCGACCAAGTGCATGTTGATGACGTAGGGTTGGTAAACCCTAACCCTAACCCTACATACAAAACGCAACCTCCATAGCTAGTTCAACAGAACTTAATTCTTTTTGCACCCGGATAGGGATCTGCCGTTGTTGGTGGTTATTATGATGATGGATCCGCTGAGATCTCCACCAGCTTCATCGATAATTTGGTTTTTCGTCCGAAGAGAGATGCACAAAAGAGTCACCATCTGCCCTACCCCTGTTATAGATAAGTAGTACCCAATTAACTCTGAGGCCCTCCGTGTTGGAAGTTAGATATAACAACAGCGGATGTCGGAGCATAGTAAGCATTAAAGTTGATCTTATTAACCTCGTTAATCTCTAATCTGACCTCCTTAATAGTCAAGTTTAAAATATCCGCTACAAAGAGATTGTCAAATTTGATAGTAAAATAATAAGCAACCTAAGAACACGCTAATGTTCACAAAATTCAATTTAGCATGTCCAACAGCATTCCATCGTGTCCGCAAACACCCTTTAATTTGATCTAACGGTCAGCTCCCGATAATGATCAACGTGACCCTATCACTGGGCTGTGCATCCTTGCTAATCTTGCCATTTGCGGGCATGGACGCGGGCACCAGGACCCCGAGAGAGACATTCCAGGGGGCTGCAATGGAAAATAAAATGACAATGGTCAGACATACCAGTTATTTAATGTTCTAGCTACAGAAGGCTGACATTCCCCGCATCAGCAGTATTTTCTCACATCTATCTGATACCACTGCCTGAGATACACAACAATCATTCTATTTTTTTTTTCAAAGACCATTACGACACTCAGGACGAACTCTACAATTGTAATCGAACATAGTGATAGTGGCTGACGCTATAAACCCCAAAAGTCTTTTTTAGAGTATGATCATGGTACCATACATGGGACGCATAACCCCTGCATGTAGGTAATCACGCTACATAATCTTTTATAGTCCCAACACAGGTAATATTATACTTCAAGGATCTGGGTATAAGAAACTACTGCATATCCTACATTTCGATACCAATATTATTCTGTCCAACCGGTAAACAACCGCATTTGAAAACGAGGTTACATTCCAGACACTGTGCTTTAACGGTTTTGCAGGCCGTAGATCGGCGATTCGCCCAATGTATTAGCTAAAGTCCAGTTCTAGTCAGTTTGACAGAGAGCAAACTTTGATCTTTCCCAGCAGATCTGTATACTATATGGTCGTTGTTGGATAGATATTGATGGGAATAGTAGCATTCTATATGCATTTAATATCCAGAAAAGTCGGTGGCCTATGTCTATTTCTCTTGAGCTTCCTAGACAAATACAATCTCTGCAAACCATTTAATCTGTTTAATCATTGGTTTCGTTCTTTTATTTTTTTGTTGCCACCACTTTCGCATAACACGCAGTCTTCCTGCCAAACAAATATTCGAAGCTCGAGATGACCTAAGGACTCATTTAAGGTGACTACATGTCTCTTTTGAGTTCAGTCCGTGTACATGTAGACACAAGTTTACAATGATGAATGTTATGTATGAATGTATGGATGTAGAAGCTATGGTATCAGAATGAAGAAGGCATGTACAGAATGGGAGCAGCTATATCTGATATGCAACATGAGCCATGACAGAGACGCATCCGATTTTGAAGAATAAGGATTAAAAGAAGGTACGATCCTAGCAAACATCGATCTTGACAAATGAAGAATTCCCGTAACACGCTCAAAGTGAAAATGCAATAACATGAATAATAAATTCGTCACGTATGCGCCAACAAACAGGCGTCATCGTCGTCGTCGTAGAGAAGCCATAAGAAGAGGTCATTGATTGAGGTATAGGGAATGCGGCAGTGGTTGGTAGTTGGATTCGATAGTTTATTGTGTGTTCTCTGCAGCTCGATTAGGTGTGTACGAAATCCATTTGGTCTTCTGAGCCTTTTCTTTTCAGTGGAATAGACGTGGGTGATATGGGGGATGATGCGGAGGGAGGATCCGCTGTGGTGACTACCAGAAATCGCGAGGCAACTGGTCAGCTTGAACGAAGGGTCTGATCGGCAAGACGTGATGATTTTTCTTCTTCTTGGGAATAAATGGAGAAGGGTTCCAAGGAGATGTGGGTAGCGTACCTGCTAGGCCATTCTTGCTCCTAGCCCAAGGATTATTATTTCCGTAAGATGGTGGGTTCACGTCAACATCCATGGGTCCGTCGATACTGTTAGGCTCATCTCCTCCAGTAGGGTTGGCGCTGGGTTCGGGGATGATCTCGCGGCAAACGGGCTCCACGAGTCTGTCTTTCATGCCTGCATTCACGTAGACCAAGAAATATGGGGTTGGGGGATTCACGCGCCCTTGATTGCCGAAAATCTCGCTCGTGTCCCGGACTTCGGTGATTTCGTTGTCATTATATTTCCGCCAAACCTCTTTCTTGAAATCATAAATGTAGATGTAATAATGGCCGAATTCGACGGAACCCTGGTGCATGAAGACTGCATAAAGACAGTACGCTAGACGCTTGTAATCACTGAACTGGCTGGAAATCATCGTCTGCGTGTCCTTTGAAGCTTGCTCGATATCTGTACTACTTATTAATCATATTCGACAAACGGATTGTATTTTCCAGTCCAGAACTTACAAGCTAGCTCTGTTTGTGAGATTTGCGATAATGTCTCCATTTCCAGCGCAAGTTGAACATGGGGACCATCAGAGTTTCCAATGTCAACATCATTCGCGTCATCAAGTGACGAAAGGTCGCCCAAAAGTTCTGACGTGTTTTTGAACAATGCCGGCATATTTTGTCCATCAGGCTCCTGTTCAGCTGTTAACCTAGGCCCAGTTCTTTGAGGTATTGGTTAATACTAACGTTCAAACGTAGCAATTCAGCTTTACGACTATCCAGTTCTTTAAGCTTTTTCTTCCACTCCCAGCATTCTTTGCGACGTCTGATGATTTCCTGTTTTTGTGTATCCATGTATCGATCGAGGTAGATTGTGTCTTTTAATTCTAAATGGTGCGTCGATTTGAAGGACGTCTTTTTGACAGGGTCAAATTGGACCCTCTGCACTTGGATTTGCAATACCGGTGGCAGTTTACTAATCGAACCAAACTGCTCAACAAGAGCACCGTCAACTGAAATTTCTTGGATGTCAAACGCGCCATCTATAGCGGAGTAGATGTCGCGAGGGCCAGAGGCCACATCAACCTTGATATCTGACCAGATTTCTTCCTTAGACCGGATGCCGCTTTTTGCCGTGATATAAGATTTAGTTCTCCCATAGAATAAACTGCAATATCAGAGAGATTAGCGATACATTAAAACCTCTAGAAGAAATCATCTCTTACTCTTTGACTTGGTCCATTTGCTCCCCATCAGGAGCAATGCCTCTTGGTCGGATAGCACACTCGCTCTGGAAAAGCACATTGTTGATAACTTCCGTCACGTCCTGCTGAGCTCCAAGTTCCACTTCTTCAATGATCTGTCTGCTACGTTGTGCTTCTGCAGGACGTGGAGGAACTGGAGGCGGTCTATTCGGCGGCTCTCCTGACTCGGCCTCTGGCTTTGCTTCAGCAGAAGTCTCATTCAGTGATTTATTTTGACCTCCAGACCCTTCCACCGCTTCTTGAACACCCTCTGATTGATTTGATTTGATATTTGGTGGCGCTTGCGGGATAGATTGTGTAGCTTCAGAGACGAGAGTGGTCTCACTGTCAATATCACTGATAGCAGCATCTTTAGATTGGCTTTCGACGGAGATGGTATTTTCGTTGGTAGGGGCATCCTTTCCACTTGATTCTGACGATTGAGGAGGTCCTAGTGGCCCAGCAACAGTCATGCCATTTATTTCACCGAGACCAAATGGTCTCCTTCCTGAAATAGTGGACCTTCGTCGAATCTCGGCTTCGTTTGTAGAGCTGATGAGCGTCAATCTAGCCAATTCTTGCTCTGGTCGAACAAATGGTCGAGGGGTGCGGATCATGTTCTGAAACAGGGTCCGAAGTTCTCGTAAAACTGCAATTCATAAGTTAGTTGAAGAAAGTGCGTGTGAAGAATGAGAATATTAACATTTCTGAGAGCGTTCCACCTCAAATTTGGAGACTTTACGAGATCCAACCTTTTTCGCATGCAGAGAGGCTTCGTCTAGATCCGTCTTATTGTTCTCGAAGTCGAGAACCATTTCACGGTACGGGCGAACTGTAAAATAAAATTGAAGGAGACTGTTGAGGTAGCAGGTATTGCCTATATTCTGAAGACCAACCGGCCACTCGGATAAATCTCGATCTGTTTGCAATGAAGAACCAGTAGCATAGCTGCTTAGCATTGAGCTATTCTTCTCATTTGCAATGATTCGCAAAGCACGTGAATAGACCTCCATTTGGTCCGGTGAGTCACGCGAGTCATCAATGCATATTGTATAGGCGGCAATGATAGAATCGTCACTGGCTGTCCGGTCAGGAATTTGAAGTAATCGATATGCATCGCCCACGTCCATCTCACCAACTCCGCTTTCTCCAGTCCTGAGAAAATGTCGCAGAAATTCTGAATTACGTGCATCCGCAATGAGTGATAGAGCCTTCTGGGCAACGGGCTTGCTACTCGGGCTATCATTAACTTTAGTGGTGTACATGGTTATAATAAAATCGTCGGGCGTATTTTCTTCAACGCCAAGAAACACAAGAGCCTGTTCAGCGGCAGTGATTTTGTCCTCAGCAGCGGATTTGATGTGTTCACTTTTCCTCGCTTCTCCTATTCGCAACAATTGCTGTCGGGTTTCAGCTTCATGCGTTGTTGAACTTAGGTATGCATGGAATCTGCCTATAATGACATCATCTGCCAGAGTCGGGTCATTTGGATTCAGGTCAAAGTATCTGTAAGCGTTCCACACGTCATCTGTTGTGTAGGCACCTTTACTGTATGCAAACATTACAGCCTCGTTAATGGTATCTGCATCGGGCCCTCCTCTCAACTGAGCAATGTGTCTCAAACACTGTAGATAACGAGGACCATGACCCGGATCAACCGCGACCTGACGATGGTATGCCTCGATAATGAGATCCGAAGACATATCTTCTAAAACACCAAGATCCTCGTAACATGGCCATCCAGCCATCTGAAATTCAATCAATCGAGATGCCTTCGAATAATTGGCAGCTTCGAGTGCATTTAAAAGCTCGGCATTGGCCAGTTTAAGTGGATTTAGAGAGTACGGTATTTTTTTCTCGGATGGTGGCCGTTGTTCTATTAGTGCTGAAAGTTCGTGGATAGCATTGTCGAGGAATATACTTAGCTCATCCCGAAAAGGCCGCTCCGTAGATGTATCGGGTCTTGGAGGGTCCCAAAAACCTTCATTAGGTGACGAAAACCCCAGGTATGTTAACAAGTCTTTGCACGGCTGTCCGTCTACTCCAAAACACACCACAAATCTTTTATTGATGGAAGAAATTGGTTTACTGCGCTGTGAGTCGTAAAGAGCGTTATGGATATAAGTGGATAAATTGGTAAGTATTGTTATGGGTTGAGGTCGAGCAATTCCTTCTAAACGGTCAGGGTGGGCTGCGATGGCCTCATCTGCACGCTTATTTACCAGCTCCACATCCGTCAAAAGCTGCACGAATTCCGGGCGAAGCAAAGCAGACAGTATATCCATTGACACAGTAGTGCCGCACGTAGGATATGAGCAAGCATAGTAGTAAGTTTCTATGCGCTGACTCTGTGGTGTCACTGTCCCATTCATCCGACTGGCAGACTGGCAGACAAGATGATGCAAATGATTATCTATGGGAACTGCATTTCCGGTATAGGCAACTCTCATTTGTAGATGACAGCGACATTTTGAACAAAATGCAGAAACTATCGACACTGCACCACGGCCACGTCTCTGTTCCGGTGAAAGGACAGAGGTCTGGTTCGGTTTTAGCTTGTAGGTATGTTGGCAGGCCGAAGGTGACAGCCATTCCGGGGTACCATTATATCCATCGGCGAATACAGGTGGGGTGTCGGCGAGTAAGTTGCGACCTGAGGCAGGAGGATGATCGGGATCGTATCGATCTATGTCGTGTAGAAACCGCGGGGCAGTCTTGCCTGTTTCATTGACCAGGTTAGAGACACTCAGATTAAGGGTAACTGTTGTTTGAACTTACCTGCCCTTTGGTACAGAGACGTCATGTGAAGCAGATGTGAAGTATTCAAACACCGGATGTGATCGTAGGAGACTTTGAGAAGACGACAACTTCAGTCGAATGTAGCTTTGAGGTCTGTGGCGTCATCTACTCGAGATTGGTAATATAATGAGCGCGGAATCGCGGAGAAGAGATGAGGGGTCGTTTAACGAAGGAGATAAATATGACCGTTCGGGCGACAGAAGAATATCAACCGGTCAAATCTGCCAGAGACTGAGCGGTGCCTTCTGAACAAGCGAGATCTCAGCGGTATGTCCTGAGGGGCAAACGGTCAACAGCGCATTTATTGACAAGCCCGAGCTGACTTGTCGCTCACTTTTAACGCAGATATTTTTTTCTCAGGTACACAGTATGTATGAAGGAAGAAAATTCAAAGAGAAATAAACACGTGGTCGGGCCGTTTGATCGCGAGTGACGGTTGCTTGTTTGCTTGCTTGGAGCTTGCTTCTAGTGCCAAGCCTAATATCCGATCATCCAGGTGGTGCGGCTCACGTGAAGCAAAGGAATGACAGGCAGTCAAACAGCTTTTTGTCGATCAAACCATCTTGTAGACAGCGTCTTTGCAAGGATAACAGCTGTTCTGGGCCAGTGACAGGTTGTGACAGGTAGTGACATGAGCTACAATCGCGCTCCAGAGGAAGGTGGTTGATAGCGCTAGGCCCGTTGCGTCAGGCGGTGGCAGAACGGGCCCCGACAAAGTCAACCTCCACCATGTCCGACGACAGCCACGCATAGATTCCTCCAAAGCTGCGCATACCTGGTGTGCTCCAGCCCACAATGGTTTCACCACAGTCGGAAGAGAGGACATACCATCCTCAAGATGCAATTGCCGCTACTATCAAGAGCACTGCTCTAACTGGGGGCGTCGGCCTCTTCGCTTCGGCAGTCCAGAATACCCTCGCGAAACAGAATGTCGGCCCCCTCGGAATCTTCGTGCGCAGCGGTGGCACCATTGCTATTTTCGGTACGTCATTGGCTCTAGCCATTCAAAAGATAAAGGATCGAATGCTCACTATTTCTCGCAGCGGCAATGGGTGGCACATATTCCTTCGCGCGAATTGCTTCTGCAAACCTTCGAGAAAAGGAAGACCCGTGGAACGCAGCTCTAGGTGGTTTCTTCTCTGGCTCTATTCTGGGACTCCGCGGTTAGTTATAAGAATTATATTCTGTTGGAAACGATGTTTGAGACCCAACGTCGCTGATAAACTTGTACAGCCCGAACTTTCCCCGCCGTGTTCGGTTACGGAAGCGCCCTGGCTGTCACGCTGGCCGCGTTCGAATATACGGGAGGTACCTTATGGGGACATGACAAGGACAGGAACGTGGACAAGTATGAGAAGTTAGAAAAGTTGCGCACAACTTACCGACGGCCCGCGGAGGAAACAATTTCAGAAATTGGTGAAGGAAGAGGTATGGATCCATCATGACTGATGCTTCGGTTGACGATAGCATATCTGATTCTTGAACTTTAGGTATCTACGGCCCCGGATACGCGGATCGTCGACGAGAGAGAATCAAGGAAGCATATGGCATTGATGTTCCTGCGACACCACCACCAGCGTCATAAAATCGGTGTCTGTTTTATGTAGAATACTTCCATTTCCATGGGTGACAAGCGGGGTCACTCTGATGCTTTATTCTTTTCATCATTTTTCTTTCCTACGTAAACGTACAATCCATCAGTTTCCTTTCTTGTCGATCTACAGCCATAACTGTGGACTTTCCTGCTTCTCTTTTAAGGACCTCGGGATACATACAACATTACTTGGGTAGTCAATGCAAGACTGCTTCAATACCAGCCTAAGAATAGTACGTGGTATTTATAAATCAATTCAAAATCTATCATTGTGATCAGTCGATGCAACTTGTATGGTGTTAATGACGTCAATGTCTGTACCTGAATCTAAATACATGTCGACCTTCTCCTACACATTGTGATACTTTGACAGTTTCCCTAATTCTTATTATAGAGTTATCTTAACTATCGAGAGTATAGCTTTGTTGATCACGTAGCTCACAGTATTGTAGTCAAACGTTCAATGATTCTTTCTCTTACCAATAACAAGAAGGCCGAGTTTCTAATCATATAATTTCTTAGCTTAAAAAAAGGTATAAACTAAAAATATAAAGGTTATAGATTCCATTGATGCACACGAAATACGCTGAAATAAATGAGCTTTCCACTTGGGGCAATGCTTGCGACACCGATCATCCACACAACAAAGCTCTGGTGTATGCGCTCGACCAGGACATTCCTTGTCATAATTTACTTGATTTTCCCCAGAGATATTGAATCGATACTAAACCGTGGAAATATAGCTCATACAGTCCTCAAACTGCATATCCAAAATCTTACTCTGCACTTAATTCACACTCAAGCGGCTAGATACAGGCCCTCAGAAACCAAGCACAAGCCATGGACTTGCTATCAATTGGCACAAAGTGGCTGGTGGAAAGCTTAGTCTCAATAATGTGCGATGTTTTGGCGCATACTGTGACTGTTTGACCTAAAAGACTGGTATCGAGCCCCGCGCCGATGCGCTCTAGCTTGCTAACTGTTCTCGCTGGATAAAGAACACAATCACTCTTAGCTCTAATCGAATAACAAACTATTTTAGCCCCTCGCTGATGACCAAAAATTCAATACTTGGTGCTTTCTTTCATCGAACGGTGGTTGGCCGTAGTTTAACGAAACATTTCTGGAACTTCGTCACGGGCCAAGCAGAAAAGGCAGCAGGGTTTGGAAAAGATGGCAACAATATCGAGGGATTACAGCCAGACGTATGTGGCGCAAGGTATGGTGTACCCCTGGTCTTTAAAGAAAGCGTGAGGGGTGTGTCTAATAAATTATGGCATAGCTGCTTCTGGTGTGACACTTCCATTGGCCTGATCACTATGAGTGACTTTTTGAGCACACTCAGGAAAGGCAATATTACTATACTGCGTGATAGTGTTGAATATTTGGACGTAGCAGGAGCAACCGTGCGGTCTGGCAAAACAGTCGCTGCCCAGTATATGATATACTGCACCGGATGGGGCGATCACTTCAGCTTCTTCTCACCGAACATTAAAGAGGAGCTCGGAATATCGCCGTATGGGATTACGAACTCGCATGAAAATTCCACTTTATCAGATGATCCAAATAGCTGGTAGACCCGCGACCAATTGGCAGATGCAGTGGTTGCTAGAAAGTTACCACTCTGGGCAGCTGGCACGAAAGATTTCAGGAAGCTAGAGCCTAACCGCGCGTGGACACAACGCCGTTGGCGACTCTACAACAGATGCGTTCCTATTAACTTGACAGAATATCGCTCATTTGTCATACTTGGCCAAATCCATACGGTCCAGTCCAGACTCCGACGACTACAGCGGTCCAATCCCTCTGGGCGATTGGATATCTGCTAGGGGAGATAGATGTCCCAAGCAAAGATGCTATGGCCCAGGAGGTTGCCGAATGGAATACCTGGAACCTTGAGATATATCTAGGCGTCGGTGAGAGGTACCCGTATGCACTTTTGACTGGATTCCTTATATAGATCGTCTTCTTACAGATCTCGGAGTCACGTCTCAGCGCGAGAAGGGCATGTCGTGGATTTCCTAAAGCAGTATGGCACGCATGATTATAGAAGCGTGGCTGAAGAGTATTTAGCGGTGCGTTAGGAGAAACAGGGAAAGATGTCAAAAAGGTCAGTCACTTCCAGCGGTCAGAATCTGGCGTCCGATTGCGATAGTGATGGGATCTAGTAGTGACATTTTCACGTGGATGGCAGGATTACTAGTGCTAGGGCTAGTCTTTTACATCTGAATAGCAGGTACTAAAGACTTCGACCTTTGATTGCTTGGCTGTAACAATTAAAGTGTATTGGAATTTCGTTCCAGGTATACGTGAATTGCTTGTAGCAGTGCGCAAATCCTGACGCTGTCTCCTTCGCGCAATATGATAGAACGATATCCTCACCTTTCAAACGGGCATCAAACCAAAAAGTGATCTGGCCCGCAAAGCGTAACCGTATTGCAAGCAATTTCCAGGTATAGTCATTTGGTGAATTCTTCGGAAAATCCTGGATAGGGTGATTCAAGACTAACCATTCAGCACAACTCACTCTCTTTCCGTCCCTTCCTCCTTCCCGCTCATCTTAATACACGAAACTTGAAACGCTTCTGCTTTTATCTTCAGCTGTGGGTGTAGATATTTGCTCTCTCCCCAGATTGCTGATTAGTGTCATTTGTTAACACTGGAGTGATTCTGCTAACTTGCGGCAGCCAGCAGCCAGCATCAGTTTTTCTTATTTTCCAGCCTAATATTGAGGTAAACCATTTACAATCTCTCACATTGATTGGACGATCGCGAGACTTGCCGCAAACGGATTAGCGCCGACACCGGCCCCGCCGCAAATAGACTCAGCCCTGCAGTTAGTACATACATCCTTTTGATATTATTCTGGAGATTTCAGCTGTGCGGTGTAGAAAGAGGCCAGGATGCCAATAATTCGTTGCTTTTAAGCACAGTACCTGGCAGATAACTGCGACTGAAAAACTGCCTCCAAGTGGTACATCTGATCCTTAGAGTTTATCAATACTTCTGTGGCCCCATAACTTACTCCAAACGGAAAACAGTAACATCTTTGATATTGTCCCTTGGCTGAAGACGTACTAGAGTCTTCTTCAGATCAAAGCCCAGCTGTCTCCATAAATGCTAGGAGCACAGAGGGTGCAAAAGCGCCGGAGTACAGGCTGCGAGGCTTGCCGCAAAAAGAAAGTAAAGGTATGGGAGAAAAGCCCAATATTTACCATCGGTTCACCTTATTTACCCCATTATGACTGAGATCAGCCTATTCTAGAAGGAAATAGTCAAATCAAGCTAGGCTAATTATATTATTCTGTGCCCCAGTGCGGAGAAGAGAGACCCCGGTGCCGGCGATGCACTCGACATCAGACTGGCTGTCGATACCCCGACCCGCTCGACGTAGACTTTCGTAACGAAAATGACAAAGTTGCAGTGAGAGCAGCCAATATGTGGCGTCAAAGGGCCGCGAATGTGGAGACATCAAACGAGAAGTCAGTAGCTAGACCTGAAATCGATACCAAGTGCGTGGCACATGCACATGCTTACGGCGATCTTCATTCCGGTGGACTCCAAGCCACAGCATTAGCTAAATTCTATCAGGACTTTGGCTGCATCGCTCACAAATCTAAACCGTGGATGGGATTTTTCCAGATGTTACCTGATCTATATACAAATGCCTCCGACGCTACTTCGTTCTCGCATGCGATCCTAGCTGTTTCATTGGCCAACCTTGCCCGGAAACAGGGTGTCCCAGAGGCCACGATACTTGCTCGGACAGAGTATTGCAAGGCTATTAAACTGGTCGATCAGGAACTGCGCCAGCTGGATGGGAAACCAAGCACTAATGTTCTAGTGTCCATAATATTAATGAGTCTTTTCGAGACTCTGATATCAGGCTCAATGGATGACAATAACACGAGTCGAATGACGCATATACATGGGGCCATTGCTATGCTCCAGCAAGTAAAACCGGGGTTATCAGAACCAGTCATTGACGGCCGACTACTGAATATAATCTATTTCCATATGGTGATCCATTGTCTCAGAAAGAGACTACAGCCGCCGCTACCATTGCAAATGTGGACTAGCCAGCTCGATCCATCCTTGCCTGGCCCTCGACTGTTTGGCTTGATGTACCGCTTGGGGAAAGCTCAAGCCGACATTGACTTGGTTATGGCACAGTCGTCTTCCGGCGATAATGAAGCACGAGAAAGAATCAATCTTTTGATTGGGGCCATGCAGATGATGGGCCAGGAATTAAAGGAATGGGAAGCCTCATTGCCACCAAATTTTATTTTCTCTATCAGGGATATTACCCCCGAAGATCATGCCATGCTACATTGGGCTGGGGCACCACGGACTATTTATAGCTACGAGTCCTTTTGGGTCTCTATACCGCGGACACTATGCTTTGCGTTGCAAACGATGCTGAATTGGAACTTGCTGGAATATAGTAAAGCGATATCCAAATGGGAGCCGGGACCTGGATCATGGCCCGTCCACTGCGCCACGACAAGGAATAAGATTGTCGAAATGATCCATCATATCTGTCAAAGTGTCGCTTTGATGCTCAATATCCCGACGAACTCCAATGAAGAATATGAGATGCAGCAGGCTGAAAGTATACGAGGGCTTATTATGATGTGGCCATTGTCTGTAGCATCGACCGCCCTGAATGATTCAGAGGTGCTTGAGCAGGTTGGGCGCGAAACGGCGACTTGGTTGACCAACGTCCTGCAGCACGCCCGTGACTTGATAGGTGTCGCATAATAATATGTTTAGTTACCTAATAAATATAGTGGCTTAGAACATTAAAGTTGGGATAGTATATTTCAGTTTTAGAATTGAGAGGTGAGTTTAAATTTAAGCGTTCGATGTTCAGGTATACATGCACAAGACAAGATTAAGGTTGTTTGTACCCCCCCCTACATGACCAAACACCATGGGCTCTCTGATGGCAGGTCCATTGTGGAAATCAATTTGCAATTGTGTTCTGTGTAGTTGCATAGTAGACTGCGCAACCTGATTGGGCCACAAGATGAACTCGGCAGAATCTCCGCCAGTTCCGAATCGATGACGTCGGATAACATGGTGTTCTCCATACTGACTCAAAGACTTTTCTTGTTGATAATAATGCAGAGTTGCAACTGCAGCGTAGCATACACATACATCGACGCGAGTTGTATTCGAGACCTAGAGGAATTTGGGTTTGCGCTTTACCTACGTAATACCTGGCGCCTTCGATAATACCAGTGCCATTAAAGCAGTCTCCAGTAAGTACTAAGCAGGATGATCGACATCAAGACTAGCACAATAGCACTCTTCTTCTAGTCGTCACCGCCACAGCTTTCATCACAGCCGCCTGGCTCGTCCATCCCCACGAAAAGTGACCGCCCAGGTAATTGAATCTGCGATCACAAGCGTGATAACACGGAATGTGGCCTGACAGCAGCGCTGGCGGAGGGCGCTGTTGTGGCGCAATCGAGGCGGGACAAAACCCGACCACAGAAGGTTTAGCGGGCTCTCTGGGCAGTATCGAAGCTGAGTGCTGTGCCCAATAGCAGAGGCCAAATTGGCCAGAGTGGACCGATTTGGAGGACTGAAAAAAGGAAAGTCGAAAAGTCGAAAAGTAGAAAAATAGGGGGCAGAGAGAGGGGCGGGGAAGGGAACCGGATTGATCGCAGCTGGTGCTAGCCGGGGCTTGTGCAGGTCGAACGTAGACGTCATCCGCATCCGTCACCGTCACCAGCGCAACTACTTACCACTTACCTTCAAGGCTACCACAACTGTACTAGTAATACCACACCCACCACCTCCATCACCGCCATCACCACCATCATTGCTCATTCACTGCCCTTCAGTCATTGCTGCACCCTTCTGCTTTTTTGTCCCCCTCCCGTGCATACGGTTCCCCGCTCGCTCTACGCATCGCCATTCCTGCTTTCTGTACTGCCTGTGACAATTGCGACTTTGTTCTTATGGCGGGGAATTGGTTCGTCAACCCAGCTTGATAAAACGCAGCAACTGCCATCGGGACTATCAAATTTCCTATTTTCCTTGATTGTCCATCGCTTGCGCTGTCTACACACTGCGGCGGTGCAATGGCCACCGCACAGTCTCCATCTCAGGACGGCTACGACCATATTCCGATGCCCAATGACCCATCGCAACTGAGTCGCATGGGATCTGGCTCACGCCCCAACTCATACGTCGCCAATTCTATCGTGCCTACAGAATTTGCTGTTTCCCAGCCAGCGCATCTACCTGATCAGTCGCCCTTGGGCTATACCTCACGTTTCAACGAAGATATGGACATTAGCAGGCGAGGCTCTGCGGTTGTTGACGGATTTGCTGGCGTCGGAGGATCTAGTCTGCAGCGGAGTGATTCCCAAATGTCGCACAACAGTGTTCTTCCATCCAGAGGCGGCACGCTGAAAAAGAAACCATCCTTGAGCAGAAAAGGAAGCCTAAAACGGAGCGGCAGCAGACGCAGCCTTCGTGCAGGCAGTGTGAGAAGTCTGAATCTCGGAGAAAAGGAAAAATACGGCGGCGATGACCCGAGCAGTGCCTTCTACGTCCCAATCCCCACGACTGGCAGTCCTACAGACGAACTAGCACATCGGTTTCAGTGTATGCACTCTTGTCTTCATAATGATACATATAACTAACAGCAACATTAGCGTGGCGCAAGGTTCTCAAAGACCTGATCGTATTCTTTAAAGAAATTCAAAAGTCTTACGAAACGCGAGCAAAGTTGTTGCTTTCAGCCGGAAATGTCATTAACAACATGTCCATTCCCTCCACCTTCTTGGAATCCGGCGGACTAGCAGATGCGACCGAAGTTCTACGCGATTATCACAAGCAGGGCCTCGCCGAGGCCAATAAGGCTAGAGAGGTGGAAAGCGAGGTGATCCTTCAATTGACCGGTCTTCGAAGCGACCTTCAACAAAAAACCAAAGAAATCAAGAGTCTATCTGGTGATTTCAAGAATAGCGTGGACAAGGAAGTCGAGAGCACGCGCAAGGCCGTGCGCAACTTACAGGAAACCTTGGGCCTGGTCGACGTAGATCCATCTGCTACGTCCGGCAAACACGATCCATTTATTCTCAGGCTGCAGGTTGACAGACAGCTCGAAAGACAAATCGAGGAAGAAAACTACTTGCACAGGGTAGGGTCTTTTTTTCTGCCGCACAGTATCAAAATATTACTAACAGCACCGCCTAGGCCTATCTAAACCTCGAAAACTCAGGGCGCGAATTGGAGTCGATTGTTGTTGGGGAAATCCAAAAGGCTTACAATGCTTACGCTAGTATCTTGAAACGAGAAGCAGACGAAGCTTATGACACAGTCGAGAAACTCCGAGCAGGTCCTATTTCTATGCCCAAAGATCACGAATGGAACAATTTCATTTCAGAGAGTGAGCAGCTGGTCGACCCTCGTGTACCAGTCCGAAACGTTGAAGCCATTTCTTATCCTGGAAAAGACCACCCAGCTGCAGCTGAAGTCCGGTCCGGTATGCTGGAACGCAAGAGCAAGTACCTGAAGAGCTATACACCAGGATGGTATGTTTTACTTCCCTATATTTATTTGTTGCGCATTATCCATTTGCGTCTTGCTGACAAAATTCAGGTATGTGCTGTCTGCAACCCATCTTCACGAATTCAAATCCGCCGATAGAATAGCCTCCCAGACGCCGGTCATGTCTCTTTACCTACCAGAGCAGAAACTCGGATCACACTCTCAGCCTGAATCTACCTCGCACAAATTCATGCTCAAGGGACGACAAACTGGCGCGATGCATCGTGGTCATGCTTGGGTTTTTAGAGCAGAATCCTATGATACGATGATGGCTTGGTTCGACGACATTACAAACCTTAGTGCAAGGACGGGAGAGGCACGAAACGCATTTGTTAGACGTCACGTCCGAAGTCTGAGTGGTAACAGCTTCAGAGCAAGCTCGATCAGCAGTGACGGCGTCATGGACGAGGATGAAGCCGATCAAACTCCGTACTCTAGTCAATCGGCTGTTTTGCAACGGGCAACTTCAACGGCAGCCGTGACGCCGGATAAACGTCCTCAACCAGGTGGGCGTTTCCCAAGTGATGTACAGATCGACCGCAACTTACAGGCCACCTTATCACGTTCTAGTGGAGAGAGTTCTGGCGACCGAGAAGCTCTAGCTGGAGCTAGCGCGCTCCCCGACTCCGGCATTCCATTTGCACCGACCCAACAACCGGCCGAAGACCCGAATTATCCTGCAGCACAAGAACATACCCAGCTACCACACCGACCAGTTAACTACCAAAACGCTGCACCTCCTGAAAACTACGACTCTTATGCCGGAGAGTGGGTAAACACATCCACTACCATTGATCACGCCCATAACCACAAGCAAGAGCAATCACCTACTACCTCTCGTCGAGCCTTTTCTCCCTCCCAAGCCCCGATTGTCGTCAACAACGAAGCACACCCGCAGAATAACTACGTCGACAATGACTCGGCAGAACTCGCTAACACGAATTCTACCAATCCCTCTGCGGCTACCACCTCGATATATGCGGTCCCAGACGCCTCTCTGCTTAATAGACAGGAATCTGAGCGCTCGAGGCAGACTCATTCCACATACTCATTAACCGCATCAACCCCAACGTCTATCACATCGCCTTTATCAGATAGCGCCGTCATGGATGCTTCATCTACCCGTCCGAACGCACAATCCAAGGAGAGTGCTTCAACCATTGACCAACTCAAGATGCCGGGGAAATTTCCCCGCACCCTGACGGGCTGATTACTAGCTAAACAATTCCCTTGTCCTGTTGATAATTCTCTGCTGTTACGTTATGGTTTTTTGAATTAGAACATAACTGTCGTTACAACTGTTGTCTGTGAGCGCTATTCCTTTTTCTTCTTTCCCTCTCTCTGTGCCGAGTCTCGTACTCACCCAGAGCATTCTGTTCTTTATTCCAGATACTCTTCATCGTTTCATCCTTTGCACTCTGGCTGGCTACCGTTTTTCTCTCCTTTCTTTTCCTTTCCTTCTCTTTTTTTTTTCGCCCTCCTATATATGCGTCATTTCTCTTGTCATGTTCGTACTTTCTACTCCTGGCTTGATGCCGTCCAGCGTACATGTCATGCCATTCCTACCAACGGCATGTGTTTTCTCTTTTATATATATCACAATCTTGTTTTACAGCCCAGGTTGGAACGTCGTACATAGCCTTTTCGTTTTTTAAGGAGCCTTTTGGGTCTTTGAGAATATCATGGACGTTTTATACAATGACCAAACAAATAATTGGCATGTATCAATAATCGAAGTCGGTATTGTGCCCAAACACCTAGTCAACGTTGAACGATCGACGTACGTATTCTAGGAGAGACTCGTGGTCGGTCTGGATTACATGTATAATTTGTTTTATGAGTTATTGAAACCTCGTTGTATTCACTGACTTTGTTTCCTATCTTCTTCCATATTCCACCCAAGTGCATGTACCTTTTTTTTATTCGGCAAAATAAAAGCGAAAATAGACGAGAGAAAAAAGAAACAAAAAAAAGATAAAAGAAAAGCTAAAAGACCAGCAATTGAGTACTCCCAGTAGTCGTACACGCACCATGGGCTTTCTAGTTCGGCCTTGACATCATTTCACCTCCCCTCGATGTGGTAGATGAATGCAAATCGAAAAAAAAAAAAAATTTCCTTCGACGTGCCAGAGGGCCGAAATGCGGATAAATCAGAAACGTTGCCGGCTCATCAAGTTGAATATTCTCACAAGATGACAGACATTGAAAGAATCTGTTTCACCCACATCAAGAAAGTAAAAAGTTACATGGGGAATCTTTTGGAAGTAAAATTACATCATCTGGTCTTGAGTCAGACCGCCGGCGTTGTCACTTGTATCAATTGCATCTTCGGGCCCAGAAGGATGAGCGTATCGGACAAACGTGATGCCTAAAGAACGACCGCCGTACTGATAACCAGTGAATTTGGCTGGGACAAAGGTTAACGATAAAATCCGAGAGAAAGAACAAATACGGGCACTTACACCTTGCGGTCTCAGCAGTCTCTACGCTGTCGAATTCGACCACGCCGGTTCCACGGGAACGACCGTTACCTTCATACTGAATTTCGGCACGTTCAACCTTTCCAATAGTGGTGAAAAGATCGACGAGGTCTTCGTTACATGTGGACCACGGCAGCTATTGACCATGTAAGCAGCTGTCAAACACCCGCCAGCCATGATACTCACATTACGGACAAAGATAGTCGCACTCTTGTCACCTCCGGAGGTTGCATAATCTGTGAAAGGGTTGGGAGGGCCAGATGGAGGTGGAGGAGGAGCATCATAGCCACCACCAAAACCGCCGCCGCCGCCGCCGCCGCCGCCGCCGCCCCCGCCAGAGAAACCACCTCGTCCTCCAAAGCCACCTCCAAAACCACCTCTTCCGCCAAAGCCACCGCGACCACCAAAGCCGCCACGGCCACCGAACCCACCGCCAAACCCACCACGGCCGCCAAACCCACCTCCGGATCCACCTGCATAACGGTCTTCGCGGACTTCAAGAATTCTTCCTTGCCAATCATAACCGTTGAATTGCTGAATGGCTACGTTGGCGTCATCTGCAGATTCAAAAACAACAATGCCGGAGCCTTTCGGGCGGCCGCTGGGGTCGGTCAAGACGTCTGCACGGATTATAGTACCTTGTTGAGCTGTAGAATGTTATGGTTAATGATGGATCTGTACTCTGCGGCATTCCTGATCTTCAGATGTCCAACAAGTTCGCACTTACCAGCTTGACGGAACAGATCCTTCAAATCTTGCCAGCCAACATTGAAGGGAAGCTACAAATCATAGTCAATACCATGCTCTAATTTATCAGTGACTGAGAGAAAATGGGAACAAACGTTGGAGACGTAGAGTTGTCGGCCTGCACCACCACCGCCGCCGCCGCCGCCACCACCAGGAGCACCTCTACCACCAGCACCACCGCTGAATTCTCTTGCTGATGGTGGTCCTGCAAAGCGTGGCTCGGCTTCACGGTCCTAATTCGGTTGAATATAATGTCAGTTCCGCCTGCGATATATCGAATGGAAAGTGTTACCTCGCGCACGTAGACAAGTCGTCCCATGAGGTTCTGGTTGCTCAGGGTATTCACTGCTTGCTGAGCTTGTTCCCTCGTTGCGTATTCCACAATCCTATAGGATGATTAGTACTGTCATATTGAGCTAAAGAGCTGACTTGACACTTACCCGCAGCCCTACAATTTTCGGACAACCATGTCCCAACCCGTCAACCCAACATTCCAAAATAACCAAAGAAAAAAACCAGGAAAGACCAGCCACAGCTACACGGTGCCCACCTTCGACATTCCATTCGGAAGTAGTAAAACATCGGCAAAGAGAACTTCTCCAGCTACAGACGATGTCCCGATTAGCGATTCTTCAAACCACGATAAAAAGACAGGTCAACTCACCCTGTCTCATGAAATCTTTCAAGTGATGCCATTTCACATCGTAGGACAAATTTCCAACGTAGACCCTGCGGTCCTGCTGAGAGGAGTCGCGAACCGACTGCATCATTTGCTCTTTTGCTGCTGAGCGGTCTTCAAAAGATCTTCCTGATGGTGGCCCACCACGTCCACCGTAACCAGAACCTCCAGAAGGGCCACCCACACCACTCATAGGCGATCTGGATCTACGGTCACCACGGCGATACTCGTCACGGCTGCGAGAGCGGCTGCGAGAAGAATATGAGCGACGCGAACGACGAGGACTCCGTGAACGACGAGAGCGATCACCCCGTGGAGAACGAGATCTCTCACGCTGCATACGTTAGTAAAAGCGTTGGCTGAGTTCACAAGAGACTGCCGCCAACGGATGATAAACCAGTGTGCGCATGAATGCCAAGCATCAGCGAGCAAAATACAGGAAGGAATGAAATTGTGCGTTGCGACTACTTGGATCGCAGCCTGCCATTCAATCATCAAGGGGGGAGGGGTAATCTCACCCGCAGACTGCAGGGTGAGAGTAACCATGATCTGCCGACAAATAATTGAAAATGTGCCAGGCAATCAATTGGTTGCTTCAGGGTTGACACCATCCACTGCACATCCGGCTTGAAGAACAAAAGGTCCGGGATGGCGATTGATGAAGAGGCCTATCCCAGCAAGATGAAGAACAAAGAAAATAAGAGCCACTTACTTGGTTGGGTCGATAAACGTCTGCTGTGGTTTGATCAAAAATGTCAGTACCCAGTTGTAGCAATGAATATTCTTGACACAAACGAAATATGAGTTGGTTGAGTCCTCGATTTAGAAAAAGGAGTGGATAAAATTGAGGACAAAGGAGCACGAGTGGATATAATAAAGACCAATTTACAAAACACCTGGTGTACTTCAAGTCTCAAGTACCCAGCAATATGCACCTGGTTGACGGTGTTTTGTAGAGCGCAGCCAAGATGAGGGGGATGGAAAGAGGTGGGTTAGACCACTCGGCTTGATTGGGGGTAAGAGGGGAAGCCGATGGTCACGTACAGAGGCACTGGAGTGTCACTTTGTACGAGGGTGGTAGTAGCAAAACTACCAGCAACAAGAAAGCCGATAACAGAACGGACACGCAAGTGCGGCGGCCCAGTTCAGTTGAATGGTTGGGAAATGAAAATGAAAAAAAAAGAAGAGAAGACGATGCAACAGAGCATGTATGACAAGCAGAAGCAGAAGCAGCAAGGCTAGAAAGGAAACATAACCCACCCATGATTCGCCCGGAGTTGGATGCAATGGCTTGCGGACTTCCCCTCCGTTCGAAATTCGAAAGTGGAAAGCTAAGGCGTGAGGGAGACGCAGCGCTGCACGAGAGGGGAGCGAGCAGATGATGGAGGGGGGCGCTTGAGTGGGTGAGAAAATAAGCCCCGGAGCGCCTGTACCTCCAGGAACGGTCCCTAAGGACAGGGATGGCAGGACAGTTGGGGTCTAAGACCAGGAGCGAGTCGACCTGGGCAGAGGCTGAAACTTGGTTAACTTGTCAGTGGCAAGAAGAGCTTAGCAGTGGAACATGCGCACGCGCTACCCAGATATAGCAACTGATGCAGTGGGACGGGGCGATGAGTTTGGAGGGTGAGATAATAATAATAATCATAAAACAAATAGTGAATAATAATGGACACGCACACAACGGGTAGTAATAATAATAGTAATTTCAAGACTGGTTTAGGGGGATGGAGAGGGGCAATAATCACAATCACGATGCACTTGCAGCTGCCACGAATGATTAGCTGCTGATGCTAATCGATGGATCACGGGCTGGAACAGTGGAATAACCTGCCGTTGGCTGCAGCAGCGCGACTGGATTCTCGACAGTCGACAGTCGCGCGGAGTAAATAAAAGAGAGAGGGAGGAGATTAGGCAGACGCAAGTCTAGAGCTGCGCGTTGGTTGACGCGTAGCAACTTTTGTTTCACCTTGCTGCGGCACGGGCAGAAATTTCGAAGAGAAGCGACCACGATTGATCTACTGACCTTAACAGAGCCTGATTTCCTGTTACGAGATGACTTGGCAATAACGGCGCTGATCGATCGGGTGCTGGTTGTCCCTCTGATGGTCTGGCACCTATTCTTATTCGCGCGGCGATGATGGATGCAGTGCTCGTCCTGGAGTCGTGATGGGGAGCCGGGCTAGGCAGAGCTTCGGCACTCAGGTTTGCCCGAGCTTCACTACCTTTCCGGAAGGCGGGTCCTTCCTCGATGGCTGTCGCTCCTGCCGCGCTCGCACTTATACAACAATATAGTTAATATATCAATAGAGTATTGAATTATATATCCATTAATAATATATTAGTGCTATAAACAGAAATGCACCAATGGCACTACTTTGCCACTATGTTTCTTCACGGCGATGATTCCACGATGAATGGCACCATCATTGTATATAATACTGCAGTATATATTTCAGTCCTCCGTTGGCCCAGCTTTTCAGAATGCCGGCCAATCACATTGAGCGTCACAAATTAATGGCTGGCTGATTTAAGATTATTAATGCTGAGTCGTCCAATCACAGCAGCCGCCCTCCTCCCACAAACATGCAGGAGGCAGACCCCCGCATACTGCTCTGATTGGATAGCCACCGATGCGCCGAGCCCACGCAGCATTCATGAGTGCATCAATGGACAGAGCTCATTGGCCGCAGCCCCATGCAAGCGATGCTCATTGTGGTAGAACCAAGGAAGCCGACTCCCGATCCGGCCCAGGCTCAGATCACTGCCCAATTGGGGGTCCAACCAGAGCGGCCACGGGCTTCAGCCTTGTAAGCTGCTGCCAATCGGCGTGATCACTTGCTTTATAGTTGGACGAACGTTGACGGTTGGATCTCGAAGTAATGAATGATGTGCTTGGAAGAGCAGATGGCAGATTCCTCGTATTAATGCTATCTGCACCGTTGAGAAGGAAGGTGGAGCCGGTCACTCCTGGTCTCTGCGCCACTGCTTGGGCCGGCGCTGACCAAGCCGAGTATTCGACTTCACCCGTACCCTACAATATCTATCAACTGGTACCGTGTAATGATTCTACTTAGGCTACTTAGGCCGTGTGAATGAAATGCAAAGCTTGGTGATCTGTTCTTTGTTGTCCTTGATGGTGATCAATGCACACAGCGTGCTGTGAATCCATGACCGGTCATCTCGATCGTCTTTATGAATACATCTAGTCAACGACATGTGGCCTTGTCCATGCGTATTCCTCTACATGTTATCGCAGGGATCTGCATCAAGGATTCGAATCTTGAAGGGTCTGTTGGCGGCTTTGAACTATAGGTCTTGGATAGTCTGATAGTACAGTATCAGCCGGGTTTCATGAAAAAAAAGCGGGCGGCTCCCCATCAGCAGCAAGGGTTAGGCTTTTTCGTCCCTGTTATTCTGGGCTGAATGCCGTCGGAAGGCTTAGTGTACGTGCATCTACGCTCACTGGCTCTTACTCCCATTGACTGACATTCAGCCATTTTCTCGAATTTCCTTATTGGTCCGCGGAGATACGCAGTCGTACTACGGGCTATCGAAACTGGATAGCCCGCTCAATGGTTTTCATTCTCTCGTCAAAAATCTCAATATAGAGGGTCTACCGGAATCCAGTCATCACAATCAATAGGCAAGGGTATTATCTATACTTTACAACAGGTGTTCAACCCTAGATTTTCAATATCCCCCAGCGTGCGACCGGATTTTTGGCTTAAATGAGGATTCAACTCTAGTTGATTTCACCGCATAAACCATATATCAAGCTCCAGTAGGACAAAATGGCAATTTGCAAATTATATTCAATATGATCCGTTCACATGCATCACACATTCCCGGAAACTATAGTATTTGTCTTTTATGATCTGGTCATCGCAAATACGCACGGCCTGTATTTCTCCTTCGCCCTGCTTCAAGATCTTGGAAATTCCTGGACTGAGTTGTAGGTAGCGAAATTACGGGGTTTCATGAGTAACGATACTTTCAATGTGAATCGTTGACGATGAAAGTCCAATGCTTGCTGGCTCTTGAAAATGCACGCAACTGTCAGACTCCATAAAACATGCTACTAGCCTTTTGGTGTGATCTTCGACCGATTTGCCTAGTTCTGAACTCTCAGGCTGGGGGATTTTCATCATTCAGTAATAACAGAAAGACTGATCGATCAATCGACGAGTGGCTATTCGGCCAATGCTCCGGGTATGCATTTCTACAAATTGGAATATTCCCACTCAGCCAGCATCCTCACAACCAAGGATTTAAGTGGTCTGTTTTCGCAGGCTCTATGACGCTTCTTTCGAGGGATGCATGATGGCTTGCTCCACTCGATCAATACAAAGGGTCAAGCAGTTTGTTACATGAGCGAAAACAGAGGAATCACCTGTCCCATGAACTTCAATACACCGCCTAGGACTCAAGACATCATGGAGTGACAGAGCCAACAGCGTGTCAATCCGGGAAAAACCCCCGTACTAAGTCCGTTCGATTATCGTTCAGAGATTTCAGCCTGGTCCATACAAACACAGAGTCGTTAAACGCGGCCCAGACAGTCAGACCGATCTATACTAGTTCTGCACCTGAGCACTGACCTCCTGGCCTGTTGCTCCAGAAGTTGTGTCTCGCCAAAAGGAAAAATCAAAAGCGAGAGGGCCTCCCATTGCCGGCGGACGAAGACTTCGGTGTTTATCATTGGGCGAAACGGAGGGAAGACAGCCAGACTAGTCTCATCCCAAGTTCATAGTCTCAGCTCTTCCTGTCCAGTCAATCACGTAGACTGTGCGCCTGCATTGGATAACCCTGTCTAGCGTGCACTACTCCTGCAATCTGCCACAACCCATACGCAGAAATCCCACATTTCTCTCACAGCAGAATGAGAGCCACACTACCAGCCCCCTATGGTTCTATCTAACATTCACGAGATCCCCAATTGCCGAGGGAGTCTGAAACGTATCCCACCTGCTGATCAGCCTGTCATAAAGTCAGAACACGCTGTGTGAGGTTCTATTGATTTGGGAAACGGACCCTTGTCATTATATCACATTTACTATAGGCATAAACGAGTCCGATGCCAATAATTGGCCATAGCTATAACGTTCCGCTGATACCACTCAGTGCCACCAGCTAGTTAGTTGGATTTATTCACCAGCGTGGGCCAGAACCCTGGCATACATAATTGAAGCCAGCATGTCGATACGTACATGGCCACTGAGACGCCCGAGGAGCCACTCTACTAATACATATAGTGTAATGAATGTCTAATTGCCACGTCCTTCATTTTTGCATTCCACGAAGAGCACTTGCATTCAGGTGGGCTACTAATTTTTCGCTAGAAACGGCCATAGCTTCTCCCCCGCTTTCTTTTGCAGGTAGGAAGACTCGTCAGAGTGAATTTGAAATGGAAACCACTTTTATCACATGAGACCTACTATAAATGAATATTCCAATTCGAAATTTATGCGCCATAATACTTGCTCATCCGTAACACTTAAGATTGGGTGAGACTCACACCCTGGAAGGTGACTAAATAGGCTGAATACAAATGCTAGGAAAGTATCATATAGTGTTAAATCTGTGCATGTGATTACATACGCACCATGTAGCATCCTATTATCTCGCCTAGTACTGTCCAATTGGTTCCAATATTACCTCATCGGTCCAAATAGCAAAATTGTGTTCACTGTATATAATGCTAGAAAAGTCGCATTGTGGAATTATACTTACCAGAATTCTAATTTTATTTTCACTACATCAATGTACGATAATGATATCAGAATATCACCAGTGGTTTGGTTTGTATACGATAAGTTGGATGCTATCACTTACGGGGGCGAAATGTCACAACATTTGAAGCAATCAAGCCCGAATATTGGTAGTGAGGACCCAATAAAATATTACACGCCACAAAAGACTTTGTCTGGGTTAAGGATATCTCCTGATATTGGTGACACCAATTAATGTAACTGATGCCTGATCAATTCCAGGCCTATAGTTTCTCGGAATTTTGAAGATTGTTGGGCGATTATTGAATCTTTCACCTTCTTATATTAAAAAACAACATAGTAAATATAAGAGCTACATCAGGAATTTGCATTCATTTATAATTTGATTTCATGAGTGAATGTCAGCTATTTGAATAGTTTGGTGACGAAATATTTACTGGGTGAAGTTGCCCAAACGGATATGCTCCTACCAAGCCAAGCCTTTTGACTTTTGACTTCGGAGCCATAGCTCGATTTCCCCCCAGCATTAACATTTGTTACCCCAAGTCGCCATCCAAACTCTGCTCTAATTGCGCCGAAACACTTACCAGGCCTAATTCACTTCAGGCCAATATTTCCAGTTAAGTCTCGTTTTGTTTCTTAAACGATTCTGTTCGGATAGAAATGGCTACTCGATGCGATTGCCGCCTGGCAGGCAACATGACGAACAGCGTCGGAAGAGCACTCAGTTCGTTCAAAACCGGAGCCATCACCACTCAATTTCTGAGCAAATCGAAACCTTTCCACTCCCCAAGTCGCAATTACACAAAAGTCGCGACTCGGCCTATTCGCAGCACCCAAGCTCCGCGCGCGTTCAAGAGCCCGCGATTCTCCTCTCAACTACGGTGCTACCACTCGCGATTCCATGCCCCTCTTCCAACACACGAGTACACAAACTCTCAAACCGCCATACTGTCTGCTGCGCTCAAGCATGTTCCTGACCATGGCTTTACAAAGCAAGCGCTGATGCTGGGTGCGCGTGACATGGGCTTCTTAGATGTTTCGATACAGCTATTTTCGCGGCAAGAGATGGACCTCATTCTGTTCTGGCTTGCAAGTCGACGCGGGCTTTTACGGTCAAAGGTAGAGAATGGTTTATTCGAGGGGAAAGAGTTGGCTGTGGAAGAAAAAATTAAGAGTCTGGTTTTGGAGCGACTGCGGATGAACAACGAGATAATCCACCGCTGGCAGGATGTACGTCTTGTGGACTATAAAGACCCCCACTGACTTTCTATTTTATACTAATATAAATGACTCCAGGCTCTTGCACGCATGTCGTTACCGTCGAATATCCCTCTTTCCATTTCCGAATTGCACTCGCTCTCTTCCGATATTCTGCACTTGGCCGGGGATGCCTCTATCGACGCCTCATGGTACACCAAACGTCTATCGCTGTCGACCGTTTATGCAAGCTCCGAGGTGGTCATGACCCAGGACTCTTCGTCAGGCTTTAAATACACCGAAGAGTTTGTTGAGCGCCGGTTCCAGGATAACAGTACAATTGGGAGCAAAATCGGTGGCGTGAAATCATACCTGGGCTTCATGGCTGGAACAGCTGTAGGTCTGGGACGAAGCTGGGGATTGAAGATTTAGTCGGCTTAACATATATAGCTTCTTTTTGTATTATTATAGATTATCTCTCTTCACTGGCTAATTTACTAGTTAATTTACTGGTTTTTATGGATTCTTTAGCTAGATCTTTACTACACTGTTACTTGATAGCTTTATTGATGGACTGCAATGTTTAGTCTAAGAGCTTTCCTAGGCTATTAGAGGTACATTTCTAGAGGGATTTTCATAAAGATGCATGAAATAATATTTGAATCATGGGTGCATATATAGCACGAAACGATTGTTTAATAGATCACGTGGCAACGCGCCGTGGTTTCCACGTGTTTCCGCATATTGGCGTTTTCGCTCCACACGGTCATCTCATCAGCCAATCTTCAGGAGAAGAGGAATGAAAGGAAATTTGATGCACCGGCTTGCTTTCAGCAATATATGATCCTTCACCATGCCGCGCACCCAAACAGAAGAACTCTCCGAGTTCGAAAAGCAGCGACTCGCGAACATAGCCGAGCGCGACGCCCTCCTCAAAAAGCTCACCCTTGAAGCCCAATCATCCGGTCTCTTCACGAAACCGTCGCCGGCCAGACCGGGCGCCAAAGATGGTGCATCACGGCCTAAGAAAAAACCAACCCCGCGTGTCAAAAAGGAGGAAGTTGAGGCGCCGATTGTGCGTCGCATGTCGTCCCGTCTGCGAGGCGTCACGGCAGATAGCGAGGTTGCGAAGCGCAAGGCAGATGAAGCATTTGAGGAATCACAAAAGTTGGAACGAGAGAAGAGGATGCGCAAGTCTGATTTCTTCACGCTGGATAATATGCTAGTGGCCGGTCAGAAGTTGAGTGGTGATGCGCTCATCGGAATAGATATGGTTACGAAGGGTGTCGCAAAGCCCTATGAGCGGACATTCGGCGAGGAGGATGTCAAGAAGACAACAGATAAGGAATTAAAAGCTCTCAGGGAGGAAATGAGTAACCTGCAATTGTGGGATCAGTGGGAACCGCAAAGTATGTTCGATATATGGTCTTGGAACGAAAATGGTTTGATGCTAATGGGGATACTTTCTTTGCAGGTCTCAAGATTACTCCCGAACGAATTTATACCATGACATTCCACCCCTCTGAAACCAAACCTCTAATCTTTGCTGGAGACAAGATGGGCCATTTGGGCGTGATCGACGCATCACAGAAACGGCCCGAGGTTGGCGATGACGACGAGGAAGAAAACGATGACGATCCAGCAATCACAATGCTGAAGCCGCATACTCGTACTATCAGTTCAATGGTTATTCAGCCCCAAAAGTCAACCCATCTCTACACAACAAGCTACGATAGCTCTATCCGAGAAATGGACCTGGAAAAAATGACCTCTGATGAGAAATACGCCCCAGAATCTAGATCTACCGACAAACCAATATCAGGCATTGATATGGCTTCTGATAATCCTAATTGTCTTTACTGGACCACATTAAGCGGCTCATTTAACCAATATGACCTTCGTGAGTCGAAGAAGACCGCATCCATTACAGAATGGCAATTATCTGAGAAGAAGATTGGCGGGTTTTCTCTATTTCCGTCTAATCCATACTTTTTTGCGACGGCGAGTCTTGACCGCACGATGCGACTGTGGGATCTCCGAAAACTATCACATGAAACCCCGGAAGCTATTGGAGAACATGAAAGTCGTCTGTCAGTTTCACACGCCGCATTTAACACTCAAGGCCAAGTTGCTACTTCATCTTACGATGACTCCATCAAAATATATGATTTCGGCATTAAGGGCATCTCATCGTGGGGACCGGGCCACCAGCTAGACGAAAAGGCGATGAAACCCGACACCGTTGTGAGACATAACTGCCAAACAGGACGCTGGGTTACAATGTGAGATTCCCCATGCCCTATTTTTTTATTAAATATAACAAATTATTAATGATGCTCGGTTACAGCCTGCGGCCGCAATGGCAGCAAAACCCTCAATCGCCAATTCAGCGCTTCTGTATCGGCAATATGAATCGGTTCGTCGATATATACTCTTCTAGTGGTGACCAATTGGCTCAATTGGGTGGTGATGGAATCACCGCTGTTCCGGCAGTCGCTGTCTTTCATAGGAGTAAGAATTGGGTTGCTGGTGGAACAGCAAGTGGAAAGCTTTGTCTGTGGGTGTAAGAGAGCTTTTTTATTTTTCCTATAATTTACATGCTCAATATACTTTATCCGACCTCAGGCTAAGCACTACGGCATGACAAACATGTATTGTACTCAATGTGCTATATGAAGCAAGCACCTAAGGTTTCCTGATAGAAACGCCCGCTTAGAATGTTAAAGAATAATATGGCTTACCCCAGAATGTCTACTGTAGATCAACTATCACCCGATGATACATGGCTTTCATAATGCTCGTTCCCGATTCGACGTCCACTTTTGGTACCAGATATTCATTCCCCTTCAATTATTGGGGTGAACCATAAAATTTCGCCTCTCAACGGTGGATCGCTCGATTGGTCCAGATTGGCCTCTTGCCACTAGGTTTGACCTCAGATGGCAATATCACCTGGTGTCTGCATCTTAGCGACCGCTCAATTCTAGGTCGAAGCTGAAAATATGTATGAGAAAGCTACACACAAGAGGCTAGGAGATTATGTCAATACAGTAATAATGGACATTATCTAATATGTTGACAAAAAATGAATTAACGAAATACAAGTAAGCATCTCAGAATGCCTCCAATCTCTCAAGCTTATATAGATGTGTAGTCACTGGTGGCTCACATGGGCCTGTTTCCCCGTTATTGCGGTAAGCCTTCTTCTTCCCTGTTCCTTTACTTATGGCTGATTAAAAATATCTAGGGAACACTATGTGCTATGGCCGTCATGTTTAATATATGTGCAGTAGCCCAAGGATGGCTGGAGATAGTAGAGGTTGATGGGAGTACAAGCACAGTGCCGCCGTCAGTTTGGTGAGTGTTTAATCTCCCTTTACCCTCTTGTATTCCATCTAGTTGCTAAATCACCGCTAGGTTCATTGCTCTCAAGGCGGTATCATTGACTTTAGCATCCATTACATACATTGGGTTTATCCTTACCATGACATCAAAACATAACCCAACCAAAGGATTTATTGCGACGATATCGGGTTGGCTTGTCGCAGCGACGGTGTTATTCAGCCTCATAGGTGTCATGGTTCGACAACATCGAATCATCCAACCGCCACAGTCATTGCAGTATACGCAGAATTTCTTCTATGGGATACTAGCTGCAGGTCTTTACATTCTGATAGCAATCTTCCTGGCTATTTACACCTCTAGCACGCACTCTATCCATCTGACCCGCGAGGAAAGGCGAAAGATTGAATGCACAAGTATCATCCTGCGATCTATCACATTTGCGATTTTTCTTATCGGAGGCGCCGGTACATACAGTGCCGTTGAAAGCTGGTCTTTCACGGATTCACTATATTTCACAGATTATACGCTCCTTACTATTGGCATTGGGAATTTTGCGCCTAGAACCCACCTTGGGCGAAGCTTGCTATTTCCATACGCCACTGCAGGAATTATCATCTTGGGCCTCCTCATTAGATCTATAACATCGTTCGCAAAAGGATTGAGAGATATGAAGCTCAGGCTCAGGCTTGAAGAGGAGCGAGGTAATTTTCATGAACGAAGGGACTTCGGTGGTTCTATTGACCAAACTCACGAAAACATCAAACAATCTTCCCATGTGATTGACAGTGCTCAATTCCCAGGGACAAGTGAAATTACGAACTTGCACCGCGTTAAATCTGACTTTTATCGGAGATACCGCTGGAAGGCCCTTCTACTGTTTTTGACATCATGGTTCGTCCTTTGGCTCGTCAGCGCCGTTATTTTCAGGCGATCCGAAAAGAGCCAGAACTGGAGTTACTCTACAGCCCTGTATTTTACCTATATATCCCTGACAACTATCGGTTACGGTGATCTCTATCCCACCAGCAATTTTGGCAAGGCTTTCTTCGTCTTCTGGTCTCTAATTGCTATACCTGTTCTAACGAACCTCGTCACTGCCATGGGTGATATTAGCCTTCGTGCGATTGTCGATTTCTTGAGTTATATGTGGAAATTTGGGGCTTTAGGAGTGGGACATATACTGCGGCGTAATAGGCATACGAGCAATTCTCGCGCCAGTGGAAAACGAAATATTAATGATGTCCCGAATCCAGAGTCACTAGCCTCAGGAACCGAGTTGGAAAATTATGCTTGTAGTTCATCTGCGGGCTGTCAATCTACAAAATACTTCCAACCTATAGGTATAACAGGCAGTTCTGCTACCAACGAAATAGAGCTCGGTAATGTGAAGAGTGAAACCAGTCAAAACAAGGTTTTGCTTGTTGAAGAAATTATGAAAATGGTGGCTGCTCTTAGGAATGGGTCTGTCGAATACGATCCATCTGATAATTGGACTAGAATCCTTCCCCTTCTGCATGCAGGGGAAGCGAAAGGACCAGATTCAGCGCAAGTAACGCGTCCTGCGGTCTTTCAAGCCCCTGAAAAGGACACGACGAGGAGGGCTATGAGTTCCGAGAGAGTGCTAGCTGATAAAAATGCTGAACTTCTTTGGATGCTACAATTCATGGTGGAGAAGCTTTATTTAGATTTAAGGGAGGAAGAATTGTATAGGAAGGTAGAGTGAAAAAGACTTGCTTTCACTTCATGTGGCAAGAATTAAGCTTCAAATTTCTTTTTGAATGCGCGTATAACTAGAGTCTGCTAGTTTGTACTAAAATAATCCTCTGTATTCTATATTTTATTAATTTATACAGCTATGAATTGATTATACGGTCTCAAAACCTGAAAGTTTCACTATCATATGAGTGCTGCATTATACACAATTAAGATAGTACATCAAAAGCCTCAAGGAGACTATTTTTTCTGGATCTCCTGGGTTCCTTTTCGCCCATCAATCGGGAGACGGCTATCTCTGCGCTCAGTACGCTATATTCCATACTGAATGTTGTTTCACCCGGTATCTCGACGAATTGTCCCACTAATGCAACATTAGTTGTTCCCGAAGGAATAACACCCGGGCGGTCACCTTGCTTCCTTGTGAGCATAGCAGATGTGGCATACGGAGAGAGGCAGGGAATAGTAATCGAGGTTTTGAGAATATCGTCACCGGGTAACTGCAGATGCCATAGTAGCTCCTTCATAATCTCTTCACCCGTGCAATTATACATGGGCTTCTGAACAATATTTCCATCATTTTGTGAGTCTAGCCCATAGCCCCAGAAAATTTGAACATTCGAGGGTTGATTTGAGAATATGGGCTGTTGAGGGACATTGATAGTTATGCACCAGTTGCTATCGACCAATGTCACAAAGGATCCTGACCCGGGCTTATTATGTGTTAATTCAGTGTACAAGTCAAAGAAAGGGGAGTCGCTAAGAGTAACAGTAAATGTCACTAGTTTAGATTCTCCAATCCGAGAACAGAAATTGGAAGGATTCCCAAATTCAGGACTCTTTTTGGATAGCTCGAACCAGAAAGACCAATCCGAATTCTGCGCATCTTCCATCATTAGTCCAAGTGGCTTCGGATGTTGGGAATTAGACCCTAGCGAAACGTTTGATCTGATAGGGCCCGGGTTGGCGATAAAGATATCTTCTGGGCAAATAGGGAGAGATACATTCCCGTCATTTTTTGACAGGAATTCGATCCCGATAACGCTTGTGGTACCGTTAGAAGAACTTGTGCTGATAAGCTTGGGTTCAGCTTGTTGCCAAACATTGACACCTTTGCTAAGAACAAATTCTTCGATTGGTTTGATGATCGAGGTATGTAGAGTATATTGAGTCCGACGGAAGATGTTTGAATCATTCAAGCTTTGAATTCCATGTAGATATTTGCACAAATGTCGTCGGAATTCTTCAGCACTATGCCAGGGCTGCATCGCGAATCTATGTTTATCTGTCAGAATCTATACCACTCACACGAAATGAGAACAGAAATTAAACAACAGCGATGAAGCGAATAAAAAGAGCCAGTTCTCGGTTGTGCATAAGAGTGTAGAACATACGTGGTCGACCAGAATATCCAAAAGTTAGAAGAGAAAAACTCGGAATCGAAAACCTCTCTGACGGCTTTATCGCCAAGAGTGCTTTCATCTTCGAGCATAAATCTGAATATAGTTAATCGATCCTGTAGCCTAAGGTGAAGCCGTTTGGTGTCAACTCTCGTAGGTTTGGGACTTGCTCCCGCAAGAAGACGCGTCGAAGCCTTCGGCAGGCCATGCGCCCTCCGTGCGTCGTCCTTGATGATATCGTTCAGAGATCTACCTTGTTTTGAAACATCAGGGACAAGCTTGAGGAGATCTTCCACACAAGGGTCATGGTAGTAGGGTTGGAGTCCAGCATGAACGGTGTAGCCATCTACAGGGTTGCCAAACGCATTGGCAGTGTGATTTTGGTCTCCATAGAGTTCGATGAAATGTATGTTAGGACCCGGTACACCTAGCTCTACCAGACGAACTATGGCAGAGAGACATCCAATTCCGCCTCCGACTATGAAGCACTTAGTTGTGCGAGGGTCTTTCTTCAATCCAGCGCCTTGCATATCTGCGTTGTATGATGAATATCATGTGAAACGATACTATTACGAGACAAGTGACAATAATGAAGGATTATATGCCATGTAGGATCTCCTATGTCTATGACGCATTGACTTGCATCTTGAATTGTTGAAGGTTGGAGAGGTCATACGATGTGGGAATGTATCCGAATCCGGAACCTCCAATCAAGGGACGCGCTTTACACAGCTGTTTACCTACTGAGCAAAATTAGTATCATGCATTTCATATTGCTTGAGTTATCAAACCGCAATCAACATCCAAAAAGATAAGCAGGCACAAAAAATCGTCTTCTGAGGTTCCACCGGGAGTCTCCCGGGTCTCTGGAATTCACGAGTCAAAATCGTCAAAATCCTACAATAAAGATCAGTATGTTTATCGTCATGTTTCTGGACATTATACGAGCACCAGCGTGCTTACCACTACACTTTGGAACCAATAGGCGGTTGTGGCGACAAGAAATGAGTCATGGTAGATTACTGATAATATACATACAATTCATGTATCATCGATTTAGGGATATAGTGAGATTAATTAATAGACCCCATATTGACTCTGGACACTTTTTGTATTATTTTGAGCTCGCAATGAGCGTATCTCCTATATACCCATACAGCCCAACATCCCTATGTATATGTCTAATGTTGTAGTAGATCTTTTTTCGACATACATGAGGAAAGCGCAACCAAAATGGTTCCAAACATAACCAACCCAGAACCAAGAAAAGGCTCGTTTCAGTATCCAGCCATGGGGTCTGTACGCAATGGAGGAAACAAAAAAACGGGTAGGAAACACGCTTCGTAAGAGAGATAGAAGAAGAAATTTAGGAGAGGGTATCCAACACCAAATCAAATGCATGCAAAAAGGTAACAAAGCGCTTGGGGGTAAGAAAGTCTTCAAATAATCCAAGGGGTTGTAGACGTTGAGAACTTCGAGGATATTGGCTGTCATTATCGTGGATGTAAATCACAGTATTAAGCCTTTCATGGCATGGTGTGAAATCAATAATATGCCTAAAAACTGTGGATGAGGCTGAACCATGATTATATTAGGCTTGTTGCTCAGCAAACGGTAATAATTAGGTAAAGCTCACGAGTATATCATGCTCATTTCGCCAAACGTTGAATAAAGAAATTCGTAAGGGTGCTTATTCAGTTGTACAGAAATATTATTCTCCGGTTGAAAGATTGATGGGAGTATCGAGTTTAATCTTTATTCTTGCGTCTTGACGGCCCTGGCACAAAGTCCAAAAGTCGTAGTTTGCTTGATGTTTCTCGTCCAATTGTTGATTGTCTACTTCTGGCGTGTTCTGGTTCGTCGAGTGAGTACTGTGATGAGTTCTGAGAATTCGCGGCACTCTCACGTAAATCTGACGGCTTTGCTAATGTGAATGGTAGACGCTGTTGTTCCCACGTCGCTGAGGAAGAACTGGGAGGGGTATCCTCGTCGTCTTCTCCACCGGTATCGGTCGACCTGCGTGGCAAAACAGGCCTTGTCGCAAAGTAACCAACAGAGTTGCGATGGCTCGAGACAACAGCAGAGGCAGTGAGTGGTGTCTCCGTGGCAGGAGTAGTTGGTTTGGAATCATCATCGTAAAATGAAGTTGACCGATCCATCGATTCAACAAGTTCCTCCCATTTGACTTCAAGGGTTCCGTTGGGTCGTTCAGCCTGCTCAGCCTTACCAAAACACTCTCTCGTCCGTTGCTGGAGTTCTAGCGCTAGAGTGTTGAACCTAGCAATATTTGGATCCAGCTCTTCCAATTCGTTTAGCCTGCTTGGAGCACTTCGTAACCAAAGTTTGATAAGCGCGGCAAAACTCCTCGCATGATCGATAAGGAAAGGTAGACTAGGAAATCCTTCTCTAGATGTCACAGGTAATCGCCCCAGAATTTGTATTGGTGTGGCATATTGAGGCGTGACTATTTGTGCGGGTCGTTCGGCTGGAATGGAGCAAATCGTATCTACGAATTCCTTGAAAGCTGAGCGATTCATGAGAAGGAATTTGTTCATGGGCTCCATCCATGGCTCTTTGCCACCGAAAGTAGTCATATTTGCGAGGCCTTGCAGAGCCTTGGCGATAAGAGTCAAAGTACGTTGAGCGCGAGGACGTGGATGTTCTATTCATCTCATTAGCCCAAAGTTGACAATGCTAGACGTTGATAGAACAAACCTTTCATCAAACCGAATAACTTGGGATTTAGAATTGCAGGACAGAAAAACCGCAGGAATAGAAAACCTGATACACTGCTGTAAGTGACGGAGCGCAAAAAGTCGCCATAGCGATCCTCGGCACAGGCTCTAACGTGTCTGAAGATACGCCGAAGTTCAGAGGGACACCTAGAAGCAGATCCAGCAATGGATTTCCAGAAAAGGCTAGTTAGACCGATAAGATTTCTCCAATTGCGATCCAAGTCTTCAGGTCGTGTGCGCATGGGATCAACTTCACAGTCAGGATCACTTTCATCTAGATCACGAACTCGCTCTCCAATAGTTTCCTCCAGGTATTCCTTTCCAAGACGTCTCATATGCATATCAAGAGCTTTGGTTAGTAAAGAGTTGCCTCTGAAGAGTAAATTGGCTTCGATGGTCGCTGAACGTCCAAGATCTCTCACGATTACCTCCCGATCATGCCCAGACTCCTTTGAATCGTTGGAGTGTAGTCTTGCGGTGTACCTAAATCTATGATGGACATTGGTAGTTTGGTCTTTGCCGAAACCGTCGATTTCATCCTCGACTAGAGCCGCTATCCACTCTGGAGCCTGTCCTGATACCTGGAAGATGTTGAGTAAGAGCTCAGAAAGTCTGCTGAGTTCTGTTGGCAAAACATGTACCATGTTTATCGTCAGGTTATTTGGAAATGCGTGAAGGAGCTCGGACATAGGCTCATATTCATGCGACATTAAAACGATTGTCTCGTCTAATTGGACCTTCATGTACATTTCTCCAACTTGTTGGTCCCTGTCGTCAATGATAGGCCACCATTTTTCATGGTCAACTCCTGATTCAAGTTCATCTAGCCGGAGGTCAACCCGTCCGCATGTAGCATCATGTGACGCTACCTCAAGATCATCCAGAATAGACATAGGGTTTAGTTGAGCATCCAATGTATAGGGTCCATGAGCAATGAGTGTCCAATCCTTTTGTACGGGATTAAGCGTCTTCAGTAGAACGGAGACATTGGAAAGGATCGGGGGCAAATCGTTAAAAGTAAAGTCTTCCCTCCAGAAAGGAGTAGAGGTCTTCTCCTTCACTGCTGTTTTAGCCCTGATTTCTCCATCCAGAAGGACCTCGGCATAATAATCACTGGGGGCGCTCTTTTCGGCGGATTTGGACTGAGCTTTACTTATTGATGGCTCTTTCTCTTTGTTGCTAGCATTCGTCAGTCTAGCCTCGGTGATTCGTACTGACAATAATCTTTCGATTCGAAACATATCTGTTGTTGAGGTTGAGGTTGGGAGTGGGTTCACTGGGTATTGTGGACGGCTTGGGTCATCGGAAATTGCATTTTCAGGTCCATATAGCTCGGGAATGGTGAAGGCTCGTAGTAATACAAACCACACCTCAAAGAGTACCCGGCTTTCTAGGGAGAGGAAAATAGGACGCGAAGCAGACTCTGATACAGATATTGCAGCATATTGAGGGTAAATCGCAATGCAGTACTCGTCACCCAAGACCGACGCATCAAGCTGTTGCACCGAGCAACGGGACAATTGCGATAGTTGGATTACGGCGAGAACGTTCGCGTCAGTTTCCGTGTACAATTTGAAATAACCATTCTCCTGCAACGTACAGCTCACTCTTTGCCATGCTGGGGAGTGTAATTTTTGCTGCCGATATGTCGACACCTTCCATGCGGGTTCCGGGCGTGCACCAGAGACGCTAGGCTTTTCCCATAATAGCATCTTTCCAACCTTGATAATAGCAGCATCCTTCTGCACAGCACTCTCGGAATTTCTCCGGCGATCAACAAGACGCCGATCGCCAATCGTCACCGACTGAGGCTTTGTTCTTTTATTCTGCACACCTTTGGGGCGAATTGGCTGCCAACACAACAGTGCTGCAAGCCAGGAGTCGAAAGTCTCGTTGACGTGAGGTTTGAGCTGGATACCTAGACCAGACGTAAACGTTGAGACACTTAAATACGTCGATTGAAGATCAGTGTCGAAAAGAGTGCGAACATGGCATCCACGGAGGTCGGGAATAAGAGTTTTCGCCAGGGCGACTTCTCCTTTAGCTTGGTATATCAAGCTACCTGTCGCCACATTGATTGCGCAGTAACCGGACGTCCATTGCGCGTTTGTGGCAGTTCTAAAGGAAAGAATGCCGTGCATCCTTCCACATGTTGACTTCATCAACTGGAGTATCTTGGTTGAGTCGGCATTAGACAGAGGGGACAAAAAGGCGGCCGGATTTTTAGATACTCCCGTGATCAGCCCAGCACCGCCTGGGGCAGCGGCTCTAGTCAAGCGTTGTCGACCACCAGGTGGACCTGAATAGGTTGGCGATTGGATGATGGAAGGATAGCCTATTGACCCTACTGATTCCTCCGATACTTTAGTATTGAGGGGTGTTGTTGATGTGTTAATGGAGTTGAGGCGGTTTCTAGTTCGCGACAGAAAGTTGGGGGATATCTCGCTCCTCTGTTCATCCAAGGTAGTCGTCCTCGACCGGACGCGTTGTCCTTTTGCCTCGGGTGGTAGATCATCTTCATCGCCGGCAGAGTGATATGGGCTAAATTCCCGCCGGCGGTCCCATTCAACGTTCTTCGATCGGACAGTCGAGCGGGGAGAAGCAGCGGCGCTGGTAGATAGTTGGTCGGGTTCTGACAAGGACGAGTGATTGCCGGTGTCGGAGACCGAATCTGGTGTTACAGTCCTGATAGTCGTCTGTTGAAAACTATCCGGATAGACCATCCCGTGACGGTCTTTGGATGATGACTTTTTACTTGGTCGTCGCTCAACGGGACGACTATAAATCCCTTGATGGGTTGAGTTTCGCCGAAACCCATTGGAGCGTTCTTGGTCCATCTTTCCCACTCCTTGTTATCAACCTGTATCTTCTTGGCGCAGCGGTAATATCCAGACCTTGATGAAATTCGAATTCGCATATAGTAGCCGACCTGAGCCTGCCGGTCCCAAAAAGTGGAGGAGTGCCTATGAACGCTGGGTTGCTACCGGAACACATGGAGGTCGAAAGTTATGCATTGACCAGTATGAAAGCCGCCGGTGATAGTGACTGGGGGTTCGATGTCCCTCCTTGTGCGAGAGGGTCGAAGATGGCTCGGCGGGTGCTTTTAGGTCACCACTGTCGCCGATGTCAGTGCGAACCCACTATGTGCATCAACAGCAGTCGGGCGTTGCAAGATTAAGTTAGATATCAGATTTGACTTCAACAGAGATCGTAAGGCCGACAATTGCAGGATCAGGCGCCGGCACTTGGGGGAAAGGCCGCGCAGGGGGTTCTTCGCACGGTGACAAGTAATGGTATGGGTTTTGCACGGGTGGGGGGAGGGGAGGAGTCGACGCCAAGTTCCAGCACGATCGCACACCGGGTATCGCAGGGCAAGCCACGCGGGTCTATGAGCGCATGTATGGAGGTGAATGTATATTCATATATATAAAGACAGACAAATAAAAGGAAACTTGAAGAGATTGTAGTGTCTGCGGGTGGTGTCCAGGCCCTGGGGAATGGGTGTTCTGTGGGAAGAGATAGGAGAATTGGTGCGGGAGTTGCTCTTAGTGTCGTCGACGCGGGCTATTAATTAACTATTATGCTTGCTCCTGCGTCTTCTTCCATTATGATTGTTGTTATGCTGCCAAGCGATACGGCTAATTTCACGACCGCCATTCGGGAGCCAATTTATTACGATTATTATTCTTCTTCTCACGTCGTCAATATCAGGTTACTAATTATTCCTACACCGCGACATGTCCAAACTTGAGCCGCGCTGATGCCGCGCTGATGCCGCCGGGCCTGGCGATTAGACTGGGCGAAGCAATTACTCGCAGGCACCCGGATTGCCAGCGACATGATGATGGTAATCGAACCTGCGATGTCGCAGCTCAAACTTGGGATGCCAGGTTATTCGCCACTGATGCACCACTTTCGGACGAGACTACTGGTCGGCATCGGCGGAAGTTGGCCCCATGCCCAGTAAAATATCATACTAATACTCGCTGCAATGGCGTTTATGAGATCCCTGCAGGCTTGCAGCTAGAACACCGTCTGCTAGTCAGTCAACGGGCATCTAGAGCCTGGAGTGGACGACTGCCGCGGACTTAACATGGTAGATGCCAGTAAATGGGGCCAAGGAGCGAGGCGGTGGGCGATGATCTTCCTATCATGATTCATGATTCATGACTCTGGACTCTCGACTCTCGCTGCCCTTTTTCCTTAGCCTATTCGAGCATATTAATAATATCTTCGTACATAACTACTCCCACATATCCAAGACCACGCTCTTCAGAAATATGAATCTGGCTAAGACCAATGCATTAATAATGCCGCATATTGGTGCTGACACCTACCGAACTGGCTCTGATTGTCTCCGACTATGCGGCTGGTCCAAATGGGGTCCCTAGCTGCAGAAGAAGCATACCATCGTGCATCTTGGCGTATTAAAGGGCTTCGAAGGGCAGTCTCTGGTGGAGATAATAGTTAATACATCACAGCAGGAGGAGCAGAAACCTGATTGATCAGTCTAGAAAGAAAGCACCAAAGCCGCCAAGCTAGGCGCTGGCAGCCTAAGGCAACAACAATGCCAGATTTGGACTCTCGGGTGTACCCTATGCCAGGCCAATATTATCATTAACCAAAAAATTATCATCTTCTGGCCAGTATGCGACTATGCGTGGGTGGGAATCCACAGTGAGCGGACGGCTTAGACATTGTTATTTAGGATTTGCGTATGTGGTATATTGCTAGGGCATTTTCCCTTCTCTTGGTCTGATTGAAACAATGGGCAGTAGCAGCAATGGAAGCTGATATGGTGAGTATGTCTCGGCTTATGATTTGCTCAGGATCGATTCAACCACATACCCACAACTTCTCTGTTTCGTAATAGTTCACATTTCACAGTGAGAAGCAAATAGTGCGTACTGCATCTGTGATCACCCCATGGATGATATCTTTATAAACTGCCCTGCTTTCGGGGATTCAACCAATCAGAATCTGAGATCTGACCTGCTCCGGCACGCTCAGCCAATCACATGTACCTTGCCCCACAGTAGCTGTATCTCGATCGGACGTTATCGCGTCGCATGCACCTTCTACTATGGGCTTGTTTAGGTTACTTTGCTGTGCACATCTTGTCTTGTTTTGTGTATTATTTGACTTGGCTCCATTATGAAGCATATAGATATGCCGTCTGAAAATGTATAAATCTAATTGAAATCGCCTCCAGAGATTCCATCCCTTGATTGCCTCAACGTATCGACAAAGTGCAGTGTGAATTCTCGTTAGGATGATACTTTCCAACTACCTGGTCCTCGGTCTGACTAGTCTGCATTCCTATGTAATAGCCACTGCCGACATTGAGGCCCCATCTACATGCAGAAAAACAAGCGTTGCAATTTTGTCAGTCTATCATGTTTACCGCATCCTCAAGCAGTGTCAATTGTCATGCTAACGAATGGGTTGCAGAGGCGGTGGAGCTGCCGGTGTAGCTGCTGGTGTGAGCAATCACATGGCTTGAATCATGAGCTGAGATATAATAGATACTAATCCATCCGCAGAAAGCTTTGTCGAACGCGTCCATAACTGATTTTCTCATTATTGAGTATCAGGATGATATCGGAGGACGTGCAAAGCATACCACCTTTGGAAAAAAGAGTGATGGAACACCATATGTTGTGGAACTAGGCGCAAACTGGGTGGGTGTCTCTAGAGAACGAGTAGGAGGAGTTGAAAGATTACTGACTGCCTCAACAGGTTCAAGGGCTTGGAGTTTCTGGTGGACCACGTAAGCTCCCTCTTTCCCACTCTCATAAGAAGTGATCGATGCTGATTACTACTTACTAGAAAATCCCATATGGACAATGGTACGTTTACTAATTCTAGGACAATCATGTCTGGTGGGCTAATATTCTAGGCCCAAAAATATAACCTAACAAACACGTATTCAAACTACAGCTCCATACTCACTTATAATGAAACTGGGTTTACGGATTTCAGTGACTTACTGGATGTTTACGACAATGCAGATACCATCATGGGTGACAATTCTGGAGAAATCCTTCTTCATAATTTGCAAGATCAGACTGCGCGCACTGGACTTTCGCTTGCTGGGTGGAAACCCAAACAGAACATGGCGGCACAGGCTGTTGAATGGTGGGAATGGGGTATGTTTGCCACTTTTTTGAAAATTACTTCGAGAGAAAATTTCATATTGAGTTTACCTTTATAGACTGGGAAAGTGCCTACTCGCCCGAAGAAAGCTCACTTGTGTTTGGAGTCGCTGGCAACAATGTGACATTCAACTATTTTAGCGACGCCAACAACTTCGTCTTTGATCAGCGCGGTTTCAGCACCATCTTCAAACACGAGGCCTCGGCATATCTAAAACCTAATGACCCCCGTCTTCTACTCAGGACGCAGGTAACAAATATCAGTTATTCCACAGATGGAGTAACAATACATAATCATGATGGTAGTTGCATCGATGCCGAGTACGCAATCTGCACTTTTTCTCTTGGGGTTCTTCAGAACGACGTTGTGAATTTTTCTCCCCAATTACCTGACTGGAAGGAGACAGCGATACAAAAGTTTGCGATGGGTACATACACCAAGATCTTTTTACAGTTCAACGAAACCTTTTGGCCCGAAGATACACAATATTTCCTCTATGCCTCACCGACAAGCCGAGGTTACTATCCCGTGTGGCAGTCTCTTTCAACTCCGGGATTCTTGCCGGGATCGAACATCATATTTGTCACCGTTGTACATCGAGAATCTTACCGAGTCGAGAACCAATCAGACGAAGAGACAAAAGGTGAAGTGATGGCTGTGCTGAGACAGATGTTCCCCAACATTACCGTCCCCGACCCCATTGCATTTATGTACCCCCGTTGGACTACGACACCCTGGGCTCATGGAAGCTATTCGAATTGGCCGCCGTCCACTTCTCTTGAAATGCATGAGAATCTCCGCGCCAATGTCGATAGGTTGTGGTTCGCGGGAGAAGCTCTGAGTGCCGAGTTTTTCGGATTCTTGCATGGGGCTTGGTTTGAAGGTCTTGATTCTGGATCTAGCATTGCGGCGCTTCTAAAGAATAAGACTTGCGATTCGAGTTCTGGCTCGAGTGCGAAAGGTTGCTCCATTCGCAAGCATTACGAAGTCTTACACGGACCAAGCCCTCTGGCAGATTATGGGGTTTTGAACGGGTGGCCGATTAGCTCGTTCATTGACAATAACAGCGACTAACTGCAATAACTCAAAGCCCACCATACGTATGTCGTCTGCGGTCTGGAATATGTTTATAACTGTCGCAAAAATGTATCTGTCGAATATTATAGGGCGTATAATCCGTATATGAATGGGGTACAATATAATATGGTCAGGATCTTATCAGCACTACATCAATCGATAGTAAACGTATCTTCGAAAGCTCGTCACAGCAACATTGAATGATCATATCGAAGTAGTGGACTTTGAATAGGAGAGCGCCTTATCTTATCGGAGAAGATCACGTGCCTAGGGCACGTGCCAAGCTGCGTCATGCGCGACAACAGTACTTCAGCCTGTACAGCTAGGCATTAATCACGAGGGAATGAAGTTAGGTCACATTGTGGTTTGTGGGCTCTTGTGATCTCCTGTCGCATTATTCAGTTGTCATCTTCATCTTCGCGTTGGTGAAGCTACCTATGGCAACACCACCAGCGTGACTGCCGCCATGAAAGTGAAAGGAACTGGCGATCGGTACGACGTCCTATAACCGGCCATGATGAACTCTAATATATTATCACGGCTGCTCCCTTCGACGGGCTCGCCTTCCATCTACGAAGCCATCAGGAACGACGACGAGGCTTCGATATCGGATACCGAAGAGCGCGCTGCCATGGCTCTAGACGAAGAGAACCTCCGAGAATCGCTACACAGTTACAACCTCGAAGATGCTGCAGACAGCCAGGTAACAACGCATAGCACGGCGTTTCTGGGGCAAAGACCCCATAAGAAATCATCCAACATTCATTCTAGGAAAACGGGAAGCGGTGCTGGTCCTTCGCGACCCCGTTGGATGCACTCTCCGCGAGGAATCCTCGAAGCTGATGAGGGAGACGATGACGTCCCTGCATCTTTGCTAGTGGAAGGTAATGATATGGAGGATCTACCAAAGCCTCCAGCACCCCCACCTCATCATATCGACGATGATCACAACCGTTTTCCAGATGACCGACCATCACCTCTGATTTCGCGAGACCAATGGAGGACTGGACGAGATCCACAGGATCATGTTTCCTTTTTGCCGGCGCCTATTCTTTCCCGAGCACGACGGACAGGTGGACTGTCAGGCATGGCATCTGCAAGTCCTAAGGATAAGGCTATGTGGAGGTGGGCGAATGTGGAGAACCTGGACAACTTCTTGAAGGATGTATACATTTACTACCTTGGAAACGGTATCTGGTGTATTTTACTGAGCCGCACACTTAACTTACTGTATGAGCTTCAAAATTGAAACCCCTGGAAGTACTGAATTAACAACTAATCGGATTTAGGACACTCGCATTTGTTGTCGGTTTCACGACTTTCTTGTCAAGTTGCGTCAACTACAGTGCTATCCCAAATAGCGAGTCCTTGGATAAGATATTGGTTCCGAGATGCATGACCAAGATTTCTACGTCGACAACATTACTTCTTTGGTTGTTCACTTTTTTCTGGATCGGCAAATTCATCCAATACGTACTAGACGTTCGGAGGCTCCGACAAATGCACGACTTCTACTTATATCTACTAAATATCTCTGACCCCGAAATACAAACAATATCCTGGCAAGAAGTTGTCAGTCGATTAATGACTCTGAGGGATTCCAATCCAGCCACAGCTGCGGCAATACCCGCCAGGCATCGCAGATTCATGGGTAGCCAATCCAAGCAGCGCATGGATGCACATGATATAGCTAATCGACTCATGCGGAAAGAGAATTACCTGATAGCTCTATTCAACAAGGATATCCTTGATCTCACTCTCCCAGTACCGTTCCTCCGAAACCGACAGCTCTTCTCTCGCACTCTAGAGTGGAACTTGAATCTGTGTATTTTGGACTATGTTTTCAATGAACAAGGCCAAGTGCGGCCGCTTTTCCTCAAAGACACGCATCGAAGAGCCTTGAGTGAAGGATTAAGAAGACGTTTCGTTTTTGCGGGCATAATGAACATATTCGTGGCTCCTTTCATCGTCGTTTATTTCATGATGCACTACTTTTTCAGGTATTTCAATGAATACCAGAAGAACCCGTCGCAAATTGGATCGCGGCAGTACACACCCCTCGCCGAGTGGAAATTCCGCGAGTTCAATGAACTTTGGCATCTTTTCCAACGCCGAATTAATATGTCGTATCCTTTTGCGAGCCGATATGTGGACCAATTTCCTAAGGATAAAACTGTACAGATCTCACGATTTGTAGCATTCATTGCAGGAGCACTTGCGTCAGTTCTGGCACTGGCATCTCTACTGGATCCAGAGCTATTTCTGGGATTTGAGATTACACCTGGTCGTACTGTTCTCTTTTACCTTGGAATATTCGGCAGTGTATGGGCAGTTGCCCGTGGGCTGGTGCCTGAGGAAACAGATGTTTTTGATCCTGAATTTGCACTCATCGAAGTGACAGACTTCACACATTATCGTCCTGCACACTGGACAGGACGTTTGCATAGCGATGAAGTGAGACAAGAATTTGCCATGCTGTATCAGATGAAGATTGTTATATTCCTGGAAGAGATTTTAAGCATGATTTTTACACCATTTGTTCTCTGGTTCAGCCTTCCCAAATGCAGCGATCGCCTGATTGATTTTTTTCGGGAATTTACCGTCCATGTAGACGGGCTGGGCTATGTCTGCTCTTTTGCAGTTTTTGATTTCAAAAAGGGCACAAATGCCAACGTCGAAAACCGTGATATCCATCATAATCGCCCTGCGCGGGACCTACGTGATGATTATTTTTCAACCAAAGACGGAAAAATGCTGGCTTCGTACTATGGATTTTTAGATAGCTACGGTGCAAACCCTCGCGCTGGTGCAGGTCCTGGGACACGAAGACGATTCCATCCTCCTCCATCGTTTCCTGCGCTTGGCTCAGCACTTCCAGCCGACGCAACTCCCCGTCCAGAACGGTACGATCAGACACAAATCCGCCAGTCACCAGCGACTGGGCCGTTGAATCATTACCCTACGATGCGCGCATCTCGATTCGGAGGCCCCCCAGCTCCCGGCTCTCCTCTTCACTCAATGCTCCTCGATCCACATCACCAGCCGTCCGCATCAGCACTCCGTTCAACAAATAGGGTGGGTAATCAACCACGTTCCCGTCAATATCATCAAGCTGCTACGTCCAATGATGTTACGGGAGAAGCCAAAGAGTTGTCCATTGCCGACGGTCCTAGTTCTTCCAAAGACCGTGTAGCCCAATCTGGCCAAGTTGGCGAGGATTCTACTGGAGCAGTCGCCACCAGTGACAATAACCTTGAGGGGTCTTGGCGCATCAATCTCGCCGGGGAGGCGGATGACGACGATAGTGTAGAAGAAGGAGACGAGGTGGAAGCTGTAGTCAACGGCCCCGGCGGTGTCCTGGGCTTGCTCCAGCAATTCCAAAAGGTCAACAACGAAAGCAGGGCAGGCGGGGGAACAGTCGGTATATGAGCTAAGAGGTTGCTCTACTTCTTATCTTAGTTGTGCGCATGTTTTATTAGTATCGATAGAGCTATTATTCCTCCGGCTGGAACGACCGTTTCTGAGAAGCATAGATTAGCGTGCATTTAATCCTTTGGAATAAGAATGCAACGCTATTAATGGGAATCAAGATTCACATGACAAAGAGTAGCATAAAAATTTAACGAGGCTCCTATCCGAGGCCATCGCTAACAGAGCAGCAACCAGTTATTTAACTAGCTGGCATTAGCAGGATCCTAGCAGAATCTAGAACGCGATGCGATTATAAGGTTGGTCATGTGGCTCCGCGGTGGCCGACGCCGGAGCCCCCGCTGTGATTGGCTGGCTCCACGCGGGGGAGCCGTCTCCCACACTTCCACAGCCTCAGGGACGATCCATGCTTGTTCTTTCTTCCTCACGTCATTGTTATCATTGCCATTATCACCATCATTCGTATTGCTATCGCGGCACTGATTCTAGCTGGCTCTTTGACATCTCAACAAGCCAGGTGGTCTGTCTCTGCTGCATTCGCTGCTGTGGGGCTCATTGCTCGTTACTACCATAGTACGCCGAACACTGCAAGCGGCTCTGGGCATTGGCCATTGGGCAAGCCCTGGCTGGTCCTCGGCGTTCCCCTAGGACCTAGGTAAGCGCTCGCATTTTTGCTCCCCCCTCTCTCTGCTATTTCGACGATTTAGCTGCACCTGCACTGCTGTCCTTTATTCGTTGTTTTCTTACTGTTTCCAATGCAGGCTGCACAGGTACCACGCGATAGCAGCTGTGTGTGCGGGTTTTTCACAAGCCGCCGTCGTTACTGTTGAAGTGCGCCCATTGAGTTAACGAACGGCTTCACATGACAACACCATCACGATAAAATACCATCCGCGTCATCCAATTTCAGTCCCCGCTCGTTGAGACGGGCAGTTGAGTTGGCGACCATGCTTCGAACTCCTCGCCGATACCGCTTTTTCCTGGTCTTCAGCATCATATTTGCTCTAGCTTTTCTCAACTTCATAAGATCTCGAAACTGGTCTGATTCAACACAGCCCATCACAAAAGTCCCCGAGGTGAAGATACCGCCGCCGAATAGGAATGGCGACTCGTCTTCATCTCATGGCTTCTCCCATGACCCACCAAGCTTTTCAGATGATGATATTCGTACCTTCCCTGACGATTCAGACTATAGTCGAATCGAAGCCCCAAAGCCGGCCGATGCGCAGTCTGGCCTGAAAAGGCCTCCGGTCAACAACAACGATAACAATAACAACAACAAAGACTCTACGATCGCTGATACCGACGACAGCCCCGTCAGACGTCCCGGAAGCGATAAACCAAAAGCGAACACTGCGACTCCTGTGCAAAACACAGTCGATTCAGATAAGTCCGATGAACCGAATAGCGGGACAGCGGCTGAGGGAGTCGCCGTTAGCGACGAAGATGATGAAGAATTTGGTGCTACAGGCCAAGGAAGGCTTGATATAGAAGCTCCTGTGAACAATCTACAACGTCCACACTGGAAAAAGCTCCCAGAACATTTTCCCGTTGCTGCATCCGACCTCATCAAACTTCCGTCCGCCCAGCCAAAGACACTCCCTAAACTTCAGGCAATCCCCAAAGCTGAATCATCGACAGACTCCATTAAGCGTACTCAGAGACTTGCAGAAATCAAAGCCGAGTTCCTGCATGCATGGAAGGGGTATAAAGAAAATGCGCTTGGCCATGATGAAGTCAGACCTGTCAGTGGCGGTTTCCGTGACCCATTTGCAGGCTGGGGTGCCACTCTTGTTGATGCTTTGGATACACTTTGGATCATGGGTTTGAAGGATGAGTTTGCGGCAGCAGTGGACGAAGTCAAACAGATCGACTTTACTACCAGTTTTCGAAAGGACATTCCTATTTTTGAAACTGTAATCCGATACCTCGGTGGCCTTATTGGCGCATACGACATATCTGGCGGAAATTATCCGGGCCTGTTGGACAAGGCAGTTGAATTGGCCGAGGTTTTGATCGGCGCATTCGACACACCAAACCGAATGCCAGTCACGTATTATTACTGGGCACCGTACGTTGCGTCTACTCTCCTTAATCACCGCGGGTAGAAAATGCTAACTTATTCTCTCATAGGGATTATGTATCTCAGCCTCATCGCGCTGGTACCCGTGTCGTCATGGCAGAGCTCGGTTCCTTGTCGGTTGAATTTACTCGCTTGGCTCAGTTGACTAAAGAGGATAAGTACTATGATGCGATCGCACATATTACAAACGCTCTTGAGGTTTCACAGAAAGAAACCAGACTCCCCGGTATGTGGCCATTGATCATGGATGCTTCTGGATGTAAGAAGCCTGGTGCCTCTTCTCAACTCCAGGCCTCATCTTCGAAGGGGAAAACTGGCGGGGACCTCATCAAAAATAATGTAAAACAAGCAAAGGCTACACCGGGAGTAAACGTCCCAAAAACAATGGAGAAACGCGATGGTGGTCTCGAAGTAGATGCTCAGCCTGCAGATTATGGAACAGACACTACCTTGGCTCTCACGTCGACTCCGTTCCCGAAAAAAGAGTGTGAAGAGCAAGGACTAGCGTCTCCTCCCCATTCGACATCCGATAGATTTGGTCTTGGTGGCCAATCAGATTCGACCTATGAGTACTTACCGAAGGAATACATGCTTCTAGGAGGAGTCAATGATCAATACCGCCGACTTTACGAAATATCCATGAAGACAGTGCGTGACAAGCTTCTATTCCGGCCCATGATTAAGGAAGATAGAGATATCCGCTTCGTAGCAACCGCCGAGGTTTCTGACCATGATGAATTTGGTGCGGGTATCAAGAACACATACGAAGGCACTCATCTCACCTGTTTTGCTGGCGGTATGTTTGCAGTGGGAGCGAAGCTCTTTGGGTTGGAAAAAGACATGGATATTGCGGCTAAACTGACTGACGGCTGCGTATGGGCTTATGAATCCACGGCAACGGGTATCATGCCCGAGGCATTTGAGATGCTACCATGTGAAGACCCTGTTTCCTGCACATGGAATGAAACGGCTTATCTGGAAGTGATGGATCCCTATGAAAAAAGTCGTATTAGTCAAGCCGAAAACCTGTATCAAATCCAACTGAAGAATGCGAAGGAAACATACCAAAAACTGCACCAGGGGAAGCCCAGTAATGGTGATATCGTACGGACACCTACGATACATGGAGCCGAGCCAAAGAGTGAGGGGAAAGAAAAGTCTTCGAAGATTGGGAAAATCACGAAACGCGATAGCGCTGACGGCTACGATGAGCATTCACACCTTGCCGACGTCAAGAGCGCGGAAGAAAAGGTAGACGCTGCTAGCCAATCCAAGCCATTCGATAATTTGCCAGGCTTTGAGGCTCCTCCTAGGCCTGCAATAGTCTCACACGAAGACTATGTCGCTAACAGGGTCAAGGAGGAACGGCTTCCACAGGGAGTGACTAAGATTCAATCTCGAAATTACATTCTGCGTCCCGAGGCCATTGAGTCCGTATTCATCATGTTCCGACTCACAGGGGACGACTATTGGAGGGAGAAAGGATGGAAAATGTTCGAAGCAATCATCCGCCAGAGCCGAACAGACATCGCACACTCCGCCATCTCGGATGTGACAAGCTCGGCGCCCGCCTTAGCTGATTCAATGGAGTCCTTCTGGCTGGCGGAAACTTTGAAATATTTCTATCTACTATTCAGCGATCCAAGTGTTGTTAGCTTGGATGAATATGTTCTGTAAGTTCTAAGTTCTATACTCGTAGTAAGCTTTCATATGCTAACAAAAGGCGAACAGCAACACGGAAGCACATCCAATGAAGCGGCCGGCTGCATAAATCTTGGTCAAACGTTGCCTAGATTTTGATATTGTGTACAGTTTTCGGCATACAACTACTAATGTTTTCTTTTTCAGCGGACTTTTTTCCATACCTCTTTATATAGCTCCGCTTGTACTACATATACGAAAGGTTAGTTTTATTGTATATAAAGTGAAACATATTGGGAAATGTGATTGGAATTTGTATAACCTACATCGAACACTAGAGGTAGAGGCTCTCATAAGAAGTTAACAAATAGCGACTTTGAGACGAAACGAGTAACATGTAATTATACTTACTTCATCTGAGGCGCATTGCTTGGCAGAGCGTCATCTGTCTGATAAGCTGCAGGCGGTGAGAACATGCAACGTCACAGCCGCACCCCTCGTTACCCATTCGCAGTTAACTTACCCAAAGCTAACAATTACCCCAGCCATATACACGAAATGAGACGAATGCGCAATTAAAAACGGAGAAGTGTTGTTGATGACTAGGAGGACATGGATTTGGAAGAAGGCTCGTACAACCTCGAAAATGAGCAGCAATTCTGGGATCGTAAGTGCATCTCGGACTTTGCCCCGTGATCGCCTGCCCGCATCTTGGTCGTGATTCTCTTGCAATGCGTGTTGTTTCAGCTTATTAACTCTCGGATTGTTTTCTAGAATTGGACGATATATTATCCAAGCCATACGATTCACATGAGCTCATCGACAATGCCCTCCGAGACTATCTTGGCTTCAGTGCCAGGTTCAAACGTACGCGCCTCTGGATTCACCTTTGTCTTCTTCTGCGAAATGAAAGGATGCTATAGCAAACAAAGCGGACCAGGATGAGCGTCATTTACAGAATATTTACTAATTTCTTGTGAATTGAACAGGCCAATTTCTAAACGGCGAATACGATGTCTCACGTTGTTCATACAAGCTCTTCTCATCCAATCTCTTCGCTCAGCATGCAGATTATATTCGAAGGCAGATAATATACAGCTTGCTACAAGTATGTTATATTTCAGATTGAAGAAAAAACAAAAGCGGGATCTCAACCCATTGTACTTGTTAGGCTGTTGGCTTACCTGATACATTAAAACCAGGAAGACGATTCGGATGCTCTACATTTTATGGCTGCTTTCCTCCTCTTCGACGGACGACATAATGACACAACTTTACAACTTATGAACGATGAAGGCTGTTTTCCTAGATTGCTGGAACTCATCCGCTCCCAGGATCCAGCCATTGATGATGATGGAGCTGGTCTACATCGTCATTTGATGGATCTACTCTATGAAATGTCTAGAATTCAACGGATAAAGATCGAGGACCTCGGTAAGGATGTGAGACAACCGCTTTTATTGAACTCCATTTTGATTCCGAGACCGACGTACAGTACTCGTGGAAGATGACTTCGTGAAATATCTTTTCGAGATCATCGAGGGTCTTTCCAATGACGCAAATGACCCTTATCATTATCCTGTAATTCGCATTCTGGTAAGTTAACATAAGTACCATATATGGCATGACAAATGCTGATCCTTTCATAGCTGGTGCTGAATGAACAATTCATGGTTTCAGCACACGACCCTGATCTCGGAGCTTCTTCCAACCCACCAACAAATAAAGTGATCAAGATTCTCGCCATGCATGGCAATTTTTATAAGACATTCGGTGAAAATATTATTCTACTACTTAATCGAGAAGGCAAGCAGCTCATTGCGAGTAATAAAACATTTCTAACTATTTTTAGGCGAAACATCGCTGCAACTCCTTACCCTCAAACTTCTCTATCTCATCTTCACGACGCCGTCCACTTATGAATATTTTTATACTAATGACCTACGAGTTCTCGTCGACATACTCATTCGGAATCTTCTAGATCTTCCTGAAGACGCTGTGGCTTTGCGACACACATATTTGCGTGTTTTCTATCCGCTATTATCACATACTCAGCTTAAGTACGCGCCACACTATAAACGCGACGAAATTATGAGAACACTCGGCATATTGATTCACAGTCAATTTGATGGAGCCGAGGATGATTATGAAAAGATACTGCATTTTGCCGAGGCAGATGATACCACGAAGAGGCTGGTTACCCGGTGCGGCCAAGTTGAGTGGCTGCGAGGGCCGGAACCGGAATCTATCTCGGAATCGCCTCAAGACGAAGAGAGTCCGTCAGATACTAACATCGGAGTACCTATCATATATACAGACTCAGCTAGTGAAAGAAATGCCAGCATTGCTACATCGCCAATCTCACAAGATTCTATAACACCATCATCGCCCACCAAAGTGAACTCAAAATCGCCAAGTATGCCCAGTTCTATTCCCAAAGGACCAAAAGGCAAACTTGGGATGCAACTGGAGCCTGCCAGCTCCTCTGCGCTTAGCTTTGTGGAGGTAGCCGCTCAGAATGAAAAGCCCGGGGTTATGACACCCAGTCGCAGAGATACTAAATCTTCAGATCACTCGATTGAATCTATTTTAGCCGTTAGGACAAAACAAAAACCAGAACTGCCAAAGGCAAGACGATGGCGTGGGCGACGGGCTTGCGAAGAGGATGAAGGAGGAGGAGGAGGAGGAGGAGGAGGAGAAAAACACGCTCTTGAGTCAGAGGAGAAAACCACAGCAGCATCGAATGAAAGGCGAGCCTCAACCGAAGAATCGTTTTCACCATCAGCTCCTGCAGCTAGGTCTACCTCGCGGTCCGCACCGGCTTTACCCCCCCCTCGAAGGTCATTTAATCATACATCAACCACGGTCGCCGCGCCAGCCGTAGTTGACAATCATTCCGCCAAATTAAGCGTCAAACCTGAGCCTCCAAAGACACGCCGATGGCGCCACGGCGCAAAGCCACCGGCCGAGCCGTCAATGGCGGAGGAAGTAGAGAAGGCCTAATCTTGCTTTACTGAAAATAAGTATTACAAGCGGATGTTTTGACAATCCATATAGTCTTCGGAACAAGGGAACAGGCCAAGAGTCAGACCTGTACGATACAAAACTTTGCTTTTTATTTTGCTAGCATGTTCAAATACCCTTCAACTTTTCGGCCCCAGGAATATTATGCTTTCAGTCAGATACCTACTTCTGTGAGAGCATCAAACCCTATATTGAGTTGTGCCAGCATACAAGTGGAAAAATACTCACGATGGATTGCGTATAGATTTGAATTAGGTTGTCTCTCAAGCTAGTTTTTAGCATTCATATAAGTGTGTTGGTCCTCGATTCGGCGCAGAATTGTTGATTGATTCTTACTAGCTTCAGCCTATAAGTTATAGTATTTGTATGGAGACGTGTGCACACCCCAAAAAGGGGCTAGCTAACTGCGCTAAATCTAGCTAGAGCGGTTGGGAACACTGTGAATCATACCATGTGAGGGTGCTCGTCATGTTCTCCTACCATGATCACTTCTAAAGTATTAGCAACGGAATCGGTCCGCTCAGCTGGGCGCTCGCTCCTCAAGGCATGCGCTCAAGGCTCACTCTCCAATGTGAAAACTTATGCTCCTCAGCTATACACCACCGCTGGCATTGACAAAAGGGCAGTCCCGCCTCTGAATATTGCTATAGCCACTGCCGCCGAGAACGGCCATTCCAACATCCTCCGCTACTTCTTCACCGACATCCCGCAATGTCGACAATCGACTCACGGCCCATGGAGCCCGAAGATCGATATCCAAGAGTGTAACCTTCCCGAAGAATGGCGGTCAGCCGTGCTTCCCGACCTCGTCGTCCTGCGCACGATAACGGGAGCCAAACCAGCTGCCTTCCAAACGCTCATGGACTTCGGCCTGAGCGTCAACCATCCCATGGACAAGATCGGGTCTCCTCTCACAGTAGCGATCCAGCGGCAAGACGTCGAGATGGTCCGGTTCCTGCTAAGCAAAGGCGCCGACGCAAACGACCAGTACTGGATCCCCAACGACACTGTCCTGGCGCGAGCCGCATCACTCCCTTCGCTGGAAATCCTGACCCTCCTCCTCGAACACGGTGCTAAAATCCAGGGCTCAAAGGCCCTCAAGAGCGCCGCGGAGAACGGCCGCATCGATGCCGCCACCATGCTGCTCGCACGCGGTGCCGACATCAACGAGGTCTTCCGACACGACCTGTGGGATGATGACGCCGCGAAAGACACGATTGGCACAGCGCTGCATGTTGCAGTCCAGCACGATCAAGAAGACTTTGTCCGGTTTTTGCTGCAGCGAGGCGTGCGGACAGATCTGGGAGACGGAGAAGGGATCACTCCCCGTCAATTTACCCAGGCGCAGGGGAAGACAGAGATGCTAGAGTTATTCGATAGGTCGAAGGAGTGAAAATCTCATGCCGTAGCAGTATACACCCGCGACAGATACCTTTTGAGAACAGTTTCATGGCAATTCTCCACTCTTGGTAGCGTAAGGCTTTGATATGGATATCTAATCAATAAGTGATCCTGGTGGCTTAGTGAGCAGTTGGGATTACTCAGTAAACGCTCAGCTGAGATCAGTTATCCATAGATAATTAATCGCGTGATAAAGCGTAAAAGGGGCGCTGGATCTCCGTCGATGCACTTTTTTTGTTACATATGGACATACATACATCTCAGTTCAAATCAAATACATTTACTAACCATAACCCAATTCAATGTTTTCTCATGCATATCAACCCGACCTATCTATCTCTCCCAGCTCAATACCCCAAAATTTTTCTGTCCCAAACGTCCCCTCGTTATCCGCCTTCCACTTATCATCAAAGGCACTGAATAGAATGAGACCACCATGCGGAAAGTTCTCCCGCAGACTCTTCAATGCAACCTCCTGGTTTGGTCGCGATGGTATAGCATTACCATTTGGCACGCCTGCAGACGGCCAGCCTGATTCAGTAATGATGACCTTTTTGCTGCCACCTACTGCCTCTGATACAAGGCGAGCTTGTTCGAGTACATAGGGCCCGGCGGTGTCAGCTGTTTGCGTTGAATCAAAAAACGCGTGACAATTTGCAGCGCAGTAGTCCGATGCTTCACATAACTCTGGATGCTCAATGATTTGATTAAACGTATCAACAGTGACTACAGGGCCATGATAGCCCGCCTGACGCAGCGTGTCACGCGCGGTATTCACCAACTGGACAATTTGCTCAGGAGAATTCTGAGCTCTATTGACAAGCTCGTTGCCAATAGAAACGGTGTGGAAAGTCGACCAGTCCCCATCCGCAGCGTCAATGATTTTCTGTAAATCGTTTTGCAGGCTGTCAACGTTGAATACCCCAGCGAAAACCTGCATTTGATTTTGTCGTGCAGCTCTGGTGACTGTCTTGACCTGGTCACAGTCAACACCGTATATCCGAACGAGAGAGAATTGGCGGAGAGAGTTGATGTCGTCGTTGACTTGGTCTTGTCCTTTGCACGTGCTGTCGGCATTGTATGGGGAGTATGATATTCCGTGTTTATTTTTTTTTGTGGGGCTGTGTATAATTGGTGGTATAATGGTATCAATTGAATTCATGTCAGTAATGTCAACGGGGGTGCTCATGTTTTTTGTTGTTGGCTTGGGCATATGGCGTTCATCATGAGAATTGGAGGAGGCTGATGGTATCTCCGTGGGTGAAGACAATATGGAGGTAATTTCGCTCCTACTACTGCTAGGTGAAGTTGCAACTGCTCTGTATAGCGGCGTTTTCGTACCTTGAGAAACCTGTTTTCCATTGATAATCAATATTTTGTGCTGGAGGGATTGATGAGGAATAACCGACAAGAGAACTAGATGTCGCTGACACCGTCTCCATACTCAAAGTATTCCCTTCCTGATCGACATGCACAACGACTGTATTTGTGGTCTTACCCTCTGGACAAGACCTAGTTTCTGCGTCGCGTTTTGGGAATTGTTTCCCATGGTCTATCTCGTCATCAATTCCCACCCTTGTTACATTAGCCTGACGATGGAACGTACGATGTAAGTGTCCATTAGCAGAATGAAGTAAGGCCAGGACTCCGAGTCCTAAAGCACTATACTTCATCTTGAACAACTTTTTCCCTCAACCAACCAATTCCAGCTAGTATTCTGCTATCTTCTTTTTGTTGGAAAATTGGTTAGAAAACGCAAGACGAGTCGAGAATAACCCTCCCACCACTAAAATCTAGATAGTCAGATATCTCAAAAGGGGGAGATCTGGAGATAGATGTATGTCATAATGATACCGTATCATTTTTGTCCCATTTCAAATACGGAAGGTAGTAAACAATGTGATCAAATATTTCCAATTTAAGGTGGAGGGGTAAGGGCGCAGGGTCATAATGCACTCAATAGTTGATTTGTGTCTCACTTTCTCTCATACTTTTTGGCTCTCTCAAATATATTGGAAATGAAAAAAAGGCAAGAATGTTGGACGGATACCCTGGGTCCTATGCTGAGGAATAGCTGAAGGATGGGGAATGATGTCTTGGAATGTGGCGCAAGTGGACACAGCCAGTCAACCAAATTATTACAACATTTCTCTCTTCTTCAAAAGAAGAGAGAAATAAATTATATAGAAAAGAATTTATGTGTGCCTCACTCAAAATGAACACAAAGCACCGACTCGTTACGTTTTATGTATGATCTTGCACAATGTGGTGGAAGGCTAGGGCTAGCGTTAGGGTTAAAAACGAGAGAGTCCATTACATACGTATCCTCTATTGAAACATTGATTTATACCTGATAAACCGCAGCTAATTGTGTGAAATCCGATTGAATGAAAAAATTAATGACTAGAATTTATCATTGATGACTCCTAATTTCCGTGGAGGTCTCCCATAGTACTTTTCAAGGTGAAAACATCGACGAGTCTAGAGAAGGCCAGCTAGTCATATCGCCTAGGCTTGACGATGTATCCATCGGAAGGAAATTTTCAAGCAGCTGCAGGTCGAGTGGATTGAGTGAGTGCCAATTCGGCATATCGCTTTGCACTGTGGTTGCTACGATATCCTGATTACTTAGCACATCTTTCATTTCTGTGCCGTTGGTCGCCACCGCCGTCGTCGTGGGCGTGTCCGTCTTGCAGACACTACTCAAAAGTTGTGTCAAGGTGTTTGCTCCAATATCTGCAGCACTGATTTCTTCGCCCAACATGCGTAGCCAATTCAGCGCGCTTTGCACAGCCTGTATGCATTCTTGACGTGATAAGGTAATCATGCCTGGACGCAGAGGATCTATCTTAGGGCAAATCGTACACGTTTTATGCCCTAGGCATGGTGGTGGAAATTGAGGATCTGTGCATAGATAAACTAGCAGGACTGCTGCATCAAAGGTCGAAAAGATAAGCCCGGCAAACCGTCTGTGGCTCCCTGATAGCATGGCATGCAGTTGTGAGACGCCTTGGAGCGTGTGCAGAGCTGCGACAGCCAGTGCCCTTTTATGCGCGTCCAAGAGCACGCGTTTGTAAGAGGGCATACTTTTATCGTGGTGAAGGAGCACAGGCCGAAAGTGCCAGCACAACGACTCGTAAATAGCGATGTGAAGGAGCTGCCGCTGCAGCTGCAGCTTAGGTAACCGCTTATCCCATGTCTTATCGGGATCAAGGGAAAAAGTGCAAGGTAGTTTAGCCATATAGTCGCGGCAAAACTGGTCGTAGATTTCTTCAGCGACAACCATGTCGAATTCGGATCTCGGAGCCGGCCTGACGAAACGCCAAAAATCGGCGAGTCGTACTTGAAGCAGTCGTTCAGTGAAGGGGTCGGGAACAACTGCAGCAAGCTCGCTGCTATCGTTATCGCTTTCGAAATATATTTGCGGCCAGTTTCCTGGATCCAGACGACCGGATAAAAGAGCGGTGCGGTCAAGTTGGCGAGAGAGGCTGCTATCCCAAATGTAGAGGTTGCAGAACGTTCGGCGTTCCATCTCTTTTTCAATCTCGTCTAACCCCTGTCTTACTCTGACGGCCTCGCTATGAAGGCCAATAGCCTGGGCGACTTTGATGGCGCGATCGAGGGATTCCCAAAAGGCGTTTCGCCTTCCTTCCATCTGGCATTTCAAACCATAGAAGGCCATAGACTGCACTTGAATCAATGAGCCTCGTTTATCTAGGGCTCTGCTGATGGAAATCAAACTCCCAGCGGTTTCGTCGCACATATTGCGGATATCAGCCAGCAACGCCCCGTCGATCCTGTTAAGCGTATAGCCCTGCGAGGGGAGATATTGCGATGCATATGAACAAATACGCAAAATAAGCACTGCAAGGTCTACTTCCAACACGAGCGTTACTTTTTCAATCAGCCACCATTGCTGGTACTTTCCTAGGAGCCATGGAATGTGTACCAATTGGTCCGTCCTATCCCAAGTTACAATGTCAGCCTTGTTCAAGAAAGTGTGAGTCCTATTGAACATCTTCGACCAAAGGTTCATGAAGGTTAAGGTAAAACTAAATTTGAAGTAATACGAACCAATTAACTTCGGCTACAAAGTATTCCATCAAAAAGTCCAAGATTTGTCGGTCAGGCATGCACTCAAGGATGCTCTGCACCTTTTCGACCGCTTCAGGAGTAAGGCCAGGAGAGTTGCCGATGCGGTTCTCGTCTTGGCCCAAATTCAACTGGAAAAGTAATTAGCGAAGGCTTTTTTTGAGTTTCGTTTCATTATCTTTTTGTAGTCTGACGAAAAGCTTACCTTTCGGATCAGGGCTAACGTGTTGCTGTTGCTCTCTTCACAATAACCAAATAAGTCAGCTAGCGACGAGCTGGACAATACGACCTGATTAATTTGGGCATTCCCATCGGCTCGCTGTCTAAATGAGCGAGCTTCCCCTCTTCGCTGCTTGAGGGAAGTTGAAGAACTGAGAGCCTGGGCAGCATTCGCCGAGTAATACGCACATTCTTCTGGGCATTGTCGTCGAGAACAACGATTACAAGGATATTCGCGGTTGCACTTTCACACTATAAGCCGAATAGTTAAATAGTTTTAGGGGACGTAACCAAATACACACCTTTTGTTTTCGAGTATAGCAAGGTATACAAGACGATACTACCCGTTTCCGGCCCGAACTCATTTTCCACAATTTCCCAGTAATATTTTCAAAGCGGGGGTCGCACAGGTTTTATTGTTTGTCTTAAAATTTCCCTGTCTCTCTCTCTCTCTCTTTCCAATTCAAATAGTAGTGGACTCTTTGAATCGCTAATCAAGCTTGTAGGTGGCTTGAGTCCTTTGACGGGTACGATTTGATTATTAATGCGTCAAGTCAGCATGTTTATATGACCAATGTGAGAATTCCGCTGTTCAACACTAAGGTATTTTTAGCTTTAATCTGCATAGCGTCAAACTATGCCATAAAGATACTTTTGGATACCACCGTAGGTAATGAAAAGAATGGAAAAAACTAATAATGGTATGGTCAGGACTCTGATCCTCAGTTCTCCGCCTTCTGCTGCTATTTGGCATCCACCTGTATCTTGTATCTGCAAAAGTTACAGAATGACAACCAAGCCGTTCGTTAATTAGGAGAGCGTGGAACTGTGCCTAGTGTGGGTACCTTTGAGGGGACACATTAAGCAAATATTATTAATACAGAATGGAAACCGAAACCCTAAAAAGCACATAAAGCGACTACTAGCAAAGGGTGTATAAATGCAAGTGACAACTTAATATCAATTGATATATATCAATTTCAAAGTTTCAGTTACATTATTAAGGGGTCACAGCAAGCAATTAATGATAACGTATCAAAGCACAGAAACAACTAGATTGACAAGAAAGAATAAAGCTACAAAAGCAAAGGTGCAGTCTTTGTGGAAGCGAAATGAATGCTTATACATGCATATTTGAATTTAGGTAAGTAAAATAATATATGGGCGCTGGTAGCCCTTGAATAGGCAAGTGGCCAAAAGAGCTCCTGAAGCTCATCTCAACAGCCTTTACCAAGGGGCATTAGAACCATCATACTTCTCACCCCAACCCTCGGCTTTGATGTTCAGAAACTGGCCATTCTGCTCCTTAGTTGAACTTAGTATCTTCACAAGCGTAGCCTCGGCACCGTCTTCAACAGACAAGTCGGCCTGTTCACCACCGAGGTCGGTACGGAGCCACTAAAACGCAATTTCAGTAATCGGAGGAAGTTATTAAGAGAGCCAGATATACGTACTCCTGGACTGAGAGCAAAGATTGTAAAACCCTCGTTTTCGTAGTCGAGTGCGTACTGAACGGTCAGGGCGTTAACAGCCGTCTTGGTGATTTTGTAGGCAGGAGCAGGAATGGGTTGAACCAAGCGAGCATATGTGATAGAGCCGACAGTAGATGAGCTTTGAACTTTATCAGTCTTGGGAAAGGGGCCCCATTTGAAAAATCTTACATATTAGCTATTTTTTTCTGGTTTCCTTTTTGCAACAGGGGGATGAATGCCCTGGTCACCCAGTGAACACCGAGGACATTGGTTGTGAAACTTTCTTGGAGATTTTCCCTGTATGATTTGTCAGGCTCACCTATACGAAACTAAATTTAGAATGAAAGTCTCACATTGAGCTGGTTCCCTTCTGAGAAAACTGCCTAATTCCGGCATTGTTGATCAGCACATCGAGTCCCTTGCCGGCCAAGCCGATCTCGACTTCAGCTGCTGCTTTCTTTACCGCAGCCTCGTCTGAGACATCGAGCTTGATAACAACGATACGGCCTGAGGAGGCCTTAGCGAGCTCCTGGAGCTTGGGAGAATCGCCTCGAGCCGTGGCAAAGATTTTACCAACCTCAGAGCGGGCAGACAGCTGACGGGTGAGTTCAAGGCCGAGACCTCTGGAAGCACCAGTAATAACATACGAAGCCATTGTGCTCGTTGATTAATCGATTAAATGATTGATTGATTGAAGTGGTGATGAGAAATAGTTGTTGCAAAGAACTCGGAAAGATACAGGCGATCGATGGTTTAAATAGCTATGATGTCCTCTCCAAGCAGCAATTCGAGGGATTAATCTATCGTATTTGAAATCAGCCCCATTTTGTCATTATCAAGCATATTGACTTAAAGCCGGTGAAGCTCTTTGCTATACATTGGCAGGGCCGACACTAGTGCAAATCGGGTGTTATTGAGGTCTCCTTCGGCCGACGCTTGATGACATCATGCTTCTTTCGGGCAACATTTAGGGTTATCGCCAATGACAGTATAAGAAGTTTAGAAAGTCGTTGCAGTTGCAGTAGGAAATGGAACATATCGATAATAGACACGGCGTACAAAGCAAATTTCGACTGGGCTAAAAGGTACAAAATAGAAAAGCACACTGGCATTGCACTTTTGCAAAGGACGGAACGTCTCAAGAACAAGAAAGCAGAGATATTAGCCCTGGGAAAGCCTGGTGGCAGTGACCTAGGACGCCATTTCTATTTGATTGATGAAAAATTGCTTGACGCACATCGGCTATATGATAGTCATCAACAGGAGCTACGTCGATTGTGGGAATAGAGGACGATATTATTTTTAGAGTCCTGAAAATGCCTCGAACGCTTCAGTATTCCAAACATAACAGACCGTAAGTTTAGAGTCAACGGGTAGCGATCTGTGCTTTGGCTGGCTGTTTGTATGGGAGAGGATGCGGATGCTGTAAGAAGCCCCTAAGAATCGATTCAAACTTTTCTTTACCCAATCCAATGGAGAAAGGGGTTGATGGTAATTGTAAGTCTGAATACGGCTGTTAAATCAAGTATAATGACGTCTATGTGCCTGATTCTAATATTGAAAGAAGGTAAAGTGAAGCCTTGAGACTAGCTATCAGATGTCTACATTGATAATATCAATTATCTATGTAATACTTAATCTACTCAATTTTGACTAATACATAACAATCTTGGGAAGACAATGCTACTACAAGTTCCGCTTGCAATTAATATGAAAAGTTCATTAATTCATTCTCTATCATCCTTAACCCCGGCACCCATGGACTGGTATGTACATACCTGCCTCGAAGATCCGAGACAGTACCTACTATCAATGAACGTGTATGGCTGTTAATTAAAGCTGGCGGTTTGGGACACAGTAAGTATGTAGATATAACTGATGAATTACTTTGGAAGTTTCCAACCCCAATACTGCACGCCATGATTGATGCCCTTGGCAGAAGTACAGCTAGAATTAGGGCATGTGTAGTGTAGAAAATAGTCTCAAGAAATCCTCCCCAGGCGCCGAAGATAAACCAACACGCGGTGATGGCATGTCTTGCTAGGTTACCCAGAAATTTCCATAGATACTTTGGGTGGCATGTACAGCCTCAACTTGACAGAGTAGATGAATTGACAGTGGGAAGTAGAGCGAGTAGAGGAGAGAGTATAGAGTACACATCGTAGAGCTGAGTAAAAGTTATCCTCAAACAAACGCTTTGTTGCCTACACATGACCCTGTTACATCGGGATACAGTCTATATCAGGGACTATACGCGGCCTAAATAGCAGTACCCTGTTTAGGGCTTGTATATATCAAATGTGTATAGGATGTGTCTTCAGGTCTACTACTAGCATCGAGCCAATACAGAATAATGTAATATTTTGAAACCATCAACAATTTCATCCACTCGCCATTAAGATTAAAATATTTATTCTATTAATATACTTGTCAATATTGAATGAGGGTTGAATGTCCTGTAGGCATATACACTAGCAATGCCGCAGAAGATACGACAAGCAGCGCCCAGCAGGTTGTTTGTCCTATACAGCAAACCTAAGCAATCCACAAGGAATAAGAATACAGTCAAAAATATTTTTATAGACGCTCGGCAGCCTATAGCAGAAGATCAAGTCATCCATAAGATCACTCATTTAGCGCTTCTTGCTCAATACCTTTGTGATTGCATGTCGAATCGTTGTGCCCGCCTTTTCAACTTCCCGCTTGCTCAAGCCGGTTGTAAGACAGACCTTGAGAGCAGGAAGGACTTGCTGCTTTGGCGTGACATTGTCGGGCAAGCACTTCAGCCGAGTGATGAGTACGCCATTTGCCAGGGCCTACGAATCGGTTGTTAGTAATGTTTATCCAAAAGAAACACAAGCAGGTCTGAAGGCTCACCTCGTCGACAATGTCCTGCAATAGGGACTGCTGATCCTCGATTGACATCCTTCTCGACGAAATGACTTCCGGTTTAATTACTAAAATCATCATGGGATTTTCCGGGGCACTTGTGCAGTATACCCAGTCGCTACGAGGATCAAGCTGCGACCACATTGTTTTGATATTGGACCGAAGCTGTGTGAAAAGGTCTGGCGTATTTTGCATCATCGTTATGGTTTCACTGGCAGTAGTGGACAATAATGCAGGAAGAGCAGCAGAGAAGGTGTACGCAGATGCTGAAATTCTTTGATGGTGGACAATCTCTTCGGATCCCGCACAGAATCCACCTCCGGCGATTATGGGACCAGCCAAGGAGCCGACAATCATGTCAATTTCTGTAGGGTCGACATTCTGGTGTTCAGTGATGCCTCGTCCATTCCGCCCGAGAACTCCGAACGACCAGGTCTCATCCAAAAGAAGGCGGAATTTATATTTGAATTTCAATTCAACCTATAGACGATGAATAGTGAGTATGCTGGTCAATGAAAACAAGAGCCGATGGTCCTTTCAACCTACAATTTTAGGAAGATCTGCCATATCACCAAGGGATTCGAAGAGACCCTCGGTGATTATGAATCGTCTAGTCAATGGCTTCCGCGCTTGTTCTCTGGTCACTTTTTCCAACACACGTTCGAGATCCTCCATATCATTGTGTTCATACCATCGTACTGTGCTCCGCGATATTTGAATACCTTTGCGAATAGCAAAACTAACGCCCTTGTCGGCTACAATTATGTCTCCACGCTTCGAAAAAGCAGGGATCACACTGGAAACAGTAGAAAATGCCTGTGCGTAAATGATGCATGCTGCTGTTCCTAGAAAGGCTGCAACATCGGCTTCGGTCTTCATATGCACATCCTGGGTACCGTAGAAACCCGGCGGTCCACAAGGTCCAACGCCGTAGGTGCGTAGTGTCTGAATAGCCTTCTCCTTCAATGTTTCGTTTGATGTAAAATTGTAATAGTTATAGGAGGCCAGATTCGTCACGGTTCGGCCATTGGACAATTTCACTTTGGGTCCGGTTGGTCTAAAAGCAGTAACGAAAAGAATTAAGCAGCAATCAATTGCGTATATATAGGGTTCTGAAACCTACCCTACGATAACAGTTCTTTTTTCCACGTCGGTTTGCTCCAAAGCGGTCGGGCTGGCCACAAGGGGCTCAGGAGTCCATTCATCGACGAGATCATCGATTTCTTCTTCCGAGAGCTTGACAATGCCTGGTTTGGTAGAATACTTGGGAGCAAGAAGATAACGAACAGCGAACAAGAAGAGGAACAGTTCGACAGCCGAGCGGACGGGGTCGTTCTGGTAACTGGACTTGACGTATCGTAGAAAGATGGCGGAACCGGGCAAGCGATGAAACAAATTAGACAGCGCTTCGACTGAGTCCGTCAGGACTCGCTGCGCTTCATGGACATCCATCATTGCATTTCCCAAGGGACAAGAGAATGAAAGAATAGGGGACGGCGGAGGATGCGGAACAAGTTGCGTATCACACTATCTAACTTTACGGGTCCTTAATAATATGCCAAGGTCACGTGATTAATCGGGACTCATACAGAAGTCTTGATCATTCACATATTACGAGCTACAATATAGAATTCAATGGTTTTATAGACAGAAAACTTTCATTGGGAACGAGTCTATCTTCAAAGAGTGTTTCTTGTGAAGAGGTTTAAAGTAATATAATCGCAACAAAGAGAGAATAACAGGAATGAACATGGTAAACCTGTAATCCCATATAATAGCCAGCTAACACCATCGACAAACGAGAAAAACGGAAATATAATCATTCGTTATGAAGAATAAGACTGGAAATGGATGCAATGGATAGAATGACGGTGTTGCCCGCGTGCATCAAGTGGGATGCCATTCCCAACTTCGAGACATTTGTACAGCTGTATAGATAAAGAGATCGAAGCGAACAATGCATCAAACTCGAAGGATGAACATCCTCTTCGACTCCTAAGAGCCAGTGCTCATAGCATCAGCAGCGGTGTGGGCAGATTTCCACTGATACCATGAGGCAGGAATGCTCGAGGCACCAGTCTCCTGTCCGGGGAGGTTGCTACCAGTGTACGTCGTCCAGGTATCATTGTGTAGGTTACCTCCATCTAGCGGTTGAAAGAGTGGACTGATGATCTTACTACTGCTGAAGGTCTTCGCCAGGTCGAGGTGGGATCTTGCGACCAAGGGACCAGCAACAAGGAGAATGAAAATGACGAGCAACACAAAGTATAAGATCGCATAACGAATGACGCGGCGTTTTCGAAGCTTCGATTGCTTCAGAGAATAGATAGGGGGGCGGATTTGTCGGCTAAACCAGGTTAGAGAATAAATTCAAGATCATGACGAAATATAAGGAACTTACCTAGGTCGCAACCAGAAGAGGATAACGGAATGGAACTTGTCAATATACGGACAGCAGATAGCAGGTAGCATCAGGAAGAGAAGAATATGGCCCAAGACGAAGTCTGCCGCAAAGTAGCCGAGTTCGGTAATCTTGCAAAGGAACTCGCGGCCAGGTTGAGACATAGAGTGCCAGCCCATGTTGTACCATTTTCCAGTCCACCAAGCGATGTTTGACTGGTCATGCTTGAATTCTCTCGTCAGTGCCAGGGAGATGATGAGTTTATAAATGAATCGCTGAATAGCGGCCATAGCAATCATTCCAAGGACACAACGTGGGAAGTTGAAGTTTTCCAAGACGAACATGACCTCGAAAATGGCAAGCAGCATTACAACTGCAACACCGTGGGCGATGGCAGCGAGAACAGATCCGAACTTCTTGCAACACATACTCAAAACGGGACCCATGCAGCAAGCCATTCCGAACATAACTGCAGATACGCCAGCGTTGACACCGATTGGGGCGAAGGCCACAATTCCAACACGCAGGAGCGAAGATGTCTTTGTGTCCGTATACAGTACTCCAGTTCGAGCGTTGATGTATAGGTAGGGGATCAAGGTAACTGCAACCAGTACTAATGGGCCCAAGATTTCGCTGAAGAAAATATTGGTAATGCGAGCGCGAGGAACATCACCCGAGAGCTTTTCGGAGGGAACACCGAGAACCTTGCGCTTGTAGCCGGTGATTCTAGTTCGGGAAAGACGACAGAAGGCGATCCAAGAAGAGTTGTGGGACCTTGAATTTCCACGAGAAAGCCATCTGAGGTAGTCACGATAATCAATGAAAAAGTCGTTCCAGGCGAATTGGTGGGGATTGAACAAGAATGGGGAGATACACAAAGCGAGCAGCGAAACCCAGAACCAAATCAAAGCCGCTGTCCACATGGTAGCGGTAGCAAAGAGAAGCATGAGGAGCGAACGAGCTCCAAGATAAATGGAAGGGCCAGCGAAACGTGAATAAAGAACGCCGAAAGGAATGCGGGCAGTTGCGAAACCACGACCTGTACCAATGTATCTTGCACCGCCATACGAAAGATCCGTTTGAATGGAGTTGGCGTAGATTTGACAGACAAACACCTCGAACATGAAGGACAAAGAGCCGAATTGTTTAGCAAGTCGAGTAGCAGCACGCCAGAAACCACGTTCCGTCAATTCTTGGACGACCAGGGGTACGAAAGAGATGAAAAACACAATGAAGATGGAAACAATACAACGGTTGACCCAGTCGGTGATAGGCACCAGATTTGCACAGCCAGTGGGCATCAGTGGATCGGTAATTGGAACATCTGAATTGTAGCGACAAAGGATTGTTTCGTGACGCAGAGCGCCCAAGTTGATCATCGTAATCATAAACATTTGCACCGACAACATGATGAACATATTGTTGACATGGAAACCTGGGTGAGCGTAGTAGAAAGAGAGGAAACGATCAAGAGGGAGCTGGGTGCCGAGATAATAGTATTCACGAGACAACATTTGTTCGCCCATACCAGTACCAATCTTGGTTGTGAAGTTGAGAATAGAACCGAAACCCAGATCACGACCTTTACCACACTGGAAGTACTCGCAATGCTTGATCCTACCACCACGGAGAATAGCGTTCATACCGGCATAAATATCTTCGTTTAGGTGGAGACCTTTTTGAGCCTTAGAGACACCACCACGGGTAGTCATGAAGATACCGTTGAGAAAATCAGGGTGACCATAATGAAGTTTACCGCCAATTTCTGCGAGGGTACGAGCAAACAAGGTACCGAACGTCTGTTCCTTACCAGCAGCAACGTCGCCGAGAATGCCAATGTTCTCAGAGAAAATGTATTCTCGAGCACCAAGAATGGCAACCGGATTTGTTTTGGGCGTTGGAAGGCCGGGAGTATAAGGCGACACATTGTCAGTAGTCATTTCTTCGAATTCGGCGAGGACACTGCGAATCTTCAAACATTCCTCGAGGTAGTTGTCTTGGTTGGCGTCAATCAACTGAATGTATTCACCACGATAGAAGATGATAGCGTGATTTTGATTGTCAGACTTGCCATCTCCAAGAATGGGGTTTCCTGAAAGCTGAACGCGGAATTTTGGCTTGCGTGTACCACTCTCAAGGAGTTCACAATGACCGTCAATCAATGCTGAGTAGAGCCGGGGTTCCTCGCCTTCGTTTACCGGGGGTTCCTCGTCCAAGTACGCGATCTGCAAATCGGGATAGGCTCGAAGGAGAAACTCGGTGTTTTCACGCTCCTCTTTGTTGAATTTTGCATATCGTTGCATGGAAACGCAGATCTTGAACTTTCGACGAGCCATTCTCTCCAATTCACGTTCGAGTTTATCCGAGTTGCCACCGAACATTTGGACAACTTCGGGGTTTTCAACACGGTACAACAGCTTGATGGCACGACTGTAATTCATGAATCCGGAAATTGTACGATACAAGGTTTGAGATCGCAGAGAGGCCCAAATACGAGTGCGCAAGGTGTACTCAGGCGCAGCTGACTTGAAACCAATACAGTAGAATGGCAGATCGTCGATCTTACTCTTGGCGGCATCCTTCTCGGTCTTGTCATATTCACCGTTGAATTGCGAGGTCTCGTCAGCAAGAATCTTAGTATCCTTGACAAAGCAATCCCACTCATGAGGATGAAGCTGTTTGAGGTATTCCAACATTGTCACGCGTGAATATGGTTCGTCTTCTCTGATAATCTCACGGAGAGACAAGAGAATCTTCTCGCTGTAGTGGGGGACCAAAACAGTGAAAGTTGGCATGTTGTCAACAGGTAGAGGCTCCGGGATTGGTGTCGACAGAGACTGGGCAAAGAAAGAGATACGACGTTCAGCTTCGCTCTGAGATGGGAAAAATTCAGTCTTGAAAGAGTGGTCTTCCTGCGAAACGAAGAAGGTGGGAGCTCTAAGAGTGCGCTTGCCTTCCTGTTCAGAGGGGACTTGGTGATAGAGAAGTTTCTGCACATGATCGATAGCCAGAAGATGCTCGCGGTACATCGAGATGACGATAGCATTCCAAACTTGGGAAATCAAAACTTTCGGCTTATACTTGATCTCCATATCCGTTGTCGCAAGTACCTTAGAATAGATACGCTTGGGTAGGCGCGAGAAGATGTTTCTCCAAGGACTCCAGATTGAAACACCAAGGTAGAAAGATCGTGCTACAGAGAACACGGTATTGAGGATGATGTACCAGAGATAACTATCCAGAAAGAAGAGTGTCAAATCGGTGAAGAACATCAGACCAAGTAAAATCTGAGGTTGAGATTTGCAGAGTACGTTTGGAATGTATGTGTCGCCAATACAGTTGCGAATCTTCATGGGAGACAAAATGCGAATGGGGTCCTTGAAAGATAGGGTAAGGAAGAAGTACGACTCAACCAATTTGGCAGCGAAGACGCAGACCCAGAGGCCATATGACATCCACATACCATTGCCAGTCAAAGCAGGGAAGCTGGCAGTGAACGTCTGGCTTGCGACATATTGCCGGGTGCTCTTCTTCATGTAACTGCCAAACAAGCCGCCGAGAGGCATGATTGAGAAGAAAAAGAACGTGGCCAGGGCAATGAAAAACTGGACGATTCCCAGGGCTAGGGAGACCGTATCGTGTCCTTTTTCCTTTGAGACGAAGAAAACGTAGACACTAGGGCCAACATTGATTGCGAAGACAACGAGCAAGAACATAAGACGTTTGGTTAGGTGCTGAGCTCCGGCCCATCTGCGTGGAACATAGGCCCATTCAGCCAGGGTAGCGAAAATCTGGATCAATGTACAAACACCACCACCAAGGGCAACAGCTGACCACTTGTAGGAGCCGGGAGGTTGGTTGTTCGCTTGCTGCTGATAGTCCAGGGTGTAAATAGGCATAGAGTTGTAGGCCGTGAAGAACCAGAAAGCACCCAAATGGATCACCCAGATTCGGTTGAAGTTGGTGATCAAATGGAACCAAGAACGAGTTTCTTTGTACGTTTTGAAGAAGACCTTCTTCCAGTTGACATCTTTGAGCTTGTCCCATCGCTCAGCTGGGGGAATATCAACGAGTCTCGTTTTGTCTTCCAGGATGATGCGCTCGATACCTTCAGGATACCAGAAGAGTTGATTCACATCATCATAGCCAATGATTTGACTGTGGTCGCGCTCGCGACGAACGTACTTGCCATCGAGGATCTCATAGCCCTGATCGCGGAGATACTGATAAATGGGAGTGATAACGTTGTTGAGATAGCTGCCTTCTTCGACAGGTTCGACTCGGTTTTGACACTCTGGGGTGTTCAAGAAGTCGTCTGCACACTTGAAAATAAAGCACAGGCACTCTGGGGTGAAACGAACTTGATTGGCTTCACCCCAACATAGCAAGTACAAAGCTAGCTGGCGAGTGCGCTCGTGTTGAGACATTCGATTCATCCGTGATTTCCACCGGTATTCAGCGGCTTCCAAGCTGTTGTCGCCTTCGAAAGCTTCCAAGGTTTCCTGTTCATTTTCTGGGTTTTGCTGCGCTGCCTTCTTTGCAGCCTTGCGAGCTTTACGTGTTCTACGATCAGCCTTGCCCAAGTTCATATTAGCGAAGCCGACAGCATCGTCCAGGTCCAGATGAGCCGCGAAATACCAGCGGCGATAGTTGGCATTGTCACCACCAATATAGTCTGCATGAAGGGACAGAAGAGCCTGGTTGGGAGTCATACGAGAGGCACGAGAGTCGAGCAACGTCATCAGATGGTCGTACATGTTCCTCATGCTGTCCCGCTGGAACCCAAATTTGTTGACGAGATCCAGGAAAATGTCCTCGATTTCTTCCTTCGACAGCGGGATTTGAGCATCCGAGGACCAAGCTGGGTAAGGCTCGCGAGAACGTTGACCAGCTGGGAGTGCATTTCCGTAGTCCATGCCGTAGACTGGGGTTGAAGCACCAGACGAGCGATTTCCACCATATGAGATCTGAGAGGATGGTGGACGGTAGCCGTACCCATTACCTCCCATTTGGCTCTCATTGTAGCTATTGTAGCGTTCGTCTCCGCGTCCGTAATAGTCCATATCGGCAGCTCTGGCAGTCTCCGACCTCATAGTGAAATCACTGAACGTTTCAGAGTCCTCTTCAGAATCCCCATTGCGGCGACGGCCGCGTCCACCCTGGGGGTAGTCTTGGTGTCCACTATGGCCTTGGTCGTAGTATTGGTCATTATAGTAGTTGTCATGGCCACCACCTTCATAATAGCCTCCACCCTGGTGTTCACCGTAACCACTAAGATCAGGATAATCAGCCATTATTCTGCGAGTATTTGATCTAATGATAACTCACCTCTGGTCATAGTATCCATCTCCGTAGTGAGAATAGTCATTCTGGTCGTAATAGCCATGCTCATCTTGGTAATAGCCGTCACCGTGGCCTTGATGGCTGTAACCATCTTCGTAGTGGCCTTGGTTATAGCCAGACATGGTTGCAATTTATGTTTTACAAATAATACAAAGTCTGTCGGCACCCGATTAGCAAAGCGTTGTCCCAAACTCCCGAAAGTCCAATTCAAGCACCACAATCAGAACTCACCTTAAAAAGCACCCATGAAACCAATTTGTGGCGGATTGAATAGTATACAAATACAAATTAGTTTGACCAAATCGTCAAGCGTCGATACAACGAATGGAAATCAGCCCCGCGAGATGATTTTGGAGGTTGAGGGCGGTGGAGAAGATTAGCAATCGGTCACGTCCAGGTGCCTTTCTTTATCTTGTCACGTCGCCCGCGAGAGCAAAATTAAAAAGGTCTGTATTATTTCGAATTATTCTTTTCAGGCGTGAAATTATGAGCGATTGGACTTTGTGTTGATGCGTCGAGTAGTAGTTGTTGTTGATTCTTGATGAACGAACGATAAAAGGTAGGAGCAGCGTGAATTGTCGACAGGCGGAAGGACAGCACTGGGCAAAAAGCCTTCGACCTCTCCGCGCCCACGATCCTGCCTTTCTTCTTATCGAGAAGCGGAAAGGAAGGAAGGGCGGTTGGGTTCTTGTCCAACGATTCAACAGTGGATGAAGTGAAAAGGACAAAAAAAGAGTGTATGAAGAAACAGTGAAAGAGTACACCACGTAGGTTGGTTCGAGGGGGAAAGTGGAAAGGGAAGTGAGCGTGGTATGGGCGTCGTGGTACAGGAAAATTGTTGGCACTGGCAGGGTTTGGCGGGTGGGAGGGCCTGCCGCATTGATTACTGGTGGTTATTTTGGGCAGTGGCCGTAATGCATCAATCATCATCATAAGATTGTATCTAATACAAGCAACGCCGACCTTCAAGCCCCCGCGAGGCTTGCTTGTAACAAATTACAATAATAAGATGGAAATTTCAAATACCACGGGAATACCAGACCGGGTGCGTGGTGGTAGTTGACCACTCATATGGGCTGGTGCGTTGAGGTGTCTCCTAGGGCGACGATCCTGGCCGTAAACAGAATCGCGGACGAGTCAAGAGATTGCAATCGGCTATCGCCACGCACTCGATACGTGATTCATGACCCTCACAGGAATCATTGCTCGATTGGCATGTGGGCATATCGCTGCAGTGCTGGCAGTGTGTACTTTGTAATTCTCGTTACTGACGGTCACAGCCATGAAATGACTCTTGCGGCCGCTGACTGGCTGCGTGTCGGCGTTGGGCCCCTCTTCGACAGTGGCCGTTGGTCGGGACTGCACCGTGTCCCCGCAGGCGCACACTGACTGGCCGTCGGCTGCGGTGGAGACAGGGGTATTACCGCCCTAGCAACCAACCACAAGCGTTTCTGGCAGGGAGGACCCTCCGCGTCCCTCCGGGCATCAGCTTGGTCCGTGTTCACTGTGAGGAAACGGCCAGCCCCTGAGACATGCCCCACCCGGCGGTGGCGAGTACTGCACGATAGCGGTAATCTGTGTATTCGCGTCCTTGACTTTTCACTGTTTGGCAAGAAAGCTTGATGCTCGTCCACCACTGACGAGTCACCCGCACGACTGCCTTTGCTTGGCGATCGCGAGCCACTGTTGCGTCAAAGACTAACTCGATCGCTTCTCGGTATAAGCCTGCTGTTGTGAGTGAGTCGACGATACTGGCATTGGCATTGGCAACAGTGCTGCATCTGATGTTGTTCCTTAGGCATCCATGGTTCATGCGGTATGCAGGGATAGCATCGCGCTGGCAACTGCCATATCGGCGTCTACTTGATCCGCACTGCGGTGGAATGCTATTTCCCATTCTCCAATCAAATGCATTGCTCTGAACAGCTTGCTGTTGGTCCGGAATTCAGATATCTCATCGGTTCATATTTCATAATCATGGTAGATGCGACGTTAGCGGTCCTGTTATCCAGCCAATGTCGCGTTACATGTGTCGATACGCTATGAGCCTCTCCGTACATGTGCACTTCGTCACTGTCCCTCAGCGTATCAATCAATATTCAATATCCAATCCCGATGTTGAACATTTAAAATTCGACAGTCCGGATGATCTGCCAGATCTGGCCTTCGACCTCAAACCCGGACCACTATCGGCGTCAGCCGTCCACTGGTGGCGCATCTACGGAGTACACTTCGTGCCCAGAACCTGAAATAGCACACTAAACATAGCCTAGGCCTGAGTACCCGCCTCGTTCCAGCCGCTTTTTCGTTGAAAAAAAATTCTATCAAATAGTAAGTCGCCGTTGATCGAGATCGTTATGTTATTATTTCCACGGCTTGGTGCTTGGTACCGACCCCATCGAGACTTATGATCCTGCATACTTCAGCCCACAGTTCAAATAGCCAGTATTAATCATTGAATAATATGCTCAACTATAATGTAAAGCTTGCATTCACAAGAGAGGTAGGTCAATCACACGATTCTTGCCCGCTTCATGAGTGATTGCTGGGCTCTTGAAAAGTCATGCCGAAATTAAGATTAGAGGGCGATCCGCAAGATTTAGAGGGGGGTGTGGCTGTGTCACACCGTCCGGCTACTCCGTTGATCTATGATCGATCGACCTTATTTTCTCGCGCTCATGGTAGACTGCACTGAAACCCCTGCACTGGACCTGCAGTCACTGCTGGCTGCATGTTCTTGCATTGGTCCATCGGATGGTCGGTCTGATCCCAAATACGCCGCCATGGATTAATAATAATATTCTCTCGCCAAAATTAATAATAAAATGCGATAAGAATGGCAGAAAACGCTAGTTTCCAATTGCATAGCCTGTCAGACTGTCATAATTAAGCAAATAAGTTCCTCCGTCTTATTATTAATGCCATGTCCTCGACCATGTCTCATAGTGGTCTAGAATAGTGTTGGAGGGCCTGAAAAGGGGGGGTCGGGAGATTCGGAGAGTTGGTTCCCCTGGGTTAGGCCTGAAACGAGCTAACAACGGCCCTACTACATATTTTCAACAACGACGTACACCTCATGCAACATGACTTCAATCCTTTGCTTTTGCACTTTTGCTAAGTTGCTCTGTTCGTAAATATGACAGCCATCGCTCTGCAATTGATTTGTAGTTATGCAAATGCGGAACATGTCAACATTTTGAATTGATATGTCAACTTCTTCGGCTAATTAGGTAGAGATCAGTAAATATATATGACATATACAATCTAGCTCAGTCAACGCTATTTTCCAATGCGAAGTGGTTTTTTAACTCCAATGTTTCTAATTATAAATAGTAGCTTAGTGATGGGCCCTTCCCGTGCATTTGACGTCAACTGCTGTTCAAATGTTCTATCCACAGCACCAATGCCACTAATTAATACTAGCTACACCTTCTTCTCAACAATTTTTTACGTTGACTTTGATGATACTTCTCATTCTTAACGCTATATACTATGTACATAGCTCTTAATTGTGGTTTGGGTATATTTTATTCTGGTATCGAAATTCCGTATTTAATCTGTGAATTGTTTATATCAGTTGATATCTATAAAGATATATTTTGGGCTACTTTCCAGATGGGGAATACGAATGTACCGGTTGACAACAACCATAATAGATTTAAACATCGAAGAACTAGAAACATACACTTGACCTAATCGTTCGAAACCTAGACATCATCTATGAACAAAAGCCCATCATCAAATTGTGTTATTGTTAGTTCCGACAGTCCCTCATAGTTAGAGAATATATTGTCCACCTACGGTTTAGCGCATCGGTGCTCTGTATGGTTGCCCCGCCAACACGGCTCGGTAAACACTTGCCTTCATCGAGACACCCGTATGAATTATGACTTCAAACTCGGTGTATCATGAGATGTTACATGAGGTTTCTTCTTACCAATACTTACGCTTGAGATTTTCGCCAAAAAATTCCTTGAATCTCTACTAGTGCACATTCAAAAACTGGCACCATGGCCAGATTGAATGCCTCCAACCCGACAGTCCGCGCTGGTCGTGCTAGCCCCACGAAGACATCATCCTCATCGTTCTCCATGACAATAAATTCGCCACTGAGACCAAAGCTACAGAAAAAGAAAAAGAGCAGTAGCACGGAGTTCAAAATTTTCGAAGACGAACAATCGGCAGATGACGAGCAGATTCAAGAATCGTATACTACCGAACCCATCCAGACAGCCAGGCCGATGGCCCCTCTGAAACTCGCGCATACGAATTCCATCACGTCTGGTCTATCAAAGAGAGCTTCACAGGGAAGCTCTGGTTCCGATTCTAACCGGTCTAGTGGTAGTTTCGAAGACGAAGAAAGCTCCGACAAAGAGAACATATTCATCGAAGACGAAGCAGAAGAGACCTCAGAAGAGGAGGAGGAGGAGGAGGGGGAGGGAGAAGAACAAGAAGAAGAAGAAGAAGAAGAAGGAGAAGAAGACAATCAACCAGAGGAAGAGAGCAACCTGGAAGGATATGCGGAACGAGAGGAATTTGACAGCCCACGGCAACTTTCGGTCAACACACGAAAACCAAAGTTCATGCGGTACCGAGACACAGAGCTAGAGGCAGAGTCGGATACACAGTCTGAGTGCAGCTCTGACGAAGAGGACGGACACGGTTCTCTCGATGATTTTATTGTCAGCGACAACGAGGATATCAGTTACTACGAGTCGGAGCCTAATGACCTGTCGGAAGATGACGACGAGGAACAAAATGAAGAGGTTAAAGCTCCATCACCAAAGCCTGTACGAAGAAGGCTTCTGAGAGGACGCAAACCTCGAACATCTAGCATTAAATTGGAAGAGCTCAACATTTCGGAGAATCATCATTTCACTGACTCACCAAAGATATCTACACCCCGTAGATCTATGAACACCAGATCACCAGCGCATATCAGTCCATGCTCCCCGCAGTTACTATCAGATGGCAACTCCAATGAAAAAGAAGCAAAATCAAAGGTTGAAAAGGTAAAGAGAAGTCCACTGCGCGAGAGTATCAATTCCCTGTAAGCTTCATTCACCCGTTTGATCTTCGAGGAACATAAACTCATATCTTCATAGACCATCAATATCGGATTCTCCTACCAAAAAACGCCTGGATAGGAAGCTTGAGACTCCACCTCCTAGTCCCTCAAAGATTGCACTTCCATCTCCATCCAAGACTAACTATCGGATACCACCCTCCCCTCACCGCCAAAGCTCTGACGCATTCTGGAGCCAGGAAGTCACTAATGCCTGGAATGACCAGTGGTCTCCTCAAAAACAAAGGCCAAAAGGCAGAGCTCTAGAACGACTACTTGCCGTAGTTGAAAATGACCTAGATGACGATAGCGATGCAAATTACGTTTTATCAAAGGAGGCAAATTCACCAACTCAAGAAAAGCCCGCAAAAACAAAAACTCCCAGCAAGACGGCACTTAAGAAGGCAGAAGTAGCCCTTAGAAAAAAAGCCGCGGCCCGTAAAAAGGCATTCGATGAAAGAAAGACCACCATTGCACATGACTTTCTCATTACAGTCGATGAAATGGTATCCGGTGGACAAGTCAAAAGCCTTGCCGAGAAGACTGGTGGTATCAAGATCACATGGAGCAAAACACTGCGAAACACCGCTGGTCGCGCAAACTGGAAACAAGAACGAATCAACCAAGCCGGTAGAAAAACCGAATACATTCACCACGCCTCCATTAACCTCGCTGAGCACATCATCGACGATGAAGACCGACTATTAAACACCCTCGCTCACGAGTACTGCCATCTTGCAAACTTCATGATATCGGGAGTCCGTAATCAGCCCCATGGCGCAAGCTTCAAAACTTGGGGCCAGAAATGCACCGATGCTGTTAGGAAACATCCCGAGTACAGGAAGTTCCCTGTGGAAGTCACTACCAAGCACTCATATAAGATCGACTATAAATACGTCTGGATCTGTGTTGATTGCGGGCACGAGTACGGAAGACATTCCAAGAGCATTGACCCTACCAAGTGCAGATGCTCCATCTGCAAGGGCGGGCTGCAGCAAATTAAACCCAAGCCGAGGAACATGTCCCCGAAAAAGAACTTTTTCAGTAAGCCGCAGCAGTCAGAAGAGGTCACCACTAGCAATGAATCAACCCTCGTTGATGATATGATTCAAAGCGTTGGCAACGTTAGTTTGGCTTGAAGAATTTTCACATGGGAATGCATTTCTTAGATGATTTTTCATTGTATAAAGATCTTTTTGTCATAATGGTGTTTAGAGTATGTCAGAGAAGACTGTCAAACCGGTTCTTTTGTAATTATTTTTTTTTTGGGTTCTTAATGACGATTGACTGTCGATTTTTCCGTGTGATATTGATCGGTTGAGGCTGTAAATGTCTTCGGAGGCACTCCTCAATATTTAATAATAAATGAATACGAGTGAGATAATTTACTCGAGGATCCAGTACTTGATGCTATAATACGGTATTTGAATGTGTTCGATGTAGATTTGTTTCGTTTGAAAACTGAATTTTGTATAGTACATGATACTGCAAATACTCTCTAGGTCAATTCTATGGGTACATAACCATGCATTTAATTCCAACAAAGGCAGTGGAGAGAGATGCTCAAGATTGTATTCAACGGGCCAGCCTGGCCCGCAATGAGTCACATAGGAGAGTAAGATAGTAGAGTCGGTTGAGATAGGATGTAGTTATTGGGCCTTGGCAGCTTCTGATTTCGCTTCTAGCTTTTCAAATTCAACTTTGCCATCACGAATAGTAGCAATACTTTGGCTGACACCCTTGATTTCCTGGGTTAATTGATCAACTGTCCTGGACGGGACTGGAGCTCGCGACACAGCTTCTTCCGCGGCTTTCTGATAATCACCTTTCTCCTGATGGTCCTTTCCATATTCGAGTTTGTTGAACGCGTTGAATGTGGCCCCAGGTGGTGTGTCAGCTATTTCGTTGACTTCGTTGTCGCTTAGAATATCCCGTACTCGAGCAGCGCGAGTCTGAATGAGAAGAGTTGCTGGACCATCAAATTGCAAGAATAGCTGCGATCGTATGGTTAGCTTCTTCATGACGCGGTGATGTGTGAGGAATTTACCCTATCACCCCAGATTGTTCTTCGTGCCCATGTCCGAACGTTGTGGAGAATCTTCATTGACGCCTTCCAGGTATCTGAGGCGGTCAAGTCGCGGAGATACCGTGATTTGAGAAGAAACTCTGGGAAGTGCACCCCGGGAACTTGAAAACGTAATGAAGTCGATTTGAAACGGTAAGGTTGAGGTGGATTGGATGATACTGTGTATGCAAGGACATTGCTGTCAATTGTTAGTCAGTACATATTTCCAAGAACTTCCAACCGTGACCTACCTAGGATGAGCAATATACCGCTCGCCTGCCTTCAAGTCCACTGAGTACACCTGGCCCCTGCCAACAAGAGCAAGTAGCCCCCGGCCTGTAACCTCTGAGCTTCCCCAATGCACCACGCTCTGCGGATCCATTAGAACACTATGACATGCAATAGAAAGAGACGAACCAGATTTGTGTTAATCCTCGGCCTGATAGATAGCGAGTGACCTGTCCATGCAAGCAGAGCTCCTCTTTGAGCTATCATCCAGTCAACTGTTCCATTGAGGTGAATTACGGAGAACGATGTAATAGGCGATTGAACCGATACCAAAGCCTTGACGGCGGTCGGAGAAGATATCTAGATGTCGTCAGCACATTCTGGAAATGATTTCGTATTGTGTAGCTTCACGCACCTTCTGATAAAGAAACGGGATGCCGACAACGGCCCTTCGAAAAGGCTCTAGGACGCTCAACGTCGAAATAACCTAGTATCCTTTGTTACAAAAGAGGCTCGATGAAAATGGTAGCGGCAAAATATACATTTTCTGGTTTCCCACTCAGTCCAACAAGCGTACCTCTTCGCGTGTAGAGGTTCTGCGAGGCGGATAGAGAAACCGAAAGCAAGGAGGACGGTGTACCGACGACGTGGAATTTGGCATCTGATGGAAGTCGCCTGTCAGCCACCCGAGTTCGACACATCTCATGGAAATGCTCTGATGACTTACCAGCGGAGACAGCACTGCCTGGGGTTCCGGAGATGGGCAGATCGACCCCATTGACGGTGGTTGACTCCCCCAGTGGTGCGGCTTTGATCTGGATGCTTCTTATCCTGTGCAGCCGAGCGTGACGCGGACATGAAATACGGCCATTGGCCCTGCAAAGAGCCGTCGCACCCTTTCCTAGAGTGAGGCCCATGGCAGATGCAGGCTCATGAGCGCGAGAGGTATCGCAGCGATAGTTGGGGAAAAAAGAAAGAGCCCTACGTCAGTGTTTGTTCCGAATATTCACGCTCTCCAAACCGGAGCCGGGCAGGTGCTGCCGCCAAGCCGCCAACTCCCCAGCCAATCCAGGTACAGTGCTGACCTTGTGTGGGGGGAGCGACAATCACGACATCACAGAGCTGTCTGTTGAGACTCACCTCAGTCCTTGATGGATGTGTGCAGTGCCCCTTTTCTATCGCTGGGCTTGACCCTTTATCTCGACCGCAAGACCAGCCCCGAATTACGCAGACGCAGCAGCCCCCAAGGTCTCCGAATCCGGAGCCGATGAAAGTGAAACCCCACCGACTGCAACTGGTGCACAGATTCTCGAGCGACAGCTCATGCCTCTTCCTATACAAAAGCCTTACATAAATTAGCTGAAGCGGCGGCTTGAGGCGACCTCCATTCGGTAGCATCAGGAACATGTTGCTTCAAGCTTCTAGGTCGCATTGTATGCGCCTGTCGCAGCATCCTGGACGTTTCTGCCATGGCGCCGCCCATCTTCGACGAGAGCAAATTTCCGCGCTGAACCGGAGCCAGATACGTGTACTCACAACTAGCAATATATTATGGAGCGTGCAGAAAACCCCCGAGCCTTCCCGATCGACGCAATTGCGCACCGAGGCCACCACTCTCTCAGCAAAGAAGAGCGACGCATCCGCAAATCCAAAAACCCCTGTTCGGATTGAGTCTAATAAGAAAAAAGGCGATCTTCTTGGAGAATCTATTGTTACATCTAAAGAACAAAGAAAGGCAGACTGGGCTATTATGAAGGAAATGGCGAAGTATTTATGGCCGAAGGTATGTGTTAATGAACTAGGACATGAACTCCTCCTAACATTGGGCAGGATGACTGGGGAACGAAGTTGCGCGTTGGTACAGCGCTCACCCTTCTTGTTGGAGCAAAGGTATAGCCTCCACAACAAAGTCAAATAATAGGGTGGATACTGAAGATTTATCTACAGGTACTCAACGTCGAAGTGCCGTTCTACTTCAAAAACATTGTGGATTCGATGAACATTGATTTTGCGGCTGTAGGAGGTACCGCATGGACGGTAGCAGGCTCAATGTTGATTGCATGTAAGAGTTAAGATTTTTGTTCGTCGGAAATGTTTCATCTAACAGAAATCCTCAGATGGTGCTACTAGGATAGGTGCTACGTTATTCCAGGAGCTTAGAAATGCCGTATTTGCAAGCGTTGCACAAAAAGCTATTAGGAAGGTTGCGGGAAATGTTTTCGATCATCTCTTGCGCCTAGATTTGAGTTTTCACCTGAGTCGTCAAACAGGTGGACTGACGAGAGCCATTGATCGAGGTACTAAAGGAATCAGCTTTCTCTTGACATCGATGGTCTTTCACGTCTTCCCGACTGCTTTGGAGATTTCTATGGTGTGCGGAATTCTGGTATTTCTCTCTTCACGCCGCAGCACATAAGTATGAATTTATTAACTCTGCCTAGACATACCAATATGGCTTTCAGTTTGCAGCCATTACTGCAGCAACGATGGTTGCATATACTGCATTTACTATCACAACCACTGCGTGGCGGACCAAATTTCGCAAGCAAGCTAATGCTGCAGATAACAAAGGAGCGACGGTGGCCGTCGATTCTTTGATAAACTACGAAGCTGTTAAATATTTCAATAATGAAGGCTACGAAGTAGCACGATACGATAAAGCACTCAAGGCGTACGAAGATGCCTCTATCAAGGTGACAACATCACTTGCGTTTCTCAACTCTGGTCAGAATATCATTTTTTCCAGCGCTTTAGCATCTATGATGTATCTGGCGGCGAACGGGGTTGCAACGGGGCAATTGACAGTGGGAGACCTGGTAATGGTCAACCAGCTTGTCTTCCAGCTATCAGTTCCTCTTAATTTCCTAGGCTCCGTCTATCGTGAATTAAGGCAGTCTCTACTTGACATGGAGACGCTGTTCAACCTACAAAAAGTTAACGTCAACGTCAAGGAGAAACCGGATGCCAAGATCTTGAACCTGTCCCACGGTGGAGAAATTCGCTTTGAGAACGTGACATTTGGCTATCATCCTGACCGTCCAATCCTCAAAAATGCTAGCTTTACAATCCCTGCTGGAGCGAAGTTTGCTGTTGTCGGACCAAGTGGCTGCGGAAAGTCTACCATTCTTAGACTCCTGTTCCGATTTTACGATGTTCAAGAGGGACGCATTTTGATTGATGGACAGGACGTACGGGATGTAACACTAGAGAGTTTACGCAAGTCCATTGGCGTGGTGCCACAAGATACACCTCTTTTCAATGACACCATTGAGCATAATATTCGTTACGGAAAAATAGACGCGTCTAATGAAGAGGTACAGAGAGCTGCTGAAAGGGCTCATGTTCATGAGCTTATTCAGAGACTTCCCGAGGGATATAAGACTGCGGTTGGCGAACGGGGAATGATGATCTCAGGAGGGGAGAAGCAGCGGTTGGCAGTCTCACGGCTAATCCTCAAAGATCCGCCACTACTGTTCTTCGACGAGGCGGTGAGTAAACGTGACTTCTCTTTGGGGTTTGTTTGGTCAATGCTGATGGTGAATAGACTTCGGCCTTGGATACATATACTGAGCAGGCACTTCTGCAGAACATTAAAAGCATTATCAAGGAAAAAGCGCGAACAAGCGTCTTTATTGCGCATCGGCTTCGTACCATCTACGATAGCGATCAAATCCTCGTGCTTAAAGATGGACATGTGGTTGAAAAAGGCACTCATGCCGAGTTACTAGAGCAGAAAGGCGTATATGCTGATTTGTGGCACGGTAAGAGTTTAATTTAACCCGATTGATAAAGGATGACTAATGACTAACGTGATGGTGAATAGCCCAGGAACTATCCCTCGCACAGGATGCCGACCTGGAGAGGAATCTCGAAGTCGGCGAGTTAGAGGTGCCAACAGCGCCAACGCCCACCGACGCCAACAAGCCATTAAATTAGAATATATTTCCTTACACTCTCGGGATTTATTTGTATACTCGAGCAATTGACGTTACCCGCATCTGTACATAGTTGTATATAGAACATTCATTAGAATTAGGACAATCGAGAACCCATTTATCACAGCCATCGCCGTTATCGATGTATCTGCTTGCAGCCACGTGGTAGTTAGATGTCATTGGGGCGGGGGGCTGGGAGATACACATTAATACAGTAACATCTAGTCATGATCCATCCAGACGGATTTCACAAGCTTATCGAGCGCTAGGAATGGTGTGACCAAGCCACCGCCGCATGAAGCACATAACATCAACAATAAATGACCAACGAGTCAGATCGGGGAGGAATTCGAATATCTCTTTCTGTTCACACTTCATAATAGTCGGGCCTGAATCAAAAACGGCTCAGGCGGAAAATGAGCTATTTCTCTACAAGGACAAGGTAGACATTTTATTTAAAGCCTGTGCTACATCAATTGATCGCAACTACTTGTCAAGAATCCATCGTACTAGCGCACACTATTTTGGAACACTCCGAGCGTATCATTTTCTTTCGTGCGGGGCAGTCGTCATCAAGATTACTGCCCTGGACATGGAGTCAATTCCTGGGAGCTGTTTTGAACGCAACGCAAATACAACTCAAGCTGTATACACATTACACAACTTGTTGTTGTCTCTGCAAAAACTGCGACCAATTATTAATGATTGGACTCCTTGGAGACGATATTCCGTTGAATGATTAAGATTCAATAGACTTGTCTATCATCATCTTTCGAGAAACTCTTGCTGTTATTGACAGACCAGGGCTCTAGCGGGCAGAGCTAGGCCTTTAGGGGCGTTAGGGGCTCTCCAGGCGGCTGTGGTTGGCCTGGCAGCCCCGGCAGTGCCGCGTTTTGCCCTCGTGGAAGCGGAGTTGCACTGACCGGTGCGCTAACATCGCTAGCGACATGGCCGCCAGAGGCTAGAACTGCGCCAAGGCCGTGTTTAGTAGGCCAGGCGCCTGCCCTCCCCACCCCCTGATCGTGTTTCTCTCTCTCCATCATCTCGTGCATTATTCGCTTCGCTTCGTATTCTTCCTGCCACCCGGTGGACTCTTTTAGGGATATCAGACTATCCTGTCCTGTCCTTTCATTCTTGCTAATTCCGCTCTTTCGTCCTTCTTACTCCGTACGCGACCCGGCATGCAATTGACGCCGCGACTACTCTAGTGCGATCTCTGGCCTGCAATTCTCTCATTTACCCAGTCGTTTATCTCTTCGAGTTCGATGTAATTCACCATTGTCGACCTTAGCGTTTTGCGATAATCTTATCTCTAGCTTTTGGGTTTCTCCTCAATGTGAGTCCTATATTTTTGCCTCCATTACTATGGTGGCCTGCTGACGACCGATGGCACCGCAGCCTCCCGATTGGAGAAGCACCGTAACACGACGTCTTTGACAGTCAAATCACATCGAACACCTATACGCTCTTGGGATTCGTCCGCACAACTAGGAACCCTGTAACCTGTCTCTCAGCAGAAGGTTGTGTTTTCAAACCTTTACGTATTTTAGACCACTGTCAAACGCTCTCGACAATTCATGGTTCATCGAGAATATAATACTATATCAGCTATCTACTAGCGAATAAACAGAGTTTTATCCGGAACCATGGGTCTTGTGGAGAAGTTGCAGAGCAGTAAGTGTCTAAGAAATGGAATAGTCGGCTCTCCTAGACCTAATCATTCCATAGAACTCGAGCTCTACCGCCTCGAGCAACGGTATACCCGCCGACGGCACCGCAGCATGTTGTTTAACGACGTCCAATATGTTGATGGCGAATATGTCTACAATTCGAGCTCTCCCACGTCACCAACTGGAACCGTGTCTAAGAGCTCCACCGGCAGTCACTGGCGACCCTCTTGGGGCCGTTCTACCACTTCCGATTCCCGATAGACGTTTATGATTTATGTCCAAAATCCATCGATGTACATATACATATATTTCTATATATTTGGGAGGACAAGTACAATAGTTAGGACTGCTACTTGTATTGCGAGTTTTCTTACGGATGTACTCGGCTCTTGATGTTGCATATAGCTTTGACGACGAAGAGTGCGAGCGAGTTGTTCTGTATTTCGTTACATCGCATGTCTATATTTGGTTTAACTCGCGTATAAAATCGGCGGTCTCTTGTGTCATGCTTCTCTTATTCGCGCGACTTCATTTTATCTATATGCTATTGGTGTGAATATAACTTGATCTTAACATCTCAAAGGATTCTATTTTGAGTCGCATATAGTCTGACTGGTCTATGTCTTTTGGCCCCCGGATGTGATCACCGAACAGGCCTTCATGCTTTGTTTCTTCCTGGGAAGCCTTGTACCATGGCATCATCCTGGTCGACGTGATAGGCAAGAAGAACAATCGGCCTTTGGTAAACTGGACAATGTGACAACCCTCCAACAAGGCCGATCTAAACAAGTGGTTCATTGGCTGTTCTATACTCCCATCGTAGCCTTGTCTATGTCACGCAGCCGTGCTCTTTACGCTATATATATGAGATTGCGTGTCGAATCAGCCGGAGAACGGCTTGCAGTCTGTCAGATGACTGCAGCCAGTGTATGCTGCCTTTCAAGGAATCCTAATTTCTTGGGTATGTCAACATATGAGATGCCCGGGGATACTTTGAAAAGCAACTTCCATTTCAGTTGTCGATTTGAATATTGCTGTCAAAGTGCTTGCTCTCGCATATGATACAACGCAGTGTAACGGCATCCACGGCCGGATTTATAAATGGCGGATAACATTCACATAGATGGAAAGTGTGCGAGAATATCAAGGCCAATTTCAACTCGCTGGCTGCACTACTTCATCTGACAACCAACTGGCGGCATTGATTGCATCATCACATCAACTAGTGTTTCCGGTGTTATGTTGTCATCTTGGTGGTGACCCCGCACTCACATACCATGACAATTCATTGATAAACTCGGTGTTTTCACGATATCCCTAGAGATTATAATGATAAAAATTGGTGGAGTCAAACAATTCTTGATTTCTTTCTTCTAGAAATACTATCTCATACAGTTCCGGTACTTTACGGACGAACCATGGAGATCCATATCCTTTTCGGAGCGCGAGCCTGATGTGCGGCTGACCATGGGCGGGGTACGAGAAGTCATCCACACCCTATATCTCAGAGAAAAACCTGGTCTTTAAATTAAAACGAGCCTAATTGAGCAAAGGCTATCCGAATTTACGGCGCCATGCATGATTTTCGGCATCTCAATGATTGTGACTTTAGGCTGAGTTCTATGGTCCGTCTATATAAGGAGCTGATCCTTCGTCTCAGCGACAGGCCTTCTTCTTCAAATCCACTATGGACGCGGGTTTCACTCCTTTTATTCCACACGAAATGACCAAGTCCTTGCTACAATCGTTCCATCAGGCTGGACCACCTGCTCGACCCCGCTTAGTCATCCCAGGCGGAAGATGCCTTCTGTCTGCGAGGCGTGCGTCCTAGCGAAAGGGTAAAAAACGCCTTAATAGAGCTTGCTACGCCTACCTTTCTAAAGAATGAGCCTCCCCGTCATCGGTAAACCCGAGTTACACAGTTCACCTCATGCCGTGAGTCTGCCACGAAGCCACACCCTTATTGGAATCACATTGGTCGCAGTCACCGGTCTGAAGTCGCCAGGTGTATGGGGTGGGATGTGAGGGTAAAACATAGCCCCGGCGAGGGCCTGCCCGTTCGCCTCGGGTGCGCCTATACGATTTCTTAACTGCCGATCTATTCATTTCTTTCAGAACGTCTACCTATGACGGGGGATTGTATAGCATGGAGGAGCAGTGGACTTAAAATCTGGACTGGCAATGCCTCCATAGCCTCTGTCGCCCTCCCTCGCCCTCGCCCTCCTCGCCCTGAGACGCCCCGCCATGGCTTGTTTGGTGTATTCTCTTAGATGCCCAAGGCCGATTCTCTCGACGAAGGGGGAGAGAAAAGCTATAAATTAGAGGGAGAATATGACTTCGCTACATCAGTTTTATTGGGTTTCAATTTTACCTGCTAAGTACTGCTCTCGCGAGGACTTTGCCAAACGTGATCAATATAAGTAAGCATATATCTTGTGGTCTTTAGAAGCTCAGAATGTCTAACATAGTTGAGTGCTCTCTAGTCCGCAATCCTCGACCCGCGAACCTCTTTACTCGGCGAAAGAGAAATAAACCACCGTCAAAACAATGGACCATACTCCAGATCAAGCCTTATGGTGGTGTTGTCAATGTCGTGACGGGCCTTTCCCTTTGTGGCAGCCTAAATGTGCGACACCTGGTTGCCAGCATGCTCAAAGCTATTGTTGTCCTCAGGAAGTAGTTCCTGCCCCAAAATAGCGATCTAGAGTATATTCTCAGACGCATGTTGGCCAGACCTTCACAGTTCCATCAATCTTCCATTTAAACGTCATTTCCTACCAGAACATCAAGAATGGTCATCTGGCAGCTCTGAGGTGCATACTAGGTATATATCGGTATCTGTCAACTTCGGCGGACAAATTACCATTGTTTTCTCATAGACCTCTTTTTTGCGCGATCTCTTTTTTCTTACCCCTGAGGGCATTACGGACTGCTTGGCATGGGTTGTTTTCAGCATGGGGTTACGGCGATTTCGGGTATATGTGTTTTATTTTGGTTCTTTAGGCTTATTTCCTCTTGTTGCCATACCGCTGGAAGTCATGTATTTTAGACTATTGTGTTATCCAAATCTATGATGTTATCAGGCGCAAAATTCAAAGTCCAACTCCAGACAAAGATAACCAACTCCACAAACTGTATCGGGGTTCTCCGAATTCCGAATTACTTACTTATTCACTAGTAAAGTGTGACTCACTGTTGTCATGGCTTTTGGTCTGGCCTGCAAAAGAGGGGCAGTGCAGGGTACAGGAATGCGGAATGAGATGTGCATGCATCACGGTGGGGCTCTTCCGGAGCCTCATTCCCCACTGGAGACGATGAATCCTTCACTTCACTTGTAGTTTCTTTTCTTTTTTTCCCCATCACACCGTCTTTCGCACTTAGAATGCAGGATATTCTTGAAAACATGCGTGTTGGACTAGTTTCCGAGTCATTTCCGAGCGTGACGACCAAGCCAAAGTTTAGGCAGCTATCGGTCATCTTCGGGCGTAGAGAAAAATGCCTCGCTCGCAAGGCAGATCGCCGACTGAATAATCAGGCGTGAGTTTACATAATCCTGTGGCTTTTCGTAAGCACCAAAAAGACAAAAATCTTCCTTTGTATTATGGGAGCAATAGCACTGAGATTAGAGGAAAATTGGCAGGGGAGATTACTTTGCAATTGAACCCTTGCCAATACTAGCCTATCAGCCGTCCGTAGGGTTGTAGGGCTCCAACGCCGTGCCACACTGGGAACCCTTAGAGCCCTGGTCGCTGGCAATAGTATCGGACTGCCGATAGCAACAATAATATTGCTGAGTTATTATTGTTATGATGAACTGCTGGCTTGAGCAATACATGTAACGGGTTTGGCCCTGTATTAGCTGCTAGGCACTCGCCTTTCTTTACTTCAGTGCCTAACCTATTTTTATTTTTATTTTTTTTTATCTGAGACAAGATGGCTCTTCTGACGAATGTGGGAGCCTTTGGAAACAGTGAACATAATACTACATCTCAGTTCTATGCTCATAAGTGTATATAAGCCGTATCAACTATTCCGTTCGGGGTCAAATCAGATGACCACCCTGGCCCTAACGCCTAAACGGGTTCGTACGATTACCCATGGATTATTCCCGATTTGGCAGGGTATGCTTCCTCGATTGTGCTGTTGACTGCCCGGGCGCTCATATCTGTCGTTCCGTTCACTGCTAGCATTTAATTACTGGATCCAACCTTACCGGTTTTCCAAGCCATGTTATCGTAAAAGACTCCTTGTCTCAAACAGGCCGAACGTTGGGCAAAACACTGCTGTCAGAGCCGGATCGTCGTACCCTGACCCAGTGGCGCCCTTAGTTGCATGAGGATCGGTGAGTAAAAAGCAGCAATTCACGATGTGGATTGGACAATATTTCGATAAGGCGCAGAAAGAACATCAAGCTAGTGCCACCCTTTGGAACAGTGGTGACAGCGGCTTATTCGTGGTCGATCGAATCGGAGCCTTAACGGTATCGTACTGTAGGTTGGTATCGGGCCCTGACGAAGCGTCAATTTGCGCAACTAAAATGTATATGACATTTGAACTGCTCGTTATACAGCAAATTCTACACAGCCTCCACGATTGACCTTTTCTCTATGCCGGTTGCTTCACTTTGGAGTGCGCCCGGTACGATAAAAACGGGTTAGAAGGTTGGCCGTTGCCCCGGCCGAAGCATACTGCTAATCGTAACTAAGAGAATTACCACCTGCAGCGTGGCTATGAAACTGGATAACAGACGAATTGAAGGTAGTCATATGCCGAGGAGATGGTTTTTGGTTATTTGCCGAATTTCGCTATGGTTTTGCAGTCTGACCAAGCACCTAATCGAGCATTTATTCAACGCTTAATTCAGACTGCGTACATGTAATATAACTAACGACTAATGGGTTGGCTAGAATGGGGCACCTCAGCGCCCATTTGCCCCAAATGACCCTCCCGGTAGCCGGTTTTTCAGACAAATCAATTATTGGAGTTATTATTGGAGGAGTATTCGCATCTTCAGAATTATTACTTTCCCCGAGAAGATGTCGTCGACGATTGCTTGCCAGCACGGGGCGTGACCTGGAACGATGTGGGGATCGATGCCTCAGTCCGTCCCTATCACGTTACTAACCCTAAGATCCACCGCAGGCAAACACAGGCAACCAGGCAGACTTGCTCAGCATACCTGCAGTTAGCATACTTAAACAGCAATAGTCATAAAATAATGGCCTCGATTCATACATTTCCTTTCTTTGCCCTTCTATTGGGTGGGCGCCGGGTGTTTGCCTAAACATGGGCGCACATCTCGTCCCATGACTGGTTACAAAGCTATTGATATTGCATTTCCTACCTGCTACTGCGCTTGTCTGCCTGATACCACTAATGCATCTACATATGCAGTTCTGCCCCTGGGCTGTGTTCATTCTTTGCCTTACCAGTGACCCAGGACAAAGCCACAAACCCTTCTTCAGCTTTGTTTCATAGTGGCTTTGAACCAAAGCCGTTCCGACGTAACTTACAGTCCCTGTGGATGCGATTGACTTATAAGAAGCCGCGATTCCCTCGTAGTTTATTTCATCCCATCTTCTCTTCACTCAAACCATCCATCTGAAACTATCCCACGGTCTTCCAACGCAGCAGTAACATTCAATTTGGCTTTCGTTATATACTCTAAGGACCTCACCACCTCAGCACGCAATCTCACCGCCATGCCTTACACAACAGTGTGGTACTGCTGCAACTGCAGCTACGGACCATGCAACCTAGAACTTGACATCGCTTGCCCTATGTGCGGCACCAGACGCTGCGATGGCTGCAAGATCGAAGTTATGAATAGCGTCTACTCAACCTTTCCTCCTGCTCAGGGACCAATACGCCCTTCGATGGAGCTTTCTCAAACCTGCAACACATTCTTACCTACTTGCAACTCAATACACCACTCTGAGGGACTCAGCATCCCCACGTTCTCGGCGGTAGGCCGATTGCCATTCATAGCAGAATCGGGCACTGCTTCTGCCTACAACATTTTTGGTCACAGTGGTCTTTTAAGACAATTGCCCAACAATTACTACTATTGTTGCCAATGCAATGACGGTCCTAAAATGTACGACAACCAGCCTCAGTGTGTGAATTGCTGCCACACAATCTGCTTCAACTGCAGAGCAGCTTGAGAACCTCATGCACGAAATTTTTATAAAAAGGTCGGTAGCAAGTCTGCATTTCACAGAAATCATAAAGACGAGTTGCTCATTTCTGATATAGACTTACATCGGCGTTTTTGGGTGCATAAATTGACTGCATTTGGCGAGGGACTGTTCGATAGATAGGGCATGCTTTTTTTCTGACACATTTCATTTTCGCATATTCATACCATATTTCCATATATTTCGACATTTTTTGATATCTCTTTTTGCAGACATGACTATTTTCATGACGCTTATGTTGTTTTCTTGCTGGATTGAAGGTTATTGGGGAAAGTAATGATGGTGTGATGTTTTCCCTTTTTTATTGATGGTTGTCTTTTGGCGCGTTACTGTAGCATTTTGAGCTTGACCACTCGCATCTTTCATGTATTATACCGTTGTATTCTGCTCTTTACTTTAATATCGGGCTTCTTCCGATCAATCTGACATCTTTGTTGACTTCCAGTGGCGAATCAGAATGGCTACATCAGACTTGAAGGCACTAGTAATGGCTTTGTCAACTGAGTCATCTCAAGCCCCTCCTTTCGTACATGATGCATAAGATGAGCGTGAAGTACCCGCCCTGAGGCGCTTTCAATTGCGACGAATTGTGACTAGGCACTCCCTGAGTCAGTGGGCGTTTGTAGTACCCAGTATGATTCGCAGGTTTTATGCATAAAGGTAATGGCATTCAAATTCGTGACATGTGAAATTTGAGAGAAAGCCAATGATAACCCCAGAAATCAAAAGACAGGATTCTTTTTGACGAAAAAAAGTGGAAAAAGGGTATGTTATTTATCCTGCAAGGTGCATGATCGAGGCGACGTTGTGCGTTGAGTCAGGATTACTAGTCCAGTCACATGCCAAGCGGAGGCAGAGCCTCATCCAGCTTTTGATGATTCATAGTATTAGGGGCTGTTTCATTGGCTAGAACACAGTTTGCAGATCGCAGATATGGCTGCTTACATAATCGCCAGCCATTTGCCCATAGAAATGGAATATATTCGGCTTATTTTACTTCTCAATGTAGATAATAACGACAAAAAAAATATAAATGTAAAAACAAGAAAACAACTTTTGACTGCTCCGCAAGCTGGAGCCAACTTGCCGAAGAACAATGATCTTCTTTGCGGGGGACTGAACTCCGGATGGGCTAGCTCCATTGTACACGCTCAGCTGAAAGCGCCAGCCCGTTACTTACAATACATGTAGCATACACGCATCACAACGATTCCCCTACCATACCATTGCTGCACAGAGCGCACTCGAAACTAATTTTTAAATATGAATTATAATATAACCTGATTATTATTTATTATTTCTTTTTTAGAAAAACCACTTGATCCTTCTCTAAACAAGGAACTATCTTGAACATGAACGGGCAACGGAAAAAAAGGCCCGGTGTATTTTATCAGCTCGCTCGTTACGTCAGGGTCGATTTAAGTGCAATCACCTTGTTACTTTTAATTTCTAGCTTTAAAATCTTCCCTCATGACTCATAGCTGCGCCCCGATCGACCCTAGTAATAATTCCACGACCTTCATCACTATGTATTACCCAGGACCGTTTCTTCTTTCGTTCGTTTGGCCTGGAAAAACAGGCAGGGTGGGTCAAGCGTTCATACCCTTCAGCGGCTTCTCGAGCTGAACCAGAGTATGCCTTGCATGGTGAAGCCATAGCCAAGGCGAACTCCAATCTCTAAGCCTCTGATATGTATTGCTAGAGGAAATGCTATTCATCTATGTAGCTTGGGCTGATCGACTGAGCATAGAGTAGAGTCGGGGGTTAGAACATTCGAGGATCCTGGCTTGTGAGGGTGAGTGATAAGTTAGCCTTGCTTACTGCCAGGGGACCCGGGGTCATTGTTGGCTTCTTAGGGTTTTGGTGCCATGCTTCTGAATTTATGTGGCGTTACTTAAGCAGTCTTGCCAGGACGATAGATAATTTAATCGGGTGCAGAAAAGTTAGAGGAAATGCATATTTGCATCTCAACCCATCGTCTGGTCAAAGAAGTAGAGGGAATATCAACTTTAATTAACGTAATTAATTCACTATGCTAAGAGAGAGCGATGTGCCATTGGCTTGTTGCCCAGCATCAAAGTCTGACTCGCCCCGTAGATGGCAAGATCTAACTTGATCGTTCTACGTCGCGCGGGCAGTCTAGTGACTGCCAAATGATACCTAGTACCATTAAGTATTGGATCCTGAAAATGCAGAAGGATGCCAATGTGCCACACAAGACGAGGAAAAACGCCTCCAATGCTACGCTTAGGAGCAAAGCATACCTGTATTCATGCAAATAAAAAACGGGGTATGAACTGAAGAAACCAAAAAAAAGAGGTTTGCAAATGGAAGTCAGAAACTGGGTCAGGCAACTCGTATGGAAGTTGCGCAATGATTTCAAGATGCAAAGATCGGCCGTTAACAGATAATTCTGTTTGCGCCGACTGAAAGGTATAAGGGAGTCATACCGGATGCAGGTTACAAAGGAAGAATTCGTGAAGGATCCGAAAGGAAGCGTCTACGGTATGCGGCAATCTCGTTGGCAACGGTAAAGAAATCTTTCACCTGATCGCGCTGCAATGTGTTGATGATGGTTTTCAATCCTTCAAGGAACTCGTCTCTTTCCTCTGCCGTTTTGCCTTCCCGCTGGTTACCCATTTCAACAAGGATCTTGTCGTCTAACATGTCAAAAAGCCAACTAGGAGTCAGTGTCCGTCTGTTAAGGTGGAAAGGGGTGAATAATAAAAAAAGGAGAAATTGGGGAGAATAACGGATTGTAAGAGTGAAGGTGTAAACTTGAATAGAAAATGACGTGCTAGGCCACCAACGCACCGGGCATCACCATGTCGCGCCAATGCTGAAATTCGCATGTAGTATCATTGCATACCCCTCCAGCGGATTCGTAGGGGCAAATGGCCAGAGATGGATCAATCTTATGACTGTATTTCAGTGATCGATAGCTGTCACTAACTTCCTGTGCGAAATTGGGATGATAACGATAGGCTCTGAAGTATTTCAAAGGACTTTCATAGGGCGAGAATTTAAATGTCTTGATAGCCCTGTCTACATTCTATAACCTCGTCAGTAAGTGAATTCGGTTGATTATGACTAACCTACGTCAAGAGCATCATTTTTCGATGCAATGACAACTTGTTCCTGAAGCTTGGGGGTTAGTTCCACGTCAGCCTCACTGTGAGAGGATGGAGAAACGGGGATAGTGTCCATCTCTACATCGTCACCACTGGGACCTAGTTGGGGAGAATACACTTCCTCTCCGTCTTCAGGTTCTGGGGGCTCATAATTGTCAGACACCATGAGAGAGTCCTGAGAAGTATTGCGCTCAAGATTTTCAGCGACTGGTTCATTTGACTCCGCATTTCCTGGCATATCGAGAACATCCTCAGAACCACCGGTTGGCAAAGGGTCACTATCCAGATTATGTATATTAGGAGACTCATTGCTCGGTAATGATGTTGAGATTTGAGGTTCAGGCTCGGGCTCGGGTTCTAACTCTTCTTCTATTGAACTTGGCTCTGGGCTGCTAGAAGACTCATCCATTGACGAGTCTGACGCTTCCAAGTTCGAGTCTTGAGGTTCAAAGATATCACAGGGATCCTCACAGGTCTCGGGAGAGCCATGACCAATAGAAGAAATTTCGTGGTCAACTGGCAGAGTTTGATTCACGGATTGGGGTTTTATGAGTTTCGAGTCTTCAGATATTCGCGCTTGAGTGTTAGGAGAAGTAGCATTAGCTTCATTATCAAAGGAATTTCCTGTGAAGGCAGCAAGTAATTAGTGGGATCGCGTGATATGCTATCGAGCGCTGGAAAAAATGAAAGACTTACCTTGTGCAGCGTCGGCACGCTGTTTTTCTTCCGTAGCTGCTTGAACTGCTTCCATGGTTAATCCCTGCGTTTCTATGATGAGCGTCTCCAGCTCATCCATCAGTTGTTTCCGTCCTTCCCGACCTTTAACGATCTCAGCCAAGAGTCCCTCTTCTTGGGTTTTGAATCCCGCTAGCTTGGCCTGAATCCTTGATATCTCGTCATCTAAAGTCGGTAGACCCGTTTCGATTTCTTGTTTGCGTAATAACTTGAGCCTCATTTTATCTAAATCAGAAAGATCCATCGACGCTAACAATTGAATTGGAGAATCCATAGATATGTTGGAAGCAGTGGACTTGGCAAGCAAAGCCTGTGGGGCTTCTAACCGGTTATTTGTAGTTCCAGGTAGGTTATCGGTTGATCCAAGAGATTCGGACGCCGAAACAGATGATACTGTGGTTTCATTTCCTTTCTTAGCCTTTTTTTCCTCAAATTCAGCTATCCGACGTCGCATGGCCTTGATTGCAAGATCTTTCTGACGGAGACTTTCCGCGTCATTGAGGCGATTTTGAGGGGTGGCGGACGCCGACGATCTCTGGTACGACAGTCCGCTCGAATGGGGAAAACTTGACTTTTGGGACGCGGTATCGTCCATCGCATCTAGCATTGCAGCGTCATTACCATCATTGTCCGAGGATTCATCCTCACTGATGTCAATGACTAATCGATCTTCAGTAACTAATGGCTTCTTGGATTTCGGAACAAACTCATCAAAATCTGAAGCTCGAGGGCGTTTGGCAGGAGTTCTCCCAGGTCTTGTAGCATTACTTGATATATTTTCAATATTTGTCGGTGTAGGCGATGATTTGGCATCTGAAGAGGATGTCGAGATTCCAGGTATATTGGAAGTTGTCATTTGTGGGGGCGTCTGAGGTTTACCGGAGAAGGGTGGTCGTTCCGGTAGAGGATGAGATAAAATGGGAGGTGATATAGTTTTGGAATTTGGAGCAATATTTGCAGTCCCTTGAGCTGTGGTGAAGTTTTCTTGTTGAAATTGCTGTCTTTTGAGTCCCATTTTCTTGAGTTGTTCAATACGCTGCCTCGCCAACTCAGTTTGGGCTTTATTCTTCTCTTTGGGCTGTGTTGCCGCGGAGGCTTTGGGCGATACTGCAACCTCTGTGACTTCGCTTGTATCACTCATCATAACGGAAGCCGGCCTGAGGGTTGGTTCGGCAGATCTGGACTTGGGGACTGCGATGGCAGACTTTTTAGCTTTGGCAGCAAGCATCCGTGCAATGACGTCCTTCCGCTCGAGCGGCTTTCCTGCGAGGGACACAGAGGGTTCTTCTTTTTCTGTTAAAACGGCGGAGCTTGGTGCATTGATTTGAGCACTGGCCGGTGGGGAAATTGTAACATTAGTAGTTGGGTATTTGCGGGATGCCTCGGGTGTCGCTGTAAGATCGATGGTGTCATGTTTAACAAGCGAATTAGAATCCGAAAGAGAATGAGTAATTTTGATGCCGATATCATCATATAGTTGTTTGAGAATGTTCGGATCGATGTTTTCCTTCAAAAGTTCATGGAATCGAATATTGTGGGGAGCTAACCCAAGCAAAGCCCCTTGAGCCATGACACGAATTTGAGCGACAGTCTTCCCGGTAATATATGAAGGTTCATTATTAGAGCTTTCAGAAAACTCGTCTTGCGATCCAAATTCACTGGAGCTGCGAGTTGCTCTCTGGGACGCAGCGGTTACTGGGTCGATGGTAATGGTCATTGGTGGATTGTAAGCTTCAAATAATTAGTAATTAATAGTATATTAGATGAGATGAATTCAATCGTCTACTTACGAGATTCTGAACGTTCTCTTTGATATTGATTGCTTCTCAAATTGGCTGATTCGTTGCCCGAGGCATCGCTGACTTCGCCTTCTTCCCGATCTGTTTCATCTTGCGTTGTTGGCAGAAAGCCCTCGTGGGAGCTGATTGTTGGTTGATTTGCCTGCGGCTGAAACGCTGCAGATGGGTGAGGTTGTCTAAACGCGGGGGTCGAGAGGGAGGCGTCTGGCGTGAAAAAAATCGAGCCTTTTGTTGCCCCAGGGTGGGGAACAGGATCAAGGTTTTCGCTAAATGAATGTGGAAGATATACAGATGGAATTGAGTCAGATGGCATACCGAGGCCCGGTAATTGCGTAGCGGGATGCGTCACAAACGGCAGGGTAGCGAAGTTCCCTGTAGCCATGGGATTGTTCATAGAATGAAAATCAGCTTCAGGCCGACCGCTCGAATTATGCGAGACATGGGCCGACCAGTGTTGCCCGTACTTTGATGGGCCTGGAAAAGTCGGGGTTGGTGGAAATTGCGACATGGTGCGATCAAGCTTGGTCCGGTGCTGAGTGGTGAGCTCAGCTCAGTCTAAACACGAAAGAGAAAATTCGATGATGAAAAACGTGTCGACGAGACTGGATACGCCGTTATAATATCTAATTCCAGGGAGCGAACCAATCATCGATATCGAAAAAGACACAGCTGATTTGTTATTCGATGCGAAGCCATAAAGAAAGTGATCGGTCGCGTCTTCAAGGTTCTTCACGCTGATGGTACTGTGGCTTCTCTTACAAGGCAAGCTGCGTTTGAGTTGTTTCTAATCTTGAGAATCTCAGGATAAACGACTCGAACCGTTCGATTAATTGATCAAAGTCGTGGTTGAGTATGGGATCACCAAGGAGAAAATGTGACAGGCCATCGTAGAAGACTTCGCAAGTGCGCAGAATAGGGTGGCACGTGATTCAGGCGGTGAGCTGGTCTCCTTTTTTGCCGGCAGCTGGCATGGCCCGTGCGGTGACCTACGTAACGACGAATTGGCTCTCTTAGTTGCGGAGCAAGATCGCTCTCGGCAAAAGGTAAACAAACAGGAAGCCCCGAGTCTGATCGAGGCTCTCCTCCACGATTCGCACGACAACGACAACGCTGCTACATCGCAATTGCACCCTCTTTCTCCCATAAACCGGGTCCCATTACAGACTTCAGCTTCTACATTTTCCCTCTCCTCATTTTGTTGCTATTCCTGGGTCTTGGTGTCTTGGTTTTGTCCCTCCCTCCGGATTCACGCGCCGTTGCTCTTTCAATGAATTCATAACATCGGGATGCTTTGAATATATCAACAATGCAACCTTCATCGCTAGGCGGCTCTCCGAGGCGCAACAATCCCTTCGGCCGGCACTCCCCCTCCCCCTCTCCCAGTCCTCAGGTACCGCCTTCACGTCCAAAATCTGCAGTTTTTTCAACATCCATTGCGGAATTTGAGAAACGATCACATGGACGTAACTCATCCTTGTCACACTCCCCAGCGGTTACAGTTGTATCAGATAGCCGACATCGATCAACTTCTTTTCGACAGAATATTCACACATCGGGGACCTTCGCGCCTCAGTTTATCAAGTCTGAAGAGCTGCGGAGAGGAACGGATCCAGTACATGGCCTGGAAGGCAATAATGACTTCTCGGGGAAGCGCTATGTGTGGCTGAAAGATGCCGAAAAGGCTTTCGTTAGAGGCGAGGTGGTCGAAGAAAGGGACAATGGCGAGTTGTCAGTGCGATGTGAAGACGGTAGTGTATGCATGTCGAAGGTTCTCTCGTGTGGTCACCGCTGATTTTGTGCTTTAACGTTAGGAACGAAATGTCAACTCGGAGCATGTTGATAAAGTAAACCCAGCAAAGTTCGATAAAGCCGATGACATGGCTGAATTAACGCATTTAAATGAAGCGTCTGTGGTGCACAATTTGCACTTGCGATACCAGTCGGACCTTATCTATGTCCGTCAACAAAAAATCCAATTTTTTGATACTATGTACTAATGATTGGGCAGACATATTCCGGACTTTTCTTGGTGACAGTAAACCCGTATTGTCCACTCCCAATCTACACGAATGAGTATGTGAGAATGTATAAAGGACAAAACAGAGAGGACACGCGACCACATATTTTTGCAATGGCAGATCAAGCTTTCCGGAATCTTGTGGAAGAGGGTGAGCACCAGAGTATTCTTGTGACGTACGTCTATCATTGGTTTTATTACATTGACATGCTAATTGAGAGTACAGGGGTGAGTCAGGCGCTGGAAAAACCGAAAACACCAAAAAGGTCATCCAGTATCTGGCGGCAGTAGCCACTTCCGAAGCATCTGCATCTCGATCCACAGGAAAACAACTCTCCAATCTTTCTCAGCAAATTCTTCGCGCCAATCCTATTCTAGAGGCTTTCGGAAATGCCCAGACAGTGCGGAACAACAATTCTTCACGATTCGGAAAATTTATACGAATAGAGTTCACACGCTCTGGTCAAATATCTGGTGCTTATATTGACTGGGTTTTGCTGGAAAAGTCAAGGGTGGTGAAACCTAATAACCGAGAACGAAATTACCATATCTTCTACCAGCTTCTACAAGGTGCTGACAAGGAGCTCAGGCAGAACCTACTCCTGTTTGATTTACAAATTGAAGATTTTGCGTATACCAAGGACGGCAACGACTCGATCGCCGGAGTCTCCGATACCGAGGAGTGGAATTCACTCATGGAGGCATTCCAGGTCATGAATTTCTCCAACGACGACCGTTTGTGCATTCTACGTACAATAGCGGCTATTTTGCATCTCGGAAACATTACTGTCACCAAAGAGAGTATTCGCGGTGACCAGGCCGCCTTGGCACATGAAGCTTATGAAAGTCTGGAAAAAGCATGTCGTCTCCTTGGAGTGGACATGGACACTTTCGAAAAGGGCCTTCTACACCCACGAGTTAAAGCTGGCCGGGAGTGGGTTGAAAAAGTCCAAACACCTGAACAGGTTAGACTGGCTCTTGATGCGTTGGCGAAAGGCATTTACGAGAGATGCTTTGGTGATCTGGTCAACCGCATCAACAATCAATTGGATAGACGTAGCCAAACAAGTGACGACACCTTTTTTATCGGCGTGTTAGACATTGCGGGGTTTGAAATTTTCGAAACGAACAGCTTTGAGCAACTCTGCATCAATTACACTAACGAAAAACTTCAGCAATTCTTCAACCATCACATGTTCGTTCTTGAACAGGAAGAATATGCCAGAGAACAGATTGAGTGGCAATTTATCGATTTTGGAAAAGACCTTCAGCCGACAATCGACCTTATTGAACTGACCAATCCTATTGGTATTTTTTCGTGTCTAGATGAAGATTGTGTGATGCCTAAAGCTTCTGACAAGTCATTTACTGAGAAATTGCATTCTCTCTGGGATGGAAACTCTCCTAAGTATCGCCCATCACGGTTAAAACAAGGCTTTGTTTTAACGCATTATGCGGCCGAGGTTGAATATACAACTGATGATTGGCTGGAGAAGAATAAAGATCCCTTGAACGATAACGTAACTCGTTTGCTGTCTTCTTCAACTGACAAGCACGTGGCAAATCTGTTCTCGGATTACATCGATGCGGATGACGAGCAAGGCTTTTCACGAAGCCGAGTGAAGAAAGGACTTTTCCGCACTGTGGCTCAGAGACATAAGGACCAACTATCAAGCTTGATGAACCAGTTGCACTCTACACACCCCCATTTTGTTCGCTGCATATTGCCAAATCATAAGAAAAGACCAAAACTTTTCAACGCACCTCTCGTTCTCGATCAATTGCGTTGCAATGGTGTCCTTGAAGGAATTCGCATTGCTCGTACTGGCTTTCCGAATCGTCTGTTGTTTAGCGAATTCCGTCAACGTTATGAAGTCCTATGTCGCGATATGCCTAAAGGATATTTGGAAGGGCAGAATGCCGCCCAGATTATCTTAACAAAACTAGGTCTAGACAAGACGTGGTATCGAGTTGGCCGAACTAAGGTATTTTTCAGGGCTGGTGTTCTCGCAGAGCTTGAGGAGCAGCGCGATGCTCTTATCCGCGAAATTATGACTCGCTTTCAATCGGTCGCCAGGGGTTTCGTTCAGAGACGCATAGCCAATAAGCGCTTGTATAGGGCAGAGGCCACTCGAATTATCCAGAGAAATTTTCATGTTTACTTGGATATGCAATCAAATCCTTGGTGGAGACTCTTTACAAAGATGAAGCCTCTACTCGGTGCTACTCGAACTGCCGCGGAAGTGAAGAGGCGAGACGAAAAAATCGAGAAACTTGAGGTACGGATGCAACAGGATCTAGCAGAGCGTCATAAGTTGGAAGAAGACAAACGGCGTGCAGATGTGGAGATCAACCGTATTAAACAGACTCTGGAGAGCGAGCGAGCTCTTGCTTTGGATAAAGAAGAGATTTTCAAGCGCCTTCAGGTGAGAGAGGTTGAGTTGAGCGATAAGCTAGCAGGAGCCATTGCCGACCAGGAGAAGCTCGAAGATCAATTGGACGAGCTTATCGATGCAAAGCGAAAGGCAGAAGACCAACTCGACTCTAGGAAGGTTCAGCTGGAGCAGGCCGGGCAGATCATTACAAGACTAGAGGCAGAAAAACAAGAGCTGCAAGATCACCTTTCAGCAGTAGAGTCTCAGTTGACAGATCTAGAAAATACTCGTTCTAACAAGGACTCTGAAGTGGCGACAATGACACAAGAGATCAGAATGCTACAGAGTCAAGTCAGCTTGAAGGACCGAAAGTTGCAGGATCTGGAAGCGAAGTTGTTGAAATCCGACCAAGCTCTTGACGTCAAACTGGCAAAGACTGCTAAAGACTTAGACGTCTCGCGCAAAAAAGTCAAGGAACTTTTCGATGAAAATAAATCAATCCGACAAGAGATTGTCGAGCTTTCGACAACTTCTACCGGCTATGAAGAGATGCTTCGACGCAAAGAGGGCGAACTATCGGTTCTTCGAAGCGATACGAAAAGGCACGAAGAGGAGAAGAAAAGCTTGGAAACGGAAAAGATATCTTTAGCCACTCGATACGAAGATATGCAGAAGCGTCTCCGCGAACTTCAAGCACAGGCGGACGCAATGAAGTCAGAAAAGGTTACACTAGAGCGCGAGGCAGCAGATGTCAAGAAGCTGCTTGAGGCAAAGATGACCGAAGACGCCGAAGCCGGCCATAGCAGGAGACTCCTTGACCAGCAAGTCCAGGATTTGAAAGCCCAACTTTTCCAACTGCAAGCAGATCTCAGTCGGGAGCGACAGTCTAGAGATGATGTTCAAATGCTTGGGGACCATAAACTTGCAGAACTCAAATCAAAACACGAGGCTTTGAACGAAGCCAAGATTATCATAGAGAAGGAGATGTATATTCAGCAAGACACCCTCCGCCGTGCCACCGAAGCTCGCACAGTCGCTGAGCAAGCCCGTAAAGAACTTCAGGCTGAGTTGATTAAAATGCGTGAACGATTTGCCAATGCTGAGAAGGCACGCATAGATGCTGAAGGTAGCATCGAGCGAAACCTCATAAACCAGGCTAATGAACGACAAGCAAATCTTCGTAAGGAAATCGATACCATAGCTATGCGACTGCAAGAAACAGACGCGGAAAAGTCCCGTCTCTCTGTCCAGGTTCATGAACTTACCCAAATGTTGGCGGACTCTGAAACATTCCGTGAACGTCATGATCAACATAAGGAGCGGCTAGAACGAGAGCTTGTCACCGTTAAAGGGAGGCTGACTGCTTCGGAAAATGATAATCGAGCGCTCTTGAACAAGATACAACAAAAGAATCTAGACATCGCTCGATCCAACTCAAAGGCCAGTGAAAACCAACGAACCCGAATTTCGCAGTTACAGAATGAAAAGGCGAAGCTAGAAGAAGAGTTCAAAAAGATCCAACGGCAGCTGGGTGATGCACAGGTCACCATAACATCTATTGAAAAACAGAAAGAGAAGTTAGCTCTCACTGTTGAAGACTTGAACCATGAAGTCGCACGTGAGCACAAAGCCAGCCGTAACGCAGAAAAAGCCTCATCAGCTGCTACAATCCAACTTTCTGAATTGAACAGAAATTTGGAGACTGAGAGACAATTACGGACTCAAGCACAGGCCAATACCCGACAGCTGCAGGCAGCTCTAGATCAATCACACAAAGAGATAGAGGATTGCCATCAGCAATTAATGCTTCTGCACAAAGTTTTTGATCCTGAGACCTCTGAAACGCCGACGTCTTGGGATGCCGTACAACCAGAGATCTCTAAGAAAGTGGATCTCGCACAGCTTCTTGAGCTGGCACACAATGAATTACGTGTCTCTGAAGAAAAGTACGCAAGGGCAGAAAGTCAGTTGTCTGAAATGCGTCGTCGTCATGAGGATGAGATGAAGGAGATGGATGCTAGATACTCTTCTTCAAAGAGGACCCTTTTAGAAGAAATCGACAACAATCAAGTCTCTGCTACTAGGTCTCCGACTCACGTACGCAAGAATTCCGAGAATGTGAAGAAATACTCAAACCCTTCAACACCCAACCGACGATTCAACTTCAACGAGACGGCCCAGGACTCTGGGCGTTCTGACCGTACTGTAGACACTACAACGTATCAAAAGCGAATGGATATGGCTGCGGAGCTGGAGGAGCTGCAAAACAAACTCCAGATGACGGAGATGCAAAACAGACATTTAAAAAACCAGCTTGAATACGCTACTCCTAACCGAGACATTTGGCAGGACGAGAGTCCGTCTATTCGTCGAGTTCAACTTTTGGAACGGGAGAATGGTCGACTACATGAGAAGTTGGACGACTCTGCTAAGAAGGTGTCTGCTTTGGAACGTATGGTGCAGTCTGGAGACTTGTCCTTACGTGACGTGCAAGCTAAGTCTCACGAGGAGCTTTTTGACTTGCTCACAACGCAGGAGCAATCTAGGAAGTCACTCCTGAATGTACACAAGAGCGCCATGTCAGAACTGACAGATGCGAAGACTCAGTTCGAAAAGCTGAAAAGAAACAAAGCCACACTTGAGGTTGAATTGCGAGATGCTCGCTCCGATCTTCAGGATGCTCAACTGGCCCGAGAGCAAGATGCCTCTAGTAGAAACCAACTGCTCCAAGAATTTTCTGACCTCCAAATTCGCCTCGATGCTGAAGAGTCTAAGGTGATTGATCTCACATCTAATCTGAACCTATACAAGAGTCGTGCGGATGAGTACTTCAGCAAACTGGAACAAGCAGAAATTGCCGTTCTCAAAGCTGCTCGTGCCGAACAATTTGCCAAGTCACAAGGCAAGGAAGCAGAAGAGACATGCGCCGCAATAATGGCTGAACGTCAACGCATGGACTCACTTGTGGAAGACTTGCAACGACAGGTTCAATCGTATGAAGAAAAGGTGGAGGATCTTTCTGCTGACCTCGATGGCGCCCTTCAAGGAAAGCGACGTTTGCAGAATGAATTAGAAGATTACAGAAACCAACGAGCGTCTGAAATTGAAGACAAGGAAGCCTCCCTAGAGCAAACACGAAAGAAATATCAGCGAGAGTTTACGACACTTACAAATGAGATCGAAATAGAACGTGAGAACCTTCTTCATGTTCGTGACGAAAATTCTAGGTTGCGTGAGGAACTTGAGGGTCTTCGCAGCAAATGGGACGACGAGGTTCTCAACAGCTCTACTTGGGCCAAGGAAAAGTCACGTCTAGAGATGACACTTCAAGATTTGTCTACGTCTCGTGATGAGGCAGTAAATGCACACAACGAGGCCCAGAGCAAGGTTGTCTCATTATTGTCTCAAGTGCGGAATCTGCGTACCTCGGTGGATGATGTTACGACGGAACGCGATATTCTGACCAAAGACAAGAAGATGTTGGAAACAAGACTACAGGAGGCCGCTGACCGACTAGAAGATTTGGCGAATGGAGATAGCCCTTCAATGAGAAACGCTGCGGGTATGGATCGGGAGATTCTTAACCTCAAATCCCAGCTAGCGCAACAAGAGGATGTATCTGTCGCTGCAGTCGGCAAGATGCGACGAGCGGAGGCTCTTTCTGTGGAAATGCAGAAGGAGTTGACCGCCGAACGCGAGTCTAATGCCCAGCTATTCAAAGACAAAGCCTCTCTAGAGAAACAACTCAAAGAGGTTCAGCTCCGATGCGTAGATTTGGAAACCAAGGGCTATTCATCGGCAAGTCAGGATATCAAGTTTCTTCACAAGCGAGTTAAAGAGGTAAGCATGTCCTTTTAGTAGATTCTTCATTCACGACTGACAATTATATAGCTCGAGACTCAGCTGGAAGAACAAGAGTCCAAGTACAGCGCCGAGCAGCGCTCCGTTCGTAATGTTGATCGTACAGTTAAAGATTTACAGTCTCAAATCGATCGACGAGATAAAATGAACGCCCAGTTAAGTGATGACATCAACAAGTCCCGAGACAAGATCGATCGTCTACTTCAGACCATTGATGAGCTTCAATCTTCCGACTCTCAAAGCCAGTTACAAGCCAAGCGGGCAGAGAGAGAGCTACGCGAAGAACGAGAAAAGGCTCTCCGAATGGAAAGAGAGCTGGAGGGATGGAAGCAGCTGCGTGTTGAAAGGGGGAGTGTTGTTGGCCGAGCGAATGGCTTGAGTGATGTCGGCAGTCGCCGTGGTAGTGGCGTCTATGTTGGCAACGGCATAGTTGAAGTCCCTCAACGAAAATTCAGCAACACGAAAGGATTTCTTTAAGTTGGTCGGGGTTTAGACATTGCTATATGCCATTCATGCCTGGGTATTTCTTTTACTACTGTATGGTGCGGCGTCAATTGGGGATTACTGATGAATTCGGAAATGTTTTTTGTTCATGGGAAATGGTTTGATGATCAGAGAGGCGTTGCCGGTGTGTACAGATGGCAACAGATATTTCAATCTTTATGTTCTAAGCCAGTTTATATTTATATGCATGCTGTATGTATTGATTATTGGCTTCGACCAATTCATAGTATTGGACCTTGCAGTTAATCTAGATAATTCCTTTGCCATAAACTCGAATCAATAGTGAGATCCAACAATGGCAGAGTCGAGACCTTGTATGAATTCCGATGATGTTAGGGACAATGGGCTCTTCCGAAAGCGGCTTAGCGCATTTCCATTGGTGCCAAGCGGAGGCTTCATTCTTTTCGGGCTCAGAATGAGAGATAGAACTTATATTCCCTCCACGCCTTCTCCGCCCTGTCCATTATTTTGTCTCTGTAACAATTGCAGTTTACAACTACGCTCTGGGTTTCGGGTGTTTAATCAAGATGGTGAGTCGATATTTCGATGGTGCTTTTTCCAATCCACCCTACTTTGTACTAACCATGTAACACTGGATTCAAGGCGCGTAACAGCGAGAAAGCACAGTCGATGCTATTTCGCTTCCGAGCGGCACAAGCAGCTGATCTCGGAATTCTTGATATTGGACGCACCCGCCGCCCTAAGGCTATTACACAAATTGACTCCATCCCGACTGCCGAGAAATGGCGAGGCCAGGTGCTGAAAGAAATTTCCCGGAAAGTGGCAAGGATACAAGACTCCAGTCTGAGCGACTACCAGATTCGGGATCTCAACGACGAGATCAACAAGCTTTTCAAGGAAAAATGGATGTGGGAGATGCAAATACGGAATCTAGGAGGGCCTAATTATATGCGTGGCGGTGGGAGAGTATACGATGACGAAGGGCGAGAAATACCCGGTGGCGGGAAGGGTTACAAATATTTTGGGCGGGCACGAGAATTGCCTGGAGTCAAGGAAATGTTTGAAGCTGCTGCCAGGAAAACAAGACCAGAAGAAGATGATGAAACGGGCAGTGGGAAAAGAGCGGCTGACATGCTCCGAAAACATGTTGATGCGGCATACTTTGGATATGGGCGGGATGAAGAAGATGGTACTTTGTTGGCATACGAACAAAAACGTGAAAAGGAAGCAATCGATAGTATGATTAGCCATGGCGAGGATGACAAAGAAGACGGCTGGGAACCTTTACCTGGAGACGCTGGCGATGGAGTTGAATGGAGGCTACCAACACTTGAGGAAGTACAAGCAGAGCTTATTGAGAGGAGACGTCGAAGACTGCTGGACAAGATTTCCTAATCATTATATTAGTTAGGACGATGTCTTTGGCTATATTCTAAGTACTTTCAGCCTGCAATCATTGACAAAACCTCCAAGTGTGATTCCAACCCGTGGATGAAGTGTGAGAGTTTTTCTGATAGAGTTATTAGTGTACATGTACATATACATCCGGTTTTACATGAAGTCTGGTGATACATCCGTCATCCGTAATCCCTCTTAAGTCGTCTGCGCGTCTCTCGCGTTTTTTCTTTTGTTTGCAGGCGTTTTGTTCTTATATAGTCCAATCCCAAGAGCGTTCTGAGTATCACGCTCCTTTTTTAGTTCCGCTCGTATGTCATCTAGGAAAAAGCCCCCCAATTCACCTGCTCGCCATTTTTGCACAAGATTAAGCGCAGCTTGGTCAATATTCGGTATGCCGCCCTTTCCAAGCAGCCCAGTTTGGTGAGCAAAGCGATCAAGGAGTAAATTTACGTCGTTAGTAGGTTCGCACCACTTCTCATAGACGTCCGGCTTGTTTTGGTTGATATGGTACAATAAGTAGTCGGCCAATGTGACTGGTGCAATAATCGTATCCTTCACGCACCCACAGAGAGCTAATTTCAACATCCTTTCTGCATCGGGAATGTAAGGGACAAAAACACCCGGTGTATCCAGGATATAAACGGAAGATCCATTAGGCCTGTCCAGAATTTTTATCGGAGTCCCCATTTTCCGCGTTATTCCAGGCTGTGCCCCAGTCTGTGCAGCTTTGGCTTTATGAACCCCTTCGTTTCGAAGTGTGTTTATCAATGTAGATTTCCCAACATTGGGCATGCCAACCACCATCACCTGACAAGTGCCCAGGTTATTAGTTGCACGAGCATCCGACTTCAATTGCTCAAGTATCGGCTTTCCAGAATGTGAGAACGTGGAGGTGGTAAAAAAAACAGCGGCCGCCTTGCTGTCCAATTTGCGGACCCTCTCTTTGTTCTACAACGCCAAGCTCATAATTAGCGTCTATTTCAATTACTCAGTGAGGCTTGAATCACCTTTCGCAAGATATTGTCGTTTGAGTTTAATAAATCACGCTTCGTATATACAATGAGACGCCGTTTCCCTCCAAGCACCTCCTCAAACATAGGGTTGATGGAGGTGACGGGAATCCGCACATCTCGGCATTCAATGACATAATCTACTGAATCTATCTTCTTCTTCATTTTCTCCAAGCCCGCTTTATGATGACCCAGGAAATATGATCGTGGTATCGACTCGGAGAGGGGGAACACGTTGCGAGGAATGAATTTGGAGGCCATGGCGTGAAGGAGCCGGGCTCGAACAGCCGGGAGTTGGTCTTTCGTAAAAGTTTCAAAAGCAGAAACCTATGTACCCTCCATTAGCGGCTACTGATGACTGTTTGTTCTGCACAAAGCCAATGGCAGTGTAACACGAAGAGAAGAGAGCTCCAAGATGCGAGTCTGTCCTGGGCAAAATAATTGCAGTGCATGACTTGGGGGCTGAAGCAAAGGCGGTGAATGGCGCCAAGCCGCAGAGTCCCTGCACCAATGACGTAACAGCTTCTATGCCGACGTCCGTCTTAGGATAAAGCATCGCTTTTACATACTGCCCTTCTCGCCATGGTGAACCCCAATACTGTGTCTGGCGTGTATTTGCTCGTCTTTAGCAAGATGCGCTGATTCCAGCTAGATGATACTTACTCATCAGAGAAGAAATATATCTATTAGGCACGAGAGACACCTGATCTCTGATCTAGGCAAGGAACACAGTCGAGCATTCCAATCGTGGGATTTTGATGATATCAAAACGATGGATTCAACACGATCCAAGATGACATTAATATCGGCGTTCAGGCCTAGGTCAACCAGATCGTCTACCTTACGGCAACGATCAAAAAAGGCTCGCCGGCGTCGTCAAACAGATCAATCAGATGCCTCCGAGCCGGCTGATGAACAAGATCCAGATGCCCACTCGATAATCACCCCGTCGAAGCACACTCCAAGGCCGTGGCGCATCTTGAAAGGATCCGTTGCTACGGGCGGTCCCCTGCGGCCGTTTCGTCTCCTTAAACAAGATATCCTCAATCTTCGGAGACGATATGTCTCTGACTGGTCAACCTTCAATCAGCAAATACTAGCCTCAGCCATCTTCGTCTTCTTCACTAATCTTCTCCCTGGGATCACATTCGCAAGTGATCTCTACGTTTTGACGGGTGCTAACTGGGGAACCATTGAAGTAGTGCTGAGCACCGGACTTTGTGGTATAATATTTTCCTTGACATCAATCCAGCCACTAACCATCCTTGGTGTAACTGGCCCTTTTTCTGTCCTGGGAGAGACGATATACTCTCTATCCCAAGATTCCTTCAAAGTAATTTTGCGACTAGCTCTTGTTTGATGGATTCACTTGTCTAATAACGTATATAGATACCTTTCTTGCCATTCATGGCTTGGTCCCTGATACATGCTGGGTGGCTTCATTACCTACTAGCTATAGTCAACGCACATGACTGGACAATGCGCTATGTTACGACATTTTCAACTGAGATTTTCTCTCTATTGAACAGCGTAATTTATTTCCATAAAGCTATTCAAGAGCTTCAAAGAGCTCATGAAAGTTTGTCGTTTGCCGCCTTCCTTTATGCTATAATCGGCGCTATTGGAACCATGCTTTTGGCTATATTTCTGTCCACAGCTGAGAGCTGGCAACCACTTTTTCATCGTTATGTCCGTGTTGGGCTTGCAGAGTATGCTGCTGCAATATCGATCATTATCTTTATTGCAATGCCTCATTTTGGAGAATTAGCACATCTAGATAAGATGACACTTAACGTCAGTAACTCTTTTCAGCCAACGTCCCCAGATCGCGATACCTTCTTTGTTGAATTCTGGAAACTGCCTGTCGGTTGGATATTTGCAGCCGTTGTGCCTGGTATCATCATTACAGTGCTCTTCTTTTTTGATCACGAGGTCAGCTCAATTATATGTACTATTGATCGCTATGGCACACGGAAGCCGGGCGGATTTGCATGGGACATAGTTTTACTGGGAACAACGACGGCACTATGCGGCATACTAGGGATCCCCCCAGCAAACGGGCTGCTTCCTCAGGCTCCTCTTCATTCAGAATCATTGATGCATACCGAACAAGAACGTCATACTATCACCGTGGATGGTGAAGAAAGGGTTGAGACGCGTGAGATCAGGTGTGTTTATGAACAACGGTGGTCTGCATTCCTTCATGCTGGGGGTATCATGCTTTTCGTTAGCCCACCATTCATGAAAGTTCTTGGCTTGACTCCAACGAGCGTGCTTGCTGGTCTGTTTTTTTTCATGGGTGAACAGAGTCTATCGGTGAAGTATGAGAAGCTTCTTAACCTTAAAGTGTAACAATTACTAATAAATTAACCCTAGTCCCATTTTGTATCGACTTTTCTATCTCCTGACGCCACCTTCTGAACTTCCTCTACTCCCAGCAGCGCTCCATAGCAAAAACTCAACAACTGAGAGACCATCTTATTTTCCAATCCATCTCTACACCATTCTTCAAATTTTCCTAACAGCCGTGATATTCATTCTAACACTGACAAAAGCAGCCCCGGCTTTTCCGGTTCTGATCATTGCGTTGGTACCTTTTCGCTTACTTTTGATGAAGCGATGGTGGAATCGCGAGGTTCTTCGATTTGTCGATGCATGGGCATGTCGCGAAGGTACTCCTGAAGATGAAGAAGATCAAAAGGCACAGATGAAGGCTGAGGGCAGACGTGGTGATGAATCGATGTTTTTTGCAGATGCTTATCCTATGGAAAATATTCGAACTACTAGAGGCGACGGTCATACAAGACCCTATTCACAGGATGGCGGACATGACACTTCTGCATCAAATAATGCACATGAATGGACAGAGTTGAATTTGAATGAGCCATGAATTGTCAAAGCGAAGGCCATTTTGGTGTATATAATATGGCATGAGTATTCAATTTACATATACCGAAGAATTGACCGTGTATCAATTGAAATTTAAAATGTATATCGACAGATTCGACACCATTCTTAATATTCATGTACCAACCTACACATGTACCAGCAGTGAGAGTGTCAACGAAAAATTGGGAGCAATTCAATGTTCAATGTTACATGTACATCAATTCCCTGAAGGTGGTTGACTGGTATGTAAAGATTTTCAAACAAATACAGTTCTATTTCATTCTTTATGTAAAAAGATTATATAGTTTATTGCAAGCATAGTACTCGAGATATATCAATGTGACTTCAGCTAAAATACATATGTAGGCATATAACTAGTATTAAGCGGCTGCATATAGACAGAGACAATGATCACGTCCTCCATCCCTGCACAAAATCATGAAGTCGATCAATGACAACACCAAAAATAGCATTCACGCTATCGTTGATCAACTGTTCAAAATGTCGAATCGCCTCTTCTTCACTCAGTTCCAGATGAAAACGCTCTTTAACCTTGAGGACTGCTTTATCCGGCTCAACTTTGATGTCTGGGATATTAGCGTCAACCATCAAGCTGAATAAATTGAGAATCAGGTTCGCTGATTTACGGAGAGTGGTGTAAGCAGTAAAGCAGTGCTGTTTAAATTGGAGATAATGCTGGGAGTCAGCACCACCCATTCCCTCGACCATCTCTTTGCAGAGTTTCATCATTGGCGCAAACGGTTTGGGGTCCCGACCAAGGATGAAACCAAAATCGGCGTGGAAGAAGTGTCCATCTGGAGAGAGGAGAAGATTTTCTAAATGACGGTCACCAACGCCGAGCAGGTAGGTGACGACGCAATAGCCTGCACAGGACCTAATGTAAATGTCCATAGTCTCTCTACGAACCCCCAGAGGTTCAGAGTCGTCGGGGTTATTCGCTCTGAGGTACGCGAGGATAGAACCTTTGTACCTAGCTGATGCGGCCGAGAGAGATGTTGAGGGGATGAACTGTGCAGTTCCAGCTGTTGAACCAGTTGCTAAAATCCGATACGGCGTAAGCTTGAGGTCCAAATTCTCTTTTTGTAAAAGTCGATCCATGAGCGTAATAATCTGAATGACTAGTTGATCCTGGCGAAGGTCGTCACCGACTTTGAAAAGAACAGGGTATTTGCGCCCATCGGACGTTTTGAAGTTAAGAAGTAATGGAGAAAGAGAAGATTTGAAGACGTTGGAATCCTCTGGAAAACACCCAGTTATTGTGACACTGGGATCCAAGGGCAGAGGCAATGGCGGGTCAATATTTACAATTTCGTTTTTGGGGTCTTTCAGATACTTTTTCAACTTTTCGATTCTCACAGCACGGTTTTCTCGAGAACCGCGTATCTCCGAGGCAATTCGTGTCAGGACAGTAATTAGCTCGCCCTGTCGCAGTAAGATCTTTCTATGTTCAGGATGTATTTTCTCCAGTTCCACCATGAAATAGTACTCGACCCTAGCGAATAACCGCCGATGTGGTACAATATTCGCAAGGCCGGTTTCATCACATTCGACCATAAGGTACCAATGAAGATAGTTACCTAACATGAAGTTGTTGGCAGCTCGGGCGATAAGGAAATGCGCGAGAGATGAATCATGTGCTGCTTCCTCTACACTCTCGTCGGGTGCCTTCTCGAATTTCAGAGCTTGCACTAATTGCAGCAGATATAAAAGAAGTTCGTCATCTCCTGCTTTTCGTAAACGGTCGACAGCATACGTGCGAACAGCAGCGTTATCAAATGTTGGACCAAGCAGTTCTAGGGCATCATCCACGTCAATTTCAGTCCATCTGGGTAGGATTTCCATGGCTTGACGAGCCTCGCCAACATCTCGCCAATTTACTGATTTTACGAATTTTGTAAGAGCTTTCTTATCACGCGTGAGATAATATCTGAACCGCCAGATGAGATCTTTCTCTTCCGCCGTTAACTCATGGGTGGGCCCGTATGACATTATGACATTGAGCTCATCGCGATTTTTAGGGTTTGGTTTCAGATCACGATCCATGATGCCCGTTCGGTGGCTACGGACAAGCCGTCTATGTTTGTCCTCACATGGATTTCCAGTTTGCCCAACTTCTGGGTCGTAGATCCTCACAATTCGCTTATTTCCTTCGTAATTTGCATCTTCAATTCCTGGGCCAAGCCGAACCTCCGGTGGTGGTTTATTAAGGACTTGTTGATTTGTTTGGGTGTGCTGTGAGTATGACGAGACGGGCGGCGCAGGGTATTCGTGATCAGCCCAAACAATGGGGTGGTCGAAACGGGGAAAATCAACATATAGAACGAAATTCTCATCATCCAAATCGCTCGGGTCAGAGTCTTCATCCCTTTCAGCTTCTTCCTTCTGTCGGTCCGTCTTCCCCGCTTGTAGCCTGATTGCTCGTTTTCTACTGGCTTCCTCGGCGCTCATCTTGATCTTCTCCAATTGACGGAAAACCATCTGGTCGAGCCAGTCTATTCGAGGTATTTCTCCCATTTCGTGTTTCTTGATTAAGCCTTCGATGCGTTCAAGCTCCAGTTCTTCAACGGACTGGTTGAGTGAAAATGAATCGTTTATTTTGCGGCGTTTGGTAGGGGGTGTCGCTGGGGTCGTGGTTGAAGAGAAACCATCAGCCGCTTTATTCCTATAAACCTTGCATTTCTGTCTTCCCATTCGTAATTTGCCATCGGCATCAAATAAAGATATGGTGGTTCCACCGAACGGTACGTCATGCCCGGACGCCGCATTCTGTTCCAAGGGAGATAAGTCCCATATTGTGATAGCTAGCTGTGATTGTAAAGGTGTGTCCTTCAAAGAAAATGGCATCTTCAGCCATTCATTCCACGTTCGACTCGCCTTGAAAGATTTGTACGACGTCTGCATGGGGACACCTAGAGGCTTGGAATCCGACCATAGCTGAACTGTTATGAATAGATCGGACGCGGAGTTCTGGTGTGATCCCAGGTGTCGCAGCTTGGGTGTTTTCAAGAGGCTTGAGAACGGCAGCTGCTTCTGTTTCCCTTCTAAAGCACCACTTGCAAGTCATTAGCTACTCGACATGAAGTTCTCGAGATGGCCCCGCCTTACATCCTAACGTGCACAGGGAAGTCAACCTGGGTAGATGTCGCAAAGGTAAATGCCTCCATGGTGGAATCCTCATGTGCTTTCGGTAATGGCCTCCATCAGATGATTGATGGTGCATGAGAGACTTACCAAGTTGGAGAATGATTGTTGATGCTGGGATAAGCTCTAAGGTCGCAAGCCGATGCTGATTGGCAGGCGGAAGTATGATGTATTATTCCGCAGCCGGGCCACCCCAAGGCGGCTAGACAGCTACATCTAAATCACGTGTCCGGCTATCACAACGAAAACGGGAGGCGCGTTCGACGCGACAAGGCAACGCCGAGCTAATTTCGCCATAATCGTCAACCTACCAGAGCCTTCTCTTATAGAACCGCCTTCACAATATCTAGACTCATCTGCTATTTCATCAAAAACGGCCTACTTCCGACTACAGTAGTGTTTCTCGTCCTGAGACGATGCGATAGACTGTGAGCCTTGCGCCGCTCTTCATTGTGAATCGAATATCTACGGGAGAAGAGGTAACCAGCCATGGCTCCGGCCAGAATCGCCAGAAGACATCAGACAGGCGAACAGTCTTTTGAAAATACGCCATCCCCCTCCTCATCCGATAAAGAAAACCGTACACGCCCTCGAATTCGACCCGGAAAACGAAAAAGCGATCAAGCAATGCCACCCCAGAGCTTGCCTACTCCCACATCGGAGTCGACGGCTAGCAAACGCAGGAGACTAGCCGAGAGAAATTCAAATCTAGGGCCCCAGTCTCAATTACAGCCATCGCAACGGCCCAATACCGACTTTTATGACCCCGACCAGGATGTTGGAGAGCGTCGAGAAATCCGAAAGAGCTTGCGGGATCTCACTCGCGATCTACATGGTAAGGTTCCAATCTTTTGTCTGCGGTGGCAATGCGTGCTTACCATCATCTAAGACTATAGAAACGAGTATCTTCAGGCCGGAAACAAGGGCATTCTCAGTACAATAAGAAAGGCAAACGATCTTTTCGTGCGTGTCAAGCAAACTGCCGATGCAACTGTCGACTCTCATCTTTTGGTGAATGCAGCGGATCTCACTTACAAGAAATCAGCACAACTTGCGACAGATGGTGCAGTTGCGGGCATTGATGTTGACGAGTTTATCTCCAAATGTATGACTTTCATGCGCCGAGGTCCGACGACCGATGCCTCCTCTTTTCCTACCGGTACACAACGTCGAATACAACGCCGTCAAGACGGCGCCGATAGTGATGAAGATGAAGGAGATGCACTGAACTGGGATTGGTTGGGACGAGCTGCCTGCTTCTCCCACAACGCTCGCCCATCACTATCCAGCTTCTTACTTGGGCCATTATCGGTCCAAAAACGCAGCCGGCAATTCACGCAACGCAGAGCGGCGAATCGTATTGACACATCAAGGGTGGACCGACCGCAAGACTTGGCAGCGGAGGATTTAGACAAGCAGGAGACGTCTAACTTAACTGCAATGTGCACTAAAATCAATAAACTTCTCCAAGAGACCCAAAAGAATAGCCAAGATGCAGTCAATGAAGAATTGGGTGCATTGACAGTGGATCCTACCGCAGAGGAAATTCAGGAGGTCATGGACAAGCACAGTATCGCGGATGACGGTGGTATTCCGCTCTTCCGGTTCTGTATCAACCCCAGGTCTTTCGGGCAGAGCGTAGAAAACCTCTTTTATGTGAGCTTTCTTGTCAGGGATGGTATTGTTGGTGTATCGCTTGATAGCCGGGGTCTCCCCACCCTCCGTGAGTCTATTGTTGATGATCTTATAAAGTCAACTATCTAATCTTGGCATTGAAATAGAATCGGCAAGACCATTCGCCCCCAGCGAGGCACAGGCCAAAGGTATACAGAGACATCAAGCTGTTTTCAGCCTGGATTTCGACATGTGGAATGACATGATCGCGGTATTTGTGATTAAGGAATCGATCATACCGCATCGAAACGAAGAAGAGGAGAATCCAAGAGAGCGCCCACAAGGATGGTATGGTTAAAGGAATACCGTTTGACATAACTTTAGTCCTTGATGTTTGATTAGCTCATGTAATTACGCGTCTTATGAATCATGTTGATACCCTCACTGAAACGTCAATGGATTATTATTGCCAGTTCTGGAGGTTTGGCTTGGCATTTACCGAATAAATCTAGTCGCAACATTTGAACCCAAGATGAAATCACAATATATCGATGGACATATAATAGCTTTGACTAGATATGTCAATCCGCTGGTAGGATTGTTGAATGCATCCACAATGGGAGGTGAATCAAAGCAGCAACTAGCTTTGCCAGCCGCTTTCGAGTACCGAGGCTATGATATATTATCGATCATTAATATCGAGTTAGCCTAGAACCTTAGAACTGTCATCGATGCTCAGGAGCATAATAGAGAGGCTCTAATCTATTGTCTATAGACCAAAGGCTCGGCCCAAAACGGAGTTTACGAATATAGCATAGTGCTCTAACACAGGATTTCAAATAATCCCTTCAATAGCTATCCTCGAAGTAATGTTAATATTAAATAATAAAAGCTCTTCGGCGTGTCCGTGGCACTTACATTCTGCGCATGCCTCCTCCTGGCTAGCTTATGCTGGCTTATCAGTAATAAAGGAAATTAAGTTTGCAATTACAGATTTGACGTTTCATCGACATTCCTGATCCGGAAAGGCCAGCGTTTCTTACATCTTAGCCCAGGATGTTGGCTGCTGACTACCCAGGAATTTGTCAGGGGTGCTTGTTTTTATTATTAAAGAATTATGTCTTCGCCCGGCTATATCACATCTAGCCATGGATTCTTAGTAATAAGCATGCCCTAGCAAGCAAAGCCCCAAAGTAAATTTGTACATAGTATCCGGAAGAGGCTAGCCTTCCTCCCTCTGACATCGCCATTCCTATTCTCCACCACTGAACTTACGTAAATATGGCCTTACCGGTCTCGAAGGAACCAGTTTTCCTTCGTCTGATCTAGAAGCGTATTTCTTTCCTCATTTAAATACTGGTGCTATACCTTGTATACCCAGCGAACAGGAACCGTCTCTAAATATCTCAAAAGATATCTCGCAATGAATTCAAAACTATTCCCAGGCAATCCATCTGAGGTGATGGTGATTCGGCAGGTCACTCCTGAGATCACCACATTTAGTGTTCCATTCACGCGTCTTGGCCTGATAAAATTTGGCGGCAGGGGCACCCTCGGTATGTCCTTTTGTAAGCACTGGGCTTCGGGTCTCGTTACTGACAAGATTTAGTGAAATTGGCGACAGGAAACATGCTCGTTGTCTCTCCCGTGGCCCTTAGTCCGGAAGTCCAACAGACAATTGCGTCACAAGGAGGGCAAATCAAATATATTGCCGCGCCAAATTTTGAACATCACCTCTATCTTTCTGCTTGGAAGAAAGCGTTCCCAGATGCAGAAATCATCGCGCCAGAGGGACTGCATGAGAAGCGTCAGAATAACCCCGACCAGAAGGACACGCATTTCACGCATATTCTCACAAAAGCTAAGAAACACGACATACATATATCCGAAGAATTCGACAAAGAAATTGACATTGAATATGTCGACGGACATGGTAACAAGGAAATCGTATTCCTACACAAACCAACCAAGACGATGATTCAGGCTGATTTCATCTTCAATCTACCGGCGAATGAGCAATACTCGCGCACAGACGAGTCACCGACTTCGGGCATATGGACGAAGCTCTTAGGCCCTCTAGGCTCAACGAGCCCGCCTGCGACATGGCAAAAGCGATTCGTGTGGTATGTCACGGCGAAGGATCGTAAGAGTATGACCGAATCAGTGGCGCGCATCAATACATGGGACTTTGATCGTATCATTCCTTGCCACGGCGACGTTATTGAGAGTGGTGGGAAACCAGTTTTCCAGAATATTTTTGAATACTTTTTGGGTGAAAAAAGAAAGCTGAAATGAGCCTCGGACAATGTATACACAGGTTTGTTTAAATGGAGTTTCTTTGTACTTGTATATTCAAAGTTTACAGAATAATAATCACGGATTGGATCGATGTTTACAAATAGCCCGGGCATGAATTTAGAGCATCCAATAACCATCTACGAATAATTGTTCGCTTACCTAGTCGTAACACCCCCTACTCCGGATCTGACGGGAACAATGCACTCATACAACGCATATGAGGATTGCCTCCAATCCAATAGCTCGTCAAGCGAGAAGCCACGCCTGCCAGAGATAGGGAAAACGTGTTCGCGGAGAAAGAGTGAAGCCTATCAAACGCAACAATTAGTAACTAGGTGCAATTTTGGCTTTGTTGAGCGCAATCGTGGTTTGAGGCGCAGTGACGTCATTTGTCCTGGGGTTTGGCGATGACGTCAGCAGATCAGGACTTGCAGTGCAGCATCACGACGCCGTGCTAGATGAATATTTCTCAGCTCATGCCATAATATTGTTGTCTTTAATATTGCTGAGGATTATGGAGGAACAGGTTCTAGATTACATATGAGCGAGACAGGTGAATGAGGACCACTTTTTTGGCTTATTCTGACTGTGTACTTTTATCGCCCTCGGGATTAGCGGCATGGAGCCTGTTTTGCCTTGTGGGCCGGCCTCATCGACTGATGCGAAACAATTTAATAGGCCGGCAGGCATCATCGCAGGCATCAGCTGATGCAATGCGGGGTAGACTAATGAGCAGCTTGATTGGGCCGCTGTTTGTTGATCGACAACTGTTATACTTGACAGCACGAGAATGCCAGCACTAAGAAGTCAAGACTGACCTTGTTTTTCGCCAGTCGTGCCGTTTCTGCCGAGCTCCCTTGCGCTGTCAAGGAGCCGATTTGATGCTCACGACATGCAGGCCAACGTTCTTGTGCAAAGATAATTGGCCATCCGCCGCCACAGCTTCCCCGTATTGTCACTAGAGGCCTTGTCTTGCGTCAGAGCTGCAGGTTGACCTGGCACACGTCGATAGCATCAAGTGTTGGGCCGTACCTTCGGTTTCTCTGATGTCAGGAAGTTAATCTGCAGCTTAAATCCCACCTTCCTCTCTCTATCTCGTGTTCATGCTTTCCTTCTCAAATACCTCATACCTCCCTTTAGAGTCACGGCAGTTTAGTATTAAGAAGCCCCTCCTGCACCTAAAGATATTCTACACAACAAAATGCCTGTCATCTCACGTTTGTTTTCAGTAGTCCTCCGCATTGCGGAGGTTGGCTTTGGTGCTGTGAGTTTAGAAACTTTCGTGACATGCTGAACATTATTAACTTCTTCCCTAATAGGTCGTTGCTGGTATCATCGGTCACTATCTTCACCAACAAAGCAACGGATATGGTGATCCATGGAAAGGTCGCGAGATCTATACCGAAGTTATCGCTGGCCTATCCATACTACTCGGCCTACTTTGGTTGATCCCAACCGCACATACTTTCTTTATATGGCCACGTAAGTCTTAGCTTACTAGTTTAAGTAATAAGTATCTTCTAACCCGTGTCTGTGAAGTCGATGTCATCCTCGCCCTTGCTTGGTTCGCAGCTTTTGGCCTGCTGGTTAACGCTTTAGATACTGAGGCTTGTGGCGGTATCTTCGACTGGGGCGGGCTTTGGAATGACAATTTCTGTTCTCGCTGGAAAGCTGCCGAGGCATTCAGCTTTCTGTCTGCCATTATCTGGCTGGTTTCTGGTGCTCTAGTATGTTTGAAACAACACTAAGAGAGTAGCCCGGTTATTGACATTTTCATAGGGAATCTACTTTGTCTGGCGCGTCGACCGAACTCGTTTTCACCGTAATGGCTACGTGTACGGACGCTACAATGTCTAAGGCACTCTCGAAGGTTCGGCCTTGTATTAAAATGAGTGGCTTCAATCGGTGTGTACTGGTTGGTGCTTTCATGGCCTCAACTGATATGAAGCTACTGCTACACCATCGTAGAGGAGGTGTGTGTTTTGCGATGACGATGTTTTATGAATTTCGATACCCTTTTTTCAAGTTTGCCTTAATATCCTTAAATCTGCGCACGTTCTCAAGACATAAAACCCTAGAGTCGACGATATGTAATGTTACTAATTTCTGCCTTGTGAATTTTCAGTCTTCTATAGTTATCAATCTAGCTAGCATCACAATAACGAACTCCTACTTCTTACATATAAAAATTATCGAAATGAAACATATCACTTCATTTAAGAACTGACGAGGGCCTCATCTAGGGATTGGAGCTGCGTACGAGGAGCGATTTGTAATCTCAGCGAAGCAGACAACGAGATTAACACTGCGGCCGAATTGTCTCGGATATTCCCTGAATGAGCTTGGTCCTTCGTAACTCGACAATATGTAATGCTGTTAAAGTGAGGTGCAGTTGGAATGTGATGCAACTGCAACGCTCCTAATACCGTTGGATAGAGCAAATAGGCAGCAGCTAGAATCAATACAGTAATGAATGTGTCTGTCTCTTAAAAGGGCATGTATTGTACTAGGTAAAGCTCTTAGATGAATGTCGAAGTCAAGAGGTGTGAGCGTCGCGTTGTTCAAACATGCTCCTCTTTTATAGGACATAAATTAGCGAGAGTCATGGTTTCAAACTAAAGGAGTGTCATGGATCGAGTTGACACATTCGGATCCAATGTAATGTTATGTCTAGGATAGCAACTAGCCTTGAGCCATATCCCACAGGAAAGTAGTAATGCTCGGCAGACCTGATAAGGAAAGACTGTTACGTTATTCATTGATAGTGACTTCATAATCCTCATATTTCTGACCATCTATAACCATTCAGCGTACAGTGATACTATTTATCGAGTAATTGAGGGAGAGACTTACTCCACTTATCAAACTTTTTGAGCTCCTCCCAATTTTCATTGATGAAATATTGGATCGCCTCGTCAAATCTTTTCCCTGGAATATGAATATGATGCTCCTGCCCCTCGGCGTCAACGAAAGTCATCGAGTTCGCCTTCCTTGTGGTTTTGCATTTCCTAGTTTCTTCCTCAGTCATAACAATATCGGCAGAATTAGTAGCGTTGCCCATCTCTGCGATATTTCTTGAAGCGAGATGAGCTGCACCCCCCTGGAAACCTTGCGCCGCGCAGGTAGCTGTAGAAGGGCGAATCAGCGACCCTCGCGGACAAGAGCTAATAAATGGATCACTGACCTATGCCAGTGGTCGTCACGCAACAGCCAGGTCACGGCAGCTATTACCAGCAGCGCCAGAGCAAGACGAATGACCAAAGCTGTACACGTTGCCGTTCTAGCGTTCGTTGCAGCTCACTGTTCAGCAAAAGTGACCTCCACCAGTGCAGCATTCACCGTGAGCTGCGTTTCCGCACTGGATGCTGCGCTGATTACAGTATCCAGTCCCAAACTAGATATCAAAAGTCGAGACAAATGCCGCAAAGCTTGGGAGAATGTAGAAGGTTGGCTTTTAACTTCAGCATGTTAAAGAATTGCAATTGCGGCTGTAGATAAAGAGATTTATAGATATATCTCGAGTGCGAATTAGGAGATAATTTTGTACTCACATCAGAGAACTATGAACGTCCCTTTTTACCCGGCTGGTAAGTTGCAGAGATGGACCTCAGGTTATCTCCTCTCAATTATGGATCCTGTTATAAGTGACGATATACGTTGGAATGAGGGAGCATGTACAGAAAAGATTGCCATAGCTTAGCAGTGCTGCCTGAAATTTAGTATGTGGCGGCTAGTAATTGTCGTAATGTTTTGTACAGACTTTCGAAAATTTGTCAAATGCGAGTCCGAACCCCGAAATTAAGTTTTATATTATATCAAAAATGGCTCCTGACAATACAAAGCACTAAATCTTCGACCTTGTAACCCCTATACCAAAAAGAGAATGATTATTGTGGTTGTGCTAGTTGCGTATTTTTTTCTCTGATAGTAATTTCAGGCCAATTAACTTAATGCGATATGCTTTCGCTTTGCCACCCCGTCATCCAATATATAGGTCCGTTGAAATCTAGACATCTACCTTCGTATTAGGGAATTCTGGCATGATAATCGACCTAACTTCCGGGGATTCCAATCCTACCTGTGCTTAGGCCGGAAGTTTGCGCGAAAGAAACAGAAATTAGTATATCCACGGCGTACTATCACACGAAACACATATGGGAAGAAAAGCACCTTATCCAACACGATTTATCGGCAAGCAGGAGAGATAATTGGTCTATGTTTAAAACCTTGGTAGACATGGTTCTGTATTCAAAGATATGGTTATTATGCTCCTCAACCGCCTTCTTTATCTATCATATTGTTTTTCAATGGGTAGACAGTCCCAATCTAATGCGATTTATCTCCATTGATTGACAACGATGTTTCCACGGGGACTATAAAAGAGGGATAATTTAAGCCTGGCTTGAGCCAGCACATCAATAAGTAACAAATAATATTTTTGGGCAAGGATACTCCAAGCGAGAATATATTTGATGTACTGTACCGCAAATTTCTAAAGGGGGAGGACACTAGTTCTGATATGGTACTAAAAAAGCGCTCCTCGTCACCAACAATAGTAAATTAGACTAAACTGAAAATCGAAAGTCTCTATAGCAGTTGTATTACAAGCATTTCTGCCTAGTATTTAATTAAAATGGGGTGAGTTGAGCACTAGTCCTTAGTGCCATACCAGAGCTACTTTCTAGGCAGTTGTACACGGCTTTCACACTTTAATGCATGTGCTCATGTACTGTGCAACATAATTTCCTTGCGTGCATCGATGTCTGTCATTGTGCAATGAAATTCATCGATCACCTGCACTGTTAGGTTGAGTGCCCAAAAATTGGAACAAGAAGAAGAAAAGGTAAGTTCCTGGAAATATTACGGAGGCAACCCTCGGCTTCTCGTCATGGACAGAATGTGGCAAGGCTTAGGTCAGAAAAATTTGTAATTGACCAGAGGAAAAGATAGAGATCCCCAGGTCGCTGACTTTCGAAAAGGAATCGCGATTTTTCTTCCACCTGTACAAGCAGGGGGCCGAAGGGATTATAAATATTACACACAACATTTACCAGCTTTTCCAGCAACACCCTTTGAAATTGCCAGGTGATTGTTTATATTTTAGTAGTAAAAGTGGCTCATTCTTGTGTTTATTATGAACCACAGAGAGCTTTAAATTGCCTTTGTGCCATGTGTTCTACAAGCTCCGTATTATCACCTACCTTCTAAATAATACCCTCACACCGACTACGTTAGTTAACTATGGCGCAGGCCGGGACCCTTAAATGATCAGGGCAATTGCACGCTACAACTCGGGTGGACTGGGCGGTGGAAACCATTAACTACGGTGGATACGTACCGGTTGCCCAGCGCCGGGACGCTAGTGCGCGGGTACTGCCGCGCACTAACTTCAACCATGGATACCTAGCTACATGAGTGTCAAGATAAATATGCCTTGCTCAGTACGGGTTGCGCCCTTTTTAGTATGATGGTTTAAAAGTCAACATTACGGTACCAGAGCCTGCGTATAATGCATGTATTTGCACCGAGGGCGAAAGAGTCCTCCCGGACTATCAGTTACGTTGCAGCTTCCTTGAGACAAGGGTTTGGCCGAGCAAGAATGGGAAGCGGTTTGATAATTCCAGCCTATTGTGCCAACCACCAATGGGGTTTCAGGGTGACCGCGAGAGTCACTAGTACTACTATCTAGACCTTAGTGGTTCCTTCGGCTGCTCCATTGGTATTCTGTACGTAATACTTTTGCCATTCGGTCTTGATATTAGAGGCCTCCAGCGGGAAGTTCCCCAGAAAGATCGATTTTGGTGGTTACCAGCACAGAGGAGTAAACCTGTAAGATGACGTTCCCGCTATTCCAGTTAGACATACCTTGATGAACAATTGCCTAGTCACATTATTGGTAGATTTCAATTCACTACCATATCTTTCCTGTACGAAGTGGAGGGCTGCATTTGCGGATCTCGTTTTGTTGCCTCGAACGTGGTCTGTAAAATACTTTGGAAGTACTCGAAGCTGTAACGATTTACTACTCCAATCTAACCCCACCGACATCCACATTAACTTCCCGGGTCGTGAACCCGGATTCCCGCGCCTCTTGCCATTCCTCCTGCGCTTTCTTGGCGCGGATCAGAGAGCACGGGACGAAGCAAAATGGGAAAGGCTTGGGCATTGTATTGGCTCCGTCCTCAAAGGCCCGGTATGAAGACAGCTACACTCATCCACCTTTCCTATCGAACGGGGCGGACACAGGAAGTGAAGTCAGGGCAAAAGAGTAATCTCTGTGTCTGCAATTGTGCTTTTGAATTAATGTGTGGATGATCTACTTATGATGATACTTCATTGTATCGGCCTGAGAGATCATCATCAATGCTGTACAAAATGTAGTGTACTATATCTTACTGTAAAACACTTGACATAGAATCTTGCGGTACGGCGTACGAATTGTCGTATGAGGGTTTGCAATAGATATAAGAGGAAAAGAGTAAGATGACAAAAATATTAACAAAATAAGTCAATATCATAGTGCTAATTGGCAGCTATAATTCAGTCACAAGATATACCAGCCATTATTAGTCAGAACTCAATCATGAGAAATCCCAATCCTGTTAAAATCTGATATTAAACTTTCTTTGCCTTCGAATTTTTTATGCTGATCTTTCAGTATCAATTGGATTGGTAATATTTCTTATATTCGACGACACGCTAAGTGCATTTCACTCGGATTGATTGCGGCTCCACACGAGACTTACATGAGACCAATGAGCGTCGCCCGAGGTGTTAGCTTAGCTCAGCTTTCTCTCCGCTGTTCAATGTCTTTGTTTCATGTAGCTGCGCCTCCTTGCAAAATATACTTACAGAACTATATCAATTATATTATGACTTTAGAAAATGAGGCCACCGATTCACCTAATCACGCAGATGCCGGGACCGGAGAATCATTTGTTTTGAAAGATCTCGAATCTGGCGGGTCCGGAAACGACGGATTTGTCAACGTCGGCAGTCACGAAACAACAGATGACTCCTTTGATCTGCCTGAAGATGAGGCCGAATATGGGCTGCTAGGTGGCCAGAGAAGTCGGCACACTGATAGAGATGTTCAATTTCCACGGAGGCCAAGTCAATTAGGATGCTGTGGTGCGTTTCTTAGAGGCCCGGATCCTCCTCGCAAACATCGCATCGAGCCATTTTTCAAGAGCTTTCAAACCGCTCCAATTCATCTTATAGACCGATTGCTACCGAACAGGACCTCACGACTGATAGCGCTAGTCGCGTTTTACGCTCTCTGGGCAACGCTCTTCTTGACAACCCTGGATCGGTTAGTTGTTCGCCCAGAGGCCCCTGGGTATGGTGCGCCAAATCGCCTGTCGTGTGGAGCGAGACTATGGTAAGCTTTGCGCATGTATATTTGTTTCTTTTCTCACAGAATCACAGGCACAATAGCACTTTATGTGGAGCTGACGGCGATGCATGTCGTCCTTTTGACACCGACGCTTTTGCGTTCAGATGTCCTGCTGGATGTCTTGATACAATACTCCTAGAACCTTACACTGTCGGTGACCAAGAAATCAATTACAAGAGATTGGTAATTGGGGGTGCACCCGATGCGAATTCCGCGCAGACACCCAGCTATCGAGGGGACTCGTTCATTTGTGCTGCAGCGATGCATGCCGGCGTCATCAGCAATGCTGCTGGAGGCTGCAGTATCCTTCAGCGGACAGGCGAGAAAAGTAATTTTGGCACTGTAAATCAAAACGGCATTTTAAGCATTTCTTTCGATTCTTATTTCCCTCTCTCGTACACTTTTGAGAAAGGTACTACAGTCTGCCGTGATCCTCGATGGCCATTATTTGCTTTATCAGTGGCTTTCACGGCCGTGATTTCGTTATGCACCACATCGCCAGCTATTTTTTACACCTCTGTTTGGTTCATCTCTTGGTTCCAAGTTGCACTAGTGTCAGATCCTCCGTTTTCGTCTGACTATCTCGAGGTTGTCTCTATTGGGATGGGTCGGTTACTACCGGCCGCCTTTGTTGGTTGGGTCTTATACCATTTTTGCGTCCGAGAAACACTCACAGGCTTGAATGCACAATGGGAGAAAACAATACTCTGGCTTGGGCCCTTCTGGGTTGGGGCACTAAATACTGATACCTTTGACAAAATCCCTATTTCTCGTTTGACACCCCACGACATCCAACAGCAACCCGGGGCTATTCCAGCACTCATCATCATCGTCGGCTTCATCGTTTTTGCCATGGTAACTCAAACGTGGGTGATATGGACCGCAGGCAAACTCCCCCGGTATCTGCTTATCTACGGCATCATGTCGAGCTCCCTAGGCATCATGATCGCCCTCCCACAACTGAATCTCCGCATTCATCATTACATTCTCGCCCTTCTATTCCTTCCCGGCACTGCTTTCCAAACTCGCCCTTGCCTGGTGTATCAAGGCCTTCTCGTCGGACTGTTCATCAATGGAATCGCCCGCTGGGGCTTCGATAGCATTCTCCAGACTCCCGCAGCCCTTCTCGGCGACGCTCAACTCGGTAGTCTTCTCCCTACCGTGGCTACCTCTATCCTCCAACCTGGTGGAAACAACATCACATTCTCCATACCTAGTATCCCCGCTGACGTCGCGGGCATTGCTGTTTTGGTTAATGACGTTTTGCGCTCACATGTTTACAGTCCTGGGCCCGCAACAGATACTCTGACTTTTCATTGGACTCGCCTTCATCAAGATCTTCCCGAGTATTTTAGATTCGGGTATATCAAGACAAGCTCATTGGGAGGTCTCTGGTACGAAGATTTTACCAAAGCCGGCGTTTGGAAGGCAGATGGGGAATGGGTTGAAATGGCTCCAGGGCCAAGTCGGTGAACCATGCTTTATCTTACGTGCATGTTTTTTATCTGGCAATAGAAAAAAAATGAGTCATTGGGTGGCTGTATTATTTTTATAGTTCCTGTATATAGAATTAGAGTGTACACAACGTTTCTAACGTTAACTCGTTCAATAGATATTCTTTTTTTTAAACTGATAATTCTAGTCATCAAACCCCTCTGAAGGTTCCATGTCATCATCCTCTTCTCCCTCGTCTAGGCCCTCAAAGACCATGAATTTCTCGTTCTTAGCATCCGTTTCCTCGGGAACGACATTAGCATCCTGGACCTCACAATCCTTCAGCACGGATTCACGACCAATTCTAGCTCGTCGGCCAATTATGCAGCCCGTTAGCTGAGCCCTAGACTCAACCACAGCTCCATCCATCAGCACGCAGCGAGTGAGCCGTGCGCCGCTGGAGATGTAGCAGTTGGGACCGATAACACTCTCCTTAATAACACAAGTCGGCTCTACAGTCACGTTTTCGGCAAGCAGGCAATCGCTTTTTGTGACTGTGCAGCGCTGGGCTATACCCTCAGGGTAGGCAATTTTCTGATTATGGGCAAAAGGTGACGCTGCCTGACGGCCAACCTCCTCGATCGACTCTAGCTTAGCTAGAAGAAGGGATGTCGAGAGTAAAACCGCAGAGCTATCAACGCGTCGAATGAATGGGGCGGATCCTCGTTGCACGTAGGCTAGTAACTGTGGTAGTTTGGTGGATTTAGAAGTCTCGATACCAGAGTCTGACAATGGGGTCTTGTCGCCGGACGCATCGAAGGGGGATTCAGAGTTTAAGCCAGCCTTGGTGGTGCTTATATTCCGAAGATCGATCTCTTCCTCTAATGATTCATCTTCATGACTTTCGCGGCTGTCCTGCTGGAAGATCTTGTTCATTCCTAGCTTTTCATCTAAGCCTTGCTGCCATCCCGCCTTAGCCCAGTAGCCAATAAGATCTTCACTGACTGACTCCAGCTTCTCTTGTTGACGAGCCCAATCCCGTACCCATAGCGGTAGTAAATAGACATGTGCATCTCGGTACTTCGTGAGCATCTTGACCTCCGGGTATTTCTTAATCAAAGAATGGCGAACAAGGAACCCTTTATTCTGCTCTATTTTCTCCTTGACGGTATCCATAGGCATTGACATGACTAACTTCGATAATCCGAATCGTAAAGCCGCCGGTCCATCGACTAAGTGTGGTACTGCTGGGGCCTCATCCTGCTTGAGCGGTGTAATAGCTACAAAGTCGGTAGCTTCGCCTTTGACGCTATCCTCCCGGCCATCTGTCTGATAGTATAGCGCCAGGCCACCGCGACGGCCACCCTGCTCACCACCCGGGCCCGAAGAAATCACACTGTGGGAGCTACGACCCTCTCGAGTGGGATTACCGGCTCCAAGAGCACTCTGGGTCACCATCCACGCATCAAGAATAGATTCACCGGGGATTTCACAGACGAGGTCGCAGGGAAGAAGCAGGAAATCGGTTTTTATGCACTCTTGGACTTCCGGTAGGCGGAGCAACTCGGCCGTTCCCATTGTCATCTCAAGGTCTTTCGGGGCTATGACGGTCGCTGATGGCGAGGGGAGTGATGTTAGATGTGGGTTTTGTTGTAGAGCGGCTTGGATAGGAGCGAGAGAGGAAGGAGGTGTGATCAATGTAATATCTAAGATATTTAGTGAGAATAAGCTCATGAAGGGGAATTACATGGCGTATAAAAAGATCTAGGCGACCAAACATACCGGTAATTCCTGATCTTCGACACCAGTCTATGGGGTAGTATATCATTGGTTTGTTGGCGATGTTGACCAGGCATTTTGGATAAGTTTCGGGAGAGCTCGTGAATGTTGTTAGAGAGACTCCAGGGCCGCAGAGGATTATGGCTTGAAAGCCACTTCCGGCCACAGGAAGAGAAGGCATTGTAATCCAGTCTAGAACCAATCTAGCAAGCCTCCATCATACAACTTGCTGTGAGGTCAATCGACCAGAGATTCGAAAGGGGTCCGCGACGTGGTGTAGAGGACTTGTTTGGTAGTCAAGCAGCTGGAGATTTGAGTGGCTGAGCAGTCAAGTACAGAACGCGCTCGAAGGAAGCTCTGCAAGCGTATTAATATTCCCCGCCTTGAAATGGATGTTTTTTTAAGCGGGGGCAATACTGAGTCAGCCACCTTCACCGCCCGCAGGGTACAGGTACATCCGGGGTCCAGCATGGTAATTGCCAATAAAGAGCTGTGAAAATCTTGCCAGACAGCGTCTATAGGAGGGAAAAATACACCCAAGAATGCAACAGCTGTGTCTTTACACGATCGCCAACTTGCTAGTATTAGCCTCACAGCAGCAGTGCCGATATGCAGGCCACTTCGAAGGATCAGCGAAACAACGATGCGAAACATGCCGAGATATTACTATATCCATCGACATTATTAGACAGGTCAGTAAGTACATATGTCGGCTATATGTAACGAATGAGTGCGACAACGGACGGCTAGGATCAAAATCCGTTGCTGTTTTTACACTTTTTCACATGATGGATCACCTCCAGATCACTGACTGATGCTGAGCACTCCCTAAGTGCCCAGTGACCACATACTGAGTGGATACCACTGCTCACTGAGCCTTGAGAACAAGAACAATCATACTACAAGAACTTAATAGGGCTTCTTTATCTTCAATAGTAGACTACAAGGTTCGCAAAGTATGATGGCTCTCTCTCAACGTTGTCAACCCAGGCTACACAGATACTCGAGAGTCTTGGATAGGGACTTTGGCTTGATCCGACGTCTCCCATTTAATCATCAGACCGCCTACGAGAATGGCTATACTTATTTCGCTATTTACTCTATGGAGTCTCTGCACTGCTGCTTATAGAATCCAAGCCAGCAAAAAGGCACCTGTCTAGGAAGTTATTATTCACCTACAGAAGACCGATCTTAACGAGAAAGAGGAATTCGAAGGTAGATGCATTTTTGCCTAATTCAGAAAAGTGTGAAGCACAGACGGCCGATGGGAAGAAAAGAAAAACGGGGAATTGAGTTCATCAATTAGGTAGCAGACATAGAGAAACCGACATCCGAAGCCATTTTGAAACAAACACTGTGTGGTGAATTTATCCCCAAGTGCCGCCACCACCGCCTCTTCCACCCCTGCGCTGAGCTGAAAGGCGCCAGTCGTTCTCAGCCTCAAACTTATTGTGTAGGGGCTGTATCCGCTCTTGTTTCCGTCTCTTCGACAATGTCCCATCCGTCCCAGCCACTTTGAAAAAGGTTGATGCCGCCTCCACGAGCCACTTGGGCTCAATGCTGGTTGTCCAGCGCATATACTCGCGAGTTGTGAGCACAACTTCATGATAAATTACCCACTCGGCATGCTTGCCAAATAGTGCCGACGATGGGTGCATGTAAACGGAGGTGCCCTCAATTAGGGTTTTGTAACCACCGCTGCCAGCCTCTATGTCTCTTCTTGCTGCTTGTCGAAAATGACCCGCACATAAGGCTCGCCGCACACAGTCCGTCTTGGGTCCACATGAAATGACTGGATGGCGCCAGCGTTCCAGAACCTTAGCGAGCTGATCCCTCACGTTCTTAGCCTGTTTCATCGACCGAGCCTGAATGAAGTTTTCGAAACACCAAGCATTCGAGTAGCCGTTCTGCTTCCATGAGTTATAGATGTTGAGTAATGTCAAACGACCGCCGTGCACATCGTGGAACTTGGCCTTTTTTTGATCTGCCTGGGTTTGTTTTTCCTTGGGTCGGTAGACGACATTGGCTAAATTGAGCATGGCCACGATTGAAAGCATCTCATCTGAACATCTCATTTCTATTGCTGCAAGCAGTACCTTGGCAAGTGCTGGCTCCATTGGAAAGCTTGTCATTTCCCGCCCCAATCTTGTCAGTAACCCCTCATCATCAAGTGCCCACTCTCTACTTTTTTCTTCCTCTATTTTCACCTCCTTTTCGAGATTCCAATAATTCTAAGCCGTCCTTTAAATAAACCACTTGAATATTATTATCCCAATGAGAGAAGAAAATAATGATAGAGGAAGAAGAGAAGAGAGACAAACTGCATATGACTACTTCCGCACTAATCGGTCCAGTGTGTCGCCCCCAAGGGACAGACCAATCTGCCTTTATGATCAAAACGGTGCGATTCTTTATGAAAATAACTACCAGGGACTTCGGAACAAAATTGTCCAGCTCAATGACGTGGCTCTATTGAAGCAATATATTGTAAAATACCCCAGAGCAGTCCTGGCTGCTGGGGAGGTGTATTACCATGACCCTTTCTTCATTGCTGCTGAGTGTGGGAGTACCGATGCTCTTCGCCTTCTTTTCAATGTCTATATTGCCGATCCTACTCAAGCCAAGGCACTCGATAAGCGAGGATACCGGTTATTGGATCTTGCCTGCCAGAACGCCCATATCGACACTGTACGTTTCCTATTGAACAACGAACCTCCACTAGGGGATGTCCTCGCAAGAAATAAATATGGCGATACAGCATTACTGTCCGCTGCAGCTTCTCTGGCCCGGTTTCGTTACGAAGATTGGGAGGATAATGATTTTAGCATGGAATGGATTCGTGATCGATTCGCTCGTAGCGAGGATCTCATGCAGCTGCTCCTTGACAGAGGAGCTTCTGCTCGCGACTCTAATACCACAGAATTCTTCAGAGAAGACTATGATGAATATAAGTCACAGCCGCGAGACACTGTTCTCGGCCTTGCTGTTTCACGAGCCAGTCCTAGTTTGGTAAAACGGCTCATTGACGAAGGGGCCGATGTACACCGAAGAGATTGGCACCTACGCATGAACAATTCCAGTTTTGGAGGAAGTTATATAGACGCTATCAATGTCACAGTTCTTCATCTGGCTAGCTCGTATTGGAACGTCGGCGCGATCAAGGTTCTGCTTCAACATAGAGGCAGCGAGCTGCTCTCCTCATCTGATAGTATTGGACGTTTACCTATCCATTGGGCTGCTGCAGGCCCTATGCTCCATAACGAATATACCATTCCTGAGCATGAAATCGATTCACGAATCATCGAAACTTTCAAACTACTCTTAACCGGCAATTCTGACATGATCAACGTGAAGGATAAGGAAGGGATGTCAGCTTTATATTACGCGGTTGGAAGCCACGCTGGGTGTGGTATCGGGCATTTATATCTTCTAATCAAATTCTTACTTGACAAAGGGGCAAATGTAGGTCTACAAAACAGCAAAGGACAAAGTGTGCTACATATATTGGCTCTTAACTCTATAGCTGGCGAGCCCATCAACACCGCCTTAATAGACCTTCTACTTTCGTATGGGGCCGACATAAGCCAGACTGACATGAATGGCGATACTGTCCTCCATATTATGGCAAAAAATCTACGCCAGGTTGAGGCAACCCGGTCTCTGCTCAGCAAAGGGGCCGATGTCAGAGCCATCAATGCAAAGGGGAATACACCATTTCATGAAGTCATGGTTGGATTGCTTCGGAGCCGAGTATCCCGACGACAGAAAACTGAGCCTGTGACTTTGGCAGATCGATTAAGAACACAAAATGAGATGATTGCGGTCCTGCAGGACGGTAATGGCTACAGCGATACATTGATGGACCAGCCAAACGCGGCTGGAAAGACACCACGACAATTGCTTGAGGAGACAAGGGCTAGGTGGCAGAATATCGAATCTGAAGCATCACGACCTAGGTCCAATCAGCAGAACTAAAGATTCTCAATGAAAAATTTATACGATGTCTAAGTAGAAGCTATAAGAAAAACAGAAGGATACTAGGCAGAAAAGCAGGGTTGGCCTTTGTGTGGGACCAGTCATAAAGCGGGTTTAGGTGTTTATTTGCGAAAAAACTAAGCATGAGGAAGAAAACTAATCTACACAAGCCTTCTGATATTTTATTATTGTATTTAAATGCCTAAATTACATGATCTTACCAGCTATTACCTGAACCGCCAGGCATTTGTTAGATTATATAAGCGGTTTCTGCACGCCGGCCGCCAATACACGGGCACCCGGGTGCCCACACAATTTTGGACACCTGGGTCGCCCTAAGCGTGCGGGCTTTACTCAGTGAGCGATCCCGGAGCCAAGCTGAGCATAAAGTGGCGACCTGCTGGGCCGTCTAGCGTCGCACATATTTTATGTATAGGCAATAAAAAGCCGAAAACCCTCAAAACGCTTCACAGTTATAAACCTACATGTGTTATGCCGATTGTACAAACCCAAATGTTATCCCGGAAAAAAAGCATGAGTAAATAGCTCGCTGATAAGTGCGCAATTAAAATGACATGACGAAACTGATCATCCAGAGCACAGACAAAGCTATGGATTCATATATTTATTGCATTTCACTTGTACAATCTTGTTCTTCCCGCCATTTTCAATGACGAGTGCGCTTAGCTTGCGACCATACACGCATCCCGAGTCGAGACCTTTGGTGTACCGTTGTATATTGAGGGATGTAGAGGAATCGTGGCCGTAGACAACAGTCGTTGTGCGAGACACGGCGCCGTAGACACCACTGACTGATTTTGCAATATGTTCTGAGAGAAGTTCTTGGTATTTATTAAAGAGCTGTTGCATTGTTAGAACAGTTGCATTCAAATCGAACAGAAAGAAACCATACCTTGGTCCACAGCAAACCGTCTTCTTTTTTCGCGCTCGGAACATGGGTTTCCGAGTCAATTGATCTCATCGTCATGACACTCGATAAATCCTGCCGATCGAGGTTCACGCCTGGGACTAAACCACCATGGACGACTACCACATCGCCCATGCCGCTAACTTGTCCGATTTTCAAAATGACCGGACACTGCTGTAGCCATAAAGCTTGTTCGTCGCTCAATTCTCTGGCAACTTTGCGCTGAGAGATGTCGATTTGGTTATAGTCCTTTTCGGGATTATTAAAAGTATTATCGATTTTCATTTGCGATCGCAAAAGCAGAATGCGGTCCTCGTGGTTTCCGCGCACGCAAGAAGCTTGTAATCCGCGCGCAATGTCTACTACGCCGCTACTATCAGGGCCCTTGTGTATAAGATCACCTGTAAATACGAGGTGGTCTCCGTTTTCCCGATTAAAAGACACCTTCTCCAGCAGACGTTCCACTAGTACCTTAACATTAGCATTTATACCTCTGTATTGACAAGTCGAAACAACTTACACTCATCTTTACAGCCGTGGACATCACCAACGATTATGAGTCTCCGGCTCTTCACACTGCCAGATACCGCCTTTTCAGACGCAGGTAGCAAAGCCGGGTCAAGACTTCTTATTGGCACCATATCTGCAAACTCTGGCCTCGTATTTGTACCAAACCAACCCCCAGCCTGGTTCATTGTCGCCACATCCAGGGCCCTGACTAGGCCGGCTCTCTCTTCCAGCATTGGCTGTAGGTAGGAATTCCATCCAAAGTAAAATGATACGACGAGGATGACGTAAACGATCAGGTACCGTCTGAACTTTGGTGCTGATATCATGGACAGAATATGACGAGCCGATTGGGGCCCATGAAACTCGGAGGAGCTGGACGAGGAAATCGAACTCGTACGACGCTGCGAACTCGAGCTATCCCAGCTATTCTTCACATAGTCGATCAAGGGCCTGCGGCCGATGCCTTGCGGGAAACTCTGAAAGAATGCTGTCGGACCAGCATTTTGTGGGGTGTTCATTTCGGCGTATTCGTCATCGCTACTTGAGACGGAGCTGTAATCGATATCCAGATCAAGGGCTGGTTTCGTTTCGCCTGTTGTGATGGCCATTTATTCGAGAGGCTTAGTCAGCGGGATCGGATGCAAAAGGATCACACTGTTGGATGGCACCATGTCGCTTGCATGCTCACTGCCCCCGACAGAAGACAAAATAACAGTATGACGAGTGCGGTCCTGGTTGCAAACAAGATGGGCAGCGGGATCGACGTGATCTTGGCATCGCGGCCCCACATGCGACACGCGGCCAACCAAGAGCCTGTACGAGGTGCTCTCTCCGGCCCATGGAGAACTGCAAAAGCCACGCTGGCAAATCAACGCGATTTTTTAACCAGGAGGCTCATTCAGCCCAACAGCTGCTGGCCTGGGGCACACGATTTCTTGCCTGATTCTCTGGCAGTGTCGGGGACTGCCAAGACTGCCGCCAGTATTGGCTGCGGCGCAGCATTGGCCTCGGGGAGTTAGTGGTCTTGGCAGGTCTCTCCTTCCAACTGGCAAGTAGTACTACTTAAACATCTGTACTAGGTACGAGGTACTGGGTAACTACTACTCGCGAGTCAGGATCAGCAGCCAGCCTACAGTAATGTTAGTAATATATTCGTCTTGTCTGAGACCTTTGCACTGTTTGAGCTGATATTATCTTTATGCACACGAGCTGCTGTTGATTGCGCTGCTATCTGAACCGCTCATATATCTCTGCCTCTTTCAATCGAGCCCGTACTGACTGCAGCTGCTTTTCATCGTACACATCTTCTACGCGCTTGCCGCCTCGGAGGACTTCCCTCTCATGCCGGGCCGATTCTTCCTTGGTCATACAGACCAGGTTCTGCACGCCCACCCTGACCAGCTTCTGTCCCTCTCGTTCCCATTGCGGATCAATTCTGAATCCCGTGGCAGGCCGCTCCCAGGGAACAAGGGCCAGTCGGCTTGGAAGTCCGCTAATTGCACTTCGTCCTCGCCAGATCTCATCGAGCATATATCCGACGTCGTCCCGGCTGAGTGGCAGGCGCATTCCTTGGAGTTGTAGATTCCCATCCTCAGCTCTCACCAGTCTCTCTATCAAACCTCGCAGCTGATTGAAGACCGTATCATTGACCCCGTCCTTTCCTTTACTTGCAAGACTATAATCGATGGGGTAGTTGGAGACATGGCAGATGACATGGTTGGCAATGGTGTAGCCAAATACAGCTGGCATTGTCCCCAGAACAGGGAGAATTCGTACCCGAAAGTCGGGTAAGACACCGAGTTCGCCCACCTTTCCCTTGGCAAATTCTTCTTCCGGGAGCGGCAATAGAGATGCCTTCCCAGGTCCCGGTTTCTCAGTAGAAAAGACAACCGGAATACCGGTGCTCACGCCAAGTAGTCGTAAACGGCGACGAGTAGCGCGCGATAGCGGATCCTCTGTGCTAGCAGATATGTCCGCAACCCCAATACATGTAGGATCAGACTTGCAGCCGGCGCCCATCGATGAGATAACGGGAATTTTATTTGAATGACAATATTGTAGTAACTCCACCTTGGAGTCGATATTGTCGATACAGTCAATAACATAATCTGGCTTCTGTCCCGTAACTCTACCAAGTGACCAAGGAGCCAGGAGTCTGTCGGAAACATCGGCGCCGTAGAGCTCATTTCTGCAGTCTAGCTGCACCCACGGCACGATCTGCTCCAACCGTCGTCGGATGCACTGAACTTTCGGGGTGCCCACGTCTGCCAATGTAGCGACCGCATGTCTATTTAGCGATGAGAGCGTCACTTGGTCAAAGTCAATGAGACGGATTTTTGAAACTCCCGAGCGGGCGAGAGCTACTGTTGCGTGCGACCCAACACCACCACAACCGACCACAACAATAAACGAAGAACGGAGCTTTGCAAGGCCATCGTCAGTCAGGAAAACGCGATTCCGTGCAAGCTGTTCAAGAATGAGGTCCTCATCGTAATCTCCTTGCTGCGCCCGTCGTGCAAGTGCCGCACTGCGTTCATCTTCCGGGCTCAATTTTTGCAATGGACCAGCAGTCCCGTACTCGGTCAGCACTTCGGCGTGGTGGCGTTCATCAATTCCTGGGATAGATTTTTTCAATCTTTCGACAGCTTCACGTCTTTGGTAGGATTGGAAACCAAATATGCCTGCAGCGACAGCAGCTCCCGACAGGACCGCCGCAGCGGCAAGCTGGACATTGTGAGAGCCAGCCTGGCGCTGAAGCCACGAACTCATGCTCTCTTTTTCCTCCTCCTCCTCCTCCTTCCTTGCTTTCCTTTCTCTATGCCGCGAGTTTTCGTTGCGTTTGTAATGGCCCTTGTTTCCGTGATCGTCGTAGTAGTCGCAATATTCTTGGTTCGGGTAATTTTCCTCCGGGTCTCCATAGGAATCAGTGGAACACCTATAGTATCGATAAGCCATGTCCAGCAATGTCAACGAAATCGGCCATTTTGATGAAACAAAAAGAGAATCGGAGCTCAATAAAAGGAAGAGAAGGGGATACCCAAGGCATTATTGCTGCCCATCACAGCAAAAGATATGTCACGTGAAACCAGGCTCCGTCAGTGACGTTTGCCATTTGGAATGGGAGAACATGTCACGTGCTGCTGTTTCGGCCCGAAAATAATCCAGCTCGGTTAGCTTAGTCTTCCACTACTTTCAAGGTTTCTGCGCCGAAGTTCTTCTTCTCTCTTTACAACACAACATTCGCAACGCAAGTTCCTGTGCTTCGGCACTGGTCATTATTATTATTATCACATGAAAATAATAGATGGAACTGCGCATGTCTCAGTGATGACGATCCTCAATTGAGCTCCTGACACGCTGGTCGAATTGAAGACCACATGGACTTTATCCCCTGTCTCGTGGCTGGTGGAAGAAGACGTGTCAAACGTGGTTGATGCAGATGAACAGAAATCTGAGAGCCATTACAGTTCATTTCCCTACAAATTGCACTTGATACATTTTTTTCTCCTGAACTAACACGTGTTTCAAGAAAGACATTGTCTCGCTCGATGCTTGTCGACCATTTAATGATGGTGGTCTCAAGTCTGCGATCTTACTCCTCAACCCTCTTTCGATTTACAATATTTCTCGCTCAATACAATCCCCATGATGCCTATATGATGACCCCATTCTTAGGACACCTCGGAGGCAAGGTACTACGGTACTTGATGCTCCGCGTGTTGCCCTTCGGGGTAACCGCGTGCAGCAGGCCGTTGACGAGCCTTTACCCAAAGGTAGTTTTCAATCTGAACAGGCTAGGGATATTGATCATTTTCATTTTGTTTCAAAGTTACCAGCGAAATAGCGTTAATCAAAATATCGATTCATTCTTTGCATCTCTTCCTTATGGGGTCTAATGTGACTACTCCCTCCTAATTTAAGTCTTGCAATTATATTTATCATTTCTTATGCTTCGTATCCTTGCCCGGTGATGACTAGTTGTATCCAAAAGCCAAAGTTGAGGTATCCGGCATACAGAAACATTCCATGTCATGGAATTGCCTGGAAACCGTTGTGAACCAGAGAGCTAATCTGAGGGCTTATATATATGATACATCAATTCAATATCTCTTTAAATGACACTTCGGAAGATATCTAAATGCACAATATAACACTAGATATTTCAGTGGTTTATACTATGTTATTAGGAAAGGAAGTGATTTTTCAGTAGATCTCACGGCTAGAGGGGAGATGAAGACAAAAGTCCATAGAACACCTGCAATGCTAGAACGCTTTATAATACAAGCCGTTTTGAAGTGGCTTCAGTCCAAAAACTTGCCCACTCTTCCACCGATATTCTCAAGGTCCAACAGGAATGTGTCGTGCCCGAAGAGAGAAACATCCTCACCTAATTCGACATGCTCGACCTGCTTGTTGCCAGCAGCGAGCAACGTCTCAGCGATCTCGCGCTGCTGCCATGCCGGAAAAAGGATGTCGCTTGCAACACCCATCACTAACACAGAATGGTCTTTCAAAGGCGCCATTCCAAGCACAAGATCTTCAGGTGGACCTGTGGTCACGTTTGCTGCGGTAGGTTCATTCATGGGTGTTACGGAACTGGTGACAGATGGTTGTTCCTCATAGGGCTGGTCGGGCAATGTTAAGCTGCAAGAAGCATCACTTGACCCAACCTGTCCTTTTGAGAGCTTAGTCGCAAATTGTTCTCTTCTTGTGCGAGTTTCTGTCTGGTTGGAATAGCCCAAGTCAAAGAGATCCATCGCTTTAGAAACGTACAGCAAGCTATTTGGGTCGTATTCCAGACAAAATTTCTCTCCAGCATGGTCGAGATACGTTTCGATCAGGAAATCCGGGCATAGGGCAGGTTGTTTGCGAGGGTCTGCGCGCTTTCTTCCAAATCTTTTTTCCCATTCCGGCCCACTCCTATAAGTGACTGTAGCAATCTCACGTGCCAGCTTCATACCAGAATGAGGGGGTATCGAATCGTAGTAGAAGCCCCGCTGCCAGTTCGGATCCATCATCAAGACCTGTCGCTGCGTATGCCTCATCGCAATGCTGTATGGATGACTGCGCGCGCACCCACTAATACTGACAATTCTTCCAATTCTTTCCGGAAATAATACACCAGCAGCCAAACTCTGCATTCCCCCCATACTAGACCCTACAGATGCATGCAGCTTCTGGATTCCCAGAGAATCAAGCAGCCTGAACTGTGCGCGAACCATATCTTCCATTGTCAAGATGGGAAACCGAGTAGCATAGCGCTTCCCGTCGGATGGATCGATGGTCGACGGCCCCGTGCTTCCATAGCATCCGCCGATCACGTTTGTGCAGATAATATAATATTTATTTGTGTCCAACGGCGCACCAGGCCCGATGAATTTCTCCCACCACCCATTCTTTGGATTGGACGGCGTGCTATGAGCGTGGCTCGATGCTGATAGCCCGGTGTGGAGCAGAATGGCATTGCTTTTGTTGGAATTCAATGTCCCCCAGGTCTCATAGGCAATATCAAACTCGGGTAATGTGCCGCCCCAGTCGAGGAGCAAGGCATCTTTGCAATGGAAGTTTTCGTGGTGACCGGTAGTGTACGACGGTTCAGGGCCGGAATTGAGTGATCGTGTGGAGAGGGTTGCGGTACGGGCGTCCTGGGCATCGAGACAGGGAAATGACATGGCAGGATTCGAGGAGTCTTGCGGGTTCTCGCGAACAGCGGCAGAATGTGCTCCTCGACGCGAGTGCAAGTGGACAGACCGACATTGTGCAAGTCGTCCTGGATGTTGATGAAATTTTTGTTTATTGAGAAGGCCGACATCTGCGGGCTGTATGGAGGTTGGGGATGCTGTTGGTAAGCGCCAGCTGCATGATGTGCGACGCACGGCACTGCGAAGAAAACTCATCGTTTTCCGCCGAAAAGTGAGCGTATCTCAATTGTCGTGGAGGGGAGAATTGATGATTGTAAAGAGATCTCCGCATCTTGCGTGGTCCCCGCATGCCGCAGACCATCGCGGCTTACTAAATGCGCGGAGCACGCCATGCGCCTGCTCTCCGATTGGTTGGTTTGCATACATTCTATATACTCTGCTATATAATCTGCTATATACTCTGCCATGTACTCTACTATGTACTCTGCTATATACTATGCTCGTTCAACTACGTCTCCTAATCTAGTACATTCAATTCTGGTGATGTCAAGTTGATGAATAGGGCAACCCGAACGGCATATGAGGGGGTGCTTTGTAAGCTAGCAAGAAGGCAGATCTGGAGAAGGCGCCAGAAGCTTGAAGCTATCCAGCTGGAATATAGTGACTACTGTATGGCTACTGGGTGTGTGCACAACCTCCATTGAGGCGAAAAGCTTGCAAAAACTTGACGCCATAACAGGTAAGTAGTGACTTTGCAAATTGCAAAATGCGGCCACATGTGCTGCAGCCACAAATTTGATTGGCCCAGAAACTAGGTAAATTCTGAGGTTCGCGTTTGGGTTTGGGATCCGCTACAAAAGCTTGGCTTTGCTATTACCGCATTCAGCGAATTTTCGAATTTACGAATTTGACAGGTCATCCTCCACTAGTCCAGACTGAGGCTGCATGCTTAAAGATGTTATGCTTCTTTCTTTTTGGTCTAAAAACAAATTCCTTCTGACCGACTGCCTGGAGTTGCACATCGTCACAGTATGTCATATGAACCGGTCATTTCGGGTCATTCGACCAGTGGTTGATCTTCACCATGCAGCACTGGTGTAAGAGTCTTGAAATGATGCGATTGGTCTGTTTAATGAATATAGTAAGACCTGTCTGACGACTTACCTTGGGATCGAACCGGGTTTCTGTTATCTGTGACCAGATCATTAGTGCCAACAACGCTGCAGCCATTAGCCAGGGTACTCGTGCTTCAGCGCTCACTATGAGCCCGAGAGGTGAGGTGAAGCTGAGAATACTCTGGTGTAATAAAGAGTTTCTGGCTAGTTTCTTTGGCAGTCGTCAACATCGTCGTCATCAATGGGTCTGATTCGAGTACAATCCGGCCGAGATCGCATCTCAATGCCGACCTTTATCAAGCAGTGATATCTTGCAACTGCGTTTCCAGGCAGTTGTACGCCATCGGTTGGGAACGTGCGGAATCCAAGATAGCACTGATAGGCGCTGTTAAGTCAATTCTGGTGTGTCAAGGGGGTGATTTGTCCGGCAGTTGGATAACGTTAATATCCACACTCTTTTTCTATAAGTAGCTGTTGATATGAACTGCGTGGTGTGATGCGTGGTGGATGACGCGGCTTGCTGACGAAAAGAAGTCTAGCCGGTTCTTTGGATACTGCTTTCAACCCGGTGTTAATACATATACACATATCAATATGTATATATATATATATATATATATATAAAATGGAATTATACTGTCAAGACAACCGGAGTAATCATCATGTAGGGTTAAATGGCGTAAATTAAGGCAGCTGTAGCGCGTGGCGTGTGGCGTTCCTGGGAGCCAGGCCCTGTATAAATACATTCAATGTTGTATATGTAGTAATTATATAGCCGACAGATGGCAGGCCTGGTTGTGATGTCCTGGATATTTTCATTTTCATTTTCATTATTTAATTTTCAATATTATTTTAAACGAAAATGAAAATCGTTAATGTAGCATGCGCGACTCAGATCGACAGACCGGCCAGGCACCAGCAAAAAGATCGCCGGGAGTGGTAACGGTTGAAACGTCGTGCGCCGTCCCCTGTACGGCCGCCGTATTGTTTCCGCCCGCTTTTGGCCCGCTTGAAAAAGTAAGAATTAAAAATATCGATGATAATACAATTGATGGATATAATAGCATTAATATGTAAGCAATTGCATAACAGCACGAACAGTCACCAAGGCAGATCCGACGGGCTTGGTCTGGGGATGGGGACCAGGCCAGCGGTCGAGAACTATGTATATCAGCCAATCAGGCTATCAGGATACCAATATATCAGTATATCAGCTCCAGAGCGTAGAGCGATGACGACGTCATCTGCAACCGGAGCGTGCACACTGCACAGTGCACAGCTCTAGCCTCTAGCCTCCGCCACCTGGTATACGCCGTACAGTGGACGTACTAGCCAGGACCGATATTAATGTCATCATGTGAAGTGCAGGTCAGCCCCTGCAGAGTGCAGACACAGCAAAAAGGCCCCTCGAAAAGTTGAATGTGAAACGGCCTGTGTTCTAGCGCTCGTTGCATCCGGTCCATTAGGGCTGTCGATCTCGGTATTGATACCGTACTAGCCCGCCCGTCCCAAGCCTGTGAATGTAGGCGTAATCCTAGCTCCACCCGTCCCGTTGGGCCCTGTCAAGTTCAACCACCGCCTCAGCTTCTATCCTTTTGCGATGCCACCAACATAAACTCGTCATGCCTACGAATTGGTCGATATACTGAATCCTCCCCCCTTCCCCCTCTTTCTTTCCTCCTCCTCCTCCTCTCCATTTTCTGCATGCACCCGCCGCCGGAGCTCCTTTATCACCTCGTTTCGCATTTGTGCCAGAGTTCGGGTCGAAATTGTGCACGCCGGTCGTGACCAGGTTGTCCTTGTAGCATTGTACAGAGTGTTCCAGACTACTGGCGTTTATCCTGGCAAAATGGCCCCGGTTCGACGCGGCCTGGTCGCTATCGTCGTGCTTCTCGCCTTCGTCTTCCTGCTTCGATCCTCCTCATCAGCCTCCTCAGACTCCCGCGATACACATTCCTCCGAGAGACCCGTGCAGGTGCCGCCACGCGTCAGGACCCATGCGGGGAGGCAACAAAGTGCCCAGTTCTTCATTGAAGACATCGCCGATCGACCGCTGCGTGAACGCCTACGGTACCAGTACCCATATGATATCGACGCCAAGTTTCCGGCCTTTATCTGGCAAACATGGAAGGATGTGCCCTCGTCCAGCTGGTTTCCGGATGAGCTTCGCCCGTCCGAGGAGTCCTGGAGCCAACTGCACCCCGGTTTTGTTCATGAAGTTCTAGGAGACAAGACCGCCGAGCACTTAATCCGCTATCTGTATAGCTCAGTTCCCGAAGTCGTCGAGGCCTACGAGTCGCTACCGGTCCCCGTGCTGAAGGCCGACTTATTTCGCTACTTGATTCTACTAGCACGTGGAGGAGTTTATTCAGATATTGATACTGAAGCACTGCAACCGGCCATTGACTGGCTTCCCAAGGACCTGGACCCGCTGTCTGTTGGCCTGGTTGTTGGCATTGAAGCCGACCCAGACCGCCCTGACTGGCATGACTGGTACTCGCGGAGAATCCAGTTTTGTCAGTGGACCATCCAGTCCAAGCCTGGACATCCTATTCTACGTGATGTAGTCGCGACCATTGTCGAGGACACATTGCGAATGAAGCGAGAGGGCATTTTAACCATGGCCCGCATGGACAAATCTATTGTCGAATTCACCGGCCCTGCCGTCTGGACCGATGCCGTGTTCCGATACTTCAACAACGAGGATTACTTCCAGAATGAAAAGTCCCGAAACGTTACTTATGAGGATTTCACGGGCCAGACGACCCAGAAAAAAGTGGGCGACGTCGTGGTGCTGCCGATCACAAGTTTCAGTCCCGGAGTGGGACAAATGGGTGCCGAGGAGCCTGACCATCCCATGGCTTTTGTCAGGCACGACTTTGGAGGTATGTCCCGTCTGATCGCGAACAGAAAGGAGAACAGAACGCTAACAATCCTGATCAGGTACATGGAAACCCGCAAACGAACGTTACATTGGGTGAAAACAATAACCCTCAAACTCGGTCACCGATACACACACACATATATATACAATCGGCTGTGTTTTAGGCCTAACGTATACGCATTATAATTGCCTCTACTTTATTTCGTGTTGATATAAGGTCTCACGCTGAGAGCGGAGCGAGCATTAGCAAAGGCGTTTGATGATTTGGAGCTGCATTCTTTGATTCTCTTTTTCTTCTTATACTTTTCCTCAGTGGATTGGGACGGTATGCCCAATACGTTCGATGTAGATTAGGATTACCACATATAGACACCTATTTCCAAGACATACTGACAGTGTACGATGCTCAATCGTTTGATGTTAACATGAAGACTCTTCCGAGTCGATTTTTGATTGAAAACAGTCTAATATTTATACCAAAATGTGACGTGAAATTCAAATCTTACAAAAGACGTTCTATTCAAGATTATTTTTATTTTCAATTTATTGGCTCAAATCTTGAAAATACCGATTAGGCTAGTAGAAGTCAAGAGATATCCGCTGTGGAATAACTCATAAAGAAAGGTGTAGATGAATAACGAAGAGCTTCTAGCGTCATAAATTTCAACAAAGCGACGAAGATCAGAGAAGAACAAGAATGTACGAGCAATTTAACGGTTAGGTAGTAGGAAATAGGAAATAGGAAATAGATAATATATATAACATAAGAAGCAAAGAAAGAACAATCCAGTACGATTCATAAATCTTTCAGAGGGTATATTCTGTCCAATATGGCAAGTATCATGCATGAAACAGATGAGGTGGTCGTCAATCCAAGTAAAAGATATAGAAGATGAAAGAGGAAGGGAATTAAAAATCATTGAAGAGCGGTTCATATTTTTCTCTCAAGTCGCTCGTATAGACGCTTAGCTTATCGGGAGCAGGAGGCGGTGGATACTCCTCAAAATTGCCCGCATCTGCCGCATTTTCCAGACGAGGGATGATGGGACCTTGAACACGACGATAGTAGAGATCATCCCATTGAATACTAGACAACCAAGGGTGAGCCTTGACGCGTGAGGCGCCTCCTTGAATATGTCCCAAACGTTGCGTGACATCTGTCTTGCAAAATTGTGAAATGATGTCCCGCGCAGCAGGACTCATCTTCTGTGGAAAGCGAAGTCGCCCTTCCACAATCTGTTCGTATAGTCGCATCACGTTTTGGTCCCAGAATGGAGGCTGCCCAACCAAAAACTCGTAGATTAGGACCCCTAGAGCCCACCAGTCGACCGCAAGACCATGTCCACTATTGTGTATAACCTCCGGCGCCAAGTAGTCCGGAGTCCCGCAAAGAGTGTATGTTTCACGGTTACCAACCTGTTTGGCGAATCCAAAGTCTACAAGCTTGATGTGACCATCTGCGTCTATCAGGATGTTTTCGGGCTTCAGATCACGGTATGCGACACCCTGAACGTCGTGTAAGTACTCGATTGTCATCGTAATCTCCGCGGTATAGAATTTGGCGGTTGGTTCGTCAAACGTGCGTGCGCGTCGAAGATAGCTGAATATTTCGCCACCGGGGCAATATTCCAACTAAGAGACAATAAATAGTTAGTGGATTCACCTTGGTACGATGTGCAATGCGACGCTAGCATACCAGCATGTATAAAGACTGGTCGTCTGAGAAGGTGGTGACCAAAGTTGTGATGAAAGGATAACCTGCAACTGCCGCAAGTGTTCTTCTTTCATTCCGAACATGTTCAACTTGTTTAAGTTTGATAACTGAGGTGACTGTCAGTTGCATGAACTCGCAAAAAGTAGAGGCACTGTACCATCTGCCTTTCGGAGAACCTTTAATGCGTAGACTTTGTCTTTGCGAGGGTTATCTTTCAGCCTTGTGAGCCAGACACGAGCAAAGGTACCTATTTCCCCAGTAAGTTCACCATTCAAACCAGTCGTCGAGTGAAGTTGCGATTATATACCGGTGCCCAGCGTTTTAATCAATTCAAAATCATCCACACCTAACGTACGGCTCGGCTCGGCTAGATGCTTCACCTCAGGAGCTTCGGCAACGGTATTCGGGTCTAGAGGGTGCTCTGAGCTAACAAGTACAGAGGCTATTTTCTGCTTTTCTTGATCGTGGTTGTTCCCGCCATTGTCAGCTTGCGCTTCAGGTTCGGCCAACTTGCTGTTTGAATCTTCATGTGTCGTAGGTTGGACTGTTTCCGTGCCCATCGTGATAGCGACAAAGCATGTCTCGAATGCAAAACGAACGGCGGTGATGGTAAAACGTGACGCGAAAGGCGAGGTCTGCCAGAACCGTAAAACTTAGACGGTCCCCGAAACACAGGCGGTGGAGCGGCAGGGAGTCGCGAGAATAGGCAGGCCAGTCAATTGAGTGCGGCAGGTTAACTATGACATGGAAGCCGGCGGTCGGTCTGTTGCTGAAAAGCAACCGGTAGGCACATTACAAGGAATTGACCGGCGATGATTCTGGCGGAGGACAAGTCTCAAGACTCATGTTAGCGGATGGTACTTGTCCCCGCGGGCTGACTGTTAATTAATTAGCCCAAGGAGGGACTCTGACGTACATGTAACCCGGCGGGGTTAGATTATATGAGTGAATTTTGGGAGGCTCCGATTTAACATATATTTTATATATTTGAATAATATTTTTAACTAGTCAAGAATTAAATTTACTTATAATATAGTATTTTTAATAGATACTTTTGTTCTAATCAATTTACAATTTTTTTAATTATCATAGCCTAACAAAAATCAATTTATACCCCTAACCTCTGTATATCTTTAATAAATAAACTATTCACATTATTAGAAGATATTAGCCGATCAATATCTTCTAAAATTTCAATATTTTGCCAGAATTGGTTGGCTGGCTGGCCTGTTCTTGTGCGCGTTTTTCCAAGCTTCCTAGACTCAATCCAGTGATTCGCATCTCTAACGCTTCATACACCCCCTGCTTTAATTTTGATTTTTAAATTAGGTTTACGTTAGCAAAGCTTAATAAAATGCTCGGCGCTATCTGCAAATTGAGCGTCTAATTCGGCTTGCATGAGGCTGCCCGAGAATATATTGTCGAGACGTTGGGTCATAATTGGCGAGAGATCAGTCTCATGTAATAATTTTTGGAACTTCGCAATACGCTTACGAAGCTTTGGAGCAGTTCTTGGAGGCGATATATTGAGAGTATAATGGGAGAATTTTGTATAATATTACCTCTACCGTCAGGCATATCAATCATTGATTCGAAGTCAAAATCCAACCCGCTTTTCACTTTATCAGTGCATATAGTTCATCTGACCTACTAATTTAGTTTGTCTAATCATATTATATCTATTTCAATAAGTAAAATAAATAAGGTAACAAATAGACTGGGGAATAAATACCTATGTTACCCTTTTGCATTGTGACTTAGTGAATTGGCCTATTTGGTCCGAGAGAATGACTTTCGTCCGGTTGGTATGGATATGGTATAAATCGTTGGTGCTACTGATGCAGGCAGAACTCGGATCAAATTGTCCAGAGATGTCTCTATATAAGGCCAGCTCTAACCCGGTGTTCTTTGTCTAACGATGAGAACCTAACTGAGCCCTTTAACCATCTGCTGGCTGACATCTAAATCACGACAAGATGGCATCAACGGTAAGCCGTGTCTTTACGGCTTTCGGCCCGCCAACAATAGAGAAGAAGAGCGACGCGATCAAGTTTGGCATCTTAGGAGCCGCGAAAATTGCGTAAGCTTTCACTGGAGATTGGACTGTGCCGTTTTCAGTGCACTATTGACACTGAACAGTCCTCTAGCGCTGATCACACCGGCCAAGTCACATCCTGAAGTCATCGTGCAAGCTGTTGCTGCTAGAGATCGCGCCCGGGCTGAAGAATTCGCGAAGAAGCACGGCATCCCTGATGTCCGGGGCTCATATGAGGGTTAGATTTTGACTGCTGAGTTTCGCAGACCAATGAAAGCTAATCATGTGTGTATTGAAGAGATTCTCGACGACCCGAAAATCGATGCCGTCTTGATCCCACTTCCCAACAGTCTGCATTTCGAGTGGGCTGTTCGCGCTATTCGCGCTGGGAAGCATGTTTTGCTTGAGAAACCGTCCACCTCCAACGCAAATGAAGCCGAAATCCTCTTTAATATGCCGGAATTGTCTCAACCCAAGGCCCCAGTCTTACTGGAAGCCTTCCATAATCGCTTCCACCCTGCAGTTCACCTGTTTCGATCTTTCATTAAACCAGCTGATGTTGTGCACGTGCATACAGATTCTATGGTGCCGTGGGTGATAACTGCTAAAGAAAACATTGAGTTCAATTATAATCTCTCTGGTGGTAGCATGATGATGCTTGGAACGTATAACTTCGGCCTGCTGCGTATGATCTTTAACGACGAGCCAGAGAAGTGTCTAGCTTGTGATACCAGTATTTTTGGCGATGGCATCCACGACAAATGCGACTACGCTTTCAAGGCCAAATTCCGCTTCCCTAACGGCGGCATAGCTGAGGCCATGACTTCGCTAAGAGGCTCTCTTCTGTGGAAGCCCTCTGAGGCCAGGGTGACAACCAGAGAGATTGTGATACCTGACAGCACGCTCCCATCTACTCAGGAGAAGTTGCTGACTCGACAGGTCACGCTGCACGGATTCATCCATGCCTTTATCTGGCATCGCATCGACGTAAAGGACTCCTATGTGATCTGCAACAAGGCCAATCGCCAGCCGATCAAGACATGGGTAGAGTCTAAATCACACAAAGCCTACACCTACAAGGACGCTGGTGGTGAATTCACGAGCTTGCCTGGTGAGGAATGGTGGATGTCGTATCGCTATCAGCTTGAGGAGTTTGTGAATCGGGTCAAGGGTCGTAAGACGCAGTACTGGGTCGGTGGGGAGGACTCGTTCAACCAGATGAAGATGATTGATATGGCCTATAAGAAGAGTGGACTGGGACTGCGACCGACTAGTTCGTTCCGCTAACTGCAAGGCTTGAAGCAGGAGAGCGTTTTCAATCCAGTGCAATGAGATTGTTCTCTTCTCTCACATTGTTCTTAGTGTAAAACAATAATACTATTCAGTTCATTAATCAATACATTTTCTGTTCTTACCAAGGTACTGTCGTTATGAGCTCAGATAGGACATTTCGTCTTGGCAATTCTCAATATTATATATAGTCAACTTCGACATCTTCGGAGATGTGCGATGATATCAATTGACTGTGAGCAGCTACCCTGTTCATATCGTCAAAGCTGGAGTCACCCTAGAGTCGCTATCATGTGCCTTATGGTTTGGTACATAGCTGATACATTGATATGGGAAAATGCGCCTCGGGTCCCGGAAACCGCCCTGCAACCACTGGCATCCGTTGTATAATGTCGCTGCAACATGTCAAATTTGAAATGTTTCCTCAAAAGTTATACATGCCCAACCCGTTGCCAATCTCCTGCCGTAAGACTAGATATGTCAGCACACCTTCAGCTGACTCGCAGCCGCCAAAGGTGCATAACCTGACTTACTAGGCTTAGCCCAGTCAAGTGGCAGAAAGCGTGCCAAGAGTGGGGCCAGTCGAGTTGAAATAACCATTCCAAATTTGGCAACATTTCCCATAGTGACAACACAACTTCCTGCCTTACTTGTCTGAGGCCGTTCTCAAGCGTTTAGGGATTAGTAGCGCGGTAAGTAGCATAGGAAGTAAATACGCCCCTAATTATATATATATAAAGGAGCAAAAAGGGGAATCCCAGGGAGCTACGCGCCAACTGGTGCACGTGGGTCAACAAATAAGCCTTGTTAGTGCTTAATTAGGAATGCATATATCTATCTATAGCTAGAACTGATCGTCGTGATGGTGTTAAGCATGTAGCATGAACAAATTAAGCTTCAGCACATATTATTTAGGCAACTCGCCGGAAATCAACATGTTCAGTGGCAGGGCTGTGTAATTTGCGGTCTTCATCAATCATAAGGCCGGCTCGTAGGGAAGCAAGATTGATTATCATAATCAAAACACCTTTACATCACTGGTCGTAACTTGTATTTTTCAATACAACATAATATATTACTAAGAAGGGATACACCCCTAATATACAGTACATAACACTATGGCCGTTGAAAATTAATGACTATCAGAATCACATGCCAGCTTCAACACATAGAGATTTTCAGTAACACTCATTCTTAACCGTTTCTCTTAGTGCTATGTATCAAAAGAAGCCTCGATTGTATATATCAAAAGTTGCCATGAAAGTAATGTTTCTAAGATCTGAATGTTGTAGCAACGAATCACTGCATTGACCATTGCGCAATGTTACGCAACGGTTTCCATGTTCTCGCACCTGCCCGTATTGGTGGTGTCTGCAAGATGAAGTACCTGGATCCTATTTCACCACACTAGGTGTTTCATATCACTGGGATATCAGTTGGTGTTAGATTACATAACCCACCTTGTCCGAGTCAATGTTGACTTGGTACTTATACGGAGTTCATCTGGAAGAGACATTTATATTGGACCAATTGAGAATTGTCACGTATTAGAATGAGGGGTTGCTGATGCTGACGTGACGGTGATAGATAGATAGAAATGTCTGTGTTTATATATTCGTACAATTTATGAGGGTACCTGAATTAATCTAGATTGGTATACATGTACCGCCCCAAGACGGCCGACGGCTGCTGATGTGCCGACTGCATTGCCTAACAGGACCGAACAGACCCCACAAGAAAAAGAAAAAATGATTGTCTCATGTTTTAGCAGATGCCTGTGTTGGTGTATCCATGAGGCAGCTGAGGTTGGCGCTGTATATCCTTGCTGCCATTCACCCCTTCGTCGTGATATTGATTATTATGGAACATATTTAACCACCACTGCGGGAGTTGAGAATAAGACCGACAATCAATCTTTCTCAAGTTAGCATATATATCGAGGCCCAGGGACAATGGGAGATTCTTACCCATAAAGCCCAAGTACTTCACCGAAAATCAAGATCAGGATCATTCCAACATAGACTCTTGATTGCTGCATGTATACCCGAACACCCTAAGCCATATAATCAGGACGTAGTAATTAAACAAAGGCGTAGAATTCTCACAGCTTCTCCCACAATTCCAATAGTATATCCGGCTGCTACTCCAGCCAGCCCAACCGAAAGACCCGATCCGAGATGCATAAAGCTCCTGTTTCAAAGACACGTCATTAACACTGGAGCTAAATTCGATACAATAACACTCGGGGAGATTCGTACGTGTAAAGACTGGTGTTTTGTTGTGGAGGCGGATTTAACGCCCCGCTAATAAGCACTGCGATGACCAAGCCGTATACCGCAATAATACCAGACATGACAACGGGAATTAACGACTATCACATTATCAGCAGTGGTCTTGTTGTCGAGGTGTGCGACCGTACTTTCATAATCAGATCTGGCCTGTATTGTCCGACCCCAGCAATACCAATGCCGGACTTTGCAGTACCATAAGCCGCGCCCATTGCTGTGACGTGTGAGTGAATCGAAAAGGGAAAGCATATGGCGCTGGTTGTGTTTTACGTACTTCCAAATATCATCTGGAGGCGTGTCAGTAACTAGGTGAATACGGCATAGAGAGGGTATCAGGAATTACTGACTGCCGCTGCTACTCCTGCCTGTGCCTATGGTCAGCGAGGTATGGCCTATCCACGACAGTGTATTGATGCACGTACAAAGGAGAAAAATGGTGCAAAATTTGGGGCATATTCGCTTTCCGCCATTTTGTCGACTGTACAGCTAGCTGGTGGTCGTGGCAGAAACAGAGGACAACTCGTCTATGAACCTTGCGCGGACGGGGCGGCGGGAATATGCACAAGGCGTAAACGATAGGAACGAGATTGAAATCTCCAACCGATTCGGGAGAGCAGTCTCGATTCTCTTGCAAGGTGGTGGTGGTCGAAACAGACAGTGTCGGAGCTACAATAATCAAGAAGCGCAAGCAATCACAGGACCGTTATGCTAAGCTGCCAGTAGTGTCTCTGCCGCCCGCCGTAGTCATCGCGCTATGTTGCGCTGGGAGGTGGCGGCCTCAGGCCAGGTAGGCCAGGCTAGGCTGGACGTCGAACTTGACCCAAAGTTACACAACACAACTTGGACTTACCACCCCGTGCTTTGCTACTTCATCACGAACACGCTCCGCCAAAAAGCACCCTGCTCGATCTCTCCTCTCCATCCTCTCCCTCCTCCAGGCCTCCCAACCCCTCGGCACTGTGGGACTCGCAGAGGCGTCCTTATCGAGCCTCTTTCTTTCCAGCAGAAGAACGATGCGGAGGGTATGACTGCAAGGGCCCTGCTCTGAGGTTGCGCCCACCGCTCGTTACGTTCATCAGTCCTTCGATCTCAAATCTCGGTGATCAACCACTCGATATCGCCAATTCCACTACGATAGAAAGGCTGGGGCATGCCTAATAAGTAAAGCCACACTGTTTCGACCATTCGCAAAACTAACTCCGCCATCCTAAAGACATTCGACAACCAGCCTATTTGCCAATCGCCATTCTCCGTCCTTCCAGCGGCTCGACCAGACCCTGCGTATGACCTTGTACTGGCCTTGTCATACACGGTTTCTTCTTGAGCGACTTGGAGATAATCTATTCTAGACCATAGCCTGGGGGCCAACATGGCAGATCTGGGATCACAGCAGGGTCGGAATTACCGGCCCAGTCAATACACACATGCTTCGAGTTTTCAACGTGATGCTGCTTTCAATGACATCTTTGGAGCAGCACCGCCTCCGGGCCGGGCGCAGACGATGACATCGCAAACACCTCACTTTCCGACCGAACGAGCGCATACCATGACTTCTCATTCTGCACAACCTCAAATGCCGCTAAGGGTACCTGCTCCAATCCGACAAATTCCCTCAGGTCAAGGCCAGATTGTTACCAACGGTTATCCCAATCCCTCACAAGCAAACGGCAGCGTTGCGTCGTCGCAGACCCCTCAAAACTATCCTCGACCATATCCACGAGGTTCCGCTTATCCCCCGCCTCAACGAGTTGATTCTAGGCCTCATCAAGTCCCACAATATTCAAGTGCCAATGTGCCAGTTCCTCAAGGTCGCCCTGTGCCCCCACCAGCGTTAAATTCAGACGCATATCGTTCACGGTCAATGGCCGCCGGTGTGCCTAGGATGAGTGGGCCTCCTGTATATTCACAACCTCCAAACAGCTTCAACCACACTTCAGCACATGCTATTCGACATCAGCATTATAACAACTCTGTAACGAGGACTCCCCAAGGCCGGCTAGTCCCAGAAAGACATGATAATGCCCGAACCATGTCTTTGAGCTCTTACTCATCTAACAATGAGTATGCTCAAACACCGTACGGTCGGACCGTGCCTCAGCGACGACCACCTTCCGGCCCAGATCAAATCCCCTCCCAATTATTACCAGCGCAGGCGCAAACACCCACCATTTTGGAGCAGCAGACGCTCGATGGCGAACCCTCCCGTCAACGACGTCCCAGTGAATCTTCGATAACATCTCGTACTATGTCGATGGCGTCTACACTTGTTTCTGATCGAACAATGAGCTTGCAGAGCAGGCCTGTTCAGAAAACGACCAGCCAATCGACCCAGTCAACGGCCGCAACAGCAGTACCACAAAATCGTTCTCGAAAGCCCTTGGTCCATCCAGCTTTGCTATCTCGTGTTGCCGATGTCTTCCGTGAGAAAATTCCTTTGGGAGAACGTCAAAAGAACGGCTTATCGTATCAAAATGCATTCTCAGGTGCAGAGGCCGTGGACCTGATTGCTCATATTATCAGAACACAAGATCGCAATCTTGCACTGCTTTTAGGTCGTGCTCTCGATGCGCAAAAGTTTTTTCACGATGTTACTTATGACCATCGTCTTCGAGATTCTGGAGTTGAAATATACCAATTTAAAGAGACCATGACCGAAGAGGCTCCTAGCTCGGAGGTTAACGGCGTGTTCACCCTTTTGACAGAATGTTATTCCCCAACCTGCACTCGCGACAATCTTTGCTATTCTATAGCTTGCCCTAGGCGACTAGAGCAACAAGCACGTCTGAATTTGAAACCCCAACCGGGATTGCGCCATTCTTCTTCTAAAGGCAGTCTTCACGCGGATGATGATAATGACGACCAAAAACTGTGGATTAATATGGTTCCCAAGGAAATTGCCGATGGTATTGACGATCGGGAAAAGAAGCGACAAGAGATTATATTTGAAATTATGTATACCGAGCGAGATTTTGTCAAAGATCTTGAATATCTTCGAGACTTTTGGATGAGACCTCTTCGTTCCGCCGGTAATACTAGCTTGTCGCCCATTCCGGAGCATCGCCGAGAGAAGTTTATCAGGACAGTATTTGGAAATTGCTTGGAGGTTCTCAAGGTCAACTCTGGTCTCTGTGAAACCCTCAATACTAGGCAAAAAGAAAATCATGTTGTTCTTACTGTTGGTGATATTTTCTTGCAGCACGTCCCTCGTTTTGACCCATTCATCAAATACGGTGCCAACCAACTGTACGGCAAGTATGAGTTTGAAAAGGAGAAAGCCTCCAATCCCGCCTTTGCTCGATTCGTCGAAGAAACAGAACGCTTGAAAGAGTCACGGAAACTAGAATTGAATGGTTACCTGACTAAGCCAACAACACGTCTCGCCAGATATCCTCTTCTTCTCGAGCAGGTATTCAAAAATACCGCCGATGACAACCCAGATAAACAGGATATACCTAAAGCAATCGGCATGATCAAAGACTTCCTTTCGAGAGTCAATGCCGAGAGTGGAAAGGCTGAAAACCACTTCAATCTGGTGCAATTGAATGCTGCATTGAAGTTCAACCCTGGTGACTATGTGGATCTGAAACTTACGGAGGAGAACCGGCAGATGCTCTCCAAAATGGCTTTCAAGAAGACTTCAACAGATAGTTCTGAGGTTACGGCGTATCTTTTCGATCATGCTGTTCTTTTAGTGCGTATCAAGATGGTGAACAAGCGAGATGAGTATCGGGTGTACAGGAAGCCGATACCGCTTGAATTGTTGGTAATTACGCAAATGGATGAAGTCATTCCTAGGCTTGGTTTGGCAAAGAGGTCATCATCAAGTCTTATCCCAGGAAAGGCAGTCGTCGCCAATACTCCAGTGCCGAAAGAGGGCCTACCTATAACTTTTAGACACCTTGGTAAGGGGGGCTATGATCTGACCCTTTTTGCCACCTCTCAGACTCAACGGAAAAAGTTCATTGAACTGGTTGAGGAACAACAGAGAAAACTCAGAGAACGCAACAGTAACTTTTATTCGAAAACAATTCTATCCGAAAATTTCTTTACAACGGCCAATCGTGTCAATTGCTTGGCACCAACTGGTAAGTTTCATTCATTCTTGAAAATCGTATTAAGTCTGACTTATTCTCCCTGTAGATGGCGGTAGAAAATTGATTATAGGTACCGACAATGGTATCTTTTTGGCCGACAGATGGCCCAAGGACAAGAACGCGAAACCACGCCGGATCCTCGATGCTACAGCTGTTACTCAGATTGATACATTGGAAGAATATCAACTGGTTCTAGTTCTGGCCAACAAGACCCTCAGCTCCTACCCGATGGAAGCATTAGACGTGAGCGAAGGCCAAAATCCATTAGCCCGTAGACCAAAAAAGATTCAAGGTCATACCAACTTTTTCAAAGTCGGTATCGGTCTCGGACGGCATCTTGTCTGCTCAGTTAAAACATCCGCCTTGTCGACCACTATCAAGGTATATGAGCCTACGGAAAATCTAGCTAGGGGAGGCAAAAAACCAGCTCTGGGGAAGATGTTCCGAGGTAGCCAAGACACTTTAAAGCCTTTCAAAGTAAGTAGATTGTTTGATTTTCTGGAACAGTTTTGTCTAACCAGTGCTCAAGGAATACTATATCCCCGCTGAATCCTCATCTGTTCATTTCCTTCGATCAACATTGTGTGTTGGTTGTGCCAGAGGGTTTGAGGTTGTTAGTTTGGAGACTACTGATAGTCAATCCCTTCTTGACCAAGCAGATACCTCTCTAGACTTTGTTGCGCGAAAAGAAAACGTCAAGCCGATCTACATTGAACGAATGAATGGAGAGTTCCTCCTCAATTACAGCGACTTTTCATTCTTTGTCAACAGGAATGGATGGCGAGCACGACCTGACTGGAAAATTTCGTGGGAAGGCACACCAAATTCTTTCGCTTTGTCGTATCCATACATCTTAGCCTTTGAACCCAACTTCATCGAAATTCGGCATATTGAAACAAGTGAACTTATTCATATCATGACTGGAAAGAATATCCGAATGCTACACTCATCCACTAGAGAGGTCTGTATTCCAGTGTCCTTTTTGGAATTTTCAGTTGACTAACACATAATTCAGATTCTGTATGCCTATGAAGACGAAGATGGGGAAGATGTGGTGGCTAGTTTAGATTTCTGGAATCGGCCGCGGTAAAGGTGTGAAACACCTGTGAAATCCCTTGTGTTTTCAACTTGCTATCATGTTCGCAAGTTTTTTCTTCAAATCTCTTCATTCTCTTAGATGACTGAATGACCATCGTCATGTATGTGCGTATGTATGAATTTGTAGTTGCTGCGCATTGGCATTTACAAGGAATGTCATCAATTATATCCGCACTATCATTTGTTTTAGTTTGTCGTCGATGACATCTGATTCTCCAGATGCGCCTTCTTCTTTTTTATTTCTCCTACCGTTCTCTCTTTTGCTCTTTATCATTTTCTCTATAGGCTATTTTATTGTTATTTCTTTTTGAATGTGCTGTATATCTCTCCATGTCTATCTTCTTGGAGCGGCTTGGTTTTATTGATGTACAACTTTTCACATCTTTTTCTTCTTTTGAATAAACATTTTATGTCATAGCATTTACTCTGTTTCATTTATCATATGTTTTTTATTCCTTGTTTTTAAATTTATGCTCTTCAATGACCGGCTGCATTCAGTTTCTGCAAATAGTGAAGATAACTTGTACCTACAAAGAACCATGAGCAAGGTTCTTTTCTATTTCTTGCTTTGGGTGATTACAACGCTGTAGGCTCTAGGATCAGATGAATGTCTCATTCAAATGTTGGGTAGCTCTATTCTGAAGAATACCATCAATTCTACTACATACTTGACCAGTCTTCAATGTGCGAATTGTACATGGCGCCAGATTCTCGCAAACATCGATTGCTGTATATTTTTTTTATTACAAGTTGAATACTTGATAGTAATCAAAAACTTGAAAAGTTTAGGTATAGTTGAATTTGGATCAACATCTCGGACAGAAATCGAAAAAGGACTCATTGTGATTTTGATATGCGTGTATTACATTGATGTGGTTAAAAAATTGATAATGCTAAGGCACCAACCAAAATATACTTTTAACCTTCCTGTTCGTTCTTCCAATCAATCCCTGGACAAGAGAAATCTCATCCAACGTGATAAAAAAATAAAAAATAATCCATAAAGTATGTGTAGCACAAACAAAACTTAGTTGGATATCAAAACCAACTGGAAAACAGGGGTGACCAAGAGACGGCAAACAGAACAGGGAATATTTGCACTGCTAAGTTGGGAATTTGACATATGAAAACAAAGAAAAAAAGCGGATAAGAGAGGGGACCTTGGGTAATAATAGGAGAAAATAGAAGGAAAAATAGGATGATCCTGCTGACAGCAAATATTTCCGGCGACGTTTTAAGCTATTAAAAAGGTGTTATTTCCAACCTGAACATCTACCGCCACAGGTACCGCGATTTAAAATATTGAAGATGAAGGCGCGAACACGCAATAACGGATAAGGAAAAGAATCAGAGGACGGAAAAGGAGCCTGTGGTTCCCTCTCCGCGTCTCGTAAAGTCGTCCAGCCCGGTAGTGCGTCAACTAAATCCTGCGCTTTTTCCTATTCCTAAAATCATAGATGGAGCGTATACACTGCCATTAACATAGAAGTAGGATAGGGTGAGGTGATCATCTATGAAGACATGTATGCACATGGGTATATAGTCTAAGCTTCTCCATTGAGCTCTTCACCGCCAATAGGTAAGTGACTGCTGGCTTCTCGTTGCATGCGGGCCTCGATTTCCCGGAGCTGGCTCTCGCGAGCCAAGAGCTCCTGGCGCTTCTCGTTGATTTCACGTTGCACTTTGAGTTCGATCTCGCGAAGCTTCTCCTCCTCGCGGCGCAGTTGCTCCTCCTTGAGGCGGACTGACTGGGAGGCAAGGTCTTCGGGGTTCATAGAAGAATCTTGGTTGCTGTTTGGACACAATTAGTACAAGTTCAAATCAAATATAAGGTATTTTCTCGACATACGCTGAAATACCGTCCACACTCTTGCTGAGTTTCTCGGTACGGTAGTTCTCATAGAGGAAGTCGTGAGTGATCTCCTTGAGATCGGCCAAATGGCTGTGCAGGAGAGCACTGCGAATGGCAAGGAAGTCGGAGTGGCGAGGGTTTTCGACCTCGACAACTCCCCAAGGGTATTGTCGGGCCCGGACCTTCTTACCACCGATCTCAGTGACTTCCTCGGAACCAACAATGGCAAATGGCATGAGGCCACGCAATTCAGCGTTCTCTTCAACGGTATCTTCGTCATCTTCTTCGATATCATATGGGAAGTTGTAGACGGGAATGCGGTAGTGCTCAATGTCTTCCATAACAAGCTTCTTCGACTCAGCTAATTCAGCCGGGGTGAGGGAATCTGCTTTGCCAATGACGGGGATGACATTGACACGAGGAGACAATCGCTTCATTAGTTCAATATCGAGTTCTCGAAGACCGTGTCCGGTAGGGGTGATAAAGTAGAGCAGAGCATGAACTCGGTTGTCCCTGAAACGGGGGTTACGTTTGATTCTCGACTCTTCAGCAAGGATGTCATCATATTGGCGTTCTAGGTATCCGACGATCTCTGAGAAGCTACTGGAATATTAGTTTGACTATTTTGATGTGACGGATAGCTGTGTGCGAGCTGCCATACCTAGCCTCGTTGTCGATTTGGTCACCGAATCCGGGGGTGTCAACAATTGTCAGGGAGATGCGGGTGCCCTCCTCATCAAGCTCTAACTCTGCAAGGAAAGGTGAGTTGATTGCGGACATTAACTGATGATGATCGACCTACCAACTGTCACTGGCTTGATCCGTACACCCTCCTCAACGTGTGCGTTTTCGGCATCGTCTGCATCTTTGTGCTCGAGAACTTTCTTGCCACAGAGAGTGTTGACGAAGGTTGTGCGTCCTATTGTGGTGCAAACCGTCAATGGCCGAGTTATTGTTGATGGGAGGCGGCTCCACGGGGTCGCAGCTCAAAATAACTTACCAGTTCCACTGGCGCCGCACACCATCAAACAGAATTGGATACCCTTCTTGACATTCTTCTTGCGACGGATCTGTGATGAAACAGAATTGTTAGACAAGAAACGGTGGGATAGGCAAAGCCATGCAATATGGCTAGGGTAAGATCCGGGGGAAAGTGTTGTCTGGCTTGCCAGCAAAGCAACGTACCGCGTTGAGAGGTGAAGACATGGTGGGCAAAGAGGAAACGTGGACAGCGAAGACAAGTATGCAGAGACTATTATCGTGGCAATGAAAGGTCCCGGGAGCAAGAAAAAGGGAAGGGAGCTTGGACGGGGTAGCAAAGTGAAGCTCTGAGAAAGAAAAGAGGTCGCTGGCGGAGCGAGTCTCCTGAATGAGGCAGCAGGGGGCAGCAGCGTTTAGGGGGGGAAAGGGAAAGGGCCCGCCGAGAAGAGCTTAGTGTTGGCCGTAGCGTCACGCCCACGGCCGCCTGCATCTGCGCCCGCTGATTGGCTGTCGCCGCTGATCACGTGGAGAGTCGATTGATCTCATGAATATCATTAACGATCAATATCGATTGGCATACATTCTCATTTGTAGCAGTCGGCATCCGTATAAGCTGCATCTGTCTAGGCGTCAGGGCTGGCCTTGGCTGCGTGTCCACTGTTCGTGTGTTTGGCCAATTATGGCGCCGAGCGGGCTCCGAGCACCTCACCTCTCATAAAGATGGTACCCGCCGTTGTTTATAGATCATCCTGCTGTTGATAGCACGTCTCTGAGATTCCGATTGTCTGTCCTGGTCACCCGCATGGTGCCTGCATCCACAGCCTTGGCGTGTGGGATCACTTGATATCGCAGCCATAGCTTGTTTCCGTCCGCGTCTCCGCAGCCGCTAGCTATCTAAACTTCTAGGCACCTCTCGACTCGCAACTCTATACCCGCATGAAGCAGCGATATGAACACTCGCCAGGTCATCGATGACTCGACAGGGCCCGTGTCTCTATCAGCCACTTTCAACAGCGACTGTAGCTGTTTCTCTGTCGGTCTGGACACGGGCTTTTGCGGTAAGCCGTCATACCCCGCCCATAGTAAACAGAAGCTCACACTGTGTCGCAAACAGTTTTTAATGCGGACCCATGTGAGCTGAAAGTGTCCCGAGGTGTGTACAAGATCTAGCGATTATATTGTCAAGGCTGGAAGTGTGCTGATATATTTCGTTCCTCAAGATTTCAATGCAGGCATCGGCCTCGCAGAAATGCTAGGACAGTCTAACTACCTCGCAATCGTTGGCGGCGGGAGGCAACCAAAGCTACCACAAAATAAAGTACTATCTATCTGAGCTCGAATAGTAGTAGCATAAGTAACTGAAGATTCTTGGTAGATGGTCATTTGGGACGACGTCAAACAGAAAGCCGTGATCACACTCGAATTCCGTACCTCCGTCCTTCGCGTACGGTTATCCAAGTCACGCATTGTTGTTGCGCTTCTCAACAGCATTCATGTTTTCGCTTTCTCTACACCCCCGAAAAAACTTTCTGTTTTTGAAACATCGGATAACCCGCTGGGCCTGATATGTCTTGGAAAGAAGCTTTTGGCCTTCCCGGGTCGATCTGGTGGCCAAGTTCAGTTGGTCGAGCTAGAGACTGGGAACGTCAGCATTATTCCAGCACACAGCTCTGCCCTTCGAGCTATGGTGTTGAGCCCAGATGGCGAGATTCTCGCCACAGCAAGTGAAGCGGTAGGTTCTAATAATACCCTGCTGGGACCTCTACTAATGGAAATCAGGGTACCTTGATACGAGTATTCTCTACAAGCAACTGCGCCAAGATTGCCGAACTACGACGGGGGGTGGACCATGCCATGATATTCTCTCTTGCAATTTCGCCTTCTAGCACACTTTTAGCAGTCACATCAGATAAGTCCACTCTCCATGTCTTTGATCTTCCGCATCCACGAGCACTAGCACGACGAAGCCAATCTCCATCGTCGCCTTCTGAGGATGGAGTTAATCAGAAATGGGGGATATTGGGCAAAATTCCCTTGCTTCCTCGTGTATTTTCTGATATATATTCATTTGCGAATGCCCACTTTGAAATCGGCGAGGAATCTCCAAGCGGGGCGCCATATATCCCCCCGTTAGGATCATCTATTGGACAGCCGTCTAAAGGTGTCCTTGGTTGGATTAACGACCAAACAATCTTAGTCATTAGTGCTGGTCGAGAGGGTCGTTGGGAAAAATTTGTTATACGTGAAGGCGAAGGCGGGAAGCGCTTTTGTATAAGAGAAGGCTGGAAGCGATATCTGGGAGGTGGATGACCCGGTAGTGCTCCTGACTGACTTGATATTTGATATTCTCACGTGTCTTTGCACAGCGCTGACCATGGAACCCCATCTTTTCTCGGACCGTCGTATCGAACCGCACTGTGGTGAGAGCAACGTCTGACCGACTGACACAGACTTTGGGCCTCATCAAAGGCTTGTCGGGATGGCCTAAGATGCAACCGAAGCGACCCAACAGACTAGGCGCGACCGCAGTAGACTGACTGTTTGCGCAACCAACGATTTGTGGTATCTGTTGTGAATGAAACTTGTGTGAATCCGCTATCTAGTGGTGTGATTTCTTGAAATTTGTTGGGATAGCAAGACACACCCTTTCATGGGGATAATGAATCATTTTTTGACAAGTCTTCAAAAATTTGCGAGGTCATGTTCATTCTGTAATATTCATCTTCGATCGCGATAGCTCCGTTCTCGGCGACTGTTCTCATCCCGGCTTCTATGAGATCTTTCACGGGACCGAGATCTGTTGTCGCTTCGCTTGTGACGATGATGGTTATGCCTAGAAGAGCGTTCGCGATCATCATCTGGCCGGCGGTGTTTCTTTTGGCTCTTAGACCACAGTTCTAATGCTCGAGCAACTTCCTCCTTCTTTTCCTGAATTAAGTATTCCTTCATCGGATCCTCCTCATCGTGACCACGCATGAGCTCGGCAAGCTCTATTTCTTCCTTAAGCAAAGGTCTTTGCCTCTCCTCTGCATGACTAGATCCCCTCCTTCGGCGCCTCTTTTCTTTACTCTCAGTATCGGTGTCATCTTTAGGATCCCTGCCAGCCGGCCCCATCATTATAGCAACATTGTCTTCCTCGTCTTCGTCATCTCGCTTTTTGTAGCGTGTGTGGTCAACTCGCAGAACACGGCCCATTACTGTTGCGCCACCGAGATTGTCGACAGCAAGATCAGTGCTGCGCTGATCTTCATATTTGAGAAAGGCAAACCCTTTGCTCTTGCCAGTATCTTTGTCGCGCACTAGTTTCACGTTGACAGGCTCGCCGTATTGTGAGAAAATCGAGACAATATCACCTTCCGAAAGATCGAATGGAAGGCCCCCGATATATATGTAAGCCGTATCGCGGTAGTCAGCGTGCCATGAAGCTTCGGGTGGCCTGCAAAAGCACCGTTGTCAGTATGGGAAGTCTGCGTAAAAAATAAAAAAGAATCGGAAGAACTCACACTGCATTCTCAAGCTCGCGCTTGTTGAGCGCCTGAATTTGACGAATAGAATTCATGGATGCTTTATTGCAGGCCAAGGGCAAAGATCTCCTTCGAGGATTATTCAGTGTATAGAGCTTGAAAGCTTTTGACAGGGAAGGGCAAGGGTCAAGGCAGGCGCAGGGCTGGTGATTTCGCCTGCCAGTCACAAGCGCGCGTTATTGGCGGCCCACCAGTTATCCACCCGTTTGGAACCAACGGGTCTAATAAGTGCTGTCTGTTTACGGAGCAAACGCTTGCAACTACCTTGCTAGGCGACCTCTCCTAGTCACTCAGCTGCCATCTTCTGTTTGCTTTCCCATATTATTGTGGTTGTGGACGTATGACCATCGCGGATACTTGCGCGATTTTGACTCCTCAGAGTCCCTACGCCTTTGTTCACCTCCCCTGAACGCGGACCTCCATAATTTGCGGACTGCGCTTGGATTCGATATTCCGCCATTCGAACTGGACGCATTTCTCGATCTAGTATTCTGTAACGTTGTTCTCTTCTTTGGATATGGTCTGAACTGTTCTGAACATGGTTGGAATCGGGTCGCGAATGTCTACCGCAACCCAGAATTCTGGTGGCCCGGGAAGCCGGCCGTCCAGCAAGGATGGCAACAAAAAGAATATTTGGTCCTCGATGCTGGATAATGTTGCCAGTGGGAAGCGATTACCGGAGAAGAATATTGTGATTTTAGGTAACTCAGCTGGCGTTCGGTGTTGGTCTTCGCATGCCTGCGGCAAATGCTAAATACAGTACTCTATAGGAGGCACACCTGAAAGCCAAAGAGAATTTTTGGAAACACTTTCGTCAGACGCATCAGATCCTCAATTACCGAATGAAAGAAGAAGGGGCAAGGCGGTGCCTATTGCCAACGAATTTGCATTAGGCTACACATATCAGGATGTTCTCGACGCCGATCAAGAAGGTAAAGTTTTGGATGATCCTACAAAAGACGTTCGTGACTAGAGGTGCTAATACGCTTGAGCAGATATCCTTGCACGCCTCTCTATTTACCTGCTATCCGATCCCTCACCCACATTTGCACCTCTTCTACGCCCTCTTCTAACGCCGCAATCGATCCCAGAGACATTAGTCGTGGTGCTGCTTGACTGGTCTTCCCCGTGGACCTGGGTGCGGCAACTGCGTGAATGGATTCGCCTTCTACGGTCCGTACTGATTACATTGGACGACGAGACAAAAATTGTGATGGAAGAAATTATGAGCGAATGGAAAGATAAGAAAAGAGGGCTTGACCCTTCCACGGCACCAGGTGTGACGAATTCTGGAGGGCCAGTGACAATACCCTTAGGACCAGGAGAGTGGGATGAAGGTTTAGGAATCCCATTGTGTGTCGTTTGCCAAGGGGTGAGTTGAGATTTCCTGTTGAGTACACATCTAGCCTATTAATACGGTATCCAGGCCAACAAAATAGAACAGCTGGAAAAGGAGAACGGTTGGAGAGAGGAAGAATTTGATTTCATTCTTCAATTTATGAGGACTATTCTCCTTAAACGTGAGTTTCTTCCCAATTTTGAATATTGTGACACTTGTCGCTGATTGAACTAGACGGCGCTTCACTCATTTACACAACACCTTTCCTTGCAAATTCTTTACAGAGTTTGATTCATTCAACATTAAGTATACATTCACTTTTGAAAAGACAGTCGCTCAAGCACAATGTAATCGATCGTGACAAGATTCTTGTGCCTGCAAACTGGGACTCGTGGGGTAAGATTCGTATCATCCGAGAAGGGTTTGATATTGAGGGTGTCGGCGACGCTTGGTCTATTGAAGTCCAAGAGTCGTCGTGGTTAGGGAACAGCCCCGCTGGGGGTGAAGGAACTCAGCCTTCGGCGCTTGCAGCTGAAGACGGAACGAGTGCTGTAGTGATATACGAGCAAACGATTAAAGATCCAAAACAACATTCAGCAACCTCCGGCAGCAACCCACATACAGACCGAAACCAGATTGAGATTGAGACTCAAGATATGCAGAGCTTTTTGAGCCAACAAAATGAAGTATTGGAACAACTCAAAGTAGAGGATGAGAAGGATCGAGCGGCTATGAAGATTCCTAAGCAATTGGATATGTCTCCTGATCTCGAGGAGTCTGGACGTGTTAATGAACACATTGGGCCTGTGCAATTTAACATGGGTGGCATACAAGTCGATGCCGATGATATGCTCAGGAAGTTAAAGGTCAGTTTGTACAGCTCTTTCACCCTAATATCCGCTGACAACCATTTAGGAACGAGAGGCCAACCGTACTCCAAAGAAGGAGGCTGCCCCAGTTACAGCTGCAGATGAGAAAGCACACAACCAAGCACTCGCAAACTTCTTTGCTGGACTGGTCAAAAAGCCCGGTGGCAGCCCTCGCAGCAGCCCTGCCCCAGGGTCATCTAGTTAAGCCTTCAGGTTCGGCTCTCAAAAGTACTAAATTTGAATAATTATGCTTTGCTGGCTGGAGAAAAACCCCTTCAACTACAGACCCGTTTTATGCAAATCTCTCCGGAGTCCTGGATTTCTAAATTTGATGTTATTAAAAATTTTTTTGTAGCTATACTACCCTATACCATATGATACCCTTCTGATTAGTATCATTTATCAAAATTTCGTGTATACGTTTTGTTAGCGTGTTTTTTTTTTTGATCTTGATCACACCAGTTAACCAACCAGACACTATATTGAGAATAAATTACTGTCTGAACATAAGATAGTGAATGGACATCCTAGTTGTGCTCGATGTTGAGGTTCATGGTCTCTACTTAGGGCTAAATTGCCTATGTGGGCATTTCTCCCGGGTATGAACCAGCCGTGCGATCTCATGCCTCGGCAACTCACCAGAACTGACCATCCAGGTCACCGAACTGTCCCCAACATTGATCGATCTCGCTGTCGTGATTCTCGCAGGTGTTATCCCTGGTCAAATATTGGGCAACCTCAACTCAGGAATTCGTATTCGCGCAGCTTTGCCTAGAAATATGAATTATACCCCGCACTAAGGTGAATAGAATCGCTGAACTGAGTGACATAGATGATGCTCACCAACTAGCTTGCAGCCTCCCGGAACAATATTTGAACTCTCGAACATTCAAAGCAGCAGCCTTCGCAACTCGCTTCCTAACATAGACACAACTGTATAAGCAGTCAACTATTAACTAGCTGCTCTGAAACTAACAATGTCTTCCTCCACCACATCTAGTGCAGGCTTAGCAGCACATGCAGCATCCCAATCTGTCCCCTCTCCTCCTTTCATCCAAGTTGATGGTATCCCCAACTTCCGTGACATAGGCGGATACCCCATCACAGAGGCATCCTCAACTCGACGAAACTTCATTTTTCGTTCGGGTCTCCCTACGCGTGTTACAGCCAATGGCGTCAAGACCCTCACGCAGGATCTGAAGGTAGACACAATCTACGATCTCCGCTCAAACGCCGAGCTGCGAAAGGACCCAGCATCTGCATTGCTTACGTCAATGGAGGGGGTTAAGGTGTTGCATACGCCTGTTTTCCCGGAGAAAGACATTAGTCCGGCGCAGTTAGCGAACCGGTATGCGTGTTATATGTCCGACAAGGGCACAGAGGGATTTGTAGCTGCATATTCGGAGATCCTCCGCGATGGAACGGATGCGTACAAGACGATCTTTGAGCATGTGCGTGACCATCCAGACAAGCCGTTTCTTGTGCATTGCACGGGGGGGAAAGATCGGACGGGGGTCGTTATTGCGCTTTTGCTGCTTGTGGCAGGAGTGAAAAGTTGGGACGTTGTCGCAGAGGAGTATGCACTTACGGAGATAGCGTTTGATGCGAAGATTAGGGCTGTGTTTGTTGAGAAGGTGGTTGCGGATATGGGGGTGGATACAGATAGGGCTGGGGTATTGAGGATGATTTCGGCTCGAAAAGAGAATATGATTGCTACGTTGGAGTTTATCGAGGGGGAGTATGGTGGACCGGAGGAATATGTGAAGAAAGCGCTGGGATTTGAAGATCACGACATTGAAATTATTCGGAAGAACCTTACTGTTGAAGAGAAGGGTATATTCTAGAATGACCAACCAGAGATTGGATATAAATGTCAGATAAGTGATGTGAGCATTGAGCTATAATGGCAGTGGATATATAAACAATAGTATTTAGAAGTTTTCCCACACTTTGGCAGGAAGCACAGTTCTCATAATCTTCCAATGGCCAATGGCGCTCTGCGTATGGTATTTCTTGAGCAGTTCCGTCTTGCCGATTTGTAAGACTTGCTGATTTGTATCTGTGTCACCGGCGCCGAATATATTGGGGTTGATTTCATGTTGAGGATACATGTAGGCTTTCCTAGATTTACTACCTAAGTAGTCATTTGGTTGCGGGGCCCGAAAATTTAGAGGCTCTTTAGATGTTTTCTTGCAAAAGATGACCATGTTAGTAAACCCCAGAGGGTCGGAGTCAGACTTGTCCGATCCATTTTCGCGGAAAATGCGACACAGGGGGAAAACACTTCTTATTGTGCGAACAACTAAGCCTGCACTCGGCAGGGAGAGATCACCCGCGTAGTTCTTACCCTTCAGTTAGATATCTAGAGCAACTTGAATGGAGGCGAGAACTACTTACGATGGCCACAATGCCATTTTCCTTGAGAAGTGCGTACAATCCTTGCATGAATTCCAGTGTGAACAGATCTATTGGTTCTGTGCCACCGGTGAATACATCATGAACGATGTATTCGTATTGCTTCGATTGCAGTCGTGCATTTTCAACAAAAGTGACAGCATTGTCGATAACTGCAGTGTGGTTCTCCGGAAAGTGAAAATACTGCAATGCAAATTTGTATACAACTGGGTCAATTTCGACAATGGTGGTATTAACACCATGTTGAATCAGTGCTGCTGGCGTCGTGCCTATCCCTAGTCCACTGCATTATGTACCAGTCAGCAGATTGCCGCAGTTAAATTCGTTCAAAAATCCTCACATGACTAGAGCATTGCTATGCGAATCCTTATTCCTGGGGGAATCACTATCCGACTCAGCCAGCCTAACCGCCTCCAGCATGGTAAAAACGGCGTATATCGGGTCTGATGCCGTTGGATTGTAGCCTGTTGGTCGGCGAGTCCACTCTCCTCCTAGCAGGCTATGATCACACCTCATAGCTCGGAAGCCAACTTCCATATTATCCAAAACAGATATATAACCTGTCAAAGACTCCTGCCGGTCAACAAGACTGTAATTGCTCTCATGTAGTGTGGAATTTAGTCTCGTAGCTGTGCGTTCAAATGGCATGTGTACATTTACTGTTAGGGAAAGTAGCAAGGATGGTAGTGCAAGAAGCAACCATGTCAACTTGGGGGAAATAATCACAGTATAAAGAACCGCAAGAACAATCTGCAGTCCAAATGTGGTCAAGAACAGGGTTGAGCCAAGGTATAATGGTACCGTGGATTGCGTTGTGTCATGTGCAGACTTGAACAACACGGCTCCGACAATAGGAACCCAAAAGGATGATCCATAGCGCTGCAGCTTTAAAGAGCCAATAAAAGCGGATGCAATAGATCCAGAAAGGAGAAGCAACGGAGCGGTGGTGACAAGTTCAGTCAGCAACGGGCCAGACGGATTTCCAAGATGGGAACTGTATTGGAAAAGAACAGACTGAATGTTCGGTATAGAGAAAAGTAGCACCGGGAGCAGCTTCTCATCGTGATGGAACAATTGAGGGAAATGGGACTTCAGAATGAGCCCAGCCACGAGAGCGATGTTACATAGAACCTCATGATACACGTGGGCTGGTGTTGACCCATAAACCGGCGCCAGAGCAAGTTGCGATAGCACAGAAAAGGCCGCAGCAAGAAAAAGGAGCACTACGGCTCGTATGGGATTGCTCCAAGCACTGGCTAATTCTGTTCCTGTCTGCAAGGTTGTCTTCAGGCCAGCTGGAGATTTGGCGGGACTGCTTTTGGCCATCTTAAGGCGCCAGCGCGATGGTCAGGTCTATCTGTGCTGGTTGGCGGTGTCGAGTGTGCATGGATTGGGTTGGAGGATATCACGAACACACCTGCAGTGACTGTGGCCCCGAGTTGAACAGCACTTCCTACACGGAGAATTGATATTGTCGCCGCCAGCGTCTCACATTGAGCCCCGTAGTATGTAGTTGCGACACTGTTGACACTGGACGGTTCGCGGCTCTAGGCACCCCACTGCGCTAAGTCGATCGCCCGCCACGATAACTAACCATGTCACCATTAAAACAATCGTTTCTATGATTGTTTTCCTCCTTCCACCAAGCTGGTTTGCAGCTCCCATCATCGAGGCACGTCTCGAACGCCGATATGCCTTTGTTCCCATCCGACACTGGACTTTCCCAGAGCAAGTTGAAAGGCACAATGCCGGTACAGCCGTCGATGTCGACGTCGCCTGCGCTGAAACCGCCACCTTCTCTACAGGCCAAGAATCGTCGGAAACGGTACCTCGATCAGCATCCAGAGTATTTCTCTGCTGATCTCGAGATGGCTGGTCCGCGCGCCCTATTCTCATTACACCCCCCGCTGTTCGGATCGAGCAGCCATGAACTAACAGCAGCTACTTAGACCCCTTGCTCTACGATCGTCTGATCAGGCGCTTTCAGAGTCCTGCGGAGAGAGAGGCTGAGGGGCGCGCCAAAGGATTCTCAGGCATACTACAAGCCGATATTCTACGGTCCGAAGCGAAGATGGATGCTCTTGCCCATCCCGACCCAAACGCGATGCTCAGCTACAGACAGGGCCCTCATGGCGAGATAGTGGCAGAGGACAAGGAGGACATACCCTCCAACAAGGAAGAAGGGGAGAAGCGCTGGCGATGGGAAATGGAAATGCGCTTTCTCAAGGGGGCCGATTACGATTTTGCCTACGAGAATGTCGATGAAAATGATGAATATGACGACTGGAATGAGGCACAGGAACGGTACTTTGATGAGGAGGAACCCGAATGGATTCTTGACGAGAGTAAGGAGCAACGCAATGCGACAAATCAGTTGACAGGCGAGACTGGGATACAGGATTTTTGAAGGCTGCATGATACCCATTGTTGCATCGCTGGCTCGGAGTGGCGAAACTCCAAACACTTGCTGTGACAGACTGTAACCCAAAAGTCAAGTCCATCCTTGGCCTACATTCATAGTGAGGAGCAGCGAACCAGCGACTAACCCGGGTTTGTACGATCCCATCCTGCGAGCGGGGTCGTGGCGAACCTTGAACTACGAATTGCGGGGAAACGGTTGATACGAGGAGGTACAATAGGATGTCCCGGAAGAACCGCTTCACGTCATACTTACCTTGTCGAATATTCTGTTTGACTTCTCAGTTTCTTGACATCGCTCGACATTATTACAGAGTAGCAAACAAGCAAAGACGGGACTGGTAACATGTTGTTCGACAAAGCTCGGCAGTTTTCAGATGTAGAGGAAAGCGAGACAACTCGACGTGAGCAAGGCAAACCACTGTCATGTATTATATACTTTTTTGCCTCGCAGATGTCCTACAATCTGGAGTCTCCGGCGACGGGCTTGGATACGAAAACCGAAAATGGTCATTCAAGCGAGAAAGTCCATCGTCTGGACACTTTTCTAGCAGAAGTGCAGGAGCACGCCAATAACAGCCCTTACGTTACTCGTTTCGAGACCATTCCAGTCGAAATGACCCCCCCAGGACGTCCCAAAGGAACGTCGCGGCAAGAAATGCACGACACTTTGCTGCTGGCTAGCTTCAAAAATAAAACGGCCTGGCGCAGATGGATTGAAACTCCAGAATGGCAGCAATTCATGCAGAAAACGGAGAAGAATGCAGTCTTCCGACGCATTCCACATGTCCGGTGTGCTCACAGTCTTAAGGGCTTAAGGAATCCCTTTGAAGTGCTGATGGCTTGATGCCTCGGCTTTGCAAAGACCACATCTGACCGAGTCAGCGTAAGCAGAAACGACAGCAACCCTGTGGTCGTTTGACGAACAACCGACATCCTTCTCCGTGGTATCTCTGAAAATAACATTCTTGTACAAGCGAAAGCCGGGGATTGCCCAATTCCCTACCTTTTCTCGGGCTGCTCCGATTTATTCCTGGTAAACGAGTAAACCTGGTCACAGACAAGAGCGTATGGTTGCACAACACGTAGCGCACACAGCAAGCAGTGCCTCAATAAAAACTAAAGAGGATTCCGCCTCTCGGCTGGTCTTGGCTCTCCACGCCAAGGCCAAATTGACTTAAAGGGCTCAGGAAGGGAGGAATGCTGGGCGGAGCGTCTTGGCGGTTACGCACCACCGCCGAGAATGTCTGCTACCTACGGCTATTAGCTATTACCCAGTTGGTTCTGCGTGTGCTGGCTCCGCACGGTGTATGGCTGCCTCATTATTGGCCTTGGCAAGCCCGTTATTGGTATTATTGCACGTATTTGCCGGGCCGAGCGGACGATCGCCCGGGACCACTGGCCGGCCTCTGCTCGCACAGCAACCATGAGTTCCTATTTTGAGGCTATGCTGACCCGCGGGGGTTCGCCCCTGATCTGCAATGGATTGTACGATCAGCCTTGGCAAGCCACACGCTGCTGGCTTTGTCGTTCCATATCATACACCAATACGCTGACCGCAGCACCCAGTTTTCAGACCTCCAGGGTTATTGTGCACGGGTGTCCATTGCACCGATGTCCAGCCACACAACACGCAAGCTGACACAACTGTGCTGGGGAGCTTTCTTCGCTTTCTGCAATGCTACCCGCGGTCGTCTGATGAGAGCCACGTAAGCCTGTGTCAGAAGTCGCAACATCACGCTTCATTCGATGAGAGGAAGTAAGTAGATCGGGCAAGGTAGTAGCCAAGTACAACGTCCAGTATGAGAGTATAGGTTTACACCCAGCCTGCCTTGCTTCTTGTGAGAGAATCATTCTTCTCTAAAAAAAATTGTCTTGGCGTTCTTGGCGGTGGGCGCCTTTGCACAGCTCTTGATCAGCGCTGTTGCTCGACGGTCAACCATTCTTATGAGCTCCCTCCTGAGTGCTGGGCCTGTCAAAAAGGCGAAGAACAATCCCCAATACCCCACAGATGGCCTGTCAATCTCGGCCCGCAGTATATCATTACTACGGTGCCCGTTCTGCTTCTCCATTCATGTCAAGCATCTACCCTCCCTCGATTTCATTGTACTCTTTCTAACATTTTCGTCACCTGGCATGTAATCTAATTGTTTCTCATGTCAGTCTATATTAAATCACATAATCCTTTCTGACTCACATCCAATCGTTCCTTACAACCATCAACATGTTACATGGTCCTTTCATGAACATGACCACATCCCAGCCACTGGGTCTACAACATGACTCAAAAAGTGCCAATCCACTGGCGTTACACAATGAAATGAATGATACATCACCAGACGGTCCATCTGAAGTTTACCCGAAGTCAATTGCGTGCGGAGCAATCCACACTTCAAAGACCCTAGCTGTACCCTCGTGCCCGATCCTCAGCCTGGAGATCATTGACAGCCCTTTACCCAGACCTAAGAGACTCCGTCGGCGATATTACGCAAGTGCAGAGCCCTTGATGGTTCATACTTCATTCCCACAGCAGTCAAAGTCTCAAGAGTCATCACCCAATAATGATATTCGTCTAATGACAGCTTCTAAAACGCCTAATTCATCATCTCTTTCTAGAAAATCCACATCCTCGATACGGAGCTTCTTCCGCCGTGCCCAGCATCGACATGATACAGCAAGTACATTTAAAGGGCTAGGGTCAGGTCAGCAATCCCAAGAGTCTCAAGACATTCCACGATCGAACTCCGCAATCCTGTCTTGCTCTTCAGAGTGCGTACCACAAGCAGACATGGCTTGCAGCTACGGGAACTCGGCTTCTAGAAAAAAGGTCTCACACTTCCATTCACTCAGAGACAGAATTAAATTTGCCGCTCTCCCACGTCCGCAACCATTATCCAAGAAATTGATCCGGCCTCCATCAGTCGGCCATACTCTCCAGCATAGAGACACATCGGCTTTTGTCATACCTGCGAATGTGGGAGCTGGATCTGAATCTCGACGACTGAGCACTAATTTGCCGGACGAGTTTATTGTCGATTCCTGCGAACTTAGCCGTGAGTTCTGCAGTGGAAGTAGGATACCAGGAAAATGTGGGAAAGAGATTGGAAAGGGTGCAACGGCTACTGTGCGCATTTTTTTCAGGAAAGGTGGTTCAAAAGGTGTTCAATATGCTGTTAAGCAATTCCGAAAATGCGGCCGACATGAAGATAAAAGAGAATATGGACAAAAGATCAAGTCGGAGTTTAGCATTGCCAACAGCCTTCATCACCCCAATATTGTGAAAACCATTCGTCTTTGCAAGAGCCATGGACGATGGTATCATGTTATGGAGTATTGCGATCATGGGGAGTTGTACTCATTGATTCAAAGAGGTTATCTTGAAGAAGAGGATAATCTTTGTTTTTTCAAGCAACTGTTACGAGGTGTAGCATTCTTGCATCAGCATGGTATCGCACATCGCGATATCAAACCCGAAAATCTATTAGTCACATCTGAAGGGCATCTCAAGATCACCGATTTCGGTGTCTCGGAAGTATTTTCAGGTATCCATCCTGGGTTGCGAGCTGCCGGTGGGCAGTGTGGGAAGTCTATGGATGAGAACCGCAAATGCTCGTCAGGGGTTTGTGGCAGCTTACCTTATATCTCTCCGGAAGTCCTAACGGAAAATGGTACGTATTCGATACATCTAACCGAAGCTTTCTCTAACTTGAAACAGGTGACTACGATCCGCGTTCTCTCGATGTATGGTCGTGCGCGATTGTGTGCATAACGCTTTTCTTTCATGGTATCCCATGGCAAGCCGCGAAACCCGAAGATCCTGGCTATAGCAAATTCTTGGCGGGTTGGCATAAATTCTTGCTGAGGAATCCCCGTGGTAAAGTCACGAAGACAGAATATCCTTCGTGCGGTGAAGCTTTCGAAGCATTGCCGAGCAGCAGGTTGCGGCGAATCATTCTGAAAATGCTGCATCCGGATCCAGACATGCGCATTACAATCGATGAGGTCTTGAGACATCAGTGGATAAAGAACATCGAGTGTTGTAGCCCTGAAACTAGCCATGTGGCTAACCCGAATGCTCCGATGGATTCTTCTGATAGTGTTAGTACACAGGATGCTCGGAAGAAGGTGGCCAAGATCCATCATCATCTTCCACCACCTAGAACGTGAAAGTGGGCAAGGTCGTCGATTTTAAGCCTGAATCTTACTATATATATTTACTCTGCATTTGAGTTGTTAAATTGTACTTAAAGGGCCACCTTGACATTTAGGGGCCTGTTTTTATTTCACACATTGATTAAATTAGGTGTATTTCAAGCTTCTATAAATAAATTACATTGTGGATAGATTTCGTAGGTGCCATTAACATCGTGAAATGTATAATATTCAATGAGCTTCATAACTCGGGTCATTGATTCTTCAACAATTCAATAGCAGTCTCCTTAAGCTTGAACTTCTGGATTTTTCCACTGGCAGTTTTTGGGAAAGCATCGGAACTAGGGAAAAAGAAGATAAATTTTGGCACTGTCAAATATGACAAGTTAGCTCTTTCCCCTCTCTCTAATGACCATAATTGTGACAGCTTGAAGAGAAAAGCAAAGAAAAACATACCCAGATGATTGCTCAACTTCTCCCTCACCCAAGTCTTCAACTCTTCAGTGAGGACTTGCTTATCGATTCCCGGTTCCCCCGGAGTAAAAGTCGGAACTACAAAAGCACCAACGACTTCTCCGTATTTCTCGTCTGGAACGCCGACCACAGATGTTTCAGATACAGCTGGATGAGCTAGCAGACAGTTTTCAATTTCAAGAGGATGGATATTCTCTCCACCGCGGATGATTAGGTCTTTGATTCGACCTGTAATAGTGATATAGCCATCTTGGGATATGCTTGCCTCGTCACCGGTCTATTAACTAGTCAGTATAAAGCTGTTTTTCTGAGTTGGAGACTATTAGGTACAGGGATACGTACGTGCATCCAGATCTTGCCAGTTTCGTCCGCCAGCATGACTTCGGCTGTCTTTTCGGGAGCGTCCCAGTATTTTTTCATTAACAGGTAACCGCTCACGGCTAGTTCGCCTTTGGATTCTACTGGTAATATCTGACTATAATCTGAAGGGTCGACAATTTTTGCTTCAACATGGGGCATGAGTCGGCCAACAGTATTTATCCTTTTCTCTATAGGATCATCTGTCGTAGTCATTGCGGATACCGGACTTGTCTCGGTCATCCCATAACAGATAGTGAGCTCGGTGAGATTAAGTATCTTGTGTAGTTTTCGCATCAGTTCGGCGGGAATGCTGCTTCCGGCTGCAATACCAGTTCGCAAATACTGGAATCCATCATGTGGCACCTCGCCTTTCTCTAGCAGGCCTAACTCCTCGATAAACATTGTCGGTACACCATAGAGTGCCGTGCACTTCTCCTCACGTACGGCTTGAAGGGCGGCTAGACCGTTGAATGACTCGGAGGGAAATACTATGGCGGAGCCGTGTGTTGCCGTTGCCATGTAACCAAGTATACATCCAAAGCAGTGGAAAAGAGGGGGTGGGCAGCAGACAATATCTCTTTCGGTCAGTAGCATTCGATCCCCGATCTGGGCACCGTTGTTGAGAATTGATCGATGTGTGAGACACGCCGCTTTTGGCATGGACGTAGTCCCGGATGTGAATTGAATATTGACAACGTCGTCATGCGAGAGGTTTTGGGGTGGCAAAGGCTCCCCGTCGGCGGTTAGGTCTGATAATACGGATGAGAAGGGGGTAAGTGAGTTGTATGCAGTGGTGTCAACCCGGCCAGCAGAGTTGTCGACAATGACTATATGTTTGAGAGTCGGAACAATCTCCGAATATAAATGTGCTGCATGTAGATCTGGTGCAATATGTTTGATTAGAGGGGTGTTATCACGAGGTGCCCGCCTTGGTAAATTTGCTTCGGTGCTGATAATCAAATGGCTTGCGCCGAGATGACTTAATGCGGAAACAGCCTGGTTTGCATTGAAGGAAGGATTGAGGGGCACCAAAATGGCACCCAGTTTGAATAGAGCATATGTTGCCTAGAGCGAAAAGAACGATGAGTGTCAATGGCTAGGAGGACGACAAAACACACCCACAATCGCGTATTCGATGGAATTGCCCAACATGACGGCGACACGTTCGCCTTTTCCAACCCCAATGGATAATAACCCTCGAGCGAGTTGGTTGCTTTTCCGATCGAGCGCATCGTAAGTAAGTCGATTATTTTGGTGTCGGGAGACAACACTATCCAGAATAAGATTATAGTTCATTTTGGCAGTCTTGACTAAATATCCAATTGGGAAAGACATACGCTGTTCGATCACCGAATCGTCGTACGATCGATTCAAAATGCTCTGGAACAGTCTTCTCGATCAATGGCGGCTATTTTGTCCTGGTAATTAACACGTCCATTCGTTATACAGTAAAATGAGGGAACATTTTCGATCCGTACCGCATCGGGACCGCGGGAATAGCTCTGCGTCAATATACCACGAGAATATCGCGACGAAAGGTTATTCAGTCGCCATTTTCCATTTACGCATCTCCTGCGCAGGAGATGGGTTGGGGGTACACCGAGAAGGCGGTGCAGCTCCATGACCGAAGACGTACCTCGGCGGTCTGCGTCGAGAGATTGTGAATAATGGCCGCGCGATGGTGGATCTTTTTTGTGAGGTTCAATGCCTCACGACGGTTGTGGCTCAGTTCAGCAGCTGCATGAGTGCATGAACCAAGCAGGACGCGTAGGATGATGCTGAGAGTTGAGATGCAAAAGAACCAAGTTGTGCGGAGGCGTGCCGTCTTAAATGAGGGGAAACACCGCTGTGGGCGCTTGCTCCACTGTGCCTGCCTGAGGCCGCGGTAGAAGTGCCATCCACCTGGACTCTGATTAAGGTATCACCATTCACGTGCTCATTGAACTGCCTGTGGTATACAAGTACGCGGTGGTCTCCGTTCTACACCCTCATCACCAAACTGAATCAGCTTCTCTTGCGCATTTTCTTGCTTGTCGCTGCAGATTCTCCTGTTCCTCTCTGTGGGGGTTCCCCGCAAAGAGCCGTCTCCACCGGCTTGTTATGCTTAGGGAGGAGCATACACTAATCTCACGAGCTGCACATGTCAGGATCTACCGATGTTATCCGGGTGGCATTCCGTATAGATAACTGTGCAGATGAGCTATGGTGGTTCTATGTTATTGGCCATTCATCTATATTATCTAAAGGGACACAATCACCAAGATGCCAAACAAGAAACGAAATAGTATATCGATGTAGGAGGTAGGAAATGCTGGTTTACAATGGAACTGAAACTGGAACATCAATTGATAGTCTTGCGATAAAATTCACATTCTGCATTCAGATCCATTGAATAATCACCACACTTGATGCCAGTCAAACCCTAATTCTCAAGACCGTCTTCATGGATGTTGATAAAGCCTGTTTGCTCATATCCCTCGTCGGAAGATGGATTCTCAGGTCACCATAACACCCATTACTTTAGATGAAGAGGAAAATGCCTGCGCAGTTCTGATTCGAAATGCAGTTATACGTCCGACTAATGCTCCTCATCCGGGTTTGAAAATCTCAACCTCAAAATCGAGCGTGGATGGTTTGTCTTCTGTACTGGGGTAACTAGCAGCGGCAAGAGTACTCTTGCTAGAGCAATTCTGGGAGACCTTCAACCAGAAAGTGGTTCTATATCGACCTCATTCAAACAAATTGCTTTCTGTGACCAGTCTCCGTGGTTAGGAAATGGTATGATTCGAAATATCATTGCTGGCCCTCCAGGATCAGAGACCACGGACGAGAAATGGTACCAGACCGCTCTTTATGTCTGCGACCTTGAAACAGATATAAAACACTTGCCACAGGGAGATAATAACCTTGTTGGGAGGGAGGTATTTCTCTTTCGGGAGGTCAGAAACAAACGAGTTGTGTGTATTCCAGGTTTGTTCGTATGCTCTCGTTAGACCAATCAGCTGCCTTAACAATAGGCACCTGCTCGTGCTGTGTATTCTAGATTGGAAACTATCATTTTTAGATGATATTTTCAGTGCTCTTGATGCTCGAACTGAGCGTAATGTGGTACAACGATTCTGTATCTGGTTTCGATCTCGACGCCACCGATAAGTGACTCCCCTCGTTCTCAGGGTCAACATCAACTCTTCTCACTGGCATACGCGCTTCTCTTATGATCTTCGCGTGGCAAGGCGGTTCTTCTTGATGAAGCGACGAGTAGTGTTGACAAAGAGAAACAGATTGGCTTATTCAGAGGGCCATTCCTGAAGAATATCGAGATTACACCGTAATTGTGGTAGCACACCGACTGGAGACTATTATAAACACAGATTCGACTGTGGTGATTGATCAAGGACGGACTTCAGAAATGGGGACTTTCGAGGAGTTGAGCCAAAAGGAAAATGGAGCCTTTCGATCTCTTTTTGGCGATAGTCATGAATATTGATGTTATCTAGAGGATATTTCGTAACGAAACAATCCGAAAGAAGAACATGTGAATGGCTCAATGATTCTTGGTAAACTACTAGACAGAACCCGGGGAATGCGTAGCCTCTTCAGACTCTTCCCCTACCTGGCTGGAGAAGAGGACAAAATGATGAGTTTCGCCGACTAAGCGAAATATTTCTTTCACGGACTTTCTTTCCGGGGATCCTTCTTCAAATTGATCAAAGGCTGTTCGCAGTGGATGCATTACTCTCAGAACTAGCGTATTTGGACGGCAACGGAAAAAGTAAGGAACGCTGAGTACTATGTTGCAGGCAAGTGTATACCGTTCATTTTGCTTGGATAAATTTTCTGGGTATCGAACTTCGAGCAGCTTCAAACATGCTGTGCTATATAAGCAAAGGCTCACAGCAAGCATTGAGCTGGGATAAAAGATGGGATTTGGAGTGACAATTTTCGATTTTTTCGAGTCCCAACGGCGAAAAGCTGGTCGTGAGGGGATGGAATTCGCTTCTGGAACTTTAAATTGCGAACCATGGGGGTATGTGGCAGCGTAACAGTTTTTCCACTGGTTGAGTTGAGTTTGAATATAATCGGCCCGCGCCCACAGAGCTTCTTTCATAATATGGTCCTCAGAAGAGGACAAGCTTTTGGATGCCACAAGTGACTTGTATTCTTCAAATTGCTCCAAAAGTGCAGGAATTTCGAGTACCTCATCTAACAAGCTCTGGAGCGCGTCTTTCTTGTCCGGTTTCTCCCAGGGCAGGGTTTTCCATTCTTCTTGGGAGAGAAAGCTTGATCGTCGCGACCTCAAAAAATGAATGGCCTAGATGCATATAGCTTTAGTAATTGCTAAATTGCATTCTAAGATGAGATGGAGCCTACCCAATGATATCTCAGATCCACGAACAATTTATGTGCAATACCAGTTGTGTGTCGTAGTGGTCCTCTTCGCTCCAATATAGCAAGTGAGGCAGTCCAATGTTGACTCATGGAGCTTTCTCCACGAGGTCGGTATAACTATACATTGATCAGAAAGTTCATAAACAAAATGAAATAGTTTTCACTGACTTCGAGCATAGCTAGAACCACAACGATGATCAAAAGCTCAATTCTCGTATCGGTGTTGGAATCATTGAGCTCGGAGTGAACCCATCTTAGGACCTTTATATACACTTGTTGTCCGATATCTGCCATCTCCGGGTTTTTCGTTGTCTCACCAAAATATAATTTGGCAATGGCTTTCAGTGTATCATACAAAATGGGAGTTGATGTCGCCATCTCAAGGGTCTCTTGCATCCATGCTGAGCAGTCATCCCCGTCTGCACACCATAAGTTCACAAATTCAGTGATTTCCGCTAAGTCCTTTTCACTGCTAGTAGAATTGGGCTGTTCATTATCAATTGGATCGTACACCGCAGGGCCGGTTGTTTTTTGTCTTTGGATTATTGAGTCAGAGCGAGAGTTTAGTGCTGCAGAGCTTATTTCAGAGTTCGGTAAGCTACTTAGGCTCGTCAAAACTTTCTGAAGACCTGGGTTGGGTCCCAGCTGTAACTCAAACATACTACACCAAGCGGCGTTCTTATTAATTGCTGAAGTTCGATCTGATTGGCAACGTTCTTTCAAGGCTACAAAGGCTGTATATGCAGAGAATGAAGTTATCAATGATGCTCTTTGAAATGAGAAAGTTTCTCTATACTTTGTGAGTACTCGACAGATTTCCAGAGCATTTTCATTGCATATATTTTCGAGTAAGATACGGCTTTCATCGCTTAGCAAAGCTCTGAGACTTTCCTGTTCTAGGAACGGCCTTTGTAACAGGATTTTCAAGGTATGATAGCTTGCTCTGAGTATGGCGTTAGGTATTTGATGAGAAAAAAGGGGTTTCCTACTTACAAGAGATCAAGATGATGAGGTGAAAAATCTCGACTTTGAACACAATCTATTTGAAGGTCAGAAGGTAGTCCTAGTCTCCATGACTCGAGTCGGCTTTCAAGAGCTTCTCTTGATACCCAACGAGATGCATATTCATTGGCCGTGAAATCTTTGTCGATGAAAAAAGTTTGTAGAAAATCGGAAAATATTTGGTACAAGTGAATCTGAGCGGTAAATATAGAGACAGCACGGGTGGGTAAGGGGTTAAATGTTCGAATGGAGAGGTGGGACGGGTAGTGGCTGGCAACATAGGGCACCCACTCTTCGAGCTCTTCAAAAGAGTCTAAAAGCTCGACTGAAGGAGGTATTGGTATTGGACTAGTCCGCAAAGGCCCGATGTATAAACGAATCAAGGTATCGAGGGCAAACACGCCAAAGCGCAGACGATTTAGCATCTCCATTTCAATTTCAGCGGACAATTTCTCAAAGTTGGGAGAAATTTCTTTGGTATCCACACGCAATTGATATTCTAATTCTACAAACATACGGCGGGCCTTGCCATAAAGTTCCATACATTCGTGTGTGAGCCCCTGAGAAAGCAGCGATGTGGCGCAAATAACCAAACCCATGGCAGTTGCAAAACTTGGTTGATCTGGATGCAGGCGAAGGTGCTCGCAAAATTTAGAATAATAGCTCGATCCGTCAGATTTCGGGTGACGTGAATCATAGAGAAACGACTCGCTCTCACTGATTACCGAGCTTGAATAATAAATACCGTTCAGAAGTATCTTATTAACATAAGGGCCCCCGTTGATCAGGCTGTCGGTGAATGCAGGCCTGTAAGTGACAAGGCGAGGTAGATCAATTCTATTCCAGTGCAAACGCAATAGATGCAAAGCCGAATCCGAATCGTTATCGAAATCAATATCGAGCAACGGTCCTCCAGGTTGGAGTATCATCGATTCCTGTTGTCGCCTCAAGGCCGCGTTGGAAACCAGACGTGCCTTTCTAATTTCAGTTGCAGATGAATCTAGTGGCATTGCCAACATAGAGCTGGAGGAATATACATTGCGAAAATAATCCAGAATACACCTCTTGGTTTGCGTAGAGTGCCCTTCTGTGCTGTTATGCGCTTGACCGCCGTTTTCGTGATGTTCATTCGCTGCTGGATGAACAGTCCCATATTCCTTAGTTGGTAAGACATCAAGATCTGCAGGACAAGCGTTGGTCGAATTGCCGTCTCCGACCACCAATAAAGCATCATCGAGATACGATGTTGCCGGAGACCCCGAGTTTAGTGGGCTGGAAAGGAACGGAGGACGCGGAAAATCAACTCTAGATTCATATTCCGCCTCTCCAGGTGCTGAAATCAGGTCTGAGGTGCGTGCCGACAGTTCGGATATGCGAGCTCTCCGTCGGCGGCGCATTCCATGCCTGAACCTAGAATCTCGACCGTATACGCAATTCTGCTGGCGCCTCACGCAGGCGCCGCACCGAGGGTGGACACCATCACACCTCACCTGATAAAATCAGAGACTATCAAAGTATAATAGGATGACCGGTTAATGCTGTTACCTTTCGAGAGCGACAGTGGTCACATGATTTGGCTTCCGGCATCTCGACTCGGAATTACGATAAGTCTAGTTCACCAAGAAACAGTGGCCCAGCAGCCTTCTGGTTGGAAGAAACCAACTAATTCGGTGATGCTACATCTCCGCAGCGTCGGGAATGACCGAGATGACCGGAGAAGGATCATCATTTCTCCGCATCCGTTAAGATAAGGGGCTAGACGAGTTATTGCACACATCTTGTTGCTCTCAACAAGAAAATCTGAGCTCTGGCTTATCTGTCATTTGCAAACTCAATAATATACGAGATGTGTGACTACCGAAGTTCGGGGTAGAAGAAATTTAATCCTCCCAAGCTGCTTTCTCTTAGCCGCTTTGAACGAGTTTCTCCGATTTGAATATCACCGAACACAACGTGAAGGTGATTGTTTTCAAAAATCGTAATTCTCAAGTTGCATGTCGCCCCATGTACGAAATTGGCTATCCTTTTGGGGTTTCAAACTACTTGGAATAGGAATTATATGTTGATGATGGGCGATATGTATATATGGCTCTCCGCTGAGAATGGAGAACTAGTGCACTTTAAAGCTACTGTTATTGCGCGATAAAAAATTTTTTTCTGCAACGGTATTATTTAAATCATTTCTGAAGTGCTAGTTTAATGTGCTTCAATTTTTGTGATACATTCATGGCAACTTTGGCAACTCCTTGCGACACCAACATACCGACCATTTCATCCCAGGCACCAGTAATGCGTTTTCTCTCTGAACTCCAGATTCCATCATTTTTCGCAGCCTCTAATTTTAGTTGCTCCCCTCTTGCCGCTTTATATAGCACCTCCCTGCTAGGGAAGCTTAAGTTGACAACCATTCGGTCTCCTATCTGCATGTCGATACCCCCCCCAAACAGAGCTTCAACGATGAAGCAGCTTTGTCCCCACCGTGTCCGCCGTAACTAATAATCATAGCTGGTTTTCCTTTCCACTCATTATATAAAAAGTCAATGGCATTCTTAAGCCCTGCCGGAATTCCCCAGTTATATTGTGGGGTTACAAAGACGAAGGCATCCAGAGCTGCCACCCTTCTTGACCAGGTACGTGTATGCTCATGAGCATACTCCTCGGGTGATGTTATCTTCGACGGAATACCTGGCTCATCGTAAAAGGGCAAGGACAAAGTCTCGATGTCAATATAGTCAAAATCGAAAGTGGCGGTGTTGTTGATAGAGGATGAGTGGAGTTTGATAATTTCATGGACAAAATCCGTGATTTGATCGCCGACACGAGGTTTTCGCTGGCTTCCGCAGATAATACCGATGCGAAACGACTTGGATGGAGCGGGTGGTGAGGCAGTCATTATGGCTTCGTGGCGCTCGTTTAATTGAGGCAGAAAGTAAAAGGACAAACTATACGGCCTTGCCTGGTTAAAGGAATACTGGGTCGGGGGGGAATGAATATGATGGTTCTAATGGAGTTACTCCAAGTATAAATACTGAGGCATACATATGTGCATATTTATGCTCAAGGCAACAATGAAAATTCGAGGTTATCGCTCATCGGTCAGCTTTCAATGGTCAGTAGTAAGCTTCTCGGTGATGCGTCGTCACATATCCGAGGTACCAATTGATTTCTAGTGGATGCCTTGGCCATCATTTAACAAGCGAATATTATCTTAAGAAAAATCCACCAATAGGTGCATATATATACAAAAGAAGCATTGAATTAATATCACCAATACATGCATGTATAAACAGCTTTGATGACTGAAATATCTGACTTGGGTTTCTCAAACAGACTGGTGCACATATGTTCATCGAATGCCGTCAGGGGATCGCATCTCCGAACATTGATTATTCCTCGTAATGTTGACTAGTTAATTGTTCGATCTAAATCACCCAGTGATAATATTTATAAGATAAGATTATATATTATTCAAGGGACTACATTCGTTTATTTAGATTAAGCATATTTTTTCTGGGCGATCTGTGATGGGCTAGAACCTGGCTGTCGTAACCCTAAGACTACCAGCGATGTGTTACTTTTGAAAAGGTTTGAATGAATAATATGTGCAACATTCGACCAATGGCTATTAGAAAATATAGAGATGGCGTATATTAGGCACCAGCAGTTTTAATTATAAGTAGAACCAGAAATCAAACGTCGTCATAGGTTACCATAAGACATGCACGGCGATCAACTGCATCCCCGACCCTATTTTTGCATCTCCGAAGCACCCAAGCGGGGCGGAGGCAAGCTTTCAAAGTTATATTACGTTCACCACCCACACTCGTTATGTTAGTTTTCAAATACAACTATTACACATCAATGGGTTCTTTACCAAAAATCGCCATCATCGGTGGTGGACCTGCAGGCCTTACCCTCGCAAACATCTTACAGAAGAACAATATTCCCTTTTCACTGTTCGAACGTGACGCTTCCCCCAACGAGCGAAACCAAGGGGGTACTTTAGATTTACATCCAAAGGCAGGACAAGCAGCACTTCGTAAAGCCGGGCTATGGGATGAGTTCATCCAGCATGCACGGCCAGAGAGCGATGTTCTCAAAGTGGTCAAGCCGGATGGTGAGGTGCTCTGGGACGGAAATGCTGGGCAAACTCCAGCAAGGCAAGATGACAACAACAAAAACACCGACAAATTCCAGCGACCGGAGATAGACCGCCAAAAATTGAAAGATGTGCTGCTACGGCATCTCGATGAAAGGAACTTGTATTATGACAAAACGCTCGATAGCGCTGTTCCCAATGGACAAGCCGATAGCTGGAATTTGCATTTTCGTGACGGATCGATAGAGAAGGAGTTTGATCTGATTGTGGGTGCTGAGGGAGCTTGGTCTCGTACGCGCAAGCTTCTTACAGAGATCCAGCCGTTCTACTCTGGAATAAGTGCAATTGAACTGTGGGCGCTGGATGTCAACGAAAAACATTCATGGATGGTGGAATATGTCGGTCAAGGTAGCCTATTTTCCTTTGGGGAAGGCAGAACAATTCAGATTCAAAGGATTGGAGATGGCAGCATCCGAACTTATGCATGCCTCAGAAAGCCGGAGGGGTTTATAAAAGACTGTGGCATTGATTGGACACAGCCCGACGCTGCTTGCAGGGAATTAGTTGAGCGGTACTACGACGACTGTGGAGCTGACTTGAAGCGAATGATCCTGAATAGCACCGATAACCTGATCCCTCGTCCACTCTACATGCTTCCAGTTGGGATTAAATGGAACCCTCGACCTGGAGTGACACTTCTCGGAGATGCCGCCCACTTGATGACCCCTTTTGCTGGAGTCGGTGTAAACGCAGCAATGCTTGACGCACTGGAACTCGGAAATTCCCTTGTAGATCTGAAAATGGGAAAAATCCAAACATTGAGCCAGGCAATTGAGAAGTATGAGCACGGCCTATTTCCTCGAGGACAAGCCTTTGCTCAGAAAACAATAAATAACCTGAAAGTTCATTTTAGTGCGGATGGGTGTAATCACCTAGTACGGCGGCTAAGACTTTTGCACGGATACCGGGCCATTTCAAATGTAATTAGTCGATGGATTCCTAGTTTTTGACTTTAAATCGTTCCCTAAGACCAACATCGATTGATGTAATACATCCCTAGCATTCTATCTAGTTACGTCTTAAGTATTTAAGTTGGAAACCTATTTGTTTTTCATATAATTGTTCTAATCGTACAGAAAGATGTGGGTTATTGGCTCTATGAAATCTACATATGGCTTGTTCGCCGGGTTTCCACTCTAAAGCGATGATAGTAATCAATCTGATTCCGGGCCAACATATGAATATACAAACCGACCCAGTTTGTAATTCTTTTTGTCAGATACCACTGTGCGACGGACATAGCGACGTTCGTTGTTGATTGTTTCAAACCCCCAGACCTTTGATAGTGTTCTCAGTATGTATGCAAATATAAATCAAGTGGAACCCAATTTCATACCTGTTCAGCAAGCCATTTGCCTTCATTATTCTTCACTATCACGTGGGCCCATACACCCTCTTGTCCTACTGCTTTTCCGTGCTCTGTTTGGGCCCCTTCAACAAGATAACCCTCTGATAACTTCAGGTCGTCGGTAATTTCCCCCCTCAGGAATTTCGCGACTTCCGGGTCTTTGATTTGTGTTTGTATGTCAATGGTTGGTCTTATCTTTCCATCTGAAGAAGCAGAGCCCCCTATTAATTTGGAGGTGGTGAGGGTTTTCCCGAAGATATGATCCTCATGCGAGGTCTCAGTACCATCAAAGAGCCGATTCTCGGTTGTGCTACCAAGGCCAGTGCCAGTTGATTGACCGATGGTGAGTTGCAGTACTTCATTGTCGCCCTGAGGGTTTTTGCCAACAAATTGCTTCAATTTAATGGTGACGGTCGCTAATTTTATACCTTTTCGAACAATCCAGCCTATTCCTTGCTACAACTAGGGTTAGCTGTCATACGTCCTAAACAGATTTTCTCATGGTATGTTCTCATGAAGAGAAAGAATGATAGAGAATACTTACCAATGAAAGTAAAGGATCAGCGTCGGCCGAAAGTTTTGAGTCCTGTTTTGAGGAGCCGTAAGTTTATACCCGGGTGGTGCTGGCTCTCCAGGAACGCTTACGAGGGTCCATGTACCCGTCAAGTTCTCGATAGTCACGCTCTCCGGGGCTGCCATTTTTATCAACAGAACGAAAGAATTGGTTTCAAGATTTTGATATTATTTGAAGATAGATAGGAGTTATCATCACAGCAATGCCAGCTAGTTTATGTAGTGACGCCGCTGCATGTGCTATGGGTCGGCGGAGATGCCGAGGGCTTCCAATATTATGTCCAGCATGTGATGCACGTAATCATAGAAAGGAATGCTAACGCAATTCCAATTAACTCCGCCGTACCAACCCCGGAATCGCTTTCGTTTTGGGGTTGATAGCCCGAGAATTTCTGAGCAGGATCAAATAACCCAATGAACCCCACTTCCCGCACGGTGATTCCATGCTGCATACGCTCGGATTTGCATGTGACAATGACCTAATAACACAAGACATAAGATAATCGAGGTGATAATGATACTTCTATAGCATGATTAAATAAACTTGAACAAAATCGGACATGGAACGAATGTCATGCATTCTGCCTTAAGCTCCTGAGATAACAACTTCTGGTGATAAGTGTTCGAGGAAGCGAATTTAGACAAGTTTTGGTGATAAATGGCATGGAAATGGTAATCCCACGGTTCATGACACTCTTATTCCAGGATGTTGGTAAATTTATTATCAATTCGATGCATATGGTTACTGCTGCTATTTCAGCTATAATGAATTATTTGACAAATTTACGGATTTCCACTACTAGATGTTGCAAAATGCCCGGCCAACACCAAATTTAGGGTTAGGGTTAGGGTTAGGCAATTGAATTTAATGCTCAATTTCAACGCAGACCTTCCCTTGATGCTTCCCAGACGCCAAGTACTCATAAGCTTCTTTGACCTGGCTTAATTTGAAGACTCTGGGATCAACAACAGGATGGAGTCTGTCAGGGTTCGCCTCGATAGCCCGACACATATCCTCCATCTGGAGACGACTACCAACCCACAAACCCCTGGCAGTGAATAGATTAATCCATGTATCCAACAAACTCGGCATTGTCTCCTTGCTCTCACCACCAACAAATCCAACAACACTTATAGTCCCGTCAAGCTTAACGCTAGCCGCACTCTGTTTCAGCGTCGTCGGCCCTGCAACTTCAACGACTAGGTCAACACCAACGCCGCCAGGCGTTAACTGTTTCACGCGGGAGCCCCAGTCTGGAGTCTCTCGATAGTTTATAACATGATCAGCACCGAGTCTTTGCAGAAACAGGGCCTTCTCGTTTGAGCTAGTCGTGGCAATTACCCTAGCACCGACGGCTTTGGCAAACTGCAGGGCGAAGATACTGACTCCACCAGTACCTTGAGTCAGAACATATTGGCCAGCCGTCACGGCTTTACCACTTAATCCGAAAAGCGCGTTCCATGCGGTAAGGCCAGCACATGGAAGCGTTGCTGCTTCGATGTAGGTCAGACACTCGGGCACGGGTACAAGTCCTTGCTCATCGAAAGCGCCTATTGTGCGTAGAGTCCCGTCAACTGAGCCACCGAGTCCATGTTTGTTTGATTGGTTAGTCACAGGCCCGGCTATATGAAGTTGATTTAGCATTGTGACGACCTTGTCGCCGGGCTGGAAACGAGTCACATTTTTTCCGACGGCCAGGACGATTCCAGCACCATCGGAGCCTGGAACCACGCCGGGCTTGACCGGCCAGGGGTATTTTCCCTGGGGAATGATGAGGTCACGATACTAAAATTAGTGTTAGTCCGTAGGGCAAAGTATAGCTGGACAAGGAAGCGTACATTGAGAGAGACTGCGTGAACTGCAAAGTAGGTTACTACATGACGAACGTAGTGGATTATATCAAAGGTTTTGGTGACTCACTTTTAACCAGAACTTGGGTGTCGCCGAGATCCGGTATGGGACCCTCGGTGTATTTCAAGGAGTCAAGGCCATTCTGTCCATCGACAATCCACTGCTTGGTGATTTTTGGAATTGACTGCGTTGTGGTGAAATGGGTCATCTTCGGTAACGGATTGTCGACAATTGCATTGAATATATCAGATAAACGACAAATACTTTTAAGATTATGGATTGGTATAGCATTTGATTAGACCATTTGAAACATGAATGTTCGTTCTTCAGGGCTATATGACTTTAAAAATCGGAAGTGATTGGTAAGCGGATATAACGTGGTTAAGTTAAGTTAGTCAATATGCAGTGACAGGCTTACAAATTTGCTAGAAATAAAGTCAATGTGTCTATCGGTATTCTTGGTTCTTCAACTTTCGATGCTGATACCGTTTGCGGATATATCCGTCAATACAACAAATACGCTAGGCTGATTCCGCGATTCCATTTCGGGGACATTTGGTAAGTAATTTGCCTGCGTATCTCGGTTTTCGCCGCGATACGAAAATATCACTCGCTCATTGCCTAGCAGTTAAACTGTGTCAATATAGTAAAGTTAAATCTAACATGGAAAAGCTGCCACGGACATTAGACATCACGGTGTCGGTCTTGATGTACCCCAGGTTGAAACGGCTTTAACCGTGCGGTGATACCCCAGATAAAGATAAACTCTGTTTTCGATAACAATGTGCACGAGCCTTCGCGTCTGTGGAGTGGTACCAATATTCGGAATGGGTATCAGTTCTATTTTCATGATTACCCCCAAGAACATGTGGGCTACGGTTTCCATACATCTTCTCTAAATCCAAGGCAAAAACTTTGTTATCAAGATGATGGTGTATAGGTTTTGCATGTATATTACAGTAGTTTCTCCCGGCTAGCTTTAGGTATTTATACAGTATGTCTCAAATGCTATAAACGGACTTTGCTTTCTCAAATTTATTCTTCTCTTAAACTCATTCATTTTTGAAATAATATCAAAACTCAATAATACATTGGTCGGAAGATGGCTATCAAGATTCCAGGCCTCCCCCTTGTCCGTCTACATTCGCCATATTGGCAAAAGTGAGTACTGACGCCTTTTCTCACGCAAAGGGGGTGTTTTTGCTCACTGCTTATAAGTGTCATAATGGGATTGATCGTTGCTATGACTGCTGGTCTGTATGAAGCCTTGAACTTACTAGGAGCTGGCGGGGGTCGTCCCAATTCAGCACAGACAGTGCAGGTAGTGAATGCCACACTGTGTGCGGTATGGGTACTTTCGTCCACTTTCAGCGGAAGTTTACTGAATACAATCGGGCCTGCTTTGACGGCGTGTCTTGGTGTTGTGGGATACATGATATACATCGGAAGTCTTTGGTACTTTGATAAAACCGGACATGAAGGGTTCCCAATCTTTGCTGCCGTTGCTATTGGAGTGAGTTAAACAGTCTATTACTGGAGTTGAATTCACTGATGTATTAATGAAACCAACAACAGATCTCCGCTGGTTGTCTATTTTGCACGATGGGTTATATATCCATGTCTTACTCTGAAGAACGAGAACGAGGGTCATTCATCGCATTGTCGTTCAACCTGCAAGCTTTCGGCGCAGCTGTAGGGGGTATCATACCACTACTGATCAATCGGAAATCTAGCAAAGCTGCCGGCGTCCCGGAAGTTGTATATATTGTCTTCATCGTGATACAAGGGTTCGCCTGTCTTTTTGCTTTCGCGCTGCGACCCCCTTCGAAAATTACTCGAGAAGATGGTACTCAACTAGCAAATATCAAATCTCGTGGCTTCGTAGAGGAGCTGAAGTCAACTCTCGAGATATTCAGGGACTGGAAATTACTTATAATGATTCCTGCTTTCCTCCCTTCTGAATGCTTTCTGGTGTACGCTGGTTCCGTAAACGCCTTTCACAACAGCCTGAGAGCGAGATCTCTCTTGTCATTCATTGCTGTTGTGGTACAAATTCCCGCTGGCATCGGATTACAGAAAATACTGGACCACGACAAATGGTCGCGCCGTACAAGAGCTATAGTCGGCCTGGTTGTTATTGGTGTACCCTTGATAGCCGCCTGGACTTGGGAAGTTGTTCGAACTCGCCACTATAATCGCTCTCAACCACCAACGAATCCAACCGACTGGAATGAGGATGCCTTCATCCCCATTTTTTTCCTTTTTGTCTTGAACTGGGTGTCCAGTGTACTATGGCCCTACCTCATTCTCTATTTCCTCGGCTGTCTGACAAACTCCCCTCGCAAGTCAGCAAACTACGCAGTAAGTACACAAGCAGAATCTGATTTAAAATTTCTGCTACTAACTATGGTCTTAAAAGGGAATTTTTCGAGCTATGCAAGGAGCCGGCGAAGCTATATGCTTTGGTGTTGACTCAATAGAAGTCCCTTATATCAAGGAAGCTGGCGTCCTTCTCGCATTTTATACTGCAGGTGTGATAATATTCGGTTATCTTGCCGTGTTCCATATATCTGAGACGCAGTATTTTGCCGGAGAAGAAGGTGTAGTTTTACCAAAGCGGGTCCTGGATGGACATGAGATCGATGAGGACAGGCACGTCGACCCCGATTCGAAAGTTGCTACGGAGGGTAAATCTGGATCTACTCCGTGAGGACGAGTATTGTATTGCCAATATCGATTGCCCTGTTTGCATCCGTGGGCGCAATCCCCGCAATATCTGTGTTGATTTGAATTTATGTCTATAGCATGAGTGCATGCAATATTGCTCGCAATTTAAGTACAATGTTGGGATTTTGTAGTGGCTGCCAATGGCTTTGTTTCACTATCTAGATTTTTAGGGCCACTTTCTAGATTATGCACCATGTCTCTTCCTGGATGTCCACTATTTAAATGACAAGCTTCAAAAACGAATATGATGTGTTAATGTCCATATAAAGTGAGCCTACGATTAACATATCAAAAGTTACACCATGATGAATAGATCTGACGAGGCTGACTTTATATTTATCGCTATGAGCCTTCAGTGTCACTGACTAATAGCGATCCGATTCAAAAAACGAATAGTTCTTTATAAAAAATATTTTTCCTGTTCCGCCCCACAAGATTTAAATTTATATTAGCACTAAATCTTAGTCCGAGTAATTATTAGAGAATTGTTTAGATTGAAAAAATTAGTCATAGAGTTGATTTATAAGACGACTCACGGAAATGTGCGTATCTATCTTGTTACCTTCGGCCAAACCCGCCCATAAACAGCCATTCGATGTCTGTTTGTGAGAAAAAATGTTACCACATACTGCAATTTATAGGAAATATGAGCCACGGATATAATTCTATTATTTTCTTGATGTGTAGTGCGTGAAGGGATACTCTAGGACTCTCATATTGCGTTTCACAACGGCGAACATGGCTACAACGATTGATTCCAAAATCACCTATGATCACCCTTCAGTGAAGACAGTCCACTGCGGTGGGAATCCATACCAGATCGGTTTTATTCATGGCCAGGCTGTCTCGACAGGTATTCATCACAATATCCGGACATACACCTCGTTCTTTGCTGAAACAGTCCAAATCACATGGGGCCAAGCACGAGAACGAGCCGTAGCAGAATTTACGGACACACTTCAGGAGAAATATCCCGAGATTCTCGAAGAGATGAAAGGCATTGCAGATGGAGCCGGCGCTGGTCTCACGGCTGCGGATATTCTAACGCTGAATGTCCGGAGTGAGATTGCTCTGACAAATTACGCCGACGGTTGTACATCTATTAGCCAGAAGGCGGAAGATGGACGGGTGTTCGTCGCACAAAACTGGGACTGGCTGGAGGAGCTCCAGCAAGGCCTTGTCTTTCTCCACATCAAGCCTGAAGGTTCGGCGGTAGAAATGAAGTTTCTCTCTGAGGCAGGCATCGTGGGCAAGATTGGGATGAATAACGCAGGATTTGGATTGTGCTCAAACGCGCTGCGATCTGGAGCGTACAACCAGAATAGTTTCCCTATCCATGTTATGTCACGTCGCTTGCTTCAATATGCCACCAGTGTCAGCAGTGCACTCTCGATCATTGACGAATTCGGCACAGCAAGTACTTCGAATTACATGCTAGCAGATAAAAGTGGGAGTCACCTTGACATTGAATGTTCGCCTTATGGAAACGTTGTCATTCTTCCTCGCGACAACAGTGTTGCTCATACCAACCATCTTTACGGGCCAAACCGTCCGGCGAGACTGGTTGATCATCCAGCTCCAAATTCGATGACACGGCTGGCGAGAATTCAGGAGCTTATCAAAAAGGACTTAGAAAATAGTGTGCCCACAACGTTTGAGTCTATAAGGACAAGATTTGCAGACCAGGAAGGGTTCCCATACTCTATTTGTAGATCCCGGCCAGCTGGAGCTATTGGAATGGAGAGAATGATCACATTGAGCACTATAATGATGGATATGACAAGCTGTACTGGTAGAGTGCTAATCGGCAAGCCCTGCGATGAATTGCCGATTGTAGAGTGGTCGTTCTGAATGGTCTTGTGTCTGGATACTGTCAAGATACTGTCTCGTTCGATATCAGCGAGCAGTTACGTTAGTGATTCTCTTAACGAACTCGGTCACTTAGGGACCCACTAGTACTTCTCACTACTCTACGTATCAAAATATGAGTTGAATACTTCATCTAGACATCATGCCATCCTCTTTCACCCAGGCTTTCCCAAAGAGAGTTCGCCAGGAGTGGTTTTGATATGCACTGCCCCTGTAACTTCAATTACTCACAGTTTGACGATAAGAAATTCTCGAATAAGTCAGGCATATGGAAATACGAAACCAGCTGGCCCTTGCTGCTGAGCAGTACATACTGACTAAGTTGGCATCAGTAGAACACCAAAGAACTTTACCTATCGTGAATATTTTCTATAATCCGATTCCCTTGTTCCAGGTTGCTGCCAAGTGAGCAACCCTGGTCAGTCTTTCTTACCCCATATCGAACCCCACCCACTGGGCAAGTTATTAAGCTCGGAGTTGGTCGAAGCGACCGCAAAGTGCAGGAAATTAACAGGAAGCGCTAGGCAATCTCCGTTATCTAGTCCACGCCCACTTACGTAGGGTTAATTGGAAGAGGCAACAATTAGTAACCCCCGCTAGTGTTATCAAATGGTGATATATATACCAACAAACAAATCATGTTTTGAGACACTCAGCTTTAACCTATTTTTTTTTTGGGTCATACCACTACCGTAATTCAAAACGAAACATGGCGGCACCATACACTATTCACACGTCAACACTCTTTGATCCTAAACAGAAGGCGTTTATATCCGACATCTCTATCACTGTTGACCCCATCTCGGGTCTAATTGTCGATGTTATACAGAGAACACCGGGCTCGGTTGGAGATGCTGTGCCAGATGGCGATGTTGATTTGAGGCACAGAGTAGTGATGCCGGGATTTGTAGATGCGCACAGCCATATCTTCCTCCACTCCTACAAGCACGTTTGGTATTTCATGGTCGTTTTTCGGGATTTTATTAATCATCGTTAGTGAGCGCGCATCCGTGAATCAAAAACGTGACGAAAGCGTTGTGGAGAGAATAGTTCGAGCAGTCAATCACTGCCGTACTGCATTACTCGCCGGGTACACTACTTATCGGTGAGTTGCTTAACAGCCTGGAAGCAAAGCAGTTATACTGACCAAGGTTTAGAGACCTAGGGTCTGAGTCTATGAAAGAGGCTGATGCGCAAGTTCGAGACTGTATCAATCGAGGACTCATACCTGGGCCACGGCTGTTCGTCGCCACCCGCGCTTTAGCTAGCACAGGCTCATACGAGCCTCGTACTGAGAATCATGCCAACGGGGTCTGTCTCCCCAGTGGAGGCGAGGCTGTTGACGGACCAGACGATGCCCGTATAGCTGTCAGACGGCGTATTGCGGCAGGTGCCGATATCATCAAATTCTTTGCTGATTACCGTCGTCGTCTCATGCGATATCCGCCGGTTCAACAACATCCATATATCTCTGGTATCCAACACCCTCCCGCAAATCCAAACCCTGATATTCTTGTATTTGATCAAGAAGAAATGGACATGATCGTCAAAGAGGCAAAAATGGGGGGGGCACCAGTAGCCTGCCATGCCGGTACAATTGAAGGTGCTATCATGGCTGTCAAGGCGGGTGTCAATACTATCGAGCATGCCTACTTTGCGAACCGGGAGTTATTTGAACTCATGGTTGAGAAGGACTGTATCTTAGTCCCAACTTTAGCTGTCTGTGAGCGATTGCACAAGCACAGGATTCAGGAAATATTAGACCAGACCAAGCTAGCCTACGACATTGGCGTTCGCTTCGCTTGTGGAGGTGACACTGGTACATACCCACATGGCCAAAATGTACGAGAAATGGAGCTCATGATTGAAGCCGGCCTACCGCTAGAGCATGTTCTCGAGGCTGGCACTGTTGGCGGTTGGGAATCTTGTGGCAAAGACTTGTGCGGCATGCGCTTTGGATGGTTCGAGAAAGGTCTGAGAGCGGATATAATTGCCCTCAAGACCGATCCTCGTCAGGATAAATACGCTTTGAGAAATGTGGATTTCGTGATGAAAGACGGGGTTATTTGGAAGAAAGATGGGAAAGGGGTGGGCGTCTATCAGGATGACCATAAATGGGATACCGAGTGATCGTTCTCGATTGTCTATGAAATCAAAGCATTTATATGATCTATAGATCACTATCTACCTTTCGTATGTATTTACATATATTTAACCTCGTAGTCAGATCGGTTTGTTTACTAGATTATGTGTAAAGTTCTGTTAGGTGTCTCAGGCACCGCTGTTCGCCCAGTACGTTTGCACTTCCACAAATAATCACTTAGATAGCTCTACTTCTTAGATATCATATGGGCACTCGCATATTCTCCCAGGTTCCCCCTCCCCTTAAATCCTGATGTCCTTCGGCAACTTCCGACCTCCATACGTCTTGAGTGGAAAAGCGGACTACGTTTGTAGTATTCTGAAGGGCGCCGATACCACTTAGTTCTTAATGGAAGCAAAAAAGCCACTCTAGACGACAGGCTTGCGCAATGCCTAGCGTATGGAGATTAGACTTTTATGTCAAAGCATTAAACATAACACACAAGAAGAAATAATACAACAAAAACCACCACAATTATAAACAACACAGTTTATAGAGTTATTTCAAATCCTAAAGACTTTATATTCTTCAAAATAAACAATAGCTCAACGCTGAGTTATTTTATAATGTATTATAAACTAGTTATACCTAACTAGGTTTTCTCAGTATTCGAGCTGGAGATCTGAAAAGCGCGAGTTTCTTAAAGACAGAAGGACCTGGTCTTTGCTCTTTAAAATGGTTCACAAAATCGGGAATCAAGTCAACGTGTAACGCCGTGAAACGATTACTATTAATAAAGGATATGGTCGAATAAGACACTGTCGAAGTTACCTGGACATGGACACCAGTGGCTGATTTTTCTTTTCTTTTCTTCTGCTTTAAGTATAGAGTGTGACGGTTCCGACAACCCTTACTCTATCAGAGAGTAGTAGCGAGGATTCACCATCCTCAATATTCCGTCTTTCGGCACAGCAGATTAGTGAGCGAATACCCCCTGCTTATGAAGTTGTGGCATGAAGCTCCCTTTTTAGAAATTATGCGTTATTCTTTCTTATCGCCTTAAAGGTAATTTGTTACTGCCGGGATTGCCACGACAAGTTAGGATACAGATTGCGAGATTTTTGAAAAGTCCGAACAGATTTTTGTGCTTGAAATTGCTGTTTCCAATTCGTGATGGCAGGTATAATATGATTTTAGGTAAAATATTTCAGTACGTCACTAGTTACATTTCCCAACGTCACCTGGTGACTTGAACTGAGATCACTATCTAAAGCGATTCTTGTGTGATGGCAATCTCAAAGCTATCCTTGAGCTTCAACACTTTGAATCTAGTTCCATAGCTGTAAGACAACGAATTCAAGCGAGACAGAAGCAATCTTGCATCATCTTCCGTAGCCTCGAGAGGTTCTCCGTCATCAGCAATCGTAAGCGGGATGATCGTGCAACTCGACATTTTGCCCCCAATCCACTGAACCCTTCCGAAAGCACCAATGTTGGATATTGAGCGTTGTAGACTAGTCCATACATAAGGAGGAAATTGTCGTGTCTCCTGCTTTGGCGTCACGATATCGTTGCTAAAAATGAAGTTCCCCAAACTGTAAAATATAGGAACGTCCTTGTACACTTCCACGCCTTGTACGACGTGTGGATGGTGCCCAAAGATAGCAGAAGCCCCAGCATCAATCATGGCATGCGCTAACGGTTGTTGGTAGGTCGCAATTTCGTCCTGGGTTGAAGAGACCCATCCATAAGGCACACCCCAATGTATCGCAACAAATACTAGGTCAGCTCGAGCTCGCGCGTTCTTTATTGACTGTAAAAGTAAGTCCTCATCCGGTTTGTACGTTTCCGTCTCGACAAATGGCGACATACCCGGCGACTCATCAAGAGCTACGCTGTCAATGACATACTTAGTATAGACGCGTACTCCTGCTAAGCCGGGCCGTGAGGGACCAGCACCGCTACCATTCGGGAGAGTGGTAGTCACCCCGATGTATGCTACCTTGGTGTTCTTGATCTCGTTCCATACAGGCCTAAAGCTCTCCGTGACATTTTCACCACCACCAGCGTGAGAGACGCCGATACTGTCGAGAGTCTGAATTGTCTCTCGGAGACCTTCAATACCATAGTCCATTCCATGATTGTTGGCTATAGTCACAACATCAACTCCAATATCACGGATTATATGCGAATGTACGGGATCAGCCTTCAGGGCGATTAATTTCTCAGTGGCATATCCATTCTTAACAAAAGGCATTTCGAGGTTTGCGAAGCAAGTGTCTGCCGCCCGTACATGGTCATATACCGTCCCTTTGCCGATGGGACGATTGAGTGGTCCAGCAAGGACAATGTCTCCTGTCCCTAACGCTGAGAAGGACATTTTTGTTTGGGTGGGTAGGTCACTATGGCCTTCTAGTAGTTATAACGCAAAGCACAAGTCGTGAGCCGAGCCAGAAACATTTACAATTTAAAGTCGGAAGAGTCAGAGGTTTTCGCACCAATTCATCCCATTTTCTTTTTGGTACAAAGCAGAGAAAGCTTGTATGCATACTAACACGGTATGCTGATGCTGAGGATTAGGGTTAGTCTGTCAACGCGGAGAAGACCGAGAATGAGGTGGATGCGCTAGGAAATACCCGTAATACAATACCATATCGATACCGTATTTATAATACCAGCCTACTTCTTGTATAGCCAAATTCCTCCGATTCCAACATGTTAGCTTGCTGCACAGTACATCTGCGTGGGCGATGTTGGCGATGTAAATCCATAGCAGGTTCTGGTAGCCAAGAAGAGGATGCGAGTGAGAAAGATTGGCTCCCTTGGCTGACCCTCCGTTTGCTGCTCTGCTCATTGCTATTTACATTTGCCGACATGTAAGAGCTGCGGATTGAAGACGCCAAATGTCTCTTCTAGGAAGGTTCTCTTGCTCAGGATATTTGCTACAGATAAGGGTGATTGTTTCGTTGTGTCATATATTCATCAAATTGCTGATTATATCTAAAGCTACTTTCATTCACTCTGCTGTAAGGACGGCGAGTTTCCATTGGAAATCAACAATGGTAGGATAGAGACCTACGCAGAATCCACGGGTTCTTCCGATAGCGGAATTAGATCTTCCTCGAATACATTGCAACTCTATTATTTAAGCATCGCTGAGCATTGTGATGATATTTTGTGTCTCCGATAACACGGAGCTGAGCGCAGCTTCAGGCTAGTCCTGGAAGCAACTCGATCCACTGGCGTGTGGTAAATTGCACACTGTTCCATTATTTTTTATGTCAAGAAAAGGCGACTTTTATTTTGGATTACCATAGCCAATGACTAGCAGAAGCTTAACGATCTCGATGTTAAAAAAAAGTTGTTATTTGTCTCAGGCGGGGAACGTTTGAATGTGGGGAGCCTGGGGACCGTAAATTTGGGGGTATTTCATTAGTCAGGACCTCATGTTCACTCTTGTCTCTGAACCGCTCCCCTTCCATTTTCAAGAGAATAAACTGAGAAAGACTTCATGATGATGCAAGGTAGAGAAGTAGGAACATCCCGCAAGCAAAAACATAGCAAAGCGTGTTCACGTTGTCGAAAAAGAAAGATACGAGTAAGGAACCCCAACTTTTTTCTTTTCTCCCTTCTCTCCTTTTGTTTTCGTTTTTTTTTGTTTCCCCCCTATTACATGAATAGCACTGGGCGACTAATTCACTGACTTCAGTGTGATTTGCAATATCCTACGTGTGGTGCGTGCTCCGTAGCTGGCGCAACGTGCCTGGGCTACGACTCCATCCATGGAGTTGACAAACCTCGAAGTACAATAATCCATCTCGAGGACGAGATAGCTCGGTTGGAGACCGAAGTCATGCGTTCCAAAATACATTCAACAAATAGTACTTCGGATATTGCAAATGGGGCTGTGGATAGGCTAGTCACACGTGTTGCAATGGCCATTATCGAGCCCATAGGTCTTTCTCGTGAGCAGGACAGGAAAATGCTTCCGCTGGCAACCCCACTCTTTCTCTCTAGCTCACCTATACCGTATTTGAAAATAAATCCTCAGGAATATATGAAGAAACCTCAACTTCGGGAAAGTTCAGCGCGACCTATTAATGTTTCCTCGGTTCCTCGACATGTAGTCGATGCCCTGTTGAGACACTATTGCGAGATATACCGTCCTCAATATCCAGGAATTGAAGAAGCGGATTTGTATGCGGCATGTGACAGGGTTTATAACAACAAACAGCCTTCGGATGCTGACGTTTTCTATGTCCATATAACCTTAGCTATAAGTGTTTGTGATTCCTATCTCTCTGTATGATTCAATAGCTAATAGACCCAGACAAATACTCTCATGCATCAGAATGAGGTTCAAGCTATAACGGTGACAATTGGGTTCCGGAAAACAGCTATAGCTCATCTTCCTCAAGTGGGTTTATCTAATCCATGGGAACGACTTCAAGCGCTTCAACTTCTTACACACTATGGTTTCCTCAATCCCATGGACGTTGATTGTTGTAAGTGTGCAGAAGCAGCTACTAGATTATGTTTATATATTGGACTACATCACGAGCTTCCAGCATCAATTCAGGCGAATCTGGACAGCGCAACACTCAACACTCGACGAAGACTGTTCTGGCATTCATATAGCATTGACTCGTAAGTTCCGTTCTTTTGCACGTTGAGTCTCCTACATCTGATTTTGTTATCAGTGCTGGTCATACAGCTCGTTGTCGGCCTTTTTTATTGCCCATGTCGACAATCACAGCGAAGGTAATTTCTCCATGAATCTATGTGGCTAGCAATGCTTACTGAGCACGAGAAATTAGTTCCCTGATTTTCAGTCAGAATTATCGCCAACTCATCATATGTGGCTTCTACGGCAGATAGAGTCTGAAATCACAGGGACTTTATACTGGCCTTCACACCAATTTGATAAATCACATTCTTCTTTCGACCAATGGTTTGCAACAATACATCGGCGCCTGATCGAATGGTACAATATGGTTCTTCAAAGCATTAAGCTCACGGAGACAATTGAGTTTTATGAGTTGCATTATCATATTCAGATCCTACGGCTAAACCGCCCTTCACCACGGTGTCCCAATCCCACAAAAGAGATGTGCAAGAAGGCTCTCACATCCTCAGCTGCCCTGATTAGACAATTCAATATGATTGAACAGATGGGAAAATTGTTTAATCTCTGGCACGCTGCTCATTTCACTATTGAATCCGGGGTTTGCCTACTAGCTTCTATCTTGACCGGAATTGAACATACACAGCAAGGCCAAACGCACTTAGCAGGGGACGATATTGCGATCTTGAGTAGATATATCAAAACATTTTCTTTTCTGCTTGGCAGAATATCTCGTCGCTGGCCTGAAATTGCAGAATATACCCCTGTCCTCGACGATATCTGCATCAGAACCTTGAATGCCTTGGAGCAGCAGTCAGTTGGGCCCGGTGTCGACAATACGGAGGATTTCTTGACTCTAAAGCAAACAATCAACAATCTAACGTTATTTCCTGTTTTACCCTGGAATTCACAGCAGCCGTCGGTAGACGCCAATATTGCATCTCGGACAATCCGTAATCAAACCACAGAAGAGATCTCAGTGCCTCAGCCGGTCGGACTTTCATCAGAAGCTGAATATGCCGGGATGACGACAGACGAGATGTATCTGGTGCCAGCACAGAACTTTGAGGATCCCTTCCTATCTCATTCTTTCCCATATAATGCTCCAGGTTCCGACATATCACCCACAGATTTGGCACCAATCAATTCTACTTGGCTGGATTCTCAGTTAGATACAGTACAGAGTTCTTTGACGTCAGCAGATCTTTACGGTCTAGGGGCACTTGAACCTTGGACATGGGACTTTGCTGGTATGAATTCTGAGCAGATAATCGCCGAGCTATTGGACGCCGGGAATAATGAGCTTTTAATGACTGGGGTGGGTGACCTATGAAAGGGCTTATTAGAACCTCAAGAACTCACCCCAAACATTTCTCTAGATACTTCCAGGCCTGCTTGGAGATTTCCTTAGCGGATTTTTCAGGTCCTGCTTAGGAGTCGTAAGCGCTGTTATTGCGTTATGCTTCCGTATTCTGTCCGATATACCCTTATTATGCTACCAATTACAATATTGAGCCCACAATTGAGCACTTTATTTCATATTGGAATCAGAAGCTGTTATTGAACTTATTCTTCTGTCGGCTGTCGGGGGCGGATTGGCGAATTCAGCCTTATCAATGGGCTACAGCCCACGGACTATGCCCTAGTTTAGGGGGTCTAGTGGCTCGGCGGCCTACTTAAGCTTTAAAGCGTATGCTTGGGTGCATCAATTGATCCTTAGATCGACCATTAGTTGGATCCTTGGAAGCGTTGGACTTTATTTAAAAACGAACGCATCACCCTTGTCTAAAAGAGGTAAGGATGCACTATTTCTGAGTCAAGATGATCGCTGGTAAGAGTCCAACAATTACCCATGCCAACTGCGCAACTAACAGCGTCCGAATAGGGAGAGAAGACTATCAAACTAAGTCAATTGTGCAATTGGCACGGAAAACAGCCATGGTCAGCTAGGAATGTCACTGGGGATTCCCGATTATTCCAGGTTTCGGATATGATACAGATCTAGCTGAAAGGTCCCTTAGGAAAGGGTTAAAACGTACCAAGTGCTCTGTACGGGAGTCCCAATTTTTTTTAATTGGTCAGCCTGAAATCGTTGACTAGGCTCACTGTGAAAGCATCACATGTACATATGGCCTAGGTGATTATTACATCTCCAACTTGAATCTTACCGAAAGTCGCGTATAATAACCTCCAATCATATTAAGAGGATGCTCTTGGTATAGAGGAGCATTGCCCTTGCAGGCCGGATGTTGGTCGAGGGGCCACCGCGCGCCTTGATATCTCGCATTGAGACTTTTACGATCACTGCAGCGAGCTGTCGATAAATAGCTGAGCTTCTCACCTCTAAACAGGAAGAAGATCAGGTTCCAACATATATATCTATTACCATGCAAGATGAAATCGGTATTCTTCACCTTTCTCTTCGTGACAGTCCTCCAGGCTTTTGCCTCGCCCAATCCTAACGGCAACTTGGAAAAAGGATCTTGTGTTCACAAGTCAATCGCTGGATTGAATGGAAACTTCACGGTTCTGGTGCCTTTCTTTCCCGATTGACGACAAAGGTTCGGATTGTTATGGGACTTGCCATAGATTTGTTGGGTCAATGATGAAAGTATCTCGTGTAGTCATATTCTAGAAACCCAGAGTTTGTTTGAAGAGCCTAATACGTCCTAATCTTCCCGTAGCACAAAATCAGTCGTAGCAGTAATTTTCGAACCTTCATTCATCAGAGCCGCGCTGGCATATACCTTGGTCCTGGTGTGTTTCCTATAAACGTATGAAAAGAATAAAGGAAGGCAAGAACTGATGTCTTGACGTTGCGATGTATTATGGCGATCGCCCGATGGGGACTAGCAGCAGTCATGCGGCAAACGTGGGGAAGGTCCAGAAGGAAGCCAAGCTGCAGCGCAGACATCTGTTCTCCGAACCCGGCACGACCGACCGACAGAATGGATCGCTTATAGAGCTGCTTTGCTTGATGACCTCTATCGACGTCCGTCAGGTCTTTCAGTCGACTCGCGCATGTTGCATACATCCAAACCCCTTCGTGTGGGCAAAGCTCCGTGCGTGTCGAGCCCCGAGCGGCCAACGCCCGCCGCCAGCATAATCATCGTATCACCATCATGGCCACGGAACCATCAGAAGAGGATATTAACAATTTCATCGGCTTCACCAGTCTCTCCCGAGAGCAGGCCATAAGCTTCCTCAATGTCAGTACCAACATCTTCTGTCGCGACCACAGTGACTTGCTGCAGCGCTAAAAGAATCGGTCGTCTCATTTCTTATGTTTAGGCAAATAATCTTAACCTGGAAAAAGCAATCAATGCGTATTTCGAGAACCCATCCGGTCTACCAACGCAGGTATGCATCCAAAGAGCCGTCTCATAATCCACGCATTTGTTAACCAGGCTCATAATCACAGCCCCAAAACGAATGGGAATCTTTTGGAACCCCATCGTACTCTCAGAACAACCAGTCGGTTCCAAGTAAGTGACCTCGTCGCGCAATGACGGTAGATCCTTTTCTAACCTCCTGTTACTTTACAATTTAGCATTCAACATCGAGAATTCCGATGGCATCCTTGGAAAGGGTTATACAGCACCGCCTTCGCGCCCGCCTTCCAGGATAAATACCAGTGAGACGCTGGGCAATCAAAAGCACAATGGGATCGGCGCAGGTACATCGGGTGCAGGTCAGTCAGGTTCTACTTCCACAGTAAAAGGATGGATTATAAATTATTTTCTGTTCAACAGGAAATTCAGGGCAAAAGTTGAGTGCAGCGCAGCTCGAAGAACGCGATCTTCAACAAGCAGTAGCAATGTCGCTAGGCCAAGATTATACTCATCAGGAAAGTGGTGTCATCTCAACAACGGACAATTCACGATTTGGCCCGGCCACCCAAGACTTCTATGATGAGAATTCATGGGGGATGACTATATTTAATGAGAACGCTAGAGAGGAAATCATTAGTCCGGATCCCGAGGATCGCCAGCGCAATGGCAACGAACCCGCCTTCCTTCGTCCTTCGCAAGAAGCTCTTTATATCGGAGGATTTTTGACTATTCTACATTCGATTCCGATCGCTCGGGAAGCCCTTCTGCTTAGAGACAAGGTCATTCCCGACTACGGATATGACTCCCAATGGTGGAATGGCCAACCTGTGAAGGCGCCGAGAATCGTGTCTCTCAGTGATCCATATGCCGAAGACCAGGATTGGGAAGACATTATATACGAAACTCAACGATTAATGGCTTTCTTGGACGTAACGCGACGGGCCTTTGGAAGCACGGATGCTCTTGCCAGTTTAAAAGCTATGCATGGATATGACCAGGATGGCGGGGTGGAAAAGTTTCTCGAGGCCTGGCAGGAAGCAGCTGTACGTGCGACCCCGGAAAACCAGTTATCAATGATTTTCTCCTCGCGCGCGATGAGAAAAACTGAATCGGATTTCGACCCTTTGAACAACAAAGAGTTCTTTGTTCTCAACACCCAAGTAGAACCCGATCACGGTCAGACCCTATACGACATTCTCGACGATGCTATTTGGCCAGACACACCAGGGGAAGGCCTCGACGATGTCTGGCTAGAGCATGTCGCAGAAGTTCTCACAATCAGGCTAGATAATAGTCGAAATGAGCCAATCGATGTTAAAATTCCATCAACCTTCTACCCAGATCGCTATATGGAAACTTCCCGGGATATTATCCGCGAGATTCGCTTGAAAAGAGTTGAAGTACTAGCAAAAATCAACCATTTAGAGAGTCTCGCATCGCAATACCGTTCTTCCGAGTCTGCCAAACGATTCGGGATGTCAAATGAGAAGTTATTAGAAAAAGCCGCGGAAGCATCCGTCGTTGCCCTACCAAGATATTTGTCTGAAGGTGCAGCTGAACTTAACAGCGAAGAACTCCTGAATAATGGACAACGAGTGGCACAGCAACTGCGCGATGTTGCTACCAGCATTAGAGAAAGGCTCCAGAGTATGTCCCATTTCTCTCACTCAAACTAGTAACACTGTAGATACTAATAAATTTGCATAGAGCTCGAAACTGAGAAACAAGAAGCTCGTGACAGTCTCCGAAAATACTCCAAAATCTTTACAGAACCCTCAGCCTCTGATGACCAGTCGCCACACCGCAAGTATACTCTGCGGGGTGTTTGCACGGCTCCCCATGTCACATTCGTATTAAGACGGAACAGTCACGACGGTTCGGAGGATTTGATTGAGATGGAAGATACAAATGCTGAAGAATGGCAGTGGTGGCGGATTAGTTTCTCGGCAGATGATGCAAAAACGCAACAAGCTGCCAAGTCGGAGAACACTAAGAGAAGAAACCTGGCGCCTAAAAACGCTGATATCGTTGGGTTTACAACGACCAAAGTGCGAGAAATTGAGGTACTCAAGGCGGCGCGCGAATCTAGTAATGCCCTCTTGGTATACGCAAATCCGAATGCTCTTGCTTTCCAGACCGACCATACCCCTCCACCTCTTCAGGTACGTCTTTAGGATTTACCTGGCTACTTCTTTTCAATACAATGGACTGCTAATGGCCGTTTTTAGGAGTTTGTGAATACTGATAATATCAGCTTCAAAGCCGAGCTCGACGCAGCCGACCGTATGTACCAGGATGAGCAGATGGTAGAACCTGGCGAAACAGTTTTTGAGGAATGGCCGGATATAAATGAGACACAGGCCCCAACTCGACCTGATAATATTGCAGCCGCTGCTTCAAACGTCAATGTTTTTGACTACGAAGTCAACTCGTTCGACGATGAGGCCTCCAACCGGGGCCAGGAAATGCAGGAAGTGGGGGGAAAGAGCCTTCTCAGTCAATGATATAATATTACGGCGTTGACGACTGCACGCATATTTTAATCTGAACGACTCAGTAGGATGTTGCTATGTCATTTGTTTAACGATACATGTTTACTAGACGATGATCAACGGAGGTAACCTTTACCAATATTAAACAGTAATAAAAAATCGCCTTTACAGGTAAACAGCCGGAAGAGACAGAATCAAACTATGTCTTTCGTATCATCATCTTTGTTTTACCCTACGAATTTACTATCGTGCGCTGTGATTGGCGCGGGGAGGGCTACCCCTGACTAGCGCTAATAACGAGGAGCCAGCTCTAATTTAATGCTCCATCAACAAACAACCTTGAACAGCAAACAACACCGTCTAGCTTGCTCGTTTCTCAAATAAATTAAATAAATTTGCTTGGCTCAGCATGTCGCTTGAAACTGCCGCGATTGCGTCGGCGTCTGTCGAATTGCTGGAAGGCCGTCTCCGGAGACTCGAGTATCTCTTGACTGGCGACTCCCAATGGACCGGGCATCCAGCCCCAGCCTCAAGGCCAGACTCTTTGGAAGACACCGTCGCTCGCCGACTGGCTCGCTTAGAAGCAGATCTGAGTGCTTTGAGTAAATCCAAGCCCGCTGTCTACGATATCCTGCAGCTCTGTAAGTCACTTCATTCACCATCACTTGCGATCCTTGATTTTCTAACTGCACCATCGAATGCCAAAAGATACCCGATTCCCAGATCTTTTCAAAGAAATGCCTACCGAGGCCCCCCCCGCAAACCTAAGCACTCAGAATCTCGCTTCCATTGTTCTTTCCTACGCTTCTGCCTTCCCAGAGACGTCCTCGCGTTTGACATCTCTCAATGACCTTCCCGTGCCCGATGCGAAGGCTTCCATCGCTCTGATCGAGCTCCAGCCACGCCTTGAAAGACTCCTACAAATCCAGCGACAACAAGCGCAAGAGGTATCAGAACTTCGGACTCGAAGTGCACGACTATTGCAACGCTGGTATGAATTGGGCTTGGTCGGCAGCAGTGAGTGTTGGGCTGACTGGGAATCTCGGCTCGAGGACATTGATCACGAGGTTAAACGCAGAGAAGCGGTGCGAGACCGTAGAGAGAAGGAGGTGTGAACGCTGCCGAATGAATTCTATAATATCAAGGCGATATACGACATTTATGGGTTAAAGAACCGCCACAAGGACAGCCCTTTGAGTCTTTTCGAACCGACTGTAATCACTTCTGGATTATTACTATGTCATGCAATCTGCGATGATGGTGAAGCACACTCAAAGACAATCGATATGGCTACACCATTATTCCACACATAGCATGGTGTGCATAGCCGTGGCAAGGCTGAGACGCTATCAGCCTTACGAGTCATACTATGAAGCAACTCGTGGCGCGCAGATCGCTTCTAGGGAACGACGAACCGAATCCGTGCCATATTTGTCACACCATGGTTTCGTTACTAATTTGTCCACCAGGAACTCCTTCAATTGCTCAAATTGACTATTCTTGTGGCAGATTAGCCAATATGGAAAGAATGGAATGGGCCCGATTTACAGTCGAGACTATGCATGTAGCCACAGGTTTGTGGTATTGTGATAGGCCCTGGCAGTTACAGTCATGTATAGAAATCTAGTAGCTGGCCCCCAGTTGTGCACATGTAGTTGTGCAGTAACTGCACAAAGAAAGATAAAATTAGCCAAATTAGCCAATCCGGCGTGTTGGGCCGTGGGGTCGACATCTCTTGGGCTTTTATTATTTGCCGACCACCAGCACACATGTAGCTAGATATCGCCGATTGACTGCCACAGCCGCAGCCGCAGAGTAGACGCCTCTAATTCTCTTATTGAATTATTCAATATCAATCAATGATATTCTTCATGTTTGGCCGGCTGGCCAGGCCTGTCCACGACCCGTCCGGACCAGCCCAGCCAGCACGCTCATTGGCCAGCAGCGGCGGCCTTGTGGAGCTTCGGCGTGTTGGCTATTTCCACGCCAGAGGCAGTACTAAGTCGCAGACCTGAGGCACACAGCCCCACCCGCTAGGCCCGCCCTGGAGTAAAGCCTCTGTCAGTGCAGCGCCACCAGCCAATGGTAGTGCCGCAGTGCGTGCGCCGAGTGCAGTAATGCTGGATTTTATACTTATTATTAGCTGTTTCAGGTCCTGCTGCCATCTTGGTCCGTCCCCTCCCGTAATAATAATCATCTATCCACATGCTACTGCAATTCCCCTGCATTCGACTTGCCCACCTCCGCCGCTGGCTTGCCTCCACGTCCACCAGGCTTTGGCCCCAAATCTCCCTCCCAGACTCACTCCCAGAGGCCAAAGGCTGACCCGAGCCAATTGTTCGTGCCTCGCCTCGTCCGAACCTCCTTTTCCAGCCCTGCAGCGCGCCCAAACATACTCTGCGACAACACTCTTTCCCTTCAACTCTCCCCTTCCTACACGTTCCGCCAGACGCACACGACTTCACACGCACGGCCTCTTGTTGGCCACCTCCTCTCGTTTATTCGCTTCTTTTCGTCTTGCTCGCCAACCCTGGTCGCGTCACTCCCTCTTTATTTTCTTTCCGTCGCTTGTCGTGTCCCAGCCTGGTGCTGATTCAGTGTCGTCGTCCCCTTGCCGTATACGTCGGCTGGCTTACCGACCGAACAGCCAGCCTTCTTCCTTTCACTCTCCCCCAACCCCGACCGCCATCTGTCCTCACAATCCGACCATCCATCATCAACCTTCATCCAACCGCCAATATTCACTTTTTTTTGACGTGGTGTGATCACTTGGTATCCATTGGCTAGGAAGAATCGATTCGATAACCGCCTCCGCTGCGATCGACGCCTGTTGCATGCACCCGGTCGAACAACCACATCGTGACGTCCCGCTACCTGCTTGCTCCTTCCTATTCATCCCACCGCGCTTGAATCTGTACACAGCACCATTCCTCGGTCGCTACTACTTGACCTTGCAATAGAAGAATCGAGGCGATTGTTGTCTTCGTGTCACCTTTTTCATGGTTTCCATCTACTCAGCCTCTATTCAAAAACCTCACTACACACAATCCGCCATGGTTCGATTCAATATCAGCAACATCATTGGCGATCCGTTCGCACTTGCCACTATCTCTATATCCCTTGTACGTGATAATTCCGATGGTGCACCCGCGCAGTCGATACTAACTTGTAGGATGTTTAGCTTGCATGGATAATTGCTTTCATCTCGTCCATTATTGCGGATGTCGAGACTCTGTTCCCTAACTTGGTCTGGTGGGCCACCGTTTACATGCTGCTCTGCATTATTGGGGTCATCATTGTTGTGGGATCAGATACTAGTTTGACGTATGGTGTTGCGGTACGTAATGACCCGTCACCCATATACAGACACTTTTTTTGGGCGCGGGCTAATAAAGTGCAGATTGTTGGGTATCTTTCTTCGGGCCTCGTCTTAACGAGTCTTGCTGTCAATTCCCTGGTGTCTGAGCCACAGGCAGCGAAACAGGCCGGTTCCGCTGGTTTCATACTGTTGTCTATGATTAATGTGAGTGCCATCATTAGATGATGAAAGTAGCCCGTCAATTGCTGACGCACCTGCAGATTATTTGGATATTCTACTTTGGATCTACACCACAGGCTACTCACCGCCGCACTATCGATTCTTTCGCCCTGAACAAGGAAGGATCACAATTCCACAACCGTCCTGTATCCAACGCGTTTGGTGCCCGTCCCGACACGACTGTTAGCCAGCCTCCTCAGATGTACACATCTGCGCAACTCAGTGGTTTTGAAACCTCATCTCCCGTGTCAGGCTATCCCGGTGGTCCACCAGGCTCGGACAAACGCAATACAACTACAACAGCTTTTGGTGGTGTTGGCCCCAACACCAATGGCAGCGGTAACGCCGAGACCTCGAATGAAGTGGGCCAGCCAACGGAATATCCATACAAGGCAAAAGCGATATACTCATACGACGCGAACCCCGATGATGCGAATGAAATCAGCTTCGCCAAGGGTGAGGAGCTAGAAGTGTCTGATGTCAGTGGACGATGGTGGCAAGCAAGGAGAGCAACTGGTGAGACAGGTATTGCGCCATCAAATTACCTAATCCTGCTATGACTTCAGAAAAAGAAAAAGACGAAAAGTTTGCTTCATTCTTGCAATTCTTCCACCTGCGTCACGCAACTTCCTCATCCTTTGATACCCTTGTAACAGGACCCTTTGGCAGCACTTTCGTTTCTACATTCATGAGTGACTGCACATGTCATTTTCTTCATGTTTTATTCATTGTTTTCTCATGGCCATAGTTTCATTCGTCAAGCTCGTTCGCCCTATCACGCATGCTGGGACAGAAATTGAGAGTGTCTTAAGCCTGGGGCATATTCGACCGAGAAGCGCTTTGTGACTGAATTCTCGACGACTCGAGTATGCAGTGCTGATGGGCAAACGGCTCTGTAGATTATACCGTCCATTCACAGAGGGAATGGAATCTTTTGGCTTGAGTCTTAACGGGACTCTTATGTATGGTCAATTATTGCTCGCGCGTTCTAACGATTTTTCCTTCTGGCGTTACTGTTGGCGGTTGTTGATATGAATCGGGTATTTTGGCAGTTGTGGCATTGTATCTGATTCGACTTTCTAGTTTAATTATGAATGGACATTCAATAACTTATCAGTATGGAATGGGCCCAGAGTGGCCCAGCCTGGAAGTAAGGAAGTAGGTAGACTGACTCAAATGTTCTAATATGATGTCCATGTGTGAGCACGGGTTGGCATTCACCATAGGGAATCGCGCCATTCAACGAGCCTTCCCAGCCATTCCATGAATCAGCCGGTTAACAAGGGTTCAAACGATTAATAATTGAATCATTAATAATCCTACTGAATACACGAGCAGCATAATAGTTATATGTAGTAAAACAGTATCATCCATTAGCAGCACGGCGTGATTCTATTGGCCAGAGACGAGGTTAACTCCTCTAGCATCACCCCTATTCCGAAACCGGACTGGTGTGTGAAAAACATGCGGCAGTTCTCCCGCGACTTGCCCGATATAGCCTAGTTCAGTTGGCGGCTGTGGTCAGTGAATTCTCCGGCTGGCCAATCAAAGCAACAGTCACCACGAGTCAATGATGAATAATGCAAAACTGCCGCCGTTCGCACCGGATTATTTTGTGTGCTGGTTCAATTATTGGCTCACTTGCTTCACTTTCAGTGGGAACGCTGGCAACTTGTGAAGATGATGTGCCGCTGCCGTAATCCATCTGCTAGCGACCTTCCGTTCTCAGGCAATAATGTGAGGCCAGAAGATCTAAGGTGGTCTGCGCACCTTCTCTTTCACTGCACAGGTACAATTTCATCCTGGGGCCCACTTGGTTCTCTCTTTTTCTGATCTTATTCCTTTGTTTTTGTTCAGAAGAGGGGCAATGGCGATGAATATGTCATCCCGTTCTTCGACCAGGCAAGAGTATGCCCTGGCTCTGCACGGCTTGTTCCGAATTGGATAACTATATGTAATACTTCTCTCGCTCCTTCTCTGCGGCAGACTGGCTCGCCTGCTATTCATCTAATTAATCAATCAATCAATCTTTTCTCTTCACAACCAGTCTTTATCATTCTAGTATATCCGGCCAGCAGGGGTGAGATATTGATATCGGTTCACCAGGTTATTATCCTAAGCACGAGCTTCTGATCAGGAAGGATTGTCCTTCTTTCTTCATGGCGGATAGCGAGCGAATCCCAGTGGCAGCCAATGTGCTGGGGACAATCGGCACTGTCTTCTGGTGTGTCCAGCTGATTCCCCAGATATGGCATAATTGGAAGCACAAGAAGACCGACGGGCTGCCGGGAAGTATGATGTTTTTATGGGCTGTCTGTATGTTTTCTGTACCCTAACGCTATTGTATAATGAGTGAAATCCTGGTTCTGACTGCTGCATTGCTCAGGCTCGGTTCCTTTCGGTGTCTACATGATTCTTCAGGTGAGTTTATTTGACAACTCATACACTCTACTTTTACTCACTATTGCTTTGTATAGGATGTCAATATTCCGCTCCAAATACAGCCCCAACTTTTCGGTTTTTTTGCCTTTGTCAGCTGGGGGCAGATAATTTACTATAATCAGTTGAGTCTCTGAATGAAACAAGCATCATGGACACAACTTTGCTAATTTTGTTAGCGACTATTCTAAACTCAAATCAACCGCTTTGGTGTTGGTTTCACTGCTTGTCTGCGGGGGACTTGAAGCCATGTTTATCTTTACTCTTCGGGTTTGTGGACTCACAAAGCGATTCAAAGACTCAACAACTAACAGAAACAGATTCCATATGGCAAAGGAATCACATGGCCAGCCTTACTTTTCGGTATAATAGCAGCTATAATGCTTGCAGTTGGCTTTATTCCACCTTATATTGAGATATGGCAACGAAGAGGGCGGGTTATTGGAATAAGTTAGTAGATATATTCTCACTCTGTTGAAGCACATTTCTCACAAAGTTTTGGTAGACTGGGTTTTTTTATGCGTCGACAGTCTAGGGGCGCTCTTTTCACTCTTCGCCCTCGGTAGGATTCTACACCATTGATTTCAGTCCCAGTTAGACATTACTGACATCTCAAAGCTGCACAAGGAACTTTTGATGTCCTAGGTGGGATCCTTTACATTGTTGTGTAAGATTTTTTCGCATTTCTGAATGTCTGGGATTATTTTCTGACCGTTAAACTATCTAGCTTTCTTGCGGAGGTCTTCATATTCGGCAGTCATATCATCTGGCGATTCCGTCACCGCAAACTCCTGCAGACGGCGAAATCATCCGGCAAGACGGTCGATGAACTACTCGAAGAAGCCGAGCCAGTGAACCAGAGACCAGTAAGCAGATCGGAGGGATTAGAGGATCCTGAGAAAGGATTACAATGTGAGGTTGACGAGGGGCCACCGCCGGTGCAGGTTATAGAAGATGGCACACAACAACCACCCAATGCCGAGAATCATCCAAGTCCTAAAGAAGTAGACAATTCCTCAACACGGGAAGACGAGGGTAAATGGTAAATTTACTTGGGTATTTGCGACTATGTCTTACTTTTATTTTTCATGGTTTGATGTGTAACGTGTATGTAGCGTTCCGTTATGATAGACAAATAGATGTACATGCGAAACAAAAGCAGAGCTACAAGTTTCCATCAAATTTTGAGTACATATAATTTTTTGAAGTAGCGCTGTTGACTGGTATCGATCATTCGTAATTTCAAAGCCGTGAAGCTATTATACAGTTTGGGGCATTAGAAACTGGCATATCAACACCGTTATTGGGCTGGCCAGTACTTAATGTCAGCCCAATCCCACCAAAGCGTGTCTCTAAATTGAACATTGAAATTCCGGTCCGCGCAGGGCTTGTACATGAGTGAGCAATCAAAACAATTTAACAGGTGTGGCTGTTTCAGAGGCTAGACAGCTGGCTGGGCTGGACCGGGCTCGGCTAGGTATTATTGTCTTATAATAATCTTATACGCTCCTGATGCTGCGATTGGGACTAGAGTCAATTGATTAGTATTACTCCTAGCTCTGTCGCTATCACTATTAATACAGCGCCTCTCGCAGCATTCATGAGTCGCAGTTTCCTGTTTCAATGTTCTGCGCGTGATTTCTGGTGCAAGAAGCATGGGCCACGGCCAGATTGGGAGAACTGTTGAACCTAGCTCGAGCAACCCTGCAGGCAGTCTTGCCGCGTCCTGGGTTTGGCTTGATTGTTTTTCCTCGCCTTCAGCGACCGTCCACGATGGCGCATGGCATCTCACGGCTGTCGAGGTCGCTGCGGAGGAAGCTTGGGTCTCAGGGAGAGCCTTCGCAGCCTGCTCCTCCCAGGCGCAGGCAGTCGCAGCCTCAGGCCAAGACGGGCCCAGCCTCCCGCGACAACCTCAAAGTCCAACACCATCACCCAGAGCCATCCCAGCCTGGTCCCCTCGCATCGTCCCTCCCCGCCGCCCACGACCTGTCTTCAGTCGACGATCTCGCCAGTCGTCGTGACGCTGCCTCCGTTTCTGCCTTGTCCACCCCCGGCCAGCACAGCCAACGAGACCAGCACCCGACAGACCGGCTCGACGAGGAGGGACCGCTCCATACACCATCGACGTCGAAAACCGTAAAGCAGGCTTGCCAGCGAGGTGACGACCAGGAGCCGCCATCCCCAACGTCCCCTGCCCCCGACGACCGCGGCGCTTCTATCCGCCCGTTACCTGGTGGCTATCCACGCAAATCCACGTTTTCATCCGCCCCTCTCAGCGCTGCTCCTTCTCCAAGCCCATTGAACATATCGCATCAATCATCCTCGAGACTGCATGGTCGTCGTGTTGGCAACTCTGCAACTGTTGTTTCCATACCAAACTCTTCCCTCCAGACCGTTGACGAGAGCAGCCCCACCCCTCCCAGTCTAATTGATCCCAGCGACAGCGTCCGGTTTGGCGGCGGCGGCGGCGGCGACCTTGACAACGACGACCTCAGCGGCGATACACTCGGAAGATTCGTCCCTGGTCAGGATTCAAGCACTCCGCGCCCCACAATCGCTACGCGGAGGCAGTCTCTTATCCCTCAGTCACAACAACATCTAGTCAATCGAGTTCTTGAGGGCGGCCCATTCCATCGCAATAGCGATCCATTCATCCAGCCAATTCTATCGCCAACTCCAATGGCGCTGCGAAAGATTTGGGTCAAACGGCCTGATGCATCCGCTACGCTAGTATCGATGCATGAGGACTGTGTCGTGGATGAATTACGAGATCATGTCTTGCGCAAATACTCCAATTCCCTTGGCAAAACATATGATTCTCCGGATCTAATGGTACGAATATGTCCCCGTATCTCCTCCAACCGACCGCTTGGCCCGGATCGAATACTCAGCCCGGAGGAGTCCCTGTTTGCTTTAATCGATCAGTACTATCCTGGAGGACAAAAAATGGACGAGGCCCTTGTCGTTGAAGCTCCTCAACGTCGAACTCCTATGAAGCCTTCTCCTCGCCAATCGTACCTGTACCATGCGGAGCCCGGCGAACAAGGCGAATATTTTCCTCTTATGCCTGTCCCAGTCAACGTCGGAACACCCCCTGGTCATCCGTCCAGTTCCAATAATAGCAATGTGAGTACGCACCAAACACCTTCTATGTCGGTCCTCACGACCGGAAAGGTGCCACCTTTACTACCATCGCCCGGAAGCCGTCCTAATCGACACTCTCGACGGCCACCGTTTGCGCGTCATCCGACCAACTCTCCTACACTCATTGCTGCATCGAAAGGTATACAGTACTCAGAGTCGTTTGTTGTCTTTGTATTTTCGCTAATCCACCAAAATAGATCCAAATTTAGCGGCGACTGGGCCCCCAGGATCTTCACAACCTTCTTTACCTACACCGCCAGCGCCAGCGGCACCCCTGTCAGAATCTCCAACCCACAATGCATTGAATGCTAGTGCGCAGGTTGCATCACCGCGACCCGGCCGGAAGGCTAAGAAAGTAACATCTCCGAGTACTACGACGTTTGGCGGAGTCATTGAAGGGACCGTTCCACCGATCAATGTGCTTATTGTGGAGGATAATGTTATCAATCAAAAGCTGCTCGAAGCCTTCATGAAACGTCTCAGTGTCCGCTGGCAGTGCGCTCCTAATGGCGAAGTTGCTGTCAAAAAGTGGCGACAAGGCGGGTTCCATTTGGTGCTAATGGACATTCAACTCCCAGTCATGAACGGCCTAGATGCGACAAAGGAGATTCGGCGGTTAGAACGTCTGAATGGGATTGGTGTCTTTTCAAAGACTGTCTCCGGTCGCTCAAGTGCCGCGTCTACTACTGAACCACCTACTGACAGCATAGTAAAAGAAGAGGATATTTTAGAGGATTTATCTCTATTCAAGAGCCCGGTGATCATCGTTGCTTTGACCGCTAGTAGTTTACAAAGCGATAGACATGAAGCATTGGCGGCCGGCTGCAACGACTTTTTGACAAAGGTTTGCCTACCTATACTTATGTGGTATTATTTTATTCTAACAATTTGTACAGCCTATTGGGTTTCCATGGCTGGAAAAGAAGGTGACAGAATGGGGCTGCATGCAAGCACTCATAGATTTTGAAGGATGGCGGAAATGGCGAGGGTACGAGGATACACCGCGAAATACCACGGCCATCCTAGAATCCACTTGGCCATCGCCGTCACGAAGCAACGCTGTACCAGCCGTCAAGTTGCATGACAGCAAAGAAAGCAGCAAAATTTCCGTTACCGAGCCAGACTCTCCTAGTAGCAGCAGCAAAGAGGAAGACGGCGATCCTACTCCTGTTGGGTCGGCGCCCGTTTAACTTTTTGCTACTAGCACATTTCTCTATCGCCCTTTTATCTCTGGTCACAACACCAAATCCAGGACACTGACTATAGTGGTGTATATTTCCTTGGACTCCACAGTTTCTTTCTATTGTCAGACACGAGAGTTTCTTTGGTCAATTTTTCATCCATCAGATACCCATTTCGTTACTTTTCTGTCTTTTTTATATTCCGTGTTCATCCGAGAATGGCATAGCAAATGAATATTGGGACACGGCCTAACTCATGAAGCTTACTTCATTCTCTTTTCCTTTTTGTTGACCAAATGCATAAACTACTATACAAGAGGTTTGTAGTTAACACTTGCATTTGCATTACATTTGTGTACAATTAAGACTCAAAACGTGTTCATCTGAAGTGCATGGAATATATATGTGTGTACTCTAGTATACGAAGGGTGCAAGAAGTATCAATCGATATTAATTAGTGAGCAATTAAGAAATAGGCAGTCATTTTCTTTGCTGGAGTGATATCTCATACACATCAAATAGAACAAAATATTAAGTAGAAATTAAACGATAGTCTCCAGTCAATACATGTCAGTGTAAGACAAGACACCTCATATAATAAGTTGAATGTTATACCGCCAATTCCATGCCGTCATAGTCATAGTGAACTTCATTCCCAATATCAAATCAAACTCATATTGCGCCGACTCCTGAGAAACGAAGAAAGAATGATTTTTCATGTCTGCTCATGTCAACTCGTTCCTTGCGTACTTGTTTCTTTGTTTTGTGCTTTTAGAGTAGGGATTCAACCCGAGTGCCAGGAAGCGACGGTGTAGTTAAATATGTACATAAATTGGATGAAAAAGGATTCCACGAAAGAAATAATATATAGCGAATGGTAGGGGATGATCAAGGCTGAATTATTATCGTCGCCACATCACATTTCCTCCTCTGGGTAATAAGTTCTCCTTGAGAACCATCAGTTCGCCTTTTAACCGCGAGTTCTCTTCTTGCAGTTCATGGATATATGACAGTGCATTTGTGAGGATCTCGGATTTGTTTTGTTGTTGTTGCTGTGCACCTTCTCCAACAGCGCCTGGGTCTCGGCTTTGACAGAGTGAGTGCTTTCTTGACCCTTTATTTGATGCTAGTTGAGTGGCGAATGGTCCCGGGCGAGGAATCGCGTTGCCAAGAGCAAGAAATTTGGCATTCATGTTTGTGCGGTACCGTTTCTCGATGGCGTTGTGGGCTGCCTTTTTGCGTTTCATTGCCGCCGTTGGGTCTGTGCCTGACGCTGTTGATGAGCGACCTGGTCGGGAGGTTGAGTGTGATGGGGATAGTGAAGAGGAGGAAGAGGAATTGGAGGATTTTCGGGACCGAGGTGATGATTCGTTGATAATATTTTCGGAAGAAACAATGGCGGCAGCGACTGGAATCGCAGAGCTCGCTTTAGAGTCGGCGATGGTTGTGGCTGATGGCATTCTTGTGTGCCTGTGGTTTGAGAGAGGGGATGGCATATTATTTTTCACGTCAACGATAGGAGCAGCAGCAACGGCAGCAGGAGAATTGCTGCCGTTGTTATGCATCGGAGACCAAGTATCGCTTTCCCCATCCTAGAGCAGAAATAGAATTATTAGCTATTAGTCTCAATTTAGAGACCAAAAGGATATGGTCAGCATACCGATACAGGCGATGCATAGGATAGCGCATCCTCGGTCTTGACTGTGTAACCTTTGTAGCCCATCGGGGAAGAGTTGTCGCTGGCAGGGTACGTTTTTGGAAATTCTAGACCATCGGCAATTTCTTCTGACATGTCAAATATCGGGTCATTATTATAATCGCCAGAGAGTTCCCAGGGCAAGAAATCAAAGGAAGAGCAGTCTTTGCCTATCCAGTCGGCGGGGGAAGTCGAGGATGGTGGCGCGTATGTGGATGTGAGCAGGTTTGACGGGTCAATATCGTCTGGGAGAATCATCATCGGCCTCGTCAAGTCAAATAATTCGGATGTTGGTTGGTAGCAGGTCATGTTCTGTTTTCTAGGCATCGATTGATCCTGCCGATGCTTCTCTATTGACTGATCAGGCTGGAAACAGAGTCGGCCAGAGAGATGCGACAGTCGAGATCAATATGAAGGTAATCAATAAATGCACGATATTTCAATAGTCGGTCCTTTTCAGTTAGAGTATACAATTAATAGAGAAACTGATGGTTTGACAGGCATGGTGTTAAGAATAGATGTTGAATAGGGTGGACCGAACAGGGCTTATATTAACTGCAAGCCAAAGCTCAGCAACAGAAATCAGTTTCCGAAGATACGAGAAAAAGCCGCCGCTGCATAAAATCTCTTACAACACGGAGCTTGCTGCTTGCAGTGGCCATGCCATGCTCTCCCTGTGCTCTAGTGCTGCGTAGTGGTACGGTATTCCACTGACAGGTAAGAAAAGGTCTCTACGTTATGCGCGTGTCCGGGTAAGCCTGCCTGGGCCTCGACTCGGATCTATTCAAGCCACTTGGGAGCCTTGGAATTGGTCGTCCATAACCGCGAACAAGGGTAGCTCCACCTGCCATCCATCGGCGATCCAGCAAAGCTGCCTTGATTTTGCTGAATGTTCCACGGCATCGCCCTCATTCCGGGTCAATTGATTGGGCTTCTTGACTGTGCAGTTCATGGCCATCCCCAGCACTTTGAACGCTGGGGGGAGGGGGGGGTTGGCTGTGATCGCCTGGGTAATACAATTCCGACTGTGGTCATATTTCTTGTCGCATTTCAAGATATTTGCCGCAGGGAGGGTCTGACAGCTGTCGGGGCCACTCTGTTTGGATCCACCGATGCGTAGCTAGCTGCATCATTGTTATTCTGGTGCTGGGGCGAGGAGGGGCCTGGCCCAGTCACAGCAGCGTGTCGCGAGGACTTTGGTTGAAGTTAGCAGGATGGTTTCCGCCTCTAGGGATGCTTCCAGCCTAGAAGCTTGCGCCGGCTATGCCGTTTCAGGCATAGCGCACGTGTCAGTGGTGCCAGCCAATCAGCGTCGGTGCATGCGTCGGCTGAAAGTCGGCAATGCTCGCTGCCGACGACGGCCTTCTCTCGGGCCCGTCCTTTCTTCGTCTTTTTGTATGTATCAAACATGACTTTCATCCTCGCCTCTGACATCACGTCCCTGTTATTTCTTCATTTACAGGATGCTGCCGTCGGAGGAAGCCGACGACACAGATGGCCGTGTATTTCGGGCGTCACCATCGTGCATCCTAGCTGCAGCTGGTCCCTACGTGCAGCTTCATACAAGCAGATCCAGGCGCCTAAAAAGATACTAGCATATAACTTACTAGACCGTTATCCAAGCATCAAGTACTGCTATACACACAGCGTATTCAAACGCATTGCGCTTCGAACAAGCCACAAAAAAGGGCCATTGACATCATATCCTGGCCGACTCATGCCCGTATAACCCGACTCAATCATTACGATTCATGAGCTTACAACGATGGATCGTCTCCATGATCGACCTCGCGCCGCCCGCTCTACCAGTCATTTTGCATCCGGGACGGCGGTTCGCAGCGGCCCCGAACGAGGCCCGAAAGCCGATATAGACGGTCCTCGACGATCGGTTTCATTTTCTTCTTCTCTTCTTCCTTAACCGTTGCATCTGGTAAGTTCCACACTTTCCGAGATATTTTCGCGTTGGTCTGTAGACTGCCGATGTTTCGAGTGCAGAGCGGATGTGTCTAGGCCGGATGATGCCACGACCTCCATCCGTCATTCAGTCCTCTGCCTGAGGAATCAGGAGTCCAAGCCTTTTCTCGACATAGACGGCAGGCGTAGGGATGTTGAGTGAACTGGAATGTAATTGGACTGTGCTGGTCGCCACGCCTGTCTTGTATATCATGTTCGCTTCTGGTCCTAAGGTCGACCCTAGAAATATATCGCCTACAGCTTGCTACTGATCGATTACCTGTATTGATTGCTAAGATACATGTATTCATGTACCTACGCTGCCATCGCCAATTACCCCTCTTCCCTCTCTGCCGTTTTCATGCTTATCGAGGGTTATTTTTTCATTATGTAATACCAAGCACTGCATGCAGTTGACCTGTCACTTCGCCTCCTGACCCTCATCTAGGTACATAGTATCCAGTCACAGATATCGGGAACCTTTCTCCACAGCCTATAGATATGAAAGGAAAAAGATCCGCAATAGCTTCGAAATAAAGATTAAACCCCTCTCACATTCAACGGCTAACCTAATAATAGGCGCAGATGTATGAATCTTGACCTTAATGCTGAATGATCGACATCCTCCGTTTCTGCAATGGCGTCGAACTTGCAGACAAAGCACATGCAAATTATTCACTTTACATGGGATACATAAGCTATACCTATACATTGCAAGGCTCTCTGCGCCACTGCTGAGGTGCGTCCCAATCGGGCCATCAACCAACATTCTTCAACGTCTAGACTCGGTTTTGTAAACTTAAAATATGGCCTTGAACTCTTTGGGCTGTCTGAATAATTCCAGATTTGTAAAGACACAATATTCGTTCCCATCTTCCTATGTACATCCCTGCTTCTTATCCATGGTAAGCGAGGGTTAGATCCAAGGGTTGTCCGGGGGATGCATAGCTAGCATATTTAGCTTCGCAACGTTAAAGAGGGGGGAATGCTGAAAATTACCATAAATTGCATGTGAAAATCGAAAGTTACCAAGTTCATAGTAGCTACGAGTGGATTAGCTCCATTGGCGATTTCAGACTTCTTCTACCACTAGTGTAAAGGTGCGCCAAGTTGTAATACAGGTATTATTATAAGCAGGAGTTCAGTTGAATCAGCCCTCAGAGATTCTGCGCGAATATGCATAGACATTTACTACGTTCTTGGGGACATGTAGATAACCTCGCAGCCGAAATAAACAAAGTCGTTGATTCTATTCATTTATTCATGTTTAGCGACCGTTGATTCTATTTCGATATTATTTCAAGAAGCTAGCCATTCGTCAAGATCAAGGCGTAAAAATCTAGTTTCAACCTAGAAATGCCAATTGGTATATATATCCTCGCTTACCAACCATGTTGAAGATGCGACAATTGCAGCTGAAGTAGAAAAATATTGACTTTTAACACTCCACTCTGGGACAGATTATATATGAAGCTCCTGGCAACTTCTAATGCAGTGGCTATCAATCGTTCTAGACCTGGTGCCATTCCATCTCATTGGTGGGATGAGCCTCACTCGAGAATTGAATGTATTGAATGCATTTTCAACTTAGAGAGATTGAGCTTTCGCACAATCTTATATTACATCAATTGATCAATTGAACATTTAGAAAAGCTTTGTCATGCAAGAATAATAATGCTGATGAGAACTTGCTCTTAGAATTAGTGAAACGAAATTCTGCGATGGTCGTGATATTGCTGGGTATTGTAATAGTATAAATATGAATATTGTACAGAAAAAGCTATAGCACTAATGCAAGACCTCAAAACGAAAGGTAACAGATCAAACCTCGACCTTGGTCGGGATCTTGACCTGTCCCTTCTTTCGGTCATATGTAGGCACACCATAACGGCGACCAGGAGCTGCATGGCCACGACCATCTAGCCCGGTAGTCTCCTTGCTGACAACTACGTCGTTGAAACGAAACTCGAACCGGGAACCCTCCGGGCTCACTCTGGTCAATCTCTTCTCGGCCCTCTCCTTTGCGGCTGTCTTTCGTTCTTTCTCAAACTCTTCCGAATCTTTCAGACGTTCATTGTATCTTTTCATTCGATATCGAGTTTCTGTGGGATGAGAAATGATATCACGTTCTAGCCCAATCATGTGCGGGTGTGGAATACGTGCGTCGGCAGGGAGTAGAATATCATGCTCATCCGCACCCTTGCCAACTCGCTCAATGCGCTTCGCCTGTGGAATGATCAATGACTCGACAGTGACGGTTTTTTCCTCCCTGCTCTCCAAAGCTGGTGCAGCCGAGAAGACACGACCAGCATCTACACGTGTGAACTGCCGGGATTCAGACACAGGGTAGAAAATTTGCGGGTCTGTGAGACGGTGGACTGGAAGCTCGTTGATATGTTCGTGGGCGGGTTGACCACCCTCTTCAGCAAGCGGTGTGACTGGCACCATTTCGTGTATAGCACGTGCGTATGGAATTGCCATAAATTTGCCCTGATTGTCACACATGGTTAGCAATGAGTTGAATCGTTTCGAGATGCAACTTGATATTCCAAGTAGTAATATGAATGTTTCAGAGAGTTGTAATTTTAAATTTAGTAACCACGACCGAGCTAGGAATGCCCGGGTCTTCAAGACTAATCGAAGGTTTGCTCATCATGTTGTGTTTGACAGAGTATGTAATACAAGGATGTGGTGCAACAGTTAATTCAAGAGAAGAAGATGGCATACCTCTTTTGTCATTCGCTTTTCTAACTCCACCAACCGGACAGCCGCAGCAATCCTCCTCATTTCCACTTGTAGTTCGACACTAACAGCACGAACGCCCTTTTTCTGCTTTACAACCCGCCTGTGGATCTCATTCCGCAGCTCTTCGCTCAGGATCGGTGAACTGACAAAGTTTTCATTGAGAGGGAATGGTCGACTTTTGCTATCATCACCTTCCGACTCATCCCTGGCCTTGCCGAGTCTTTTATCATTTTTTCGCTTCCACACCTCGGTTATGTAATTTGTTCTTCCGGGAACATGATGTTTATAGGTGGCACCTTCGCTGCCTAGCCAAGTAAACATAGCGGCCCTATGCCGCGTCTGGGCTGCTCGAGATGTTGAAAAGGGCCGCCGGGAAGGGCATTTTAACCGATTACCGATCTGTTCTCTCTGGAAGACATTGTGTAGTGTAAATATTGCAGAAGGAGTGGATGTGGAGGAGGAGGAAGGAATGCAAGAGGCGAGAGAGTTGGATACTGAACCCTGTATCCGAGGCATGATGGCAGCGTAACAAAAGGAATTGACTAGTACGGTTTGTTATATAGCATTAGGAAAGCTCAATTTGACAATTCAAAGTCGAATAAAAACTTGAACGGTTTTCCACATGAGGGTGAAGCACCCCTGGTTGAGAGAATGGCTGGTAGAAACAACGAAGCAGAGAAAAAGTTTCTATCCTTAGCCCCAAGTCACGTGCCACAAACAAACAACACAAACCATCCATTCTAGTCTATTCTTCGAGCATATATAGTGAAGTCACACTTTGTACAAGCAAGTTGATGATTTATGAAAAACACATTAAATCTTGTCTTTGTAATAAAACTAATTATACAAAATATCTCGTACAAACTAGTACGTTGCATACTGGAAACTCCCAGCAAGAAGTGAAGGCAATTAAAAGGAGAAATGAGAAAAGCTGTGAAAACCAGATCCAGCGAATATAAGATAATAAAAACCAAAGTCATGACCTAAAATGCTGCGCCCATAATATCGAAATCTCCAGATTTCAATGCCCAATAATGCGTAAAACTGATCAAGTGCTAACAATGTGTACCCATTGTATGTTAAAGCCTATGCATGCTGTGGCCATTGCAATCCACGGTGACATAAACGCTGCATTATGCTTCATACAAAAAATAAAATGGTAGCTGCTTGGTCAATGTGATATGAAGATGAGGATGGATATGGGATAGCAATGCAATATATCAAGGGATAAAATATCAAGACACAGTTTCAAGGCAACATTATCAAGGGGATGAAAAAAACTAACAGCCAACCGATTGCTCCCAGACTGCATTGTCCATCCATATTACTCATGCGCCGTAAAATGGATGCTTTTGTTTTGCTAAAAGGGGAATCACATGAAGAAGACAGATTTCAAACAAAACACACACGAGATCATCTTTCAATACGTCCTCCAAAGTCAAACAGATAAAGTGGAAAAATATTCGAACCATCAAAGCCATGATAAATGACTCGGATCAATTAAAAGAGTGGTTGAGAGAGCCGAGGTCGCCCATTGACTTGCAAAAGAAGAATAAAAAAATACATGTCTTGACAAGAAATCTCGTTGACCAGACAAATAAGAATAGAATAGAAAGCGACGCTGTGCAAACCGAGCTCCGAACTGGAATATGATAAATAAACAGACAATTGCCATGTAAGCTTGAATGCGAGTGGAGGGGAAACGAATCCTCCGTATGCCAGCTCTAACTTATGATCCCAAAACCCTAAGCGCCATGAAATCCAGGTATCATCAAAACATGCCATACATTACCCATACGTGATATGTTGATATGCCTTTCTTTCTTGTCAATCAACGACCCATCATATAGTCAGGGTAGACATTGTTAAAGGTTCCCATGCCAGAACCTGCCACGCCACCAGGAACCCCGCCATTCAAAGAATTAGGCCCAATAGGGTTCATGCCGTTTGCTCTGATGCCGAGGCCATTATTTCCAGCAAAAGCATTACCATTTGTCATGGATGCATGAGGGTTTGCAGAGGATGATACAGAGCCATTTCTCAGTCCCATTGGAAGACCAAGGCCGGGAGGGGCAGACAGACCGGGAGGTGGGCCATTCGCAGTGGTAAACATGGCATTCGACATTGAGCCAATCCCATTACTTCCGTGCATAGGAGTCTGTGGACTGAGAGGAGTGGACGGGTTGACACTGCTCCCTGGCTGTCCACTTCGGACACCAAGGGGATTCTTTGAGAAACTAAGGCGAATGCCGGTCTTAACGCTGTTCGATAGTTTGTATCCATACAATTCGTTCAGTGCTTTGCTAGCCATGGCTACCTCGTCAAATTCAACAAAGCACATGGGGCCGTTCTGCTTGTTGCGGAAACACAGACGCTTGTATCCTCGTTGCTTTGAAAAGAGAGCCTTAAGTTCTTCCTCCTGCGTATCGGCTGGGAGGTTGCCGACGTAAAGTGTATTGCATGGAGGATTGAGGTCGTTCGGATTAGCGGCAGGCAAGCTGTGGCGAGGGTTGTGCTGATTGGGGAAGTGGAAGGACGGATTGCCTCCTAGGTTAGGGGGTATTGCGCCCGATGGGGTTGGCACACCCATGCGACCGGTATTTCCGTTAGAGTAGCTCTGCAACGGGGAAGTCACGTTGGTGGAGAGAGATAGCGCAGCAAAACGACCGGTGGGAATTTGTGGGTTCGTTGATCGGCGCTGCAATGGCATGTTGACATGACCATTTTGAGCGTAGCCGACAGGATCTTTGAGCAGCTCACCCGTCTCCTCATCGAGGTCTTGATCTATCACGGACTTCCCGCTCACCCGTGGCAACTCCCCAATTCCGTTCCCGATGGGAGACTGCGGAGAAAAGAGACTGTGCAAACGGGAATTGGTATCGGGGGCAGGAAGTGGTTCGTTTCCATTTGCCTGTTGAGAAACACCATTGGACATGGACTGAAAAGTGCCATTGAAGCGAGATGACTGGCGGGTAGTTGGGCCTGGGAGGCCACGAGCAGACGTATGATCGATGGTGTTCCGGCGGCTGGGGAGAGGGCCCGAATACATTTCCACGATCATGTTGGCTTCGTTGCTAGTGTTGGGTTTGCCGTCGAGCATAGCACGGGCTTCTTCGGCAGCAGTCATGGTGTTGAAACGGGCGACGGCACTGAGAAAATTGACATCGTCGGGAAAGTCAGTCGGAACGAAATCGGCATCCACGAAATCCTTGGCAAACAGAAACATAGAGCGAAGAGCTTCCCGGCTGGTGTTCTTTGGGAGCTTACGCATTAGAATAGCAGCGCTACTAGCCATTCGATGAAAGCCATTCATGGGTGGCGACAGGTCGGCATCGCCCAGTCGCATGCTGTTGGCGCCGAGCCCGTCAAAGGACGAGGCCGGTCCGATGGGAGAGAAAGGATAGGAGAATGAAGAACTTAGAGACGTCGGGGGCTGCGAAACGGAGGGGTTATACACGTCGGTCGACATCACATTATGCGCCCCAGACGGTCCTTGCGACAGCGATTGGGGAGACGAGGAACTGGAAGACACTGACGCCGCGCGCTGTGTAGTGCTGTAGGATCCAGGGCTTGTGCGACTGGACTGAGTTGACGAGGTGTTGACCATACCTCGTCTTGGGGGATTGCTGACACGAAAATGGCCGAACGGAAACACGATCACTGGAACTAGACTGCGCACTCGATCGGCGAAAAGCGATCGACGTCAAAGATGCAGATATGGCGCGCGCTACAAGGACGCGACCATGCCCTTGCCCTCTGCACCGGGGTATTAGTACTAGTGGACCTTACTTTCCTTGCGTTCTTTTTTCTGGGCACGGAATTTGATAGATGCGACGACGCGGCGATATTTGCTGGTGCAGGCACGTCTCCCAGGCGCGATCAATGCACGTGGCAACACACCAGGGCACAGTGAGCAGCTGTCTCACGATCGGGGCTGTCTCAGAAGGGTCGAACAGGGCCGGATTGATGCGGCTGTCGCGGTAGGCAGTGGCCAGGCGCTGATTGAGAAAACCGGGCGGACGGGGCTGGTGGGGAGCGCAGGCGACAGACGAGGACGAGCCGGCGAGAAAAGAAACGAAAAATTTAAACCGACAGCTTGGCGGCGGGTTAAATACGAATAGTGGTGAGGATGAAGTAGAGTCGCGACAGGAGGTGGAGGATGGCAGGATGAGGATGGTGGTGGTAGCGGAGGTGGTTGTGGAGGATGGCGGCGACGAGATGAGGATAAAGTTGGACTTGGGGGGGGATGATGTGTGGGTGGGTTAGAATGGAGGAAGCAGCAGTGACGAGGGAAGTGGGCGTGGTGCAGGCTGCAGCCAGGGGACGGCGATTCGACGGTGCCGGACGAGGACTGAGCTAGCCGGCAGGTCTAGGTGCCTGCGAGCCTGGGACGCTGAGAGTTTGGGACCGCCAGCCCGGAAGCGGCCTAGCGCTTCTCCCATGGCATATACATATTGCATCGCAGGACAGCGCCTGGTTCCTCCTCGCGTAAGCCGTCCGGCTTGAGATATTTAATGTATTCAATGCTGTGATCCACGGCCACGACGCAGCAATAGGCTGCTGTATACAGTTATTCATAATTGTATATTGGTGAAGGCCACGATCGCCCGTCCCCCAACGAGGCTAACTCTAGAGCTGCGGTGCCGTCAGGAGCACTAAGAGGCTGGCCCGGGGCGCGCAGGCCAATCAATGCCCGCCGCCCGCTTGCAGGGGCGTGTGTGTCCACTGGTTAGCCCACCCACTAGGGCCAGCGAACCACGGTCTGCTGCGAACGTGATTTGTTATTACAGTATTAGTTATGTATTATGTATTATATCTTATATCTTATATCTTATGTACTGTATGCTGGCTGGCGGCTGCCTGCCTGTAGCCTGGCCCGTATATCGTTGGCGGTAGCAGTCTGTATTGCTGCAGTAATACGATTGTAATTAATGCGCGAGTCGAGTACGCGCCATGCACCTAGAATTCATGCTGGAGCCGGAGTGTGGCTGATACATGATAGCAGTAATACGTACGGAGTTACTAGCTAATAATAACAATGAAAGGCTGAGTTGCTTAGCACGAAAGGAAGAATAATAATGGGGACGGCGTGCGTTGTGGTGGGGCGCCGCCATGCCGAGACCAGCCCAGCACTGGCAGCCTGTGCGCATTAATAACGTCGTTCCTGTGCCTGCTGATCTAGCTACGTAGTATACCTACATACTCAGAGTACGAGCGAGGAGGAGCATGAGTATGCACAGCCCGTCTCTACTATGTAGGACCAGTCTACTATTGATGATGACTGCGTATTCTGCCTGGGTCGGCCGCTCGGAAACTACCTCCGGCCATGTGACATGCCAGTCCGTAAGGCTAATAAACATCATGAAATTCCTGGCTGTGATTGTGGAAGAATGTCGGTCTTTCTGGGGCCAATCGCAGCCTCGGTTGGTGTTTACTAGAGAATGCGATATGCAATGATGCGTGCATATCTGGAGGATAATAATGATTATAATCAATGATCACGATCATGTGAATGCGACGCGATAACTCAGATAACGCGCCAGCCAGCACTGGCCTCGCTGCTGCCTCGCCCTCCCAGCACGTGATTTCCCATCCTATTTAAGGCTATCTTATGATCCTTACACCCAGCGATCCGGCACTTTGAAACACGAGCAACATCGACGCAGATCAGCGCGCCCTGCAGAAGCCTGCAGATCACCTCACAGTGTCACACCTGATAGTTACGTAGTACGGAGTACCAGACATACTGCAAAGTTCATAACGATCCACTTGAGAGATCTTACCAACTCCCCCACCACCAGCTGTACATATACATTTAATATTATCTAACCGGCAGCCACAGTGGGCCCACTTATGCACAGGTGGCAGCTTAATCTCATCAGTTGATATCCTGAGCCATCCTACCATTTAATATTGCTGATGTGTTGATACTTTAATCAATTCGTGTAGTCCCATCAATCGACAAGAACATCAGTAAAATGGCCAGCTAGCGGCATCAATTGATACACATATCCTGGTTGCTCTGCTCTGACCACCAATTCGAAAGTTGGTATTGATATCGAGGTTATAATATTTCCTCAGCACATATAAATTATTAATGTGCGCGCCATTACCACGGCGCGCACTTCAATTTATTGACATTGAAGGTATGAATTGCTTTGATTGTACATACAAATATACCAATGAAACCCCATCCGAACGCCATGAAATGCTGCTCCAAAATCGATCAATTGATATTCTCATCCGATCCTTTCGCTCCTGATGAACGAAAACTGCAGTTGTATGCCAGCTAGTTCTTCTCGGCATATTTGTTCGGTTTGGGTTCGAAAAGTCCGACCTGAAAACAATCTCTGAGTAAGGTCTCCTCCTTGTATAATATTTGAAGGGGAGTACCCACCATGCTCAACAACCGCCATACGCCATCCGTCGGTTGCGCGCCTACACCCAGCCAGTACTTAATCCGCGATCGATCAATAGAGATTTCCTTGAAAGGCTTGGCCACGCGCGCTTCTTCCTCGGACAGATTTGTTGGCTTCTGCGGGATAGGATTGTACGTTCCGACCACTTCGAGGGGCTTAGAGTCTCGCGCTGACCTGTAGAATCATTAGTTGTGACATCTTGTGAGATAGCAAGAAGACAATTGGGTTGAATTGATCGACCGGCGAACAGACTGGCAGGCCGAAAGCAACAATAAAACAATTTTCAACGTACCTCGCCTGCGCGACAACAATGTTGTAAAACGGCGAATGGCGGGGCCCGAAGCGGGACAGACGGATTCTGACGACCATCGTGTACCGATTAATCGATTTCTATTTAATTGATGGCAATCGAGTCTGGCGCTGATGAAAGAAGAAGCTTGACTTTTTATTCTCTTGTCAGTCCGACCGTCAACTTTCAAGTCTTGAGTCTTGGCATTGCGCCTTTCCTATTTTGTCATAGCGTGCGTCCATAGTAGGAAAGAGGGCAGATCAACTGTTTCAACGATATGATGTAATTTACATCTTCCTCATCAAAGCTATCCTGTGCCCGGCTCTTTGGTTTACTGTATTATAAGTTTATGTTCCGTTCATCGACACAAATCAAACATACTTCCTACCCATCAAGGTTGATTAGATATTCCTCTCGATATAGCAGAGCTCTAAATATGTCTCTCAAGGTATGCTATCCACCTAGGATTTCAAAGTGTACAGCCACTCATAAAATCTTCCAGGCAATCTCATCCAAAGATGCTGCCGCCTTGGATAAGGACCTGATGGACGTAGGCGGGTTTTCACTAGATCAGTTGATGGAATTAGCCGGTCTTTCCGTGTCACAGGCTGGTTCGTCAATTGAATACATATGTTAAAGGAAGAACACAGCTGATAAGTTACTTGTATCAGTCTACCGTTTTCATCCTCTGAGTAAAGGGAAACGTGTTCTTGTTGTATGCGGCCCTGGAAATAATGGTATGCTTCAATCTTCAGTTCATCGCGTAGGTATTAGCTCACATTCACTACAGGAGGAGACGGTCTGGTTGCCGCTCGCCATCTAGCGCACTACGGTTATACACCCTCAATCTACTACCCAAAGCAGGGCAAGAACGAACTATATGCGGTACCGCCTCCTCTACACGTCATATCCGTAATAATTATCTAACAGTACTCAACAGCGTCTAAAAACGCAGCTGGAGAACCTCTCTGTCCCTTTCGTGGCAGACTTCACCGCCGCAGTGGACTCTACAGATCTAATCATCGACGCCATCTTTGGCTTCTCATTCCAAAAGCCCCTTCGAGAACCATTCCCGTCTATCATCAGCCAACTAGAAGAAACAAAAGTCCCCGTGCTGAGCGTTGACACACCGAGTTCATGGGATATCCAGGAAGGCCCGCCAAAGGAAGGCCCTGGAGTGAAGTTTATGCCGGGCGCGTTGATTAGTTTGACGGCACCGAAGCCGTGCGTGAAATGGTACAAGGGGAGACATTTTGTCGGAGGCAGGTTTTTGACAAAGTCAATTGCGGATAAGTATGATCTGGATGTACCAGAGTACGCCGGTATCGACCAGATTGTTGAAGTTGGGGTGAATGCAGATGAGAAGCTTTGATGCTAGATTGCTAATGATGAGGGTATTTTTGAGAATATGAAACTGATTTGATTTCCATGTTCTATGAGGCCAATGATTTTGAGCTAATAATTTGCAATATCTATGAAACGAGGCCATTATCATGAAAGCGTCTTTCGAATCTCTTCCACGACGCCTTTGACTCGGGGTTCTCGTCCGCTGCCCGAGCTCAACAATTTGCCTAGCACACTGTTGAGACTATATATATCCTTCGCTGCACTCTTGACCTCCTCCCCAAGTTCACTGATGAGGGTTCCCACAGCAACAAGTCCACGATAGACCGCTTCAGAGTCCTTTTCCTTTGCGAATATTTTGGACAGTTCGTCAAGCAACTGGAGGGCATGTTCCGCAGAATCTGCACTTTCGGCGCGTCCCTCCGTCGTGAAGTACACAGCATAATTGATATACAAGGTCGTAGCAGCGATCGTGATGTTACGATTTGGTGCACTACTCGAGCTTGTCGTGACGGATGATACCATGCGGAGTAAGTCGTCGAATTTGCGTATAGCCAGTTCTCGGCCTAGAGAAGTTTCAAAGAGGTTGCCGAATAGCCGGATCGCGAGCATTGCGTTGTTGCCATTCACAGGATTCTCGAATACCCCGCTATGTTGAATCGCAGTAATCACATCTCGCCCCTCGTAGAGTGTCTGTGCAGTCACAGGAGTTGCAGCCGCAAGAAGTCGGAGCAGATCGAGAGCGGGAAGTCGACTCGCAGCTGGCCATTTTGTAACTGCTTTAATAACTGACTGTATCCCAGGCTCAGTAGTAGCAGCTTCCTTCGGCAAAATCCCTTTACTCTCCAATTCGTTGCATAGAACGAGAACAGCTTCCAACTCAGGTGGATTGAAAGAAACGTCTTTGTTTCCGGAAGACACGAGCTGCTCGTTTAATTCTTGTAACTTTTTCGAGATGACCTTGATGTTGGCCGACTTGATAGAGAGGTAAGATTTCTGTGGAAGTACACTCGGGCGCGTCTCAGATATTGATGATGGTGGAGGCGCCTGTGGTGTTGCGGCGGCATCTCCGGGGCGGTAGCGTCTTTCCTGACCCCAAGGATCTGCACCAGCTGCTTGCTGCGACTCTGTCGTTTGACCTAGTGTTGCGCCTTGTGTATTCTGCGTGATGAAGTTCGCAACTTGTTCAAGGTACGATATGGGAAGCTCGTTGTCCTGTATGAACTTGGTTGCAACCTCATAAGGATTCTGGGAGAGGTTAAATGGTAGCTTTAACGGTGGTTTCCCATCCTCAATGTCCACGTCAAAGACGTAATCGTAATCTTGACCCAAGTACTGTGTCTTTCTTCCGGAGCTTCCGGCAGATTCAACAACAGTTCCTACGGCGATCCATTCTTGTGTTGCTGATGACCATGTATGTGCTGTAACACTGCCGTTATCCTCCTTGATCATCTGTACCTGGCCATCTTTGGTTCCCGATTTCTGTTTCAAGAAGTCTGGCCCAGGTAGCTTCTCTTTGTTGATGTTCCCGACCTGTTGTTGTGGTATAGCTGACTCCTTCACAGCGCTCTCAAACTGCTGAATGACAGCTGGCTCCGCCTGCCGACTTTGATCTCTAGAAAATATCCTGGCGATCCGATCACTTGCGCCGGTGATGATGTCTCCATTCTCTCGGCATACTGCAACATCCCATACAGAAATTGCAGGATGCGTGATTGTTTGTATGCACTGATTGCCATTCCAGACCTTGACTGTGCGATCCTCACCAGAGCTCACCAGCTCACCCGATGGCAGGACTGCCAATGAGTAAATAAAACTTTCGTGTCCATGCAATTCGCTCACCAATTCTCCATCCAGAGTGAAAAGCCTGATGACACCATCGTTGCTTGCAGAAGCAAACTGAGCACCTGAGGGATGACCTGAGGGAAGCTTGGTTAGGGCTCGAACGACATCCTGTGAATCTTTTATTGATTTGAGTAGCTTTCCAGAGGTGTTGAAAATACGTATGATGCGATCAGCACAACCTGTAATGACAGTATACTTGTCATATGCAAGAACCGCCCATACGCTCCCTTGATGGCCGTCAAAGACAACCTCGGTTGCCCAGTTACCCACTCTCCATAACCTTGCCGTAGCATCCCAGCTCCCACTCACAATCCATTCACCTTCAGAACAGACGTCGATAGAACACACATTATGACCGTGGCCAAGGAGCATAGCGTCGGCGTTATCATCGGAAGCTTTCGATGGTTGGCGGGCATCAATTATTGTGTCCTGACTGCCAGAGAATATGAGGCCTTCTGGATACTCGGATGTAGGAGGATAGTACGCCAAAGAGTTGATGAAGCCTGATCCATGAGAGGCGATGGTGCAATCATATGTCGGCGGCGGAGAAGATATTTGTTTCCAAATGCGGACCGTAGCATCTCGTGAAGCTGTAGATACTACTTTGGAGTTTAGGAAGGCCACAGCGCGAACCTGCGATGGTCAGTGATTGTATGGACAGTTTAAATGCAAGTACGTAATATACTGACATCATCACCGTGGCCCTCTAAAGAAGCCGAGAGCTTGTATTCAGACATGCATGAAACTTTGCAAATTAAAATGCTGGAAAAATCAAAATATCTTTGTGAACTGAGCTTGACGAGAGCTGGTGGTGGTGGAAAGTACTAGATCTGATTGTTTGGTAATGTTACCCGCTGCGTCATGCGGGGGGCAGAGCTTATCACGTGCGGCGTTGAGCTCCAAAGACTTTACGGAGCTTAGATAGCTAAATTTGAGGCAGTTTTGTCTTTTCACCTGAGCTTTCCATGCCAAAATTGGCTTAAAGAACCACTGCCCTTACCCATATCCTATACCGCTAGTTATAACCTTCACAAATATTCTCAGTACAGACCGCAATGGAAGTTCTGCAAACCCCTCCACAGGCAAACTCATTTACGCCATTGGCGGAACATCAATCACGCACACCCCAGTCATTTTACGACGGTGCACCGGTCCTACACTACCACAGTACTCGATGCAAGGTCGTAATTCTGGAAAGCGAACTGACCAGATCACCGGCTTTGCGCACTCTGCGCGGAACAGCCTCCGAGACAAATGGGGCGTCTGGAGCTGCTCATGATGCTTCTGAGGAGAAGGAGATAGCTGTTGACGGTGTTGATATCTGGGTGGCTTCTGAGTAAGCATTCTTATTCTTTGCGTAGCAATTGAATGCTCAGCTAATGAATTCACTTAGTAAATTCTTCCTCTACCGGCCTGACGCTGGTGCAGGGGTCGCGATTCCTTACCCACTCATCTCCCTTCATGCCATTCAACGACTCCGTTTACCAGACACGCCAGAAGGCGCAGGGGAGGTTCAAGGACTGTATATGCAAATCGCGAACCCAACTACAGCCGACAACACTGGTGCCGAGGAGGATGAAGAGGAGGACAGCATCAACCTCACCGTTGTCCCCCCATCTACCGCCGAAGCTGCGAGTGCTGCGCTCGGCTCGTATTCTGCGGGCACCGAGACTGCTGCGCTTGCATCTGATGAAATGGCAGCGGAGGCGGGCGTGGATATAAAACCAGAAGAGACCACGACACAAGCGCTGTACCAGGCTGTATCGGCTTGTTCGAATCTCCACCCGGACCCCATTGCACCGGGTGAGGGCGATGATGATGACGCTTATGAGGGTACTGAGCAACCGGGAGTTGGAGATCTCTTGCAGGCTGGATTAATTGTTCCAGGCGCCGCCGATGGCGGGTTACCGCCACCGATGCATGGAAGTTCGGGCTGGATCACGGCTGACAATATTGGCGAGTATTTTGACGAAGAAGGTAACTGGATTGGTGAAGGTGAGCCGCCTACTTTACCGGGATTGGGCCCTGGGGCAGGAAACGTGCATGATAGGGATGACGGAGAGGTCGGTGAAAATGGGGAAGTGGATGATGAGACGAAATGGAGAAGGACTGATTAAGTGTAATATTATCGGAAAAAAAAGGAAGTCTTGAAGATCTAAAAGCTCCAGGTTGAATAAAAATAGTTAAGAAAAGCGTATGATATACATTGATTAATTTTTACTTCGGGCTTTATGAATATCGAAGAGAGTCCATATAGCAATATTCGAGAGATAAATTTGCTTTTAGGAAAAATAACTCAAAAAGCCTTCCTCGGAATTGGTATCTCATATATCGTTACTTACGTCTTGACACATTAAATGTTTTTATCTTTTCATTCCTTCAGGAAGCCATCACCGTCGTACAGACTTCCTGGGGTGACCGCAACACTTCCATATCCTTGGTTTTTGTTAGGTGTTGCCATGACAGCAACTCTTTTCGCAGGCTTATGGACATGCTCATCACTGCTGTCGCTGTTTGCTTTAGCTTCACGATCGTGGTCTCCGAAGGTAATGATACTGCTGCTCGGTGGTACCTGACGGATAGTGGATTGGCGAGATGAATCGGAGCTCGTCGTCGGGTTCAAGTATTCTTCAGTAGTGCCCTCTGAGTCAATGCGCTCAAGGGTCTTGAATGGATGCTTCTTCCGGCGTTCTGGTGGCGGTGTAAATTTGTCATCTTCACTCGCATCTTCCCAAATCGTTAAGCTGTCGTTACTCAGCAACGAATTGCGGTTGCTTGATGGAGGTGTTGTGAATTTATTGCCCCTGGGTTTATTGATACTGGTGTTTCGACCCATTCGTCGGTATTGTTTTGACTCGTCATCCCAAGCGTCGCTATTCATCCGACGAAGAAGCGTAATTGATTTACGAACATCTCTTGTGGGAGAAGCGACAAGAGCTAAGGATCGTCCCTTCAATTTTGAGGTCGGGGATTCATCACCACTGGGTCCTCCTGCAGTGAACATGTAAACACCATTGTCGATAGCCTGAGAGGTCGAAGGGGAAGGAACAGTATTTCGTTGCGCCTTTATGGGTTGAATACGAGGACCCTTGGGCCCTGGTCGTCGGGGACTACCTGTAGAAGCGTTTGTGGGAAAGATAGGCGAGGAACCAGCAAACTCATTAGAGTGAGGCAAAGACCATAACGGATGGTGTTTTTCTGGCGAGGGGGTGCTTGATAATGTATGATTTTCTTCAACAATTGCCTCGGAGCTAGGCTCAGGTATAATAATCCGATTCTCCGACATGAACACATCATCAGCGGAGTTGGTTCGCGAGTGGGGTCTTTTTCTTGAGGTGCTCGGGCGAGGGATACGAGAATTTATGCTAGGCGAATTGGAAAGAATTGAAGGCTCCCCTGGAATAGACCCAGTTGAGCGATGACGAGCGTGCTTCTGAACGGGCCCATCATGGCTTGAGTTTGTCTTTGTAGCAAGAAGTGAAGCTGATTCAGATCGCGATTTTGGAGCCGTCAAATCATTATCTAAATCTAGAACTTCTTCAGGCTCTTCAAGCATGGGTGAGAAAGCTGGTCCCCCAAATGTGATAGGTGGATGAATAGAAATTCGCACACAGTTCTGCCTCCTATGACCTTTTCGCATGCCCTGGGCTGATTTCAAAGCCGATGGCAATGGTCCTTTGCCAGGGCTGTCTTTCACCCCTCGTGGACTCTGTGTCAGACTTGACTTTGGTCTGTCCCCTACGCTCTTACTAAAGTTTGCCATGTGCTCCTCCCTCCCCTGTTGCGTTTCATACATTGAATACCGTCCTTGGCGGTTACTCTGAGTACCAAATTCTTGGCTTGAATACAGGCCTTGTCCAGTTGTAGAGTAATAGGTTTTCGGGCTAGCACCTGAAACGCTGCTCAATGGGCGGCTGCTTGAACGACCCAGAGAAGATGAGGATATGACGGTCTCGCTTCGGCGCGGTAGCTCACTAGCCCACTCAGAAGATTGGGGCGACACTTCTCGCGTAGTCAAACTCCGTCGAGGAGAATGTCTATCATCTGAATCTCCTTTGTAGGAATCCGTCGATACATAGGTGAGGCGAGCAGTAGATGAGGATAGCCTTTGTGACTGTGATCTTCTCTGCGCTGCACAATTCCTTGCAACACTGCCCCCGATCACAATGTCATATGGACTGAACGGCGTAAAGGTAGGGCAAGGCGGCAAAGAAGGGGAAGTATTGTGTTCGCCATCCATAGACATCGACCTTTGAAGCCCATCATCTAGAATAGAGCTGTTGGCTGTTTCTAAGCTTAACGATGACATACCCATCAAAGAGTCTTCTCGGGATAATTGGTAGGGTTGTGTGGGCCCCATGGGTAGTGGAGGCATGGGCATCTCTGGAGCTGTACCAGCTGTTTGGGCAGTAATGCTGCCACTGCGAATTCTCGTTGGATAACGATTCAAAAGCGCAGGTTGCCCACCAGCAACGGAAGAAATTCGGTCTGGTTGTAGGAGGGGCCATGCAGTAGATCCGGGGCGACTATTTAACATTTCGAGCTGGATAATATCATGTTTTTCTCTTTCCGGCGTATTTCTAGGCGTGATCTCGGTAGGAAGCTCCGATAAGCCTGCGATGGCCGATTTGGGCTCCTTCTCCTTCGCGTTTGGGAAGGGCATTGGAAATGTTTCATTCAAAGGAGAGACTGGTATAGGCTCTGGGTGCACCTGCTTCTGGCTGCTCTTCCCAATAGAGAGACTCTTTGACAAGGACTTTGATATTGACCTTCGGATAGATTTGGATTTCTCTTTCTTGAGCGTTGGAGGTGGAGAGTTTCTGACTTGAGAGATAGAAGGCTGGAGGGTTTCCTGTGACCCAACAGGTATATATTCGTGGCGCATGTAAGGGTATGGATATGTAGCCAGTGGCGACTCAATTGGAGACTCTGTTACGAAACTGCTGCACACCTGTCCATGGTGACTTGTAGCATGACGAGCTTGAGCCATCGCTAACGACAGCCGGTCTTGTCTCATCCGCCACCAGACCACCACGCCCAAGATCGCGGCGACAATGAGCAAGCTCGAGCCTCCGACCGCGACGGCAATTAGGACAGGCAGGCCGATCATCTTGTCGGTTTAATTGGGCTGATACACCAGTGGAGCGAAGCGAGCAGCAGTCTGACAGGAAATTTCGGCTACAGCAATATAATGGGAGCTTGGAGCTCACGGCGCTTCATACGATGCTGTTCGAGTCTGCCGACGGGAGCTGGTGAAGGCGGACGCAACGACAGGACAACATGGGTCCTGGCGGGTTAGGACACTAGGAAGCAGCACTGAGGGTCCGTTCATGGCGAGGAAAGGTCACATCAGAGCCGGCTGTTGTGGGATATGGGATTTCTGGTTGTCGGCGTGGAATGTGGACTGGTCGACCCTCCACAACGCGAAGAATGCGCTCAGGCTCTTCCCAACCATGATGCCAGCGGCTGAATCCTTGTGTCTGCCCATCAGGAATATCCTATCAAGAAGATCTTATCTCAACACGGGCTGCCAAGTTTGATGAGACGTCAATGATCACCATTGAGTAGTATGCTGAAGGCTGGAACATCCACCGTTTGGTGTTTACACTCTGCTCTACTGGAATGCTTCGTTGCATTGATGTAAAGTGATTTCTGGTGCTCGGATAGGGAGAAAGCATGATGAAAAGCAACTGATAAGGATTTTCATTTATAAACAGAGAAGCAGTGATATTTTAGCATGTTGGTTAGTGCTGTAGTGTGGGAGTAGTGAGACGCTCGTTGGGAGGGGGTAAGAGGGAAGGAACGAAAGAAGGAAAGAAGGAAGGGATGCGAGACAATGTGCCGGCAAGCCGATGCGAATGGGGTTGCCTTGTGTCACTCATTCATCTCTGTTATTGTTGTGTACTATACTACCTACCAGAGTATAGTCCTACTTACACACCAGCTTACTAGCAATGGAGTCGAGGGAGCTGCCAGGTCCGGTGAATTGTTGTATAGGGGATTTGCATCCGCATCCCACTTTCTTTCCCCGTGACACAGCCCATAATCTTAACTCTCACCGCCATCAAAGAGAGGCCTCCAACAAGAAGCTTAGCGAATGGTACAGGCTCGCTGCTGGCAGTGCCGACTCTCGGCTGGTCTCGCCAGCGCCACTGGAGGAGGGCTGGGGTAATTAGTGGCTAGCGTGGATGTGAGTCTCAAAATGCAGTCTGGGGGTGAGCATCAATCGATATACAGTTCCTACTATTAAGTCGCAGTGCAAAAAAGGAGGAACAGAGAAAAAGCATGGTGATGGTCTATGGGCGTCACCTGACAGCGCCAGCGCAAAACAATCATCGAGGAAGCGCTCCACCGGGATCCACTGCGGGTCTCCTGCCTCAGGCCTTCAGGTGTCAACGGGCCTGCTTACCACTAACTGCTACCTATTTTTCCTCCCTAATTATCCCCCACTCCTCCTATTGATGCTCCGGTCCAGTCGAGCCCCCAGGGACGCGCCGGTCTGACACAATGGGATTGGCTTCATCCCCCCTCACCGACCCTCTAAAACGTCACAGTCCCCATTGTGGGCATTATTACTATCATTATGGACCCCCAGACGATGACGTGCCGAGTGGCCGACTGTCTGTCCGATCGCGTTTTCTCGCCAACACAGCAACGAGATAGCTCGCCTGCACCACACTCCATGCAGCGTGGAATTGGCTGCTTGAGGCGCCTCCGCCGATGCTAATGCTGATAGTGCCGTCCCCTTGCCGGTCACTCTTTGTCCTGCGAGTAGCGTGGTGGTCGCCCGTACGGCCAAAGCGAGATGGACGTGGGAGCAACCCCAACAAACAACAAATGCAAGCTGCGATGGACAAGCTTTGGCTCACGCCACCGAATCCATCCGCTCAGCACGAGATATGAAGAATTTTCCAAAGGGCCTTCCATCCGCGCACATCGCGCGCCATGCTCTAATCCTGCCCCGCTCTTTACCCACAGAACCAGTGCTGCGCGAGCTTAATGATCACCGCTCGTTGCCCCTCCATCCATAATTCCATCGAGCGAGCTAAATCTCGACCTTGCCCTCCCACACTATTTCTTGCTGCTGTGATCCTCTTTCTCTCTTCATCTTCTCTCCCGTCTCATCCTCGCCCAGTTATCCCACACATACACATAGCTCGTGCTGCCTCTCATACCACTCACAATGTCTGGCTCCCCCATTAACGAGAACGCTGTCTTCGTGCACGACAACACCGTGCCTCCAGTGCACAACAGCTTGTTAGCTCTTTTCTCCCTCAAGGGAAAGACTGCCATCGTCACCGGTGCCGGTGCTGGTATCGGTCTCAATGTCGCCCAAGGTCTTGCCGAGGCCGGCGCCAATGTCGCTTTGTTCTATAACACAAACGACAAGGCCCCGGAACGTGCTGCTGAAATCGAAAAGAAGTTTGGCGTGAAGGGTAGGTTGGACAGGCACCTGGAAGACCCGTCCGGTGTACTAACGTTCCTTAGCCAAGGCATACCAAGCCGATCTCCGCGACCAGAAGAAGGCCGAGGCCACCATCAACCAGGCTGTCAGTGACTTCGGCGGCCGTCTGGACATCTTCATTGCCAACGCCGGTATCCCATGGACCCAAGGCGCCAGTGTCGATGGCCCTATCCAACACTACCTCGATGTTGTCCAGACTGACCTGGACGCTACCTGGTACTGTGCTCGTGCTGCTGCTGCCCACTGGCGCCGACAGAAGGACGAAGGCACTGACCTGTCTGGCAACAAGCTTGAGAACTTCACCTATGGCAGCTTCGTCGCTACTGCCTCCATGAGCGGTCACATTGTCAACATTCCTCAGCTTCAAGCCCCTTACAATGCCGCCAAGGCTGGTGTTGTCCACCTGGGTAAGTGCTTTTGGCAACACTTGTTTTACAGTAGCCTGCTAATCGTCAACACAGTCAAGTCTCTTGCCGTTGAATGGGCCAAGTACGCCCGCGCCAACACCATTTCTCCTGGATACATCGCCACGGAGATCTCCAACTTCATTCCTCAAGAGACACACGATCTCTGGAAGAGCAAGATTCCCCTAGGCCGTGAGGGCCAGCCCCAGGAGCTCAAGGGTGCTTTCTTGTATCTGGCCAGCGATGCTTCCAGCTACACCACGGGAGCCGACCTCCTTGTTGACGGTGGCTACACCGCTCCTTAAACGGTTCTACCTGCCGACAGAATGTTTGCGATATGACATGACGATATATATATTGATTGATGGGTTGATACGACTTTTGAGAAGCATGTGACTGCGACACCGATTTCGCGGGTTTAAAATGGCTGTTTGTTGTTATGATGACTAGAATATAGACTCTACCCGTAGCAAGCGGGGAGTATATACGATCAACCTCAATAGACTTACGGACATACAATTCTCACAAAATAGACCGAAATGTTTTGTTCGTACGGACCATTTTGTTACACAAATGACGTCATAAGAACAATAGAAAAGCATCTCCTTCCACTTTCTAAGCGTGATATAGCTCTCTATTTAAAAAACCATTCCCATTTGAACTCTGCATATTCTATTACCTGGTTTTTGCTCCGCATCGTTTTCGTCCCGATGTCCTGTGACCGAACCTCCACCGCCGCATCTTCAGGCAGCGGAATCACGGGAACAGCATCCCTCATCGCCCACTGACCTTGGATAGCCTGGTGACTCGTGCTGCATCGCCAATCAGCGCCAGCAAACCCGGGTTCTGGCCTGCGAAATGTAACCGGGGCCAACCTTGCAACCTAAAAATGATCTTGTCGTCGCCAGCCCTTCTCACCGACTTGGTCAAGGAGTGGTCTTGTCACTTGATAAAGCAGCACCATGGTATTAGATAGATGTGATTCAGTCAGCCATGGTAAAATATGGAGACAGGAATTATTTCTTGGGAGTCAACCGCCAAAATCAAGCTCAACTTGTTTGCTCATTTGCACATTTATTGTGGTTGGTCTGGCTCTCAACAACATGGCTGATTGTCTTCTTTCATCTATGCTATGCTCGTCAAGATATGGCAAGTAAATAATACACAGCACATTCACATTGGCTATTATCAGTGTTTGAATAATCAAAGACCCCATCTGGTGAATCAATATATGGGGTGTGTTTATTCACAAACATTGTCTATAGACTCACCTCCATGTATACTGTCTCATGTTGACTCAATTTCTTCCTTTCTTTGCTTATTTGTATAGAAAGGCTTTCTGGACCTCTGACTGCTACTACTACACTACTGTTAATTTTTCCAACCCCCCGCTCGTCTCTCTCCCCTATCTCTAGAGATTCTTTTCCAGAGCCTATCGATTTCATTACAGGTATCGCAGCTGTGTGCAATCAAACAAACCCGACAACATGATTCAGACCACAACCAACCAGCAGCGATCTTCAGGGTCTTTTCCCAGAAGCAAGAAATCGCAAAGAAACACAACAAATTCATCGAAGCTCCCACAGAGGCTGATTCTCAATCCACCCAAGCCACCCCAACACCCAAAACTCGCACTACGTTCTTCTAAGCAACCGATTTTCAACCGATTAGCTGGGGATTGGATGGACTTTACGCTTATTGGAAACGGCCAAGACGCACCCTACCATTATGGTGACATATGCAAAGTGCAAGCGATTATGAAAATCTTTAATGGGTCATCTAGTACAACGAGTAGCGGAGTTGGAGGTGTGGAGAAGCACGAGTCTATAGATGTCGAGATGACTATGGTAGACACAGAGCTGGATGACCATACTCGTGTGGAACAGGAGATGGTACGTACAGAAACGATTCTAAATTGCCCGTTCAGTTGAGCTGATAGACGACGCTCTAGAATGACATTCTGCAAGAAGCTCTGGACTGTCCGCACTGTGAGAAAACCATGCATTTCGAACCCGAGGCCATGGAATCAGACATTCGTCTTGGTATTTACCGACGCTCTGAAGATCCACCATTCGTCCTCAACCAACCACGCGAGGAAATCGCCCCAGACGAGATGCCACAAGAGGTTTGGGAACCGGGGTACCTCAATCTCGCGACCACAGCTCAGCAAGAAAAATATCTCCAACTAGTCTCGCAGCACATTGACCGCAACCGAGCCAACAAGGCCTTCATTGGTATGGACGACATTGACCAAGGCTACGAATCGAAATTCGCGTTCTATTGCGTTGACTACCACATTCACCAACATTATATTCATCGACGCAGCGTCCTCAATCTATGTCGGACAAACGACGAAATGGATGATTTTCGCTATTGGAAATATAAGCTGGCACTCTGGACAGCCCAGCAAAACAGTCGACCGCAGGAAGAATCGCGTGATATAATAGTTCAAACCATTCCTGTGGACGATGAAACAGCATCGGAGCCAGCTTCTGCCACTACGAGCCCTCCAGCCATCGTGATAGAGTCTGAATCCTCAACATTAAACCCATTCACCACACCTCCATCGTCCCCAATATCCTCCGTGTTCTCTTCCCCTTTATCATCTCCATCGACCGCCGCCTCTTCGCCTCCCGGCCTACTATCATTCCCACTTCCACCACCCGCCATCCTTCCCTGGCCAAATCAGCAATTCACATTATCCGCCCAGATCACCCTGCACCGCCGGCTAACCAACCCGCGCGAAAGAGCAGGACATGTCCGCGCCGCCCACAAACGATTTCAGAGTATTATGGAAGAGCGCGCGATCCAGCGGCGCGAGGGTCTGGCGAAAGCCGAGTATCAGGCTACTATCGCTTGGAACAGATGGCAACTTGGTAAAGGCGGTCCTTTGGCGATAACCAGGGAAGGAGAGATCGGCGAATTACTGCAACGATTCAGTCGTTGATGTTACTACTACCTACCCGTTCCTGAATAATATAGCGGTGTGAGGAGTTTGATTTTTCTTTTGACTGGGTTTGATTTTGTCTGCTTGTGCTCCTTTGCATCCGAGATACCCTGGGAAGACCGCATTGCTTGTTGCATGATATTGGAACTGAGATTGTGATTGATACCCTGAGTGCGGTGTTGTTTGTTATTTTTGTGCACTGCCGATGTTGTTGAGGTTAGGTATTCATACGTATTAGCTTTATCATGCCTATCATAATACAGTGTTGAAGGAGAATCTTGGAGTCCTAATCCTCAATTAGATAGGCAAATTAGTCATGAAAAAGAAACCACCGAGATAGCGAAATATAGGGTAAGCTAAATATCGATAGATAACATGCTAATAATATCAATTGATGACACACGAAGTTCGAAAAGGATTGTTTCAAGGTATGATACCAGTCAAGTCTTTCATTCCAGCGAAAAGAAAAAAAAATCAACCTAGCAATCAATGTTGATCATTAAGTCACAGACTTACCCACGCCATAATACTCCAAATATCGCAACCGAAAAGATGGAAAATTCGTGCAAACACACCCCAGAGCTACTTTTTCAAACTAGTAGTAATCATAGTACACAAAATAAATTCAACGAAACGACATAACAGATGTGGGGATATCAACAGGTTGCAAAAGCCCAATATATCAACGAAATAAATACGCTGTCAAAGAGTCAAAGTCGACAAGGAAAAAGAGAGAATAAAATAAAAATAAAGAGAATGTGGGTATAGTTTAAACGGCGTCGCTATCGGTCATTTCAACCTCCCGATTCGCCGTCTCGATAATGGGAGGCTTGATATCCATAGGCATCGAGCGGCTGTCTTGCGCTGCTGGTGGTGCATCGTGCTGGCCATTCTCTAGGTCTGGCATCTTGCGATTCAACCGTTCACACCATGTTTGTGCGCTTACGAGGGTATCGTCAACAACGCGGTGGACCTGCGTCATCATATCTAGCCCCTCCTGTGCGAGCACTAGCACGCGACGTGCGCTGGTCGCTTCATCAGAAGTTGCCGACCCAGATTCGACTGAGGAGTCCGAAGTCGAGGCAAGTTTGAAGCGCTGAGGAAGCGAGACAAGGTGACGACGAACTAGATTGCGGGCATTTTCTGGGAGCGCCCCGCCGGTGTATTTGGACACAATATCGACTACTTGCCGTAAAGTGCGCAGAACATCTTCCCTGACGGCCTGGATATGCTGCGACAACATTGCGCGATTCTGCGAAGAGTTCTCGTCTGCAGATCGTTCTTCCCATTTGTGTAGCGCGTTTTTCAAAGCCAATACCGCATTGTTGAGTCGCTCGTTTGCCCATTTGAGCCATTTCAGACAGTAAGCTAGTCGGCGAAGAGACTCATCGCTCATGGCCACGCCTAGTCCAGATGTCGAGATTACCAGACGGTTGTGCCAGCTCCTCTGGTTCTGCGCCGAGTCGTTTGCCATCTGGTCACTGCTATTGACTTCTTCATAACTGGGCGACTTGTGGTCGTCGTATGGGGGTAGAGTCTCCGAGTATGACGTATCAGAAGTAGACCGGTCGCGCTGCATCATTGTTTTCTCCATGTCGGTATTCTCACTTGAATCTTCCGTCTTTCGACGCTTGTTTGGTTCACCAAGTTCGTTTGTGTCTCGTCGTTGAAACGCCCAGCGAAGACCACCTTCTACACCGGTTTTTCGCGAGACAGTGCCCACGGTATTGGCGACCGGGGAGCCGATGTTTCTCTCAAGGAACTCTGCTCCGTATTTGAACCGCGTGGAGTATGACTTGGAGGACTCATACGCGGACATAGACCCGTTGATGGCCGACGAAATCAGCGGATGCGTGGAGGTGAGGAGAGACAGGAGCGGTTCAGGGTGGCCGTTATGAGGTTGGTTTGGGGTAGCGGATAGTTGCTGCTGTTGTGAGTGCGCCTGTGGTAGGGCAGTAGGATGGGAAGGCGGAGAATGGACGAAATCTATATAGACATTATCAGCATTATCAGCATTCATCCAGCGTGGCCCAACAAAATATGGTAAGGTAGGGTGCGGGTTTACCCGAACGAAGGCCCTCTAGGGCCTGTGCGGCTTCGATATCATCCATTGATAGAACGCTGGCAGCTCGACGAGCACGATCGTCATCGACGTCCATCATTGTTTTAGGGGAGTCAAGGGGCAGAGCGGAGGCCGGCATCGCAGAAGATGGCGGAGGTGGAGGACGAGGCATCGTAGAGGTAGCGGCGGTATCAGTGGCACCGTTGATGGAGCGTGCCATTACTGGTGGTGGTGTTGAGCTCGGGGCGAGAACATGTGCGTGGGCCTGTGACTGGTTCCGGTGTGGCCATCCCGTGGGTTGGGCGGTCGGCTGGGGGGCTTGCATTTGAAAGCGACTGAACAGCAGAGACTGGCGCCGCGACTTGGCCGATCCAGATGGCAGCGAGCAGTGGCACGCTGGTTATGGCTGGGTGCAGTATTATTGGGGACGGGCGTTGGGGCAGACCGAATTTGGCGGTGATGTCTGGTCTGGGCAGGCTCTGCACGTGAAAGTCACGACAAAGGGGGAGGCCGCCAATAATATGACACAGCGCCGCGATCGACGCTGCTCTGGTAGTTCTGCGTCTACGGTGTGCATTTATTATCCATGCATTATTACTCCCTGTATCATCACTACCAGTATACTAGTAGTACTGCTATGAAGTTGTAGTATGGCCAATTCTGTATATCAAAGACCTGTTGCGTGATGTGGTTATTGCCGACAGCGCGGGTGCTCGGATCGAGGGCCGAACATCCATACTGGATAAGAGGATAATCATGGCGCCTCACGTGCGAACAGCCATCACTCAACAGAAATTCTTACTAGTAGTCTTCTAATCGCAATTCGGATCTCGCTGTGAGTGTTCTAATGTTATTCATAGCAGGATGAATTGTGAAAATGCGCACCCTTGCCGACGAACAATTATGGTCGCCCAGCGTGGGGGCACCGGCAGTTCAGGCAAGGTATCATCCTTACTTACCCCTCTCTTCTCCAGTATGGACTATTAGTTAAATATTCACCCGGAGAGTAATCCGCGGGATTTCCCAACTCGGGTCTAGCCACGCTCATCTGTTCAGGCCGGGGGGGGTATTGGGAAAAGATGACCAGCCATGCTAGCTGAATCACAATGATACTAATCATCGACTGTAGGAAGAGACTGAGATTGGCAAAGGATGATGTCTCCGTCGCATGTGAAATGCCCTGATCTGGACTAGCGCGTTGGGGAGGGGCCAGAATCACATGATTTATACTGACTCAACAATTTGGAGGAGATTCCCTCTTCTTGCATTGTGGAAGAGATGTCAAATAACATCCAATTGCCTAGACACAGAACATGATAGACTGACTGACTGGCTTAAATGTACAATGCCAGCGGATCTCCAAAGGATATTATTCCTGCAAACCCAAAATAGACCAAAAGCCCGTAAATACAAATGAATCCTGCAGATAAGACAATGGCACCTGCCGCTATCCTCCCATCTCTTGCTCAAACAGCTTGGTTCATCCAGTCATCGAAGGTGGAATACTTCCGTGGTGATGAGATGGTAGTTTGGCATTGTGAAAAGTCATATGGTTTACCGCAACCCTAGTCGGCTGTCATTGTCTAGAGAAAGGAGGGCATCAATGACAGATTCCTGATCAAATTCCGAGTCTTCGTTATCCAGCTCGACGTCGCTCGCATCATCAATCTCCGCATCAGCTAGTCGGCGTGCCGCTTTGCTGTTGACTTTCATGCTGACGTAGACGTTGTCTCGAACGAGGCGCGCCGGCTCCTTTCCAGTCTTTATCCAGCATAGTGTTTCCCCTGCTGCATATAATGGGAACTTTGAGCGCCAATATAAGCGATATGCACCCGAGGCCAATAGCGTTCGCCATTCATACTCGCTATTGTGCCATGTATGCCCTAATGGATGTGTGATATCTGGAGGCCGGATCCAACTGAGCTGACGCGCTGCAAGTTGAACCTTGTCTGATATAGACATATCGAGACTACACCCTGCAGCCCAATTGTGATTGGCCTTGCTGATCTGCGTCTCTAAGAATTTCAGAGCCGTGTATAAGGTGGGATTCGCCTCTTCGTTTTTTTCTCGCTCGGCTCTTGTCAACACTGTCTTCCATGGACGAACAAGATCCTCGTCACGCATTTCCTCTCCTACAGATTGGCAGAGCGCGTTGAACTCTGTCAAAACTCTTTCTCTTTCATGATAAGCAACTTCAAATCGTACAAAATCGTTGATGTTTCCTGGTTTGCCCGTTTTTGCGTCGGCATCCTTATAAGCCGGCGTTCTCCTTTCCCGCGGACTGATTTTCTTTCGGTATTGTTTCCATGCTTCATCTGTGAGCTGAAGGCCTGCCTTTTTGCTATCAACAAGATAGCTGAGAAGGACCGCAAGCTCGAGAGCCTTCGGGGAGTTGATTCCTTCTGGTTCCTCATATACAAGCTTGTCGTGCTCTACAGTGCACCGCCCAAGATTTGACATGGTTAGATTAAACCGGAAAGTGCCTTCGAGAAAATCTTCTATCGAGTTGATGTCAGCCATGGAGCGCGCGTGTGATATGAGACCAAAAGTCTCACGTTTCGGCGTTTCAGGCGGCGGCGTTGTATTCATGAAACTTTGTACTATGCCCTGATCCCAGCAGATCCATGGACGATCGCCATCGTAATCACCACCGGATAACAAACTAGCTAGGGGAGTATCTCCTTTGGTAGGGAAGACGATAACATCCTTGAAGTGACGAAGCTGGTGTTTCCAGACTGCTTCTCGTCTTTGAATATCCCAAGGGCAATGTGCTGGGGTCCGTCCAACTAGCACATCAACGCCGTCTACCATGGCATCTTCAAAATCGGGACAATCCTTCCACTGACTGGAAAAACCAAAATGAATTTCATCTTCCTCCAAGACGCCATATGGATCGGCGAGGCAATATGCGTACGTTGACAAGGGGACAGGGATGTGACACTCATTTACATATCGATTCAACGTATCTGACAGACATATCCTCAGGCGGTTTCTTAATGGAATGAAATTTCGAGGAGAAAACCCAGCTTCCAGCAGTCGAATAACAGTTTCAGTATTCTGGATGATCCATTCGTCAATCCTTCTAATGCCGTTCCGTGAGAACCCGTCTTCCGGTATTGGGCGAATCTTCTGTATTAAAGCTCTCGCCAGAGGAATGCTGTCTTTCTCTACAACAGTTTTGAATTCCATGTAGAGATCGCTGATTGCATTTCTTGCCAATTCTGAAATACGATTCCTCGGCAACCCACGGTGGTTTAGCACTTCTAATAACTGCGCATTGAGCTCTGATGATCGTAGAGGCTTGGCCCAACCCGTAACCTCGAATGTCACCTTTTCATCATCCACAAACCCGAAAAAATCGTTAGGATGAGGTTTGATTTTCAACTGTGAGTCGGAAATCTGAATCCAGGAGGAGTCACCAGTCTGGTCGCTATCAACCATCCAGAGGCCCTTGGCACCAGCGATACGGCCTTGGAAACAGCTCGGTGTGTTCCCATCTATACCTAGCTCTACACATATGGCCCGAGCCAGTGGCCGGGACATTAAAGCACATCCATCATTCATAACAGGCTGGCCAGGAGTATCATGAAGCTTCCTAATCTGATCTGGGCGGAGAACAGATGTCGCCCATGTCTTGGAAAGCCCAAGGCTGATCCGGTTGAACAATTTGCAGTCAGTTTGATGTTGGTTATGTGAACGCGGAATATGCCAGTCAACAAGTTGTTCTATCGTCATTGGTGTATGTGAGTGACTGTTTTCACCGGATGGAGAAAGGGTGGGAGAAGGGAGTTTTCTAAAATCTGTGCCGTCAACGGCAAAAAAGTCCACCCGAAATCTAGGCTCGCCGTTTTTAGACTTGTTTTTATTCTTATAGTCATCAATGAAAAACGCCCGCCATACTCTACCAAGGAGAAAATGATCGTAGTGGCTGAGCCATTTTGTGATTGTGTCACAAAAGAATGATTGACTGTCGGGTAAGTGCCTTGAGGACTGTGACGGTGCAGGAATTGTTATGCTCAAAAACCTATCAGATCCAAAGCGACGATGGAAGCGACATGTGCGTTCCATCTTCAATGGGTTGAGCCTGATTTTGAATATACCAGGCTCTCCCTTGGTGCACCAGTCAAGAGCACCAGTCATGACTACCACTTCCGAATGTCGATCGCCTTGAAATCTATCAATGGCAGAATTCCACGCCCGCTGAGATGGTTTCTCCGGGAGTTTCTTACTCAAGCGTTGACCAAGGTCACCCAGCCAATTCCAGAAACCAGCATATTGCTCATGTGGTTTATCTCCTGCGAGAATTTGCATGGGATCGACATTCCACTCTATTCTGACTCGCTCTAGCTCGTATTTAGCTCTTAAAGGAACTTTAGCTGAGAAAGTTTTCTTTTTCGAGAATGGACCGTGTTGGAGAAGTTTATTCAGAATGTTCTGTTTGATATCGACTTGCTCGTTCTCAGTTCCTAAAGATGCCGGGTTTTGTTCTTCGATGGATTTTAACATTGTCGAGAACTCTGCGCTCTGCATAACTCCCTCCACAGAATCGGTCTCTGTGAGGGCTTCATCCAGCTGGTCGGTGATATCAGTTGCAAAGGAGGTTTCTGGATCGCGTTGATTCGGAGGCTCGAAAATGGAGTCCACTGTAGTTGCAAAACTAGTGTTGTGTGTGAACGTATTGCCAGTTTGAGAAGTCGAGATCTTCTGAAAGTCAATTGTTGGTTGCTTGCTCTCTGTAGTTCGACTCAATTTGGTGATCAGCATATGATCGGTAATTTTAGATTGTCTTTTTTTCGACTTCATAGTCCTCTGGTCGACCATATTCAAACCGTCAGTTGCTTCCATGATATGTGAATTTATATAAGGTTCGTCCCAATTAGGGTCTTTATATTCGTCTAGGTTTCCCAAAGACCGATACTCACTTTCAGTAGGCAGAGTTGGGGAGTTAGGAGCCGTGTGAAATACCTCTTCGTCATGATCAGATTTTCTCTTAGGTTGAGGCGTAGGTACCTCCGTAGGATGCTGGTTGCTGCTGTCACTGGGCCTGGAAGGCCCATTGGCAAGGTTTCGAGGACGACATAGAGCTTGAGAATCTTGCGAAGGATCGACCCCGTCTCTGAGAATCCATAGTTCCGAGCGGAGAGTATTCCAGAGCACTTCCACTCTGTGCTGGCGATCACTATCGGATACTCTCCGGTAGTCATCCGTTCGTAGGAAGTTATCACGGGACGGTATGGTACTAGAATCCTGGTTTGGCTTATGTACCCAGTGATTGTCTCTAGCATCTTTGATATTGGTATTAATTTGCTCTCTGAAGTCTGAAAGACTGCGATCAAATGCTGTACGATCTTTCCAAAACAGTTCCTTTAGCCAAATGTGACATTGTTCCTCTATCGACCTATTGCCCCGCGATTGCGAACCTGGAGAACGGAATTTTGGATTTGGAATACGAAGCTCAAAGTCATTATTGAGGCTCTCTATCTCCTTTTCCAAAACTTTGCCAGCACTACTCTGTGGGGTTACCGGAGCAGGCGAGCTTCGAGGCCTAGGCATTGGAACGGCTGACATGGTAGAAGCTTCTCTCAATCAGCTCGACATGTGAGAAGTTTTTTTCAACTCTGCAATATCAATTGATGCAGCTAGAGGTTATATAGCACGCTGAGAATGCTCAGATGTGAATGTCCTGTGCCGAGGGCTGCCGGCGAACAAGGCTGAATCTGCAGCCATTTACAACTATGGAAATATCAAGCGAAGAGGGGTAACATACAAAAAGAAAAGAGCATATCACTGGGGCTGCATTGGCATCGAATTGTCATCCAATTGATGTCTTTGAGTGCTTTCAGATTGGCCCCTCATTTTGAAATAAGAACAAAAGAAGAGAAAGATGAATAGCGACACAGTGAGGGGGTTGGCTTGTGATATCAATCGAAATGGCATGGTGGCGGCTGGGGCATTTAGTTGCGGCGCCTATTTAGGTAGCTTCCCCTGCCAACAGCTCACTTAATTTTGATATTGAAGGGCGGCCCGCACGGTACCCGCACCTGCCATACACAGCCCCGCCCGTTTCCCACTGGCTCCGTCCTTACAACATCGATCAGTTGCATTATCCCCAGGCCATTTTCATTGATGGCTTGGTTTAGTTGCTTTTTGATGAAGACTGACCGGTGAATAGCTCAGTCATGAACCCGGCCAGTTTGGCCTGACAGGAAATTTCGGCGCAGTCGACCGGGGCCCGGCCAGCGTTGTTCACTGTTTCAGTTGACGCCTGCCAAGTGACGAGGAGCTTGATAGTCTCCAATACATCAGCGTCAATGTGCTGCTCAGTATTGGTGAGCATGCACGCGTAGTGCAGAGCTGTATTTCCGTCATTGTCAGTCGCCATGACGTTCGCACCGCCGGCCAAAACAACACGCGTTATTGCCGCTGAAATTGTTGCAGCACAGTGTATGGCTTTTTTACCACCTGGCCCTGCGAGTTCAATGTTGGCCCCTGCCGTTATTAAAGCTCCTACAGCATCTTCTTCGTTCAAACAACATGCTTTCTGGAGTGCTGAGCTACCGTCTCTGCATAAAACATTAGGGTTTGCACCATGCTGAAGTAAAATGTTGACATTTTCAACGTGTTTATAACCTATGGCTTCCAATAGTGGTGTCCTACCGTACTGGTTGACACTGTTAATCATGCTCTCGAGGCCTCGCCCTAGTAGCTCGGACAAAACGAGGGAAGAAGGATTCCTTGCCGCGCTGTGAAGAAGATTGTACCCCTTGTCGGTTACGTCGTGGACATCGGCGCCAAAGAATATCGCATGACGCACAAGGTCCACGTCAGAGTTGGCGGCCATTTGATGAATGACGTGGCCCTTCCTGACATCAGCACCGTGTAGCATGAGCAAACAAGTAACTGTACGATTCTCTGTCAGGGCAGCCATATATACTGGTGTTATATACGCATGGTCGATAGCAGACAGATCCGGATTCGCGCCGTGAGTCAAAAGAAGTTTTGTCATCACCCTAGAACTGGGACAGCCCACCGCAACATGCAGGGCACGCATTCCCATGGAGTCGGGAGAATTTGGATCAACACCATGGAATAGGAAGCTCGAAACTGTCTTTAAATTTCCCTTCCTTACTGCACGGAAAAACCATGACTTTGGGAAAAAAATGCTGTCCAATCCAGGGAGGTATGCCGTTTTCAAGGCCATCTTATGGCATTTTGGTCGAAATATGACCCAGTTTCGCTTAGTTATGGCCGCAAAATGGCAAAAGTCTCGGTGATCCAGATTGTCCGCAATCATGAGAAGCAGCTCGACCGGTAGATCACACAGCTGTGGAGACTGTCGGTATGGCCGTAGGTAGGAATCGATTGTAACTTCCAGTCTTCTATACTGGAGCGACTGTTCAGCAAAGTTGTGGTCTTGGCGCTTGGGAGACATCGTTTTTAAGTGGCCTTAGTCCCTTTGCAGGAGGTTGAAGTATGAGAAACATTTTGATATGTGGACGGACTGGTATGTTGTCATTGCTCTGAGTCATGCATATGGTTATGTTTAGATGAAATTGAGTCGAGGCTATATGAACGTCGTGTGGTTGAGGTCATTTGAACAAGTATTTGTATCAGCAAAGGTGCTCTAATGAACACAAGTAGGCTTTAGCCTTCATACATGATAAACTACATTGTTAAAGTAGTCAACTGGTAGCACGAAACTTTGAAAGTAGCCCACATGTTCGATGCTGATATCAACGCCATGATGAACATTGTCACCCTGCGGCTTCAATTCTAATAGGTGATCTTAAGACTATATCAGGTTGATAAAGGATCTTTATCTAATATTATGTCACCATTCTTCTTTCCAACATGTAACAGTTGGATGTTTCAATGTTTCAAATATACATTTAAATCGGTAGTTGTAGCATTGACACTGGGAGGCATTTTGTGGTAGCCACCTTACTACTTAGAATAGCGACAATTATTGTGAAAACCACGAAAGTATTCCATTGGTTTATAATTTACTGATTGTTTGATGTATTCTGATAGGGGCCGGCCTACCAGAGGTGTAGATTACATAAGATTCAATGTTTCACAAATCAAGACATAGCAATTTTCAAGCCAAAATGAAGTACTAGACCAAGAAGGAATATAACGAAGGAAAAAAAGAAGACGAAGAGAGAGAGAGACCAGAATTGACTATATAGGAGTCAGAACCCACGGCACTTGGCAGTCGGATCCACGGTATCGATCTATCTATCTCGCCTTTTGAAAAGTTTATAAGGAAATATATTTCATATAATACTCGGCCTTATCAGTGTTGATAGCAGATGTTTTATCAATGGTCAACTATGGAGATGAATCGGGACAGTTTTGCCATTTCGGGCTGTAGTCTCCCGGGCCATTCCCCTTTGGGAAGAGGAATCCAGTTAACTCTGCAATTATACGGTCTATGATGGCGATTGCAGATATAAGATAACTTTGTGATAAAACGTAGCATATTAATTGAAATATTGTGATTGAGAATGCAGTCTTTCAACTGAATAGGTGATGATTTATATACTAATATATGTGTGGGGGCTCGACCAATTGAAGCAAGATATTTGTAAAGTAGTTGGAATATCTGCGGGCTCTTGTAATTATATAGATTTTAGAAATGCCTATGTCACTAGACTTCAATACTAGTCTCGACTTTCTGTCAGTGAAACTGATTTCCGAGACGTTATCAAGGAGATGATACCTCAAATGCTTATTTCAAATAGTGTATTTTACATGACAAACAATATGGCTATCTTTTCACTCTTCCGATAAGAGATCTTAATCTATGATAACTCAAGAAAGATCTACAAAACGCGGGGTACGGATGGTACGAGGGTCTGAGTTGCTTCTTTCGCGTATTAAATCCGAGGCAGGTCACTGTACAACCTTCCGCTTTAAGATCACCATCCTATCCAGTTACACGTATGAATCAGTGCCTATCAACTTTCTTTAATAGAGCATCATCCTTACACGCGTATATATAGGCATTAAAACGGTTTGCTAGAAGGTTTACTCTGTTCACGTCGCTGGACGGTATGGCTTCGTTTCCGATATCCAATCTTCAACCGTGGAGTTCGCAATGGTTAATTGGATTGACTCTGCTAACTACCTTTACGGTTTGGTATATCTTCAATAAAATCAAAGAAAGAGGTGTTCTAGGCCGTACCCGCAGAATTTCCACGGCCAAAACACCGCCACGCTCAGTATCGCCTGAGAAATCATTATCAGGGTCATCATCTCCCACAAGCTATAACAGTGTCTTTCCTCCATCACGCAGAGAGGCAATGGCCAGTCTAAAAAGCGGAAAGCCCGCAACAGCACTGGACAGAGTCAGTGACGAGAAGATTCACAAAAACATCCTCCCAATGACGGAGAATTACGAAACAGCAAAGGGAAGCCTATACACTCCAATGGGGTTTTCTGTCGATGAAATCAAAGCGATGGGGGATTTTCCAGATTATACTATTCTAAGTGGCGTGCCGTTGCCAAAGGCTTACAACGAATTTGATATCGACAAGGCTCTCCCTCGTCCGTATCGACCATTTAGATGGTCCTATCACCAAACCATGTGTATGTGATTCCTACCGATTATTATTATCATTATTTGGAGCGAAATAAAATTTAATGCTCCTTAGCATTGAAAAAACTTGAAACCGATTGGTGGATTGAATTGGAAAACACTTACAAGCAGCGAATCGCTCAGCGCAAAGATCTGTATGCGAAGCACGGCAAGGCAGTGCTTGATTATCTACCAGGATCCGAAATTGCCTGCAAGGAATTAATGGAAATGGTCTTGCAATTTATCTGTGCTCGATATCCTCATTTGTTCCAACTCAAGGATAATCGTATTCTGGTAAATAATATTCTGGGAAATGAGCAAGACATTCGCGCCAAACACCCCTTGGAGATTCTCATGGACAATATTCCCGAGGATTTTGCTATCACATTGCGAGACGATTCCACGGGTTACTACGTCTTCCGTGCTGGGGTTATTTGTTCAGCACTCGGTTGGAATGTTGGCACCAAGATTGGTCTTCAGCTGCATGAGATCCATGCCCCGATACCCGACTACAAAGAAAAGATGAAGTTTTCAATGGACCGGTGAGTAATATACGTCTTGCTTGTATCATGGTATTAATAAGATAGCAGCTTTTTCACCAAAATGCCAGCAGATAAGCCTATTCAACGTGGCTCATGGGGACTAGAAGTTGGCCGTCCACTATACATGCCACCAGGTGACCCGCATGAGCAACACAGATTGTCTCAAAGCCCCAATTTACTCCTTGAGGATTGCCATCTTCGAGTAGATTGGCAAACGCTTCGCCGGCTTCCAATCTCTGGCGGTGTTGTTTTCAACTTCAAAGCTGTCTTCACACCAGTTACCGAATTCAGATATGAACCCAAAATCCCTGCATTGATTGCCAAAATTCTTCGGGAAGGAAAGAAGAGCTTGATGGAATACAAAAACACGTGGCATGTAGAGCATATTGTCCTCCCCGCTCTAGATAAATGGAACAAAGAGCAGGAAGATAGTGGCATGATTAAGAAAAATTGGGATGTATCCACGTTGGATGAGGACCCGTGGTTCCAAGACTGGGAGGAAAAGTGGCACCGGCAGCAAGGCTTCTAGAGGCCTTTTTGACATACACAGTATGCAAATTCCCCTCTTGATTCACCCTCCGAATTCCGTTGATGTACATATTTATTTAGGGTTTGCCTCATGTCGCATCGATCAGGGCACTTCAAACATGTCTTCGTTCTCAGATATTTATCAGGAGTTGGCGGTTGATATTCTGAATAATTCTTGTTATTTTCTCTTCTTCTTTCAGTCCTCCTCTTGTCCGCCGTTTGATGCACGGTCACTGTTGTCGCTACCACCGCTATGATAGCTAACCTCACTTTCGCGATCAAGCTCGTCCAACTCATCTGCCAGTGGACTCACCCGCTCCTCCAATAGATCAAGATCCTCTAGTTGTTGTCTAGGAGGTATCTTCCACAGACTTGTTGCACAGACACGATCCTTTGTAAGAAGACTATCGATGAATTGATCCATAGTTGTGAGGAGATAATTTTCGCGCCTCCTCTGCTTCAATTTTCTGTAATCAAGCAACAATGGCTCAAGATACTTGTAGATATCGACCGGTTCGAATGTAAGGCGTATATAAAATGCAGCCAGAGCACGTAGATACTTAAAGTCACCCCGGCCTTTGACCACTTCTGCATCGGGGTCTTCACTGTCGGCGGTTTCGTCATCGCTTCCTGGATCGCTGAAATTCAAGTATTCTAGAACTACTTCGCGCTCAGGTGAGAGCTGGAGCATTTTGAAGGCTAGACAGAGAAATGGTGTCGGTTTCTGAGCGAGTCCGTATGTACCTCCAATCGAAGTCAGCTCGATCGCGCGATCACACAGTGTCGCGGCACTCAGGCCAAAGCATTGTTCTTTCCAGTAGTAGGAGTCCGTAATCCGGTCGCGTACTGCTTTTTCGAATAGTGTAATGGGGTTCACGCCGCGAACGAGAGGGCCAGAGTAGCCGCGATTGTCCAGGAAGTTGCTTGCGTCCGCGCGATGGGACGCCATAGCGATGTATTTTTATAGAAATATCTTGCCAGTTTCAAGTGGAAGAACGAAGGCAACCATATAATCACTTCAGTTGAATTGGCGGTTTCTTTCTTTTTCTTTACCTCCACCTTGCGGATGTGCAAGAAGAGAGAACGGCTTAGCGTGCTGCCGCAGTTTTGCCGCTAGCGTCCTTCGCGGGCTTATCTGATTGTTGCACGGGACAACGGCTGGCGTAAACAGCGTCATTTTGGTCTTGACTATCACGACATGATGTAGAATCAGTCGACCTTTGCATTTTGCCTGCAACTTTCCTTCGAGGACAGCCTAATTTATTCGTCGGAATTGGTGTTCTCTGAATGTCGCCCACAACATGGTTCTCTTAACCTCGTCGACGGTCGCAACACTCCTCGTGCCGATTACCTGCATATGCACATTCAGCATCTTCTTAGCTGGCTATGCACTACAACAACACTCGGTGCGCAAAATTCAAGATGCGATGCGCCCACTTGATTCCATAGCGACGCTACCCCAGCAATTTTCGTACGACGAAACTCAAGAAACAGCAACGGATCCAGCGACGGGAGAGCTCATCACTGTCAACAAGGGGAATTTCGCCTATCTACAACTGCTGTCTGAACCAAACCCGTCTGACATATGCTCAGCAATCCTTTTCTTCAAAAAACTCGCCGACGGCCAGTCTGTGATCCAAGATCGCCTGTTTATGTATCCCCAGGAATGGGATCTGATAGCTTCATCCGACCCCAATGTCAACATGGCACTCTCAATACTGTCAAGTGCAAGCCAAAAATACAGTTTCTGGACCTTGCCCATCAGCATGAAACTTGTTACAGAGCAGGGATATTCACTCACCGATTCGAAACTTTTCCGGCTTGGCGAGATTCAGTTCCTACAATATGACAGCGTGTTGTACCTTCGTACTCCAGGTCTCTTGCTCAACGCACAGGAGCTCGACAAAATGCTTCTAAGACGCCCTCTACCACTAAAATATGACAAGAATCGTGTCGAGTCTTTCCGCAACGAGGCGTGGATCGGCATGCCTCTGATGGCGCATCAACAGCCCAAGTTACCACCAGTTTATCTAGTTTCAGTGAACACTATGCCTAGTCGAGTGGAAGCACGGACACATATTCCAAATGTGGCACTACGAGGCTTTGGCGATTTGGCTGCGGGCCCAAGTTATAGGAGGATCAGCGGCAATGATCCTGCATATGTCTTCTTCGATTGGGACGAAGATGGACGTGTCAAATGGGAGGGAAATCCGTATTACGACCAATGGAGGGATGAACAAAGTGAGGTCTGTCCAGGGCTGGATTTGGGCTTTTATTAAACCTCCCGGATATTATTTTGGCTACTAAGCTGGTGGGTGATTGAGTTATGTTTCAGGGTGCGATGATATCATGAATTTCGTTTAGCAATTGCATCATGGAAGGGAAATTGGGATAGGTTTTCACACTTGGGACTTCTTGGAGTATATAACCTTTTTTTTTTGTTTATTTTCTTGTGGATGTCCATTTCACATTTCAATGATACTTGGTCTTTCAAAATTGCCTTGTATAAGCTGGTCGTAATGATTCGTTTTATAAGTGCCCGATCAAAATGCCCCAGAATTCCCAGTTCATAATACACACGTAGAACGGCATAATCTATCCAAAGAGAATATCGTTCTTCTAGCATCGTAAATTACCAACAGTGCCACGGAGAATAAGGCCAATAAATGAATCGCCCCAGAGATAATTTTTATACATTGATCTCATATCCCAAAAGAACTTCTGTGGTATTACCTTCCCAGCCGCGGTTGCCACTTGCGGACAGCATAAACCGGCAAGTAGGGTCAACATATAATTGCGAGATGACGCCTGTCCGATGGCCGGGGATGACTAGGAAAGGGACAGCCGAGTGTTTATATGACTGCTCTTTCAGGTCGTACAGGCGAAGAATATCGTGCGAAGCACTGCGACCAATTAGTATGGGAAAGTATAGAGACGTTTTAATAGTGCAAAATGAGGTAGCTCACCATAGAAGATGTCGCCCGTTGGGCATTGCCTTGACTGCAGTTACTGCTCCACCCACCTGGGGAAGCCTAAAGACCCGCTCAGGCTCTCTAAAGCCTTTGTGTAAGCTGAATTCTTCAACTGTGCCATTACGACGCCCTGCATAGATGTAGTTCCCATCCGGGGACCAGCAGGCGTTCATGCACCAAGGTGGGACATTCCGAGGACTAATACGTGCGACAGGATTCGGCTGCCGCCTGTCCCAAATGCGAATTGTACCCTCAATCGAAGCAGCAAGGAAGGTTGTGTCCGATGTTATTTGGGACGAATTTTCTAAAGTTTCAGGCTCCTGTGTAGCCGACGGAGGCTCGGTGATTTCTGCATGGGGCAAGCCGTTCGTTACTGGTTCGATAGCAGGCGCGGCCTGCTCAGTAGTTTGTGGTGCTGTCTGGAAAGAACTGCTTGTGGGATCGGCTTCTGTATCCATGGGCGCCGTTGATTGTGTGTCTTTTCCATTTGGCTGGTTAGCGTTGTCTGGTTCTCTTTGTGCGTCTTGCTCTGGATGTGGAATATTATTCATTTCTAATGATCCTCCAAACAACGCGTCCTCATCAATGTTCCCTGCATCGCCGGACGGTGCTCCACCGTCTGCAATGTTGCCATCTGTGTCTCCGAATAGAGAGTCAGGACCACCGAAGAGAGAATCCGCAGGAGACGCTGCCTGTGGATTGGTGTCATCGCCTGTTTGTTCATTTTGGGCTGAGCCATTGACTAAGCCGAATGACGACGATTGATTGTTTGACGAGAATGTCCCACTATGCTGGACCTCCGTGGTATCGCGTGGGATGGGAAGACTAGACTCTGGTCGGATTTCTATTGCAGAAATTTGACTAGCACCGGGTCCGAAGATATTTTTGGCCTTTCCTACATTAAGATCCCACTCCACAACTTGTTTGTCCCAACTGCCTGAGAGAAGCGATTGCTCATCACGCGTGATATTCAGCACTGAAACAGCTGAGGTATGCTGTTTCAGGAGAGCTATTTCTCGACCCTCTTCATGACGCACTGACTGCAGGCGAATATTCCCAGACTCTAAACCGGACAGCAGCCAAAGAGCTTCGCTCTGAACTGCAAGAGAGTATACTGGTGATAGCACATTCCCATCCATATTTTCCCAGTAATTCATAAGAACGCCGGCCTTGACGACGCTATCCACAAATGGATGCCGTTGAGCCACCGTCAACATTAATTTGCCATTGATAGAATCCGCCCAATTATATTTCCTGATATACCCATCAGATCCTCCACTGAAAACCCATCGCATATCTGCCGTAGCTGTCACGGTATTTATAGACGTACTTTGAGGGGCAGCTGTGGTTGGTACGATATCATATGTTTCCGCTGTAAGGTATTCCGGTCGAACACTTGGGCGGAAGATCGCCAGAGAGTCTGCGGGGACAGTTAGGTTAGAGTCTTGTTGTGATGCGCCTCCAGGACCGCCATCCGATGTCTGGCTATTGTTGGAGGGGCTGTCGGCGTCTTGTTCTTGGTCAACATCCTGATCTGGCTCGTTATCTCCATCACCATCGTCGGCGTCCCTCATCTGCTCGTCTTCGTTATCGGAGCTTCCATCTTGCGAGCCTGATACAATATTTTCCTTAGTATCATGCTGCAAAATCAATTCAAAGAGTATGCCCTACCGGCCATCTCACGATCATCATCCTCATCTACTAGTGACGCCATGGTCAACTAATGATACCCCAGCCGCCTGCCTTCCGGCCCCTGCTACTTCCTCGACCAAACCGAAGACAACTATATTTAATGCGACTCTGATTTGTGTGGATTTATTTTGTATCCTTCTGGCGTTGGAGCTGGGAGGGTTTGATTTGAAATTCAGAAATGCTGGTTTGAAGCACAGGACGCGCCTTTGAAATTGGCGTCTTGATTTATAAATCAAGGTGGAACGTGCCTTTTTGCCTGTATGCGAGACTTAATGACTGCTCCCCGTTCCGATATGTCTTGCGGCGAAGCAATTAGAAATGAATGGGCAATTGTTCATATGTGAATACAGAATAATGGCAATGCGTCGACTTGGTGCTTCACCTATCCGCGCACCTTCTCCACAATGGTGCCTCAGGCAAAAACAGTTCTTGGCGGGGTTCACAAAAAGGTCTTGGCATGTCGGAATTAGGGCTTCTTCACCAATCACTACTATTAAAAATAACTATACAGATCCTTTATTGAGCTGAAACACTGGGATACAGGTCGATAGAAGAGATCTGATCTTTGGTGGTCCTATTGTTTTATTCTTATTCTTGAATTTCCTGGTTTTTTTGTTGTTTTAGATGTTTGTTTGCAACAGTTGACGGAGAAACGTGGACACAAGAGAAGAGGGAAATTTAAAACACAAGCAACCTACTAGCACAAACAACAAATACAATACTCGTATTAACATTCATTCAAGAAACAAAATGGTCCCTGGATATATTACACAGTGTAAAAGATCTGAGATTGGGATGATGGTCTAAAATAGCCTAACCCTAAATGTAAGTAGACTTTTTTGTCGGGCATTCATATACTATAAACCTATGAACATAGTTGGCCAGCAAAATGCTAAGCCCAGTCAGTCAATGCCGTACTTGGGAATCCCTGTTACTGCGAAATATTCCACCTTGTTGGTGTTTCTATTGAAACAATATGATAAGAATAGGCTTGGCAGAAATCAGTCTAACAAATTTAACCTGGGACGCTATCTCAACTTTAAATCTTGTCTTCAAGACGCAACGCTTCATATATTTGCTAATAACATTAGAACCAGCCAATTCTGCTAGAGACCCCACACAAAGGACCTCTAAAACGATCATACATTGGAGGAGCTGTTGGTAAGTGTGTTGGAATATGGTATTAGTAATTCTTACATATCCTTTCAACGTCATGTCGTTTCACCCGGCGGAGCCGAAACTCAGCGATTGGCCGCGTATACGTCTGCCAGCCACGAAATGAAGGAAGAAGCCCAGCTATGTCACCGTAGCTGGGGTCAAATCCTCCGCGGACTCCTAAAGTGGCTAAACCCAACTTGTTTAAAATTTACAAATGCCAGTATGATAAAATCACTCATCAACCTTCGGCTGATTTCACATCTTGTATATTCTATGGAAAAGGGCTTCGGGCCTTTGAGAAGATGGTCTTCAAGACTCTATATTCTCGCTCCTGAAAAGAACATTAATTACGAGGTTCTTATGGAGATGTGAATAATATGCTACCGCACTTTACATATACATAGAGCATATTGGACACCGGAAAATACTCCATATGGCGGGTACACACCATCCAACAAATTCTGTAATAATGTAACATTTGCGCCAACATACTTGTGTAAATGAAAACCTTAATGTGGGTTACAAATGCGAGATCAAGTATCGACATGCGTAATGCGAATTTTGGTGCCGGAAATTAAGGCGTTTCCCAGCACTATATAAGCACCTAAACATGCCACCGCTGAGATCAAAGAGAAACTCTATGTCATCAATCAATTAATTTCACTGATTTTACGTTACAAACACACGACAAATCAACATTATCCACAGGATTTTTGAGCCTATAAAAAATCATGAAGTTCCTCGCCGCCGTCGCTGCTACCATCGGTGTTGTTGCCGCATCGGATTTTGGTAGCTGGTCTCTATACTGCGGCTCTTCCGTAAGCCATTAAGTTTCTATCAACATTCATATTAAATACGACTGGCAGTAGACTAACAATCCTCTTCTTGGATATAGTGCTCAGGTGGCACTCTCATCAACACCGGATCCCTGGATACGAATACGATCACCACCTGCACCAACTTAGGCGCTACCTACGACTACTGCCACCTTGAAGTGGAGAAATACCCCAACTTGTACCGGGCTACCGTCGCTCCCTCAGCAGATTGTACCTCATATTCAACATCCAATATTATTAGTGCTGGAGGGTGCTCGCCTGCCGGAAACTGGCAATATTATCGGATTTATTACACTGCTTAGGGTATGAGCTGAGTACGTGGGAAGAGATGAGGAATGAGTTTTATGGGAACCCGCATGTGATCTTTTTCTAGTACATATCATAAATATGAACTACGAGCTTATGCGACATCTTTTAAATATTTGATAACTTAGGTTTAAAATACAATGCTCTTCCGTTCCGTCGACTTCATCACATAAGACCCCATCTCCGAAGCCCCGAGGCCTCGATATTAGCCGTAGCTCGTCAAACCACCCACAAAAGCCGGCAAGTATTACCCGCGCGGCTAAGTATTTATGCCTGGAAGCAACAGGGCGAACCTTGCTGACGAGGTGACAGTGGAGTCGTGGACACTAGGCAGCGATCCGATCACCTCGGATATAGATGATCTGATAAGCCTTCGGGGTTTGCCCGACTCTCGGATTTAGTGGACGCATTGCGCGTTTCATTATAAAGGACGGAATAATGGCCGTTCGAAAAAGTCTTGGTACTAAAAAACTCTCTTTTTCGTCGATTTCAATTCGGAATTTTGTTTTATAGCATTTTGGTTAAGTTGGTACTATATTCGGCAGCCCTATCACCGCCTAGAAAAAGAGCTACCTCAACATGGCGAGTGGAATCAGGAATGTCATTGTCGTTGGTGGGTCCTACGTGGGAAAAGTTAGCACATTTTTCTTTTCTAATTTGAGAGAATGTCCTTGATGTGCAGAGAAATTGACATCGAATAGGCCACGGCGCTAGAGCTTGCTCGAGTTATACCTCCAACACACCGAGTAGGTCAACGATGCTAGTTTGGAGTGCTTTTTCACTCTAGAAACCGTATGAGCTAACTTTTTTTAGGTACTATTAATCGAACCGCATAGCCATTTCAACCATTTGTTTGTTTTTGTAAGGAGACCTCCTACCCTAGACGAGAATTCCAGCTCATGAACTCTAGCCTCGATTTGCAGTACTTCCCGGCCACGAACACAAAGCGTTCATTCCATACTCTAGCACTTTCGCGTCTGTTCCGAATAGCTCTCTACACTCTGTTGTTCCAGCCCGCGTGCTCTCTGTGCAGCCAAAATATGTAGAAATCGACCGAGAATGGCAAGGATCCAACCAGGTTCCCTTCGATTATCTCACCATTGCAACGGGCACTAGTCTGGTGGAACCAGCTAGCATGCGATATGACGACAAGGCTTCCTCGGCAGCCTACTTAAAGAGCCATCAGGATAATGTCAAGCGGTCAAAGTCGATTGTAGTCGTCGGTGGTGGCGCGGTCGGCGTTCAGATGGCAACTGACTTGAAGGAGATATACCCAGACAAAGAGATTACCGTGGTGCACTCTCGAGCCCACTTGATGCCTCTTTATCATGAGAAAATGCATGAAATTATCAAAAGGAGATTTGATGAACTAGGGGTTCGGTACGTGGTTGCCTTGTCCTTAATGTATACGTTGAGCTGACCTAAAAAGGCTTATCACAGGCTCTCGCGTGGTTATCCCTACAAACGGTTTCCCTAAAGATGAGAGCGACTTTGTTGTCGAACTTACCAATGGCACGAAGCTGAAAACAGATTTTGTAATCCTGGCAACAGGACAGAAGCCGAATAATCGTCTTATTCAAGATTTGGTCGCTACGGCGCGTGATTCCTTGATCAACCCAAAAAACGGATTCATTCGTGTCAAGCCAACACTGCAGTTCCTCGATAGCCAATATCCCAATCTTTTCGCGGTCGGCGATATTGCCGATACCGGGATGCATAAGGCTGCAAGACCGGGATCATTACAGGCGGCCGCCGTGGCCAAAAACATCCAGGCGCTGATTGAAGGTAGAGACCCAGAGGCAGAGATTAGCTGGAGTCCTCCAGGAATTCATATGTCGCTAGGACTAGTAAGTAACACATGATATTGGATGGTGGCTACGAAAGTGTGAACAATGCTGATGAAGCCTACAGAAATACAACATCGTATTCCGGAATCCAAATCCAGCTGAAGGTCAAAATGAGCCTGTGGTCAAATACTCAGATGAGTGAGTTGATGCTTCCGACTCCAGTTATCTCATTTCACGTTGCTGATGACAGGTTTAGTGGAAAGGAAGACCTCAATGTGGAGTCGATGTGGACAAGGATGGGCGTCCAGGCAGATGAACCAGGTCGGTACCATTTATGATGCGGACAAAGCAATAGAAGCGGTGGAAGACCTGCATGCAATTGTATGATTAGCAATCAACACTGTAGCCTCAAATCAGATGCATGATCTCGCATTGTTCTGAAGGCCCATCTTCTTGCCACCCAAGCCAAGAAGATGTGTCAATGCACCGTCACTTGGTCTAGTAATTTGTATAGTTTCCGCGTAGATAATGCCACCGTAGATAAATATGCAGAACACGATAATGGAGTACAGTAGAGTAATATGGAGGTGGTGAGTGAAGTAGTGAAGTATTAAAGTAGTGAAAGGTCCGCTTTATTCAGCAAACATGGCAGGAAGGAGCCCATGTCCCGTTCGGGAAGGAAGCAAACGACAGGGCTACATTGGTCATATGACACGACACATCCCAGCCCGCGCCGCCAAAGCAATCAGTAAGAGATAATCATCCGTGTCGGTGAATGACTCCACCAAGATGGATCTGACAATCCCTCCTGTGTTTGTCCTCCGGACCTTCTTCCCGCCCTCTTTTGCTCAGGAGTCACCATGCCGTCAACAAATCATTACTGCAATCTACGAAGAAATTCCTTAAGGATCTTATTAAACACCTCCGCTCACTCCTGCCTCTGTTTGTCATAATCCGTCTTCAGCTGATCTCCGCCCCGGATTCGATGCCTCTCTTCTCAAATAAGGGCAAGTGAGCAAACAAGAAGAAATAGTGAGACTCAAGTTAGTTTTTTTGCAGTACCTTGATACCGCCTTTCTTCCCTCTTTCAAATCTATTAGCTCATCCTTACTATACCGCCTGACATCGAAATGCACAACAACAACCTTGGCAGCGGTGCCTCTCCTCAAAGACCAAAAGAAGCCCGGCACAAGGATTCAATTCCTCGAAAAGAAAAAAGGACAGTTCTCGTTGCCAACCAGGATATTCGAAAGTATGTCGACAGGATGCGAAAACCTGGACCTCGAGACGGCTGGCTTGCTTACCCGGAGATACCTACATCGGAGGAGATCATGGGATTGACAACAGAAGTCGATCAAGAAGACGGCTTTATTAATCTTGCAGCAAATCAGGTCGTTGCTCCATGGATATCAACCGAAGCTTATTTAAGAACCCATTATGAACTATTAAGAGAGGATTCAGTGGCCTTGCTCCGTGATTGCGTGGCTCATATCAAGAACAAACCGTCGATGAATGATACAAATGAGATATGCATTTATGAACAGGTACAGTCAATCCTGAATTCTGGTAAACCACCTCAATTGCTCATAGAACTGTAGGTTTATATCAGAGGCATAACATTCGCGCTTCGAGGAGCCGGTATCAAGGTTTCATTTTCCACCGCACGGGCACAAAAAAACATCGTCTGGGATTACTCCAGTCGTTTGATCGCGGGATCGATGGTTGCATTGTCCCCAGCAAAAGACTGCTTTAAAACACAGTGCGTCATTGCTGTGGTAGCCGCTCGCCCGGTGGAGCAAGTAAAACAACTACCACATCAGGTCGACCTTTTCTTCGCAAATCCCGATGATGCCCAGTTTGACACGCAGAAGGAATGGATTATGGTTCAGCCTCGGAGTGGCTATCTAGAGTCCGTTCGCCATACTATGAGAGCTCTACAGCTGATGAATGAAGAGAGGTGTGTCTTCGTATTTCAGTAAATAGTTTGTGCAACTAACATTTTTAGGTTCCCTTTGTCTGAACATATTTGCAATCTCAGAAGTGAGATAGACACTCCCGAATATGTACATTCAAGTCCCGAAATGAAGTTATTGCACGACAAGACCGTTGATGTGTTGTCAAGCTGGCCTCAAGAACCTGAAAACAACCTTGATGAATCACAATGGGAAGCTCTCCGACACGTCCTAACCAAGCGTCTTGCTATTATTCAGGGTCCTCCAGGCACTGGTAAAACTCATGTCTCGGTAGCTGCCTTGAAGTTACTTCTCGAAAACAGAAAGCGGGGGGATCCTCCAATTATTGTGGCTGCTTATACCAACCATGCCCTCGACCAGTTACTTAACCACATCGCCCACGTTGTACCCGACTATATTCGTCTTGGTGGGAGAAGCTTAGACGAAAATGTCAAAAAGCGCACGCTGTGGGAGGTACGCAAGTCAATCATAACACCACCTCTTGTCAATGGTGCCATGCTACCAGCAAAGCGCAAACAGCAGGCCGTTGTGGAGTCACTGATCAACCTCCTGCGGCCTTTTCTCACGGAAAATTCAAGCGAACCGTTGCCTGCCTCCTTCTTTCATGAGCAAAAGGTTCTCACAGACAGACAATACGAGACCTTGTGTAATGGAGCCAGGGGTTGGATTGACTCGGATCTTGAAGAGCATCCAGATCCCATGACTAACTGGGTAGGGGATAAGCTTGTTGAGCATACCGTTGCATATGGGTATGACGACCTAGGCTTTGAAGATGATGAGATGGATCTAGAATATGAGCAGCTTAAGGAAATGGAACAAGAGAAAGGCCTTGTGGATGACGATTCCGAGGCTCTTCAAGGTTACTTTTTGTCTTTAAGAGAGGGTTTTCGGGGACAGAGTACCATTGATGAGGAACTTGTCACAGAGCTTGATATTGATGACTTCTGGAACGTTCCTGTTGAAAATCGTGGAACTGTCTACAATTCACTTCAATACCTCGCTAAAAGAAAGGTGCTTTCTGTATACAGGGAGTACATGCGTCAGTATAGTGCCTTCGCAACAGAGTACCTTATCGGTAAATGGGAGAAAGATTACGTTTTTCTCAAGGACGCCAAACTTATCGGGATGACGATTACTGGATTGAGCAAGTATCGTGCTCTTGTGTCTGCACTAAAGCCTCGGATTGTCATGATTGAGGAGGCAGCTGAGGCTATCGAAGCCCCTGTAGCTGCAGCCTGTGTCGAATCCCTTGAGCATTTGATTCTTGTCGGGGATCACAAGCAGCTGCAAGGAAGCTGCTCGGTCACAGATCTAGAAGGCGAACCTTTCTTTCTCAACGTGTCCATGTTCGAGCGCCTCGTACAAAATAACGTTGATTTCAGGGTTCTTCGTCATCAACGCCGCATGGCACCAGAAATCCGACGTTTGCTTACACCAATCTACGATAATCTGGAAGATCATCCCTCAGTGCATGAACTCTCAAAAGTGCCGGCCATGGGTGATATCCGCGCCTTTCTATTTTGTCATGACTGGCCTGAGAGTTCTGACAGTCTGTTCTCTAAGTACAACAATGACGAAGCCTACATGGTTGTAGCTTTCTTCCTCCACCTTGTATTCAGTGGTGTTGACCCGGGAAATATTACTGTCCTGACATTCTACAACGGCCAGAGAAAGAAGATTCTCAAGCTACTCAGGGAAATTCAACATCTCCAAGGCAAGTACCTCAAAGTGAGCACCGTTGATTCGTATCAAGGAGAAGAGAACGACATTGTGTTGCTGTCTCTAGTCAGAAGCAGCGAGGGTGGCGGTATTGGATTCCTTTCTATTGAGAATCGGGTATGTGTGGCACTTTCCCGTGCCCGTCGAGGCTTCTATATCTTCGGAAACGCTCAAAAACTTGCCTCTACTGATCCATTGTGGTGGGAAGTCGTGAAAATCCTGGGCGGACAAGCTGAAGAATCTCGACGTATCGGATATCATCTTCCACTGATATGCGACAATCATGGCAACAAAGAGTTTGTCAAGACACCTGAAGAAATTAGAGCGTTGAATGGAGGTTGCCATCTCCCTTGTAAAGAATCACTCCAATGCGGCCATCCCTGTCCACTGAAGTGTCATGGCTTCGATCACGCAAAAATCCACTGCTCAAAAACCTGCGCTAAACCACTCCCTTGTGGTCATAACTGCCGCGAGTCCTGTTCTGCACAGACATGCTCGTGCCGTTGTGGATACAAAATCGCAAGTGCAACATCACCCCTAAAACTAAATGATTCACCTACCAAACGAAGTGACAATGAGGACTATGAACAACAACGAAGATCTCCATTAACTCGCAATGCGCTGGTCCGCGCCTTCCAAGACTTTGCAAAGGGCGGTGCTAAAGAACGCGATCGCGAAATGCTAGAGAGACACAACGCCGCCCAGGCCAGAGCGGATACTCTTGCGCGTCAGGATACCGACGAGTCAGTAAACCTGTTTGCGGACCGATCACCTACGCGGGACCTAGATGTACGAGTGGTCTCTGATGGACAGGGGGGCTCGCGTACGCGCTGGGTTCAGTCGTATTCGCCGCCGGTGCCCTCACTTCAGGAAGGGGCTGAAGCTGAGATGAATTTGATTGAATTTGACTAGACAGGTGCAGTGATTAGGTCAAGAAATAACTGATTCAGTGATTACTTTCACAGAGATGTAGAAAGACAATGGCATTTTATTTTCGGTCTTAAAAGCTAGAATGTCAGATATGATAGCACGGTTAATAGAACTAGGGATAATTAACATAATCTATTCGCAAGCAACATACAGGTAATAGATATGCAGAATCATGGAAATCGACCGTAGTATATAACAAACATGGAAAAAATGGACTAATGCCACCCTATATGATCTATCATTAGATCAACAAAGAAAAAATAACGCACAAAACACAGATTGTTAGAGGATTATGAGTAAAAAGGGGCGGGAGGGATCTGGCCTCTGTCCTTGTGCTTTTTGTAATAAAAAACACCAAAACGAGACAATCCGATATGTACAGAACCAAGCCATGGACTGATTTCAAACAGCAAGGAGAAGCGGGAGAAAAAACGTATGTGTACATTCTGCGTATGTATCAAATCAGTCAATTAATCCATCTCGACAAGTCTTTTGCTCTCCCATGCTTTTTTCGCTCCTTCAATGAGCACATCTGTGTTTCCGCTATTCTCACACATAGATCGGAAACTGCCGTTTTCCTTGTTGATCAAAGTCCACGGGTGGTCGAATTCGATGACTTCGCCGTGGTCCAACACCAACACCTTGTCGTAGTCAATGATTGTTTGCAATCTATGGGCGATGGTGATGATAGTGCTGTCTTCTAATTCACGCAGAGTTTCTTGGATTTTGGCGTCGGTTGCGTAGTCAATAGAGGCTGTAGCTTCGTCCATCATGAGAACACGAGGATTCTTGAGTAGCGCCCGAGCAAGACACAGTAACTGACGCTGTCCTTGGGAAAGATTCGACCCGGATTCGGCGACAGGGGATTCCAAATTTCGGAATATATTTTTGTTCTCTTGAATAACCGAGCCGGGCGCTCCGGAGATGGTTTCAACTGAATGGTTGATCGGGCTTGCTGGTGTGGCAGAGCCCGAGGTCTCCTGTCCAATGAGATGGACACGTCGCAGAGCAACAAATATTTGCTCGTCACTGAATAGACCGAAAGGATCCAGGTTGCTTCGTATAGTTCCAGTGAAAAGCGTCGGGTCTTGAGGAACAATGGTAATATTCTCGCGCAGATCTTGCAAGCCGATATTGCCAATATCGATTCCGTCAATAACAATCTTTCCCGTTTCGGCCTCTAGACCTCGGAATAGAGCCAGTGCAAGCGAACTCTTTCCAGCACCAGTTCGCCCAACAATACCGACCTTCTCTCCGGGTCTGACGGAGAATGAAACATTTTTTAACACACGATCCAAGTCAGATCGGTATCGAGTAGAGTAATCCACGAATTTCACAGCGCCTCGGCTAGGCCAACCAGAAGGTGGTCTGCGATCCTCAATAATCTTATCGGCTTCCTGTTCGACTTCCAAGTATTCACGAACACGTTCAACAGAGTTCATATTTGTCTGAGCTTCTGCGTACAGCCGCACCAACCATAAAACGTTTTCTGTAAACGTGACAGCATAAGTCAAAGACAGACCAGCAGCCCCAGCATCGATTTGGCCGATATTTGTCAAAACAAAGGCAGCGGAAAGGAAAGAGACCAAAGCACCAATCATATCAGCACGAAAAGCCAGCCAACGGTTGCTAGCCCAGAGGTAAATATGCGGCCGATTGTAAGAATCAATACGGCGATGATTGTCGATTAAGAACCGCTGAGGATCGCCATAGGCTCGGATAGTGACAATACCAGTCAAAGTCTCGCCAAACTGTTGATACAGAGGACTGCGTTGTACCGATTCGAGTCGCTTCAGGTCCCTGGATGCGTTGAGATAGAAAGCTCCGATGGCGGTGAAAGTCAGAGTAATGATCGCTGCCGCAATCAGGAAGCCAGGCGTGATAACAGAAATAATACCCACAATCATGATGACCGAAGCTAAGCTGTGAAGCATGCCAATAGTGACCGGGGCTACTTCTTGGTCAATAGCTTCAACATCCTTGGAAAATCTGTTCATCAGTTGACCGAGGGGAGTGGAGTCAAAGAATTTGAATTTGGCATGGAGGACAGATTGCAATAACGTTTCATGTATTTTCCAAGAAGCATGAAGGGAGCCCCAAAATAAAACCAACTCTCTGCCCATCGAGATGATGACATAGGTAAGACCTAGCAATGCATACACACTCAGGTAGTATGTCACATCCACGTTGTTGTTGGATTCAGCACTTCGGAATGAGCTCAGCAGCTGAAAATCGCCCCACGAGTTGGTGCGCGGCACACTGCCTGCAACAAAAGATGGACCCTTGAGACTCGACATCGCTGCATAGCTACCTACATCTGCGGGTTGATCCTGTTGTATATCATACGCATTTGCCCACTGTCGAATCCATATATTGGTTGCGGCACTGCCAAACTGCTGAGCTACGAAGACACCAACGCCGGCAATCCAATAATGCCACGGGCCCATAGCATTCAAATACATTTTAATGGTCGTCCACTTGACACTACCAACGGCTTTTGATTCCTTGTGCTTGGTCCCAGGTCTTCCACCCTCAGGAGCGTCGGCTCCTGGAACAGCCTTAGCAGTCCCATTTGTCTTTCCGTTCGTGTCTCCGTTTGTGTGCTCCGCTTGGTCTTCCCCTTCAGATAAAAGAATAGACGGAGCTTTGGATCCTGCACGCGACGTTGGTCGTGATTTTAAGAGCTCGTCACCAAGCACTCCAGATGCTGCAACATCATCGGCCGATCCTTGTGTGGCGATCTTGCCATTATCCATGACAACCACATAGTCCGCTTCGGGAACGGTGAGAGCAATGTTATGCGTAACGAGGACGCAAGTCCGGTGTGCCATGAGGGGACCTCGTATGGCCTCCCGGAATATATGCTTTGCAGTGTGGGAATCAACGGCGCTAAGACAGTCATCTAGCAGCAAATGGCGCGCTCGGCTGTACATCGCGCGTGCAAGAGATATACGCTGCTTCTGACCACCTGAGAGACTAATACCCTTCTCACCAACCAGTGTCTCATCTCCTGCTTCCAGTATTTGGAAATCGCGTTCCAGGGCACAAGCTTTGATGACGGCGTTGTACCGCTGGATATCAAAAGGCGAAGAAAAGACAATATTCTCCTTGATCGTGTCGTTTACAAGCCACGCTTCCTGAGCACAATACGCGATGCTCTCAATAAGTAAAGTTTCGGGGTCAACGGGTAGCTCAGCTCGATTCGTTGTGACTCCAGGAAGGAAGACCTGGCCCGTCAAAAGTCTCATTTCACCCAAGAGGGCCATCAGCAAAGACGTCTTTCCTGAGCCAGTGGGACCGGCAACAACGTTCAAACTACCGATCTTAAACGACACATCCATGTCAATCAGCCGGAAAGAATCGGCGGCAGCATCCTGGGAGCCGCTTCTAGGCTTGGCACCCCATGTCAGAGTAGCGTTCTCAAGAGCAATTTTTGGAGGTTGGTCGGAGTTCTGGTGATTACGTAGCTGACTATACTTTGCTGTCTCTTCTTCATCTAGAAATTTTTCGACACGGTCAATGGATACTTTGGCCTCTTGCACGTGTGCAATCATGTCTGCCAACTGATCCAATGGTACTCGAAGGAGTGAAAACATGGACAAAGCCGGGAAAGCAATAGATGGAGATAGTCGCTTCTTCTCAACCACAGTGTAGAGGAGAAAGGTTGTAAGGGTGATGAGGATCGGGGTTCCATACCATACTGTGGCTGCAAAAGACCAAAGAATGTATCTGTAACGCAAAGCTTTCAGTTCTTCCTTCCTTTTCTCGTTGACGATTTCCTTGAAACGGTGTTCCCAGGCAAAATATTTGATAATTCGAATATTTTGCAGTACCTCATTTGTGGAATGGATCCGAGCATCGGTTTTGGAGAGAATTTCATTTTGAATAACCCGGAAGCTGCGTGCAATGAAGAGGTTGACGGGAAGGATCAAAACCATGAGGCCAATGCCGGCAAACGAGCTGAATCCGAGAACACGGTATAGAAGCACGATAGCGACAATCACTTGAGTCGGTACGCTGGCCCACAGAAAATGCAGATAAGCACAAGCTTCGCTGACTTTGAAGGAGTCAATTGCCATCAAGTTGATAATCGTGCCGAGTCCGGCCATGTGGGCTGGGCTTTCCTCTTCTTTGCCAGACTTCTTCTTTTTCTTCTTTGACTCACCGTCCTCCTGAGCTTCGGTAGTTGCTCCAGCTTTGCGTCGCAACGCCTTGGAATATATTTCACCAATGATGATTGCACGCAATTTCAAACCAATATTATTTCGGCCGATCCAGAGAGCTTGACCATCTGCTATTCCTTGAATGGCTCCCGATACAAACAACAAAATGGCATACAGCCAAACAGCATTTGCAGGTGTCGATCGTGGATCTTCGACATATTCTAGGATGGCTTTAAGCAGTAAGGTAGGAATAAAGGTGAACAGATTTGAAAACACGGTCCAAGCAGCCTGGATGATCAGATCCTTGTCGAAATAACGCAACAGTCTCCACAGTAGTTGGTAGTGTTTATAGCGTTGGCGGAAATCATGTAGGATAGTGCCAGCATGGCGCGATACCGTCAAATTCCATACATCATCCAATTCCAAAGGTTGATAATAGCCCTTCCAGATCATCGGGTCGAGCCACGAAAAGGTCACGAGAGACAACAAACTAGCATATGGCTGGTGTGGAGGTTCGAGACCATCTTCATGTTGTAACAGGACGGTCTTATTTCCTCGTCTGGTGGTGATGGACAAGAAAACTAGGATAGTCAACACAGCAAATTCAATAGAAGAGAGTATCAACGCGCGCCTCGAGAGTGGGTGGATAATCTCGGAGCGGAAGACGAAGACAGTCAGAAGCCATTGAATAGCGTAAAGGGTGGTGGTGTGGTTCCATAGCCGGGGTTTGATTTGTTTATCTAGAGTCGAGAGTGCAAATCGCACAGCAGTCAGGGTGAGAATATATACCCACGACGCAAGCTTCGCCGCGGCAGCAACATTACCATGACGACCCCAGGCGTGAGTGACCAGAACAGCGATACAGACGCCGACTTCTACTAACAGGCCGGCAAGTTCGAGAGAAACAAGGAGTAGCTGTCCTGGAGGGCGGTTCAATTCGAAATCGCCGTGTGAAATACGACTGGCGGACTTGTGTAGAATCAGATCAGCCACATCCTCCTCCTCAAGCTCACTATCCTCGTCTTCATCGACAGTGTCTGGGTTGACTCGGCCATTGGCGAGGGGCTTATACACGGATCGTCGCCATTCAGTAAACCGAGGATATAGTGTGCGAAATAGGATTAGAAGAAGGGACAAGCCGCAGGCGATGAGCGGGAAGAGAATTCGAAGATAGCTACAACGGAATCAGCACCAGTCTTTTCTTCCTCCTAGATTTTCCCGAGTCTTGTTAGTATGAGACATGACATACTTGCGTTGAAAACAAGGAGTCAGGTCATCGATGACCCAAATGGGACCGTGACATTGTAATCCCATTGCTGTTCAGCACGACCAGAGGCGGACTCGGTGGCGGTAAGAGAGAGGTAAGAGGGCGCGGACAGTTTATTCCAGCTAAATGTCCTTCATTTGGCAGTCGATGACATGGGGGATCTTCCCAGCATGGATACAGGAAGCCACTCGCACGGGCAGAGGGCAAGATAGGCACGGAGCAAGGAAACCGCGCGTGGGATGAGATAAAAAACGAACAGTATTGCACGGGTGATTGTGGTGGTAGTCGAGATTGCGGTTATAATTGTAGATAGAGGATGTCTGCTCGGCAGTGACTGGGAGAGCTGCTGTCGAGCAGGAGGAAAGTGGTGGTGTTGGTGTTGGTGGTCAAAACTGCAGTGGAACGCAGGCAGGGCGAGGAATGACGGAAGCACGAAGCTTCCCAGCAATCTTAACGGCCTGCAAACTCTTAACGACGGCCCCGCGCCAACCACCCGATTCGCCAACTAATTATTAACAGGCCTAGTGTCTAATATCTGATATGATAACCTCGTTGCATTCGCTATTCATTACTGGGCTACTACTACGGTTGCTGAATACTGAGAGCTCTGACCCCGCCTGTTGCAGCCTGCAGCTCCACCACGAATCTGCAGGCATTAACGCCTGCTTTCTGACAGCTTAAGGCGAAAACTCTGCAAGGTCATGAGGCCGTTCGTATTGATTTACCGATAGGCCATCTCTTTTGTTGTGAACAATGCGCGCTTTGTATATCAAGACTAACACTGTCTAGAAATCAATTGGTCGTTGAATACAACGGAACCGTAATAGTATGGACGGCTGCGGAGAAAATATTCTTGGAGCCATTCAAGACTCATAATTCGTCATCTTATCGCCGGCTTATTTACATAGTCTCCTTCGTGTTCAGGCCATCGCATTATTAATACGAGCCTGTGACTCACCTCGCCGAGCCCTGCATCGTTAGGGCCAATCTGAACGGCTCGAATTGATTTCGACAGATTAATTTAATCGCGTTTTTGATTTGTCTTCGCTTGGTGCCTGCATGCATGTCCTACTTAGTACTTATCCACTATGTACTTAGTAGATAGAAAGTCCGAAAATGAGGGGCTCGATGAGCAATGCTGTGTACCCTAACCAACTTGGGGTCGGGGAGCTAGTAGTGAATAAAATCTGACACGAGAAGTTAGAACAAAACATCTCTCGATAGGTCGATCTCTGATAAGCTACACCGCCAATCCTGCATATTCACAGTTCACGACGACGACGCATGTGCTGCGACGATCCGGCATGAAAACTACGGTTATTCGTGATTGCTGTCATCCTACTCATTCAATGGGGGGGGGGAACATTATTCTCTACGAGACACTGTTATTCTTTATCTACTCATGCTCAAGTTGCTACCCCGTCTACATACTACTAATTAGTGTATGTCGACTTACATGTATCAATTAACCTCCACCCTGTCACATGAACTATTCGACAGTTTTCTGTGAAATTCATGTATGTAATTATTGATTGACTTATGCACTTTACTTTCTCGCCAGAGAGTACCTGGCTGTCCCACACCGTTGCAGGCCAAGGGTTATATTTATGACGAGTATTTGATTATTAAATATCAATCACACCAGCTGGTATTTGATCTCGATTGATTTGAGATTGGTGTATATTTCATGCCTCAGGCAAATGCATGTCCAGGCCTGAGAGTTAGGGTTAATCCCAAATAGGCAATCTCTTTGTATCCAGAGCCCTCCTTTCGACTTCAATTTCGGCTTCACTATTCGACCGCATTTACTTGACAGGCTCCCAATCCATTCAAGTCAGTCACGTAGTGCCTGTCATGCCAAGAAAGCCCCAGGCAGCGATGGCCAAGCCCGAAACCGTGCGAAACACAGCCTTATTTGGCACGCCCTCTCGCACACACACGTAGCCATCCACAAGCCCGACATATGCGCCGAGAATAGTCAAAACGGTGTCGAACTCGATGAGCTTTGCCTGGAAATAGAAGGTGAATAGTATCAGTCCGATTGCGGTGACGCGTCCAGAACTGAGGATCATGACTGCCTGGGCCGGTTTAGAGGTGGCGACACGCTTTGGTAAGCCAAATTCGAGAATGGCATATTCGGCGTCGAAGAATGGTATCAGTCCGCCAAAGGTCACGGCTGCGGCAACAAAGAGGCCGGGGAGGTGCAGGAGAGCGAAATGACTTAACATTGTTCAACTGGTGTAGGCTGGATTAGATTGCTTAAGCGGATGCTGTGTACATCAAATGCAAAATGATCAATGTTTACCTATGTAGGATGCAGGAAAATGGGAATGCATGTAAAGAAAACACATGCTGGCTCCTGACTACCCGTAGTTGATGCTATTGGCCAGGATGGCCATGTAACATATTGTGAGCGAATCAGTTTCCTTAGTTCTGTTATTTGCGACATGGCTGGGTCGAATAGTTCAATAGTTCAAAAATGTTGTTTATTGATATATGAGCCATCTCCATCTCATCAATTTCAGTGTTATATATACGTATTAATATGTATATTTAGTACTTGTGCCTAGAATACTTGGGTTCAGTTAATATCGCGTGACTTGGAGATCACCTGTAAATACGAAATTGTCGCCGGCAGTCCCCTGGTCATGTGCACGAATCAGCAGAGAGTGGCAGCCCCAGAGGCATTAATATTAATTCATATCAATATTTATACTCATCTTCATACCGTATGCGCATGACCATGAACACGATGTACTGTATACATGCGGATTACAGTGAGCTAGCCCGATCAGGAAAGCGTGCCTTATCGGCCCGTTCTGGCATTGGGTCGCCGTCATCGCCGCTCGACGTTGCCTCTCGATCTCTGCTGGCCACTGCTCTTTTTCCGCCTATCTTCGCCTGTACAAAGTGCTTCTTGGGCCACATTAAAGAGCTGGCCCTCGCTGTTACCGCTGTGCTTTTAACACACACTGTGCTTCTTCTGACCACCACACCCGCACCCACTCACTCATTCATACCCACTATGGCGGAACGCATTCTGATGAACGAATTCAAGGCCCTTTCCAAGGAGAAATGGGTTCACATTGAGGTATGCTGATCCACGTTTGGTAGACCCTCATGGTGTAAGTCTGTGTCTGATGAGTTGCGGTTATAGTTGAAAGACGAAGACATATTTCGCTGGAATGTCGGCCTAATCGTGCTGAACCCAGACTCCATGTACTACGGAGGATACTTCAAAGCCCTGATGGAATTCACCAGCAACTATCCCTACTCTCCACCAAGTATGAACAATACTCTCTTCTTTTTCTTTTTTGGTCGCTTTTAATGAGGGGAAAAGAACATGGCTAATTCCGTAGAATTCCGCTTCATCAGGCCCATCTGGCACCCCAACATCTATCCCGACGGCAACCTATGCATCTCGATCCTACACACCCCTGGCGAGGACGAACAGTCTGGAGAACTGGCGGCAGAGCGCTGGTCTCCGGCGCAAAGAGTGGAGTCGGTGTTAATCTCCATTCTGTCTCTTCTCGACGACGCTGAATGCTCGTCCCCCGCCAACGTCGACGCTGGCGTCCAACTACGCAATGACTTAGAAACATACAAGGAGTGCGTACGCCAGAACGTGGAGCAGTCGAAGTTGGACATTCCCGACGGTTTCGTCATGCCAACCTACGAGTCGACCGTGGCCAAGCCCGCCGTGGATGCCGATGACAGTGATTTCTGGGCCGAGAGTGACGCTGAAGAAGATCCTTTTGGCGGCAGCGACTCGTCTGATTTCGAAGTCGATGACGATAATGATGATATGGAAGTTGACGACAGCGATATCCAGGGAGATTCTGGCAGTGACGACGAAATTTGATTATCAATCACCTTATCACGTTTGGTCTCTTTGCAATTTCCAGCGGGCAATATCCATTTCAGGCGTATCGGCATTGGTTGGGCGGTTTATCAGCGTGTTTCATTCTGCATTGCACAGGCTAGGAGTTTGCTTTTTCTAAGCCTCCGTTCGTACGTTTGCATTTTCATTCAGCACATACATTTTACCTTTTCACGACTTCTTACGTCGAATATATCCATTTTGTATCTACGGATTATTCTTGTCAATGATTTCTGGCCTTGGAAACATCAATAACAGCAGGGTTCAGCTGCTTGATCACATCAATTGATATCGTAGTATTTAAGCCGTAACATTAAGTAAAGCGTATGCTTGTGTGTATCAATTCATGATGTATGTATATAATGCCTAATCAAACCCTCAAATCTATCCAATTGCATGTGCCGAGGTATTCTAACAATCATGTCCAAACAGCTGCTGGCGATGGAATCACAATCGACAGAAGAAAATACGAAATAGATAAATAGATAAAAGATTAAGCAATAGCCGCATTCTCAGCAGTAGGCGTAGAGCTGATTGCCAATTCTTCCACTTTCTCACTTGGATCTTGGGCTGGTGCTGCCGTTTCTTCAGTGTCATTGGCAGCCATCGAAGTTGTTGCAGAGGTGGTAGTAGTAGTAGTAGTAGTAGCAGCAGCAGTAGTGGACGGCGGCACCGGGATGATCTGTCGTCTGGGTTTTCCCTGATCCGTACCGAGAACATCGATCCGATCCGCAAAGAACCTCACGGGTCCCTTCAAATACACCGATTTGCCTGATCCGTCCTCGGCAGGTTGTTCAATACCGCCTGCCAGTGCACGCGCGGCATCATCCAGGATCGGTAAATCCCCCCATTTGAAATCGAGCGTACCGCCGTATTGCGAGGGGATGGAAGACGGCTCGATGAATGTTTCAAGTGTCGATTTGACTTCGGAGGATGACAGGATGAAGATTTTGGATACGGTGACGGGGTCGAACCAGCGTTTGATCCAGTTCCAAACAGTGGGGAAGAAGGAGGGGGCGCCGATGATCTAGACTTGTTAATACCCGCACCGTATATTAATACAAGCGTCGATGGGTAGGACGTACGAAGATGCGGTCTAGTGTCTCTGGGTAATGCGCTGTCGACAACACGCTGGCATCTTGCATGTGGCTTCTCAAATTCCAGAACTGCATCAGACTGACGCCGCTGATGTCCACGATATTGTTTGACGAGACGATTGGGGTCTCTGGGTTCGGCCGTGCAAGAGCCGAGCATAGCGGGTGCACGAATTGCAGCAAGTTCTCGTACAGCGAGAAAAGACAGAGCAGACGCGCGGGGATCGTCGAGTCCTTGTGTGTTTCCGAGGCGCCGTGCTCAGTCACCTCATGCGAAAAGCTGGAGACGTTCTTGCTGGTGAGATGCTTCACTTCAAAGAGGTAAACCGGAATTCCGCGACGGTCGCGGCGGCCAGTCCATTGGGGGTACTGCGACTGGTTAGACAATATCCAACTCGAAGCCTTATGAAGAAGACATAACTGACCATTTGCCGTGTCCGCTCATAAGACTCTACTTTGATATTCTCGTACAACGAATCAATGCTATTCGCCTTCCGCCAGTCCTCCGTTTCGCTGAACTGCTTATAGGCGCCCTGGACATCGAACTTGCGAGCGCGCAAAAACCGGCTTGAAAATGTCAGCTCACATGCACTTCGACTATATTTTCAAGAGAAATGTACAGCAATGTAGCATCTGTATGGCTTGCTTCCGCGCTGTCGCTCTTCGGCTTGTAGTAGCCCTTTTCTTCCACCTGCTTCTTGAACTCAAGCAGCTTTTCCTCCTGCTCGGGAGTCAAGTGGTTCAAATGGCCGGCCAGCCAGGCGGTGCCGGACGCTTGGTTGGCGGACGCTACGAGGTCATTTTCGGCGGCGATCTTGCTTAGGTCGCCTTTTGACTCGGCGCCTTCGGCGGGAGGCTGTTCCTCAGACGGGGTTTTGCGGGACCAGAAAACCATGTCGGACAGGGTATTTCAGAGCGAGGGGGGTGTCGGGGGAATGAAAAGATTCGAAGTGTAGGAGGGAAAGCGAGAAAAGAAGAGAAAAACTAGCTCATCCAAGCTCTCGATCGATGGATAATCAAGTGGAGCGCGAGAGCCGATCAGGAACGCGCTGTCATTGGGGGTGCTCCACCAGGCCCGATAAAGCTGGCTGATTGATAATAATTGCCGCCTGACAAAGTAATCAGAGCAAACATTTGAAGAAGATAGAATAATCAGAATAAGTAGAAATAATAAGAATGAACCAGAAAATTAATCAGACTAGATTCTTGGACATGCAGATGACTGGCGTAGCCTTGTCAGATGATCATGATCGATCTGGCAGCCGGAAAAGCGCGGAAACACACTTGCTCCATGGTACATGTACTATCGACTACTATTGGCCTCACCGCTCTTTATATACGACTGGTCAGGATTGAAATATGCATCTTTTTACGCCCTGAGTGCCGGACACCTCTACAGTCTACAAAGAAAGAATAGATGAGTGGCCGTCAGTTCATCAATTGCGTATGTCCAATAATGACATCTGAAGTAAAGCTTTATAACCTTTTTATAACCAATCGTAGTTCATCGACTCAATCTTAATCCTCAGTCAAGTCGCCATATTCCCACATACCCCGTCGATTCTGCTTGGCTTCTTCCTCGACTTTCTTATAATGCGCCAGCGTGGTTTCAGAGGCGCGCTCCCACGCCTTGAGTTTGCGGGGGACCATTGCTAGGCCCTCCCGGACGACTTCTGCGTTGATGCTCTGATCCAAGTTCTGCGAGGCCCGCGGGTCGAGAAGAGTCACGTACAGAGTTCCTTCGGGAGAAACATAGTCGACGTTGGCCACCAGTTCGCGATCGAAAGTCTGCTCACCAATCACCTGCACAGCGTCTGCGAGATAGTCGGGGGATACAGGGAACTGCAGCAGCGACAGGACGGCGTCCATGGCCTGTGGCTTCAGCTTCTGTGTGGAAAATTGCTGCGATAAAGGCCGCAGACGGGACCACGGAATGACTTCGGAGTTGCCGAAATCAACGTACAGCACTTCAGCCGTCTTTTTCTCGCGGTCGTTTCGTCGAATCTTGGCCCGATACCACTCGTTGTCTTCCGTAAAGCGAGCTGCAACAAAGTCGCCAGCCTTGGGAGGTCCAGGGAGGGGAGTGTCGTTGGTCTTGCTGAGATGGAATGATCGGAAGGAGTTCATGAGCTCGGTCAACGCCGATGTACCGGTGCCAATTTGCTGTACCTTCAACTTGGCTGTTTCTGGATCAATATGTGTGACCACGACGTCGCGGTAATCCTTTCGTCGTTCAGCTCTCTCTCCATTGCCCTCAGTGCTATTGCCGGCAACAGCAGCCTCTTCCTCATCCGCATCTTTACTCGGGTCCCAGTCATGCCACACTCCTTTGCGGGTCTCCTTGGCTCTCTGCTCTGCCGCAAAGAGCTCCTGGCCATGGCCCGATTGTTCAGCCGAATAAGCATGAACGGTAGCGAAGCCTTCCTCGACCAGAACTCTCGCAAAGTTCTCACGGTTAACATACAATACGCCAATGAAACCGCCGACCTTGTCGATAGTCTCCACGTCAATCTCGACATCACGTTGCATCACCCTCCGGTTCGCAAACTCGTGTGCCTCGTTACCAAACGGCTCCGCTGGATCACCCGGATTGCGAGCCGACTTGGGAGCACGAATTCCAGAAAGAACAAAGGTCAATTTGGCATTTTCGCGGGGAACAAGAACAGTGAACCGAGATGCTGACTTGACGAAATCAACGACAGCAGGAACCTTTTTCTGCCGTTGTAAAATGGAAACTTCCATCTTGGCCTTTTGTAGGCTTTCAGAGTAATCTTGATACTGTTTGGCCTTGGGGGGCTTGGTCGCCCACATTCCCTTTTCTTCACTCTTAGCAGAATCCTCAGCGACGAGGAGTGCGTCATATTCAGGTGAACGGTCGTCGTCGTCTTGTCGGTGACGAATGACAGATGCGTAACCAGCTTCGACCAAGTAAAGAGCAAGATTCGTGTTGCCTTGCACAACCGTAGCAACGTCACGTTCTTCATAGCCTTCAGTAGCAGGCTTCTTGCCGTCAATAGTGACTTTAACGTGCTTTCCAATAACCTTCTTTCGCAAGTATTCCTTGGCGTCTGCTGCGAAGGGGGCTTGGTTAGGGTCGGAAGGCTTAGGTTGTCGAATACTGCTAAGGCTGATCTTCTTCTCTGCGCCAGCCTTGCCTCGCAAAAAGATGGTGTCGGCATTCAGCACACGGCTGACAACGTAATCACTATCCGCACCGCCAGCAGGCCCCTTGGTAGCAACATGTCCTGTAAACAATCCGATCTTTTTGTCCTTAGCAACCTTCTCAGCTTGACGGAAGTTGGCCATTCCACCGCCCAACAAGGTAGAATGGTGGTCAAAGCAACGAGCTAAACCAGCCTCCAACAGATATCTGGCAATATTGCCATTAGGATGTATAACTGACCCGATCAACTGACCCTGAGGAGTTGTTCCAAGCAGCTGAGCTTTAACTTTTCGCTGCAATAATCTGGCTTCAACAAACTGTTGCGCTTCATCTCCAAGCGGCTCACCGGATTGTTGTGTGCCATCAGCACCGACACGGGGAGACGCTGGGGCGCGGACACCGGCAACAGCAAGCAATGTTTGAAGGTGATGGGTTGGCTCCAGAAACAGTCGAATCAACACCCTATCACCATTCAGGACCCGCTCGACCACAGCGTCCAGCTGCCGATTCTTGTACTGTTCAACCAGGGCCTTCGCATCCGCGACTTCATAATCGGTCTCGAGGCTCCCCTTGTCGGATTTTCCCCAAACACCCTTGTCGTCCGCTTGGGCCTGCGCCTCCAATCCTCTCAACTTCTCGAGCAGTGCCAGCGAATCCTCAGACTCGTCGCCGCGTTTGCCAGCTTCTTCGCGGACTCGAGTCCACCCTTCCTGCACTGCAAGCTCTGGCAGGGAGGCATTGGTTCCGGGGATTTTCACAATTCCGTATTCACGTTTAATGCCGGTGGGGATGGTGTAGAGGACCTGGAATTGCACCACTTTGCCAACAAGAAGCTCACGGAGAAATTCGCGGGAGGCAAATGCGAATGGCTGCGAGAATTAGTCAAATCCACGCTGTGGAACATTGAAATGATATAAATAAAGCCGGGTAAGCACATACCTCGTCGCCCTCTCTCCGGAGGCGGGGAGCGGACACATATGCCAAGCTCAGTGTGCGTTCCTGACCACGGTTGGTGACATGTGACAGGACAAGCGTGTCACCAGAGAGGACAGACTTGACCCGAGCTTCTAGAGGCATGATGGGAATAAAAGAAGGCTTAACAGGAAACAAATGGGAGGGGGGAGGAGAGAATAGAGGGTGTAGAAGAAGGAAAGTGGTCCAAAGAGCTACGTAGCCGTAATGTGGAGAGAGCGGAGTAGTGTGTTTAGTATAGAAAGAGAACGGGCCACGACAGCATAGGAGTGGTTATTTATTTATTTATTTATTAGTCAAGTTAGCGACTGACAATTGGTTCTTTGGAGGGAATAAATCTGTAATTAACAGCAATGCAACCAGGCCTATTCTCATCCTACCAGCGAAGATCACATTTAGATGTCCAAATTCGACAACAGTGGTCGAACTACCAGCCTCGACGCCAATTTAGTCACAATTCCAAGCATTCAAAAGCAGAAATAACCTTTATAACAAAGGCGAAATGATCACAGAAATCAAACATTATTGGACAACTTTCTTTGCCATATTCATTTAACCCCTCACCGCACAAAATGAGGGGTCACGTGGGGCGCAGATATGCGAAACTGTCGATCTATGTAAAACGAATCAGAGAGGCTTCATCGAATGACTAGTAGCCACTGATACATCTATATTTATTATCATACGTATAGCAATAGGTATAGCTTTCGCATGAGTTTGTGTGACGAGTCGGCAGTTTCTAACCGTTGATGCCGAAGGCAGACACAATTACAGCAGGGCCAGACTACAGCTTCTATCAAGGAATAAGTTACAAGATTGTTTTAGTAGTTAATCTAAGCTAGAAGATTTGATTTACTAATCGTGTCCGTATTGCATTCTAGGCTGTTTCATAATAACTAACAGATAGCAGATACGTGCGTCATCCTCCTGCAATTTATCGTGACGCTTTTCTTTAGCTGGCCCTATTTAGTTGGCGATACCGATGACACCTAGATTCCCGAATTAGTGTGCGCTTCAAGACAAGTAGAAACAAACATACCGCAGGCTGGGCGAGGGCCAGCGTTGCCAGTCTTCTTGGACTCCTCGTTGCCACCACGGCCGAGGTCGTCGGTACCAGCGTGGACGACGATGGTGCGCTAACATATATCAACGATTTGATCGTGCAAGTTAAATAACAGGTCTACTTACTCCGAGAACGCTCTCGGCGCCAATCAGCTTGATGAGCTTGTCCTGGACAGATCCGACAGCATTGCCCTGAGCATCGGTCTTGAAGTTACCCAAGTCACCGACGTGGCGCTCGTCATCGCCGGGGGCACCGTGGGTCTTGCCGTGAGGGTTGACTGTGATGATAGTCGTCAGTTCATGGTCAAGTCATGCACTTTTTGGATACATACAGTGAGGGCCAGCGGATGTGCAGCCGTTGGTGTTGTCACCAAACTGGTGAACGTGGATGCCACGCTCAGCGCTGGGGTCGTGGCCGGTGATGTTCCATGAGACAGTAGTTGGGGCGCTCTCTGAGGTCTGCTCAAAGGTGACTGTGCCCTTGATGTTGGAGTCTCCGCGGAGGACAGCGACTAGACGAGCGTTAGTGGGCTGATATATGTGGCCTGGGTTGAGCGTAGGTTCGGATCAGGGAGGAAGCTGCAGCGAATCAAGAACAATGAAGGCGCAGGGTGGGCGATATCTCACAAGGTGCTCAAATCTGCTCACCCTGGAGAGTGGAGGGGCGCGGTCGATCACGGATGAGGAGTCCGGGGGCTGTGACTGGAGGAGAGGCAGATTAAGCAGCTGGAGACTTACCGGCCTTGACCATTGTGGCGGTGTTTTGTTTGTTTATGGGATGGTTTCTGGGATGGATTAATGCAGAACAGCTGAGCAGTGACTAGTGAATGGCAACGAAGAAGGAGTTCAGGAGCGCAACGGGACAGTCGGTTATAAGAGAGGGACACTCTGTCCGACCGGCGTCTGAGGGGACCATCGCGTCACCCCACTTACGCCATTCTTTTCTTTTTATAATTATTAATACTACAATTATATAGCATACAGTATACAGTATATACTTAAAGATGCTCCTCAGCTACAACTATACAGTATACACTATGAACGCTCCCTTCCTCCCTCGACCATCCACCACAGCTGAGTAGTTCCAATGTTGAGTATGAATGATGCAGAGCCGACCCCGCCGACCCCTCACTCGAGCTTTCCGTCATGCTGACACCATCCAGCGCCCTGTTAACTAACCATAGTACAGTAGAGTATACTATTCATAAGCAGCGCTGGCGAGACTGCGTCCATGACTAAGCGCTCTCCATCTCGTAGTTGTATTGTGCTGTAACTACGCTATTATCATACTAGTTGTTATTATGATGAGTGCTCCGAATTGCCCCGCACTGGGTCCGCTGCGACTACGTGAATACGGATCTGAATCTGAAATGAATATGAACACTATGAAATTCATACAATTTGTAACATATCTACTAGAATATCACGACTGTATCGATTCAACAAAGGAAATGACGCGGTCCTGATCTATCGTCATATCGTAATCGCGGTGCAGCTTTTGATAGAATGGGCCCAAATTATCCGCTTTCGTTTTCCATCTTTTTTCGCTCGCTTTAAATCCCGTCCGAAAAATAATCTGTACAATTGGTACCTAAGCCTGGATCTTGGCCTTGAGAATATCCTTCAGCGCGACCGCATCCGCTGCGAACTTAGAGATACCCTCACGGAGCTTCTCCACGGCCATGGCTTCCTCGTTGAAGTCGAAACGGTAGAGAGCTTCGTTGTCGAGGTATTCGCGCTTAGGGATGTTGAGAGCAGCAGCTCCAGCAGCGTCAAGCTTCTTGGGAACAGCGGCAGTAGAGTTCAAGAGGTCTTCCAACAGGTTGGGCTAGACGATTTGGTTAGCTTCTGCCAGGAAAAGTTTTTTTATCAACTTCGGGTCATACCGAGATGGTCAGGTAGTCACAGCCAGCGAGTTCAGTGATTTCACCGGTGTTACGGAATGAGGCACCCATGACAATTGTGTTGTATCCGTGCTTCTTGTAGTAGTTGTAGATGCTTTGCACCGACTTGACACCAGGGTCCTCCTCGGCAGTGTAGTCGCGCTTGTGTGCGGCCTTGTACCAGTCAAGGATACGTCCGACGAAGGGGGAGATGAGGAAAGCGCCGGCCTCAGCAGCAGCAATGGCCTGGACGAGGGAGAACATGAGAGTCAGGTTGCAGTTGATTCCGTGCTGGGACTGCAGGATGCGGGCAGCCTGGATACCCTCGTAGGTGGAAGCGATCTTGATCAAGATCCGGTCCTTGGAGATGCCAATGGACTTGTAGAGCTATATGAACGACAGAGCTGTCAGCGATGTCCTGTGCACTAGCTTTATCTTCAGATATACCTCGATGATGTGCAAAGCCTTGTCGACCGAGGCCTTGGTGTCGAAGGAGTAACGAGCGTCAACCTCGGTCGAGACCTTGCCCGGAATGATCTTGAGAATTTCCTTGCCGAATTCAACAAGGAGACGGTCGAGGGTGGCGTCAACCTGCTCGTCAACGGTTTTGCCCTAAGCAAGTATAAGCATCTATACGTGCGTCGCGCAACCCGCGTGGATGTCAAGAAAAGAGCGTACATGTGCCTTGCCGTACTCGACGGCAACGTCAATGAGCTTGGCGTACTCGGACTTCTTGGAAGCGGCGAGAATCAAAGAAGGGTTGGTGGTGGCATCCTGTGGCTTGTACTTGCCAATGGCTGTTAGAAATATATTAGCATCATCTCATATTCATGTTCGCGGGTCAAACTGCATGAACGTACTGGCAAAGTCACCTAGATTGGATTGCCCTAATTAGCCTGGGTATGATCATTGAATATACTCGACGATGAACTCACCAGAATCGCACACCACGACCTGAATGCCGGAGAAAAACGGAAGGTTAGCTGGCTCAGAAAGCCGCGACTGGGAGAAAACATACGGTGCCGGTGGCCTTCAATTGATCCAACGAAGAAGACATTGTGCAGCGATGTAGAGACACACGGTGAAGGGTATCTGATTATGAAGACCAAAGAAGGTCGGAAACTGCAGACAGTGGGAAATGTTTGGGATGGGAGAGAAGAGGTATAAGAGTCTGTCTGGTATGAAGACTGGAAGTGGCGAGACAGGAGGGGTCAACTGGTGACGGCGACGGTCCCCGGAGTGGGATGGTGGGGCTCTATGACGCCGACCTCGACCCGGCTGTATATTATATGTTATTACTAAGTCATTAGTCCACATATAGATGTATTACTGATAGCCAGCTCTAGCTACGGTGCATTATTGACACGATAGCCGATCCGTGGAGGCCCTACTCTTGGATAGCCGCAACTCCGAGGACGTTGTCAACCACTGCCAATTGCCAATTACCATTTGTTGATGATTGAATTCTCGCAACGACCTTAATGGTCCGGCCCAGTGTGCTCCGATGCTCCCCACAGAGCTTGTTCACCGGAAATACGCTATACGGACAGGGTACTAGAGTCTAACACGTCTATAATTGTGACTCGGCTAATAAGGCTAATAGCTTGCTTGCAGAGTGTAAAAAACAAGTATATCCGTGAAATAGGGAAATAACCGTGTACCTGTGAAACGCATGCCATCCTGAACAAAACTTTTGATCGTCATCGCATATTCATAAATCCAGTACAGAAGGCGCCCAGCCATGCTAACGCCAAGAAATGAGCCGCCACCAGCAGCGGCAATAAAGAGCAATGCTAAATTCACCTATATAAAGAATACAGAATGGGTGAGAATTGTGTTTTGCGTTGGGTGCGCGTGGAGTGGTTACGGTGATATCCGCTTCAAGACCGACGTTGGATACAGTCCCATTCGTACTAACACATATTAGCACCACATTTGCCTGTGTAAATTTTAAGGTGAAACTTACGACTCGTCCGGCCTCATCACCGGTGTAGACGGTATGAGGAAGCGGAAGAATGCAACTGATGCCTGCAGAGACGTTGACCCCCGTGTCTTTGCTATGGTCTACGTGGTGAAGTTGTCGAATCAAGTCCAAATCAAACCGTCCATTTCGGATAACTTTGCTCCAGACCTATCATCTAACAGTTAACAAAAGTAGAATGTGCTTATCCATGATACTCACATTGACAAGTCCTCTCTTATGACCGGTGAAGAGAAGCTCCCTTTCTAACCATTCATTGCTTGCACCCTCGTAAAAGGCACATGATACAATGTAATCGTCTTTCGCTTCACAGACGGCTTGGTCGAGGAGGAGCGCCCCGTTTAAGGAATACAACGTAATACGACTACCACGGCAGATCATGATAGTCCCAGTCATATCGTTGATCCGGGCACACTGCTATTATTAGTCAATGTCACCATGGTAAAGATAGCAGGTTGCATACTTCTACCGGCCCTTCAGCCGGCAATTCTCGTAAAAAGGATCGTCGGTTAAGATCCCATAGCATAATCTGTCCATCCAATGATGCTGACAAAAGGGTGCTGAATGACCGAGATGTTGCGAGCACCGACACTGGCGATCGGTGGCCAAACAGGCATGCTTGTGGCTGCAATTCCATCGTTCGACCAGAAGAGATGAATGTCCATATCGAAACAACGCAGTCAGATCCGGCTGTAACAAGCGTTTGAGAGTCTGCAAATAGCACACACGACAATTGTCCAACATGTAAATGTTCGAAGTGACCAAGAAGCTGTCGTATAAAAGGTAAGCATTGTAATTACATAGATCCTTCGACAAAATACCTTCTTGTTATCCGATGCGTAGAATCGGACACTGCCGTCCGAGAACCCCCATTCCATATATTTGTCAAAAGTTGGAGGCACATTTAGTCGAAACGCGGCCGTACATAACAACCGGTCTTGTTTCATGCACAAAGATGACACTTTTTCTTGAATGTCTAATATACTTGTCAGTGCAAAGCTTTTGCATAATAAATCTCCATGCTCATTTCTTACTTAACAAGGAAAGTGGGACTCTAGTCAATGACTCAGCTAGAGCATCTAATCGACCCTCTCTACGACTGTTATCCTCGCGGCGAGGATGTGGACGTTGGAAAACCTGGTGCGGCGTCTGCCCAAAGTTATGGATAATGCCAATGGTAGCTAATCGTTCCACTGGATCCTCGATATTGTCAAGATCCCTCGCTCCCTGGTAGGAGAGGTGGTGGAAGACGTTGGCTGCTTCAATAGCGGCCTCTCCCTTTTGCTTGAAGCCGAATACAAGGTCAATCCATTCATGAAGATGCTGTGTAACATATGGACTTTCTAAGGCTTCCCGGTGCTTGGAAATGAAAATTTTAGGATCACCCTTCGCCCATGGAGGAAGTTCAACAGAGTCAATAGCTTTACTCATATTTTGACGGAGTCCAAAATCATATCTGTTTGAATTGACCAGGAATTCCGGGAGATAGAAAAACTCCGGAATAAGTTCACGAACGTCAGACATATTGCCCCGCGAAGCAGATTCCCATGCCTTACCCACTGAGTAGAAAAGTCTATCTGCGTGGTCAAAAGTACCTCCCTGAAGAAGTAAATATGATTTGACAAAAGGCTGTAAACGAATCAAGTAAGAGCTAACTATCATCGCAGATGAATAGTGAGTTCCGTAGTGAAACGCAGGTGCATTCTCGTCACCCATCTCTGCGAAAGATTTGTATCGTTCTCGAAATTCCGCTTCTCTCTCAAAGTTCTGACATCCCATAGGCTTAGTGAGGTCACGAAAACTCTTCGGATTTTCCAAATCTAGCTCGTTGCTTGTATAATCAGCGAGAACCCATGGGAAGACGGGATACTGTGTCAGGTCATTGAAAGTTCGGCCAGCTAGCGTATTGACTAGCATTAAGTAATGAAAGTTGGATATCTCGCCCTTGACCCATTTCTGTGTCGCTGGGTTCAAAGATGACTGTCCAAAAACACTAGCAAATTTTGACCCGAGAGATTGGGGTGTATCCTCCTGGACTTTCAAGGTCTCAAATCTCCAAATGTCTTCTGGTCGAGTAAGAGTCATGTTTCCGCCAATATGAGGAGCGTGCGCACATAATTGGTTGAAAAGCTCATCCCGAGCCCGAGAGGATATCAACGTTAAGAGATAGCTGCGGCCGTCCGTGAAAAACATCTCGAGTGCCACATCACGGAAGAGAAAACGACGTTTTGAGACGCTTATAAGATCGACCCATTTCCAGCTCCGCGTTTCGTGCTCGCGAGATTTCCTTTCATCAGATTCACGACCAGCAATCATGCGCACAAAGGGATCCCTTTCTTCGACAGGGGCTTGCCACACATTGACAATCTCCCCATCTGTACGTTGGAAGAAATTATCTAAAATGTAGACAAAATTCTTTCCCAAAATCAGAAGACCTTCACAAGCCTCGAGACCCATAATGCGAGACATGTTGCAAACACTCTTGACCTGGTCTCCTCTTTGGAGACTTCGCATGACCTTTCTATTCTTATCCTCATAATCATCAATGTCCACGCGAGGGTCGTCGATCATCTCGAAACTATCTTCGAGAGCAGCCTTGTCTTCACCGTCAGGCCCTACAGCCCCCATTTCTACTGGCTCTTCTTCAAGTACGTTAGTGGTCGGCGTGCTAACAATATTTTCATTGCTCGCTGCAGTTCGCAAAGAGTTCACCTTGATAGCAGGAGGCTCTGAAGCCTTCCGCTTTGGTTGATAATCTTGTCGTTCACTCGAATCATCGGGAATGACACGAAGTCGAATTCGACTACGTCCCTCGGTCTGATCTAGACGCCATCGGGCTTGCCCCCTTTTCTCTAGCAAACCTCCGAAACGGTGTAGGTCTTCTGATATTTGAGAAAAATGGGACCACATGAAGGAATAATTATCATGTTGATCTTGTAATAGTCTTTGATGTTTCAAAAACTCTGAAGCATATATATTGGATGTCCAATGATCAAAGGTAGTGTTGTGTCTGCGGTTTACCTCGTCATCCAACTTCTCGTCTTGGGCCCACTGTTTGAGCTTTTCCTTCCGTTTTATGCTGCGGTTTCGGTTTGATTCATCGGTCCTATGATTCTCTTCCACGACAAAGCTGTCCCAGAATTTGGATATACTTCCAAAAAAGAACGCATCTAGATCCTCACGCTGCTCACCAATCCAACGTAAGAAGGTAGGGTCATCCATTCCGACTAACTCCTCGAAACCATCTGAAAGTCGACTCTGGAGCGAAAGCGGGGCATGATTGAGTATAGATGCAGTCTCAGAAGGCTTCTGAACGAGCACAATTCGCCATATAGTTACCGCCGCTAGCTGAACTTCATGCTTGTTGGAGACTGATTTTGTATATAGTAAGTAGTAAAATAATTTCAAATACTCGACTTCCGACTCCCCTGACGCGAGAATAATTGTTTGCCAGTAGCCGAGACGATTCAAAAAGGCAAGAGTATCTAGCTCATCGACATCTGATAGCTTCAGCATGATAACCTTGAACAGTCCTGAGCGAATACTGTTGATAGCTTGGCTGCAGAGACGGATAATTTTCAAATTAGAAATTTCTGGGCGTGAAAGATACTCGAGAACAAATCCAGCTAGGTCAACAGTTGGACTTGCGCCATCCAAAAACCAGCCTTCAAATAGTGACTCGCCTACATGAACCATGAAACGAGCAAAATTGGTCAATACCCTCGGCTCCTGGAGTAGCTTCGTATTAGTCGAGAACGTTGCTTGCAACTCTGCTAGAATGTTCCGCAGAAGCCATGATATAAAGTATATCTGGTGCTCTGTTCGACTTGGCGGCGTTTTCAGAAACAGGCCGAGGCCTGTGAAGTCTTTTCGTTCTATGATTTGATCTAGAAAAACTTTCATGACAAGGCGAAGCAATTCCAAAACCAGACTGTGGTTTTCAGCGGAAGTGTCTCGGTCAATAGTTGGCGCGGAAATTCGATGCAGCTGTGATGACGATGGTACATGCTGAGCCTTGTCGGACGAGATAAGGACAAAGGAGGATGACCGTCGAAGTGAGCCGTCTGTATCTGCTGAGTTTTCCGTAGGTACTACAGTAGAGGTACGCAAAACAGGTGCCATAGACACAGAAGGTTGTGTCGAAACAGTTTTCCGTTGGATACTAAGCCCAGTGTCTTGGGAATGTAACTCAATCTCAGCGTCAACAGGTCCCGAACCTGTGACAGGAAATAAAGCGAAGAGTAGCTGTTGAGCATAAGTTGATGTAGCGGCAAATTCTCGAAATTCTGGAAACTTGATGTGTACTTCGGATAGAAAGTTTACAGCATTCGTTATAACATCCTGGTCCGTAGGCGAGTCTTCGGTAAAAACTGCGGCTTCTATACCACATTTGAGCATATTGGTTATGACTGGAAGTACCTCTGGAAATACGACTTTCGTATACTGTTTGGAAGCAAGTGTATCCACGAGCAATGAAGTATCCGCTGTTGCGTCAATATCAATTTCCGCCACATCCAGTCCAAACAAAACTCCAAAGAAAATGGGCCACAGCATAGCAATGTTCCACCGTCGTTTCAATCGTGATTTCAAAATGGCATATCCCCCCGATTTATCCGCCAGCTTCTTACTATAGCCGCTACCGTGGACAACTATCAGCCGTGCAAGAATTGTAGTTGCCAAAACAACCACTGCCGGCTCATCTTCGCAAATGAGGTACAAAAGCCACTTTAAAGACACGTCAGTATACTATAGCCAGACAATATTTAGTCAAATTTCTCACCTTGTTTGTCACAGCTCTAGCAAACTTTTTTATAGTAATATAATCCCCAGGAACGCATAGATAGTTAGTATACATACGGAGTAGTTCAAGTCCAATTTTCGACTTGGACATGATCTTCTTAGAGGACCGATCCGACGAATTAGAGGATTGACGGACACGAGAGTCAAAGCGGAGGCTCTTCCTTTTATTCAATTTGGGGACCTTTTCCTCGTGGAGCGCAAAGGTAATGAAAAGAGACAAGGATCGAAGTAGCTCTGCAGATACACAGCTTTCAAATAGAGAGCGGAAAGCGGGAATAAACAGGCCAAGGGTTTCTTCGGTGAAATCCTCGCCTTTCAAAGCGTCGAGAAGTCTCTTGTTTACACCTAGAATTGATTAGCTTTGAAATATGAGTTAAGGGAAGAGTAAAAAAAGATGGGGCAAGAGAGGGGAAATGTTAAAAAGTTAAACTCACGCATGCGAGATAAACGCTTGGCGTTGAAACGATGATGCTGACTTTCTACAGCAAATGTAGTGAATTGAGAATAATACATCTGAAGCAGCGATGGTTCCCCGAATCGCCACACATCAAGGTCGACAAGTAAGACGCGATATGCGAGAGGGTTCGTAATAATAGACTTGCTTGGCTCTTCAAAATTGTATCCAACGAAGGATAGGATGTGTCTTAAAAGTTCGATTGCTAGGGCGGATCGTTCTCTATTGTCTGAGCAAACTGTTGATGTTTTTGACAGGCCGGATTGCGTGCTTTGTGGAAATCCAAGTTTCTCTCGGAGTAATAAAGCAAGGATTCCATAGCCGTTTTCTCTTTCCATCGCTTCGCTATTCCTCCAACTATCTTCTACAGCCTCAAACAGGATCTGCACTGCAAGGCTTGTGCTCTCTGAAGTGGTGGCGGTTTGTAGCATATTGAGATGTACAGCGGCACAGCCACCTATTCGCCAGCTAGCATCGTCGAGAGCCTGGGGTACAGATACCACAGGGTCCCCTGTCAATACGGCTACTCCGTGAGACCGCGTAAGAGCATCGTTTATGGCTGGAGTAGCACCATTGATCGCAATGGCGTTTCTTCCTGATTTAATCATCTGTTGTAAATTCTTGGCAGCCTGTTTTGATAAGGATTTAACAAGTTGGCTTTCATCAATGTGATTGCTGTCGTCATCATCCAAAATAGCGGTGGGAGATATATTCAATAGAAAAGATGACTCGTGTACCAAACCACTCGCTTTCTGACGAATAGCCGTTATAATGTCTGAATGTTCCTCTTTGCCAGGATGAAGACTTTCGTTTCTCAAATTTAGTGCTGCGGAAGCCTTGTAGGTCTGAAACGAACCCAAGCAATCTTGAAAATTACCATAGTAGCGCGGGCCCAAGTGATAGAATACAGATACCAGGTCATCGCTAAATGTGTCTTCAAAAAGTGTGGCACCAGCAAGAGACCACTTCGATGTACATACCCCTTTGCCCAGACTGACAGCTAGGTCTTGAGGCGTTCCGAGGAAAGCTTGTACTCTGGGGTGCTTATGCGAAGATCGGGCGACGGGTGTGCTTGGGTAATCGATTTTGAGCTGTTCAGCAAACTCACCATCAACGAAAAGTGAAGCTCTGGAAGCAGTAGTTGCTCTAGGCCGCCGGTGGATTACACATATATGGTACCATCGGCCCGTTTCAAAAGTTGTTGATTTGAAACGAATGCTTGGCCTCTGCCCATTGATTGAAGTTTGCAAAATGAAATGACGTGTGTCTTTTTCAAGATAGGCGAGTACAAAACATGTCTGCCTGGAATCAAAAGCGCCGAATATTGTGGTGTGAGATCGTGGGTCAAAATGGTCAAATCGTGCCCATACGGATAAAGTATATCCAGAAGAAGAGAGCGGTGGAAACGGTCGGCCCAAGGTTGGGATCTCAATAGACGAATAGCCATGGGATGACAAGTTGAATTCGATACTGGAGGGTCCCTTGGAAACTTGGATAGCATGCAGAAGAAACTGTGAGGCTTGAGGAGAGTCACAAGCACGCTGATAAAGGTATATGGCATCATCAAGTTTGTTAATACCTTGGATACAAAGCAGCGAGGCAATTTCCTCATATAGTGCTTTTTCGTGCTCGGTCAGGTTTCCATCGAAAATGATTGGAAGAAACAAAGACAAAATGCCAGTGGCATGAAGAGCCATGATGTTTTCCCGTGAATTTTTAGCCAACCTGCAGAGGCACGCGGGAATGGCCAATCTTTGGACAGGGTAGTCGACGCCTTTTGATACTTGATAGAGCCATGTCCGCACCAACGGGCCAATGAACTCTTGAAGCTCGACCGTCTCCTCTGAGCCAAGTATTTTATCCACGCCAGAACGAATGGTTGCAGAAGTCAAAGATTGCAGCGCGGATGTGTATTTAGCACTCAACGCGGTGAAGATTTCACCAACAGTCTCTTGATTAAGCGCGGCAGCAAGAATTGCGCCATATAGTTGTTCGACATCACTTGGCAGGGGCTTTCCATCATCGATCTTGTCAACGAAAAGCCTCAACGTCTTTTCAATCGACACTGGTCCGCCACACCCAATTCTCTTTGCAAAGTAACGTCTGTTGCCAGGATGATCTTTTAAAGAAACGGAAAGAACAGCCAAGATGTCCTTAAACAGTGTCAACAGGTTTTTTCTATCATCACCGCTCTGAACCGCCGGATCATATAGTTCTGCTAGATGGCGAGCGAGATCCAGTAAAGTTTGGAAACCGCCGAGGCTGCGGAGCGCATCCTGCGATTCGCGCGGCCTGTCAGAGTCGATCAACGAATGACGAAGTCTCAGGATGTGCTCGGTGGTCGTTAGGGCGCAATGTAGGTCAAATGGATCATTGTTGCAGATTGTTTGTAGCGATTGAATGGCTGGTGTCAGTTCGGAAAGCACTCGTTCAGGCGTCGTGGACGGTGAAGGGGACGAGGAACGCCGCAGAGCGGGCGTACCGGTCATTATGCCGCCCAAACCTTCCCTGTCCTAGTCTTATGAATCGCACCATCAATAATCGAAATACAGAGAACAGCAGTTCCGTTGTAGTAGAACCAATCCCGATGGCGAACGAGGAAATATCACCGACTGGTGTTGTTGCTGGTCAGGTCATTTGTCTGCCTTGTGGTAATTCGATGTGGGTCGCGGGCAGGTTGCGGCTGGAAACAGTTTACGGTGCGTGTCGGGCGAAGAGGGAAGAAAGCAGTGTCAGTGAGTTCTGCAAAAGTGTCGGGCCGGATTCAGGATGTTGCCCTGCGTAATTCTAGCCCAGACAGGCAGACAACCAGGCTTCATGAAGGCTTTTGCATAGCCATTCTTGTCGACTCTCCCAATCTGACACAGCGGGCCCGCTGCTGCAGCCTCCAGGGCAGGTGCGCGTCACGTGATAGAATTCTCCCCAAGCCCTGTGGTTGGCTGCGAGCTAGGACGATAAGAACCGATAAGAGCGGGCGACTGGCGATAAGCGCTCTCCACTTAGTCAGCAGCTGCCTGGTCAGCCGACGAGACGTGACTGGGGCACGCGAGCAGGATCAACCAACTAACTCCACACGGCTATGCTAGCCCCCGTTGCCGCAGTGAGATTGGTGACGTGGGAGGATGCTGTTATTGTTGCTGTTGACCCAGGAGCTGTTACTAGATACTATGGCTATAGAGCAGTCGTAAACTAAGGAATTCGCGGAAAGCGCTCAATCGGCTGCCCCCGTTTCTTACGTGGTGTTGAGTCACCGTCGTTGAGCCAGCAATAGCTCTCATCCAATAATAAGGACAATAGTAAACACTTTCCATGGTCTCGTATCACAGAAACCCTGTGGCTGAGCACACCATTGAGCCCAGATCAGCTGCCCCCCTGTCGTATTGTTATTATTATTATTATTCCTGTCTTGCGTATCTGAATATCCAAGGCAGACGATGAAACGTAGATCGCCGGTCTTCCGTTCTGTGAATCTCGTGAGCCTCGATATGGTGCTCACTGCGTCTGGGTATTGAATGGAATGTCTGTATTCGAGTCACGCATCGACTTTACCTGTGTTACTGTGTAGATCTTTCCAGGATATATCGAACGCTAAAAACATTTAAGGTGTGCCTGGATAAGGTGCCATCCAAGGACCTGCTGCCCGGTCTTTCTGCGAGCCTTCAACTGATGCTTAAGAACAAAAGACAGGTTTGTCACTCGTCAAGCTGAGTCATAGACTAGCAGCCTCTGTGAGCTCTATAATTTTCTATTAAAATATTAGTCTTCATTTGACTAAGTAAGTACTGCATAACAAACAACGCCGGGTCAAGTGCAGCATGTCCGCAACAGGGCGACCCGCCTGCCGGCGACTGATTGGCTCGTGCCCGGCAAGTCACGCCTCACTCGACGCCAGGACGCTAGCCGAGCTCGGAGTTGCATCATCATCTGCCGGCCAGTCAGAGCCGACCCAGCCCCCGCAGGCCAGTAGGTATGTGCTGCCTGCCCTGCCTGGCTCCTACTCATCGCGTTATCTGCCAGCCTACTTTACCCATCAGTCCTCCTCCTCTCCCTCTCCCCTCTCTTCCTCTTCACACCTCATCAACCCTTCATCTCCATCATCGCTATCTTCCTACTGCTATTCCTTTTGTCTCCTCTGTTATCCTTTCTTTCAGCACTCCTTCCCTCTGCCATCATGAAAGGTATTCTCGGCCTTTCTCTGCTGCCGTTGCTGACGGTTGCGTCACCGGTCATCCCAAGCTCCATCCACAATGGAGCTGCCCCCATCCTCTCTTCAACCAACGCAGACGAGATCCCAGACTCCTATATCATCGTCTTCAAGAATCATGTAGATTCTGCAGCTGCAGCTGCTCATCAGACCTGGGTGCAGGACATCCACATGCAGCACAATGAGCTTCGGAAGCGGTCCCAGTTCCCCTTCGCCGGGGACCTCTTCTCCGGCCTCAAGCACTCCTTCGACATTGCGGGGTCTTTCTTGGGCTACTCCGGCCACTTCGATGAGAATGTGATTGAGGCCATCCGCCGGCATCCTGATGTAAGTCCACCTCTATGGAACAGCTTAGCTTCTCTCCTACGCCGCCGGATAGCCGACCCATGAGTGACATCAACCCGCCAACTAACCTATCAATCTCACAGGTTGAATACATCGAGAAAGACTCCATTGTCCACACAATGGGAGATTCTCAAGTTGAGAAGAACGCCCCCTGGGGCCTGGCTCGTATCTCTCACCGGGACTCCTTGAGCTTCGGCAGCTTTAACAAGTACCTCTATGCCGCTGATGGTGGTGAAGGCGTCGATGTCTACGTTATCGATACCGGTACTTTCACTGATCACGTTGACTTTGAGGGTCGTGCCTCATGGGGTAAGACAATTCCAGATGGTGACGAGGATGAAGATGGCAATGGGCACGGCACCCACTGCTCTGGAACCATCGCTGGTAAGAAGTACGGTGTGGCTAAGAAGGCCAATGTTTACGCTGTCAAGGTCTTGAGATCCAACGGCTCTGGTAGCATGTCTGATGTCGTCTCTGGTGTTGAGTGGGCTGCCACCCAGCACATCAAGAAGGCCAAGGAAGCCAAAGCCGGCAAAGCCAAGGGTTTCAAAGGAAGCGCTGCTAACATGAGTCTCGGAGGCGGCAAGTCTGTCACTCTCGACAAGGCTGTCAATGCTGCTGTGGATGCTGGCATTCACTTTGCCGTCGCTGCTGGTAACGACAATGCTGACTCTTGCAACTATTCTCCTGCTGCCGCCGAAAAGGCCGTCACTGTCGGAGCTTCGACTTTGGCTGATGAACGCGCTTACTTCTCCAACTATGGGAAGTGCAATGACATCTTTGCTCCTGGTCTCAACATTCTTTCCACCTGGATTGGCAGCAAGTATGCTGTCAACACCATCTCAGGCACCTCGATGGCTTCTCCTCACGTTGCCGGTCTCTTGGCTTATTTCCTCTCTCTTCAGCCAGCCAGTGATTCTGCTTTCGCCGTTGCTGAAATTACTCCCAAGAAACTAAAGGAAAACCTTATTGCGATTGGTACTCAAGGTGCTTTGACCGATGTGCCATCGGACACAACTAACGTAAGTTGACAACCTGAACTTGTACCTGTGAATAAATATCTAACAATCTATTAGATTCTGGCCTGGAATGGTGGTGGCAGTGCCAACTTTACCGAAATTGTCACTAAGGGTGGCTACAAGGCCAAGACGGTTGGCGAACAGGTCGACGAGATGATCATAAACGCACAGGAGCTTGCCAATGAAGAACTTGGTGCCATCTACAGTCACATCAAAGATGCCATTGTTGCCTAAAGTGCTGTGACTACTTTCAATGTTGAATAGCCTCTCCTTGATAGATGGAGCAGTTGTGCTTTAACTTGGACTCTATACAGATGTGTTGCGAATTGGTTAACAGGCGAATTCTACTCGGCGCAGGTCTTGCTTTCTATTGCTTTTCGTGGGTCTCTTATCGCTTAACATTACTCTCTTATCGTGGTTTGTCGCATCCCCCATTATCGGTATCATTGATGCTATCCAACGTCCGGACGAGGGCTCTCTTGTCTGGTACCCAATCATACAGATTATTGCAACGATATACATACATGTACATGCATCCAATCTAAAGCCATATCACGGTCACTACTACTTGCTTTTCGTAAGAAATCGGCGTACTAGCTATTACTTGGTTGTGCCCAAAGTCCTATCAATATGGATGAAGTAAATAACATGCTACACGTCTACATCATATATTACCACTAACATAATTAAGACGAGGAAATTTAAGCAAGAACAAGTCGAGTAGTCATGATATTTCAGAATCTGAATATTACCCACTGTCCCGTAAGAATAGGCTGGCGCTAACCCCATTTAAGCTATCCACTAGTACGGCATGCCAGCAATAGCAGCTCTGGTAATAAGGGCAGACCATCACGGGAAGTTGGGCCTGTTGAACAATTATCACTTTTAGGACTGTCGCGGCCACCAACGAATGATCACAGCGACAAGAGGACCATGATGTGGTTTCAAACAGCGCTGGTGCTCCTCGCGTCTTGCGCCACCAAGTCGTTGGCCATTTTCGCTGATGAAGTCAATCATCTCGATTATCACCACGAGCTCCTCGGTACCCCATCCTCGCAGTCAACTTTCTTCCACCGACCGTCCTCTACTTCGAATGCCTCGTTGCTATATACTGTGTCAGAAAACCTAGTTGTTGCAGCCGTGAACCCGAAAGATGGAACTATTGTTTGGAGGCAAGACCTAGCACATTGGACTACAACCGCGAAACATGGTGAAGGATTCCTTCGTGCTAGTGATGGAGAGTCTACAGTCGTCAGCGCGGCTGGAGATATAATTGTATCCTGGGGGGCAACAGATGGAAAATTGGCTTGGAAAGTGAGGCCAGTTGAAGGAGTTGTGAAAGATTTGGAGTTGCTGGAGCTTGAAGATGGCCGCACAACTGATGACGTGCGGGATGTGCTCGCATTGTCTGGAGATAAAACAAGCACTGTTCAAAGGTTAGACGGCACTACAGGGAAGGCTAAGTGGGCGTATAAGGATGACAGGTAATGTCTTGCATGCCCTGCAATTGGTTATCCCTTCGTTAACGGACAATAGCGGAGATGTTCCCTTCCAAGTGTCTTCGTCCTCAACAGAAATATTCTACATTTCCCTCCAGTCGGCTTTGCTTAAAGGCAATAAGATCAGAGTGACAGTTTTAGACTCCCGGACTGGACGTCAGACTCGAAATTATGTTCTAAGCTCTGAAAGCGAAGTTTCTGGGCCCGGATCTATTCTCTACGTTGGTGCGAATACCGCCTCGCCTTTCATTGCGTGGGCAGATAAATCCAACAAAGCTCTGAAGGTCAACATCTTGGGTTCGAAGAACGTCAATACACTAAACATTGAAAACGCTACTGGTGATGAGATCAGTAAAATTTCGGTACACGGGCCCGAGGGTCTGAATTGCCTTCCTCACTTCCTGGTCCATTACGAAACGGACACGGAATCATGGGCAGAGGTCTATCATATCGATTTAAAGTCCTCTTCCATTTCAAAAGCCTACCAATTACCGCGTTTGGGTGGGATTTCCGTCTTCGCCGCCAGCCACAAAGCCGCGAATGTTTTTTTCACTCGGATTACCGATTCCGAGGTTTCTGTTGTTGGTTCAGTCTCACATGGAGTTCTCGGCAGGTGGCCTTTCAAAAATTCTAGCGGCGAAACCATAAAGCATGCTCTTGCAGAGGTCGTTAGTAAAGGGACTTCGGCTGTTGTTCGATTCGCCTACGTACTAGAATCTGGGGATTGGAAATTGAACCGAAATAGTGGAACCGACTGGACTAGGCATGAGTCTCTTTTTGGTGCAGTTGCAGCTGGTTGGGCCGAACCCAACAGTAGCGAGGAACTCGTTCACGAGCTCGAACTTGAAGGTCACGAGGATATCCTTTCTGCCTACATTCATCGCGTGAAGCGCCATACTAGAGATCTCCAACATCTTCCTAAATGGCTTCAGGAACTGCCGGGACGTATTTTCACAAGCTTTATATCCGCTGAAGTCACCAATCTTGACAGTTTTGGTCTCCGAAAGTTGGTTCTAGTAGCGACAGAGAGGGGTCGTGTTATAGCTATTGATACAGGAAACCACGGTGCTGTTGTCTGGAACACCAAAGTTGCAGATACGACGAATTGGAATGTCAAAGCCATCAAGACCGCATTCAAACTGGCTACCGTCTATATCGAGGATGGAAGCTCTGTCTCTCTCAATGTGACAACTGGGGAGATCATTTCACACCAAGAAAGTAACTCCAATGTTCAGTCTGTTGCATATATTCCGGATGAATCCAGCACAGGCACCATTACTATTGGTGTAGCCAAGGATGGCACTCCTTCTGAACCTCTACACAGCTCGGATTACTTAGTCACTCTAAGCGACGATGGCCGAGTTCTTGGATGGATTTTAGGAGATAACAAAACCCCAGTGTGGCAGTTCTTACCCCCCCACGGTGAGCGAGTCATTCATGCAACATCAAGGCCATCCCATGACCCCGTCGCATCTATTGGCAAAGTTTTGGGGAACAGGTCAGTCCTTTATAAATATTTGAACCCGAACCTAGCTCTTGTTACTTCAGTAGGACATAGCTCTGTCACTTTCCACCTACTTGATGCGATCTCTGGCATAATTCTCTACTCTAGCACCTATACGGGTGTTGACATAACGCAACCGATTACGTCTGTAATCTCAGAAAACTGGTTTGCATGCTCGTTCTGGGCCGATTTGACGAACCGTTCCGAGTCCAAGGGTTATCAGCTCGTGGTTTCGGAACTCTATGAGTCTCCAGTTCCTAACGACCGTGGTCCGTTGGACTCCGCTTTAAATTATTCTAGTATTTCTGGGGAAAATCCTTTGCCCAGACCTTATGTGTTATCTCAGGCCTTTGTTATTCCAGAACCCATTTCGCATATGGCTGTAACACAGACTCGCCAAGGCATTACTGTACGCCAGCTCATCTGTACACTCCCGTCATCGAACTCGATCGTCGGTATTCCCCGAAATGTCCTCGACCCTCGTCGCCCTGTTGGCCGGGATCCCACTGCGGGTGAAACAGAAGAGGGTCTATTCAAATATAGCCCTTACCTTGAATTTGACGGCAGATGGTACTTGACCCATTCGCGGGATGTCGCAGGCATCCAAAAGGTCATTTCCTCTCCAACTTTATTGGAGAGCACTACCCTGGTTTTTGCTTTCGGGGGTGATATATTCGGCACTCGGGCAACTCCAAGTCAAGCGTTCGATATTCTCGGAAGCAGCTTCTCAAAGCTGCAATTGCTGGCTACGGTGGTGGCCCTTGCAGTTGGTGTGTGGTTTTTGGCTCCAATGGTAAGGTCCCCTGTTTTGATTCGCATTGCAACGTCTTTTTATAACTAATAATATATAATTCAGGTTCGGAGCAAACAAATTAATCTGCTATGGAAGAGGTGAGAACCACTAGTATATAGATGTATAAATTGATTGTTCATGTTCACTTTTTTACAAATAGAATGTGAGGACCTGTGAAATTGACACTGAAAATGACCGCAAGTGATGCCATTTAATGCTACAATCTCGCCTTTAACTCCAGCCGCAGTTTTAAGATCCATCACTTGCTTCGTACCATGATTCTGCATGTGTCCAGCATTCTTATTATTATTTAGACGCGATGATGCTAGCGCTCACTTAATTAAACATTCCGTTTCAACTCACAGTCAACGAAGCTCTTCTACTACGAAATCAGACTCCTCATTCTATTTCAAGCGGCCTGGTCGAGCGTCATATAAAATGCTCTTATCCAGGCTTTACCCTCCCACTCCTTCGATAAAAAAGGCGCTTTTCTAGCTCCCTTGATAGATTGATCGTTTTATAGTTTCCGTTTGCAAGGTGGCCAATATTCGCCTCGCTTCTTTGGATAATTTGTATCAAAGCTTCGAGAATGCCAGTATTGTCTATACATGCAAAATACCAGGTATACCTTACACATCTATCTATTGTGTGCAATTCAGATACGTACGTTTAGGTGATGAAAAATAGTGATAAAAATTGAATACATAGTAATCACCGATTACCCTAAAAGGTGATTGTTGGCTAGGAACACGACGTATGGTGCAGACACCGTGTGGACCAATGACAGCTCCCGGATTGCGGATCTCCCAAACTTTTCCCCGTTCCGACCTCGGATGCAGCTTTTCTCCAGATTCTCTTCAAATCTCTCTTTGGCGCATCGCATCGTGGTTTTTGTCGCAAGGGCACGCGTCAAGATGATACCAACGGTAAGAGCTGAAATTGATTGTTATTCAAAGAGCCCTTTTAAATGACGCATTGGTCCCATACAGCGCAGGATAGCTGGCCTCGCAACCAGGAGGAGATACATCATGCTCTTCGGGCGCGCAACCACGCAGCGACCACCTTCACTGTCCGCGACATGTCGCTCGTACACCGTCACCGCCCTCTATAGAAAGCCTCAGACTTTTCACTCGCACGTCGAAAATTCAACCAATTCCTCCGACCTCCTGGCTTCAGTGGCCACAACGCCCCAGACGCTCACCGAGAAGATCGTTCAACGCTACGCCATTGGGCTCGCGCAGGGAAAGAAGGTCAAATCAGGCAACTATATATCTATAGCACCGCATCACTGCATGTCGCATGACAATAGTTGGCCTATTGCAAAAAAGTTTTTGGACATTGGTGCCACTAAGGTCCACGATAATCACCAGATCGTCATGGTCCGTCCTCATCATTCATTCATCTATTCAATACAAAACGCCAGCGCTAACCTCATGCATGACAGACCCTCGACCATGACGTCCAAAATAAATCCGAGTCCAATCTTAAAAAGTACAATCAGATCGAGGAGTTTGCTCGCAAGCATGGCGTCGATTTTTACCCCGCAGGCCATGGGATTGGACATCAAATAATGATTGAGGAGGGTTATACTTGGCCAGGAACTATGACCGTTGCTTCTGACTCTCACTCTAATTCTTATGGAGCGATTGGCTCACTCGGTACCCCAATCGTTCGAACAGACGCCGCGAGTATTTGGGCCACGGGCCGGACCTGGTGGCAGATCCCACCTGTCGTCAAAGTCACCCTGACAGGCGTCCTCCCTCCAGGCGTCACGGGCAAGGATGTTATTATCGCCTTGTGCGGTCTCTTCAACCAGGACGATGTACTCAACCATAGCATTGAATTTACCGGTTCAGAACAGACGATGCGCAGCATTTCTATCGATGAACGTATTACCATTGCCAACATGACAACGGAGTGGGGTGCACTTAGTGGGTGCGTAATCATGCCTGAGATAACATATTCTTGATCTAACTAATTCGCATGACAGACTCTTCCCCATTGACTCTGTCCTAATCAACTGGTTACGAGCCAAGGCCACCACGTCCGCCATGCTAAACCCGGAACTTGGGGCCAAAGGCCGCTTCAATCACGACCGAATCAACGATCTGATCGAAAACCCGCTTACTGCTGACCCTGGTGCGACCTATGCCAAGTCACTCTATTTATCTCTGAGCTCCCTATCCCCGTTTGTCTCCGGCCCTAACAGCGTGAAAGTGGCTACCCCCCTCCGCGATCTTGAGGCGAAGAAGATCCCCATCAACAAGGCCTATCTGGTATCCTGTACCAATTCACGCTCCTCCGATATAGCGGCTGCCGCCCGCGTCTTTCGCGAGGCTGCTAAGGATGGTGTCACGCCTAAGATTGCCTCTGGTGTTCACTTATACATCGCCGCCGCCTCCCTAGCTGAACAACAGATCGCGGAAGATGCTGGCGACTGGCAAGTCCTCCTGGACGCAGGCGCAAAGGCTCTACCCTCAGGCTGTGGCCCGTGTATCGGATTGGGAACCGGTCTCCTCGAACCTGGTGAGGTGGGTATCAGTGCCTCTAATAGAAATTTTCCGGGAAGGATGGGCGCCAAAGAAGCGAACGCATATCTCGCTAGTCCCGAGGTTGTCGCCGCCAGCGCCCTGCATGGCCACATTGTCGGTCCTGGGTGGTATCAGAAGCCCGACGGCGTGGAGAAGGTCATCATCGGTGAAGGCAGCGGTGACTTTGAGGTTGACAAGGCCAAGAGCGTGGAGGATGCTTTGGACAAGATTATCGCCCAAGCCGAGAGAATGATTGTCGATGCCGAGGGCGTTTCTGCGGCCGACTCTACCGGGGCTACGATCAACGACGCCGAGGAAACCCTTACCGACATCCTGCCAGGGTTCCCTGAGAAGATCGAGGGCGAGATTGTCTTCTGCGATGCTGACAACATAAACACAGACGGGATTTACCCTGGTAAGTCGTTGATCCCCAAGTGAGCCCTTATACATCTTCGCATTAACCGTTTCTTCCTGTAGGCCGCTACACGTATCAAGACAACATTACAACCGAGAATATGGCCGAGGTATGTATGGAGAACTATGACTCATCCTTCAAGGACATCGCTCGCGCAGGGGATGTGCTAGTCGGGGGCTTCAACTTCGGATGTGGTTCTTCGCGCGAGCAGGCCGCGACTGCCATCCTCGCCAAGAAGATTCCGCTCGTCGTCGCGGGATCCTTTAGTAACATCTTCGGCCGTAACAGCATCAACAACGCGCTTATGGGCGTCGAGGTGCCGCGCCTTGTGCAGCGTCTGCGCGAGCGCTTTAGCAAGGGCAGTGATGGCGCCGACGCTCAGCTCACGCGCCGCACGGGGTGGAAGTTCCTGTGGGATGTACGTAGGAGCAAGGTCGTTGTCACTGAGGACAATGGGGAGACGTGGAGCCAAAAGGTTGGCGAACTGCCTCCCAATGTGCAGGAGATCATTGCTAGGGGTGGTCTGGAGAAGTGGGTGAAGACCGAGATCGAGAAGTGATCTACCCTCGATGACACGCAAAGAAAGACACAAAAATATGACAAAAAAGTAAATAACACAATTCATTTCGTAGATATACCCTTGATAAATACATGTAAACTGCTAAATATACATTGAAACTTTACATCACTAATAGGCTACATGTAACAACCACAAAAGTGACAAGTACACGTAAAGAATTGGAATAAAATGACTCGAAACGACGAAATAATGGTCACAGATTTGATTTTAAATGGAAAATAAAATATCAACAAGACAGTCCATTTTATAAAGTAGTAAACCACACCATTACACAACTAGATATGTACTACTTCTTCCATTATTACTCTGTCAAAGCTGGCATACTGGCTGACATTTCAATCGACCTTGTAACACTCAATATTAACAGGAAATGGTTATACATAGATGTTATAATTTTCTCAGCCTATTTGTCAAAACACATCATATTCGCCTTCTCAATAGCTTTTTTCTCACCTTCACTCATGTCCTCCGTTACTTCCCACCTACGTGATCCCATCCCCATCGCTCGCTGCCCGTCAGGATTCACAGAAGACCAGTCCACAGCTCCTTTATATCCACTTTCTCCAGGGCCACCGGCTCCCGGGAAATCCCAAGGCGGTGAATATTGTAGAGCTGCTTCGCGTTGCCTTTTGAGGTATTCAACATTCATTTCGCACAGAGGGGTAGCCGGAATGTAGAGCACACTAGAATCCCCAGTACCATGATGTTCTTTATCCACCGAATGCAATGCGTCACAATGCCACGCCACGAAATCTCCAGGCTCGACACGTGGTGCGGAGACCATGGTTTCCAGGAGCTCCAGGTGCGGGTGCGTTACTGGGTTATACTCCTGACACGCCCCTGGAACTGAACCTGGGAATGTGGCGTCGAGATTCGGGAGTGATGAATTTACATCAAAAAAAGGTCTGAGTATGGTGTAGGCGGTGCTGTGGGTAATCATTGGGCATACTTGCAGAGTACCTTCCCCGCGACCTGTGTCAGACATGGCCAGCCAGCCTTGAAAGAATCGTAACATCGAGCAGGCACCGGCTCCATTGTACAAGTCCATCTTAGCCTTGACTCTGTGTCTGGCGTCGAATGCGTCATATTCTTCCCATTTTCCTTCAAGAATCTTGCTGTATACTTTTGAGTATTCAGGATCTTCCCATCTCTCGAGTGATCCACCATCCGCATGGGGTCCTAAAGTGAACTTGGAGTCCCCAGGCTGCCTGATTCGCAGTCTATCAGCATATGTGAGCGGAGTGGTGACAGAGAGCTGCGTATTTGGGTCTGATGAATGCCATAAACTTTGAAGAAAGCGCTGGGTTTCTAGCATGTTCGGGTGTGCTCTAGCCTCTGTTTGAGCTGGGGCCCAGTAAAGCTCATAAACGGCAGGAGAATCTGAAGGAAAGGCATTCACTTTATCCCTGTTGGCAGCAATATATTCTTTTGTTCTCGATTTCCATTCTAGGGCTGTGGATCGGGGGACAACATTGCGAATCACCACTGAGCCGCGGTGTCTTATTTCGGCAATTTTCGATTCTGGTACCTTGCCGGCAACAAGATCGGAAAATAAAACTGACGGGATTATCTATAAGAGTCAGTATACCTTTAACATAGTGATTTCAAGGAAGAGCATACATCGCTGCCGAGGTCTTTGATTTTCTCAACTTCCTCTTTCAGGCTGGGAAGCAATCTGCTCCAGCTCTCCTTCAAGTCATGTTCATTTTTGTTGAAGAACTTCGACTTTAGAGTTTGAAAGCGAGGAGGTAAGGGCTCTGGTTTGTAGTCAGGCTGAAGACTGGGAAAGACAGATGAGATGTCTCCAACAGCTTTGGTTAAAGTCGATGACGTTGTTGCAGTCGTCATTTTCCGCGCAAAGCTTTTAGGAAGAAGCTCTAACATTTTGACATGTATATATCAGGCAAAATGAGACTGAGTCACGTTGGGAATCTTGAAGTTCCGTAACAGAGGGTGCTATTTATACTTGGGTCGAACTGATCAGGTTATCAGATTAATCCGTCTGGTCGCAAAATTTCCCTTTAAGGTTAGCCTCCCCTTCCGAATGAGGCATATCTTCCGCTCGCAGCATCATGAAAGTCTAGTCCTTTTTTAGTTGGGGACTGATATCAGCAGATCTACCAGAAAAGAGTGTGTTATCGGAGTCATTCCGGCTTCTCTTCACACTAGCGATCGCCTTTTTTCCAACTCTGTTTCCCACAAAGCTCTATTAGCCTAATTTTAATAGGAATGTCGATGTCGGCTTTTCCTTCCCCGCCCGGATAAGTTGCCGTGCCAGTCATCAAGATCCCCCGCATTTCGGTATAGTTTCCCTTCGACTCGGTCAAGAGAACGATGTTAGCTTGCTGTTATAAAGGGTCAAGATTGGCCTCGTTCTTGTCTCTCTAAATCTCTATGAGACTTTCTCCGCTGTCTAAATTCATCATGTCGATCACCCAGCCCGTCAAAGGCAAAACTGCCATCGTTACTGGTGCAGGTTCAGGTAAATACAAGGCCGTGTTGTAGAATTAGATCGGTATCATCCGACTGACATTTATTCGCTTTCGAAAGGAATCAATCTCGCCTTTGCGACGTTACTGTTGGCCAATGGCTGCAATGTTCTTATAGCAGATCTTGCGTTACGGCCTGAAGCTCGGGTCGTAGTAGACAAATACTCGAGTCGTTCAGGCTCCGCCAGAGCTGTCTTCCAGAAAACCAATGTCACAGACTGGGCTCAACTAGAGCAGATGTTTGCGGTGGCAGAGAGAGAGTTTGGAGAAATTGACATTGTTTGCCCTGGTGCGGGGGTTTATGAAGAGGTGGGTATTCTATGCGGCTGTGAACGAGCAGTGGAAGAATGGATATTTCTAACGTTGCCTATAGCATTGGAGCAACTTCTGGCGGCCGCCTGGATCTCCGGAGAGTCGAGATACGCCGCTAGGGGGCCGATATGCCTTACTCGATATCAACTTAACCCATCCAATCCGAGTGACTCAGCTAGCGATTTCACATTTCTTGCGCCACCGAAAATCCTCGAGTCGCAAGCATATCATTCATATATCTAGCATTGCCGGTCAAAACCCAGCGCTGGCAGCTCCTATTTATGTTGCGACGAAGCATGGCATCAGTGGTTTAGTGCGATCTTTGGGTAAATTGGACGGTCAGTTTGGCATACGAGTCACAGCCGTGGCGCCAGGCGTGATTAAAACTCCGTTATGGACAGAACACCCCGAGAAACTAAAGATGATCAAAGAAGGCCAAGATGAATGGGTCACTGCTGAAGAAGTTGGCGAGGTAATGCTTGCCCTCATTCAACAAGACGAGGTAAACGAGGTTATCGGGGACCATGGTGGACAGGGACCGCTGTTCCCTGTCCAGGGCGGGACCATCTTGGAAGTTTCAAAGACTGTCCGTGTGGTGAATGCATTCAATGACCCTGGCCCAGCAGGTCGGGCTGGAAATACAGTCACTGACATGAAGGCTGTAGAAAATGAGATCTATAGCCTGTTGTCTGGGGATGGCTGGGGGAAAGCCAAGCTATGAGCGTTGCGCTGTTGCGTGACACACCGTCGATACCAGATAATGCTAGTCAGCATCAATATAGTCAATATTTTAAAGTGGACAATCTCGTCTGGTGGGCAGCAAAGCACACTGGCAAGTTGCAACAACCACAATAATAATAATAATGTAGAGGTTGAGGCCAGTAAATATTAAAAAAGGACGCAGCACGGCTGATGTTTCTCCGGCCGCTAGCGCCCGTGCCCGCAGCTGCCTGTGTCGATCTGGCTGAATGCATGTACACTCATCCTCTCTCTTTTCTCATCTTTTGTACCTCCAGAACCCACTTTCGACCACGGGTCTTGCACAGTGCTGTTTTCTGGCCCATTGGTGCATATTGATATTATGTTATGCTCTTTTTTTGCCGCCTGTTCTTCTTGGTGACGTTCCGACCGAACACTGTATAGAATTCGTGTGCAAAGACATGGTGATGGAAGGCGACCCAGTCAGCGCCGCCTCTGCGACGATGGGCGCGCATAGAGGTCGAAGGTATTTATTGAAGTGCAAGTCTTTACAGTGGTCCAAAGCTGACATGGCCTGCTTTCTAGGCGACGAGGAAAGCGAGACGTTTTTCAAGGTTCCGCCAGTTGGATAAGCAGTGTTATAAATCTCGTGAATACAAGTAAGCCGACGCTGGCTCCATGATTCCATGAATCGGACTCTAATTATAATCTAGTCGTCGGCGCCGGTGTTCTCGCCATGCCCCTCGCCGTCGCACATATGGGAATCGTTCTTGGTATATTGGTGATCATCTGGTCGGGAGCGGCGGCGGCCTTCGGGCTGTACCTACAAGCGCGATGTGCACAATATCTAGATCGAGGCTCTGCTTCCTTCTTCGCACTCTCTCAAATTTCATATCCTAATGCAGCCGTTATTTTCGATGCTGCGATCGCGATCAAATGCTTCGGAGTCGGCGTGAGCTATCTGATTATAATTGGTGATCTGATGCCCGGGGTAGTTGAAGGATTTGTCGGTGGTACACCGGCAAGCGAGTTCTTGGTAGACCGTCATTTTTGGATAACTGCCTTCATGTGAGTGCCTGCACAGATATGCCACGTTGCAGCCACTAATCAAGCCACAGGCTTATCGTCATTCCCTTGTCTTTCCTCCGTCGTCTGGATTCTCTGAAGTATACAAGCGTCATTGCCTTAATCTCGATTGGATACCTGGTTATACTAGTCGTCTATCATTTTGGCAAGGGGGATACGATGGCTGATCGGGGTCCTATTCGCATTATCCAATGGGCAGGAATTGCCCCGGCTCTCAGCAGCTTTCCTGTCATTGTATTTGCATATACATGCCATCAGAACGTATGTCTCCCATATAAATGTTTGAGATGTAGCTAACGACAATAGATGTTCTCCGTTTTGAACGAAATTCGAGACAACAGCCACTTCCAGACCACTAGCGTTGTTTTCGCCAGCATCGGCAGCGCAGCTTTCATATATATCCTCGTTGCGATCACCGGCTACCTTTCTTTCGGAAATAGCATTGGAGGAAATATTGTGGGGATGTACCCAACATCGGTATCCGCAACTATTGGGAGAGCAGCGATTGTTGTGCTTGTCATGTTCTCCTATCCTTTACAGGTTCATCCATGCCGCGCATCAATGGATGCTGTGTTGAAATGGCGCCCCGCGCCAAAGGTAGCTAATGCCAATGATGGTTCGCCTCATCGATTCCCTCTTTTACCCCGAGCAAACCGCAGTCCTGAACCCATGAGTGACCTTCGTTTTGCAGCCATCACGACTAGCATCATAGTTTTGAGCTTCATTACTGCCATGACTGTGTCATCCCTTGAGGCTGTTCTGGCATACGTGGGTAGCACGGGCAGTACAAGCATCAGTTTCATTCTGCCTGGACTGTTTTACTATAAAATATCTTCTCCCGAATCGGCCGCACACCAACAATTGATGAAAGAAGACGACGAGGCAGACGACGATACAATCTCTGACGATGGTGTATCCGGCGAAGATCACCAAAGTCTCTTGAGCGGAAGTGGAATCCTCACATCCAGCGCCATTCTGGGCGGCACTCGACACCAACGAAAGAATCTTCTTCGAAAACTCAGTCTTGCTTTGACAGTATACGGTATCGTCGTGATGGTTGTCTGTCTCGTCATGAATACGTTTTTCCACGTTTCCAAAGAGTCATAATATAACATTTGACTAGATATTGCTCTTCGTTTTCTGAGCGCGCGTGACGATGTTCCGTATCATGACCATTATTTTGTATATATACTTTTGTTATTCTCTCTAGCTCTTAATATGCTTACATTATCTCATTAAGCGGGTAGGAATCGTTGTTCCTAGTTGGTGAGTTTGGTTGTAGTGGATTATTTTTACGTGCAGGCGTCTATTTTTATTCGGCTATTGATTATACATGTTTACACTCTTGAAACACTCGTTCGTTGTATCAATTTGATAGAGTAAAGTGATTGATTACTGATATGTATGTATTGAATGGCAATTTCCACATTCGTTGATGACGGATAACCAACATTGTAAGTTGGGTCCAGTGACTTTGAAGGCTTTGCTTTTATTGGGGGTTGCACATATAGAAGAAACTTGTATCGGCATTGTACTAATTGCAATAGAACTATATATATGCTTCTCAAAAGGGCAACTAAATGAATGGAAGGAATGAAGATTAATTCGGCCGTATGGACAAGTGCCCAAGCATATAACTACTGCAGCATAAAAACCATATGTTGACGAAGGTGTCATCTTGTTTTGAGTCTTCAATATCCACGTTAGCAGCCGGTGTGTATTGCACCTCGCATCTTGTCATCAGTTTCTCTAGTTGTTCTGCTGCGAGTTCAAGATACGCAGTATGGCGAGGAACAAGTTGATAATGTCCAGGTACAAAGAAATCGCAGCGGCAATTTCCTCTTCGATGTGGTAGTGCCGCATGATCAGCTGGGTGTCAACTAAAATATAACCCGAGAAAATCAATGCCGCGACACCGCCATAAACAAGCTCGACGGAGCTATTGTACGGGAAGAAAGCAGCCATGAAGCCGAAAATTATGAGCAACCAAAGACCCCCGCACAGGTACGGCATCCAGTGTGTAAAGTCATACTTGGTTTGGCAGGCGAAAATAGTCAAGGCAACGAAAATGCCCAGGGTGATGATGAGCGCCTGCACGACAATGCGTGCATCGTAGTACGAAGTCACGACACTGATCGAGTATGCCTCCAATGCGGTAAATCCAGAAAGGAATAGAAGATTGGCCGGGTAGCTTTTGCGTTTCCAGTAGGTGAGGAACATAAAAGCAATAGCGCCAACAAGAGATCCGATCATGAGCGAGAAGTGAGACTGAATCCATGTACGATAGGAGTCACTGAAAAACGAGATTCCGCTAAGAACGGTGGTTAAGAGAAGTTGGACAGTCCTAGTTTGGAAAATATATTAGTAACTGTCGGTCGATCGATAATGGATGGTTGGTCTACTTACAAGATAGAATACACCTTACGGATGAACTGCATCCGGATGGGGAGGGTGCCCTCCGCAACAGTTCCTCCGAACTGAAAGTAGATGTTGTTAGTATCATCTCGTCGTGAATATCACCTGGTATAAACGTACCTTGAAGTCATCTGGAACATTGTCGTCCTCAGATCGCGGCTCAGTGGCTGCAGTAGAGTCGTAGGAGCCGTATGCCGGAGGAGCTTGAGCAGGCTCTTCAAACGAGTCTCGCTGAGGCGCGGGTTGGTATCGTGCATTCGCAGCCATCTCTTCTGCTGTTATTTACCCTTCTACGAGGTTGGATTGACAAAGACAAACTGAAGTGAGGGAGGGAATGCAGTCAGGCGTTTCGGCGTCAGCCTACTGTCACAGTGGCGGCACAGTCACGTGATTAATAAGATCCCGTGATGTCATGCGGGATACCAATGTTCCTAACCTGAATAGGCAATATATACCAGAGTCCTTCCCGCGTAGGGTATCACGTTCTATTGCCAACCTTCACATAACACTGCGGGAGCTTGAAGGTCAGGTTATATCGGCTTTTCAGAAGGCTGGGATTATGAGGATATTTAAATTAGTTTGTGAACTGGTAAGCCCGAGCAATCAATAACGTAAAAGATAGTATATATACAGTGTATCACTCGATACTAGAGTCATTATACTCTGTTTGCAAAAACTGAATTAGGAATAACGTCCCATCGCCTCATTCATACAGATATAGCAAGGCTGGTATAACATGAAATCGTAATGTAGAGGTCTATTACTGTATAGCGAATTAGACCATGAGGGTAATGAGAAATTAGTGTTCCTGGCTGTGAGGACTGTTCCGGTCTACCGGAGGGTCTGGTATATCAGAATCTAGGAAGCTATGCTCCTCCCTCGATGGGGACTCATCTTCCTTTTCGTCTTCCTCGTCGGTTGTATCATCCAAATCGTGGAACGCGGATCCGCCAGCGGGACCACCCAGCGGGTCTGTAGGCCGCCTGCGCTGGAAGTCTTGAGAATGGGCGGTGGCCATGAGTGTACCCACGCGACTCATCGCTCGACTTGACGTGGGACGACGCGCGCGTAATGCTAGTGTCTTCGCTAGTGATGCTTCCAAATCAACATCATCAGCAGCCGGGAGAGGCGAAGGAGCGTTCCCTTGCGCAATCGGTTGTTCTTCCTCACCCTGTTCTCCATCTAGTGCACCTGCTGGAGTTTCTCCCATCTCTTCTTCCACCTGGTATGGGAGAGGAATATCTCGTAGTGCACGGAACATGTGCACATTGGTGCAGTGTTCGTTCTCAACACGGAATATTGTCCAGATGCCTCTTCGACAAATTTCAGTCAAGCTCACGAAAAAACTCAAGGAAGCAGAGTGTTGGATATCGTTGATGAAAATAGCATAAAATATCCAGTTGAATCGTATAACCACGTCGATGACAATGGCTACGTAATATAGCCAGGCTCGACGGAATGCCAGGATATCGCGTAGCAAAGTATGTGACGCATAGACATTACCCAAGCTCCAGTCCATCGCAATGTCCCAAATCGAGCAATAGATTGCATTTGCTGCGCCAAAGACAATGAATGGAACCTGATAGCCTATTTGTTTGTCGATTCGGTATAGGCTCAAAGTCATGTAAAACAGTATGCTGAAGGTGTACTTTCCAAAATTGACCAGGTGAGGAAATATGTTCTTTGTATCACGATACCGTCGAAGACATTGTAAGCCACGCCAGATTGCGGGCAATGTGGTAAAAAAACCTAGTAGTCTAGAGTTTGAAGAGTTGCATGTCGGTGGGTTATTCCACGCCGTTGCGTAAAGACAGAAGAATAACTCGATATTCTAAATGAAATGTTAATAAAGTGTTCCCATAGATGTGTATAAATTGAACATACCCCCATAGCATATGTTTGGGAACAATACATGTCGCCAAGGAAGAAGTCTCGAAACTCGACTGGATAAAGTCCGGCAAGCAGAAGGCGCCACTGTACAAATATTAGATGAAAGCCTCTCCCAAAAATCAATGCTTGTTACATACGTTTGAAAAGGCCCACCAAGATCGGCTATGGTGATAGAAAACTCTGAAGGGAAAGAAGAGGGCCAGCACGGTGATGAAAATTAGTATTACGGGATAGTATATGAACATGTTGTTGACCCAAGAAAAGTTTATCCACATAAATAAACCAAGCAGAAGGAAGAAGAGTGAAGGTATCTGCCTGCAATTTTAGTAAAAAGATAGCAATGACAGGAGTTTGCGTACCTCAGCCAGCTGACGCCAATTCAGGACATGCCGCGTATCAAATTCAAAAACAAAGGCGTAGTTTATTTTTGCTCTAGTCCAAATCATGCAATCCAAACAGAATAACATGTAATGGAAGACAATCAAAAAATATCCTCCGTAAATCTATACTTGACTTAGCTTATTGACAACATGAAGAGCCCCTAGATGACTTACCTGCAGCAAATAGGAGGTGTTCAATCGAACTGTATTATCGGTATCGCCAAGCAACCTAATGGCCAAAATCAAGCCTTGGATACTACTGACAAATCCTGCAGCGAGTAACATGCCGATACGAAACGTATTTGGCGAGAAATCATGCGAGTGATTCTTCCCACGTAATTTAGTAACCGCAATCTTCCTATTTCCGCCTTCAATGTAACGAGCGTAGAGATCCTCTACAGTTACCATATGCCCTTCGATTACTTCGCTCTGCACAAAGTAAGCTTTGTTAACTTTCTCAGACATGTATCGCAGGGTAGGCCGCATGTTGATGGACTTGTCGAACTTCTTATTGATTTTCCGAAAAGCTTTACGATTGAGATAGGCATATGACTTTAATAGTTCCAAACCGCGATAGAACTCTTGTAAAGCAAGCTTTAACTTTCTCTTAGCGCTGCGATATGGCACATTGACTGATTCTGGACGTTGAACAAAGTCCCGTCGTCCAATAATGGATTGAGGATCCATCGGTCCTGGTGTTTTGGGGGTCTGTAGAGTAGCCAGGGCACGAGAATTCTTCCCAAAATGTTGTTTCCCAACTATAGCATGTGCCCATTTTGTGTTTGGGATCACGTTCAGATAGCTATTGGGCTGACTTCTGTCTCTTTCCGGAGACTTTGCCCGTTTTGCGGTCATCATTTGCGCCGTTCTCTGGTCTCTCATCATATGTAACTGTTGGCGAAGCGCCTGTAGTCGGTGGGTTGCTTCCACCTCCTTCTCTTTATAGAAAGATTCGATCTTGTTCAATTCCGAATCCAAAAACTCAAAAAACTCGTCCTCCTTTTCTGTTACCTCATCGGAGATACTGCTTTGATAGCTCCTCCCGGAGGATTCCAAATCACCACTAGTAAAGACCCTCTTAAAGAATTTCGCAGTTTTCGACGGCACATCGCCGGTTGAATATAGCCTCTTTGGGTTTCCTTTATTGTTAATTACCGAGTATGGGGGTGGTTTCACAGGGCGATCAGATGTCCCCTGCCGTGGGAGTGGACTTTGGTCGGTATTAGACAGTAGTCTCTGTTGATGCTTCTGCTGTGTCCCAGCGCGATCCGGGTCAATCGCAGGATCAGGCAATTGAAGCGAAGGGAGGCGAGTCACATTTTCGAGAGGTGGCTCGGAAACAATGCTACCATAGCCCCCTATCGTGTTGGAGAAACGAGACCCGGGAGTCCTGAGCGGCAGCTGCTCGGGCATGTGCGCAGAGGGCGATCCATTATAATTCAATGGAAAGCGCGTGGCTGAGGTTGAAGCATTCGGCTGTAGGTCTTGGGATGGTGTCTCGTAGTAAGTGTCCGGGCGACGAGTCGGGGTCCGATTAGTTCTCTGAAGCGCTCGTCGAATGGCCTTGACCTTCTTCTTGCCGAGCTGGGTGCAGAATCATGTCAGCGATGTTAGATGTATTAAGCCATCGAACTAGACGCTACCTTGTAATCCAGATACTTGACACGCCATTCCGGAACTAGTTCCTCATTAAGCTCCCTACAATTGAGGCACACATGGTTAGTTAACGATCCGGGTGGCACAGGGACTATCCGCGTTTACGCACTTGGCGAACTTCATGGTGTATTCCTATTTCCAGTTGCATGATCACCGACCGAAGGCATCACTGATCGTCAGCTCGAAATCAATGATTATATGCCAGATTAAGCGGTCGCAGCATTATCAAGAGTGCAGCAGGGCAAGAAAACCAGATGAAAATTTTTCGCGGGGTTGAAGATCGAAACCGGCGTCATAGGGCAGCCAGGACTCAAAAGCCTAAGATTGAGTGGATAATGGTAATTATAGCCCGATGCGATTAATGCGCTCGACTAGCACTAGTACTTACTTACTAGTACGTACTATGCTTAGAGTGTATGTATCAAGCGGAAATGCTGCCTCCAACTGGATTTGCATTCCTCGTGCCGCACGTGCTGCTACTGGCCGCACTATTCGCCCGGCCTGCAGGCGTATACGTCTTATCAAATACTTTGTAACCCGCTGCGATCTTCGGCATGAGAACCTACCTGCAAAGCCCATTTCTTGCCCAGCCGCTTCAGGCTGCCTCCCTGTAAGATGTGCGCATGCCAGACCTTATTTACCTTTCCCATCATCCAATGGGCCGTTGTAACTACTTGAAGTAGTAAGAATACGACGTTTTACTTCCTATGCATTACTGCGCAGGGAGCTTCACGAGCCAGTATCAGAAGTATCAAAAAATAATTTGGCATTCCTGCGCTCTGGCCCAAGCACCGGCTGACCAATAGCGTCTTCTCGTTCATTAAAGTCTTCACTCTATCTATTTAATTCTATATATATGTCGGATATACGCAGAAAAGCAAGTGGCAGCGCACTCAAGGGATGTTGCGCGGTTGATAAGCCAACCAAACCCACGAAGCTCACATACGCACGTCATATTCAAACGTTGACTACGTGGTACTAGATTCAATAATATCCTTGCTCTACGATGGGTATTTTATCTAGTCCAAAATAGCAGTAATCATATAAGATCCTAGATATCAATTCAAAGAAATATCGTACGGTGGCGCTCATTGATCCCGTCTCCAGACCCCAGCTGCCCCCGACAACTTCAGAAACTTCACGAGCCTAAAGCTTCCACAATTCGGATATCAATTAGTACGACCAGAAATCTTGGCAGTCCGCTATTTATGGACTTGTAAAAGTGATAACTATTGCATCATGATGCGTCACGTCAGATTTGCCATCGCCACCCGAACAAGCAAGCTACTTAGCATTCACCAAGTATTTGGGAAACTTGCTTTCAATAAACTTTCCTGCCAAGAACCGTCACACTCTTAGTTAAGAATTTCCGGGGATAACCCAATAAACACATTCATAATGCTTAAAAATTCCCACGAGGATGACCATCCAATCCCAAAAAAGGCTTTCGGTCGTGTTCTAGGTGACGACCGTCCTATAGATGACTACGAAAATACCGTTCGCCAGGATGAAGCACAAAGACGCGCTCCAAGTCCACCAAACCGTGCTGTTGCCAGACGCGGAAACGCCGCTTATGGACCGCACGAGTCTGGAATCAAAAAGGCCGGGACGACTTCGAGTAAGTATCGAGGAGTGAGTAAGCACTGACTCGAAGACTGCGTTTTTCGAGAGTTTTCGTCTTCCGATGAGAGACAGAAGGGACTACAAGGCGAAAGAACTCTAAGGTGGGGTGGTTTTGGATAATATTTGGTTAGAGAAGTACCATGATCGGGAAATATCATTGCGATGGTGTTTGTGAAGTTGAATGTATGGCACATGCATATCTGAGGTATCAGCGTTGAAATGAGACAATATATACAATGGTGAAGTAAACATCGTAGTCTATAAACACATATATTCCGACACTTCACTAAGTTTTCAATGTTTACGACAACACATCAAAATCGATGTTCTCCCATGCCTTGCTCGAATTTAATTCGCCCATCCTCATCTCGATGAATTAAAGCCCTTGGTAAACCATTGTTTGAAATTGCGGGGTTTGGACTATTCTTAGATGTAGTAGTCATGGAGCTTCCTTGGATATTGGCCTTTCTAGCAACAACTTCACCGTTGCGTTGGTTCCCAACACGCAAGTTGGTCGGGATGCCGCTAACAGTTGAGTGTCTGCCAGAATGTCGGTCAAGTGCTTCATATACGTGATGGAATACAAGCTGATCGACGTCTGTGGCCCAAAGAAAGTCGAGGTGCTCATATCGAGGGATTGCTTTGACGATAGTTCGTCTTGGCAGTTCGCGGAGCATGACTCCAATATCGACAAGACTGTCACTACCTCCATATAGAAGAACGATAGGCGATTTGATATTCTTGGTAGGATATCTGACGGGTTTGTAGTAGCGGCTATTGGTGCCGACGGCCAGCGGTCCTCCTATTTCGTCGTCATACATTTGAAACGCTCTGTTGCGAATGATTTGGAACCAGTGAACAACAGACTTTGTGCTCGTGAATGAATACAAATGAGGATAAGCTGCCAGTTTCTGTGGCTGGCTGATATTTTCACCTGTCCAGTTGAAAAGCATTCGAAGTGAAATGTCGATAATCCGCACAAAGATAGGGGGGTATAAAATAGCTTGCCACATTGTAGTTGAGCTTAAGATACTTCTGCGTCCAAAGGCAAGAAAGACAACTTGCGGTGATGCTTTCATTAGCGAATCCACAATACCATTGTACAGCCCTGCAGGCGACATTGCCGGCGCCAGTGCCACAAAAACGTTAACTCTCTGATTTAGTGTGGGATGAATGGATAACGCTGCGAATGCTTGAGCGGTTCCTTGTGAAAACCCAACATATGACAGTGAAGGTTGCTCGGTAACCTCTAAGATATATTCAATACTGTTCGGGATATCATGAAATGCAAACTCATCGATGGAAAAGTCCCAGAAGTCGACAGACGCCGGTGATGATTTCGTAGACTTTTTTGAGTATTTGTTCCCACGATTGTTGCCCAGCCAGACATCATAGCCTCTTTCAACAAGTTGGAACGGCAAACACCGTTGCTCTTCCGTTAGGCACACCCACACTTCGCTGTTCATCAGCAGGCCGTGGTGAAGATAGACGACCTTCTTTCGAATGCTACTTTCCCCAGCATTGACATATTCTTCTTCCTCGCCTCGCCGGTAAGGGAGCCGATGTAGACCAAGAAGATAGCCATCTCCAGTTTGAACTATGTGTTCTTCGGCTTCATAACCAAACAGAGCGCACAATTCTGCAAAGTCGGTAGCCTGAGCTATTGACTCTGCCTGGGATCTTTGCTTGCTTCGAACACCTCTGTTTTGCGGTGACGAAAGGGCATTAAAGATCGCCTTTGATTGCCGGTAAAAGAATCTAATCACAGATTCAGCTTGAGTTTCGAATTAGCTGCGAAACATCTCTGCTAAAAACCAGCCGAGTACTTACGAAGACACAGCGTAATCAAGCGTAAGACTCCCTCAACAAATATAAGGCAGAGTGAAGCAAAGAGAGCTAGGTACTCGGCCCTTATCCACAAAAATCGATTAGCTGCAAGGAACCACAATAAGGTCGAACTATCGGACGAGTGTCAATTGATGATCCAGTTTGGGACGTACCAAAACAGCCTACCAACGAACGGAACGCGCGGCATTGTCAATTAGGTACACAAAATGCAAACTTAAGCTATCCTTGAAAAGAAAACAAATATCTGTTTCAGGCCATCTGGGGAGGTTGAAGTTGAGCAGGGAAGATAAGGAGCTGCATGTGATTGTGGATGACGTAATGGTTTTGTTGGCTGTACTGCCTTGCTGCCTCAGGCCTGAAATTTACATGTCCAATAGTGAAGCGCAGATCAAGTGGCCAATCAGAAACTGTACTCTATAAATCTAGACCGAATGGGGAAGTCCCACCACTCTGTCGTCTGTCTAGCTTTACAGCCCTTGACTATTAAACTACAATCGATGTCATTATAAAGATAATACATAATGAATGCTTCGTCATATGCTAGAGGTATCAGTCCAGTAATCGACTCATATTGACTCCGTCCCAAAGAGGACACAGCCAGTTCTCCACCCGTTCGCTTTCTATAATCGATTGATTGTATGCCTTGACAGACTGCACGTCTGCAGACTTCCAATACTCCTTTCTATGCGGCCCAAAGTCATAGTTTCGCCATGGGTTATCCTCACTATCATCGGCCACAAAGCCGCATCGGAGGACGTTATCAGCAATGATAAGACCTCCCGGGCGAAGAAGACGGGTTGCGGCAGCCGGTTGTGACAGTCGAAGGATGGTAGCGAGATAGTTCGGGTAGCCCGTCTTTTGCGCATCGATAAATATGATGTCGTACGGTTCAGATGGTGCTAAGTTTTGCAAGCTATTGGGAGTTCCAATGTCAGGATGAGGTAAGAGACGACACTGCGCATCTGAAAGTACTTCCATGGGCACAGCGGAAACGATGAGATCGGGACGTACGTTTCAAGAGCATCGCCAACGACCAACTCCGTGTTCTGGGCTCCGTTGGCAGAAAACGCCTCTTTAGCCATTTGAGCAAAAGACGGCTCAAACTCGAGACCTGTAACATGACCCTGGGATCCGACAGCATGACTCCACGCGAGCATGGAAAGGCCAACATATGATCCGATTTCGAGCACTAGAATAGAAGGACAGCGATGAGTATGCTTCATATATTAACTCTAGTCAAGTATAGAGTCCCCTTTACCTCGTTTAGCGCCAACAGTACGAGCTAAAAACACCAGTGCCTGGGCTTCGGAGATGGAGATCATGTAATTGGCCGTCTTAGGCTGTGTCATTTTAATGTGATCATGATAGTCGATGATATGCCGAGGTATCGTGGAAGTGTGTTTCTCAGCGTACGTAGTGACACGTTCGCCGACTTTTTCGTTTGGATAGAGGGCTGGTATGCTCTCCTTGGGGAAGAACACTTGAATATTAGAAGGCATGATGTCAGGCTTCCTGGGCACTTGTCCAATTATTAGAGTCAACGGACAGGGGAAATTCCAACTTTGAATCATTGATTGATAGATTCTCTTCCAGTTCAAGGGATGACATGGCCATGGTTTTATACACTCGGTAAACGGGATGATTCCTAGCTCACCGCACCTAACTAGTCACGCCGTCAAGCCATTCGCCGCCATTCAAGCGATTGACATCTCAAAATAAAGGAAAGCTAAATAAATGAAACAATGTAGTACTCATCTTCACCCAATTGAAGGCAAGCCCGGAAAGTTTGAGCATTAGGTGCAGAACAACTTGACTTGGACGGCGAATAACATGGTAAGACCGGATCATTCGAGTCTGAAGAAAACATGTCTTGAGTAGTCTAGGGTATTGTGTGACAAAGCCTCCCTATTGTAGGACTGGTTCGTATGTAATAACGCATTAGCGCAGGCCCACGGCCTCCACCTTGTACTCTAGCGAGATCATGTAGTCGTACTCCGGGTCCCGAATTTCTGAAAATCATACTCAGCCACATGAATATAGGCAATTAGTAAGCTCAGCTTTTGTGGTTTCCCCCAGACCTCAGTCTCCCATGACCACAAAAGCCTCATTTAATTCTTCAGACAACTAATGGGAGGATCGGAGTTGACCTAGTCAAGCATCGGGGGGGCCGAACGTACTAAGTGGAGGAAGCCGATCGGTGATGATTTTCCACTAGACAATGAACCAACGAGCGATTGACACTCCTTTAGTGGCCACCACCGTACGTATTCTTATCAAATATCTTAGCCTTTAGCCTTTTGGGCCACTATATTCCGGTAAGCGTGTGCATACAGCAAGCCACCTTTAAAAAAGCAACTAAAGTAGGGAAAATGTTACTGGTTTAAAGCACGATGATGAAATTGTTATAGGAGATCGAAGCGAGCATGATGACCTGTCGCAAACATGCTCAAACCCATTCCTTAGTCCAGACTCCAATGCACTCCTTCAATGCAGTCTAGTTTAAAAATTTTCATTTAGATGCTTTATTCTACGCCGTGATTCGCTCTATCATCAAACCTTTAATGTTGCGTTCAAATGTTATGTCCTATCTGCATTATAACCCTAAGGCCGTAAACTGAAGTACTGGCAATCAAGTGAGTTATATGCCTGTTCATTACTAGGCACTTGACTTGAATCGAGGTGGAAACACCGCATTATGGAGACGTCTATGGTTAGTACATAGATCGACGTCTCGCCAGCAATCTACTGCAGCTTTAAGTATCCAAGGTAGGTAATTGATTGTAGAATAGTAATTATCATCATGAAATACTAATGTTTACTACTTCTTGACCCGAACATTAGCAGGGATCGATATACTATCGCAATCGAGCCAATCAAATGACTCTATTTAGTACGTCGACGCTAATCCGTTTCGGGATCTCGTCTTCTGATTGATCTCAAGCCGGAATGACTGGGAAGCTCCCATTCACGCAAATCCACCACACAATCCATTGACAAGATGCCGAGCTCATGTAGAGACATCAGTAAGTCTAACCAAATCTATGTCTTTCAACGCAACCTCAGAAGCCCAACTATCACCTACCTTTGGCAATTCTACTGGCGCAATGAATTAGTAACTAGATGATGATTGCTAACCAACGACCTTCGCTTTATCGTTGCAGGAACGGCGATGGCTCAATGCCTCCAAGAATCAGATTGTATCATGGTCCAACGCAATTCGCCGCAAGAATGTCTTCGCCCGCCTCTTTTCGACGAATTGCCCACGCGGTGCCAACAATTATCGAAAGCCCTCTCCGATTGCAAGTACGTTACGGTCACCTCGAACAAGCCACACTCCATCAGAGGAAGAGTAGATAGAGGACTAATAAAACCGGCACAGACGTGGACTAGTTGATATGCGCAAGCGTTTCCGAGGAAATGCTCCTATTTCAGTATCGCGCGAGCTCGAGGGCGGCAAATCTCAACAAACGCCAGAGCAATTATATGCAGGTAAACCAGCGTTTTCGTCGGTGAAGGAAATTAGCGGAGATGAGGTGGAGATGGATCCGGAAAAGACCAGGGGTTTATAAATTGGATTTTGTTGGAAGGCAATTGGAAAAGCTGGAACGGAAATGCCCCCTCTTATTCTGCATTGGCCGGAGTTTTTTATGTATCTGTAAATACTGATTTATTCTTGAATAAATGCACTTATTTTCATCAATTGATACTCAAAGCATCATCGCTCTGTTCGAATCTAGAAAAAAATAATAGGATGTTCCTACATACAACATAATATACATCCATTGCCGTGTAGATATCAGGAACGGTAAAAAGATAAAATGTAAACACTGGGAAACTCGAATTCGAATACATTGCCTTTCATAAAAGCCCGTACCAGTAATAGCAATCCACCCTTACAACCCAATGCTTCTCTATTGAACCTTTTTAATCTTTACCTCCGCGGCCGCCGAAGGAGCAGAGTAGAGCCAGACAAAAACAAAGGCGAGGAAACCGCCGATGACAGACCAAAGCCCGGCAATCCATACCCATCCACCGGTGATTTTCCAGCTGCGAGGATATTCGTCGTGTGCAAAGTGGCGGACTGTGACTTCATGTTTCTCTTCAATATTGGTCAAAAATGGCCGGTTGTAGTTGACACGGAATGAGAAAATCCCGTGTTGGTCTGGTGATGTGAATGTGGTACTGTAGATTGTGCTGTTTTCGGTGCGAGTCTTGGGTTGCAGATTCAATCGGTGCCATGGGGAAAGCATAGTGAACTCGAGCTGAAGCTCGTCCTCGGAAGGAGTCTCGTAAGGCACCCATTTTTCAAAGTCGTATTCAGAGATCTCGATATTAAACGTCTATATTGTCTGTCAGTCTAGAATCCGTGACTCCTTTTTGCAGGTATATCCTTGTACTTACAATGTCATTCTTGATGCGATAGATGATAGGGTTGACTTCGCCCTCGATATTACCCTCCTTGTCACTGAGATAATGTTCGACCTTTCCCACTTTGAGGACACCGATCTCCTGGAAGGTCCAGGCGGTAATAGATTTAGCAAACTCCCTGTTCTCTGTCTTACTTGGCTTCTTATCCTTCGGTCCCTGGACAGATGCAGAGAACCATTTATCTTCCAAAGCCTCTACGGATCCAAGGACGGTGAAGCGAGCCGAGTTCCTTGCCTGCAGTGTCGAGACAAGCGCCAATTGCGAGCCTGTCGCAAAGCTTTCTTCAACTGTACCAGCATCTTCCTTGGCATTGTAGCTATAGGCGGTCTCAGGAGCTCGCACGATCGGGGCAAGGAGGGGACTAGCAGCACCCAACGACTGTCCAGCCGGTCGGGGGAATGCCAGCACACCTTCACCCGAGAAGTAGGGTTTCAGCTCTGCCCTCACAGGACTAGGGCGGGGTAGAAGGAGTACATCGTGCTTTTCGGCCGCGGAGAGTATGTCGTAGTTGAAGTGGTCGACGACTACTGACGAACGATCGGGCGAGATATGAATGTCCAGTTCAAGAAGAAGAGAGCTGATAGAACTTGCGGTAGAGGATTTGCCGGAAAGTGCGAGAAGAATGTTGCCTTCACTGTTAACGAAGTCGAGCAACAGCTTCGGCGTCAACGCTGGGCCAAGTCCTAGTAGTTCCCAGTCAGACTCGAGCTGTGTAATGGCATGCAGAGATCCTACCCTTCGACTTTGGTGGAAGAATCAATAGATGGTCAAAAGCTCTCTCGCCCAGAGAAAACAGCGACAACTTATCGTTTTTGGGCGATTCGAATGTAATGTCGTATCCCCGGGCTATTACCAGTCAATTTATTAGCACCAATAGACTGGGCACTCGTAATATTTTACTGTACCTTCTAGATCTGCCCAGAAATTCGAGTATAGACCCTTGTCTTCTTCCAGCACCACCAGCAAGCGGGAGCCTGAACTGCTCAGAGCACTCGCGCAAGCTCCCCAGAAGCCAAGAAGAACCGCAAGTAACCACCTCATTGTGAAAGAGGCCTCCGCTCAAGGCGGGCTTTGAGAAAAGAGCAGGAAAATAAGAGGAGAAGGACCAGAGGCAATTCACACAAGCAAATGGTGAACGGTCGTGGAATTGAAAGATGTTCGTTCTATGGACTTGAATTACGCTGTAGATCGGGCGACGTGTTGCTCCGGCGTGCCAAGACCGGACGACCAGCTAGGGCTGGCAGGCCCACTAGGCAAAGGCAAAGTCGAGAGCGGCGGGCGGCATAGGATAATTCCACCGCGATCATCAACAGCCCTCAACACCGAGTTCCAGCTACGCATTGCCGTGTTGGTGAGCGACGTCGCCAATTGCACGGCCTTTTTTTCGACTCTGTGTTATTGCAGACCAGGCGCAGTCTACTCCTAATTGACCGTCCTCCTGTCCCGGCACGCTCCTTTCCACCCGACCTTACTGCAACGACACACCATGTCCGTTCCACAGTTCTGGTCGCAGCCTCTGCGGTACCTTCGATGGGCCTCGCACGAGAAGCCTGCTATCTTCTACTCAATTATCCTCGGCTCCATGGGCCCCGTTGCCCTCGTTACGTTACCACCCATCCGACGGTATTTCGGTGACGTTGACCCGGAGCAGATCCCTTTCTCATATCCAAGTCAGTCCATTCTTTCGTCTGAGCGCTGGAACTCGTGCAGGTATTCTGATAGCCTGGAGACTCTTTACTGATTTGATTTTCATTGTGTATAGTTCCGAAAGGTCCGCGTGTGATTCCGAAGGGATATGACGACGAATGAGCTTTTGCCTATGATACCGACCCATTGCAGAAGATGAAGCGTCTCAAACTAGCATTACTGGTGATATAACTGTATATCAAATTTTGGGGAAGGCGTCAGTCAAACTTGAGCTGAGAGAGAACCAATCATATAGTCTTGCACCGCGCAGTATACTTCACATCTACATATCCGTTACTGGATTCGACTCTCATTACTGGTGTTATCGCGGTCTGAAGACTTTTTCAATTGTACATAAAAGAGTTTGAATTATTCTAAAGAGAATTTATTTCCCCGTTTTCCCTATGTCATTTTCTGTTGCCAATGTTAAGGAAATATGAGATATAAGCTCTCAAGTAACAAGAAAGGCATACCGTCGTGTCAATCATTCTCTCGGTTAATGTACTAGACCATTATGAACATAATATCACCAATCATTGAAAGATCTGCATCAAGAGTGCTCAACAGTCTGTTCGCTGCTTGGCGGATGAAAAGCAGTTTGGAACGTATGAGCTGCAACGCCAGGCGGAATCCCTCCTTCCATTTCAACCTCGTCATCATCTTCATCATCGGAAAATGCAGGTGGCACAAAGGCCTCGCTATCAGAATCATTCCAAGGATGATCTTCAAGCGTCATTTCCGTGCAGAGAAGATGATCAATAGGCTCTCCAGCATCGAGAGCATCGAGGTCAAGTTGGGTCTTATTGCTCACCAGATTCTTTACGTACTTCCGAACCTCACTCTTCATTTGTCGTATCTTGTCATACAGGATGGTGCGAGCCTTGTTAGACATGGGACAGAGATTGTGGAAATTGGCGTAGTCCTGGGCATTCAAATATGAAGTATTACCCTCCCAAATAGCTTTGTAAAGCATAGCACCTCCATCTGGGCTGTCGCGACCACGACGCTCAATGCCAACTACTTGATGGAACCACTGGTGGTGAATTGCGATAGCCATCCACATATACACATCGTTCGAATAGCTGACACGTGATATCGTGTCCCGGCTAGCATCCCGCCAGCAGGCTTTGGGGATATGCCCAGCAATGCGAATCTCAGAAGCGCCCTTGATCTTGTACAGCTGCTCTGCTTTGCGTTCGCAGATGGCCCGCAGGCGATTGTCCATGCCCCGCTTCTCTTGTTTCGTCAGCGAGTTCCATTTGCCTACCAAATGAATCACCGCGTCGTTGAGGACTGTTGGAGAATGGAGTCGAGTCGCAAAGTCGCCCCATTGAAGGGGGTTTGATAGGATGGACCGATAGAGTACTTGGCCATGGCGCATCAGGGCATTGTCGATATACGGACGTACGGAGACAGCGGCGTCCATACTTTCAGCGGTATCCATGAGACGGAAGCATTTTTCTAGCACAGCCTTGAGGTTAGGACCCGCGAGGTCTGGCTCAATGTTGTAAAAAGTGCCAAACAAACTCTTCCAGCATTCTGTGGCATTCTCTTCGGTTCTCGAGTCGTAAATATGGCTGAAAAGCGAATGGCCATTAGCGTTCGGAGCAGATCGTCCCCATTTATCGACGTTCTATCTCAGAGAATAAACCCCATTAGCTTTGAAGAGAATACTAACAGTCTTCAGATTGAAAGTAGAGCTTCGATATTTATATGGAATACCGAGACGAGTCCCCTTACCTTTCTAATAAAGACTCCATTCGGATTCCCGTGAGATGGCACCAACTCGAGCCTATAACGTGTCTTGGTTCCAGCTTTTTCCGCAGCTTTAATCAACTGTGCAGCATGGTGAGGGGCTAAGAGACTACCCATGTAGCCGGGCGAGCAGCGCCGCAAAACATCGGCATGCAAATTCCAGATTTGACTTGGAGGGATGTAGAAAAGTACGTCCCCATTGTCGAAGTGAGGGAATGTAGAGGAGGAAGCATGATGTCTGTCTTGCTCTTCGATTAGATGATTCATTTGGTCAGATAGTTGGGTGGCAGTAAAGTGACGATGGCAGTAAAGTGACGATGGCAGTAAAGTGACGATGGCAGTAAAGTGACGATGGCAGTAAAGTGATGATGGTGCTGGGAGGTTATATAGAGGAATAAATATAGCAACTCATATAGGATGGTGGTGAGAGCAGAGGGATAATATTTAAAGCAGTCTTTGGAAATACTATTCAAAGGTCTGAATAGTACATTTGAAGTGATTGACTATATAGGTGTGAAGGCATGGAGAAGAAAGTAATATGGAGGAGAGGCCAAAGGTCCTTCAAAAATTTTTGGTACTTGGATGACATCTTAGATTCATGAACACAACACCTCAAATTTACACCACCGACAACGGCTAAGATCTATTAGCATGTACTTCCACACCGACATAGACAATAGCGAGAGAAATGGAGTGTACGATTATATCAAAATAGCAGCTCAAAACGCCTGCAATGCATGTATCTACAACATCGAGCCCCGATTCCTGTACGAAGTAACACCGTACATATCATCTCCAAAGCTCCTGGCGTATGCAAACCATAACCATAATTAACCAAGAGAAGTAGATCCAGATAGGGGTACTGGCCCATCTTATCCCCAGATCAAGCCATCAAAGCATCAATATAAAACAACCTTATCGCAGAGACATCCCATAAACAACAGTAGATGGCCGCCTTTTCGTTCCAAAACCGCAGAACATCAGCCAAAATCATCATGGCTATAGAGTTGCACATGAAATTCGTTATTAGCAGCTGCCAAGGTTACTAACATTCCTCTGGCAAACTCTCCCAAAAAATGTTCAGGCCACAATCGATTAATTCCGAGCATCCTTAATTTGGTAATCCAAACCTGTCGATTTCAGGGACACCGATTATGTCCAAAGAACAATAGTAAGAATGGTCAAATAGTGCATTTTCGTAAACAACGGCAATCCATGCCCAAAAGGATCCTAAGGAGAAATGAAAACCAGTCTTTTATGCCTGAAATCAGGTGGGCTGCTTCCGTCTGGTAATTATCCTGGACAAATACGAGGTTCTCTTGAACAAAAACGTCCCGGTCATCCACTGGGAATCCTTTGGATATCACCTACAGAACATCAACCTTTTCCGTTTAACGAGGCCTTCGGTGCGGGTCTCTGTTTTGTTGTGGCCGGTTGGGTCCTTGTCTGTGCTCCGGAAATCCAGCGTCTGGAGTATATCTTGTGTCCATCACTAACCGGGCATCCGAAGGTGCGGTGGTAGGAGGATAAGCCATTCCAGAAGAGACATTAGAGTAGTCAGGTTCGTTGTCGTAACCAGGCCCTGCGTATCGAGGTGCCGCATTTCTCCCATCGTAGCTGTACACAGGGTTTCCACTGTATGTGTAAGACGATGGGTGGCCATCTGGAGCAGAAATGGGGGGTTGGTTTTGTGCTGAGTAAGGGTTCTGCTGAGGGGGTGATGAATACGCATTTTGGCCAAATCCAGGTGATTGTGAACTTGTATAAGCTGGCTGTGCAAAAGGCTGAGCTTGTGGTGCGGAATACTGGGGTTGTTGGGCGTACGGATCCACAAATTGGGATGGCGTCGCGCTGTAAGTTGAGGGAGAGGGCTCGTTCTTCTGACGCAGTTCATGGATTGATGATGAGGCGTAGCTCACTGGAGGAGTGTTAGGGCTCCCAGACCTACGTAGATCGTGAGCATAAGTACCTCTTGTGTATCCCATGTTATCTCTTCGTTTCACTTCCTGCGCCCACCGGGCAGAGTCGGCCTTGAGGTCGGCGATCATTTCCTATGCAAACACGGCTCGTCAGTCATGGTCTTTCCTTATCCATCGTTGACGATTATGAGTGCGACAGAACGTACAGTAGTCAGGTTCCGGTAAGCACGGATTAAGTACCCTTGGTGACCCTGTGGAACCCGATCAGTATTCCGATCATGTGGCAGATATCTACGATTAGGAGGAAAAGCGGGTTGCAAACGAACTTGATGGGTTCCAGGTTTTACTAGTGCGTCATTTCCTAGGTACCTGCAAATGTCGGCCTGAATCACTTCTCGGCTGATGCCATCCCCGGGAATGAAATATTCATTGTGGCGCTCCGGGCGCTCATATCCTCGTGAGGCCATTTTATCCAGGAATAGAAAATTAAATTAGGAAAGCAGCAAAAAGATATTGATCCACGGGCCAGTAGCAAATTTAGAAAGGGTCCTTTTTTTGTCCGATCCGGTGGAAATGGCAATGATCCCGGGGCGGAGCAATCCAGTGGTCTGTCTGGTTGTAGTTTTCTGTGAGTTGATGAAGTCCTTTGGCAATCTTGTTGACAAGCGGAATAGCAACAGCAGTAGAATCACGAGCAATAATAACCTCGGGAAAGGTGCGATATGCCTAATATCCACGGACTAGCCGCACGAATATAAATTGAATGTATGTCTCCACGGCTGGAGCAAGTCTAAGGGTGGACCTGGTGTCTAATGACGGCTGACCATGTAGGATTTAATACGGCGAGTGTGACAAAGCAAGGACAACGGAACTCCTCGCCTCATTCAAGGTCCAGCTGAGTATTCCTGGGAGCAGTACAATAGCGAAAGTCTTGGTACATCAACCGAGACAAGAGAGACACGCAAGGCGGCGGAGAGAGAGGGGGGTGCAAGGAGAAAGATCCTGGATATAATCCTGTGGGAAAGCACAATAACGGAATCCTTTTTTGCTCCTATGGCTTGATCTTCTGTACTGTCCTGGTCCTTTTGTTTTGCTTTAAAAAAAGTCCCTTGTTCCGGACTGAGAAATTCCACTTCGATGATGAACAGCGGCCGACACGGAGGGCCAGATTGTAGGAGAGAAAGGAGGAAGAGGAAGAGAGAGGAGAGAGAGACGGCGCGGGCAGGAGAGGAGCGGGCGGTGTTAGATAAGGACGCAGGAGGAGCGAAGAAGGAGAGGGAAGGAGGGGGGGCAGGCACGACTGGCTGGCGGTGGTTGTGGTTATGTGGTTGTGGGTACTCGTTAGTCATTTAGTATTACTTGTTGGGCCGCGGGCCCTGCTTTGGGCTGCTTGGCCTGTCGTGTTTGTTTGGTGCCACGACTCCTCTTTAATCGTGTTATTGAATTATGGTTATGACGGTCTCGCCTCGTTTTCTTCTTCTTTTTTTTGCTTTCCTCGGGTCTACGATGCCGCCCCACGCGGGTAGATCTGGACAGCTGCGCCGTGGTTGCGATATTGCTAACATCTACTCATCGTTACAAAAGGCAGACTAATATCGTCATACAGAACCACAGGGACAAGATCAGGGACAAGATCAGGGACAAGAGCAGGGACAAGAGCAGGGACAAGAGCAGGGACAAGAACAAGCATCGCCCCCGGCACCCAGTATTTCTCGCTGTTCGCGGCCTGGCGAACCGTCCAATACGTATATGTACGTTTCAATAGTCGTAGATCCATGCATCATCGGGCGTCCCAGGGCTCGTGCTGTCAAAGTCTCGGTGTTTTATGCAGACACCCCCGGTAACGCGATAGGTATGGATGCTGATTCCGGCCTGGTGCCTCAGCTGCGTATTCAGAGTTGTCCAGAGTTTCGTCTCGCGAGATCAACGGCGACGGCAGGCTGAATCGAGTCTCACCGTGGCAATGGTTGCTAGCGCGAAAAGCTCTGCTCTGCATGTGCGCTCAAGCCGCAGGCCACGGGACATCTTGTGTTGGGCCGTCATGCGTGGCTTTGGGCATCTCTGGGCGGCTGGAAGACACTCAAGCTCGTGGTGGCCAACTGGCAGCCTGCGAGCGCCAATCATTGCGCTCGCCGGTGCGACGATGCGACCCTACCGCCTGGTAGCCGTAATACTCCATCGATATGAGGAATCGATGCTCTTAATAATAGTAATAATAGTAATAATTGTAACTTAATTAGAATTGCTGCAAAATAAACAAACACCAAAAGCAGGCTTTGGTCACGGGACGCGGTCGGTCCGGCCCGCAACCGAATGGCTGGGCTGCTGGTTGGCTGCACAATATTCGGTGCTGATTGGCCCTGCTTTACTGCTCTACTGCTCTACTGTTCATTTGCATCAATGACTGCATTGCAATCTTATGGCTGAGTAAGAAACTATCAGTACAGTCAGGTCGGCCCAACTTAATTGCCTACTAGCATGGGCAAGTTGTGCAACAAGCGAGATACGAAGAAGCGTCAGAAAAAGAGAGGAACAACCTAAGGATGCCTCACAAAAGTACCGCGTTAACACGCCTAGCCATTCGATCCCCGGAACAGAACACCTTAACCGCCTGCACAGCCCCTTTCAGGACATTGAAGGCTGCGAGAGTCCTTTCTATTTCGACTGTTAACTGCTCCCAATTCTGTTCATCGACGTCGAATACCCATGGCCCGAAATCTTTGATCTGCTTGACTTTTCGGAGGCGGCCTTTCCAGAAGATGTCTCCGAATCTGAGCCCCAGAGCTTTCATGTACGAGACAAGAGTCGAAAAGTCCAAGTGCATTGCTATCATCTCATGTATTTCGTTGGGCAAGTTACGGCCTTGCAAGATGCTCCGATTCCAGTTAGCATTGTCGTGTTTTCGAGGTCCAAAATTGCTGAAAAAGAACATCTTGGTGAGATACATGCCCAGAAAAGTGCTGAACATATTGTCAATGCCATCGATATTAAGATCTCGCATACATGCGTCGACAAAGAAATCTCGTGTATCCATTATTACGGCTAGCCGATCCTTGACATAACCGCAACCTGAAGATGGCCGACTGTTACATCGAGTACGGAGGGCAGCTAGAAGACGTGGCAGTTGGTGCTTTAAGTCAGCCGCCAAGGCACCGTTAAGGTAGTGCCAACATTTGTCGTGAATTGTGTATGCCTGTGGATAGACGCTGGGTTTCTCGTCGCACCAAGAAACATATTTCATGTTAGTCATCAACGGCAATTTTGTAAGCGGGCCTTTCGATTTATATTGCTGCGCGAGCTGTGAAACACAATCACTCTCTGCGGGCAATTCGAAGACGAGTTCTTTGTTCAGGTAGGCGCCGACTCCAGAAAGGTGATATTTCTCTCTCGGTGGTTGGTCAGCGGGTTTTTGAACACAAACTAATTGGTATTGTCAGCAAATGGTTCAATAGAGTAAATTTATTAGTCTAAGGCGGCAGTTTTGACAGACTGGACTGGGAAGAATCATGGCTTACTTGCACGGTAGCAATAGAACCAGCTCCGATCCACGAAGGTCTTGACGTTCCCTTCCGGATCTTCATCCCATTGCAGGGATGAATGGCTCTCAGAAAGACCAATAGGCTCTCGACAGATGCCACAATAGGGCTCTTGTATTGAAGCAGTCTTGTCGGACATGGCGGTGGGTTACCTGATGCGATTCAACAAAAGAACAAAACGTGAATTCCCAGAAATGAAGCGCACCTGGAGGGCTCAAGCAGGGTAGAAATTTTGAAAAGGATCCAGGTGGTGTGTATCCTTGAACAGTTGTCTGGGAAAAGAACTATACAAGAAGAGAACTGCATGAAGAAGGGAAGAATCAAGGGCCGTCTATGTTACTGGCTATCGCCACAACATCAACACCGAACGGTAATGACCGGCAAAACTTAGGCGGAACTGTGTGTTAAAATGACTTCTATGGCTATTTGATACCAAATTTTCATTGCAGTCATGACCAAAAGACTAAAAGTATAGTTTAAAGAGTTATATTCACAAAGATATAATTGATATTTTCATACCTGATCTATGATGAAACAATATCTGTATATCCAGTCAGTATTGTTAACCAAAAATTATGAATCCTGATGTGCAGAGACAAAGTCTTAACAAATATCTATAAACTAGAATACAGCTCAAATTCTGTATATCAAATTATTCTAGGTATAATCATGTACTGCTTCTATGATAACATGATTCTTTTTGTATGTACAATCTTGAAGTATATAATTAGCGTAGAGTTAAGTGAGCAATCATAGGCCAATAAGACCAAAGAGTGGAGCTGCATGCAGGACCACATCTTATCTTCACGAGGCATCAATTGACACTAACCCACAGCCTATGCTGGGATATCAGTCACAGCAGCTCCTTTTACAATTTCAGAAAACCAATGAAACCTCTAGACAAATAAAAGAAGCTAGCAATCATTCTGGTTGTCCCCAGATAAACCTTACCATGGACCCTTGAAAGCAGAATGTCGCAGTCATCCCCTCCTCTTGATTTTATTCCTTCGTCACCAGGCACCTCCTCCAAGCCATCTCGCTACACATACCGACATCTCCAATTACTCCGTCAGAACTCGCCGATTAGTCCCCTCAGAGTCATTGCGCACGTTGATCTCGATGCCTTCTACGCGCAGTGTGAAATGGTCCGTCTAGGCATCCCACGCGATACACCTCTAGCCGTCCAACAATGGGATTCGCTCATCGCCATCAACTACGCCGCGCGCCCTTTCGGGATTACTCGTATGTTGTCAGCGATCGAAGCGAAGAAAAAATGCCCAGATTTGGTCCTCCAGCATGTTGCGACTTTTCGAGAAGGTGAAGGTGGAAGGTGGGCCTACCGCGACGATGCGTCGAAAAACATTCAGTCCGATAAAGTGTCGCTGGACCCCTACCGTGCGCAATCACGCAATATCTTGAGGACAATCAAGGAAGAGCTCACAAAACTCAGGGGGGAACTCATTGGTCTGGCGGGTGGGGCTTTGTCTGAATTGCTGGCTGCGAGGATGGAGAAGGCTTCTATCGATGAAGTCTTTATTGACTTGTCATCACTGGTCTATGCTACTCTCTACCAGCGATACCCAGAACTGAGAAAAGTGCCCACCGCTGATGACAAAACCACTCCTTTGCCTTGTCCGCCGACAACCGCGCTCGATTGGTCCTCGGATGACGGTTTGGTAGACCTCGATGAGAACGAGGCAGAGGAAGACGACCCTGACTGGGATGACATTGCTATGCTGATTGGTGCCGAACTCATTCGCTCGGTGCGCGCCACCGTTTGGGAGAAACTCAGCTATACATGTTCTGCGGGTATCGCACGGAATAAAATGATGTCAAAATTGGGGAGTGCTTGCAACAAGCCCGATAAGCAAACAATTGTCCGAAACCGTGCCATTCAAAAGTTCCTAGATGGTTTCAAATTTACGAAGATTCGCATGCTCGGTGGGAAACTAGGGGATCAAATCAGTTCCGAGTTTGGAACTGAACAAGTTAACGATCTCCTCAAAGTCTCACTTGACCAGTTTAAAGCCAAGTTAGACGATGACACAGCAGTGTGGCTGTATAACATCATCCGCGGTATTGATAACAGTGAGGTTAATACGAGAATGCAAATCAAATCCATGCTATCGGCCAAATCTTTCCGTCCGTCCATTAATTCGGCAGAACAGGCGGAAAAGTGGTTGCGCATATTCGCTGCCGATCTCTACAGTCGATTGGTTGAAGATGGCCTTCTCGAAAAGAGGAGACGACCAAGAACAATTACATTACATTACCGAACAGGTGGCCAAATGCATTCGAAACAGCTGTCAATACCAGGCGGTAAAATGATTGAAGAAACCATACTCTTTAGTTTGGCACGAGATCTGCTGAAACAAGTCATGGCCGAAGGGAGAGCGTGGCCAACAGCAAACTTATCTTTGAGTGTTGGTGGATTTGAGGATGGGCCAACGAATAACAAGGCCATTGACAGCTTCTTTACTCCAGGTCGGATAAGCACGTCTGAGAGCATACTGGCAGAAAATGTGGCGGAATCACGCGGTGAGAACCAACCAGCGAAGAAGCTGAAGATCGCCAGCGACGGTATTGGACGTTTTTTTAAACACGTTTCTCAAGTGGACAGCGAGTTGGAAGACAAGGAGACAAGTACCGATACCTCTCCACCGCCAGAGGTAAGTTCATTACAATTCTCTGAAGCATATGAAGGCAACGACATGCCTTCTGCCGCCGATGGAAATCTAGACAACGTAGAGCACTTTGGGCTATATGTCTGTCCTCGGTGTAATCAGGAGATTGTCAAAAATCATCGTGATGAACACGATGACTGGCATTTCGCCAAGGAGCTCGAAGCACAGGAGGTCCAAGCAGACCGAACCTCCCAAGGAATTGCCCAGCAATCATCCAGACGAGTAACGACAGAACGCAAGATTCCCGGGCCAGGTCGGCCTCGTAGTTCCAAGACAGAGAAGGGACAAAAGAGGCTCTTTTTCGGCTGACAGCAAACTTATATTCGTGTATACTGATGTGTATATACTGGAAGACAAAGTACTCAGATGTTTCATGAAATGATACCCCCTTGTACATTGCCCAATCAACCCTATATCGATGATATTAACATCAGCCGTGTCCAATTAATACTTCCAGCTTCAGAAGTGCATGCACTTTAATGTCAAAAGAATATGACGCACCTCAGCCCCATCCACTGATACGCCAGAGACGCTCGGGTGGGGTAATTAGAGGGGACGGCTAGTTACATATTGACATGACATCAGCCGCCAACATATGTGCACACTGCAACTCTCAACCGCAGCCTGATTTCAGCCGTCTCTATTTCTCTACGCTCTTTTTCAATATTAGCTATCCGATTCCTGATTTCACTTAGGGCTGGTTCCTTGCCTAGATTGGTAAATACGTACAGCATTTTGCACATCCGATGTGTTTGTAGTTGTTTGCCGGGCTGTTGGCGGTTGATGATCAACTGATGTTTTTGGGCGATCTTACTGCTGCGATTTCAGCCGTGCACTAAGATACTTCATACGCTTTCATGACAATCTGACCTCAGAGATTTCAAGCCCATACACTGTCTGGAGTAAATAGAATATTTTACACTACAGTCACCTGCTCAACTTTTGATCCTGCAATGGCTCGACGTGATCACCCCGCCGATGAATCCTACGAGGAAGATAACATCTACGAGGAATCTGATCGACGCAGACGAGATAGAGAAGACCGGTTCTACGAGCCTGAGCCCGATAGTCGTCACCAACGACACCGCTCATCCCTTGTTCGCGAGATTGACGAACGGATTCGGTTCCGCGATCGAAGTCGGCCTGAGTTTCCGCTTCCAGATCCCCGGCCACCTCTCAAAGATGAGGTTGAGGATGAGGGTGATTTTGTCCGCCCGCGGCGTCGTGAACGTGAATATTTAGATGACCTTGGGCCAGAAAGAGAGACTAAGGAGGTCTACATTCGTCGCAAATCTTCGCCATCGAGGGATCGGCATCGATACAGAAGGCTGTCTAAAGACGATGTCGTGTTTGAAGAGGATGATAGAGGACCCCGATCACGCAATGATGAGGATATTCTCATCAAGAAACGGGAGGAAATTCGATCTCGAAGTAATGAGGCTAAGCGCGACGAGGCCATCTTCCACAGACGAGATCGGTCATTACCGCCCCATAGGGACAGGTTTGACGAGGTGGCTTTTGAGGATGAGAGAAGGAGAAGGCGAGCCAAAAGTCGTGATAGGGAGGAAGATCAAGAATACAGTGACGAAGAGATAGAGAAGGAAGAAAAGGTTATTTTCGGTCGTCATGAACGCTCACCACAAAGAGAAGGGGTTATACGTGAGGATGTCAAATATCGCAGACGTTCACTTCCGCCGCTCGATGACGACCGAGAAGAACTTATGTTTCGTCGTAGAGATTATTCTCCAAGAAGTCGACGGCGAAAGGATTTTTCTCCCCAGGAAGAGCGCGAGGAGGTTCTTATTCGCCGCCGAGACCGATCGCCGCCTCAGCGTGAAATAAGAGAGAGAGTTTTGGTACGTGAAAGAGACAGGTCGATTCCAGACCGCGATGAGGATCGCGAGGAAGGCCCTTCTCGTCGTCGAAATCGCTCTGTGCCGAGTCGAGACGAAGCCGGTTTTCGACCTAGAAGACGGTTGTCCTCTTCAGGAAAAGATGATCGGGAAGAGATTACCATTCGCCATCGTGAACGTTCAGCGTCGAAGGAACGGGGAGAAGAGGATCGAGAGGAAATAAGAATCCGGCGAAGAGAACTATCACATTCCCGTCGTCGCCCCCGGTCACCTGAGGAAGAGATTGATCGTGACGAAATTCGCGTTCGCCGACACCACTATCCGCGTCCCAAGAACGAGGATCTCCAAGAGGAAGTAGCTGTTCGACTGCGATCTGGTGGGATTGACGAAGATGATCGCGACGATATTATTCTGCGCAAAAGCATGCGGAACCGAAGAGGATCGCCGAACCCTGAAGGTGACCGAGATGAAATTACCATTCGTGACAACCCCGAGGGAGAGAGGGTTGAAATTCGGCGCACCCATAGTCCTCCTCCTCGAGCACGTTCCCAATCACGGCATCGCTCAGATGAGAGAGATATCGAGATTCGGCAGAGCGAGCGTGAAGGACGACGAGGAAGAAGAGAGCATGAAAGAGATATAATCATACGCAAGACCAAAGAGTCCTCGTCCTCGTCAGAATCGTCCCCTAAACCCCCGTCTGTCATACGCAAACCTCCCATCATTCAAGAAGTTATCACGCATCACCGTCACATAGAGAGTATGATTCCTAATCATATTTAAGAATATTGGCTAATATATATAGGCTTTGAAAGAGCATCTCCTCCTCGAAAACATAGCCCTGACACCACCAAGTCCCAGAATGGCAGCGTTGATGAAGTTGAAATAGAACAACGGTTAGTTATACCTCAGGCTATTCACACTATGACTAATGATAGCTTCTTAGAATCGAACGAGATGGAAATTCATTTGAGGATGATATCGTCATCGAAAAACGAGATATCTCTCCACATGGGCGAAAGTCTCCTACTGAAGAAAGGGGGTCTATTATCACTCGTTCAAAGCCTAGTGATCTCCATTATAATGAGGTGAGAGAAATCGCAATTCGGGAAGTCGAGCGAGAACGCGAAATGGATTCCGAAGCGAGCCGTGATGGGCGAAGCCATGCTAGCTTTCGAGAAAAACGCGATCGTCGACAGACCGAAATCACAAAAGACCTGGTTATACGAGAGGCGATTGAGCGAGCTGGTTATGACTATGAAGAATCAGACAGATTCTACTACATTTTCGACTATCTTCGTTTTGTAAGTACATTAACTCCTTAATTTAGTTTATCGGCCTTTAATTCGATTGCTTGCAGGACGATGTCCAGAGGCTCGTTGATATCACCGAGGATATACTACGTTCTCGCCGTGGGCGACCTCGCGACGGATTTCGCGAGCGAGACATTCTTTCACCGCTCCCTGTAATCCCTGGACCACCACCACCTCCTCTTGCTCCTCGACCACCGGTGGTTTTAGAGATAGAGCGGGAAGCATACCGTCCAAGGGACGTGCGGTATCGAGAACGAGACGTGCTGGTAGAGGGCAGACGACCACGACGATACCGCGAGATTTGATATAGTGAAGATTTACGATGAGTTTAATGTGTTACGACTGCGACGATATTGAGATGACATCATATTTTCATAGCACAGGTATACCACTAAATACTCGTATTAATCAGCTGTGCCAGAATGATCATTTGTAAAGATCTTGGGCACAGCCACTTTGTATGTATTCTTGTATGAATATTACTGATGGATACTGCAGCGGGTCCAACCCACTTCAGGAGAATTATAAACCATGGATGAATCATGCTGGACCGCGACAATCCAGTGGCACAGCATGATTAATTACTCCCAGGAACAGGAAAGCATCGTCCGATCTTGCTTTCTGCTGTGGTACCGCCCACTTTTTTTTCGTCTTTTTATTTTTCACGGGAAATTGTCGTATCTAGGGATTTCCTAAACTGGTATAAGATGTGGCGGTGCAACCCGTTTAACTCTACATCACTGTACTACTTTGTCTTGAGTAAGACGGCTTTTATTGGCTGATCTCCCGGCAGTTTTTGTTTATGTTGATCGCTATGTGCAGGAATTATTGATTCATTTCTTTTAAGAGACGCTGGAGAGTAACATGAGCCAGAAGATGTGAGACCGTCGGTGATCTCGATCTATCCAAATACATTAAATTATCAAGGCATCATCAAGACATAGCATGATTCCAATGAGGATGACAACAAATAATGCAAGTGAATGTGCCGAGAGCTGCATAAATCGAGCCAGTCAGAAGCCGACAAGTCACCCGCCGACCCATCGCAGTATCAATCTGATTGTCATTGTCCGCCACTTTAAAGGCTCTCCTCGTCTCGCGTGTTTCAGGCTTGGGTCCATGAGGTCATTGACTGGGCCACTCTTTAATCTTTACTATGCTGTTTTAGTATTATTAAATAATGAATATTTTTTCTGTGCAAATCGTCTTGAGACATCAGTGGATAGTTGAGACTAATGGGTAATGGCTCGATCTTTGCAGATCAGATGCTGGACAGAGTCGTTTACATCAGTCTCCACTGCGATACAGTGCACAGTGCACACTAACCACTAATGAGCAGTCAGTAATGCTCAGGATTCTGGATGGTTGCCACCGCTCGGACGCTGTCTATACTCGCTCTTATTCCCGATAGGCAATATGTATATACAGTATACTACTGTATAATGTATAGTTAGAGGATAGAGGAGGTATAGTAGATGGTGTGGTAGTAAGACATGGCTTGGCCGCTGGTTGGCTGCGTTTCGCTCGAACCACGGATTGGGGCCGCTGTGGTGCTGCTGACCGGGCAGGAGGGCCTGATGATCTAATACCACACAAACATTTTATTGTTATTGTCATTATTATGAGTGTGGTTATTCAATTGCGATTAATATTGATCAAGCAGCATGGGGTCATATGGTTATCACTGCTGGCCATATTCCATACGCTTCAACTGACTTGTATGCAATATACGACTATCAGCAACATCCGCAAGTGGCTGAACGCAGATCTCGGTGGACGTACCGTACGAGGGCGGTACCAAAATGACCGCCAGTGCATTGCCCCAGCGACTGCGTGTGGCGTTTGCGACATACGATAATTACAATCTATTATGTAGTCTTATTCAACAATGAGAATAGCGTCTAGAATGTGGATATCGATCGACAGCCCAGATAGATGATCATGCCAGGGCGACCGTCCATGTTATCTGAAGTATGGAATATGCTGGATGAGCACTTTCTCTTCATTGCAGTTGCTATCAGACATCCAAACCATTGTCATCATGGCTATATCTGTCAGGCACGGTGTCAGTGAACGATGCCGTACGCATGTATGCAACTCTGTATACGCGTGCAATCTGGATACCGATGCCAAGACAAGCTAGCCGATGGAGATCCATTCCCTGAGCGCACGCTCTCATTGGCCCATGGTCTCCGCCAGGATCCGTGGACGACGGCGGGTCTGTCCAGGCATTCGATATGTTTAATACAATGATAATATAATTATTAGTTCGTTGTGACCATAAATCCTCAATTCATCGTGCTATACGGTACGCAGAGCACTGTTCATGCGTGCATATATACGTCTACACACATACATACATATTATATGTGTATGTAAGATGTATGAATGAGGTGCACTGGCAGCTGCAGCTAGCCCCGTTTAGGCGCCAAATTCCAAGTTCCCGTGGCCGCTAACCAGCTAGCCCGTATTGTGCTGCGTACTGTGTAATCTGTGCCTCCTCTCCCTGTTCCACCTGCCTGCCTGCTTCCTTCCTGCGTTACCTCCCGGTCAACAACCTCTCTCAACTACCACGCCTCCGTCCGCCATCACCATCATCTTCCAGCTCCCCCTGAGTCCCAGCATTCGCCTGCCATTGGGTTCAGATTTCGATCTGCCCGTTCAGGGTCACGACCATGCTGCACGGGTGTCGCCTACCCTTCTATTAACTGCCGTCACCCCCCATTCCCTGAGGCTCCTGGTTGAGATTCGGTATGTATCCTGCGTCTATGTTGTGTCTTTTCTTACCGAAGAGCAAGACCGTGCTAACAAATATGATGGTAGGCCCCAGCAAGAGCAACTGCATGCCGGCAGTGCCTCCACGAGGACATCGTCGTGATAATTCAATTTGAGATCACCTCGTTCAATGGTCGATTGTTGATTAGGGACGACGTCAATATATCAACATGAGATTTTCTCGGGCCTTGCCATCGCTTGGAGCTGCTGCTCTTGTGCTCTTTTCATCCCCGGTGCGGGCGTTGACAGTTGAATATTGTTCATCGGAGAACACTGCAGACCCAGACACGCTCCGTACGCCTCTCGCTCTTCGGTTGTGGACGCAATTGCCCGTGCTGACTGTTTTAGAAACGAGTACATTCCAATCCAACGGACTCTGCCAAGAACAATGCAATGCCGACTATGCCTTTGGCGTGGTCCTCTGGAAAGACTGCTGGTGCACAAATTATATTCCCGCAGAACAAAATAGTGTGTCGGATTGCGATAGCACATGTCCCGGCTACCCAGACGATCTCTGTGGTAATAGATCCAAGAACCTTTATGGCTATATCGCCATGAGCAATGTCAAGCCATCAGGAACATCCAGTGCCACCGCAACTGGTAGTGCCACCTCCACGGCTTCCTCGGTATGTATTCGTTTTTGGTCTTTTTTCACTTTATTCTTTTCCAATACATGTGGCCTGGTGCGATCTCGTAAGTGTCTGGTTTAACAACCGCACAGGGGAGCACAACCCAAACTACTCCGTCGAATTCGGTCAGCACGACCTTTACGACTTCCCTTATCTCCGTACGATCAAACTTAATGTATGCAAGCGGTTCTCGGCGCTAACTTGGCTTCGAACAGGACCCGTCCTCTAGCACCGGGCAAAATACGGCTCCCACTGTGTCTGTACAAACGGTCGCCGGTCAGCCGGTCACCATCACGATCGGCAATCCATCGTCGGCGGAATCCACTGGTGCTTCTGCCTCTACATCTAGCAAACCATCATCGTTGAGTGGAGGAGCAATTGCTGGAATTGTAATTGGCACTTTGGTCGGTGTCGGTGCATTGGCCGCGCTGGGCTTGTGGTTCTTCTTCTTTGGCCGCCGACGCAACGAAGAATCAGAGAAGTCGCCGACTCCAGAATCGAGATACGACCCGAGTGTCATGGGCGGAGGTTCAGAAAATCGGCGCCAGAGCAAGGGCTCCCAGATGAGCTTTATGCCCAACTTCATGAATCAGCAACAGAAGTCCCCCACATCCCCGAATGACTTTCTCAGCCCGAACAAGGGATTTACTGATAATCGTATGAAAAAGGATGCGGCGTTGTATCCTAATGGAAGCAGGCACAGTGCCGTGTCTCTACGCGACAATGAGGATTATTCTCGGCCAGTTTTGAGGGTGGGTGCAATTCAATGGTGCCATAATATCTATATCGTATACTAACTTTTCACAGCTCACCAACCCGGATTAATTGGCAGTCGATCATTCTATATTCCATGCATGCACCGCACGGCGAGGAAACAGTATTTCTTCTCAAATGAAGTTCTTTATGATACCCATCCCCCCAATTCGAACCACCGTTTTAGCGAAAATATTATCGCACATTGCATTATCCCACTCTAGTGGCACATTTATCAGGCCACGATAATGTTCACTGGTCATCTGTTGAATTCGTTCCATCCGATGTAAATGCGCAACCTATTCCTCAACGAATTGCAACGATAACTGCGTTGCTTCAATCATACATACATACATACATACATTGCAGGGACTCGTGACTGTCAATGCTTGAAGAAGTACTCTGTTTCTTCTCTTTCTCTTATCATTTTTCGCGTTCAAATAATAGATTTAACTTGAAGCTTCAAGTATATGAGTGATGACTGTATTTTAGCTTAGTCAATCTGAAACATTGCGACATTTCCAGCTACATCTTCAACTGCCTTTCAAGAACTGTATCGGTAGTGGTGGCGATGTTATCATCTGCCCGCGAAATAAAGTATTCCAAACCATGGATCATTCGCTATCGAAGCATCTGGGCTGAAATACCAACTACCCGTATTGACGTCAGGCCGCCACTGCTTTTGACATATAAATACAGCATTGGGTTTACCATTGGATTGAAGAGTATCCTACATATATGTCCACAACAAGACAACTCACGATCAATCAACCGCCACCATCGGACAAACACAGAGCAAAATGTCATCATCAAACCTAACAGGCCGCGCGACGGACCTCACTGGGATCGACACCACCGGCTACGGCACGACTGGCACCGCCGACACAGGGTACGGCGCAGCGACATACGGCAACACCGACGTGTCAGGCTACCGCGGCTCCAACGCCGACACGTACGGCGGCGCACGCAGAACAGCCGGGTACGATACTGGGTACGACACGGGCAACGCGTACAACATCACGGGTATCACGACGGGCATACGAGGCTACCGCAATACTGATATCTCCAATGCCGCGTCTCGCGCTGCCCAGTATGACCGGAATAATACTGGGTAAGGCTACGGCCAGGACTGGCGCAATACCTATGATGTTGGAACATGGACAACACCGAGGCAACGGGTTATACGCGGAGGTCTTGATCAATTCGTACTTAGTAGATGGTTTTCACCGTCAGACAAGCAATAGGGAAGAGTATCAAGGTCACTGAAATTAAATGAAACGCAAGTACTTCCAAGTACTGTTAAGTACTCTCAAGCACTCCTAAGTAAGTACTATTCCGTAAGTTCTACCAAGTACTCCTAAGTAACTGTGTCAAGTCGGCCTTCGCTTTTGCTTCCCCGACTTGGGCCCGCTTAGGGCTCCGATCGGCCAATGAGCGCGGCGGCTTTCGGCCTCGCCCCGGCGACTCGCATCCCGACCGCGTATATACTCGAACCTTGTGCTCACAACTTGTAGACAATGGAGTCTGTTTGCGGGCAACAAGCGATCTACCGGCCTATATAAGCATGCGTGCGGTACCGCTTGAGTTGTCGCCAAGTTGACAGCTCTCTCAAAGCCTTCGATTCCTTTCCAGCAGCAACGCCATTGAGATTCCGCCAATAATCAAGCACGTAATTATTACATTATTAACAACGAAGCCAAAAAAATGTCACCCTCGAAATCCCAACCCAGCCTGGTCATCTACCGTGGCTTCCCCGAAAGAGACACCTACGTCTGGTCGCCCTTTGTGACCAAGCTCGAAGCACAGTTGCGCTTCGCCGGGGCGTCGTATACATACGAAACCGGGTCGACGAGGCTCGCGCCCCGGGGCAAGATCCCTTATATCGCTCTCAAGCATGATGGTGGAGAACCTGAGCTTTTAGGAGACTCGCAATTGATCAGCGAGAGACTGGTCCGGGAGGGTGTACTGTCAAAACTCAATGAATCGCTATCGCCTGTGGAGAATACGTTAGATATGGGCATTAAGGCGCTCCTGGAGGATAAGCTATATTTCTATAATGCAAGTCTTTCTAGATTCTTTTTTCTTTCTCCTTTATTTTTTTGATTGTTTTTTATGCATCACTGACGATTGGCAGACGCACGAACGATGGAATGAAAACTACTATACCATGCGAGACAAGATCCTCGCTGCCCTTCCATATCCGATCCGCGCGGCTGTCGGCATAATGATCTGGCGCAACATCAACGCCGGCCTGTACGGCCAAGGGACAGGCCGCTTCACGCCCGACGAGATCCATACATTCCGAGACCGTATTTGGGACAATATTGAAAACCTGCTGGCCGACGCAAGACGCAAGGCCGGGGTGAAATCAGGCCCTTTTTGGATTTTTGGCGGCGACCAGCCGGCTGAGTGTGATTTTTCGGTTTTTGCGTTCACCATTGGTTGTTTGATTTGTAAGGCGTGAGTTCTTTCCATCTACGAAGAGAAAAAAGAGAAAAGGCATGCTGATTGTGATTAGCGGTCCCGAATCGGCCAAAAAGGTCCGCTCTTTGCCGAGTGTGATTGATTATGCACGGAGGATTCATGAGCAGTACTTTTCAGACTACACGGGTCCGGAGTGGGAGTAAAGGCTATGGGCTATCTACTGATGTCTTTGAATGTTGATTATATATACCCCAGCCCGGTTCTCTGGTCTGTTTGCATCGTTATGTATATGTGTTTAGAAGTGGGCTACAAGTTTAATTGAAGCGTTGATGTCAGTCAATGAATACATCCTTGTGATTTACATTCTACGAAGAGGAGAAACGCGAGAGTTCTTGCTATGATCAAAGATTCATATTACTGGCGACTGTAAAACATACCGAAACTAGATGGGGAAAGCTTCAGATACTTTGCCACATTGGAGGCAAGAATCAACGTACATGAAGTTCCCAGATGCTCATCCGCTACCAGACTTAACATTGAGGGCAAGGGTATAGATCAATGTAGAGGCCGCTGCAGTTCTCAACTACAGCTGGGTAGGTGGTCTCTACATCTAGAATTGTATCGAAGAGCTGAACTCTGGATCTGGTAACACGATTTTTAGGTAAATCATTCATCATAAGTTTTATAAGAGCCTAACGTAGAAAATAAGGTTTGCTAATGTTGAGGTTGATGCTGCCATATTCCCTCTTTCTATTCCTGTGGTTCATCCTTATATAGAATATGTCAACAGTATTAAAGGTTCAATGTTATGACTTAGGGTTAGGGCCTAGGGTGGTCACGATGACGAGGACCAAGACTATCAATTGATAGTCTTCTCAATCTCGTCCAACATCAATCCTACAGGTCGATATTATAGAATCAAGGAAGCAAAATGGCACGGTATTTATCATTCATCACGTACCAGATCTTCCATCAATCTACAAGCTCATTTGTGCTTCCACTCGAGTCAATAGAGCCTTCAAAGTCGCTCCTGTTTATATCTTAGATGATGCCATAGAGCGGTCGATTCCAGAATTCAAACATTTAGCTCTTATGGTCGCTATTCTAGGCTCTTTTTCATCATTATCATTACAGCAAACCTTCGAGAAGTTGGCCCACAAATATAAAAACCCACCTAAATATGTGCTTACTACCGCATATCGAGCGATGGCGCGCTGTCTTTTTACAAGAGCTAGCCAGATTACTGGGAGGGCTCACGCATCAGCTCTCAAAGAACTGTGAGAAGCACATGCTGAAATGGAATATAACTCGTCTAATGCCTACTCTAGCTAGGTTCGGGCTATATTTCTGAGGCCTAGGCTACAGATTTTAAATCTAAACCTAGTATGGGGGAAACGCGGGGCAATTATCATGAGGACCTAGGTATCCCGGAGAGGCAGAAGCCATGTGTATGTGACAGTATTTGGTGGTAGTGGCCTTCCAAGCTACGAGCAGTTTTTTAACGCTTTATTTTCCCTTTTAGTGGGTCGAGAAACCTTGACGGAGAAATAATATTAATCAGGGGTTTTGCAGCCGTGAACTCGTTTTATATGGCCACGTAATCAATTGATATTGCAACAAAAACCCCCTTCATTATTCACTCCTGTTAATTATTGCTAGCTTACATGTATCAACGTTAAAAATGTCAGTGTGTTAATTATCTGCTCCGAATTGGACCGCCTCGGAGACTATATGGAGATGCCCTACTCCGCATTTTTTGACCGTAGGGTATGTGTGACGCATGTGCCCCGATCGTTGTTCAATATTACTTCGGATTTACACTTTCCATTATGAAATTGTTTCTCATTTGCCCGTCATTTGCCCGCGTTGTCGGATTCATTTCGATGTTGGCTCAAAATCTTCCACGTCGAAAGACTGACAAGGCTTCTTTCTGGCTGGGGCCATGTCAACACCTGCCATTCTTAAAGCAACTGGCTATAAATATTCTCTATAGCAGGCATGTTGCAGGTACAAATCGGAACTCGGAAGTTACGCCGACCCTGTTGCGTTGTCAGTGCGTCTGGAAGGAGATTGGGGTTCGAAAGAGGCATGAGGATGTTTGTTGTAAAGTATAATCACTACAAGATAAATCCCGCAAGAGTCAATGCAGAACGAAGAGAAACCGGACCAGACTTCGACAAAAAGGGTCATACTGAGGTCGACTTGTGACAGAAGCGAGTTGGAAGCCCAATATGGTTGAATTGATCGATGTAGGCGCCAATGCGGGTCATCCCGGCCCTTGTGGAATAGCATTTCGGATAATCTGAGGCTTGAGCTTCAGAAATGCGCCAAAGACCTATTAAATGACAAGTTATTATTGTAGATAGCTGTCCCGACTGCACTAATTCTGGTATCATCAGCCTTCTGATAACATCGGTGGGGTTGCACTGGACTATATCAACTGATAGTATATACTACAGTACGCCAGTCTGCTACCACATTCGTCATCATCAAATGATGATGGCACGATAATTGACTTTTCGAATTTATCCTGTGTGTTTTGCCCGATTGTGCGCTTCCTGGGTTCTGCAGCTTCGGGTTTTCTCATAATTGGACAATTTAATTACCTGCTAAACGTGATTCGTCGTGCAGGTCCGGTCTGCAGATGTAGGGGGAAAAATAATATTGCCTGAAAATTAATCAACTAAATGTAGAAGAAACCTGCCCCTTCCAGCCTAGCCTCTGAAGTGGCCCTATCACAACGTGGCGCCAAAGCTCTCCGTCAGTCTTGGACATTGCTGATTGGCTCCGGGACGTAAAAATGCATATCCAGCCACTGCGATGACAATATCGTGCATGAGACATGAAGTTGATAATGATTATGCAATCGACGCAATGTCAGCCGTCACAAGAAGCGAGAGAAAAGAAAAAGAAAAGAACATTGACCTTGGTTCCTTGCAGATCGCTGCGCTGTTGGGCCCTTCTCTCCAGTCTGTTCCGTGGCTGCGTGCTAACTTTGTGTTAGCCCGCGGCCAGTCTCGAGGAAACTGGACAAAGGCACATTGATCCAGCTCAAAAAAACTCTGAAGGCTTTGCTTGTCCTCCACTTAGCCCGTCTGCTAGGCTCAGGTCTGGACCGCGTAGGAGTGAATATTAATTTAACACACTTTGAGGGCACGCGGGTGCTCGCTACGGGCACGGCCGCTATGGTCATTTAGTCCAGCGCCAAGCACCCGGCCTGCTGGTTCCTGAATCCGCAGCAGTACCTCTAGCCTAAAGTAGCCTAGCTGCCGTGGCCATAGTTAACATCAACGTGTCCACAACAAGGTCCCTTGTATTTTCGGCGCGCGCTTCTTAAGCCTCCAGAAGAACAGAATAATACGTCAATTGGCCAATTGGGTTTTTTCTGGCCCGACGCTGTCCGCCAACAGCAGTGAATAAATGCCCAGTCTGCAGGCAGTTGGTGACTTGGGAACCGTCTAGTCAGACTTGGATTGACGTGGAGAGGAGGTAATTAGTCTGGTGAATAATAAATATACGCTTCGATCTGTCCCTGGCTGCTGAGTCTTCTGCGTACATCCTCTGCAGCAACCCGCCTTCACCACTGGATTTGAGCTATTTAGCACAAACCATCGTCAATTGTTACATTACTTGGCTTTAACTTCACAGGAAGTGCTAAGTCTTTAAAGTTTGGATAATTTTTAACCGCGTGCCGGACGCACAATCCTTGAACCCCCCCCCCTCTCTCGCGCCGAAGAACCTTAGCACGCTCACCGCCGCCCTCACTGCTGCTTTTTTTTGTTTACCAGGGACAAAAAAAGAAACACCACCGCATCACTCGTCACCCACTATCAATCACGCCCAGATCGATCGCCCGACCAACTCCAGTGCTACGACTGTCCGATCCTTCTGTTGTCCTTTCAGCTGTCGGTTCCTTCTCAGAGCTCCCTTGCACTTGCACCCCCAATTGCTCCCGATCGACGTCACCTCGCCTATCCTGTCCTGTCCTTCTGCTATTAATTCCTAACTCTCACCGCCCACACCAATTGATTGTCGGCTGTGCATTTCCCATCCTCGCAAAAGAGACGTCATCTCATTTCACGCTCAATTGGACTTTCCGACCGCCCGATAGTGCTGCAATTATTTCCGTGCCGCGTGCCGACTTTACTTTCTCTACTATACGGCGGCTGGTGGCTTTGGCCAAGCTTCGGTGCACAGTTGAATAGGCATATATAAACTATCCATTGTCGTCTGACTGTCTCGGGACCAATTGCTTTCAATTGAAGGGTCACGGCCTCTGGCTACTTCGTGTTGTTGGGCAATCGATTTGACGTATCGCGGTTGAAGGATTCAGAACCCTGTCGTTTGGTCATATACATTACTACTCTTCTCATCGGATAATATTTGTATACTATAACCAACCCTTCGGTTTCTCCACAACGACCCCGTCTGTTTACATTCATACCACGCGACCTAGGCATTCGCAAATTCAAATGCAGCCTCGGTTAGTGCTGTTCTGACCTAAACAATAACCGAGCTGACCTGAACACAGAAGGGAATACCATATTGTTGTTTTAGGTGCTGGTATGATGTTTCTTCCGTGCGATTGAGACGATGTGGATATCTAACAGTAAATAGGAGGTGTTGGGAAAAGCTGTCTGACAGGTACGCTTCCACTTATCTCCGCGGCGCGAGTCATTCTATAACCGATGATATTAACTGGATTCAGCCCAATTTGTACAAAATGTTTGGATCGAAAGTTATGACCCGACCATTGAAGATTCCTATCGGAAGCAAATCGAGGTGGATGTGAGTGGCTATGGATTACATACTGTTAAGAATATAGCTAATCATCAAATATCCAGGGCCGACAATGTATTCTAGAAATGTACGTATAGGATGAACAGAAACGTACCAAAACCACAATGCTGATTTGCTCCCGATAGACTTGATACGGCGGGAACAGAACAATTCAGTGAGTTCAACCGGTGACGTCTAGTCTATACCCCAAGATTACAAACTAACTGTTACTGTAGCTGCAATGAGGTGATTCCTTCTGCATAGCCCTTCATCCATCAAGGGACCAAACCACTGACCTATGCTTTAGAGAGCTCTACATGAAACAAGGACAAGGATTCCTTCTCGTTTTCTCCATCACCAGCATGTCTTCATTAAATGAGTTATCCGAAATCCGTGAACAAATCATCCGCATCAAAGATGACGAAAAGGTTCCAATTGTCATTGTCGGTAACAAATCTGACCTGGAAGAAGACCGCGCTGTCTCGCGAGCGCGTGCCTTTTCCCTCTCCCAAAGCTGGGGAAATGCGCCCTATTACGAGACTTCAGCACGGCGACGAGCCAACGTCAACGAAGTCTTTGTCGATCTCTGCCGACAGATTATCCGTAAAGATTTACAGGCGTCCCAACATCGATCACACGAGCTACAAGCTCGCAAACGGGAAACGCCTGTACGCGAAACCCGCAAACGAGAGCGCAGATCCCATAGACGGCGCGGGCAGTGCGTCATTATATGAACCAAGACATTTCCTTATATTTATCATGTATAGAATGGGGTTACTTCATTACTTCCCATACTCGTCATTTTTTTTTCTTCTACCTCTATGGCATTTACACCGACTACTGTATCGGTCCATACGCTCGATTACGAAGACCTATCATCCTCTACGAACACATCTATCTCACGATTCTCACGACCCTTGACCTCGCAACATATACACACGTTCCTTTATTCTGTGCTGACTACACATTCAGAGAACTATAGAAGAAAAGGGGATACTTGAAACAAACACTTTATCATTGTCGACTTCTGCCATCGGCTTTGTTCTGAAACGCAAAAAACAAAAGGAGTTGAATGCGAAAAACATTGATCTACAGCTTTTTATATATATTCTTTCAATTATACATATTCTCTCTTTTTCTTGCCTCCTTTATTCTTTCACTGCAAGTCAGATCGTTAGGAACAGGTTAACTTGGATTTTCTTATTCTTGTTTATGTTTTCTTCGTATCTGACCCATTGTACATTGAGCTAAATGTGTATTCTTGATAAATCTGTTACTGAGAGTTTCTTCTCCTCTTTATTTTCTTATTTTATGCCAGTATTTAGACTTGCAAACCGAGAACAACAGGACTAAACAACGCTTTCAAATGTTAAAGTAATATCAATCCATTGTGTTCTCACCATAGATACCAAAATATATCCAAGCCTATTTAGTACCAGAAAGGGAACAAAATTCTACATCCGGAAAACGCCAAACTTCGTATCCTTATCATCCACACGCCCACCCAATGCAGCTGCTAATCCTAGTCCAAGAACCTTTCTCGTATGTGCAGGAGGAATCACGCCGTCATCCCATAACCGCGCCGAAGAGAAGGTCGCTTGAGACTCTCGGTCGATGCGTGCTTTGAGCTCCGGATCGGCGGTGCGCCCAACAGCTTCCATGACAGCCGACAGCTGCTCGGATCCCATCACGCCGATTTTAGCGTTGGGCCACATGAATAGGAAACGAGGAGAGTATGCACGACCACTGTAGAACGTTAGATATAGATTTCCGGGAATGTTTATATATGCCATGCAGCATAAAATGAAACTCACCACATTCCGTAGTTTCCTGCACCAGCGCTTGATCCAAACACCACGGTGAACTTGGGCACATCGGCACATGCTACCGCAGTTACAAGTTTTGCTCCATTCTTCGCGATACCGCCCTTTTCTGCGTCGGCACCAACCATAAATCCCGATATATTCTGTAGGAAGACAAGTGGGATCTTGCGCTGGGCGCACAGTTCGATGAAGTGGGCTCCCTTCAGTGAAGATTCGGAGAAGAGGATACCATTGTTAGCAACAATACCGACTTGGGTCCCGTAGATGCGTCCGAAGCCAGTGACGAGAGTGCTGCCGTAGTCACGCTTGAATTCGGAGAACTCGCTGCCGTCGACGATCCGTGCAATCACCTCGTGCACGGGGATTTGGCGCCGGAGGTTTGTGCCCACAATCCCGCCGAGTTCGACGGGATCGTAGAGAGGTTCTTTGAAGTCGGTTTCGTTTGATAGGCCGGTCAAGGGAATGGTGTTTTTGGGGTAGTTGAGATTGCTAATTGAACGCCGTGCGAGTATGAGAGCGTGTGTATCGTCAACGGCGAGATAATCAGTGACGCCGGAAATTGTGCTGTGTAGGTGACCACCTCCGAGATCTTCGGCTGAGACAACTTCACCAGTTGCAGCCTTAACTAGAGGAGGCCCTGCAAGAAAGATGGTTCCTTGGTTTTCGACAATGATAGTCTCGTCGCTCATAGCAGGAACGTAGGCTCCTCCGGCGGTGCAAGGTCCCATGACTACTGAAATCTGCGGTATTCCTAACGAGCTCATGCGTGCTTGGTTGAAGAAGATGCGGCCAAAGTGGTCGCGGTCAGGGAAAACATCTGCCTGATGCGGCAGGTTTGCACCGCCAGAGTCAACGAGATAGATACATGGCAGCTTGTTTTCCTGTGCAATTGCTTGTGCCCGCAGGTGTTTCTTGACAGTGATCGGGTAGTATGTTCCTCCCTTGACAGTACTGTCGTTCGCCACGATCATACACGTAACCCCCTCGACGGTCCCAATGCCAGTAATAATGCCTCCGCCGGGGACGTCCTCTCCAGGATAAACCTCATGGCCTGCGAGGGCAGATAATTCTAGAAACGATGTGCCAGGGTCAACCAGAGACGTTACGCGATCTCGAGGGAGCATTTTTCCTCTCGCAAGATGCTTTTCACGCGCTTTTTGTGGACCACCCTGAGCAATTTTTGTGTGTAATTCAGTCATCTGCTCCACCAATTCGTTCATCTGGCGAGCATTTTCTTTAAAGTCAGCCGACTCCGTGTCCACGACAGACGGGAGCACTGAGATGGCGTTTGCATGGTGCTGGAAATTGTGTGTTGCAACGGAACGAGTGAATTGAATCACTGACGGCTTCCTTCGTGTGTTGGGGCAAGCTCGCAGCCGGATGAGTGTCTGTTGTCGGTGTATACTGAGGGTCGACAACCACCGTGACTGGGGAGCAGACACGGCCTCAGTGCGGAGAAAGGAAGTGCGGAGAAGGCAGGACTTGGCCATCGCCAGATTCGCCACTGGCAAAAAGCTATCGACTTGGGGCTATGATCGATCAGGTAGAACCATTTGGCTTTGAGGGAGGAAGTGATCTCGTCTTGAATATTAATAATAATGGACAAGAGATAATGCCGGCAGATGGTCTTTGTATTTGTATTTGTATGGCGGAGCTTAGGGCTGGTCAACGCCGACGCCAACCGAGGGGCCAGCTTTCTCTTTGCGGGGACTTGTCACATGACCATATTAGTCATGAGTCTAATACCCATAGTATATTTAATACATTTATGTTTCTTATTATGGACGCCCCAGTCATGTGACAAGCTGTCAACATTTGCAACGGCCCTGACTCCCACCTAGATGTCTTCACAAAGTATACCTGAAATTTACATGGCTATCGCAGGTCTCCTCCAGAGACTTTCCACTATCCGGATGTTGCTCCCCCCGTTCAGCACACTCTCGTAAGGCACGTTCTTTGCCACGATTCCGAGCAGCCATAATCCACATGGATGCGACGGTGGACAGCATGGCCCACACCACCAACCCAAGCAAGGTCGCATGTCCCTTGACAAACCTTGGCGGCGTGGTATAGATCTGAGTGCCCAGGAGACTAAAGCCCTGACCGAAGACCATGGCGACCCCCCACGACACGGCCCTCTTGGTGCTGCCGCAGAAACTGATTTGAATCCACGCAATCACCAAAATAACCGCTGGATAGGCTCCTAGAACGAGGAAGCAGACTCCAGCCATACCTGCCTGCATAGTGGTGGTGCTTAACAGAATGACCAGCCCGAGAACGCACGAGGTAAAAGAGCCCAAGATGAAAAAGCCCTTGTTTTGATATCGGTCGGACAGAATACCGATTCCAATCATCGAGACAAATCCGCATGCGTACGGGATGGCGGTGAATAGCTGCGCGCGCACAGGACTGAACCCGAATGACTTGACAATGGTCGGCATGAAAACCCCGATTGAGGCCAGCATGGTGGCGCTGGCTATGTTGACAAAACCCATGAGATACGTGTTGGGATCGAGGAGGCTGAGTTTTACTTGGAAGCCTCTGAATGCAGGGCCAGTCTCGTTAAGATCTTCAATTTTTCAGTCATCATCCACACTAACATCAATTGATGAAACCAACGGGAAAGTTCAACGATAACTTACCTGCGTTCCGTTTAATCGCCCAGTCAATTTCCTGCTTGCTGAATAACCAGGAGCTCTTGACACGGTCCGGAAACGATGGCAGAAGCAAAATCATTATGAGTCCAACTGCCAGAGCAAGAACGCCCTCGACCAGGAAAAGCCACTGCCACGCTGGCCTCTTTCCAGGAATTGTAAGGTCCTTCTGGATGCCGTATGCAATGAAACTGGAGAAGACACCGGACAAGGTTGCAACTGAATAGAATATTCCTATATTGACCTCAACATGTCTTTTTCTTTCTAGAAGACAAATATTTTTCTACGAGGAATAGACATACCAACTCGCTTACCAAGCTCGTTTCTCCCGTACCAGGCCACCATGTACAGCGGTGTGGTCTGCAGCATTGCCTCTGCGCAGCCTATGCCATATCGGAGACCGACGAGATCTGCATATCCGCGGGCACTACAAATACAACAGACAAACAAACCAAAGAGAATTACAGCAGAGCCGAGCAGATATTTAGGTCCGACTTTGCGAAGCAACAAATTCGCTGGAAAGACAACTGTGAGATATCCAGCATCTACCCAGAGGGTTATTTATCAGTCTATTGGCGGCACTATTGGGTCAAGAACAACTAAAGCAAAGCTAAACTCACAATATACCATGGTCGCATTATAAAACTGCTGGCTGGACAATTTGAGGTCTTTTTCAAAGTTCATCAGCCGGGCGTTGCCGATATTGTTTCGATCCTAGGTCGCACTTCATCAGTAGACACGCTTTTGTCAATATATTAATCAACGGAGGTGTACCAGATAGGCGACCAGATACGCTAGAGACATCAAGGTCAGTAAAACAATGTCGAGTTTCATAATCATTCTCTTCTGTCCAGCGGCGCCGATTGCTGGCGCGTCTCCCTTGCCGGAGATGCTAGCCTCAACATGGGAGACGTCTGGTTTTTCGACCGACATGGCTTCTGCTGTGGCGTAGTGTAGTTGAAAGATGAGAAAGTCGGACTAGAGGAGCTATTTGTTGGCAAAAAATACCAGGGGGCATGTCTGATACATGTAGTAAAAAGGTATATGCATTCCCCATGGGGTACCCCATAGAGATACCACCTGTTTCCGGACCGCTTTCGCATAACGGCAGCACATCGGCAATTTGACCAACACGCCTGATTCAATAGTAGCTGGGAACGTGGTTGATTTGGCTCAGAGTCGTCGATTATACTTCAAACTTTGACAACAGTTGAACTTGATCGATGCCAAAATCATCCTCTCGGATGCCGGGGCACGAGTAGTCGGTCACTGGGGCGCCGCACACGCTTCACCTCTGGATTTCAATGCGCCGCTGATGTGGGAAATCGATAAAACGCCGATTATTCCGAAGTACTCACAATGAAGCATGGCTCTTCGACGAAGGCAAGTATCACCTCGGCCTGACGTATGTGAAATCGGAAAAATAATCGCCCAACAGCTCCAGTCCAAGGCCTATCATATATTTGATCAGAGGACCCTCTACCTCCTCGAGCCCGGATATGCGATAGTAACCCCGATCAAAGCAGATAACATGGTAGAACTCGCGACATCGCCGCAGACCGACCCGGTATCACAACCGCTTGCTCGGGCCGCAACCGGGAAGTTTGGTATAGGTCAATCAGAGTAATGCTAAAACATCATGGAATAAGCTAATATAATCAGTTGTTTAAATCCTACTATTGAAAAGCATTAAATGCATCAATTGATCAATATTAAACAATACAATAACTAGAGAGTCACGTTAAAAAAACGATGTCTAATATACTATAACACTTGGTATTGCTTTAGATATCACTAGTGAGGCATTATCATAATTAGAACAAAAATATTTCTTATTACTTGAAGATGCAAGGCCTGCAAATTGTATTCCTTGAAATACGTTAGGAAACCCTAAAGACTAAAATCATAGCGTGAGATCCTTTAGTAATCTATAAGAATGAGCGTGAGCAATATGACTTATTAAGACTTAATAAATATAGAGTCAAATCCAATAAGTAGATTGCTACTGAGATCTCCTTACAAAATTCCCCGCGAAGAATATTTCAACTATGTATTTTTAACTATTTTATGTTATCAATCCTCTAGAGTGCTATTCTGAAGTAATATATACTCTGCGGAATACACTCCTTTTCTAATTTATTATAGGTTTATGTCGCTGATATATTTTGACCAGATCATCCTTATTTCTAGTATCTGTCATCTCTTTGCGTTGGTGTGCTGCGAATTCAATCTCTTATTGTTGGTGTAATACTAAGTTCCTGCCTGAGACTTTCGGCATCCACGATCCGAACACTAAATTATCACGGCTGCATCCTGCACAAAGAATGCAGTCTCACTACCACCATCACCGCATCTAGCGCCGACTCAGTTCTTTTCCAAGGCGACAGCCCCCGACATCAATTGATATATCGAGCATTCCTTGCATCTAATCTGCTTCGGCAGCACATCGACACTGGGTGCGTGCCAACCCTAATTGCCCCCCCAAATCCTGGAACAAACTTTAATGACTTCATAGACGATATCAACTCCAGTGATCGACTCGCATCTTTTCACTGCATCTCAGCATTTTTTCGGCGATTCCATCATTTAACTACGAATCAAAGTGCATCCAAGAACTTCCTTTCGCAATGTCTGACGACGAATATTACGAGGACGATGATGATTGGTACTGGTATGAGGAAGACTGCATGGGCATCGGAGTAAGCCTTCAACCTAATTTCGGCTCTCAAGTATTTTTCAATCTAACGATCATTTTTTTGTATTAGGATGATCTAGCAGAGACTGCCGTACACTCCCCCATCATGGTCGAAGACCCATCCCTTGAAGTCGTCGATACATTCAGTGATTGGGAGTATTACTCAGACGACTATTACGATGACGACCCAACGATAATAAAAAAGACTCGAGCCGACCTTGATGGTCCGCGCAAGAAGAAAAGAAAACTTTCCGCTCTGGAAGATATCCCGAATCTATCCTTAGGTCCTACCATAGTCGATTCTGCAACAGATAGCGATTCCTTCAGAGGCGTTCTTTGGAAGTCATCTGCCACGGGGGAGGAGGTCACACTATATGAGCCCGGGAAAGGGGAGAAGGTTGCCTTACTAAGCGATTGGAGAGAAATTTTCAAAACGAAGCTTTATCGAAAGGACTGGTTTCAAAACGGCGATTACGCAGAGGAGAGCTCTTTCGCCGAGGACATACAGCAGCCTGACCATGTATTGCTCCGCGAATCTACACCGGAAGGCCGGGAAACACAAGCTGTCATTGGTGATGATGAACATGGCGGCACATATTCTCCGCCTCCATTGGTAATTGAAGACATGAACAAGTCAATCAACCGACGGAAGGGACAGGCCGTTAAACACGAGCTGGAAAAACCACAATCAAATCTCCGCAAGGTAATGGTCGTCGAGGATAGTGAAGAAGAACTGGCCGATGCCGACGACACCAGCTTGGAGCAACTCCACGCTGATTTTGGGGATGGAATGATGGTTATTGACAATAGAGAAGGAGAGCCGGACGATCTATCCAATCGCGCTGCCAATCCGGAAGATGTGGGAAATATGAACCAAGAAACGCAAAAAGATGAACCTTCCGCCCATGGTAGAGTATTAAGAGTCGAAGTACCCGCGTTATCTAAAATTTCAGCAACGAAAGCACCAGTTTCAACTACAAAACGCACGAAAGGCAAGTCCTCTCCTGTGACGGAAATAACAAATCCCAAACCAGCGAAAAGGATTCGAACGTCGCAGAACAACACCCTTATTCCAAGTCCCACTGACGATGGAGTCACTGACCGCAAGGTCGCTGGTCAAAAAAGAAAAAGCGCAGGTGATGTTGATAGTAATGACCAATCTGATAGAAAACGACGCTCAAGGCGAATAGTCTCTACGTCGTCAAATTCTTCTGTCAAGCTTTCGGAAGAAAACAAGCGTGATCAAAAACGGATCCGTGCAGCCTCTCCGAGTTCAACAAAAGGAAAACGCGGGAAGAAGAAGAATGCGTAATATTTCATTTCTTGTTTTAATGATTTTCATGATGCATAAGCATAGATAATAGCATATCGAGAGTAGGAAGGGCATCAATGTTCAGAAGTATTCGCGTAGTTCATGCAAACAGGCATCGAAATACATTGGACAATCTCATTATACAGTTTCATTTATATATGAATCCATCAGTGTCAGGGAAATTGAAGTGAAAGAAAATCTAGTCTATATACAGCCATCATGCATACTCCTTATTAAACGCCCGCCCAATAACCATCCTGCGAATCTCACTGGTTCCAGCGCCAATTTCATACAACTTGGCGTCTCTGAGTAACCTCCCAGCGGCAATCTCATTGATATAACCGTTTCCACCCATAAGCTGAATGGCATCCAGCGCGCATTCCGTCGCACGCTCAGCAGCATACAGGATTGCGCCTGCACAATCCTGGGTACGGATCACGGTGGAGCTAGTAGCAGATTCATCAATCTGTTTGGCGGTGAGATAGGTGTAGGCGCGGGAGGCGGCGAGTTTGGTGTACATGTCTGCGAGTTTGCCTTGGATGAGTTGGTTGTGAGCGATTGGGGTGTTGAATTGTTTGCGGGTATGGGTGTATGGAAGGACAAGGTCGAGGGCGGATTGCATGATGCTTTTACTGTCAGTTGTATGCTCTTGATCCCAAGGTTGAAGACATACCCAAGTGGTCCTGCACTCAATACAAGACGTTCCAAATCCAATCCCTCCATGAGTACCTTGACTCCGCGGTTGATTTCCCCAAGGAGATTCTCCTTAGGAACGAAAACATCTTCAAATACCAGTTCACCAGTATTTGATCCACGCATGCCGAGCTTATCGAGTTTGCGCGCGCAAGAGAAGCCCTTGAAATTCTTCTCGACGATAAATGCAGAGATTCCCTTGGATGCTTTCTCAGGCTCTGTTTTTGCGTAGACCACAATAAAGTCTGCGTCGGGACCCTGCATAGCGTGTCAGTCAGCTGCCATGCAGCTTCACAAAGTTTGTTGGTGTAATTACGAACATTGGTAATCCACATCTTTGTGCCGTTGAGCAGCCAGCCGCCGTCAACAGCGCTAGCAGTTGTTTTCATGCTAACGACGTCTGATCCTGCAGAATGCTCTGACATGGCGAGGGCGCCGATCTTTTCGCCAGATATCAATCCAGGGAGATACTTTGCTTTTTGTTCGGGAGAGGCATTCAATGACAGTTGATTCACACATAATTGCGAGTGGGCAGCATAGGATAGACCGATGCTTCCTGGAAGTAGTTAGCAGGTTATAATTGAATACTGATGTCTTCCCACCTGAGGCTCTGCTGATTTCCTCCAGAACGGTACAATGTGCCTGATAACCCATAGCCAATCCACCATACTCCTCGTCAGCCGTCACACCAAGAAAACTAGCAAGACATTAGCATGGCTATCTTCAACTCTATCATCCAACATACCCAGCTTCTCCGAGCTTCTGCCACATATCCGCCGGGAACTCATTCTGCCGATCTGTTTGTGCAGCGACCTCTTCAGATATTTCTCGCCCTGCAAATTTTCGACCCAGTTAGAGCAGAACACAGGGAGACTGTTGCGATCAATTAATGACTGACGTGTAAATTCCTGCACTCGCTCGCGCAGCTCTATCAAATCCTCATCAGTCGGCGGCACGAAGCCTTTGGGATGCTTCGTTGAATGAAGCCGACTCCGCACTGTGGGGCGGCTGCATAGAGCAGCTCCGCATGAGCCTCGGCCAAGGGCGATGTGTCGAACAATTGAGCGAGAAGAAGCAGAAAACATGGCGATGGGATGTGTGCGAGGAAGTGCTTAGAAGAGCAAAAGAAATTAATGAAGAAAGCGTTATTTAGAGAAAGCGCTCCCCGGATGTCTGCACAAGGAAATCGTGCAACCCCAGCCGCCCGCTTATACTCGGCAATCGTCGGTCAGCGTCGCTGTCAATTGGCACGCAGCTCGCTCTCTGTTTGTGCTTCTCTTCATTCTTTTCCCAAATAACTAGCCACGACTCTCCAACTCTTCTCTTCAAAAATTGTATATTCTCATGACATAACGACGCCAGCCCGCAGTCTCTCCGCAGCAACGCCTACGACGAGACACCATGATGCTACGCACGTCCCGCACGCTGGGGCCCATTGCGCTACTACGGGGGAAGCCATGCATGAGATCAGCATCGACGGCCGCCGCGTCTTCGAAGCAGTCTACAATTCTTGATTCTATCCTGATCGCCAATCGCGGCGAGATTGCTCTGTGAGCTAAGCTTCCTCTTTTTCTGTCACGAGTGCTAATCAATCGGGTATCAGTCGAGTCGGCCGCACAGCTGCACAGCACGGTATCAAGGTTACGACGCTCTACACAAATCCCGACAGCAAAGCGCAGCACGCGCTAAGTAGCCCATACGCCTTTAATTTGGGCGATACATCGGCATATCTAGATGGAGACAAAATCATAGAAATCGCCAAGCGCGAAGGCTGCCAAGGGGTTCACCCTGGATACGGTTTTGTTCGTGATAGCATGTGAAACAAAATGGCACGAACACGGTTACTGATAATCTTATTTTCTAGTTGAGCGAGAACTCAGAATTCGCACAGAAATGTACCAACGCAGGACTTGTTTTTATTGGCCCGCCATGGAAGGCGATCGAGGATATGGGTGATAAAAGGTAGGCGGAAACTTGGAGTCTTCCCTGGGCACTACGTTCTTACCGCTTATGTGTGAAGCCGATCCAAAGAAATTATGACCGCAGCTGGTGTCCCCTGTGTCCCCGGATACCATGGCACGAATCAGGACCCGCAATTTCTCGAAGCCGAAGCGGACAAGATGGAATACCCCGTCCTGATCAAGGCGGTTAAGGGTGGCGGTGGAAAGGGCATGCGAATTGTCCGATCTAAGGCAGAGTTCCAGGATCAATTGCGTTCGGCGAAGTTCGAGGCACAAAATTCGTTTGGCAACGATCACATGTTGGTGGAGAAATATATCACCACTCCCCGGCATATCGAAGTACAGGTTTTCGCAGATAAGCACGGCAACTGTGTTGCGCTAGGAGAGCGAGATTGCAGTATCCAGAGACGACACCAGAAGATCCTAGAGGAATCACCCGCACCGCATCTTCAGGATGAGATCCGGAAAGATATCTGGGAGAAAGCCAGGTCTGCAGCACTTGCGGTCGGCTACGAAGGAGCTGGAACGGTTGAGTTCATTTTCGACAACGATACTGACGAGTTCTACTTTATGGAAATGAACACGCGACTACAAGTCGAACACCCTGTGACGGAAATGGTCACTGGGCAAGACTTGGTTCATTGGCAGATTCTCGTCGCCGAGGGCGCGCCGCTTCCACTGACCCAAGAAGAGATTGAGGCTAAAATCGCAGTAAGCGGGCATGCGATTGAGGCCAGAATATATGCAGAGAACCCGGATCAGGGATTCATCCCTGACTCTGGGCGACTACTCCACGTGCGCACCCCAAGAGAGACGGACGACGTTCGTATCGACGCTGGGTTTGTGGCCGGGGACGAAGTATCTGCGCATTACGACCCAATGATTTCCAAATTGATTGTCCGAGGTGCCAATCGGGAGGAAGCACTGCGCAACCTCTCAATGGCATTGGCAGAGTATGAAGTTGCCGGGCCGATCACCAATATTGAATTTCTCAAAACGATATGCAAGAGCCCGGATTTCGTATCGGGGGCGGTCGAAACGGGATACATCGAAAAACATCGCGAGGAACTATTCGTCAGGGAGCCTGCTGGAGACGAAGTATTAGCACAGATTGGATTGGCGAGTCTGATAAACAGCTCAGACCCGAAGGTCTCTGGCTCATCACTCGGATTCAGCCCTAGTTACCAGCAGCGACAGTTCGTGTTCACCGAGCTGGTTTCGTCCGCTCCTGGAGCCACCAATCCCACTCACGAGGTGCAAGTTTTGCAGCTCGGCAATGGTAAGTTCGACGTGACGGTCAACGGGCGCACATTCGAGCAGGTGAGCAGCCAAAACGACAGGGCGTCGCGACGCATCACGTCTTTCTTCCCCCAGACGCGACTCGACACGACGGTGGTGCAAGACGAAGAGCTCATCGTGGCCTTCCAGCGTGGACAACAGTACCGATTCTCAGTGCCACGCAGCAAATGGATGGAAAAGGCGCTGGGAATCCAGGACGCCGCTAACAGCGTGCTGGCGCCGATGCCATGTAAAATCCTGAGCGTGGAGGTGCAGGAGGGGCAGGTGGTGGAGAAGGATCAACCGCTGGTGGTAATCGAAAGCATGAAGATGGAGACGGTGATCCGCAGCCCGCAGGATGGGACGATTTCGCGAGTCGTGCACCGAAAGGGAGTAAGTTCTTTCTTATCTTTTCTTATTTGTTATGTTCGATGCCACTGCATCATTACCCCATCCGTCCCCAGTATAACTGGAGAGAGTAACGTCATGACGCCATTCTTTGACTATTTTGACTTTGTAAAAATTTAATTGATGAGGCCCCGCAAATTATGCTTTGGGCGGGTTTCTAGGTGGCTTCTAGGCGGCTTCTTAGCGCGTTCGATGGAAGCTTGATGGGCCTGGCTAACAAAGCGTGCAGGACCAATGCAAGAGTGGTACGCCCCTAGTCGAATTTGCCGAGACATAATATTTATTTGTTTGTTTATTTATTCATTTATTACTATACCTATTCGCTATCTATGGGCTGGACGAGGCGTGGGTAATGTGCATTGTTGGGGGATTCTTTCTTTATTGTTCTAGCTGGTCAGCTGACTGCCGACTGCGCTTACCAATAGTTCAAAACTCGAATGTTAGCTACCCGTAGAGCTTGCTGCCAGAGGAAAATGATAAATAATAAAAATTGATAATCAGTCTGCTAGTACGGAGCACTTATTACTAGTACAATTGACAGCTCTAATCCTAGTGCAGCTCAACTCCACGCTGGAGAGAAAAAAATAAAATAAAAACTGCCGACGTGTCACTACTCTGCGGTATGACTAATTGTGCAATAATCAATTGATCAATTGATATTAGTGAAACGTAAGCTGTGCTTCTGGAACGCGCAATAAGACTAGGATGTAGCCGTATTATTCAAACAATGCCAAACATGATAGTAGCGAGCTCCTCGGCAAGCCACAAAGCCAAACAGGTCACGAGGTCACTTGTCAATGGACCTAATTTCAAGCCAATTTACAAGCGAATTGCTGAATAAAAAACCAAGGTTAAGAACAGTGTGACGGGTTACTGCACAGACAGATGCACAGAACAGCGGTGAGTCTGGGGTATATTAAGCATCAGAATAATGCTGAACTGTAATACTTGCGCGTCGCTATTATTAAGGAGCAGGCGTGCTACACTGTCAGACTTAAGTGAGATGGGCAGATCACCGGATCGCCGCCCCCGAGCGTTGGCGCAATGCGGCTAGTCACAGCCTATGGGAAATTTTCGCCTGGTCATGCGGACCCGATCAATGCGGTAATCCAGAGCAGGCCACTGAGCAGGTCACTAGGAGCTGGCCGATCGGCAACAGAGAGCCAACCATCGCGCGCGGCGGCTCACGCGGGGGTAGCCCTGGCCCTCCATAAACAACCATTCTTATAAGCGCTGTTCCAGGGGCGTGGATGGTGGAGGCCGCCCCGTTGGCTGTCCACGTCCCTAGATATAGTGGGCTGGGAACTGTGAGTTGGCGGTCCGACTGGCTGCCTGCAGTGGGGACGCTGGGGGCGTGTACCGATCCATCGAGGCGGGCCCCGCTTGGTCTGGGCCCGCCAACTGCCACTGCTAAGCTCACGCACCACTTATTATTAGTAGTATTGCTGTATTAGTATCCGGAGCTATGGCGGCTGTGAATGCAATACGAATAGCAGCATGCTCGTCGAGAGTCGGGACTCTGCAATTGGGTAACAGCAGACTGGATAAATGTAGAGACACCAGATAGAGCTGCATTGCAGTGTAATTATCGTGCACTGGCAAAGGCAATGCCTGCATTCATTGTTCCTGCGGTGCTGCATTCCTCACCCCTGGTAATCCGCGGCGACACTTGGCGTGTGGACACAGCAAGCTATCAGATTTGTCGACCCAGGATCGCCTCGACAAAAAAATTTTAAAAAAATCTAATATTAATAGTAGCCTGCAAGCTCAGACCTTTTTTTTGCCATCCGTCGGAAATTCTCCGCTTAAAAAGCAGTACAGTAATCATTAATTGTCTGCAAACCGTCCCTATTTATTGCTGGACCCGCCCCCGTCTTTCCTCTCTTTCCTTTTCGCATCTTCTTGTCTCACACACTCCCTCTCGCACTCTCCTCTCATCATCGCATCCCTTTCACACGCCATGGCCAGCTTCTTCAAGCCCGCCGCTGCTCGCCAGGCGCTCCGCGCCGCCAGCCAGGTCGCTCGCCCAGCTGTCCGACCTGTCCGACCTTCCCTCACAATCAACACCCGGGCGCTGTCCACCACCGCCCGCCTGCAGAAAGACGAGGACCCCAAGAAACGCTTAACAACAGATACTCCCCAGGGCGCCTCTGGGGCCCACGAAGGTGCTTTTGCTCGTACCGATGACAGCGTGGTTATCGAGTATCCCGCCGACGAGGAGATGCCTCGCTCCCCGGTCGTTCAGGGCCGCGGTGGCATGCATTTCAAGCGCACCCTAGCCTCGTTCTCGCTCGAGAACAGGGTCAGTGTCGTGACTGGAGGTGCTCGTGGCCTCGGTCTTGTCATGGGCCAGGCATTGGTGGCTTCTGGCTCTGACCTGGCCATTGTCGATTTGAACAGTGTGTCCTCTACAAATTAGTGTTTGATTTGTCATGAACCAGCTGCTGACTCAATTACAGAGGAGGAGGCTGAGGACCAGGCTAAGAAGCTTGTCGCTCAATTCAAAGAGGAGAATCCCGGCCTGGAAGAGTAAGTTGCCTTTTTTCTAATCAATCTTCTTTGGGACGAAAGCTAATCTCTACCAGGCTTCCTAGAGTTACCGCGCACTACGCCGACGTGTCCGACCCCGACTCGGTCAACAATGTGCTCGCCGATATCATCGCACAACATGGCAAAATCGACCACCTGGTCACCTCGGCTGGATTCACCGAAAACTTCGACGCCATCTCCTACCCATACGACCGCATCAAGAAGCTGTGGGGAGTCAATGTGGACGGAACCTATCTTTTCGCCACCGGCATTGCCAAGCACTTGATGGAGCGCAATGCTCCTGGAAGCATTGTCATGATCGGCAGCATGTCTGGCGCCATCGTCAATGTTCCCCAGCCCCAGGCCCCGTACAACGCCGCCAAGGCCGCAGTCCGGCACTTGGCCGCTTCGCTCGCTGTCGAGTGGGCGGGCGCCAACATCCGCGTCAACTGCATTAGCCCGGGTTACATGCTGACTGCCCTGACGAAGAAGATCTTAGACGAGAACCCCGAATTGAACAAGAAGTGGACGTCGCTCATCCCTCAAGGCAAGATGGGCACGCCAGAAGACCTGATGGGTGCCGTCACTTTCCTGCTCAGTGACGCATCGCGTTATATCACCGGTGCCGATCTCCGCGTTGACGGTGGATACACTGTCACCTAAGCTGCCGCCCAAAAACAAGGAAAAAAGCTTTGAATTGTTTGTGTGTCGCTTTGTCAAGCATGTCAACTTTGATTTTTTGATCTGTTGTTTTCATATGTTTCGGCTCAGGTTATAGACGGTGTATTCGACTAGAGCGGTCTTTTGCATTCGTTGTGCATGATATTTGCCTTTGTTATATTATTATTATTATTACCATTACTGCCTGTCTTGGGAGCTACCGGATAGTTGTTTATTAGAGGTTGCGACTGATACCCGAACTAATATGATCACCGTTGCCCGCACGGCGATACTTTACTGATTCTTTATTCACACGGATAATACTCGGCTTTTGCAAGTCCAAACGGGCCGACGCTGCCCGGTTACTGGAGGTGTGCTGACTCCTTAGTATGAGCTATGAAATATAATCCCATTTCAATAATGCGCAGTTCCATACATGGACAGATCCTGTGCTGGACTAGAATATTCGGTCGGTGCTGGCCGATGCCGACACAAGGACGGGTTACGCAGCTTGGGGGGCCGATCAAAAGCAAAGGAATAGAAGAAAGTAATATTATTATGATTTAATTTCGTGCGAGCCGCGATAGCATGTTTTTTTTTTTTTTTTTTGGCGGGAGGTGAGCGGAAGACGGATCCTGTCATCTGCGTCTCATCGGCAAGCGCGGCCCTTGTATTTAAAATAAATCTTGTTATAGTTGTTGTATTATTGCTGTGATCCCGGCGGCTTGAATCGGCTTGCTTTTTCGACCTGCGACCAGGGGGTGCTGCCACTTCCCACTAACCTCCCTGATCATAGCGCAGTACTGTACGGTTTCGCATATGAATAATCGTGCTTATCGGCCATAGATCTTATAGGGCTATCGTGTAGATCGTATCAATCAATACATCCATATGATACGACGCATGGTGTGCCGGCATCAATTGACCAGCTATTGGGCCGGCGCATTCGGGGTCGGCGCCCTGTGGGATAGCGAGGAAGGTCAACTGACCATGAGGGTAAACAATCCTCTTCGAGCGGTGAAACAGCATCAATTCGATTCGATCCGGGCTGGGCTGGGCTGAGCTGGTCGTGCTGGCAAGTGGGGGCGGCTGTCTTCAGATAGGATGGATACTCGCAGCTGCTTTCTTTCTGTCGTGACCTTCTTGCCCATCTAACTGGCTTCATTCCCAACCCGTCGCACCATAACTAATTTCATACGTGGCATGCCGTTTACACCTTATTCGTCTTTATCCTCGACGTTGGCCAACAGCCCAGCCCATCTCAAGCTTGACCTGACCTGACTTGACCTGCATCTGTGCGGCTCACTCGCGGTCAGACTCCCAACGCCTTTTGAATCTTGATTGAAATCCAAATCCAAATCCAAATCCAAATCCAAATCCACACGAACCAGGAAAAAGGCACAGAAAAAGAAAAAGAAAAGCAAAACGATCGTCCGGCCCGTCCCCGCCGACTCTCCCGCCCAGTCAGCAACGAGGATAATCTGGATAATACGATGTTCATCATGACGAGACGTGTCTGACTCGGAGCTTCAGACCGCCTGTCGACGTCAACATCAACCCAACATTAAGAAGGGCAAGGTTTATCGCCTGTGTCACCCTCTGGTGTTTGTGCTATTGCTCTTCCACCCCTTTCTTCGTGCTCCGCTTGAGTGGGCTGTGTTTGTTGTGATCCTTTATCGACGGATAATATTCTGATTGCTGCTGTTCCCCACAGCTTGACCCCGGAATTCTCCAGATCCTGCTTTCAGCTCCACGGTGGCTGCCTGCATATCCTATGTAAGGACCGCTTACATCATTTGCTGGGGTCTCCCTCTCTCTCTCTCGCCAGCTACTTGCACGTTGACACAGACATGATCCAACAACCATCCCTTTCTTCGAAGCACATCCGCTCAACCCAGCTTTGACTGTTTCAAAGTACACCAGCAGGCAGACAGATACCACTCAGCACGACGGGTGACTCTGAACCATGTAGTGTCATTGAACATAATCCTACTTATTACTACAACCCAAGTGCGTCAGCTCTGGGCTGTCGTATTGGCTGCAATGAATCAAAGAATCCCTGCCGGCGTGGTCACTGCCACTGATAAGCTGACCACAGGGCTCGAGAAGGCTGGTGCTGTGAGCGTGGATGACATTGCTCACCTATGGAAGGGTACCTGACTACCCCATCAATTATGCACAAAAAGCAAAGCTAATAGATACAGTGTACACCACGCAAAGCTCCAAAATCCAAGATCGTGTCGTGCGTAGACTGGAGAATCTCTTCTGGAGGATCTGGGGTAATCCCGAGCTGCTGAAGAGGGTATCAGGCGTGACTTTGGCGACGCTGTTTATGGAAATCCATGAAGACAGCACATTTCACACCAAATCACCGGATACGCTTTCAAAGGTGTGTATATCAAAACCGATCCTATATGTCTCGAACTAATGCATCACCGAAAGACTACTGAATCGCGATCCAACGACACGACTCAAGTCACAATACTAACCATCACCCACGAACGTAACACGGCTAAACCAGCACCAAAGAAGGACGCCAAATCCCCTCTCCCACCTATCCTCAAGAACTCAAATGGAGGGAAGAAAAGTCAACCACCTAGCGAACCATCATCTTACAAAACAGCCCGTATCATAATCCCGGACCAGCCAAGCCAGCGGCCGACAAATAGTAAGAGTCCTGCGACGGCAGCAACCGTAACTGCGACAACAACAGCATCTTCAAATGTTGACAGCACCAATACAGCCCAAAAGCAGGGCCGTAAGAAACCCACTTTTATTGCAAACACCTCGGCCTCGTCCAGACGTCGAGGCGTACTCATAAGACGAAAGTCCACGCAGACGTCTCCGCTGACTTCTCCGGCGATCGAGCCTGAAGACGAGGCTCTGCTCGAGCTGAAAATCGCACCAAAGCAAGCCATAATCGAGGAATTGACAGAGGAGGCACTGTCCCACGCAAAGGGTAGGTCATCTAGCTGACTGATTTTCCATGTTCGTCGGTATACTGACCATGTCAAGTGCCTGAACCCGAACCTGAGGCCCTCTGGCAATCACTATCATATCTGAAACTCGGTGGCGACGACATCATATCCACACAATCTTCAAAACAGCCTTCTCTCGCAGCATCTCTCTCCACAAGCCCGCCACCCACAAACTTCTACGCCAGCAGCGTGCACCGACATCGCAGTCTAGATGAAAATAACAACCCCAATCCTGCACCCACTTCCCAACAACAAAATACCGTCCAATCATCTTCAAACGACGACGAAACAGATCCAACATCGCTCGTGGACCGGGATTTCCGCACACATTTCGTCGAGCGCCGCAGACGCCAGGAATCCGTCTTCAGCGCATCTTCACTCACCTCAAATCTGAGCTCGTCGCACGTCAAAGACCTCATCAACCAACCCACAATTGCTGCTGCTGCTGAAACAAGCCCGCGCCGCCCATCCCGCAGTTTATCGCCGACGACCACGAGACATGTTGTCCTGCCGAAACATGGGAGTATGACCAGTCCAACAATCTCGGTAGCCTCCTCTGTAGCGATCGGTGGTGGATCGACGCAGCAAGCGGGGAAAGATGTTCTGCCGTATGCGTCGACGTCAATAACGACATCGCAAAAGACTACCAGCGGCGTTTTCTCTGTGTCAAAACAGTCACCAGGGCAGGTTGGAGAGCGGTTGAGCAGTCTGATGAAGTCCAAATAGACGGCTAGAGATTCCTTTTAAGAGAAATTTCCGAGAGGAAATAGTATCCCCACTACTTGAAAGTTCAGGTTTGTTTGTATATTAATACTACAGCTGGACCATAGTTTAGGTGTTACTTTTATGATAACGACCAATGACATTCGAACACCATTTATTCAAATAATTATATCCCAATTAATGAATGCGAGATAAGGCATTACATGCCAACGCCGACACAACGCCAAGTATTATGCAGTAGTAAAGACTAACATGAAACCACCAGAACGGCGCACAGCTATGAAGCTATTGAGCAAAGATAAAAATGATGCAAAGAAAAGGCTGCAGATCCAACGGCACCAGCGTTTCTGCATCTCTTCCCCCATTCTCCCGCTTTCAGCCACTATCGTGGTATCAATAGATGACGATGGTGTGGACGGCTTATTGAGGAGGATATTGAGGAGGAGGGGGTTGAAGTGGTGGCTGAGGTTCGTAAATCTTGTCACTCTCAAATGGCTCCGGCGCCGTGGCCTTGCCCTTCCACCATCTCAAACCACACCAAGTAGCCGAGATAGCCCAGAGCAAGAGATTCGTCAGATCCACCCAAACCGCATGCTTCATGCGCGTGATACCCGAATCACCCTCTGGGTTTTCACCAATGTACATTTTCCCGAAAATACCGAATAACGTCAACCACAGAATGCAGATGATGCCCTCCCAGACAAACGACGGGAGATGCGTGGCATGGATCCTGGCGAAGGAACGGGATTTCATGCAGCATGGCAACAGCAAGTAGATCGTCGCTGTGATGGTGGCGATGCTCGCAGTGATTTCGGCATACACCCATTTCGAGTCGGCGTGCACTTTCTTCTCGTGCGCGTGGTGGATGTCGACGCCGTATAGACCAATGACGGTAAGCCCCATGACGAATTGGAAGAAGCGGAGGATAGTGTCGAGAAGAAATATGCTGGCTGGTCGGTCACCGGGCCCGCGCAGCATTTGGCCTGGTGTGGATTGCATCTCGCGATTACCGTTGTTGTACCAGCCGTCGTGCTGGCCGCCGCCGTTCCTGCGCTTTTTGGCTTGTTTAACACCAAATCCAAGGAGTTTGAAGACGAAGAAAAACATTTTGTGGATGAAATGAGTATGTGCGTTAGGAGAGTTGTTCGAGGAGGACTAGGGTGTAACAGTTAAGAGCGCGCTGCGCCTCTTTATGAATGGAGAGTATGACTGCAAATGACTGTTGAGGGCCACAAGAATGGCAGTTCTGCTTGCTAATGAAAGAATTATGTGGCTTGTGTATGACTCAGGTGGATGATGGCAAGATGAAGATCCAAAGAAGTTGGCAGCTATTCAATAGGCCAAGGACTAATTCAGATGGACAATAGAGAAAGGAATATGAATCAATAGAAAGGAAACAATGGTAGAACAATAGTGATTGACTGATGACTGATTGAAGACAAAGCCCTGATGGACGGACGTACCAGTCTTATATTAATCGTGTCCAAGTCTTAAAATATGACTTTCGCGTCTCACCCACGCCTGAAACAAGAGATCAAGAATCTTCAGGTCTCTGAACTGTGTCAGAAAGGATCAATGCCGCCAAACTTCCTAATTCATGTGTGCCTTTTTTAGATGCCGCGTGTGTACATCCCCAGTCTCGATGTCCAGGAAGAGGACGTCTCGGTTTCAAGACACGCCTAGTGATGGGTCAACGGTCATTTGCTCGACTGTAGCCGCCGCACAGTTGGTGTCCACGACAAAGGTAAATATAGCCCAGGAGGCAAGAGGCCATCGTGTCTTGACCATGATGCAAGACAGGAAACAGCGAATCGAGGCGACGGACTGCTGCCACTGACGGAGTGTGGAGAAACAGAACTTGTCGCTGCAGAACCAACCGATGCACTGATCAGCAGCGCAGGTCAAGCATACCCGTGCAAGGAGCGTCATCCAGTGAAAGAAGAAGAAGCGGAGGAAGATGGCTGCGGGACGTAGCCTTGGGTTAAGCGCCGACGTCATTTTAGCAGCGATCAGTGACGGCCCATTGATTGGCTGTCGCGACTCGAAGTATACTCGTCTCAAACGTCGTACGATTGAGAAAGATGTCTATTAATACTCTGCTCGCGTAGAGCATAGAGTATCTGCTGGTGCGAGCCATTGGTTGGCTATCGTTGTTTTGCATGGTAAATGTTAGTTATACTCTGGTTCTACATCTTGTCGCTGAAAGTAGCACACAATTAGGTCTCGACAGTACCCCAGTCCCTACTCCTCCTACTAAGTAACCACTACTGTCGAACGAAAATTTTTGTTTCAATTTGTTCATTGTACGTTGTTTATATGGACAGTATAGATAGTAGTATCCTTGGCAGTTCAGGAGCTATCCAGGCCTGAAGAACCTGCCCCGAGTACCACTGCATGGCGTAAATAGGTACACCCAACAGAGAATCCAACTACGCAGACAGTAAATGTCAGATAACCTGGAGTCACCACATGGTATCCAATATTTCAGTATTCCGAAATCCCACCGAAGAAGAAAAAAATCACACCCGACCGCCATTACTTCCTTCTCATGCTCAAAAATAAGAACAAGTCTGGTACGGGACTGACACCATGATGCTGACTGCCCTCGATCAGCTGACGCTATGCTGATGCTTTATGTAAGGAAGAAAAGAAAATCGTGAAAAAAATTTGGAGAGGCGATTGTGAAAGAGAAAAGGCGAAAATTCGATACCCAAGAAAAACGATGCCACCGAAACATAAATGATGAGAAAATGAACCTGATAGATAGAAATGTCTCTATATCGTTGACCAGCATGTCTTGAAGATCGGTCTACTCCGCACCCACATTCCTGGGCGTGCTGGGTTTGGAAAGAGACAGCTGGAAGTACATGGGCAGTAAGTCTATCTACTCGGCAGATTCCTCAGGCTGGCCGATTCATGCCTCTGCTACCACCTGTGCCTTCGGGTAGAATTGGCTCTGCAAGAGGAGGCGGTCGACCCGCGTTCGATGTAACAGTCGGTGGTCGGTTTACATTCTGTTGCGGAGGAGCAGGGGCAGTCATCGGGGGAACATCATCATCATATCCATTTAGGTAATCATCAGGATGCGGCGAATCCATGTGATGATGATCAGAGTGGTGGTGATGAGTCGGTTGTTGAGCATTCGGATGCTTTGCTGAATTCTTCGTTGCCTTCTTATTCTTTCGTCCCTTCATTTTCGCTTTTTCGAGAAGACGTCTTTTCTCAGCCAAACGGCGGCGCTCCTTCCGGTCTTTGATCTCATACTGTCGAATAAGTGCTCTGGGAGGTTCGCCAAATATGGTTTCATACTCGCAAAACTCACAAATCCACAGGTCTTCCGGACTCGGTGGATTGTGAGCGTTGGCATAATGCTGTTGGATTTTGCGGCGGCGAGCTGCAAGAGCATAGATGCTATCCCGAGACCGTCTAGGCCTTTGACCTGGATTATGAGAGGGAGTACCGGTACCAGGGACTGATTGTTGTTGGCTAGTGACAGCACCCATATGAGGACTGGTTTGTGTGCCTTGAGTAGCAAAGTCGCGCGAGTTCGGTGTTGTTGCTGGCATGGAGGGATTTGGAATGCGTTGATGAGACAGCGGATAGGGATTCGGAGGATGCAAAGCGATGTTTTTGGAGCTATCCGACTCGCACGTAAAGGTAAATTGAGTTTTGGTAGGAGACGTCTTACTAGCTTGTTGTTCAAGCAAGCTGACATTGTTTCCCCCTTTTGTTGAAGGCGAAAGAGCGGCCGCGTTTGCGATTGCTGTGGAAATGATGCCCTGGTCTGACTTCTCACCTGGTCGATTGTCAGTGAAAAAAGTCTTCACGAAGGTTAATCAAACTGTGGTATTTACCTGTCCCTTGGTGCGAGGATGATAGAAGATCCCTGCGACTACTACCAGGTCGTCCACCAAGCCAAGCGTTCTGAGAATGAACAGGAAGGGAATTACGGATGCCAATAGCGCGTGGTGCGTGACGTCCGTAGCGACCACGTCCTGGCCCAGATATACCATTTCCAACACTCGAGGTAGCAGGACTACCAGAACCATAGTATGTACCAGCCCCAGAATCAGCCAAGGTCGCGGGCGACCCCGTGGTAGACCCAGATATCCCCGCAGTAGCATGCTCTGAAGTAAGACTGGAATGATGACTGTTCAAAGTTCCAGAAGTGGGGATCTTTCGCTTCTTCTTGTTGTTGGTGTTTTCAAACGCATCGTAACCGTCAGCACCACCAGGAGATGACTGGGTCATTAGTTGCACCTGCCCATTTGGAACAGGAGTTGAAGGTGATAGTGATGATCCTCGGAAGCCAGCACTACGGCGGACTACGACGGGACTCCCTTCATCACCACTCTCTACCTCGGAGATGCCATTCTCGTATGGATGTCGTTGATCTCTGTCAGGGCTATTATCATGCCTGTAAGAGTTCACGGAGTGTTGCTGTTGCATGTACACTTTGTTATCACGAGATTCCTCATGCTCCGGATAGGAGCCATAAAAAAGTTGAGAGACAGGTGGTGCAGGAGGGAACAGAATAGTTCCTGCAGCGTCTGGGGATAGCCGAGACCGCAATGGACGTTTCGGTAGAGGTCGAATCAGGCGGTCAGGGTAGACAGGAGACGGTGTATCCGGCGAGGCAGCATATGTTCCACCTAGGCGAAATCAATTAGCAGGCCTTTCGTATATCATCCCAATGCATTGACCACGTAGCAAACTTCAAACAAAAAGTCGTGCAAAGCGCAATCTGACAATCTAGTAGAAGAATATAACGTCAGGAGCGAGTAAGAGAAGACGTACTCATTGTGGCAGCCATATTGCCCGTTGACACACAACCTATCTCCCAACACCAATGGTTGCCACGAAATTGCGAAATTTGCTGGTCTTCCTTTCTTTATTCAAATATATCCGGTTCCTTCGTTTCTTCGAGAAAAAAAAGAGTCTTGTCAAGCTCGAAGGTCACGTCAAAATACTATCCAAACTGAGACGTATGATATCAGCGACGTTCACGGCAGCGAACAGGCCCAAATTGCTAGAATGAGGGGTGGAGCGAAGGCCAGGCAAAGGAGCAGCCAGGTAAAACGTAGGCAACAATGAGGATTTGAGAGACATCTTGGTGAAGATATCTAGGTGCAACTCACACAGGCAGGCAAATTATCCAACGACCTTCCACGAAGACTTTTAAGGAGACGACAAATCACGAAAAGACGAAAGCACGCTGGAGAGGCGGCTGACGCAACCCGACGAGCCGAAATGGACAGACAAAAACACACAGTCCAGAAGGGGAATACAGATGAGGGGATCTTCCGGGTCGTGAACGAGGCAGGGTAGCAGGAGGGAATGGGGAGAGACTCTGAAGTGAAGTCACTACACATTAGACAGTAGTATTAGTGATTGCTGGGACCGTGGCGGCCACTCGGGTATGCCGCGCTAATCCCAGATTAGCCGAAGCTCCCCCGGCGCTCAGGGATGCCCGCAGTGCCAGCACAGCGCCAGATGACGTTGATTATTAATGACTATACTCGATCCTCGATGCTCTAGAAATACGTGCCATTCCTGCCGTGGCGTGCTTAGCATAGCATTAGATATCTATCATCTATCATCTATCATTTATCTGCGGCTCGCTCGGGCGGGGGGAACCCGGAAATACTTCTTTACCCCCTGTTTCTGTTCAGAGGTCCTGAGGGGATTGATATTGCTAGCCTAGTTTACAACTCTCCAGTCCTATCACTGACGTGTGTTTCCTGACAAGGCTGTAAGCTATCCAGACACCTAAGGGGAACCTAGACCTGTTCCTGGCCGTGCCTGAAGCTCTTAGAGGAACCGTAGTGAATCTGTGCAGGCTACGCTCTATGCTCGTTTGGAAACGCCCTGGGGGTTCCCACTTTCTAGTCCCACGAGCTCGGGTTATACCATTGCTATCCACCATCTTGTAATATGCCAGTATAAACTGTCCTTCCAAGGAGCGTGACAATGTGCATGCCAGCAGAGGTCCAAATCGACAAAACGTCAAGGCGGTGTAGCGGATCACGCACGATGCGAGCAGAACAGCTAAGTAACGGTCACGACCGACGAGGAGCTAGATTTAAGTAAGTGTGTGAGATAACTGTACACAATGCGTCCATGTTGTTGGGACTCTCCGGCTGTTGTGAGCGTGGTCTGTCTCGTCAGCGAAGGAGGTTGGGGAGGCAAAAGCCCACCAGAGCAGGCGTCAGGATGATGCGAGGAGCACCGCTTCCAACCACAATGCCTTTTTGGAGGATATCGGTGATAAACAATAGCTCGAGAGCAGCGACAACAGGGACGCATGGGTGGCCGTTCTGGCTCCGGGAGGCTGCTCAATGCTTTCTTTGGGTGTTTCGAGCGGGGAAGGCACTGCTACTACGCGAAGAACGGGCAGCGATCCGGCGAACGCGAGCAAAACCCCAAGGGCGGCCAGCCATCCCGTCCCGTCTTCTTTTCCCCCCATCCCAGGTCAACTCTAGTCTTTCGCCCTCGCTCAATTCTCGCTCTCCCCACCAAATCCACCTCCAGCACCCAGACTATGTAGTTTCGCTGCCTGCTGCCAGACGACCTCCTTGGAACCGGCATCAACACTGCCCGACCTCTTGCAATTGTCTGATCAAATTTTCCCATCGGCCATTGGCCGAGCCCCAGAGCGCTCAAGTTCTACTGTCCTTCGTCCAGCGCGTGCGAAACAGCTTTGCTGTTAGTGTTTTGAGATCACTTCCTCAGCTGTCTTCCGAACGCTGGATCTTCTACTCAGAAGCCTCCTTCTACTGGACCCCCTCCCATTGCACGATTGAATCGTGACCATGTCCCCTCGTCGATCCTCTCGAGCTCGCACCACACAACCGTCACCCGCCCTCCTCCAGCACACAAACTCCAACAGCTCATCAGGAAACTCCCTCGGTCGTGGCGAACGAAGTACTCGCTCGAATCATAAATTATCGTCACCCCAGGGTTCCCAGTCCCTCGACGAGTCGGACGGCAAACCCGATCTCCCACAAACGCGCCAGCGCCAACATGCACAAGATGATGACAGCGACGACCTCCCCAAAGGTAACGAAGACGCTGATGCCGACGACGATGAGAACGAGGAGGAAGAAATAACGAGGTGCCTGTGTGGGCAGCAGGAGTATCCAGGACTCCCCCCTCTCGTCAAGAGGCCGTCTCTCAGCAAGGCAACCCAGTGGGAGGCAAGGAAAGCTCTAAGATAGCGACGACAGAGTCCGATCCTCTAAGCGATGAGATAGGAAGCATGTTCATTCAATGCGATTCATGCAAAGTATGGCAGCATGGCGGTTGTGTTGGTATAATGGACGAGGCTATGAGCCCCGATGAGTATTTTTGCGAGCAGTGTCGCAAAGATCTTCACAAGATCACCAGTGAGCCGAATGGGTAAGTCAGCAATGATTTATACAAATTGAACCACACATACGCTCTGCACGAGCTTCACATTTAGCTCGCAGATGACCACACTGCTTCCCCCCTCACTGGCATCCTACCCCCACCGCCATCTGACCTTTTGGTCCCAACGGCACAGTAATTTTACTTGTCCCAATCTCCCGCGATATCTCCTTCTATTATTTTCTTGCTTTAGATCTGTCATGGCTTAAATTTGCTATTATGTGGGAAAAACGCTTACGCTATCTTAGCCAATTTTCATCCCAATACCTACCCGTTGCGCCCGTTGCCAGCCCCCGGTCGCCGTCACGAGAATCTTCGAGGGATACATCGCGCCCAGCCCGTGACTCAAAGTCTCGCCAGAGCGATAATCCTAAACGCCGTTCTACAATGAATAGTCGGGATGCCGCTTACGACGAAGAGGAGCTCCTTCGACGGGCTATAGAAGAAAGTAAGGAGGAGACCAGGATGAGCAATGACGAGACAGGCTCTCGGAGAACAAAACGAAGTCGAAGCGACAGTGAAGCGTAAGTTGCGCATTACCTGTTACAATAAAAAATGTTTGACTGACTTCATCGTCCTTAGTCACAAAGAAGGTGTTAAGCGTCCCCGAACGAGCTCACAGTCACCCTCCGGTTTGTCAAATAGCAACCCCGCTTCACAACCAGTGTCTGAAGACGAGGAAAAGGCAAGGTTAAACGGTGCAAATAGACCTAAGAGAGCCCCTCCTGCTCGCAACCAACGAGATAAGGAGACAAAAGAGCCAGAAGAGCAGGAAACAGAGCGTCCAGAAACCGCCACCCGAAGGAAATCTCGATCAGAGAAGAGAAAAGGAGATGGTAAGAACAATCTTCATTAAAATTTATTGGTCACTTCTAACGGTGATGGTATAGAATCCGACCATGAAATCGAAGCATCACCCACAAAACCTCCTGCGTCGGTCCCCGTACCGAACGAGCCTGAGCCCTCAGAAACAGCTCCAGAAACCCCAATCCAACCCGCCGAGCCAGTGCCTCCTCCACGTCAATCAATACGAAAATCCGGTCGCCCTCCAGCCCGTCGAGGAGGTCGAGTAGGACGTAATCAATACACACGAGACCGTGACACTAATGGGGATAGTATCAACTCGCCAAACTCACCTCACGGGGGGCAATATCGTGATAATGGCCGAGATTCGCCCAATATGGGGGGGCCCAACGGAATCCATGCTAATGGCACAGAGACCGGAAAGGCCGGGAAAGCTCGTCATTTAAACCCTCATCGTACGTCAATGAATGAGATGAAGAGACGAGTTGCTGCCATTCTCGACTTCATCTCACGCATGCAGGTCGAGATGGCTGCGAGCGGGGAGACAGTGACCCCACCAGACGGCAATGGGAGTGGGAACGAGAACAGCTCTCGCACAGCCTTGGTGAAGGGGGTTCAGGAGCAATTGGGCAATCTGCTCAGCATGAACGGCGAAGGCGCATCCACAGACGGCTCCACCGCTTCGGTAACTGACGGCGAGGTGGCAGGAAAGGAGCGAGACTTCAAGGACCTCAGCAGCGTCGAGATGATGGACGTACTCACTCGACATTTACTGAAATGGCAGCAAGAGTACGGAAAGTATGGCGAGAAATAGATCCTCCCTACCATACTTACACTGTGTCTCCTTCTAATTATACCCGGCCTATTTAATTCGTCACGTGTCATATAAATGGTGTAGTTTTGGAGTTCTTCTCTGTGTTTTATTTCTGATCTCATTTCCACACCTGATCGATACCCAGGTACCGGTGTTGCTAGGCGGTTTTCCTCTTTTTTTAGCATGTCGTTTTACCTTCTACCTTGATTGCTCTTCATCATACTCCTCGCTCTGCATGTGTGCGTTTTTTTTATTGGTTATGGGGTGTTTTGATATCGTGTACTACTACTATATACCTGACTATGGAAATAAGTCCATAGAAATGCGTCAATTGCATGATTACCTAGCTTTGGGCCCCTTTTCAATGGCGGGAGATGGATACTGTTGAAGCAATATTCTACCATGATGGCAGCTAGGGTACATAACAGGCCCCTGGCGAGGTCATGCCTGATTTCTCCCTCCTATATATATCTACGTCTTCAAATTTGGAAATATCTTTATATATAAGGCGTTCCATATAAAGCGAGGCATCTTAGATTGATGTCTTGCCGTATGATTAATGGTTTTCTTACATATAATATATTTTGTCCAAGCAAGGGACATGTTTAAGCAATTAAATGTAGCATTATATACATTGATATGCCATGAAGTTATTTGGGGCTCTAGCTTATCTGTTCTCTGTCTTGCTCCCTAGCTCATTTGCTAGCTTTGAACAAGTATAAACCGGTGAAGATCAGCCCTTAACATTGATCTGTTTCAGTGCGCTGCATATAAGATTAGCTATCAATTGATGTAGGTTCACACGCAGATTAAGGCATGAATGTGCTGGCAATCCCTCAATATTGACGCGTGTTAGTATGTTGGCTATATTACTGTTTATCTAGGTGCGAGTGTAGGGCTTATATGGGGAGGTAGGGTTTATAAGCTTTAGTGAAAAAGAATTAGTAGGGGATGCCCTTTGAGCCATGTGCAAGTGCTTGGACCGTACTTTATATTAGTTCAAAAGATAAATGAATATGCAGGTGATTGAACCCTGCTCCCATCATGTCCCATAGTCCCACACCTGAACATACTGCCTGAGTCCTATTTCTGAAAACTTCCCAACATCAGATCCGCCATCCTCTCTGAGATACACCTGCAGTGCTCCTTGATATGTTTCTAGTCCCGCAGGCCTTCATCTAATACTTCACCCTGGCCAGATGCGTGCAGAATTTCCGCAACTCGCCAATGACATCAGCAAAGTAGCCCTTGGAAGATTAAGATGTTTTGCATCTGCAGTTCGCCGTAGTATCAAGCGGGTATCTTGAGGGAGAAGCATTTTGTCCAATTCTGGAAATCCGTCGTAGATTCTGATATCATACGTATGATCGAGATTCTCCTAATAGTCCATATATTCATTAGCGAACCAAACAACAGTGGGTTCTGAACCTTTTCTCGCGTGTTTGTGGTTCGTGTATTAATTATAGCTGTACGCTCTATATCCCCTCGTCTGTCAGAATATGGATAATCTTCGATACTCGGCGGCATTTCACTGATCTTAAATTTAGCAATATCCAGGATTTATAGGCATTGACTTACTCGGTAGAGCTAGCCCGATGGCTAGGTTTACAAAGACTGTGTGGATTTCATCGTCATCCTTGGACAATTGATGTCTTTGTGTACACCTGTCGAGTAGAAATTGAGGGTATAGCAAGGTTATCTTCATAGTTACGTCCCTGGCTCTGGTGCTGTTCTATTCGTTTTAGGGGTTTCTCCACAAGAACATCCAAAGATTCCATACTTTGTGGCTCGGTGGGCAAAGATGACAAAGTAAATCCTGACAGGTTAGATTCTGAGATCGAGGGGTGAAAGGGTTCAACGGAAACATGAAAATGACACATATGCCCACGTAATCCAAGACGTATATAAATGTCGGGCCATGGGACATAATGGGGGAAGGATTCAATTATCTGCAAATTCATCTTTGGAAATATTTTTAGATGTGTACGTAGTATGATCCAAACACCCACATAGGGCTCGAAGGACATCTCTCACTAGTTCTTTTCACCAAGACCTCAAACAACATTGAATGAGACTTCCTGTTGATTTATTGCACCTATCGTTTCAATATTGACTGAGATAAGAGTAATGCATTGCCTTTTACTACGAAATATAAAATATGATTACAAAGGAAATAAAGAAGAACTTGACTTCACGCGAGTCAGGCTCTAGCCATCATACATGTTCCATCGTATCCAATACAAAAATCCCAAGCCGGTTCCCTCCACCATACAGAAGACAAAATCTAATTCCTTTCATTACGTGGTGACGTTAAATAATGGGATGTTTAGGGTTGGCTGCCATTGACGTCAGCGGATGTGTGTTACACGGGAGTAGCCGGGACTAACCTTGCACGGTTGTTTAAAGATTTACAGTCTGGAGCCGTGGATGACCTTGTAGTCGACAACCAATTCACGGCCGCCATCGTTGATGACGAGTGCACGGACGCTTCCGCGGCCGTCATTGTAGGCGTCGCGGATGCGTTGGAAGAGGTGACCTTGGCTAACAACAGGGAGACTCTGCTTGACGTCACCAGTCTCGGTCATGGCGGTGATGCGGCCATCGTCATGGATGTCCAACACACGGTAGGTCTTGTAGACAGGACCAAGCATGGTCTGGACAACGACGGAAGGAGAGGGGTTAGAGACGAAGCTCGACTCCTCGTGAAGCTGGCGGGTGAAGAGGTCAACACCCAAGTAGCGGTGCTGGCCTGTCTGAGGAGAGACAGAGATACGGATCACCTGGCAAGGACGACCCTGGAGGACGAGCAAGTCACCAACACGGATGAAGTGGACGGGAATGGGGACGCTCTCCTTGTTGGAGGCACCGCCACGAGGCTCAACGACGCGGACATCCTCACGGACACCGGCACGGTAGCGAGAAGGACCCTCGACAACGACCTCTTCCTTGTGCTCGAAAGGGTGGAGGAGGCGGTCGGCAGCGCGCTCGACACCGCGGCGGAAAGAGTGGTAGTGACCTTCGTCGTCGTAGTAACCCATCTTGGACTTGGGGGCTTCTTCACGGATAGATTCCTTGGTTACAGAAACGTCGACAGGGGCGTAGCGACGGTCTTGGTTGTCAGTGACCTCGTAGGTGTCGCGACGGTAAGCTTCAGTAGAAGGCTCGTAACGACGCTCGTAAGAGAGATCTACTTCGTATCTGGGATCGATACGACGGCGGAAGTCTCGCTCGGTGATGTCAAGTTGGGACTCGAAAGCCTTGTCCTGAGCAGAACGTTGTTCTTCGAAACGGCCAATCGGTTCGCGGTAGCTAATGGGAAATGTCAGGTATTAAAAACACGGGGGCACGCGGAACTAATATAAAAAAAGAAAAGAGACAACAAAAACAGTGGTTGGTGGGCACTAAGGACTTAGGGGGGACCACGTAAGAGCTTGGCGTGTTAGACTGGTTGGCCAGTGGGGCTTGCCCACCGCCTGTTGCTGGCCTTCTGGTTGCTGGGCAGGAGTGCAAATCGTGAAAAAGAAAAGAGATTCTCATTATCAAAACAACGTACCGATCGCGAGAGAGCTCTACCTGGGGGTAGTCGGGGTATCGGTCGCGCTCTTCGTAGACTTTGGTCTCCTCGAAGCGGGCAGCAGGACGGCGGTCGTCGGTTCGGATGCGAACGTCAACTTCTTCCTTTCCGTAGAGACGGGGGTCAGGGAGTTGTTGAGCACCAACAGTATCTTCCCGTCTGACGCGCGAAGTGCGATTGATTTCGACCTCTCCTTCTACTCGGGTTTGAGTAGTCTCAGAGACAGCGTCACTCCGGTACGACGACGGGAAGACACTGAAGGGGATGGGTACGCGCGCCTCAAAGTCCAGATTGACTGTCCTTCGGGCGTCCTTTCTCGAATGCCTTTCGGACTGTTACGAAAACAAGTCGAAAGGCGAGACAAGAAAAGACTACTTCTGGGAAGAGTGGTTTGAACGGGGGGAAAAAGATAAGAGTTGGTGGAATGCACAACCTTATCTCGACCACGTTCTGGTAGAAGTAGAGTTAAAAGGGGGATCCTGGAATGGAAGCGTGGTGGTAAGAATGGAAGCAATAATGATGGAGAGAAGATGGAGGATAGGAATGCGAGGACGGGGTGCGGGCTTGTTTATGGGCCAGGGGGGCAGCTGCGGATGGAGGAGCAGCCGCTGCCTGAGGCCGCCGCACGGCGTGTGTCGCTGTGCTGTTTGTTGTGCCCGGGTAAACAAAGCTACGCCGGTTGCGGGCTAGCGGGGGGCTGCAGCCGAGGTCTCATATTGGGATTCGTGATTCAATAGCCGATTGGAATGGCAATCAGTTACTGCTCATGATAATGAGTAGTCACCAGACGCGTCTGATTGTATCCGCTGGTAGATTCTTTTGTGCGTGTACGAGTTCTCGCTCCCGCCCTGATGGCTACACGGTTCGTTACCTACATACACACCTGCAGAGGACAGACTACGAAAGACGAATAGTAAAGAAGAATAGAGCGTGGCAAATTCACATGCAGCCCAGGCCGTCGACCAGCCCAGACTGCCACAGCCAGTTCGCATCGCCAGGGTTAAACTAATCAGAATACGTCTCACAATAGCGTGAAGGCTGGCAGAAAAAGAAAGAAAAGTGGGCCCAACGCGTACCGTGTAGTCGCCATGGCAACTGGAACCGATCTACGCCTGATCGGGAGCTCAAAGCGTGGATCCTCCGATCGCCGCCGAGCTCTCATAGTCAATTGATTATAATTATTTCGATTTCCCAATAATACTGCGCAGCAAGTCAATCAATTGCTTATGCATTGCTGCTGAGTATGTGACGATTCCTGTATTCATTGCTATTCGTCTGAGAAATTAAACAGCCACTCGATAGTGTGCAGAGATATAGACTAGACTAGTTCAAGCAATTATGCTCCCAATGCATAGCTGGCTGCCTCATCCGCTGCGTGTTCGGTGATCATTGGCAACGACATGGACATATCCATGTCTCCTCGAGGTTATTGGCTATATCCCCACTGTGCTGTCTCAGACTATGCATGGCTGACGAATCAATCACTTTTATGATCAAGAGAGCTTCAGTTGAAGTGTGAAACGTGTGTACATGTAGATTAAACCTAATTAACTGACATTAAGCTATTATATCCATTCGAAATTCGAGCTGTTCGTGGTGAATAATATCACCGGCAATTCTATTGGTCGCCAATCCAAGACATCAATTCGATGCACTTTACTGATGCACTGTACTTCAATGTCAATCAACAATATCACAAAACGGAGTCTAATACATTATAATATAGTAAGGATAATAATGCATCAATAATGGCCATATATATATGTCCAAAGCATTTGTGTATGTGTGATCAAATCCAGATAATAAAGAATACGAGTCGTCCGTGACTGCATCTCGCATCGTAAATGTCCGCCGAGGCGGACTTGATACCGTGAATAATTTCACAAAGAGAAGGAAAAGGGGGAATTTTCAATCGAAGCGGCGGAATGTATAAAGAAAGATTCGTGGTATAGGACAGAGACAGGGTATTATAACATAGGGTTGGATGTCAAAAATATGTATTAAGAAATAAACAAGAAGAAATCATCGACCAGGTCACACGTTCAGTCACGCAGACCAAATGCTTTTCTGAGCAATGGAAACCGTTTTTTGCGGCCTGTCCTTCCAACAACTACATCAGATGCAGCCTGAGTTGCCTCGGAATCAAGGCTGTTTCCAGTACCGTGACGATTATACGAAGGCCGCGATGGAGAACCGGCGCTGATATCAGTGCGAAACCCACTGTGCACGATCCCATCTGAGGTTGACGGTCGACTCTGCGTAGGGCCTGGTGCGGTTGTTACCGACAAAGGTGACGCTGGAGGCACAGGACTCGCTTGTTTCTTGTGAAGTTTGGGAGACGTTGATCGGCCAGGTTGCGGACTAGCCCCATTAAATGCATCATCTCTCATTTGCGCAAGCTCCAACCGAGACCGCTCTAAAGGAGTGTCCCTCCTTGCAGCGCTGTCTAGTCCAGATTTGCGAACTTTGCCGTCTTTGCTTTTCGACTTAAACCGAGCCAGAAGACCTCGCTTTCTAGGCTGGGACAGAAGAGCGTCTATTTCAGCGGGAGACATTTGCGAGGCGGGTTTGACGTTACCATTGCGAGCACGTTTACTCTCTTCGTCGGAACTGTCCTCCAAATCAGTCGATTCACCATCGAATTCGCCCCGACGACGAGGGATGCCACGAACAGGTGTCAAATTGCTTGGTAATGGTTCCTCGTCACTCGAATCTGCAAAGCGACTCTGAAAAATTCTTCGACGCCCTTGACCTTCATCGTCAGAGCCACCGAACCTGGATATGCTGCTTGATGGCATAGCCGAGCTTTTCGGTCTTGGGAGTGGCGTCTTGCTCCGAAGACTAGCAAGCCCGGATGGAGAGCGGTCTGGAGGAGCTCCGCGCATGGTCATGCGCATAGAGGATGTCCGTGGAGAAGTCGATCTTGCACCAAGAGTATCTGCTGTAGACATGCTTACGGGTCTGGTTGCTCTCATAGTCCTCTTCATCGAATACTGGCCATCAACCCGAGAGGAGCGCCTGGTTCTCTTGAAACTGCTGTCTGAATCGCTGTCATAAGCGTTCGTGCTACTAAGACCACCTGGGAAGGTCATTGATTGTGGGATAGTTTTAGCGTTGTTGTGTTTCTTAGATGCAACTCTGTTTGGGCCTTGGGTCGCAATTGGCGGCGTTGTGTGCTTAGTAGCCGATATGGAGGATTGCACAGAAGTAGACAATCTTTTCTGAGGGCTTGGTCGTTGACCCTCACTCTTGTCCAGAGCTTTTCGCAAATGCGACCCTTGATGGGGGTCTACTGGAGTGGCTTTCGGCTTCGTCTTTGGCTGTGACTGTGATTTCAGGTTCAGCTTCGATAGAGTAGTAGAGGAACTATCATTGGGCTTAAGCGGCCAAGATGGATCGGAAGGATCAAAAGCTTCCTTCTCCACAGGTTTTGAGACGGCGAGAACAGGCTCGGGTTCCTGCTTTATAGGCTGAAACATTGGTGGGGAGGCCATTGGAGCAGTGGGCGACTGGTGTTCAGTGACCGTTGCAGCAGCAACTGGTGATATATGGGCAGGACTAGGGCTCTCGGGGGCCTGGGTTGGTGATTCAGTCTTTGCGGGAATGGGGCTGTCTACTATGGCATTGATCGAGCCAAATCCGTCACCGTCGAAGTCGTCTGGATCCTCGGCAGCGTCACTATATATGCTCTCTTCAGATTCACGATCACTTTCTTCAGAAGATCTTCTTGGCGTTTCAACTGGATTAGCTGTGATCTTTTGATCTTGTCTAGACAAGCTTCGGTCAGATGACGTTGGAAATCCGCCAGGCATGTTTTGTATGTCAAGACTTTTCCTATTTTCGGCACCAGGCGTTGCGGGCTGAATGGCAATTGTAGGGACAGCTTCCAAGGCACCATCAACATATGAATCCGTTGCTGGTCTGTTCGATGTGGCAGGGGGAGTAGGGGTCGGAGTGGAGTCCGATTCTTCGACAACTGTTGGGAGATGCTGTGGCATAGCGACATCTACCAAATCGATACCTTGTGAAATGTCTTTCGTCTCTAGTGAGGTTGCCTCAGGAAGTGAATCACTTGCTACCTTGGGCCCAGTGGATTCGCTTGGTTGTCGAAGAGCATTAACTAAAATGCCACCAAGAGCATGATCACTCGATACACCCAAGTCTCTAGGATCGGTATCATCTTCAGAAGACGAAGTGGAGATATTATCATCCGCTATCTGGGTGATAGGCTCGTCCGTTTCTCTTGTACCACGAATGCTGCCGAATGATGGTAACGCTGGTCTAGGTTTAAGGACAGACTCAAATTCGTCATCAGCAACGGCATTCTTGAATCCGAACTTCCTCTTGCCAATGGAGAACCAATTCCTTGGTTTTGTTTTCTCCGTAGGGCTTGGAGGGGTATCGATAGGCTCTGGAGAGGTAGGTGGGCTGGCAGCAACACCGACAATCTCGGGTCCGTCGTCAAAGCTGACTTTGACAGCTTTCTTTCTCGAACCGGTGCGAGATCCATCATCCGATGCTACAGAGGTGGCGTCTGAGATTTCGCTCGGAGTTTGCCCTGTTCGAAGCGCCGTATGGAGACGTCGATCGGGGGACGAAGAAATCTTCAAAGCCGGCTTTGCTGGTGACATGGATCGGGGCGGGGGCTCATGAATGGGCGATTCCGAGCTCACCGTCAAATGGGCCGAAAACCTGGCAGACCGGTTCGGACTGATAGATGGTTCTCTCTGAAGCCCTTGCCTGTCAATATTGTGAATGGCGGAGAGTCTATCTGAGGATGGCGAGGAAGGAGTCGATGATGGAGTTGAAGGGGACAAATGCACCGGAGAATACGAAGGTTTTTTCTCTGTTGTCTGCAAAGTTTCAATGGCTAGGCGGTTGGGAGTACGTTGCTTTTGGTTGTCATTCGCAGTTTCTGCAGTAGGTGACTGCACGGGCGACTGAACAGGAACGTCTACACTCTGCTTCGTACTCGTAGTTTCATATACTTCTGTTGCCTCTGCCCATTCTTCCGCTTCATAATCTTCCATCACAGTTGACGGCCGCTTTTTAGGTCTAGGTCGTACATTGTCGACATCGGTTTGAACACTATCTTCGGCAGCAATAACAGGGGATTGGGGTCTGTCATCGACAACAGGGCTAGAGTGTGTGATGGTATCGTCGAGTGGTGAGATTTTGGTAGATGGGGGAAGAGTTTCCACTTGGTTTGGTAGGGGGGTTTCCTGTACGGCTGTACCTGTCGGACGACTTCCCATAGTCTTGTGAGTCAAATGGCTCCCTTCTGTAGACCCGGGTGCAGACCTCTGAGGTCTCTTTTTCACTTTCAAACTTCCAGCTTTATTCACCGAATTCTGAATCTTCGCCACTTCTTCGGGGGACAGTGGCTGGGTGGGCGATTGCTCAGCCGAATTCCGGGTAAATTCATTTGGCACTGGAGAATGGGGTGGAGAATTAGGCCGGGCATGCATCGGGTACGAGAAATTAATCGATGTGCGGCTTGTCGGGCGATCAAGTTCAAGTGAATTCTGCTTCGCATGTCCACGCGGCGATGGGGGACTTGCAGCAGAACTGGGGACACGATCCAGGCTGGTAACCCTACCGCGCGCTGCTTTGTGAGATGGCGATGCCACTCGACCCGGTTGAACACTGAAAGAACGTCGAGCCTGCGGATTGGTCTCGGCCGAATACCCTTGGGGTAGGGCAGGCACGGGAGGCTGCTTTGCGATCACGCCGGAGCTGATTTGGGAACGACCAGGCGAGTTCTCACGAAAGGTCCTCGACGACATTGATCCCGAGCTGGGTGTGCGATGGAGGGAGCCACGCAGAGTACCGACCGCGGAACTACCCCGGGACGAGTTGGAAAGCTGCCGTTGCAGCATGCGTTTTGACTGGACATTTTCGACGGAAGTTGGGGTCGTCGTATGGCTTCGGAGTGCGGCGGCGGCGGCGGCGGATGATAGAGCCGCATTGGCTTCTCTGTTCGCAATGAAAGCTCTTGAAGCTGCTGTTTGAGCAGACGCGGAAGGGGTGTTCAGCGGCTGCGGAGATTTCAAGTCAGTCTGGGTAGATAAAGTATATCAAGGCATCGATATTGCTATCGATACAGGCCATCGAGTGTTGGGGTTAGCGATAGCATCACACCCAACCATACCAATTCGATTCTCCAAGCGAATAAGAGGAAGAAGACGAAGCTCAACAGCGGACACGTACCTGGTGACGAGACGAACTTCTGCGACGAAACATCGCGGCTGAAGCGATGGCGCCGGGGACGGCGATTGATGGGTTTGGCGGACGAACCGGCCTCTTTTCACGCAACAGGGAGCATCAGCAGGGCGAATGGTATGTACTGTGGACAAGTGCAGGAGCAGCAAGAAAGCAGTTGCTGCGTGGTGAGAAGCGAGAGAGGATGAGTGACGGCGACGGTGACAATAATGAAGGAATGTCGGAAGTGGCTCGTCAGAGCAGGCGCCACAGCCGATCAAACCGCCAAGACCAGGAAGTGCAGTCAGGAAAAGGCACGTACCCCGATCAGAGAAACGATGGGTGAAGAAGAATTCGTAATTATTAGGACTATTATTAGAGACCAAGATGCAAGAGGACAGAAGAGCAGCGATGCAGGAGGCGACGGGGTCAGCGCATTAATCAAGTTAATTGGCAATGACAGCTCGCGGGCGACGATGCGCACCCTGGGTTCCTTTGGGTTTGGGGATCGTGCTACTACTACTTGCTTGGTAGCACTAGCATCTTGCTGGCGAGTAGTCACTGGCCAGGCTGGAGGTGCCCAACCTTGCCTAGCTGGCTTTCCTGATTGAGCGGCCGTTGCGTCATGGTGGCCCTCTCTTCCAATCAGGCCGCGTTTCGTCCTGGCCGCCCCATAGCGCCTTCCCCTTCCTGGCCTGCCTCAAAATGGCCGTGCATCGACACCACCGAGGACGTGGCTGTGCTGCCTCATTTTCGATAACTTCATGTCAATTATTGCTTCTGCTGGCGATCGGCCGCTTGTTGTTCAATGACTAATTTACTACTATCCTTCGCTCTTGTGCCAATTGTATACAGCCATAATCGGGTTCCATGACAACGATGCTGGGCCAATTTGCGTACCAATGCAGAGCAAGGGCGAGATATATACTTGTATACATCTGCATACCAGCATAGACCTCGTCCTATATAGTAGCGTCTCGATATACTCTTTGGAATCATATCAATTGGCGTAGGTGCAGTATAAAGCAAGACAGATCTAGATCAGTGACTCCACCATGACGATATCCCATCACGTGCCCGGCACAACCCAGAATAAACTGTTGACCATCTCAATGACAAGGAACATTGTTCTACGCAGCTGGCACCATGTAGTGTTAACAACATGTCCTCCCGTCTAACCTCTCCTGAGCCCTCTCCCCTCCCCCTCCCCTTCGGTATCAAATCACGGCAAATCAATCTCTCGCACCGCGGCCATCTTTCCTACCACATCCTCGAGGCTGGCTCCCCGTCTTTGCCACTCCTCGTTCTCCTCCACGGCTTCCCAGAGATATCTTACTCATGGCGCAAAACTATCCTTCCATTGGCCAACGCCGGATATCATGTCATAGCCCCCGACCAGCGCGGTTTTGGGCGGACGACTGGCTGGGATACCAGGTCGTATAAGGACGTTGATCTGCACACCTTCTCGGCGACAGTGCTGGTGCAGGATATCCTTGTGCTTGTTGCCGCGTTAGGGTATACGCAAGTGAACTGCGTGGTTGGGCATGACGCTGGTGCCGTTGTCGCTGCAAACTGCGCGTTGATGAGGCCAGATATATTCCAGGCTGTTGTGCTGATGACGCATCCGTTCGCTGGGATACCGGAGCTGCCATTCGGGGCTGCGAATGGGGCAGAAGAGACGAGACGAGTTGAGGAGATGCCTGCTGCCACCGCTGCGATGGTGCATGATCAGCTGGCGTCTCTAGGTCGGAAGCATTATGAATGGTACTACTCAACTGCAAGGGCAAATGCGGATATGGTCGGGCCAGTCACTCCTGGTGGACTACGGGGGTTCTTCCGTGGCTATTTCCATGTTAAGTCCGGGTCATGGAATAGCAATTATAACACTCTACATCCACCGAGGAGATGGTCAGCAGAGGAGCTGGCCGAAATGCCGGAATATTATATCATGCCGCTTCAGAAAACCATGCCAGAGACGATCCACGAGATGATGCTTCGGGAGTTAGCAGAAGCAAAAGAATCATCAAAACAATGGCTCTCAAATGATGAATTGGAGGTGTATGTTTCTGAATACGCTCGGACGAGTTTCCAAGGCGGGTTGAACTGGTACCGAGTGTGGACGGGAGACTGTGGCAGCAGAACCAGTCTCATGCAGGATTTATATGTTTTCTCGGGACTGAAAATCAAAGTACCATGTTGCTTTATTGGAGGACAGAAGGATTGGGGAATGTATCAAGTGCCTGGCGCGTTGGAGAGGATGTGTGGCAGTAAGGAGGTGTGTGAGGATTTTCGGTTTTGCAAAATAATTGACGGTGCTGGGCATTGGATTGCGCAGGAGAAACCGAATAAGGCTGTGGAGGGAATATTGGAGTTTCTGAGAGGTGTGAATTGATTTATTGTATGATTTTCATATATATTTTATAGGATTCTCGCTTCATATGTTAAAAGTTACTACCTCGTGCTGCTCCAGGCGTACACATACATCAATTAATAGAAGATTGATGACAACTTCGAGATGTCATGATATCAGAGCAGTCACGGCCGACGCCAACCGATAAAGAGGGCAAAATGAAACATAAAAATATACTTTCACCCGTTCAACATTAAAGCCAAATAATCGAACCGAACGCCTGTGATCGCTTTGAATAAAGGAATGCTATGTACTTCGTCAAGCAGCAGAGACTGTAAAGGGTATATATGTATGTATCGTGCATCGAACAGGATTATGAGGGATAGTGAAATTGGCCAAGTTTTGTTTCCGCATGCTGAGTGCTATCATCTACATCAACAGCTCCCACAAGCTCATGGCGACGAGGGGAGTGAAAGAGAGGAGGGTGGTTGAAGTGATCGACGCGGCCGAAGTCAAGTTTGCAGTATAGACGTTCGCGAATTGGATGTCGGATGAATTAAAGCAGTTGTCAGGAGTGACCTGGACACAGTCCTTTGGTTCAGCGAACTCGATGTCAACGCACTAATTCGTTAGTTAGGGCTGCACTTGACACTGAAGAGTATGCACGTACATTGTACAAAGCAGCACCATGCTTCGCGGTTTCAACCACCTGAATCGTCGCCAAGTCGCCTACATTGACTGTGATATTTGCCGGCAGCGGCACTTGAGGAAGACAGAATGTGCCGGGATATGGATTCGCGCTTGGTCCGATGATTTGAAAAGGAGGGAGCATCGGATGGCTCATATTCGGCGGTGTAGCACCGAGGCCGAGATTGAAGTAGAAAAACGCCGTCGCATGGCCTTGGAACCAACCGGGCTGGACGGAGATTGCGCCGCCCTGAACAGGCCACTTGGTGCGGTTGGTTGATGTCGGCATTCCTCCGCCTGGTATTATCAGTATTGAGCTGTAGATAAATGAAAAGAAGCCATACAAGGATACATCCACATCATGCCGTATGGGAAGATGGAGGTATCGTTGACCACCGCTTGTCCCAGTCCATTTGCCTCGGCGACAGTGCCATTTGTTTGCAGATTGTTCCCGCGATAACCGGGATAGACGATGATGGTGTGTGCATTAATAGCCTGAAGTAGGAATAACGATAGAACAGCCAAGGCTGTCCATATCGATGGAGTTGATCGCTCGGTATGCATTATCTATGTACTCGAGGCAAGGCTAGCTTGGCGGTTGATGAGTTGTGGCTATTTAGATCTCAAGATCAACTCGAGATCCGATGAGGAAGAACCAGAATCTCCGTTTGGCGAGTTAATCCAGTCGATGGAACAAGACTGCCATATATGAATGCAAGAAGAGGGACACGAGCATAAAAAGAGGAGAAGTGAATAGTGAGTGGGAAAGAAGGGTCGAGAGACAAGCGCTGGGAGAGTAGAGCCGAGTGTGACAGAAAGCAGGTCTAGCCCACTATCACACAGAAGCCATTGATACCCATGGCGCGAGCCCCCCGCCGATTCGACAAACAGGGACCAGCATGGTAAACCGTCGGATGGACGGGTGCCGTATCTTCGTGGGCAATGCAGAGCGACGCCGCGGCGTGAGCGGCACCGGGATGGGCCGTGGGCGATGATTTGCCAGGCTAAGAGTTTAGAGTGACATGCTGCAAGTTGAAGGCTCACTGAAAAAAGTGCTGATAAGTTAGACTGGCGGACGAGCCAGCCAACAAGAAGGCGGATCTCCGCATCGCTGCAAGGTTCGTCACAGAGCGAGTGCAGGAGAAAAGGGCGCTGGCGCAGCTGATTTGCCGGCGGGTTGGCGCCCAGTCGAGCACTAGCAGAATGGCTCAACCTCCCCGCAGCTTAGCCCGAGTCGAGGCGCTTAACTGCGAGTTCTGTGTGGACTGTATTCTCTGCTTTGTACATCCTCACATATCACCCAACTCTTAATTAGATACTACTCCTTCTGAGTCTGCCGATCCTTGGATAGCTCGCCGAGAGGCACGTCTTGGAGCGGCAGTTGTCGTTGCGGCGCAGACCTCCAGCATTGTTCGTAACTTGCGCAGTAGAAATCCTTTTTGGCTTGGTAATAGATCTATACTGCAGCAGCGCACCCAGACGCAAGGCCATCTTGCTTTGATAGTGACCAGTATAACACTCCTACATGTAAGCGTTTGCACAATGGCTATGATGAAGAATGAAGAACGAAGAACGAAGAAGAATGATTGAATATGATTATTGATGCCAGTGGAGAAAGAGCGATGCCCCGCGCTAACCAGCTCCGGCTACCACAGTGATTTTCGCGGAGCATCCAATATCAGATTCACTCCGATTGACAGTATCCATTGCCAAGTATCACAATCAACCAATGGGCCAATGTAGTCGACCAGAGCAGCGGCGATTATTTGGAGTATGCCATTCTTGTCACTAGCCACATCCCACCACATGTATTGCCACACTCATATCTGCACGCCATGCCTCATACATCGCGTAGACACAGAAAACCCGCACCCAACCATGGCAAGCGCATCCAGATCACCGACGACGACGGCTGGGTGCATGTCGTGAACAGCGCGCAAACAACAACACGACCAAAGAAACAACCGTCAAGATACATCACGACCGACGGCTCATCTGACGACCACACAACATCACCATTCTCTTCTTCGTCAAACCCTAATGCATCATCCTCACATCAAGACAAAATTCTCCCGGCCGAAGCTCCTCCAAGGCTAACCCTCTCGGCGCTCCGCCTGAAATTTGATGCGGATCTAGCAGCATGGCAGTCATCAGGTACCTGGCAGCTGTTGAAAGAATCATTAGTGCGCATTCTATCAACAGTCCTGAACAGCCCGAATGGTGACAGCAGCAAGATCACCAACGTGGTCTGCATCGGCCTTGGATCACCCAGCGGGCTGCGTGATGGCTGGGTTGACCGGCGTGACGTAGCGTCGTTTCAACTAGCAGCTCTAGTCTCGCTAATCGAGCTTCTAAACGAGCAGCAATTCTTGAGCAGCTTATATCAAGAGAAAAAGGAGGAATTGGACATGAAGTTCGTCGCGCAAGATCCCATATTCAACACCCTCGACAAACAGCTCCTTTCCTCCCTCGGCATCAGTGTCGTCAACAGTCCTGATGGGTTTACGGCTGTGTCGGCGAATACATTGCTCTTTGCGCCGGGTGCCGAAAAGCGGCATCTGGAGATGCTGTTACCCATGGACCCGGTTCTTGTCTTTGGTGGGCCGTTAGAGGAACATGCTCCTTGGTTCTATACCAATGAGAGCCATGATCATGGAAAAGGGGAGTTGAAAAGGTTTTTGGAGGGTAGAGAGTCGGTGCAATTGGCAGAGTTTGGGCCTAAGCCGGAGGCCTTCTGGCGGATGAGGGTGTATTGGAGGAATAGGTATGAGCTCAGGTAAGTTTGAGTAGTTAACTTCTTGCATAGACAACTTGGTTATACATGTACATTAATAGAACTTTTTTGAATATAACACTGGAAAAGTTACTGTCCGAGAAATTGGAACCGTTCATTCGTTCATAATAATAATAATAACACAGGCTCAAGTAATGGTATGTAGTGGGAGCCACCAATAGAATCCAAATATTCACAATGAAAGGCTCAAAACAAGTAGTCCTACTCAACGCCAACGCTCAAATGAATGCTTCCCATAAACGCCAGGCCATAGAACCCTCCTTCGTAAACATAAACGTATGTAAATTTGCAAATTAAACTGTCTTCCCGCCACAGTCTGGAATTGTCAGACCGGATTTGAGATTCCGCCCAGAGTCCAGCAGCCCCCATTTATCCTCCCACTCTTTGCCAGGGGTGTTATATTTGACTTTCCAGGGTTCATCAAAAGCTTCAAACCTATGAAGCATTAGTATGATGCTTGAGAGCTTGGTTGAAGACGTAGACTTACCAGAAATACTTGGTGCCGTTGTTCAATGCTTGGCATACCCAATCCGACATGAATTGATTCATTTCGTCAATACCAGCCACAGAGCCGGAGTCATTGCCACCACCACTAGGCCAACCGACCTCGGATATAATGGCGCTTTTGCTGGTCCCGGATATTAGTGAGACATCGTGTTGGTCGAAGAAAGTGGCCGTCCAGGCTGCTGCTTTATCGACCTGGACGCCGCCGAAGAAAGGGTGAACGTTGGCCATGACTAGGTCGGAGGCCGCTAGCAGATCAGCATTCCAGTTGTTGCCAAGATCAGATGTTGCAACTGGGATTTTCAAGCCTTTTGACGTCAAATTCGAACGCACACTCTCCATGTATGATGTGAGTTTTTGTTGAGCAGTCGATTGGTCAGAAAAGCCACCGGAGTATAACACTTCATTGCCGACAATGACACCTTCGATAATAGAAGTATTATTCATGCCGTCTATCACGTCATATAGAATGTCGATTTGCCGGTTCACAGTCGTCTCGTTTGAGTCAACCCACACGCCAAGCCACAGCTTCATATCTGTCAGTCCCAAGCGATCAATCGAGTGCAAGACCATTTGTGTCTGATTGCAATCTGTCCCGTAAACACGGACGGTATTTGTAAGCTGCGAAAGAATTGCCATATCCCGAGTCACGTTGTTCGGGCTGGGAGGATATTCTAAACATAGGGGATACTGAACGCCCCAAGAAGTGTAGTCCATGCCGTAAAAAACCCGATGCAGATTGTCGTTGTTCAAAAGTTTCTTGATTTCAGGTGAGTTCTTGTCGAGATCTCCATTTGTAGCTATATCACCTGTAGCGGTGTTAATATTCGTACCAGGATCGTCGCTGCCATCTCCGCTGCTATCACTCCCTGAATTACTTGTAGAAGCATTATTCTTCCGACTCCCAAGAATTCCTCCAACGATCGCGCCAACAATGACAGCGATAATAATGAATCCCACCAGTAGGGTCATCAACCACCTCTTCCTTTTCTTACTCGCTGCGGCGACCTGCTCATCTAGATACGGGTTCTTCTCCCCTCGCTGGGCTGCTGCCTCACCACCTGGAACAGGTCCATACGCAGTAGAACCGCCACCACGTAGGTTATTCATGGCACCCAACACGCCTCCAGCAGCTGCACCACCGGCCGCTCCAGCGACAGCTTCTTGACTCGACTTTTTCCCGAATAGCCCTGATCGTCGCTGTGGTACTTGTATAAAGCCGTCATCCCCGTCATCTGCAATTTCATCTGGGTTTATTGATGCTGGGTCGTGGCCGTTGTAGGAACTATACGGTCCGTCATACAGGCCACCACTGGGGTACCGAGGATATGGCTCTCCCACACTCAATTGGGACGGATTTGATGGCGCCAAGCTCGGTGTACCGCGAGATGGTGTGAAGCTTGCTGCCAGAGGAGCAGCACCACCTAGTGGTAAGCTTGAGTTTGATGGGTATGAGTATCGCGCTCCTTGATCAGCTGTCGACGGGCCGGTAGGTTGGTCCGAATACGGGCCCGGGGGTGGAATGTATCGAGTGTCTATGTGATTTCGATCTGATGGGCCATCGTAATAATGCTGCTCGCGCTCATCGATTGAGCGCATGGCCTCTAGGCCACTTTGTCTTTCATTGCGACTTGCAACGCCGAATGCAATCCCACTAATGCCGCCGCCCGGGGCGGCAGCGCCCAGGTTGTCCATGCCGGGAGTAGCGCTGGCGTTTGTGCGTAACGAGTTCGAATGCGTTATCTGTGGAGCTGGCGCGTCCTGTTGTTGACTCCGGTGTTGAGGCGGCGATGGCGGACGGTTCATTGCATCGATGTTGCCAAATCGCTGCGAGCTAAGCCTTCCGTAGGCACTGTCAGGATGAGCAGCTGGATGAGCAGCCGAGGGGAAGTTGCGGGACATGGAGTGCTCGGACACGGGAGAAATCTGGCTCGAAGCACTGGGGACGTTGGAGTCGATGGGTGACACCTGGTCATGGGAGGACGGTGAATGAGGCCGACGAGACATGGTGATCACTATATACTTGCTTGCACTTTTCTCTTTTCCGTCTTCTTTCTTGGTGTTTGATTAATGGCGTCTGGGTGGGCGGCAAGGAAATCAACCAAGCCGCGGCTGACTACCTGGAACAGTACAACGTGGTCGAAGCAGCCAAAGAATGTGGAGTCTTAGTACGTATTGATCGGCTGGAACGCGTACCATTGGCAGTAATGCAATCAGACAGCGGTCATGGTCGCAGGAAGGATACAGATACACAATACAGCATATAAGTGCTAGGAGGAGGAGGAGGTAGGAGGAGAAAGTAAAGAGGGCAAGACAGGCAGGCAGGCAAGACAGAGCCCGCCAGGTTGCCTGAGCGATCGGAGCAGTAGTGGAGTCTGGACAGCCACTCAGAGCCGCCGCTGAGTCTGACACGCCGTAAATAACTACCACAGCCTCGCTTCTGGCAGTCTGATCACATTATTAATATACATTAATATATTGCTTAGCGGGTAGAAGTACACAATCACAAAATGCAAAGATTCATACTGCCCTTATTATGGGGGTCAATTGTTTTTTATGTGATGTCTCCACCAGCCGAAGTCGATCTGTTTAGTTCTTTCAGCCTCAGATTCCTCACAATGAGCTCCATTTTCCATCACAGATTAAAAAAGGGGCTGCAGATTATGTCCTGATAAGTCGACATTGTTATACCCACACGGATATGACATTAATACTGGCGTTTGATATATATGATTCGACAGGCATGGGTGAGGGCTACTATGAGTCTGTCTGCGGGGTCCACCGGATATGAATTCATTACTGCTAATAGTGTTTCCATCAATCATCCAACTTATTGTTTACATCAATCATCTAACTTGTTGTTTACATGAATCGTCTAACTTATTGTTCTGTAAAAAAGCTCCCTTTCTAGGAATGGGAATAATCGATAATCGGAAATCCGCCAACAGGTGAGACTAGGTTCTTCTCACTGAGACAAACATAAGACAAGCCCTGCCGGTGGTGCCAAAAATAGAAGGCCCACTCTGTTCCGCTGCCGCCGAGGCAAGGCTCAACGGTCGATGCTTGCTTGACATTCACTGAATATTATCTGAGATTAAAAATTGATACAAACTTACTAATGGTATGTTCTTGGGTCGTTAACTATCAGACAAACAAAGGGTCGATTACCCATTTGCTTAGATTTTGATCTGCATCATGTAGGAGCAGGCTGAAGGATATTTGGGAGTGGTGGGAAATTAGGGCTAAAACGAATACGAGTGAGATACGAAGTAGCCACTATCAGGGCATCAAAACGCCATTACCTGTTTAAGTCCATGGAATTGGTGTATTTGCAACTGGCTCGTAGCGGTTGGTATGGAAAACATTAAAATACTCCCTCTAAGTTCAGTTTGATCACCTGTATTAATCACCATATTCGCAGCCCAAATAATCTTATGGAAACGAAATGAAAAATAAAGATAGAGAATAGAATGAAAAGCAAGATAAAACAGAAAATAGGAAAAAATAATGTATCCCACAATATCACATATCCCATCCATAGCTAACATTCACATGTAGTCGTTTCCATAGCTTTCCCAACCAATACACAACAACCACTTTTTGTTTTGGGTGATAAAAAAATTCCTGTATCCCTAACCGGAAATCTGCCCAGTGGCAGATTGAATGACAACTCCGATTTCCCACACATAAATAAAATGCCATATCTCATATCCGACATGATCTGAGACAACTCTGCGTATGAAACATCAAACGGAAAAAAGTGAAAAACGCAGCACAAATAAAATGAAAAAAGAGCAATGGGTATATCGGTGTCGATAGGGACTGGATATTTTACAGAGTACAAAAAACACCATGTCCTAAAATGGTCATGGTTCGGTAAGGACAGATAGAAAACGTATACAGATATTGAAAGGATTTGAAAGGGTGTAAAGAAGAAATGAAATCACTCAGGGCAGAGGGAAGAAAGCTTTCAAAACAGATGTAAACCCTACCCTGCATCGTACCCATTGTCGTATCTTGCAGGTAAATTAACAATCGCTAGCCCTCGACTTCATCTGCCTCATGTCGAGAAGTAGAAGGGATAACGTCTGCGGACCTAGAACTAGTATCATTCTTTCGACTACGTCCCCGCCACTTACGTTTCCCTGGTCGAGTCTCAAAGTGCGACGCAATTGATTCTGATTCTTGTCCTGCGCTAAGCATTGTCGTGCGCATCTTATTACGGTATGCGTCCACTGTATCAAAAGTCAGTCTGTTGCAGATACCATGAAAGAACGTGTGCTCACGGGATCGTTGCAGGAACCTTTGTCGACCCGCAAATACCCTGCTTTGACTCCAGCTCATGCGATACCCAAGATCATTCAAAACTTTATCTTTATGATGCCGGGTTCGGGTAAGTCGTGGCACCGCATCGTCTGATTCACCATCGATTGTAGGGGTTGGAACCAGTGTCCGCCCCATTGTTACAGATCCGGCGGTATCTTCGTCGCTCTCATCGTCTGCATAGCGCTTGCCAGGAACAACACGGCCTGGTGGGCTTTTCATTTGTACGGGGAAATAAGCCCGAGGATAAACCGCACTCGATAAACGGTAGGAATCGGGAATTTCATTGACATCGACTTGATCTAACATGACTTTGACCCGAACACGACAGTTGCGCTGAGGGTCATCGACAAGAATAAACTTGCGACGCTTACCCTCTGGAAGACTGCCGAAAACGTCCTCATTGTCTGGATCGTGCATTTCGTCATCTTCATGCTCTGTAGTATCTCCTCTTCTAGAAGCAGTAGCAACAGAAGGTCGACCGAGAGTGTCGAAACCTCCACCAGCTTGTAGAGGCGGAGCCATCGCTGGAGCACTGGGGGCGCCAGCACTGTGAGCAGCTGCAGGGTATGTCGGAAGTCCATGAAAAACATGTCCGGAACGCAAATCTGGGGTCTCATGGATGTTGCGGGTCGAAGGAGTCGCGCTGGGTAGAGCAATTGAAGGGCGATGAACACCGTTCGTAAAATCAGTGCCGCCTATATGTTTGAACATTGTGCGTTGGGATTAGCCTACGCTGTCAATCAAAATAAGGCAAGGAGTAAAAACATCACAAGTCACTGAAAATATGACAAATCGGAACAGAAGTGAAGAAGTAAGGTGGTACAAGAAAAAGAAAGATAAAAAGCCGTATGTCCCCCAGGGATCACGTCGTCCTTAAAAGAAGTATACAAAAATATAACACATGACACCATACACTCTCTAGCACCATAAGACTCATTCTTTCACCTCTCTCCAGACAATTGAGACACGCACCCCGGGTAAAAAGGGACACACGGAAACATTAATTTAATTAAATAACGTTTCAGTACCGATGGAACATACCGCTAACTTGATCATTTCCAGCAGGATTGTCAGTGTGAGCATGGTGTAAAGGCGAAGCCAGAGGCATCGGGCCACTTGGACGAGCGCTTGGTGCCAGAGTTGTACTGTTGCCGGAAAGAAGGTGTGGTAAGGGGGTTGAAGGGGACGGAATAGGGTTTGGCTGAGCTCCCTGACGCCGGTTTATCTTCGCCATTCGTCGAACCCTCCGGCTGCGTAATCGAGGGTCCTGGTTACTATTTCGCCAACTATCTACTGCTCGTTGTATCAAGCCTCTTTTTCCTCGTAGTGGAGGGTTAAGTTCTGCTAGTGCCCAGCCGACCGCATTGCATTCGGTTTCATAGACTAGTCGATTTCCTCGGTATTGATCTTTGCTGCAGCAAGCCCGGGGGTAAACACAATTCTCGGTTTTGAATTCTTGCGACAAACTCTCCACATTAACGGACTCGACATCACAACGAATTGTATATTCCATTTTCACGCGGTCTCGAGAGTATTCGAATGCAATCCACTGTACACCATTACTATCCTGCCGTACGACCAATGGAGTTGTTGCTGGGATTGGCCCAGGTGCAGCATTAGTAGAGTTTGGGTTAGGTGTCTGGTTAGCTTGTGCACTACTCGCCGACAGAGGCGGAACCGGTGTGTTCGGGGAAGTAAGACTCGGGTTAGGCATTTGTGGTCGCTGAGTTTGGATAGGCGTACGCTGCGGAATAGTCTCTACATTGGTTCGAGGACTATTGCTAATTGCCGCGCTATTCATGGGGGACTGGTGCGGTTGTGCTGTTGAATGTGGAATAGGAGCACTCTGCGGAGGCATCATTAACGGCTGTGTCGTTAAGGGTTGTTGAGGCGGGGGATGGTGCTGTGCATAAGCGGGATGAACTGAATTCATCGGAGAGTATGGTTGATAGCCGTACATCTGAGGTGCCATTTGGGGAGATTGCGCATAAAGACTTCGTCCATGCTGATCATGAGTTTGAGGTGATGGTACCGAAGCTGGAGAATTTGATTGGGGCGTATGATAGATAGGAGGATATGGCCTCTGCATGTGGGCGGCTGCAGCCATTAGATCTGGAGGCCCTTTGAGATGGTTAGCTGACTGTACCAAATAGTCCCAAAAGCTACAAAAATCTCAAAAAATTCTGAAGCTGTTGTGGAAAGTTTCTTTAATGTCGAGCAAATTTTTCGTTTGTGGCCGATCTCGATGCAACTGCTAGTGCTGCTCAATTTATTTTTGCAATATCAAAGTTAAGAGATCGGGCTGTGATATGCTAGAAAATACACGCATACTAGAAGAATCCGTCAACTTACCACTAGAGGGATATTGAGTTGGAGTAGTCGTAGCCGGATAAGGATTCGAATGTGAAGCGTAGTAACCTTGGTCCTGCGTTGTACCGTGGTAGGAAGGATGATGCGGTAAAGGTACTCCGTTTAGCCCTGTTGGTGCCGAGTATGCACCAGCTGGAATATTTGTTGACTTTTGGTGTGGAGATTCTGGCGGCTTATGTTGTTGAATCAGACTAGGTGGTCGGTGATGTTGAAGAACGTGTTGATTATTCCCCCCTAAGTGTCGAAGCTATTGGGAAAACTGTTAGCATGTACACTTTTAATGAGATTTCGGATTGAAAGTTAGATAGACAGGGAGAAATAATGAACGACCGGAGTAGTAGAGGGACGATTTGAGAGAAATTCTTAGGAAAATGATGACATGAACCAACACCTTCTCCAAAAGGAAATATACAAGGGTGAAAAAGATGGGTGCTAAACCCGTCCTCAACTCATTCGATCGCAAAGTCCGGGGATAGACCGGCGCGTGGAATTCAGTCTCGTGCATGCAATTGAAAATATTTCATGTCAACAACGACCCTTGCTGAGCGTGGTACCACCTATCTCCATTTTAGAGTATCTGCATTACTAGATCGAATGATTCGATCTGCAGTATAATGCGATGGTAGTTTGGAGACGGGAATTAGGCTATCCTCGACGAGTTGAGAGAATATATGTTGTCTTTGCAGCAGAATTGTTTCCCAATGATGAGCCCTCGCAACAGATAGGTGAAGCGTGAATAATTTATAAAGGTGATATGCCGTATCAATATGAAAGTCAAACCAGGCGCCTACAGACAGTGAAAAGTTGACAGGTCATGATTGAGAGGACCAGTCAATCTTCCGTAGCGCAATCTGACTTGTGATGGGCTTGAAATGCTAGCAGCAAGGAACGTCATATAGAAAGGGGAAAGAACAAGACATTTGCTCGGAATTTCAACGGCTCGAGGCAGCACGCACTCAGTCACAATAATGAATCACCCCAACTCCCTTGCCCGTGGGAGCGCACAAATTGTATGTTTTGTCAATGCAGCGCACTATGAAGGATAAGGAGAACACGTATAATTGTGTAACCCGACGAAAACGCCGGATAGAAAATTAATCGCAAAAGTTATAGAAATAATCAACACGAAAAAGAAGAATAAAAAAAGATGTCCAAAGTCAAAATGCGTATAGAGTTTATGGTGTGGGGTGTGTGTTGGGTTGGTTCTTTGCTTTTTCTCACACACGCGGCTGTGTTTGGGTAGAAGATCACAAAGACAATGAGCACAGTTCCCCGGTTACGCCAGAGGCCTGTGATTTAAAAGGAACAGGCTTGTCGGGTGAAGGGTAGAGAGATCGATACCAATGAAAAGTCAGGAATGTAAAGTTGTCAGGACTCACCGAGTCTTCTGCTGGATTATCCTTATACTTGTGAGCTGGCGGCGGACCGAGATCAGGCTGCACCACAGCAGTCATGGTCGGACTGCGCGTCTGTCCTGAGAAGATGTACTTGTCGTGACGAGCAGACAGAGGCAGCAGGGAGTGCTAAACGACAGGACAGGTCGAACGATGAAATCTCGGGTCAATGAGATCAGAGCAGCAAAGTGTGTCGCAGCATGCGCAGTTAAGGTTTTTGGTTGCGTTTCGGGTAGCGACGAGGATCACCGCAGCAGCATCAAAGCACCAACGGTAGTGAGCAGGGAACTAAAAAGAGGCTCCCGCAGCGGGTAGGGTGAGACGGGGGGCTTCGGGGCCAGCAGACAGTGAAAGGGCGCCGAGCAATCGCATTGATTGACTGGGGTAGTACCACCAGAGAGAGCGGCGTGTTGGTTTGGTGAGGGAGAAGATATTTCAGGCAAATGGACGTTTGGCGGTGGGAAAGGGTTGGATGATAGTCAATAAGAATACATCGAGGCAGAAGAAACGAGCAGACTTGGTAGAGACCAGAGGGGATGGAATAATCGGATAAGAGACTAAGACTGTGATAGGATTGGAGAGGAGGATGGGCGAGGGAGCAACGAGTCCAGCCAGACACAACAGTTGCAACGAGGATGGCGCTGGACTGGCTGATGCAGGGTGGTTCAGGGTTGGTTATTAATATGAAAGAACTAACTAATGAGCTGATATTATTATTTAGGATGGAGGAGGAGGAGGAGGTGGTGACAGGTGCAGCTGCGTCCGTCGTAGTGATGGCCGCGATTGCTATTTTGTCCGGCTGGCCGCCAACCACAGACAGGGAAGGTACGACCTCGACTCCCCGATCTGGTAAGCGGGCAAGGGCGTGGCAGCAGGGCCAGACAGGGCAGGAGCTGAGAGTGAGGCCTAGACCACATCCAGCAGCCACGATCATAGTCAACCACGCCAATACTAAATAGTACATACTGTATTGTGTATTGATGCGCAGGACGATGCTGGGAATACTAACAAGATTCAACGGCATAACAACGGCCAGTGCAATGGCGATTCGGCGATGACACATTACAAACTTAATTCGAGAATCAATGGAGCGAGCGAGGGTAAAAGTCGAACGTGCATGGACCTTCCTCACCTTCGTTCGCAGTGGTCGAAGCCTCGCAGCAGCAAGCAGCGACAGGTGGGGAGAGATGATGGATGATTATGATTAACTAACTTAACTATGGGGTTAGGGGGAGAGAAAGGACGTACAGTGGTATACAGTAACGTGACGTAACGTAACAAACCGGCGGCTAGTGTAAGATTCGGCACTGGGCGTATTGGGAAACGATGTCTTAGATGATTCGTGCTCGCGTATGAAATGCAGGAGTTATTATTATCATCACCATCATTCATAACTATCATGCATAAGTGGGAGCACGTACTGGCAGAGTGACCGCTGCACGCTGCACGCTGCAGGATGGATGCGCCATTGCCCTTCGAGAGCGGCCAATGCTCCGAGACGGCCCCAGACTGGCAGAAGCTGGGTTAGACGCTGGATGGAGATGATGTGCAGTAGGGTGCAGCGATGCGTGGAAAAGCAAGCCGGCGGCTGGTCAGTGGCCGCTGACCATTGGCGTGTCCGTACCACGCGGTATTGTTCGTATTATTACGGTCCCGCCGACACGCCGCCCACCGACCCACGCCGTATAAACGAGAAACTTATGATTATGATTATTATTATTAACGATTGTGATATTAAAGTGAACAAAGAAAGCTTAAATGGTGGCTTGCGACGACGGCTGGTTGCATGGTCGGCCTGCGAGCCATCCAGCGCGGGCCAATCATGGGCGGCCGCTCGATGAAAATCGCGCAGGGGTGTCAGGGATAATTATTAAGGAGATGAATTAGGATGTAATTACATCCCTGCTTGCAAGTACTGTATTTTTATTGCTCCGGTTGGTTTGTTGTTATGATGGACAATAATGTTGTTGCTTGGTTGAATCTTACGAATGCGTGCCTACCCCAGTGCCAGGATGCCCAGGGGGGAGTTGCTCGTCGATGGCCGATGGTTCGGATCGAAAAGAATTGCTACCGTCGATCGCGGTCTGTGTGCGTATCCATAATCCAGAATCCATAGTCCCATACAAAACGTTATTGACAGCGGGCCGTTTCGATATGCCTGTCCCCTACCAACTACTGACATTATACGCCGTACCTGATGCTACGATAGGTACCAGTCCTAACAGAACCCAAACAGCCCGCATCAAACCCACCGCCCACATACTTAATATAATAATGAGACCCTGAGCGGAGCCTCGCAATCTCGAATGACGGGGAATTGACTGCAAGAGGTCAACCGAGCAAACTCCGTTTGTGCAGTGGAGCCAATATATGGGCCATCAGATGGACGAACTTTTGAGTGAAATCATCCTCTTCTTCTTTCATAGCGCCGGCTGTCCAATCAGCAGGTGACTCATACCATGGATACGGATTGGCGGCGCAGTCATCGATCGCAACGATACTGTTAACATGATAACAGGCAAATCTCGGTTAAAGATGGTCATTTGTAATTCGCCAGCGACAAAGTTGAGTTGCAACCATTCAAGTTCTATTTGTGGAGCCGGGGAATTGTTGATGTCATCTCAGCTCTGCGACCTCCGTAGCTGCAACATTGATCATCCTTCAAGATCTCTCTGCGGCAGATCCCGACGGCGCGTTGAAATAAAGCAATAATAAATACAAGAGAAGAAAGGACACATGAGTTCAATATACCCTGCTGCTCGTCCAGAGTCTGCGGTCTACATGGTCATCTGCTATGAACAACGACTTATCTCAACATTATGCGTTTATAACTAAGATCTCCAGCGCTATCACTGTTTTCTCTCCAACGGCAGAGTCCGACGTCGGCCGAGTGGGCCTGGCCGACCACAATAATGCTCATTATTAACACTGCCCTGATATATATTATCAGTGAATACTAGTGAATATGTTCCGTGAGGAGGCCTCGATCTCGGGGCGATCGTGTGGGCGCTGGCTCTCCATGCTCATTACATGTTGCCGAGGCGATTCGGAATCAGCACAACTGTTTGACCCTGAGTCTCCCGAGCCCGAGTCTGGATCGTAACTAATTATGTAGTGTGAGTATGAGGCACGAACGTTAACTCCGTATCCGCCTTTTCTTCCAGTGTAATTTCTCCACTTGCCGCGGCCTGGTGATTGGCATAACGACTGAAAAAAGAGTAGCAGATCAGGCTCTAGAACCCCCACCACAACGACCAGTACGGAGTTTTTTGCCTGAGGCACTACCAACCTGGGAGAGGAGGATCCACCGCAGCGGCAGCTGATTGGACAACATGGTAGCGACAGACCGGCAACGAGCCCACCTCCCGAAGCCCCGTGTAAATAAAGTCGAAACAGGCTAACGGCGCTGTGGCGTCCATATCTGACGACGTTGACAATCGTTCCGCCAGCTCCGGTTAGCAGAACAGGCAGTTGTTGGCAGCAGATCTCCCAAGATTAGCCTGCCCCACTGCTTGCTGCAATGCGGTTGGTCTGCGCCGCAATTTCAACAGCAACAGCTGCTATCGCACATGCATCCATCCTGGCAGCGTGGCTCTGCGAGGAGGCCATCAACTAACACTAGCCAATCACGCGAACCGAATGCATAAAGTGGTGTGGATTGGAGCTTGCCTGTTCAGGCAGTATCCGCTGGCTTCCCCTCTCAAAGTCCCAACTCCCACTATATCGCTTCGCAGTTCTTAGTCCTATTCCAGTACGCACGTAGTAGCTTCTAAGTGAATGGTCCAGCGGCTCCACTCCTTCTAGGTTCCGTCATCAGCCGCTAACACTGACTAGACTCTTGAATCCCACCTCCAAACATCCGCAAACAAAGCGCATCCGGCGTGATCGTCACCACCAATAACGATTTCGAACAGACTAATGACAGGGCACCTAAGGGGAAAGAGTTAATCAATGCGAAGCAGCACCGCAGCCAGAGCGGGGTGACAGAAAACGATCGTGGTAAACAAATGCGACCATTTTCTACCTAGGATCCAGATTCCGGAGTCAGCAACGAGGTGCGTTGCCGTAATTTACTCTTGGGGCAGCCAGCCCTCTTGCGGAGAGTCCGTAATTAGATACAGTATTGTTGACACATCTGGTTACATCCGCACTAGTCCATATCGGGCCCAGAAACGGCGCATTTTGCATGGCTCCCACGACGTAGTACGGGCTAGCTGGGCAGGCGGGGCTCCCCAGCCTACGAGGAGCTACGGCTGGCCGGCGCATGGCCCACGCCACGCCACCGTCCGGCATGCGGCATCCAATCAACATGCGTTGATTTCCGGCTTGGTCGGGCACTAGCAGGGCGCCCTGCAGGGCCGCTCGGTGTCCGATCGCGGGTTGGTGGAGGCCTATTACAAAATTGGCTAGGCGGCCTCGTATGGGCTGTTGTTATTTGCGCTGTTTCAGGGCTGACTTTTCTGCCCAACCCGTGATTATGCTCCAGGAGGCAGTCCCTTCAGCCTCCGCTGTCGTGACTGTGAGCGAGCAAGCAAGCGAGCAGGAAATAGTTAAGCATCCAAGTTTTCACCGAATTCAACAGGGATGACTTATCAGACGGCCCATCTGCTGCGGCTAGTTTCCTGGCAAGCGAAGCCTTTGGTGAGGGCGTTAATGCAGTGGGCCAGCAACAAGGGCATCTCAAAGATCCGTGATTGGGTGACCGTGCGGGGATGATACCAACGATGCATGAGGAGGGCAGCTTCTTCCATTTCTAGGGCCATGCAACCACCGGCTTCGCTAATCGAGCCATCCACTGTCCATCCATCTCCCGTAAGTTAGGGCGTATCTCGGCCCCAGAATCCCGTCTGCCGTGGCGTGAACTCTAGACGAGTACGGGACATGGAAAGACGCGAAACAAGATGGATCTGCTCAGGGTTCTCGCCTGCGCAGCGCAGCAGGGGTTGCGAGAATGACAACTGACTATCAGAGTCCACTCGACGCAGGTACACCCACTGTTCGCACGGTTCGACATCGAACAGACAACGTATGTACATATTGTTGCTCCCTCGCCAAATTCGAAGTTCTAACATGTGAACGAGTGAACGATATGGATCGATCATTATTATGATTACGAGAAGGATGACGGTGGAGACCTCGTCAAGCATGCATTGAATGCAGCAGCTGGCCTCGGCACGTAAATTACGACTTCCTTTTTCCTTTTTCTTTTTCCAGCCTACGTACAAAGTTCAACTACATACACATCAGCCGCTGTTAGTCTCTGCATCGACGTATCGCATCGCAACAGCCTGCGGTTTAATTTCATGCAGGAGTCTGCTTGCTTCTTGCTCGGTTGTGCAGGCCACCTCGGCTGTAGCTCTTGTCTGTAACAATTCGCGGATGGCCCAAAACCGCTTGTTGATGTCAGGCTAGCGATCACCTTCTGAGAGACCCCGGTGTGTTCCTGCGCAGCCAGCGGGCACTATTTTCACGAGCTAGGGTTTGCCAGTGCCAATCCTATCGTCGAGGAGATGTTGGTAACGCAGAAATTATCCGCAATCATCTAGCTCATCTCGACGCACTAGTGTATTGTCTCTAGTGTCGACCCGATTTTATCCATGGCGCGTATCGTACGACAGTCAAAGCACTGCCAACTACGTCGTTACATTCACTTTTCGTGCATGTTTCTTGATCATCACTAGTAGAAACTCCAATACTCCTATTTGAAAAAAGAAAAAAAAGAGAGAGAATGAGTTATTATTGAATACTGACTAGCTCACTACGGGACTAGCCGCCTGCACGAGAGTAAATAATTTCCGGGCTGTCACTCACGGCAGCACGAATGCCCCGACACACCGAGCAGCACACATACATGGTACATGTAACAAGTAATAATGACTGATCGTGTCAGCTGCAAGGAACATTATTGAGCCGACCAACATGTCTCAAGCTCAAACTCCAACCCACGCACTATTTTCTTGATGCTAGCCGTTGAGCCTGAGGCTTTTTGGGTCGTGACAGGAGTGTTATAGTGCAGAACACGTATGCACCTTCAACGACTTTGCTCACTCCAAAATTTCAATTGTCATGTACAATTTGGAATAAACAAGAAAAAGACACTCGATTCGACAATGATAACGTCATTGTGCGTACCCCTTTTGAGTCTTCTTATCTGTCTAATAATATTGAATATCGAGAATGTTATTGCCTAGCCTAAGGACCCCCGGGAAATTGAATAGTCCGAATATGCTAAATTCGCGAAGGTCTACAAAATAGGCTACTACAGGCTGATAAATTGGACACGATGTTCTCGTTAATAACCGGGAAATAAAAGATTGGCCAGTTACGACGCGTCTACGTTGGATCCCTGCCAAGTACCACGTAGATAACACATTGATTCAATATTATGTTTGTAATTGGTAGCCGAGACTTCAGATGTCCGCCGTTGGTAACCTGTATCAACTGATGTCGACTCCTGCTACTGTCATTCAGCAAGACCTTCAACAGCAAATATCCGGAAACACACATAAATGATCATCGTCAGTTAATCAATCAATGAAAGCTATCCTATACCTTAGCAAAATGTGGCTGAGACCATGCTTCAAAGAGACAAGCAAAAAGCAAAAACAGGTATATTGCCGGCTTGCCGGTCTTGTTGATACCAAATGGGCGAGTAGAAGGATACTTTTTCCTGTTCAATGCGAATCATCACGGTTCCAGCAAGTTTCATCGTTAGGTTACCATAGGTATTTCCTCGTGCTCGTAAAGCCTATGATAAAGAAGAATGCTTTTGTGCCTTCACATTCCTATCTACATTATTCTCCTTTTAATTCTGATATACCTACAGTACATATATACATGTATATAGTTGTTATCGGCCCTTAATGATTCAATCTCTCAATCGACTTTGTTCGTTACACTAAATCCGATTGGCGGTTAAACAAAGGGTCTGGACATTATTCCCACTATATTAATTGTTAGGATGATGGTGATTATAACTATAGTAGTTATTATTATTATTTCCCCAACGCTCACCTCAGCCTTTTCAGCCCACAGTTTATGGCGACATACCTCCCTTTTCTAATATACAGTCAAAGTATTCGATTAGTGGGAAATAACAAGTGCGTGGGTGAGTACAGTTGACAAATCATTGACTATTGACTCTAGATGCAGTTACTTGCTTAGTCTCTACATGAATACTAGTACTTAGTCACAAAGAATAGACGAAGAAAAGGAAAAGAAATGGGGCTACCAAAGGCCCAAAAATATGAGGAACGCCTCGTCCCAACTCTGAAAGAACATTACATGTAATTAAGAGTATTACTGATATGTGTTGAGTGTGGAGTGGTGATTCTGCAGGATATTAGCAATTTAACTAATTAGTGCAGACGGTATATGCATGGTGACCGCCTGATGTCCTGAGAACAAGGACAGAATGAAAAAGAAAATATAATAGCCCTAGTACTAGAAACATTGATGGCTTTATTAACACAAGGGATGGGTCGGCAAACGCCTATGATACGTCGAAAGTAGTCAGATACATACTCTTTAAGCGCCGAAGTGTAAGAAACAAAGTGTGTCTAGGCAAATTTCCGCTTGGCGGATATAATGGTTGTCAGGAGGCACTATTTTAGTTAACTATCTGATGTAATCTTTGGCTGCATTTGTAATGCTGTGGATACTCTGCATTTAGTCACAAGATTCGAGCATATGTACTGATGTCATTGGTAGGAATGACTGTCCTTCGGTCCAATTGATTCTATTTCGTGAATTACTGTGCAATGTCAGGTGCCTGACAAGACAGTAAAGTCCCCGCTGACAGCCCGGCATACATGTTATATAACCAGAACGAAAATAGAGGTTACATTCCCTATGAGCATCTCCAAATTTTACTCCGATCCCAGCTAAAGTAGTAGCCTTTACGTTATTTTCATGATATCATCACTACGACTCGCCACTTGTTGCGTACAAATCCCAGCAACATCTGAAAGTCCCAACAGCCCATCAGTTAATTCACATACATAGAAAGACTAGCAATTAGTCGACAAAAACAAGCAATCATTCAAATGAAAAAGAATGTAAAAACTTTACATATTTCTGACTTAGATACTCTGAATCCAAGTAGAACAGATTAATAATGATAATAATGCGTGCATTTCAATATCGTTCGTCCCGCGTTATTTAATTGATTGCTACAGAATAGAGCTCGGACATCCATATTTTGTCATACTCCATCACTCTGCATACCGAATTTATGCATTGGGACCTGCACAGATTGTGAAATTCCACTCTAGGGTAAACTCAGTGCTATCAACGATCGGAAGTGCATTCACCGGTCACCGAGTTTGCACAGTTGATATACATTGTTAGACACGTTGATAAATCGATACTGTAACTATGTATTAAAGGCGGATCTGGCCTATCTCTACCATAGAGTGTAAATGTAAACATAAATCCAGCAAATAATCAAAATACAACTAGAATATCAAGCCAGGTGACTGAAATTGCAGCAGATTATCCCAGTGCCAGATGCAAAATTTATCGCTGAGCCTTCGCCGCTTCTGCTACTGGCTTATTCGTAAGCCGGTCCTTATCTCGTGGAACAGGAAAGTCGTCTTCTGCTGGGGCTCCCTCGATTGCCAACGGAGCTGGTTCGTCCTCCTCATCCTCGTCATCAGAAGAAGAACTATCGTTTTTGCCGTTACGATGTCTCTCTTCTCGAGCTTTAAGGCGCTCTTCCTTGGCAGCTTTGTAGCGCTCATCTAAAGCCCTTGGTGTTAGAGTAGAAATATCAAAATGGATGTAAGTCTTACCTCGAATTTCTTGAGTCTTCACTGCATAAGCCTGAATTTCCTCTTTTGTCAACACACGCAGTACGATCACGTACTCTGACCTCTCTTCGAATCGCTCGTGGCCGAGTTCAAGCGCCGCCGGGTTTACTAATCGTCGATCGATTTTCGTCCATCGTGCTCCAGGTGGAATGCCTTTTTTGTGTGCGTCTTTCAGTGGCGCTACCCCTTCCCGGATTGGATTGTCCTCTTCTGGAAACTTTTCTCGAGGTGCTTTCAGAATACTTTTGGGTGGTGCTTCTGGTTCTTTTGCCACAGGTGGCTCCACCGTCACCGGCTTGCGTGGGCGTTCTTCGCTTCCGTCCTCAGCTACAGACCGTCTGCTAAATACCTCAGAGATATCGTCTCTACGCGAGCTACGGACCTTCAAAGACTCGTCTTTGCTGCGTTGTTTGGTACCTTTATCCGAATCGCCAGAGTCATGATGTTTTCGTGAAGAGGACTTTTCCCTCCGTGGTGTTCGTGTGTCTAATTCAGAGCTGGAGTAGTCTGACGAGTGATCGCGTCGTTGAGACCGCTCTCTATGATGACGATATTGGCGTTCACGCTCATCCCCTGGCAATGCCTTGTCTCTCCCCTTATCTCTGTGGTCACGATCATAATCCTTATCACGATCATGTCCGTATTCGGATTCCCGAGAGCGATATTTCTCCGATCTGGAAAACCGCTCAGCGTCTCGCCCATCGTCAGAATAGCCGCTTGCTAGCCCGAGACTTGCTAGCCCAGTGATTACTGGTGTAAGCAATTTCTCAGCATGTCTAAGGGAGTCTCGATGCCGAGGACGGTGGCGGTGGCGCCGGGAGTCTTTTTGGTCGTCTGTATAGGAGTAGTATCCATCTTCCCGATCTTGGTGGAGGACGGGAGCACGCGGGTAGGTGAGTTTCCGTGTCTCTCGATTGGTTATTTCACTGTCAGGGTAATCCCTGCCACTGGTTATACGAAGGCGATCTTCACCTGGGAGCCGATCGAATCCACGTTGGGATGGTGGTGGTCTCCGCGAGTCTCTCCCATATGAAGATTGAGTAGCCAATTCGGTGGCTGTCATGCTTAAAGGACGGCCTGTGCGACGGGATGTGCGCTGTGAGCTCCGTGCTGCTGATTCCTTCTCGAATGTCTCTCGTGCGTTTGTGTAAGAGTACGCATCGTAGTATCTAGAGTCGTCCCATTTTCTAGGATCTCCGTAGGCAGGGTAGTGTGATACGCCTCCCGGACGATAAATTCGATAAGACTGGTCCCGATGTCCTCTGGCATGATCGGGAGGTTCTAGATAGCCACTATCGCTCGTATAGTCCGAGCTGTAGACGCGCCTTTGTGCACGGCCTGAGCTTGACGGTGTGATATAGCGCTCGGGGTCTTCGCGACTATATGAAGCCCGAGGAGGCAAGGGACTTGTGGATCTATCGTATGCGGATACTGTGCCTCCAGAACGACTTGATGTAGATGGGATCACTAGACTTAATGGATTCCGTTTAGAGTCGACGGCCGTATGGCTTCGGGGACGAACTGCGTATTCAGTCCTGGATTTTGTGGCATGGTTGGCATCCCGATAGGTAGTCGTTGAAATTGGCCGAACATCCACATGGTCTCGCGTGTCAGCTGTAAAAAACCCGCCTCGTCGTTCTGCGGTTTTTGCTGACAGAAGACCATCATGGCTGTGATAACTTGTGGGAGACGCGTATACGTCGGTCGACACGGTTCCCGTGGATGCACGCATGGGGTCGTAAAGCCGCCTGCTCCCTGGGGAGTCTGAGCGATGTCTTGATGAATGGGTCATTAGGAGAGACAGAAACCGTTCTGTTGCTGACTTGTGCCGATACAGGTTTTGGATGGCGCACCAACAGGACGCTGTTTGCGCGATCAGCAGGAACAGACACCGCGCCTGCTGGGTGAGATGGATGATTGGGGAAATCAAAAATCAAAACACTGAAATTATGTTTGATGCAAGCGATAAACAGAATGCCGCAAGATAAGCTTAGGCGAGAAAATCCCAGAAAGGCTTGGGAGAGCAAGCCAAGCTGATAGCTGATTGCAGCACGGTCGGCCACTCACGACGTGAAACACACGCACAGTCGCCAGGGGGCGGGGCTTCGGGCAGAAGCGTTGGGTTGAAAGCAGACGAAAAAAGGCCAACAGATGAATAAGATGAAGAATAATGGCAAGGCTGGACCGACAAGAGTGCGAAGGATGAGGTGAAACACGGCAAGAGCGAAACTGCAGCGTCCACGGATCAGCGGACGATGACGCAGCGGAAGGCGGAAGGCACACTGAGGGGCAGCCTCTTATTAATCCTCTTCTCTTTCTCTCTTTCTCTGTCTCTCCCCGCCCCTCTCCACCATTCATCCAATGCTCATCGATTGGGCTCCTTGTTTGATGGCAATCGGATTTGGCGAAGGGATGGCTATACGCCTGGTCTTTGTTTACTCCTCCTGTTGCCGGCTGTATATCAATGGCCATTCGACTAATCTACAGAAAGACACACTGCTTCTTTTTTCCCTTGGCTGACCGAGACTAACCTCTCCGCCAGCGAGCTAAACCAAAAATCAGCGCGCCCCAGGATTGTGCAGATGCCGAAGAGCCTCATCTCGGGTGGAGACCGGTGACGCATGGCTACGATCCAGCGGCTGGCAATCAGCAAGAATTCAACGGCTGTGTTGCAGCGTGCCAATCTTCGGCGATGTGGCACGCCAATCTCGAATCTCGGAGGCTACTCCATTGCCATTGGCCTCTCTATTGTTGCAGCTACGCTACTCCGTCCTCAATCGCCCGGGCGTAATCATATTCATGACCGACCCGGCGCCCGACTCGCAGGCGGTAGTCAAGTGACCGTCTTGACAGGCTCTGCATCAAAGTTTAACGCTGCCTACAATCACTGCGGATTCCATGGATGCGTTATGAAAGGGTCGGGCATATCCGATGCTCCACGTACGTATCCATGGGTCGATCCCGCCAGGCCACCTCGGCAGATGCCCGGCATTTGTGGACAATATTCCGATGATGCATGCAGTGCCATGCACTAGCTGATTACGATGTAGCATGTATCGGCCCAAAGCAAACGATAACCGCTGTGCTCGGACGGTATAGGATCCTAGGATGATGCTGGTTGGAGTGCAGGATTCGCAGCCTCACTCAATGGGCGCCGTGATTGGTCGACTAGTGGTAAACACTAGGGCAGCAGCAGCTTGAAAGTTGAAACCCACTGCAAGCCAGGGCAGGGCGTTGGAACTTGTCGATCCGTTCCAGATACAATTTGCTGCTAGTTAGCAATCGGCCCTAGTCAATCAATAATCTTTTGTGTTTTCAGCAGTACATTGCCAACCGGCATCGATGCCAATTGGCCGTCGCTTCATCTGCATTCTACCCGCCAACTTGTGCTTCACCCGTCCGCATCTCAAAACAGCACTCTGGTGGAAACATCACCGCCTTTCCCGAAATTATGGGTGAAAACTAAATAATGGATACAAATAGCATGACCCATTTAGGCGCAGTCACAGGCTTAGACATCGCCACAGTCACCCTCCACAGGAAGAGCCTACCATGTTTGTTCCTAGATTAATGTCAGGACAAGCAAGTCACCTATGTTCAAAATTTTATAAACCCATTTATTCACAACAGTCGCCGACCTGCCGAACCGGAAAGGGCCCTCGATGTGCCGCTAATACCTGCTAAAAGTCTTGTTATAACGCCTCAGAGAAATAAGCTATCAAGGGAAGCTTTAGGTGATCCTTCACATCGTGCGAAGCGGATCATACCCGGGTCCCTACACAGCCACAAGGAGGGAAAATTGGCATTTGGTTGAGGGCGCAAAATCACGAAGACCATTGTGTGCGTTTCGAAGGATTATTGCCCGGATGGTTATTGACTTTATTCAAGGTGTTTATCGTGGACGCTCCGGTCTTTCTGAGCTGAAAAAATGTCATAGCTTGGTCTTCTCTCACTTTGATTGACCGCTAACAACTACAGCAATTATCTCATCATTTGAGGCGATCCATTCTGGCTCCATTCTTAGCCAGGGTGCACTTCGCCCTTACCTCACCAGGGTATCTTGCTTCGAAATGTACACCGGGTTATTCCATTATAGTCAGTATGGAGGAGCTTGTCTCGGTTTCACAGTGAAGCGAAATGGAAGTTAAATCGACGCTGTTCGCAGCTTGACTGACCGATAGATATCAGCATCCGATATCAGTTACAAAAGACTTGATTATGCTAAACAAACCTTGAATATTTTATTCTGCATTGATTCAAAGACAATTCAATTGATAGCAAGACTGCTCCGGTGTCAATTGGATCTCCAACGTTCTAGAGCTATTCTCCAAGCTACCCCATATTATTTTACGGTCGTTTTATCATATTCTATACAATCCAATTTCAACTATCGAATCTAAAAAACCTCCTCAATATGGCCATCAAGAAGCAATCTCCGACCATTTGCGAGCTCGGTCATCCGTGTGAGATGTCTCATACAAACCCAGTGTTGTTCTGGGAATGCCATAACTGCAAATCATTCAACATGGACTATATGTACAATTGCTGTCCAGCGTGTGGACATTCGAAGTGCGATGCGTGTATCATGTATTGGAGATGACGGGATTTCAATCATCAACCTGCGTCTATCCAAAGATCCCACCGTTCTCTCATCTTTCAACCTTTCTTTAAATACTTGCATGGTATTAATGACATGACTTTATCGACACTGGTATTTTAGAACCGACAGTAACAGCACCAGCCTTTATGCCAACAAGAGATTCTTACATTCATGCCTTTAGGTATATTTATATTTATCTTTTGACTTTATTGTCTTCTTACCTACATTACGTATCCCTTTGTACCTTTTTCTTTATTCCTTTTCTACTTCTGTCTTAATATTTTCCTTTATTTTGCTATATGACTGGCCATGATTCCACCCCTTTACTCATATTTCTTATAATCTCGGTTTCCTCTTCATAAATTATATTTTAGTACTTTATTCATTGATTCAATCTCTGCCTTATACCTCTTACACACATAAGCAGCAATTGAGAATATCGATGTTTAATTGAAATCGATGACCCATTTGGCGTCGATTATATCTTGAATGTGTGATGCCGGGCATTTTTCTTTGTTCCTGACTTATGTTCTTCATATGTACCGTATTCATTGAACTTCTAATAGTTGCATATGAATAGATAGCGTTGCTTGAATTGAAAAAAAGAATCAAATTAACAAATTTGCATCTAAATAAAGCACTCGCTCGCTCGCCATATGCAAATAATTAAGGTATCCCTGGAACAATCTCCTTTAATGAAAACAATATCAAAAAAAAACTTAGAATATGGATATAAAACACGTGTATTTAAAGAAAGAGATGTCATCCTTCCTCACTTCGTCTCGAAGAACTATCATCTCCACGACCACCGGTTTCTTCCCGATGCCATCTTCGATGATGACGTCTTTTTTTTCGATGTGTTCTCTTTTCTAGCCCATCCTCTTCGAGGACACCATCACTAGGAGCAGCAGAAATACCCGCTTCCCGTTTGAGGCGGTCCACGACGGGGCCCATTGGATACGCGCTCTCTTGGCTAGTATGATCTACACATGGCGCGACTTTCAATGGTAGCAACCAATCCCATAGGGTATATCCCATTACCTGCTGTATATTCCTGATTGGATCGCCCAGATCAAATGGATTCTCAGCGGGTTGCGTGCGCAGGATTGCGAATGTGCGTGTATTATATTTGCTTACATCACCGTTCGGTTTTGCGGCAGGAACGGAATGGTCGTTAGGGGGAGGAGAATTGTCAACAGACTTCTTGGAATCTGCGGGAGGAGGATATGGTGATTTTTGAAGTGGGTATGTGACAGTCGGAAAAGTTTGTGCCCATTGGCTATTGTTTCCATCAGGTCTGGAAATACGTTCGAGTTGATGCGGCGGAATATAGATAGCTAAAGTCCAGATTTTGGACCGGCGCGTGAGATTCTCTATTGTTGTGACGTTTATCGCTGTGAGTTGTAGGGATGTACCACTCATGCCAGCAGAGAAGAGGAAGAACAATCCGGCTCTAATGACTTGTCAGCAAGGAGGTCTATAACTGTACATATATAAATAACTTACAAGCCTAAGCCAACGGCCCAGTGCGCATTGACCGTGCCGCTCTAAAAGGTTCACGTTAGTCATGATAGTATTTAAGAAGTCGTAGTTTGAGGATCTTACATCAGAATGAAGTTCGGCGATAAATATGGCAAACACGATTAATGCAAAACAAGTAAAAAAAGCCGTGTAGAAGACGAACTGAAGGAAAAACTTGTAAGAGCTTTCTGATACGACACCGCCAACCCTTTAAATTGGTATTGTTAGCTGTAAAATTCTATTAGCATATAGATGAATCCAACTTACCACGGACAAAAATGGTCAAGTTTCCGAACACAGCGATCAAAATCCCTATTGTGATGCGATCGGTCTGTCTTAAATTGGCAGCATTTCGAGCAATACGCTGGTCGTCCATCATCCTGACAAATAAATATGTCTTTTTTCCAGAAAGTTTCTTGAGAAAGGTCATTGAGCGGAAACGCAACGCCGCCTCTCTGCTCAACATCCGTTGCTTGGGTAGCTGTCGTAGTTGAGTGTCGTCGCCTCTTTTCTCGGTTGTTGTCATGTCCACCTCCACCTCCATTTCCATTACTATAGCTACCACTAACCTCGTCCTGGTTGCTTAACCTCCGCTTCCTTCGGCGGCTTCGCGCATGGGATTTTGTCTCATTTTCTTCCGATTTCGACGGATTCCAACCAGCTCCTCTAGGCAAAAAGTCGGGGTTGAACGCGACGATGTAGTATAATCGTAAATATGTAACGATGACGGGGAATAACAGCACATAAAACAATACAATAATAGCCACACCAGCGCCTATCCGTGGTTTGCGTGCATATTGCGATTGAGGATATATCAGGTAGTCGACTGCACGTATACTTCAATTAGCACTTGACAAAAACACCAATCAGGAGGCTGAAAGACGGGCTGCTTACTGCACAACGGTTTCGTGACGACATAACTGGCATAACCGATTATTCCGAGAAGCACCCAGGGAATAATCCGCGATACATATCGATTGGCATCCTTCTCATCGCACAATACAGCGGGTCGCGTACTGCGAGCATTTCGTGCGGACATAGTCAAAGCCTTGCAATTGTGCTTGCAGGCTTTATTCGCAGGTTGTTACTACGGTAGTCGGAGATGGCGGAAGATCATCGGCAATTCTGTAGAGCCATAATAACTAAGATTTGGATTCAGATTGCATGGTAAAAGAAAACACAGATTTAGAGCTTCGAGAGCCTGCTTTTGACAAATTGCCCCCTCTCAGAGGAAAGAGATGCTGCAAGTACAGTGTGATGATGACTCTTGCCAGATCGAGACCGGGATAGCAGACGCCTGCGATAGGCCCACGTGATGATAAGGATAGCCGCCTCGGCCACGCCTAAATTAAGGTTAGCGCTGGTGCGTGCTGCACTCTTGCTTTGTTTAGTACATATCAATAATGCATCTCAGTCAATAAAAACCAGCCAATAATGAAGGTGTGACTAGGGGCGCTTGTTTATAGGACTCAGAATTTGCGTGATCTGTGCTAGGAGTTCGGTGTCTAACGTTTCTTGTTTTCTTTCTGATCTGGGAATATCCTGACACGACATTTACCCATTTAGCATGGTCCGCTTCACGCTGTAATTATGCTTCACAAATCCGAGAAAATATATGTTCAAGTGTAATGAATTAGGTAAGGATTAAATTCAACCGAGAACGATCTTGATCAAATTTCCCAGGATCATGAATGACAAACCGTAACTAGGAAACTACATCGTATACAATCGGGGTTAATTCTTCTTTCTTCCCCCAATTCCCAATCGACCGAGATTACTCAAGCTAGACTTGCCCTTATGTCCAGATGTAGGGGTAGATCGACCATCTCGTGTACCGCTATCCGACCCACGCCCAGATATGCCCAGCCCAGTGTTCCCGAAACCACCCCTGGGTACGTCAGGAAGGGATTTATCTCTTGGGCCATGTTGATCCGTAGCGGAGGCCGCATTGAGTGCACCCATCAATGAAGGCCCTCTTAATCCACCTCCGGATAAGTCGCTTTCAAATGGGTGTCGTAAGTGGCGTTGAGATCTTTTTGCTTTTTCCTGTACGTTTTTAAATTTGTCAAGCAGCTCAACCCATCGGATGGAGCTATCTTCGCGACTCTTCAAACGACTTCCTCCAGGACGGTCATAAGAACCTCCGCTAGCAGAGATAGGTCTGACGCATTCGTCAGCTTACTTATTCGTGCCAAAAATAAAAGTGGTAAATACGTACGGACGTGGTCCCTGGAGCAGACCAATATTGCTCACACTATTGAGACGATTTTTCAATGCGGCAAAGGCTGAACTTTGAGGAAGAAGCATGAGCACGCCATACAAACATTTATACAAGTATGGATATCTCTCTGGTTCTAGGAGTTGCAATCGGAGGTCTGTTCTAGTAAGTACGATGAACTAAAAGAAAAAAAAAGGGGGGGCCCAGACGAACATGTGAAGACTGGTGACTCTAGCAATTGTACGAGCTTATCGATTTGAATCAACATATTAACCGTCATCTCTAGTTCCGCACTAGATATAGAATGGTTAGAAGAGCATCTCGTAAGGATATTGTACTCACAAAATCTGCAGTAAATTATATGCTTGCTCATATGCTTGTGCCAGTAGACAGAGAGAAAATGTAGACACAGCGTTGTGACACCAGGACCGGAAGAGCGCCACAAAAAGTATTTGTCCCTCCTTTATATGAATTAGCATCCTAGCTAGTTCTCTCTGCTTCTTATTTTTTCAGTTTATTCAAGAAGGACTTACCCTAGAATCCAGACTACGCAGTCTTTTTCGAAGATCGGCTAGTTCTGGGGCCGTGATCAAATTGTTGTTTAGATTTTGCACCATGATACTGGCGAACTCAATATCCTAAGCTGGCATTAGAATTTAGCACAATATTGAAACGTCACATACATACCTCTTCCTTCTCTAAACAATCGGCCAATGTACGATAAATGCGTTCTGGGCTCAGGTTCATGCAAAGCTGGCGAATGATAAGATTCCCACGAACCTCTAACAACTTCCTATCGGTTGAAAACAGCTGGAGCAGATTGACCATGAACGACGTAAAATAGCCATCCTCACTGTTGCGAGAAATCTGAGAGAGCAGCTGAAGATCCTTGGTAACCACTATCTCGGCAGGGTCCGACAAAGTCTTCAAGAGAGCTGGAAAAGTGCCATCGTTGAAAGCAAGAACCTTGCGAGGAGCTTTACGATGAAGCATGATCAGCCATGAGAGAGCAGCAACTCTTGTGCCCTCGTTTTCATTTAGAAATTGTAAAGTCAAAGAGTTGACCGCGGCTGCGTAGTCTAGATCCGATGGAGGGCTAGAAGACGGACCAGTGCCGTTGGAAGATTCAAGCGGAAGTTTTATACCTTGTACAGAAGTTCTTCTCTCTTCTTCTTCCTTTACTGCGACTGGCCCCGCTTTTGATGCAGCCTGTTGACTGGATACCGATGTTTCATCTGAAAGAGAAACGATATATTCCATGAGCGATGTATTAACCCTTGTTGCGGCTTGGCGAACTTGGTCTGATCCACTGGAAATGGCGGGAAGAACCTGAATTAAGAGCGCTGGAACAAACTGCAGGATATCTCCTGGGCTGATTTCAAAGAAGCTATCAATCCATCGCAGTGCAGTCAATTGCATTTCCTCCTCTAGATACCAATAAGCCAAAGAGAAAAATTTCGGGCGTAGAACGGAGACGCTTACCATACGTTGTATCTACAAAACCAACTAAGATCTCCAGGATTTTCGGGTAATCTACATTGGCGTCCTGTCCTGGCACCCAATCTCCATCGACAGTGATGCTCTGGATATCGTCTTCATTGTCGGAATCCCCCGACACAGAATCCGCCACAGCATTGTCACTACTCTTGATCTCCTCGCTATTACCGGTGACAATACTGGCATTTTCGCTAGCAACAGTCACGACGTTTTCTTCTCTGCTCTTCTTGCTTTCTGCAATGCCTTTCTTGATGCGCGCAATTCTTTTGATCTCCGAGAGAAACCTCTCTAGAAGACCTTGTGTAGCAACATTCACGTCCTTATTGGGGTCTCCCAGAAACTTAATCAGGCCGCCAAGAAACGCTGGCAGATGGCCAACTAATTCCAAATCGGGTATCGTATCGAGTAAGGTCAACCACGATACAAGGAAGGTTCGAGTGAACGGGTTGAGAACATGTATACGTTCTTGCAAAAGGGGTATGAACTTCAAAAGTGAGAATGCAGTCGGAAGTTCTATCGAAACGTCTTCTTCTCCCACCTTGCCTGAATCCAGTAAATTCTTCTCCTCGAGTTGTAGAACTGAAACATACGACGCGGCGGATTCGGCAACGATATCTTTCACAAGGCGATCAAGAAGTTCTGCTCCGTTTTTGACAGATAGCTCAGAATCGGATGCGAGCTAGTGAGTGTTAGTCATAAGAGTGGTAACAGGCCAACAAGCCACTAACCTTGCACAATGCATCGAAGATGTCGTTGAAGAACGGCAGTATCTCTCCCTTGGCGACCTTTGCAATGTTATACATACTTTCACAGGCATAATATCTGACTCGTGCATCTTGATCGGAAAAGCAGGCGAGAACCGGGGGAACGATTTCCTGAAGATATGGAGCTACCCCTTCCTAGTGAAAGAACGTAGCAAGAACAAATTAATTTCACGGACGACTAGCATTTTCGACCCTTAAAACTCACTGATCCCAAAGCGATAGATGCCGCAGCAAGCCCAATGAGCCCTCCATTGCGTGCGTGGGGTTGGTGCACCGCATAAGCATAATCGTGGCACAGCTGGTCTACGATCTTTTGGATCCTGTCATGTTCTTCTTTTATCGTAGCATCGCGGACAATCTTCTCGAGCCTATTACCGTAATAACAGTTAGTATTGTTTTTTTTGTGAAGCGAACAATAATAGCACATACTCCAAAGCACCTTGTTTTCGCTTCTCGTAAAGCTTGTCGTTCAACAGGCGCTGGACGGACTGGTCCATTTTGAACCTTGAATGGCGGTTCGTCAGCAGCTATCCACTTCATCCGTCATTACAGTCGACCTTCGATAATTGGGTAGGCTATTGGGAGAGAACTTGAAAATTTCAAAAGTATAGTAGCATGGGATTTCAAGAATTGATGAGCGTCAAGAATCAGACAGAGGCCGATCGGCGTGTCATGTCACAGGCGGTCTGGCTAGCGCATGCGGGGAATTGGGTTAATAAGATGGTGACGTCTGCTGCGCTATCCGCCATAGCTATTTTGGGCTAACTACTTAAAGCCTAGCCAGCATACGCCAGATATACTATATTTCTAAATAGCTAGAATATGAAATGGTTTAAATTCATCATAACAAGAATGTGCAAATTAACTGCTGATATACTGGAAAACAGCAGAGACGTCCCTCTCCGATGTCTCTTGCCTCAAGAGCAAATCCTGTATCTTGTTTAAGGGCCCCTTCTCACCATCATTCACAAAATGATTCCACGTGCTTGTATCGCCATAAAGGATAGCAGGTGCTTTGGTGTGTTGAGTTCCGTCCGGTTTACACCTTTTGCATTTAAAGGTGTCATGAGTGTCGCTGCAAGTGCCAGGCTTGAACTGAAAGAGTTCTCGGAGAGAATCTAGCGAGAAGTGGCGTTCGACATCTTCTGCAGAGTCAACCACGCAAGAAGACAGTGACTGCTTATGGGACTGCCTCTGGAAGATTTTCTCTTCAATCGAGCCAGTTGCGATGAATCTGTATACAAAACAATCCTTTTTCTGCCCATCACGCCAAACGCGAGCCAACGCTTGTTGGTCCGCCGCAGGGTTCCAATCGGGGTCAAAAAGGACCAATCTATTTGCTCCAATCAGATTGATACCACAGCCACCTGCCTTGCTGCTCAATAAAAATATAAATTCCTCGCCGTTCGGATCATTGAATCTGTCCACCAGCTTTTGTCTTTTATTAACGTTCAATGTTCCATCCAGCCTCAAGCAACCATAAGCTCGGGCTCGGCAGAGTTTCTCGAATAGATCAAGTGTTTGCGTGTAATTACTGATCAAAACAATTTTGTCGTTTGTATCCTGTCGAATCCGCGCCAACATGCGGTCAAGGACCAACATTTTTCCAGAATACCAAGATTTGATATCTCTATCACGGCCTCTTCCCTCTGGAGGAACATAGTCATCGGGGAAAAATTGTTCGCTTCCGGGCAGGTCGTCCGACAAGTTCAGAAGATCCGGGTGGTTGCACAGTTTTTTCAAAAGTCCAATAGCCTTAAGCGGCTGACTTCCTTTGCCTCTTAGAAGGCTTCGAATGTCGGGGCTTTGTAAGAAATGGTTGTATAAACTCAATTGGAATTCACTAAGGTTGCAAAAGACGACATGCTCGTATTTTCTAGGCAGGTATTTCGAGAGAATGTCGTTTGTGCGTCGTATAATAAACTTGTTGACGATAGTCGATAGCTCTGCTAACCGTTCATCGCCCTTCTTTCGATCCTCATCTGTGGCTGAAGCATCCCTGCCTCTCAAAATTGGAATTTCAAATTTCTTTCTGAATTCGTTCTGTGTGCCGAGCAGATTTGGATTTGCAAAATGAACCAAAGCAAAATATTCCGAGAGATCGTTCTGAATAGGAGTGCCAGACAAAATAACACGACGGCTAACATTTAAGCTGTTCAGTTCTTTCCATGTGAGACTTTCCTTATTCTTCAGCCTGTGACCTTCGTCGCATAGTAGCAGGCCAATCGGGCTATCTTTGAGGTCTTCAACATTCAATCTGAGTGTCTCATAAGAGACGATCAGAACGGGACGCACGATTGCGCGACCGGAGGCAATAGCCCACTGTTTGAGTTGGCTAGAAAGTTCGGCCTTAGTGGCCTTACCATCAATAACGAAGGGAGTGATAGCGTCTGGGCCGAGCCATTTCACTATATTCCAGAGTCAATAAGTATTTCCCGCAGAGGAATATAATAGGTATTTACCTAATTCGTTTGCCCAATTACGAACCAATGTCGATGGACAAGCAATAACACATTTCTGAACCGTAGTTTTGCCAGCCTCCGGGGACTGTTTCAGCAGCGTCCACATTAGGGTGATGCATTGCAGCTAAACACTGTTAGCAACAATATGTTCTCACAGTTGGTATATACAAATACCGTCTTTCCCAGACCCATTTCATCCGCCATAATACATCCGTTCGCATTCTCATCAATCATACCGGTTGCACAACGGTAAAGAAACTATAGGAAATTGTCAGTGTCAAAATACACCACGTGCTCGACATGCATTACCTTAACACCCTCGATCTGATGCGGTCGAAGAATCTTTGATAGCCTTGGATCAATAACGACCGGCACCTTCGGGCGGTCCTCAACCTTTTTCTTCAAACCAAGGATATCTGCCAAACTTTTGTGCACTAGAGGCTCGTCTAACTTGGGTGGTTCTTCAGTGGTATTCTCGGCCTCTTCCTTGTTAGTGGCTGGTTTATCATCAACGGTAGGGTCGTATAACACGATTGCAAACTCTCCACTTGGATCATGCAAAGGTTTGACTACAAATGTAGCACCACGTCTCATGCCCAGAGTTGGCGCAGGCCGCGAAGGATCATAACCACCGGCCAGTTTATTAATCAAAGGCACCGAGAACCGCTGTTTGAAAATCGAATCCTTGTCCTTGACTTTAAAAACACCAAATTTATTGACATCACGATTCGCTAGTGCCAGACGGTCCTCGTTGGTCCACGGCTTATTGATATCATCTTCGGCGGTCCCGTCGGCGCCGGAATAATCAACCTTGCGTCGCTTTCGACTGGTTCTGTTAGATGTGATTGTTGCCGTAGCTAGGCCAGGACACTTGAATGGTTTAGACAGGCGTTCAGCAGATTGCTGGGAGGGGCCGTGAAGTCGTTTAGCGCTCTGAGGTGTTTGACCCCCTTGTGCTCGCACTGCGTGCGGTTGGGGTTGTTGCCTGCAATCTAATCAGACTAAATGTCTGCAGAAATATCAGCTTTGATAACGTACATGTTTCTAAGCTCCAATAATCAAAATTATATCAAGAAAGCCAACTGCTTCCCAAAATTCGCCCTCACCAGTACTGCTCGAGGCAAACAACACGCGCCGAGTTGGTCGCGTCCGATGCCGCTGAAACGCGAAATCACGTGATGCACTGTGATGATATCGCACAAGTCGATGCTAGTGCTGCCGTTTTCTGTAGCATTGACGGTTGACGGTTACGGTTGGCAATTGGGTGTCACCAATGCATCGATCACCCAATAATTGAGCAGCCATTGCAGAACAGAGACTCTGGAATCACATGGCAGGTTTAGAACAGCCCCACCTCGATAAGTCAATAGAAGCCGGCGACCATGGGCCACACAATCCGAGGATTGGTTGCCGGTTTACGATTTACTAGTTCCACTTAATATCAGCGGCGTGCTCTCCTCATATTATTATCAACTTAAAACACGTCCATGTAAAGTCAGCCCAGCTGTTCAAAGACCAATGTCATCTGACTTCTGGGCTGGATATATCAGCGGGGCTGCCGGTATACTGATAGGCAATCCTCTCGACGTAATCAAAGTTCGTTTGCAAGCAGGAGGAAGCCCTAACGAATTGTCTTCGTCCCCATCCAGCCTGTCGCCAGCGCGCAACGACAAATTCCAGGTGGCAACATCATTTGCTAGAGGTGGGATGCCTCTCTTTCCCGTTGGACGGATACAAGACTGTGATTGACGATATATATATAATCAAAGGTGCCGCAGCACCAATTCTGGGATACGGAGCGTTGAATGCATTACTTTTCGTGGCTTACAACCGGTCATTAAAAGTCCTAGATCCTTCAATTTCTGACCCAACCAACCTTGATCAAGTGTCATTAGCAAAAATATGGCTGGCAGGTGCAACGGGTGGCATGGCTAGTTGGGTTGTCTCGTCTCCCACAGAACTGATCAAATGTCGGGCACAACTCAGCCGAGACCGCAACATCTCATCGTGGTCAATTGCTAAAGAAATAGTGCAGACAAGTGGGCTACGAGGGCTTTACTTTGGTGGATTGATTACGAGTTTTCGAGACTCTGTGGGATTCGGGTTTTAGTATGTACTAGGCTTATGCTTGTGGATGCTTCAAGCAGCCCAGTTTATTGACTATAGCCCGCTTCTAGTTTCTGGTCTTACGAGCTGTGCAAGCGTAATATACTCTCCTCACATGAGGGTGCTGGTCATCAAGAAGCCCTGAAGGTGTTGATATGCGGCGGCATAGCTGGCATCGCTACTTGGACGTCTATATTCCCGCTAGACGTTCTCAAGACGAGGTTGCAGGCTCAACCGTTGCATACGATAGCAATAGAACAAGCGTCAGAAATACAGCCGCTTGTTCGACAGTCATCGTCATCTAGTACACGATCACCACTCAGCTCGCTGGAGATTGCACGACAGGCATATCGCGCCGAGGGCCTCCAGGTGTTCTTTCGCGGACTAGGAACATGCAATATACGGGCTTTCATAGTGAATGCTATTCAGGTGAGCTGAAGATCTCTATCCTCGGTACCATAATTTTGGCTGATCAGTAGTAGTGGGCGGTATATGAATGGTTGATGAAAGAATTGAGTAAACATTAGCTACAATATCACATTCAATGGGAAAAGAATGCGATTGGAAGAGTAGACGGTGCCATGAACATCATGAATACTGGTGAATATCATGAAATTCATCAATGCATCTGAAATTTGACTTAATTCTTAAACCACTGCATTATCATAGCTTGCTCCAAGATAGGGAGCAAAGGACAAGTAAATTTCATGATTTGATGGTTACCTCGGTAAGGCCAGCGAAAAATACCTTTGGCGTGGGCGGGCCCCGTAACGCGGACGTTTTGCCGTTAATCGGAAGTTTCGCGGTTCAGATCGGTAATTCGGGAACGAGCTGCAGGCGAACATCGGAACAGCTCTTATGCTTCGTTTTAAGCAGTAAAACCTCTCTAGTTGTACAGTCGCAAGAAAATAACACTGTTCTATCCGGGAAGACACATTTCGTTTGGCTATATCCCATGATAGTAGTGGTGGATTCATATGATAACCCGCCAGCTTCGCGGTAGGGTTGCTGTTTGCTGCGCATAATTTTTATTCCGCCTCCTCCTCATCCATTTCCATCATTGTCTGTTCCCTCTTGCCATTGTCGACGCCCAATCCCACGGCCGCCTCAGCTGTTTTGTGTGTGTGCGGATCTTTCAAGAGCCGTAACCTGTGATGAAGCAATCGGGTCAGCTATACCCTTGCAACCCAAGGCGAATTGCGAGGCGAGATACCTCCGTTTGTGGTTCTTGCCCTTGCGATGCGCCACAAGATTGTGCTCGTCTTCAAACCATTTGGCGCATTCGACACAGTAGTGCTGTCCCAGACCAGGGAGGTCTTCAGCATCTTTGGTATCCTTGTATTGTTGTAGATGTTTTCTGGAAGCTAGATCTGCGCGGATCTGATCGTAGTCTCTGCAAAACGCCAAGCGTGAGATCATTGTGTACGTATGCTGGTGGAAGTCCAAATAGACGTACCTAGTCCGTCGCTTCGTCTTGAGCCTCCTGGTAGCACCCATTCTGTATAATGCCGATAATATGGAACTGAAGAATTATTGAATGTCTAGTCCTATCTTGAAATTGGATAACACTCCAAGCGGGTCTCCGTGGTGGTGTTTGCGCGATTCACTTAGACGCACTTCACAGGGGAAAATTTTTTAGAGCCCAGCCAGTAATACCGGTGTTGTGATTGGACAACGGCTGGCGTGGGGTCACTGGACTCTTCCGGCAGCACCGCAGCCAGCCTTACGTTACGCAACAGGTTATTTATCTCTATGACGTTTGCGAGCCGCGATTAAAATCAACGGCCCTGAGGTCCGGATATCTGATTACCAGGACAGCAGAGGGATCAATTGATAAAACATTTCTCTGGGGAGAAGAAAAGTAAATCAAACAAACAAACAAACATTAACATCAATAACATCAATAATAATATCAATGATCAGAGCTCGTGCTAGCGACCGACTCGCGGCAATCGCCAAGGTTATTTCTCGGCTCCAGCTTCGGGTGAGGGGCATCGATAATTATTACTTCACATGTCTGTCGCAGCTTGATCCGGGCATTCCTCGTGAGTATTATTTACCTGCGTCGTGAATACAGTAATATACTTGCATGTAGAAGACATCGGACCATATTATTCCAGCCAAGAGGTCCCCTATTTCTATAATTCTACATAAACAGGAGTTGGCATGCTTTCAGTTACATCGGAAGGCAACATGGCCTCCATCGGCCTCTGCCGAGGGTTGCAGAGACAACCAAAAATACAGGGCGTATCTAGAAATACCAAAAATACCCTTTGTAATGCCAGCGCTGCCATTGGGGGAGACGACCCGCCGTAATCTTACGCGATACAGCGGATTACCCTCTAGCCCGGCGACATGCTTGTGGTGCGCCGCTGGTGCCGAGCAGTAGGCAGCCCGCGGCAGTGGTATTACCGACCCAATACGCGCATTCTTACCACAGTTGCGACTTGCGGTTCGAGCTCCGGTTTTAGTAGTACCGCCGCCAGCGTCACTGCGTTCTTTTCGCTCATAACACCTCAGTGCCTTCTTTTCACCTCGCTTTTTTCTCCTCCTCCTCTTCTCCTCATACCATCTCCTCTCCCCTCCATACTTTCCCCTACTATCCTAAGCTGGGGCAATTTCGGGACACGTTTCTTGGATGTGTTGCAAGTCTGTCTGTCTTGCCTAGAGAGCTATCAAGATGATCTCCACTAGGCTCACCCGCCTGGGTGCGCTGGTAAGTCGCCATCCACTTCCTATCAACCCGCCGGCTCATATGCAAAATAATCGCATTCATGGTTACTAATTAGTCTTTCTCTTACAGGGCACCAAGTCCCGAGCTGTAAGTTAGTCTGCTGTGTCGCTTGCCAACCCTGCCGTAGATCAAGGGTGGCCGCGACCGCGCCCGCAAACTGTCGTCAAAATCGGATATATACTGACATTGGATTGTGTTTGTAGTTGCTCGGTTCTCGCGGCCTTGCCACCGTGACTGATTCTCCTCTTGACAAGAAGGTTGAGATGACCAACTGGGAGAAGGTGAGTCGAAACCTCAGAAGTCCTGCTAGTAATAACGCGTGAATGCTAATTCGGGATACCGGAACAGGGGAACTACATCAACTACAAGTATGAGCTTGCTCGTAATCAGCTAACCAATTGAATACTAATATCCTGGTAGGAAAATGTCAGAGAACCTTGATATTGTTCGCAGCCGTCTCAACCGGCCTCTGGCCTTCGCTGAGAAAATTCTCTACTCTCACTTGGATGACCCCCACGGTCAGGAGATCGAGCGTGGAAAGTCCTACCTCAAGCTCCGCCCAGACCGTGTTGCTTGCCAGGACGCCACTGCCCAGATGGCCATTCTTCAGTTCATGTCCGCCGGCATGTCCGCGGTCCAAACCCCAGCCACTGTCCACTGTGATCACTTGATTGAGGCTCAGTTGGGTGGTGACAAGGATTTGGCTCGCGCCAATGAGATCAACAAGGAAGTGTACAACTTCCTTTCTTCTGCTTGCGCCAAGTACAACATCGGTTTCTGGAAGCCAGGCTCTGGTATCATCCACCAGATCATCCTCGAAAACTATGCTTTCCCCGGTGGTCTGTTGATCGGTACTGACTCTCACACTCCTAACGCTGGTGGTCTCGGTATTGCTGCTATTGGTGTCGGTGGTGCTGATGCGGTCGACGTCATGGCTGGCCTTCCATGGGAACTGAAGGCACCCAATGTTATTGGTATCAAATTGACTGGTCAGTTGTCTGGCTGGACTTCTCCCAAGGACATCATCTTGAAGGTTGCTGGTCTCCTCACTGTCAAGGGTGGTACTGGTGCCATCATTGAATACCACGGTCCTGGTACTGAATCCCTTTCTTGCACTGGTATGGGTACCATTTGCAACATGGGTGCTGAAATCGGTGCTACTACATCTCTCTTCCCCTTCAACGACCGCATGTACGACTACCTCAAGGCTACCAAGCGTCAGCACATTGGTGATTTCTCTCGTGAATACGCTAAGGAGCTCCGTGAAGACCCTGGCGCCGAGTATGACCAGTTGATTGAGATCAACCTCTCCGAGCTCGAGCCCCACATCAACGGTCCCTTCACTCCCGATCTTGCCACCCCTATCTCCAAGTTCAAGGAGGCTGTTGAGACCAACAAGTGGCCCGAGGAGCTCAAGGTCGGCCTGATTGGATCTTGCACCAACTCCTCCTACGAAGATATGTCTCGCGCTGCCTCTATCGCTCGTGATGCTTTGAACCACGGCATCAAGGCCAAGTCTCTCTTCACCGTCACTCCTGGCTCCGAGCAAATTCGTGCCACCATCGCTCGTGATGGTCAGCTTGAGACCCTTGAGGAGTTCGGAGGTGTTGTTCTCGCCAACGCCTGTGGTCCTTGCATCGGACAGTGGGACCGCAAGGATGTTAAGAAGGGCGAGCCCAACTCTATTGTCTCGTCTTACAACCGTAACTTCACTGGCCGTAACGACGCCAACCCAGCCACCCACGCTTTCGTCACTTCTCCCGATCTCGTTGTCGCCATGACTATTGCGGGTACTCTCAAGTTCAACCCTCTCACCGATAAGCTCAAGGACAAAGATGGAAACGAGTTCCTGTTGGCTCCCCCCTCCGGTGACGGTCTCCCTGCCAACGGATACGACCCCGGTCGTGACACCTACCAGGCTCCTCCTGCTGATCGTTCTGCTGTCCAAGTTGTTGTCTCGCCTAGCAGTGACCGTCTCCAGGTTCTTTCTCCCTTCGAGCCATGGAACGGAAAGGATGCCGAGGATATCCCTATCCTGATCAAGGCTCAGGGTAAGACTACTACTGATCACATCTCGATGGCTGGTCCATGGTTGAAGTACCGTGGTCATCTTGACAACATCTCCAACAACATGTTGATTGGTGCCACCAACGCCGAGAACGGTGAGGCTAACAAGGTCAAGAACGCCGTTACTGGAGAGTTTGGCCCAGTTCCTGCTACTGCTCGTGACTACAAGGCTCGTGGAATCAAGTGGGTTGTTATTGGTGACTGGAACTACGGTGAAGGAAGCTCTCGTGAACATGCTGCTCTTGAGCCTCGTCACCTTGGCGGTCTTGCCATTATCACCCGTTCTTTCGCCCGTATTGTGAGTACCATCTTTTTTGATCGAAATTATGCACTAACTGGTCCTAGCACGAAACCAACTTGAAGAAGCAGGGTATGCTTCCTCTTACCTTCATTGACCCCGCCGACTATGACCGCATTCCTCCTGATGCTAAGGTCGACCTTCTCTGCACTCAGTTGGCTGTTGGCAAGCCCATCACCCTGCGCGTGCACCCCAAGGATGGCAAGTCTTTCGATGTTGAGCTCGCCCACACCTTCAACGAATCTCAGCTCGAGTGGTTCCGCGATGGATCTGCCCTCAACACCATGGCCAAGAAGTCGAAGTCCGCTTAAATGGGATACATATAGATTGCTATAAAGAGCTTGTCACATGCTAAGGAAGGAAATTTCCATGGCCATTTTGAGCGACGATTAGGGGCTCTACTTGGGTAGAGTGGGATGATATCAGAGGTTGAAGTCGCAAACCTCGGCTTCTTGTAGAAGCGGAAAAAATCCAGTATAAATTTCTTCAGGACCTTTTGTTGCCGTTGCTGGTTGGTCTGGGGGTTCTTTTGGTGTTATTGCATGGATATAGCCTGTCTTGTTTCCATATGTCATTTACCATTTTGTCTACTTAGGTACTCTGTATAACGATACTTTTGTAACCTTCAATTCTTTATCTTTAAACTATCCTTTGAACTAACCCTTGAGAGGTTACTAGACATCTACCAAACCCATTGGTGGTACCAGGCTATGCATTGAGTGATTGTTTCGCATAAGTATGTGTCTTGTACTCCAAACATTTGAACCCTTCTACAACTCCTAACTTCCTCAGCCCTCTCTCACCCCAAGTCCAGAGAATGCAGCTCCTGGTTCTTATCTCCATCTTAATCGCGTCGGCTTCACTGGTGGCCTCCTATAATGATTGGTCTAGGACGTGCCGCTCCCCCTCTGGAGATCCGCAGTGGCCGTCACCTCCAATTTGGGCCGTATTGAATGCAAGTGTGGATGGGAGGTTCATTGCGACGGTTCATCTCGCCAGCGTCTGCCATGATCCGACGTATGATGAAGAACGATGCACAGAACTCCAGCAAGTCAGGTCTCTATCTCAGACACAGTCAGTGTTCCACCCCTCAATTGTTCAGCATTCATCTCTAGCCTATATCAAGCATCTACACTCCTGCTTCCATCGTGGAACCACTTGCGCAGAATCAGAGCTGTGATCCATATACACCGCGATCATGCCCGTATCAATTGGGGAACTACTTGGATTATGCCATCACGTCACTTCGTCAGCCCATATTGCGGCCGGTGTTAAATTTGCTCATGAGCATAACATCAGACTAGTCATCAAGAGTACCGGGCACGATCTGCTGGGTAAAAGCACTGGCTGAGGGTCCCTTGGCATCTGGGTGCACAGCCTGGATACCATCGAGTTCTCTAACTACACCAGTGCGGTCTATAATGGACCAGCAGTCAGGCTTGGGTCGGGGTCCAGTCGTGGCAGACCCACGAAGCCGCTCCCTATAACCTGGGACGTACCCTACCGTCGCTGTGGGAGGCGTCTACGCATAGGGCGACGGCCACTCTCTCCTCAGCTCGAAATATGGCCTGTCGGTTGACAATGTCTTGGAGTGGAAAGTCGTCCTAGCTAATGAGTCATACATCGTGACTACACCCGCGGTCTAACCAGACTTATACTGGGCGCTCAGTGGCGAAGGGAGCTCAACCTACGCCATTGTCATCTCCATGATCGTCAAGGCCTTCCCTGAAACTAGCACTGGCAACAGCACAGCTGCCATCACCTACACATCCGATGGTATTTCTGAGGACACGGTCAGGGCTGGTGTAATCGCTTTCCACAACCACTTTCCTACATGGGTCGATGCCGGCGGCGTTCGTGGCCTACAGCATTCTGAACAACTTTTTCTACCGGCGCCCTCTCACCCTTCTTGATAAAACGCTAGAGGAAACGCAAGCTCTCATCGACCCATCTACCGCCGACCCTGATGAATTGGGGATCCAATACGTGTTGAATGTCACCAATTACCGCACTTCCCTTTAGCTCTTCAGTGACTTCTACGGTCCGTTGCCCTATGGCATCTATGGAAGTGCGCAGGTCCAAGGTGGCCGTCTTATTCTCCGCTCCCTTATAACATCTAATCATAGCGCCAACCTCGTTTCGGTGTCCAGGAATATCACCGCATCCGGAGACTTCATGATGATTGGGTCAGTGTGAATGTCTCCCTATCGCACCGAATGGGCTGAATCCGTACTGGCGCCAGACCATTGTCCAAACACGATTCAGTCCACTTGGAACTTCTCCATGAGTTGGGATAGTCAACTTGAGAAGGAAGGTTAAAAATATAAAATTGAAAATTGAAAGATAGATCCAATTGGTGTGGCACGGTGAAGTACTGTGCCCAGGGTTGTAGATGGAGTAGGGTTGAAGCTGGATATCGGTTCACCACTATGGCATTATTGGCATAGAAGCAGCCAATAAGAAGCTAGGGATCTAGATGGACAATAGAGAGATAAATGTCTTCGAACCGGGGTTGTTCGGACCTCTCGGTCCTACCGGATTAGGTGCAAATGTATTAATTATGAACTATAATTTTAACTTTAGGTATATATAATTTTGAATTTACAGATATGTATTATAAGAAAAATAAACCAATAAAGAGTTATTTAATTGATTCCATATAAATATTGTTAAATTGTGTAAAATTATGTTTTTATGTAAGGTCAAAAACATAGATATATGGAGGGCATTCCTTTAACAATAGAGAGCAATTAAGCCGAAACACCTATGAAGCATCTTACCAGCGTCGGATTCTGAGATTCCTCAAAAGTGCTTATTTTTGGAGACTTGTAGACTGTAATCCAATCAGAAAGTGCCAAATAGTCACCTGGGGAGGTGCATACTGCATATGTGGACTCGAGAATGGGGCAAGAGAACAGACAAGTAACTATAAACCTTGAGATACGTATTTACTACAAGCCAAATTACACAAAATTTACTGTACGCAGGGATTGCACCAGGTATCCTAGTCATAGAGGACGGAGGTGCATCATGTATGCGACGTCAGTATCATGAAACCCAACATTACGGCGCGGAGGTGCTCTGATTTCAGAATTCAGATCGAGATCGAGATTGTCTCGACTATTAGATTCTATAGATAAAGGTCTAAGTCCGTTTGCGTAAAACAGCGTTACAGTAGAGCCAGATTTACTAAACAAAATTGTGCAAATTATAGGTAAAGTTGTTAGTTATATGCGTTCCTACATGTGTAGCATGTAGGTATATGTAATGCGCAGCCGCCTCTATTGGTTTGTTACCGCTTCTTGCCGCATTTAGGCAATATCACGTAACCAATCAGGCATCCTTCACTGACCTATGCTGAGCACTCACTGATCATGATGAGTATGCCCACTGAGCGTATGACGAGCAATGATGAGCGCTCACTGTTCCGTTCACTGCTCGTAGTGATTGCTTACTGAGTAGATGTCAGGGGTTGCTGAAAATTCATCAGGTATGATGAATTAAACAGTTTCCCTTGAGAAACTTTGCTTAGGTCCACGTTTTCTGACACCCCCGTACTCTCCATTCCTAGGGGGCATACTAACGCAAGGGCTTTAATGAAGGGTCGGGATGATATTAATCGCTGTTCGCAAACAAGTTCCTACCTCGGACATTTGATCTAGCTTGGAACGATTTCATCCCCCTACGCGTGACTCGGCGGATCAGAGATGATCTTCACTTTCAAAAATAAGATGATGTTAGCTCAATTCTAGATCAGCATTATGGTGATCTCTGGGGTGCGGCGCAATTCTGGATACGACATTGCTAAATGAATATTTCGATGACCTGAGCTGAAAAGTATATGTAAAATGAAAATATTCATCATATCTCCCTACCAACACAGGATATCAGAAGTTTCCACTCATTTTCCCCAACTCAAATCTCAAGGCTGGCTGTATATTGTTCATGACTAACGCAGAGACAAATCCCACTTTTGAGGCCAAAACTGCCGTATTCAGTAATCCTAGCCTTCCCCGCGCGGCATGATTGGACAGATCAATAATAAAAAGTCGATATTCACACTGATTTCTTATTGCCAACGAATTCCACAGATTTTTGAGGGAATACAAAATGAGATTAACTAAATAGGATGGAATCTTGAAGTTATTATAGTATGGAGCATCTAGAAAAAGAAATATTGAAGCACATAATCTTCTCTTAGTAGGCAAGTATTTTTTTAATCTAGAAAGTCATATCTATGTAAGTACCGCAAGATTGCATCTTCACACTCGCCCATCACTTCCTCCAAACGCGGGAAGTCTCTTTTTCCAAGGTTTTGGAGATACGTTGGCTTGATTTTGTTGCTTAGTATATCAACTATATAGCGGCGTGACTCGAATTTTTCGCCCGTTGCATAAACTGCTTCGAACTTTAAACATAGATAGTGCCAATTGAGATCCTCTTCAGCAATTTCGTCTATCTCAATCAAGTTCAAAGCAGCCCGTGAGCGCCAATAGCGATCTGGAATAGCGATTTGCAACGCGATTCCTAAATTCGATACTTCCTTGCAATCCAGAAAATCTAGAATCTCAAACCATATCTCAAGCGGTAGATCTGGTATCATAGACTGCGGCAAAGGTTGAGCGAAGGATATCTGTTTTTTGATTCGCCTGCTTGAATCGATGATATTTTGCGTCCACGGGTTTCTGGATGGATCATAGTCCACTCTATCTTGTAATTCATACAAATTCCTTGACCATAGTTCTGAAATAATATCCCCCCCCCGTTCAGCTGGATGATGACTTAGTATCTATTCGCCAATCCAGTTTGCCATACGTACCACAGGAAGAATTTTTCATTGCAACTATTTCGTATATATTGAATGGCCAAGTGTTTCCCTCTCCCCGAAACCCGGAGATAATTCCAAAGGTAGTTCGTAGTGCTATAGCAATGAAAAGTTCAAGGTTTTCAGCTACACCAGGACCAAGTTTCCATTGTGCCAGTTTCCAGCAACTCATATGTATGCCAATTGGCAAATGGCGCAAGTCTATCTTTTCATAGTCGTCACCCAGATCGCCGTTCCACCAGGATAAGTCGGGAGCGACGTCGTAAATTTTGGTAAAATCTTTTCTGTCTCTTGGTGGTACTCCAGCAAAAGCTTTAGCAGCATCTTTGGGTGCTGTAAAGGTGGTATTAAACTGCTGTCCTATGCCCGTAAGAGTGAACTCTCCTTTAGAAAAATCATATAAAACTGTATATAGAGATCACATGTCAGTGTTTTCTTCAGAGGATTATGCATAAATGCAATTCCTTTTTATCTGGACTATAGGGGAGGAGCACGCTTACTCAGACGGTAAAAAGAGGTCCAGATACTTGCCATGTCTTTGTCAATATATTTTGACTCGAGTTCTTTTGCGTCTAAAAAGAGGACTTTCCGTTGTCCATGGCGTATTTCCCACTTTTCATCGTTCAGAAAAATAGCGTCCTCCTCCAACCAGGACGGGTTCAAGTAGGAACCGCATACACAACAACCGGAACAACTGTGAGGCCGCATCCTTGTTGCTTATATAGTAAATAAGGATTTAATTTTGTCGGCAAAGGGTGAAGATATTGAAGACTTGACTGCATATAGCACTGAGATAAGTAAGGTAAGTATATATATACTGGCTAGGTAAGTATGTCATGATGATTTGCAGACTTTCACGGTTGTCATTGTGATCTTTGACGTTGGGTTTGTCAGGACTTTTATGGTACGGTCTGTCAGCCTTAGAATCTTGGTAGTTTGGGTTTACTAAAAATAGTTCTGTATTTTAGATGAAACTATTCAGGCACGTACCAGAATCTCCCTTTTATGTGTGGAATGCGAGCACAGGCAGGAGACGAGTCTGGGGACCTCGTTTTCATCTCGCCAGGGATGCAAGCGCCATTCATTCGCGAATGATTTGGATTCGGCAGAATCACATATAAGTGCAACGGCACTACGACAAGCGAGTGGCCAACAGGGTTTGGAAAAGGCCGATGGCACAGTCAGATTCTTTTTGGCTAATCTGCTTCATGGGGAAAGCTTCGCCCATGTCCTTGATGATTGGTAGGCCGTAGGCCGAACTCTTCAGGGTGTCTCAGAAGGGCTCAACTATAAGTGTACAGCCACCAAGAAAGTACAAACATCATTGAGTTGCTTGCTTCATGGGGACAGCTTCGACTAGGTCCTTGAGGATTAGTAAGCCGTAGGCCGAACGACTCAGGGTGTCCTAGAAGGGCTTGACTATAAGTGTGCATAGATGATCTAGAGACAAACTCTAGAATGGACTGTGCCAGGATCGGCAGAAAGAGAGGGGAGGGTGCTAAAATCGGACTTCGCGCCTCCGCGTGGTAGCACCTGGGCAATGCGGTTATAGCAAACCGTAGCTAGAGCCCAGAATACGTGTCGTCGGACTCGGACAGTTTGTGTCACCAAGTTCTCATGGGAATATTTTGATGAGATAGGTTTTCCCTTGATTTGTCTCTCGGAGCGGCGCTGACGACATGCAGGACTTCGGCTGATACAGTAATCCTAAACCGTTTTAGTTTAATGATTTCGCAATCGTACCATTCAATGAATTGGACGAACGCCGTGTTTTATTTTCTGCTTAATTCTTGATCCTGTCGAGTTCAATCGAATTGTCATGATCTAGGGTCCAGCAAAGTGACACAATATTAGCTAACGTGGTACAAGTCGTGAACCGCCAGTTCATGAAAAGCCTGGGCATGAGCGAACCAATAGAGCCTTTGAACCGCTGAGTGGGTATGGAATTGACAGTCTGGTAGCGGTAAAGTTTAGGAATTGGGTTCAGTTGCAATTGAGTGTGGAGGTTACGACTTTGGAGGTTATTAATGCAAAGACGCTGAGGGCACTTTCTCACCTTTTCTTCGTATCAATAATTCCTTCACCATATAGATAGTGGTACCTAGCCGCTCACTGGATAGATCATTAAAGTAAACGGCATCACGCTATGAAGTATTTGTTCTTATAATCAGTTAGTAACATGGTTTGTTAAATATATTTCATCCCCCGATTTAGCAACCTTGTGGACAGAAAATTGAACCCCACCGAGTTGAATCCAATTTTGAACTATTTATTTATACACATGAGTTTTCCATAGTGCATGTTTATGGACGAACAGGAGACCATTTCTGCGTCGTCGTTATTAGCATATATATATTTAACGATTGTTGTTGCAGCCAAAGACGGCCAAGTTGCACGCCGGCAACGCTGATTGGCTGGTGGGGCGGCGAAGAAAGGCCACCTTCGCAGAAGGGCTTCTTAGTCGTCACTAACAGTGCGGTATGAGAGCTCTCACCTCCGAATCTCTTGCTTCCAGCCGCTCTCACTGTCAACGCCCACCCGATCAAGACACGGCGGCCTTTGAATAATACCCCCGGCTTGCCTGACTCGCATTCGCGTGTCTTCCTATTCGATTGCGCTTGTGGACAGCTCTCGATTTTGAGTACGGCGCGCTGCATCTTCCCCGCAGTCTGTGTGGGATTCATTCGTCGGTTACTGACCCCTGTGACAGTGACACTATAGCGCGTCATCCGAGTATCGATTGCACTCTCTGACCTACAGAAGGCGCTGCGCTCGTGTGAGTCTTGTCGACATCCCAAGCCACAACACCCAATTCCTCGATGGCCTCACCACAGGGAGGCTATCCTCCTCAGGAAGGCTACGGCCAGGCGCCAGCTCAACCCCCAGCACCCGCCCCAGCTCCCTCAGCCGGCGGAAAGAAGAAACGTGCCTATGCTGGACAAGCATATGAATTTGGTTCTGGTGCGAATGCGGCTCTTGGAGGACAACAACAAGGTGGTGGCAACTATGGTGCCTATGCTGCCCAGGCGGCCGCTGCTGGATATTCACCATCTGGTTTTGCAACAGACCCCGGTGCTGCATATGTTTCGCCTCAACCTGCAGCTCCGGTTGTTGGAGGCTACCAAGCGCCTGCTCCTGGATACCCAGGCCCTGGGGATGCTGGCGTGGCTCAAGTAACCCAGCAGTTTGGTCAGATGGGTGTGGCTGATCCGCACCAGCAACCACAGCAAGTTCCAAGAGCAGTCCCTCTGAACCAGCTCTACCCAACCGACCTTCTCACTCAACCTTTCAATGTCGCTGAGCTGGACTATCCACCTCCTCCAATCATTCTACCTCCAAACGTGAGTTGTCTAGACCTGTTTATTTGTTGTTGTCATCGCTAAATTTTGACTAGACAAGTGTCTATCCTTCGCCTTATGCCAACTGTCCGCCCAAATATGTGCGATCGACTCTCAATGCCGTCCCAACCAATCACTCGCTTCTCAAGAAGTCGAAACTTCCATTTGCCCTTGTTATCCAGCCATATGCCACGCTACATGATGTTGAAGATAACGTTCCAGTTATTCCTGACCAGGTCATCTCTCGATGCAGACGTTGCCGGTCATACATTAACCCATTTGTTTCCTTCTTGGACCAAGGCCATCGGTGGCGTTGCAACATGTGCAACTTGACAAACGATGTACCTCAGGCATTTGATTGGGATACCACTCTACAGAAACCAGCAGATCGCTCGCAGCGTCCAGAGTTGAACTACTCTGTTGTAGAGTTTGTTGCTCCACAGGAGTACATGGTCCGTCCGCCGCAGCCATTGGTCTACTTGTTCTTGATCGATGTCAGCTACGCCTCGGTGACGAATGGCCTCCTTGCAACGGCCGCCCGATGCATCAAAGAAAGTTTGGACAGGATCCCCAATGCAGACAGAAGGACACGACTTGGTTTCTTGGCAGTCGACTCCAGCCTCCATTACTTTACTATTCCTCGAGATGGATCAGAAAACTCCGACCCGAGGATGTTAGTTGTCAGTGACTTGGATGAGCCTTTCCTGCCAATTCCAGGTGATCTCCTGGTGACCTTGAGCGAGTGCCGTGAGAACATTGAGACTTTCCTCGACAAATTGCAAGATATGTTCCAGAACACTCAGAGTGGTGGTTGTGCTATGGGATCTGCTCTCCGAGCGGGTTACAAGCTGATTTCTCATGTTGGCGGAAAGATTACGGTGTTATCATCTTCATTGCCTAACATTGGACATGGCGCACTTACGGTTCGTGAAGATAAGAAGCTTCTAGGTACCAGCAAGGAGAGTAGCCTATTGCAAACTGGAAACAGCTTTTACAAGAGCTTTGCGGTTGAGTGCTCTAAGGCCCAAGTATCCGTTGACATGTTCCTGTTCTCGTCACAATACCAAGATGTTGCTTCCCTCAGCAATCTGCCACGATATACTGGTGGTCAGACGTATTTCTACCCCGGATGGAACGCTGCTCGTACGGAAGATGCTATCAAGTTCGCTCGAGAATTCTCGGATTATCTCTCTTCCGAAATTGGATTGGAAGCTGTGCTGCGTGTGCGTGCCACCACTGGTCTACGCATGAACACATTCTACGGAAACTTCTTTAACCGTAGTTCGGACCTTTGTGCATTTCCTGCGTTCCCTCGTGACCAAGCTTATGTGGTGGAGGTTGCCATTGATGAAACTGTTACTAAGCCAGTTGTCTGCTTGCAGACAGCTGTTTTGCACACTACATGCAATGGCGAGCGCAGGATCCGAGTCCTGACATTGGCATTGCCGACCACCCAAAACCTGGCAGATCTCTACGCATCGGCCGACCAGCAGGCAATTACTACTTACTTCAGCCACAAGGCGGTTGAACGTGTCCTGTCCAGCGGATTGGAGCCTGCACGCGAAGCTGTCCAGTCGAAGATTGTTGAGCTTCTTTCGACGTACCGCAAGGAGCTTGCTGGTGGCAGCGTTGGAGGCGGTGGTCTACAGTTCCCTGCTAATATGAGAGGGTTGCCTGTGCTGTTCCTCGCGTTGATCAAGAATGTAAGTTTTCTCTTTCTTTCTTTATCGAATTAAGCAAACTCTAATTGTTACAGCTTGGCCTCCGCAAATCAGCACAGATCCCTACCGACATGCGGTCAGCGGCTCTCTGTCTACTCTCTACATTACCGTTGAACCTTCTGATTCAGTACATCTACCCGAAGATGTATTCTCTTCACGACATGCCAGACGATGCTGGTCTGCCAAATGAGCAGAGCGGCGAAATCGTTCTCCCGCCGCCGGTCAACCTGTCATCAGAACGCCTGGTGCCGTACGGTCTCTATCTGATTGATGACGGCCAGACGCAGTTCTTGTGGGTGGGACGTGACACGGTTCCGCAGCTGTTGGTGGATGTATTCGGGGTTGCTGACAGAGCGCAGTTGCGGGTGGGCAAGCAATTCCTGCCTGAGCTGGACAATGACTTCAACGAGCGCGTGCGGGCGATTGTTCAGAAAAGCAAAGACCACAAGGCAAAAGGGGTGGGCAGCATCATCTCGCCTCAGCTGTACATTGTCAAGGAGGACGGGGAGCCTGGGTTGCGGCTGTGGGCGCAGACCATGCTGGTCGAGGACCGCACCGACCAGAGCGCCAGTCTGCAGCAGTTCATGGGCTCGCTGCGAGATAAGGTATGATATCATGCAGCCAACTTTAATAACATCCTTGATTGATGGCTGACCGGTCTTGACGCAGGTTGTGCAGTAGTTAATGGCGAATACAAGTGTTTATTATTAGATATGTAGCGTCGAGCATTCGTATTCTTATTCTTATTCCACCATCCCTGCGCCTGGTAATCCTGGTCCTCCACTGGCACCGTGTCGCAGCCGGACTGAATGTTTCGCGCCAAGGGGAGCAATGTGATTAGCTGCTTCACAACCGTTTCCAGTTTCCGACGTGTGTGTAAACATAGCCCTCGTAGGTTTAATTATGTCGCAGCAGCAGACGCCACTAATGTTTGAGAAGGCAAACTGTGGAGCAGAGCCCTGCGACGCCCGCGCTCCAGCAGGAGTGCTGATTGGCTGGCTGCTGTGACAGCCGGGGCCCAAAATCAGGTCACTCTGATATTATTACAAGAGTATCTTACAATAATAGTCACAGGTCTGTCAGCTGTTGGTTACTCTCGTGCTGTTACTCATTATTGCTATTAGTACTATTTGATATTGAGATCGAGATTGATATTCGACGCCGATGTATAGTACAAGCGCTGTGAGTGGCTGCAAGCGTGCGGTACTGCCGGGCCACTCGTATTTTTGATTGGCCACTCTGATTGGCTGCACCTCGTCTCAGGCACCCTTTTAGCCTTGCGCGCGGGGGGTACTGTCACCAGATTACGCTCCCGAGTAAACTACAAGAGGGGAACCGCCCGTGTGATTGCCCCACCGGATGGCTGCTTGCTCTCTCTCCCCCCATCTCGACTTGTTGACCTGTGGACTTGTTCACGTTGTCTCTGCTTGCGTCCTTACCTTCCCGCTGCATACAGAGCTCGAGTAAGCGCTCGACTCGGCCTGGAACCCAAAAAATATATATACTCGCGCGGACAAAGCTTGCTTGGAATTTCTACACTCCGACGTGATCGACCCCACCTCCCGTCACATATACTAGGTCGCCCATTTACCTGTCGTCTGTCGCCTGTTCCCTGTTTATAGATTATCCCTCTGGTACGTCTCCAATCATTGTGTATATTAGACGATGTTGCTGGCTCGCCACTGAGCACTGGACCATTGCTGTATGACTCAAGAACAGCGAAATTAACTGCATTATGCTGACCCAAGTCTCTCCTAAGCGCGACTTATTCGTATTGTACCATCTCCCTCTCGTCTATCCGCCAGCCTGATACGAGCCTACGACTATATGCTATAGGACTGGATGCCTGAGTTTTCGAAAGTGCAGCTATCTGAGTAGTCTTTGGAACACCCTTGAAGCGGCCCCTTTGTGTCTGTGAAACGTGCCATATCTCGCTGAACTCGCCGGCGGATCAACAATATATATACTTGCGTGCGCCAATTGACAAGGCGTCTCAAACGAGAAAGTATAGGTATGCGTGATTACTTTTCGTTGGCTTGTTGTCTTGAGCGTTTCGTCGGGGCTCGTCGTCATATCTTGAAATCGGGGGGCTGGTAGCGGTCACTCGAGTCTATTGTTGTTCTCTTCAATAGAGCGGATTGCGCCAGCCACCTCTTGTTGTTGATATCTGCCTTGTCATTCGATTTTTGCTTTTCTCCCCTCTCTCTGTCAATATCCTGTTTATCCTCAAGTATTTGCATTGACAACGTCTTATCAGAGAGCCACCATGGCTCAAGGTCAAAACTCGCAAGGAGGGTCGAGGAAGATCTCCTTCAATGTGTCGGATCAATATGATATCCAGGATGTCATTGGAGAGGGTGCTTATGGTGTCGTCTGGTAAGCCTGACATCTCTGTGGCTAAGCACCATCTAATATTCACAGCTCTGCACTGCATAAACCTTCAGGGCAGAAAGTAGCTATCAAAAAGATTACGCCATTCGACCATTCCATGTTCTGTCTCCGAACACTACGAGAGATGAAGCTACTGAGATATTTCAACCATGAGAACATTATCTCCATTCTTGATATCCAACGACCTCGCAACTACGATAGCTTTACCGAAGTTTACCTCATCCAGGTGCGTCTTTCACTCTTTTCTACACTACAGAGAAGCTAATTCTTACAGGAACTCATGGAAACCGACATGCACCGTGTCATTCGCACGCAGGAGCTGTCCGATGACCACTGCCAGTACTTTATCTATCAGACATTGCGCGCATTAAAGGCAATGCACTCTGCCAATGTCCTGCATCGAGATTTGAAGCCATCCAATCTCCTGTTGAATGCGAACTGCGACTTGAAAGTGTGCGATTTCGGACTTGCTCGTTCTGCAGCGTCAACCGACGACAACTCGGGCTTCATGACAGAATACGTCGCCACTCGCTGGTACCGTGCTCCTGAAATCATGTTGACTTTCAAGGAATACACCAAGGCGATCGATGTTTGGAGTGTCGGCTGTATCTTGGCAGAGATGCTGAGTGGGAAACCATTGTTTCCTGGAAAAGACTGTAAATCTCCTGACTCTCATCCGCTGTCTACAACTAACCATTGACAAGACCACCACCAACTCACCTTGATTCTCGATGTCCTCGGCACACCTACTATGGAGGACTACTACGGTATCAAATCCCGTCGTGCTCGCGAGTACATTAGGTCGTTACCATTCAAGAAGAAAATCCCCTTCAAGGCGCTTTTCCCTAAGACAAACGATCTCGCCCTGGACTTGTTAGAGAAACTGCTAGCTTTCAACCCCGCCAAGCGCATTACTGTCGAAGATGCCCTGCGCCATCCATACCTGGAACCATACCACGACCCTGAAGACGAGCCAACTGCAGACCCGATCCCTGAAGAGTTCTTTGATTTCGACAAGAACAAGGATGCACTGAGCAAGGAGCAATTGAAGGGTGAGTCCATTACCTATGTCCCATCATTGCAATTCGCACGTTCGCATTACTGATATTTGGAATGTAGTTCTTATTTATGAGGAAATCATGCGGTAAACTGACTCTCCACACATCTGATTAAACAATTATCAAAGAAACTACATGGTCTTTAAAAATGGATATTTGACTTGAATGTGAAATGCAATGTGTATGAGGCCTTTTTTTTGTTAAGCGATTGTTATGTCCACGAATTCTAATAAAAATTGAAATCTTCCGACTCAGTCAAGGTATCTTCTGGTCTTCAATACTAACATCATTGCCTGTACAAACGCATTTTCACGTTTCTCGTCGCCGATAGGTACTTAATGTCGATATATACACCCCATATGTTACTCTTACACTTCCCCTTGATAATACGCCCGAATTGCCTCTCCCACTCCCTCCGGACTAGGCCGCTTAGCAACTACATCCGGCTCAACCGCGTATTTCGTGCGCAGATAGTCGCATGTAGTGGGGCCGATTGTTGCTATCAAACACTTCTTCTTCGTTACCGTCTTCGTACCCTCTACAGACGTACTCGAGGGTAACTTGCCAAGAGTTCGAAGGACCGCATCGCACCCCGTCGGCGAGAATATGACCACCCACATACTCTCCTCCTCATCGCTCTGACCATCACCGCTTCTATCCCTGTAACCCCGCTCCCCAGCATCAACCGCACCCCGAAAAGCATCCTCAAACCCAGCCATTTCCGTCGTCTCATACACCACCAATTCATCAACAATAATCCGCTGCGCTTCGTCTAGTGCTGGATCCATTAGAGTCCTGGGTATGACATCGCGGCGTTGGTCGCCGACTAGGAACAGCAATCCCGGCTTATCACTTCCTTTTCCGTCGGAGTGGTTGTGGCGCGGATTGTAATGCTCAAGGATCATTCGAGCTAGATTCTCGCCATTGCCTGCCTCTTCACCGTATATCGTTGCAAAGGGCAGGTATTTGTCGCGCAGGGGCGTGAGGAGACGAGTCGTCGCGGGGCCGACGGTGTACAGGATCATAGATTTAGATGCTGCCGTTGCTGCCTCAACTACATCATTGCTATTAGCTAGCTATCTTTCACCTCTCCATTATAAAGATTGGAAGGAGGAGACGAACTTGGAATGTTATTTGCCAAACAATGCCCAAATGCCTCCACGGCTCGCTGGCTCGTGAAAATCATGCCTCCGTATTTCTTTTTACTTAGTGTGTCACCAATAAATGACGTCTCCCCCGCCGTTGCCATTGTCATCGCAACCTGTGAACTCTGGAAGTATGACTTTAGAATAGATAAATTAAGCTCGTGGAATCGATGCGAGAGCACAGGTACAAAAACCGGCTTGAAGCCATGTGCCTCTGCGCTTCCCGACGAGGACAATGAGGATGGGAAGTCATTGTGTCGTCGGAAGTATTCATCGTACAAGTCACGAGGCGTCGTCGGGGTTTTGAGGAGGAAGATTGGCGGTCTCCTTGTGTTGGGAGGTAATGAGTTGGACATTATTATGATGTCGGTTTATGCTGTGGTTACCGCATGTATGCGTGTAGGTTGTTCGAGTAGGTGTTTATTAATAGGGAGGAGAAGAGGTGGACAGGGGGTAGGTAATGTACAAGTAAGAATGGTGTAGGATTGAAGATCGATTGAGTTGAGATATGAAGAGATCAATTGATGTGGCGCCGGCTCGGATTCTCAAGTATGGATGCGGGGTGCGGAGACATTCGTGCCACACCAGTGGCGCCTATCTTTACGATGGAATCTTTCGGAATGGAAGACTTCAATGTATTTCTTAGTAAATATAGTAGTCCCTACTGCTACATATCCAGCATCTCTTCAACGTAATCCTCCAAATTGATCATTCGAAATTGAGTCCCCCACTTCGCTCGAAACGCTTTGCGTTTGTATGCAAAACTCGTGTTCATGGCAAAGCTGACCAACTCGACAATCCAGCCTTTCTGCAATGCACGCTCAACCATGCGCAGGAATCCCCCGGAAAACTCGGCTTCCGCCGCGTCCCCGGTAGCCAGCACGATGGTGGCTGGTTTGTCCGTGTCAATTAGACTTTCCAGCATTTTCAGGTGTAGAATTTCGTCTACACCCTGCTCAACCCATCTTTCTGGAGGAGAGAAACCCATTTCAGAGCTCGCTCCTTGATTGAGTGCGTTGCGGAATTTTGCTTGTCGGGGCGTGAATTCTTTTGCTTTGTGTACGCGACTGAGAATGTTGACCTCATAGCCGAGTTTCTCGGCTTCATTGATGGCCGGAAACCGGTCTGATCCAGCAAGAACCTTCTTCGCCACAGGTCGACCGCGCTCTAGTATAAGTGAAAAGTTGTGAAACGATAATGGCAGTCGCCGGATCTGCGTGCTGACGGGAATATCGTGGTGAATCTTGTAGCAGTCATGAAGACCAATCGAAATATTTGATACATCAACAAAAACATGCAGGTCGGAAGAAGTGCGCGAAACAAAGTTATTAACAGGCGTGAGACCCATAAACTCAGGGAAATGCTTTCCGAGTTTGAGCACTAGCCCTGCTTTGCGGTCTGCTGACGATTTATAGCGAGATTCCTTCTTCGTTATGTTCTCGTAATTTCTCAACGACGGCTTGTTGTCTTCTTCGCAAGAAGATGGTGGTGTTAATACATCGCCAGTTTTCTCAATGGCGTTGACTTGGGATGGAATGAATGCTAGAGTAGATTTGCGTTGCACTGGAGAGTCGAATATGCTGATATCACCGTCTGACACACCCCCGACCGTGGAGTCTGAAAGGATACCAGCAGAAGCATCTTGGTTAGAGGCAGACTGATTCTTGAAAGAATCGACGTTGGTGGGTCCTGTTAGAATTGATATTGGCTGCGAGGAAGCCAGCCTGGAGATAGGATTTGAATCATCGTTAGAAATAGGGTCAGACGATTTGTCGACAACCGAAGATGAGGTTGTTCGTGTAGGTTGTCGGAGAACATCCCATAAAGCATCAAAATCTCCCAGCCGTTTATGCTCGGGAGTTTCTAGAGTAGGAGGAGCCTTAGGTCTTGTCAGAATGGCGGTAGGTTCATAGCGGCTTGCTTTCGAATCATTTCCCGAAACAGCCTCTTGGCTCTTCGAAGGCTTCGTAGGTGTACGAAGGAGATCAATCACCGCGGTGAAGTCCCAACTTGAAGCAACATTCGCTGATGGCATGGAAGTGATGACTCATGCAATATTGGGATAGTGTTCGATGTCGCCGAGGGGACAAGAGGTATATGGGAATGCCGGTCACATAAATTGCAAGGCATGAGATAAATAACTCGCTATAAAGAAACCATCTTCTATCGATGCGGATTGAAAAATAAACAGTTGATGCCTCAAACGAAGCGTGATGAGTGGCAAACGGTAGTTGTTACCATTAGGCGGCTGGCAGAACGTCGTTCACCGCCTGCCTAAAGAAGGTGGTCTCGCTGCGCACGTGATAGACCGCATTTGGCCTACAAAACAGTGGGTCTGGCCGCGCCACACGTCATCGACAAGCCACGGCGATCTGCGTGCTGTTTGCGGAGGTCATCACTACGTCACGAAATGCTCTTTTCATCGGTTTCACTGCTTCCTTGGTTTTGCTGCCCACAAAATGGTGCGATGGAGAAAACTTATTCGGTCATCGCAATGTCGTCATGGTCAATGCGGGTATGCGCCATATACAACATTGAAGTATTTAATCGAGCTTGATTCCTCCTGAATGATCATCCTTCCTTCAACAGCAACTTCAATCAGAAACAAATCTACAACTTCCAGACTCTTAAAACTACTTCACCAAGAATAAATCAACATGTCTGACGACGGTCGCAAAGATTTCTCCACCAGTATGTTCACACCCTACCCATGCACTTCGTCGTGCTCGTTGTGCAGATAGATAGCTAACGAATCTCTACCTGCAGAGGCCAAGGAGGAGATTACCCCTGACAGCACCAAGTCCACCCAGCAGAAGGTCAAGGAGACTTTCACTGACACCACCGACCGTGTCGCTCGCGGCGTCCAGCCTGACGACAACAAGTCTGCCGGCCAAGCTGCCTTTGACAAGACCCAGCGCGCCCACGACAATGAAGCCAACGGCGGTGCTGCCTCCACCATGTAAGCTTATTCCGAGTCTGGAATGCCCTCAAGTGACGCCGCTAATCCTCTGTTTTCGCAGTGGTGACAAGATCAAGAACACCTTCGGCTTGAACAATAACTAGATGTCAAGATCTCAGCTGTAGTGCTGTGTGTGCATCTTGACCATCACTGGCCCGGGGTTCTACACGACCCGCTATGACCTTACTTGACATGATGTATTATACCACTAGTGGAAATTAGCTATCAATCTAATATCGTTAATCTTCAAATGTGTTCCTCAGTTTTAGTAGTCCAGTCACGTACATTTGCATGATTAACGTAGCTCTGATAATACATCATCTTTCAGCGGATATAGCTTTCTCGAACATTTGATCACGCTCTTGAGTGAGATCAAAAAGCTCCCTTTCAACTCGCTTGTACTCATTACTTGCATCTTCCACGTTAGGGGGCAGGTCGTGGAAGGCCTTGATGTTGCGCCCTAATTGATCAATCGCTTCTTTGAGACTGAGCACCTTCTCCTCTTCGTCAACTAGATCTTGGATTGTCAGCCCATTGGTGTTCAGGCTCCTTTGAAGTGAGGCGGCTCTATCCCGGTACTCCAGCACTTTAGCACTAAGAAGTTTAAAACTGCGAATCCACTCCATCGTCTGCGAAGACAACTCTGCAGGCGTTGCATATGCCGGGTGTGTTTTCAGCTCTTCAGCTTCTTGGCGTGATGAATCTATTTCCTTGTCGAGATAGCTTTGCAGCGCTTCAACTTTGCGTACTTGATCGGCGGCATCAAACTCCTCTCGAGTAAGATCCATAATGGCATGTGCCAGCTCCGTAGTATCGCTCGAGAAGCTGCCCAAAGCAACGGCCGTCTCCGCCATATCGTTGAGGCTTTCTTCTCCTTTAGCGTCTAGATGAGCTTCTATGTTCTCAAAGATGCTCTTTTTAAGTGCATGCTCGCTCTGTTCTCTCTCTTTGAGAGCCTTGACCACTTCTTCACGCGCCCGGTGCACCAAAGCTGCTTCCTCATCTGATGCGTCATTAGCGGCAGCAATCGCCAGTAACGTCTTCAGCGTGTCTTCGTTGCGCTCGAAAGTAGGCACATTGTTAGGCGAATATTTGCGGCTGAGCCAGGAGTTAATATAGGCCCAGTCTTTGGCTTGGATGGCTGCCTGCCGAGCCTTGGCGGGAGAAATGAGAGGAGAATCCATTTCCCCTTATAACTTTCGAATATAGATTAATGGAGAAATGATTAGCTTGTCAGCGTATCCTTGAATATGTTGTTGGTGTAGTAAGTTTGCGGGCCGCTCCTGCAGCCGCGCACAGGAAAAAGGCGGAGACCGACGTGTCTTCTCCGCATAATTAATTTGTCAAACACATACCACCGTCACGCATCGTAACAACCCCGCAATGAAGAGCTATTTCTCCAATGCGACAGAAACTACCGCAGATGACTCCAACGTTACGTCCCCTCTCGGCGGAGCCAATGTTGCGCCTCGCTCGAGTGCTCTCTCCAACAGATTAACCAGTGTACTCTCCGCATCCTACGCCGACTCTGACATCCGCGATGCACTGGAAACTCTTGACATCAGGGGAACCCATAACACCCCGGAAACGAGGCGGCAGCTAAGGCTGGATGTACAAAAGGAAGTCATCAGTTGTAATGGGAAGATAGTGGCGGATTTTGGAAAAGTGGCAGCGGTGAGGAGGGGCCCAATTACAATGAGCGAGGAACAAACACTTACATCTCTAGCAATTGAAACAACTGGGTTCGGTCATCGTCGATCTACAGCAAATATGTGCGGAAATGCGGAAGCACGTATCACTATCGAAACAGGAGACAGCGGCGGTACTTGATGAGGCCTCAACTCTTATAGAGCAGAAGAGTGAGACTGAGACAAAACAACGTCTGCTTGATGCATTCAATAAGCATTTTGTTGTGCCAGAGGAAGACCTGAACACCCTTGTATCCTCTGCGGAGCCGGTGGATGATCACTTCTTTGCCATTCTGGCCCGAGTGAAGCAGATTCATAATGACTGTCAGGTACTACTCGGCGGGGAGGATCAAAAGCTAGGAACGGAGATCATGGAACAAAGCTCAAAACAATTGAACTCAGCCTACCAGAAACTATACCGGTGGATTCAGAAAGAGTTCAATTCTTTAAATCTGGAAGATCCACAAATCAACAGTTCAATCCGGCAGGCTTTACGGGTACTCGCTGAGCGGCCAAGTCTGTTCCACAGCTGCCTTGATTTCTTTGCAGAAGCTCGGGAGTATATCCTTTCAGATGCCTTTCATCATGCATTGACGGACACGGTTTCAGGAGCCGAGACTGACCGGAGTGTTAAACCCATTGAATTTTCTGCCCATGATCCTTTACGGTATGTAGGAGACATGCTTGCCTGGGTACATTCGGCCGCAGTCTCGGAAAGAGAAGCATTGGAAGCTCTTTTTGTAAATGAAGGCGACGAGCTCGCACGAGGATTCAAGTCGGGTATTAGTAGCGAACCTTGGTCTCGCGTTGATGGAGAGGAAGCACCTGTGTTTGATGGACGGAAAGCTCTCAATGATCTCGTCAACCGTGACCTTAGTGGTGTATCGCGATCCCTACGCCAGCGGGTTGAGTTAGTGATCGAGGGCCATGACAACCCTGTGACGACCTACAAAGTCGTCAACTTATTAGCATTCTACAAAATCACATTCTCAAAACTGGTTGGCCCAGAATCCAATCTCGTCGAGGTTGTTTCGGCACTAGTGGACTCTACTTTCAAACATTTCGAGATCCTCATGCGTGATCAAGCTCATATATATTCGACCGATCCCCACAGTACAACCCCACCAGACGACCTATCAGTTCCTCAGTTCCTTGCTGATCAGCTGGAGGTGCTAACCTCGCTGATGAAAGAGTACAATGCGTCCGTTGGGGCTACTTCTGATGTCAAGGAGCAAGAAGAGAACCGATTCACCCCTGTTCTGCGGGTTGCTCTTGATCCGTTCCTTGACATAGCCAAATCTTCGGCTAATGATCTGGACGATACAAAGGCATCAACAATCTACAAGACCAACATTCTCCTAGCTGTCCGCACAACAGTATCTTCATTTACTTTTGCGTCCGCAACACACTTGGTTCCGATATCTAATGTCCTGTCTAACATGCGCATGGAACTTCTCGACATCCAGCGCCAATTTCTCTTAGGGACGTCCGGACTACAAAAACTCTTGACCGCACTAGAACCTTTCTCCCAGCATCACTCTTCAAAGGCCCAGTCAGAATCTACCACCACAAGAACACAGAACCTGGCCGAAATCGCCGACCTAGCGGCCTTCCAGCCCGACACTTTGTCGGCTATCAGCCAACAGCTTGACGATTTCCTGCCCTCTGCCCTGATGGACGCTACCGATAACTTGAAACGCGTACGCAATCTGTCCCTAGTAAAGTCAGTCACGGAAGAAGCTGTGGAGGAATTCTGTCGCGACTTTGAATTCGTCGAAGGCATAATTATAGGTGCGGACGAGGCTAGGGGTACGAAAGTGGACATGTCTCGAATTGAGATGGAGAGTGATATCGTCTCGGTTAGCGTGCGAGGAACACAAATTGGAGGAGACGAGGCGGAGGCTGAAGGAAAGCATAGCTTAAGAGCACTCTTCCCTAGGACTGTTGGGGAGATACGTGTTCTTTTGAGTTAGATATATATACACGAGATCAATCCACGATATAGATTTTAATCATTGACTTTCTACTAAAGCAAAATCTACAGCCCGTATCAGGCTCATATGTAATTTTGTATACCTTCAATGCTATTTCCGAACCACAAAGCCATATGGGTCACGATCAGCCCTACTAACCGCAACCAATGGCTCAGCACCAGTAGGACCCTGACCCCCCAATTCTAGTTTAATAGCCTCTGCCAGCTTATGCTGCATAACATCAAACAGATAACCGCGTTCCGTATTCGAATGAAATAACGTAATCACGACCGAGCCCCGCTCAATCGCAGCTAGGGCTTCGTGATGGCTCAACTCTCCCGTGAACAACAAATCTGGCAACTCTGCTCCTTTCATGAGCACGCCGCTTCCTGACCCTGGACAGACACCAACAGTCTTAATTCTCAAAGCTGGCACACTCGCACCATGTGGAATGGCAATCGATAACGCGCCGGGATTGCCAGTGGCCGTGCCAATTAGGTCGATGAGCACTAATAGCGGTTGCGCAATCTCAAATGTGACGATGCGGCCGGCACCAGCGCCTTCAAAGCCGTCAGGGATGGGCGCGGGGGAGGGATGAATGGTGGTTCGTGTATGCGGAATTACGCTTGTAGCTGAGATTTCGTTGTTTCCAAGCTTAGGGTAGATGATACCGGAATATCGTAACGACGAGGATCCGTGCTCTTGATCCTGGCCTTGCGGCCCGGATGATAAGTTGGATACCGCGCCGCTGACGATATCGCAGAGCCAGTCTGCCATGCCGCCTGGGACTGCGTCGACGGCGGTATGCGGTGAATAGACACTGATTCCTTCTTGTGCTAGGCGTAGGAGGGTTTTTTGCTGGGGGTCTTGTAGTGTGAGGGACTTCAGACCGCGGAATATGATAGGATCTAGAACATTATCAGTACACATAGCTTCATAGTACTTTTCGTGGCTTGTTTTATGTGATTGCTGTACTGACGGTAGGCTACAATGATTGAATCTCTCCGAGCAATGGCCTCATCGGCAACGGCTTTGGTGAGGTCCGTTGTCAGAAGCACGGATTTTTTGAGTTGTTGTTTGGCATCGAAGGGGGATTCGAGGAGTACTATTGGGTAGGTCAGCTTGATAACTATATATATATTGTATGGTCAGTGCTTACATCCAGTGTTATCGAAGCTTTTGTCTGCTAGAGATTCTGGGTAGCTTAGAATGAATTAGAATACCATGCCTAATAACATAATGATAGCATATGAAAGGAAAGGAATTCAATTGATAGAAATCGAAACATACATCGTCCGCATCGCATTGACAACAGCTTGCGAGAAAGGCGACAGTGCTGGAGTGGCAGCCATTGTCGTGAGGTAGCGTGGTCGAAACTGGAGGAAGAGACTATAGCAGAGAAAACGCGGCATAAATATTAATTCGGTCGATTTTCATAAGCTGGTACATCAATTGATATGATGATGTTGATGCAGCTTGAAATTGGATTAGCTACGTATGTGGGGTGCAGCTGATTAGAATTTCCGCCTTCGTCATCGGCGAAAATCGCTATTATTAATGCTAGTGCTAGCTAATTTGCATCTTCTTCAATCAGTCAACGTCAACAACAGTAATTACAACCACATCCGATGAAATAAGATCGTCTCCATTGACCTCCTCGCAAACGCTTTCATGTTTGCCCGCCGCGCCGACCTGCTGAAAAGAGGCTGTCGCTACCTCGTCCACCCGAGCCCGAACTACAAGCCTTCCATCCACCGCGCACCAGCCTCGGCGGCACCGTTCTCGTCGCTATCCTCGCGGGCTTTTGCTGCTGTAAACGCAGCGATGGCAGACACAGCTAGCTCCTCGGGCGTGACGGCGGACGGGCTGAAGCAGAAACTCGCGGCGCAGTTGGAGGCGCAACACGTTGAGATTGAGGATATGTCTGGTATGTATATACAAGCATTCCACATATGCAATGAGGATGCTGATTGGAGATTGATTAGGCGGCTGTGGCCAGGCCTTCCAGGCGATTATTGTTTCCCCGCAGTTTGATAAAAAGACCATGCTTGCTCGGCACAGGCTCGTCAACTCGGTTTTGAAAGAAGAGATTGCCGCCATCCACGCTTGGACGCCCAAGTGTTATACGCCCGAGCAATGGCAGAAGCTGCAGGAAGAATAACTGGTTCTACGTGGAGATGGGAGCGACAGCCGGGCTGTCTGATCATTGTACTTAATACACCGAGGCATTTTATGATACGTAAACCAGGCTATGTTTTCATCGTGTTATATTTTGTTTTGTGAATGAATATTTATTGCAGAGTACAATATTCAAATCTTTATACGTGCGTAGTGTTGGATTATTGACACATTTAGGAAAGAACCTTTTCGGCGGCAGAAACTGTCGTCTTGTCAGCAAAGATAACCAACCAATATAGAATAGGGAATATATACCATTGACACCAGTGTTATCCGGCTCGACATGGGCTTCTGTGACCTTTCCATTCTCAATGACCAATGCGTAGCGCTTGCTTCGCTGGTTTCCGAAAATTGCAGCGCTGTCGAATCCCAGGTCGAGGGCATCTGTGAATGCACCAGCGGGATCAGCTAGGAAGCGGACCTAGAATTATTCAGTTTTGTTCATTTTTTTTATGGAGATAGTTGACGTACGCCGCTCTTGCCGGTAGGGTCGAGGGTTGTGCCCCAGGCCTTCATGACGAATGGGTCGTTGACGGAGACGACGAACACACTGCCGGCGTCTTTGAGCTTGGGGTGGCTGATGTAGCCAGGAACATGGGTGCTGGAGCACGCAGGGCCTATACAGATGGAATAAGTATATTATTAAGTAGAGGTTGATAACAGTATCAAACGGAAACCAGGGCAAGTTAAACACATACTAAACGCCGCAGGAACGCCAACAATGACAGCTTTTCCAGTTAATTCCTTGGCCAGATTCACTTTATTGCCCGGTGAATTCTCGACTAAATCGACATTGGGGACCGCATCACCGACCTTGACGAATGCAGGGCGAGTGGCATGGAAAAGGGCCGATTGGGCTGCGAAAGCGCGAGGAACCGCGGATGTGAAACGGCGAGTGGCGAACATGCTTTTCTTGGTTTTTCTTCTTTCTTCTCCTTTTATTCCTCTCTGTGTTGAGATTCTGGGCGGAAGGTGAGCGTGAACGGTCAATTGATGGCGATTGATTGAGGCTTACCGAAAGCTGCGTAGGACAAGCGTCGGACAGCTGGTATGGTGGAGGAAGCTCTAGCTTCCTCCGGCACTCGCCTATGGCGTCATTCGTATACATTAATTAATATTAGCATCCAACATTAAAGACTGGATTCTTTCCTTTACACCTCGTGCAGCAGAATCCGTGTATCTGTATTATGAATAGCTCGGACTGCACATTACATTGCCTACACCTCATTCGGTCGTTACATGCAGGTAGTTAGAGCACCACAACGGCGTGGCGATCATGAGAATTATTGCTAATTAATATTGACAAAATCGCAATATGCTTGATGCAGCAACTAACAGCAGAAGAATAGGCAGCTATGCATACAGGCCATGTGGGTAGGTGTGACAGCCTACAGATCTTTCCATCTTACCGTCGTCCGCCGACTTCGCGTGGTTGGTCTGCGGGCAACAGCGGGGATTGTCGCTGTGATCCCATGCTTGACCTTTGTTATTGTCGTTGTTGCTGTGATTGTGATTGTGGTTGTGATTACTGAATGGATATTGATTGGCTATGCTAATAATAGGAGCTTATTTGGCCCTGGCGTTCATTGACAATAACGCAGAAAACGTATTTAATAGTATTTTGCTGTAATACGCGAACCAGGATGCTATTGCTATGACATAATAAGTATGCACCCAACAATACATGTAATAACGCCCACATCGATGCTACTCCCCGTAGTATGGCCAGTAGTATGAGCAGCCGAGTACCCATGATGGACCGGATGCAACGCCAGTGGCCCCGACCGCAACCCCTCCTCTACTGCTGTTAGCAACTCAGGAAAAGCTAAAAGCGGAGGAATAGCTCCTGCACGGTGGCTGCAGCACTCCACTGCCAAGGCGTTAGGCTGTCTATCACCCAGTCCCGTCAGCTGGCATTGCCTGTAGGAGTGCGTAGACAGGCAATATTGCCATTGATATTGACTGATATTGGCAGGGACCGCATATATGATATAAACAAAGAGAGCACATCCACCACTCTGCACATATACATGCTCCTCCAGCACTGGCTCTCTGTAAAGTGTAAAGACGCCCCACATGGCCCTCTGTCTTGACTGAATGTCTCAACTAATAACAGCAGAAGAAGAACAGACTAAACCGATGGCGAGCCTTAGCAGTTAGGCTGAACCACCCCCCCGGCCAGAGTCAGTCCACCCGCCAGTAGTCACCAGCACCAGCACCAGTCACCACTTTCTCTCGACACCCTCTTGGCCAAAACCGAGAATCATCATTGCTGCCAGAACCTGCATGCACGCCGATTTCTGACTGCAGCTGCTCGTGCCATTCGCCGTTTTCTTTCCTCTCCAGGCCCGTTCTTTACCTCCCCTGGTCGGGAAATTCCCCTCCTTGCGTCCCATCATCGTGTGGCTCGGCTCGATCCTGTGCAAGCAAGCCTAAGCCAGCCCGCGGCCGGACCAGAACGGTAGAACCTGTTCCATGACCAGACTCCCCTCTGGACTCTCAGCCCGCTGCGACCTATCGATAGACGATTATTATAATTATTATTATTACTGAATAACAATAATAATCGCATCATCGCGCGCTTCTATTATTAGTCATACGCCCGCGCCGAGACAAAATTCCATTCAGGGAAGATCCTGCATCGCAGATTCGTCGACCGCCGCCGGCGCCTTGGACGCGCTTTTCACGCCGCTCGCATTGCGACGGGGTCGACGATATACAATATGGACGTCCAGTCTTCCAATGCCAGCGGCGCTGGTAACTCCAGTGACTTTGTGCGTGATCATCTGTTGCTTGCCAATGTCGTTGAGCCTTTGCTAATGGTTATATCTAGGTGCGGAAATTATACAAGTAGGTTTTCTCCCGTTGCCTCTCTACCAGCCGTCGCCATTTGGATCCCATCGCGTGTGGATCGACCGGTGCTGAGATGTGAATGCAGAATGTTGGAAGACCCGTCATACTCGGAGATTGTTCGATGGGGCGATGAAAATGACAGCTTTGTCGTGTTAGAGGTGCGTGGTCATCCTGTCGAAATTCTCGGCTCGCAAGACTGATTGCCTCGGCTTCGCAACAGTGCGAGAAGTTCACAAAATCCATTCTTCCTAAACACTTCAAGCACAGCAACTTTGCCAGTTTTGTTCGCCAGTTGAATAAATATGATTTTCACAAGGTCCGCCAGAACAACGAGGAAACCGGCCAGTCGCCCTATGGGCCGAATGTCAGTTACACTGCCCACTGGAGTGCCGCCCGCCAATGCTGACCAGCTGCTCATAGGCTTGGGAGTTTAAGCACCCTGAATTCAAGGCTAACAATAAGGACTCGTTGGATAATATTCGAAGGAAAGCGCCAGCGCCGCGTAAAGCCGCCCAGATGACCGAGGAAGCTATTCCATCCCAACAATTCGATTTGATGAACTCTCAGATCATCGCCCAACAACAGCAAATCCAGCAACTGACTGATCGCAATGCACAATTAACCGTCGATTCGCAGGTGCTTCTACAAGAAGTGATGCGTACGCAAAAAACAGTTGTACAACACGAATGCGTCATCCACCAGTTTATGAATTACTTGATCACAGTTGATGCTCGGCACCGTCGCGAGAGTCGTGCGAACGGCACCTTTACCAGCCAAGATGGTGTCAACCCCGTTCCAGTCGACGATATTCCTGCATCGCCATTACAGACAGCATCGAAGATTCTGAACGACATGAATTCACAGATGCATACGAATCTTGGACATATGGAACCTTTGAATGATCCTGCTAAGCCAGTGATTTCTACACCTCCATTAGCTGCCACAGCACGCAACGGAGTCATCCGCGCACCAAACTCGGCCGGATCCAGTGCGTCGATCGCCTATCCAAAGATGAACGGAGAATTGGAGACTGTCGTCTATCCTGTAGGAACAACCAATGGTATTGACCCGATGTACAGTGAACACGTGAACAACATTCCATATTCTATTCCGCCACCAAAGGAATTAGCCGTCGACACTGGTGAGGCGCGAAGACAACAATTCTCGGATAACCGAAAGAAGAGCGCACTCGTTAATCCAGGATGGATCAGACAGCCAAACATCTTACTTGTTGAGGACGATGATACATGTCGACAGATTGGCGGAAAGTTTTTGGGCTCCTTCCAATGTCAAATTGAATATGCCGTGAGTTTGACTGCAATCGCTCAGCTCAACTCTCTTTTAACATATTCTAGTATGACGGTTTAGAGGCTGTCAACAAAGTTCAATCAGGCAAAAGCTACGACTTGATTCTGATGGATATCATTATGCCTAATCTGGACGGCGTATCTGCCTGCCATCTCATCCGTCAAACAGATCGTACACCGATTATTGCGATGACATCGAATATCCGTAGCGATGATATTCAGCTGTACTTCCAGCACGGTGAGTATTGTTAGCCCGGATAATTTCAAATAGTACTAAACTCTCTAGGTATGGATGACGTTTTGCCGAAGCCCTTTACTCGCAAGAGTCTGCTTGATATGCTCGAGAAACACTTGGTTCACCTCAAAACCATTCCCCCAACGATTGATGCGGTGTCGGCCACGCCGATGACCACGCAGACCTCGACGGCGCAGTCGATCAAAGAAGACAGCTCTCCTGGACAGTCACCGGCGACGCCGATGAACAACTGGCAATCGCCGGGCCAACTGCAAGGCATGTCACCTGTCCATCTTAATGTACAACAGGTACCGCAACCGTACATGCAGCAAATTCCTCAAGCTCCCACAACATTTGCGATCGACCAAAATGGAGTGCAATATGCACCACCCCAAGCGACCATCAACCAAGCCGCTGCTGTTCGGCCGCCACACCGGCGACAGATTTCTGAGATATCTGGCGTGCAAGATCCTGCCGCCTATACCAAACGACAACGGTTATACCAGAACCCGCAAATCATGGGTCAACAGAACGGCTGATTTGCGCTACATTCTTTCATTCCAATTCTATGCATACTACAAACCAAACATTCTGGTGGGGAGAACTCATCGCATCCGATTTGGTACATCTGCCGGGCGGGCGTTCTCGGCGTTGACACGATTTGTGGAATCTCTTTTCTCTTATCTTTGCATATATAATTTATATACCATTTGGAATTACTACTCTGTTGAAAGGGGACATACTGGCGGTAATGACCTGTTTTGTTTTTTCCAGTCCTAAAAGGTAGGGGCGGCACGTGTATACCTCTTGACAGTTGGCTTATGACTCTTATCGACCATTACGGCGGTTCTGTCATTCTCTTGTTCATTTCTTTCTGTTCTGTCTGTTCTTACTGGTTGTACCTGTCAAGGATCGACCCATTGACTATAATGTGTTGGTCAATTATTGTACTCCTGGCATATTTCTAGCTAGGGCTTCTTTCGAGCTCCCAGAGAGCCGCATTCTACCACAAATACTTGTGGCTTGATAAAATAATGCGCATTGCGCCTTACAGCCTGCGCCAATAAGTCATTGCATCTTCCTTCACCTTGTGCGTAGTATATTATTCTATGTAGTAATAGCACTACAAGGTAGTAGGTAGATAGCAGTGTGTAACTCCGGGCCAGCTCTCCACCGAGCTCGTTTCTTTTTTCGCGTCACTTGCTAAAATAAGAATGCTAATAATGTTTATTTTGTACAAGCCCCTGTTCGACAGGAACCAGGGGGGGCGGTCTAGAACGCCTGTCGTTGTCCGGGCCTTTCGCAGCCCTCAGAGTCTGTTGCGTTCTGGGCCCTCCTGCGCCTTTCCTGCGCCGTGTTGCTCACTCGCTCCTCACCGCCTTCACTGACCGCCCTGAGATCCGCGCTAGCCTGCATTTGGGATTCTGCCGGCAGACCGTCCCGCGCTTTTGTGTGTGATCCCTCTCGTTCAGCAGTCACATTTTGGTGACTCGTCGGTTCATGTTTGCCTATCTGGCTGTGCTAGGCTAGCTTCATATCTACTGGGTCGGATACTGCTTGCAGAGACGCGACCAGGATTTCTTCTTTCTTCACTGAATATCTTTGGTCCACGGTCAAATTCCAACTACCCCGCATTATTCGATAAAAAAGAAAATCGAGACGAAACAATCGGCGAGCCTCGAGAGCTTCCACATATTGAACCTTGCTCTCTGCGCAGGACGAGATGGGTCCGAAGCAAAAAGGTGGCGGCGCTGGAGGAGCCTCAGGGAAGCAAAAGGGAAACACTGCAGAGGAGGTTGAAGAGGTTCTGCAAGCTGTTGTATGTATTCTGCGTGGTTGGAGAGCTATGTTATTGATTACTGACTGGCTGTTGGCTAGGTTCTTGCTGATACTTTTGAAACTCGTTTCGAGCCGTTTTCGTTGGAAAGACCGAGGGTATGTCAATATTTTTGATATACATGTATATGGCTGACGGTTTAGTGTTTACTACCGCTCGCGAATACTCCCTTAATCGAGTACACCCTCGAGTTCCTTGCCAATGCCGGTGTTCAAGAAGTCTTCCTCTACGGTGGAGCACATTCTAGTTTGCTGGAAAAATACATTACGTATGCTGCCTTACAACTTGGGTTAATTTTTCTGTCTGACACATTGGTAGTGCCTCGAGATGGAAAGCATCGTCATCGCCATTCCGAAAATTCACCTTCCTGAAATCAACCGCTACTTCTGTCGGCGACGTTATGCGTGATCTCGACGGCAAGCACTTGATAACCGGTGACTTCATCACAGTGAGCGGAGATGTCATCAGCAACCTCCCCATCGAGGAAGTGCTCGCCAAACACAAGGCTCGCCGAGAAATCGACAAATCGGCAATCATGACTATGGTCTTGCGGGAAGCCGGTACGCAACATCGCACCAAGGCATCATCTGCTTCGCCGGTTTTTGTGATTGATCCGACTAAGGATCGGTGTTTACACTATGAGGAAATTGATCACCATCATAAATCTTCGTCTCGGCTGAATATCGATGCTGAGTTGATTACTTCGCATGCTGAGATCGATATTCGACAGGACTTGATTGATTGCAGTATTGATATATGCACGCCTGATGTATTGAGCTTGTGGTCTGATAGTTTCGACTACCAAGCGCCCCGAAAACACTACCTACATGGCGTGCTGAAAGATTACGAACTGAATGGGAAAACGATTCACACGCATATTATCAAAGATCACTACGCTGCTAGAGTCAGGAATTTGAAGGCTTACGATGCAGTCTCCAGGGATGTCATCTCGCGCTGGTCTTATCCGTTGTGTCCGGATACGAACCTCCTTCCAGGTCATACGTATGAGCTTCGAAGAGGGAATTTGTACCAAGAGCGGGGAGTTATTCTGGCTCGGTCTTGTGTCATCGGACGACGGACGGTGATCGGCCAGGGAACTAGTATTGGCGACAAGACGACGGTGACTAACTCGGTGCTGGGGAGGAATTGTAAGATTGGGAAGAATGTTGTTCTTGATGGAGCCTATATCTGGGACGGCGCTGTTATTGGAGACAATACGGAGATTCGACAGGCGATTATAGGTGAAGGAGTCACCGTGAGCAGTAAATGCACAATTGAACCGGACTCTCTTCTCTCGTTCGGTGTGGTGATCTCTAGTGGTGTGACTGTGAGCCGTGGTACGCGCATTACGACTGCTCCTCGCGAGGATGGCAGTGTTCCAGCCAATGACGCGAAGGTTGTTGGAGAAAATGGACATGGCTATGAATACTCACCAGAGGAAGACGAGGACGAGGACGAAGACGACAACCACAGTGTGTCTTCTGGCTTAGGTATGCTACTTTACTCTACTCCGCTCGATACTATTGCCTTATCTTCAGCATACTAACTTGTGTCAGTCTACAACATGGCGAACCTATCCCTATCCACCGAGTCTATTTCGACTCTGTCAAGCGAAATTTCTGGAGACGATGATTACTACCAGGGGCAACAAACAGACAGCTTTGGTACGTCTGTCTCGGAAGACGAGGACGACCACGACCACTTCCAGCACGATGCATCGTCGAATATCTTCGACAGCCTGCGTGATGGCGTCTCTGCAGATGTAGTACAGCTAGAGTTGGTCAGTCTGCGCATGAGCGCGAACGCCTCTGACCAGCAAGTCCGGCGCGCCGTCGCCAGTTCATTCATGAAACACGTGGCCCAGTTGATTGAATCCGGGAAGGGCGCGGGCGACGCCGTCAAGGGGGTCTTTACGCAGTACAAAGAGGTTGTGGAGCGTAGTCTATTTGACAAGGACAAGGACGAGAAGCCTGATCAAGTCGACCTGTTATTGCAGATTCAGCAGGACCTGGCACACCGTCCCAAGGGCGACACGATCCTGCTGTTCACCGCCAAGGAGCTCTACGACCTGGACGTTGTCGAGGAGGAGGCATACGAGGCGTGGTGGGCGGATGAGCGGTCGAGCAGTACAGAGGAAATGCGCAAGGTGCGTAGCCAGACGCAGCAGTTCGTGGACTGGTTGGCCAACGCATCGGAAGAGGAGGAGAGCGATGAGGAGGAAGAAGAGGAAGAGAGTGACGAGGAGTAGATAATTCTATTTCTTAAAAGTGCATGTCTAGCAAGTGTCGGTTGTCACGGTAAAAATAGTAATGTACATGGACAAAATCCGAGATGAGATGAATGGTTGACGTGCCAACGGGGCGCATCACGAGACATATTGTATAATTTGGGACTATTGTCACCTTAACAGACAATGTCTGTCCTGATTTCTGTTTTTCAACCAAAAAAAAAATACACAATACAGATGACGATAATGAGGATATTTGGCTGACATCATCTCTAAAAAAAACAGCTTGACTAAGGCCCGCTCCGAGCCGGACGATCGTCAAAAGCTCATTCGATTCGTATATTATTTTTATCTTGCGAGGACAGGACGATACAATACAATACTATTCTTGTGGACTAATATAGAGTTAAGCGTTCATTGTAATGATTAGTTCGGGGGTTTCCTAATCAATGTTGAATTTCCAGAAATGACTGAGATCGACATGACCAAATGGACTCAGCCTTGCACTTTTAAATATTATTAACTTAATATATATACACATACGTATTATAGATATATGCGTATATGCAATTCAATACTCAAAACTCATTCAAAATAAAATATACATAAAATATACTGACTGTCCCAGCCCCAAGCCACCCCACCGCCCCAGTGCCGTTTCTGGCTAGCACAGCCCACTAGTAGCACGATCAATCAACGCCTGATCCAAAGAGGGGCCGAGGGGCCGCCAGGCATTCCCATTAGTGATCGATCGGCTTCGGCGCTGCGTCTCCCTGCTTTATCGCCGTTCCTGCTTGCTTATGATTTATTGCTATTGCATTTGCCTCTGATCAGCCATCAGCTGTCCTGTCCGCCACTGACGCTCTCGTCTTTTCTTGGCTCGTATTATTACCTCCACCACCACCCCCCTCCACCGCCTCCCTGTGCGTGACTGCCGTCATCACAGCCAGTCTGGACTGTTGTGTCTAGCCTCTCGTTATTTGCTCCAGCCCATCCCCAGGAAATCCTTCACCACGCCTCCTCAAACGAGAAAGAGAAAGGCCGTCGAGGCGGCCACCGAGGACGACGAGCGAGAGGCTCCCCTACCAGCAGTCAAGCTAGGCAAGACAAAATCGACGGCCTCGAAACGGACAAATCCTGGGAAGACGACACGTGCGGTGACGAAGGCGGAGGAGGAAAAAGAAGAAGAAGAAGAAGAAGAAGAGAAGAAGGATTTGCTGCAGTCCAAGTCTACGACTGAAGATATCGACGGCCTCAAAAGCTATCCGGTTTCGCTGAGAAAGAGGGTATCGGATATCGCCACACCCGCGACGACTAACGGCAGTATGGATTCTGACGATGATTTCATGACCGATGTGTCGAGTCGGGAGGATGATTTTCTGGGTACCCAGGGAAGTGATGATGAGAGTCTCGGTGAAGGTATTTCGATTCTTTAACATGCTGATGGTTATATTACAAACACTGACAAGCGCTTGTTTACTCTAGATTTCGGAGACGACTTTGACACTGGGTTTTCCTACGATAAAGATCTTGTTCAGAATAGCAAAAAGCCATATGAGGTGGATTTCAAGGTGCTCAGTCCCGGCGATATTGATCGCGAACAGAATCTGCAGATCAACGAGGTCTCGTCGATTATCGGCCTCCCCCAGAGTCGGCTGGCATTCTGCTGCGGTTCGCACGATGGAATAGAGAGAAATTGATCGAGTCGTATATGGATAAACCAGAAGAAACGTTGGAGGAAGCCGGGCTGGGACAGAACTTTGAAGGAAATCCCGCAACGGAGGTGGTTCCAGGGTTTATGTGTATGATTTGTTGTGAGGATGGTGACGACCTGCAGACATATGCTATGCGGTGTGGGCATCGTTTCTGTGTCGATTGCTTTAGACATTATCTCGTGCAGAAGATCAAGGAAGAAGGCGAGGCTGCTCGGATTCAGTGCCCTCAGGACAACTGCCATCGGATCGTTGACTCCAAGTCGCTTGGACTACTGGTAACGGAGGATCTTAAAGAAAGGTGAGTACGATTAAATTTACATCCTGAGGGCTACTAGCTGACGCCGCAGCAGATATTATGCGCTATTAACCCGAACCTATGTCGACGATAAAGACAATCTGAAATGGTGTCCCGCGCCTAACTGCGAATTCGCCATTGACTGTCCTGTCAAAGCGCGGGATCTGAACAAGATTGTTCCCACTGTACACTGTGCGTGCAAGCATAGTTTCTGCTTCGGATGCGGATTGAACGATCACCAGCCACCGCCATGCTCGCTAGTTAAGATGTGGGTGAAGAAATGCGAAGACGATTCCGAAACGGCCAACTGGATTTCCGCAAATACCAAAGAATGCCCCAAGTGCCTGTCGACGATTGAGAAGAACGGCGGCTGCAACCACATGACATGCCGCAAGTGCAAGTACGAGTTCTGCTGGATGTGCATGGGCCTGTGGTCTGAGCACGGCACCAGCTGGTACAATTGCAACCGCTATACAGAAAAATCCGGCTCGGAAGCCCGCGATGCGCAAGCCCGGTCTCGCGCGTCTCTTGAACGCTATCTGCATTACTACAACCGATACGCTAACCACGAACAGTCGGCGAAACTCGACAAGGACCTGTATCTCAAGACAGAAAAGAAAATGACCAGCCTACAGTCGCAGTCCGGCATGTCGTGGATTGAGGTGCAGTTCCTGGACACAGCGTCACAGGCGCTACAACAGTGCCGCCAAACACTGAAATGGACCTATGCCTTTGCTTATTACCTCGCCCGCAATAATCTTACCGAGATCTTTGAAGATAACCAGAAGGATCTGGAAATGGCAGTCGAGAGTCTGAGCGAGATGTTCGAGAAACCGGTCTCGGAACTTCCGGGTCTCAAGGTGGACATCCTCGACAAGACAGCGTATTGCAACAAGCGTCGGGTTATTCTGCTGAGCGATACTGCAGAGAATCTCAAGCAAGGTAATCCATTCCATTCCTTTACTTAAAGACGTCATGCTGATCCGAATAGGTGAATGGGAATTCAACGTGAAGCTCTAGTGGCGCCCTTGCGCCCTATCACCGCACCTTCTTTACCTATTTCCACTCGTACCATAACCACCGAAGACCAAGATATTTGCATGACCTTCCTAAGCCATGGGGTCAGTTGATCTATTACTAAGAGTTAAGACTGGAGCCTTGATCATCACGTTGATATTTGCGTCCTTTTGTTGTTTCATTTTGTATGTCAGCGAGCATGGATTCTCATTTCTCATTTCTCATTTCTCAATTTCTTTACGATTCGTGACCATGACTATTTCCCTCCTCAAACGAAGACGAAGACTTCACTACTTGGTAAACTGTACTATGCATATCAATTATATAAGTGTTGAGAACACGGATGGTCGCATTTTTCAGCTCCGTAATCGGACCGCAGGCCGCTCCGCGGGTCTTGCGCGGATCTTGTCGTTCTGCTAGGCAGAGCCGTCCCAGTAGTAGACTAACCCAACTGGCTTGACTAACAGAAATCCGAGCAAATTGTTATTATTGCACCTGCAACACTGGCGTTGAAGGAGCTCGGGGTCGGCCTTTCACTTTTCGAGGGATATATCACCGTTCGGTGTTAAAGAGGCTCGGGCGTAACCACAGGAGATATTATTAATATCAATATTCATCGAATGCGACTCTCTGGCGACATTTGAGTAAATGCTATTCTCGAGAATAGTATAAACAATAGCAATAATTCCAGCAATTTCAACCATTCCAAAAATTAAAAGAATGGAAAAAGGCGTATGAGGAGGGTTCAGAGTCCAGACTATATCAGATGAATAATAATGTTGAGCCGAGTCCGGGACAGCCCAGGCGCCGACGCCAATGCCAGCGCCAACCAGCGAGCGATCCCGCCACAAGCAGTCCGTAAATTTATTATCATCATTGATTGCTGCCGTCTCTTCTGCATCTTCAGTCCTCCTCGCCATACCATTCAATTTCATTCGCTCTTAGCTCTACCCCCTCTTTTCTTCCTCTCTTCTACTGCTGACGAGATCCAATTTTTATATCCCTGGCCTTCCCGACTCCCGATTGAACAGTGTCGTGTCGACTGCGGGCATCTCGACAAACCACCACAGCTTCAGCCTGTCCCATCTTTTAATCGCTCGTGCTCTAGAGTCAGTCTGCGGCTCCGGCTGCGCCTTCTGAGCTTTTTCGGCTCGAATGGCGGAACAAATCCCAGGGCAGGAGTACGAGTATGTGTTGCGTCCTTCGTGCGGCCCTGCATTATTCCCATCACATCAATCCAAAGCTTTAGCGAATTGACTACTGACGCTGATTTTTATTTTTCCACCAGGTATGAAGCTCTTCCTTCCAACTATGGTCTCGGCCACAACATGCTCGCCGGTGCTTTCGCAGGAATAGCGGTACGTTATGTTTTTTTTTCTCACCTCGGATGTACTTGATAAAGTGGCGGCTTGAACCTCGGAACTGACTTGGCAATGAAGGAGCACTCTGTTATGTACCCTGTCGATTTATTAAAGGTATGTTGGGTGTCCCTCGTGAAAGTATGCTGTATTCAATCGATATTGACGAGTTCGCCTGTGCAGACTCGAATGCAGATTTTACATCCGTCTACTGGAGGCCTATATACCGGTATCACGAATGCAGTGTCGACGATTTATCGCATTGAGGGATGGCGGACATTATGGAAGGGCGTGTCGAGTGTGATAGTTGGTGCTGGTATGCGATTCTCGGTCTGAGTGTGGTTGACTTGGAATACTGATGTGTTAATGCAGGTCCTGCACATGCGGTGTACTTTGGCACATATGAAGTTGTCAAGGAGCTGGCGGGTGGTAATGCGGACGACGGCCACCACCCGGTCGCTGCTGGTAAGCAAAATCATCATTTTTGTGACAGATTCATCGGTGGTGGGTGCTAATCTCTTTCAGCCCTTAGTGGAGCGTGTGCGACGATTGCCAGCGATGCCCTCATGAATCCATTTGATGGTTTGTCTCTTCTATTCGATGATAACACGAGTAGTGATTTCTGACTTTACCAGTTATCAAGCAGCGCATGCAGGTTCATGGCTCCGTTCATAAGACTATCGCTCAATGCGCGAGGTCGGTTTACCGAACGGAAGGACTCCAAGCATTTTACGTCTCTTATCCCACCACCCTCTGTATGACTGTGCCATTCACTGCGACCCAGTTTGTGGCATACGAGTCGATATCGAAATTCATAAACCCCAAGAAAGACTACGATCCATTCACTCATTGCATTGCCGGAGGTCTCGCTGGTGCCGTTGCGGCTGCAATCACCACTCCTCTCGACGTGATCAAGACGTTACTCCAGACTCGCGGTCTCGCAGTGGACCAGGAGATCCGCAGTGCCCGAGGCCTGTTTAATGCTGCGGCTATCATCAAGCGCCAATTCGGATGGAAGGGATTCCTTCGTGGCATGCGACCTCGCATTGTTTCTACCATGCCCAGCACAGCGATTTGCTGGTGAGTTGACTGTTGGCGTGTTTTGGTCTAGTTAGTATTGACAATCATCCAGGACGTCTTACGAGATGGCCAAGGCCTATTTCAAAAACCAAATGACCGACAAATAAATACATAACAACATCCTCCTCATTTTCTCACCATAAAGCGGCGACGACTTTTTGAATCGAATCCTCTTCAACCATCTATACAACTTATGTAGTAGCCACGGCTACGCTTCAATTTGGCATACTTTTCGACCTGGGTTCCGCATTGTACATTGTTTTATCCCTCGAGTCTGGAGAGGTTTCACCTTATTTTTCTGGGAGTCTCTACGGTTTAACAACATTGTTCAGGGCGTCTTCATCACACTTCAGCATGAACGTCTTTCTCACGTATCGCTTGTTTTCCCGGGATTTTGTTAAACCGGCGTTGAACCTGGGAAAAGGCGGCTTGTGTTTTTTCCCTATCTATTTTATCTGCGGGTTTTCTCTAGTCTTTGGGCCTTGTAATCATAGATATACGAAGAAGAGAGGAGCGCATATGCGATGTGGTACAGCACTTCCAGACACCGATCATCACAGGTAATTAGTAATTGCAAGTCGACTGGAATAGTTGAGCGAAAGGAGATACGTCGACTTTGGACTTAGCTGAAGATCATGCGGTAGTAGTTCTAAAGTACTTAGTGCTTAGTGTGAGTAGTATAGAAACTACGTCACTAACGCCCAACGCCCCGTGTGTTCACAGCGAGACAACCATAAAATAGAATATTCGCAATAAATCCAGTAAAAATATCGGAATCCTTCTATGAAATAAAATATATAAAATATACACATATATAATAAAGAAGCATCGGGCAGCGACTCACCATGGCAGCCAACGACGTCACGCGAGAGAGCACCACTCCAGTGTAAACCTCCACATTGCCGCTTGGACCGACCATTTAGTCAACTGCATGTCAACGTCCATGATCCACGCAGCTCAGCCACATTTCTCCAGTCACATTGAGCAGTAAGCACTGCGATATCAATGACTTGAGCCTGAGACAGTCTCATCTCGTCCCCTCGTCTGCCCTCCCCCGTCTGCACTCCTGTGTGCGCCTTTTCTCTGTTTCATGAGTCGGTGGTCGCATGGCGGATTGACCTCCCCGCCCGTTACCCTGAATGATGCGCTCAAAGCCCTCGTCTTCCATGCAGAAGACGTATGACGAGTGCTACTTGATGTGCTCCACTGCCGTTTACTTTGAGGGCCAGGTACGTGTTATCTGATGCAAGCAATGACAAAGTGTTCCTATCCATGCTTTGCTCTTTCACAATGAATCACCCAGCTCACGTGCGTTTTTGGACTACAGAACAACGAGGCAGAGGCTCTTCGATCGTGGCGCTCCGCTCTCGAAACTATATACTATCACAATGCCTATCGCGTGCCTGCCAACTACAACCCTAAATCTGAGACCGAAAAGGCACTGCAGGAATCCCTTCGCCAGCTGGAGCTACAATGCAAGGAACGAGTCGATCTGCTAGAGGCATTGCAGGAGAGTAGGAAGGAGTCCGAAGAGAACCCCGAGGAGAATAAGGACTCGAAACAACAAACCCCCTCGCTGTCGTCGTTCTCGTCACGACAGCCAAAACTGGAGAAGGGGAAAAGACCGTCAAATGGTGTTGGTGGGACGAATAGCAGTACTCCCGGGTGGATTGGGGACGGTACTATACCGGCTGTTGATTACATGGATTTGTCCAAGCCGCCTCCTTTGCCTGTGAGACCGGCAGTGGCTTCAAAATTGTCCGCTCCTGCTGTTTCCGCCGGTACTAGTATGCCGCCTCCTCGTCCTCTGTCTCTAGAGCGGAAGATTAGTAGTGAGGCGGCTCGCCAGAAGGCATCCCCGTCCCCGGTTCCGGGCTCGTCACCAATTGTCAAGGAGCCCTCTCGTGGGTCGAGCCCTGAGAGGCGGAAGATAATGCTTACTACGCTTCGCCAGAAGAAAGACTCGAAGAAACCAAAGCCCAAGAGCCCTTCCAGCCGAACCACACGTCCCGCAGCTTCAAAGGCGGCAGGTCTGGCTTGGGGAACGACTGGGCAGGGATTTTCTGGGGATGGTTCATCGGCAAACCCTCGCAATAGTACATCTAGCGATTCCGAGCTGCGTAAAGACAAGGAGAAACCAAAATCACGGCCAAACGAAGAAACATCTAGACAACGGGAACGGAAGCCTGTGCCTGCTTCTGACTATATTCTCAGCTCGAACTGGCGGGAGCCACAATATCCAGACCAGATTCAGTCGTCAGCTCCACCTGCATACAGCCCGCAACCAACTGCTGGAAATCTAGATGCTGCAGCTGCGGCTGCAGCTCTAGCTCCAGCTCCAACAATTGATCCGACCTTTAAACCCCCAGTGTCAAGACAGACGAAGCCGCTCATTCCCTCCAAATACCCTGTATATCGTAAAGAATACCTTTCCAACCCGCATCCTTCTGGCAAACCTGTCGGTATCATGCCGATGAATCGATCGGCCTCCGCGACCCAGACCCCAACACTAAGTGCAGCTGAGAATGAATCCCAGTCTCCGAAGAAATCAATGCCTAAATCACAATCAACACCCCGCAAATTGAATTCTGCTGTTGAAAATACAGAATCGACCTCGTCTGCAAGTGGAGACGAACCGACTCGTACTCAAAGGTCGGGTGCGAATCTTGCCCGTGGAACTGCTGCGGGACGAAAGCCCAAAGCTGCTGTTCCTCCAAAACCAAGAGTCACGCCGCCTTCAAGTGACCAAGACTCGGCGGGAGATAGCGCCTCTGAAACAGAAGGAGACAAGAGTTTCCGGGATATCATCAAAAAGCTACCAAAAGGCATCGATGTTAATGCAGCTCGACAGATTCTGAATGATATAGTTGTTAGAGGTGACGTGGTGCATTGGGATGACATTGCTGGGTTAGAACCTGCTAAAAAGGCGCTTAAAGAGGCTGTCGTGTACCCTTTCCTCCGACCAGATCTCTTCATGGGTCTCCGAGAGCCTGCGAGAGGTATGTTGTTGTTTGGCCCACCGGGTACTGGAAAGACGATGCTTGCTCGCGCAGTAGCAACAGAGTCCAAATCGACCTTCTTCTCTGTGTCAGCGTCTAGTCTGACATCAAAATGGCATGGCGAAAGCGAGAAGCTCGTGCGCGCCTTATTCGGACTTGCGAAAGCATTAGCACCTTCTATTATCTTTGTTGACGAAATCGATTCTTTACTATCCACTCGATCATCTGGTTCCGAACACGAGGCCTCGCGACGCTCAAAAACAGAGTTTCTAATCCAATGGTCTGATCTTCAGCGTGCAGCAGCAGGACGAGAGCAAGACACCAGAAAGGACGGCGGCGATCCTAGTCGTGTGCTAGTACTAGCAGCTACCAATCTTCCCTGGGACATCGACGAAGCCGCACGCCGCCGATTTGTGCGGCGTCAATACATCCCTTTACCTGAGAACCACGTACGGGGGCAACAAATCCGAAGACTTCTGAGTCACCAGAAGCATGAAATGACGGACGAAGATATCGAAGTACTAGTCAGAGTAACTGAAGGTTCGCATCGTATCTCTAAAACTCATGAAAATATGCCCCATACTAATGATTCTAGGCTTCTCCGGCTCCGACATCACCGCTCTTGCCAAAGACGCCGCCATGGGCCCTCTACGTAATCTAGGCGAAGCACTCCTGCACACACCTATGGACCAGATCCGGCCAATTCGATTCGAAGATTTTGAAGCAAGTTTGTTCACTATACGGCCAAGTGTGGGCAAGGAGGGGTTGAAAAGGTATGAGGATTGGGCGAAGGAGTATGGAGAGAGGGGCGGTTGATCATATTATGTATATGTATCAGCTGTTATGAAGGAAGTTTATGATGTGGCTATCAATATCAATTGATACTGGGCCGGCGAATTAGCTGTCTACTGAGTAATCGCTCATTACAATCTAGGAATCTCAACATCTTGCTGCAGATGGATATTAGACAGTTTACGTAGTCAAAATGTCAACTTGTCGATGTCAATACATCAATTTGATATATTGTTATCTTGATACGAATCTAACCCACTGTTCCGAGCACTACTGTACAATGCATTGGGTTCTGTAGTATACAAGCTAGCAAGATTGAACAAACAAAAGAATTTAAAGGTCAGACCGACGCTACGAAGCAACAGCCGACGTATTCACCCTCTCCTCAACCAACCTCTTGATCCTCCCAACATGAAACTGCCTCTCCAAAACTCGTCTCTTCTGCCCCTCAATCTCCTCCCCCTGCAACGCCTCCCCATCCTGCTCCACAGCCTCACTCGCAGCCCTCTCCATCCGTCTCGATATCTTCGTCTTCCTCCTCTCCACATCCAACTCCTCCCTCTGCTCACGCGTCAACACCGGTGGTCGCTGGTCAATACCCTCGCCAAACGGTGCAATGATTTTATCAACCACATGCCTGACTCTCGGCGACTTGCGCGCGCCCGACGAAAACTCAATCACGTCACCTTCCCTCAGTGAGTTCTGCGGGTCAGAAACAAGGTACGTGGTGACCTTGGGGTACCATTTGCGGATATGCCGATCCCATTTGCGGTGATGGTATGCGACGCGCACAGTTTTCTCCATCAGGCCGACCGAGGTCACCGTGCCGACTTTGACGGCGTATGGATATTGGCGTAGAGGCGGGAGAGTGATGTTTGAAGGGAAGACATCGGTTGGGGTGGATGGTGAGGGTGTGGGTTCTTCCTCGGTTGCGGTTTCGGGGGCGGTATCCTGGGGTAATGTGGATGAGGGTGGGTGGTCATTGTTGCTGTTGTTGACAGCTAGAATCGGTCGTGAGGTGGTGAGAGGGCGCTGTGGAAGGGAAACTCTGGTTGCGTAGCGGGTGGCTGGTGTGGATGACAGGATGGAAGAGCGCGACGAAAGCCAGAGGCTGCGTAGAGCCATGCTACTTGGTGGCATTCTGGGATAGTTTCTCGACCGTCAATTCCAAATGGATCGATCGAGGAGCAATCAAGTCGTGCTATCCGCCTGAATGGCCGACCAGGAGGTTCACACTTCGTATCGGCGAGAGTACTTTCGTATTCGGCAGAGTGGGAGAAGAAAAATCGAGCAGAGATATTACTTCTGAATAATGGATCGCCTTTGGTGTTTCGAATTCTAGATTCAGGAAACGGTGAATGCGATTGCTGTTGACCTGAGCTCTTTAAGACGGAGATGCTTGGACTCCGCAAATTTGAAGTCTTTTTAGTTCCGCCAGGCTGTTTACACTGTTTGCATCCGCAAGCTATGTCGTCCACCCAATACCATCCCGATATATTTGAGATATTTGATTGATAATTTACGTATTCTATGGATTTATGATAATAAAGAGGTGAGAATAGCGTGTTTTTTTTTTTATGTAGAGCATAGATCATGTTTCACCATGTAGCTACCATATACACCCATATCTACCACACACCCATACGGTAATTAATCAGTATGAACAGTGCCAGGTATGAATGTAGTGATAAATCTTGTATTATATCATGCAATAAGTGTTCAATACGAACTGAAAACAAACCAAAATACAACCGCACATGCCGTACCAGACGCCACCCGTTTACCAATTGTATCGATCTTCTTAGCTCTTTAGCTTGTACCATCTAAATAGAGCCAGGAGTAGAACATTAAGCCTTGGGAACGTCCTCCTCCGAAGAGATGGTAACGACATCATCGGCTTGATCATTACCATTGGCCAACGGTGCAGATGTTCCTGGAATCAGCACTGAGGCCTTTCTCAGTGAAACCTTTTGTTTTGAATGCGCCGAGATACGTTTTAATTCGTTAACAAATGACTGGCCCCAGAACGCACTTGTGTATTTAGAAACGTATTTGTCAAGTTTTGAGAAATTGAGTGCTTTCTGCTCTTCGCTCATCGTAACCGCCTCTTGGTACGCACCGGCGAGTTCTTCGGTATTCCATGGGTTGACGATGATGCTTCCATTGAGAGATTGGGCGGCCCCGGCAAATTCGGAGAGAACTAGCACGCCGTGTCGGTTATGTTGCGTGGCAATGTACTCGTATGCAACGAGATTCATGCCATCTCGGGTGGAAGAGACGATGCAAGCATCTGAGACAGCATACAGCGCAATGAGCTCGTCAAAATTGACCGACTTGTGCAGGAAATGAATAGGCATGAACTCGACAGTGCCTATAGAATAGTTAGCTTTAACAGTCTATTATAAGTATGGTAAGTGAAGATGACGCACCGAATTTGCCATTGATACGACCAACAAGTTCATTGACAACAGCTCGCAAATTTTGATATTCCTCCACATCCTGTCGACTGGGAACTGCAACCTGCACCAACACCACTTTCCCAACCCATTCCGGATGGTCGCTAAGGAAAACTTCCAGCGCATGCAGCTTTTGCGGAACACCTTTGATATAGTCTAATCGGTCGACTCCAACCATGAGTTTTACTCCGTGGAATTTCTGCTCTAACGTTGCAATTCGTTTTTGAACCTTTTCCTTTTGAAGGCCCTCTTTGAATTTGTCGGGATCGATGCCGATGGGGAACGCCCCTGCAGCGACAATTTTGCCTTGGAACTCAATACCGTTTGGCGTAGTCATTAATCCACTAGATTCATTAGCCACCACAACCTTTATATACCTAGCAATACGTACAGTAGGCGTGAGCAGCTGCTCAAGAAATGGCGAGTGTAGTCGTAGGTATGGAAGCCAATCAAATCGCAATGCAAAACACCCAAAAGTAGCTCGTTTCGGACAGGCAAAATCCGATATATTTCACTACTAGGAAATGGCGTGTGCAGGAAAAATCCAATCTTAACATTCTGCTTAGAAGAGCCTATCTCCTCCCGCAGCATCTCCGGAAACAGCATTAAGTGATAGTCGTGAACCCAAATGAGGTCCCCATCCTGCACATCTCTAGCAACGGCCTGTGCAAACAGGCGGTTAGCTTCTTTGTATGCTTCCCAGGCAGATTCGTCGAAGGTGATTTCACCGGGGTGATAGTGAAACAGCGGCCATAGGATAGAATCTGCAAGCAACCATCCAATTAGTCGCTTGTCAATGCTATGATCTTACTATCGTAGATGGAAGGAACGCACTTGAGAAACCATTGTAATGGCGATCAGCCAATTCATCATCAATGAAGACCGGGATCGCCCCGTACTCATCATTGAGTCTTTTCTCCACCACTGGGATCTCTTCCTCAGGAACCTCCAGGCCCGGCCAGCCATACCAGCGGAAAGTCGTCGACTTGGTCAGGCCACTCAGCCCGCTGACCAGGCCGCCGGACGACATGGAGAAGTCATATTTGCCATCATCCGAGCGCTTGATTGTGATGGGCAATCGGTTGGAAACGAGCAGTAATCTCGAATCGTCGTTTTGCGGGCTTTCAGCTGTAGGCATCGTGGCGAGACACACTGATTGATCTCAGTCCGCTTCAAGCTGCCGACCGCTGGTTAAAGAGCGACTGTGGTGGCGCGCGCACGAATCAATACCAGCAAGGGCGGCGTCTATTTGAGCTGACGGGCAAAAGGTGCAAGGGGAAAAGCAGTAGCTATAGCTGTCTGCAACAGTCAGTCAAACTATCGATCCATCGGGGATGACCGCATCGATGAGATTCATCATGTGTATGCAATGCAATTAAAACAAGGAATGCAGCGGGTAAAACTGGGGCAGCAGCAAAATTTCCAATGTGTAATCGTCACGACTGCGGAGGGCGCGTGGAGAAAGCAAAAAAAGGGATCGCATTAACAAATACATGTATTTACCCAGAAAGCAGAAGACTCAGCAGCGAGTGACGTCTTCCTGTGCTCACCAGACTAGTGGTGACGCTGGTCAGGTCTAGGTGGCAGCGGTGACGGCGATGGCGATGGCGAGGGCGAGGGAGATGGTGGAGGTGGAGGTGGATGGATAGTGCCAGATGTCAAGCAGCAAGCTCCTCAATGGCAGCTTCATCGAGGGGTGGCATGAAAAGCATCAATGATATGTATGTACACAGTAGGAGACGAGAGACTCCGCAGGCGGAACAGCGGTTTGGAGGGGCATGGGCTGGGCGGTGGTGGATGCGGCAGCGCTGTTCCTAGCCAGCCAAACAGGCGGTGCTGATGCTTTGTCAGTAGCAGCTCCAGCGCCTGCAAATATTAGTATAATATATAATAACCAGTCGTTGTAGCACGTACTATGCAGTTAGTATGCGCAGGAGGACTAGTGATCACACGCAGTGGTGTTCCTGCAGGTTTTGTCGTTATTGGCCGCAGCCCCCGCCCCGCCTAACCGTCTCCATACACCGTCGGCTAATTGCCATATTGTGCATAATAGGACTATTAATTATAGACAATACAACAATATTATTGCTGACTACAGAACTGTTATAGCTGGTGTGTCATGGCCTGTATTTTCGATGCTGGGCGTGGTCGTCGTATAAAAAGATCATGGTGGTGAGTGCCAGAAATAAATTAAACAACGCTGTCTTACAAAGCTGGTCGTTGTGTATTCCAGCTCCATTTCCCCGACGCGCCCTCATGTTTGACCTTGCCCTCGTTCTCCAGTTTATTCAATATAAGCGTTACCCCATGCGAAGCCGGCAGGTGAAGACTCTCGGGCACGCCTCGGTAGATGACTTTGACTAGCTCAATCGGCGTCCAGCTGGAGACTTGCTCCGGGTTGGGTGACGACCTATCGATGTCCACTGTGCCGTACTTAAGCACTCGCGATACCTCGTCTTCTCGCTGCTGGCGATGCTTGATGTAGTCGGTTATTTTCGCCGTCGCGCTTCCAATAACTGCCCCATGACCAGGATAGGCGCGGCCTGAGACTGCCACTTTCATTTTGTTTAAGCTGCTAATATACGTATTCAAGTCCTCAAAGACTGCAGTTCCATGGCCGAGAACGTCTTTTATTTGAACTCGGTTAGATCCCACGCTTGTAACACCAGTCCATAGAAGTGAAAAACATACTGTCACCCGTAAATATCGCATCTTCTTCCTCGAAGATAAAACTCATATGGTCCACGGCGTGACCTGGAGTGTGAAAGGCTTTCAACGTAGCTCCGTCTACCTTAAAAACCTGTCCGTCGTAGATATCTACTTGCCCGTCACTCGGTTGGTGCTTGTAGACAGTAGCCTGAGGGCAGATTCGAAGCAAGTCGGGGATCCCGTTGACATGGTCGTGATGCCAGTGCGTAATCAGTGCCTCATGGACAGTTGCTTTCTCGTCGGTCAAGACGGATTGGAGGAGGGTAGACCATCGAGGAAGGCCTTCTCCAGTGTCGATCAGCAGACGCCGTGGCCCGCGACCAATGAGATATGTATTTGTTCCTATCATACATAACTTCAGTACGGGTTCGCTCATCAGAATGCTAGATAAGTTGATCTACCTTGTAAAGTAAACTGAAGTCCGCAAGATTATGGTCAGTTTATCATATGCATAGAAATGAACTTGCTACCGACTTTTCCTGGGTTTCCTCCCAATATCCTCAAGACTGACGCACTCAGTCGTTCTACTTCCGGCAGCGGCACCAGCTGTGTAGCCATGGCGAGCTTTAATGAATAAATTGGGATACTCTAGTATCTCGGAGGCTGAATGTGATCTAGATGCGGGGAATTCGCAACACAATACCCCGCCAATTAAGTTTGTAATTTAGAAAAACGTTCAAACACAGGATAATCTCATCGGTTGAGTTTATACACTTGTAGTAATCAAGATGGGGTAGATGAGAAGCATCGTGGTCCACCGAGCCTCGGCAATAACGTGATCTGATCAGCCGATTATGTCATCCATTTAGTTCTCCAGGCCAACAATGAATTTTGGATTTTCCAGAGAATTCTGTGATATAGAGTATCGAAAGAAAAGCAGGATTGGAGCCAATTGACTCGCATAATTGTCAGGGTAGTTTTGCCGAAAACAACACCGTCAAACCCGATTATTCCACCCCCCTTCTATCACTATTGGAGTGATCTGTTTGACGCGAAGACGTAGACTTTTATGATGCATTTTCTCACTTTGCCGGTTCTGAGGCTACATGTTTTCATTCCATGCCAATGCCACCTATGATGAAATCTGCTGCCAGCCCGATGGGCAGGTAGCAAGTATGTACAATGGCGCGATTATAGGCATTCAAAACAAGGCCCAAACATTTAACGGACACGTGCTTCTGCAAGCTCGTAGCTCGTAGCTCCTACATCAAGCACGAAGGAGACACCAATTCTGGGGACGTTAGCGATGGCTGATGGAAGCGAGGTCAAGAAAATGGTGTCAACCGCTGGTGATTTGTGCTGCCTAATGTCTGCGACAAAACGAACAGATATTCACCCGTAGGCACGTCTTTAATCGGCAGAATGTTTTTTGATGCAACAGTCTCCTGCAAGGCACATCCTAGTCAACACCGATAGGAACTTGACAGGGCAGAACCTAGCGCATCGGAGACGGCTATTTGCACACCGAAAGAAGACCCATGCCAACTGCGAGGAGGACAGATGCAAGAATCATGAAAGGGACGTAGTAGTCAACCACGGGTGTAAAAATACTAGCAAGACTGGAAAAACAACGGCAGCGGTAACGATGGGCAGTAATTTGACTCCAGAAGATATAGCCGACAACTCTTAGATTGCCGAAGCAAGATGAGCAAGTAAGATATTTAATCAGCTCTGCCCTAGATGATTAAAATAATCCGAAGGTGACCAACATGGTATTCCGAAATGCATCCTGTCCCAGAGGTGCAGAACGAGACGAAAATTCCAAATGCAATGCTTCTTTGCGTCGAGATCCTCATCGGCGCAATTGCCTCATTATATCTTCGCACTTGGACAGCGATAAATAGACCCAGAGTGATTCAAACACGATAAAGAGAGGAATAATACGACCATTCATCCTTCAGTGCTGATCTTGGCAATTCTTTTTCGGAGAGTCACGACGAATAAAGGAGATGCTGAGATCGTACGAGATGTTTTTAAGTGTACCATAAAAACACGATGACAAAGATAGGAGCCGATATGATAGGATTAATCTGTGCAACATTGAATCAGCGAAAGGCCATATACATTATGAAAGGCAAATTTATACCTTCTCCAAGCAATACCATTTATTCTCCACCACTAAGCAGTAATCCACAGATAAAAGCAATTCCATTGACCGCTCCCAAGATGCTGTTGAACAGTGCAGCCTTCTTGCGGATACAGGTTTGGACACAATCATCAAGGCACCTGAAAGGATGCTCCCTGCTCCGATTGCTGTGATTAATCTGCCGCTACACTATCGCCATGCTCTGTTCTATATTTTCCAAGTCATTGGGGCCTGGCACTCACAAGATAAGAGCGACGGAGTTAGGAACTGTCGTACGTATGATGGAACCAACCTCAGATAATATATGGCCAAATGCGTATAAATCGGTTTCATGGACCGTTTGGACTTTAGTCTTCCAAATACTATCACCGGACAAGGGTGTACTTTTGTGTATATACCAGCTGGGATGCGCAGTACGAGCTGTAAGAACATCAACTTATTAGTCTCATCGTCATCACCGATCTCAACTTTTGGTCTAAGAACGTACCATGAATAAATCGGCTGATCCATACCTGATAGTTTGACTCAATCAGTCTATGTAAGGATCATTACGGCTGGACCTACTCACCAGCCAATATGATCGAGAGAGTTGAATTGACTGGTGATAGTAGGAAGTGTCTATCGTAGATTTCTGGAGCAATTTCGAAAGAACACTTTCGATTTCTTCTTACCATCCTATTACAAGCCCACCTGACAACGATGTTAATAAGATTTGCTGATAAGTCTTTTGTACGAGAAAAGTTGAAGTTGAGTGAAGGAAATCGCGTTCCGCTCCTTCCCCCAATGTCACGCGGTGTCGAGATTTAGGGGTCTCGGTCACGTGGAAGGAAACAAACGTCTCAGTTTCTCTACTAACTCTCTTGATATTCACGTATTTTCAACCGTGCAATTATCATCTTGGTGCTCGGTCTCTCTCGCTTGTTCTCCCATATTGTGTATCAAGTCTGCGCACCATTGTATCACCTGCGACCCCTTCAGGGGTTACGCCCGGTACGATTCGTGCAAAATCTAACACCGTTGTAACAACAAAGAAACCTGTTCATAATCCTCATGGATGTGACAGTCAATATCACTTAGGTAGTATTCGATACGGTTTGGGTTATAGCAGAGGCAAGAGTGAGTACTACGATAAGTTGGTATCGCCAGGGTTTCACCCATACAATAGGAAGGCTGCAAGGAGGTGTCAAGCACGGTGCCTCTGAGCTGTCAAAAACTTATTTTCATGCTTCGTCAAATTCTTCCAGCCATTTTGAATATCAATGAATTGATATGGATCAAGACTAACGAATTTATATTGTGAGTTGAACACCATAGCTACGTGAGCCTATGGAAACTGGATCTTTGACAACTCGGATTGGATATCTAAGAGTAGCATTTTTTGATAATCAACAAATGATTGTGCTATGTCACTGATGACTTCTCAAGAGATAGTCTGCATTATCTACTAGTGGAAAAATATTGATATAGACTTACGCTCCTATGCTAAGATAGCATGGGTAAACAGCACACTGTGACACCAATTTCCTCCACAATATTGGACTGTGCCTGGTCGTAATCGAGTGTAACATTTGAAGTCTTGGCACCTTATTGTCAGCCATACCCATGAAAATTAATTTGAGCCTAGATAGACTAATTCTTGCCCGCTACACTAAAAGACTCTAGGTCTTTTAGGTACTCTATGGATATATGAGATGTACCAACACTAACAAAATTAAGTGATTTTCTCGGCGCGATTTCGTCTCCTGAACTAAACATAGAAGTCATGATCATCAGCAGGTAACCAGTAGCAATCAACTACTCGTCTATCTCGTCAGTGTTGGGTTTTCCCTTGATTCTCGACCTCAATCTAACTTATTCCTGTTGGTGAGCGACAGGTGCTTAGATTCGGACTCAAACAGCTCCGCCTCAACCACGGCTAAGGCAGGGAGAGGTATTGCTCTGGATGTTGCTGGGTTAATACGTCGTTGCCTGTAGGGGCTGGCTCATTCGATGGCTTTCCATATTTAGAAGCATTGATTTTGACTGTTCGTGCGTCGTTGGCCATTGGGTGGAATGTTTTCCCAGATGCTAAATGCATCGTAATCTGCGAATAGTAGTAGTAAATATGCTAAAAGGAAGACTCTGTGCTGTAGGAAAATTCACGCCCAATCGGGACGCTAGCCCTAACCCTAAAGCCCTGACTTCTCCAAGTAGCGCAGTCACGTAGCTCACTCATCTGAAGGTATCAATGCAATTTACTTACCATGTTTAAGTCTGTGTCTATATTAGTGAAAATGAATGTTTGTGCAAGGCTCTGCTCCTACAGATTTCCAAAACAAAGCGTTGTCTAAGAATAAGCTCCCATTAATGCTTGTCGCCCAGTATTATTAACTCGAAAAGTTGGCATTCCATGAAAAGAACATAAAATGATAGTTATTGCCCCACCCACTTACACTTGTTTAGTTTGTTCGAGTTCAAACTGGTTTATCTTACCAAACTTGATGATAACCTTCCTCGAGCGTTGTATTAGAATTTCATTGCGTAGCAAGTCTCGGAGTGTGGCCGAAGCTGGTGGTATTTCTAGATTGCTAAGCCACAAAGCTTTTAACTAAATTAGGTTATTACTCAGGATCCAATGCCCCATGTCAAAGATCGCGCGCGCGTCCTTCAGAAGGGCGTTGTGGCGTGAGTCAATGCATGGACCGGGCCATCCCAACGCCATTTCAAGATCTCTAATTGGACCGATGAAAAACCCTGACGAAAAGTCCCTTTTTGATGCCGGAAGCCGTGCGGCATGTAACTATATATTTGAATAATATTTCATTTTGCTCCAATAAATCTAGTCCAGCCGCCCCTAGCTTAGCTTCTATTGATTAATTGGAACTTGTGACTCTTCAGCGCTTTATATTAGTATGATCTATTCTGAAGGTCAAGCGACTGAGTCAGAAAGAGCACAGCCATGTTCAATCTCGTCATTAGATCAGTCTTAACTCTTAGACCTTGACTATTTCCTTCAACGGGGTCAGTCCTCAAGACGTATCTACTATCTACACCCCATTGTACTTCAGTGGGGAATTATCTCCCCCCACACGGTCCGGAATATTGCGAATGTCCAAATGGGAGATGCATGCGAGAGTTTCAAAATCAAAGTTACCCAGACCGAAGCGACGGTCAAACCCTAAATACTGAATGAAAATCTTAATCTTCCGATTATTTGGAATACTTTCCCACGGGCAAGGGTTGTTTAAAGCCGGCCGTTGAACATGGCGGCCGCACTTTCCGGAGTGGATCTGCAAGGGATTACGACACAGACAGCTTCTAATTACTTCTACCAAGTTTCTAGTAGAATAGCGAGGTGCCAGAAATAAACCCTAGTTACCAACCGGACTCATTAGTTTCCGAACGGGCCAATCTTGTCCCCGAGAGTCCGCATTGTGTCGTACTTGGTGAGCTTATAGACGAGGGAGCCAACCATGAGCCATGATTTTGCAGATCCAGTCGTGATCAGCAATTGATGCGAGGCCAAACAGCATCCCTAGACACTTCCAAGGGTTTAGGCCTAATATAATAACAGAACAATTCAAGCATGCAAGGAAGCACCCTCGGCGCTTAAAGCAAACACCAAGGAAACCAACATGCATCAGATCAGATGGCTACCATACCGTTTCACAGACCCTGGATTCCTTCTTTACCGCTGGCCCCTGGGAGGATCGGGGACACACGTGGCAATAGGATTTCTTGTCACAGTTATGCTCCTCACTCACTGGCAGATCCACGTGTAGTTTAGAAGCCGATTGCATGTGCATCGAATTTTTCCGAAATGTTGGGACGTATAAGACACTGTTTCTGCATGTTGCCACTTGAAGAATGACTCTTAGCGCAAAAGTGTTTAAAAATCAGCCAAACCCTTATGTTGCCTTATGTTGCCTTATGTTGTGTTTTATTATAGAATGCTGTGTATAGTTTAATAAGGGGGGGGGGTGTTAATACAAAGCCGCAGTCGGCTCGGCTCACCTCAATGATTTTATGCAAGTGGAGATGAAATGGGATCAACACCTAGAGTCAGCGTAGCAGTTGTTGCTCTACCCAAGGAAACGGTATAGAATCAGAACGGCGACTATGAACTACTATATTTGGAAATTTGTATTAATCTCTCTAAAAGTCACAGCCACCTTATTGCTGCCCTTCTGTCGCCGCTAGACAGAGCCTGGCTTTCAAATAGCATTCCCGGCGCCAGAATTTGCAATAGCATGCAGAATAAGGTTGGTAATGATAGGTATAGACATGAAGCTTAGCGTCCACACGAGCCTGGAGGGGCATCCTGTGTTAACGGGGTATAAAGTCTGACGATTGAGAGGGGATGATGTAGCTGGCAACCTGTTGGTCGCTTTGAACCCATGTGTTGGTTTGTGGCACGATGAGTCTCCTGACGAATGCAATGGCACTCTCTTCCGTCGCTTCATCTATTCTTGCGCGCACAGTTTGTAAGTAGTATTGGAATAAACTTCTTCGTATTATGGGATTGACAGTTTGTAAACTGACATTTTTGCTGTGTTGGAAACTGTCGTCTGAAAATTTCTTTGTATGTCCCTTTAGTTTCGTCCCTATCTGCAGCAAAGCCGATGATGGGGAATATAATATTGTACAAAACGGCGTCTACCGGCCGGTGACCGAATTACCTAGGCGGGTCTAGAGTAGACCCACCGCTGCATAAGTGCACCAGCCAAAGACCAACAACTATATCAGTGGGTGAACTTCTTGATTGCTCAGCGGGTTGGGATCCAGTCCTAGGCTCTGCCACCTATTAGTTACTTGTTGGTTTTGATATCGTTGCGAGGGTTAGAAGAGCTAGAAGCGGGGGCAGTCGGACGCTCGGGTTCGGGAAGGTGTAGATAACTGCATTCGTATACTACTCCATCCCATCTTATAGAAACTTGACGCCTAGGATGACGTCGAAGCTGGCGGTTAATTTCGTTACAACCTGTCAGGCATCAGCTGATGGTCCCAAGTGTTTACAAACTGTAACTTCGGAAATTCCGAATGGAACGGAGGGTGGTGTATAGCCACTCTCCGAATAGAACATCAAGACACCGTCTGACATTTCACCGCTTCACGGTACAACAGGATACAACCGTCCATGGTTGGGCTGTCGGTTTATCCACCAGCCAGCTAACAATATGTCACGGCAATCAGAAGGGGATGGCGACTGTCGGGTGTCGACAAGCAACGTGGGAACGGGCCTGCGGTAGCCCTAACGACCCTCCGTTTCCGGCTTTGCCGCGCATTTACCGCATATTTTACCGCAACGGACAGGTGGAGCCCGAAAGTATACGATTAACGAGATGGAGCAAGCCAATGGTTTCTGGGGGCGGGTCTATCAACCTCTTTAATCATCCTGGTCTTATACAGACACGCTGACTCGCTCATTTGTTCCTAGCGTCGAACCATGCAATTTCAGCTAGGAGCCCACCGTGAATGACTTCTCGCCTCTAGTGTTTGCTCTACGCGCCCATACAAACTTGCCAACACTAAATGCTAGCCCCCAACACAACGTCTGTGCCACAATTCTACATGTCGAGTCTAGCGCCCAAGCTAAAATTCAAGGGTCCAGACACACGCAGTCGAATGCAAGGCGCATTCCATGATTTCCCATGGCTTTTACCTTATTCGACCTTATTAGCTGTGGTGTTTCATACTGTGTGTGCACGTGTAGATCCGTGCCAGGTCATGTTCCTAATTTTTGGGACAAATACTAGACCGTTATATATGTCTCCACGGTCTTGGCGAGGATGTTTATGGCCTTGATATGGTATTAATAACCAAGTGCCGGTCCCGGCTATCCTTGATCCCTCTATCTACTACTGCCGTCTTCTGCACCTTACACTCTTGTCTTACCCTCGTATGCTGTTGAAAGACCCTTGCTCCTCCTCTATCTTTGCCCGGGAATGACTATGAACGTTACACAAGGACAACTTTCTGCCTCAGCAGAAGGGCTTGCAAGTGAAAACTGGGATCTAGGTAGCCTTTTCATACCTGGAATGGTAGATTTAGATCGTGGTCTAAATAATCATATGCCATTCAACCCTTCTCCTCCACCTCATACAGACGTACAACAATCGTTGACCTCATGTGCTCCGCCTGACGCGCTTTTCTGGCCTTCATTGTCGCCAGAGCTCCAGCAACTGAGCTTCAGAAACTATCAATACCCTGCTTCACTCTCTCCATTCTATTCTACTCAAACCCCTACCTCTACCTCCAATATACAGCCGAGAAACACAGATTCCCAACGAAAGCACAAGCAACAACATGAAGCAAAACACCGAAAAAAGAAATCAGACCCGCTTGACATTAGATGTTGGAATCACAACTGCGACGGGCGAAGATTTTCGTCACTGGGTAACTACCGCCGCCATCTTCGAGAAAAGGAGGGCAATGCGAAGATGTTTCGATGTCAAGACTGTGGCCGTCTCTTTACGCGATCTACGGCTCGTAATTTCCACCGCCAGTCAGGAACATGTCGCGCTACGACACAGGCGCTGGGGATACCATCGATGATGAGCTCGTCGGTTCATTCGCATTCGCATTCCCAGTCGCAGTCCCCGACTGTCTCGAGTGTGTCTTCGATTCCATGGTCTGACGTGAGTCTACCTTCGGATGATAACCTCGACCTGAATGCCTACACTGAGGAGCCGCTTTAGATATCTCCCTCATGGACAAACAAAAGTACTCCTACGGACTGAAGACTTAATAGTTTGGTTATAATATCATGATTTTGGGTTATAGTTACTGCCACATGTATGGGGTTGGTGTTGAGGCTGGAGGGTTTTGTCATGTCTTATATGTATATAGTACTGTACTGTCTTTTTTTATCCTATAGACGTTTCTCGTACATGTACACTCAATGCAGAGGTACAATTTGTCAGCAATACATCTGTTTATACCTCTATAGAACAGGGATGTGGCTACAGGGCTGTTGTCTTTGCAATCGTATACTTCTTTCTATGCCCCATTTTCTCCAACCTCGTAACCCAGATGCTACCTGCAAGATACGACGTTTGACGCCACAAACCTGGATGTAACAGTCTAGATAGAGTAACTATCAAACCACAGCTGCACGACATTATTCGTAAGTTAGAAATCAACAAGACCAGACTGTACTCTATATGACCAAAGTAGGCAACTAGCCCGCCGCATGTGGTTAGCGCGTGGTGCGGGTTCCGTCCGCACTGTGTTATTAATCAATCCTAACACCGAGCCGACGTCACTCCTAGTCTCTCCTCTACCGCGCTCAGCTCGTCTTCCCCCACTGTGTGCTGCAGTAACTATTGGGCAATGGGCAGTGCCACAAGTGATGGCCCAACAGGGATATTACTCCCACTTCTTGAGCCAGCGTTTGCTCTGCAAGGTGGAACCATCAGCCCGCGCGTCATTTCTATCTTGGCTATCCGGCTATGCCTCTTCCAGCTAACTTTTGCGACGGACCGTTGATGTCCAGAGAGGATAATACAGGGTTGGTCGCCGCAATCATGTTCATTATATTGTCCGAGATCTTGTCTTACACCACCTGCTGTAGGGCTGGGGTTGTGTGGGTCTCAAATGAGAGAGCAGAGAGCAGCATTGCATCTACTACTAAAGATAGATGCCCCATCACGTGGTAATTTGTGCCCATTATTGGCCGGCACGTAGCCGAACACTGATTCTTTCATTATTTGGATCTACATGACTATGTGTGATGTACAGTAAGGCGTGGTTCAGCTGGATGTAACTAATTACTAATAGGCCGGGTTTCACTTCATATACATAGGGCGTGAGTACAATAGACACGATGTAACTGCAAAAAACACCCATTTCAAAATTGTATGAATAAGTAGAGAATCACTGCAGCAAACCAACCAAAAATATCACACAGCCACATTTCCTGCAAGAAACCATACTAACATCGACACGGCCATTAACTTTTGAGACTTATCGAGTATAGACTGAAGCTGGAATAGGCACTTATAGCACATATGATTAGTAATATATCAGTATTGAGGATGTCTGATAGCAGGGACTCGGACAGAGACGCTCTCGCCAGTGAGTGCAGGAAATACAACTGAGAAATATGAAGTCGCATGCATATCTCGATGAAGTCGTCAGTCTAGGGGTGTTATTCGGCTTGTAATTGAAGTAGTATAAAAATAATTACACACACTGTAGTATTATGGTAGTGATCTAAATATCGTAAACAAAATACGGACTGAATATTCGGACGGGGGTGAGTAGAAATGTTTTATAGGTTATTAATTCATGGTTAGCCAACCTGTGATTCTAAATTAAATAGCTATTTTCAACACCGTATGCAATAATTGTCGGAATTCTAATAAAATACACTAATACACTCCCTGTAGAGTATGTCAGTCTTCCTTCGCCGTTCCCCCGAAGAGTATTAATCTTATTGTCTAAGCTTTCTTTCATTTACTGCACCTTTCACCTTCAACAGACCAAAACTATCTATATATATACACCAATTCAATTATACGCCATGGCACTATGATCGATAGTGACGCAGTTCTGGCCGCCTGCACCGACCTTTACCGAGAAAGATGTCAACTCCCAGGCCGGTCTGGTGTTCATCGTCACGGGTGGTAACCAGGGTGTTGGACTCGAGCTCATCAAGATGCTCTACCCATCTGGTGCAATGATCTACATGGCGAGCCGTTCCAGATCCCGCGCCGAAGAAGCTATCACGAGTGTGACCGCGGCCGACCCCTCCAGCACCGCGTCTCAAGTTCCTTCATCTTGACGTCGATGACTTGAATATCGTCCGCAGCGCCGCTAAAACGTTTTCGGAGCAGGAGTCACGCCTTGAAATCCTATGGAACAATGCCAGTGTTGGTGCTGTGCCGGTAGGCTCGAAGACTAAGCAGGGCATTGAGGCACACATGGGAATCAATGTTATCGGGCCGCTTCTCTTGACTCAGCTTCTCCTCCCAAACTGCAGGCAGCGGCAGCGATTCCCCCAAGAATTCAGTTCGCATTGTTTGGTCCAGCTCCTGGTTGATGGAAGCGAGATCTCCTAAAGGCGGCTACAAGCTGAAGGGCATAGAGAAAGGGGGTACCAATGACGCACATGTCAACTACGCAACTTCCAAGGCAGTCAACTGGATTTTGGCCGACGAGACGGCAAAGCGCGCTATGGCAAGGATGGCATCCTCAGCGTAGTACAGAACCTGGGAAAATTGGATACGTACATCTATGACATCCAGCCCAGATTGATGATGTTCTTCGTCCGAAATCTCATCCTTCACCCGCCTAAGCTGAGAGGGTATACCGAACTATATGCCGGCTTGAGCCCAGAGATTACGGAGAAGATACCAGGTGCGTCCATCATTCCGTGGGAGAGAATCCAGACACGGAATCCGAGGAAGGATATTCACCAGGCAATTGAGAATGGAAAGGGTAGAGAGTTGTGAGATTGGTGCGAGAAACAGATTAAGGAACATGAGTAGAAGACTTCTTTTAACAAGCGTCTTCATTCCTACTAACGGTATTTTGTTTCTTTCTAATGTTTTCGTGTTTTTTTTTTTTCAAAGCTTAGTAATTTGCAAAGAAAAAACCGATGTTATCTAGGTAATTATAAATAACTAGATTTACTAATATATTAGCTATAAACTAGGGTTAGATATTAATTATTAGTTGACACCACAAATCCATTTTATGACCGGGCCCTCATATTTACCACTTATATATGCTAATTCTATAGATTAAAATATAACTCCATATGGTGGCAATAATATAAAAATAGTTAACTAATGGTTAATGGTTGACCCTCCGCCTTTTTGTTGCTGTGGCAACCGCGCATGCCCGCCAGCCGAGAAGTCAGCTATCAACATATCGACTCCAGCTAGCACTTCCTCCTCCACCAACCTGAACGCTTTTCGTATTTCCCTGTGCGGCTTTCTTTGGTCCTGAATTGCGGTTTTGGCGGTGTTCTCTTCTCAATGAGCCTGTTTTTAAGCGAATAAGAATTTCTTATTTTTGCTTTCTTTCTCTTTTTTTCCTTTTCATTCCTTCTTTTGTTGAACCATGAGTGTCCGCGTTGTTGCTCGCATCCGACCCCTTTGGAAGTCCGAACGCGAGTTGGATGTCATTGTTCGTCCAGGCTCAGCCGTGACCGAAACAGGCAAGACGAAAAAAGGCTCTCCAGATAGCAAAGCTGCTGCATTGAAAGACCAGGACACTCTGGTTAGGATCCCGAACCCGAAGAATGAGGGCGAGCAATATACCTTTCAGTTTAATGCTGTCTATGGAGGCGAATCAACGCAACAAGAACTTTTTGACGCAGAGGGTTAGTGTAGAGAATACTTATGCTTTGGCTTTCGCACTGACTTTGATACAGTCGCTCCAACAGTTAAGCATTTGTTCAATGGATTCGATGTCACGATATTCGCGTACGGAGTTACTGGCACGGGGAAAACACATACCATGAGAGGCGGTAAAAGTCTTCAGGAGCGTGGTGTTATTCCTCGTCTCTTAAGCGCCATATATCGTCGCAGCCGGAAAATCGAAAAGGACTCTAGTGGAGCCAGTAAGGCTGAGGTCTTGATGAGCTATTATGAGATATACAATGACAAAGTTTACGACCTTTTCGAGCCTCTTGAGAAGAGGACACATGCTGGGTTACCGCTTAGAGACAATGGAGGCAAAACCGTTGTTGTTGGCTTGACCGAAAGACCATGTGCGAATTTGAAAGATTTCGAAAGTCTTTACGACCAGGCCAATGCGAATAGATCAACCTCTGCGACGAAGGTAACAACTTCCTCGTCACATAAAAGGACCCTCTGCTAACTCTGGTAGTTGAACGCTCACTCGTCACGTTCGCATGCTATTCTCTGCGTGAAATTGGTCACCACAAATGGGGATAAAACCAGAGTTACCATGGCATCAGCCATTGATTTGGCCGGGTCAGAAGATAACCGACGAACAGAGAATGGTAAGGAACGAATGGTGGAGTCTGCAAGCATCAACAAGAGTCTCTTCGTGCTCGCTCAATGTGTAGAAGCTATCAGCAAAAAACAGTCCCGTATTCCTTATAGGGAGGCAAAGATGACGCGTATATTGTCACTAGGACAAAACAATGGTCTGACGCTCATGATTTTAAATCTTGCCTCGGTGCGATCTTACCATCTAGATACGATTAGCTCACTCAACTTCGCCAACCGAACGAAGAAAATTGAAATCCGGGAGATCGAGAATGAGCCCATGTTTAAGGGCCCTGCAAGACCGGCAGCACGAACGTCAGTCACAGGTGGCACTCAACGACAACCTCTGCGACCCCTAGCTTCTTCCGTTAATGTAAATGTGACCGTGAATAAAGACCAGGCTGCATCCGATGAGAAGAAACCGACCAAGGCGTTCTACGTATATTCTGATAAACAGTCATCGAAACCACATGCAATATCACTGAAATCTGAGAAGCCTAGACGGTCATCTCCTCTTAAGCGAAATTCCGATGTGTCCAGCCGCCTTCCATCCAAAGTTCTAAGAGACTCAGAGAGACTGATGACAAAAGAAACACACACCGTTCAAGCTGAGAGAATCGAGGAAATGGTTGAAAGGAAGGTGGAACAGATCCTCGCCGCCAGAGCAATTGACGAATCATCCAGACATCAGGCGCAGATGGAACAGATTAACGAGGCGGTCCAGCGCCGTCTAGAAGTTCTCGAGCGAAAGATTGAAGGAACTGAGGATGCTCGGGCTGAAGGTTTATCCTACCTCCTCATGGCGAAGCAGCATCACGGAAGGGGAGAATATTCGTCCGCCTTGAGGATGTATAAACTTGCATTGCCATTCTTCCCGCGCAACGAAAAGCTCGCCTCCAAGATATCTGCTCTCGAAGAGAAACTGTGCCCGAAGCCTCCATCTCCTGCCAAAGTTCAAATGGCAGGCCGTGGAAGCATCCTTTCAATCAAAAAGCCAACGAAGATAGCTCGAACTCAGAACGTGATGGATACCAGTGATGATGAATACCAAAACGCTGAGCACGATGATTCAGATGATGACTATGATGACTCCCATACAGGCCTCAAGCGGAAACGGGTAATTGCCACATCGAAAACAGTCGCATCGAATCTTGATGACAGGATATATGCGGACGAAAACAGGTCTGGTGAGGAGATCCAATCTCCACGCACAGCTCATCTACTATCTGTCATCAATTCCAGAGACGTGGGTCAAATCAAGTTACTAAAGGGCGTTGGTGCTAAGAAAGCCGAAGCGATTGTCGACTGCCTGTGTGAGATGGACAGCGGCGACAAGGAAGCTGCACGGGTGCGAGTAAGAAATCTCAGTGAATTAGGGAGGCTAAAAGGCGTTGGGTTGAAGACGGTACAAAACATGAGGTGTGGAGTTTTTGCTTGAATCTGTAAGCATTTCTGGAGTTTTTCTGTCTTTTGTCTTGCATTTTTTCTCCTGCATATTCTTTTCCTCTTCTCCTTGCTGCTTTTGATTTACAGACTTGTTTGCATATTTAGCATTGGCGTTGGGATACATTCGTAGCCATACTTTTTTTTTATCTTTCCTCATTTTGATAGGCACTCGCACGTCGAGATCGCCTCTTTAGACGCTGAGGGTATTCCTTTCGGAACGAACCAGCTATCTATTTTACATCAATTGATACATATTTCTGATCCATTCTGCTCGTACATAAATATAAACTCAAACATTTCCTGCGTCTCAGGTAAATACCATATCTTAACCAAATAAATCCCAATTCTTAACCTCTAACACCTCCACAAACTTCTCCAGAAGCCCACTAGCAATCGCCTCCTCCCTCGCCAAAGCTCTCGGATCTCCCTGCAAATCAAACTCATCATGCGGCACATTCACAAAGACTAGAATATCTGTCTCCTTCTCCGGTAGGCGCACAAGCAGGAAATGGCTTGAATAGCTCGACCTCCACGGCCCAGTTGTACTCGAGCTCGCCGTATCCCGACCTCCGGAAACATCACCATCTATCGAGGTAAACGAGGTTTGCTGCTGCGCGCTATCTTCCCGACCCAAAGCATTAATTCCTGCTGTAGCGCTACGCTGTTTCTTAGGGGTCGTATACTTCACAATCCCTGTGAACGCAGATAGGTTGTTGACGGCCGTGAAATGTTTAAGTTGGACTGGATGGGGCGGGTTGATGATGTCCATGGTGTCGCCCTCGTCACATAGGTCTCGGAGATGATACAAAGCAGCAGCAACGCCTTCTGCCTCGGCGCCGACGTGCGCAGCGGCACCAGCTTGAGATAGAGATTCTGGAGCTGAGGAGAGTGTGCGTAAGGCTTGTTGTTTAGGCACGTATTCATTGATTTCTATGATAAGGTTTGAAAGGGTCGTGGGGGAGAGGAATATCTCCTGATGATTGGGGACTTGGCGAATGTCACTGTTGTGTGTTAATATACATTTATACCAATTGATAGACTGATGATTCCATCGGTTGGTTCATACTAACCTAGCATCCAGCCAGCCCTGGGGAATCGTGCCTGTGATGGCTCCTCCAAAGAGAGGTTTTTCTTCGAATTGGGCAGTCATTTTGATTAACTTGGGATATGTTTTTCGATTGGGCGAAGAATGATGTATAATTTCAGATCTTTTATTTTCAACCGATTCGTTATGTTGCAAGAATGTTGAAATTGATGACGCGATATAAAGCTGGCCAGTTGACCTGCAACTTTATGACTGAACACCAGACAAAACCCGCCCTTTTATATGCGTCCCTCAGTGCACGTAAATCCTTTCAAACGTGCAGGCATCACTTTGTATCAATGCATATGTAACAAAATAGGCGGTACTCGGAACTCACTGCCCCGCGATGAATGCCTATTTTTTTTTACCCACCTTTAATGGATTGATATAGCTTTTTTTGGCGGGCCACTGGTTACTGGCAGCTCTGGATTGACGGTTTCGAATTTTAGAGTCTATAATTTTAGTTATAGTGAAATTATGACGAGAGGCGTTCTATTCTTGTACGGACCACTGACTGCGTCGAAATGGCAAATGACGTCGAGGAGAGTTGCCGCCTGCGATGTGCTGATTGGTTGATGCACTTGCCGTCACCAAACTACACTCTACACTTCATATTGTGATGAATTTTGTGACATCTCAAGTCGACTACATCACATATATTCTATTAGATACTGGAATGCGACTAACCTACTAGATACCGTGGTGTTCTACAAGCACGACGTTAAGTAAAAACATGTGTTCGACAAAAGAAACCAGTCTAGTCAGGAAACTGTTTTATTTACACATATCAAGGTACAAGGCAGTCAATTATTGGTCGTCCAAGACGTGGAGGTACTTCTTCTCCTCCCGTTGCTCACGCTCGGTCGCCGGCGGTAGATCGTAGTACTGGGAGCTTCGGTACCCCATCTGTGACAGTTAAATATAGGAACATCTTGTTAATTTAGGTAACTTACGAGATAATGGAAAGTCAGATTGCTGAGTTCAGCAGGCTCGACACCGAGATCCTTGAATGTCTTCGCGGTAGGATCGATCTTCTGATCGATGAACTCACGCTCGATCTGGTCGGCGGACAAGGTAGGCCACCAAAGGTACTTGTTCAAGTAGAAAGCAAGAGGCTTAAGGGCGGCCTTGGGAATGTTGATGTGGCGGCGATGCTTGACAATCTCTCGGTCGACAAGTTCGGCAATTTCAGCGGTCGAGTACTGCTTAGGGCCGTACAATTCGAACGTTTGGCCGGCGGTATTGTCATCGTAGAGCATGCGCTCCAGACCAGTACCGACATCAATAGCCTATTGAACAGATAAGTAAAGGGGCTTGAAGAGAGGTGAAGGGATGGCTTACATGAACTGGCCAGTAGCGCTCTTGCATATGATTTGAGGTGAGGAGGTTAGTCACGCCAGCGAGTTTGTGAAGCAGGTTGTCTTCGAAGCCAAACAGCGGGGCCGGGCGAACAATAGTGGTCTCGGGGAAGATTTCACGCACGACACGCTCACCCCATCCCTTGGTACGGAAGAATTCAGAAGGAGAGTCCTCGGATGCATTGTACGAAGAAACGTGAATGAATCGGTCGACATCGTATTTGGCAACAGCATCCGCAATGCGCTGGGCTCCGTCGACGTGGACGTCCTCGTAGGTGAAGTTCCTATACATATTAGACTTGTAAAATAGTCATGTTGCTTCGATAGCCATACTTGGTAGGGTAATCACGTCCAACGAGATTGTAGACGACATCCGAATGACGAACGCTTTCTTCGATCGATTGTGTGTTGCGCAGGTCGTATTCCTTATATCATCAGCCCATGCTCATATTTCAAAACTCGCACGCATTTACCATGAAAACAACTCGGCCGAGATCACCAGTGACTTTGAGGTGACGCTTGGTCATTTCTTCACGGTAGGGAACGACAACAGTGCATCCAGCACGAGCTACGTGACGTTAGCCAATACACATAATCACCACGCTTGTTAGCCTACCAAGTCGGTTGACGATATAGCGACCGAGGAAACCAGTAGCTCCAAAAACGGTAGCGGTATGACCTGAATTAACAGTGAGTTGAGGCCGAATTCACACAAAGTTCATATCGAACGTACCTCCTAGGGATGATCTAAGCCAATTGATGTCAGCAGCCGCGCAACCATTGATCGTGCAATTCTCTTACCGTCCTCCTTGAATCTTCAGAATAGGCTTTCCGGTCCTAGTAACGTGGACATCCTGGATATTTCGTCGCTGCACTTGGAACTGCAGTCGCGAACTGGTAGGGGCGGGGACCAGGCCTTTCCGGCCCAGAGCGCCATTGAACGCGCGGCACTTCTGCATCGTCGATCAGCGGCTCGAGATGACTGCCGAGAGGAAGAGAATGCTCAATTGGCGAGAAACCGGCCCTCCACGATGCGATCTGGGGGGATGGTGGGAGGCAGTCGCCGTGAATTGGAGGTTGGACGTTCCGACATGACCTGCGCTTGCCGACTTGACTTCGCACGGTCTGGGCAGCCGCTAGTCTGTATCTGGCGTAGTGCGAGCCTCACCTCACATCACATTCATATCTGGCACCATTATCAACAATATTATTATTAAATATCAAGTATGATTGGTATGATTGATTTTGAATTGAATGTGTTAGCAAAGATATCATGATATCCTACAGCTTCTACCCTACCAGAGAAAATAGCTTCCTCTAAATTGGTCTTCCATGAGTTTGAATGACAATCATCCATCGAGCTCATCCTTGAATATCTGGCTCTGGTCATCGCCGTTCTTCGCTTTGTCCTTGCAGCCATTTTCTTTTGTATTCTTGTCCGGATTTGTCAATGGTTCCATATCATAATGGCCCTCGGGCGCAGATTGACGAAGGCCACTGCTTACATGGAATCGGAAAGGCTCTTTATGCCGAACGAATTGAACAATTGCTATGTGGAGGTTCTTGTCGTCGTCGATATAGATATGCTCATTTGTTCCAGGCTCGTAGTAACTGATCCTCCCGATGTCCACGTTTTCGTAGGAGGGGCGAATGCTTAGCGCAGACTTCATACTGTCCAACGTAATCCTTTCGATCGGAATCGGCTCGTCGCTAAAGGGCTGCAGGCAACTGTCTAGGTGCAGAACCTTGATTCTGAGAATAGTTAGAATCCGTTCGTCATGTTTGACTACGAATTTTATATCTCGCGGAAGACTCCATTTCGTTGACTTTCCACCAGACCCTTGCTTAACTTTTGCATCGGATCGCTTCTTTGCCAGCCGTTCGCTTGAGTCGTTGTCCATATCATCGTCTCGAGTCCGTTTCGCCTGACAAATTTCTTTTTCGATTTTCTTCCTTTCTTGCAGATGAAGTATGCAGCCAGTAAAGAACTCGCATTTAGTTTTCCAGTCGAGCTTGAGCTTCTGCACTGAGGGCGGATGACGATCTTTTCTGCGAGCCATTCGCTCAACATGATACAGCATAAAGTCCACGTTGGTGCCCTCCTCGTTTTCAAGATACTGTTTCAGGTCCTTCCATGCTTCGTCAATCTCCTTACTGGTTGCTTTTTCATCCCGTAGAAGGTGGACGACCTCTTTCGGAATTCTCGCCATCACTAGATCATTTCGAGAAGTGCTATGCAGTAAGATTGCAACTATAGAGAAGGGGGACGGAGTTTAGTGGTGATGAAAAGGTTCTAAGAGGGGTAAAGAAGGCGACACAGTTCTCAAAGGATGGTCAGTGACTAGTCAAGGTACGCCGTCCAGTGAGGAAGGAATAGGTCAGTAGAGATATGCCAAACGACTACAAACAGGAGTGCCCCACACACTCTTCTCTCACTTATTCTGCATTATCACTGCTTGTATTATTTGTTTGCTATTGTTGGAGAATTAGAGATATTATGACACTTCTAAAGCTTCTGGCCCCTAGCAAAGAAGATGGTTTTCTTTAGACTGTGACCTTTCCTCGTGAATTGAAATGGCTTGTCTACAACTTCAACCTTCACATTCATGCTAACCCCAGCTTTCGAAAACATGTCCTCCACCTCCTTGACGTTAAATCCATGTCTATGCACCGTTGCCGCTGTCTCTGGGCTGAAATGTTTGTGTTCATGCTCGGCATTAGGTTCGTCGATTAGATCGATAATCCAAAACACACCTCCCGTGCGCAGCTTTTCGACCAACCGCTTTATCGCTAGCGAGGGATCGGAGAAGTGATGGAGCGCCATGCTGATGAAGACCATGTCGAAATTCTGGTATTCGGGGTCTTGCAAATCATCATCAAGAATATTTCCAATCGTGGCTGACATCTTCTCAGGAGATATTCCAAACTCTCGAGCTTTCTTGTTATATTCATCTACCATTCCATCTGAGACATCAAGACCGATTGCCTTTGTCACGAAGGGCTCGAGGGTCTAAATCGATCAATCAGTCTGACAGTTCCCTCCCACTGATACAAGACCTACCCGTGATACGTGCCCTGGTCCACAGGCGTATTCCAAAACCTTGAGCTCTTTTCCTTGCCCCTCTGGAGTGTCAGTCCAATTTGAACTAATCCAGAGGCGGCGACGTTGTGTTTCTTCGCATAGCATTCGAATTCCTTCTTGAAAATCTGTTTCATAGGTATTGGCTTCCTTGCTGCGAATGGTCAGCGTTGGGGCATCATACAATAACCCTTTCAGCCTGCTTACTTGAAGACTTCGATATTGGCCTTGACTAAATCTGCCATGTTATCCGATCTTTTGAGAAAAGTAAAGACGAATGGGACTGCAATGAATGCTAGATAGACTAGGATGTGCATGTCCTTGGTGACGACTGATGCAGATGATGGTTGTGTCCAAGGGCTGGGGATTTGATCCTATTTATAATGCATTCCTCGATTCTCGGAAACATTCACAAAGGTCTACGAGGTACTCTGGAGCCTACTAGAGTTTTATTCGTTGTCGGCGAGGCCGGAGACATTCGCTGAAAGTCTCCGTGACTCCAGGCTTTATTCGTAGGGGTCCAAAGCTAAGAAGCTCTGGTCTCACATGACTTCATCTATTCAATTCATTAAGTTATTCAAAGTAGATTTGAACTTGATTTGTTCTTTTTTACAAGTAAGGCTGAGCACTTCTGATGGCTGAATCGATGAAGAATATACTTCATCGCAAGTATTTTGCATGTTGGAAGAGGTAACCAGTCATCGCAATCAGCGTGAGACCAGAAGGCGGCCGTGGAAATAGCTTAATCTAATGGATTGCGTCTTAATCACAGAATGTCCGCGAATATATTTGTGTATAGAGATGAGTTCGTAGTGTGGAAGGGGAATATCGATAAGGCGGCTACGGCGAGGCAGAGGGACCTGTCGAGCTTGACGACTGGCTGCCTCGCCGCATTGGAGAACACAGCTTCATCATCACTCTCAACAAACACGCCTCGCCCACCCACTTCTTCCTGATAGTCCAGGCCACCTATAAACCTTGACGTCTGAATTTTACTTTCATCTCGATAGTATTTCTTTCTGTCATTCACCTCTCCCCTGCCGTCCACCATGGAGGCCGACAAGATCTCCGACTTCCTGGCAGACCAACGAGACCAAGCTCCCAGCGACGCCCAGGCGCTGTTCCTCAACTTCGAAGATTTCTGGGAGAGGAAGCTATGGCATCAGCTGACGGATGCCCTGGTGGAATTCTTTCGCCTGTCCGAGAGTGCCCCTCAGCGGTTACCTATCTTCAAGTCGTTCATCCTCACCTTTGCGGACCGCATTAATCAGCTTAAATTCGTGTCGTTGGGATTGATGGCCTCGACACAATGCAAGGGTGTGTACATATTTTAGGGAATGGATTGCTTGGACCATACTAATAGTCGTGTGTAGATGATCAAGAACGACTCGCTTTCCTCACATCACTCGCCAATCGAGTCGACAAGGCCGACTCACAGGACGCTTACGTATATGCTGTGGCAGATGTTGCCGGCGTGAAGCTACGACTACAAGAATTCGATGGAGCACGAAAGGACCTGGACAAGAGCCAAAAGATTCTGGATGGATTTGATTCAGTAGAAACGATTGTGCATGCGTCGTTTTATAAAGTGAATGCGGACTACTACCAGGTTTGTCCATCCTCACGCCTCTATTCCCGTCTACCTCTTACTAATATACGATTTTCTAGGCCAAGGAGGAATTCGCATCATACTACAAAAACGCCCTTCTCTACCTGGCCTGCGTGCGCCTCGAAGACCTCTCGCAGGAAGAACGAGCCACGCGGGCATACGATCTCAGCGTCGCAGCTCTCGTCTCGGATTCCATCTACAACTTCGGCGAACTCCTCTTACACCCGATCCTTGACTCCCTCACCGAGACACCGCACGCATGGCTGCGCGATCTCCTGTTTGCCTTCAACCGTGGGGACTTGACAGCGTACGACGTGTTGGCGGGTAACATCAGCAAGAACAAACTCCTCGAATCGCACCGGAAATTCCTGTACATCAAGATCTCACTGGCAGCGTTGACGGAGGCCGTCTTCCGCCGGCCGCCCCACGACCGCACTATGACATTCAGCACCATCTCGGCAGAAACAAAAGTCAAGACTGAGGAGATCGAGCATCTGATTATGAAAGCGCTCTCGCTAGGGCTGATCAAGGGGTCGATCGACCAGGTATCGCAGATTGCCCGAATCAACTGGGTGCAGCCCAAGGTGCTGGATATGAAGCAAATTGAAGGCATGAGGAATCGTTTGAAGGAATGGGATAGCGGGGTGAACCAGCTGGGACACTGGATTGAGGGTGTAGGAAGGGATGTGTGGGCTGCATAGTTTCTCTTTTCTCTCTGTATTAGCCTATAGATCAGGCATCAGAAATGCAAATGAGAAAATGTCATCTCATCATTAAGACGAATGACCTAGGTGGTATGATATAGGTTTAAGGAGATCTAATGACATCCCTTGATAGATTACTGGATGATTGCTAGTCACGTTGTAGTATCAAAGCTAATAACTTAGATAGTATAATCTTCGAGTCGACTATCAAACAAACAACGAACTCGCAATCAACAAGGCCCCAGCCAACCACGCCGGCCACCACACACACCACACAACCACAGGCGTCCACAGCCCCCAAACATTCCAGCCAAAAGCAGCCTGCGTGAGCACATCTTGCACAGGGATTTGCATGTACCAGCACGTTGATAGCAGGACGGCTGGCGGGGACAGGCAATTAATCAGTAACAGCGAGATAACAGTCAATGCCACCCGCAAGGCTTTCTTATTCATGTGAGCCGGAAGAATGTTGAGGGTAATTGGGCCCGTGAAGCTCAGTGGCGCGCAGATGAGACCGACGAAGAAGGAGAGCGAGAAGTTGAGCGTGGCGAGGACACTGAGGAATAGACCTAGAAGAAGCAATGAAAAGGATTTGATTAGGAGGAAGGTTTGCGGGGCTGGAGTTAAGAGGCTGCACAGTGCCGCACTGAGGAGGATGGGGAGGAGGATGGTGGAGAAAAGGATTAGGTAGGTTGCAGGAAGAAAATGCTAGTCAGGTTAGTGGGTATAAGTAGATAATTGCCGAAGGGACGTACCTGGGACGAGATGCTGTTGAGAATGTACAATGGCACAACACCTAGGAAATGAAGCGCTGTGACGACAGTCAACGGTACGGAGAGATTTCGCTCAGATACAGCGTTTTCCGCACGGTCTGCAGTTGTCGTGGACGAACCCTGAACGGAGGCAGTTTTCTTCTCCTTCTTCTCCTCTAAAGCCTGCGTAGCTGAAAGAACAGATATTGCCTTGCTATAGCCGGTTATCAACCACAAGGCTACAGCCATAATGGTGAAGTTCGCTGCAATAAGCATGGCACTTGGCATATACGTGCCGATACTGACAAAGCGCGATGTATGCATGAGCAAATAGAAAAAGAAACTCTGATGCAAATGCTCCAGCAAGTTGTTCAAGCTTCGGCACAAGCTTTCAATCGTACGACCCAACGCCATCTCATCTTGCCAACCATCGCCCTTTGTCTGCAGCGTGATAGCGTCGATATGATAAGGGATAAAACTGCTATGAGCACCTGCCGCAAGACCTAGCCCTTGCTTTGCCATACCGCGGAGCATCGTCTCGAGACGTTTCTCATAACTGTTGTCGTGTTCCCACATTTCTTGCAGACTCGTGCCAATGCCCATTTGCCCACCAGCTATTGCCGAGGCAGTGTTGATGAGGTCGAGGTTGGGCAATTGACCGTTAACGCCATCGTAGACTATGTGTAGAGACTCGAAGCGGTGGTCGAATGGATATTCCATCACTAAGGCGCCTTGCAAGGCACCGCTTTTCAACGGCAACGGCTGGACAGAGGCAGGGTGCATATCGTGATATGCATCAATCCAGGCCTGTGTTCCAGATTTGCTGTCTGGGGTAATCACGAAAATGATATCCTTTGACCAGAGCGACCATCGCTTGAAATACCTAGCCAGCGTCAACGCGAGCGTGACTCCATTCAGGTTCAGCTGTCCATCAATAGTTCTCCAAGCAGCCACCAAAACAATGGCTTCCGTTGCGTCTCCCCGTGGGGCGTGGATGATAGAATACACATTCTGTCCCTTATGCACGGTGCCTGCAGAAGAATACTCATAATTCTGCGTCGCGACCTTCAGTCCAGCCGCACGAAAGATCGATTGGACTTTGTCCGATACCCTTTTCCATTGTCAGCCAGCGCTTCTCAACATTAATAAGATACAAATAAGAGGAGCATACTCAGTTCCATTCTCTGCGACACCTGTCGCGGTGCCATCCCCATTGCTAAGAATGCCCTCGAGCTCCTTCTTATAACCGCGGAACACATTCTGCTCGGACCCAGCGAAGTAGGTATGCACCTGGCCTGGCAACAGAGCGTTCTCGGAGATGTATGTTTTACGCGAATATTCCTCAAGAGGTAAGATGAGCAGCGAGGCTACGCCGACGACGACGCAGAGGAAGGAGATGTACGAAGGCAGGCGAGCGAAGAGGAGGTAAGGATCATTGCGCAGTTTGCGGACGAGCCCCGAAGCTGGCATTCGTTAAGACCTGCATGTTTAAGAAAGACTCGGAGTGGCTAGACTCACTTAATAACCCCATTGGAATGAGCACCACGGCGTCGTGTTGCCATGGAATATCAATTGATGTGATGCGGGTGAATTTGTTTATGCAGACTGCGGAGAGCGGGAGAGCTGGCAGGAACCGCCAGGTACATCATACTATTGTTTTCTACTTATTACTACCCGAATATTGGAATAATAACCACCCATTAATTATATATTATACACAGAATATATACAACACAATCTGTATTACAAGTAATGTCTCATAAGCATCATTTTCTATTCTTTCTTTCTTCCAGAAGCTTTCTTCTAGGAGATCTTGTATCACGGCCCTAACCGTTGCGACGTCCCAATGTAATTACTCATGGCGACCGCAGGTTCATTATTCGACGATGTCGTGGGCAGAATGCCATATCGCCCTTGTTTCTTTTGATCAACGGAGACGTAATGCGGCAGTCGTCCTAGAAGGTTCAACTTTCCTTCGATCCATCGGACGACTTTTTCGGGGGGCACGAAGACTTTGAGGTAGCCTAGGCCGACTGTGAAAAGTTAGTAAGAATCAATACAAGAACACGGTCTTGAATCGGCAAGGCAAGTAGAAATAAAAGAGAACCATACATAGATAGCCAATGAGTATACCGCAAATATGTCCTAGGAAGCTCGTATTCGAAAGAAGCACAGCGACCACAAACGAGACAAATAAAGGCGTTGTCCATGTCGGAATCTTGATGCCACTCAGTTGCAAGTACGGATTTGCGCGGAATGTACGAATAGCTTCGGAGCCGAGAAGGAGGAATACCCAGACACTGCATTGGTCAGATTTGCCAAACTCATCGAAAAAAGGAGCTTCACTGACCTAGCGCCAACGACAGCTGTGTTGCTGTGTAAAATAAATTTCTCCACCAAAATGTACAGACCACCGGGGAAAGTCGAGAGTGCTAAGAGACCAAAACTTAGTAATATCTCCAAATCGCCAGGTCGAAATATACATACGTCCCACGAACAATGCCACTGCGGTCAAAGTTCCATGTTCCGCCTCAAATCGTTCCAGTAACGGGGTCAATGCCAACGTATTCAGAAGAGCGTGGAAGAAGCTGGAATGAATCACGGGGTAGGTGTTCAATCGGTACACTATTAACATCAGCATGTTTCCCAATGATACACGATAAGATCAACTGTACTGCTTCCGATACTCATCTCGTCCGGAATCAAGGCCCCCCAGGTCACAACACTCCATACTGACTGTAGTTCGAGCAACCAGAATGCGATGATGACGAGGAGCACGGCACGCGTGAATAGCGGCAGCCGGAGAAGGTAGGATCGAAGACGGGCCGGATTGAAAGGCAAGGCAGGGAGGGCGGTAGGCAAGGCCATGTTTCGTTTTTCCCTCCTCTGTTTTCGCTCCGTAGTGCAGTGGTATTGGATGCGTCAGTTTGGTTGATTACGAAATGTGCAGTCTCGTGACAAGGATGACTTCAGAATTTCCACGAGAAAAAAGCGCAGCCAAAAGAAAGCCCAACACAGACACTCGCTAATCAGCCAGGGACGAAAATAAAAGCACCATTTATCGACAACACAAATATAACAAATAAATTGGCATGGCCGGGGTCTAGGGGGAGCAGAGAAAAGGAAAAGAAAGGACTAAGAGGACAAACAGCACACTGGTGGCTGTTTCCGTACTAGAGCGGGCCCGGATCTGCGGGCTGGCTGCTACTTTAGTTGCGCTTACTCTCTCCGCCTGGACTCAGAATTATTTATTTATTATTTAACATTTGATTAGGCACGGCTAACTATCATAGATAGTACTGGAACCAGTTCAACGCCTGCAAAAACGCCAATTCCTTCGATCTCTTCAAATGCGCGTTACTCAGATCTGCCCGCGCCGCAAACCCATGGTGAACGCCTCCATACACGTTGATCTGATACGGCTGGCGAGTTTTGATGAGGAGATCCTCGGATGCATAGCGGGCCTCCCGGGTCCAAATTTGGTCGATTTCTACATTGATCGGCTTGTTAGCTTGACGTTCATTGCAATCGAGCAGTCGTCTTACCAGCTGCAGCAATAGACAACGGTCCCTCGATGCTGGCGAGTTCGTCGCTTTGGATGTTGGTCGGATGAGCCGTGTACCCGGCGTCAACCTGTCCCTTTTTCAAAAAGCGCACGACAAACTAATTCCGTCAACCATTATTCAATGTCCTCTCACTTACTGACTTACTCTGGCGCCGAAGCAATACCCAACCGTGCCAATTGACTTCACGCCAAGCTCCTCCCTCAAGTGTTTTATCGTCGCCTCGACATTCGGATACACCGTCTCGGGACCGTGTCTGGCTAGCCAAGTAGGTATATCGACTTTGCCAGCTTCATAATCGCCGAATTGTAAAGGTTCATTGTCGACGATATCCGGGATGACAGCCAGGTAGCCATTGCGCGCGAAGTCGTCGGCGACCAACTGGCTGTTAATCATGATGCCGTAGATGTCGCTGAGGATGATGATAGCTTTGGAGGGGGAGGGGTTGTTTTTGGGGTAAGAGAAGTACGTGGAGACTAGCATAAGTCAGTAAGCACAATGAGCATTTTGGTATACACGGTAAGTGATAGCGTACAATTGCCAATCTTCTTGACTTCGCCCGAGATCTCGCCCTCATGCTTGAAGCCGGTGAAACAGCAAGCCCCTAGACCAGTCATTTTCGCGCGACGATTCAACGAAAGATGAAATTAATTAGTTTGCTTCAATTAATAACAATAACAATGGACAATAGTCTGTGTGCTTCTGCCAGAACATTACCATTCAGCAAGGCGGGCATCGCTATTTAAATACACCAAAAGTTACAGTAGCATAGACCGCACACAATCAAGGCGTCCCCGGTCTGACCTTTACCAATTATGCATGCCATTTCTTATTGATCATTGATTAATCATCCCGAACTCACTTGAATGGATTTGACTAAGCCTTGGTAACCGCAAATGTGGAACTGAATTTATTGCGCAACTTTGGGTTTACCAGCACGAGGCGGAGATCTGCTATCTCCGCTTCATGATATGTAACATCTCCGCAGTAGCGTCTCACTAGTGCTGTCAGCTATGCGGACTATCCATATAGCTCATAACTGTAGCTATTGCTAATTTACTCTTAATCATCCGATCACTATAATCGCTGACAGCATTAAAATGATGGTAGAATCCGCTGTATTTATTACCAGCCTAATACTCTGATGCTGAAGCAATCAAGTACATCCAAGTCTCTGCATACACGCTACACTAACAAAGCCATAGAAGAAGCCAGCATAACAAGTCCACCAAACCCATCCATCCCCGAGCACCACTCCTCCCAGTTCGTCGTTTTTCTCGCCAGATCGGACGGTTTCGGGGGAAGCATCCTATGACTACAAGACAGCTGCCGCTCATCCATCCTGACCAGGTCCCCATTGACATCCAACCCAAAGACCATTTGAAAATCTGCAGGCTCCTTCTGACTTTCAGCCTTCCATAGAACCTCGTTTCCTGCTTCCCAGAGCTGTTTCTTCGCCGGCAGTGGCGCTATAATCAGGTCCGTTCGCAGCTCGCATAATGCCGCGGGCTCGAAATAGACCAACATATTCACGATTCGAAGGACCACGGCTAGTCTTTGATTGAATCAGTGGTAGTCTCATTTGAATCAGTCCGAGTAAAGGGGGTAGAGTCTAACCTCCGTCTTGATTCTTCAAATATCCAGTCTTTCCACCCTACTTCGATATCGTAGTTGGTCAGCGCAGACTGTGTGTGGCATGCAAATTCGACGGCGGAGAATTTTTGAGCTATCAACTATATATGTCGTTAGAGAGAAGTTTAAAGACGAAATTGGAATTAGGCTTACAATCACCGCTCTTATTAATAAAGAATCGAAATTATTATAGTCCGTCTCGCCTTCGTCCAACCGAACGATAATGTAAATAGAAAGGGCCTGCATAGCAGCAAGCAGTTCCCATTTACTCCACTTCAAATACTAAAACCCCATCAGCTTCATTAAGTTTCTGTATATTTGTGCAACGTACCTCTTGATACAAGCGTTCACACTCCACCCGCACATTTCTCCAGAACAACTTTCGACTCCCTTGGGCCTTGCTGCTGATCATATGCACCAGACTAATGCAATTAGTCAGTGGTTCCATCTGGTTATTCTCTGTATTGGAAGATATCAAGTTTGGGTGGATGTAAGGTGGAAGGGAGTCGTCTCGCAGCATCATCAGGGGATACGATTTCAGAGTGTGGAGTATCAGTTTGGCGATTTGCTGAGTTCCAGTCTTGATTTTTGGTCGTTGGTTGAGTGATCGAAGAGCAGAGGTTGGTTGTGGTGGTATTGATACATATAACGACGAGGTTTGATATCCTTGAATTGTTTGATTGGGAATTGAAGATGACGATTCGGGGTATTCAACAACAGTCCCATCACTTGCCTGCGCATTCATAAGGTTGGTAAAATCGATTTCTGGGTTACCCCAGTCCAGATGTTCTGCTCCGAGAGCGGCAAACTCGGTGCCAGACTCGAAAAGGGCATTATCAATGAGATCCCCATCGTTGCTTTCGTGTAGACGAGTTTCAATACCAGGCGAATTCAATGCCAATCTCGGCTGTTCAGTCAATGCATCTTCACTATGCTCAACCCCTGGTCCTATTCCTTTTGGCGTGTCGGCTGGATAACTGCATTTTGTAGCCTTGGCCACGCATCTGGAGCACTCAGGCCGTCCGTTATCGCAACGCGCCTTTCCTCTGGCGCAAGAAATGCAAGAGCGAGACCGAATCGTTTTGCCAGCTTTCCGTGACCGGCAGTAATAGCCATGTCTCTTCAGCGTGGATTCTTCTCGCAGGACTATGTCAGTGCTTGGTATTTACCACTTCGGAAATCATCTCACCCTTGTCGAACGGTTTATTGCACTGCCCGCACCGCAGAACAGATTGGGCTTCTCGTCTGTACATTTCAAATTAGACCGTAGTTAAAGCTGGAATTACAAGTAGAGGAATAAGTAACTATGGAAAGTCGACTAATTTGTCAGCGGTTGTCTAGTTTGTCGCATTGGCGGCATTTGTCAGCGCCACTGTCCCGTTTAGGAAGGCCGTAGGGCGGGACATTTTGTACTCATCGATACATTTCTTCTTATCATATCAACCCGGATATCCAGAACCAATATTTACCTTTCTAGAAGACATGGTTTGAACAGGATGGCCACATCTGGCTTCACAAATTGCACAATTCCGTCTGACTCGAGCTGTCATGTCAACAATGTGTACCATTCCTACAACGTTGAAGTGCATCGATATTGAATATAAAAGCAACCATTAATTTGAATCAAAAATCATATTTCAGGTTTTCCCTTTATTTTATTTTTTAAAATAGAATAAGAACTTATTATATTATAAAGAGAGTCAATCACTTCGATCATTTTACATCGCAATCTAAATTGAACCATGCCTCCCTTTCCATCCCCAACCTCGCGATGGCACACCAAATCCTACGAGTCTCTATCTCCCACGCGTCCTGAGCTTTCAGCCAAAGGCAAAACCGTGGTAGTAACCGGGGGCGGAACAGGCATCGGCGCAGAGACGGCTCTCTACTTCGCCCAAGCAGGTGCGTCTCACATTGCCCTGCTTGGCCGAAGAGAGCAGCCTCTCCTAGACACCAAGACCACCATTGAGCGCAAATTCCCCGGTGTCCAGGTATTCGTAGCCCCGACTGATATCACCAAGAAGCACGAAGTCGACTCCGCCATAGCCAAATTCCATACCATTCACGACAAGAAAATAGACGTCATGGTAAGCAACGCCGCGATTATAGGCCCGCAGGACCCCGTGAGCGAGGCCAGTGGGGACGCTTTCCTTCATTCCATTCAGCAGAATCTCCAGGGATCTCTGTATATCGCACAGGCTTTCCTCCGCTATGCGGCTGCAGATGCGGTTGCTATTGAAATTAATTCGTCTGCCGCACATGTGAATTTCGGGCCTGGGTTCGCAGCGTATAGTATCGCCAAACTGGCGGTGTTTCGGCTTTGGGATTCCCTGGCTTTTGCGAATCCGGGAATCAGCGTCTTTCACGTCCAGCCTGGGATAGTGGATACTGCGATGAATAAGGAGGCAGGGGGTGTTGCAGCTATAGGATTTGAGGATCACGGTAGGTCGAAGTTCCAGCACTGTAATGCAGAGAGTGCGTTTGAGTGCTGATTTGCCCAGTTTCTCTCCCAGCAAGCTTCAATGTATGGCTAGCAAGCCCTGAAGCGCGGTTTTTAAAGGGGAAGTATTTGTGGGCAAACTGGGATGTAGATGAGCTCAAGGCCCGCGCTGAAGAGATTGAAACGAGTGCACAGCTTACTATTGGACTCGCTGGATGGCCTTTTCAGGAGGATATTAACTGGAAGGCCACCTGGAAGGAAAAGACGAGTGAAAGTACTTAGTGTTGTTCAAACGACAAGAGTGAAGATTGGGCATATACAAGATATTGGATATTCAAATTTGAATATGTGACTGTCTCGCAGTCTCGTACAATATCGCAGAAAATATGGCAATACAGAAGCTCCTCTTCAAATTTTGCAATTGACGCCACTCCTGAGTATCATCATCATATGGGCGTATTCTATATTTGGCTGTCGATGCCACGAGCTACATACGTATGTATACAGAAACTAGGGAGATGATAGTAAAATAGATATATGATAATGCTTCAATAATAAAGTCATAGTATTATAATTGACAAGAGACAAAATGATTTCAAAGGTATATTCTGCTAACCAAACTTGTACGGAATCACCGGATGTGCAACATGGCTTCCTTCTAGAAAAATAGCATACTCTCCCTGATTGCAACCAGTTCCTCCACGTGAATCTGACACTCTGGACCGTACTCATTGAAATCTCGGCCTGGCACAACTACTCGAAATGCTTCCCCCTTGCGGAGAAGGGTAGAACTACGCTGAATTCCAATGTACATCACCTTCTCGCCAGGTTTCAAAGCTAGGCATCTTTCTCGAGATAGGTATATCCAACTTCATCTCCAAAAGTGGCTGGTGCCGACTTTCTCTTCAATACTTCTAACTAACTATCACCTACATTTCGTCTCGATTTCAAATGTTATCATAAACAGACAATTATTTAAATAATGCCTCCTGAAAACCTAAGATGCTCGTACCCCGCGCACAATCTTAACACTATACAAATGATAGCTCAGATTAATATAATCAATAACTGCCAGTTACATACAGTATTGCAACAATCGATTTTTTCATCTTAGATAGATAGAACATCAATTAACTTCTTACACCTTATAAACACTCTCGTTGGATAAAAACAATTTCGGATTATCTCAAATACAGCAATGAAAAATAATTTCAAAAATCTTAGAGCTTTCATTATATGTAAATAAGATATCCGTTAACAGACGAACAAAAGACTTTTCACCGATTGATCTTTTTCTAAGAAAAGGTGCTAAAAAAGTGGGATGATACCAAGCAGAATGCGAGGTAAAAATAAAGGTAGTATAGACGAACAGAACCCCCATTCTCGAAGCAATATTGTAATGATTAGTAATTTGACGACGCCGTAGTCCACGACCGGACGTAGAAAATATGTGTGCCTCCGATCTTTGGGCACCAAGAAAAATCCTGGCTTTGTGTTACTTTGCGAATTTGCAGTACGACGCTCAACTTGTTATTCGACACTTACATTGGCTAACTCAATAATCTTTGGGTAATTGTCCTGCATTTAGGCGAGTATTGTGCTTGGAGGAAGTTCGTCTAATCCTTTCAAAAGCAGCCATAGAAATATCAGAGTGGCTGGCTCACAAAGAATGGTATACGGTTTTCGTTCCGGATACCGGGTTTGACTGTATATCTAGAGGTTCTTCAGAGGTTCGGGCTTCCTGTCCCAGAACCCTGTCAATCTCGCTAAGATGGTAGTAAATGAGATGCAGAAGTCGGTTTGTGATTATTGTTATACAGACAGCAATAGCAGCATACTGCCCATTGGGAGATCTGGAGATAATAGATAATATTTCTCCACCCAAACTGTGCTGTAGACTCATGGTCTGTTATTACTATTCTCGAGTAAGTCTACTGCATGGTCTCTAGACTGTGGCGTAGGACAGGAATATGGGCATTGACATATCGCGTTTTCTGAAAACTTCACTAGAATCCATTGTTGCAACTTGTTTGGGGAGGCTCCCACCGTTGCTTGATCAATTATTTCATGAATTTCGGCGAGGCGGTTGCGTTGTGCACTTTTCCAGATATGGTACCGCGAAGTCATACCAGGAATTTGTTATATCATGTGGTACTTCCTCCAGTACTTCTTTAGCGATTCAAATAACTGCTCAATCAGATGGAATTGCATGCTTAACATGGTAGACTAGCAATAGGGTATTGTTGGTTTTAGAAGCCGTTTCCGTATATATTCTCACTGAAGATTTTTAAAGACTTTCTCTTCAAACCAAAAGATGCTTTCAATAATATACCAGCCTACACTATACCATCACATTATTGTGTCGAAGGTTAGCCAGGTGCTATAGCCTATAACGATTTCCGCTTCTTCATTTTTTACAAGCCTACCGTCTTGAAAACACAGTGTCAAGTAACCTTTAACTTATTGATTGGTTGACTAACGTGCCTACACCTTACAATCTGAAATAATCTAAAGACGTATTAATAGATTCTTCAGAACTTCCTATTGCTAAGGTTTATCAATGTTAGTCGCAAGAGAAAATTTGTCGATGCTTACCTAGGGGATGGGTAGATATATGTTACGATTTGGAGGCAAAAGGTATAAAAAAATACGATGTCACTCACTCACTGACATGACGACATGAATAAGTAAAGAATCTGTAGTCTCTGGGGCACGGTTCAGCTTTAAAAGGTTGAGTCGCCTATCTAATGTCTATATTCAGCGGGGACATACTTCCAAATTTCCTAAAAGCACAATTGCTGGAGGGCAGCGCCAAACAAACAAGAAAAATATATTCTTCTCAGTCTCGACAACCCTGGCCATCTCGAATCATAACAATATAGACGAGTAAGCAATGAATACACTAACTAGAGAGGGGTTTTAACATAGATTCGTTAATCTGCCAATATTCCACGACGGGGTATCCACAACAATTGATATGAGGTCTAGAAAGGGCTAAAGGACAGACCAAATAGGTGTGTTAATTACGTTTTTTACATTTCTCTTAATAAAAAAAGAGGATCTTCCTCAAGAGAGGGAAAAAAGAATCCTCCCCGACGGGGAATCGAACCCCGGTCTCCCGCGCTTGTTCTGCCCAAAGGCGGTGACAAGCGGAAATCATCACCACTAGACCATCGAGGAATCGTTGTGTGTAATTTATTATATTCGAATTATGTTCATCTAACGCTTTTTGGCTACAAATCACTCTTGAACACTCAAATTGGAGGGGAAAATACCAATCACCTCCTAGAAGACACCAATGACAGAATATTCGAAGGATTCGGATCATATTACCTCAAGAATTTCTTGGAAAACTGCTTGCCTTTTCTAGACAATCAATGCATATAGAGGACATATCATCCACGAAAATTTGTTTAGAACCATGGAGACACAAGCCTGACCATATGAGTATTGTGGGATGTTATTCTAATTTTCCTTGCCCAAGAACCTTCTGAAAACCATGTCAAAACCAACAGCACATTTTTCGGTCGAAATGGAGGCGTTGACATTCTAGCGAGAAGCCTTGTGACTCGCATAGAAACAACAAGTATGAGACAGTATCGGAATCTCATAAGGACTTGTCAAAGTCTTGTATGTCCATTAATTCACATCCTCTTCCAAAGTACAGTGACATGACTGGAGCGCTAGAAAGATAGAGAAATAATTTCAAGTGTGCGCGGCCAATTATTGTCACGTCTTATGGAGAGCGAAGCTCTATCACTCTATGCGTCTGGTTTAAATAAATTGTATGTCACAAGGCCAGGCAAACAATTGGGAAAAGAAGGTCATACCCCTCTCCGAGAGCACTTAAGCATAAAATTAATGGATTCTGTTAGCTCGACTGAGGGCTTTGTTGGAATACAAATGTCAAAAAAAATCCTCTCCCGATGAGAGTAACATCATGAAAACATTATTGAAAAGGATTGTACCTTAAGACACGAATGAAATAGAGTATAGGTTAGGGGTAAGACTTTTAGCCTCCACCCTCACGTTATCCACATCTAGTGTTTTAATTTCATATAAATATGGTTTTCTTATTACCTCTTTCGTCTGTTCAAATTCTATTATTAATATGCTGCACAAATTCACACAATATATGTTACACATAAAGCTAACCACAAGAATGCGCGATGTCTCGAAGCTCCATTAGGTAGTCTACACATGTATAACTGATGAGACTGATAGATGAACTCTCAATGATTTTCAAAAGTCCGAGCCTGAAGCTGTGTAGCTTCATCATCTGATAGTACTATACCTGACCTTCAAATTCCTAGAAATGAGTGGATATATCTAATCATATTCTGTTGATATACGCGGTAACCCGGCCGGTGATAGGTTAGAAAGTTTAGTTGCCGAGAACGAGACAGAAGATGCTCTGTTCAATCAGGCGAACCGGCGCAAAGCCATCCAATCGGAACCACCTAAACCCCGGCCAATTTTACACGCTTAGCGACGACATATTCTCACCCACCATAGTTCATTCGGAAAAGATGAATATAATCCTAATCCACGAAACCACATATAACAGTTCCTCGATGGTCTAGTGGTGATGATTTCCGCTTGTCACCGCCTTTGGGCAGAACAAGCGCGGGAGACCGGGGTTCGATTCCCCGTCGGGGAGGATTCTTTTTTTCTCTCATTTCCTAATGACCACGACGAATTCTAAGCGCCGAAGTTCAGTTGCTCCATCCAAATCATCGACGTTTAATTGATGACCAACATCTTGATCACTCCCAATGACGTTTAAGTCCCCTAACAGTTCATAAATGTGGAATTCGTCACATAAGCCAGGGTGTTCTCGATGAACTACATATAGAAATTCCCCAAATAGAGTGTTTCTAGCCTTGAGGTTTATTTAGATCATAGATATATATGCCTCTTTATCATGTCTCGATGACCGTTGATTATCCAATTTAGCACAAGTTTAGGGCCATGCAACGTGATACAACTTTGAAACTCCCATTCATCCAAACTCCGAAAGAGGAAATCGAAACCCAGCACCACCGGTTTTTTTCGCTATACGAAATAAATGGGAGACGATGGGGATTCTAAATTTGCTTATAACCTCCAAAACCAAGCCTTATTATAGTGATAAAAAACGAAATTCCGAAACGAGGTCGACCCAGCCACCAGCGGTTGTTTTCGCTATACAAATGAGAGAGTGGGATGTTACCGCTACGAGATTCGGATTAGGATGGAATCCTTGATTTGCTTTATAAACTGAAAAATTGACCTAGCTACTATATAAAAAGATAAAAAACTCTAAAACGTAAATGTGAAATAACTTCTACTCCCCGTCTCGGATTGCCAGTTTGTTCTTTATTTTCTATGTGCTCTTGCTCTTTTCATTCCCTTAAACATTCATCTTTCTAGCTAGGTAAGCAAACCTTCAAACGAGGATTCACAAAATATCAAAAGTCATAGTCAGATTCATTAATAAGACGAACTCTGGAGAGCGAAAAGTAGCCTCTACCTAGAGAGAGAGAGGTCCAGCTGATATAGACTGGGCCTCATAAAGCTTCTTTTGTTGAAGTCTATCAATATCTCGATTTCAAGTCCCATTGTTTTGTTCCACAAACCGGGAATAGGCCGACGAAACAACACGTCGAAGCGTGTTGTTCTGGTGGCTAACTAGGTTGGTTGAAACATAAAAGGTCCATGCCATAAAAAGATTTGAAAGCTCGGCAACAAAGGACTTAAGAGTATATCATGAAGTTAATATCAATGTGGTTCCAGGCGGTTCAGGAGGCTGAGGCGTATTGGAACACTAAGAATTATATGGGAATACATATGCAGTAAATTACGATATAAATTACATGCTTCAAATCTTATATTTTAACTTAAATCGGATGAGAATCAAAGACCGTGGGCATATGAAACTATCCACCGGGAATTTGCCCTATTTGACAGATACTTTTAGCCGTTCGTATAGCACACAGGGCTACTTCTCAAAAATTTCTCAATATCCCATCGCCCTCGCCAAAAGTATAAATGCCCCTCCCTTCTTTAGATAGTATCAATATTATTTCACTACCCGCATCGGAGTCTTAACTTTTTGTCGACGTATTATCGAAAAGTACAGATGACATGCACCTTTTTTTGCTTGAGATGAGCGCTACAAACTCTCCTAATTATTGACAACCCCAGTGCCAATTGCCAACTAGACCAAAAACAACGAAATAAACATACATAGCACTTACAGCAGGTTAGATTTATAACCTCTTGGCTGCAGCCAAACGCACCATGTCTCGCGGCACTACATATGTGAATGGTAATACGTCCTTCTACACCACTGTAGCTGACAGATAGCTACCCACGTGGCAGCGATTGAAAATAGGTAAAACTAAATAAGTTAATATGATTGAGTACCCAAGTCTGTCAAGAAAGTGGATTCGCTGTGGGGAGAGTTTGCTAGCGCCGCACAGCCTCACGCTTCTCTTTTCCACTTATTACGCTCTTCAAACTGCGACTTCTTCTACACACATGTGTACTTGATGCAAAATATACGGTAGGTTATCATTAACTATCTATTCACATGAAGCCGGCAGATGCTATCGATCTACCGCCCATTACATGCACATCGTGAGGATCATAAACAAGCCAACTGTCCAGGGGTATAAAGCTGAAGCCACAAAAATCGTAAGATGAAGAGAAGAGAAGGGATATGTCCGAATATATCAACCGAGTGGGAAGATATGAACAGGGCAGAGGCAGAGGGGTTGGTATCATGCCGACGACCACGAGCGTGCGTGGTGCTGGGCGGTCTCCTTCTTGACCGCCCAGGCTTTAATGGCGATCACTAGGATTTCATACGCCATGATGAAACAGGACAGGCCTATGGCGATGTTGAAGGTGAACATGGCGTCGAGATCGTACCACACCATGACGTCCATGATATCGGAGGCCTGAAAGGTCAGCATATTGTTGTTGTATTGTGGACATGGGACACTTACACTCAGCATAAAGATAAGACCGCCGGAAACCAGGCAGAATGCGCCAATCAGTTCCGACGGTGGACGCGCCGGTAAATATGAAGTCGGCGGTTTCACGTAGGTGATGACATAAGTCACACCACGAGCCATCGCAGCTCCAGATAGCAGAGTGCCCCATTGCTTGTGGACCATGGTCGAGACCATTTGTTTCTGGTGGTGACCGCCCATCATCATGCCCAAGAGGAAGATGATCAGTGCTGGCATTGGGTTGAAAGACACGCCAGACTCGTCTTCCTCGGTTTGCTGCTGACGGAAGTTATTTCCCAAGATGCTCTGTTTCACCCACTTCCGGACTCGTTTCGATTCGAGGAGCAGGCCGCACTGAAGATAAAGACATTAGCGACAGTCCACTGAAACCACTGAGATGACTCACCAGTCCGGCACCAAAGAACATGACAGAGATTGATACATGCTCCAAATCCTGAGCAGACCATCCCTGTCCCCATCCTCCGAGATGCTCCAAGAAGACATTGGTTGAGCCGTAGGTGAAAATCAAAGCGGACTCAACGAACTCTCCAGTCACGGCGCGGGAGCCTGCAGGTTTGATATTCCAGGCCCACCCGAAATTGGCCCAGCAGCCCATGAATCGACCCAAAACGACAAGACCGTACCAGAAGAAGATGCCGCCCTTGATGAAATGCGCCAGGCCGCTGAAGATTCCATGACCTCTCTGCTTGAATTAGTATACCCACAGTTTCCAAGGTTTTACGAGACATACAAAGATACCGCCATACGTCACACCGCCGGTGGTCAGAGCAATGAAGCCAAACGGCAAGATGATGCGATCAATCACATTGTACACAATGCGCAAAACACGGAGAGCACGGTTGGACACTAGACTGGGAATGCGACTGGTAAAGAACCGATCCAAGGTAACGCTTCGCAGCCAACCGCGCGCAAGAGGCGTCGGCACCTCGATCTCCTCTTCGTCTTCCTCCGACTTGGGGAAGTGTTCCTCGTCGGGAGAGGTGGGACAGCTGGTTCCCTGGCCACTGTCTCCAGACCATCTGTACTCGGCGACGGGCGAGTACAGCTGTTGGTGCTCCATCATGTTCTGAGTCGAGACGGGCATAAAGGTGGCGCGCTCATACTCATGGCCGGAGTTTGTGCGGCCACGGCCCGAGTAGGCATAAATCAAGCCGATGACAGCCTGTACACCCACCGCCCACGTCGCAATCCAGCCGATCGTGTGATGCGCATTGTTCTCATACAGGTCGGGGGTGGAAGTGTTGTAGATGATGCCAAACAACAAACCAACCGCATTGACGACCAGGAACAGGAACTGCGTGGGAATGGTGTACCGCGAATGCGCAACACTCAGCATGACGGCTAGCAGCTGTTAGTTGCGAGCGCAACAGTGCGCACGGTCTGGAGAGCTTACCTATCGGGAGAATGAAGCACCAGGAAATCACTTCGAGGATGATGTGGGCCGTGATGGCGCTGCTGTGCTGGCCACTCGCAAAGTAGCTGAGCTCCCACTCCTCGGCGGGCTTGGACATTTGGTCTTTCTGAGTCGCGTTCATGCCCATGTCCATGTCCATATTCATGTTGGCAGCTTCATGCGCATGACCCCCGTCGGCGGCGACAAGCGCGACGACGAGGGCGAGGGCGAGCAGCTTGGCAGATATTGAGAGTCGCATGGGGTACAGAAAAGCAGCGCCAAACTGTGAGGCAGCGAGAAGCAAGAGCAGGAGCAGGAACAGGAGCAAGAGCAAGCAGAGGGCGAGAGCAGACGAAGAGGCGGGATGGGCTCTTTTTCAAGGCAGGCAGTCGGGGACGAGCTCCAACCAGGCAGCCTCATTGGTGCATGCATTAATGCATATGAGTGTGTCCAATACGTCGTCACAGACTTACCGTACGCATTACAGCAATGCTTACACATCGCGATATGGATGATTAATGGTTAATCTTACGTCGGCGCGTGGAAGCAAGCCGATCCGAGCTCAAATATTAAAACGTTAAATTTTATTAGTTACAATTAATACAAGAACAAAAATGGAGAATGCGATCCGCTGATTCGGGTGAGCTCGTCACACGTCTCGCCTGCACCGTCATACCCGTACATATATACTCATGCTCTACAACTGACTGCATATGAAATATGAAGTATTAAATGCCAACCACCGCCGCAAACGGTGTCGGTGTGCTGGACGCACGGGATTGGCGGCGCTGCATTACTAATGGCGACGTACATCACGTCCTCATGAGTCACACACACAGCCTGGAGGTACTTAGTGCTCGCACTATACTACAACTAAGGATAGGTACTGTGTGTACGGAGCATGTATCGACTATATACCCGATCGGGCGCTCGGAAATCACGGCGGGGCTAATCATGTCAGGCTTACCTCTCGATGCACTAATGTATTATACACGATGACCTCACTGCGTCATATTTGTTAGAGAGCATCCGACTCTTCCGTATTCGGCTTACGAACGGAATACAACGAGCGGTCAGGAGAGTGTCGCGAGGCTGGTCTAGATGCAAATTTTTGAGGCTATCCCCATCGTCGGTCTTGGCGCGCGGTAAAGATCCGGCGCATCCGCCATAGATATTATCAACATATCATGTAAATACTTCATATAATATATGAATGTATGAGGGCACTGGTGACAGCCTACGTACGCACATAACGGTAAATGCACACTAATATACTACACACACTACATATATACATATATCATATATGTCCTTCATGTCAATAGAAGAATATGTCGGGCCGTGCGGCGATCGGCAGCTAGTCGGATAGCCGGGTGTGCAGCTCCTAGTGGGATGCTGCTCCAGGTCATCTGCGCGTTCTCTTCACGCTGATTAGCCGTCAGCTGGTGGTTATACAGAGGATTGCATTGTGCAGACTCGGCGTCGGAATTTGGGTATCCGAGCCCGTTAAATCCCCTCATAACACACCCTTATTGTAATTATATGTATGAATTCGGATATTTCCACGCACTCTGCTATTGTCAGTGTGTATTACCCTGCGGATGATTTGTCAGTTTACGATACTCGAAACTTCGAAGGCTCGCAGTTCTCGATACTCGACTCCACTTCTCTGTTGGTACTACAGCTCAGAATTTTCTTCTTATTAATAATTAAAAATAAATCGCCGCATAGACATCAAAACAGACGGACGACAGCCTGCAGCGGATGGTACACGCCGGAGTAGAGCAATTAATTGTCCGGAATCATGCGGATGCTCACATGTCATGACACCTTAGTACATATGTACCTCCCGCGCACAGATATTAGGATGTGCTCCGGTAGTTCGGATATAGCGGAGTAATCATGTTGTTAACAAAGTATAATAATGGGGTCGGTGTTCCAGATTGTACAGCACTATTCTAAATAAGTACACGCGCAGGCATGGAATTAAGGTGTGAGACCTGGAGTTGCTTGCAGTAGTGGGTGTTAGTGGCTGATTGGTATAGTACTTAGTTGATCGATTGATCAATTGTCGTATGGAGTAATAATTGATGCATATAATACTAAGTAATAGAGTAAATTCACCACGACAGCGAGCGCAGCGTATAAAACAGCAAATACGCATCTGCATTCAGCACATCCCCCTCCGACACCAGCGTCACCTTGTCGTCGTTGAACAAACACCATCGATCCCCCTGCTTCACGTACGCAATGTAGTGACCCTCGTTCAGCCCAACCCCGTCGTGGACAATTGCCGACACCAAATCGTACACGAATTTCTCGTTCTGAGATCTCGACGACGACCCTGCCGTTGTTGTGGCCACGGTATACGGCTGCATGTTGATTTCTAGAGGAAAGTCGATTTTGCCGCGCATTTTTCGCGTTTCGGATTCTGTCTGCTCGAAGCGCTGCATTCATTTAGTAAGAGCTCTTCGTACGGTTGGGTCGAAAGTACCTTCATCTGCATGCATAGCATCGCAGGGAGTCGTTTAATTCGCAACTGCTTGGTCAGCTTGTCCGGATACCCGTGACAGCCCTGGCATTGGTATCCCTCCATAGTCAGTTCCTCGGGGGATACCCAGGACTGCAAGCACTTGGCCAGCGTGGGCGTTGAGCCGTGGAGAGTGCCGTTCATTTGCTGTTTTTTAGAGTGCAACTGCACGTCCAGACTCAGCTCGAGCAGCGTCTGCTCTGTCGGGCTCGTGTGTTGACACATTGGACAGGTCAGCGTGCTCTGGAACTTGCCAAAGAATGCCTTGCAGAAGAAACAGTGGCATTTCATCTGGTCTTCTTCGACTGATGTCGCTGCGTGAAGCCCGCCAACGAGGAATTGATAGAATTCGTGCGCGTCTTGCTGGCGATTACCGGCGAGGGGCTGAAATTACATTAGTTTACAATAAAAAAGAATAAGGAAAGAGAGACGCACTGGATAGTTCTTCCACGTCGAGTATAGCAGTTGCTCTGCCGTAATTCCATCCTTCTTGTCACACCCGTTGAAATCTGCAAATGCTTTGCCCATCGCACACAAGACGCAGCCGTCCACCGCGCATTCGTAATATTTGTGCCCATTGCCTAGAAAGTAGGCATTTAGTATCGGTTCGTGTAGCAGCGTCTGCAGGACGACGTTCATGTAACAAGTCTGGCCGAGATTGAAAAGCCCCCGAAGCCCTTCACTCTGGCAGATGCGTTTCGTAGCATTGGCCCGGACATATGCCTCATCCGCTTCGATTTCTACAGCATCTGCGCCATTTCCATTCACCCCGTTTTGGTGTGCATGGTCACCGTTTATTCCATTCGTCGAGATTTCACTCGATTTCCGCTTCTTGGCCGTCTTGTTGGTCTTGTCGAGTAAGCTTTTGAAAATGTAAGTCGTCGTTTTGTCGCGTTTGACTTGCGTATCTCTATCTTTCTTCGCCTGTGAATATGCATCCAAAACCGCATGCTCTATCAGCTTTGCCGCTCGTACACTATCGAGCTTCTCCTGGCCAATCCGAATGCGGGACGGAAGCCCTGAGGCCATAGCTCTAATCTTCTCTAATTCATGATCATACACAAAATCTCGGCATTCCTGGCAGAAAAGGGCAGCAGTGCGGGAGTCGACATCTGAAGGCATGCGTTAGTGTTGAGAGATTGTCTTTTTGAAATGGCATTTCTCACAAAAAAGATGTTTCGCCTTTTCGCTGTGGATCTGTCGATCACCGTTGCTGTGCCTTTCTGAGCAGTCCACACAGATATACTCTGGCTTTGCGACTGACCGCTTGAAGCTGGGCAGGGGCTTGACGCCGTTTGTCTCGCAGTGAGACGGGTCAGATGTGCGCAGAGCAATCTGCTTCAAGAATGCAATGGTGAATTTGGCACCGCGATCCTCCCCGTCTTTGAGGATAGCAGCAAGATGCTCTGTTGCGGGTTAGTTATCAAATAATAAACTTCACAGCAGTCTCCATACCACAACCATATTCAGCTTCCGTCAACAGACTTATCTGCGTCACCGTGGCTACACTTGTCGCAGTAGTAGCCATCATGCCAATGCTATCTGATAGTAGCCGATAAAAAGTAATACAAATATTAACAGACACCAAACCACACTATCCAAGCGAGCGGCAGATGAAGTTAGACCGGCTAACCTCTGGAGATATTAATCGAACAGTTTTATGCCAATTAACAATATCCGAACATGCTAGATGCAGACTGGCGGGTACAATGCAGGGCGAACAGATGGCGGACGTTGAGGAGCCTCAGTATCGATGACGGGCAGAAGAGTCGCCTATTCCAGGCTCTGTGCGACAACCAATCTTTGGCCGACTTAATAATCAAATAATGATGAATTAGATCAGTCTCCTAACTATTGATAAGAATTAGGAGGTCGAGTGTCGTGGCTGGCTCCGTCTCCACAAGCGACAGCGAGCCACATATAAGCGCCGGCTGCGGTGTCACCCGGCAATCCTGCTCCTGCGAGGCTGCGCCCAAGACGAAGCCGAAGCCGAAGCTAGGAATGTAAGGATAGAGTGGACAGGTCCAGTTGCCAATGCTTCTGGCCTAGCTGGTCGGGCAATGCCTGGTGCGATAATGGGAGAATAGGAAAGATTAAAGGATAATGAGGATGATATTTTAAGCTCTCACGTTGCCCTGGCGGCAATCGAGCAACGGAACGGGAATAGGCGCGGCAGTACCCGCTATTGCATTAACATCAATAATACGTATTATTGAATACACAAATATAAAGTAGAATAGAACAGTATAAGTATGAGCGTGAGTATGAGTATATGTACAAGTATTGATTTTTTATTGTAAAGCATTCATATTCATTCAAAGGGTATCAAAAATCTGTGGCTGAATGCAGCGCGAATGACGTCGAGATCTTCTCATCCAGCTCCTGCACTGGTCTTCTCTATCTATTATATCCCCTCCCCCGTGGTAGCGCACTCGGTCGTGCCCTTCCAGTGCCTCCTCTAGTATAACGACTGCCGGTTGTTCCACGAGTAGACCCGGCCCCGCGACCGCGAGCTGGAGGGGTGAATTTGGGCGTAGCTTTGGACGAGACTGTGGTTGGTGGGTTATCAATGAAAGAGGTATCCGTAGTCCTGTAGACTCTATTAGTAGGGAGATGCGATGCGATGCGATGCTATGTGATGCGCGTCTTACATGAACGTTGCGTCGGTATCATGGCCCGCTTTGCTTGATTCAAATGCTTCTAAACAGGCTCGTCAGTCTAGCCCAACTAGTATAAGAGGAGACATACCTTGTCGGGCCTTCGCTTGCACTCGTTTGAAGGATTCGGAAACCGGGGCCTACTCGATCAGTATCGCGATACCACTCGTCATATAACAGCGAAGATATAGGTTGGCGTACCTCAGGAAAGTCAACGCAAAACGCGTTCATGTTCAGGCCATACAGGAAACTGGCAAAGCTCTCGCTGAAGCGCGCCAGGCTCTCGTGCATCAATTGCAAGTGCATGAAGTTGGCTTCCAGATCGGCCATGGAGTCCGCCAGTTCCGCATACTGCGGCTCCAACGCGTTGATGGCGGGCTCTGCATAGACGCTGCCACCGTAGGCGTGCGAGTCGCGAATCGAAGATCTCGAGCTGGGACGCAGCGGCGTGGTCGGCCGTGAGGTTGGGCGCGGCCGCGACGCCGACCTGGGAGCGCTGGAGTCCATGGAGTCAGCACAGACTGTGGTATGTAGAGTTGACTACTGAGTTAGTTGACTGTACTTGTCGTGGGTGACACTAGGAGCTCAATCCGGTAAAGCCTCGGCAAGGCAATCGAGTCATATGAAACACTGAACAGGCTGCGGGTTGCCAGAGAGTTCGCACGGATGCCCCCACCACTCCTCCTACAGTGACGCCACTGCGCGCTGATCGCACCGCCCTTTTGCAGCCCCTGCCAATTACTGTTGATTCGTGTTAAATCATCATTATAATTCGCCCGCGTCCGTGCAAATTCCCCTTCTCCCCGCACCGTTTCCTGCTCCCCAGACTGCAACGCTCTTCTCTCCATCGATCCGAGCCTGTGCTGTTTCCTGGCTGATAAGGCGGCTCGTCTCGCTATCTCGTTGATATTGTGTGCCCCTGCATCCTGCATCCTCAGCAATCCTGTCTCCGAAGCACATGCGCACCATCCTCGCCAGCCGCTCGGCGATTTCTTTTCTCTCTGGCTCTCGACCTCGTCTCCCCGTATTCTCACAGGCCCTCACATCGCGTGTTTCCCCGCCAAAGCCCGCATCGTGCTCGCTAGTCCTCCGCAGCCAATTTCGCGCCCACCCCACCGTTCATCTCGCTCAACCGAGGCAGGCGGCGTCGTCGCTTTGGGGTATTGCCCTCGTGGTTGGAATTCTTGGCAGCACTTTTCTATTTATCCAATCCGACAATCCGCCTCCTTCTCCCCCTCGATCCGAACTGAATCGATCCCAGACTCAGGACCACGACTTCCTAGGCCCCATCAACACTCTCAAAATGTCGTCCAACAGCATCGAAACCGGCCATGTCGGAAACCTCACCGAGGAGCAGGAAGCCAAGCTCCGCGAGATGTGGACCGTCATCTTCAAACTGACCGGCGTCAAGTTCGAAGAGGGTGAGATCAGGGGCAGGGCCACATCCGTGACCAGCCTCAACGCCCCAGCCAGTCCGACCGACTCGAAGAAGAAGTCCAAACGAGGCTGGTTTGGCCTCGGCGGTGCCAAAGAAGAAGCCCCTGTCGTGGACAGCGCCACGGCAGGTCTCTCTGTCCTCAATGTGTCGGATGCCGACGACAAATTCGGCCAGGTCAAGGAATTCAAGCAGGCCCTGGCCGACTTGACCCCAGATCAATTGAGAGAGACCTTATGGAGCATGGTCAAAGCCGACGACCCAGATGCTCTTTTGCTGCGATTCTTGCGCGCTCGCAAATGGGACGTGGGAAAGGCCGTTGTCATGCTTGTATCCACCATTCGCTGGCGTCTGACTGAGATGCATGTCGACGACGACATCATGCTCGGAGGTGAAGCCAGCGCAGTCACACAGTCCGAAAGCAAAGATTCCAGCAAAAAGCGACTGGGCAGCGACTTTATGCTGCAAATGCGCATGGGCAAAAGTTTCGTCCACGGCGTCGACAAACAGGGCCGTCCGATCTGTCTGATTCGTGTGCGCATGCATAAGATTGGAGCCCAGGTTGGCGAGAGTGTAGAGAGATTGACCGTTCATATGATCGAAACCACAAGGTTAATGCTTCCTCGTCCAGTGGAGACGGCAGTGATTATCTTTGACATGACTGGCTTCACATTGGCGAACATGGTATGGCTGCCGAACAGAATTGAGGAGTTGTGACCATGCTAACGATAACCAACAGGACTACACACCCGTCAAATTCATCATCAAGTGCTTCGAGGCCAACTACCCGGAGTCTCTTGGCGCCGTTCTCATTCACCAAGCACCATGGATTTTCGCAGGTTGGTTCGCCAGTCCATCTTAGTTATGTATACTGACAATCCCCAGGAATCTGGAAAGTAATCAAGGGCTGGCTTGACCCCGTCGTCGCAGCCAAGGTTCACTTCACCAACTCTGTAGAAGACCTCGAAGTGTTCATCGACCGCAGCCGGATCCTCAAGGAACTTGGTGGAGACGAAGAATACAACTACGAATATATCGAGCAACAGCCCGGCGAGAACGACGCGTTGAAAGACACTCTCAAGCGGGACGAACTCCTCGCCAAGAACAAAGCCCTTGCGACAGAATACCAAGAATTAACCAAAGCGTGGATTGCCGCTGCCAACAAAGACAAGAAGGAAGAAGCGGAAGCCATCAAGCCGAAGCGAGAGGAGCTCGTCGACCGAATAGGCAAATCCTACTGGGAGCTCGACCCTTATATTCGCGCTCGCTCGTTCTACGATCGCGCTGGCGTGATCAAGAGCGGTGGTGTGGTCGACTTCTACCCTGAGAGATCAGCGCTGAAGGAGAACGGTACAGCCGAGAAGAAGGAAGTGCCTGTCGTGAATGGCAATGGCACAGCCCATGTCACCGACGAGGAGAAAGCTCCTATAACGGTGTCCGCAGAGGCACCCGCTGTTGCTGCAGCCTCAAATTAAGTACAACATAGCCTTGGGAGTATATTTGTTTGCCATCATATTGTGTCATTACATCCATCTCTTTTTGCATAGTTCTGGAACTCATAGAGAAGAGAGGCACATTTCATTTTTCGTTCTGCTTTACTTCTACTTTGAATGTTTTCATTACACCTTGTATTCAGCATGATTTGACATACTTATTGAATGAATAAATCACGATATATCAAATTTTCATACCGTATTTCTCGTCTTTGCGTCATTTTTTAGAGCGTTACATCTTGCTCTTTAGTTCCTCGTGTAAGGCCTTCAACTTCTCCATGTCAGTAGTCTGAGCAGGCCACTTGATGCCCAGTCCCTCAGTTTCGTTGGGCTTGGGGATCTGTCTTCATTAGTAGTATTCCAGAAAAGAAATAACAAATATATCATACCACATGGAAATGGACCTATGCCATCCATTAGTATATTTTATGATAATCAAGTCTTAGGAATCAACTCACATGATCCACGACCTGATGTGCCGGTCGGCCGTTGTTCTGAAGGATATTGTAATCAACAGCCCCAGTCGCGCTGGCGATTTTCTTTGCGACGGGCTGATCATCGATCGCAATTAGTCTTTCTGGCCGTGAAAGAGGTGGGCCGTCCCCAAGGTACATGTACGCAGACAGAATAAATAGAAACAACCTACCAGTATTTCCGTCAAACTATCGTCCGGAATATCCGTCAGCTTCGCGCCGTGATACTTTGGGATGACGAGCTAATCATCCTCATCATCAGTTTCATTCGTCTTTTTGTTTTGCATGTCGTGCTCGGCTTACAGCATGGCCGCGACTCAATGGCTGGATGTCGAGGAACGCAAACACTTTGTCGTTTTCGAAGATCTTCAAGGATGGGATGTCTCCTGTTCATGGTTGTTACAAGTCAGCAGGGCATTGTGGCATGATGAGTAGGGCGCCGCATTCATCGGCGTCTGGCGGCCCATCGGATAGTTGTGCGTACGTACCCTTGATGATTTTGCAGAATATGCAAGCTGCAGACGACATGGTTGTATAGGTAGTTATCGAATAAAGCTCAATGGAGCGGAACAATACTCGTAGACAGGCTGATGCGGGGAGATGTTGTACTCTGTTGTGATGACATACCTTAGTCGGCTGCTGAGGTGGGGCTTCCCCTCTCCTCTCCTCTCCTCTCCTCCTCAACCTCGTGTCGCTCTCTGCCTCGACACGCCAGTGCACTGCGCGACTGACGCTAATTGACATGTCTGGTGTTGGAGTCGATAATATCGGTGGATGAAGTGATTTTGTGTATTTATTTTCTCTTTCTCTTTTTTCTTTTCTTCTCTTTTTTGATAGATTCTGCAGAGGCCGATTCAAAGACATATTCAGTTTTCAACGGGCTTTCCTGCTCATTGACAACCAGCAACCTATTCAATATCATACAGCTCCATAAATCTGCCCATCTGCGCTTAATCTCGGCATCGAGATGCATTAGTACATATACTACTAGTCTCTATCTGCGCCTTTTATCAACATTCCCTCTTATCTCCAGCAACCCCCACTCTACAACTTCTGTCCGAGTCAGTTTCAATGTTGCTGCGTATTTCCTTTCCTATTCGTATTTTGAGTATTTTCTGCACCTACATATACGATTGTGTGTAAAGTTTTAACGCCGTATATTTTATCCCCGGCAAAGCCCTTGTCCACCCCTGGTGATCCTTTGCAATGGCGTCTAAAGTAATGTCATCTTTCTCAAGGGCTAGCTATCTGTCACGCTCGTTGGTTAACAAGCATGTCCCTCTCGCGCAGCCAATGATTCCCTCTCAAGAATACTTCTCCACCGCGTCGAAGCTGAACAAATTGACCACCGAGTTATCGGAACAGCAGGTCGCGAGCTTGAGCGTCAATGGAGAACGACTAGCCAGGGATTTGCATCACAGCTGTCAATGGGGACCTGGTATCCGATGGGGCCCGTACGCTCATCCAAACATTTGATTATAAAAATGGCACTGATTTTCATATCGAAGGAACCCAACCGACACAGGCATGCAGCGCCTCGCCCTCTCCCAGGAGGATAAGCATGTCCGAGATTGGTTTGTGCAAACAATGACAGATCTAGGCTGCAAAATCACCATTGACGAACTCGGCAACATTTTTGCAGTGCGACCGGGACGCAGAACAGATGTCCCAGCAACTTTCATCGGCAGTCATCTTGATACGCAGCCGACAGGTGGTAGATACGATGGCATTCTCGGGGTGCTTTCCGGGATTGAGGCTATCAAAACGATGAATGATTTGGGTCTGGAGACGGAGGGTGGTGTTGGTGTTGTTAACTGGACAAAGTGAGTATTAATCCTGCACCTCTAATGAGAATGATGTGATGAATGATGTGTGTAGTGAGGAGGGAGCTCGATTCCCAATTAGTATGATGAGTTCCGGGGTCTGGGCTGGTAAAATTTCTCTCGAGCATGCGTATAACTTGAAAGAAGTACCTACTGTCGCATCGTTACCGACAGCTGCGTCTGCGCCTGAAACGGTCAAGACTGCTCTTGACATGATCGGATATGTTGGGTCTGTTCCGTGCTCGTACAAGGCGACACCCATGGCGGCGCATTTCGAATTGCATATCGAGCAAGGGCCACACCTCGTCTCTGCTGGCCAGCGCATTGGCGTTGTCACCGCTGTTCAAGCATACAGATGGTACAAACTACAAGTCACCGGGCGAGATTGCCACACGGGAACGACAGCATTCCAACACCGCGCTGATGCCATGTATGCCTCTGCAAGGATGATGGTGAAAGCACGAGAAGTCGCAACAGCCCATGGGTGTTTGGCGAGTGTTGGCATCGTCGACGCTAGACCGGGAAGTGTGAACACAGTCCCTGGCTTAGTGAGTTTCAGTCTCGATATTCGAGGTCCGGAGACCTCAGCGGTGGATGTGGTGAGTAAGAAATTGAAGGAGGAGTTTGATGCCATTGCAGCCGAGGAAGGGAAAGGAATTGGCAAGCCATGCAGGGTTGAATGGGAGTTGGACTTTGATTCGCCGGCTGTAGAATTCCATGAAGACTGCATATCATGTGTACAGCAGTCGGCCGAGGCAGTTTGCGCGCAGGATGCGTCTGTTGCTGAACCCAAGTCCCTTGTGAGGACTATCATGAGTGGTGCTGGCCATGATAGTGTGTTCACATCCAAGATAGTCCCGACGAGCATGATCTTTGTTCCCTGCAAGGATGGCGTTAGCCATCATCCAGAGGAATTTACCTCGGCCGAAGATTGCGCAACGGGTGCGTCTGTGATACTTCAAGCCGTTGTTCGTTATGACCGCAAACGGTTCCAAAATTAGAACATTTAAATTACTCAAATCAAAAGAAATATGCCTTTGGACGGGTCATCAAACATTGCCATTGAAACTAGCTATATCATAAATATGTAAGCGTAATGGCCGTAAGCCCCATTTCCTTCCTTTTTCAACATGATGTCTTTTTATTCTTTTGAGCCGGATCTAGTATTCGAAGATACCGACATGGCCGCCGCATAATGTTCCCCTAAATTTAAGAAGGAGGAGCGCCACGGCCACGGCCGAATCCACCACGGAAAGTGGGAGCGAACTCGCCAGGGGCACCGCCCTCCTTTCCACCCTCCTGGTCACGGCGACGGTAGCCACCGTCACGGTCACCACGAGGACCACCGCGGCCACCAGGGCGACGCTCGCGCTCTTCAGCGCCCAACATGCCGCGAGGAGGAGCGTGGGAACGCTGCTGCTTGATGTGAGTGGCAGGGACAATCTCAGCGGGAACGTGGAGCCATTCGCGGAGGTAGTCGAGACCCTCGGGGGTGAGGGTGTAGTAGTAGTACTGCCACGAGAAACGGGTCTTGACGTAGCCGCGAGAGGTCAGGGACTGGCAAGCCTTGATGACCTGTTTCATAATGAATGAGCAAGATATTCAATCCCGGGTTGTACACTTGTGGTCTTACATAGAGGTTCTTGGTGTCAATATCACCGTGCTTGGGGAGGTTGAAGTCCTTCTTGGCGACGAGCACACCCTCTACAGTTTCAATGTCAGTTATATCCTTCGTCGGAGCGTTATGTGCCTTGAATTGGATACGCACCACGGAAGAGGTACTCGTGGATCGCCTTGCGGTCGGCCTTGGGAATAAGCCTGCAACAATCAGTACTAGTACAAGAAAATTAAACCAAATTATAGATATAGACGCACATTGTCGCGAGTTCCTGGTGCTTTTCGTGGAATCGCTTTGACGATGCCTCGATTAACGATTAATGGTGGTTGGTTTGGCTGGATTAGGCTTGAAGCTCCGCATCGATAAAAAGTGCGCCTGCAGCCGCGATAGGGCTTGCCCTAATCTGACTGCCATAAGCGGTTAGTAGTTATATCATACACGTGACTAAAATATACGCCGATCACGTGATGTGGCTGGATCGTCATTACTGTACAAGCCAAGCCTTGCCACACTCTATCTCAGCGATTGCGCCAGATCATCTCAGAATCAATAGTGAATATATCAACCAGGCACAAATGGCGATCGAAAATATCAATGTGCTCTTATCGTCCTTCCCTGGACTGTCACTGCCGCCTACACTCTCCTTCGCAATCCCCTCCACGTCGACCGTCGCTGATGTGACCGCGAAAATCGAATCCTACCTGCCAGAGACATTAAAACGCGCAGCGCCTGGCCTGGTTCTCACAACAACCGGCAACAAACAATTACTTCCACAATCAAATACCCTCATCTCATCCTATCTTCCCACACAGCATGTATCCAATCTTGTAACCACATTTCTCCCCCTCCGCCTCTCCGTTCCTCTACGCGGTGGCAAGGGTGGTTTCGGATCCCAGCTTCGTGCCGCAGGTGGCCGAATGTCAAGCAAGCGCAAGGGAAACCAAGGCGAGAATAATGGATCGAACCGGAATCTCGACGGACGACGCCTACGCACCGTCAACGAGGCCAAGGCGCTCGCAGAGTATCTCGCTGTGAAGCCTGAAATGGATAAGAAGGAGAAAGAGGAGCGTCGCCAGAGATGGGAAGCTATCGTTGAGATGGCTGCAAAACGTACCGATGAGATTAAGAATGGCGGCGGGAAGAGCCGGCTCGATGGCCAGTGGGTTGAGGATAAAGAGGAAATGAGCGAGAAGGCTCGCGAGGCAGTTCTCGCGGCAATGAAGGACGGCGCATGGAAGGATAACCTACGTGATGTGCTGATGGGTGGATCTAGTACGAGTGCTAGCGAGGGCAACTCGAGTGGAGAGGACAGTGAAAATGAAAGCGCTGAAGAAGAATCTCCAGTCTCGGATGCTCAGCCTAAGCCTGCTGCTGTATCTCGACGGTATATCGGTTTTGATAACGATGATGAATTCATGAGTAGTGACGAGGAGGAAGAGCAAGATACCAAAGGGAAGGGAAAGGCACGAGCGTAAATAGCCACTTTATTTAAACGGCGTTGGTTGGATTCTCAAGGCGGCGGTGTGAATACTTTTCAAATAATAGCATTAATTTCTTCAAGTCCAGCAGGCTTGACTACCTAAAATATCCCCCTTGTATATAGTATTTCCTCCTCATGATATGTATATGTATTCAATGTTTATCGGGAATCTTATCGGAATCGCCACTTGAAAATTTACGGACCCGCATATGCACCAACCATGCTGCTTTAAACTATTTGTCGACAGCATCAACAATCGAATGCCTACCTGTATAACAAATCAACACAATGTTTATGTGTCGCAAATGCTGTTCGAGGAGTATATCGGCCCTTGCTAGCTCACACACTGCGATAACAAGCCCTCTATTCCGACACAACGGAACAACGCGGTGCATAACCAATTCAACACGACTTCGCCGATCACACGCCGATTCTTTCGTAAGGACAAGAGGACACCGATACTTACACACAGAATCCGCATTATCATCACAAACTCAACCAGAGTCGACAGCGCCTGAACATACCACAAATCCCGAATCTTCTTCTCCGCCATTACCACCAGCTTCTGTCTCCCTACGAACGGACGTCTTGCCGTTATGTTGTCCGGGATGCGGCGCATATTCACAGAGCATCAAACCAACGGAACCGGGATACTACAGTCTGAACTCAAAACGAACGAAAAAATTATGGCATAAGGCGCAAGATGCGATTTCCAAGCGCGAGCAAAACTCTGATGGTGAGGCGGGTGTTGAACAAGAACAGGAATCCGCCGAGGTTGCAACACAAATCGATGGTTCGTTCTGGCCCTATATTGAATCATCGAGTATTATCTGACACAGGTGCTAGGAGAGAATACTGTCGAACTTGACCCTGCTGCCGCCATAGATGCCATTCAATCATCCACAACACCAGCTCAGATCTGCGACCGCTGCCACGATCTTCTACACCACAATAAAGGCATCTCCGCTCCCTCACCAACTATTGACTCCATTGCTGCGTACCTCGAGGAGTCACCGCACAAATCAAATCGGGTATATCACATTGTCGATGCAGCAGATTTTCCCATGTCTTTGGTATCAAATATCTACGAAGCGCTGGAGTTACAAAGCCCCAAATCGAGAAACAGACGAGCGAACACTGAAAAGTATAGATTTGGGAAGAAAATGGCAACGATAAGTTTTGTCATTACTCGTGCAGATTTACTAGCGGCGACGAAGGAACAGGTGGATTCTTTGATGCAGCGTGTACGGTCAATTATTTTGAAAACTATGAGTTTACGACAAGAAGACGTACGACTGGGCAATGTGCATATGATCAGCGCTCATCGCGGCTGGTGGACAAGCCAAGTAAAAGAAGAAATCCGGCAACACGGTGGAGGGATTTGGGTTGTAGGAAAAGCAAATGTCGGTAAAAGCAGTTTCATTGAATCCTGCTTTCCAAAAGACTCCAGGAACCTGGCGAAGATTACCGAGTTATTCGAACGTCGAAAAGAGGAAGAGTTGAAAGGACCTTCTGACCATCCCGCCCTGGACTCGAAAAGTCTTCTTCCGCCAGCACCCCGTGAAGAGCTATTCCCTACGCTCCCTGTTGTTTCCAGTCTTCCAGGGACAACGGTGTCCCCTATTAGGATCCCATTTGGTCGTGGACGCGGCGAGATGATTGATCTTCCAGGTCTGGATCGTGGCACTTTACAAGATTTCATCTTGGACGAACACAAGTCGGATATGATCATGACGAAGCGAATCAACCCAGCCGAGCAGATGACTATCAGCGAGACCCAGTCACTCCTGATCGGAGGTGGATTGGTCCGAATAACTCCCGTAGTGCCAGAAGGCTGCATACTGCTCGCAGCATGTTTCGTGCCACTAGAAACGCACACAACACGCACCGACAAAGCAATCGAAGTCCAAAGAGGGATGAAGAAATACAACACCGGCGGCGGCGACCGAGGCACGAGCGTGATCAAGCCCGAGTTTCTGAACGACGAGTGTATCAAATCCGCCGGCACCTTCAAACTCGCCACAGACGTGACCCTAAACCATCTCCCGAGTTTGATAAAGAAGAAATGGAAGGACCAAGGCATAAAACCCAATCTCGACACCTTGCCATACAGAGTCTTCTCCACAGATATTGTGATCGAGGGATGCGGCTGGATTGAGCTAACGGCTCAAGTACGTGCGAAACAGGGGTTAGACTCTACAACAGCAACGGAGGTTCCCAAAGTGGAAATATTTACGCCGCTCGGAAAACATGTCTCTGCGAGACCGTCGCTAGAAACATGGAACTTTATACGCGACAAACGCAAGGCTGATAAACGCAAAGGGATGTTTACTTCTGGATCGCATAGGCCGCAGAGACAGAATATAAGTCATAAGAAGCGGGTGATGCATGGTCGGAAGGGGGCTTGATTATTTCTTTTCGGAGTGGGGATGCTAGCGAGCTTGATGTCCAGTTAGACTTTACTTACTGTACACTATTACCACTGTAACACCTGAATATAAACTCCAACATCAGCCAAACCCACTAGCATCGATTGATGTACGGTGGTCCTACATGATATATGGAAGCTGTATGCTCAATATTTATATGTAATACCTTGCATTCTCACGTCAATCTGTACTAGACTTCCTAGAAATGTTGACTGTAGAGACATGAGATAAAAGTATCCATTTCCAAGAAAGCGACATATCTAACGCCAAAGTACAAGCGAAAAGTTGAACATAAAAAACCAGAAAAGTCGAAATATGAAGGTCGTCGCGTAAGTTAACAGGGCGTATGGGGGGAATAAAGTGGAAAAGAAAAAGAAAATAAAGAAATGATGAATTGGAAGTCGATATTGAACGGAAACGTGGAATAGAAGGAAATAATAAACTTATTGATGAGGTAAACAGGTGAGCGAGAGGGAGGGAATAATCATGAGATCGGATACACCAATTTTGCCTTCTATATCATATGCCTTGTTGTATAGGCAGTTGGCCATCGTGTCGGAGTTTTGAATATGGAATGGTCGTGCGGTTTGTTTATGCGACGGTTTTTCTCACTTTGGATTCGACAATGACTTAATCACATGATAATAATAACGAAATAGAAAAAAAAGAAAGAACAGACGGAGATATCAATTTACAAATCAATTAGACTTCCGCCTTGTTGTTGCTGGGGTCGCTGTCCTCCGAATGGGTTATTCTGTGGAACGAACCCGGTCTGTTGAGGTACGCCGGTGAATTGTTGGCTAAAAAATGGGTTGCTCCCAGTCGGCGCTGGCTGAAGGCGATCTACTCCTTGACCGGCAGAATTGATGAATATGCCGGGAGCAGTGTGATGGGCAGGAACACGCAGATCGCCGGTGTTACCGAACGTATCTTGTCCTTCGCCACTAGCAAGCAGAGCGTTGAGTCTGGCATGCTGAGTGTTTTCAGGTCTGTTGTTTTGCAAGCCTGGTTGCACAGGGCTGGGAGCCTGGAAGTTGGCGATAGGGTTGGAGCTAGTGGGCTGATAATTGCTAAACGCAGTGGTTGCTTGTTCCTCTGCGAGAGTGTTAAGAGTGGGAGGACCGGTTCTAGCTGGCTGCGACGCCGGTCTGTTGATACCTGACGCAAAAGGATTGTTTGAACCCGTCGCCAAGGGCTTGAGGGTATCAGGCGTTTGCTGCTTAGTAGCCCACGGGTTGTGACTACCAGGCTGCAAAAAGCTGTTGTCTTGCTGCTGAGGTTGGCCAAAAGCGTTATTGCCGTACGGGTTATTGTTATTGAATGCGGTCTGCTGTGGTTGCAGGTTCTGAGATTGAAAGAAGGTGTTTTGCGGCTGTCCATATTGCTGAGACTGATCAAAACCGGTCGGCTGGACCTGGAAGCCGTTGTTGTACCCAGGCTGAAGGCCTGTAGGTTGACCCTGGAAGCCCGTCGGCTGCGCATACTGGTTGTTGAGGTAGCCTGTAGTCAGGGGCTGCTGAGGATCAATCGGGTTGCCGAACCAGTCCACTGCTGGTTGCTGCTGATAGCCTTGGTTGTAACCTGTCGGCTGCGCTTGAGCTGGTTGAACTGGTGTGTCATCGAACAACGATTGAGCATTGCTCTCTTCCAACTCGCGTCGACGCAGTTCCTCCTCTTCTTTGCTAAGTTTGATCGCTTTAGCGAGATCGTCATCATCTTCGCCGTCTCTGGCGGCTAGTTCCCGCCGTTTCCTGTCCTCTTCGGCCTCAACCTTGCTTGCCTCGATGGCTAACCGATATTCTGTATCATCCTCATCGCGACGTCTGGGCTCGCGCCTATCACGGGGTCGGCGATTGGGATCAGCACCTCCGAACCCTTGAATGCCGCCTTCATCAATGTCACTGATACGGGTCTTCCATAGCTTTCTATCCGATCGCTCGTTTCGTAGGCGGTCTTCATCCAGAATCAAGGCAGTAAGTTCCTTAGCAGAAACACGCACTAATTGATACATTAGTATAGTATAAATGGCATTGCATTTTCATGAACCTACCGTTTTGGCCGACATCGCGTCCCTCATCATCAATGTACTGAAACTCCCGTAGGGTCTTGATGATGTAGACATTCTTCCTGGCCCAGGTAACGACTAACTCGGAGCCTTCGTGTAGACAGTAATCCAACACCTTGAGTGACTTCAAAACGTGACGCCAGTTCTTGCCTTTGTCGTTCAGCCGCTTATCAAGCATCTCGACGATCTCATAAAAATCTTGGGGACTAGAACATTGGGAACGTGAGCACAACCATTCTGATCAATTAGCGATAGCGCTCGGCTCATACTTGCTGAATGTCATCTGCGCAATCTCGCTCATTTCCGTGCCCGTTGGGCCCCAAGGGTCATTGCTGGTAGCTGCAAGCGGGGTACGATTAGCCACGAGGAAGAATGGAAGGAAATTACCAGGAGGGGCTTACCATTGCGCACCTTGACCTGCACTGACGAGTATCCCTTGGTGACATTTTTGACGCTCCGAACGACTTTCGACATCTTGAAGGCGGAGATGGCAGGTCACACTGGTCACACTACCGGGGGAAGGAACCAAGACAATTTATTCTAACGCGATGCAAGAGACCAGCTCCGAGTTCCTCCAAATACGATCTGAAACGCACAACGGTCAAAGGTCGAGGCAGCGCGACAGCACGAGGGCCGCCACTGGATACTAGATTGTGTTTGCCTGGCGCCGGATCGCACGGTTCAACGTCGGCACAGAGAGGCGTGTGGGATGCAAGGACCAACGGAAGGAAGGAGAGATAAGACCAATACGTACTACTCAGGCAAAGCGCAGCCACAGAGAAGGGCGATCCTAATGCAGCGAGGCTGGGACGGGGAAGCAGAAGATGAAGAAAGAGAGTACGCAGTGGCAGTGGCAGTGAAGGGAGGTGAGACCGCTGGGTGGAGTAGGCAGGTCTAGTCTCGTCTCCAGGTGAGAATGACGCACGTCACCGGCGAGGCCCGCTGTTCTCTCCTTTCTCTCCTTTCCCTCATTTTTGTACGATTAATGCCGACATTGATTATCATCATCATCATCACCTTCTTCTTCTTCTTCTTCTTCTTTCTCTTACTACGACTTTTCTAATACAAGCTGCATCCTGATCGCTCTCCTGCTACGGCGCTATCTGCTATTAGGAATCTGCACCTCGCCATGGTCTATCTTTCCACTTCGAGGATTCTTAGTCCCTTGCAAAGATATCCAGCTGAAATAGAAGAAGGAAAATTGCATTTTATGCTTATTATCTAGAACCTCTTACTCAATATTAGCGAATTGAAAACTGGGCTGGCCGGGCACCGCATTGTCCCCAGCGATATTCTCTCTCTTCTCGCCAGTGCCCACGACAGTGCCGGTCTTGCCACCGTCGTCAACAGCCACGACTTCGATTTCCTTGGCCCCCGTCGTCCGCTTCAAGCCAACGACGAGTTCCTGGAGCACGGCGAGTTCATCGAATGGAAGCTTTCGGTCAAAGACTGTCTCAGGAGTTTCCTTGTTGTGGATCAACCGCCTCTTCAATCCTTGCACAAATGGCATCGCCTTCTTCATCTCGCCCAACTTGCCAACCTTGGCATTCAATGCCTTTTCGTCAATGGACACGTTGAGCTTATCAAACGATTCGCGCACAAGGTCGATGTATTTCTCTTGCCATGCTGGGTAGTTCTTGGCCGCGTAGATCGTAATCCTCTTCGGCTTGCGGGGATCAAATAACACTCCCTTGCCCTTGGCAAGCTTCTTGGCGATGCCTGCCTCAGCCGAGTTAATGTTGGACGCAGTGCCACGAACATAAGTCGATGCTGCCGAAAGGCCTACATCCGCCTCTGGTACTTCAGGGAAAACTTGGTGGTGGATGGTATCACCCTAATCAAGGTTAGTATTGTAGATAAAAACGGCTATAGTCCACAATGCGTACCTTCTTAAGCACCTCAAGCCAGACGTATTCAGCCCAATGAGGAGTGATAGGCGCGATGATAAGAGCCTGGATCTCAAGATAGCGGAGAATAACACCCCTGTGCATTCCCACCCCAGCAGCAGTTGCAGCTTCGCGGTACGCGTCGCGGGCACTAGTAAGGTCATACAATGCCGATTTGAGGGCAAGTTTGAAGTTGGTCCTAGAAAATGTCAGATGATTGATGTCTCGTAGTGTTATAGAAGCCAATCTTACTCGGTATATTGGAGCTTTGCTTCCCGAACAATCACGTTGATCTCATTGTTAAACAATTTATCCCAGAATGTATCTGCTGGGCCGGTGCGAAGGGTCTCATCTTTAGCAACCTCTTCAGCCCATTCCTTGAGAGTGTGAAGGCGAAGAATATTACTGTTGGCAACAGTCTCATCGAAATTAGCGTCCTCAATACCGTCACCTGCATCAGCGAAAGCAATTCGGACTGCGTCTGCGCCGTATTTCTCCACTGCCTCTTTCAAGGTCAAGAAGTTGCCTGTACTCTTACTCATCTTCTCTCCGTTCAATAACAAGTGTCCGTTGGTACGGATTCCACGTGGCCGGAACTCTGGAGGGAAAAGCGCAATGTGGATGTAGAGGAAGAATGTAAGATGGTTCTGGATGAGGTCCTTGCCACTGATATTGACGTCCAAGGGATAAAAGTACTCGAATTCACGTCTCATTTGCTGGAGGTAATCTTTGCTGATGCCACTCTTCTGAATAATGCTGTCGTCAAGCTCACGTCTTGTAAAGATATAATCCCAAACCTCATCGATCATGTTCTCGGGTTTGATGTCGAGCAAGCCACGAGTTTTGCCGAATCGATCACCGTGAAGTAGGTGGGCAATTGTGTAGTAGGCCATGTAAATAGTACTGTCACTTAAACTCTCAACCAAAAATTTTTGATCCCACGGAAGCTTGGAGCCAAGACCATATGTTCTAGCACAAGCCCATCGGTTCAACCAGCTGAGATTAGCCTCGAACCCATTGCGCGTTTCGGTCGCGTAGGTGTTCATTCCATTGAGAAGATGGTTCAAAGCTTCCTTCTGCCACTCAGCATCGTTTTCACCGTAGTTCAAGAACCACTGGCCCAAGTAAGCCACAACGCAGTCATCTCCACTTCGACTGACAACTTTGCCCGAGGGGTCTGCGAAGGGGAAAGCGGCGCCACTTTTGATGAGAGACTGTCGCACTTTGTCCTTGGCAGTTTGAACAGTCTCGCCTTTGAATTCACCAACAAGCATAGTACCCTTGTAGAACCCTTCACTGTAAGCGAGGTCTTTAGCTAGAGCCAGCTGGCTTGCATCCTTGGGGGAGTTGATCTTAAACTGCTTCACCAAAGCGGGGGCCGTGAGATTGCCGTAGGTTGGGGTTTCAATGATCGGTGGGATTTCGAGCTCTGCCCATTCCTTCTTGATCCCATAATATTCAGCTTTCTTCGCCAGATCTGTGATTGTGGCATAGTCATCCGGACTGTCAGAGGGAACAGAGGTCACAACACCAGTTCCTTTGGTCGCAGACACTGTTTCCATAGGCAATATCTTGATTGTCTTATGAACGGAGAGTGGAGCGGAGACGGATGTGCCGACAAAAGCAGAGCCTGGAGCCTGGGCAACCATGGGGAGCTCGTTCTGAGTCATGGGGAAGTTGTCGCTGCTAAAGAAAGTTCCCTGGAACGCCATATTCCAAGCTGCACGTTTCGTGACAATATAATACTCTTTATCCTTAACCTTGAAAATACCATACGGAATCTTGGGTCCCAAGAAGATGGCAGTCTGTCCATACATGGTTTCCGGGCGGAGAGTAGCAGGGATGAAGTAAACATTGGCATCATCCTCAATCTTGCCCTTAACAATTTCGGCAGCTGAGGCTGACCATTCTGTCACCTTAACCTTCAATGCAGTGTACTCTTGCGGCCCAATTCCTTCACCTTCTGTTCGGTCGTGGTCCATACAAGGTTGTCCATCCTTGGGAGAATATATAGTATACCGATTACCGTACAAGATCTTTCCTAGCTCATGCAGACGGTTCATTTGCCAACGTACAAAAGCGTCATAGTAAGGGTTGGCATCGGTAGTTGTCATCTCTCTGCGCCAGTCGATCTTTGCGCCCAGGTTGTCTAAGTCACGGATAGCAAGTGGTGGGAAATATTGCAGCCAGTAGTGAGCGTCAGCAAACTTATGGATGTCCTCTAATGGAATGCCAATACTAAGCATAATCTGGGTTCTTGTTAACCAATGTGATATCTCGAGCAGTACGATTGAGGCTACCCACCTGGAACTGGTACTTTGCCTTGATCGTCTTCGCGGCAGCCTTGCTTTTCTTGCCTGAAAACTTGGTTGGGTCGACAGCAACGTCCTGTGTAGGGGCAGGCGGTTGCTCTGGCCCAACTTGTTCCTCTTTATATCCTTCGAAGTTCGTTCCGAATAACTTGATTTCATCCTTGAGTTTATCGGCGCATGCAAGAATAGGCATTCCGGTGCAGTGGAATCCCAAGGGGAACAAAGCTCTCTTGCCCTGCATACGAGCCACACTGGTCATGAATTCAACCTTACTAGCGGTGAAACTGTGTCCCGCGTGCAGGGTGCCGTTCATGTATGGGTACGCCATCGTGCCAAAGAATTTGGGATATTTCGCGCGAAGTTCTGATGAGGACATTGACCCTGCTGGAACCTCGGAAAGAGAGGGTGCATCGACCTCGAACACCTTGTTGTCCTTCCATTGCTTCTGGTATTTCTTCTCGATAGCTTGGAGGGCGTTTCGTTTGTCAAACTATGAATTCAGGTTCGGCAGTCAGCTACTTGACAAAATGAAAATAAGAGAACATAGAAAGGAAGCCGTACGTTTTCTATCTTGAGGGTATTTTTCGAGCTGTTGCTGGGATCCAATGCCGCCGCAGCAGCCGCAGCAGCAGCCATGATGAGGGGATTCTTCGGTTTGTTTAAGAAGGCAAAACAAAGATGCTTTTCAGCACGTAGGCAGACACCAGAAGGAACCACCCGCTATTCAGACAGGCTCAATTCCCACCGTAAAATAGAACAAACAGACAGATCAGACACAAGTGATTTTTTTGGCGGGGTTCGTTCGCCTTGCGGAGCGACAGACTGCGCTAGTTCGCTCTGAGTCAAAATCGCTGGTGGTGCGAGCTAGCCGGAAGTGGACTAGCCAGCCAGGTACTTTCTCTCTGTTTTTGGTTCTTGTGACAAGTTACAACAGGAGACGACCTTGTACTTATGCTTCATAGGGTTGCACTGATAAGGATGGAAATGACTCATTGGTCACGCAAGGAAGAGTACTGCAATACATTATTAGGATAGAGGCGCGTTGGGGCGAAGTCCTGCTCGTATTTATCGTCACCATTGGCATCAGAAGTTGAACGCGATGAGTCAACACAACCATGTCATATGAAATCAAATACTACGAATGTGCGCAGTCCTCAATCGTAGGGTCCAGGAAGACTCAAGCCTTATCTAGTACAATTCTTAATTAGAATAATTTTTTCGAGAGCTTGGGCTGTAGATTGCTCACTGTTTACTCAATAGAGTCCATACTAAATAACTATAGGAAGGGGCACGTGACTTCAAATTATCGCGGCGGCCCGTTTTCCTTTCTTCGAGCCGGCAATGTGACAACAACAAGAACCTCCCAAATCATTGTACTTTCGCCTTTTTATTTTTGTGAGATTTTCTGTAATTCTTCTCTGTATTATCTATATTTGTCACTGCTGTCATCGAAATTTTATCTCCCGTTTTATAACCTCAGGAAGAAATTATTCTTCCCATCCGTCAACATGGTCAACCTATTCAAGCGGATGCGAAAGCTCAACACAGTAAGGCCAGAACCGCATCCTACCTCTGAATACACTTTTACTCATTCCATCACTATAGCGTCTCCTCAATGTCCGCATTGGCACCGGTGCCGCCGTCCTGCCTTCCATTGCCAACTCATCAAAAGACCAACCAGCCATCACCCGCATACATCTGACATACGCCAAACGCATGAATGGTGGACACATGGGGGCACGACGCTTCTGGCGCCAGTGTCTCCCGCGTCTCAAATTCCACAATCCAGCCATCCAAATGTCCGTCAAGCAGACGGACGACCAGGAAGGCCCCGCAGCACTCACAATTTTCTTCTCCGGACAACCGAGGAATACCCAACACCATACCGACTCTATCGAAGACAAATACGCGCCAGCCCCCTCAGACTCGGAGAAGACTATTGTATTGGATGTGAAGAATAATGATTATAGCCAGATTTGGCAAAAGGTCAAAGAGGCCACGGGCGCAGAAGATATACAGGCTACGGAAAAGGAGCAAGAGGAGTTGGAAAATTTCAGGAACATGGATATTAAATCCGAGCAAGATAGGATACGAGTAGCTGGCATACGACAGGCGAAGAAAGACCAGGAACGTATGTTGCAAGAGGCTAGAGGAGAGGTAGAAAAGCTCCGACAGCTATGAACATTCGCAACGATACCCCCTTCAAAATCTGGTTCACAGGATTTTTGTAAATTAAAGCAAATAATTACTTCTTTCTCTCAAGAGCGATCAAAGTTATCACATAAAGCCAAATTTAAAATTTACATAGTAGATATTGTGTCATGAAGCGTTTGTAAATAAGTCTTCCGCCACCGTTGCCGTAATAATCGATGCTTATATCAACTTCCATCACACTGACAAGCAAACAAAAGTGAAAAGGGCCAGAGGCAAAACTCCAGCCCCCGCTGGTATATGGTATCTCCAAACTCCTTCGGATGCAGTCCAAAAAGACGCGCAATGACAGCTTCTGTTATTGCTTTGCGCCAACCGTTCTCAGCATTAGGGTGAAAGGCCGAACAAAGTGTCAAAGATATGGTAAATCAATGACCAATCCCCATACATAAATATACAGTGTCAATGATGTAATTTCGTATCGAGCTCCGGTCATGAGTGATCTGGTGTGTAACTAGTTTCCCCAAGCATACTTTGTCCCAGCGGGACAGTTGGGGCTGTTGTTTGTGATGACGCGGGGGACGGATGGTTGGGTGCCGCTTGGCTTTTACCACCAGTAGCCGCTTGAAGTCTCTGATCCAAGGCCCTAAGTGCAAGAGCACGTCGTCGTTCAGCTTCCTCGCGCTTCGCCATACCCCTGACGTTGCCGCCAGCATTGCTCAGAAGCGACGGAAGACCAGCCTGGCCACGGGCGATTGCATGTTCATTGCTGGAAGCGATATCCTCGGCCGAGAATGGAGTGACGACTTTCATTGCAACGAGGAGAGCGTAAATTTGATCGGCGACGAAAGAAATTGGGGGTTGGACAGCATCGGGGAAGAAGCTGGCGAAGGTGAAGGTTTCACTAGCATCGCCCTTGAGGCCCAAGCCGTTGGTGGAGGTACCAGTGAGATCTGGCTGACGTTTGTAAAATCGGAGATAGGTCCAGCTTGTTAGGAGGCCTAGCCATGATAGAACTGCGGCAGTATCGGTTCCGAAGATGAATCCGCTGATAGTATTGACGAGTAAGAAAATGGCAGGGAAGTGCTTGACGCGCATCTTAATAATCCCCTTCAGGATGGTAACGGTGTGTTCAGGGACAAGCTGTTTGAAAGCGACGAGGAAAGAGCCTTGAAGGGCCACGCCGCCGCATATTTGAGTAAGACTGGAAAGGACAGGAGTATCAGCCGGCATTGCGCAAGAAGTGTCACAATCATCAGGGGAAGTCCAAAAAGCGTACCCTCGGAGACTACTGCCAGTCACACCAGCCCAGAACAAATAAATGGGAATAATAAGCGTGTTGGGAATGAGCGCGATGGCGAGGATGAATTTCCCAAACTCGCGAGAGCCCCAGGCTCGTTCGAGGTACTTGCCGCCATAGAAGAGAGTTGCCCCGTTCAGGATAACTGTGAAAATGTTCTGTTCGACAAAGGTCGCAGTGAAGAGGGTCCAGGGGTAGTAGTAGAACAGGGAAGGGACCAGCGTTAAATATGGAACGATGGGAGATTTCTGCGATGCAGTGGCCGAAACGTCAAGCTGTCTCCATCGGGCGACGTTGTACAAAAAGGAGAGGGTCAGCTGGCTGATCAAGAGGATTCGTGTGGCCGGAGGGATGTTGATTCTGACGGCCATGATGAAAGAAGGCTGGTGGCTGCGATGCGACTCGATCGAGCTCGCCGCCAGTCGTTTTTATCGGCAGGACTGCAGGGTGGTGCGAGCCTGGGAGGGAATTTGGGAGTGATTCTTGAGGCTGTCACGGCAGGGTCAACGGCTAGTGCTGCCGCCTAGGCCCCTGATTGGTTGCTGCTGCTGCAACATCGAGATCTACAGCCAACGATGGAATTATTATTGATGTTGAGTATCATATAATAATATTTCCCGCGGGTTCATCTTTTAGAGAACTATATAAACATAAGCAATGATGATGGGCTTGCATTATTCTACAGTATGAACCCGGCGAATGGTTCCCGTGATCCGGCACAGGTGGCGATGGCATAAATCTAAATCAGTCGGCGAGACTTCAAGCAGGGGTACTAGTCGTGTTTCAGGGCTTGAAGCATGAAATGAGGCTCTTTAGATCCAATAACAGTGTCCGGGAAGATCAATCAATTCTCAATGTTCAATAGATTAAATTTATGAATACTTAGTGCTGTTACCCTACCTGAAATATATACTGGCAAGTCACGGGACCTCGGCAGCCGATGGCCCGATTGACACGGGCCGCCGCTGCCTGAGGCACGCGTGAACAGCAGGTAGCAAAGACCCGCCCATCAGCGTCGGATCATCCATCATCCATCATCCCCCTTCAGCTTCTCCAGACAGCGCGCAACACGGGGCGAGAGACACGCTCCCTCCTAGGTATTATCATTATCGCTCTCATCATCAGAATTGTTGCTGGCTCCATGAAAACCGCCCTTACGCCGCCCACCCTCTACAGCCTGCAACACATCTGCCCTGGCCGGCCAACTGCCGCACAGTGCAGCATTCAATTTCATTCTGGGGAGGCTCTCTCCAATCCGGCCTAGCGACCCAAACCTTGGGCCCACGCATCTCAAGCCACAGTCGGTCTGGCGCCTGCAGTTCAATTCTTCCTCACTCGCATCTCGACCCGACCTTGACTTTAATTAATTACTCGACTCACATCTCGAATGCAGCTGCCACTGCTAGTCGGCCCGTTCCATGACCGTCAAGCTTTGCAGCTGCGCTTGACCCCCGACGTCTGTCCATCCTCGCGACCTCTTCGAGGCTCTTCATCCACCTATCACTCCTTTTGCTCCTCTTGATCACTCTCTCCACTTTGCTGTAGTCCGTCGGTGCCACGCCAGCTCCCCGTCCTCGCGCATCCCGGCATCTTTCGCGCTCGGCGCATCACACTGTGAACTCGCTCAATTCTGCAAGCGCATTTTCTACTTTTGATCCTTTGTACAGGATACTAAAATATATATAACCCGAGGGCGGTGTTTTCCGCCACTCTTCTCGACTGCGTCAAAACACCGCGCGCCGTTTGGCCGGTTCGGCTTGATTAGGCTCTGGCATGCTCTGAATCACCGACATAGTAACTAATAATCCTCGAGAACCCCCATGTAATCATGGATCTCACATCTCATCACGTCAATTACTTAATATGGAGGTACGTTTCGTCTTACGATGATCGATTCATGTGAAGTAGCCATTAACGACGCTCTCAGGTATCTCCAAGAATCCGGTTCGCAACTATCCCAAACCTAACCTGGCTGTTGGCACCTAACAAGGTATTATAGGACACGGTGATGCAGCCGTGACCCTACAACGGGCATGGATCCCCAATCCACAAAATTTACCTTTTGCATCTCATATCAAAACCCATGCTCTCGTCTCCCTAGTACAAAAAGGGCTACAATATCACGAAATCGAACAGTCCCTCGACCAGGTAAGCTCCCGCATTACCGGCGCAAATTACCTCCAGATAAGATTGGAAAATTCTTACAGTTCAATTTAGGATGGAAACCCAGTTCCCTTCACGCCGTCTAAATATTTCTTTGGACCATCACCGTTTGATCCGGACTCCCTTAGGAGCCGCGAAGAGTATGGCCAGGTAAATGGAGGCATTAGCCCCAATATTGTAGCACCCTCGTCTCCAGGAGACAAGCCTATTCGCGACAGCGCCACTGTTAACGGCCACCTAGCCGTGGAATCTACGATACCGGTACTCAATGTAAAAAAGGGTCGCAAAGCCGACCGACCCGAGACCATCATAAACGGAGAAGATGGCGCAATGGAAATCGATTCCAATGGTGCTGCTCATGATCGCATTTCGGCTACGCCTGCATTGAAATCACCATCGCCAGGGGATACGCTGGATGCAAACGGAGACGTGGACATGAATTTAGAGCCATCGGCAGAACCAGAGCTTGACGAACAAGAGCGTCTTACATACACTTTAACAACAGGCAAAAGCGTCGGCGTGCAGATTGTGCCCGCCAAGGCCGCTGACCTGACTTCAAACACGTTAATCATCGACCTGAATATTCCCCGAAATGATCATGTGATGCGATGTGCTTGGCGTCCAAATGACCCCTCGATGTTTGCTGCTGCTGGAGATTCATTCTGCGATCTGTGGAAAGTCCCTTCACCGGCTTCCTCGACGTCGCCGACTTGCGAGAAAATCTACGATAGCAAAGGCGACGGAAGTTGGGTCACTGCCCTCGCTTGGGAGCCCTCAGGTCGCAAGCTGGCCGTTGCAACCTATAACGAGAGACGTTCGTCGATACAAATGTACGACAGCAGCGGTAACGTGGTAGACTTACTGCCGACAGCACAGGGTATGATAAATGGGCTTTATTGGGCACCCAACAATCCATACATAGTCGTCGTGGCTTCGAACGGTGAGAACTCCGAACTCTCACTATGGGACGATTCGATTAAACCTGAGGAATATCCGCCCTACCAAGCCATCGATGGGCTTGTTCATGATATCACATGGGCTGGTGATAACAAGGTGTTTGCTTCTGGAGAGGGATTAGTCTGGCAATGCGAAATTGATTCTAGCATTCATATCGTGAACAAATTCGAATCTCAAAACACCAATACAGAGTGGTCATTTATACGTGGGGGGCAAAGGGGATCCGCCGCTGTAGCTGTGGCAGCAGCCTCCTCTGTCGCTACGCTCTGGATACCCACACATGATATTCTTGTTGAAGATGCACATCGCGCGGACATCACAGCCATTGAACTTCAACCAGAACCCCAAGGCCAGAATGTGCAAATGTCTACGTCTTTTGTATTTGCATCCGCTTCTATCGATGACACTGTCAAGGTATGGGATGTAAATCTTGAAACGAAGAAAATCACGTGTCTCCATACATTGTTCTTGTCCCCAGGGGTACCTGCGCTGGCGCTAGCTTTTTCACCCGACGGATATCTAGTCTCTGCAGCTAGTACGGATAGGCTCTTCATATGGAATACGGAACGTGGAGGTGAGCCGCTTGCTACTTGGGCGGCAAGTTCTTCGCCAACCGTAAAAGAAGAAGGGTTGGAGAAAACGAACGGCGAAAACGGCTCGCGGGAGACGCCAACTTACCGTAGTCTTTCCTGGGATACAGACGGCAAAAAGCTCATTATGGGCTTTGGGAAGAAGGTATGCTTTTCGTTGCGGTGAAGCCGATATTTTTCTCATCCAATACTAATGTTTCATTGCAGATGGCGATTATAAGCCCCCAAGGGCGAACATTGAACGCATCTGACTGATATCTACATTGAGATGATATCCTGGAATCTACAATTTCGGAGGTTTTGCGAGATAGATGCCTAAAAAAGGTTCAAGATCCGCGCCATGATTAGCTGGAAGTTATTGCAATAGGGGTTCATTTGTTAGAATAGCAGACTGATACAGCGGACTCTCACCAGTTTCTTTCCACACAGGAATGTGGATTTCTTTTGTATTCTTCGGCATGACTCGACCGAGACAGCTGCTATTTTAGAAGGTATATATTTGCTTTTACCCTTCAGCGTGCGGATTATTCAGACCGGATACCAAAGCAAGTCTAGGAGTTTTCTTGGCGCATATGGTGAATGGGGGCTGTTTCGCATATCTGGAGGTTTTTTTGGGACGAATGGACGGCGGTTGGGAGTTGGCAGCACTCAGACTTATATCCGTGGTCAAATGGAGCATAAAGAATATCATCGATGTTGGCTTGCATGTGCTGTGGGTGTTCAACATTGTATATGTTCTTGCATCGTTAATGGTACAACCAGGAGTACGAGAAGGGAGGTTTCAGAAAAGAAAACAACAACAACATTATTGGAGGAGCATACAAGACTCAGCTGCGTGCGCGCATGAACATATGGGAGTTTTATCATATTTTATTCCAGGTGACAGCGTCAATCTACCTGTACTTTTATATCAATTTCTAAATTCATGGTATTAAATGATTTTACGCGTCAAATCCATACCAAGTCGTCGATTAATCCAACATTTTCAATTGCTGATAACTCCATTCCTACATATTAATCGGTATTCTGACAGCTATGTCCTACCATAGGTTTTCATCTTTGACTAGTAATGGACTGAATCTGCCGCTCTCGTCGTATCTTCCGTCTTCGAGCTCGTATGCGAAACCCATCTTCCACATCATTCCACCCGCGCATCCACGCCGAGATGCCGTCTAGAAGCGTATCAAAATCGTTATCATCATCTCCATCGTCGATATCGTGAGCATTCCTATTGAGTTGCTGCTGCTTGCCTTTCCGTTTCCATTTACTTCCTCGTTGAGTGGAAGACGTCGATGGAGGTGGTATTGACACCTCGCGTTGACGCTGCCATCGCCCTATCCAACTCTCCAAACCGCGTACTGTTCCCCGTAGGCCTTCTAGATTAATAGTATCTTCGAGGATATCCGACCGACTGTTCCCACCCGTCATTAGCGCCTCTGATTGGACCTGTGATTTTAAAAAAAAAGGAAGGGGGGGGGGGGGGGGGGGAATTACAGTTCATGAATCTCGTTCTCGAGCTCTATAATCCTTTGCGCCATCCCCTCGCATTTGATGGTGAACAGATCATGGATATGACGGGACTCAATGCGCCGTTGCTGTAGCTCTGAATTCGCAATTGAAATTTCCTCCAGAAGCATTGACAGATCGCACGATGTCTGCTGGATGGTACGAGGTGCCGGGACATTACCATCCTCATGGCTCTCGTTATCGTTGCGCCGGCGGATCGGGGGAGTAATAGTTCCAGTCGGACTAATCGACGTCCTCCTCACAGGCCTAATCTTGGCGATTTCATGACTGATCTGCGGTCGCGGGTCGGACGAAGCTGACGACAACAGTAACAACCTCTCCAAACCCTCCAAATGTCTATCCACAGCCGCGCGTTCGTCTACGTTCAGCTGCCGAGACGGATCCTGCGCGGCAGCTAGTTGCGCAATGCGAGAGATGCGATCGGGGAGGGGAGAAGCAGGGTCATTATCATGAGAGGTTGACGTACATTCGGACAGTTCCTCTTTCACATCGATTGCGGAGTCGGTGAAGGACGGCGATACGCGATGGTGGTGGTGTTGCGAGGAATGTGGAGAGTCATCAACGGTCGCCATATCGATAAAGCTGCACGTGGAGAGGTAGTAGTAAGATACAGTATATAACGGTTATGAATGGATCCTATACAACCAGAAGCTAGCGCTTCATAGTAGACTCATGATGAAGTTAAAAATTGAAGATGTGTCGGCCAAGCACTACTTGATGTCCGAATAGGCCAAGCTCTTGCTGACAGCTTTAAGTTCGCTTGGAGTTGCATCCGCAAAAGCGGGGCGGTATATCGGAGTATATCCACATTATCTTAATCATCACCAATTCAGCTGGTAAAGGTCTAATCTTTTATTGGCACTGGTGGTCTTTCACAAGAGTGTTATGCCACACTCAAATGTTATTTACCATATGTACGTTTTGTATTCTATCTTCACTGTCAATACATACGCCTACCCATTTAAAGATTTAGATATAGAAAGGCAAGAAAATCAACATTCATAAACGTTGTTTACATCATAAGCCTTGTCATACTTTCCAGCGGCCTTCCTGACAGTATAGGACTTCAAAGAAAGCTGGATCGCTGGCATGAAGCTCGTAAGGACTGAGGGGTATAATCGGGTCTAGAGGATTTCAGTGTTAGCAAGCTTACGAGCCCTGAATTAGCAAGTTCTCCTCACCATAATTTGGAGCATCGATGATGTAGTTGGTTAGACAATATGGATTACAGTTATTATTCAGGGCCTATCAAGGGCGTATATGGAGTGTATATGGAGTGTATAGGCGGCATCCAGGCGAATGAAAAGCACGTGTTGTGGAGACATGCTCGTCTGACAAACATGATGTTGTTAATGAAAAAGGAGTAGTTACATTTATCGCTCAGGTATTTGTATTAAAAGCTAGTGGATGTGCAAAAGTTTTAGCTAAATTAATACCCTGCTAAATATTAATAAAATGCTGTGAAGAAAAAAAAACCATCGCGTAGGCAAAAAAAGATAAATGCGCAGGCCGGGAGTCGAACCCGAGTCTCAACTTGTTTTCTTTTTATGGAAGAGTTGAATGATACCGCTACACTACCAACGCTTATATGAAGAGAATTAAATAAAACAATAGATAATCACCAATCAGATTTGCTTACAATACCCCATCTAGTCTTAAAGTATTCGCAATTAAGCATCCCTACACAAAAAGTAGTATGAAATATGGGTGTGGGGCCTGATATTCTATTATAGCTACTAGCGCGCTTTATTACTTAGACTGTACGTGGGCAACAGACCCTTCCCTGAATCGGCTGGCATACTCTGAAACATATAATTAAGAAGGTATATAACCTTACAGAAGATGGGCTGTTTATATATGCAGGATTTTTTCCAAACATATAATAATATCTAAGGGTAAGGCACAATAGAAGGTGTGGACAAAGCATAGCAACTATGAAAACTAATCACTTTACTCAGCTAAATAACTGGTATAAATAGTTACGTGTCAGCGGTTACTACTTAAGCATATTCCTAAAGACCAACCCAAATATGACAACACCCTCATTTTACACCATATAGCAGAATGTTCTGGATTGAAAAATCAAATATGAATGTGGAACTTGGTTGAAGAGGATCTAAATCAAATATGGAATTTCAAAACAAAATAACAAAATGAAGACTATAATTGTCCAATCATTCCTCGGATAGAACATGTCACCAGGAGGAGATCCTCAGACAAAGAAGCAATATCCAGATATTAAAAATCAGTATGAGAACTTTTTGTCTAATCTTCACTTTCCTTCGAAGTCCTCTCCAATGTGCCCAAAAGAAGCAGCCTAGTTTCCAGACTGTAGACTAGCCATCTATTGTGGAATTTGCGCAGATTATAGCGACTTGCAAATGGAATATCTGGGTCTGCTGGAATGGGAGGTTTTCTCGCTTGTGTGTTTTTCAGTTTTAGTTGCTCTTCGGCGCAATTATGGTAGCTAGTCTCTTTCACCACACAAAAAGATGGATTTCCCCTGGTCCAACTTAGTTCTTTATCCAAAGACTGTGAGTGACAACCGATACACATGGTCTGGACCACCAAAAACACTTCATTGTTGTCCTTGCTTTTTCTTTCCCTGTAAGCATCAAGTCCAGTCTTGGTCACCTGTCGAATAGGAAAAGCAAGAATACTCGTTGAATACGAAAGATTCTCATACTTCTTCTTGTTAGTTGGTATTGTCCTGCGCCTTCTTCCGCACCTTTTGCTACAACATAGTCGTTGGTGGAGAATATAGCATCCAGACATAGACACAGCCCACCGAGGCTTTGTATCATCCTTAGCTTTGCCTCCACATTGACTCAGACAAGTGAGGTTGTTTGTCCGTCAAATTTACTGTGGAAGTAGTTTTGATGCTCCTCTGAGGATATAAAAAGTCAGACGGTTTTACCATATTTGCGATTAACACTTCTTGTTACAGGATTGTACTCCAAGCTGTGCACTCCAGATGTCCTCCTCCTTAAAGCTCTGAAACGCAGCATCCAGGTCTATGATTAGACATTGATAAAGCCCTAAAAAGGCATGTTAGTTGGCTTCGGAAAGACATAGACCTGTTGAACATCTTACCATTCATATCTCGATCGTCAAGTGCTTTAAGATCCAGTTCTAATCCTTCAGCACGTTGCCGGAGCTCAGCAGGTGGACGAGGAAGCACCAAGTCTCCCAAAACAACAAAATGGCCCGAAAGGTTCTGTGTTATCGCATCCGAGGTTGACTCAACGTTTTCAGCTTCATCTGCTTCGCCTTCCTGATTTTGAGAATCATCCGCTTCTCCAATAGTCCTTTCCTTCCGCGGAAGGCAAGGTCAAGGGCACTTTATTTTGACGATCTAAGTAGTGTCTCTGTATATCTTCATGTAAGTTTGTAAAGATTGCTCAAGTTTTTTAAACAAATTATGGCTTGCCTTGATCTCAGTATTCGTAGTCTTCGCGTAGGAAGATGCAGTTTGCACAACGGCCTAGTTGCTCATCTTTTAGCCTGATACATGTGGTGAAAGGGGGCGCAACCCTTCTGGGCTCTCCGTTTCTTTCCCTTGACAACATTTTGTTCTCAATAATACTATATAATTGAATGGCGGTAACAATATTAGCACTCCATATACTAGCACCGAGTGACTCAATAGAGTTTATTGATCTAAAATCAAGCTCCCGTGCTGGAACCTGAGGATAATTCACATGAATATACATCACGCCTTGGTGGGCACTGCTATCTAGAATAGCATCAACATACTTTATTCGCTCGCCAACAGATTGCTCAAGCAGCTTTGACCACTTCTTGGCCAGCGTGTTCCCGGTTTTTCGTGGCACAGTTGAGGGTAATGTCTTTCGTTGCTACTGTGTTGTGTCATATGTAGAGATGAAATGGTTGGCATATAAGTTTGCCTGAGGCGCTCGGTTATGTGCAGAGCAAACGCTCTTCGTGTTATATGTAAAATTCTACCCCCCCCAAAAAGTCAGTTCAGTCATAAACTCAGTAACATTGAAGTTATCTAATTGATGCAAGTTTAACAATAGTGAAGGAGTTTATATGCACTTTTATCTCCAAACCCTACCCCTTTTAACCGCAAAACCAAGGTGGAAACTTGATTATACATCGACTTGAAGTACAATGCCAGGAAATCATGGGTTTCGCACCCCATACTGGTAGCAGAGAAATGGTCTGCACGTATGTGCAGATAAACAAGTTAAATGCATGGATTGAGTTAGGAACACACTTAGTCAATATACCTATAGAACATGCTGCCTCATTAGCGCCTGATTAAGAAAGAATCAATTGATGCGCCTATTTAGCAAGAAACTTATATCTTCAAATGCCATATGATCGTACAATATCAATCGACTATATAGGTATGTAGTTATATTATTGCGTATAACTATTATCAGTTGGTCCACTGGTAGGCCTTACATCTAACTGCTGCCTGATTGAGACATGTCAAGATTTTAAAACGTTTCCGCTCTGGGTACATGGATAGCTTAGACATAACACCCTGTTATATGTTTTAATTGCCAAATTGACAACATTTCCTAAATCATGCAACAGTTACTAGTTGCGGCATGCAGTTGAACAGGCGTCTCGGAGCGTTCACTTCTTGGGGTAGCACAATTAAGTTTTCAGCGGTATAAGTCTATACTTCCCCTCCCCCACAATTGGCCCAAAGAGAATCGCGTAAACCGAACCGAAGCGTTTATTAGAATCAGAGCTTGATACCCAATCAGCCAATTAAAAAAAAGAGTACCCTATATGGGGATCGAACCCATAACTTTCACATTAGACTGGCAAAGGTTGTTAGCATGACAAAATGATTATGGGGGTTTTAGGACTCAGCTTACAGTGTGACGCGCTACCATTGCGCCAATAGGGCAGACCTCGACAAACTGCCCTTACAATCCCTCATGGTGTTTGGCCGCCTGCTTGCCAATGAACGTTGCGAATTGTCTTGAGCCCCGGCGGAATCGGCGTCTCGGCGTGATGTAGAGGCACGCTAAACCCTCCTGGGACCTTTTTCCCGCCGATAACGAACGGTGAGTCAAGACAAAAGCTTCATCCCTCGCCTGTGCTAATTGAGCTTTGGTATTCACCTCATAGGAAGCCTTCTTTGCAAGATGCCGGCTCCAGTAAGTGCCTCAATTGCTATTATAGCATCGCGATTCAGAAAACCAACACCCCACAGGCTACAGTAGAACCGTCCCTGCAAGTCGTACAGGAAGCTGTCGCAAACTCGCGCAATTCGAAATACCCCCCAAATGTTCTGCCACTGACAGCCTCTATCCCCGCCGATCTCTTAACACCAACGGTAGCATATCTGAAAATCGCTGCCAAGTGCGTCTCGCCTGTGAATTCTCAAATGGTTGTACGGTGTTAACAAATTTCCGGATTTAGATCAAAGCTGTCCTTCTTATACGAAAGTGCTGCCACAACCGAGACAATAGGCCGATATAGTTTTGTTGGAGCAGGTACATGGCTATCCCTTTAATTGTTTTCACGCTTGTATGTACATGCTGACATATTTCAGACCCTAGGAAAGTCATCAAAACCGGCCTTGGCCACGGCCCCGAGTGCGACCCGTTACCGATTCTCGAACAAGAGTTATCACAATTTCGTAGTGCGACGATACCAGGTTTAAAGCTACCACCTCTGACGGGAGGTGCCATTGGATATGTTGGATATGATTGTGTGCGATACTTCGAGCCAACAACAAGCCGTCCGCTTAAAGATGTCCTCGGTGTGCCAGAGTCTCTCTTTATGCTTTTCGATACCATCGTTGCTTTCGATCATTTCTTCCAAGTGATCAAGGTTATCACCTATATACCGATTGATTCCAGTGACAGTAAACTAGAAGAAGCCTATCGCAAAGGCCAGGAAACCATCCAGGAAATGATAAATATTCTGCTACACCCGGATATCCCGCTTCCGCCGCAAGGTCCAATTATCCCTAACCAGGAGTATAAATCAAACATTGGCCAAACTGGCTATGAAAGCCACGTTACAAAATTAAAAAAGCACATCAAGGTCGGAGATATCTTCCAAGCAGTGCCGTCGCAGAGACTATCTCGCCCAACGTCTCTTCATCCTTTCAACTTATTCCGGCACCTTCGTTCCGTCAACCCTTCCCCATATCTGTTTTTCATCGACTGCGGCGACTTTCAGCTCGTCGGCGCTAGTCCAGAGCTGCTTGTGAAGGAGGAAAGCGGCCGAATAATTACACACCCGATTGCCGGAACCGTAAAACGAGGCAAGACATCCGAGGAAGACGCCGCCCTTGCTGCTGAATTGCGAGGGAGTCTGAAGGACCGTGCCGAGCATGTAATGCTGGTTGATCTGGCTCGAAATGACGTGAACAGAGTGTGCGATCCAACGACCACCCAAGTCGACCGGCTGATGGTCGTTGAGAAATTCTCACATGTTCAACATCTCGTTTCCCAAGTCTCCGGTGTGCTACGCCCGGAAAAGACACGGTTTGATGCCTTCCGCTCTATCTTTCCTGCAGGGACAGTTTCTGGAGCTCCCAAGGTGCGCGCCATGCAGCTCATCGGGGAACTGGAAGGCGAAAAGCGCGGCGTCTACGCTGGTGCGGTAGGCTACTTTGGATATGATAGGTCTAGCGCTGATGGATCGAGCGAGATTGCGGGTGATATGGATACCTGCATCGCACTTCGCACTATGTTACTGAAAGATGGTGTGGCATATTTACAGGCTGGTGGGGGTATTGTTTTTGACTCTGATGAATATGATGAATATGTGGAGACATTGAACAAACTAGGGGCTAATATTGCATGTATCAAAGGCGCTGAAGAAACGTACTTGCAGTTAGAAAAGGAGGCAGCGGCTGCCAACTGAAGTTTATTTAGAATATGAAGCCTTCTCTATGTTGCCCTATGTTACTCCCCCCAAATCGTCCATCGATCACAGACGTGACAATGCACAATGACTCAATAGTCTGCCGTAGTTGAAATTAACCCGAAAGCAGATTTAGCCCTTCAGAACGTTGACTAATCTCCTCAACGCTACACTCAACACCTCCTCCGATTGAGAAAATACCAAGCGAAACCATCCAGGCTGTCTATTATGCTCTTCTCCCGGATGCAATACCACATTTCCATCGAGTAGTCTCTGAGCGAGATCAATCTCCTGATCAGTGCCTTGTTTATCGTTATATGTTCTAGCCTCACTGCTGAGCACATTGCCACTGTCGTTAAGTATACCCGACGTCTGCTGCAAAAAGGGGGATAAATTGATGTAAACAAAAAACCCCGCATTTCTTCACACCAATCGTAGACGTATTAGCATTATCACGGAACTAGACAGATGTATGGAATGGCTTACCCTCCCCTGACATATTCAATACCCTCCTCTTCTAACACCCGTGTCACGAATCTGTATGAGCGCGCAAGCTCCGATCTCGTGGTCTCTACGAAACCCTCCACGAATTTCTCGTCTTCTAATATGGCGGTTGCGATTTGCAGGGCGGCTCCTGAAGTATTGTGAAACCGTAGAAGAGGAAACACAGCTTTGCGGAGTTGTTCGTTGCGAGTGATTAAAAAACCGAGACAGAGACCGCCAGATGCAAAGTCCTTTTTGTTTTATAAACTACAGGAATTGAAAATTCGGGGAAGTCAAGGAGGGACTTACTTTCGAAAATCCATATAGAACATGCACTAACTCAGGATTGATGGTTGGGTCGTCGAGAAGAGAGAGGACGGATGTGAATGGGACATGCTCCGTTCCTTCAATAGCGGTATCGAAAGTACACAAAGCATAGACTTCGTCGCTGATCAAATGCAGATTATGCTTGCTGCAAAATCGGAGAATCTTTTGGAGGGTTGATCGAGGGTATGGCTTTCCTATGGGTCATCAATACCATTGCTTTATAAATAGCGCTAATCAGTAGTGAGAAACACACCGACTGGGTTGTTTGGGTTCGCGAGCAGCACAGCCCTGACCCTACGGCCTTTATTCTGACTTTCAAAATTCACCAGTGCTTCCTCAAATCGCTCAACAACACTCTCCTCAAATGCAGACTTTGCGTCTGTATCCGCATACAGAATGTTGACGCCGGCTTCCAGCCCATAATCTAATTCGAAGCGTCCATAGATTGGTCTGGAAACGAGAACTGCGTCACCAGGGTCGGCGAGAGTGAGACCAAGAATACTTCCGATAGAAGTGGCATCGACAGCAGTAACAATGTGTTCCGGAGTCACGGGTACAGAAGGGGAGAAAAATTTGTTGAAGTGGCTTGATAGAGCTGTGAGTAGACGAGGGACGAGCAATGGTTTGGGGCCGTAGGATATTGCTGATTCAGTGAATTTCACCTGTTCAAATACAAACTGGGTAAGAATCTATGTAGCAGATATTATTACTTGAGGCTAAAGATGAAAACCTTTTCATTGATGAACTTGGCGATTTGAGGACGCATAATCAGCTATTTGTAATTATGTTAGTTCTGTATCACGCATACATCAATTCATGGGATGGTCACTACGTACATTTTCAGCAATTGCAAGAGATATCAGCCCATCTGGATTCTTTTCGCGATCATACGTCTGTCTGGGAGCGTAACGCCACGGATAACCGGTGACCTCGGCATACTGCTTCCCGCGAGATGATAACATATTGATGATCGGTAATGAGCTTGAGGTTGGTATTATTGGGGTTTAATTTTGAAGCAAATATTGCTTTTTTTATCACTCGACATGCGAACGATGAGTCTGCATATAAGTACCCGCAGGTATAATTCCTGCCCATCATAAAGAGCGTCGCTGATTGCGTGACTACGCGACTGAATGACTCACGAAAGTATCGCGATATCACGTGGACTATTGGTTAAGATTGATTATTGGTTTATAATACGCTTCCAACAAGTTTTGACGCTATTCGGCCCCCGCGACCCCGCTTGGTGCATGTAACGTCATTTTGGTAAGTAACTATCGTGAAGCGACTGCAGCCTGGAGGACCTTGGAGGAAAGGCGAACATGAATATATCAATATATTAATGTATCATACGTTTTGTAGGAGCTATGTAAGGCCTAATTAGGCAGGTTATGGCCCGCTTTCCCAATTATGAACTTAGGGCTCATATAGCCTTGCCCTAAACAATCTTTCACTTCATATTCTTTCTTCACTCTGAGTCACAGTCTTCATTCGAATACGACTACTCTTTTCTATCTTTGGTTCATCAACAATCTATTTAGGAACAGAACGGGATCGGTTTTTCTCAAGGCAGACCCGGCACCATTCCAGGCTCGCCAGATTGACCATGATCTCGGAGCTACTATTCCTCTCTGGGTAATCCAAGTCCGCGAGGGCGATGTCGATGAGCTTATTGAGATGCTCTCCTGCCCCGTCGAGTCGGAACGCTTCCCGCGCTGCGATGAACTCTCGGTTGAGGAACTTAATGGAGTAGCCTTTGACACTAATGCGATAATTTTCCATTTCCCCCCAGTTGCTCTCCTCCATCACCGTTGCTAGTAGTTCCTCCGACTCTTCTTCCAATTGCCGAAGTCGACCTATGCTATTGCCAGTCTCGTTACATGCCAATACAAGGCACGAAACTCCCTCTTGGAATCATAGAAAAAGACATTTCAGGCGGTTTCCATTTTAAGAGGAGCTTTGGCACAGACAAATCACCACCTACGCCAATGTGAAGTGCGGTATCTGAATTTTCGGGGCATTCCTTTAAGTGAGAGAACAACCCAGACGGAAATTTGATCTCTGGAGAAAGTACTGCTGAGGTGTGGTTATAGTACCTCGTGCGTCAATCCACATATCGTCATTAATTAGTCGCTAATTAGTCGATATCAGGCTGTCATCAGCAAGGGAGGTCATTCGGAATCCTATTAAACTATGGCATATGTTTGTTTTGTATTTATCTATTTCTATTTCCCTCGAAATGATTCTACATACAATAAATTTCCGTCATTTTATTCATTCCTAAACGAACACATGAAGCATCAAATGTAAACTACAACATGGCAGTCTAGTATAAACTTGTATTAATTAGTATTGCCAGCTATATTATATATTATATAAATCAGTAAAATCTCTTATATAGTAATAAAATAAAAATAGGTGGAAATAAAGCATATTTTTCAGCAGAAAATCATTTTCTTTTAGAAAAAAACCTGTATGGTCCTTAAGATCGATTTAGTCCGCCTTAACCGGTAACAAAAGAGCAATGCATACAGTCAGATAATTGATGGGAAGTCGAAACTTTAGCCTCATTTCATTTGTTTTTAACTCTTTTCGATCATAGCTCCAAAAGATCGTTCATCACAAGGCGATACGATATATGCTCTTGACTTTTTCTCGGATGATGAGCCGAAGACCGGTCCAATCACGGGAGGGAGCTTTTGTATTTTTACTACGTGTTAGTAGAAGGAGAATTTAACATTATGGGTATCGGAATCCTTGGTCAATGAAGAGTCTATGAAACTTTGCTCTCCGGAGATTCTTTTTATGCCACTATCTTAGAGAATGACAAGAGTCGTTCTACCAATGTGAACTTTTGCAATCGTTCATTTGAGCATATGTACTGCTCTGCAGGAAACCATTCCTTGACAGTTTCTTCCCCTTTCAGAATCATATCGGCGACAGCTTTTCCAGTAAGCCAGCAATAAGCCATACCATGTCCACAAAAACCCGCAGCCACCCATTCTGCACCACTACTCGACGCCCTTCCAGATATACCATACGGAACTTTGCCGACAATTGGACTGTCATCTATCGTGAATCCCATTATTCCAGTCCATTTATCCAGAATATGTGTCCCTTTTCCACTTTCGAGTCGTTCTTCAATGGCAGTCTCAATTGCTTTTAGCGCTTCTTCACTTTGCAGATCGTCTCTTGTGCTACCAACATCGGCATCCTCGACTGTTATTTTACCTGATAAAAGCGCCTTCAGCAGGCCTCCACCAATGTAGATATCACCAGACGCAGAAGGTGACTGAGTCACATAATCATAGCCAGGTGCATAATGCAAAATCCACGAACGCTGGTTCCCGATACGGGGAAATGAAGACGGTGCAACCTGTCGAGTCATCTGTCCACGCAAGGGAAATAGTTTCCCCCTAAGGCCAGGGAGTAGATGACCTGCATGGCCATTTGTGCAGTGGACAATGTGTTTTGTTTGAATGATACCTCGAGGAGTCTTTAGGGTTAGTGGGTAGTCCGGTTCGCCCTCGGTAGTGTGTATACTCTCGACTGGCGTGTGTGTTTCAATTGTTAAATTTGGATACTGTTGAGAATTCGATATATGTGCTGCAACTGAGCCAACCAGTTTATAAGGCCATAAAGCCCCTGCTGGTCCAGTCATACACCCTACTGCGTTGACTGTTCCGAACTTCTGCATGCACTTGTTAGACCAACAATGTTTAAAAAGAAGGTAGGAGAAAGAAAGTAGTAGAAGTAATCATGCACCTTATTTAAATCATTTCCTTCGAAGCAAAGCCATGTCTCTCTCTCATCGGGAAAACTTTCCAAATAATCGGCCAGTTTTTCTTTCATAGCATTGAAAACATCCTGGTCGTAATAAACATCTAAGCCTTCCACGCGCCGCACAATCGCCTCCTTTGAATCCAGCTTAGTAGCGATTTCCAGCAACGCATCCAACTGCGCTAATCGGAATTTGACAACCTTTGTAGCAGCTTCTTTTCCATATAGATCTTTCAGCTCCGAATAATCAACATAAGGTGCTTCCTTGCAGTGACCACCATTCCGACCTGTGGCCCCGGATGTCAAAGCCCGCGCCTCGAGTATGGTGATTCTGAGGTCTGGTTGTTGCTGGAGCAAGTGGTACGCTGTACTGATTCCAGTTATTCCCGATCCGATTATTGCTATATCGGCCTTGTTTGGGAGAGTTGCTGATTGATGGTTGGCTAACTCGTGAGGCTCGCTTTGCCAGTACGCTGGTGTAGGGTTTGGCACCGGCAGGCCTGGGTCTTGCGATGCTTTAGTGGCGAGAGCCTGGCAAAAACGAGCTGTGGGGTCTGGTTGAGACATGTCCATCTCGCTTTTGGCTGTCAAATATACAGTGGTAGATGGATGGTTGCATACATGTATGATGAAGTGTTGCCCCGATAAGATAGGAAACTGAGCTGTTGTTTCAATGTTACCCCACCCAGCTAGAAAAATCTACAGCGGCGTGCTACATAGAATAATTTGAAGTCCTCGAGACATCATATCTATATGCGACTTATGTATATCATATAGAAATACTTCAGATGTCAGTTCATGTGCCGGCCCTTCGAAAATGAAACATTTGTATGACCATATACTCTGTTGTGGTAACATTCTGTGCAGGGAAATATACATATTGGTGAGCAAGTTTATGAACCAAAATGTACAACTGTGGCACTGGAGTTGTCAATTGATGAATTCTAGTATAATCAGCAATTTGACATATAAGGGGCCTTTCTCATGATGATTTCGAATTATGAAATAACATCTATCTCACAACTATTGAAGATTCTCAATATGTTTTCTGGGTGGTGCGAGAAAGATGTAGATAGTGTGTGTCATGCTCGACTGCTATTGGCCGCGCGCTAATTTTCACCTCTGGAGTCGCACAAAGGCAAGTTGAAGGATATATTGTTATTAAAATAGAATAAGATAATAAAAGATTCGTCTGTCTTGTAAATACTACTCAATCCACTCACCAAGACTGCTATAAGGGTGGTGAGTATACACCACATGTTATATGTTCTTGGCTAGTAGGGTTAGGCCGCGTGCCAAGACCGAGATTCTCCTGGGTGATAACTTTGTTGACATCGCCGTCATCGGTGCTGCTGCATGTAACAAACCCGACTCATCCTGGCTGGACCCCCTGCAATATTGACTTCGAGACTGTATATAGGCAGTGAGTACCCGAATTTGCAAGGGAAAGTTGTTTCTAATGTTCCTTTAATACAGGCCCCTTTGATCCTTTTTGTCCGCCGACGACGCACATGACCCCCCCGCTTCTACTGTCAACAATTGTCAACAACGCTCTACCAACGTCCACCACACTGCTCCGGTCGCATCGCGCCACTCAAACACACAGGAGATCATTTAAAGAACCCAGGTGAGTACATGGACCGATTGTTTCCCCTCGTTGCCTCCGCCAGTCGGACTTGTTGCCGCTCTCGAGACCCCAGGCGGCACACTTTGACCGTTCGCTCGCTTTTCTGTGATATCTAATTTTCATCGACTCGATACTCATGAAATGACTTCTAGATCAAATAGAACTGGCAGTGCTTTTACTGTCCAAATTCCGCGACCATGGCGGACGCCGAAGAAGACTACTCGTCCTTGCCTTTACCAGACCGCTTTACACACAAGGTCAGCAGCACTCATTATTCTGAGACGCGATAACACGACAAACGAACGAGACTGATTTAGAATATATAGATATGGAAAGTAAGAAAAGAAGGTTACGAAGATGCCGCGAAACTGTTTGAAAAAACACCCGATGAATCAGATCCTGTATTCCGCCCTTTCATACAAGACCCAGCTTTGTGGAAAGGCGCGGTTGCTGATTCCAACGTTGCCGCGCAACAAGAAGGTCTCGGAGCTTACTGCGCCTTTCTGAAATATGGTGGTATTCAGGCTTGCACAAGGTAGGTTTTACTCCGGTTACATGCGTCGATACCTTCTAACTATGTCCAAATAGATCGCGAGGTGTGACTATTGGCCCTATCGCCGAAAAAGGTCTCCCTTCTACGCGTCCTGCAGCGAAAGCGAATGCGCTCGAAGCTCTTTTACTCTGTATCGAAATTGAAAAGGCCGAACCCGTGATCGAAGATCTACTCCCTGTTTTGTCGGCCAAGCAACCGAAAGTCATTGCCGCGGTGCTAGCAGCTCTGACCGCGATATATCATAATTATGGTTGCAAGATTGTCGATCCGAAGCCCGTCCTCAAAACTCTGCCCAAGGTCTTTGGGCACGCCGATAAAAATGTACGTGCCGAAGCGCAGAATTTGACGGTGGAACTCTATCGGTGGTTGAAGGAGGCTATAAAATCTGTCTTCTGGAATGACCTGAAACCAGTCCAGCAACAAGATTTAGAGAAGCTATTCGAAAAAGTTAAAGAGGAGCCGTCGCCGAAGCAGGAGCGCTTGACGAGAGCGCAACAAGACTCAATTGCTACTGCACCTGTAGGCGGTGGAGATGATGGTGACCAAGATACTGGAGAAGACTATGAGAATGATGATGGCGGCGAAGTCGATCCGTTCGACCTAGCTGAACCGGTGGACGTGATGCCCAAGGTTCCCAAGGATCTTCAAGAACAACTAAGCTCGACAAAATGGAAGGATAGGAAAGAGGCTTTGGACGCGTTATATAATGCTGTCAATGTCCCTCGTATTCAGGATGGAGCCTTTGACGACATCGCCAGGGCTTTGGCGAAATGCATGAAGGACGCAAACGTTGCGGTAGTCACGGTCGCTGCTAATTGTGTGGACCTACTGGCCAAAGGACTTCGTTCAAGATTCTCCAAATACCGCCCGGTGGTCATGGCGCCAATCATGGAGCGTTTAAAGGAAAAGAAACAATCTGTGGCCGATGCACTCGGTCAGGCGTTAGATTCGGTGTGCTCTTCCACCAGCTTGTCTGACTGTTTGGAGGATATCCTGGAATTTCTGAAACACAAGAACCCACAAGTGAAACAAGAGATATTGAAGTTTTTAATCAGATCCCTCCGAACAACCCGGGAAGTCCCCGCGAAACCAGAAGTCAAGGCAATAGCAGAGGCCGGCACGAGACTTCTTACAGAATCCAGTGAAGTTACTCGCTCAGGAGGCGCGGAGATTCTGGGAACATTGATGAAGATTATGGGTGAACGAGCCATGAACCCTTTCCTAGATGGCTTGGATGATATCAGAAAAACAAAGATCAAAGAGTACTTCGATACTGCCGAAGTCAAGGCTAAAGATCGTCCCAAGCCAATTGTTGGTCCACCAAAAGCTGCCCCGGCTACGAAAAAGACTGCACCAAGCGCCAAAAAGGCATTGGGGATGAAGAAGCCGGCCCCTGTTGCTGCACCACCACCTCCAGCTCCTGAGGAAGCTTCTCCACCTCCTAAAAAGGCTGCCCCTAAAATGGGTCTTGCGCGGCCTGGAGGCATTCCTAAACCAGGCCTTGGTACCCCAAGTGCTGGGCTGAAGATGCAAAGACGGATACCGGGTATTGGTGGCGCAGCTCAAGGTTCGCCGCAGCGTCGTACAGCTTCACCACCCCCTGAAGATGTAGCCCCTCTTCCATCACAACCAAAGTTCGGCTTGGGACGCGGGCTTACCGGTCGGCCCATTGGCAAGCCTTCCGTATCAGCAGACGCCCCCCGTGCAGCAACTCCCGTTGCCTCTGGCCTCACATCTGTTGAACGTGCCGAATTGGAAGAGCTGCGGCTTGAGAGAGACCGTCTTCATACGATGAACGAAGAATTAAAAGCCGAGAAGGTGAAACTCACCTCACAAATAACGGAATTCCAGAATCAAAACGCGCAGCTTATTGAAGACCATACTCGCGATGTGTTGAGCATCAAAGCCAAGGAAACACAATTGGTGCGTGCACGCAGTGACGCCGAGACTGCGGAACAAACCGTCCAAAAACAGCAACGCGAAATTGAGCGACTGAAACGAGAGTTGGCTAGAGCAGTTCGTGCAGCGACATCAAGTCCACCGCCACCTGTACTCGCAGATGGCCACAGCAGTGGAGGAGTGGACACCGCCCCCCTGTCTCCTGACGCACAAACATATAACAGCAATAGTTCTCGTTCTGGTCTATATACGGGCACACGGCTCGATAGCACTCGACCTCGAAGCTATATATCTAGTCCTAGCGACGATAAGGAAAATAACGGCCTGGTGTCACCCAGCCTAGACTCGAATTATGACCATGCCTTTGGACGCAGAAAGTTCAGCCCTCCAGTCAGCGCAGGCCTTTCTAGTCGAGGAAGCCCGAGCCGACCTAATGTTCGCTATGCTTCTACCGGCAGTAATAATGGCGACGAACAACAGTCAGTGACGAGATCAGCAGAGCCGGCCGAAAACTGGAAACGAGCAGCTGAAGTGACGAGTCAACTTAAAGCGAGAATTGAGCAAATGAAGGTGAGCAATATTATACTCTTTTAGTCTTTTCAACCAAACTAATACGCATTTACCAGGCACGACAGGGTCTCTCCCGGCCTCCACCAGCAGGCCAATAGAAAAAAGAAAAACCGATAAAAATAAAGATATATGAAAGAGATACCCTACTGCAATGAATGACGTTCACGAACATACTTTATTTTTCTAAACTTTGGTTTGATTGTTCTATTTTATAATATCCTTCCTTGCACAAGAACGGGGTTTCGGATGTTTTCTTTTAGGCAGACTAGACTGGACTGGACTTGCTGGGTAATCATAATCTCGAGTCAGCTTGGCTTGATCGAGGATGGGGGGTTTTATGTGAAATACGCATGCCTGTTTTATTATATCCTTGCAATTTTTAACCCTTTATATCACGTTATAATCTCCCACACCATGGGAATCATTCATACTATGTATTACCTACGAACACAGCGGATCCGTCTATCCCCTGCTCAAAACAACCCTGTTCAGGTGAATCCAAGGTAAACAAATGAGATGTATGTCCCGTAATAACGCCGGCCGTATTCAAAACAGCAGGTTTATGAAATTTGTCTAATTTCCGACGCATCTCTGGCGTACCAATCGCCAACTGTTCAAGAATTTCTGCGACTGCTGAATAGAGAATCCCCAAATTTCCATCCTCAATCTTGACGGCAACCCCAATCGCTCCACTTGCACCTAACCGCCTGGTATCTTCCGATGCTCGTATACCAACTCCGTAACATCCTTCGGCACCGACTTTACCAATCAACCTACCCTCGTATGCTTCCATGAGCGTTGTGCAGAATCGACCTTCTCCTCCGACAAGCTCGGGGTACTGGGTCATAGAGTTGAAAATTCGAGCCAGCGCCTTTTCTCTGGGCTTCGTTTCTTTGCTATTTTCAATACCAGCAGCAGTAGCGAAAGCGCCGTATAGCTTTGCCATAAGATGAAGAGGCAAAGCAGGCGCAGGCAGATTGCAGCCATCGATACCCCATTTACATGTGGTACTATTGCTGCCACTCAACTCTCTCACAACACTCTTAACCCTGATCTGGATTGGGTGAGTTGGCAAATGATAATCCTCAAACCCGGCTCCAATAGCTTTGGCTCCAGCCAACATACCCACATGCTTACCAGAACAATTATTGCACACGGCGGTCGGCACAAAATCATTTTTGATCCATGTTCGATTAACCGATTCCAACAAAGCCGGATGCCCACCGCAGCGAAGATGAGCTTCTCGCGCACCGGGAACTCGGGCCAACATGCTCCGCGCGCGAGAAAGATGTCTTTCTTCACTATTATGCGAAGCACACATCAACGCCAAATCAGCTTCGTCGAACCCGAATTGCTCCAGCGCTCCCGTTTCGAGGACGGCGAGTGCCTGCGCTGGTTTTGCGGCAGAGCGAGTTAGTGTTATGCGTGAGGGATCGCCGACGCTGTAGAGCAGTCTTCCCGTGTCGGAGTCTATCACGGCGACGTGCACTTCGTGCCGGTTTTCGATTATGCCATTGCGGTCTGTTATTATGCAGTCTTTGCGTTTGCCCATGGTGTAGATTTGGCTATATATAGACCTTATAGACACGAGCTTAAATTTTTATAAAAAGAAACAAATATAGAAGGAAAGCTTGGTTGGTTGGTTGGTTGGTTGTTTGTTCTGCCAGAGTTTTCGGTAGTTAACACAAGGAAGAAATAAATCTGTTAGATTAGTAATGGGTCGAGAATTTACCTCGATAATAGGCTAGAAAAATCGCTGCATCGCTTTTTACCCTAGAGGTAAGCCGTACAAAACCACACCATATCCGGAAAAACGACGCGATGCGCCAAAACTTTTCCACATTGGGACGATGGTGTCGGACTTTTTGCTTATCCCAACGCGGCTATAGAAAGGCCTCTCTTCAAAATATTGAAGTTATCAAATGAAGTTATTATTTTTATATTTAGTTAAACGCCCGTACCCAGCCTCTACTATCTAGGCTAGGCCAGACGATTCAGTGGGAGATAAGGGGTCCTTTAGGGCTTAAGCTCCTAAATCCCCACGCCGCCTGTCCCATTTGATGCTAAACGACAACTAAGCCTGTACTCGTTCCTGCTCCAAGCCGCTTATCTGCGTAGGGCGATTCGGGGCCCTTATACGGGCTGGTGATGCCCGGCCTCCCTCCTGACAGCCAATCGCGCGGGCGTCACCTGGAGGAACATACCGCCCAAGGCTGTTACCCTTCTTGAGGTTATGTTGTGCATGTTTATGGAAAAGAAAAAAAAGTTTATGAAGTATATGGCGGCCATAATACCTATACCGGTAATTGAGCTGATATCTGTGCATACTAGAATACTGATCAATGCTTCCTTATGAACGCGAATACGTATTGGACACTACGAGCTAAGTTTAGCACACGGTTCGGAGGAATATCCCATTCATACCATATATTCTATTTGGTTGGAAAAACAAAGATTATGGGTATCAATACTCAACCTCGCGGCACTGGTTATTCCATTCTATATCTGCCGGCCAGCTGGAGGTTCCCAACGCTCGAGAGACAAGTACACTAATCATGTTTTGACAGGATTCAGGAAGGAGGTCGAGCTGAGTCCTGCAGCGAACGCAATAGTCGTATTCTGTATTCCAACTCTGAATCTTCGTAATGTGACCGAAAAGTTCTATGTGAGGACATGCAAAAATATTGGTATTAGGGCGCAACTGTTTTGGGTTGTTCGAAACAACCCTATTAGGGCCCGGGTTCATATGAATGGTGTATCGAGTATCCGTACGCAGATGTTCGTACGTCGAAAGGTATAATTTTATCTCAACATGGGTCCAAACATAGTCATCTCGAGTTATCGAACACTCATGCACAAGGCCTTCCCCATCATCGGTGAGTGTGACGTGGAACTTACGCCAACGGTCCGTAATAGATTTCGAGGCGGCACCTTTAGCGGCATCTTTTAACAGCTTCACAAGCCGTGATCGATCGCGAAATGTAAACGAGAGACAAGGACATAGATCAACTATACCTGCATTGTACATGCAACGTCTTTCTAAAGGCGGACTTTGCAGCGATTTGCAGGAAAATTCTTCTCGTGGATGCAACTTTAGACATGCGCAGCAACATGCCCAGCGAGCATTTTCCAGTCGAACCAAGAGTTTGTTTCGTGCTGCAGCCGGCCAGTTCAGATATAGAGAATGTGTCTCAGCCTTAAAAGGCCCTGTGAACTTGAACTGATGAGAAGTTGGACTTAGGATGTTGAGGAATAGTTTGCAGCTCAAAGTAAAACAGACTTTGTCGACTGGAGAGAGCAGTTTGAATATTTCATAGATCAGACATTCAGGTAATTTGAATATAGTTGGCTCAGTTTGTTTGCCACAGACGTACTCCCATAATATTATACATAGGGATTTTGGCTGCCTTTCTTGACCTTTCTCAGCCATGGTTGTTATCATATGTCAACTGGCGACTCCGAAACCTATATAAAAAAAAGAGAGAAGAAGTAAAAGACAAGATTTCGGTTGAAAAGCAAAATATTAGATATTGTAAGAGATTTATTTGTTCATTATGACGGGTGTATTTAAAGTGCTACCTGATGTAGGCTTCCTTAAGAAAATGTTGGTTGATGACTCGAACATTGCGCGTTGATTAGCAAAGCCCTTTCATGAACACCGAACACCTATCTACTTCCAGCACCCATATATTATTTGTAGGTAATCATAGACTTCAGCCGGCAATACTCTAGCAGACCGGGAACTCCGTATTCAACTTCTTGCTTACACCATTTATACACTGAGAATGGAATTGCATCCTCCGCCGTTAGTGAAACTGTACCGAAATCCAGCTGATCACTGACTGTTTAAGAAAGATCAATATCCCTTGAAAGGACCGTTGTGCTAAGACCTGTGAGGGTCGAATTCGCCTAGTACTTTATTTCAATGATATTATTCGCACTTGTGGTTTCTTCGGGTGTTTAATCGTTTATTGCGGTGTTCTCTGATGTTGTCTGCTTCAAGCTACGTTCGATATCGATTCAATCAATGTGCGTGCTTGTAGTGGAGGTGGGAATGGTAGAGAAGGTACTGGATCCATCAACACAGTATACGTCACCTAGAATGAGGGTTCCACACGTGGAATTGATACTCGGATTCTAGACTTACAGCTGTGAAAATGTGGTACCATATTCGCTCTCTAATAGACTGCAGTAATCCCTGCTAGCGATAACGTGCAATTCACAGCAGTCGCCAGTGGGATCACTGGCGAAGATGATTGACCCAAGCTCTCTACTGGATCTCAGGACAACAGTACTGACTGGTGAATTTCCCACAGAAGGCGATGTGAAACGATAGGTAGCACGTAGAGGGATATGATTATTATGGGTGTGCAGAGTGCCCTTATTATCGTAGGACAGACAATGGGAAGTGGAGAAATGGTAAGGTAGGCTTGGCCTCTGGAAGCGCACACTGGATTGCAGATGCAACAGATCCATGCAAACTAGCCCCCCTGGGAAGCGACCGCTCAACTGGGATGTCATTGTTGTATTGAAATTTTCATTACCATGCAAGCTGGCAATTGTGCTAATCTGAGAATTTAATAGAGCGAAGCTCATAATGTCATTCCATGTACGTAATATACTAACTATAGGACGCACTGCAGACGTCCTCTGCAGACAGGCCGGGGTCGACTAGACAATCCCATCCTGCATGAGAGGGTGCAAGATCAGGGTGGTGGCACCCCAGACTGAGCAGCCAAGCCCAGTCCGCGAAATCAAGATCACTGGTCGGTCCGTCATTGCCGATAGAAAAGTCCATGATCGGGTCCATGATCGTTTGTGGTGCGGTGAGATCAGCAGCTCGAGATAACTGGTTATGGAGATATTGCTGGTCAGCTATTAGAACATTGTTGTTGACAATGTTGAGGTCGCCGACCTCTAGTTGTTCGTCCCGGCCGTGCAAGCCGGGCTGACTGACGAGGAAAACGCTGCATCGACCTCAACCCGGTCCTACATTCGCAATTATGGGGCCGTATGGGGCGTCACCATCCCTGCGACCGTTTTCAATAACATCTTTGACCAGAACCTGTGGAAGATCGACGACGCGGCCACTCGTGCTGCGCTGAGCAACAGTAGAGCGTATGGCAACGCAACCCGCGACTTTGTTCTCTCATTTCCCAAGGACGGTAAATGTCATGAGGCTGCTGAGGAGCCGTGGGGTTTTTTACGCGGCGAAAAAGCGACAGTCAAGGTATAAACCACCCAGATAATTCCAGCAACAACACCGTACGCAACCACCGCACCAACTGGGGTCGCAAAACTGCTGATTCCTGTAATACGGAAGCCCAAACCAGCATTGATAATCCCAAGTGTGATGATAGCACGGCCGAGCCAGCGATGAAGGTAGGCAAATATGCTCTTCTTTCCCTTTTTGTGGAAATATCGGTGCTGCAAGAAGCCCATAATTGGCTGAAAAAGTATTAGATATGACATAACTACAATACCAATAATAGGGTGATAAGAGCCGGTAAGCTGAAGGTCAACAGCTATTGAAATGCCAATCCCGAAACCGGCAATTGCAAATGCCAGAGTCCCCAATTGCAACCAAGCATGAATTACAACAGTACGGGAGGATGGAATAATATGAAGGCCCAAGGCGAACATGGGAAAAAAAACCACCATAACAATAATCATGATTGTAGCATGTGCAATTCGTCTTCTGTCAATCGATTGACCGCTGACATCAGTCAAAGCTTGTGCTGAACCCGATGTAGATTGGCTAGAGAAATTCAGAAATGGGTTGTCTGAATTTCCACCAGTCGCTTGCTGAAGATTGAACGACAAAAGTCCTGAAACGTCGTGCATGTTGATATCGGCTGAAACGCTGCTCGAGTCAAGAAGCTGCCCGTATTTGACTGCCCATATCCAAGGACTAGACAGGCTCGTCAAATCTTCGTGTCCATTATCAGACCAGTCGATGCAGCTGTCACATCGAACGTTCGCAGTAATTGTACTGTTGCTTATACCACTGCCACCAAGGAGAGAAATATTCGCGTTTGAGTTGTACAAAGGTTCAATATGATTCAGTCCCAACCTTGGGGATACGGTGACATTGTCTCCGTTTCCATAGGCGACAAAGATATTTGCTCCTAGCATATGACTTCCCTGACCAACTGCAAACCACTGAAGTGGAGTAGTAGATTTAAGTTGGATAAAAATAGGACCGGACCTAGATGTGGCTGTTCCTTCAGGGATGTTGACGGTGAATGTTATACCACTTTGTCCCGGCGGAGTGAAGGTCTGAAATTGCGCGAGGGAGAAGGAGGATAGTGATAAGAAAAGAAAGATTGTATGTTGGCATAGTACTTTGCACATGGTGCTGGCAAAGTTTGAAAACATGTTGCATTTGAAGATTTTCTCAACGTTAAATCTAGTAGCAAAATACGACTGTTTCAACGTTTTGCTCGACGCAAGGCTCTTTTCCAATGAGTCGAATATAATTTGGGGAATTGATATCGGAACGTGTGAGGAAAACTGGACGTCATGTCATTACCATTAAATTAGGACCTGCAGATCGTTTGGTGGTGGCTGTGTCGACTGTAGAGCTATTGAAATAGAAGACAAATCATAATCTACCGGACAAGAAAAGAATAACGTGATGCTTAAATCTCCTGGTTGGATGCTCGAACTGCCTAACTGGGACGACCGAGTTGCCTTGTCGGGTCAAGCTCAAGCCCGGACTCGGGACACGCCCAGTCAGAGGATAAGCACGGACAAGACTGCGGATTCGGTGAAGCTTAATCTTTTCAGCCACATACTTTCTTTTGATGATAATGAGCCGCTGCATCTTTGTGAACTGGTGTCTACTACGTGCACTGCTGTTTTTTTTTTTACACATAAATACATCACCCAGCTGCCAGCATTCTTCCAGATTGTGCTTGACTCCTCGAAATATTGACTGGTACATCTCACTACTGCACAATTTATTCAAATATAATTTACTCTAGAGTCATCTAGGCCCTCTTTGTAGATATGTTGGACCTTATGTTATCTATTTTCATGTTCTCTTTCATCTCTGCTGCAGCGGCACAGTATGGGAACGGTGGCGATACTACTGCGGCGGAGACGTCCACAAAAGCCTCACCTTCTTCTACTACGTCTGCTTCACCAGCTGTCCAAACCGTTGAAGTGGGCCAAAACGGACTCAGCTTCTCACCCGATACACTGACTATTTCCCCTGGTGGCAAAATTGAGTTTCACTTCAACCCCGGCAATCACACTGTCGCACAAGCATCGTTTTCGAATCCATGCAATCCAATGAGCGATACGAGCTTGTTTAGCGGATTCGTTCCTGGATCTTCTACCAGAGACTCGGTAAGCAATCTGATGGTTATATTACAATGATCAGATCTAATGGAGAATGTAGTCTTCAATTTTCACCGTCACCGTCAATGATACAAACCCTATTTGGTATTACTGTGGGCAAGTTGAGCATTGCCAGACCGGCATGGTTGGAGTAATCAATCCTCCGTAAGTATTCTGCTAAATAATCTTTGAAAGACAATCGCTTACTGGCCTTCCTGCTCAGAGCCAGCGGTCCAGATACTCTCGCAGCGTTCAAGTCTGCAGCAGCGAATATACAAAAGTTCAGTGTCCCGGTTTCTGTCCAAGGCGGTGTTTTTGGGGTCTCTGCTGCATCTGCTAGTAGTTCCACGATTGCCAGTAACTCTCCCAGTAGCACATCGACGAGCACCACCAGCCCAACCCAAACAGGAGCAGCGCCAATTTTATCCGCCAGGACTTACATGAGTTTCATCTCGATCTTGTCTTTGTTCAAAGTTCTGTTTATTATGTGAGAGTGGACCGTTATAATTCATAGTCAGGGAGTTGTTTGAAGCTGTGTTGTCATATCCTTTTTTGCTAAATATGGAGTATGTGACGGACCAGTCAATAGCTGAATCATTGAAACTTAATATATAATAAAAATTAAAAGTAAGTTATATATAAATGATTTTGCAAATTATTAGTATAAAGCAGTTTTATAAAGTTAATGAATCAAGGTATAAGGTACTCCTTTTTATCAATGGGACCAGGTCAGGAAGCCGCCTAGAGTGTTCGGTTGAGCGTGCGCCAATTGGAGTAAAGAACCATATAACTGCCTAAGGTTAGATGGCTTGTGAAGCATAAGCCTTCTCATAATCAGGCAATTCAGTCTATACTACATGCCCTGAGGTCTCCAAACGTAGGGCTAGGTAGTTGAAGAGTGAGAAACTTGTTTCATAACTCAATCCCTGAAGGGAGACCACTTATCTAATGTTCATTTGTTCGGGACTGCCAATAAGATAAGTGGCCCATGTCACCCCAGGACATTATCAAAGAGATAAATTTGAATGAAATATTAATATATTTAAATAGCAGAGTATTTAGTTGTTAGTAATATTATATATTAGTAGTTCTGTCCTTAGATTATTGCACTGGCTACTTCTCCTATATGTCTCATCTGAGGCTTATAACTGTCCTGATTTCTAACAGATAATTGAATAATATAAAAAAGGTTGGCTTTCCCACGGATGGATTACTCCCACGGATGTGATAACAGAATCGTTCCGGCATCAGCCGAGAACGCGATGGATTCGCAATCCTCGTAGGACTTGCAATGTTAGGCCGACATTTTTCTTAAGAAATCAAATATTCCAAGGTTTAAACAGCCCTGGGAAACAACCCTCTTCAGCTGAATGGTTGGTAGATATAAATGGAACTTTTTATTTCAGACCCTGTCAATGCATACACTAGTCTGCATCTATCCCAAAAAGAATAGATGCACTTCGCCGAGCATACACCCCGAGACGGATTTACCACAAACCCATTAGCTCCTCGGGAAAAATTCCCCAAAAGTGTCGAGTGACTCAATTGTCGGCCGTTTTCTTCAAGCTGATATAGGCTACAACATGCATCTTGGTTAGTAAGGGTCACACTGCGGACTGCATGTTCCGTATGTCACAGCTTGCTCTATTGGGCTTTGAAGAGCAATGTATTCGCGCACTTTATGCCTAAATTTCCGTTATTTTTACTACCTAGTCACGCACCCATCCTCAGTTTGTTATATCACGGCTATTGTGGGTTGAAATAATGTAATTTTGAATTTAGTGATTCAGAACCATCCCGTCACAATGTCGGTCCGATTCAATTCTTATCCCGACATCCCTTTCGTTAAGTTGTCATTTGTTTTCAAATATCTAGCTAAATCAATAGAGATATGGCAAGGATAATATATTCTAGTGAGAGGTTTTCTATATGCTTATAATTTGCGGCGCGAGCCGCTTCCTGCACGGAAAATCATGCCAACTTAGTTATTAGGTACAGCGAATGAGGCTGGCTGAGCCGCACCTAGGGAATCCCGCTTGCATTGGCTTGTTGATCATTTGACCCCATTTTATACTCAATTGTACGCCTCTCTCATGCCAGTTTGAAATCTAAACTGGTGATGTATTTTCATGAGCACGCTTCCACAAAGTCATTATAACCGAGTTGATGTAGTATAACAGCTCATCCATTAATTTTTACATGTTTGCTTAGCCGAGTACATGTAATTATTCACATATTCGCTCTTTACATGGTTCTTGCATTGCCATTTAGTCATGGAAATGATAAATAGGGCGTTTCCCGCCTTGGTTTATACAGTTTCTATACAATGCAAGTGTATTTAGACAGCAGATATACTTGAGCATCCCAGATTGACATCACGATGGCGCAGCCCTTTGTTCTTATCATGATTCTCAGTTTGTTCATGATCTCTGATCTATCTTTGAATGTTGCTGCAGCTAGCTGCTCATGCTTATCGGATGCTGTATCTTCTATAAGTGCAGATCCATTGGGCGCAGCTTTCTGTTCGCAATACATTTCCACAATTTGGGACACCACAAGCATTACAACGCCTTTAGCAACCACAATCGTTGTTGAAACTGTTCCCGCGCTTATCACGATTACTACCACAGTTCTAAGTGTGGGCAGTACAGTTAGTGTTTCGTTCTACTTCCGAGTCATCTATTATGGCTAACTACTTGGGGCAGACAACGACACTTATTGAGACTGTCCCCATTCCATATGTAATATCGACCCATTTTTGACCTACTTGTGGTTCAAATAAGCATGATATAAATATTTCTGACAAGTATATTATTTACAGGAATCTACAAAGACTACTATTGTCACATCCCCAACTACTGAATGCTACACAGGAACTTCTTTTGGAAAGCAGCAAGGGTCAGCAATTACCCAAGCGCCCAGAGCACTAGAGAACAAGCGGGTTACCCAGGCAAATATTCCAAATGCAATTCTGCCTACACCTCCAGCTATACTATCTATCGAGAGTTCACTGGTCTCCTCAGCATGTGAATGCTACCTTGGCCCTTCTGCTACTGTGACGGAGACTTTGACGGATTTTATCGGCTCAGGAACACTTACAGCAACAGTCGACTTCACGACCATTCCAACCAAAACCGCGTGAGTGTTAGAAGTTCACCACAGTTACTAAATATAAGCTCTGATCTAACCCACAACCAGTTATATATCCCTAGTTACAACGTGGACGGATGTTGAGGTTATCACTTCATCTACTGCTACGGCAACTACCACCACTACATCCACTGCCTATACACCGGTGCCTACAAATACAGACTTGGGTTTAAATTGGTACTATTACACTAGCCCATATGCATTCCAGGGTTCTATCCCCTTTAATGCGCAGTATTTCAATAACCCAAATTACAATTTCAGTGGTTATATTGAGAATGTCAATGGATTCCACACCGGTCTAGCCTGGTCAACTACAGAGACGAACTATACATGCAGCCTCGTTAAAGCAGATTGTGGTTACGTCGGTGTGATCTTCCAAGGATACCTGTGGGCTGCACATAGCCCAGGCAATTATACACTTTCTAGTGATGATAATTCTGACAACGCATTCTTGGTTTGGCATGGATCGAATGCGTACAGTAACTATCAGAATTCAAACTACGACTATCAGGCAAACTACCCCTCTACTTCTGGAAGTGTCACTATCAATGTCGGTGCCGGAGAGCTGGTACCCATAACTCTGTTGTGGGCCAATGGAGGTGGCCCAGGCCAAGCTGATCTCAGCATCACTAGCCCTGCTGGAACAAAATATTCAAGCACCGCTGGATTTTTCGTTCCAGCTAATAGCACCTGCCCAGGGTACACTGATCCATTCTCCCCTTAACATTCTATGGGGTCTCACTGTTACCTGTACCCCATGGTAGGGGCGTGGAATATACTTCCTGTTCAGATCAGATGGAGTCGCTTCGAATATTCCTTTCATGACATTCATTCTACTTATTTTACTGGACTTTGATTTGATACACAAGATTGTTTATTAATCTCTGTAGGAATTGATTCTCGAGCTTATAAGTATCAAGAAGCTTAAATTTCGTCTGTTTTGGTTCACAGTATCGAAAGATATCGTAGCATTCGGCCTAAGCTTGCTTCTTAGCAATTATATTCTTTAAATCATTGAACTGGATCCAATGAGTGGATGCTAGCTAGGGTTGATTGCTCAGATGTAATTGGCATAATCTCTTTATTAATTGTATTGAAAACGAACAATTATTTAACGAAAGAAATGGGCTTAAACGAGTTCTAACGTGTGGATACCGGTGATGGAGCTGAGAAAGGAGATCTCGGCTCCTAGGATCTTAGACTAAACTTATTGATTGATGTGTGCTACTTATATTTGCTTAGAAAAGTGCAATTGTATACGGTATATAGTATTTAATTAAATATTCGGTAATTCATCCGAAGATTAAACATGACCGCCATTCTTGACACACCCAAAGTTTAAGCCAGTATTACTCTAGTACATCTGAAAGATAGGTTAATGTATGAAGCCGTCTATTCGCTACTTGGCCTACAGCATATAGGAGCAATCATCGGTTGATGAACGATGTCATCCTCGAAAGCCAATACCACGTGGTTTTGGTTGCTTATTTCATCTACTACTAAGACAGTGAATTACACTTATTTAGACAGAGTGAAATGGCATTTCATGCGGGGTATCTGCAAATCCGAAAGGAGAAAAAAAAGGTAACATGGGATCATCTCTTCATTTTGTTTTGATGATAGAAGGCGCAAGACATAAAACTCCCTGTCTTAAGACATACTTTTTGGAAATTCGTAAGCCCGTTGACCGACTGACTCATCAACCAACCAACTCCGATGCACATAGGTAATTCAGAGAAAACTTTTTAGATCTTGACAGCGGCCTCGACGGCCTTGCGCTTCTTCTCCTGGCGAGCAACGGCCTTGGCTCCCATGATACCACCACCCCAGTGGCGGCGGTTCTCCTCGTACTTGTCAGCATAGCCCTCCTTGATGGCGGTGACCAGCTTGGAGAACTCGGACTTGTCCTCGGAGCGGACCTCGGTGATAGCGAGGACGGCGGAGGTCTTGGCATATTAGTATAGTGCACCTAAGAATAGACAACTGAGTAACATACCTTCTTGTGAACAACAGTACCGAGACGAGCCTTGCCCTTGATGATGGCGTAAGGGACACCCATCTTGCGGCAGAGGGCGGGGAGGAAGACAACCAATTCGATGGGGTCAACATCGTGAGCAATCAGGACGAGAGAGGCCTTCTTGTTCTCAACGAGACCGACAACGTGGTTGAGACCGTACTTGACGGCGTAGGGCTTCTTGGAAACGTCTTCCTTCTTCTTGCCTTCGGCAACGGCGGTGGCCTCCTTGTGGAGACGCTCCTTCTTCTCAACCTTGGACTCGGGGCGGTACTTGTTGAGGAACTTGAAGGTCTGGGCAGCAGTGTTGCGGTCGAGGGTGTTGGAGAACTGGGCGATGGCAGGAGGAACCTTGAGACGGAGGTTCAAGACCTTCTTCTGGCGCTGAAGACGGACATACTCGGGCCACTTGACGAAACGGGAGAGGTTACGCTTGGGCTGGATGTCCTGACCGATACCGAAGTTGCGGGAGCGCTTCTCGATGAGAGGGTTCTAAGGGCCATTAGCACAAATCACGACAAAATTCCAGGGGAAAAAACATGAACTCACCTTGGTCTTCTTGCTGGCACCAGCCTTACCCTGGGGGAAGGGGGCAGCGGCGACTTTCTTTCCCTTAGGAGGCTATCATTGAGAAAAGAAGAAATCAGCACATTGTGACCACTAAATGCTGAAGATCTTCTTTGAACTCTAGAGAGCGAACACGAGTCGGGACGGCCATGACATTTCTGCCACACACACAATCCTAACATCATGGCTCAAGCCAAATCATCGCCAATCTTTTATGCCATTCACTCATTTCTGAGGTTTATGAAGCAGCAACAAAAGAATTGGTGGAATTGCTTAGTCGAAAGATTTTCACATCTTTACAGACTAGTCGAGATGATGTTTCGCATCTCAGAAAAACAACGTTCTGGTTTGTTTCTCGTAGAGCTCATAGAGAAGACTCGTATGAAGAGTCAGATATCAGATTCTAGCTTACCATATTGTCGATTGATGAGTCGGGGTGCTGGGCGATGCACTTGAATTGACGACTTGACGGCTGAACGAAGAAGAAAGAAGACGAAATGCAGCGGGAGAAGATAAATCGTGCGCGAACAATAAGCGAATGTAGTGGGGCCGCAACAGCCAATAATAAACCAAAATACTTGCCAAGACGCTAGCAGAGCTCCATAGCTCTTTTGAGACAGAAATAGGGCTAGCCCTTAGACTTGGCCAATTAAAGTGTATCTTGAGACAAACTTCACATTCAACGATCTGTATGAGTAAAGCTGCCGTTTATTATGCAGAGGAAACTAGTAAACACATAGAACGCCGGGTATGCAAGACATCGTGAAAGGACTCAAAGCAAAAATCAACAAAAACTATCGCCAGCCTCCCAGTCCCGGTATGCCAGCTCGCGTGACCGTAGAAGCAGCATCTACGGCCCTCCTCTTGCCTCGGGTGCCCTCCTGGGCTCTAACTCCAGCGACAATCCTCTCCAGATTAGTCTCTACAACGACGCCGCCAATAATCATCTCACTGAGGGTCGCATGCATAGTTTCATACCCAAAGATGAGGTCCAACTCGCAAACATTTTCAAACAATCTATCCAGAGCCTCGACAAAGACTTGAATCAGATCGATCAGCGCGAGAGGTGATTCTGTAGACGTAGAAATCATGATAAACGAAAGTGTCGCATAAGTACGATACGTGATTTGAGTAGGGGCGTCAGAGGGGCCGCTAGATGATGCTTTGGAGGAGTTCGCCGCGCCTTGTAATAGAATCGGTGGCAGAGGAAGGAAGTTGCATGCCGAGGGTGGGCGTTGGGAGACTAGGTCGTAGATTTGTCTGATGAGCTTTTGCTGGATTTGGGTGTCCTATTTGTAGGTAGGTGTTAGAGATAGAAGTGATTCAGTGATCAAATTCAGATATAGAGGTGGGCGCATACAAGCTGCGTATAGAATCGGGTGAGGCGCGGCTGCCCGGTGTTATTAAACACCAGCACAGCATTAATCATGCTGTCTATCAGAGCCTGGCTCTCGATCAAACCAAAATGTTATTATATAGTGGACGAGTATAGTCTTGTCAGCTCTGTGAATATTTGCTGTTGTCGATGACGAGATATAGCCGCGGGGGCATGTTTGCTTCGGAGGTAAACCGAGAGCCTGGCGCGAAGAGTGGGTCCAAGACTTATTCTCTATCCGCAACCAACTCTAATGTCTAGAATATCAACAGCCTCAACAACTCGGTTCGGGGTAGTATACAGAAAGGATAATCTCAATATCCAACCAATCTGCCGCAATGTTAGGCCGCCCATCAATCTGTGCCTCTTGCCTCGCAGGCTTCCGAAACGTTTCCCGCCTTCAAAAACAACAACTCCATCAATCAAAACGGTCTAAATCAAACCAGTCCAAATCAAACAAATCCAAATCAATCGCACACAGTCTCCCAACAAATATAACCAAAATCATCCCTTTCACCGATCTCCAACCGACCGATATCGCCCGTTACTGGGACACCATCCCCCCCGAAGCATCAAATCTCGCCTACGCCGACAAATTCTTTACTCCCTCCCGCCATTCCCCCGTCAAGCTCTTCTCCGCCGCGAAATTTCGCACGATACCGTTTGACTCGACGGAACCCGAAGTTGCGTTTATAGGAAGGTCCAATGTGGGTAAAAGCTCTATTATAAATGCGCTTGTGGGGCAGGAGGTGTGTTGGGTTTCGAAGCATCCGGGGAAGACGACAGAAATGAACGCGTTTGGGATCGGAGGGAAGAAGGGCGGCGAGTCGAAAATTGTTCTACTTGATATGCCAGGATATGGGAAAGCGAGTCGCACGGAATGGGGGATTGAGATTATGAAGTACTTACAGCAGAGGAAACAGTATGTTCTTCAATATGCCCTTGTTAATATGCATATATTTACACTTAACTACCTGGACAGACTTCGACGGACATATCTCCTAATCGACTCCCTCCACGGCATTAAAGACAATGACCAAGAAATCCTCTCTCTACTCCGGCGCTATGGCATATCCCATCAAATAATTCTATCCAAAGTTGACCGCGTATTGGCTGGCAGGCTGAACAAAGGGTTGAAGCTTTTTAGTCGGGGGTACGAGGTGCGATCAAGCAGGCTCAATCATTTACAAAAAATGTTGAAGAAGATGGAACCGATTCTTCAACCGCCAGACAGTAGAGTCGATGGACCGGGGGCTTTGGGTGAGATACTTACTTGTACCTCGGCAGCGAAGGTTTCCCAAGAAAGTCAGAATTGTTTGGGTGTCAGTAATATTCGGTGGTCGATACTCAAAGCGACTGGGTTTGATGGGAGCATTGAAACGGGTGCGAGTCGAGAGATGTCTCCTATTCAGTCAGCTGAAGATAGGCCCACACTCTCAACTCCTGTTCAGTAAACGGAACCGAGTTCTCATGTTGATTAAGGCCAATTTTCAAGTTAATGGATGTATAATATTTTCATTCACTGTCACCCTGTACCATATACATGTATATATAAGATACCTTAGATTTCTTCGGTTTGAAAATATCCAGTCTTCCCATCCTTGTAACTATATTATTGATTAGTACTGTCAACACCGCTGTAACACTTCGTCTCAAATTTTCAAAGCAAAAGAACCCTACACCAGCCAGCGCAGTCAAATTCTTCTAATATACTATTGAAGGACTCAATCTCCGATGAAGTTGACAACGTCGCCAAACTCCTCTAGCAACGACTGATCAATGTCATTCCATTCCGATTGCTTCTCATGTCCGCTGCTTGAGATCGGCAAAGCATCGGACTTGGTTGTGGTCATGTTAATGGTTTCCTTCAGCGTATGCTTAGGCCGTTTAATCGCCTCGTTATCAGAAGCATTGTCTAGCGTGCTACCTTTTCGTTTCGTGGCTTCGTTATTGCTCGCAAATGGTTGAAAATAATTCGATACTTGAAAAACACTCGAAGATGATAAGTCGTTTTGGAAACCTGAAGACTTCGTGATGATCTCTGGATGTCCCTCTTGTGACCTGGATTGAGTTGCAAAAGGTTCCTGAGAACAGCCGATGTCATCATTATGATTTGTGACTTTGGTGGTTTGGTTTCGATAACTCATGAAAAAGTCAACAGTCTCATCAAAGACAGGATCTATGGTAGCTGTATCATAGCTATCAACTGATTGCCGTCTGTCTGAGTCCAGCAAAGCTGTTGGAGTAGCAAAAAGTTCTTCCAGACCACTATCATCGTAGGCACTGGACGAATGCTCCCTTCGATAACACGGACGTTTCGATTCCCCCATACTATTCAAGGTGACGTGTAGTTTAGAAGAATCGCTCTTCAAAGTTCCCGGCTGTGACACGGCCATGTCTAATTTTGCCATTCTTATGACCTTTGAAGACGATGTGATCTCATCAACCTGCTTCGGCTCGTCGCTTTGTGTGAGATCCAAAAAGTCAATGGAGCGATCATGGCCATAGTTCTGAATGCTATAGGACTTGTTAGCCGTCGAAGCGTTCTTTCGAACACTTTGCATCAAGCTTAGCTGGCTGGTTTTTGTTAGCTGGCTTTGAGGTATGTCTGCCGAATTTCCCTTTTTGTAGACCTTCGGGGGCTTGTCTAGGCCCTCCCGGCAGCAATAGTGTTTGCATCTATATGGTTATATAGTTAATTAGCATTGTATTCTGGTTATATTCTGAAAGACACTGGGGATATTCACGTCGACTTGTCTTTGCATTTATGGTTGCATTTGAATTTACCATTTACCAAAACATTTGGTTGGTGGTCATCATCATCATTCAAGTCATCTCCTTTCACACGTATTGATTGAGGGTTTGAGTTTCGATTGTAGTTCAAATCATTCGTGGCGGTCAGTATTGGATTCAATTGATGCGAGTTGAGATCTTCCGTTGTATTCTCTCAGCAGGTAATCGACATATCAAAGGACAACCTAGCCTACCTGCTGTAAGAAAATCGTCATCCGCGTAGTCGTCATCTTCAAATACATCGATTTTATTAGAGGATTTCGCTGTTTTCGATACATCGCTACTTCTCCGTCTCGACGTGTTCATCCTAAATTTGTCCGTCAACTTAGTCGGATCTTCAGGAAGAAAGTCTCTAGAAAACAACGATGCTGGAATATCTGGTTTTAGCTCTGCACATTGAGCGGTTCCGCCTACCATGACCTTAGCAACTGTCTCTTGTTTTACCAAATCCAGAATATGCACCTACCAATATCATCACACATGACATAGCATGTTATATGTTGCAATGCACTCGTCAAGTCAGCACTAAGTAAAATCTCATGACCATTTTGGAGTTTCTGTGCACTACAGGCTCTGTCAGCACAAGACACATTTCCAAGGCTGGGCAACTCACCTCATACGTCGAAAATCCACAAGTCGACCACCCGAGATCTCCACCAGGCAACAGACATATATTGGACGTTTTTGAAAGAAGCTTGGCAATTTTTCATTCAAAAACCCAATGTCTGCCTTGATATTAACTCTAACTGACTCCCCTTGCTTAGTTGCCTATACCACTCTTAACCAACCACCTAATTTCAGAATGTGTCTTGACTATCTCACCTTGCCTATCATCTTAACAGTCACACGTAGTTTTGGGAAATCAGCAAGTCGCGAAAGTAGTTTCATTCCAAAAGGCGGGTTCTTGCTCAGTATCATGTCGATTCGATGGGCCTCCGTTTCTTCCAACTCTTGGATACTTGTAATTCCAGCGCTGGCGAGCTTCCGCACGGCAACAATTCCTACTTGGTCAATCTGTCTCATTTGCAATGCAGAGCCCTCCCAAGCTCGAACTGAAATACTCCTGGAAAGACTCAGTGCATTTCTAACTGCTATTCCGTCTTTGTTATGAATTTGGCAATCAACAACGCAACGGAGAAGACGGTTTATATGGGAAAATACCATAGTCTTATCCTGCTGGAATTGAAATTTGTGTTTCTGATACTGCTCCGCAGCAGGAAAATCAACTGCACCTAATTCTGATTGAATCAGGAGACTGACTTTATGAGCATTCTGAGACAAATCCACCCTGATCGGGTATCGGGTACCGGCGCCACGATTCAATTCCCTATACAAAGAACGTTCTGAGGCTTTGAGACGAATCTTGCGGAACTCATCGGCTTGAGAAATTGCCGAGAGCTAAACTTTTAGCGAAAAGATAGAAACAGCATTATTTAACAACTTACAATTTCCGAAAGCTTTGTCCGAGGAGGTAATGACAGCAATATTTTCATGGTTTCGAATTTGACATAGTACTTTGCCATTGCGTCTCCATAGGCGGTCGACTTCAAGTTTTCATCTGCAGTTACGAGTTCACATTCTCTGAGGAGCTTCATATCCTTTTCACATATTTGCCGAAGCATCTCATCCTCATCCCGTCGGTCCGCATTTTCCTTCAGCTTGTAATGAGTTGGGTTTCTTCTTAGTCTCACAAATAAGAAGGTCCCGGCAAGCCACTTAATGGCAGATTCAATGCCCTGGATTGTTCCAAGTCCAATCTCTGCGTTCATGTGGTCGATTAGATTCAAGTGTAGACAACTTTCCAACTGCTCTGTCCCCGAAACCAGCTTCTCATAGTACGAAAGACGCTCTTTCTTCGTCAGAATGACTGCCACGGCACTATCATCAAATTGCGGACGGCCCGCGCGTCCGAGCATTTGCATCATTTCCAAATCGGAGTATTCCCTGCATCCACCCTCCTGCCAGCAGACAGTATTTTTAATGATCACCAGGTAACATGGTAGATTGACGCCAACTGCAAGGGTAGACGTGCAGCAGACGATGTTAATCTGGCCTTGCAAAAAAGCCTTTTCAATAACATGGCGGTCGTCACTTTCCAAGCCAGCATGATGGAAAGCAACCCCAGAGCTCACGACGGCTATTGGTTATTAGAAAATGATGTCTTATTATAGTAAATATACTAACGTACCCTTCAGGTCTGGGTTTTTGACAGTAGGTATTCTTGACCCCGTTGACCAAGGTCGCCTATGAGGTATGGTATTGGTCCACAATTTGGCGAGGTCCTTTGCGGTGGCAATAGAGGAATTTCTCGTACAGCAAAATATCATTATTGGCTTTCTATTCGAGTGTTTAGAAATAATCTCCGGTAATCTAGACAAATTTAAGTGAGCGAACGAGCCATATTGATCTAGAAATTGTCTTCTCACTTAGATCCGCAGAACCTGTCAAACGCAAAGTCATTGCCGTTGCACTGGTAGCCGTAAACAAATTTCTGGAGTTTCGTGGGACGAAATTCCTCTCCAAAGTGCTCTCTATGTGCCGGTAAATGCTGCAGAGTATCGCTATTGCCCAGCCATGTTGCAATGTCCTCGGAGTTTGGTATCGTTGCACTCAAAGCAATAAACCGGACATTAGAGGCGACGGACTTCATGCGGGAAACCACGGCTTCAAGTGCAGCCCCACGACTCTCATTCAAAACATGAACCTCATCAATGAGAAAGAGCTTGACAAGTTGAATCAGCTTCATATGATCTCTCCACCTCCTTGTCATGCTGTCCCATTTCTCCGGGGTGGTGATTATGATACTTGCAGTTTGAATTGACCTGAGCTGGGAATACTCGGTATCACCAGTCAATTCGGCACACTGCAAACCCAAGCAGGTGAATTTGGTAGACCAATCGCGGAAACGTTCCGCACAGAGGGATCTCGTAGGAGCTTGGTAAATCACTTTAAACAAACTGTCTTTCAGGTTGCTAACTAGACGGCATATTGCGAGTTCCATAATGACGGTTTTGCCGCTGCCTGTTGGAGCGGACAGGACTATATTGTAGTCATTCTGGTAAACGTGGGAAAAGCATTTTGACTGCACGGCATTTAGAAGAGGAAAAGGGAAAAGAGATCTAAACCGATCGGGGAGCTCTTGGGTTGAGACGAGATTGATGCCTTGTACTATTGGGGACGCATGGCTGAAGGCTATCTGACGAGGCAGCCGTCCTTTCCCTTGAGATGGGGTCTTCTCCACCCGAATCTGATTGTCATCAATAGCAGATGGCCAGTAACGGTTTTCTAGAGTGGTCGGTGTCGAAGAAACCTGAGACTGAGTGGGTTTGAAATACCGCATCAATGGACTAGATAGTGAACCGGCATCTGAGGAGCTTGACTCTTGCCCTGCGATCGGGGTATTTCTAGGAACAGGGACTAGATAATGAGTCAAGACAAGTAACCCGATGAAATATTAATTCTGTGTACCGACTTACATGGTCCCGACAAGCGTGGCCGAAGATCTCTTGCTGGGGTCCGCCGAAAGTCATTTCGGATCTGCGTGGATGCTGGCAGTTGAGCAAGCCCTTGCTGCTCACTAAGTTCGGCCAAAAGTTCTTGATCTGGTTGAAACCCAAGTCAGACATTGTCTGATAAGTAATAGCGTCTACGGTCTCACCGAACGTATCGAACGGGGGGTCTCCATCATCAAATGGGAGTAGAGGCTGACGGGGCAGGTGATTCGCGATGGAATACTTTCCAGACATTTCTCATCAACTTTCTCGACGATGCCGACTGTCTCTCTTCGTTATGTAGAAGAGAAATCCTTGAGTAGAAAAAGGACGGTTGAAAGTCGAGGTTGAGTGGGCTCATGTTAGGGGAAGGAGCTGATCTCGCACCTTCCCTTTGCGAGCGACTGCCGAGCAACAGCAGGAAGAAAGAATAAAGAGAAAACATTCTGTAATTCTCTAGCAAATAGACTAGCACAAAAGCAAAGCTGTCATAAATCGTGGTATATTATGCATCAAAAACGAGCTCCCCCCAGTAATCCATCCAATCCATCCCATGCTATCTATGACTGGTGCCAAAAGCAAAACGTGTTTGTCCGATAAGCCCTCAAATACTAACATACACTCCTTTTATCTCTGATCCTTCTAATACCAACACCAAGCAAGCAGACGATGCGCGTCCTATGCTGTTCATCTTACTCTTCTAACTTGGGAAAATAACCACTCGGCGCATTCTCGCTTGATTTGACCCTCGAATAGCTTGGAGACGCTGGGCGCGACGTAGACAACCCGGCAGCAGACAGCAATGGGGTGGTTGGCAGTTTGATGGAGAAGTCGTTTGGCGCAGACACCAGCTGCGACCCGTCTTCTCCCTTTTCATAGGTTTCAATGCGAATTGGAGGCGGTCGCATTTTGATAGGAATACTGGATGGCTGGCTGCTGTAGAGGAATGTGGCAACCAAAACTACCGCTGCACCCATAAAGAACTGCACGAATATCAGTATACTTGAAACGCGCAGGTATGAGAACATCACTTACGTTTGCTGATAACTCCAAGTCGAACACAGACAAACTGACAATTGTGCTCAAAATAATACTCAAACCAGTGGCCATAGTTTTCGCAGTCTTATCCGTATGCGCGATGGTGAAAGCAGCACCAATACCGCCGATTGTCTGAACGGCAATCAGAGTCCATACAACCCAATTGTAACCACCGAAAAACCCCTGGTTCGCGATCGTCTCGCCGTCGAGGAAGATAACGCCGATGAACAAGGCCGGGAAAACGGAATACAGAGCCAGCTGTACATTCCGCATCCATAATGACCTCTGTGTGGAACTATCCCTGATTACTCTTTCGAGATAGGTCGTTGCCAGTGCCGAGGCAACAGATGCACCGAGGGTCGCAAACAGCCCAATGCTAGAGTTCAGAGGAGGGTGTTCGAGCAACATATCCTCTTCGATTCCTTCATAGCTCGCAGATCGTTTCTGGAATTTTCCCGCGCCAGCCGCGGTTCGTTGTTTCCATTCTTCCAGGTATCGGGGAAAGTGCAGATGATCATCCCGAGCGACAAGCTGGTCGCTTTCCTGTCCCGGCAACTGAAGCAGGGCGACGCCGATCGCGAGGAATAGAAGCAGCCCCCAGTTGCGCATGGGAATACTCCGACGCAGTATCAAGAAGCCAGAGACAGCGGCGAAGAGCAGCTTGATCTGATACGTGATTTGGAAGGTGGCAGGCACCGCATTGGACAGTGCTAGATATTGAAGCGAATTAGCCAGCGTGAAAAGGACTGCCGGCAACGCAAGTTTCCAGCTGTCACCCGAAAATACAGCATTTGTCAACGAGAAAAACAGGGACGTGGCGGGCATCGATGGTGGAACTTTCTTGGAAACCTCATACAAGGCCACTGTCAAAGAGATGGCCAACTTGATCGCCTCAGTCAGGAATACCGCCGTGGAAGTCACATATCGTTTCCCACCAACAGCTGGCATTACCCGTGAATAATGAAGCAGCTGCATCGCAACTATTGCATTAGCGACACAAGAACAACAAATAAGTCGCATCGCGCCTTGGGTAACTCACCACGACGGAGACTGCATACTGTATCATCAACTATGTAATCAATCAGCCCCGATCCATCATATTATCACCAACTCGGCGAGAGTTCAACCCATACCAGAAAAACAGATGTGATGTGGTAAGGAAACCTCGACTTTCGCGTATTCTCTCCCATGGTTTTTTGTGTGTGTCCCGCCACCGGGAAAACCGCCTATCCCTCTGTTGTACGGACGGGGAGAAGTGTGTTTTTCTCAAATCCCGGTCGCCAGAAGAGTCTGTCTATGGCAGAAGAATATATGAACTCCACCCTATGCGATCGCTGGGTGCGCCTGACGCTGGGGGTAGGGGGTTTCCTGCCGAGGAAGATCAATGACGTCGAAAGCTTGGCGTAGTGATCGAAGTATCGCCAGGAGCGGACGAGCGCATCGAAGAGAGGACGCAGGAGAGGGAGAGACGATAGGAGACTGGATAATAAACTCGGATGAAAGAAATAAGAAAGAAACAGAATGTTGTAGTCTACACAGAGGATTTTTTTGTCAAGTCCCCTTCCCCTGTTGGACTGGAAACAAGCGACCACAACGGACGACCGATCCGGGGTAGGCTGAAAGCGGTGGCGCTGACGAGCCCCTGACTAGCCTTGAATGCCTGAGGAATCAGCAGCCGCCGCGCGCTGGGCAGTGGGGCTGCTTGGGCCGAGACCGCAACAGATTGGCCAGAACAACCAGGGCGTGGTCATGTTTCATGCACCGGAGTTATTGTTGTTACACTGCTCAGTATTCAGATGCTGCGCCCGAGAAGATGTATGTGTGGTGAGAATATCAGTGGCGCCGGTGCTTGGGGTCCACTGCCAGTTATGCCTACACGACGTCATGCTGGACCCTGGAATGTTGTTATCAAAAGGTAATTATTAGTTATTATACAGTTCTATGCACACATTTTGATGGTCCAAAACACTCCCAGCCTATGCTTGCAGTATGCACTAATGAGAGCCAAAAAAGAATAAAAGGAATGATTCGCAAATGAACGTGTCCAAAATGAAGCCCAAAATCCGGAAAGAGAATGAAAGGTTATGAGAAGGTCAAGGGTGTGATTAGGTCACAACAGCCAAGTCGACCGAATCGCGAGCCCATTTGATAGCCCACAAGGGATATTCAACCTCGGGTTCCTTGTCATTCGCGACTTCATCGTCAAGACGGATCGCCTCGCTGCTATCGGTTCTGCGACGCGAATGTCGTTTTGCCGCCTCCGGAGGGATCGGGGGTGGTGCGTGGGATGGTGGAGGCGCTCGGGGAGAGAAACGGTGGATGGGTAGAGTCGGTGTCATTGGGGAGGTGTAGCCGGTGGTCGAGGAAGAAGAATGGGTTTCGGAGTAAGCCAGACTCAGTCGCGGAGAGGCAGTGGAATTAGTTTCGGTTTTCTGTTCGTTATCAGACGCGGAGCTCAGCGACATAAACGCTTCTTTGTCTTTGGATGTGGCACCTTCACCTGCCATAGACAACGCCGTGCCCTGAGACGGGGACATTACGGTACTCAGTCGAAGAAATGAGGTACCATAGTCTGGCGTATGAGCGGGTTCTTGAATGCGGGGAGCGGGCGGCATGGATCGACTGGTTGTCGACTCTGATTCGGAGTCGGGATTTGGGGTTGTCGATATTTCGCCATACATACTGGGAGTGAAGCGACCATTGCGCAGTCTCATAGCTTCCAGAATCGACTCCTCCTGCCGTGTGACCGCAATGATGCGACTGCGCCTCTTGGCAGAGTGCATGTTGCTGTAAGCGGGCACGGGACGTAGCTGAGAATTGCCATTATGCGTGTCGGTCAGTTCTTCTCGCTCTTCAATCAGTGACACTCTACGAGAAGCGCGCGAGTCCTGCCTCTTTGCCGTGACAGAAGATCTGGGGTTTGAAGAATACGATTGATGGCCGTGTGATTGGCGCCGAGCCGTTCTGTGGGAGTCAGAGCTGCTGGTGGACATCTTTGAGTGGGCTCTGTTGAGCTGCGTCAAGGCATGACCTCTCGTAGCAACGACAGCCTCAGCCGTGCAAATCTCGGGCTCAAAGTCCTCAAAGGTCGACACACTTTCGCGAAATGCCCGCTGGGGAGTAGCTCGTTTCACGAGTAGCTCGCCGTAATTCTCATCCTCTTCTCTGCGGTCCTCGCCGTCGTCTTCATCTTCCGATGACGACAGCGACAGCACACTAGTTTTTGTGAGATCACTAATCATAAGAGTGCTGTGGCTGCTCTTTTTAGATAAAGCAGGCTTAGGATTCCTCAAACGTAGATCTCCTTCAGATTGCCACGCTTGAAGGGAGGTGCTAAGGCGCTCGGAGAAAGGGGTCGTCGGCTGAGGGCTGAGATGCGAATCAATGGTATACGATGTGCGGCGGGATGCGCGAGATGTTAAAGATGATCTTCTCGAGGCGGCCTTGGCAGAGGTTGGCAGTGCAAGGTTGGCTTCCTTGTGCTGTTTCGGCAGATGAATTTGTGGTGGTGGATCCGAGACCATGCTGGGAGAGAAGTCCTCGTCATCAACCTCAGTATCGTCTTCGATATTCACGCCACCCACACGGATTGACTTTTCGACAGGAATGTCAAACCAATCGAGTACTTGCGTTTTACGCGGTCGGCTAGGTATTGGAAGCGGCTCCTCCGGGATGACATCCTTTTGCACCTCTTTCCTGCTATTGCTTCTAGAACGAGGCTTGGTGAGTTTGGTGGAGCTCGTCCGTTTCGTGGCAGAAAACTCCGAATGAACCGGGGACGGGGAATTTGTGTATCGCTGAGGAGATAGAAGTGGAGCAGATGCCGGCTTGGGTTTGGGGAAAAGAAGAGAGAGGTCAATTCGGCTAGGGCGCATTTTCTTCTTTTTGTCCTTGGCAGACTCTGGCTTTGTTGGAGTGACGTCTTTCGGGATGGGTCCCTTGTTGGCGAAGAGAATGCCTCTCATATCTTCCACGACACCAAAGGCCAGACTTCGTTGCGACTGGGTATCAAACGAGTACGAGTCGGTATGTGGGCTGGGTCGAAGATCTGACCATGAGCCCGACTTTCGTACTTGGGGCAGCTCTGGTGAGTGGTGGGAAGATACAGTCGAACGCTGGCTGGAGTGGTAATTTCGACCGAGCAGTGGCGAAGATGCGCGCACACGAAGTTCGTGGTGGGAGGGGGTTGGATTTGGCTCTCGGGCTGCTGCTGCGTGGGAATAGCGATCAAACCCTCTGGAATCGAGTGTGTTGTTGATGTTTTCCTCGCGCTTTGGTAACTGCGGGCTCGAATTGTAGTCTCCCAATATCCTGTGGGCCTTCCGACTTCTATCAGAGAGGGGGAATTCCTGGCTGCTCAGCGTTGGCGATGGCTTTTGCTTGTATGTGGTTTCAGCCATGATACTGGAGGATCGCGCAGTGATCAAGAAAGGAGATCGGACGGATTGGCGACCCATTATTATTATTATTGTCGAGACGATTAGGTGCTGGCTTCCCAGGGACAGCAGCGCGAGGCTCGAGCGACTACAGGCCAGGAAGGACGAATGAGCGCTACCCGAGCAGGTGTTGATTGGAGTGCTACCCAACTGCAGGAGTGGTACGAGGAGACCGAGGGTGAATTAGTGGTGAATCTGGTGATTGTCGGACATGTCTGACAGGGTGATAGCAGGATCTGTTACGAGAAGAGGTTAGGAGGTGGGACAAGGCAATCATAATAAGAAGAATAAGAAGTCGATACGCACACGAGCGAGAACGAAAAGGAGCAGGAGTGATCCACGCGGTCGCCCCACACTGAACAAGCTGGCAGGAATAATAACAATATAAGGAGAGTGATGTAATATGCTGCTGCCGACAATAATAATGTAATAATGCTCAGGATACTAATACCGACGGCTGGGAATAGTTCAATAGGGGCTCCAATGTCATACCAGCATAACCATGGCAAAGCTGCCCGTCACGAAACTGGCCTTCCGTGGTCCTCCTTGGACCTTAAACAGCCCGTGGCCGGCCGGGGCCAATGGGCGTCAGTCGATACAGGAACACTAGTCCCGGTATAGGCTAGGCTGTTGGTTATGTTGAGGAACAGGCCGAATCAGGGCGAAGCGTGACGAATGCAGCGATGCGGGTGGAGACGCAATCCCGATGGCAGTCCGCGATTGGTAGTGACGGACCGGACGTCTGTGGAACGGATGCCGATGTTTTCTTGTCTCAGCCTAGCGCCGCGCTTAAAGTTCCTGGCAGGTCAAACACGAGGACTCCGGTTGGGGATTAGCGCGAGCTACCAGACAGGGGACGCCCGCGTGTGGGGCAGTCTGAAACCAGTCTTGGCGTCTCCTGTCGTCCTCATATTAAGATACTGAGGAGCAGGGAGAATAGTAAAAATAAGAGATAGTGATCGATGAATAGATTTGACTGGGCTAGCGTTAGATTACATGCAGCACGCGCCTTTTGGCGCATTAATATTGCATCCGATTTCCGGAGATTCACGCAGATGTGCAAATTATTTGCCGTTTGCTGTGGGGTCACCAGTGTATGCGGAGTACACTGCATGCTGTTAGATCATGTCACTGCCTGTGCTAGCAGGAACTCCAGACCCCACAGGGGCTATGTCAGGCTTCTCAGCTGCCAACATGTATCTATTAACGGTGCTGTGGATCAGAGGCGATCTTGCAAGTCGATGTGGAGGTAGCAAAGCCAGATGTGCCAATAGTTCGCCGTAGCTGGGACTTATCAATAGCGCTACATATCATGATGAATACTGCATTATATACCCATCTGTACGGAGTATCTATATTCTAGAATAATATAATTTGTATTACTTGCGTGCGTTATATTATTTTATACACGGATATTCGCCTATAATTAAAGCGTCCCGCGTCCCCGCTGGAGAGCCATGGTTGACAGCGTGATAGTTCTCCCATTTTCGAAGACGGTGGGCCAATCGCCAGCAGCCGATTCGCGACTCAATGACGTCTACCAGCTCCCAACATTGCAGTTTGAATAATCCGGCAGTGCTGCGTGCAAAGAATCAGCATAGCCTCCCAGACCCCTGGTATTACTACAACTTTACAATACCGAGGCAGCAACGCTGTTAAGTCTGGGCTGACCGGATGTAGGCCGACTGCCCAATAAGACCCAGAGCGGCTCATGCGGACATGATGTTTTATGACAAATTGATCCCTGTCGTTGCAGCTGAATTATTATTATTTTTATTCATATCATGTGCTCCACGGTCAGAGAGTCCCGTCACTTTGGTTCCGATACTGTTCCGAGGTAACGCGGGAAATGATCGGCAGGGCGGCACCACCAGTTTCATACGTACAGAGTCATAGCTGACACAACAATCAATAAAATAACTAGTTAATAAATCAGTTCATTATTACTCTGTCCCACACAGAGTCCCTGACTAGTGAAACATCTTTATCTAAAAAACAGCTGCTCCCTCGACCCCTTTCGATGCCGACGGGTACCTGCATGCAAACAACAACTGTTACATACATGTAACTTTTCTTCTTCCGACACACCCCGGATCGCCTGCAGAATAAAATTACAAGGAGATTAAAAACGGTTGAAAAGGCAAAAAGACCAGAAGTCACACAAAACCAAAAAATTCGTTTGAAGAACTTTAACTGACAGGCAAGCAAGACGGACCAAAAAAATAGCGGTTTAGTTTCATGCCAATACCAATAACCTGATCCTATCTGCTGCTTTGACCCGCCATTTGCCAATAGTCTTTCTTACGATATTGACATCTAGTCTATATCAGTATAAAACCACTATTCTACGGATTATTTCGTGCGACTGTTCCCTACACACGCATGAAGATACGTCTTCCAGCTAACAGCAGAAGGATCCTGCTCTTTTTGAGTGTCAAGAATCCCACACTGCGGAATTCCAACGGACGCACGGCTTATTAACGAGGGCTGAACTTGATATTATCCCATTAATTAGAATTCCAAGGTTTATTAAATAACACCTGAAGATAAAATTTAACGTACGTACAAAGTTTCAAAACAGCGAGTCAAAAAGGGGGTTGAAACCAAACCCCAACATGACACACAAATTATAAATATAGACTAAACCACGAGCGTAAATGATAGATTTAGGATTGGCTAGCTACTGGAAACGTGCCTGTTAGGTCCTTTCTATTTGAATTCGTGGTTGGGCTAGTTTGGTGATTATTGAACGTTAGACCTTAGATTTGGGCAAGTTAAAGTTGGCTGGTTGAAGCACTATTGATTATCGGTGCGTCAACTAGTAAACACTGCAGGATGTGCACGCTCGGATACCGAACAACTGCAAAAGGTATTGTTAACAAGGGATCAACTGAATTTTAGCCTATATTGACATCCCACAACAGCGCCATAAACCTGGAATACTGAAGTTACTCAATATGAGTGTCAAAGTTCAAGCGTACTCTGTGTTTACCTATTACTGTTTCAGATAGACGCCTATATAAGCTGAAGCTTAAGTTTCATGCCCTTCATAAGGTTCCTGAGGCAATTTTATTGCGTTTGATAGGTCTAAATAATTATGTAAACGGGTGTTGATGTCGTTTAGGCTAAACAGCACAGTGAACGAATGACATAGCAGTCAATGGAAATCAAAAACACTACTACCCCGAAATCAATATCGATCATCAGACTCGGCATAAATATCCCGTACTTTCCATCTTCTCGATTACCATGGAAGTTCCTGTCCACTGGCAGCGTCGATAAATTTGCCCGATGTGGTTTGTTTCTCGGCATTAGTGATCTGGTAGCACATCATTAATACTAGCAGACGCTAAAATGACCCTCGTATCGAGATAGGAAAGAAGATCACATACAGTTTTGAAGATCGCATCCACCGACTCTTCACTAGTCATAGGCGGCTCTGGTATCCCAATTGCATCCGCATATGCTTGTCCGTTTCCAGTTTTGACCCATCTATGATAATTTATCCTCCGAATTAGCCCACTGACAAGGCTTTTCCACAAAAACATTGTGTCAGGTCCATATAGACTCCACTTACCCAGGGTGCAGAGACACCGCCACTAGCTTCTCGTTCTCCAGATGCATTTTCTTGACGAAATAATTCGCCGCCACTTTCGCCGCCCCGTACCCTCCACAGGGGGTCGGGTCTACATAGTGCAGAGATGCCAGAACAGAACTGATCAAGATGAATTTCGGGTTCTCAGACTTGCTCAAGAGCTGATCCCATAGCTGCTGGTACAGACGAACGGGGCCGAGAGCGTTTATTTGATAAAGATTGGCCAGGGCATCGATGGGGGCATCGAGGACGCTCGTGAATGGGTCGCCAACGCCAGCATTAGCAATGACGATGTCTATTTTCGACACACCAGCATCGCCACTAGTGTCATTACTATTGGCAAGGAGGGATTCGCGTAGAGCGATGGCGTCGGCGGTGGAGATGCTGTCGAGTTTGTAAATACCATGCAGTGTCCCAGCGAATGATTTTGGCAAGGCGTCGCGCAACTCGGCGGGGGAAGTGCGGGTTGTCAAGATGACTTTGGTATTGGGCTGCTGGAGGTAGAGTTTCGCGAGGCCTAGGCCAAGACCTATTCAATATCGTAGAATTAGTGGGTTATTCTCTTATTCTGGAAATTCAGATTCCCTGTTAGGAGAGGGGCTCGGTAGATAGGGCAAGACTTACCCCTATTAGCACCGGTGATCAGGACGACGGTTTCGCTTGACATGGTTAGCTGTTCAGAGATTTGCTAACAGCTTTATGTAGATAAAGTCACGGGTTATTAGTCCAAATATTCTTTTCCGGCTTAGATTCACAAAGTGAGGATATTTTGATGGAGGAAAAGAACGGCCAGTGGGAGAACTCCAACTATATACTGCCCCACAACACAAGCCCTAGGTTGCATTCAAAACAATCAGTCACCATGGCTCGTCTGCACCAAACCAATAACAACGCGCCGTCGTCAGCTTGAGCGTTGATATCTCTCTAGACCTGGGATCATGTGGGATATTTCTCGGTCTGGTGTATGTTTTGGGAATTTTGATGCCTGATGACACTGCTCGAGGGGCAGCAGGGTAGCAACGTATGGAAGATTGATGACTTGGCCTTTCGTCGACTTTCAACCAGATTCTAATTCTACAAAACCTAGATTTGAAAACATATACAGCTGCATAGAATTCTTGTTCATTGCCGAGCAATCCTATTGGTTATTACAGCTTAGAATAGGGGAAGCAACGGATAAAGAAAGGCGATGTATAAAAAGAAAAAAACAAACAAACAAGAATATGACGCCTACACATAAATAAATGTAAAAAGAAAAAGCAAGAATAGAAACCCATCAGCATTCAAGGTTGTTACTGTATGGTGCACCTCTGACGACGTGGATGCCATGATGACTAGCCACCCTGTGACTCCCTTTTCTCCCACTAACTTTTTGTTTTCTCACATATCACTCATGTATCACTCACTGAACAGGAGTATAGGTGAAACACTTCATATTCTCAAGAAGCCTCCATATCTGTTCACCCTCGGTTGCGCCATTCACCTTGATCTGCTCTTCAAGGCCATGCCAGTCTCCAGCATAGTCCACGATTTTTTCTTGATGGCCCCGAGGAATGATAGCAAAGTCCCCCGCATCATCAATTATTCTCCGCCAAATATGCAATGGAAGGCCGAAACGATACTTGGAACGGTATCGCTTGTCGGCGAAGACTTTAGGTAAAGGATGAGCAGCCGAGCCATTTGAGCCAGCGCTAGCCTTATCCTTGTTCTCTAGTTGATTAGGAGGCTTCTTAGCTGGAGGATTGCTGGGATAGGCTGGAGGTAACGGATAAGTAGGTAACACGCGGCTGATATCCGGCGGATAGAGCTGCGGCACAGGATTCGAAGAAGGTAAATGAATTGCAGGAAACATGAAATCGAATGTGGACGATTCTGGATCGAACCGCAAACTCGAAATCATTACGCCTGGAGGGGCGGGTGGATGACGAGCCTCATATGGGTCATACCTAGCCCGGGGTATTTCGACAATTCCCCCGTGTTGCGCAGCCATCCGTTTTCTCGATACTTGTAATTGTGCTTCTGTCAGTGTCGGACGGTTTCCGTCATCTAGCATAATTGCTCGAGCAAGTTTCAGCATCTGCAACGAGGAAAGCCAGAGGTCGGAGTGTTTGAGACCATCATCCGCGGTCAATACTCTAATTCTGTATTGGCTTTCCGACCGCTCGAGATTCTCCTTTTTCTTCTTGCGCGCTTGTCGACGTTCCAAGAGGCTTTGATAGTCTTCGTTGTCTTCCAATGTCAAACCCTCAATGGTTTCATCAACCTCATCGTCGCTCTCGTCATCCATTTGGGCGATTTTGTCAATTACCCGTCTGGCGTCTTGGTGTACTCTCTCATTCGGAAGCCAATAGATTCCTTTGAAGCTGTCATTTGGATCAGGGAGACTGAGAGATTTCCCCCCAGGAAGAAAAGCTAGTAATTGTTCCGGGGTACGACGCATTTTGAGCATTTCGGACAAATGAACAATGCTTACGTTTTCCATGTCCACGTTGGAGATGATTATGTAAGGGACTGACTGCAGACCCCGAGTGCAAGAATAACGTTCGATATCTGTGTCAGCGGGGGGCTTGGAGGATGAAGGCTTTGTTCCTATTGCATAATAGCTGCGTTAGCATCTAATGAACCATTGATATTGAGTGTATACCTTTCAGCTGATGGAGCTTCTTCTCAGGACATGGGCTTTGGGCTCCGGTGTCTGTTGAGGAAGTTCCAGTAGCGTTGGATGTTGTCCCTTCATCAGGGGTTGCGGTTATCTTGATAAAGTCCAACTCGCTTTGGATGAAAACACGGCAAATACCCTCTACGCCTCTCGCGCCAAGGGGGTTGTTTCCAAAGTTCACTTTTTTCAAAACGCAGCATTGGCTGAAGCATTTCAAGAAATCTTCCCATATACGCATCTCTTGGGAGTAGACGATTCTTATTTCGTTGTTCGATAGGTCAATTTCCTTCAGGTCTCGACAACTCAGCGCAATCACGTATCCGAGCATAGAAAGAAATCGAACAGTTAGTTTGTTGCCCTGGAGGTGTAGTTCCTGTAGCTTGACAACACCTGGGGAGTCTTTATCTTCACCCTTTATGACATTCTGTAGATCCTTGATGAATTCGAGAAACCCCTTGTCTGTGAGCTGCCTATTGGCCATATCAAAGTCCAGCACGCGATCGCCGCGGACTTTGCTTCCCCTGAAACGGTTATTCTAAAGTTTACCAAGACATGTCAGTTTTCATTATACCCCGAATAGTATCGTCATGGAAGGCAGGTAACACTTACCAGAATGGATTTCATGTTTCGGCCGGCATCGACTCCAGTCACGGTTTTCTGTGCGTCCCTGTCAGTTGTGCGTCTGTATGTAAACGAGAGTCGACTTACTCCTGGAATGTACACTCTCCCCATTTTGCTTGGAATATCAGATAGGGGGTTCCTTCTTCAAGATTCTAAAAGTGTCAGTCTCAGTCCAATCATGAAAAACAAATGGGATAGCGTTACCAGCTATTAAGTGTTAACAGTGTTGTGATAAAATATGTCCTGGCAAACGAGCTTGATACTGCTTGTCTGAAGGCGTGAGGTACGGTTAGAAAGAAGATATGAGAGAAGCAGCATTGGTATGGGAGTAGAAGAGAGGAGAGAAAGGGGAGAGGCGCTTGGCTGGAACTACAGGACAAAGAGCAGCGACTTCTTAAGGGGTGTGAGAAGGAAGAAGTCTAGGAATCAGTGTGAAGAAGCCAGAAGAAGAACCTTTTTTTTTCCAGATCTTTTAACAGATCTGTTTTTTCATACGTCATATTGTCTATGTCGCGTTTGTTCAGTCGACTCTGTTTTCATTGTTGGTAGGCGGTGGCCCGAATCATCCACACTTCTTGCAAGTGATCTAGACAACACAGAAATGGGCTTTCAATTAGCTGAGGGCTCTTTTTATTACAAGCATAAATCAAAATTCTGTTGTAGATATTCTCAAAACCAGATTATTTATGAATATGGAAACCCCTTTAAGGATGCTATTACAGAAAGTTGAGCAAAATTGATATTAGTAGGTTATCTACCTCGCAAAAACAAGCCAGAAAAGCTGTGTAAATCTTCATCGAAAAATGTAACCTATCCCTAAAACTTCACATTTTAGTCTTTCAAGTTGTGTTGCTTCTCAATACGGAAAATCAACTAGTTATACAACTTTCTAGATATGATTAACCTGAAAAGGAGTTCTAGACATAATGTAGAACTTATTACAGTATTTCTGGGTAGTTACTACCAATTATGAACTGTTAACTAGAAATAACACGCGGTAGATCGAAATATCAAACTACGACTCATAAAACTGGAGTGATGACAAGAGCGGAACGGAATCATATTGTATATCCTAAAATACCAATACTCTTTAATACTTTCAGGTCACAAGTACTAGAGAACTTATATAGAAATTCTTAATTAATAGTTCTTTAGAAGTGACACTCCATCCACACTTAACAATCACATCGTCAGAAATTTTTGCTTGGCAACGCACGTTTGGGTCACCACTGATCATGAGATTCAGGTTGTGGCAAAGTAAAGCAATAGCGTTATTTGAAAGAGAACTAAGGCTGAGTGGCGTAGTGAATAAAGAATGATGCTAAGTATTTAATTACGCGCTCCGGTTTGATGGTGTGATAAAATTAAGTTTACATATGAGCCATCTATGGATCAGTTGGGGGTTTAACACTTGTTGTTTGTTTTATCATACTGGCTACCATGCTTACTTTGGTTTAGCAGCATCTGAGCGCCAATAACTTCTGTATACAGACTAGTACAATGTTACTATTCTCCGAGGCCGGCTTCTGATTTCTAATCTGTACAGTGAGAATTTTATCTGTGCAGCGTTTTCGCGTTAGATGTGCAGTCGGTGTACTACCCAGATTTACATGTGAAGTTGAATACCACTACTAACATGGATGGTTGTACGAGTCACCCAATCACCAACTGTCAAATGTGGGGCGCCATTCAAGTCCGTTGGTGTTCTTCCGGTTGATACTCTAAATAATGATTACAAACCGCGTATTATAACACAGGATTCACATTATTTCCAGGCTGCCACTTTGTTTGCTGTAGAGGCCGGATTCACCGAATTTATTTTTGGACAAAATACGGGGCTATCCAGGAATATGAATAGAGTAGGTCAACTGCCACTATGGAAAACGCGCTACCACTAGCCCTCAGAGGTATATATTTAGTAGAGGAATCCTCCGACGTCGAAGTCTGGCCTAAAGTAACTTCATATTTGAAGATTTCTAGCAAATCTCTCCATCTAGTGAACTCACTATACTAAATACTAAGAGCAGGAACAATGTCCTCACCACGCACCATCTCCCAGGGTGCTACAATCCTGGTCACCGGCGCCAATGGGTACATTGCATCTCACGTCATCAACAGGCTCCTAGCCGACGGCTATAAAGTACACGGAACAGTGCGTGATGAGAAGCCTTGGCTAGATGAGCACTTTACAACTCAGTATGGGGAGGATTCATACAAGAGCATTGTTGTTCCAACACTTGCAGACGAGAATGCTATCGCCGCTGCCGTGAAAGGAGTCCATGGTGTGGTTCATGTGGTATGTCTGAAATTATACAAAGCTCCAAGGACAAGGCATCAATCTAACAGACTTTCTAATAGGCTTCGAATATGTCCTGGAGCAATGATCCAAACGTCGTCATCTCTGATACAATCTCCATGGCCATAAACGTTCTCAAAGCAGCCGCTCAGTCAGACTCCGTGAAAAGAGTGGTTATGACGTCGTCAGCCGTTGCATCATTTCCACGAACCGTTGAAAAGCCCAGCGATGGGGATTTTGAGGTCGACACAAGTTAGTCTTTCCCTTTATTTTCAGATTTAGGGTAACACTAATCTGGGATTGTTGAAGATACATGGAACGAAGCGTCGGTTAAAGCTGCTTGGGACCCGAATTCACCAGAAATTTCAAAATCTTCGAATGTGTACTCTGCGTCTAAAGTAGAGGCAGAGCGGGCTGCGTGGAAGTGGGTGGCGGAGAACAAGCCGAAATTCACGTTTAATACGGTATTACCTAACATGAATGTGAGATGATATTCCTTTGACCTATAATCATTCCAAAGACTCACTTCCATTGGAAATTAGGTAGGAAAAATACTGTTTCCACAACATCAGCGTGGCTCAATGGCAGCCACACGCTTGCTTTTGTCTGGAAATGATATTATGACCAAAGTCGTCCCAGCTGGCCGTATGTCGTATCGCCATCAACCCCTTTCTGATACTCTCACTGATACAGTTCTTTCGTAATGTATAGAATGGTGGGTCAACGTCGAAGATGATGCTCGACTCCATGCAATTGCGTTGCTGGATGCGAATGTCCAGTCCGAGCGAATCTTTGCATGTGCCGCCCCGTTTACCTGGACACAGATCTATCAGACATTCCAGGAACTTCAACCAGAGAATGACAAGATCCCAAATGCTCCGAAAGATGAGGGTCCAACATTGATCAAAGTCAAACCGTCAGCCCGAGCCGAACAGTTGATACAGAAGTTCTACGGTCGGGATGGATGGGTTTCTCTGAAAGAATCACTTGCTGATGGTATTGCTGATATTTCAAATGTTAAATAATTCGTGCGTCGTCAGGTCTGCTATAGTAGTACTATAGTAATGTGATAGGCCTAGAACATTGAAGACAGGATCGATAAAGTTGATAGCTTGGCATATACCATTCTAACCATGTCTAATCTGTATTTTAGACTCTCAAGAAAAGTGAACTCTATACCGACATCTTGAACATATATTCAAGGTGTTTGCCGACCTCATCTTTAAGAACGCAATCCGATGTCCCTTTTTGAGTTTGTGGATGTATATAGCATGTGTTAACAAGAAATTCACGGATAACTGTTATGCAATACTTCAAGGGACCCACCGCCACATTTTTCCTTGGTCTGTTTTTCTTTGGCCTCCCATTCACCAGCGTACGCTCTTGTAGACAAGTATCCTGCAGAGTATTGGGCGTAAGACTATAAACGGAACCATGGACTTGGTGTTGAATACTCCCAAAACTATAACCATGGCGGCCGATTTTGAATTCAATGCTAGAGTGGTATGGTCATTGAGAAGGCGTGAAGGACGTTTGGACAGGAAAGGATTCGCGTAGTCTCAGGGACAAGGTTGAGATCCACGTTACGAGTAGTGAATGCGGTGTGACGGCTCAAAGACAATTGCTAATCGTTATCGAAGTGGCTGAGCTAGTGTTAAATCTACCAGCTTATACATCGACCTCAAATATAAACACTGCAATTATATTGACCTTCCCATGAACGCATATATGTAGAATACAAATAAAACCAAATCATCATGCTTTGTTGTGAAATACAACCTGCGAGAGCATAAAAACATAACCATCCAACAAGTATACCAGTCAATGCGACAGCTTGAACCCGTCATGCCTGCAACCGATAGACTAACACCCCATTTTCAAATGTTGAACTGTATGGAAGAATGGTTGCAAAACCGCTCATGATCAATAGTGTAAAATTTGGTAGCATAGTGTCGTGAAAGAAAACGTCGAATTTTAACTCAACCAAACACCTGCGTAATGTCAAGATTTCATAAAACACTTGCCACCCACGCTATGCAACATGCAAAGTACCTTAAAAATGCTTGAGGTCATGAGAATCGGGGTATCGTGATATCCAGGGTAAAGAAAAATTCATGTTCAGATCTGTTGTCTGAACCGCAGTTCAGTCAACCCTTAAATTTAGTGTTAACGACGCGGGCTTGATGCGCCTTCTAGCTTCGGGTCGCTTTATTCTGTTGCGTCATAATCATCTTCATCATCGTCAGGAATCTCAACGCCCTGACGATCAACAATTATTCGTTTTCCAAGGCGTTGGTCAGGGAACCCATCTCGGTGAGCGCCAAAGTCAAGAACCTAGTGAAACGTTAGACGAAACCTCCTTTGATTGTTAGCATAGTTAGCTCACCTCAATATATGTCATACCATCTCGCTGCACAGCTGCGACACATCTGCGCTCATTGAATCTCACTTGCCAAACGCCGCTAAGATCTTTGAGGAGATCTTTGACACATTCACCAGTTCGCACATTCCACATTTTTAGGGTTCTGTCCGAGCCAGAAATGACCTTTTCACCGTCATGCTGGAAACAAGTGATAGCACCGGTGTGAGCAGTAAGTGTACTTTTGCACTGGCCATTCTCGGGATCCCAAATCCGTAGAGTCGAATCTGCCGCAGCAGAAACTAGCCGATCACTATTGAGATCAAGAAGACCCACAAGAGAAGTATGTCCTTCGAGGGTGTGGAGTAAAGATCCATTGTCGAGAGACCAGATTTTGACCATATTGTCCATGGATCCACTGATACATCGATTCCTCTCGACGTCTAAGACAACGCTATAAACCTTGAGAGTATGACCTTGCAGTTTGTGCAAACAATCTCCCGTTGAGATTTTCCAAACGCGTACTGTTGTGTCGTAGCTTCCTGAAACTAAAGTATCGCCATGAGCTGCAATGGCGCGCACTGAATGTGTATGACCAGACAAGGAGCGCAAAAAGTAAGGACAATCGGTATCAGTTGCATGTGACCCGGCGTCGAGATACGTAGGCTCATTTGGTTTTGGCAATTTCCACACTCTGAGGTTGGAATCACGAGAACCAGTGATAATGAGAGGCTCCTTAGGCATCATTTCCGCAGTCCCGTCAGGATTCTTACAGACTTCGGTGGGAAGTAAAATTTGCAAACATCGAACAGTGGACGTATGACCGTGGAACACCTGGGTACATTTGGCCTTTTCGATGTCCCAGACTCGAACTGACCGATCAGTCGACCCAGATACAAGTGTGTTGCCATAGTACTCAAGCGCCCAGACTCCTCCTTCATGGCCAGAGAGGACGGATTTCAGCGCACCGGTGTGAGTGTCATACACATGGATCTTGGTATCGTCACTGCCAGTAAGAATTTTCTCGGTGTCGAATTGGAGGCATGTGACTACATGGCGGTCATGTGCACGGAAAGCCAAGTGCTTGGGCTTCAGATCCGGACGCATCCAGCTTCTGCGGATGGTGAAGTGACGCTGGTAGAGGGATTTATACAGATGTAAGCTGCGAAGGGACGAGAGGCCAACCTCTGGATAAGGGACGGCGGTGGCAGCAGCATTTGCAGCCGCATAAGGCCCCTCGAGCAAGGTGGCCTCATTGACCCAGTCCACCGCTGTGGGGGCTGAGGAATCAATCCCATGGGATGACGTAAGTTTCCGCCGGGCTAATTTTCGACTCGACGTTCTATTGGCCGCCTTTCTCTTCGGACGACGTGAGGGTGAGCCTACAGATGATGCATCTTCGAAAACACCAGAAGCAAATAGATCAGCTGAATAAGTGTCGGAATCGAATTTCAGCATAGAGACCGAAAGATCCTTTTCCCAGTCATCGCTTCCGTTGGGAAACTGCCAGCCCCATCCTTCTTTGATCGCACGTTGTAGCTCGCCCGGAGGAAGTCTGTAGCCATCCCTGTCGAACAGCTCTTTCCATGCCCTCTCATCAGAGTTGATGATGTGACGCCATTTCTTGGAAACTCGAGCTGCTCGGCACATTGACTTCAGATCAAGGTATCTCACGATGTTGAGAGTTAGTTCGGCAGGAAGTAAGGCTAAGAAATCGCATTTCAAAGCTGGGTTAACGACGTCAGCAACAAACTGTAGAGTCGGTTTAGGGCAGCGTCTTAATAGTTGATACATCATATACGTTTTCATCTCGTCGGGAATCGATTCAAAGAAATCTAACGTAGCCGGGATTTCCATTAGAGACGTAGATCGTGACTGCAACGCATTTTCGTGGGCCGTGGGATTCGCGGATATGCTTGAGGAGGCTTTTTGAGCAGTAAGAAGCGGTAAATTTGGGGCCTGGTTATCGAAGCTCGAATCGGTATCAGTTCCTTGGTCTTCAGTGAACTCGAAGAAAGAGTCAGGATTGTGTGTATTCATGGCAGTGACGGGTGACAAGCTCGGACTGGGCAAGCACATATCCTGGCTGAGAGCACTGTCAATAGCAGGCAGGTTTGGAGGACCGAACGACTGATCGACGGATGGTCCAGATTCCTGACCTGTCTCATTGTCCTCTACCATAGTCTCCCCAGAACCGTACCCTTCAGGTGCCGATTGGATATTTTCAGTATCTCGAGTTTCTTGTTTGGAGTTAATGCGGCGCTCTGATATAGGTGTTATATCGGACGAGGCTTGAGTGTGATTGCGAATGCCTGAAAAGAGAGGCGGCCTGGGATTTGAAGTTTGTGAGGCTTCAGTGTCATCCTGTGTTACTTTTTGGCCTAACCTCTCACTGTGAATCCGTTTCCTGAGCACTGCATGGTGATCAAGTCGAAAATGACTCGCCTCCGTTTCAGGGGTGGCTAAACCGAGGGTTGATGAATGGGTGGCGGAGGCAACTCTTCCCAGACGACTCCTTCTAGCCATGGTATGTCCACGTGAGTCTGATGATGCTACGATAGAGCGAGTTTTGCGAGCGGTTTCCGAGCCAGAGACAGGGGAAGCATGTCGATGTCTGAAACGGGCTCCTCTGGAGGGTTGATGTGCTGGAGTGTGAGCAGTGGCCTTCTGGCTGGGGCCATCGTAGACAGCGACGGAGGTTAAGACGCCATTTGAGGTTCTCAAAGCCTCTTGTTGTTCGTTTAACTGCATCTTGATTAGCTAACGGGCCCAACGCATTCACAAGGCGTATGATATGAAAACACACCTCGTCCAGGGTAGCATTCGTGTCATCTGGCTCGTTGAAGACAACTGATTGTCCCCCGAGTTCAAACTGAAACCGTCGCAATTCGGAAGGAGTAGGATTATCGGCGAGAGGGTAAAGTCTCGGGTCAAGTTGGCGGGCCGAACGGGGTGGGTTCAATACAAGAGGAGGGAAGTTGGTTGTGGTGGTAGTGGTGGTGGTGACAACGGTGGTTCGGGTAGCGGGAGCGAAGGAGAACTGGCCGAGGCTGCTAGCGGGCATAACAGCAGCGTTGACTTCGCGAAGCTCTTCGATGTCTCGTTTTTTCATGCCGTGCTTTGATGCTGACTGTCGAGAGGCATGGGTGGAGGGATCTGGTGTCGGTGACGCGTCTCGCATGCGGGACCGCGAGCCAAGGGAGTCCATTCTTACGCAGAAGGGTATGCAAAAGAGAGCGTGAAGTGAGTATTGAGAGAGGTCTAAATCGAGCTGTCCAGTGGGAAAATAGCAATGTGATGCGAAATGTCCCAGGGTGCAGGCGAAAGCACGGGAAGACTGGCCACAAACGTCCTGTCAGCAGGACGAGATCATGGCCGCTCCGAGTGGACGTCTAGAGTGAAAGCGTCGACATGAGAGTATATGGTAGTGGTCGGCGGCAAACACGTCTCGCGAGGGCAGTGTCTAGGGATGGGCGGGCGAGGTCGTGTTGGGGCAGGATGGAGGTGTGGGAGAACGACAATTACGGTGGTTGACGGCGGCACTAGTGAAGGAGGAAGGAGGGCGGATGGCGGATGCCAGATTAGAGGTGGTTGGCTCCTTCACTGCGCGGTCTTGGCGGGCCTTGCCTTCCCTTCCTTCCCTCCAGACAGGCGTGCCTGCCACAAAAGAAAAAATCAAATGGGCGGCAGCCCGTGATTGGGGGCTTGCCGCGGATTCCCCCACATGTCCTAGAGTGCGTCCGGGACTTTGCATCTGCTCTAGTTATTATTATTATTATCGTCTCTACGACTGGGTTTGTCGTTTATTTGCTACAGCCTGTTTGGGCTTCTTTATCGCTTCATTGTATTGTGCTGTCCGATCGGACGAGGGTGAAATTGGGAATGGGGGCCTCCAGTGGGCCGTGGGCCATTCGGGACCCGATGTGCCACTGACGCTGCACCTCACTCGCCCCTCTGCCACGATCTGATCATGCACACTACACACAGACAGACGACCTAGTTTACTGTCTATCCATCCCCTTTCTCGAAGACCGCATGAATTATTACAACGGCAAAGACCGGTTCCTGCTGGATCCAGAGCAGCCACCCGATCTCTCCACTTCAGTTCGTGTTCGCAGCAGACGACCGATCGCAGTGACCTCCATTTGTTTGGGCGTATACTCACCCCCCGAGGGTTGTGCGCACTAGATATCTCAGAAATGCTTAGTCTCGAATATTATTTCAGGTGCAAGAGGCGAAAAAACACATCATTTTGTCTGATTACGGTCTGACAGTCTCGTTCCTCCTCACATGGACTCCCCCACTGGAAATCAAGAATCGATGGCAGTCATATAGTGCCGCAATAGTGGGGACCTCCGGGTTCCTTTCCCTATAGAGGATAGGCCGTGGCCTTCTGGCCGATGATGACATTGCTGCTCTTCTATATCAGAACCGCGGGCATTTTCCTTGCAGGGCAGCCCTCAGCAGCTAGAAGACGACTCTGTGGAATACCTGGATTAACAAGGCCGACACATCCGATATCGATACTGATAATGAAACCGAGCTGGCCGGCCGGCCGAGGTCCTTCAGCGTTAGCCCCACATGCCTAGCCTGGACTTTCTAATGGCCAATCGGGTTGAAGCTGCGGTGCTTAACCTTTTTCCCAATGGACAAGGCTATTATTAGACCTGATAAGATCGTGGGTGCAATCTATGGCAAACCGGGTGTACATGAAGACAGAGGCCTTGGATCAAAATGAAGATGGTCTACGTAAAATAGAGAAGAACATTCACGGTCATCTTCTCGTCCACAGAGACCGAGAATGATCTGCAGTCGCCAGGATTCGAGTTAGAGCGTATGACAAGCACGTGACTAGGCCAATGACTGCCAAGTTAACAACTTCGTGCTCCCAGACCCAGAGATTTCTGAGGCCCCTTTGCAATACCGGCACATAAGCAGGCTTTGCGGCATTGCTCCTCCTTTGCTGCACGTAGTTGTGGCGCCAACATGAAGGGTAACAGCTCTTTGTTGTTCATTGGGTACTAGTGCCAAAATGTGGGGTGCGATGGGATAGGCGATAAGGGGATAAGGGATGGGATAAGGGATAGCCGCCGCCGCACTTCCTACACTCAGCGGACCTGAGAGGTCGTTGACCCTTTGGACATCCAAGAATTACTCGACTATGGTACGGAAACAGAAGAACACCGCACCTCTCGGTCTTGAGGATGCTTCCATCGCGCCGTCGACCTTCAATGACGGGCTACCGCTGCCAAAATTAATTGTCTTCGATCTCGACTACACATTATGGCCTTTCTGGGTGGACACCCATGTCAGCGCGCCGGTGAAGCCAAAGGACAACAATTCACGATGCATAGATAAGTGAGTCTATTTTCTTTAATTATATACATGAATCTTTATGTGTCAATATGCATAACTAACCGGTCAACAGATGGGGCGAATCGTTTGCATTTTACCCCGCCGTTTCCTCCATCCTTTACTCCGCTCGCTCCCTCAATATTCCTCTCGGAATAGCCTCACGAACACACGCACCGGAACTCGCACGCGATATGCTCAAGGCACTGCACGTTATCCCGACCTTCTCTGACAACCCAGCGGCGCGGGATACACGACGCTCGATCCGTGCGCTCGACTATTTCGACTACGTCCAGATATTCCCTGCAACCAAAACACAGCATTTTACCCGTATAAATCAAGCCAGCTCTATACCATACGAAGATATGTTATTTTTTGATGATGAGGCGCGGAACCGAAACGTGCAGACGGAATTGGGGGTCACATTTTGTTTGATCAGAGATGGTATGACCAAGGAAGAAGTTGACAGAGGTGTCTGGGAGTGGAGGAGAAAATTTGGCATTAAGCCAGGTGACCAGCCTCCATTTTCCTTGGAAGATAGAGAAATTAGTCGGTTCGATGAATAGAAAGTTGTGTTACACGTTCAGAGATGTACCAATGATGATACCCTTGGAATCTAGAACTACATGCGAGACGAACTGGGAAATGGAATTAACATGTATTAAAATAATGGATACATTGCCTGTGCTATTTCATTGATGGCTACATACCCATGAGCTGTTGCCGTATATTAACCCTTCATATAGCCATAGAAATGATATATATATTTCATTAGGTCTAGTTTTCAAAGACGTTAGAGAGCAGCATAAATGTCATCATTCACCCTACAAGGCTGCACCTTCACTACCGGTGCCGGGTCAGGTAATCCAAACCACTCACAGCTTCAGGTATCGGCTAGGCTATAGCGCATGTCTTTGTTTGAATGGGGTCATATAAATCGCTCTTGGGACACTAATAGGTAAACAGCGTCGGAAACCGCTAAACAGCTTAAAACCACAAACGAAGAAGTTAACGTACTGTTTATCAAAGTAGATGTCGCTGACGAATATTCGGTGAACGGCTACCTTTGCGGCTACAGTTGCAACCTTTAGCCGTATTGACGGTGATATCAACAATGCTGGAATTGGCGGCCCAGTGCGCAATGCCCCGGATATCCCCTCTGCAGCCTCTAGGTCAATATGAATGGAATTGGGCTTTGTCAGGTAGCCGAAATCACGCAGATGAGCCTCAAGAGCCTATTCTTTTTGAATATGCATCCCGAGTTTAAACCGCATGATGTTGAAAGAAACAGTCCTCTTTCGACCCGTCAGAATCGAGGGTCAATTGTGAAAGGTCGTCTACGTTAGGAGTAAGCCGGCAAGTAGAGCGAAAAACCAGTGACAGTTCATGTAGGTACGAAGCATGCTATCTTTGGAGTAATGAAAACGGTATATTTACTTCACCGCCTATACTGTTACTCCCATGTAGGATATCGATAAATAACACAGGACGGTATCTCATATGCTTCTAAAGGGGATCCGTATCATGCCATTTATTTCACTTTGGCGAGCTGCCTCTTCTCAAACAGGTCATGAAAGTATATTCATGGACCACGAGCTTAGAATGCACCGATGAAGAGGTTCGCAGATCCGACAGAGATTGCCGATGGAATCGTCTTTTTGGCTTTTCCAACTAGCAGTTTCATGACGGGCTCTGCTCTGTTGATTGATGGATGGGGTTGCTTAGTGAAATTGATTGGTTTCTCTTACTGATGTGGTACCTAGTAGATTCACTGCATATTGATAATATTGGTGAATACAAGATACGTTAATATTGCGCAGTTGATTCGTGGATAGTCTGACGGATTTGTTTGATAAGAATAAAATTTCACTTGCTATTAACCCCATATCGCTAAAGCTGGGCCTAGAAATTGAATATTATCTAGTTATTGCTCTAAGGCTGGATTAGAAAAGAGTGAAAGTGAAGGTCGGGATAATTTCCAAAAATGGACAGTCAAACCCTAACCCTATCCCGACGAAGCACAATTGTTCGGGCTATCAGATAATAATGAAACAAAGAATTACGAACAACTTGAGCGATTACGTAAATATGTTACATGTAATTACAGTAAACTGGCCATGCGTGTTCATTAACCACAATCAATACTCGTTCGAACCTACTGGTTTAGAAAAAATGGGCCTCTTTCTTATCAAATATTATGCCGATATTGTAAATTCTACTTCTAACACTAGTTTGAATGACACCAAGCCTCAAATATAAATATTAGAACTACCGTGATCCAGCAGATCTTTCTCGTGTTGAAGATCGTACACCCTCTCCGCCGCACTCGATACGCAGTATTCGATGCCAATGGGAACTGGGGAGTCATTGTTGATCGCCGAATTATTTCGAGGCTTCAATTTTATGACGAATTCCAGGATCGTCCCACTTTCTTACTGCGACGATATGTCAGGTCAAAAATCTCATCGGCCATCTGACCTGCCGTCAGAGCAACCTCCTATGTAATTCCGTATGGTTCCATGGCATTCGGTCGTAGTATAGAGAGCTATCCCCAGCGGTTTGAGATTTCTTAGTGGATATAGGGGACTTCCCCTCTTTCAATGGTTCTTGTCCGTTCGGATATTTCGTATCTACAAACAAACTGAAAATTCGACTTAACATATAATGCTCAACACTAGTATCAATTGATTTCTACATTCATATTCTTACTCAGCAGATTACCTTCTAAATCCACTGTTTTTAAATTCCAGCTTCAATGCTGACATACCATACATGTGATAGTTAAAAATAATACTAGCAAGAAGCGTAAGAGGGCACGATCATCCCTTAGCATGAACTAAGGAACATGCTAGCATATTCGCCAAAATTTATGAACCCTTGAATTTTATCACTTGAGGTCTATTACAGACCTGGTGTAATTCAATTTATTCTTGGCTGGCCTAATATTGAATGCGAATAGTTCTATATGCATAGCATCTATAACTCATACCCATCTTTTCCCCATTCAACCGGTTGGCCCTGCTCATATTTCAAGGACATCAGCCCTCTATGCGTAATCATGTTCGCTCTAGATTGGTTCCACTAATAGCACCCCTTACAATAACAGCTATCCTTGCCACCGCAGCAGTACACTGTGTTCATGAGCTAGAATTTCCGTTAGTGATATTCTCCTAACTACCATATTCCACATCATCACGTATAACAGAACTTACGCAAGCATTCTAGTTGCTAGGTCAGTATGTCTGTCATAAATTGGATTATATGGGAAGACTCACGTCACCGTTGCAGGATGACTTTGGGTTATCGCAGCTGGCGACGGCAGAGGCTGTAAATAAGGCAAAGATAACGAGAAGTTTCATTTTGTTGTATGTGGTAGAAGATTTGTTAAGTTTTAACAAGTCACATGTATTTCAGTGTGTGATTGATCATGAAGCCAGTAAATATTTCTCAGAGACTTGATGTGGTATTTATAGTTCGATGTCCAATATCCCGACACTGCCAAGAGCATTGCAACTGTGCCAACGAGTCATTGCTAGAAATTCTTTTCACCTATTTTTCAGCTAATATCTCAAAACGCAGAGGCTGGTCGGGGAGGAAGGTTGCATGGTACCATAGACTAGTATCGACTTTTGTGTTAGGTTTCACTCAACAGTGGCCAGAAAAAGCTATATTATACTAGCCAAGCCCGCTTTATTAAAATGGACTAGCCACTAGACCCAGCGAAAATCTCTCGAATCTCGATTATAATTGGCCTTAAATCTAGGCACATCTAAGTTTGAGGCTTGATCGGATATCCACATGGCGATGCTTATTACTATGCCATGCTATGTAATTCAGCAAAGCACCTTGAATTGTTATAAAACTGTTAAAGCAATTTTTTGAAGCAGACAAAAGATTTGAATACTGTGGAGGCTAAAATTTCTGTAACTTCAAATTTACCAGAACTCGCTGTTGGTTATGTTGGATTTGGGGTCTAGTTTCGAGAGCCAAGAAACCTATCTTATAGTTATCAGGGCCCACATTTAGATTAGGCTACGAAAGATGGAACAAGAACTGAATCAAAGACGGGTTTCTCGAGATTTTTTTCGTTTTTCTTGTGGATATCAATAATTCAGTGGATCGCCTTAGTAATCAATCCTGAGTTAAAGTCATGCAGCTACACCGGATGCCCAGTTGATATTAATTTCCTTTGTATATTCAGTGAGATAATAGGATAGATAGATCAATGAGTACACACACAAGGAGAAAAGTATTTTGAGTACATATAGGGTTAAAGTTTGACTAATAGTCGCGTTTTGACTTGCACCATCACGCAATACGCGGCTAGCAAAGCGCCTGAGGTCTACGATAAATGTGTGAAATGTTGCGTAATTGGGCTTAAATCTACCATAATGGAAATTGTGTTTAAAATTCTCTTTTCTGGAATTGGATACTGAAAGAAAAGCGAGCGACGTGCAACAGTATGAATCAAGCTAACGAAAGATCATACTACATAGTGGGGCCGTCAATTGGTCTCCACTTGGTGTCTCCTAGTGCCAGTTTCTAAACCTAATCCTCGGGACCGGGACCGAGTTTTAATATTAAATCTTTAAGTTTGTTACCCATACAAATAATCATAAGACCTGTCTACACATTCACAATGAGCCGCTAGCCTAAGTATGGTGTAAAATATATGAAGTTATACTATATAAAGTAAGTACTAGCCCATTTTGGATTTTGCCAGCAGTATGCCTAATGTGTGATTGTATTATTAGTAAAGTTGTCTGTGCACCCACAATCTGAATGGTTTTCCTTAAGAGCCCATACAGCAGTCACTTTAATTAATAATCCAAAAAAGTAGACTTTAATGAAGAATCATACTTTCTGGGCTAACGACAACTGTTAGAGTCATTAGTTCAACCAACTCAGAGGAGCAATGATCCCTAGCTCGAGCAAAGATCCAGTAGTGAACCCTAGATCGAAGAAAATAGCTGGAGCTCATTTCAGCTGCAGTTAACCCGCCGCATAGGGGTGAGGCTAAAAGACAAACTAAATACGCTAAATCTTAATAGCATTACAGCGAAGGAGATATAGAAATTCGGCACTCTCTATCTGTGAGGATGATATCGTCGCTTCTATCTATCGTGTTGAGGGATCTTGTGCAGGTCGTCCTTGTCCTAGACAGTTGATAATATGATCGCTTCTACTCCTTTTGCATTTACTTTATTCATTGAGCTAAAATCGGACTGGCTCTAGTAGCGACATCATCTGACATTCGAACACCATGCATTCGATAAAACTGTAGAACATCACTCAGCTGCAACTGTAGCCACTCCATCTGGCCACCTCGTAATGTCAAATGCTGGCCTACAATCCAGCGTAGTTTAGGCATGAGTAGCATCGCACCAAGTGCCGCCAATTTCGAGGGCGAGGTATTGCCTTGCACATTGCCAGGATGACTCGCATGGCGACTTGATAAAGACCCGATATGGAAAGGCACTGACGCGCAAAAGTTGTCCACCATCTCTTGGCAAATTTGCTCGGTAGAGGTAGCCAATGAATAATTTCTTGTCAAGGCTGCACATCTTGATATGCATGTGTTGACCATGATACGTAGGCATCGGTAAGAATTCCAAATTTGAGAAATTATCAAAGACGGGTATTCATCTGCCCACTGTGGATAATAAGTTTCGGCTGGATGATGAGGGCATTTACTCTGGAACTCCGACAGTAATGACGCAGATAGCATAGGTTGGCATGTCGGGTTTACCATTTCAGGCCACTTCGATAACTCGCTTTCTGTTTCCAATGCGAATGATAATATATCGGCGACGATCTCCGCGTCAAATCCCATGCCCAGAGACACACTTTCCATCTTCAGACGGAGTTGGTTAATATGTGGAACGAAAGAGGATAGAAGAACGATTGGTGATTCTTCAATATCTGGCACTGGCTTTGGTAGTAGTCGTGATGCTTCGAGAAGCTGATTGGTTTCAATAAAGGACCCACCCAGAACCGCGTCAACCTATGCATAGTGTGAGGCTCAATTTTTTTTGTCTTTGTGGGAAGTGTGCACCCAACATACCAGTCTCCCGCTAACCTGCTGCAAGCATAGTTGTGATATTTCGGTATTGCAATAATCAGGACCCCGTGCTCGTAGGATCTGTGCAAGTCCTATATAGTGCATAATAACAGGTGATCGATATGCCATGACAGATCTGAAATTCTACAAATTCTGTATTAGCGTGGATCTATAGAGGAGTAGCATTTTACTTGCCTCAAACACAGATAATAAAAGAATACTAATAAGTGTAGAATCTGAAGTAATCTTCGTCGGATCATCTAGAGCCGCCCTGGTCAATGACACAGCAACTGCAAATTGCTCTTCACCCAACTCCTCCAACTCCGGCCGCCGCGAAAGGAAAGAGAGAAATATATTCGACACAGCGGAGATGGCTAGATCAAGACTAGATTTGTGGTTTTTTGAGGAGTTCTGAATGGCACGAAAACTGTCTTGATAATGACGATTGCCTAACATCGTGGTAGCGTAAGATGTAGCAGTGGCCGTGGCCATGAGGCTAATGAATTCCTGTAACATGGAATTCTGCTTGAAACCGTTATTGAGCGGTTTATTGTTTGAAGTTCTCGGACCATTTAGTCTTTTTGTTCCGTGTACTGTTTCTGGACAAGTTGACCTAGCAATCGATCCTGATGATAATGACGATGTTTCTGCGGCGGATTTTCTTCTTTTATATGGCCGCTTAGAAAAGCCAACAAATATATCTCTATACCCAGAGCATTTTCTCCCAGCATCGAAGCATCGTACACATCCAGGTTTCCCCTCATCACACTACTAGAATATCAATGAAAGCTCGAAAAACTTGTCGTATTTGTTACTTACTTTGACCCGTAGACGTCTACAATCATGGCACCCTTTACTTGGACCTCCTGGGTTGACCATCTCGTCTATATTATAACACGGAAAGAATGATAAAGAGCTTGAGGTGTATTCCGTTTTATATCGAGCAATATGTTAATGCTCGTCGTGTCATGGCCGGTTCTGATAGGACGACGCGGGCCGTGGAGGCACGGTGGATCTCGCCTCAATTTGGTTTAGCCCGTCAACATCACGTCAACATCGGCTTCAAAATGTTCCAGACTCGACGCTATTAAAGCTCCTCGACCATATATGAAATCGAGCAATGTCATCGTCAGCATCCCTAAAACCACCCCCCGCGGGATTGCCTCGACAACGCGTCGTCTCACCCTCAACCGGAACACCAGGCCCGCCGCCCCCTCCGCGCGCGCCTGTCTCGGTCCATTCCACGACTACAGTCTCCGAAACAGCCACCTTCCACGGCACATATCCTATCACAATCGGCTCGGGCACGGTGATCCACCCGCGTGCTCGACTATACTCGTTTGAGGGGCCCATACACATCGGCGACGGGTGTGTGATTGGCGAGAAATGCGCCATTGGCGACAATGAACCAACTGCTCAGCCAGCCTCCGATGCAGAGGGGATAACGACGCGTCTGTCTTCATCAGTGACGATTGGACCCCAGACGACCATACGTACCGGGGCATATATCCGCTCAGCCGCTGCGGTTGATGCATTGGCGGTGGTCAATCGGAATGCGATAGTGGGTTCGCATAGCAAAGTATGTTCGAGGTGTGAGGTACCAGAGAAAAGCACTGTTGAAGACTGGACTGTTGTGTGGGCTGCCGGGCAGGGGATTGGACAGCGGAAAAGGAGGCGTCTTGTTGGTCCAGCTGCTGTTGTGTCTGAAAAAGACCAGCGACCGAATGCGAAGCGAGTTGAGGATGCCAGACTGGTCGTTCTGCACAAGGAACGTGAAGGGCTAGCGAAGATGATCAGTCTGTCAGCTAGTGGGGGGAAGCGACGGTGATTTTGTGCCGTAATTTTGATATGATTCATGATTTACGATTTCTTTCTGATACCCATACGGAGTGAAGATAGGAGAGCTGCAGGGGGGCGCTGATTCTAATCTTGTGGATAAATGGCATGGTAAGCCTCGTTCTATGTATCATTACAGGAGTAGAAAAAATACCACTGGAGAATACAACTGGCCATTGGCCTTTCTTTAAACATTCCTCGACGTCCTCTTCCTTCTCTCAATATTTTGATAAATACAGATTATGCCCACATGAAAAACACCATAGCGCCAGTTTGTATAGAGAACCAAATGCTGTAAGAACGATGTAAAAGAAAGAGAAAAACAGGAGTAGATAAAGACATTTCAAATATTACCACACCGGTTGACAAAGGAAATAGATTTTGTTGTAGTGTGAAAGACAGAACACCTCAACCCCCTCTATTGTTTCCGCCGCCTCGGATTCTCTTTCCAAGGATGTTATCACCTTCGCCAGTGGCCTCACCGGCATCTTCACGAGGGCGTTTGTTGCCTTGGGGTATAAATTGACGAGCGTTGGCATTCATTGCGCCTTTGTTTGCAGCAGCACCGTCCTGAGCCTGTGGAGAATTGGCATGTTGTTGGCCACGACCGCGGCCACCTCGTCCACCACGAGGCAAGCCAGACCCACGTTGACCTCGTTGGCTTGGTTGATGGCCTTGTTGCCCTTGCTGGACCTGTTGGTCAGCTCCAGGGCCACCACGACCGCGTGGCACTGGAAGGCCAGACTGAAGAGCTTTTAATGCAGCAGGGCCGGTCCCAACATGATTGCCAACTGCCGCTTTATCAGTAGGCGGCTCTTGGTTTTGCTGGTTCTGAGGAGGCTGTTGGGATGGAGAAGCTTGTTGTTGCGGTTGCTTTATGGCTGTGAAAGGGTTGGGAGTGGTCTGCTGGGCAGGCTGGTTTTGTTTGATCTCAGCAAATGGAGAAGCTGGTGGTGGTTGGGTAGGTTGGGTTTGCTGAATTGCTCCGAATGGGGCTGGCACTGTCTGCGGAGTAGGGGTCTCAGGCGCAGCTGGAGCTGGAGCTGCTGTTGCAGGTACTGTCGTAGGCTGACCTGGCTGTCCCTGACTTGCCACAGCACTCTTCTGAGGAGTGGCAACAGGCTTTGCAGGCGTTGCTGGAGGAGCTTTCGCGTCCTTGGCAATCTCCCAGACCTCACGAACAGGTTTCTCTGGAGTTTCGTTTGCTGCCTTTTGCACCACCTGAATCTTGGCCATGGCACCCCTGGCGCGCGTCTCGAGCATGCTGATCTTGACAGCGATCTTCTTGTCGTTCAATTCAATTGCTGACTTGACTTTCTCTTCGGTTGTTTCGTCAGCAGCCTTCTTCAGGCGCCCCCGTTCTTCCGCGAATTTCTTTTCTAGGTCGGCAATAGCTTCGGGGCTTGGGCCTGTGGCAGGTTGATTATGGCCTTCTTGCTGCAGCTGCGCCTTCAACTTGTTGACTTGTGTTTGAATATTTCTTTTGATAATCTCTTTGATCGTCTCATTCTTAGCCACAAGATCTCTGACTTGACCATCAGTGAGTTCCGGCAGTTGTCCAGCTTCGGTCTTCGCAGGCGTTCCCGGGGCTGGAGCCTCGGATGGTTGTGTAGGTTCGACAGACGGCTGTTGTTGCGCTTTGAGATTCTCAATCTCCTGTTTATGGTTGTTGCGAATCTCTGCCAGTTTGCTGTTGAACGTTTCTTTCATTTTGTCGGAACGCTCCTTGACCTTGGCATCAAACTGTGCTTCCTTTTCAGCCAGAGCAGCTTCCAAGCGCGTAATCTTCTCTTCCAAAGACTTGACCTTCTCCTCGTCGGCGGTGAGTGGTGCGGCGGTTGTTTGGACTGCAAGAGCAGCTGGTTCTCCTTCGACTTGCATTGAATTTATAGGTGTTTCCGCAGGAGTGGACTTCAACCGGCTAAGCTCTTCGCGTGTTGTTGAAAGCTCCTCCTGGAGGACTTCTTTCTCTTGTTGTACAGCATTCAATTCAGCTTGCTTGGCATTCACGCGTCCGCTTAATTCCTTTGATCGCGCTTTGAACTGCTCTGTTAATTTTCCGCGAAGTTCTGTTTTACCGTCCTCAGCCGCTTTCGAAAGCTGTTCTGGGAAGCTGTCAATCTGGCTTTGGAGAGCGGCGCGTGCTTCGACGGCTTCGTCGCGTTCTTTCTCTAACCCGTCAAGTTTCTCCTTGAGGGCTTCCATTTCAGTGGGATCGACACGGTTGTATTTCTGCAAGATGGTTTCAGTGCGTTGTTGCCACCGGTCCCGATCTTCATGCACCAACTTCATCTCCTCCTCTTTAGTCTCTACAAGGTTCTCCAGTTCTCGGATCTTGTTCTTGAGAGGTTCGATTTGCTCAGTGAGTTCTTCGACGCGAGCAGTCTTTTCAGCAACGGACGCTTCTGCCTGTCGAGCTTGGTTTCGTAGAGTCACACTGCTTTCGCGGAAGACATTCAACTCGTTAAGGGTCTCAACGAGCTTGTTATGACTGAGGGTATGGTGGTCGCTATCAGCAGCGGCACGTCGTTGCTGCTCTAATTTGAGCCGGGTGTCGTCTAGTTGAGATTGCGTGTAGTCAAACTGCTGGCGAAGTCGTTTGCTTTCCTGGGTAGAGAGGTGGTATTGAACCTCAACAATCTCCTTCTCTCTCCGTAGATACTTGATTACTTCTTGCAGCGACTCAAGGCTTGAGCTTGCACCATCTGTCTCTTCTTCGCCCGCAGCAATATTAGCGCGGTCTTTTTGCAAAGACGAGATTTGCTTGGTGATGTTTTCTAGCTGATTGTGCAATAGAGAATTCTGGTGTAAAACTTCATCACGGCGTTTCTGCAGGTCAGTAATCTCCCTCTCATAACGGTCTTTCTGTTCTTTCCAGCTTTCTTCTTTCTGTGTAAGATCTTTCTTGGAGTTTTCAGCTTGGGTTTTAACGTCGACAATGTCTAGACGCAACTGATTAGCCTCAGAACGGACCGCTTGGAGTTGTTTCGCAGCCTCGGCATGTTTAAGCAGCTCATTCTCGTAGTTTTGCTGTGCTTGTTGAGCAATCTCTGCCTGCGCCTGCACGCTTTGCTCGTATGTTTTAGCATTCTCAAGTTGGCGCTCAGCTTCCTCCTTGAGACGAATGATGTCCGATTCGTAGCCAGCTTTTTGTTCATCAAATCTTCGAGAAACCTCGCCCTGTTCATCACGCAGGCGGGACAGTTCGGTATTGGTCGTAGAAAGTTCGGAAGAAATTTCTTCAATTCGCTTCTCAAGATCTTGGATCTTGTTGTCTTTCTCTTGCACGAGTCGTTCGGTTTCCTCGCGGTACTGATCTTGCGTTTCAGAAACCGATTGTAAACGCTCTTCAGTTGCTTGGCTAATAGCCTTATAATCCTCAACTTGTTCTCTTGCGTGCTCCAAATCGGTTTTGGCAAGCTCAAGATCGCGTTTCAATTCTGATACTTCAATCGCCAATTCTTGTTCTCGAGTTAGGCCGCTTGTGCCTGTAGTTTCACCCGCATCGGCAGTGGCTTCTGTCGAGGCCGAGGGTACAGAAGTGGTGCTAGGCCTGGACTGCAACACCTGGAGTCGTTCCTCAGCACTCTTCAGTTCAACCGTGAGTTCGTCGACTCGTGATTGCAAGTGATCACGGCTGGTCTTAGCTCCAATCAACTCCTCGCGAACAGAAGTGAGACTAGTGACCAAGTCATCGATCCTCTTCTGACTCTGCTCATGTTCGTATTCTCGGCGTAAAGTAGAACGTTTGGCGTCTTCAAGCTCATCATTAAGCTTCCTCTTGGTTGACTGAAGTTCCGATTCGAGAGACTCGATGCTATGTTGCAGACGACGACGACTTTCGGCATCTGTATGCTCGCGTTCGTTAAGAATATTCTGTAGATTAGCGTTCAAGGAGTCCAGTCTGCCCCGTTCATTCCTCAGTGATTCGTTGTCTTCAATCAGTCGCTTTTCAATGTTCTTCCATAGATCCTTCTCTGCTTTAAGATTAGCGTTTTCACGTTGCAGGCTGTCAACTAGCCCCTTGGCGACAACCAAATCTTCGGCAGCTTGTTGCGTCCTGATTTCTTGGCGATTGATATTCTCCAACAAGGTGGAGTAGCGTTTTTGAATTTCGCTGTTCTCGTTCTTGAGCATGTTGAAATTATTCTGTAGCAGTTCAGCTCTCTGTGCAGCCGCACTAAGCTGGCTGTTTAGCCTGCTAGCCTCGCTCATCAACTCGCTGTTTTTGCGTGAAAGATCGTTGACCTGCTGTTTCATGGCTGAGTGATCTGTAGCCGTCTCTTGTCGGAAAGTATCAAAATGTGCCTGCACTTTACGAAGCAAATCTGCATAGTCCGTACCGTCAGGGGATTGTTGCGGTATCGTGGGTGGTGCTGATCCAAGGGGAACTGATTGTGAGAATATCGAGTTATCGCCGGTAGCTTGGCCTCGACGCATGAGCATGCTACGGAATGTATCACGTTCCTTGACGTAGCTCTTTGTTTGGGCAGTGAGATTAGTGATTTCATCACGATATGTCTGAACACGAATGCGGAGTTCTTTAAGCTCCTCTTGGTCCTGCTGATAGGATGTTTCTCGTTCGCGGGCTTCCTGGCTTTCCATGCGGTCACCGATATCTCGAAGCATACGACGAAGGGTGACATTTTGCTCCTGAAGTTCGTTGAGGTCTTTGAATGTTGTGAGATTTTGTGTAATGAAACGACCGGTAGAGTTAAGGTTTGTCATCGATTCCTCCATCTCATTCCGAGCGATCTTCTCCAGTTCTTCCCTATCATACTCCTGGCCATCCTTGGAAAGAGCAACCTCCAAGACCAAGACTTTAACTTGGGCGCTGAGATCTCGAAGTTGTTGTCTCAGAATCTCGGTTTCTTTTGTCAAGCCTTCCACCTGGCCACGCCATTTCCTAGCTTCTCGGGTAGCCTCATCCCGTTCTTTTCCAGAGGTCTCAAGAATGTTCGACATTTCCATAACGGCATTCTCGAGTCTCGCATGATCAGTACGCAAGTCGTCTATCTCAGGCTTGCTTGATTCCAAATCCTGCACCATCTCATCAAGGGCCGTTTTCAACTCAGCATTGTTGCGTTGTTCGGCAAGAAGCTGCGATCGTACTCGGTCGTATTCGGAATATAGTTGCGTCATTGTCAAACCACCTCTGGACTTTGACGTACGGGGCGAAAATGCACCAACAGGAGTAGACGGGCGAAGCGGTGTAGAAGGTCCGCCATTGAGAGGAGCAGGGCTAAAAGGTCCTTGGGATTCAAGCTGGCTTAGCCGAGTTTCCAGCTCAACGATCTTGCGTTCAGCTGCCTCCTTGTCTGCATGTTCGGTTTCGGTTTCCACGCGTAATCGCGAAATTTCCTCAGCGGCGTCGTCTCGAGCCTTTTCTAGTGAAAGCTGGCATTCTTGAACTCGTTGTTTGGCGGTCGCGGCTGCATTTCCTTGGAGCTCTGCTAAACGGTTGACACTTTCGAGTTCAATCCGCAGTGATTCGCTTGTGGACGTGAACTCTTCCCTGAGAGCTTGCATAGCAGCAATCGACTCTTCATATTTGTGTTCAACATCGTCCAGTCGACCTTTGAGGTTGTTTTCGTTTCGGCGGAGTTGGTCGATAGTTGTCGAAGCTTCTTCAATTTCGCGTTGGAGTTCAGAAATTCGGGCACCCTTTTCCTTGCGGAATTTGAGATACTCGGCAGATTTGGTCTGGAGTTCCGTTTCAAAGTACTCGTTGTTTTTCTTAGTCAAGTCAAGCTCTTGCTGGAGGCTTTGTTCGCGGAACCGGGAACTTGCAGATGCCGAATTTGCTGCCTGGAGATTTTGTTCCACCGTAGAAAGTTGTCGTCTTAACTCAACAGTTTTCTGGTGTGTGGCAGACAGCTCCTCTGAAAGCTTGTCATAGGCTGATGTTTTCGATTCTAAGAGAGCTAAAGTATCGCGATTCGACGTCTCGAGGGACGTAATTCGAGATTTGAGACCGTTGACCTCAGATTCATTTGAAGTAGTCGAGGACTTGATTGTAGAAATCTCAGATTCGAGGTTCGACCTATTATTTTCTACACCACAGTTAGAAGGAGGAGAAGCTATGTTCGCTACCGACAGGACATACCTGATTCCTGGAGGCGGGTGCGAAGACTGTGTATCTCGCTCAACCCTTTCTCCACCGAAGACTTCAGAACTTTCGTTTTAGATTCACTCGAACGAACCGAGTTTTCCAGCTCGACTTCGATACGCAGTTTATCCGATTTCAGCTCATCGAATTCCCGGGCCTTGGCCGAGATCCTCTCCAACAACTGATTGACCAGGTCAACGGTGGGAGCCTGAGTGAGTGTAGTCAAGCTGTCTTCCGAGACACCGTAGTGCGCGGCAAGAAAGGGTATCTCGATTGTGGCTGCAGCCATGTTGAGTTCCTGATGGCCTCAACAGGCCGCTGGCTAGGTGTGAAGTCAGGAAGAGCCCCGGATGCGCAGATGAAGAACTCGCAGAATATGAAGGGGGAGTGAGCGATGGGAAAGGCAATCGAGGCGCGTATGTGCAATGCGGAGATTCTGGCACAGGACGCAATTGTACAGGATCAGGGCATGTCGCTGGCGAGGGGTGTTGACCTCAACAAAGCGAGCGATGCGGCGCGTTAAGAAGAGGTGAGGAACTAGCTCCTCGGACTGGTTAGCGCGGCTGAGACGGCGGTGGCTGGGGCACGTGATCGGCTGCCTTGACTTCAGCCTTGACATTCATTCCATTTCTCTACCTTTTCTCAGGAGGCACGTTTGGCCTGCGCTTTCTTTTATGGGTTGTTTATTCTTTGCTTTTCTTTCTTTATACGGCTCCGCAGCAGGCGAAGGGACTAACCTGACCGTCACTCGCTTCTGCAAGTCTCTCTAGCCTCGGCTCTCAGGCGAAACCATCCATCATGTCTTACCTGCAGCAGCAGATCAATAATTTCAACGCCAGCGTCGTCTCATCAGCCGGCCGATTACCACAGCAGAGACGCATCGTCGGCAACAGCCAACCTACCTCTTCAACTCCTTCACAATCCGCATCCACCCCCGGCACCCCAGGTGCGGGTGGTGAGCAACGACGCCGCCATGACCCTAACATTGTGTACTCCCAGCCCGCAGATACCGGCACGGGGAAGGATATCATGACCAATGTGCTCTACGCAATCCAGAAGCTAAAGGAAAAGAATGCGCCACTCACGTTCGAGGATATTGTTGGGTATCTCTCGCTGCAAGAACGACGACATGACCAAGGCTACGTTCGTGCGCTGCGAAGTATCTTGCAGGTCCACGAAAAGATCAACTACGATCCTGCGGGAGATGGGGGAAAGGGAACATTCAGCTTCCGGCCGCCGCATGATATCCGCACCGAAGAGCAGCTGCTGCAAAAGCTGCAGGCGCAAACAACCATGACGGGCATTTCTGTCAAGGATTTGAAGGAGGGCTGGCCTGATGTGGAACAGGGAATCGATAAGCTCGAGAAAGAAGGCAAATTGCTGGTGACACGCAACAAAAAAGACAATCACCCGAAGATGGTTTGGGCCAATGATCCGTCACTCGTCCATCACTTTGATGACGAGTTTCGGAATATATGGGAGAAGACGAAAATCCCCGACCAGCAGCGCGTTACAGAGGAGCTTGAAAAGGCCGGGATGATACCGGCCAACAAGAACAAAGTGGTCAAACCACGGGTGAAGATCGAGCAAAAGAAGACCAAGAAACCCCGGCGAACGGGCAAGACGACCAACACCCATATGATGGGAATTCTGAGAGATTATTCGCATATGAAACGATAGATAAGGCATCATTTATTCGACATTTCCGGTATGCATTGCATTGGCGTTGGGGTTTAATTTGTTGTATATTATTATTTTCTGCAATGCGCGCTCATTCCGCAAAGACTGTACTTTTAAGACGGCCATGAAAAGTAGGATGAGACAGATACCCAATAAAGAACTTGAATTAAAGACAATCCTGTGCACGCCCTTTTTCTATTTCTGTGTTCTGCATGTACATGTATAACATATATGCACCAGTCGCTAGTATAACACACGGTATCATCTATCAATCGGCGTCAAAGCAGCCACTAATACACCATCAACAAACCCCAAAAAAGGAGAAAAAAACCCATCTCAATGGTGCCCATTCGAAACAGCCAAATTCAAATTCCCCGACGGATCCACCTTTTTCAAATACGCCACCATATCCTCAATCGTCGTAACTTTTATGCCGAACCGCTTGCCAAACCGCAGACAAGAATCCCTGCGCATCATGCCATTATTGCCCTTAATCTCTGCCACGCCCTCCACCAGATTACCCTCCTCGACCAGCTCACCGATCACACCCGCCGGCGCGCGCCCCGCCAATCGACACAGATCAATAGCCGCCTCTGTATGCCCTCTCCTTTCGCGCACGCCGCCCTGACGCGCGCGTAGGGGCAGAATGTGTCCTGGACGACGGAAGTTAGCGGCGGTGATTTTCGGGTCTGCTAGCTGGCGACACGTCAAGGCGCGGTCATGCGCCGAGATGCCCGTCGTTACGGATGCGTTGTTTGAGTCAATGGAGATGGTGTAAGCTGTGATGAGGGGGTCGGCGTTGTTGGTAACCATCTGCGGGAGGAGGAGATTATCGGCGTGCGAGGGGAGGATGGGCGCGCAGACATAGCCACTGGAATGTGCAATTAGAATATTTTGTTTCAGTTCATTAGGTATGTATGGTTCGCACCTCGAGTATCGAACAAGAAAGGCCATCTGGGCTTCTGTGACTGCCTCGGCAGCGATGATTAGATCGCCCTCGTTCTCGCGGTCTTGGGAGTCGAGGACTATGACGAACTCGCCATTTCCTGTCATTCGGTTAAGTTAGCAATAGAGGAGAGTATATGTAATGTGATTGAATGGATATAAAATTGACCGCCACTTATGAGCCAAGTTGTGAGAGGAAAAAAACGTACGGAATGCAGCAACGACGTCCTCCACTGCATCAAATTTTAAGTCATCGTCTGTTGTTGACGGCATATCTATGTTTGATATGTAGGTGTATTGTCTTTTCAATCGATCGTTTCGTGTTGGTATTGAAGCAGGTATTCTGCCTCTCGGCAATGCGCGGATTGTCGACGAGTATGTGATTCAAGTAGATTTGAGTATCGCCAGTGTATCCAGCTGTCAACTTTCGTTTACCGAAATATAGCAATTGCCGCGAGTCAATTCTTACGAGTAGCTTGTTGAAGTTGATACCCTGGGAGAGATCGGATATGGATGGATACGAGAATCGGTGCGGGGAACAATCTCAAAGTCGCGGCCGCTTAGGGAAAGAGTAAAAGCCGGGTGGTGGCAAACTATTCCTGTGCTGGTCAAGAATAGTAATAGTAATAGTACCAGTAACAAGTGTAGACTGCTCTAGAATTATATCAATATCTGCTGGTTTGTCAGAGATGAGCAAGCAATTAATTAGTTTATTATTTACTACAACATCGAGTAATCAGTCTCCACTTCTCTCCGCCAAGGCTCAAACAAATTCTCAACCTCGACAGCCGTTATTATTAATTATTACATTATTTGTTAGTTATTGCCTCGGTCATCTGTAAGCCGAAACTGACACTAACCCTAACATCGTATACTAACAAAATTGCAGTCTAAAAATACGACAATATAGTGCGTACAAGAATAGTGGGCAATAGACAGCGAGACTGAGGGTCAATTACATGTATGTTGGTATATCTGTCTTATAGAGGTAATAGAATAAGAACAAGTATCGGTTTGCACAATGCACAAGCACTGCTTGTGCGTTGGTTTGTAGTTAATCTAGTCTATCATATACTCATTACCATGATATTGAAATTTCTCGTCCTCCAATGATTGACAATTAAATGATCGTGTAGATTATTTATACCGTAGATAGGATCAGTTTTGTACCGTATATCGATCATGCCATTCCCAGCCGCCCCATATATCGCACTTCATCTGCCTGTCGCTCTAACGCCAAGCGCATCATATGCGCATACTCCTGCTCGCGACGGCGCAAGGCTTGGCGACTCTCTCTCCGAGTTTGTCTTTCTGCTGGATCGAGATCAGAGATCATATGGTCCTCGTCGTCATACTTATATTCATCTTCCTCGACATGATCATTGTCATGGGAAAACTTCAGCCGCCCTATCCGGTCCCCTGTCCAGACGAGCAGCTCATCGCCATCCAAGTTCGCGTCCGTAGGAAGAATCTTCCGTGCCACCGCGTTCCGACTATTAGCGTCGGAGGACCAGAACATGCCTGACGGGGAAATAAGCCCGTCGGGGACGTTGTCTAAACTAGAGGGCGGCGACTGTGGCCGATCGGTGTTGATATTCCAGCGGCGAATCTCCGTTCGACCGTCTCGCTCAATCCACTTGATATTGCCGTTCGAATCTGAGAAGACGATGCGGGCGCCATGCGAGGCAACGGAGAGGAGTTTTGAGCTTGATGCGCTTTGGCGGTTTTGATATCGCGCTGTGTGCATCGTAGACTCGGCATTTGCGCTCTGGGGGTCAGAGCCTGAGAAGGCGAGGTCGTAGAGCTCAAGGGAGCCTCGTCCGTTGTATTCACCGCAAGCCACGACGGTGTGTTTGTTTAGCCAGTGTGGGTGAGAACAGACGGGGAAGTTGGGGGGAGGAACGGAGGTCAGGCCGCATAGTCTGCCTCCGGAGTGGATCGCCTGTTGGAGTTTGGGGAAGGTTCGTCGATCATAGCAGAGGATACTGGGGAATCGGCCGGCTAGAAGAATAGTGTTGACATGCGGTGTAGGAGGGTGTAAGATGGACAAGGGCCCCGGTTGGAAGAGAGGCGCGTAGTTGGCGCCTTTTTCAATTGGTTCCGGGCTACGGATGCGCTGTGGTGGCTGGCCGTTAGGGAGTAGCCGCAGGACCTGACAGTCGGGATGGCTGTATAGGTTGGAATTGGGGAGGAAATTAGGTGGGTGCTTTTCACAGCGTAGACTGATTTCTGCTTCCTCGTCGTGCGTTGATAAACGCGCATCGTAGATTTGAAGACTCAGCGTTGTAGCAAGTGTGATAGGCACTGAGTAGTCTGTTTCCTGCGACAGAGCAAAAATAGACCAGGCGTATCTCTCCTGGTGGACAATCTGTAACGTTTCCAAGTCCACCTCATTGAGGATATTCCCCACGCAGATATACGCCCGCTTCCGAACGGAATCCACGCTCATGCATTCGCCAACGCCTAGAAACTCCATCCCCGGACTTCGCGTCGGCGACTTGTCACTTCTTTTTGACAAATTCGAAAATAGCGCCCCAGACTCGCTGGTGCCGGCAATTCTACCTTTTGTAAGATGGGATGCGCTTGAGTGTGAATGATTCAAATCCCACACACAAATAGTTCCGTCTTCTAACGGGGCAATGACTCTATCTTCTCGCGCGAAACTCCAGTCTCTGAGCAGCCCCATCCCCTTCACATCCCGCACGACATCTTTCCTCCTATTGCTGGTGGGACACTGCAGCCAGGAGAACGACAGCGGCCCGTTGCGAGCAATGTATTCCGAGTACCAGTCCACATCCTCAGTCTCAAACGAGGGATCCCACTCGGCCGCGGCTCGACTTCGCTGTCCAATCCTGGGGGCAGTGAAGCCATCCTCACTGCTAGCGTCAAGCGATTGGCGTGACGGATAGATCAAGGCCCGAAGTGTGCTTGGGCCGAGGGTGCTGAGGGGAGCTACCGAAGACGCGGACAATTTTCCAGCAGCGATGCGGCTCTCCCTGCCAGTCCACGAGCTCTCATGGCAATGGAGCCTCCAGAGAAAGTTGTCGCGCGCCAACTCAAAGAAGCGCCGTGACACAAGTTGCAGTTGGGCCTGCTCTCGGGGGTGAGATCTGTGAGGGCGGTGACAAGCAGGTCAGCTAGAGCAGGCTATATGTAAATGTAGATGTAGATTAACCAGTGTGGGGGTTCAGGTCCGGACGGAGACTCACGGTCGATGATCTTGGTCACGATTTCTACAGGAAGGCTGTCCATGGGCAAGCGAGGGTGACGGCAGCATGGGGGGCTGGTTCTGATAGAGACTATTGTTTAATATTGAAGAAGACAAGAAAGACGCAAGAAAGATGCAATATTATTAATATGTTCTGTCCAGCCCAAGCATGAATGTCCCCGCAAGCCAGGCATGCTTCTAGACCTCGTCACGTGTAGCGCTGATCGCTGATCTACTCACTCCTCACTACTCACTCTCGGTACTCACTACTAACTACTGAGCACTAACTATTAAACCCGTTGATGGCGTCTTTTGATCTTGTCAAGTCATCGAGCGTGGCGACTCTTGACCTGCCCCGCAATTGTTTCAGAGTGAGATAATCTCGATCATCTCCAGCCACTAGCCTGCACGTGTTGTTACATCGGCACATTGAAGAGAGAAGCAATTAGATCAGACTACATTATTGTTATATCAATTCACATTCTACTGATCTGGCTTATACACTGCATCCTTGCACAACACCGCGACCTTTTTGAAAAACCGTCGCCACTCCAGCGGATCACCCTTGACTTTGCTGAACTCGACCTCGAACAGCCCATCCGAGACACACTCCACGATGATAGTTCCCTGGAGCAAACATAATCGCTGGTCTTTGGTCGCGACCCGGATGACAACCGGACCGCCCATGTCGATGCCGGAAATCTGCGCTGGGACCGGCACTCCGAGACGGTGCAGAGCTTCACTCAGAAACGGCACGAGAAGCTTCAATGCCCAGGTTGAGTAGAACCGATTCATCGATCGTGATGGAATGATATCTCGGAACTTTTGCGCGTTTTGGGTTCGGCTGATCGGGACCGACGGGTTCTGACTGAACTGCGACATGGCTGGCTCGTCTTCGAGACGATCTGCCATGAAATAATCCTGGGTGTTTGGAATGGCGTAGTCTTGTGGTTGTGTTGACGAATATCCATTGCCCAGTGGCATGTCCCAGTCTACGGTAATATTATCCGTGGGCATCTCGGGCTGCGTGGATGATAACCTCGCGTCTAAGCCATCTGCAGAGTCGACGTCCATCGCCGACGAGGAAGCCCGGGTTCGTTGTTGCTGGGACGAAGCTAGAGGGTCCTGGCTAAAGTCGATGTGTAAGGACTCGAACATGCTGGTTGCCATGTTGACGGGATCTCGTAGTTTGCCCTCCGTAGAAAGATAATTATTCGGCTGCGTAAACCACGGATGCCTCCTCACATCTTCCATGCTGAACCGGCTGGCCAAGTCAACCTTCATCATGCCACGCAGGAGCGACAAGACACCAGGGGGCAGTCGCTGCCAGAGCTCATCGGTGGTCCTTGCATTCTTCTCAACGTACTCGCTGAACTCGTAACTGTTCTCCGTCGGACTGTCCCATGGAGTATTGCCCGCGAGTAACACGAACAAAACGACTCCACAGGACCAGATGTCTGCAAGATCAGCGCGATAGCCGGGCCCTTTTGCCTGGCCCCGCGTACTGCACGCAATGACCTCGGGTGCTATGTACGGCGGGCTTCCACATAATGTTGTACACATCTTCGTCTTCCCATTATATTCAAACACAGTGGCGAGACCAAAATCTGCGATCTTCAAATTTCCATCGTCAGACAACAAAATATTTTCTGGTTTGATGTCGCGGTGGCCAACGCCTCTCGAGTGCATGTAGCTCACGGCACTGATCAGCTGGGTGAAGTAGAGGTGGGCGATGGTCTCGCCGACTCCCTCGTCAGCTTCGATCTTGTCAAACAAGTCGCCGCCTTCGGCCAGCTCCATGGCTATCCATCGCCAAGTCGCGTCCTCGCCAGTGTGAAAGAAGGAGATGATGTTGTTGTGGTCGCCGATGTGCTTGTGGACAGTCACCTCCATCTGCAGCTGCCTGGCGCCGATCTTACCATGGCGGGCGGCGTATTCCTTGTGGATGAATTTGACGGCGAAGACTGGGTTTTCGTGCTGGAGGGGGCAGGCTTTCTTGATGCTGACAGAGTTAGACACGCAGGAAACAAAACATAAACTGGAGGAGCACGAACCATGCATACGCGCCCTGGCCGATTGTTTTGGACACGATACGAAAGGGCAGCTCTGTTGGCAGTGGGGCCAGCTGCGAGTGCTGCATGCCTGTATTGCCTCTACTCGAGACGGTCACTGTTCGTGACTGGAGAGGATTGATTGAATGTTATCAATCATTCATGTGGCAAATAAGTTGCCGGCCAGTCGCGTCGCTGCCCGCAAAACACTTTATCCTCTTCGGGCAGCGTGTTTACCCCGCTACGCTTACACAGAGCAGCGGCATATTGTTCTCTTTTATTCATATCTGTAATGATGATTGGATATTAATTAATATTGCTATCTAATAACATTAATTATTATGGTCTGCAGAAACCAGGACTGCTGGCAGCCAGCTGCAGCGGTCGCGTGCTCGTGCTCGTGCTCGATTGCTCTGGACCAGTCATTACTACTATTATTATATTACTAACTTATATTATTGTGCAACTAATAATACACTAAGAACGACTGGGTGCGAATTAATGAAACAACAGGCGGAGATTGAATAAAAATTGTGGTCGTATGCAGCTAGGGTTAGTCAGCCGCGTTGCCCCGGCCGGCCGCGAGTAAACAAAAGCGCCAGTGCTCTCTCACGTTCTCTTATTCTCTTCCTCCTCGCCCACTGAATAATAAGTTAATTAATTCCTATTACTGCAATTGCTTCTTCTTCTTCCGCTCAATCTCTCTCTTGCATTCACTCTGCATTTGTCCTGCTACCCCGTCAACCTTCGTTTTTTATCCTACCTAGTCGTACTAGTGGGTCGCACTCACCATCGACGCATCCGTCCTCGTCACATTAGCTGCATTCCAGACCAGCTCCAGATCGACTAATTACTCGACCTTTAAATCGATCTTCGATTTGATTCCCTCTCTTTTCTCTTTGAAAATATGGACTACACTATGGAAGACACTCAGAACGCCGCCCCTCAGGCGCACGAGGCCTCTAAGCTAGGTGCCTCTGCTCCTCGCACCGACACCCAGAGTGTCACCAAACGGTTCGTCTGCCGAGAGTTTTTAGAAGACCAGCATTAATTATTCTCCTGCTATAGCTTGCAGTCAGAGCTCGTCCAGCTCATGCTTTCTCCGTCCCCCGGCATCTCCGCTTTCCCCAATGCTGATGGCAACCTGCTCTCATGGACAGCAACCATCGACGGACCGACGGAAACGCCTTACGAGAATTTGACATTCAAGCTCTCCTTTGCCTTTCCTAACAACTATCCATACGCTCCCCCGACTGTTCTTTTTAAGACGCCTATCTACCATCCCAACGTCGACTTCTCCGGCCGCATTTGTTTGGATATTTTGAAGGACAAGTGGAGTGCCGTATACAACGTGCAGAGCGTTCTACTGAGCTTGCAGAGCCTTCTCGGCGAGCCCAATAAGTCAGTATGGTTTTTCCCAAAATCTACTTAAACTAACGATTTACAGTGCGAGTCCGTTGAACGGCCAGGCCGCAGAGTTCTGGGACAGCAACCCCGAAGAATTCAAGCGCCAGGTTCTCGCAAGACATCGCGACATTGAAGACGATGAGTAGTAGTTCGTTGTTTCATGTTTCAGCATGATGAGAACGGCGTGGATCGGTCAAGTCAGTTTGCATATATTGGCGCGGCGTTTTGCTTGATTTCACTTTCTCTCCTTCTCAAGCTTATACTTTATTTGAGGTCGGTCTTTCATGCCGTTGAGGCATAGTATTATGATACCTACTTTATTTGTTTGGAGCATTGGAGTGAGCAGTTTGGTCAGTCCAATGACAGCATTTCAGTTATGATTTTATCAATTGATGAATCAATAAACTTTTAGAATTCATTATTCTGTTAAAATTGGTTTGGGGGCCGAAAGTGATATGATTATAAACCCACTATGCTATGGCGGATAGAATGAGTCATCTCAGCATTAATCTTACTAGCTAATCTCAATGTTTGAAACATTGCACCAATTGCTTGGGTTTCGTCTGATGATCCGAATAACTACTATCTTCCTGTTGAACTGCCTGTACCATCAAGCATTAAATTTGTGGATCACAACCGGCAACCCTGAAATATATCAAATTTGGATATCCATTTATTGACCATAAAATGCCCCTCTCAGACCCTACATTCACCTCATACACCCCTTCCCAAGCCCAAACCTACGCCCAACTGCGCCCCTCATACTCCAGCGCCCTCTACGAAACCCTGCTCACCCACCACACCTCCACAGGCGGCCATCTCGACGTCGTCGCCGACGTCGGCTGCGGTCCTGGCAATGCCACCCGCGACCTCGCCGCCTCATTCGACCACGCCATTGGCCTCGACCCGAGCATAGAAATGATCAATTCAGCACGGCAACTAAGCGCCAATACGCGGACGGGCCGAGACGTGGTGTACGCAGTCTCGCCGGCCGAGGAGTGTGCCAGCGCTATCCCCTACCCCGGGGTTGATCTACTCACTGCTGCCATGGCGGTTTGTCTCTTCCGATCTTTTCCATCTTCTATATATATGCTGAGCAAAGTCTACAGGCACATTGGTTTTCCATGCCCGAGTTCTGGGCCGATGCAGCGAAGGCGGTGAAACCAGGGGGAACAGTGGCACTATGGACCAAGGCGTCATTGTACTGCCGTGAGTCATGAAATACTCCTCATCAAAGTATTTGTTTAATCATGTACTCATAAGATATACAGACCCCTCAACCCCCAACGCAGCAGCGGTCCAGAGAGCACTGTTCCGGCTAGAGCGCGAGGTTCTCGCTCCCTATGAGCTCCCGCCCAACCGGCTCTCGCGTGACATGTACGACAATCTGATTCTGCCATGGCAGACAGGCGATTCAGCGCTTTCGGCGGCGTTCCCAGAATCAGACTTTGTACGGCGAGAATGGGACCGCGACGGGATTCTCAGCGACGGTAAGGAGTTTTTCGGGAAGAGCACAGCCGACGACCCTGATGCAGGGAAAACGATGTTGAGTAGTCTGGAGAAGGGGCTGGATACGGCGAGTATGGTGACAAGGTGGAGAGAAGCGCATCCGGAGCTTGTAGGGACAGAGAGGGATTGTGTGAGGGAGACGATGGAGGAGGTGAGAAGGGTTATGGGCGTTGCAAAGGAGGAGGATGTGGCGATAAAAGTTGGTGGTGGGACGGTGTTGCTGTTGTTTAAGAGGAGATAGTTTTCCCGTTGATATGCATACATGTACATATCAAAAAGTGCACATGTGCAGCTTGGGCATTTGCGCAGATAGGATAAGTTGTGATATTAGTTTCCAACTAGACCTGTTACTTCAGCTGCTTGAGAATAGAATTCAAGGTAACTTGAGTGTAATTCAGCTAGACTACTCCAAGATTATAACGAACTACATGGACTCATCAATGATAACCAATCCAGCGATACTGGCACTAGTAAAAGTGCTAAGTGCACCGGTTATCAGCGCAGAAAGCGCCACACGGGAAATGTCACCGCTGCGCCCCGGTGCGATTTGAGCAAGCACGCCGATCTGGTTACCCAGAGAGCCAATGTTGGCAAACCCGCAAAGAGCGTATGTGACAATGAGACGAGAGCGAGAAGTGAGATTAGCGTAGTCGGGCTCGGTTACAAGAGCGTGGTAGGCGACGAATTCGTTCTGGAGTTGTTAGCATTTTCTCTTCTGTAAACTAATAATGAAACTCACCGAAATAATTTTCAACCCAATAAGCTGGGCAACACGGTAAATGTCATCGCCCTCGCGCGAAACACCAAGGAAGAATGCAATTGGGTAGCAGATATATCCCAGGATCATTTGCAAAGTAAGGCCATCCCCATTGATGTTGAGATAATGACCCCACCATGTAAGTAGGCCATTCACTAGGCCAATCAACGAAATAATGCAAAGAAGAGTGGCGCCAATCATTCCTGCGATTTTCAAGCCTAGCCAGGCACCATTTGCAAAAGCTTCGAGTGCGTTAGCGGCACGGTGTTCGTCGTCGTCGGGAACAACGACACGGCCGGATGTCAGCGTTTCCTCGGTTTCTGGCCAACGCATTTTGGATACGGCGAGAGATGCAGGGATACTCATGACACAGGATGAGACCAGTGCTTGAGGGTTCACACCCATTTTGATGTAAGCAATCAACACACTACCCGCAATGGTTGCAAATCCAGAACACATGACCTGGTGAAGCTCTGCTTCGGTCAAATGAGCTACGAACGGACGAATTAACATGGCCGACTCTCCCTGACCGATAAATGGAGAAGCAGCAGCGACGACAGCTTCAGCACCGGAAACATGCATGGCCCAGAAGAAGAAGACGGCGAATTTGCCAATGAACCATTGCAAGATACCAAAGTGATAGAGCAGTTGTACAAGCGAGACGAAGAAGATGATGGCTGGAATGACAGTGACCAGAAACCAGTTCTTGATCAGATCAGGAAGGGGAGTAGCCGTCAGGAATTCCACGCCCTGGGTGGCAAATCCTAACAAATCGGTGGCCAGGCCGGAAATGAAATTGAAAATGTCGTATCCAGCCTTCGTGCGAAGAACGAACAAGGCCACAATGAACTGTACCAGCATTCCAACGATCACTGCTTGCCAATTGATCTTCTTGCGGTCTCTCGAGGTTATCCACAACGTGAATATGAGCAGTCCCAGGCCAACAAGACTGACAACACGGTCGACTCGGGTATTTTGTGGTGTTTCGGGCGAGGCAAATGAGCCCACAAGAATCACAGCAACAACCAGTAGACCGGCACTAGGGTATCTCAATTTTTTAGGAATCAGAGGAACAAGTGGTGTTGCGGTGTGGTCCCATGTCCAGCGCATTGGCACGGTGACAATTGTAATCGGCACGTAGAAAAACAGAATACGGAGTGTTATGGCGAGGTACAGTAGAAACGGAATTAACCAGCCAATATCGTAACGATGAAGGATGAGGCCTGCAATCCACCAGCTGCCAGTATATGAGCCGCTGACAAGGGAAGGAATACTTTTAGACTGGACATACTAACCCAGTAAACAAAAGCCAAATCACAGCATGCAACACATGGCGCCATTGCTTGATCATCCGCCGTTGCCATGGTCGTTTGGCACGGCCTTCACCCAAATCCTCGAGGTCGCTCACGTCGGTGTTCTTGTTGTCAGGGTAAGAGTGGTCGAGCGGACTTGGGTCGGGGATGATGGATTTCTCAGCCGTCGTGCCAAGACTGTAGACGACCTCATCCTCACGACCTTTCTCGGCAAAGGCCGTGTGGTGATGATGCGCGTGGTGGTGCTCATTAGCCGGATTGAGAGCCGGATCTCGCACAGCGTCATGCTGGTTCTCTCCGGTCGCAGCCGGGTGATCATTCTCTGCGACAGTCATGGTTGAGCACGATTGACCAGTGTTGAAAAAAAGGTCTTAGTAGGACAGATCCACCATCGCTGGAGAAGTCCACACCTCGCGGCCAGCCGAGCAGGAACTCGCCCTTTAATAAGTACAGGCTGTCAAACGCACGGAGGCAGCCAGTCCTACGTCGAAAATCCTGATGCGACCCCAGAAAAGCTTGCTTGAAGCAGCAAGTGCACCGAACGACGAATATTGGTCTAGAAGGAGAAACAATTCGGACCAAGTGGGACAGGTTTCCGCTGATAAGAGGGCCGCGCAGAAAATAGACTGGCCAATAAGTGCACAGTGTTTGCTTGCCAAGCAGAATCGTGATGTCGCACAGGACGCCTATCACTTGGCCTGTCTGTCTCTCCCTCAAGCGGTGGACTAATAATTAGTAGTGAGACCGTGAGACGGAGAATCCTTTATCAAACAACAGCGCCGCAACTGCAAGTGCAAGTGCAAATGCGACGCTGCGCACGAGACCGTTCCCATCCATTGGCTGATCGACGCGGCAGGCGCGACCAACCTTTGGCGCTACGCTCAGTCGGGAAGGCAGTGGCTGCGCGCCTTCCCTCTCCGCACAAACGCCTCTGCCAGTCACGTGCCAGGGCTCGGCGATCTCCGAAGTTTCTTTTTTTCTTCTTTTTCTTTTCCCTTTGAACTGATACATGTAGATACTCGCTTGGCAAACTGTCAGATACTATCGAGGCTACTGATACGGCATTCGTCCATGACTCCATTGTTCGTGTGATGCTCATGTGGGCTAGCCTAACTTACCGAGACTCTTAGGGTTAATCTGCATCGCCTATCAGTAACGTCCTCCCCACTGCCGATACTTGGCTGTCGCGTGCCCCGCTTCAACTCCCAACAGCCCATCTCATCTATTCATTCGTTATATCTGTATCAGTGTATCTACTCTCGACTGACTGGCTTAATCCAACAAGATTGCTTTGATATCGCTTCCCCCTCTTTCAGCTGCCGAGTTGACAATGCGAGAAAGCGCTTCAACCTATTGTAGGGGGGGATATATTATTTTCAGTCTCAAGTTGCGCCATTCCAGCCTCCAGTTTATATGCCACAGGCATCTTAATTATTCATGCTTCTTGCATATTACGTATGTACAGAATGAATGCCTTGTTATGAGATCAGTTATGGTTTATATTGCAGTTTTATATTGTGGGTTTATACTGAAGACTGATTGGTTGGATCGGTCGACTATTGTTGCCGTTCTCGTTCATAGCTCTCCACTTGCCTGCTTTGACGAGGCTTCCAGATTAACCCCTTCACTATGTAGATAATCTATTTGAAGATTCTCACTGTCTTTCTGTTTTCGATGTTACAATGGTTCTTCTTTCTTTCTCCTGTTATCGAAGCCAGACCCAATCCTTCCGCCGACTCTTGCAACCTCCCTACCTCTCTTTGTCGAAATGTACCTATCCTTGGAGCTCAACGACGAACGGAGAAGCCGGGACTGCCCCTCTGTGGTGAAGAGAAGGCTAAGCACAATCTGGCGCTTCTCTTGACATGACAGTAAGACCTCAATAAACTGTTGACACCAGTTCTCATGATCTCCCCATTCGAGATCATTAGGCTCATCAATTACACAAATGAGCCTGTGGGACATTCGGTGCAGCAGAGCCCCCAGCACGCGCAGACTTACCTCCCATCTCTATGTCCAACTCCTCGTCGTCATCGTTAAACTGCAATAGCTGGCAAATAAAGTTGTACACTAGGCCAATCAATCCCATTTGCTCGCTCGTCATCATATGTCGCAATTCCTTACAACGGGGCCTCCGGCAGAAATGTGAGATTATGGGCATCTCTGCCTGCCAGCTTGCGACGACCGTTGCCAACGCTATAGCTCTTGCACTTCACATAATACCATCTCGTATTCGCTGGACACCCACAACGTGCCAGACCGGGTATCATTGGTCATCCAGTCATTCAACCTGGATACTACTTCATCTTCGACGACCCAGGAGCGACACGACTTGAGCAATCCTGGACCTTCATCGCCGATGACAAATGGTCGTAAGGATTCCTCGTGTGCCCGGGCTTGCTTGCGCATCATTCACGTCTTTACTGTGGGAGAGTACGTTGAATGGTGGCTATACCTACGCTAGCCGTACTATAGGGCTCGCTGGCTCGACTCTGTGATGAAAATCTACCTAGTGTCTCCTGCAGCAATACCATCACGAGATAGCCGGGTATGGATGATTTCTTTGCGGAGGGCTCACGCTGTTGACGAAGTTCCGCAGACACACATTGAGCAGCCGAGGCGATATGACTCTGACGATAAAGTTCTCCGATATGCTTCTCTATTTCCGTTTGGGCTCCCTCAAATGCCATTTTGATATTTTAATTAAAGCTCCCAAAGAAATGCCTCGTTTTGGACTGAATGTACCATTCTATGCGTTACGGCAAAGATCAAACGGCCCGAATCGAATAAAGAGACCATCAAGGCGATTGTGCAAACTTACAGCGGTGGAGCTGGACAGTCTGAGCATTTCCGCGCTGATTTTATTTATAGCAAAGGCGATGGCTAGATCTTCCTCTCTTGCATGGACCTCCAGGTACTGGGAAAACTCTCACCGCGGGTATGTATTGGAAATCTCTATCACAGCCGAATTTGGAAGACTAATCCCTAGGTTTAGAATCGGTCGCAGAGTATACGATACGACCGCTACTTAGCATTACAGCAGCAGATTTCGGTCACGAACCAGTTGCGCTTGAAAAAAAACCTTCTCAGGTTCTTCAAGAACGCCACTAACTGGGACGCCATCGTTCTTCTCGACCAAGCTGATGTCTATCTGGAAAGACGCTCATCCAACGACCTCCCACGCAACAGTATTGTATATAGTAATTATGCACTAGAACTAATGATGAATCTATGTTACTGATCTAATCAGTCTTTTTACGTACGCTGGAATACTTCCAGGGAATTCTGCTCCTGACCACCAACGGGGTAGGCCACTTTCACCTTCATGTCCCGAACCCATGTATCCATCGGGTATGAGCCTCTGGACGATGAGGCGAGAGAACAAATCTGGGACAATCTATTTTCCAAACTCAAGAACGAGCACAAAAATGGCGGACGAAAGACTAACTACGATTACGATTCAAAGCGTTACATTAAGAAGAGTCTCAAAATCAATATCATGCTACTATTTTAGTATTAACAGTTTCAACTATTATTACAATAGTCCTGATGATTCATACGATCCCTGTCTCTTGTTAGCAGAATAGCCCATAGTGATCTCTGATCTGTTTGACGAAATATTGCCCACTTTGACGGATTATGAGATGCCTCTAGCAACCTTAACTATATGAGTGAGTAGTAGCTGGGATTCAGCATTCTCAATATTCTCGTCTTTTGGTGCAGCGGCTGAGTGTCGCAAATATTCTAATGAATAAAACTGCTTTGGGTCAGGTTCTTTCGCGTGTGGTCACTTGCGATATGCTGGCCCACTCGACTTCTTTGATCAGCTAAGATCAAAATGCGGGATTTCAGACATCCCACATAATTATTAGATGATACTGAAGGGTGGGTTGGTAGCACAAAAATACAATATGACGAAATTTGTGGTGGTTCAGGGTAATATTGCAATAATAATTAATTAGAGCGGCAAAACCCGTACATACATGCTATAAATGCTATTTTACTCTCTTCAGTACAGTAGAAATAAAAGTGGGGTCGACCTTTACGTACATCAATTGGTGCAGGAGAGAGATTCATTTTTTTCTTGTTTTCTTTTCCTTTCTTTTCTTTTTCAACTATCTGCAGGTTGAGGGCTCAGCTGAGGCACCAATAATTCCCTTCTGCCCTATTTCAAGCCGCGTCCACGACAGCACACTTGCTGTGGCCCCCAGGTTCTGTAAGGGATCTGCAATCAGCCCCATGTGCGATCTGGCTCAAACTAGCTAGATCACATTTATACCCCCACTAAATGTACAGATACCTCGCTTTGTCGAATGGAAAGACGACGCACTGGCATGCTGGGTGATGGTTCGAGCGCTCACGATTCGTGCATCAATCAAACTTCCCTTCATGTCAGTGGAAACACGCTAGGGATAAAGGTGTCATGGGTGGGGGCTGGACCCTGTATAAAGAACCATGACCTCCTTTGGTAGTATTTAAACAGTCCGTTAAGATCACAGTCTATCGAGAGCAACAGTCAGGAAGAAAGGCTACCTCCCCTGATGACAGAGACACCATGGCGGTTCACAACATCACCGTGCCCTATGTCTCCACCGACAAATTCGACTGGTCTTTTGCGCGGACTGGGCCCCTTCCCTGGAACCAGACCATCTGGTATGTGTCTGCCCTGTGAAGATTGATATGTTATTTCTGTGCCATACTCCTAACCCATGCCAAAGGTCCCTTCTTGCCGTCTTTACAGCGCTTCCGCTCTGGATGACCCTTGAACTTACCGTCTGGATCTTCTATACCTTCCGCCGATACTCGGGACTCTACTTCTGGAGTGTCCTGGTCACCACCTGGGGTGTCACTCTCCATGCGATTGGATTTGTTCTCAAGGACTGCGTTCCGCAATGCCCATGGATCCTCAGCACCATCCTGGCCGAAATCGGCTGGATCGGGATGGTCACTGGCTTTTCGGTGGTTCTGTACTCGCGCCTGAACCTGGTTAGCTTTGTGATGCAGAATCGCTTCATTTTGCCTCTTGCCCTGGCTATGATCATCATTGACGCCTTCCTCTTCCACATCCCAACAGTCGTTTTCCAGTTCGGCCTGTCCAATGCACCCACGCACGCCAAGTTCCTGCCGTTCATGAACGTGATTGAGCGCATTCAGATTATTGGCTTTTCGGCCCAGGAGATCATTCTCAGTACTATTTATATCTATGGCACGCTGAAAATGGTCCAGGAGTCGTTCAACAAGCGAGTCCGCATCACCATTGCATACCTGATCCTCATCCAAGTCATCGCCATTTTGTGTGATGTCCTGGTCATTGCCTTGGACTATGCGCAGTACTTTACGCTCAAAGCCGTCATCCACTCTTTTGTCTATGCGTTGAAGCTGCAGCTTGAATTCGTTATCCTGAACGAGTTCCGCGAGGTAGTGGCAAAGAGCGCACCTCGGGGGCTGAACGCGTTCTCTGATCAAGACTTGACGGTCCATATTCCTGCGATTAAGACCGCCACCTCGGACAGCAGCCACAGCTCGTGACCATTAGCGTAACGGTCGGATTTGGTGATTAGCTTAGTATATATCCTAGGCGAGGGGTCGGTTTATGAATCATCATCATCATCGACCGTACCGCAACTAGCGGTGAGTGTCGTAAATAGATTCCAGACGAGGATCAGTGTTCTCAGTGAAGCTTAACGAAATGCTATGGCTCGCTGAAAAGCAGACGTCAAGCCAAAGTTTTTCATGGATAGCCAGTTATACTGTGTGTTCGGGAACTCAGTTCAGCCAGACCTGACTAGGAAGCGAGCCAACCTGACCTTTCCTCTAATACGATATTATTGAAGTAAAATGACTGCAAAACTGAAGCTAAAGAGGAAAGAGAAAAGGAACCACTGTGGCGATCGCTCTGGTAGAGTAATTACAAATTAGTTTGTATAACAAATAGTGCACATATCCAGCCACGTGCCCTAACCCCGCAGCTCGTCACAGTTGTTTATAAATCATCTAAAGGATATTAACTTCTGAAAGACCTTTCACTAAATCAAATCACAATCAAAACCAATGGCTTTGATCGAAGTAATAGCGTACAAACCTTTTCCCACCTTTTCGTCACCATTATTTGCCAACTTTGTGCTAATATCCAGCAACAACCGTCTCGGGGAAGTGACTCGTGTTAAATTCAAACATCAATAACTGTCCAGAACATTTCAACTGCTCCAAAGAAAGACCTCATCCTGTGGGACCTTGTCACCGCCCCTTGTCCTCCGAACATTCAATGAATCGTCTCGAGACTGGGTCACATCCCGCCATCATTTCGAGAACGTCAAAACTAGAAACGTGCTCAGGTGTAACGCCATACATACCGTTCCCAGCTCAGCAGCCCATATCGCGCTCACCATTGCATTGTAAGGTGCTGAGTGGGGTTCCATAACTGTAATATTCCTATAACATAATAAACCTGGGTATTAATATCAACCAGCCGGTTATCATACGAAGAATAAAAGGTATTTACTTACATTTCCATAGTAGGCGAAGTTGAAGGGCTGACGTACATATTCTAGAGAGACACGTCGTTAGTTGTAGTCGTGCAAGATCAAATAAGCCTTTTTTATTCCATTTATTTTCCTTTAAAGGTAGAGCATAGACCAAAATATTACTTACTGGCACGCTATCCAAGGCATTGTTACCCCAATTAAGAGTTCCATGTTGAGAAGACCCGAAGTTTGCAAATGCTTGGTTTCCTATGGGAAACGCAGCTAATGCATTACTTGTGATTGACTTATTCGGAAAGTTCTGGCTTAGAGATATATAAGGCATGTAGGTAAGCGCACCACCAAGTGAATGTCCGGTTGACTCCTGAGTATAGTCTGGATATATCTCAACCAGTTTTTTGACTTCCGTGATAATCTCGTCATGCACGGCCGACCAAGGGATGTTAATGCCAGCCATAATCATCACCCCGGAAGGAAAGTCCACTCCAGATAGCTTTGGAACAACCAAGGCAGTATCGAGGTCGTTGGAGAAGTCCGTTGCTAGGAAGACCATTGGGTATAAGTAAAACATATTTTCTTCATGGAAGACATCCTTACGGGATGTAGAGCCTCTCACCACAACAGATATTCTCTTTTTCTCTTCCGAATACCCTATATAGCCATTCCTGTAATGTCGGTGTTTGATGCTTGCGCAATGAGAGGGGATGATAGATATACCTGAGTGTCTGTGACAAGCTCATTTATTTCCTTGGTGATAGTAATGTCAAACGCAGAACCAGTGCAAACCGCTGTAAGCGGCAGAAGAAAGTAGAGCGTCTCGTTGAAGCTCGGGAAAGACAGTGTCATCTAGTGGTTCATAAGCTCATGTATGAAAATATGTGATAGGGGGCCTCTCAGACCAGATGTGGATCGCATATTATGCATTGGAATCGCAGATACGGATAGAATGAAAGAAATAATGGCAATGGCCATACTTTTGCTAGGAACCATGGTCGCTAAAAAACGATTGAACTGAAAGAAAATTGGGTCAAGGAATGATAAATTGAATCCAATGATGTTTTTGATTTTTCACTGCTTCTGCAATCGCTACCTGACATTGATGTCGCTAACAATATATACATGTTATGCATACTATATCAATTGATGTAGATCGTACGTACGTATGTGTGGACCCGACCACACCCCAAAATTGAATGGCCCAGAGGACATCTGTTTCAAATTTTTAGATAAGGCTCTCAGACTTCTAAATGACGACTGTTAGAGTCGTTTCAATCTCAGATTTATGATCTTTGGGCATAGAGATATAGAAATGTGGGCCTGATCAGCGTGCAAAGTCGGATTCCATTCTGGCGGCTTATGGGGTTTGGCCAGCACGTGAAAAATAATAAAAAGATCAAGGTTTCGGAAAAACTACCGAGGCTATCGCAGTGGGATGTTTTTAAAACATTCGAATTACACGTTAGTTTTGCTATCCAACAGCAATGTTAACCTGCACCACGGCAAGGCAGTGAATCCGATTCCTGATCCTTGAGCGAATGTATAAGTAGGCACTACGGATGTATACATGTAATTAGATAGATAGTCTTCTACACAGTTATGGACAGAATTGGAAGGAGGTTCCGGGTGACGGACAGTAATGAACTCCTGATATTAGGCTGAAACCCGAGTTTGCGGAGAAAGATCGTCCCGATGAAGATTATCTATAGAATTCGCCAATCAAATATGAAAAATTCACGACGTTGCTTAGTGCTTGGTAAGCGTTGGACGAATCACATGCTAATAATTTCCTGTCCCTCCCGTTTGGCTCGGTGACTTTCTTCCTGTTCTTTGCGTAAGTTTTCATTGGCTGCTATACTATACTAATCTCGTGGTAGATTTAGAGGATCAGGAGGATGTGGGGCCAGGTGTCAATAGATACAGGGGCATTTTTTATAGCAATGAAATTAGTGCTTATGCAGACCCAAACTAATCTGGCACTAGGCCAAAATACTCATAATAAAACTGCTATACCGAGTGACCTTTCATTTTTCGGCTTAGTCTTCTTTATTAGTATTGACGGTAAGATGCGCCTTTTTAGTGCTATATGAGAACTTTTGCAATACCACTGTCAATATCCATCATGCCGAGAATTCACGGCACATTTTTTTACCACCTGACCAAAAAAAGTCTCCTCAATGGTTTGAAATTATTCATTGATCAAATGGCCCCATTTTTAATTTGTCACCTTCCAATGATAGAAATCCTTACATAGTGTCCAAGCAGAAATTGTCTATGTTCAGCGATGAACATGAGAAATAAGCTTCTACATGGAGGTTCACACCGCCAAATGACATGACAAGTTTGAATCGCCTCGGCAGGAGGATTCAAATCCACGCCACTCGTATTAAGCCATCTAAACTCAATTTTAATCCGGTGCGGTTTCATAATGACTTTACCCCAATATGCATGCCGGAGGATCCCCCGGATACAACTGAATTTCCATATGTGGAATGGAGAGTTATTTTTTTCGGACGCCGTTGACAGAAGGCTGGATGACATACGGGGTAAGAAGATACGGGGTAATTTCTTACCTGCACGTGTCACGAGGGGCATATTCTCCATAGACATACATAAATTGGCCTAATACTTCATCCAAAACTGTCACTCAGGTATCAAAAATGGCAAAGTCCAATATGTTCTTTTTTCAGCTTCTGGCTTTCCTCATTCCTCTCATATGGGCCATGCCCACTGCAAGGAATGGACCTGTTCCACCAAGTCAAGATCCATTCTATCAGCCTCCACCTGGATATGAGAGCACAGCACCGGGAACTATCTTGCGATACCGTAACCCACCCTTTCCTATTGCAGCCCTTGGTTTTGCGAGGTCAAACCTTGAATCAGCGTACCAGGTCTTGTATCGAACAAGTGATAGTTTTGGAAACCCGATTGCAACTGTGTCAACTATTCTGATCCCACACAACGCCGACTTTAGCAAGCTTCACTCTTATCAAGTTGCTCAAGATGCTGCAAGTCCCAACTGTTCGCCCTCCTTCGCTCTTCTACAACAGTCAGATGCTGAGAAGTCGCTCTCCCTACTCATGCCCCAGCTAGAGTATTTATTTATTACCACTGCTCTTGATAAGGGATGGGTTGTGACTGTCCCTGATCACCTTGGCCCCAAAGCTGCGTTCTTAGCCAACACGCTATCTGGACATGCTGTTTTGGACAACATTCGTGCAGCATTAGCATCCGGTAATTTTACTCATATTTTGCCAAATGCCCAAATCACGATGTGGGGATATTCTGGAGGAAGTCTGGCTACTGGATTTGCAGCAGAACTTCAGCCTACTTATGCTCCCGATCTCAAGATTGCGGGAGCAGCACTTGGTGGTACGGTACCCAAGATCCTGACTGTTATTAACACAGTCAATAAGGGATTATTCACTGGATTGATTCCTGCCGGAATCTTGGGTCTTGCAAATGAATATCCTGCTGCGCAAGACATTATAAGTGAGAACATATTGCCGTCTAAAATGGCAGAGTTTAACAAGGCGAAGGAACTCTGCCTCGTTGGAGATCTGGGTGAATACTTCGGCCACGATATCTATAACTACACCAAGGATCCAAACGTCTTTACCAGCCCCACCGCAAATGCTCTATTAGACCCGAACTCCATGGGCCAGAACATTCCAAAGATCCCTCTTTTGATTTACAAATCCATTGGCGATGAAGTCAGCCCTATTGCAGATAGTGATGAGCTTGTTACTAAGTACTGTAGCGGTGGAGCTAGCGTGGAATACGTGCGTGATGTATTTTCCGAGCATGTAACCATGGAGATTAATGGGTCACCTGATGCATTCCTCTGGCTTATCGATCGGATGGAGGGCAAGCCTGCTCAAAGAGCTTGCACGACCACTACCGTACTTACTTCTCTTGCGGATCCCAAGGCACTTGCTGTTTTCGGAGTGGAAATCATTGAGATCTTGCTTTCCTTCTTGTCTCTTCCTCTTGGGCCACCCTTCTAGTTCTTATTTGCACTATTTACAGCCTTTATAAAATTATGTTGTCTTGCACACCATACTTAGACCCCGCCACATATGATGTCTGCATTTGCGAATGGAGCTTTTTTCTTTTACTCGTCGTCGATATTTGACTTTGCATGTGGCATAGTGGTATATAAAAGTCTTTGGCAAGAAGCGCGGAACCGTGCTTTAATGATTGTATATAACCTAAGTTTTGGATCATTGTACTCTGGCATAGCTCGGAGGGACCGATGAAAGGAAAAACTAGTCAAGTGCCTTGTTCAAGTGGAAGTGGAATAGAATCTATGTGGTGGCAAAGGAGGGAAGTGATAGTAATCAAAAAAAGCTTGAGAGACAGGTTAGACGGAATTAACAACATTTCGAACCAGGATAACTGTTTGGGACAATGATTGTCAGCCAATAAGTACCAAATCAATTACCCTCACTAATGAAGGGGATCCCCTTTTGGTGTAGTGGTTTTTCGGCCAACAATATTGAACTTTTACAGTGCGAATGAGAATCGATTCGCACTAGCACCATATAGGCATAGCGTTCTAGCTTTATAATAACGCCAGCCTATATTATTGATAATATTAACTTGGGACGTACTTGTGTAAGTGAAAACAATATAATTCTTATTAATAGAATTATTATTAATTGTAAAATAAAAAATTATTATCTGCACATTAGTAGTGTTTCACTCCTCGGCTGGAGTCGGCGTTCGCTCAACTTTATTATGCATACCGCAGATCTCCCTTCTTTTGCAACTTAACTCATTCGCGGAACCACCAATTCATGATCGTTGTTTTTTCCTTTCTTTGCCAAGAACGCCATCTGCTGGAAAATTTGAACTTCTAATTAAATAATTACCATGACTCCTTCAGATAAGGATATCGAATGGGAGTTGGAAGAGGGCATTCCGCAATTCGAAGATCCGTTCATCCAAAAGTACCTCAACGGCCGCGAAGCATTAATCGAGCAAGAACATAAGAAGAGGCATGGTGAGTTTACCGCCACCTGTTATATTTAGATTTAGAATATCTGGCTAAGTCCTCGAAAATAGACGCCACCTTTTACAAATCAATGTCTACGGTTGCGCAGGAAGCGTGTCACATTGTGTCCGTCATTCGAAATAAGGAACTGAGTCAAGTCTGGACCAAAGGTGAGGACTGGCCAGACGATGAACTCCTCTACCCCGGAGTGATGTTCACCGTCGCCCGAAAGCGCATGGAGCAGACCAAGTTATGGAAAATCGTCGAGCGTATGCCCAAAGGTTCGCTTTTGCACGCTCACCTCGATGCCATGTTTGACCTTGATTTTCTTATTGATCAAGCATTTGAGACCCCGGGAATTCACATGTCTGCCCCTGCACCGTTATTAACAAAGCAGGATTTTGAGATAGCCCCCTTCAGCTTCCAGTATTCATCGACGCCTTCGGATGACAAAGAATCTATCTGGGCCAAGGAGTATCAGGCCTCGTCTCTCATTAATATACAGGGGGCAGCGGCGACATTTCCGAACGGCGGAGAAGATGGGTTTCGAAAATGGCTTAAAGGAAGAATGATGCTTTCTGCCGAGCATTCTTATTACCACCACCATGGAGTGAATGCAATATGGGAGATCTTTCAACGCACATTCCCGATCATAGGCAGTATATTATTTTACGAACCGATCTTCCGATCGTGTCTACGGCGTATGTTGGGTGAGTTGGCTAGAGATGGGATTCGATATGTCGACTTTAGAACAGCATTTGTCTTTGAATATCGCCAACAAGGAGTCGATACTCCCGAGAAGGATTACATTGAGTTTTTCCGCGTCTTCAAGGACGAGATTGAGAAATTCAAAGCTACGGAAGAAGGAAGTCGCTTTTACGGGGCACGCATGATATGGACTACTCTTCGATTTTTTCCCAACAAAGAAATCATCGAGAATATGAAGCAGTGCATAATCGCCAAGCAAGCATATCCTGACATGATCTGTGGGTTCGACGTTGTCGGTCAAGAAGACAAAGGACGGCCGCTTGCAGACCTGATACCCGTTCTTTTTTGGTTCCGCAAGGTATGTGCCGAAGAAGCGGTCGAGATCCCTTTTTTCTTCCACGCAGGTGAATGTCTCGGCGATGGCGACGAAACCGATGAGAATTTGTACGACGCGATTCTTTTGGGAACGCGTCGTATCGGCCACGGGTATTCTCTATTCAAGCATCCGCTCCTGATCGATTTAGTTAAAGAAAAGAAAATACTTATCGAATGCTGTCCTATCTCTAACGAAATCCTGCGGCTGTCCAGTACCATTAAACACCATTCCCTGCCAGCACTGTTATCCCGAGGTGTCTCTGTATCGCTCAACAACGACGATCCAGCTGTGCTTGGAACTGGGAAGAACGGCCTCACGCATGACTTTTGGCAGGTGCTTCAGGGATTAGAGAATATGGGGTTGTCGGGGCTGGCCACCATGGCGGAGAACTCGGTTCGCTGGAGTTGTTTCGAGGATCAAAAGGCGACGGAGTGGCAGGCTGATATACGGAGCGGCATCATGGGCAGTGGAATGAAGGCGAAGCGTCTGCAGGAATGGTACGAGGATTTCGAGAAGTTTTGCCAGTGGGTGGTGCTGGAGTTTGCGGACGAAGTGGAGGATTAGCATAGGGTTATATGACGTCACAGCCACAGCACAACAGTGTAACAGAAACCATCCTAGCATGAATAATGAATAAACATCACCAGAGGGAGGCCGTGCAAAGCCGGGCCTGATCAGATCAGGCCAGACAAAGTCAGTACAGTCGGGGTGCTGAGGGCCATCACCAGGTATAGTCGGTCGTGTTGTCGCCCCGCCTTGCGCTGCAGGTGACGCTTGTGGTTTAGCACTGGGCTTGGCGGCCCAAATAGCCACAGCGTGTTGCCGCTTGCCGCGGTGGATGACGGCTTTTATAGTATTTCTCTCCCGAATATTCTCTGCATTCTGTCCATTCCCTTCAAATAATAAAATCAGCGGGATCGTACCGGGCTTCTTGAGGAGGGGCTGTTGTTGATGCCGTCTATATCAGTAGCTTATCGGCTATCGGCTTCTCCACTTCTTTCTCCGTCCTCGAATCTCAAATCACCTCAACCAGGCTAGCGATTACTGCACTCATCGACTCGTTTCACTGCCCATAACGCTTCGTCTCTACCTCTTGCACGCAGAACACACGCGACCTGGATCCCTCGATGCTGAAATAATACAACCTCCTGGAGCCCCATTCGGCTCTGGCCAGTGGCGACGATGAGCTTCCTCCTACCCTGGTTCGTCCAGAAGCGAATACTGCGGTATGCACTGTCCCGCTTCGACCTGCTGGACATAGACACCTTGGATCTCGAGAGCCTGGGTGTTCGATGGGGGCAGAGAAGCACTTTCCAGTTGAGCGATATAAGCTTAAAGACGGAGGTATACTTTATCGTCCCATTTGTTATGGAGTACAGCTTCTAATTATTTCTCTGCCATTAGAAACTAGCATCGTTCCTCCGATTACCCGCAACATGTCAAATTCTGAAGGCGCAGCTATCCTTGTTGCGTATAATAATACCTGCCGATCTCTATAGCAGTGGCATCATCGTTGAGATTGAGGGCATCGATATTCATATTCGGCTCCTGTCCGACGATGCCCCCGAGGCTAGTCGAGACAAAACCCAGACATCCGATAAGAGGCCTGCTGAAGACCATGTCCTCCCGACAACAGACGACTTAGCGGAATCCTTCCTCAAGACGGAACCCAAGGGGGAGAGGGAAGAACTAGAGGCAGCTATTTCATCACAGTCTCAATACCTACAACAATCCACCTCCTCACTCAGTGATGACGGCGAAGTCGGTCTGGGAAACGAAGGGGTGTCGCTCCCGAGCTTCATCTCTGACTTTCTCAAAGGAATCAAGGACCGAGTGCAGAACAAGGTTACCGGCATCAACTTTCGCGTCGACATGGACTTTCCACAGGATGGGCCGGTGAAACGAATGCCGGAAACTAAACCAGACCAAGTCACTGCCCTCCTGGTAGTTAAAGAGGCATTACTCGTTGGGAATGCGTCTAGCTCTACTGACGAGGCTAGAGATTTGGCGGGAAAACCACGTGGGATGACGCTCACCCTAGACACTATACAAGCCATGCTTGTGTCTGACCCGGTGGTTTTCTCCAATTATTCACGATTCGCAGCACCTCCTTCATCTCCATCGACAACACATTCGAAATTAGGCCGTGAATCAACCAGGACAAGATTGTCACGCGAGTCTCAGCCTCCATCTGTGTCGAGCTCTACACCGGACTTATCCCAGTCTGTCGTTTGGGATCACCCTTATCCCAGTGAGCGGTCGCCAGTTGCACACAGCAGGCATTTGGCTAGGTCCACACATACACTAGATGGTCGATTTTCAGATGCTGGAAGCGAAGCGGAATATGATTCACATCCATATCCAATGGACCAGTCGGTCTCTAGGAGTCGTTATGATGATGTTGATGAAGGGGTTCTTGATAATCCTGATTACCTGGATGAGGTTTTTCATTCTCAATATTTAGAGGATATCGAAGATTCTGGAATACTACCCCCTCGATCACTTGAAGGCGCAGGCACTCCCCGCGCACGAAGTCCTCGACTTGAATCGTCACAAGTGGTGGAAACATGGCACGATTTCGATCAACCTCAATTATCAATTGGGCAGTCGGCTCACAACCTGATGGCCCACGATTTCAATGATGATATGCCACTAGACACATCTCAAGCCGCTACACCGCCTGCGAAGAGCGCAGATACCTCGCAATATGCTGCCTCATTTGAGGCTCTTAGACCTGCTTATGATGACGTCGATAATGATAGTGACGATCATAATTCTCCTTTGAGCAACAGCAGTTCACCGTCCGATTCGCCAGTTGAAGATCTATCCGAATCTAAATTGTTTACCCATGAAGAGGCCTCAAGCATGTATATGAGTGCCCTGAGTTATAACTCCCAGGACTATAGTCCTGCAATGCCCGGTGCCTGGAATTCGACAAGTCTAATGGCGGACTCGACATCGCGCGCTCCTCGATCCCAGGATGTAGCCGCATCAGAAACAGTCCAAACCGCCGATACAGACGTCTCCACGCCGAAGCTTACTGCCCAACAAGGGCCATCGCATTCACTTCATCAAGAAAAGGAAACATTAGATGCTGGCTTAAAAGAATCGTTGCCCTCGATTCAAAGTGATCGACCACGGTCTCCCTCCGAGGCAACTACTGAAGATCCCGAGGTCGCCCGTAAAGTCCTGGAAATAAATAAGATAATGGTATGGATACCTGAGAGCAGCGTCAACAAGGAGCCGGAAGAGCATACACCACAACGAAATCGGCAGCACGGTCTTGATATGAGGTCATTTTCGGGTAACCTGTCCAGCTCTACAATGGGCGATAGTCTCGGAGCTTCAAAACTAACCCTGTCTACACGAAACGGAGACTCTATATACTCCTCGGTTGCTTTTGACAGGGCGGAACAGACCTCACAGACCTCTCCAGGAAACCCACATGATGAGAATGCCGATATTAAGCAATCTCCGACTGCCGTGTCTGTTGATATTGGCGATGCAATTATTTCAGTTGACATAGCATCGGGGTGGTTGCTGGCTAAAGCTGGCCAGAAGATGGTGTCAGTTGTCGAGCGGATCTCGTCTGAATCTTCGTCCACAACCAAAAAGTCAAGTCCCACGGCACCAGGCCCTCGCCGTTTCAACTTCAATATTCACACATGCTCGATAAAATTCTTGCAACACTTGACCGGTATTCCCTATCACAGACAGAACGTATCGCCATATTCTGAAATCTCTCCTGTCGAGCACGTCATCTTGAGGGTATTAGTAAAAGACGCAAAATCAAGTGTCGTGATTGTGAAAGATAGGACGGATTTTCATTTCCAGCTTGCCAAGTTTGTTCTTGGGGACGCATCTGAGGAATTTATTTCATTCAACGAAGATCTGAAAATGAGGGATTCTGTAAGGGATGTTTTGGCCCTGAGCCATCGCGATATTTCGCTGTTGGTAACCAAATCTTCTACATCTGCACGAATTGATTTGACGACGTTGCCACTTCATTTAAACCTCAATATTCAACGTCTAGAAGAAATCCTTGGTTGGTTTGGAGGCCTGAGTACTATTCTGGAACTCGGAAGCTCAATAGCGTCTGTTTCAACGGTTAGAGGAGAAAAGCCGGAAGCGCCTGCAAAGCCATCCCCTGGTGTTCGGTTTGCGGACACCCCGTCCTCTGAGACTTCTTCGGCCTCTTCCCCATCCTTGACGTCTGTCCCTTGGAAGGTGAATTCTAGACTAGGAGGCATTGTTGTTGATCTAGTGGGCGAGGCTTGTGCTCTTGAGCTAAGAACTACTGCGGTGAAAGTTGTTAGCAGGTTTGAGGGCATTGGCATCCAAATTGACAAGGGTGACTTGAGTGGGCCATATCTTATCGGTCATGTGGACGATGCTCCGGCAAACGTCGCCTTGGAAAATATTCGAATTGAATATGTCTTTTCGCCAAAGGAAGTTGACCTGGATAGGTTGCTGTCTCTCTTAACGCCATCTCAAGATAAATACGAGGAGGATGACGATATAATGTTGGATACCTTGTTACGGCAAAGGCGACAAGGAGCTGTACTTCGAGTTACAGTAGCGACCCTGAAACTCTTTATTTCAAATATTCAGGGCTTACATCCTCTGTCTTCCCTCCCAAATGAGATTGCAAAACTATCAAATGTCACGAAATATCTTCCTGAGGATGATCGACCGGGAATCATGACGTTAGCATTGATTCGCGAATTGAAAAGTCACGTTTGTATTGGTGGTAAAGTAGGAGATATGAAACTGGTGTCGCAAAACATTGAAGCAGCGCATATCAGCCTTCCCTCCCTTGTGGCCGGCCAGGTGAAGCGGCTATCACTCACGAGAAATGAAACGGAGGAGCTTATTGGGGAAGCATTGGAACTACCTGCAGCTACTGGTCCGACGCGATCTCACTTGCCTATGATTATGACTCGCTTTATTGCTGACGAAATGGAACCGACAATTAAAGTCAAACTGCACAACCTCAGGGTGGAATATATAGTATCTGTAGTTATGACATTTCTGGGCCTTGGAGATGGTGCCACATCAGAAGACTTGGCTGTCAATTTGGCTAATTCAGTTGCAAATTTGACTGAGTTGCAAAGTTCCCTACACCGGCCGGCATCTCCTACGGCTTCTGTTATATATAAACCTGACAGAAAACCTTACAAGTTCTCTGTATCTTTGAGAGACTGTGTTTTGGGCCTCAACCCTCGAGAAATGCCGTCCAAAGGCCTTCTCATCTTCACATATGCAAGGTTCAGGGGAACTCTTCAAGAAGAAACGACGTCCGAAGTCAGCTTTGAAATCAAAAAGGCAACCCTGATGATTATAGATGACGTTCAAAACATCGATATTGTGGATACTTCACACCAGCGCAGTATATCTGCAGGCCAAAGCGAGCAAGTGCAGGGCTTTACAGACAAAGGTTTTGTTGCAGTATCGTTTATCTCGTCTGCCATGGTTTCGGTGAAGATGGCACAACAGTCAAGTGACGGCAACAGATCAGTGGATGTAGACGTGAGAGATGACCTACTTATCATGGAAACATGTGCGGATTCCACTCAAACCTTGATCAGTCTTCTAAATGGCTTGTCACCCCCGACGCCGCCAAGTAGAGTGCTAAAATATCGGACTGAGGTTATGCCCATACAAGATATGCTCGCATCCTTTACTGGCGATGCATTCGCCACTGATGAAGTGACAGATGCTGAGCATATTTCCGAGCTAGAAACAGAGGATGAACTTAAAGGCGCCCTTGACGATGAGATTGAATATGTGAGTGAATTTTACGAGGAAAGGCCTAACCCAGAAGAAGCAATGAGCGCAAGCATGATGGGCATGACAAACGACATTGCCCGGCCTTCTAATCTATTGGATAGCTTCCATTCGGAATACAACGTGGCGTCTAGCGTGTCGGATCTCGAATTTCGAGACGATCATTTTGCCAAAGAATCAACTGTCGGCGGGACAGCACATCGATGGGACTCCGCTCATAATACATACGGACTGGCTAACGAAGTCAAAATACATGGCAGCCCACTGAGAGTTAGAGTACGTGATGTACACTTCATTTGGAACTTATTTGATGGTTACGACTGGCAACGGACAAGAGATACTATTTCGAAAGCCGTCAAAGATGTTGAAATGAAGGCTACGGAGCGACGTGCAAAGAAAGGGGGCCGTATATCTGAAGACGATGATGAAGAATCTGTTATTGGTGACTTCCTTTTCAACTCGATTTACATTGGCATCCCCGCGAACAAGGACCCACGTGAGCTTTCTAGAGCAATCAACCACGACATCGATGACTTGGCTAGCGAGACTGGGAGCTACACTACTTCAACAACCGTCACGGGACTGACAGCGCGTCAAAATAGACCTCCTTCAGCCCGGGGCAAGAAATTGCGGCTTTCACGTAGCAGACACCATAAGATGACGTTTGAATTGAAGGGCATCTCAACTGATGTGGTTGTTTTCCCTCCTGACGTGGGCGAAACCCAAAGCTCAATAGATGTGCGGGTGAATGATCTTGAGATTTTTGATCATATTCCTACTTCTACTTGGAAAAAGTTTGCTACATATATGTACGATGCAGGGGAGCGAGAGAGCGGAACTAGCATGGTACACCTGGAAATTTTGAATGTGAAACCCGTGGCAGAGTTGGCCGCGTCCGAGATCGTCCTAAAAGTGAGTATCCGATGAATTACTTTATAAATTTGTTACGAGATATCTAACATTCTCTAGGCCACCATTCTACCTCTTCGCCTTCACGTTGACCAAGACGCTTTGGAATTTTTGAGTCGATTCTTTGAGTTCAAAGATGAATCAGCGCCGTCCCCAACTGCTCCTAATGATGCACCGTTCCTGCAGCGAGTAGAAGTCAACGCTATACCTGTCAAACTAGACTTTAAACCCAAGCGAGTCGACTACGCTGGGCTGCGGTCTGGCCGAACAACAGAATTTATGAACTTTTTCGTCCTGGATGAAGCTGACATGGTTATGCGACGCGTCATCATATACGGTGTGTCCGGATTCGACAAGCTTGGTCAAACGCTTAATGATATATGGATGCCCGATATTAAGCGGAACCAACTGCCCGGCGTGCTGGCTGGGCTTGCTCCTATTCGGTCCTTAGTCAATGTTGGAAGTGGCTTCAAAGACTTAGTCGTCGTACCAATGCGCGAATACAAAAAGGATGGAAGAATTGTGCGCAGCATTCAGAAGGGTGCATTTTCCTTTGCAAAGACTACAACAAACGAGCTTGTCAAGCTTGGAGCGAAGCTGGCTATTGGAACTCAAACCGTTCTTCAAAGCGCGGAAGACTTCCTCAACGCACCAAACACCGCACAGTCAACCCACCATCACGTTGAAGGGGACGACGATTCTACAGACGAAGATGAAAGGAAGCATATTTCGCACTATGCTGACCAGCCTGTTGGTGTGGTTCAAGGTCTTCGAGGCGCGTTCAGCAGCCTAGAGCGGGACTTGCTTACGGCACGAGACGCCATTGTCGCCGTACCTGGAGAGGTTATGGAAAGTGGCAGTGCTGCCGGGGCTGCAAAGGCTGTCTGGCGACGTGCACCGACAGTAATCCTGCGACCTGCTATTGGTGCTACGCGAGCTGTTGGACAGACGCTGCTAGGCGCGGGAAATACCTTGGATCCAACAAATCGGCGAAGAATCGAAGATGTAAGCTTTCCCATCTGTGTTTTTATCATATGACTAACGAGATCTTTCCAGAAATATAAACGACATTAGTCCTGTTTTTGACCTGCATGAACTCAATACTCATTATAGTCGGCGTTGATTCAGAATTTTCAATTTGACGAATTTATTAAAGCAAGATATCCCTATTTACTGTCGTTTCTGCGTTTGAGACTTTTTTGTTTATTTCCCCCCACAGGCTGTTGCGTTATTTGATGTTTATTAATCACAGCGTTTTCCGTACGACATTTTGCATTCGCATGGCATCATGGCTTCAGATTAATGAAGAGCCGATGAATGAATGGAATGAATGATAATGAGCATGAACCCCGACACGCATATACGAGGCGATTCTTCCTTTATTCCCTTCAGTTTTAGATATTATTTACGAGTCATCAGAATAGGAATTAATGACAGGACTCTTTCGACTGACAGTTGGTGGCATATAGTATTGAAAAAAAAAGGAAAAGAAAAGAAAGAAAAGTCGTTAAATGACGATAACGTGGGATCAACTAGTCCTTCCTTGGGCGAAATCTGGACAATTTTAAAAACACAGCCCAATATGGAAGTAGCCTGTCTAGAACCTGGACCGGAACTTATAATGGTACATATGTATAATAGCCATTAAAAATTGTCTGTTAATACATATAGGTTACTACAACCTTGCTCTGATTTCTATAGCCAATACAAAGTAGGGCTACATCAATATAATCATCATATTAAATAAGGAGTTCATCAGGTCTGTGGATACCTACATAAATCTCTGTGGAGTCTGTCCTGGGTTCGGCTTCAATTGTACTCGTCTTTCAAATTGCTTTACTTGATTGATACTGATTACTCGGAAGCCTCAGTCTCTAACAATGTGTATAGAATTTAGATAATATACTGTTAGATTCCCTGGGTTCTAGCCTTGGACTACTATAATAGCCTTAATTTTTGCAGGCAATGTTTATTCCGCGAGTATGCTGTCCACTTTAATGAACCTTCAGGTTAATAAAGGACATGACGCACTGATAGTAAATTTGGCTAGGCGCAGCGGTTAGCTACTTACTATCAGCCAAGATTCACCTCTAGTAAGAATATAGCAATAGGGGGGGGAGGGGGAGGGGGAGAATCGGCAAAGGCTAAATGAAGAATTGGAAATACCGATCCAATGACCCTACCTTGGTTTGGGATTATCACAACACTTGAGTGTTCTACCTCTGCAATATAATAGAAATGAAGGATTCAAGCTGGTTAGATTATATGTAGCACATGTAACGAGATGAAGAGTGAACGCTGAATGATGAATACGAGCAGAACAGGGGGCGCTAGTGTGAGACGGCGATTTACTCTCATTAGAACCAACAAGGGTTTTAGAGGCAATGATGACTTGACATCCTCCACAGAAACATCCAGCTAGAGACTAAGAAAAGCGTGTAAATGTGTCAAGATTTTGTTCGGGGGCATTAAGGAAATAAAACAGAAGAGCAGAGAATGATGTGAAGTGACGTCGTCTTGTTCACGTATGCTCCCGTGAGCTGCTGTCTGTGCAACATCGATACATGTACGCTCGTCATTCGGGAACAACAACGTAGAGCAGTCCATTACCCATTAACACCGAAGATTATTATCAAGCCTCATCTCCATTACAAACTCAACATGTGTGGTTATCTTGAGTTAGTTCGGGTTATCTCTGCTCAGCATAGTCACAGTCGTGGTAGCTATTGTTATGTGGGTTGATGGTTTGGATTATTCACTCTTCAGGGTTCATGAGGAGCTGCATGGTTACTACAATCTGGAGTTTCTCACAAATTTAATCCTCTTCACATCGAAGATCTTCTATTCTAAGGAGATAAAGGAGGAAGATCACGAAGAGGTGAGGCAGTGGAGGGACATGTGTCAAACCGGGATCGACTTCTTCAGCTCGAGATCTATCTTTTACAAGAGCAGCATTCATCGATGCTCAACCAGCGACCCAAGGCATGCACAAATGAACGATGGACCAGCTCATAGGAATCTCTGTGCTGTAACATTAGGACATAAGCCAGTGCAAACAAACCTTTCGCCAGCTTGGGTGGGAGCTTCCCTACTGTGGCCTATGAGCACTCAGGTATTATTTCATCGAACGGTGATCCTCAGAGGTGCTATCTAGTTACGCTACCACTCTTTGTAAGAGCCTAGGTGGCTGTTGCGAACGGGAGTGCAGTTTTTGTAGAAAACCTCGCTCAAAAGTAATCGAGAAAACGACCAAGTCCTTGAGTGTGGCTGCTGTCGTCGGCAACGGGGATTTTGTTATCGCGGTGAGGATCCTGATGGGCCTGTGACCCCTTGTCGGTGATATTACTCGTTCTAGAGTAAGGTATTAGATTCACTACACCATAGTCATTAATGGTGGCGAGTACCAAGAATATAGCAACGGAATGCTCGAGCGCAAATCTCGCAATATCAAGCGAGAATACATCAATTGATTTCATATCGAATTTCCTGTTACTTGTTATGTAATAACAAAACAACGAAATCAGCCATGATTTGCTGTCGTCTAAATTATTTATTCCCTTACTATCCACACTATTAGCTTTCGGTACATCGGATTGCCAATGGTTCGGTACCCATCTGGAGGTCCCCAGTCCCCTCATTTGCCTCCTAACGCGTGAACCTATCACTCCACCTGCGATGTGAAAGAACCCACCTAGTTAGCCGCCTAATCTCATCTATTTAGTAGCATTCGATAAATAGGAAAAAGTTACCACTGCTCCGGTACCAAATCACCAGCCGCGCGAAATCCCGCCCACCCTCTCTCTATTCTATTCGACGCTATTAAAGGACTATTAAAATCGATACAGAAAACCCCAAAAGTCGGTGTGACGCAACCTTATTTCAGATGGTCAATATTTGCCCCGGGGCAAATATTGACCATATCTGTCAACCAACTACTATGTACTAATATCGCCAAGACGAATCAGACAAAGTCATGGGTGTGGGCCAGATGTAAGATTGTCCATCTCTGCAACTCTATTGGCTGCAGGCCGTCATCGAACGCGAAATTACGTATCGAGACGAGTTTCCACTTCGTCTGTGTGTGGCTTATGATGCGGTACAAAGGAAGACAATGATTCGGCAGACTGTAGGGCAGAGGTGGATTTGCCTGGGCTCTGAATAAGAAAAAGGGGGGGAAGGTTGGCTGTTATTATTATTCACGGTGAGGCTGAAATCTGAAATCCGTCTCGGGTGACACTGACAAAGGAGAGGCGAGGTCTGTGCAGAGACCAAACTGTCAAATGGATCGTGATCATCGCCTCGGCAGTGATTAGTGAGTGCTAGTTGATAGCTGCTCGGGTAGATGCATATAGTACGACTATGTCCAGTTCTGTAACGGGTGGCTGATCTATGATCACATGGCTGTGTAGTAGTCACATCAGATGTGCTAAATACCACTAGATGCTTTTGAATTAGATATAAAATTAATCATTACGACGAATCTCATAAGAGTTATTTGCATGTGAAGAACTTGTAAACGTCAAATATTGTGTTGTATGTGGAGGGGTGGCTGGACCCATTACTATTCTAGGCCCGCGGGCACTGCCACAGTTTGCGTATCAACCTGCGCAACAGTGAGACGGTTGCTCTAGAGTTGCACTTTTTATGACAAAGTGGGTAGGGTCGTAATGTCAAGTAGTCTGTAGATCGAGACTGAGATATGGTCATCTGCACCGCTTAGACCTAATAACACGTACTTTCGCAGATTGTTTTGAGCAAGGATCGCGGCTGGTTTAAGTCAAGTCAGCCAGGTCGGGCAAAATTGCGGGTTCCTTGCAGATGCCACGACATGAATAATGACTTATTTTATTGTCGTTCGGACAGATGAAAAAGGAGGGCAAAGTCGAAAAAAGCCATTGGCTGTGCTCCTCCCACGATGAGATCAGCAGTGTGCCACGTTCTCCGAGCCACCCGGCGAGTCACACGTCTGCCGGACCCCCAACTAGTCTCTGCGCTTAAACCAGGCCGGGAATGACCAAGAAGAAAGCGACTTACTAGCAACTGCTAAGATAGCAGCAGGAGAGGAAAAGCGCAGTTCTGGCGTCTCACTGGCCAATGCTCGACATTAGTTCAAAGCGGTGTTCTGCAGGGTGATTGGGCGACACGCCGGCAGCCGATCGTCAGGCTAGTAGAGAGCCAACCGCCGTCGCTTGGCTGACGATGCACGTAATGGTGATTCCCCAGAGCAGAGTTTGGCTGGGCTCTGATTTGTGTACCTTGTTTGGATGTTGTTTGTGTGTGTGTGTGTGTGCGTGTGTGTGCCTAATGAATAATAATAATGCCAGAACCGATGACTGGAGGTGTGGACGTGCTGACTCCGTACTGCACACCTCGGAGCATATAATAATAATAGTCTCGACGTGAGCGCCTTTGTCCTGATATCATCGAAGAATGGCACTCTGGGCGCTGTCTTTTATCTAAATCAGTCATTTCCCAGGCCAAGATCGACATGGGCGCGCAAACAAGCATGCATTAGTCCACGGCTTTTCAGATTGAACGCCATTCGTCCCTCGCTCGTTTCTATTACTTCTTTGGTCAATAATTTGTTATTGGCGCGTAGCAAAGGCATTTATTTACCTATTCGATCCATTCTTTGACAAATCCCAGCCCTGTCAGCAGGAATCGATACGGTCTGTCTACGTCCTTGTCAATCTGTGTTGCCAGTATATGGCTGGCATCTTATAATTAGCATCAACGGCGTTTCAGGGTTGGTTTTCAAAGGGTATGAAAATAGGATATAGACGGTGTGCCAATAATTGCATATTTCCTTTCGATATTTTATGGTGAGTAATCGTGTCTGCCGTCTGTCGTTATGTTGAGTCTGATTTTTCTAGATGGAATGCCCTGGGATTTGGATGCATAATCAGTAGCAGCATTGGTTTTAGCATGGCGCAGGCACAGGTTGTCTGCGGTCTGGGAATCGAAGCCAATCTATCCAACGGGGAATTGTCACTGCATGACTACCGTAAGTTCCTCTCGCGATCAGACGACGTCATCGCAATGCCCTGCGAGCTCCCACGACGAAGGCTCAAGAGGAAGCCTGCCACGATCAACCTGAACCAGGCACAACACTACAGCCAGCAGACACCGCAACAGCAAAATCAACCATGTCCAAATCAAGAAGTTAGTTTTCCGTTTCAATCCCCAGTCTCTTCCGCCCCATCAAGTCCTCCGCCACTCTCGTTTTGCCAGTCGGTCGTTACGCTGCATGGGGATTTGCCTACTCCAATATCCCCATTATCAGTATCATCCACTCTTCGTCCATTTTCTAGACCATCCTCATCTTCCAGGGCATCGGCATCACGTCGAATTGTAAGTTTTCTTTTCCTCCTTTTTTGTACTTTATGCCCCGCATTTGCGTTCATATTGGCTGTTAGTATTATCTGTTTGCTACTCAGCGCATCTGTTCGCCTTATCATCCACCTTCATACACTCCTGAAAATCCTTCTTGTGCCCCTCTCACACAATCTCTTTGTTGGAAACTTTCTATGTTTGCTAACAGACTCACCAGGAATCATTCTCGACCAGGCTCAAACAGCCCCAAGCAGAACAAACGCGGTCTTCTACTCACCATCGAGCTTCTTCTGACTCGGTACTTCTTGGTATTGACACCTCAAATCCCACTGTAAAGCACAACGGCGCATTCTTCGAAATCCTTAACCCTCGCAAATCGTTTGAAGGATCGAGAATTATACCGCCGTCACTTCGCTCTTCAGCCCATTCTGGGGTCGCCATGGACCAGGAGGACCCTGACCCCCATCCACCGTATATGGCGAAACAGCTACCGCCATTGCTGTTGGATGATATGGCTCGTCCGATATCAGCGTCTGAAAGCGCCATTCTCTCGAGAACTCCAGTGACGCCTCCCATGCAGAATTTACATCTCCCCGCTGATGATGAGAATCCGTTCGCTGCTTTGCCTGCTGTGAAAGAAAAAGTACGCGTCTCATCCAGACCAGCGACACCTGGGCTACCAAAAACACCTACACATACTATACGACAAAAAGTTTCTCGTTTCTTCGGCTCTACTGAGAAAGAGAAGAAAAATAGTGGCCCCGAAAAAAGTGAGAACAAGTTTCGCGATGTTCTTTCACCAAATACATCGATCGAGAAAGGTAGCAGCTTGGGCATCCCAAGTCCTCAGGCGGATTCGGATGAGTTTTCGATCGCCGAGAATAGCAAAATTCTATATAATGAGCAAATCGACGGGCACAGAAAAGGCTTGGACCCAAAATCCGTTTCCCCTTTGCTAATTGACACTTCTGAATACTATTTCGGGGATGAGGGGTTTCTGACAATGACTGACAAGTATGGACATAGCCTTCAAGAAGAGAACTTTCACTTGATGTCAGGCGGTCTTCGTAACATGTCTTCGGTCGACTCGGATGTAAGCGATTTCAATATGCCTGTCACCCATTGGGATGATCAAAAGGCTGCACAACAGCTGCTCCCAGATGTAGTTGGTGATGAAACACCAACTGATGAATCTCCAAATACAGCCCCCTGGCGCCGTCCGATATACGGCACTCATTCTGCTAACCGGCATCACACTTTACACGACGCACTCCGCCAACTGAACACCAGCAACCATAGCGGTATCACGTACGATGACATCACTAGATATCTCCAATCACATGGCGAAGACAAAGCATCAATTGACTTGCGTGAAACTCATAGCCTGGATGAAAAGCCATGGCAGCCCGAGACATGGGCCAAGCCTGAAACTTTCCGCACTCGACCGCTGTACAGCCGTGCGTCTGAAGGCGAGCTATCAGCCATCGCACCAAGCACAAGACCATCAATTCGTCCGTATGCCCGACAGATTGCTGCCTTTATGGAAGGGGGAGATGTTGACAGCGCTAGCGTTACTACTGTCGACACGGCTGTAACCGACGAGGAGGAAAACGCTGCAGATACGTGTGAACCCGAAAAGCGGGAAGAAGGGGTCAAAGATGTGGCCATGATGGTAGGTTCTGTTATTCTTTTCCCCTTTATTTGCAGCTTCAAGGGTGGTGTTTCTTTCGACAGTGATGTGTCAGACAAAACAAAGCTAGAATCGTATTGTCGACGGCAAATATGACTCGTCACCTAGGGGTTGAAGGTGTGGGAATTTGAGCTGCGGTTCCTCTCCTTCCCATGCTTCCATCAATACCTACTATCATGCGACCAATGCCCATGTGGCCCGTTGTCCATTTTCTGGTCCTTGCTTGGGGAGCAATCCTATGCATAGCCTATACAGCGGCCCATGTGCACACTCCAGCGATCCCAAACCCTCTCAACTTAGAGACAGCACGAGAAAGACCCGACGAAGAAAATAAAACGAAATTTGACTGACACCCAGCAGAAACCCCATCCAGAACCAAAACAAGCCATGCCGCGAACCATCTCGTACCGCGCACGCCCCCTATCGTCGAATCCGCCTGATCTCGACACACCCATATTCCTCGCATGGGAAAGATCATCGACTTCCTCATCTACCTCGTCCACGTTCGCCGTTGCAAAGACTCGTCAGAGTAGTGACAGTACTAAGAGTACTAGTAACGCTGAGCCAGTTACAGTCGCAGTCGCAGCGGCCCCGGCCCCCACAGCACTCCTTCGTCCCCAAGACGGCCCGACGACTCGGAACTTGGCTGTCACTCTGGACAGAGATGGAGAAGCAATTAGCTGGAGTGTGGAGATACCCGACCGCGGGAGTCATCAATTGCATCGTGACACGGAAAAGAGACTGCCCAAGTCGCCGCTGCCGTTGCCGGGTGCAACAGCAGGGCCAGTCGCGAGAAAGGGAAGAATGGCGCGAAAGATCAAGAAAAAAGAAGGGAGCAAGAAAGGTGAGTTCATCTGGTTTCTGTATATGTATGGAGCTATAATTCTTATGGTTTGGCTGACAGTGGAAACAGCGCCTGGATGCTGCTGCTCTTAGGGAAAGAGCCCTCTTGGGTCTGCTACTTCCTCGTCATCCACCTGCTAGTCACAATCAGGTAAGAGGAATATTTGAGCTAATTGAAGTATTGCTGTTTTGGGAGAATGTGCAAATTTGAAGTCAAATCCAGGAGCAAAAAAAGATTCTGAAAAGTTGGCTTCTAAAGAATGTATGCAGATGGCCGAAGATGTTATCTGCGAATGATTGGGATGATCTGGAGAGCAAACGGGTGACAACGATATTCTTTTGTAGAGTACGTCTCAAAACCTATTTCAATGTTGCATGCAGCCAGGCAAGCCCTGCAAACTATTCATGTATTCTATCTACGGCTTGGTCTCTAAGTAGTTGACCATACTTATATTGTCGAAATAGCGGCAGAAATCAAAGAACCAGTGACTGAAATGCTGAACAATGACTATTGAGCCAACTCTATTATATCCCTCCAATTCTATCGCTCAAAGATAATGCATATATATATACAAGTGCATTTTTTTGATGCGTGGTAATTATTCCCAGGCAAAACAAAACTCCGACCATGCCATGCTGAAAAAAATAAAGAACCCCATGTGGGTAATAAATGTACAGAAGAAGTAGAAGAACGCAGTTGATGGTAAATCACTCATCTATGGGCTTGGTGACCTCGAACTTGGAGTGTCGTACATCATCGACGCTAGAGCGGCAGAGACTAGACTTTTCCGCCGCAGTGTCTGTTCGCTTTTTTTCGAATGTAAGTCGCGAGCACGAGGCTTCGCAATTCGGGTGGTCGAGGCGAATGTAGTTGCTGAGGTGCTGCGTCGACGCATGCCATGATCTGGTGGAGTACGCTCACGAGACCGGAGACCGCTACTGACGACTCGATATTGTTGTTTATTCGGCACACGCGGACGGTTGGGAGACACATCTGGTGGTAGAGAGCTGGGGTGGCAATCCTCGCCAGGCAGTGCTTCTGATTCTGAGGTCCGGCGGGAAGAGGCTTCTGCCATCAAGGCGATTCTGACGGCGTCGATACTGCATTGCGCACGGGAGAAGCGCTGACGTTGTAACCGCATGCAAGGTTGTCGGTGGACGCGACTCGGCAATTCTTCGGGAAGAAAAAGGTCTTGTTGAGAGGGAGCCGACGTTGGAGATGAGAGGCGAGCGGACGAATGCGACAATCGTTCCCAGCGAAGAGCCATTGGTTCGTCGTATCCTTCGTCGTCGTAGTCACCGGGCGATGTCAAGACAGTATAGGCGCTGTTCCCGCGGGTTGAGATGGAGTCTGTCGAAAAAGTGGTTGAGGTTGGGGATAGCGGAGATAGAGGGGGGTGTTCATAAACGGGTGCAGGTCGCGTCGTCTGTTCCAGCGAGTGTGCGTTCAACTTTTCTGTCAATGTGCCGACGGATATGCGACGCGGATAGGGCTCGTAGTTGAGGGGCATGGAAGTGGGAGCCTGAGGACGGGGACGGTAATATGGCGATCGGGGTCGAGATAGAGGGCGCGAGCGCCTTGATATACACGACGGCGATGGCGAGCGCGATGACAACGGTGAAATCATCGTGCTGTCACATTCTGGCATGAGTCGATCATCTCCCTCCACCGTCGATGGGGACGGAAATGAGAAATTCTCAAACATGCTGCTGCTGCTGCTGGCAAAAAGCCGCGTCAAACTCAAAGAGCGGGTTTCGATCAGCAAGTTGGAGTTTCGGGATCCGTAGAACAGCAATAACAATATAAGATAAACGAAGCCGTAACGCAAATGAAGCCCGCGTCTGTTGTGTCAGATGGGGGCTGCAGGATGTAATATCAGGCTGAAGGATTGATGGTGACGGGCGGGCGATTAATACTTAGGGGCGATGCTGGCGGGGGTGGAGCTGACGGACAGGTGAAGTGCTTGCAGACGGCAGACGGCGGCGGACAGGCGTATATAGAGGAGCTTTACAGCCTTGTGTCTTAAGAAGTGCTAGGACGCGAAAACAAACGATGCAGGCGGGCGCAGCTGAGATGGAGAGAGGTGAGAGGCGAGCGCAGAGTGCAAGGACGATGTGGTTTTTTTTTGTGGTTTCCGGCTGGAGTCGGTTGGGCCTATGAGGCGCCGTGATTCGGGCAGGCCCTCCCGCGGGCGGCGCTAAGTCAAACAAACTCATGTTCCTTGGCTTCTAGAAACATTCTCCTTGGTTCCGCCCAACAGGCCTATACTTCATTCTGCTATAATACTGCGATGTTATTATATGCTGTGTCCGAATCATATCAAAGAGCTTGAGACTAATCAAAGTATGTTTAGTGGCGACGCAGCGTCACACTCGTCGCTTTTTTCGCTTTCCCCATATTCTCGTCGATTATTGCTGCCAGCTGCGACCTCAGCGGCCCACTCAAAAAAAAAGAAACAAAAATGACAAGCAACAGAAACCCAAAAGGGTAAAAGGCTCGGTGCCCCCGGACTAAGCGCGGTCTAGTTACTATGATGATGAAGCTCCAGCGCATTGTTCAAGAATAACTGCAACCTTTGGCGGTGCACGTTGCAACGGGTCTGTCCATGTACGACCCGACCCATTGTTTGTATCTATTTTTTCACCCTGTGCGCATCATGGCGACGCTGTCTGTCCATCATTTCCATCAGGGTTCCCTTTTAACGGGGCGAAAACGTCAACAACGAAAGACGGCGTTGGAGGCGTAAGATGGACATGAAAAGGGATAAAACATATCGGCGGTCGGACCCGATCGGGCAAGGGCTCAGCCACGCGGACCCCGGCTCGTATTGGGCGCGTCACGTAAGTTTCGGCCACTTTCTGGGGCCCTGCTGATTGGTGTCAAAATGGGCATTGCTGAGGTCAGCGGTCGTATTCTATAACTAGCGGTCACTCCTTGTTACGGGGCTCTTCGTATTTGATCCAAACGACTGCACAGAGAGAGCCGGAGTCCGGCCCAACATGTTAATCACTGTTATACCTCATTGCTGGGAATTGTCTCACGTTGTGGTGTTGGCTAGTTGACTAGTCGAGAGCCAACAGAGACTTGCGAATCCCGGCTCCAGCTATATCGCCGACGCGTTATGCTTATAGCGCATCGTGCTCAGCCATCGGGGGACTAGGCTGAAGCAGATTACTACAGATTACTACATAGTATCACACAGAGCATAGTAAGACAGAGATGCCTTCCACGTGACGAGCGCCAGAGTCCAGAACAAACAGAACTATGCAACGGGCCACGTGAGCATGCAGCCAGCCGGAGAAGGCGCCAAAGGACCGCCCCTGTGGTAGTTATTAATAGTCAATGGGATTATGTCATTCCTCGTCTAACCGACAACATTCATCAGTCGTCACGAAACATTAGAAACATCATCCCTCATGCCCATCCCAAGAACCCTGCAGTCACCAGGATCGCTGCGAGCCCGGCCACTCTGCGCAGCCATAGACTGTCCCTCTCCCGAATAATCCCTCCCATCCCAGACTGCCCTCCGGCCTTTCCATTGCCAGTGCTAGTGCCTGAGGCAGTCGCTGTTGCCTTAATGGTTGCTATCCCGTACGTCTGTGCTGCCGAATCATAGGCCATGCACTTCGTTGGCAGTGCAAACGCTGTCTGTGCGATCACCAACTGCGCGGTTACCTGTTTGTTGAAGTCTTCGATCGAGGCTTGCAGCTTAGCAATCGCCCCGACATTCAGATCGATGGAAGGGACAATGTTGGTGAAGCCTGCTGAATTGGTACTATTTGCATCGGACACCGAGTTGCAATTCGTATCCACATTCTTTAGCTCGGTGATGTTGACTGACAGAGTCGGAAGGGATAAGAAACCACCAATCCCGCCGGTCACAGATCCAGCCAGGGAGGTAACCCCAAGGAGGAGCTGGGGCTGGAAACTGACGCTCATGACGAGAGAAGTCAGAGGTGTGCTCGCCTGTAGTGGGATCGGTTTGACCGTCGTGTTGGTGAATCCAACCATCGTAGAGTTTTCGATGGCACTAATATTGATATGTAGTTTAGAATGGTCGGGCACTGTGACGTCCATCCCGTAGGTAAAGCTCAGCTGTTCGGCGAGACTGACCGCAACAAGCACGTCAGGCTGAATGAGAGGTCCGAAGACAGCTACTCCGGGGATCTAGAAAGCCGAATGAGCCTCGATTCTAAAAATTGGGAATTTTTGCTTGCCTACCTCAAAAGGGCTGAGTCCAATGCTAGGAAGACTGATATTAAGAGTGGGGAAAACAGCGTGTGACTCTTCAATATCAACTTTGAACTCCAAATGGGCGGCCAAGCCTGAAGCATCCATCTCGATGCTTCCATTCTTGAAGAAGGCAATCGCATTGTTGAAATCGCCGATTAGATTAGCCACGGAGCCGTTGTTGGGGATATTGAAATTAGCTTCACCAATTTCAACCGTTCCTCCAATTGTGCAGTTTTGGCAATTTACTTTAATATTCTGAGGTCTGCTGCAGTCAGCATAAATACAGCATCTGATGCACCAGGCTACTTGCATTACTTGATCAGCAACAGGATTCGAAGGTGGGAAGATTTGCTGGTTAATTAACGAAACATTAAGAACATGAGTGGCCGTAGCCACCGCAGCGCTGGCCGAAAGTTGCGTTGTTGGAAAACTATACATTGGCGTGGGACCCTGAATCTGGACTTCGGTGGTCGTTGCTGATGCTGGTGCCGTGGTTGCTCCATCTTGTCTCTTTTGAAATGTTCGTCGCTGTAGCTTGTTCTCTTCAACGTGGCGTCGAGAGAATGAGACGCGAGTATCAACAAAGGCATCATGCCATTGACAGGGGGAGATTGGAATGCGCACCATGTGACTCTCTGAGTCGACAATGGCTTTTTTTGCACTATTTATTCAAAGTTAGCCTTGAAATTCGAAATTGGCTCAATATCCTTACCGGTACGTCGCTCTCTCACCGTCATCGTTGCAGGTCACATGTGAAGTGACTACCACAAAATTCGTTACCTCAGACAACCTTTTAAGGACGGTTAGAACTTCGGCAGAAGCGAAAGATAAAGAGATATCAGATGTCGAGCATTCAACATGCGCCAAGTCATCTTCCAAATGCTCAAGGACGAGTATTGGCTCTGCAGCTTTGACAAACAACGAGGCTTCATATACGCTGTCCTCTTCGCTGCTGTGTAGATAATGAAAAACGGCTTCTTTATCGAGAAGGCTGATTTGCGACCTACGCTCTAGCTGAACCCTAGGATTCGCGGCTAAAAGGGTGCGTCCGGCTCGAGCAGAATGAAGCACATCGCGAATGTTGACTGAGCTGCCCAGCACAACTGCGACGTAGGAGAGGAACGAAAAGACTAGGAAGTGCGAGTGCGCATACATTTTGTTTAGAATCTGTTGTCAGCCTGGCTCGCATTCAATGAAGCTCGCGGTCGACAAGTCTATTAAATAAAACCGCATTGATGTACCCCAAACTCCTCAGAAAACATTCAAACTGCCTTTCACCCTATCAGATCAAATTTATCCCCGAGCTGAGCTACCAGATCAAAAATATCCCCACTGTCAGAGCTAAGCACTCAATCCGTGCGCCACTGCAGTTTGTCCGACAGGCACTGTCGCACACTAATTAGTAGCCGCGCTCATTCTTGCCTCGTGCCCTGATTCAGCCTCGCTACCAGTTTGGCCTTTCAAGCAGTGACAATGTCGATGAAATTTGGTAAGAAGGTAGGATAGAGTGTCTTCCTTGCTCTAGTCTGGCATGTATTTACCCTATAAATATTACAAATTCTTCTCCTCAACCCGATACTGACCAGTCCAGTTCCTCTTTGTTTACATGCAATGACACTTTAAACAGAACTTTCCGATCATACACTAATTGCTTTAGAATGAACAAGGGTGTTCAGGGCAGCTTTTCATCTACTTATCATTATCATTAATGCATGCATCCGAACCTCTGCAAGACCGCATGGATGCAGCCACTAGTCCAGCAATGCCTCGCCCGTCACACAACAATAAAAGTGTTGTTGGTTTAATCAATCAATCAAACAAACGGCCCTTTAATCGTACGCCCTAGTTGGACCCCGACTTCTACTCTGGATTGATGATTTTATTTTCTATACAGCGAACTACTACTCGGAGAGTCTGCCTGAAACAAAGTGCATGAAACGGCCCCCATACTTTTTCTTTCCCTCTTTCCTTTTTTCTGCCCTGCAGTCACTAGTCATTTAAATCGTTAATGCCTCTTTGTTTGAATATTAGTGAACGTAGTGTTGCACAAAGCCTTGTTTGAGTGCGTAGTCTACGCCGGCAGGTCTAGTGTCACCAACGACATCGGAGGTTCATGCGTTGGGGGCCAGAGGGGCGATTGGGCTCTAAAGACAGACTGCCAAGGAGAACGCCTTGGAAATGTGAGGTTCTGCACGTGCGGGTAAGCTTAAGAAATTACCTGTCTCAAAAATTACAATTATTTGATTTGGGAACTAAATCATAAAAACATACGCATCGACGTTTTCCGAGGGCTCGAAAATTGACCTCGTCCTTCCTTGGTTGAATCACCGACTCAAGCCGATCATTTCGATGCGCATTGTAGTTCTTCTGCGCCTTGGATGTGAAAATTGAAACACTAGGTCCGAATATCAAATGCATATCCTCTATCAACACACTCCGTGTCTCTGGAATGAAAAGAAACGCAAATACTAAAGCTCGCGTCGTGCAGAACGCAAAAACAGAAAAGTACCATTGATCATATGCGGCAGCGAATACATCACAACAAACTAACCTAACCGCTGCACACAAAGGCTTTGGTGAAGAGTCGCAGTGTATAGCTTTCTAGACCGTACCGTATGTGGAACGAGTGGCTGTTCCCAACCTCGGACCACTTTGCATCATCCATCCAATCTCCAAAGGGGACCTGTTAGCTTTATATTCTTTCCTTCTTCTCGTACACCCCTACCAAAACGAAGAGTAAACATAGACATATATATATACATACCTTGAACACCTGCTCTTGCGCCTCGGTGAATCCCGCCTTTCTCCATGAACTCTCTGCGGATGCCTGCCACGTTGATTCTCTTGCCAAAAGTCCACTGCATGACGCAGCAGATTCTAGTCTCGAAGCCATGAGAAATTGGTGCTAGGTGATCCTTCCTACATTACACTGTATCTAACACCGGCATCTATGAAAAGAACTACTAGGCACCATGGTTATAAATTTCAAACGACAGTGGAATACATTCTACATATACATGATTTATTCCTATGAATCAACCTATTGTGTGACCTTGCACAAATCCTCATTTAGGTGTATAAACATAAACGAATCTTACATAACCAATCTAGGTGTCTAAGGCGTTAAAGATGTGGCTTATTTAAAAAGCTTTTAAAAGATTTGAACCCTATATAATTAAATAAGAAAAAGTATAAAATAATTAAGTAACCTATTATACCATACTGCTATTCCAGCCCTCGGGAAACCAGTATGCGAAACATCATTGACGCAAACTTTAAGTGATAACATCAACATTTGCAATATATTCATCTGGAGGACCATATAGCAGCCTTTTTCTGCGAATATATTTCAAACCTTGGGCAGAACCCAGAGAATGACCTTTCATCAAGCGATATCTGATTGGTTGCTGACAATCATTTCCTATTCTTATCAGCTTATTTGGACCGTTCGTCGCAGAGCTTGGGAAATTCGGTTCTCCAGGGCCATCAAAGCAAATTAGACGACTTTCGAAAAGATCATCCAGATACAACTGGCCCAAGTGTGGCATATTGTTGGTCAGGTAGCTGAACACAGGTGCGAACTTGCCCGCCTTGAGATCAACATCTTCCATTCTTACGCTACAAAGCTGGGGCGCCTGCTTGAGAAAACTAAGAAGTGTATACTCATCCGTGCATATTCCATCCAAACAGAAATGACGCAGTTGTGACAGATGGTCTAGTTGCACGACTTGAGTGAAGAAAAGTCGATCCTCCCTCTGCACTTCGTTCAGTTTAACAACGCTGTGCAGGTTATACCAGTGGAGTTCAAGACTTTCAAGCTGATGGCACATTTTGATAAGATGCCAAATATCACCGACACAACTTTTGTCACTGGGAAGAGACTCCGATGAACCGCGCTTTGCCTCCTCCACAACCTGGTGCGACAGGCTTAGCGTTAGGGATTTCAATCTGTTGAGGGATTTAGACAAGTCTGTATAATCTAGAACTTGCGCAATACTGTTGCAAGCAAGACTACAGCGAGGGATACTACCGAATATATCCAGTTTTTGAATAGGGAGGGCACTATCTATGAGTGCTCGACAGACGATTTCAAAAGTCCGGGATGCAGTCATCCAGATTGACATCCAGTCGCGGACCTTTTCGGAAGATATAATATTCCTCTTCTTATCTCGCCCTCGAACCTGTAAGACAATGGATTGTAATCCCCCATGTACTGAATTCAGTCGGAGATTATCCAGAGCATTACCCAGAAGAATCTGGTTAGACGAAGCTGTAGACGCCGGCGATATGCCAACGATGGTCAGGTGCTGCAGAAAGCAGCCCATCCATTGGGGCTTTGTTAGCTGCACAAACTCCTGCACCTGTGCTGTCGATGTCCACTCCACTGTCTTATTGGCAAAATATTTCTTCAGCTTCCCATGGACGCATTTGGCGGCAATGGTTCGTGATACTACACGAAGGCTGCAAATGTCTCCAAACTGCAACAGAGTTGTGATATCATCCAAAATTTCGGTAGGAACCTTCTCTAAAGTAGGCCGCGTTTTTGGCGAGGTCATGATTAACGGGGGATGATAATGATTCCGATGGAGGGGGAAATGAGGGGTACGGGACACGGATGAAATTGTGTTCTCCCGTAGAAAGAATATGAATATCCAGATATGCAGTTAAGGTTAAAAATGGAAATAGCTGCGCAAATTTTTCATTAAACTGATATCTTAATGCGAGCCCAGAGTTGCTTTGAGTCCGTATGCACTAGCATCACCCTCCTGTTATTGCAGCCATCACATTTTCATTTAGAACTAGCGGGCAGTGTATCCGCCGTCTACTGGCAAACATACCCCAGTAACCCAGTTAACATCTTCGCTTGCAAAAACAACAGCCATCCGGGCAATGTCGTCTGGAAATCCCGGGCCCTTTAACGGGTGTCGGCGGTTTAGATCTTCCCAAGGGGTTAAGTGAGTAGTCGTCTCCTTGAAAATTGCAGTTTGAGTATCTACGGAAGATGTAAATGTATGTCGACCCAAGAGATGAGTATTTTCTGTGACTTACATCCGGGGCAAAGCGCATTAGCATGGATTTTGTGTGGGGCATAGTCCAGAGCGATCTGCCGTGTGAGTTGGCTGACAGCTCCTTTTGATGCGCAATAAGAAGCTATCGATAGTCAGTTGGAACTTAATTTGAGCTAGCAACCAACGTCAAGTGGGAGTATTACGGTTCTCTGGGCCCACAATCATACCCATGATAGATGAGATGTTGATAATCCACCCCCGATCTCCTGAAGGATGCGGCTCCTGCTGTAGCATTTGCGTAAGAGCATATTTGCAACCCAGAAACACAGACTTGGCATTCACGCGCATCGTCGTGTCCCATGTGGCTTCATCAGTTAAATGTAGCACAGCAGGTGTCCGTGCCTCGATGCTGATCCCGGCGTTGTTGACTAGACTGTGTAACGGGTTAGCCTGAACGTTGCATATCTCTGAGCTGGATGCGAATACGTACATATCAAGCCTGGTATACGCTTTGACAGCTGCCTGAATCAAGTTCTCCATTTGTGTCGCATCACCAACATCAGTTTGCACAAACATCGCACTCCCGCCATTCTTGTTTATCAACTCGTGCGTTGTGATCTCAGCTTCCTCCTGTGATCGGGCAGTCGGCGAGAGGTCAGCACAGACTACCTTTGCGCCTTCCTGTGCATACCGAACAGCAATAGCTCGACCGAGGCCGGAAGAGGAGCCAGTTACAATAGCGACTTTATCTTGTAGACGAAGAGACGGTGCCATGTTGAGCAGTGTGAGGTTTTGGTAGGGAATCGGCAGAGCGACCGCGGAGAGGGAGCACTTCCTCTTTATAGTGACGCAAACAACTGGGGTTTATGAAGAAAGCACTATCCCGAAGCTAGCCTCCTTTCAAAAAGAAATAAATGCAGTACTGCTCACGGGACCATCTCTAAAGAATGGCTTCTACTTACCCGCGGTTGGGTATCACAGGGCCCAAATTAATATGAGGGGAAAGCGTGCCGAGGGGCTTGTGGGCCGTTTTGCATTGTTACTATCCAAGGTGTCCGTTTTAGAATTTCGATTTTCATCGTCGTCTAATTGTCCATTATTCCCTCTAGGTATATGCCAGTAATAATAGGTTGATATTCGCACCACCTTACTCTCTAGGTTGACATGTCACATTCAGTGTTTGGAGCTCGGATAAAGCTGGGTCAGATACAAGATGTCTTTAAGAACTTCGTAAGCAAGTTGTATGTATAACAATATTAATGAAGAATAAAATCATGTCTTTCTCTATACTCTTTTATTGGCCTAAAAACAAATATATTTGAGACAGTGGAAGTGCTTAGGGTTTGTGTCCAAAATGGCGCTATCCCTTACTAGGAAATTAATCGATATATACGTTCCCAAGAGGGAAACCGAGAGGGAAAACAATACCAAGAAGAAGTCCCGTTCAGATCTCACCTCGAGATAATAATTTAAATCATCATTCAGAGCAATTTTCCCACACTCTCTTACTAGGTAAGCGACTGCGTCACCTGATCACGAACCCTTCCTGCGGCTTGCTCATAGCGAGGAAAGGGAGCCGAGACCCCAAACCCGAAAGGTTGTGATAACATCGCCGCTTTTAGTCCCTCGGCCGAGCTTCCAAAAATGGCTATGGGTTTATAGTTGTTCGGTGCTGATGAAAAGAAGAGTGCAATATGTATCCGATTCTAATGATGACAGATATTCCTAGGTAACTAACTCTTGCTGGTATATGGCGCTAACAGGTATATACTTGGCAATAAACTTATCGATTATTTCAATTTCTCCGCATGATGGCCTCGGTCTGAGTAACACATATTCCGCAAAGTAAGCCTTCTTCCTCTACCTGTATGCCAGTAAAAAAACAGGGTTGAGTATTATACTTGGGCAATATCAGGTGCAAGGCGTGAATGATATTGGGAAGGAAGGCTACAAATGAGGCAGGGGAAATTGAAAATTAAAACTTCCCGGCCATATAAAACAATCACTGGTGGCCTATCGCGGTCCAATAGAAGGTACAAAATACCATACAAAACTTCTCATGTAGCTTCCACATAATCTACATCTATCTATTGACTGTTTGAACATCTATGTCGCTGACACCCTCGGGGGAAGAAGAGAGAAAGAAAGCTATCTCGAACTATCTAACGGTGCTAGATCAGGTGACCATGTCATCATCATGTTTCATATAAGTCGAAAGACTCGAGCCACATGGACCATTCTGGGTCTTGGCGATACAGTTCCGTTAGACCGAAGTCCATCGAACCTAAAGAGAAAGGTTCTTGTACTTCTGTTCCTCCAGGCTCGCTCGTTAAGTCGTGAGAAGACGTTGCAGTCTGATTCAAAATTTGGTCTAAGCATCGCGAGAAAACTATCTGCGCTTGTTTACAGATCTGATAGTTGCTCTGTCCAGATATGGCTAGCGAGTCACAGCACGAGATGAGTACGCTTATGTCTTGAATTAAAGTCGACCGATTGAGCGTCGCAGACCGATGAGGCTGGCGATTCTGTCGAAATAGCTCTAAGATAAGAACGCTCGCGCATGGCATTGCGTAAAACACCATCTATATTTAACCTCAGTCTCCGGGCTTTGAGTAGAGAAAAGATTTCGCAACTCACTGTCCCTTCCAGATTTGGCGTAGCTATCACATCGTTCTTCTTCAAAAGCGACAGCGCTAAATGAAGAATTTCGTGCGACGTCCAGATCATCTTATCGCGATTGCCCTCGTTTTGACTAATAAGCAGCTTATGGAGGAGGAACTTGGAATAAAGATATTCAAGTCGAGGTCCTATAACCACCCAGATAGCACTCGGTAGCATAGTGTCAAACATTGACTGTTCGTATTGCTTGTGAGGGATTGATTCCCAAGTAGAATTTAATTTCGATAATATTTGTCTAGGGGAAAAGGTTAGCATCTCAATCTGTGGTTTCAATTCCACGGAATGACTAGAGAATCACCTAGCTTGTTGGGCGATATTCGGCATTGGTGGACCAAGTGATAGCTCTAAGACCTCTTCGCGGATCATACTTAGTAGTAGAATGGCTCGAAGACGTGAAACTGGATTAACCATAACATCTCCACTCCAGCCATTCTCATCAAGTTCGGCTCTAGCAGCTTCGAAATGCTCGACGGGGCCTGCAATAATTGCATCTGGCAAGTCAAGTGGTAGGTCTACTACATAATACCTTCGACTAAGACGGGGCGGCCGACCAACAAAGGTCGCAAGCTCCTTGTCACGCTCATGGGCAAGAGCTATGACTCTTTTGCGAAGCTCTACCAAATATGGGGGTCCTGATTCTCCACGTTTGAACCCTTTATGGAAGCCAAGAGCGGCAATAGCTGATGCTAAGTCGCCCATTAAGCGCCAAGCACGGGAAGAATCGTCCCCAAAGCACCAGGTGGCATGGATCAATAGCGATGTCAATAACCATAACGTTAAGTCGTTCGTCTGCTCGACCTGATCGCAGAATGCCAGTGTTTGCATGCAAGCGTTGAACGCGATAAGCATAGTTCTTTGGCGGTCGAAATTTGACGGTCCACGGCCATAGAAGACTTGGCCATTGGTTCTCACAGTTGCGCTGAATAACCCAATGCGTATGAAACACATGCCAATGGTCTCCCAGCGTAAGCGATGCCCTGAAAGGGCCAGCTCGAGAGCACCATTCTCCGCCGATATAGGCAACTCGAGCGGGCACGCAGTCTGTTCAAAGATTGCTATAGCTGTGCTTGTTAGCTGATCCAAAGGGGGTCGAGTCCCTAGCTCTTGTAGGGTACTTTGTGTCGCTTTCCATGCTGCTTTGAAAAAGAGTGAGCCACATGGTTCACCTATATCGTTCTCGTCCTGGTCCCTGATAATTTCAGAGAAGTCCGCGTTGAATTCAAGAAGGGATCGCAGAACCTCCACTCCTTCTGAAATCGCAGCTGGTGTCACCGGGTAGGTTCGTTTAGGTGTGAATACGCTTGTTCGAGTCAAGTATGCGAACGTGCGGTGCGGGTGGCTGCCATTGGAGTCTGCGAACGGCATCAAAGGATTATGCATGGTTACCAGGCCAGTCCCGCGGTCATAGTCGGCCACTGATGGGTTTTCAGCCGGCATAAATGATGCGCACACTGAGGGGGTAGTGGCAGTGTCAATTTGTCTCGCGCTTTGCGGTGTACTGAGGATTTGCGTTATGTTCATTAAAGCTCAATATGCAAGTGAAGAGAGGGTTTCTTACAGCAACGCTTCAGTATAGGAGTCTGCACTTCGTGTCATCGGCGATGGGTGGTAAAAGCACTGTCGTGTAAAGTTGCGGCGCACGCAACGAGTACAATGTGGCCTTGCATGATCGCAACGAAGCTTCGACCGTCGGCAAGGCTCACACGACGAAGGCTGTCCATTGCGGCGAACTCTGTCGGTCATGTCTAGGTTTGACTGTCAATAGGGCAAATATTGGAAGGCTTTGCATGAGAAATAAATGTGATGACCTTTGTATCAGTTGATATTAGTATATGTACCCATGGATTCAATCGATCGGGGTGTTGACCGGAGTGCTAATCTATATGTGGCCTAGTGCTCCGACATTGAAAATCAAGTCTCGGACTAAATTGTCGGCATGGACTCCACCGATCAATTTCACGCTCTCGAAAGGCGTAGGCGGTGTCGAATACGTAATATTTAAACGGCCAACTGAGCTGGTAGAGGTGTTTACTTCATAGCACTGCTTTGCTGCTCATAGTACTCCCGGAAAAGTGACCCAGGGCGGTTTAATAGTGCAGCTGGTTTGTCATATTCAGCCACTCGGCCCTCATCAAAAACAGCAATATTGTCAAAGTCACTCAGGGTATGGACACGATGGGCGATTGCGATAATTGTGCAATCAGAGAATTCCATGCGGATCACTCTCTGCATTAGCTCCTCCGTCCTGTCATCTACATTGCTGGTTGCCTCGTCTAGCAGCAAGATTTTCCGTTTCATGACAATAGCTCGGGCAAGGCAAATCAGCTGTTTCTGTCCTGCTGAAAGGGCAAGTGTATTGATCATTGCTTTCAGCCCACCATGGATCTCAACAAGCTCTCGTAGATGAACCTTTTCTAGGGCATCAAAGATCACCGAGTCATCTACGGTAAGGAGTCCCGCCACATTGTCACGCACAGATCTTTGGAATAGAACTGGCTCCTGAGATATCACTGTGACCCTACTGCGCACAATTTGTCGAGGGCAGGATTGTAAGCTTACTCCATCAATCACGAGGTCCCCACTTTGGATCTCGATCATGCGGAGGACGGCTAAAACCAGAGAGCTTTTACCACTTCCCGTACGCCCGCACACACCTAGCTTTGTCCCAGCAGGAACGGTCAGTGAGATATTTCGAAGCACTGGTTGGGTTGCTGATTGATATCCAGCAGACATATTATGGAATACCAAATGCCCTTCGGACGGCCAGGCGGGAGATGGAATTTTGTTTTCGTCTGGTAGGTTCTCAGAAGGGGCTTTCTCGAAACCCCTAATGCGCGATATAGCCCCAATGCTGGTCTCCATCGAGGTCCAGAAATTAACCAACTCGGTTAGTTGTTGACTAAATGTCACCAAAGATATGAGGGAGACACCAATGGGACCAATGTTATAAACAAACACGGCTAATATAGAGAGCACAATAGCAATACCAGCCACAAACAAATCTAGAACCAGGATCAACCACCTCTGAATGACGTACAGAGTAAAAAATGGACGTTGCGAGGCTTGGAGCAGTTGCTGTTGTTCCTCTTGAAACTCCTTTTGCCAACCGAAGGCTCGTATAGTGACGAGACCATTGATTGTTTCTGTAAATTGGGTATAAAGCGGTGATTTGGTCTCTAGATCTAGCTGACGTAACTGTCGCGATGTTCGTAGATAAAACTTTTGAATCCAGTAGACAATGAACCCAGCGACAGGGATCAAGGGAGCTATATACTTCGCTCCCACCGAAATAAAAACTGCACTCATCATGCACTGAACGAAATTGTTGGATGTCTTCAAAAAATCTGCCGGCAACGAGCGATCTACTAAGGTCATGTCTTGACTAAACCGATTAAGTATATTGCCGTTGTCGGTGGAGGCCAGAAAATACAGAGGGGCATCCTTAACTTTGGTAACCAGGCAATCATGAAAGTTATTTGAGGATTTCGGGACAATGCGACAGAAAACTAGCCACATGCATGAGGCCCACAGAAATGACGCTAGGATAGCCAAGACTGCATAGATAGAGATGTACAATGGCAGCTGTCCGAATGGGGAACGGGCATTGTTTTCCGCCCACCATTGAACCCAAAGATCTATTCTGATTTAATAGGGGTGACGAAGAACATATGGGGAGTCAACTCACTGGGAAACTGGGAAGAAAAGGCTCCAATGATAAGGAAGACAAAGTAAAGTAGCATATTTCCAGGTCCAGCGGCCTGCCAGTAGTACGCATAATTTCTCAAATCACTTAGTCTTCTATTCATACCATCGTCAACTTCATGAGGAGCAGGACAAGGTACTGTAGATTGTTGGACGCTGACTGGTGAAGCAGAGTCTGAAAATTCATTATAGCGAGAGGATATTCTGTCACTCATTACAGATTCGATTCTCTCTTGGGCCTCTAGAGGAGATCCGCACTCGGTTATTCTCCCCTCTTGAAGAATAACAACTTGATCTGCAAATGCGAGATATTGATGTGCATGTGTCGCAATAATGATGGTCACTTGATGCTGACGTAAGATTCCTTGATCCCCAAGGACATGTTTGAAGACATGTTCAGATGTACGAGCATCCAAGGCACTAAGGATATCGTCAAAAATGGCTATTTGTGGGCGAGAATATATCGCACGGGCAATTGCAATTCGCTGGCGCTGTCCGCCGCTAATTGCTGTACCATTGCTCCCAACGAGAGTGAGATCTCCCTTGGGAAGAATCTTGATGTCGTCTGCTAACGCACATGTATAGATCACCCTCTGGTACCACTCCTGATCATAAGCAAGTGGTCCGCAAATGTTGTCACGTATGGTCTTATGGCGAATCCAGGGCTTTCCATCACAGAAAGCGATTCTCAATGGTTTTACCTGCACAGAGCCCTTTGAACAAGGGATCTCACCCAGAATGGCATTCAATAAGGCACTTTTTCCTGAGCCCACAGGGCCAATAACCATTGTGAGGGACGCGTGATGGAATTTAAGGCTTATTTTTGACAACACCGGTGTAATATCATTCAGTCCGAAATCAGCTTGATGTAGCACAATAGGATCCTCCTTATTGTTAGATGATTGAACCTTCGATATCGTATGCTCGGCGCTTATCTCGTGCATTTTCAATGGTTTAGGACCCGACAGATCCAATTTTGTTTTCCGATCCTCACAAGAGATATTCTCGGCATTAATAGTTTGATCTTCGCGTCGTTGACTTTCAAGGAGGTGTTCTTGGATTCGTTGAAAGCACTCAATAGCCCCGTGAAGTCTCGGGGCAGAATATATCAAGTTTGATAATGGGCTAGTGGCTAAGGAAATGATAGAGAGCGTCATAAATGTCTCGGCCTCTGTTAGAGGTTCTCGACTAGTCCGGAATGCAATTCCGGTATAGATACTAAGAGTAATAACAGGACTGAGATTCGATGTTGTGCCGGCTACGAGCTTCTGTTAGCTTAGCTTGTTATAGACGAATGTATTTATGGACTATTCTCTTCTCTTTTTCCATTGGTAGTTAGGACTCACCTAAAAGATTCATCATCACCATTGAATGGCGGAACTTCTTTTGCAGATTCAATTCATGGACTCGCAACTGTCGCAAAATCGTTGATATCTGCTCAGACACGCCCAGCATCTTGATGGTCTTAGATATATCCAGGTAATGGGAGGTGAATGCCACTCTTTCACGAACTGTCTGCATCCAAGCCTTTTGATGTCTAGGGAATGACTTTGATATTAGACTGGTAAAGTAGAAGGCTATCAATGAAATCAATGCGGGGATCGCTGCGGCCCAGAGCAACTGGCGCTCCAAGAGGTATATGGCGACAACCAGCTCGATTGGACTTGCCCAGATCTCATGAGCATTCTGGATCCCTGATGCAATATTATCTATTTCGTTGCTCATTAGAGTGATCCCTAGCAGATCATTGAGTTCTTTCGACGGTAAGGTTAGTGTCTTCTCGTAGATCATGGACACCATTGCGCCCCGTATTTGAGTGATAAAACGAAAGTTATAGTGTTCATAAATCCCATTGAGAATCTAGAAGAAAGAGTGTAAGAATCATGGCAAGTAGGAGATATTAAAAAAGTAAATTTTCATACCGCCTTGAGAATAAAGACAAGCGCAAATGCCCCAATCAACCCATATCCGTCATTCCTATCTGATCCCTTCCCTCCAACGTAATTAATTAAGCGTGTGATCAAAAACGGTTGTGAGTAATTTAGCCCGATCAAAGCAAACCGGGATAGAAAGGAATGTGCCACAGAAGATTTGAAAACGCCCAACGTGCACCATGCCAAGGCATTTTTCCTTGATTTTGAGACTAGAAATGAAATTAGCGAATTGCAACAGGGATTCCGTTTAATGACAAGCCAGCTCACCCGAATCCCATCGCTGTCTAACGACCCGGTGTACTGTACAAGATGACATTGCTTGATCCAAGTGCGGTAGCTCTTGCACCGACAGGTTACCTTGGAATCCAGAAAAAAATAACCCATTGATCCACCAGAAAAAAGAACGGCTATACAGGCTACGGACTTCTTCAGTTCCATACTGTATTTTTCGATCAATAAAAGATGCCTGCTTGGTCCTTGATTCCAGGTAAAACCAGATGAGCTTCAAAGCTATGCCGACTGTATAGATCCCAGCTATGGCAATATATTGTGCAAGCCATAGTGTCCGCACACGCACAACATCAATCAGCAATGACAATGACAGAAAAAGATTTAGTAAAAATGAAGGTTGAATCGAATAAAAGTGCTCGAAATGCGATAATAGTTGCAGCCCGACAGATGCTATCAGAGCTAGTACCGCTGCTGGCAGTGAAGTTCGTGTTCGAGGGGTATCAGGCAATGCCCAAATGACCAGGAGGGATAGTTGACATGCTCCGAATGCCTGTGCGAATACCTAAGCAAACTATCAGCATGGAAAATGATTTATTTTCCTGACGAGTACGTACGATCTTAGCCCAATACTCTGGACTTTGACCGACCTTCTTACCCTTCTTCTTCCACAGATGTTTGTGGCGAAAAGACAGGGCTAATAGTACTAATACAGATGGGGCTATAGAAAAAAAAGATTCCTCAAAAAGCAGCGTGAAATCAAAGCCGCGAGGACAGCGGGAGACTTGCGGACCAAAATTGTTGTCTGCACAAAGCTCAATATTATCCATTTGTACTAATACGGCTGAGTATATCATTCAGCCTGCTCGATAGAGGGATTAACTTCAAAAAGACAAGTCTGCTCACTTAAAAAAATAGAATATCTCTTGAGTAAAGGATATGAGTGTTTCAAGCGCAGAAATCGTACTTGTCATTTGATGAAAATCATAAAGGGATAGATTGAGAACATGGATCACGGAAGATGTCATTCCCCGCTTAGCCAGGGTAAAGTCGGTCAGGAGAAAATTGAGTTTGCATGGACTTCCACACTACATGTATGTAAATGAGAACCTCGCGAGGGGTAACATATTAGGTGCCTATATTACCACTAAAAATGCAGGCCATTAACCAAGGGTGTTTAATACTAGTTTTCATAGTAGTGGTATTTAGTGGTATTTCGGCGAATATAACGGCCTGGACACATGGCTAGTGGTGACAAGCCTTATCTCTAGCCTACCATCATAGGCTACTCGTAGATTACTCTGCCAACTCTTGCAACTCAGCCTGACCCTCCACAGGCTGCACAGAATCCATGGTGATGGATTGGTTGAGACGCTATTTGCAACACAGTGGTGATTATTTACCTTGTCAAAACATCTCTGCGGCCGAGGTTAATCTGTTAAATAATTCCATAAACAGTTTTCCCGATACATAGACTTGCGCCAAGAGTCTTTCTGCAAAGCCTAACACTGGAAACATTCTAATCGATTATTGTTTGGCAGCATCCAGAGAATTGCAATTGCGAGACAAAGATGACTGGTTCCTGCCTTTAAATTTGCTGAGAAGGTAGGTCAGACTGTCCAGTTGACCTCCTTGCCAAACGCTCACACCTTGAGCAAATTTGAACAAGATGCAAAATATGTGCCTGGAAATTCGATGACACGGATGAGGGGTTCTGCTCAATTATATCTGATAAATACTTCTGTATGATTTGTAGATTTTGAAGGTCTCCAGGCACCGTCGATTTGCCAGGATCCTCGAGCACATGCATGAAAATTATCATAAAAGAGGTCAATGCATAATGTATCATATTCCTAGTTCTCAGGTTAGCGAAAGTTGTCTGGCATTGAATAAACTACCGTTTCAACTTACCTGATGCCAATTGTATTTCGAGGATTATCATCGCTTAGAATTGTTGCAGTTTGGCGAGCGGAGGAAACACATAACGAGGTCCAGGTTTCTCGCGAAGTTTGTGACAAGTGATCTGCTTCTCTGCGATGAGGGGCTTCCCTATAAAAAAGCGACCACTGATAGAGTAAAATAATACTATTGTGGTAAACGACCAGGAGTCTCGATAGGATCAGACTATCCCCACATTGGTCCCTGGCAGTGCCTGGATGAACTTCAAAATTAAAGGGTATAGATTCCTTCCAGGCATTTAACTGTTCACTCAGCTCCTTTACTATATATTTGTAGTGAGTATTATCGATGTGGGCGGACCTCGTGGAGTAGAGCGCTTTGTAGATTTTATGACGGAGAACCGCCAACTCACAGAATGATCGGAATAGAGAAATTGATTTGCCATTTGGAAATTCGCATAGGCCTATTTTATCGAGAGACGTGTCATTGAGTAACTCGATATCTATGTCATCGTCATCCTCGCACCCCATGAGGCCCTGTGTGAAACAAGTACTGGGTTCTTCTGTCAACACGAAGATCATTATATTCAAACATCATGCTAACCTTTTGTCCATCACATAACCAATCCAAAAGATGCGAACGCGCTGCTCATATTCTCCTTTTGGCATACTGTCACGCCCTACTTCGGGCCGATGAAGACCTAAATTTTGTGACAGTCTAATTGCCACCGAGGTCAAACTTTGATGAGTGGTGATTTCCAGGCCATTCTGAACTAGAAAAACCTATCATACGAGTCAGATCAAAACGGTGTTAGAAAGGTAAGCCAAAATATAGAAATTGGACCCTGGAATAGACGAACAATGCCAAAAAGAACCTGAATAGTTGCCAGTGTAGGTGGGTGAACTAGCAGAAGTTGTGGCACGGTCGCTAGAACGTTTTTGAGATGTGCTTTGGACTTCAAATCTCTGTCTGGAAACTCTGGATGTTGAATGAAACTATACTTGTAGCCGATTGCTAGAGCTATATTGAGCGATGCCCAGCATGGGATGTCGTGAATCAACCTGCAATCTGCATACTTCCTTGTATTGATCCAGATAATCCGTTCCTCTTGGAAAAGCGGCAATACGCTCGCAGTATAATGCGAAAAGGCGTCTAGGACTTGCAATACCTCATCTTCTGATGGTAGAGAGATGTATATTTGTTGCTGTCCGATAGAACAGATTGGTGTCACGAATTCCATATGCTTTGCTTCACGCATCCAATCTTGGATCATCTTCCAACTATCACCGTATTGACTTTGTATCAGCATCTTCCATGGGGTGGGTAATTTATGAATGTCAACACTGGGGTCTAAGGCATATCAGCTGTCGCCTCTAGGCATTTCATTGCGAACGATATTTAGGTGGAAGTTAAAATGCTTACTGTATGTGTAAATGAAATCATGAAGAAATCGAGCCGACCATTGTTTAAAACTGACAATGTCAGAAAGGCTGTTTCCGGTTTCATTGAAAGAATCAAGAGGTCCGATAAGCGAGGAACTTTTGCGTAGTGTCTTTGGTTTTTGTAAATAACTACTATTCGTGATGATACATGCCACCCCCTTGTGATAGCAAGCGAGACAAGACGGAAAGTTCTCCGGCTTCTCACATCTTATTTTCGACTTTCTGCAAGAGTCACAAGCCTAATGTAAAACTTGTTAGAAAATACTTTCAAGGCAGAGTCGGGCATGACGAACCTTGCGCATCTGACCTCGATGCAAAGGCCGTCCTCGATCGTCGCCATTTGATGGATCCATCGTATACCCGCTTGCCTCATTTGCATTCTCCATGATCTCGCTTCATAGTCAGCCACTGGCGCCCGCGCTTCCGAAGCGACGGCGAGTTGGCCACCAGTTTCACTTGACTGTGGTGATTAGCCAGCCGCGTCATGTATAGCGATGAGCAATTTTATCTAGCTGTCGGAAGCAATCGCAGAGGCGGGTAATGAGGAACAGGCGGATGAGATGGTCCAGACACGACAACCTGTATTGCCACCGCGTGATGCTTTACCAACGGCGCGTTTGTTGGATACTGACGGCGGAGGTGAGCGTCGGAGGTAAACCCGGGGCGGGGCCAAAAGGAGTGGATTATTCTTATGTTAGCTTTGGTTAGGGCAGTTATGCACAGCCACCTCCGAGAAATAAATCAAGCTCCGAACTAGTGTGAGCATAAAATCTGTCTAGCCAATCGGGGCCCCGGGACCGTACGTAAACTGCAGGGCGGGGCGGTAGATCGGGATCAGATAATGGCAGGCCATTCATAATAATGATTCCAGTTGTTGTTCATATATTAACATCGGGAACGGGGAAAGGACATAGCTACCCGGGTGCATTATTCGCCGAAAAACAGGCTTTTTCGGGCCTGCTGCCTGCAATATAAATATTTACGTAGCACCCGCGTTCATTCAGCCATGCTCTTTCCCAGGCATACCCTTTCACCATAGTTGTCCAGAACGCTGGCCCTCCACCCGTGCTCAGTAGATGATGGCCGAAGACACTATTCTAGAAGGAGAAAACGATGGTTCCCTTCCACTCGATGAGAAGGGACCCGAGAACTACCCAGCCAACGAGAACCCTCTGGAACGCGAATTGTCTGGTAATAGAGACCCTGAGAACACCTCGGCCAGATCCGTCGACTCCTCCATCCCAGATGAGAAGCTTTTTCCAGAAACAGATCTTGCGCGTGGAATCGTAGGATGGGAAGGACAGGATGACCCTGCCAATCCGCAGAATTTTACTCCAACGCGGAAATGGACTTTACTCGCACTCATCAGCGCAATCACCTTTATTTCACCACTCGCTTCGAGTATGTTCTCGCCGGCTGTGGGATATATGAGTGCGGATTTTGGAATATCGAATGAAATACTGCTATCATTCAGTGTTACCATTTACCTTCTCGGCTACGCGGTACGTGTCTTAATTCTCAATACTTTGTCGCTTTCTGACCAGGGCACGTATCATAGTTCGGCCCCCTTCTCCTTGCCCCTCTAAGCGAAATCTACGGTCGTCGAGTAGTACTTAGCGGTGCAAATTGGTTTTTCGTGGTGTGGCAAATCGGATGTGCCCTTGCGCCGAACATTGAAGGCTTGATCATCCTCCGATTCTTGGCGGGAATTGGTGGATGCGGGTGTCTGACCTTGGGAGCTGGCGTGATTGCAGACTTGTTCCCACGAGAAAAGCGCGGCATGGCGACGTCCCTGTGGAGTATGGGTCCGCTGATAGGGCCGGTGGTTGGTCCTATCTGTGGCGGGTTTGTTGGCGAGGAAATCGGTTGGCGCTGGATATTCTGGATTTTATTGATTGTTGGAGGGGCACTTTCCCTTGGGATCGAATGTTTCAATCAAGAGACCTATGCCCCGGTCTTAATACGGTGGAAAACAGCCCAACTCATGAAAGATCTCGGCCGAACGGATTTGCGTAGTGCATATTCGTCGGACATAAAAGGTGAGAACCCATCTGTATGGCAGGTTCTTCGCCAGGGTATGAGACGACCGTTTCTCCTTCTCTTCAAATCACCTATTGTCTTGCTTCTGTGCACATATATGTCCTTTATATACGGACTGTTGTATCTATTCTTCACCACTATCACGTCCGTCTTTGAAAGCCAGTACGGCTTCTCCACAGGCTTGGCAGGTCTCGCCTACCTGGGCATTGGGATTGGATTTTTCACCGGCCTCGTATTGATCGCGGCTACAAGCGACAAGATTGTCATCAAGCTGACTGCTCAAAACAATGGTAAATTTGAACCAGAGATGCGTCTACCCACCATGATTTTCTTCAGCGCTCTTTTACCGATTAGCTTTTTCTGGTATGGATGGGCTGCTGATAAAAATGTGCACTGGATTGTACCCATTATAGGCATGATGCCGTTCGGCATCGGCATGATGGGCACCTTTATGCCCGTACAGACCTACTGCATCGATTGTTACCCGGTATATGCTGCATCTACAAATGCTGCTTTAACAGCCACTCGCTCCCTTGTGGGTGCGCTCCTACCGTTGGCAGGACCGAAAATGTTTTCCAGCCTTGGCCTTGGATGGGGGAACTCTTTGCTTGGATTCCTTGCACTAGCTTTTGTTCCAGTGCCTATCCTTTTCCATCGATATGGAAAAGTTATCCGGGAGAAGTTCCCTGTCAACTTGAGCTAGAGATATCATTTAATATACCAGTTGACGGGGGAACCATCAATTGATATCAAAGACGATGAAGTTGCCTGTCGTACACGTTGACGACTATTAATCTTATCATTACTATTTTTTTCTTATTGGTTTACAATGATTTTGTGCAGGTAAATATTTAGAGTTAGACTTTTGCATTTAATATTATCGTTCAAACTACCTATTTCGCTGCCTCGATGGCACCCAAGTGACCTCTCAGAAATCAAGCAGCCTTCACTCTATACAGTGATTATTTTTTTGCAGTTCTCAACGTTCTCGCAGTGATTTTCTGCTCCGTCTCCCGGCGTATCAGTCACATCTGCTGGCACTATGACGATGCCCCGATCATTGCGGGTTGGGCCACTGTTACGGCTTTTAACTTTATTGTGCTAGGTATGTCACTACTTGAGAACATGGAAGAGTGCAGTGACTGGTTGACCCGTACTAACGAGCTGTACAGCCAGTGTGAATTTCGGCGAGGTAGGGTCCTCATGAAGAGTATCTCATAAAGGAGAATCCGAAAGCAATTGAATATTTCTCCAAAATTCCCTCGCCGTCACCATCACCTACCTCATAGCGGTGGTCCTCCCTCGTCCAGCCATTCTCAGCATGTGTATCGCCATTTTCAGCCACCAAAAGCTGCTTAAGACCCTCTGTTACGGTACTAGGGGCTTGAGTGGGGCGAATTGTATAGGATCCTGCATAGCTGGATTCCTGGCATGTATCCCATTGAGGGCCCTCTGATATCACTCGATTAAAGGTCAATGTACTGATCTGAATTCCTGGTACCGATGGACGTGACTCACCAATATTATGGCCGATATTGTTATCCTTATATTACCCCTGCCCCATTTGGTGATACTGCAAAACTCTACTCGGGTGAAGGCCCGGCTTATCTTCACCTTTCTCCTGGGTAGTCTGTAAGTTGATGGTACTCTCATGTTCGTTGTACTCTATCTCCAGCTTCCTCTCCCTACATTCAACATTCTCATTGAAGTGCTACCTAATAGCTAGATTAAGAATTTATTGCTATTTCAGACTGAGCTATGATAGCATCCAATGACAAGAGCGTTCTTTTCGTTGATACTAGTAACTTTTCTCTTCTCCTCTATGTCTTCTATCATCGTCGAAACGTGTTATAAAGCCGAGGGAATTTATGATTATGCACTATGGCGATAACTTTAGGACTGTGAATTTGGACAGCCATTTTAGCTACGTTTTCTTTAACCAATACTGTGCCGCATCATCAACAACTTTCTGTTCCCACCCCTCAGTTGTTAATGGGCCTAGAACTTCCACGGCCGTTTGACCTGCAGCAAAAACCTCCCGGCATGGCATATCAAGGGTCAGGTTCTCCGTATTCCCCGTTCCTGTCAGTTTCTGCAGGGCCTTCTCTGATGCCAGGTAGACCAAACGTCCAATATGGGCCCAATATATGGTTCCGGCGCACATTGCACAAGGCTCCCACGTGGAGACCATGGTACATTTAGCTAGGTAGTCCCAGGAGTAATTATCTGCCGCGTTACGAGCCAGTTCGCATTCCGCGTGTCGAACATGCGAGAGTGAAAGAGACATCATTAAAACTGTTTCGCTGTCAGGGCCTAGCAGGAGAGCCGCGAATGGTCGCTTAAAATGGATTTCACGTCCCGACTGTTGGAGGGCGACGCATTTGGCAGCAGCGGAGGCCAGTCGCTCAGGTGTCAACGGCAAGGCATCGGGGGAAGAGGTAGTGGTTAGGGTCATTGTGTAGTGAAGTAAATTGAAATAACAACAAGCCGTTATACAGGGGAAATAAAGCAAAATATTTTTAACAGAAAGGAGGCTTCATTTAGTGCCGTAACCTGTTTCCACCCTGATTATATAAACAAGTTTCATTCTAGGAACGGCGGCATCCGCCGGCTCAATGATGAGAAACTATACGCTTCCATAGGTCGAGCTTATTTCATCGTTTCTATCGGCAAGGTTGGAAGAACGTGGTAGATAAGACATGCCCCACAGAATTGACCGTAATTGGACGGAAATATATTAATGAAATGAGATTTGATATATTAGCGATTAGATAGCCGGTATAAGCTAAATTAGTAATTAGGGTTATAGATTATATAGTGAATTTCGTGCTATCAAGGGCGCTCTATATCACAATACCAGTCAGTAAACCAATTCCTGTTTTCTCTGATGAAAGTGCACTGACCTCATGTGCCAATCACCACTTCATCCATTCCTTCTCAAGCTCCCGAAATGTGAACACCACATCCATCTCGAGGGTGCTTTGACTCCTCAGCTGGTCTTTCATCTTGCCAACAAGAATGCTATTCCTCTTCCGAATTTACCGCACTACCAGAGCCCTGAGGCTTTGGCAGCTAGATATGAGGCATTTGACAGCCTCGATGACTTCCTGAACATCCACTACGCCAATATGTCTGTCTTGATCACCGAGAATGACTTTTACGAGTTGGCCTGGTCTTATTTTCGTGCTGCCTACGCTGATGGAGTTCATCACGCAGAGGTCTTCTTCGACCCTCAGTCTCACACCTCGCGCAGTATCCCTATAGCATCAGTCATCAATGGTTATAAGCGCGCTCTAGACCGGGCAGGATCTGAATTAGGGGTCACATCTCGCCTCATCATGTGCTTTCTTCGGCACTTGCCTGTACCATCAGCCCATGCTACCTTTGACTCCGCAACAGAGTTTATCCACGATGGAACAATTCATGCGGTTGGGCTAGACTCCTCTGAAGTTGGATTTCCTCCAGAGCTTTTCACCGACGTGTTTCGGAAAGCCAAGGATGCCGGTCTGCAGCGTACGGCTCATGGGGGCGAGGAAGGCGACATCTCTTATATCAAGGGGGCTCTCGATTCATTGAAAGTGGACCGAATCGACCATGGGATTCGATTAATTGAGGATCGAGAACTTATGAAAGCTATCGCTGCAAAAGGAACCCTGCTTACCATCTGCCCTCTATCAAATGTCTACTTACGGACAACAAAGTCCATCGCTTCTCTGCCGCTTCGAGAGTTCTTAGAGGCCGGGGTGCAGTTCTCGTTGCACAGCGATGATCCGGCTTATTTTGGTGGTGGGATATTGAACAATTACTGTGCTGTAGAAGAAGCCTTTGGCTTTAACATTGATGAGTGGAAAACTATCGCGATTGCAGGGGTGCAGGGAAGTTGGATTGACAAGGCGAGAAAGAAAGCTCTCGTGGCAAAGATAGAAGACGTTGTTTGTGAGTTTATATCAAGGGACTAGGAACCAGACGAAATCTCAACAGTCGGTCCTGAGATTCAGAGATTCAGGCAAGTAACAAGAATTAGAATAGATCTATCTCACTTCTCTTTACAAGTGAGCTGTGTGTTTAATGTGACCTTGATTACGACAGAGGGTAGCACTAAGCAAACACCACTATAATATGTCACCAATACTGGCGTATATACCTGATACAGTAGGACATAAATCAATGGGACACTATTTACTCCTGATATGTAGCACTAGCCTTGCTGTTTCTCTTGCCCCCACACTGATTCTACGGACCAAGGCCTGCACGCTATGCGCTTGGTCAAATCCATCTCACGTTCTGCTTCTGTATCTCGATCTGTTATCTTCACGACTCTGGATATATTCTATAATTCAATAGAACTGTACGGCATTTTCTGGTATGGATTCATAGGCTGGCTGGATAGGTTAGTGCTAACTCTATAATATTTCTTAGAACGTCTGGTGACTTTTTGCCGTTTACAATAATAGATGAACAAGGAATGATGGTGTCTCTTGATAATTTTTACTAAGCTCTTTCTAACAAAATGTAATATTACATAATACAAATTCCTGAGCAGTGTAATGCAATATAAATTAGTATGTAAAAAAATACCACGGAATTCCTGCACATCCACCCCTTTGGTCAGAGGTCAGTAGTTTTCTCTCTTGGCCCCTTTTCTTGGTCGTTCACGACACTGTCGAACTCAAGCGCCACACTGCCCTCACTAGCAACACTTGCGTCTAGAGTGTCATCTGGAAGAACAGCTGTAGGAATATTTGCATTGGCGTAAGGGAACCAGTGATTAAGACCAAGATAAACGATCGTGCTGCCAAAGAATCCTAGAAGCCAGCCAAACTCATACGGGTGGACACCGACTCCTATTTCAATCCGTGAATTGACAGAATGCATTAACCCTGGAAGACTGGGCGTAGCACCGACCACAAAGGCTATTAACGCATGGCAGTTGAATCCGCCGGTGTACCGATAAATGCTCATGGGCTGGTATAGAGCCATGCAGTTGTATTTGCGACGCTTGACGATCCAGTAATCGCACAGCATAATGGCAGCGATCGGCCCGAGGAAAACGGCATAGGCGGCCATGAAGTTGAGAAAATTGCCCGCCGAGGCCAAGATCTTCCAAGGCACTAGTGCCCAGGCTAGAAGAGCGCAAAGTAGTTGACCGCGGCGAATGTCTAGATACTGAGGTGCAAGAGCGGTGAAGTCGTTCGCTGCTGATAATGAATTCGCAGATATATTCGATCCCAGGGCGGCAAGGGCAAAGGAAAAGGCCGCAAAGAATCGACATGCCCGACTACTCCAAAGCGAGACAAGAACATTTGGGTCCCACGGGATTGACTCGGTGTGATATCTAGCCTGTCCCGCGGAGGAGACGGCAATGCCGATGAAGGCTATAAAGGTGAAAACTGTCGGGAGTAGGAAGACATAGAGTATGTGCCACCGCGGGTTGACGCAGGAATAACGTGAAAAATCGGCTTGGTTGACACTGAGAGTTGCATAGTTTCCAATGACCGATGTGAGAGACGACATCATTGCCCAGCTATAAGACGACCCCGTCAATTGACTCTTTTGGGAAAAGAGATCGCCTCCATTTGAAGTCGCAACAAACGCCCAGATAAGCATAGCAATCCATGCAACTGGCACAATAATGGACTTGACTAGGAAAAGCCAGCGCAGCTTATTTGGATGGAGAAGTAGAAAGGGAATCTGGAGTAGCCAAAATAGGAAGAATCCCACCATGCCCTGTGTTGTGATACCCTCATCAGCTGGGAGGGCGTTTGGGATATTTAAGAAGCTTGGCCAAATAGCTCCAATCATGACAGCAACCGAGTTGCCTCCGTTTACAACTTGTGTTGCAAACCAGAAGACGGCGAGAATCAATCTTGAAATGATAGGGATATAAGAGCCCCAGAAGCCCCAACTGGCACGGGAAATGACAGGGAAAGGAACATGGTAGATGGCACCAATGGCACCATTCATAGCTATCACAATAGATAGGATGAAAAAGCCCAGGGCAACCATGCCCAGAGACTCTTTCCAAGAAAGTCCAATAGCGAGGATGCTGCTCGCCAGCTGCCAGTTGGCAACCGAAAAGGAGTCAGACATCCAGTACCCCACAAAGCTGAGAACTGTCCATTTCCGCATATCCGGAGGAACGGGGTCAAGATCCTTGTTTGTCCATCGCACATTCCCGCGCAAGAAGCTAGACTCAGTCTGCGGTAGACGTAACCGCGACCAATGAGGTGCTAAAAATTTCATAGTAGACTCCGTGTGGAGGAAATTATTGACAAGAACGAGGGATTGACAACATATTCTAGAGCCTGTAATGCATATGGAACACAAACAATGTATGTATTATGTTTAAGTGAAGTTCTACCCCTAAGTGTTCTTTCCTGATACAAATGGCAAGTATTTGTGGCAAAGACCAATAGCAGCTCTGATGCGTATCTTATCTGAGGGCTGGACTTCGGTTATCTGTCCCGCAATAAGCAATCTGGGGATTCAACCGTTATCTCCTACTCCATCGGCGGATTCCACCGCCAGTGCCCCTGCCCAGTCGCAAGTTCCGCCAACCCCTGAAAAGCTTCAAAAATTGAAACATCGTTTTACTTATTTCAAGCGCTTCTACTTCCTCTGCAGCCATTTTAGTACGTAATGCCTCGAGACTGGAGTGACGCCGGACGAAAGTGGACCTAGAGACTATTTCCATTAATTACATGTTCATTATATGTCAGCATGGTCTGAAATACCGTACAATGGTGTACATGTAATATATGTGTTGACTATGTGTATTGTCACCCATTCTACCGCGTACATACTATAAAGCACCTAGATAAGAAAGAGGGGAAGTAATCACATCAATTGATGTACGTAGAAGTGTTATTGTGCTGCTTCTAGAACTCTATTGAATAAATTCCGTCATTCTTTATTCCGAACAATGTAAAGCGTAAATATTTTAACACTTTGACTTCTTATTTAATATTATTTATATTATGGAGTATCTATCTCTGGAAAGTCAACTATTGCTCTCCTATTAAGAAAATCTTAAATCTATTGCGCTCTAACTTGATTGCTTATCAGTATAGAGATATAGAGTATGAGCCTGCCAATAATTCGCTCCGGATGGAACTCCGAAGTAGCGCCGACCCCGCAGGCACCTGTCACCAATCCGATCAGTCCCAACGTCACTTGAAAACTCAACACTACACGACTGCAGGGATTGAACAGCTACATATAGTTTGAATCACGAGAGTAGATTCTATTGAGAATATGACAGCTGTTCTCAAACGCCCGCTCAAGCTAGCTCTTGTGCAACTAGCCTGCGGTATGTGCCTCCATCCGCATCCCCTGCGATCAGTCAGAGATCCAAACTCACGAATCATCATCGAAACATAGGAGCCGACAAGGCCGCGAACCTCAGCCACGCACGCGCCAAAGTCCTCGAGGCAGCAAAGGCTGGTGCTTCGCTGATTGTCCTTCCCGAATGCTTCAACTCGCCGTACGGCACACAGTACTTCCCCAAATACGCTGAGACTCTCCTCCCCTCGCCGCCCACCAAAGAGCAATCGCCTTCATACCATGCGCTGTCAGCACTCGCCGCAGAGGCGAAGGCATACCTGGTCGGAGGCAGCATCCCCGAATTAGAGCCCACCACACAAAAATACTACAACACCTCGATGGTGTTTTCTCCCACAGGAGCCTTGATCGGCACCCATCGCAAAACGCATTTATTCGATATTGACATCCCAGGGAAGATCAGCTTCAAGGAAAGCGATGTGTTATCGGGGGGAATAAAGTTACTGTTGTCGACCTACCCGAGTACGGAAAGATTGGCCTGTCGATTTGCTACGACGTGCGATTTCCTGAGCTGGGCATGATCGCAGCGCGCAAAGGTGCCTTCTTGCTTGTCTATCCCGGCGCGTTTAATACGACTACGGGGCCAATGCACTGGTCTCTCCTTGGGCGTGCTCGAGCCGTGGACAATCAGACCTACGTGGCGATGTGCAGCCCGGCTAGAGACATGAGCGCTACATATCACGCGTGGGGCCACAGCTTTATCGTCGACCCAAACGCGAATATACTCGGTGAGCTGGAGGAGAAGGAAGACATCGTCTACGCCGATTTGGACAACGAGACGATTGAATCTATGCGAAAAGGGATTCCGGTAACGACCCAGCGACGATTTGACGTCTACACGGATGTAGGAGAGGTATAAGTTAGACAATATACAGGATAGCCTTGAACTGTAACGTATCATCTTAAATAATGATGATAATCAAATAATTAAATAATCAAAGTGAAGAAGAATATCAACTTCGAACAGCCAATCATAAAACAAGTTTGTTGTGGGGTATATTATATCACGTGATGTAAACCACCCACCAATGAGACCCCCCGTCTAAGCGACCGCACTACGCGGCATTGTGGAATCCACAAAAATCAAGCGTGCATCTTGAATTTCGCTTCGCTTTTCCTTCGACCGATCGACGACACCAGCAGAACGACAGCCGGCACCTCTGTCATATTCAGTCAGTGCCTGATCAATAGTCCAATATTTATGTCTGCGACTGACTTTTACTCACTCTCACAGCAATGTCCAGCACCACCAAGGGAAAGAAGAGCGGTCGCTCCGCCATCGCCGATGTCGTGTCGCGCGAGTACACCATCCACCTGCACAAGAGAGTATGTTGAACAAGAATCTCCGCCCATACCCTACGAGTACAGAATACACTGCGGCCTCGTCCTACCAATGCCCAATGTCGAATGGTTTCTCGCCGAGTGGACATGGTATATTGGGCATGGAAGAACGGACGGAGAGCACACACACATTTATATAATGGTTTCGGAGGAAAAACACAAACACAATTAGTTTGATGAAGTCCGCTTTTATGGCCTGGCCGCAGTGCAACTCTATTCTACTCAACTTTATACTCTTGCAAAAAGGCATTTTGGACGGAAGACTAATTCCACTTTTCTCTTAAAAGGTGCACGGTGTGTCCTTCAAGAAGCGCGCCCCTCGCGCTGTCAAGGAGATCCGCGCTTTCGCTACACAGGCTATGGTGAGACATTCGTATTAATTTTGTTGGAATCAGATCTAACATTTTGCAGGGCACCAAGGATGTCCGTCTCGACCCTCAGTTGAACAAGAAGGTCTGGGAGGCCGGTATCAAGGGCGTTCCCTTCCGCCTCCGTGTCCGCATCAGCCGCAAGCGTAACGACGAGGAAGGCGCCAAGGAGAAGCTGTACAGCTACGTGCAGGCCGTCAACGTCAAGGAGCCCAAGGGATTGAACACCACTGTTGTCGAGGATGCTTAGATGTGCTACTCTTCTGAATTTTTTTTCCTGCAATCTAAAATATCAACGACGGGTGTTTGTATGGTCAACTCTATTTTTTCTCGTTTGTGAGAGAATCATCATGGCATTGTAATGAAAAACGGCATTGGGTTTTCTTTTCCTCAGTCAACCTCAACCCTAAGACGGATGCACTTGGGATGGAGTTAGCTATCCCACAGGATGAGCGTTCTAGTTCATCAAACTCAAAATGAAATGATATCTCAAAAATTCGAAATCATCCACATCCACATTAAATCTTGAAACTATCGTAACGTCGGCCTACAATTCTTATACGCAGTATAAATTAGATTAGGTAAATGCCCACCAAGGGACATTCTCAATACTAATAAGTACACAAAGACGATTCGCTTTTTTAAAATTGATAATACACCTGGACGATAAAGATAAATGAAGCAGAGGCTTGATGATGGGCGAAAAATTAACAAACGCCATGCTGCAGGACAACCAGAACTTGAAAATTGATTAGGGGAAAAAAGGACATCAAAACCGAGGCTGTAAATGCTTGGCAATTTTGAACATTGGCGAGACTGAAAAAAGGATAATGGACAACAATTGTAGAAAAAGATCGTTACTCTCTATACAGAAAATGGACTCCAAAGTAATGACGAAATGGGAAACGAAGAATAAATTGATGACTCCAAGCAGTTGGAAAAGGAGGACTCGAGTACTCCTCCGTATGAGTATGAAAACGGGAAACATGAAGCAAGATACATGGAGGCATGAAATTGTAATACATGAGATGCATGGAGTGGTACATTGTGGTGTTGAATACAATAGTAGCATGAGTCTAGTTTGGCAAAGATTCCTTGGCAGACTTCAACGCAGTTTCAAGTTCCGACGCAGCTTCTTTCTTGATACGAAGCGTCCAGATATCCATGGCCGAGCCGTCTGCACGAGGTACGGGAAATGTGCAAGTGGTGCCTTGGATTTTGTAGTCAATCGTTCGACTAATGGCAGTGTTCAGGACAGCCCTTCCGCTTGGCTCGGCTCGGAGAACAATGCGGGCGCGATTAGCTTCTTTGTTGACGAGAACTCGAAGAGATCCGACACCCTGGACTTCCCATGACTTCTCAGTCTTATCTCCACTCTTCTTTTCAACAAGCTTAAGCCCCTTAGACCGTCCGTCAAAAAAGCATTCTTCACCTTCTTCGCCAGCATTGCCCATGAGGTTTAGTTGAGTGTCTTTGTAGGGTTCGGTGTCGGTATCTTCAGCGTTGGAATCAGATGTAACACTGGGAGTAGCAGTGCCAGAAAATAGGTGTGTTGCTGGGTTAGGAATTGCTAGGCTGCTAAATGGGCCAGAGGCAGGAGTCTTGCTTGCTACAGAAGAGGTTAGTTTGGATCTGACGCTAGGTTCAGGGGCGAGGTCTGGCTTACTACCAAAGATATTTGAGCCATTTGATGGTGTGGCAGTAGAAGATGGTGCAGAAGTGCTAGCAGAAAGTGAAGCGAAAGGGTTAGCGCTGGCCTGGCCGAACAATTGTGGCTTTGGTGTTGCGGGCTTTTCGTCGTCTGAAAGCTGAACTGGAGTACCGTCAGCCCGGCGAATGCGATCAAACAGGCTACCCTTTGTTAGCTCGGCGGATGATGTTCCGGTTTCGGTTTGAGACTTTGGCTTAGACTGGCTGGCGCGCTTCTTCAAGTGCTCCGTTAGATCGTCCTCAGAAGAATCACCGTCGGTGTTCGTATTAGAGTTCGAGAGATGGCCGAAGATGTTGCTTGGAGCAATCGAAGGCGCACTCGGTTTGTTGTCAAATACTGATGCACCTGCCTTCAGTTCAGCAGGAGCTGGGGCGGTGTCTTCAGTCGTCTTTTTGGTTATTGACGCTTCTTCTGGTTCGTAATCGCTCGACGAGTCATCATCTTCGTCATCATTTTTAGCAAGCTTACCAAACTGGGCCATAAAACTAGCGCCAGATGTATTGCCAAACTTGGGAACGTCAAGCTTAACGGCCTCAGTAGCCGCACTGGTACCCTTAGAAGCGGAGCCACCAGCGGCCTTGCCAAATTGGGCTAGGAAATCTTTTCCAGAGGTATTTCCAAATTTCGGCGCCTCAAATGTCGGCTTCTGAGAAGGCTCAGTGGAAGGTTCAGGCAGTTTCTTGGGCTGCGGAGTCGAGATATTGGTTTGTTTGTTGGCTGTGGAGGTAGACGATGCAGCACCAAATGTTTTGGCAGATACGCTTGCGGATGGCTTGAAGCTTGGAACGGCATCGGTAGATTCTTTATCTTTGGAACCACCAGAGGCAAATGCATTTGCGAAAATACCAGCAGTCGTAGATTTAGAACCACTGGGCTGAGTGGCACTGCGGACGAAACCAGCCGTTCTACGCTTGCCAGTAGGGCTGGTTTCTTCATAGTCTTCAGATGCCTTGCGCTTGTGCTTCAGCGATGGCAAACTGGGCTCCACAGAGCTAGCCACAGATTCCTGGGCTCTAGATTTCTTCGAGGAAATCCGATCGTGGGCATCGACGTTAGATGTTTCGTCAAGCTTACGCTTGCTAGGCTTATTTGCCAGAGAGCCGATGGGTGCATTCATCGTCTTACGGACACGAATGTAAAAGAGGATAATATCATCCAGACTTTGGGTATCAGGATCGAAGGAAGCCACCATATCTTTGAAGCCATGGTTCAAATCACGAATTTGAGTTCTCTTCATGAAATCTTGATTCTCACCTGCAGTCAACCCAGAAGACGTTGCAGAGCTGGTCTTCACCGCCGAAGCAGCGAAAGATGCAGATGGGGCCTTTGCTTTCGCCGGTACTTGAGGTTTGAAAGCTGCCAACGGTCCGGGTTTCTTGCTTTCGACGGCAGTTGTAGACTCCATGTTTTTCTCAGTAGTAGCTGCTGAAGAGACTGGCCCGCCGAATAAAGCTTTAGACGGGGTAACAGAGACAGTTGGGGTCGCAGGTGTTGTAGATGCAGGATTATGTCCAAACAGCGAACCGAAGGAACTAGTTGCACTCGAAGGCTGTGGAGTACTCGAAGCAGGAGCAAAGAGAGAGCTCGCCGCAGTAGCAGCCTTGCTTGCAGACGGGGCGAAGATAGGCGAGGCACCTGAAAGTTGTCCATTAGTTTTGGGCTTAGCGTCAGGAGAAGTGCTCATGTCATCAGGTTCATTGTTAACCCCGAAGAGAGGCTTGGGGTTCAAAGGCTGGCCAAGACCAGAAAAAATGTTTGCAGTAGCCTGCGGGGCAGTAGATGGCTGGGCTGCTGAGACGCCTGAATTCGACGGTGTGGAGGGAGTGAAGGAGAAAGTACTCTCAGCAGGTGCTTGCGGTTTACCAAACAAAGTAGTCGAGCCATTGGTCACTGCCGAAGTAGAGGGATTGGATTGTCCAAGTAGAGTTGAGACATTGTTCGTGCTTTGTGTGTGCTGCGAGAAGAGGGGTCCACTACCTGCAGTAGATTTGTTCGGCGATGCAAATGCAGGTGAAGCAGCACTTGATTTGCCAAACAGGGACGAAGTAGTACTAGCAGGCTGTCCGAATGAGAACGTGGGAGCAGATGTGGCGATGCTAGGTTGCGGTGTAGATGCACTAGGTGGAGGTGCAGCAGCCGAAGACTGGTCGAACAAAGTAGAGCTTCCGCCCATTGTTGGCTGACTCTGGAAGATAGAAGAGCTTGGCGCAGTAGTAGTTGCCGAAGATTGCCCGAATAACGGCGCACTGCTAACACTCGTGGCTGGGGTGGCTTTACCAAATAAGTTTGTACTTGGTGCTGTTGTGGTTTGGGTTTGAGTTTGGAAGAGTGAAGAACTAGAGCTAGGAGCCACAGAAGACTGTCCAAACAAAGATGAGCCGCCAGCAGCAGCAGGGGTCGACTGTCCAAACAAAGACGGCCCACTAGTAGCAGGTTTGGGTTGAAAAAGCGATGATGAAGTTGAAGCAGGTGCAGCAGATGCCTGCCCAAACAAATTCGAAGCACCAGTCGTTGCTGGTTGTGATTGGAAAATCGGGGGTGCAGAGCTAGCAGCCGTTGTCGATTGACCAAAAAGCTGGCTTGGTGGGTTTTGGGAAGTAGCACCAAACATTCCTTGCGGCGGATTCATTGTCGTAGGAGCGTTGGCAGAATTGAACAGACCGCCTGTCGTGTTTTGGTTCTGATTCTGTGCACCACCGCCGTTGAGGTTGGCAAATGGATTGCTTGAGCCAGAGCCAGAGCCAGAGCCAAATCCAAAGTTGAAACTAGAGGATCCACTAGCACCAAATGTGACAGGCTGGGATCCGTTCTGGGTAGGATTTGATGACGCTCCAGGAAAGCTACTAGATTGGCCAAAGGCAAAACCGTTCGAGGCAGTAGAATTAGCTGCTACTGCAGCGTCGTTCGTGCCAGCTGCGCCAACTTCGCCAAAGTTGAACGGCGTCTGGGACTGAGGCGCAGTCGTCCTTGGACGACGTTTGCCCAGCTCTCGGATCCTAGGTCCTCGATGTAAGCCTGGCATTCGATACATGGTTGAAATGATGGTATGAACGAGGCAAGACGGGATGATTACAGGGCAAACCCAGCAAAACAAGAGATGGTACGAGATGAGGTTGAGAGGAAGTGTGAGATGGGGGGAATAAGCGACAAGGTAACAAGGTGTGTGTTGCATAGGCAGCAATCTAGGGAGGTGAAGGGAAGAAGGTAAAGATAGTGTTATGCAAACACAATCATCTGATTTGGGAGACCGCCCAGGAGAAACGCCATAGCAAGACTTTCGCATAGAGCGCAAACTTCACAATAGCAACAATAACAAAAATAGCACCGGAAGGAAGCAACTTACTTTCTATTAGCCAACTGAGCAGCCGTTGCCCGCTGGGGCGTCTCATTTGGTGTGCTTGACATGCTGAAGTCAACACCCGCGAACCTGTCAGCGTGTGGACCTGGGAGGGTGCGTTTAGACATCCACAAAGTCGTGCTTCAGATCCTCACACTCCCGGAGACAGAGGGACAATGTCCCTTATTCAATATGCGAGAACCACAATGGGTTCTGTCTCCTGGTTTCCCTCACAGGCGTCTTATTCTTGTGCTCTCAATATGTTATTGTCCTCGAGTCCCGACTGACGTTCTTCAGGCAACGCATGAAAAACGAAAATGAATCGATATTCTCCTAGCGCGGGATTGTAATGCAGTCTATGCTATAAATTTTCAACTCCTCTTGCGACTGATCGGGGGGTTCGTTCGTGGATAGGCTCCACGAGGGAGTTGCGCTGACGGTGTTCCGCAACACACGGAGGCGTCAACACAAAAACCACAGGCCGTGTGATACAGCAGCAAGGTTATATGCAACGCAGCAGCTTTCGAAGGATTGTTATTGAAAGCGCCAAAGGTGACGCCTACTCCCTTGATACCGTCACACACGGATCGGAGTCGGCGCGGTCGAAGACCTCTGAGACTAGTCGCGAAATCACGTCCACGACCCAGGGACAGACGAAGGCGAAAACCAGCACGCAGACCACGAAACTGCGGCAGCGGTACCCTGCGCTATACTTCTCGTCCTGCCGTGAGCCAAAAGTTGCTAACGCTTGATGGGGCTCGGGACTGACCCTTTGTCGTGGCTGTTGACAGTTAATCGTAATAATTTTTTGCCATTTTGCCTTCATCCGCCGTGACTGGCGGGACGGGGAAGGCGCGTCACGTGGCTTCCCGGCTTGGCATCCGCTTCTCGTAGGCAGATGCTGCTCGTGATATCACATATACTTATAGATATGTGTGTATATAGAACATATTATCTTTAATTGCAACTACCGGCTGGTCTAGGAGGCGGCCCTGCCTGTTTATTTACGTCTCATAACATTGGTTTTCGATTCTATAGAATATTTACTACTGGCCAATCATATCGACGGAAGCAGCCCTCTACAGCTTACTAAGCAGTCTAATATTGCAGGACTCAAGGTCAGTGTCAAACTTGGGATTTGATTCACTTTGGTGGTTATGTGGTGATAAAATCTCAAATAATGAAGCAGGTTCCTTTTTTTGGTGGTTTTGAGCTTTTCACACGTTCTTCGGTGTCTTAGGATAGTTCTTTTCAGACTAGATCTACCCTCAACACAGAAAAAAGTCAATAGCAGAACATCGATAAACGAGCGACGGAAGTTGGTTAACAATTTGAAACAGTTGGCAATCTAGTAATCGTCGCCGCGGCTGATGATCTCATTGCCGGACCCCTTGATCAAAATGGTCTGTTCATTGAATGTTAGAGGAAGACCCGCGTGAAAATAATGGAATGGCAATACTCACATGCTCGAATTGAGCTGTATAGGAGCCCTTAATATCATCAAGCGTGTGATAAATCTCAACGATGCCGTTGGATATCAAGCTGTTCATCTGTATAACCAAGTCAGTCAGCTAGTGCCCTCTTTGTAACATAATGCTGCTCACCCCCAAAAGATATTTGTCAATCCCAAGGCGGTCCAGGTAGCGTCGACAAAAGACAATGGTCCCAAAGTTCTGGTTGATGGTCTTCAACAACGAACGTGCAGAGGCTAAGGGAAGATGTGCCGATGGTGCATCTGGGATTTTGCCATACCCATAGACACCAGCCTACCGAATGTTAGACATGCGAATCGCCTCTATGAACAAGATGGGAAAGACTGACACCATCTCTGAGGATTCCTTTCCCAGTAGTACCGAACGTTTCGATCGCAAAAACCTCACCCTCTTCCATTTTGGTTTGGTCATTGTTTTTGACAAAGGGGACGGACTTTCCGCCGTGGATGATGTAGGGTTTGATATTGTGACCGGTGATATTTCGAATCGCTTTGACCGGGTAGACGTTTTTGTTTATTTCGACCTCATAGCTTTCCATGGCTTCTTGGATAGACGCACTAATATCGCAGATCCTAGCATCGACTCCAGAAGACTGGAAATTCTAGGTTAGACATATTTCATACAGAGACATCGCAGCCACTTACTCTCAGACCAGTGTTAGTGGCATCCTTCACTGCAGCAAGCAAATTATCGTAGGTCGGATCCCAAGTCATGGTAAAGGCACAATCGACAATCCAACCATTGACATGAACACCAAAGTCCACTTTCATGACGTCCTCTTTTTTCAAGAAAACCTCTTTCTGGCCAGGATTCGGAGTAAAATGGGCGGCGCAGTCATTAAGGGCCAAGCCAGTCGGAAATCCCATTCCACCCTTCAGACTATCGCCTGGCTCGAGGCCCTGATGACCAAGCAAAGCACGCACCCCGTCCTCAATGCCCTCAGCGAGGTCTGTTAGAGAATACCCAGGTTTGGCAGTCTCCTGAACCCAATGCCGCACCTGACGATGGATCTCGGCACCCTTCCGGTAGTCATTAAGAACCTCGGGGTTTGCAATATGACCACGTTCAAGGTAGCGCAATTCCTCGCCGGTTGTTCGAGAAAGATTGGAATCCTGGGGTTCAACCATTTGACCCGGTGGATACTTGCCATCCGGGAAGAGCTGAGAAAGAGGAACACGAGGAGGGAAAGATTGCTGACCAGGGGCGCTAGCACCAGTCTTCTTTTTCTTCTTGTTGCTACGCTTTTTCTTCTTCTTATTCTTGGGGTTTTCATTCTGGCCTTGAACAACAGGAAGTTTAGAAGTGAGTTCGTCAAAGTTTTACAGTCAGTAGCCCACCTTCTTGGGTACCAGTTACCATGGCCATGGTTGGATCCTTTCCATTGCCGTCCTCGTCATCGTCGCCGCTGTCAAAGTCGCCGTCGCCGTCTTCGAGTACGTTGGCACCACGAGGCTTGCCACCCACTGCGTTCGACTTGGTCGAGACGGAGCTGGATGCTGTAGTGGAAATTAGCAGCCGATCCCTATCAGCGTCAACTTTTGAAAGGGGGCTTACCATCTTCGTGGTGCTGTTTGCCTTCGTAAGACTGAGAGCCCATTTGAAAATGCTGGTACGTTTCTGAAGGATTGTTCTTCACTTTACCAAGGTGGAGGTGGAAGAATCAAGTTTCGCATCAGGCTGTTTTAAGAGCGGGGAATGCGGAGCCTCAGGTATCCGGCGCTAAAATCTGCAGGCAGCAGCACGCGACATATCCGTTTCAAATGTTCTCTATCTTGTTACATATCAATTGATTATTTAAACAATGCCTAATATATGTCAACTGGCATTGTAGATAATCTTATAACATGCTTAAAGTGCCGTTAATGATTGCTGGACTTAAACTTGACTAATTGATCTCTAGCGATCACTTTGATCCATCTAGCGCACTCCAAACTAAAATATACTGGAAAAATATTTGAATCATTGAACATTTCTTTGATCTGGTCGAATACATCATTGGTGTTCATCGATTAATTAATAAATAAAAGCTCTAGGTCATTTCATAAATTTCATATTCAATACATATCAATTGATCTATCGACATCATCCAAATATCGTATAAATTTCCTTCTTTATATCCACTACGATTGACTGCACCAAGGCCGCTTCCACCACCCCATCTTGCCAGGTAAAGGCGAGGACCAGAGACTCATCACCTCCGGTAATCGCATTGACCGTTATTGCCGATCCAGCAATGTTTGAGCTTTGACTGAAAACCATTCTCCCGATGTCAACCAAGGAGGACTGGCTCTCGAAGACGCCCAGGTTTGATATCTCAAAACTCGTCTGCCGCGGTTTGCCCACGCACGATAGAAGAATGTCATCTGCGAAGTTCGAGAATAATTTCAATAACCCGACCGATCGATTTTTGTCTCTTTGCGCAAGATTCTTTTTAATGTATCGAGTTGCTTTTCTTGCTTCATGCCAAGGAAAAGCTCTGTCTTCTAAACCCCCGCGTTTGTATTTTTGTGCGTAGTCAAGAACCCACGACCCCATCGAATCTTCTGTAACACCAGACTTGTCTGATATCCACCTCCGGCCTGACATACTTCCTTGATAATTGAGTAATTTATATTTCCTGTCGATATTTCTGAAGATCGACCGAGAAATAAGAATTTCTAAAAGCGCCGTAACTGAGGTTTCGTTCGCTGAACATGCCTTTCTTAACGCTTTCGTTATCGTATCGGACAAAGCCAAGTGCTGAACTCTGTTGAGAAGAGGACCGCATATTTCCTTTCTCGTCCCCACCCATAAATGTGGACTATTGCGACAGAACTTGGCCTTTAGGAATGTCTTGATGAGAAATGATGCACAAAGAGGTAGGTTCATTAACTCTTCCAAGTTTGGTAACAAGGGAGAGCTTGGCGGCGTAATAAACCTCCTTTTTCTCCTCCCAATCTTTGAATCATATGGCTGAAATGTCTTTTGTGGGCGTTCTTGAAGAATCTGCTCCAACGCTTGGGCGAAAGTAGTATGGAAAGCCTTCCCTGAGCTGCCGTCACCGATAACATGATGATAGATAAAAGACGCTGTGAAGGTATTCCCCAGTGATGGGTCTATCAATATGCAAAGCTTCCAAAGCGGTGCGTTATTATGTTCAAAAAATGTATTGTGTTGCGTTTGCAACAATTCCTCAACGTCGAGATCCTCCGAAAACCCATCCGACGCCCGTTTTCGGCGTGCATAGAATACGACACATTGCTCAACATCAATGACAGGTAGGCGAATAAAACAAGGCGAATTGGGTCTATCATTCACGATATTGACAGAAAGTACCGGATGATGCTGAATGAGCATGTCACACGCGCGATAAATATCATTTTTGATCGACCGGTTAATGGAATGGGGTGGTAGATAGTATGTTGCTGTTACTGCAACGTTCGTATAGAACTGTAATTGGTGTCGCGCCGCTAGATAATTCTCTAAGAGACCTGTGAAACAATGGTTAGTCATCTGGTTTTCATCGATCGCGACAAGTCGAACTCTACCTAATGGTCTCAATATTTGCCACTTCTTGGTCAAATGTGCATTCATCGCATCATGGACATTATGATCCTGCCAGTTTTCAAAGCCGGGCTTTGGAAAAAGCAGAAATGAAACCGGGACAGTTCATGGTATGTGTGATAATCCCCAGCACATTGTGACTCGGATTCACATGATGGCTGGCCTTGTGCCATATCACACCAACAGAATAACGCCTCACGCAAACCGCGCCAATTAGGAAAGAATGGGATATCTCGAGAGGGGTCAGAGAGCCGGTAGCCTGGTACGTTTGGGGCAGTTTGCCAATAATAATGAATTAGCTTTGTAGACGGCGTCATCAATTATAACACAAATGCTAAGACCCATGGGTATATAAAGACTGAGCGGCTCCCATTGGACCATTCTGCCGCCTAGCCAGGCACCGAAAGCAGGCCTAACCTTTGTTCGCAATTCAGTGTGTCTGGTTCGCTTTGATAAAGTTGAACCTAGCGGATGTCACACATTAGCAGCAACGGACATGGCCGCATTGGGGGCGGGGTTGTCGGGGCGGCTCTGATACCGGCTAATAATAGAATGCGGTTTAAGTATTCGCGATATATGGTGTTGTGTGCGTAACAACATGAAGTAGCCTAAAGATAATGTCGCCTAGAAGATTTAAAACTGATGGCTATCGCGAAGGACAATGGAATTGACAGAAGAACCAGCCGATATTCCGCGCACCAGTCCGCCTTCTCTCCGATCTGCAATGCTGGCCGTGTTTTCTTCAAATGTTCCCATGACTTGGTTTTCCGTGCGAGAGAACTGCTAATATTAATTGGTATGCGCGGTGCTTGGTGACTTTCGGATGTTTCTACTATCTTCGTTTTCCCATGCATCACGTGATACTGCTGCCTGAGGCTGCAAAAACAATGCTAGAGGAGAAGACTTGATGTCGATCCTAGGGCATATGTCTGAGGTTGATGGGACTCTATTCAGTCAATATGAAATGGCGATTAGCTAAGAGGGACCCCAATTCTCAAGATTCTGCTCCTCTTTTTTGGTAGGCCGTGACAGTACATTCCTCGCAGACAGAGTATAATTCCATGAGCCCTAATTTATCCTTCGCAGTTTCTAGGTCAACTCCATAAAGCGAGGAAACAACATGATCAACTCTCCAGCCTAGAGAATCCTTGACCCCATGCAAGAATTGAATTGTTGAATAGGGTTCTGCTTGCGACTCTAAGACTTAACCACCTATGAACTAAGCGAAAAGCGACAGTTACATATGTCCACTGGTAACTGGAACTGTTATAATTTATGAAATACCGACAAGCACAATATATAACATGATATCAAAAAGTCAGAGGAAGGAGGCGACAAGACTTTCATTGATCGTTTGGTTCTTAGATGCGAAAAGAAGCAACACTTGCAGAAATACAAAATATGTGAAATCTCATAACCGGTGCACATGAGGATTGCTCTTGGTGAGGCCAATTATGGTGCGAAGTTTGTCTTGAATCACAATCTCTGAAATCCCATGAAACCCTGTTGGAGCATTGCCGCACTAGCCATGCCATGACGAGAAAGCGGGAATTAGGAATTGGGAATGAAAAAAAAATGGAAAAAGGACTGAAATTCGTCTCATTAAAATTACCTCTGCCTCATGCCACGATCTGAGAGCATTGACACCGGACCGCGGAGCACTTGGATTGGTAAACACGGGAAGAATGCTCGCAGTCTGTTCGATATGAAGGGCTTGAAGGTGTAACATTGCACGTAGACGAGGGCGCGTGTGCTGCAATTGGTAGTTGGAGATTTTCACTGGCTTCTGAGGATCCAGAAATATACAATCTGCATTAGGTCGGTCTTGATCCTGTAGAATCGCAATTTGAGGTGGACAGGGATGGACACAATTTGCGACCAGTTCCGTCGAATGATTATTCTCAGATTCTGAACCAACCCCATCTTCAAAAGACCCAATTCCATGATATTCTGCTGCAAAAATTAACCTCACTTTGTTAGTATATGAGGACAAAATCAAAGAAAATTGGTGAATGGATGGGAGGTGCAATTGAATTGAACATCTGCACTCTGCATTGAATAACAGACTTGTCCTCCGGCATAAAACGAAATCGATGAGTTACCTGCGTTTGGTAATTCTACCCACGTCTGGCCTGATTTGTTATTTTACACCTGCAGCATTTGTCGTTTCGGTCTTCGAAAATGCCTGACCCGAATTAGCTTCACTCAATGTAAAAGCCGCAATGACAGAGCGCTAAATTTACTGTATTCGGTACCATTATAAGACTCGTTTGTTCTGCGAGGTCTCTCAGAGTATTGCCATGACGCGACCCGGAGCCGATAACAAATCCTCCAATGGTTATGGGTCATTGGACTGAAGGGATAATAGAATCTTTGAAATCCTGGGCTTTGTAAAAGTAAGCTTACCTCCATGTATGAACCAGAATAAGCCCTTTGGAGTAAGATTATGCGGTTTGATGATGTGGAGGGGCATCTTGTGGTCTCCGTGGTCTGACTTGATCGCGAACGCAGTCGCCTCAAGATCATATACTGGCGCATCAAAAACTCCTATCACAGCTTGCTCCAGCTTTCTGTACCCCTCACGCGATTTGCAGTCCCAGAATTAGTCCATGGACAATTTTGCCGTTCCATATTCAGAGGTTTCCTGAAGTCGATAGCGAAGGTTTTCTTCTGAGCATGGCGCGAAACGCAAAACTGTATCTTGATGAGATTTCGAATTATTGGTTTAGTCCGGCAACCGGCCGTTGGTAAGAATTGCAAGCAATGGATTACCCGTTGCGATTGTTCAGCAGCATTACTGATTACATTCCATTGAATAGATCTCAGTCTTTGGACTTTCAGGTAGATGTTGATAATGTCAAGATTTTGTTGAATTTTCAATATTATTTAGATTTAATATATTATTACATCCGGTCAACTGGCATATACAACATAACTCAATTGATGTATACTAAACATGTGGGTTGGTACAACCCTATATCTAGGACAGTATATGTATGTACTACTATGTAGTATGTACGACGCAGCATGACGTTAGTAGAAGCGATGTAAATTATAAGCTCGTGTTTATTGTGCCAGAAATTTGTTATTAATCACTCCACGTATTATATATGTATTGTTGTTAAGTCACATTGAAATCTTATTTGCTGTGTTATTGCGTGCCCATGTTTCAACGCCTATTAATAGCGGGAGACGAAACAAACGGCCCTATCGCCGTTGCAACATCTGAAAAGGTTTTAAAGTGCTAAAATTCGGGCCAAAGAGGCCTTACGCGGCTGCTGAATCGACCCGAAAGTGCGAGCGAAAGGGAAAGCGCGCCCGTCGATCATCAGTTTGCTCCTCGCACTCATCGCTGATCGGCAAGTTGCACACGAATAATGCAACCCCTCCTAACTATCATTCATGCGGGAGTGATCACATTATTGCTATCCAATCTTGTTGTCCGATCAGGAGGCCAGCGATCTTCCAATTCGGCCTGCCACCAGCGACAACATTGGAAATACTATTGATGATTATGGAATATTGGGTGCAAAGTTAGCGATCGATAAGGTTGATGCTGCAGACCCCTTTAAGGTTGGCCTCCCATCCACCGTCAAATGCAAGTCCAATAATAACAATTACTGATAGATATCGATGGTCCGGGCACCAGCCACCCGTCGTGTGATGGATGATGGATACTCGTGCTCTGGGTGCGCGTGCCATAGCCACATGGCCGGTAACCTCTACCATCTCATCCGTACCGTCCGCCTGCCCAGCTCGTATGCTATATACTGTACATAGTATATGTAATGCGGGGGGAGTGACATCGCGGGCTGCTGAGTGCTGACTTGTTCTGGTTCCTGTCAGCGCCCAGGGGCTTAGGGCGAGATAGTCGCAGCCAAGGTCGGATCTAGCTGCAACTATCGGCGCCATCGCAGCCCACAGTGCGACAGAGCACGGAAATGAACCGACCCTAGATCGAGGATCGGCGGGCACTGGGCCGCCTGGAAGCCAACATCGATAGCACATGCCAGGCACACCCGATCTGTCGAAATGAAACGCCCCAAAACGCTGCGAGCCGTAGCGGCGTCATCCGCCATCGGACTGCGCGTCTAAGTGTCATGGTGATGAGGCCCCCCGTCCAATCACTGCGACCTCATCAACCAGTTGACACTTTCCCAAGCTGCTCCACCGAGTCCACTCATGCAGGACCTAGGGTCAGTTTGGGAATTTTCGAGGTTGAGCTCATCAGCATGATGTCCAATGGAGCGGCCCCCCAAAACAACAATGATCGATACAAAAGCATACTCCATCCCAAGGGGCCGCCGTCTACGCCTACTCTGTTGTATCTTTCTCCCTCTTCATTCTTTCCCTTGGTATCGCCCTTACTTTCCTTAACTTAGTGGCGAAAATGCGTTGGGCTTCCGTTCTTTCTTCAGCCTTGCTCGTCGCGGGCGCGAGCGCGGTCCCTCATTTGTATAAGAACAACAAGAACCTTGCTGCTGCCTCGTCCACGGCGGTTCCAGCTCCTACAGGAGGTGCGAGCTACTGGCTGGCCGATGTGAAGCACCAGGGCAATGCCCCTTATGCCGACAGTGGCTACAAAGTTTTCCGTAACGTCAAGGACTACGGCGCTGCTGGTAAGAAATACAACTGTGGAGTGGAAATTCGACGATCTTGATCATCTGCTCTAGAAAAAGTTAGATTTAACAAGTGATACAGGTGACGGCTCAACTGATGACACTGATGCTATCAACAAAGCCATTAGTGATGGCAGCCGTGCCAGCCCGGCGTCCAACACAACTTCTTCTACAACCCCTGCAATCGTTTACTTCCCCCCGGGAACCTATGTTGTTTCGGCACCTATCATTGACTACTACTTCACCCAAATCATTGGAAACCCCAACGATCCGGCTACCATCAAGCCCACCTCCAGCTTTAAAGGCATTGGCGTCATCGATGGCGACCAATACCAGAATAATGGCAAGGAGGGCTGGATTTCGACTAATATTTTCCTTCGCCAGGTGCGAAACTTGATTATCGATTTGACCGACATCCCAGGAACCACTGCCGCTACTGGTATTCACTGGCCTACTTCTCAAGCCACTAGCCTGCAGAACGTCGTAATTAACTGCAACGCCGATGCTGGCAGCCAGCACCAGGGTATCTTTATTGAAGACGGTACACATAACCCAGATCCAAATAATTAGGCATAAGATAACTAACCCGAGCAATAGGTTCTGGTGGATTCATGAGCGATGTCACTGTTAATGGCGGTTTGTACGGAATGAACATTGGGAACCAACAATTCACCTTCCGCAACATCACCATCAACAATGCTGCTACTGCTATTAGCCAGATTTGGGACTGGGGCTGGACCTACGTAGGACTCAACATTAACAACGCCACGACTGGCATTAACTTCGTTGGAGGAACTACCGGTCAGGCAGTTGGTGGTGCCAACATCATCGACAGCACCATCTCTAACGTCAAGACCTTTGTCAACACTACGTGGACGTCTGACGCCACCCCTGCTGGTGCCGGTAACTTGATCTTAGAGAACGTCGTTCTGGATTCTGTCACAACCGCGGTCCAGGGTCCCAGCGAGACCTACCTCAAGGGCGGCTCCTCCACTATCGCCTCCTTCGGTCAGGGTCACCAGTACACCCCATCCGGTCCCAACACCCTGCAGGGCACCTACGCCCCGATCGCCAGACCTAGTGGCCTCACTACTGGCTCCGGCTCCAACTACTTCACCAAGTCCAAGCCTCAGTATGAGAACGTCCCTGCCAGCCAAGTTGTCAGCATCCGTGATGCCGGTGCCAAGGGTGATGGAAAGACCGACGACACCAAGGCCATCAACTCGGCCCTCAGCTCTGCTTCGTCGAACGGAACCATCGTATTCTTCGACTACGGTATCTACCTGGTCACCGACACCATCTACTTCCCACCCGGTGTCAAGGTTGTGGGTGAAAGCTACCCCATTATTGCCGGCAGTGGTGACGCCTTCTCCGACGCAAGCAACCCTCTCCCCGTCGTCCAGGTCGGAAAGAGCGGCGATAAGGGTACTATCGAATGGTCTGACTTCCGTGTTGGTACCATTGGCGGTGCTGCTGGTGCTATTGCTATTGAATGGAACCTCAACGGTGACCAGGGAGCTGGCATGTGGGATGTCCACACCTTGATCGGTGGCTGGACTGGCTCTAGCCTGCAGGTCAAAGACTGCCCTACCTCAGCGTCTGTTTCGGCCTCCTGCCAGGCTGCTTTCATGTCTGTTCACATCACCAAGGATGCTCAGAACTTTTACTCTGAGAACAACTGGTTCTGGACTGCTGACCACGACATTGATGATCCGACCAACACTCGCGTGTCGATCTACACTGGTCGTGGTGTCCTGGTTGAGGCTAGCAATGTTATCATGTATGTTTTCCCCTTGTTTTTGTCCATTTGAAATAGGGCTAATAATGTAACAGGTGGGGAACTGGCGCAGAGCATCACGGTCTCTACCAATTCCAATTCCACGGTGCTTCCAACGTCGTCGGTGGCTACTTCCAGACTGAGTCTCCCTACTACCAGCCATCCCCCGATGCCACCGCCGGCCCATACAAGTCCAACACAACCTGGAACGACCCCGACTTCAGCACCTGCCTATCTGGTAACTGCGATGCTCTTGGTCTGCGTGTCACCGATAGCTCCAGTCTGTCTCTGTACGGCACTGGTCTGTACAGCTTCTTCAACAACTACGACACCAGCTGCTCCAACTCTGGTGGCTCCGAGAACTGCCAGAGCGAGATCTTCCGTGTCGACGGTAGTGTTTCGAACCTGAATGTGTATGGCTACAACACCGTTGGTGTGACGAACATGATCACTGTCAACGGAACCGGCGCGGCCAAGTACTCTGACAACCTGAGCGTGTATCCTGATTCCATCGCTTTGTTTTCTGTCTAGAGAAGAGTTTTCCATAGCTTCTTGATATAGCTTTCTAATGTTCATGAATGTACATTTGGAATGATTGAGGGGTATATACCTATCAATATATACATGTATACTGATAATTATTTTCGAAATCGAGCCGAACCCCGTTGATCGGGCGATTCGGTGTACTTTAAATAGGACTGTAATCCGGACTAGGTCTTGATCGTAACAGTATTATCTATATATGTGGTTGTATTCTAATCACTGCCGACCTGTCCAATAAGCGACCTCCCCAATAGACTTCCTGAAGTAGAATCAGTTTCATCAACGGGAACAATGTATTATAATTAATCATAGTGTAGACTGAGTAAAGGGTTGTATTGCTGAAAATACATATTTACCTTCAAAATATTAGTATTTCCACATCAGCTCGAGTCTTATTGATATTGGTTTGAAATGGGAAATTGCTATATCTCCCTCATTACATCCATGTAGTCTCTTGACGGAATATCTAGCATGAACATGATCTCTATTTAACCACCGCATGCGTTTAATCGTGTTTAACGTGTTTAGCTCGTATTCAGCGCGTCTGTCTCGCGTCTGAGCGCGATCACTCTAACTCGACGGGGTATAGCCACCCATGCAAGGAGCGCTTGGCTCGAGCCTTCGCGTCGAAACGATGCACAAAAAGAGGGGCAAAGTCGCCAATCTTCCTGTCAAGCCTCGCTCTTGCACTAGTGATTGGATGCGGCTCAGCACGAAAATTCTGCATTTATCGATTAAAACTTGTTTCGTCGATGCGTCTGGCCAGTCATCGCGTCGCATTCTATGCTTTTCTCTGCATATTCCATATTCTACCCCGTGTTAACGGTTTACGCTGCACTGTAGAAAGCCGTAGCGAATCATCTAGTTGCCCCTCTCGAGATATGAGTCACGCAAGCCGTCGCACCGAAAGGGAATAGACGGACGCGAATATTCTTTTTGGCGTTTGGTTTCTCGTTCTCGTGTAGTAGTTGATTTAGTCGATGCGAGTTTGGAATGGTGCATGGTTCCTGGCTGTCCGCCCGCAGGTATAATTATCGGCAGTGTGTGCCCCGTTTTTCAGGACGGAAACGAAACATTATTGCTTACACTGTGTGTAAACTGTGATTTTACTCTATGTTCAAACTGTTGATACTTTAATCGTTGATATATATACACATCATATATAATATCGGAGGTAGCAGGTATACCTCCCTGTCCTATATCCCCTCTATTCCGTGCGCATACTGTGTATACCAATCGTACAGCATCGAGAAAAGAATGAAATAAAATGTTCGCCTTTGCAAAGTTCTGGCAAACAGATCTGACCCGTGACTGCCTTCTTGAGGTCCTGGATAAGGCATCCTTGGCGAATCTGCGTCTTGCATGTCGCGCATTTAGCTCACCGTCCGCGCGGTACCTGTTTGGCGAAATGGAGATTTCATTTCGAAGCAGCACATTCACCAAGCCCGCGCGCATGGCGGCGTTGGAGCGAATTGGCCAAAACGTCAGGACGCTGACGTTTCGTCTGCCACATACTGCAGAGACGTTTCTTCCACCGTTAGTCGATCCGGCTACAGGTGAGGAGCATGTATTCGTGTATACCCCTCAATATCGACATAGCCCCCGTACTTCTGGTGCGAGTTCCGGCTCGGGCGATAAACCGCCCAAGTATGGCAGCTGGGAAATGATGGATCTTCTGGTCAAGCAGTATCCCCCGCTGTTCCACGCTGCCACAAATGTACAGTCATTTGTTCGCGCATTGGACTGCATGCCGGCGCTGCGACATCTGAAGATTGCCTGTGACGAGGAAGTCCCCGCACATCGGTATCGACGGAGTGTTGTCGACTTTGCGCTCATCTCGCTGCGTATCGCGATTGAGCAAGCCCAGCAGCTCGACAATCTAGAACGCTTGTCCCTGTTGCCCATTCACCCTGCCGGGATCCTGTACCTGCGTCCAGCGATCATGGGCATAGGTATATCACCAAGCGGGCGCAAAAGATGGAAGCAAATCAAGCAACTGAGCATCCAGATGGAAAGCTTTCCATATGAGGATGGCCACGCGACCGACCAGCTGAAGGTTCTACATTCTTATCTTCAGAGTTTCCCTAACCTTCGTAGCTTTGTGTTTCACTGGACTGGGCCGCGAAAGGGTCCCTGCCCGCTCTCACTAGCAACGGAGCCGGCCTTGCGTGATGAGCGATCTCCGAGCCAGAATGCATGCCCGAGGAGACATGCACAGTGCACATTGCGGCCGGTGAAGTTTGAGCATCTGCAATATATGGAGCTCGCAAACACTGTGCTCGACGCATTGCAGGTCTCTGATTTCATCAGGGAGCATCGAGAGACGCTCGGGGAGTTTGAATTTGAGGACGTTAGTCTTCGCAGTGGCAGCTGGGATGATGCCTTCGCGCCGTTGAGCAAGATATCGGGACGAGGCGAATGGAAAGACAAGGATCTGTCGTGCTTGATCGAAAGTATGGAAGTCCCCATTATGCTCGTGAACAACCCTCTTGATCGGACAACGTCGTCGTCATCGGCGGACTGCTCGCCGACTTCATCTCCGAAGAAGAAGAAGAGGCGAAAGAAGAGACGAAAGAACCATGCCCCCGATATCAATAGCTCCCTGTTCGCGTCCACCGCTGCGTTGCTCTGGGAGGAGCAGGAGCAGCGACACGTGCGACTGCGAGCGCTGCGTGAGGGCGTCAGTCAGTTGGCGCGCGCCAAGGTCAAGACCGACCATATGAAGAAGCTTCTGCCGTCGATGTTCTGGCGATGTGGTTAGATACATTGTACACGCTCTTTACATGCATTCTTTCTTGGTGTTGATTGCATTCTTTTCATTTGTGTTGATTGTGGTGCATTTGGCACTAGTCGAGATTGGCTGGGGAGGGTCACGCATGATGCTGTAACTACGAGATATGAGATATGAGATATGACTCGTTATGTGATATGCAATAATTATTAGATGTATTGAGGAGGTGATAGAAGCCTCGGTGTCGCGCCAGATCACATGTTCGGGACTCGGGGCTCACGCCTCGACGTCATTACGACGCCGGCCCAAAACGGCTAGCCTGGCCCGCTGCCTCTGGCCTACTGAGCCGAGGTTCCAGCTTCTCCACGTTTCTTTCTTCCTGCTGGCAACCATCCATTTAATTATATATAGTTAGCGGACACTCCGCTCTCAGGATTGACCCTCCCATCCCACGATCTCCCTATTCTTACATCCACCTGCAAAAACAGCTGCTAGCCATCATGTCTGTCAAGGACGGTATGTTGTCAGCCCGCTGCTTCCACTCATCCTCCCGCTGACATGCACACAGACGCCTTCCCTGCCTCCGCTGCTTTCGATGCCATCAACCAGGCTCTCACCGATGAGGCTGAGCGCAAGGACGCCATCAAGAAGGCTGCTGGCATCTACGCCTTCACCCTGACCAACGCTGCCGGCAAGGAAGCCTCGTGGTACATCGACCTCAAGACCACCGGAAAGGTCGGCAAGGGCGCTGCTCCTCCAGGCGGCAAGGCCGATGGTAATACCGCAGTCTCATCACGTTGAACATGAAATAGATTGCTGATATGCGCTGAATAGTCACCCTCATCACCAGCGAAGAGAACTTCCAGAACCTTGTCACTGGCAAGGCCAACGCACAGCGCCTGTTCATGGGCGGAAAGCTCAAGATCAAGGGCAACGTCATGAAGGCCACCAAGCTGGACCCCGTCCTGAAGAAGGCCCAGACCAAGGCCAAGCTGTAGATTTCTCGTGCTGTGTTTGGAGCAAAGACAAAATGCCGTCGATGCCGGACGGTGGTTATATTCGATTATTGTATATAAATACCCGCGTTGATGAGAGAATACATTGTTGCCATTATAATTATATATTGCACATATATGATACTAGAATTCGTAAATAAAATAATATAACCCGAGAATGTAGATTGTATATACAGCATCATATCAATTCAATGTTGATTGGCTACATCAAGAATGACTTACCAGGTAAATCATCCCCGGCTGCTCGTGACATTGTCCATATGTATCGATCCCTCCGGACTCTCCCATCCCCTTTGATTTTGCGGCTCTTCTTCCCCCAACCTCCGCTGTGACGACTCCCTTGTTCCCCGCTGCCGCTGGCCGAGGCCCACACCCAATAGTCTCTCCTCATCGTCTGCGAACTTGGAAAACCCGTCCATCGTATACAATGCACTATCTGTGCGGTCATACGGGACATGACATTGCCTGTCCCTCAGAGACGGATAATACCGCCGATACGTGAAGTATGCGATGCATGATCCCAAAATACCCCCTACGCTAACATCCCAGACATCATGACGGTAATCTTCGCAGCGGGAAATTGCAATCAGGGCTGCACCGACGGTGGGGAGGAATGCAAACAGGCATCGACCGAGGTCAGCGCGGGGGCGGAAGACGTGTAGTTGTCCGGATATGAAGCTATACCAAGTCAGTCTTGCGCCTAGTCTATGAATCCACATTTAAGAAAGCAACGAACAGCGAAAGAAACCCTAGTCCCGCAAAGGCAAAACTGCTATGTCCACTCGGGAAGCTGCGCCAACCCTCCTGCAAAATATGTTCATTGGATTGTGTGCATATGCTAAATGTCACGAGTCTGTGCGCTGCTGTTCCCTGCTCAGGTTGACATCTATCTATCAGGTCTGGACGAGGTCGGCCCACCGCGTTCTTTATTATGTCCGTTATGAATGGTGTAACCATCAGAGAGACGCCGAGACCCAGGAGGGTGACATGGAATTTGTGCGCGGATGGCCGGGTGATGAGACCCCATGCGAAGATGAATGTGGCAGGAAGAACGGCCGAGTATACAATCGACCATACTGTCCTCAAATTAGTGGTGGTTGAGATGTATCTAAGTAAAATGACGTACGAATAGGAACCCGCTCGACTTTCGCAAAGGGAAACTGAATGGCCATGTTATCGAGATAGAACATCCGGTGAAAGGGAGTGATGAATATTTGGATCTAGAAAGATAGTCGATATGAGTGTTGTTATTCTAGATATAAATTGTGGATTTGGATATTGGATATAGTGTACTGACCAGCACGAATCCCGTCGCAACGATCCCCAAAGCAACATAATCGGCGGCGTATGTGCGCTGCCAGAAGCGAGCAATCGCCCCCAGGGCCCCCGGCTGATTCGAGAGCGACATGCTGTGCTGGGGTGCTGGGAATGAAGGCATTATTTTTTATATCGGTTTATTGTTTCGTCGGCTGCGTTGGGTTACTGGCTAGGCAGCAACGGCAGTGGCATTTTCTTTGCTTTTCAATACAGTAAAACGCTATCAAGCACGACAAATATGAGAAACAAAAATAGCAGATTGCAGATAAATAATCAAAGCATCAAGCACAAATGAGTCACGAGTAGAGAGGAGGAAAGAGAGAGAAAGAGAGAGGGGAAGTCTTCAGACAATGCGGAGAACGGGAGGCTAGTCGCGGGAGTTCCTTTCTGCGTCGTGGACCGCTCCCTGCACCTACACCACCTACACCACCTACACAACACGAATAACATTCTAGCAATACACATCATATCCCAGCAGACTTGATATCACGATATAAAGCACCATCTCTAAATGGCGGAAGCACAGCGCGCCGTCACTGCGGCCTTCCCTCCTCCACCGCCGTTCTGGAAACACTTCTCTAAGGAAAATGTCGAGAAGCTGGACAAGCTCAAGGCAGAATCGGCCAAGTCGCACGACGGGAACCCAAAGAAGAAATGGTCGCCCAGCGAGCTGCAGGCGTTGGATACACCGTCCGAACTCCGGTACTTGATTCCTCCCAAGGCCCCGACCGAAGGAACTTATAGTGTTTTCGGGGAGCTACAAAATGTATGGTCTTTACCGACTCATAGAGGGGCTATTTTATTAATTGACTTGAATGTGCAGCTCTCCAGTGCTCTCCCATCTCTGAAAGACCAAGGAATTGAGCAACTCTACCCCGAACCCCCGGCCACCGACGGGGGAAAGGAAGCCCAAGTCGCCCAGCCCTTGAATCACGCGTTTTATTTGCTAAAAATTAGCAAATCTCTGCTCCTCAACTTTCTAGAGTTTGTCGGTATTCTGTCTATCGCGCCCGAACAATTTGAAACGAAACTAGACGATCTACGGAACCTTTTCATCAACGCCCACCACTTGCTCAATCTTTACCGGCCTCACCAGGCACGAGAATCACTGATACTCATGATGGCAGAACAACTAGAAAGTACAAGAAATGAGATCCAGGAGATGGACCAAATACAGAACCGCGTTGAGAGGCTACTTGAGCAGCTTGCAGTTGAAGCAAAAGACGTGGCTGATCCAATCCTGTCGGAGTCGAAAGAGGACACAAATGGTGCACAGATCGACAATAAGACGGTGCAGGAAGCGCGCCAGCTCTGGGATTTGTTGGAAGAGTACGACTCTTGATCTCTTTGCCGCTCCTTGATTATTACCAGACTATATCACTTTGAGCGCTGTCGAAATTGCGCAGCCGGCAATATCGCGGAATTGATCTTCCACGAGCATAGAACAGTGAAATTGAGACTCAGCTCCACAGAATATCATGTTGGAATGACTGTCAATCTTCATGCATCAACAATGATATTGAGCTATCGGAGAGGAGATATTCCGGCCGGTCACGTGAGCCGCTAATTTCCCCAAGCTTTAAAGCGCCACACAAATTTTCACCTCGTTTCTACAGCCCAAACTCTGCTGTGTAATCTTAATAGGCCTAGGTATGTTACTCCGCATTTCTTAACCTACCCAAAATTAAGTGATGAAAGATGCTTTTCTATGTTTCAACCCCATATGAATTTCATTGATTATATTTTGCATCTCATACCTCAAAACTGAAACCCAATCTATATCACTCGCGATCTACATTCCAATATGATGGATAGACGCTGACATGATTTGATCTAGGAAATCGATAGTTGAGTATGCATTCGGTTGACCGGCACCCTAGGTTGATAATCCGTATGAAGCGAATTTTACATCAAAATTTCCATTCAATATATACATAGTCACCAATAAATTGTCAATCTTTGTCCATTCTATTATTCTATTTTCCGATCTATATTTGGAGAGGGGAATTAAACTATATATACAACCCGACAATGCAAAGAGAAGAAAAAATTAAATTCAATGGAAGTGAGCCCAAAGCATGCAAAATGCGTTTCCTTTATTCAGCCTTCTTAGACGCTTTGGTACGCAGCTTCATCAACACATAGACTAGAGCATACGAAGAAAGTGCAAAGATGACAACGATTCCAGAATCGCGCCAGCCGTAGTAATAATCTTTCAAGTTGATAGTGTACAAATAATCACTACCACTTCTGTACTGGCAGACCCTGCAATTTGCCGTGTCATCGGGGTTGTCCAGGTATGACAACACGCCCATTCCGTGCATGTAATCAGCAAGGTACTCTCCGCAGGTACCGTTGGCAGGGTTGAAGATGGCGAACTCGCTCTCTGCGCAGTTGACCTCAACGCCCCAGACTGTGAAGGTGAGGAGACTACCCATAAGATAATTGAACGGATTGAGATAGTACATCCAGTATCGCCAAAAGGCCTGGATCTGTGCATACGGCACAAGCACACCACAAAAGGAAACGAGCGTTCCGATGACAACCGGGTTCGCGAGCGCGGCGAAGACAGCGTTGGGGGCATATGCGGCAATGAATTGACCGATACCGGTGTAGACAAATTCATACATCAGCATCACGAAAAACACAGCTCCGGATTTGTTGGAATCATGCGGGAATCCAACTGTATAGTACCAGCAGGCAAAGTACAGAACGGCGCAGACGCAGAGATACGGCAGCTCAGAGACGATCAAGGCCGTGACAAAGGCTATCCAGGAGTACATTTTAGACTTCTTTTCCCGCGTCTCGTAGATATCACGACGTTCGATGAAGAGGGGCTGCAACTGGGCAATGACGCCAGGGGCGACGAAAATGAAGTTGAAGACCGTGAAGAGACGCAGCTGGAGGTCGCCCACAGTATCCCCGATCATCCAGAACGAGAAACCGTTGAAGAGAGCGGTGAAGATGTGCAAAGCGAACTTGTTATTCACGTAGTCAGTATTGCGGAATAGAGCAACGTTCATACGATGCGAGACGATCTTGGTCTGTTGCCACAGGGCCATGGCGAACTCGTGTCCGTCGTCTTGCGTCTGGGGTGGTTTGGCGGCGGCTTCAGCAATGATCTCGTCAAGTTCCCGCGTCGTTTTCTCGTGCTCAGGCGATTCCAGCCAGACCTTGTTCCAATCGCGGCCCTGAGACAGGTCGCCGGAAACAACATCAATCATGTGCTCTGCTGGGTTGGCTTCGGATGGGCAAGGTGCGCCGTAGCGTCCGAAATATTCTTTCACGGTTGTACCGTTGTCACCGATATCGCCAAAGTAAACCATCTTGCCACCCTTGGCAAGAAGCAAGAGAGTGTCAAATTGGGCGAAGAGCTGAGCAGAGGGCTGGTGGATTGTGACTAGCACGGCCTGGCCGACATCCGCCAACTTCCTCAAGAAACGAACCGTGTTGTAAGCGGATTGACCGTCGAGTCCAGAAGTAGGCTCATCCAAGAAGATCAGAATGCTTGGCTTCGCAACCAACTCCACGCCAATGGTCACTCGCTTACGCTGCTCGACGGACAATCCAGCACCGACTTTACCAATAAGAGTGTCTGCAATGTCGTGCAGTTCCAAAAGATCGATGATCACGTCAACGTATTTCAGTTTCTCCTCTCGTGGAACCTCGCGTGATTGACGAAGGAGAGCAGAAAATTCGAGGGCCTCTCTAACGGTGGCAAAAGGCTCGTGGACGTCAAGCTGTTCACAGTAGCCTGCAGATCGTTGGAATGAGACCGGTAGTGGACGACCATCAACCATGATTGAACCTTTGATAGTACCCTGGGTTTTGCGTTGAGCCAGTACGTCAAGCAAAGTGGTTTTCCCAGCACCTGAAGCACCCATCAAGGCACCCAACATTCCCGGCTTGACCCAACCCTGAACGTCATCAAGCAACACACGGTCTCCAGAAGGTGTCTTGACTGTGTACGACAGATTTTTCCAGGTGAAAACTGACGTGTTACGGATTAAGTTCTTGTCAATATCATCCTGGCCGTTTTTGTCTCCAGTCTTTTCAGCGAGAGTGTTGGATGAGCTGCTCATCTCACTGCTCTTCTCCTGTGGCTGGGTCTCTTCGTCGATGGCTAGCTTTTCTTGAACAACATGCAGATTTTCACGCGGGATCAACAGTGAGGGACCATTCTCAGAAGAGGCGCGCCAGCGAGACGTACAGACTACCGTGATGGCAACAAAAAGCACCCACCATGCCCATAGGATACCGAAATTACGCCATACATGTTCATGGCTATAGGACAGAGACTGAAGGTATGCATCTCCAGTAACGAAGACTTCGCCCTGGACTGCTCCTCCAACCCCAGCGCAGGATTGGTATTGAGAATCGAAATACCCAGGACCATTTGGAACAAGATTGTTTCCAACGCAGGGAAGAACCTTTCCATGGTACTCGTTACCGAGAAGAGCATCAAAACCGTAGGCAAGCGGGTTAATCCAATAGATCCACACAAACCATGGGTGCATGGCGGGTTTCTTGATCAAATATCCTGTGTACATGATACTCGCAGTGATGACGAATCCAGAAATTTTGGAAGCTGCGTCGAACGTTTTGGCAGCGGCGCCAATTGCTCGAAACATTGCTGTCATGCACTACGGAATGTCAGAAGGGATTCACGAGGAAAGCTGGTTTAATGGACTCACCATTGTCGTGACAAAGAGCATAATCCAGTAGGTGAAGAAGGCACCTGCATTCATTTCCAGTCCTACCATGAAGTAGAGGACGATGCTGAATATACTGATTTGAAAGATGATAACGGGAATATCAGCCATAATCTGAGCGATACAGAAGGCAGCGGGGTGATAGAATGCAAATGACTTGTGTTTGATCAAGACCGGACGTCCGCTGAATGAATCTGTGACTTCGCTCATAGCCAACAGACTGTTGAAAAGGAGAGAAAAGAACAAAGCACCGGACTTGACGAATAGACCGGCACTAGTATTCGGGGCGTTGTAGAAAAGGGAGCCAGCAATCAAGGCTTGTGCAAGGGTCGAAATCTGCTTGATAAGGAAGGTTGCCTTATCACCCCAGAGGATTTGATATTGTCGTGTAATCGTAGCCTCGACTTGTGCCGGGAAACTGATTGTAAGGGGACTCGACTTCGGAAGCTGGGGATGCTTCTCGTGAGAGATAGCCTCTTTGAACGTACGCGTGCGTTCCTTGGCCTCGTCTGTTGTCGGGTAGTCATACTCGGATATCATGCGAGAGTAGATTGGGGACTTTTGGTATTCATCCCGTAATGTTTCGGCATTTCGAGGGAATACGTGGTCATATCCATCCCGAATCAGCCGCTCGGTTGGCACCGTGACACCAGTCAGGTAGTCGGCTACATTAGAACCTTCTCGGCATACAAAACCGAGATTTTCCATGAAGGGTCTGGCTTCGTTCATAGGGCCGTAGTACACTTCTTTGCCTCCGTCCAACACGAGGACCTTATCGAAGAGCTCGTATATGCCGTTTCCAGCCTGGTACAGCGTGACAATCGAGGCCAAGCCAAGCACGTCCGTCATCGCACGGATGGCCTTGGTGTAGCCCAGTGCTGTGCTAGCATCTAGGCCACGGGTACTGTTGTCCCAGCAGTAGACCGAGCCCCGGGTAGCGAGGGTTTCGATGATTGAGATACGTTTGCGTTCTCCTCCTGATACGCCACGAACAAACTCGTTGCCGACCATTGTGTCGTGTGTATGCTCGATACCCATCGATTCCAGAAGAAACTCTTTCGTCTCGACTCGAAGTGCCTCACCTGATTGCACATCATTCGGGATGTGATGCGGCAGCTTCAACCTTGTCGCGAAGTCCATCGTTTGGCCAACAGTGAGAGTTGGGAAGAACAATTCTTCTTCGGTGTTCATGACAATTTGTCCTCGGTGATGCGCCGCTTCTTTCGGGCCCATGGATCCGTACCAGACGTCACCCGAAATAGACGCGTATCCCTTCCGCCTGTTGGCGAGCATGTTGAGGAGTGTTGTACATCCCGAACCGGGTCTACCCAACACCAGCAACATCTCCCCTGGCTTCACACAGCCATGGCTGTCACTGAGAATCTTCTTCAGTGGTCGTTTCCGACGAGACTCCTTGATTTTTGTGGGGATGTTGAACTGCGATAGCACATTTTCGTTGATGGCCGCCTCTGCGCTGACGACTTCCACACTCACGTCCTTCCATGTTATGCCTAGCTCACGAGGTTTGAAGCCAGACTGCAAATCGCGGTTTTTGGTTGCCACGACCTTTCCCTTCAGGGGCCAGTCGTCACGCTCCTTTGCGCTTGGTGCTGCCGTTGTTTGTTGGTTGATATAATTTTCCCCATCGACAACATACTCGGAGTTCGTAGTATGCGTGCCTATAGACGGGGGCTTAGACACTTGAAGGGTTGACAATGAATTGTTATTATTATCATACTGCTCCATTTTGAGAGTCTTTCCTCATTGGAGAGCCGAGTATAGGTTCGCATTCAAAACTAAAACTAAGGCAAGGAAAGGTTTCACCAATATTTACAGTTCGCGGGAAATAATGTGCTTTTATAAGATGGATACGCCGGAGCCTTGTGGAAGGGTACACACCAATGAAATCTCATTACGAAGGCGCTAAAAAAAGACATTTCCAATCCTCTAGTCATTCTGCCTTGGTTTTGGTAAAAAAGCGAGGGTTCTTTCATGATTAAAGTACGCATAGAATGTATACCCGCCCCGACGGGCCGGATAGCAGTGTATCCGGGCGGGAAGGCCAAAGCCCTAGGTTCCGGCTTGAAGAGGAAATACGGTCCAGGCTGTCAAACGGGGTCCTCCATGTGTCGCGTACCCAATGGCGGCTGACGCCTCCATTTTGTTGGATCTCCGTTGGATCTCATAAGGCTCGATTGTGGATCTTCGGCGGAGGTATTTTCGCCCTTTCGCCGACAGCTGAGTCCGAGCACCGATTTGCTGACAGATTAATCATTTAATACGGCGAGCACAGTAGTGACTGATTGCTTATTATTAGTAATAATCTTTGTTCAATAAGACGATTGGGAGAGGATTGGGTGGGGATTGGTTATGGTCTGGAGAGCGTTATTGGTTGGCGCTGGAATAGAGTTACGTACGCAAGCGGGCTCGGGGTGATTCATTGCTTTGTTGGAATCATTATCAATTGATACTGTAGCGTAGGAAAGAAGATAGATCGTATTTACGAGCGGGGTAGAGTGTTACATATGATCATTTATATGTGGAGTTGACTAGACGACAAATATTCAGCGCAATATTAACATATGTATGACTATTACATAGCACATGTGGTATATGTCTACTTGGAATTGTCGGGCGTCATTGATATGCCCGCATGCTATTATTTTGACAAGTCAACCCTGAAGGTCCTGGCACATTCCTCAATCGCTTTCAATACTTTGCATGCGCTCAAGAAGTACATCAATACGGGTAGAGATGTGGAATGTTCGGCATTGAGAAATTCACGAAACTTGAAAAGATGCTGCGGGTTAGTAAGGATGGCAAGCATGTGTCTGGTCGAGGACACTCTAGTGAGTGAAGCGGGGCATCTGTTTCTCAATGAGGCGCAATGAGGTCATATGTGCTCTTCTTAGGATCGAAGGATGTGTCACCGTTAGGGTTTGTTTGCTGCAGTAGCGGTAGCTCAGATCCTGCGAATTTTCGGCGCAATTCCTGGACGGGCGCTTGCCCTAACTCGAAACTAGAGAGTTTGTTGGTTAGAATTTTATTGATAGGCTCTACGCGACTCGTTCGTCCTAGGTCGACAGCGCCGGTGCGACTAGGGACACGCGGAGATCCAACAGGAGGCGGGAAATCTTGGAGAATAAGCTTCTCATGACTAGCACCTGTCACAGTTAATCCTTTGCAAATCCTTTGATACATTTTCCTTCCCCTAGGGTTGGTTATGTACTCTCAGGGCCCAACAACACAACTGGTCTTACCGAGACGGCGCATTACTGCGGTCGTAGATGTCATCGTAACTATTAGACCGCTGGCGAAGTTGTTGTCGCGATTGGCGCTGTTGTGGCTCGGCTTCAGGCGCCCAATTCATCAAGTTCAGAGATTCATCATCATCAACAAAAGAATGTAGAGAAGTTGCGTATTGAAGGAGCGACTTGTTGGCCTCAGGACTCGCTGTCCTTGGAGGGAGAGGAACATTGACAGCTTCGTCCATTTGAACGACAAGAAACCAGACACCAATTGCACTCCCGAAATCCTCCCGATACTTCACTGCAAAGAGGTAGAAAATTGTTCACGAGGTTTGATCAATCCCCTGGACCCAAAGGAAGATCTATACTCCTTTAATAATACAAATTCGAGCCATGACTCCTCACAGAAACGACGTAGGTGCATTGAACCGACAGGCCCATACATCTTCAAGAATCCAGGATCCTCAGATTTATCGCAAAGGCACTAATCGAGAGAGACAAATATCTTTGCGACAAAAGCTACAGATGATCGAAGCCCGAAGCCCGATTATTGGCCATCGGCCACGTGGGAGATACGCTTGATCCCGCATTTTTTAGTGAAACTATTGAGAGCTATCATGTTTAACTGATGTCGGCTTTTACACCACTGCAGGTCTGACAGAAGAAGATAATCATCCTGGCCAGCCCAGCGAAGCTTATTGAGTCGCAAAGGTCCGAGCGCGTCCAGATTTTTGGGATCAGTTAACCGTGCTTTATGGCCTCGGAATTGCGTCTGCGGAATCCGGCAACGAACTTTAAGAGGTAAACAGACATAAGGCCTTTTATTCGTGGCAAATCGGCGACATTCCACGGACCCATAAGTGGCTTCATTGAGTCGTTGACAGAAAGATCGGAGTCATGCAAAGTTGATTCTAGTAAAGCATTGCTAAATTGATGGCTGGAATTGGTTTAAGAGGAACACCTCTATTTACTCCACCACGCGAACAACGTTCACAGGAGGCGGGAAGATGACAGCAAGTCGTCTTGTCAGGTCATGTACGTAGCCATGCCAGTAATACATCATAATATAAGCTGTTTCCGTATGGATAGGCCTTGTTACGACTTCGTGGCCGCAATCCAGGGGCCAGGATGAGTGAATGAAAGAGAAAAAGAAAAAGAAAAAGGACGAGAGAACAATATCACTGCTGTTCGCGAGCCTTCATTGGTGGACGGGCTGAGTAGTGGGTCTCTGCCAGTATATTTGTATACAACACGGCGAGGCAGCATGGAGTCACTCACTGATGATGGCCATGACATGATGTAGATTTGGCGGTGATATGATCACTCTGTGACTGGGCAACTCTCCTATAGTTAATTACTGTTGATCACTCCAGCCTCGCAGCCATCTTCATCCCGCCCAATGTGCGGGAGGACCCCCACGCCCAGGTAAAGGACCCCCGCATTCCTCGCCCGCTCGTCGATATTGCTCAAATACTTCACTGTCCTCTATTATTATTCTCTACGTAGCTGAGAATTGACTTTTAACAAGAGGCGCCAACAGCATAGAGCCAACAGCAAACATGGACATCTCTCTTCAAACCCACCAATCATATATTGGGAAATCCGTCCACGACTTGCCCACCCCGGCCCTTGTTCTGAGCAAATCAGTCATAGAAAAAAATGTCAACAGATTGCATGAAGACGTAGAAAAGCTAGGCATTGGCTTTCGCCCGCATGTCAAGACCCTCAAAGTATGGACCTAAGCTCATATCAAAACAGGAACAATGATCTAATAGAAGCAAGACAATCGAAGCGACAAGGATCATGCTGGCGAATGGGAAATATCGAAAAATCGTTGCATCGACTCTGTGTGAAATCCGAGGATGTTTACCTCTGGTCAAAGAGGGGATCCTCGACGAGGTAAATAGCTTTCGCAATAAAAGTCGAGAGCGGGGTTAACGCAGAAATAAGTGTCTATATGGCCTCCCTGTTCGCCCCTCCGTCTTAAATGACTTGAACGCATTTACTACTCAACACAATCTCAAAATCGTCCTGATGGTTGACCATCCTGACCACATACGCATTCTCGACGAATTCAACACTCGTACTGGGCGTACCGCCCCTTGGCCTGCCTTTATCAAAGTTGACGTGGGCACAAATCGCGCTGGGATCATGAATTCGTCACCGCGATTAGACCAGGTCATCCAGTCCGCAAATGCGTCGGCGGCAGTCTCGATCTATGGATTTTACTGTCACGCAGGTCATTCTTATGCTTCAAAGACAACTGACCAGGCAGTCAAGGTTCTGGAAGAAGAATTGAATGGCGTGTTGATGGCATCCGAGAAGCTTGTCGACCGCAGCAAAACCGAAGAAATAATTCTCTCCATTGGTGCCACCCCGACAGCACATGTAGTGGCAAATCTAAAGCAAAACCTCCCAGCGAATACAAACCTAGAGCTTCACGCCGGAAATTTCCCAGCAAATGATCTGCAACAAGTCGCTACCGGGCTCGTTTCCTTCGATGATCAAGCCGTGAGAGTTGTTGCTGAAGTATGCAGTGTGTATCCAGAGCGCAATGAAGCATTGATCAACGCTGGCGTAATTGCACTCACGAAGGAGGCAAGCTCCTTCAGCGGTCTGGCTCGGTGGACGGATGGAATTGACTGGAGCATCGTGCGCGTCAGTCAAGAGCATGGAATTTTCGGGTGGGTAGGAGAAGAGTCGAAGAAGGAAAAAGTTGAGAACAAGTTTCATGTTGGACAGAAAGTTTCGTTGTACACGCAGCATGCTTGTATTACTAGTGCGATGTACTATGTGATGTATGTGGTGGATGAACAGGATATTGTCAGGGAAACGTGGATTCCATGGAAAGGGTGGTAGCTTGATTATGTCAAAATTGAGAGTATAGTTGATATCAATTGATAGCATAGTAGGAGCGGCGTTTAGACATAAAAACACATATAATACAAGTTAAGTAGCGATATGCTTGAGTAAAAATATGATTACATCTTTTTTTCCCCAGTAGAATGATTGGTTAAATGCCATTTCTTTCCTCGGTTGAATTTTCGTTTCCTGAGCCAAACTTGGTCCATAATACCTTGATCCAAAACACAGTCTCCATAGTCCCGACAATAGCAAGTGCAGTATAAACAATTACTTTCGTTGTGCGGCTCATTCGGAGAGATTTGAGATGCGACAAGATATCGGGTGAGTAATTGGTCTGATTGAAAGAGTGACTTTCATTTTTTTCGCTCTGAGCAGTTTTTGGGGTCCGTTTGTTTGATGATGGCTGGGTCGAATATCGATGAAGTCGTTGCATCGGTAGACGTGATCGTACGATACTAACGGGATTTTGAGTTGACAGTTGAGACAAGCATATTGATCTTGCGACGAATTGGTGTCTTTTCGATGTAAATCGAGCAGGGTTCATAGTTTGCACAGAGAATGTAAGAGCCTTTGATGCTCTATGCGACAATTTTAAAGCCATTCTGGATTATTCAATACTTGTCTTCGGATCTTCAGACTTTTTGACTACCTTTAAACCCCTTTAAAGACACTTTACAACCTTATGGGGTCTCTAATGATTATGTTGTCTTCGGGAGAACGAGGGGAAAAGGTCAGATCTGACTCACCAATGACTAGTCCGAAGAAGGGAAAATACAGCGCTATAGAGTTGCACGACACAGCGGACTGCCAAATTAGTCACAATGCTTCTTTTTAAAAGATATCCTATTTCCTTCCGTTGAGCCATCTGTGAGCCAATTAGGATTATTAATTAAACAGTGGTCGTTCGGTATCTCAAAGACAAGATGAATCCTACCTACAACGTGCCGAGTTTTGAAGAAGACATCATTGCCGGTAAATTTGGAGTAGAAAAAACTGGTAGAATGATAAAAGTTTAAGGATATAATAATCGTACTAGTATTGGCATATAATTTTTATTGATTTCGAAGTGTATATTTGGATTATACGAAGAGTTGTAGCGTCCGCATTTGGGAAAAGGACACAATACGTACTGCTGATTCTATTACTCAAAATCTCTTACAATCGTCAAAAGATAATCCAGAAAAAGAAGTAATGGCACTCACTCGGTTAAAGTACAGAGTATGTGTCAATTTGATATATCCACTCATTTTGACTCTAAACTAATCGAGTCATACAGATAACTTGCGAGTCACAAGTCTAACCCCCCGTCGCCGGCATCAAGATATGATTTTCTCATAAAAGTTCGCCTGTATCAGAATATGCACACATCTACGTTATATAGATACTATCTGAATACAAGAATGCAATCAATCCTAATATTGGTGCTCTTCTTCCTTGCCACCGCCGAGGCAGTTTCTCCAAAGGCACAGGTTACACATCGAGTTCGACGTGACTCCAGTGATACGAGCTCACAGGATGGAAGCAATGAGGGGCTTATCTTTGCCGTGAATACTGATGACCCGACGACTGAGACAAAAACCGATTATTTTTATACGATTCCTGTCGTGGTCGGAGACACAACATTACATTTATCGATCAATACTTTTGCTTCAGACATGTATGTAATTTTCCCTTTTTGGTTATGGCTTGGTATTAAAAACCTCACTAAGTCATTGGCTAGAATGGTCTATGAGCAGCAGCCCAATATTACCTTGGCGAACATTACACTCTACCAACCCTCTGGAGGTAGAATGAAAGACGACAAACTCACGTGGCTGTGGACGGATGGTCTATTTTGGGCCTGTGGAACTACAGTTGTACGTGACGTGCTTGGCTTGGGCAACCTTTCAATCTCCAACCAGACTCTCGCTGTTGGCAACAACGACAAGAGTATGCCTAATTCATTTCCATTAGGTGCGACAGTAAAACAGCCATGGGATGGTATGTTGTCATTAGCATTGCAGGGTGGGAGTTCCATCTTCTCTTCCACGGATGCCCGGCCGCAAAAGTCTTGGTTTGAGAATATCGCACCACTTCTCCAAGCCCCTGTCGTCAGTATATCCTTGAAGCACCAGGCAAAGGGGACCATTGACTTCGGAGGGATAGACGAGACAATGTACACCAACGATATTTACTGGACGCGTGCAAACACGTCTTCAATGGGTTGGATGGTCCATATAAAAGCATACAAGATTCAAGGCTATGACCCAACCGTAGTTGACTGGGATGTCGCTATCCATACTGGGTCTACCTGGACATGGCTTGAGCATGATTTCGTGATTGAATATCTCAACGTGGCAGGACTTGAGGGTGCTAAGTCAGACATGGATGACATTTACTATCAATGCAATGCCCATCTTCCCGATTTAACTCTTACAATGGCTTCGATCGATGGCAAAGATTTCGATGTCGAAATTCCCGGTGCAACTTTGAAGGCTGGTGATTATGGTAATGGGAACTGTTCTCTGGGGTTGAAACCGTGGACGTATAACATAACCGCAACGCCGGTACGGATAATGCCTTTTTTAGGCATTAGTGTTCTGCGTAGTCAGTATGTCGCTCTGAATCTGACGGGGCCGGTAGTAGGATTTGCACAACAGGTTAATCCTACTGCCAATTACTGACTAGATAGAAGAATTCGGCGTTAAACTCATTTCAAAAAGAAAATTTGCTCTCTCTATCAAGTGCGGATTTAATAAGTAATGTGATTTGATTCAGGCTATGAGACCAACTCCTATGCAATTGTAAACACCAACCCATATATGTACAAAACGAGAGTAATAATGCATAACTACTTCCTTGTAAGCCACTTCTCAATCTCTTTAGTTGCCGCGAGGCACTTGGGTTCAATATATCTCGCGAACTCATCAGCCACGAAGACAACCAGCGGTCCAAGCAGCATGAATTCAACAATCCAGGTCACCGCATACGCAAGTGGTTCTCGATCAGCCAAGTCCCCTCCGGGATACTGATACCAAGCTATACTTCTCCAAATATGCCTTTTCAATGGTTCTCTGAATAGCTGATAAACCGACTGGTGCACTAAATACAGCGAGAAAGAGATTTTCCCCAAGTACTGCAATATTCCATACTTCCCCAAAACGTGTTGGAGTGCGGGAGAATTGCTGAGCGAGTAGACTGTCAGCACGGCCCCGACGGATTTCCAGCAGAATTGCGGAATAGATAAGCTTTTAGCACTGGTGGTCCAGCCAGCTGGTTGGAATCGCAGGAGAAATCGGAAGCCGTAAGGGATGAAGGGATCATCAGGGAGACAGAGAAGGTAGAATCCGAGGAGGAAGAATAATATATTCATGACGCGGAATGGGAGGATCAGTTTTTTCCGGATCAACATGGTGGTTGACGGCGAAGACCACGACAAATATCGCGTTGGAGAAGATGAAGACGGTGCCGGGGAGGACGACGGTAGCAATGATTCACCCTTTTCGCCATCCTCAGCCATGTCACTCTCCTCAGATATCTGGTTTTCGGCTAGCCACAACCCCGCGATGAACGCAAAGACGTCCCACATTCCCAACCACAGAAAATAAATAGACAGCACTGCAAGGGCAATCAGACGTGGTCGCGATCTCCAAGCAGCTGTGGCCACAATCAACAGATATACGATGAATGAGCCGCGCAGAATGGCAGGCATGGTCCAAAGCTGTTCATTCAGCCCGCGGCTGTATTGGATTTTGATCGGGTTTATGAGGTCTATAATATAGCCCAAAAGATAGCAAAAGTGTTGCCAGGGGCTGGTCCAGGGCGCAATGCCGCGTATGATGGTCACATCGGTGTCAAATTTCCAGTGGTACAGGTTAACGAAATACAAAATCTGCGAAATGCTGGCAACGGCAATTACGGGCAGGTAGAGCCGGAATACACGACGTGTGGCCGCCCCCGAGACTCTGGCATAGAAACTCGGGTCTTGTTGCTGGGTTCCATCTTGTGGTTTTTGCTGTGGTTGCAAGTTGTTTCGCGCACGCAACAAATTCAGCGCAATCGCATACCCGGAAATTACCAAAAACAGCGTGACCATGGCATTCGCGCCGAATATAATGCGAAACGGCGGTAGTTGGAACCAATGCTGGTTTTTTGATCGCGGATTCGACCAGAACGAGCGAAATGGAGGTGTGACTTCGTCTATGAACAAATGATCGAAAGCGACAATTGACGCGGCGATACCGCGCAGCCCGTCGAGCCACCTGGCGCGGTCCATCCTGTTTCCCCAGTGTTTCGTATCCTGATCTAGTGGGTTTGGTTAGATTTTCATAGCTGCCGATGACTGATTATTGTATGACACGAAGAGTCGCAAGGCGTCAACAGAGAGGAAATTTTATTAATTTTCTGCCAAGGTAGATTAATTAATAACTAAGCATTTGACTGCTAGCTACTTGTCCACTTGTTATCGGCCAACGTCGCAACGAGGCAATACGATTAACGTGGTACTGAGTAATACCGCTTGGACTTTTTCAGCCTCGATACGCCAAAAGTGACCCAGGCTAACTAGATATCAAACAATCAAACACCCACCAAGTGGAACTGTCGGCTCATTTACCTAATCACTGCGAGCCAAGACAATAAGTATACTTTTTGGCCCCTCCCTCATGCCGGTTGAGGAATAACGTCGTTCGTGGCTAAGAAGAATCCTAACAAGTTTGAGCGGCTAGTTTCCTGAGCTGCGACGGTACTAATCATCTCAAACAGGGGAGATCCTGAGCTTTAATTCCGGCCCCAAATGATACCATATACACTACACCATTCTTAGCATGAGCTTCTGAGGCTCTGAGCTCTATGTAATATGAGAAAATAGCGAAGAAAAAAAAACCCCGCAACTCCATTCCTATCCCGCCATGGTTCCTTGGATATACGCACATATTGTCATGAATAATAAAACGAAAAAGGGGAAGCAAGTCATAGAGAAAATACATCAACACAGCCATTCATTAATGCGTTCGGTCATCCACCCCCCTATTGTCTTGCCCTGCAGCCCGCGATCGTCCGACGCAGAGGCTCTGGGTGAGACTAGTTGAAACAGTGTGTTAATCTCCTCGTTTAACCGACACCGATGCTCTTCAAAGATCCACTGTACGCATGCCGGCCATGTTGCGCACGCGGTCTCACACGCGTCGGCTGATTGTCCACCCTGCTGCCAAACGGCTGTTGATTTAACGTCTTTAGGGATATTGGGGTTATTATTGCGGCTTGAATTGTCGGGGGTGATTTCATAACCGGCTGGATGACGGGTGTCGTCGATTTTATTGTGAAGCCACTCGGTGCGACCACCAGACAAGTAGCGGGCGACCAAGGGGGTAAATATGTCACAGTGTCGTAACGAACGCTGCGTCTGTTAGCATTTCTTCGCTGGAAATTGAGAAGGAATGCACAAGAAGTGAAAATAGTATACCTTGGTGAAATCCCAACCCTCTTCCAGATTGTAAAACTGAATAATGTCCCGGGGGTCCGTATGCTGCCAGCTATACACCGGAACACACCAGTTATCGCGATTCAAAGTGTTACTTGCCCAGTGCGATTCGATGACATAGTCTCTAGAAGACGGAGTTTCCTCGGTGTACTCTTCCTCGCCAAACATGACCCCAGATTCCTTCAGAAACTGGCTGAGAGCATCTTCATGGTCGCCCGAATATCGAGCAAATGTCTGCTGTGTATTCCGCTCATCCTGCACCCCAAAACTTTGCTCCCATGCGCCACGCGACAAGGCAAAAAATCCGCCTCGACCATGCTTGAATGATTGTCTGCCGATATACCATGATTCCTCCCAGTTCAGCGTGCTCAAATGATAGAGCAGGTTCTGCAGGAATATGTACGAATCGTCTTCCATGTAAACATACCATTTCGCATGAGGCTTGTTGCGGCCAGCATGTTGGAGCAAGGGAAAGAATTTGTTGACGTCTTTCGCATCGGCATGCATCTCCGATTGTAAGAGAAGTGATTGTGAGTCCTGTTGTTGTTTCCGAAGTGCCGTGGACGAGTGACTCATAGAAATATTTTCGAACACATTGACGATACGCCAATTCTCGAACGAGGCGGCGCTGTTGGAATAAAGAAGGACATTCGTCGGGTTGATGCGCTCTGGCAAAGAATCATACATGAGGTGGATCGGTAGAAAATCCCACATCATCGATGACTCAGTGTACAGCAGAAGCGCGACATCGTCCACGCTGATTTCACTGACGCGATATGGCGGTTTTCTCCGCCTTGTAGGTGGTACTATTACCGACGCTGTAGTTGCAGCTCGGGATGCGGCCGGAATGGCAGGGATCGCTGGGTACGCATGTTTCGTAGTTGTATCGGAATCTGTCAAATGTGCCAGGAATGGCCTGTTCGATCGAAGCGCGGAGAGCGATCGCGCTGGATTAAATCGTGATTCGTGCGATTCGCTGTCTAAGGTGAAATCTAGATGGGAGATGAAGAGAATGGCTGTGATCAGTAGAATCGCTGCAGGGAGTTTGCAGTTGTCGCGGTAGATTCTTTTGCCGAGTAGCATTTTGCAGTTTCGAATCTAAATTCTCATTTTGAAGCGAAATGATTGTAGTGTTATAATGAACGAGTAGCTGTATTTCAACATGCGATTAACGAGTGACGGTGAGCGGTTGACTGGTTACAACAAAGCGCAAAGACCGAGTGAGGGTGTCTTTATTTAAACAACATCAGGATACTCCTCTTATTAATACTAACATTACACTTCCTTAGTCAAAGGAAAAGAACGCCTAACTCCATGCACCAAGAGACGCTGCGAGGCTATTGGCGAAGAAGCAGCGATGGCTAGAGGCTAGACTGTCGAGTCTCAAATAAGATGATCAAGGACGAGTCTAGAATCAGACAGGTCAAAGAAAGCAAAAACAAACTAACTCAACTAAGAGCCGAGCTCCGACCCAACTAACCCGCTAGACGTGGTGCAAATCGGAGAGGGGAGCGAATGGAAGCGAACAAGAGAGGGGATTCGGATGAGTCCGGATCTTCATTCGAAGTGGCCGACTCTCTATTGATTGGCATAGGCGATGGAGTTCAACCGTGGTATGGAATTAATAATTTAATACCATTAGCCCATATGAGAATTTAATATTAATATGAGCCTCTGAGCGCGTGACACGGTGTTTTGACCCCTGGACTAGTCTCGTGTTAGGGCTAGTGTCACACCAAAACAGTCGGCGTTAGCACCGAGCAAGTTGGAAGTTGGCTGAGCCTTGCAGTTGTGAGGACAATTGGTGGGATGTTTGATTAATCTACATGGTTGTTGTTTTTGGCTGCGATGTGAGTGTTTCTCACCTGGGAGTTGATACGTGCACCCCAATTTTTACAGCGTACACCCGAACTAACTTTTTTTGAGTCTAACTAGAAATCAATGTTTTTAGTAAAATACTAATAAATTTAGTTACGTTTTAAACCCCAAAATATTTTTCAATTCCTCGATTTTAAAGCGATTTTTGACCAAATTAAAGCGACTAAGATACACATAGTAAACTTACAAAGAATCAAATTTACACCAAATTAATATAATAAATTAGATTAGAATATACATATCAATTCTTAATTTAAAGTTATATTTTACCTAATAAAAACATGAAAAATTCACTTTTATAATGTTCTAAATAGCTACCTAAATCTCGTTCTTAGTCTCACCCCCATATTAAAACACATTTAAAGATTCTAAAAACTCTATATTAACACCCTCCTGAGATTAAATATAATTACCAAGATCTTAATATTACAACTAACTGCGAGCGCGATAGAAGCCCAGTCAAAGTAGAACCTTATTAACTCAAATTCGCTACTATTTTCTCTGGTATTGAGCGATTCCAAAATCATTAATATCACACACTTTCTATCTGACGCCAAATTTACCCCTATATCAATATTTAGAAGTAGTGCACTGCCGCTTCAAATAACACTGACGATTAGGACATTTTTGCAACACCAAAAAACGTTGATTTAAGCATTTCAGATAGTTCGAGCTGATTTATAACCCCCCGGGGGTGCACCTTGGGGGGGTAATTTATTAATATTGGCAAGAAGCAGTAAAAGACTCAAAAATTTTGATAATTCGAAGAAACAATCAATGCTACTAGTAAATTATTAGAAAAGCTGATTACACGTCTTACTCCAAAAAAAAATTAGTTCGGGTGTACGCTGTATTATGTCGGGTGCACGTATCAACTCCCTTCTCACCTACATTAATTGATTGATATTAAATTAACTCCAAACTGTGGCGCATACATATGTACCAGACCACCTGCAGCTTGAGTTGACCAGTTCCCCAATTGAGACCGTCGAAATATATCTTTGAATCTATAACATTTGAAGTATTAAGACTGTTGGTATTTAATGATGGACAACCCAAAATATCAATATTGTCATACAATGAAATTCTTTAATTTTAAATTATGCAGAAGCCTAGCTCCTTCATGTATCCTATGAAGTACCATACTTATGCAGAGATCAATATAAAGATGAAGGCTAGTCAACTGCAATATCTTGTGATAATAAATAAAAATGTCATCGAGTTAACTGATCTTGGCATCGTTGGAAGCGAAAGTAAATTACGTCTTGAATTTACTATCGTATTCTTTCTAACACGGCAAATGCTTTGATCTATGGAGGGCAGAAGGATATTGCAAAATAAAATTCATTCCTAAGTGAGCCCTTCGCATGGTGTCCGATGCCTTGGAAAGGGAGAGTACTGCTTGTCTCAGTGCCATTTTTCCATATCCGTAGAAGCTATACATGACCGTCTAGGTTAATTTGGGTTACCTCATATCTTCACCTTCGTTTCGATACCTCTGTTGGTAGCCACTCCTCAAATAATGTCTCAACCGCCTCAGTGTCCATCGTGAAGCCTCTCGTGTCCAAACCTTCGATCATCGGGCCATCATTCGAGGTGGCCGTATCCAAATCCAGTGATGCTATACCTTCGGCGTCTATCAAAATCGTATGTTGATTAATATAGAACCAATCGTCTCGTCCGCCCCAGTAAATTCCAGCAGAATGAAACAGCGCGATTTCTTCTTCGATTTGAGCTTTCCAACGCCGACTTTGCTCGATGATGGTGTCCACTGTCGTACTCTCGGACTGCTCCATGACATTTGCCAAAGTCTGGCTGTGGAGAATCGGCGAGAGGAGAATACCAGCTATTAGAGTCTCAGTCATCCCCACATCATGCTGAGATGTCTGCGCTGCATGCTTGGGCGGTTTTTGACCCGCCGACGTAGATCCAGAGGGTCTGGCAGACGTATCTGTAACAATGCCGAACACTGTTGACCTTCTAGTAATGTATGGATCACCTGACCCTAGCGAGTATTTGAACAATTTCAAATAGACCTCTATACTGTCCAGAGTCTTATTAATAACTTCGCCAGTTGTAATATCGGTAGAACTTCGTTTGCAAGCTTTAAAGAAGCAGATATCACCATCAGATGTACAGACTTTCTGTGGAGGGGCCTTCCAATTTGTCTCTTTCTCAAGTACAATTAGGTCGCTGCTGGCATAATGCCGAGTTTCTTTTGGCATGTTTCGAAATGCCTCAGCGGGTAGAGGTTGGAATTCGTATGCTCCTTCTTCTTCTAGCTCTTCGGTGACTTCCGCATAGACATTATTGGACTCTCTGTCGGTGACGAGTTTCAAAGCATAACCCGGCGAATGCAAGTAATCCTTCAGGGTAATCCAGTAAGCCTTGTCTGGCGCTAGTCTTTGCAGTGTAGCCATGGAATGAGATATTATAAGATCGCAGAGAGAATGCCACTGATTTTGCCGATGCTCTATCATTTTTTCACCTGGCTGCAGTTCCTCTCGCAGTAGGGGCCGCCAGATAAGGTAAAAGGTTGTGCCATGCACATCTTCCTTGTCCACGGAGATGCTAAATTTAGTGCCATTTCGCCAAAAGAGTATCCAGCAACGCTCGTCTTTTTCATCATGCATACCAAAACGGACGATGTGGGGAATGTCATCGAAGTATCTCACTGCCGACATGACGTGAGATAGATAAGTTGTTGGCCAGATGGGGTGCTGAATTTCGGGAGACCGTGTGAGGGGTCTATTTACTGCATGAAATACTGCTGCCTGGAGGACGCTTAATATCGACGTCCTAACGTATGCACCCTGTTAGAATCTATACTTGGACAATGCCTTACATTCAGTTCAAAGACTATTCCTGCGTCACATGCAACGACTGCGTTCTGTCCTCGCCAATCTCATACATGGATTTCTAGGTCAATATAATTAACGTAATCTAACCACCCACCCGTCAGTACCACCCACACCCGTCAATTCAAATACACATACAAAATAGCCATTTTATAGCATTGTAAATATTTATATGATTTAGTAAATTTTAAGCTATTATTTACACAGCTATTATTTACACATAATTTTGTTGAGATATAATGCTTTGTATGTGTATTTGAATTGACGGGTGTGGGTGGTACTGACGGGTGGGTGGTGGATTACGTTAAAGATACCTCATTGACTCATTCCTAGGTATCTTTTTTCCTTGTATAAAGCAAAAATATGGGTGCAAGTCTAGTTGCTCAGTCGGTATTGATGGGTCGGTCATAGGCAACCTTAGATAATGATGGTTATCTCGTTGATCTCTCCAATGAGCTCCCAAATCTTTTGCACAAAGAAATTTGAAGCATATCGCTGGTGTATTGTTATAAATTTGGACTGTTCATCATACTCACCTTCTAGTGTCTAGAATATCAATGCCACGATTTTATTATATGTCAAAAAGATCAGTCCGTTGTTACATTTACATTCATTTCATAGGCTACCTAAATTTCCTTCTTCTGACCAAGAAACCCGATCAAGGACGGTCCTTTCTCTTCTCGACCTTGGCAAAAAAATTCCAGGGTTGCACGCAAAACGCCCCGTTGATATCATCGTCAATGGTATACTTTTCATCAGCCAGCTTTAGATCGACATCTCTTAGAATTGTTATAAGAGTGATCCAGCTCCACTGCCAGGCGAATTTCGCCCCAAAGCAGCGTCGTTGGCCGTTTCCGAATCCCTTCTTCACCCCCGAAGGTAGTTTGTCGTATGCTTCGCCAAGCATACGCTCTGGCCGGAATACCTCCGGGTCGTCGAAAACGGCTGGGTCGCGGTTTACAGAGTGGAGGATAGAGATGATTACTTGGTTGCGAGGAATCTGGTATGTACCGCCAGCCAGAGAGACATACGGGTCCTTATTGACCTCCGGGCGGGGCTCGATATTGAAGCCTGGTGCCACGGCAGAGAGACGGAAAGCTTCGCGGACAATAGCCTCGGTATATTTGAACTGTGGAAGGTTTTCGGAGGTAAGCTGGCCATCGGCGCCGAGGATGGAGTCAATTTCCTCACGCGCTTTGGTAATGTATTCCGGATTTTTGAGGAGATAGTATAAGGCAAAGGAGATGAGACAAGGCGACGTCGCACTACCGATGAATAGTGTAATGATTTCATCAATGACTTGCTCTTCTGTAAGTGACTCGCCAGTCTCAGAATCCTTGCCATTGAGCAGCGCATCTAGCATGTCGATGGGATGCTCCTCCTCACTCTTGCGCTTGGCAATAACGTCGGCGGAAAAGGAACGCATAGTGCGGATGTCTTTGTTGTATCCGCGCTGGTAGAAGAGCCAGTTCAAGAGCTTGGGCCGCGTAGGACGCTTTACAGCTTCCATTGTGGAATGGTCAATGGCAGTGAGAAATTGCGGGAACGCGCCGGTCATGTAGTCGGCTTTTTGGTGGAAGAAACTCCATTGTACGGATTGCAGGTTGAGTCGTTTGAGACCTTCTGGTACATCAGTCTCTTGGCCGGCTGTTGATGTCCATGCCGGCACGATGGCAGCAATACTGTCCCGCATGTCATTGAATGTGGTCCTGTTCGACTCATCAGATGACCATGGCGCCATGATGCGGTGCGCAATTCCCCAAATTCGCATCTCGGAATGATACGCTGTGAACAGAGAGTCGTGAACAGCTTGTCGGATCTCGACGATAGGTCCAGTGACGCATTTGCGGAAGCGGCTCTCATCGCAAATCTCTTCCAACAGAGCAGCACTGCCGACAAAGACAATTTGTGTACCGAGTGCATTGATCTTGAAGATCGGACCTATTCACGACATCTGGTTAGTTGCTTTGCTCAATCCCAAGAACCGCTGCTCTCTCTAATCACGTACCCCATTTTTCAGACAGGGTCTTCAATGAGCCCCACGTATTGCTGGGTTTCACATCGAAGACGTTTCCAAGGAGTGGAACACCAGGTGGTTGTGGGATCGGAGTCGTCATTTTTAAAATTTTTACTGTAGGCGGGGAAGGGTCCGTCTGCTGCACTTCAGGCGTAGGATGAAGGCAAAATCTTTGACGAAATCGATGAAGCGGAGGAGCACTGAGTGGCAGATCAGTTAATAAGGGTCCGGACCTCGAGCTTCAGACTACGGATCAGCCAGCCTCTTGGGCTCTCTGATCAGTCTACCCCGTAGCAGGCGCCGGGTTTGCCATAGTGTCTTGCGGGAGCTGCAGCTCGACCTCATAGTTTCACCGCTAGACAAGAAGCTCAGGCCATGTTTTGGTACCATTGCAGCGGGCGCCAGCCAAAGAGACAGGATGGATTCGTCATACTGCAGGGTCAGCGGCGACTCTTCCAATCACGGAAGCCTACTCGCACAGTGCGAAAATCCAGCAGGGCCGGAGAGGTTCGTCGATCTTGCCTGCCCAAGATTGGAAGACGGCCGGGAGGATGCCCCAGGCACGGATCGTCCCGCGTTGTGACTACTGAAGGCATCTGATTGGCTTGAATATAACCCCCTCAAGGCTGTGATTGGATGGCATCAGTTCTTGGAATGTGCCTTGTGGAGCCTTGCTCCGTGTACCATCGCCACTATTGGCTGTCTGTGGAGATTGATCCGATCGAGCGGTCCAACCGAACCAACCCTGACCGCGCAGAGGCCCCTGAGAGTGGATGATATGGTCTTGGCGTTATTTGGCTGCGGTCAATCAGAACTGCGCGGTTTACGATGCCAAAACATCAGCAAGTTTTCTCCGTCCCATGCAGCTGTGACTCTGTTAACATATGATGATGGCCGTTAGATGGATTATTGGGCGAGGGAATATTACCTGGGAATAGCCATTGAATAGTAACGGGCTCGCAGATATTCTGCTGCGTCCCCTCGAGACACCCGTAGCACTGGTGGTCGTTGGGCGGACAGAGATTAACTGTGACTGGTCATATTAATTGATTCAATTGACATATTTTATTTTCAGTCATGAAGGTGCAAGAGTGATCATCATTCTGTGCGATCGAGGCCACTTGATTTGTAACTTCAAATGTCGTCCGCATGTGTGGTTTTAGCTCTCGTAGACTAAAACCATATTGCATCGAGATCTACCACATATGTAGATAAGAAATTTCAAGACATTATTGGTAGTCCCACTGGTAGGACTGCATATGCTACTGTGCTTTTATGATCCTAGCTTATTTTCTTTGTTTTATTTGAGTTATCTATCTGGAATTCTTGTATTAAGCTTGAAATTAAGCTTATCCTGAGTTCCCAACAATCAAAAAAATTACCTGGCCGTATTGACATGGGTACATGGACAGGGGTAGAAATTTATTTGATTTGTATAAAATTACCCTTGACCTTAATCTCTTGTTATGAACTGGATAGACCTAGGATCTTAACTATACTCATTGACCACGATACGTGCCCGCTCGACTACAGGTATCTATAAATTACACATGTAACTTCTGTTTTGGAACAGATTTGACTGATAGTAATGGAATTTGACATCTGGATGCTTCAACGCATAGAAATAATCTAGGCGCCATTCATTCCTCACTGGCACCATAAATAGTTTTCCAGACTAACTACCAGATATACTCAACGGGAGGTTCACAATGTATAATGTATTAGGAGATTTTTGATTTGTCTCAGGAGGAGTGTTTAAATGTTTGCGGGATAACATTTGAAGACTCATAAACTAGAGTCTAAGAATTAGATGATCAGCTTATCGCTGAAATAAATTATATCACGATTTTAATGGCGTTTCTTTAACATTTATTGACTATCCCGCTCTCCAAACTTATGTACCTTATGCATCTGATAGCAGACAAGCTAATCGCTCTCTCATCAAATACACTTCCTAGATATCTTAATTAGTTATGAGCCATATGTAGTATAACTAACAATATAACCAGGGATTAAGCTAACTTATGCTTTAGCAATTAAAGCGTTTCTGAACTATAAAGAAAAATGTACAAATATATGGTCTAAATAGCGGAAATAGTTCAAGTGGCTATGAAAGTATCTATGCACTTTGCTTTTATTATCTCAAACATTGTTCGAAATATAATGAATTTTACCCAAACCACTTATGTACTCAACATCTATATAAATTCAAGTACAGTCGTCCTCATCTTTTCTTTAAATGCCTAAGATCATCCGTCGTTCACGGTCGTTAGTACAAAACGTTAATCTATCTGTATGATAGAAATGAAATTCCCAGGAGAGTTAGATGTAAGATGGAAACGTGCGTGTACGTGTGAACCCTCTGAGACTACCCCTTGAACAAATGGCTCACCCTTTCTCCTGGCGACCTTGTTAGTCTGTCCCGTCTTTTTCTACCTTGCCCACACTCTGCTCGGGCTTTGAAGGGGGGGACTGTTGATTCGCGTCCTTTTCCGCAACCCCGTTATCTTTAATCAACACAGCACAGAGAAAACATACACCGATTATAGGCGCATACATGATAAAGATGACATGCATGCCGCTCATGTAAGCGTCTAGCACTTTGCCAGTTTGCTGAGCGGATAGGTTTAGTGACTGCAGCCCATAAGTTGAGGAAGATATTTGGCTGATACTATCAGCGGAGAGGAAGCTGGACAGTTTGTTTTGAAGCACATTATTAAGAATTGCGCCAGAGACTATTTTATGATACCATTGTCAGTTACCCTTCGCGATTTATTAAATACGGAGCACAGTGTACATACTGGTCAGGCCTACTGAACCGCCCATGATGCGCAGAAAATTCCTCAAGGAATTTGCTACAGCACGATCCGCTTTTCTCGAGTGTGCAAGCAAGGCTACAAGACCAGCTGTATTATCGTTAGCATGCTATTAATTTGACAGTATGAATACTCCATGTGTCTTACGCTGGAAGGCTCCACCAATGCCGATTCCTTGCAAAAATCCAATTAGACAGATAGCCCAAACGGGAGTCGTTCTTGTATAGACCGTTTGCAGCGACGCACCAATCATCCACACGAAATTTGATGAAATGATAGTCGGATTGTAATGGCCAGTTCTTGAGATTATTTGGCCGGAAAAAAGCGATCCGAGGCCATGTGAGGCTACCATTGGAAGAATGAGGACGCCTGACATGATCGGATCATATCCTCGTACATTCTGTAGATACAGAGGTACATAATAGAGATTTGCCCAGTAGACGACGCCGTGAAGAGTTCCTTGAATGAAGACTAGATTGGCAGACATGTCGCTTTGGAAAAGGCGAACTAGAAATTACATTGTTACTTTCCACTCGCCTTTTCCTCTTCAAATAGAAAACTTACTCGGCATTAAGGGTAGTTTAGCGACTTTCCATTCCACAAAGACAAAGGCTGGAATTAGCAACCCCCCGATAATCAACATTGCGATTACAAGCGGGCTGTTCCACGAGTATATCGAACCTCCCTCAGAGATAGGGATCTGTTTATTTTGTTAGATAACAGACTAATATAGACTTAATGAAAGAAACGTACCAGTATCAAAACTACGGCTGCAATATTGATCAGTAGCCCCAACCAATCAATCATTCGTACTTTCGTTCCAGCCTTTCCGCGTACATTGGAAGGGGGAATAACAATCGCGATCAGTATCATGACTGCCACAATGACGGGCGAAATGAACCAGAAGCACCATCTCCATGAAGCCTTTTGGGTAAAAGCTCCGCCGATGAGCGGCCCAATCCCATTTCCTAGACCAACCATCGCGCCGATAAAGCCATTATACTTCCCTCGTTGTTCTAGAGTTGTTATATCGCTGGCAACGATCATGACTAAGGCGGTGCTTGTATGCACGTTAGCAAGTATTTCATGATCTTCGATATATTTTTTAATCATTTAGACACTTACATCGCACCACCGCCCAGGCCAGCAATTGTACGGAAGGCAAATAGCATCCCCGGCGTCGTTGAAAAACCAGCACACAAGTCAGCAACAGCTAGAACTCCCATGCACGTAAGAAGCAATGGCTTGCGACCGACTATATCGCTCAATCGGCCATTGATGAGCTGGATGCTTGTGCTTGCGACTAGAAAGCAAGTAGGAACCCATGAAATCGATGATCCCATATTCAGCGCCCCTCCTATAGTCGGTACAGCTGTTGAGACCGATGTTTGATCCAGATATGAAATCATCTGCGCTAGAGCGATGGCCGGAAAGACAACCATTAATTTTTTATGAGGCAGGATGTTTGCTTGTTGATCTTTGAACGTTTCTAGCGTAGTTGGGCCTTTGCTTTCATTCTCGTTAAGGCGAGCGGCATCGCGAAAGAGAGGCCCTGGAGCACTTTCTCTGCTCTCGTTGGAAGTCATTTCATTGAGAGACAATATCTGATTGCCTTTGCAAAGACTCGTTTTGGTGAAAGTAATAGGTCATGAAATATTTAGAAAATACAAAGGAAAATTCTAAACGGAGAAATATCTCAGCAGAGTCTACATCAATTAAGACTGGATTTGGTTTCTCAGTACGGGCACACGTGTGTGACAAGTCGGCTTCAAACATTTGATCACAATTTTCTTTCGATCTAACATGTGTACCAAGACTCAGAGACTGACGAAATTGAGGGCAAATCTCTCTTGGCAGTGCTTATCGGTAAGACTCCGACCTTGAACCGAAATCGTGGTAAGGTTTCATTCCGCGAGTATCGGTAATACATGCTTAAAATTCCTGTCTACGTCACGAAATGACGCGCAATCTGCTGCAAATATACGAAGGGACGTGCTAGTTTACTAAAACAGTAGAGCCTGGGCCCTGGGTAACTTCAAATGTTGGGCAGACAGGATGCCGAGATGCTCGCTGGAACGATCTGCAACCTTGTACACAAGGTGGGTACATTATTAATTGATAACTCTAATAATATTTGTGTTAATGCTACGGAGCACGTAATAGTACTATTAGAAGGTGGACAGTGATCAGGAAGATCGTGGAACGGACCGAGAAGTGAAGCACTTAGTAAGAATTAATGGTTGTTATTATTGATGCCTTTGCTCCTGCAGGGTGATATATATATCTGTGATGCATATGCGACTAGCAAATTGATAGCCGGCGAATTTACTTGACTGCCGTATAACTTCTACTTCCGGTAGGTAGCAACACTTGGTCTTGGTATTTCTTGGATTGTAATGCCTTATCCAATACTTTGGCCACAAGGGACTTTCGATTTCTTATCTAAATAGATTAAAATGCTCTCTATTTTAGCTCCACCATGTTGGTTGCCAAGCGCTGATCAGTCATGTTGAGCTAACTACTGCTTACATACTAGTATACTGGATTGCTTTTAAACGGGAACTGGCCAAGACCGTTGAATCTCGCCACAATTCTGGGTCCTGATACTTCCGCTCTTGGCGAGTGATTTTCGGCTTTCCGGATATAGTACTATTCCATACGGACTCCGGACGCCGTACACCCATCGGAAAATTGTGAAGCTACCGAATCAAACATTAGCCAAGACCATAAGTCTCTTATGCTGACGCAGAGCTCCGCCTGGCAAACTCTAGGTACTGAATTTGCATTACTGGCTGTTCGTTACTTCAGTGAACAGGGTATCTGTCAAGAGGGGGATTGGAGGTTACTAGCAGAATTCACAAACCGAGAAACATCAATTTTAATTGAAACAACTTAATGTTTGAAGAGATATATTATGGAAAAGAATTTAAAGTAAAATGACAAGCCCTCCTATAGATATATGTATCTCAGAATTAGACTAGCTTTCCACCAGCCTCACGTCCCTCTAGTACATCCATCAGCGTCTCCGCCACCGCCATGCCACTCCGGCTTTGGTTCTCCTTTGTGCTTCCCCCAATATGTGGAGTCATAATAACATTTTCATGCTTGAGAAATTCGCCGTAGACCGATAACGTTGGTGGTTCAATCTCCATCACATCAAGTGCGGCACCACCAATCTGCTTCTTCTCGATGGCTACAAGTAATGTCTTCTCATCAACGACGCCTCCACGAGAACAGTTGACTAGAATAGCAGTTTTTTTCATCACACCAAACTCATGTGCTCCGATCAAACCTCTTGTAGAATCCACTAGCGGTACATGAAGAGTCACTACATCAGCAACCTTCAGTAAATCATCTAATGCTTCTACACGGGTATGTTGGATATCGTTCCAGGCACTGGGCGCTGCGTAAGGGTCGTATGCAATAATCTGGCACCCGAAGGCACCGATCCACTTCTGGGCAATAATCTTACCAATATTGCCCATGCCCACAACGCCTACCGTTTTGCGGAACATACTAGTGCTGAGCACCTGAGAACGAATAACAGTCTGGCCGCTGCGTACCGCACGGTCAATTTCACCCACCCGCCGGCTCAGGGTTAGCGTGAGAGCCATTGATAATTCAGCAACACTCTCACTATTCAGAGCAGGCGTGTTGTGAATAGCAATGCCGTGCTTTTTTGCTCCTTCGAGATCGATGTTGTCTACACCGACTCCTTGCTTGACGACCGCACGTAGACAAGAGGCTTTGGCAAAGTCCGCTTCGGTTAGTCTGGAATCAGACCGAACCATGATACCATCGGCATCAGCGTGCCAGTTCGCCTTGTGAGGATCATCTGGAAGAATGGCTCGAACGTAGGGGATGCTTTGCACGAGCGCAACGGCATCGGGGTGGAAAGGGTCTAAGATATAGATTGTGAATTCTGGCATTGAGCCCATTTTGAGTGATAAAAGAATATGTATAGGTTATATTAAAATTGAATACTGGTTGAAGTTATGAAATTATCATTAATGTCCGAGGAAATTGATATGTGAAGGGTCTCCGAATATTAAATTATACTTATCTCACAACCGACTCGCCCTCCAAATACCAATTCTCTCAGCACCCATTGCCAAGAAGGCATACCGATGACCCAAGAGGATTGTCGTTTTCGTCATCCGCACTTCGTTCTTTCTATTTTCTGTACCCACTCGGGTCAAATCGTAATGCGTGTCACGGAAAAAGATCAAGGGTTGAGATGCTGCTACACATCTATTGATCTTTGATCCACCTCCTTTGCCTTTGACTAGCATTAGTGACTTAGGTGTGTTGAAACTGATAACCCACTCTTGCATTAGTGTGACCAGCAATGAAGATTTTCGTGGCGATGATATCTGACGCGTAGACAATATTTTGGACGCCGAGACTTCATTATCCATTGCCAAGGCAGTAAGCAAGGATGTTGAGCTGGCTGATAAATGGCCCTTATCAAGAGAACTGTAACCACATAAAAATATCCTTGACTTGCATAATCAATGTAACCTGTAGCTTGGGAAGGCCTACTCGCTCCGCTTGGTTCCACAACCCTCCTGATAGCCGATCTGTTGATGGCTAGCTGACTGTTGATAAGTCGAGTCTTGACTAAAGCCTCTCACTCTTTTGCTGACTGACTAAAAATTGGGAAGACAAAAGCCGCAATATCTTGTCTACTGATTACTCTTCCTGTCCCCAAACCATACATCGTTTTTTATCAAGTACCCCAAAATAATCACATTGAAAATGGCAAACACAATGAAACAACCAGTACGAATCACAGCTTCTCAAGCATATGCATTTTCTCTCTCTATTCTTCAGAATCATGGCGTACCTCTCGATCGTGCTGCCATGATCGCCGAGTCCCTTGTACTGGCCGACCTCCGGGGTGTTGACACACATGGTATTAATCGTCTAGCTGGCTACATTGAACGGATCAAATGCGGTGTCCTCAATCCCAACCCCAAGTTGGAATTTGACATGAAATCCCCAGTGATGGCCCATTTAGATGCCTGTAATACCTTCGGGTTTGTCGCTGGCTGCATGGCAATTGACAAGGGCATCGAAATGGCTAGTACATATGGGCTGGCGGTGGTTGCTGTCAAAAACAGTAATCACTATGGAATGGGTGCTACATACGTACTTCGCGCGATCCAGAAGGGTTATGCTGCAATTGCATTTACGAATGCGTCCAAAGCAATGCCGCCCTGGGGCGGAAAAGAACCTTTGCTGGGCACAAGCCCACTTGCTGTGGGCATTCCTGGTGGGAAACAGGGAGACTTTGTATTTGATATGAGCCCCACGGTTGCCGCTCGAGGGAAAATTCGCAAGGCCGCACGACGTGGAGAGTCTATTCCTGAAGGTTATGCTCTCGATGAACAAGGCCAGCCGACTACCAATGCTGAGGCAGCTCTCAAGGGTGTAATGCTACCAATCGGTGGTCCCAAGGGTTCTGGAATCGCTATGATGATGGATATTTTCGGAGGGCTACTTACAGGGTCATCATTTGCTGGAGGAGTCAATGACCAATACAAGAATACTACAGAGCCACAAGGTGTAGGGCATTGGTTTATGGTGCTCAAGCCGGAAATCTTCCTAGATTCAAAAAAAAATCTATGCGACCGGATGGACACTCTATTAGGAAGAGTTAGGTCGTGCGAGAAAGCTGCGGGGACCGAGAGAATCCTGACTCCAGGTGAGAATGCCAATGAAACAGAAAAGCAGAGACGATTTGACGGTATACCTTTCACTAATGAGGAGGTTGAGAATCTAAACATGTTGGCTAGAAACAGCGGTAGCGATGCTTTGCTGGTTGATACGCTATAGGTTGGGTTTCCTTTACCTCCTAATGTCACGATAATCATATATTTACATGTTTTTAAATTGAGCCTTTTGAGAAATATAGAAGAAGAGATAATTTGAACGTAAAATGACCTATTTTATTTTTCAGTTTCTTTGTTTAATGGCCTAAGTTTACGAGGTAGAATCCATCTATCTACCGATAACTTGAAAACCGATGACAAGACTAAATCTAAGTTTCAGAAGAAGGTTGATCTGGAATCCAAAATTTATTACCTGGCTGTTCATAGTCCTAAAAGCACTTAGAGGAACCTCCCAGGCCCCTGGACTATTGGAAAATCTGACTGCAGCTCCGTTGTTGACGAAGGGGACGGACATTTGAAATCCTTTGCCTGAATTTGGTGATTCGTCTCCGCAACACGAGGTGGTATACTGTCCTTCTATTTGACATGATTTACCATATACTGGATCTTCCGTAGATAATGGAAAGAAACAGAGGGAACGTACAGAAACTAGCCCTTAGCGTACCGTGGTCCCGCCCGCCAAGTCGCCACCCAATTCCTATTACCTTCCCCCAAGGACTGAAAAATAGAGCACAGCACTGCCTGCCCATGTGGAGCAGATCTTCATTAGATGCTTGGCCGTCATGATTTACGAGAAAACGCCTCTAGCTAGTACTGTATGGTCCGCATGGGACAGGCACCTGAAAAGGAAAGAGTGAGTTCTATGCATGCAGGGTGTTGTTCTTCTGGCCAATCAATTTACTCGCTGCTCTATTGGCTGGGTAAAGTCATCACTGCTAGTTACCGTACAGATTATTCCTGTAGGTCGTACTAAAACTTGGCAGGTCGGGTTAAAAGGTATAGAAACGGGCCCGAGTGGACCCCCAACCCCGAGTCCAGCTTGATGAGTAGTTCACTATAGAGAGAATGTGGGCTAGACAGGACAGCCTTTATGTGGCATGCCCATGAACTATCAAATGAGTACAGGGGTGTTAGCAGGCTGACAAAACGATCAATTGCATACCAATACTTGAATGCAAAAGCTATCTATTTCAATGCCGAGCCCTAACTACACTCCTTGGCGAGATTCGTAAACAACAGGAACAATTGATACTTCAGTCATAGCTATAAGTGCTACTGCTAAAGGGTCTCTGGAAGACGAGTCTAGAATGATTTCCCTCGCATTAATATCTAGTAGCTAGTTTGCCAGCTCTTAATAATTGAATAAACACATATTACCAACGGACACCCAGACGAGAAGACTTCGGGTAGATCTTCTGCATGGTCGGCCCGAAGGGATCTTCCTACCCGAGCCATTGCTGATCTTCATGTGCCAATTGAGCAAGAGATAAGATAAGCGGATTGAATTTGACTGGATTTGCGTTGACGCAATCGCTAGTTCCAAATAATGAGAGAACCAAGAATGCCGATGTAAGCCAAGGCTTGTGTGTTTCAAGTATATGTCTTGACATGTCGTAGCTAAAATCTGGGCGTAAGCGGTTTATGGTTGGTGGCGCGCACTAAATCTTGCGAAGTATTAATAATATTTGAAAGAAATGGCCTCCGAGTCTTGAGAACGGGGCCGTTTGGTAATAGTGGAGATAGGCATGTTGCTAGGTATTGATGCATTGCATGCACCCGCGAACGATCTCAGGGCCGCACGAAAATATTCAGAGCTAGCCAAGCATTTCTTCCGTGACCATCTGGAATATAGATTTCTTTTTTCGTAGGAGAAACGTGAGGGAATCTTGGCCCGACAGAGGATACCTGATAGTTTTGAGCATAGCCACAATATGCAGTGGAGAATTGAGAGCGGAGTCTTCGACAATTGGGTGTGTGGAACTGAACGGTGTTGTCTTATTCTAATGCTACTCATCCATTATCGAGATATGAATTTCTAGTCATTGCTCTGCAGACTTACTCTTGGCATCACATTCGTAGATGCAGTATCTTGGAGAATCTAAGTCAATATTCGTTGCTATAATTATCTGCATATTGAGTAGCATCGCATGTACTGTTGCGGAAAATTAACTGTTATGCGGCTAGTAATTACACACCGAAAATGACTAATAAATACAAATATGTAGCCAAGAGTGATTTTCCTGTGTTACTACCTCAAACACATGAAGATTGTTCATCCCTCCAAGATGTTGTCTTTAGGCGATGTGGGTAGAAGTCTGAACAGTCCATCGTTCGATTCGTTCGAGTAAACAAGTGTGAATGACTTGATCCTTATCTAACATTAAACTTCTATCACTTACCATTTGAATATGAGCTCCTCTTGGCTTTCCTGATCCTTGTAAGATTCCCGTCATCAACCATTGCGTGTCTTACAAGCCCATATATCCAGTGTCTGCACATAGTTGGATCTGAAAAAGTGCACAAACTTTTCTCTTGCAGGGTTCCTAACTAGGATTGATAGTCATTCTTTTCACAACGATCTTCTAAGCTTGTTTCTCCTCATTGTGTTTTGCCCTTTTTCGTTTCCTCCCACTTCTCTCTCATCTCGGAATATTTGGGAACCGAAAAGTCTATCAAAATATATAGCATAGATACCGTAATGTCACGGAATATGGAATCCAGAAAAGCTACGATGGCAGCAACGACAACTCTAATCGGTAAGTGTCTTGCTCGATCTGAGTATCAATTGTTATAATTAAAGCAATGCAGCCGGAGGAGGAGCAGGAATGAGCGAAGTACTTGTTTGTCATCCACTCGGTATGTTTTCTTTTCTTTTTGCGTTGCTTCTACTTCATCTATACTAGGGTAATAACATAGTGCCTGACTTTATTATTCACCAGACACGATTAAAGTTCGAATGCAGCTATCGCGGAGAGCCGGTCTTGGAGTACGTATTCTCGAGGCTCCTTTCAGATTCTCATTAACTAATAAATTCTGTAAAACAGAAATCATACCTGGGAATTACGAGCACAGCTATTGATATCATAAGAAAGGAGTCACCTTTGGGATTGTACAGAGGTTTGGGGACTGTTTTAGGTGGAATAATCCCCAAGATGGCAATTCGGTTTACCTCATATGAATATTACAAGCGACTACTGTCCGACCAAACGACAATGGAAATTTCACGGAAAGGGATATTTCTTGGTGAGATTTTTTGTTCATTTACAATATCGCAGAAATGAATTGATTCTAATACTTCTTGGTTTTCCTTCAGCTGGTCTGGCTGCTGGTATCACAGAAGCTGTGACCGTTGTTAACCCCATCGAAGTCATCAAAATTCGCCTACAAGCTCCGCATAAAACCCCTACCGGCCAGATAGCTCCTAAATATAGGAGTACCTTGCTTACCATAACCACACTCATCCGCGAAGAGGGTGTCGGTTTTCTCTACCGCGGTGTTACCCTTACCGCTCTGCGTCAGGGTACTAACCAGGCGGCTAACTTCACTGTTTACACTGAGCTAAAGACCATTCTACAGCGCTTGCAGCCACAGTATGCACAAAAGGGAGAGCTTCCGTCCTACCAGACTACAGTAATTGGGCTTTTGTCTGGTGCAATGGGTCCATTTGCGAATGCACCGATTGACACAATCAAGACTCGGCTACAACAGACCCCAGCGCTTCCTGGACAAAGCAGCCTATCAGCGATGACAGAAATTGCCTCAGATATAATTAAGAAAGAAGGATTCCGATCATTTTACAAGGGTATCACACCTCGAGTTATGCGTGTGGCACCGGGGCAGGCGGTTACCTTCACCGTTTACGAGTTTCTCAAGAATAAAATTGAGAACGCGGACATAATGCGGCTAAGGCAAACGATCTAAATGGATGAAATTTGACGGAATTTGACCGAATTCAGGGTGTTGGTTTAAGCTTTAATTTTTTCATATGGACGAGTTTTGATGTAGATAGGATTTTGCATTTGGACGTTAGGTTTCAATTCGCATCGCAATTCATACGACATTGGTTAGATTTAACTGAAATACCAACTATCCTTATCAACAAAGTAAATTTACGAACTGTCTACCTAGGAATTGTATTTTTCTCGGTCATTGAGCATTATTGTTGTTGATTACATAATAACTGGCCTATTTAAATTTGTTTATGCATATGCTGTTATTACTCTTGGAATTTCTTATGGTGAAACCTAATCCATATCAAACGAATTGTAACTTCTCTCATTTTCTATGGGAACTCGACTGTGATACAATGTATGAGCGACATCAATAATAGCTTGGATGTGTGAATGGCTGGTGATTTATCAATATTAGACGAAAAGTGTCAGGGGTTCGATGATGTTATGAGGTCAAATTGCTGATTAATGCAGTGGTTCTGGTCATCTGAACAGAAGAAATGTAACTTGGAAGATGAACTCCGTGCGCTTTCGCGCGTAATCCGAAGTACCGCTAAAAGCTACAACAGATACATAAGCGAAGGCGAGGGATCTTGTAAAATATCAAGTTGAAATGGTAGGAAACTATTGCGGTAATCGATAAAAACTGTTGGATACTCCCAATTGTAGCATGTTATTGATAAATGAAATACAACACGATCAACTAAATACATGATGGTAAATGAGTTAGGGGGAATCCATTATATTGCATATATTTGTACGGTGCTATCCCTTCTAATATGTATAAAACCTAGCCAACATCCGCCTGGGAATTTTCGATGATGGAAAGTTCAGGAATCAGGTAACAAAAGCGAACGAATTTTCAACACTAGGAAAATAAAGAGAGTGAATTGGATGAGGTCATCCCCTTGACTTATGACGAATACGAGAGATTTACTTGATTTCATAAACTTACAGTTGAATTTCTTTTTCCACCAGAACAGCTTATAATTATGATTATATTCTTATTATGCAATCTTCTATTTTCTTCAGTCAAGACAATACCGTTGGTGGTTACGTGAATTTGGTATATGCTCTCGATTGATATTAATGAACAGAGGTGTTAAAATATCACTGGCGGATAAGCTTATCAGTTGATATATAAAGGCAATGGGTAGAAGTTAATTGATCAATCGATGTTAGTGGTTGGATTCCATCCTGCATGCTAGGAAGTATTAGATATCCGATATAGATGGCTTATAAATGTAGTTTTATTGTTAAACTATGAAAATAACAATACCATTGTAATGAAAAATAATATTCATGAATAAATGAATCGTAGGCATGCAGCCAAACAGTAAGAGATATCCAAACATCCGCGAAAGATAGGTCGAGCGTCTTTGACACAAGAGGTGTGAAGTCCATTCGCCCAAAAAGGTCGACCCAATGTACCCTTCTAAAAGGATATGTTTTTCGCTGAATAATTGAGCCGTATTTGCTGGAAAATAGGGGCTAACTCTCTAAAGACTGCGCTGTTTAATTTGTGCCAGCGTCATAAATAATATGGGGTGTGGCTTGGATTCATTTTCAACCATCGCCGCTATCCGAATGCATTGTATCGTTCGAGTTCCATGATTTGGTACAGTCTTTGAGAGAGAAAAAAAATTATAAACATGGTTTAGTGTTTGGTTTTGGTTGGGCATGCTGTAGAAACTAAAAAAATGAGGGTAATGAGTCGTCGGAATCGGACACACTAATTAGCCCCGAATTTCGAGCACTACAATCAGCAATAAATACTGGACTGGTTGGAAATCGCACGATAAGGTGATTTAATTCACCCATGTACCCAAAACCAAAAATCAGAGTGACAGAAATAGCGCTAGTAGACTTCCGCAAGGTCAAAATAAGTCAAGGTTCAACAAGTGGGGGCAAAATAAAATAATGGAATCAACTTTTCTAAGTCTCTCCTCCAAGCAAGCGGCTGGGTACGCAGACGCTCGAAAAAGCTATCCCCGCGCATTCATCAACTTCATTGTAGATCATCATCGAGCGATTGGTGGTAAGACTGAGGTGCTCCTCGACGTTGGTTGTGGCCCAGGAAATTCTACTCGCGCTTTTGCGCCGCATTTCGACCATGTCTATGGTGTGGATCCTGGAGACGCCATGATCAAGACAGCGATTAATATGGGTGGTCAATCAGTTTCTGAGGCTCCGATATCCTATCATATATGTAGAGCAGAGGAGGTTGATAAACTAAATGAGCCCGCACAAGGCGCGGTGGATATGATTAATGTGACTTCAGCTGTTTGTGCATTTGTTCTTATTGTTCATCATTCGAGCAACTCTTTTGTATGCTGATATGAAGACAGGCTCATTGGTTTGATATGCCTAAATTCTGGACAGCCGCTGCGAAGGCGTTGAAACCAGGTGGTACAGTTTCGCTATGGAATACTATTCCCACACATACAGGTAGGCTTTTCTCGTTTTCCCTTCTCCACAACAGGATTAGTCATGAGCTAGCTTGATACTAATATACAGCCGGGTATAGACCTTAGGAATCCAAATCATGAAAAGGTCAAGGAGATCATGGACCATTTTTCAAACGCGGTGTTAGGACCGTATGTCACACCAGGGAATGCACTGGCTCGCAGTGGTTACGCCAATCTTAATATGCCTTGGGATCAAGCGGAAACGGCCGACCTTTTCGAAAAGGAAACGCTCCTGCGGAAGAGATGGCATGCTGACGACGAAAGAGCTAAGGCTATGGGCTTTTTCAGTGGCCTCACCCGACAAGAGTGGCTACTCAAGGACGTGAAAGCTATTTGGGGGAGTATGAGCCCAGTAATTCGATGGAGGGAAGCTCATCCGGAATTGGCTGATACAGATCAAGACTGTGTCGAAGTGGTCATGAAGCAATTATGTGAGACGATTGGAACGCCGAATGGATTGGAAGATGGCACTACTATGTATGGAGGCGTCTCGATTGTGCTCCTATGTATTAAACGGGCTGCGTAAGAAAAGGAGATAGACAAGTTCAGTAATATGCTATCTAATAGGCTGATTCCTTTGTTACGATAATAAGAAGTTTAGGTTTGTGTATAATTCTAGAATAATAAGATCATCTGTGGATTTTGTGTTAATACAAAGAGTTTCAAACCAAGAAAGGAGGAAGAAAGCGCAAAATAATGGTCATGAAATCCTTTAGAATTACTCTCAATTAATGGAGATGCTCAGGCGATTGCGGCATATGCGCTTCAAAATATAGGATAGAATGATTGATTGATATTGTTTGTAGCGCTTAATGTACAACATCGATGTCAATTGACGTATTGTTGAAATACTAGACCGACCAATAATATAGTATATGTAAAGTCTGATTATGTTTATTTTTTGACCAACTTGATATCACCATAATTATACGGACAAATCGTCAACGATTTACCCCTCTCACTACACTCAAGGGCCACTGGATCCACGATTCTCTCTCTCGTCCTAGAACCAACCTGGCCGTAGCAACAAAATGTGATGGGATATTCCCAACCCACCATTTCCTAGAACATGCTCGGTCCATTATAATTGCGTAATGGGCCAGCAGAACCATGGCATGAAAATCCCCTTCTTGTAGTAATTGACAAAAGTCAGAAGAAAGAGTAACATACCAGGTGAAAGCACTAGGCATATCCTCCAGCCGACCATCAGATAAGGACCTGTGAATTCTATGAAGGGTTTCCATTGGATTGACAGCAGGAATAGCTTTGGAAAAACTGTTAGGATCGTCTTGTTGCGTATCCTCGTCTAGTATCACTAGTTGAGTCACCATCATGGCAGTCATTCGCAAAGCCAGAAGCGCCCCGGACAATGCTTGTTGCCACCTGTTGGGGGTGACAGTACCAGTAACTCCATCACTATCATCGACCATGTGAATGTCATCACCATCTGTCCAAAGTCGCTCAAGCTTGGCCAATTCCTGGTCCTCGACCCGTGCCCACAAGACTTGTCTTTCCGTAGGGCGTTGAGTGTTGTGCCGCTGCACTGCGGGGAGTAATGGACTTGATAAAACCCATTGTTGGCATTTCCAGAATACACGAAATATTCCTTGAATACTGTCACATAATCGCACCACAAGTCCAGTTAGCCTGGCGGTGAGCTGCGGATCTGGATATTGGTGGCTCATGTAATGCTCAGCAGATGAGTATGACATGAGGATCTCTTCGTACTCCTGATTAGAACTGAAAAATGTATATAAGACGATTATACAAGCGAAGGCAAAGAGAGCGCCAGTGTTATGTTGTGTCGGTTTTTGTACCACCTGCGAATAAAGTGGAATCCCTGTATTCATATACCCGGCACCCTGAGCTGTGTATTTAGCTTTGGAGGATTCGTCTGATGTCAAGCAAGATAGATGACAAGAAGCGATGGCGAGGACTCCGTGGCCTAGGAATGAGTGCTCAGCCGTCATGGACGGGATATCTATTGCGAACAGTTGCTCCATTGATTGCTGGCAACCCCCCAAAGAGCCAGCCGTATGGCAGCGGAAATGAGAAAGGAGTTCCAGACGGGCAGTCTTGCTGTCAAAGAACTCAACTCCAGGAGGTTGCATCCACCTGATTTGTTGCGGCAGTAAAATATTACTGAAGCCATATCTTGACCTGAGGTGTTCCGAGCTGATACGCCGTTGAGTATCCAATGCATCGCTTGTAAGCTCTGGGTTAGTTGTCGCAGTTAGGAATAGATAACTACAGTAAAGCGACTTCCTGGAACAGTTCGCACAAACTGGTTTTCGCTCATCGCACTATTTGTAGGCACCTTCATTAGCGTTGGCATAAATACTAATGCTCTCCCCCAAAAGAAGAAATTGATTGTTGGCGTTTACATCAACTGGTCTTAGCACGCATAATTACGGTGATTTGCGTGTATATGGTGCCCCAAGCGAATGATTGGTTGGATAATATGTTTGAAATATAGACACATACCTTGATACGTCGTGATTTGCAGGATGCACAACCTGTGCGAGTTTTGTGGTGATATTTCCGTGTTTTGGAGTTCCTTTGACCATTATGATTCTCACTCATCTTTTCGATTCAGGCTTGTCATCAAGAAAATGAATTGTGTGAGAGAGAAATGAAAAATCCACATGGAGGTGATTGCGAAACAGCTATTGATTAAGTGGCGGAATCACCTTCTCGCCGCCGAAAGCCAAGGCTTATGATCGTAAGAGTTAGTGAGTGACAGAGCAGCCATTTCACCCTAGGCCTAGCCGGATCCAGCAGGATTGTCGATAAGGATGAGAGACTTGTAGTGTGATATGTCTAGGAAGTGGGTGCCAGATTTATTGGATGATTCACAACTGGAATCTAATATTGTATCCCCAATCACACAAATAAGAGGCTCTTTTAAAGGCAATATGCGGGGAAACCAGGAGTTATCCCCGGAAGGAGTCAGGAGCCTTGTCAACTATACAGTCTCCAGCGGATTTCACGTCTAGCCACAGGGGATTTCTAATCCAACCACTGCTTCTACGTCGATCTCCAACGGTGAGTCGGCATCATTGACCAATCAATTTATGTCAATTTATGGACCCGCGCAATTATTTCAATGTCGTCCTTTGGTCCGGCGATTGTTGCAAGGAGGAGTCAGTACCGAGTTATCCCCGTCTCGTGGGAGAGCATTCCTAAGGCGGGAGATCAGCAGGAAAGCTCGAGCCACTCAGGGCTTGAGTCTGGATAGACATTTGAATTTTCGTATGGAGCAGGTTCCAATTGGACAATCATGGAATTAGATTTCTGGTCACTGAAGAACCTCGGCCAACTGCCGTTAGCGTGGCGTGTAACCGCATGTGCAAGGTGGTCGATGTTTGGATGCATGTTACAAACATCTCAAAAATGGAAGTCATGCCGTTTGCATTAAAAAAAAATCAACTGGAAGGAAATCCTTTCGGCTGGACGTAATCCTTAATAGGCGACCATAACCTTCATCAAGATTATTGTTGGTCTAAAACTCTAAGCTTGTTGGCCGCGAATTGAACCATCGTCTCTGTCGGTTATTCTGGATTCTATTACGATGAATTATATTTTATTATATTCAGCTTCAACGACGATACCCCAGCTTTTAGGCCATGACAATCATGAGTTAGCCGCCTGCCCCATTGGATGCCTAAATGCATAAATGCGTTCCTGCGAAAGCTTTGCCCGAGCCCCTTATCTGCGCAGGGCGATTCGGGGGCCTTTCCTCCCTCTTGGGAGCCAAACGTGCGGGTATCATCTTTCAGTAACAGACCCCCCATGGCTGTCGCCCTTCCCCGAAGTCCCCAACCCCTGAGGGCATTACGACTATAATAATTATATGTATCGATAAACTAATGTTTGAATTCCATGTATTGAGAGTAAAATTCCAATGCGGATACTTCCAATCTTCTACTTAGCAATGTCGACAAATAATCGAAATAACTATATGGCGGTCGAATAATTTTGCCTTCCAAAAGATGAGATAGGAGAGCATAGTAGGTGTTAAAGAGGACAAAAACTATCTAACACAATCATATATCTATTGATATATTCTATGGTTAGTATTTAGCACATACTGACGAAGATCTTGGTTACCAAACGAGTTAGTTAATCGGAATCTCGACATAGCTTGGCATTCCATGTTCATTGCTAGGAAGAATTTATTAATCACAACTTCAACATTGAAAATATCTTTCTTTTCATACTTTTCTTTCATCCTAAGCCGATTTCATGGCCTCTAAGAAAGTACTATGTTGCGGATTGTTTGTATATAATTACGGGCAGAGCCATTTTCGACTAAATACGTATTCGTTATCTATGCAATGTCGAGTTTCTCATAGACTGCCTATGTATAGAAGTTTTGAGCCTTTCTCGGATTTCTAGTATTTTCTCAGACTTGGATTGCGAGGGATTTTGTTCTAGAGTCAGGGAGCTGTGGGTTGTCCGTGTTGCGACTATCTGAATTTCCCTCCATTGGGGTTTGCGCGTGCATGCAGGGCAAACTTTACTAATGTAGAAGGTGCAATATATATGCCTCGATTTTATTGGCATTTCCGGCTGTCAGAGCTTCTGGAATTTTCGGAGGAACGTCATAAACAGATTGTGTCGTCTAGGGAAGAATTTCTCCAACGTGATATCATTACTCACTCGATGCCCCAGCTTCAACAACAGAAAACCTATCTGGAATATTAATGGATTCATGTAAGCTAGACTCAACAATAAAGTTGGTATTTCCAGCCGCATTCTTCTCAATTTATTGTTATTTTTGACATTTCAATGCTGAGGTTCCATTGTCCTGCGAAAGCCTAGACCATTGTCGATCTTTGCGTTGATCATTGGCGAAATAAACTGCGGTGATTATTCCCCTGTTTGTCATTTTTGTTCTTACCATGAAAACCCCTCCCCCAGAATCCGAGTTGAAACTCCGCAAATAAAATGAGCAAATTTATAGAAGAAAGGTTGAGTATATCTAATGAGTGCGATATCAATTTTGTGTTTGTGAGTCTTGATTGAAAGTCAATCATGAACACTTGCAATTACGTGATTCGCACCAAGTCTTAATCGCAAGAAGATGAGTTTCCGATCTAACCCCCAACATGAATAAAAGTTGCTGGGGTTCTCAACATAGCAAGCAAAGGCTAGGATGGGGAAATTGGCCAAAACGTCAAATCAAATCGCAATTTACTGCGAAATATCCCATTATACCTAGTGGACAATCCATAGGTTGAGTAGACGTTGTTCGTTCGGTTTATGTGATAAATAGAAAAGTGACAATTCCTTTTTAATTGGCGTTATTATTTAGCCTTTTCGGTTGCTCGCTCCCGTTCAGGCAGGTGTGTCGGCGATTTAAGTTGAGTCTTATCTACGACTGGACCATGTTAGATGTAGATCATTTGCGGTAGCAATTAACCATGGAGATTCCTTGGACTTTGACCGCCAGCGTGCGCTGAGAAGAGAGGGGTTCAAAGTCAACCCGCTTGAATCAAAGTAACGATTGGTGCAGCAAATGCCGAAGCTGTGGGGCCAATGCACTTCCGATCTTCGATAAAACGAACACATTCGTCCACTTTTTTATCACGTTATGAGCCATCCCCCGGAGCGGGGATATTTAGACCTTGTCTTCAAAAAGGGACAGGGGAGATGTGTAACCCATTAATATTGAGTGACAATTAAGATCGCGATCTGATCCTGCTAGTCCAGAATTGAGGACTTTATTGTAACTTGACGACTATAATGTGATGGTAGCATACCGGCGCACCCGTGCATGCATCTGTCACAACGGGCTCTGATGTTGTTACTGGAGGTTTGTCTTATATTTGATTTACAAAAGCCTCGACCATGATAAGGTGGCTTGTTTGTTGATTGGGTTTGTCGATTCAAGGTTGCATCGTGGCTGTTTCGGCGTTCCATTAAGCCGACGCCTCGTGCAGCCACCCCCAGAGAGTGAGAACTAGCCAGCTGTGAGTTAGGCGACAGGAGACAACGTGTCAGGCTTGGAACATTATGGATAGAGAAGCCTTCCACTCTTCTGTTTCAATCAGACATTGTGCTGGGCAAACAAACCTCTAACCGATTGAATTATAAGCCGAAATCGCCATGCGGAGTTAACAACGGTAGTAGTAGCGGGCCGGTGTTGATTAAATCTCTCAGACTGAACTAGCTAAGCTTTGCTAAGCTTTGATTAGGTTTCCGATGATCGACAGTTCTACTCCTCTTATCAGACATTATGTTGAGTCGATGCAAACGAAAAAGCATCACTACTGGCCAAGTAGACAAGAAAAACTAAATTAGCGCTTTTCTAGCCATCTAATCAGCCAGCTAACACCCGGAGATTGCCGACTTAGGAGATAGTCAAATTGAAGAATGATACCTTCCTGTTAGAGGTACTAACGATGTGCAAACTAACAGCCGCTTCAGGTATAAAAGGTGCGTCTTGGCTCTAAGCATTTGGATGATTTTCTTTGGTTTCCAACACCCATCAATTCTACATCATACTTGCTTGTTCCAACTTTCCAACCTTTCTCAAAGGACTCAATTCTTCTTTACAATGAAGGTCTCCGTCGCCAGTCTTCTTCTTCTTGCCGGGTCATCTGCCATCGCTAGTCCGTTGGCAGCCCGTGTTGCCCGCCGCAATGGAGTGTCTCGCCCTAACATGCGTGTTGGCTCCAAGGCCAACCAGATCAATGATGCCGAGCAAAGCACCAACTGGGCTGGCGCTGTCTTAGTGTCCTCCGGTTTCACCGAAGTCTCTGCCTCCTTCACTGTGCCCGATCCTCAGATTCCATCTGGAGGTGACGATAGCACCCAGTACTGCGCTACTGCCTGGGTCGGAATTGATGGCGACACATGCTCAACTGCCATTCTCCAGACCGGTGTTGACTTCTGCATTCAGGGCGGCGACGTCAGCTACGATGCCTGGTACGAGTGGATTCCAGCTGATTCGGTTGACTTCAGCGGTATCAGCTTCAGCGCCGGAGACTCTGTTTCCGTGAGCGTTGTTGCTACTAGCACAACCACTGGAACTGCCACCATTACCAACAACTCCAATGGCCAGAGTGTCACCCACACATTTACCTCGAGCGAGACTACCAGCACACTCTGTGAGACCAACGCCGAATGGATTGTCGAGGACTTTACTCTCATTTCCTCCAGTGGCCAGGAATCCCTTGCTCCATTCGCCAACTTTGGCACTGTTACCTTCACCGATTCCTATGCTGTACAGAATGGCAACCAAGTTGACGCCTCTGGTGCCAACACCATTACTCTCGTAGACAACAACGGTAACACCTTGGCTAGTCCTAGTGTCGATGGTAGCACTGTCACTGTCACCTACGAGTAAAGTAAGTGCAGCAGGCTCAATACAATAGTGGGGTGTGAATTGAGAAGGGACTGAAAGGTTGAATCTTCTTAATGATCCAGTTTCTTGCTGAGTGAGACAGAGTATATGTATATATTGGAACTTATGGGTATATAAAAACTTGATATATGAATGAATTGAATGGTATGAACATAAAGTGAAAACTCCTTGTCATTCGTCACGTGACGAGAAATAAATGGACAAAAGAGCTTTTGTGTATTATGTCGTCAATATTGCTGGTTGGGTTTCTTTTAGATTCCTCGGCAGACCTGGGGAATGCTAGTTGCTAGATTCACCTAACCAGGACAAAAAACCCGGATATTTGTGGTGAAATTTATCAGAAGCTCCACATGGCTATGTCACGGAGGTTGAAGTAGGAATACCTCAACTTTTCTTTGAGAATCGTCATTTTCAGATATTGGATAGCCATCATTTTCAAATAGCCTATTGGTGGACAGTAATTACTCGGCGGTTTCATGTCCAAGCCACTGTGGAAGAAGCACGTTCTTGCTGTCTTCTACTTCTACCGACTTCTGCCCAGCGATATATGTTGGAATTAGTCAGATTTGAAGATCTGGGAGGGGATTTATAAGGCACAGCACCAAATACCATTCTCTAGTTTCGTTTCGAGCCCAAGTGAGAGCGACTGCAGTTGCTACATACACTAAAGTATTCAGCGTCAGACCCGAGTGCTTCCTTTTGTTGGCCAAACCTTTAAAAGTAGGCGTCGGCGTGAAGATCGGGGTGATGCCATTGATGTTGATCGCCAACCCCTGACCAATTTCTTGTGCCGCGCTTAGAAGACCTGTAATTCCACGTTTAGACGCAATGTATGCTCCCAAACCATTCGATCCAAAGTATTCTGATTCGACGTCACCAGAACTACCGATCCACTGGGTCCACTGGCATTCGTAGGTTGGTTATGTTGCATGCAGTAAAGTGCCAGTCGCAAAGCTTCAAGATAGAGTTGCTACAAGTTAGCTACAGAAAAGAGCATCTCCAAATATAAATTGGTTGAGCAAAAACATACTATTGATAGTACCTTTAAGATTGATACCAATTACGTGAAATCCTTCTATCGACTCACGGAGTTCCCCTTGCTCGTCCATGTTACCAACATCAAACAGTCTTTGGCTTTCCATTATCCCGGTGTTGGCCACAACAATGTCTATTTTACCGAAGTGTTGGGATGCATTGAGCAAAGAGCAGTTTCATTTCTCCCCAAGCAAGGATATTGACGTCCACATATGATGCAAAGTTAGGATGTACTGTCTGAATCAATGTTTCAGCATCAGGACGAGTACGTTCGAGATCAGCGATCACGGTATTAATGAATGGAGATATCGGATCAACCTTGTCAAGATTTCCCGAATTCTAGGCGAGCTATTCGGCCCGAATGAAGAAATAATGGAAGCCTTCAGAGGGTGAAGTTTTGGAAGATCTATTGTACACAGGTTGCGGGGAGTTTATAAGGTGCTGGTGATTATCAATCTGGTCTTGGCGACTGGACTTTGGTTTAAAATGGGGAGAGGGATCTATAAATGTTTCCGTCCGGGCATGGATTACCAGACTGAACTGCCCTCATTTCTTAGCCTCCTTGATTTCTACTGCCTAGGCATCGAATAGAGATCTAGGGCTTGTCAACTCACCCAAAGAAAATCAAGAAAATGGCCGAGATAGTCTAGAATATGTCCAATTTTGGCATCTCAGAAAGACATGATTGAACGAGAGTTTGCTGCGAGCCACGGAGATGGTCCAAATTGGAGCTCGAAATTGCCGAGCAGATATAGAGGCTCTTCCTCGGCCTTTTCTCATTTCTCAGCGATTGCCCATGTTGGTCCAGTTATAGTAGACCAGTACCATTGAATCAATTCCCCAGCTTCTTTGGTGTTTTAAACCACCGGGCTTTTCAGAGAGTACACGTTTACCGGCTGATAATACTGCTTTTATGTACTGAAGTTGGTTGGCGATTGGCAATATATCGGCGATCAGTAACCAAACAGATCAATATCAAAGGCATGGATAGCTTACGATTCCACGATAGATTAAATAGTCTGTCGCTTCAAGAGCCATTCAAACCAAACATCCGGGTCATCTTAATAGAGATGGACAGGGGTGGAAACGGCATCTGTAATAGGTTGTGTCGACTTCCGTGACCGCGAGAAAACCGCCCTTAGAGTGGTATTTTTTGCGGCTTCACAATGGAAGGCTTCTCTAATCCGGGAATAATGTACAGCATGCTTCTCTCGAGTCCATATACCTCAATCAACCACTTAGCTAACGTCTCCAGCCAACCTCTCTAAGGACCTACCTCCTCCGCGACTTTAATTGACATGGCAGCAAAGCTAAGTTGAACTGACGCTTCTAAATTGAGCTGAAGACACTAGATACGCTTAATACTAGAGTAGAGAATAGATCTGACCTGATGGGAGTTACAAATGTTATTCTTCCTTTGGCCCGGGTTCCTTTCTTGTGCCAACCTGAGTGTTAAAAACGCCGCCTAGGCTATTATACTTACTTCAGTTGATGTAAATCAATTGATGACATTGGGGTTGTAGTAAAATAAAATCATCGTTCCCATTGAAATACTATCACAGTTTATCTATGCGGTCAGAATAAGATATAACATTCATATGAATTGACGCTTAAAAAATCATTATACTTATTACTGGTTATATATAATGAGAGTTTAAATATTCACTCAATTTAGCTGTCAAATTAGAGTAACAAAATATCTCAATAGGAATGGAGCCTTTGTTAGTAAAAAAGATGATAAATAATAGAAACCTCCTGCATAAACAACATTGAAGTCCAACGAAATAGAAGGAACAAAAGTCAGTTTTTAAAGCTTATTAACACGTTTTAAAATATGTATATCTTCATGAAATGAATGTCCAAGGAAGAAAATTTTTTATATACGATCAGCTGGGATAATGATACCTAGTGATTAGAACCTCACTGCCTAAGGCAAATATCACGTGCACATTGTCTTGCAAACACACCAGACCAGTTGAGATCATTTCGCTTCTTTCTCTTTCACGAGTCTGGATCTTACGAAGACTAAACTCCCACTTTGAGCTTAAAGTCATTCACATATATGGCGCCTTGATTTCATTGGCCTCAAGACAATTGATCTGCTAACGGCACCCATTCATTTTAGCTTCTTTCATTGTCTCAGTTGTTCGCACTCTTCTCTTCAGACAGGTGTGAAGTGTACCATTCATTTCATTGATGAGAGAGGAACAGGAAGACTATATAGCTCGAATCAGTCTTTCATTCAATCCGACCTCTGATTACTAGAAGTCTATTTCGCATCATCGTATCCAATTTGCAGCAACGTACACCGAGTTTGACCCACCAAAGTCAACAAACAAACATACTTTGGACAAGGGTTTCTCCAGGTTTGTCTTTATTCCTCCAAGATAGACGCTTATAACAGCTTTTTGTGACTTTATCGGCCGCAAAAGCATTATAACCCGATTCTGTCGGACCAACCCGGATGAGGACCACTTCAAGGAGATCTCCAACAGAACTTGGTGGGCGCTTGTTCCAAGCTCAAGGTTCTTCCCAATTGAAAGAGGATGGTACATGGTGATGATTATGATAATCGCATTTTGCCTTCGTAACCCAAAAGCCGTTAAATATTGTTTGGTTACCTAACCTGGTAAAAAATCTCTCTCATTCTGAGTTGAAAGACTCTATATGTTGTCTTGATATTCCAACCCGTGCTTACCGTCTTATGAAACTAGGAAGAAAGACTCTCGTTTGTTCTGGCTATTTGATATTTGCTTCTTTCGATCACGCCGAGGGAGTTCAAAAGACTTCCAGGCGTATACATTCAAAGAGAAGTTATCGCAATGGATCAAGACCCTACTCTAGCGTCTGATATCCCCAGAAAGATGCCAACTGGTATATTGATATTGAAAGCCGCTCTCTACATTTGGATGTATTACTAACCTCATTCTGAAAGGCGTAGGTTCAAAGCCTCGCAAGTGGCGCAACCTGTCGCCACTCTCTCAAATGCATCTTGCACCTCCAGCGGAAGTGTCGCTCGCCAATACAATTATCAATAGTAGGGAAGGTGGCAAGAAAGCTCCAGGGCTCGATTTGACCTCCGACACGCGCTCCGACTTTGAAATAGTTTACGACATGTCACGCAGTTCGGAGTCCTCTGCTATTCAACAACTAGCCACTGTTCTCTGCCGTGATGATGTAGCCGGAATGAAGTGTCGGCTAGAGAGGAACATGGAAGAATTTAACGAGATTATTGTGGCCACGAAGGCACAGGTGAAAAAACTAAAAGATATGGAAAGGGCCTGGCCATCGAACTTACCAGACGACTCCAATGAATATTACGCGAAGCTGCTTGCCGGAAACGATAAAAAATTGAATGAATCTATCAAGTATCTGGAGGAGTTGAAGGAAGGATATGAGGTTGTGCGGCGTAACGTTGAGAAAATGAGAGGGCTGAAGGGAGATAGAAAGAAATTACTTCGAGAACAGAACTTCATGAAAAAGCATGATCTCTCAAGTCATCTTGATTGAAGCAACACGAGATCGATGCGCTGGATGTCACTACGTGCATATTTATAAGTATATTTATCTGTTGCGATCAGACATCAATGTAATTTATGTTTATAGTTAGTCCCAGATATCGATATGCCCGATGAAACACTACGTATGTACATTCATATCAGCTGAAGTTGTCATCTATTTATAAAGGAACCTTTTGTATGGATCCCACAGAAGTTAATATTAGCTGCGAAAATTCCAATTCATTTATTCATGTTTACAGTTGGTCACGTGTACAGCATGCTTATTAAAGGAGATGTTCAAACGCCCCGCGATATATCTTCACTATTCCCCTTTTCTACTAATTATGAACATGTTATCATAGTAAGTTGACCTTACATGCAATCGGTTTGATTGGATATTTCGATAATTGGCAGAGAAGCCCAAGGAGAGGATATTCAATCGTTGTGCACAAATAGAGACCCTGCAGTGAGTAAATTACAGTATTCATTTCAATCAAAGTTCACCTCACAACATGCTAAAACAACAGCAAGGTTCCAAATCATGAAGAGACTGTGACACACCTGCGCTTATGAACCACAGATTTACAAGATAATCAAAGAGGTTATGATCACAATGAATGCAGCTATCGTCCAACACAGGGAGGGTAAGGGGGGTGAGTTTTCAATGAAATTAGAAACCTCAGAATACATAATGCAGAATTTACTGACATCGACCTTCACAGTGATTCAAACAGAAGATGCTGCTCCCCATATATACCTAGGCGTCATTGAAGCGTTGAGGGTATTGAGAAGAGAAGATGACAAGGACCGAAAGATTATCCGCCAGAGAGAAGTTATCATAACGAGACCACTACCCAATGAAAGAGGGAATTGGTTTGATTTCAAATCTCGCAAGTGGATAACATGGTCTAGTTGCGTTTACTCAAAGAATATCGTTGGTTCCATCTTCCAAGTTCTCAAACCACACCACGAACACATCTATAGAATCACAAAAGACAGAAAGGGGTACGGAATTACTTGGAAGAGATGGTGCCTGGAAAAGCACAACGTCATTTCTCCAGGGTGGTACAACGGATGTAAGGACAGTAGCCTGAAGAATAGACCTGGCTGCGACGAAATGGGATACGGCTTTGCAACACCATCAAAGAAGCGAGATCACTGGGAATCGGACGATGAAGATATTTTGCTCATAGAGAGGATGAGCGAATACAGCATTGGAAACAGAACTGAGAACAAGAAAGAGCGAAAGCCCTTAGAGGAACTCCCCATATTAGGCACCAAACGGAAACAGGTTACCTTTCCAATTCCTGACGACGAAGATGTTGATCACGCTGTCAAGATTCGCCGCCTTGATACGAGTTCGCTCTTGATGAGTAACGATAGAAGACTTGAAGCTCAATGGAAACTGCTTGAGGACTGCGTTGACCGTGTGTTGCGGACCAGCTCCAATACGGTTCATAGTCCATATGATTTGGAATATGAGATTTAGTCTGAGAGTCCGGTATTTTGGACTATGGTGACGTTTGGAGTTTGGTTTTCGAACCATTAAGGTTAATGTTGGAAAATGATGGCGGTCTTGGTCAGGCACTTTTGGGAAGTCATTCATGGGCTAGGGCATATGTGCAAGGTTTGAAGGTGGAGGTTAAGAATTCGTGTGGATGTTTGAAGGAGATCTAGGTATGGGAGAGACAATGTATAGAAATTACAAGGTGCTTAAAATTGCAAGCACAGAGTTCAATAAGATAGTTAGGATTTTATTGAAACAGAAAATGAATCACATAACAGGTAAAGACATGTTTACACGAGTCACCATTATTTGTGGATTGATGTACTCAAAGCGTCTCAGAGGTAGAACGTCTAGATTCTCATCGTTTGAACTCGCAATATGCTTTCTTGAGCATCGGATATTAATGAAGTACCAGTGACAAGAGAAAATGACCCACCCAATGCATATGACGTGAAATGATCATACCATTTGGTGAATAAGCTAAAGGTCGTCGGAAATGCGGCTTTATCCCAACCATGGATTGTTGGTGGATGGACTGATCCTAGGAAATGAGTCCTTCAAAATCTTGACACACCCAGCCAATGACTCCCCCTTCATAACCAAATTCTCTAGCAGTTCTTCCTTCCGGGGTTCAGCCATGTCTTGTCGATCAATCCTGGCCCAGTCGATCCTTCCATACTCAAGAGAATAGTATTTCGCGGTCTCCTCTTTGATGAAGTTGTAGTAATTTTCAAGTTTCATGGGACGCCAGATTGTATCATAGGTGAAGTTGCGGCATGCGTCACCTTTGGAAGCGTAATCTTCTTCGAGCTTCTTGCACAGTTCAAACCACTCGGTAGCTATTGGCTTCCCATTTTTCTTCGCATCCGACAGAGTGCCACGAATGTCTACCGTTAGTTCCCAGCCAAGAAAACGCGAAATCAACTCGTCTCTGCCGTAGTCGGGACCTTGTTGAGGCGCGGTTGGCATTGCGACAATCTGCTGATGCATTGGAGGAAGCAGCTGATGAATAGGGATCGAGTTGAAGACGGATGAGGAATTAGAGATCACCGATTGTGTGGTACGCACAGTGGAGTGGCCTGCTGATGGTTCGTATTGTTGGTCTCCATACGGAGTCGAGGCGTGGAACTGGTCACCCATCTCCTCTGGATTGTAGGTAATGAGTATTATCGGTGAGATAAATTGAAGTCGTGAACAGAAACTCAACAATGAGAAGTGGAAGAGAGCGTTGGAGCCTGCATTGTCCCAAATTGGGTACCGCAGCACCAAGGGGTCAGGTGACGCAAACATCGTACGGCGTTGTCCGAGAGAATTGTTGACAGCTTTAAAATTCACATTTCATGATATTTCAGTAGCATGCTATTGAGTTCACCTACGGCACATCACATTGGCATTTCAATAGAGGCACACTGGTATGGCTAGAGAAGGATGAGTCTATATAGGGAGTTCTTTTCTAAATAAACCTGAACTGACGTTTAGTTGAGATACTGGAAATTCCTGTGATATTGAATAGTTAGGCTGCCTAGTATATTGCATTGCTAAAAAGGTGCAGGGTATAGGTCTTCCTGCATCTCTATATGAAAGTACCATAATACAACAAAGGCAAACTCCGGTCGATAGTGACAGGCGATCTATTAGTGAATAGTCATATTTCTCATAAGGAGCGTGACATCGTGAATCATTTCACAGTTAAAACAAAGAACGCCGAACATCCAAAACCCTACCGAATAGGTCGGACCTGACCTAGGAATTAATATTTAACGACCCATTGCAGTAAAGGATAGTATATGGGGTGCTGGGTATAAAGGTGAAAACAGATACACCGATAATATAAATATAATAGGAAGGAAAATAATGTGGCTCTGCTTTTGAAGACTGGGGAATTAGAAGACAGCCATCATCATCCCCAGCGCCATAGAAGATGACAAAAGCCACTTCATGGATGCCGACTGAATATTATGCGTCGCAGCGCCAGGGAAGAATATTGTTGAGCTGGGAGTTGCCGGGGTAGACAACGTTGCACTCCCACTCCTGGTCACACTAGCACTGCTAGAGATGATTGCAGTGGAAGAGCCGCCGCCTCCACCATTACCGGGTGGAGCCGTCGTAGTCGCGATTGTAGTTGGGTTAGGAACCCCGGTACCTATTCCTATCGCCGAAGACTCGCCGGTGCTAGTACTACTGGAAGGTACCGAACTGGTTGAAACTATAGTAGTTGCTGAGCCACTGGTGAAAAGCCCGGTAGTGGAGGCCTCGTTAGTAGAAACCTCAGTAGTAGGAGCTCCAGTAGTGGGGCTTTGTGCACCACTGGTAGGAGGAGCCGAACTCGTTAAGGTGGCTGTGGCCATTGTACCTGTGGCTGTTGTTTCAGAAGACTGTGGAATAGATGTACTCGCTGGGGCAATAGATGTACCTGTTGTAGTGTCACTAGCTATGGTACTGGTCTCAGATGCTGAAGTAGATGTGCTGGTAGTTGTGGCGGGTCCCGTGGTTGAGACACCCACTGGTTGACTGGGTGTCGAAACGCTTACTGTCGTGCTTATCGAGGTACTGGTGGTCGTAGTCGTGGCCGTCAGGTTACAATAATCCAAGAACTGCGCAAACTCTGGCAATGGACCCGATGTTGTTGTTCCCGTTGCATGATAACTTATGCAAAGATTGCAATTGCTGACGTCCGTTAGGAATATAGACGATTTTTCGCAAAGCAAAGATGTTTTCCCAACTGCCTCAGCCTCCAACATCGCATCCTGGCATTCGTTGTAGCATACAGGCGGGTAGTTCTCTGCGCTTCCTTGCTGTCTTTTCTTGATGATACCGGTATTGGCATCTATCTTTACATCGAGCCATAGGTCTATGTCAAGGTATGTGATTTCAGTCCCCTCTGGGAACGTGAAAACACTGTCATCAAGGGAGAACTCCTTTGGATTGAGATTAAAGTACCCTGGGGTAACAGGATATTGACCCGTTTTATTTGATTTGTACCCATGGCCCCATGTCTTATCCGGATCCGAAATCAGCTTTGGACTTGGAATACACTCGTCCGGCGAACAATAGTATGTGTCGGCCGGAGGTCCCACTTCAAAGTTACAATCGCCACCACCCGGCGGTCGATTTTTGGGGTGGCATAAGAATCCTGGCTTACATCCCCAGGTGTAGTCGGTTGGGAGAGGCGTTGGCGCGGTGTATGTTGGATTAGTAATACGGCTTGGACAGACTGATATGCTTACAAAGGTAGTTGTTGGCACTACCGTAGTGACTACCGAAGTGACAGTAGTGACCGTTCCTGGAAGGCTCGTGGTCACAGTCACCGTTTGTGGCGGAAGGGTCACTATAGACCTAGACAAAGTAACTGTGCTACCAGGAATCGTACTGACAGTTGTGATAGTTGATGCCGGCAAGGTTGTAGTGAAGGTCGTGCTAAGTGTAGTAAGCAGTGTTGCTGTAGCTGTGGTAACATCAGTGACCGTGGGCGCAGTTTGTGTCACTGTAACGGAATCTGTCTCGGTCACTGCATCTGTTACTGTTGATGGAGCTACCGTAACAGAGACGGTATCTGTTACCGCGTCCGTAACCGTCGATGGAGTGAGGGTGACGGAGACCGTGTCAGTCACGATATCGGTGACGGTGTTGCTCACTGTTTCTGTTATTTCGCATGTCACTGTGCTTATAGTCGACACAGTCGCGGTAGCTGTAAATGTAATATCTGTCGTAGCCGTTGTAGTGATGGTGTCAGAAATTGTAGTGGGGATGACTGAAGTTAGAACCGTTGTATAAGTCGTGAGATATGTTGTTGTAACTGTTGTTGTTACTGGCCAAACAGAATATGTGGTAACACTAGTGCTGCTGGTAGTAGCGGTGGTAGTTAGATTCTCTGTGCATGTGCACTCAGTGGTGGTTATCCATGTCGTCTCATATACGGTGCTAGTAGTGTCATAGTCGAGTGCACCATATACCCCCACGTCAGTGGCTGGGCCAGACGTTATCGCGGGTGAACTGCTTGCAGGCAAGGAATACGTGAACCGCGTGGTTGGGTTTTCAAATACGACTGATGTCTCAGTTATAACTGTTATTTTGGTGGCACTAATGATTGGAGATGATGTTTCCGAATCCACATTAGGCGGGGACCCAGTGAAGGACTCTGTGACAGTAACGGTCTGAAGGTTGATTGGTTAGCTTTCGACTTTATAAAAGGGCCTATACAACTATACCGAAGCGATATCTGGAGTCTATAAGAAAGTTAGCAGATGCTTGAAACAACTGTACTAATGAGCTTACCACAGTGACCGTGATGGTTTCGGTTGATGGTTCAACACTTTGTGCAGTGGTTTCCGTCACGGTGATAGTACTTGCAGGACATTGATTTGAGAGTGAGTACGAATTGACAGCTGTGTTTCCACTTTCCGTGCTATTGCTTATTTGCAACGCTCGTGCTGTTGTGGAGAGTCCCAGGAGAGAGCCGGTTAGAAGTGATCTCCACCGCATCTTTGGCGATACTGCCAACGTTTGCTGGAGAATCTCGACTGACAATGGAAACGACGGTGGTTGACACAAACGACAGACTAGCGACCCAGAGACTTGAATAAATATTCGCCTCGGGAGCCTAATTTGCGACGCGCGCACAATAATGTGCTGGTGCACGGATTAATTCCCCTTTGACAATCGTTGCTGTAGTAATATCTCTCCTATAAGAGTTAGTGAGACCGTATTATCAATTGGAATGAGAAAACCGTACACGGAGGCTGAGGTCAAGAAGCGATGTCCTGGGACGGGAAAGCACCTATCGAACAGCGCAATGGGACCTTACATACCGAGCTAAAGGACCTGAGGAACCATAATTCTCGCGACTAAATGTTAGCTCCAACGAGTTCCCCTCACCGTCAATGCTACGCTGCTACTTGCAAAGTAGCCAAGCTACTTAGTACTACTAAGCTCAGCCTTGCAATCCAACACGGACCAGTTACCGGTCTAAGACACTATTACAAACTGGACCGAGTGACTCGGTGGAGGTCGAGCTTCCGTTGATGTGAATCTAGCTTAGCTAAGATGCATCATACCAAACACTAACTAGTTGGCTGCACGACATGACAGGGTTGGTGTGGAGTCTGGACGCTAGAAATTCGTAAGCGTAGACAAACCCCCTCCTTGAGCTGTCTAGCTTGCGTTGCGACGAAAACAAGTCTGCCCTCGGTACAGCTTGGTAATGATTTTCAATTTGGAATGGGACCTTCGTCAACTGTCATATGATCAGTGTAATGGCGTGAGCCATTGGACTTGAGCTGGTGATGGGTTATACAAGGTCCCAGGGGAATACGGAGAACTTTCGAAAGGGAGGCTGCAGCGTTGGGCATTAGGTCAAGCCTAAGGGCTCAGGCTAGGCTCGGGCGGTTGAAAATGTCCAGAAATTGATTGTGATCCGGTTGCCAGGCTACAGCGATAGGCCCGGCCCTTGATTCAATGTGCGGTGTGTGGAACATGGGCCATACGCCATTGCCCATAAAATGCTCCGTATGGTATAACCTGGGAGAGTTTTTCCGGGCGGGGAGGGAGCGGGAGGTGATTCGCCTTGCTGGCTATTTGGAGCTGCGGAGCGTGTCGAACTAACTGAGTTGGCAGGAGATCAGCTTCTTAGCCGCACGTTAGCAGGCGCCCGTCTGTCAAAGAAAAGGTTGTCAACTGTCAACTCAGAATTCACGGGATCTGGGTTACAGCTGACGGCATCTGTTATTGTCAAATCATTTTCCTAGAATGGCATCGTGCAGTGGAATGAATCACTTGCACATAATTCCAGGTTATATTCCTTGTCAAGCTTGGCTGCGACGCATCGTCCCGGACATCCTTCTAGGCCCGCCGCCAATGCGAATAGCGCAATGACTGTGGCCTTCTCGTTTAGGAAGCCATCCCCAGAAGCGGAACGAGCTACGGCTGAATGGTGAATAACTACTCAATAGTGCCACTGATGTTGCCAGGAGCCAATCGCGGACTCCGCAAGGACTGCAGAACCCGGCTTAGCTCGGCGTCACAGAGTCGGCCAGCTGCAGTGGTCGTTGGCTGACGTGTGCAATGCGCCTTGTGAGTGTTGGAGCTGGACTCAGCTGGTTCCCAGCCGAACATTAATAACAACGATCGTTAATAATAATGTGACCGACCTTCCCCGCCATGTTATCGGGCGCGCACGGGCTTGCGGTCGCACGAAGTGGAAATGTAACGGCAGGCCGGGATGATAAGGACCAAGTGAGGAGCAATTGAGCCGCACGCACAGCTTCGATCTGGTTATGATGGGTGATGCAAGAGCTGCTTACTTCGACTGGTAGCATGAAACAGCTGCAGCACATCGTGCCGCTCAATGACTAGAAAGCAGCGCCTAAGTCTCAGAAAGCAGTCGCCCAAGCCATAGACGGCAAGACGATAGAGATATATTATATGTGTATGCACACCTCAGGCGACGATGAGGTGGTTCTCGGCGGGGCTGGCAACAGTGCTGGCGGTCGTGGAGGGCGCGTCCGCTCTCAGCGCGGGCAATGAGGTCAACGTATCGATGTGCAACTGGGCTGAGTTTCGAGGTAAGAGAGAGATGATATAATATATAATCCATTGTTCTGGGAAGAATCAATGCTGAGGAGGATGCAGCTAATATCATCCGCGACACGGTCTATCTGGATGGAGGGCTACTGTGGTGGCAGCAGTGAGTTCCTTCCTTCTGCACGTCACGGGTCGCGACTGCCTGCTAACCCGGCCGCACCAGGTCCTTTGCTAGCGGTGACAACACTTTCGTCTCCAACGACGGTTTGTCCTCACTGCCACTTATAGAATGTATTGTTTGCGGCATGCTAATCAGTGCATGGCTGTGCTACAGGCAATGTGCACGGCTCGACGTACACCTTCGCCCTCGGGCAGCCGTTCAACCAGTCGACCAACCTGACTGCCCTGTTTCAACTGTTGTCTGAGACCGGCGGCCAGCAGACGACTAACATCGCGCCCAACTACATCGATGGCACAATGTTTGCGACCGCCGACGAGATGATCCTCTACGGGTAAGACAGTGGGTGCCGTGGTATGCTGTGTATAAGCTAACTGGATCTCTCTTCTCTGCTACAGAGGTCTCCTGCTGGCCACCAACAGCTCCAATCCACCTCCTGCTGACTTGGTCCTGGCGTACGAGGCCTACCAGCCACACTCGGACACTCAAAAGAACACATTTCTCAACAAGGACCTACCGACGAATGTAACACGCTATGTCACTAACGGGGCTGGGGTCTCGAGTATAAGCGAGGGACTGGGCTTCTACTTCAGCGGCATGCGAGCTCCCGACGGGGGAGCGATCTTCTCCAATTTGGATGGAACGGCCAACACTGTGGCCAATACCCTAATTACTGTGAATATGTCAGTTATGGAATCCGAGTTATGGTCCAATGATTCCTTGCCACCAAACATCTCGGGCCGAGCAAATGCGGAGCTTGCCTGGCTTCCAGTTGCAGATCGGGGCGTCTTGGTGGCAATTGGAGGTGTTATCAATCCGGTGAGTTTGACCGCGGCCCAGGGCTTAAATAATTCACAGGCTTCCGCGAGTGTAAGGATATTTCTTCTCTTGTTCCCCAACAGAAATCTCTAACGATAGCTGTAGGAACATATAAGCCCGACTTTCATGGAAACGGTCTCTGTATATGATGTCGCTAGCAAGAAATGGTATCAGCAAAATACAACTGGAGACACTCCACCGCAACTAACCCTGTTCTGCTCTGCTGTAGCGATTGCTCAAGATCGCTCGTCGTATAACATTTATATATATGGTGGATATAACGGGATAAATGCTACCGCTACTCCTTCCGATGACGTATACATCCTATCAGTACCACAGTTCGTCTGGACACACGCATATAAAGGTCAGGCATCACATGGTCGAAGCTCGCACAAATGTCTTGCTGTTTATCCAGATCAAATGATGGTATTCGGTGGCATTTTTCAAAACAATCCAAATGTCTGCGTTGATGGTGGGATCGTTGAGGTATTTAACATGAACAAGCTAGTTTTTGAAGACTCATACGACCCACGTGTTTGGAACGAGTATCAAGTTCCCAGTGTTGTGACTGCCAAAATTGGCGGCGAGTGAGATTAACCCCATGTGTTTCATTGCCACTCTTATACTTACGGTTATGATAGCGCAAATGGCAGTGCTACAATGCTGTCACCCTCCTCATGGAATAACGAAGCCCTGTCATCTATCTTTTCGACACGGTACACTAAAACGATTCCGACTTATTATCCATATACATACCTGGCCCCAAACTCAACAACCAGTTCTAGCTCTACTCCAGTTCCGACGATCGCTATCACAGGCGGAAATGGAGGTTTACCGACCTGGGTAGGTCCAGTCCTGGGAGTTGTCCTGGGATTAGTCGCCATAGGTGCGGCAATTATTCTATTTCTTCTCTGGAGGCGTAGAAACAATCGGAAGAACTCCGGTGCGAGTGACACCCAGGGCAGCGCAGCCGGGCTCAAAGGGTTTGTACTCCGATGGCTATATGGCACGGCCGGCCAGGAGGGAAGATCTGTAGGAAAGGGTCCAACAGAGCTGGGAGTGGAAGACGATGATACAACGGTGGTGTCATCCACTAGACACCGCCATGTATCTGAAGCGGGCAGTATGGAATTGCACGAAATGGCAGGTATGTCGTATCATTTACTAGTATTGTTTTTACGCCGCTAATGTAATGCCCAGCACGTGAACAGCCTCGTTTTGAAATGGCGGCCAGTTTCAACGGGTCTCCAACATGGAGTCGCTCTAGCTGGTCTCACTCCGAAGTTTCCCCGCCACTTGCTTCACCTAGCATTGGTGAACTGATGGAAAGAGACCCATTAGACAGTGCCCTACCCACCCCACAGTCAGCCATTGGGCCTCCAACAATGCGTCCTACTCTAGCTCATACGCGACATATAAGTGACCGAAGTGATGAGACTAGTGTCTCGGAATTAGAGGCTCCGAGCCCTAGGCGACCAGCGCATAACCGGCAAGGGTCCGACAATTCAGTCTCAGATGCGAATTCCATCACTATTGCAAGCGAAACCAATTCGTCTAACACCTTTGCTCCTGAAGATCGCCAGGCACAGTCTCCAAGCCCAGCGCGCATTGAGCGCATTCAGACAGTGCACGAAGTCGATGAGCCTGATAGCCCCGGCCTGGCAGCCAGGCTTGTTCGTGAATGGGATGCCGAGAGTGTTTCTAGCCAAGCGCGAAATCATGGACGGAGCGAGCTTGAGTAGCCATTCGTCGTGAACAGTGCAATCTAGGGAATTACTAATAATGGATATTTTTGAAACGAAAGTTCACGCCATATTTTGTGACGAAAAATGTGATGAGTGTTATGCTTTTTACGAACTGTATATATATATACAATTTAATTCTAAATACATCAATTGATGGCTTTATTCCTATCACCAACTTTCACTTTTACATCGCTTATAGATAGGACTTATGTACTTCGGGTGACCTGAGTTGATCACCATCTGTCCCAGTGCATCAATTGATGTATAGTCGATTGACCCTATGAAACATTGCGGTGGCAAGAAAAGGGTGGATTTGAAGAGTCCACGACTTTCCTGCCTTTATGATTTGATGAAGTAGAGTTTTTCAAAAACAAGTTCCTGGGCTTGTAGTTATTTTACATCACTTAGAATACACCATTTCAAATTGTTTCTGTGTTGCAAATATGTATGTGGAATTTAAAGCTATTACACACCGATGGATTAATGATGACAGCTGACAGATACCATCCAAAGATTTGTACACCTAGGTTACATTATCAACCGTTCGTACAACTGGATCAGAATGTGCTATCAGAGACATCAATATCCCTCTCGCCGCAACGCCACCTGTTCCAACTGTCGTGTCGAAAATACATGATCATACAGAAAGAATCCGTTTTTATGAAATATGCCCTTCTCTACTTCTTGTTCACGATTATTTGGAATGCAAACGTCGAATACCTAAGGAATGGCCGTGCTCGAAGCAGGCATGCCACTGGGGATGCTGCATATCAAAGCTCTAAAAGATTGTCCGAGTGCCCCTGTATCGGAAATTCCGGGGGCACTGAATGATCCTGCAATAGGACCAGCACAATTGGTAGATCTAGAATCGTTTCGCCGCACGAATGTTAGAAACCGAGATCTCCTATATGTACGTATATGGGCACATGAATGGAGATATTCTTACGCGTATATATCGCACCTAGCGTTCATATCCACGGTAGCAGAGCCCACCTGCCCTGAACTGCTCGATCATAAATGAATATTAGACACGTGTTGCTGCTGATATTGTTTCTAAACTTCAGTCGAATATCACTTACGTTGGGGTTGCGATAGCCTGGCAAGTCCCGGCAGAGAAGGTGTACTCGGTAGAATAGTCCGTGAGGTTGGCATTTCCCCAGATGAATACCTTGGTTGGGTATGTCAGCTTACAAGTGGAATAGTTCTGATGAGAGAAAGAGTTACATCGACGTCGTCACGTTTCTGTATGGAAGAAGCGGTGATCGGTGCGATTAGAGGAAGAGCGGCGATTAGAAGCGCATTGAAAAACATGATGAGTTGAATCAGTGTTATGGTGAAGATACTTGTTCCTATTGAGAAGTCGGTTAGGAAGGTGTGTGCTCAGGGTAGAAGAGGGAAGAGAGTGCGAAGGAGGCGACGCTCTCCTTTAAAACAAGCTCATTCATTCATTTGGGGTTCAAAACACAAAATGGGTGTCAGTCAGAATTAAATAGATATGATTCAATGCACCGAGGTCGACAGTTCTTTTCTAAATGTGCCTTGTGATCTTCTACTCCACTGGCATCTTCCTCGGCCACCGAGATTATTGAGCGGTTTTCTGTCTCTGTGCGACAGTGGCCGTTCATTTTTCATTCACGCTAATTCCCGAGAAGTAATGTTCGGTTTCATGTTTGTTAACTGGTCTATTTCTATTTTTGCGGTTTAAGTACTGAATCTCCAGTGACTGTCACGGGCACATGATGTAGTAATTAAGATGTAGCAATAGAGTTGAACATGATTGGGTTCTCTTATACTCTGTGGAGCACGTACCTGGAAGGTAAATAGGGGTTATTTTCATCATAGTATAGAGTAAACAGCGATTATTCAGCGACTTCACAATCTGTCACCTATGGCGATTAAATAAGTGTCCATATGTAGGCTTTAAGTACTAGATTACGGTCTTTCGAAAACGAGACTCACTGGATACTGGAAACTTGAGTTAAATCTGGCCCCCTGATAAAATTTCCCGTAGTATCATTCGCCATCGAAAATATCGTGAAATTGTGGTTGCTCTAGTTATTGCAAGGCACTCCGGATGGGTTCACTTTCCGCAGCATCAAAAGCGAGTAAGCGGTACATGTCGGCACAGACGATTGGTTCTCAGGGAAAAGAAAAACATGAAGCATGCATGGCATTGGAGGAATAATACGCAGCGATTGAATGCGTTTAAAATCATCATGTAGATCGCGAACAACAATGCCCAATCAGCGACTAACCGATTCAATATCCGACTGCCCGGACTCCACTATCGAGTCGCTGCAGAATGGCCAAGGCAGACTCGGTGTATTTCTGGTAATTTTGCTATCCATTGAAGTGTTCGACAATGCGAGGTAAATTCGTCGACATGCCCACAGCGAATCGACTAAGTGATCATGGATAGGTCGGTCACGTTTAAATTAGTGGGGAGCAGACTATCGTATTCACGGTTACGTGGTACTATCAGGTTGAGAAACTTTTCATGGGAGTCTTATCCTTTGTCTTATTGCAATTTTCTTGTTCATTATTCAATGTGATATTTTCTCAAGCATAGTGGAGATTACTCTTTGAAATATTTGTACAATATCAGAAATCTATAGACAGATAAGAGAAACAAACTGGAATAGCCCAATTTACACTATTCAAAGATCCGGTTGATTTACTTCCCCCCATTTTTCTTTCCTTTCAAGCCTCCAGTGTTCCACTTCCGCACTCTAAACAGATAATACAATGTCACTGCACCAAAGACATTGAAAACAAAATAGCACCAGAAGATGCCATAGTTTCGCCAGCGGTCCTCATAATAGATCTCCCGGGCAGCAAGGTAATCGTCTGCAGAAGACATGGCGCAATACTGACAGTCTCCGGTGGCATTCCCGTTGTACAAGCTCCCACCAGCGACCGAGACGTATTCTGCAAGGTACTGTCCACATGTCTGCCCAGCGGGTGGGTCAAAAACGCTGAGCTCGGCTGCATTGCACGTCACAGGGCGACCATGCAACGCTGCGCCGCTGATACCCCCAACATAGTATGTGAATGGCGAGACGCGGTACATGAAAATCCAGAAGCGCGGCAGCATGCTTGGAGGCTGCATAACTCCATTGAATATGAAAGATAGACCAAACATCATGGTCGCAAGCATAGCAGCTACAGCGGGTTCGCCAATGGCCGCAACAACGAACTGGGCCATACTGCCAGCATACATGTAGAACTGGGCGATATAGAGTAGCACGATTCCTCGTGATTCAGTAGTCGTACCAGTACCAAATACGGAGAAATAAAAGCATGCCCAGGCGCACACCCCGATTCCAAATTGCCACGGAATCTCAACTATTAATTGCGAGAGGATGAAGACTTTCCATGAGTAGACTCTAGATGGCCGCTCCCGCACTTCGTAAAGAGACCGCTGCATCACGAACTTGGGCATGATCTGGTTAACCATGGTTCCAAATATGGTACACAAAAGAAAGACACTGAACAAGACGTTTTGAAATCCTTGCTGCGTATTGTCAGACTTCCAGAATGAGAAGCCGATAAAAAGACCAGAAATAATTCCTAGTATGTACTTGGACAGAATATACTCTGGTTGGCGAAAGTATTGTTGGAATACCCTGAGCAAGACATAGTAAAGTTGGCTGAGGAAAGGCATTGCGAATTCAGAGCTACTGTCGTTATCAAGCTCTTGAGTGCTATCCTCCGCAGCCTCTAATTTGTGAAGTCGGTCAAGCTCTTGTATCATCTCTGCATACTCAAGACTGTTTTTCCAGGTCTCCGGCCAATCTATCTGAGTTTCTTTGTCCCCAGAGACAATATCCAGAATGTACTCAGCGGGGTTTTCAGACTTGTCGCAGTTTCGTCCTCCATTTCTAGCAAAATAGTCAAGTAAAATATTTGACCCTTCGCCGATATCACCAAAATAGACGGTCTTTCCACCCTTGGCTAAGAATAGTAAACGATCAAACTCTTGAAATAGCAAAGCACTAGGTTGATGGATTGTAGCCAGGACAGCCTGTCCATGATCGGCCAATTTTCGAAGAAAGGCACAAATCGTCCAAGAACTTTGTGAGTCAAGGCCACTCGTTGGCTCATCAAGGAAGATAAGCAAAGTAGGTTTCGCAGCAAGTTCGACGCCAATGCTAAGTAATTTCCTTTGCTCCACATTGAGGCCTTCCCCGAGATTCCCTACCACAGCCTCAGCAAAGTCCTCCATTCCTAAGACCTTGATAACCTCCTCAACGTATTCATATTTTTCCTCCTTTGAGACTATTTTTGGCTGACGAAGAATTGCGCTAAACCTTAACGCTTCACGAACGGTCGTAGTCTCTAGATGAAGATCTTGCTGCTGAACGTATCCCGTTCTTCGCGGAAAGTTGGACTGCAGACCTTTCCCATTCACCAGTATATCCCCTGTGACGACCCCAATGGAGACCCTCTGGGCAAGTACATCGAGTAGGGTGGTTTTACCTGCACCGGAAACCCCCATCAGTGCAGTCAATGTACCGGGCTTGACCCAACCATTCACATTATCAAGGAGTCGACGGGTGCCGTCCTTGACAGGGATGTCATAATTGATACCCTTCCACGAAAGAACGTCCTTTTGTTTTGGCAGATGCATTGTGTCGTAATTGGTTTCTGTTTGGGGAGAAACATTTTGTGTACTTGCCTGTGAGCTTTCGACGTCACCTTCATCCTGCAGGTAACGGGGAGCATGGCCGGGACGGAAAAGCAGAGTTTCTGCTTTGGAAACATTTCCAGTGCGAAGTTCTGTGGCGGTGAAATAGAGGCCATTGAAAAATATCATAAACGCGATAAGAATGCCAAAGTTGCGCCATACATGTGAATAATGATATTCGTAGTTGCCCTCAATAAAAGCATCACCAGAGACGTAATGTTGTCCAGCAACAGCACCAACGGCGGAGCAAATGAATGCTGTTCCGTTCGCATAACTTGGAATCAAACGGCCGCAAGGAAATTCGCGACCGTGGAATTCATTGCTGACCAAAGCTTCAAATGAGTAATAGATAGGATTTATCCAGCGGATCCAGGATAGCCAAGGGTGCATGTAGGGCTGTGGCACCGTGAAGCCTGTGTATACGGCAATGCACAAGACCATAACACCGGCCATCGCCATTGCTTGGCCAATGGATCTGGTAAGAGACGCAATACTACGGAATATTCCTGACATGGTAAGAACGGAGGTTATGAGGAAGAGGTAAAAAATGAAAAACTGGGAAGGTTCCCGGCGGAGGTTGCCCATGAAATATAATACAATGGAAAAAATGGTGACTCGAAGGACCTTAATAGGGAGATCCACAAGGACACTGGCTATGGCTTCTGTAAATGGGTGAACAAATGCAAATGCAGCCTGCTTCTCGACTATTGGCCGCTGGCTGTAGAGAAGCATGATCTCATTGATGGTCAGTAAAGCATTCAACAGAATTGCAAAATACAAGACTGCCCCTTTTTGGAAAAACCCAGTGGTTGTGTTGGGGGAATTGTAAAATATTGAACCGACGATGAGGGAAAGTACAATCTGAACCACAACTGTGGACATGGTAGTTGGCATATCATTTCGCATACGTTGGAACGCGCGTCGCACGCAGAGTCGTACTTGCATTGGTATTGAAAGAAGATACGGACTGCTCTCTCGGGCGTGCCGTGCTTGCTGCTCCTTGTGGTCAGTATGAAATGCCGATGCTTCGTCTCCATTGAGCGGGTGGTCGTTTCTATACTTTGCCACCTGATTCCGAACATTTTTATACTCTGGACTTCGCTTCCAATATTGAGCAAATTCTTGGGCAGTTCGTGGAACCTTTTCCTCCATCCCTGGGCGAGGTCTCCTTTCCCCAGGGTTGGTGATTGATGTCAAGAAGTCTCCAGTCATCTGTCGTCGGGGCCTATCCCAGCCCATCTCTTCAAAATAAGCCGATGCATCAGCAGCAGGTCCGTAGTATATTTCGTGGCCTTCGTATAAAAGGATCACTTTGTCAAAGAGGTCGTACATGGACTGAGAAGCCTGATAGGCAGCCACTGCATGGCATGACTCCCCAAGGTCAGCGGAGAGACGAAGTGTCTCCACGAATCGCAGTGCCGAAGCTGCGTCAAGGCCGCGGGTACTATTGTCCCATGCTCCAATTCTAGACCTAGACAGGAACATTTCGGCGATGCTCACTCGCTTGCGCTCCCCTCCACTGACTCCTCGGATCATATTGTCTCCGACCTTGGTATCTTTGGTGTGGGAGAGGCCGAAGACGGCAAGAACAACCTGTACAATTGTTTCCGCATACTCTTCGCGACTAATCTGGTTCATGCGTCTATGCGGTGCACGCGCGCGCGCAGCAAAGGACAAGGTTTCGCCGACTGTTAGATGGGGGAAGTGTATGTCAACTTCTTGGTTATAAGTAATTTCTCCCCGATATCTTTGTATCATATCTTCAAAACTGATTCCTTCATATTGTATTTCAGTAGTAGGTTCGACTGTCAGCCCACCAAGATGTCCGCATATCGTTTTCAGAAATGTAGAGCAACCGCTTCCAGGGCGACCAAGCACAAGGAGCAACTCCCCGCTTTCGAGAAGACCATCGAATTCATGGAGGATTTTGCGCCGAGTGGTTTTTTTCCCCCCACTAATCACTGACGTCAGTTTGCGAAAAGGTACTGTGAAGGTTGAAGCGATTGTCTCCTGGAACTGAAGAGAAGAGCCGGAGCCGGATATCGACAAGTTCGAAAAGGCTATGCCCTGCCGCTGTAGCTCAATGCCGGATCTGTCCATTGTCTTGAGAGCCATTTGGGCCCATACACGGTAGTCGAAGTCTGGATTGCTAGGATCTAGCCGGGGATCGTCCTTTCGGAAGGTGGAGTGACTGGACAGTTGGCGACCGAGCTGACTAGAAGCGATGCGGGTCATGGCCTCCATCTCGCGCTGTGCTACAACATCGATTGACGTTGAGTCCTCTCCGCTACTGGACGGCCTCGATGGGTCATGGTGTTCTTTCTCCATGGTGTTGCAGACGATGTTTGGCAGCTTCTGCCCAGGACTAACGATACTGGAGGCTGGAACACAGCACCCTGAGAATATATATATATTAAGATAATGTTGTGCAATGGGAGGGTAACGGAAGAAAAACAAACCAATGCAGGAGCCTGAGTCTGACCTTTTTACTGTACACACGGCAGGAGTGTAGAAAGAGGGAGGACAACAAGCAGCTTCAAATATTTCACATATCAGAAGAGAAAACGCGACGATTGCCAGTTCGGGAAGGCGCCACTGCGACCACTCGTTGGGAAAGTGGAGCTGCTCATCAGTGGCTAATCGCAGAGGGCCACGCGCGGTAGTCGGCATCTAAGAGTTCCGTCGCCCGCATTATACCACTTTTAGACGGCACGACTGGCTCTAGCCCTAAGCCCGGAACAATAAGGTCCCGTTTCCCCGGCTGCGACGGCCTATTAAAACATGAACTTACGGCCGGTTCGCTTTCCGGAACTTACAACACCCTATTCAAAACAAAAAGTAAATAAGAGTCATCTTGCGCCACGTTCTTCCGCCGATATAGCCCTGCGACAGAGCTAAGACTAGGTATCTTCCGAGTCATGAAGCGGCATTATCTGCAGACTGCTTCCGACTTCCCACAGAAACGTCAGCTATCACCCTCTCCACCAGGCTTAGCGCAAACCAGCGCCTTGTCAGCATCCAACAACCAACCTGCGTCTACTTCGACAATAATCAAACCCCTTGTTCGGAATTCGGGCCGTGAAACCCGTCCGCGTCAGCCTTATCGATCTCGTGCCTGTGATGCATGTCGTGCTTTGAAGGTGCGCTGTGAACCGCACCCGAATCCTGCCGTTGAACCATGCCACAAGTGTGCAAACTTAGGTAGGACCTGTGTCATTACACCACGCAATCGAAAGCGAAAAAAGAGGACAGACACTCGCGTAGCCGAGCTGGAAGCAAGAATTGACGTTCTCGTGAACAGCCTGCGGGCGTCTGGCGACGAGTCACAGCAGGGATCCCGCCCAGGCGAGAACTATCAAGCGCGGACCTTACAGGGCAGCAATGAACGAGATACTTCGATAAACCGTTCGGTATCGCCGTCTACTAACAAATATTACTCCCATGCACAGCCGGGGCATGCCCCTACACAATGGCGTCATGCAGACAGCACTCCCTCACGGCCCGTTTCAGCGGTCGACCAACCTGTGTCTTCCCTCGATACGAACACAGAACACGGTGTCAGCGATATATTCAGTGATAGCCGCCCCGATGCCATTGAACGTGGTGTAGTCGACGTGCAATCAGCGAAGATGGCCTTTCAGCGTTATGTTTCTGAATTATCAACCATCCTACCTATTGTGATATTCCCACCGCAAACAAAATTTGAAGATGTTAGATTTAATAAGCCGATTCTTTTTTGGGCTATTGTGGCCGTGTCAATCGATACAATCAAGCCAAATATCCGCCCTGTATTAATGAAAGAGACCTACCGAACATTTGGTAAACTCGTTTTCATCGGTGGACAAAAGTCCATCGAGATCGTTCAAGCCTTGATCGTCTGTTGTCTATGGTACAGACCTCCGGCTCGTATTGAAGAGATTAACGTGTATCAGTTAGTACACAGTGGTGTCGCTATGGCAATGGACCTAGGATTGGATAAATTGGCACCGAAAACAAAGCTTCCGTTACGATCAGCGCAAGAGTCAATTAGGCGTTATTACATGCCAAACAATCACAATGCAATAGAGGCTAGACGAACTTGGCTGGGTATGTATTTTCTATCCGTCCAGGTCTCAGTATCACTAAAGAGAACATTTCTGGTTCGATGGAACCACCACATGGATGACTGCGTGGAAGCCATGGAAACTTCTCCTGAATTACTCCCTTCTGATGCTGTTCTACTTCACTGGATAAAGCTTGCCCATATTTTGGAGCAAGTAGGCATCCAGTTTTCAATAGAGGACACAACTGCTAGTTTGAAACTTGAGGATTGTAGGTTTCAATACTCCCTCAAAGCGTATGAGAAAATGCTTCAACAGTGGCGAGAAGGCATTTCCAAAATAGCAATCTCCCAAATTCAGAAAACCCTCTTTGAACAGAGTATATATATTGTCAGAATCCATATGCATGAGGCGGCTTTGCATTTCGAGTTGGATGATATTGTTTCTCGACAGGCGGAGGATCGGAGGCTTGTTGACATGAAAAGTAGGGATCGAATTAATAGCCTGATCACTTGTGTGACTTCTATTCACAAAGCCCTCGACCTTGCCTTATCATTGGACGTCGAATGCATAATTACCGTCCCCGGTCTTTTTATGGCTAGAGTCGGCTATTGTGCCGTTAATCTCATAAAGCTGAGCGTGATCGCCTCTAAACCGGAGTCTCACACAAGAGGCATTTATGATGTCGCGGACCTGCAAGCCGAATACTACGTGGAGAAAATCGAAGAACGCCTGAGAACTGCGGGAAACATCAACGGTGGGCAACCTTTTTCTCGAGTTGCGAAGATAATCAATACGCTCAAGATATGGTTTCTTAAACCTGGAGGTGCTAAAATACCGCTTGATGAAGCCATTGCCATCCTGTCATTCCCAAGGCATATTACAAGCGTCATCAGCGATCTGTTTCAGACGACGGCTCAGGAGCAAAACGATCAAGATGCCAAGGTACGTAAAAGATCCCCTATGACAATAAAGAGCTAGCGCCCTTCTAACAAGTCGTTGCTTATTTTCCCAGTCTTCCAGAAAAGCCCATTCCACAAGCAAACTATCAGATTCTTCGTTCCCCTGGACATCTACCCGACATGATAGTTTGGGACAAGAGGACAGACCAAATCCCCAAGATCCTCCACCGACTTGTCCCTCGACAAATATAAACAATGCTCATTATTGCAATAATGAATGCAATCTCTACCATTTTGAAAATACAGCCGCGGAACCAATTGGCCTGCAAACACATCCGGACATGGAGCATTTATATTACATCGGAGCGCTGGTCGATAATGGATTTTTGCAAATGCCAACTTCCATTGATGACTTCATGGGATTCTTCTAAAATTCAGGATGTGAGAATCGACTAAATTTGCTGACTTTGCGAATATATAACTGAGTATTAACCGTTTCCCCGAACCATTCTTACAGGAGCGATGACAAGCTCTGAGTCTAAAAAACGGGGCTAAGGAATAAATGACATTTTGAGCAAACAAACGCCTATTTTTATTGTGATATTAGACTTGATGTAAAACGACGGAGTAACCAAGATTGCCCCTCCTAATTCTCGATACCGCGTAAACCACTTCTTGCCTCTACCTCGTGGCGAATTTTGACCTAAATCTGTCGCACTGGTGAACTCCACAATTTTAACCACCTCAAATCTGACTCTGGTGCTCGTGACTAGATTTGCGGGGTTTTCTTTCTATCTGACTCTCGGCCCTATGACTCTCAGACTCTGCAATATGTTGGCTTTGTTGCGCAGCTTGTAAAGACTGCTGCCTCCATTGTATGTAAGCAATATGCTGAAATGTCTCTGTCGGTTGAAAATAAAGACCCGTGCGACCAGGTACTGTGATGTCCTTCATTACCCCATGACTGTAAATCCTCACCCTCGGCTCGATAGGCTTACCGGGCACGCACCATCGTTGCACTGCAACTCTCAGCGGGCGACTAGTCGGGCTCCAGTGTGCATCCAAGACCCGGTATTTGTCGACGACAAATCCGCCTAAGAGCGGCTTTTCGGTGGGAACCTTGGAGAATTGACCTTTGTTCCAGGTTTTTATAGTGTCAATAATCAAACCCCGGCGTTGTCTGTTAGGGCAGGACCTGTAAATCTGTATATCAAACTTGCCCATAGGGAACAATAGGTATCCATCTGGTCTGTACTTGCTGTCCATATTCCTTTGTACTATTCCCAAAATGCACATCACACTCTTGTATGTTTTTATCATGCTCCAGGAGTCTGAGATGCGAGCAAACATGATGAACACCTCCGAAACAAAGATGAGGATATCGTCCTGCAGGTATTTTGGCAAATTACCCTTTGCGAACAGATCATAGTCACTAGGAATATAGTGTTCTGCTTGAATCATTGCTGGATTCACAGTGCTAAGGAGGTTGTAACGCATAATCACACATTCACCTTCATTAACTCTGACATTGGTGTTGGCTATTTCATTAAATGTTGCTTCACGCACATGCAACTTAACAGCGTCGTCATAGTTGAGACCAATATGTTGTCCCTCACTTGTTATTATGCAATCTTTCTCGTCATGAGTGATAGTCAAGTTCGTGTTCATGTCCATGTTGGTACAAAGTTATTGCTTTTTCCTGGATAGACCTGCAGTCTTCAAAATGAAACATTAGCTAAATGCATCCGTCATTGGAAAGTTCTATCTATTATTCTCTTCAAAAACTCACAATAAGCCTGGTATCTGCTTCGACTTGTTGTTTGCTGCAGGATGCGAAGTAGAGAGTATTCCAAATAGTGGTAAGAGAGGAGATAGCAATCAACGTTTTGTCGGAGAGGGTGAATTGACTGATAAAGTAATTGTTGAACGACCTCTTTGCAAATGGAAGTTGAGGATATTTTCTAGCGAAGCTGCAGAGAGGCTTTGTTATGGTGACGGTACCAAACTGGGCATATCCGCTGCCTAATTGAGCATTTTCACTGACACTGAAGATGCGTGCAAACAGCCCAGTAGGTTTCTTATCAACAGCCTTCATGATTTCCACTTCTTGCTAAGTTTTACCTGTTTTACACCCCTGTCCTCAAGCATCAAAAATTCTACAAGATTTTGATCAGTCTTCATTATGCCTGCTGCCAGATAACACAATCAAGTATAATCGAGGTTTGCGTGGAGAGGCTAATACAGATCGTGGGAGTCAAGATATTGGAAATATTCAAACTAAGTTGGTTTCACTCCTGCTCCTCTAGAATCTTATGCTGAATTTCAAATAGCTCAAGAAATAGTTGCCCGTACAATTTCAGCCTGTCTATTATATCCACATTTCCGAGGAAGCTTGAAGCTATTATTGTTGATGTTTGTATTGGGTTCATCTACACCCTATTGCACTCCCAGAAGGTTGGAAGAACTGAGCAGAATCTTTTCCACATCTAAAACGGCTCTGCTTCGATTAATGGGCTCAGGTTAGAGGCAATTCTTGAAGTATGTCTTCAACACCTAACCGGCGTGAGAAGTATGAATGGGTTCGCTAAGTCGGAACGTCGCAATATCCAGGCAGAACGGTAGGCTAGTTGATCTAGAGACTTAAACTGAGATTGTTCCTGAGGTTTCCACTGGCGAAGCTTTAATTGTGACACTACCCCAGCATCAAAACCAAAATCAACCCCCCCCTTTGTAGTATTTGCCCGAAGCATGGACTATATTTGGATAATGTCATTGCTATTATCATTAACCCCTGCATTGTCATGATCGCACATATTCCCAACAAAGCCACTTTAGAAACCATAAAAGAGTATTGCGACGCTCTTATAAAAGAGCTTATTTTCACATCAAATAACCATGACGCTAAAGAGAATAGCCTCTTGGTTTTCCTCTCACCACTGAGTCGGATATCGGAACACTTCATTGGTGGGGCCCACAAACAAGTGTATAAACTTGTGCCGTCGGAAAAATTATCTCGTCTGCCTCGCAAAATACAGACCCAATGCTGCGTTTACTACTCGGGTGGGCCAAATGCCTTGATATCCGTTGTTGTTGGCCAAGGAAAGGATCTGCGAAACCTTAATCTTCGCGTGATAAGGAATTGATATATTTGGAAAGAATATAAACGCGATTATACTTCTATTCATGATATGACAAACTTGGCATTAATTGACTTGGAGGAAGAAAAGTTTCAACCAGCGAATCCCAACCCTCTTTATCTCAGGGAATGGTCTACTATCAAACTTTTCGCAACTCAACTAACCTTTCCATTCGTTTTGAGTGCCTCAAGGAGGGAACGGGTTTGTGACTAAACTATGACTTTTTTATTGTAATTGAGTATTATTCGCATACTCGCAAAGAGAATTGGGGCCTTGTTGGTAGATTCACACCAACATTAGTGAAAACTCCTAAACTCCCCGTTGGCATCCTTTCGAGCTGTCCTGGAGAAATCCTAGAAACCTCCAACTTTATTGACTTATCATTGGACTCGTTGACGAAATACCTGCTGACATCGGCTAGACGTATGCTCTCCCATCAAATGCAAGTAACAAATAGACTACCCGCTCCTGCCTCTATCCACGCTTTCATGGAACAAATCGCCATCGCATAAGCCAAGACAAGGCTAGCAAGAAACCCCGCTCATTTACCTTACAATTCTAGCATCGGCTGGCTCCTTTCCGAACACCTGGGCGTATATGTTTTAGTAGTCAATACATTAGTCTTGCTCTTCGCATATATCGTGATAACACCATTTACGCGGGCGTGAAACGATGTTATTTCCCCCGAGCCCAAAACGCTGTTTTACGTATAGCAATCTTGCTGGGGAAGTCGGTTTCTCAACTATAGCGCCATGCCTTAGACTATGACAAAGCAGGCATCTGAGGAATACCTGGTAGCATCGGTTAGGGCTTATGTATCTTAGTTTAGTGAGTGCATGTATTTAAGTCTATGGGTATATGGTTCTAATTCCAGGTTTTTGCCATTAAAGAATTTAAAACAATCCTAACTGCTAAATATCAAGAAATCATTATTTTTAAAAGCGAGAAGACCGTTTTGGCTGATTATTTTGTTCTTTTACAGCGAGGAATATTCTTAGAACTCTTTTTTTCGGTGTCACGATTTATCACCAGATTGTCAAAGAAGGCAGAGCTCAAACGGTTTCATAGTGTTCGATCCTGCCGTTGTGCTTTGAGATGGTTACGTGTTAGCAGAATAGGATAAATTGTGTGCAATGGGTCAAGGAGGATAAAAGCAAAGGGATTAATAATGGGTGAACTTACCAATTTGCGACTGTATTTAAGTCCGACATTGTTTCCGCTTTTAGCATCGTAAGGTATAGGACTGGTATAATTATAAGTGGCCTCTTTTCCACGATAGGTCCTTTTCACGATATCGAGGATACCATGCCCAGCAGAACACGATCCAGAGGTTAATGGAATAGGCCAGACATCAGTATACTTTGAGTACACATTAGCTGATTCGGGGCCAGGATACGTCACATTCAGATTGAGATCGGTATAGTCGACATCATAGTTGATGTAATTTGTTTCCTCGGCTACAAGAGAGAGAAGGTTGGCGCCACAATCCCATCGGCCAAGTGATGGAAGACCGAAGTTGGCAGAGAGAGATGCAATCACAGAGTAGTGTGTATAGAATGTCGAGTCACTGGTGCCCTTAAGGTGCTTCGGGATCGCACCACCTAGCAAGAAGCTGTACACTCTATTAGGTTTGGTGTAGTTTCCAGACTCGTCGAAAGTGAGCAGGATGAGGGTGTCTTCCATGAAGTACTCGTTTTCCAGTAACGGAGTGAGGAAGTTATGGGTCCAGGTGCCAGCGAAGGTGACGTTGGTGTCGTGGGCATCATTAGTCATGTTTGGGGTGATAAACATGTACTGAGGCAAGGTGTGATGTTCAAGGTCTTGATAGAAGGTGGTAAAATTTTTGATCTGACGCAAACGAGTAGGGTCGTTCGTGACCGAGTCAAAGAGAATCAGGGGGTTATGCTTGCGTACGTAATCGTTGGCACCGCTTTCAGGATAACGGAAACCCTGGTAACCAGGATAAGGGATATCCTCTTGGTACTCACCCCATGCAACCTTCTTAGTGTCAAATAGGTCCGCAATCGTCGAAACGTTTGCTGGGATCTGGTTGAAGTTATCATTGTCCATGCCAAATGTGTCACCACCGGCGGAAGCGCAGTAGTTCGGCTCCGAAGGATGGGTGACTGCAAAGTAATTCTCCAAGAGAATTCCTTGTTTGGCCAAGGCAGATAAATGGGGATCAAGAGCAGCAGTGGTGTAATCCTAGTCGAGAGTGAGCCAATCTAATACAATCCTGATCTCCATTCTCCAGACCCAACCGGCATTGCTTACGGTGTTTTCGAGCCAGATATCAACAAATCGGCTGAATGCCTTCCCATGCACTTTGGAAACAGGAGAGTATGGCTTGACAGAGGCCTGGGCAGCCGCAATTTCTGCTGCTGAAGGATATTGCTCTGTGGAGGTCTGCGCCATGGTAATGGCCAAGCTGGCCATTACCGCCGTGAATGTTGCCTGATTAAACATTTTGTCTACGTGTAGTAGCTAGCCTTCGAATGGTAAGTAGAATGACGAACTCGTCTAACACTGCACGTCAAATGGTGGTTTTCGGACAGGCTACTGCCTGTGGGAAAGAGTTAACTTCGATGTATATATATACTGATTCACGCATTCTTCTTCTATAGATCCGTGCATGGCCAATACTATACTTAATCTCTACTAATAACAGCCACACCTTTGCATCGCGATGTGGCAGCAAGCACGTTGTCGCCTGGCCGCTGCTGGTTGGTATTTGGTTTCATTGCATCGCCGGCGGCTGTCGCGTCCCGCTGCGGGGAGCCCTAATATATTGTAGTAATTATACTGAATACATCGAACTGGAGCTTATACACGCAGCTAAAGCTCTAGCGCCGCCTGTGGCGTTACACGTGCAGCAGCCCAGCGTCTCCAGTCGAGAAAGCAGAGCAACCAATCTCCGGAACCATGCAGCCATGCGCTTATTCATCCTTCAACAAATATTAACCTGGGCCTAGTGGTCGAAGGGTAGGCCATCTGGTGCGTCCGAAGAGCTGTCTGCTGAAGTGGGCCCTTAGCCACAGCTCCATATAAGGATGCATAGGTTTAAATCCACAAGCCTCACCATACCAAAAGCATTTAAGATTAGCCATATAAAGAAATACAAAATCAAGATTAAATCAGTTACTAATGTAATAAGAGATTAGGATATCATAAAGCAAAGCTCTCAATATACATCTTCCTTACTTTATTCTATGCCTAGCACTGTATAATTATTGCTAAGAATTTTTGAAGGCTTTTTTCCTTAATAGTTACTTTTTAATACTGAGGTGTGTCCTATATAGGAAATAGAATCAAATATTATTATAACTAGGCTTATAATACGAAAATAGTATATTTCTATATTTAACTTGTAAGAGTCTTGGTCTAGCGATAGATGAAAGAATGCTGCTAAAACCGGAATATAAATATTTGAATGCAGCAACAACAACAAGCACTAACCTGACTCGCTCTGGAGATAATTTAGCCCATGGTTGTAGGGAAAGACTTGGCGAATATAAAGGTATTATGACTAAGGGTTCCACTGTTTTGGATTTATCTCCCCGGGCCAGAAATTATATCCAGACTTCGGCATGTTCAATATGTAAAATGCTTGAACAAAAGATAAAGATACTTCTATGTGGATGTTTATTCGGGGGATTGTTGATTTAGATGAAGCAAATATACGTCTTTTGACCTAATTACATTACCTGTGCACCACGGTCGCAACGCCGGATTTTGTCTCTACGCCATCTAGTCGTCTCGTGTTTCTAGAAAGCCGTTTCAGAAATTCCCAGTGGCTGCAGGGATTTTACGTAGATTATAGTGTGGAAACTTAAAATCGTTGCCGTGGCAGAGCCCTTCTTGGCTTGAAATCCGTCCACTAGAAACGACACCGGTAAAATGTTGACCACAATCTTTATTGTAATAGGAGCACCAATCGTTTGTTGCAGCTTTTCTTTCTTTCTTTCTTTCTATTTTTTGGGACACAAGTCTATCCCAATTGTAGATGGGCTAGAACAGTCACTTACTCCAGTTGATTGACTTGACATGAAACGATGCAAATTGTCTGAAGATGGTTTTGACATAATTTACTTTCTATTATTTCATTCATTACCGCAGCCCGAAGAGATTATAACAGGGTATACAAATCATCTAGCTAACCATTAACCGATAATATAAATAAAGAGAACGTGATGAAAGTCTAAAGGAGTGAGTGTATCTTAATTTCTAGTATATATATTTTCTATTCTCCTTCTTTATATTTGATATAAACCCTACATATGTACCATTGCTACTATTATTTCTAAAAAACCCCTATGGAACCTAGTACATATATACCGGCGTCTCTCACGCTCTCCCCGACCCCATATCGTGACACATCAGAATTAATGGAGTTGTAACCCAGGCCATGAAATTTACATTGGGAATGATTGTCATATCGGAGTAACACATGGTAATTTGTCGCAAATGACCGATATAATAATCCTCACCATACATTGGTGAGATTTTGAGAGAGTTTCCACAAATGTTATCACTAGGCAGTTTCTGCGCATCGGGGGTGGGGATATTGGATAGATTTCCGAATAAAATGCTTTTGGTAAACAATCCTGGACCTCCGTCAATTATGCACCGTTGTAGGGCTGTAGAAAGGTTCATACGAGATACTGAACATGAAATATATGTATATCAAACTTGTTAAATTTCAATGTTAAAAGCTCTCCAGACAGTGGTTATGGGATACCAACCCTAAACATAACAATTTCTATCAGGGTCCCAAAACTTTTATATCTCCCTCAAAGCATAGGACGCCCCCTGCTCGGTGATATAGAGGCATTTGTACAAATCGTAATATATCAAATATATATGTATATATATGACACCTGGAAAGCCGGATGTTAGTTGGTGGTAAGAATAACGCATGCGGTTTATAGTATTACCCGAAACTAAATAATTTTAAATATTGATAGGTGGCATGGCTAGGTTTAGTGTTGAATGCCTACGGCTCAAAGAGTCCAACCGCAATGCAATTTATTAAGATGAAAGTGTCCGAGCTGATCATAAAAATCTGAGATCTTATTGTTGACATCCTGTAACCATGCCTCCTCCAACTTGATTAATAGATGACATTGCGGTGTTAGTATACTTGGAGGAAGTGTCGATTGCGTATCTAAATAGCGAGGTTGATCAACTATTTGGATATCATTGGAAATCTCTTTTGTGAAAGTTTCTTCTAGAGTCAATGATTGAATCCATACTAGTTGATACATAGGAGACGTCTCATACTTTCTAGTTGATATTCTCTTAAAGTTGAGATTAGGACATATTATATTTTTCCGAAGTCCTGTTCATGGCTCCAGACTGGTCCTCCTGGCATCACAGACAAGGAGTGCAGCTATTCACACAACTGCGATCTGCCATGACTATCCCATTCTACAATCGGAGGAAGAGATAATATTATGATATGGAATTTTAGAATATTGTGATATTTGAAATCTAGTTATGCCTTTATGTGGTATATTTGCTGCTATAACCCTACAGTGCAGCGTGCTGCAACACTGATTACAATATGGAATACTTGGGGAAGCCCTACCATGTCTCCTTTATTAAATCCGCGGCTCGCTCACCAATTCCATACGCGGGCATCTGGGTATGACCACCATGCAAGGTTGGCATGACGCTGCAGTCGGCGACGCGTAGTCCAGATACACCTCGCACGCGCAGCTTGTTGTCCAGAACGGCCATCGGGTTGTCATCCTTGCCCATGGCGCAGGTCCCGGATGCGTGGTAGCCTATCATAAATGTGAATTAGCTATGCCCTCGAAACGACAATGCAAGCAGCAAAAGAAAGAAGGACGATATACAGGTAGTGGCATGCTCCTTGACGTAGGGAATCCATTCTTCCCTCGTCTTGAAGGTGTGGTGGTTGGAAGACGGGGGCCAGGACCCCTTGACGATATCCTTCGTACCAGCCCCATTCATCACAATCTCATTGCCGAATCGACAGGCCTCGGAGAGCACTAGTATATCCAACGGGTCCGCGAGGTAATTACAGTCCACAACGGGATTTTGGAGTGGGTCGTTGGACCTGAGCGCTACAGTGCCCCGGGATCGAGGTCCAAATAGCTCGGCAATCATTGAGAACGCATGTTTATGATCCACAGGGAACTGATCATACTGCTTTGGACCACCATAGCACTCAGTGGTGAAGAATTCAACGTTGGGTTGTTTCGGGGTCAAGCCCATTGGATCACGGCCGGGCTTACGGGGAGCATTCTGCCAGAGAGGCTCATTTTCCAGGCGGTCGTCCAAGCGAGCAAAGGCAAATGCACCAAAGGGAAACGTGGACAGAAAGCCCTCCTTTTTCTCTTTCCAGACAGCATAGGTCTTTGCGAAGTTATCATCATGGTAAACGTGGTGGTCGGTTGTCAGACCTTCCTCTTCGGTTTCATAGAACATGAAAACGATCTGTTAAATGGTAAACTGCGCGGTTGCTTTGGATTAGTCAATCTGGTACTTACGAGATGGTCCATAAGATTCTTTCCGACGCCTGGCAAGTCGACAAGGCATTTGATACCATGCTGAGCCAGTTCCTCCTTAGGCCCAATGCCGGAGCGCAAGAGGACGGCCGGACTGCAGTAAGCGCCGCAGCTAAGGACAATATCCTTTCTAGCAAAGTATGTATGGCCGATGCCATTAGCGTCTTTAACCTGAACCGCTGTCGCACGCAGACCTGAGGCTGCGTCTCCTTCTAAGACCACGCGACTGACAGTAGTGTCGGTCTTAATTGTGATGTTTCCGGCTTGCTCTTTCTGGTTCAGAAGAAAATCCGCACTGGTGGTGCGGAAGCCCTTGTATACGGTGCGGACGGCATGTCCGGTGCCGTGCGATGTTTCTCCGGTGCTGAACATGTCTGGGTCCAAGGGCAAGCCTTGAGAGACAAAGGAATCGATCAAGAGGTTTGAGATGGGAGCGAGGTCGTGAGGTTCGGTGTGCAGAGGGCCGGAGGAGCCATGGCTCTCTTCATCCACTTTGAACCATGGCTTGCCGTGAAAGGTCTCCGCCTAAAACCCTATAGATTCAGATTCGGTTTCTGATATCCACCTGGATTCTCGTACCTTTTTCATGGCGTTGAAGAATTCATCACCACTCCAGCCCTCCATCTCCCAGTCATCATAGTCTTGCTTGCACCCGCGGATGCAAAGTGTTCCATTACAGCCACTGCATCCTCCCAGGAACCTTCCCCGACTCAATTTTACTTGACGATTGTTCACCCCCGCCATTGGTTCCGTGACGACATTCCAATCGGTTTCGGAGTCAAAGTTTTGTGACCATCTATCCAGTACGAGCTGTTAGAGAGCATTTGACGGTACCTGGCCGATTTAGATACTCACCCTCCGACCATGTGCACATTTTCAAGGTCCTTGCTATTCTGGCCCGCCTCGATGACAAGGACACTCACGCCAGGGTTCTCCGCAAGGCGTGCTGCGACCACACATCCCGAAGTACCTCCACTATATAGAGCAATGCATCGCTTAACTGGCTTGTCCGTGGGCATGCAGCGGCTTGTGTAAGTGTGAGACTCACCCGCAGACAATATAGTCGTAGTAGTCTATTGATTCTGCTGTGGAACTCATCGTTGTTAATTTCATCCGTTTATAAAATTACCGGAAGCAAGATGATGTGAATTAAAATGTAATAGAAGGCCGCCACCCACCAGAAGATGAGTGGGCTCATTTTAAGTCAGCCGAGGTCGAGGGTACACAACGCCTTTGTGTACATAACATCAGGGCCTCCGCTCGACATCATGACATCCGCATTCGTAGCCTAGTTACTAAGAGGTTCAGCCTAATTTGTTCACCTGAGACGAAAGGATACATACGCTCCTAAACATTCGTAATCTAACAACCTACCGCTGCAATTTCATGTTCGGACGTTGACCGCTATCTGATGGGTTGATCAAGCAGTAAAACATGTCTCCATTCTCTCCACTCTTCTCGTATTCACGAGTGACGATTCTTCTTGGCGTTCTATTTTTCGGGGCCGCCCGCCGTCAGGCCCTAGAACGAGCCCAAAATAGGGGTCTCTCCATCCGGAACAGCACCATTGTCGTCCAATTGGTTACAATTGCCATATTCAAACGGCAGATGTCGTATTTCGTCAAATTATCTCCTTTTCAGCAAGAACATACGGACAACAAGCGGCGTCAAAGATTCACCTTAACTTTCGAAGCGAAGCAACTAAACTGACCTGAAAAGTCAAGCACAGAATAAGCGGGCTGTTGACTATCTTGATTCGTTTTGACCAGAGAGTTCCGAAACGATGTCCCGAAATATCTTAGATTCCTCCTTAGACGCCTGACCTTTAGGCTTTCTGTCAGACCGTGCACAATGGAACGAAAAGCTTCTTCCCCATACACGTGTGTCATACTGAGGAATTGGCCTCGAATAAGGACAACCTCATCCTCATACCTCTACCGCTTTGAGTCCGGTGAGGTAGGAGTATATACTATATCGACTATACTATAGCACGGATCATATTAATTACTTCTTCCACGCATTACCACTGCCAAAGGACGCCTAGTCGCTTATTGAACCACGTTAGTTTCCGATCAGTCAAAGCACATTTGCCACTTATTACCAATTACATCGGAGACATTACCCCATCAGATCTAATTGGATACAGACAGCTGGGGAACGAAATCTGACACCTGAAGCGCTTTTAGAGTTTTACCAGCAGCTCGTGCCTCCTTGGCCGCTAGCACCCTACATAATGCCGTTTATTGGTTCGCTAGACCATTTTTGGCGATCCTAATTTACCAAACTTCTGTCTTACTCAACGCCTTGCCCTGTTTCACAATGATTATCTTTCCAGTTCATTCATCGTGATCCACTGGCCAGGATTAACCATGCACTAGACAAGTAGACTTTTGCATTATTGACGTGTGAGAGGTTTTCAATAGAGGAAAATAATGCATAGATAATTGATTCTCTGTGTGGACGAGAGAGGGAAGAAGCAGGACCATAACGAATTTAAGTTTATCTTGCACATCCTATTTAGATCGGTCAACATCCATTGCGGGTGTCGAGTGCATATGGTTTCCTTTCTCCTCATATCCTTGTCCTTTGCCAGTGAATCACAACTCTACCGTGGGCTTGTCTCCTGCGGCTTTAGGCTTGCTCACATTGCGCTGTGAAAATGGGCCAAGCATCGCCCTTCCAAACGGAGGCCTGGACAGAGTATGGGTTCGGTGTGGTCATCCTCCTCCTACGATTTTTTGCACGATTCCGAACTGTGGGGATAAAGTCATGGCAAGGAGACGATTATTTTGCAATAGTAGCTCTTCTCTTCTGGACTGTACGTGAAAATGTAGTGGCGGATCGATGAGGGAAGCTGACGGTACATGGTAGGCTGAGCTGTCAATGTTGGAGTTGATCGGTAAGGACAACTAGATCGCCTTAAGATTCTCAACCAAATTGGATCTGGGTCCATGCTAACAGGCCTATTGGCGATTACAAGGCCGACATGGAACGAACATTGGATGGACACCAGAGCAGCGAGCAGCATTCAGCGATGCTGATATCGCAAGCCTGCAGATTGGCTCGAAGTGCCTGCTCGCGGGATGGATATGCTATACCTCCTTGATCTGGTCTCTCAAAGCTTGCATGATTTTCTTCTATCTCCGCATCACGTAGGCCTGGCTAAGTGTGTGTTAAGGTCTCCTTATTTTTGCTAACCAACGTTTAACAGGTCCGGCCTGTGGCATCAGAAGATCGTTAAAGCCTCTGCCGTATTGTGCGTCTGCACCTATCTCTCCGTGCTATTTACCATCCTTCTCCACTGTCGTCCGCTGCATGGAAACTGGCAGGTAAACCCTGATCCTGGCGGTATGTGATCGTTCTAAGGAAAATTTGACACCGAGACTTTGATTGACAGCCCTCAGACCACTGCACCTATGACCTTATCAACTATATCGTTATAGCTGTGACCAATGTGACGTACGTTTAACATCTTAAGACGTTTTATGACACCCACAGGCCTAGTCTTCCAAGAGATACACTAATATTAATAATTACTAGAACCGACGCGATCCTGGTCACCATTCCGATCCCGTTGTTGGTCCGAGTCAAAATCTCTCTTTCGCGGTGTGTTATAACCAGCAAATTTGGAGGTAGTTAACGCTGATATGTATGTTCCATGAACAACAGAAAGCTAGTTATTGGCCTGCTCCTTTGTTCAGGCGTCTTCGTGATGGTCGCCACACTTCTGCGGTGCATTCTCTCGTTAAAAGATGTCAAGAGCATCAACACGAGCACCATTTGGGCTATTCGAGAAACGGTGAGTTTTCTTCATGTACATTTTCCCTGGATCATCTGACATTTCGTCTTCCTTTAGTTCGTCGCCATTATCGCTGTCAACGCTCCCTGTATCAAGCCCCTTTTCAGTGGCGCCAAATGGATGGGTTCGACCAAGGACAAATCATCCAAAATCCCTACCAATGTCAGAAATAGTGGCAGCTACAACCTGTCAAAGCTTAGAGTTTCACAGAATAACACACACAAGGGTGCCCTGCCCACCATCGACGACAAAGACAGCCAGGAGTTTATACTTGACGGATCCGATCATGATCGGTCGGACACCTTTGGATTTACTAACAACGTCTCGACTAGTTCTAATCAAGCACGGTCTCCAGGCATCCAGGTCACAACAACATACGAGGTGACCAATGTCTAAGACGAGCCGGATTCGCCGCCTCGGACGTAACATTGTGCCGTGGTTAATGGTGGGGTTGAAATTAAAATATTCTTTTATCATTAGAATTTTTTATTACTCGCCGTATTTGCAATTCACGAACAGTTCTTTCACGGTTTTTCCCCCCGCCTCGCTGTACAATATTCCCTGACAAACACAATTTCCAGACTATCTACCGAACCATGTCCTTGTCAGAATGCCATTCCTATTTTCATTTAGGCTCAGATTTTTGTCACTATAGTTATAGGAACTGAATATCATTGTGCTTCTCAGTTGCAATATGTAGTTGATGATATATTAAGTGAGTGTAAAGAGTCCTGGCCCAAATATGACTCGGGCTATGGCCCCCGTTGAGATGGTATCTACGACTATGCCAAGATCACCTCTGATTGCCCAGTCACACCTACGTGCACATAATAACAGCCTCGTCACTTACGGAGAAAAGCCTCTGCGTTATCAGCGAGGCTGTTGACTTTCAAAACATGTATTGGGTACATTACGTAATTACGATACACAGCCGTATAAATCGACAGACATCGAAGCAAGTGTACACTATGCCATTTCTGTAAACGATCGCCTGAAGCTCAATTAGTGCCTCGTATGCAGATACTGATTGGTCGATTGCTTTATATACTCTTTCATTTCTTCAAGCGATGGATTATGACTTACACCAAGCCCAGCAACATTTCTTATCTTGTAAGCAAGCCCCTCAGAATGCTACTACGTTTCCACTTCACCCAACCCAACAGTATTTATTTGTTTGAATCACATTGTGTTACAAGAATGGCATCAAGTATCATTTTATTTCCCCTGGTCGTCCTCCTGCTCGCTCTTGCGATTACCTCCCCACTACAGCAAACAAGGTATACCGGTCGAAAAGTCTTTGTTATCGGCCTGTCAAGAACGGGAACTACATCGCTTGGAGATGCGCTCGCCAGCCTCTCACTTCGGCGCTCAGGGTGGAACGACATACATTCCAGGCACCTATACCACATGTTCGCCGCCAACCGAACGGCACCGCTCATATCCTATGCAAGAAAATACGATGCTCTAGAAGACCTGCCTTGGGCGCTCGCATACAAACATCTCGCGACTGCGTTCCCAGATGCGAGGTTCATTCTGACTACAAGAATGAACGAAACTAATTGGCTACAAAGTATGGAGAGACATACTGAGCGGCGAGAGTGGATAGGAAATAAGAAAACGTTCGGGTGCAAGAAGGTTTGTGGAGAGAAATGTAGGGAAACATTCCTGGAAACTTATCGGGAACATAATAAAGAGGTGCGAAAATTTTTCGAGGAGGAAGGCCAAGGACGCCTACTGGAGATTGTCATTGATGCGCCGACGGAGAGGAAAAGCATCAAGACGGGCGACGCGAATATCACAGCGGTCGACGTTAAGTGGGTGTCGTTGATTGAATTCTTGGGGTTGGAGAAAGAGGTGGACAGAAAAGGGGGATGGGGAAAGCTAGGTTCATTTCCAAAAAGCAATGCTGGAAACAGAGCCAGGAACTTTCAAAATAGAATCGAAAATGCGTGGAGCAGGGCTATGAATGCATTCGAAGAGGGGACATTGAAGGGTGTCCAATCGGCCGTGGCACTTGTGAAAGGTCTCAGTCATCTCACTGCAATAGGTTTATGAGATTTATCTACTTTATAGTTGTTTTTCTTTGGTGCTATTATCGTATTATGCAAATAGTTAACTGCAAACTATGAACCTATTAAACGTTCTAACTTCACTACTGGGCCTACGTATTAGTTGCAACACCCTAAAGTGGTAAATCAGCATTCAATCTGCAGAATAACTTTTCCGATTTCACTAGCTTTAATCAGCATACGTATTAGTGTTCTAGCTACCTATGATTTATTAGCCGCTGTGATAGCTACACACGTGGGTTAGAAATAAATCTGACTCGCCGCAGCTGTCCCTAGTAGTATTACTCGGAAACAATGACAAGTTTGTACAGTACGAACAATACAGTATCCACAGAAATGCAATAATTTACTTTACCGTCGTGTACTCACTTCTCTTTATACCCGTTCATTGGTTAACCTATTTTTAAATATTTAGTTATTGACTCCGTCCTGTTTCTTTCTGTTCTGGCCGGTTTCGCACGGTCAGGGTAACGTACCCATCCTATGAACCTGTTAGATAATGATATCAAGCAAAGCCTGCATGAAAAGGTTTACAAGGTCATGGTGTTAGCAACATAAGAATAAGTTTCCTTTCATACGACAGAGCGACGAATACGCCTATTAAAATTAAAATATCAGCGGCATACCGCTATCGTAATTGAGAATCTCAGTAGACATGCAACTCTGGGATATTTTATCGTGTTGGTTATAGATTGCTATCATTAAGACTTTATGAAATAAAATAATGAGTACATAGGCTATTCCCTTTATAAAGTCTCTAGATAATCATATTTCACAGCTTGATGAGGCAGTCTAATCTGATTATTTTGAGGGCATGAGAACGCTGGTTGACTGAGTAGTTCATAGCTGTGAATCTAACCTCATTAGAAGCTATTTTCTGTGTTGTCCTACGCTAGGCTAATCAAGGAATAAAAATTCAAAGTAGGAATAATCGATTACTGTGAAGAGTATCTAAATGTCTGTACTTGCTGATAAAAGGAATTGTATTTCAAGATGAGGCTTGATGGCAAATACTGGCCAATGATCAAATTCTTGTGAATGAAGCTAATATCGGGCTCACTTAAATTTCATTAATTCCCTCGACGGATTCCATCGGACGGTTGCTTGAAGAATAATTGTAAACCCCAGCCTGCTATGCAACATAGAGTACATATACGTGAAAAGTCCGTAAAATATTTCCCACCTATTGAGTTGAAAAGGATTCATTAATTGGCGTCCGGAAGAATAAAACCGGCCGGCCTGGATAAGAGAATTTTCTTCATCCAATGCATTGCTGGATTGTTCACGTCACATATCTCTCGGCTAGAGAGGTTAACGTCGTAAATTAAATTCTGGCAGACTCTTGTCGAAACGCCCTCTGGTGCTAGTCTAATCAAGGCTGTGTCCCATAGAACAATAGTTCGTTTCGTACTAAGCATATAGTCGCCCCCCACAAATCCCTCCTGCTTCATGTCCCATCTCTCATTAATGTGTCGCCAGGATTTGTCGTCTGTCAAAGTGCGACTGCCCGCAGTGCCATGCGCAATCAAATCTTCCACGATTTCTTCGCGCTTATATAACCAAACACACACCACAGCAAATTGATTGTCGTGATATGTACTTAACTCCGACACTTTTGCGAGTCTGTCTGCTCCTCCATCTTGTTGTACAAGACACACTATGTCGCCCACACGTACGGCACAACGCGCGTTTGAGGAGTCGATATTATTTGTTTTTCTTTTAACGGCGGTAGAGTTCGGATTCATTCCACTACCAATATTTCTGAGTCGCTTTTTATGATAGCTTTGGGTGTTTGGAATTCCAAATTCTGCTGGTGCGGCGCTGTTTTGACGTCGCTTTGAAGTTGCCGTTCGAAGGACGTTGACAAGGTCTCGATTATGCTTATAATCTATGTGTGGCGTTTGTTGTCTTGTTGGTAGGCGCTTCAACCTGAAACTGGATGGTTCTTTTGACATAGCTATGCGGAAGAAACCGTATTACTTTTGAAACGGAAGGGGAAAGAGGATGGTTAGGTTGTAGGCCGATGAGCGTGCTCGACCTTCGAAGTGTCATTATCTCGAGAAAGGATGAACTTATAAACCCTGGAATTTGTGCTTGAAATTCACGCTTTGACAACCAGTTGTTGAAACTTGCCGATGCGAGGACTGTTCACTTCGCAAGTAGCTGGGAAGCGAAAGCGTCACTGCGAGAGGCAGGACAAAGTATAAAATTGACAGGATACTAATAAAATGTACGAAAGGTACCCCACTCGGTTCATACTTAGTGACCGTTGGCACTGGGCTATTTCCGGATATGGATATAACTTCGATCTGCATGCAAACTAGTTACTTCGTACAGGGTTATGTGGCTACCGTGCAAGCCGACTCGTAATCCTACAGCAGGAGGAACACCTCGGCTTCGCTTCCGAAGACCTACAAGTGGTGTCAAGAGGATTTGAATAACATGCTGGTAATGTAGTGATTAAATATATGAGGATACCAGTTGCGATCGATCAATCGGTCGACAGCCGTGTGGGCAGCACAGATAATAGTCACCATATCCCGAATGGTTATACGAGATGTATCCATTACCTCAGCTGGTGAATCCAGATATTACCCGTCAAGTCATCAAATGTTTTTACATAGCGCGAGTCAAGATCCCTCATCATCGCCGTTCTACATCCCATATCTATTTCCCTTTATGCCGTTAGAAGAGCACGAATCGGTCTATCCGAGTGCGATGGCTCCAAATTCTCGGTAGGAAATCTTGCTTCTTGAAATAAAACCAACCCAGTGAATCCAGGGGCGCGCAGGGTTATCAATCAGAACAACAACCACAATAATAAATGAAGCTGGGGTGTTTACGAAGGTTGCTTCGTACTCTAAGTCGAAATCGGCTACGGTGGGTCGTCGGATCTATTTAAAGCTTCGTACCCTCTCCATCATTTCGTACACTAGTCCTAACTGGGTAATAGCATTTCCCTCATGTCGTTTCATATGGATATGCGGATGCTGTTGGATCGAGCCTACCGTGAGATAAATATTATTAGTAGTACTTTTCAGCAATAATAGCTTGAGAATTCCAGAGCTTTATGAAGCATTTATCTTGGAACAATTCTCATCTTTATACCTGCGTTGTTCGATACCATTTTGAGCGACACTACTGCCGTTGTGGGAGCAGCTACTACGATGAACAACGACACCACGATCCTTCGCTCGGTATATACTTGCATTCCGTACTCCGAAAGTAAGCAAACATGGTCGATATGTTATTGGTCCGACGAAGCCATAGCATCGTTTCCAGTCATAACCATGTTGACAACAACACACCACCCACGTCGCCATGAATGCAAGTAGCCGGGGGTGCCTGGTTGCTATTGCTATATCCAACCAACGGCAGAGCAAGGCTACGGTTTCGAATAGACCCGGTACTTCGTATATGACATTTCCATTGCCACATTTGTCCAGTCTTGACTGGATGCTGTGTAGGTTTTGTTGGCATCGTTCGACGTTGCTAATGTCATCTGATCTCAGGAGGCCAACCTGGAGACATAATTTACGCTCTTGCAGTATATTTTTGTACCCGTATTTACCAACGCGCTGATACATTGGTAATAACGGGGCTATGTTTTGCTGCGTAGCGATCGATCCGCGCCGACTTTAATGTCCTGGGGATTCCAACATGCCAACATATACTTCTTCGCTGTTTTGGTCCGATTTACAATTGCGAAGTTCACCGGACATACACTCACCATACACCTATACAGGTAACTAGCTACTAATCTAAGCACTAATCGCTACATCACTTCGCCCACGAAGCATTAGGGTCAGTCCTTGAGCGACTCTCACTAAAAAACTTGCTTAAGCTTATAATTCCGGACTCAAGGCTACCTTTTTATATATTTTACAAACTCAAATGTAAGGGAGGCCATTTATTGGGATATAGTACTGCATCGGAATGTATTGACGAGGTGTCTGGCAGTTGGAATCTTCTGCCGAGAGGAGGTCGAGAGGAAATTGATCGTGAAGAAATATTTTATGATATTCATATTCCCTTCGCCATAGATACTCCTCAATACGTTAGCTGGCTTTCCTCTATTCGCTCGAACAGACTTGCAAATTCAATCTCATCTAGGTCGATGTGAGCGTCGATACTATCAATGGTTGTGAAATCCACAGTATCACCGTTATATTGTAAGAGAGGATCGATGACTTCTTGCCCTGGAGAAATGGGTAACCGACTTGCAAAATGCGGTACACTTGTTCCGGACGGAAGCTCTCCTACTTGATGCAGGACATGATTTTGCAGAAACGGAAGACATACGCTGGTGTTACCCTGCTGAGGGGTATATGAATCAACCCTTTGTTCGCCGTCTGATTTCGTGGCTCCTTTGGGTAATAAATATCGAAGCTGTCGTAGAGCTTCTTTTGCGAAAATACTATTCCCTTGACTTATTTCTAGCCAATTAAAGCACTCTAAAATTTCGGCTTTTCTCTCGTCTGCTCTCGGCTCTTCGCGATTCAGAGAGTAGTCCATTACCAATACCAACACTGATGCGAAGAGATGGTGGATGATCGTCCACATTCTGATTGGTTCGAACTCACTTTCTAGACTCATTATTTTCTTTCCTAATTCGATTGTTTTCCTGGCTGAGCTCAAACAGATCATTCGGCTATATGCATATTTCGGGATGCGAGCACCGCGGGCGAGATACGGCCGATGAAGGCGCGTTAGCTTTGTTTGGGGGCAAAATTCTCCCATCAACCGAAGCAAAGGAAGGTTGGAGAACTTTTTGTCACTTCCCTCATCGCGTAGATCATGCTTCCGATTTTTTGGATCTATCATAGGCAAACAATCTATAATCGTCTCATTGATTTTCTTATCAAAAAAAAGCACAAGATCGTAAGGGAGATCGTCAGGATGGCATTCACAATTGTTGGCAGCATCGACGATTTCCCGAATGATAACCGCGAGCTTAATCCTGAGAAGGTAGTACGTCATGTCTGTGGGAACGTCGCCGAATGGCCGCCCGTATACTCCCGATGGATTGATGTCCATATCATCAACGTTGGTGGGCAATTCCACCTGCATATGCTTCGGATCTATCATGTACGTTCCACATCGAGGGCCACTCATATAACCCGACATCCTGCTGCCTTGTTAGAAATTATGTTGTCCTTTGCACTTAAGGCAGAGGCAACCAACCACTCAGTGGAAGCAAGATGCCACCATATTCTCCGTTTAACTTCGATGACCACCCAATCTACTGACGCCTTTTCACGTTGCTTCTTGTTCACCGCACGATCTAGCTGATGTAGCGACAAACTTTGTGCCCCCAACAAAGCAGAGTTCATCAAAAGCTTTGATGTTTCCATCTCTCCTATATGTGGCAGTATATATAATGCGATCATAATGATGGTTTGCAGAGTCTCTAGTGTTGGCTGGTTGATATAATTAGCCGCGAGAAGGGCCCGGTGGGCTACAAAAATCAATTGATATATGTATTCGTCTATCCCTTTAGCATCAAAGTCGTGGGGAGAAGGTCGCGGGCCAAAAAAAGCAGCAATTGCAAAGATGGCGGATAGAAGCGCGACATGGTCATCTGGAGGCTGTTGGCCGATTTCCAACTGCGTATACGCGGTATTTAGCATTTTCTGGATGGTTGGTGTGTGTATGATATGGTAAAATGGTATTATGTTGGCGATATAGAAGTCAAGAAGAGAAACTGCCTGCATCCGAGATGGCAGAAGAGAGAGAACCTCCTGGTCTAGAGCCGGTCGATGAGCAGGGTTGTTGAATGTCAGAAATGAGACCGAAAATATGTGGCCTATCCTCTCATAAGAGGAGACACACTACTGAGGAGTGAGCCACAGACTATTCACGAAGGAAGGTTATACATACTGACGAGTCAAAGCTTTGGCGTTGAAAAGCATCGACTTCTGCCACACTCATGCTCCTCATACTTTCTAGGTCATCTCCCAGGGGCTCTTGCTTATAAGAGACTGGTGGAGGTCAGCCACAACTAAGTAATCGATTTTGAGGTTAAACAGACTCAGCTTACCAGGTTCAGGTTCGATGTTGCGTGGGAGAGAGGCGTTAGAAGAAGCAAGCAACTCTTCCACCCTCTTTAGTCGTCCATTCAGGTCATCGAGATTTCGACTATAACCCTTTCCTTAACAGTCACACCACGAGCCAGAGCACAGTGAACTGACCTTAGGTCGCTCCTCGAAGCACTTGAAGAATCGGCGATTTTCCGGCCGTGTGCAGTTCCTCGAGAAGTACCTATATCCATATCAGCTCACACTTGCGCCGCAGGATGCCACTCACTCGTTGATGATATACAGTTCAATTTCCGCGCTCTACAGTTTGAACACGGAAACAAACGGTCGCATTTCAGCTTTTTCGCGCGGCAAAACTGGCAAGAGATTGGGTCCTGTCTCCGCGCTTGTTTATTGCGCTGGTCCTCGGCGGCTTCAAAGGACCGCTTCATCGTAGCATGGACGACAACGTGCAGGAAAGTACTACAGTGTGCAGCGAATTAACCTGACCCAACAATGGCATGAATAATGGCAGAGGAGCATGACAGGGCCGATCGGTAGTAATAATACCAATATCAAGAGGAAAGCGCGGGGTTGCTCCATGGAGGTCCTGTCCGGAGTGTCCGCGGAGCCCGTGGTCCGGCCCACACCCGGTCCACCAAACAAAGCAATTAATTGGGATTATAGATTATGATTACGCTACTTTCGAATCCAGGCAGCTTAAAACTCTCATACTTTCAGCCGAGAATTCACTTCTTTTTGTTACCTGATCCATAATAAAAGATAACATCTTATCGCCGGAACAGCGCTGACATCTGAGTACTAGTGTGCACAGGAGCCATGGATTCTCCGGCGTAGCTGTGGGATTGGTAATGACGAGTCTAGGATGTGCTACTAGGGTGCAAATAAATTACAATGCACATGGGCTGCAAAAAGGGACTCTTTCCACTTCAATCCTCCCCTTCTCTTTCCAGTTTTAAACGCTAATGACTCCGCGGTTACACTTGCTATTCTAAACCCACTTAAATATCCCTATAAGGATCACGACAGGCCACCAATTTGCGCTGCATCTCGAAGTCTCGGACATGGAAGAGACAAAGTCGATGGAACCTTCTCAGGATGCGTCGCCCATGCCAAATTTTGAGACTGAACACCAAGACCAGCCTCCGCCGTCGGAATTCACGTAAACAGTTCTTTTTCTGACTGAGGGGTTCATTGCTAACGCCGAATAGAAGTGAATCGGTCTTCGCCATAGTTGGCGCATCCTGCGTCACATTCTGCACAGTCGGCTTCATCAACGCTTTTGGAGTCTTCCAAGAGTATTACGAACAAGTAATTCTAAGCCATGAATCTCCCTCCACCATAGCATGGATTGGCTCCTTCAATATATTCTGTATGTTTGGAGGGATGATGGTTGCCGGCATGCTGGAATATAAACTAGGACCTACTGTTAGCCTGTCATTTTATTGGAAACTCTGTGGTAACGAGAACGCTGACTCTTTATTTTCATTTTGTTAGCTTCTTATGATTATTGGCGGCGTCATCACAGTGTTTTCATTATTCATGACCTCCCTGTGCAAAGAGTTCTACCAATTCTTCCTAGCCCAAGGACTCGTACTAGGTTTGGGTATCTGCTTGGTGCTGATGCCAGCTTTTGTCACTGTCACCTATTACTTCCGCAAATCTCGGGGTGTGGCAATGGGGATAGTTGTAGCTGGATCTTCTCTTGGCGGTGTTATTTGGCCGATCACTTTGCACAAACTCATCGACGAGATAGGTTTCGGGTGGTCAGTTCGTACTGCAGCCTTTATGATGATCCCATTACTTAGTCTCGCTGTTCTCACGGTGAGAAGACCTAAGAACTTTGTTCAACCTAAACAAGGGAGGCCAGATTTGAGTTTTTTGAAGAACCCAATAATCATACTTCTCTCTGCTGGGCTATTCTTTATTTTTCTGGGTCTCTTTTCACCTTTCTTTTACGTCACATCCTGGACAACCTCACTAGGGCACGATCCTAATCTGGCCTTCTACATGATTTCCGTTGTCAACTCGGCCAGTCTTTTTGGAAGAATTATACCCGGAATGGTTGCAGATAAGATCGGTATATACAATGTCTTGGTCACTATATCAATATTCTCGGGTCTTATTGCAACATGCTGGACAAAGGCGACATCTGTAACCGGTATCATTATCTTCTCATTAGCCTATGGATTCTCCTCTGGGGTAAGTAACTTGCCATGTACGTCTACAGCATGCTTATAAATTCTTCATAGGGCGTTATAAGCTTGCAGGCGCCCTGCGCTGCTGTACTAGTCGCACCATCGCAGTATGGTGTCGCGATGGGTTTTGTTATGACCACATTATCAATTGCGTAAGTGAAAATTCGATTTCAATCTATCCGTTTTCTAAGTGCTTTAAGTGGTCTCATCGGCACCCCGCTAAACGGTCAGCTGCTGGGCGCATTCGGGTATCTTGGCATTTCGCTCTTTTCAGGCCTTGCCATGATACTGGGTAGTATACTCATAATTATTGCGAGATTAAATCTTTCAAAGACAATTGTTGCAAAATTGTAAAATGCGCATGGCCCTTCAAACATGCAAACATAGACGAGCTGGTATTTCTTTTCCAATGGGTATCATCGATAGCTCCCTTTCGAGGATATTTAATTCTTTGACAAGCAACATCTTTCTGCTTTTGATACCTACCGGGCACCCACTTTTAGGCTTTACTGCCCGGTACTGATATGCATCTACTGTGTTTCCTTATCTTTCTTTTGCTTTGCTTATAAAAAAAGAATGGCTGATTTTGTACTTGTAGTTTTTCGGAATTTCTTTTGGTCAAAAGAGAGAGCTTTGTATTTAATGTAGTACTAGAAATTAGACAGTAAATTTAAAACTATGGGTAACAGACTTTCTAGGACAAGTACGAGTATCTCAATTACATAAGATCAGCGAAACACGGTCTTCTTTCTTCGGATAGATTATGACTACCAAGAATCTAGACATATCCTAGATGCACCATTAAGCCACAAGTGCTTATACGGGGTTACTTTTTATCCTCGGTGGGATATAAGGCAACATCCTTGGCATCTGCAAGTTGAAATTGCTCGCCATCTAGAACTGTGTCTCGTAGATACTCGGGGATGACTTCATCTTCAGGGAAAAAGCCTTCGGTATACCGCATCGCTTCCCAAGATTCATCCTTAGGCTGCAGTTCTGGTGGGTATATTGGGACCGGCCATATCCGACAGCTTGCATAATATAAAAGACCAGCAACGGTGGTGGACAGCAAGAATCCCATATTGTATAGCCTCACAGCAGCTGTTCCAATTGAGCCAGGGTGTAGAGCGCCAGAGACACCAGGGATGACCAATGCAATTGCAACTGCCCAAGCAGCAAAAGCTCGTATATTAAATCCTGCCGTATAATAATAAATTGTCCCTGGTTGATCTTTATACAGGGATGGTACGTGAATGTTGCCTTTTCGTACAACCCAGTAGTCAACTCTAGTGATAGATATGTCAGTTTGAAGTTTCATTCCTATTTAAATTGAAACTGGAATCGAGAAATGACTTACATCATACAAGCTACAATCGGACAGATGAAGCAAAGATAAGAGCCGAGGAAAGTGAGGAAAGATGATGCAGAGTATGTAAGTTTCCATGGAACTGAAAAGTTGTCAGCAGCAGCACCAATTGAATTAACCCTTGATGATATCATGGCGAGTCTACTTATATGAACTTACCACACACCCAAGCAAGGATAAAGCATAAAACCTGTCCGCGAACAATTGTAAAATACTTCGGAAACAGGCCTGTCAAATCACAGCCAACCGGTATCGAGTTACTCGTAAAATTTGTAACAAATGTCGCAAATGCCTAATACGCAAATATTAATAAAATGCACTAATCGTGTTCAGGGAATTGGTTCATTCACCTGTATACCAGCAGCCAGAAATACTAGTGTTCGAGCCCCTGGGCTCCAGTATTTATCAAGAACACTGGAATAAAAATCCCATAGATTCCAATACGCCTGGTCGGAGTTGATCAGTAATCAATTCAATATCTATGGGGAAATGAGGATATCACATACTTCACCGAATTGCTTGTACCCTGCTGCGGTAATGACCATACCAAGAAACACAACCAACGGCTTGCTGACAAGAAGCCCAACTGGCATAGGTAATGTATCCCTGGGTCGTTTCACATATCTTGCTAGATCTGAAATGTTGACCAGCGGTGGAATGACATTTGATACGATGGCATTTATAGCCTTCATGAAAGACCAGCCTAAAGCCGCTCCTGACGCTGTCTTGTTGCTCAAACCTTCAAAATCAGCACCATGACTAGAAGCCTACCAAAAAATCCCATTGTTAGCGAAACCGAAGACTCCAAAATTATTAAAAGAAAAAGTAATTATCTTACGAGTGCCCAGATCATCGTCACTATCAAACCAATCGGCGCTATAACAGATTTTATCTGAAAAACCACGGCCATCTTGCTTGGATGGACAAAGGCAAACGGAAATTGAATGATCCACAGAATGCCAAAGGCTAATAAACCGGCGGAAGAGATCGCAGCACTTTTGGGGAGATCTAGAGATCTTTTGCTTAGCTGGGCTGTTGAACATCGATTTTGAAGGGGGGTTAATATTCTCGGCGTAGATTGGTTACGTACGATTGGGAAAGTCTGTCCACTGATGGCCAAAAACACAGCGCAGCATAACCGCTACAAATTCACTAGCGTAGTACGTCTGAATACTCATATAAAGAATCGCAACAACCTGGAAAGACACATATTAGCCTTGATTCTCTATTTCGGCCCAGTTGACGAGATATCAATTGATATTCTTACACCGCGGATGAAGACAAACACGAGCGATCCATAAATGCCAGCAGATGCGCGTACAAATGTTGGATAGCCAATATGGTATCTAGCATGACAGTTTGCAACGTTAGACAAGTAATAACTTAAGATTATACAAGTTCTAGAATGACTCACCTTGCAGATCCTCTAGCATTTAAGAACAGCAAAATAGCTATAAGAATTGAAACAATGACTAAAATTCAAGTGGCCTATTAGCTTCTGCGACAAACCATAAAGGGAAGCACGGATTCGCACTCGACGCTATAAATATAGTCCACCAGTTTAATCCGATTGCATACAAACTCGCACCAGCATTATACGTAGTCGGTGAAAAGGCAATACTGAACTGGAATGCAAAAAATGACCATGCGGTCCATGTTCGCTGTTCGGGCGGTGATGGGTCTAAATCTTTGTTGGACCATTTACCAAACTGACCCGACTCTTTCTCACTGTGGTCGGCATTTTTGCCAACTTTGAGTGCGTCTAACATGGATTGTTTCCGTGGCATAATGACCATGTTGCGGGTGTCAAATACTTCTGGGTTGAAGCTATTGCAAGTTGGCGCCTTTTAATCATGCTTATAAACTTCTTCTATCGAAAAAGTGACTATTGAATATATACTGGCTCCTACTTCGTGTCAATTATCCTGATTCAGGGCTAGAGATAACGGCTGCTATCAGTAAAGTTAAATCTCGGGCGATAAAAGGCAACTGAAATTTTTATAGGCACGCTGGAAAATATTTTTACTAGATCCATCGTTAATGCTATTCCTCTTTTGTCTCTTCTTCCATCCTTTTGTACTTTTATGAGACGAATTGATATTACACATTGCCCCGCCCGAAACTGAAGTTGGCGATCTAATTAACGCTAGCGATAACGGCAGATCTAGATCAAAAAGACTTAAGAAGCCTTTACTCCAGCCTTTCTCCTCCGTAGAAACCACCCTACAGCAGACTGACCGGAATTTTTATTCATTCAAAATTCAAAAATTACCGTCGTCACAATGGCCAAACGTATCCGTTTGGGAATTCTCACACCGTCGTCCAACACAAGCTTAGAGCCATTGACGCAGGCAATCATTTCGCAATTACCGAATGTTACCGTTCACTTCTCCCGTTTCACTGTGCTGAAGATCAGCCTAGAGAAAGATGCCCTTCTGCAATTCCAAACTGATAAGATTGTTGAGGCAGCCACCTTGTTAGCCGATGCGAACGTGGACATGATCGGATGGAGTGGGACATCATCCGGCTGGTTAGGTTTTCAAGCAGACGAGGCTCTGTGTGTAGCCATCACAGCTGCCACCGGTATTCCGGCGACAACGTCTGTACTCGCATTGAACCGTGCCGTGAAAGCACTTGGCATCAAGGAGCTCGGGTTGGTAACGCCGTATCAAGACGACGTACAAAGGGCGATCATCCAAACATATGCTACAATAAATGTCGACTGCAGCAAAGAGAAACACCTAGGCCTCGTTACGAATGCGTCCTTCTCCGAGGTCACATGTGCCGTGTTGGACGAAATGGTAGCTAGCGTTGCTACCAGGGACGTCAAGGCAATCTCGACGTTTTGCACAAACTTGTATGCAGCACAACGAATTGCCCATTGGGAGGATAAACACAATATTATCGTGTTGGATACCGTTGTTACAGTGATCTGGGACATGCTGTGCGGTTGCGGCGTTGACAGCAGCGGTGTTAAAGGATGGGGCCGGCTTCTAGCCGAGGGACCGCGATTGTGTGAGACATCGATAGGGAATTAAACCGTTAGTAATGGATTATTGTGCAATGATATTGTAAATTCGCATTTGGATTGCAACTTAGGCGCCGAACCAGCACTGTACTATTGGCATAGATCGGTATGCGTTTACCACATGGCATTAGTATCCATTCGGAAGCTAACTGATATGATAATAGGCAGATTAGCAGCTTAGCCCTTATCTTAGGGTTGCTCCGAGTTGGCCGACGGGCAACTTTCCTAGCGGCCGATTTCGCCGCGTTCCTTATCACGTCTATTTTTATGGCACGCCATTCTTATCAACAGTAGCCACGGCCAAGGACGGTGAAGCATTCCGTAGAGACTACCTTATTGGCCGGCGCCTTTCGTTCGACATGATGCAACTAATAGTCGACCCTTAACCCAGAACTCTCTTAGAGGGGTCAAAAAAGCCGGCATATTAATAGCTCTCCCCCGATGTTTCCCCGTTCTGTTAGCCATGCTTCTCGACAAGTGAACAAGATTCATTATATATAATTTACACAGGCAAGATGACAATATCAGAGAAGCCTCAATATGATTGCATTATCCTCAACGGCACCGTTGTAACCGCGGCAGATGTAGGCTGTTACGACATCGCCATCAAGGATGGGAAAATCATGCTTCTTGCGCCAACAGGCTACTTGGCAAGTGCTCCGGCCACGCGTGTAATTGATGCCGAGGGTGCTTATGTTATGGTATGTAATAATAGTCATATTTTCCTCTCTGACATGCTAAAGCGAGCTTAGCCCGGTGGTATCGATGCCCATGTTCATCTCGCGGAACCCCCATTGTTCGGCAAAGGTCGAACTGCAGACGATTATGCAACAGGTCAGCAACTCAAGTGACAGTACTGGCTTGGGGGCTCGATTTAAATATTGACATGGGCTAGGAACAAAATCCGCAATTGCCGGAGGCACAACCACTATTATCAGTTTCGCCCCGCAGGACAAATCCCAGTCATCGCTGCTAGGAGCACTCGATGAAACTAGCATCAAGGCAGCTAACCAGGCATATTGCGATTACTCCTTTCATCTTCTGGTTTCCAACCCGACCAGCCAAGCATTAGACGAATTTTCGATACTACGAGAGCGAGGCATTTCCTCCATTAAGATTTATATGACTTACGAGGCGCTACAACTACGAGATAACCAGATTCTGGACGTTCTACTCAAAGCGCGTACAGAAGGCATTACAACAATGATACATGCAGAAAATGGCGATGTTCTAAACTGGATGACCAAGCAACTGGAGGACCGCAGCCTCCTAGCTCCTAAGTACCATGCAACCTCCCGGCCCCAGATCCTGGAAACAGAAGCCACCAACAGAGCTATTGCGCTCGGCGAGCTGATCGACACTCCGATTTTGATTGTGCATGTGTCTTCTCCTTCGGCCGCCGAGGTCATCCGCCGAGCCCAAACAAAAGGCCTACCAGTATATGCGGAAACGTGTCCCCAATATATGATACTCACTCGTGACGACCTCGATAAGCCAGGCTTCGAGGGTGCCAAGTGTGTCTGCTCTCCTCCACCACGAGAAGGTGCTGAAGACCATGAGGGTATTTGGGCAGGCTTGCAAAATGGCACATTTACCATTCTGTCCTCCGATCACTGCCCTTTTGTATTTGATGATTCAGAAAATGGCAAGAAGGCTGCTATCACAGCAGAATTCCCACAGGGCCACTTTAAATACATCCCCAACGGATGCCCCGGTGTCGAAACTCGCCTCGCACTTACATTGAGTGCCAACCGTCTGACACCACAAAAGTTTGTTGAGCTTACTAGCTCTAACCCAGCGAAGATTTACGGTCTCTATCCCCAGAAAGGTGCTCTCATTCCCGGTTTATCCGATGCTGACCTGACGATTTGGTATCCTTCGTCCACTCTTGACCCGTTCCCAATTCAAAACTCCACCCTGCATCATAATGTTGACTACACCCCATACGAGGGGAAAATGGTCTCACAATGGCCCCGGTATACATTAATTAGAGGGGAAGTTGTGTGGGATCGGGATAATGGGGGGGTTGTAGGAAAGAAAGGATATGGTCAATTTGTGAAGCGTGATCGCAGCAGTCTGTCAAGTAGTAATTCATCACCTTGGAACATTGAGAACTTCTAGTCAATATTCAATAGAATGAGTCACATGTATATTGGGTAGAAATACGCCGGATATAAATAACAAAGGTGATACGCTGTGCCATCAATTGATGCTTTCGAAACATCGAATTTCTAGCCAACTTCTCTTTTATTATTGGATTAAAAAGTCTCTGTCCTATTACTTCACACTGACGGATACTCGTCATGTGGGTTCGTGTTCAAAACAGATGTCACATGAGGAGGCATGATAAAGGTCCGACCTAACCCTTCATTTAAAAATGTACGTAGTCGTACAAGTCCCAATGACAACAGGGGTTGATTGTGGTTATACTGGCGGCCCAGGTTCAGCGACCAGCTGTCTAAAAGATACTTTGCTCGCGAAGCATGATGTCCCGTGGGCGCTTGTATCAATAGTAGGGTAATGTAGTTAGACACTGTCGCAAAGCATATACGACTCCCTACCTTAACTTAGCAAAATGCAATTTTGAAATATTCCAGAGACAACGAGCTGCACTCACATGGATACCAAAATGTGTCCAAGTCACTGGAACTCAATGCCCCGACAAAATTTACGATGATTCCAGCACACTTCTGCGCAGCATTCAATGTGGCCTCCGCGGCATCGCCAAATTCCGAAATGTCCACCGAAAGAAAAGGATCTAATCCATAGCCATCAATCCCTAGGTCTTCGAGTAACCACATCATTGTCTGCGAATTTTTATCATCAGCCACTATTGGCGGTGGCGGAGGGGACCGGGCTAGGGGCCTCAAAATCGCGCGATACACAAACAGTTCGAGAGTCAAATATGCAAAATGAAGAGCACAAACTCCTTCAATACTCTGCAAATCGTCCTCCCGACTCTTACTGCCCTTTTCATGTATATGGTTCATTCGCAAAGATTGCGGCAAAGTTCTATACCAAGTCTGAAGTTCCTCGCGGATTGGCCTAGCGGCGTTGATGGAGGCCAGAAAGTCCTCGGACATCGTCTGAGATCTTTTGAGTGTGCTGGTAGGTATTGTCAGTACGTCCAAGAAATATCATGAGAGACCTTAATAAAACAGATCTGTAGGAAGCATACTAAAATGTTTGATGAATCCTGTCAGCAACTTGAGCTAATTTGATGAATGACCTAAAAATTAGCCCGTATTCACTCTCTGCCGGAAGAATAGCATGTAGCTCCCCCGCCGATATCTCCTCAAGTTCATCAACAATAAAATCAGTATCATTTAAGTCTTTGACGTCCCAGTCTTCTGGATGGATAAACGGTGGGCGACCGATTAGTAGGCTACGCCACTTATCCTCCAAATAGACTGCCCACCATAGCCGTCTTCGTAGACGTTTCTCCCAAGATGGAATACCCCAAGGGCTCGGTTCTAAATGAAGTCCTAGAGAATGTGCTAAGGCCACCGCACTTCCCAGAAATGACCAGATAAGAGGGCTATCTGCTAATGCGCTTTGGCTTCCAGTGGGAAGGCGTTGCAAATATAATAAACAAGCTTGAATGACGGATAAGTGCGGAGTATGGATCTCCTGCATGAGGAGTTCATAAACGATTCGCCAAATCCTGTCGCCTAATGATTCGTCGTACACTCCGAAGATAACTAGCGCTGGGTCATGGTTTTTAAAGGGTAAAGCAGTGGCATATATTGCTGCGAGTAGATGAACAGGCACGTTCTGTAAAGATTGGTTTAACAACCGAAATTCGGAGCGTGAGACAATTGGCATTGACGGGAAAATGAATTTCATGAATCTTTGAACGCGGCTGGTTAGATACGTTTCCTTGTTTTCAAGTTTTGTTCCGATTCACATCCGTTCTTCCTTTCTCCATTTTGATGTTACTATTTTTTTCTTTGGAATGGACTCACAAACTGATCAGCCTCCAACCACATTTCGGTGGAACTAGGTCGTCCAATTCGATGCGCATTTCCTCTGGAGTTGTGTCTGCACGAATCGCCGTAGCTTTCTTGGCCGACTTCCAAAGTGTGTCTTCAGTTACAAGAAAATGAACTGGGACTAAGCCTTCGACTGGCACACCTCCTACATTCCGAAATTGAATTCGATTTAGGCTGCGAATTCCGTTCTCATCATACTTGCAGTGACGTAGCAGCCACGGGTCAGATTCTGCCGATGTTCCGAACAGCTGAGCGGTTGAAGCTTCGAGTTGATCTAGGGAACGAATGTGTTGGACAACTGGCGCATCCCGGTCAATCTCTTGTAGAAGGTATTCCGAGTGGCTGCTCTGCCTACGTGTAGTAGGCATAGATAGAAAATCATCAGGACGGCCTTGGGACCCCATCCTGGGTACGGAAACGTCCTGGGATCCATTATTGTTCGGCCCGTCGTTCTGGGTATGGCTTTGTCGCTGAAAATGCGGCGATGGTCTTGATTGCTCTAAACCTTCATTACGATTAATCTGGATATTATATTCCGCAGAGGAACCAACAGACGTAGTATTTGCTCGCACTAGATGGTTATTTCTTCGTCTAATTGGCGGTAGGTCGAATACACAGTCTTTGCCGGCATTCCAGCAACTCTGGCATGGGCCACTTCCATGAAGAATACAGGCTATCTTTCGAGAGCGACAGCGATCACACGGCCGTTTCATCTTTGATCGATATGGACGTTCATCCACCAGATCCACGTTCATTTCGGTGACAAATTCGCAAAAAGCGAAAAAAATGAAAATGTGACTATTGAATGCTGATTTTTTTGTTATGTTCCACGAAGCACAGAAGGGTTTGATAATAGTAACAGTGGGTCGTTCTTATCTCGGAGCCTTTTCCGATTTCGCAGCAGTACCTGTCTAGTTAGCGCCCAGGTCGGGCATTATTAAATTGAAAACTCGGTACAGTGTCAATTCTTGGATGAATATTCCTTTTGTCAACAATGATAAATTTAGTATGTCTCCAAAATTTTTTAATCAAATTGTCCACGTTCACAAATGTCGTGAGTGAATGCAGAAAGTATTATGATACTTCGTCGGAATACAGAAAAGAGTTCAAACATCGATGACAATCGACCATAGCTGAATTATCAGCCTAAACTTCCTTCAAAACCAGAAGCACGCTTTCCGTGGTCAAGGGAAGACTGGGCCAGCCAGCCAACACCTGACAAGCTTGACTTGGGTATAGGCCTCTAGAGCATAGGACCCTAATTCACGACCAAATCCTGACTGTTTGTAGCCCCCAAACGGTGCTTGAGGGTTGATCAGCCCAAAGTTGTTGATCCACACAGTTCTGATCTCCAGGCTTCTCATTAATGAAGTCGTTATTGTAGAGTTTTTGATAGTGCTTACCCGGCTTTAATGGAATTGGATACATGAAAGGCAGTGTTGAGATCAGCTGTGTGCACCGCAGCAGCAAGTCCTAAATATCCAAAGGTCAGCTAATTGAAATATCAGTTTTATGACTGGCGATCGGGTATTATTAAATCAGACTGAAGTGGAATCACCATAATGGGTGCTATTCGCGATTTCGATTGCCTCTTTTTCGTCCTTAAACTTATGAACCGTACACACAGGACCAAATATTTCATCTTTCACGATTGCCATATCATCACGAACATCGGTAAAAATCGTTGGCTGGATGAATAGACCCTCAGAGCCAATTCGACCTCCACCTGCTATTATCGTCGCTCCGGCTTTCTTCCCATCTTCAATATAAGCCATGACGCGCTCGAATTGCGCAACTGAAACTTGGGGTCCTTGAAACGTATCTGGATCGAAAGGATCTCCAACCTTGTTGATTTTTGTTCGTTTCTTCAACATGTCCAAGAACCGCTCATATATTGCTTCGTGGACGAGAATTCTTGAACCTGCACAACACACCTGGCCTTGGTAGAAGAATGCCCCAACATTGACCCATGACATCACATGGTCCAAATTGGCATCAGGGAAAACAATGTTTGGAGACTTCCCTCCAAGCTCCAAAGTAACTTTCTTCAAATTACTGTTTGCAGCTGCGTGCAGTACCTGTCTACCGACAGCAAGGGACCCAGTGAATGAAATCTTATCGATGTCCATATGCGTAGTCATGGCTTTTCCAGCTATACTCCCAAAACCAGATAGAATATTGATAACACCAGCTGGAAACCCTGCTTCTTTGATCAACTGCGCTATATAAAGTGAAGAGAGGGGCGTAAGCTCGGCCGACTTCAATACTACAGTATTACCAGTTGCGATCGCTGGAGCAACCTTCCAAGACAAGAGAGAAATTGGTAGGTTCCATGCTACTATTAGACCGCAAACTCCAAGTGGCTCGTGCCGCGTGTATGTCATGCTAGCAGGGTCAGTATCAATTGTTTGACCAACTACTTTGTCAGCCCATCCACCATAATAGCGAAAACAATCTATGGCATTGGTAACTTCGAACATTGCTGCACTGAGGGCTTTTCCATTGTCCAGGGAAATGGTTGCGGCGATAGTCTCTAGTTTAGCTGCCATCAAATCAGCCAGCTTTGTTAACATTTTACCGCGATCGCTGGGAGTGACAATGCTCCAGGAACCTTCGAAAGCGCCACGAGCTGCCTGGACAGCGACCTGCACGTCCTTTTCTGTCGCCTCGTGGACAGCCACAATTGGTTTTTGGTCGTAGGGATTAGTGGTCACAAATGTTTTGCCATCAATGCCTTTCATAAATTCATTGTTAATAAATCTATGGATTTGATTAGTGAGCTATTTGAGATCTTTTCTCTCACTTCCCGATAGGACCGAACGTACAAACCCAGTGGTTGATTGTATTTCACATTTGGGGCTTGGATTTCTTGAAAAAGTGCCATTTTGATATCCTGCAACTGTTGTAATATTGTATTGTATAGATGATTGTGAGTTCTTAAATTGCTGTTGTTTCGAAAAGGGGGGTTTGTACATCTGACTTATCTAATGTACATTGGGTGCTATGTGTCGATTGTGATCAGTTCCAAAAAGAAAATGTCACAAGACGGCAAACTACGTATTTAGTCGGGTGGGGTAAAAAGAAAACTTCCATGGTTTCTGGACTATTATTATTGGACTTTATACGTTTTGTCGTTTACCATTGAAACAACCCGAACTCTATTGACAATTTTGTTTGAGATTTGATTCGTCGATCATTTCAACCGTCCTAGTTTTATTCCGTTGTCGTCAAAAGAAACAAAGAAGACTACATCCGGTTCACGGAGTAACTTAGTTATCGATAATGTTGCCTTTGTTTCTTTCAGCCACATTTTAAAGCGCCGCCGGCAAAGATTCTGGTTGGGTCCAATCAGCAGAGCATGCTTGCTTTTGCGAAGAGTGACAATAATTGAAGTGCGGGGTTAAATTACATCCAGAGGAAACTCAACATTTATTGAATTTGCTTGCCTGGAAACTGAATGGATTGAGACGTCAAGATATTAACCGATGTCGCAGAAGATGTGCAGTAAATTCACTGTTGTAAAGATATAACTATTTTCTCGTATAACACAGAATTAGGATCCTACCAATGTGGCTGCACTTATCAAGATGAACTACCTAATTAGACATCTAGAATGACGCTTTAACTAGAGGTTGATATCGAGTGTGACTATCAGACTTGGAGTAGTCCTCATACGTACCGTCATGAAGTGTTACTGTTGTCTGTGCCATCTTTTTTGGATCAAGAGAATATGTCAACGAGTTCCTCTCAGACGTAAGATGGTTATACTGCCCTTCCAGCAGCTCCATTGTCTCAACCAAACACCAAATCAGGAGAGAGGCCACTTCCTTTGGCAAATCATCGCGAACAAAATCACAAATCTGAGAAGTCCAAGGCCGGCAAGTCATGCGAGAGATTGTTCCACAACCTGCGGTCAAGTTGTTCGTGCTCAGTCCCAAAGACTTCTGTAGGCTATTTAGAGCAGAGGCTTCAGTTGGCAAAAGAAGTAATTTATTCGACTCGACAAGCCCCCGCCACCATGGTGTCATGATCGCTTCTTGCAGAAGAGTATCGGCTTCTCCAGAATCAATCAGAGCAATGCATTGCTCGGGCCGATGGCGTATCAAAACTTCTCCACTCCAAGATTGGATGTTATCCTTCGATATCCCGTGGGCATCGAGAAACTCGTTTGGCACATAGCCAGTGAAGTTCGTCCCGTCGTTGATTGAGGTCACAATTCGGATTTCTAGCTTTAGCATCGGAGGGTCTACAATGCTCTTTATATTGTGTTTCGGGCCTATAGCCAAACCATTCGGTCATTCTGGGGTAGCGGGCCGGTCGAGTATGCTTGGCATAGCCCTTTTGAATAGGCTCTCTCCCATCGGTGCCTTGTTCGTGACGGAAGCAGGCGTTGAAATGTCCCAGTCTAGGGCCCTCGTGGAGCTAGACAAGTTCACCCGGGCCTCCGTCGCGCAGACTCCAGATCGAGGCTCCGCGGGCTTGCGCGGTCTCAGAAATCTTGCGTGAGCCAGGCACAGATACGATGGAAGTTGGCACCACCCCAGTCGCCCCCAAACCTGAGAGTGTAGGGGCGCTCCAGTCTCGGCTCACCTTGCTCGTCAAAGTAAGGCCATCCATTTGCGTTTACCAGAATGATATTCTTGTCTCGCAAATACAAGAAAGTCGTCTCAAAATGAAGAGGTGACATATTTTAACAGCTGAAAGCGATGATGAGACCTAAACAACTAATATCCTATTCTGCTTGAAATGATGTGGCTGATTATAGCGCCTTCGGATCGGATGATTGTGGGCGGGGGTGGAAGCATTGAGCTATTTCTGTAACAGGCCGATGGACGGGACTGCTACTTTATTGACCCGGATGATAGGAGGCTTCGTCACCAATCGGTGGACAACCCAGTCAAGTTCACTCGCACAGTGAAGTGCTAAAGGCGATGTAGTACGGAGTAGAGAATCGGCGATGTGTATTGGTAACGAATTGGAAGGCGGTCCGATATCTGAGAGAATCCGGGCAGTATACCTATGTTGGTGGAGTACATCTAGATCTAACCCATTTCTCCTACGTGCACGATTGGACCTGTATTACACTAGACTGAGTCACAAGAAATGATCTTGGATGCAGAGACGTGAGTGAAACTTGGAGTTTATACATGGGTGTCTCCATGTCATTGCGACATCTTGATCTCGCTAGCGGCCTTGAATTTTAAGAGCAACAACACATATTCTTTAATATTGGCACTCTTTGTAACCATCTCAAAATTGCGGCAGTAACCGGGTCATGCTTGTGTGATAGCATCATATTGAAATTCGTAGTCTACCTGAGACATCTTTCCATTGTTTCTGCATACATTGTGCCAAAACCGCCGGTGGCATATCTCAATTCGTAAGGGGCAGATGGGTCATAGCACCGCTGATTGGTATTGACCTATATTTCAAAACGTCTCGTCTTTTTGTGGCTGATGGATATCTTAGTTTGAGAACGTTTCATTCGACGTATTGGCAACATATTTAACGCGGCAATTCCCAAATAATGTGCGGTGAGGAATTTGCGCTTGTTAACTCTAGACGGGAGGAAGACATTGGCCAATGTGTTCGTCACTGTATTAATTAATAATGACAGCTATCACATGACGGCTTGCCGGGATGACTGTAAGCGAAGGCGAGCTAACTCTGTGCCGCATAACATTGGACAAATCCTTACAAAATGAGGGACTAACAAACGCCAAGTGACCACAAAACCTTTGCACGGATGCGCTTCATTGGCCAATCGCTAATGCAACCCCATGCCCATACCGATCTTTCAGGAGCTGTCAGAAAATCGTCGACATCAAGAATCGATAAACAAACTTAGCTATCTATGCGCACCGCTTGCGACGTCTACACGGAGGGTTCGGGCTATATATCCTAGTAGAACGAAGAAATAGGAGGAGCAGAAAGTGGCCAAGATCAAAGAATCGACCCTGTCTACACTGCAATGGATTGAACATTGTGGTGCAGGCGTACATTCGATCGCGAAGGAAGTGGCTAAACAGATCGATACCACGGAGCACACGATTCAAATGGATATTACTGAAGTAACAGCACCGGTACAGGATGAAGTTGCCTCAACTTCTCTCTCCTTTCGGGCTGTTATCCCAGTCGACGTGCTAATCAAGGATCTTACAGTTGAAATTGACATGACTCCTCCATCATGGCAGACCGCACCAGGCCGGATGTGGAAACGACTGACAGGTTCGAAACTAGCTCATAATGAAGGAAATTCCTCATACAAAACCATCCTCCAAGACATTACTGCTGATATACCACCCGGGAGCTTGACCGCAGTGATCGGAAGTAGTGGATCTGGCAAGACATCGTTCCTCAACGTCGTAGCTGGGAGGATGAATTCCAGCCGGCTTCGAATTTCAGGCACAACGAAATTCAATGGGGATGCGGACCGTTCCCATACGCGGAGCAGCTATGTGATGCAACAGGATGTGCTCATACCAACACTAACGGTGAGAGAGACACTTCAGTATGCCGCTGATCTTCGTCTTCCACCGCCTATGAATAAGTCCGAACGAAAGGATATTGTGGAACAAGTCATTATGGAGCTAGGACTAAAAGAGTGTGCAAACACGCGGATTGGAAACAGTGCACACAAGGGTTGCAGCGGTGGCGAGAAGAGGCGAACAAGCATTGGAGTGCAAATGCTAGCCAATCCTTCACTCCTTTTTTGCGATGAACCAACAACGGGTATGTTATCCCTGACAACTCACAAAAATGGCGACAAGACTAAGTGCCAGTAGGTCTTGATGCTACGAGTGCCTATCAAATCATTAGGACATTGAAAGGGCTCGCCCGGAAAGGACGTACGGTTATTGTATCCATCCATGCTCCTCGTTCGGAGATCTGGAATTTGTTCGATCATGTAATTCTGCTCTCACGCGGAGCACCTCTATACAGTGGACCTTTATCGGCATCTCTGCCGTATTTCAAAGCACTCGGCTATGCAATGCCGGAATTTGTCAACCCAGCAGAATTCTTGATCGATTTGGCCGCAATTGATAATCGATCCCCTGATTTGGAGAATACATCTCTGGCACGGGTCAATTTCCTCCGAGAAGCGTGGAAATCCAAACTGAAAGAGGACGATGAAATAGAGAAGAATAGTGAGCAGCCTTCGCCCGTTCAACCCGCGGCCGCGCGGATGCCGAAGAAAGTTCCTTTTATCCGAGAATTCAACGTTCTAACATCGCGTACCTTCAAAACTACATTGCGCGATCCTCTCGGTGTAGCTGGCACATTGTTTGAGGCTATTGGTATGGCAATCATAACAGGCTGGATATTCCTACAATTAGACAAAAGCCAGGCTGGAATTAGATCTCGTGAGGGCAGTCTGTATACTGCGAGTAGCCTCAATGGTTACTTAGTTCTTACTTATGAGACATTCCGTTTGACGATTGACATTCGTCTTTTTGATCGGGAAAGAACTGAAGGTGTCGTTACCGTCCCCGGGTTTCTCCTCAGTAGACGAGCTGCTCGACTGTTGCTTGAAGACCTCCCAGCACCCGTCCTTTTTAGCATTATATTTTACTTTATGGTTGGTTATCGCCTAGAGGTAACGGCCTTCTTTATTTTCCTCGCCATATCTATTTTGGTCCATTATATTGCCGTTTCATTTGCAGCTGTCGGAGTTGGTCTTTCGAGAACCTTTTCTGGAGCTGGACTTGTTGCAAATCTTTCATTTACTCTGCAAAGTTTTGCCTGCGGCTATTTTGTGCAATCGGACCAGATCCCCGTGTACACAAGGTGGCTTAAGTGGACTGCGTATACCTTCTATGCCTTTGGCGCTCTGTGCTACAATGAATTTATTGGTGTGGACAGTCCTCCCTATGGGCAGTTCTATGATTGCCCTTCATCACAAAACCCATTGGACCTGGCCTGTAAACAATATACTGGCCAATACATTATTACGAGCTTGGGATTTCCGTCTGACTGGATTTGGAGACCATGTGTTATTCTTATCGGATACGTGATCGGGTTTTATACCCTTGGTGGTCTACTACTGCAGTACAACACCTTTGCATTGGATATTGCACATGCCCGGAAGTCAGGAGACAATCAGATGGGCAAGGAAGCGGTCGTAACTAGGTCAAACCAGGAAATCCGTCGCGTTGACATCGACCTGGATAAGTATGCCCTTGAGGTGAAGAAACAAGACCTGCTTTGGAAACGCCGGCGTACTATCCAAATACTTCAACCAATCACTACTCAATTTCATGCCGGCCAGTTGAACGTAATAATGGGTCCATCAGGGAGTGGCAAGACATCCCTACTTAATTCCGTTGCGCGAAGACTTCACGGGTCGATGACTACGAAGTACCGATTAAGCGGGACCATGTCCTACGACGGCGCCATTCCGAAGGAGAGCGTCATTCGATCGGTAACATCATTTGTTACACAGGATGACGACGCACTCATGCCGTCGCTTACTGTTCGAGAGAGCCTATACTTCGCTGCCGGTCTCCGCCTACCGAGATGGATGTCCAAGCAGGAGAAATACCGCAGAGCCGAGGATATACTCTTGAAAATGGGGTTGAAAGACTGCGCTGATAATCTAATTGGGAGCGACATTGTTAAAGGAATTAGTGGTGGCGAGAAACGAAGAGTGACGATTGCTATCCAAATTTTGACTGATCCAAAGGTTTTGCTTCTGGATGAGCCAACATCTGGACTAGATGCATTTACTGCCACGTCAATTATAGAAGTACTGAATAATTTGGCTGCTGAGGGTCGCACATTGATCATGACCATCCATCAATCAAGATCAAATATCTTCCATAATTTTTCAAATATACTTCTTCTTGCTCGTGGAGGATATCCCGTCTACGCTGGACGAGGAGCTGATATGATACCATATTTTAGTGGTCTCGGCTACGATTGTCCGTCGCAGACAAATCCAGCCGATTTTGCACTGGATTTGATTACGGTCGACTTGCAGCAAGAAGACCGCGAGAAGACGACACGTAAAAGAGCCCAACGGTTGATAGACGCCTGGGGGAAGAGCGAGACAGCAATTATGCGACGGACATCACAAATAGCCACGCCAGCCGAGCTGGGTAGTCTGAAAAGGCAGATGCATCCTCTCCACGTAACATTTCCCTTGGTTATACATCGTTCTGCTATCAACTTCTTTCGTCAACCTGATCTCATCTTTGCACGCACCTCGCAAATCGTCGGCATTGCTATTATCATGGCTCTTTTCTTTGCGCCAATGAAAAATGACTACGCCGCTGTTCAGACAAGGATGGGTTTTGTACAAGAGTTTGCTGCTTTGTACTTCATTGGTATGCTGCAGAATATCTCGGTCTATCCTCCTGAGCGTGACGTCTTTTATCGTGAGGAAGCAGACCACTGCTATTCCGCTGAAACCTTTATTTTATCCTACACTCTGTTGGAAATTCCCTTCGAGATACTCGCTTCCATCATCTTTGGCATTATTGCAGCGTATGCTGTCAATATGGAACGCAGTGTTTTGATGCTTTTTGTCGCTTCATTCAACTGCTTTGCCATAATCAACGCTGGTGAATCGCTCGGTATCATGTTCTGCACGCTATTCGACCATGTGGGGTTTTCTGTCAATGTTACCTCGGTGGTCTTGTCAATATCGACGATCATGGGTGGTATTATGTCACTGAATCTGAATAACGTTCTACAAGGGTTCAATCACCTCTCCCCCATCAAATATTCGGTCGCCAACTTAGCAGTATATTCCATGAGACATCAGACTTTCTCATGCACGGAGGCAGAGCGTTTGCCGGATGGAATATGCCCCATTACCACCGGACATCAGGCGCTGCAGTTATATAATTTAGACGTCAACCCAGGGTTAAACCTTCTCTGGCTCGGCATAGCAACTGTTGTTTATCGCTTTTTGGCGTATCTAGTCGTCAAGGGTATGGCTACACACGGAGTTTGGGAAGGCATTCGAAGAGCAGTACGTCGTAACAAAAACATCAATTCTCACTGATTACGTTGGAAATTGTGTGAAAAAGTGGTCTAGATAGTCACGCCAGATATACTCTTTTCAATACTCTAAATGATAAGATTAATCGTCTAACTTCTTCTTTTAAGTCTGTCTTCACGAGAAATAATGCGATTACTGTAGCCATTCTCCCTTGCCCACCCGCGCACACAGTTGATCGACTATGTTTGCAATCCACTCAAAGTCTTCTAGTTCAAGATAGATCTGCCCGCTAAGTCGCAGCCACAGCCACCCGCCATGTGGGTAGAATTTGGCGAATGTATCGTATTCTGTTATAAGTTTGCTCTCCATCCAAGCCACGACCTCGCCCGCTCTCTGTATGTCAAGCAGTTTATACGGCGAGGTCCCCGGCTTTGGCACGTGTTCATTTATCGTGTCACCATTGAAGGCCAGGGGCATCCGCACATTTACCAATGCGCACTTGCGAATATCACTGTGGCTGAGACTTGGCAGATTTGGCTCTTGCATCACATCAGTACCTAGAATGCTGGCAACAACGTCACCGCCCCTTTGCGCAACGTCTTGGATGTATTCGTAAATAGCATTATCACCCCCACAAACGACTTCTCGGAACTTGAGAGATGCGGGGACACACATATACGGGGTGTCGTCAGTCGTTGCCACGAATTCGAATAAAATCTCGAAATCGGTTTTGTTGCCATCATGTAACTGGCCGCGATCAGGTGGGAATGTGTAACCGTGTGAAGTGGGAAATGAGGTTCGAATTAGGTGCTGGTTGCGCTTGGGCACATAGAACAAGGCACATCCTCGGGGAGTGTACAGCCATCTACAGCTATGTCAATATTGTGAACCTGGTAACGAGACAAGCGAGAATGCCTACTTGTGACAGTTACTGACAAAGAAGTCGGGACTCAATTCACCCAGGTTCAATGGGATGTGCCCGATGCCATGGGCACCGTCAATTATACTATAAATTGATTCTTTCCTACAGGCTGTGATCAACTTCTCGAAAGGAAATCTCACCCCCGGCATTGAGACGATGGTATCAAAGATCGCTGCCCGAACATTCAGCCCTTCTTCGACCCTCACGCTAGTGACAACCCGAAGGAATCGGTCAACGATTTCATCGTGTGCAATTGGGAATGTGTATTCCACCTTGCGCAGTTGTACCGGGGTGCTCTCCATCAGCGAAACTAGGGTTTGCTCGACGGCGTTGTACACTGTCGCAAAATACACAATGACGTCACCTTGCTTGAAATCGAGGTTGCGAAGAGCAGTGTTGATGCCTGTGGAGGCATTCTTGACAAACACGCACTCATCAAGAGGCGCTTTCACGAAATCCGCTATGTAGCGGCGTGACTGGGTAACATATTCTGCGTGCGAGCGGACGAAGAAGACATCCGGCCGGCTTTCCTGCTCGTCCTGCAGTCGTCGCTGCGCATCGCGCACTTCTATAGGAAATGTTCCAAAGGATCCTTGATAATGTTAATTGATCTGATACTGTATATCCAACTCCATGTCCCGCAAAGAGGGCCAAGACGGGGGTGTTTACCGTGATTCAGTGGACGGTATTTTGGATGGATGAGGAAATGCCTCTCAAGCATAGCCTTACCGAACGGTGTTGGCTCTTTGAGCTGGTCTCGGCTGACTATATATTCACCCATTTGTGTGTCAACTAATTCAAACTAATATTGATGTCACTGGGCGAAGTAACTCGATCAGATCAGCAGTTTCTTTTCAGCACGAGACTGCGTATGCATCTACGTGGAGGCAATAACCCCCACACCTACTGTGAGAGTTCAACTGCTGCCCTCTAGTGCTCTTTCGGGGTAGCCTGCTCGCCGCTTTCACCTACTAGTCTATAGATCCAGAGCGCTGTTGGCCCAAAACCCACCACACCAAAAAGGGGCCCCCTGATTAGTGAGGGTAATTAATTTGGTACTTTTTGTCTGACAGAGCACACCTGTAAAATTTGTTCTAGGTCCGCTTCCGGGGCATTGAAGCCAACTTGAACTAAACAACTCGCCTTAGCTGTGGAAAACTCGAAATACATGAAGAAAGTGACATTCTGTGTCACCGCGGCTAGATTCAACGTTGCATCCGGTGGAGTGGAAGCTTTTCTACCCCGCACTACACTCATGACTCGTAGCTTGTATAGACAATTGACTCGCTGTTTTCAAAATTTTAGTAAACGGTGAACTTCAGTCGGCTGCACAAGCAAGCTTTGTCTCAGCACTTAGTTGCAGAGTCATGTACTATATCATCTCTACCTTTCTAATAGCACAAGCATGATAAAAGGCACGGCAGGACTGACAATATACATAAAATTCTTGGCCCTTTCAATATACAATCAACCATATTTTGTCATGTAAACATAAATTTACGCCACATATAACGGCGACCGGTAGTCAGTTGGCATGTAGCCAGAAACTTTGATATCCACCATAGCGGTGTGACTTTTAAACCATACACGTTGTACTTGGGACGCCAGAAATCCTCCCACAAATCTCTATCCCAGCCCCCTCTCCCCCACGCATTGTGCGGGCCATATTACGGCTCTGGCCGACTCCTGATTTTTACCTGATTTAGCTAAATAACTAGATACTTTAGGAAGTGATTGTCCGGTCAGAGATAAGATCCCCTTAGCAGACGCATTTATGCCTCGACTCTATCACAACGTCTGAACCGGACAAACACAGAAACAAGGGTTGTCACCCTACCTGACAAGGAATTACACCGACCCTCAAAGTGGTGGACAAATCGATTGATAATTGATATGTTAAAGCTTGAGAGTGATTCTTTGTCCAGAGCATAAATTTCGCATTGCCAAAGGCGCTATCAGAGGACCACGTGGGCGCCTTCCACCCGTTACATCTATAACATGGCACCTAAAGATCTCGAGGCAGTCGATGTCCTGGAGCCAAAAACCACTAATATCAGTGTTGCTGATGGCACAGATTTGAAATACAGCGAGCAAGAGCAACGGAATGTAGGTACTTTACAACGGAAACTAAAGTCCCGACATGTACAGTTTCTCGCACTTTCTGGGGCTATAGGTACCGGACTTTTCGTTGGGAGCGGGCAAACTCTCTCACTTGCTGGGCCTTTATCTGCAGTCATAGCATATCTGATTACGGGATTCAACCTTTATGCGGTTATCAACAGCATGGGCGAGATGGCGACGTGGCTCCCACTGCCCGGTGCTGTGCCCGTTTATGCAGCACGATACGTTGATCCAGCTCTCGGTTTCACTCTTGGGTGGAACTATTGGTATCAGTTCGCAATAGGAGTACCCATCGAGATCAGTGCCGCTGCATTGGTTATTGATTATTGGCCAAATAGCGTGCCGACTGTCGTGTGGATCACAATCCTACTAGTTGCAGTTATCCTGATCAATCTCTTCCCCGTTAGGATATATGGAGAAGTCGAGTTTGCTTTTGGAGCAATCAAGCTAACAACGATATGCGGATTGATACTACTTATGTTGATCATTACGCTTGGGGGAGCGCCAACTCATGACCGCATTGGTTTTCGCTATTGGAAGAGTCCTGGCCCGATGCTAGAATATCTCGAACCTGGAGCCCTTGGGCGCTTTTTGGCATTCTTCAAGGTATTCATCAGTGCGACATTTGCTTATGGTGGAAGTGAGATGGTTGTGGTCGCCGCAGGAGAGACTGAAAATCCCCGACGAAACATCCCCAAAGCCGTGCGCAGAGTCTTCTGGCGTATAGCTATTTTTTACGTGCTCAGCATTTTCTTAATTGGAATGTGTGTTTCTGCCAAGGACCCGCGCCTTCTCAATGCCATTAGTAATGGGGCCCCGGTGTCGCTGCAAGTCCATTTGTTATCGCAATGCAAAACGGCGGGATCAAAATTCTTCCATCTATCATCAACGCAGTCGTGCTTAGTTCTGCCTTTTCAGCTGGAAATTCCTTCTTCTATGCTTCTACCCGGGTTCTTTATGCCACTGCCTTGGACGGCAAAGCGCCCGGCTTTTTGAAATTCGAGAAATTCGGTGTCCCATACGGCTGCGTCGGGGTAACGACAGCCCTCAGCCTGCTTGTCTACCTGAATGTCAACGCAAGCGCGTCTGACGTGTTTTTCTGGATCAGTAACCTCAGTTCGGTCAGCACTCTGGTCGTGTGGACCTCTATTTCAATCACATATATCCGCTTCCACAAAGGGATGGAATTTCATGGTATCCCTCGCTCATCGCTACCGTTTCGAGCCCCGTTTCAGCCGTATCTTGCCTGGTTTTCCTGTCTTTTTTCGTCCACTATAGCATTCTTCAACGGCTTTGACTGCTTTTTCCCTGGGAAGTTCAGTGCCAAGACTTTTATTCCCCCGTATATCGACATTCCAATTTTTGCGTCCTTATTTTTAGGCTACAAGTTCTTTTATAAGACGAGGTTTGTCAAGTTAGAAGACATGGATTTCTTTTCTGGAAAAGAGGCAGCTGATCAGCTGGAGGAAACATGGGAACAGCCCAAGCCGAGAAACTTCCTTGGTAAGCTCTATTTTCGGTATCACTATCAAGGCACTGAGACACTAATCTTGGAACTTACAGAGAGAATTTGGTTTTGGCTTGCTTGATCCTTCTAGTTCTGGGAGGATATTTCACGTCGCAGTTGTTCAAGGGCTGTTTTTAGATAGCAATTCCCATCGTTAGCTACATATATATGGCGTATACAAAAACCAACTGGTGACTCTTTTTAGAGACTGCTCGCAGGATATCGTCGTCAATTGCCACTACTTGCTGTTTAATGTGTCTGTTTTAATGGTTCAGCTTCACAGTGCCATTGAATATTGCCTCGTACGTTCTGCGATAAAAGTGCTTGAGGCCGTAAGGCATGAAAGGATTTCTTTTCTCAGTCCGATGCCAAGCGCTAATAAAAAAACATTATTTGACGTAATGCCTCAAGGCCCAATCTAATGCTACTCTGGAAGCTCTACAATTGGTTTGGAGAAAGGCCGTTCCCCTCCCCTAATGACATTATCCTTCATAGGGCCAATCACCTATGTCTACGCATCCACCTTTGATATTTTGGACTCATCTCATTTCAGCCATATTATGGCTAAGCCTCCGACAGCCTGGGCACTGCCCGGCAATGTAACTTGTTATATTCACTTCTGTGAGCTTCAGTTTAGACAACGCTCAGAATAATGGCATTCTGTCCGGGTTTTGGTCCTTGTAGCAGCACGAATGTTGCTATGTAAACCGGTGGTCGTCCTCCAGAATGTTCACATGCAACAAAAAAAAACATATCACCAATCGATAGCTTCTCTTTTCCTTGAATTAGATTCCTAAGAGGTAATGAATCATGGCTCGATATACCCTCCTCGCAGCCGTTCTAGCTTTAGTCAAAGGAGTCTCAGCCGACACCACCTTAACCACCACCTCCAGCTCAGCCTCCACCAGCCCAGCAGAAGGAACAACCTATATCAACCTCTTCGTCGGTGGAGACACGACCATGTTCCCGGTTACAAGCATGGCCGGCAGCATTGTCTACGCAAATGCACTAGCCACAACTATTACCATCAACTGTGTCAAGGGAAATAGTGTTTGTAATAGGATTTCTGGCGCCATCACCGCAATTCAAGGCCCTTCAACCTGGTCAGGTCATATAGTCGCGCAAACCAATATCCTGGGTATCCAGGCCATAGCGACTGTACAATCAGACTGCACGATTACTGCTTCAACAAAATTCGCGTCATGTGCCGAAACAGTGATGCTCGTGGGAAAGGCCGACGGTTCAGCGGTGACCTCAACAATGTCAAAAGAGATCTCCGTTCCAAGCAGTTATATCGCCTATGAATCTCTGTTTATTACCGCAGGACTTGACAAGCTGAATCGGCCGCAGGCAACTCAAACCCCTGGCACTGCCCCGGCTAAGGTAACGGCTAACATGGCGCTGGCCGCAGGCGGTGCTGTCGCTGGAGCCGCTGTTGCCCTTGCCGAGTTCCTATAGAATATCCCAGGGAGAAAGCATTTCTACCCCTGTTCGTAACCCACGGTTAATGGCATATATGTTAATTCTCATGTATTCTTTCAGCTGTTTGCAATATTAATCGCATCTGTAGATACCGGACCAGTTTTTGACTCTTCTGCGAATGGATATGAATTTTTTCAATACGAAGTAATTCCATATACAGTCGATGCAATTCAAAGTCAAATTGTGTGTTTACATGACTTCACGATCTGTACATTGGCTAGAAATGGGCCGATAGGTACTAGACGAGTAATCACGACGATCTTATTTCAGGTAGGTGAGCACACGGTCACGCCAGTTGGCCTAGGATTGACTAATGAGTGACATTGTCATCATCTTTTCACTTCTGTTTGTTCGCTGGCTTCATGGGCTGCCCCGATTCATTTCTATTGTTCTGTGTCTGTTAGTATAGTACCGGCTTCATTCAAACTACCTTGACATTTAAGGGTTAAAACATAATTTTACCTCTCCATATGTTTATTCAAACTTGGCCCACTTGTGTATTAATACAGAATAACATACAGCACGGCATCTAGATTACAATACCATCCGACCATGGAGCCTAGACCGGTCGGTTGTTGCTAATGCTTGGTGTCTGCATGGTTGATTGGGGTGATCAGCGCCAACGAGAAGCTAGTGAACTGTTCAGCCAGCCAACTCGGTTGAGCCACCTCGGAAAGAATTACTCTGTCCAACAAGATGGTCCCCTTTTTTTCGTTTCGGCAAGTACTAATGGACATTCGTTATTGCACATCATGTTCATAACAGGTGAATGTTGTAGTCCGTACTTAAACAATTAGAACAAAATTAAGCTTATTCAGATAATCAACATAGAAAAACTCATCTCTTGCAGGCCCCGTGAGGTTTGTATTTGAATTAGTTTTCGTCCGTATTACACTGGTAATATGTCTATATTCCGATTCTTGTACGACTCTCCATCAACTTTATTCATAGGTGGTTATATAATCCTTGCAGTTTCATGTTAAATACAATCTTTCGCCTGTATTAATCGTAATTGCTTTCAAGCCACCGCTCGCACTCCTCACAAGCTAGTGGTTGGCAGGGGTGACGTGGTCTTCCTTGTCATTACGGTTTCATTTAATTTCCTTTGAAAACTTTTTGGGACTCTCTCCCGATGGAAACATCCTCATTGTACTTTTTCTTATCCAACTTGAGCTGTTGATTTTCCCTCCGCCATTCCCTAGCCAAAGGACGCGATGGCTCCCACCCGTTTTCTCTTCGGTCGCGATTTTGACCCGGGGGCTGCATCCCAAAGCTTTAAAGACGAATGGTCCAATCCATCCAATTATGCCTTTACTGTTCTTCTTCTGATAGGAGGTGACTTGATCAATCGTGCCCTAGCCCAGCTAGCAGGAGGTTGGGTCACGCCGGTTGCTTTCTCATTCGGTAAGATACGAGTCTCCAATAAAAACTTGATCTATTGTGACAAATTATTTGGCTTATTGATTGTTCCTGACGACTAAAGGCTGGGTTTCGTATGCGACATCATCCGTCTGTTCGGCACTCGGTGAATATGCTCTAATGCCCGCGGCGGACACAGGCTGTTGCCTCATCAACGGCAAAAACGGTTACGTTCGTGGTAATGGATCATGGATACTAGGCCGCATGGTAAGGGATTATGAGTCTTGGATGGGAAAGCCCGTTGCAGACAAGACAGAATCTCTACTTACGGCTCGGTGGGAATTTGATCAGCGTAAAGAGGCCGAACAAAACCCTGGTTCAGGACATCAAATACCTCGTCCTTCACAAGCCGGATTGGTTGTGAGCGTTTGGAAGCCGAGTAAGAATGGAAGGCATGGTGAACCTGGGCATGATGTCCTTCATTGGTCGGGCTTAATCATCACCATCGTACAAATCGGAATTTCAGCTATTCCGCTCGGTCTGTATGGAGATTGGGGTGTTTTACTGATTACTGTTGCTGGAACAGGACTTTGCTACTCTACCGGTGCATTATCGCAATGGAAGGTTGAGAAATGGGCCTGTCGACACCTCGAGTCCAGACAAAAGAAAAACTTCATATTGACACGTGGAAATGGTGCTCAGCATGCTATCGCTATTATTAGTGACGGGCACGGTTTGGATCTAGAGGATCTCGCTACAGGGTTTGCAAACATTGACGCGCCGTCTATATCGCTTTTCGCACAATTGGCCACGGTATTCCTAGGAATATTGTGGGTGGCCTTGCTCATCACAGCCTCCGGATTGCCGGACGATTCATGGTATTTAATTGCCGTGGGAGGTATTGGAATGCTTCAGAACATTTTTGTTGCCGGTTGGAGACGAACACCGGCAGCTTATGGCGTGCCTCTTGAATTCGTGGAAGTTATCGGGGAAGTTAAGGTCATGCAGACTCTAATGGAAGTAGAACGAAAGTATGAAAAACTGGGAAAGAGCATGCTTGGCACTTTTTTCACTGGTGACTTACGAGAAAACGAGTTGCAAGAGTGGGCGGACATTGCACAGGAGTGGAAAATGAAGAAGGCTCAATCGGAGGATGTGAAAGCTAAGTAGCCGTTCAAATGTTCTAGCCGCAAATATCAATTGATATCTCGATTTATAGTACGCATATCTAACATTCGATGTCTTTGATTTTTGTTTCGTATATCCTCTTTTCTTTTGACTGGGGTTATCTAGGTAGGGTATATTTCTTCTCCGCTGATGCATAACAAAATGAGCATTTCCACGGAAATATTCTACGAGTTGTTTTTTTTGGGAATGGAAGATATTGAAGATCTGGTTTTAAACTAATCAACCGTGGCACCTCGCTATGGCTGATAACAATGTTATATTCCCCGCTCTTTGGGCAACAATTCCAGCCTGATTTTCAAACTCAGCCTCCAACCAGTCCCACCATTGAATATTGCCCTCAAGCGAGTGTCTGGAGCTCTACATGCATATAATATAAGTTCCAAATCAACAGATAATTGAGTTATTCTCCTTCAATCAACCTTCTGTGGCAATGCAAGAGAAGGCTTTAGGAGGTCCTTGTCAAATCACGGCCTTCGCTCATGGCTACGGCCTGTCACCTTGCCACAAGGGATTATTGACAATGGATGGAAATTTGTAATACACATACATTCTCTCGTAATATATATATTTCCATTTATCTTCTATATTATATCTTGTTGCTAATATAACATTGAATCTAACATATTAATTCCAGTGCAATTGGGACGAATGGCATTCAAAGGGAGAGAAAGGTACCGATGACTGCAAACATACCCGATGCAATAGTTGCACTTCCGATCTAGCCTTGACGATTGAGGTTTGGTATAGATCAATATTTTGATCAGCCCTGGCAGCGTCATGGCTCCACCTTCATTTATGTGGTACTGTGTGAGCCAACTTTCTTTCATCAAACGATATTTGCAAGATTTTCTCTCTCTGTATTTCTTCTCCCACCTTTGGCTTCGTTTCTTATATCTTTTTGTTTCTCCTCTAAACCGCAATGAAAAAAATTAAGCTGGAATAGGAAGAAGAATACCATAAAGTATAGAGCTTCAAATGGAATCTTAACTAAAATGGAAGTGTACTTGTGCAGACGGTGCATATGACATGGAATACGATAAATTCTGTCTAAGTTGTAACTATCAGGCTTGCAGTTCTTGTTCAGTGGAGACCCTGCTATAGTTCTTGTGGTTCTTGAATCCGGGTGGAAGTGGGAATCTCCAAATTTTGTTTCGCTCATGGTATGCGAAGCAAGCGTTTTCTCCAACAATGTGGCAGCAACAGTACCTTTGTGCCTAAGGGATTGCATTGGGTATTGATTGTATAATCTTATCAATCGCTTGTCTAGCCAATCTAGCTGTTGGGTGGATCCGCTGCAGGTTGAAAGAGACGATTGCAGAGACTAGAGAAATGGAAGTAGAACTATAATATACAACTTCCACAGTCCACCCGCCTACGTGAAACTCATACTAAAGATTCCCTATACGGATGATTTCAGAACATGGCTCATGTACCTCCAGCAGCTTGTACACGTACTGTGACTAGACGTATAGGTAGGTAGAACTATGAAAGATGTGTCAATAATGATGTCTATAGAGAAGAGTGTAATTTTTCAAACCTACCATGGTTACTTTGGTAAATAGACCAATATCTACAGCTTGTCTATTGGATATTTCCTTTCCATGAGGGCGAACGTATTAAAAGTCTCGTCTACTAAACATACACCGTACACGCAAGCTTTAGATAGAGAGGTATATACAATGCTTTCCAACTCTCAAAGGCTGTGATACGCCGTGCAAGTATAGTGTGAAAGTACCGCAGCTCTAAGACATCTCGGTCCAGGTTTTGAAGATAGCTACGTATTTGGTAAGAGTAATTCGAAATTTCATGGGAATAAAAAATTCACAAACGCAATCGACTAAACTCTTACCACAATCAATGGCTTGGACAAGTTGGTTTGTAAATTCCTGCAAGACTTGAATGGCCCAAGTATAATTATTTATACGCGGTAAATCGGTGGTGGTCCGATGATTAGCTGTGGAGCGGGTTTTACGTAGATATCATTTTGAATAAAGATCTGATCTTGAGGGGTAAGTAATAATGCACCAGTTCTCTCAGACTAGGCCGTGGAGTCTCCACCAAGTTTCGCTGCTCCAATGTAGCCTGGCCCGTACGTCGACACAGGATCAATAGAAAATATTCGCGTAGGTTCCAGTAGGGAGCTATGTATGATGCAGCCTGTCCAGAAGGAGCATCCCGACGGCTAGTAACGTAATCGTTGAGCTTAACTTTCTTTTCCTATTCTTCAAAGCCCGTTTCAACTAGGGAATAGAGTGTCCACACCCATTCGTCAATCTCTACGAGTGAGACTGCCACTTGAGCTGCATGGAAATACTCTTGCTGTCCTGGATCACTTCGAGTGAAACTATCTAGAAAAGTACCTGAGCGTCGACCCACAATACTTCGATACACATCAATGGACTTGGATCATCTTCGCAATGCAAACTACGATAGGCGAAATTCTAGGGAATACGGAGTTACTGGTCGAATTGGGTAATCCTGTGGAAGTAAAATTGGGAAATCAGTTCTCGTAATTGTAGTATTCGGATCTGTATCTACATCAGTTTACTATAGAAAGTCCAAAGTAAGTTCTGTTTGTGACATATCTGGATAAAAGTCGCGTAAGAATACAACGCAACGAACGTGTCACTGCAAGTATGAGACCTGCAGCACATGAAGGTGAAATATCTTCAAAATAGCTGTTCGATCAGTCAGTCACTGGTAACGATTAAAGATGAATATATATTCCAAGTCCTTATATTTTCTGATCAAATCATACTAACATACTTCGTCTTTCTAGCGATGTCCTTCAAAATCATCTAGCTTACCGCTGTCAGATTCAAGTTCAAAGATACAGCGTTTATCCACAGATCATTTTATTCATGAATAAATTATAGTTCGAATTTAAAGAACAAAGAGCTTGAAACTTCATGCTTCCCGGGCTAAAGTATTGATCAAATACCTCTCGCCTATTTATCTAGGGTATCAAAAAGTATATTCGCTCTTGAGTGCCTTTCGCAAATTAGATGTGCAATGTAGACATCCTTATCACATTTGAGGTGGCTAAACCAATTTCAAAGTCAACTTCATGAAGAACTATATTGTCTAGTCAAACACAATTTTGCTCAGCTGGAGGATAGTCGGTATAGCCAATGATGTTGTCTTCAAAAGGTCCATAAAATCGGCTGCGATCATATTCTGCAAGAGGACATCCGGTCTGTAACCGGGCCACAAGGTCTGGATTGCTAATAAAATATCGGCCAAATAACAAACCGTCGTATTTTCCGGATGCAATGCCATTCCAGCAATTTGTGTCGTTCCATCCACCTGCGGAGAAGAAAGGGATCCCGTCGAATATCCGGCGATATTCATCTAGCCCTACATCGGCTAGGCCCCAGTTGAGGAGGAATTTATGTTTTTCCTCATCGCTGAAGATCTGCTCGTATCTCTGGATTGATTCGTAAGTATGGGCTCATTCAAGGAAGGCAAATACGCAACTTACTGGTTCAATGAAGCTCACGTACGATAGAGTTGGATGAGCGTCTTTAAGCATTCTACAGAGATAGCCCCAAGTTTCTACTCGCTGTTCACTACGGGCTTGATTGAACAAACCAAAAGGTGAGAGGCGAATTGCTAAATTGTCATCTCCAATGGTCTTCCCAAGTTGATCCATCAATTCGAGGACAAACCGGCATCGTTTCTCTGGTGAGCCGCCGTATTCGTCAGTTCGCTTATTGATATTAGAGCTGAGAAATTGCTCAGGTAAATACCCATTTCCGGCATGCAATTCCACGCCATCGAAGCCTACATCCATGGCTAACTTTGCAGCTTCACAATAATCATTGATCGTTTTCTTAATATGGGTAACGGAAAGTTCCAGTGGAGGATGCTCAGCGTAGCGAATAGGGTGTGTTTCACCAAAAGGGATGTGTGAATAAAACTCCTCTGTTGAGTCCCATACACTAGCAGATGCCGAGACTGGAGGAGAGCCGGTCATCTGAGGAATGGTTGCACGCCCAGCATGCCATAGCTGACAGTATATGTAACCACCTTTCTCGTGTACTGCATGGACAACTTTCCTCCATCCATTCGCTTGCTCCTTGGTAAAAAGCCCCGGAACCCCGGGCATTCCATTGCTCTGTAATTTATTAAATGTTAATACGAGGAATCTGAAGAGGGGTCTCAAGCAGTGAGACGTGCCAAAGTATAGCAACGTAATCCCCGGGTTTACTTTTTTATTTCTAACAGGAGACCTTTACTTACTTCAAGTGACGGTGGAATCCCTTCTGAAATCAGTAAGCCTCCTTTGGTCGTTCGTTGTTTATAGTACTCCACCATGAGGTCTCCCGGGTACCAGATTCGGTTCGGGTTGTCTGTCGTGCTAATTGGATTCAGGGGAACACCTCTGTTTCTTGTTAATGGAGCATGAATGATGCGATGCTCCAGCTTTAATCTACCTGATCCAATCACAAGGGGTTGAAAAAGTAGAGACTTGGTGCTATCCTCTGTTCCGTTTTCCATTGAGTAAATTGCTGTAGGGTATGCGAGTGATGTGGGAGACTTGCTTGAAGAAGAGGGATTTGTAACCTGCATGTCAATGTATACTCCACAATCCCTCGGTCTTCAGGTCGACTTGTATCACCTAAGTTAAGTAGAGAGGAATTTATTGAATCTGTGTTACATAATTTTGACAGCACCCTCCGACTTCCGAGGCCATACGCGAAAAAAACCTGCGAAGAAGGTTCCCGATAAAATCTTTACTGGTGGAGCCGTGCTCGGGTACTCTGATTAAATCGGTTAGTAGAAATCCATACCAAGACGCTTTATATGTCGACTAATCATTTGAGACTAATATTCTTGTTGCCTAGGCCTTTCATTGATCAACTGACAACTGTATCCATGCACCAGTTCGGGAGAAAAAGTAACCCGAATAGCGAGACTGCACTAGCGTAGCTTTGGTAAATTGTACTTTTCTAATTCCATTGCCAGGGGGGTGTGGTTAGCTGCAAGTTGCCATGTTTAGTAACCGAAAGTGGAGAAAATAAATGTGATTATCCAGTAAATTCACAGCTTTTATAAGATAAGCAGCGATATGTTTCCAGCCTTCAAGCTTTCGGATGGCCAGACACGGTCGGTGAAATAGTGAAGTTTGATATGTGCCGCCAGAGTTTTGACCCTGTTAGGAATTTCGATATACCTTGATTTTTTTTTTCTTTCTTTGTCCTTTTTTCAGCTCACTTTCTTTTTCCTTGTCTCACATAGACTCCACAGAGTGTGCATAGGAGATGAATCGTGATCACCACCGACCGATTCGGAACCACTTGGTGGCGTTATTAGAACAAAGAAAACAGAAAATGCGGCGCTGTCAAAAGTGAACTTAACGCGCGCCGCATATTCGGCTCGCAATTTGAATTATGTAGTGCCAGAGATAGCTAAACAAACATGGTATTGAGACGGGCCTGAATCTCTATGTAGCTCAGCGTGTGTAGATTGCTCATACATGTGATCAAGCTATCGATGTTACAGGTAGCCCAACGCAAAATGTTGTATAATTGGGGGTGAGCAACCTAGTAGAATCGAAGTGATTGATAATTCTTTTATCACATCACTAATCTACTCATCACAATATTGAAAGATGCCACGGTTTAATTTATTTTCCTCGTCGAAATCGGACAGCAGAGCCCCAACATGCCAGTCTCGGGTTCTGACCAAGCTCTAGATAGTCCTAAGGGACTTACTCCAGACTTTGAGCATCCCAGAGACGCCCTAAAAACTGTCCTTCTTACTAGCCAGTATCTTTGTATTCCTGTTTGCTCCGTTTTTTTTTGTGCTCCGTGTGTTCGTCAGAGTTCGTTTTCGACAGCAGCTAGGAGTTGATGAATGTAAGATCCTTATGGAATAGGCAATTATGACACGTCTTCTCGCTGACGGGTATATAGATTTCGGGTTTTCTACGTGGGTATTGTCTTGTGCTACTGTTCACAAGTGTTTCTTTTAAATACTTATGAATACGTTGCTCCGAAGATTCTTTTCATGGGTCATTGCATCACCGCTATTTTTCGTGAGTGTCAGGTTCTCAAGGCATAAAACAGATTTTCCTCTAACGTCATAAAGTGGGTAATAATGGAGGGGGACATTATCAATGGGAGCTGCATCGATCACAGATGGAATCGTTTTTAAAAAGTAAGTTTTATTTGATATATCCCAGTGACGTTCTAGAATTGTTGACCAAGTCAACGTACACCCGTCCATCTAGATCTCATATATTGCAACACTTTTCTATGCACCAATGGCACTCTTTGTCAAAGTTGCGTTGCTTACCTTGCTAGCTCGAGTCTTCAACGCATCCAAGAAATGGAGACTAGCCATATATATCGTTCTCGGAATTGTGTTGGCTTATTATATCCCAGCTTTTTTCATAAAAGTGCTAATATGTAATCCAATATCTGCATATTGGAACGGAATTAACGGGCATGCTACCTGTATCAACCAGGGTAAAGTTATAACGGCAGATTCTGCCATCAGTGTTGTTACGGATCTAGCAATTTTGATCCTCCCATTCCCATTAACCTGGTCCCTTCATATGCCAGTGGGGAAAAAGATAAAAGTCATTGGACTTCTAAGCGCTGGTGGCCTTGCCACTGGGTTTAGTTTGTATCGATTGATTATGATTATACGAGAAGGAGAATCCCCAGACCAGACAATGGTCTTTACCAAAGTTGTTCTTACAGGGTACGCACTATCATTTGCTTGGCGCTCATTAAAAATGACTGGACAAAATCTTAGGCTGACTGAACTCAATGTGTAGAAAATGCCGAAGGGGCAATTGGGCTGATATGTGCATGTCTTCCGGCGTTAAACATTTTGATCAGTCGATCTTTGGACTTCACATGTTGGTTACGAATGAAAAGATATGACAACAGTAGAAGTGACCAAGAGCCCAGATTGAAATTGCGGGATATCGGACGCCACAACGAAGGGAGCCGGGTGGATGGCAAGACGTATAGCAAAATTCAGTACAGGAGATATGATTATCCTAGCAATTTGGCCCAAGTACCCAGACATCCAAGGAAAGATACATGCGATTCTAATGAACTGCGTTGCAACTCAAAAAGGGACGTCCTCACGAGAGGCATATTTAAAAATATCACCATTTCTCAGTCCGTTGACTGCGTTCAAACAAAGGAATCGATTGATATCATTGGTGACTTTCAAATGCACGTCCCGTAGATATACAGGGTACTTTAACAAACCAGAACAGGGACTGAAATTTCTTCTGGACTTAAGGGTTCTCCGGTTTTCAGAATATCGAGTAATTACTTTTACACTAGAAGCGCCTTATTTCCAAGCCTGTAGATACTACATGCGCATTCGGATAGGCAGGCAGAGAGAGTTGCCAGGGAAACGCAATTCAGAAAATAAATAAACAACATTAGCAAATTTCCGGTTCGCCAGAATTGAATTTAAGGATCTCTACGGATACTGAGCTTTGGTCGTAAAGACTCGGCTATAAAGCGATTCAGCAAAAATACCAGCAAATAGACAACAGTTCACAATGAATACGACTAGCCAGAGTAAATCCACCTCTAGCATCCAGGAACAGACACCCCAAATCAATTCAATCGACGCTATTGCCACCCGTATCAAAAATGGAGACATAAAACGAATAGTCGTTATAGCAGGAGCTGGCATCTCCACATCTGCTGGTTACCCAGATTTCCGGTCCCCCAAAACGGGCATATACGATAAAACAGCTGCGCTAAAGACACTGCCCTATCGAGAAGCCATATTCGATGTGAGATATTTCAAGCACACGCCGGAACCTTTTTTCGCCGTATTGCGGGGGTTGATGCAAATGAACTTCAAACCAACAGTGACCCACGCTTTCCTATCCTTACTACATAGGATGGAAGTTCTAGAGATGGTGTTCACGCAGAATATTGACGGATTGGAGCGCGCTGCGGGAGTTCCTGACGAAAAAGTCGTAGCTGCACATGGTCAATTCGGTAGTCAGCGTTGCATGATATGTAAGATTTCCTGGCCATCGGATCGATTTGAACGAGTAGTGAAGAGTGGGCAAGTGCCTCGCTGCGATGACGCATTTTGCAATGGCCTTATCAAGCCAGACACGGTCATGTTTGGCGAGCCACTATCACAAAACTTTGCAACGAGTACAAAGCTCCTCGATTCCGCAGATCTGATCCTTGTGATGGGAACTAGTCTCAAGGTTCACCCAGTAGCTGCGTTGCCTTCCCAGGTCCCAAAGGGTGTACCGAGGGTACTACTAAATAGAGAAAAAGCTGGTGACCTTGGTAGTCGGAGAGAAGACATTTTGTTGCTCGGGGATTGTGATGAGGGTGTGAGATCTATAGCAGATGCACTAGGGTTGAGAGACGAATTGGAAAATCTGTGGAGAGCAGTGGGGCCGCAACCAGGCGAGTTCGTAAAGTTGGAAGATGCTCTTGTTAGGGAATTGGACAGCTATGTCAATGACCAACTGCGGGAGAAGGAACTTATATCCCAGGGTCACAAAGGGCTTTTAGAGAAGCACATCCAAGAGAAATTGTCGCGAATGAGGAATCCTGATTCGGGGGCTGTTTTATATCCGTAATTCAATACAAAATAGTCGAGCTCAGCTTCTAACTTGTCTTGCCCATAATAGTCTCGCTACTGATTTCCATCATGGGCCATTCTAACCATTGCATCCAGTATATATCTATGTTTCGGTGAATAGACTCAACCAGAAGCCTTCCTGAATCCCCCAGAAGCCATAATTCACGTTGATAATATAGCAGAACTGCGTAATGTGCAAGTATTATAAGTGCCTTTGGGCTTAATCGAATAAGCTCATGCTTGAATTCGTCCTTGACCAAAGCCGGCCAGCCAAATACACCCTTGAGGTTGTTATTATTTCCTTGATCTTCTCGATAATAGCGCAGGAGGGAGTCGAGTACATTTATGGCGTGCCGGTCAGCATTCACTGCGGCAGATTCTAATGGGTCAACAGGTTCATCCAGCAATTGAATGAGACGTTTGGATTCAACCTCTTTTGTTTGGTAATTCTCTTCGTCAAGGTATCGGAGAGCCGCACGTCCCGATTCCACGACAGGTTTGATCTCCGAGTCAGCGACGATGTGCCACTTTGACCTCGATATCGTTCTCAGGCCCTGGTATAGGTTCAGGGAGTCAACTAAAGAAACAATCAATGCTTTGAAGTCTGTTTCTGGGCATCTCAGTACATTGCAGAAATGATGCGCTCCTAGCATTGACGAAAAGACGAAATATGGTACACAATTCTCTGATGTGACATCCTCACGGCCAACGGCGGTATTGAAAAGGGCAATTGCCTTATTTTGTAAGCGAATAGCCTGGTTTCCGTAATATTCACTCCTTCCCGGAAAGGTTGCGCCAAGATGTTGTGCTGACATAGATAGAAGCTCATACATTAGGTACGGAGCCTTATTAGCATCTCGAGTAGCCATAGATACGTACGTATCTCGGCTGATTCCGAAGCTTTCCCAGTTACCATTGACTAGGTGATTGAAAAGCTCTAGGTGAGCCATGTTGATAGTGTCGTCCTGTTTTTCATCTACTGGGAATAGAGGAAACAGGATGACATTCCGCTCAGAACTGCATTGGGCAGCTGGTCTCTCCACGCTATATGGAGAAGTAGGCGCAGGAGTCACGTTCCGAGAATTGATAAATCTGTCTGGGTAAGAGCAGACTCGATGTGATGTAGAGCAATTGAGACAGGTAGGGCGTGTTTCATCACACTTTAAAGTTGTAAGCTTTTAGAATCACGAAAAGGTGGTATATATGACTACCTTCATGTGACGAGCCTTGCATTCCCTGCATCCATTTCTTGATTTCTTATGTGGCCGTCGTGACATTGGTCAATAATTTAATGCAGGATAGCACTCGTCTTGGTAAGAATAACAAGTGAAGAGGTGGATGAACAATGCATTAGACGCAGTAGCCTAAATTCGCGGAATGAAGGAAGCTATTCCCGATCCATGGCCCTGGCCCTGGTTGACGGGCTTCAGCACCGATTGGCTGGAAGATGACAATGCCCCGCTATTTCCGATTTGGGATCAATCATTGGTCAAGCAACAAATTACAGGATTGTGATTGACCAAGTTACTGGTAGTAGGATCAGAGAAAATTGAACAAATCAGTGAAATGTGTTTATTTCCAGAGCTCTCAGTACAATTCACCATTATAAGGGGCCTTAGGCACAACGGCCCGGAGGGTTATGAATGTACAATAAAGATTGCAATGGTCATCTTTCAAGTACTACATCTACTTCAAATGTTGATGTAGGTAATTGTCGACTTCAATAGCAGAGTTTTCCTCTTTTACGTCAACTAGTATTATTTGGATGCCGTGGAATAAAAGGCGAAAAAATATGACTGCAATTGCCTCCACAACCTTAATATAAACACTCAAGTAGAATAAAACGTAAGCTAAATACACATAATTCTATACGTACAGCACAGATAATAAAAAACATGTCTATGATAGTTTCCTAAGAATAAATTTAACGCAACATTATAGTAAGCCTAGACGGATTCCGACAAGGTATCGGGAGTAGATTTTGACGGCAGTCTCGCCCGGCGGCCACCTACATTAGTTGCTGTTCCAGCTGCAAAACTGCCATCCTCTGCCAAGGGCCATTTCTCAGGTTGCACCCAAAATGTTTCATTATTGGGCTTTCCTTTCAATACTCCGGATAAATCAAGGGGATCTGCAAAGGTCTTCCACTGAGATCGCCTATCAATCCAACCGGGACCCATGCGTTCTGTTTTCCCATCGAGGTCCAAGTACCGAGTCTTTACCCGCGGAAGGCATTGGGCAGGGTGCAATAAATTGAGCCAGAAGGTAAACAGGACCATGGGCACTGCTTCAAAAACAAAGATATACCACTCGTGGGTAAGAACGAAGTCGTTTCTAATAGCGGAACTGCAGCTGCCTCCTTCACACTTGGCAATAGCTTTGTACAAGGTAAACGACTCAACAGCACGACAAATGCAACGGACAATCACTAATGTCGATGTGCCGTATAGGGTAATACAGAGCCGGCGTACATTTGGTGGAACGGGGGCTCCGCCGTTGGCACAGCGGTAGTGGATCAAACCAACCATAGATACTAATATCGTTTCGACAACCGCCTGGAGAAGGAGAGCAACAGACATGAGGGTGCCTCCAGACTCCATAACATCGAATCTACCATTTGCAGCGGATATTTTAGCACCGCCAGCAGCGGTAAGACCTTCAACGAGAGCACCCAGGTAGACAAACAAGATGAGGACTCGATTTGGGTTCAGAGGCGTATGCATAGGTAAATAGTTCATCAGACGGCCGACAATGTTGTATGCGGCTGCCGAGTATATTGGAGGTCCCGCATAGATGAATATCGTTTGAACAATATATAGGTTCAGATTCCCGGTGTGGTAGCTTGAAACTGTTCGGGCTATCCATCCAATTAAGAAGACAAGGCCACCCCATACCATAAAAAAGGTGACCCTCCAGAACTTATAACGGCTACAAGTGATAGGGTAAATAAGCATTTATTTGAGGCACGGGGTTTTTGTATCAATAAACCTACAAGTTCTGATATAGATGTAGTATCAACGATATGCCAATGAGAGCAGAGAACACTGCGGGGGCGGCATGGCTTGGTTCATACAAGTAGTAGTTGGAGATTTCGACGCCCATTGTGCTGTCCACACCCATGATTGCACTGTGTCTGATTTTTCTGCGAGACGATTGACGAGTTTACAACGATAAGGAAGCTTTGGAGGTTGGAAGAACACATCATATTTATATTGAATAGATTCTAGATATCGCCAAGGAAGCGCCGTATAACTCCCGAATCGGCCACGTCTTAGCCTGATGAGGAGCCGCCTGGCATGGCATAACAAGGTGGGACACATACTGGGGAAGTTTAACGAGCGTTAATCAAATTTATATGCTAAATATATTTCAGCCGCCATATTGACCCGGCGGCTGCTGTACTTGTGGACCGTGACTCCAGAATACGTCGTTAGCAGCCCCCACGCGGGGCGGCTACAATATGCTGGCGGCGGCGGATCATGCCCTTTCTGGGAAGAACATGCCAAGATCAGGGCTGGAGAAAAGGTGGGGCACAGTGATGTAATGGTGGGTCGTCGGCCAATCGTCATCGAGTTAATGTTAAATCAGGCCGGACAAGGGGCAGTGAATACACAGCGGCACATAGTTCCTAATGAAGTTAACCCCAGCAGAATTCTAACCAATCATAACGCGACCTTGCGCATACTTCTTCACCGGACTCAGGAATATAAGTATCAAATGCAAAACCCTTGGGCATCAGTAATCAGTTAGAGTTAAACCAACAGCTCTAATCGCAAAGTGAGTTGGCTTCATCATCCAGTATGTAGAAGGAGCATGGATAGCAAAACCGAGAAATATATGGTATGTGGCGCAACTGAGAGTCTTAGAGAGCACTGACATAAATAAGCAGCATCAAGAAAGACGTGAAGAATCCGGCCAGTCTCTTCCACCATGTCCTGATACCACTGGTCAGGGAAGTAGCATCACTTCCAAATCCCTGCCCTGGCTATACCATGGACAGGCGCTATCCCGTACCCTTCGAGTGAAATACACCAGCTAGCTACAGTCCGGCCTCCAAGTGACCGACATCGACAATATAGATGCTACTCTATACACGGTGAAGAAAGAAACACTCAATTCGATATCGCAACCATTGAATTAGGCATGGTTCGCCCAAAGATAGAAATTTTCGTCCACGGGTAGAAAATCACACTTTCTATGAAAGCCAAGCAGCACTACGAGTCGACCTACCATTCACCCACTCTACAGAATGCTCGCCTGACTTGGAGCAGCAATAGCAACTTCAAGACTACCGATCTGGAATGTCAATGAAGCTTCGATGTCAATAGTCAAGGTGTACTCCATTCAATTGGAGCTGCAAAAGAGAGCACTAGATCGAGTTTTTTCGGAGACACCATAGTTCGAGACTCAATGGCCATGAACGAGATATTGGTAACAGGCCCTAGCTTTGGGCCAGTCCGCCAGTACTATGACCGATACCGTTTGCTACCAGCTCCGCAGCCTCGGCTCTTCTATAGCTATACCATACTAAGGCTTTTCGGTCCTATCTTCCTCCGTGACTATTTCTCCTTGTGTGTAAATTCAGTTTGGTGGTTCTTCTCTGCCATGTCTCGGGTTGCTTTCCTCTTTTGTCTTTGGTTTCTCTAATGTTATTTTTCTTCCCTAGGCCATCTTCGGTGTGATTGGATAGATTTATGTGGAGCTCATGCGATATTTAAGCTCTTGGCTTTTGGGGCCGCTGCTGCTTCTAGTTTAGCGTTATTCTCTTTCGTCTTCAGCCGTGGAAATCCCACCGCATGTCATTCATGTACATTAATAGATGCTGACGCCCCTTAGGATATAACGATGATAAGGATTATGCTTATATCGCCCACCTTAACTTTCTTTCTGGAAAAGTAAATATACACAACTAGCTGTCGTTGGCTTTGGTCGTTGAAATAAGCATACTTTGAAGAATGCCTGGTGTACCTTCAGGGCGTGCATGCGAAGGCTGCCGCAAACAAAAGAAAAAAGTATATGAGATTGTATCCGACCGTCATCATATAAAATGCACTAATGCGATTTAGTGTGATGAGAAAATGCCATCTTGTTCTCGATGCCTCCGCTTGAAAATGCCATGTATAGGCTCAGGCCAACGGAGATTCAAGTTCCAAGAAGAGCGCCGCTTTTTCACATCTCCCGACAATGAACAACAAGTTACCAAAAGTTCTTCCCCGATTCAGAGTACTACGAGATCAAATTCATCATCTCCGATCACCTGGTCAATCCCCAGCAATGAGCTGACATTCTTAACGAGTATCTTTATTCAAGCATTCAAGCCTTCAACTGACTTGAGGTACAATCTCATCTGGAACTATGGTGGTTTCATTGCAGATATTCCTCAACGCCTTGGTATAAACGAAGCTTTAGATGGAGCTGTTTATGCTGTTACTGCCGCACACTCTAGCTTTTGTCTTTACAAAGACATTTCAATTGAAGCCTTGTCGAGGTATTCTCGTGCTCTTCAGATGTTAAGACTGTGTCTGGATGACCCTATCAAGGCTGCGACCTCGGAGACACTTTGCGCAGTCATGTTACTGTTGATATGTCAGGTTAGTCGTTTTAGTAACCCCCCTAGAGCGCAAGCTTATCAAATATTTCCAATCTATCAGGCCTTCATTGGAACCGGCGGAAGATCTTTTACAGGCCACTGCGAAGGTGCGGCTCAAATCCTCAAAGCTCGCGGATACTCTACTCCAAAAGATGAGTTTGAGGCGAAATTAATACTATCCTTACGTGGACCTGTCGTATGCATTTTACCTATAACCTAGCCTGCTTCAACAAGTAACCTGACAATATTTCTAGCTATTCGAAGCCCTCTGGAACGATAAAATTGAATTGAGCCCAAATGAGTGGAGTTCTCTGGTCGAAAATGACTATGATACAAATCTTCCCGAAGGCCAACTAATGCTTATTTTTTCACGTGTTCCGTTCCTCATGCACCGCGGACGAAATGCTACCGAAGAAAGCGAATTTACAGCACTTCGTGAAGAGATCAGACCAATGTACGACACCTCCAGAAGTATATTGAGTGATATCCAATCATGCTATCATGACATCAACAGAATTCCAATTGCTGAACGCTCGCGATATCTTCACGCATATCATCAACGGATATATAGCCTTGCGTTAACAATTGTGACTGTTTTGAACTGTATATCAAGTGCGCTAGACCCGGGAAGCATTGATCTCCAATCCGATGCCATATATATGGTGAATGAGATTCTAGCTTTATGTGATGAATCTTCTGACTACCGGCCACTCGGGGCAAGCTGTAACATTCTGGCTCTCATGGTAGCCTATGTGGCCACCACTGATCCAATAACAAAATGCTTAGTCGAGAGTGCATTTACCGACTATCAGACTGATTATCCACAACGAACACTGGAAGGATATGAAGCATCACTAGAGATTGTGAGCAGACATTTGCGGCTTCTGAACTCAGAAGCCTAGAAGCTTAATGTAATCATCTTCTGAGGCATTACAGTGGATGGAAAAAGAATTTCTCTTAGGATAGGGAATCACACATGTATTCCAGTACGCCGGTCAGTCGCTGCAACAACTACTTACACCTACATTCAACGGATAGAATTCTTTGACTTTAAGATATATACCAATTTGTATATTATAACTTCTGTCAACATCTCTAACTACTCATCCATATATACTGTATTCAGGATGGCTATAATCTTGTGTACCAAAATTCCATTTTGTATACCTCGTTACTTCTGCGTTGCCGAAACGAATTAATTTAGTAACGGCTGCGTTAACCTACATAGGGTATTCAACGCAATTGTATACGAGACACAGCATTTCATACCTTGTCGAAGTACCGACTCATAATAGAAACCTCGAGCTTCGTCAATACTTTCTCGAAGGCGGTTCTGAAAATTGCGAGTAAATTCTTGGTGAACTTCTGTAACCGGTTGTCTTAGCCTTATGCTCTTTGGATTGTTTCTTATCTATTTGTGTTTGATATGAACGTATGCGAGATCTAAACATTATGAGAAGTCGTCGCTCATTTGTCCTGGTGAGATAAATATATGGCATAGCATGAAGACTGGCTCGAAACAGGCAGCTCTAAGCAAGTAGCCTAGCCGCGATGTTATTCATGATATTCGTGTCCAGCATGATTGAAAGTCCGGGCGGGTAGAAAGGAGGAGAACTCGCCGGCAACATGTCGCTGCAATTTTGCCATATTACTTTTTCCAACACCTCTTTGATGATAAGAACACTGCTGTTAGCACTCTTTCTAGCGACCCGGTCCAGCCAACTCCGCACTAGAATAATGTCGGACTTCTCGCATACAAGAGCGCCAATGACCGCTAGCGGCCACAAGAAGAATTTGCCCCAGGTCTTCTCAATGTCGCATTCTGTAGTGATCAACAATTCTCTTACCTCATTTATTGTCCGTGTAATTTCCGTATACCGAGACAGGTAGCTAGTCTCTATCTCCCAACCTACGCCATGGGAAGGGATTAATTGGAGGAATAGAAGCCGGATAGCTGTCGCATACAATTTTCCAATCCACCGTCGCGGGTCTTCATAATGCTGACAAACTGGGCCGAGAGATGATTGTGCCTTGCTTACATGATAGTAGCATGACCATGCAACCATGTTGTTATTTATTGAATCTGTGTTACCTATGCGAAATAATCTTATCCCTTGCATAAGAGCGACGAATATGTGATATGGAGCACCAAGTAGCGGAGACTGGATAGTAGATGACTGGATCGACATGGCGGTTTCCTGGTCGTCAATGGCACTAGGAGAGACCGATACATTTCTTTGAAACTTTTCTAATACCGCCAAAGTATCATCAATGAGGTCTGGCCGACTATCAAATAATGTCGTGACGGCGCTATGATAAATGTAAGATTCTACACACATGCGTTCCCATATAAGTTCCGCCGTTGCGGCATGCCTGGGGTCGAATGGTTGTCGCAAAAGGAGGATTTTGCACAGAGCAGCTGCATGGATGGCACTATGTTCGTGTCTTTCACCACGGGACTTCTATATATTCGTTCGCTTAGTAAATCCCGAGATGAAGTCATGTTCAACCCACCTCAAAAACACATAGCCAGATAACGGTCGCTAAAAGATAGTCTTCTCTTCCGCTCAAGGATCCGTTTGCTATTCCATTGGATATGTCGGACACTGCAGCCATGTAGAGTCTTTTCCCCAATCTTTGGTCCGCATCAAGATCTCTTCGGATATCTATCGTTGCACAAGCAGATACTGCATTTAGGAGAAATGGGGACTCCAGGCACAGATAGAACAAATAGGAGAGATCGACCGTCGGACTCCCATCTGCGGCTTGGTGGTATTGAGAAGGCAAGAAGCAGCGAAAGCAGAAATCGATCAGAACTGAGTCTCGATAATCAAATAGGGAATTGTATTGCCTCAGGTAGCTAGGCAGCAGTGAAGACGCGTTGCTAAAGCCGTTATGCCGGTCCGTTGAAGTGCAAGTGCGACGTTTTGCATTACTTTTGCTCTTGCCTTTGCGATATCGCAGACGACGCCCGTCGACGCGCTCTGCCGTGGGCCATTGGCAAGCAATATCGTTTCGAGCACATGCAAGGCAAGCAGGCTTCACTTCGTCGCACTTCTTCCGGCGTTGTCGGCCTGGCAGGATCAGGGATTAGTCGCTCTTGGGACCGATATTCGCATTTTGAAGAGAAACTAACATGGCAGACAGCCAGTGAGGGTCCTCAACCTCGCAACCATTTGACTGTTCTTAACGCACCTATCGTCTGCGCGGGAGAGCAAAATCCAGCAGACGACATGCAGAGGACAATAGTGCAGAGTAAATACACAAAATGGAGAGAAGGCAGAAGGCGCGACAGGCGGGGCCTCGCAATTAGCTGCCATTGGTCAAGACAGACTGACCAGTCAATGGGTTAGTTCAGTGGCGATAGTGATTAGTCGGTTAAACCTCCTCGCAGATCGAGTGCGTAGAATAAAATAAATCATCTAAGTCTATTTAACTATCGGAGTACTATAAACTATCAAAGTGTTATTTATTTGGACAAAGTATTATTATTGTGATTCACATCTCTGAATGTAGCATCAATACAGCTTCTCGAAGTTGTCACGTTTGTTCAGCCAGGTGCCTGAGAACACGTCATGAAGCGTCAGCTATTGGCGATGGTTATTAATGTGAGCAGATATGTTTCTGCGCATTTTTCCTTGGTTTAGATAAGTAGAATGACAGGGCTGCTATGATACTCTGCCTGGTTGGAGTGGACTATGACGTCAACCAACTTCCCCACAAAAGCTTGTTTTCTGCTCGTTTTCAACAGCGTACTTATTTCTATCGTTTCGAAGGCGAATTGGTTGTTTTAATACCTATTGTCTTGATTGTTGTGTGCTGCAGCTCAGATTAATCTTAGGAAAATTGTAACAACAATGATATCTGAAAAGCTCTACGAGTTTGCTCGTAGTGACAAGAGTGTGAGCTCTGAGCTTGCCAAAAACCCACAAGATTCTCCAGGGCGGATTGCACATCGGCTGTATGGCCACATCAAGCACGAAGGGGTTGGGGATGCGCCCCAGCCACCTCCCCAAGAGTCGGGGCATGATGCTTACTTACAGCGAGCACTAGAGTGTGGAAAATGGGGGAACCAGCGACCGACTGACCTTTTTCTAAAGGTAATTAACATATTGCAACCTTTATCGAAACGGTCCCATAGTTGACCTCAAAATCTAACCCGATGGCTATAGTGCTACTATGATGCTTTACTCTCCCTTGAGCACCGCCCTCTTGCGGGACTTGTGTCTCCTTCCTTAATGGGCAGCAGTGGTGTGGTGCCTCTGACTATCATCTCTACTCTTCCAGACATCAATCGCCACACTGCAAATTGCATTGTTCGAGCTAAGAAGGAAGTATTCTTAGCTACCAATTTTTGGATTCATTCGGATGCCTCGATGATTATTACAAATGCGCTGAGAGAGCTTTCGAGGCGCGCGGGCGAACGCGGAGAAAGGGTGGTGGTAAAAATCATATATGACCGAGGAAGTTTGAAGCAGGTAGTCAATGCCCTCGCCAGATAATTGGCCTTTCAGACTGTACTGACTTTTAATTCAGCTATATGAGAATCATCAGCACGTGTCACCAGCCGAATGGACCGGTTCTAAGGTCCAACTTCCTGCACCTGAAGAAATTCCAAACATAGACATGGAAGTTATCAACTACCATCGCCCCATGCTTGGGACTTTTCATGCAAAGCTATGTGTCATCGACAGAAAAATTGGCCTGCTCCAAAGTAACAATGTGCAAGACAATGACAACCTCGAAATGATGAGTCATCTTGAAGGTCCTATTGTAGATGCAATGTACGACCTGTTACTCATTTCTTGGAACAAACACTTTAATCCTCCCTTGCCAATGATTGGTAGTCCAGCGGCTGGCAGTGTGGCTACGTTAAGCCTTCAAGACGTGCCTGAATTCATACCCTCAAAAAACTTAGACTCTCCCAGCTTCATAACCCTGCGACCCGAAAAAGAGGTTATGCTCGAGTCTACTAGTAAAGACCCACATTATGATTCTAATTTGTACGAAGAGGCGAAACGAGTTAACAGTCAGCTGAATCCATCCGAGGGGGAGACTGGACGAGATGCTACCGCCCGCCATTTAAGTATATATGCCTTTTCACGGTAGCAAGTATCTTTGAATACTAACATATACAGACAAGACAACACTTGGCAATAATAAGGTGGCAACTGAATATGTCCCCACAAACGATGGTCCAGACATTTCCGAGGATGATGAGATGGTTCCATATATTTTACCTCCTCAGCATGAGGCAGTTCCCATGGCACTCATCAGTCGGGAACCAAATGGCAGTAAGTATAAATATTTAATTAATGGTACTTGACTTCTAACATCACCACAGCTCCTCACAACTCCAATTATCCCGTCCCCCAGAACGCCGCCTGGCTCGCTGCAATCGCAAATGCTCAAAGGTCAATATTTATTCAAACTCCTAATATGAACGCTGAGCCAATCCTCAAGGCTCTATTAACTGCAGTAAAGCGTGGCATTTCTGTTACTGCGTACGTGACGCTCGGGTACAACGATGGAGGCGAACTACTACCGGGTCAGAATGGAACTAATGAGATGGTTGCAAATCGGCTATACTCTTCTCTTGAATCAGATGAACACAAGTCGAGATTGAAAATATACAATTATATTGGAAAGGACCAGAAGGTCCCAGTACATAATAAATGGAAGTATCGTAGCAGTCATGTCAAGTTGATGATCGTTGATGATGCAATTGCCATTCAAGGTGGGCTCTCTTTTTATTCATGTTTCTTATAATTCTCCAAACATCACTAACTCTAGCACATAGGGAACGGAAATCTAGATACCCAGTCTTATTATCATTCCACTGAGGTAAATATCCTCATCGACTCGCCTGTTATTTGCAAGGCATGGCGGGATGCTATAGAGCGAAACCAAAATACTTCAAAATACGGTCTTGTGGATTCTAAAGATGGGTGTTGGCATGATCCAGATACAGGTGCCATACCAGAAGGTTCAATTGGATCCGACCCGGGACGTTTCAGTTGGGCTAAAGGAGTGGTTGGAGCGGTGCAGCGTGTACGAGGCGTAGGCGGTTTTTAATTCGATTTCGCGTCTATCGAAAAATGTGCTCATAAGCTCGAAATCTACTTGTCAATCCGGGCGAAGCCCTGATTAATGTTTTCTCTCCCATCTAATAGGAATTAAAATGTGTGACTGATTTACTATGCGTGTACATTGCGAAACGAGTATTTAGAATTTCGATGATTATGTCTATGTGTACAAAATTCTCTAATGATATTGTTTTTCTTGCATCATATGCGTTATCAATTGATGTACAGTTGTATAAATCCTCATATACTTTAATATACTAGGATGCAGCATCTAAAGCTCGTTCATTTCGTTCTAGAATGGCTTTTTCTTCGATTATGCCGCATTACACCCTTTATTCCCCTCTCTTCTTAATGAGGTATATTCCAGGTAGATAAGGGAAATAAGTTTAACTTAACAATATTTGGTGACTCAGCCAAGGACATAAGGCTTCTAATTGGCCCCCTGGCGGGTTTTACAACGCGGTTCTGCTTGCCTATAAGCAGCCACATTGCCTAAGGAATGGCATTCCGGAATGCAACGCGTCTAGGCTCCAACTCCGAAAACATTGCCCGTAGAGCTCACATGAAGCATAATCAAACTTTCATATACTTCTTGCTTTTTGCGTTTTACATTTTAATCTAATCCTTGCAACCCAGTTAACTATTTGAAAGGAAAGAAGGAAAAAATGAAGGCATCATTTGTCATCTTAACCTTTTTCGCATTCGCCTGGAGTGGCCTAGCCGACAAAACCTGTACTCCCAGCTTTGATTACTGTGCTGAGACGCTCATTGAATCAAAAGGTGAGTTGGTTCTTCATAGAAACATTTGGCCACTTTTCTTTACAATTCAAATTTTAACGGGACAAAAAAAATAGGATTTACCGAGAACGACGTGAAGGAGGTTTTGAATGGAACCGATTATGAAAATGAAGACCTAAATGATGTTTTACTACATTGCATGAACCCAGGACAAGTCGGACATGCCAAGCTGTGTTCTAGTGGTTGCAAAGAGCCAGCAACAGAGGGTAGTCATGGGTGCTGAATTGAACTTGAATGTAGGTACACACGTAAGAACTTCATGGTAACATATGCTAATGGAAACTCAAAGACGTGAGCCGCTCTAGAAATATTCCAGTAAAAATAATTCGTCCCATTGAGAAAGCTTCCTCTACATGTATTCAAACCCCCATAAAATAAGAGTTCTCCACATTTAAGCGATGGAAATACTGCTGTCTTCATCTTGCTAGTAGTATTCCATATGAGGTAGCAAGGTGCAGTGAAGACACCTGTTAATTGAGTGCTGTGGTACATCTTCGATCTTGATAGCCAAGAGAAAATATATCGCGAGACACATTTTTCAATAATATCTTAAATGTTGGAAAATACAAATTGCAGTTGCGCGATATGCCAAACTCCATGGATTACTTAACGAGCATAAAATTATTTACACATCTATCTTTTCTTTGGTGGTCCCAACGTGCCATTTGCAAAATTCCTCCACGTAATTCGACAAATCTGTCCGTGATTGACTCAGTTAATTTGATCAGCTTTAACCGTGTCATGTGACTGTATATGTATCGTCGTGATAGTTTCGCAGAGCTTCGATTCTCGTTAAACTCCGCGGCGCCTGCCTGCCCGTGTACATTTCGAATTCAGTGGTGGCGCGTATAACTAGGTTGTCCAAACCATCGACAGTTACCCAGCCTTTACTGGCTTGGTCATGAGCTTGACGCAGGATCGGTGTGATTAAAGGTCGGTAATTGAGATCAAGAATCACGCCTCCAGTGGTACTTTTCATCCACTGAATAGGAAGGATAAATTGTGTATCTAGGTCTGTATTGGCGGGTTCCATTACTGGCAGGGATGAAATCACAATGGTAGGCTGCTTTAGATCAGCATACCAGTCTGCCTGGATAGAGTCAATGATTCGGATATCTGTCTTCGAACCCTCGCGATCTGTATGATTTCGTTCGTCAAATTCACGAAAATGGATAGCAAGCTTATGGGCATCTGAGGCCTTAAAGCTATATATGACAATATTTGAGACACCCAATTGCAGTAATGAATATAGTGCGGCATAGGCTATCCCACTGGCACCAGCAATTAAGGCCGTGCTGTTCTTCGTAATCGCATTTGCTGGTGAGAGATTTCGTCTAATGCACTCACTGATGCTAACCCAGTCCGTGTTTTCCCCATATAATCCAACAGAATGGCTTTGTGTATTTCGATTCCTCCAGAAATCCGGTGGGGGTACAGTGATGCCCTCAAATAACCGACAACGAATTGGTATGAGAGTATTAATAGCGCCTATGTGCTTTGCATGCTCGCTTAACGACGAAGCGAGTGGCAAGAGAGACACTTTATATTCTGGCGTAACAATGCTAATGCCACCCAGAAACATGTCATTCTTGGCCTCAGGCAATTTACTAGTTGATATGGTTTGTACGGTGTGCGGAAACCCAAAAAAACGATGCGCCGCTCTTTGTACATGAGGAAAGCGGCATTTGGACATGTCATTGCCGAGAACGTAAAAGTTTCTCGGTTCATAAATAAAGGAGGCGTACAGAGCGTTGTGTAGGGCCTGTATTGACAATTCTGGATGATAACCCTCAAATCCGGGAGCCGAAACAGGTGTCAAAATCTCATTCTCACATCGCGAGGTACGTCCCAAGGGCCCGGTGTTATAAGCAACAAGAAATTTCCGCCCAATTCGGTACCGAGTAGCTTGGACTTTGAAAGCGGTGACCGCAGAATTATCCTCAACATGACTTCCGACTTGCGTAAGTCTGATCCCATCAAGTCCAGGTATGGCAGCAGCCTTTTCCAGCATCTCCCAGCGCTCCCCTTTAGACCAGCCCTCAGATCCTGGGTTGTCATCGTGAAAGACCCCCAGAAATCGTGGCGACCGTTGATGTGCCACCAACTCAGATATTGCCTTAGAACAAAGCCTCAAGTCCACCGTCAGGTAGTCAACGCCGATTCTTGACCCATGACGAAACATATTAATGTATTGGCTCGTGTTTAGAGACAAAGATGAGGGAACATGAAGATGATATATGACGGGTCCATAAAAGAATCGTGTCAGTATAGCATGCGCCTTGCTGATCCTATCTGTCAACTCCAAAATCGGATAACTTTCCACCTCCGTGAGGTTTATATCAAGCTGGCAAACGTCGGCACCGCAGTCTAGAGACTTGACGTCAAAGCTGGGTGAGTTTATTTGTGTGAGAGAGACAATTAGAAGATAAGTTCTAAGAGACCTTGAGGGAGGAAGTGATAGCGCATCATTGCGTGACAAATTATGTCGTCCCAATTGTAATATATTTCTAAGGAACCGCACAAAACTCTCCTCCGTCCGTTTGAGACGAAGTGGGCGAGGATGTCGAGCCATACTAGAGTCATAGTTGCTAGCTGAAGAGCTTTCTAGCTCTTCTTCATCTAAATTGAAAAATTCGAAATGCGAGGACGCTCTATAAACCAGATTTTGCAGCTCCAAATATCTCATTAGCTTGTCTGGATCTGGAGCTTTAAGATATGTTTGTATTGCCGTAGCGCTCCGTGCAACATAGATGATAGGGTGGTATCTGGCATACTGCTCAAGGACGGAATAGGCTATCTTTCCCACACAGCCAGGGGGCCACACTATAACTGCGTTTCGAGGGTGCTTTTCGAATATTTGGTGGATTATTGTCAATTCGGCTGGACCGCATTCACCCGCGTTGCTCTGCCAAACATGCGCAGAAAGAGACTGGCCAAATTTGAGACGAACAATGTCATCGATATCGACGTGTTTGAAAGCAAATGAGCTCCACGCAATAGTTGCCAAGCTGGATTTGCCGGCACCTCGAGCGCCTATTAAGACGATAGATGAGCCTGTCGGAAAGTCGTTTCTAACTGCTAGCGACATAGTCCTTTCCCTTTCTTCATTTTATGCTGATATTTTGCACGTAATTGCGATCCAACACGCTTGATTACAAGCAGATGTATCAATAATTAGATGCAACTCCAAGTTAATGCTGATTAGTGAGCAAAAGTGGAGCTCCCGGAATTGTGCAACTCCGGGGATTCCTACCCAGTCGATGTCAAGTATCTGGCTCCTACCATCCTCAGAAATACAAAGCACCTTTGTTTGGAACCGCGTAGATGCCTGAATGTGGCAATTTGCATTATGGACTCCATCCAATCTTCTCAACATACGCGCCAAGGCAAAGACGAAGCCACCCGATCCCTGCGTAAACCGTCAACGCGGGTCCGTGTCAACGCCGGGAAATCATCAAATTCTGGGGTGAGAAATATCAAATTACCAACTAGACGAATATCGCGAGCCTGCGACTTGTGTCGTTTAAAGAAGCTACGGTGCAATGGTGTTCATCCAACTTGTGAGGCATGTTCCATAAGCGGCCAGGACTGCACATATGGAATCCGAGCTAAGAAACGCGGCCTTCCGACTGGTTATGTTCGGATTCTGGAAGCCTTATGGGGTATAGTTTTTGAAGTTATCCCAGACAGTATGTCGACGGTTTTGCAGCTGCTACAGAATGCAGACGTGGTTTTAGACCATGATGATAAGGTTACCCTTTCTAGTCATCATGTCACTTCCGCGGATGGCTTGCGACAAATCTGGGCCAGGAGCTCAGTGCGGCGGGCCATCGACGAAAGGGTCTTGGAAATAGAAAAAGGAGAAGGGTTATTACAACAAACTAAAACAACAGACACCAGTCTTAGCTCCTCGAACTTTCCGAGATGGGAAGCTCCTCTTCAAATACCAAGTGATAATCTTGGAACGTCTCCCAAAGACACCGGAAGTGTGGCTATTGGTAGAGAAATGCACCACCAAAACTATCTCAATACTACGAATATCTTACTGGAAGATGGAAGTTGTGTACTAGAAGGCTCTGGGTTTCAAAAAAAGTCAATGCTCTCGCTCCCTGTTGATGCTTGGTCCCTCGTTGACGCCTATAGCCAATACATCAACGCCTGGCTTCCAATAATTCCGAAACATCATCTTGTGAGAATATTGAGCTCCTATGAAGATGGATCACACTGCTCAGTACCTGAAATAGCATTGATGTGGGCTGTATTTGCGCTAGCATCTAGCGAAATGCGGAAGGATACAACAAACGTGAACGAGACACAGCGATCACGTCGCTATTATCATCATGCCCTAAAGCTAACATCGGTTGACAACATTACTGATACTTCAAATCTTCATCTAGTCTTTATAATCCTCGCAATGCTAGATATGTCCGAAAATAAATGGCACAACGCTTCTATGTTAACGGGCAACGCGGTTCGCTACGCTCTCGTCGTGAATACCAGAGTGGGTGTGTCTAGCCTTTCTGCGAGAAAGGATTTTGGCATTCTTGGTGCATTTGTCATGGATACCCTTATTTCAGCTCGTATAGAAGCTCTTCCTCATCTCCGCAGTAATGATATCCGCCAGATGATAGAGTTTGACGTGCAAGGACAAGAGGAATGGGATCAGTCGCCTGGGTGCCAACAGCCATTGCGAAGTCTTAGTACTTTTAAGGAATACATAAAACTTCTTATGATTCTCAACGACTACACCTGTTATTTATGGCAGTCGAATCACGTGGCTGCTTCAAAGCTGTCTTTGTCTCTTGAATCATGGGTATTCAATCTTCCGAGGCATTGCAATTTCGGTTCTGCGTCACCTGGTAGTGATCAACAATTAGTTATGTCGCTACCTGTGGCAAATTTGGGACTTGCGTTTGATATTGTCTTCTTCTATATCCAAGCAGGCGCTCAAACTGACTTGCTAGCCCGACCTGTCAGTGAGGGGTCACACCGTAATGTATCTCGATTGAAGGAAGCATACGTTAGCTCATTCCAAGCTTTCCAATGGAGAGGCATACTGAGCCTTCACCGCCATGCATTTTCGATCAAAGATGGTAGCTCAGCAAGTCTAATCTCAGATAGCCCCAGGCTTGGTATCGAACAGAAAGATATTAGAATTATTTCCAGTGATGTTGCTACCCCGGAACGGCTAGGTGGTCAAAAGTCAATTGGATCATTGATCGACGAGCTTTCTTCTATCCACGACGGAGCCGAATATGACACCCAGTCCAGCCAATTTATGTGGGACCTTGGATTTTATGACCAAAATTTGCCTTTATCATAGGTAGACTCGATTAATTTTGAGCATTCTGCAGTAAGTGCTTGCAGGATAAAGATATGACCTTACTCTCAGTGCCGCCACTTCGTTCTCTTGTTAGGGCATCATCTATAGTGGGTCCTATAAATAGCTATAGATGCCATACCGCATGCCCTTCGAATGCCGACATATTTGATATCAATTGATTCCTGCATTTCACGTAGTTCTCTCAATGTTCTCAAATTTCAACAAAAATAATGTGGCTGTATCCTCTCCCCCAGCTCCGTACTGAATTATCGCATGGAGGCCGCCATTTCTACAGAACAATTGCCCGGAGACCTTTAATAGTCTCGTGGACAAATTTCTTGTGAAGGGTAGCCTCTACAAAATCCCTTACATATAATGCAATGGTTTCAGGGTTCATGGAGCAAGTGGCAGGAAGGCACTTAAATATACTATAAATGCATTGTACTTCTGATTATGGAAGTCTACCGGTATATGTACTGATCGACAAGCTTCCCCGGTGCAAAGGTAATTATCTAATCAGTAGATCATTTGGAGGGCAATCCACTAGAATAAATCTAAAAAATGATAGATTAATAACTCAATATAGCTTTCATTCACTCAATATTAATTTATAGTCAGGTTATATGTCCAGGAATCCCACTGTCCAAAGACTCATGTTGACTGTGGTCTGCAAAGGATACCAACTTTCCTAAAACGGCAAACTCAAGCTTTAGCTTGATACTATAGACAAGTGTCTTAAATGAGACCTGCATATAATAGATATTCAGGAACTCCATCACCATGAGAGCTATGTCCAATAGCATTACCACCAGATTCAGTGCCAGAAGCTCATACATTATCTTTCTCCGACGCCTGCCTTGCCTCGGGTTGAGGCGAAGTAGCTTGATCGTCTCATAAATATATAGGCTTGAGATTAGAAATTCCTGGACACAAAATCCGGTTAATTGCAACTTTTCCATAATTTCATATGCCCGGTTCCATGAGTATGATCGCAAGAATGCAGATCCATATGTCGTGACCGTTGTGGGAATGATAAGGACAATAGAGTTGGTTATGACTGTGTAAAGAATAGCACGTAGACCACGCTCGTTGTAGAATACGAGGTGAAGTCGCGAGTAGAGAACTAGCGACTGGAATGGAACCATTGCATAAAACCCGATTGTCGTGATGACCAAAGCGACTGCTAGTGGGCCGACTGTGAAGAAATGTAGCAAAGAGCCGACGCTAAGAGGAATGACACCGACCAAAGTCGATATGAGTATCGACCAAAAGTATAGGCCGTGATATTTATTGAATGTTAAAAGAATAAGAATGATCAATTCAGTGGCGTTATATAAAGCCAAAGATAGAAAAACTCCGACAGTTATCTTCACAGCAAGGCTGCTGGAGGAGACACCATTGACAAGCCCAAGCGGGATGTTATTTGAGCTGGCCATCTTGACAAGGGCGTTGACTGATCAACCGTCAAATATGACTCCATTGGATATATGAGCAACAATTTGGTATCTGCCTACTGCAGTGAAATTGTGTCAATTGTCAATTTAGGAGTACAGTGCCGAATCCGTTTATAGGCACATTTTCCGTCCGAAGCGGCGCCGCTGAATATCTTCGTGAGATGCCGCAGAGCTATGAAAATTTGTGGCCACTTATTGCCGCGACTAGTGACATTTCATCACTGTAAATGAAGAGTTTGCCGCCACTCAAAGGCAGAAATTCCAAGTGCAGGTTCACGGCCAATGCGACTCGTGCGAGTGACCAGCCACCAACGCGGATATAAAACCTGAAACTCGAGGACAGTCATGGGTACCGTTAGGCCTCCTCTTACAAAGTACAGAGTCAGAAACTGAAGCAGATCTTCTTCAAGCTTTGAGAATTATCTCAACGCCACCGTCAGCCAGTCGCCCACCTCGGCTTTTAATCGCTGGGCAGTTAGCATGTACTTTGGGCGCTGCTATGATTGGCTGTGTAAACAATTTATGTGCTGTGGCGCAAGTGCTAAAGCGAATGGGAAATAGTATTTAAGAGAAAACCGGGGCGGGTTAACCACCTCAAATTCTAAGTTTGTCTGAGGTTATTCTGATTGGTGAGAAGTGATCAATGATGCGGTCTTTATTACATATTCGTCCTAGCAGCGACCCGCAGCATTCTCCAGATTTATTACCAGTCATGACAAAGTCAAGTACGATAGAAAACGATCTATTATATTTCTTACCAAGGCTATTTATATACAGGCAACAGGAATAGCGCATTGAATATGTATATCTAGCTTTTAATACGTGCTAGTTATGATAGTGTACGTATTTATATTAATTGATATATGAATTAATTTAAAATGCTTTCTTTCAGAATGCCAGTTCAGAAAAGTTAAACTATTTCTGAGCTCTGCATGAACGAGCATAGGCACAAATGACTCCTGCGATTGTTTCACTGCCGCGTAATAGAGACGTCGCATCTTCACTCGGAAATAAACTTAAATATTTATTCGCAGAACGCGAGTCTCGATAGTTTAGCCAGCCGTGAGGCATCGCAGGCTCAATATGAAAATCAACTAAAACGCCATCTTTTCTGGCAGCCTCCACGAAGTCAGATACATCTGAAATTAACAAATCATTACCACCAATAGTAACCCACGTCGATGGCAAAATGTCAGCCCAATGCATGCCTTTGGGGCGAGGAGACGATGCAAAATTAAGAAAGTCGGCGAATACCAATCGCCCATCTTTTCCAAGAAGCCAGTCAACGCCACGGTCTAGATCTTCTTTGTCGAGGCAGTCACTGTACTTATTCGTGTGGAAGCTAGAACCCGAATTGCTCAAGTTGACCCAAGGGTAAAGTAGCCCGACTTTGCCGGGTCTAGATATCTCTTGTAGATGTAAGCCATATGCAAGCGACAAAGCCAAGTGTCCCCCAGCTGACTCTCCTAAGACGAAGATACTGTTAGGATTAATTCTCTCCTCTTTAATCAGGTATCTGTAGGCGGAAATCGCCTCCTCCACCTGCGCTGGAAATTGTGCTTCTGGGGTGAGAGAGTATTCCAATGCAAAAATGCTTATGGTTAGGTTCTGTTCTTCTACCATTTCTGCGATCCGCAACAATCGAGCCACTCCAGCGAGTGCTGTTCCAGTTATATAGCCACCTCCGTGCAGCCAGAGTAAGACAACATTTGATTTACATGGCGGCTTCTGGGGACCTTTGATTGATCCTCTACATACCCAATATCCCTCAAAATGTGGTTGCCTTGATACCTTTTCACATAGCACCGGGCTTCGTTCTGAAAACCGATGCGAGGCTCGTATAGCAGCGAGATGGTCTTGCTGTCCAAGTTTTCGTCTTATAGACAACGGCATCATTCGTAGCCTATAATAAAACAAGACATAAGCCAACGTCCTAAATATCAAAGGCCAACATAGATTCTTTTCTCCTTCAAAAGGATCTTTAAATACCTGCGGACGAGTGCCAGCAAAACGTCCTGTGAGATGCTGTAATCACTTGATCTCAGCAAACGCGTAGCCAGGCAAGAAACCACGATGCTCGGGACGACAAAGGGCACAGCGAGATAGAATACTAGCCTATCCCGTAAAGACACCTCCTTGTAGCTGGTCACCGCCATGACTTCCTTTGGGTTGTTTGTTGGTCAGTCTCAGAAAATGGATGATTTGTAAATGTCCCTTAACATTTTCGCATTCAATCCAGCCCTTGAGCGCACATAACGCATATAATTTATGCAGAACACGTGCTATGCCATATACGTCGTACTCATGCGACACATGCGCCTCTAGCGTGGCATTTGCAACTAGGCTCATATCAGAAGCGCCTTCCCACCATTCATCGCAAGATTTCTCCACATCTGTAGCGCTGCAGCAGCACACTGACGTACGTGTTTTGCGTTATGTTTCTTTTCCGATGTTTGATTTTGCTTTTTCATCACCGGCCGCCGGTGAACCCTCATTTAGGTACCTAACCTAGAAAAAATATCACCCTCCCCCCGAGGGTTATCAAAATATTATTAATAATCCCGGAACTATCAATAGTGATATTCAGTATCCATACCACTAGGGTAGTTGGATGTTCGGTACGTTTTGTTAAACCATATCTGACCTGACCTATCACGACAGCTGGTTCCCATCGCTAAATTTTGCATTATGAACACAGTTGCCATTCGCTAGGTGGCAACAAATCTGCTGTACTCCTGGCACTCTAATCTTCTTTCAAGCGTTTGATTGGAACGGTTTGGAAGTTACCCAAAAAATCAAAAAGAAAAAAAAAGGAATGGGCGCGTGATCAAAAACACGAGAGAGTCATCCAATAATCAGATATGAAATCCTTTTTCCTAATCCCTGGAACGTAGGCCTCCAATTGGGCCCTCCCATACTCCGGATGGGAACTATTCGTGACTATCTTGCCAGCACAGCCCCTGCGGGGTAGCCGAGACTGAGCGCGATCCAAGTTTGACCCTGCGTCAATGTCATTGTATCAGATCGATTACATAGCCACACCAATCGATGCTTTAATTGAAACTGCAGTGGTTGACCCTGAAAGGATGCTATCTGTTACTGATCCGATCTGCCAAGACGACTCAAATTGACACGAGATATCCTCCTTGGTGCGAATAAGAGTCTCACCACATGAGAATGGAAAAGCATCAGCCTTCTTCTGGTCCTTTGCTGGGAGCTGCAGCCGTAGCTTGCGTGTCCTGCCGGAAGTTAAAGGTTCGCTTTGCTAGCCGTTTATAACTGAGGATTACTCGTGGCTAATGCCTAAATACAAATTCCACAGATGAGATGCGTCGGGGCTGCTAATCCTCCATGCGCCCGATGCCTTAAGCGTGATCGTGAGTGCGTAGTTCGCCTTCCAAATCGCCATCAACGCCATATCCAACGCTCTACTATTCCGGTTGATCGTCTCAATCATACGGCTGTTAGTTCGAGGCGTTCTCCAGCAGCCAGTCCTTCTTCAACATCGCCAATTCCACCACCTACTGTTAATATTAACTCCTATCATCCGCCCGACTGGCCATCGCCTAAGCAAGGCAGTCTGCCGAGTACTCATCCAATTCTACCTTCCATATTTTCCACCTCACCAATCACCATTGCCACGGTAAGAACTTCAGAGAGTGATAACCCTCATACAAATGCGTCTATTTCATCCACCCAATTAGAACCAGATCAGATCTCAGATTCACTCATCATAGATCTGGTGGAATTGTGAGCCGGCAAACGAATCATATGTGCAAGACTGGTGCTAACTAACATAACCCTTCATTTTAGTTTTATCCAGAGATTACTATTCTACGTCCCGGTTCTGGCCTTGGAACCGTTAGATGACATTGATTCTTTGATAACCAGGCGACGGCCCCTTGCTCATGCGATGGCGTTCGTAGCCTCAACCTTTACTCTAGGTTATACTGCAGCGCGCCAATATTTGCTTCCATGTATATTGAAAATCCTGGAGGAGGCAAATAGTGATATGAATTGCAACGAGGAAGATAATTGGACTTTACTGCAAGCGCTTGCAGTACTCTATGCATATCCACGGGTGACCGCGGTATCTAGACATGTCGAAAAACAAATTAACCCGTGGGCTGTAAAATCTGCAATTGAAACAAGGGCCATGCAAGTTTCACTTCATGAATCCGTGGAGAACCTCAACAATCTCATCAAATGCCATGAACCGGAAATAATGTCATCACATGCATATCGTCGCACGTTCTACTGGCTTTGGTTATTTGTCAAATCTCGTCACCACTCTATACTCACCAGAACACCGCCTACGATACGCAATGACTCGACCGTTGCCTCAGCAATAGATTTACTTCTCTCTTTAGATTACCGACCGAGTGTATGGAGAATTGCAGCAGAAACAGCTCTTCATCGTGTATGGGATCGGGCTGCTAGTGTCCATAAAGGCTTGGCTGAATGGTGGTGTGTCCCTCCTAATACCAAAGATATTGGCTCCTTACTCGAACTTCTCGAAAATGCCGAGACGTTGCTGCAAGACTGGGAAGAAACTTGGTTACAGCCTAGTCAATTCAGTACCCCCAGCGCTATTGATCCCAACAATCTTGATGTATCAATTTTAGGAAATTCGCTTACCACCTTCATGGGTATCCTAACTCGCTTCATCATTCTTTCGTTTGCAGCACACGTCGTTTCGCATCAATTAGCTGCCAAGAGAGGCTCATCTACTATTTCTTCGACTACAGCGCAGACACCCGAGCTACGTAATTTTCTAAATTGCGTGTTAAAATCGTCAGAAGCAGCTAGTAAATGCTGTGATAGCATTATTGACTTAAAACCCGCCGCCAGGGAATTTTTAAGGTACACTCCGGATTATGGGTTTACCATGATCTCTCTCTGTTGTCTTCACCTGGTATATGCATACAACATGTTTCCAGACAATCTGACATTAAAAAACTATCTCTTAAAAGTCGAACAGGTAGCTCACCTATTGATGGAACTGAATGCGGGCAGCAATACATGTCCGAAAACTTATGGTGAATATGTCTTGTTTGACCTTCGCCAGAAAGTTCAAAAAGTCAATGCTACTTTCGCTGAAAGTAATTTCACGGACGATGAAGTCACGAATGGTCTTCGACTGGATTACACTTCGAATTACCAAGACCTATCATTAAATGCTTGTGCAGATCGCAATCAGTTAGAACCTCTTCTGTTTCATTTTGGTCTGGCGACTGAACATGTTCCGGTGATTAATGACTTAAATTATGAATGTAACTCATTTCTGCAAAATTCTGGATTCCCTGACCTGTTGGACATGTATCCCGACTTTCCTCTAGAGTCATCGCAACACCGGCTATAACTTTGATTGCAACTTATAGGAAACGTTAACAATTTCACTTTTCCAACCAGTATTTCCCAACCAATACACTCTCAATTTCTTCTGGTCTTCCCGGTGTTTTAGCCCTCTAACTCCCAGTTTGAATGTTTGCCCTGGGACAATGTCGACCCCATTATCGTCCCATTCAACGGCATTCTTTTCATTTTCAAAGTCCAAATAGACACATTTCATAGGAACCAATGAAGAAAGCTCCACAATAGACCTCACTTCCTCCCCTACAAGCTTTAGGGTCATCCCCCCCCTTCATTAACCAAAGGGACTTCCTTTAGCGGTTCATGGAAGTTGACACAACGAGCTATAATATGTGTTTCGGCGAATGATTCATCAATCGGCAATTGATCTGCTTCAGAAAAGAGATGAATCACAAACACCACTTCGTTCCAATTGTATTGCGGCCCGCCATCCATCTCTGTGCTAAACTCTATTTTACCCAGCTCAGTGCTCCTATTAGGTGGCAATTCCATACTTGTGGATACTTTGTGGTTCCAAAGCTTTCGCCCTGTCTTGACATGCCAAGCTTGTACCTCATAGTTAATGTGCAACTGATGCAAAGTCATGTTAGATGCCCATGCTTCTAACTCTAGTGATGAGTCATTATTGAATTTACGAGCCAAAGCGACCGTTATAAGCCGATTTTCTCGTTTCACTGCCCAATAAGCTATCTTGGGGCGGAGATCAGAATCCGCAATTGCCCATGACGACACTGGCCAACAGTCGTTGAGTTGCCAAAGTAGAGCTCCCCCACAATATTCTCGGCCTGGACCCTGCCATTGCCGTCTCCATCCTCGTAGAGCAGTTGAAATACCTTCTGACTGTATCAATTGTGAACAGTAAATGTATCCCCGGAGTGACTGGTCGTCAAATGAGATGTTATCCTCGCCATATTTAAGAATATTTTCTGGGCCGCCCTTGCCTTTGTTATGCCACACCATATGCTCATCTGTTGTATAATTCCGGCAATCATCCAAAGCGGGAATCTGGTCTGCAGGGTAATACTTCTTAACTGCATTATAATGCGGTATAGATTGGAGACCAAATTCGCTGACAAATCGCCCAACGAGCTGGGGATAATTCTGATAGGGAAATTTGTCCAGGTGCCAGACGTGCCACTGATGGATATCACCGTCAGTCGTGTCGTTACAAAATGAGCCTCCGAATGGAGAGCTTGGCCAGTATGGCACGTCAGGAACTAGTTCCTTACACACCTCCGGCAAAAGAATCTCATAGAATAATCTCGCCGGAAACTCGGATTCTTTGATCTTCTCCGGGTCAGTTTCAGTTGGATCGTAAGTCACTTTATTCATCAGTATCTTGGCTATATGTGCGATCGCATAATCCTCATTGTTCCCACACCAGAGGGCAATGGACGGATGATGTCTCATCCTGATGATATTTTGCCGTGCCTCCGCAACAACAGTCTCCTCAAAAGTGGGATATGCTGGATATATTCCACATGCAAACATAAAGTCGTGCCAGACTAAGATTCCCAATTCGTCGCATGCGTCGAAGAATGCATCTTGTTCATATATCCCCCCACCCCAGACGCGAATCATGATTTGGTTGGTGTCTTTGGCCAGCTGTATCCACCTACGGTATCTCTCATCGGTCATCCGGGGTATGAATGAATCTGAAGGAATCCAACAGGATCCAGATGCGAATATCGGTATGTCATTGACCCGGAAGAAGAAACTAGACCCTTGTTGATTCCGCAAAGGACGTCGGACAAGATCCAACTTGCGGATACCTATCTTCTTCTCAAGAACATCCAGGACTGTTTCTCTTGAATCAACAACAACAGGGTCATTCTTATTGAACAGGGTAACCCTGACAACGTATAGATTTTGTTCGCCTAGGGTCCAGGGCCACCAGAGTTTTGGGTCTTGTATTTGTACGACAGTTGATGCTTTCGCTTCATCATTCATGGATATAGTTCTAGATTGAACATTACCAGCTTCTTGATAAATTTCAATTCTTGCACAATCTGCCTTTCCATCTACCTTGAAGGTGATGTTAATGGTGGCCTGCATGTGGTCTGGCCCGAGATTTGTCTGCACAGCCAGGTCTACTATTCGGGATTGATACGCTTCGAGATAGATTGGTTTCCATGGGCCACAGTCTGTCAATTTAGGCCCCCAATCCCAGCCCTAGTCTTGCTTTAGTGAAGAAATGATGAATGCAAATTTTGACTAATACTAACGTAATGATATTGCGCCTTTCTCGTTGCCAAGCGGCTGTTACCAAAATGAAAGCTAAACCAGCTATTCTCCGGATGATTTTCCATTTCTTTCGTCGCCCTCTCCTCGGCATTATGAAAAGTAATCTGAAGTACATGTGTCTCATCTTGGACTATCTGAAAGGAGGGTTGAAAATGATCTGTGATGTCGACTCGATGGCTCAAAAACATGTTGTTCGTTTCCAGAATTACCTTTCCGTCCAACGTGACTGTTGTATAGGTATCTAGACCCTCAAAAACTAGATCCATTCTCTGGTCTGGCTTATGTATATATAAATTTGAAGGGAATTTGAAGCGATTTTCGTAAATCCAGCTCTTTTGGCCAACCCATTGTACAAGGTTTTCATTTTGGGCTAGAAAAGGATCTGGTATTGCGCCATTAGCAAGGAGATCAAGGTGGATGGAAGTAGGCAGAGGTTGAGATGGCCGCCAATTTTCGGGGTCCGCATCATCACACGCCCTATACCTCCAACCTTGATTAAACGAAACCTTTTGCTTTGGCATAGCTAATATATAAATATTTTCTGAATGTTCCCGCTTGTCTGAGAGGATATCGTATCCACTGTAAGAAATATTAGAATATTCAGTCGGCTATGGGGACGCGGGAAGCCTTTCTTATATCTTTAATATCCCAATTTACCCCTGTTCCTTCTAATTCTACTTGCTTACGACCAACCTCGGGGCAAGTGAAGTAGATGGTGTTTCATTGCTCCATATTGTCGAAAAGCCCCCACATTGTTTTTTCCGTGGCTGGGAGGTAGTCCGGGGATGCTAAGACCTGTGGCATGTCAACTGGTGTGACATTGGGTGAAAATAACCGGCGGCCGGTCGCTTAAGAGCCACAAACCGGAGGCCGGTATCATTCCCCAGCTGTAGACTTGGGCCTAGGACTATTGAATGCTATTCCTAAAAGGAAAGGCATTAAATATTTGTAATTATAATCTCATATCCTCTCTGTATTATATTTAGTTCTGATTCTGAATCATTCTGTTATCACAATCGATTGATAAATCCTATGTGGCTGATATTTCCAATCCAGAAATTTCTTGATATCAAACATCATATGAACTTCAATTTTTATCCGCACCTATTTCTCAGACGAACAGGAACAAAAGATACTACAAAACCCAAAGAGAAACCAAGCGAACGATAATAGAAAATAGTTACTGCTGCTGGTGCTTTAAGCAAACCATCCAACGCATTTTCTAATTATGACAGAAATTGATTACTCAGAAACCCCAGATATAGAGCCATGTGAAAAGCCTTCACAGACAAAGGTAACCGCAGCACACCGTTCCGGCTTAGATGACGCCCTTCAAATGGCCCTCGATGGTCAAGATGAGTCTTGGACAAAGGAGGAAGAACGCCGGGTGTTGTGGAAGATCGATCTAACTATTGTTCCACTTGTATGTCTTTTACCTCTGACGTCGATAGACTCACCATACGCGTCATTATTGAACACAAATTAATAAATTTCAGTTATTTCTCGGAACAGTTATTGGATACGCGGATAGCCAGGCTTATGGGTTTGCCGCTCTTTTCGGTTTGGTACAGGATCTCGAACTATTCACTCTAAGTGTTGTAAACGGTCAGTTGGCTCTGGACACCACAAAGTATCAGCTCTCTGCGGGAATAACATCACTTGGTGGAGCAGCGGTACGTCTACCAATTTCTAACTTTATATTTTAAGACGAATGAGTCATTGACTACAGGCCATAGGGACAATATTTGCTCCTCTTCCTGGCCCAGCTGCTTCCCGCAGGTATTGTGTATGGAGTCATGCTGGTGTACGCTGGCTTACTAGCTCTTTTGACGGTCATTTGTCACAACTTTTCTCAGATTATGGCACTGAGGTATGTAATAGATTATCTCCGGATCCTAGAAAATGCTCATACACCGGGCAGGTTCTTTTATGGGTTCACTCAAATTCAACAACCTCTCGCGATCATTATTACGGTTATGTGGTAAATTTCCAAGGCGACTAAAAGCAAAAATAACTCTACTTACATCGCACTAGGTGGAAAACTCGCGAACAGCCGTTACGATTGGGTATTGTGATTGCGGGTAATGCCCTCGGCTCACTTATCGGAAATGGTGTAGACTTTGGTGCCATAAATTTGAGTGGTCAATTTTCCAATAGTCGATGGAAATGGATTTACATTATTCTGGGATCCTGTGGACTTTGTGCCGGTATCATAATAATACTCTTCTTGCCTGCAACACCGATGAAGGCATGGTTTCTGACCCCCCGAGAACGACGAATCGCCGTACGACGTCTTATGAGTAATAATACCGGAATTCATACACGGAAGTTCAAATTTCGACAGGCAATTTCTGCTTTCTTAGATCCTCAACTATATGCTCTATGTGTCTTTACTTTTACATTTGCGTTTTCCAACGTGGCAGTCTCAAGGTAAGTGTTTCTCATACATATATACCTTCAGCGACGTATCTCTCGGTCTTGAGAAACACGAATCATTTCATATCCATGCACTGACCATTTCATATCCATGCACTGACTATAAAATTTTTATTTACAGTTTTGGTGGATTCCTTGTAACTTCCTTTGGATATTCTGAAACTCGTGCTTTGGTACTCGCACTGCCTGCATCTGCTGTTGCCGTGGTGTGTATTATAGCCGCTGGGTACGTGTTATACATGTAATTCGGAATAAAATTTCGAATAGTTCGCTGGGCTAATAATTCGCATTATTCAAACTAACAGAATGATTGGGAATCGTTTCCCCAACCATCGAATCATCGTTGCTATCGTATTTATCTTACCGTCTATGGTGGGAAATATCATGCTTTGGAAGACACGTCTAGACAGCAAGGCTGCACTTCTTGGGGGCCTTTATATTGTCAGTTAGCCATCTCTTCTACTCCCTTTGCTGGCTTTATGTTTTTTTTTTTTTGGAAATCGGGCTAAACTTGAACAGTCCACCACGTTCTATGGCTCTCTTGTTCAGCATTATTCTCTCCTCGCAGCGAACGTAGCCGGACATTCTAAGAAGACAGCTGTTATGGCCACTATCACTATCATGGCCGCCCTTGGCGGGTTTAGCGGCCCATGGGCATACAAGGGCGACCAAAGTGCCGAGGGTTATCCTGATGGTCAGATTGCGACTTTGAGCTTATTTTGTGCATCAATTCTCGCATATATAATACTATGGTATGCTCTCTTCTCCTATTCAAGTTTTTTCTTTCATTTTCATTCGGATTTATGCTAGGACTTTGAACAATGGTGCGATCTATATCACTTACTTTCATTCTATATATAGGGTTTACTATTCCCATTGTAACAAGAAAAGGACGGCTCTTTTAAGAGAACAACCAGGAGTTTTCGAAGACCCCATGATAGCATTTATGGATCTCACAGATCGGGAAAATCTTGCATTTCGATATACTTTATGACTGTTTACGAAGGCCTGCCTTGACTGTCTAATCTATCACAGTTTCTACATATGCATACGGACAAATATAAACGTAACTTGTTCCTGTTCATGACTACATATGAAGTCTCTTAATAAAGGAAGCACCAGACATTATTTTTGAATGGTCACCAGGCGAGATGCGCAAATAGGCCATTGATTCTCTTACCCCGCTTCAAACCAAGCTTGTTAGGTTCGATTAGACTACATCAGTGGCGTACTGGTTGAATTCGGAGGTTGGAAAAGAAAGAGGAACTTGTGGTGACCACGAAGCTATTGGTCAACTAGTTTAACTATCCATACAACGTAAGCAAAAACACAGAGACTGGCTAGATGACGCTTTCAACCTCAAATTCCTATCCGAAGTCAGAGCTTGTTTCATAACCATTGCCGAGATTACAAGTACTTTTATAGTACAAAGGCTCTAACTAGCTAGGTCGTCCTAATAGCCATCGTATACAGCGTTTGCAGGTACCTGCGTGCATGATGATTGATACCAATCGCACTTGCAAGAGAAGTTATCGATAATACTTGAGCAAGTTGATTAAACAGTTAAAGCTTACATGTATATTATCTCTTGAAAACCCCGCCTTTGGAGGTAAGAAACTGCAATTCAATGTTGATTGTGATGTAGATAATACATGTGTAAAAGCATGTCTCACTCACAAGCTACTGCATAAACAGCTGCAGAATGATGGACGGTCAAGTCAAGCGTTTGAAAAATTGGCATTATGGACTCACAAATTTCTATCGTCTATGTCTATCTAATAATATCCCTTCACTAGATAATAACAAAATTCAAAAATATATATACCGGAAAAAAAAAGAAAGATCGAATACGAAAGCAACCAGGGACCTCTATAGATCGACAAGATATGCAAGGTGGCATTTTGAAGTATGAAGCCTACAGCTTGCTAAGTGGCTTCTTGAGCACCGCTTCGTTCCACGGGTATGGATCGAAAATAAGATCATTGACTGGATTCTCCTGGCTAGCGCGACGGAAAAGATCTTCATATACCGCGCCGTCAGACCGACCGAGGCTACTATCGAGCACCCAGTCAGGGATCTGCCAGGCATCGACAAGGCGCACGGCGTGTGGTCGAATATCGTCGAGTAAGGATAGCACAGCCTTAGTGCGTGTCAGAGTGATCTGTCGCACAGTCACAGCACCAGAGGAGTAAAAGTCGGCGGCCTCACGCTCGAGGGTGTGCAAGGCGTATAGGCGGAAGAGCTTGCGTAGCACCTCAGCGGTTGCTGCATCGACGGACGAAGTCAACTCGCGAGAAGAAACTGAGTCGTAGAAATTTTTGACGACGAGGTACTGGGAATGCGATGTTGACAGCCGCCAAAAGTCTACAAGCAGACTATTCCAAGACCGTTTCTCCACATCACGGTGCTTAAGGGCTTCGAAAGTGAGATGAGCTGTACGCCAGGCGAACGCAGCTACAATTTCGCTATCAACTTCGAGAATGTCAAAGGAAGCGCCCTTATCCTTACGAGCCAGATAGCTCTGCAGAATCTGGCTTGTGTCGTTACCAGTGCCTTTGCCAGCTAGAACGGCCCGTGCGGCTTTGAGGAGCTAAAGCACGCGAGTTAGTCAACGGGCTAGATGGGATTTTGGAGGTATAATTACTTACATATCGAGCGACTTGTTGCGTTAGCATATAATTGTCGCCCTCCCAAGTCAGTGTCGGCAGGTAATCCGAGTACCATGGCCCGATGCCACTATAGCTACTATAACCATGGCCACCACATGCACGACGACAGATTTCCAAACCCTCACCAGCTGTGGTACTGGCGAGTGCCTTGAGACCGCACGAAGTCGCGTGCAAGTCCGCAAGCAGGTCGGCTCCGGCGCGCAGCTCCTCAGGACCGGGACTACGAGTGTCCTGGCCTGACTGTGTAGCTCCTTTCATACGAGTCTGGCTTTCTTGATAGAGCTTCATCATGCCGCGTCCAGTAAAGTGTAGGGCATACATGGACGCTAACAGCGGTAATAGGCGAACTTGAACCATTTTATAATTCAAAACCTGTGTCTCGCCCGCATTGCGGTCAGCGTCTCGGTCTTGAAACTGTCTGCGAACGGCGCAGTAACGAGTAGCGATGGTAACACCACGAGCTAGCACACTACCAGCATCCAACACGATATTCGACCTGACCCAAGTCATAGTTCCGTAGACAAGAGTTGGCAGCGCCGGGCGTACGTATTTGTTAGTATCAGGGTCCACTCGAGAAAAGCGAGCCAGCATGCTGATGTGCGGGATTTTGAGCTTGTTAAACAGCAGGAAGCCATTGTCCATGGTACTGTAAGGAATATTTATTAGTCAACTGACCGAACATGCGCAAAAGCCAGACATACTTGTAACCAAACTTGGGCCCAATGTCACCCACGTAGACATTTTCTAAAGGCAGGTGGGTTTGCAGATCACGGATTTGCACGACAAATGGGTGAGGCCCGTAATTTTTGCCACCGATAAAGAGCTGTGCCATCACGACCGCGTGGTTGGCAGTACGTCCCAGGGAGCCGATCCACCATTTGGAGGCTGTAAGTGTGGGGGAATGCAGTGTGAATGTCTTATCCTCGGGATTCCATGTTGCGGTTGTTTCGAGGCCGCGCACATTCGAACCGTGGCCCAGCTCTGTCTGAGCATAACATCCGATAATCTCGTACTTCTCTGCGCGCTCAAGGAAGAGCTTTCGTTGTTCGGGGTTGCTTTGTTCTCGAAGCGTTACCTAGATCACGCATTTGATTGGCATAAAGGAACATGGAGAGGAAGAGCCAATCATACCAGGAACATGCTCGCATGCAGGGCGTACGGAGTTGGTTCTCCGATTAAATTAGCGGCTGCGTGGTACTCTTCGAGAGTCCACTTGCGCTCGACTGAGAGTTGTTGCAGCCGTTTGCCCTTGGCCAGGGCACGCTGGATCCGCTCAACACGACCAAGACTCTGGCTTTGAGATTTGTCAAAAACCTTCTCCGATTGCAGAACAGCCACGAGATCCTTCTGGCGATCCAGCGTTTCTTTGGTGTGTAGCAGTTCTGCCAGCTCAGTGACGGCGACGTTGGATTGGGCGCGCTCTTTTGCAAGCAACTCGGAGCCGTGAGGGCCGGCAGGTTTCAGGGCCTGGACCCAGGCAGGAGGTGGGGAGGGCATCGTAGGAGGAATCACGCGACAGTAGGATACGAAAAACGAGGCCAGGGAAAGAACTGCAGGGGTGTGGGAAGAGAGAACAGCGCTGGACAGCAGTCGAGGATGATGATAATAAAAGGGACAAGGCGATGACTGGCCGATGCGACCTTGCCTGATCAGGCAAGTGCCGAGGTCGACTGGGAATTGGTACCCGCAACCGGCCGAGACGACAGCCCAGTCGGAAGCTCGGGAAAACCGGTACTTGCAGTATAACTAGGGGATATGTACCTAGTACTATCCGTAGACTAGGAACCACAGCACGATCAAGCTTGTCATCCGCATGTGAAGAATGTTTTCGTCGCTTGTCCCCGGAGCGAAAGTCCTAATTACCCGCTCCGAGCCTATCTACTATAAGCTCCAATGTATATAGGGGCAGTCAGCTGTACTTCGACGGCGAGGGAGGACTGCGAGCATGTGTCAACTGGTCGCTCGCTATAGTACATCGACATCAATAGATCTGGATGGGAATAGACAGACACGTGCTAGTCAGCTGATCGATAAGGATAGGCTATAATATTGCCGAAACGGTAAGCCGAGTGGTCAACTTATTTGGGACATGCCGAGCATACGTGCGTAGGACAAACACTGCACTATTTAGCAGTGGCATTTAGCATTGAATAGTACATACCTTGATAACAAAATAATAACAGCCAACAGTTCAAATGTTGATATTGCTACGCCTTCAAATGTTGGCACGTGACAGTCAATATTTTCTGAGTATTTGACGGCATGACGTCATCACTCGTTCATCTTCGTAATTGGCTTAGGCACCAAGATCTGAGAATCAGGACATACATGCATATAATCAATTAATGCATTGATAAATTGATTAGCCTTCTTGGATGTATGAATAACGCGATCGTTCACGGTCATAATATACGACTTGGTGTTGAATTAGTTGACACCACTTACATATGTATTGATTACAATCTTGTATATTTTTAACTGCATATAGAGCACCTGAGATTGGCGGCACACACATGGAACATTTTACTCAGCATTGAGTGCCTCAAAGCTCAGCTACTTAGCATCAGAATTAATTAGAGCCATATCGATTGATAAGCAACTCGTGCATAAAATTTGAAATGGATGTTTGAAATTCATTGATGTCATTACATGTAGACGTAGCCCCTACCGGTTGACAACAATATCAGTAAATTTCTCGTAACTAAATCAAGCAATGCTTCCCATAGAGTTACTGTATATGTTGCGGTCATCGTGGAAAACCCGTGATTCGGACTCATACACATGTGAGATGTTCTCTAGTAATTCTTTCGCGTACACAACTGCAACAGCGGCAGCGTAGCCCTGCCATTGCTTATTTTTGTGCGTATCCGAATAGTCACAAATGCCGCGGATCACGACGCAGGGAAATGTGTTGAGGTGCATCAGCCCCGCCGCCTCCATCTCAAAACAAAGTACACCATACTTTTGTCGCAGTGCATCCCGCGTTCTGGCATCTTTCATCACTTGATTCCCTGAGGCAATGGTGCCGTAATGAATTCGCGTCCGACCTTCACGAGGGAGTCTATCGACGAGCTGATTACGATCACATTTCGCACAAGTCGCCTCACCTGCCACATGACTGTAATCAGACTTGAAAAGTCGGTCTTGCTCGGGGCCTGGGTATCGGAAATCGGACTTTTGTTGAAACACTTCGAAATGACTCGGCATAGGGTCGTTTTCACTATTATGCAATGCTTCCAATAGTGAAATCGCAGTCAATAGCCTCGCTGGTGGAGGAGGTAACGAGCCTGTCTTTTCAAACCCCTCTCCAGTCGTTTTTCCGAAATCATACTGTACTACCCCGCCATCGTGAAGACCAGGTTTGCTAATGACAACATCACCTAGACGAATATCGTGACTGTCACCCGGTACGCCTCCGCCAATACCGACCATTAAACGAATGTTGATGTTTGGAAATGTGAATCCCATTTGTGTGGCCACTGAAGTCGCGCTATTGTTCCCTAGAGATCCAGCAGGCAAACAGGCGATTACGACATTGTGGCTTGCCATTCGCCCTAGAACATATGTATTATTATCCTGGGGCTGCTGTGGAAGTCTTCCATGATGTTCGTCTAGCATTGCAATAGCAGCTTTCAGCTCGATTGGCAAGGCCGCAATCCACCCCACTGTATAGTCTTGATGCGTTGTTCGTCGCGGTCCTATCTGTGAAGTCAGGCCGGAGATAGATGGTGGCGAGGAGCTAAAGATAGGTGGTGGATGAAGATCATCCTCATGCAAGGTATGAGGAAAGCCGCCTTGAACAAGCGGTGGTGTGTTGGTTGGTTGTAGGAATGGAGATGGTGGATCGCTTTGGAGATACGCCATTGCCATGGAGAAAGTATCTACGTCTGAATGGCAAGTTAGCCGTTGCTAAAAAGAAAAAAGCAAAAAAGAAAGGGAAACGTCTTACCTTTCGCATAAGTGAATTTAATCAGCAAAAAGTCCATTGAGGCGGCGAGGGATTTGATCTTTTCTGTTTGTCTAATAGTCGCATTGGTTGCATCTGTCCTAAATGACGCTACTGAGCCTGCGCCACTTAATCTTCTGTTACGGGCTTTTCTATGAGCATTAGCAATCATTTTTACTGCGAACAAATGACAGGCCAGCATACCAAATGATATAGAATCCAATGACAGACCCCTTGGGGGCGACGATGATGTTTCTGATAGAAAACCCACTCGCACGATTCGGCTATCTTTCGGCTGCTTTGTAGAATTAATTTCAAGGATTGTGAGAGGGAACTCCACATATTTGTGATCATGAGTGGCTGCATTTCTGAGAAATGAAAGACTGCATGACGGTGATTGTCGATCTCTCCAAAGTTTCAAATGCTGAAAGGACACTTCCTCACCATTAGCCGAGACGATTTTACTCACACAGAATGTGTATAACAGATCCTTCTCTCTGACTACTTCCTGGAACTGTCGGATGGCATCAGGGTCATTGAATATGTAGTAAATATACGCGTCACCACTGGCTATCTTTTCAAACCTGCTCTTAACGGTGACGTGAAGGGTGTCGGAAAAGTAAACTTCGGACGGGTTGCCAATATGGGGGTGATCGGTAGTAAGATGCCGTTTGAACTTGGTGGGTACTAGTTCGACGAAGACATTAGAAATAATTCACAAGGAACAACCGAGGGTCTCACGGTCATGATGGATGAAGATATCACCATCAGCACTTGTGCAGTAAATCGTCCGCTTTTTGTCGACTACCTTGGCTTCTATCTTCCCAAGATCATAGCGGAAAGGGCGGGACGCCAACGTAAAGGATCTAGTCTCTAGTCAGTCATCTGACATTCCATAGACCGAAGAATATAATATACATCGTGCCGCCATGAATCACTTGATTACGTTTGACCGGCTTGACGGTACCGTCAAGCTCTTCGTGCGACGTATTGGTTCTGGAAGGAACTTCTTGAGTATGCTGGCGAAAGGTATCCCTTCTTGACGTGGACAACAAGAAGCGTTGTTGCTGCTGAGCCCGCTCCAGTAGGGCATCGTCTGGCAGCGCATTTAAATCTAAGGGCTGATAGGGTGCTGTACTGAATGCTATTCCTGGTAGAGACGGATGATGGTTGAGCATCAGCTGGCGAACCTGGCCCTGTACTTCCTTCTCAAGCCCCTCGAAGTCGATTGTTGAATTCGCTCGATGCTTTGGCTCGAGAGCAGGCTTTCGTTTGCGGCGATACACCAATCGTTGGATTTTCTTCCATAGCTCGAGCTCAGGGTTGTCAATGAATTGGTCAGCTTTGGGAAAGGCGGGTTGGGTTAATTCGTCGATCGTGTCAGAATCGCCGCTGAAAAAGGTTTCTCTAAAGACGCAAAACCACAAAACGGTCGCTTTAGCTTGGGTGTCAAAAAAGAATGAGAGGTTGGTAGAACAAATTGGGCGGAAAGATGCACGCACGCAAGAAGAACAATGTTTGAGGTACTCAGGAGGGCGATTTGCATCATTATTTGAGCTTCTAGTTTGCTCACACTGTCGGCGGTGCACGTCCACGGCTTGCCTTGTTTAGGCGGTTTGTACGACTGTACAAATAGCTCGCAATTGCGGAGAGTGCGATCAAAGCCATCGTAGCCTTCGAAGGGCTTGTTCGTCTGCAGTAGCGACAGCCTTAACTGTTCGAAGGTCTTGGCAAGTGTTTTAACCAAGCTGGCGAGGTCGTCGGAAGCGCTGGCAAGCACGGCGGACAAATCAGCCAGTTTTTGGCTGGCATGATGTAGATCGACGACAGCGAGAGCTGGACAATTTGCTTCCCATTAGCCACGACCTGGATAGGGCTAGTGGGTTGAGACTTGACAAGACATACTCGGATGGTCCTGGGCTTCATGCATAGTATTCTCAGTTAGGGAGGATAAAAAGACCCAGGGGTATCACATGCACCCGATTGGGTTACAGCCAACAGTGCTAGGGGAGCATCTCCAGCCCGAACAGTCGAGTCGCCGTCGTAAGAGCAGCAGCAAGAGGAGCAGTAGTAGGGGCGGAGGTGGAGAGGAGTGTTCACGAAGATGCAAAGAATCACGGAGGATCAAAGCGGCAACGGCTGGCACGATAAGAGCAGCCGATTCTACGAGTCGTGCGAGGCTAATCGCCTGCCTGAAATCTGACTCCGTATTCTGTCTGTATGTGTCATCATGTACTCCGTATACCAGCAGAGTGTGTAAGTAGTGTTACTGCTAGGACGAGGAGTAGGGCACGGTAATACTATTCCCATCTGAAGCTAGCTTCACGTGGTCTGCGCTCTGCCACGGAGGGCTAACCTCTTGTGCTATAGGGCCACACGTTTACAGCCTGAGCATCGCCCACGTTGCAGCGTGCCTGGCGTACACTGGTGCAGTCTGTACAACTAGTGCATAGTGTATGCGGCTTTACTATTAACATTACTACTATTATTCTTGACTGTCACGGAGCAGTTCCTCTTCCCTAGATCACTACTGCCGACTGGGAAGTACGGACAACGATTCCTATTGGCATGATGGTATCACACATGCTCAACCTCAACGCTGCCGGACTATGCAGCATGCTATACTTAGCACACCAAGCATGGGAGGCCGGAGTCTCGCCTCACACAGGGCCCAAAGGCTAAAGCGCACTCTGACTCGCCGAATCAGAAGAACTGCTCGCGTCGCGAACCCCTTTTCTGCCCGCCGGATTTTCAGCCTCAATCGCTGAGTTAACAGCTTGTCCATCGTCTTGATCTCCCTCATGCATCATCTTCCTTGCTAGCCAAGGGGAGCCATGGTCCGACCCTCTCTTGCTCGAATGCATCTACTACTGGACCTCCGCGTGAGAATGCGTTGATCATGGCAAAGGCACGCTCAAATGCGTTAGTGACGCTCGTGAATGCCTTCCAGAAGTACCTTTGGATCGACCCGACTGTCGTAATCCGACCCGAAGCGGTATGTCTTGCTCCCAGACTCCTTTTATCTGCGCAATATCCGGTTCAATCCTTCTAGCCCGATTAACGACGTGAGCTTCACAGACGAACTTGAAAAACCAGAAAGCTGTAACCGCCCTGATCGATAGCCATGGCTTTGACTGGCGCGTCTGGCTTGTCGCCTCTTCCGGCTTCTTCACCGATTCGTATAATTTATTTGCTGTCAACGTCATTTTGCCGTCTTTGAGCTATATCTACTGGCCCGATGAAACTAGCGATGTGCCGGATCTGAAAATAAACGCCCTGACCCTCTCTGGCTCTGTTGTGGGCATGGTCGTATTTGGCATCTTGGCTGACACCTACGGACGACGCAAGCTGTATGGAATCGAACTTATGGTTGTTATTTTCGGGACCTTGGGCACTGTACAGGCATCCAGTGGATCAAATAATTCCATGTCCGTTCTTGGCTGGCTTATGTTTTGGCGGTTTTTCATGGGCATAGGTATCGGTGCAGAGTATCCCCTGAGTGCCGTTATTACTGCAGAGTAAATTCCTTTCTATTTCCCTCTCATTGTCAGCCTACGTAGAGACTGATTTTGTTCAAGGTTCGCGCCAAAACATGCGAGAGCACGTATGATGGCAGCCGTCTTCCTCATGCAAGCTTTAGGGCAACTGGCTGCCGCCCTGGTTGGTCTAGTTGTACTTTTGTCACTGGGCGCAAAAAATAACCTGCAAAATCTTGCGTCAACCGATCCCGAGAGCAAAAGATGTGTCGACAGCATTTGGCGGATAGTGATAGGTACTGGGGTTGGTCCTGCCTTGATTGCGATCCTATTCCGTGTGACTATCCCGGAGTCGCCTCGATACACATTAGATGTAGATCGGGATGGGCAGCGAGCGTTAGAAGACACAAAGGGCTACTATAGAGGCCATCATAGTGGTTCGGATGGCTACGGAGCCTATATGCCTGGAATAGAGCTACAGGATTATCCCAGAATGACCAACCACCTTACTGTTGAACATCATAGCCTCACGGCAATTGGACTTGGTATTGAGGATGAACCTGGTGTTCTAGGACGGCCTGTTCGTGACTTCGAAGTAGGCGATATTGTAAATGAAGTAGAGGATGAGGATGAGGAGGACGAAGAAGAAGAAGAAGAAGAGGAAGGTGATGATGACGAACAAGACGAGTCCGAAGATGAGGAGGAGGAGGAGGATGAGGAAGAAGAAGAAGAAGAAGATGACGACGATGATGATGAGAGGATAGTTGAAGATCGCCCAAAGTTTTTCAGCTTCACTGATTTGCATGAGTATTTCATCACTCAAGGGAACTGGCATTTTTTAGCCGGGACCACTGCCTGTTGGTTTTTTCTCGACGTTGCGTATTATGGCCTCGGCATCAGCAATCCCCGACGTATCGCCCAAATATGGCTTTCCACAGCACCGACTAAAACTTCACTACTCCTTACTTGGCAAAATACTGACCCAACGGAAACTATCTATGACGTGCTGAAATCAGACGGAACTCAATACATTATCACAGTCTCAATTGGATCCGTTATAGGTAGCGTTGTCCTCATCAAACTTATTGATTATGTTCCCCGTAAGGCCTTAATGATGTGGACTTTCATTTCCTTGGCCATCTTATTTGCCGTGATCGGAGGGAGTCTTTTCTCTGTTGAGTACAGCAATATGCATGCTGTGACTATCACACTCTACGTTCTTAGTCAACTGGCATTCAATCTTGGCCCTAATGCACTGACATTTCTCGTGAGTAGACAGCCATTGTTTGCTAGTACAGTCCTGCTGACCCAGAACTCAAATATTCCAAGATCTCTGCAGAGATCTTTCAAACACGCTATCGAGCCACCTGCCATGGTATATCCAGCGCCGGAGGCAAAATTGGGTCGATCTTTGTCCAAGTTCTCATTTCATCCTACAGCACTTCGGAGCCGAAATCTATGTCATCTTTCCTCTTTGGATTCTGTGGTTGCATGATATTAGGAAGCTTTTGTTGCTGGATCTGGCTACCTGATGTGCAGGAACCGCGGGAAAGAGGGAAAGCATCTGCATTGCGGCAGTCGTTAGAAAGTACAAATTCAGGACGCCACATCAATGGAGGCCACGTCAACGATACACAACTTAATATGCAAGGCGAGCATCTGACTCTTGCCAACATGACAGATGATCCCATGGAGAGGAGATCAATGATGAGTTCGTACAAAATTCCGAATAGGTCGTTGGAAGAAACATCCGAAGGGTGGTTGAAAACAATTGAGCGACAGAAATTGGGTTTCAGGCAGAAGATACAGTATTTGCAGAAACAAATTGTCAAAAATGTATCATAGGAGCATTGAAAAATAACTTGTGAAAGACAGAATAACCTTCACTTTCCTCTTTTAGAAAATGTTCACTATGCCCAAGGATTGTACACTGTCGTAGATGATGTTTGAGAGTTGGTGAATAGAAAGTGAATAATGACTGTTTTGCATAGAGGAGTATTGCCTCTTGGCGCTGGAGTCTCGGCCCACACCAGGAGGCCCTGTAATCCAATCAACCTAAAAATAGGTTGATGCCTGCAAATCAAAATCTCGTTCCTGACTTGATACAACGTTGGATATTCGTCGTTTCATATGCAACTGTCGGGCCCTTGGCGCGGAAGACTAGAGGTATGGGCTCAAAGTAGTGGTCTCAAACCAAGTGTAATTGATGCCCCTTGATTTCATATTCTCCTGCATGTACAAAACATGATGTTATCCATCAACACACGGCATAGCAGATGTTGAGGTATGGAACGCAGTCGCAAGGTTTTGACAAGCTTGATTTGGCAAGGCCACCCAGCTACTTTCTAGTAGGCATCAAGGAAGTCAGCCTGCTTAGAACTGCCCACTACGTCGAGGGTTTCGACTACTAATGACATCAACGGGATGCTTAACTTGTCTCCATCCCTGGCGTGATGATCGACACCACGCAGGTCAAAGAGTCGACAATAGTACACGTTCTTGTATATGAAGTCTTCCAGTCCAATCCTGTTCATGTATTCTGTATAAATCAAATAAAGGAGCCTTGTCTTTTTCTACGGCCATCAGAGAAACACTTGAGGCCTGCAGATCGTTCGATTATTTTGATGAGCGACTAGTGTTCTTCAGGTGCCAACCCCGTACTAGCAAGAAATCGGACAGGTGAACAAGGGTAAGTATCTATTCAAGTGATGAGCATGCTTCTCTATAAATGAATTCGAGCATCGAATATCAAGATGATCGCTTTGTACGGAGATCACCATGGTGGATTGAAGGAATACGAATCCAGATATAATCATCGACTTGCTTACATACCGAGTACAAGTGGAAATGAATGATAAGAAATTAGTAAAATACTATCTGAATCTTGTCATGAAGTGCACTGTGCCTTGAATGCTCTCATTTCCGAATACTTCCACCAAGCATCGTACGCGACGATCACAGTAGGACAAGAAATGTGATATGTTGGAATGTGGGTCACGAGAGTTCGGTCTAGATGCTCCAGACAAGCGCTCTTATTTACCTCCTTATAAGCTTATGGTGCTTGTATCATTTTTCAAGGAAAGAGATAAAATAAAAGGGACTGGCTAGATAAAAGAAATTCACATAGGAACGTCAAATATTGGAGGGGAATGCCGGCCAAAACAGTTGAAAACTTTGAGAAGGCTGCAGGTGAAATGATTGATTCATAATATGCTCTTTGGTCTGATTATAGTATGAACACTTGAAATAAACAAAAAAATTGTTAAAGTGCAGTCGTGGCTTGAACCTTTGAAGAAAGCCTTGGTGAGACTGCTTTCGACATGAGCTATAAAATAGTGAGTTTTGGAAGTTGCTTACCGACATAGCAACTTTGATAGTTGAAGTAAGACTCCCATTAATATGAGTGAATTTAATATTACGACCGAGTGAGAATAATTTCTTAATTCAGTTTTTAGGTGTCGGGTATAATATCAGTGAACACGAATATTACTACCGGACACTATAGGCTAGCACAAGACGATAAACCATATAGGCGAAACTCCACCACTCCACTATACTTTCATGTATCATAAATCAAAAGACAATCAAGAGATCTTTCGATTCAAGGACATCCCTATGCCCTTCCTCATAAAGAGATAGGCAACTCTAGACGTAGGAGACCTTGACGGTACTTCCAGAAGCGGAAGAAGAGGTGAGGACTTTGTTGTTTTGCTTGATATCAATGATAGTGGCACCTGAGGTGTCGACAGTGGAGCCGCTCTTGGTCGCCTGAGCACCAGTAAAGGTGACGGTGCCAAAATTAGCAAATGGAACCAATGATGAGCCAGATTCAAAGTCTTCAACAATCCACTCAGCATTGTACTCGCACAGCGCGGCAGACTCTCCTGAGAAGCTGTGGGTTACAGTTTTGCCGGTGCTGACATTCTCAACGGTAGCTTTACCGGCCGTCTTGCTGGAAGCAGTGACTGTAATTTTGATGGTATTACCGGCGGAAATGGTGATACCACTGAAATCGTACGCGTAATCCGGATACCATTCATACCAAGCATCGTAGCTTGGTGAGCCACCTTGGACACAGAAGTCGACACCAGTCTGAAGAATGGCGGTGCCACAGGTGTCACCGTCAAGACCAACCCATGCGGAGGCACAATATTGGGTGCTACTGCTGCCACCAGATGGAGCAGAAGGTTTGGGAACCACAAACTCAGCGGTTACTGAACTGTATCCAGTACTAATGAGAACAGCACCAGCCCAATTTGAACTATATTGCTCATTGGTGGTGTTTGTAAGAAGTACCTTTTCGACACCGTTTGACCCAGGGACATAGGGAGGGTTGGAGTGATGAGTAGCAGTGGCACGACGAGCCTTGGCTGCCATACGCTTCTCAGTCAAAGGGGCGGCCAGAGAGAGGCCAGAGAGAACAAGAGTAGCAGTAACGATGCTGATCTTCATTTTGATTTTATTCTTGATATCTTGTTGGAGGATAGATGTATGTGTGGAGCAGACAGGAGGCAGAGAGGAAGAGTAAACTTTGGGATTGATCTTGAAGGTGAACGGGTTTACAGCCTGATGGGAATAGATAATCCTTTTATAATCGCCCAAAACCTCAGAGAGCCTAGAGCATAGGCTGCCCGGCCGATCCTAACGATCCAAATAGCGGTATCTCTTTATTGTTGCTTGTGGAGCAACACTAGCATGAATGATACGTTTCACCTGCCAAAATGAGCAAATTTCCTGCGCAAGCGGTACCGCACTCCATCCGTACTCATCCCACGGCTAAAGTATTTTTTTATCATGCCAAGCTTTAACGTGTGAATACATAACGCCAATCACTTGAGGTAGAGTGCGTATCTATCGGTATGCACTAATATGATTGGTTTTCCTTTCAGTTTGGCGACCTTTTAATAATGCCTACCTATACCGAACTAAGTTAAATAGGACAAAGCTTGATGTACATGCATAGATATTCGATGTGTCCCGCGGGTCATCTGCTCTAACAAATTTGACAAGACCTCAAATCCATTCTTGGGTAAAGCCAAGCTTAACCTGGAGATGAATGATCAAGTATGACTAGACGGTGAAGTATTGACATGGCTGAAAATCCTCGACGATTAAATTGCACTGCTGTGGCAAAGTCAACATTTATTGTCTTCATATTGTCGGCTAGTATTACTCGTTCATGAATTATCGGATGGGTTCAGATGTTCTAAAGAGGGGTAGGTAGCACCGTGGAACAAATGGCCTTTCGTAGCGTTAAGTGGAATTAGCGGACTGTCGCAAGCGAGGAGAAAACGAATAGATTCCCGGTCTCTGGGTGGAAGAAAAGGGAAGGGGGAAAAGCAAAGAGGCAAAATTGATATAGTAGTGTCCGATAGTATCCTGAATAATTTCCCCGGTCTTTGCCTCTCACTACAATACGATAAGGTCGTGATAGTTTTAGGAAGGTACTTTATTCAAGGGTTAGAGCGCTTCTAATTGTAAGCCACAAAGCCACAATTGGTCTTGGCCGAAGATCCCTAATTGTGCCTAATTTTGTGTCTATGGACATGCAACTTTCTTTTAGCTTATCCAGTGACCCTCTTGTACGCGTGGCCAACTGATAAGCGGGGATAAAAAGACATCTGGAAGGGATTCAACGTAGATCCTGCAAGAAACACCAAAATGCTTGTCAGAGGCCGAGAGCCGTCAAATACACCCTCATGTGTACAATATATGCCGAATGCGGGGAGGGGTGGTGGGGCCGCCAAATAGCGTTCTGTAAACAAGTCAACAAAGTCAATATCTAGACAATCATTTGCTGGTTGAGCAAATAGTGCTAGAGATTATAATGTTGCATCGGCGCTGTGGCGCACCTAGCTCTCTCCCGTGTTTGTTCTAGCACTGTCGTCGCTGATAATTTGTTAAATGCATGGTTCCAAGCCAATTATTGTGTTCGTAAGACAACAGGATTTCAAGAGTCCTGTGGCGCGATATGTGTCGGTTCTACCATAAACCACAGGCCCATATTCACTTGATCACGATTGGATGTTGAACTTTCAACTACACTGATAGAGTGCGCTAACCTGAAATTATGCGCGGTCACCCTCGTGATAGCTGATAATAAATGCCCGCTCTTATCAGGGCTTTCCCACTTTGGGTAGCTCTGTCATGATCGAGTCACGATGGTAAAAACATGTCACCAGTCATTCCTCACATTGAAAGTCTAGTGTATCATATTATCGAAACAACGCTTGTTCACTCTTGAAATCCGTGCATGTCTTGGCTTTCGGCCTTCAGGGCCTTTTCAATGTCAGCTGGATTACAGCGAGAACATATTGATTGACACGCTGTAATGCTACGCTTAAGACACAGGCAACATCCAGTCAATTTAACAGGTGCATTGCTGAAACATGGTGTATTATTCCTGGCGAAGTATTAACGAACATGTCGCATGAATTGTCATTATCTATAAAGTTAGTGCCGTTTTTGCCCCTTTGATCTGGAGCCTAGAGGTCAGCCGACCGATTGATTGAATGCTATTGTAATAACGCAACAACGAACCTGCTAAATCATTGAAGGAAGATTAGTGTGTATTATTTAAAACCATGTTTATATGTTATGCCCCTCATTAGCAATTCCATGAATTATTAGGCACAATGATTAGTGTAAGTGGTGCCGTTGATTGTTACTCTTGGTTGGCAAGAAGGCTAAGAAAAAGTACATCGAGTATTCCATCTAAAGCAATCCTCAAAATCATAATAAGTATCAATATAACTTCATGGGACAGTATATTTGTAATACGGGACTTTCGAGAACATTAACTAGTGCCTAGTTCTCAAAACTTGACCAGTTTTTGTTAACCAGTAAAGCAGTAGTTTTAAGGATATGCCTATCAGCATTTTGTACATGTAGTATTCAAATATAAATGTCTCATATCAATTGGTATTTTCAATTTACTTTTCAGACACATACGTAGCCTATTTCATGAATATTTATCGTTCAAAGACCTACATTACGCCTGACACTTCATATAAGGAAGCCGTCAACTTGTTAATACTAATTGACGAAAATGTTTAATTTCAAAATGTCAATTGTATTTAATTATGATAAATGAAGAGCTTTCACTAACTAACTCTTCATTTTTGCCTGTTTATTAATTTTATAGGGACGCTATTTCTTAGCTGTGGCTCTTTCATTTCGTTGGCTCTTTAGCGCCTTGGACGCTAGCAGTCAAGAAAAAGGTGAAACCGTAAATTGAATTAGTCACGAAGTTAAACTTCATTAAGTCCCTAGCTTTGGTATATTTTTATTGAGGTTTCTGATTGAAGAGATCTTCAGAGATTACCGGAAGAAAACTCCCAAGAATATTAACAATTAAACGACATTCTGGTACCCCAATGCCCTGTGATTGATCCTCCTCAGTACTTATAATATAGCTCGAATTTTCTTCGTATGATATACGACTCGGCCTACTTTCATGTCCTATTAGAGTAAGCTTCTTAGGTGTCAAAGCCTTTAATTGAAATTGTTACACCTTCTACGAAATTTCATTTAATAATATCCTATTAATCTTTCCTTTTTATTTTCCACTTTTAGTACGTGTATAATGCAAAACATAAGTTTTCGACAATGCTAGAAAGAGGCTTAAGCGGGTTATGGTTGATTTTTTATTGGTCCAAGCAGCACGAATTGGTGCTGACTCGCAGCGTTACAATATTTTCTGCAAAACGCTCGGTGTATCTTGACATATTTTTTACTTTCTGTTATTAGGGTTCGATAATAGTGCCACTACGCCAAATACTGGATAGTAAATGGAATAACATATGAAGAATTTTCATTATCTAAGTAAGGGTATCCTATCAGCTCGGCATAATAGTTCGATGAATCCCGTCGCATGGTTGTTTTAGCATCTCCACGTCCTTCTCAACGAACTGCAAAAAAGTGATGATTGTTTACAATAGTTTGGAAATACTTGTAACACCCGAGGAACGCTTCACTTAGATATAGAGGTAATATTGATCATAGAGGCTACAAATTTTATACACGCTTATAGAATTCCATTATTAAGAAATTGGGCTGTCAGTTTAAGGCGATACACTATTGACAGAGCTACGCGAAGTCATACTTACGTGTACATCAAATTGGTAATCCTCACTAAAAAAAGAAAAATAGAGAAAAAGGAAAGGAAAAAAAAAGGACTGTAACAAGAATGATTATTATAATATGATGTTAATTTCGCCATCTTCACATATACTACTTTGTATTTCCTCAAGATACCCATGAATGGGATTATGCCGAACTTTCAAATTCCTGGAATTGCGTTTCGCGGTAGCAATGCTTTCTTTACATGACGAAAATCTATTCAAGGTTTTAAAGACGTTTAAATTGCCTATATATGTATATTTATATTCTATTCTGAACGCCTAAATGTTTTTAGAGCCGCAACTACGGAGCATACGGGATAAATTCCCGAGTTTCTGTTGAATATAAAAAATTATACGAAGCAAATGCCTAAATTTGACATTATTGAAAATTATATTGTGACACCTAGATGTAGTGCAAGTAAGCAAGCCGCGTGGCTTACTACAAAAGGTCAGCATCTTATATGTTGACGGATCCACTATTATTGTTAAGGGCATAAGGCTTCTCACTAGACGAGTCGCTGTCTTGCTCAGGCACCCAGGGTCTGGTCCGAGAAGTTGGCACTTGGTAGGCGGTGCGCTGTATTATTATTAGCGAGTGAAGGGATTCGTGGGCGGATACCGATGTCACCATTGTGCACCATAAAGCGTCACTGGCGAATCAACTATGTAGTTTAATGTGTTGGTACTATTGGCAGCGTCTGGTATGGGTCTAGCTTGACACCTAGTTCGATATAATGTTGGTCATTTTGCGCAACACCGCAATCTGACTACGGGAGTAAGGAGCGTAGATGGTTAAACCATAATTCCGTCAAATTGCTGGAGCAGTGAGTAAATACAGATGTTGGGTTGCATGGGATCAGAAACATTCACGATTCCCTATTTTATGACAGTAGTCGCACTCGTGGTATATGCCAATATTCAATACACCTTACTGCTTCTATTTTGGCTCGATTCATTGGGGGCGCTGATCGCATTCATGACGCAGCTCTCCCCACATGGTGGAAGTATTTTGGCAACCCCGTGTTGGGCGGGGCCAATAACGAAAAGGCCCGATGTGATTGGTATTATATGTTGTAATCTATTCCTATTTGTTATTGATTTGCTGACCAGGCTTATTTTTAACACCACCACGCTCCCGAAGGAAAAGATTATCGGGGAAATAGCAAGGGTTAGTAACTGTAATGTATGATTATGGGGCTCCATCCTCTGTGAAATACGCAATAACTTTTATAAAGTATAAATCCAGTGACCTTCCTGAAACAAAACGAAGTGGTAACTTCCCTTTGTCTTCTTTAGATAAGTCGACATTATCATTATGAGCCTGTGTTCATCATGGGCGCGCTAAATTTGGTCTACTCGCTTACTTTGGCAACACTACCAGCTCTGTCATTGGCAGGGACGGTTAGTTTGCCCTCTTATCCACTGGCTGTCAAAAGTCCCTATTTATCGACTTGGCTCCCAGGGAATCAGACAAATGATGTTGCTACCGGCCAACCCGAGTTTTGGGCTGGCCAGAAATTGAATTGGCCAATCCTTGCCCGCATCGGAGGTACCACATACACGTTGTTTGGTGCTCCAGAAGGAATATCTGGTGCGACTGCGGCCACGACCACCGCAGTTAGCTATACGTCAACACATACGCTTTTTGCCCTGGCTGCTGGGGGAGTAAATATTACCTTAGACTTCTTTTCACCAGTCTATTCGGGGCCAGATGACTATGCCAAGCAATCTCTTCCTTACTCTTACTTGACTGTATCAGCCTCTGCGCATGATGCTACCGATATTCAGATTCTCAGCGGAATAGACTACACGTGGACTGCCCAGGGCGGCGCTGCAGAGTTAAACTTTACCACCACGGACACGGCTGGATTCTTCTGGTTTTATAATCCGAATCAGCATTATTTCTCAGAAGATTCTGATATGTCCACCTACGGCTCAGTCCTCTATGGTACGACAACAGCCAATAGTGTTAGCTATTCTTGCAACGATGCTAATACTATATACGCTACTTTTGGCAGTACGGGAGCTTTGGGGAACCCAAAGACTTGTGAAGGGGGACAATTAGCCGCGTTGGCGAAAGATTTGGGCCGTGTGACGACCGCAAATGTTACCTTTGCTGTTGGATTCCAGCGTGATTTGGCTATTAACTACCTTGGCAACCCGCAGACAGGCGCCCATCGCTCGAATCCTAATTGGTATCTAATACCTGATGCTATTGGATCATTCTTGACCGATTACGAGAATGCAGTCGGTGCATCGAGTTCTTTCGACGAAGCAGTGCGCAGCAAGTCAAAGAATGTCTCTATAGATTGGGGTAGCCAGTACGCCGATATAATTGAAGCTAGCGTCCGGCAAACGTTTGGTTCTTTCGAAATTACTGTAAATACTTCCCTGCTGTAACTATATTGGACCATAGAGCTAACGAAAGCAGGTCCCTCTTGCCAATCTTACCGAGTCACCACATATGTTTTTGAAAGAAATTTCCAGTGATGGAAATATACAGACAATCGACGTGATGTACCAAACATGGCCCGTCTTCATCAGTCTAAACCCGGAATACATTAAGCTTTTCTTGAAGCCCGTACTATCTTACTCTGCCACTGGAGCCTGGCCACATCCATGGGTAATTCATGACCTCGGCACACGTAAGTAGATTCCACATGAGGCAATAGATAATTTTTTGCCGTACTGAAACGCTTGATAGACTATCCAAATGCCACCGGCCATAACGATGGCAATGCGGAGCAGATGCCACTCTTTGAATGCTCGTCTCTATTCATTCTTTTACAAGCTTACCAAAAGTACACCAACGACTCCTCGTTTGCTGCAGGCTACACTTCGATTCTGGCCGGTTATGCAGATTATCTAAATAAGAATTCTCTGTACCCAGCCAGCCAGCTCATCAGTGTCGATGCTATTCCAGAACGAGCTAACCAGACGGGTCTCGCGATTCAGTCTGCTATTGGGCTCAAGGCAGCAAGTTTTATACTTGGTAACTCGACTTACTCTGACACCGCAAAGACTATTGCGAAGACAGTATACGATGATGCCCTTGGCCTTGATGGTGAAACCCTAGCAGAAAGCACTCATTTCACGTATTATTACGGAGAGAGTGAGACATGGAATGTGCTATTTCCTTCGTACTCCGACGTGTTGCTTGGGCTAAACACGTTTAACTCTTCTGCGTGGGCCCTTCAGTCAGACTGGTACAGTAAGAACATGCAAGTTGGAGGGCTCGCCTTTGCAGGACCCCTCAATTATACTGGATATGGTGGCTCGAGGATCAATTGGGGACTTTCTGACTGGAGTATGTATACTCATTCACCTCGTATCAAATTCTTTTGGACAAGAGCTCCGATAATTTCTTTCAATTTGTCATTGCGATTTCTGTAGCTGACAATGATTCAGATCTCCTTGTTGCTGCGACATCATCTGCAGACGTCCAGGCCGCAATTGTCAACACCACACATACCTTCCTAACCAACGGTCTTAACGATATTCCATTCGGCACAAAGTACTATGTTGAGGGTGATGAAGTTGGTATTTGGATTGCAAATCGGGCGCGTCCAACAGTCGGGACAAATTTTGCCTTGTTGGCTTTGGATCAAGGGTATTGGGGAGCATCGTTCTAGCAAGTCTCTCCCTCTCTCGTTGACTTTGCCTTATTCATCTATGTTTTTAATTATCCCTTGGCCGTATTGCCCTTTGTTCTCTTGGGCATATTTTCAATCATCAACATTAAACCCAATTTGTAAAATCGGCCATTGAGTCTCTTGTTTGTTTCTGTATATTATATGATCCTGTATAGAATGTCTTTCAAAACAACTAATAAATCACACCCAGCAACTCCGAGTGCAAAGGACATGCAAATCACATGACACAGCCACTTTTTGAAATGCCTCATATTGAGTTGTCCAAGTAAAGAAAGCTTGATACCAATAAGCCGCTCGCACTTATTTTCCCATGAGTTCTGACTGTTGGGGAGTTGCTACTAGAAGCAAGGAAGCGCCATCAAATCTCTCATCTCTCAAACAGCATTAAACCGACTGTCACCCCAATTGATAACCTTCTTAGTCACACAGACTAAACAGCATGGAATCATCGCTTCATTGGGCAGTTTCGGGGAAGGCTAGGTGCGCAGAGCTATACGTACCCCTTGATAGTCAAAGATGTTAGTAAATACAGTACATATGTATCTCTTGAATTGAGAGTTCCTTCAAATGGACAAGAAGATGATCATCTAATAATACTTCAACGGAGTATAAAAACCATCATATCAAGCCTCTGCCCAGCGCTCGCGAGCCCCACAAAACTTACAAATCCCAGGTCGGACAAATGAAAACCGGGTTGTCACATGATACGCTATGCTCTGCCGATTCCGGCCGTCCCCGCTCGCCCACAGCAGCTTATCTCAGTGCATTGAACGATATCAGTTTATGCCTCAATAGAAATACACCAAGGTGGTCCAATAGGTGGCCATATTCTTCTGAATTTGGTGGATTCCTAAGCGGCTGCTGATATCATTATCTCAAGTATGAGAGGGATGCGCATTTTGTTTAGCATAGCCAAGTTCTAGTTATGGCAATTTACGCGCTACAAAATGGTGATCAGCCAGCACATGCTTCCCACAATCAAAGCACCTCCCTGCCCATGAACACTTCATCTATTCAATCACCCAGTATATCTTGATATTATTTGTCCACCCCCAGATTCACGCCATGCTTGATCCGTGCTATACATGTCGACGCCGCCGCATCCAGTGTGATCGAACTGGCGATCCCTGCGCCAAATGTGAGAAATCTGGATTCGAATGTTTTCAAAAGAGACCTCTACGATGGGTGAAAGGCGTGACTCTTCGTAGCAAGTTTCACAGTCCTGTTCTCAAAGCAACAACGTCTTCAAGAGATCGGAGCTCTACCACCGACACGCAGTACACGCCCAGTGCCGTGACTGACCGATTGTTGGCTATGCAAGACACGATGGAATCGGGACTCCCCAGAAAAGCTGTAACCGAGTCTCATGGACTCTCGTTGTATTACCCTGAAGGGCCGTGCAATAACCACAATAAAACACACCACTCTACTCCGGTAAATGAATCTGCGCTTGTCTCATCACAACGTCTGCAGAATCAATCTATTGCTCATCTGGACAAGAAGTCTATGTACTACTTGGATTATTGTAAGTAAAAGTTCCTTGCAAGCGAGCCTCAAGCATACTCGGCCGCAAGAATGACATTACTAATATCATCAAATTTAGATAATGACCGCATATGCAAGCTTTTTATTGTCCAAGATAGCGACAGTAATCCACTAAGGAATCTAATTCCTCTTGCCCTTGAAGACTCTGTGCTTATGAATGCGGTTCTCACCCTTGCCGCACGTCACCATGCCAATATCGGTCGCGCTTTTAACCGGTCAAATTCTGACTCTCCGTCTACCCTATACACGAAGGCCAATCGAGACGCACTTTGTTACAAATATAAGGCTATCCAAGGGTTAACGTCGTCTGTGAAAGATTCAAGGCTTTCTCAGCAGGATGCTACCGTCGCTAGTATATTTCTATTGATTTTCTTAGATCTCCTTGAATCTGGAAGTGATCAATGGAATGTTCATCTGGAGGGCGCAAAGAGCCTGATTACACATAATAAACGGTACTTTGAACTCTCGGATGGAACGAGGGCGAGCCCTGGACAAACTGTCTGCGACATCCGAAATTTTATTGCTAGTCAGATATATCTGTAAGAATATCTCTATACAGCCCACACAGTGAAACATAGGGCATGGCATGACTGACGATTTTGCTCTCTAGAATCGGAACGCTGGGCGGTACTTTTGTCCGCCCTAAGTTGTTGACTCACTTCAATCAATTCTATGAGCCGGCACCGCCACCCCTCGATGTCGTTGAGCGATCGTTTCTTGGATGTCCTGCTTATTTGCTGAATGCCATACAGAACCTGTCAGCACAAAGGGATGCTATAGCTGATAATCGGGGTTTCCACGATTCTACCATCCACGACCAGGTCACGGCTATCAAGTCAATAATGGAATCTATTCAGAAATTTGACAGCTATGATTGGGCTGCCAGCCTGCCACATCGACATCAATCGCCGCATCAACATATATCCAGTTTGTGCGCTCTAGCATCTTCATATAAGCTTGGTGCTTTGATATATAGTCGTCGAATCCTCGATGCGTGCACTGACAGCAACTCTTCTCAGGTTGATCTAGTGTGCGAGTTGATTGGAGTTATTGATTCATTGCGGAATACTGATTCGCTCTTCAAATGTATTCTATGGCCCATTTTTGTCGCTGGGCTTGAGTGTCCTTGGCAAGCTCATCGGCAATTTCTTGTGGATTGTTTGGAAAGGTTTTGGCGCCTGACATTGTGTTTGAATGTAGTCAATGCCTCCGAGATTCTCTCTGCGTACTGGCAGGAATGTGATCAAAAGTGTCAATCATCGATTCAATCCAATTCATCACAATGGATATTCAACATGGGTCGCCTGGGTCAGGATTGGCTTTTGATATAGCCTTTACCCCGACACCTCGCTCGGCCGAGTTCTTTTGTTAAGTGTATATCGGAAACTCCCATTTAGGTTTACGAAAAGAGGGCAATCTGCTATATAGGGGAAAATGGAAGATATTGTATGATTGAATATGTTTAAACACTGTTCATTACCCAAAGGATAAAACAAAGAATCGAAATGGATCACCTCATCACGCAGAAAGAACAATTGTCCCATTGAGCTGAATATCTAGCACACTTTTCCCAACCATCACGCTATAAGTTCCGCGCGGAAGCACCCACTGTTGCTGCACCGCATCCCAAGTGCTAAGGTCACGACGTCTCAATGAGAATGAGGCACTGACACTACCTCCTGGTTCAATGAGCAATTTGTCAAACCCTCTGAGAGCCTTGGGTAAACCACTTTTGGGAATACCGATATATAGCTGTGCAACTTCGGCCGCGGTCACATTGCCAATATTGGCCACATTGGCTTGGACAGTCGCAATCACATCGTATAGAGAAGCTAGTCCGCCCTCCGGCGAAGCATCACCTGTTGTGTCACTATCCGGAGGAAGGAAAGACGTGTCGACACTGCTGTTCAAGATTACATTCAAACCAGTATACGTAAACTCGGAATATGTCAATCCGTATCCAAATTCGAAGCGCGGAGTAATGCCATTTTCGATGAAATGTTTGTAGTCAATATACAACCCTTCGGTGAAATTGGACTGGGAGTAGAAAATATTTTCGGAATCCGGTAATGTTGGACCTAAGAGATTACCGTAGTCACTTTCCGTTTTAGCGACTGTATATGGAAGTCTCCCAGATGGCGATTGTCGGCCATACAGAATCTCCGTCAGGGAGCTTCCACTTTCTTGTCCTGGGAGATGGGCAAAAATAACGGCCGAGACGTTGTCGTGTTCAATCCATTGATCAACAAGTCTTAATCCAGCATTATGAATCACAACAATTGTACTGGAACACTGCGAAGCAACATTTAAAACCAGTGTATCACTGTAGGCATCTGCTAGAGTTGATCTATCCCATGACTCCGAGGCCAGAGCATTAATAAAGACGAGGCAGGCATCGGTGGATGTATTAACCTTCGGATTCAATGAAGTGAAGTCAGAGAACAGAGTTGTATTGTCTTGCATGGCTTGCTGGACAAGAGCATCATAAGGCGCAATAGAAATTGTAGGTGTTATCGCACCGGAACCACCGCCCGTTTTTAAAGTCCCATTGAGAGCTACAGGAGGTCCAGCGTCTCCATCAGGGACTATCTCAGCCATATAAAAGTCCATATCTAGGCCGGAGAAAGAATCGCCATTGGGGTATTCTTTAGCATTTGGAATGCCAAAATCGTATAGCGTTGAGTCATCGGATGACGTGTTGAAACCAGCGTCAGCATCATATCCAAACACAGAGAGCACCCGTGGTGTTTTGAGAGGAAGTATCCCATTGATATTTTTCACCAATACATGCCCTTCAACCGCGCTTTGAAAAAGAATGGGGGCAGAAGCCTGAACTCGAGCATCTGTTGAAGCATAGTTGGCTATACCGGGATTATCAAATGGGGCGAAACGGTACCATGAGGCCAGAACTCTTGTAACCATATCGTCAAGTCGACTACTATTAACCGATCCGTTTGAAACAGCAATACTAAGTTGATCAAGGCCCCAAAACCGAGAGTTTGGCATAGCCATGTCAAGACCCGCATTTGCACTTGCGATGCCTGTCTGCTGAGCGTACCAATCACTGACAACGAAGCCCTGGAAACCAAGCTCGGTCTTCAAGTACCCGTTTATAATCTTGCTGTTCTGGCATGCATAACTATTATTAATTCGATTATAGCTGCACATAGCAGATCCTAGTCCTGCTTTAACTGCGTCGTACCAGGGCCATAGATATAGTTCATGCATGGTTCTGTCGTCGATGTTTGATGAGACCGATTGATTGAATAGACCTAGCAAGCCCACGAGGAAAGGCATCCTGTTTGTTTCTTGTTCATTTACAATGAAATGTTTAGCGCATGCGATCACCGACTGCTGTATACCTGACACTGTTGGCGCCACCAACTCGCCTGCCAGATATGGATCATTTGAGAATCCCTCCCAGTTACGTCCTCCCTTAGCAATTCGTCCTAGAGGTCCAATGACAGGCCCAAGCATGACATTAACTCCCTTTGCCTTGAATTCACGTGCTACCTCCTGCGCTCGTTTGAAGGTTAAATTTCTGTTCCAAGATGCCCCGACATGTATCTGTGCGGGATAGCCGTTGACCAACTCGGCCGTCCTTACTCCGCTCTCAGCGTCATTCAAGCAAATACCAGGAAATCCAAGCCGCGAGACGGCACCTGAAAAGCCTGAGCATCCATTTGCATCTAATGCACCTGACAATATTCCAGCTTTTTCTTCGGTACTCATATTTGCCAAAAGCCCACGGGCTCGATCGTAGGCACTGGCCCAAGCGCCTGCGCCAGAACCCTCGGCTTTGGAAGAGTCAGCTTTAGCGTTGTACTATCAATACATCACAAAGAAATTGCAGATACGTCGTAACTCACGTGTCGGGTATACTGGCGGGGATCCTCCATAGGAATAGAACAGTTCAGGGTCGAGTAGTTTGAGAAATTGTTGTTCAGCTTCTTGAGCAGCCCTTGAAATGGCTTCTGCTAGATCCCCAATGGAGTCTGTGAGATGTGCGAGGACAGTAGATATACTGTTCGACGAGGTGGATGAGCCATTTGTTTCGGCAGCGATCGTGGAGGTTGCCTCAGACACCAGCGACTGCGCTGCTGTTGCTGAAGCTGCTAAGGCAGATGATGCTGCAGTGTCGCCGATTGCCAACTGGGAAAAGGCTAACAGCACGATCGCCAGTAGAACCTGGATCCTATTCCGCTTCCACATTGGCACGATGGCAACGTGATGGCTGCTATGAATATCGCGTTAACACCAGGTCAAATTCAGCTTGGTGCCTGTAGTATCGCAAACACAGATTTTACGGCCTGGTCACCGCTGCAGAACGAAGACACAAGTCTCCTAGCTATCGATTCTTGGTATAGAGAAACCATCAACATTCACAGTGTTAAATGGTTGCCGTCATGAGATCGCGTCATTTGCATCCCCTCAGGGACAGTCGAGTAGGGGAAATATTATCACGATCTGCGCGTGACCTGCCGACATGAGAGGGGAAAGATCCCAATTAGGCTGGTACGCCGATCAGCCGTCCCTCGCTACGGTTGCGTAGCACCTTGAATGCACGGAGATTGGCGCGATTACGTGTGCAAGGACCAAGAGTTCAGCCTTTGGTCCATCTAAACTTGACAGAGTGCAATAGTAATCTAGTTCCCGATCTGACATATTGCTTCATTTTGTGGTGCCAGAAACCTTATATCTCTAATCGCAACTATATGGCTTGAATGCATGTGTTCATTAGGGTTTCCTTTTTAAATACAGATCCATAATATCGAGCGCAAAAAATTGTACCCTCCGTTTTTTTTTCCCCCATGCATTTGTTTGATGTCTCACTCCTATGCATGTTCCCGAATGTTGAGCCATTAATATCTGTTAAAAATATTTTCCATTCAACGTTGTCCAGTACGTACGTAACGGGTAACGGAGCACCTGCCAATCATTAGATTTGAAATAAACATCCAAGCTCGGCTGATGATCGTCATCGCCTATAACCGAATTGGGAGACAACTGATTTATTCTACATCAACCCCCTCATTTGCTTCACCCCACATCACTCTGTTCTAATATCTAACACTTAATGCTTCGAATGTTCTTGCGGCGATTACCTAGTAGGTTTTGTGTCCATTTTTGTTAAATGGTTAGAAAGCGATATACATGTAAGCCCAACCTTTTTCTATGCTATTTTGCAGATCTAATCGTGCCAAATTCCAGTGTTAATTGGTCATTCATTAATCGTCATTTATTATAGGGTCTCGCTGACCTTGAAGTAATGTGCTAGGGAATCGTAGGAGACTGAAGGAATGTTACGTAGCCGGGCAAGTTAGTCCCCACGAGATTATTATACCTGGTGGTGATGTCAAATATGGAAATTATTTCCGTCATGTATGAAGTATAAAACTTTGATCTAGAAATGTAATGCTTGAACTCGGATAATGAAATATAGCCATTCGTGTGATCCATAGCGGACTTTGGCTTCAATCGGTTTCCTCCCGTAAATCTATAGACCTGTAATATTAATCGAATCGTATTTGGGAGCAAAATAAGAACAAATGAACCAGCTCGATTCATCATTGGATCTCCGTACTTCTTACTATAGCGCCACCAGCCGAGTTAGCTATAAAGCTAGGTGGGCTTATTGCTCGTCATCAATTCAAGTAGGTGAACCATTATGCAATATCGTACAGTGAATTACATTAATATAGTGGCTCTTTTCGTATTTCTTGCTTCCTGCTTGACTGGGCTAAGTCGCTGGAGTAAAATTGACAGTAATCTTATCACACACTGATACTGTACTCCAGGCAGGAATGCATGGTCTGCGACTGTTTACCTGGCCGGTGACTCCACGATGGCTGAAGGCGGAGGGGAAACAGGAACGCAGGGTAGAATTTCTGGCATTCAGAATTGATGAAAGGGCATTGCAATCTAAAAAGTGTCTCATAGGGTGGGAGAGTATCTCTCACAAGGGATCTTGCTAAACGTCTCAAATAAAGCCCTCGTAGGCCGGAGCGCGAGGTCATACACGCGAGAAGACCGCCAGAGTTAGGGTTCAGGAAGCAACTATGTTGTTATTGAATTCGGACACAATGGCGGTGGTTCACTCAGCCAAGATAATGGGCGGACCGATCGCCCTGGCACAGGATCCGAAACATGCCAAACCACGTATGGCGGACAGATGGAGACTGTATTGGCGTTCCCTACATACGTCTAGAACGCAAGCGTTACGTTTACGGCAAACGGCGCTAGGGTCATAACTTAATTAGTAACTAGACCCCCCTGATAACCCATGGGAGACGGGGTGGTATTTGACTACCAGCACTCACGTTTCGTTGGGTATGCAAAATCGCAGCCGAGATAGCTGATATTGACTACGTTGACCATGGTGCGTACACCGCCAATATCTTTGAGGAATTTGGCAATGATAAGGTCAACTTTAACTATCCAAAAATCTAGGTCCAGCTGGTGCTGAAGTTGTGTCACAAGCATTCCTTAAAGAAGTTCTGCATGCAAACTTGGGAGCGACATTAGTACTACTGGCCTTCCGGGAGAGTGCCTATGACACCGATTAATGTAGTTGCTGGGCACTTTGGTATGGAATACAGTGGGGGGAGACAAATGTTGGAAGCCGTCCTGCTACCAATGATACTTACGTTTCGTTGGATGAAATACGGATTTGCTTTCAAGTTAACATTGAAGGAGAATGGCCTTTCTATTCAAGCATCACTTTAAAAATTTGCCACCATAGCTAGAAATTAAATCGGCCAACTTTTTGTTTCCTATAGTATCATTTGGAGTTTTGAATGGGAAGATTTTCATGTGCCTGTGGGGAATTACAATAACTAATAGATTAGCGCCCGGTTAAAAAAATAGCCCCCAAATAGGGCCATGTATATAAGCTACGGAGTACCTCTTAAATGATCCATGGTTTGGCAGCGCCAAAACCTTCTTTGACCGGCATTAAAACGTGGACATCGAACCGGATTTTTTATCAATTCGTGGATTCCAAAATACGATAGCCGTATTCATAACAATTTATAGGCTGCATAAGAAGACTTAGGAAGAATAGAGATGTCATTCGCACAAGACGTTCTTGATAAATACCCCTCGCTCCAGAAATTGCAGGGCATACCAGAGGAAGAAATTGTGGAATCACACGATGGGCGCGAGATTAGGTTGCTCCGATACATCTATAATCACCCTAAGCTGCATAGCGAACTGCGGGGTTCCCCCAAGAAAATTCTACAGGCTATGGACGAATTTGCCGCAAAAGAAGAGTTTCTGATCAGTATTGGACCTCAAAAGTCTAAGATATTGCAGGATTTGGTCGCATCACACCGCCCGAAACAACTTGTGGAACTCGGGACCTATGTTGGGTAAGTCAAAGTCTGTTTATTATTTTTCGAACTCAATTTATTGTTGTGGCTAGATACTCGGCAATTCTTTTTGGAGACGCCATGCTGCGAGCTCAGCAAGACAGCAGTATAGAACGAGAAGACATCCGGGTGTACAGCATTGAGCTTGACCCTTTAATCGCATCTATTGCGATGAACCTCGTCAGTTTGGCAGGATTGAGTCATATCATCGAAATCGTCGTTGGTCCCTCTGCAGATACTCTGAAACGACTCCACGATGAAGGTGTACTAGCCAGTGGAAGCCTTGATATGCTCTTTATAGATCATGTGGAGGACTTATATCAACCCGATTGTCAACTGTGTGAGAGCCTCGGACTGCTAGATAAGAGTGGATGTCTTGTTGTTGCAGATAATGTTGTCCGGCCTGGCGCCCCATTATACAGAGACTATGTTCGAAGAAATAGTCGCTTTAGAAAGAGTTGGGCAGTTCCCGCGCTGATTATCCCTGGTGACATACCAGTAAGCTTTCCCTATCCTATTTGAGATACAATGATTTCTCTGACGACGATCTAGGATGAAATAGAAATCAGCGAGGTCGGACGTTTACAGGAGTCTGGAATTGCAATTCCCGAGTAGTGCGAATTCTCTTCCGGCACATCTAGAAGATATACTCTTTCCAGATACATATGTATGGTGCTACTATATTAACTGGTGACATTATTGGTAGTCCATGATTGAAAAGTAGTCAAAAACAAAAATACTTAATTGACCTTCTGTATGATCATGTAAAAGAGCCAGGCAGGTTATATCCATGACCTTGATCACGGTCCAAAGGAGGTGATGTGCCATCGTTAAGCAAATATCCCTCGGTCAATATTTGCGAATCTAGCTGCATTAAACTCTCCGCAAGTCTCCCATCACTCCAGGTAATGAAGTCCCACATACTTTCATCCCCGAAGTTGTTATCGGCGTTGACAAAACCGGGTCGAAAAATGCTCTGGTTTCCATCAAATAAAGGTTGTGTTGGCGTAAACCCGGAAAACACATCTAAATTCTGAATGGACGCAGGACTGAGGATGCCATCAACATTTACTCCAGTCTTGGGGGCGGCTGCGCTTGAAGGAACACTTGTTGGAAAACGAAGGGCGGCCTCATAAATTGTGCAAACGCATTTCAGTGTCCTTGATCCAGTTGGACTCCATGACTGCATACGAACTAGCGTCGCGATTGCCATCTTGATAGAAGAATGGCAATTTCCGGTTAGAGCAACGTTAGTTTCATCCTCAATATATAAGGTCACCAGTGGAACGACGACTGCCTGGAAGATAAACCAAACACCACGCCATCCGAGGATTTGATTAGAACAATTGGCAGCAGAAGCCCCGATATCATGAATTGCATCAGCAGAAAGACTAATGCATGTCTCAATTGTGCTGCGTTCCTCAGCCCGCAAAGCCGCAAAGGGAATCCGTCGCATCGCGTAGCTTAGCAGAGCTGGTCGATACAAGTGCATACGTTGTATGATATACCTCCATCGAATAGTGTCACGGTATATTGCCAAGGGTTCCGGACAAGGGTCAAATGTTTTCAGTAAAGGAGGGAGGTTTTCGTACCATTCAACAAGCTGTTGGTCTAGGCTGATTAGATCCTTGTATGCTAGAAGCGGAACAACTGCCATGGCTTCGTGAATCTGTGTAGTGATTCGACAGTATCGAACGCTTTCGATGAGTGGTAGAGTCGCAATTAACTGATCCTAGACACAACATAAGTATCTGCATTCAAGTCAAAGAAAAATAGACTGGTATAAACATACATTCCCGGCGGCACAATGAGGGAGCTTAGCAGTGATGCCGGCTGACCAACGGCCTAGACTGGGACGGCCTAATGTCTCTGTCCCCCATGTGTCCAAACAAATGAGGGACCACCATACTCTTCGTCGCATGTCAATAGCAGCATCGTGGTTCCTGGTACTTTTGTTTTCATTCAGAAGAAATTCTTTGTGAAGGCCAAGCGAGGTGGCCATACGAAGTGCCGCTCCCATGAGTGAATATGCTAAGTTGGGCTGGCTGATATAATGCAGATAATGACCACCCATCAAGCCAAAAGTTTGAATGGTCTCTATATGGGGTCTACCAAACGCACTAAATTCGATATAGCTCTTAGAGCGTTGGTAGTAAAAATAGTGGTCCTTGTTGTTGGCTGGGGTGACGGAAATACTTCCTAGCGCCAGCACAATATTCAGGAGCGACAACCAGCGAGGGTCATTCCTTTGCTGTCTCAAGTACGTATTGCGGAATGTGACCTCATCAATGATGGGAGCAGTAGGGTGGAAATAAAGAAAATACCCGTCGATTAGGTATTTCTCATCGCAATAAACGGGATGCGACGCCTTCGGTAATATATTCTCTTTCTCACCCCGAAGTTCCAACATGATACTGCTTATAGTAGTAGAATATTGGGTTAGATCATTACATGCAATAAAACTAACTCTCTGGGGAAATTCTGGTTGTAGCCAGGCTATGACTTTGAGTGCAGCTGCGACCGACGATGCGCCAAGATAGGATGAAGGCGGTTTTGATGACAACGCCAATGCATTAACGTCATCCGAAAAATTACTTATTGTGTCCTGGCTCTCAGTATCATGTTCACCCTCGAGCTCCTCGTGGGGCATCATTTGCAGCGTTGCTAAATCCCCACTCGTCTCAGAAGAAGGTGAGACTTGCGTCTCTAATGGTGGAGATATCGCTCTGGATGGCGGGCCTTGTGATACCAGGTCCTGTTTGGCTAGATGAAGCAGCTCCAACGGCGATAGATCGGCCAGTGAAGCTAGTTCAGCCGTACTCTTGTTAGGAAGTAGTTTTTTCACGATACGCTCAAATGCGTCTGCCGTTTGGCGATCCTGGGAATGGAGGTCTTGATATCGACACGACTCTGTTCTCTGATACCACTGACATGATTCACAAGGCCGCTGGCCGTCGCAGCGAATTTTTCGACGTCGACACTCATCGCATGCGCGGACCGAGTTATTTTTTCGGCGGTTTGAAGAAGAGGTTATAGAGGTCGAAGCAGCCTTGGCGGTGCTGAATGTGTGGAACATTTTCTTGACAGCGGAGTGAGGAGGGCAAATGGTACACATACCACTACCTATCAATCGAAGGTTGCAAGTAGTTAAGGCAGACACAATATTAATATCGTCATCGTTAGCTAGTTTAGCCGACGAGATGATGGTGGACAAATTCAAAGTACAATGCTGAGATGTGCGAGTTATAGGCACATGAGAGGGATTATGTTAAACGATTGTAGATGAGCGAATATGTAAATCAATCTGGTGAAGGGCGGCGAAAAAGCTGGGGCTGCCGGTACTCGCGAGGCTTCCCCGCATTTTAAGACCTTTGGTCTGTCTCATTGAGTAGAACGTTATCAAACCCTGCGCTTACCGAGAGAACTAAAAGCTAGTCTTCATTCTAGAAGGCGTGTAAGAGAGCGAGCTATGCTCCGTACGTTGTCAAAAAGAACAAAAATAAAATAAAATAAGAATGAAAAGGTCAATTGATAGATTGTCATTCTAGATCTATTCACAGTATATAATACTCTCATTTTCTACGTGTGCTTTAGTACTACAGAAGCAACTTGATTTCTATTACAAGTTATGAACTAGATGATATGAATCAACTTCGGCATCGCCCTGAACTGAATCGTAACGAGCCACTAAAAGTCTCTCACGACAGAACATTTATGAATTGTTGACTTTGGTCACGAATTATCACGTGGAAATATTGCTTCGGCTGTCTGTGATAAAAGAAAGGCAGCATGTAGCGAAATTGGCCCCTGAAATTAACTTTCAAGGCAAATACGTACTTTCATTTGTGTTTTTTCTTTCTTTCTTTCTTTCTTTTTTCGATGTACTTATGCAATGTGTAATCAGGAGAGGGCATCACTGCTAACAGGTTGGGAATGGGAAATTTTCACGATCTCAACCTAAAAAGCATCAGCCTAGGGGTTTGGAAGGTACAATATAAATCATGGTGTTCTCATTCGCGGCACAGCGAAGAAAACGGTTGCTAAGGGGCCGTAGAAAAGGCATCAGCAGAATATATTGAACCGGATACCTAGTTTTACTTCTCAAGTCTGTTGGCCCAAGTTATTAACGAGGGGAAACCAAAAAGAAAAGAGAAAAAGCAACCGGTTAGGGTCTAGACTAACAAGCCAGTTCCGAGTCGGGAACGGTCTCTCCGCGCTGTAAAGGGCAAAGCCAAAGACCTGGTTAGTCAGCCAGGCTTGCCAATCCTCCGACAACGGCGTCGGATAGTCATGTGACAGATATTCCGGAATTAGAACTAGTCCTGACTAGTCAGTCATGTGATCATTTCCATTAAACTACTGAGAATCCTCATCTTCACGAAAATCAAACTCTCGTATACCTGGGGCCCTCATCTACCCTAGCTCAATCCATCAATATTTTTCACATGTATTCGACACCTGACATCCTGCTTCACGAACCGCGTCGTGTGCGATTCTTGACTGGCTCGCTACTCCGTTCGGAGTTGACTATGCCACTCTGGGTGTGCTGCGCTGCTATAAATGGACTATGCTGTATGTAGTATGGCTGGAATGAGACTCCTGCAAGCCACCGACTTCCGGACAGTTCCGCAAATAATAATAATAATAATGATAATTTCGTCTCCGAACCGCTCTAACTTCACACTGTCAAGATTACGCCGGGCAGCAAACAATACAAAACCTGTTTTTCGATTGGCCACCTACCTATCAAAGTCCTACGGAGTGATAAACATACCTCCGCCTGTGCAGAGTAAAAAAATCTCATACCTCCAAATTATGAGTTGCACCAACCTCAGTGCATAGTTACTAGTTTCTCAAAGGTCATTCCTGTATTGAAATACGCCTTTTCAACTAAAGATAAAATTAAAATTATTATTTTACAGATTTTTGATATTAACTGAGGTTGGTAGTCTGCCGTCGGCACTAAACATTGTTTCCTGAACTTGTTTCTAATCACTGCTTTCAGTGAGCTGCCAATTCGAACCATCCAGGACAAGGGAAATTCTAAAAGAATATACAATTCTATTTATGAAAAGAGGGTGTTGTTTATTTGTATAGCTTTCCTGACGCGTAAATGTAAGTAAGCTGCAAACCTGGAGCTGCACAGCTAGTATCTGGAGCAAGCCGAGCCACTTCCAGCACCCCTGCGAGTTCCCTTTTCTGAATAATTTGGCGACTGTGACGTGGTGTGATATCCCAATTTAGGCCACGGCTATGCTTGTGAACGGCCTACCGGACCAATTGGCAGTCACCACTGTGCAGGCTACTGCCACCTAGCGCACCATTCTACTAGTGCCCATCCTGAATTGGACAAGACGAGGCCAGATCGACCTCGCTATTCCCTCTATGGTATCTCGTGTGAGGTTTGGTGCCAGGTGATTGGCCCAATGTTTATTTTAAACATGGGTATTCGGCCTACATCAACAAAGTGAGTGATACAATAGTGATATCAAATAATTAATCGCTCATCTCACAGTAAGCACAGAGCACACGTGCAGGGCACAGCCATTGGTAAACGTTGTCGAATCCCTGACTGAACTAGTCGCGATGTCATATAAAATGCCCGTCGTCGCCCTTTTCAAATCGGCGATGTTTCGCCAGGCATTGTTATTGGTATTACAGCCATTCCGTCTTCAAGGCGAAAAGAAAAGCGTTCACCTAGCCGAAAGACAAGATATTCGTATACAACAGAAATGCGGCAAGCAATTATCAAATTAGCTCTAGGTTACCTAGTAGCCTTGGCAGCAGCTTCACCAATTCGGCGTCGCTCGCTAAATAACAATGTCGTCGACGAGTTTGAAAACATCGATAGTTTTCCCAATCCAAGCCCACAGCAGCTCCTCAGTACTGAGCAGCGCGCTCATGGTACTCTCAGCAACAGCACACCCCCGGCATCGGTTAACCCAGACACCATAATCAGTCTGCAGGTTATCGCTGCGCAGGAGCAGTTCGAAGCAGCCTTTTTCCAACAACTTCTCACCAATGTCACCAATTGTGAGCCAGGCTTTTATATAGACGACATCGACTCTAGGGATTTCACTATTAAGGCCCTCACGGCAATCGTTGCTGTATGTATTTCACTCTGCTCCCCACGTCCTGCCAAGTCGGCATTGGTACTAACAACCGAATCCATTTTAGCAAGAGGAGCTTCATGCTTTAGATGCAATTACCGCTCTCAAGCATTTTAACCAAGTTCCTGTGGCACCGTGCCTGTATGATTTTCCAGTATCTACCCTGGAAGAAGCCATCACTCTGGCCCAAACATTTACTTCCGTGGTGCTCGGCACACTGCAGAATGTTGTAGTGAATATGGGAAAAAATGGCGATGCTGCTTTAACGCAGGATATTACTTCTGTCATTGGTCAGGAAGGTGAACAGGAAGGCTGGTTTCGTCTCTTAAACCGCCAAATCCCGAGTGAACTGCCGTTTCTGACCAACTCGGTACGAGACTTCGCTTTCAATGCTCTCAACCAGAGTTTTATCACGCCTGGATCCTGCTCGAACTTGAATGATATTACTTCATTACAGAAGTTGCATGTAATGCAGCCATTGAATGTCGTGAAGTCATTTAACCCCAGCAAAAATAAAGACGAGATCATTCAATTGAGCTTCCAGTTGCCGGCTGGGTCTGCATCTACGGATTTTGTGGTGGCGTACATCAACCAACAGAACGTCCCCTTCACACTTCCGTATACCAAGGTGGACCAAAAGGGAGACGACCTCTTAGTGCATGCCCCTTTCCCATACACCGAGCATAAGCTCAACGGGCTTACAATTCTCGCTATTGTTCCCGCGTCTGCTGCTGGAAGCCTGACGTCTAACCAGGCTGTAGCCGACAACACACTAGCAGGACCTGGCTTAATCATTGTGAAGTAAAATGCGGGCCTGTTTCCACGTTTCTTTATTTCATGATGTTTCTCTAGAGTCTAATTAGCCACCCAATAATAGTAAATATTAATCGTACGTTCTATCCATGAAATGCACATAAGCTTTATGTACTGGATAGTCTCAAAAGGTGGAATTATTCAAGTTTAAGGTTACAACTCACCGTCCATATTGATTAACAGCCGACTTGATTTTCAGGGGTGGTTTTTATCGCAACTGCATTTACACGTGTTTACTACGCATATTATAATATACTACATAGGTAGATTCAGAGTCAGGGTCAGTGGCACAAGAGATTATCTATATATCAGTCTGCCCACACAATTAGAAGTAGATCATGGGTTCCGCTCCACTGTGAAGTTCAAATTAGTACTACTTCTTTACTCGTAGTTATGTCTAATTCTATATATCGATGGAAATCTTCTTACTTCAAGAGTGCTAATATATGAATAAAGCCAGAAGAATAGTAGTGAAGAGTAGTCCAAATACACACTATAGAAGAGAAGAGACATATGGTTGAGAGAAAAGTGATAAAATGGAATAACGAAGACACTGAGCTACACTGTACGTTTATTATTTAGCTACCGGGTTATTCCCAAATTTTCCTCAATATTAACGGTTTCACCTCATATCGACGCTCTCAACCTCGTCATGATGGCTGACAATGTCGTTATTCTTTTCCCCTCCATTTTCTTTGTAGTGCTACACCTCCTCTTGAAACATATTTTTTATCTGCATTGACCGCCAAGATTTCACATCTGGGTTAAAGACAATATCGATCTCTTCGATCTCTTCAAGAGACCTCAGTACAATTTAGTGGTACATGAAGAATATTTGGAAAATCATCGCCCTACAAGAAACCGCCGATGATTATCTGCGCCTTCCACTGGATGTTTTTGAATGCAGGAGCAATAAAGTAAGTGAGCGCACAATTGAATGTCCAGTTAGCAGCTGCGGATATAAAGACTTCCTTGGCGCAATATTTGAGTGGGACATTTTTTGATCAGTAAATCCATGCTGTGGGTGCCTCATTCAAACGATCACATGTATCTAGCAAGACCATTTTTACCTCGAAATATCGAGAGGGTTCCCGAAAACTTCACATATCCATGTTAAACCGTAGGCCGCTATAAATATATACGAAGATGCAATGACACCTTTGGCTGGTGCTCCGGCGATTGACCCCTGTAAGTTATTGTTTCCGTTCACTTCATTTTCGTAGTGGCCATGACTAGCCGTAAGACCAGCAATGGTAAAGTGAAGTACCATACATATCACAGATCCAACTAGTAAGAGTGGCCGTTAGCCGATGGAGTCAATCCTTGATAGCATGGTCCCGGTCGTCAGCAAGAAGATGACCCTATTGAATCGCGGAAGAATTTATGAAGAGTGGTGTTGCCAGTCTGAGTTACAGTCAATAAACGAACAAACTGGAGAAGGAAAGAGCAAAATAAATTTGATGCCTGTCAATCTCACTAATCATTCCAGCCATTTCAATCATATAACTAACATCAATTGATAATACATTGCAACGTTTCCACCTAACAACTGTTGCCACATTTGTACTATCATGCCGCATACCATTCGTTCGAGATTCGTGGTCCAAAAAGCGAAAGAATAGATACATCCTTGGCCTCATGTGTAATGTGAGTGGCTTCTTGAACTTCCTCGAACTCTACCTGCACTACCGGGTCGTTACTATTATCATTTGCGTGCAGAGCCACCAGTCTTCCCATCGTTCCCGAGAAGGTAGCCAGGTGGAGATTCGGGGGGGGGGGGGGGGGGGGGGGGTAATATTAGTGATGCCACGAGAATCAACCCAGGTAAACCTTGAATTCAGCAACATGTTCTAAACTCGGTAGGTCCAGAAACGCCAACGCAATAACCATATGCAATCAGGAGCATAATTGAATGCCCCACTAAATAATCCATGGTTAGTTCCAACAATTTGACTTAGAATAAATTCAGCTAGGTACACGCAGACCTGTGAAGATTTGACGCCGACTATGCGACAATTATCAGCATTGAAATTTCGTCCCAAATAGCTTGACTAACAGCGTACCTGTAAGACTACTGACAACCCGTCCTGCCATTAAGCCATTAAGTAATCAACATTTTGTGAGTACAATTAAACTGCCGCCCCAACCTCAACCAATATAGTCTGACAAGGGCTCAGCAGTATTCGCTCTAGCAAAGGAACTAGCCGGTATAGAAGCGGTGATCCACAGCACATCAGTCATCAAAAATCAACCTTTACAAGGAAAAAATGTAGATTAACCCGCTTTGTAAATGGGAATCGGGACTATCAAAATAATTAAGATATTGTTTGTGCTAATCCACACACTCACAGAGCTGACTTCAAAGTTAGCGGAAGGCCTCGACTCGTACCAAAACTTCTAAGTTACCTGACACCAAATCCAAAAAGATCACCGCTAATGGTGCCAAACGCTGCCAGTACTGCAATCAGTGTCAGCTATGTCATCATATAGATTGAAATCTAGGCCAAGCAGGACTACTGCATACCTTAAATATTCGTAATTTGGTACATGTTGATTTAGTTCAATGTTCCTCTTCCAATTCCACAATGAGCCATTGGTTGTTTACAGGTTGCCGCCAGATGAGCATTATAGATATAATAATTAAATTGAGAATCAAATAGTTGGGGATAATTAGATTGAATGATATTGTCAGGTTTTGTTAGGTAATCCGTTGACCCGCGGAACATGGGTAGTATTTCAAACCCACCATCACTGACATGTGGTATCAAAAACTGGAAGCCTTTTGTCGTAACTTAGGCCCATAGAACCAAAGTATTAAAGGTCCCAATATCCCGATCACAATATACAGGCAAGCCAAAAATGTATTCCCCCAACCATATCCCATCGTAGTGTACATTGCCGGTGCAAATAGCGGAAATCCAAAGGCAGTCAGGCTGCGCAGAAACTGGGTTGCCGCAGATGCCGAACTCGCATGATCTGGGTATGAGTCAATCACGTAAGCCTGTAGTGCCTGGCCACCAAACGTCATACCAAAGGCTAGAATGGCGGCACCGATATCCACAACAAGCCAGTGGCTATGCGAATATGCAGTCCACCCGTAGATAAGAAGGCCTGTCGGCGCAAGTATTGCAGAAGGGATCATAACAGGGACCCTATATTCAGGTGCAGCAGCACCCTTAGCTTTGTCCTTGAGACGGCGGAAAATGGTATCGATAACATGGCCACTAACAAATGCACCGACAACCTCACCCAAACATATGGAGATATAGTGCAACCCACTGATTGAAATTGATTCTTCGTATTGCGAGGTCCAGAGGTCAGCAAATGTTGACAGCATTATATACAATATTCCATAATTGAACCCAGACAGGCAAGCTTGGATCTGGATAATAGGATGAAATGCCAGTAGCCGCATGGGCCTTGTCAAGCTTTTTTGAAGGATCCATACTGCCGAGCGACTATTAAAATCCCGTTCAAACTGGGTGTAGTATCTGCTATCACCCGTGGATTTCCTCAGCCGCTTTGCTTTTCTATGGAGTATAGTTGGAGCATATGTTTCCCGAAAGGCGAAGAGAGATGCCACCACCATCAGACCTTGAAGGACAGATGTTGACCAAAATATCCACCTCCAGGTCGTAGCCTCCGTGATAAAACCACCAATAATGGGGCCAATTGCAGCACCTAGCATTGGTATAAGGATATACAAGCCTAAGGACCTGCCTCGTTGTTCGGCGGGCCATATGTCGCTGAGCACTCCTCCTGCGAGAGCATATATCGCACTTGCCCCGAAACCCGCAAGAAGACGTGATGCTATAAGTAGCCCTTTGCTGTTTGAAAACCCACAGACAATATTCCAAATTAGGAACCAAATATTTGTTCCATGCAGTACAGGGCTTCTGCCGTATACTTCCGATAGCGGGCCGATGATCAAGGGCCCGAATGCGGTAGCAAGGAGGTACACCGACATGCTCATGACTGATTCTTCATTATTCATACTCAAAGAGGATGCTATATTGGTAAGTGCGGGAGCCATGATGGTTGAGACCATGATACGGTTGAGACCTGTTGCGGACAAGACGCCAGTGACGATCCATTTAGTCGTATCAGGCCAACACTTTGGGTCGTCAGGATCAGGTGGCGAAGTAAAATCAACACGGTACTGATCTATCTCAGGGTCTTCTGTTTTTATTCCCTTTCCGTTTTCCATGTCCGATGACTGGACTGTAAGGACAGTATTTTTTTCATCCTCGGTGGGGGTAGACATGATAAATTTGGTTAATAGTCGTCAAAAAGACAAGATTTGGATCTATGTCCCATTAAATACTTTCATTTTCAAATGATGCCAACAAGTCACGCCACCGGGAAAAGAAAATAAAATTCAAAAAGGTAACTTATTGTAATTGGTATTTATAGTTACCTACCGAACATAGTTAGATTGTGCGCTGAATGCGCCCAAGCCAATCGGAGCATCCCGCTGTCCCTTTAGCGCCTCTTGCGACATCAGATAAGATTAGATGCCATGACTCTCGCTTCCAAGGAACACCCTTGGCAACGTCGAGGCTGAGAATTCAAATATCCTTGATTCTCGATTCCCTTGCAGAATGACACAGTCAAATGAGTCCAAAACTGAAAATGGTGGCCAAGGAAAGCGCATGCACAAAAAATCGCGCGGCGGTTGTATCACGTGCAAGTCAGTCCCGCATCTGCTATTATTCTTTATCATCAACAAATGCTGACGGGATATTGATTCAGGATACGTCGCAAAAAGTGTGATGAGATGCGACCGAGCTGTCAGAGATGCACTGGTACTGGTCGAAAGTGTGATGGCTATCTATCGATGAAAATCGACAACCTCGATTTTTCGTCTACGGGCAGTAACTTGTTAAAATCCGGCCCCAGTCCGGTATACCTAGGCTACAAGGCGTTATTGGATCACTTTCGTCAGGCAGTCATTCCACAGTTCACTGCATATTATAACAGCACACTTTGGCAGGTCATTCTTGCACAGACATCGGTGTCTATGGAAGATCTCCCATATGCCGCTGTCGCTCTAGGTGCTGCCCATTATGAGCATGAAAACTACGGTTACAACCCCAAAGGAAATAGGCTGAGCACGTTACAAGTATATATTAATGCTCTATCTAAATCCCGGGAGGCACTATCACGCCTACCGAGGGAGCATGCGGTCTGGACTGGCTTCACCTTATCCTATATACTAGCCGCGGTGGAAATTCTGTGCGACAATCCATATTCAGCCAGTGTGCATTTGGCAAATGGCTTGAAGATTGCTTTTTCTATGAAAGAAGACGCTATTTACAGTCCACCCATTATGAGATCCGATTGTCCTTTGATTGAGGAAACGATATGTCTCATTCGGAGGCTGAAAGTCGAATTGTCTGGAGTCCTCGACGATCATAATAAAAGCCCTCGCCGTGAATCGATTGACAAGACTGCGAGACGCGGTCTCAAAACCGCCTACGCTGGTCTAATCGTATGCGTCAATCATATTCTCAAGCTGCTAGATGAGACCGACATCCCGTCAGACAGATTTCACTTGCTCCTCAATAAGTTAGAGGATTGGGATACTCACTTGGCCCGCCTGGTTATAGCACCTGCTGACAATGTGCTTCATGCATTCCAGATGATGAAAATAAGTCGTGAAGCTGCTTTTCTTTTACTTCTGGGAAAGAGCTATTTCAATAACTCTATGGCAGTCAAGCAATACAACGATAACTGTTTGCTTGAATTAACAGCATACCTTTCTAAGCTGCTCATGCTCGAAAGCCACATAAAATCTGCAAGGGATTTCATGACCCATTTAACTCCGGCGCAATTAAAACTACTAGCAATTCGACACGGACTCATTCCAATCAACGTCTCCTCTTGTAGATTCGATATGGTACCCAAATTGGCAGTACCCAATGCAGTCGAACGCCTAGTGATGCTCGATGAGAACGCTGTTAAAAACAGTGGACTGGTTCCTGTGGAAGCATTGTGTATGGACATTACAAGCGCATTGGAACGAGGGTTAGTTTCAATACGTTATTGTTTGAAGGATGACAAGGATGCTTTCGTTTGGGTAGAACGACGGGTGCGGATATGGAAACCGGCTGTGTTTAGGAATGTAGAAGGATAAAAATATTTTTAAATTTTTTATTAACTTCTTTATAAATATTAAAGAAATATTTTTACAATATTCATTTTAAACGATCTATTTTAAATATCTTAATTTTAAAGTAATCATTGCATACTTAAAGAATAGTTCTAGAATATCAAATCTTAAAAGTGTTCTAAAGTTAAAAAACAAAAAGATTCAAAAATTGTTTTTCAAAATTTAAAAAGAAAGTTATCAAACGTATCAATGTTTCTCCAACGTGGTGTGTATATACAGTGGTAAACAATCAATATATACGGTAATCAAAAAATGTACAATAATAGACAACAGAATGATATAAACGAATATATCTTCCGTCGTACTTGCAGTGTGCCAATATCGAGTTGTTGATCGTAGTTGGCTAAGAAGCCTGTGACACCAAGCCCATTAACATCATTATCTACCTTAAGGTGAAGAAGATATTACCCCGAAATTAGTTGAAAGAAACAAACTAATACATGGCAGTGCATCCGTTGCCCTTAATATCGCAATTTGCCAAGTATTCCCACGTAACGAAAGTGGCCGCGGCGGGAGACTTGGAGAAATCCACGCTTGCAGTTCCGTTGCAGACAAGGCCAGATTTGGCAGTATTGATTTTGTCGCAGTTTGTGGCTCCGTCAAGAACAACAACATCGCTGCAACCACTGCCGTGCTCGGTTTCAACCCACATGGTGCATCCGGCTCCTTGTGTGATATTGGTGTTGCCGATGGTAAAAGTGGTCTTGCCGACAGGGTTAGAAGCAGTGGCAGTAGGGGCTGCAGAGACCGCACAGGCCAGAACGGCGAGAACAGCGACCAGGCTCTTAGGGACAGACATTTTGGATCCGAATATAATGATTATAATATATAGTTTTTCGACGGTCGATTGTTTGAAGGTCCAAATTGTGTTAATAGTATATAGGGAGGGAAAAGAAAATCTAATGATCGAATGTATGTCTTATTTATACCATTCATTATGGATGAGGACTACAGATGTGCTATAACATATAAGTGTTAGTGTACTTTACACCTTCTACCTAATGAAGCTATATAATACACTAAGTAAATGTGACAATATGTTAAAATGTAACCTTATGTGACTCTGCATGCCGATAGGATTTATAACAATTAATATGCTAGAAATAGAATGAACGCTGATCTGTAGAGTAATTCCTATTTGCCAAGTCTTTCGGTTGGTACAACTTTTTAAAAGCGATTGATACTTGGTGGTATCGTTCCCGGTTATGAGGTAGTATTCACTGATACTAAATCGTTGGCCCCCCCTTGTAAGGAAACACGGGGAATCACAGCTTGTTCTAGAGTTGGTAAAATTCTAGAGAAGAATAAATTCAGAATCGAAAAACTCATCATACATATCTAAGCTACTAAAGAGTTGACAATATCTCTTGATAAAGCCTCGCAACTTTTCACTCAAACAGGGACATTCATTGTCAGTTGAAATTAGAATAATAGTAATCGTACTGAACATAAAATGAACAAACTACATCATTGATGTAGTGCACTTGCGTATGTGAATCAATCTTTAAGTCAAATCTTATCAACCGTGCTGAGTTAAACATGTTGATTACATTCGATTATATTCAGCCTTCATGTAATTAAAAGGCTAAGAATCCACCTGTAAATCAAAGATCCAAATATTACGCACTTTTTGGCAAATCTAAGCCGCCATGATTATTTGGGGTTTTAGATGTCCAGATTCCGTAGATCTGTTCGAAAGTGAATACGCGGTAGACCTACCTAATTCGGAATTATAAGTATCCACCCAAATTGCGCGACCTATCATTAAATGTATCAACAACTTGACATTGAATGGAGTAAGTGTCACATTGACGATTACGTATTCATAGCTCAGAGGCTCAGTGTAGTCGTACAAATTGAGCAAATAAATAATGGGATAAGTTGGAAAAGATGACATGTTTGATGTTACCTCCGCTGTCATCACGGCTATTTTCAGACTAGTAATTTGTTTCGAGTCGCTAGATCGGGTTGACATTGCAGATCCTTCAATCATACTTCCTATAGACGACCCCGAAAGGTCGAGACTTAAACAAAGAGCAGTTTTGTTTCTGATTGTTTTTTATTATCATTTGTTCATTGAATGTATGGGTGCCATTTAACTGGTCGCGGTGCTACCCTTGTTCTTGGGGTATGGTATGTCATCCACCACCCCCATCAGGATTCGCATTGCAGTTTCTAAAGATCCTTTCAACACGGTCCATGACACCTAGGCTCCTCGTCCCCACATGTATATTTTACTACTTGTTAAGAGACAACAACGTAACTTTGTAGATGCCATTTTTCCACTAGAGGATGTTTCTCAAGATTGAGATGTAGGAATTGTAATCGCTATGCTCATTAAGAACGCCAGGCATTGGAAATATTTACATCGTGGCACAAGGAAAGACACACTACTGTTATGAAATTCACGATCTGATACATACTTTCTGTACGTAACTGTTAGGGCCTACTAGTACTCTTGGTATGGCAAACCTTTGAGGTGTACTTTGTCTACTACCGTTAGTGCATAGATTACCTCGATGTACCTACTATCTTCAACAGAGGGCACTGCGATGGCTACTGGGCTTGATTTAATGGGGCCCCGATTCAAATGTTTCAATAGCTCCATCAATTCCTGCTCAGTAAGTCGATAAATTCCAATGCCTCTCTATTCAGGCTAATGTTATGATTCCTCTTATTCCGTTTGCCATTGCTCTAGTAAACCTTTCTTGTTCTATTCTTGCATATTGCTATTTTTCACGATGAAAGGGATATACGAAAGAAGCAATGAGTGGCAAGCACCAAACCGAAGTGTTACAAATTCGGCGCTGGCTCACCTCTATAACCAGAAAGATCGATCTCCGCTGGAACAAAGTCAAGATGACAAGTGAGGTTATCTTGACCAAATGCCTTCAAAATACTGGCATTACCATTGCTATACTCTACACGCACCTGGTTGACGGTCTGACGGCTCGCGTCACTCGATAAAAAGTTTGATGGTATAAACTGTATCCCAGAGTGGGCTGTGGTGAATACGGTGTTTGGCAAGTCGCCTGTGTGCGGAAGATGGTGCATTCCTAGATTAAACCAGACCACAAGGTCAGTCTGGGTGAGGTTTTCGCCGTCGAAGAAGGTATCAAAGTTGATAGGAGGGTCATAAACGTCCTCCAGGTTATAAGGGTGGGCAGATCGGGGCTCGGTGTCGTGTTGCTTGGTGACTTGTAGATCATAGCCAGCCCATTGTGCCGAATTGACTAAATTACTGGAATCCTGTACCGTTAGATGTGCGGTACCTGTGTAAGGCGCGATTCGATAGCCGGGGAATTCCCCAAACTTAGTTTTCTTATTTGTGTTGACAACAAGCACCTGAGTAGCAGAATTTGGGTCCCAGTTGAAACGACTCGAATCTTCATTTTCCAAAAAGCTGCGTTCAAGCATCATCGTATTGCGGGCCTTATTTCCTGACCAGGTAAAGGATCGATTCACCGGAACCACACGAATGAATTGCACCGTATTATCTTCCCCTAGGATATCGAAGTCGGCTTTGAAGTTCAACACATGGTCATGCATGGACCCTGATAGGTAGTCATGGATACGATAGCCAAAGTCGTCATTTTGAGCATAGAATGCTCCATGAATGTATCCTGATGCGCGGACCTCTACACTAATTGAGCCGTCCAGGAAGAACGAGTAGCTAGTAGTGACGTCAGAAATGTATCCAACATGACAAGTCTCCTCATACTGTACCTGAAAAGATAGTCGTAATTCCCCACAGTCGATACCGATCGTACAGTGAAATAGACGTTTTTCGTACTGCTTGCATATTTGGTACTCGTGTGCCTTTGTATTGGGAAGTCCGCATCGAACTCGAAGAGACAAATGTTGTTCAGATAGGGAACGCTTGTTTCTGAAATATATGCAGATGAGTTTAGGTAAGTTGCGTAAACAGGACAATCGTAGCCTTTGAGCAATTCAAACGAATCTAGTCCAAAGCCAGAGAAACTGTCTAAATACGCCGTCCCGGACGTCACAGGATCGATACCTAGACGGGATCAGCGTAAGACCCATGAGCTTTCTTCGTTCTACATACCCGCATAGTGAGCAAGAGCTTCTTGAAGCCCCAGCTCATACAAGATTCTGTCACCTTTAAATCGAACATCATATAACGTCAAACCAGTATCACGTGAAAATCCAAGATAGAAGCTAAAATCCATCCAAGTTACGTATTTTTGCTCCCCATCAACGGAGTATCGTGATCCAGTAGGGGCAACAGGAGCCGGGGGATAGGAAGTATCTCGGGGTAGGATTGGACCTTGCTGGTCTGTGCTTGTCCAGCTTCCATCAACATTTGCACCAAGCTTCACAAAGTCAGGGGAGTTGAATGCAGCTCTAAAAACGTGCGTATTCTCATAGAAGACATTATTGTACAGCCATCCTTCCAGCTTCCATTCTGAAGGGTCTCGCCCCGTAATGTCGACCTTGAAGGACAGTCCTAGAGGCAGGAGAGAAGCGGAGTCAAATTCTCCAGTAGGTAGGTTTGAGAATGTATACCAACCTATAATGCGACCATCGTCCTGCCAGAAAGGGCTAATGCCTGCCAGACTGATGGTGTCATTCTGTAGGCCAAATGCTGTACCATTCCAGAGCTCAAGCGTAATGTCAGAGATGGATCCAGTTATAGTGAACAGCCATTCTGTCAACTTATTTTCACTTGCTTCTAGATTGCGCACCCGACCCTGTGTTTTCCTGGTGTAAGGGTATTCCAAATTTTCCCATTGTGTGGTCCCATTTTGAACCGGTAAAGGTCCCACAAGTATATCAGCATAGTATGGGTTGACGGATGCGCGGTGCGCGATCACAACGTGGGCAAATCTCGCGGGCTCCGGCCCATTCTGGTCGATGTATGTCAATGCATTCGTTTTGTTGGGATACATAAGCTCTACTAATAATCTGTGATAGTTTCAGTGCCCACAAAGAAATCATAATGCAAAAAGCTACTCACACTGTATTGTCCCAATCGCCGGCTGCGCTGGTCTTAGTGAGGTTTAAATCTGACTGTGCAAAGAGCCACTGGGTGACGGCCGCAGTTTCAGTATCCGTCAGACTATTCCAGACATTCTGCTTTGGTGCAGTGATCGTTGCCGCATGGTTGTTTACACAAACCGTTGTCAACCATGAGTCAGTCCTCTGCTGAGGCTTCGATTTGCTAATTCGTTTCCACGCTGTGCTCTCTACCCTAGGCACCGCTAGGGATGAACGTAGCAAAAGAATAAAAGCGAACAGGCCAATAGGGAATATCATTGTCGTGGGCAAATTAGCCCTTCAGTGATGAAGTCTGAAGGGAAAAGAAATGCCGTAAAGGTCAAAAGTGTCGCGCCCGAATTAACAGCCTTTTGTTTTGGGGAGATGGTGTTAAGATATCAGCGAAGTTAAAGAAAATAGTTTATTGGTTGATTATTTATTTTGCACTATTGTGCACTAGCGAGAGAACCAAACTTGTGTGGTAATTGCTTTTTCTCGCCTGCATACAAAGGGGAAGGTGAGGACTCGGAAACGTGGCGCTACTCTTCCGACTATTCTGTGGACTCGTATCCTCTGTCAACAGAATCGATAGCCTGTGATTCTTGAAGAAAGATTTACGAAAATAAATCAATTGACGCGAAGTATATGGTTGAGATAAAGGGGGCCCTCAACACCCTCTAAGGAAACTGCCTTTTGATCCTAGTCGATCGATTAATAGGTTGGCTATCTATAATATAAAGGGGACTTATGGTTGACCACGCAGCGTTGTACACATGTGTATTGTCCGACTCAATTCTCCTAGCCTTATGCTTGGCTGTGGTACAATAATTTTATCACCCAGCTAATGATGATGCCGTGAAACGGATTGCGGAGAATATTGGGTACCCATGTCTCAGAAATTTGACGTGTCATATAGAACGACGGACAAGCGGGTTACCCCTTTTCCTTTTGTCGTCTGTTTCCAAGTACCGGGATCCTATTGATATTGAAAAGGATATTTAGGATATTTATCTAAACAACCTTTAAAGGACGCATAGACACAGAAATTTCATCTTTTTATTTTAAATTCGATTTTTTAAGGTTTCTAGGTAAAACCTGTTCAGTTCAGATTCATGTTATTTCTATTAAGAACATGGATTACTTGATCAATTTAACGTTGCTGTATATCACTCAATTACATAAATTGATATAAGTTATCATTTCATCAATGATACAGTGATTAGTTTAATCTTATGTGTATGTGACCGATCACAAAGGTACGGAAGATTGTGGATCAGAGTTGTATAGCTAACCAATACTCGGGGAAAGAAAATGGTGGATAAAAAACAGAAAACGGAAAAAACTGCAAGGGATCTATCTTTTTTAACTAGTGCAATGCGAGGAGTCGGAATAAAAAAATTTAGCTATCATTCTCTACTGATTTTGCCAAAACAAAGAGCATTATAAGCCTATTGATAATTGATCTTCTAACAGCTGTCGAGAGTTCGGCACCCTTTTCATTATACACGTACGATATTAATTGATTTCATATTGATGAGGCCACATGTCAACCGGTAACCCCACGCAAAGTATTCACGCAATATTTACTTAGGTATCGTTCTTGCCGGCCTGATCTGTGTAGTCGTTTCAGTGTCTGTTCGGAGTGGGTCGGATATGGTTCCTGACCTAGATACTTCTAAAAGAACCATAGAGCGCACTGATATCTCCTAATTACATGTAAAGAGTTATTATTTCCGTTTAAATATCAATGGTTAATTTTGGTGTTCGTTCGGTGGATGATAACTCTTCTTGACAGGAAGTAATTTTAAGCTTGTATAGGATTAATCTCTGATATAGACATTCCCAAGATAGTTTTAGCTCATTTTTGCCAAATAAAATCCAAAGGTTGATTCTTCTTTTCAAAGGATCTTAGATTTCAGGATGAGGTATCAATGACATACAGATTATAGATATTCGAATACCTAACCTTTGCCTTTCCCACCAGATTCTGGTCTGCCAAAACAGAACACCTTTTCCTATTCCAATCCTAGTTTACTTTAGCCGTTATGATTAACCCCCACAAACTGAGTGCTGGTTACTCCGGTTATACAAATCCTGCATTTTATTGCGTACCATCAATTCGCCCAGGATGTGCCCATATATTTATCGCATTAAATGCATAAATCGTTATCTTGCTATGAGGTTTATTAATATTGTCATCTGCGCAATTTTTTTTAGAGTTAAAATTGTCCTTGCCCTAAGTATTGATCGTTTAAAGGTGATGATGACCGGCAGATATAGGCATGAATGTACACGGAAATCTCCGTACCCTGAATCCGACAGTTATATCATGTGATGCATAGATGAATGAATCTGCATTATCTTCAAACTTCTTACGTGTACGATTTGTTTGAATTCCATTGAGAGGTATACTGTTTAAGCTGTTGCTAGTCAATGATTCAAATCCGCTCTGAAAGCTCCAAGTAATGATCCAACAACTCCATCACAGTCTCTTCATGAGGACTTCATCTTGAAAGCAAAGGTGTTCTCCATAAAGGTGCAATCCGCCTTCACAACATAACTTATGCTTGGAGCATCAAAATTGCATAGGTCTTCCAAAATCTGTTTGGGATACTACCTCTTCACGATATCATTCACATTTTCCCAGTGTGGGCCCTTGGGGTCGGTTGTTGGTATGATATAAAGTTGGCTACCTCTAATAGAATCCTTCAGAGCTTCTACGTGAATTCACGTAATGTCTTCAAGATGGACATTTTTTGAGAACAGCGGAAACTTGGATGGCTGACTCAACAGCTGGCCGATACACAGGCCATTGGATTCCCTGTTGATTGCGTCTACGTTTGTAACTATATCACCGCGTCCAACAATATACCATAGCGCAATAGTGATTATATCGAATATTAGCATTTTCCTCTTGAGAAACGCTTCCCGTTCAAACAGGGATATGACTTTGCTTGCTTTATAGGCAGCTAGACCTTATTTCTAGATCGCTGATAGGTTGGTGACTTTTTTTTATCAGAACTATTCCGTTGTCAGCTATTTGCATAATTGTGCATTCTACAAATTTGGTTATATTTAATTCATGTGATGATGATAAGACATGGGAACAGAGTGTTTACCTGTAAAAAGTCTCCCTGTGATATGGTAAACATCTGCGGCTATAGAAATAGAGGACGTCATTATCACCTTCTTGATTCCAGTTTTCCTATATGCAGTGTTAAGAACCCCCGCTATTATCTGATGCCCAGACTGGACAATTTCGTTCTCGAAGTCTGCCGTATGGTTCTGTGGCAGTGGGAAGGCCACCTATATGACATATTTTACGCCCCCTGAGAGCATCATTAAACACATTGGCAACAGTAAAGTCTGGAATGACAACACTCTCCAAGCTTTCCGTATCTGAGTCCGCGGGTGGTAGCGATTTCTTTCTTCTTCTTTTTTTTCTGAAACGCTACTGCGTTGTAAACAACTACGCGCACACGGTATCCAGCTTCTACGCTACTTCCAGCACCTTAAATCCTACCAAACCGGCAACTCCTATAACATGAGGTCAAATATTGATTAGCATGTTGGTGCGTGAGAACATGGCAACGGCGCTAGGAATTTACAAGAACAAGAGGTTTTGCCATCATGACGTCGCGGAAGAATATGTTTGCGCAGCCAGCTAACCTGCTTGGTGGTGACTGTTTCCATCTTCGCATTGTTATGTGGATTGCCTCTATTTGATGTCGGGCTTGGCTGTTCAACAAAATGAGGCTACTTGATAAAAATTAGATTATAATCAATCGTGTTTTACCTTGACCATGAAGACAGTAGATAGTAGAAGCATGATTGAAACTTGACTGAAACAGTAATGCCGGAACTGAATTCATGACAAATTTCCATGGTCATAATAATCACTTTAGCGATTACTAGTATTCGTAGAACTTATATCTGGATACCCATTTTATACCATGTCGAACTGTCCAAGCCCAGGCACCAATTCAAAACCAATACCAATTCCATATTAGAGTGCCATTTCTTAGCTATCTTCTTAGCTATCTCCCCAAGACACCCGGTCCATTCTAGACCAAACTTTCCCGTGACTATTCTGGAATCGCAAATGCATGCATGCTTCCGCTTGGAGGTCGTCGCGCTCATATGCTATTCTCACAAGCTGCAAAAACCAACATATTCAAAGCAACACATTTGAATCGTCATTTTTTAAACAGGAAGTGGGCGAAAAGGTCCTCAACCTAGATCAGCCACAGAGTATAACGGTGATGAAAAATCTCCGATATTTGGAGGCTGAGTGCCCCCAGTGGTGTAGTCCACCTATCATTGTCGGGGCTGCTTCAGTACATCAGCACCTGAAATTGGCTACGAAAGTATTAGGTAACGCATGAAAACAGGCCGGCGTACCAGTGAAGAGTATCATACGCCATCACGGCGCTATCTTCAATTTCAAATATCGTTGTAAATAAGTAATCAAAACCCTATGTCTACCATCTACAACTTATCTATCCAGGATTAGGATTCGACACAGTATTAACGTCTAAAACACCTCCGATATGCCAGGAGGAGTTTTTCGAGTCAATTTCTGCTCTAACAGGCAGAGACTGCTCTGCCATTTAAAAATGGACGTAAAAATTGATTGACGGTAGTAATTTGCACTTGGTCTGGTGCCTTGGAAAGACCATTTGTGGAGGGAGCACAATGAACGCATGTGACTGTCATTCCTTCCCAAGCTAATCTCAGAATAATATACATGTAATATTATTGAGCTATCATTAAATTTGTCCATAATCTCCATGTTGATAGAATACCTCAATGCGAGGCATCTCTTAGATAATCTCGAATGCTACGGTGGCAGCCGGGCAACGCCCAATAATAATGGATCATAAACGACGATCCCACCCGTGTAATTAAACTCAATATTAACAGCACAACCGAGAAAGCCACTTTACACACTAGGATATCTATTAATAGATATAGGGACGTGATTGACTTCTCGGTAGAAGAAAAGTCATTCTAAGTTGAAGCTCATTTATAGTTTATTTTTTAAATTGATGAATTATGAATTAATTAGTATTATGGAACATATATGCACTACTTTGATCATATGCCAGTTAATACAGTGAGTGAATTATATAAAATTTTTCCAAAATACATTCGTTAAAGATCGACTTTTGTGAATTCTGTATAAGGATAAAATATCTACAAAACTAAATATGACGGCACTCTGTTCTACATCAATTGATATGTACCGCCTTATGGACTTGTGACTCTACCGTATATGTCAATGTTGTTTTAAGACGAACTTTTATTAATCTTTGCAGGTTTTGAAAACTCTTACAGCCTTTATTCACCTGTTAAGATATGTTTAAATTACTGTGTAGCAGTGTGGGCCTTAATCATTGCCTTCATGTTGACCCGATGTGTGGCTCTTTTCTATTTTTTCAGTTCGTTGTGAATTAATTAACTCTCAAGGTTATGGGGTCATTAGCATAAGCACTAAAGTGTAAATACCGTAGAACTCGATGATGGGGCCGGTCGACAACAGTGTCATATGTGAAAGATTGGTCACAGCGCCATATATCTACCAATTCGGTAAGCCAAGAGTCAGCTAATAGCATTAATTGGGGGCCCTATTTTAAAGCCCCCAAGTGCTGTTAATGGGTTAATACCCAATCCCTAAATATATATGTCGATGAACTCTTCTCAAATAACTTTTCTTTTGGTCAGAATCTTCCCATGTTCTTAGTTCCACGGTGAATAATTTTTGTTCGCCATGAGAGACTATTCTTCTTTTGCCTGTCTGGCTTTAGCCACTTCCATGATCACGAGCAATGTCGTGGCGATGCAAGTTCATACGAGGCCCAAGCCAGTCGGTGGATCACTACAAAGTGGTAGAACAAGTCTTCCAGCCGTCAAAATCCCCCATAAGCGATTGGGGGATCGGGCCACAAGTACTGTTGACGTGGGAAGCAAGTATGTTTCTCTTAATATTCAACGAATCCCCGTTGACTAGGAGCACCATTACTAACTTGAATAGCTGGTATATCGAAGCCTGGATAGGCACGCCCGGGCAAAGCTTTTATTTTCTTGCCGACAGTGGCGCTCCAAATCTTTCTATAGAGTCAACTCTGGAGCCAGCCTCCCAGCAAGGGGATATTCCTTTATATAACCCAACGAACTCTAGCACTGCTCAACTCATGGAGGGATACACCTATTCCGAGTGCTTTGGTAGTGGGTATTGTGACAACGGAGTTGTGTATACAGATATCTTTACTGTTGGCCAGATTGCTTATGAGGGAATGCCAATCATGGTTCAGACTAACAATACGTCACCGTCAAATGGCGTGCGATCTGGGAATATGGGACTGAACATAGATCTGAATGGCATGACTACTGAGCCTCAAAGACTACCATCATTCTTTCAGCATTTGCTACCTGATCTTGACGGTATGTCCTTTGGTCACTATTTCATATTTCTGGTATCAATATCTAATATATCTGGGTCAGAACCTCTTTGGACAGTAGACTTCAGGGCATCAAATAACAGCGGACAATTCGACTTTGGGTACGTCGACAGTGGGAAATATACCGGAAATATTGCCTACGGCAACATCACTACGACTGGGGGCTTTGGACCGTGGAGATCCAGGGCATTGGGGCTGGCTACGATGACAGTAGTTTCAAAAGCCATCAATTCCAGGTTGTTTTTGATACTGGAACAGGAGGTGGTAGCATCAGCCGAGAAATTGCCGATCTTTACTGGAGTCAAGTACCGAGTTCACAATGGAACGATGGCTGGAACAACTACCTTTATCCCTGCAATCAAACGCTACCAGATTTTGTGATTCAGTTAGCCGACGGCAATAAAGTAGGCATTCCTAGTGACGGGTTGTTTTCCAAGGCCGCGGATGACGGCAGTGGGCTGTGTGCGACCATGTTAGCTATTGCCGATGGAAATGATACTCTTTGGGGTCAGGCATGGATTGAGAAATTTTTTGTTATATTCGACTGGGGAAATCGGAGACTCGGGGTTGCTAACAAGAGTCAATAACATAATGCAGTCTGATATGTAGAAGTAACTGAGAAAGCATAATCTTGGGCTTGCCTCGGAATCAATCATTAAAGTCACAGCAATCGATCTCTACTACAGATATTTCAAATCAATAGAATAAAATCCAAAAATTTATCTCTTAACACGGATCTCGCGGCCACCAGCACAATAGCTAGGATAATATTACAAGCCGTTGAGGGGATTAAAGCCCCAAATGCGCCCTACTAATATATTCACAGAGATATACTGATCAAAATACAACCACTAGAATACATAGCACCTCTATGATACAACCGCTTTTACTGTCATTCTAAAGAAGTATGCTGAACGATAAGTCGTATAAGATCAACTATTTTCGTGAAATAAATATACTATCATTTCGTCGTATAAATTACGATCTCTTGGATTTCAATGATATAGTCTATCCAATATAGTAGGGATTTCCATCATCATCATACGTGCAGTTAGAGACGGTTGACCCGGATACCTTTGGGCACATTTAGTCGAGAACGAGGCTAATTTGGTGCGCATCACGAAGATACAGTCTTACAGTGATCCAAGAGCATGATGACTTTTTATCCTCAGGATCCGTTTGATTTCATCGAGTGGGTAAATGATGCTCGTTAGTCGATGTGCCACCGCCCGTCAAAGGAGAAACCATGTAAGTAGTTTCCGGTACATTCCAGGGAAGATACACCCAGAAGCAAGCTGCAGGTTCAGGACCGCTAAATTTATTGCATTTTTTTTAGAGGATTAACCTACGTGGGCCAATCGCTATAGGCCAATAACTAAAAGAAAACTAACAACACTCCTATCCACCTCTGTTTGTTGGTGGGGGACGCTATGCTATAATCGAGAAAACTTGCTCAGGAATCGGAATTATCAGCGCATGTCCATGGCTTCGAACCATCGTATATCTAGAGGGAATCAAAGATGCCGGGGATAGAGCCATAAGTGCCAGAAATAGTCATGAAGCAGCCGATCAAGATGATAAATCGCGGCCAACACACAGTGAGTGGCGGGGTTTTAACGACGGTTTCAATTAATGAGGCTTTTGGGTAAATGAAAGAGAAAGCGATCTGTCACATTGAGAACTAGAATACAGTTTAAATATGTTTTGAACCTTCGGGCCTGCCCGTGTTCATCTAGAACAGTCTACTCTTGCCTCTAGGTTATGAAGATCAAATTTCCGATAGGCTATGGCATCGAGGAGCCATTCACCGACCCAGCTTGCAAATCTAACAAGAGTAGCACTTCCTCCAATCCAAACACAGTTTGGTTGCCTTGCAAAGATTCCCCATATGCTGCTTTCGCCTCTCAAAAGTTGCAAACTAGGCGAAGGTATTCGGCGCCATACTCGATGTGTTCTCTGACTAAGTCAATATCCTCCTGACCAGATCCTCAGAATGGAGTGAACAGATCCCTGAGGGAGTTCCCTATCTGTTTTATTGGTCTTTGTTCTCACAAAGCCTGCCATTACCACTGTAACCTTCACTCCAAATGGTCGTAGCACATTACAGCAAATACATTTGTCTCAAATATATTGCGAATATCGTCTATCTCCACGTCTATGGCGGGAATGGTGTGTTTTTGGCCTCTTGGAATAGGTTCCAACACGTATCAGTGGGAAAATTAAACGGTAGTAGTTCGGTGGCTTATGATAGGATCGAAAACTCACGCATTGTTGATCAATATATCGAGGCTTCCACCTGTTATGTCCGCCACTTTATCGCGACATAATTTGATAGTTTCTGGTTTCGTCACATCAAGTGGCAATGCAATCATCCCATAATGCCGGAGATCATTTATCACCTCCACTTTTCGTGCAGTATAAATGACAAGAAGACTTGCAGCACTGGTTATTAGAGAAGGGTTTCTTGAGATGATATGACCCCGTTCACCTTTTGCATGAAACGCTCGTGCCAAGGCATAACCAATACCCCCCGGAGTGCACCTGTTGACGAGAATTTGTGAATCTTTGGGTCCGCCCAATGCAAAAGCTGCCTACGTATCCTGTGATCAAAACTAACTTTGTCTTTTTGGCTGCAGACATTGCTTCGGTGTGAGTTTCTTCATGGACTGGCTTTTGAGGCGTGAAATTATCTTTAAACGTAATTATTAAATACTACAAAAGCACTGGACCTTACTGACTATTATGTGGAATTGCCCATCATAGTAGCAGGACTGTTTCCATATTGTCAAGCGCGAAGCTCCGAGGCGCCGACGCAAGAAAAACAATCGGCGCTCGGCCTGTTTAATCTCATCCACAGTTGCGATGTCAAGCTTAGCAGGTTACATATTTCTTATGAGGCGGCCCTTATCTGAAGCGAACTGAACCCCTTTGAATTGTCAAGGTACATCGCTTGTGTTCTTTTATTAAATTTCATGTGTGGAATAAAATGGGGAAGCTAAGCCGCCTCTCGGGTCTCGAGTGGATCTGCCCTAGCATAAAATTGCCACTAAATCAGCCAAAACACCAGCACGCCAACGCGACGGGACTCAACCTGCACAAATACTGAGATTTGATATATAACAAGCCAACTTTAGACATAACTCACAAACTCATACAACGAAATTGATTCAGTTACTATAGACCTACGAGCCATGGGACCACAAACGCATCTTGTGACAGGCGGCAGTGGGTTCATTGGCATTTGCATAGTCAATCAGCTCTTAGAAGCTAGATACGCTGTGCATGTTACGGTGCGAAGTATAAAAAATGGCCCAAAGGTTCAACCACTGCTAGACTTACAGGAAAAGTACCCAGGGAAACTCACACTCTTTGAGGCGGATTTGCTAAAGCCTGGTTCCTTTGCAGCTGCGATGGAGGGATGTTCAATTGTCCATCATGTCGCTTCCCCCTTCCTGATGGCCGAGAAGATCATCGACGGACAAAAAGAAATGGTTGAACCAGCCGTTCAAGGGACCCAAAATGTCCTGAATTGCGTGAACAGTACAGAGAGCGTTGGACGGGTCGTGTTGACGTCAACAGGTAAGATTTTATATTCGCATTCTCGCCGTCCATCGTACGAGTTCGCTTACACTTAATATAGTTGGTGCTATTTTTGGGGACTATATTGATGTTATGAGCATGAATAACAACACGCTACATGAGACCTACTTTAATGAATCGAGCTCTGTAACTCACAACCCGTATCATTATTCCAAAATCTCGGCTGAAAAGGAGGCATGGAAGATTCAAAAGGCCCAATCACGATGGGACATGGTGGTGATATGCCCAGGCTTAGTATTGGGGCCCTCTCTAACAGCTGGATCTGATTCTGGAAGTCTCTTTTTGCTCGATGAACTTTTTACCGGCCAACTGTGGTTCGGCGTTCCTGACTTGAGCTTCTGCACAGTCGACGTGAGGGAGGTTGCCACCGCACACATCAACGCATCGATTAATCCATCATCAAGTGGGAGATACATCATATGCCACAAAGATATGACAAAATTCATCGATATCTCCAAACATCTCAGAAAGCAGGCCAAGAATCGAATGGCTCTTCCTCAACACCAGCTGCCAACTTTGTTAGTTTGGTTCATTGGGCCACTGTTCGGTTTAACACGCAAATGGATGCGTGCGAACCTAGGAATTCAATTCTCCGTGGATAATGAACGAAGCATTAAGGAGCTTGGTATTGCATATCGGCCTCTAATCGAAACCCTCGATGACCACTACAAGTCATGGGTCGCCCAGAAGGAATCAAAGAAAGAAAAATAGGGTGAGCATATTTTTTTTGGTTGCCGCATGCTATACATATGGTGCATCCTAACCATTATGTCAAAGCTGCTCAAACTGGGATAGCATGAGCTGAAAAATCTCAATTTGACACGAGACTTTTCTGTTCTTTAGTCATTCCAAAATATGAGAGTATTTCATATTCACCCATGTTTAGTATTTGTCTCCATACCTAAAAACGTTACAAAGTAGTATCTAGCCAAGCAGCAATAGCAAAAGGATACTCGGAAATTATTATATATGCTGTTGTTCAGCTTATATCGATTTCAAAACTGGCCAATTCTACAATTTAGAGTTCAACAGATAAGGGCCTAACCCAAGTCTTGTATGGAGAATGCGTATGTTGTTACACATACCATTACTGGGACCATATGATGTTATAACATTCCCATCCTAACAGTATTAAGCCTTGCAGGCTTTGACAGAACTCGCCCTAACCTACGATGTATTTCGGCTTGAAACAGCTCAAAAGGCACTTGTTTGCCATCAATGCTAATATAACCATCCTCCTGGTCCCTAGGTGTGATTCGATAAGCCGAGATCTTCTTGTACTTGACATGAGGACTGTTGAAAAATCTCGGCGAGCCAATAGACAGCAGCGCTTTGATAGTTTTAAATATAGACATGTCGCCGTTCATAGTAACTATATCCATATTACCATATGAATCAATTGCGGCGAGGAAATATCTGACATCCGGTCCCACATAGTTATGGCATCTGCTTCAGTCAGCCTTCGTACGAACGGACAATGCGAACCGAAAAGTATTGTACATAAATTACCACAATAAACGTTTCCTACCTTATCATCGGAGATAGCGGTCCATGAATCGGGTATTGGGCCTTTTATCGTTCCATATTTCCAGCATTGGAAGTCCGTGGTCGCTGTCGCCAATGCTATTTTCAGCACTGTAGGCCGAGACTAGCTTATCTTCGTTGTTGTTGAATAATGAGCAGTAAATTCTACAATTCCTACCTTGTCATTCATTTCAATCTGGACAGCAAGGCCACATGGGTAGCATTTACGACGAAAGACACGCTGCGCCACGCCAATAGTGAAGCGATTATTGCCCATCCATCGCAAGTGCTCGGTTGCAAGATCACCTTCAGCCAAAATCCCCAAAGCCTGAGTCAGGAAAGACATGATCCTGGTGTCTCCTTGTGTGATTGAGATGAGATCTAGTGGTGTAATACCGCCTTTGATAATACCTTATGCGGCAAAAGCAGGATAGCGAGACTCGTAGAGGTTGTAAGACAGAGCATTAGCAGAGCCGCAAGGAATATGGCTCATGGAGGCTTTTTGTAGAACTATCCCAGCATCTGGTCTCTTTGCTAGGCCATTGAAGATCTCGTGTGGCGTCCCATCGCCCGAGCACGCCGTGATTGTGTCGAATTCGTTAATGTCGCTCTGCCAAATCCATTGCCTGCCCTCCTTTCGAAAGAATCACAATTTCTAGCTTCATCCGTGCCGCTTTAAACAACGGTTCAACGTCGTGTCTTCACTTTTTAGGGCACCACCAGAGCCTGAGTTTGGATTGATGAGTACATAGGCCCGCTTCTTCTGTAGGGCCTTGCCACAGGCTCGAGACAGCCATGTAGTAACAAAGTATTCGGAAGTATCACTCTCATGTTCGGTCCCAAATGCTGACGCCTTCAGGCCCCATTGTTTGCATATAAGTGACTTTTTGGAGGTCTGATTTGCATGATATAGAACTAGTTCCTTTCCAGAAACCTCTGCCCATAGCAAATTGTATAGTGGAATAACTTTTCGGTGGTGCATGCTACAAATATTCAGTATAAGGCATAGAACAAGATGCAATTTAAGATGAGATACCAGGCTTTAGCAATTTCCAAGAAGGTCCTGTTCGTTTTTCGCTACCTGAGCATCTTAATGTTGAATTTCATATGAATAAATAGGTAAAATATACATAACTCGGCCTACCTGTTAGAATGAGGCTTTCTCCACCGCTTGTAGGCTTGTTGTTGCCCTCGATGGCAAGACACAAGATTAGTCCTACACAAACGTTACCGCAAGACATTGGCTCTCAAGGACAGTTGATTTATATCGACAGCTTCAACGGTTTCATGCTGGAGCTTGGGAGCAGTCAACATAACGGTCACCCGCCAATGTTGTTCGTCCCATACCTACCCCCTTCAAAGACCCGAAAAACATTCTACTGGTCTTAATAAGAATGAAAGAATGCCGACCTCGTAAGCCGATTATCCACTTTCCTAGGGACCGAGCACCGGGCCTCCGCGCTTGGCACTCGGATGTTCTGATGAGCCCAGTGACGTTTTCTCTGTTTCAGCGTAGCCCCGCCCTATTTTGCGAAACCCTTGTAGAAAGTAGTTTTAGTGATCGGAGAAGATATTGGCGAGGACGACATGGAAGAATTGGTATAACAGGCCTTAGGCGTTTAACCGCCGCCGTATGTTGCGCGTTATGCCTAGCCTGCATGCTACTTAAAGAGAAATGAGTCAGAATCCAGGTTCCGTTGACTCTGTCATAGATCGGCCTGGTGAATCTATGACTCAGTGATGTGATGTCGGAATACGTGCCAATGGAGAAAGATCTTTGACCTCGGTGTTGCATTCCCACGCGCACATAAAATGGGTGTTTGTATCGATGCTCAAAAGAGACCTATTTAGCAAGCACGGATACAGGCCATCGCATCAATGAGATCAGACGGCTGTTACCTATGTCGTTGACAAGAGTATTTATTTTCATAATGTCCTCGTCAAATCCACCCTCGATATACCAAACTTGTTCAAAGAGAGAGAATATGAGGTAGAGATGGGCAAGAATGGTGTATGACAATCCAGATAAATCACCAAAGCCTTCCAATGTAGCAAGGAATTTTCTGGAAAGGGTCTCGGGCCAGGCCATCACAGCCGCCTCCTCCAAGTCAGCCTGTACGTCTAGGCTCGTTCGAGTTCCATCTCCGGAAAAGAGTAACACATAAAGTGTTCGCATATACATTTCCTCTAGGATATTTATTGCGACCTTTTGCTCCATTACTACCTGGCGGGAGTCCAATAACATGCTCTGCTCTGTGAAACTACACGGTGTGTCTTGATCCATTTCCCCTGCATTCTTTGAGTCGCTTTGAGAATCCACAAAGGACTTTAGGCTCGCGCAAGCTTCATATGCACCGAGACAGAATTTCAAAATTCTCTGTGTGCAGTGCTGAGTTTGATGCGGCGATACAGCAATGAATATCTCGCGTGGATACATCTGCCAGTCCTGGTTTCCGTAAATGAAGTGAAGCAGGCCTCGAAGCGGCCCCATTCTTAAAGCCGGCCAGTGTTCTTTGACAACTGTCGTCAGACCATGTATGAGATATATCCAGTCTAGCCGTGGCTTAGTTGGCTGAGTGCCAGAGGACGGAGATGCAGGAAATGCTCTCATGTCATTCATATTTCTCGCTCGCAAAGACGCGAACGCGAAGCCTACCAGCAGCATCGATCCAGCGAACGCTTGATTGCAGTTTGAAGTTGACAACACGGAAAGCTCGTCTCTGAGGCCCTGTAATCCACATTGATGATGCTCGATGATGTTTTGAAGGTGAATGGTGTCCACATCCTGGCCGCCTGCGACGGACCTTTGGCCTGGAGAGGATAGTTCATCTGATAGATAGCGAAAGGATGGGTTTATGTGGGTATCACTAGATGGTTGATTTTGATGGCTGGGTCGAATGGCAGAGCTGGCGGGGTAGAAATAATCAAGTCCGGCCAGGGCCAGGAGCAGATGCATTACAAACCCGTACTTGGTGGCGAGGTCGGGGATAACCGTTTCCCATAGCAATCGCTTCGCAGGATTGAGCGACATATTTTTTGAAGTATGCATCATGAAATGGGCCAAGAGTTGGAGGTCGGCCATATGAAGCGATCCCTTCTGACCTTCAGAGGCACTGGCCGACCCTAATGAAGAGTGCAAATCGAATTGCAGTGCCTGAGGTGATTGGGAGACCCGACTGGTGTTGGAAGAATCCCGTGAGATATGTTGGTACGGTGAATCAGCAGCACCGGAGCTACGATGAGTAAACCCATCTTTGAAGATATTAGAAGGAGTCTTGTGTTGTCCTGTGATCGGGTCGGTTGGATAAATGCATTCCTCACTCCGCAGTAAGCAGGCACCACATAATGGCCTTGCCTCATCACACTGCCATTTGCATCAGATTGTCTGGTTACATGTATGTGGCAACCAGCTCACGGTACGTTGCCCAGCACTTACTTTGACTCTTCGAGACTTGCAAGTATAACAACCGGCGCGCGACTTGGTGTGGCTCGCCCGCAGTTTCCTACGCTCTATGCTTCGACGTCCCTGCGCTAGTGGCATGATTCATGTGGCGAATGGATATCTTTTCGCAGAGCTGCAGTGCCAAGATTATTGAAATAAACTTCTATCAAAGTGATATGATTTTCTTCGCGGTCCCGAGGCGGCATCGCATTCCAAACAGCGGAAAAAAGTTAATACGTTGCGACCCAGGTTTGATCTGTTTGCTTGTGAATCCTACTTGAGGCAAAATTTGGTTGAACATAGAATTTTATAACGATACGATTATCTCGATCTACAGACTGTATCTTGAAATAGGGAGTATTAATACCAGATTCTGAAAAAATCAAGTGGGCAGATCAAGTGATGATGCGCGATACCCCTGCCCAAGAAGGAAATTAATTCTATATGGTATATATTCTAAATAAATAAAAATACACACGCACACTGCACGTAAAGGCCCCCCCATTTCCCCTAATTTGCAATTCGAGAACCCGGCTGTCGTATCGTAAACTCATCGAATAGTTGTAAATCGATTTACTAGGCTGCTGATGGAATAAAACCATTCGATGAATCGCTTCTTGAAGTGAGTTCGAACCCCTCCCCTTTGCCCTGGCATATAACCCGCCCGGGATAAACTATCAAGATAATGATAGCTTGCAACGCCATCAAGAGCGCATCAAAGATGTAAAGTAAATACTCTCTCTGCATAATATACCCGTCATTGCCCTGGACGAACTCAACAACGCGGAACACCGAACGAATGAAAATGAGTATACAAGCTCCATACAGAATCCACATCATTGATTCCCAGTTGTGCAAGTTAGATGTTCCGTACAGTCTACCTGTAGTAGGAGCGCCCTTTTTTATTCGATAATGGAACAGCGCGGCGACGTAGATGAAGAACCCGAAGAAGAGCAACTGAATTGCAAGACCTACAATGACAATATGAGCTCCGGTGTTCATAGCTGACACTGAGCCAGCTGCCATGTAGCCTCCGCCTAGAGTAAGTTTGGTCAGCTTCTGGGACGAAAAGGAGTCTTGACACGAGACGCAAGCGTACCCCCACACTGAAACAGGAAGGAAACCACGTCCCCGAGGACGAAGCATTTGGTCAAGTATTTGAGCGAAATTACAGACGCATGCTCGGCACGAAGTGCTGCTATGAGTCTTCCCAAAGTCATATATATTGAGGCTGCGAAGAGCGGGGGAGCGACGAGGATGAGCATGGTTTGGACAATGTAGGGACCGAGAGCAAGGGTATTGTAATGTGAGAAAACCCTCGCAATATAACCCGCTGCTTCAACTGTTTAGAGTAGGATCATGTAGTTAGTCATCTTATCGGTGTTGATGTCTGTTGCCCAAGGGAATCTTCGGACTTACAGGCGAGACCAATGACAAACGGTGTAAAAAACATTGACTTATGGCGAAGGAGCAGAGTCGCGTGGAAGACTATCAAGACGATGAAAGTTGCTGCAAATATGATAGCCGCAGGAACTGACGGCGTGTATCTATATAACGCAAAAGAAGTTCCTTGGGAAGAGTCGCTCATTTTGTTGATATTTCCAACTTTGTCATACACGGTTGGATATGTAGCGAGTTCTGGGTGGGCCAGATAAGTGCAGATAAGTGAAGTAGACCGAAGTGAATGAATACTAATAGATAGATGTGAAAAGATCGATAGGAAGAGTAAAATTGTCCCATTTAATCCAGCCCAGAACGAGAGCACGATGAAAGGCAAAGTCTAGTTCTCTAAATTTCGATACGAGTACGAGGGCGTATATACGCTAAAGTTTGACAGAAACAACCGCCATTTGTTAAACACTGATGGTACACGTTTCTATTGGTCATTTGTTCTCCACTGGCCCACAAGCAGCCAATCGGCTCTTTCCCCTTTGAGGGCAGATGTCGAGTGGGGCGGGCCCATGCAGATTTTTCGTATATTCGTATTCCATCAAGGCCCACGTTTTAATTAAGCTCCAGTTCTCCATCTATATCTACGGGATCAGGCTAGAAAGCCTCTATTTTTGCTTTTCAAATATCAGCCAATCCCGATTCAACGCTCCATATGGGTCGACACCAGTAATTAATGCTTCCCTATATCGCTTTGATGTTTGCCTTGTTCGCATACTACACCATTAACCCGCTTCCTTCGAAGGCCGAGGCCACGAGATATTAACTCGATTCTGAGCGGAGATTTTCAGGTTTAGGTTATATTAGCGTCCAGGAATGGCGATGCATCACTAGTCGGTAATCACCGAAAATCGCAGCTCTTCCCTGGACTTGATATAAATTAATCTGAGTGTGGGGAACACAGCAGTTCGGATTTACTTACGCCGAGAAAGTGGACCATGTTCCTCCGCCATCAATGCAATGATAACCAAAGCCCGTTTTTCATACAAGGATATTCGAGGAACGTGCCGATTCCGCAACGGAGAAGAAACCTACAGCAACTAATCGAGAAAGGATGGATGCGAGCAATACGCTAACGCAGGGACAAAGAAACAAAAGAAAAAAGGTGTTTCGGACGTGTCTCCTGAAACATATCTTTCTCTTCTTTACGTTTGTTCGTCTCTAGAGACTTCTCGCAAATATGGCCGCCGCGCAGTTGGATACCAGTTGGATGTGGCATCCATCCTTCACCGAGGATCGCATAGACACAGCTGGGCTTTTCGTACACTTCAGGCGAGATATCTTGCTAGACAGTACTCCACCAGAATCTTTCAAGATTCGCCTAACGGCGGATACACGCTATAAGCTTTATGTGAATTGCCAGCTGGCGGCCTTTGGACCAGTCAAAGGTGATCGCAGCCTGTGGTTTTATGATGAAGTTGACCTCGCACCTTACCTGCGCGTCGGGTGGAATAGGATTGGAATCCATGTGCTGCGCTTCTTCTACGCCACTCCCTTTGCAACTAGCTTCCCCCGAATGCCCTCTGGCGGCGTCAACATTGCTCCTGTCAAACCAGGAGAGTCTTGGGTCTCTAAGATCCAGAGCAGCGTCCTGTGGGAGACTGCTATTGACCCATGCACGGTGCTCCGAATCGATGAGCCTGAAGACGAATTTCTGCACATCTATGAAAAGACCAATAGGGCATCTGACCAGAAATGGGAGTGGGTGCCTGCGAAGGTGTTAGAATACCAAAATTCCACTGGTGTCATAGCACCGTGGAAACTATCTCCAAGGCTTATACCACCTATGAAAAGTCAAAAGAGCCAGTTCATTGCAATCCACAACGTTCAAAGCTGCTTACCGGATCACGTCTGGAAGGAAAAGCTCACCTCATCTAGTGACTGCATTGAAGGACTGCACCTTCCAGCCAGAACGATACACCAGCTAGACATTGAAGCGCCATACCACATGACGGCATTCCTCCGCTTCCGCTTCCGACGTCCGCAAGCCGGTGGAAGCACCGTCATGGTAACTTACGCGGAATGTTATGAGGATACCCCAACGCTCGTACCATATTTAAGACAGAAGAGCAACCGCTGTGATACCAGGAAGTCTCTACTCGGACCCAAGGACATGTATGTTTTGGGAGGGCAGGCTGATACTAGCCGACTTGGATACTGTGAGAATGAGGATCTGGACGAGACCATTATTCCATTTCATTTTCGTACGTTCCGCTTTATTCAGATACGCATTGAAGTTGGCTCGGGATTGGTCTTGGAAGAATTGGAAGCCATGAGGGTGAACTATCCCCTTGACATTCTCGCAGGCCTCAAGGTAGAGGCAAAGGATGGCGGGACTGCAGAGAGACTATGGGAGACAAGCATCCGAACTCTTGAGAACTGTATGCATGATTGCTATGAAGACTGTCCTTTCTACGAGCAGCTGCAATACGCTATGGACACTCGAAGCTCAGCTCTCTTCACATACTATATCTCCGGAGACGATCGACTGGCGAAACAAGCAATAATCCAACTCCACAACTCTTTCCAGGCAAGCTTGGGCCTGACTGCAAGCCGTGCGCCGTCACACATGCACCAAATTATCCCCCATTTCTCGTTATATTGGATCTGCATGTTGGCAGATCACTTGACTTTCTTCAACAATGAGGCCTTTCTCCGTCCACTTCTATCCGTGGTCGATGCTGTTCTAACATTTTTTGATTCCCGCGTTGATCCTCTCACGGATTTGGTGGCTTTACCGGACGAATTGGGAGTCTGGCATTTTCACGATTGGACAGAACAGTGGCGCCCGTACGGCGTTCCTCCGGCGACAATCCCCACCGGAATCTCCACCTACTCCAACAATCTCTACGCGTATACCCTCAAGTTAGCTGCCCACGTACAACTTACGTGCGCTGGAAGGTCCGCACTAGCCGAAGAATATATGTGCAGGGCTAATCGCATCATAGATGCCGTGCGACTGCGGTGTTTCGATGGCAATTTCTTTACTGACAGTCTAGCCGCCAATTCGGATCCTAACCGTGATCGTAGCCAGCATAATCAGGTCTGGGCAGTCCTTAGTGGCGCATTGGCTGGAAAGAACGCACAACAACTCCTCCGTCGAAGTTTTGATTCCCCAGCCGCAGAATCCCTCGTCCAAACATCTATATCCATGTCTTTCTATACGCTACGAGCACTGAGTATGGTCGGTGGTGGGTTATACGAAGAACTGTTTCCAAAGTTCTGGGAGCCATGGAGTTCTCAGCTGGCACTAGGATTGACCACATGGGAGGAGGATAGTGTCTCCCAGCGCTCCGATTGTCATGCATGGGGCAGCGCACCAATCTATGAGTATATGGCCGAGGTCATTGGTGTTCAACCGGCGAAACCTGGTTGGGAAGCCATTACATTCAAGCCCAGACTTAGTCTCTATCCTAAGATTCAAGCTAATGTGCCGTTCCGTAATCACGATGGCACGAGTCTTGCCAGAGTATCCTGGGAGCCTACCTCTCCCGATACCGTGAAGGTTTCTTTGAAGCTGATCGGCTTGAAATCCACAATTCTTGTTCGTGTCAAGCTACCATCACAACCAGAAATGCTCTTGAACAGCACAGATGAGCTGACTTTCACTGTTCAGCAGACACAATAATGGTTGTGCAAAGGTGTTCAGTTGTCAACGTAGTGGATATTGTTTATGAAAATAGTAGACATAGAGTGTTTAATATAGCGCATTACTTTACAGACAAATCGTTTAATTGACTTCACTTTGTTTATATACAAGGCTGCTTTCCTCGCGACATTAGTAAGACAAATGCTGCTGGTATGCCGAGGATGCATATAGTGGAACATGAAACCAGTTGTCAGATGCCTGGTATAATAGATTAAGATAGTTACCATTAGAAGAATCTCCTTGAAGGTCTTGGAATCTTGATACTTGGCTGTATTCCTGTTCGTCTTCTCCAATCGACACAGCATGTTTTTGAGTGAGTGTTCCATTTTGAAGTATTGGATCGACCCGAAATTGATCCTCCAGATCAGATGTCGAAATACGAACATCTGTCAGAAACTGGAGGATACTTTGTCCCCTTCGCTGACCGGGCATCATCCCTGTTTGAAGTTCGCTAGTACCGAGTCGAAGCAGTCTGTAATACTTACTGCTAATCTGCCAATAACTCCCCGCTTGACGTAAAAAGTCCAGTATAATGGTGAGTTTCTCTCGCTGCAGGTTTCCTCCACGTGACTCTTGGATGAGCAGGTATCGAGCGGCCACCCAGATGGACCAGGTAAAAGGCCAGCCAAGCTTATCACCAAGCTTAACGGCTGATCCTGACACGATCTCGATTATAATACTAATGCTATGAAGGCACCTGCTTTGACTCTCTTCGCGAGTATCTTCAAAGGGCGCTGATTGAAACACCTCGTACGCCGGGAAAGCTAGCAAACCATGTGCGTGAATTACGAGAGCATGGTAGTATGCATGGAGCATAGTAATGGACGCTACAGCACCCATGACCACCTGCCTCCTCGGGTCCTTTAAATTTTGAAGATGAAGACAAGACGGGAGGGTACAAGCCCACTCGGCAAGCTCCGTAGAACATTTCCGAAATTGTTCAAGCCAGGGGAACAGTGACTCCTCATCGTCTCCTAGTGCAGCATACATGATGTGCACGTTGTGCAGCCTCCTCGATAGATCAAGCAGCTCTAATTGATAACAAGACACATATACCGGTGATAAAACGATCTTATCTAGTGTCTCCATGGACGTAGAGTGCTTCTGCCACACTAGTGGTTTTGCGGCAACGAAGTGCTTGATACGATCATCCGTTAAGTCCGATGAGCGCCCAGTCGTGATAGTGATGTAACAATCCAAGCTATAGATCGCCCAAAACAGCCTCTGTTGGTAAATACTATCCACTTTGGCAATCAGCTCTCCGCTACTGTCAGTGGCCGATGTTCTCCAAACCCGGCCTCCGACGTTCTGCAGTTGCTGCACGAGTTTGGTGGCGATGGCCAATGCTCCCCAGACCTGGGGACCATTAGTCATCCCTGATAAATCTAGGACCAAGATTGTCAACGCTTCCAGGGAACTATAGGATGGTTCTTCCAGGACCTCTAAGGCTATTCGCCTCTTACAGTACTTCCAAAATGAGTCGCTCGACTTTCGATCCAGGCGCGAATCAAAGGAATAGGGCAGGGAGACGCCGAAAAGTGCATAGTGTAGCAGTGAGGGTTCATCGATATTTCCCATCTCTAGGCAAAGGCGGCGGATATCCAGAAATGGAAACCAAGGGTGGATATGGCGGAAAAAAAGGGAGCTCAGGGACACAACCAAGTCGGTAGGAGGTTGCTTCTCTTGGATTTGTCTCGTTCTCTCGGACGTCGCGTCAGGGGTTTCACCATCTGGCAACGCTTCAGACCGATGGTCGGCATAAATTGGCGCGGAGGTAGTCCAGGAATCAGTATCCGCGGTATCGGGGCCATGGGTTGGAAAACTGGGGAAGGATGACTGAATTTCACTTCTGACCCCGCAGCCGTCATTCCGGAGGGTACGGAGTTCCTCCTCGAGCTTCTCTGCAGGTCAAGTCAAAGGGGGAATTTAACGATCTGTGGATGCCTCATACTGATCTTCTCTTCGAGCTGCAGTCGGTGTCCGGCGGGAAAGCCTGGTTTCTTGCGACTCGGATACTCGCAACTAACGCTTAATTTTCTACACCTTTGGCAGGCAGGCTGCTTTCGATCGCATCGACTTTTCCGCTGCTTGCACCGCTCGCATCTATGCGCGTGTCAGTTACCCAGGTCAGGCTCGACCGGAAGGGGGGCGTGACTCACGAAGCGGTGGCTCGCCCAGGAGATGAGTCGGGACCCTCCATCGTGAGACAGCTCGCTAGAAGATAGACCGAGATTGAGCAAAATGCAGAATTTCTCCCTTGAGGAGTATGTTCGCAGCAGCGGAGAAGGGTCATGCAGGAGGCAAGATTGGGGAAAGGCGATCGCAAGATGTTATACCTTTGCGGCGGGCGGACAGTCGGCGTTCACTTCTGCGGGCGGGGTGAGCCAGCTTCCAACATCCACCTACTAAAGCTTGCAGTCTACTAGCCGACACGACCAGTTAATCTGGGGATCTGGGGCTGGATTCGCGTGGAAGGAGGGTTTAGAACGAGGAACTTATTTATTGCGCCAATGGCTCCCTCATCTTGCTCTTTTCTCTCGCATTGTACACTGGCATTCATTAAATCTTCTCACTAAAGGCCACCAGAAATGGGATTCCAAGAACTTGTCTCTCGCTCGCAGGGCGAAAAGGTGGAGGCGAGCATGCCAATTTCCCTTCTTGATACGAAACACTGGTGGCGGCATCAAAATCTCCGCACGCTGAACTTGCTTATGCTGATCCCCCTTCTGTCGATTTTCTCCCAAGGGTGAGTTCTCTCCTTCTTTGCCTCTCTCAGATGGTAAAACCGCAAGGTTGACAAGGTCAGATTCGACGGCTCCATGATGAATGGTTTGCAGTCGGTTACACACTGGCAGACCTACTTTGGAACGCCTAAAGGTGCAGTTCTCGGCGTCTTCAACGCAGCATATCCTCTCGGCGGCATCGCTGGCGTCTTTCTAATTTCTCCCGTGGCTGATGGCTTAGGAAGACGAATTGGCCTGGCTACAGGAGCTGCGTTATGCTGCATTGGCGCTGCCCTGCAAGGAGGATCTATCAATATCGCCATGTTCGTGATCTCGCGTGTCATTATCGGAGCCGGTAGCGTGATTGTTTCCGGTGTTGGGGCTCCATACATTACTGAGATCGCCCATCCCGCTCAACGCAGCACTGCTACTGCTCTTTTCCTAACGTTTTACTCCGTCGGATCCATCGTCGCTGGCTGGTGCACCTTCGGAACGTTTCGCATTGATGGCACTGCATCTTGGAGAATACCTTCGGCCCTCCAGGGCCTCCCTTCAGTGATCCAGCTGCTTTTTATCTGGTTTTGCCCAGAATCGCCCCGTTGGTTGGTGAGCAAGGGACGCAACGAGGAGGCCTTGGCGTTCCTAGTCAAGTATCACGGAGAAGGAGACCTCCAAGACCCTGTTGTCCAGTTCGAGTATAATGAGATTCAAAGAACCCTCAGCGCCGAGAAGTCCACTGCACATTCCCTGATCTCCTTCTTGCGGGAGCTAGCCACTGGGCCAGGAAATCGCAGAAGGCTTTTCATCATGATCTGGGCTGCCATCTGCTCACAAATGTCGGGAAATGCTTTTGTGTCATACTATCTCTCTCCGATTCTGACTTCTGTTGGTCTCACTTCCGACTTGCAACAGACCCTTATCAATGCTACTTCACAGATGCTCTCATGGGTTAGTGCCATTTATTTTGCGACTCTTCCCGGAAAGCTCGGCCGTCGAACTCTCTTCTTGGGGTCTCTCTGCTTTATGTGGGTGATTGTTATCTGTATCACTGCAGGAAGTGCCATGTTCGCCAAAGATCATTCCAACAAGGCAGCAGCATATACTGTAGTGGTGTTTCTGTATCTGTTCTCTCCGGCCTATAACTTCGGCTTTAATGGGAATCTGGGTCTCTATATTCCGGAGATATTACCCTACCATATCCGCACCAAAGGCCTGTCACTCTTCTATTTTACACAGTTCTGCTTTATGATTCTCTCGAATTTTACCGTCCCCATTGGTCTGGAGAATATTCAGTGGCGCTTCTACATTATCTTTGTATTCTGGATTATTGTGGAATTCGTGGGGGTATATTTGTTGTTCCCAGAGACTAAGGGCCCTTCTTTAGAGGAGATTGCATATATTTTCGACGGTCCAGGCTCCAAAATTGGATCCAATCCAAGGTCGGAGTTGAAGGGTAATATTCAGTTTGTAGAGGATACCAACTGTGACGGAAAGTAGGACAACGGGTCTCGATGAAATTGGTCTTAAAATGTCAATTTCTGTTGATGTTGGTTCTGCGTTTTAACTACACAATAATCACTAGTGAGAGGAGACACTGTATAATAATTCAGTTAGTTTACATCGTCTTAGGGCATCTAGCTGATCCGCATTATTCTCATGCATATTATTCCACAACAGAGAAATTTTGAATCCAACTCATATTATCTAGATTAGCTGATTCCGACACATAAAGTCGAATTCGCGTATCACTCACCCAACGTCGTGTATGCTGCACCGTTAGGAGGTGCGCTCGTTACGAAGCGATACTTCCGAGGCTCATATGTCATCTATTTCCAAAAGCATAGTCTTTTTCTCATATAGCTGAACGACTCTTTGCTTTCAATGCTTTGCTTGCAATGTAGGATATCTAATTATCAATTCGTAGAATATTGATTCATCAATATATTTGCGAGTTACAATTACATATGTGCACCCTACATGCGACCCGGAAATATAAACAACCAATTAATTACAACTACATACTGAGCCCCTGATGTCCGAATTTCATCTCGCTACAACTTAGCCTTTTCTTCTGCTCTTGTGGGGAGGAAGTTGATCCGCCAACGGCAATATTTGGCAGCGAAAACTTGGTTTTTTCCTGGATCGCTGGGGCACGGACTAAGCCTTCAATTTTCGTATATTCGTATATTCGTATATTCGTATTTCTACGAACTCTATAATTTTAGACCATGACTAGCGCAGATCCACCCCTAAGTATGGTAAATTGCCACTCAGCTCCATAGATTCGGTTTTTTGTTCGACTTCAAATGATCTGCAATTAAGGATTATTTCCCCCTTTAGGCACTTGGGAATATCGGTTGACTGTTCACTTGGTGATGGAGCCAACCTTAAGAATGTATAAGAATACGAATTTCCGCATCCATTGGAATGGGTAATTTTCAAAGGAGGAAAAGCGAAAGAATAGAATAAAATCGAAATTCGTTTTCTAGGATCAATAGAGCAGTGCTGTCATCCCGCCCTCGGGATAGTTTTGTAATGCATCACCATTGCGGCCTTGTAGGACTTCTCCTCGCAGGCGCTGCCTTCGCAGCTTCCTCCTTGCCAGCCTACAGGCCAGCCACATATAACAGCTCTGAGGGCATTAATGTTGCTGTCCATGATGATACAGTTCTCAAATTGTTTTCCGATGGCAATACTCCCGCAATTGTGACCCTAGACTATGGAGCAGACGTCGAGGGATACGCGACCTTTGAGGTTTCTGGCATGACAGGAAACACTTCAGTCTTCGAAATGAGCTACAGCGAGACTCTCGCCCTTCTGGACAATTATATGGTGTGTTGCAACTCCACGAGTATAGCCATAGAATACAGGCTAGATTTCAAAAAGGGGAAATAGCTAACCTCGTCTTCCTAGGCCGATGGTCCTCTTACTCTTGCTGCCTCGATGGACACATATCGCATCAACCAATTCAACATCACCAACCAAACAACCTATAGCAACCGTTTGATCCAAGGGGGTTTGCGATATCAGAAATTGAATCTGTCTAGCGCAGGACAGTTGGAGATTTCTGCGGTTGGCTTTCGTCCGTCCGTGGATAATACTCCTGTTTCGCTCCTCCCGGGATCTTTCCATTGCTCGGATCCAGTGCTAAATAGGATTTGGGATATCGGTACTCGCACAGTGCAGCTCTGCGAATTTCCCGCTGAGACTCTGCCTGACTTCTGGCTCATTACTGACCAAGGCGCATTTATCGATAGCCTTTCTCCTCAACCATTTGCTCAAGCCTATGCGGCTGCTCTGACTGCCTATGAGCTAGACTTCATGGTGCGACCAGTTTCCAAAGGGTTTGGATTCACTGTCCTTAGTGATACTCTGGGAAATGGAATCTACCTCTTCGTTGACGTTGTCAACTCGTACATAGCTGCTCATGCGGGTGCTACAGAGTTGAACTCTCCTGCTCTTGTTTCTGCAAACTTACCATCATCGGTCACTCTGAATGAGTGGCACACCGTGCATAGCATGGTCAACTCCACTCAGATATCCATAGAGATTGACGGAGTCTCCGTTTTGAACTTCTCCCAGACTTCATCCTTCTACGGCTCCTTTGGTTTGGGTGCATCATACACGCAAGCTGCCTACTTCACAAATGTCTCCTTCACCGCTTTTGGTACCCAGATGTACTTTTCATCCTTGACGAATCAGTCGGCCTTGGCGGACTTTGCGCTCGGCACAAACCCATTGCCCACTAGCGTTGATGGATCTCGGCGTGATCGGATCGCGTATGGAGGGGATCTAGAGATGGCCATGCGTACATCACTGGCCAGCACCAATGGTCTCGAATATATGAATGGATCAATTGCTCTTCTGGGTTCCTTCCAAGAGCTTCCTGGTTTTTTTGTTCCAAATGCTAAGGTTCAACTGTCCCCTGTCGCTTCTATCATCCAAGCCAATATTACTGGGTTGATTGGCTACTCATTCAGTCTCGTTAGTGCGATGGCCGAGTACTACTCTCATACTGGAGATGTCCCCTTCCTGCAATACTGGGCTCCACGAGTTCGTCAGCTGTTTGATTGGGCTCACTCACAGTCCCTGTCTAATGGTCTATTCAATATTTCCGATATCGCCCTAGGTGGTGATTGGAACTACTATGACCCTTCACTGGCTGGAGTGGTTACTAATTTTAACCTTATCTACGCTTATGCGCTGAAAAATTGGCTTCCATTTATGACAGATGGTGGATTGAATGCAACTATGTATAAATCTCGCCTACAATACCTCCAGGACGCTGTCAACGCAAACCTCTGGAGTGACTCTTTACAAGCATACTATGCTTCAGATTCTCATAAGAACTTCATCTCACAAGCAGCGAACTCCTATGCTATCCTCAGTCAGACGGCTGCTTCTCACAGTCCTCACACTCCTAGCACAATTCTATCCACTATGGCTCGTGAATTGTACATCCCCGCTGGAGCTCTTTCCTTCTCTAATACCAGTGTGGCCAAAGGTTGGGCCCAGAAGATTAGCCCATATGCTTGCGGGTATCATTTGAAGGCGGCTTTCGAGACGAACGACAGTGCTAACGCCCTCCATCTTCTTCACGCAGTCTGGGGTCCGATGAGTGACCCGACACACACTAATTATACCGGATGTACATGGGAGGCCCTCAGTCTTGACGGAACACCTGGATTGGGAGATACGACCTCACTCTGCCATGCTTGGGGTTCTGGGCCGACTGCTGATCTCTCCCGATACGTGCTTGGTATTCAGACGGTTATTCCAGGTTTCAAACAATGGAAGGTGGTTCCGCAAACCCTCAACCTCAGCTGGGCGCAGGGTGTGTACCCTACTCCCCAGGGCCCCATCAAAGTTAGTTGGTTATTCGACTCAGCCACTGATCTACTCTCAATGAACGTGACTGCGCCTGTAGGGACAAATGGTAGGATGACATTGCCTACCCCGCTGAGAAAATCGGTGAGAACATATGAAGTTTCGGACGACTGCATTAGGATGAGGAACAACTCCTTTGATATCTCGGGGGGGAAGACGTTTACTTTCCACCAGACTAGCTAATCTTCCCGGAGAAAAAGTTTTGAATTTAGCTCGCCTCTTTTTGTCATTTTTCTTCCTTGACAAGACTTTATGAGCATTCTCTTGTGTACTACATACCCCTTGTCAAGTCCCATGTTTTCCCTCCCTCTTCCTTCCCAACAGAATTGTTTTAACAAATTTTGTCATTAACAAGCGTAGACATGACAGCCAGTCTGTGTACCCACCGCTGTTCTAATCCGTAGGAACTCAACCAGCGGAATATATGGATATTACGCATGTTTCGCAGCCGCCGAATTTGCGGTGACTATCATACCTACAGGTAGATTAGTGAAGCTGACTGAGGCTATCTGGCTAACTAGAAGCTGGTATATAGATCAGAGGTAAATTCTCCGAGCTGACAGAGTCAGCGACGGTGTAGCAATTCTAACAGCGGTAGAGATTGTTATTCGTATATGATTCCTTTTACTTCATAAAATTGTACCTACGACTAGTGCCTATCAATCCGAGTTGTAAAGAAGTTATCTATTTAGATATATTGATATATGAGTATACATTAGTACCTATTATTACGGTTAAGATATTTGGAATTTTTTATTATAACTTTTGGTGTATCTCTTCCCAAATTGATTAGCGCCAAATATTTTGACCATTGGTGTCATATTTTAATCTACTTGACCAAAAGACGCCACGCCCACGCTATTCGTCCTATTATTAAGCATTCAATATTTCCGAGAATTGAAATTCACTAAGAATATAATTACCGCCGGCTAGGTATCGCGAACAAAAGAGATGTGGGGAGTGTCGTCCAAGGTGTCGGGGGATGTTGGACCGGCCAGGATCGTCCACAGCTGAGACAAACCGCGCCAATAGGCTTCAATTTATATCCACATTGCTTAGGGAGAATAAGAGACAGGATCCGTATTCTTAATGTGCTAATTGGGAATGCCGATGTGCTGATTATTCAAATGATTCCTCGTGGGAAAGTTGTACCGAATCGGCAATGTATGTGCTCCCTGTTTCTCCGCGTGTGGGCCACGCAGCATTGTGAACACCACTAGTTGGAAATATGCACATACACATGAGTCTAGGGAAATCCTAGAGAACACAGCCATATCCTAATTGATCCAGAACCGAGGTTCCACTTAAGCGTTGGCAAAGAGCGTCTGTGATTTTGTATATAATGCCCCATTTTCCTGCCGCAAATTGTGATGTATCTAGGTCTAGTGTTCCTCTCGAAAACGCGCAGCCAGATTAGTGACATGAAAAAAACGGAAAAGCGAGATACTATAGAAAGGAGACTATGGTTAACTTACCCAAATATGCCGGCATAGTCGCTGGTCACTCTATGATTGTCAATGCAGTCACTATCTCATACACAGTGCCCAGCAGGGTGCCTGTATATGCGACACCCTTAGATTGTACTCCGGTGGGAATCTCGTAAGTAGTAAAGCGAATCCTTAGGCTAGAGTTACCTCGCTTAGCTGATTCTTTCCGCTCTTCTCCAGATGGGAATTCTTCATGTGGCCATCATACATGACCAATATTACTCCTCCGATGCAATGTGTCTCCCGCATCTCGGACATCTATCGCAAAACAACACCCATACGCGTAGGAGGCACTACACAAGACAGAGCCACTTACGACCCGAACTTCCATGGCTATATTTCTTACAGCGTCGCCAATCCACTAGATGCCCCCAACACCCTAATTTACGGGCCGGCTTTCTGGGATTTGATTTGTGAGAAATTTCCATTGGACCTTGGCTTGGCTGCCCTGCAATACTGACCGAAAGGTTCCCCCCATAACGAATAGCTGCCTATGGTGGTGGGACCATGTTAGGTATGAACTGCATTCCTTTTCTCGAGGCTATTCTTTCTAATCGCTCTAGGCTTTAATCGCGGTGACGATAACCGAACAAATACATACATGGCCGTGCAAGATGCACGGACGCGTATTCCTAACAACCTGTGGGGAATTGAACTCGGAAATGAACCAGACGGTACGTATATCGGAGATTGCCAACACGTAGATATTATTATTTTCACCTCAAGACTAATTCGGTAATGACATAGTCTACCTTATGCAGGATAAACCCGACGCAGTGAGCCCTTGGAATGCAAGTCAAGAGGGAGCAGACGCGGCGAACTGGGCACAGGGGTTTATCAATGTGTGGAAGCCGAACTCACCAATACTTACTGCAGGATCATACGCAGTCGCGATCGCCGATGATCCGGAGTGGCCCAACACAGACTACCTCATTCACACCGCGTACAATGATACAGTCAAAAATGCCGTGAAGGTCTATGTTGGTCATTTATATGCAGCTCCACCTGGTAACACCACACTAGCTATGGAGATGAAACATTCCAAGACTGTCTCTGACTTGGCTGTCTTCGCTGACCGAGTTTCCACGGCAGCCTCCGCCGAACGGCCATTCATTCTGGGTATGGCCGATCTTTGCTGCTATTAATGAAGACCTTGCTCTGACGTCAGCTGCGGATCCTAGGTGAAACGAACTTTCATCCTTTTGATGTGGAGATGGATTCTACATTTGGCGCGGCAATGGTAACTTTAGACAAGACGCTACACGCTGTTACCCTGGGAATCAAACGTCTTTTCTATCACCAAGGAACAATCAATCAAGGTAACGACTTTTCGTCTCCTCCTCCTCCACCTCTGCTTTCTTCTTCTTCTTCTACTTCCTCTAGGAAAGGCTAATATGTCTGTGTAGCTATGTTCAATTGGTGGTCTAGTAATCAAATCAACGCACCGTTCTATGGCGGGTATTTTTCTGTCCTCGCACTCAGTGGGGGGGAAAGTATCATTGAGCTTGACTCAGGCGACACATCTTATGCGCAATATGTGATCTATAGCAGCGGGAAGCCGACGAAAGCCGTGCTAGTGAACACCGATTACTTTTCTGGCAGCGGCTTGCGATCCAATTGTACCGTGACATTGAATGGCCTTCCCAATCGAGAGGTCAAGGCTATCCGTATGACGGCCCCTTCAAGCGACACAGGTACATCTCTCGTTCAGAATGGCGCAAATGAGCCGAGCATTGGAGGTATGTTGATCTCTTCTTTTCTCTGGTTGATGGCTACCTGGACGCGTTTTTCTCTGGTGTTGGGAGCAATATGATTTAATGATAAGAATAAAAAAATAATTATAACGAACTCGCAGGTCAATATTTCTCCAACACCGACTGCTCTTCGGTTGGCACTTTGACCCACGAAACCACTGATGTGTTTCAAGGGCAGGCAAGCTTCACCGTGGCTGCCTCTGAAGCATTGTTACTGTATTTGTGATATACGTGAGTTAGTTCAATCCTACTTCTTCCCCGATATTGACTAACCATCCAGAAACGACTCAAATGCCATGTCGGAAGTCTGGGGAGAAAATATCTCTAACGCTATAATTATAAGTAGCGATACTGCTTTGAATATATAGATGAAATCCCCTTATATTGATAAATATATTTCATTGTGCACATGTTGCGTTTGGTCATTCCAAGTCGATACAGGTAGCGTTGAATACAGTATGTATGTAGTGGAGTAGGTGATAAAGCCTGGCAGCTCGCTTAGCATATGAATGCATAAGATAATTAGAGCTTAAGCTAGTGTGGTATATACCCCCTAAATATATCCTTTACACTGGTTATCTAGCCGGAAATACAGCTGTACATAGTCAATGTCTTTTCTCATCCTTAATATCCTAGTTGAATGATACCACATACTTAACCATATGCCGATCGTAACAATTATAGATCACATGATGGTATTCTAATCAATAAACTTACTTAAGTATTAACCATTTTCTCAGCAGCTTTTAGTGTTGAATTCTTGTAGGACCTAGAACCGGGTAAATTTGTATGGTAATTTCCAGCTTTTAACGTTACAAGTTTTGAAACTAGGGATAGAATGAAAGTTATACTAATGATACGAATTCTAGATCTCTGTCAAAGCAAACATGAGAGCTCGCGCATCCTGATCGACGTGTTCGGTATTCCAGGATCAGACAAGATGGCCCTAGCAGCCGCAGTGACTGAACGCGTGAATCAACTGGGGAACAAAGACAAGTATTTCGTAGTCTGTATTTCAATGGATGGCTATCATCTGTTAAGATCAATGTTAGCGGCAATGCCAGCGCCTACTACCGCCATTCATTGAAGAGGCGCATCTTTACATTCGATGCAGAAGCATTTTATCGATTGTTGGAGAGTTTAGAGAGTCATTGACCTCGGCCTCGTCCATTTTTTACGCACCTAGCTTTGATTATGCGACTACTAATGATCCTGTTACGAATGATATTCACATTTCGCCGAAATCCTGAGCAATAATTTTGGGGGGTCTCCATCGTAGCCTAGATCGCGAACCTTGAAGCCTGGCCGCTTCTCTCATGTATGAGTCTTGGCCCATTGATGTTGATCGTGAGACTGCGACTTCCTTGGGAGTCAGCACCTTCTTCGAGGTCTACTGAGTATTAATCCTTGTAATCTTGGTCAAGCGGCTGATCTTCCGAAGGCCCAAAAATCTTTGGGAAGAAACTCGGGTAGTAATCAACCCAACAGAAGGTTTGCGTTGGTTACTGTCAGAGGCCCACCCTTCCTGTAACAAGCTGTGGGCGGACGCCGACCCGGCCCAACCATAAAGAGTCCGCTTCACTAAGATAGAATGTAACCACCTCCTGCTGCAACTGTATTAATGGCTAGCTGTGGTGCTTGGATACTGACTCCGCAGATACTTGAAGAGAACGTATGCTCGAGATGCCATGGAAGCGAGACACCAATTAAATTCAGTGAAGACCGAATATAGCGTAAAGTTTCTAGGACAACATAATCGGTAAGCCACCCGGCCATTTAAGCGAACCACCACTTCTGTCTGAAAACAAACTCTATATTTATTATATTAAAATTAATACTATATAAATATTTCAAGATTGTTAGCCTGTCAGAGCTCTGTCTTAATAGCAGCATAATCCGTACGCTGCTGCCTAGGAGTTCCCCTGAGAGAAATCCCTCGTCTTCTTCCTTCCCGTTCACTCTTTCCTGCCATTTAAAAACCCCGTGGGGTTCTACCAGGTCAGCCCTGCTCTTTCATCTTCATCTTCATCTTCGTACTCATTACAGAAATCGAACTAATCTATCAATCAACAACGAAGACATCCCATAATGCATAACCTCCGCGATTCGCCGCTCAGCCCTTTGCCACGAGGCATCTCTCACCCCGCCACATCAGAAGCCATTCGGATAGACCAGAAGGACACGCGTCAGTGCATTGCCCGGGGGAATTCAAGGAGATTCGGGGTGCGGCCTTCTATAACCGAACCTGGATAACTACCTCCCGATACTGCGAGTCTGGAGATGGTGTGGATTCCCTCGAAGAGTACATTCATTCCATGTGGTATTCGTACTACCAGCTCGGCCGGAATGTCTCGTACGAAACGCCCGACCACGAGGGTCTTGTCCTCGACATCGTCCGCATTCAAGGATTGGGACCGCTGACTCGGCCCGTGCGAGGAAATTACGGTGTTGATATCGCACGAACTGTCGATGGCACACTGTGGAACGATCTGCCATTCTTAGCCACCGACATGACCGACTTCTGGAAGAGTGACTTCCCAACGATGTCGGGTACACACCGACTCAACTTTGCGACTTTCCTGGCTAAATTGGCATCAACTCGTGTTTGTAAGGATAGGTTGTGCCAGATTGCCCTCATACTATTCCGCAATCTGTTCGAGGAGAGACAGGGACTTCGCAGCGGGGAAGAGTTGGAAGATGAAGATCCAAAACGAAGGATGCATGAGCTTGAAATTTGTCACTTGTTGCCAACTGCCGTAGCTTGGTTCCGCCATGCGGGCTACAATCTTGTTCTACTCTCAGAGATCTATTGGAACGATTGTCCCAGCATCATCAGCAAGGGTGGCGAGAAGTTCATCGAGTCAGAGCTTGGGCAGCGATCGCCCACTGGTTTCTCGCCATGGAGATACATGTACTGGCTCAAGCGACTCCATGAAATCCAGGAGGAAGCCAGCAGTGCAAAAGAAGAACTCTTAGAAGAGTACGCCACCGATGCCATTGAGTACATGGTCAACGAAGTCGAGCAACGAAACTCTGACATTTTAAGGGCATACCAGAACGGTGGAGATGCCTTGCATCAGGAGAAACATTTGTTTTGCCTGAAGAGTCTTTTGAAGAGTGAAGCTACAGAGAATAAAGACTCGCAAGAAGACTCGCAGGAAGACTCGAAGGAAGACTCGAAGGATGGCGCAAAATAAGTAAGACGCGAAGGAACGCCCGAAAGCAGATCTCAAGGAAGATGCCAATCAGATCTCTCTACTCCGTTCTTAGCTTCTTTCCTAATTTAGTTTCTGAGTTCAAGGTTACTCTTCTCTCTCCATGTATCCCTTCGCATGTCTGCTCTATCTTCTAAGGTATACATATAAGAGTACACCACTTTCATGATCGAGATTAAATACATATGTTTTGGAGTTCTGGTAATTGTCGAACATATGTATAAACCGGATTGTTCAAGCTGTCAGAGAAAGTCGCTCGAGTCAGATTCGTGAAGAACATGGGGCTATCAGAACGTCAGGCTATTAGCATAACTCAGCAATAACTAGATAGCTAGTATATTCTCTGACTGGCAGAGATACACGAAATATCAGATGGTCAATGTTCAATTTGTTGAAAAGCAAAAATATTTAGCTAGATACTAAACGAGTGTGGTCATAGAAAAAATCACAGAAAAGCGAGATACTGACTGCAACCCCTACTATCAATATCATTACCCCTTTCTTGCGAGTTCCCCATATTCTCGCTGCGTCTCTGGCTGGGGCTATTCAGTTGAACTGCCACGAGGACTGCAACTTCGGCACGTGCTCTCGCGATGATAAAGAAGCACCCGCTACCTTGGCCGTAGGTGCGGCAAAGATACCAGTGACCAGAGGGATGGAACAGATCAGACCGAGCCCACAAGCGCATAGCCAGTGATGGGGTGTCCATTGAACGCGAGAAAGTATGTTTACATAGCAGTCCAGATTATTTGTTAATTGTCTCTATCCGACCAAACAACTCTACTTAGTTGAGTGCATGTATGCTTGTATGCACATGACCTTTATTAGACGCTGGGCATCAACGTTGAGTTGATTTGTCCTAGGACTAGTCATTCCATGAATTCCGACAGTTTATGGAACTCCTCCGATACTTATAAGATGAAGAGCGCGGCTGAATCCCCGAAGGGATATTTCATTTGCTGAGATGCGAGGCAATCATTAAGAAAGGGCTTCTCTCTCTCAAATTATCTGAATATTTTTTCCCTTCTTGCTGGCTCTATCTCCTTTTCTTTGTCAATTTGAGGTGTATCTGACTTTGTCTTGCCCGGGATTTCCCGCAATTCAGCGAGGAATTCAGCGAAAGGCTAACGCGGGATCCCCTAATTTGATCACCCAATTCCACCCTTTTACACGAGTCCCCAAACCCCAAGCTAGGCGAAAAGTCGTCTTCGCCCCTTTATTAAAATGAACAGCAGCAATGCGCCATCTTTGCCCCACAAGCGCCGCCGCCCCGCGTTGTCGTGTGAGCAATGTCGTCGGCGCAAGGTCCAATGCGACCGGAAGATGCCTTGCGGACCGTGCAAGAAGACTCGACCATCCTTGGCATGTTCGTATGTCCATGAAGGAAAGGCCGCCCTGCATGCTGGGCTTGATATGTCTGTAATTGACGGGGACGAACCTGAGTTGATGATTCCTTGTTCCCCCAGGGCCCTTCTCAATACCCGGGGTGGCTATGTTGAAAGAACCCGACTCGCCCAATTAGAACACAGTGTGTGAATGCTTCAGGAAAGGGTGGAAAACTTGGAGCATGGTATTCATGCAAAACATAAGCACCACGATCGATCTATGGCATATGATGTTTCTGGAATAGCTCGTCGTCTTAACGAACTTGATAGTCGCGTTAAAGAGCTGGAACGGCAATCCCCTACCAGCAGACCGGATCGACGACCTTCCCATCGGATCAAGATCCCTCCTCTGGTCCCATTCTTAAAATCCACTGCCGACAAGACCGAGGTTTTCGGTACAACACATTGGGCCCATATGTTCCAACAGGTAATTATCGGTTAACGAGCGGAGGGGTTTCATTTCATTAACGCCATTTAGTTCCACTACCTCCGCGACTTTCGTAAATCAGCTATTCATGCCGAAAATGAAGTCAGCAACTTACTTCGGCACACTCGTGCTATGAGATCCATCATTAAAAGCTGGCAAGCACCGCAGCTTCATGATCCGGCCCCAGGCTTGCTAAATGATCTACCCGTGAAAGAAGTCTGCGATCAACTCGTCCATTGCTACCTACGGACAATGGAAGTGATATTCAGAGTATTACATATACCTTCGTTCTACCAAGACTATGCCAAGCTCTGGGAAGATACTAAGTCGGCGTCAATGGCATTTTCATTGAAGCTGCTCTTAGTCCTGGCTATTGGATCTATATTTCACTCCAAGCCGGGGCCAATCAATGATCTTCGTTTGCCCATTCTACGTTGGGTACATGCCGCACAGTGGTGGTTGACCGGCCCAACTACCAAAGAAACTAGGAACCTCGAGGCCTTAAAAGTTCATTGTCTATTGCTTCTCTGTCGCCACGCTTACGCAATAGACAAGCAGGCGACCTGGAACTCAATGGGCTCGTTGCTGCGGCTTGCAGTGAGCCAAGGGCCCCATCGTGCTCCGGATCACTTTCCGTCCATATCTCCTTTCGAGGGAGAAATGAGGCGGCGTATATGGGTCACGATAATTGAATTGAACATACAGTTCTCAAATGACGTATCTATGCATCCTCTTCTAACTCTCGATGGGTTTGACACAAAACCACCATCGAACGTGAATGATGAGGACTTTGATAAATGCTCCAAAAGCCTTCCATTACCACGTCCAACCGATATATGCACAAGCTCGGCTTTGCAGATTGCCCTCCTTCATTCCTTCTCGACCCGTTTGTATATATCGCAAACCCTCAATGACTGCAGTCACGATCAATCATATGAGGCAGCACTTGACTGTAGTACACAGGTGTGCACAGCGTCAAATGTACTTGTAGGGCTCTTCCGATGATATTTTGCTCAGACGGCCACTTCCGATTTAGGCCCAACTATATTCCACTAACGACTTCTTAACACCATTCTACACCGTGCTCTGCTAAATCTTTACCGACCATTTACCCTTGAGGCTATCCAAGACCCACTATTCTATCTCTCTCGCAAACTCAGCCTTGACTCCGCTTTGGCAATTGCGTCGTATGCTGAGGACCCTAATAGCCCCGATATTTTATCTCAACAATCAACTCAAGATTTCCACCGACTCTGCCTCTCTGGTGCTGGCCTATTCAACGGCCATTTTTCCCAGGAAGTAATAGTCACTATTGGACTAGAGCTCATGCTTCAGACCGGAGAAATGAGTGCCCAGCAACCGACAGGCTCAACTGAAAAAATGTCGGGTGTCATCGATCCAATGGCGCAATATACTCGTGCACCAATGCTACAGACACTCCAATGCAACCATTGCATTCGTTGCCAAAGTCTACCAGTCGGAACATCAATTATGAAACAGTATTGTCTCCTAAGCGGAAAACTTGCCCAAACCCGGGTTGCGCATCATGGAGATTCAGAAGAGCAAGCTGTGATTCGAGAAGCTCTTTTAGAGAGCATGCAAACATGCCGGTCCTCTCTTCAGAAGTTCATTGCTCGTGAAAGGAATGATTCTAGTACTGATGAGACCCTAGGAACGAATCAGTCGAGTTGTGACGATGCCATAACATCGAATTTAAATCTAGGGTTTTGGGTCTTTTCTCGGTTATTCTTTCTTGCACATTCATTACTGACAATTTTTAGGCCTCAGAAATTGATTTTGATTCTTTCAGCTTTTAGGAATTCACACCGGCATCATCACCTACTCCTTTGGATCGATTGCGGGATCGTGATAGCAAGTTCCACTTAACCGTTGAAAGGGTAGTTTCAGATCAAGATATTAGTGCCATGTCCTACGCGTGCCCAATTCTTGCTTCATGCCTTTAGGTCTTCTAGGCGATTCGTCGGAACTAAAATTTTTTTTCACCCAAGGTGACGAGCGGCCATCAAAATCTGGTAAGCTGGATAATAAGCAGCTATCAGGAAATGTTTAAGCTCAAAGGGAAGGTCTGTAAGGGCGAAAGCAGTGTGAATCGTGGAACACGGACGTCGCAGAAGTGGTACAAAAGCAGCTGAGGTGTCTGCCGGTCTCCATATTTTTGACTCTTGATGGCCCACTGGGTTTTGAAAAGATCTGACACTGCAGGAAGACTGCATGTCCTTGCCTACGTTGGTCGTCGATGAGCGATCTCCGCACCCCGCTACCTTGGACCATTGGAGATGCAGACCATGTAATTGATAAGACCGTATTGCCAAAGGGCTAAATGAAGCGCAATTCTGGTGAGACCACTTGCAAATGATTGCCAAGTCCTCTCAGTATCAATATCTTCAATGTCGTCGGTAGAATATTGAGGGACATGTGCTGGACGGCGCGGCCGCACGGTGGTAAGTCCCTTTTTACTAAACCCTATTATTCGCCTTCCTTCGAACTTAGAAAATTCTGAGCATTGATGGCTTTGGCTGTCATTCCAGGACATCCCAATCGGGCGGATGTTGATGCAGTGGGGACACGAGCGTATTGATCCATTAGGGTATGAGAGTTTCATTGAGGGCAGTGTGATGGGTAGCTGCCTTTATGAGAGCTGTGGATATCGCAAGCTTATAGATATTTATCCCAATATGGATGTGAAGAAGCCCAGTGATGAATGGATCCGGTTACAGCATCAATGGAGACCACCAGTGATTGGTCTGTTCTGGAGGCCACCGCGCGGTGAATTCACTGATAGCACCTTCCAGGGCCCATGGGAGATTAAATGATTGTCTATCACGATGTGTAAATGTGTTCTATGATATATGATATATGATTATATCATATTAGAATATTAGTCGAATTGCTAGGAAGATTCCGGCCGAACGGTATTGTTGGATTGGCAATGATGGCAATCTGCCCGATTAGTTTCAATTATACGCGACAATTAAGTTAATCTGGAATTGGTGCTGCATGTCGGGATCTTCTCCGAGCCCAGCCTGGGCTAGTAATAGCTATGAAAACTTAAATTCTTTCAAATTATTAAAAAAAACTTAATTTATCTAATTTAAGGTAATTTTTATACTAATTTGGCACCCCTGTGCGAGGGGTGCTCAGACGGGGCAGAGACCGTGGAGCACCTCCTGCTCCACTGCAGGCAGTGGCAGCGGCCGCGTATAGGTGCCTCTTGGAGGTCAAGATTAGCAGGCCTTCAGCGGCCGAAGAGGCCCCCGAGGCGCGTTGTAAGCTAAGGCTTTGGGGAACAACCCTAGCCAACAAGGCTAAAAAGACCAACATTAATTAGAACATGAAATAACTGCCAAAACGCGTGACATGGATGCCTTGCAGCCTCAGGCATCAATGGTCTTACAATTAATAGTATATTTTTTAGTATTAAACTTGTTATTAGTTTTATAATTATTAGCTTATGCTATTTTAATGGTTTATTTATGGATCTATAAATTTTAAGATTTATAAAATTAATTTACTAAGCTTTCATATTATATGCAAATTGGTTGATGTTGCTTTCCTGATTTAGATATCATGTAACATAAAAGGTCTTATCAAGCAACTGGCGATGACTCTGTTTCTTCGTTTTTCCTTTCTTCTTCCAAGTTTAGTATTTTCGATAGTTACCACGAATCATCACAGTTGTAGAGTCTTCACGCAGACAGGATAACCAAAACCGAACCAACACCAGCTACAATATCCATAGCCTGACAAGGCAGTTCCAGCGAGTTTGACGAAATCACACACACGTATATTTTAGTGCTGATGTTTGGATTTCAATTTTTTAATTTAAACATCGTATTTTCCACCTCCAGGTAAAACAGTTTCTGGGAGCGGCGCATCGTTGATTTGGCTATCGGCAGCGTAAGGCGATTTCACTTAATAACAATTAATCAAGATGGAAGATTAAAAGGTCCTGTGATTCTCACCAGCAGGAAGTGGAGCTCCCGCAACCAGGGCAATTTGGACCAAGATGAGGAGAACGCTGTGCAAACGCATTGTGGGTAGACTGAGAAAAATACAGATGTTTATGTGTGGTGGGTTGGAGTGAGAAAGCTAGTGATGTCTGGCGGCGAGAGATCTGGAGAAAGAGAAAAGCTGTCCAGGCAACCGCCTGTACAGATAGGAAGGGCCGAATTCGCCTGGATTTTCTTTTATTCAGCGAAAGAGGAAGAGTATTCTCAGCCCTTGTCATCGCACCCTAGTCATCGCAGAAGAATCACACATGATCACCTGCGGAACTTGGCTTATAAGCGCCGGATCGTCCAATAATATAGACACTATCAATTTCCAGTTCAGCCATCAGCGGTTGACGCAGCCTTTGTTTTTCCAGACAGCGAATGGGAGGGCGTGCTCTTGAGTTGGATTTTTTAGGCTGAAAAATAGCGGGCGACATTACAAACGTGACAAGGGAATGGTGAGTACTTGCCTATATGAGTAGTGCCGTTGCTCATTCGATTCTCTCATTTCCTCTGCTCGAGAAAATTACTCTCTCAATCAACTGAATTTGCCATGCGAATAGTCTCATTCAGAAACCATTGTATTTTATGTTATTCATTTAATTCACCATGCGATATGACAAGCTGGAATCTCTGCCCAGCTGTCCCAATTGTGAGAATGAACTTCAACGTCCGTCTCGTCCTCATCAGCAGAGGAAATATTGGGTGATTTCGATATGTATCCACTTCACATTTTTTTTATTTTTCATACTTGTGTCCAGCGCGTTGAACCTTCCGAGAATACCACCAAAGAAGGCAGTTGACTCTGTCCCGGTCGATCATGACGCACACCTCGTTGGCAATTACTCTTGTGAGTTTACATCCAACATTTACGACTAGTGTATGGCTCTGTAAGATGGTATAAATGAATGAACTGACAACTATAGCACCCCTAAACAATCATGCTTCGTACAAAATTGAAACTCGCTCTCCTGATGATTGGGACCCAGCCCTATTTTTTGGAGAACCTTCTTTTGAGTCAGACACTGCTTGGAACAACCTTATCCGGCGTAAGTAAATTTAACTTCTGTTTTCTTTCTTTTTCTTGCGATCCGCCATACTAATCAGATCAGCAAGATCATTCCGTGTGCATCGCGACGAAGCTGTTCGTCTAAACCTTACGGATAGTATCCTAGTCCAACCGGGAGAGGACTTCGCAACTGAATTGGGGATAATCCACAATCTCCACTGCCTGGTCGGCTCACCTTGTATTTCCTATGTGAAAATGTATTGTCTGACTGACAGCTTTGATAGCGGCGTATACGCCAGATGCTGAACCCCGAGTATTACTATCCGGACGCCTCAGAAGAAGAATTGGAATATAACCGCCATCATAACCGTGAGATTATCCTAACAGAACCGTAGATAATGCAAAGCTAACAAGGGAAGTTCACTGTCTTGAGTCAATACGAACATCAATGCTCTGTTATCCCGACATAAATCCACATCCATACTTTTGGTCCGGTAGCAAGTACCATCCCGTGACTGTTAGTGGAAAGGTAACACGTAGATGTGTCGACTGGGAGGGTCTGCAGCCGATACTGGAAAAACGCAACTTTGAGCCGAAGGAGTTGATGCGAAATACTGGGCCACCGAATTGACGGTGATTTAATTAGAACTGATAGAATTCCATATCAAATTGGGAGCAGGTCACGAATGTGGAGGGTGGATATGTGTGAAAAGATGAATGGTGATGATGTGGGATTGGTTGAGACCGACCCAGCCTGCCTCACCATGCAAGGACAGACATCATCTGATCATCCATTGATAGTCGGTGAGCTGACTAGCTGCGGATGATCGACAGGTAGCATTGCACAGGAGATCCGCAACAAGTAATTACTTCTCACCGAACCTAAAGCTTGACTTGCTAGAGAAAAAGACATAATGGAAGGATGGTACTAGGTGTGCGCACAGGCCAGGAGGAAACAGCTTTAATCCCACCACTCAGCTACGGAGAAGCTAGAACTCGGCGACTAGTTCAGCTAGTTCAGCTGGGGTTTATTCAACTTGGCAAAAGCTAGAAAAAGCGGCACAGTTCAGCTGGTTTTAGCTGAACCTTTTGCTAACCTTGCAGACGGCTGTGATTTGCTCAGACAATGCGGATTCCCTGTACATCCCCGCAAATCATTCTCAAACGGGACATGCAGACGCGCTCACCAGCTACCTAGTACCTCCCTGTCGGTGAATCTGTACATCACAGCGATTAATGCAGCGTTGCCGATTTGCCAGTGGGCTTGCGTTGTGTTGCACTCGCTCATCGTTGAAACCCACCCATCATGTATCAACTACGTTTCCTATCCAAGGTTACATCTTATCGGGCAGGCCGTGCAGTAAGACGACCTACAATTTATAACCATCTTAAAATATTGAAATTGAGGTAATTAAGTCTTAAAATTAAACCTAAGATAATTGATAAAATATATACGTCAATTAAAGATCTCTGTCCGTCGCTGTGGTAACGCAAACGTTCCGGTGACAATGTCCTTGCCTGCTGTCCCCCCCCTTTCTCTGAACCCTTGTCTCGTCAGTAATGCGGTTCCACGGCATAAGGAATTGTATATTAGGCAAAAAAAAACCTCCCCCCTCTCCCTCCCCATGGAAATTCATGCCAGCTGGCATAGTCGTGCAAATCTTAGCCTGTTTTCACCTTGATAGCATCCAGGCACTCGCTGAGGGTCTTGGTCAAGTCGAGGAAGAGTAGAATGTGAGCTTCAAAATACTGTCTGTCTCTTCGGCTTCACCCCGGCAAAAAACGCACGACAGCTGGCCAAATATTCAATGGCATCGCTTCAAATCCACCCCCCTTTTCTATGGACCGCAGGCACAATATGGCCCCCCATCTGTCTCGCGATTGTCGCCGCGCGGTTTGTGATGAGGAAAAGCCAGCGAATGCGGTATGGGCTTGATGACTGGTTGACGCTCCCGGCACTGGTATGCCCTTTATTTCTTGCATATAGAGCTTATGTTCGGAGACGATAGGCTGATATATTCTATGAAATTGATAAAGATCCTGATTCTCGGTATGGCAGCGACTATCCTGGCAGGAGTGGCCCAGCATGCTCTAGGCTACCCAACGCCAAAGCCCGAACCAGGGACGGAGCTGACGGCGACCAGTCCTCAACAAACAGTGACGAGAAAGGTGTTCTCTCTTCTACCAGTGAATTGTCAACGCATCTGACTCGATCTCCTACAGGCATACATGGCCATCACCCTTATGCAGACCGCCGCTCTCACATTCATCAAACTAAGCTGTATGCTCTTCTACCAACGCATCTTCCGCACCGCATCACACATCGCCAATATCCTAATCTACATCATTCTCGCACTGATCCTGGTCTGGGGCTTGGGGTTTTTCTTCAGCTTCCTTTTTGCCTGCAACACGCATTTCGACTACTTTTGGACCAACCTCGAGAACCAGTTGAAATGTCCCGCCGATCTAAGCAAGATTGATCTGTCGTTATCGGTTTCGGATGTTGTGATGGATGTGATTCTATTGGCATTTCCAATTCCATGGGTGCGTTGTCTCAACTTCTCTCGTGCAACAGGCCAGATTAATAACGGAACCAGATTATGAGAATGCAGATATCGTGGGGCAATAAGCTTCTAGTTTTAGGCATTTTTACCCTTGGTGGTCTGTACGTAAATCTTGACTGATAATTCCAAAGCCCAACTACTAACCATTTCAGCGCTGTCGCAGCGTCCATCACACGTCTGGTGATTATCGGGGAAGAATTGAATGGTACGTGGTATTCCTTCTGCACGGTAGCTCTAGCTAAACAATACAGTTGAATTTGCTGCAACGGCGGATGAGGACTGTACGATCATCCTATTCAAATTCTATAGCTCTTGCTAATTACGTGATAGTCGTCTCCACTGCCGGTCTGTACTTCATGTACATCGAAGCCTGCTTTGCGCTCACAGCTATCTGTCTGCCGTCACTGTCCGGAATTCGCAAAAACCGGGCAATAAAAAACTTGATCGAAGGTTTCCGATCCGTTTTCTCTAGTAATTCGCGCGGCTCTGGATCGAGGATTGCAGCAGACGGTATAAATTCAAGGGAGGCGCCAGAAGACATATCTATTTGCTTCGAGGAGCCATTATCGCAGCCTACATCTAGCGCAGAGCCCATTTCGATAGTAGATGACGCCGATTTGGAAATGCAGCCTCTACCGAAGAAGGACCATAAGCATACTACGGTGACATGCGGAACTGAGTAGTCAGGTAGTTGAACAGTGGGCCTCCTTATAAGGTTTGTCATGCTTGTAAAATGCCTTAAAGCTGCGGTGAATTCTTATGATTCTCAACATCTATCATCACCAAACCGATTCGAATTGCCCGTAAGACAAAGCATCTATCTACTCACGAACCTGCGTGGCCCGAAACATTTCCTCAGAATAGGAATTGAACGTCACGGGCTTGTAGACCTGCTTCCCATGAGCCACCACCAGAGACGGCTGAGGCTCTATGACTCCATCTGGCTGTGGTACGAGAAAGTATGGAATTGAGTAGCGTGCCGGCGTTGCTTCGCCCTTGGCTTTCCCAGAGATGACCACACGATGACGTGCCGAAGGATAAAAACCTATCTACAATCAGCATGAAATAACACGTAAAAAGAAGTGATCAAAATTACCATTGGAGATCCGTTGAAACATGTCCCCAATGTTCATATACACCACTCCTTCTTTAGGCGTCGCTGGAGCAAACTCGTCCGTCTGGCGATCGTGGAATTCCAGCCCGCCATGCGTATCCTGGAAGAGAAGAGTAAAAGTACTGTTCGTTCAGCCGTTTAGCATAGCTTGCGATATCTCTTACAAGAGCAAAACAAACCTCCAATCGGTATGTGCTCCGAGACGGCCAATATCCTTCTCCTTGGCAAGCATCTCGCCCGATATAGACGGATAATGCAGTAATCGCAGTTGGTTGTCATGGCCAGTATGTAGTGCTCGCACAGAATTGGCTTCCTGCTCGCTTAAGTTTAGACTCATGATAAGAGCGTCGAGAATGGCGTTTGTCGTCTTGTTCAGAGTCCAGAACAACTCGATGGTGAAGTGGCGAAAACCGGGAAAGACATCTTCAGGAAGCCAAATGTTGTACTGTATCCGATTCTCTTCACTGCCGATTTCATAGCTTTCCTACATAGATATTGGAATAAGGTATATCAACTACTGGTTCTCTGACACGTACCTTGTAGTCTGACGCGCTCGTATAAGCATCCTTCTCTATCTCATCGTCCGTCTCGAGAGCAGTTTTGGCGGCGCCTTGCTCCCTACCGAGGCCGGAATAGCCTCGATGCGGCACCGTGCCGTCTGGATGCGGCGCCTTCATCTTGTCCTCGTACGGCAGATTGAACAGTGTTTTAACCATTCTGAAGGCCTCCTGGAGCAGGACGACTGGTACTCCGTGACCGATGATGCCCACAGATCCATTTACTTGTAATTTCTCTGCCAGGTCTGCCGCAGCTGCGCGTTTGCGAGACTCTAGGTCGCCTCCTGCTTCGCCAGACGTAAAAGGCGACAGGTCGACGATGGGAATGGAAAGGTTTCCGTTGGATGCCATGTCGATCGAGGGATTAAGTTGAGGGGTTTTGAGAAGTTAGAGCGAAGTAGATATAGTGATGTCGATTCGAGAGAGGGAAGGAAATGAGGATAACAAAGAAACATGCTCACAGGGCGAGCTGTCGGTCTATTTATGACTGGGCGGTGTCTTCCCTCTTGGGCTCCCCCTAATGCATTTTCCACAGAACCCTGCCATTATTTGCAAGGACTTAGAACTGATTTCGTCCAGTCTAGTAATTCATTATTCTCTATTGAAATTCCGTCATGAGAAACTTGCTTACTTTTCTATAAACGCCATTCATTCGCCTTATCTCTTTAATGAGCTTTAAATGACCACCAATTCTTTGTTGACGAGTGTGGTAAGTAGCCTAACCGTCCGGTTTAGTTATCTCCGTCTCGCCGGAGCGGGGTACCCACTTGCATGCCATACCATACAATGGGTCCAAAACTAATGCACATGCAAAGAAGGTACAAACCCATTTTTCGAAATATTCATATACCTTAATTTCCATACTCAGCGCGATACACTCTATTGGAATCACCCCTCTAAAGGCTCTATACCCCGTGGAGGTACTGTGTTACGAAATGCGGGCCAAGGGCATGGCCGTTTCTAATGTAGCTACAAATGCTGGCGGCCTCTCAAGCCAATTTTTATGGTCTATTTCTCTAAAGAAATATCAACTAGAAGACTTATATTATCTTCACTGTTTGGGATGCTGTTCAGGCGACCATCGTGTTCTTTTGTTTCCTACAGACAAAGGGCAGGTTGGTAAGTCATTCACAGTATCCTTCACAATTACCCACGTGAAGAGCTAACGTGGAAATATCTCGATGAAATTGACCGGATATTTCAGAATATTAACACTGTCAGAAATCGTTGGCTGTTCATATAATTGCTGTTGATGAGGATAATAATATCCTAGTGGTAAAAGATGCCTAGGGCATCAAGACTCCCCTCCTTGAGCGGTACTGCTGTGGAATGGGGATCATTCCACATTAGGATAAAGGCTCTCTGATTGCTTCTTCATAAAATGAGTCGAGACATCTAGCTAATCTAGGAGTAGGTAGACACACAAAACAATTTCTTGAAGTTTAACATTAACTATCAGTCCCTGGAAAGACAGACAACAAGGTATATATTAAAGAAGGTGCATGTGTTCATGGACTAGCTAAAATTCAAAAACTCTAGAACTGTCCTAAAATAACATCGTATTCTGCAGCAAAGAGGAGGAGAAAGAGCCAGCTCTATGAATTCAACACTATCTGAGGCCCAACATAGTTCTTTCTTCCGTGGATAAACCACCAAATGCCCACCAAGATAGCCAAGCAAACAGTGATCAAGCTAGTGTAATTCATTTCCGCAGCCGACGTGGGTACGGCGTATGGGAAGCAGTATATCACGAAGAAAACGATGATATACATGCAGCTGATGGCGTTGACGAAGAACCCGGCCCGACCCATCCAGAAAGGACCGGGACGGAGGTTTTTGCGGCCCGTTATTAAGTGAGGGAGAATAGCCATGAGAAAGGACGCTGTCGTGAGCAGTACGAACGAGCCAACAAACGCGTTAAATGCGGCCAGAGACCCGACATATATCGCTCCCATACAGGTGGAAATCACACCGCACGCTAATGTAGCATAGAGAGGACTGTTCCATCTTCGACTGACGGTACCGATTCTGCTGGAGAAAGGAGCTGCATCGTCGCGGCCAAGGGTGTATAGAGTCCGACCTGCTGTGATATAGCAGCCTACAGTGGCACAGACAATGGGCAAGATAATCACAATCAGGAGTCCCATCGTTCCACCCTTAGAGCCAGTTGCCTGCAAATAGATGTCACCAAGGGGGCAGATTGAGTCCGCCTGAAATATTGCGTCCAGATCATTGATCGCGTAGAACATAGAGATCATGTAGAAAATGGCGGTAAAAAACCCGACCGCCACCTGACAGGCGAGGACTTTTGGAAGATTCCTTCCTGCACTTATAGAATTGTAAGTATTTCGATAGCCAGGTGTTCGGGAAGAGGGGTACTATACTGCGGGATTTCTTCAGCAATATGTGTGACACAGTCTGGAGTTCCCACCGCGAAGGCGCCATTCAGCATTCCCGCTAAGAACACGAAACCGTTACTGGAATAGCCGGTACCGTTCTTCCAGTTCTTCCAAACAAAATCGTTCGATGCATAGCCTCTACTATTTCGGCTGGGCATGACGGCGCAGACAACGATTGTGACAAAAAGTCCCCCGAGTATCAAGAAGGATCCAATCCGGTTGATAAAAGGGAGGGCACGGTTGGCAAACATGACTGTTAAGCAGCACCCCCAGCAAATAATAAGATAACAAATGAAGACTTGCCACCGCTGTGGTTCGAAGTTGGGATGGAAGAGCGTATATGCGTAAACAATCATACTGCCAATGATAGAGCAGTTTGCTGACACGCCGAACGACCAAGCAAAGAAGTTCAACCAGCCAGCGAACCAGCCACAAATACGGCCATAACGAGGACCAGCAGTCACGGTCGCCCAATGATAAACTAAGATAATATGTAAATATCAACTCAAGGCCTAATTAGACGGCATCACTCACCTCCTCCTGAAGCTGGGATTGCGGAGGCCAATTCGGCAATCGATGCTGCAATAAACCAGTAGAACACAGAAACGGTAATACTGGAATCCGTTAGCAAGCGAGGCAAGAGGTCACCTTTATGCAGACAGGAAGAGGTACAATTCATATATGATTCCAGGAGGGCCACCATTGTAAAGGGATGCGACCTGCACCCGTTAGCGAACTAGGTGGTGACCTTGATGGCTTAAGGTCTTACGATGGCTCCTCCCAGCGCTGTCCATGTGTTGCCTGTAGTAATGCCTGTGGCAATGGCACTGAGCAGGTTGAATCTCTTGGGCAGCACAGGAAGATGGCCCGATACAATAACCTCTTCAGCATCGGGGTCTCCTTCGGATTTGTATGGTGTCTTAAGGTCAACCCTATTCTTATCGACCTGGTGGATATCGGCCATGCCTGCAAAAGTTGTTTGCCAAAAATATTGACGCCCTGGAAGAGTTAAATACAAAGGTCGAGCATCTCTGAAAAGGTGCTGATGCTCTGAATAAATAATGGCAGGGACTCTGAAATATACGGCATGTAGCACAACCTTATCGCAACTATCAAAGACTCGACAACTTAGTTACATGGTGCTGTTTAGGTAACTTTTGGGACTTATCTTAATTGACAGCCAGGCATTCGTTTGCGAAGGCCAGCCGTCGCTGACTCCTTCCCAACACGATGATTTGCCCCATGAGTTTATTCCCCATTGGGAAAGTTGACTTCACACGACCCACGGTATTTATTGACGAACCTTATCTGTACTGGCGCACACAACAATTGGTTGGCTCCCTCCGGAGAGGCGCCGACTGTGGGGCCATTTGGCTCGCTGACTATTGCCGTTTATCTATATGATTTAAGATAAAGTCTACTCCGTATGTCTAGCAGGAAATATGAGTTGGGTGTCGGAGTGTATGTTCCTTCGTCTCGCTGATGCTTCCGTCGAGTGGAATGCGATTAGAAATACGTAAATACAAATGGTCGTGCTAACAGAACCGCTATGGCCTATCGCATCTTTTCCTGGAAGACGGCAAGAGATTGTCATGTTCAACAGCCTCAGCTCTGCCAATGACAATGTCGAAGCTTCCGATTATCGACCTATTTACAGGCTGGCCATCGTATACGCTCTTACCAGCATCAAGGCTACTCGAAGCCTCACAACGCGTCCTTCGCGATCCCGATCTTTCCGCGTCCGCACTTCAGTACGGACCTGATCCTGGCTGCAAGGCCATTCGTGAAGCAATCGCCAAATGGATAGGAGATTTCTACTCTACACCTTGGACAGTACCATCTAGGATATGTATCAGTGGAGGCGCAAGCCAAGGCCTCGCAAGTATCCTGCAGGTGTTCACGGATCCATCTTATACAAAGAATATATTTATGATCGCACCGACGTATCATCTTGCATGCAGGGTTTTTGAGGACCATGGGTTCGCTGGCAGGCTGAAAGCTGTACCTGAAGACATAGAAGGAATAGATATCGACTATCTTGAAAAATGTCTTTCGATGGAGGAAGTTACGAACAGTGGCAAATCGGTAAATGTCTCTTGGTTCCCGTGTGATATATATCATCTCCTATGTACTTGCTGATATGATTGAACATTCAGTCTCTTAAAAAGCTAGAGCCGTGGAAGAAAATCTATAAATACGTTATCTACACTGTTCCCACATTTTCGAATCCATCTGGAAAGACCATGACTACGCATCGGAGACGGCAACTTGTTCGTCTGGCTCGGAGACACGATGCTTTAATTATCGCAGACGATGTATACGACCAGCTACAATGGCCTCGCAAGCGGCAGCACCAGGATGTTTTGCCCCGCCTGGTTGACATCGATCATGAACTAGACGACGGCCCTGGAGGAGCCACTGCCGATGGATTCGGAAATGCTATCAGTAACGGCAGCTTCAGTAAGATCCTTGCTCCTGGGTGCCGAACTGGCTGGGTTGAAGGGACAGAAAAATTCATTTACGGTCTGTCCAAATGTGGATCGGCAGTCAGTGGAGGCGCACCATCGCAATTGACCGCCACTGTTATCGCAGACTTGCTACATAGAGGAGACCTTACGGATCATATGAATAATTACCTCATTCCAGGGCTTGAGAGGAGATATCGGTTGGTAATGGACGCTATACACCAGTATCTTGAACCTCTCGGTGCTCGAGTTAAGGGAATTCCTCCATTGAACCAAAGCTCGAAAGCGGCGGGTGATGGCGGTGGTTATTTCCTCTGGATAGAACTACCATCCCCATTAACATCTGCGGAATTCGCTGTACGAGCGATGGATCTTGCAGGTGTATCAGTGGCACAGGGATCTTTATTTGAAGTCTATGGGGATGAAATGAGCATGAAATGTGACCGGGAAATTAGAATTTGCTTTGCGTGGGAAGACGAGAGTCTATTGACTGAAGGCATACAAAGGCTTAGGTATGTTATCAGCGATATGCTGCGACAACATTAAGCTAGTTCGAAATTGTTCCGAAATTCCGTATCTCCCACAGAAAATACGTTCGCACCAGCGCAGAACTCGGAGGCTCTTCGACTCCATAGTAAGCTAGCAATATATAGATATAATGGTTCTTAACTAGACCCGAATATATTGCAAAATATGACTGTTAAAGTACCACGTTACACAGCTAGAACTTTCTTCCCTTGCCTGCGTAGCACTCCGATATAACCAGGTGTCTCCATATCTCCCGCATCTCTTGCGGCCCAGACGTCTTGCACCACCTGCCACAGATGCGGGATATTCCCAATCCTATATGTTAGCATATCGGCCCACCATGCTTGCCACACACTTCGTCGGGAAGGCGTGGCCTCGCAGGCTGCAATAAATCCTGGCCACATTACCGATGCAGACACAGGCCCGCGATGATCTTGCAATTTTCTAAACGCCTCAATAGACTGAAGATCTTCCGCAACTGCATTCACATAAAATGCCATCGTATGGGGCTCACAAAGTCGGATGCGAGTATGATAATAGACGTTCAAGGCGTGACCAAAGGCGAGAATGTGGAGTTTTGCCACGGACAGCGTAACAGGATCAGACGAGTCGATGGACGATAACGGCTCAGACGATATTGACCATTCTGAAATATGTTTTCCGAGTATTTCACACGCAGCTTCGAGAGTGTGTGGGAGGGGTTGATTGCGCGACGCATAGAATAATATATGCTGCGAGAGTTTTGTGGTAAGGGACATCATAGTAGCCAGCGTCGACGTAATACCATAAGTGAATTCAAGGCTGGAATCATTGGGAATGGTTGAAAGTGCGGGGAGCATATTGAAGTTGCATTCGTCTTCTGACCAAGGTAAACTGGGAAGATCGTAGAGCGTTGTGTTGGATAATGTAACAAGAAAGGAGTATATTGTCTTCAGTTGTCTGCTTGACTCGCCGTAATTTCGCTTTCTTAGGAGTTGGTCGCAGCCATCTAGATGGATCCAATATTCAGCCATCCTACCCTCTATGACCTAATGCCATATATTAGTGACAAATCTGTATTTGCAATAGTTGTTCTAAGACAGCATCACTCACGTCTGTTGTGATTAATGTCAGTATCGCTGCCATTGTTACATCCGGGTACAGATGTTCTGGAAATGATACTGTTGCTGGCGATTTCTGGAGTTGGAGTGCTTCCCGCACATATCGAAATGCGTTTGTGCGGAATTTCATGCCAAGTTTGTCTAGTTGGCTTCCGCAATCCACAGGACCGCGTAAATGGAACGCCGACGCCGCCAAAAGAGAGTAGGAGATCGCGACGTAGCTGGGTGGCACAGCGCCTATACTTCCTACACCAAACAGTAAATCCACAGAACCTCGGATAGCAGCGGGTACGTAGACCGAGCTGTACGGATTATGAGGATGGAAGATGGGCTGGAGCAGATTCGCGACGTTATGGACATAGTTGTCCATCAGCATTCCTGCGACAGGATCTCGATAAATACTTGATCCTAGCCTTCGAGATAGAAAAGGCGAAGGCGGTTCTACACCACTCCGCTCCTGAGTCCCAAGCTCTTGTAGAGAGCTTAGGCATTCTGGAAGACTAGCGGGCTCTCTAGCACAGGATTCGACCAGTGATTCTTCAAGTGAATAAGTCTGTGAGTTAAAAACAGAAAAGGGCCCCAAGGACAGAACTTCCGAGTTGACGAGGGGATTTAGCTGATCCAAGTCGATGAGCATCTGGTCGACTTTGTCCAGAGGGGAGAACAGAAGAGGTGAAGCTAGTGGTTGTCAACGAGGAGTGGCTTAAAATAGGTCCAACAGGAAAACGAATTTCTCATACCTTCCTGTCGCATTGCTTTGCGCTTTATCGCAGAAGGTGGCACGTTCTCTCTACCCGTGACCCAGCATAACTCGATATCATAACCTTCACAATCTAATCCCGACTTGCTACACCGCTGACAGTAAGGCCGAATCGTGTCACATTTCACCTTACGTCTGCGGCATGTCCAACACCTGATATTATATTCGTCAGCGGTGGCTAAAAGTCAAAGAGAATTGATTGGAAGCCAGTAGGGAAATACAAACCCCGTAAACGTTTTGGTCTTTCGCTTTCGGCTGTGAGCGATCTTCTCGTCAATCACATGTTTTGCTCGACCGGCGTTTTCAATTAGAGAGCCATGCCTCCTTTTGTACGCCGGGACTGTTTCCATTCCTAGCAGCCTCATTAGTAGGATCTCGGTTATTGTCCCGGTCGAATTGATATCGGGAAGTGATCAATCCCGCTTTCACGTGACTTTGGCCGAATTTCTGTCCTCCTCCCACGTTCGACTAATTAGAAATCAACGCATTTTGTGAGCGGTGAGTCGGGTTTACAGTTGGCTGTGGTTAAAACTAGTTATTGTTAGATTAAACAAGCCGTTCTCAGTAAAGCCAACGGAATGAAGTTTACTAAGTGTTATCAGCCAAAAACACGGCTCATATGACATTATGAGGTTAACTGTCATAAAACCACGACCGTACTAATTCAAACCCGGCCAATCACAGCAAAGGATTCAATAATAGAATCCATTGCGTGACACTCCGTGGGATCCTATAAAGATAAGGCATTTTAGTAATATCATTATAATATCTTAATTGATCTAATTTATTAATTTTCCTTTAATCTAATTAAATCTTTAATATTCTCTTCTCCTTTTTAATATATACTAATTGTAATTCTAATTATTATTTTATCTTTTATATATTATTTTTTTGTATTTCTTTATGTATCTAAGTATATATAATTATATAATATATAATCCTGTATAGATAATAAATAAACTGTTCCTAGCTGTAGTAATTGGTTAGTTATGGTATTAGCTGCTTTAAGGGCTGTGTGCCTTTAATTAGTTTAACTCGTCCTTAGCTTCATGCATGTTGGTTTCATAACAAGTAAGCCCGACATAAAATCAACACCAACCTCGGGCTTCCTGCCAGTGACAGACAGCCTAATAGCTGTTACTAAGGTATTTCTATCAAGTTATATAGTAACTGGAAAGAATATGGTTTTATTAGTTAAAGGTTGCTCTTAGTTAATAATATTTTCTTATAAGCTCCACTTTCGACCTATTAAAAAAATACCTATATATAAAGTTATTAGATTTTATCTAACAAGCTCTTGTCATGTCTGGTTTGATAATGATACGCTGGTCTGTAATACGCCGATTCCATTTTAGTCTGCATGCAAGTCCTGTGCTCACAGACGGACCCTGTGCGCAATCCACAATAGCCTCCGGACGCTACCGGTAAGGGCATGACTGTCAAATAGTTACCCCTGTTAAGTCCCCCGCATTTCACTCCATTGGTTTAACCCACTTTTACCCCGCTTCTCTCTTTTTATGCTCGGGCCAGCTAGGGCCGCCCGGATATCAGTTTCACCCGGGAGCGCATCTACAAGCCAAATAATGAGCTCCGACCTTTGCCGTATGTATCTAGTAACGTTTTCGCAAAAAGCTTCCCATGTCCTATCTTTTCGCATGGGTTGTGAGGTACTCAGGCTTATGGATACATTAAATCCGTATCCGCCTTGCAATGGTTGAGATGGAACAACGAGAGGACCAGGATCAGGTGCCAAAGCGGAAGAGAATAGCCACAGTGAGCGACCGGCAATGGACATCCGTTTAAAGACTTACTGGACTAACTTTACTTTTCAACTCTTACAAAAACAAAGGCATGTAAAACATGCCAAAGGAAAAAAATTAGATGCGATGGGAAGGTGCCATGCACTTACTGTTCTGAGCATAAACTCGACTGTATGTTTAATCAGTCTGGGCAGAGGCGAGGATCTCGGAGAGGGTACGTAGTTAAACAGGCTTCGTTATCGGTTGATTCTAATAGAGCAACAGCCCGAAATATATGGATGAAATTGAAAAAAGGTTGAAAAAGATGGAATCGCTGCTGAACGGCTCAAGTGGAATTACTGAAACTGATGACAGCCAGACAAGCTCGACGTCAATAGGCATGCAACCTTCGGATGATCAGAACGAAGCCAGGGTTTTGACAACCCATCCAGCTCCTATTACGTCACCCGAAGGCTCTGCTAATCATGATCCTGAATCACTTGAAGAGATATCAATGCAAGATATGGCCCATCCGTCCTCAGCTCCTAGTATGAGGAGTTGTATAACTATGGATCGCGACCTCGGGCCCGACACCGATAATCTATCAAGCTTGTGTTCGAGAGGTGTTCGATCTCCCGCGACTTTCGCGGATCCCCTTGCTATTGATAGAATTGGAGAGAATCATTACGTTGGATTCTTGGCTGGACTCTCTATATTCTCGCCAAAAGGTATACAGTGGGTTATTGAGAGGACTGGAAACACGAGATTCAAAGATGCAATATTGGCGGCCACTCAAGATGAGTCTATGGTGGAATACTGGCGAGCAGATTCCTTCAGCTCACTATTTACTCGCCAAGTCTTTCGGCAGCTCCCCCCTAAGGAAGAAGCGATTGTGATTGTGGAAAAGTTCTTCCGTGACTTCAACAGTGTCTGCCCATTATTTTCTCAGCCGCTATTTATGGCCCTTCTGGAGAGACAATACTCAGCGCAGCCGTACGACAGTGTTGGCTGGTGGGCTAGCTTGAACGTTGTCATAGCTATATCGCTCGGACTACAAGCACTCGACAATGTTCCTGCCTCTGTGTTAGAAAGTTCACGGGATTACCTTAGAAACGGCTTGGCCGTCCTCACAGAACTCACCATTCGAAGCACCGATCTTTTTGCTGTACAAGCATTACTCGGTATGGCCTTGCTCATGCAAGGAACCCCCGACCCCCGCCCATCGGCTTTTCTTCTTGCATCTGCGATGAGATTAGCTCACACTATGGGCCTACACAAACAGGAATCACTTTGCAATTTGAATTCTGTGGAAGCAGAGCAATGGAAGCGAGTCTTCTGGATCGCATATCGCTTAGACAACGACATGTGCATTCGTTCGGGATTGCCTTTAATGCAAGATAGCGATGACATGAATATTGAACTCCCGAGCGAAAACCCTGAAGACGGATTAGGGCAAATCCCTCTTCCAAGCGGAAATGGAAAGGCGAATATATTTCGCGCGATGGCTGAGTTTGCTAGAATTGATGCTCGAGTTCACAAACAACTTTACTCTAGACAATCCTTGAAGCAGTCTAGTGAGGAGCTTCTAATCAGAATTACTGATCTCGATAATCTACTTGAAGAGTGGAAAGAAAACATCCCAATCGACTTCCAACCCGATTATGATATCAAAGTTGAGTCGCCTACCGCTCTCAGCTTGCACATCATCGTGCTGCACTTCTTATACTTTCACTGCTCAAATAATATACACCGAACTTCTATACGCCATAGCTCTTGGCTGAATAGATCTAGCCACGGCATACAAGGGGCTGGGATTGGAACCCTCAATTCTCGAGTCTTCCAATCGGTTTCGTTATCTATTTCTGCTGCTCGATCTTCAATCCGTCTGATCAGGTACATTCCAATACAGGATCATGGTTTCGTGTGGTATGTACTCATTTTGAATACGTCTCTTTTTTCCTTGCTGCGTCAAATACTAAGCAATTAAGGCGCGTCTTATATTTTCCTGTAAACGCATTCGTCGCGCTGTTCTCAAATGTTCTACAAACGCCAAGTGGTCCTCGTACACGTTCCGATCTCAGATTAATGACCTATTTTGTGGAGTTTCTTCTAAAGTTGCAGGTTGATGGTAACCATGAGCTCAGGAGAATTTTTAAAATCTGTTCAGAGTTTGAGAAGATTGCCAGAGACGCTGTTGAAAGAGCGGAAAACCACAGAAGCCAATTCAAGGACGGGAAATGGCTTAGCCAGAATATGGAAACAGATAGGAGACAGCATATAGTCATGACTAACGGGTTCGGCTACCCACCGCAATCTATATCAAATGGCTCACTGCCTGAGGAAAGTAATCTGATACTCTGCTCTGTGGTCGGCCATCACAGCTAACATTCTGGCAGAACTTCCCTTCTACGGCGGATGACTCTGGTATTGGGCCGAGCTTGATCTCACAGGCGTTGCCTGGCATGGTAGGTGGGGCACAGGACATATATGGAGAGATCCAGCCTATGTTTCCGAATGGTCTCACAATGCCATGGGACGGTAGTGCTTTCCACGGGACATACACTTCACAGCCTTACACCACCAACTCGCTTGACTTCCTGCAGTGAACAGGTGGGGAATTCTGCACCACACTTACGGGTCCAGTGGGCTTGGAAGCTGTATTCAGTCGTCACTAGAGCTGATCCGCGTGCGGTTGGCATTGGGCTGACCCGACCTGGACCACACCACTCGCCATTATGCCTTTGAAGAACGATTCACTTGCGCACTCCCAAAATGGTTAGATACAGATACTCATTGAGTGGTTTGTTACGATCTTGATCGTTGTAGACCAGCCCTTTTCTTATTTCGTCTTAGTATTCTTGATATTAGTATTCCGCGCCTAATTAACAAACTTTGCGTTTATCTTGGTGTCTTTGAATTGATATTCTACAGCCTTGATTGTGCAAATATAAGTAAGCGAGTACACTCTGTTATAATTGCAAACCGAAATCTCAGTGCTTGAGGAGAATATTACTTCGTAGTATATATAGATAATATCAAAAACCGTCAGCAGCGTTTATTTCGCCTTGCTCACAGAAGAATGCAAACATCCTCTTCGCTGCGAATTGCATTAGTCATTCCAGCCAGCTCTTGTATCCTTAAGATTAATAAAACTTTTTAAGGGTTGGGGTTTCAGTGAGCTTGGGACCTATCACAGTTGTCAATCATACACCGGCAGGCCAAAGCTTTTTGAGTCAACATTAGGTAGGGCTCCATTACCTGGATGTGGTGAAAGCACTTGTGGAGATATTTTGTGGCTTAGCGCACTTTTATCCAAGAAACTATCTGTCACATTTTTTGCATCGCTGTTGACTATAACCTCTGACAAGCTCTCGGGATGAGGGTAATCCTCAGTTGGAACTGGGAGTACCTTAGAAGAATCAGTGTAATCCATATAGTTTGTTGTATCTCCTGAGTTAGTCAATTCCGCAGAAATATTCCCATTGCCGATCCAAGCCATTGTATCGTCATCGGGAAGCCAGGATGTATACTCAAAGTCCTCAAAACGTGGTGACTTCCAGCCCAAATAACCATGCATAGCTGACCCGGGCCAAGAAGTGATGACCCGACCATCAGGATTGTTACGTTTAAACCATGTTACGCACTGTTAAAATTTAGGTCTCATTTTATCAAGAAAGATTGTTTAAAAGAGCTTACGTTGGCGCTCATGACAGTCTTGTTCATGTGGCGATCCACGTGCTTGAGCCAGCTGCGCAGTGCCTGAGGTCTAGAGCAATGGTTAGTAGCGACTACAATGAAATTTATTATCAAGTGGTGTAATTAACGTACTTGCAGACCATCGATTTGATATACTCTCTCTGAATCTTTTGGATGCATTGAATGATGTAAAATGCACATGCCTCAAATGTATGGACAATGGAACCAGCAAACGGTGCGCTGTTAGGACCGAACATCAAGAACATATTCGGCATCTGTTCAGGGTTGACGCTAAAGTAGGCCACAGGGTCTGGATCCCACACTTCGGCAAGAGTGGTTCCATTCCTACCAATGAATGGAGTAGTGCTGCTATCGAGACGACTGTCTAAGAGTGAGCAATTGACCATTCTTTCCACAAACATATCAGGTGGGAAGACTAACGTATCAAAGCCCGTGGCACAGATGATAGCATCGTACTCTCTCTCCACTCCATCTGAGTCTATGATACCTTTTTCGGTAAACTCTACCACATCTTTGGGGATAATACTTGCATTCGCTTCCTGCATTGACTCAAGCCACGCTTGGCCCATGATTAATCTGCGGCATCCGGGTGGATAGTTAGGCCTGAGAGTGTCGTAGAGCCAGGGCTTAGGTTTTGTGGTTTCCTTCAAGTTGGCGTCAAGAAACGCGGTAAACTCCCTCTGCGCCTCTGAGCCTTTGAAAAATATTTTTTGGACGTTGTTGCAGTACGACTCCTGTTTTTTGCGGAACTGTAGGTAAGATTTCGGGTTTTGGGTGAAATACTTCCGTTCCTCTAATTTATGATCAACTAAACACGAGTCATTAACAGCTATTAACACTACCATATAGTGTGACTTGGGTATATTAGCCACTTACAGTTGTTGTGGGCACCTCGTTCAATTAATTCCTCCATGTTGGTGCCCCCTCCCGGAGGAACCCACACTTTCCCACGCACATAATGATCAAGGTGTTTCACAAGAGGCTGAATCGCGGGGGTAATCTGTACCCCAGTCGAACCGTAGCCAAGCACGGCAACTTTCTTGCCTGATGGGTCAAAGTTGTCATTCCAATTAGCTGTATGAAGCATATATCCTTTGAACTTTTCTCGGCCGGGGACGTTAGGCCAGCGCCAGTCATTCAGGAATCCAGTTGCTTTGATTAGGATATCGGCACGGTCTTTCACGGTCTAACCCATACACTGAGCATCGCTGGAAGATGATGGACATGTCATACAAGACCAGAACTACTTACGGTGCCATCGTCTAATTTTTGCACAGACACCTCCCATTGGCCATCTTCCTCAGACCATATAGCGGAGAGGAACTTGTGGCCAAACCTTGTATTTTTATAAACCTCGTACTTTGCAGCAACTGTCTTGAGATATTCTTCGAATTCCTCGCCAGGAGGATAGAATTTTGTCCAGTTAGGATTGCTGGCAAATGTATATTGATAAACATGGGGAGTCAAGTCTGAGCGCTGTCAATTTGGAAATATGCGGAATGTTTACCAACTAATGCTTACCAGGGCGTAGCCCGGGATAGTGGTTCTCAAACCATGTCCCACCGACTTCCGAATTTTTTTCGTAGATGGTGAGCTCTAGATTTGGGATATGCTGAGGAAAGAGGCAGCCGACCGCAATCCCACACATGCCAGCCCCGATACAAATCACTTTGATCGAGCGATAATCGTCAATACAGCGCTCATCTGGTCTAGATGGTACTCGAGAAGCCATGGTAAATATTTGACACGGATAAAGTAAGAAGTGGAGGGGCTATTCAATTACAAGATCATCAACCCTGAAACTGGAGGGCCTCCAGTCAAGGATATATTGTCCTAAGCTGCTAATGTGTATCTAATCTCAGCGGAAAGCTTGACTAACTCGCCCGGTATCAGTATACCCCTTATTCATAAAGACAGCAATAAGAAGGTAAAGTTTGATATGGGTGCACTAATCCATCGCAGGACTAACGGACGCTCATACCCAGAAAGAAGAGACGAGCTTGTTGCAGATAATGAGACATAACCACTTCCGCACCTATGCTCGTGGAAAGACGAATATTGCCCTGGCGAGATCTACCGAAGCCGCAAGGGACTGAACAGCCCTCTCTCGGCTAATCTGACTCGGGTCATGTGCAGTCCGCCCGGAGCTGGATTAACGGAATCAGTTAACATCCGAACCGAGGACATGCAATTGTCGTCATGGAACAAACAAAAACTCGATTGGAAATCTAAGTAGTAATTTAACTAGAAGGATCCAAACCGTATTGGAACAGTAGAAGAGAGAAAGAAGGACAACAATAAAAAATAAACAAGCCATAAGAGAAATCCTTGTTATCTCTTTATTTATTCATCCCGTGAACTGCCATAAAACAATACATACCATCAAATCTGTTATTCTATCTACACACTTAATTCGACTATATTTAATCACACACCAACTCCTACCTTACAATAACGCAAATATTCAGTACTAATATTTAAACATAGCCAAAAAAAAAAATGACTGCATCCACTGAATCCACTGAATCCTACGAGATTTTGTTCGGGGAGGCTCAGAACTTGGCCCCAAAAGGCCTCCCAGAAGGGGCATGGTATATTGTTGTAGTAGGTGTCCCTACACCATGGCCACGGTAACAAGTGAAAGGCTGTCGCTGAGTTTGAGCAATTTAGGCGGCAACACTGATCGCAACAGATGGTGGCGCGCATTTGGGTAAATTATATAAATATATTTTAAAGGGACTGGGCCATAATTCTACATTAGAAAGTCGGCAAAATGTCTCTCGACGATTGCGCACCGTCATCATTAAAACATGGACCCTTGTCGGCGTACCCCGTGCTAGTGACGGCTTGTTCTCGCTGATCAAGGAGGAGGATGAAAAGGACGCAGCTCAAGACTGGGACCGTAGTAAATTTTTCGCAGAACCGGATAAGGTTCTACTTCGGACGCAGGAATGGTGGAGCCAAGTGTTTGGCGAAGAATCTGCCATCATTTCCAAATCCTATGAGTCCAATCCCGATTTCTGTATGTAAATTCTATACAAATTGCATAATTCTTATGGCTAATTTCCCTCCAGCATGGACTGTTGACTTTATAGTCTATGGCCTCTTTTTAGCCGATCTCTCAGTTTTAGGACCTATCGAGAATGAATTGGTAGTCCTGGCCAGTGTGATGGGCCAAGGGGCACAAAATACAACCCGCTTCCATCTTCGGGGAACTCGTCGCCTGGGAGTCAGTGCAAAGGACGCCGAAGGAATCCAAAGTATCATTGAAACGATTGCCCTGAAGCAGGGGAAAGACTCAAGTTCCTGGCCCCGCTTCAAGGAGGTTGAACATCTTTTTTCATAGGACATAAAAATGATAACTTTTGATACCTTGTATAGTCTTGGGGTTTTGTGACTAATTCCACGAAATCAGATTCTTATTCCCGAATTTAGTTGTTTGCGTTTGGTCCAGCTTCCGGCCCGGAATCCAGAGAACGGACTGGATTTATATGATTGTTAAACCGGCTAACTAGTTCTGAAATTTTGTCGTATTTAAGACACCCTTCGGGAAACAAGGAGACAGACCTGAAGACGGCCGGGGCCATATTTTTGGCATAATTAGCTGCTGCAGAGATTACACTTGGCATTTATTTGTCCCTATAGATAAGAGAAGTGCCCAGCCTTGTGCTCCAATGTACATTCACAAGCAGGTGGTCCTCGGTCTCTAGAAATCTTAAGCACTCTGTCCGTGTTTCTGACCCTGCCGTTACGACTTCATTCAACCCAATTTAAGGCCTTTCAAGCAAATATTGATTGCAATACTATGTCGCGTAAATTGACACACGCAGATGTGGCTGAACACACCGACAGACATAATCTGTGGATGATCATACATGAAAACGTTTTAGATCTGTGCCAGTTTATAAAGGAGCATCCGTAAGTGAGTCTTAATTATAATTCCTGGCCGTGTGGGGAGTCCCATCAAAGCCCTGACGAGAGTTGAATTGCTGTTTCTACGCCACAATTCAATACTTATTACTGACGATGCACTTTATAGGGGTGGTGAGGAAGTTCTTATGGATCAGGCGGGCAAGGATGCTTCTGCAGCCTTCGATAATGTGGGACACAGTCCAGAAGCGCGAGACATACTCAAGACCTTAACCATCGGAGTCCTGGAAAAACAGGTATAGTATAACTCTGTTGTAGTACCATCTTTAAGTCTGATTTGCTCACCTAAACCCATCAGAATGGTAGAGAAGCGCTGGAAATTGTTCCTATGAAGCCGCCCATTCAGACACATAATTCTGTCACTTTGATTTGGATAATATGTCTTCTCTTTGCAGCCGGTGCAGCGTATTGTTTGACATGAACGGTAGCTTTCCCACGCAAGAGGAGCAGAAATTATTAATAATAGTGGTGTTTCATATATTGTGTCCAATTCTCTTCTGGTTCTGCAAGTAAAATGCTATGCAATTCAGTTTCAAAGCCTTAATAGTCTATCTTGTATAGCTTCGCTCCTCGAGGGATCCCACTAGGGTCATCCTTCTCCCAACCTGAACACAGATACTACAACCTCCACAGACTTATGTTTACATGCCCGTCAACCGGAGCCGGAGATATTTGGGTTGTAGTTCTAACTATCTGCAATCATTGTCTTTCTATAACCGCTTTCCCTGGATGTATATTTCGTGAGAAATAGAAGCCCAAAAACACAGACAATGCGAGCAACAAGCAAGGTGTTCCAATATAGCTAACACCGTTGAGCATTGGCAGCATATATCTGAAATAGACTCAAGCTACTCAGTACTAGAAAATGAACTTTATCGATCTTCAGTCACTGGAATTTCTATATTTATAGTTGAAGCCTTTAAAACTCTAGTCGCTCCATGACTGTTATTCATATGCCTTTGCAGCGTCGAACATGTCGATGGATACTTGTAAGCGAAAGATTTTATCAGACATTCTTTACATCGATATAAATGGATAAGTAGGCGTAAATTCAATGGTTTAAGCTAAAGTATCTTCGGGAGAAATTACAGTCGAGCTAGACTGTCTGTGTTCTCGCGCGACTGGGTGTAACTTAACCACGAGATCCGGGCTATTCCAGACCACCACCATGTCATGAGGAAACCATTTATCGCTTTCAGGCATCACCTCAATGTCAAAATTCCACAAGAGTTTGCAGAGGACAAGGCGCATTTCGCTGTACGCGAGGCTATAGGACTGTTAGTTTCATATAGTGCGGAAAAATCTGAACGCAGTCATACTTTTTCCCTATACAGTTTCTCGGACCGTACGAGAATGGCTGTAGGGCGAACCTGTCGTCATTTGCATACTTTGGACCTCCAAGCCAACGTTCAGGAACGAATGAAGTAGAGTCCTTAAAATTACGAGAATTAACAAACATAGGATATGGTGCTACACACACCGAGGTCTAAGAAAGTTATAGGTTAGCTCCAGGTTGTCTCAATATACTGCTTTTTCAGAACATACTCCACCAGGAACCCATTGTCCAGCTACTAAAGCTCCTTCATTGGGGAGGACCCTTGGCATGTTTGATGGGACAGGAGGGTAGATTCGAAGGCCTTCTTCAATCACGGCGTTCAAGTACTGCATAGAAGCACATTTCATTATAGTGATGTCTTCCACATTCTCAAAAGTTGAACGGATCTCTTCGACAAGGACCTTATAAACCGATGGGTTCTTACATAGGTGCCATGTAGTGCCGGTCAAGAAGGTACTAGTTGTTTCACTACCACCGGGAACTAGGACATTGCAATTGGAACGTATCTCGGGAACTGTTAATGCCTTATCGGTCTCATTGTGCTTGAGAATGAAAGACATGAAATCTGGTCGATCAGTTACCATTGCCATGCGCCTGTCGGCCATTTCGATGCTGAATTGGGAGTGCCATTCGGCCTGCTCGACTCTCTTTTTTGGCATTAATAATTTCATGATTAATGGATAGAGTCCTGGAATACGTCGGGCCAAACCGATATAGTAGAAGGCATTAATGGACTGTCCAATGATATCGACCCAAGGATGGCTCTTGCCACTTTCCACACAGCCGAAAGATTGGTTGAAACATAAATCTCCGAACAAGTCGAATAGAGTCCAGTGAAACCATTGTTTAATGTTGATTGCATTACCATGCTTAGTGACTTCCTGAAGCCGGCTCATAAGCAAATTGCTGTATTGTTGCATGATTGACTCTTGTTCTCTTAATGCCTTTTCGGAGAAAGCATGAGCGATAAGGCGTCGCATTCGTGTGTGGTCCGCATCGCTGGAAACGTGGAGACTAGGTGTGCGGTCATGCTTTTGATAGTGTAGAGGATCCTTTTGCATTTGAGCATGCCCAGAGCGCGACTGATAAACGTCCTTCCATACCCTGGAATCGATGTAGGACAATTCGTTTGGACCAATTCGTACAACCGGTCCATATTGGTCATGAAATGTATTAAGAATAAATTGAGATTTGCCGGAGATTACTTGATAGCTCCATGCCAACCTTGTGCAGGCATTTAAAAGCGGCCCAGGATAGTGTCGAAGAGGATGGAAGAATACATTATAGATGCCCAGAATAACAACATACGTTAAACCCTGTGTCAGTAGCAAGGGAATCAGTTCCTTATTAGAAATTAGAACAATGACGGTGTCAAAGGCACTCACGATACCCAGGATAAGAATGAGAACGAAGAATGGAATGACCAAAGGGGACATGTGTAGGTTAGAAATATTAGTTAAAGCCGACATTGTGCCGCCAGATGCTTATCGCAAAGTATGCATCTCATTGGAACTTGCTAGACAAGAGAGATACCCCTTCTATATGATACGAAGTATAGGAATATCATTGAAAAGTTTTTCACGCCAGAGCCATATACGGGCAAATTTTGAAACAAATCCGAGCTTCCATGTCTCGTTCGGTTAACTTCATGCCGGGTGACCCAGATTATTGTAAGCTAATGAGCGTTGGTGGGGCATGCACCCATGATTCGGATGTGGAATACGATCGATCCAGCTTGCGCTAGGCACCTGCAACATTAGATTTACGGCGATAAAGTGTCTGGATGGTTCCTAAATCCGAATGCCTTTGAGTTTGGTTCTGGTAGATCTTGCCAATAAAGGCTTGTATATTTTATGCACAATGGCCGAATTGACGTTAACCGGACTCTGCTGCTTAACGCATTCGGGCCCGTGCAATAGATACTCATGTGAACTCCAAACCCTTATCTGTCATGACAATCGGTATCTCAACCGACAGATCCATCAAATATTGATATTTGCTGATAAATACTGATAAACAACCATGCGCGTATTGGCTGTACGTACCCTGAGCTCCTTCACTATCACACTAGTCCGACCTCTATGAGTTCTGAGAGGGTGCTATCTGAATTACGTTACATCAACACCTTTATCAATGGATTACAAAGTGACAACTATGCAGTTTAATTCCTATTTCACGGAGGCTACAAAGTCGTGGCCGCGTTTAGTACATATCTATATTTAGTGCTTAGCCCACGATTCCTTTTCGCCCATGAGGAATGCCATGGTCTCGTCCGGATATTCAGGCTTCTGACGACGGTAGCGCTTTGCTGCACTAACCTCTAGAGTTACAGCATAGGCCTCGGGGTCGTTCAAGAGCTCTAATACTGCACCCACGATATGCTCTGGTTTAGTGATCTTGTCCTCCGGGAGCGTGGGGGTAATTCCCAGCTCTACCAATTTCACTGGCAGACCAATATTTGTTGGTACAGCGCCGGGAAGAATTGCGTTCACACGAATATTCTCCTTCTTCAGTTCCTTCCCCAGGCTACGAGTAAGCCCAATCACTGCATACTTTGCCGCACAGTAGATTGGTAGAATCGCTGCCTCGTACAAGGCAGAAGCTTACAAGATGTGTCAACAGTAGATCATGAAAATTAATGATTCAAGGTCACACACCAGAGCTGGTCATTATCAAGCTGCACTCCTTGACCGGGTTCTGACGAAAGTAGTGCATTGCCAGGTGAGCACTGTAGATACAACCATCCACGCAGACCTTGCTGGTCAATAAATTGGGTTCTGGAGGGGGAATCGTAGCTGATATTGCGTAAAAGTCTGCAACATCGAGGATTCCAGCATTTGCAAACACTAGACAGGGTCAAGGGAGTCTTAGTAAGCAGGTCTAAATGGCTGCTCAGGTTCTAATTCAAGAATTCATGTACTGACCAAAGTCAATACGCCCCCACTTCTCCCATGTACGCTCGAACGCTTTGGCCTGGGATTGGTAGCTAGTAACATCTACCTGTGTAAAAATACCGCCAATTTCATCAGCAGCAGCGTTGCCTGTTTTCTCGTTCACATCAGCGATTGAGACATTCCAACCATCCTTGCTAAGCTGCCTTGACGTGTAAAGACCAATACCAGATCCTGAGCAGGGGAATGTCAGTATATATTCCGTGTGTCCAGTTGTGCACGCCATACCTCCCCCAGTGATTAACGCGACTTTCTTAGACGACATGGAAGAACTATAGTTTCGAATAAGTTTAAATATGATGAGGTAATTCTCAAAAGGTAAATGAAATAGGCCCGGCAAACTCAAATGCTATTAGGCATCACTGAGTTATATATATATATGTGCGTGAACCAGATCTATCAGGGGACATAAGCGTGACATATCAAGTGAAGGAGAAATCAATTCCCTCACATGAGAGTTTCCATGTGCTCCCTCTATAACTACTCGTAGATTAGCATAACCACATGCAGCATCAATTATTTTCCTTTACGGATAAACTCTGTGCATACAGCTGAGTTCGGGAACTTTGTATGTGGTATCCATCGGATCGATATGATCCGGGCCGTATTCTTTCATCTAACCACATTACAACCGAAGGGCCACAGAACCGCACAAGGACTGCGACTTATCGTAAGCCCTTTGTATGTGCAAATTTGGCCAGAGAATCAAATAAATTTGAATGTTTGTTCTTCGTTATTTCCGACACGTGAATATCCTTGGGGTAAGCCCGGCAAGGTCCTTCGAGAGCATTTGAAGGCGGATGTTTGGGACTCGCTCTTCCAGTTCCTCAAGGCTGTCGGGAAGGGTAATATGATTATTAACGTGCCTTAACGTATCGCAAGATAGTATAGGTCCAGTTGACGACAGCGATATACTTCGAAAACCCGTAGATCCTGTTGCCGTCAGCTATCACGATTTATCCTTGAAGGCCGAGTATTTTGAACGAACGATAGACTAAGGGCTTACAGTAGCATTATGTGTTTATTATGAAGCGGTAGTTCGAGTATAAACATCAATGGCTACGGGATTTGTAAACTACGGTGATAGTGAATGGAAGTTGAAATATTCAATATTAATATTTGTCTCAAGTTATATGATGGTTTTCAGCGTACATAGCTTCCTACAATATAATTTGATATTTCATACAATATGAATGTCTTTGAGACAGTAATTTTTTATACCCACATAGACATATTAATCAATCGACTCCTAAGGAGATAGCTAAAATAATGGTGGCAACTTCTCGAAGCCCTAGCCGAGCTACGTAATGTCATGAATGGCTTTTTAAAGCATGAAGTAAATAATATATATGTTCATGGGTAATAATATGAGACCTGAACGGGACAAGGACAACTTCCTCCCACATGCATGGCAATGTCCTACATCACATCAACACAAATTTTAACCCCTTTGCCAAATTTTTATAGAAAAGATCCCTTTCCGTCCTCAAATGTTTGCTTGGCATTGTATGGAAATAATGGGGCTGCCCTATATACTCATCACATCTATTGGGCACCCTATCCATCACTCAGAGCGTTAAACAAATGGAAATGACACGGAGCATGTTATTGATGACGCTTACCCATATTCATCCAGACGTTTCTTTAACAGTCTTCCGTCATCACGCAAGGTATCCTTCTCCGATATCGCAATGTATGTCTTCGGCATCTTGGAGAGGTTGCTGTGAAGCAAGACTGAGATATAGGGATCTTCGGGGCTCTTCGAATATAGATCTGGTAGTTTGCTCAGTCTTATCCATCTGTGTATATCCCATTGGATTTCCCAGTTGCAAGGATCTTACCAAAAAGTGATCTCATAGTTGTGGCAGCTGTCATAGGTGTGTAAGCATTCTCCTCGTAAGAGGTATATTGCCTTGCAAGCTCCCGAGGACAGTGATCTGGGTGACAAGTAATAGGAACAATGGCGACTACGCCAATTGGGTGTGCGATGTCATTCTCTAGGCACTTAAGGGCAGTTGCGATCGCAAGATTTCCTCCAGCGCTTTGACCAACCGTCACAAGGCTAGCAGAGTTTGCATTTAACTCTTCAGAATGTTGATTCACCCATCGAATAGTGTCTATACAGTCCTCCAACGCCGCAGGGAAGGGATATTCGGGGGCCAACCGGTATTTAACCGAGACTACTACCATAGGCCCAGTACGGGCAATGAAGCGGCAGAGTGCATCGTCATCGTCTAGGCCTCCGAACGCCCAACCGCCGCCATGAGCATATAGGGCCAATGGAAGTGAGTCACTCTCATTGATTCTTGGCGGTTGATAGACACGAACGCTGAGTGTTCCGCTGATGTTAATGTCTTTTGTTGAAACTGACCTGTCCAACTCGAGAACAGTGAATTTTCCATTTCCTAGAGCGGTCGCGATCCTCGCATTGTCTCTCCGGATATCCTCAAGATTGCCTGAGAGTATGGGCCGGAACCCTAGATCGGCTTCTAACTAAAATGAATTAGCAAGACACATGCAGGGCAATTTAATGAAAGGAATAGAAAAGTACGTACCAGAAGCCATGAGGGTGCCAGACCTTGGATTTCTCCCATGCTGGTCTCGTGTCGAACCATTCAACACATTTACTTAGAGACACCCACTAGAAGTTTTAAGAAAAGGGGGGTAACTAAATATGCAATGTCCGTAGTAAGACCGTAAATCGTCCCATTTGTTCTGGATGATGGATCACTTCGTGGTGGTTAGTGCTACTACCAAGGTGGTAGCGTTGAGTTCCGTCCGTCAATAAGGACACTCAACATTTGATCTACTTAGATCGGGGCTATTCATCCGAACCCTGACTATAAGCATGGGATAGAGGGAACACAATGCCTTCCCCGAGGTCTTCGGACTATAACTTCCGAAGAGGTGCTCATTCTGCTTATTATAGAATGCAATCTACTTGTGCCTTAAATTTGCGCTACGACATTCTCATAGAATAGCCAGACCAATTTGATGTTATTGCATCATGGAATCTAGAATTTCTTCTACCGAGTGGCCATCTGTCGTTGTGCCAAGGGCAGTGCAGAGACTTCTAGACCATTTTTTCTCCTTGATGGATACCATGACTGATGAGGCTGGGTCAAAGCTCACAACAGACATCTTCACCAGTGATGCTACATTTATTTCTTCCAGCGGGACTTTTAAGGGATCTCTAGGTACTTCCCTTCATCCGACAAATGGCTTGTTTTTATATACGCACCTCGTGAAACATTGGTACTAGTAGTGACACCTTGCAGAGATAAAGCAATCCCGAGCGAAAGCGTGGGAACATGTCACCTCTCGGTATCACGAAATTGTCAAAGTATACTCTGCCACAGAGGATGGTTCAGATCTGTTGATGATTGGAAATGCTGTATTAGTACTTAAAAATGGCAAGAAGGTCCAGGGAGACTTCCTTGGGAGGGCTCGGATTGAGAGAATCAACACACCGGACCCGAGGATGAGCTTTTTTCAAGCCTGGGGAGTAAGTATGGGCCGTCTCATAATGGAGGTGGTGGCTTGCTAAATATTGTGTTCAGGATACCGGCCCAATGATTAAGGCTATGCAAGAGTCGTAATGGATTAAAACAGATGCCGCTCTCGCAGTATATCGTTGCTAGTCGTATCTAAATAACAACGTAAATATATTGTGCAGATAGAGGGAATTTTCCGAGCGCTCTCTTCTTAACATCGCTCTGTAGACCAATGGCTGTCAGAAATGAGCGGATATTTTTTGGGGTCCGGATCTATCTTGTCAGTCTTGGACGAATTCTATCTGCCACTGCTTTAGCCCACGTGGCCATGTTGAACTGGCGGTATGATAGTCGTTGTGGCGGTGGTGATTTCAATCTGTGATACCCACGCCTCCCTTGTACCTTAGCTTAACTGATTAGTTGGGTTTCATAGTACACCTGATTTACTCTATAGAGGTAAAGGAGAATAATATAGGCCCTAAGGCGAGGCTCAACATGATCCACTTGTAAATAGTCATAACGGAGCTGACGGTGTGGAGTTCGATAAATACAAATACATGCATCACTGTGACAAATTGCATTTGTCCCAAGTCTTCAACTGGTAGCTTGAGGTCTATATTGCTCGATACTACATCAAGCCAAGCTGTTCTTTTCTACCACATGTAGAAACTCATGATAGTGCCAAAGAGATCCCACTCGCCCAATTTCCTTCCAACATCATTTCCAGCCGCGCCAATGTTGACAATGAATGGTACAAAATGCTCCGAGGAACCCACGGGTTGGACAGCCTCGCTATCTGGAAATTCCTCTCTCCACTTGAGAATCTTCGCCGCCTTTTGGTTCGCGTCTGGCAGTTTCGCTACTTCATCCATCGCATCCTCAAAAGGCCGATTACTCGGAATGGGTGACGCGCCATTCGACTGGCCCATAATAGAGTCAATTACGGCATTGAAATTGTGGTAGCTGGACCCGCTGCCAAGAATAATATAACCTTCATCTCTGAGCCCTGCAAGGGCTCGTCCAAGTTTCAAGGCTGGTTCAGTTGCCTCATCGCGTCCGTTTGGGATGGAAACTTGGACTATAGGGATGTCTGCTTGTGGCCGAAGCAGAATCATCGGCACCCAGACTCCGTGGTCCCAACCACGAGTGTCATCAAGTATAGCCTGCAAGCCATGTTGATCAAGTTTGTCCTTGATCTTCTGAGCCAGTTCTGGATCACCTTTACCAGGGTACTTGATCTCAAAAGCTTCTCTAGGAAGTTGACCTGCGAGGTTGTCGAAATAGTCGTAATATAATTCCGGGTTGAGGGCTGAAGATACATACGGACGGTCAGTTTCCCAGTGCGCTGTGACGACGATCACGCCCTTAGCACCATCAAGCACCCATTGTATCTCTTTACAGAGGTCGACAAGGGGTTGCTGATGCGGAGATCCAAGAATGGCAAAAGGTCCCGCACCGTGGGAAATGAACAAGGATGGGGCACGTTTAATTGCCATTTATGCGACGATTACACGGACAGGGAAAGAGGGTATGAATATTCTATAGTTGAAGATAATGGGTTAGTATGAAGAGTTGCTCGTGGTAGATATGCCAACTCCTAATATATACAGAAATCTAAGACTACGCCAAAAACTTCGGGTCTGACTCGATAAAATTCCCTCTAGGCCGGGGGCACACGAGCGTGGGATTTGCAGGCATCCCGTCCCTAAAGTCGGAAGACATTTAACCGAACCGAGAACCCTTGGCATTTTGATTGACATGAGCTGCTTAGACTCAAGCCAAAATATCCGTAGAAAACAAGCCCTTCTACTCTAATGGTCTCAAACCGTGATTAAAATAGAACTAAAAACATTGTTACTTTGTAATGGCTGTAGAGTACTCGGAGCATATTGTCGAATAGAAAGAACAACCATAAACACTAGCCATCTGATGAACCATCGATACATAATAGTTTGCTCTTTGTTTGAGCCTGGAGAGACACCGTGTTGGTATATTTCCCTATTTATCAAAACATGGGTATGCGCGAACCTTCCCAATGCCCTTGATGTTTACTTCGACTTCATCTCCATCCTGGATACCCGTCCCTGCTTTACCCTCACTGATAAACCACGCCCCACCACCGCAGGTGCCAGAGAAGACAACAGTTCCAGGTTGGACAGTAGTGCCTAGTTCGTAAGTCAGTATAGCTCACTTCAATATAGCTTCACTCCCACCTATAGACATAGAGGACAGAATCTGGGCAACATTAAAAAGCATGTTGCGGGAGTTGTCGCTCTGCACAACCTTTCCATTCCATTTGGTTGTAAGATCCAATTCAGGCAGCACTCCGACAACACTGGGGTGCACCAAAACTGGCCCGCAAGGGGTCCAACTGTCAAATGCTTTTGAGTAAATGTAATTCATACGGCCGAGGATCTTCCCAGGCCGGGGGGAGAAATCGCAACCAGTGGTGAATCCAATGATATGCTTCTTGGCCTCTTCAACAGAGATATCCTTCAGAGGTCGGGAGCCTGTCTGGAAGACTAGTTCGCCTTCATAGTCCAGGCATTCTTGCTGAACCTTATAAGTTCGCAGAAGAGAAGGATATGGTGGTGCGATTGAGGTGGACGGTCGAAAAAAGATATATGGAATGTTCGGTTTCAAATCCTGTTGGTCTTGTGAGCTCCAGCAAAGCCATCATTAAAGAACACTTGGGGCCTACCGGAGCACTGTAAAACAAGGACTCATTGACATGATCATCATAATTAAGACCAGTATTGATGACAATTGGGACTGTTGCAAATGGTGCCAATAGTGTGTTTCTTGCTACAGTCACCCTTTCCCCAGTGAATTTCACATTGTTAAAGACAGGATCACCGGTAGCGATTTCAACTTCAAACTGTTCATCAAGATCTCCGTCGTCCTTGGGGGACACCAGCTGCCCAAATGTTGGAACTCCCTTATGCTCAAATCGGACGAGATGGGTCCAGGTTGTCTTCTCGGACATACTGTAGTGGAAAAATGTTTACTTTGTTAACCGCTTGTTTTGCTCTGATAAAAGCTTCCTTGAAAACAGGTTGGTGTGATCAAGGTTGTGAAAGGTACGAACAGTTTATATGGAGCAAACAGACAAGTATCTCGCAAAGTCTTGCTGTTCGGTAACAAGCATTTAGCTTCCACATATAACCCACAATCACAGATCCAATTAGGGTTGGAGTTCGGAAGTTGATATACTTCTAATTCCGTTTTTATCTAGAAACAGAGAATCGGATGTTGCACTTCCGGATACAACAATCCTATCCAACTCTCCCGAACTTGTCAATTCTTTGCTGTCTCAAACCCAAATCAATCGTAGCGAATAGATACCTGAGTTAATCTACTATAATTTCTAGAAGGGCATCAGAAGATCTGACCCCCCTGCCAATTAGTACATACCTACTTTCATTTTGCTCCATATTTCCGTTTAATGACATCCTTGTTCAGAATGGCCCCTGTAGTAATTGGAGCCTCGGCACTATTCACAAGAACGAGGCGATATATCTCTGCACTACTAGACCGCATTTAGGGAAGGTTTCTTCAAATCATGAATGCAGATGCATTATACAAGTGTTGAAATGCCAGATATCGTAAAACCAAAATACTTTCTGGCCGTTGCGGCTGGTGGCATGATCATCCATTTTCGCAAAGCTGACAGGATGGCGGGGAGTTCTGCAAAGTTCATCGAGGGTTTCGAAGGATTCTACTAAACTTCTTAGAAGAGTATGATATTGTTATATATATCATCTCATCATACTTTTTGAGAGTTCAAGGACTTGGTATAAATCTCATAACCATACCGGCCCTGTGCACCTACCGCTTCCGAATTTGTTAGCGCGCAACTGCTGTAGCTAGGCCATGTGGCTGTTCGGTCTACTACTGGCGGCAAAATTCAATATTCGATTATTGCGCAGCGGCTGGCATAATCCGCTGTATCTGTTTACCCAGGAGGCGCAGTGCAAAGGTGAATATTTCGGCTTTATGCGGAAATATCGGAAACATAAGGGGTAAACCTGGCTATATTAATGTGCCTTGGTCTATTCTTTCTTCTCTGGGACTTCTGGTTCAGTCAAAGAGCACATCATTTATCACAAGAGAAGACGTCACGCTTAAGATAGGATTCTGATGTTTAAGCATGTCGAGGCCATCGTTTGACGAACTTCCTCTTCGTGAGAATGATCCACCTTTTTCAGCCTGGGGCCTTTATGGCCCCAACGATGAGCTAGGAACATTAAACACTCTTACTCCAGAAGTGGTGCGAGAGGCGGCCAAGGAGATTCAGATTGGGGTTCGAGTAGCTTTAGATCATTCGATGACTCGCCTTGTCAAACCGTCGCACAATAGGGCGGGGCTTCAACATGTGATCATCCCTGGGAAGAAAAACCCGACATTCGATGATACCATTCACTTGAATACCCAGGTAAATGAAATAATGAACCGTTACATTGAACAATGAAGCTTACTGAACAGGTATCCACTCAATGGGATGGATTTCGACATGTTGGATACCGGAAGTCAGGCTTGTTCTATAATGGGACTACGAAGAGTGATATATACGGCCCCAATGCCAGTACAAGATTAGGAACCCAGGGTAGGTCATCGATGAATCTTACGGTTGCATGCTAACGGAAAAATATAGCCTGGGTATCAAGTGGGGGCATCGTAGGGCGTGGTGTCCTTCTGGACTATGTTCGCTGGAGTCAACGTCAGAACAAGAGCTACGATCTAATGCAAAACCACACCATAACAGTCGACGACTTACAGGCTTGTGCCGACGCCCAGAATATCACTATCCGAGTTGGTGATATACTCTTCGTGAGATCCGGATTTACTGCCGGATATGCTGCTCTCAGTGAAGAGGAACAGATTGCCTGGGCCTCAAAACCCACAGCCTGGGTAGGGGTAGAAACATCAATCAAAACAGCTAAATGGCTTTGGGACTCCGGGATTAGTGCTTGTGCTGGAGATGCACCGGGCTGGGAGAGCTTTCCTATCTGGTGCGGAAGAAGTGACCTCGGGGGTGAGGAAGATCTTTCCTTGCATGAGATTATGTTAAGTGGATGGGGGATGCCAATTGGTTAGTCTCAAGCCTCTTGTACAGATAAAGCAGGAGGATAAAAATTGATGAATATAATAGGAGAAATGTTTGATCTCGAAAAACTCAGCCAAGAATGTCTGAACCAAAATCGGTATTCGTTCTTTGTCTCCAGCATGCCGGTACATGTTCCTGGTGGGGTCGGCAGTCCCCCCAATGCCGTTGCTATATTTTAGCCTACAGGACAATGGGAATGCTGGGATTGGGGTATATGGCTCTTACACCAGTGCGTCTAAAAATCACCCAGTCTGTGTCCACAGAAAGAAATAGAAATCTGAATGAATTTGCTAGCACAATGATTTTTTCTCGTTTCCAGCACCTCATTTACTGAACGAGTATTGCATCAAATCAGGTTCAAATATCAAGTAATCTGTTGTCAATTAGGTGGCCGCGAGAAAATGATAGCTATTCTCACTGAAAGCGATTAAACGTATTCATGTTGTAGTCCCAATCTAGGAAAACACAATCCAATCGCGGGAGATCATCCAAATCCATTTTTCCGCTCTGATGAGCATTCTGATAAATATCAGCCCCCAATAAATCTTCTGGGAAAATACGGGTGTCATGTAATGTCGACTGAAAGCTATCTTCAAGTTGACGTTCATTCCCTGGCACCTGGTCCGAATATATCAGCGACGAGATAGTAATGTTACCGTTTGCTAGGTCAATGAGATGACTCAGGCGCTGCAACACTCTATGCGCGAATGCTAGGGTATGGGAGATATCTTTGAGGACACCAAGTGCCTTTCGAAATGAGTTACCTGCGGTCTCTCGTAGCGCAGAGGTTTTACTTTCCTTGATGATAATACTAACAAGGGGGATAATGGCACTAGCCAGGAAGACGACTGATGAATAGCGGTCTGTGTTCTGATACAGTTGGGACGTGTGAAAGAAATGAATTGCATTGATTGAAGACGCAGCAATTTCTGTGCATGATATTGCAGTTCTGTCGTGATAATTCAAGCTTATCATCTCCTGACGTCTCAGGAGCAGACGGAGGTGGTTTGAACGCTGCACATGGTAATGAGCGAAATCCTGCAACTTTTCACCAAAATCTCTCACCAAATTTATTATCATGCACTGACGATACACATGCAGTGGGAGTCTCTCCATATCAGTCAATGACAGAGTTTCCAAGTTCCACTTCAATTGGTTTGGAAGATCATATATCAACAACACAATCCGAGCATCGATCGCGGCAAGAAATTCCGGATCTGCAGGATTTGGCGCATTAATTGCGAATACACTATCCCATATCTCTGCACAAAGCTTGGCCCACCTAATAGTCGAGCGGAAATACAGGGATGATGAATAGTATTGTGCCTTTTCCACTAAATTATCATCATCCCCCATGTCCAGGGGATGGTCAACTCGGAAATCGGACTCGTGAATGAGGTACGGCATCCCGCTGACCAAAGCCACATGCCGATCCAAACAGAATAGACACCAAAAAATACGTTGGCGCAAGACCACTTTGGCTGTATCCTCCGTCTTCCATGCTTTCTGGTCATAAATGCTAAGCCGGTATCCTAAGCGAATCGCAAGACTAATTGCTGTGGATGCCATGGTGGTATGGTCGCTGAAAATTAGAAAAAGTGTCTTAACCACGAGTGATTGGATAGTCAGAAGATCTGCCCGGCCAGACCACATAGAAGAGTGTAGAAGTTTCTCAGCTTTAATAAAGTTGTCCCACCCTGGAACGCTGGTTGAGGCGGTCCAGTTCTCGCCAAGGACTTTGGCCACCGCTACAACGAGATGAACGAGGGCTACGAACCCAATGGACCTAGTGGACATTAGACTTGTTCCGTCTTCGGCCAAATAATCTTCTAAATCTGCTAGAAAGGAAGCTTCATCGAGACAGGGGTCTTCTTGAATGTCAGTGATCCGTTTTCTGTACAGGGGTCGTTCCTAATAACCTACAGTGGGTATTGAGACAATCAAAATAGGTCCTAATATGCATACGTACGGTTCCAGCCTCTCTCATACCGCATCTCTCATTGCATAGGCAGAAAATATCCTTGCAATTGTGTGGGTAACTGGAATTATCAACCAGGCTTTTGTTGTGTGGTTCTGGCGTTGAAGTGATTGGTACGATCTCTGGTTTTTTGTCAACGCCGGAGTTACTACTTAGTACTGAGATTGGGGTTAGCAGATCAGTTCCACTACGGAAAGTTGATTCTGCATATTCAGCCTCGTTAGCGTCCTCAATCCTGTAATAGGAGCATATGTCAGCGAATGCATCCAGGTGCACCATTGATGGTCGAGGTGTGCAACTAGTGCGATAATGTTGTTCACTTTGAATCAAAAGGGAGTGATTGGGTTGTATGTCGTCGAGCTTTTTCTCCAAAGAGGCGAGTCTTGCAACCATATCTACCTCCCACTCATTTTGATGGTTAGTTCGCAATTCGGAAGGCGAAAGATTTGTGTCCGGTTTTGAATCTGCGACCAGACCTCGGGACGTAGTTATCTGCGCTTCGCTCTGCACTTCATAGGTAATTCCCCTTTCACGCTTTAGCTTTCGGTAACGTCCGCTAGCATATACACACGGTGAGTTGCTGTGGTGGCATTGCTGACATGGATGTTGACCGGAACACTAGGAACAGCTGAGAACCATGCCAGAATATCATGTGTGTAGTTTCCTTACCTTGACTTTTCGTTTTTGGCAAGATAGACTGATGACATGTAAGATAAGCAGGCTAAATTGCGCTATGCGACTCACCAGGCACGAGAGACATAACGACCTCGCTTTTTAGATGGAGCATGACTCGCCGTTTGTTTGTCCTTTTTCCTACTACCACATGAACTATGTAAGGTAGGCCCCTCAACTTCGGTAGATGCGCCGGCGACGGGATCTGTTGGCTCAACCATTGCACGACAGAAGACGTTTTGTTTTTCTTTTTCTTTCTTTTTCGCTTTTTCAATGATATGGGTTGCAACTCTTTAGGAAAATCTATTTATTATACCATATCCTCCGTAGATATCTCCCCGCTACTCCCGACTTAATTTTGTCTTTCGGATGTGAAGAACCGACAAACTTTCCCATATTCGGCTTGAATATACTACGTGCCGGGTTGATTCCTTCAAAATACGAACGTCGCTTTACCCCGCTTCAAGAACTGGAAAAGCATATTTTATTTCATGATCGAGGTTTGAGAATATTATTTACAGCATAATGAACTTCATATAATATGGGGTATTTCAAAGAGCGTCAAAATGCGAACTGATTTCCCTATTACGAGGACCTAAGCATAGTTTTAGCAAATTCGCCCACCATCAATTTGGTACACAGATCCTGTAATAAAGCGACTTTCATCTCCCAGAAGGAATGCAATTAGTGCTGCGACCTCTTCTGGGGTTCCTGCTCTCTTGATAGCTCGTTTGGATGTGAAGCCAGGAACAGTGATGAGTTCACTCGCTCTGGACGACATGGGGGTGTGGATTTCTCCACTATACCAATGATTAGCGTAAAGTACGGCGGATCAACTGAATTAATTCCTTACGGGACAATGGCATTTACCCGAACCTCACGGCTCCCCCCTTCGCGGGCTGCGCACTTGCTGAGTCCGATGACCCCATGCTTACTTGTTGAGTAAGCTGGAAATTGGCTTGATCCGAGTAGTCCCGCTACACTCGAGGTATTGACGATGCTTCCACCGTTGGAAATCACCTTCAATTGGGCCCGTAGGCAGAACATCATCCCGGTCAGGTTGACACCGAGAACGGTGTTCCAAACCTCGTCCGTCATGTTCGCAATTCCCCCACGGTCGGTTGATTCCACAAATATGCCCGCTACATTAGCTGCCCCATCTAGCCTGCCAAATTCTGAAATTGTTGACATGATCCATCGCTCGACATGTTCATTCTTGCTAATGTCGCCGGTTGTCGTCAGGACCCTAGTATTAGTACTCTTTCTAATCAACTCGGCTGCATCTTCCAGTGCCTTCTGTTGGATATCCAAGAGCGATAGGGAAGAGCCTCGTTGAGCTAGATAATGCGCGGTAGCTAAACCTATACCAGAGGCAGCACCCGAAACGGCGATAATTTTTCCATGGAACCCTTGTGTTGAAGCCATACCGGTGGTTGCTAGGGAAAATGCGATGGGAGGATATAATAGTCCTGCAAGATACTTATTTCTCAACACTTTGTTGAGACTCTATTCAATGATAAATAGTGGGCTCGTAAAAAAAGGTTTAGCGACGGTTGTTGCTTTATATTCAAGAGAAATAAGTTTGATACCAAGTAGAAACGGTCAATTAGGAATTAAAACGGAATTGATGGTTGGAATGAAACATAATGCATGAACAACCGGAACAGTACGCAACCACTAATCGTAGACAATATCTCCTAAAGATATTGCGGACTGCCGGAATTATAGCTGTGGAATTGTCGGAAACAGCTCACAATAGGAATTACCAGCATACTACAAAACCATATATATCGGTCAGCATTTTTGGGTCAAATTTTATGTGTCAACTTACATCCCCTGACCACCGCGCCTTTCTTCCGTTGGGGGTTCGAAGTTTTAAAGAACTTAGTTCGTTTACGGGAGCTGTCCACTTTCGTCTCGCTCGTGATCTCGACTGCTTTGTTTCTATAACAGTTTTTTCAAGGAAAAACACTGCAACATGAGCTTGTCTACAATCATTCGTTGGAAAGATCTCGAACCGTCCTGGCATCTTCCCAATCAAGTGCCAGGACTCATGCGTTGGATGATCAGTTGGGTGGCTGGCCCCACTGGATACTGCAATTCCAACCCTGGAGATGCCGTATTGAGCTACAATGCGTCTGTCGGCTTCATGCACCTACCATCCGCCAACCGACAACAAGGAAGACACTATCATAGTGTCAGTGAGATTTACATTATATTACGAGGCCATGTTTTAGGATATGATGGTCACGGTGTCACCCATCGGGCTGGTCCTCTGGATTGTATTTACATCCCCAGAGGCGTTCCGCATGGAGTTCGCTCCTGCGGAGAAGGGCCGGTCGATTTAATCTGGGTTCACGATGCGATTGAGCGCAAAGGTATTTCAAAATACTGGGACGAATCGATGGCGAATCCCCAAGATGAATCTAAGGAGGAGATCAAGGTACTTCCATTGAATGATCTTGAGCCCAACTGGGACTATGAGCATACCAAGGAGCCTGGTCAGAACCATTGGAGTATCAATTGGGTCGGAGGAGTAAAAGGATCCACGAATTTCAGTCCCGCATTAGCACTCCACAATGACAAGGTAGCAGTTGGACTGACAGTTATTCCTCCGGGAAATAAGCAAGTTATGACTCGCCCTATCGCTGAGCTGAACGTCGTCGTCCGTGGAAAAGTTGTGGTCGATATCGGAAATGGCTACGAGGAACTTCACAGGATGGACGCAGTCTATATACCCGCAGGCAATTCTCGCACCCTTAGAAATAATGGAGATGAGGAGTCATATATCGTTTGGGTGCATGAGAAGCCATCAGCTGCCGATACAGATATAGTCTCATGATCAGCGGCATATCAGTTATTGTAGTGTCATTTTAGCATCATCTACTGTACTAGAGATTACTCAATTTAGGTTCACTCTATGAATTCAGAATGTGCATAGGCTTGACTTCGATATATCGATAAGTCGGTGACTAGAGCATTAGAGAGACTAAGCTCCTGCAAATGATAACCAAGATGCAATTATTGCATCACCTCAATCCTCACTGTTTCCATAGAAATGGGTTCTACTCTTGAACCCAGAAACTTTACCCATCTCATCTAACTTGATTTGTTTTCCAGTATTTGTTGAGAAAGGCCTCTATCGAAGTTGGGTGTACCTCAGTGCAAAGGTCATTCAATGTCTTTTGTGGGAAATTAAACCAGCCTTCGGCCATCCCCAAGCCCATCATTGCCAACATCCCATCCATATTCTGCTTTGGAAAAAATGCATAACGAGGTATATTTGCCGGAAGCTCAGTGACTTTGTATTGTTTTAGCTTTCCAATAGGATCGTAGCTGACGTCAAAGCGCTTGCCTATCACAAAAAAGTTAGAGGATAATTACCTGAAGGATGCAAACATGCCTACCTGTTGCATGTTCTGCCTGTCTCAACAGCTCATTTAGCGTGACCTTATCCCCGACCATAAATGCCTTTTCAGGCCATTCCCTTAGCTCCAGGCTGGCTGCCACGAACTTTCCCACGTCTTTTGAATGCGTAAAGACCACTGGTACCTCTCCATTTCCTGGGATAGCCGCTTTGGCGTTCTCCATGTCTAATACGATATGCATTGGAGAAAGGTAGGTCGGTGCATATGGGTACCCATAATAATCGAGGAAGAAGCCGCATATGTAGCTGGTGAAAGATAGAGGCGATGATTTTAATTTACAGATTGCAGCACATTTATAATCACGCATTGCAACACTTGGTAATGCGTAGTTCCTAGTTCGGTTAATCGTTACCACACGCATGGCGTTTAAATGAAGCAGAAAGGTAATCATTCACAAAGGCAGACTCACTGCTTCTTGGCTTCATCATAATCGATTCCAAAATGGCTAGGCGCGAATCGTTTGACAGTTTGCGATTGAATCGCAGCATCAATGAGATTCAACTGTGCTTGGCTCTGTTCTTCACTGATGATGCTCATGGTTGAAATTATGGTATCGATATTATTTGTACCCAGGATTTCCGCGAGGCTATCGGGAGAGCTGTAGTCCACCAAGAGAATTTTGATACCTGAATCACTACCAAAAATATCGTATTTCTGTTCCTTCCGTTTAGCGCCTTTTCTCCGAATAGGATTGAGATTTGATGCCTTAGCTTACCTGACCTCGTGAGAGTACGAAAATGTCATGTTTTCCAGTAGCACTGATCTCCTCTGTCACGGAACGCCCCAAACCTCCAGTTCCTCCAGCAATCGCAACTCTACCCATGTTTATTGTGCGTTTGGATTACGGGATCAATTCTGTGATGTCGTTGAGAAGCTTGTCTGGTTGACGAAAAATACAGGCTGTCTCACAGTGATATACGTTTAATGATGTATCTGAGACTTCATCCTAATTGATTGATTGAGTAATCATATGGCTGAGTAATTATATCTATATTTTCTCAATTATCTGAGGAGTGACGCGGCTCGGTTTGCAAGCTGACCGCGCCTCATTTGGAGGCGGCCGGATACGACGCAATGCATTCCGAGCGTCTAGAATAGACGGTTGGACAAGACAGCGCACAACCCGATCCGAGATTTTCTACTGGAAATTATTCCCCAACCCATATTACTGTGCAAGCTCATTTGCACCTACCTAAAATGGATTTATCTGCACCTAAAGAACAATGAAGCCTTGTAGGACATCCCGTCGATGATTTTCCGGTTCCCATATTATCACAGTATGCCATCTCTGCCTCCGAACACACTACTTGATCTAATTACGTCAAATATGCAAATGATTACGGGATTCCTAGAGTATATTCCCTTTCACAACCTGAAAAAATCGCACATTACGGTATAGGCTCTGTCTGGTGTGAGTTGAGAAATTACGGATGTATAACTACAAGTGACTGCTACTGAGATGCTCCAACCTCGTCAACTTTAACTGTCAACCACTTGCTCTCTTTAACAGAGCCAATTTTTGAAAGTCGGGAATCGGAATTGAGAGTGGTAGTACTCTGCTTGATCAACCATTTTGTTGTACAATAGATTCTAAATGCCGTAGCTACCCTTAGCAGATCAATTTGGCCCAGTTGTATATCGTCGTATAACCAGCGGCAAGAGCTCTCAAAATTGCAGACAATACGTAATTTAATGATATTACTAGTTAGATATTCTTTCAATTGCTGTCTTGTGAACCTTACCGAGTTGTATTCATCCTAGTCTGTAACATTCATTGAACTCCTTATCATCCTCTATAGGACGGTATTTTCCTCCCATAGTATGCCCAGGAACAGTATTGCACCCATCGATTTTCAGCGTTGTTATTGCAGTACCATGATCTTGAATAATCTTTGCTCTGCAAGCCAGAGCAACTTCCTTACAATAGATTTCAATAACTCTACAGAACCCCACCCGGTGAAATGACCCAAATATAGAATTTAGATCCCCGATGTAGCTTTGCTTGCTGGGCTGCCAAATTAAGATTATTGTTAGGTCATGTTGCAACAAGTTCACTATGACAACCAAAGGATATTGCAATGTCCAATAAAAATCGACATTATCGATCTACTACACCATACCGCGCGGGTATAGTGGTTATTATTTTGTTATTTTATTTATTATAATAAAAATAAAAATAAAATAGGTATAGCGGTTCGGTAAATTCAAGATAGACCGCATGGTGTTCCACCCATGGGACCAGCACTATCGAGCCGAATATTAGAAAGGAGCTGCTCCAGCTTCCTCTCCTGCCTTTTCAGCCATCATGATACGATTTTCTGCGTTGTTTCCAGCCTCCGATTATCAGGCAATATGAAACCGTGAGAATAGTCCTGACCGACAGATAATATACCTTATTGCTTTCCCTTTCAATATGACTTCTAAAAATGAAATTATTCCGTTCGGAGCTCTATAACTATATGCGGGTCTAATATGCTGATCTTGGGATAGAAAATCAGGTAGTAACCGTGCTAGCCTACTCACAGTTGGTGCCCAGAATGGCACGGTTAGTTTGTGGTTCGTCAGAAGCACAAGGAATTAAGTTTAAGAATGAAATATAATCATAGTTAGGGTGTAATATATGGCAATGCATACACACAGTGACATCATTGATATGAGTTCTCCCCGGCTTCGCTTCCTTCCACATTAGACCCTAAGATGCGCTCATTGCAGTCAGAATGCAGTCATGTGGAGTGCTGCACGATACCCATAGAGCAAACCGCGCATTCCGGCGATGCCGCTGTTGAAGCCTCCTCCCCAATCCATCCATGCTGACGAGTTGCCAACGGCATAAAGTCCATCGATCACGTCCCCGGCGGCGTTCTTTACGCGTCCATTTTGGTCGGTAGGAAGACCAGCTGTCGGCACTCCCATAGTCACGCGTTCCAGCCTCACGGCGTAGAAGGGGGGCTGAGACACTGGGGCCATATTGGGATTCTTCAGTTTCGGATCGCCCGCCATCAGTCTGCCCCAGGGGTTTATTCCACGCTGAAAGTCTTCATCCACACCATTACTGCACATGCAGTTGAATCGCTCCACAGTTTGCTGAAGACCATTCCCATCAATACCTATCTCATTCGCCAATTCAGACAAACTCTGGGCAGAGGAAGCCATTCCTTCTAGGAGTGGCTGACCTGCCAATACTGGTAGCAGACCCTTCCGATCCAGCATCCTTTGATCAAAGACCAGCCATGCAGGCCAGTTGACCATACCATCTTCCTGCCCATCGAAGCGCGCGGCCTTGGTCACCACATCGGGATAGAAAGAATCGTTTGAAAAGCGCTTACCCTTGCGGTTGACGATCATTGAATGGGGTTGACCTGGAACCAGAAGGCGGTAAGAGGGCTTTATCCCGTAAATCAACTCCGTGGGGACTTTGTATCCCACGAATATCGGGGATTGAGACGGTACTCTCGAGGGCATGGGTATAACACCCAGCTTGGATGCAAGCACGATATGGTCACCTGTGACTGTAGGAAGCGCCATACTACCAGTATCTGGAAGGCCATCAAATCTGCGTACAAATGGCTTGTTCCAATCGTATCCTCCGGTGGCAAGGATGACGCCACGACGAGCCCGAATGCGGTGGGTTCCAGCCCTATCGCGTGCCACAACACCTATGACACGTCCGTCATTGTCATCGGTGATTAGCTCGATGACTTCAGTAGAAGTACGCAGGTTGACACCACGATTAAGGGCCGCCAAAACTTGGGCAGCTGCCATTCCAGCTCCTGCGCATCGCTCGTCGTTGGTAACGTGGCGTTGGATGCAAGATCTTAGAGATTCTCCGCCTTGCTGCATCTCTACCCACTCCGAAGAGGTGGAGTAGCTGTAGTAGAGACCATACGGAGAGATTAACACCTTCTTTTGATAATCCCCTAGCTGTGAAGCTGCAAAAGGTCTTACCTCAACATACCGCCCTTCGGGCGCCGAGCCGGGCACAGATGGATAGTAGTAGTCGGGCAGCCCTTGGATAACTTGCATTGGAATGCCAATGATCTTGTCAAAGAATAACAAACACTCTCGAGATCCTGACAAATATTCGTCACGAATCTCTGGCATCGCTTGTCCTTGACCTAAGTGGTCAATGTACTGCCTGGCCATTTCTGGCCTGTCTTCAATTCCCGCTGCTTCAGCCAAGTGATTAGGGCCTGGGAAAAGTTGTCCAGACGACAAGGCTGATACTCCCCCAAGCAGCTCAAATTTCTCAAGCACCAATGCCTTCGCTCCATGTTCCGCCGCAGTGATGGCGGCGGAAAGTCCCCCAATCCCTGAGCCTACGCTGACCGTGTCGTACTCTTCATCCCAAGCCATTCTCTCCAGTAGTATATGAGTAATGTGGCGAATGATAGTTACAACAATCGTCGTGAAGCGGGTTCTCCTGGAGAATTTTTACGGTCTAAATGCTGCAACTTGAAGTAAAACGGAGCATTAGCTACCTACTGTAGCAGTTGACTTCCCTACGGAATGGCGGCTCTAGATCTCATGGCGTGTTTTGTTTTGAACATAATCCATTTTCATTCGAAGAGCAAAACATGTACTATGACCCCTCGGGCCTTAATACTCGCTCTATCCGAACAATTCGGCTCGGGACGGGATATCCGACAGCTCGTCAATTAAGAGATTTGAGGAACCATCCAAGCACACTCAGATATATCTCTCCTATTTGTCCGGCTCATATTAAACACATCCTCCCATTGACTACATGTATCAGTCGCTGGTTCGTTCACAAAGTGAAACTATTTCCATGATGGCAACTTTAATCTCTGATCTTGTGGAGCCGCTTGGCCAGGCTAGGGGCTTCGTCTTGGCAACTGTGATCCTCCTCACAGTATTCAAGATCTACAGATACAGCAATTCTGACTCCGTGTATCCCGATCTCCCTTTTGTAGGAAGAGATGAGCAAACCAAGACGACGTGGCAGTTGAAACTGCGATGGGTCAAAGAGGCAAAGCATCTTATTTATGACACATTAAGCAAGGTGCTCAAGTGATAAACCGACTGTTTGCTGAAAGCTAATTTTTGATAGCAAAATAAGCCGTTCCAACTCATGGCAAGCACCGGACCGCTGATTATTCTTCCTGCACACTTCATGGAGGAGGTTCGAAACGATGACCGGATGACCTTTGCAGCTTCTTTAAAGAAAGACTTTTTCTCCGCCTATCCAGGCTTCGAGGGGTTTCGCCCCGCAGCAGAAGACCATGTGTTCACATCGTCCGTTCGAATTGGACTCACACAGTCGATTGGCAAAGTTACAGAGCTTTTGTCTCAGGAGATGGCTGGGATCTTGCGTGTAATGTGGCCTGTCACTGATGGTAAATATCACAACACAGTCGGGCCCCAACATAGCCTTTGGGTTTAACACTGACATCCTCTTTTAAGAATGGATAAGCACCGAATTCAACCAAGACGCGCTCAATATCATCGCCCGCTTGTCTGCACGAGTTTTTCAGCCAGAGCCACTCTGTCACAATCAGGAGTGGCTGGACCTTACAGTCCGTTATACCGTCGATTTCTTCACAGCCGCTTTCGTTTTACGAATGTGGCCAAAGGTACTCCGGCCCCTAATTCACTGGTTCCTGCCCCAGACGCGCAGGATTCGCAACCAGGTGGCCATTGCCACACGCCTCATGGAGCCTGAGCTTGCTCGCCGTCGAAAGGCAAGAAAGGAGGCAATTATCTCGGGGAAAGAGCCTCGTTCAGCTGTGGATGCTTTGACGTGGATGGCAACGGCTGCCAAGGAGAAAGCTGATGAATACAACTATGTCTGGGGTCAGCTAAACTATTCTTTAGGAGCTATCCACACCACCTCTATGACATTTGTCTATGTTTTATATGACTTGATCGAGCATCCTGAATACATCCCGTTGATAAGGGAAGAGATTGCCGCAGTATGGAAACCCGGCGATATCTTGACTAAGAACACGTTATACAATCTGAAGATCATGGACAGCTTCATGAAGGAAAGCCAGAGGCTCAATCCTGTCACTCTCAGTAAGATGGTTTCTCCCATTTGTCCTCATTCGGGGAAGCTGAATAGCGAATTAGTGCCCCTGAACCGAGTGGCGCAACAGACAGTTCACCTGTCCGATGGAACAGTGATCCCCAAGGGCGCTGGTCTTGCAATCCCTGTTACCGCATTGACAGATGAGAAATATCATCAGGACCCTCTTAAATTTGATGGTCACCGGTTTTACAATTTACGGCAGCAGCCTGGTAATGAAACGAAGTACCAGTTTGTCACTACCAGCAATGAGCATATATCCTTTGGCCATGGAAAACATGCGTGCCCTGGTCGGTTTTTTGCTTCGAATGAAATTAAGATTGCTCTGGTGCAAATTTTGACCACTTACGATCTTCGCTTCCCACCAGGCAAAGGAAGACCAAGGTGCCTCGAGAATGGAGCAAGTTTAGTCCCCGACCCAAGAGGGCTAATCCAGTACAGGCGGAGGCAAGCATGAACGATGTTTCTGCTAACCTTAGAGCAGCATTGGGTATAATATATGACCTTTGACCTAGCTGTCAAATTTAACAATGCTGTTGGATATGCAAAAATGTAAAGATATGATCAAACTGACATGCAAGAAATCAGGAGCAGTGCATTGCAAAGCCAGTACTCTATTTCGTCGATTGAAAAGTAGACAGAAGAACCATCATACTGTAATGACAGCTACTATGTTCACGGTGGAGAAAAACAGCATAGAGAATATTTTAAATCTCATTGCAATACAGTCTGTATGATAATCTGCTTCGATTTTTTTCCAAGCTAGAATGTCAGTCCTTCTCAAAGAAATCTCCGTAACGTTCAAAGCATTGCCAAAATGTTTCTGTCCAATAAACAAGGCATTTAGATTTACAAGTCACTAATTTCCACGCTTCAATTAATCCCAAGAGTATTTAGCAGTCGGATCCATGCCATTCTGCGCAAACTCCAACAATACCTTTTCAAAGTTTTTGAAATTGCTCACAAGAAACTTTCCCTGCTTCACTCCAGTGAGCAGCTCCCGTGCGGCGTCTTCAGCATTGATGGCCCTCTCCAAGAAAAACTGGCGTAGAGCCTCTTCAAACCCCTTGCTGGACCTTCCGTGGGGCTTCTCTGCGGCAGCCGTCCACACAGCACCTGGATAAAGTACACTGACCCCGATGTTGTATTCTTTCAGTGTCGCAATCAGGCTTTGACTAAACGAGATTTCTGCCGCTTTGGTCAAATTGTAGGGTATTCCGTTAACAGAAAATTCGGCCGGGGGCGTGATTCCGTTAGGTGACGCTGTGTTCACAATCCAGCCGCTACGGCGCACAATCATCTCGCCCACGAATGCCTTCACGATACGCATGTAACCAAGAACGTTTATTTCAAACGCCTTCCTAGTTCCATCTATATCAAAATTCCTTATTGTTCCATGAGGAGCATACATGGCATTGTTGTGAAGGATATCGGGCACTCCTATCTCCTGCTTGACCTTGTTGCCAAAAGCATCAACAGCAATATCACTAGCTAGGTCGCATTGGAAGGAGTAGACAAGGATGCCCTCTTTCCTCAAATCTGCTGCTGTTTCCTCAAGTTGATCCGTAATTATATCTGTGATTATCACGCGAGCTCCATTTCTACCGTACTCGAATGCCATACCGCGCCCTAGGCCCCGCGCTGCGCCAGTCACCAAAACCAGCTTGTCTTTGAAGTCACACATGGCCAGCGAAAGAGGTCTGTGGAGAGAGGTTCACGATCAAGTGTGGAGAATAAAATGATATCACAGAGTTTTTCACATAAAAATATCGGAACCATTTTTTCACTACTCGCTGGTGAGCCTACGTCTGTTCATATTACGCTGACTCACGCCTCTTCATGTTCGGCTCGGAAATAGCCACGAGCCGCATTCATATTTCTTGCACACAACAGACTGCCAGCTTGCATTTTCACCTGGCTTCCTGAATCTCTAGTATCCGTATTCGGTTGGTTGGGCTCTTCATTCCATCATCTGTCACGGCCCGAAGTTAACTTTTTCAGTGCGTCATATTCAACGGCCCAAATAATCCTTACTAGTGGAGACATATCCGAACGAGGCATTCCACCGAAGTGAGGAAAATTGTTCAATAGACTTTGGATAGCACTGAGTCCTTGTATTTCTCCTTCTCTTTCTGTTCTTCTCCGAGGCCTTCATGTGAATTCGAATATTCCGGAACTCCGGGCGGTTGTGGGGCTTTATCTGTTGCCTGTTAAAGTTGCTTATTACTCTAAGTATTTTCAATAAGTACCGATATCTTAATATCTCTTAAGGTCCAGAGTGTAGGTCCTCGCTCAAATAGGTGATTTATCATGTCAGATACTCTCTCTTTCACAAGCTTTTACAATGTCGTCAACGGCAAGTTTCGCGGTTCCGAGACATCTCACCATGGTGTCGATCCCGCTACTCAAGATCCCCTGTGGAATATCCCGACAGCGAATGAGCAAGATGTCAATGATGCTGTACAAGCTGCAAACAATGCCTTGCAAACCTGGAAGAAGGTTCCATTTGAAGAGAGAGTAGAGATACTAAGGACATGGGGAGAGGCGTGTAAGGCTTACCTCAAACAGTTTAGTGAGCTGATCACGAAGGAGAATGGAAAACCGGTAAGCCAATACAAGGGAGCCACTTGTTTTGCTCATTCTGTTTATCTAAAGCCGAAACTGTTGAATTGAAAAGCCTAACCCGAGAGCAGAAACTTTATGGTGAGCTGGAGGCCAATCACTCGTTTCATGAGGCTTTCAATTACTTCCGTAAGCATGAGGCTCGTTTCTATCCACTGGCAATACTATACTGATCCGAGCAATTGCTAGTGACGCTGAAAATACCGGAGGAGGAGTACACTGTGAATGATAGGAATTACTACGTTAGGTACACGCCTCTAGGTGTTGTAGTCGCTATTTGTGCCTGGAATTGTATGTCGATCAATCCCTGATCTCCTTTTCAACTAAGCCAATTTTTTCAAGTTCCTCTTGGGCAACCGATTATGAAAATACTTCCAGCCTTGATGGCTGGTAACTGCTGTATAGTGAAACCGTCTCCGTTCTCTCCTTACAGCGCATTGAAGGTGATCGAGCTGGCTCAGAATTATCTCCCACCAGGTGTTCTGCAAGTCCTGAGTGGTGATGACAGGCTCGGCCCCTGGTTGACTAGTCATCCTGATATTCACAAAATCACCTTTACTGGTTCAACCGCGTCTGGTAAAAAGGTGGCAGAAACAGCAGCAAAGACTCTCAAACGAATCACCCTTGAACTGTAGGCTCCACTGAGCGTCTAGAACGTTCATTCAAATCTGACTTCTTCATAGAGGGGGTAACAACGCAGCGATCATTTTCCCCGACGTGGATGTTGATATGGTAGCCTCTGAGGTCGCCATGGGGTCATTTTGGAACACCGGACAGGTTTGTACCGCCGTTAAACGAATATATATTCACAATGACATCTATCCACAAATGCTTGCAGCCCTAGCAAAGGCGTCTCTGAAATTTAAGATGGGACCAGGGAGTGAAGATGGAGTGCTAATGGGTCCGGTTCAAAATGAGATGCAATATCACAAAGTGAAATCATTATTTCAGGAAGCCAGGACCAACAGCTATAAAGTGACTGTGGGTGGTCAAGTGAAAGACGATACTGGCTTCTTCCTGGAGGCCACAGTCATTGACAACCCACCGGCGGATTCGAAGCTCGTCACAGAGGAGCAGTTTGTCAGTTGATTATGTGGTTGCATCTTATTACCCATCACCACACTAACTAGGCTTCCAGGGTCCTATTGTCCCAACGCTACCATGGTCGAAAGAAGAAGAAGTCATCGATCACGTTAACAGCACCACAATGGGGCTTGGCGCAAGCGTCTGGACAAGAGATATGCGGAATGCGCGAAGGATTGCACAGCAACTGGAAGTGGGCAGTGTGTATATTAATAGCTACGAAAAAGTCTCCTTCCGGGTTCCTTTTGGCGGCCACAAAGAGAGTGGCATTGGTTACGAGTGCGGTCCATCAGCTTTAGTTCCATTTTGTAATATGCAAGTCGTGCACTACAACTTCAAGACTCTATAGGTCCGGAAAGGGGGATTATGGAAGATATTGCTACCTATGGCTGGATCGGAAGTCACATCAGCCTGCAAATTAAATTCCTCGAGCCGGAGTTTCGGATTGAACCGTGAATAAATTATTCTCTCTCTCAAATGCTGAAAATATCTGTTTCCTTACATGCAGTAACACCAGTCATTTTACAGAACAGCGCGAATAAAATTATCATTCCACTGCGAGTTCCCTGTGTGGATGTTAGATATTGGAAACACAGCCGCTTAAACAGATACAAATAATATAGCTTAACAAAACACGCTAGATATTTACTTGGTTCTTAACTCAGGCATAGGCTAAGTACATACCGAAGTAGGTTCACCTAACTGCAGATTGTGTACATCGAATCACTGAACAGAAAAAAATATGAGGAGAGAAAAACAAAGTTAAAATCCGTTCTTCTGTTCACTGCTGGCCTTAGCCACAATTGACTCTTTCAGCGTTCCCCAAAACCAAGTATTATCACTGCCGTCTACATCATGAATAGAGAAACCATTGCCCAGCCACTGCCACCGGTTCTGATTCTTGTATTCAATATCGAAGTCTTCAAATCGCGGCTGTGCGAGAAGCTCCATACTACTCTCCTAAGTCAGCAAGACCTATTTCTCAAAATATATGATAGAGATGTTGACTTACACTTGGGTCCTGGTTCCCGCATAAGAGCTTGGAGGGGTTTCTATGGACCCAGCCTTCATCCAACTGCGGCATGGAGCATCCCACACAAAGCGTTTGATTAACAATTTTGTATGCTCTCCATAATCTTCAATAACAGTCTTTTTCGGAGTTAAAGACTTAATGTCCTCGATCTGCATTTTCTCAATCATCTGGAGAATCCACCGGGAGAATACATCCATCATAGGAAGGACGCTGGACTGTCCGATAGGGGAGTATGGTCCGTAGAAGGTGAAATAGTTTGGCATATAAGGGGCAGCCACACCCATATACGAGAGCGCGTTCTCTGCATAAATATCCTGAAGATTTTTACCATTAGCAATAATAGGAAATCGCGGAACCCATGTCGTGTTGAAACCTGTAGCGAAGACGATCGCATCGATTTCAACCTTATTGCCGTTAGGATCAATAAACCCTTCCTCTGTCAACTCATCTAGCGAGGCTTTGCAATATGTTGTCACATTCGATTGCGTAATAGCCTCCAGATATCCATTTCCAGGCGTTCTTCGCTTACATCCAACTGGGAAGGTGGTTGGTGTTAAAGCCTCTAGCAGATCTGGGTGGTCACGCAACTTATCCTTCATGAGGCTCAGGGAAAACTCCTGGGCATAATGGGTAATAGGGGTGTTTTTGAGAACGGCAAGCGGGTCGCTTAGTGACTTCTCGACGTCCTTAATGTATTTTAGATAGACATCTGGCTTATGGATAAACTTCTCTTTCTGCTCCTTGCTGTACTGGAAGTTTCCACCGTCAGGACCCGCAAAGGTAGATCCGAAGCTGGATGTGATCCAAGTTCCGCTTCTAATCCAGGTATACAAGTGAGAGACAACCGGTTGAAGGGCTGCTGTCAGCTGCAGCCCGCTCGCCCCAGTACCAACAACGGCAACTCGTTTGCCTGCAAGATCAAGATCTGTGGGATAATTGGCAGAGTGTACGACAATCCCTTTGAAATCCTTGCGGCCTTTTATGTTCGGCCATTGCCAGTAGCTGGCAGCTTCATTGTTAATAAAAGAATTATGTTGCTAACTCTGATTAGGAAGAGCTTACTTAAAGATACCAGAGGCATTGACGAGGACGTCAGCCGTATCATCAAACTCGGTCCCGTCTGTCAGGTTTCGAACCTTGACACACCACTTACCGGATTGATTATCCCATTGGGCATGTATGACTTCGTGTTGAAGTTTGATAAATTTTCGCAGACCGTGTTTATCTGCGACGTGCTTAAAATACTCCAGAATCTCAGGTGCGTAGGCATAAAACCTCGACCAGATCTTCAGTTCCCACGGGTACTGGTAAGTCACTGAGGGAATATCGCAGGCGCATCCACTATGGTCGACATCAGATTACAAATAATAGATCAGGGAAACAGCCCATCAAGAGCACTCACGGATAGCGGTTTTCGGTCCATGTCCCTGATACTTCATCGTTTTTTTCGTAAATTACGCATTCGAAATCAATCATTCTTTCCTGTTGAAACTTGGCAAAGCTGAGGCCAGAAGCTCCTGCCCCTATGACAATTGCCTTCCTGAACCTCTTTGTGCCTGAAGGAACCTCCTGGATCGTGTAACCATTCTTACTAGTCGGCCAACCGTATACTCGGGGGCGGTCCTCCATGGGGGCAGCTGGGGGAAGACGCGCCAGCCCTTCGTTCACAGGAGCATCCTTGTTAATCGCCATGATAGGTACTATATTAGGGATATATCTCTGAATCCGATAATGTGACCAGGAGCATATGATGAGATTATATCAACGAGGACCGCTTGAAAAGGTTCGAAAGGCTGCCTATCGTTTAATGTATTTGCGGGTTAGTTCGTTTTATGAGCGGAGGTAACGAATGCTACTACAGAATGGGTATTGAACCACCGAGACATAGCTAATACAACAGGCAATTCTACGGGGAAGTAACCTAACCTACAGATACGTTCACCCCAAAGAGAACAGTCCTGACACCCCTCCCTTGAGCTATTATCCCACGGCATGAAATGTCACAATTTTTCCGAAGGTTCCATGGTCGGGCTCAATGGAGTAGGAGATTTATTTTAGTTGCAATTCTCGGGTATTTATTCCTTGACTTCCGCGACCCCTCAAACGTTGTTGATGTCAACTATTCCGTGAATGATCAGAGCCCCCTAAATCCTTGTGATCTTAACCAAATTAGTCCTACTTTCTTCCATTTGAGTAAGGTTGCTCTAGCTTCCGTGGGGGTCATCGGTATCGCAAAATTTAGGAATTCTAACGTCGCCAATTTCTCTTCCGGATTGAAGGATGGATATGAACGTCTTGGCTGAGAGTTACACCCATTTGGGGCACAGATATGAGGACTCGGAGTCAAAATAATTTTGAAAGGAAATCGATCCAGAAAATTCGGGTCAGTGACCAGCTCCGAGGCGGATTTGTATTGGTAAACATCGCCACGTGTGCGGGATTTCACTTGCTAGCTGAAATCCTTTTGCCTGGCTTCTCTTTGAGACATAATTGCAAATTTGGTTTAATACATGCCTGGAACTATATACATGAGCTTCAACACATATGCTCGATCGCTAAACTAGGCTCCTTAGCGTGGATATAATTATGATGCTTCCTTTTTTTGCCAGTCGCTTCGCTTGAATGTCGCCTCGCTGGAATGTCGCCGAATCGCATCCTGTAGGCGATGGAGAGAGGACAGGGAATGTAAAGTTATTTGCTACTTTGTCAGAAGATATGTCAGATAGATATTATTCACAGTGGCAAACCTATCATAAGCTCATGTGAATAGTGACTTTGTTCCACTATTAACCATTGTTCAAGTTTAAGTATATGACTAATGTCCACTATCTCCATAATTATTTTTATGCCAAGAACCTGTCGAAGGCTGTGTTGTTTGTTACACGAGCTTGTCATATAGTTACCGATCTAACCATAACATAGCAGTACAGCACTAGAGTCAGGTGATAAGTATGCTAGCTAGGCCAGATGAGGAAAATGAGCCTTGTTACTTGCTTCTCTATTATCAACATGTCTTGATGTCCATCTGACAGGACTTCATTAGCCAACTAATACACTGTGCAGATTCATTCTGTGAAAAAGAGTAGTTAACCCATAGTAACTGCGAACTGAAGAAGCAGGCGACGAGAAAGCAAGCGATTGACTATTGAACAAGAAGGACTACCTTTCCACACGCTGCGCAGTCTTCCATGCGTTGATGAGCTAGTCCTACATCCTCAAGATTATAAGTACTGTCGAGGAAATTCTCTTTATTGTATTTTCCACTCTTCACCTTTTTGACGGCATCTTGCAAGACACGAGATGCATAATCATAGTCTTCATCAAGGGTCGTAAAGGTAGTTAACTTTCGCTTCGCAGTGACGAGGCCGGCACTCAGAGACATTTTCCAGACCTTTCCAAGAATTCCACACTTGACAACAGTTCCTCCCGCCTTTGTAACCGGCATCGAGATATTCTCCAAGGCTTCTAACCCAACAAGCTCTAGGACGGTTTGGACCTCTGTTGCGGCTATTTGTTGTATCATCTGTGGGTTCTGCAACTCTGAGTCCAGAACGACCCAGTCTGCCCCAGCATCTTTGAGCTTTTTAACCTTACTCTCTTGCCGGGTAGTGGCTATAACATAGCATCCTTGATCCTTAGCCACCAAGATAGCCCATAGCCCCACACTGCTCGTTGCTCCATGAACAAAAACGACGTCTCTGGGCTTAGTTTCAGCTGCGAGAAACAGAGCACCATAAGCTGTCCATAACCCCATCGGAATAGCACCAAGAACTGCCCATGGAACATCTTTGGCGGCCTCGCCTAGTTTCCACAGTCTTCGCTGGTGGCAGATGGTGAACTCCGCGTATGAGCCGTCGTAAGCCTTGCCCCCACCGTAGGCCCATCCCGCAACTCGATCTCCCAGCTTGAACTCGGTGTTTGATCCTGCCTCGACGACTTCACCCACAAACTCTTCCCCGAGCACCTGTGGGCATTCGTCTTGAAACTCTTCTTTAAAGATGCCAAACTCTACGGGCGAGACAGGCTCAGCATTACGGGCACGTAGCTCAGCCCGGTTGAGTCCAATCGCATATATACGAACGAGGCAGAAGTGAGGATTGGGAAGCGATGGTTTTGGATAATCTGTTCGGTAGGTGAAGCAAGCAGTTGGAGGCGTCGCACGGGGAGATGTAAGAGTGATAGCACGCATGGTGCCATTCGGCGTATTGTCCCAGCTTCTAACCATTTCTGCGGCGTTGAAAGTCCTCAATATATTATCCCAATTAGAACTGATGTAAATTGCAAACCATTACTCTATTTCAGTTGTGGAATGATTGATATAATGCCATGTTAAATGGTATTGTGTTGAAGAATCATTGCTTTTGTTAGTTAAATGAACCTCGGAGCCGTGGTTTACGCATCCGAACCAATTTCAAATTAATGGATTATTTAACTTTCCTCTTAAGACTGACACATGCAATTGGATAAAATTTATTTCACTTTCGGATTTAATCTCGGAATTCTTACTATATCCTTTCTTAACGTATGGCCTAGATGGAAGTGTGATGATCAACCTGGGGTAGTTCCTGCTCTTTACGGAATTACCTGTATTAGAGCAAGCAATGGGAATAGGAGAGACCCGCGGTTGCATCGGAATACTGCTTAGAAACCCGTACAATGTTATTCATGCTATATACGATATAGGCGATACGTAGCGTAGATGATCGAGGAGCCTATATAACCTAGCCTCTTTCCAGAGTCGAGGGAGCATCTTTCGCCTGTCCCACAGGTTCTTTTCACTTCCTCTTCTACCAATACATTCGAATGAGCATAGAATAGAAAATATCAAGATGTCACTGGATATATCGAATGCTGTGCAATCCGAAAGCCAAGTCAATCAACGGGACCGTGTCTCCTTGGAAAAAGCCGAGAAGCATGAAGCGAACACAGAAGGCTCGAAGCTAAATTGTACTAACAGTGGTTTCGATGAAATTGAGGAGGAATATCATTTCACCATTGGTCAATTTTTGGCCTTAGCTGTAAGAATCGTATTGTTTCCCATTTTGTTAGGGCCCTAAGTACTGATGACTGTTAAGGCGATGCAGTTGGGCTACATGGGAGCTGTATTCTGCATACAGATGATCTCCGCTATTCTAACAACAATCAACAATGACATTGGTAAGTGATGTGTAGATAAATCAACCTACCATGTTCTTCGTTTCTACTTCAAGAGATGTGGAATCCGAGTGATAACAAAGCGCAACTCATAGGGCCAAGCTCTGCCTATGCCTGGATATCGACTTCTCAAGTCATCCCTGTGGGTGTTTTTGGCCTGTTAGTAGGTCGATTAGGTGATATCTTCGGCCGCCGAAACCTTATAATTATGGGAGACATATTTGGCATAATCGGCTGTGCCATATGTGCGACAGCCCAAAGCATCAATGTTTGCATAGGTGGAGGTATATTCATCGGAACCGCATCCGCATGCCAACAGGTTGCGTGGGCTGCTAGTTCTGAGATGGTCCCAAGAAAATACCGGGCTCTTGTTATTGGTCTTTTCGAGATGTCGTGTGTTCCAGCTGGCGCATTTGGGCCCCTCATCGGCAACGCAATCGCTAAAAACACTACTTGGCGATGGGCGTACTGGATTCCTTTCATCCTAAACTGTCTCTCCTTTATAATGGTCTTCTTGTTTTATCGCCCTCGTGATCAGTACATTAAAGAAGAGGGTAAGACTCGGTTGCAGGAAGCTGCTGATCTGGACTGGATTGGCTTTTTCCTCTGCGCTACTGGCATTTGTCTGTTCCTCCTCGGAATCTCTTTTGGTGGAAATCAGCTACCTTGGTATGTTAATGCCATCCGCGTTTCTCGTTGACGTCAGCTAATAGATTGCTAGGAAATCTGGCGGAACTATCTCTATGATTGTCATTGGTATTCTGCTTTTGGTTTTGTGTGGATTCTATGAAGCCTACTGTGGCATGATCTTGCCCTTGTTCCCGCCGGTCGTATTTCAACACTTCCGACGGGTTACTTGCGTTCTCATTGGGACATTCCTTTACGGCATGCTATACTACTCAACAGCTGTTTTGTGGCCCCAGCAAGTTCAGGGCCTCTATACAACGGATCTTATCAAAGTTGGCTGGTACTCATCTGCACTTGGTATCGCGGGTATAATTAGCTCCCCAATTTTCGGTACTCTTTTCACATTTGGACATGCTCGAAGTCTATTCATCTTCATTATAGTTCTAGGTACAGTTGCTTCCGGATGCATGGCCACTGTCTGTAAGTTCCATCACGCTTCTGCTTCTATAAACATATCTCCTATTCCTATACTAATGCACTAACACAATCTCAGCTCCTACATCGAGTACTGCTTCTACTATCCTGGTCGCCATGGAAGGTGTTTGCGTTGGAGGGGGTATGATTGTTGCCACTGCCATGGTCCAACTTGCAGTTGAACATCAATATATCGGCCTCGTCACAGCTCTAGCTGTCGCAGCTCGCAATATTGGGGGTGCTGTTGCGCAGGTCATCTACACCTCTATATTTACTGGCCGGCTCAAACACAATATCATCATTTATGTGGCAGAACCATTGATCAAGGCTGGAGTATCCCCTGAGGAAATTGAAATTGTCATAGAGGCTATTGAGAGCACGGAGACGACACAACTTATCGACAAACTTACGCCTACACAATTAGAGGTCGGTCTCGAAGGCTTGCATCAGGCAATCGTGCACGCCCTGCGCGTAGTTTATCTTTCTTCCATTGCCTTCGGTGTCGTTGGGACAGTATTCGTTTGCTTCTGCAGAAATGTGAATCACTTGTTAACCGCAAAGGTCGATGTTCAGCTAGATGAAGGCGCCAAGTTACAAGGCGTCACTGATACTGGCAAAGGTTATATTATTCCTATTGAGGAGCAGATGCGGTACACAAGTCGCTGGCATGGGACTCCTACAGTGAATCAAAAGTCACCATCTATGGCCAATGTTGATGGTTGATACTCTACCGTTTAGCCAAAACAGCGGGTTATTAAATCTCTATATGTCACCTAAGGCTCTATGAAACCACTGTTAGCTACTCCTGTGGGTGGGGTGGTGCATAATATACTTGGCGGTATGAATATCGCTTAATTGAGAATATTTAGCTGACGACTGGAAACCCTATGTTGTCGTGAATTTATCTTAGCAACCAATTACAATGTCACTAGTACCTCCTAGCGCCTATCTACCTTTAATATAGAGCACATTAAACGCTGTCTACGAAATAGAGACAATTTGGACTGCCACCAATTTATCAATCATTTCCAAATTAGGCAATTAACTATACATTAAATTACCTTTTAATAAATTATTTATGAATATAGATTTAATCTTCATAGTAAAAGGAGTAATAAATAGCTATCTATCCATTACTGTCGTATATATAAGTACGATATTATTTACATAGGGATCAATATATTCGTGCTCTATCATTCCTACTCTTGCATTATTTCTCTATATGTAATCCAAGTTTTTATTGATTTAATCAGTAAAAGCTAATCAATTCTAATATTTTCTGCCAATAAATTGTTATTCTGGGACTGCTCATCAAAAATACGCTTTAACCCTAATTTGAATTGGGAATCAATTACACATTTTGGTTAGGGCGGCATTTATTATGCATCAGCCGTTAATCATCAAACCGTTGTGGTTCTGTCACAGCCAATTCCTTGATTCCTTAAAACGAACAAATGAAAAGAAAAGGAAGGAATACCTATATGTTAATCAGAATCTGTTCAGCCTATATGAGGCTTGACTCTCGGTACGTCAATTGACGATTTAGATCATATAAACCTCTGTACGATTCTATTATTGCTCTAATTAATTATCGCATATTTCCACTTTCTATTTACTTCCGCATCAAGGGGTGTAGAGGTTACTCTTTCCGCGAACTGGGGCAGTCCCCGGATGAAATATCTACAATACTGCTACGGCCAGCCACTTTATATTGTAGACAGCCTGATTATGAATAGCAAAGTAGACATATTTATGGTGAACTTTGATATCCCAGTCGAGTATCTGATGGCCTGGTACTATATATTTATACAAGCCTGTTGTTATGTTTAAAATCATTTGACTGCTCTGGTCTTCAGATATTTGACAATAACCAAGATGAGCCGTCACCAGGCACGTACTAACGCAAGCACACCATCGAGGACCAAGCAGATACGGCCACATCGCGGTGAAGAAACAACGAGTCAGGTAGACAAAATCGAACCTCAGTACAGTACACTACACAATTCAAGAGCTCCCAGTCACGAAACGATTGGACATCAACTGTGATCTAGACATTCAAACTCCAATTGGCTCCATCGGACTACAGTACAGTCAAGAAGAACTCGCATTAGTAGAAATAGCTATCTATAAGTCTAAGATGAGCCATATCTTCTTCTCTCTTCATCTATTACTCAATAAGAAATGTGATGTTGATGAATATAATATTGGATAGTAATTAGATGACTATCACCTTCCCAATTGCATTCAGTACAAGCTGGTGTCCGCGAGCTTCGAATCGAATCCGAATCGACCTTGAATTCAAATCTATACGAATCAATGAATTCTATTTTAATTCGGTTCGATTCGTGCGGAGCAGTATCATTATGCACGCTTACGCTCTCCGCAGAAAGTCTTGGCCTAAATGCCTTTTGTGAAAACTGACCTCTAATTATTAATGTAAATATAATATATAAATAAATGAAAAAATTTAGAAATTTTAGAAATTTTAGAAATTTTTATTATTTATATATATTTTTTTATGTTTTTTAATAATTACATATTTCATATATTGATAGTATTTCAAAAAATTAAATTAATTTCTAATTTTTGTACTAAATCGGCATTAGGCCAGAACTTTCTCTAGTGGCTGTAGTTCGGATCAATGTCAACAGGACTACGGAACTTCTCCCGTCTCGGCTGATTCTACCTTTAAATCCGATGTTAGAAACCACTTTCTTGACAGAGTGCGGGACTCCCAGAGAAAATATAGTAAGCTATAGGGTAGTCAATTAGCATCCGAACCGAGGGAATGTAGAGTTAGTAATCGAGTAAACTACTAGCATGTATTGGGAGACGTGCATAACGTAATTCCGCCTTTGCTGCCACGGATAATAATACAAACCGGCTCGTTATCCAGTCCTAAGACCGGCGTTCTCTTGCGTCGTTCCTTACCTCGAATTGGGGGTCTCCTTTCCGCAGTGCATACGGCATCAAAGTCTTTCTTGGAACATTGTCCACAGCTCCGCCCTGATGTATCTCCACGAAGATCATTTCGGCGTAAATACCTAGACTAAGTCCCTTGGCTCAACTGGGTATGGGTATATCCGGGAATGTCGATCCCTCATCAGTTTCGAAAGGACCAAGTCAATCACATGGATATAATCTACTCCTCTTGAGCATGTGAAGTAAAGGTATAAGAAGTAAGAAATTACACTTCTAACGTTGGCTGTCTATACGTCTGTATGTTTACATGAACATCATCCATCTATCGACATGATTCTACATATCTTGATTGTGACTATAGCAGTAATATGCCTTTCTGCCCCCAGTGCAGCTTTCCTACGGACGGCTCCCGATATTAGCCCTTTTGAATATAATTATACGGTAAGAGAGTATAAGCTCCGGCGTTGTAGCTACCGTGACTAACTACAATTCTTGACAGAGACTGGGCGGTGGCCCTAACGCTTCGGCCATCGTGAAATGGAATGTCACGAATACCATAAAAAGTTATTGGGTTGCCCACTGGTTGCACGCTGATAATTGCCATGACTACGTCATCGTCTCGACCATGGCAAATGCTGGCTCAGAACTTCTCTCCGGCATATCTTTGCTGGATGTCCAGACCGGCTACAACTTCGGGACTCAGGTAAAAACACCAGGACAACTCTCAACAACGGTACTGGATGGTGATTCGGGGCTGTTGCACTTTAGTGCCAGCACCGCGGACCAAGCATCCGAACTTTTTGCCGTCAGCACATTTAAAGAAATCCCATACAAACTCCACTATACGCCGAAAGGGCCTTATCTATACCAAGCTGGGTCTGGTTCCTACGTGTGGGGCACTGGGTACGCTTATGCTTTTGACGCTCCAGAAACATGGGTGACAGGGACACTCACTATCAACAACACCATCGTAAATATCGTACCTAATGAGTCCGCTGCGTGGTTTGACATGCAGTGGGGACCCAGCTATGCACCCGGAGGCTGGCACGCATTCGTCTTCTTGTTGGATAACGGTGTCAAGGTGGCGATCATGGTCACCAACCCCACTAATATCTATAGTCAGAACAGCATCGCAACGATCCTATATCCAGATGGCAACCATCAAGTCTTCGCAGTCGATCCTGAACTCCATGCAGCAAAGCCATGGGTGTCATCAACCTCTAATATCACCTACTACAGCTACTACCAACTCAATATTCCTGGTAAGGGGATAACGCTGGATGTGAACCTTCCCTGGGAGGCGGGAGAGACAGCACTCGATTCCAATCCTACCCCGGCAAACACAATTGCTGACTCATTTGCCTACTACAATGGCACCTTTGACGGTACCATTGTTCGAGGTTACGGCATCGCAGAACAACGTGTGAGTGCTGATGGGTCACTCTTTGGCAGTAAATAGGGAACCAACTGGTGGTTCCGCCGACCACACATAACCTACTCCGAGATATACCTTTGGCATAATTATGCATGAGGGCGGTTCCATTCTATCTCTGAATTGGAATAGGGGTTTTTCGGATTGGAGGACCGGAAGCGAAGACGAATGTTCAATATGAGTTCAATACCTTAAATAGTAATAGGTTTACCATTTTGTGAAAATATAATACGCATAATTTGGGAATTGATGCTTACTACCTGCACTAGGGTCACAATAACTTGGCCGCCTCCGTATAGCCCACGCGCCACGATAATTCTCTCCGCCTTCATAAGAGGCTTGCTCTCAAGCCACCGAATTTACCCCGGACATGGATCTGTTAACTAGAGTAAACAGCTCGACCCAGTAACACAGGTTCTCTTAGTGTACGCAAATCACTTTTACACATTTCACCGGTCTGAGGTCTAGTAGTCCTTCTCTCTACAACAGTAATAAGAGGTATCTAAGGCTTGTGAACATTTTGTAGAAGTAGTGGCCTTACTAGATTCTAATCCTATGGGCTAGGCGGGCAAGTAAAAATAGCTACTGCCATAGCTATAGAATGGAGCTATACCTAGGCAGTGTAATTTACGCAGAAATCACTAAAGTTGAGCTATTTACTAGGAAGAATGATAACCTGCCTGAGAGATGATGACCTCTAAGGAATATGTGGACAAAAATTCCTGGAATACGCCGAGGGGGGACCATCCTATCGACGGCCTCGGTTTGTTAACAGAAGGTACGAAGATAGTTTACTAAATACCTTTGACTGCTCCATGACCGATACTATTGAATTTCGCGAGGGTCTTTAGATAAATCTGCTGCATATCGAAAAATTACTCTATCGATACTTATTACCAAAGTTTCAAAATGTATTATACAAAGAAGACACAGGGAATGCTATTAGTTTCTGCTTTTCTGGTTTCTCTCCCACTTTTCATCACTTATATATTACAAGAACTACGAGAAAAGCTTAAAACGAAACTCACAAGGTCCTAACCCTGTATGAGGTGGCAAAACTATATCTCCGCATAATGTATCAATTTTTGTTCCCGCTATTGCTGATGGCAAATCTTACGGTGCACTGTTGTGTAGGTTTCTCTATGGCTTCGGTTATGTTTAGTATTGCAAGAAAGCCCCAACTAAATACATTACTGGACGCCAATAATGCGCCGTTTCTCATTATTAACAATAAAGGAAGGGGGAAGGGGGGGAACACTGTATATCTCGGGTATCAACGGCAAACCAGTTCCGGGGCATCCAAACCCCTCGCTTCGGTTGTCGCATTTTAACGAAGCCATGCCGTGTCTGCTTCTAATCATCCGGTTACCAAATTACTAACAGGCATATCGGTGAATGGCATTTTTCGTGACATGAAAGTAGATAAAAACTACCTACAAACGTAAGAATCTCTACCATGTAGAAAGGAGACCACGCCTTTAAGTTTCAATTATTCAAACTCAGCCAGAAAGATACACGAATTCAAAATGAGAATGCAAGTCTCGGAATCAACCTCACCCCGGGTCTCGGAGATGGTCAGAGAGTCAGTATCTCATAATTGACGATATAATCCAAGAAACGTTTGTATATTTTGGTACTAATCGCCGACTAGACTATCACGAATAACCAAAGATATCATCCTCGACGCCTCCGACACGTTCTTCCTCTACTGCCATAATAAACCATTCTATCTCTTTGATCCCGATCTATTCCAGCGCAAACTTACACAGAGCCAAATTCCGGTATACTTACAACTAGCATTCCTAGCTTCGGCAATCAGATACTCGTCACATAGCCGCTGGAAATGGCAAAGAAAGGCAGCTATTGATAATCATGCGCGCTATTCATGGGCTATCATAATGTCATCACCCGATGCGTTTACTGATATATGCGCCGTACAGGCACTTGCATTATTGACCATCGTGGACGCGATTGGTGAGTCTTCTCGATATTTGCAAAATGAGCCCAAATTAGAGATATACGTCAATAAGATATATGTATGAGTAGCTGACTTTGTGTGCTTCATAGCTGGCCGCCAACGTGCAGCCTGGGTGAAAATCGGAATAGCCATTCGTATCAGCCAGAGTTTAGATATGATGCTAGAACCAAATGCCGATGTGCTAGACGCAGAGCAAAATGAGCGAAGACACATTTTTTGGTCATTATACTTGATAGACAAGTTCGTTTGCTGTTCTTTCCAACGCCCTCCAGCAATGGTGGATTCAGATTGCCTGCTTTATTTGCCTGTAGACGCACAACAATATCAACAACCGAACGCAGCAGCTTCTATGACATTGAATACATTACTCGACAATGCAAATTCCATAAAAAGTACCACCCTTCGTCCCGGTTGGTTCGGTATCAGTGTCGGGATAGCAGCTGTACTGGGTAAAACCGTGAAGTTCATGATGAGCAACAATGACAAGGAGAACGTGGCTTCATGGAATTCTACGTCTGAGTATGGTTCAATACATGCAGATCTTGATCGCTTTCGTGAGATAGTTTCCAAGGATGAAAATATGGTTTTGAGTACAATGAAGGACCGCCTAAATCGAAATCATGAGCGAACTGCACATAAAATTCTATCCTGCACAGTTTATCATCTTGCTCATTGTCTTTTGGACCATCCTTTTCTTTGGGCTATGAAGACGCTACGATTATACCCAAACCCAAATATTCCTCATCTTCATCCATCGTGGATCAGAAAATCACTAACTTCCTCTCTTCAACATGCTTGCTCGCTGACCAATCTATTGGTTAGCGCAAAGTCTGCTGGTTATGTACCAATTCCTTCTTTCTACAGTTACTGTATGATGGTGGCTGGAAGTATTCATGCGTTATATTATCATTGCCGCAATAATCGCGAATCTTCATCCGAGTATCTAAACAGCTCAATTCAATATTTTGTTAACTTGGCTGACCTTTGGGATGAGAGTCCAACGCTGGTAAGTTCTTTCCCCTATGAGACTGGGAAAGTTCTCACGTTCGTTCTATGTAGGCCGATGGGCTGAGAATTTTTGCCGACGGATGTCAAAGATATAGCGACCTTCTTCTTTGTTGTGACAAACAAAATATCAACGGACTACAACCGTTAGATATTGAAATTTTAAAATCTATGGTGGATTACTGGGAGGTAATGAATCCTAGGAATCTCGTGTCGAGCTTACATCCATTGCATCTGGCCAGTGGATCCTTCGATGATAAGAATAACAATGAAGATATCTTACAAGTTATGTCGGAAGATTCGTCAACGTTTAGTCGTCATCAACACCTCTCCGACTCTATTGGTGACAATATCTTTAATTTATCGGGCCCCGAAGAGTTATTAGGACTTGAAGAGGTACCTATGCTTCCTCTAGACCATGTTGGTTTCTCAGACTTTCTACATCTAATACCATCGCCAAATACAAGTACAGGTACAGATAATGGAGGCTCGTTTTTTGACGACAAGAATAACATGGAATGAGATGGTGTTACATATCACGATTATTTCAATCGTATAACGGACATATAACGACAACAAAGAACTCAATTGAACACATATAGGAAGCAGCATGTCGATTATGTATAGGCTTGAGGCTATGCTAGTGTATTGGATCGGATTGACTAATAAATACTAAACATTCTCTTCAAACTAAGTCTAGAGCATATGAGGATCAAATACATACAAATCCATACTTTGAGATGTATGAACAAAATGTTAACTCACTGTTTATAGATGTAGAGTACACCAACAAGAAGAGATGCTGCTTCGAGGACGATTTGTCCCAAGTGTCCATATTATCGCTTATCTTTACATCATGCACAACATCCTACCCGACGAAACGCTTTCCCACTTAACAATGAAAACAGAAATTAGCGACAATGCGTGCATCGGCCTCTGAATGTACATTCGTAAGAAGAGCTTCCATAGTGAGCGGAGCCACTGCACCAGACAAACCAGTAGGAGGTGACAATGATGATGACTCACTGAGGCTGGCACATGTACAAGATACAGTTTCTAAAACACTTCCATGTGAAGTCTCAGTGGTCGCTCCGATTGACATATTAGCCCTAGTTGCTTCAAATGATCTCATTCCAGCGCTTTCAGTTGTTACTTCAATGGTGATCAAGCGATGTCTTAGTGTTACTTCGTATTTAATCTAAAGGGGCAATACATGGCTATGGACAACTGCAAATACAAATGATATATCTATATTATTGATACTATTAGAAATCTCTTCTTTTCTGGATTCTAAATATAATTTTTAGTTTTTAATTGACCTATTTACTGTTAAGATATTTAACAATTAATCTCTACACTGACGGGCAATTAGGTGGGAGAAACTCATCGACCGTGAATATTCTTCAGTTGGACCAGCTGTGGCAACTGAGCCTGCCCAGTCCCGCTGTGCTGGTAATGAACAGGAAGAGAACGTTCAGGCGGCAGATGAAAGTGATCTCAAAAGTCCGATCTGTACTACCTTGGATGATTTCAAATCGTTCAAAAAGTGGGCCTCGACAACCCAATTCAAGACGGTCGTGGAAACGTATTAGCATCCAACTCCCCTTCCCATTCCTTTCTAGCAACTAGCTGACGCCGATATAGCTGGGACAAAGACGCGACCAAATACAAGGTTGGGGAGCTAGTGGAGACTTGCAGTAGTCTGGACGACTATGCTGAATATGCATTCGTTATCCGCGAACGTGTTGGCACGTAGTATTTTAATTGACAAGCCGAAGAAATGCTAACCATATGATTGGAACGAAATTTCGAGAATGTCACGACTTACATAGACATCAAATCTGAACGGCTGCGCGACATCCTGCGGGTAGTACTGCACGACATCAAAGCTATCAGCCTGATGGAGGACAAGCCATCGGTAATTGAGGCAGACTATTGTGGCCAAGAATATTGCTGACCTGAGTTTAGATCGACCGAAATATCCTTTTCCATTTCCTCCCAGAGCTCGACAAATACGCGGAGAATATGAACAGCTCAGACTGCGCGTTCCCGCGGCAGTGTCTCTGCTTGCTCATCCACCACCTCAAGGAAGCCTATTCAGCTACCTCGCAACGTCTCGAGTCAATCTTACAGCACGGTCATATTACTTATGACCTTCTTTTGGCGCTTTTCAAACCGGGTTGCCAGGTGTATACTACATGCTTGGGTACAAAAGAGCCGCGATGTGTTATATTCGACGCAGGGGAAGAGATAACACAAAATGACGAGACGTGATTTAATCTCGAATGCCGATTCCTTGATTACGACGGTGTCAAGTTTGGCTAGGCCGGAATATTTCTGCGTGTGCCAAAGTTCCGGGGGTCAAAGCTGATCGACACCCTTGAAGCCTTCCCTCTCTGCCACCACCCAAGGCACCAGCAAGTCCGAAAAGACTTGGTCGAGAGATGCCAAAATTTTCGGGATTTGGCCGGCTCGCACATTCGGCACTGCAAAGGCAGCGCATTTTTTATGAACAAAGGAAAGGCAACCAGAGTCAACATCAACAGTCGAGTGGCAGTGGACGCCGCATTTATCCATGAAATGCAGCCAAACTACTCCCGACCGTCACTCCGCGACCTAGGGGTGAAGGATAAGAATGGAATTGCGGTAATTAATGTAGGTGCGATGCTCATGGAGGCCTCGAGCGACAGAAGGAGAGAATGCAAGGAGACGGCATGGAGGCACAAAAGTTGTGTGAAGCCAATTTCTTGGTCGCCTGCCCAGCTGTCTACTGCAGTTTCAAGGAGAAAATTTTCTGTATGTGAGATAAGTTACAATATTTTGGCGCCTGACTAATACGATTCTAGTGGAATGCGCAGTCAGTGCTCTAGGGAACATGGATTGGTCACCCGAATCGTTCGACTGCCTGCAGATCCCTTCAGAGACCAAGACGCTTCTCTTGTCAATGGCGAAAACCCGCCTGGCACTGATACCCACGCCACCGTTCGACGACGTGATTGATGGGAAAGGTCAAGGACTCAGCATCCTTCTGGAGTATGTCGGCAAATTTGCCATTACTATGACGAGGTTTCCATTCTAACCCGTGCTAGTGGCCCACCTGGCGTCGGAAAGACGTTCACGGTTGAAGCAACCTCAGAATATTTCAAGCTGCCTCTCTATTCGGTAGGAACCCGTCGCGGTGCTGATTGTGGTCTCCCTAACTTTTCCAGATATCCGCAGGCGAACTCGTCGTCGATCACGGAGATTCCAATGCACTTGAGCAACAAACTTGAAACAATATTCAAAATAGCAAAACACTTTAACCTTCAGGGCGATTAGCGGTAATCGAGGGCATAATGTTTTGGGGTCATAGAGAAGGCACGTTCTACACGCAAGATTTTGCTTGCAGCTTACAGCATTTCTATATACCCTCGGATCCCGGAGTCAGGCAAGTAAGAAGGGCTCGGGAACATTTTCGGAAACAGCTCCGGAATGTTGAGCCATGAGGCTAGGCGATCATTATACGCGATTCATAGTGCACGTTTTATCCGAGGGTTACTCATCCATGTCGTGAAAGAGAATAAGCTCCAAAGAACCGAGCATGGGTTCCTAGGAACACTGCCGCTCCGACGACTGCCCCCGCCATTCCTGGCAATACGCTGAGGAGAAAGGATGGAGACGAATGGCATCCTGGGTGGAAGATCATCCTTTAGAAGTACTGTACTTGCTCCAATGGTAGGCCGGACGCGAGTATTGATCTTGATTGCATTCTTGCCGCATACACAGACAATCCCCGCATATCATTAACAACTCATTAACAACTCATTCAACAAGCAGTTACGCATCCATGGGACGCTCGTCCAAGTATTCTAGCTGCTGCACTATAGTAACCTCTCAGCTATTATATTTTGCGAGCTTTTCCATATCCCTCTTTGCGTTCAGCTCCAATGAACCCGAGGATAAAGAACTCTAGTAATCCACTTAGTTTTTGAGAGCAATAATGTACCAATAATCTCACCTCCAAGGCTAAGTTTGTTGTTGCCGTCAACCTCCGCTTCTCTGAAGCACTTCAAAATATTCTCACAAGCTTCTTGATCAGTGGGTCGATAAAAATTCATCAATTCATCAAGTGTGACATGCCCTGGGATCGCGTTATTTTAAGAACAATTTAGTATGACGATCTCTCGGCGCCTTACCATCTAGATTACGGTCCTACATAACGTAACCATGCAGTTTAGAATGCCGAAATAGAATGGCTCAAGGAATTTTCGTTAGACTTACTGCTTCGTAAAAAGCCTTCAGCACACCCTTTATGTGGTCGATAGAGTAAAAAATGTTCTAATCAGCTAGTCAGCAACAGAACAAGAACATCGTGAAGGGATTAGCCAGAGTTGGTTCTCTTGCATTTGGATCCTTCTCGTTCAATTCTTTTAAATAGGCATTCCGAAGTTCCTCTCTCCCCTTGGCTGCTTCGGCATCCTGTCGTGCATAATTTTGTGCTGCATCCCTCTCGTCCTGCGCTCTCTTCAACGCAAGGTATGTTGAAGCGTACATGGCTCTGCCCTGCTGCTAAGATCAAACCCAAAAATAGATATGTCAGCCGAAACCTGGGAAGCAAAAGATGCTTCTAATGATTGCAGTCGTTGCTGGATATCAGAGATATTCATTCCTTAGTGTATAGGGAGTTGAGCCCACTTAAATAATCGTGCGCGGGAGCTGAGATTACTGATGTCAATGCGCGCATTAGCTAAAAAGTGACGTTCTCTACCGTAATACGTAATAGACGCCGAATGTGGCCAGGAAACTTCGGACTACATGCAGCATGTATGACTTGTACATTCTAGACTGTGATTGACCATTGGAGCCAACGCCCCGAGCATAATCACGCGGAAGGAAGCTTCACTTAGCTTCATGCATGCTACTATATGAGAGTGGCCCGAGTGTACGTAACGCAACCAATGTCATTTCCTAGGAGCGATTCCGCATGTTATCGCAGAATGTAATGGTGATGCTTGATGCCACGTTGCCCACTACATCTCAATCCACAAGGGTCAATCCTCCCGGAAGATCATGTCGATCATCAAGATAGCACCCCCCCACTATTATAATCTGAGGAATGTATGCATTCTGGTTGTATATGGAAGATTGTTCTAACAGTAGATGAGAGGGACCTAGGGCTCATATATATAGCCAAAGGTATACAAAGAACAACTATCTATACCCTCAATGGTTTCACTATGGTGAAAGCCCTTAGATCATGACACCCACTAGGCAAATCCTTGTATCAGCAGATCAAGCTGATAATTAGTAGACCTACCAGCAGTTTCAATACTCAAATTAAAAACAATCCACAAAGGCCAAAAACTACATGTCCAAGGTCTTGGGTTGGAAATACCTGATTACACTTTCCTAGCTTTGCAGCAGCAGTACAAATTGCAGGTCTAGTGGGGCCTAGTAATTCAGGTAATGTAAACTGCAGTGGATACATCTTATGTATCCCATCATTCAGTAGCAGGAGGAGGTTGTCTAGATTAGGCACCTGATCTACATGAGGGGTTACCTGCTCTCAATAAGCTCACTAAGACTGCATAGACTGCTTGATTCTCAACTTTGTCTGATACCTTAGAACTATACCTGTCACGGTGCCAGCCTCAGGCCCCATTCCATACACCTGTGCATGGGATGAAGCTGCTGATTCTGCCTACCCTGATCGCCTAACTGACCGATACTTCCTGAGCTCTGACTCCAGTTCACATCCACACTAGTCCTAAAACAGTGGTAACTGTCCCGTACCTCATTAGGCACGAATCAACAGATCATCTGGGTTGAACATCTGACAGATCATATATCTCAGTTTTACAGCTCAGATGTGGCTCCGCCCCAGTCGGGCCGAACCTACTCATCCCTTGCGTCGGCAGATCGAGATGTAACCGCCACCCCCCTATAGATGAGGCATAATAGCTTGGGCTATCTGGCCAGGCCGGTTATTGATCTCATTGTTGCATTTAGAAGGTAACTGACGTCTCCACTCTAAACTCAGAGTTTATCTCATGGAAATCTCATGAACAGACGACCTATGAGACCCGGCAACTGCACAATCCCCGGCCTCCCGCTCAGCTACCAATCGCTCAAGCACGGGATAGGGCTGCACAATGGCGAATGTGCTGTTTCCTGAAGGAGACTATTTTAAAACTCTCTGACTAGCCAACCACCCAGGGGTCTACTACGTCATCCATATGCAGACCAGTATCATTATCTGTGATTCATACACAGGTGAGGTGTCAGCAATCTGGCGGTCAGGAGGAGCCTATTAGCAAACTCCACGATCCTTGGAGTAGAATTATATATGTAACATACTGTAATAGTCCATGAGTGTTATAATCTAAGGCATGTGTGCATTCTAGTTATAGTGGAAGATTGGTCTATCATACATAAGAGGGACCTAGGGCTCATATATATATAGCGAAAGGTATACAAAGAACATCTATCTATAGTCTGAAGGGTTTCACTATGGTGAAAGCCCTGTGATCATGACAATGAGGATGAGGCTGTAAGCTGCAAGGTGCATATGATAGACCTATTCATCTGTATTGAATCAAATAGTTTGGTGATATAGTATTATTATATATATATATTTTGTGATGAGTCTTAAATGTGATCTATATGCCGCTTAATAAACTTGTTCTATTCTAAGTTGCTCTTTTTCGGTTTTTGATTTGATAAATAATGGATTTCTTTCTTTTTTAGATTATTTCTAAATTAATAGTTGTAGTCTGCTAATATAACTCTATGTAATATGATGGATCTATTCCTTAGTAGTATTAATTTTAAGAGGGGTTATTAAAATGGACTAATATAAGGATAGAGAATTCCAATGGATTTATATCAATATTTTGCTGTAGATATAAAAAGTAATTATTCGACTTCTTAATAATCTTATTATTGGGGATAGGCTTTTCAAGATAAACTCTGGAAGTAGATCCTTTTAACAAGGTGCACGTTACCTTGAAACAGCAGGTTCTATTGGTTTATCTAGTAAGTAACTTGGGCTTAGATCTAACTAAGTGCTGCACTCAATATACAGATACTCAATGTGCTTGATGCTACGGTGCTAGCCAAGAGGTACTTTAACGAACTTCAAAAAGATGTACCTTTGAGAACGTTTCTTATTCGCTATTGTGAAGCATTAATAGCAGTATGGTTTACCGTTGCCTACATCGCTATCTGGATGACGTCCTTTGAATATCTCTGTATCTGCCCATTGGAAGTATACAAGCCGACAACTAAGCATCAGAAATGCCAGCATCCGAGTTACATGCACAGGAAATGATCTAGCTGCACGTTGACAATAAATATCTAGTCGAGTTGACAAAGATATATGCCTTCGCTATAACAATATCTGATACACCGGGAGCAGTTGGTTGTTGGGTTCTGGTGAATGAGGCACTTGGCCTCTTAAATCTTAGATCTGTTGGCAATACCTATACCTTTCCCACTAGTTTTCGTAGAAGCAATCGATCCACCACCGGTAGGGTGATCCATACCATCTGCTTCTATAAGTTTCAAAGAGTGAAACGCTCATGGGTTAGGTTATCATAATATTCTAGAATACTGTGATCTGATTGGTTCTTCGATCTTATAGATTTAAATCCCTGAACAGTTGGGAGTTCAAGTTGTCAATAGTAGCTCCAAATTTCTGGTCAATGATTACTTACCGACAGTTCCTTGCATATTCCAATGAACTTATTAAGTGACCAACTATAATAAATGTGAAGTGTGAGCAATGGGCCATCACCGCGTCCAAGCTTTTGGAATACCATGTAGATATTTGCTTATTTAAAACCAATTTTCTGAAGCATGGAGATTATATATATATACACTATTATCGCCATGAATCCAACAGAAATGACATGTGAATTAAACTGACTATAACTGTTGTCTTCAAGTAACTTATGTCAAAGAGTTTCCCTTCTAATAATGTAAAGCACCATCATTTCCACGAGCAAAAACCCACTTACGCTCAAAGTTTGCAGGGGCGGGAACGGGCCCGCTTCCAACATTGCCTTCGATTGAGTTCCAAGCAGACGAAGCAGGGATCCACAGGCTCCCATTGTATTTTTTGCGATAAACTTGGTTATCAGTTTTACGGCAGAAAATCTCGTAGCCATTGTGTTCTGTTGCCACAATATTTGGTGCATCCAAAATCTGCCCATCATGAGATTCCCAGTTAGCGTCGGGATTGTGAGCAGACCTTTGGGATACTGCATTGTGCTGGTTGCGGGTAAAGACTTCAAACCTTGCCGTCTTTTAAGGATATAGCAGCTGCTCTGCTGAGGACTGAGCCAACCAGGTTATTTATGTTCTTGCCTGATGGCGACCAAGTTTCTTCTTCTAACTTTTTCCCTAGGAGGCCAGTCTTTCCCCGGACGAAAATGTCAATAGCTCCATCCCTAGACACAAAAGCTGTGGGACCGTCAACTATGAGACCCTCAAGCGCTCCACGTCCAATCTCATGGAATACCCCATATCTATCTTGCCAACCATTTTCACCGTGATGTTTGTGCAATAAAGCCCCCCAACAATTGCCCAACAATTGATAGCAAAAAACTCACCCCCCCACCCCCCCCCCTCCCCCTTTACCATTAGCAACAAAGTCAAAATTTCCGACAAATGATGACCCACCAACATGTTGCCATTGTCCAGACCAATGTCCATCCTTCCAGCTTTTACTGAGCATAGATCGCTCTGTATTACTACCAGAACCACACAATACAATATGGTTGGCGCTTAGAGCAGCAACTGCCGGGGGGTTGTAGAATGTCCCTCCAAGGTACACCTATTCACTCCAGTAATAGCCATTCCAGGATATGGTAAGGTATGACAGGCTAATATGATGAACGAAGATATCCAAATGGCTCGAGTCGCGGGCGACAATAATAGGTTCTCTGATAATTTCTTTATTGAGGCTTTCCTATTCTGTATTGGGGGTAACGATAGGCGTGGCTCCAGAATCTATATTGAAAAAAGCAATAGTATTAGGAATTGGGGGTGATAGCGCCAAAAGAGGTGAACGTCAAGGCTTTGTGTGATAAAAAGAATGAGTAGAAAAGAATTAATTATTAAGAATAGTAGAGGAAATGGAAAATATGTCTATTTACGCCGGCTTCTCTGTACTATTTAACATTCTTCAATATCTAGGATTATATTAGTAGCCATGTGTGAAACAGTTGTTCATGCCTTCCTTTTTCCGATATGTATCTAGGCTGCGCTCCGCTTGCCTTGCAGCTGAGCCACGAATCATATGATCCCTATAAATATATGATCTTCCACCTGCATACATAAATATTGACATTGAGTATTTGTTTATTTGGATTTATATTTTTTTGCATATTTAAGGAGTATCAAAATGGCTGAAGTTGGCTGTCGAGCCTGCCCTAGCTTGGTCATACGTTAGTGGAACCAAAGTGTGTTTGCTGTGAACTAAGTTGGCTTGTTACTAATAATATCAGCAACTGATTGGCAACAGCGTGCGTTCACCCACGAGGAATCTGACAACCCCCAACGACTTATATCCGAAGATACTCAAGTCTACATCCTGTCCGTATCTAAGCCCAGAATGCTGCTTCCCTGCTGATACTAGCAGATTTGCGAATGCAGATACAATAAGGGATTGTCTATCTTGTCGCAAGAAATTTACCTCTATCTTCTATTTTCCTAGGTCCTGGTGGCCATAGTGTGTCAGTAATTCGAGAGGGTATTTTGGGCACCAGGTCATTCGCCACGCAGGAAAGCTGACCGAATTCAGTATGATATATTGATAAGCTCTCTGGATCTATTAACCTGACATGTTGACTACCATTAATAGATACCTGGGTGTCTTTTAAGTCAAGCATGTCTTTCAGGACATGCGTTACAGGTGGCCGAAGATGAATATTTTCACGAAATTAAAATGCTCGACAGAACAGACTGGAATTCTCATCCTCGACCCAAGTGATCATGTTTCTGGGTGGTTCCTAAGCCCAGCGAGCGAGTCTATGAGCGATCCATTCTAGGTCTATCCCTACCTAGTCGAAGAGCTAGCCCGTTTCACAATGTCTCTTACAACTTGTCGGGCAATACCTACCATGATCCCTTGATCAATAAAGAATGACGGATCTTGGTCCTCGTAGGTCAATTGAAGATCTAGACCATTCGCTAGCGCGATATCGCGCGCTTGTCGAAATTGGGCTATTAAATTGTCATCAGCGACATTGGTTTCATGCCATACACTGTATTATCTGGCTGCCACATCTCGAAGTCCAGGAACGTTTATAGTATCCTGAATATGTTCTTTCGGTGGCGGAAGAATTGATGGAGCTGCGGTGAGGTTGGAAGCCTCTGAGTGAGGGATGCCGTTGGTATTGATATGTATAGGACAGCCTCCTGGAATGCCGGCCATCTTGTTCTTCGATTGTTGGCTTTCCATTCTCTGCTGTTCTTCCATATATAGTTATTCACGGAAATTCTCCAAGACGTCGTCATGAGACTGCAAGGTGTTGCCTTTCTATACAAGGGCGATAAGACGCTTTAAATGGTGGCTCCTTAACGCATAGTGCTTTTTCCCATGTGGGTCTTGCCAGCAATGTGGCCAAGGTGGCATGAGGGGGAAGGACAACGCATCAAGTTGTGTACAGCCCGCCAAACAGATTCTTGCCCAGATGCAGTCTCTTCAGCATTCAGTTGAACGTCCCGCTCGTTGAGCATCCGATTAGTGACCGATGACCTCCCTCTTTTATCGACCCTACCCGAGGTAGTTCGGGAGAGGTGGTTATCCTCCACAAATTTAAACGTAATACTTAACCGCAGTTTCTTGCCTCGACAAAAGAGCGTACCCCACCTAAGCAGCTGTTTTTCCACAGCAGTTCGGTCGATATCAAGATAATCAAATCGTTTCATTAGATCGCGTTGGAAGTGATCGTTCATCGACACAAAAATCGAGGTGTCATCCGCTCTTACCCTTCCTTTACTGGAGGTTTTGCCTTCTAACATTTTTTCAAACTTACCCTTCAGGACCATTGGCCAGTAAGCACTCGGTGTCAGGGCTACGTCTTCTTCCGTGTCTCGCGAAATCGCTTTCTTATTCACCATGGCTTTCCACTCTATTGTATACGGGATGCAGCTTGCCGGAATCTCGTCAGTCGACATTCCCACGTTCCATTCAGATAATTGGAGCGATCTAGAGCTTTCCGGGTCGTGTTGGGACTGACCTTCCACCCCATCCTAGGAGTGATAACTCGGTGAGTCACGTTCGGATCTTGAAGCAGGCGTGCGAGCGGAATATCCTGGAGCGGGGGCATATTGCGAATCGTCATGCAAAATATCGTATGCTTGGAAATCAAGGTCATTGCAATTATACGAGGCAGCGGTCATCGTTCTCGTTTCAAAGCCCTGACGTATTCAACGGTCTAACGTCAGCACAATCCGGATTAGTTAGAGGCTAGCAGCCTCCAGATGCCAATCAAGGGTGCCACACGACGTGAAAAGCATAACTCACTATTACTGTATACTATACAACCGACTTTGTCTAACTCTGGGGTAGAGTGTGGACTGGTTGATAGACCGGGATTCGGACCTTGCGAGGGACTGTGGCTTAACCAGACAGATTTCCCCCGTTGTTTGCTTTCTTTGCAAGGTCGACATTCTAGAAGCTGCTGAAGCCATACAAGTTCAATATACCATCTATTTTTATGTTGTTATTTACGCCTGTATCAAAATATCGCCGAGACGCGGGGTCAGCGGTAGAGTAACCGCAATAGGTATAATAAGTTTCAGAAGAGCGTTCAAGATAGAGTCTCTGTATATAAGTGGTGAAACTGATTTCGATCCAGGGTGTGCACTAAGTCCCAATGACCACGCCAGCATGTCGGAAATGACCTAAAGCACTCTGCTTTCGAGACCCCACAACCTCACAACACCACTCAAGGAAAGTGTGGAACCCTTGCTCTAGGTATTTTTCATAACGCACCCAATTCCGTCTAATGAATGCTTTCAATTCCGAGAAGAACTCCTCAATAGGATTCAAGTTAGGTGAATAAGGTGGCAGATATACTAGCTTCACTCCTGCTTCAGTACACAATTCCTTGGTACGATCAGAACGATGGAAAGATGCATTGTCCATGACTAGGAAGGACATTGGCTCAGGCCATCTTCCACAATGCTGAAGAAGCTGACCAATGAAGTCCTCGAAGGCTGCAGAATCCGTGGACATTTGAAATATACGAGAGAGCACTATTCCATCTTGACAATATGCGGGCAGTATCTGATACCGCTGGTCGCGATGGAAGTTGGCTACCTGTATTGGTGCCGTACCTAATGGAGACCAGCCTGTCCGTCTGAACCCAATTCGATTATCGCATCCAGACTCATCCACATCGACCAAGTGATACGACTGAAAGTCCGACAGATTATGCATATAGAAATCTCGTAAATCCGCATTCTGTTCTTTTGCTCTCTGTCGAGCCACCTTCTTCGACCAACAGACTGAAGCAAGAGCCCGTTTGAGGCTCGAGTTTGTGACCTTCTCACGGAACTCCTCCCATAAAAAGAGGGTCATCTTGTCCACATATAACCCAAGCTTTTCCAGGCGGCGATCACACAGTGCTTCTATCATCAGAGGAGTTATGCATCGTCGTCGACCGACTCGAGTTACGGGTGCTCTAACATTTCAAAACCGGCGGAGGTTGTTCCTGATGTTGATGATGGAACGCTTATTACATTCAGCAGCTTTAGCCATTTGCGAAGCAGTCAGTGATTTGCTCAATGTCATGTGCTAGATCATTTCGAGCTTTGAGAGAGGGAGTCTTGGCTCCATGTTGCGAACCGACCGTGATAGAATGAGGACGTTGGTCGAAGAAGGTTCTAGTAAAGGGGGGAGGGGAGCAACCACCAAAATGTGATGGAAAGCAAATTCATCCCTCAACTTTGCTCACCCCTCTGTTCAGTGAGCAGATGAAATTACTTTGGTCAAAAGGTTTGGGACATGCTGGGTATTAGGAACCGCACGTGACTTAGTGATCTCGCAGTTTCTGGGAGCTAGGTGACCCATCTGAAAGCTACGGACCTCAAAAAATCGCGGTTGCAAGGACTGGAGCAACATGTGCTAACTCACCATACATATAAGCAAACCATATTGTGACTTGTATTTGCTATACTGCTAAGGGGAGATTTAGGATAGGAGAGAGTGCCTAAAGGAGCGACCGGTGGGGGTTTTTGATGCATCAGATGCAGTGAATTTATTCTGTGCTCGGGATTTATGTGTTTGTGCAGTGATCAGGCTAAATGTGGCTAGTCTCATCTCATCACAAGATTCGCACCGACTGTACTAGACAATACTTGCCTGACCTAGGGTGACGGCCAGGTGCAGATCCTGCTCTCACTGCTCTAATAATTACGTCACTCTGCCTCAATTCTTTAAATCTATAGCATGTCATTGATATCGAATAGAAATGACAACCAACAGCCTTGCTGCCAATATATGGCTATAGATTGCTTCTATGAAAAAAGAACGAAAACTTATGTGATGCAAAGGAGGTGAAGGGGATGTGCACATTGAAATCAAGTATGTGGTGAAAGGGTTACTTCCATCAGAAGCATTACAGGACCTCTACATATAATCTGAGCCTTCCAACTCTTCAGCCTAGAATACCGAATTGGGCTTAGTTAAAAGCTCTCCTCGGATGCAAGCTACCAGGTGTACCTTCAGCCCAATCGATCTTCGTTGGATCCTCGGCATCGTGCCAAAAAGCGGCAACTTTATTGCCGCCTCGGTTCACAATAGCAACAGGGCCGTCAGAAATATCGGCATTAAAACCATCTTTCCTTAATTCATAGACCTTACCATGGTTCGTATAAAGAAGATCCAACCCAGGCTCACAGTCGGTAACCGCAATCTGCATGTTTGGCTTTGCAGTGGCCAAGGTAGTACTAGTCCATGGAGACCCAGGCCCATCTGACTTGTATGCAACCAGTTCCATATCTGGCTGTTGAGCAGGAATCAAATTGGTCACCCAGTCACCTACAGTCTTAACTGCCTTGACACAAATATCGTTTTTTAGGCCCGGGAATATGTCGAAAAGGCCTTCGTGCTCGTACTTTTGGGGTACTTGGGAAAAGTAGAGCCTGCGAGCATTGGTTAGGCCTAGCTCGGCATTTAAGTATCCTGGGTGGCTTCATTTTCACCTATTCAATCCATTCTGCGGAACCGCAATACAGGTCCCTGGAACTGCTCTTTTGGAGATGACCTTCCAGGAGAATGAGGTCTTATTGCGAGCTGGCATAACAGAGGTTGCGTATTAGCGTTTCATTGCTGGGAATCAAATAGTCAGATGGGGAACATACTCATCTCAATAAGGTCCCCATTTTCCGCTTGCCCAAACGCGCGATAACCTTTGTCCCCATCGTTGCGGGCTGCAAGCCGCGAGGCAGCATGCAAAGTTACTGGCCAAACTTTGAGTTCCCAGCTGCTGCCTTTGTTGGCCGCTTGAATAACACGTCTGTGCTCATCCAAGAAGAAGACCCGGATCTGGACCGTATCAATTAATTGGGGTTCTGAACAGCCGTAAATTTAGGTGGAAGACTACCCACCCAGTCCTTTCTGTTGCTGGTGACAGCAATAGGAGTAGCAGGCCGCGCTTTTGCAACATGTCCTAGGTGGGTCCATTGTCCATCGTCATATTTATACTCATGAATTGTACCATCATCACTTTGGCCGTAGAGGAGTATCTTATGGCTTTGAGAGCTCCAAGCACTAACGGCGATATCCGATGCTGAAAAGAAGGAACCACATGTTAACACATTCTAACGAAAAAGGTGGGCAAGGTGTACCTTTGGAAAGGGCAGGCATTTCAGGTACGAGCAATTCGTCTTTGGTAAAATTGAACTTGAAGTGTGTATAATTTAATTAAAACCCTGCATTAGAGGGGCAGTTACTGCTGTATTTAAGTCTTGCTCTTCTTTTTCAATTTATGATAGGTCTTTCCTCATTCCTACATTACATGATGTATGACATCATATTCAGCGCAAGCTACCAATGTAAGGACTAGCATATTCCCTGTGGCTTTGCTAACCATTGAATAAGTCTAGTGGGCCGATGCATACCCTCATAGCATACCCCGCTATGCTCTTTCAGCTAGAAAGCCTAATCACTGCGAGTGGCAATTGCACTATGCATGCAGCTCCCGAACTTAGCGACGCATATACCACTAGTCAGTTACATATAATCTCTAGGTGCAGGCAACTGTCTAATAAGTCGTTTCCACAGTAGAGTATAGTAAGATGGGCCTAAGCTTGACAAAGGATATACGAGATAAGCGGTAAAAAGAGGGATCTCTCAGCTCAAAATATATTATACGCTGAACCTACATAACCAACTTTGTACCTTTTTGGCGCTTTTGAATGCTCCGCAACAGACTATCATCGCCCAAATAAGATGAATGCAAGCTAAGATACATACACTATGACGTAATACAGTTATCATCATACATAGAAATATTATTCGCGGCTACTCCTTGCTTCAGCTATTTATAATATTTTTATAATCTTACTGATTGAACTTCCAGTATAAATCAAGAGATGGACCATAATAAATTGATTGTATTTCCTCTGGAATACCTGTAAGCCGCTTCTTCATTAAACGTTGCTGAAAGATATTGGATACACCAACAAGAATTTTGATAGTAACATCCGATTATTTTGTGGGCTTCTGATGTAGCAACTACAATTTCATAAACTACTATATTGATCGTTTACCCGGTGACGTATACTCATGTGCTGTTGGCTTGTCCTGGCGAAGAGAAGAATTACCAATGCTATTGAACCTAGATTTCTAACACCTACTGGTAGAAGGGTTGTCCATGTTGTGTCACAACACGACGGTTATGGTCCGTGCACTGGCAATGGGATGTGTTAAAACCCTGAACTTTGAACTTTATTGTCAATTGGCTGCCAGGGCTGCCAGCCTTTCTTCGCCGTCTGATTGGGTTTGGTGATCTCATGCCCTATTACTAGGATTAATAAGAATGGTTTAAAATAATTATAATTAAATATAATGTGAGGCCTGGCAGCAGCGAGGGCGCTGCAGGCTCACAGAGGCTTATAAGCGTGCCAACCCTGGAATTGGGCAATGGCCCAATTACCTCAGTATTACTTTTTGGCATTTAGAGGTTGGCAGTGCCAAGGAGCCTTACATATAATTAATTTAATTTAATAAACCCCCCCCCCCCCTTGTTACAGTGCCAGCTCGCCTGTCCAACCCGCCGACCTACTCCTCTGATTAGGCTGTCATTTGGTTCGGTTCGAACCGAACCAAAACCGATCTGAAACCCGAATGGTCCGGTTCTAGTTCTAATACTAGTTTGCGTGGAATCCCAACGGGTGTCCATATAAAAGCTACCCAACGCTAAGTCTAATTAGAAAAGACGCTGTTAAGACCCATAGGAATACCATCTATAGAAATAATGATAAGAAATTTTTAAAATTTAAAATTAGCATAGCTACTTAAGACATTAAATAGATTAAAATTAATAACTCTAAATAATTCTAATTTAAAGAATTTCCAAATTTAAGATTAATATATAGATTAGAGTTAATAACCTTAAATAATCTCAATTTAAAGAATTTTAAAAATTTAAAATTAATTTGACTGTATTAGACATCTTATATATAATATATCCTCTTAAATTACTATTTTAAATAGTAATTAAATATTATATAATTTTATTTTTCTATATAACTATTATTATAAAGTATTAGAATAGCTTCTAAATAAATTATTTAAAAAGAATTAGATATTTCTATTAAATTACTTTCTAATACTAATTTATATAGAATCTCTATAGATATATTATATAAAAGATAGTTTTTATAAATATATTAAAAATAATATCATAATTATTAATATAAAAAAAAAGATAATAATATATATAATTATATTTCTATTTTTTATAAATATATAATTTATTAAATCAGAATCTTATCATTTATATTATAAAAAATCTTAAACTATTTAAAATTAAAAAGACATATATTAGTTTAAATAAATTATATTTTAATATTTTTCTTTTAATATTTATATTAACTAAATAACTTAAAAAGAGATTAAATATAGATTAATAAATATTTATTATTAATTTCTAAAATTTATAAAAAGTTGATTTAAAGATCAATTTAAAAATAAATTATAAAAAAAGATAGATCTTAAAAGTAAGTTTATAAAAAAATTTAAAGGTATTAAATATACATTTACTAATTATAGATTAAAATTACAGATATAAACTATTAAAAATTATAATAAGATATACTTTTTAAGATAGAACTTAAGATATTATTTAATATTACTATTATAATAGAAGTAATTTATTATTTTTAATGTTAATAATATTATAAAATTATCTATAAGCTAGATATACTATCTTTTTTTTATATATTGAATAATAAAAACAATAGTAGATCAATTAATACAATAATAAAGATTTAAAATATTTCTATTATCTTCTAAATAATTACTTTAATCTTTATATAGATTATTCTCTATAAACTATTAGATTAATATATTTATTATTAAGTTATATTAGAATTAGCCTTCTTATAGTTTATAAAAATAATATCTAAAAAAATGATTATAAGTAATATCTTTATTTATTTATTATATAATGATTACTAAACAGTATTAGAATAATATTTAAAAAAGATATTTAATAATAATTAGATATCTTTCTATAGTCTTCTTTTCTCTTAACTATAGAGATTATTAAGATCTTTTTTTATTTACTAATCTTTATAAAATAATAAGTTATATTATATATTATACATCATATTTATTATATAAAGAAATATCTATAATATTATCTCTAAAAGCAATATGAATTATCTTTTCATAATTATAAATTCCTTAAACTTCTATTATTTAAAAATATTATATTATAATATTCTAATATTATTTATTTATCTAATAAAATTCCAGAAATATTATTGCTTTCTATTAAATTAAAGTATTTATACCATCATGATAGATATAATTTTTATAATATTAACTAAAAATAAGTCTTATTATATTATAATATTATATACTATTAAAAAGATAATAAATATTATTTAATTAATTAATATAAAGCTTTATTATAAATCTTATTTAATAATAATCTCTATATTCAATATTTTATTATTATATATTATAATAGAATATAGATAGATATTAATCAATGATATTTAGATATAATATTAATCTATTAATATAGTCTATTCTTTATTTTTTACTATCTATCTCTGTTACTAATATTAATCAATAGAATCAACTGTAAAGTAAATATTAAATTATTCAAGATTAATCCATATTATTACTAATTATTTTAAAATCTTAACATATTTCTAAAATTATTTTATACATAAAAATGACTAAAATTACTGCTTATCTATTTAGCATTAATCTAGAAAATCTATATAATAATTATTAGATTTCTATATTTATAAAGAAGTTTAAATTATTACTATATTATAACAGTATTTAATAAGTTTTATCTATATCTATGATTATACTTCATTATAATCTTTATAGAGAGTTACACTATATAAATTAATTAAATATCTAACTACTTAATATCTTTATCTAAATATAGACCAATTAAAATTCTATTAATGATTTTTAAAATATATATACTTAATAATAATATATTTTAATCTAATAATAAATATTGTATTATTAGAACTATATCTATATCTATTAGATCTTTAAAGAGATATTGCTCTTTTAATCTATCAATAAGCAATATTAGATCTAATTAAAGATATTAAATATGAGTAAAATATTGTTAATTATAATCAATCATAGTTAATTAAATGAAATTATTATTATTATAAAAATTATACTTAATTATATAATCCTTTAGTAAAGCTTTATTATTATTTAATATTCTATTTCTAATCAATTATATAATTTTATTTTTATCTTTTTTGCTACAGTATTATTCTAATATTTAAAATAGTAGCAATGAAAGATCATTAGAAATTATATATTTTATCTCTTTTAATTAATCTATAACTGCTAGATGATTATCTTTATATATCTTTATATTATAGCTAGTAATAATTCCTGCTATTTTATTATAGCTAAATTAATTAATTTCTAAGATTAATAATTATTTAATAATATTTTTAATTTAATTACTAAGTTACTAGTGAATTGATTATTTAGATTTTATATTAATTGATTTGAGATTTTTTTAGCTTAAATCTACTAGTATACTAATAAATAAATCTTTATATTTAAAGATATAATCTTTTATTTAAAAGATTTTTATATTATTATCTAATATAGTCTCTAGATGATATAAACTATTTTTAAGAAAGAATTATATTTTAATAACTATGATTATCTTAGCTTAGATATTCTTATATTTTATCTATGTCATTTAATAGATAATTAGAATAATTAAATCAATAAATAGTTATTCCTTATAAATCTCAATAATTATAAAGAAATAATATTATATTAAAGCTAGATCTTTAAGTAGATATATATCTTTACTATTATACTTTATATATTTAATCTATATAAATAGATGATTATCAATCTATAGATTATTATTCAGTATAAATAGACTGTCTAGTGATTTCTAAAGACATTGATAGTTTTTTTCTTTATTAAATCTAGTTAGTAAATCTAGTATATTAAATTTTTTAATCTATAATAAGAGAATACTATACTATAATCTAAAAATCTATTTCTTTATAATAAATGTGAGGCCCTACATGTTATAAGAGGTCTATAACCCTTCAGCGCCTCTGAGACACCTTCAGAGGACCTCACAGCACCGCTACCAAGATACTAGCTAGCTAAGATACTATATAATCTATATCTACAGCTATATATACCATAAATCAATAATCAATCTATATCTAACTAAGCCTTACATTCA